TATATCTATTCCTATATCTAGTACATCCGTTTACTATGCAAACAATTTATGGTTGAAATTGTAGGGTGGGTAAATCTTCCATTTGGGTGGTCTCTCTCACTTTGGGGACGGGCCCTCGTAAACGAGGGCTCAAAATATTATGTAATAAATGTAAGGCCCGGTCAATAATAGCCTATATACTATTTAAAGGCGTACTAGACAGTTGAAGGTATAAAAGTCTATACTTCAACTATATAGATTCAACAAAGAAAATTCGTCTTCTCTATAGTTAACTAATCAACCTTAATAGCTATAGGTCTAAGAAATAGCATATAACTTTACTGACTATTACTAAGGGAATTAAATTCTTCTTTACTAATTCCCTTCTATTCTAAGCCCTTCTAGGTACGTAACTATATACTAATATTACAGAGAGAATAATTAGACTAAACGATTAAGGAACACTTTAATTCCATTAGTAATATTCAGTAGTTGATATATATTAGACTTACAGCTATTAAGAAATAGAAATAGGTAACTGTTACACCCTGTAATAAAATCTTTTGAATACCTATCAAAATAGTAAAGCTAACCTATTGATATATATGTACATAACTAATTGATTAATTAGATTTATAAGCCCTTAATTGTTATCCTAGCCCGTTAGTTATGTTGTAATAGTATAGTTATTTAGTAAGTCTAGACGATCTAGTGTTAATACTATTTCTGAAGCTATAAATTATACTAGCGAAAAATATCATTAGAGGTGTTAATTATCATGGGGCGTGCGGTATTATTATTATATATCTCCTGTATCTAGATATTCTAAATTAATCAGCGAAAAAGCTATTAAATAGAGATAAAATTCCTTTTCCCTTTGACGTTAGAGAGCGAATACTTAGTAAAGTATGCCTTGATAAAGCTTTAAAATTTTTAACAGATCTCTAGAATCACTAATTAAATAGCCTTAATGGAAGCTTATAATAGATAAGCGTAAGGGCCTTTTATTATAGTCTTAGAATATTATAAACTAGTTGGGAATTTTAACCAGATAATCTGTTACTTTAAAACAAAAGGAAATTGATCACTGAATTAATTGTCTAAGAAAAACTACGATATACTGCTAAATTGTATTCTTAGGACTAATTAGCATAGTGCTTAAAGGCGAGGGTGGTAGTAGTAGTATTCATTTGCCTAATTCCGCTTGCCTTATGTATATAGCTGCTATGCGGGTGTGCAATTTGGCCTATCCAATAGCGAGAATAGTGCGTAGCACCCGGGCGCTCCTTATACCGAGAGCCTAGAGGGCTCTCTATAATGACTAGGGCGCTAACATAATTGTAAAACATAGACAAAATAAAAAGAAAATTGAAAACGCAAAGAGCGACTAGAGAGGTCACATAATAAAGGAAAATAGTAAAGAAAGTTTTAAAACCCCGTCCCATCAGTGTCCGCTCTTATCATCCCGTATTACCGAGAATGCGAGCTATTATTATGCTAAAAGTCGGTCGAGATCTGTTACGCCGACAACACCGACTGCCTCTATCCCTTTCCGTCTTCCTCTCTAGCTTCCCCGAATCACTACGTCCACTAGTAGCGAGCGCGGCGTGCCTAAATCACTAATCTCCCGAATCACCGAGTTGGCCTCTCCTCTGATCTCTATTCTCTCTAATCCCTCTCCCACTATCTACCGAAGCCTTTTATAATAGTCCTAGTGTGTCTCTTAAGGGGGCCCGGGGGACCCAGCCCTATAAGCCTATAGCATCTATATTTCATCTGTTACTACTACGCTATCCTAGATAGTTATAAGTATTATTCTATATACTTTCTACCCCTATCGCTTACAGGTCGACGTAGTGTAACTAGCTAAGAAGCTCCGGTTTGATTATAAAGGAGATAATCGCTAGCACCGCGGGCTTCTACCAGCTGAGTTTGATGAGTAGGAGCGATAGGGACACACCCGATTCTAAAAGCGTGTACCATATCTATTGGTGCTCATCCTCAAAAAGAGGGTACTCGAACAACGGTTTTTTTTAGTATCTGCTAGCCCAAGTCCTTCGAATAGTCTAGTAAGTCTCCTCTATTGATCGTCTAAAGGTACCGGTTTATGGAAACGATGTTTAAGATAGATCCACGTTGTGATCGATGCTAACGCTTTCCTTTGGCCCTTCTATAATTCGAGAACTACCTTCTTTAGCATAGGAAGTGTAGTGGTACTACAGGCGAGGATAGTATACTTATATACTACCTTAGGCGTACTGAGAGCTCTCTTAGACTGCTATACTCTTTGGTATACTCACTTACCTACGAACTGAACTAAGCTAAATCGTGTTATAAACAGGTACGGCTTAGAATTATAGGGGAGCTACTCTTACTAATCCTCCTTGGAGGAGGCGCTGGAAGATTTATTCAATGTCCATTTATCTGGCTAACTTTCTCTAACGCGCCCCTACGAGACATCTGTGGTGCCCCCGCAAAGACAAGAATAGTATAGACTATGCCAGCTCGCTTGGCGCTATTCAACCTGACATATCCATCTTCTCCCTCTTCACTTAGCAAAAGTAGAAGATCGCCAATAGCGTTTTTAGCGTTGCTCCATAGTTCACCATGAAAAACTTGTTGGAGCAGGTAGTTTAATAGAACAGAGCATAATTTCCAATCCTCTACATTTGCACTCATGGTCATCGTGGAACTGGTGTTTTACTTAGGTAGCTAACTGATAGTACCCTATTCGTAGTTGTGTTAGTAAGTACTCTTGATTCATTGGATATTAGCCGTGGGAGCGGGTAACTAGCTCGTTATCAATCTAAAATCATTGGGTGGATATCCATAGGAGGCGAAGAGAGACATCTGTTGACCTCACTTCTGCCGCGGCCTGTAGCGTAGATGATTCGTACTCCCGAACACCTGCGACGTAGACATGCTATCGCAGAGGATTGTGGTAGCCCTCGACTCCGGTATTAGAAACTCTTAATCCTGTCGGCATAGCCTAAAGATGAGGCCAATAGCATAGAATATTCCAATTAGTTTCGCGGCATAGACCGATTGATGTTTTGCAGAATCAACGCAACTCTGCTCTGATCCGGCAAATTCCGTCATCTTGATTTAGTGTTACCGTTGCAGCGCTGAGCCATAGTGGCTAGAAGCTAATACCATGATACTAGGACTTGTTCGCAATGACAATGCGGCCTCTACCACCTTCTCCCGGTCTAGTTCGATGTTGATGTCCGCGAAGATCGAAGGTCGTCTCTACGTAGCTAGGGGCTTCGGGTTGGTAATATCTAGTTTGTCCTATCGACCTATGTTTATAGTTGTGCTTCCGCTAGCGGAAACGGGAGCAGTGAGCCAACATCAGCGGGCTCTTTACCCTATGCGAAGAACGCCCCGTATAGAGCAGTCGCTAGGAAGGGTGTGTAGCCTCACAATAGTGTTTTAGGCTCGCTGCATAAGTCTTGCGTTGGCAGTACGTATGCTCCTACTTCTAGAGTGCGAATCGCCACTATTGTGAAGGGGAATTGGATCCGGATTTAAAGCAGTTCGTTAGACCGTGCTAGACTTTTGCAGGTGGGGTTTGTTTAGAAAAGATTATGCCATACTATTGACGCGCAGTCGACTACTAGGGCTACATAAGCTTGATAGAGCTGTCTCATCTGCCCGGGTCGAGGATTCTTTAGTGCGTCAAATGCGTTGTTCGCTTTGGTAGCGAGCTTAGCCTACTGTACAGGTTTCTTCCATTGTAGTTCCTAGTCGAAGATGGCTCCTAGCAAGTTCAAGGTGGTTGATTACTTGATGTGCTTCCGTGGACGTACAATATGATCACCATCCGGTATCACAATTATAGTAAGCTGCTAAGGGTCCTTCCATGTATTAGACTTACTCGCAAGTTCATATAATTCTGGCCATTAAAAAATTTTAATGTCCTTTAAATGCCAAAAAAGGTCTTATCTCAAAAATGGAGGATGTGCAGGTGTCTCCCTGAAGCTCTTCGATTCAAAACTCCTAAAATCATGGGTTTCACTCGGCCATAGAACTCTACTTCAGGCCATTGCACCCTTTATAACTATACTCCGCCTCCGCTTCCGATCTTAGAAAAGAAACAGTTTAACCTAGGCTTAAAAGGGAGAGATACAATCAATGAATGCTTCATTGAGAATAGAAAATATTCAAGAAAGTGTGCTCAATACTTGAGGCTAAAGCCGGCTCAAACAGCCCTTATAGTTCAGTGGCAGAACGTGTGACTCCTAATCTCGAAACCGAGGTTCGAATCCTCGTGGGGGCGCTCTTTTTTTATTACATGAAACTTCGAGGCGTTGAGATCCCTATAAGCTCGCTCCCGTTGGAGATAACAGTCCGTAGACGCCTGAACGGTGTTTCAAACTTTGTTCCATCAGCCCTGTAAAATACCAATCAATGTGGGAGAGCCATGGAACCCAGGCACCAATAGTTCCCGAAAGAGACTGGTTCGTCCGCCCCATCCCCACTAGCGCCGTCCGACCACGCGTGTCTCCGGGCCATGATTGGACCAACTATCCACATGGCCCTGACACTAGTACCATACAAGGCGTAGATCTCAAACACAGGCCCCTGACCCGGTCTCCCCTTAATCAATCCAAGCCTTTCCTGCAGTTTCCTCTTCTTCTTCCTCTTCTTCCTCTTCTTCCCCTTTTCATCATCGTTTCCCATATTGGATGAAGTTCCTCTTCTGACCAGAGCAGCCTCCCGCTCTCTTACCACATTCATTTAGGAACTCCCCGTGTGTCTTCTCTTGTACAAATCTACCTTCGTCGCTCCTTTGCCCACAGCCAGCCTCGACGAATTATCCTGTAAGTTGTGCGACCCTCCTCGGTCAACCACCACCATCACCTTCATCATCAATTGTTACTTGTTCCATCCGTTTTCCGTGGTCACTGTTGAAAAAATCGCGACATGAATTTTCTCGAGATGGATCTAACTCATCGGTTGTTGTACCAGATCTCCTGATTCACTCCGACTTGACGTTGCGAGGAATCCCATCGATCAAAATGAAGTTCCAGTCCGTTACCCTGGTCTTGGCTGCTGCAGGCATTGCCGCAGCCGACATACACGCCCCTCATGGCCACCATGGCCATCTTCACCACCGCAAACGCGAGGTTAAGACGGAGGTCGTTCCCGGGCCGATTGTTTACGAGTACGAGCTCAACGGCAACTTGATCCCTGCTGAAAAGGCCTGCGACGGTATCGCGGATGGCCTCTACAAGTGGGCTGATGGCGTTGCACCTTCTGATGCTTGTGTCACTTCAACTGTCGCGCCGACGACCTCGACTTCTACGTCCACGTCCACGTCCACGCCTACGCCCACCCCGACCATCAAGCCCGCTGAGTTCTTTGAGCAAAGCTTGTCCATCTCTAGCTCCAGCTCCACCACGACGACTTCGACCTCCACTCTCACGCCTTCGACGACATCTACTACTACCAGCCCCGCAGCCCCGACTAGCTCATTGACTGGCGGTGGCGTTACCCTTGTCAACAACGCGGGTCAACCAATCTATCTCTGGTCCGTCTCCGACGTTCCCGCCGAAATGGTTACCATTCCCGCGGGGGGCAGTTATTCCGAGAACTGGCGCACCAACCCTGACGGTGGCGGTATTTCTGTGAAGGTGTCGACTTCGCCCAGCCTGGACAATATTCTCCAATACGAGTATACCCTGGCCGGCTCCACCATTTTCTGGGATCTGTCTTGCATCAACATGCTCCTTCACAATCTGCTGTCCACTGTGGGCTTCTCTGTCACTTCCGATAACACGGATTGTGTACAAGATGTATGCGCTGCTGGCGATCTTCAATGCGCCGCTGCCTACCTATTCCCCGCTGACAACCTGGCTACTCACGGCTGCGACGCCAATACCCAAATGATCTTCACTATTGGCCTCTAACGACCTCTCTCTATCCATGTCCAACCCACCGGCGCCCTAACCGACCTACCGAATTTACTTTTCTGATGTCCTACCAAGGCCGTAGAGATGGGATCAGGTGATTAGGTTATATGGTCCGGAGGTGATGGCTCGGCTGTTTGTTCGTTTCGTTTGTCGTGTTATTACGATGACGACTACTTTTATTGTACTTTTTTGTGATCTCGCTTCGTCTTCCTCTTCTCTTTCTCCTTCTCTTCTCTCCTCATCGAGTTTTCTCTTTGTCGATAGTCTGCGCTACCAAATCGAGATCTTTTATAACTCCACCAGAATAGATTCTTTGGTCTGACTGGGTCGATAAGAAAATGCAACCCGATAAAGGTGAGTTTACAACGTCGTAATAACTAGAATCATTTTAGAGGGACTTGATTATAGCTCTTCGCGGATGTGTGCGTGCACAGGGTTGAAGATAACTTGACACTTCTCATGTAGAAATCTTTGCTTTTCGTCTATTTTTACTTTAAGCCTAGCTGTTGAATAGAACAAGTAGTGGCTTCTCCCTGCTTAGTCCACGAAAGGTACAAAGCATAACTACGGCGGGATAACGGCCATCTTGGGGATGACTTCTAGTGATTTGCAGATCTCCGTGATACATGTATCTTAGACAGAACCTTGTCGACCGATTTCTATATGTTTATATCCCAAATTGATCACCTTTTGTTAAAGCACTCATTACGTTTACTCCAATAGAAAACCTGGGCGATTATCTAGTGCAGAAAATAGATAGACTTGACCATATAGGTCGTCTGAATCCTTACAAGAGTAGAATCAGATGTAGTCTTTCATATATGATGGAAATGGCCATCAGCTATGCTCATGATGATCCACCCCCTTAGTTATCTAATACCGTCGAACACTAGTCAACGCTTCGTAAAGGCTACACTGTGTACAAGAGACCCCTCCAAACAACCCCTCCAACCACCTAGAAATCTACCGCGGACTGGTAAGACGGAGAGACACGCCCTCCCCCAATCCATTGCTATAACATGCCCAGAGGGTCATGATAAAACTGCAGGCTGTGATAGAAATCGATGGAGCACAGCCTCGAGTAGACCCAGCAGCGAATCTCAGATGTTTTGCCATGAAGCACGATACACGAACTAGACCAATGAGCCGAGACCAGAGCCTGCTAGGTCAGGGTTTAAGATTACGACAAGCACTCCCCTTTCACCAAGATCATTGAAAGGAAAATTGTCGTGAAATCCAAATCCGTCAATACGTTTTATGAACTTTTTTGTTTTCCTATGACAAGAAGACAACGATTGTCATGATTGACCAGTATGTGACACCGCCCCGAATAACCTAACCTTAAACAGTCTCAAGGACCTGCTCCTTGAACTCCCGCTCAACCTTCTGGCCCTTGTCATCCGTCGTCGACTCTCCGTGCAGGTTCAGCAGAGCACCCAGGTCGAACTTGGGGGCCTTGAGGAGCTTCACCTTGCGAATGTGGACCTGGAGGTAGAAAAAAGCCATCAGCTGGGTCAACCACTCAACATGGCGGGAAACATACATTCTGCAGAGGGTAGATGCCCTGGGTAGCCTTCTCGATCTCACGGCCAATGACCTCGGGGATCAGCTTGTGGGTCAGCTGAGACAGGGTGCAGCTGGCAGCCTCGCGTTGCATGATCTCGGTCATCTTCTTGCGAATGGCACGGATCTGGGACGAGCGGGCGTAGGTGGTCTTCTTGATCTGGTTGGGGCGGCGCTTGGTGAAAGCGATGGCGAACAGGCGAAGCAGGTAGTCGTCAGTCGTCTTCACGGTCACGTTGGCCTCAATGAGCGACTGCCACTTGCGGACGAGCGAACGCAGCTTGTCGGTGGTGAAGTCCAGACCGTGGAAGTTGGTCAGGCAGTTCTTGCCCTGAACCTCGTCCACACGGAGCTTGACCTTGCGGAAGGAGTGGTCCTCGTCATTCTGCAGGTCAGCGAGGGAGACCTCAAAGATGCGGCCCTTCAGGGAGTCGTTGGCGTTCTTCAGACCGCTGGTACGGTTGACCAGAGTTTTGCCGACACTTGGGAAATCCGTTAGCGTTCCATGCACACACACAGTCCGAATTCGTGGGAAGAGGTGATTCATACTCGCGGGTCTGGAAGGTCGAGGGAGCCTGCACAGTGTGTTTAGCGTTTGTGTGACCCGATCATGGGGCAGTCAGACTCACCTTGACGGAGTACTCATCCTTCCGGGTGAAGGGGTCGACGGTTCTCTTCTTGATACCCTTCTTGCCCTTCGAGAGGCGCTTGTTCCTGGAGGAGGGGATTAACATCCGCACGGGGTGCGACAAGGGTGGGAAGGAGCAAAAGCGTACTTTCCAACAGCCATGATTGCGAATCGAGTCTCTCAGGGGGGTTGATGGGAAGAGACAGACAAAGAGGTATCGCACCACGGGAAGGGGAAGGAAATCACACGGTCGGGAAGGGCAAAATGCGAAACCCACAAGAAAACTCGGCTAAGCGAGCCCTATTAGTCACTGTCACGTGATTCACCTACACTGTCTACTGTGTGTATGTATCCATTTCTCGTATTATTACGTAGATCTAGAGGCAGGGTTAATATACTTAGTTGATTAATTCATACCTCCATATCTGGCCAAAAAACGGTAGTGTTGTGTGGTGTTGTGTGGTGTTGCATGGTGTTAACAGCGTGGTGTTGCGTAGTGTGGTAATCACGTGGGGCGAGAGCTAACTAGCTGTCCATCCATACATCCATCAATCGCATCATATCTCTACTCCTGCCCCGTACCCCTTCACTGCCTTCATGGTCTGCGCCCCCTCCATCTCTCTCCCCTGTCCTTGGATAGGAACTCACATCTCATCTTCCATCTGCAGGGTAAGCGCAAGAAGTCCAGTCGCCAACCTCAAGGGCCCCGTAAGGTGAGTGTCTGTTTTCTCCGCCCCCGCCGTCCATTGCTTACCCTCCACCAGCGGGAGCCTCTCCCGACGACATTCTCCTGTCTCTTCTGCAACCATGAGAATTCGGTGGTGGTCAAGTTAGACAAGAAACTGGGCCTGGGCGATCTGTCCTGCAAGGTCTGTGGCCAAAAGTTTCAGACGGGGATCAATTGTATGTCCCACGCCCTTCTCGGGAAGTGATCCTGAACTGACCCCTCCCACCCCCAGATCTCTCTGCACCTGTGGACGTGTACTCCGACTGGGTCGACGCATGCGATGCCGTTGCAAAGGACACGGCCAACCAGTACGAGTCTGGTCCACCTCGCTCCCGCGCGGCCGACCCTCCGGAGACGCAGAATACCTATGATGATGATGATTACTGATCGGGACAAAGGGGCGGGCGAACTGGCGCATCGGCGTGATCTCAATGAATAATGGTTTAGGGCGCTGTATAATACACAAACCCACAATGCTATGGGGCGTTATTATTTATCCGTATATTCCCTCTACTTCTCGCAGCCCTGATCGCCTGGCTCGTAGTGGCCGGGAGCAACACCAGCTTGATCCGGTAGCATGGTCGAGAGACCCACAAAGTCGGTCGAGCTTCAAGCGAGTTGTTTCATCTGGTGAACCGCTTTACAATGTATAGTAGCGGTCGCCAAAATCGCCCAGGCCCGGGATGATGTACCTGTCCAGAGTATTAGCGAGGTGAACCAGGAGACTTGAGTTGTCAACCGTACTTTTTCTCATCCAGGCCCTGGTCGATGAAAGCTGTCACGACCCGCAGCTTAGGGAACCGCACCGCAAAGTCTGCGACTCCGGATGGAGAGGCGATGAGGTTAAGGAACAGGATGCGATGCTCGGGGACCCCCTTCTCCTTCAAGACTTCCACCGCCAACGTGGCCGATCCCCCTGTGCTCAGTCAGTGGCCGAAAACTGGAAGCGGACTAGGATCTTGGTCTCACCGGTCGCAAACATGGGATCCAAGAGGAGGACCCAACGTTCGGCAATATCCGCCGGAAGCTTCTCGTAGAAGAGCTTGGGCATGCAGGTCTCCTCGTCACGTTGAATCAAGATCTTTCCAATCCGTACAGAGCGGCAGCAGTCCCGCAGTCCCTGTTCCATGGCCTCACCGGCTCTCATTATCGATACTCCGCAGATCTTGCCCTCGAACTTGACTCCAAGATAGGCCCGATCGACCGGGGTAGTCACGGACTGCTCGACCACGGGCAGGTGGTTGAGGCCCTCCTCGACCAACAGCCGAATGATTCGGTTGGAGTAAAAGATGAAGTCGGCACGCACCGTTCTCTTATCCCGGATCATGCTGTTGTTGGGGCCGGTTAGTATGTAGTGTTTGGGGAATCAAGCAACGACCCCACCACACTCACGTCAACAGGGCGATCAGTTGCGGCGTCTGCGCCAGCACGTGGACATTCTCAAAGGAGGCATTTTTAGAGACAGTCGCGGTGGGCTTCTCTCCATCCGGGCGATAGATCGGCCCCACGCCCTGGGCCGGGGAGGGAACTGGTTCGGGTGTGCTCATGGTGTATCGAAGTAAGGAAAGAAGAAAAGAATGCTCGTACTGGTCGTACTGTTATCGCGCTTATCTCCAGCGCTGTGCTGACTCAGGCCTGCCTCTCCGTCCTGCGCTCCTTCCTCTTTCCTCTCTCTTTCCCTCGACCCACCACCACCATTGATTGTGTCTGGCGGAAGGCGCGCGGAATGGTCCTGGCTTGTTCTTCCTCATGTCTCTGCCCCTGATGTTGGGTCATCGCATTGACTGTCCTTTCCGCTACCCCTTGGCTTCAAGCATCGACCATGGCGAGTCGCAATCGCAAGCTGGTGACGTATGGCGCAACAAGAAGCCGACCGAGCAATGATGCGTCAGGACGCACTTCTCCCTCACAGCGCATGCTTCAGGATCCCCCTGCGCCCGCTCGAACCAAAAATTCACGGAGTATCCAGAGTGGGGTCAGACGGCCAACAACTCCCACACGGACAACCGATTCGGCGCCGAGTGTCTTCGATCTCCCATCTTCCGAGGACGAGGCCCAAACAGACATCTTCCGAAGGAAACGCAGAAGACATGTCCTCGATGAGAGAGATTCCCGGACTGTGGTGCATCCTCACGATGGTCCCAAGACAACGACATCAGCAACTACCACCAGAGGCGATGGCTCGTCGCCGCGCATCAGGCGCGCCAGAGATTCCAGATGGAAGTCGTCTCAGATCAGAGACCCGGCAGAAACGATACAATCGACAACACCCTCAGCCGGCCCGGAAACGCCCAGGCCTCGACAAAGATGGAGCGAAATTTCCGCGTCAGATGAGCGACACGTTAACGAGCAAAGCTTCTCCAGATCTGCGATAACCGACTGGGACAGACGATCGTCTCCAAGCTCCTCCCACGACTCGTATCCTACGGTCGCCAACACAACCCCTGGCCGCCGAAGACTGGTAGACTCGCTGGGAATACAGAACCAGTCCTCAGAAGAGTCGCCGGCGGCAAGCCCAGCCATTAGCCAGTCGGCGCCGCGCGTTTCCCTTGGTGTCCCATTTCAACCGATAGAATCGTCTCGGTCAAATCTCGATGGGCATCCTGAGAACCCCGGTCATGACTCGCCGTCGTCACTGGCATCCCACCTTTGGGGCTCGAAAGTTACATATGCGCGCCAACGGTCCTTTCTGGATGACCTTTCTCTGGCAGGGGAGCTGTCCTCCCAGGATCTTTCTGGGGGTTTGGAACAACTCCAATCCTCTTCTCAGCGGGAGATCCCGGGAAATCGTTCTCGCGCTCGTCTGTTTGCATTGGAGGAGGAGAACCATGATGATGGAACAGTTCGAAGCATTCATGAACTGCGACAGGCTGGGGGCAATGCTCGCTTCCGTGGTGCGGTCGAGTCGATCTTTGAGGATATTGAAGATGACCACAACTCCGCATCGGGGCGTTGTAATGCGTTCATCCAGCTCTGTACCAAACTCTTGGACTCCAAGCTCAGGGCCCGATTTGTGGAGTGTGACTTTGACAAGAGGCTGGTGAACTGTATTTTCAACAACCTGGACATCGTTTCTGCGACATTCGCCTTGTGCGCCTACGGGCTCTGTTCACTGGGCGGAGGCCCCCGGTATCTTCTTGCGAGAGATGCATGGCCAAAACTGTTGGACATTTCTCCCATTTTACTGAACACGTATGATGATGTCCCGGTCGTGGCACAGAATCGGGCCAACGGGTTGTCCAAACCGGTGCAGATGGCTGTCCAGGGCATCACCCCTCAAGTGATATCGACCCTCTTCCCCGAAATTCCTCCATCGAATGTTTCTCCTTGCCTAGTGGCACTTTACTGTTTGAAATCAACTGCCTCGGCCTTTCAAGCAAAAGGCGAGAGCAGCAGCGGGATCCCTTCACCGGTGCTGAGGCAGCTAATGGATGTGTTATCCTCACAGAGCTCGTCTCGTGGAGTCCAGGATACACTATCACCGGAAGAGTCACTGATGCTCAGCTTGGTATTTTCAATACTAGAAGCGCATACGGCCTCTGCGGAGTCCTCGGCAGAGGGGAGCCAGTCCCTCTTGGGCCGACTTTCTGGCTTGCATGGGTTGCTTCGTTCAGGCGATGATTCAGACTTGGGCCGCCAGCAGCTGCAGACGCTCTACATGCGCGTGATTTTGAACGTTACCAACAGCAACTCGACCCTCTGCGACGACTTCGCGACGACGGAGCTGGTTGGAGGACTGGTTCACATCGTGCTGGCCAAATTCGGTGACTTGACGGAAGACTCGCTCGCCCAGGAGAACAATTCTCTGGATCGGGTGATTCTCGCGCTGGGCACTCTGATCAATCTAACGGAACAGAGCCAAGCAGCACGGGGCCATTTTCTCAACCCGGCATCCCGGCCCAAGTCCTTTCTCAACCGGCTACTCCGGTTATTCTTGGCTCATGTGGATTCGGTTTCCAGCGTATGTTTGACTTGTCTGGCCTGTGTGGTTGAAGCTTACCAAATGCTCTAGGCTCATTCCGTGGTGGAGGTACATCATAACGTTGCCGTCGGGTATCTCGCCGTGCTCCTGCTGACCCTGTGTCTGAACCCCGAGGCGCGTTCACGGATCAAGGGGAAGGAACTGACGAGGATTAAGTCCACGGTGGACGAATTCTTGCAGTATCACCAAAAGATCGAGTCCCGTGAAGCGGCGAGTGGATTTCTGGTACGATTGCAGGCGCTGGTCAAACAGATCCAGCAGATGGAAGCGTTGGATGAATAGTTGAATTGGATGATGATACCCATGTCTTTTGTACCGAATTAGCCTATCTATCTACTACCTTCATCTTTGACATCGAATAATTATTATTTTACTGCTCGGGGTATATTTTGTTTGCACCGTTTGCATCTCCCCAGCTCTTCAGCTGCGATTCGCCACTTGCTCCGAGAGACGCTCTCCCTGTCGCCCTCTCTCCTCCCTCTCTCCCTCTCTCACCCCGCCAGTTTATCTTGTCTTCCTCCCATCCGCAATGCCTGCCGCCCCGAAACAGAGGAAGATCGCCATCGTCGGCAGCCGCTCCGTCGGTACGGAATGACCCCAACTGCCATGACGCCCGCTAACTGACCCCCGCGCCTTAGGCAAATCGTCGCTGACCGTGCAGTTCGTCGAACACCACTTCGTCGAGAGCTACTACCCGACAATTGAGAACACATTTAGCCGGATCATCAAGCATAATGGCCAGGACTATGCGACGGAGATCGTCGATACCGCCGGACAGGTACGGAATATCCTTGCGGAGATACAACAAAACTGACTGCCCTCCCAGGACGAGTACAGCATTCTGAACTCCAAGCACTTCATCGGGATCCATGGCTACATCATCGTCTACTCTGTCACCTCCCGCCAATCTTTTGAGATGGTGCGAGTCATCCGGGACAAGATCTTGAACCACCTTGTACGATCGGCCCCCTTCCCATAATTGTATAACTACTCTAACCATCCTTCCAGGGAGCGGACGAGGTTCCACTAGTCGTGGTGGGCAACAAGAGCGATCTCAAGCCCGAACAGCGACAGGTCACACTGGACGAGGGCCGGCAGCTGGCCGAGGAGGTCCACTGTGCCTTCACCGAAGCCAGTGCCTTCCTGGACTTTAACGTCTCGAAAGCGTTTGACTTGATTATTGCGGAGATTGAAAAGTCACAGAACCCGTCCCAACCCACGGGCGGGAACAAGTGCGCTTTGATGTGATTGATGTCCCTTTTCCTTGATGATTTCCACTGGAGGCGTTGCTTCGGGAATGGAGGGACTTCGTGTTTGTGTTTTTTTTTCTTTTTCTTTTTCTTTTTCTTTTTCATTTGCACTGGAAGGGATCTGAACGATAATAATGATTTTAGAGTGTATTGCATAGAATCAATCCATTTGATATACGTTAGTTAGTTCCTGATGCTTACCTAACGGCCCTGGTTCTTCGCTCGGGCCCTCTTGTTCTTTTTTTCCCCTCCACAATCATCCCTGCCCCACGAACGCGCCCCAACCATGCTGGACCTCGCTGATTTCATCGCCGAGCGCGGTGGTGATCCCAAGAAGATCAAGGAGAGCCAGCGCAAACGATTTGCCCCCGAGGAGGACGTGGACACAGTCATTGCTCTCTATGAAGAGGCCCGCCGAGGTATGTTGTCGGCCTTGTGACTCAGAGTGGGCGCACTCACCAACACATACTTGTAGCACGATATGAGGTTACGCAATTTGGCTCGCAACTCAATGCGCTGATGAAGGAGATCGGCAAGAAGAAGAAGGTAAAGCCCCCCTCCCTCGTATGTTTGACTTATGAAGTGTCTGACCCGCCGGTGCAGAACAAGGAAGACGCGAATGATTTGATTGAGCAGAAGGCTGGTCTGGAGAAGCGCAAAAAGGAGGCCGAGGAGCTTGCTGTTCAGAAAGAAACGGAAAGAGACCGCCGCATTCGCGTTATCGGGAACTATGTTCACGACTCTGTCCCTATCAGCAACAACGAGGTAAGGCGAATTCTCCATCACGCTGCTGTTGATGCTAATTGTCTCCCTGTGGGTGTAGGATGACAACCAAGTGATCAAAACATGGGCACCAGAGAATGTCGCTGTTGAGAAGCGAGACTGCCTGTCCCACCATGAAGTCCTCACTCGCCTGGATGGATACGACCCGGAACGCGGCGTCAAAATCGTTGGTCATCGAGGCTACTGCTTGACTGGTTACGGATTGTTCCTCAACCTGGCGCTGGTCAACTACGGACTAGAATTTCTTTTCAACAAGGGGTACAAGCCAAACCAACCCCCTCAGTTTATGCTCCGCGACCTTATGGCGAAGACCGCTCAGCTGGAGGACTTCGATGAGGAGCTCTACAAGGTCACCGAGGGTGAGGATAATTCGACCGACAAGTACCTCATCGCTACCTCCGAGCAGCCATTGTCCGCACTACACGACAGCGAATGGTTGCAGGAGAAGGACCTTCCGATCAAGTAAGACCGCCTTGCCTCCATCTCTCTCGCGCAGATTCTGATAGCCCTATTAGGTATGCCGGTTATAGTACATGCTATCGAAAAGAGGCAGGTGCCCATGGCAAGGACGCGTGGGGCATCTTCCGTGTCCATCAGTTCGAGAAGGTGAGTTTGTATTCCAAGGACAGCCTGTCTCCCGGATTCTCATATTATGCAGATCGAGCAGTTTGTCCTGACCAAGCCCGATGACTCATGGCAAGCGTTTGAGGACATGATGGCCACTTCGGAGGAGTTCTACAAGTCCCTTGGGCTGCCGTATCAGATTGTCGCCATTGTCTCCGGTGCGTTGAATAACGCTGCATCCAAGAAATACGACTTGGAGGCCTGGTTCCCATTCCAAGGCGAGTACAAGGAGCTTGTCTCCTGCTCCAACTGCACCGACTATCAGTCACGAAACCTGGAGATCCGGTACGGCGTGAAGAAAACCACCGATATCAAGAAGACCTATGTGCATGCACTGAACGCGACGCTGTGCGCAACCGAGCGGACGCTTTGCTGCGTTTTGGAGAACTATCAGACCGAAGATGTGAGTATTCTTCTTTCCATGTAGGTTTCGTTCTAATCCATTGGCTATCTAGGGTTTCATCGTTCCCGAGCCCTTGCGGAAATATATCCCTGGCGCTCCCGAATTCCTTCCATTTACCAAGGAGCTGCCGAAGGACACAACCTCCCAAAAGGCCAAGGCCAAGGGCAGCAAGCCCGCGGATGAGGCGGCGAGGAAGATGCAGAACCTCCAGGTGTAGTAGGGTACTTTCTGTGCGCAGAGTAGCACTGTCCCAAGGGAGTGGTAATTCCATAATCACCTCCTAACTATGTCTCTCGACTCAATAATGACCCACATCGCCAAAGTCCCAAAGCTCGTATTGTTCTAGGAGAGAGCCTTTCCGCGTTCATGTTACTTTGATCCACGAGAGTACTGTACCTTGGAATATTCTTTCATGTATACTTCTGGCTGCTCAGGGCACTAAGGGTCCAAGCACTCGAGGATGATAAAGTAGATTGCCACCCTATAGGCCATTCCAAACCCCAGCTTAAGTACCTGCTCATTGGCCGGCCTATATTCACACACAGTCCATTTATTCCGAGCGACTCCCGAAGGTCCGGAATAAATGGAATTTATGAAGGGACCGGCCAACTCATCAAGGGACCGGTTAGGTATTGGCTGGCGTACACAGCCCTGAAGATATATTGACGTTCCATGCCAAGGAATAATAGCGGACAATCCATCTCCGACAGAGCATAGTCAACAAGCAAGACCTCCTCGGGGCGTCGATCCCCGAGTTTGTCTTCGATGGCTATATCCTTCGGAAATTTTTGTTCTGTAGCTCACCCAATTGAGCTCGGGCGTCTAGGGAGGGTGTCCACGAGACCGTGCTATGTGTACTATGTTACCGGTGAGCGATATATAGGGTGCATCCACTTCTGTATTGAACCGTTGTAAAAGTGAGTATAGATGAGTATAGGGTCTGGCCTCTAAGTATACCCCACGTTTTCCCCGGATTTAGTTATTGTTTCGTAAATAGTTTCTTGGCTGGTGGTCATCAACTTGTAGAACTGCACGGAGATCTCCTCGCCCGAGAAGAGATCTGACCGCCCGCGAAGCACGAGGGCCTCGTAGTATCATTGGCCTACTATTTGATATTGGTCTTCATATAAAGCCTCCTTCCTCGTTCGAATAGACCCTGAAATCTCTGTTCTCGAAAGAAATACACTGCCTACTTTTACACCTTTTACCCCCTTTTTCTCCTATATTTGCGTTCAATTGCAACCGATCAGCGTCACGACTGAAGTCAATGAGAAATTTGGGGACACTCTCCGTCCAATCAAGACAGCAGAGAGTGTTCTTCTGCCAGTTCCCCGGGATACATTTGAGAAGCTCTATCTGAGTCCTAAGCACCCCTGGACTGCAAGTGACCTACGCAAAAAAGTGGGCAAACCCAATCGCCTTGATAGGGTTCTTACTCGCAGTAACACCAAATGCCTGTATCGTGATGGGCTGGCGAGGAGCAGGTGGCGGCTGGGGCGCTATTATGTATGAGAGCGTCGTTCCACCCCGACCCACGCAAATGCTAACCTGTCTCTAGACCTGTATGTATCTTCTTTGGGGGCTTTGTACAGATACTATGGTCAGTTGGAGAGTGGCTCATTGAGAATACATTTTCAAGCCCTCCTGGCTCTCACTCTCCTCGTCATCGCGTTGGAACTATTCGCTGGATCATATTTTCAACTGGCCTTAGGCGAGGCAGCACTGGCAGAGAAACTTCAGCATGTAAGTCCTATGTTTCGTTGTAGGACATTAAGGCACATCTAGGGAACAGGGGCTGACGATAAAAGTTTATTATAGATCGGGGGTGCTTTTGCTTTCGCTCTTTGCATGCCTATCTGGTACATACTTGCACCTCACCTTCTGGAGGCAGTAGACTTCCCGATTGTCCTTCCTGTTGGTGATTTGAATACAATTGTGTTGGGAAGGTCTCAAAAGGCGCGGGAACACGAGGAATAAATGGGCCTTTGGTATTCCCAAATAACCATAGATGGAAGATATGTCAAATGATAGCCAGCACAAACTTCTGGGACATACATCGTGGACAATGCAGGATAGTCTCAGTGGTCTCAGCCGTGGCAAATAAGACAAGAAAGCCCTAACTTTTTGACAGACCTGGTAAGTTCTATACTTTGCAGTTAGTAGTTAGTTATTCAATCCTGGAAGAAATACTTAGTCAGCTCATTCCGTCATTGCGGGACTTTTCAATTGGCCAATCCCTTTTTTTTTTTAAAAAAAAAAATACCTAATCGATAAAAAAAAAGTGCCCCGCGATACCTCCATCGATTTAGGAGAAAGTTGCACGCACATATAGGAGATGCATATCAATTAGATATATTTACCAGGTAGTCATAAGCTATGTATATCATATGTACGATCAATAGGATCAATAATAGTCGATAGTCATAGGTCGCAACACCGTAAGAGTCACACTCCGATTCCGGCGATCAGGAGCTTATCTAATGGCCCACCTGGAACAAGAAACACAGCGTCGAGTCATTTCTTCTCCTTCTTCTACTTCTTCTTTTTCTGCCTCCTTCTTAACGCACCTTCGCTATGGCTTCTGCAAAGGAAATCCGTCCTCGCCAGGATCTGCCCGTACACGCCCTCTCCACCTCACCCTCCGCCTCTTTCCATTCCTCGGCCGGCAGCTTCAGTTTGGCCGGCAGCTTCGGTTTGGCTGGTAGAACAATTCCTCTGGCCAATGCAAAGCAACTGAAGCCATTCGCGACCAAGGATATCAAGGTTCTGCTGCTGGAGAATGTGAACCAGGCTGGCCGTGATATCCTCACCCAGCAAGGCTACCAGGTCGAATTCCTCAAGTCATCTCTCCCGGAAGACCAGCTCATTGAGAAGATTCGGTAAGCCGTGATCAATTGCCATCGCTGGAAGTAGCCAGGCTGACCTTTTGGGGGATAGGGATGTGCATGTTATTGGTATTCGTTCCAAAACGAAGCTCACCGCGCGGGTACTGAAGGAAGCCAAGAGCCTGATCGTGATTGGTTGCTTCTGCATCGGAACGAATCAGGTTGACCTTCAATATGCCGCCGAACAGGGTATTGCGGTTTTCAATTCTCCGTTCAGCAACTCTCGCAGTGTTGCAGAATTGGTCATTGGTGAGATCATCGCCCTGGCCCGTCAGCTGGGTGATCGCTCCAATGAGATGCACACCGGCACCTGGAACAAGGTGAGCAACAAATGCTGGGAGATTCGTGGAAAAACACTAGGTAGGTACCTCAGTGGAACAGCTTTGATGAAGAGGTGGCTCATGACAATGCTACAGGCATTATCGGATACGGTCATATTGGCGCGCAACTGTCGGTACTTGCAGAGGCCATGGGCATGTCGGTCATATTCTACGATGTGTTGAATCTGATGGCTCTGGGAACTGCACGCCAGGTGGAGACCCTGGAGGCTCTCCTGGCCGAAGCCGACTTTGTCACTTGCCATGTGCCGGAACTGCCGGAGACGAAAGGGATGATTGGACAACCCCAACTGGAGCTGATGAAGGATGGAAGCTATTTGATTAACGCCAGCCGTGGCACTGTCGTGGATATTCCCGCTTTGATTCATGCCATGCGCAGTGGCAAGATTGCCGGAGCTGCGCTGGATGTGTATCCCAATGAACCAGCCGGGAACGGTGACTACTTCAACGACGATCTCAACATGTGGGGCAACGATCTGCGCTCCCTCAAGAACCTGATCCTGACTCCGCACATCGGCGGAAGCACCGAAGAGGCCCAGAGTGCCATTGGTATCGAGGTTGGCCAGGCCTTGGTCCGCTACGTCAACGAGGGCACGACGTTGGGTGCCGTCAACTTGCCCGAGGTCACGCTACGTTCCTTGACCATAGATGAACCGAACAACGCTCGGGTGATCTACATTCACCGGAACATCCCTGGTGTCCTTCGAAAAGGTGAGAGTTGAAAGGTAATGATTCGGATGCCGACAACGCTGACTCCTTGCTACAGTGAACGAAATCATCGGCGACCACAACGTGGACAAGCAGATGACCGACAGCCGTGGAGATGTATGTTGAAACCCCTCCATGCTATGATAGTTCCAAGATTAACCGTGATTTAGGTGGCTTATCTGATGGCTGATATCAGTAACGTGGATACTGCCATCATCAAAGCCTTGTATGAGAGCCTGGAGAGCCTTTCCTGTATGATCCATGGACTTTCGCGTCGATATAAATTCCTCGCTAACTGTTTGCCAGCCCGAATCATGACCCGGATTCTATACTAAATCATTGGGATTTGATGACACTGTTTGCTATTAATCAACTTAGCCCACACGGACCAACTTTGTTTCATTTTCAATTGGACACTTTCAACTAGGTCCACATGGAGAGATTCGCATATGCAAAATATCTACGAGTGATATGGGTGGAAAGTTCTGCATGGTGAGACAGGCTTCCGAAGGATATATCCAGGCCAGATTTAGACAAAAGTCGTGACATGAATAATAATTGATTTCATCTAAAAGTACAAGAACTAAGCGCCCCGTACACCTTGGCTTTAGGGTAGACTGCATTGTACACTGATAATGTGTTGGAGGCTCACAGGCCAGCGACCATCCATCCGACGATGGTGGTGTGCCCAATAGCAAGGCATGCGATGGTTGGATGGTTGTGCTCAAGTCTTACCCCCTTCCCCCTTCTCGATAGTTGGGGCTGCGACTTCGTCTCCTAGGCGAATGGTCCCGGCGAAAATCGTGTCGATCCGTCGACCGCCTGTCTGAATTCGAGTGCGAATTGTACCCGCCGGAATCGCGTGGGCGGTCGTGAGAGCCACCGTAGCTCGGTACATAAGAGTCCAAATTTCCAGAAAATCGGCCGCCGGGACGATTCGAGCCGTATCGATCCCGTCGGTCATCTCTCTCAGATGGTCTGGTAGGTTGTGATCCATTCCAGTTCGGCTGGTTGGAAGTAGGAGGCTTCGCCGGGAGCCCACCATCTCTTTGTTGCGGGAAGGGCCCGCGCCGGGGAGCGTTGCCGTGGCCCCCTGATGGGTTTGGCCTGCCACCACGAGCAGCACCAGGAATTCGACTATTTCTCGGCTCTGGTCCGCGAGGGCCACTCGCCCAGCCGCCATTGGAATAACTGTCTGTAGAGCCACCCGGAGGAGCAGGAGCAACGGGCGGGCGTTGATTCCGAAATTTCTTCCGGTCAAATTCGTGAGAATCTTGGAAACGCGGGAGCTCGCCGGGATTCGCAGGCAGCGGTGGTGTGGTGAAATAGGGATGTTTCAACGCATCTATAGCATTGATTCGTTTTCGCCAGTCGAGTTTGAGAAACTCGCCAAGCAGGGAAATGGCCGTGGGACTTAGTCTATGGCACTGTTAGAAAGCTCATGCTCTCAAAGGGACAACGACGGGAATGAATATTGACATACTCCTTGAAGACTTCGGCAAGATTCCCACGCTTGTATCCAAAGTTTTTCACACCCTCACAGCCGGGAAGTGAACTCCACCCGGGCATATTCTCTTCCGTAGGGGTTCCCACGAGACTGAAGATCAGCTGTGCCTGATTGAGATCACTACTGCCGGAGAGAATGGGGCTCCCCTTGAACATCTCACCAAACACGCATCTAGAACTGTGAGAACGCGAGGGAAACAAAATGAGAGGCCGTGGAGAACTTACCCAACCCCCCACATGTCGATAGCAGTGGTGTAGCGTCGCAATTGAAGCAGTAATTCCGGAGGACGATACCACCTTGTGACGACAAGAGCAGTGTACTCTCTTTTTGCCTCTCCGCCGCCCCGTCCAGGTTGAGGGGGAGACTCATCGTAAGGCCGTGCAAGTCCGAAATCAGCGATTTGAAGAATCCCTCCATTGCTGATTAGCAGGTTCGCAGCTACCCCAGAAATCAGTTCCGATAAAGGCAGAATTGAACTTGGTACGGCTCACCTTTCATGTCGCGGTGTAAGATGCGGCTCTGCAATTCTGTCAAAACAAGCTTTCTCTTGATGGGAACCGAGATACCGTACCGCATGCAAGTACCGCAATCCTTCGAGGAGTTGCTTCAAATAGCATTTGATCTGCGGCTCGCTGAATTGCACCGCTGGGTTTTCTAGGAGTCCAGACAGGTCATGTTCTAGGTAGGGCATGACCATGTACATGCTAGGCTTCTTTTGCCTTTCGCCTGCGATGGAAGTCAGCCCATCGCTTCTACAAAGCCAACAATGAAGCGAACCTTTGGTTCGCTCAATCGCCATCTCTCTGAGCTGTAGGATGTTCGGGTGAGAAAGCGCCTTCAAAAGCTTGATCTCTCGAATCGCAGTGATCGGAAACTGAGATGAATAAGGTTAGGCCCCGACGTCGTATACAGCAGAGACAGTGCACTTACACCATCCTTTTCATTGTGCATGAGAATCTTCTTCAGCGCCACAAGCGAGTTGTCTTTTCTTGACTTCGCTTTATATACCTCCCTACCAAGACGTCAGCCGCCTGAAACATTCCACAATATCCCAAGCCACCACCTACCCAAAGGTCCCTTCGCCCAGTTTGCCCACAAGTTCAAAGTTGTGGATGCTCGAGCATCCAGGGAACCGAGGCTGGCCATTGCTGTCATTCTCGAGGGATTCAATCCCCATATTTGCTCCAGTTAGCCTCAGATAACTAAACCGAAGTGCGTATTATGCGAGAGCAGGATGACCCTAGGATCGCGTCGAGGAACGGCGCGTGTTCGAACGGGTGGGTTTTCATGAGATCAGATTGAAGTCGGAGTATCGTCGATGCACCGAGTCAGCTGGATCGGGATGGGTCGCGGCGACAAGAGTCCTTGAAGGGACCGATCCACTTCATAGTAAGAAGGAGGCGCGAGAAGATCGAGTGGGAGGGAGAGCCAGGAATGGCTCTGTCGGGAAAGCAATGAAAGAAGTCGAGGGACGGGACTTGGCCCGGTCACGTGCTGCCTTCGTTCATCCGGGCGACTCAGCAATCCGTCACTCCATTCACTTCTTCCTCTCCCGCTTCGACTCCAACCCATCTCCGACAACGTCCATCCAACAGTATGTTACCACCTCCATTTTTTGCACAAGGCTGCGACAGGACAAATGCTGACCCTACACTTATCCGCAAAGGAATGGCGGGCAATTCACACCACCCGATTCATATCCACCCGGCCCGTCCGCTCTATCGGTTCACGGCAACTGCCCTGGGCGCGAGCATGTGGTTTTTTGTATGCAAACCTCTGGTTCTTCACATCATAATTGCTACTGACCCGGGATTCTCCATTTAGCTCATGTACCGCGCCAAGAAAGACGGGCCTGCCCTGCTAGGTTGGAAACACCCTTGGGACCACTGAACATCGATTTAATTATTACGACCCTGGCCATCAGCTACATCAGTTTACGCCTATCTCCATTCAAAGATCCCAATCATACTCGCACCCATCGATTCTGCGGACGGGAAGACAGTGTGGCACGGTTCCGAATCCCAGGTCGTTGATTATTCTGCCTTTTGGTGTCCATTTTTCTGTACTGCAGCCGGAGTGTATCATACCAATTCTCAGTCAATTGATTTAAAATGTCTCATTTCCGACAAAAACAAAAAAGGAAGTGGCCGATGATGGCCATTTCACAAACAAGATTTGTACATCTATGATTCTATGCGACGGACGGTATAAAATACAAGGGGATCCATCACATGCCCATCTCCTCGCGAAGAATTTTATACTCACGACGCTTCTTACGATAGCTTGGCCGTAAACGCGTGTTGGCGTAGCCGAGGAACCGTGCCAAATACGGAAAGATGTTTCTCTCCGCTATCCAAGCCACGAAGAAGGCGCCAAGCGCAAGGGCAAGCAACCACCCTTTGAAGCCGTCGGACATGAATGTCAGCTGCATCACTTCCAACACCCACTGTGATGGACGGAAGAGCATATAGCTGGCAATCAAAAGATCCACAATGATGGTGCAAAGAAGCGGAGCTAACTTCGTGTCAGTGTATATAATTCAAAAGTATCATTTGTTGTCGCTGCTCACTGTTCAATCGCAATGGCTTCCGGAATGGCGGCCCCACACTAAGTACGATACTAGCCAAGATGTACTGGAAGCATGAGAACAAGAACAGTGAGGTGTTCTCCGAGTTTTCAATGCTACTTTTCTCCAGGTCAATCCGGGGAGGCTGGAACCTGCGAAGGGTGTTAGGAACAATCCATGACACAAGATGTGGCTGGTGAAAGGCCACTAACCAGGGCTGGTATTGGACGGTTTTGAATATTGCAAGTTGAGACAGAATGACAATCGAGATCTGTCCCAACAATGGTGTCAACACCTTCCGCGAAACCAGGTCTGCAGTTGGGCGCTTCCGGGAGAGCGCGGGATAAGGACCCGTCCAGCCCACTAGTTTGTCACAGTCAGCAGGTCCAAGCATAAAAATGGAAGAGTGATACTCACTGAAGATGGCAAGTGGAAGAATGAGGGCGAGGTCGATGAACAGGAACTAGCAAGCGATCAGTGTCTTCTTAAAGTGATTTCCTCCTTTCGTCACTTACTTGAAAGTCACCAAGGTTGGACGCCGAGGTATAAAGAAAACTGACAGTGGAGAACTGAATCGCCGAGTAAAGACTCATATACTTGAAGCAGCAGAAGCTTGTCACCAACGCAGCTCGGCCCTCCCTAGTATAATGAGCGGCTGTCCATTGAAACTCAGATCTCTTGTAATGAAACTCACCGAATCAATGTTGGGACACAGGATATTTCAAATTGGCGACTGGTGAAGGGCGCAGCGACAGATGCCTCGGCGTCCGACAGCGAAATGCCAACATCAGCTGCTTTTAATGCACCGCAATCGTTTGCGCCATCACCGCAGAAACCACAGCAATAATCAATCGACTGCAGTTTTTCCACCAGCTCGTGCTTTTCATCTGGTGACATCCTAGCGAACACTTTGCCGCAAACAAGCATCTGAGCCGAGCATGAGTACTCAGAAACAGCAATGGCAATGGTTGAAGGATCAAAGAGCAACTCACCCTCTTCAGAACATCCTCACTGCCGAAATCGATCACCCATCGGAATACGTCTCCAGTGACTGCAACACAATATTTGTGCTCATGGAAAGCATTCCCCGGCACAGACAAGTCCTCTGCAGAAAAGTCCAAGGGCTACTTCTCTATTAGAAAGAACTGAATAACATGCTGCAGAGAGGGGAAGCTTACCAAGAGAGTCATTGCGTCCAATTTGAGGTCTGGATTGTCAACATTTTCCCAACAAAGGGAGGTCTTGGAATCAGGGCCAGCATCTTCACTTTCGGTTAGCATTACGGAGGGATACGATGCATTTTGGAAGAACCGACCATCGACGAAATGCGGCATGTAGCACGGTTCATCTGGGCCCACCATGTTGCATTCACGTGCAACGCTGATTGCTGTCAGGATATTGTCGCCTGTGCACATGATATTCCGAATCCCGGCCCTGTTCAGCTCAGAGATCACGCTGGAGGTACTGGGTTTCAATTTATTTTCGAAAATGATGAAGCCCACGAATTCGAGGTTGCATTCGACCTCAGCCCGAGTCAGTTTCTGGATCTTCATCCAGCTGAGTTTCCGTTCATATTTGGTGGCACAAGCAATAACACGGAAGCCTTTGTGAGTGTAGTGGTTGAGAAGGTCTTCGTAATCGGACGGGACTGTCGATTCATTGAGCTATAATGCATGTGGATCTGAAGCAGATCATTGACTTACGGCTTTCGGGCACACATATCTCCCGAATACTCTCCGGTGCACCCTTGACGAAAACATTGACACCGTTGTCTCCGAAATGCCTGACAACCACGCTTGCACGGCGCAACTGGGAAACAAACTCGAAGTTTCGAAGAACTCCAAGCTCTAGAGGATCCTGTAGTAGAATTTTTTTTTTAGCAACACTTCTCTGGTCTGTGCAGAAGAAGGACGATAGACTACTCACATTGGAGTTGTTCGGCTGGTGGCTGTTAGGATATACTGGGAAAGGTGGCTTTGCCACGGACGGTGCTATCGTGTCATATTTGGGGTTTGTATGCTCCGAGACATGACCGCCTCCCTCCTCATACGACCAACCTGTAAATTGAAACATCTTGATATCGAGAGGATCGCCGAGTAATTCATCATCCACAACTCGGAGGGAGTGACATGTGGCCATGGTGTATACAATCTTTCTCTGTTTATCAAGATCGTATGCGGTGTCAGCGTCCTGGGAGGGAATAAGGAACCCAGCTGATGTTTCCGACAGCAAATCCGAAAATCTGCAGTCCATTCCGTTATCATTCATGAATCTTGTCTTGATGAAATAGGGGCCTTACCTCTGTTTGGTAACAACCGTCCTCGCCCCAAGTACATCCAGCCCATCTTCAGTAAGGGTTCCTGTTTTGTCAAAACAGACAACATCAAGTTTTCCCCCCACATTGACTCTATCGTTTCTGATTAGTCTTTTTTCTTAGGGGAATAGATATATCAATCTTACTTCTGGGGGCTGATGCAAAAGATATTCTTTTTTTTGAGACGCGATAACGCAAAACTCGTTCCAATGGTGAGGGTTGCTGGCAGAGCTGGCGGAACAACAATCGTGATCAAATCGAGTGCTCGGACAATGATCAAATGCCAGGCAAGCTTTCTGTTGTTAGCATCTGAAGCCCCCTACTTTGGGGCCTACTTACACCTAACCGGACAAAATTGACAAACGAAGCAATGAAGCCAAGAAGAGCAACCATTGCCATGACCGCGATATACCGAAAAGAATCCCGGTAGAATTTGAAACCAGAGGGCTTCGGGAAGAGCATCGACCGTACCAAAGCACCCTTCGTGGTGAGGAACCCCGTCCGAGCAACGACTGCAAGAGCAACTGCCTCGTCGTCATCAACGTGCTGAGGTCGTCGTGCTCGAATGACTTTGGTTCCGCTGAAAAGAAAATGTTTCGCCACATGAGGGTGAACGGAGGGTGTACTCAGGTCAAGGCATTTCAGCGCATCATCTGTCAAGGGCGTTTTGGAGACGGGAACGGATTCACCTGCTTTTATATTAGAACAATTTCCGGGGCAACACACAGGTGTTCCAGATTACAGACCAGTGAGCATGCTTTCGTTGACAATACAATCGCCCGACAACAGGATACAATCGCATGGAACTTGATTCAATGATGGATCGGAAAATTCAAAAACATCACCTGGGACGAGATCTTGAGAAGGAACAGAACGCCCTGCAGCAAATGTGGTCAGCGAAAGTGCACATGTACACATCATCTGACAGGCTATGGAGGACGTGTACTCACAAAATCCATTTCGGAGAACCCGAACATCACATTCAAAATGAGAAATTTCCCGAAGTCGTTGCATCGTCTGTTCAGAACTCAGTTGCGGACCAAGAGTCTCCTTTCCAGTCCAAACTTACTGATCTCGTCTCCAGAACCGTAGCCGCAATGCTAGAAACAGAGATGAGGAAGATACAGACGGCATAGTAGTAGTATTCATCCATCGACCATAGAATCAGACTTGCGACTTGGAAGATGTAGAACGGGTGAAAAGCCTGTCCTTGGTCAGGAGATCTCTGGGTGTTCACTGCGCCACAATGCACGTACCTCATCCACGAGAAGCTGTAGAACACTCTTTTGCTGAATGTCGATGACATTGTGTCCAAAGATCTGCTCTCGGCTGTCACGTTCGTCGGCATCCAAGCCTCCTCGCATGACTTTTACGTTCGTCCATGCAGGATCTTTCCAGTTACCTATCAGGCTGAATTTATCCTCAAGTGGATGATAGTAAAAGCGAAGATATCTGTAATCGAGGAAGCGAAGAGATGCCATGGTCGGGTCACTATCTTCGTCCCAGGCGTAACGCAATGAGTCCACGAAGACGGTCGAGAGCGGACGTCCATACGACTGAGCCCCGACATCATGAACAGTGAACTGATTCCATTGGTCCTGAAACCAGTTAGATGAAAAATTATCCACTGGGGATGGAGAGATAGTCACCTCAATTGCGATCCACTGGCATTTCCCCAGAGGCGTTGCCTTACCAATCAACCGAACGCGCCATCGCGGTAACCAATGGAACAGAAGGTAGGCAAACCCCCCGTTAAGATGCACAGGGCAACATAAAGAGCGAATCCGGTGACGCTAGTGGAGAAACCAGCAAAAACAGCGGTCAGGTCCTCCGACGTGATGTAAATTTTCTGGTTCAATCTTGCGCCGGTTCTTCGATCGCGGCCGTAGGAGCTGGCGGAGAGATGACGCGAAAGAAGAGGGTGCTCAACAGAGTCCCGGGACTGCGATAACCGCTTGGACACAAACGAAGACCGGGCCGACTCGAGGTCTGCGTCGCCAAACCCGTCCACGGACATATCCTCGGCTTCACTGGCCATGTCAACCGCATCCTCGGGCGGCCATTCGGCAAAGTCCTCCTCATCCTGAAAGTAAGTGAAGCTGACGGTCGAGTCCTTTCGGGCGCGGCGATGAGCAAATGAGACGACACTTGACGGGATGCTCTCTGAAATGGGGCCGTCAAACACCTAGCCGTCGTGGTTAGTGATTGAACTGCATGGAGGAGCCATGCAAGCGCCATACCTCATTCCGGGCCATCTCAACCTCCGACACGACGCTCACACTAGACACATCAGCAACGGGCAAAGAAAGACGACCCGAAGACAGCTTACCTGCTTCGCACAGAATCCCGCCGACGACTCGCTCTGGGCATCGCGAGATCCATGGGCCCGGAGCCCGGGGGCGACTGCGCACGGCTGGGCATGGTTCTTGGTCGTGTGGGTGGTGCGGGATAGTCACTAGCTTCGGCTAGAGCTCGAGCACGGGGGGGGAGAGAGCTATGAATGCGACCACTTTGGCAGTGGCATGGCAGAATGAGAATCAACCGAATACCGACGACCAGCTGGCACGGTCAGCTGGATGTTGCGTCTTTGGTGACTGGGGATTGACGGAAATCATTCATTTACCGATGGGGCCCTCCAGGACGATCCTTATCGTCATGTGACCGGTTTATCGGGCATAGTTCGGTGGCATCAGAGGGAGAGAAGGAAGAACAATCATAATTGGTAGTTATAATAATATTATGCTTGTTGTTGTATCGCGGCAGCCTTCCTTGAAGGGGCGTTGCAGGGATGCCTTTGGCCCATATCTATTTTCGATCGTTCTAGATCGGGGTGGTGCCTCAGACCCGGGCGAAGCACATTTGAAGAAAAGAAAGATGAATGATGGAAAAGAATCATAATTATACGGAATTCCATACGACTTGGATTCTTTATCCCGATCATAGCCTGGTCATCAACTAGCATTCATAATCGTTGATGGTACTAAAAATGTACATCGGTTCAGATCTGTTGGGTGTCCCGCCAAGGCGGCGCTAAAAGCCCACCATCTCTGCCGTTCTTCTCTCTCTTCTCTTTTCCCCCCCTCCTCCCAGCAGAACTTTTTTTCCCTTGCTTTTGCCCTTCCCACCACCCTCTCTCCACAGCCATGTCGGAGCCCATCAGGAACAAGAAGGCCGACTTCCCGGTCGCCCCGTATGTCTAAAAAAATAATAATCATCAAAATTTCTGTGTGTACTGACGAATCCAGGACCCCGCAAAACACGCCGGCCAACAATGCCCCGATCTCCTCCCACGCCCAGCAGCCCGGCGTCTCCAGCATCACAGAAGGTAAAGTTCATCTCGTCCATCACGATGACACGTCTCCTAACCCTCTACCAGAAACCCTGGACAGTGCCGCGGCCGCCTCGCTTTTCGCCCGAAACCCCGCCCTTGTGTCGATGATCCAAGGCAAACTGGGTCAGCTCGTTGGCCGCTCGTCCGGCTACATCGAGTCCCTGCCTCCCTCCGTTCGCCGCCGCGTAGCGGGCCTAAAGGGCGTTCAAAAGGAACATTCCAAGTTGGAGGCCCAGTTCCAGGAAGAGGTTCTCGAACTCGAGAAGAAGTTTTTTGCCAAGTTCACCCCGCTGTATGAGCGCCGGTCCACGATCATTAACGGTGCGGCGGAGCCGACTGATGATGAGGTGGATGCTGGCAAGGAGGATGAGGAAGAGGAGGCCGAGACCAAGGAGGAGGAGCCCAAGGCGGAGGAGTCTGAGACCAAGGGCATTCCCGAGTTCTGGCTGTCGGCCATGAAGAACCAGGTCTCCCTGGCCGAGATGATCACCGAGCGGGATGAGGAGGCCCTCAAGCACCTCACGGACATTCGAATGGAGTATCTTGACCGGCCCGGATTCCGCCTCATCTTTGTGTTCTCCGAGAACGAGTTCTTCACCAACGAGACCATCTCCAAGACATACTACTACAAGGACGAGAATGGCTATGGTGGCGATTTCATCTACGACCATGCAGAGGGCTCCAAGATTGACTGGAAGGATGACAAGGACCTGACTCTACGCCTGGAGAGCAAGAAGCAGCGAAACAAGAGTGAGTACGCCCATTCCTTCCGTGGCGGCATCTCAGCTAATATGCCTCACGTAGATACCAAGCAGACCCGTGTCGTCAAGGTCAGCATGCCCACCGAGTCCTTCTTCAACTTCTTCTCTCCCCCACAGCCGCCGTCGGATGACGACGAGTCGATTGCCAGCGACATCGAAGAGCGTCTGGAGCTGGACTACCAACTGGGCGAGGATATCAAGGAGAAGTTGATCCCCCGCGCGATTGACTGGTTCACCGGTGAAGCCCTGCAGTTCGAGGAGCTGGGCGAGGAGATGGATCCAGATGAGTTTGAAGATGACGAGGATGAGGACGACGACGAGGATGAGGACGACGAGGGATCTGACCGCGAGGTGGATGACGACTCGGACGAAGAGGATGGCACTTCCAAGCCCAAGAAGGAGGCGGCTGAGTGCAAGCAAAACTAGAACCCTCCGCTGCGATGTGCTTTGTGACGCTTTGCTATGTTTTTTTTTACTCTCTCTCTCTCTCTCTCTCTCTCTCTTGCTCTCCCGTTGATCTCGCCCCCTAATCACTACCCCTACTATCCTCCAATCGAGACTTGACATAATCCGCCTTCTCCGAGTACTTTCCAGAAATCAATCAGTAACTAAGTAGATCATCATACCTTGTAGTATATAGTTGTCCGCCTGCGGCCGTCACATGACCCGAGGCGGTGGGGACGGACCTGGTCAGGGGCTCTCGCTCGCTCGCTCGCTAAATGGCCAGCTGTTAGTGACGGACGGACTGACTTTCCTTTTCCCCTACGCATTACTATTCTTATTCTTCCATCCCTTCCCCCTTCTTTCCTTCTTGTTTCTCTTGACCCGCTATGAGCCGATGAGGGGTCACAGAGCGACCCCTCGTCTTTGGTCTGTTCCATCTTTGCATTTCGCGTCTGTTGCTTTGGGTTGATTGGCCCACCGCCCAGCCCTATTACCTACCTACTACCTACCTGTCTGTCTGGATTGCACTCCGGACCGCTATACTTGAACCGAGCCCGCGTGAGCCATGGTGCACCTCTACGAGGTCGGGACAAGGGCCTGGCAGCCCGACCCGACCGAGGGCTGGTTAGCCTCAGAGCTCAAGGAGAAGAATGTTGATGGAGACAAGGTGTCACTGGTGTTTGAGCTGGAGAATGGCGAGGTGAGTGTCCCGCGGACCTCAAATCCGATGTGTGGGGAGCTAATTGCCCCCCTCCGAACGAACAGACCAAAACGGTCGAGACCACCCAAGACGAACTGCAGCTCGACAACAACCCGAACTTGCCCCCGCTGATGAACCCGGCCATGTTGGAAGCGAGCGAGGATCTGACCAATCTTTCCCATCTGAATGAACCTGCTGGTTTGTCTCCCATCGGACCCGCGATGACCGTCGGCTGATACCCTCCAGTCTTGCAGGCGATCAAGCTCCGATATTCCCAGAAAGAGATATATACCTACAGTGGTATCGTCCTGATCGCGACGAATCCCTTCGCTCGGGTGGACTCGCTGTACGTCCCACAAATGGTGCAAGTTTATGCTGGGAAACAGCGCGCCTCGCAGGCGCCTCACCTGTTCGCCATTGCAGAGGAAGCTTTTGCGTAAGAATACCTTGGTGATAATCTGTATCAAGTGCATTTGGCTTACGCATGTTCGCTACAGAGACATGATCCGCGACGGCAAGAATCAAACGATCGTGGTTTCGGGCGAATCGGGTGCAGGCAAGACCGTGAGCGCCAAATACATCATGCGGTATTTTGCGACTCGCGAGTCTTCAGACCAACCCGGGAAATACACTACCGGCCGGGCAGACGCAATCAGCGAGACGGAGGAGCAAATCCTGGCCACCAATCCCGTCATGGAAGCCTTTGGTAACGCCAAAACCACCCGAAACGATAACTCATCTCGATTCGGTAAATACATTGAGATCATGTTTGACGAGCGGACGAACATCATTGGCGCTAAGATCCGGACCTACTTGCTTGAGCGGTCGAGACTGGTGTTCCAACCTCTCAAGGAGCGTAATTACCACATCTTCTACCAACTGGTGGCTGGTGCTACTGAGGAGGAGAAGCAGGAGCTGGGACTCTTGTCGGTCGAGGAGTTTGAGTACCTCAACCAGGGTGGGGCTCCGATAATCGATGGCGTGGACGACAAAGCCGAATTCGACGCAACTCGCAAGTCCTTGTCCACCATCGGTGTGCCTGGAGATGCCCAGACTGAAATATTCCGTGTCCTCGCCGCTCTGCTACATCTCGGTAATGTCAAGATTTCGGCCACTCGTACGGACTCTTCGCTCTCGTCGGAAGAGCCATCTCTTGTTCGCGCCTGTGAGATGCTTGGAATCAATGCCAATGACTTTGCGAAATGGATCATCAAGAAGCAGCTGATCACCCGTGGAGAGAAGATTACTTCGAACCTGACGCAGCAACAAGCGGTGGTTGTACGGGACTCCGTCGCCAAATTTATTTACTCGAGTCTGTTCGATTGGTTGGTAGACAATATCAACCGTGGCTTAGCCACTGATGAGGTGCTGGACAGAGTCCAAACGTTCATTGGTGTCTTGGATATTTACGGTTTCGAGCATTTCGCCAAGAACTCCTTCGAGCAGTTCTGCATCAATTACGCCAACGAAAAATTGCAGCAAGAGTTCAATCAGCACGTATTCAAACTGGAACAGGAAGAATATGTGCGGGAAGAGATAGACTGGACGTTCATCGACTTTTCGGATAATCAACCCTGCATCGATCTGATCGAAGCAAAGCTTGGTATCTTGTCTCTTTTGGACGAAGAGTCGCGGCTTCCCATGGGCTCCGATGAACAGTTTGTTACCAAGCTCCACCACCATTTCGCCGCCGACAAGCAGAAGTTCTACAAGAAGCCCCGTTTCGGGAAGTCTGCCTTCACTGTTTGTCACTATGCTGTTGATGTCACCTATGAATCAGATGGTTTTATTGAAAAGAACCGTGACACTGTTCCGGATGAGCAGTTGGAAGTTCTGCGGAACTCGTCCAACGGGTTCATCAAAGAAATCCTGGAGACCGCTGCAGCCGTTCGTGAAAAGGACTCCGCTGCAGTTTCTTCCAAACCAGTTGCAGCCCCCGGGCGCCGAATTGGCGTCGCGGTCAATCGCAAGCCTACGCTGGGAGGGATCTTCAAATCGTCGCTGATAGAGCTGATGCACACCATCAATTCCACTGATGTGCATTACATCCGCTGTATCAAGCCAAACGAAGGCAAAGAGGCCTGGAAGTTCGAAGGGCCTATGGTTCTCAGTCAGTTGAGAGCCTGTGGTGTCTTGGAGACTGTCAGAATCAGTACTGCCGGTTATCCCACTCGCTGGACATATGAAGAGTTTGCGATCCGCTATTACATGCTCTGCCATTCCTCGCAATGGACTTCGCAGATCCGTGACATGTGCCACGCCATCTTGCGGAAAGCGCTTGGGGATGCAAATCACCAGAAGCAAGATAAGTATCAGCTGGGTCTGACGAAGATCTTCTTTCGGGCCGGCATGCTTGCCTTCCTGGAAAATCTGCGGACTTCCCGGTTGAACGAGTGTGCGGTGATGATCCAGAAGAATTTGCGGTGCAAATACTATCGGCGCCGTTATCTCGAGGCGCGCGAGTCCATCCTCACCACGCAGGCTTTCGTCAGGGGATTCCTGGCGAGGCAGCGTGCCGAAGAAATCCGCCAGGACAAAGCGGCTACCACGATTCAGAGGGTATGGAAGGGCTCGAAAGAGCGGAAACAGTATTCCAAAATCCGCAACGATCTCATTCTGTTCGAGTCTATTGCCAAGGGTTTCCTTTGCCGCCGAAACATCATGGACTCCATCCACGGCAATGCCGCCAAAGTTATCCAGCGTGCTTTCCGCTCGTGGCGCCAACTGCGTTCGTGGCGTCGGTATCGCCACCAGGTTGTCATTGTCCAAAATCTTTGGAGAGGCAAACAGGCTAGAAAGGCCTACAAAACGCTTCGGGAGGAAGCTCGGGATCTCAAACAGATCTCTTATAAGCTGGAGAACAAGGTGGTGGAATTGACTCAGCATTTGGCGTCGCTGAAGCGCGAGAACAAGTCCCTCGTCTCGCAGTTGGAGAACTACGAAACTCAGGTCAAATCATGGAGAAACCGACACAACACGTTGGAGGCTCGAGCAAAGGAGCTTCAGGCTGAAGCCAACCAGGCCGGTATTACGGCGGCTCGGTTGGAAGCAGTCGAGGAAGAGATGACCAAGTTACAGCAAAGCCATACCGAGGCCCAAGCTACCGTCAAGCGTCTCCAAGAGGAGGAGCGGGCTTCCCGCGAGGCTGTGCAGGCCACCAATGCCGAGTTGGAGCGTCTCAAGCTGCTTAATGGTGACCATGAAAAGGAGAAGTCTGCCCTCCGCCACCGTGTCTCCGAGCTTGAGGAGCAACTTGAGGTTGCCAAGCGGTCTGTGCCGGTCAACGGCCTTAATGGTGATCTCCAGAATGGCGTGCCGCAGACCCCTGCCCCCGGCTTAATCAACCTTGTTTCTACCAAGAAGCCCAAGCCGAAGAGACGTAGTGTGGGTGCTGAAAAGGTCGACACCGGTCGCTTCAGCGGTGCATACAATCCCCGCCCGGTGTCGATGGCGGCTCCTGGCACTCTCGCTCGCGCGGGTACGGAGGGCGCGCAAGGCGCTGAGTCGGTCGAGTATGAACTCGAGGATCTTCTTTCCGCGGAGGAGGATCTGAACGAGGAGGTCACCATGGGCCTAATCCGCAACCTGAAGATCCCCCTCCCAGCTCCACCCCGCCACCCACCGAGAAAGAGGTCCTGTTCCCTGCCTACTTGATCAACCTGGTGACCTCGGAAATGTGGAACAATGGCTTCGTAAAGGAATCCGAGCGGTTCCTGGCCAACGTCATGCAGTCTATTCAGCAAGAGGTCATGCAGCACGATGGGGACGATGCGATCAACCCTGGGGCATTCTGGTTGTCGAATGTACACGAGATGCTTTCATTTGTCTTCCTGGCCGAGGACTGGTATGAGGCACAAAAGACCGACAATTACGAGTACGACCGTCTGTTGGAGATTGTCAAGCACGACCTGGAGAGTTTGGAGTTTAATATCTATCACACGTGGATGAAGGTCCTGAAAAAGAAGCTGTACAAGATGATCGTCCCAGCTATCATCGAGTCACAGTCCCTTCCGGGCTTCGTCACCAGTGAGAGCAACCGGTTTTTGGGCAAGCTCCTCCCTTCGAACAACAACCCGGCCTACAGCATGGATAACCTCCTGAGTCTCTTGAACAATGTGTTCAAGGCTATGAAGGCCTTCTACCTGGAGGACTCCATTGTCACACAGACGGTCACCGAGCTTCTGCGCCTTGTAGGAGTCACCGCTTTCAATGATCTTCTCATGCGGCGGAACTTCCTGTCCTGGAAGCGTGGTCTCCAGATTAACTACAACATCACTCGTATCGAGGAGTGGTGCAAGAGCCACGATATGCCAGAAGGAACGCTGCAGCTCGAGCACTTGATGGTAAAGTTCTCTCTTTGATACTCTTTCTGAGTCCATGACTAACTTCTCATTGCAGCAAGCCACCAAGCTCCTGCAGCTGAAGAAGGCCACTCTGAATGACATTGAAATTATTCAGGACATCTGCTGGATGTGAGTCGCCGCCCCCTTCACGGTCATCTGAGGCCAGTTCGCTTACTCTCTCCTCTAGGCTCTCTCCCAACCAGATCCAAAAGCTCCTGAACCAGTACCTTGTCGCTGACTATGAGCAACCGATTAACGGTGAAATCATGAAGGCTGTTGCGTCCCGGGTGACGGAGAAGAGCGATGTGCTTCTGTTGACCCCCGTGGACATGGAGGACAGCGGCCCGTACGAGATCGCCGAGCCCCGTGTCATTACGGCGCTGGAGACCTACACTCCATCCTGTAAGTTCTTTGCTTCCTTTCTTTTTGGTCTTACTGACTGTCTGGACAGGGCTTCAAACGCCGCGACTGAAAAAACTGGCGGAGATCGTGTCGGCGCAGGCGATGGCGCAACAGGAGAAGCTCGAGCTGGAGAACGGGGCGGTCGAGGAATAGTTCTGTATATTAGACATGATCTCCTTAAGATTTCCTGCGAGCTACGGATTACGACTAGAGTTGACATCTATCTGCGCTGGGCCTGGATTTCCATGGCCTTCTTCACTGGATCGTTTTCTGTGTACCTTCAATGTAGTCTCACCAGGCGGTGCCGGGGTGAGTGGATCCCGCCCGCCCAGAACACACATTATTATTCCTTTTCCTCCCTTCGATCTGGATCCAGCCATCATGTCGCTGAAAAAGCTCAACTTTATCACGGGCAACCAAAACAAGCTCGCCGAGGTGCGGGCCATCCTCGGCAGCGTCATCGAGGTCGACAGCCAGGCCGTCGACGTGCCCGAGATCCAAGGGACCATCGAGGATATCGCCAAGGAGAAGGCCCGGCGCGCCGCAGAGGCAGTAAGTAGTGATGAAGGAATACATGCCAGTAAATACTCTCATTGACACGAACGCTAGATTAACGGGCCTGCCTTGACGGAAGACACCGCGCTCGAGTTCCACGCGCTCAAGGGCCTCCCGGGGCCGTACATGTACGTATGTCCCACTTCCCTTGGAACAGTACCCAGAAACTGATGCAAACCAGCAAATCGTTCCTGGATACGTTGGGCCATGAAGGCTTGAACAAGATACTGGACTCGTTTGATGACCGCGGCGCTGAGGCTGTTTGTACATTTGCTTTCTGTCGGGGTCCGGGCGAGGAGCCTATTCTGTTCCAGGGCAGGACGAAGGTAGGGCATCTTTCCTGTCTGGCTACTCGGGGGATTGACTAACTATCTGTGATGCGCAGGGTGCCATTGTGCGTCCCAGAGGCCCGGCCAACTTCGGTGAGTCTGATTGATTTCCGGAACTGGCATGTACTAACTTCGCCAGGGTGGGATCCCATCTTCGAGCACGAGGGCAAGACATATGCCGAGATGGAGAAGGAGGAAAAGGTAACCGAGAAATCCACCCCGAGATTATGAATTATGTGCTAATATCAACCAGAACCGCGTCTCGCATCGGTACAAGGCGCTGGTGAAGCTGCAGCAGTGGCTGGGCCACCAATAGTAGATAGATCGGATGGAATTTCAGTCCGCATTCTGCTCGGCCTGCGTCTTTTTCCAGGTGTCCACCCAGGTCGTAATCCGTGCACAATTGCTATCCACATCGTCGTCCTTCTCGCTGTTCAACTCAACCACGATTTCTTCCTCGAACGCCTCGCGCGCTTCTTCCAGCAGAACCCCAAAGATCTCCGCGTCGAGATTTTCCTGTAGTTTCGCTTCGTGGTAGCCCCTAAAGATTGACCTTTTAGTACCGTCAAATCCACTGAAATGATTCGGAGGGCCTACCTTGAAGAAAGACGGTCATACAGAACTGACGTCGACGGGCAGCGAAGCACCACCACGAGATCAATCCAGGACTTGGGGAAGAGGTCGCACGCATGCCAATCGATCAGATAGCCGCCCTGCAGCACTTCATCCTCGATCGCATCCAGCAACTGAACGGTCAGCGACGGGACGGGCTCCGCGAGGAAGGGGAGTTACCTTGTCCTCATCCACCACCCAGCTCTTCCGCTCATCATCGTAGGTCTCGTAGCAGTCGCGCTCCTTGGCGACCTGGTTGATGGACAGGTGTTTCAGTCCGAGGTCCTGGGCCAGTTGTTCGCAGTGAACGGTCTTGCCCACCCCGGGGGTTCCGGTGATGATCACATTCGGAGCGGTGCGCATTCTTTGGGGCTGGGGGAAGTGACAAAGGAAACGGTGGTGGAGGGCGAGGATTTCCCCGGATCAATTTGTCGGACGAATTTTGCGGCCGCTTATCTTATCGCCACGATTCTCGGTCTACACTTTTCCGTACTTGAGAGAAAGATTATTACCATGGATTTATTTTCTAAGGGCTGCAAATGGGTGGACTGAGCCTATGTAACCTCAGGTCATTAGTGATTTTGCGGAATCGGTGGGCTGCGGACTCACTTGAGCAACTCGAAGTGTTTGTACTTCTGCAGGTATGCCGTGCCTCGTCGGTATGCCTTGAGCAAACGAGCCGGGTCGTTTGGCTTGGTATAATTGCCAATGATTTTGTTCATTGCCGGTGACGTCTTGAACATCGGATCAAATACCAGCAGGTTGGCGCTGCCATTGTCTCGGATCTCGAACCCAACAATGGTCATGGAATGTCCTGTTCCCTGCATCAGAGGTGGTATTTCAGAGGAAAGACATTGATAAGTCATTACCTTGGTGCTGGAAGTATACGGGTGGTAGGTCCGTTGTAAATACCTTGGTCTCTTCATCTTCAAGGGAACACGCAGACCGGTAATAAGATGCCACATCCATGTAAAGCGCATCGTACGCGCGCATGTCCTTGCTCTCGGTGAGACTGCTCGCTTCGCATCTATTCGAGTGGCATTAGCTGGAGTTTTGGGGTCGTAGCAGGATCTGTTGGACTCACTGGATTCCAAGGCTGAGTAGAAGTGCTTGTGCCTATCACGGTGTTAGGCACAGATGGGCATATCAGAAATCCAACTGCAACCAACCTCAGGCGTCCCAATAAATTTACGAGTCCCTCGAATCCCTCCAGTCTCAGATCTTCCAGTACTGTTAAATCCCATATCCCAAGCTTGCTCAATCATATCCTGCAGGTCAAGAATGGTCGGCCCCCTCTCCGGAAAACGCTCATGTCCCAGACTCTTCGTTTTGATGATATACGAAATGAGCATCTGGATGTTCCGATATCCGCAGAACCCGCCCTCTCTCGGCATCTTGCAGATATGGCGGACTTTGGGGCTGCTTAGAAATGCGCGCTGGACGGATTTGTCCTGTTCGCATAGTCGAGACAGCACGGGAATCAGGTGTTCTGTTTCGTTCTCAACTTGTTCGTGCCGGGCAAGTCTACCATCGGGTGTGATCTGGGTAACTCTGGTCTTGTGCCCTCCTTTCTCGAGCATCTTTCTCAGCCATGAAGGCATCTTCTTTTCATGGGCATGGGGGCCCAGTTCTGCACGCTGATCGCTCAGTCAGTGAAAGGCCTTAAGGTCAAACATAGGGGGGAGGGGATTACCCCGAGTCGTCGGACACCGTCCGCTCCGACGACTTGTGGAGGGCTTCGTGGCCGTCCCTGTTTCGCGGTGTTTGCCCGCAGGAAGTCACGCTTTGCACCTCGTTTGTTTCCCTTGCGAGAATCTGGGAAGTCGAGTGGGTCGTCTTCGTCCACGGCGTCATAGTCATCTGTGAACGGGTCGATATGTGGTTGGGATACACCGCCGTCCTCGAGAGCAATCCCTTCTGCGATATGCAAATCCAGGTGTATCGACAGTTCGGCCGTTGTCACCGTCTCACCGCAGCCGTGAGGGCACTCTATGTACTTTTCGGCGGACTCATCACCCCCGGCAGGCGAGAGGGGATGTGATTCTTCTGCAAAGGCCGGGCCCGTCTCTGGGTGGCATAGTTCTATGTGTTGGGCCACGAAATCGACATCGGCGTCAGAGAATGGGCATAAAGGACATGTCGCGATATCGTGAGGGATGTCCATAGTGGATTGGGAGTTTGAAAAGTGGCGGGATGCGCGAGAAATATATATTATACTCCGATCAGGAGACACAACACCACCACCATAGATCAGTAGGTCAAACTACACAATAAGAATAACCACCACGAACCACCCACAGATTAACACAACGCATACTAAGATGTACTTGGGTTACTACTCCGACCCTTCCCACCTCGGCAAGTGGTGCCTGGTGCCTGCCGGAGTCGGCGTGTCACATGACTGCATGCGGCGAATCCCGTCTGCACTGGAACTCTCAATTGATCCTAGAACACGGTTTAAAAAAAGGTGCAGATCGAGAGAAAGAAATCCCGAGTCGAGAGATTTAACCTACGATCGCTACACCAATCCTAGGTGCTAAATACAGTCATCTTCACTGGCGGGGTACCCCCGCGGATGGCGTGATTGGCCCTCCGATATCGTTCCCGTTCTGGGAAGGCGGGAAAAAAGTCGATGGGCCTTGAGTCAGACACCGTCGCACCCTCTTCTCCATACATACACGTGTGCGTCGACACTGCCATGACCATGGATTCCGTTGCCCGCAACCTAGAGGCGAGCCAGAATCATCTGTCGCGCCCACCGCACAGCAATTGGGTCGTGCAAAAGTTCGGCGGTACCAGCGTCGGCAAGTTCGCCTTGAACATCATCGAACAGGTCGTCGAGTACGTTTTGCTCTCTCTTTTTTTTGGCGGCATTTCTGCTATTATGATCCGCATCGCTTACTATTCTCTCCCCCAGACCCAGCCTGGTCGACAACCGAGTCGCCGTCGTCTGTTCTGCCCGAAGCAACTCGACCAAGGCCGAAGGCACCACCAACCGGTGAGTCAGAGTCACACCAGACCCTTCAAATCCTCCAATTCTAACACCCACCAGATTACTACGGGCAGCGCGGGACGCTGGAATCCCCCACTCGCGCCAGTATGAATCCCTCGTTGACGCCGTCCGACGGGAGCACGTCCAAGTCGCCGAGGAACAGGTCAAGTCGCCGGAATTGAGACAGCAAGTGATCACCGACATCAACGAGGAATGTGAACGGGTTCTCAAAGTCCTCGAGGCTGCGCAGACACTGGGGGAGATCAGCGCACGCTGTGTGGACAAGGTCATCAGCGCGGGGGAGAAACTCAGCTGTCGACTGATGGCCGCCTTCTTGCAAGACCGAGGAATCGACTCGCAGTATGTCGATCTGGCCGAGGTGATCGATTTCCCCATCGGCAACCAAGGTCTTGACCAGGACTTTTACAACACGCTGGCTGCCGCCCTCGGCAGGAAGATCGAGGCCTGCGGACATCGAGTCCCCGTGGTCACCGGGTACTTTGGAACGGTTCCTGGCGGGCTGCTCGATCAGATTGGCCGAGGCTATACCGATTTGTGTGCGGCCCTTGTTGCCGTTGGAACCCATGCCAAGGAACTCCAAGTCTGGAAAGAAGTGGACGGCATCTTCACGGCAGACCCCCGTAAGGTGCCCACGGCTCATCTGCTCTCGACGATCACACCCGCAGAGGCGGCTGAGTTGACATTCTACGGCTCCGAGGTGATCCATCCGTTCACCATGGAGCAAGTAATCCGCGCCAGGATCCCAATTCGCATCAAAAACGTGATGAATCCGAAAGGCAGGGGCACGGTCATCTACCCCGACTCCACGGCCGAGCTCGAGCGGACCACTCCCGGGCATGATCCCCGACTGTTCCGGACTCGCAGTCCGAGCTTCATGCAGAGACCCAAGCGACCAACAGCCGTGACCATCAAGCATAAGATCCTAGTGATCAACGTCCACTCGAACAAGCGCTCGCTATCACATGGCTTCTTTGCCGGCATCTTCTCGGTGCTAGATAAGTGGCGCCTGTCCATTGACTTGATCTCGACGAGTGAGGTGCACGTGTCCATGGCCCTCCATTCGGAGATGCCCCTCCTCAATGGCAACGGACGGGACGAATACCAGGTCATTGACGACGACCTGAAGGGGGCCTTGAATGACCTCGGCAGCTACGGGACAGTAGATATCATCCCGGAGATGGCCATTCTGAGTCTGGTGGGCAAGCAGATGAAGAATATGATTGGCGTGGCCGGCCGCATGTTCACCACCCTGGGCGAGAACAACGTGAACATTGAGATGATTTCACAAGGTAAGTTTAAAATCCTTGGTCTGGACCCTGGACCAGCGCTGATCCATCCATAGGTGCGAGCGAAATCAACATCTCTTGCGTGATCGAGGAACGAGACGCCGACCGGGCCTTGAATATCATCCATACCAGCATGTTCACCTTCCTGGATTAGCGTGCGTCGAGTTGAGAGAGTCGTTGTCATTTGAGATATCCCCTTGGTTTTTTTGTGATAGAGAAAAGTGAGCATTGCAGCCGCCCTGTCTCGATGGACGATCGCCGCGAGTCAGGGGCCGATGAGCATCTTTTTTTGCTTCTTTTCTTTGGTGGTGCTTGATGCATGGGCTTGGCGTTTTCCTTTGCTTCCATTCCATGGCGCCTGTCCTTTTGCAGTCAGCCATGATCACTGTAATTAGTCTCTTTGGTTCACGGGCGTTGTGGCATCCAGCATATGCATGATTGAAATGTTTAGATCGAGTTTCTGGTTCGCAAGTAAGGATCACCCGTATGATTAGCCATGGACGGACGCCTGGACCGGATGGCGCTGATCGACCCGGGCGCCATTGACAGCCAGCAAGGGGGTGAGCCGACGCAGGCACTGTCTTAGAGTTGCAGCGATGGCATACCAGGGGATTGAGCTAGCCCATCCCTATGGACGGTCGAGGACTTGCATGCTGGCCCGAGAGAGAGAGAGAGTGTGTGTGTGTGGGTGTATGTGTATGTGTGGGTGTACATGTGCGTATGGTCTAATAGATGCGTGATTGTAATCATAACGACCTAATGCGTTATTCACCACAGTCCAGAAAGTCCAAGTGGAGAGAAGAGATCGTGTTAAAGGATCGACGAATAGCCCGAGGCGCAAGGAGGCTGATCCGTATTGTCATTCATGACAATACCAGCATTCCCAGTCCCATAGTAAAACGCGTGTTGCTTTCGCGTCGCAACCATACCTGACCGTATTGTGCCCTTGGATCCTGCTCATTATTCAGTCCTCGGGCATCAATCATCATCAACTTCTTCCCCCCCCACTTAATTCGATTTTGTCTTCGCACCCGAGAAGTCTGTAGTTGACTGACTTTCTTCCTTGGTTATCTTCATCCCACCAAAACCCAACCCAACTGGACTGGCTCAGGGTGTCTCCCCAAGAAGAGAACAGGATCCCAAGTCCTCTGCGCCCTTTCCCAGCCTGTTCGACTTCTCCCACGCTTACTCTCTTCCCCATTTCGCCACTGTCTCCTGTCTGCCTTGTCGCAGTCGCCGAGCCACTTCCGGATCAGTGGCCCCCTGAACGCTGATTACCATTGACTTCCCGCTACGCGACCTGATTCGCCTGGTCAGATTGCACTTGAGCCATCTTAGCGCCTTGGACCCCCTCGCCAGGTTTCAGCTTCACTCGCCTGGCTGCATCTCGGCCTAAGGCTGCCGCTCCTCGCTCTTGGTCTGCGACAGGTGCCACGTGAATCGTCCGCCTTCTGGATCTCGTTGGACCCTAACCATCGGTTCGATCCTGGTACCCTCGAGGCCGTTGTTTGACGCGTCATATGGTCCCTATTGGCGACTGGTGACGCTCTGCCCTCGCTCCCGGCTGTGCAGACTATGGGATCGACGCGTTCACCAACAGCGCGCGTCCCGTTGAAAGAGACGGGCAAGCCCCGTCTTCAACCCTCACCGCTCCCTCTGCAACCCATCGAGAACCCGTCTTTGAACCCGCCTGCTCGTGGTCCCCACCGGCCATCGCCCACCAAAACACTGCACACCAAGGGCGGCTCGCACCCTGGTGGCAAACTTGGTTTCGTCCCCATCTCTGCCCCGACTCCTCCCATGTTCACCACCGACTCTCCAACGAAGAAACCGTCGTTTCCCATCTACTCCCAACCAACCTCCATGCCGCACTCGGCTCTCTTCACTACTTTCTCCAGTGTCGGCCCCGAATCGTTGAAGGAAAATCACCTTTTAGAAGAGCCGTCCTACGACAACTTCGCTGATTTCCCGGAACCATCCTATGAATCAAAGCTTCCAATGAAGCGAACACTCATGGAAGCAGCGCCCCTGAAGGAGCGCGCGGTGAAGAAGCAGAAGCGTGAGGATGCTACAGTCATGCATCTACCAGAACCGCATGAGATGCCCCCGATTGAGGATGACGGGACAAAACCACCCTACAGCTATGCTACCTTAATTGGAATGTCGATTCTCCGTGCGCTCAACCGTCGTTTGACGCTGGCGCAGATCTACAAATGGATCTCAGACACTTTCTCCTATTACAAAAACAGCGATGCAGGCTGGCAGAACAGCATTCGACACAACCTCAGCCTTAACAAAGCCTTTATCAAGCAAGAACGGCCTAAGGATGACCCCGGAAAAGGCAATTACTGGGCCATTGAGCCTGGAATGGAGATGCAGTTCCTCAAGGACAAGCCTCTGCGCCGTGCCACCATGTCTAGCGTCCCTCTTCCTGCCGTTCCTCTGCGCGATCTTCCACAGCCGCAAAGTGCCAGCACTACGACCTGGATGGTTCCCCCCAGCAGCCATCAGTGCCAAACCCATCCAAGAACGTGGACTTGTCGTCTGATGCCACATTGCCCGCATCTGATCCTGCTCTGCAGGAAGACACGGGCGACGAGGGTGTTCATCTTAGTGCACAACCCACAGGACCACCGCGCTCTTCGCCACCACAGGCCATTCGTTCCTCCCCGCCAGTTGCTCCACCTCGTTTTTCGCGCCATGGTACTCCTCCAACCCCCACGAACCCGGGTTCTGCAATTGCTCCACGACCACGGAAGCGCAAGTCGATCACCATGAACGACAGTGGATATTTCTCTTCATTGGAGTCTTCAGCTCTGAGACCAAACAAGGCTGGTCACATTCTGACTTCCGACTTGGATATTGACCCACCACGCATCAAACGGGGTCGTGCAGAGGAGGAGATTGCGCGAATCCGAAGCTCATCTCATGAAGTTAGCCCTGGCCAATCGGGCAGCCGCAAGGATGCCAGTACGTTGATCGGCTCCTCTCCGCTTCGTGGAGAGTATGTGAGCATGCTGCCGCCGCCGCCGCTTACTCCGGTGATCAAGTTCAAGAAACCTGCGAAACCACCACCTTCCGTGTCTCCTAACACGAATCTTCGCAACCACCGCCGCAAGATCCAGCAGATGGTCAACTCGCCCATCAAGCATCTCGGTCTTACTGACGAGGATTTACCCTGGAGCCCGGCTTTCAACTTGCAGGATGACAGTTACACACCGCACGACCACTTTACCACATTTGATGTCTTTGCGGAGCCAACTGCATCTTCTGCGGCATACGGATCACCCGAGAAGCGCTCCGTGAAACGGGCCCGGACGGATAATGGCAACAACGCTCTTACTGATATCACCTCCGTAAGTGTGAACAGTCGGGCGGGTATGCCGGCTCTCACCAGGTCGAAGTCACTGGTCTTCCCCGATTCGCCATCGAAGATGCCAGATACGAGCCGCCTTGGTGATAATAGCCAAGAGGACTTCTTCTCATTCCATCTCTTCGATGAGAACAATGAAAGCGCTGGCGAAGTAGATGGTGTTGATCTGTTGCAAGGGTTTCAGAAGATTGGCGGCACCAGCAAGGAGGACGCACTCAAGCCAAAAGCACTGCATTCAAGGCCGCACTTGAGCACCCGAAGCAATTCCACTTTGTTCTAAGCCCTTCCACCCCAGTTTGATCTTTTTCTGTTTGACATGATTCATTGGCATTGCTTACCTTCACCCAACCATTTGCTGTGTTTTATTCTTGCGATTTCTGTTTGAAAGTTTTTGATTGGACCGCGGAGTTAGAACCGCGGAGCTTGTTTCCAGGTTGTTTTATTGGGTCTTGGTTTCACTTGGGAGTTCTGAGGCTTATGGCTAATAGCGTCGGTTTTGACTTGTCCTTTTACCGAGCCCGGGATGGCCTGGTCACGACCTTAATGAAAGATGTACATGAGCATGCGATGGCTTTATGACTGGGAAAATCGGGATTGGGATTTCATTTTATGGCGGGTTTGTTTGGCTCGGGAAAACATGGGAATGGGATTGGAGGCGCTCTTGTTTTGATTAATGCAGCTTAGGATATTACTTATCTGAATCGAAGAATTTGAAGTGAAGAAAGGGTATATCCGATTTGACCTGATGAAATTCTAACAAAATGAAAAACACGGGAGAGTAATCCTGCCCAACGCCACCAGCCCGACTCTAATCAGTACTCGCACAGCCTCGACAGCCGCAACTGACACATTGGATGGTTTGATCCTCCTTGAGCTGCGCCTTGGGCACGCGGCATATACACGTAGCGTTGAAATTGGTTTCTTTGGTTTGAACGCAGCGGAGGCAACACAACTAGAGTAAAGTCAGCAGCTGTGGCACACAGGACGAGGGATCAAGATGAGGAAACTGACCTTCTCATAGCCCTGTTTCTTCCACTTGGCAATCAAGTTGGCATCTGCGTAGTTATTCTTAAGCAACCAGTCATACAACTGCTTGGAGATGGCTTCTTTTTCGTAGTAGAGGTCGTAGATGTATCGTGAGCCTGGAACAAGAAGAGGTCAGTTAGGCCCATCACTTCTGCCGCATGGGTGGCGGGTGAATAACGCATACGTTGGTGGCTGATCTGGAAGATAGGCCAGAGCATCTCATGTTTCTTTTTCCCGTCATGCGAGGCATTCTCTGCGTCCTTCATCTTATTGCTGAACTCCAGCAGGGTGTCTTCTAGGTCATCGAAGCCTGCGGGTGGTGGCTTGCGATTACGCGAGCTGCGGATCGGGGGCATGGTGAGAGGAGCGGAGAGGAAGCTGGCGGCAAACTGGCGAAAAGATTTAGTAGAAGGGAAACAAGAAGTGCGACATGCCCGGAGGAGAGGGTGTATGGGCGAGAGAACTGATAGAAACCAAGCACGAAGGAGGGACGAAGGCAAAGCTGATTATCGCATGTCATTTTTGTGCCGCTCCCGACCGCCTTCAGTTTTCACCCAGCGTTCGCATCCACTGTTCTCTTCCTCCAGCTGCAAGAACTACGTACTCGCGGTCTACATTGTCCCATTTTCCCTCCTCGCACACATTACAAATCGCCAATCATGGACCCCCAGTCGCAGGTTGATATCTCCAAGCTCAGCGAGTCCGACAAGAAGGAGCTGAACCAGATCCTGAGCAACGAGGCCCAGAAGTCCAACATCCAGCAGAGTAAGTGCCTACCCAGACTGGTCTTCGCCATCTCTTCTCAGAGACGCTCTTGCCCGAAGAGCATGATAATTTTGATTCCTGAATTTCCCTTTACCAAATTCCGATGCTGACTGCTTCTTTCACTAGCCGTGCACCACTTGAACGACGTGTGCTGGAAGAAATGCGCCACGGGCAAGATCAGCTCGAGCACCCTCGACCGGACAGAGGAGGCATGCGCACAGAACTGTGTTGAGCGGTGGATGGACACAAACCTGTCCATTCTGAAACACCTGGATGCTCTGCGTGGTGGACACTAAAAGGCCATCGGTCAATGGAGGCGGACCACGAAAAGAATCAATAGAGTACCAGCCATTGAGCTTGGATCGGGATTCCCATAGGGCGGACGGATTGTCTTCTTGCACCTTGTATATTAGAATTGAGTCTCATGATCCTTCTGTGCACTTTGTGTCTTGTATTCTCACTTTGGAGCAGTCCGTAGAATTGGGAACATAGGAAAGTCTACAGAAGTAGCGGCATCTTGATGAAAACGTTTAGAGGCCTTTCGAAACAAAAAAGCAAGGATAGGCCGAAATCCACATGAGCTACAGCCAAAGGACGTCTTGTACTACTGCTAACTGGCCGTTCATGTCGCCTTTCGTAACCGTCACCGGGGACATACCAGGACATACAAGGACACATACAAGGCATACGCAAATGCTGGGTCATAATTCTTGGAAAGATATGTTCTTTTTTAATCGTTCAGCCTGCTGCTATGACAGCCACTCGGCTGGTATTTGAGAATCACCACGGAGGAAAACAAAGTTCGCCCAAACCCACAAAGAAATCCATCTCTCCCCATCTAGACAATAGCCAGCTTGGTGGCGGCAATGTCCAGAGCATCAACATCGGGGGTTAGCCGAGCAAAGGCCTTCTTGGCGCCATCGGGGCTGAAACAGAAAAAAAGTTAGGTGGTGCCATTTTTTTCCCCCTCAAGAGGGTGACATACCGGACGAGAGTGTTGATCTTGACGGTGTCAACATCGTACAGCTTCTTCAGGGCCTGCTTGATCTGGCGCTTGTTTGCCTTGACATCCACGATGAAGACCAGGGTGTTGTTCTCCTCGATCTTCTTCATGGCGCTCTCGGTGTTGAGAGGGTACAGGATGATCTTGGCGGCATCGAGGGTGGGCTCGCGGGGAATCGACACACGGGGGTACTTGGGAGACCGCGAGAGCTGGAGGGTCTTGGGGCGGTGGAAGGTGGTCGAGGTGCGGACCTTGCGGGACTTGTGAAGCTGATCGGCGAAAGCAGGTTAGTATGTTGTCCTTCTGGCATCGGAATACTAAGAATACGTACCGAGGAGCCCTTCGCAACTGCCTTAGCGGCAGCGTTAGCCCGGCTGCTGGTCTTGCCTGTCACAAGAATTCGAGTCAGTCATTTCGTTGCGCACACAGGGCGGGATTCGGGGAATGCGATTTGAGGTGAACAGGGCAATTTCCTTCGAAGAGAAGAGGAAAACAATATGGCGACAATAGACGGCTTTGGTGTCTTGTTCTTGTCGCTTCCTCTCATCGCCATCGCTGTCGGTGTCTTTTCTTCGAGAAAATTGCCCACGTCCACACACCCACGTCCACACGCCATCGCAATTCCACTGCCGACAATTTGGGGAAATGTAAAATGAAAGGGAGGTAATGCTCGCACGTACTCGGCTTGGTCTGGGGGGCCATGGCTGTCGTTGGTCGTGGTGATTGTCGCAGTGTCGGGGAGATCGAACAAAAATTGGATGTGTCTGCGTTAAGCGAAATCCATTCTGTGTGGGTCAGGTGACTCTTGCGAATGACGCTGACTCAGCACGTCCTAGACGGGAAGTGGAACTAGTTCTTCTTCACGATTTATGTACAATTCATCACTGGTGATGGCCGCTGCGAAAAAAAGGTCCAAGCGACCGACCCTGCTCTCCCGTACTCGTCCGCCAACGGTCAAGTCTAAACATGCAGCGCTTTCTGCCAAGGCCACCCGTACTCTGATCCGGTCTCATCACCAGCTCCTCAAAGCTCGCGCGCAAGCCGAGGCGGCCGGTGACGAGGCTCGAGTCAGTAGTATCGACGCCCAGATCCAAGCAAATGGGGGTCTCGAAAGCTACCAGATTGCCAGTAAACTAGGCCAATCCCTGGAGCGTGGTGGTGATTCCAGCAAACTTCTTGTCGACTGGATCAAGCCGCAACTGAAAGAATGGAAGGCTTCGATCCCCAAACTTCGGGTACTGGAAGTCGGAGCGCTGAGCACGAAGAACGCCATTTCATCAACACCGGCTCTGGACGTCACGAGAATCGACTTGAATTCCCAGGAGTTGGGGATTCTCAAGCAGGATTTCATGGACCGACCGCTCCCATCCACTGATGAGGACCGGTTCCATATGATCAGTCTGTCCCTAGTGCTCAACTATGTTCCCGACGCGACGGGACGAGGCGAGATGCTGAAGCGTTGTGTCGAGTTCTTGACTTCTACATGTCCCATTCAATTCACACCAAGCCTGTTCCTCGTCTTGCCTGTTGCATGCGTTGACAACTCGCGCTACCTTACTGAATCGAGGCTACTTGAAATATTGGCTAGCTTGGGATTTCACCTGACGCAGAGCAAAAGAACAGCGAAACTGATATTTCAGTTGTGGGAATATACTGGCGACAAATCGCGCAAGTCTTTCAAGAAGGAGATGCTGAACCCCGGCAAGAAAAGAAACAACTTCGCCATCATCCTAGAGCGATGAGGGAATCATCGATGGCTCTAGAACCATTGTAAATATCCGTGACACAGCAGGACGGAGATAGTCGGCAGTCATCATGTCCTTTGGCAAGAACGCCCACACAGTCCCCACGGCTGCCAGGATCGAAGACGTGACGAGAAGCACCCAGTCCAAAATGCGTTCACCTCGGCTGATCTCCTTCCCAAAGATCTTGAGGTAGAATGCGAGTGGAAAGATGATGCAAATGGTGAAGCACAGAAACGACCCCAGAAAAGCCATGATTCTGTCAAAGGACGGGAAAACCACGGCCAGAGATACGATGAGCACCACAACAAAGACCCTGACACAGGCTCGCAAGAATTGAAGGATTCTCTCTCTTCGCGAAAGGGTTTCGCTTGATGCTATCTCTGTAGCACCAAGTCCGAAGAGGACTTCGAATGTCGCGACGAGAGGTCGGGCACTGCGTCCATGTCAGCAGCTGGCGATCTCGGCATATCAGAAACAACTCACTTCAGCGGCACTTTTGTAATTGGGATGATCGAAATGAATATGATAATGCAGACGGATAGCGCTTTGGGGTATTCGGTGACGGTGAGGATGTTTGCCGTGATTTCGTCACGAACGAGATCACCGAACATGACCCAACCTATGATGGCCATGGAGCAGTCAAGAGAAAACTGTCCGAAGTTAGACATAGTTTAGCAACAATTGGGTTTCCCTTCACTTACTGTAAATAAATAGGTGGTCCACAGGCTTTTGCCATACTTGTGTGGGTGCCGCATGTCTCGATAGATATTGGGAAAGACCCCATGGCCACCCCAGGGTGCTTCTCAAATCAGTCTTTGGACTTGTTTTTGGGGGATGTACTCACACATGATGAGACCAAAACTCAATGGAAGGGTAGCCCAATTCTCAGGAAACAGAGTTGTCGTGGCAGGCTGGCGGAGAGAGCCTGGCGCATTGGGTTTGATCAAGCCATCAACACAGATGAGAACCACAACTGAACGAATGTCAATACTGTATTTGTAAATTGTAAAAGACGACTTACTTGATGTGCAAGAGATGATACCCAGGATGCTGGTCACACTCAAAAACCGCAGTGGAAGGAAGTTCAGCGGAATGAGCACAACTCCACAGACAATCTTCCACCGTAAAATGCTCAAGGCTGGGACCAGAGCATGCAAGCTGTCTGCAAAGAGAACCACAAGGGCTACACAGGCCCCAAGGAGTTCCAAGCAGAATAAAATGCTCGTCACAAGGCGAGCATGGTGCCCAAAGCTGATATAGGCTAGATCGGCATAGGTAACGAGGCTACGATCGACATCGAGGCATTTCGCCAGAATCTTTGCTGTATATGAAGTTGTCACTGCTGAGTAAACCAGAAAAAGGAGCCCCAGAAGCCACCCAGCCTGCTTCATCGCCAGTGGGAGACTCAACAGGCCGACTCCGATCAACACATTGACGGAATTGAATATGGTCTGGGGCACGGTCGATTGACCGACAATGACATCTTCGTAGGTGCCATCTTCATGCTGGATATGCTTCACGAGCAGCGGCTGCTGCTCTGGATACACCGGGCCATCTGGATGGGTCTGCTGTTCACGGTGGAACTGGATTGCATTCCTTCGAGCAGACTCACTGGCACGCGAGGAGATCGTGCCATAGGAAGTTGTAAAGCTCCTCTCTAGCGATGATGCAAGAAGCCCAGTGCTGGGGATGGCCTTTTTGGATGGCTCTGGGTGCAGACTTTCTTGATCGCTTTCATCACCGTCGGAATCACCGCGGAGTAGAGGCCGTTCAGCATCAAACAATGGGTGACCGAGAGATTGCTCGCTTCTGAAACCGGCTGCCAGCCCTGTTGCAACGGCAAACTCGTCATCTGGATCTACGGATACAAAGGATGACCGCCGTGGTAGCACCTCGGGAAAACAGGCGGCTCTTTGCCATGACCGTGCGAAGTTGTCGATGCTATTTGGACCGCCGACTTGTCGAAAGCGTGCTGAGAAGGAAGAGGATCTGATGAATCAAAGTTAGATGTTCCTCCAGATCGACAGAGCAAGAGAGCTGCAGAAGTACCGTCTCCGTCTGTCTAGAGCCTCGGAGTCCATGATCGGGGTTCCGCGACTGAGATGGCCGTAGTCGTACGAGCTGGGTATGATGGTGCTTGGTAACCCGGACACGGTATCATCGAGCCCATCGCTCTCATCTGCATGGCCAGACATGATGAGTACGAAGCAGCAATGGTGTCACCGAGGTGGACTGAGGTCAGATGAAAGGAGCACAAAAGAAAAGGAGGCACGAGACCCCCCGTAGTGAGCGAGTTCCGTTGATAAGAATGGTGGGGAGACGATGCTGATAAGAGCAGGACCGGCCACTTAAAATAGCGTTGCACTATATACCCAAGTAGACATAGTTTTGGATATAGTAACATTGTTGACGTCAAGAATAGCATGACTAGGGACCTAACTATATCGACATTCTTATACATAGCAGAGCCCTATCCATGCACCCCTGGTCGCACCGCATGTACCTGGTACCTGGCAGCCCAGCCAATCCACTGCGGCCCCGCGAGTACCGGGTACCCCCGTGCACCATATTGTGTGATTACCTCAGCACAAGCCCCTCCAACACAAATTTACGCCTTTCTCTCGTTGTGCTTCCTTCACCTGTTCATTCTTTCTGCTTTCGCTGCGCAGGCAAGTCTCATTTTCTGTTTGTTGTTCCCACGCAACAGGCAAGGCCTCTGATACTTTTTCCCACGGTCGCTCTCTCGCCTCGCCCAAAATGAGCGCGCCTCAGGCGAACGATGCTGAGAAGAACATTGAGATCTGGAAGGTGAAGAAGTTGATCAAGCGTCTGGAATCGGCTCGTGGCAATGGAACCTCCATGATCTCTCTCATCATTCGTATGTCTGCTCTCAATCTCTTTCTGTGAAGTAACTGGCCACTGACCCGCCATGCAGCGCCGAAGGATCAGGTTTCTCGCGCGGCCAAGATGTTGGCTGAAGAATACGTATGTCCTCTCCTCTACTCTCTACCAGTCCCTGGGCCTAATACCGTATCCTAGGGTACCGCCTCGAACATCAAGTCCCGAGTCAATCGACTCTCCGTCCTGTCGGCCATTACCTCCACGCAGCAGCGTCTCAAGCTGTACAACAAGGTGCCTCCGAATGGCTTGGTCGTCTATTGTGGTGAAATCATCACTTCGGAAGGAAAGGAGCGAAAGATTAACATCGACTTCGAGCCCTTCAAGCCGATCAACACTTCGCTGTATCTGTGTGACAACAAGTTCCACACCGAGGCCCTGAGCGAGCTGCTCGAGTCCGACCAAAAGTTCGGCTTCATTATCATGGACGGTAACGGTGCGCTATTCGGTACTCTCAGTGGTAACACGCGGGAAATCCTGCAGCGTCTCCAGGTCGACTTGCCTAAGAAACATGTGAGCCCGTCTTACCTCACATTGCCATTTTCCTCGTACTCACACATTTTTCTCAGGGCCGTGGTGGTCAATCCGCGCTGCGTTTCTCCCGTCTCCGTGAGGAAAAACGCCACAACTACGTGCGCAAGATCGCCGAACTGGCTGTGCAGAACTACATCACCAACGACAAGGTGAACGTGGCTGGTCTGGTCTTGGCTGGTTCCGCCGATTTCAAGAACGATCTCAACCAGTCCGACATGTTCGATGGCCGTCTGCAGTCCAAGGTCATCAAGGTGGTGGACGTTTCATACGGTGGCGAGAACGGATTCAACCAGGCCATCGAGCTTGCGGGAGAGACTCTGAGCAACGTCAAGTTCGTTCAGGAGAAGAAGCTGATCGGCAAGTACTTCGAGGAGATCAGTCAGGACACCGGCAAGATTTGCTACGGTGTTGAAGACACGCTCAAGGCGATGGAGCTTGGCGCCGCGGAGATTCTGATCGTGTACGAGAACCTGGATGTCACCCGCTGGGTCATGAAGAATGCGGCCGGTTCCGAGGTGATCCTGCACACCACCAAGGCCCAGGAGGCCACTCGTGATCTCTTTATCGACAAGGACACGGGCACTGAGATGGAGGTGATCGATTCAAGCTCTTTCCTAGAGTGGCTGGCCGAGTCATACAAGGACTTTGGTGCTGCTCTGGAGTTCGTCTCGGACCGATCCGGCGAAGGTAACCAGTTCGTCAAGGGATTCGGTGGAATCGGTGCACTTCTCCGGTACAAGGTCAACTTTGAACAACTGGCTGATTACTCTGATGATGATGAGTTCTACGACGGTGTGTCTACCTGATCAGAAATCTGGAACCGAGCTGACTTTTCTCTAGATTGACGGTTTAGCAACCTCGCAGAGAGCGAGGATGAAAGGCCAGAAGTTCCCCCGGCGGGTCTTCTGACGGCTCGCCCGGATCAGCACGGCGGCTCTCGTTGTGGAACTACAGTATCCGTTATGGATCGTCCGAAAAGACTTGTTCCAAGCTCCGTGACGCTGCTCAGAGGTGAGATCTGATTCCACTTTTTTTGGAACTACACACTGACTTGATTCAGGGCCATCCACGCTCCATATGCAGCACGCTGAGATAACCTCGGTGTTTTAAGAGGAACATGAGGTGCAGATTGCAATTTGAAAGGTTGGATGTGATTCTCTCCACCAGGGAATTTGTTTTGCTTGTGCAGCTCTGTCTGCTGTCGTTATGCTAGACTTCGCTTCTGGCTCTACGCTCATTAGTTTACTCGCTCGTTGTATTGCCGTGAAAAACAAAAAGAAGCAACCGAAATGGTTTGATATATTTGACTGAAGTATGTGACAGCCCGTAAATCACCACGGGCAGACCTGGCATCTTTGTTCGTAAAACGCATATCAAAGGTATATGGCTCAAGCATGATTCCTGTTCCCTCGCTGTTCGTGCAACCATAAGGCGTAACCAATCGACATCTTATCCCCGACTTGGACTCGACTGGTCATTCCAAGTCCCTAGATCTCTGCAGGACTCGGTCACATTCCGTAGATCGGTCAGCACCTTCAAGACCGCATCCTTATTCTCATCAGATGGAGTCCTGGCACACTCCACAAAGAAGATATATTGCCAGGCCCGCTTGAGACTGGGTCGGGTATTGATACTTGTGAGGTTGAGGCCATGCGCCTTGAAGATGAGCAGCGCATCCGCCAAAGCCCCGGGAGAAGAATGGTTGATCGTGAACGAGATCAACGTTTTGTGCGAAGCGGCGAAATCCGTCGCTGCCTGCTCAGCAGCCAGCTGCGCAGTGCGTTCCGCGAGCACATTCCTCAATATCAAGAAGCGAGTGGTGTTATCCGCGCGGTCTTCGATGTTCTCCTGCAACACATCTACGCCGTGATGCTCTGCCGCAAAGCGAGAGGCAATCGCCGCGCCCCGCTCAGCGGTCTCTTTCGAGACGATCTCCGCAGCCTTGGACGTAGACGAGACATCCTGTCTCTCAACGCCCTTGAAATACCGAGACAAGAAGGTGTCGCATTGCCCCCACGCCTGCGGATGGGTGTATAATTTGGTGATTGAGCCATCGTAGCCCGCCCAGCCAGAGGGGAAACTGCCTTGGTGGACCAAGAGACAGTGGTGGACGGTCAAGTAGTATTCACTGCAGACTTTCACGTCGTTGTAGAGGCCATTGCGGTCGGCTAGAAGATCCAAGGTTTGCACGACAGACCCATTGGTCGAGTTCTCGCAGGGAATGACTGCGTAGTCGGCGGTTTGTTGCTGGACCGCGGAGAAAGCCTCGGCGAAGGAGACGCAGGGCTGCAGCTCGGCGGAAGTCTTGCCAAACGCCTCTGCGGCGGCCTGACGGGGGAGTTAGGATGCCATCGAACAATCCGGAAATGGAAGAGATACCTGGTGGGAGAAGGACGCGGCCGGGCCCAAGAAGGCGACCCTTAGTCGCGCCATGGCGGGAACAGTCGTGAGGGTCGGATCAATCATGGCGAAAGATGCAAAAGCGGTCGGTGGTGGAGCGGGACAGACAGACAAACACAACAAACTTGAATGTTTGTTTCTTTCTCTTTCTCTTGTACCTCCTTCTTCTTTCCCAGAAATGCGAGGGAAAAGGATCGGGCCCGTCAGACGCGCTCTATTTCAGATTCGCGCCAGTTCGTCGCTGGCCGAGCGCCTGCAAGGGCTGACGACCAGGACGCTCCCTTTGACCTACGACTATCTGCATCCCCAGCCATCGCATCTGCTGAACCTAACACTATTGGATCTCCTGCGCCTACCCCCTTCGGACCACCATACCACTCTTCCTTCGATCAAAAACCCTCCTCGCTTGCCCCCCGGCCACCACTTGATCTACTTCCCGCCGCAAGTCCCCTTGTCGCAACTCCTGCCGGATGGCACGGATACCCTCCACACCCCCGGCGAGCCTTTCGATCGGCGACTTTGGGCAGGCGGCAGTGTCAAGTTTGCCGATCCCGAGCTCCTGCTCAATGGCGGCCGGGCTGTGTGTATTGAATCCATACGTAATGTGGCCGTGAAGGGGCGCGCAGGGGATGAGAAGGTGATTGTCACTATCGAACGGCGCGTTGGCACCGTTCCCGAAGAGGAAGCGGCCGAGAAAACCTGGGGGCGGATCTGGAAGAGGAACGCAGATGACCCGGGGGAGTCGGCGGTTGTGGAGAACCGGGATTTGATCTTCATGCGGCCCAAGAGCGAGGAGCAGCTCCAGCACGACCAGGAACAGTTTGGCGCGAGGAGTAGGATCGTCAAACGTGAGAAGAAAACTAACTACCTTGTAAATCCAACAAACCGCTGACTCTAAATTCAGCCCCGTCAGACCCAGCATTTCGGCATGTCATCATGCCCACCCCGGCCCTGCTGTTCCGCTTCTCGGCGCTGACGTTCAATGCGCACTCGATCCATCTCGACAAGAACTATACCCGCCACCGTGAGGGATACCGCAATTTGCTGGTCCATGGCCCACTGACTCTCACTCTGCTGCTCAGCGTACTGCAAAGACATGTTGACCATCCGATCCGCAACATCGAGTATCGCAATTGGGCGCCGGTCTATGTGGAAGAAGAGATGGCGATCTGCGGCAAGCGCAAGAGTACCGGGGCATGGGATGTGTGGATTGAGGGCCCAGACGGCGGACTAGCCGTTCGCGGCACGGTGACTATATAGTTGTTCGTCTTCTGTTCTGTAGAACTACGTATTGTATAGTTGCAGCCAATCAGGCCGACAGCGCAATTGGGTTTAGGCCCCCCCACTGATAATTGCCCGTTCAGCTTCAGCTCGTGTTGCTCTTGTCCACCGACCATGCGCTCAACATGCCGAACACGGGCAAACCCAGTGCAGGATGCCATCTCTGTCGTACGAGGAGGGTCAAGGTACGTGTTGTATGTGTGGGATGGATGGGTCTGACATGCCCGCTAGTGCGACTTGACCCGCCCGGCCTGCAAGCGCTGCGTCAAATATGGCATGGACTGTCCCGGCTACCGCGATACCCTGGACTTGATGTTCCGCAATAGGGGCGTGGGCGATGTGAAGAAACTCGTCAAGCGCCGCCAGAAGGTAACCTCGCCATGGACCCAGTCCGAGAGCCCGCGGGTGGTGGCCAGCTCTCTGAGCCCGAATCCGAGCTCTGTCGCAAGTCGCCCTTCTATTGCACTCATTCTGGATTGCTACTCGGTCCCGGTAAATGGCCAGCGCCTTTTTGGTCATGTTGATTTTCTGCCCGTCTTGCTCTCGGAGGCGGATGAGGGTTCGTGTTTGCTCTATGCGACAGACACCCTGGCGGGCGCCTACATTGCCAACCAGACAGACTCGCTCCCGGAGCGGGAGAAAGCATCTAGGACATATGGGCGCGCTCTGGAAGCCGTCCGGGCTGCTCTTATGAGCCCTACCGAGAGTGCCAAGGACGAGATCGTCGTGTCTGTTTGGGCCTTGGCTGCCTATGAGGTCTGTATTGCCATATTCAATTAAAAGAAAATTGAAGCAATTGCTGACTTTTGCGGATCTAGATCCTTGTTGGCTCAGCTCAGTCGAGCCGTGGCCCCGGGCCTGAGGCATGGCATCTTCACATTGATGGCCTCAACACGCTACTCACCTTTCGTGGTCCCGGGCAGTTTGCCTCCAAGCGAGGCAGGAATATTTATTGGACCATCCATTCACATATTGTGAGCGAACTACCAGTTCTGACCTTACAGCCACTGACACGGATGACCGCCAGCTTATGCGTTCTATCTTGAACAGCGTGGTCTGCCCTCCCGAGTCGCGCGACTTATCAGCCATGTTTGCTGCTGCCACTATGCCCAATCCCGACAACCACGAGATGTCAATGACTTTTGTGTCGCAGTTCGTCATCAATGCCAGCGATATCATCACGGCATCAACGGTCCAGCTCCGGACACAGTTCGTTACGGTCCCTGAATGTATCACATACATCCACTCTTTGGACGCAACAGAAAGCATTGTCCCGCAGTCAATATATGACATATATTCCACCGCGGATACCGCCTACGCCTGGAATATATACCGCACGACGCGGATGAGACTACACCACTGCATGCTGATGTTAATTAATTGTGCGCTGGCCGACTTTGCTATCGATGCGTGGGAAGCGGTAGACAACCAGGATATCCAGACCCTCGTACGACGGCGACAAGAGCACATGGAAATTTTGCATTCTATGGCGCAAGAGATCTTGAGTTTTGTTCCTGCTACCGTTATGCAAGCGGTGCGTTCGAAGCCTTCGTCTCCTCAAGCCGCGGAGTCTATTCCAGAACCAGCTCAGCGATCAATCTGCTGGGCGGATGCTCTCCGTCTTGTCTGGCCCTTGGCCACCATCTACAAGCTACCAATGGTACAAGAGGAACAGCGGTGGATCGCAAGACAATCATGCTATGTGATTGGAAAGCAATGGGGGATTCGAGAAGCGTTGAAACAGTGGTCCAGTCCAGTGGCGAGAAAACCCCAGGCAATTGTACTTGGGTCTACTTTTGACCAAGATGACTGGCAAGTGTTTTCATCAGGGAGAAGCCTGACGACCAGGGAGATCTGGACATAATTTCGGTTGTATAATAAGTCATCTAGGGGTACACTGTCTAAACTAAACACGAAGTACAAGTTTCCCAATCTGCTTCCCCTGCCATATATACTCGACCGCTGCCTCAGCTTGCTCGAATTTCCAGACCGAGTCAATCAGATCATCCAGCTGCATCTGCGAAGCGGATACGGCAGAGCAGAAATCTTCCATGTCATACTTCGACCCAGCATTGATGCCCCTATATGGTCGTTCGTATCAGCCTCTCTACTTCAACTCAGACATCACGACTATAACTCACCTCAGAATAACTCTTCGATCGATAATAGTCGGGATAAGCTCAGCCAACTCAGCGGGATTTTGCTTTCCTAGATACCCAACCTGGCTGATAATTCCACCACGTCGAGTGCATTTCATACTCTTAACCAAAGATCCGGTACCTCCATTCTCAACAACGATATCAACCCCAACACCGTCGGTCAATTTCAGAACCTCCTCATGCCATTTTGGGTTCTTCGCATAATTAACAGTCAACAGCGGCGGACTACCATACTTCTCCTTCATGCTTTGCAGCTTCACATCGCTCGACGAACTGAGAATAACTCTCAGGCCTGCAGCTCTGGCGAGCTTGAGCGCGAACACGCTCACACCTCCAGTGCCTTTTTCTCTAATCTCAGTGATAAATCCAATAGAAAGAGATAGAAGAATACGTACCTTGAATCAACACAGTCTGCCCAATACTCATTCCCTTCAACGCAGACCACGCCGTAACACCAGCGCAGGGGATAGTCGCAGCAGCAGTCCAGTCCAAGTAACTGGGCAATTTACACAATTTCTCCTCATCAAAGACAATGTGATCCGCCATCACCCCGTCCTCGTCAGCAGCAAGCCAAGACCGACCCAGTTCTCGGCCAGAGATATACTCCGTGTCAATGACGGGCGCAACTCTGTCGCCCACGACAAGGGCCTTGACTTTCTCACCGACGGCAATGACTTCGCCCGCTGCATCGTTGCACAAGATTCCATTAGGAAGGACGGGCCATGGGTTCCCACCGTTAGCGATGTTAGCGTCCCTGTAGTTGAGGGCAATGGCGTGGACTTTGACCAAAGCTGCAGTTGGGGATAGAGGGAGTGGCAGGCGTTCTTCCACAAGCTTGAGCTTGGGTGTGCCTGGTGTGTAGTCGTCTGTTCGACGGAATGCGCGGCGGAGCTTCGGTCCAGATGACATATTGGTTTGAATTGTGATAGTTATGGTTTTGAAGATGCTGAGATGTTGAGGGATTTAAATGAATATGGACCATAGGTGACCATAAGTCTTCGTATATAGGCTATGAAAGTGACTTACATTAATAATGGTATTAATAATGGTGTTATAACGTGATTCCCTAGATCAGTAGGATACTCTGGGCGATCAGTTGCCTTAGTCAGGGGGAGCTGCCTTCTTCCACGCCTGCAAAGAACCAAGCACCACATCTCGGATATGATTGCGTACTCTCCGACTTTCCCTCAGTAGTTTGCTTAGATAAGAGCGAGGGAATGTACGGCTTAAATTGCCACTCTTTCATTGAAATATTTGTATAGAGATTGGGAAGCGCCAAGCATCGATAGCACTGGTAAGTAGGTTTGGGCACTTAAATGGAAAGGGAAAGGTATGGAACTTTGGCGCAAAAGATAACATTCTAGACTCGCTATATGTAAAGGTATATATGCAACTCGAATTCCCTACTTGTGTCCATACTCCATTTACGACGACGAAAATGAATACCGAATTGCCCGGATCACGTCCATCGGGCTCAACATCATGAGCCAGATCTTGGGGCTGAAGACGTTACCATAGTAGCGCGGAGGCAGTATAGCAGAATTCTGAGAGCCAGAGTATGTGGGCATGTAATCGGAGTGTTTGATCTTGTACGGCGAAGCTCTGTAGGCATAGGCAAACAGGCAAGACAGCGGTACCATTTGAAGGCAGATGACTAGCATCGGTATGCCGATGATAACATCCGAGTAAGCCAATTTCGAGGTAGGAGTCATAAGATTCGTGCTGCGGAGGATTTGGAAGATGATCTAGAGAGTAGTAGTTAGCAGATTGTTGACGGTGGCAAGAGCCGACAGCAAATTACCTTCTCAACAAAGGTCAGGAGAACAATGAGCTTAAAGGCCGCAAGCTTGAGCATCACGCGGTACTGTTGTAGTTCACTTTTCTTGGCAAAGTAAAATCTGAAGACAGCCATGACTGCAAGGCCGAGAGACACGTATTGGATGATAGAGAGCTGGAATAGAAGTAGCTGATCAGTACACCTGCGTCTCATTGCGCCAAAACAAATAGATAGATATACTCACCCACAGATGAGCAAAATGGGTCTTGTTGCTCTCCAGACAGTAGACTTTAGCAGCTTGGGTGATATCCGTCACGATCCCTAGGAGGAACGAGACAATTGGGTACTGGAATACCATAACGGACCGTTTCTATATGCGGAGATGATTAGCGCCAATAATCTATGATGATTGCTGATACTCACTTTATGCCACGCAAGTTCGTCAAGGCGCTCCTCTTCACCCTCGTTATACTGGAATGGCTGCAGTGGCTTTGAGGCGCTGTCCTGTCTCTCGACCACAACCGAAAGGTATTCGTTCAAGAGCAGGAAAAAAGTGCCGAGTGTGATAGACTGAACAAAATCGGTCCAGGCATATATATAGACATAGGCATTGGGAAAACAGATTGATAGAAATGAGATGCCCGAGTAAAGGGGGATGAGAAGCGAGATGCGCATGATCTTGCGTTGCTGGTTGGGGTTGCTGTAATGGGACGCGTGGGTAAATTGAACCATAAATATAGTCAAGCAAGCCAATGCCGTGCAAGCTCCAGAGAATATCATGTTGAAGTGGTGGAAGGAGATGTTGGACACGAAGGGCTCGGGTGCATCTGTATCGGGATTAGTTTGGGCTGGCACCTGTTAGTACTTTCAGGACTAACCTATTTTGAAGGTCGAAGGCATGGGACAGGTTTCATTGCCTGAAGAGCCGCCGAAAAGGTGAAAGAGGCCCATTTTGAAGACTGGAGGGTGGAATCCAATTGACTCGATATAGATCAGAAGAAGAGGAGGAGGAGGAGGAGGAAGGTGTTAATTGAAGAGATGAGTGCTGGACTGAAAGCCATGCTTTATACTTGAGCTGGACGATCGAGATCATCACTGTAGCTTAGTTTTGACTTTCTTGGTAGGGCCACTGACTCTAGTTGAAGCTGGTGAGCCAATCCCGAATTGGGTCGAATGGATTTCTGGATCGGGTTAGGGGCCAAGTTGACGATAGTGATTGGATGAGCTGCTCGAATGGATTTCTCAATGTGGTTAGCCCCTACCTAACCTTCTTCTCAGCCCTGAAGATGTTCGTTCGATCGATCAGTACCTAACTTTCAGCCCCAGGACAAATTTAGAAAACTGAAGATCTTGCCTGGCTTGATGATGCTGAGGCTGTGGGGGACGACCGGCTGTAGGTGTCGCATGGCTGTCCCGTTTGCGGTTAGTGCTTGCCGTCCAAAGCCAATATTGCGCGATGACTATGTACCTAGTCAGGGGCTGAGCATGGTAGGAACAATTGAAGATGGAGAAGTTAATTCCTGGCAATCATTGCTCATTTCTCCATTCGGCGGTTTGTATACTAGTTGGTGTCCCGGGCAAACAATCGTAGACCGGAACGGAGAAACCACAGCCGAGAGAGCACACGTTTTATTTTCCTTTCGTTTTCTCCCGCTTTTCTTTTCCCTTTCTTCCTTCATCCTCTCTCCTTCCTTCGCCCAACCCACATAATAACAATACCTAGATGGGCTCAACCATTACACTAACCATCTAGCCTCAATATCCTCTCTCAATTTCCGAGATGGATATCTTCTGGGCTGCTCCGCCTGTGGCCAGGTTAGTTTGGATCGCTGTTGCGTCACGCTCGATGACTGACTCGCTCTCTCCCAGGACGCTCACTGCTCTGGCACTAGTCCAGTCTGCTCTAGTACATGGTGGCGCTCTCAGTGGATATTATGTTGTCTTTCTGCCACGCCTGCTTTGGAAACTGCAGCTCTGGCGCCTGGTCACGCCATTCCTACTAACGGGCGGCAATATCTCATTCCTCCTGGACCTTTACTTCTGTATGATGCCTCGAGGCTATGCGAGCTTGCCAGCGTGCTAATACGCCGGTAGTATACCTCTACAGCAGTTCTCTGGAGACTGGTTCGTCCCGGTTCACTGAGCCTGGCGCTTTCTTCACCTATGTGGTCTTTGTAGCTTCTGTCATCATGGTAAGTCATGGCTCAATGCCGGAGTCTCTAGTCCCCCTCCCCTGTCTCCTCCCATTTCCTCCTTTACCTCGCATATCTGCCCGCCCAGCCTTACTCTAGCTGAAGCGGTTCCTGGAAGCGAGGGAGAATACCCCTGCATCTCGTGCAGCACCGCCAATTCGCAATCAAAATGGTGCTGCATGCGGTGTGGGAATGGTGGGATTGCCTCAATGATAGCCGTCGTGATCCTATAAATTCACGGCGGTGGTAAAGGTGCCCTACATGCCTCTATATATACTCCTATCTATCTTTTTTTTCCAATATCATGCATTCGTTGAAATCCCTTCTTTCCCTTCGCGGTAGCCAACACACGATCCAACCAGAAAACATGCTAACTTGTCGACAGCTCACTGCAGGCTGCTTCCTGGGCGGGTTTGTCTTTACGTCTGGTGAGTTCCTCCCTGTAATCCAGTCCCTATTAAACTCGGGTCACTGATCGGGGAACAGCATTGATCCTGGCCTTTGTCTACACCTATGCCCAAGATAACCGGGGCCGGAAAGCCACGTTCTACGTGATCCAGATCCCTGTCGAGTTCCTGCCATGGGCAATGCTTGTGATGGCCTTTGTGAGCGGCGGTCCCTCTGCCGTCCTGAGTGAGGCAATGGGGATTGTCGCCGCCCATCTCTACGACTTCCTCACTCGTATCTATCCGGCCTTTGGTGGCGGGCGCAACTGGATCACCACCCCTGCCTTCGTGCGACGATACTTCGGTGCCCACACTCCCGCCAGCACCTCCCGTGCATATGGCACTGCCTTTCGTCAACCCCAGCCGTCTTCGGGATCTCCTTCTTCTGGTGGCTGGAGCTCGTCTCTCCAGAACCCGTGGAGCGGGCGTGGCGCGGGACGGAGACTCGGGGGTGATTAGCCAGCATCCATCCAGTTGTATCAAGTACTTTGATTAGCATTAAATGAGCCGTCAGAATCAGAATATTTTTCACTGATTACATAGAGGAACTAATTCTGCAAAATACGGCCCTTGGCCTTCACGTGACCTATTCACACTAAACCAGATTGGGCGATGGAGCTGCCGCACTGCAAAATTTCATCCTCCGCTTTTTTCGGTCCTTTACTACTCGCATCTTCCTCCACCGTCCACACTCACTATGGCCGTCGTCAAGAGCAGCCAGGAGATGGACTACGCCATCAAGCCTGAAGCGCTCACTCCTTCTATTCCCACTTCAGAATGGCCGCTTCTCCTGAAGAACTACGACCAGTGTATGTTACCAAGGGCAAAAAAAAAAAAAAAAAAACGCGCCAACGCTGAACTTTTGTTTTTATATAGTGCTGGTCCGAACAGGACACTTCACCCCGATCCCTGCCGGATCTTCGCCTCTCAAGCGTGATCTGAAGTCCTACATTAGCTCCGGTGTCATCAACCTCGACAAGCCCTCGAACCCGTCCAGCCACGAGGTTGTGGCGTGGATGAAGCGGATCCTCAGGTAATACAGCCCTCAATGTCAACAGAAAAGGAAAGCACTGAACATCTTCCTTTTTAGATCCGAGAAGACTGGCCACAGCGGTACTCTCGATCCCAAGGTCACCGGCTGTCTGATCGTCTGCATTGACCGCGCGACCCGCCTGGTCAAGTCCCAGCAGGGTGCCGGAAAGGAGTATGTGTGCGTGATCCGTTTGCACGACAAGATCCCCGGCGGCGAGGCGCAGTTCCGTCGCGCTCTGGAGACCTTGACCGGTGCGCTGTTCCAGCGTCCTCCCCTGATCTCGGCCGTGAAGCGCCAGCTCCGTATCCGTACCATCCACGAGAGCAAGCTCTACGAGTTCGACAATGACCGCCACCTCGGCGTCTTCTGGGTCAGCTGCGAGGCTGGAACCTACATTCGAACCCTTTGCGTGCACCTGGGTCTCCTCCTCGGTGTCGGTGCTCACATGCAGGAGCTCCGTCGTGTGCGCAGTGGTGCGATGGATGAGAACCACGGCCTGGTTACCCTCCATGATGTTATGGATGCTCAGTGGGTGTATGACAACCAGCGCGACGAGTCGTACCTGCGCAAGGTCATCCGTCCCCTGGAGAGCCTGCTCACCACCTACAAGCGTATTGTTGTCAAGGACAGCGCGGTCAACGCCGTCTGCTACGGTGCCAAGCTGATGATTCCGGGTCTTCTGCGCTTTGGTTAGTTCACCTCATCTGCTTGGGTATCAATCTGCTAACTCTTCCTTTCCAGAGTCCGGTATCGAGGTCAATGAAGAGGTTGTCCTCATGACCACCAAGGGTGAGGCTATCGCCATCGGTATTGCGCAGATGTCGACCGTCGAGCTCACCACCTGCGACCACGGCGTCGTCGCCAAGGTCAAGCGCTGCATCATGGAGCGCGATCTCTACCCCCGCCGCTGGGGTCTGGGACCTATTGCGGTGGAGAAGAAGAAGCTCAAGTCCGCCGGCAAGCTCGATAAGTACGGTCGCACCAACGAGGCCACCCCTTCCAAGTGGAAGAGTGAATACAAGGACTACTACACCTCCGAAGATGCCAGCGCACAGGTGGCAACTGAGGCACCGCAAGAGACTCCGGCCTCCCCGCCTGTGGAGGAGAAGGCCGAGGAGAATGACACGGAGGACAAGAAGAAGCGCAAACACGAGGACGAGACCGCTGAGGAGCGGGCTGAGCGCAAGCGCAAGAAGAAGGAGAAGAAGGAAAAGAAGGAGCGCCGCAAGTCCAAGAAGGAGGACAGTTCGGACAGCGAGTAGAGGGACGCTCTCAGGAAATTTCCTGTATCATATTTGTTTCTTTCTTGATTTTGGAGTATTTGGGTGAAAAGGGAATTTAGGAATCCAGTTGCTTCTATTATACCGCCGCTAGCCTTGTAGATTCCCAGCTTGTACTTCTGGACCGTAGGACTTGGAGTGTGCAGCACCTGACCTGCGGGGTGATGGTCACCGCTCCGCATTCGTTCACTCACCTCTTGACTTCACCATCATCCAGCCTTCTTTGATACATCCACTGCCACCATGGCTGCCGAGCTGACTTCTACCAAGCTCAACGCAGAGAGCCATCTAATCCTAGTAAGCTGTTCCCTCCCCCATCTTCGAACCCGCCCGCTCATCACCTTCCTGCTCTAGGACCAACCACTCCTCCGCCTCTCCCCATGAACTGGCCCGGAAGAATTTCAAAACGGTCCAGCGCGCCGTCGAGCGAGAAAAGGAATACGTGCTCCCCGCCCTGAAAGATGCCGCCAACGCCTCTCTGAACAATACCCACACGCCCGACCAGACCCTCGCCGCTCTGGATGCGATGATATCACGAATGCAAGGCCTGAAGCGGAAGATGGAGAATCTGCAGGACGAAGAGAAGAAGATCCAGATCCAGTCCCGAAAGAGAATCCAGCACCTGGAAACCCTCCATAAAATCCCGAGTCTGGCCGATGTGAAATACGATCAGTGGTCACGAGTCCGGCTAGATCGGTTGCTGGTCGACCACATGTTGCGCTCGGGATACTCGGAGAGTGCGAAACAGCTGGCACAGGAGAAGGGGGTTGAGGATCTGGTTGATCTCAGTGTCTTTACGCAATGTCAGCGAGTTGTTGAGAGCTTGCGTCGTGGGGAAACAAAAGAGGCGTTGCAGTGGTGCGGTGAGAACAAAGCAGCTTTGAAGAAGAGCCAGGTGAGTTGCGCTGCCAGTGACTACTGTCCTTCAAAGACTGACACTTTTGAATGCAGCAAAACCTGGAATTTGAACTCCGATTGCAGCAATACATCGAGCTGGTTCGCACACAAGACAAAAGGAAGAAGCTCGAAGCCATCATGCACGCCAAAAAGTACCTCATCCCGAATCATGAATCCCAAAAGACCGAGATCCTTCGAGCAGCAGGACTGCTGGTCTTCACCCAGGACACCAAGGCTCCACCATACAAAGTAAGATGTCCCCAGTCCGCAACCCCGATTCTTTGTCTGATTGATATGCTAGTCTCTATTTTCGCTGGATCGCTGGAATTTTCTGTCCGACCTGTTCATCCGAACGCACCATGAGCTCCTATCACTGCCATCGCAGCCATTATTGCATATCGCTTTATCTGCTGGGCTCTCCGCGCTCAAGACTCCTCTGTGCCACTCGGCCTTCACTTCATCTAGCTCCAACTCACAATCCACCACAACATCCGTATGTCCCATCTGCTCAACCGAGCTGAACGAGCTCGCCCGCAACATGCCATACGCACACCACACCAAGAGCTACGTGGAAGGAGACCCGATTGTCTTACCCAATGGTCGAGTGTATGGACAAGCTCGACTGATGGAGATGAGCAAGAAGATCGGGGCCGTGGAATCCGGCAAGATTAAGGACCCGACCACAGGCGAGGTATTTGACGAGAACGAGATGAAGAAGGTCTATATCATGTAGACAGCCAGCACGGAATTAAATTTTAATCAATCACTGTCACTGTCCAACTCATTCCTCGCCCGCTTCTTGCCCCCTTTACCCGGGTGTTTCGGTTCCTCCCTTTTCACTTCAAAGACGTACATCCGCGCATTCCTATCCTCGCCTCTCCATCCGCCTCTCCCCTCGTGGTTCTTCGCCTCGATCTCGCCCACCGTCCGCGCATGGCTATATCCCTCGTAAGAAGACCAGGGGAACTTGAAACTAGTCACAACCTGTAATCCCGCATGTCGCGCCAGATCCTTGATATTCCACAGCGTGTATGGCTCAGCCTCGAACAACGAAACGAGGATTTGTCCCGGCCCAGTCCGGACGCCCAATCCAGAGGTCTGCTCATCTTCTTCTTCCTCTCTTTCGGACGACTCACCTCCATCTTCATCCTCATCCTCCTCAAAATCAGGATCTTCCTCATCAACCTTCTCCGGCGCGTTAGACAAGAGCGGCACACAGCTTTTAAAGAACGCAACGAGCAACTCCTGATTCGCGCGCACCTGCCGATTCACATCCGTCGACAAGCCGCCCACATGCGGGAAATTGAAGCAGATCACATCCCACGGCCCGCCAGGCGAGGGGGCAGTTTTCTGTCTTGGGGTTTCCACGCAGGACGCTTGCGCTCTTTGCGCGCGAATAACCCCGAGCGAACATCTTTCCCGCCGCCGGTAGGGGAGCCTAGTTTGCGGGCGTCGACGCCGAAAAGAACCTTGGGGCCTTTCTTCTGGTCGTTCTGGGCGGGCGTCTCATTAGAGCCTCCCTGCTCTTCTTCATTCCGAGAGCTAGAGCTAGTGATTCTCCGAGAAGCATTGAGGATATCATTGATATTTGTCTTCGCCTGTGGATATTTCCCGTACAGTGTCTCCTTGGAGTCGTAGCATGTTGCGCAGAGGTTGCGGCATCTGTACTGGGTTGCCAGGGAGCGGGCGAATGAGAAATCTCCTGCGGGTAGTCAGTTTCTGGTCCCTATATCTTCTCTGGGTCGCAAGTCTTCTAATATCAGATGACGATAAATAGATAGATATTCCACCTCCCTCCAGAATGATACACTGCATATCGATTCCAACTTTATGTATAAAACACAAAGCCCACGCACGTATACTTTCTGGGTTTGTTGCAGAAGAAAGGAAAAAGATGCTCACCTTCCCCAATCAAGAGAATCCGATCCCGGCGCAGAAATGGGACAATCGGACGTTGATTCTGATGCTGCTGCTGAGTTTTGGGAGTGGTTCCCTTTTGTGATTGCGACTGTGACTGTGATGGTGGTGTCTTTGCATGACTGGCATTAGGACCTTTATATCCCTTGGTCGCAGACCCGGATCCAGGCTGTCTGGCCGGGCCGCGCGGAGAGCGTCCTTTCGCTTTTTTATTTCGGGGCATTGAGAAGCCAGATTTGCTTTAGACTCTATCTTAGGAATTGGAAGAGAGAAGGGCGTTTGGGAGGTGTAGATGCACTCAACCGGAAAATCATGGCGGTTGAAGTGGAAGCCTCGATCGGCCAATCAGCCAATCAGAGTTCCGAGCGGCGGGTTTCGCTGTGCTCGCTCCTCTCTACAAGACTTTTGCTGGGAATATTTACTTTGAATAAGGAAGTCAAGAACAAGGTCTATTGCCCAAAAAATCACAGTAGCTATATACACAACCCAGAGTGGGGGTCACCGCAAATAACAAAGAGCAGCCGTCGGATACACATGGATGCAGTGCACAGGAAAGAAAGAAAGAAGAAAAAAAAAAGACGATCACACACAAATACACATACACACAATTACTAAATCGTACTTGATATCCCAAAAAGGTGGCTGAAGAAGAAAAGAAGAGGAAAGAGGAAAACCTTCTCATGAGGCTTTCCTCCGGAGAGAATGGGAAAATTGAAACCCACTAAACACCGACATCGAAGAAACAACCCATGCTCTTTCTCTCTCCTCCCCGGGGAAAAGAAAAGACGTTCATCATAATGTCACATGCGAGAGATCCTCGCTGGCAGAAACTGGCAGCAGCGAGGATACGAGGTGATGTCCGCGCTGACCAGTCAGTGCGCACATAACGGAGGGAAATGCAAAGATATTTTATATTAAGAGCGTAGCGAGTCGCGCATACTCTGGCTGCTGGCGCTGACGAGCGGGTTGGTCGTGGGCAGCACGCCGACCTTGGGTCTGGCGTTTTGCTTGATCTTGGCGACGGCGTACACAATACCAGAAACGAAGCCCACGGCAATCGCTGAGACGCTGGGGAAAGTAACCGGAGCATCGAAGAAGACCAGGCCTGACACGGCAATGGGCAGTTTGTTCAGGGCGCCGACCATCGAGTAGGTTGTGGACGAAGTGACGCGCACGCACCAGGCAGAGGTGTACGAGATAAAGACAGACGACAGACCGGAGAGGACCATGGCGAAGAAGATGCCGTTGCGGTTAGACTCGGGGAAGTTGCGGGCTATGTTGGTGGACGACCAGTCCTCGACAAGCAGCGTGGCAACGATGAGGACCGGGATCGACAGGAGGTTGTTGTAGAACATAGCTATAACAGATGATGTTAGAACGGTCCAAAAAAAGGAGAGAGAAAGAAACACATACTGTCAAAGTCCTTGAAGTTGGTCAGCTTGATCCGTTTGCGCATGCCCAGAACGTAGGACGAGGTGCACAGGCAGTTGATCAGCATCCACACGTAGCCCGAGTTCAAGGTCGAGACTTTGCTCGAGGTATCGCCGCTGCTCTCGACGGCATGCTTGATATCGGCCCAGGCGGCAATGAGGGAGCTCAGGACCATCAGGCCGAAGGAGAATAGCGTCAGACCAGTGACTGAACCGCCGAACCACAGAACCTCGCCGTACGCGATGAGGATGATGGTCAAGTTCTTGAAGATGGTGTACACGGGAATCGACAGGAACTGGAGGGCCTTGGAACCGGTATAGATCATACCGATCAGGAGCAGGGTGATGGGGAACCATTTCCTGGCCTCGTCTGAGCTGAAGTCACGGAAAGTGATCAAGCCCATGGATTTGCACGTTTGGATCGCAACAATGCAGACAATGGACTATATAGATGAGTACGCTTTCCGGATGCTTGGGGAAGATCATACATACCTGAACCATCAGCAACAAAAAGTTGAGATTGAAATCCAGACCCGACAGGACGTATTTATTCATGACTGTCATCATGATGGACGAACCGCAGTAGGCCAGCACGGGGAGCGCAGGATTATTGGTGATCGGGTTGGGAGGAGCCGCCCTCGGCTGCGGCGGCGGCGGCGCCTCGAATTCCTTGGATCCCTGGTCGAGTTTGTTCATCTCGACGGTGTAGTCGTCGGTCTTCTTGTCTTCGACCATGGTGGCGGTGGTGGCGGGGGGAGGGAGGAGGTGGAAGGGAGGAGGGGTGGAAGATGACGGCAAAAGAAAGGAAGTCGGTGCCGAAATGGGGAAATCAATAAAGAAAAGCAGACGAAGCGGGCGACAGACCGAGCGAAGGACGATCACCAGGAGAGAAAAATCCCAAGGGAGCAACAAACGAAAAACGCCGCGAGCGGCGAGGGTGACTAAGCATAGGGGCAGCTGAGTCAGCGAGGGCGAATGATCTGACGAACTATTTATAGCGTTGTTGATGGATGGTGTTTCGGGGTTATTATTATTATATGGTTACAGTACGATTGCAATTGAATATTGAACACAATAATATACATGTATCTTTATATTCTTGGACTTGTCAGTTTATCGAATTTAGTTACTAGTGGAGTGCCCACGAGGATCGCCATTGGAATAGTCAACCTTAGACTCCCAGACTCAACCAACACCTACCCGCCACAATGCCTGCCAACCTCGCACCCCAAGACCCCGACGATGAGGCCCTCTTCGCAGCCCTCGAAAACGAAGATGACAGCTCTTACCGCGACCAGCGCATCCAACAACTCAACGCCGAGTTCGCCGCACAGAAGACCAACCGCGACCCGTCCAGCACGACGACCATCCTCCACAAAGACATCTACCCGACGCTGAGCAGCGACCAATCGGTGCTAGACTTCACAACCTCCACAGCGCGCTGCCTAGTCCACTTCGCACACCCAGACTTCGCCCGATGCAAAGTCATGGACAGCGCCCTTGAACAGCTGGCGGGGGTGCATTACGAGGTGCGGTTTGCGCGGGCGGATGTGGAATCGACACCGTTTCTGGTGGAAAAGCTGAAGATCAAGATCCTGCCGTGTGTGATTGGGTTTAAGGATGGAGTTGGGGTTGATCGGGTGGTGGGATTCGAAGGCCTGGAGGCCGGGGGGAGGGATGGTGGGGAGGGGTTTAGTGTGAGCGTGCTAGAGAAGAGATTGTTGTTCAAGGGGGTGCTGGTCAAGGCGAAATTGTCTTCGCCTGAGAATGAAGATGACAGCGAGAGTGAACGGAGCGAGAGTGAGGGATTCAGCAATCGGATCAATACCCGGCGGGCGATCCGGAGTGGAAATGCGCAGCGATTGAGAAATAGGGTGGACGATGACGACGACGACGATTGGGACTGAGGATTGGGGGGGATGGGGTGATGATTTTGTACTATATTCACGATACACTGCATGATCAGGGCCGCCATGACCATAAAAACGGGGCCCGCAAGGAAATGGCCTTCGAAGGAGACCGAGTGCTACAGGAAGAAAGTCAAGCCAGAGACGAAATAGATAGAAAGTCACTAGTGCTGCATCATCATAGAACTACAGACAAAAGATAAAAACGAAAACCGTGAAAAACTCAGAGCCATCTCGAAACGGGCCGCAGGGAAGAAGACACGAAGCGCAAGAAACAAAGCTCCCTAGAGTTACAACAAATGCCCGCGATAGCCGGAGGAGGACCACAAAAAAAAAAGAAAAAAGACAAACAAGAAAGGAATTTCTATACACGGAAGAAGAAAACGAAGGTGGTTGCAACAATAAAGACAACAATAGACAAGGATCCATCATAAGTGTCAATCAATCAACGACGCCGGGATAACCAACCCCTTGAACAGTGCAGAAGCGCAAAAGCCAGGCCTAATCTAAATGGCCACGTTCTTCATCTCACCGAGCACCTCCGAGTCCATGACATTCGAAGATCCTGGAGTAGGGGGGTCCGCCTTGTCTGTCTCCGACGATTTTTGGTCATTTGACTTGTCGGAGAATCCCTCGTTTTCTTTGTTGGAGATCTGTGGCGTGGATACCTCGAGCAGATCCTCGGTCTCGGCTTCGCCATTCTCCTTGGGGTCTTCCGAAATCGTCGGCGCCGTTTTGATGGGGCTCGTTGTTGTTTCTTCCGTCACGCGAGCGAGAGGACTCGACACGCCAAACTGGGTCTTGGGACTGGGGACCGGTTGACCCTTGTTGAAACGGTGCGGCGAGCGGCCACGCTCGTCAGCTCGAGTCGGACTGCCGTAAGGCGACTCACGGCTACTGGACCGGGGGCCCTGAGCGTTCGCACCAACACCATTCGGAGCCTTGCGGCGAGGCATGCGGCGGCCGAACTTCTGATCGGTTCTCCAGCGGAGAATCTCCAGGTAAGGAGGCTCGACATTTTGGGACTTAAATTCCTTCAGCTTTAGCTCGTGCGTCTCCTCATCGACCATGACCTTGCCGCTGCAGAGGTCATCAGCAAAGACGGCAAGGAACGCCGCCCAGGACCGAGCGATGACATATTTGCAATCGTAGTCGCGGCCGAAGATGATGACCTGACCCCATTTGCCCGCGGGACCAGGTGCCAGGTCAATGGCAAGGTGGTTTCCACCCCAATCACGAGCCATCGGGATCCAAGCCGGGTGAGCGTAAGCTTTCTGCACCGCACCAGGAGGCTGTGAGTCTTGACGATCAAGCAGATCCTGTCGCCACATCGAATTCGCAGGTTGAGCCGAAGCACCAGCGGCGGACGAGCTGGCCGCAGCACTGGACACGGGCGCGTTGTGAAACATCGATGCGCTCAGAAACTCCTCGTTGACCGTCTTCCAGTTCTTCCACTCCTGAACGATCTCCTCGCAGTCCAGCAGCATACAGCTGAAAATCACACCAGTCGGCAACCCAGGACGTTCCTGGCCGTCATGAACCATCAACGACTCCCTCACCTCCAGCGGTAAACTGCAGTCCAACTCGTGCTCCAATTCATTAATATCGTTCTGCGTGCACCCCTCGCCGAGATTGTCGAAGAGTTCTTCATAGTTGTGCTCGAGCCAGCGCTCAATCTTCCTCCAGGAGTGAGCGACCGGTGGAGGCGGCGGGGCGCCGTCGTGGAAGCTCTGCATCTGGATCTCGGCTGGGCCGTCGGGGTTGTCGTTGGAGCGACGTTGTTTCTGGGATGCAGACGAGCGCATGCCCGGCGAGTAGGGACGATTTGGGGAGCCGACATCGTTGACTTCGTTGGAGTTCGTGAAGGCTGACCCCTTGGGCTGTTCGTCTTCGTAGGGGCTGGAAAGGTCGGGGCGAGAGTCAAGGGCGCTGGTTGCAATGGAGGTGAGTGGCTCGTGACGGGCGCTTTGGCTGAGAGGGACGTGTCGGCCAGTGCGGTAGGGAGAGTCGTGGGTGGCATGACGGTCATTGGAGGTCATGGTATGCCAGAAGTCACGCCAGGCGGAGCCAAACCTGGAGGGTGGAAGAGGGTTAGCGATGAACAGTGTCGCGGAGAGAGGAGGGGGAGGGAGACGGACATATTGGACATGTTGGACATGGTGGTGGTGGTGGTGTTGATGTGTCGGGGAGGAGAAAACACGGGCACAGGCTGATTGATGGATGGCTGTTGTCGTGAAGGAATCAAACTGGGGCAGGCCAGGTAGTCATTGGAGACAGGGCACCTGGTCCTCGCCAAGTCGAAATAAGACTGCGAGCGAAGGTGGTGTGGTTGAGCGAGAGTGAATGAGTGGTTGGTGAAGATGAGTTGGGGGAATTTTGCGGCTGGACAAAGAGGTAGGTTCCTTGGTTTGGGTTGGTAGGGGTGAACGGAATTAGGTAAGTGAGCGAAGTAGTTCAAGGAACTGGGAGTTGGAAGAACAAGAGAATGGATGAGTGAGAATCATAATAAGATGATTCCCCCTTTCCGTGTTCAGGTATGCAGATCCTATGATGTCGACGCCCATTCATCTACACTATGACTGCTATCCACAACAATGCCTTTTGCGGCGCTCCATTATTCCATTGTCTCCGCCTACGGCAGTCGGTGGCAAATATCGTCAGCGTTGCACCTGCACCCAACATGGTAGTCGTATAGACGCTTGCCGCGGTTTTTGTTTTTCCTATTCCCAAAAATTTCTTCCAAGCCACCGAGCTATTGGGATCAGCAGCACCAAGCCGTTGGGGCCGCGGGTCCACGAAATCTAAATAGATGCCTACAGACAAGGAAGAAGATAATAAACGAGCGGACGGCATGATAATTCACACCAGTAGTAATATATCAACAGGACACTAAAACGAGAGACAGGGGCGAATGCAAATCATTCTCCGTGGACCAGACACGAATAACAAGCACTTGTGGGGGAAATTCCAGACTCCGAACGATGCAAAAAAGAGGCGACGCACAAGACAGAAACCTCATCAATGTACCGAATAGCACGATCCGTGGATCACATAGTCAAAAATAAAAAGATCATAACTGACAGCGGACATGCCAGAAAAAGTCAAAACACCCAGCACCTGGTCGTGAGAGAAAGAAAGACGAAACGCAACCACCGACCAAGGAACCTGGGACTCCAGGATGCCTCGAATAAGCCAATGCATGTAAAATCAGTACAAAGTAGAGCGAGAGAGAGAGAGTAACAAAACGAGTGTGGTAGGTGGGTAGATTAGGCAAATGAGCTCTGCATCCCGCTCGACGGGATCCCCGGCGCCGCATCTAGCTTCAGGATCCTGCGTAGATCATCCTCCATCTTCTTGGTGTCTGGAGATTGCGAAGGAGAAGGTGAGTTTGCAGATAGATGGAGTGAAGTGGACGGGTATTGAGGCTGCGGAGACGCATAGTTTGGCTTGTGATGCTGGGAAAACTGTGCCGGGGTCGGCTGATAGTGGTTTGCCGGGGCCGACGGGGTTGCCGAATAGGAATGATGAGAATTCGACGCAGGAACTTCCCGTCTCAAGGGAGAATTGGAATTGAAGTGGAATTGTTGCGAGCCACTGGGATGGGCGTAGATAGCCGGATGGCGGCCCGTATGATTGACCATGGGTTGCTTCTGGGGATTCGAATATGCATTTGACAATGTCGGAACAGGGCCCGATGTCGTTCGCAGCGGGGTCGCGTAGTGCGGAGTCCTGGCATTGGTGCCAAAACTTCCACTTTGCTCGTGAGCCGGGGAGGAAGAGCCCGGGGGTTTCTGTGGACGCGGGTTGAGCAGCAAATGCTTCAGCTCCTCGGTCTTCAGTCTCCTCTGGTCTTCGTTCAGATCTGCGGAGGAGTGCGAGGGAGAACTGCTAGCCCGGAAAGCGTTCATGCGATCCTGATAGGACGGAGCAAAGGACGGGCCGATGGGTGTGCTGCGTCCGGAATTCTCCATCTCGAACGAGAATACCCCGCCGTTCGGTGTGTTGTCGGCATTGGAGTGAAGCACCTTTGAATCGGTCTGCGGAGAGCGAACCCGGCTCATTTCTGGGCTATGCGCAGAGTTGGAGTTTCTTGCTTGCACAGCAGCCTTAAAAAGAAAGTCAAGAGGGGTCGGTTTCGGTTCGTCGGGGACGGTTTGAGGACGAGATCGGGGTTTAGAAGGTGTAGTCTCAATTTCTGGATCCATGTCTGCATTATCGCTGTCCGTCTCAAGAGTGGACGCAGGATCAGAATCGGGAAACGACTTGGAGAAAAAGCTCGGCATCGGGAGTGCGGACGGCGCCGGCGAGGCATGGAAGGTCGGCCCCGCATATGCGGCGCTGTCTTTCAGCTGCGGCGTCGTCACGCTGGGCTGGGAGGATGTGTGCCGATGGCCATTGTTGTTGGGCGCTGGCGACGGTCGATTGGCAGGTTGTTTCTTCGCCGACCGCGGCGCTTTCTTCTTTGACGAAGGAACCGGGTTTGACGAGTCGGTGGTCGCGCCTCCGGGGCTCACGTTCCGCGGTGGTGATGATGGAGGGGTACTGAGCATGACGGACTTGTGAGGTTGCGGGGTTGTGTTTTTCTTGGGCTTTCGATTGTTGCGCGAGGCCTTAGGCGTTGGCGGCTGAGGAGATTGAGATGTCGACATGGCGACTGTGCAAGGGGGAATCGGTGGCTTGAAAAATAGGCAGCCTGGGTTGGAAGAGATAAACGAGAAAGCGCAAACGCTAGAAGCAAAAACTGGCAGATAAATCGGTTAAATCACCGCGCAGCTGTCGACAAAGATCCAATGGGGGGTCCACGCCGGTTTCAGTGACGGAGAGGAGAGTCAGGTATATCGGAGACGAATCTAGTTGCAGAGAGAAACATCAAAGAGCGAAAGTCAAGAATAGCAACTGCGAGAAAGCCTGTCTAGCATGGAAAAAAGCATGGTTGATGAGGTTGGATGTTGGAACAGAGCAGAAGAGAGTCAGTCACCATCGAAGTGACGGAAGGCGAACCAGATGACTAAGAGACAAACACTGTCAAACACGCCGAATCAGGCAGGCCCCAGAGCTGCACCCACCTACGTACTGGCTTGGATTACTGATTGGGGACCCCGGAGACACCACCCTTGTTCCACCGTGAGTCTTGTCTTGCCATCTTCTGGTCTGCAGGAGACCGCTCTTTCTCGGAACAGTCCAAGCAAAGCTCCCCCCCCTCTACGATCGCCATCACCCCGCGAGTCCACGATCCACAAACCATGGCGGACGTGGAGATGAAAGAGGCCTCCGCCGGTGCTTCTGCCAAGGGCAAGACCGTCTCCAAGGGCTCTGACAGTGCCGCTGATGGCAAGAAGAAGTTCGAAGTGAAGAAGGTACCTAACAACAAACACCTCCAGAGCTCCATCGCAGAGCCTCCGCTGACCACCATCTATTTAGTGGAACGCCGTGGCGCTATGGGCGTGGGATATCGTGGTGGACAACTGTGCCATCTGCCGCAACCATATCATGGACTTGTGTACGTGCCTTGATAATCCCCGACAGACCGCTCGCTGCTAACTCACACTCACCAGGCATCGAATGTCAAGCCAACCAAGGCTCATCAACGACGGAGGAGTGCACCGTCGCCTGGGGAATCTGCAATCACGCCTTCCACTTCCACTGCATCTCACGATGGCTGAAGACCCGTCAAGTCTGTCCCTTGGACAACCGGGACTGGGAGTTCCAGAAATACGGCCGGTAAACGGTGGAAACGATGTCCGAGGATACTACACATACAAATTCGATGAAATGGCTCATGACACAAATACCTGCGTTGCTATTGCTTGCTGTCTTTCAAGAAACTCCCCCGTAGAACTATTGTATTTCTTCAAGCCACCTTCACCCCGTCCACCACGACATTTGGCCCCCCAGCCCTTCCATCTGTGCGAGCTAGCCACTTCTCGGGATTCTGATTGTAAAAGGGCCAGGGAGGGACCACAACTACAGCTGTGGCAAGCGTGCCGGCGAGGCCGATCCATAGCGTGAGGTGGATGTCCTTGAAGATGTATCCGACGACGAAGCTGACGGCCTAGATAGACCAGAGTCAGTCTTGACACCGACACGCATGGATATAAATGGTGTAGCTTTGTAAACGCAAACTCACCGCGGAGAGAATCAAGAGCACCGTCGAAAGGATCTCAGCGAGGCGCTGGCCGTGGAAGTCCTGTTCCCCAGAATGTTCTTGTTAGCTTGGGAATCCTTGAACCGCCGCTGGGAGCTGTCCTGCGTGGTCGATGGGGAATAATATTGCGCAGAGAAACATACGATCTGGCCTTCCAAGGCATCCTGAATTGGAGCGAGTAATTCGTCCATGGTGGCGTCGGTGACAGAGTCGCGAGGTGAAGGACACGCGCTTATCGCAATGGTGGCATCTGCCGCCGCATCACCGCCTTTGCTATACGTTGCACTACTCTGTAAAACTACCACCGTTTTTTTCTCTCTTTCTTGCTCGACTGGCTGATTGTATTGTCTTCGTTTTTGATTCTATTAATTTATTTTTGATGTACCTGGGACACTCAGTCCGGCAGTCTATGTAGCACTTCTATGTTTTTGGCCCGGATTATATCCATCATCTCGGACCACTATGCCGAGTGAGATCAGAGATGCAAAGCCCGAAGGTACTTTACCGCATCAAGGGAGGGGAGGCGACATGATCCAAAGAAAAGCAGCGGTGAAACTGAAACGGGGAGTCTTGCTTTGACACGAGGCTTATGACGTACGACCTGGCTGGTCGCCTAGACTTCTCCCAGAGCTATGGGAAGTATGACTGGCGCCCACTCCATGCTGTGCACGGGGGACTCCTGACCAGAGGAGACAGAGGGGATGGACGGCGATGTCTATCAGGTTTATTTCGGGATGACCGTCGCCCCATCCTGGGCGGGCTCGAGCAGCTTCCACTGGCATGAGATCTTATTGGCCGCGAACTGGGCAATGATGCGGTCTGCGATCTCGGTAAAGCGATCAGTCGCCAATGCCAGGATGGTCGGACCTGCACCCGACAGGCAAATGCCCAAGAGCCCCGGCTGGGTGGCAGGGGTCATGGATTGCAGGATCTCGGTCAGCCCCGGGATCAGGGTTTTGCGATACGGTTGGTGGACCTTATCCTGCATGGCCAGGAAAATCATGTCGGGATCGGGCGGCGAACTCCCCAATGCGGCGGGAAGCAGGGCCGCGCGTTGTAGATTGAAGACCTGATATGACTCCAATTAGCGACCGATCGATGTTGGGCAAGAAGAATACATACCACGTCCGCTCTGGAGTACGACTGGGGCAGCACATTGCGGGCATTGGCAGTCGGCACGACAAAGTCGGGAATGATGGCAATGGCCTTGATTTCCTTGGCCCAGTGGAACTTTCGGTAATGGCCGATGCCCAGCGGTGGCGCTGGGGGGCGATTGCCCGTGTCGATGCCCCCCGCGGGAGCCGGCAAAACCTCACTAAGGGGGATTTCTTTGCGCGCGACATCCTCGGGTTTGAGCTCGTTCAGGTAGGTGCCCACAAAGCCTCCAAAGAGCGAGGCAGCCACGTTGTCTGGGTGCCGTTCTGGAAAGGACGAGTCATCAGCGTACGCTTTCCTTGCATGCAGAAGGGGGGGGCCATTCTCCACTCACCAATCATCAGACAGTAGTCGAGCAAGCGCTCCTTGCTTAGGCCCAGGCGGCCAACCTCATTGCCGAGCATGACGCCGGCCACGACCGCCGTGCCCGAAGACCCCAACCCGCGACCCAGCGGGATGGGGTTGACGATGTGCACGGTGGTCTCGGCGGGGAACGCGCGCTGGTCATGGCAGCGCAGCAGATACAAGGCCACGCGGGTGATCAGATTGACCTCTGGGTCGAGACTGATGGCCTCTGTGCTTCGGCTCTGGTCTTCATAGGTAATGGCGCAGTTGAGGGGTTGTTGCGACGCGGTCGTGGGGTCGACAGTGACGTGCAGTTCCAGGTGCAGGGAGAGGGCGAGGCCGATGACATCGAAGCCGGGGCCAATGTTGGCAGAGGAACACGGGACGCGGATGACGAAGGAGGAGGCCATGGTGTTGCGGGAATTGCCAATAAATCGCTCGTACAATTTTACGGAGTGGTGGTGGTGGGTGAAGTATAAGAGGACGGACTGACTCAACCCCCCGAAAAAGAAAAATTGGCCGACACCGGCGTGGTGGAGCAGGGGTGCTTGGGTGCGAACCAGATGGGACGCGATCTGATCGGATGGGATGTAGTCGTTCGGAGGGAATCCAATCATACAATCATCACCGTCAAGGCAAAATAATCATCCTCGTGTAGCAAGTGCGTAGGATGTACTCCGTGGATCCTGGACCCTGCGGATTATGACCATGATGTAACAGGTCCAGTGCAGAAAAGACTCGGTGAGCGGCAGAAGGCCTGACCCCAGAAACATAAATGCCTCAGAGAAACGGGAAGTAGGATTCAGTTGTAAGAGGGAATTATCTGGGCTGTTATAGGCCCCTCAGTACTACCAAGTCGTCTCGCGGGGGAACCAGACCGGAGACCCGCAGAAAATTTTCACCTAAGAGGCACTTAGGGTTCGACTGGACTCTTCTTCCTCTCTTCCCCCCATCACTGTCCCTCTGGACTCTGTCTTCTTTTTTAATCTCTTTCCACCACATTTTCACCCGTCAAGGTCTTTTCGTATCTTGTCTGCACTGCTTCTGTTCGTGCAGACTCTTTCCCTGCCATCGCATCTCGCCACCCTCAAGCACAGCTCGCTGTCTTTGGGGATTTCCCCTCGCCGTCCTCCCTCTCCTTCCCCAGTCACAACCCTGGAGCGCCCGCGCTCCCATTTCTCCCTTCCATTCAAGTTGGCGGGACTTCGCTACACCCAGTCCTCTCTCCTCCACCCTCTCGCGGGCCCCAAATTCCGGGTCTTCTGCGGAGGCGACACTCGACCTCCCTAACTGGCCTTGCCCCATCTTCTTTAGCTGCGGCCAACAGACGTGTGTCGGTGACGCCAGACCCTCGCAAAGGGTCTGGCACATGGATGGAGGGCCCTCACCCCTGATCCGACCTCTGAACCGACTTGCGTCTGCTCTGACGCTTGTGCTGCATATTTGAACAACCAACCCCAAAAAGCCTCGTAAGATCGAGGTTTGCCGATCAAACTGGCTCCCTAGTCGGCTTGTATTGAAACATACCCCCGCGAACGAACAAGAAAGAAAGACCAAAGAATGTCTGAGTCTCCCAAGTCCGACAAGTACCCGGGCTTGACCCGGTACAGTACGCCCGTCCCTGAGCTGGACGATCATCGCTTCCACCTGGATTCGGTCCCGCGCTTCGAGGCCCCGGGAGACGCCACACTAAGCCGACAGAACACCGTTCACCAGGGGCCGAACGGAGATACCCTGGACCGTGCAGATCTGCTCCACGTGCAGGACGCCCTTCGGGAGGCGGGACCCGTCTACCGAGACTTTGAGCAAGCGATTGTGGACGACGATCAGTCCGTCAATGATGTCAATGGAATGGTGCGGCGTTTTTCGGCCACCCCTCGCCGGATCAGCCGGGGCCAGCAAGAGCGCCCGGGGACCATCTCGCGCAAGTCATCCGTCTCGGCTCGATCATCCTCTCCACCCAACTCGGTGGACGCTTTCGCGGACCCGCGTCGTCGGGAGCGAGCAAACACCTTGGATAGCCATGTCGATCTTGACCTGGAAGCCCTTCTGCACCGCACCGTCTCCGGCGGCACGCAGGCTCGCCGCCCGACCTTCAGTAATGCGAGCGTGGTTCGTCCCCAGCCCGGAGATATTCCGTTAGACCCCAATGAAGAGGCGTGCTACGACCAGCCTGGCCGAATTCCCGTGATTGACTACGAGGAGCTGGAGGAATTCGTGGCCCTCAGCCAGAACACCAAGCCTACTGGCGATCGTCGCAAGCACAGTTTCAGCTCTCAGAGCAAGAAGCCTCGCATTTTCCATGACCTTCGCCCGGGTGCCAAAGACACCAATGATGTCAGCCCTTCCGATTCGTCTGATTGCTGTGTTCTTGAATCCGAGAAGCCCTGCAAGGCTTTCGACGACAAGGGGCTGGTAGAGACCTTTCAAAACACGAATGAGCCTCGGTTTGGGTTCTTCTCATCTGAGTCGCAGACCACGGTGCATGCGGCAGAACTAGGAGATCTGGTGCTCCCCGGTGATAGCTTCCGGGATTTGTTTCAATTGGGACCCGAAGGTGGTGTCTGGTGGCTTGATGTTATCAACCCAACCGAGGAGGAACTGGGCGCCATCTCTCGAGCCTTCTCTATTCACCCGCTGACAACGGAGGATATTTTGACTCAAGAAGCCCGCGAGAAGGTCGAGCTCTTCAAGCAGTACTACTTTGTTTGCTTCCGCACTTTCTACCAAGTGGACAAGAACAGCGAGGATTTTTTGGAGCCTGTCAACTTTTACATGGTGGTTTTTCGGGACGGCGTTTTGACCTTCTCCTTTGTTGAGAATCCTCACGCCGCCAATGTCCGAAAACGTATTGGAAAACTGCGTGATTATATGGCTCTCAGCAGCGACTGGATCTGTTACGCGATGATGTAAGTCAACCACCAGTGCCAGTTCATTCACACCAGCTAATGTGACCCAGCGACGACATTGTCGACAGTTTCGGTCCGGTTATTCACGACGTGGAGGTGGAATCCGAGGCGATTGAGGACTATGTGTTCATCGCCCGAGTGGACGATTTCGAGTCCTTCCTCCCTCGCATCGGTGGTCTCCGCAAAAAAGTTATGACTCTGATGCGCTTACTGGGCGGCAAGGCGGACGTCATCCGCGGATTCTCGAAGCGCTGCAATGAGCAGTACTCGGTGACACCACGCGGCGACATCGGGTTGTATTTGGGCGATATCCAGGATCACGTCGTGACCATGATGTCGAACCTGGGGCACTTTGAGAAGATGCTCAGTCGGTCGCATACCAACTACTTGGCCCAGTTGAATGTTACCAACCTGGTGCTGGGCAACCATGTCAACAAGGTGCTCAGCAAGGTCACGCTGATTGCCACGATTCTAGTTCCGCTGAACTTGATCTGCGGTCTCTTTGGCATGAACGTCCCCGTGCCGGGAAAGGACTCGGAAGGACTCGGCTGGTTCTTTGGGATCATCGGGGTGATTGGTGGGGTGGTCGTCGTCAGCATGGCTGCTGCTCGGTACTTTAAGCTTGTTTGAGTTGAATTGTCTTTCGGATTTTCTGATTTGGCCGGATGGAGGGAACGTGAATATTTTCTTGTCTTTCTTATTTTGTATGCAAATTCGCGATGATACATATATATATCCATCTCAATCCTTTAAACTCTCCAGCCATTATTATTATTGTTATTACTGTCTAGCTATAGGCTAGGTACACTTTAGTAGTTACATAGTTCCCATTCTTCCTACTAGGTATCAAACATATTACTATCAGGCATCAAGGCATCAACCCCGATAAGCCGATTCTCCCAAGTTCAGCTGCTCCTCAACTTTCGCCCTCTCGTCGACTACATGCAGCCACCCATTCCCAGACACTTTCAGTGGGTGTGTCCGACCGCTGCTTGTCCGTGAAGTGGTCTCTACCTCTCCTACTACCCCTATGCGCGCCGTGCGCCCGACTCCCCCATCTTACCTTCCATGCGACTACAACCCACATCCCTGCAGTGCTCGCTAGCTGCAATCGCCTACGCCTTTGTCTTTCTTACCCCCCTCGTCCATGCTGCAGCGGACGAGAGCAGTCCCGATATCTATGGGACGATCATCGGCGAAGGCGCCGGCTTCCCGGTAGCCCTGGACTCCTTTAACGGGCTGGAACTGCGGGACGTGGACGCAGAGGACGAATCCAATGGGCTCGATCTGGTGAAAAGATATCCGTCAGATGCTATCTCGATGGCAAACAATAATTTCCATACCAGCTTGATCGAAGTCGGCCAGATCCAGTGGTGGTATTTCCCCAAAAACGTCGTTCATGGCGAGAAGGCTGGGCCGAGCAAGGGGTTTCCGCCCTTTGCTACTCGAGATTTGGACGATCAGTTGGACGAAGAGGCACGCAGTGAGCTACGGAAGCGAGCCGATGATAATAGCCAAGTGCCCGTTTATATGTCGTTGACGACGTGCCAAGCACCCTCCACCAACAAGACCGATGCCAAACCCTTTGACCAACTCGAGGTGTATGTGTCGTTGTCGGATAAGCTTCAAAAGCCTGGTCCAGAGCATGAGGGCAACCCGTTGCAGAACATGACCCGCGCGTCTGGCGGGTACTGGAGCCAAGAGGTGCAGGCCGAGGGCGACATATTCGTCGCGGTCGTAGCGCCCAACTCGACCGAATACTCCGGGGAATACGAATACCAGATCGCCGTGTCGATCGATGCATATTTCCACGCCGTCAACGAGGATGACCCCTTTCTGTTCTTCATCGACGCAGATATGCATGCCGCGCTGCTGGTCACGAACAACCTGACGGAAACCGACCCGGACTCGGCGACGTACCAGGAGTGGATGGATCTCGCGCCGCCTTACACCATGTTCGCGCATGGTATCAACGATTCCGCACTGGCGGGCCTGGAGCGATCGTTCTGCGCACTGCAAAAATATGCCCCCCAGGTCAGTAAAACTGAGGTGGGCATGACCAGTCGCGGACTGGGGAATAAGCCCAAGCAGCAGTTTTATATCACGGGACTCAATCGGAGTTCTGAGTATTATGGGGTTCTGGCGATGGTGGGCAATTCCACGGCTAGCGGAAATAATATTGTTGGTGGTGGTGGGAAATTGTGGAAGCCGTTGAACTTTACTACCAAAGCTGGTGAGTTTTTGCACCTCTGGAGGGGAGAAATGATTTTTGCTGACTCTGCTAGATGACAATTGCGCGGTTCTCTTCAACCTAACCTTCTGCTCAGAGGTTGCGTACGCCGTACCGTCCAACCCGGATCTCTCAGTCGAAAGCCTCCGGTCCATCTACGATGATTACGCCGCACAGATGTACCAGAACTTCAGCTACTCACTGCAGCAAGTCCAATGCAACACGACGCCCGAATCCATGTACTCGCTCGCAGTCGGCTGCTCCAACTGCTCAACCGCCTACAAGCAATGGCTCTGCAGCGTCAGCATCCCGCGCTGCGCAGACTTCCAAAGCCAGGAGTGGTACCTTCAAGTGCGGAACGCCGGCCAGGATTTCATCAACGGTAGTTCCTTACCTGCGGATGATCCCCTCCGGCATTCAGTTGCAACGAACCGGTCTCGCAATCCCCTCATCGACACGGAGATCAAGCCCGGCCCGTATAAAGAGATTCTACCGTGCTCGGATATTTGCTACTCGCTTGCCAGGGGTTGTCCTGCTGCGCTGGGATTCGGGTGTCCAACAGGGAAATGGCTGAATGCGTCTTATGGATGGCGGGACCCGAGTGGAGATATCACTTGCAGTTACCTGGGAGCGGCTTATTATCTGAATAGTTCGCCGAGGATGCAGATGTGGCTGGGGGTGTACATGTTGAGCGGGATGTGGACGATTTTCTGGGCGTTTCTCTAGGTACTTGACGGATTTGAACAGGCATTGTACATTCATTTATTCATTCCACTACTTTATACCCTTCCTTCTGTAGTCTATTCTAAGGCCCTATAAACCGACCAAGTGACCGAGATATCGTATACAAAGCCATAAATCATCACCAATCCAACCTCCCAGAAGTTTTCTCTTCCGCTTTAGATTCTAGAGCATGTCCACCCCCACCTCCCCCTCCAAACACCCAACTCCTCTCTCCACAGATCATTCACGCACGGATCACACGAGCTCCCACAGCATTCGCCTAGCCCCGGCGGAGGCGGCGGGTCATCATGGTCGCGAGATGCGGCGCGAAGCAGCTGTTTCGTGCGTGTTGCTGTGAGACGGGTGCGCTGGAGGGTCTTGAAGAGAGGGACTTCTTGGGGAGAGTAGAGAGGTTCTCTTTCTTGGGATAGGGATGGGGGATTTGCAGAGGAGGGATTGGGATTGGGGGGTGGAGGGGTTGGTTCTTGGTCTTGGGTTGGGGAGGTTTTTTGGGATTGATCTTGAGATGATGGGGTCGGGTGTTGGGACGATTGAATTAAAGAAGTGAATGGGGAGAGGAGGGTTGTCAATATAGAGGAGGTATAGTTTGAGACTGGAATTGAGGTCGATGTTGGTGTTGAGAGATTGTGAGTGGCACTCTTTGAAGCAGATGAAGCCTCAGCCTCAGCCTCTTTGTCTGTAGTAGAGTCGACACTCATTCTGCATGAACTGGTACTCCGCTCGGATAGATGGATGTTGTTTTGCAGCCAGGTAGATGGTAGTCTATGGATGCATTAGCCCATCGTCCTGAGAGGTCCCGAGTCCAGAACTCACCAGGCCTGTCATATCTTCAGTCTAGACAGATATGGATCTGGGTGCATACACAGAAAACGGGTGCATACTTTAATGGATGCCAATTCCTGGAGTGTTGCCGGGTGTACGTGCCCGATAGATTGACGTTGAATGAAGAACTCGGCATGTTCGGCATTGCTCATCCAGGTTCATTCCCGAGTTTCCTGTTCGTTCCGATCCGAACCTAACAGCACCTTATTCCTACAAAATTCTTCGTTTTCGTTCGCCATGAATATGGTTAACAGCCAGGCCAAAATGGACCGATATATTTCTTTGGTCATTAACACGGTATAAGTATTGTACAAAAGTGGCATCCAAATGCCATCAAACAACCGTGGTATCGTAATGCATCATCAAACTCGCTAAAAGATATAAATAAAAAAAACCTGCATCCCTGGCGTCGACCAAATACCCTTCCCCTGCCGATGATAGACAGCACGAAGGTTGAAGGTTATGAGGAAAGCAGCTTGCGGATCGCATAGCTAAGCGGCATCATCACTTCCTCCTCGGGGTAGGCGTCCACATATTCTTCTCACCCGACTTGCCCCCCGCCGTCCGCGGGGTACTCCCACCGACACGATGTAGCAACTTCTGCGCCGCAGGAGTGAGCATCTTCTGGTTGTGTCCACCACTACCACCTGGAGTGCCGCGAAGACCAAAGTCCACTCGTGGGCTACTAGCGAAGCGCGGCGTAGATGACACAGGCGTCTTGGTGGATCTGGCGACCTTTTCAATGCGTCTGTTGCGCGCAACTCTGTCCACCATCCTGTGGTGCAGGGCTTCGCGTTTGCGGGTTTCGCGAAGCTGGAAGGGATTGGGGGTTGAGTCTGTACTAGCACCCAGAAGACGCCAGTCTGCTTCCGCCTCAGCTAGTTCAGGCTCGGGCTCGTCTTCGTCGACAAAGGCGTAGCCGTTCACTCGAGGAGTTTCACCTCCTGGAACGGCGGAGGCAGCTTCCGATTCGCTGAGACGGGGTCTGCCAGCGATAGCGTCTTGGATGGCAGAAAGAGACGGCGACGGCGGGACTGCATCCGCGGCAGCAGCAGCATCCTGGTCGACGAGCCGTGTATTTTGGTATAAAACCCGTTTAGGTCCCGCTCGTGAGGCCGCCTCTGCTTTCTGCCGGATCGTCTCATGTGTATCCTCAACCGAAGACGGAAGAAACATGAGCGAGTTATCCGGCCGAGCATCCCATCCATCCGGTCTAGCGGGACGGGAATCCAGGTCCGTTTTGATAGCCGGTTGCTGTTGCTGGTCGCCGCGCTTGATCAGACTTGTCTCCGGGTCCCCGCCCTGAGCAATGATGCGTTTTCGTTCACTTTGGTGGTAAGCGATTTGGCGGGCCGATGGAATTTTGTTCTGATTCCACAGCCAGGCATGTTTCTCGCGCTTCTTTGCGTTCTGCTTGTCTAGGACCTTGTTGAAGGACTCGTTGTCTTCACTGGTGTATTTCGCCTGAAATGCAAGCAATCCCAAATTCGATACATCGGGAATATTATCCTGCACCTTCTCTTCTGTTGGTGCGGCTGATGCAACGGACATGGGAGTCTCGCCTCCCCAGCCGCGAGGTGTTTCAGTCCCCCCAACAAAGTGCTGCGGTTGTGGCGTGCGAGCTGGTGTTCTGCTGCCAGGAGTCGGTGTTCGCATGACATCAGCGAGTTTCTTCTTCGCGCTCGTGATCCAGTTCTTATCCTTGGATTCCAGCGCATCAAGATACTCTTGCTTAGTCTGAGTCTCGAGCAGACCCGGGAAGAAGTCGCGGGCGATGATGTGCGATAGGGCGTCGGTGTAGATATCTTCGTCGAGGACGGTTGCGGGGCGTTTGATCCGTTTCGGAGGTGGTGGCGGCGGCATAAGCTGGTTGTCCTGCGACCGCTTGACCAGCGCCTGTGGTGATGGTGTAGAAGACGTCATGGCTGGTCAGTGAGACCGAAGGTCAGACCAGCTGGAGGTGATGGAAAAGAAAGTACGAGAGACTTAAGTATGGGGCGATTAGACAGATAAGAGTCAGGTGATGATTGTGGCTTAGGTAATGTTGTATACAGAGACAGAACAGCTACAACAACAAAAAAAAATATTGGAGAAGCGAACGTGCCAGGATTTTCCATTCCCTCTTTTATATATTCCGAGTCCACATTCCCCAGGATAAACAAGAGAAAACCAACACCAGACCAAAATTGTCCAATAATCGCTGAGAAATGCCTCGACCAAGATGAGAGAACGACCACAGCAGGAACTGATAGACCGGCGTACAAAAAACCAACCCATAGATGACAAGGAAATGCACAAAGATTGACAGTAGATAAACAAAAAATCGTGGACTCGTGGATGATTCTATAGTGGGGGTCAAGCGAGGGTGGTTGAGTGAGCGTGAGAGTAGAAAGGTCAGAAAACAGAAGACTTTTTGTCTTCATGGAAAGGCAGAGGAAAAGGAGATAAGCCTAGATGGCGTTGGCGGTAGGGAAAAGAGAGTAGGAGGTGGTGCGGGTCTTCTTCCGATTGGGGTTTTTGGCAGGGACCACCGGAGGTCCGCCGGGGGGCTTAGAAACCTCGAAAGTAGATTTGGCCCGATCGTGACTCGCAGGAGGGGTGGTATCGGTGCCTTCGAGAGATGAGCTGCTGTCTGCCTGCAGCAGGAAATGCGCTTCGGCCAGACTTCTCGTCTGGCGGTGGAGCGAGGATGAGTCCGGGCGGCTGGCAGGGCACACCACGATCTCGCCGCCACCCGTACGCTCGGTCGGCATCAGCTCGCGGCTGTTGCTGAGACTGTGCACCAGTTCGGGGACACTGGTCGTGGAGACCGACGAGCGGTGCTTACGCACGATCGACGCGGCGCGGGAGAGCATCAGGCTCTCTTGGGAATTGCATTTGCTGATCGGCGAGAAACTACTGCGCGGAGAAGAAACGGGATTCTCAGCGGAGGTGATTATTCCCTGAAACGGGAAGTGCCGATCTGATTCCGAATCAGCTGCCAGATAATCCTCATACAGCGTCTCGTGGGTGATCTGCTTGCCCAGCGCCGACGGCAGGATCGAGGCACTGACAGGTTGGTGGAAATAGTCCGCCGCACTCCGCACCATTAAGTCTTGCTCATACTCGGTTGAAGACGGAGTGACCGCCTGTTGAGAAGGTGCGGAGCGTGCGGAGGAGGGGGCCAAATCCGGGGTCGCAAGAGTAGTTTCACTCAGCGGGCTTGGTTGTAGGTATCGACTGGACGGGGCTGCCAGCCACGGACTTTCGGTCCCTCCAACCTGCGTGCGCTGCGACTCATCCTGAGAAACACGCGACCAATCGAAGTCGGAGGTGGACTCGGCCGCATGCTCGTAGCAATAGTCGATGTCCGCGTCCCAGGAATCGTACATTTCATCCTCGGACGAGAACTGGCCTACGCTGCGGGGGATTGGCCCCTGGTGGTTCACATATTGATGTCGAGGTGGGACTTGGTTCTCGGGTAGGGTCGGCGAGCCCAGCGCCTGCGAGAATTTGCGCGACAGCTCCTCGGCCACGAAGATCGACAGTGGCCGTTTGGGAGCAGCCATCCGGGGTGCGTGGTCGTCGGCCACAGGTGGACTCACATGGGAGACCGAGCGAGAATGGGAGTATCCAAGGCTGGACTCGGGGCTGTCCCACATGCGAGTTGCTTCTTCCTCCTCAGGAACATCGGCCAGGTCGTAGTGGCTGTTGCTGGATGAGGTCCTAACGGTCACATCGTCTGCGAGATACGATGATGGCTCTCCGTTATGAATGAACTCTGGGTACGTCTTCGCGGAAGCGAGGCCCAGCACTTCATCGATAGCGCGCGGTGCAGGCTCGGCTTCCTGCTCTTCAGCTTCCTCAGTGGCTGGAGGCAGATCAAGGGCGACCGCAGGTGGTGGAGTGGCGGGACAGGACCGGGGATATCTCGAGACTGGACGCGAGAAGTTCTCATTGGCGCGAGATTCTCTCCGCGTATGGCCCCCACGGTATGGGCTGGTTCTGCCGATCTCAGGGGAACCTGGCGGACTGCGAGCCACGCCGTCCACAGTAGTTGCCGTGCCATACGCGGCCAATTCGTCTGAAGAAAAGTTACGGAAATGAATGTCTTCGGCGCGAATGCCCTTCAGATCTGTTTGTGCGCGCTGAGACGCGCGGATGACCGAGAACTCGGTGATCAGGTCGTTTTCCCGGGTCTGATCAAGGGAAGGAAACTGTGCCGGGCTCGTATGGGTGAGATGATGAAAGTCGAATGGGTCGGAAATGAGGCTCTTCATTTGCTCATCTTTCCAGCTTGTTAGATTTATGGGAGATATGCCGGGGGAGAAAGGAACTTACGGTGGTTCGCCCGCCGTGAACGGTGGTGACGGTGTTGCGATTCGGTCCTCTCGTGCATGTGTCCCATCTCTTCCTCCTCGTCCAGTGTGGCAACGATGTTGACTTTGCTGCCCTGACGACGGAGCATGCGGCTCGAGCGGGCCAGGAAGGACCTCGATGTCCGGTGCTGCTGGTGGTCGGGGCGCACGCCCATTGCAGAAGCGGTGCGTTCGTCTGGAAGGAAGCCAGAGGAGCCCTCGGAAGAAGTCATGGAGTTGTTTGGCGAACGACGCTCGGAGGTAGAGGTGGAGGTGGTGTTGCTTCTTGAGCGGCCCCCAAAGACAGAAAGGCGTTTCGGGCTGCTTTGTGTGTGCGCGGTCGACCGAGAGCGCACATGGACAGCATGCTCTGGAGGATCGTTGGAGGAGCGAGTGGATGGAGGATCGCTACTGGCATCGTCGTCGGTCAATGGGGGCCCGCCCCGGTAGTACATCATGGAAATTTGAGTGTGGTGCATCGTGATGACCTGGAGGGACGAAGTGGGAGAGAAAGGAGAGAAGCTACAACATAATAATAGTAATAATAATGAGCGACCGAATGAATGGAGGTCTCTGCTAGTAGTAGGAGTGGTTGTAGATAGTAGTAGAAGGAAGAGAAGAAGAAGAGGAAAGGAATAATAGTATGTATTTCAGGGGGATCCCAGAACTAGTTAGTACAGCAGTGTCGAGCCGTTATGCCTCTCCACTTTAGTTAGGGCTTTGCTCTATTGTTCCAACGAAACCACCCCAACTCATTCCATCCCAGCGACCCGGAACCGAAACTCCTTTTGTGCCTAGTGCCCTGAGTAGCGCGGCGCCAGAACGTGTGGAGGTTGGCCCTTGCCCTAGTCGAGTAAGGATGATCGTGCAATGGACCCGTTTTGAAGGGGCTTTTTTCGTCCTGTCCCCTTCCTTCGATGTTTGGGACGGAGATTCACTCACTAACCCTCTCCTAAACGTTCTTCTCCGCACTGGGTAATTCCCTCTCCGGCTAGTCAAAGATGGGCCTTATCGTTGCGCCGTTGGAAACATCTCCTCCACACCCTCAACCCGTGGGCGTTCTGAGACCATCGGAGATTTCCCCGCGTTGGAACCTCGAGCGCAACATCTGTATTCTTCCATGGTATGATGGCCGGGTTCCGTCGTGTCACAGATCGCAAACCATCTCCGGCAGTGGAGCACCGGTTTGACAAAATAACCAGAATGTGCGACCCGGCAGTTGCCCGCCGCGCGGTGGGTTTCACTTCTGGGCTCCAACCAAACGGAACCTTCTGTACACAACAGTATGAACCTGTACTCCATCTCGGAGGCTACCGTTATCTTGAGATCCACGCCTGGAGCTCGGCGATCTCATTCTTGTCCCGCCAGGAGCATTTTGCATATTCGGGACTCACCGGCGCAACCCTGGTAGTTCTTAGCCAATCTCCTGCAAGTTCGGGTGCGGCGACTCGTGCTCGTGCCAATGCTTGCTGCGACCCCTGAGGTCAAACGGTATTTTCGAAAAACGAACTCCGGTGGAGCAGGCCCACTGGTCAGGCCCGATTTCAACACCCAACGTGAACCATATTATTGACAAGCAGATGGTGCGAGAGACCCGAAGTGGGCCGGGGAACCAAAAAATCAACAAAGGACGCCAGTGTCTCAGGATGGAAATACACCGACGACTCCTGACGATCGCGCCGTCTAGACCTCGTGGAGCCTTAGGTAAGTATCCTCTGACCGGGGGGCTGACCGGGGTGTTGACCGGGCTCCCTAGTGGCCCGACTTTTCCCAGCAGGTCCTCTCGGGCTTGCACTCCCCGACCGTTCAGGTCCCCAAATGCAGGGAAGAGAGAGCGACGGGGCCCAAGCGCAATAATGAAGAACGAGTATCGGCGGGCGCAAAGAATCCTTCAGGATGGAAGATGTATTTTCAATGCGATTGTCTGCGAGAGGGGCTAATAATACATAGTGATGGATGCACGACAATCGTCATGATCGATCTTCTTCATCTCAATTGATCTGTTATTATTTCCCCATGGGGGCCTAGCAAGAATAATGGCGGCAACGTCATGTCCACAATAACGAACTAACAGCCTTGCCGATACTCCCGTAAAAAGGCAAAATCCTGCACACAGGGCAACACCTAACAAATCCTCAATGACGGAGAAACAGCCACATAGCTATCTCGACGCCCTCCCGGGCGCCGATTGTCTACGCGACTCTCATGCCCTCCATCGAACCCTGAGTACCCACGGCCAGGCACACGCAGATCCAGCCCCAACTTCCAATGATCCGAATCCTGCTCGAGTGCCCTGTTGGAGGGAAGGGGCCGGCCTCGGATGCAAAATATAGTAATGCGAGCACCTGACTTGGCGGGATTAAACGCGAAAGTATGAATTAATGTCTACATCATCGCTTAACGACGAGGCTGCCAAAAACAATTACCCGTGAGATGAACTAGTCGGGTCAATTGTGCCAATTCCTGCGTCCGAGTCCCTCGTATGTAAACCCCCAGCAAAACAGTCGTGGAACTATGTGGAACTCTATCGGCGGGGAGATAAACGATTCCCGCTCTGGGAAACTGCATCGAACAAATCTCGCAGGGTTCGGTGGAATGCCGGCATTTTGTGCGGAGATTCGTGGTTGTCTTATCTTAGCCTAAAAGACTCTGTACTATTTCGCGCTGGTTATTATCTCTTGCGGGGGAAAAGGAAAAAAAAAATACGAAACTCCAATATCAATGAGTGATTGGGACTTCGACAAGCCGATTAAATTTACCGTACATCCAGAATCCCCTTTCCCCCAACCTCAAACGCCAGATGGAATTGATGTCCGCGCAAGGTAGGAACCAGAGAGGTAATAATTTGGCACATAAACATCCATAGTAGCGCCGCCAACACCTAAACCAGCAATCCCAAGCGCAAGGGCTTTGTACCCTTCAGCAAAAACATTGCCTGCCGAGTTGGCGCCACCGCGACCAGCGCCGTTCAGGGTGAGAAGGGCATCATCGTTGCTTGGGATGATGACATTGTCCGTGGAGACCAACTCTTTGAGCAACTCATCAAGAGTCACGCCCAGAGCATCAGCGAGGGATTCCAGGACAAAGCCGACGTGACGCTTGCCGATGATGTTGCCGCCATCGACATTGAACAGATTATCAGCGTTGGAAGCTTTGCCAACAACACGCGGGATGAAGTCCTTGGCAATCGAGGTGGCGGCCGATCCCATGTTGCTGATAAACTCCATCCTGCTTGGCGACTGGGGCCGCGAGGGGCACAGTAGCCCTAGGAGCGGTAGCAATAGTAGCGTGATGCATGATGGATTTAGAGCCTGAGGATATACTATTAGCTAATTGACAAAGAAAGTAGGGGAAATCGCTATCCTGCAGCGGAATACAAGCGAAACATATTTCAGCATTAGTGCTTGTGGAAAGCACGGGAGAGGAGAGACAAGGTTCTACAGGTCATTTGCAACTCTCCACACCTAGAGTCTACCTACCGAATTGGGTATGCGGTAATGTACTCGTACTTTTTACTATCCTTTTTCTCATAAAACACACGTGACTCGAAACCCTAATCCTAAGAATCAAACACTTCTCTTATAAGTCCAGTACCACTGTATACGCACTACTCCGTACCCATTAATTTATTCCTACAGTTGGCTGGGGGGGGTGGTAAAGTAGCAATGGCCCTCATCAAACCCGAACTCAAAAATCTCTAAGAATAACCGATAAGCACTTCAAATACAGCCAACACGGTGCCCTGCATCCCACCCGCCCCCTTCATGCGAGGACGGCACGGTCCCTGCACGGCCCTCCACTGACCGTGCATGAGAATCCCACTAGAACCTCGGCCTGCATCGGGGGCCTTGCTTGTGGCGTGCTGAACTGTGGGTTGTACCTGCATACGCAGTAAAAGGCCGGGCTCGTAATAATTATTGTAGAGATTGGGGGGAAATGTTGAGTCCGTCTTGAGGTTTTGTTTATTACTGGATTGGTTGCATACCGTCATCTGGGGGCGAAGGTGCGCGGGCCGTGCCTTGTTTGGATCCCTGTTCTTCTTTGGGGGCAGGTTGGTGAACGTGATGCGGGCATGCGACAAGGCATACTCGTGTCTGAGATACTTCTAGGGAATGATGCAGTTGGGAAGGAAAGATGGGGAAAAGTGGTTATGCCTTGAGTTCATCAAGACGTAAATAAAAGATTACTGGCGCTATACCTACGGCTATGTCAGTAATTACAATTGCGAAATGTCGGTCATCTATTCTTCCCCCCGTATAGAATCAATTAGTGATAGCTAAGGCCCACCGCGGATTACGTGCCTTGATGCGTGTCTCTAATATTGATTATAAGTCATGATCTTCGCTTCGCTCAGTGGCGGGCCAGCAGCGCGCACCGTAGACTTGGGGACCATGAGTAGGCCGACCGGCAAAGCAGGTAAACCTCCGCAGAAATCTCCGACTTAAATAGACAAGAACCTCCGAAAAAGATTGTCTAACACGTCAGGTAACCTCTAATCATTAAGGATAGAAGGATAATCAAGTCTAACCGCCCTCGTGAGAAAATAAGATCGGTTATTTCATTTTGGAGCCTGTTGCCATCTACAACCAAGACTCATGACTAGCCTCGAGGGCATGGTCGAGCTCGTACTACCATGGGTTCCACGACGCGCAGAAAACGTGACGAGATAGATTTATGCGGACAACTTCGCGGAGTTGGGTAAACTGCGTGTCTGGGTGTTGTCTTCACACATGGCGACGTTATTGCCTTTCTGACCAATGCATTGATATTGTGTTCTACGTTTGAGTTTTACTGTATCTATCAGAACAGTCACATATATGCTGTCTACGATGCGAATTAAAATAAGTAAGGGAAACCGTATGTTTATTGTCTTCGAAACTTGAACTTGATCAAAACAAATATGAAAGATTGGACGATGTGAAAATGTTCAATCGGCTAAAAATATTGTGTATTAAATGCCTCACTGAATCATCGACAAAGGCGCTTTTGGAGAGATAGGTTTCTATTACCTCTTTCCTATTTTAAAGTGAAAATTGATCTCCATAAACAGGCTCATCAGATCCAAATCTTGGATTATGGAATCATCAACCTGGGATGCGCCAGTACTCATATGACTATTCAAAGGTATGCGTCCTACAAACTGCTGGTTTGGTACTTAGCAAACTAACCTCTACAGACCAGGCCAAGGAAGAGCGGGGTCGGACAACACCATCTCTCTGTGAACGAGTAGTCTGAAGAAGAAGCGGAGTTAGTAGGCGAGTAAGTATTACTAATATCAGCAACGAAGGCACGAGGCGAAAATCCCTATATTCTTCATTAGGGCTCTTCTCTCCGGAATCCCGAGCATGGCAAGGTCACTACTAGCGCCGAATATAGAAGTGGGCCAGGGGGCACGGAGCCCATGTTTAGTATTCAGGCTCCCGCGCTCTCTCTTGACGTCTCTTCTTGCCTAGACAGGATACCGACCCCTTGCCATTGAGCGAACAAGCTCCAGCACTATGGGGTCCTGGGATTACTATTGCGCCCTCTGCGGCTCGACCTTCTTCGGCGGCAAGATATCTCAAAAACCACGCTCAGCCCGCTTTCTTCGAGCTCGCCGTCTGTCCGCGGCCGATCGACAGATTGAAAAGCTCACTAGAGAGGGTGCGCCAATTCCGGAAGAGCTGCACAGGGAGTTTGATGAAAACAATGAAGAGTCAAGTGAAGACAAGAATGATGCAAGCAGCATGGACGAATTCGATGAAGACCACAGGTACGACCCCAATGTTATCACCGAGGAAGAGTCAACGTGGACTCTGGACCTCCAGTGCCTGGGCTTAAATTCCGAGTCATCTCCGAGCAAAGCATTCCTCTCTGGTATCGGCACTAGTGAGGATTACGGAGGCCTTCGCGTTGACGCTGGAGACGACCCAAACTACCCCGATGATGATTTCTTTTCGGCATACTGTATCACCGGCGAAAGCCCTGTCTACCCATTCCATCCAAAGTGTCTTGACCTATTCCGTTTGTTAGTGGCCCATAAGAGTGGTTCTGGGGCAACACCCGTATCCGTTGATGGAAGCTGGATACCACTATCTCTGGACCTAGATAAAGATACGCTCTTCGCCATCTTACATGAACGCGGCAAATTTTCTTCTCGTCTAGACATAGATTACGGAGACCCGGAGCCCCCTGATGAGCAGTTCTGGGAGTCCAAGCCAGGCGAGGAACTCTTCATCGCAGACCCAACCCGAGATGACGAGCTTGTGAAGAGCATGATTCTCAGTGCGTGGCACCATGCCGACAATCCACCTCTTACTGGGACTGCCACGCCATTTGCTCAAATAGAAGACAACAATGATCTGTTTGCGAAACTACCTTTTGAGTTGCTGTTGAGCGTCATCTCTGAGCTCGAGTCTTCTTCCCTTATAAGCCTATTGAACGCTTCCCCCACGTTCACCGCGCCTTGGATGGCAGCAGTTCCTTGTGGCTGAGATATATTGGGAAAGCCATGCCATGGTTCTTTGAGCTACACGACTTTCTGGGCAATCTAACCGACTCGAACGACGATGGGCATGGCACCACTAGCTCCAATGCCGATGCGCTCCGTGACAAGTCACTACGACGCTTCTTCGTGTGGGCAGATCGCATCACAACCCCTCGAGTTGGTAAAAAGGGGCCCTTTATTGGCGTGGCAAACCGTCGTCGAATCTGGGGTGTGTGTAAACAACTTGTGGATCCATATCTAGCTCAACTGCAATCTCCCGCAGCCGTTATAGAGGATGCCACTGAAGAAGCGGCTTAGATGCGCGATACCACGGTCTGTCCTCATATGGGAGTAGTGAGCCACCTGAGTTGAGAAAGGTAACATACCAGCAAGGTCATTCTGGATACGGGCTTGGGCGCCCCAATTATATGTTAGAGCAGGGGATGTTATAGAAAGATGAGGCTTGATCCGCTACAGTATGGAGTGTACTTGCGTCCAGTATAGGGGATATTTTAATATTTTTCACACTCGAAAATCATCTGCAAAAATACACGGTCATCCAAGTCTTCTGTTGGAATTGGAAACAGAATGAGAGAATAAAAAAAAGGCGATATCAATATAACGGGGATTCGTTCCTAGACGCCTCGCAAATAGAGAAAAGAAATCACTCCTGCATCTCTGTATCATCTCCGAACAGGTCTGCATCTTGGTCCTCATCATTGCCCGCAGCAGCCTCTTTGTCACCCTGCGCCTCGGCTTCCTCATCTTCATCCTCATCTTCATCATCGGCGATGCGGCGAGATGCTTTGCCACGTCGACGCGGAACATCGCCTTCATCAGTGTCCTGCATCGGCTGATCATCTTCTCCAAACAAGTCATCCTTGTCCTCGTCAGGAGTCCCCGCAGCTTCCTCCTCCTCATCTGAATCCACAACTCGCTCGCTGCTCTTGTACTTGCTCTGTTGCGCCTTACCGCCAGACCGGCGTTCTAGGCGTCTGCGCTTCTTCGGAGCAGTCTCGCCGTCAGAGTCAGGCGAGGCACTGCGCGCCTTGTTGGCGTCGTCATCATCATCATCCGCAACAAAGTCATCGCGGTCCTTCTTCTTGCGCTTGCCAGCAGCAGGCTTCTTTTTCTTGGTGCGTTTGACCTTCTCGCCGGTCTCAGAGTCAGCCGTCAACTCGGCTTCTTCGCGGGCGCGGTCCTCTTCAGCTCGCCGAGTCGCCAGACGTTGCGCCTCCTCGACCATCTGCTGGCGCTCCTCAGCCACCTTCTGCTTGCGCTCGAGCTCGACTTCCTGCGCCTTGCGGAGTTCTTCCTCGCGCTGGCGGATAGCGGCTTCGCGGGCCTCCCGCGCCTGCTGCAGCTTCGTGGCATTCTTCTCCTCATACTCCTTCTGGCTCTGCATGGCGCGCTCGAGCTGCTTGCTGATCGTTCGACCCATGTTCGCCCGCTGCTCCAACGCAGCACCGGGGTAAGGTGGGTTCTTTTCCTTGGAAATGCGCTCAAATGTCTCGACAGCTTCCTTCAGGCCGTCGGCGGCTTCTTGCACGTCTTGGAGTGTCTTCTGCGTAGGCTGGAGACCGTACGCCAGCGAAGCGATCTGGTTCTGTACGAAGGCGACGTTGAATTGAAGATGAAGCTGGTCCCGCGAGACGGACAGAGCGCGCTGGGCGTAATCAAGGGCCGTCTTCATCGCGATCAAGTTTGATTCCTGCTTGCCCTTGAGAAGCCACACACGACCCAGACAAGTTAGAACCTGCACATCGCGGGCACGATCCTTGGCCAAGGCTATCTCGTAGTTCTCAATAGACCGAGTGTACTGTCGGAGCTCTGCGTACACATGTCCCAAGTTGAGGTAGACACTGGCGTCCTTGATCGTCTCTCGAATGCGCGAGAAGATCTGCACCGCAGCGCTGAGGTCTTTCTTGTCATCGACCAGAGCAATGGCAACACCCTGGGCGGCATAGGCATTCTTTGGGTCCAGCTGCAGGGCCTTGTCGAAGAACTCCACAGCCCGCTGGTAGACTTTGCGACGCTTCTCCTTTTCCGCGTCTGTTTCGCGGCGCATGTCGCGAGCGGAGACAAGGTGCACATTACCCATGCCCGTCAGGGCGTAACGGTCGTGCTTGTCGTAATACTGCAGTGTGTGCTTGTAATGGCGCTGCTCATGGTCCTCGGCAAGGTTGGCTACACGTTTCTTCGACTTGCTGAGATACCAGCCGAAAAGCGCCCGTACTTCCAAGTCGGAGAAGTCGACTTCGTACAGCTTGGACATCTTCTTCGGACCCTCGTCCGTGGGGCTCTGGCGCAGCGCGATATACGTCAGACGCGCGTTGGCATCCGTGTAGTCACTGTGCCGCTCCAGCAGACCCTCGTAGACCTTCTTTGCCTCGTCCTGCATCTCAGCTGCTTCGTACGTCCGCCCAAGGTTGTAACTGATGGTCGTAACCAAAGCGTCGTTGTCGGCACCCTCGTCTCTTTCCTTCGAACGGACGCACGCGTTGAGAGCAGACTGGAACATCCCACGGGCCAAAGCAATCTTCTCATGTTGATACAGGAAGCAGCCCATGTTGTTCAGAAGCTGCGGGGGGAGCATCTCGCGAAGAGACGCCTTCAACTCGTCCGCATCCTCGATATCTTCGGGCCGGGACTCCTCGGGAATGGCGGCCAGTTGGATCTCCTCCAGCTGTTCAAGACACTGCATGCTCTTATCAGGCGCGGTGCTTTCGTAAAGTCGAGAAAGATACACCAAGACCGACTCGTCAGGAGAGAGCTTTTGCTTCTCATCCTTCCACATCGAGCGCACATCCTCCAACAGTCCGATTGCTCGTTTCGCCTCGGCCGACTTGTCTTCCTTGCTGCCAGCCCTTTGCACAGCGAAGACTTCTTCTGCATGAAGCGCGGCGAGCAGAATCTTCGCCTCCGGATTTTTCGATTGCTGGACAATCTTTTCGAGTCGGAACTTCGCGCCGTCGAAATCCTTGTTCGTGATTTGCATCTGGACTGCACCAAACTTGGCCGGAAGGTATCCCTTGTCGCCTCCACCACGGGCCTGGTCGGAACGATTGTAATACTCTGTAGCGCGCGCTCCGTCATTCTCATAGTGAGACTTTCGTCCCAGGAGATACCAGCCGTCACTGGCGATGGGCATGACATCAGTTTGTTCAATGGCCTTGCGCGCGAGAGACTCCACGGTTGCGTAGGACTTGCGAAGAAGGAAGTAGCTGCCGAACATGGCGCAGGTCATCGGATATTCCTTGTCCAGCTTGAACGACTTTTGTGTGTATTGGGTCATGGCCACTTTGTATAACGAACCGAACATCGGGTCGGTGGTTGCGCGGCGAGAACTGTCGTAGAGATAGTATACGGCGAGGAGAATGTTTGCAACCTTGGAGTCGGGGTTCTGCTTTTATGAGCATTGTTCAGTAAAAAAGGTACCATGGAGACATACCAAAGCGAGAGCTCTCTCCCAAGCCACCTTCGCTTGCTCCTTAAAGTCCAGCTGCCACAGACAGCAACCAAGACCAATGCGCGGGTCAGGGTCGGCTAGGTTAGGCACCTTCCTCAGCACCTTTTGGTATCCTTCGAGGGCTTCCTGGTATCGGCCCATCATGTAATGTGCTCGAGCGCGACCCAGGGTCGCCATGATATTCCGGCCGCCGAAGGCCTTGGACGATTCATCGAAGCATTTCAAAGCCTGGCGCAGGGCCTCCATTCTCTCCGAGGCGTCGACAGTGCCGGGCCGAACAGGACGAGGCGGGTGAAGAGATGCGCGGAGGAGACACAAGACACCGCGCGCAAGGAACAGGGGCGGATATGCAGGATTCAGGCGCGAGGCCTCGTTCAAGGTCGATGTCGCGAGTTGCAGATAATAGTCCTTGGTCTTTGCCTCGGTATACAGTTCACCCTCCGGCGGAACACGCGGAGCCTGGCGACTCTTCAGCATGAGCAACCAGCAGACCCAGCCCAGCAGTCCCAATTTTTCTTTCGTGGCACCGTGAGCCACGGACGCCAGGCCCTTGTTCAAGATGTCGATGGCATGATCGAGCTGCTTTCGCTTCGCGTACGCGAGTGCGATGATCACCCAGAAGTTCTTGGCCGCTCGCTCGTTTTCCAGCAGGGTGCACAGCTCGGTTGGGTCATCGGGGAGATCGAGAAGGCTGACTTCGACTTCGCTGTCGAAGCTGGACGCGGGAATGTCGATGGCGTCAGGGATATCCGAAAACCGAAGGTTGGCCAGGGAACTGGGCAGAGGATCGCCGTTCAAGCCATTGGCATGGCCGTTCTGGAGAGGCGCCATGGTGCGACTTGAGCGGCGAAAGGGAGGTGGAGGCAAGATAGGTCACTCAGATGCGACGGGGATGGGCGGATGCGAAGAGGGTTAGGTCATGATCAGGCCAGGTGATTGATGGAATGGAGATGAGACTGAAGAGGCCGGGTGCTGACGATCCGCCGTGGTGAGGGATGGGGCGTCGTGGATCGCAGGAGGAAGGAAATCGCGCGGGAGAGACTCGGAGGTGAATGAATGGTCAATGAGAATTGCCATTGTGGCTGGCGGGTGCCTGAGGCAGAACAACAACTATACAGCCACAGGACTAAAGTTCATCATTCTCATTATTGATCATTCATTCAAGAGAGTCATTTAAAAATAATATAATAGTCATTTCCAATAAAAGAGCCAAGTTTAGGTATTAAACGACAGTGTCTCCACCGCCACTGTCTCTACTGCTTCGACCACATGGACCCCAGGATGCGGCACAGGAATGCAAGACTGCCCAACACCATGAAGATGGAAATGAGCTCGCTTATATGGTGCAGACGAACATTGGACTCGACAAATCCAGCAGAGGCAGCCACCCGTTGCTCATCCGAGCACTGGTCTGTCGCCTCAATGGTGCCGGCCAGGGCGGACGGAAATCGGCCAGTCTCGAAATACTGGTTCAGGAGCTCGTCTTTCTCCGTCCATCGGTCTCTCAGCCACTCATCAAATTCCTTTTGGTCATCAAGAGGAATGTTCGAGACTGCGAAGCGTCTCCAATGCATATTGACAGAGGTTGGTGGGCGACCTTGCCCATATGTGGAGCGGAGGGTAAAGTACTTGTCGGGGTAGCTGCCCTTTCTGGAGAGCGGAAATGCGGTTAGCATAATACACAAATGAAGAGAAACAAAACATACGGAGGTCCTTCGTAGGCAATGGTACAATCATACACCCAGTCGACCGTCCCTCGCAATTGTTGCAGACAGAAGAAGAGACCCGTCGACCGGGGCAGAATCTCATGTCTCAACGGAGGGAAGCTTTGTTTCCTGCCGTACTCATCACTCCGCCGCTTGGTATTGATGGACAAGTTGGTTCCCTCGGGGAAAATCATCAGCCACATGGGATCATACTGCGCCTTGCTAGTATCTGATCCAGTTTGTTGGGTCTTCAGGGTCTTCAGCTTCTCCAGACGATGCTGCAGCCTCGGCTTGTCGGACTCCCACTTGCGGGCCATGAAGATAAAGCCGTAGAACATCATACCTTGCCCCATCACCGGGATGTACTTGAGGGATTCCTTCAGGATGATGAAGAGACGCCCGTGCATCTGATTGGTATATGCCTGCCACCACAAGTAAATCCAGTCGGTGTAGACCTGATGGTTGGCGATTAAGACCAAACGCTCAGGGAAGCGAGTCTCCAGCAGACCATCTTTGGTAAGATGGAGCTGACCTCGGACGCTTGCATCACCACTCACACGAAATAGGGTCGGGGCACCCCATTGGGTGAGTGCGGTGATGACCAGACCAAAGCACTCCTTGGTGTATGCCATGTAGGAATAGTAGCGGTGTTTGTTGATGAAATAGAGCGGAGCCCCAACCAGCTGGGTGGCAAAAATCACGATGCAGCAGCAGTTGAGCCAGGTTCCCAGCGCCAACGCGCGGAGAACCTGCATGGGGACGCCATGTTTGAGACGGGGCTCCGTGGGAGGGTTGCTGGACAGCTTCTTGAGCAGACCGGCGTCTATCTTGACGGCCGGTGACTCTACCTGTTGGCCCTCTGCTGGAGCCATGGCGGAGGGGGGAGGGAGGGTATTGTGCACAGTCGATGGTTTGTTTATCTAGAGAAACGGTTGAAACGATGTCAGCCTAGTGTCGAAGGACGAGGTCGTCATGGCGGGCACCAACCCACAGTAACACGGTCCGGAAGGGGCGGATGTAGGAAACGAGGGTTCGGAGAGCGACCACGGAGGGACAATCACCAAGCCATCAGTACATCCTACCCTCGGTAGGTAGTGTCGAGAGTAAAGATAAGTACCAGCAGATGTGGGGGAGAGCACGGGATCCTCCCGTTCGCGGGCACCTCGAATCACGTCAGAGGGCCCCAAGGCGGTGATCTATCCGGTGCTCACAGCTCTTCCACTCAACAACCACCCCTACAGCTTACCAGCATCAGGCACCAGGCGCTGAGCGCCAGCCTCTCCAACGCTCTCTCCACGAATGACCCAATCATTATGCAGCGCGCCCTTCACTCCCTCCGAGTGCGCGCCTTCTCCACATCGGCGCGGCGTCACGAGATCAAAGATGTTGCGTCTCTAGCGCCGCGCTTGATTCCCAAGTACCAAGGTAGGTGGGAACCTGTCGCAGCCGGATAAAATGCAGCGTTGATGATCTTTAGAATCTCACGAGGGCGAGCTGCTCTCTCTGCAGTGGCCGGCACCACTGCGCAATGTCCTGATCGTGCGAAAGGACTGTGCCCCGGCGGTGACAGATTCCCTCGTGGAGTTTGCACGGTATGTGTGACCTCTCTGGATGGCGCATGATTCTGACCCTCGTCCAGTCATATTTCCTCTACGTACCCGTCCATCTCCGTGGTCCTTGAATCCAAGACCGCCAACGAAGTCCATTCGTCCTTGCCATTCCCCGTCTACTCGGCCTCGTTGGAGGATCGCCCGACTGCCTTCCATGATAAGATCGACCTCACTGTGACCCTGGGGGAGACGGCACGATTTTACACGCATCCTCGCTCTTCGCGACCTGCTCCAACGTCCCGCCGGTCTTGTCATTCAGTATGGGAACATTGGGATTCCTGAGTGAATGGAACTTCCCCGAGTTCAAGCGGGCCTTTCGGGAAGTATACATGTCCGGGGCTGGCGGCGGGGACCGGGCACCCGTACTGGACCGCCCCGAAAAGACTGCGGCCCAAGAAGAGCTGCAGATGGGCCCTACCGGCTGGTCTTCCGTCCGGGGCAAGTCAATGGGCTCGACCCGGGGAGCCCGCATCCTGATGCGCAACCGACTGAAGGTCGGGCTGTTTACTGCTGACGGGGAGGAGACAACGCCGGTTCGCGGCAAGACCGACCACGGCCAGGGGGTCTACGTGATGAACGAGCTGCTCATCCACCGTGGCAAGGAGCCACACCTGGCCGTGGTGGATGTGTACGTCGGGGGCCGGTACCTGACCGAGGCGGTGGCCGACGGCATCATCATCTCGACGCCGACGGGGAGTACCGCCTACAGCCTGAGCAGTGGCGGCAGCATTGTGCACCCGCTGGTGCCCTCGATTCTCCTCACGCCGATTTGCGCACGCAGTCTCAGCTTCCGGCCCCTCGTGCTGCCCTCCAGCACACCCATCACCTTGCGGCTCAGCGAGAAGAACCGCGGACGGGAGCTAGAGGTCAGTCTGGACGGCGTCAACCTGGGCCAAGGGATGGCGGTCGGCATGGAGGCCCGAGTGTGGAATGAGGAGATGCGGCACGGCAAGAATGAGTGGCACGGCGGCGTACCCAGCGTGATGCGGCGCAGTATGGGCGGCGAGGCGCATGAGGGCTGGGTCGGTGGGTTGAATGGGCTGTTGAAGTTCAACCATGCATTTGGCGAGGAGTAATGGTTCAATAGTCCGATGTAAATAGTCCATAGGGAGTAAAATCGTCAATAAATGATACTGGTGATTATTTAGCTCGTGGTCCATGGTCGGGCGGCTGTTCTCTACTGTCATTGGGTGATCGTGTTGATTCTGCCCCTTCTCTTGTTCCTTTTGTGTTTCTAGCCCCAAACTCACTCTACTGACCCCTTTCTCTCTTTCTCTCTTTCCCCCACCTTTCTGAACCGTTACCAACCATCAACCACCACCACCCCTTGCAACCTACAAAAAAGTGAAAGGCGCATCCTCGCAGTGCGAGGTCGGCTCTCCTTTCTTGCTCCCTTGGACTCGTCTCCAGCAGGTCAGGCCTCCCTCTCTTCCCCTGCAAATTACCCCCCGCGTCAACCGCAATCTCCCGCCAATCTATTGGAGACGCCGACCGACTCCCGCCTCCAACAAATGCACTGCTAACCCTGCCACCGCAGTGCTGTGAACCAACGTGTCGATTTCCAGCGACCTCAGGAGGTCCTGGTGCATTTTGGTGATTCTGTTCTGCGCTAATTGACCCGTGTAAAATGGCTTCGTATGGCAAGTGAGTGCGGCCCGGACTCGTCGAGAAGCTCCTCTCCTAACACTTGTGGCAGTCCCATGTATACGCCGGATCAGTTCATGAATCCAGGCCCAGCACCGCGCCCACCCGGGGAGCGCCCCAAGTTGACGCTACCCACCAGCAACAGCAATGTGGCCACCTCGTTCAACCAGATGTCCCTGAATTCACCCTCAACCCCCGGATCCGCCAACTTGTCACTGTTCCCCAACACCAGTAGCCCGTCCCTCACGCAGACCAGGAGCCAGCAGAGGGGCGAGGGCGGGTTCGCAATCATCAAGGAGGGATACGTTCGCTGCAAAGAAGACAAGTTCTTGGCCACATGGAACCAACGCTACCTGATCCTGCGGGAGTACAAGCTGGAATTCCTCAAAAATGAAACGGGCAAAGTGGCCATCTCCTTCCCGCTCTCGACGGTGACTGCCGTGTCGCGTTCCGAGGACACCAAGATGGCTTTTGAGATCACGCGGTTGGCCAACCCCAAAGACGCCCAATCCAAAACTGCCCTGATCACCCGCGACCTGCCGACCAAGACCATCACCTGTGAGGTAAAGACGGATGACGAGATTTATGAATGGATAGACAAGATCTATGAGCGCTGTCCGGGCATGGGCGGTGTCAGCAACCCGACCAACTTCAGCCATCGGGTCCACGTTGGCTTTGATCCGCAGACGGGCGGCTTTGTCGGACTGCCTCCAGAGTGGGAGAAGCTATTGACGGCCTCTGCCATTACGAAGGAGGATTACAAGAAGAACCCCCAGGCGGTCATTGAGGTGCTAGAGTTTTACTCCGATATCAAGATGCGGGAACAAAACCCACAGTACTATGCTGGAATGGGTGCCGCTCCCGCTGGTCAAGGAAAGTCGTACGGTAATAACACAGTCGGCAGCTCGATCGCGCCGCCACGTCCTCCCCCACCAGGGCCTCTTCAGCGTCTGGACAGCGGTCAATCCAAGCAGTCGACCGACGGCTCCATGCGCTCGGCCACCTCTTCTCCCGGGCAGTCATCGAATAGCTTGGAGACTGACCGTGCAATGGAACAGCAGCAGCAATTGGAGCGCATGAAGGAGTTGGCCGAGCAAGAACGTCGCCGAGTAGCAGAAGAGGCTCGTCTGAAGCAGGAACAGGATGAATATAATGCCTCGATTCCAAAGACACGAACACCGATGGCCAAGCAGGAGCTCGGTGGCTATGGCGGAAGTGATGATCGCTATAAACCTAGCCGCCCAGCTCCGCAGGCTCCTGGTCCAGGGGCTCGTGGCCCTCCTCAGGGCCAGCTGACTGCGCAGCGTCCCGCACCGCCGCCCCCATCATCTTCGCAGAACCCCTATGGGCAACCTCCCCGGACCCCTGGTGGTGGATCCCGGCCTGATGACCGCCAGTATTCTCCCAACGACCCTCGTGCTCAAGCAAACCGTCCGCAGAACAATGGCAACAAGGGACAACAGGCGCAAGGCCCACCGCCAACCCGGCTGCCGGCCCCTGTGCAACCTGTGAAGCCGCTCAACATTGCCAACAAGAACACGAGCAACAAGCAGACGCCTGATGGTGTCCGCCAAGCGGAAGCCGCCTTGACGAAGAAGCCGGAGCCCCGACAAAAGGAGGTGCGCATGTCGGCCATGTCGGAGAACGAGGTTATGGATCGGCTGCGGGCAGTGGTGTCCAAAGACAACCCGAATGACTCGTATAGCAAGCAGCGCAAGATTGGTCAGGGTGCGTCCGGTTCCGTGTACGTAGCACGCGTCAAGGAGCATGCAACCTCGTCTGTGGCACACGAGCTGTACCGGCAGTACGGTCCTCGGTGCCAAGTGGCCATCAAGCAGATGGATCTGCGCAGTCAGCCCCGGAAGGAATTGATTGTCAACGAAATTATCGTCATGAAGGACAGCCAACACCCCAACATTGTCAACTTCCTGGATTCGTTCTTGCAGGAGCAGAGCAATGAGCTCTGGGTCGTTATGGAATTCATGGAGGGTGGCGCGTTGACCGATGTGATCGACAACAACCCAGTGATTCAAGAAAATCAGATTGCAGCAATCTGCGCTGAGGTATGTCCCTCCGTCCATCCCCTTCAAGAGACTGTCGTGTCGAGTATTAACCGCTTCTTCGCCAGACATGTAAGGGCCTGGCCCACCTGCACAGCCAAAACATCATCCATCGCGATATCAAGAGTGACAACGTCTTACTCGACCGCGCCGGCCATGTCAAGATCACTGACTTCGGCTTCTGCGCCAAGCTGACCGAGTCGAAGAGCAAGCGCGCCACGATGGTCGGCACGCCCTACTGGATGGCTCCCGAAGTCGTCAAGCAGAAGGAGTACGGCCCGAAGGTGGACTGCTGGTCGCTGGGCATCATGGCCATTGAGATGATCGAGTCGGAGCCGCCATACCTGAACGAGGAGCCGCTGAAGGCGCTGTACCTGATCGCCACGAACGGCACGCCCCGCCTGAAGAAGCCCGAGAAGCTGAGCAAGGAACTCAAGGCCTTCCTGAGCGTCTGTCTCTGCGTCGATGTCCGCAGCCGTGCCACGGCGGATGAGCTCCTGGCCCATGAATTCCTGCAGACGGGCTGCAGTCTGGCCAGTCTGGCTGAGTTGCTGCGGTGGAAGAAACCGAGCGGCCAGTAAAGGGAAACAAGAGGAATCTTATACATTTTTTTGGATCTGCGCACATATTTGGTTGGGCCACCGTCTACGACGACCTTGACTTGACTCTTGACCATTCGGTGGGGAATCTCCTCGACCCCTTTGATCTCCTTCGACAACGACAACGCCTCGCTTTCGCTGCATTCACGATCAACCCCTGCATGAGAGGAGAACTACATATCTTGCTGCTCGCTTCAAGTTCCACGAGCGCATGAAACGATATTACTTGCTTTTGGTTCATACACAACTTTATTTCACACCTTTGGGAGAGGCGTGGGTAAATGCGGCGTTCGTTTGCCTTCTTTCTTCCCTTGTTATGTTGGCAGCTTAGCTTGTCTACCATAATCCCCCTCAAACCCGCACTGCACAAAAGACCACACATTTCATCCCGTTCCTATTCCCCCTCCCCTTGTTTTGTTTCTTTGCAATTGCACCTATGATGTTGACGACCAAGCCTGCTTTTACCCTTTATCTTCCTGGACTACTACTACTTACTATTAAAAGCGAGAATTAGTGAATCCATGATGACCTGATCTGGTTTCAACTTAGCCTAACATACTCCCTCCGTACATGTAGACATTGATTTTCTTTGTATAGCGATACCGAGTATAAAGAAAGAGAGCAATGGCACAATGATTTATTGATTGTAACAATAAAGTGACAGTCAGGAAGCACATGATACAGCAAGAAACAAGCCACTAAGAATAGAAAGTAATGAAAAGAAAGGTCCATCATCAATTATACCAACCCTCTATCCGATATTCTCATCCAATCTATCCTCGTAATTTCCCAACAGAAGACACAAAACAAGCATGTATAAGTCATTGGGACATATATACCTTTTATGTACCAACCCTCACTTAATGCACTATTAAGAAGAAAGAAGAAGAAGAAGAAAAAAGCAACAAGAAGCAAAGAGGTTTCTGGGATGTTTTAAGACAGTTTCTCCTTCACCTTATCGCCCAATTTCCCACAAGTTTCCGAAAAGAGCACGCCTTGGAGCACAGACTCGCCCTCACCCGCAGCCCAGCGACCCGCATGCGTAAGACGCTGTTTCCACGCCCTCTGCTCGGAAGCCGAGAGCTCTTTCCACGCGCGAAGCTTGTCCTCCTTCGACGAGGGGATAAGATGCGCCGACTGTGCCGTTTCGACGATAACGCTGTGCTCCGGACTTTCTCCCACTCGGGGATCGCATCTCACGATCACGGAGAGGTCCTTTGGAGACGGGATGTCGAGATCAACAGGCGCCACGCCGGCGGCGTGGACGCGGTCCAGGATCTGGCGGAGGGATTCGAGTTGGTCGGACTGTTCAAGCGCGGGAGCGCTGCGCAGGGCGGGGAAGATGCGTTCCAGTATCGGATGATTCTTGCCGTGCGCGTCAGGGATATACGGACGAGTCCAGGACTCGCCGACGTAGTCTCTTGCGCCTAGGATCGACGGCGCGAGGCCGCGGACTTCCGCGAAGGATTGCAGGGCTGCGAGGATGGCGACCAGTGACAACAGGAACATGCCTAGGCCGTAAAGGAGGTCCCAGAACTCGGCTGGACCGGGTTGGGCGAGGACGTAGCGCGGCGTGCGGGACGGAGGAGGGAAGGGGGAGAGGGGGGATTGTGTGCACGACTACTGTGTTTCCCATGGACACGGAGGCGAGCTTGACGTTTTGGGGCGGGACTTCCGGGCCGACGGGGTGTGCGGGTGCAATGAAGGTTGAGAAGACGAGTTTGGTCATGGAGAAAGGGTGGACATCGCGGATGACGGTGAAGGGACGGATGGGGCCAAAGCCACGGACTGGGCCGAATTCCAGCGTGAAGAGGGCAATAGAGTTATCGCTACCGCTGGCAGCGATGATGGTCTGCTGCTGGCCCTGCGGGTTTGTGCCTAATGGGCAGACGTCGAGACCCAAACCGATCTTGACACTGCGCGGGAGGCGTTTTCTGCTCAGGATAGATGCCTTGCTTGTCTTGTCATCGGGTAATCGGAGGAGAACGAGCTCTGCACCGCCGCGATCCGGCGCATTTTGGAGCAGGAGCAGCGTTGTTGGGTTGAGGAAACGGAGGGCACGGAACTTGGGGCGAGCAGTACCGCTCTTGGGCAGAGGGATGGAAAAGATGGTTTTCACGTCTGGCGCGGCGTTGGACCGCTTGGAAGAGGAGATCTCGCCAATGACCACGTCCACGCCGGTGGTGTACGCAACGCGGAACTTGTCGTTCTCTAGATTGGCAAAGTCCAGATCCTCGGCCTCCTCATTGCCACTCAGACGGATGCGCCCAACGACATCGGACTCGCTGGGCGTTTCTGTTGCGTGGAAGAAGACAATTTCACCGGAGGGAGCGAGTCCCGTGGTGATGGCGGCGATACGCGCACTCTCTGTATCATCGCCCTCCACGCCCTTGTTCTTCCTCCACGGCGACAAGCGCAGAACCCGCTGGTAGGTATCCGCCGAATCCGCACCCCCCTTAATTTTGAATAGCGAAGCTTGCGACAAGGGCGTCGCCTTGCCAGGAATCAGCTGCCCTTCTGTCCGAGCTTCCTCTTTCTTCGTCTCTTTCTCATCCTCAGCCTCATTCTCAATCGCCGAATCCGTAGGTGGAAGCATAACAGCTAGTTCTCTGTGCGGGGCATCAAACCGAAACGACCGCAGGTGCTGGTTATTATTCTTCTTTACCTGCTCGACCGAGCTATTGATACCCGCCAGCGCGATGATCTCATTCGCGTTGCCCGACTGCGGCGCGGCTGCCAGCGACGTCACCGAGTCTTCATCGCGCGAGAGCTCCAGCTCCACGGACTGTTTGATTTCGTCTCGCTTCGATGTATCCAGAAGAACCTGTAGAAAATCTCCAGTTAGTAAGATATATAAAGGAACGAAAAGAGAGCAGGAGTGGACTTGCGATTTTGTTCCCGACGCCGCTGCGCCCTTGGCCGCCTCCGCCGCCGACCAGCAGGAAGCGATTGTCGCGCGGGTCAAAGTCAGCCGCGAAGAGCGGACACGGCAGGGTCAGCTTGGCTGGGTAGATGGTGGGCGCCATTTTGGGTGTTAAGAACAAGAAAGAAAGAAAGAAAGAGGAAGAAAGGACAAGTGGTGACGGCGCGGCCCAGTTGCCCCGGATTGTGTTCTTGGCGGCCGTAACCCGCATTGGGGATGCCGAGCAGAGTTTAAGGATAGTTATAGGCCGGACTAAAGAGGGCCAAAAGAAAGTAAATGATAATAGTCATAGATTCTTTCTCTACTTCGTGATTTTATACGAATGTCCACCACTACTCCACCTCTTGCCCAGTAAACTCTGGCAGCCGCTTGCGCACATCTTCCCACGTCTCGTCGCCGTCGACGATCGACTTGAGCGCCTGCAGGATCTCGTCCTCGCTGGCGCGCACCTGCTTGGTCGAGTCGCGGTCACGCAGAGTAATCGAGCGGTCCTTGACGGACTGGAAGTCCACGGTGATGCCAAACGGCGTGCCCAGCTCGTCGTTGCGGGCGTAGCGCTTGCCAATGGAGGCGGACGAGTCGTCGACCCGAGTAGAAATGCCCAGGCGGCGCAGCTTCGAGGTCAGGTCCTGCGTCAGGGGTTTGAACGAGGCGTGAGTCGAGAGTGGAACCAGCAGGACCTTGGTGGGTGCAATGGCCGGGGGGAAAGACAGGACCTATGTATTGTTAGTAAAATTTAGGATCAAACGACGGAAACAAAAACATACACCGCGGGCCTCGTCGCCCTCGCGCGACCAGTAGACGTGCTCGATCATGCTGTACAGAATACGGCCGATACCGAAGGACGGCTCGATGACGTTGGGTGTGTACTCGCGGATGTTCTCGACGCGGGTGCGCTTCTCGATCTTGATCAGGTCCTTGTCCAACTCGACCTTGGGGGTGGCAATGCCCTCGACTTCCACCTCGATCTTGCCATTCTTATCGAGGTCCAGGGAGAGCTTCTCACGCAGTTCCTGCGACAGCGCCTCGACCGCCGCCTCGACCGACTTGCTATCCTTCTTGAAGCGGGGACCGAACTTCTTCTTGTCGATGTCAACCTGCCACTCCTCAATGCGAAGGGGCTCCGAGCGAGTCTCGCGCACAACGAGCGGCGCGCCGGTCTTGTTCTTGTGCACGGTCAAGTCGTAGGCACTACGATCAGCACAGCCGACACACTCAATCCAGCCGTAGCTATTCTTTAGCTCAGCGTCCCAGCAGTCGGTGGCATAGTGGGCCATCTCGTTGGCCATATGTTGGCGGAAGCGTAGCTTAGAGCGGTCGATACCAAGCTTCAGCAGGAAGGACTGAATGCGGACCAGGAAGTAACCCAGTGTCTCGTTATCCACCAGGCCGGTCTCGACCGCCTTGCCGACGGTCATCAGCACCGTTTCGGTGCTGCCGGACAGCTGCACATTGCGATCGAGCAGCGACAGCTCGACATCCTTGACGTCCGCAAAGCGCGGGTGTTTCTTGCCACCCTCTGGGTCGACAAAGTGCTCAATCTCGGCCATCAGGAACTCACGCACGCGCAGCAGACCGGCGCGAGGAGAAATTTCATTGCGGAACGACTTGCCAATTGAGGCTGAGGCGAACGGCATGCCCTGCTGGTTGAACTCGAGGAGCTTCTGGAAGTTCAAGAACTGGCCCTGGGCGGTCTCGGGCCGCAGGTAGCCCGGCATGTTGCTGCTGGGGCCGATTGAGGTCTGGAACATCAGGTTGAAGGCGACGGGCGGCAGTAGGTTGCCCTCGGTGGTCGGGTTGCGGATGTCGTACTTGGCGATCAGCTGCTCTAGTTCGGGTCCGCCGTAGTTATCGATCTGGGCCAGCACCTCCTCGTACTCCTGGACCAGGGCGTCGTCCAACTTGACGGCCTTGCTGGCTTTGACCTTCTTTTTTTTCTTGGCCTCCTTCTCCTCGTCGACCTCAACCTTCTGGCCGCGCGCCTCCTTGTCGCCCTTCAATCGGGCCTCCAGCACCTCTTCGACCAAATGGTCTGCACGGAAAATCTCGCCAGTCTTGGGGTCCTTGCACATCCAGTCGGCGAACTTGTCGACGTGCCCACTGGTCTTGAAGACTTCTTCCGGGGTCAACATGGTGCAATCGAGCTCGAGCATATCCTCCTCCAGCACGAAATGCTTGCGCCACAGGTCGGTCATGTTGGCAAGCAGAGCGCAGCCCGGGGGACCGTAATCATACAGGCCCGACACCCCACCATAGATCTCGAAGGAGGGGGTGTAGAACATGCGACGGCGGAGCATCGAGTCCAGTACCGTGCGATCGACGGACTGGCCGGTCTTCGTCTCGACGGTGGCCATCTTGGGTTTTTTTTGGACGGCTTGACGAGCTGGAGGGCGGGTTTAGAATTGGTGAAAGTCCGGGTTTGGAAGTGGGAGAACGGAGAAAGAAAAGAGCGGGAGAGTAGGCGCGGCAATTGAGTCATACACCACGACACCACCACAGCCAGGGGGAGGGAAACGAGAAGGATTCAATAGAGGGAAACCGGGCGAGTGACACACAATTGAGAATGTGAGAGAGAGAGAATGAGAAATGACTCAATGAATCCATCTGACAGATGTGTCGCTGTTGATCCTAGGGCCGGCGAAATGTTGTTCCGTCCAAATTATTTTTTTGGTCGAGGAACGGAGGCACTGGGTACTTACGCTCTGCACATACACACCCTCTGTCACCATGCCTCGCAAAGGCCTGAGCAGACCTCCTCCTGGTGTGTCGCAAGATGCAAAACCAGGCAATAAGCAGCAGCGCAAGTTGGCCCACATCAAGCGCAAGAGAGCCAAAGACTCCACGCGGCGAGAAGAGCGATACGCCGTCAAGAAGGAAGAAACCAAGAACCCCAAGCTCAGGGCCGAGCGGTTGAAGCGCAATATTCCCCTGACGCTTGATCGCAAGCGAGTGTGGGATGAAGCCGACAGCGACGCCGAGGAGCACGGGCTGGGACTCAGTGTCGACGTGGAGCGGATCAAGCGCGCCAAGCAGGAAGAGGAAGATGAGCTGAATCGGCCATTGGAGGAAGGAGAGGATGACAGTGGGGATGCGCAGTCCGACAACGAGTCGATCGACAGCATGATTGCATCCAGCGACGGCGAGGACGAGGATGGCGAGCAGGACGAGGCCGAGCCGGCTCGCGGCCGAGGAAAATCCAAGCTTCCCAGCGCAACCGAGCGCGCCACAAGCCCAACCCATTCAACGCGCAGCACGAACCTGAATCTCGCGCCAGAAGCACTCGCCGCCAAATTCCCGACCCTCTTCTCCAACGAGGCCCCGCCAACCCCCAAGGTCTTAATCACGACCTCCATCAACTCCAACCTCCACCACGAAGCCGAAACCCTCACCGACCTCTTCCCCAACAGCGTCTACATCCGACGCACAGCGCACCGCTACTCGCACAAATTCTCCATCAAAGAGATCGCCAAGTTCGCCTCGAACCGGAACTTCACCACTGTGGCTGTCCTCCAAGAAGACCAGAAAAAGCCGTCGGGACTGATTCTGGTTCACCTACCCGTCGGACCTACGTTCCACTTTACCATCAGCAACTGGATCGACGGCAAGCGGTTACCGGGCCACGGGAGAGCGACAGAGCATTGGCCGGAGCTGATCCTGAACAACTTCCGCACGCCGCTGGGTCTTCTGACGGCGCATATGTTCCAACGGCTCTTCCCACCACAGCCGGAGTTTCAAGGCCGACAGGTTGTCACACTGCACAACCAGCGCGACTACATCTTCGTGCGCCGTCATCGCTATGTCTTCCGCGAGAAGCGCGAGACGGAGAAGGCCGTCGTGGACACTGACGGCAAGGAGATGAAGGGCGCGGAGGGTATCCGGACTGGTTTGCAGGAGCTCGGGCCACGGTTCACGTTGAAACTGCGCCGTGTCGATAAGGGAATCCAGAGGTCGAGCGGACAGGAGTGGGAGTGGGAGGGCAAGCTGGAGAAAGTGCGGACCAAGTTCCAGCTTTAGTTGTTGTTTTTCCTCTGCATGGGTTTGGGAAGGAGTTCGATCTAAAAAGCTTTTTTATTTATTATTGAATGGACATAGATACATACGTTCGATGAATATGATTTCCACATAAGAGATCTCAATCAGCATTCATTGGCAAGCAAACGCTAAACACAAGCCACATCTAGATGTTTTATTTGGATATAGTACATCATGAATAGGAGAAAGTCATCATCATCATAATCATCGTCATCACCAATCCAACCCTCCCATGCGGCATTCGTCGCAATATCATCGGGCAAATAACTCCGCCTTCCGCATAGCCCGTGCCAAAACCTCGTTTTTCCGCTGGGAAAAAGAAACAGGCTTTCTCGCCGTGACGATACGCACACGAACGGACAACCGATCCGCCGAAAGAAGCTCGGCCGTAACCTTCTCACAGAGATTAGTAGCCGCCTGCAACGACCAGCTGCCGGAGCGGGTAAGCGAGCGGAGAGCGTACGCCTCTAACCCCTCGAGAAGGGCAATGAGGGCCATTTTGCCGAGAGTTTTTTCGTGCATGTCGTGCGGCCACAGGCCGATGGGGATTGTGCGTTCCAGGACGCGGACGTCGACGAATCCCGCTGCGGTCAGAGCTGAGGTGCGCAGGTGGCTGCAGTCACGGAGGTACCCTGATGCTTCGCCGGCGGAGCGGAGGGCGGCAGAGTAGATCTGCAGATAGGAGGAGTCGGACTGGGGCTCTGGGGAGAGGATGTCGGCGGCGGGGTCTGCGTCTGCGACTTCGATGTAGCCGCCGGGTTTGAGATGAGCGAATGCGTTTCTGTACACGGAGGACCAGTCCTGGAAGGCGCCGGACAAGCCGCGGATATGCACGAGATCAAAGGGCTCGTGGTATGTCCATTCCGACTGGGCATCTGCGAGCTGGAAGACGACGTTCGGCAAGGAGATGTGGGCGATACCCGAGTCGAAGACGCCGATATCAGAGGCGATGATGGTGGCGTGCGGACACTCGGCGTTCATTTCGATGGCCCAGTCTCCCGGCCCCGTGCCGACATCAAGGATGCGCGGTGATTCCGTGGTGAGTGGTGCGGTGGTCAGCCGGCCATCCAGTAGGATCAGGTAGATTTGGTGCACGACGTTGAGGCGGGTTAATTCGGGTTCGTCGTTGGGCATGAAGTAGACGTCGTCGCAGTATCGGCGCCCATTTTCGAATGTGCCGCGGAGGGTGCCTGGGGAGCATGATCGGGTGGATTTTCTAGCAGTCATCAGTCACAGTGTTATTTCAGATGATGTGTTACTACTCACACTGACACCTCGCCGTCAGACTCGCAATCCGACTCCAGCTCGGAGCTGTCCGTCGCAATCAGCTTGGGCGTCGCATCTAAAGGCTGCTCTTCTCGGATAGGCTCGGGGTTGGGGCCCTCCTCTGCTGGCTGAAGAGGATCTGCGTCCATCACATGCTTGAAAGGAAACAAGAACAAAGGTAGGGTTGAGCTGAAGAACCGCTCGAACCGAAAAGCACGCCGGTTCTGGTTATTTGGCACTCAATTGGAATTTATAGAGGCGGCAGCGACAGGAGGGAACAAGGGCCACCAAAACGAAAGAGGGGTAATGAGGAGAAGACGAAGAACCGTCTAGTCGACATGAAGTTGCATCCCCGAGTGCTCGTGTGTTGTGCAAGGGCAAGGGTCACGATAACTGAACCCGACCAGACGGGACAAGAGTACGTCACAGTTGCAGAGAAGGGAAAAGAAAGAAGCACGGAAAGCAAAGGACAGGATAGCTGATATAACCAACGACCCAGCACACCGGTGCTCCACGACAGGCAGTGGAGAAAGGATCTGAGAAGCTGGAGCAGCGCAGGGGGGGGGGGGTTAGTTAGTGAGTTAGTGATTTAGTTAGTTAGTTGTTGGAAATTCAGAGTAAGTAGTCCCGGGTACTTCTGACAAGTGAGGGTCCCTGTGGGATCATGACGGGTCCATTGAACCAGCCCACTGGGAATCACAGACGAGGCTGGTCCGACTGGGCGGGTCCGTTCCGAGCCCAACCATGCCCAGGCCCAGGCACAATGGAGGGGAAGGGACGAAACTAAGTGCGTAGACACGGAAGAGCTGACGCAGAGACTCAAACGAGGCCTCGGCCGGGGCCGTGCGAGACCCAACGCACTGGGTGGAATTGCAGCCGTCCTGCCTGGACGAGTAAGGCGCTAGGCGATCCGACGGGAGCGCAATTGCACCATGGCATAATTGGCGTGGAGCAGACCGAGCTGGGGAGCTGGTGGCCTAAGTACCTTGCTGCCTCAGGCACCCAGGCACACCCGTCACGAGAGAACTCATCTTATCGTCGGTCCTCAACCCGACGCCATCCCTTTCCTCCCTGGATGGACATGGACCCCCCGAGCCGGCGCCTCTTCATCGCCTCCATCGGCAACATAAAACCCTACCGAAACACCCGCCACAGCGCCGGCCACCTCCTCCTCGATGCGATAGCCCCCCAACTGCCCGCGCGACTCAGCGCAGCAGCAAAACCCTTCTACCAAACCTGGTACAGCCCCACGTACATGAACACATCCGGCCCGAAGCTCGTGCGCCAGCTGCAGAATTTTACGCAGCAGGGAAATGCAAATGCACACGCGACCACATTAGTGATCCTGCACGACGAGCTGGAGTCCCCTCTGGGGAAAGTACGTGTGAAACGCGGCGGGCCGGAGGTTGCGAGTCTCCGTGGTCACCGGGGGCTGATTAGCGTGTTTGAGAGTCTGCGCGGGAAGGGATTGTATCCTGCGCGTGCGCAGAATGGCGGGTTGTCGGTTTTGAGGGTTGGGGTGGGGATTGGACGGCCCGAGACGAGAGAGAAGGGTGCTGTTGCGGATTATGTCTTGACGGCGATGGGTCCGACGGAGTTGGCGGCGGTGCATCGTGCTGCGGGGCCGGTGATTGAGCTCATTGCGGAGGAGATGTATAGGGATGCCGGGGAGCCAACATGATAAAATCTACGACGACATGTACATTATGTATTATATAGAGGCGCTTGGTTGGTCAGGTCTAGAGCATTGTGTTATTATACCCCCAGATTGATTGGGATGGAAAGAAACTCCTGGACCGCGAAGCGAGAGAAACGGCATCGCGAAGGCTCCCGGAGGGTGGGCCATGTACAGACAGAGAATAGAAACAAGAAACTCCTGAATGCCAAAGAAAGACGTGCATCCTGAAAGACGTGCATCCTGCAGGGCATGAAAATTCATAGTAAGTCCAGCAAGAAAACCAACTCAGACAGTGCCAGCAATGCTAAGATCGCGAATCTCCTGCAGGACCTCCTCAACGCGATTATCCAAGTCGCCCCGCGCATACTGGTCGCGGGTCTCGGCGTCAAGATACTGCTGCACCTGAGCCATGCGAGAGTAGGCCTCTGCGCAGAAACGCAGCTGGATCTTGACCAGCGCCTCGAAGCTGGGATCGAGGTAGGGGACACGCAGGTCGATGAGCTGGGGCAATTCGGTGAAGAGCTGTTCATTGAGCTGCTCGTATGCCTGTTTGGCCATTTCCGCTTCGCGCTCTGTGCGCGGCAACTTCGTGGCGTCCTTGTCGGGCTTCTCAACTAGTCGCTTCACCTTGGAGCGCATGGCGTCGTAGTCGAGGAGTTTGTGGTTGCGCTTTTTGATACATTCGTTGACGTCGGGGAAATAGGCGCAGAAGCGGGAGATGGGGTCCAGGACGGTGGTTCTACCCCTGTCAGAAGCAAACAAGAATAAAGCAGGACAGAAAGAGACATACCGGTACGGTCCATCCAACGCCTTGATCGTCTCCGCATCCAAATCCTCCACAGCCTGCTTGTAGCTTCGACTCACGCCATCCTTTGTGCCTGCATCACCGTAGAAAGCATCAATTGTTTCGGCGATCCGCATTTGAGACGCGGTCATGGCTGTGCCCAATCCGTTAGGAACACCCTCAACTCTTGTCCAAGAAAAAAAAAACACACCTCGCAACGAATCCAAATACCCCTTCGCTTCTTTCTGCAGTCGACTAGCCGCCTGCTCCATTGTACGATACCGTCTACCCTCCTTCGTCAGCACTAAACAACTCCAGCAAACTCGGAAAAGAAGGCCAGTAAGGAGAAGGAGGGGCCAAAAAGCCTGCGTACCGTTCTTCAATCTCATAGTCGCGGTCGCTCGTTCGTTCCACATGGCCTAGTCATTTCAGTCAGTAAGAATTCTCTCACAAGCTCTCCGCAAGTATCCGGTCTTCGTTCGGAGGAAAGAAGGTGTTCGTCAAGCTGTCGGGTGTTCACGAGGGAGGGCCAACTTGAGGGTGTGATGAACAGGGTGTCCAGGAGAAGGGCAGCTCACCGGTTTTCATCATCACCTGCGTCGTGGCGCGGCCGACATTTTTCTTGAACCCTACATGTCCACGTTCATGTCAGTCTCTCTGAAGATTGTAGATCTCGAGGATGGGGCAACGGACCAGCCCACGACATGATGGCGGTGAGGAGAGGGAGAGGCAAAAGAGGGGATAAAGTAAAAGGAAAAGTAGTCTTCGAGGTTTCAAGTCCCAGGCAGAATCCAAGCCCAAGACCAGAGCTGAACCAGATTGCGGCGATGGGAAAGTAAGTCAGGCTGAACGGCGGGCAGTCGTGGCTGAGGCGATTAGGTAAGATGGTCTCTTCCGGATATGGCTACTACGTCATGAACTACCTAATGGTATACATAGCTGCCTAGTAGGCCGAAGTCACGAGGGAACGTATCATCATTGCAGAATATGTACAAAAATTGAAGTGGTATATACGTCCTGCTAATGGATAAATGGCAGAAAAGACAAGACTGGAGTGCATATCGGAAACACCATGTCGAGAAAGAGAGTCCGGTCAGCAGTACAGCTGCACGACCTTCACTTATCTTGATCGGAATGCGCAACCATCATCATATAATGGTACAAGGGAAGGAAAAAGGGCAGATTGCAGCATTGTGTCCGTCCGCGCCAGATGGAGTCGTTGATCGAGTGGGAAAAGAAATGGTCATGACTCTTCGTTGCATTTGAAAATGACAAATCCAACCAGCAGAGCAGGAGGGTGGAAAAAGAAAAACGAGCTAAAAGATGGATGGAGAGAAACACAGGCTGAAAGACAGGAAGAATGCGCCGGTATCACGAGAACAACAAGAACGAAAAAGAGGGCCTCCTTCTACTTAGGAGCGTTCGAGTCTTCCCTTGCTGTTGAAGGAAGAACTTCCCAGGAATAGCATCCAGACAGGAAAAATCAGAATCCTTCCTCGCCTTCCTTGCACAGCTTGATCTGACGCACCCACTCAGACTTGAGGACCTGTGAGGCGTTGATGCGGCGAGAAGGATTCGGGTCGAGGATCGAGTAGATGACATTACGGCAACGGGCCTGAGTCTGGATTAGTTTCTGTCTGGACCCCAACAAAGTAGCAGAGCCTACCCGATGCAGTGTTTCGATGGGAGCATAGCCATCTTCGTGCTTGCGGCCCTCCAAGTAGCGCTGGTAGAATTCATCCTCGTCCTTGTGGGCCACGCGCCAGAGATGCCGGCCCGTTCGCATAGCCATATAGATCACGCCCGTGGCCCATAGATCGACCGCGCGGGGATCGAATTCCTTCTCGACATATTCCTCGGGGGCGATATACGGCGCAGAACCGCACAGCCCCGCGGTCATGTGGGCTTCCTTTTCCCATGCCATCCGGAAGCATTCACCGTTTCCAAAATCGGTGATCTTAAGTGCGCCGTGGGTGGTGAGCAGGAGATTCTCGGGTTTGAGGTCGCGGTGGGCAACGCCCATCTCGTGCATGTATTCGACCCCCCGCATCAACTGCTTGAAGAAACAGTCGGCCTCGGCGACTTCAAGCTTGCCAGCCGCAAGAACTAGAGTGTATAGATCGCCACCGGCACAGTATTCCATCACCTCACAGTAGTCTCCCTTGGCGTCCTGCAGGAGATCCAAAGTATGAATGACATTCGGGTGGCGAAGGGACGAAGATATACAGAACTCAGAAGTCAACCGCTTCTGGTACTTTTTGGCGGTTTCCTGTGGACGACGACGGAACTCCTTGACGGCATACAACTGTTCACATTTGGAGTCCTGAGGGTCGACCTTGTGCGAGATGCGGACGATCCCAAACGCGCCGCGGCCAACAATCTCTTGACACTTGCCGTACTTGTCCACCAGGGATGCAGTGGCGTTTGGCCCGCCTCGCTTGTCGGCGGCCAGCTTGTCACGTTCATTCTTGAACTGGTCGATCCAGGTAGACATGAGCGATAGTTGCTGCTCGTCCGGGTGGTTGTCCTTTTTCTGTTTACCGCCTAGCATGTCCCGCAGAAGATCGGTCAATTTTTCCTGTCGTCGAGCACTTCGGAGGTGATGCGAGTGATTGCCGTTGCCATCGGGGAATAGCTCAAAGCGCTTGTGCACTGGGGCGGCACCATCCTTCTGCTCTTTGCCGGCAGTCTTCTTCTTATCCTTGTCTGCCGGCTCGACGCCCTTCACGGACGGTTGCCGGGATGGTGCTCGAGATGAAGGTCTGGAGTTTGGTCGTGATGAGGGTTTTGAGGAGGGTTTGTCTTTCTCTTTTCCGTTGGGTTGTTTGACGAGGCTGTCGAAACTGCTGTCGGACAGATCACGGGAGTCTGGGTTCTGCGGCGGAGTTTGCTTTCCAGTCGAAGAAAACATGCGCGAGAGGCGGGCGGCCATGTTGGCTTTTGTTGGTTTTCCGGCGGGTGAGGCCGCGGGGGTGGGGGAGAGCACATCCCCCCCATCCCCGTTGGTCGCAGCGGACAGATGCATGCCCGCCAGGGCGTGTGTTACCGGGGGTTCGCCATCCCGAGGGTCATGCGAGTGTTGAGATGCTGCGGCGGAGGAGACTGCGGAAGGGACAGGTGAGATAGACGGCGTAGGCATGTGCGGTGGACGGCGGTTGCAGCGCGAAGGTCAAGCGGACAGTCTCTCAACAACGGTAGTGTCTGTCCTCAAGAAGGAGATGAGAGGACAGAGGGGTTTTAAGTGCAGCTCGCACAAGGCTTGCCGACACTGTGAAGCAGCCAGTTACACCGTGGAAGGAATGATGGAAGAGACGAGAAGAGGTGGAGGGGCGAAAAACTTGGTAGGTTGCCTTGAGACTGGTGGCCTGAGGCAGCGCCACCAGTGATGACCGTGACTGCGAGCGGAAGAACCACGGAAAAGGTATATAGGGGACCGGTAAGGAACCAGTAATAGAGCTCTCAATATAGACAAAAAGTAACAAGAAGAAAAAAGGAAAAAGGAAAAAGCAGTCAAAATCCAGCAGACAGTGGGAGCGACGAAGCAAAAGAAGAAGAAAAGGGCAAAATTGGCGATGCTGGGGATGAAATACGGGCGAGGGGGGACACGGAGTGTGGGTGGTATTATTACGTGGGGAGCATGGTTTCGTTCATCTCACACGCTGATTAAGGCTGACCAAAAAAAAAAAGAAAAAAAACCTGTGGGCACTGCCATCGGTGGTATTGTATGGTATTATTAATTATGACGCGGAATCTTATTCTTGCTAAGTTACTATACTCATTATTGATTTGAAATGCTGTTGCTTGTATGATCCGGGTCAAACTCACGCATCCTCGGGGCCGTGGCGCATGCTCTCTTGCCTCCAGCGTTTCTGACGGGGGCCGAGTTAGAGTGAGAGATTTAATTGCAGAAAGAGAGGGGCCTCTGTCCCAATCTTCGGTAGATCCTTAAATTGCCCTGGGTTAGCTTAGCCTTCTTGTTTGGTGGGTAATTAATAATTCATTTCATATTACATATGGTCCCTCTACCGGTGGCATCCCGGTAGGCAGTCGCTGGATTTCATCACCATTTGACATGACGTCTCCCGTGAGGCGGTGCCCGCCTGTGCAGCGCATTCAGGATGTGGCGCCAACGAGACTCTTCAATAAGAGTGAATGAGAGGACTGATCGCACATAGCGATCCTCCTGCCCGGCCGATCGCTACGACGTAGCAGCACTGCACTTCCCCCATCGGGTGGGGTCGGTCTGTTCTCACTGCCGGATCATCTGAAGTTGAGTACGGCGTCATAGCCTTCCTCTTATTGGAATGAATAACTTGCGCATCGACGTAGGTGTTTCTTAGGGTGTCCTAGTCCTCTCACTGTCGGCTCCCTTGGACTATGGCTTGCCGTACTCTAACCGAAGTGGAACTAAGTGACCTCGACGGAACCAAAGAAGAATAAATCCCGCCCTCCTTCCCGAAAATATTAGGAACTAACTACCCCAGATTAATTACTGACAGGAACGTCAGACGGTGGACGTAGGAGTCAGTCCGCTGTACAGTACCAACCTCGGCTCCCGGGAGGGGGTGAAGGAAAAGACTAAACCGCAAAGCGAGCCACATGCAGCGGGTGGTGAGGATAAACAATACGAGGGATTTTCTGCTCGCCAATCATTCAAACAAGCCGACGGGTGGTGGCTATGCCATGCAGGCCAAGTGGCTACCTACAGTAGACCCGTTGTTGGTGGCAGCTTTATTTTATTTTTCCTACTATGGGCAAGCGTATTACTGACCACTGCATGTGTGCGGTCGTGAAACCAAGCCCTCCTCCCTTAACCAAAATCCATTGATCCTTAGCCGCAGCCACTCAGACGGAGGCGACGAGATTTGTCAGCAACGGTAATAACATAACCAGATCAATGGAAACAAATAGTCCGCTAGAGGGGTCGTAGGCAGAAGGTTAACACCTTTCCTCGCTCGGCCTGTCCCCGCTGACCGCCAGTTCGGTTCTGAGGGGTTGCATTGATCCCCGCTATAACAACACCAACAGAGTACAGGAGAGAAGAGAGATGGGGGGTAGGTATATGCCTCATAGAGAACATGTTAGCAGGAGGAGAGAGCTCCGGCTTAAAGCTGAGCTAGCTATACCTTCATGCAGTGAAGATGAAAATCAGTGGATATCATGTCGCAAATAGGAAGCCAAGTCCTGCATGACAAGACATCCTGACGGGAATTTCCGGTGGAATCAATAATGCATGGGCTTGATACCGACAGACTCGACGGGACCTACAGGAGATGGCTCTTGCGTCCACAGGTGCGCATGCGGGGTGTTGATATGATAGCTTTAAGGCAAGGATGACTGAAGGGGCGTTGGTTCGGTCCGTGCCGGAGTCTTATTGAAATGAGACATAGTTACTATGTAGTTGGCATTTGCTTTAACTGCAGCCACTTGTATAGCATGTGGCGAGCTATCCTTTCCGGCCCTGACCAATCCAGACGGCCTTCTGATATATCGCTGGCCTGATGACGGCATCGTTCCCAGTTGATATTCAGAGCTAGGGTTCGGATCAATCAATGGCCGACACGTCTCCCCCAGGCGGATGGGGCCAACAGTACCACGTGAGTTGCAGGTCAAAGAACAAAGGCAGTATGTAGGCCCGTATCTCGTACCCTGCTGAATGTACCGTGGGTGTAGGAAATCTGGAAGCTGTGGTGCGTTCCCAGCAACTCCACCACCTTGCTGCCATCTCCGACAAATTCTCTGGGGAAAGAAGGCAGCCAATCGTCCTTGGGGTGCAGCACATTCTCGGCTGTCGGAACGAGTGTTATATACCAGCCATGCCAAGTCGGCAGTGACAAGGCGGTAGCGTCTCAAGAAGCCTGCTCGTGCAGATTCGAGGATTATGACAGCACCCGAGTCTGCTACCATATCAGAAACAAGTCAACAACACAAAAGACCAGGCAGACAAAGGAAAAGTATACACGTACGACGAACTGTTCCAGCGATTCCTCAAAGAGCTCATTGTTCACACCCACGCCGCCGGGATGCTCGGTCGGAGACAGGGGATTTTTCACCACTAAACAACAAATCAACAAGGGATCATCGTTGGATTCTCATTCCACGCACCATATTCCACAAACAAATTGATGTAGATCTGCTGCAAGGCGATGCGCATGCTGGGGCTCTTGAGGTCGGTGAGCATGACGAACTTGGTGTTGGTCGGGGTCTCGTAGTAATGGAGCTTGTACTGGCTGGTGGTGTAGGAGATAAAACTGAGTGCATGTCAGTCGCGAGTTTGTTGGCAGGGGAGACCGAATAGTCTTACTTGTCCTCCTCGCCCCCCAGTTTGCGCACCATGTTCCGCAAGGAAAAGACCGTGCCAAACACCAGTTTTGCGTCGTCGTCCGTTGATCGCACCGTCTGGCCGAGGCCTGCTAGGTCTGACCCGGAGCGCGCGGCCTTGCCGGCGAGCGAGGTTGGGCGCGGCAGCCAGAGGCGTTTGTAGATGCATTCCGCTGCACAAATCAGTTTCCGGACAGGAGTCGAGAAGGCAGAGAGAATTTACCATGGCGGTCGAAGATGTAGAAGGAGTAGACGGGCATCGTGGGTGGCTGGAGTGGGGATGTTGTTGTTGATGTAGCTCAGGGGAGGGAGATAAAGAGAGAGAGCAGGCGGTGAAAATCAATCGATATAGAATGATGATCCGCCCTCCGGCTCCCCGCCCTTCGCTGCCCACGCCATGGCGGATCATGAGCTGCTCCCAGATGCCGCTACGCAACTAGACGAGATCCCTCCGCCAAACAGAGCGAAGTAAGCCTGCACTTCCTCTTTGTAGAAGTCATCTACGGTTTTGGCTTGGCATCGATCCCTGACACACATATATTTTCTTCCAGTACCACGCCCTCCTATGAGAGTCCCCAGAGGCACCAGCGACGAAATCCCAGGACCAGGCGCCCGGTGAAGGTCGGTGGCTTTTTTCTTTCTGGCTCGTCGGGCACAGGAACTAATGCGCGGGACAGGAAACACTCAACGCTCGCTCGGAGTATACAACTAGCCAGGACGATGGGACAGCAGAACATAGGATCAACCAGTACGTGATCAGGCAGGAGATAGGGCGAGGGTCGTTCGGGGCGGTTCATCTGGCCGTAGATCAGTTCGGCAATGAATATGTATGTCTGGTCTGGGGAAATGTGAAAGAGGGTTCGGTCCATGCTAATAGTCTGCTACCAGGCTGTGAAAGAGTTCTCCAAGTCCCGGCTGAGAAAACGGGCACAGTCGCATCTCCTGCGACGGCCACGAGGGCCCCGGCGGCCTAGCGCTGGCTTCAATTCCCCACTGCACCGATTTCCGTCTGAAGATGATGCCGCGCGGGCGGAGAACCCGCTGTATCTGATCAAGGAAGAAATCGCGATTATGAAGAAACTGGATCATCACAACCTGGTGTCGTTAATTGAGGTGCTCGATGACCCGTCAGAAGATTCGCTGTATATGGTAATGGAAATGTGCAAAAAGGGAGTGATCATGAAAGTGGGCTTGGATGACCGGGCCGATCCATACGATGACGAGCATTGCCGATGTTGGTTTCGCGACTTGATTCTCGGCATTGAGTACCTGCACTCTCAGGGCATTGTTCATCGAGATATCAAACCGGACAATTGTCTACTGACGAACGACGACGTGCTCAAGGTGGTCGACTTCGGCGTGTCGGAGATGTTTGAAAAGAACTCGGACATGTTCACGGCCAAGTCGGCAGGCTCACCGGCATTTCTCCCACCGGAACTTTGTGTCGCAAAACATGGCGATGTATCCGGGAAAGCGGCGGATATTTGGTCCATGGGAGTGACTCTGTACTGTATTCGGTACGGCAGACTGCCGTTTGAGAAAGAGAGCATCTTTGAGCTGTATGAGTCGATCAGGAATGACCCGGTTGTTTACGAGGATGAGGCCGATGAGAGCTTCAAGGATATGATGGAGCAGATTCTTGAGAAAGATCCCTCGAAGCGTATCAAGATGCGAGACTTGCGGGTAAGTTCAATCACTTTGGTTTGAGCGTACATTCTCATCAAAAGCACAGGACCATCCTTGGGTAACGAAGAACGGAACCGAACCTCTGCTGCCGTGGGAGGAGAACACAGCACAGGTCATCGAGCCTCCCACCGAGGAGGAAATGGACTCGGCCATCACGCGGAACATGGGTCGACTCATGACAGTGGTACGTCCGAGCCTGACCTTATGTTGGAACTATGCTGATTGTCATACAGATGAAAGCCGTCACGAATTTCAAACACTTGGTGCACCCGACAAAAGCAGGACCAGTCCTGCAAAGTATCCTTGGTGGAGACTTTGATGCTCACTTCGTGGAGCCACCGATGGAGATGGATTCGGAGGAAGATTTCCCAGCCGTGGGTCTTCAGCCTGAACCGCATAGATTGGGGGCAGCACTCCGACATGCTTTGCCACGGCATCCTATGCTGTCTGGCACCGTTGACCAGTCTAGCATAGATCAACCGCCAGGGTCTTCCGACTCGACCAGTGTTTCATCCCGGCCAGAGCACAGTCCCGCAAGCAGCCAAAGACCCAGTGGTGTGTTTGAGCCCGAACGGAGAGACTCAGGGCCGATGCGCAGCGGCAGACCCTGGGAAGAGATCCTGCGCGAAAAAAGACCCTCTTCTCAGTCGGCATCACCACACCCGCCATTATCAAGAACCAGCTCGGCGACAACCACGACCAAGCGCAGTCTGGAGGGCACTAGAGGGCACGCCCGGGATCCCCTAGAAGAAGAGTTTCCATATCTCTTCATCGGTCCATCCACATATACGGGCTCATCCTCCCAAGAACCATGCGACATGGTTGAAGAGGATGACTCCGTCCCAATCTTCGAAGAACCAGACAGCGCCATGGACAGTCCCGGACCAGTAGACATCCCCACAGGGGAACAGCCTGACGAATGTCCGACTGTCAGCGAGTCACCAGGCGCAGCAGACTTCGACATTTACGAAACAGCGTACCACACGGAACTCGAACGAATCAAACACCGCAGCAACACCGTACCAACGGTATACCTGACACGACGGATCAAGGACGGGGAGGCGCTGATGAAGTTCGTCAAAGATAAATCTCTGGATCTGCAGATCGGACAGAAGATGGCGTACCCTTCCTCACTTAGTACTCCCTCTACGTTTAGTGCTGCGGCAAATGCGTTCAGGAATCAGATTTCTCAGAAGAGGCAGTCTTCCCAGCCACAGCCTGACTCTCCAGAGGGAGGTGGCCCAGCTCGTCATGAAGACGAACAACAGCATCACCCGCCTTCGGCATCGCTTTCGTCATCCTCTCTTCCTGATCCAGAGGCATCTTCTTTCGAAGCGACGGGTACGTCTGCCACTGAGGCTCAGCCGGGAGGTGAGAGTTCCACTGCGCAGCTGAGACGGCTTCTTGGACGGGCGAGGGATAACTCTGGTGATAAATGAGCGGTCAGCGTGAATTCCGCAGAGAAAAGGAGAGGATACGAGTGCAAGCAAGATATTATTATTGCCTTGTGTATATGTTGCATTATTCTTGGATATCAACGCCCTAATAAGTATATATTTCCACCTCGAGTTCAAGTCAATATCAATATCAGTCAATATAATATCAGCATATAACATAGAGAGAGAACAAAGAAGCACGGAATAATAACCCAAAATGAGCGATTGCCTTGATTTCCCACCTACACAATTTACTTGGGATGATCGTTTCCTGGCAAGATCCAAGACCGTCTCTCCCTCCAACCAAACAGAGCCCATTGCTCTCTCGGATGATTCTTCCGGTCCATTCAGGCACTATGTACCATCTGCGAGATGGTCAGTACGTACATGGTGCATGCATATCATAACTTAATATGGTTTAGTTCTGTGAACTGTTTATGCTGTGTAGCCATAGAGCAAGACAATGCAGTGTGTATAATCGACTACCATTACGGTTGTAAATACGCCTGATGTAGATCAAGTTCATGGGTGGGGATACTGTAGTTACTCAATATTTAGGCGTCAAAAAAGGTTGCCTGACGCATTTAAAGTTTAGATCGATAATCGACATTCAGTTAGAGATAGTTGGGTAGGTAACTATTCATACCGTGCTTACTTGTCCAGCGGGGGAAATGCCCTCCTGCTATCATATGCCCTAGTGCGTGTATATAAGATGAGCTCGCTCGCATTAAGACAAATCAGGCATTCAGGCAGATTGCTAGCAATATGCGGCCCTTGGACAACAGGAATAACAAACCTCCGGATCCTTTGAATCCTATCAATTGCGAGAACCAGCGGCCAGGGAAGATCCCTCTGTACACCCTTTTCTCTCATTTCACATCAATTCGACAACTACTATTAGCAAATTTCGCTCTAGTCTAGGATATAGAACTGTATTAGTTATTGTAACTAGGAAATCCAACAATAGGCGTATAGCCATTGCTTCCAGGGACAAAGATATGTTTAAAGGGTGGCTAACTGGTTCGTTAGTCAACGTTGTTAGGGAGCCAGTATGAAGTAACCAACTATCTACAATAAAATGTAATGTGTAGAAGGATTCATGAAATGGTAAGTTACATAAGAAGGCTAACGATAACCGAGCATGTGTGCAGAATATACTGCTGGGCCAAAAGGTGCTAGAGGCCCTATTTCAGCTCTTAACGGTAATTTTTTACGGCTTGACAGCTAATAATAAATAAATTAGTCTAATAGGTCGTTGTGAAGAACTAATGTCATAGCACTTTCCTGTGTCATAGAAGGCTGGTCGATGCGTCTCCGAATACGAGGACGGTTGGCACTCAATGAACTTTATTAGATGGTGTTCCCAACAAATAAATCCCACTTAAAACTCCCTTCTTCTATACTTTTATTCATCATATTTTGCTCATCTCATTATGGAGAAACCCGAGGCATACGATGGCAGCTGCCACTGTGGACAGGTGAAATTCACTTTGCAGATATCACCTCCGGTGTCTGAACAAACTGTGACACAATGTAATTGTAAGCACAGGTCCTTTTTGGACACATTGAATCGTTTATAGTCATCCGCCTACTTACAGAAATGTTGATCGATAGGTTCTATTTGCAAAATAAACGGCTACCTAATGATCTATCCTAAGACGGTGGATGTGAGCTTCCAACATAGCGACGATGCAGTCAAGGTTTGCCAAAGGCTACTAACGAAGCCATATGCCGGGTTAATGAGTCTTTATAGGAGTACCGCTTTGCGTCAAAGAAATTTCCCCATTACTTTTGTACCAACTGCGGAACTAGTGTGTACGCTCGAGCTGAGGCTCCAGAGCAAAGACATATCATGGCTGTCAATGTATAATCCCGAGCTTTCAATCGCTTATTGGTGTGCCTGTGCTGACTGGACTCTAGGTTCGAACTCTGGCAGGTGTCAATCTGAAGACACTAAAGATTTATGAACCTGATGAAAAGGGTGAAAATTGACTCATATGACCCTTCGAGGAAGCTCGCTATCATAGTGCTCCTATGCAGCGAGCAACCTCCCACGATGCGGGGGCTGGTGGCAAACCGAGAAAAAGACATTGAAGCATGAGATTCTGGGCAGCTTTGTAGTTCTCATGGTTATGTTTTCGAGCACACCACTGGTGTGCTTCATATTGAGTACTTCTGGAGTAGTCGATCTGATAGTAATTATGATCTTGAACGTAATGCCTACCTTCCGAGGCAAGCTGGTTCCATATTGAATGAACAACGTCGTGATGTGATGTCAAAAAGATAGTATTGTCAAGAAAAAAGTGGAACAAAGAACATAGTAAAATACAATTGTAGCAGGTGCGAGTCTGTAATGCAGATCATGCACTGGTGCAGATAGCAGCCAAGGAATGCCCGACTGACACGAAAGAAATGGCGGTGGAAAAGGTAGACAATACAAACGCACACTATAAACCACCATATCATGTCATGTCATGCAAATTGGTTATAATTTCTTCGGATGCATCTCACGCCGAAGACGGAAGGTTGAAGAAAACACGCCTGGCAGAAGAAAGATAAGAGCTGGTCGAGCCCATGATGGGCACCGTCATAAGTGAAGACGGAAAAAACAGCAGTTGCAGAAAACTTGGACAGGAAAACTGAGCAACAATCAAAGCTCTCTCTTCATCGAAGCCCATGGACACGTCAAGGGTGTACTTATGAATGACCGACAAGGAAAGAAGTCGTGGAAAGAAACAATCGTTAACCCCCTTCTTGGGGGTAAAAACAAAGAAAGAAAAAACAGAGCATGTCTCAACATCTCTGGAGACTCGAGTCGCTCAAATATGTGGCTTGGATATGCGATGGAAACAGGAAACAGGTCAAACACGAACGCTGTCTATGGTTCTGGTTCATCATTGGCTGGGGTCAGATCATTCATTCATGGCGTTTGATGGGTAATGGACATGGTGTGAAAACCATCAGTCATTAAAATAAAAATTCATTGCGGTTGTTTCTCTGCTGGAGTCGTGCTCATTCGCCTTTCTTGACCCGGAGGAGGTGGAGGAAGTGGTGGATCGGTTCGCGAGTCGTGTCGGCTGCTGCTACCAGGCGGAGAGAATCGATCATGCGAGAATGAGGTATATGGCCGGTCACCTTGGCTGCTGTTGATGCGAGGGAAGGGGTCTCTCGGGGCGAGTTGGAGGGTTCGCGGCGAGGGAAGCGTGTGGCCCATCTCTGTTGGCCGAGGTAGCTCTCGCGAGCTCATGATCGGCATTTTCCGGCGGTCATCCGATCCTGATGCTGGAACTGCTCCGCCAGGGCGTGCAGTGGGAACCTCAAACGGCCTCGGTTCTTGAGGCGCTGGTGGAGCAGTCGACATGCTCATCCTTGAGGCACCCGCAGCGGGGCTCGTGGGCGATGGAGGAATCGTCAATCTGCCAGACCCCGATCTCCGCGGCGGAGGATACGTCTCGCCACGAGCCTCAGCAGCAGCTTTACGCCGTTCCGTCTCTGCCTTGCTCGGACGGCCTCGTTTCCTGGGCGGTTCCCCCGTGGCATATGCCGCGGTCTCCAATCGCGGAGATACTTGCGCAGCAGAAGCGCCGCTCTCACTACTGTACGAGGCGGTGCTACTGACCGGCGGCCGGGGTTGGATTGCACGATGCGCCAGAATGGGTTTTTCTGCTGGGAACAGCGGCCGTTTGCGCGCGGTGCCGAGGTCCATTGGGGCCGCGGGCGGGTCGGGCATCTCAGGACGTGATGGGTAAGGTGCTACTGGGAGGGACGACGGTTGAGCGGACTGTTGGCACATGTTCCAAAAGGCCATTTGGGAGGCATTGAGGGAGCGGCCTGAGGGGAGGGTGTTAGCGGGAGAACGCGGCGGGCCAGGATGGAGGGCACCAACCTGGCGGCAGTGGGATGTCTCCCCAACTGGGAGTGATTTGAAAGTCCCTGATCATCCGGACCAGATGGCTCGAGGGAATGCCCGCTTTCTTGAGGATCTCGGTGAGCAGAGCGTACTTCTCCTCCTCGGACCAGGGCCTCTCGGGGGGATGATTCGACATGTCCAGCGACCATCCCAAAGACACAAAACGAAACGAAAGAAGGAAAGACAAGAAACAAAAACAAACCTCCCAAACGACAGCGGGGCAAGGCGAAGATTCACGTCCGGAACAGCAGCATGGCTTAAAAAAGAACGACGAACTCCTGAACAGAAACCAAGAACGGGACCAGGCATTCGACGGGCAAGCTGCAGGGAGAAGAGATTACCATACCGGGCCAGGTTTCATCTGGGTTTTTTCCAGAAGCGATCGAAGGCAGAGAGGGAAAAATACGGCTAGCCCCTGCATAAGGGGCAGTGAGCAAGTGGGGATGATTAGTAGTAGGGAGTATGTAACGATCAATGATCACAGCGAATACTATGTAGTTGTCGATGAAACACCGCGCGTAGGGTGTGGCCAGCGCCAATCGATACCCGCTGCCAGCGACGTTGCTCAAACCGCGCAGGGAGCCGCCCTGGACTCGGCGATAGGCTCTCGATGGCGTTGCGAGCGGTTCGTGGTTTCAGCGTGAACGGAGCTAGCGAGACCTCACTAGCGGCCGGAGAGACAAAGAATGCATGACCGCAGTCAGAGTCGAGTCCTGGATCGTAGTGAAACATAATCATATTATTCTTAGGATGACTATATGGGGGTTCACGCCTCATGGACGTCCGTGAACGAAGGAATCTAATCATGGTGAAGAACAATCGAAGATCCAGAGCCTCAGTAGTCCCCCGGGCGGTGAGGGCGGTGGAGGACCGACGGATCCAAAGATTCAACCCAGATCGATCAGGTGTTGTTTCTCCCCTTGATTGCGCCAACCATACACACTCTCTCTCTTCTCCTGGTTTCTTCTCCTCCGCTCTTTCTTTCTCTTTCTTTCCCTCTCGGTCATTCTCTCACACCGCTTCCCATCGCCTTCTCCCTCCTCCCCTCCTGCGCGGTCTTGCGCGATCGCGCAGTCCGCGTTATGTCGGCCTTTGACAACGCGGACACCCAGAGCCCCAACGCCATGGCTGCTGAGACGGCCTCGCCGAAGGGGGAATCTCCCTCGAGAAGCAATGGCGTGCCCGCCAAATCCCGCAGTCACTCTCCGCTCAAGAAGGAATTATCCTCCGAGGCAGACCCGAACATTATGGAGGTCCCGAAGCTCGAAGAGAAAATCGGCGGCGACATTATCCTCAAGCAGGAGCCCGGTCAACCCCCGAAACTCACGCGCAGAGAATCCCAGCGAGTCGTCTCCCGGCCCCCTCAGTTGTGGGCACATCTGCCCGACAGCACCAGCGACGCGCTGGCCACCTTTGAACAGATCGAGGCATGCTGGTATGCGAACAAGTACATGGGCTATACGGAACATGCGATGGAATGTGATTGCGCTGAAGAGTGGGGTGAGTGTACCCCCTTTTTGTCATCTGGTGTCTCCCGCTCCTCGCGAGGCACCGGGACCCCGCGAACATGGTGGCTAACCATCGCCAGAGCCGGAACTTGGCCAAAATCTTGCATGCGGTGAGGATTCGGACTGCATCAACCGCGCCACCAAGATCGAGTGTGTGGGTGACTGCGGCTGTGGAGCAAACTGCAAAAACCAGCGATTCCAGAAGAAACAGTACGCCCAAGTGTCTGTCATCAAAACCGAGAAGAAGGGATTTGGGCTGCGTGCAGAGACCAATCTGGAGCCACACCAGCTGATCTTCGAGTATGTCGGCGAGGTTGTGGGCGAGGCGCAATTCCGACGGCGCATGAGGAACTATGACGAGGAGGGCATCAAGCATTTCTACTTCATGTCCCTGAACAAAGGCGAGTTTGTCGACGCTACTAAAAGAGGCAATCTCGGCCGCTTCTGCAACCATTCGTGCAATCCCAACTGCTATGTCGACAAGTGGGTGGTTGGGGAGAAGCTGCGCATGGGCATCTTCGCCGAGCGCGCCGTGCAGCCGGGGGAGGAATTGGTGTTCAACTATAATGTTGACCGCTACGGCGCGGATCCTCAACCCTGCTACTGTGGCGAGCCGAACTGCACGGGATTTATTGGCGGCCGCACTCAGACGGAGCGCGCGACCAAACTGTCGAATGCCACGATCGAGGCTTTGGGTATCGAGGATGCAGAGGCTTGGGACACGGTCGTTGCACGACGTCCGAAGAAAAAGAAGACCGAGGAAGACGACGAGGAATACGTGGACAGTGTGCAGGCCAAGTCTCTGGACGAGAATGGCGTGACCAAGGTGATGGCAGCTCTCATGCAGTGCCAGGAGAAGTGGATTGCGGTCAAACTGCTGGGGCGAATCCAGCGCTGCGAGGACGAGCGAGTCCGGAACCGGGTGGTCAAGATGCACGGCTACCAGATCTTGAACTCGCAGCTCGGCATGTGGAAGGAGGACCAGAATGTGGTTTTGCAGGTCTTGGACATCTTGGACAAGTTCCCCCGACTCACACGAAACAAGATCATCGACTCCAAGATCGAGACGACCATCCAGCCGCTGACAACCTGCGGCGACGAACGCGTGGAAAAGAGGGCCGTTGGACTGCTGGCGAGCTGGGCGAATCTGGAGGTTGGGTATCGCATCCCGCGCATGAAGCGAGGCGAGCAAATCAAACAAGCCGTCAACCAGTTCGAGCGCCGCGAGTCGGGGCGTGAAGAACGCCAACGGACAGCTACACGGTCCCCATCACCCTCGTACGAGACTTCCAGTCGACCAAAACAATCACGGAGGGAGCGAAATCAGCATCACAACCGGCCTCGGCAGAACCGCCGTCCACGTCCTCTGCCCGAGGGATGGTACACAGCTGAGGACGAGAAGGGCCGTACCTACTACTACTCGGCCACGGGCGAAACAACGTGGAAAAGACCAACCGAGCCTCCGCCCCCGCCACCCCAGAAGCTCAGGAACATGGCTCTGCAGAGCATCATTGACGGGATCATCAACTCGCAAGAAAAGACCCCGTCCGAGAAGAAAACCGAGAGTCCTGCAACACCCCAACCAGCCGCAGAAAAACCGGAGAAAAAGAAAAAGAAGGATCCGGATTGGTGGAAGAGTCTTTCTCTGGAGAAGCAGAAAAAGCTCTACGAGAACACCGTATGCTGCCCTTTGATGAGAGATAAAATAACTAAACTAACCACATCCCCCAGCTCCACCCCTACATCAAGCACGTCGTCGACCAGTACAAGCACAAAATTCCCAAGGATCACCTGAAACGGTTCGCAAAGGAGACAGCCAAGAAACTGGTCGAGGGCGACTACAAGAAGAACCGGGTGGCCGACCCAACGCGGATCAGCGAGAAACACCAGCAAACAGTCAAAAACTACTGCAAGAACTTCTTCGACAAGGCCGCCGCCAAACACAAGGAGCGCGAGAAGCGCAAGGCACGGAAAGCGGGACAGACGGGCACTGACGGTCCCGCTAACGAAGACACGAAGATGTTGTCAGACGATGAGGCCGACGCACACGCTGTGGAGGCTTCGCCGATGGATGATGACGATGACGATGCCGCCTCGGCTACTCTCAAGCGCAAGCGACCCGCCGATGCTGCGTCCCCGGAGAACGATGAAGATGGTGATGGTGATAGCTCCCCGTCGAAACGACAAAAATCCATTCCTCCCACGCCGCCTCCGCCTCCTCCACCTCCTCCCGAGGGCGATGGTGATGGCGATGTTGATGGAGACGGTGAAGACGACAGCAGTCCCGCGAACGCAGATGATCGGTCCCCGTCTACAGGGACGGGGACGGGGACGGGAACGGGAACGGGATGCGGCATCATGGAGAACGAGATGAAGCCCTCTTCGCAGATTGGCATTGAAGGCCGGGTATGACAGCCTGGACTTGATTAGCATTGTTCCACCAGCATTTTCTTTAGTTTGGGCCGGTGGGCTGGAATTTTGAACCCCCAAAAGCTTTTTCTATGGCATTTCCACCCACAGACAGCGAATGAGCAAGCAAGACGAGACGAGACAAAAAAGAGGCGCGGGCGATGATTACTTGATTCTTGAAAATTTGCCCTTCTCCTTCTCTTTCTCCCCTGTTCTTATTCACATCTTGTGCCTTTTCTTTTTTTCTTTGACCTTTGATTTGATGCTTGTTATCGAAATACCCCCCCCCCCCCCACCCGTCACAGTTGGTCGCAATCCAGGCATCTGCTCGCTTGGAAGTTGTCCTTGTTCTCTCTCTCGATTGTTACTATACAGTACCGAGTACGCAGTACGTAGTGAGTAAGAAGTTGTGTTGTTTATAGCTTCGCCTCCATGTCCGGGAGAGACGGTACATGCATGACTCGCATAATTATCATAACCATATCCATGACCGATTCATTCAAGGAAATAAAAGCAACTATCGTTACAGCCAGCAGACGGGGTCATCATCAATCGTTCATTGCATCTATGTGTTCCTATCAAACTGAAATCCAATCAACATCTCGACAACCCATGCACAGAACATGACATAACGGCATAAACATCATCCCCGCGCCTCAGCGGAAAGAGAGGAAGCCAACCAAACAACAACCAGGACATAAACGAGTAACCACCTCCCTGCCCCCCGGGGAGTCTCTTCTCATCCACCGCACCTCGTAGGAACGAAGACTCTAATAGAAACTCTCCACAATACTCTCCTTGTTGACACCCGCTCCCGCACCACCGGGCGCCATCTCACCCAGGCGGAAAACACTCTCGATGACACTCAGCTCCGTGGCCGTGGTATCCAGACCCGTGATCGCCAGCCAGTCGTTGACGACCATGCCGGCGCCGACGACGGATGATCCGCGATTGACACTGCCGGCCACGAGGGGCACTTGCAGGAGCGAGGAGAGCTCATCCTGGTCGCGGATGGAAGTCTTGGGGTGGACGATGCCGCCTTGGTTCGACAGGGCCATGTAGGAGCCTGTCAGGACGTTGTCGGCGACTGTTTGGCGGAAGACTTCTACGCCTAGCACGTCGGCGAGACTATTTTCGTATAGTTAGCATTGACCGGAAACCCAGGGGAGATGCTAGGAAGAGGGGGTGTGTATTACATCTCCTCAGTCTCCCGCTCCAGATCGGGATGCACCAGCGCAACATGGTCATTACAGCAAATCACATTCCCCAGCGCAGACAGCCGCTCTTCTATCCGTTGGATCTTAACGCTGTCCGGGAGCGTGTTGCGCAGATGCTGCAGTTCCTGGTCGGTTGTTGTCGTCGGTACAAGGAGACCGTTTTTGTTTCTATCCTCCCCTCGGAGAGGGGCGTTGATCAGTATCTTTCTGTATCAAGAAGGAGGAGTGAGAGTACTCACCCGACGGCTAACCGTCCCACGAGACGTGTCCCGGCGATAGTAGCGTGGCAGATGGGGATGACATCCTGGAGTTCGGCTTCGAAGACACTGTAGAAGTTCTCCGAGGCGCCGACTGCGACGATGGCGTAGGAGTTTGTCAGGAGGGAGAAGACGCCGACTCTAATTGCGGGTTTGGTGTTAGTGCGTTTTCGTTTCCCCTCCCATGGCGGGCCACATGGATGGGTGGGTTGAGGGGGGAGCACGCGGGTGACACTCACTCGTTCGAGTTCTCGAATTGAGCGCGCACAGCCATGCTGGGGGTATCTTCGGGGTTTGAGACTGGATTGATGGTGGGTGTAGAGGGGAGGGAGCGAAGACGATGAAGACGCAGAAGCGAAGCGGGGATGATGCAGGTGTTGGTGGTGGTGGTGGTGGAGGAGGAGTGAAGCGAGAATGACGAGCGACCAGAACCTCCGAGTTGGAGGTGAGTATGCAGGTGTGAATGGCCGGGGAGCAGCAGACGAGTCGGATGAGTTAAATATGAACTCTGGTTGAAGAAGCGACAGAAAAGAATCAAAAGCTCGGGCCAATCACAGCGAGTCATGGCCACTGCCCCGCGGGTGGAGCCGCTAGGCCCAAAGCGGAGGGGAGTCATAGTGGTCGTTTTTGACTCATTTACGGCGGATTCGTTACGAGTCGTGACGGACGATGATGCGTATGATCAGATTGGAAGAGATGACATTGCATGATTGCCGGTCCCGGCACGAAGGAACAAACAGGACAGCCCAACACAGGCCAAATAACGCCAGAAAAAACACAATGCGGATAATCAATGCCATCGCTCAAACATGGAATAGAGTACAACAGTGGGGGTAGTGGAAGTAGTAGTAGTAGTAGTAGTAGTACAGGAGTAGTTAGTGGTACAGGGCCATGTCTAATACCGACGCGACCCGGGAGCCGGCGGTGGTGGCGGTGGAGGATGTTGTTGATGTTGATGAGGCGGAGGGAAGTACAGCGATGGTGGCTGCGGGGGTCCCGGGGGTGCGAGATAGTTCGGCAGCGGCAGGCGTGGGAAGTTGGAGCCTGGTGGCGGCGGAAGCTGGGGCGGACCGCCATTGAGGGTAAACGGGTCAGGAAGACCCAGCTGGCCCCGCGCAGGCAGGAGACGACGCGGCTGCTGGGTCGGGGTCGGACGGGGAAGAATAAAGGATCGAGGATCGGTCGGCCCGTGGCCGCCGATCATCGGTGGAGGCGGTGGCACGGAAGACGGCTGAGGGAGCAGGGTTCGGTGGGGAGGCTGGGGGATCACGCTCGAATCGTGGATATGGGGGAGATGCGGGTGCGCAGGCTCGGACAGGGCGGCATCGGCGAGGGCGGACAGGGCTTGGGGGAACGGGTCGGACGCTTGCTCGATGGATGTTGCCGCCCAGAACAAACTCTCCAAGGCGTGCTGAGCCTTGGTGCCGGGAGAATCTCCCAACTCTTTCATTTGCGGATTGAGGTCTTGGCCTAGGCGCGCTCGCTGCAGGAAATCCTCCCAGCCGTCCTTGCCGCGGACGTAGGCGGCTGCCCCTTCAGGGTCTCGGATATACTGAGACACATACCCGCGCTCAATCTCTCGGATTGCCGTTGGCGCAATGCGGAAGAGGTATCGTTTCTCCTCGGATTCCATATCGGAGTCATTAGGCTGGAGTGGGTTAGTGATGAAGAAACAGGACACAGAACCAAAAATGCTCACCTCGGTGTGCTCGTCGTCCTCGGCAGCTCGGCGGCCCTCGACTAACATCATGTAGCTGCCTTGGGCTGCATGCAGCATCTCGTCTTTGATCTCTCCGAGTTGGGCCTGGGCAGGTCATTAGCAAAGGCTGTCGGGTCAGAGTGTCACCAAACGTACTTGGTATCGGGTCTCTTTCTCGTTCTTCACACCCTCATACACTCTTTCCAACGACTCCACTCGGAACTTGTACTCATTCTCCAGTCTCTGCATGGCCTTGCGCTCGTATTCCGCAAGATCCCGTTGTGCCTGGAAAAACTCCGGAGCGTCCTTGTGAATAGTGGGGTCTCGCGCCAACTTGTGCATGTTGTGTTCTGCTAGAAAGCTCAGCGCGACCTGTTGCGCCTGTCCCACCTTCTTAAACAGAGCAGCCAGTTCATGCTGCCGCTCTTTCAATGGCTGCGATAGCGGGATGGGCGATGGACTCCGGTATCGAATAGCTGCACCATCCCAAATCTCGTCCTCAATCTTCCTGCCGCCTCCTCGGCGCATAATGGTCGCGCTGCCTCGACCACGCCCGCGGCCTCGACCACCTCCACGCTTCACCACGGTTGCAGATTGCACAAGGCCTGCAGCTCCGCCTCCGCGCCCTCCTCCCCGGCCTCCTCCGCGGCTTCCTCCGCGGCTTCCTCTACCACGGCCACGACCGCGACCGCGTCCGCGACCTCGGCCTCCGCGACCCCGTCGCGCACGAGCTGCACGAGCTGCACCTGCGGACATGTATGGTTGTTCCACGGCAGCAGGTGTCGCCTCTTCCGCAGGAGATGATTCTGTCTGGGTCTCGGTTTCACTGCCATTCTGTAGACGAATATCGGGGATGCCTTCTTCAATTTTTGGCTTTTTGTTGGCAACATCCGAGTTGGCGGCTGACTCGGCGCCGTAATCTTCATCTTTCATTTCCGTCGACTTCCGCTTGCGCGCGAGACGCGGAGAAAATACCCCACGTGGTGGCATCTGTTCTGGTTCAGCGGATGCCTGGCTGTAAGGAGGTGGCGTGTTGGAGGCTGTCTCCCGTGACACGGGTTGATCGACCATAGCCTCGTCATCAGCGGCTTGCGATGAACGACGAGAGTGATCCGCATCAAAGCTCTGGGGCGATCTGTGCATGCGAGGATGCGCATCATCATCATCATCATACATCTCCTCTTTGAATGAAGGCTCAGCGAATGATTCATCAAGGTCCATGTCCGCATCGCCAGACTTGGTCGGAGATGACTGGTCCTGGGACGATTCACCAGGGCCCTTGTTTCGGGCTGACTGTCTCGTAGTCCTCGAAGATTCAGGAATAGCCAAGACTCGCTTGGAGCGCTTGGGACGCGGCGTCTCTGGATTCTGAGAGTCGGCGGGAATGCTTAGAAGGGCATTTGATGATGTATCATGATCATCAACAGCAGTAGTTGAGCCGGGGGAACTCTCCGCAAAAGCCCGGAGAGAAGGCATTTTGAACTTGATGATATGCGAGCGAACTTCAGATCTGCTCGATGACGGCGTCTCAGGAGCAGAGGGTTCTTCGAGACTCGTCCGAGTTGATCGAGGACCCCTTCTGCGAGGACCCAGAGGGCTAGGTTCTACGTGGGAAAATCAGTTTTTTTTTCTTTCGGAACTGGAACGAGAATCCAATAAAAAAAGGACTTACCGGATGCGTTGCGTGAGGCCCTGGTGGCCATCGTGGGCGTGTGAGCTGGCTCTGGAGCCGCTCTATTTTTTCTTCTTCCCACCATCGCTACCGTCTGCGGAGCAAGGGATTAGTGTAAATTTGCGACCAAGTTACGATGATGCCGCGTGTGTGGTGTGGGTTTGGGAGCGAATGAAGACAAAGTAAAAAAAAAAAGGCCGAAATAGCCGTCGCCCGGCAAGGCGGAAATGAACAGGAGTAAATGAACAATGGTGGCCTAAGAAGGGTGCGTTGATGATGATGACGATGATGATGGGGACTGCAGTTTGCCCGGGGGGGTGGATGGTGGCAGGAAATATGAGAGAGAAACTTAAGAGATGAGAGGAAACAAGTGAAAGGCAAAAAAAAGTAAAAAGACAAAACGAACGAAGCAACCGACAAGGGTAAATCACCGCGACGCCGATCTTTCGTGAATGTCACAGTTAATAATCGCGATTGCGAGTCGACCGCGAGCATCCGGGGATCATGGCAAATGCGTTGAGATGCAGAGATTGGGTAGCCAGGGGGAGGAATGGATGGACGAAGGTGTCGCGAGTAGGGAAGAAGCAACGAAGGCACGCGATAGATGGGAATAATGAACACGGGAATAGAAAGAGGAATTGGGAGTCAAGGGACGTGCGCAGTGACCCAAAACAAGTGGCCGAAACGGCCGTCCGGTAGAGCGGGAGAGCGACAGCAAGACAGGCACTTACCGAGGGAGATGACGAAGAGACGATGAGGGAATGCGACAGGGGATAGTCGTTGCGATGGGCCGTGGATGATGAAGTAGAGTAGAAATCCGACGAGGCCGTAGTTGGGAAAGGATCTACTGGGGGTGCAGGATTTGACTGGGTCCGGGTAGGGAAGTGGATGGTGGACCAGGAGTAGTAGAGTTGTAGGAGTGGTGAAACAGAGAATGATGATGGGGATTCTGATGGGTAAAGAAGAAAGAATTGAGGAGGAGAATGATGGGTGCGCTGGGAGAGGAAGAAGAAGAAGAAGAAGAAGAGAGAAGATGCAAGGGCCGTTGCGGAAGAGAAAGCCTGGTTGGTTCAGTTGGGGCGAGAGCAGGGCCACACCAGGACACCACGACCGTAGCTTGGAGAGAATACTATGGGGGGATGATAGAAGAGGTGGCAGAAAAAGAGAACGAAGAGGTAATTATTCTTCAGGTTGGTGACGGTGCTCTCCCCTGGATTGGCCCAATATAGGCGACATCGCGCGTATTAATTAATAGAGAGGTCGGTTGTCCCCCCACGCCCGTGTCTTACATCCGTCATCTGTCCTAACACTAGTACTACGACGACTGTGCAATGCTTATTCTGTCTCATTATTCTACCCTGCTATGATTCTACGCTCCCTGCGCCGTCGCAAATATCCCGAGTGGGTCGCCTGGCGGTGACAGCGAAAACGGACGGAAGCCAAGCCCGTTGCAGGATGATTACTACATACCATTGTCCGGGTGGACTACTATGTGAACGATCCCTGTCAGTGCGATCCGACAGGGGGTAAACCCATCAAAGGGCTCCGATATGGCCTCAACGCCGACTCTCTCTGATTATTATTTACATACATATATCTGTACATGCCAAAACAAAGGAAAATTTGTACATAAAGCGAGCGAATAACGTCATCTGGTCTGTCAGTTTTCATCAGGGGATTCATTCAATTCGTGTCTCTTTTCGTAAAGCCCCGGCCCGGCGTCCTTGCGCGCACGCATCGCATAATCCGGCTCGGGCAATGGCGAGGGGGTTCGCATCGTCTGATCACGCAGGGAGCGAGCGGATCGCATCCGCGTCAAGGTCTGGACCGTAATCGTCTGTCCCGCAGACGGGGAGGCCCTGACCATCGTCCCCGGGGTTGGGGTTGGGGAGGGGGAAGGGCTGCTGGAGCGGAATAGAGGGTGGATGTTGTCTTCTCGCTGAGTGATCGTCTCTGCGATGCTCAGGCTGCATGACGAGCCAGTGGGCGATTGAGAGCGCACTAGGCTGTCGAGCGACTGCTGGGCGGGTGAGCGGTGTTGTCGCAAGCTAGGCATACTGCGGATGCTATTGTGAGCTCGAATAAGAGGCCGTGGGTCGTACCGACGCTCTGGCCTTGTCGGGGATGCTGGAGAGGGCTCTGGGGTCCACGATGCCGTGGAGTCGGTGTTGAAGGAGGAATGTTTGGCTTCTTTGGTGTCTTGCGGACGGATCGTCTGGTCCGACTGAGAGCTTGAAGTAGATAAGCGGCTTGAGGGCCGAGGATATTTGCGCAGCGAGCCCATTTTGGGCTCAAATCGGTAGTAATCGGATGCTGCAGGCGGAGCTGAGATGGTACTCGGTGTAGATGGTTGGAGGTATGGGCGAGGCCACTGGAGGTCTGATTGCTTTTGTGGCGTGGAGGCCAATAGAAGATAGCCGCAATAGAGCCCTTGCGAGAAAATAGAGAACGTCCAGGAGACGAAGCGGGCGATGGACAAGGTTGACTTTTGGGGGGCTGTACTGCCTGCTGCCATTGTTCCTGCTCCGACCCCAGCAGCGAACAGGAGATACGCCCCGGTGAAATAGAAGACTCCCGTCTTCCAGCCAGCGCAACGCTGGCCGGATCGCACATCTTTGTGGAATAGTAGGCTGATCGCGACCAGGGCGACACAGCTCACGGCACTCAAGCCAACCGGAGCCAGACCAGTGGTGGTCGTGTGGGAGGGCATAGAGTGCAATGTCGCATAGAACATGCCATTGAGGATGGTGACAATAAACGTCGAGACCATTGAGGTCCCTGCCAGTAGATAGACCAGCATTGCTGCGAACATCGTGGGTGTTGATAGGTAGCAGATGGAAAAAATCAGAAGTAAATATACGATATACTTCAGGCATTCACGAGCGCTGACTATGCGTCCTGTAGCCAGGAGATCTGGGGAAGTTCTCTGATCATTCCTTGCAGCTCTTGGGGGGTGTGGGCATGTATTTATGGGTCGCACAGGCAGGGTTCGCGTGGGCAGCAGATGGATAGAGAACGGGACGGAGCGGTGCATCCCAGCAGCGTGGTAGAAAGCCAATCGGACGGGGAAGCCGGAAGCAGGTCCTCTGCAGAGAGGTCGATCTGATCCATCTATCCGGCATGGCGGTTCAGGTGCAATTGAATCGATTCAGGTACGGGAGAACAGGGTCTGCAGGAGGAGCGTCAGTCTACCGATCATTAAATCGCAAAAGTGATATATCGCAATTGGGTCTTGCAGCGAACAAACACAAACAATGTGGCCGCTACACTCGAACAGGGTTTATCTTTATCTCAGAAAGCCAGCAGAGTAAAATTCTCATAGCTCGGTCAATCTGGCCGCTAATAGGAACTATGGATTTGATCAATCCGATGCGTATATCTCGGGAACTGGAGGTGGCGTATCCCGGCTCAATAGTGCGGGCCGGGTGGATGTGACATATCGATCTGGCATGTGAACAGCTCCAGTGGTTCCTGAATTCCGTGAGATGATGTCCGATACGCTTTGTAAAGAATCATCAGCCGATCCGAGCTATGACCGGGTTCCTGGAGGCGACGTCCGTGCGATTGAGATCCTGTCTATCGCAGTCTATCGTGATCTATCATGGCCCTATCAGTCCATCCTGCAAACGAGATTTGAGGAATTCAATCACTCTTATTGGTCAAGTTCTAACCGATCTGGCCAATTTGTTAGAATCTGCATTGCACCCAATGATTCCTGAATTGATGGCTCCGAATGTTATGGTCAGGTTGTTTGCTTGCCTCGGCGTTGTTGCCATGGATGGGACCGAAGAGGCGGCCTAGGCCTCGAGGGGTAAAAGTGGCCATCTAGTCAAATCAGATCAGCGTGTCCATCTCGCTCTGCCATCATAGTTCATATCATGGACACTTCCTGAGCACACAACCACAACAAAGAAGTATCCCCAATGGTATACTACAAGGCGGTGAGGTATCTGCCACCGCCTAGCCGAGCCCGCGTGTGTTGCGGCATCACCTTGGCCTGCGCCCCTCTCTCTTCCTCGTCTGTTTCTGCCTTTGACATCAACCGGGATCATCATTTCTTTCTCCCTTCTTTCCTTTCCATCTCTCAGGCCCTTGTCTACTTCTTCATCTCTTCCCGCTCTAGCTGTTCTCGCTTCAAGTGGCGGCAAAATGAAGCTCACTTTCAAGGTCAGTGTGCCCCGCCACTTTTGTTGTCTCTGCCGACGGCTGACTGGTCTTGTTATCAATAGGATCTGAAGCAGGAGAAGTTTGTGGTCGATGTTGAACCCTCCGAGACGGTATGTTCCCTGTCGTGGATGCGACTCGCCGACGTCACTCCAGTGCGGGGCTGAATACAGGTTTCCATAACAGGTTCGCGAGGTCAAGCAGAAGATTGCCCAGGAGAAAGGAGAATATGAGGCCGACCGGATGAAGGTTATCTATTCTGGTATGTTCTCATCGCGGCGAGATGGCCTCGTGGGTTGAATTTTGCATCTGACACACCCTTCTCTGCCGCAGGCAAGATTCTCCAAGATGACAAGACGGTCGAGTTCTACAACATCCAAGAGAAGGACTTCTTGGTTTGCCTGCCCTCCAAGGTAGGTCTGCCCCGTATTATGGATTATACTAGACACTAACGGCTTTGCCATCAGCAACCCAAGGCTGGCGGCTCGTCTGCTGCCTCCCCGGCACCCTCCACCCCTGCAGCCAAAATCCCTGCGTCGACACCAGCAGCTCCTCCAGCTCCTGCGCCCGCCGCTTCCACTGCTCCCGCTGCACCTGCTACACCCTCCCCCGCCACTTCCGGCGCGGCGCAGACGGCCAGCCAGGATCCTGCCTTTGGTGATCCTTCCGCGTTGGCGATGGGTTCTGCAGCGGAGGGGGCAGTGGCCCAGATGGAGGCTATGGGATTTGCCCGGAGTGACATCGACCGTGCCATGCGTGCTGCTTTCTTCAACCCTGACCGTGCCATCGAATATCTTCTGACTGTAAGTTTTTTTCTTTTTTCAAAAAAATTTAAGTGACTCGCGCTAATGTCAAACCTAGGGAATCCCCGAGAACGTCCAGCAGGAACAACAACAGCAACAACAGCAACAACAGCAGCAGCAGCAAGAGCGCGCTGCTCCGTCTGCCCCTGCCCCCACGGTCCCCACGTCCGGTGGTGAGGAGCCCGTCAACCTGTTCGAGGCCGCTGCTCAGGCCGGCGAGGGTGGTGGTCGTGGTGGGGCTCGGGCTGCCGGAGGCGGCGGTGGTGCTGCTGCTGCTGCGGGTGGCGAAGCTCTGCCCAACCTGGACTTCCTGCGCAATAACCCCCATTTCCAGCAGCTGCGACAGCTCGTCCAGCAGCAGCCGCACATGCTGGAGCCGATCCTGCAGCAGGTGGCTGCGGGCAATCCGCAAATTGCCCAGATCATCGGACAGAACTCTGAGCAGTTCTTGCAGCTGCTGAGTGAGGAGCTGGAGGATGAGGAGGGTTCTCTGCCGCCGGGCGCGCAGGCTATCTCGGTCACGGAGGAGGAGCGCGATGCCATCGAACGAGTACGTTTTCTTTTTTCAATTTGCCTCCATCTCAACTAACATGCTCTAGCTGTGCCGTCTGGGCTTCCCGCGTGACTCGGTCATCCAGGCCTACTTCGCCTGCGACAAGAACGAAGAGCTAGCGGCCAACTTCCTCTTCGACCAGCCGGACGAAGACGAGGAGTAAACACACCAAGAAAAACGCCCAACCCTGCATCTCTCCCATCTTCTCGCCTCTCATGTCTTGATGAATACCTCTCTCATTCTGTCCTGTCCTGTCCTGTCCTGTCCTGTCCGTCTGTCTGAAGTTGATAATGGCAGAGTTTTCCCACTTACCTACTCACTCCCCTCGCCTCGCCTCTAGCTGTCGTCTCCTAGATGCAACGCAGCACTTAGCCCGGCGTTTGAATTGCTGAGCGTGTGGACTTGACCGACTTGGCTTTTCTTTGCATCACTGGACTTTCCCCTTTTACCCGCTTTTTCTTTCTCCGGATACGACTGTGATCATGTATTTAACTAATGGGCAAAATGGGATTCTCTCGCTTGACCTGTGTCTTGTAGCTATAAATTTGTCGATGGCTAGGTGGTTCTACCGTATGTCGTCCACCACTTATTATTTGTAGATGCATATCTACCGGTTTTTTTTTTTAATCATTCGATATAGATCTGACCACTTAGTCATGTTTGTAAGGTATGACTTGGTCCGATGAAGTGATCACGAGAATAAAAGGAATGTCCGGGTCTGCTGACTGACAGGGACAGATAATCTATGTACCTAGGAGTAACTTGTTATCGATATATGTTTTGGTCTAGTGACGATGTACACTTTTGTACCTTCGCAGATGATCACAAGGAGTCGCCACCATTCTTCGCGTCATTTGCACTGAACTGGAGACGATCGAATCTAAATCGAGATGAGTAACTGTCATGCTATTCACTCGCCCATCCTGATGAGCGCTGGTGAGGTAGGTACCTGGTATCTATCTATCCGACCATCCAATATCCAACATACACGAAAAACAAACACAAGGAGCACGGCTCAATAAGAAAGAGAAGAGATATTCCTGAATCTGCCCCAAAACCCGCCCCAAAAAAGACTGAAAAAAAACCCCTCATTTTAGAATGAGAATAACAGAGTAAATAAAATAATAGGTCAGGGAGATAGAGAAAGAAAGAGACGTCGGAAAGATTAACGAGAACACACCCTCCGCACAGCCCAAACGCGCAGACCACGACGTCCGATGACTCTCTTCAATGTAGCGACGATGCCATCATCGCCGAAGTCGAGGTCATCCAGGTTTAAGTGTTTGCGGTATAGCCAGAGTGGGAGGAGCTCCAGGTTTGGGGAGCGGAGCGCCGCGGAGATAGCATATGGATCGAGGAAAGTCGCTGAGGCGGGAGCTACCAGGAAGACAGAGGTAGGTTTTGAGCAGGCGGGGACGACGTTGTCGAGACGGGTGATCATCTCCAGACCGGGGATGCCCATCAGGTCATGGGTTGTGATATCGGCGGAGGCGTTGGAGGGCTTGTTGCCGAGGAGCCACAGCGGCGGGGAGTAGGTCTTCCACCAGAAGACATCGACGCCGGAATGCGGGGAGGCAATGGTGTTCTCGACGATGGAGCGCATGGCCAGTTGCGTGGGTACAATTCCGCCCTGGTGGTAGACGCCCATGAGAAACCCCATCACGGCGTTGAAGACCACCCACACGGCGAGCAGGAGCCGCGACCTGCGCAGGCGGATGCAGCTGAGGAGGAGCGGGACGCAGGGCAGAAGGAAGCGTGGTTCCTGATGCGGGAATAGGGATAGCAAGACCGTGGCGGAGAGGGCGGACAGGGCACGCACATTGCGCATCCAGGATGGCACGAGCGGCCAACTGAATAATGAGGTGATCATCACGATGTAGGCTGGGCCGAGCAATTGGAAGAGGTTGGCGACGAAGTGTTGGTGGCGTGGGTGGAGGCCATGGACAGCGAGATTGGATGGGTCAGTGTTGTAGAGGAGATTATTGAGCGGAGTGATGATGGGCGAGCGGATAATGTCAAGAAAGGAGGCCGTGGGACGGTAGAATGCCGTGTCAGTGAATATAGCTATCGAGGTGAAGAAAAATCCAAACGCGAGGAAGACGGCTAAGGAGGAGGGTCTATAGTTAAACCGTGAATTAGCCTGGCACCACCAAACCATCCAAGCAAAACTCACTTGCGCCGAAAATGCGGCAGCAATTGCAAGCCGGGAAACAGCAGAAAAGCCGGGAAGGTGATGCGGTTGAACACGCCCACGACGGCGATGAACGAGAGCACGGCGTAGGAAAAAAGGACGAGTATTTCTATAAGTCAAGGATTAGCCTATCCCCTCACATACACGCGTACAAGAATAATCACCTTATTCTCAACAATGCGCCGAATCAGCACTAGTCCCCAAGCAACCAACAGCGTCTCGAGAGAGTTGGAGAAGGTGTGCGTCTGATACGTCCAGGTGACATAGGACGAGGCCACCAGGACGACGGTCGCGCGGCGATGGCGGGGCGAAGGCACCAACTCATAGACCGCCCAGTCTTCCAGTACAAAGCTCAGCAGGAACATGCCCGCGCGCAGCGCGTAGTATACCAGTTGCGGCGGTGGGTTGCCGGTGCCGATCTCGGTGTAGAACCACTGCAACAGGCTCATGGGCAGCTCGTAGGTTGGCCATAGTGGGAAGACGCTGCGGATGGGGTGGTCGGAGGTAAATTCCCAGGTGAGAGATGAGGGATAGGAGAAGATGCGGCCTGTTGGGGGGGTAGATGTGAGCGGATAGACTGAAAGGGGGTGTGGTCTGGATGTCCGGGGGGCCTTGTTTGGGTGTTTTTTTTTCACAGTTGGATTTTCGGAACGCATTGCTTGCAGCCACGGGAGAAGGGATGGAGACGCGTCGCCATGCGCAGACAGCCAGATAAAACGTACCTGCGAAGACCTCGGGGCCCTGGAAATTCTCATCGGGATGCAAGTAGCTGGGCGAGAGCGCGAAGTAAACACGGACTAAGAGCAGCAGCAGGTACATTCGTCTCCACATGATTCAGAGGGAGCGACCAGAACATGCTGGAGAAATAATAATTAGAGAAGAGAGGGCAAGAACATAGGTAAGAGGAAAAGAGGGAAGAGAAGATATGGTGCGTTAGGGGGAAAAAGAAAGCACGACGCGCATTATTATTATGGCGATGATATCATGCTCGGCTGAACACTGTACCGTCTGTACCAACCAACCACCCCCTGCATAGGGATAATTATTATGTATGTGTCTATGCTTGAGTATTTTTATTGCGTACTGGACTCGCTGTTTATCCTATTGTTTGGCTAGATGGTGTTTTTCTATAATAGAGTTGGTTGTCGAAGCCCAGTTGTATACCTGACAGAATATATATGTGAACGGTGTGTTACTACTGACCGAACTTCACTTGAAGTTCGAGAATAATAATCTTCTCCCATCCTAGTTATTATTTTGCCTAATCATCATGATCCAGTCATAGTTACCTACTTACTAGGCAGCATCACACCGTGGGGGCTACTGACTGTTTGCGCAGAGCCTCGTCACTGACTAACAGCCTCCACCTCCGTGTTCGGGTGGCCAGCTACTAACTAACTACACTTCCCTTCGACTCACCCTGCTCCATCCATATCGAACCCCCAGACTTGCCCGTCAGATATTTTCACACTCCTCTCTCCCGTTCTTCCATACAACCCACTCCCTCTCTCTCATCGTTAGTCCCACCACACCCCGCCCCGCCAACTGTCCCCTTCACAGACGCTGACCTGACCCAGTCAACCTCCACCTAACAGCAACATGAGCTCCATCATTCTCACCAGCTCCGATGGCGTAGATCTCACGGTCGGTAAGTTGCTGATCGGACTGTACCCTCCTTGAAGGTGCCTGCACTAACTCAGACCCCACCAGAGCGCACCGTGGCCGAACGCTCCGTCCTGATCAAGAACATGCTCGAAGATCTTGGCGACTCCGGCGAGGCGATTCCCATCCCCAACGTCAGTTCTTTTTCCCCTGTGTCTCCGATCAGCGGCCGCTGATATCGTGAAATAGGTCAACGAGGCCGTCCTGAAGAAGGTCATCGAGTGGTGCGACCACCACAAGAACGACCCCCCGACCGTGGGCGACGAGGACGACAACCGCCGCAAGACGACCGATATCGATGAGTGGGACCAGAAGTTCATGCAGGTCGACCAGGAGATGCTGTTCGAGATCATCTTGGTATATTGCTCCCTGCCTACACACCATCCCTGCGGCTTCGTTTGCCATGCTAACACACTACCCCGCCACCAGGCTGCCAACTACCTGGATATCAAGGCCCTCCTTGATGTCGGCTGCAAGACTGTCGCCAATATGATCAAGGGCAAGTCCCCCGAGGAGATCCGCAAGACCTTCAACATCCAGAACGACTTTACGCCCGAGGAGGAGGACCAGATCCGGCGCGAGAACGAGTGGGCTGAGGAGTATGTCTTTCTTTCTTGCCCTGTCCTTACTGAAGATGCTGCTGCTAACTCACTTATCCTTGCTAGTCGCTAAATATTCCCCTCTTTCCCCTCTCCTTCGCTCTACACATTTACGACTTGTGATTCCCTTTGCCTGCAATTCGAAGAAATGCTCTGATCATGTTGAGACTCGCGGGTGAAAGAGCCCGATGGCGTTAGGGTCAAGCCGCTTGTTTCTCTTCCTTTTATCTCGCTGTTGTGTTTTTCATCTACCGATCGACGTTTGACTTAGTGGGGAACCATTGCTTCCTGCTGTCAAGGCGGATCACAGTGATAATTGCTCTCTGCCTCCATGGATTTAAAAAGGAAGTCCATCTGTCCCCGGCAACGAGTTCAGGTTAGATGCATTAAGAGACGATGAAGTCATTGCTCAACCATAAGTCCGTGGTGTGTCGTAGGGTGAGGTGTATGTAGCCGTACAACGTAGTAGGTATCTTATGTCCGCCATCCGACAGAGCTTACGGTACGAAGTAAGTAACAAGAAAGAGAATGAATGCAAGACAAAAGGACATTCAATTCGATTCCATCACATTTTTGACTTTAGGCAGAACATCATTCCTCGCCGCTCCAACACCACCGTTCCACCAGCGAAGACAACATAACACTTAACCGCGCCACGCCCAAGGATGTAGTATCTGTCGTCCATGAAGAACGAGGTAGTTGACAATAGACACACTGCATCACAAAAACTTCCCGACCGGACTTGACGTAGTTCCATCGACTAGAGCAACCAAGCCCCGGAGAAAAAAAGCAGTATCACATCACATCACATCGCATCGTATCACGACATCGAGAGGATCGAATCGAAGCACATCGCAGAAACAGAGGTATCGAAACGAGCCGAGGACCGGAGGAGCGGGAAAAATTCGAGCAAGAAGTATCGAATTTAGATGTTCAGGCGGGTCTTGCGCCAGTGTCGCCGCTTAGCGTTGTATCTGTGAGAAGAAGAGGGTGTTAGTTTTGCTGTGTCTGGATGATCCGGCAAATATGGTTCCTCGTTCAATTTCCATCTTCATCTTTCATCTCCATCTCCCAACTCTGGTCTCCTTCCCCCAAACCAACCCGTATTTTGTAGCCCGATCGATCGGTTCCAATCCACCGCGAGGAACAGGGGTATTGGCAGCAGGGAGATTTACCTGATGGTGTTGCCGGTGCGCAGGCGAATCCACTGGGGGATGGGCCGGTTCTGGCGCTGGGCTTTGGCAATCTTTTGCTTGGTGCGGAAGGACTTGTGGCTCTAGACGGGGTGGATTAGTATCTCGTAGGCCGTTCGATATTGTGTCCAGCACATACCGGCATCTTGAAGGGTGTCGCGATGGCGAGCTGGTGGATGGGGAAGAAGTTGTCGGGAGTTCGGGTGGTTTGTGTGCGGCTGGGGCTTGGCTTCGCTTGGAAGGTCATGTGATTAGGTGCCTGAGGCAGGACAATTTTTCAGGCATCAATTTTATGATTAAGGCATCCACTGTTTCGATTCCCTGTCATGCATGAGGCTCGTCCTCGCTCCATGATCCCTACCTAATCGGTCTCTCCGATATGCCGAACGGAGTCAAATGTCGGTCAGCACGCTGCGGAAGAAAACCCCTCTGCCTGTCGTCCTTGGCACCTACCGGACCCAAATCAGGCATCCATAATTAATAATTAGTGCCACCTGGCTCGGGTGCTGGCCAAACCCGGCGCTAAGCTCCCAGAGGCAAAACGTCAGTCTGTCGCTTAGCCTAAGAGTCATCATGTCGTTTATGTCCTAGTGGGTTACGTGGTCCAGGTGTTTCACCACGGGGTGGCTCTCATGCCGAGCATGTCACATATTCCCAAGGAAGGGTGGTCCCTGGCATGCCCTTGCGCCGGAATGTGGTGTACCTACATGTCCCTACTAGAGTAGAGAGAGAACTACACGTCGTGCGAGAGTACGGGGAACAACAACGACCGTAATATAATATAGATCGATCGGGAAGGCGTCGACCTAATTCCACGGTCTGTGCATGCATAGTGTCCCCGGAAGCTGGGCCCTCCGAAAGATTTGATCTCTCGGGTACATTTGTTCTCCGAAATTCCTGCTTATCATTCATTAATTAATTTGGCTGTCTGAAATCCCTGGACTCCCTTGGATCCTGTCTGTCCTTTTCCTTCTTCTCTTTCAACTCAACTCACCTGTCGCCAAAACTGAATGGAGTAGCTCCACCCCGTGACGAAGTGACCCGCATCTTCTTGTCGCGTTCGTCGCTTATCCAACTACAAAATGCAGCAGCCGGAGGAAGGTGCTGTCTCCGCCGAGAAGGCCGTGGAGGAGACTGTGACGGCACCAGGGTCAGAAGAGAAGCCGCGCGACCACACCTACGACTCGGGCTCGACCCTCTCGGCCAACGGGAAGGAAAAAGAAGAAGCTCACAAGACCGCCATTTCGATCGACGACGATGCGGTCTTCGCCCACCTCCCCGAGCACGAAAAGGCCATCCTGAAGAAACAGCTGGATGCGCCCGTCGTGAAGATCTCCTTTTTCGGCCTGTATCGCTATGCCTCCCACATGGACATCCTCATCCTCGTGGTGAGCGCCATCTGCGCCATTGCGGCCGGCGCGGCCTTGCCCCTCTTCACCATTCTCTTCGGATCCCTAGCGACCAGTTTCAAGACCATCGCGCTCAACCAAACCTCCTACGCGGCCTTTTACCACGAGCTGACGAAGAATGTCCTGTACTTTGTGTATTTGGGCATTGCCGAGTTCGTCACCGTCTATATCAGCACCGTCGGTTTCATCTATACCGGCGAGCACGTCACCCAGAAGATCCGCGAGCACTACCTCGAAGCGATTCTGCGCCAGAACATTGCCTACTTTGACAAGCTGGGCGCCGGCGAGGTCACCACCCGCATCACCGCCGACACCAACCTGATCCAGGACGGCGTGTCCGAAAAGGTCGGCCTGACCCTGACCGCCGTGGCCACGTTCGTGACGGCCTTTGTGGTCGCCTATATCAAATATGCCCCTCTGGCGGGCATCTGTACCTCGACCATTGTGGCGCTGGTGCTCATCATGGGTGGTGGTTCGCGGTTCATCATCAAGTTCAGCAAGCTCTCGCTGGAGAGCACCGGTGCCGGTGGAACGGTTGCCGAGGAGGTGATCAGTTCCATTCGGAACGCGACCGCATTTGGCACCCAGGATAAGCTCGCCAAGCAGTATGAAGCGCATCTGCAGGTCGCCGAACGGTGGGGTATGCGTCTACAGATGGCCCTGGGTGTGATGGTGGGCGCCATGTTTGGTATCATGTTCCTGAACTACGGTCTGGGTTTCTGGATGGGCTCGCGGTTTTTGGTCGACAACAAGGTCGATGTGGGCCAGGTCCTGACGATTCTCATGGCTATCCTCATTGGTTCCTTTAGTTTGGGGAATGTCAGTCCGAACGGACAGGCCTTTACGAGTGCGGTGGCTGCTGCGGCGAAGATCTTCAGCACGATTGACCGCGTGTCGCCGGTGGACCCGACTACGGATGAGGGCATGACTCTCGAGCATGTCGAGGGTGATATTGAGTTCCGCAATGTCAAGCACATCTATCCCTCTCGTCCGGAGGTGACTGTCATGGAGGACATCTCGCTCTCGATCCCCGCTGGAAAGACCACCGCACTGGTCGGGCCGTCTGGTTCAGGAAAGAGCACGATAGTCGGCCTGGTCGAGCGTTTCTATCTGCCCGTTGGTGGCACGGTGTTGCTAGATGGCCATGATATCCAGGGACTGAACTTGCGTTGGCTCCGTCAGCAGGTCTCGCTCGTCAGTCAGGAGCCGGTGCTTTTTGGAACGACCATCTATCAGAACATTCGCCACGGTCTTATAGGAACTCGATTTGAGCAAGAACCGGAGGATAAAATCCGAGAGCTCATCGAGGATGCGGCCAAGATGGCCAACGCCCACGAATTCATCACAGGTCTTCCCGAAGGATATGAGACTAACGTCGGTCAGCGGGGTTTCTTGCTGTCTGGTGGTCAGAAGCAGCGTATTGCCATCGCTCGTGCGGTTGTGAGCGACCCCAAGATCTTGCTGCTGGACGAAGCCACTTCGGCCCTGGATACAAAGTCCGAGGGTGTTGTCCAGGCGGCACTCGACAAGGCCGCTGAGGGTCGCACTACGATTGTGATTGCCCACCGCCTATCCACCATCAAATCCGCGCACAATATTGTGGTCTTTGTCAACGGACAGATTGTCGAGCAGGGTGCTCACGACGATTTGGTTGAGAAGGGTGGTCCCTACCACAGCCTCGTGGAGGCGCAACGCATCAACGAGGAGAAGGAAGCTGATGCGTTGGTTGAGGAGTCCTCGGATGAGGACGACGAGACTTCCATCACCAAGAAGCACCTGTCGCGCGTCAAATCTGTCGCCAGTGGCGCGAGTGTGTTGAAAGATGACGTTCTTCTCCCCGAGGAGGATTTCAAACGCACCGATACTCGCAAGTCGGTTTCGAGCGTTGTTCTCTCGAAGAGGGGCTCAGAGGCTCGCCACAAGTACTCCCTGTGGACTCTGATCAAGTTTATCGCCTCGTTTAACAAGGAAGAGTGGAAGTATATGGTTGTCGGTCTCTTTTTCTCCGTCCTGGCTGGCGGTGGCCAGCCCGCTCAGGCTTTCTTGTATGCCCACGCGATCAGCGCGCTGTCTCTGCCCGCGAGCATGTACGGCAAGCTACGATCCCAAGCCGACTTTTGGTCGTTGATGTTCCTGGTCGTTGGCATTGTTCAGTTCTTTACCTTCTCGATCCACGGCCTCGCCTTTGCCTTTAGCTCTGAGCGACTTATCCGCAAGGCGCGCAGCCAAGCATTCCGGACCATGCTCCGTCAGGATATCAACTTCTTCGATAAAGAGGAAAACAGCACTGGTGCCCTGACTTCTTTCCTTTCAACAGAGACGAAGCATCTGTCTGGTATCAGTGGACAGACGCTCGGCACGATCCTGATGACCTCCACAACCCTCATCGCCGCGATGGTCATCTCCCTCTCCTTTGGGTGGAAGCTGGCTCTAGTTTGCATTTCGGTCGTTCCCGTTCTTCTTGCCTGTGGCTTCTACCGGTTTTACATGCTCGCTGCGTTCCAGCAGCGCTCCAAGTTGGCTTATGAAGGGTCTGCCAGCTATGCCTGCGAAGCCACCTCGGCCATTCGCACTGTGGCTTCCCTCACGCGCGAGGCAGATGTCTGGACGGTGTATCACGGCCAGCTCGAGGAACAGGCTCACTCGAGTCTCATGTCGGTCATCAGGTCGTCGACGCTGTATTCCATGTCCCAAGCGCTGGTGTTCTTCTGCGTTGCTCTGGGATTCTGGTATGGTGGTACATTGCTCGGAAAGCACGAGTACTCCACCTTTCAGTTCTTCGTCTGCTTCAGTGAGATCCTGTTCGGTGCGCAGTCCGCGGGGACAGTGTTCTCGTTCTCTCCGGACATGGGCAAGGCCAAGAACGCTGCCGCCGAGTTTAGAAAGTTATTCGACCGCCGCCCTGCCATCGACATCTGGTCTGACGAGGGCGAGAAGCTCGACACCGTCAACGGCGTCATCGAGTTCCGCGACGTGCACTTCCGCTACCCAACCCGGCCCGAACAACCCGTCCTGCGCGGCCTGAACCTGAGCGTCCAGCCCGGCCAGTACATTGCCCTAGTCGGACCCAGCGGATGCGGCAAGAGCACAACCATCGCTCTCCTGGAGCGGTTTTACGACGCCCTCTCGGGAGGCGTCTACGTCGACGGCAAGAACATCGCCGACCTCAACGTCAACTCGTACCGCAGCCACCTGTCGCTCGTCAGCCAGGAGCCAACCCTGTACCAGGGCACCATCAAGGAGAACATCCTGCTAGGCACAGACGCCGAGGACGTCCCTGAAGAAGCCCTCGTCCAGTCCTGCAAAGATGCCAACATCTACGACTTCATCATGTCTCTCCCGGACGGCTTCAACACGGTTGTTGGCAGCAAAGGCGGTATGTTATCCGGTGGCCAGAAGCAGCGCGTCGCCATCGCGCGCGCCCTCCTGCGCAATCCGAAGATTCTTCTTCTGGATGAAGCTACCTCGGCGCTGGACTCGGAGTCCGAGAAGGTCGTCCAGGCGGCCTTGGATGCTGCGGCCCGTGGCCGTACCACTATTGCCGTCGCGCACAGACTCAGCACTATCCAAAAGGCTGATATGATCTATGTCTTTGACCAGGGCAAGATCGTGGAGAACGGCACCCACCACGAGCTGCTGAAGAATAAAGGCCGGTACTATGAACTGGTCAATCTCCAGAGTCTGGGGAAGACCCATTGATCTTTGGTTGCATCTGTTGTGTTACCAGCGTTTTCTTCCCTGCCTTTCCTTTCCTTTCTTTCTTTTTTGGATCTAATCATCTTATACCCCTTTCCCCCTCCTCTCTTCTCTTTCGTTTCATACCACGAAACATCCAACCATCTCATCTCCTATATCTATCCTCTTCTATTTTACCACATCTTACCCTCTCCATTCGATGTATGCATTATTTATAGCTTTCCGCTCCTGTCCTCTTTTCTTGCCTCTTTCCTCTCTTCCCACTTTTCTGTCTTTCCTTGGTGTCGAATAGATCTGAGTCTATGGGGTGTGAAGGGTGTTGATCCGGCTTGGCTTTCGTGTGCTATCATGAGGATCTCATGCATGCATGCTCTTCTCTCCACTAAAAGAAATACAATGACTAGAAAATTGTATCAAAAGTTTGCACCTAGAATAGTCGTCATGAAGTTCGGCTCGACCAGTCCATGTTCCTCTAGCCTAACGCCGGAGACCGATAAGAGTAAACAGAAAAAAAGAAGAGCATTGCTCCTGCTCGCAGAAACCAACCAACCCCCCCGCTCAATCCTTCTCCCCAACCCCGAACTCCCGATGCACGTCAACCACCCGCACCCCGCGCGCATCAGCAATCATACCCATCAGTCCCTGCCCGACATCCTTGATCTCGTTGTACTCGTGCAGCAGACGGATGTGCTGCTGGACCGTAGTATTAGGGTCGTTCTTGCTAGAAATTGAATCCGTTTAGTAAATAGTAGATGGTTGGCACCAGCTCTGCTGGATTTGTGTGTGGACGTGTAGTTGGCTTGCGGTACGTACAGTTTGGAGGTGATCTCGGCCAGCTCGGCCTCCAGGTGGGTCGTCTGGGTTTCGAGATCGGTGATTGAGGCGCGGAGGATTTCCTGGGTGGGTTGTTAATTGGATGCAGTTAGGAGGGGTGTGTTTATAGTCTGACCAGGTTCTGTTCTTTCATGGTGAGAGTGACTGAGTGAGTGATGGCTGATGGTTGATAGTTGGGGCTTCCTGTTTCGGCAGTCAATACGAATACAGTACCAATCACCGGGCAGGGGATAGGCTTAATAAGCACGATGGAATTCATTTCAAGTTCAAATGTTCTATATTGATTCCAGGAGTCTTCGATTCTATGAAATATACTTCTTTATTAATTGATTTCATCCTTTCATCTTTCCTTTTCTGTCATCCAACAGCGTGGTGGATGATTGTCCAACCTTGAAGTATACCTATTCGAGGGTGGGTCCCCGACCAAAGGCGGAGGGGGCAGTCGTCAGCGCCGTGATTCTTTTCTTCTTCCCCTTCCTTTTCTCTCCCTCATCTCCTTCCCTCGCCCTACTCACCCACCCTCTCACCCACGATGGCCCGAATCGACTACCATGGGTCATTACTGGCCCTATTCTGTCTGTTCGGCTCGACCCTCGCGCATGGCGGCCATGAGAACGTTCCCGAAGACGGCGCCATGTCGGATGATCCTATCGTACGCGTTTTCCCCCCCCTCCTCCTCCGCGCTCCGCTCTATCCCCTCCGGACAATACAAAGGAAAGAAAGAAAGACACCCAAGCTAACCAGAGATTGAATCCGATAGGACTCGACACTATGGACGCACATGATCTTGATGGGTCTCACGTTCGGCATCATCTTCCCATTCGGCATGGTCCTAGGTGTAAGTTGGAACTTCACTTCTGCACGGCCTCCTCCGGAGAAGTCTCTCTAATGCTTCTGCTTGTCTAGATCGTGCGCTCGCGGTGGCACGTCCCCGTCCAAATCGTCGGCACCGTCGTCGCAGTGGTCGCCTACTTCCTTGGCCACGCCCACGGCGGCCGCCAATACGCACATAACGCCCACGCCTCCTTCGCGAACTGGTTGATGTTGATCCTGGTGGCGCAGGTTGTGCTGGGAGTGTATCTGAAGATGCACCTGAAGCGAGCTGGGCAGGAGCGCATCCGGTGGATCTTTGTGCTGGCGCATGGGATTCTCGGCAAGATTATGCCCGTTGTCAGCTGGGCGCAGATGCTCTTTGGGGGCATCGCGGCCCTGGGATTCTGTCGCGGGGATCATCTCGGACAGTGTCTTGCTCATTTTATCATGGGGAGCGCGTTCATTGCGTATGGGATTCTCTTGACGATTCTGTTGCTCGTGGGCCAGTTCTGGTTGCGTCGGACGGGACGCAGCCAGGAATTCTTCGATTCATTGATCATCGCTGCCTGGGGTTGCGTCAATACCTTCACCGAGCACCGCTGGGGTAGTGCTTGGGTCCACAATGACCTCCAGCATACGACCATGGGGATTGTCTGGTGGTGCGCGGGTCTGCTGGGCATGTGGTTGAGTCGCAGCCGCAATGGCCGGCCCAAGCGGAATCTGATCCCTGCCTTGGTCATCTTGATGACTGGCTACGCCATGTCTGCGCACCCGCAGAGTCTGATGATCAGTACCATGATCCACTCGATCTTCGGATACACCTTGATGGCGGCCGGGATCACGCGAATCATTGAGATCTCCTTCGTGTTGAAGGACAAGCCCTCGGCCAGCGCCACCGACGCATCGGAGACGAACAGCTTCCAATATCTTCCCCCCTTCGTATGTCTTTTCACCTCAATTTCTTCCAAAATCGAGCTAATGAAATCCCGCAGCTACTGTACGCTTCAGGCTTCCTCTTCATGGGCGCCACAGAAGAGCAAATGAAACTCCTCAGCGACGCCGGCATCACGCACGTCTCCTACGTGCTGATCCTGTACAGCATCGCATTCATCCTCTTCCTCTGTATGTTTCAAACTGCCCTCCAAGTCTGTATCAGACCCTAACTATTCCACAAAGTCGTCAACGTCCTCCTCCACATCTACGCCACCCACGCCTGGCCTAACCCAGAAGACCAGGCCGGTGCTGCCGCACCAGGTCCCAACGCCCGTAAAGCGTACATGAACGGCCGGGCACGGTCTGCCTCCGAGGCGCAGCAGATTCACGACGCCGAGACCTTCGAGCTGCATGGTCTCATCTCTGACGATGAGCACGACGACGAGGATGTCCCCGGTGGCTCGGGCGAGCACCGAATGGGCCCGAAGAAGGCGATCGATGAGGAGAATCCGTTCACCAAGGAGTGAGACGTCTCCAGAGCGATTGATTGAAAATGCGTTCTCATCATAATATATCCACCCCACCTTGTCACCGCTTTCTTGAATGTTGTTTACTACAAAAATTGTTCGCATATCTATTTTCTTCGTCTTCTTTTTGATCTGAGGGCGCTGTTGCTTAAGGACTACTCACTCGCCTTTGATAGAATGGAGTTTATTCGAACATGATCTTGCTACTATGGTGATGCTGAATGACAGCTCATAGTGGATCTCCTAAGATTCAGTTTCTTCTTTTGCAGGCAGTAGGATATCGAGCTCTATCGTACACGGATGAGAAATGACATGACATGACGGCATTAATTGAGCCCTCCCCCATCGAGGAATGATGGCAGAACCGGTGAAACAAAAACATATGCTAATACAACGTGGCTCGTTCAACCAGAACCAAGAAGAAAATAAGCACCATCTCCCATGTCCGACCAGACAATCATGCAATAGTAGTAGGCGGCACAACGTCCCCATCCACCGGAATGGGATTAGCCACCGGCGGCACAGCAGCCAGAGCCTCCATCACCGGCGGGAAAAACGGGTGCAACGAATAGATAGGGCCAATGGAGCGATCACCATCGAAAAGCAGCAGATTCTGCAGCGGCTGCTCCCTCGCGGAGAGAACATTGATAACGTCTTGCGCTAGGGCCCCGCCCATGAACGCCGCGACAGGACTCAGCTCGCTGCCAAGATTCTGCAGGAACTTGCGCAGGAACTCCGCGTCCAGTGTTTCGGGGTCGAGCTTGAGGAAGTGGTGCGCTTCGCGCGAGAGCTTGGTGAATTCGGCGAGGTCGATCTGCGAGAAGGTCGGGAGCGCGCCGAAGCCTTGTTTTTGGAATTCCCAGAGCGCACGCAGGCAGCTTAGGAGTGGCGTTACTTGCTTGCGGCGCCGGGAGTTGCGCGTGAAGTCTTCGGGGAGGGGGATGTGTTGGCCAGGAGTAACGGGGAGTATGTCTCGCGCTTGGTGATCAGCTCGATGGTCTTGTCGTTTTCTTTCTTGGTAGTGATGTCCACGACGCTGCGGGTAGGCGTTTCTTGTTGTTGAGGCGGCACGTTGGATTTGGCGCGCTCGATCACGAAGTCGTGGGTTATCAGGTCCGCGAAGACATACCCATAGAACCCGTGCAGGCCGGCGGCGTAGAAGGGCTTCTGGGCGACGCGGCAGGCGGTGTTGATGGAGTTGTAAGTCACAAAGTCGAGGTCTGTGGCGATGGTCACGTCGAATTGGGCGAAGAACTCGGGTGATTTTGTCCTGACATCGTCCGTGTCGATTTGGAGGTCTACCCGTGGGTTCATCTTGTGGATTTGAGGCCCGGCTGCTTGCGCGCGCTGTGTCTGTCTGTCAGTATTTGGTTGGTCCTCATACGAGTAGAAGGAGGGACCGACGTTCTGCCCGACATGCTCCTCCGACACGAAGAATTGCGCGGCCAGGTCGTCTTCCTTGACAATTTCATGGTCGATGATGGTCAGCGAGCCGATGCCCGCCAGCACGAGGTTCTTGGCTACTTCGTTCGCGAGCGCTTTCACGCTGACCAGGAGGATCTTGGCAGCTCCGATTCTGGGAGTGGGACGTTAAGTTTGATGGAGAAAAACAAGGCTAGGAGTTGCTCACTTCTTCTGTGCGGAGACTCCCCACAGTCGGATCTGGCGGTCGTAGAGCGCAATCTCAGCTATTCATGGCACAGGAGTCAGTGGGAGTTGTTGATCCGAAAGGTGTCGGAGCGTACCAGCGCTGATTGACCGCTCGGCGTTTTCTGGGTCTGCCATGGTGTCTTCTAGATTGTGTTGGGGAGGAGGAACCCAGGGGGAAGCAGGGTGATAAGCTTGGAACTTGGAGATGATGCTCAACTTAATCAGCCAACTTAATCATCACGTGTGGCCCTCTCCTGCGTTGTCTCTTCCCCCCCCACCTCATACCAGACATCATTGTGCCCGTCCTGGGCTCTTTCTGTTTCAGTGTCTCTTGATTGTCTCCCCCTAGATCAACCTTTGATAGCCCACACCCCTGGTCCATCTGTTTGGGCCCTGAAGCATGGTACGTTGTTACATCATCGCCCAACTAACCCACCCTCCTAGCTAACCAACACCGCGATAGTCGGGCAATTACGATTACCCCCTGCTTCGTCCCGCCGCCCATCTCGGGGCTCTAACGAGCGCCCACCGCCCCCCAGTGTTCTCCGTCTGCAACACCTTCGGAACTTGGTGAACTCGGAGCGTAACCGTACCAGTACTTACAATACCACCCGAGCCCTGGAGACGCTGAACCAAGAGGAACATTATCTTGACCGAATTCGCGATCGAACCAACTTTGAGCAAGCTCGTGCGGCAGTTGACCGGCAGATCCAACAGTTTGAGTTCAGCAACCCAGCAGAACGAATCCGCAACCTCTGGCACGATCAGCTCCGCTCCGAACGCTCCGAACGCTCCTCACCTTCGTCATCAACCTCGACACCCCAAGAGATGGAACCGCGATCCAGCGGCCGGGCCTTCCGGCGTCGTACTCGGCCAGAGGACCGTCAACGACCTCGGGACCCCCTGACTTCGCTTCACTTCTCGACGAGGCGGTATCCCAGCCCAGACCGCCATCGTTGATCCCACTGTCAACTCAAACGAGCCGTGAGGGCCGAGGGAGACTGAAACGCCGCAAGCTCGATGCAGACGATAACCGGGAGGGACTGCGGGGCTTTAATTACGGCCAGTTCGGCCAGGTGGTTCCGGGAGCGCTGAAGATGGAGATTGCTAGCTGTGACGGCGGGATGTATGACCCAGATGGGGACAGCTCCCTGCCAGAGAATGTGCTGCGAAGTGACCAGTCGGTCTACTGTACCAAGTCGGACCGATGCAATCTAGTTCTACGTCACCGCGGCGAGGCGCCCTTCTGCTTGAAGAAAATTGTCATCAAGGCTCCCAGAACCGGGTTTGATGCTCCGTACGTTTCTTTCTGTTCGTCTGACGTTCTGACAAGTGTTGACCCGCTTTGATTTAGAATCCAAGAAGGCATGGTATTTGTGTCGATGACGTCGGATGAGCTGCTCGCGCGCACGGCGGAGTATCAGATTCAGTACTCGAACACTCGACGGCGGCGTCGAAACCGCCGTAGTGGCATGCAGCCGTCCCAAGAGTATCTTACCGCACATCGATCCCCTCTCCAATCCCTCGAGCGCACGGTGCTGATGGGGCCTGACTCGTCCGCGTCGGACCCTGAGCTTCCCGCTACTGACCGGGAGGCCAACGACCCGCAGGCCGAATTCCGTGTAACAACGGAATACGACGAGAATTCGGAGGAGACTGGCTTTCTCGAACCCGAAGCAACCGAGGATATGAATGTCCTGCCCCTCGCGGAGATCGAGAGGATGAACCAAGTCGACCAATCGTCCGATTTCATGTGTTCCGACAGCGATGAGAGCGAGAGTGATGACGACGAGGAGGATGGGCACAACAGCAACCTGAGCACGTTTACTCGCCGCCGCCTGGAGCTTCGACGGCGCATCGGTTCCATGCGCCGTCAATATTCTGCCGAAGAACGCGAGCTCCAGAGACGTCGGCAGGGCCCGAGTCTCGTCGACCCCGTCCCGCCACCTCCTCCTGCCCCGGCTCCAGATGCGGCACATGACAGTAACTCCTCAAGCCCTGAAGTTCTGAAACCGCACGCACGCTTTTTTATCGAGCGCGAGAAGAGCATGGTCAGCATCAAGTTTGATCCTCCACCGTATGTATTTGTCTGCGCTCTTTTCTTTTCTGGCCCGCATCCTTACCTCTCTTCTAGATCTGGTCGATTCATTCTCATCAAACTATGGAGCCCCCGCAGCGACGGCAATATTGACATCCAAAGCATCATCGCCCATGGCTTTGCGGGATCCCGCTTCTTTCCAGCTGGGGGTTTTCGATGATGCCCATGCGTTTTCCCGTACTTTTATGACCCTAAATGATGACATGAACTTTTCGTTATATACTTCCCCAGTACATGTAGATGTGTTGCTATGAATAGAACCGGTCGGTCTGCCAAAAAGCTTATTTAAACCAAGAGGGCTTAGCGTACCCCTCGTATTCTTATGTCTTGTCTGACCCCCCCTATTTAGCACATCTCCATCTTCTTTCGTGACGGCCAAAATCCAACAGCAGAAATCCTCAGAAACTCTCAGCCATCCTCTCCCTCCAAAATGGCCCGCAAGAAGGCTCTCCTGATCGGAATCAACTACACCGGCTCCAAACACCAGCTAAACGGCTGCATAAATGACGCCATGAACGTGCGCGAATACCTGCTTCGCGAACGTGGTTTCTCCCCGGACCCGCGAGACATGGTTATCTTGACCGATACACCGCAGAATCGCGGCTCGCCGTTCTTCCCCACGGGCGCCAATATGCTGGCTGCCTTTCGGTGGCTGGTTACGGGCAATAATCCGGGCGACTCGGTGTGGTTGTCGTATTCTGGCCACGGGAGTATGCTACCTAGCTAGATTTACTTGGCGACCCGGTGCAGTGGAAGTTCTGACGTGATGGTAAACAAACAGGCCAAGTGCGAGATCCGGATGGGGATCGAGATTCTGGGTATGAATTGATTTCTCCTTCAATCCAGACGTCCTGTGCTGACATCGCTTAGCTTCGATGACACTATCTGTCCCATTGATTTCGAACAAAATGGACAGATTACGAGCGACACGGTATGTGAGCGCATATTTCCCTAGGAACCACTCACACTGACTCGAACCCCCCAAAGCTACACAAAGTGATCGTCTCTCCCATGAACCCGCGGTGCCGCTTAACAATCCTCTTCGACTGCTGCCATTCCGGCTCAGCAGTGGAACTCCCTTACGTGTTCCGGCCCGACGCCGACGGCCGGGTGAACTTGATGGGCAATGTTAAAGAGGGTCTTTCACTAGCCAGGGAGGTATCGGGTCTGCTCCACGGCGGATTTTCCATCGAGAAGGTCCACGATGTAGAGGCGCTGATTGGGCGCGGAACGTCCTTGCTGCATAAATTCCAGCACCCAGATGCGGCCTCTGATGAGAATGGACTCGCGGATGAGAATTTCGTCGAGGATTGGCGCAATGAGGGCAAGGATGTGTGGATGTTTAGTGGGTGTGCTGATGATCAGACTTCGGCCGATACCAGTATGCAGGGTCTTGCGACAGGTGAGTGCTTGGACCGGATATTTTCATTTTCTCAATTTGAAAAGTGTGTCTGTTAACGTGTATACACAGGCGCGATGTCGTGGGCTTTCATCAACACCATGAGGGCCAATCCGCGCCAGAGTTATGTGCAGGTGAGAATGGCTTACAATGATCATGTGAAGATGGCTGATAATCCGCTAACCTCAATGTTTGGATAGGTTCTACAAAATACTAGGGCTCTGCTGCAGTCTAAGTACGCACAGATTCCTCAGCTATCTATTGGTGGTAAATATGACTTGAACCAGCCGGTATATCTTTAAAGAAGGCACATAGCGCAGGATATCGAAATTCCATACTTTGTTTGGTATTATCTTCATTTATCTACTATTCAGATCCTGCGCTTCACTATTATTCACCAGAAGCCCGATGATGGTAGGCAAATCCCCACTAGCCCCTGGCCCCTAGCCCCCGGAATAATTTAATCGCCGGCATGTTGCTCAGTTGCCTCACACACCTTATTTTGGCGAGGCATAGGAATATTTATAAATGCTTTAAGTATCACTCCAGATAAGGGGGTAAGTTGGTGATTTGGGTTTGTGGAAGACATTTTATTATGGGGGCTTCAAGTTCCTTGTGTTTTGGGTATGAGTTATTATGGTAACCTCTTTAGGGGATACTCCTAAAGAGCGAGGCGGAAGTTGTTATGGGAAGGGAATCACAAACAACCTATTCGATACCTGTGTGTTCATGAGAGAGACCAGCGCGGTTCTAAATTTGTCGGGCGACACACCACAATTTACCCTCAACTTGGCAACTAAATTGGCTATCACATGCATACCTCCTTCGCCTGACCATGTCGTTCATGCAACACACCATGGCTTTTCTATAGAAAGAGAGAGCTCGGGATATCTGTCCTGGCTGGTCACCAAACGACCCCCATTCCTTTGACTCTCATATTCGCAACAATAACTAATTACAAAGTACATTCGCCTACTCCGTCGACCGCCCCTTCCCATTATTCCCTCCCTCAAAGGGGAAGTAAATTTTTTTGTTCAAAGTGTACCAGTAAGAAACACAGAAGAACACCCAAGTCTCGGGATTCTGCCGTACAAGTTCAAGGTTGGTAAGTTCGCCGTCATTTTGATCATAGTTCTTAATGTCATCAGGATGGTCTAAGTTGGTGCTTTTCGGGACGTTTTCGGAAGAATCTAACGCCGTAATAATGGTGTCAATATTGTCTAGAGAGCTGTTAGTATCTGCTATAAAGATATCGGGTTTAGTCATACAGCTTGCATCAGGACTGTCCCAGGCGTGGACTAGATGGAAGACCTCATGGAAAAGGACGCCACTTCGCGGTAAGACTTTTTCAAGCGAAACAGAGGCGGCACCACGGCCACCCAATTTCTGTGACCTCTCGGTGTCAGAAAAGGCTATAGGGCACAGATCCATCACGGATGGTCTTGTGTCTAAATAGGTGCCCCCTTGGCTCCCAGTGAAGCCACAGTACCCCTGATTATTATAGTTCTTCTGGAAAGCATATTGCTTAAGAGTGCTTGACCAGTATGGCACCAGGTCGGTTGGTATTTGCTCAGTAGCCGTGAAAGTCCGTAAATATTTGGAGTAGGAAAGGTCGTCTTTAAGCTTCATTGGTCGACCATTAGACATTTTGACATCGCCGTCATAATCTAGAGAATCATCATCCCATGTTTTCTGCTCTAGCCAGGAGCTACCGCAGAATAACCACGGTGTGCCGCTACCGAGGTTTAGGCTTCCATGGAAGAATTGAGATACTTGCTCAAGTTTCTCTATGGATATGTTTAGCCACCAACCAAATAAGTGAAATAAAGGAGCCCGCTCACTTCTTGTTATCTCTCTTTCATTCGCAGATGTTTCTGTAGTAATCCCTAGGAACTGTTCAAGGGTGGCCATTGCGATTTTATTTCCGTCGCTAGCATCCAAGAATGCCTGGAGACCGGCCTTGGCCATTTCCTTCGATTCATTTAGCCAAGCAGCGATCGCTTTTTGACGATTTGCATCACACCCTCCATTAGTCCTTCCTGACTTGATTTGGAAGATCTCCTGTACGGAGGGATTGGCTGAGGCGCTGTTCTCATTCGTGTCGCAATCATCTTCGAAAGCATCCTTATCACTGAAGCTAGCGATGTCAATGCCCCATTTTGAGATAGCCTCCGCACTTGGAGCATAATATGGCTCAAGTCCTTTTTTCCATATCATAACCACCTCTTTTCCAATGGATATCTCCAGAGTTGGTTTTGTTCCCTCACTCACCCAAGTCAAAAAAGCCCGTTTGTCGTATGATTTTATGGATGATTCCCATGGTCTCACGGGGATTCCTAAGGTTTCGTATAAAACAATCCCAAGAGCGTCGAATGCCGGAAGGAACCTTAATGGCCGTTGGTACCCTGGACTTAGGCCCACAACGCCTGCGCCCATAATGTTGCCGCCACTTGCCTGCAGCTCTGCTAGAATATCCTTCAAGGGCGAAATCTTCCCTCTGGTCTCGATTTGTCCACCCTTGGAATAGCGCTTTGTTATCTCAACATCTTGGCGCCATAGTGATTGAGCCATCTTGAGAGCTGACCAATTCTTTTTCGCCATAGTCACCACACTGCTTAGTGGGATCCCGAGCACAAGAATAGCTTTTTCGGCAAACACATAGACAACCATTCTCTCTGTAACTTTGTCCTTTGCCATTCTCACTCTGGCGTTGACGCTTTCCATGGGAAAATCTTGATAGATCATACCTACTGTTTCAGGTAGATCAAAGATCGAGTCTCCCTGGAAGTAGTAACCGTTGATCTTGTTTTTTTCGTACTTGATTTGCCAGGTACTAGGATCGTCATACTTATCAATCCCATTATTAGGTAGTAGCTTCCCTGATACACGTTTTTCTATCGCGAATCCGAAGACTTGAGAAAAAAACGCGAAATATATCAAAACCGCAAGAGGCCCCATCTTATCGGTGTCGAGCAAAGGTGTTGAAGTAATCACGGAAGCAGTCCAGGAGAGAGCCAGGGAGGGAAGCCTGGAATGGAGGGAGATAGTAGTCAGAGGCGCTGAGGATGACCTTCTCCCTTTATCTTGTAGAAAATTCTCTTCAAAGTACAACAGCGCCAAGGATCAATCCTACAGGATTATAACCCCAATACAAGGGGCCATGTCGAATTTAAGAATTGCGGATACTCCAATTAACCATTGGGAACATAATGGAGGTCGGCTATCCTGACTATTTATAAAATTTGTAAACAAAGCACATAAATGGCTAATATGTAGTATACAGGCCAGTTAAATTCAGGCGAGGCGGGAATAATTAAAAATTCAAATCGTGTTGGCGTCTATTCTAGAGACTTATGATAAGAAGATTCTTTCTAGGATTTACATTAATAGACTGTGTTATCTTTCCTGTGCCCCATTGTCGTGTTCTAGGGATCGCGCCCGGCTCAAATCCAATCCTGCGGGAGATGATCCATTTGTTTAAGCTATTTTTAAAATACCCGGAAAGCGGAGAGGTAGCACGGAAGGCCATTATCGCAAACGGGCCAAAACATCACAACCACCAATCGTTTTGCTGGCAAAACTATTATCTAGTCGTCTGGAACTGGTAAGTAAACCGTACTACATAGTAATTTTTATGGTAGACCACGCGCCCTCTATTCTCTAAGCGGGATCTATTTGAACGTGGTCTGAAATTTAGTACGCGTGGCCCACAAATCGTCTTAGTCATATGCGCTAGGTTCGGGCCACGCTTAGGTGTAGGAGTTGAACGTGGTCCGAAATTAGCGCCGAATTATGAAATCTCCCCAGAACACGATAATATCGACAATGACAGAAAGAAACGGACAAAGCTGTACGCATCGGTAGCAGCCTCGCCGAGGAATCAAACAGGCACCTCACAAGAAACTGAATCTATAATTCTTATATCTTGTTGTCTAATAAAGGATTCACCCCCCAAATGGAGGCCCTACTCGAGCAGCCCTGTTCTGCACGGGAATCCATCATCCTTGACCGGACCCTAGGTGTCTTGCAACCGTCGTTAACTACAATATATGATCTGAGGAAGTCCGTAACTGTATTAGCTATAGAGTAATGAATCATATTTGAAATTCAAACTTCAAAGGGCACAAGACTCTGATCGGCTGAGGTAGTTGTACGTATGTATCTCCCGGTTTCATTTGGTCCGTTTTATAGCCGTCTCTCACTCGTTTTGCCAGAACATCAGAATACTCAGCCTTGATTGACACATTCCGCAACCTCATCATCACATGCGGCACCCTGTCATCGGGAAAACACGATATCTCAACGCCGTTCTCAGAGCATTGAGGAGTGTCTGTCAACAGCGCAACACAGTCCCCATCCGCTATGATAGCGGTAACATTCAGCTCGACAACCTTGTCCCGCAGTGGGGCATAAATTTCATTGACAACGTCAGCATATTGGCCCTGAGGCAGGTCCTTGGAGCAAATTAATGTTTGGAACGCAGACATTAGGGCATATTTTTGAACTTGGAAATCCATGCCAAGATTGTAGAAATCTATAGCTCTTTGAAGACTGGCTGTTTGCTCATACTCCAAAGCCAACTTGACCAAGACAGGTGGATCAGTATACCAATCTTGAGGACCAATGGTCGTATTTGCATGAATAAAGCCGGCTTGCTTTTGGTCGAGAACCCTGATTAATCCTTCCTCTCCCGATTTTCGCTTCAAGAAGATGTTGAGGTAAAATGGGACTCCTTTAACGTCGCCGATTTGCGCGCGTCCGAGCTTTGAGATTGGGGTGTCGCCATGGACAAGGAAACTGTCGGTACCATCGGCTTTGTACGATATAGTAAATTGGTCATTGGTGACAGTGATGCAAACTGTCAGGTTTTGGTCATTTAATGGTTTTCCATGGTAGAACCATACAATGGGCCGGTCTGCCAACTTTTTCGCTGCAGTCCCAGTTACGCCATTTCGAAGCAATATTGTGTCGCTCTTCCGACCTGTGTGATCCGTTCCTGGTTTATTTGATAAGATCACCGAAAAGACAACGCCTGGGTGCAGATCCTTGACATCCAAGACCGTTGACCACGCTTGAGGATTCTCGGGATCTTGGAGGTAGATTTCCTGGCTAATGTAGGTGTCGTCATTCTTGAATTCAAGCAATTTTGAAGGTGCCGTCATTCCGAGTCGGGTAAAGCTGAATGGTTGTGCCGGAATCGAAGTAGCTGGAATCGTGGGCATGGCAGGCAAATGGGGAATCTTGTGCTTATGGGTGAGATAGGTCGCTTGCACCGACTGTTTTATATCTCTAAGCTTGCCCATACTGACGAACTCGGGCTTATCCGCTCCATATTCCTGGGGAACCCGGGGCGTCACCAGGGCTTGCATCAGGCTTGCAAAGAGACAGGTAATTGTATAGTCAGGGTCCCAGGTTCCTCCGTCTGTTTTACTGCGTAGAATATCGAAGCACATTGTACTCTGAGAATCACTTTTGATACTGCGTCGACGAAAGATGTCCACATTGCTCCGGAAGGTAGCAGTAAAGAGATGAAAGACAGGAGGCTTGTACGGATACGCCTCTGGGATGATGAGTTCGCCAATCAGGGGCAGATGCGCCAACGCGCCGTCATTGGGGAACATGACGAAATCCCATTTAAATTTGTTGTCCGTGTCCTTCAGGACTGTCCTAAGCGAATGAAAATCTTCATTGACCTCTTGGACCTCCCGATGGACTCGAAGCAAGCTTTGCATCGTCATCTTCAAAGCGTTCTTTCTCTGTGATCAGACAGAAAAAGAAAGGGAAAGGACACACCGAGACCTCTTATTGATATATCCAGGTGAGTCACAGCATTTATGAACGAGAAACGATTCCTGATATTGACTCATCGTTATTTTTGGAGACATGGGAGGGAAATAAGGCTTTTCCACAAAGAGTATAGTCGAGCCTCAACGTTGCGTGATCCATCAGATGTTCTACTAGTTACACTTGCACAAACTTTCTGACATAAAACTGGTTCAAATGCGGTTGGAGACATTCGCATACGCCTCTTGTTATTTGGCGGCCTTCCGGAGCAGACCGATCATCTTCAGAGCCTTGTACTCCTTCGTACTATGTCCACACCACTTTGTCGCGGGTCAGATTGCGTTTTCTTTTTACTGCTCAAAATTCCTAACTGGTCTGAGTGAGAAGGAAGCAAAGCAAATATTACTTGCAAGTGTCACCGGACCCTTGATCTAGATAACCTTTGTAACGCGGCTAGCTACAACCTGCACCTTAAAGGAGGATAAATCCGGTACGTATAGTGGGACAAAGCTATATACAAGCAAAGGCAGAGCGACACGCCCTTGCAGCATTCAAACAGCACAACAGAAACGTTCGATCAAGGGGACAGGGGGGAAGGGGAAGCAAGGAAATCACCAAGAGGATTCTCGCCACACCAATTAAATGCCGTATGTAGGTTGAGGGTGAAGAAGAAGAACAGTGATTCAATGACAGGTCAAGAGAGGATCTCAAACATGCGAGTCCGGTTCTCATGGCTCATCTCGTCGTGCACAGAACAAAAGAAAAAACGAAACCACAAAGAACGCCGGTCCTGGTCCAAAATCCCGGCGACCAACCACCTGGCACCTATACAGAACAAAAAGAACACCTTGCCAGCAGAAAAAAGAAGCCAATCCGGTAGAAAAACATATAAGATATTCTTTCCAACTCCAAGAACCATGAACAGACCCAAGTACTCAAAACTCATGTTCCCAGTCACACTAGACTTAAGCTTTAGATGACAACCACGTCACCCTCAGCGTCCGCTGGGTCGGAGGCCATCATGTCCCCGTATTTACCGACGGCCATCAGGATGGGGTCATCCTCCAAGTCGATGGCGCTATCGTCGTTGTTCGGTGCTTGGAAACCATGCTCCGTGAGAGATACGTGCTTCTCGTTGGCCGCATTCTTCGCATCGGAGTCTTCAGTTAATCGACGCCCCACGTTTCTGTCCTGCGCACCGTTTGGGTCAGACTGCGAGTTGGCACTTGGTGGGGGCTGCGAGTCGCTGGGCGCCTCAGATGTCATGAACAAGTTCTTTTGGTCGGGCGAGAAACTTTGCTGGGCATGGAAGTTGCCCAGCCCGGTCTGCTGCGGGCCGAAGGTTGCGTTTTGTAACGATCCAGGACTGTTTCGCATGAAGCCACCCTTCTCCGCTTGCCAAAGCATCATCTCATGGAAGAACACCTTGGTCATCCACCAGGCACTGAAGCTGGCCGCACCGCCCAGAGTCAATCGATGAAGAATGTTGTCCCAAAGAGCATCCACCTTTTCAATGATGCACTGCGTCTGGTGATGGCTGAAGATCGCGGGCAGATTTAAGATAAACGACACCCATTTATCCGGGAAGTTGTATTCGTCTCCTACAGCGCTTTCCACGGGGAATTTGTGGGCAGCCAGGTCTTCTTCCATGTCAGGTTTGTGGAAAAAGGGCAAGCCTGCTGAGGTATCCGGATCACTCAAAGGAGTGAGCAGGGCCCGCAGATCATGCTTTAGAATCTGCTCGGTTGCCCGCTCGGCGCAAGTCGGGATGTTGGCCTTGGTGAGCATATCCTTGGGGTCAACGAGCGTCTTGAAGTCGAACCACATTTGGTTCCGGTTGTCTGGATGGCAGAGCCAGGCCGCGGCGGCATTAGCAGCCTGGTTCACGTCCAGCATGTGCTTGAGAAGATTGCAAAAGATGTGTGCCGGAATCAATCGCGCTAGCGAGACGTGCAATGGTTGTGTCTTGAAAGTCTCGGCAATGTGGCCGCAAAGTCGCTGTGAAATAGAGCCAAAGGCATCAAGGACCACCTTCGGGACCACCTGGGTCGTGAGGGGTGCAACAAAGGCAATCATCTTCTGGTACATCAGCCAGTCACACTCCTTAATCCAGGGTGCGAGATTTGGGTGTGTCAGCAGCTTTTGGACCGGGACGGTCAAAGTGCCATGAAATGCGGAGAAATATTTCAGAAGGTTGCGCTCCTTGCAGTACCGGAAGCTGTCGATCACCGAAATGCAGTGTGATCGATAGAGGGCTGCAAGGGCGGCAGCCACCTTCAAATCTGTATTTGCGGGCAAGTACCCTTGAATGTCAGGGAGTTGCAGAGAGTCGTTGTCAACCGACGAAGGGATTTCGTCTATCGGAAATTGTAGCATCTGATGGATCATCTTTCCGGCCTGTTGCGCCACGTTCTCGCCGGTGATGGTGGCATCCGATCCAGACGAAGGGTGGTGAGATTGACAGGTACAGCCCGCAGTAGAGGTATTGGCTGAAAGTCTCGGTGCAAAAGATGTCGTAGGTGAAGGGAACACGGCCGTGTCCGTAGTGGGCTGGGGAATGCTCACGCTAAAACGGCCGTCAGCAGGGGCACGCTCATCGGAATGAGTGCCATCGTACCTCCCAACGCGCATCGCGCTAGCTGGTCTGCTCTCTGGAAGACTGGCAGACATGTTCGGATTCGAGGCAGCCTGGGAATTGAGTGGTGAAGGCTTCTGCTGCTTTTCCTCAATGACCGACAAGTCCACGTAGTGATACTTTGATTCGCCCCGAACGCCAAGGCGTCGAGTCTGGACATTGGGGAAGATAATTCGAACCAGTTTGCCAAACGATGCGGGATTCAGGACCGAGACTCGCTCTGTCCCGCATCGCTCTGCGTAACAGCAGTACACCCGATCACGCCGCACAGAGCTGGTGCTTTTCCGGCAGTTCTCTCGCAACCTATTACCTGAGGTCAGATCTCGTAGACAAAATAAAGACATGAGTTTGCTGTGTTTCCTCACCAGATCATGGCAAAAACCTGCTTCACCTTTTCAGCCTTGCCACCACCACCTTCGTGCTTCATAACTTCGGTTGCCATCTGCTTCATGGTATATCCTTCGTATTGGCGAAGCAATTTCCGTAACTCGTTGTCGTTCGCCAGAGTCGAGCTGGAGCCTCTCTTCTTCTTTGGGCCCGCTTCTGATGTATCGTGGTCGTCCAAAACATGATCCGGCAGATGGTTCTCCACACCACTGTCATACATAGATGCGTACTGCGAAACATTGGATAGACCATTGGGCATGTCGGGAGGTAGACTGTGGCCGTGCATCGCATGATTTGGAAAATCATCCGGGCGGTTGATCACCTCCTGCATACTGTGGTCGAGCGGCGCGCCATTCGACTGATGCGACAGGTGGTGTCCGAAGCGCATGATGATGTCTTCAGGGTTGTTCCCAAAGACATGTTGTCCCCCTGGAATCTGGGAGGACATGAACTGAGGAAAGTCGCCGATGTGCTGGTCCTGGGTTTGTTGGGTGGTGCTAGAATGAATACTGGCTGTAGATCCTCTAGAACGAGGACGACGACTGTTTCTAGAGAGGACGGTCTCTGAACGCGCTCGCAGAGTATCGGCTGTGCCCGGACGACTCTGTGGAGCCATCTGGGTTGTTTGCGACACCGCGCTTCCCTGCGAAGGGGCTCGGGCTAAGAGAATGAGGTGTTAACAATGAAATGCGACGCGCAGATAGGCTGGAAGGCAGTCTCACCAAGTTCATGAGGCATTATGTAGTCGGACTAGAGGTGGTGTGCTTGTCGAGAAGCCGGTAACCAGGGAGGTGGTCTGTCGTGTATGGGCTGGTGTTTGATGACCATTCGACTTTGGCGACGTGTGGAGGGAGGATGGAAAAGAAAAGGAAAGAATAAAAAAAGAGAAATGCACCAGACTCAATGCAACCTACAACGGGGTTTGCCGAACGACCAATGCTGAAGTCGCCGCCGCGTTGGGAAGTCGAGATGGGATGATGGGATGGACGATGATAAACAGCGTGTTGTCCGAGCGACTCAATGTTTTGGTGCGGGTCAGGTGACTGCATTCCAAGCAAAACAAACACAGATCACGTGATCTAGATTGCCCTGAGTTCTGTCAAGAAAAACGCTACGCTTGCTTACCACTGAATTTTATTATTGTTGCTACAAAAATAACAAGACAAGAATTATCAATAAAAAAAAGAACAAAATGACAAGAGTGGGATTCGAACCCACGCCCCCTTGCGGAGATCAGGACCTTAACCTGACGCCTTGGACCAACTCGGCCATCTTGCCGGGATGATTCTTGTTTTCCCAAAAAGTGCTACACTATGTAACAAGACGTTTGCTGCTTCGATAATTTGTCGAATCCGTTGTTTCAGTCCATGCAAGTTGACGTCTGTATGCATCGAATTTTCGACTTCTGGACTGCGAAAATAGTTATTGAGTTATATCCCCACTGTACGTTCAGGATTGTATGCCGCCGCTCGGACATTCATGATGCCGGAATCCGCGGTGGGCCAAGGAACTAAATCGCTGGGCATTGCTAGCCGAGTAGTTTGACTTGTTTCAGTTGACCAGCAGACGCTGCTAACCACGGGTCTGAGTCAGTGGGGCATCTCCACGCGGCCTAGCGAGAATAATAACAGTACAGATCGGCAAGGATTCTTCTTCGCCAATTGTAAGGCAGTAGGGCTGCGTGATGTCACCGGTTGAGGGATGGACCAACACCGACCTTAATTAGTTCCCTCATCTCTTATTGTCCATTCTCTCGTTGTGAATACGTACCATGCATAAGCTCAAGAGCAAGGTTGACCACGAGGTCGACCACCTAGAAGAGTCCTTCCGAGGTCGGATTCCCCCGTCTCCAGGCTCTCAAATCCCCTACCCCTCCACGCTGCTGACCGTTAACTAGAATCGCACCTCCACCATGCCAAAGCTGGGGCGACGCACATGAGGAACAAGGTTGGCAAGTTCTTCAACATCCTCAACCGCAACCACCGCCACGACGAGGAACATGAGCAGGCGACGGATAATAAAAGATCTGCAATCGCCGACTCGCATCGCTTCCAGTCCTTTGCGCCCGTTCACGACGGCAATCGCATTAAGTGGTACGTCGATGGCGTGGACTACCTCTGGGCCGTCTCCGAGGCCCTGGAAAAGGCGACTGAGACCATCTACATTGAGGATTGGTGGCTCTCCCCGGAACTGTACCTGCGTCGGCCGCCTGTCCGGCACCAGAAATGGCGATTGGATCACATTCTAAAGCGCCGTGCTGAGGCTGGGGTCAAAATTTATGTCATTGTGTATAAAGAGGTTGGTGTTCCCGTCTGTGCGATAAGTTTATATATTCTGACTCTCTTCACAGGTCGATCAAGCCTTGACATGTAACTCCGCCCACACCAAGCATGCATTGCAAAGCCTTTGCCCAAAGGGATCTCCGGGACACGGCAATATCCGAGTGCTGCGCCATCCGGACCACAATGTCTTTGAGAACGCAGCCGACATGACGCTCTACTGGGTAAATTCTCCGCTACCGGTTATAATTTCCCTATATTAACGGACAGACAGGCTCACCACGAGAAATTCATTGTCATTGACTATAACCTGGCCTTCATCGGGGGTATTGACCTCTGCTTCGGACGGTGGGATGCCAACCAGCACCCACTGGCAGACGTCCACCCAGCCGGCCTGCGGGACGACATCTTCCCCGGACAAGACTTCAACAACAACCGGATCATGGACTTCCAGAGCGTCGAAGACTGGCAGAGCAACGAGCTGAGCAAGGTCGATTATGGCCGCATGCCGTGGCACGACGTAGCCATGGGACTCATTGGTGACTGTGTCTATGACATTGCAGAGCACTTCGTGCTGCGGTGGAACTTCATCAAGCGAGACAAGTACAAGCGCAGCGACGAGGTCGACTGGCTTCTGATGGAGGGCCGCACCGACGACGATGAAGATATCATTGCCGTGCAGCGACCCAAGTATCCCTGCGGCGAGTACATCCAGCACCCTCTCACTCCTCTGTCGACCAAGGCCCGGGGCGATCAGGGTACTGTGCGTGCTCAGATTGTGCGCAGTAGTGATGATTGGAGCAGTGGTATTCTCAATGAGCATAGTATTCAGAATGCCTACTACGAGACCATCCGCAATGCCCAGCACTTTGTTTACATTGAGAACCAGTTCTTCAGTATGTGGATGTTTTTTATATTTGGCTTTTTGAGACATACTGACCTTGCATAGTCACTGCCACGGGTGATCAGCAACGGCCTATTTTCAACACTATCGGCCGGGCCATCGTCGATGCCTGTGTTCGTGCCGGAAAAGAAGGTCGCAAGTTCCGAGTCGTCATTGTCATTCCCGCCATCCCCGGCTTTGCGGGCGACCTGCGCGACTCAGCGGCGACGGGCACACGAGCGATCATGGACTACCAGTACAAATCAATCTGCCGCGGTGAGAACTCGATCTACGGGCAGATTGAGAAGGAAGGAATCGACCCGAGGCGTAAGTCTTCTCTGCATCATCGTCTGAATTAACTAACAATCGTCAGAACACATCTTCGTGTTCGCCCTGCGCGCCTACGACCGTATCAACAAGACTCCTGCGCTCGAAGAGCTCGAAAAGAAGGCCGGTGTCAACTACCAAGATATCCAGCGCGGTATCGCCGAGTCGATGATGACCGAGAGCGTGCACCCGTCGGTTGGCAAGGAGGGCGACAGGAACGAGAAAAGCTACGACTTCGACGAAACCCAGAAGGAGGAGAAAGTGCAGAAGCTCGAAAAGTTTGAGGAGCAGGTGGAGCAGGCAAAGGCGGAACAGGGCGATGCCAGTCGGGACTCGGTGGCACACACGACCATGCTGAATGGCGGCAAGATGGTCGACGAACCCTGGGAGGGTGACCCAGAAGCCGAGAAGGCCAACTTCGTCCAGGAGGAGCTGTATGTGCACGGCAAGGTGTGTATCGTGGATGACCGGACTATCATCTGCGGTAGTGCCAACATCAATGACCGCGTAAGTTTCCCCTTTTTTTCCCTTTCTTTGGTCCTGATCGCAAAGCTGATGCCAGTGTAGTCCCAACTCGGCTCCCACGACAGCGAACTCGCCATCGTTATGGAAGACCAGGACTTCATCGACAGCACAATGGACGGCCAGCCCTACCGCGCGGCCCGGCTCGCAGCCACACTCCGCCGCCAGCTCTGGCGCGAGCATCTAGGTCTCCTCCCGGCACAAGACTACGACGCCAGCAACTCCGCGAACGCGCGATCTCCAGACGCATGCCTAAACGAGATCCTCGAAGGGGCCGAGAACGATTTCGTGACGGACCCGCTAAGCGATTCGGTGTGGAACACCTGGACGGGCCAAGCCACCACCAACACAGACATGTACAGGCTGCTCTTCCGTGCCGATCCCGACGACAACATCAAGACCTTCGAGGACTACGATCGGTTCCGCGGCACGCGCGGGTCGCAGAAGCAGGGCCATCTGTTCGATCCGTACATGCCTGCCAAAGACGTGCGCGAGAAGCTCGATCAAATTAAGGGCCATCTTGTTTGGTTGCCGCTGCAGTTCCTTCAGGACGCAGAGATGGCGGAGCCTGGGTTGGCGGTGAACCAGATTACGGAGGTGAGTTCATCTGTGAGGTGACCAATGACTTTCGGGGCTTTTGCTAATAACGGATGGTTGTACAGAGTATCTACACGTAGTTGGTAAATGCAACACAACGCAACATGCTGCGCAGCACGTCCGAATGGTTTCCCGGAAACGAACGGGATCTCCTCGCTGCATTTCCATTTTTGGTCCTTGGTATTTACACGTGCAGATGGCGATCGAAATCAGCGTCGTGTACATACATCCTACCCACAGTCAATGCACATGCAGACATATACACGCATACCATGAACCTTTCTGGTCCTTGATCCTCCCAATACAATTATCTCGCATGTAACTTCTATGTATAGCAGGCTCCATACAGTCCTTTCCAAAATTGAATTCGTACTTTTGTCTCACGAAATTAGAGTTACATAGACGGCCCCTAGAATCCACAGTGAAAGTGAATTCGAATGGGAATGATTGGCATTATGGACCCGCTAGTCAGTTCCTCCGTAACGCACGTAGTATTGGAAGTGAATTTATTTTCCGCCGTCTTTAGCTTCTTTCTAGTAACTTACTTTTGATAATATTCTGTCCGTTCTCTCAACTGGGTACTAGCATATCAATCAACCTGTGAAGATAAAAAAAAGTACCTACCTCCTTCGGCCCAGTCGATCGAAAGAAGTACTGTGCAGCGAATCAGGGATTGTGCCTGACAATCCGGCTCGATAACCGTGTCTGATGGCTGAAGACGATGCATCACTTTTGTTTTTCTGTGTCTGGATCCGGATGCGCTTCCAACATGGCGTGACAGAGCGGAAAAGAGATCCACGGGCTGCGAATGGTGCGTATGTTTCAGCCTCGTTTGCTTGGCATCTTCGCTACTTCTCGTTCGTCCGTGTGATTTCTTCGGTAGTTCTTTCGTGGGACCTGGTTGGAGCTCTACTACGCCAGTGGCTGGCTGCCCTAAACTGTGGGGTATGCATGGCGGTGAAAAAAAAGCCGAGGTGCATGGGTGGCTTTAGTCGGTCAAGATCGAAGGCGTATGCGTGTATGTAGACTTGTCGATACTGTACGCTGGCACTACTGGTAGAAGAAGGGTCTATATCCAGACAGACAGACCGAGGATCCCGGCTGTTTCGTGAGAGATTGTACTGTCGGGGGGGGGGGAGAAGAACCCTGCAGAAGAAGCAAGGATTGAATTCCCTGTCCATGTCTATGCGACTGTACTACACATGCACACTACCGTATCTAGAAATAATCCTGCAGGATGCAAGATCATTGCCATCATCTCCGAGATCGTGGATCTTTACTGTAGTTACTATGAATGGTCCATCCAGCCACATCTTTTGATTAATAGTAATCGGTGGTTTAGTCCCTGCATACAGTAGTAGTAAGTCTCTCGATAATCATACACGATCACTCTCCCCTTCCAAATACCGCACCATAGCCTGGGCAAGTCCTTTTTCACTCTCGCAACACCAAATACAAAACGCCATCCGGAAATGTCTAAAAAACAACCGGCCATGCAGCGAAACTTTTGGAAGTGAACCCCAAGAAGAGAAAGCCCCGAAAAGAAGAAGGAAATAAAAACACAAGTCGTGACACCACCAGTCAGGAAAGAAGCGCACACGCTTATCTTTACCGAATAGGAAAACCAGAAGAGAAGAAGATCGCTCGACCGAAGCAGTTGGTTGGGTCCACGTATTCGAGATCGAGAAAGGCTGATCTCTAAGACTGCGTGGGATTTGGAATTCGTGAACCCAGATGGTTCGTTCAGAGCAGGGGTCATCCCACCCACCCTTGCAGAGCGAATAATGGCGTAATGGTTCATGCAAGAATCTCGCAACTCACTATTGTACCTCCCACCCCCCATCCAGGCATAGGTTAGCCCTTGACGGTGTGGCAGGTGTTACAACGACAGTGGCCACAGATCTTGCAGCGCCAGATAGCGACAAAGGGCCCGGAGGCGCAATCAGAGCAGCGCCAGGTCAAGATATTGCCATTTGTAGCCTGGACGATGGCGAAGACATGGCCGGAGCACTGGTTTGCCATTTCTATTCTTCGTATTTTTGCTTCTGAAGATAAATTAGACGGGCCAATTGCGATTGAAAGATGGCTTCCGACTTGCTGGATATGGGGAACGCGGGAGACCCGAGAGAGTGGAAGGTGGTGTCGATCACCGCGGGAGGAATGATTATTCCGGTGAGAAGGAGGAAGGGCGAGAAAGTGTAGAGATGAAAGAAGTGAGAGAGCAAGATGAGTGGGAGAAGGAGAGAGAAGGTGTAGGGTCAATTGGGATGTTGAGAGCTAGAGGGCATCCATTATATTTATACTACTCTGTCTCTCGACCCAGACGAGGATGACCCCAGTCCCACCGACGAGGTGAACCGGAAGTGACTGCCCGGTATCGTTTGATGACGATGCAGGTATCCGACTTCGAGATGAAGATAGACACCTGTGTGTGTGTGTGTAGCTGAAGTGTGTAAGAAGCTAAAAAAAAAAAAAAAAAAGAAAAAAGGGAACGAAAGAAAACAGACAGAGATAATTATTGATAGACGATCTAGAGAAAATAGACGAAGCGGCAGTGCGCGATCGCGATGAGCCCTCGTCGGACACTCCTTATTGGCAGGGCTCGATGGCAGACGTGAATTTGGCGCGCCGATCGACTCGTGTGCGGGCTGTGAAAGATACAGACGCGTTGGACCCGGCTGGAATGATGGGTCCCCTAACCCCTCGCAGATCGGCGTGGATCGACTGCAAAGGCCCGGCGATCGTGAACCTGGGCCGGTGTTGTACTATGGTACATACACAAGAAAGACAAAAATGCTCCGGATTGAACAGGAGGAAGTGATACATCATACTCTATAGACGCTTGGGCCACTACATGGCCTGGATATGTGTCGACTAACTCACTAAGTAGGTAGCCAGGTACTCCACGGCAAATGCTAAGCGATCGACCGGGACAGACTCCCCGGCTTAGCCTCGTCCCAATTGCTTAATATTGCGAATGGAATTGTCCGTGGATGACTTAGCGCCGCGCCCCAATTAACTTACTAGTTACTACGACGGATTGTTCTGTCACATTTCTCGTGATTGGTGCCGATCCTTTCCGCTCGTCACACGCGAACGGGGGTTCGTCGTTTGAGAATTTGGAATTCGGCTGGTGGCGAACTTCCAGAAAGATTGGGAATTGGTTCATCCGGCGGACTGCAGAGACGGTCAGGGGCGGATTAACCGCACACTGAATATCTTTTGACGCTAACGGAGGTGGCTGGGAAATAAACAGAGAATAGCGATAACTATAGGGAGGAAAAAGAAATATGGTGCCAAGGAGGAAGATCTCGGAAGGCCTAAATAGGTATACGGTCGAGACAACCTTCGATGGAAAGAAACACTGGATGTAGCGATTTAGACTTCAATCTTTTTTATCTCTTCATTAAAAAGAAACTATGGTATGTTCGAGGGGTTCTCTTGCACCGCTTCCACGCACGAAGCCGGGCCAAAAGTCCAGAAAACCGGTGCCTTCGGTCCTCGTCAGCCAAGTCTCTCCTCAAAACATCCGAAGACAATCTGAGTGAAAAACAGCCGTGTGTTTGCTCTGCCAACGCTCCGTTAAGAACACCTCGTGGGACACGAGATGCTCCTGCAGTACCCAGAGTGGACTGCATCGCTGGGTGGGTGGGAAAAGGAACTACGCGAGAAGGAGTGATCATGATCACTGTCGAGAAACCTTCGGAGAGGCCGATCATTCGGTTGATCCATTGAAGTGTAAGTATGGGTACAATCCCCATTGGGGAGGATATCAGGTATCATAGAAGTCTGTAACATCAGTAAGGCCATTGAATGCAAGCAAAACGCCGCCCGTGGAAAGGTCTCGTTCGATCTGAGGGGAAGATTCGTTTCAATCATTAAGGTGGAAAAGAGCCGAGACGCTGTCGGCAGCAGTTAGTGAGATGGACTTTCTCAATGCAAGAAACAAGAGACAAACCTTTCGCCATAGTGATGCCGCCGAATGCTCTCGGCCAGCAAGGACGAGACATCGATGACAATCAATTTCTTTGACCGCCGAAGCATCGCCGGCGAGATCGGGAAGGTGTTGGTCACAACAATATAATCAATAGATGGGCACGCCTCCATTTGGTCGAGCGAGTCGGCTCCAAAGAGGCCATGCGTGGCAATGCAGTAGACTCTGCGGGCGCCGCCGCGCTTGACTACCGTTTCGGCGGCGGCGATCCACGACCCGCTCTTGTCAATCATGTCGTCGACAAGAAACACTGTCCGATCGCGCACCTCGCCAACCAGGGTAATGGTCTTCTCGTGGTGGTCGTTGCCAACCACGCTGCCCTCATCGTCCGACTCTGCGGCATCGAAGGATCCGCCCAGGGCGTGGTCCGGTGGCAGCGAGGAGGAATTGGATATCATTGAGTTGAACATGGTTTCCGGCACCACTTCCGTGTTCTCGCCAGAGGTACCTGCTCCAGGCGTCGTGCCGCCAGACCCGGGCTCCGACTCGGCATGATAGTCATCATCGACCAAGTGGCCCTGCACTAAACGGCCCGTGATGACGTCCCGCGCCCGCACATCCGTATACTCATCTGCCGCCTCCAGTTCCGATGGACGGCGAGCTGCAGGGGGAGTCTCCGGACGCAACAGCGCCCGTGCAGCATTGGCAGTGGGAGGCGTCGTCTCGGCGCTGTGCAAGTGCAACTCAAACGGCTGTTGGTCCTTCGGCACGCGGGAATCCTGGTCCACTGCATCGAAGAAGACCGTACTATCCGTCATGGTATTCACCTTCGGTCGCCTGCGGTCGGTCGTCACGATCCCGAAATTGAGTTTCAGCGTATCGGCCAGCGAAGTTACTCGCTTTGTTCCGCCGGCGTTCTTGCTCACAACCACCGCTTCTCGCCATCCGGGTACATTCATCTGGATCCAGCGAGCGATAAACGGTTCGGCGAAGAGGTTGTCCACGGGCTTGCCGAAAAACCCTTGCATCTGCGATGCCTGTTGCCCATGTCAATAGTGTTTTCCCTTCTAATAATCCAACAAGACATACATGGAGATCCATAGTAATCACATGGTCCACGCCAGCAATAGTCAACAGGTTGGCGAGCATGCGGGCGGTAATGGCACCGCGATGACTCTTCTTCTTCGACTGGCGCGAGTAAGGAAAGTACCTCGTGTGGGTCAGCATGGACTATCAGGTCAAACAAATCGGGCAGCATACGGCATGACCGCTAGAAGATCAATTAGTTGGTTGAGCTGGACGAACTTGAGAAAAATCAAACCTACCAGTAATCGACTTCGCCGAGCCGCCCTTGCACGCCGAGATCATAATCAGAAGCTCCATCACACTATCATTGATCTTCTCGCTTCCACTCTGGACGATATATACGTCCTGGTTGCGGATCGACACCCCGATGTTGACGCTGGTCTCGCCGTTGGCGAACTTACCCAGGTCTGCCTTGGCGGGCACCGTACCCAGGCGCTCGCAGATGGTCTCTGCCAGGCCCGGGTGAGAGGTGCCCGAGAAGATCTGGACGCCCCGCATGGAGTGTGTCTTTCTGTGTGTGCGAGTGATAAAATGTTAAGGAGAAGGCATTGGTGGGGGAGAGAGAGGGAGAGATGAGTGTAAAGAAGAAGCGAAAAAAATACTTTGGGGGTGATGACATGAGAGATGGTCTGTGCGCGGTGTCGGGTCACGAAATTCCCCGGCATCTTTGAGACTACTATTCATTCATCATGGCCAAATATCCCGAGATCCAAGGCGGCGGTTCGCTAATTGTTGCCTGGCAGGCCAGGAGCAAGCATATCCTGGTGGTCGGTGGCGGAGAGGTACAGTTCTTCTTTTCGTCTATGAGCATAGGGGATATATATAGCTTGAGATATATATCGCTAACCACTCACAGGTCGCAGCCGGACGAATCGTTCATGCCCTCAACGCCGATGCCAACGTAACAGTCGTGTGCCCACGCTCCGGGCTAAATGACGAGGTATCATTCCGGATCTCACAGAGCCAAGTATCATATATCGACCGCCCTTTCGAGCCGCGCGACCTCGACGGCGCAGACATGGTGCTATGCGCGATAGACGACCCCGCGGCTTCGACGCGCGTCTGGAAGCTCTGCAAGGAGAAGCGAATCCCCGCGAACATCGCGGACGTCCCCTCCGAATGCGATTTCTACTTCGGGAGCGTGCACCGTGATGGACCGTTGCAGGTTATGGTCAGCACGAATGGGAATGGGCCGAAGCTGGCCAGTCTGGTGCGGAAGAAGATTGCGGAGACCCTGCCGGGTAACATGGGTGCGGCGATTCAGAATGTTGGGGTACTACGGAGGAAATTGAGGGAAGTTGCGCCTCATGCGGAGGAGGGGCCGAAGAGGATGAAATGGTGAGTTGAATGCAACATGAGCCTAAGTTGTGCTTGATTCTAGAAAACTAATAGATGGGTAGGATGTCCGGGGTGTGTGAAACGTGGAGTCTGGAGGATCTGGTGCAGATGACGGAGCAAGACATGGACGGGTTATTGACACATTATAAGGCGGGTGATATTCCGACGCTGGAGCAAGTGAGGTGAAAAAGAAAATGGGATTGGTTATATCGATACAGTTCAGATGCATCTCTAGAAATTGGAAACAAAATGCCAAACCGGCAGACAGGCAACCGCTGAGCCCGGAGCACAGACAATACATAGTAGTTTTGAGAAAACGCCCGGCTTCACCCAGACAGAAAAAGGGAAATTGCACAAGACAGGGCAAGGATATCCAAAACAAATCAACAACCACCACTTTACATGGTGGCTTGGCTACCGCTGCGCGACACGCGCTGCGAGACAGAGCTTCGGGGGCTGATGGGGTCCATTACGGCCGGAGCAACACCCAGACGAGTCTCGCCGACGCGCCGGAGAAGGGACTGCAGAGCGACGCGGATCTCAGCGTTGAGGTCACGGCTGAGCAGCTCGATGGCGAGCGGGTAGAAGGTCTCGACATGTTTCTCAAAGCCCTCCAGAGGGAAGTTGGTATAGCCGTCGATGACGTCGACCACGACGGGACGCCAGGCGACGATATTCCGGTTTTGGGTTTCTTCGTCGAGACGGACGAAGCTGCTGATGATGTCTGCACAGAGAGGGATGAGGGCTGCTTCTGTATCGGCACGGTTGCTCTTCCGCTCTTGGCGCTCGTCGTGATACATGCGGAAGAGGATGTGCACATAGGTCGAGGCACTGCCGCTCTCCTGTTTGAGCAGGTTCGGAGGTTGCTTCATGAAGCCCTGTCGCCAAAGCTGCATGCGCAGGTCCTTGTCTTCGTTGAACTTTTTGGCGAACTGGTAGCTCTTTTTCAGCAGGCCCATCAGGCGCAGGAGTTCGGGGCTGGGGATCTGTGCGTAGACGTTGTCGTTGGAGAAGAGCTCATGTACCGTCTCAATCATGAGTAGTTGCAGCACGCAGTTGGTGATGATTCGGTTGAAGAACCGGCGCCGTGCGGCGGTGACAGCCGCGGGTTGCTGCTGGTCGGTTTGAGGCCGGTAGTCTTCCAGTTCAGCACGAGCCTCGCTTTGGGCGGGAGGGTCAGACGGGACGGGCATATCACCATCTTCGTTCAAGGATGTCGTGCTCTGAGATCCATTGGGTTGCAGCACATGCGCTGCCTCTTCCTCAGTGGGCGGCGTGGCCTCTGCCACCTCGCCGTTCATCTTGAGCTCGGGCTTCGACATCGAGGCAGCGGCGGTGAACAAATCATAGGCGGTCGTCTTGCTGAAGAGCTCGACGAAGGCGCCGACGATCTGCGTCCAATGCTCCTGTTTGAACTTGGTGACATTTTGTAGGATCAACTGCTGCAGGCAGTTGCTGCCAATCCGCGCGATCGTGTCGTTCTCTTGACAGATACACAAGGTCAGCAACTCCAAGAACCGGCCGAGCATATACTCCAAAGAATCAAAGTAATGCGTGAAGAGCGTGATCATGTTGCGCAACGCCTGGATCATCGTGGTCGACAGCCAAACCGAGAGATCCTCGTGATTGGGCACCTTAGACATCTCGGATTTGGACTGCAGAACCACGAAAATGGGGCAGAGCAATTGTCTCCATAAGACATCCCAGAAATCCCTCGGGAAATCGCCACCGTATCGGATCAACGTGTCGAAGAGGTATGTGAGTGCACTACCTGATCGTTAGTAACAATTCTCGCCCGAGGACTTTGATGACGTACCGCGATCGGACTTCCAGGTCATCACCAGTCATAAGCACGTCCTGGAAGGCAATGAGGATGGGATACCAAAACTGTTCCTCCTTCGACTGGCGAGTAAGCTGCTTGGCAAGGTTGGTGCCGTCGTCTTGGAAGGATGTCGCATCCGCACCGCGGTGTGACAGCGGACACTCGGGGGTTCGCAGCATCTTGGTGACGGTCGACTTAAGCGTTTCGATGGACTGCAGCGACTTCTTCTGGAACCTCATGTTCTTCGAGAATTCGGTCAGACAGACGACCAAGTCAGGGAACGCGCCCTGGGTGATCACCACCCCAAACCGAGTGTTGTAGATCTGGGTGACATGATCAAAAGCCATGTTGACAATTCCCTCTGCTTTCTTCATTTAGTACTTTTTGTTTTTCTTGGATCTCAAAGACTCACCATAAGGTTCACGGGCTGCAACGGTAAAGACACCAAACATGGTCTTCCAGCCAGACCGAATATTGTCACCACGAGCCTGGATCATCTGAATCAGACACCGAAGAATCATGTCCTTGACAGCGGCCGTGGTGCTGTTCGCCATGACATGCTCGAAAGGCTTAAGGAAGTCTTTCTGGAACTTGAATCCGGGCAATTCTTCGATCTCCATGAACCGCATCGACAGCTGACGGAGGGAATCCAACGCAAAGAACACGACGGTTGTATTGGAGTGGCAGCCAACTTGGTTGAAATGCTGACCCAGAACCTCCCAGATCTTAGACCATTCGATACGAACACGGGTCATGTTGTAGTAACTGATCTCAACCAGCTTCTGCAAGCTGTACGTCCGCGGAGAATCGCTTTGACCCGATGATTGAATTTCCTGCCAGCTAACCTCGCTCAAAGCCCGAACAAAGTCGATTATGGCCTCGTGCGAGAGGTTGGCGGTGTTGGTGAAGATCCGGTCCACGCCGCGAACCATGTCTGCGGAGCGACTTTCCATGGCAACCTCTGCCCGGAACGCTGTTGGTCCATTGACCGAGCGAGGGCGAGGTCGTCGGCCTTGCATCGATTTTCGGTTTTCGGGTGGCTGGACTCGTGGCCGTGAAACATCGGGCACCGAGCCCTCATCTACACCATGGCTCAGAAGCTGCAGACGATCAAGCTGGCTAATACAGGTCAAGATCTCCCGCCATGAGCTGCGAAGACGGTTGCCCTCGGTGGTGGCGATGTCGAGCAGGGCCTTTAGGGCCTCGACGTTCTTCGCCATCATTTCTTTCACGTTGCTGAGATTTGTGAACTTTGCGAGTGCGGTGACAAACGCGACTCGAGGAGTCTCCAGATCAAAGGCGCAGCTGATTCGAATAGCCAGTTTGAGTCCTTCCATGCAGAGGCGGATCGTCTCCAGATTCTGAGCCTCTTGCATAGAAGCAGACAACCCAGACAGGAAAGACATCCAGGTGACATTGAACATCGATCCTACATGGCGGACAGAAGTCGCAGGAATGAAACGCGAGAGCGCATCGCGGACTGCAGTCTTCTTCTGGGCACGGATCAGGGAGCGGTATAGTTGCTCAGTCTTGTTGGCCATCTCCTCTGAAGCCTGTGCGTACTTCTCGCCCTGAATGTCACGTCCAACAGTTGCAAACACCTGGCCTGCTCGACTTGCGAGACCGACATGAGTTGCTGCTGTCTGAATACCAAGGTTTGCAGCATGCTCCCGTTCCGTGTCTAAGACAATTTCGTTGTGTGCGATCTCATCATAAATCCCACTTAGATACTCAGACGGCAAGTCCTGATTGTCGTTGATACCTCGGTTGTTCTTGATGAAATCGTCCTTGGTCATTCTCTTAATAACCTTCACGCTGTGCTGATCCGTGTTGAGCATGATCACTGAGTAAGAGAGCACATAGGCCGTATCTGCGTTAGCGAACGCGTTGGGGTTCTGAGTCGTGTAGCGTTCTGCAAACTTGAGCATAAACCGATCAATCTTTTGAGCCTCGCCAGGCAACCGGAAGCGCTGCAGGAACTCGCGGAGTGCATCGACAAAGCGTCGCTTCTTGAAATCCATCGAGTCGACAAAAGCATGCATGATCGCAATGTTCTCTGCATCACCCTCACCAAGATACTCACCCAGCATAGCCTTGTCAAGACGATCGTTGCGTAACAGGAAAGAAGCAATGTCATCTGGCGAATCCGAGGCGATGAAACCTTCTTGGATGAAGAGCTTCATGCCGCGCTTGGGCTTAAAGTTGAACTGCTGGATAGCGTTCGTGAGGGCAATCTTGCGTTGCTTTACCTTCTCAATCTGACCCGGGTCGTCCTCGGGCACAGGCGTGGACCGACCGGTTCCACTATCGATTGTTTCAGGCCGGGGAGAGGCAATGTAAGCACCGACATTGGTGTCAATAGACTCGCGGGAGTTGTCTATTGACTTCGACTTCGACGAAGGTACGACAGGAACAGGCTGGTCATCTTGGGAAGCCCAGTTGTCCAGTGAACGCAAGATCTCCACGAGGCATTCAAGAGCTTGTTGCTTTAGCGAATACTCTGCTGGAACACCTGGGGGTGTGGGTTGCGGGTTTGCCACATTGGCCGTCGTGAGTGACGGAGGCAGGGTGCCCTGCTGACGCCATTCCGGCTTGTCTTTCTGGCGCTCCTGGGATGCTTGTTGTTGTTGAGCGGCGATAGTGGTGGTAGGAGTGCTCGAGTACCGTGACAATTGCTCGATGATATTTTGGAACATGTTCTCCAGCGCGGTGCGGTCACAATCATAGTTGAGATAGATCTCCACCAATGCACGTGGATCTCCACCAAGTCTCTCCAAGACCTCCATGATATATTGTTTTTGGAAGGCAGGGGCACCGCGTTTCTCGAGGATTGCCAAGTAGATTTCCTTCAGGAACACCTCCAGCTCTTTCTTCATCATGACCCTCATGTGCTTAAGCATCAGCCAGAATATTTCGCAACACACTTCGAACACCCGCGGGACTGAGCTGGAGCCGTTGCGACTGAGACTGAGGCAAAGGTGTGGTCGGACGGCTTGGAGCAGTGTCATCGCGTCCGAACTGCTCGAGTTGTTTCTGATGGACACGAGGGGAGAGGTGAAGCTGGTGATGTGGTTGTTGACCAGGTAGTGGATGAGATGCAGAGAGAGCAGCTTCGACCTCATATTTTGCGACTTGATATCTTGCTGCTGGTCGTGACTGAGCACCTTGTGGCTGAGTTTGCACAGCGCGCGGAAAACCAGGAAGGCGTCCTTGACATATATTTCATCCACCTCATCTTCTGCCGAACCATCCTCGTCCCTTTCCTCAGGGATACCAGACATGGAACGAGTCGAAGACCGAGTGAGTTTGGCGCGAGTAACCATAGTTGGCGCATTGTCGTTGACAGTGGTTACTTCCTTAGGCGATTCGAAGCTCTGCAGGGTAAGCTTTTCCGCTTGAGGCTCCTTGGGGGTTGGTTGGTCTGCGACAGACACCGAAGCTGCATCGGAGGCCGGGCCATGATCCGAGACATCCAAGTTGGAGGTAGCCTCGGGCTTTTCGATATCTCGCGTCCGCAGCTCCTTCAGATCCAATCGCACTCGAACCCGGTCGAAGACTGTGCTCACCATCTGGGTGAGCGAGCCTTGGGCAATTTGCTGGTTCTGGCTGGACTTGGAGTATATGAAGATGTTATAGATCTGTCGAACGGCTTTGAGAAGACCAGCTCCATGCACCACGATCTTGTCGTTCAGAACGGCCGCTAGCAACGACTTGATAATTTGCTGCTGGATTTCATTGGCAGTGGCCTCGTTCTCAAAACAGTCACAAATGGCATCAATGGCACGCTCAATTAGGGGCGACTCATCGGCCGGTGGCGTTGACGGGAATGCAAAATAGGAGTAGGAGATGAGTTTGCCGATGCAGTCCAATGCAGTCACCTGGAGCGGCACACTGAGTGTCTTGCTTGCCAGGTGAAGCGGCCGGAATATCAGCTCCGGGTCAATTGGTTGGCGATCTTCTTGTTTGACGTTGACCAGAGCCACTTGCACCGCATCCTCCAATTCTTTGCTTTTGCGGGCCTCTCGCGAGGCACCGATGGTGTCCAGGGCCGTCACGATAAAGACTGTCGAGCTGACCGCAGTTCCACGTTGTGTGCCCACGGTGGCGGTTGTTGATCGGGAGTCGGACCGCATTCGGCTGTCTGGCGGCACGTCGTCCTGGGGCTCGGCTTCCTGTGTTGGACTGATAGATTGCTCGGGCTCAGCCTCCACTGGAATCTCCTCCTTGCCGCCAGATTCATGAGCATTGGTCTCATCTTGCTGTTCTTCCGTCTCTTCCGGCGGAATTTCCTCTGTTTTTGGTTGTTCTTTGTTGTCCTTTGGGGGGGGGGGAGGCGTGTCCTTCTCCTCTGGCTCGGAATCCCTGACCTCCTGCCATTCGGCCTGCTCCGACAAGCTCGGTTTGTCCGACGTCAGGGTTGGCGGGGAAGCCGGGTCATTGGTGGTGGCATCGACGCCGTTCTTCTCGGGCACCTCTGGCGGCACCGGTTGTTGATTCGGCTCGGAGCCGTGGTCAACGTCCGCCATCTCAGCGAGCGGGGCGGAGCGTTTGAGACAAAACTCAGGAGAATAGTGTCGGCATAAAGGAAACACGTGGGGGAGAACGTCCCTTGTCCGGAAAATAATCAGAATCCAACGGAGCTGCTGCGTGTCTTGTTCCTTTTCGGGGATGGTCTCGGCCGCTGACTAAAGGTCACATGATCATGTTACCTAAGCCAACGGCCGATTCCGCCGACTCGCTCACCGGGAAGAGCTCAACAGAAAAGTTCCTGACTTGTCCGCTTCCTTCCCATCTCCATCCTTCCCTGGCCCTCACTCCCTCGTCAACCGGTGCCGGTTATTTCTTACTCTTTTCTCGTCAGCTACGAGGGCCTGTCTTTTTAATTACTCAATTGCGGCAATCCCTGGCACCATGGTTGCCTCTGCTGTCCGGATGCGCACCCCGAGTGCCATGTTCATGGCCCGTGGCGCCGCTTCGATGCGGCGGCCACAGGTCTCTTATAAGTTCCAGGAGGTGATGCAGTAGGTATCCCTGGCTGCAATCGAACCATTTCACAAGATGTTGATCCGTTTTTACACCCAGATCCCAATTGCCTGCGCTCTCCGCTATCTCCCGCTTCTATGCCTCCAAGAGTATGCTACCCCCCTCAACCGGTCTTGACGCTTTCCATGGAGTGCAGCGACTGACATTGTCGATTCCGCAGCCTTCCCTCCGCACACAATCATCAGCATGCCGGCCCTTTCGCCGACCATGTCCGCGGGAAACATCGGAGCATGGCAAAAGAAGGCCGGTGACGGCCTCCAGCCCGGTGATGTCCTCGTGGAGATTGAAACCGATAAGGCACAGATGGACTTCGAGTTCCAAGATGAGGGTGTCCTGGCCAAGGTTCTGAAGGAGACTGGCGAGAAGGACGTGGCCGTCGGTGCGGTAAGGATTTTCCCGAATTCCCCGCGGAGATGCGATCGGGAGAGCTGACTTTTTTCCCTTCCCTTCTAGCCCATTGCCGTTCTTGTTGAGGAGGGCGCTGATGTTACCGCATTCGAGTCGTTCACCCTCGAGGATGCCGGTGGTGCCCAGGCCGAGCCGGCTGCGCCAAAGGAGAGCTCTGAGGCCAAGGGCGCGGAGCCGGCGGCCCCAGCCCCGGCTCCCGAACCTGCTGCGCAGGAGCCCGAAACCTCGGGTGAGAAGTTGCAGCCCAGTCTTGATCGCGAGCCCTCGATCAGCCCGGCGGCCAAGGTGATCGCCCTGGAGAAAGGTGTGCCGATCAAGGCCCTCAAGGGTACTGGTCGCGGTGGCCAGATAACCAAGGAGGATGTCGAGAAGTTCACTGCCAGCGGCGCTGCTGCTGCCGGCCCTACCTACGAGGACATTCCTCTGTCCTCGATGCGCAAGACCATTGCCAGCCGCCTGCAGCAGTCCATGCGCGAGAACCCCCACTACTTCGTGTCGACTACCCTGTCTGTCACTAAGCTTCTAAAGCTGCGCCAGGCCCTGAACGCCTCGTCCGAGGGCAAGTACAAGCTCTCGGTGAACGACTTCCTGGTCAAGGCCTGTGCCGTCGCCCTCATGAAGGTGCCGCAGGTCAACTCCAGCTGGCGCGAGGTGAACGGCAACGTGGTGATCCGCCAGCACAACACCGTGGATATCAGCGTTGCGGTCTCCACCCCGGCTGGTCTGATTACTCCCGTCGTGAAGAACGTGCAGGGACTGGGTCTGTCCAGCATCTCCAGCCAGGTCCGCGACCTGGGCAAGCGTGCCCGTGACAACAAGCTCAAGCCCGAGGAGTACCAGGGCGGTACCTTCACCATCAGCAACATGGGCATGAACCCGGCCATCGAGCGGTTCACCGCCGTGATCAACCCTCCTCAGGCGGGCATCCTGGCGGTCGGCACGACCCGCAAGGTCGCCGTGCCTGTGGAGACGGAGGAGGGCACCGTGACTGAGTGGGACGACCAGATCGTGGTGACGGGTAGCTTCGACCACAAGGTGGTGGATGGCGCCGTCGGCGGCGAGTGGATCAAGGAGTTGAAGAAGGTGGTCGAGAACCCGCTGGAGCTGCTGCTGTAGGGGGTTGGACACACTGTGTAATCTGTATTAAAACCTCCCCTACGTCCCGTACTTTAGACCACCATAGGTCGTTTTCTGCGTGTGTTTGTTTAGCAATCGACTGTTTCTTTTGTCTTGCCCGTTCCTAGAATAATATACAACTCTGTATCGATTTGGCCTAAATAAACTTGGTCTCGGATCCACCCCAAGCCATGATGTCATCCGACCAAGCTTTATAACCAACCACCTTCCTTCCCTCCTTTCTTCCTTCCAATTTTTCTCCTGCTCTGCCCTTGCCCGAAACACCTTTTAAAGCTTGTTCGTGTTTCCCCAGCTGCGACTGATAGCCGTACTAACTCCCGCTCTCATGATCAGACTACACTTTCTGCACGCGACATCACTATGTCTTACGCCGACGCTGCTGCCAAAGGGCCCAAACAGTCCCCCGAGGATGTAAGTCGCCCACCTACTACTATATAAACATCCATGCTAACATAGCCCCCCAACAGGCGTGAGTCTAACCAGCATTAACAACCACCTACCCCCCTACTAACATCCATCTATAGCCGCGCCCCCGAAGTAGGCGGAAACTACAAAGACGAATCAGAAAGCCCGGCGAGCCTAATCGACGTAGACTCCCCACACGTCTCATCCGTGGACCCCAACTTCCTGAACCAAGAAGTGAAAACGACCACGCAGGCTGACCGGCTGGAGCGTGAGGCTGCGGCGGCGGCCGAGCAGCAGGCACGAGCCCGCGAGTCTGGGAGCAAGAAGGGCAAGGCGCGCAAGGCGGAAAGCGGGCTGCGCAAGAATGCTGGTAATCCCGTCTTCATCGGCAATGCGGTCTTCGTTACCCTCCTTGGCGCGGGGCTGGGTTTCGGTGCGTACAGGCAGCATGTGCAGGGGAAGCTGTCGTGGGAGGCTGTTGGGTTGTGGTCTGGGGTTGTTGGGGCGGCTGGAGCTGTGGATTACTTTGTGAGCAAGTGAGTACTTCAAATGTTCTTGGTTCCAGAAGGAATGATGCTGATTGATTTGCAGGTGGTTCCTCCAGAACAAATATCCGCCGAAATAGAGGATGAATGGCGGTGTTCTTCGGTGTCGCGGGGCTGTTTATAACTCCCATATCCCATCTCAGCTCTGCATTTCTTTCCCTTGGCTGTATTGGTACTTGAATTTATCTCATGTTTGCAACCTGCAATACTACAAGTAAGCTTAGTTTTATAGCGTGGGCCACACCGCCTGCGTGGAACGGCAGAATCCGCGTCTCAAACAGGATAAGCTGGCATGATTGTTGTCCTTGTCTTCGATTAGAATCACCTCGGGCTGTGCTGTTGACTCTGCACCGCTCTCCTTTTCTGGAGCTGTCACAGCTGTATCATTCCGCTCTTATTGGACCGGTCTACACCTGCCAATACCCAAGATGGTATGTGTGCGCACACCTATCCTCTGCTGCGAGAAGCCCTAACCAGACGAATGCAGAATTCCCTCTTCAATTCTGCCCTGAAGCAGTCCTCTGCGATCCGCCGAGACCTGGACACCTTTGCGCAATCACCGGCCACATCCTCCGCCGCGCTACAAGGTGCGCCTCAACCCTTTCATCGCCACGTGCTGGCTGGCTGTATCGATCGGAAACCTAACTTCTGCCTCTAGGCCAGATCTCTGCATCACTCACTTCGCTCTCCCGCACCGTGGACGACTACTCTGCGCTGTCGAAAAAGGAGCTGATCCAGGAGAAACAAGAAAAGGCATTCGAGCGAGTCAAGAACTTCCGCAACGAACTAGCAGATTACCGCACGCAACTCGACCAGCTGCGAAAAGAGCGCGAGGAAGCCGTACGCCCCCTTCCGCCCCATAATATACTTCTTCACTGAATCCTAACCCACATCCAGCAATCCGCCACCAACCGCAGCGAACTCCTCGGCCGCCGTCCACACCACGCCGCCACGCCCGAGAACCCTTACGCGCAGTCCTCTGCACCCCCTTCAGCCTTCGCACCCACCTCGTCGGGCCTCAGCTTCGGCGCCGGGCCCTCAGACTATAACCGCGAGTCACACGCCCTGCGCGAGCAATCCTTCTTCTCCAGCACACACAACCAGCTCGACGACTTCCTGGACCGCGGGCGCGCCGTGCTCGCCGATCTGGGCGAGCAGCGCGAGATCCTCAAGGGCACGCAGCGCCGCCTGTATAGCGTTGCCAATACGTTGGGCGTGAGCGGCGATACCATTCGCATGGTCGAACGGCGCGCGCGCCAGGATAAGTGGATTTTCTGGGGTGGAGTGTTGATTTTCTTCCTGTTTTGCTGGGCAGTTCTGCACTTTCTTCGGTGATTGAATGGGCCTTACTTGTCCTTGCTTCTATTATATCTGTTTCCCATCAGCGCTGGCGTTTGTTGTTCTTTTATTTCCCCTTGATTCTGGCTGCGGCCATTGTGACATACTACGGTACTATTAGGGACACACAGGTAGAGAATGGAGAGAATGGAGAGTGGTTAAAGCATGAATTCGCATAGAGACATCGACAGGAAACGACGGCTTAAGCCTGGCTCAGGCGGACCGAATCCTTTGTCGGTGCTTGCCATCTACTGCTGTACGTAGGCGGCCAGCTTCAGCCACTGTATCTGGTCACGCGCCTCCGGAATTCGTCAAACCTGATGCTTGTCGACATGAGGCTGAGCTAGCGCACAATCACATAGTCTGTTCTCTTTTGCATTGATTGGCAGCTCCTTTTTGATGCCACATAGTGATTATGGCTGTGATCCAAGAAGTAGAATGTGGGACAAAGTAGGTAAGTAAATATATGAAAAAGAGAAAATATATAAGGAACAGGAAAATTGGAGAGGGAAGGGATGGGAGGTTTATATAGACCAGTGAATAGGAGTTGCTTGCTATCTGTCTTTAAACTCGTACACAAATACTCATTGACAGGATAATGTTGTATGTAAGTTGACACTGAATCTTGCGGCTATGGCAGGCACAGTCATGAAGGGTATAAATTCCTAGTAAGCGGACACCAAGAGGTCACCAAACAAGGGCCATAAAGGACGAGAGGACGAGAGTATAAGAGGAATATCAAAAGAGTTACTCATACCATGAGCCATACAGAATCTGATATAGCTAGTCGCGGTGAACCCTTGCTTTCAACTGTCAGCCGTTCAGCCGCGCCTTGTACGTGTCCGCGGCGTCCTTGTCCACCAGTTCCAGCGTGTTGATGAGCTCCTCAACCTGGTCGCGCACGAACGCCTGCAACGGAGCCTGGGCCGCAGCCAGCACAACAAGACCGCGCTCGATCTGCGCCCCAATCGGCCCGCGCAACTGCTCGATGTCCTCGTTGTACAGGCCAGAGGGGGAGAGGTTGTGCTCGAAGTAGACCCGGTCAGCGAGGCCAATCAGCGCCGCAAGAGCCGTCAGCCGCTCTGCGGAAGTGTCTCGCTCCCCGGCCTCGCCCCGGCTGTTCACCACGGACTTGGTAAGCAGTGCGAAGGTGTTGTCCAGGCTGTACAGCCGATCGACCGACATGTCCCGCCAGGGCTGCGCATCGGGATTGGCCGCCGCGGCGCGAACCGCCTCGTAGCCAGTCGGCGAGGCCCAGCGAGCCAGCGTGGACAGTGCTAGGAAGCGGTCGTACGCCCCGGCCGACTCGTCGGCCAGAAGCGCCGCCGCCTCGGGCTCCAACTGCTCCCAGTCTCCTTGCAGCGCTGCAGCGACTGCCGACTCCGGGTCCGTCTTCTCGCCGTCTGCATCCGTGAAGAACAACCGTTTCGCAACCTCTCCCGGCTGATAACTGTCGTCACTGGACGTCTCGTCCATCAGCGTTCCCTCCACGTGGGCTTAGTGGACCTTCGTCAAGTAGCGGCTGGGAATCGTACCCCTGGCCAGCCACTTGTTATCGCGGCGAGTGTTCGACAGGGTGTTGATCCGTACCGCGAGGCCGCTTTGGCCTGGCCCTTGAGCCTATTGTCCTGCGCGATCTGACTGGTGAACGCGTACCTGTCGGACTTAGTCATCCCACTGTTCGTCATCTAAATAGTGAACTAAGCGCTGGAAAACACGATACACCGCTCATGCATGCTGATTTCTTGGACCGTACATCCTGAGCATGATCTCTGAGCCTGAGCGCCCTCGTAAAAGCGTCGATGGCCCAGGAGGACAGCCCTACCTGCCAGAGGGAATCCGGTAAGTATAGGGCGCATAGGGGTTCTACAGTCAGTGAGCACTTCCCTCTCTACATGATCTTGCTCTGTGTATGAGAAAGCATCGGCAAATTCCTAGAGACTGGCGTCTCGTGGAACAACAAATAGGCAATTATAATCACGTACATGCATAGACTCTTTAACAGATAGGTCCACGAGCTGGCTTCCGAAACAAACTCCAGAACCTCGCTGGGCTGACGTTTATGGAAATTAACCTCAATTACCACAATTCTTGACCTTCCTCGTGGGATGAATCCTGCTGAGTGTTGTTTTCCTTTTGCTGGATATTGGAAACGTCCTAAACCCCAGTTGTGATCCGACTCGTGGCATTAAACCACTCAAGCTGTTGTTCTTTGCCAAAAAAACCCCTTTGATACGATTTTTCCAATGAAAAACCAGGACAACCAAGGGTTGTTGAAGTTGTAGGGAATTGCAGCAACGGATCAATCTTAGATTCCGTCTCCTAGATGATGCGCTGGAGTTGGCATGATCGAGGAAATCGGTGGGGGTTTCTAGGGTTTCCGCCGTCACCCCGAGCGACACACCGCTACAGTGGTGTTCTATGGAGTTTCTGACTCTAGTCGGTCTCAATAGGGACAGAAATAACAATAAGAATCAACAATCAATGTAGTAGTATACTCACAATGCACTAGGTACGGCTAGGAACCCGAGTATCCGAGCCCGGAAGGAGTGACCCGCCCCAGCAGCCAATCTTTTCGCTCACCGTTCGTTCACTCGCCCGGTTCTTCCCCTTCAGTCTTTCTTCCTTCCTTTCTCCTCTCTTTCCCTTCCCATCTCCCCCATCTAATTGCTGCCCACCATGTTTGCTGCTCGCCAGACCTTCAACCTCTTCCAGAAGCGCGCCTTCTCGGCCTCCGCTAGCCAGGTGCGAGCGAATTTCTGACTGGCTCCTCCCGACCGCACTGACATTATTTTTCCCCAGGCCTCCAAGGTCGCCGTTCTCGGCGCCGCCGGTGGCATTGGCCAGCCCCTGTCGCTGCTGCTGAAGCTGAACCCGCGCGTTTCCGAGCTCGCTCTCTACGATATCCGCGGTGGTCCTGGTATGCACGACGTGGCCGATAATTACTAGCAGGCCGGAATTGACTCTTGTTTTCGTAGGTGTCGCGGCCGACCTGAGCCACATCAACACCAACAGCACCGTCACCGGCTACGAGGCCACTCCCTCCGGCCTCAGCAATGCCCTGAAGGGTTCCGAGATCATCCTCATCCCCGCCGGTGTCCCCCGCAAGCCCGGCATGACCCGTGATGGTAAGCAACTCCCCATCCATATCCCCCCTTCTTTTTGGTGAGAGGTCCTGACCTCGGCATCGCGCAGACCTCTTCAACACCAACGCCTCGATCGTCCGCGACCTGGCCAAGGCCGCCGCCGAGGCCGCCCCCGAGGCCAACGTCCTGGTCATCTCCAACCCGGTCAACTCGACCGTGCCCATTGTCTCGGAGATCTACAAGGCCCGCGGCGTCTACAACCCCAAGCGCCTGTTCGGTGTGACCACGCTCGACGTGGTGCGTGCCTCGCGCTTCATCTCGCAGGTCCAGAAGACCGACCCCTCCGGCGAGGCCGTCCCCGTCGTCGGTGGCCACTCCGGCGTGACCATCGTGCCCCTGCTCTCGCAGAGCAACCACGCCTCCATCGCTGGCGAGGCCCGCGACGCCCTGGTTAACCGCATCCAGTTCGGCGGCGACGAGGTCGTCAAGGCCAAGGACGGTGCTGGCTCCGCCACTCTGTCCATGGCTATGGCCGGTGCCCGCTTCGCCGAGTCTCTGCTCCGCGCTGCGCAGGGCGAGAAGGGCGTCATCGAGCCGACCTTCGTCGACTCCCCCTGTACAAGGACCAGGGCGTGGACTTCTTCGCTTCGCGCGTCGAGCTCGGCCCCAACGGTGTCGAGAAGATCCACGAGGTCGGCAAGATCAACGAGTACGAGGAGAAGCTCGTCGAGGCTTGCCTGGCTGACCTGAAGAAGAACATCCAGAAGGGTGTCGACTTCGTCAAGAACAACCCTTAGATTTTTGCGCTTCGTGTATAACATTTTCACCGTCCTGTTCTTTTGGGCTCGAGGGCTGTTAAGCGGACTTGTGTATTACTGTCGGGTCGGTATCCTGAGGAAATAAAAATCTATATCGATCTGCCTGTTACTTTCGGGTTTCATTTTTTGCCTCTAGAGCAGATGTAGTAGGGAGTACTAAGGATTTATCTGCCTGTCTATGCGGGTGGTAAAAATGCAAAGTCATATTCATCGTAGCTCATCTGATAGGGCTGATGTGGTTAACTTGTCCTCACGTCCAGTATTCGCCAATTCGAAGGAAAGAGCAAGAGATAAAATAAAAGCAAAAAAAAACAGAGATACTCCGATGCACGCAGAAAGGGATCCATATCAGGACGGAAAAACGGAAACACCAGTCTGTGTCATCAATCATCAGATCGTCGGCAGGTAAGCAAGGTAAAATAGCCAAGCCGTATCTCTCTCGAGAAAGCTCTAAGTCCAGTGTCTAGTGCCATGTCCTTCCACATTGCGTACTGTGCAGTAGAAGTGCGTAAACTGTTACCAGACGGGCGTGGTGAGGCAGGCAGACAGGTAGACAAGTCTTAAGTGTAGCTCCGCATGGCATCTAAATATCCGGTCCCACCGCGCAAATCCTGATCAAAGGTCTCGGCGACTTCGAGAACGCTCCTGATGTGGTCCATTGAGAGCGGAGAGTGTTCGTTGACGGCGAGGGCTTGTGCTGTGCGGACGGAGTTTTTGATCTGTTCGATCAGTCGTCAGAGAAATCGACATGCAGTATAGGGAGAAAAGGAGAGAATGAAGGGCAAAGAAAAGGAGTAGGAAGAGGGGAAAAAACCCACCTGGCGTCCATTCAAATTATGCCTCGCCAACAGATCATAATCTTCCTCAGAGAACGATGCTGTTCGCACACCCTCGATAGCACGAACGCGCTCCAAGAACATCTTCCAGATACTGCGCTTCGCCTTGGTGGTCAGGTCGCCGTAGCGCAGGGCGACATGGATACGAGACTGGAACGCATCGTCGAAGGTCTCGACACGGTTCGTAGTCAAGAACAATATACCCTGGAAATATTCCAGCAGACGCAGAAAGATGCTGACGAGTGCGTTGCGGTGGATATCATGGATGGTGCGTTTCTCGAGGAAGATATCCGCCTCGTCGAGGAGGAGCACTGCGCCCCATGAGTGTGCAATGTCCAGGATCTTGTTCAGTTCTGCTTCGAGCATCCGGGAGTCTGTGCCTAGTTCGCCTGCCGAGACCATGTACAGTGGTCGTCGGAGGAGCTCGGCGATGCCCTCTGCGGTTAGGGGTTTTGCCCGTGCCTGGTGGCCCGTGGAGTACTGCGACTAGGCCTTTGCCCTTGCCCTGGATAACGTCGTCGATGTTCTCGGCGGCGTGGAAGGTGTGCGATTCGACCAGGGCCTTGACGATAGATTTCTGGTTTGCAGGAAGCACGAGCGAGTCGAATGCATCGACGTCCCATTCAATATCGCTGATGCCCGAAACGCTGAATTCCAGCCAGAGCTTCTCGCTGAATGCAAAGCCCAGCACGACGGGGCTGGCGATCAGCAATTCCTCCTCGGTGAAGGCGCGATCGGTTGTGTTGGTAGGCTCGCCGTCTGCGCCCTCGATGCGGTCCATCTTCTCGCGCTCGATCTCGTTGCCGTTGTCGTCGACCCCGACCTCGACCACCATTGGCGTGCCGGCCTTGTCTTCGATGACCTTGTACTTGGTGCGTGGGCGATCTGAACACCTGTCGCCGTTGTTGTCAGAGTCTGAGTCCGACCCGTGTCCACCGCAGCAGCAGTCGTTCTCGCTGTCGTTGTCTTCAGCATCGCTGAATCCCACTTCGGACGGGTCCAACAGATCCGGGTCTTGGAGCCGGACCGTGCTGATCGGGTAATTGGGATTGATGCGGCGGTGGATGGCCGGGTCGATCATCACGCGGCCGTTGATGTTGACCTTGACGATGAACGAGCGCTTCTTCTTGTAGAAAGCCATGCCCTTGTGGAAGCGGTAGTTCATGCCGCGCAGCGAGACAAACCGCTTGCCGCGCTCGATCAGACGTGCTTGCAGCGCCTGCGGGTCGCGGTGATACTGCAGCGGGTAGCATGCGAGACTGGTGATCTTGCGAGCACCCTTGAACGAGTCCACCTCGGCGGACATGGTCCCAAATCCGAAGTCCTTGCCGTCATACTCCAGGTACCGGCCCTCGACGCTGTACCACACGCCCTTCATGAACGAGCTCTCCTTGATAGCATACTCAACCTTGAAGGCACGAGGCTCATCCGAGTTGCCATAGGTCGGCGTGTAGACAATGGTGTTGGGCTTGTATAGAGCCCACAGCAGATCAAATGTGATGGTGTTATTCTCCAGGAGCGGATACAGCGTCTTCTTGGTGTCGGCATAGTCGGTATCCAGGTATTTGACCAGCACGCGCAGATGCGCCGCTTTGCTCGCCGCCGCCTTGCGGACCTTCTTCTTGCGCTCGGTCTTGGCTTGCCGCTTGAGATCTTTCATGTACTGGCGCGTCTCTTCCAGATACAGGAACAGCATGTTGGGATCCACCACCGCGGGCTCCTCCACCATACTCACGCCCTTGACCCCGTCCATGACCTTGCCCAGTGCATCGCGAAGCAGCTTGCTCTTGATGTCGACCACCGTCTCCTCGTACTTGTTCTCCCAGTTGAATTGGCGGCGCACCGTGAAGATGTACTGGTCCCATTCATCTGCGTCGAGATCGTCCACCGTCTCAGTCAGTTTGTACTTGTGGATAGTATTGTCCCAAACTGGCACAAACAATTAGCATGGTATTCATATACAAGTAACGTCAACATACGCTGGTCAACCCGCTTGAAAGCCACCTTCGAAGCCGGCCTTTTCTTCTTCCGCTTCTGCCGCACGTCGCCCAGCGGGTCGGAAATATTCAAGTCATCTGAGGCCTGCTGGTTGAGCCGCTTGGCGTGACCCTTGAAACGAAGGGTGTTGCGCTGGAACTGGGCCATCAGCTTGCGCAAGGCCTTCTCATCCGTAGACGAGAACATATGCGCGTCCGAACCGCCCGCATCTTCGGAGTCGGAGGGCGAGGAGGCGTCCGAATCAGAATCCGACCTGGGCGACCGCTTCTTTGTTTTATGCCGGTTCTTCATCGCGCGTCTCGCCCGTGCGCGAGTGCGCTGGCGGTGTCGCTTACGGCGATCCAGTTCATCGCTACTGGTGCATTCAGAGGCTGAGGTCTCTGAGGAGGAGTCCGATGAGGAAGTTGAGGTTGAGTCCGAGGAGCTGTTGCTGGTCTCGGGGGCTTTCTTTTTCTTTTTGGTTCGTTTGTCGGGTTTGGCGCCGTGTTTCTTGCACACGGGTGTCTTGGCTTTCTCTGCGGGATTTGGGTCTTTCGCTGTTGGGTCGGTGATGGGCTGGGCCGCTGTGGATTCCTTGGAGTCAGCCTCATCTTTGGTGGTGTCGGCCGTGACGTTGTCCGCCATGCTGTGTAGATCAGTGGGGATGGTGGGCAACGAGGGTATTGAAGGAAGTAAGGAAGAAAGGAAAGTATGTACTGGTGCCAGATGACCAAAAGAAAGGAAGAAAGACTGAGAGAAATCTAAAGAAAGAGAGAAGGCAGCAGCAGCTTTTAAAGTCAGCCAGCTCCAATCGGGCGGTGCCAAAGAGTGAGGCGTGATGCACAGCGGCTCTCCACTGTCACACATCGCGTTGCCGCCTGGTTTTGTTTGTTGGCACTTAGGGCTGACCACATCATTTAGGTACCCATCATGTTCTAACGGGCTAGTTGCCAATTAGGGGACCGCGGAGTACTGCGAGAATATTGATTACTATTGAATGATTCAGGATAACCTATAGCTGTGGTGTGTATTGCTCTCTAGGTAGTAAATGCAGCTCTATGAACGATACAAAATGATACATGCTAACCAACGCTTGGAAAGGACGGTGTTATAATATAGCCATACAGAAAGTTGTTGTGCTTTAAGAGAGAGAGAGAGACCGCATGCTAAGATTGCATGTTGACTTCCCCAGGAGATGACCACCCACCATGCCGATATAACCTCGCAAATGCCGAGTTCTTATCTGCCAAAAGCACCGCCGGCCTCTCACACTCGACAATCCGGCCCTGATCCAGAACGAGCACGCGATCAAAGTCCAAGATACTGTTAAGCCGATGCACGATTGCGACGATAGTCCAACCCTGAAACTCTGTACGCAAGAGAGACATCATGAGTTCTTCCGTGCGAACGTCGACGCTGATTGATCATCATGAGCATCATCAATATAAAAGAACCAGAGCAGGGGGTGAATACCTGCTCGTTGCCTCATCCAGCAAGAGAATCCTACTCCTCCGCATCATCATCGCCCGCGCCAGACAGAAAAGCTGTCTCTGTCCAGCGGAAAAATGATTACCACGCATTTCTGCATCAAGTCCGCCCATTGACCGAATCTGCTCTGTCAACCTGGTCTTCTCCAAAGCAACCTGGATCTGGAGTTCAGTGGCTTCGCCCAGAGGGTCCAGGTTGGAGCGAATTGTTCCAGATCCTCCTGGCAGAAACCATGGGTCTTGTGGTAGTGAGTTAATATGCCCGCGGACTGTTTCCGGAGAAATTCTCGAGATGTTGTCATGTCCAACGGAAATGGTGCCGGATTTAGGGTCTAGCAAACGTAGGAGAAGTGATATCAGTGTTGACTTGCCTGAGCCTGTGCGGCCGCAGATAGCGACTCGCTGCCCAGCATCGATGGTCAGGTTGATTTTCTTCAGGACATCCGATCCGGCGGCCCTTTAATCACTGTCAGCTGTACGTCTTCAAGTGTTAAGGCCATACGCACTGATATGAAGCCGAGACGTTCTTAAAGTCTATAGAAGAGTCCGTAGGCCATTCTTCAGGTACGGCCACGGTCTCCTCGGTTGTTTCTGCTGGTGTAATTGCAACGAATTGACGTGTTCTCGCCACAGCGCCCAGAGAAGTCTCAATACCAGTCCAATAGCTCACAAAAGACGACAGTGTTTGGCTAAAATTCACGACACTGACCATCGCAACTCCGAGAAGACTGCTACTAATCGAATGTCGCAGCGTCACAGCCAAGGTAATGAGGATGACGGCCAGGCAAGTGACAAAGACATCCAGCACGAGATTCAACCAGCTCTGCAGACATAGAAGCAAATAAAACGGCCGCTGCGAAAGATCGAGTAGGCTGAAATTCTGGTCAATAACGTATCGCTTCCATTTGAATGCGCGTATAGTATGGGCTCCATCTAAGGTCTCGGTAAGATGCGTGTAGAGCGGAGATATGGCTTCAAGGTCGAGGAGGCGCATCTGTCGAGAGGTCTGGAGGTAGACCTTTTGAAGATAGTAGAGCGCTATCCCAAGGAATGGTAGACACACCGCCATATAACCTGAGGAGACGCAGGAAAGCGCTGCTCCGGCGATGCTGTTGCCTAATCCTGTATATCCTCGGTGATCAGAGTGGATAAGACGGAGGGAGAAGAGACGGAGGGCAACGTACCGCTGGTAGAGAGTAAAAGAGACATTGGCAATCGCATATCCATTAAAGTCATGTCTTGCGTGAATCTATTCATGATCAGACCAGTTTCTCACTACTCACTACAATTATTCTCACCGATTCAACAAAGATCCCGAGTCCGTGGCCGTGATAAAAGACATAGGTGCCCTGATTGTTCAAGTCAGTATAGATCAACAAAAAGGATTGATATTTCCACCTCATCGTGCTTTTGAGGATAGAATAATGCAAGGTATTCGCTGAGTTTGGAACCAGTGCTATCAAATAGTATCTGAGGTAGTTTTAGCTTAGTAGAAAGCAGACATGATGCGCACTTACCCTCCACTGATTCCAAGAAAAGCCAACGCCAGTATTCCAAACAAAGCATAGACAGACAACCATTTACCTAGGTCGGCACCTGGCCTCATCTCATTGGCATCGACCCACCAACTCAGCCACACCGCTGTAAAACTGTCAGTGGTTTGAATATATCCAAAAAAAATTGAAACTTACATTGTAGTGCTGTAAAAGCAACCTGCAGAGAGACCAAAAACAGAAACACCCCGAAAGCTGGTTTACCCATCGTGCTGATATAGTATGACAAGTTCTGTAGATCGTGCCGTCCACGATTCTCGGTTGACTCGTCTTGGTCCTTCCTCTTGTCAGACGTTGAGAGAACTGGATTTTGCTGATGGAGATCCTGTACGGAGCCAGAAATCGAGCCCTCGATTTTAGTGGTCCCAACGTTGAGGTCTTGAACGTACCCGGGCACCGCCACGAGCTTCTGGAATGAACCAGATTGCAGGAGGCGACCTTCGGAACTCAAAACGAGGATCTGGTCTGAGTACGGGAGCCATTTAACTGTATATGTCAGTGGTAGACCCCAACGAAAGGTAAAATGAAAAATTACCAGCATGAGTGACCAGTACGACAGTGGCACCAGTCTGCCGTATCAACCCATCTTGGGCTAGAAGCTGGTGAAAACAGTGTCTTTCCGTTTCCAAATCCAGCCCGCTGAGGCAATCATCCATCAAGACAATCTTTTTCCGGGCATACACAGCTCTAGCGATTGCCTGCAATGACCACATGCGTTAAATCGCCAAGAAGAAAGAAGATAGCTGAAGAATAGTCTTCAACTTACCAATCGCTGTTTTTGCCCTCCACTCAGCGCAATCCCTTTAGTACCCACGGGGCTCTCGTCGCCTTCGGGGAAATGACGGACATCGATATCAAGAGCACATGCCCGTAGACAAGAGTCATACCATTCCTGGTCATACTCCGAGTCACCCAGTATGTTCTGTCGAATGCTACTATTGATCAGGAATGGTGTCTGCGCGCAATATGCAATATCGTCTGTCGGTAAAGTCACTGAGCCGTCAAGCAGAACCCCTTCACCTACCAGGGTCTGCAGAAAAGTGGACTTGCCGCAACCGATACCCCCGAGAACGATATTTAGCGTGCCTGGATAAATCCGCACAGAGAGGTCTCGTAGAACAACCTTGTCGACAGACCAACCTGCATTGACCTGATCAAACTCAATGATGCTCGGACTGCTTCCGTCGACATTGGAGAGTCCGCACTCGCCGGTCAAGGTCCTGAAGTCGACCTGTTTTTTGTTTGTCACATAGTTTTGGATGCGGCTGCAGCACTCCAGCGCGGAGCTCAAATTCGGAATGGCCGCGACGAGTTCATTCACCGGGCTAATCAGCACTGACAACAGAGACATTGACGAGAAGACTGTTGCGGCGGTAGGTGCTTTGGTAGACGAGAACTTGAGGATTATGCCATATCCAATAAAGGTGACGACAGGAGACAGCATGTTTGCAGCGTTTCCTAAAAAGAATATCAGATCGAGTGTCCCGCAAAGAGGAAGAAGAATGCGTACCCAGCGTGATGTTAACAATCTGCACCTGTCGAAATCGCTTAGATTTGTGCAGTTCCTCTTCTCTCATGCATTGCACATTTCTAGTGATCATGTCGGTGAGACCAAGCATTTTCATGCCCTTCATAGAGCCAAGGACGTCCGAGGTCAAAGCGACTCGTTTCTGCACCGCCTGCATCCATTGTCGCTGGCGCGGCGTGATATTCTTGGCGACTTGACTAGATGCGTATGCCGAAGCTGGTATGCATCGTGATCATCATCAGTTTACCGTGCCGAGAAAGGAAATGTGTTGTCGACTCAAACTCACCCAAAACAACGGGGACTGGCGCAACACAAATTGGGCCCAGGCGTGTCTCCAGAATCCAGAGAGCAATGCCGACTTGAATAATATTTGGCGCTGTACTGATTACCCATCGGAGTCTCGTTACGATACGATCAATGTCGGCGCCCATCAAACTTATAGGAGATGATGCCTCCACGGTGCCGACGGGGATGTCGAGGCTCGTCTTATAGATCAGACTGATTAGAGCCGCGCGGATCATTGCAAGCGCTCGGGCAGTGAAATACTCGTACCATGCCGTTGAGACCTACAATTAATGCTGTCAGAGACGTTCGTTCAGAACTGAGGGATAAAGGACACACAGCAATTCCAAGATACGTGATTCCAAAAGCTCCAACCAGTCCATAGCCATATCGATCTGGCTTTGTTCCAGCATCGACAAATTCAATCGCAGTCTCGATCAAGAATGGCTGAGTTATACTAAATGCAATCAGAACCAGACGAGGAATCATAGTCGCGGTGATGGGCATCCAGAGCGCTTTAGTAATTGCCCAAGCAAGCGAGTAGCTTTTATCTTTAGCACCTGCCTCATTATTTAGCAAACAGATATCAGCCTACAAGATAAAGAAGAAAGAACGAACTAGAATCCCACTGCTTCTGAACCCGTTCATCAACAGATGCAGCCGTGATATAGTCATCAATGGGATACAAGTCCCGAACAGTCAGATTGCAGCGGTTGCCACGATAGATCAACGGATTCAGCCATGCGAAGAAACTACGGCTGTAGATTCCACTCGTGCGTTCTGGGATATCCGGGACCTGGGTATGGCTTGCTTTGGAAAGGGCCTCTAAGACCAGTAACAGGGCCTTGACAAGCAGCGCAGTAACGGAGACAACGGGGATAACGGACAGTCCGGGAAGAAGCCATTCTGTTCGCGTCCTTGCAAAGTCCATAATCGTAGTGAAGAGGAGGAAGACACTTAGTAAAGACGAAGGGCGAAGTGATTTTGAATGTTCCAGCGGGGACAGAAGCCCTATCGCGACAGCGGCTGCTAGATCTAGGGCTGCTGCTGCGATGGTTGCGCGCGTGCGGAACGCGGCGTAGACAGGGGTCGTCCACAAGACGAGGAGAGCTAATTTTAGCAGACAGAGAACAACAATGGTGATCTAAGATTGTTTTTACGAGTTAGCCTTGAGGAAGGAACGGAAATCAAATCAAATCACTAGAGAAAAGGATATCAATCAACTGACAAGCTTCACAACCCGGAGCAATGACCATTTCACAGCGTCTGGACGCCGCCATATCGACCAAACCCGCAGCGGAGCGACACATAGCAGCAGCGCAGCGGGGAGGATGGCAAAGATACTCTCTTCAAAGAGTAATGTGAAATCGAAGCCATCGCGACAGATCTTGAGATCCACCGTGGGTCCGAACGAATCGTCGGGGCAGAGACGGATCAGCGAGTCGTTCGACATGCGTAGGGCTGACTTGGCGCGATGATAGAACGTGGGTTGAATGGCTGGAAGGCAATTATACAATGGAGGCTTCAGGCCCTAACCGTAACATTATTTTCATACTGAAATCAAAATCGGAGGGGCTGCTCTAGATAAATAATTAATTGTAGATGATGCCGTAGTAGTCCAGATAATTCCCGCGACCTAAGTCCAAAGAGACAACAGGTGAATCTTCGAGGGAATCACCTGAGTCATGGACCCGGGACTTTCCGAGTTGATGTAGCCTCATCAGGGTAAGACCTAGGGGGACCAGGCGTCGCAGTACTATAGTAACGGAGCCGAGACATGCGGATCTCAGTATGATTTAATTCACAGGCAAAAGTACCTGCGCCTTTGAATTTGGGTTAGCCATTGGTCAGTCGTATATGCTGGATTCTGGGAGCATTTTTTTTATCTTCCAAGCTTGCAACATTATTGCATAGTAATCCCGGTGTGGACTATGTGTTGCTAAAACAGAGTTACATTCAAATGCCATTCCTGATTCAAAGAAAAGACAAAACACCGAGCTGTAAACGAGACATAAATCCATATCCATATCAAATGCCTGACGCCTAATTTCTTTCCCAACCGTCCGAACCATATCCATCCATGCCATTGAAATCATACACATAAACAATAGACCCATACCCTAAAGAAAACTTAAAGAACACTCAACTCCCTCCTCCCCGCACTCCTAACACTCATACCCATACCCGTCGCAGCAGAAGCAGACAACCCATTACTCCACTCTGACGAAGACGAATCGCCCCTCGCGCGAGAATCACTGGTAGAGCTCGTGCTCGCACCAACGCTTATCCCTGCCGTAGTCAGAGAGTCATCATCACCCGTTCCTGTTTCCGGTTCCGTTCCCAGCCCAGGCGGACCACGGCCAATCATCACGGGACGGATCTTTGCGCCAACAAACCCGCGGCGATCGCGACCTGTCCGGCCGCGGCCGAGCCAGTTGTGCTTGAGGGCTTTGCTGAGGAGATCGATTCTGTCTTGTGCGTCGTCGTCGGTTTGGACGCTAGCGAGCACGCTGACGCATTGGAGCATGCGGCCGACAGTTTCGGTTATCACGTGCGACGAGTCCGCGGAGAAGGCGCGTTGCATGAGTGGTGGTCTTTTGGGGGCGACGGAGGGGAAGATCACCTGGTCGGCGTTTGAGGAGGTGTTGGATGTGGCGCGACTGCGGGAGTCGTTGCTTGGTGGGCCGGGTTGGTGTTGGTGTTGCTGGGCGGCGCTGTGGCCGCTCACGCTGTCGGAGTCGGCTCCTGTGCTTAGGAGGGTAGATGATTGCGAGTTGAAGCTGCCGACTTCTAGAGAGGCTGCGGTACCGGGGCGGCCGGCTGTCGCGGCGCTTTTGTTTGTGACCGTAAGGTTGGGGATTCCGGAGTTGATGCTATCGAGGCTCAGGCGCGAAAACGTCGCTTTGAGACTTTCATAGCGGTTGAGAATGATGCAGTCCCGGAAGGCAATCAAGACAAGATTCCGCACATCTAGTGTACCTCGGGCAGGTAGTACACCCCAGAACTCACGGGCTTCGCGGCCGGTCATGAGTGAGCCACATCCCTTGAACTCAAGATCCAAAGGCAGGAAAACGGCTTGAATGAAGGGCAAAATCGTGCCAAACACCAACATCCAGATCTGCACAATATGCGGCACCAGTTTCTCATCCGGGACCCCGATCAAGGAGCTGTGGTTCAACGTCGCAAACCCAGTCTCCAGGAGTTCTTGCAAATCAGAGACAATACCTGTCGGCGCCCGTTTCTGCACGCAGCGCTGCAGGTGCACCATAACCAACTTATTGAGATCCTCAATTGCGATACGGACATCTTCACCATCGAAAATGACCAGCAGTTTCGCTTTCAAGAAATCCCACGCGTCCTCGGGCGACATGTTATTGAGCCCGAACCCTTGCAGCGTTTCTCGAAGAACCGCCTCCCCCAGCACAGTTGTCGATCCAACAGATGATGGGACTGCGCCGGGCGTCGGTAGCCCACTGGAATTGGCGAGCCATTCTTCCGTCTCCGCGAGCGCTTTCTCTTCTTTCTTCTTTTCGCGAAGAGCCCGTCCTCCGTGCAAGAGATCCAGACCACTGACAGACTTGCCGAACGTCGTCGACCCCGGTGCGGGTGATTGTGGAGTAAACGAGTAAAGAGACTGCGGCGCATTGGGGTCTGCGGGACGAGAATTGCTCGATGCGGATGATAAGGGCAGGTTGAAGTGATCGTCGCGATCCTTGAGCTTGAGTTTTTGACGTGATAAGAAGTGGTGCTTATGTTTATCCTTGTCCTTTTCCTTCTCCGGCTTTTCAGGCTTATCGGCCGGAACCACCGTGCTGACAGAGGCGTTGGACAGGTTGTACATGGACGAATTGTTGGACGACAGGTCAGCGAGGTTTGTCGTCGAGGCGCTGACCATTCTCGACAACCCACTGATCTTGTTCGGGGACGGAAGACCACGATTCGAGAAATCCCTATCGCGGGAGATCCCGATATGTTTCGGTTTAGAGAACAGCTTCTTCCTCTTCTCAGTCTTCTTCTCCGTCTCCGGCTGTGCCCCGGCCCGCGGGAACACGACGTTGGCGGCGGTGGTCGCGGCACTCGCAGTAGTCTGGTTACTGCTCACCCGTAGCGGCGCCGGCATGATAGCCGGAGGGGGAGAGACACTGCCAGGGCGGGAGGGCACGTCGTCCTTGATCATATTCTGGGCTCTGCGGGTCTGCATAGCGGCTTGAGCAGCGATGCGCGACGCCGCGACGGCGGGCGGGACCTGATCCGCCGAGGCTGTTGGCAACGATGGCTCAAAGAAGCCCTGCGAATGATGTCTTGGCCGATGGCGCGGCAGCTCAGCGGAAGGCCCGCGCCCAGAGGGTCTTCGGTCCTGCGGCATGCGGACGCGGGCGGGCGAGGTGTTTGCGGAGGCGGACGCGGAGGCAGAGGGTGGCGGGATGGGAGGGAAGTAGCCCTGCGAGTGACCGGAGATGGGTGTAATAGGGGCGACGGAGAGGGTGGTCACATTGGACGAGGCCTCGCTGCCGGAGGACAATTCGTCTTCATCGCTGTCGTCGTCATCCTCGTCGTCGCTGACGGAGGGTCTGCGCGCCAGTTGCTGGGGGCGGTGCTGCTGAGGCGCCCGCCCTGGCCGGCCTGGCGAATTGTGAGCAACAGGGTTCATGGCTGGCTGACTGGGGGCTGGTTGGCTGGCTGCTGCTGCCTGCAGTCAGTTGTGGCAGTGAAGCTGACTGACGGCTTGACGTGGTTTGTTTGTTCTGCTTCGGGGGAGAGTCTCGCCGATCCGAGGGCCATCCCACTTTCTTTCTCGTTCGTCTTTTTGACACTCACTCCTTCGCCAGACCACAACATGTCCACTCTCCACCTCGACGCAGTCTACAAGGGCCCCCAGGGGAATCGCACCTTCCAGCATCCCATCCCCCTCGACCCCACAAGCGACACGGCAACCACCAAGAAAACCCATCTCGCCGCGCTGCAATCCCTCGTCCCCAAACTCCAAGACGAGATCAATGTCTTTCTGACGGAGCGCATGGAAGAAGAAAAGAAGGCCCAGGGCCAGGTCGTTTCCGAGAAAGAAGCGAAAGAGGAAGAGAACTACGGCGAGGAGGTGGTCGAGGATGATGCTTGAAGATGAAGTGGACTGCATGATTCGAAATACATGGGTATCAAAGTCGCCAGACGGCCTCTACAGAAATGAACAGAAAAGTGAGATGGGGACCAAAAAAACCCCCTGCCAACACGACAAACACAACGGAACTACTCTGACCGACCAACTCGATTTGCACACCCCAAATGAACCACTGTGTTATCGGGAAACACATTGATCACACTCCCGCCCAACCGCTTATGACACACGCCACAGATCCTCTCCTCAGTGATGGTAACATGGCGCGCGCGCGTGCCTCCGCCACGAACACCCTCACCAAGAACAAGCTGCGCCTGCGTCTGCATATCGCGGGTCTTGCGCAAATTCGCCACGATGCGCGCTTCGTTGAAGACCGAGTTGACCGCGCGCATGCGACCCTTGAAGTAGAACTCGAGTTCTTGGACGGGCAGCGTGGCGGGGATGAGGGAGAGGGCTGCGTCGGCGGGGAGACGGGATCCGTGCTTTGCGAGGAGCGAGAGCGCGGGGACGTGTTGTTGCTTGTAGCCGTGTGGTGGTGAGAGGTAGAGGGAGAGCAGCGTGAGGTAGATTTCCTCTTCGGCTGTTTCGCTGCGATGCACGCGGTTACAGTATCTAAGACAGATTAGTGTGATGTTGCCAATAGAATGAAGGACGAGATACTCTTCTGCTTTCTCGTGATCTTCCAGTTGGAAGACGTAGATCTCCAGTGCCTGTCGGTGCTGGCCCATCTTGCTGAATACAATGGCTCGTGCCTCGTAGAGATTCGGATCTACTGCCGTTAGATGGATGTGTACCACCCACAGGAAGAAAAAACTCACTGTCTCGATCAAGACGGTCTAACATCTTCGCGGGCGAATACTGCTCACTATCCCTCAGCATGGCCAGGAACTTCTTCTGCTCTTCTCCTTCACTCAGTCGATCCAGATACAAATTCAGGAGGCGCTGGTGTAGATCGGGAGTCATATCGTTCCATTCCTCGATGACATGCTCGAGGTATTGCACGGCAAGAGAAGAATCAATGTTCTCCAGAAATTCCAGAACCCGGTGTCGGGGAAGCGTCTCTGCGTTTTCGGTGTCTGCCAAGAATATCTCCATCCCCAGCTCGTGATTTGTGCGGGTGGGCCACTCCCCAAACTCAAGGACCAGGTCAACATGATCCCCGGAGAGGTTCTGGAGGTAGGCCACTGTGCGGGTTGGGCCGCGAAGAACATCAGGGATCGAGTCCGAGTCTGACTGGCCAAAACGTTGGAGGAGCTCCAAGGCTTGACGGTGGAGTTTCTTGCCATAGAGAAAATCGATTAGATCGTTATACCGCTCTGTTTCCTCAAGGCGCTCCATCACCACGGCGGGGTCACAAAAATTGGCAATACGGAAGAGAGATCCAGCTAGCGAGGGCGTGGCGAACATGTGTGCACGGAACAGAGTCGTGTCGACTAGACGGGCTTTGGAGTTGATAGCTGTCTCGAAATCATCGGGGAAATCAAGCAGCTTAAGGACGGAGTCGCTGGCCTCTTCTCCTGGCGTTGGTCTGTCCTTGAGAGAGCCATCCGGACTGAGGAAGCGCTGGAAGCGCCGGCGCACGTCGGCCAGATATCCCTGTAGCTCACGGACAGCCGATTTGAGGGTTTCTATTGAGTTGTCAATCACCCTGATCACAAAGAGATACGACATTACTTACTGTCCTCCCGGATACTGCTGGTTTCACTAATTTCATCTGTCTTCCTCAAAAAGGATATCACAGAACCCGCATATTGAGCACCCCCAGCAGCAACTTCAGAACCATCCTGAGAAGCAGCCCCATCACTCTCCACGGCCGAGAGCTCCCCCGCAATCAAACGCGGATAAAGCCGAATAACTGTCTCCGGTGGCGCCGAGATCTCGGTAAACAAATCCAACGCCTCGCGGTATTTATGAACTGCAAAAAGGCTCTGCGCCTTTTCCAGCTTTGCAGCACGCAGTCTGCCGGGTTTGTCCCGCAGCAGCGCATCTTCCAGCATATGAAGCAGGCTGATAGCTTCATCCAAATACCCATTCTCGATCAGCGAGTCAATCTGCGTGTCGTAGCTCAGAGCCTCCATGCGCCAGATGGTTCGATCGCTTGCAACAAGAAACCCTTTTCCTGCGTGCGCGAGACTGATGTTTGGTTGCGGGATGTGTAGGATTTTGGCAGCGGGCAAGGGGATAGATTGTAGCAATGTCAGTGTTTCCGGGTTGCGCACCTCAAGCACGCCCTTGGATGCATCGTGCAGGGCCAGAAGGAAGGGGTATGAGTATCCGAGCTCGGCGGGCGCATGGTTCCAGGGAATCTGTCTCCGGCCGAGCGATTGACCGTCCACGTCGACAAAGTGCGTATGGATATCTTTCACCAACAGAATCTCACCCTCACAGAGCCTTGTTGCCAGTGGCCTGGGAGCCATGCCTCCTATCCCGATATAGCTCATGCTCGCGGCCCCAACCCCCGTAAATCGGCCGGGCTCTTCGATACTCCCCGGTCCCGCCAGCTCGGTCACCTCCCCAGACTCGACATCAACTAGCACGAAACCCGAGGTCAACCCGACAACCATTCTCGTTCCCGACACCCAAGTAAGCATCTTAATCCCACTCGCAAGACTCAACTCCGAGACATGCGTTTCGAGCTCCATATCCCTCCACACCCACAACATCAGCTTCCTCTTAACAGGGACCGCCATCCTCGAAATAATAACAGGAATATCATCGGAATCAGTCACAACATTCGAGGTGATGGCAAACGTCCCCGCGCCCTTGGTCTGTGCAAGTTGCTCCTGCAGCTCATACGACTGCGCATCATGCAGGGCGACATACCCGCCGGCCAAGGAGACCAGTACCTCTGCCTCCTTGACCAGGGCCAGCTGATCGATCTTGGACCGGGCGAATTTTTCCTCTTCGCGTAGGAGGTCGGTGCTTTGGTCGTCATTTAGGCGGTAGATGCGGAGACTGCCATTGCTGAGGCCCGCGAGGAGTCGGTCGCCGTGGGCTAGGACGGCGGTGATTTGGGATCTATCGCGCGACTTCAGCTCGACGAGCGGCCGCGCGGTGAATGCGGATAACATGGTGGACGCCGCCGTGGTCAACCACGGCGCATTGGGTTGTGGATGAAGGAGCTTAGCTCGGAGGGGTGCATCATCGCCTGAGTCAGCACCAGCCACCCTCCAATTAGGGGCATACTACTACTATACGGAGATAATAACAATAAAATCAAGAATTGTGATATTGGTATCAGAAGACTTAATGCCCATGTTTGTCCATTTCCATTTCATATCGCCCAGCAGCAAGAGAGAAAACACCCCGACCTAGACGCCCAGAACCGCATGCAAACCCCAAATCCACCACGCAGGGCATTTACTTCCCACCCTCCTCCTTGGACTCGCCCTCCGCCGGAAACTCCTGGTGCTTCGCCGATGACCCTTTCCCTCTCCAAGTCGACACAGCTGGAATATCTGCCTTGAAGCGCTGCTCCTCCGTCCCATAAGCGCGGGGGGTGAGCTTGATCAGCGTGTGCAGCGGAACCTCCATCCAAGGGCTCTTCTCCTGGGGCACATTCATGAAATATGAATATATGCAGCGCAGAACAGCCTGGTGGGTTACAATGATAACGTTCTCGGAGCGCTCCAGCTCCATGATGATAGGTTCGAGACGGATCACCACGTCGCGGTAGGACTCGCCGCCGCGGTAGCGGTAGTTATACTTGTCCTCGTCGCGGGCGGCGAAGTCCTCGGGGTACTTCTCGGCGATTTCTTCGTAGGTCAGCCCGTCGCAGAGGCCAGAGTCTAGCTCGTCCAGCGCTTTCCATTCCAGCTTCTCGAAGCCGGTTTCGTTTTTCAGGTGGCGGGCTGTTTGGATCGTGCGTCGGAGGGTTGACGTCCAGATGACGATCTTCGTGTTTGGGGGGACGCCGGATTTGCGGAGGAGAGAGGGGAGGGCTCTCGCGTATCGCTCACCGCGCTCGGAGATGCAAGAGTCGCCGCCGATACGGCCTGTCAGGTTGAATTCGGACTCGCCGTGCTGAGTTCTTGTTAGTAGACATTCGTGATATATCAAATTAATACAACTTACACGAGACAGCCAGATCGAGCGAGGCTTGATGTGGAGATTCTGGATATAGTACACTAGGCGGCTGGAGAGGTAGTCCTTGATCTGGTTGATGATGACGGTGGAGCCAACGTTGATGAGCTTGACGTAGGTGAAGTGCTTCTCGTGATCGTCGATGGTCTCATAAGCCTTCTCATAGTTGCGTATGCGAGTGCGGAAGTCCAGCGCAGCAGCCTCAGGGTCCTGGCCCTTGTAGTCCGGGGAGGTCGTCTTGACCTCGAGGATATTAGTCATGATCAGGTCCTCGTCGTCGCAGATGGACTCGACAAAGAGAGTCTCGATGTCGGCCTGGCGGCACTTCTCATAGATCCATGCACGCCGCTCCTTGGTGGAGTTGGTCGCATCCAGGATGGCGACGACGCCCTTGCCGGACTGGAACCACCTGAGCATGTCGGACATGGCAGCCTCAACGGCGGCGCGGCGCATGCGCTCGCCTTCTTCGTTGTGAGGATCGAAGAAGGTGGCGGCAGGTTGGGGCGTGTTGTGACGGCGATAGCTGCCCACGTTGAAGACACGCGCTGGGATGCCCACCCAGCCCAGGTAACGCATGGCTGGAGGGCTGTCAGTATGATTTGAGCAGAGAATCAACAAGCACTTACCCTTGCCAGCAATGAGACTCTTGCCTCGAGCTGGTAGGCCAACCATCACCACACAGATTTTCGAGTCATCGGACTGGACACCAGCAGAGTCAATCTTTCTGTAAATCACAACCATGGGAAGAAGCACAAAGACATGAAAGAAGAGGACAGAGGAAGGGTATAATGCAGATGAAAGAGAGAAAAGAAAAGAGAGAAGAGATGAGGCTCATAATATGCTCTTTGCCAGCGCAACGTCAAGCCACGATGTCGCGTCTAGATGAGGCACTGCCGACATCATCCATACCATTAACCTGACCAGAAGGCTCGGCACGATCATCGCTGGCTGTGACTCTGGCATAGGACACAGTAGTGAAAGGCACCAGGATGACGATAATCATGACAATGCCGCTTGTTGCATACAAAGCAGACACGGGTGGAGAGTCATAGTGTTGACACACGACTCACCCCAATTCTTTGAGAGATGGGGAGACAATTGGAAGATAAAACATCACAATTGGATGTGTCCACACCACTATTGCCTTCCCACAGTAACAATTGGCATTGCCATCTTTGATCATGAAGTGTCGATGCCGCACACAGAACAGCCGAGGCATTCCATTCACGGTAATACATTGCACAGCACGAAACGCGGGGGAGGGGCAGAACACGAGAAAAAGAAAAAGACGCAACTCACACTAGCCACAAAGAACTTGTGCTGTTGCTGGCTCCGGGCGACACTGCCTGAGGGCTTGACGGCCGCCATGGTGTTGATTGATGTTATATAAGTGGGGAGAATTGAGAGGGGAGGGGAGAGAGAGAGAGAGAGAGAGAGAGAGAGAGAGGGAGGATGGGATTCCGACTAGGTCGGCACGACAGACACTCCGTCTAACATGAAAGAATCCGGGGGGTCGAATATAGAGGTAATAATAGGATATAGAGATCGAGGCGAGTGTGCGACGAAGAAGAAATAGCAATGCGGTGAAGAAGAGAATGAAATGAAGACGCCAACGTCATCCCCCAGACCTCGGGAAGTCCCGGTACCGGTTTCACCCTACTATTCACGACAGGGCAGGATTAGTGAGTTATAGCTAACATGGATGTATTAGTTATAGCTAACATGGATCTATTTTATCTATCATTTTTGGGTGCCGCCTAGAGCATACTAGTGATCTAGTTAGTCGGGCGGAGGGACAGGGGTCCTCCTATTCCGAGCTAGGTCGGTGGTTGAGCCTCTCTGGGGTAAGAATCGACGGGTTCCTTTTTCATAACTAGTAACCCATCCGTCACTCCTCACTCTCCTTACTGCTGTTATTCCCACCCCGGGCCCGCTGCACCCGCAGTGGTCCTCCCCAGGGTCCCTCGGCACCATTCAGCTCCTCCATCGCCCGCTGGGCTTCGTCCACGCTGCTGAGATCAACAAACAGATAGTAATGCTCGCCGGGCTCAAATCGCTTCGCCGGGTGCGGGGTGAATAGCTTGCTGACATTCTCCCTGCAAATCATTAGCACGTTGGTGGATTCCCAGGAAGAAAGAATCTGAACGTACACAGTGTATCCATTAAAGAAGCTCCGGATCTGGCTCTGCAGCGTCTCCAGTTCGCTGAGCCGCGGCAATCCTCCAACATACACTCGCTGGCTCGAGTCGCTGTTCATCTTAGCAAAACTGGTGTTCTCCTGCCGGCGCCAGCGATCTACAGTGCCCGAGGGAGAGGAAGTCGAAGGTGAGCGCGATTGTTGGTCCGCCGACGACCGGACCACGCCGGGCTTGATTCTCAGCGGACGACCGAGCAACTCCTTCGCATCCAGCTCGGCCATGGCCTTCTCAGCCTGCTCCTTGCTCTCCAGGTCGACGAAGCAGTATGACGGGTTCCGGCCGGTGAACGGGTCGAGGGCGATATCGATGCGCTCACTATTCAAGGGAAAAGTTTAGTTCCAGGAAGTAACCACCACCACCACGCTCAAGACCATGCATACATCGGGAACTGCGCGGCAGTGAAAAAGGCCTCCACGTCCTCCGCCTTGGCTGTGTACGGCATGTTGCCTACATACAAGCGCCGGCCCTCGGAAATGGCCTGCGGGACATGAGGAGCGGGCTTGCTGAAGGCGGCGCGGGAGGTGTTGGTGCGCGACGGCGAGGGCGACGAGGGTTGCGGGCTGTCGACGCTCTTCATGCGCCAGTTGGACGAGTTGAAGGCGCGACCATCGGTTCGGACGCCAGTCTGGAACGGCGATCGAGGCGCTGGATAGAGGCAGTGTTAGATTTTCTTATTCTGATGGGAGATGATGCAACGCACATTCTTGGGGGTTGACGGTGTCGGCCATGGTGATGCTGCTGCTGCTGCTGCTGATCAAGGATCACACACCAAGGAATAGATATCGAAATCGTAGGAGACTTTTCTTGCAGCCAACTCCAGAACCCGAAATAATAATCCCGCTCAACTTTTTTCCCCAAACAAACAGTGCAAATCATCCTCGCTCCACTTCAGCAAACAATTATTTAAGCCCGAAATTTTTTTTTCTTTTTTGTTTTCTTCTTCTCTTCCACAACAACAAAAAAGAGAAACCCCCAAAGAACTAACCACTCTGCCCTCCCTACCCATTGGTGGCCGAGAACCAGTGAAGTCATGCCGACCTCATCAGCCACTAGTGGCACTGGCCTTCCCTCCGTTCCTGTTCGGGTATACTAACACAAGACACACATCCCGCAACCAACAAAGGATGAGGGTATATCTAAGCCGACATGCGGAATGTGATCACAATGTGGGCCAGACAGCGTATGTTCCAACAACATACTCACCACTGACCCGATAGTGACTCATGTGATAATGATGCCAGCGGCGATGCCGACCACTCCGGCCTAACCGAGCTCGGTCAGACACAGGCTCAGCTACTGGCGCGGCATTTCCGCGACAATGATGTCCAGTTCACAGCCGTGTTCTCTTCGGACCTGGATCGCGCGACCGATACCGCGAGAATCCTCTGCGCACAGCAGCTAGGTACTGGTCCGGCTATGGAGCCCGTTCAGACGGAGATGCTGCAGGAACAGTTCATCGGGACTAAAATAGCAACTAACTCGTCGACGAGACGCGGCGCTGCAGCAGGGGGTGCATCAGATGAAGGATCTTCCCAACCCTCAGAAGAATCGATGTCCTCCATGCGCGCACGGGCGAATGGTTTTCTGCGTGACCACATCCTGCCCCTGATGACAGACCGGACGAGCGCAACTGACGCGGTAGCCGCTGTTGTCGCGCACGGGATCATCCTACAAGTCATATGGGCGTGTCTGGCCGACCTCTTCGACGCGAGTTCCTTCAACATAGCCCAGGAGATGGGCGGGGACGGAGATTACATGCATCCCGTGTGGTCAAACACCGGCGTCATGGAGCTGGATATTAGACCCAGTGGTCCGCCTCAGGAGATGGTGTGCCAGAATACAGTCCAGCCGATTGTTAACCCGCCCTGGGTTTTGACGCAGGCCGTGCAGCCTACTCCACCTGGTGGCAAGAATCCCCCGCTGAAGGGGTGGTCCGTTACCATTCTCTCGATGGATAGTTTGGATCATCTCGAAGCCGTGAGCGAGCAGGAGCTAAATCCCGCAAGATCGGGGAGGTTGGAGAGGGATGCCGTGCATGGGCCTAGGGAGGGGAGTATGGATGAGTTTTTTCGGTTGATGGGGACGGCCTGATTTGATACTGGCTACACTACATGGTACACTACATGGTAAGTCTTCTTTTTTACTTGGTTCTTGTTTTTGGGGGAGGTTGTCTCTATATGATGAAGCACGATTTCACACAGACCTGTTCTGAATCCTTCCGTGAGGATATATATTTCATGTTCAACTGCTATCTGATTGAGACTATTGTTACTTTTGTTTTGCTACATTGCATTGCACCCCGTGGTGTTCTTTGCTAACTCGTACAAGGTTGCAGGGTACATCATCAAATAGGTTTCAGATAGATGTTTAGTTCATAGTGTGATAGATGTTCAATCCATTGTTCGCACTCGACCCTACCTCACTAAATGCCTCATCTCATATCTGCGCAAGTATTTCTAGGACACATTGAATCATTTCTGAAAGTATATACAACCTTGAATCTATACTCCTTTGTATAAACACCCAATGCCAAATCAAATCCAACCCAAACTCCTTGCTAGAAATAAACACAAAATTCCTCAACTCCCAAATCAAGCCTGAAACCCCAAATCCTGCACAGGCACCATCTCTTCCTTCTCATATAAAATCTCGGGCTTAACACTCCTCCTTAGCAAATACCTCTTCACAAAATACGGAATCTGACGCAACCCATACTTAGCATGGAACCTCGTCGGGACCGAAAACACCTGATCCAACTCCTCAAGCGTCTTTCCCTTCGTCTCAGGCAGGAACATAAGAATCAGCCACCATCCGACAATATTCCACGCCGCATACCAGCAGAACGCACCAGTGGGCGTGAACGCATTACGCAGCGAGGGCCACGTAACCCCCAACAGGAAATTGAAGAGCCACGTCGTGGCCGTTGCGAGTGCCATCCCGTACGAGCGCACGTAGAGCGGATATGCCTCTGCGGAGTAGGTAAAGGGGACGGGACCCTCGCCAGGGGAGTAAACGATCCCGAAGAGGTAGGTTCCCAGTGCGATGCAGCCGATGCGAGCGGAGTGGCTGCTCTCGGGAATGTAGAAGCTGAATCCTGTGAAGAACATGGCTAGCGCCATTAGGGGGAAGGTTGTTAGGAGGAGGTTGCGGCGACCGAAGGTGTCAATTGTGTAGAATGCCGGTAGGGCGAAGAGCCAGTTGATTACCCCCCAGCCTAGTGAGGCCGAGAAGGCGGCCATTGGAGAGAAGTTGGCTTCGAGGAAGATTTCGGAGGAGTAGTAGGCTATTACGTTGACGCCGCAGAACTGGAGTGTGGTTATTAGTCGGGGGTGTTGTTGGGTTGGGGGACATGGGTCACTCACCTGCTGCATGAACATGACAATCTCCGATGCTAACATCGCGCGCCGGTTCCGGGGAACAGTAATCATCTCGATGATCTTGTTCTGACCCAGTTTCATGGAATTCTCCGCTTCGAGCAATGTATGCATGTAGTATAGATCACGAGCAGCCTGGATCTTATGATGGCGCAAGGTCCGCATAGACTCGTAAGCCTTGTAGTATCGTTTCTGACCCATATACCAGCGCGGCGACTCCGGGCAGAGGAAAACAAAGCAGCACACGACCAGTGCGGGAAACATGGCCGAGGCCATCATGAGCCGCCAGTTCAAGCCGACAATGCCTGGTATATCTGCCACCTGGAAAAACATCAGGTCGGCGGCGTAGCCCAGAAAGATCCCAAATGCCGTCCACACCTGCCATTGCATGACCAAGGCACCACGGATGGCTGGCGGTGCCGTCTCTGCTGCGTACACAGGCACAGTACTCGACTTCGGACCGATACCGAGACCGAGCATGAATCGTGCCAGCAGCATGTGCCACCATGTGTTGACGAAGCCTTGCCACAGACAAGTGATGGCCGAGAAGCAGCATGTAAGAAATATCGTTCCTCGACGACCGAAGTAGTGGTTGAATGGGACTGTGAGCCAGGAACCGAGGACGGCACAGCAGAGATACGGAGCGGCGTTGACCAAACCAGCCAGCCACGATGACCTGGATCCGTTGTCTGCGATTCCGAATTGGGGTTTGTAGAAAATCTGGGCACCGTTGACAACCGTCTCATCTATATATATGCATGTCATGTTTAGTGGATATCTTGGAATAAATCTACCGTGCTGGGTTGTATAAGGACGGCACATACCCATTCCCTGCACGGCGGCGCTGAGCGAACACAACGCCACAACCGCATACATCTTCCACGGCTGCGACCAGCGATGCGCAAACTCACGCCGCAGCAGCTCCTTCTCCGGAGCCGTCAGTCCCTCGACAGTAGCATACCGTTCCGGCGCCTGCGCGAGCACAGCGCCCAGCTCAAACGCGCGAATATCTGACGTATCGCCCATCTCGTGCATGATGGCAAAATTGCGGCCCTGGGTGCGCAGCTCCGAGGCCGTGAAGCCGGCGAGCGGATTGGAGAGTTTGGCGTTGAGATTGCGTCGCGCGCGCTCGGCGGCCGTGCCCCATGTGCGCTGGGGCACGAAGGGTTCGCGCGGAAAGTCGGTGATGTTCTCTCTTTCTTCGAAGACGGGGTCGCCCAGGAGCCCTTCGACTTTGATGGACATGTTTAACGGAAAGACTGACCGGGCTGAGGCACGCACCGGCCAGATGAAAAAGAGAGAGATAAAAAAAGAAGATGCTGAAGGGAAGGCCAGATGTGTGCGAAGACTGAGAAAAGAGCAGAGATGTCACAGACACATAGGGCCAGTCTCGAAGCCTTGGTAACTAGCCTTGCGAACAAATTACCTCAGCTCGGGCAGATCGGCTCCCCACGAGGCCCACGAGTGGACTACCCGGCCGGGGGTTAGGGCAATCGTAATGGGGGCCAAGCTCAGTTTTTAGAAAAGTGATTGGGCGGAGTGATCGCAACCTGGCGCAGGCGGGTCAGGGTTGCGTGAGGATCAATTAAGTGATTGGCGAGGATATGTATGCGTCCCGTGTAGGCCTTGAAGTGAGTGCAGTAGTCTTGAGGCGGTGCAGACAGCGACAACGAGAATTTCTCGCCCGACGCCCGGGTGAGATGGACGACCAAAACGACCACCCCAGGAGACGTGGTGGCGTCGCGAATGATTGTAATAACCAGGGACAAAGTCAAAGGGTTGGGGGCGAAGCGTGGCTGCCAGGTCGATTGAACAGTGGACGAAAGGGGAAAACGGATTGATCCTTCGGTTCCTTCGCTTTAAGACTTACCCCGGATTGGCCTTACGGTGGATATCCTGACTAGATTAAAAGTAGCTAAAATGGCCATTCTGAGTTAGGTAGGTTGGACCCGAGCCCCAACTAGAAATATTTTTAGAGATGGCGTTGGAGGCATTATCGGGGCCAAACCCTTGCAGAGCAGTACAAAGTAGCCAGCCCTAACTTCATGCCACATGGCATGATCGACTATCCCTTGATGGGACTACGTGAAACAGACTCCAAGCGATGCCCCCGGCTGGACCCAGAGAGACCAGCGATTGGGCTTGTACAGGCACTCAAGACTGCACGTTACTTCCTTCTCGGTAAATTTCACGTCCTAAATCCTGAAACACCTGGGACCTGTTCAGACGGTCCCTACAGTTATATCAACTAAAAATAATATCGAGCATCTGATTGGGACACGAGAATGAATTGCGAACTTTTCAATACTAGATTATCCCAAACCGAATGTATATAAGAAGAATAAAAGACGTGTTAGTACATATGCCTCCGCTCGAGGACGAAACCAGCATCCCCGCACTGATCTGGACTCCGAGAAAGAACCCCCCCGCTTATCGCTTAAACCACTCCGCTTAGGTCATTTGGGGCGGCGCCATCGGTCGGCCTCCGTCCGAATCGCCGAGAGCGCCCTGGAGAGGGACAACACTGAAATTCGCTCGCGTGACGCAAGCGCTCTTTAGGATTCCAGATCATTACGATAAAGCATTTGACCCGTTCGAGAACCTTACAACTCTCCTGTTGCTTTGCAATATAGACAATTCGCTCGTACAAAAGATACAATTGTAACCTAACGTATTATTTCTACCGCGGAAAAACGAAGGCCGCAGAAAGGCCCTTGGGTGCAGCTTTCCTAACACTCTCAATCATGGTATAATCTCTCTTTGTCCTTGTTTGACGCATCGTCAGAATTAATATGATATCTTGAATGGCTATTTTAAAGATGCGAGGTGTGATTGCTCGCTAACCAAAAGCGCTCAGCGATACCATGGAGTTTGAATCACAGATTACCAATTTCCCATACTCCTGTATAAGGATTTTCACGATCCTGAAACTGGAAAAATGGATCATGCATAATGTCCATGAAAGATACATCGCCGAGAAGTCCAGATCCCGACCATGCGAACGGCTCGCGCAGCGGCAACTGTTCTGGGTCATTTTCAAATGGGTCCGCATTATGCTGGCCCCAAGGCTCATCTTCCAAATTCTCAGAATCGGCTCGTCCATGTAATGTACTCGAGCATGGCGGCAGCGCTTGGCCTCCATCCGATGTGTCGACCGCTGTTGCGGAATGGTGGAATATCTCGGTTTCAACTGTCATCTGTCCGCGATGCTGTTTTCCAAGGGGCCGCAAAAATGACGCATCAAAGAGACTTTCTCCCGGAGAATCGTATGGACTCTTGGGAGATTTATGACAAAGAATATCCCACATCAATGCCGTATCTATCGACAAAGTCCTTCGAGGCTGGCGACCATCACTTGTTGTAAGTGGACTGACGGCAAATGCTGATCGAATGAGTTTCTGAATTTTTTGATGCTGAATTGATCTTTTAGTAGCCTGGTATGTAAAGCGGTCAATTCACACTCACTATTGCTTGTATTCTTGGCCATCTGGGCGCTAAATCGCTCAGAAATCTCGTACAAGTCTCTAGCTTCCGTTGAGAAGACTCTCGCACGGCGGGATCCGCAGCGCGGCAGTAATAAATGTGAATAGTGGCTGCGATCGCCACCGCATGACCAAGGAAATGGTCAGACAATTGATACCCCTTCTCGACAATCATGTCAATGAGGCGAACAGTCCACGTCGTGTGAATAAGCGCAAGCTCCGATGATGTCTTCCAGAATGTGTTTGGTACTGCAAGTTGGGCAGACTGTTGAGGTCGCCAAGAATAAAGAAAAGGGTGATTGATGACACTGTGTACAGCGTGATAGGTGAACTGAAGGTATAGCCAAGGACTCCAGTACCCACGATCGCTATTCAGTTCTTCTGGCGACTGTTCCTGAAACCTTGCTGAATCGTATCGATGAGAGGTAGGAAAGTTCGTCTCAATGTCCATCAGATGGGCGCCAATGATACAATAGCCAGAGTTCACCGACCATGGTGGTGTGGTATCTCCGCTAGCGCAATGGGAAACATAATGCTGTACTTCACTCCAAAGAGTCGATAACTGCACCATGTAAATCCATATGCCTCCTCTCGATGTGAAGGCTCCATTCTCTTGAGGAGCCTGAGGAGGCTTCGCTCCCATTTCGCGTGGAGAGTCCGTGTTAGCAGCCATGTACTTCGGGCTATGGATATCTTGTAGCATGTTTATATGCATGTTGTGCGGAGCGTATTGCTGGTTGAGAAGATGGATGCTCCAAAAAACTCTTCTTCGTTCTTCTAATTCAGGCAAAACTTCACCCTCGTGCAGCTCAATGTCAATTCCTGCACACTTAGCGAGGTCTGTTGCAAGACCGATGTGTAGTCTCGCAAGGTGAGTGTCATTGGCTAGGAACCCAAGTCAGCAAGACACCGTCATTTCAGGAGAAATCCTCACCAATGTATTCAGCCAGTGCAATCAGACAAAAGCTCTGTAATGTTGAGAGATTCACAGTGCCTTGGGCGATTCGGAACATGGCATAGCTGCGAGCGGCCTCGGCGTATTGGCGGCACATTTGGTCCGTTCGCCCTTCCAGAAAGGGATTATTTGAGTAACGCAGGGCAAGACTGAGTATGCCAAATACTACCTCGTTTCGACATTTTGCAGGGACGGCAAGATCGTCTGGGTGAAAAAGCCACAGGGGTTGCTTGTGGCAGTAATAGAAATAGAGGGCAATACCCTCCGTAATGATCTCTTTAGGTGGCATTGCAAAAGAACGTGTATTTGCACTTTGCATGGAAACCTCACCACTCGGCCTTCTTGGCATGGTAGGTATTTCCTGCTTATCACTTGATTCCAATGTATTTTCACGGCTATGAAGGCGACGAGAGTGCGACTTGGGAGTGTCAACTTGGCGATTTGATCTGTGATAATTAGCAGTGACAAAATAATCCAGAAATGGCACTTCGCACATTGGCCCTTCCAGCATCAGTTCCATCTTCTCTTCCAGTTGCAGCAATCGGTCTTCCTGTTAGAGGTTAGCTTTTCTCTCCTTATTTGTTTAAAATAAAGACTGTACCAAAACCCGATCGCCCCCATGAGACCTCTGCAGCGCGTCATAAGCTCTATTATACTGACATGTTTGTTGGAGGCGTGTGCAAGTTGAGCACGCCGGTCGCTCCCCTGGACATCGGGTCTTTTTTCGTCTGCAGATAGTTAATGCACGATTCGCTTTACAGATGGCTGGTACTGAAGGCCGCAACTCACCTGCAGTTTTCGCAGGCTTGATGTGATCTCTTGCTAATACGAGTATTCATTAGGAATGGCTGCGACATTTCAGAAAGACCGAGAGAAACAACAGTCTGCTGATTCTCTAGGGCATTTAGGAGTCGAAGGAGCGCGGGGCTATCATCGGACTACAACGGCCCATAGGTACGATAGCACGAGGGGACGGTCCACTACTGACCCACGCAGGAAAACCATGCCATAAGCGGAAACTGATGACCTAACTTGGCCGGTGAACTACTCGGCGGTTCTTGGGGGCTTGACATGATAAGTACTGCACACGAGTCTTGGAATAAAACACCTTGGTTTCCCAAGGCTGTATCACCTCTCCTTGATGAGCCTCCATTGTTCGCTCCCCATGTTGAAAGCGAACGGTGGGTGTTGGGCTATAGCACTGACATAATTCAATATGGATATGACACAAAACTATCTGAGGACAGTTATTGAAATAGATTACAACCATTTTGAAGTTACCATTCCAGAGGAGAGAGTTGACCAGTGACAAGACAAACACCCAGCATTACAGGATGTCCTCGTCAAGAACTCTCTTGAAGAGAGAATCCATGTATTCAAAGCCCTGACTCGAGGCGTCATGTCGGAATAAGCAACATTGCAGCGGTAGATTGATTGTAATTGTAGTTGCCGTTCGTACGCCATGTGTGGTCGAGTTTGTACTGGGAGAAGTTGGACTTCGAGTTTCATTCAAATCCAAATTTATTCCAAGCCTCTGGTCACACGACAAGTTACTGAAATCGCGATGATAAGCCTGAAAGCCCCGAATAGTATTGATCTGGCTCGGAACGAGACCGACGGCGACCCCGCCGTGCCATTGTGATCGTAGACGCCTCTGCAACTTCCGGTCAGTGCGTTTAACAAGGATTGTGCGCGGCCAGCTTTACGACACTGGCTTGCCCAGCGGCGTTCCTTCCCGGTCATGTGGCCGTTAGCTGCTCCACAGTGAGAGTCACATGAGCGGACTGGTCTCCATGTATGAATTATACTATAACAAGGATCATAGGTACCTCTCATGGGCAGAATTGTCAATTGTCACCTCGGGCAAACTTTCAGAGACGAAGATGGATCAATTTGACGTAGTGGTCATCGGCCTCGGTGTCCTCGGCAGCGCAGCATCCTACCACACCGCTCTTAAAGGCGCCAAAGTTCTCGGCCTAGAACAATTCGAACTAGGACATGTCCATGGCGCGTCACACGATACATCACGTATTGTGCGAACCTCAAATCCCGCTCCTGAGTATGTGGCCCTCGCAAAATCCGCGTATAAGGACTGGGCAGTATTGGAAAAGGCCACCGATCAGAAATTGTTAAGTATCACCGGAGGAGTTGTTTTCTTCCCTAAAGATGACAAACTCCCAACAATGAGGGTGGGTGACTTTACGAAGAGCCTGGACACGAACAATGTTCCGTATGAACTTCTCGATGCACAAGAGGTGAAGAGAAGATGGCCGCAGTTTGATATTGAAGATAGTGTGGAGGCAGTTTATACGGCCGATACGGGGATTGCACATGCGAATAAGACGGTTTCTGCGATGCAGCATCTTGCTCGATTACACGGTGCCATTCTCAAAGAAAATACCCGAGTCGAGCGTGTAGTGCCTCAGCCCTCCGGGGGAGTCGAGATTGATACGTCTAAAGGGAAGTTCCATGCACGCAAGGTGATTCTCACTACGGACGCATGGACAAATAAACTCCTTGATCCCCTTGGAGTTCATATTCCTCTTTCCGTGATGCAAGAGCAAGTGACATACTTCAAGCCAACAAACCCCTCAGCCTTCAAATCTGACGATTTCCCTGTGTGGATCTGGGGCGGCGAGACCGGTTTCTACGGATTCCCTTGTTACGGTGAACCGACTATCAAGGCGGCTCGCGATACATCGAAAAATTTCATGACGCCCGAAGAGAGGACATACGTGCCCTCACCACAGTTGCTTCAGCAGCTGACTTCGTTCATGGATAAGACTATGCCTGATAAGGGACGCCAAGCACTAAGGACCATTACTTGTCAATACTCAATCACGCCGGATCGACAATTTATCATTAGTCCGCTAGAGAAGCATAAGGATGTTATTGTTGGACTAGGTGCTGCCCATGCTTTCAAATTCGCGCCGGCTTTTGGGAGGGTCCTTGCTGAATTGGCTGTTGATGGGAGGACTGGGGAGGATATTTCCAAGTTTGGAATTCCAAAGAGTGCTAGTAATACTAGCAAGTTGTGATGTTGAATAATAATGCATACTGTGGAAAGGCAGCCAATGTCCGTTATGCCTCGAGGCTATTATATTGTCCTAAAATCACTGCAAGTGGAGAAAAACAACATAGAATAACAGCCTATAGAGCAGCGCCAACTGGCTGCGTAAATGCAGTAGGTACATACAACGTACAGTTACAATTGGGCGCGCATAGAACAGTCTAAACCCCACACAAGAGTCAACTCCGACCCTAACTCCCTGACATCCAACTGCACACGATGCCTAGAGAGGAAAGGTACAAATGAATGAAGGTGCTAGTTACGAGAGAAACGTAATAATAACGTAAGTGCGGAAAGAAATGAAAGCAAAATCATCAGGGATCGCACATGCACAGTGAAAATTAAAGAAATTAAGACTAGAAAAGTTGGAATTTTCTTCGATTGCCTCTAAGCTATATTAAAAATCAAAAACAAGCTCTCATAGATCAAGTCTTCCAAGTGGCACTCCAGTTGGCATCTTGAAACGGCCAACCGCCAAGCCCAATGCTAAGCAGACCACTGGTTTCGATCTCCTCCGCCTTTGCCTTAAGCTCATCAACATCCCAGTTGGCCCACAGAAATTTGCCTTTCAAGAACTGAGCCTCCCGGCTAGCAAGCCAGACATTAAAGTTCGCCGGTAGAGAAACTAAGCTAATGTTAGTCTATCGACAATTCCCTCAGCCGTGATCACACTTACCATGGTCTTCGATACCTGTAGCTTTGACACCTCCCGCTTCCTTGTTCATGTCCGTGTCCACTATACCGGGCTGGATATGGAAGATGCTAAGGTTTGGGTTCCCGACAGCCAGAGAATCCCAAAGTCGGAATACCGCTAGTTTGGCGACGTTGTATGCAGAAAACCCATTACCGAAATTCACATGGGCAGCAGATGAATTGATGTCGATTGCGACGGCATGGGGAGATGCATGGTGGAGGAAGGCCTGTGCGACGTGCAAAGATCCACGGAGGTTTTGTAAGATAGCGTCAAGAAACTTCTCACTGTCTACGTCCCCGACAGGATCCTGGGGGCCGATCATGGCCGCACCGCTGACCAGAACGTCGATTTTTCCGCCACTAGTGAACTCTGCAAATGTGGTGTTGACTTTTCTCTTGTCTGTGACATCAGCAGAGGCCACAAATACCTCGACATGGGCGAACTTCTGTTGGATCGATGCTTTGGTGGCGAGGAGGGGCGCTTCTCGGCGGCCAAGAAGAGCGATTCGAGAAGCACCTGCAACTGCGAAGGCCATGGCTGTCTCTGCACCAATCCCAGTGCCGCCTCCAGTCACTAGTACTGTCTTGCCTTTGGCGGAAAGCTCTGGACGGGTGGGAGAAATGGATGAGTAGCTCTCTGTGTGCCATGTCGAAGTTGGGGATGGAAAAGGTGCCATTTTGTTTGTAATATAAGTCAATGGATGAATCTATGTGAAAGAATGAATGGGATGTTGAAGTGAAATCGCCTATTCGGACGGAAGACGGCCATATTTAAGTATGGACTCTGCAACTCGGGGACGGAGTTGTACATTTTGAAGGGCAGGTATGGTCATCCCGATAGGAAGATTCCACATTGGTTTAGTGACTGGGACTGTAGACTGGTTGTTCTTAGCTAAATTACTCATCACAGGACTCCCGGCAGTCCATACTCGGCATTTACAAAATGTCCCGCCCGAGCTGACAAATGCCGATCGAGATCGACTAGCCCCGGCGAAGAATCCCAGGCCATCGGCATACCTGGTGGTATAGCACTTCTCAATACATCTGTCTAATTTAAAATGTCCGAAAAAGACACCGTGTCCGTTTTGCGGTGCGGAGATTGCAATAAACCTTTCAACAAAGGTAAGTTGTGCTTCTACATAGTACTCTGCAACAGCGGGTTCTTATTAACGGGACGCGTTTTAGAATCTACGCTGAAGAGACACGGATACTACTGTCGGTCTCGACGAACCAGTAGTACTCTGAAGCCCCGATCATGTCTCTCTTGTGCCAAACGGAAGATACGCTGCGACAAGACGCAACCTCAATGCTTTAGGTGCGAAGTCAAAGGCGTCGAATGTCACTATGTCACAAGGCTGGCCAAACCTACAAGGAGAAACCCTCAAACTAGCCATAAGCTGTCAACTGCAAAAACGAGTAATGCGGGCCCGACTCCTTTCTCTCGCATGAGCTTTTACAATCATCCTGGCACCAATAATGATGATGACACAACTCGCGATAGTTCGCTTGTCACATCGGGAAATCAATTCACGGGCATTGAAGGGGATGATCTCAATTGGGATAACACTCAAATCGATTTCAGCAACTTTTTGAATCCGGAATTCAACGAGAGTATCCAGGAACCATCATACCTGTGGGCACAGACTGATTACCCAGCGTCAACCTCTATGCTTGATCAAGTACAATCTATCAATTGCTTCATACCTCCACAACCAACTTCGAATCCTCGATCCCTTAATCAGCGGCCCAAGACAAGACCTGCTACACAAAGAATCACAACTCTCATCCAGCATACTCTGAAATCCTATCTTCTGACGATGCTGCGCCATAACTCCCTTCCACCATTTATCCACTCAGGCCTAGCATCAACAACATTAGAAATGGAGCCGCTAGGCAACTGCATCAGTCTGGTGTATATGATCAGCAGCGGAACAAGAGAAAGCCGCAAGCTGTTTTGGAGAAATGTGCGGATGGAATGTGAGCGATTATGCAGCGAGGTAAGTCGAACCTACCATGGATCGATGAAACTCGAAAATAGCTAATTGTTCGATTTGACGTTTAGTGTGGGGGGTTTACAAATTGGGGCTTACTTGCTTCCATGCAAGCTATGTCTATTTACATCCTGTTTAGGTTGGATGAAGGCGAGACAGAGCACAATGATTTCGATTCGCTGCTGCTTGCAACAGTCACAGTAAGTCTAGATCTCATTTTATTTCTATTGTCATATTATCCTGGATATCTAATGATATTCTACAGATTATAGCCCAGCAACTCATCCAAAAGGATATCGCAAGCAACTTCAGCCTCGAACGAAGCTGGAAGGATTGGCTTTATGAGGAATCAAGACGAAGACTCGCAGTCATATATGGAATCGTAAATATGCTGGTCTATTTCGACCCTGCAACGAAGTGCAACCTGCCCTCAGACCTAATCTTGGCACCACTTCCGGCTAAGAAAGAGCTTTGGGAGGCAGGTGATGAGCAGGTTTGGAACTCGGAGAGCGAGAAAAATACCGGGGCAAGATTTGACTTTGGATTGGCAAAGAACGGAGGGCTTGTTCGATTAGGCGATGGTGCTCAGGATGCTATGCTGGTCCATACGGCCATCACTTCCGAAAGTCCGTCAAGAACAAGTGTAAGTTGGGAAGAATGGTGTACTGGGATGGATGGATTTGGGGGCCTTGTTATGCTTGCTGCTTCTTTGGTAGTAGAGTAATTTTGTTTATAAGACGCAACCCTCGGATACAACAGTCTCGTTAAGAAGTAATGTTGTTTGTTAAATATAGCTTCTTCTACCTGGGTGCTTCAATATTAATATGTTGTAATTCTCACACCTTTTCCTCTTGCTGGATATCGGAAGGACTATTGTTTCATTCGTCTGTCTCAAAGTCAGTTAACCTATTATGTCAGAAATTCTTCGAAAATCTTCATGATGAGCTAAATGCGTTCACCCCTATAGCATAAGATAGCAGATCTATCGTCAAAGTAATCATAAGGTCTTATTTATTGCTATTGTTCAAGACAGAGCATAGCTAAGCATATATATGTAAAACGCATCTCCAGCCTGATGTGTTTCGTCAGAAGACGACCAGGACGGCGGTTCCAATTTCCGCTTCAAAATGTTGTTCAAAGTGTCTCCCATCAGCTGGATCGTCATCTCACAGAGAACATTCATAAACGCCAGAAAGCTACGATAAAGGAATGACGAATTTCAAAGAAATACTAAAATTTCACCACTTCAGAGCTGCGCAACTCTCTTCCTCGCATGCAAGACCAGAGCAGAAAGCAACGTCCTCCTCAGTAGCACCAAATCCGGTCACATCGGGACTGGCGGGCCATATTTCCTTCTTTTCCTGCTTTTCTCTCGCCTGATGGCTCGTTAACAGGTCTCGTACTAGCTTTTGAATATAAAGTGGCCCACTTTCAAGCTCTGGATGTAACTGCCCATTGACGAAGACACCAGCATTAAGGTTTCGTTGTGCTCCCTCGCATAGGTCCTTGTCTTCTTTCAATACGCGCTTGAAAAAGCTATCAACATACTCGAACTCATCGTCTGTTGCATTTACATGCCGGTATACTTCATATTCCATTGAGCACGAGCTTGCGGAAGTTGGCACACAGCGCATGAGATAAAAGAAATGTGGCCTGACTGCAATGTAAGCGATAGCTCTTTCTTAGTACAGAAACGGGACTCACGAGACCGTCATGCAAGAGTTTGGAAAATAAAAAGTGCTGCAATTTTTGACATCCGAATCTTCTTTTCCTTCCTTGGGTGTGTAGAAATGCTGAACATGACCAGCTTTGGAAATCGTGGAGTATAATGACAGATCAGCCACGTTTGCAACATCTGGATGCGCCACTGTGCAATGGTAGCACTCGTTGTAGTTATCTGCCAGGGCCTTCCAGTTATAATCTCCATGCATATTCCAGGTATGGTCGAACTTGTACTGGGTGAAGTCAAACCGATCGAATCGCTCTTGTGTATCAACTTCGTCGAAATCCTCCTCCCAGGAAACAGTGGGGCTTGGGGCTGCTTCAAGATTGACCCATACAAACCCTATTTTGTCGATGTGCACATGCACGGGGAGAAGCCCATGTTGCTCCTTATTGAAACCAGCCAGTTTGTCGAATCTGGGCGCTTTTGCCAATTTTCCGTTAAGACCGTATGACCAGCCATGATATTTGCACGAGAATATTTTGGCATTTCCCTCAACTTCTGTTACCACTGGATACGCGCGATGTCGACAGATATTATGGAAACCATTCAGGTTTCCATCGCGGTTGAGGCACAGGATGAAGGAGAATCCGGCCTGTTGAAAAAGGAAGAAGTCCCCAGGGTTCGCGAACCGCATTTTGTGCGTGATAAGCAACCATTTTTTGGAGAAAATAGCGCGACGCTCGAGCTCATACAATGATGGTGAACGATACCATGAAGACGGGAGCGCTCGAAATTCAGCACTCTGTCGTCTGGGTGTATCTTCCTCCGTTTTGCTTGCGGTGCCACGACCAATGAGCCATTTGACTGAAGATGCCATTTTCCTTTCGTTACTTAGGTGTTGAGGACTCCAAGGATCAAATCAGATATTCAGGCCAGGGTTTCCGGTCGAATTTGTTGTTTGAATTCACACCTGAATTGTTTTTTCAATGGATTCAATATATAGTTCAAAGCTTCGGACCACTCTACGGAACGCCGCTCAGTGGAAGCTTCCTATCCTACTTCAGGGAAATTTGGCCTCAACATGGACAAACGGAAGGGCTTTCCGTGTGCTCATGGGATCCTAAACGGTCCGTAGGGCTCGTTCGGGGCTGATAACGGAGTAACCGGAGAAGACGTCCTGATTTCCGGTCACATGAGCGCGCTTACTCCGTGATTAAATATTCTCGGGGGCGGGCTTCATTCCGGTCTAAATCTGCTTCCAATCGGCCTCTATCTTTATCCCGTTCTTTCGAGAGATATTCAGTCCCCTGTCATTCCTTCGTTATCTCGCAAGTCATGGCCTTCAGTTACCCCGCGCCTTCTCCGCACGCCATGGTTATAAGGAATGTGCTTGGGAAACATAGAACAATTAGTTATACTGCTAGATTCTCATCAAGCAAGACGAGAGAGATATTGTCATCACAGAATCGCTCGAACATACACTGCACAGAACAATACCAGCTGGAAGTTCTTACCGAGATTTGCTCAGCCTCTAATCAGCATGTCTTCCAACAGCGGTAATGAACTAAGCGATGCCCAACCGACAAAAGACAAAGATGATAAGGCAACTGACAAAGCTATTGAACACATCGATCTGGGAGAAATGACCACAGAAGGGGTTGCTCCTGACCGATTTGAGGACAAGTTTCGCGCCACTAAGTGGGAGATCTGGGCATACTACGCGTAGGTAATCAGTATTGTCGCTCGGATAAGACTGACCCGCTATCAAAGTTATTATATTGGGGCCAATGGATTATCTCTATTCAGTATGTTTATTATTTGCCATATATATATATGGCAATCCAGGACGAATTAATAAGAATTTCAAGATTTTGCACCCTCTGCCTTTCAAAATCTTCTCGGCCAAGCTCAAGGGAACAGCTCAGTCTTATTGTTTTGGGGCAAAAGACGCTCCATCAACAGTATTGTTCTTCTCTGCAACGGTATCTCATTTACTTTACAGATTGTTGTATTCTTGACCATAGGTAGCTTTGCGGATTTTGGGACTTGGAGACCCAATATTCTCTTATTTCTCTCGGTGGTTGCATACGCAGTGGGATTTGCTTGGCTGGGAGTCTTCACAGAAACGAAGCGACATCTTGCGGCAGCGTTATATATTATCGGATTGATTGCTTATCAGACTACGTTGACATTCTGGACTGCTGCATTCCCAGGTCTAGCACGAAACACTGCTGACCTGAAAAGCAAAGCAGAGGAATATGCCGCAGGGACTATCTCCCGTGACGAATATGATCACGCAGATATGATGAAGCGTAGTCAATTGGCAAATATTGCGTTCTACATACAGTCTGTCGGTGAGACTTTTATTCTCGCCGCGATCGTGGGTATCATGTTCGGATTACATGTGGATGCTAATACTGCAAACAACAACTGGGGTCTAAGTGTTCTAATTGCATTCGCAACCGGTATATGGCTCTTACTCTCCATTCCTTGGTTCATGTTGGAAAAAAGGAGACCTGGGCAGGATCCAGGCGAACAAAACATCATTATTGTGGGGCTTTCCCAACTATGGTATGCGGCGAAACAGGTCTGGCAGCTGAAGCAGAGCTTAATATACCTCATCGGTAAGATCAAATCAGACTAAGTTGAGATGAAGGATACTAATTCAGATTCGTTGCGTCTGAAGGTTACTTCCTCCTGGGCGACTCTTTGAATACCACCGTTACTTTAATAAGTACTTTACAGAATGATGCTGTGTCTTTCAATACCCTGCATCTGACATATCTACTTCTTGTTGGGATCACTTCACAGGTAAGTCCGGACCTTCACATTAGAGACATGGTCAGATCCGGACTAACGTTGACAGGCGGTTGGCATATATACGTTCTGGTGGATTCAACAAAGGTATCGACTTGGAACAAAAGCCATGTTCAGTGTGATAGCATTCTGCATCATTCTTCTCGATGGCTGGGGAATGATTGGAATTTGGACAGATAATTTCGGCTTCCATCATGCTTGGGAATTTTGGGTAAGCACGCCTTCACATCTTCAAATTGTACATGCAATGGCAGCTTCTTGAAAAAAAAAACACTACAAGTCACTGATATAAAGAGATTCACATAGCTTTATCAGGCTTTCTATGGCCTTTTTGTCTGCCCTTGGTACAGTTATTCGCAAATCATGATCTCGGAGGTTACCCCTCGTGGCCACGAATTCCTTTTTTTCAGCATTTTCGGCATTATTGGGAAAACTTCTTCATTCATTGGACCACTTATTTCCAGTGCCATTATTGACGCTTCGCTTAACAATAACCCTTCCACACCTTTCTACTTCCTTTTTTCGTTGAGCGCAGTAAGCTTTGGAATTTTGGTCGTTGGAGTGGATTTAAAGAAAAGCCGCGTGGAGCAAGAGAGATATCTGCTAAAAAAGCGATGCAGAGAACATGGTCTTGGTACCGAATTTTGATAAAATAGAAATCAATTCAAGCTTTAGTGCCAGACCTTGATATCTGCTTCCAGAGCATGTTGTGTATGGTGAATTGCAAGTCCAAAAATTCTTTTTATGAGGTTGAAAGCTAGTGAAAATTAAAATGAGAATACATATCCCTTATCTCACAAACATACATCGGAATAACGTGCTGTTTGGGACTGATAGCTTGCAGGACCTGTCAACATTTTAGTCACAAGGCGCTACATAATCTGATCACCATTCTACAATGGCCTTTATCACGTCAGTAAGATTGTGCTAATAGGAATACAAGCTCTTTGTTTCATTGGACAATTCATACTTATCACTTCGGTGACGGCTGGAAAACCTCTACTTCGGAGAAGTGTCAATACTTCCGTCCACGTGAGCGGAGAAGAGGTTCTATAGTCTAGGCCTAGTCTTTTGTTGTGGAGAGGGGCCGTGACGTTTCGAACTATTTAGCAAAATATAACGCCAATTTAGGTCTTACACTATATATCAGTTTCAAATGCCTCTAATGCTCATGAGCTGCATAACTTGAATTTCTCTCAATTATGGATAAAGACAGTAGAGTTATCATCATCGGTGCTGGCATATTTGGCCTTTCTACGGCTCACCAACTTGCGTCTGAAGGCTATCGCAACATCATCGTCCTTGATAGGCACTTTCCACCGGTAGACCTGAGTTAGCCCCACGGAAAATGAAGAGATAGTAACCAGAATAATGATTTAGGTCCCAGATGGATCCAGCTCTGATATCTCCCGTGTTGTGCGCTTCGACTACGCCGATGATGACTACTTGCGTATTGCTCATGAAGCTTTTTTGAAATGGAAAAAACTACCTAAATATGACGGTATTTTCTTTCCTGCTCAATATATTCTCTCTGAGAATAGCAGCAACCATGGACAAGCCTGGATTGCAAAGACGATGGCGGCACTCACCAATCGGAAAATACCCTGGGTCAAGCTAGATGATGCTGCAGCTGCCAAAAAGATATTCCCAGTGCTGAGCGGCACACTTGCAGCTCCAAACTTCTTTGGTTATCACAATGAGCAGGCCGGCTGGGCAGATGCCAATAAAGCTGTCAGACAACTTCGTGATGAATGCCTCCATCTTGGGATTTCCTTTTTGTGTGGCCGTGGAGGAACCGTTGTTGGACTGGAAATTGATTCCCACAAAACCATCAAAGCCGTTCAGACCCTCGCCGGTAATCTGGTAGAGGGTGATCACTTCGTGCTGGCGGCTGGTGCTTGGGCCTCAGGCTTAGTTCCGATGTACAATTCCACTTTGGCAACTGGTCAAGTGATAGGATATATTCGTCTCACGGAGTCTGAGATGGAGAAATACAGGGATCTTCCTATTTACGCCAATTTCTCGACGGGCTGGTTCAACTTCCCCCCACATGAGGACACTATGATGTTGAAGATGGCAATTCACGGATGGGGATATACCCGAGTCCCAAGCGAGCAAGATTGCAATGCTATCAAATCTAATATCTCTTCACCTCCACTCATACCTCCCTGTCAGCGTCCAAATTTTGTTCCAGCAGATGGAGAACATCGATTGAGGCAAGGCCTACGCGAAATCCTTCCTGAATTGGCTGATCGCCCGTTTGAGAAGGTCAGTTTGTGTTGGTACACTGATACTCCCAGTGGCGATTTCATAATGGATTTCCATCCTGATTACACCAATCTGTTTGTGGGAGGGGCGGGTAGCGGACAGTAAGATGGCCACCTCAGTGCAGGAAGCATGACATACTGACAAACTGTGTGCAGTGCATTCAAGTTCCTTCCGGTATTAGGTGAATATATGTCGCTTGCTCTCAGAAAATGCCTACCGCCAGAACTTGCCAAAAAATGGCGATTCCGGAAAGATTATGCAAGCCAGAAAGATCCTTTCTTGGGCGATGGAAGTCGGGGAGGACCAATCAGACGGGAATTAGATTCTCAAGAGAGGGCAAAGCTCTAAATTGCCAAAGTGATGATCGTAGTTCATCATTTTGAGCTCCGTATTACAATCATAAAGCATACAAATGAGTGCTGCACGCTTTACTAGGCCTCACAATGCTATGGCGGCAACGTCTGTCACGGACAAGGCGGAGAGGGACAGTGTCACCTTGCGCTCTGGTCCGTTGCGCATTATTGAGGATGGAGTGCTGAAACGCTATATCCATGACTGGTTAACCCGGTGGATTAGGGATTGACTTATTGAATATTTTAATTTCGCGGCAATCTATTGAACTAGAATAATATGAAGCATATCGCCATGACTGAGAAGACTAGGGGGCCTGGCTGTGCTGAGCCTCGCGAGTAGTATTGCAGGCGTCGTGCCTACTTGAATAAATCAAGAGAGCTTTAATGAAAATATTCGCTCAGACTGTTTTATTTTTATTCCAGGCGTCGCAGGGTTACCATCCCCAAGCTTACAATATCAGTTGTTGGTGAAGACTAAGATAACGGTATGACGTGGGTGATCCGGTGGCGACCAAAGCTACGCGTCTACCTCTTTAACTTAAACCTTGAGTTCTCAATCCAATGTCTACCCTCACCACCCGACCCTAGCTACCAGCCAGGATGTGTTGCAACCAGCGTTATTCTTTCTTTCAGCGCTGCACCGGAGCAGCAGGGTCGGCAAGATGGTCGATTCCTTCGCCAGCATCGGCAAGATGGTCGATTCTTTCGCCAGCATCGGCGGAAGGCGCGGCGTTAGCGCAATCGTCTTCATCAGCATCGCACTCTACAATGCCACCGAGTTACTAGTTCTAGTCCTAATCACCTTCAAACACCACCGCAGCCTATACTTCTGGGCTCTCCTCCTCTCCTCCCTGCTCGGCGTGATCCCCGCCTCCATCGGTTCATTGCTCCAATACTTCAATCTCGCTCCACTGTGGCTCACCCTCATCCTCGAGAATATCGGCTTCTACTTCATGGTCCCCGGCCAATCGGTAGTGTTGTATTCGCGCCTGCACCTGGTTTCGCAGAACCATGCGCTTCTTCGCTTTCTGCGCTGGCTGATCACGATTAATACCATCCTCCTCATCGTCCCCATCACGATCCTTAACTTCGGCTCGTCTTACCACCCAACCGTGTCCGGCTGGTTACAAGGGTTTAATGCCATGGAGCGTATCCAGTTAACCTGGTTCTCGGCGCAGGAGGTTTTCATTTCGACGATCTATATTGTGGAGACGATTAAGATGATCCGCGCCGCGCCGGAACCGAACAAACGCCGCACTCTGACGCTGTATCTTCTTGTGATGGTGAATTTCGTCGCCATCGGTATGGACGTCGCGCTGATGGTCCTCGAGTACCTGGACTTCTATTTTCTGCAGATTATCGTCAAAGCGTTGGTGTATAGCATCAAGCTGAAACTGGAGTTTGCGGTGCTGAATATGTTGGTGTCGATTTCGCATTTGCGTGTGAATTCCAGGACTGAGGATGATTTGGACAGTGGTGCTCCATGGTGGATATCTTCTTCTCAGTAGCTATTTGCACTTGTACAAGAATAATAGTAATCGTCGGATCAAGCGGAATCACATCATCATAATAATATACCCCTCGTTCACATTCCACTCCCCGCGTTTAACCCGACCCGCCACCGCCCCGCCCAGGCGACGCCGTCGGATGCGTTCGGTGCTTGACCCGACGCGCTCTCTTCCGATGGAGTAGTTACACGGTAGAACTGGTCGATCATAGAGGATCACATCCGACAGACTGCGGGGTGTTATTTAGGATGCAGTAATATATAAAGTAGCACTCACTCCGGCCAAGTCTTCCCTCCTTGTTTCCTCTATTTGACCTTCTATCCCCTCCCTCCTCCTCCGACCAAGAACAGACCATAATGCTCGGCAAAATCGCCCTCGAAGAAGCCTTCGCGCTTCCACGCTTCCAAGAGCGCACCCGCTGGTGGGCGGGCCTCTTCGCGACAGACGTCGAGAAGCATGTCAAGGAGATCACAGACGTCGACGAGATCCGCAATGCCTTCGCCGACAAGCACGGCGTCGGCATGCAGATTGTTAGCTACACTGCACCCGGTGTACAGGATATCTGGGACCCCAAGGAGGCGCAGGCGCTCGCCGTGGAGATTAATGATTATATCGCGGAGAAGATTCGGGGGAAGGAGGATCGAATGAGGGCTTTTGCGTATGTTTCCCTGTCTTTTGTCGATATCGTGATTCATCAGACAACAAAGAGAGGAAGAATGGACCTGTGCTAATGAAATACAGAACCCTCTCCATGCACGACCCCCAAGAAGCAGCCGCCGAGCTCCGCCGCTGCGTAACGCAATACGGCTTCCTCGGCGCACTCGTCAACGACACACAGCGCGCGGGACACGACGGCGACGACATGATCTTCTACGACAACGCGAAATGGGACATCTTCTGGGCGACCTGCACAGAGCTTGACGTGCCCCTGTACCTCCACCCACGCAACCCAACGGGAACCATCTACGAGAAGCTATGGGCAGACCGGAAATGGCTGGTCGGCCCGCCTCTCTCCTTCGCGCAGGGGGTCAGTCTGCACGCATTGGGGATGGTGACCAACGGAGTCTTCGACCGACACCCAAAACTGCAGATCATCCTGGGCCATTTGGGCGAACATATCCCCTTCGACATGTGGCGGATAAATCACTGGTTCGAGGATCGGAAGAAGATGCTGGGATTGCAGGAGACGTGCAAGAAGACCATCCGCGAGTACTTTGCGCAGAATCTATGGATCACGACGTCTGGGCATTTCTCGACGACCACGCTGAACTTCTGTATGGCGGAAGTTGGGGCCGATCGGATTTTGTTTTCGATTGATTATCCGTTCGAGACGTTTGAGGATGGATGTGATTGGTTTGATGGGGCGGAGTTGAATGAGACGGACCGGGTGAAGATTGGGAGGGAGAATGCGAAAAAGTTATTCAAGTTGGGGACTTATAAGGATAGCGAGGCGTGATCGTTGCTTTTACTTGTATCATCTAGTTTCAAGGGATTGCTTTCATTGCAAATTGTGCTCGAGACGTCGCCCGTCTCGCTATGGGTATCACTATCAGAATGGGAATCAAGAATACCATCGCAGAAATATCCATCCTAAAAATCGCATCCCTTCAGAGCCTGAGTCTGAGCCTCCTCCAGGTCCTGAGCCTCTTGCTGCTCCTCCAGCGCCAGCGCTTCAGCAGTACTCAGAGCCTCATTCTGAATTACCTTCAGCAACTCCTTCTTAGCCCCCTCCTTCGCCTTCTTCTCCTTCTCCTTCTCCTCATCGTGACCCTCTAGAGTCATCTCCCAACACTGCGGCCAGATGTCCGGAGCGCAAAGCAGATCCTTCATCGTCGGCTCCAGGTAGCGATCGCGAATGTCGCAGGTGGTGAAGGTGTAGATGGAGTAGTTGTCAATGCAGCGAGTCATCACGTCCCAGATAGCAAGCAAGTGGCGAGAAAGATCCATACGATCGGTGTTGGGGATGTCCTCGCGCAAGATCTGACGGTTGCGCAGACGGAGGAACGTGGTGTGCACCCAGGCCTCGTAGAGTTCAAGGTAGACAGAGAGCAGTTGACGTTCGAGCAGGCGCGGCTTCTTCAGGTGCCTGGATAATGGAGAAGTTAGACCAATATATATATATATATGTATGAAAGAGGTATATAAAAGACCTACGCGATTACCACAGTGGCCATTCGGCGGTAGCGCACGTACACCGTCTCGTCATCATCCTCCGCAGCGATGTGACCCAAGATGTAGGAAACGTTGGTCGCGACCTGGACATTTTCCTGCATCATGTCATCCAGCCAGACAAGGTAGATCAGAACGGTGTTGGCGAGTTTTTGGGCATCGGTGGTATCCTGGGCACCCAAGAAGATCTTGCAGACATTGCCATCGACGCGATGGAACAGAACATAGTTGAGACGCAGCACGATGTTGGTGAGAGCGACAAAGCGACGGCGGGTCTCGGGGCGCAGATGGGGCATGGAAAGTAGCTGCTTCATCTGGTTGAGAGTGCGGTGCTTGTGGTCGACGGTCAGGCAGTCAACGCCGTCGACGGAGCCGAGGGTCAGGTTAGGGCTGGTAGCGCCAACGACGAAGGGCGGCAACGAGACCAGCTGCGCGTCCACTTCCTGAAACTTGATCACCTCTTGCACAACCTTGGAGATGGCGTAATTGTAGGCGTCTTCGTGCTGTGGGTCGGCGATCGAGTCAGGCGACTCGCATTCATAGTACTCCGGGAAGGGCTCTGTCGTGGGCTCCACCTTGGTCGCAGGGACGGCTGGCCTGTTGTCAGGAACAGCAGGCGATGAGATCAGGGACCGGTCGGAGTCGGAGGAGTTCATTGCAAGGTGTGTACGCACGGCGGCCAGCAGAGAACCCGACGCCGCATCAGGGCCAGCGGGCTCGGGCAGGATGTCGAGAGAGTTGACGGTCTCCATGGCAGCGAGATGGGATTCTTCTTTCAGATCCATGGAGCGAGAGAGAGGAGAGAGATGAGAGAGAGGGAAATCAGAGAAAGCGAAGGAAAGAAAAGGGAAAAAGAGAGGCGAAGAAGAGAAGGCAGGCCGAATGAGGAAGGCACCGATATCTCTTTGTAACAAATGCACACACAGAGACGAATTTACGGAGAAATAGGCAAGATTTCAATGATATTCAACTGACGCGAATATGTTCCACGCCCTCAATCCACAAACGTCCACATAGGAAAACGCTCTACCGACCGAGGCGTGGCCTGCCTTCCCCTTGGCGATATCTGATTAACGAAGCAGCCAGCAACAGATGGGACAAGACGTCCCACCTGTCACGAACGGCCAACTTCTCAGACAGACGCAACAAGAGTCAATGAAGGCGAGGGGTCGTTCTTCGTACATCGACTAATTGGAACCTCATTGAGCAAGGAGTGAGCCAACTTAAGTAGTACGAGGGGGTCAGTCCTCTTTTTGGACATCATCTTCGTCGGGCAAGGGAACATCCATCACTTTCTCTCCGGCTTTTTCTAGGGTTCGTTTACTCCACGACCGGACGCCTTTATACACGGCCTGGGGTCGGGAGGTGTTAGTGCCTCCAGAAATAACCAACGAGGTCCAAAACATACCCAGAGAAAGGTGCCGACGCCAATCACAATCATCAGCCAGCCCAGCGAAGCAAAGCGACTGCGACCTGTAGATCGGTTGGTGGAGGTCATCACGCCCGCCGTGGCCCGCACATTCCAGTACCACGGCGAAGCGGCCCAAGCGACCTTCAGAATCGACAGCACGCCCAGCGACGCCAGTCCCTTGACGAAGTGCTGGAACCACGACGAATTGTCCGGATCCAGGCTGCTGCTGGGATCGACCACCAGGTCGGCGTAGTCAAGGTCCCAGCGGTCCAGGTAGAGATCAATGATGGGGTCAGCAACGAAACCAAGTAGAAAGACAGCAAGAAGCAGAATGGCGAGTGTCAAAAGCAGCTGCGTGAAGGCACTACTGATCCAGCGCGCCCACGTCAGCCGCCCAAGCCGGTACTGGAAGCCGCATGTTGGGCATTGCCAGTAGTTCCGTTTGCCATACCCCGGGTCGGCGTGTCGCCAGGACTGCAGGCAGGCTTCGTGAACATAGCGTGATGAGCCGCGGCATTTGCAGGGGCGGAGCAGACGGCCCAGGGTCGGGTCGGAGGACTCGTAGACGACTTGGGGTTTTGCTAGGAAGCCAGGCAGGTCGGAGGGCTGGAATGTTGGCAGCACGGTTTCCAGGCAGATGCGACACACCCGCGGAGGATAGTGCCCGGGATCAGGGTTGGGATCAGGGCCTGCGTCAGGCTCTGTGTCTGGAGCTGGGCCAGGCTCAGAGTACGGAGCCTCCATGGCGCGATTAATTGAATTACTGGCGGGTCATCTTTTTTGGGCCCGAGAGAGTTGTGGGAGGAAGAAGAGAATTGACACGAGCCACAAAAATAGAGAACACCAGGGCTGACTCAGCACCACTCACCGCCCCGGCCAGCTCGACCAGCTCACGTCAGTCGTACCTGCCTAGCCAAGCTCCCTGCTCTGCTCTGCTGCCCCCATCCTCATCTTCCTCCCACATCCATCAATCGACCCAGAGTGATGGCCGACCGCTACTCCTTCTCCCTCACCACTTTCTCCCCCAGGTACGTTGCTGTGGTCAATTCGATGGCACGGTGCTAACTCGCAGCACAGCGGAAAGCTGGTCCAGATCGGTAAATAATATCACACCTACCCCCAGCCAGTGCTCGGAGGGAGCCGTGACTGATCCAATTCAATACAGAATATGCCTTGAACGCAGTCAACCAAGGCGTGACCGCCCTCGGCATCAAAGGTAAACACGAACACATCCCAGCAACGACAAGCTATTGACACCGATCTTCCACACAGCAACGAACGGAATCGTCCTCGCGACCGAAAAGAAATCCTCCTCGCCGCTCATCGACCCCCCCTCCCTCTCCAAGATCTCCCTCATCACTCCCGACATCGGGATGGTCTACGCAGGCATGGGCCCCGACTACCGGGTGCTGGTCGACAAGGCGCGCAAGGTTTCGCACACGGGCTACAAGCGGATCTACAACGAGTACCCGCCGACGCGGATACTGGTGCAGGACGTGGCGCGCGTGGTGCAGGAGGCGACGCAGTCTGGCGGCGTGCGGCCGTACGGTGTCAGTCTGCTGGTGGCGGGCTGGGATGAGGGCGTCGAGCCTGAGACTGCCGAGAGCGTGCAGACCGGCGGCGGTAAAACGGGCGGCATTCTCAAGGGTGGTCCGAGTCTTTACCAGGTGGATCCCTCGGGCAGCTACTATCCCTGGAAGGCGACGGCGATCGGCAAGCATGCTACTTCGGCCAAGACGTTCCTGGAGAAGCGGTATACCGAGGGGCTGGAGCTGGAGGATGCGATTCATATTGCGCTGTTGACGCTCAAGGAGACCATCGAGGGCGAGATGAATGGGGACACAATAGAGATTGGTGAGTCTGCCTTGTTTGTCTTTTTTCTTTCCGCCCACATCTTCTGACTCGTATCTTCTAGGCATCGTTGGCCCGCCGGCGGACCACCTACTGGGCTTCGAGGGCGTGGAGGGCGCCCAGGGCCCCCGGTTCCGGAAGCTGACCAAGGAGCAGATCGAGGACTACCTGACCAACCTATGAGTAATTGTTAGAGTCGTGCTTGAATTTTATTTTGTTCTGGTCTAGTGTTTCACATTGCAAGGACAACCACGTTGTTTGCGTTCGTAGTCACTAGTCAAGTCGGAGTTGCTCTGCCAGCGAACGGGCCACCCCGTGTCACGGACGCAATCGAAATCCCGGAATACGAAGCATGTTGATTGGATCGAGGCTCGCGCAGAGCTTCCCCAGGATTCAACCCCTGGTTCTTATTTGAGTTCGTGTTCCCCTCTTCACTAGTTACATCTGTGCGTTTTATACTTCTGCCAGGGGTTGACAACGGGTTTTCCTCTTCCTTTATTTCTTTTTCCAACATCCAGACCAGAATCATGTGGGAGTATCAATCAGGGTAAATCTAGACACCCTCTCTGGTCCTCCAGCCAGCCAGTCCATCCCATCACAAAGAATCACCATGTCTGTCAACAACCCCCCACAGGACCCCCTCGACGGCATCTCTGGCGAACTAGCCAAAGAAGCCGTCGAAATGCAAATCACCCTTGTCGTGTTCATCGGCCTGTCATGCTACAACATCGCCGAGCTGCTCGTCATGGTCCCCTCGACCTTCCGACGCTGGCGCGGGCTGTACTTCTGGTCCCTCCTGATCTCGGGCTGTATAGGCGTGGTGCCGTACTCGATCGGATTCTTGCTGAAATTCTTCACGCATGTCGACTCCGTGGTTTCGGTCACGGTGCTCACGATCGGGTGGTGGACGATGGTCACTGGGCAGTCGGTGGTGCTGTATTCGCGACTGCATCTGGTGCTCCGCGATGAACGGACGCTGCGCCGGGTGCTGCATATGATCATTGCGAATTTCTTCTTGTTATCCATCCCGACCACCATCATGACCTACGGGGCCAATATCGTGCGCCCGCCGAATCAGATCTGGATCGAGGGATATAACATCATGGAGAAAATCCAGTTAACGGGGTTCACGCTGCAGGAGACACTGCTGTCGACGCTGTATGTTATCGAGACGGTGAAACTACTCCGTCTGGGCGCAGATACACGGCGCGATGCGCGCACGATCATGTACCAGTTGTGCGGGATCAATATTCTCATCATCACCATGGACCTGGTGCTGCTGGGCCTCGAGTACGCCAATTTCTATGCCGTCCAAATCACACTCAAGGGGTTTATATATTCGCTCAAACTCAAGCTCGAGTTCGCGGTGCTGGGTCGGCTGGTCGAAGTCAATCAGGGCTCGCGACAACCCCTGTCGATTGCCATTGCTGATACGTTGCCTTTGTGTTCGTTTCAGCAGAAGCCGGATACGCCGGACGGAGAGACCACGGAGACCACAAAAGGGCTTTCGATCCCGTCCGGTGAGGAAACGCGTATTGTGGAGAGAACGACGACATGGGTCACGTCGGTGAATTGAGGTTCAGGCGTTCTCGCCGAGTAAGGCCTCGTCCATCCATTCATACCCTCCCTCCGAGTCGTCCTCGTCGTCCTCGTCCTGGCTGTCGGCCACCTCATCGACCTTGCGTTTTCGACTCGCTGCACTGGAGATGTCAACTGGTTCGGCAGGATGCGATGGTTTTTCCACTGCATTTAAACCAGGCTCCGACTCCTCATCAACTTCGCGAAGACCGTTCTGTCCGCGTGTCAGAAACAAGCAGGGACCCGCCAGAGAGGAACAACAACATACCGCTTCTATCCGAAACGGAACAATCCACTCGGCCGACCGCATCAACAAAGTCCTACCCGCTCGCTTGGTCATTTCCGCCAGTCTACAATTCGGCAAATCCCGATACATCATGATCCGTGCCTGCACATTACTCTCCCACGCACCACCAGCCAAAACGGGATGCAGCGTCGCACGCGGCTGGCCCTTGATTTTCGTGTGCGTCTGGTTAATAGCCAACACGGCGATGTTCCTGGACGCGATTCGCGCCAGATGCGTCGCCAGCTCCGATGCCACATTCCACTTCCGATTCAGCAGCCACTGTAGCTGTGCCTTGTCGGTGATTTTCCCCTGCGTCAGTCTGTCCTTCAGCTCCGCCGCGTTGGGGAAGTAGGTCGAGAACAGGCTCGATACGGAGTCGATGACTAGTAGGGCCGTTCCATCCGGTGGGAAGCTCCTTGGCGGACGGAGGAGAAGAGCTAAGAGATGAGGGAGTGTCGTGGTGCGGAAGTAGATGAAGTTTCCGTTGTCGAAAGAGTGGCCCTTGAGTCTGGGGTTGGGCAAGGGAGAGCCCGTATCTGGGATTTGTGGTTAGCTTGGTTGTAAATCACAATTGATAAAAATAATAATAATACCAATCCACACAACCCGTCCACCTTCGCGGAGGGCATTGCATGCCGTATTTAGACTGTTAATTGTTTGGGTAGTTAGTAGGATTCCCCATCCTGATGGTGGACATCCAACACTCACGCCAGGGAGGTCTTCCCCACACCCGGTGGTCCAAACACCTCGGTGATTTGACCGCGCAGGATACCACCGGGTCGTTTCTCGTCGGTCGCGTCATTCAGCGCCTCGTCTAGCCGTGGTAGACCTGTAGAGATTGCAGCTGGGGTTGTAGCTGATGCATTCAGCGACTGCGACGCTGAGATCGAGACCACGGGTGCTGCGGTGGGAGTTAGCGTGACTGTCCTTATTTCTGGGGGTAAGGGGGGACTTTACGCGTGTTTTGGCTGTCTAGACCAAGAAAACTCATCGCTCCTCGAATATATTGCCTCGAGACGCGCTGGACATAGCACTCTCCGCCTGTTGGTGTTGTTGAGTGTGTTTGTTCAAGGAGTGTGGGTCGGATGAAGAAGTCCGATTAACCTTCCCGATTTCGCGTTTTTCTTTCCCTTCTCCGACATGTCCATCTGCCAATGTCCACTATTATTTCAGAGCACGCATCATTACTGAGAGTACTCATTTCTCTTATTTGTATCATCCTTCCTATACTCGTACCTGCTCTGCGTCCCCGACAACCTCGCCCCAAGGGATGTCGCCTCCTTGGCCTTGCACATGGGCAGAAGAGCAACCTGCACGATGAATTTAACCCAGTGTATAGCGATGCCAATTCCTATCGCGTCAAGGCTCTCTTCACATATCCGCTAAAATCATGCCGTGGAATCGAACTACAAGTCGCCGATGTCGTCCCAACGGGGTTGCAGTTCGACCGCATGTTCACCTTTGCCGAATACGGCGCTGACGGGTGGAATTGTCGAACCCTGCGCAACTCGGGTTTCCATAACCTGGCCCTGATTCATCCTGAAATCTGGTTGCCCGATCCCTCTGCTTCGGACTATGACCCGGCCTTACCCGAAGTTCATTCGCGGGGCGTGATGGTCGTGTCGTATCCACGTCTTTGGCCGGCTGGTTGGCGCGGATTGCTCGTACAAATGGGTATGATGCTTGGAATAGTCTCTCGTCGACGGTTCTTTCAGGTGCCTCTATTCCCAAATGCTGAGGAGAAGTTGGTCCCCGTCACTATATGGAAGGACCAGCCTCTATCCTATGACTACGGACAATATCTACCTGCATCACTACATGAGTTCCTGGGAAAAGATACCAAAGGCCAGAAACAGAAACAAATCAACCTTTTCCGCGCCAGCACAGAGCACCACCGTGAAATCTTTCGCAACGCGCCACGCAAAGAGAACCTCGGCTTCCAGCCTGTCACCTCTTTCGCAGACGCATACCCAATCCACCTATTAAGTCTAAGCAGTCACAGGGACGTAGCATCGCGCTGCGCATATGCGATCCCACGACTGACAATCTGCCGCTTCCGCGCTAACGTGATAGTTGAAGGCCCCGACGCCTTCGCAGAAGACCACTGGAAACGGATCTCCATCGGCGGGACGGAGATTCATACCGTCTGCAGAACAGTGCGCTGTCTTCTGCCCAATGTGAATTACGATACTGGCGTGAGACATCTGCATGAACCGGACCGGACGCTGAAGTCTTATCGGCGTATTGATCTAGGCGCGAAGCAGTATGCTTGTTTGGGTATGCAGCTTGTTCCTGCAAAACGGGAGTTCACGGTTAGAGTTGGGGATTCTGTGGATGTGCTTGAGATGGGAGAGCATTATTATATTAAGATGCTTAGTCCTGGGGAGAAGGTGCCGGGTGTTTAATATGTAGCTGGGGATTTCTATATATACTTACTCTGTACAAAGATTTTAACAATGGCTGGTATACCTGCAAGGTGAGGTATTCTACCGTAGGCAAATATATATTGATTGTGTCGTAAAGTTGAATATCGACATGATTTGCATTGTCGGCAAATTCCATGATGGGCAAACGTCTCTCTCGCTCTATATACCCCTTCCCTCTCCACCTTCTCTCCTTCTACTACTTCCTCTTCCTCCATCGCCATCCTACCAAAACAGCCCGCCGAGCCAGAGGAGAATACAGTTGATGAGTGCGATAATGACATCAACTAGGTCTTGTTGAATCTTAGTTTGCGTAGACTACAATGATCTGGAATAGCAGATCAAAGCCCGCTCATATTTCAGATCTTTATTCGAAGTGTGGAGTATATTCCCCAGGGACGGGCCGTGACCAAGCAGTCGGTGCTGTGGCGTTTCGAACAATAAGCTGACGACCCAAACGGCGTCCTGGGTTGCTGACTCTGAGGGACAAAACTGCGGAAAAAGATCTTTCCAAAGTTAAAAATCCAGAAATCCTGCGACGGAGGGATCGACTTGGTAGTAGAAATAGAACTCAAACGTTCTTCGGTCACCGTGGTTTTGGCCGACAGAGAATGGTGAGGACTGGATTCCTTGGGTTATTCCGTCGCGGACCGGTATCCATCTTCATGAAGAAAAGATTGCGCATATTCGCATTGCCTGGTGGCTGGTGAGTTGCCTTTCCGGTCCGTTCAGGGCAACCACAAACATACTTGCATATCTGGCATCCGGTCTTGATTTTATTGCTTTATACAACCGACTAGTTGTCTGATAGTTATCGAAGAGCACATGGGGAAACCATTTGTGAATTGTTTGGTTTGTGATATTCTGGCCGGACTGGCCACAGCACTGGGGGCCAAAACGAGGTCTTATCTTTGAGACAATAGTTACATAGCCAACTGTGTATACATATATTTTTATTTGTAAAGACAATGCTCTTACTTAGTGAGTATGGATTAGCATTCCCGTCTGTTGTAAACCTAAGTGGAGTGCTGAAGCGTGTTAGAAAGCAGTTTTAGGAAAGCCCGTTCTTCCGTGCCTGATTTACTCGCAACCCCGACATACCGAGAGTCATTCTAACTCAGTTGAGCGATAAACATTGTAGTACTCGCTCTAATTATACCAAGTCGCTTATAGAACTTTAATTCAGACTAGGTGCACCGTCCTTCCTATGATAGGAATCAGGAGAAACTCTGATAACGGCACATCCACTAGCAGATACGAGGTGGAGACCCCAACAGAGACCAATGCAGCTTGAACAGGGTTACTGGCAAGAATGATGCCAAATCAGTCAAATGAAGCTATACCAAAAATAAGACAATATAGGCGAGCTGCAGCACGCGGTCCACGTGGGATGGCCAGTCGTAAACTCGACTTGCGGGCATCGCACGCGATGAGTTTCAGGCCTGGTCTGTACAAGCTTGGCTGCAGAGTATTAGAACAAAATTTAGAACAAGCGAGAGAGCACTGCAGTAGTTTCAGGATGTTTTGCATTGATAGAGAGCGTGGCGAGCCTTTTTGGATGCAATAGTTGCATCTCGTGGTGGATTCGGTTCGAATTCTTCACTACAGGCGATACTTGAAATGAGGTCTGCGATGGTCATGCTTAATTTTATTTTCAGCTGTGTTGTGCAGTAGACTCAGCTGGATTGCATCCTGTATTGACACACAGAAGGGTGACACCTCCAGTTTATACTGGGGCTGGCTAAACCACAGCAGTGGAATGGCGGTGATTGAGTCTCGTTAGTGCGTCACTCAAATAACGTCTGCATCTCTAGAACATATGATATTTGTTGCTTCATGAAACTGGCAGTCTACTTCTCTTATCGCTTTGACCATGGAAGAGGAGTACCCGATGACCTTGGTCGCCTGGTCCCACATGCAGACTACGAGACAAAAAATTCCCAGAGAACGAATACAAGAGGTCAGAAGGCTGGTCATCTCTAGCAGTTTATCTCCGTTCCTCTCGTATACGGCCGTGTCCATTTGAAGGTCGTGTAACGGGTGGCCTTGCGTGGATCAGTGACAACATCGAGCCAGGTTCGGACCTGACCTGTATTTGGCACTCAGCGACAGGCAGATCCGTCTCTTAATTTGTGCATCCCTAGCTCTCTCTCTCTCTCTCTCTATATCTCCATCTCTATCTCTTTCTTTCTCTCTGTCTCTCTATTTCTATTTCTATTTCTAAAGCTAAGGCTTTATGCAGACTGGGTGTCATTGCATCCGCGCTGGTGGGACGGCGATCCTGGATCGTCGGGAGTGGGCTATTGATTAGTGACCGCCAGGTACCTGTTGCCTAAGTGGCTACTAGAGCATTCAACCTGCGATCCCACCCAAGCATCCGGGTCTGCCGCGGACTGTTAGTGGCTTACCATCCCTGCCACAGGGGGAAGCGCACAGGGATGGAGGTGGGATGCTTGCAATCCCGGCTGAACAGCGTGCACAGCAGGAGCGGTGAGGACGAGGGCCGGACGTACCGGGTACCTGAGCTGTTGCGCTCAATCTGGTTACTCGTTCTGGCTAATACTCGAACAGGAATAAGGACGGCGGCCGATAGGCACCCTCTCAGCCCTATGCGGGGACGCGGTGATTACCAACCCGGGCTACGGCAACGCCGGAGTTACTAGCGGGCGCACGCTGCATGATTCGCTCACGCTGATTGGTTTTGGACTCGTTTCTTTTCTTTGCCCGCTAGTGGGCACCGCTGAACCCCGGGCGTGTACGAGAGGCTCTGTGCCCCTCGTTGCCTTCTTTGTTCCGAATCCCGGCCTACACCTTCCCTTCTGTGAGCACTTTGCGAACCAGCAGAACCCTAAGTCAGTGGCCGGATCGCTCGCGATTTGCAGATCATCCACTGTCACCAGAGGATCTCGGCTAGGTAGCTAATAAAGGTTACATTGGACGGTATTCAGATACGCGCCCTTGGCCGAGCAGGATACTCAAAGCGAGGCTATTCCCGGAAGGGGTTAGGGTTTAACAAGAGCAATATACGGAACGAGCCAAAGCCGCTTGGACCCAGGCTCCCGGTGCTGTTGTCATTTGGGGAATCCTTAGCGACGGCGTGGTCTGGGATGTGTTATTGGTGTTGGTCTGTCTTTGTTTCTTGGAATTACCCTTTGTTTCCTGGAATGACACCTCTTGTCAAGACAGGCAGCATAACTAAGAATCCCCACGCCAGATCAGCACATAGCCGTCGGCACGGAGGTCAGATCTTTATCCCTCTAGTCCGGTGCCAAGATGGGGACAAAACGTGGCTGCAAATCGCGGCCGTGCGCGCAATCTCTCGCTCTCGCGATCTGCTGCCTGCGTGTTTGGCAGCCAGGGATATGTTGCTAACAAGTCATTCGTAACTACTCAATAATAATCCAAGGAAATTGATAAAAAAAATTAAAGGGGCCCACGTGAGGCAACAGAGTATCAGTGTAACCGCCCTCGAGGTCGGCCCAAAGAAATGGTGGCCACGCATTTTCCCGTTTCATCCCCCTGGACATCGTGTCTCGGGCTAGCCAGGACACCGAGTGAGCGCCCAAGGCTAGCGTGCCAGCCCAAATCCAATCAATCCATCCTACCGTGGCTCCTGGGTCCGATCATACTCCGTGCGACAGTAGTGGCCTCTACTAAGGCACACCGTATTCAAGTATACCGTCTGAAATGATCTCTCACCGATCTGTTACTGTCCGGTGTTTCGTCTCTTTTCACTAACAATTTTACAAATCTAGCTGGAGGATGTCTAGGATTGGCCCCAGGCGGAACTAACCCAAAAAGAAAAATACAAATTCAAACGTGGATACCAACTCGTTCCAAAACGGCCCCGTTTCCACCGCTCGAGGCTGAGGATCCGAAACATCCCTGTCAGTCCATGCGATGCAATTCGTGTGGGATATTATTTTCGGCCTTTTGCTGCTTTGGAGCACGGACATGGTCTTATCGCGACGCATCAATCAGTGATAGGGGCTTAGCAGCTGCAAGGCCCGAACAGCGCTGGGCGGATCGACCGGGGTTAGGAGCCCCATTCGCCGAGACGAACTATATAGTCGGACGCTCGTCCGTGGCGGCGCTTTTCTGCTCCGCTCTTCCTCTCCGACAAGCATACCTCTCTGTTACCCAAACATGCACCGGTCTAACAACTATGACACCCGGCCGTCAGGCTCGCGGTCCAGCCACAGCAACAGCAGCGCTTTCAGTCCCAACGCCAACCCTAACGAGGACTGGACCAAGATCTCAGACCTAGCAGAGCGCCGGCGTATACAGAACCGCATCGCCCAGCGGAACTACCGTACGTGAACTGTTTGGATGACTATGTCGAGCAAGTCTAACCTGCCCTTAACAGGCAAGAAGCTCAAGCGGCGCCTGGAAGATCTGGAGAGGCGAGCAGGCTCCTCCGACTCCCCTGAGCACGAGCAGTCCGAAGAGCCCGAGCCGCCGAAGGCTGCTCCAAAGACTCGTACACGGACTCGAGCGTCCAAATCTACTTCAGACATCAAACCTCAAGTATCCCACCCTGTCCCAGAACGGCCGGTGCCGTATGAGTTTTACGCAACGCCAGACGATCGCAGCGCCCTGTTCGCCCAGCAATGCACCACCCGACAACTATCTGCATCGCCGCCTCCTGCTTTCTCCTATCCCTCTCTTCCGTCCTATGATGGCTACCGCCAGCCTATCTTTTCACAATCGCCGATGTATCACGGCCTCGCCAACGGTTACAACGAGCTCCCATTCCAGCCCGACTTCGGAGAGCACATACCATCCATTGTTTCGGTGCCGGCGAATATGAGGAAGCAGTCTAGTTTCGGTGACGAGGACATCATCAGTCCGTTCAGTATGAGCTACGCCACCATGGCGGGAATCGATCTTTGTTCGCACCAGCAGCCAGAATCGGGACCGGTACATTTCCCTCGCTGAAAAATCACCAAACCAAAAATATTCAGACACAAGAAACTGATCTGTGCTCTGCTTTTAACTAGATTCCCGCGCTCTCGTACAGCTTTCCTGATGACCAGCGAGCTCCGTCAACGTCCCCTGAAACGTCGATCCTGACCTTCCCTCTCACGCCAGAGTCAGACCCCTGCTCGCCCCGATCCATCCCAGGAATGTACGAGTATGATCTGCGACCATGAGACGCTTCGGTGTCTCGGCGGCTGAGAGCCCCGGGCGGGGCCTTGCGGGTCCTTGCCAGGTTGAGCAGTTGGTCGATCGGGCTAGAGACTATCCGAGCTGCATCTCCTTCCTCCGCCCCGACCGAGATCTTTTTTCCCTTCCTTTTTGCCTTTTGAGCGTTTCAGCCTGCAATAGCGGGTGCGGACCACGTGTGACGAGACAGCGGCATTGTAATTGGCGTTTTTTTCTTCATTCCTACTTTCTTTGGGACGGTTTGGTGTTTGGGGGCGAGCTCCAGGTTCTTCCTTGCGGTACTCCTGATGGGTCTTTCTTTATGGATCATATTCCTTGGCTCGATCTCCTACTCCACAGGGTAATACACGATAACCCATATTATCCACAGTATAGCCCTTTTCGTGGGATTATGTTCTGACATGCTCTTGGCGTAAACGCTTTATTGCGTCTCTCGCCACAACAACTCGAATCCTTGATATTCTAATTTATCAGCCTTGCGTGCCTTTCACCATCAGCCCCCAAAACTGCGAGATTTCTTAGGCGTCCCATTTGTGCATATCCGGCCCCTGAGGAACGGACCTGACAGGCTGCGTAGAACACGCAATCCACGTTGGTTGGAAGATTGGAGATTCGAATTGCTTTCCTTTTTAGGTTTCCTTTGACAGCAATAGGGTTGGGTTCATCGTTTCAGTGTTTCTTACCCCATCTCCACAGGAACAATTTGCCGCAGGGCGCACTCTAGCATTAGTAAAAGAGTAGTAACGGTAGTCGATTCCACTTTCGGTTTTGAATTTTAACGGCTTATCTAGTAGATATTCGTCATCCAATTTGTCTCCATAACTACGATTAATGTGCGCAATCGTACTCGGCTTGTTTCCGCTCACAAACCCAGAAAGAAACACCCACATCGGGATCGGAGGCCCTAGGGTCCAAGCGTAAAACATTCTTGGCTTTTTTGGTTTCTGCCTACAGTGCTGAGAAATGCCAATATGCCAATGATGCAATATTGTGTGGGTAAAGAGCTGCTGCGCCTCTCGTATGCGATGGGCTAGAAGATACGAGAGCGAGCTGCGCATACTTTTTCACTACCAGTATTCGGATGGACATTGTGCCGCTGGATCCGAGTCGGAGCCAGAGCCGCCTCTCAATGAGAATTCGCCCCTCTGTCACAAAGTGGTAACTCAGCTAGTCAACTGTATCTAGCTCTTAACTCCGTTGAAAAGGAACCCAAGGAAAGGGGGCCCGGGGACGTGCACGACCCCTCCGTCTTTGGCTGTCACGGCATCGGCCGGGTTTCTCCACAGGCGAGAGGCGAGAGCAGGTGGCCCATTGTTTTCCTTTATTGGCTTAGCGTGTTCGCGTCTTGTCTCTTATCTTGGGGTTTTCTGGGAGGCAATAGACCATGCGGGGGTGTGTTTTACAACTTGTCCTTTTCTCCGTGCCTTTCAACCTTATCTTTACATGGCGGACGGGTCTCGGTTAATGTTGCCGAGCGGTCGGGCCAATTATTCCACATGGCAGGTGCATTATTGCAACATTATGGTGCGCATGTAACTGACTCGGGTGAATCAATCACTGCGTACTCCCACTAAGAATTCCCTCTAAGTGCACGCCGGGAAGTCAGTCCCACCTTGGTTAATAATAACCATATACCCCTGCTAGACTCTTGTATGCGCAAGCGCGCTAACCAGACGGGACTTAGACTCTGCGACCACTCCGCACTCTGCATAGCGCTCGGGTGGATGCAGAGAAGAGAGACTATTGATTTCCCGGTGTGACGGCGTGAACTAACCTGCTGTTTCTTTATTAATCTATTTTTGGGCGCTAAGTTGAGCGCCAGAACCGAAATGGAATGTGCAGGACTCGCTCTTTGAAGGTAGGTACCGTCGAGCGCCCGGCTGCAAGTGATTAGCGCCAACATACCTTCCGTGTTGGGGAGACTACAACAAATTTGTTATAGCGCGAATTGCGAATTAATCCTTGTAGTTACCTGGGATCAGATAATAATCTGTCCAATATGCCAGGATTCGGTTTGGCTCTGAATGCCTGCACCTGTTCAATATGCAACCATTGGGCACGGAAGGCACCGCCGTTCATGTCTCACATAGCGCTTTGGTTGCCTGATGGACGGGAATCGTATATTATTTTTAGAAGCTCCCAAGCAATCTTTGACCCATGCATGGTTCCCAGGACCATAGTACGAGCGCCCTGCGGCAAGTCGCGATCGTTACGATGATGAATAGCACTCAGAAAAGTTCGACTGTTTGATAATAACCCTAATAAAGATTGGCTGTTTGTATGTTAAACTTTTTCTCTACGCAGGTAGTATTATTGCAAACAAAAATCAAATAATCGACACACACTGCCTTGCAAGTAGCTGTTCTTGGACCAACAGCCCACTCTAAATAAAGGCAATTTATTTCATACGTGTCATTGGGTCAACATCGTTCACGTGTCACCAAGTTCATCATGATGGTCAATGACACTTGGTAGCCAGTAGAGATTATATTGTTTACTCCCTTTCTAGAGCTTTATAGTTGGTGATCGACGCTGCAGGTTATTCCTTCAGAGGAAACCAACGCTATTGACTAATCAAGACCCGTCAAGGAAGGGCGGGAGCGACGGTGATGGAGATGTAGATTTAAGGACTACTGCCGATCATGGATGATGATGATGATGATGATAAAGCTATCTAGATCCCAGAAAGGAAAGCCCGGGTATATATGCGGGTGGGAGGCGCTGGAAACTCGACACATCGGGCATCCACATCATTCATCCATCACCGGTCCTTAAGTCAGTTGTTTTTTAAGAACCATGGAGAGCCTCTGTAAAATAACTCAAAACATAGTCTTCTCAATAAATGAGGTCAAAACATGATTATTTCAGTAGATTAGTCACCTAGATCTAAGCCGAAGTGAACCATAACGAGCACGACAATATGATGTGCAGATATACCTGTCCACGAGTAGCAATAAAATAACCAATCAATAGATATGATTAATACCTTGTGGAATCCAGCTTCTCTACACAGCGGTGGCCAACAAATTTGAGACATCATATATCTAGGTCTGTATCAGCTTTGGGGTTCAACTAGCAACGTAACCCTCTAGCTATCAGGGCCCAAAAGGGGACCGGTCGATATTCCATCATCAGACTTGACTTCACCAAATAACCCTTGTTATATATACTGTGTTAATAATCGATCATTTCAGTATTCGAGACACACCATACACTGTACTTTTTTTGCCATCAAAACTTATATCGAGACACAGCATCTAGATGCAGATGCAGGAAACACAACGAGATAAATATAGAACAAACGCTAAACTGAAGCACAGACAGAAATAGAGATCGATCCAGACGGGCCCTTCTCCAGGTCGATTTTTGAGTCTGTTGTACAAGGTAGGACAAGGGGAGGAGAGGAGCAGGGGGATAGAGGTGGATGCTGTGCACTCGGCTTCACCGTGTGCATTCATTCACCTGTGAGATACATAGTACATAGTACACTTGGCCAAATTTCAGGACAAATGGAGCGGAAATAAGGCCTTTTGTTTTCGAATTGGACTAATAACCATGGATTCAACGTTGACATTTGAGATTGTAGATTGAGGTCTTATAGGAATTAAGTACCATACAAGAAATAAAATTTGGCTCACGCAGAAGAGACATGCAGAAGAGACATGCAGAAGAGACATGCAATCAAATCAATAACTCCTAGACAAGATACTCTGTATAGTGATAATAACGTGTCAATTCGATCATAAAACAGCGTCGTCGTCAAGCCTCTGTCCAGCCATCCATCCATCAGATCCATCCCGGATTCAAGTCTGCCTGCCCTACCTACTCACAACCGATCTGGCAATCAATCCGATCCCATCCCATACCAGCTCATAACCCCAATCTAGCATATGTTCTTCAGTTACATCCCAGGGCCGAGAAAACAAGGAGGTCAAACCCAGAAACATAAAAAAAAAGGAATACCCCGCTGGGAAGAAAACACCGTCTGGGAGATGTGAGTCCGTCACTGGCACGGCTGTTCGATACGATAAAAGGAATTATGCTTCGCCGGCAGCCTTTCGTCGCCGTCGCATAGGAGCCTTTTTCCGGCCAGCGATCTGCGCGTCCTGCGACTGATCGGCGTTCATTTCTGTGTCACCGTCCTTATCAGCGGCGGCTGCTGCTGCGGCGCGGTCGCGAGCGTCCTGGGCCCTCTTCTCGTGGATCGCGGTCAATTCTTCGCGGCGGGTGTATTCGTCCAGCTCGCGGATATCACGCGGTTTCATGCGTAACCATTTCATGCGTGGTCCGGAACGCGAGAACTCTGAGACGCGGAAGCCGTAGATGCGCGGCTCGTAAAGTTTTCCTCTCCCGAGACCTGTGGAGAAGTTCGCAGTGCGCGTGCCGTTGATCTCCAGTGGCTGGTCTACTGGCTCGGGAGATTCTCGGATGGCGGCGATTGTGCGGGCAAGAGACGAAGATCGGGATTGGCTGACGGGTTGTGTTGGTGATACCACAGACAAAGAGGTGTCGAGGCGTGGACCGATATCAAGGTCTGGGAAGGTCATGAAGAACAGACATCCAAAGGTTGTGCCGAAGAAAGCTCCGTCAACTGAGTGGAAGCGGCTGTTGGGAGGCGTGTAGAGATCCTGGCAGCCGGGACAGAAGAGCTTGACGGTTTCCTGGCCGGGAGTGTCGGACCGGCCCACGGGGAGAACCTTGCATCCATTGCAGTTGGTGCGCGGACAGACACCAAAGTGCTGCATCTCGTATTTCTCCAGCATCTGCTGGATTCCCGGCCGCGATGTAATGTACCGTTGGTGGATGAGGCCATACAACAGCTCGGCAGAGCTCTCAATGACACTCAAATCGCTCGCCACGCGGGTGTGCCGCCGATCGCCGGCCCTTCGGTACCCAGGTGGGCGATCATCGCCCAGCACATCATCATCATCGTCCTCTTCTTCTTCTTCCTCTTCTTCCTCCTCGTCCTCCTCCGGCTCGACGTCCAGGATCATCTCCAGGGCCTCCTTGTACATAGGCACTTGGGACTGCAGGCCTGTGAGGTTGAAGTCATCTTCAATGAAGTCCTCCGACACTTCCGCGAAGAACTCGTGACCCATCAACGAGCAGAACGAGGAGATCCACGACTCCGGCGCGCCTTCCGATGAAGACATGTCGAACGAGGCCGACACGGATGACGAGAGCGTTGATTCAGACAGTTGACTCAAATCTAGCCTATCAAGGCCGTCGGCCAACGCCGAACCTGTCTCTCTCGACACGTTGCCGAGATTGTGGGTGGAAATCTCCGGAAGAATTGGCCACGACGAAGTGACCTCGTCAAGCGGGGGAAGAGGGGTCGGTTATTGCTGCGTGGTAGAGCGGCGGCCCCTTGGACGAGGATTCGGAGCCCGAAAGAAATGTATGGGTATTCGGAAGGCAGTGTGGTCGAAGATCAGGATAGAGACTGGCTAGGCATGGCACCACTGTGCGGCAGGAGGGGAGGTTGTGCGATGCGAAAAAAGTTCGAGACCGGGGTATCAAAGACTGACCCCACCGTTTATCAGTATCGACTGGATCAAGAATCGGAAGATAAAGAACGCACTGGAATGTCGAATAGGATTCAATCTCACTGGCTGTCGTCCTCGGTCGATAACATGGGCCCGTATCGCGGGGTGTCGATCGGATCAAGCGGGAGTTGGCCCCAAGCAGGATTATATCGGAGGAGGGAGGCAGGAGAGATTTCAAAAGGTGTCTTCCTCACATCAAGTGGTCTAATCAGATACGGCTTCCGTCGTCTGGGGTGGACTGGAGGGGGGATGCTGTTCGGGGAAAGAATCGCGCAAGCTGAGCGACGAACGAGTGGCTGCCAGTCACGTGCATGTGATCTACACCAAAGAGCTATGCGTAGTATGTACAAACAGACAGGAAATCTTCAAAACAAGTCTCGGATCACCCGAGCAAACTCGCCCTCGTCGCCTAAAACTCCCGACAATCCTTCTCCTGTGTTTTGGATTTCTCCATCGGTCCCGACAAAGCCATGAATCCCATCCGGTCCAGTGGTCGGGGGCATGAAGTTGCCAAACGCACCGACGGCCTCGAAGAGATTCGTCAGTTCGTGGCTCATTTGGAGGCCATTCAACGGGCTATTGCCGAGCTCATTGGCTCCATTCATAGGTCCATACGCAGATAGGTCCTCGATCGAGTGGCCTGCCAGACCGGCCATGGCCACTGCTGCGGTTGAATGAGGGTCATTGGTGTCGCCACCAAAGGGACGAGCCAGAACACCTAGCTTCTCTCCGATCTTGCGTAACCCCTTGATAGTCTTCCACAGCCGTTTGGAAACGTATGACTTGGTACTGAAGCCATTTATCAGGTCCAGCGCCATGTAAAACTCATCGCGTACCTGCCGGTTGAAGTCGGATGGCGCATGGCACACGGCAAGGAAAAGCACCGCTAACGCCGCAACCAGAAAATAGTTGAAGGTAATTTGCTGTGTCCGGTAGATATCCGACATTTGGTTCAGGCGAGTCAAAACTCGAACTGTATCCTTGGCAACGTCCACCACCGTCTGTGCGTGGCCTCGATCTTCTGCAATGCTAGCCCCGGAATGCATCACGGGGCGATAAATGAGAATCCGCAGTTGGTTCATGCGCAAGTACAGAAGCACGCGCAGGCGCCTCATCCCTCTGCTGACCGAATTGTTGTTCTTGGGCGATTCCGCAGGATAGAACTTGAGATCATCCGGCACTTGTTTGTACCATTGCAACACTTGGTAATCCAGGTATCCAATCTCGTCGCGGCGGATGTCCGTCGTTCCTTCGGAGCCCAGCCCGGAATACCATATCTTGGAGCTGATCCGGTTGTACGAGATCATGCATCGCAGATATGGCAGCGAATTGTCCTGTTCAGAGAGTCAATCAGAGCTCTCAAGATAAATGGGCCAGCTCTTACCGGCTCCGGCAAATTAGGATCGATATCCTCATCCTGGATGACGAATGGCAGTCCTGTTCCCAAACTCCACCGCCTGTCTAGGCTGTAAATCGACCAGAAGATCCGGCTCACGCCCGTCCACTGGTCTTCATTGGGGAATGATTTCAACAAAGCATCTCTACGGTGCAATCCCATCTCCAGACACATGCGCGCAGCGAGACCAATGACCCGGTAGGCCATGGCATCATCATCAGTATGGAAGTGGTAGGTCGCCTGTGAGAAGCGTTAGCGAGAGGAAAATTGATCACACCCAAGATCATATCACATACTACTATTGAGAACAGTTGGATGTTCTTGATGTCATGTGGCTCCCATAGCTTCGACTCAATGACCGGTTTGACGCTGAGGTACAGCCGGGTGCCAAGTTCACTTTGTCCACCGGCTTCCACGACAAGCGTGGTAGCTAGGATCAATTTCAAAAGAATTGTGCTGTCGTCATGCAGGCCATCGGAGCCCGGGAGACCCTGGTGCGTGAATCCTGATCGTGTGGCGGCCTCCATAAATGTATACAACAGGTTAGCCTGCTGGGTGACATGGTTGATGTCCACCACGGGATACATGATCCCAATCTCCTCCTCATAGACCTTGCACAATCGTATGGCTTCATCTCGTCGAATACTCCATATTGGATCCTTGGACGGATGTATAGTAGGGACAAGGGTTCCTAGGTGCGGCGGCGGCGAGCCGGAGGGCGTGGCATGCGCAGTAGTCAAGTCGTCCGGCAGGACTTCCTCCGCCGGTGCGATTCCCATATTCTGCAGGCTGGATTTGGCGACGTCGAAGTTGAAAGCCGAGCTCGTTGGGCCGTGGAAGCGCGGGTGGCGTGACCGAGACTTCGGTAGGCCGGTATGCAGTGGGGTAAAGGCAGGCTGTGAGCCATCGCGGGCGAACTGGTCAAAAGGCGGAGACTCAAACGAGGGCCTGTGGGTGCGGAGGTCATTGAGACTGGTGAACAGGTTGTTGACTTGGTCCTGTAGCGTGGTGATCTGATCTGTCATGGACCGGAATTCCCTATACAAACCATTAAGCGATGCAAATAGCGCGGAATTTATAGACTTACTCCGAGTCCTTGAAATTATTGTTGCAGCAGTTCGGCGCATACCGGCCTGGAGCGAAAACAGTTAGAGTGGTAAGAATATTAGGCAATCATAACATAGAGCATACATTCGAGATTCAAATGCCCACAGCGCTGGCAAGGTACCTGGCCATTGCACTTGATTTTGCGGCGTTTGCATTCGTTGCTAAATCAATAGCCGAGCGCGGGTTAGCCCGAAGCCATTCCGCACGATAGGGAAGTAGTGAAAGCAAGTCTGCAAAATGAGGGCGCTTGAAAATAAAACGGGGGACTAGCCCCACGCACAGCGGCAGCGGACGGGGGATGTATGGAGAGTCAGATAAAGCCATATCGTACCATGCGATGGAAATGTAGCGATTCCGCTTTGCGCGCGTGTGCCCCGTTCCGTTGGTCTGTTCCGCCTTTCTCTTGGCCACGTCTGCGCCCGGTGTGGTGATCTGGCCGCCAGGACCAGTCTGTGGCGGGGTCTGGTCAATTTGCGGCGACTCTGAAGCCATGCCGTGCTGAATGCGCAGGTATATACGGGTGCTGGGTGCCGGCAACGGGGAAGAGAAGTGCGGAGAAATTCCCTGCTCTCGCGGGGTTTCCCGTTCCCCAGATTCGGCTGACTCAGCGCATTGCCTGGGCCCTGGTTGGCTGGTTCGATATCTTTTAGGGCTATGGGTGGTTTACACTATGCACCCCACCACCTGGTTCCTTCTACATGCAATATGGCGTTTCTTAAACTATAAGCTTATAAATCGAAAAACGAGTTTATGCTAACACTGCACCCAGCTTCGGAGTAGCTGTATTCTAAGCCGTGGAGAGATTTTCACGCCTAAGAAAATCCGCTGGGGTGTCACAGGCATAGTCCTTCTAGGTAACCTAAGAATTTCGAGGTAATAGGCAAGCGTGAATTTGCAACTCAGCGCAAAGTAAATCCCGTCTATGGTCCGAAGGATCGTGAACACTGTGAGACTATTTTGGGAGGCATCTTCGGCCATGTGCGTCTCGGTGGAAAGTTGCTTGAATATATTGCTGACCCATTTTGAATATCTTCAGAGATATAAAGGGGGAAAATTATCTCTTAGTCTAATGATTCCACTCAATCCTGACGTTGATCTTCATCATCGACTAAATTATGGGCTCAGGTAGAGGAACATTCCAAGGTTATATATGCCATGGATCAGTCTTCAGTATCTGTCCGCCATGGACCATTCAATGCCCTAACTACTGCGCCTACATGTGCATTTCTTTGAGGTTTGGGCAACGCGAGCCTGGTTGGTCCAGCTAAAGGCATTGGTAAATCAGCTGGTCATTGGAGAAAGCCCCAGGCTCCGAGATTTTGGGCTATGATAAAATGGTCACGACCGAGCCGCCCCCAGCTTCTGCACCGTCGACAATGCCCACTTCATGTTCGCCAACACTGTCTGCACCAGCTGGTTCCGTCCCTGTGGGTTCCGTCGAAGCCACGCAAGTCCCGAAAACAAGGCAACGAGAGTGAAAGCTCGGACAGCACGGCGGATTGTCTGCAAGGTCTTTCCCCTCTTTGTGAGTGTTGCGTTCCAGTCACGCCAGTAGGGGAATTTGCAGCGCCACCAGTGGTGGATTTGAGAATATCTGGAGGAATTAGGTTCGAGTTGACTTGTGATAAAGAGGTAAGAGAAACATACGGATATGTGCTTGAATTCCAGCCGTCAGCGGTAATATACCAACTCGAGCAATTTCCCTTCCGGAACACCGTCTTCTGCAACTGAGCCTGCAGCTTCTGTGTCCAAGCGCGCTCGGCCTCCTCCTTAACTTCATACGAGCTCACCTCGCCATTCAAGATAGGTTTAATGAATTGCAGCGAGTAATTGACTGCGTTCTCCGTTGCGAAAATCACACTCGTATGGCCCGTTCCCATGTTCGGGCCAAAGAGCATAAAGAAGTTCGGGCAGTGATCCATGACAATACCCTGGTATGCCTGGGCGCCTCCACGCTCATCCCAGAGATCCCAGAGGTCTTTGTTGGCTCGGCCGATCACCCGCAGCGGGTGCAGCCATACATTCGTTGAGAAGCCATTCGCCAGCACGATCACGTCGGCAGGGATCTCGCGGGCTTCATCAGTGACGCTGGTGGTGGTACTGGGTGGGTAGAGACGACCCGGACCAATCGTGACGCTCTTTGCGTGCACACGAGTCAGCGGCTGAGTCGTTAGCTCGACATTCGGAGCATGCAGACTGCGATACCACGCCCCCCCGACAATGCGCCGCTTACAGCCGAAGCTGTAGTTGGGCGTCAGGATCTCGTGGTATTTCTCTGGCGCAACGCGGCGCATATGATCCAAAAACTTCTTTTCAAGCCGCGGCCGCCGAATTCGACGACTGCGAGGGGTTTCGGTGAATACATCGAGGAAATTCGTCTCGCACCTCCAGAACATCTGGTACCGCACGAATAGCGCCAGTCCCGGGATATAGGTCGTCAGCTTGGGCATAATTTCCTCATATCTAGCCAACGCATCGGGAGTGAGGAGATCTGGCTGCACCCAGGGAGGCGTGCGCATGATTTGGGTGACAGAGCGGACATCTTTTACTATCTCGGGGACGACTTGGGCTGCACTGCAGCCGGAGCCAAGCATGATAACATCCTTGTTTTTCAGGTCAATGCTATCGTTCCATCGAGCTGTATGCATGATTTCTCCTTTGAAGCTTTCAAAGCCGGGAATATCCTGCGGCCGTTGCTTGGGCTCCACCAAGCCGCCAACGCCGCTGACCACGACCTTGGCTCGTACGATCTCGTCTTTAACATAGACGCTCTGTGGGCCATCACTAGCCACTCGAGCTTCGCGCTCGTGCGATGGCAAGTCACCGGTACCAGGAACTAGGTGGGACAGAGTGACCTCCCATTCCTCATCAGCCTCAATCCATCTGATCAGCTTGACATCGGTGTTGAGCTGGATCTTGTCAACAATTTGGTACTTCTCGCAGACCTCGGCCAGATACTGGGCAATTTCCGGGCCTGAGGGATGTAGCGTGGTCCAATTCTTCTTGGGACAGAAAGAAAACGAGTAGAAAATCGCCGGACTGCCAGGTTGTCAAAATACAGCCTCACGGTTGGTTGGAAAAGAAAGGGGCATGGCATACATGTCGCACGCCGCACCGGGATAGCGGTTGATCCACCACGTACCCCCAATTCCCGACTGGCGCTCGAAGATGCGAAATTGATCGGTGCCTAGCGCTTCTTTCAAGCGGCAGCCCATGGCTACCCCGGACTCGCCCGCGCCGACGATGAGCACGGGGTAGTAGGTGTGGCCGTCATTGCCGTATGCATTACGCTTGTGGATGGATGCAAGGGAGGAGGGCATCTTGGAGGGATACGAAGTTGTCAGAATTCTAAAGCTGACGGGGTGGATAAATCCCCCTTCTATAAGAGTTACCTCGGTCGCTCTGTGTACCCCCCCTTTTGGCGACCGGACCCACTCCAGCTCCAACCGCGGGCGGGCTTGAGCTAACGGGATCCACGTGCGACTTGGCTTAGATCGGACCTACTGGCGAGATGGTTACAATATCAACATTGAAGTTAATGAGTTATCGTGATAGCTATTAATGATCGAATACAATTTACTTTCGTTGTTGAAATAACGAGACGTAATAGATGCTTTTTCTTACTATGCATGGCGTACGAGGCCGGCCAACCACGTGTAATGCGTATTATGATCTGCGTATGTATTACAACCACTGGGGTCGGCGGAAGGTTCTCCATCTCTTTTTGAGGCTATGGCTCGGGTCTGCCCCCAAAGGCATTATTCCGGGTCATATCCACGAAGGATGGGGTACAAGTTTATCACTTGGCGCCAGAAGATCAGCAGCAGCCCTTCTCCCTTGACAGATATCGACAATAAATTTTTGTTTTGATAGAAAGCCTCTCAACGAGAAGAGGAAAAGCGGAACAGATGCCCATGAAATGCACCACTACAAGTCGCTGCTCCCAGAATCTGAATCTGTTCGAATAAGGCTCTCAAACTCTTCTGGTAAACGCAGCTATCCACGGTTGGGATGAGCTTCCGATACTACCACCGTGGCTCCTTGGTCTCGATCTTCCACCAGTACCTGAGATTCAAAGAAGTCCTCGTCAAACAATATTTTCGAGACTAATTAGTGTTGCACTATTCAATTTGTTCAATCTATCACGTCATGGAATGGCACATTATTTTTCTCTTTCAGAGAGCATTCAATGTTCCTTGCTAGGCGTATGTCCATATCTAAATCACATCTCATATAGTTATTCGCATTATTCAGATGGTCCTTCACCTCGCAATGTGAGGATTAGCTAAATTAGATTTAGTGGCAGGCAGTTGCCGGAGATGGCCGAGGCGGTGACCGCCTTTGAAAATTGATGGATCAAAGCGCGCGGAAAAACCGGTTTCCTGTTCGGGAATCCCTCTCACTTTCAGACCTGCCATTCTCAATTCATTCCAGAAAGCAACGTCCGGTTGTATTTCTGTGCTAAACAACTATGACACTAGGCACTAGATCAACATGCCCTCGAGAAAGCAGGTGCGACTCGGAGCAAGACAGAATTCGCGATCTATCGAGGTGTGTTATGGGTTCTTATATAAGCCCCGATGCTGATCGCTGATCATATCTCATTTTACATTTCTAGATACTATTGTACATTTGATCACGATTCGCAATCGACCAGCTGCCCCCGTCTCTCACCCGACTCCACACTAACGGCGCTGGCCCAACTGGGAGTCTATCGTTTTGGGTGTAATCGATCTTTTGTTTCCATCATTGACGGAGAACAACAACATCTCATCGCAGAAGCAACCGCTTCAGTTTCTCTACGCAACGAAGAAGATCATCTCCCAGCAGATGGCATATACCTCGGCGTCCGAACACTCGACCTGGAATGGGGTGTTTGTCCCCACGCCATACGTCTTTTCACGGGACATGATACATCTCGTGTGATTGACACGGAGAACATAACGGCGAATCGGACCCGCAACATCATCCGCGACTTTACATCCGAGAATTTCTACAAAAACCGTCCTTACGTTCTAGATTGGCCATACTTTCGATTCTACGCTGAAGTGCCCTTATACAGTCCCTCCGGGTATGTACTGGGCTCATATTGTGTTGTGGACGACAAAACACGAACAGAATTCGGTGACAAGGAAGTTATTGCTCTTCAGGAGATTGCGGATGCCATCGCCCAACACCTCGAGAATGTTCGGGTCGTTCACTATCACCACAGGGCAGAAAACTTGGTAAAAGGCTTGACGAAATTTGTCAAAGGACATCCGGAGTTTGACTCTCCAGACTCTTTCAGTCAACTTGCAGCATCCACGGAAACACTGAGTTTCCATAACCCGAAACTCCCTAGTAATGACATTCAGTCAACAGAGCTGGATACATTACTTCCAGCGAGTAAATCTCTCAGTAATGAGTCGGTCGGCCGATCATCCTCAACGACCCAGGAGGAGGGAGTATCTTCTCTTTTCTCAGAGATGAAAGGCTCTCAAACCACCCTGCCTTCTACTCAGCCGTCATCGCTTGCCCCGGGATCACCAAAATTAACAGCTCTGATAGGCCCTGGCGAGAACTTCTCTGGATCAGCAGTGGATGACGTGCCAGTTGCAGAACGTCTTTCAGCGATATTTTCGCGCGCCAGTGAATTACTTAGAGCTTCGATGGATCTTAGTGGCGTCGCCTTTCTCGATGCACGTCAAAGTGGCTCGCAATTGTTCAGTTCCATCTCTCTTCTATCTTGATACCATCTAATACTGTGCAGCGACCTCTCTGATGGCTTTGGGGACTGTGAAACCCTCTCCGAACATGGGGACTCAGGTCTGGCGATCGATCCACGGCCTTGGCTCCTTGGTCACTCTGCCGAGAAATCGCTAGAGAGCCCAGAAAGGCTGTGCCGCCCTTTGGATCATATCTCTAGCATGTTGCCCACCGAGCCTCCTAATACAGGGCCTTTCACAATACAAGAAGACTTGTTAGAAACGTTGATTAAAAACTTCCCAAGCGGACACATATTCAACATGGACGATGAACCACGTGGGCCGGAGACCATGCAACGACAAACATCTCGCCGCCTTGCATACCACCTACCAGATGCGAAGTCGGTGCTCTTTTTCCCATTGTGGGACTGGAATAAATCACATTGGCTAGCAGGAACGTTGGTCTGGACACAAGATAGCCATCGTCCTTTGGGCATGGAAGAACTGCATTATTTCAAAGCGTTCGGTGACTCCATTATTTCCGAAGTGTCTCGTGTGCACTGGAGGGCGACTGAGAAGTCAAAGTTTGATTTCGTCTCCTCTATCAACCACGAGCTTCGCTCTCCGCTGCATGGTATACTTGGGAGTGCAGAATTGTTGCAGTCTACACCACTCCAGCCCTCCCAGCATGACATGGTCAAGATGGTAGAAACGTCAGGCTTGACCTTGCTGGACACGATAGATCATCTGTAAGCTCGCTGGTACATCATTTTATAGCAAAGACTCTCACTAACTCATCGACAGGCTGGACTACTGCAAGATCAATGACTTGGCGACCACGAAGAAGTCGGGTAGTCATAGAGTCGAAAGGGAGGTCACTGGTCGAACATCAGACTTTGATCTCGGCATATTAATCGAAGAAGTGGGAACCTTTATTTACGCTCGCCACAAAGCCCAGCCTGTCACCATCCCTGCAAGGAATTCCATAGTCGCTGCATCCGCTAATGAAACAAGACACCAACTTCCTAGCAGCAGTGATGAACTTTCAACAGTCATACGGATAGAGATGCTCGATTCCTGGACGGTGCGATCGAATGCCAGTGCCTGGAGAAGAATATTGATCAACCTCATTGACAACGCAATGAAATGGACCATGAACGGCCTCGTTGAAGTCACATTATCAAAAGTGAGATCAGAAAACAAGCACGGCTTTTCATATGCCCACTTATGTGTCAGAGATACTGGCAGTGGGATCTCACGGGACTATCTCAAGGATAGTCTCTTTACTCCATTCGCCCAGGAGGACTCTCTATCGCCAGGTGTCGGCCTTGGCCTCAGCATCGTACACAAATTGGTGATATCACTTGACGGTACTGTCGACGTCAGAAGTGAGCTGGGTGTAGGCACCCAAGTGGATATTTATATACCCGTTGCGTATCTCGATAGAACGCACCCCGCTGAATTGGCAGGTGTTTGTTCGTCCATCCCAAAAACACCCACTCCACAAACTTCGGTCCGAGCATGCCTTCTTGGACTAAACGGACATCCGAGCTTGAATGAAATACCGACCGGGATCTTAAGCAGTGAGGCCAAACGGAAATTTTCGGTTCAAAATGCGCTCGTCGATGTTTTAATGACACGAATGGGGTGGCAGCTCTCGTTGGCAAAATCTCCCACGCAAGAGCATGGTGATGTCGTTGTCATTGAAGAAGCAGACTTCCACCACATGTTGACTGAAGGGTTGCTGCACGCAACAGACCCCGACCTCATTTGCAAATTTTTCATTGTCCTAGGTGGAAAGACATCGTTCCTGACTGATGATTTGCCAGCGAATGTCATCCGTGTATCGCAGCCGTGCGTTCAGACATATGCCCCGTTACGGATACACTAACTGACTCGTGGTATAGATTCGGACCTAAGAGTCTCCATGATGCTGCTGAGCAATTTATGAAAATCAACAAGGCGCCGCTTCAATTTGACGCCACGGACTTCGCACCCAATTCCTCCTTGTTAATAACTCATCAACATATCTCCTCCCTGCCAACACGGAAGGGCTCTATCAACAAATCGAGAATCTCTGTCCCCGGATGCTCATCTGCCGATGCTAGTTCTCTTGATCGGCCTGAATTCATAGTCCAAAAGCCGAGCCTGAACAAAAACCTAAACATGTCCTCATTGTGGATGATAATGACATCAATCTCAAGGTCAGTCAAGGCTTTTTTTTGATTTCTGGGCCAAGGCGGATTACATGGTTCCGAACTCGTATGGTACTGTATATTTGAGCTTACTGTTACGCCATTAGATTATGTCTACATTCATACGTAAACTCGGTTGTCGCTACGAGACGGCTTCAAATGGACTAATGGCCCTTGAAAATTATACGAGTACCAATCGACGATATGATTTCGTTTTGATGGGTAAGCCGCAAATACTCCCCAAGACTTCTTTACTTTGAATAGCTTATCGACCATGCCAGATATATCAATGCCCGTAATGGATGGACTGGTTGCAACAAAAAAGATACGCGAATACGAGAGACACAAAGGCCTCAGTCCTTCCTTCATTACGGCTGTAACAGCTGTTGCTTCGAATGACACACGAGAAGCAGCCTTAAAGGCAGGGGTCAATGATTACTTGATCAAGCCGTTATCCCTTGATAAACTCCGGGGGCTAATGCACGAGACTTCTACAAGCGCTCAACTCAAGGGGATCTCATAGGCTTCGATATCTTGTTACAAAAACCCACAAAAATAAAAACAAAGTTCGCAAGATAGCACGACATCTTGCAGACTTCGGCTCCTTTCAACAGGGTCTGACTGCAGAGCAAATGCAGAAGGCTTCTAAAGACGGCAATATTATCGTGTTAAATGTCACTAATCTACGAAGTGATGCTGTCATCATCTCTGCATCCGGATTTAGCCTGATTCTTTCTTCTTCGATTTGGTGCGGTCCAAGCGCAGAGTTGGGTCGAACAGGAGTTGACTTCGCCTGGTGAACGTGGCATGAAGAATAAATCATACCGCCAATTTTTAGCGTGGCTTTGGCGGGAGTGCGTAAAGCCTATCCTCACCGAGCTCGGTCATTCTGTTCGATCATCTCCGTTCTACTGGGCACAGTATGTCCCTTATGGTGCCTGAGCACAGAATACTTAATCAGAAAGCAATATACGAAGGCTTCAGGTAGCTATTCCATGAATTAGATCTGCAGCGACAACAAGGGGCTTTGTACATGGAGTTCAAAGGGGTCTTCAAGCTCACATCAGAGAGATGATCGATGTGTATAGTAGAAACCACGCTTTTTGAGCGAAGATCGCAGAATGTTTCTTATTTCAGTTTAAGCTTGTCTACAGTCAAGTCGAGTAAAGTATTGAAATTGCCGTTTGTGCTGTCTGGTGCAGAAGTAAGCCCTGTCACTGGGACAGGGGAGCTGGAGAGGAAGAGAGAACTGGCCAGAGTCTAGGCCCACTCCAGCTTCTTATGTTTGGCTGGTGTGTATCTTTCAGGAGAAGTTCTGCTACGGGGTCGTCCACCTTTATTAGGCGGTGCTTTGATGCTGCCAAACATCCGTATATTGGAGGAGATTCTCAAGATGGTTCTCTTGCTGCAGCCAGCAGCCTGCGCCATCTGCGATATCCCCACTGTAGATCATGTCGTAGATAAGCTCATGCTTCGAGGGAGCTAGGTTTGGGGCCATCTTGGTACACCACTGGTGATTGATTGTTAAGCTCCCCTCCCTCGGGCGGCTGTTTTGGAGGTGGGATATGGAGGTGTCAGATGTTTTGACTTTACAAGCTATACATAACTGACAAGTAGGAAGTAATCTACGTAAGAAGCAATACACACCAACATAGACTAGCTGGCCGGCATTACAGTTCGAAAAACGATGAAAGAGTGTAGGTGGTGACACCAGTTTCGAGACGGACTGTACTCCTGAAAATAAATGCAAACAAAAATAGCTACAAACGAGCATAGTTAATCGGAGACGCGAATGACGAAGCCGGGATCAGCGGTTTCCCCGGGATCCACTCGAGTCGCTTTTCTTTCATCCTTCAACGCCTCTCTGATGAACCCCCAACAATGGCCCATGTTTCGATTCAGCCGAGTCAACCCTCGACTCTCTCATAACTCTTATTATCGCCATTTCTCTACATCCACGATCCGACCATACCGCCCCCTCGACGTCCTCCACGATGGCAGCGTCAACACGTTCCGCCAAACAAGCTTCATCCCCGAGCAACCAGGCATCCTCCCACGCTCGCACTTCCAATCCCTGCCCGCGAGGACTCGCTGGTTCGATCCGAGCGAACAAGGTCTATCTCGTCTAAACACGGAATACCTGCGCAACCATGGCGCCGAAGCGGTCGTGCCGCTCGAACTGACCGAGCAACCCACCGAGACAACCGACGAGCTGAGCTTCCGACACTTCCACGCACCTCTCTCCCTCTTCCTAGACTGGCTCCAGATTGCCGAGGAATCTCAGCAATCGACGCGCCTCTATCTCGCCCAATGCCAGCTCCTCGATCTCCCTCCGACCCTGTGCCAGGATCTGCCTACGCCCGACATCGTGGCGCAGGCTGGCAGGGGCGATGTGTACGATACAAACCTGTGGATTGGATATCCGCCTACATACACCCCACTACACCGCGATCCCAACCCGAATCTCTTTGTCCAGCTGGCGGGACAGAAAGTTGTGAGACTGCTCCCTCCTGTGGAAGGGCAGGCTCTGTTTGGGAGTGTGAGACGGGAGCTGGGGAAGAGTGGTAACCGGGAGGCAGCGGCGTTTCGGGGAGAGGAGATGATGCAGGGTAGAGAGCGGGCGTTGCTGGATCATATGGTTTGGGACACACCTGCGGAGAATGGGTATGAGGCGTTACTTGGTGCGGGCGATGGCCTGTTTATTCCCAAAGGGTGGTGGCATAGCATCAAAGGCATCGGCGAGGGTGTTACTGCTTCGGTGAGTGATGGCGGTTGAGCTGGTTGTCTGGAGTTTACTGACTTGTTGCAGGTGAATTGGTGGTTTCGATGATGGAGTAATAACGATAGACTTGTACAACAAATGTAAATATCATCGGATTCCAAATTTTATAACGGTTGAACCGTACTTATCACTACAAGTATGTACTTATATTATTACATGTAGTATCTTCCGAGAACGAACGGATATCTCTGTCCCAGTTCTCGGTACAAGTTGACAGACTCAACCCATTCATAACATCTTGCTAGGCTCCTTGATTTTTAACTACGGAAACAGCTAGGTCAATAACACATGACCGTGATGAATTGTCTTCTTGGTGAGAATACATTCGTCAGTCATCATACATTGAATATTGAAAGGCTTTATCAAGTCATATGGTCATAGTCGTGTTATAAACGAGAGCCTCGCGCCAATTTTGCACCCACTGTGCAGATGAAGGAAACCGGAATCGATACCACAGGATCGACACCGTGAAGGTGATTATAACACAAGTCACCAGGACGACTCCATTTTCTCCCAAGTACCCAGAATACTGAAATCTCCCTCTCATATCCGGTGTTATCTCAGCAGCGATCTTGAGCAAGAGATAGAGACCGAAACAGATAGAGTAAAAGATGAGGAGGACCACAGCCTCCACAGTTAGCAAACTATAAAGCCACTGCATAAACTCTCCAAGCATCAGAGGCGCTATTAAGAAGAACGCACCAAAAATCGCTCCGTAGAACCCAACACCGACCACAGCAATAGAGACCATAAGCACTGGTGTTGATGCGTGTCGTTCCTGGATAAAGGTAGGTAGGAATCGCCACACGAACCTAGCTAGGGCAGCAATACCGGAAAGGAAGCCTTGTGCGATTGAGTAAGATGCGACCATTATGAAGAACATGGCAGCAAATATGAAGGGAAGCTTGAGAAAGAATATTGCGATACCCCAGCCGGTAGAGGAGAGAATGTACGTATGTAGAGGGGGCTGGATGAGGTCGAGAAAAGCCCAGTAGACGAATATTGCATTGAGTAGACAGCCCCATCTCAATAATATCACGTCACAATAATTGAAGAAATGTTTTAATGATGCCAACCGTGGAGATGTGAATGGATCCTTGTATCTGCTGCCACTATACTCCTTTGCAGCCTCTGGGTCAGAAGAGCCAGTCCTATTCTCAGACTCGGCAGTCTCCACTGGGGCGGGGGTAGAGTCACCATCACCTTGTATACGTTGGCCTTCATCACTCGTTTTGCCTAGCAGGTGCTCAGTGCTTGGTGATTCCAGGAAATCCATCTGGTGGATCGTGTGGCCATCAATGTCATCATTTATGCTCCCCACCTCACTGCTCGTGGTGCCCGGTGTGTACTTCGCGCCCGCTGATTCTTCCAATTCGACTTGGGCTTTCATTTTCATAGAATTGACCTGATTGTTCAATTCATCCTCTTGGACTTCTTCAGTGCTCCCCGCGAGCGATGTTTCATCGTCATCCGCTTCTCCCAAAGATTCCAATTCGAAATCCTTAGCAGTATACTGCGGTTTGGCAAGTTCACGTCTCGCAATTTGCAATGCAATCTCCAAGACGATGTATGAAGCAAAATACATCCATACCCAAGCCATTGTCCATCTGATTTTCCCCCACCTACCGACTATATATGTCGGCGCTAATAAGCTGAGAAATAACCCAAGAAGGCGTAATGTCGTCGTTACCGGTGCCTTTCGACTAATATAATCGGGCTCAAGTTCGTCAAAACGGTCCTTGCCGATAATAAGCAGCCCTTGGCGCAGTGTAGCATGGAGGAATGTACAGTATGCTAGGAGCCGAAGGATGAGCGCCAGAGTATCGAGGGCACATACAATAGGCGACGCTCGAAGCCAGACGCTATTGAATGCAGAGGATCCAAGGACACGACCGACGGGTTGAAGCATGGTATTCAGAGCGAGGGGAGGGAGGAGTGAGAACGCCTGGAGCCAGCTAATCGAGGAATTCGCGGTAGTCATGATTGCGTCCGTGGAGGGTTGGATATGCTTCGGTCGTAGATCATGATATAGCCAGGGCCATCGTAGATGTAATGCTGTAGAATGGTGGGGCTGTGTTCAGAGACACCACCATAATACGAGCTTAGTGAGAATACGGGCATGGGATCACGTCTTGTCACAGCCGCAGAGATCATAGTGCTCTGTTCTCCGGTGGGGCGCGGCGCGGAAACGGTCGGCCATTGGCCCCCGATCGATCTATACGGGAACGGGATCGTCGAGGATGTGATGGATCGGCTTCCCTCCAGCTCTCTCAGGCAGGGAGAATCCCTCCCCCCTCTGGTCCGTCTCACTGGGGTTCCAATCCGGGGGCCCCTGCACGGACGAACGATCAGCCACGCGCCGTCGATTCCCCCTGAGCCCCCCGACCTGGTTCCGATTCCACTACATGATCGTAGGTCGGTGGGACGAGCCTGGTCGATCCGACGACGATGGCCGGGCAACCGCAACCTCGTGCCCTGTTCGAGTACGAAACGAGTCACAACGCCATCGTCTGCAGTAATATTCGATATAAGGGCCCACGATATGGCAGCCACCTTGTAGTAAGTAGGGAATCGTGGAAGAGTACCTTTGGTCGACACGTTGTATATGGCACATTCACATTGGGATTAGCGTGGCAGAAAGAGGAAACCGGGAAAGCTACCCATTCTAGAATCAACGATCGACGATCCACCCCCAGCCACAAAAAAAGAACTTCCCGTTGACACATCTCCACTACCAGCCCAAATGCAGGTCTCGCGTACTGCATACCGCGCCTCGCTCCTCTTTCTCAACCCACTCCTCACCCGGGCCTCACTCGCCAGCTGTCCCAGCGCCAACCCAGGAACTGCCTTGCGACACCTCATCGCGCCCGCCGCGCAGCTGCACACCCTCCTCTTCCCGCAGTGCAGCCCGGTCTTCAGACAACCAGATCTCATTCGCGGAGCACATACAATGGCCACTCCAGACTCAGACCCGAACACGAGCAATCCACCAAGTGAGACAAAGCCAGAGGAACAAACACAAGAACAAGCGCAAGCGGATAGTACAGGCGAACACCTCTACCTCCCATCCAGCCCCAGCAACGGGAATAATGAAAAGGGAGAAGGACAACAACAACGACTCAGCCTAAACGACGATTCTGGCTCCACTGTTACGCTTGACCACCTAGGCCCGATGGTTGTGAACACGGATGGAACGCTGTCGCGCATTAGCAATTGGGACCATATGACCGAGATTGAGAAGAAGAATACGTTGCGAATTTTGGGGAAGAGAAATAAGCAGCGGCTTGAGGTGTTGAGGGCTGCTGAACAAGGTGGGGAGTGATGGATCACTATAGACTACAAAAGGGTGGTGGGTGCATGTTGGGTATGGTAGGGTTTAGTTTTGTACAGTTAGATATTAATGAGATACGCTTGGACACCAATGATGTGTAATAATAAGGTTCCTTGGAAGCCATAATGGGTATTACTTTCCGATTTGAATGTAAGACCACCTTCACTGGGAAGGCAGTGCTAACCGAGCAGCCGATAGACAAAAGATATATTTCTCGACAATACCTATCATCTATTCAAAGAGCTTATTGAAAAACTTATGAGCCGCATTTCTACCAACCAACAGTCAGCCAAATCCCTCAAAACAAAACAGCCCACCAAAGATTGCTTACCTTGGAGGCACCGGCACGAAATTTCTCGTATACTCCTCAATCGCCTCAACGCCCGAAACAAGATCCACCTCCTCAGGCTTGAGGAACTTGGTGTTGTGAAAGACCTTCCACCCAAAGTACAGAACGGGGAAAACACCAATCATCGTATAGGAAAAGAGGAAGGTCGGAATAGACCAGTTGCCCGGCAGGAAGACGGGGTATCCGCCGACAAAAGCCATAACTGCCGTGCAGCAGAAGGCTATCCATGCAATGTAAGGCTGGTACCAGCTGCGGTAGGGGAGTGTATCACGCGAGATGCCCTGTGCGTCGAGGGCTTTTTTGAAGCGGATGTAGGTGAATGTTATTACGGAGAAGTTGATTAGTTGCGAGGCGGTTACCTAGGACAACACTTAGGATATTTCCTTTGTAATATATTTTGAAGCAGTGGAAAAGGAGAACGTACCAGATTGACGAACCAGTTCAGCACAACCGCGGAGTCATTGGAGACCTGCAGAAAGCTGAGGAGGGCGATCAGTAGCACAGCGGCAACGCAGTAAATCGGTACGCCGCTACTAGTGCACTTGGTCAGGAACCGAGGTGCCTTGCGCTCCAGCGCTAGTCCATATAAACTGCGACTCGCACAATAAACATAACTATTGCCTGCGCTGAATGACGCCGTGAGAATCACCGCGTTGACAATATGCGGCAGGACGGGAATACCCAACCGATCCATGGAAATGACATACGGCGACGCTGCAGCGCCAGGCTTGCCGTTGTCAAAAGCAGCAGCCATCGTCTTATCATTGTAGGGGACCAAGATACCCACGCACAGAACGCCGAGCACGAAGAACGTCGTGAGTCGATAGAAAACACCATTATATGCCTTCGGCAGCACGGCGCGCGGGTTCACTGTTTCGCCAGCTGCCATGGAGATATAGTCCGGTCCGGCAATGGTGAAACTGGCCGTGATAAGCGCAGACAGAAAGCCGAGGAACTTGCCCAGATTGTCGTGCTTATAGTACTCCGCAAACGCACCGGGCTCGTTCCAGTACCGGAACCCGAACCGATCGCCGAGCGGGTTCCCGCCCAGCATCACAATGAACGTGTAGAAGATCAGTCCCGTGCTGAGCAGGACTTTGCCGAGGGCGAGCCAGAATTCGGCTTCGCCGTACCACTTTACGGCGAACGCGTTTAGTATGCTTTCATTTTGCTATCTGTTAGTTGTCTTATATAGGGTATTTTGTATAGAGGGTAGTGATATGACATACGAGTAGAGAATAAGCACGATGACATTCGTCGCAGCGACCGGGATGGCGCTGGTCCAGTACCTGAGAATGATGCTGACGGCGACGATTTCAAAGGGGACTAGAGTGGCTTCGAAGATGAAGAAGTTGTACCCGGCTGCCACGCCTAAAGCTTCGTCGACGTAGCGGCCTGCGAAGCGGATGAATGGCGAGGAGATGGGGAGGTAGGTGACCATTTCTGCGAGACCTAGTTGTGTTATACGTTTAGTACATCAGACATGGCATAGGAAATTGGTGCGTTGGGAAAAGAAAAGAGGTAGTGCGGTGGAATAGACTGGACTGGACGGTTGCGCTTTTGAAATATGTGAAGGGAGATTGTTTGTGAGGCAGATGTAGAGATGCTAGGGTTGATGGTTTGATCACGGGGTGGCTCGTACAGACGGTGATGATCAGGATCACGGCGCTCCTAGAAAGCCACAGTATAAGAGTCCGGACTAGACCGTAAGCGGGACAGATGTGAAGGGGCAGGTAGATAGGTAGGCAAAAGAACTAGATTGATGTGTGTCCGGTGGCATGGTATGGATTTGTCGATGAATACCGACCCTTGGGGTTGTGGGCTGGTGGTGATGAGCGACTGGTAAGGGTTGACCTAGTGACGTCTTCTACGTCTCTTGTCTTCAAAGATGTTGAATGCAGTAATTTGATCTTTTGTCGATCGATATCTGTCGCTATAGTTTGCAGGTACTTACCATCCAAGCGATGTCGTATATATAGGGAAAGGGTTGAAACAACACAAGTCAACTGAGAAAAAAAAACCACTAACCAAATAGAAAATCCCAAGAACAAACTCGCCGGTCCGCTTGTTCGCAGACCGGACCCGATCTGAACGTACAGCACCGTCCCAATAGTCCCTCCAATACCGATCAACTGGAGATGGCGAGGCTTAAGCTTGCGGTGGGTATGGTCGTAGGTAGGTTTCATAGATCCGCCATCGATCGACATATCCCGGTGATCCAGCGATGATAGATCTTTCTCCACTAACTCAACCTCCTTGCCAACAATTTCAGTCGGCTTGGCCTCGGGATCGGCTTGTAGTGTGGACTCAGTGCGCATGATAGCCGCCGTCATCGGCATATGGGAGACGGGCTCCGAAGGAAGTGAATTCGACATGATCGATCAATCAACCAACCAACAAAGAAAAGAAAAAGAGCATAGAAAGAAATTAAAAGGAAACAGGATGGAAGGAGGGGATAGTAGTGAGAATTTTTCGTCCCTCCCGACCAGGTTGCCTCCAGTTTTGCTTGGCCGAATTGCTTGGCATACTGAGCGCGTGAGGACCAATCTTATTATCTCGCACTCCGAACGGCGTGGAGTATTCGGCCTCCGCCGAGGCAAAAAAGACAGGCCGGGCCGGGGATGACTCGAGGACGAATAAGAGCGGGTTAGGGGGTGCCGGTATCCACACAGGGAGGCCCTTCAGGCGTGTCGAATACCTTGTCGGGACGAGATCCTTTGGTATTCCACTAGAACAGAGAATGAAAAAAAGAAATCCCTCGTATTCATCACGAGTGAGGGAATTATAACGATGAGCCCAGGCTCTCAAAGGGGGGAAAGAGAGATAAGATAGAATGTTGGCTAGGAATGAATGGAATGGGCAAATTCACCCGACTCATGCCCGTGATCAGGATCATTCCTCGCTGGTCCATCCACGCTCAATTTTCCCACTGCCCTCATCATGCCTCCGTTCTGAGTCATGGCTCACACTGCTCTCTGACTCTCTTCGAGAGGGCGGTTCTTTCCCGAGCCAGGTGGGTGGGAAGAAGGAGTCGTTGTCTTCGAAGTAGAGATGGTGCTTGATCTCTGACTGAGTAGAATCCCGCCTTTGGTCTGGGGCTGTTCCGGAGGCCAAACTGGAGTCTGTTCGTGGATTGGGGAATGACATGGCTACTTGGAACGAGTTGCTACAGTACAGTGCAGTAGATGTAGATGTAGAGGAAGAGATGGTCATCTGACTGGTTATGTACTGTCTGCTTGACGTCATCATCTGCCTACATACTCCAAAGATGAACAATACTGCATGATAATAATTATATCAGTGGTTACAGAGAGCTACATCAATGCTACCATAGCCATTACCTACCTAGGTAATAAACTCCAATATCTATATCTATATCTTGTTGAACTGAAGAGTTGTATCTACATCTACCTCGGCCAGTCACTGCCCAGCAAACGTAATCAATGCCGAACCCCCACTTTCTTCTTCCTTCCCCCACGACGAACCATCCACCTTAACCACCCTAAGGATCAATTGTCTCCCCCATTCCTCTCCAAAATGGTCGAACACGAGCCCGAGCCCAAGCGCTTCTCCCCCAAAATCCCTGTCCAGCTGGACCCGCCGAAAGACGACCTCATATCGCAAGAGGAGCTCGCCAAATGCGACGGTACCTACCCGCACACCTACTGTCTTCGACCACTAATTCATGAATTGGGTGCAATTAGGCACGGATCCGAACCGTCCGACATACGTCGCTATCAAGGGGGTTGTCTTTGACGTGAGCCGGAACGCGGCGTATGGTTCCTCCGGTCAATATCGCGGTATGTTGCTTGACATCAGAAAAAAGTGAAGTTGAGGATTAGGTGCTAATTATGGGATGTTGTTATTCCAGTCTTCGCGGGTAAGGACCCCTCGCGCGCGCTGGCGAGCTCGTCGCTCAAACCGGAGGACTGCGTTCCCGAGTGGTATGATCTCGACGATAAGGAGAAGACCGTGCTGGATGAGTGGTTTACTTTCTTCAGCAAGCGGTATAACATCGTTGGCAAGGTGGAGGGCGCGAAGAATACTTGATCATTCCTTGTTACATATCTATCCACTCATCAGCTAAACTATACCCGCCGTTTGGAAAACCCTTATCCTATCATCGGTTTCTTGAAACAATCACATTTTGACACACATAGTGGTATTTACGAACAAAAAGGTCTATACAGATTTTCTTTCTTTCCTTCCTTCTTCAGGCCTTCCCCTTGCGCGATTTGCGCTGCATGCGCTTCCTCGAAATGATCCGGTTGCGCTTGGCAAGCTTGTTCTCCTCCTCCGCGTCATGCTCGTCTTTACCATCCTCGTCCTTGCCCCTCTTTCTCTTCCTGCCCTCGGCATTGTCGGATTGGTTCTTGTTGTTGTCGTCGCCATCCTTGGACTTTTGCTTGTAATCCGTCTTGCTGTCGGCACGAGCCTTTTGCTGCAATTCGCGCTCGTTCCGCCGCTTGACGACCTGGGCGTTCTCAATGGCAAATTCCACAATCAACCGCTTTTTCTTGTCCTCTTTAATCTCCTCGACTGGCGCCGGCTGGGCAGCCTTGCCGGACTTGGTGGGCTTTGTGGACTTCGCGGGCTGCGCGGGAGGCTCGACCATGTGGCAGTTCAGCCAGCGCAGACCCATCAATGCGTGACGGTGCGTGTAGTACTCGATGAATCCGTACCCGCGGCTCCGCCCGCCGCCGCTCTTCTCAGTCACCTTGGACCCATCGCGGGTCTCAAAGACAACCTTGGCCTGGCGCACGATACCGGCTTTCTTCTGTTTCCGTATAGTCTCCAGCTCCTTCATCGTATCCCGCGAGCGTTGCTGTTCCTCCTTGGAAAGAGACTGGCGGATACCCTTCTTGACATCTGTGGCGAATCCGACGACGGCCTGCCGGGCAAGTTGTTTCAGGTCCTTGGACGTGACATAGCGCGGGATGTTCCGGATGGCAAGACGGGTCAGGCTGATGTGGAGGGCTGGGTTCTTCTTGATGAAGTTTTGACGCTGCTTGAAGCTCTCTTCGCGCATTTTGATCTCGGACGGGGAGAGCTTCTTGTAGAGCGGCGAGTCGGACGGGATCGTTCCTTCGGATAGGAGGTAGAGTCGGCGCTTGTCCTTGTCTCGCACGAGGCGGCGTGATACTCCTTCCTCTTCGAGCTTCCCGGCTTCGGTCTTGCTCACGGCGCGAGCGACTTGGAGGACCCGGCCGTCCATTGTGTAGCGTCCGCTGGGGTCGGAATTCTCATTTTGGAGAACAGAATGCTTGGTGGCTTGGTTGGACTTGTCCTTTTTCGCGGCCATTGTGTCGGGGTTTCTAGGGGCTTCGCGAATGCAAGATGTAGCATCCTCGGGTTTCCAGAAACAGACAAACCCTGTGCCTCGGGGTCGTTCGGTTTCGTAGTCGAGGACAACTCGCGCGTATCGTAGCGGGCCGAATTGAGCGAAATGTTCGTAGAGGGAATCGTCTGTGGCAGTGAAGGGTAGATTGCGCAGGAAGATAGTTGAAGCATTTCGGTCATCCTCCACATCTTCCTCGTCGTCTTCATTGTCCAAATCCTCGAGGTCGTCTAGATCTTCGTCATCATCTTCCTCCGAATCTTCATCCTCGGAGACGTCATCAGAGGCAGCTTCTGCATCTTCCATGTCCAAGTCTGCGTCGCCCTTCTCTTCCTCTCCGTCTTCTTCCTCATCCTCCTCCTTTGTCTTCTCCCACACTTCCTTTTCAACAGCCCAATCAACAGCCAGTGCGCGTCCATCCACCTCTTTCCCATTGACAGCCTGGAGCGCCTTCTCAGCGTTCTTCTTGCCTCTCAGAATAACAAAGCCAAAACCAGCCAGCTTATCCCCTTTCTTAGGGAGCGTTGCATGTTTGACCTTCCCAAAGCTCCGAAAGAGAACAGCTAGGTCATCGGGCTCCTTGATACTCCACGGCAGGTTGCGCACGATCAGCTTGGGCGGCGGGCCCTGCCCTCTCTGCTCCTCTCTCTCTTGCTTGGACTTGAGCGCCGCGGCAGTCGGGACACTCTTTCCAATCTTCTCATCGATCTCACGGTGGCGAGACTCGGCGTAATCAACTCGAATTTTCTTCCCGTCAAACACGGACCCGTTCAGTTCCTCCAGAGCGCTTTGCGCATCCTCGAGGTCGGCGAACGTGACGAAACCATACCCCTTGGACTGCTTGGTCTCCCGATCACTGACGACAATCGCATGCTTGATCACGTATGACTGGGAGAAATGCTCGACTAGACTCTCCGTGGTAGCTGAGGCAGGAAGCGATCGAACGAAGAGCGTGCGCTTGGTCTTCTGGGAGGTTTTGGGTTCAGCGATGTCATTTGTGTCGACTTCCATTTTGGATTCGGCGTCTGCATCGCCTGACAGACGTCTTTTCTTGCTGGGTTCGCCCATTTTGGTTGGCATGGGTTTTTTGTTGCGAGCAGAAAAATTCGCGGCAGAAAAGTGAAAAGCCCCAGAGGGCGGTGAACAGCCCGACCGATAAGTAGGGCAGATTACGTAGCTCAGGCGCGTCCTGACTATTCTGTACTGGAGTGTTTGAGACGGTCCAAATCACCATGGACAGCGACGCAGATAAGGAGGCCATTGCCTCCTCTGGCTCAAATCCCTCGACTCCAAATACACTCCCACCCAAAGTCCAACAACCCAAACCACAAGTCCTCGCCAACCGATCTGGTCCCTCCTCGATTCTCGTCTCCACGCGCCAGAAAGGAAACCCAATCCTGAGCCACATCAAACTCCTGCCCTGGGAATATGCCGATATTCCTGCCGACTATGTGGTCGGCGCGACAACCTGTGCCTTGTTCCTCTCTCTGAAATACCACCGTCTGCACCCCGAGTACGTATACTCCCGGGTGCGGCTGCTGGCTGGGAAGTACCAGCTCCGACTGCTTCTGATTATGGTCGACATCCCCAATCACGAAGACAGCCTTAAGGAATTGTCTAAGACATCAATTATCAATAATCTCACGCTGATGCTTTGCTGGTCAGCCCCGGAAGCCGCGCATTACCTGGAGCTATTCAAGTCCTCAGAAAATGCACAGCCGACTGCTATCCGCACCCAGCAAGCACAGTCCTACAAAGAGTCTCTCGTGGAATTTGTCACTACCCCGAGAAGTATTAACAAATCCGACGCGGCGAGTTTGATCTCTACCTTTGGCAGTTTGCAGAATGCCGTCAATGCACAGCCGGAGCAGATCAGTGCTGTGCCGGGATGGGGAGAAAAGAAGGTCCAGCAATGGTGTAGTGCAGTCAGAGAAGACTTCCGAACAGAGACGGCGAAGAGATCGACGACACCAAAGACAAGGATACCCGCTCGACCCTCTCGGCTTGTGGAGGAATCACGGGGAGGGGATGTGTATGATGAGGATGAAGAAATGCTCCGTGCAGTCTTAGAGGAGAGTCGCAAAACCGCTGCAGCAGAAGCAGCTGCTAAGGCTACTGGTGCTGAGAAGGAAGCACAGCAACCCGAGGAAATGAGCGAGGGCATCACGGCAGCACTGGCGAAACTTCGAGAAGGTGGTGGCTGAAATTTGAATGCTGTCCTGCGCCATCTATCGATTATCTTTGTCTTTCGACAAGAATTCCAGACGGGTTAAATGGGAGACAGCTCTGCGGCTCATGAACTATCGCCTGTGCTGGTTGGGATGAGCTATTCTTACCAGGACTAGAATGGCCCTGTTCCTGGTCTCCGCTCATGTATCAACATGCGCACTGGAAGCGTAACATTTTGCTAGTCCATGGCTGTTCGTGGCCTCAGCTCATGGTCCGATCCACCCAGCCGTGGATGTTTCAACTCTTCACGATCCTGGCTTACCAGAATCAAATGACACCCCGTCAGAATTGTATTGTTTACGCAAGGTGGATATTGACGAAGGGATAGTATACTGTTTCAGTCATCTGAAGTCTAGCCCGTCCCCCACCAGTCGTAGAAACCATCTTACGCAATGGAATAAGATGCTGCTTTTTATCCTCCTATTCATTAGCCCTCTACTTTTCATAAATGTTCCAGTATACTCATTTACAGCCATAGCTAGACACTGATGTGTTTAAATAGAAAAATCATACTATTTTCCCTGCGTTTTGGGAGTATTGTTTACTTGTGAAGGTATAGTTTCGTCCGCACTCGGCACCAATTTGGTCAATACTGTTGATCCTCACTCGTACACAAGTGAGCGTCTGAAGACGTGAGGAAAGTCCAAAACAGCTGCGGGAGAAGCGGCACTATTTTACAATTTCAGAGGCAGGAATAACTTGAAAAGATACTTTTAAGCCCCTTTGCAAACCTCCCCTATATCCTAAGGGCAGAAACAGACTATTGTACACAAAAATAAAAAATCAAATGCATCCGTTGGGTATTTGTCTCTAGTCAGATCTGGCAGAAAACGGATAAACGTGCAAATAACAACTCAAAGACCTCCAAAAACTAGGCAACGCGAACAATAAACACAGAAATCAGATGACGGAGAAACAACCACTCTTGAAAAGGGAGGATTGGATATCGCTGATCATCATCATTAGTCAAGCACGTCATTTCATCCGCGGGACTTCCTTCCTGTCGGAAAAGGAGGCATCAGAAAGCACAACAGAATCAACAGACGGACGTCATCACGGCATGCCAGTAAATACGAACACGAAGATGGATGGAAAAGGAAGAAGTAGGAAACGCCAGCAACGAGTCCAATCTAAGTCGGTTTGTCGCACCCGATCCGGCCCAGTAGTGCTCTGCGGTCGCTCTGATCGAATGGAACTCGGCCGCGGCCACGGGCTCGGACCGCTGTGGCGCCATTGGACCGGCGGTGGTCCAGACCAGAAGAGCCATCGCTAAGGACAGGGGTAGTGGAGACACTATCTTTGAGTAGCACCCCGTTGGAGACGATCTCATCACCCACTTGAATTTCGTCTTCCTCCTCGTCGTCGCTGCGGCTGTCTTCAGCATTACCAGTACGGAGCACATTGACGGCGACGCGGACGATCATGCTGAACCAGACTATTGACAATCCTTGCAGGAACAGAAGGAAGGAGAGGAAAATCCACTTGATTGTGCGATTCATGCAGATTGGGTTGTTCAGGTCCTGGTATGGGGCGAACATGTATGCGAATGCATCGGGGTAGCCGTCGGCGGAGATCATCTCGGCCGTGGAGCCCGAGTAGCAGCCGTAGGACATCTTGGCGGGCACATTCTTATAAATCGACCAGCAGAGGATGGGGTAGAAAATGTGTCGAGTGATGAACCATGCCACCATTAAGATGCCGAAAGCGACGTTGCAGGCGAATTCGAACTTGAAGTATTTGAGGATTTTGGCCGCCTGTCGAGCGTCAGCAGGGAGCTTCACTTGAGGCGCAATGGACGTACCGGCAGCAAAAAATCCACAATATCCATCAGACACAGCACAACATTGGACACGTTATAGAAGCGATAGATATAGGCCGAGCTCAGGAGCGCACTGGTAACCACATGATGGGTCAACATCTGGTAGTGGTCCTTGCGACGTGCTTCGAGGTGGATAACCATAATCTGCTGGATCCAGAAAGACAGCTGCACCAAGAGATACCACTTATTCAAGCCCGGCAGGGCACGCTGAGGCCATTCACTCCAGATGGCGCTGTAGTCAAGCCAGTAGGAGGAGTTCTTCCACAGGTACTACGTGAAAACCGTTAGTTTGCATAAACCACTACCTCTCGAGCGGTCAAGACGAACCATTCCTAGCGACCAGAAAAAGCCGTCATACATGAACAGCCAGGCCTGCTCGGCGAATCGGACGGACGCCTTTCGCTTCAGTCCCGCATACCGAGCCAGCGGTTGGAGGATCCATTCGATCGCGATGGCGCGGATAGCGGTGAATGCGATGATGCCGCTGGCGACGAAGTAGATGTCGTCCCAGCCCTGCACATATTGGCCCTTGCTGGGAACGTAGTAGGAGAGCTCGAAGAAGGGTTGGGTGTACGGGCGGAGCGATGGGTAGAGATTGTGCAAAGCCAGCAGGGTCGCCAAGGTGGTCAGAGAGATTCCTGCAAAGAACCCTCAATGATTAGCGAACCACCAATTTTTGACAGACATTGCCATTCTCCCTACCAATTTGACTGGCGACCATCCACTCTCGGAACGATGTCACCTTGACGGGCCGGGCACCAGAGGGGGAAACGCAGGCATTAAGGTCGGACACGGACTGCGACGGCGCACTCGTCTCTTTGGCCATTGCGATGTGACAGGAAAAAATTGCCGGTGGGAGTGCCAGCAAGGGTTGAGGTGGGTGAAACGAGGCGAGAAGAGTCGAGGTGGGAATAATTAAACTGAGGATGGGACTGGGTCTTGGAACTGCCTCATCAGCGGATCCACCGCGCGGTCGGTCCCTGGTACCTGAAGAAAACGAGGCGGGATGGGACAGGGATGAACACACACACGCACACACACTGGTCCTAGTTTCCGGGAAGAACGAGAGACAAGGAGGACCACGGGGAGATCAAGGATTGCCAGAATCCAGTGTAGTAGCAGTTGGAGAGAGAAAGTGAAACCAGAGAGAGAGAGAGAGGGGGGGCTATAGACCTGACCTGGTGATGCCGATCTATGCTTCACCGCCTCTCGTGGTCCGTGACAAGACAAACAGTGTAAACAGTCACATGTTGTTGGGAATCCTCATAGTAATATTGTTGGCGGTGACGTCGAATCGAGAGCGCCGAGGGCTGATCGAGAGAATAGATTGATATAATTAGGTTGAAAAGGCTTTTCAACAATTCGCTCGCATGGCTTAGTTGGTAAAGCGCATCACTAGTAATGATGAGATCCTCGGTTCGAATCCGAGTGTGAGCATTTTTTATTTTGTTTTTTTTATTTTGTGTTTTTCTTGTCTATTGGATCTATTGATTTTATATCACTCCCATCAGATTCACCGTTCTCGCGGAAGGGTCTTCTCACAGTCACACCCCTAGAAAATCGTGAGGGTAATGATAACTAATAATTGTACCCAACATGACTCGCCAATAGATCTACAGACCTCGTTTGAAGTTGACAAGTGTCCTGACCCTTTTGAGTCACAAAATAGGGAAGAATATATATACATCTAAATGAATGCGTAGGTGATATCCAAGAAACAAATGCCCGCCATGAACACAAAAATGGCACGTGGCAGTCCCATCCAGTTCTATCTCCCGGCGTTCTATATTTTCTGCGCTGTCCTTCTTCCCATAGTAGCCTTGTCCGGTAGCGTGCCACTAGACATCTACCGCAATGGTTTTCGGTCAAAGGATCTACGGGTGGCGCGGATGTTCGGCGAGCATGATACTACGCTCTTCGAAGAACCATTTTATGCAAATGCGAACGGATCGCTGAGAGTATATCACCCGAGAAGACTGGCCATTATCGGTAAGGTCGTGTCTCTTCCATTGCACGCAAAACACTAATCTATGATTTAGGAGCCGGCATTGGCGGCATATCTATCGCACATGCCTTCAGCGACGAAGATGGTCTTCCACCACAAGTAACGATTTTTGAGCGCGAGCCGCGTCTCGGCGGTCGTATCCACACTGTCTCCAGTTACGACAAAGCCAGCTCTGGCTTCGTCGAGACCGGCGGAGGCACATTCTCTACCCTTGACCACATAATCAAACAAGCTAGTGATGTGGGAGCTGAAGTCGGTCTCGCCTTTCAGGGCAAGGATCCTCTGGCCCTCGTGAGTATCTGGAATGATGGACAGAATTTCACACGCAGTGAGGTCGACGAAGCCCGAGCAAACTTCCAGGCCCTGCCGAACTATCAGGCCCTGGAATACTATCTCAGACTAAGTGAGACCGACGAGGCCCGGTTGAACTTTGAGACCCTCGCGAACTATCAGGACCGGGTGGATTATCTACCGTGGAAAACTGAGGATATCTTTGATCTCGAAGATCTCCAAATATCGTTAAAATGGTATGTTCGGAGAGGGTCGTGGCCTCACCTAGGTCCTAATAAGGATGTTCTGCGTCAATTTGCAAAGACCTGGGGGTTCCCTGTGAATCCACAGAAAGAATTCCACTCTACCGAGCGCTTTCTAAGACGAATGGTGCGAATGGCTGACTCCAGGCTAAAGCTCAACTCGACCGTGACGCGAATTCAACGACATGAAGATCTCACCTTCGATGTGCATTGGTTGCACAACCATTCTACGCATGTCGAAAGCTTCGACGCCGTGGTCATTGCTGCTCCTTTCCACCAGGCGAATTTTGAGATCGACCCTCCACTACCAGCCGCAGCGATTCCAGACGAAGTCGCATACAAGTCACTACATGTCACGCATTTCATATCCCGAAGGGGCTTGGATCCGGCAACATTCAGTCTCTCTTCTCAGGAGACGGTCCCTGATACAATCTGGCGTTTCGAACCACAGGATCAGCAGCGCGCCTCTTCTTCTGCTCCGCCCTTCGTATCCCTTAGCCGACAGGACTGGGTCTACCAGAATGGCTGCATGCCTGAATATGAAAATCTCTACCGAGTCGTCTCCGAGCAGCCACTTTCCGACGATGACATCGCAACCCTGCTAAGGAAGAACGGAACCGCGCGCGAAGACATCACATTCCCAGACCAGACTTGCTTTCCCGTGAAGGGTGATATGCTCTTCGGTGAATTGCCGCCGGACCTGCGCGATGAGTTCGCCGCCAAGCTCGCCGAAATCATGTCTGCAAATGAAGAGCCACTTGAAGGATCACTTGGGGCGGTATTAGGCTGCATAAACGGTGATCCTGATGTGCGGTGGTCTCATCGGCAGTTCTGGCCGAATGCCGTGCCTGTCATAGATCAGGGATACAATCCGGGACGTCGTGAGATGGTGCCAAGATTGTTTTATGTCTCTGGGTTTGAGGGAACAGAGGGGGCCTCAATTGTGGGGAGTGTTGACAACGCGATGCATGTAAGAAATCGTCTGTTATATGACTACATGAGCAACTAGTGGGAGTATCTCACATGAGCAGTTCATGTTTAACAGGACGGTTTGGCGTCGGACGGTAGCTTGGTATATTTCACTCCAAAGACCTTCTTCGGTTACAGAATTGCATTTACTCTCTCAACTGATGAGGACGCAATGACGAACTTATCAATCTAAAAAAGACAGACAATCTAGAAGTCGTATCTATGGACAATATAACAAATTGGTTCAGGTGTCACTATAGAACTAATATCACTCTTAAACACGCCGTGAAACAATTACCATCGTATTACACGTTCTCCAAATATCTCCACATTGTATACATCTTGTAGGAGGCATGCCAGAGCTAGCAGCTCAAATACTCTGTCACAATTCACATACAATTTCTATTTTTTTGTGAGCAAATTCAATCACCCCCCTCTGGTCGACGAATACGCATGAAATCTCCCGTCTGATAAATCAGTGACGGCGTAATACGCGCAATCTTCCACTTGCCACCAACTCTAACAAACCGGTGTTCCATATAGCTGCGGCCATCACTGGTCTCCGTGATTGTCCCCGATGTATCTAGACGTTCATTCCCGCGGCGACCGTGACTAGCCAGCTGTTGCCATTCCACCACAATCTCATCCGCCTTCACAGACTTGAAATACGGTTGAGCGAGGAGATGTTGTGTGGCCAACGGCTTTAAGCCCAGATGCTCAGCTGACAACCATTCTGTCGCAAATTCATGGGCAGTATATGCCTTTTCTCCCCATTCAGCGACAATCAATGTGTAGTCGACAATGACTTCCGGGGCAAGAGCAGCGATAAGGCGGGGGAAGCTCTGCACAAGAGAAGAATGCAATGTTAGGCAAGAAAACAATAAGATAAGCTGCTCTGGCGTCCCCATACCTTGCGATCATATCCATCGGCCCAGACTCGTGCCGTCTGGACGATGGCAATGTAGTCCTGAAATGACAGGTTGTCTGGAATATAGATATCGAAATCCCCCGACATGGTGAAACGATGTTATATGAAAATAGCGAAGGACTGTGAAATTATCTGGGAATTGTCCTTATATCCACTGCTTCTGATGAGTGAAAGGAGACATAATGCGGGAAACTCGGGATATCCGACTCGATGGCTTGCGGGGAAGCTCAGTAGATTGATGGGGGGTAATGCGGGAAAAAGAGTAATATTAATTGCCGGATGAGCTTTTCTTTTCTTTTTTTACTTCTTCTTTATTATCTCTTTCTCATTAGCTCTTACGCCCTGCAAACCCTCCCTTATGATGCAGTCCCCATTCTCTCTACGAACGGATATCTACCCACCAATAGACCCCAGCATTTTGGCGGGATCTCTGAGAGGCAAAAATGCGCTGGTGACGGGGTCTGGCAGAGGAATCGGTCGGGAGATAGCTTTGGCATTGGCGAAGGCTGGAGCCAATGTGGCCATCACTGGACGCACCGCGAGTGAAGTGGAGTCAACAAAGGAAGAGATCCTGCAATTGGGCTCGGTGAAAACCGTTGCGATTGTCGCAGATGTGCTGTCCCGACAGGATCAGGAGCATTTGGTTCAGCGCGTACAAACCGAACTCGGGCAAATCGACATTCTCATCGGCAATGCCGGATCCAACACCTTTCAGCCTTTCCACCTTACCGATCCCGACAGCTGGTGGAAGATGATGGAGCTGAACGTTCGAGCTCCAGTGGAACTGACTCGGCTGGTTCTCCCATCGATGCGGGCACGCAACACGGGTACGATAATCTACACCTCATCTCGGGCGGCCACGATGGATCTACCATGGACGACAAGTTACAACTGCTCCAAGACCGCTATTACGCGTTTTGCGGGAACGCTTCAGTTGGAACTGGACCAGGTACAGCAGATCGAGTCTAGTATTTCCAATGGGATCAGCGTGTTCAGCATTCATCCTGGGGAAGTCGATACCAAGCTCCACGAGACGGCATTTCCCGAGAAAACGAAGCGAGAGGCCCCGTATGTCATTGAGCATATGGAGAAAATGGGAGCCAAGAGACCGCACTACTCTGGAAATCTTCCTGCATGGACTTGTGTGTGGTTGTGTGCTGGAAAAGGGGAAGCCATGAAGGGCAAGTATGTTGACTGTACTCGAGATGTTGAGGAACAAATGGCTGCTATCAGCGCCAGGGATTGAAAGTGTATTTGCAATAATTATTCATTGAGTAGATACATACGTAGACGTTGGGGCTCCTGGTTATAGTGAAAATGCCTCGCCTTGCAAATTGTTGTTTCGGTAGAAACAGTTGTTGAATGCAATTATTGGAATAATTGTCTCCTATGGATTAGAGAATGATATGAGCAGGACAGAGTAATTGAGCAAGCAATGCTCATCCTATCTGCTTGTCTATTGGTGAGCTGAACTTACTCAAACTTCTCTTTTTTCTGCAGTGGCCATGTGACAGCTATGTCAAACTTTGATTTGATTTTAGATGAAATTGCCGAAGAGAATCCGCTTTCTTCGTCGTTGGTTCCCGCTTCTCCGGCAAGTGGAATAGGGTTTCGGAATATCCGACTCCCTGTCAGTGGGCCCGTGCAGGATTGAGGTAGAGAAAACCCGCCCCATCAGAATTCAAAGCCGGGGAAGCCGTGACCTGGGGTACCGTGCCCATGCTAGCGCGGTATATAAGCTAAGCCCCGGTATGTGCGGAGAAGAATAAATAGATGATTGTGATTTCCACTCCATCGGACTTATTGTCTACTTACGCTTTCTCCTGATCTTGCCTCATCCTACTTTTTGATCATGGATGAAGTTAAAGCAGATGTGGTCCACGATGAGATCACTTTAAATGGCCAACAAGGACTCGTGGTAGAGGAAGAGCCTCTTACAACTTATGAAATCAAGTGGAGGACATTGATGGCCATTCTGGCGCTTTCCGTTTCAAACACATGCGCTGCCATTTCAAATACAGTAGGTTTACCCTGAGAGCCAGGATCTATGAATCTGATTTGCAGAACGGAGAGCAAAAGGAAAATTGATAAACTGACAATCCCCTAGACAAATACGATCATCCGATTCCAGTTGGAGAGTTTGGGAGATGCAGCACTTGCGTCCTGGATCGCGAATTCGAATCTTCTCGTTACCTTGGCCTTTGGACCCGTCTTGGTAAGCCACTTCGCTCAATATTCTCTGCTGGTGGAGTGCTAAGTTACGTATAATCCTCACATAGGGCTCCCTCAGTGACAAGTTTGGCAAGAAATGGTTCATCGTCGTCGCCAGTTTGCTGGGAGTGGTGGGCTCCACGATTTCAGGATCAGCTCATCGAACATCGGTTGTAATCGTAGGCAACGTCCTTACTGGCATGGCAAACGCTGGTTGTGTGAGTTTTAAAAAGTTTTACGCTCGTTCGATCTTTTTTGACTGAGTTATCCAGATAATGGGAATCCCAGCCGCTCAGGAGGTGACGCCAAATAAACTCCGGCCATGGGCTACGGGCTTCTCTCAGGCCTTTGCCAGTTGCGCCGTCATTGCCGGCACTATGGGAGCCGGCGCCTTTGTGAAATATCAGACATGGAGGTGGTCGTACTATTTGAATGCCTTTGTGTATGGCACGTCCGCTGTGTTAGTTGCTTTCTTCTACCATCCACCCCCGCCGAGTCTTCGTCGCCAGCAAAGCCGCCTCAAGGATTTGCTCTACCGGGTGGACTATTTTGGCATATTTCTTTTCACAGGCTCAATTGCTTCTCTCATCATTGGTTTGACATGGGGTGGCACTACCTATCCTTGGTCATCAGGTCGCATTATTGGGACCTTGGTTGTCGGCTGCGCAGGGTTAGTAGGATTCGGTCTATATGAAGTTTTCGTCACTTCCGAAGGTATATTCGATCACCGGCTATTTCAGTCTCGCAATTTCCCCATCCTCCTGTTCGTCTGCGTTGTGGACGGAATGCTTCTTCTTGGCGTCAATGTTCTTTACGCCCAGCAGATTGCAGATATGTTCACACAAGACCCTATCCAGATTGCAAAGGTCCTTACTCCTTTCCTTGTGACATCGGCATTTGGTTGTCTGCCAGCAGGCTGGATTATGGCTCACACCAAGTCATACCGAATCATGCTCGTCGGCGCTCTTCTTTGGTGCAGTGTTTTCACCGGTAAGGATTATAGCGTCGAGCAACGAACAGATCTACAGATGCTAATATTGAACACTACAGGTCTAATGGCTCTCATCAATTCTAGTAGACTGAGTTGGGCATATGCATTCTCTGCTCTTTTTGGCATTGGCACCGCTGTGACAACTGTGATTCCTGGTATGTCCCGAATGCAACCCATACGATTTACCATGCAATGTTAACTCGTTCTAGTGACTGCACTGGCTCTTTCCGTTCCATCCTTCCTTCTTGGGACAGCAGGTACTATCAGTATCTCAGGCCGCGCCTTGGGTGGGACGATTGGCATCACAATATTTACCGCAGTGTACAACAATAAGATTGGTGTTGCACTCGGTCAAAATGTCGGAGAGGCTCTAGCTACAGCAGGAAAAGGAAACTTGACTGCAGAAGTTGTGGGCGCCCTGCTTAGCTCTAACCCCAATGCGTTGAACCTGGTGCCTGGGGTAACTCCAGCATTGATCCCAAAGATCCAGGTTGCGCAACAAATGGCCGTGGCGTATTCCTGGAAGTATGTCTGGATTGCTGTTTGTGTTGTCGTGGCGGCAAATGCTCTTGTGGCTTGTTCCTTGCAGTCTGTGGCGCGCAAGATGAATAACCATATTGAATCGGCCTTGGAGGACTCGGAAGTTCGCAAGAACCAGATGGGCCTAAGTAAATGAATGCAGAAGAATGGCTCGGCTCGTCTTTGAGTAGTAAAGGAATTTAACATACGCTCTTAACGAAATACGCATCATAAAACAACCACCAATCAGCTTCTTATTTCTATTTCGTGACCGGGTTCAAGCATAGATAACCTATACGAACAGTACTGATTCCGGAGAAATAGAGTAGTTAGTAGTAAGTGTTTACAAAATATCCCAGTTAGTATTCAGACAAAATTTCCATAGATATCACGATCATGTCACCAATTCTATTTACCGTCTATATACTACTTACATCATTTAGCCATCCAACCCTTCTGTAATATCCCGCACAAACTCATTCGCCTTCACTCCCAACTGCGCAACATCCACACCCCCCTGACCCGCCATAGTCCTCGACACAGCTCTCGCAACCTCTTCTTCCTCCCAAATATTGTCAATCGTCATACCCCCATTACCCTCTCCAGGCGCTCGAGCCGGGTTCTCCATCGAGACAATGGTCTGCCAGTACGCATCATCACGAGTCTTGAGCGCCTTGTCACGAACGACAGCATTGCGCGTCACATTGGAGCCATGAAGTTTGGAGTTTGCGTTGGTCAGCGCAGCCAAAGCAGCGGTGATCGCATTGTCGACTTGCTCAGGCTGAGACGGCGGCTTAAAGAAGAAGCGATGCGTAGCCGAGAGCCAGATAATACTTGCACAGATTGAGTCGCAGACTGCGAAGACTAGCGGTCGGAGGAGTGTGACTTTGTTGTAGAAGCTTGCTGGGGGACTGACGCCGGCTCGTACGGCGGCGGAGGCCGCTTGCATGGGATCGTAGGAGTAGACTGCGTAGAGGTCAAAGAGAAAGAGGGCGAGACCCGTGATGGTGAATTTGTTGCGCCAGCGCGCAGACTCCTGGCCCGCGAAGGGAGCGGAGGTGGCCACGCCCAGGATCAGGAGGTGTACTAGGTGCGGGAGCAGGACATTGAAGGGGATGTAGTAGAGTAGGTACGTGACTTGGTTGTCGAGCGTGCAGTACTGGCACGAGGCCAGGGCGTCCGGGCCATAGGTGAGATATATCTTGCGAGCATCGTTGGAAGTAAACTTCGTCTGGAGCAAGGCGTCGAAATCGCTCAATTTGCCGTTGAACTGGAGCCGCGCGAGACGATCGAAGATGACATTCGTCGGCGTGTTGATCCGCGAGCGTGTGGCAGCGAAGACATTCGGACCCGGGGCGTGGGGATTGAAGGGTAAGCTGAGAAGAAGGAAGAGGACGATGCTGCCGAATAGGATGTTCAATGCTCGACCTGGTGCAGCGGGGAGGGGGCGAGGTGGAGGACGGGTTGAAACGGATACGCGCAGGGTGCGGTAGGCGTTGAGAAGGCGTGTGATGATAACCGGACCGAAGAAGATGAGGACCGGTTTGATGCTGGACGCGGGTTAGAGGGCAGACAGTGCGGGGGGATTGACTACTTACGTGCTGAATGAGATCTCGATGCCGGCCATGTCGTGCAGCAAGGAGGAATCGATTCCTACCTCATCTCACAGTAATGGGTGTGGGTGTTGCGGAAGAGAGGAATGAACGAACCAACGGGGCCAAAAAAGTGGTCGATCTGGCCCGACGCGAGTTTGTTCCAAGCGCTAACTACGTCAACATCGCAGCCCCACAAGGTTACTGAGAGCCCCAACTATGGGGAGAGAAAGGAGAAAGGAGAAAGTAGTTTAGCTATGATTTTTTGCCCGTTGGGTTTCTTTTTTCTTCTTTTTTCTTCTTTTTTCTCGCCTTTTTCTCAATTATGCAATGTGCCTCAATTTAGTGTCTACTAATAGGCTCTAGTCTGAATAGATATTGTTCTAATTTAGCAAATTCCAGGATTAAGTCATAAGCTGGTTTTGGGCTGTCTTACTGAGAAGTCCTCCATTATATTCATGAATCGCCACAGAAGTATCTCCATAGGGTTCCATGTCAGCACGAGAGGATCCTCAGGATTGAATGGTCTCACCAGACGGAGACGGGAGAACTAAAGGCGGACCCACAGTGCGGAGGGTCGGGCTCAAGCCCAACGGGTTGCCATATCTAAAATCGACTTTCCCGTCCCGCTTATGAAAGTCCTGTACTATCAGTAGCTGGCCTTTTCTGTCTATTCTTCTACTGCTATATTTGGGTTATTCTGTAGGTCCTCGGCAATGGATCGGCCACCCCCCAACCGACGCAGAGATAAACCACAGCTATCATGTACTCCCTGCCGCCGAAAGAAGTTAGTCCCGATATTGAGGCGTCCATTAATTTATTGACGCTAACTTCAGCTCCTTATAGACGACGATGTGATCGAGGCACACCTTGTGGCAGATGCCTCAAGATAGAAGACGTGGCAAATTGTGTCTACGTCCCGTTCAATCCTGACCTGCAAGGCTCGACAACATCCCAAAAATGGTCAAACCAAGACTTGTATCTCGCAGAGCAGAGCTCTTATAAAAGCAGCTTTTTAAAAGATACCACTCAATTACTGTCAGGCACTGCTTTACCATCTCAAGGGATGACCGATAGAGACGGCAAAGAAGATATGGTAGATGGCTCAACAAGTAAGTGAGAATGCGCGCTTTCCTTTGGTCCGATTCGGCCGTCGGCCATTCGAAGCCAATTCTAATCAGTATCAAGTTATGGATTACATGGCTAGATCTCAGAAATGCCAAATATCCGGTGGAAAATATTCGATCATCCCAACCGACTTTGCCCACCATTTTACACAGCAACTTCCGCCAACGGGCCGTTCTGTGGAGGCCACTGAATCAGGCGCCAGCAGAATGGCAGAGCCTAGCAACTCATCCGGGACACAAATTCCCCTAAATAATAAACCGACCAAGCCAGAAATATATCATAGTATATTCAAGTTTCCAATTTGAATATTATAAAACAATACAGGGATATTGGAGAAATCTTTCCAAGCCTCTACACAAATGATGACCGAAGAATCCGGCTGCAGGATATCTTGAGGCTGTGACAACTACGAGCTTTGTTAGCAAATTCTGTGGAAGAGTAATAATATTGTCGGCATGTAATTGAATAAAGCCTTCTGATCGGGCCGATAGCACCAACATAGTTGCGGATGATGCTTTGACCTCTTGTGAGGCATAAAAACTTATTTATTTCAGATATCGGGTTTCCTTCAGCTACCCGTAACTCCGCTGCACTCTGCGTATATCGGAGTCTCAAATCCGTCATTCCGTGAATGAGGCGAGCTGTTAAACGTGGAACGTCGGGAGTTGGTTCCCCCGAACGCCGCATAGTTAGGCTTATTTGGGGGTTTAACGAACGGTTTTCTTAATTCCGATCCTTAAACCCGTTCTCCGCGCCGAAATCATGTCCATCTACCATATCGACTAATCTATAAAATAACTCAACTCGAGATAGATTTTTGAAGTTCTAACCAAAGTGCTCAGCTTTTGATTCAATTACATTTCTGAAGCCTCATCTTATCATGTCTACTAAGCATATCGAGAAAGTCGCCATCGTTGGTGTGAGTCCTATCCTTTCTCTTGTCCAGGTTTATAGCTTCTCAATGGCGTAATGACTTACATTTTGTAGGCCACCGGTCGCATTGGCGGAGCCTTTGCTGAGGCTCTAGCGGAGACGGGGAAACATACCGTCACAGCCCTGTCCCGTGAGGGCAGCAAGGGCAAGGTTCCCGGCAATGTCAAGGTTATCAATGTGAACTATGAGGACGAGGCATCTATTATCAAGGCTCTCGAGGGCCAGCAGTTCCTTGTTATTACTCTTGGCGTCCGTGCTCCAGAAGACCTCCATAAAAGAATCGCCACTGCCGCTGGAAAGGCGGGCGTGCCTTACATCATGCCCAATACCTACGGCTTCCCCGTTAAACCCGAGAACATTAAAGAGGGAGATTCTTACGGCAAAGTGGTCATCGATCGGGTCAATGATACTAAGAACGGAGTTTCATCCTTCGTTGCGCTGGAATGCGGCTTCTGGTACGAGTGGAGCCTAGCAACGGGCGAACAGTGGTTTGGCTTCACGATCAAAGATCGCAAGGTCACTTTCTTCGACGATGGCAAGCGAACCATCACTGTCAGTACCTGGAATCAGTGCGGTCATGCTCTAGCGGCACTGCTTAGCTTACCCGAGTCCGGAGCAAGCCCTTCTGTCATCGATTTCAAGAATGAGCATTGCAGGATCTATAGCTTCCGTGTCTCACAACGCGACATGCTCGACAGTCTGCATCGCGTCTTGGGCACTACGGATGCAGACTGGGAGATCACATTCGAGCCGATTGCTAAGCGCCTGAAAGAAGGCGCCGAGGAGATGGCGAATGGCAGCTTCTTGGGATTCGCTAAGTTGCTATATGGTGGAGTCTTCTTGTCTACCAATGAAACCAGTGACTTTGCAGCCACGATGTCGACGGATAATGAAGCTCTTGGGCTGCCTAAGGAGGACCTGGATGAAGCGACGAAGAGGACGGTGGAGATGGTCGAAAGTGGATGGAACCCCTTTGCCGCATAGCTGAAGTTAGCACCATTCTGTCTCCTGTCGTCTATTAGACCGGAGGGATGCCTTGAGTATGTTAATTTTTTTCTCTTAATAATGAGTGGATTTCTTTCACATAAAAATGTTATATAGCAGGAACCACCAAAAGTCTAACTTGAAATACACTAGTTTAATCTGGTTTCCTTGTCGTGTAATAGTCCAAGTAAACCTCTTCGACAGACAGAAGACACCCATGACGCTCATATTGTTAAGGGTCAAAAAAATTGGATGGTCGTATCAAATGTCTCAGTATGTGCCCAGCCATTTTTCATCATAAGCCCTTCAATGCTGCCAAAAAATCCTCGACTTTATCACATCCCTTTAAATCAACTGAACGGCTATTGTTAATTTCGAAGCAGTCGTATCTCCCAAGCAGAATAGCTGAATATGGTAGTAGTCAATAAACACTTCCAGATTTGGAATAAATTGCCAATTCACTCGACAAAGAATTTAAAGGTCCAGCACGGCCAGTTCGTTGAACTAATCCCGTCAATTCGAGTGCACGCCTTGTTGGTCAAAAAAAAAGTGAATTAGGCCTTCACTGGCGAGCGTTACACTGACAATCAAAAAGTGTTGCATTTTTAGACTAGTGATAGTTATGAAGGATACGAGTCACAGAGCAGGTCAATATTAAACACTATGATGAAGAAGATTGGAGGTGAGAGCATTTGCTTGCGTTATCAGTATATGAAGGTAGCAGTGTACTGAACAAGTCTATAACTTCAAAGAAACAAATAGACATGGGATTTCAGACAGTCTACTCATCTAATATTCGCTTCAATCCACTCTCTGCCAATAGGAACTTTAATATACAAAAGAGGAGCATGTTGTTGAGAGCCATGCATGTCGATGTCCCCAAATTGACCAGACACAAAAGGTCTTCTGATAGTCACTTTAAAAGCTCGAGCCTGATCCCAGAATAGACAGGCCAGAATATCCTCCTGAGGGACTCCATATAGCTCCAAGATAGACTCTCGACATAGGACACCGCTCTCCTTTGTCTTCCAGAAGAGAATATCGTTATCGAACATCACATCCATGGTCAGCTCGTAGGGCCCAGCATTTTTGGTACGAATAACAGATGCGATATCACCTAAATAGCAGTGTCCCATTGGAGGAGCGGGGTTGAGAAACGGCCTTTTCTCAAGACTATTTATCATCGTTGTAGCTACCTTCGACAACAGTGTACTGGATTTACCATTCACTGTACTTTTCACAACTTCTCTCACGAAGCTTCCAGTGCCTGGTAAAAGCTGGTGGTGGATACCAAAAAGCTCCACAGGATCGACTTTCTCAAGGATATGATAGACCGAAAACTCGCATACTTCTCCCATCGGAATATCGTAGGGCGGAAAAGGCATTGCGAAATTGCCAGCTGTCGCCAGTTGGTGTGGATAGGGCCCATGGATACAGGCGAGTCGCGCAATATTGCTAACATATGTTGCTTGATCTTGCGTAGGAGCGAGTACTTCTCCACAGAGGCATATCTCTGTCGGAATAGTTAACGTGGGCTCAAGCTTGCCCATGACAGCATTTTTGCCATATTGGTGAAATCTCAGGTCGAACTCGTGGGAGACTCTACTCCTCACATATCCCTGAATGTGGGCTAAAATTCCATCAAGCTGTGAGATCAAGATAGGATCCCGGATACCGCCAAAGAAGGTAGTCCGGTATCCTAACACTCGAGCTCCTTCCAGCTTTACTGTGTAGTGATCTGCCATGAGGAACTTGCCCCCACGCACACGAACAGTGCGATTGTCTTCGAGGGCTTCGTAAGTGGCCTGCTCGAGGTAGAGGGTTCCACCCGGCCCAATCAAAATATCTGGCCGTGTCTTCTCATATAATGTGTGAGCGGCAACCGAAGTGACTGTGCAACGTGCTGCAGGATCGAGGGGAACTATATCGAAACTGTCCTTCCGTATAGTAGCCAATGCAGACTGGCTCTTCGGGACAGCGCACAAGGCACCACATTCCATGATCTTCCCCATGTGATATGCTATACCGAGATCTGTAAAGCCACGATGGACACAAAATGCAGCGTAAGGTGAAGGGTCATATGCACGACCCCCAACGATGACATCAAAGTCAGGGTTCTCTTCCATGGCTTTCACATATGGCTCCAACCCCATTTGCGCAACGATCCGTGTGGTATCATCAATATCAGACGACTTGAGCGGCGGTACCGCTTTGCTGCAGGGAACAATGTCGCCATCGTCCAGCTTTGATTTCACTAAACTTTTGTCGATTTCTGAGTAGATGCTGACAATATTCATCGCTCGATAGCCTTTTTTGGATATGAGATCCCTCATGATCTCCACGAAGAGATCAACATGATCATTTGCCCCGTCACCCCCAGCAGAACCGATAAGGACAGGAACCCGATGTACATGACAGGCAGCGAGAAGAAGATCGAGATCGTGTTCGTAGCCCTCTCTGGACACAGTTGTATGGCCTAGAGCGAGCTTCTGTGGTCCACTGTCCGTTGAACCACTGTCGATAATGATTGCATCAACACCTTCCTCGAGTGCTTTCCAAAAGAGATCTTCATTGAAGCCATAACCTAGCATTCCAATAGGTGTAAAGATTTTCAATTCGTCCTTGTCCTTGGAGTTCGTCATTTTCAAAGAAAGAGAGGCTAGAATAGGTAAAAAAGAGTTATGGAAGGAGGTGAAAAATAAAATTGTTCAAAATACTACCTTATTATGGCTAACGGAAAAATGCTAGAGTTGCGTGTTCTGCGAAATCGCATAGCGGGCCGAGGACGGGCTTTCTGGTGCGAGGTCGCACAAGAGGCCGATTTCGCATTCTCGACCGAAATCGCGCTCAGCCCCATACTTGAATTATTGAGTCCAATTTCCCCAGGATTTAAATTAGTATATTACAAATCTCCACGTTTGGCCAAAATTGATGTGCTTCAACTTTGATTCTGCTGAAGTCACTAATATTTCAATTTTGTGTTCCTATCTATAGCGTTGTCAAACGACATGAATACCCAAACAACGGATGCCAAAGAGGATGTGGCAAACATTGAGAATGTGGATGAAGATGCCGAATCTTTTCCCCTTCGTGAGCAGAGACATCTGAGTCCAGAAGAAATCAGAAAGGAGCGCCGATTTTTGTTGAAAATAGACACCACCATTCTTCCTTTGCTAGGGATAGTATACTTCTTAGCATCCATGGTAAGGATTCAATGTGGATTTGCTACGACGATCGCCTTATTTACAATCGATACAGGACCGTGGCGATATCAGTAATGCTGCGGTTGCAGGAATGTCGCACGATTTAGGCCTTTCTGGAAAAGAGCTTTCCAACTGTGTTGTATTATTTTATGTTGGCTACGTTGTTTTCATGTTGCCTGGAGCTATTTTTATACGGAAGATCACACCGCCACGCCAGCTAGCTCTCGCTCTCATGATATGGGGCACTTTCAATACTTTGTACGCTGGACTCTTTCTTGTGGTGGTTCTCTTGACTGATCGTATATTTGAGTAGGATCTCGGTTGCCAAGTCATATACTGTTGTCACGATCCTGCGTGTTCTTGTTGGTGCGTCAGAGGCATTCGTTAATGCCGCGCCATTATACCTCTCGTTCTGGTACAAGCGAGACGAACTAGCAATTCGGGGGGCAATCTTCTTTTCCACTTCTGCTATTGCAGGAAGCTTCAACGGCCTCATCGCCTTCGGTATCGAACAAAACCTGAACGGAGCAGGAGGAATGGCGGCCTGGAAGTGGATCTTCCTTATTGAAGGCAAGAAAACCGCAACCTCTTTCCCTTTTATCTTGGGGGCAAAATAGTTACATCGGATACTAATGGTGGCCTCAGGTGTTATTACAATTGCATATGGCTTTGTAATTTTATTCTTGCTTCCACCTGTTCCAGAAAAGATCAAATGGGGATTCAATCAGGAGCAGAAGCAAATTGCTATACGCAGAACATTGGAAGCTTACAATGTGGAAGATGCAGAGATCCGTCCAAAACATATTCTTTTGCTAGTGAAAGACCCCAAGATCTACTTCTACAGTATGTCCACCAATGTGTTTATTGGAACTGCACTGATCATTGTAGTTTTCATCTACTGCTGCTTGAATGTCAGCCTGGCAACTTTCAGTACCTTTCTGCCTGTCATTATCAAGTCTTTCGGCTACACCACCCTTCATACTCAAATTTTGTCAGTCCCCGTATTTGTAACCGCCGCAGCATCCGTTCTATTTTTTGGGTGGGCATCGGATCATTTCAAAAAACGTGGCATTTTCCTCATAACGGCATTCGCACTTTCCGCTGTTGGCTGGCTTCTACTTATTGTGAGTGAATCGAGGCATCTATCTTTTGCTGCAACTTTCTTGATTGGAATTGGCACATTTCCTTCTGTGGTCATAACCCAGGCTTGGATGAACAGTAATATCATTGGGTACACCAGGCGGTAAGTTCCACCCCGTTCTATGCTCTTGAATTCAAGTTGACACTATCAACTTTCATCAGAGCGACTAGTCTGGCGGCTATCAATGTATTTGGCCAATGTTTTTCTATCCTTGGTGCAGCACTTTATAGCGATCCTCCGCATTATTACGTCGGAAATGGTTTTAGTCTGGGCGCTATGGTATTGGGGATAATTGCAGCTCTGCTGTGTCAATTGTACTTGTGGCGAAAGAACTCCCAAAAGCAGAGAGACCAATTCACCGAGGAGGCCCGACAGACTAGGGCCCTGGGAATTGAGGAAGTGGGGGAGAAGCATCCGGATTTCTTCTACTATCTATAGATATGTCACTGCTAAATTAGTGCTATTGTAACGAGACATGTGCCGACACAACTCTAAGGAGGGTTTACTATATAGGAGTCTCGGTAGTCGAATATATTCGTGGCCGAGGCACAGCGAGGGGCTTAGTCACCAGCTAGGCTAACAATCATGTGGTGTACCCGACGACCCCGAATATTCTCTCCTTCAGTATGACTTAAATTAAGATACCCCGAGAGTGTCAATCATTATGCCGAGACAAAAGCCAGGAGCATGCGTGCATTGTCGGCAAATGAAGGTTGCGATTTGACCCCCTTCACCTTCTGAAATGAGGGAGCCGCTAAACGAAGTCTTCCTACAGCTCCGGTGTGATGCTCCCATACTTTTCCCTGCCTCTTGTTCTCGATGTGCAAGGCAAAAGCTGCGCTGCTCCGTAAACCCGTCGTTTAAGCGAGTTGCGAAAAGAGAGTAGGTGTAGCCGAGGCCTTTCTTCTACAGACTAATGGTCGACTAACCTGTGCTCAGGCGGCTAGATGCTGTCGAGCGAGAACTGAGAGAAATCAAGCAGCATCTCGGTTCATCATCTGACCTTGATAAACAGCAAGGTTCCAATTCTCGTGTTCCTGATGCCTCTTCTGTCGAATCTGACAACAGCCCCCTCACGGGAGTGGTCCCTCAAGGGTCAGATCTCAATGAAAGACTCACCAGCAAAGCAATTGGGGACGTGGAGCTTAATCCTTCTTCAATATCTGCCCTGTTAGAAGAGTATAATCTGTCTATACTTCTCAAGTGAACCTTTGCTTACTTGCTCAAGGTACTACTCGCACTATCACGAACAATTTCCGCTGCTTCTCGAACGCGCGATATTCCTGAATCGATGCGATTCATGCCCACTCCTCTTCTGGACGATAATGACAATTGCTGCGAAGGAATCTCCTCAACATCAACATCTGTACCCAATGCTAGCGAGCGCAGTTGAGGTGTTGGCATCGACCGTCTGTCCACCAAGTCGCCAATCGCTTTATCAAATTCAGGCACTTCTTCTTCTTTGCTACTGGCCGCTTCCATTTGGTGCATCAATCAATGACTATTCCTGGTCATATTGTGGTCTCGCCATCAATTATGCATTCTTGCAAGGTCTACACCGCCCCTCCAATATATCAGATTTTGCATATGATACCACATACGATCAAGCAACAATAAATGAGCGGACAAAGACTTGGCTAGCATGCTTCATCGTGAGCCACAGGTGAGACTTAGATTCCATAAATTCAAAGACTGTGTGACTGATAAATAAAGAGTGAGCATACGGTTTGGTCTACCCAGCATGACCATAATCGATCACAGCATCGTAGAAGCATTGGGACCCAAGCCTTCGTGGCTACCGGATGCAATTTACCACCAACTTCATATTGCGCATCATGGTACCAAGTTTTGCAATGTCCTCGGCAACAATGAAACGACGTCAACGGGCCTTCTACCTAGACCGGCACCGCTAATTCAGATGTTCGAAGGGGAGCTGCGTGCACGAGAAGTCCGTTTCGCATCGGTATGGCAGACCAACGAATACATTTTCTTCTTGGCGACAAGGCTGCAACTATATTCATTCGCACTTACGCCTGCGGGGCTCGATGCAACCGATGATTTGCTCTCTGCAGAGAAATATAATGAATTCTTCGCGCATGCCTATCTTACAGCAATGAGTCTTTTACAATCCGGACTTCAATCATCGGCAGAATTGCCTTACTGGCCGGAACATCAATACAGATATCTCCTGGATGCAGTTCTATTCCTTCTCAAGCTCATCGAATGTTCCTGCGAGTTTGTCGATGAGGCCGCGGCAAGGAATGTCATCAGCCAAATCTGGCAGCTACTCCGCACTCAGTCAAAAGCCGAGGATGACCGTATGTCCCGATTTTGCGCTATCATAGAATACTTGAGTCGCAACCGTTCAAATAAGGGAAGTCCTTCGGTGAAGGTCAGGTCGCGCGTAGCGGGCAATTTGACAATCGACTCGGCATGGCGCGCTCGTGATCGATTCAGCGAAACTGTGAAGGCGCAACGTCCGGCAGACTATACATCAGCTGCCGCTCTCGAGCGGTCCATGAGATCTGATGGGCAATGCTCGTTACCATTTTTGAGAGATATTGGCGATTGGGATTCTTTCTTCGAGAATCTGGCTTTACAAGGAGGGATGGATGATGAAGGTTTGCTTGTAGGAAGCTAACGGCATCTTGCATATTATCTGCCATGACAACTGTATTGGTAGATACTGTAATGTATCTTGAGCTTCATGATGCGAGATCGGCCGACAGTGCGAAGCCGGCCGACCATGCGAAATCGACCGACTTCCAAACATTAGCGCTTATGTATAAGCTGGGAGAGAGTAAACAATTATAGATTCAGTTCCTATGTCTATCCTTAAAGAAATGTCTCTTAGCCATGCGACTGGCCCAACTATGACAACAGTAAAGCTATACGACGGCGAGAAACAGGATTTTTTAGACAACTACCCGGTACTCACCAAATTCATTTCGGGGGATGCATCGAAACCACTAGTTGCTTTTATTCCCGGGCTCGCACACAATGCCCGCATCTCCTACGGCGGACACCATAAAAGCCACAGTGAAGACTTTATAGCCCACTGGTTTCATGAACACGGATATGGATTCCTGGGCATTTCATATCCTTTAGAAACTGATCCGGAGATCATGCCTCCTACCGGCAGGGAGCTTTCATTGCGTGATTGGGGTAAACAGGCCGCAAAAGCGATGAAGAAGGTGGTGGACGAGCATGAAGTATCTTCGAAGGTCGTCATTTTAGCCTGGAGTATGGGCGGCAAGATTCTGGAGGCGGTTACCGTTGAGGCAAAGGCTCTCGGGCTCACTGTGAGCTTATTCGTTTCATTGGCCGCTACTCCGGCACTATGGGGATTGCGAAGACCTGTGCAGCAGTCTCATGCTATCTTGACTCCCGCGGGCTACTGGGACAATAGGTTTTTGCATGGAAGATTTCTCTCTCAGCTGGCAGAGCAAAATCAACTCAATGATGGCCGAACTATTATTGATGAATCTGTCTACAAAAGAGAGTATTTCGGCGCAACTCCGGGAGGATCGGGTGGCTGGGGATTTCGTTATAGCACAAAAGAACGGAAACTGATCGAGGATAAATGGGCACTGCTCGAAGAAGGTCGGGTCGATAATTATGGAAATCTCCCGGCGATGGCCGCTATTTCTCCCACGAGCCCGCTCGACTGGCGACACTCGATGACCGACAATATCAATTGGAGCTATCTGATCATCCATAAATTTGTCGTCGATGCTCAGAAGATCAAAGAAACGCGCAAAGCTTCAATTAGTGAAATGGATGTATTGGAGCACCTCAAGGCATTTATTTATGAGATTCCGGATCGCATGATTACAGACATTGAAGGCAACCACTTCTTCTTCGTCGGTGCTAAGGGGGCAAAGCAGACAGCGGAGATAGTCATACGATTCATGCAGGAAGCCGAGAATATTCAGACTAAGTTTGAGAACCTAAGAATGTAACAAGTTTTCCATAAAAAGTGGCGTGTGATAGTAGGTACTATCTTCACATTCTCAAGTTCGTCGTATCCTGGTCATTGCTAGCCTCCTTCAAACCCGACGCTAGGTCCCACCCACTCTGTGTCGAGTACGATTGTATTTTACGATCCAATAACCCAATCAGTATTATCTCTTTGCTCCTGGCTATGTTGCTGCTCTGTTCCGGGTTTATTTCCCTGTTGTTGTCCCCAGCCCCAATAGCGGTGGCGCTTCGGACCGGCAACATTACCTGTATGATCACGTTAGTATATACCAGAAGAAGGAATGTGAGATCCTACCAGTTGCAGTACCAGCAAAAGCTTCGTTGACGTGAGAGTCAGGCTGAGCGGACTCGGACTTTTGATTGAGTGGCTCTTGCTCGGGGAGCTTTTTGGCGTCGGGGGACGTGGGTGCGTTGGTTGAGTCAGTTGAGTCACTTGAGCCTTGACGCTGGCGCTGGTGGAACGCTTCAGATGCTCTGCGGAAGAAGTCCGACATTGTAGAATGTGTATGTTCCAATAAATCGATCTGAGTGATTCGAAGATATTTGGTGATATTTTTAGAGGACTAACTTGCGATAGTCACCATAAGCTCTCTATATAGTGGACTCACCACATGGAGAGTGACATCATACGGCCTGATTAGTACTATGTTCTCGTGATCGCTCCTCTTATTCCTATGGTACAGATAATTAAGGTAGCTAGAATCGCCAACCAGTAAATTATCTATAACTTCGGGAGCAACAGGATGAACGCATCATATGTGGAGAACGTTTTAGAAGACCGCGGTGAGAAAGCTGGGTCCAAGATGCCCGGGTCCGACGCCTCCGAAAGCATGTAGACTAGTGTTTGGCACATCAGGTGATGCGCACCAATTTGGGACAGAACTTAAAAATCCCTCTATTGAGGGGATTTGGCTGCCCTGCCTTGAAACGAGGAACAAGTGGAGGAGGTTGTTGCATGTATTTTGATGGGGAAGTATCCTTTTTGGCATGAAGATTCTAGCTTCTGATAAGGACCTAGTTTCATAAGTTGTGTCTGGCTAGGTTATTTGCGAGCCTCTGTCGTCCTTATCTAGAGAAAGAGCTTTATGATGTGTGTAGGAATTCTGAATGATAGTGTGGAGTATTTTTGTGATAGGTGATTTGTAGCGATGGTACATGACGGAAGCCCCTCGGGATCAGTAGCTTGGCTTTTCTTGAATTTGCAGAGTGCGATGCACTTAGGAGAAAATGAAGCTGTTGACATTGTAAATACAATCCATGCAGTTGTTGAAGTCAGCTGTCGAGAGAAGAAAGGGATTCAAGGGCAATGTAAGCCGATTCTGCTGCATTTGGCACTAGGCCACTTCCTCAACAACGCACGTATGGAGCGTACAGAAGTGAACCTGATTCATCTAGATCGATTCGGTTTACCATGATCGACGAAATCACGGATTTGAAGAATTACTGCTACACCTCGCCATAGCGTAAGGATGGCGAAAAGTTTTAGCCCAAATAAGCACCCTATCCCCTAACCCGCCCATAAATATATACAACATATGTAACTTTTGCGTGATGTACCATAATGTCATACATCCTATCAGGTTTACTCCTGCGGATGACCCCCGGTACCTGAAAGTATCACATCTCATCGCTAGATATATCATAGTAAAAAATAATATAAGTGCCCCTTGGAGCCTAGTCGAATGTTCTAGATAGGGTCCCTGGCAATCGAGGAGATCTGACGATCTGGAAAGAGACCGTTACCGGGGTTTTGTAAGCATTCTGTCACCGAAGTGATAGAATAGTGCGATTTAATTGGTAGAATGCATTTAACAGATATGACCGGCCTGTGTCCGGCCCGTTTTCGCTTTCACTATTCACGTTAAATAGCCCGAAGAAGGATGAAAAGAAATTACCCTTAAAAAAAATTCTCTACTTGCACCGGAAATCCACAAAAATGTCAACAAACACCTACTCATCCGCTATGTTACAAACATATTCTGTCCGTACCGCAGCGAATACGTCCGCCTATTTCTTGCCGAGAATCAAGCCAGACATGAAGATTCTCGACATTGGCTGTGGACCTGGCTCCATCACACTTGATCTAGCTGCACTTGTTCCCGAAGGGGCTATTACTGGTATTGATTGTAACCTTACTGCAATCGATTCTGCCAAAGAGCTTGCCCACCGCCGAGACGTCAAAAATGCGTCCTTTAAAGTCGCTGATGTTTTGGATCTTCCTTTCGAAGACGAGACATTTGATGTTGTCTGTGCGCATCAGGTTTTGATCCATCTTCCCAATGAATCTTTTAAAATCGGCGCTGTTGAAGGCCTGAAGGAGATGAGACGCGTTTGCAAAACAGGAGGCCTAGTCTGCGCTAGAGAATGCGATTGGAGGAGTGCTGTGATCCATCCTTCAATCCCCGATGTGTTGGATAGCATGAAATTGGTGGAAGGCTTGACTGCTTTAAACAAAACCTCGCCGTACGGCGGAAAGGCTCGGTTGTGGGCTGAGAGTGCAGGGTTCAAGCCCGCAGATGTCGAGGCATCTGCAGCTACGGTTTACTATTCAAGTACTGAGGAAGTGAGATGGTGGGGTGAGGCTATGGCTCAACGTCTGGAACAAGGTTCTTCGCTCGCTAGGGGAGTCAAGGAGGGTCTTATATCTGAGAGCCAAAGAGAAAAGCTCCCTTTGGCATGGAGAAAATGGTCTGAACAAAGTGATGCTCTTTTCGCTATGACTGATATTCAAGTGGTCTGCAAGAGATAGAATAATAGCTCCCTTTACCTAATTCACGATCCTTGTCGTTATCCTTACTCATATTAAAAGAGGTCGGTGAGCTTTGACACCAAGAAAATTAATAGAAGGAAGTATAGGTAGCATCTCTGTCTCTTGGAGGGTTTTAAGAGATGCGTCTCGCCAGAGAGGAACAATATTGGATTGCATACAGATACCGACCAAATTCAATAGATATCACGACCCGATAAGCTAACTATTTATTACATCCAAAAAACAACTGTACGTGGCATATTTCAGGTGTTTACATCTACTCATTCCCCGTCCGACAAGTCCACAAAATATGTAGATAATGGTTGTCCTATGTTTTCACCTTCAAAGCTGCATACCTACATGGCCTCGAGCTCCTAGACAACATCACGGAACAGTGATACGAAGACCAAGGGAGGGGTAAAGCTAGAAATGACATATTGACTAACGACGTAGGTGGTAATATTGAACAGAGCGTCGCAGTAAACGATGAGCAAAGAGCAAGAGGAGGAGAACGTGCATGAATACTCAGAAATAGCCATAGAACCCTAAAGCCAAGACAATCTAGCTTGAAAATGGCAATGTTAACGCTGGTACAGGGACGGCGAATGGGCGGGGCGCTTGGCAGTACAATCCATACGTAGCTAAGCCACCTATTTTTGTGGTACCATACAGCATTCTGGCCCCCAAAGTACACTCGTTTATTTTTACTTGATAATTAGTCTCTTCCCCCCCCCCCCCCCCCCCTCTAAATTGCATCGCGGGCTCTAGATAGTTAATCAGAGATAACATCTTCCATACGGATCACCACACAGTTACTTAACGGACCCTTTACGCGTATGGTCTGATGAAACCCTTTCTCTCCCTTCGATCGTTTCAGGGCATAGAGCTTGCAACCCTGCCAACCTACAAGGCTGCCATATTATACAGTCACTGTTGGCCAGACCAGGCTACGCTACTGGCTATCCCTTTAAAAATAGTAAGTCAATATTCAACATTCAGACTGAATCATGATGTTCGCTATGTCTGGCCAACATATAGTTATGGGCATTATTGGTCCACTCGTGGCGTCCACGGCTGTTACAAAAATATCTTCCACAGATAGTTCACTTGTGGTTATATGTCAAGTCATTGGAGGCTCGACTTGGGGGCGAGTATACTATTTATTGTGGTTAACGATCTGTAGAATGTAACGAAGAGCGGAGATTAAGAGGCAAACAACTGCCCTCTTTCCGAGAGGAACCACCAATCAAGGGGCTGGGAAACACTGGATCCTGCCAACATGTTGGTAAATTGCCGACTATGTACTAAACAGATTTTCGGGTTAGCCTTGCCAATCAGTTTGCTAAAAAGACCGCCTTGGGCAGCTGGGTTCTTGGTTCCAGGGAGGGGGATTAACAGGTTAATTGTGTTCACCCGCACTGACTCGCCGTTGCTACCAAGGAGCACGGGGTCTGATATTGTGGAGATTGTTGCAGCCGGATCGGAAGTTAGACGACTGCGCGTTCCCAAGAACAGTCGCCCCGCAATGCCAACTGCTAATAATGCTCTGGTGTTCTAGCATCACGCCAAGATGCCTAGCCTCGTACTCGTAAAAGACGCTTCCGCTCCAAGGCCAACTGATCCGAGATCTGAGACATCCTGGAGTTGCATTCAGGGGATCATCGCGATCGTGCACGCCTGTCGCCGACACCGTCTCTGAACAAGTCTCATAAAGGTAATTCTTTATCTCGGCTAGGCCATCCATCGTAAACTGTACTGATGATAGTCAACTTGATGATAGGGTTCTATCGATCATGCTGGCTCAGGTGGCACTTATACTTTGCATTGTTTCTGAACTTGGGAAAGGGTGAGTCTTCTCCACACCGGGAGTATAATTTGAATTTCACAATCTTTCATACCTGGTACTTTCGTGCCACTGAAGATAACCTCCTTGACCTGAGAATCCCTGCTACATGACAATAATAATACAGGGCCCCTCATGTTATTAATTTCCACTACTGGGCGATCTCGTATCCGAGATGGAGTACTGACCCATCGTTTGAGACCCCGTACGAATCAGTCGGTCATAATTTTCCTCCCGGTGGAAATGGGTCTCATGTCTCGTCCCAACTGCCCCCATGATACGAGTCCTCTTCCAAGGCCCCAGCTGGCTATTAAAGTCTAAGCCTTGTTTTGTTGATAATCCCGCCCCCGGAAAGATGCCTCGCTAACTTCGGGTGCCTCTTAGAAGACGAGCGCCTGAGAACTTTCTGCAAAAACACCATACATAGGTCAAGCTGCCCCTATCTTCAACAATCGTTCTCATGCATCGTCTCGCTATATCGTTTACCGGCCCCTTTCCCACTCGCTCTATTCTTTCATCTTTCCTTATTGCGTTTTATGTCTAACCGACTCAGCTTGTGATTGTTTTTCTTCCTTATTATTGTTCTTCCCTCCAGAGACACATCTCTTCCATCATGGCGCAGAGCCTATTATATCTATTAGAACTCTTGTTAGTCTTGCTCGGCGCAAGGGCTGAATCCAAAGGGGACAGTTGGCCTCACGCACAATTCATGACTGGACCATGGCGCCCGCCGCACCTCATGATGTCCACTTACGGCGAAGTAAACCCAGGGAAGTTCTTCATCAGTGTTCGAAATCCGATGGTCGGCACGGCCGCAACCATATACGATAAAGACGGTGAAATGATTTGGCAAGGCCCCCATACAAAAACAATGGACTTTAAAATGCAGAGACTATTTGGCCAGGATGTGATCACCTACTGGTCTGGTCAAACGGGGGTACTCGGCTACGGCTATGGCTCTGTTCATATTCTTGACACTGCATACAACGAGATCTATACCATAACACTTAAAGACAAACTCGTCACGCCTGACGACAAGGATCGAGATTCCTATATCGACGTTCATGAACACCTAATCACCCCGGATAATACTATCATCGTCTCTGCAATCAATATTACTCAGACCGACACGAGCGATAGGGAAGATGGCCATCCGGATACGTGGATCATCGACTGTCTCTTCTACGAAATCGACATCGAAACAAACAAGATCCTATTCACGTGGAGCGCCTTGGACCATCGCGACTACCTTCCGCTCAAGGACTCAAAAAATCCCAAAGGTTGGATGGGAGCCTCTAGGAGAACTGCATGGGATGCCTACCACATGAACTCGGTCGAATGGGCGAACGGTGGGTTCGTGGTTTCGATCCGATTTTGGTGGTCTGCATTTTATATCAATAGGAATGGCACAATGCGCTGGCAGCTTTCAGTGAGTGCTTAGTCCCGTTTATTACGTCTTAGATCACGATTTGTTGATTATGGCCTTCTAGGGTGGCGGTCCTGGAGAAGGAACGATTGAAAATGACGCACACTTCGCCTGGCAGCATGATATTCGGATACACAATGAAACAGATCACAATGTAGTAGTGACACTATTTGACAATCATGCCAGAGCATTAGGAAGAGGATCTAAGGCCGAGTCCAACGGGATCGCTATCGACGTGGACCTCGTTAGGATGAAAAGCACCACGTTCCGTCGCGTGAATACGGGTGCGTCCGATCCCGTCCAGGCTCGGACGCAAGGGAGTTTCCAACTGCTCGATTATAATGCGACTGGCCACATATTCATGGGGTACGGTTCAATGTGCAAGTTCAAGGAGTACGACGGGGACGGGAAGGTTGTTCAGGCCGGCCAGTTTGGCTATATTGGCCTTGCACAGTCCTTCCGTCTCCTCAAGTACCCCTGGAGGGCGGTCCCGCACTGGAAGCCCGCGGTCGTAGTCCAACCGGGCTCGGAATTCACTACCGACATGTCTGTGTACATGAGTTGGAATGGCGCGACCGAGCACGACAACTGGCAGATCTACAGCATCCCCCACATCAACTCCACGATCGAGGAAGCGAAAATGCTCGCCCGTACACCCCGTTATGGGTTTGAGACTCACGTAGACCTACGCGATGTCGAAGGTCATTACATCCTGGTCGAAGCTCGGCAAGGGGAGAACGTCCTCGGCACGTCTGATGCTGTATTGGTTCCGCAGAGAGCGCAGGTAGAGCTTCGTTCATGAGCAGATCTCGCCCCCCGTGCAACCGAAATAAAATGTACAGCCAAGCCGGGCTCATGGGTTGTTTCATTCTTGAGAAGATCCTATCAGGACAAAGACGAGTCATTGACCAGAAGAGTGATCATGCTCAACAGGGCAACACACGTTGGTGACAATTTAGAATTTGGGTTGAGTTTTTCCCAGTCCAGGACTCAAGGCACCAACGGTAGAAGCTGTCTTTTCACGTCGGCCTTCGGCTTCGAGTCTCTGTTCTCCATGCTCAGAGATCAAGAACATTTCATTATTGTCGTCGACAGTGGCTGCGCGATAACACTGGGTAGGCTTGACGGCTTGAGGAGTGCTATCATACAGTGAATAGCTCTTCCATGAATATTTACTGGCGATCACGAAGAAAGGAATGAAGGCAATGAATGGCCTGAAGAGAGAAGAATGAAGCTTTCTAAGAAGACTATCTAAACAACTCGACGGCGAACAGCAGGGCCGGAGCCGACATTGATGGAGTAATAACTCATGGTCCAATATGAGGATCCAATTCTTGGGGTCAACAACAGTGCATCCACGGAGAATCTTGAAGTTTGTATAGAATTCGTTCTCGAAATTGCCTTGACCAATATACACTGAGAAACTCTTTCCTGGCCCCACTGCTAAGAAATTCTGGAACGGTTTCGGAAGCAGAAATGTTGGAAAGGAAGGTAGCGCCTGCGAGAAAGATTAAAGGGCGCAGTAGTCACGGTAGCCAATAAATGCAGGCACACATACCACTCTAGGGAGACGGAAGATCGTGTATACCCATAATCATGCGCCTGGATCGAGACGACCCGCTGACAGGAATCACCCCTTGCATCGCGATCTAGGGCTTCGATTCTTGTATTCGGTAGGAATTCTTCAGCTAATTGCCCGCATCCATGCGAAGGTGTCCTTAAGAATGTTGGTGGGTACAGTACCTAGATCTAGGGTAGGTGGGTCATTATGTACCACAGATGGGAAGTCATAAATGCGTTTAACATTTGACCATTTACGTTCTCGGGCCGAGTCCTGCTGGACCACGTTCACTCTCCTGAGTCATTACAGGATGATGTTTGTTTCCCTTCGCGGCGTCTCCCTACATACTTAAGCAGCGAATAGGGCGCTGCGTCCACGCGCGTGAACCGACATGAACTCTGGTGGGCCATGCGTGGATTGTGGATGCCAAATAAATTCATTTACACGCGATTTTCACGATTCCTCACTATTCCTGGTCTTCATTAATTACTGTGTAATTTCCAGAGAAATCGACTAGCTGACGGGGATCCTCCATGCCTCACATCTACATAACTTCCCGTCGATAGCCCTTACGTTAATCTGCACGTTAGTGTGCGCTTCGATCCCTATGAGAGTGCATTCCTGCAGCTGCACCGGATGGTCGACCGGGGTCTAGGCCAACACACTTTATCTTGTGTTTTTTAAGCCGCTCTAGCATGCGCATTACGATATTCTGAATAAACCAAATGACCTGTGCTTCCGATCCAGCAAAAATCGGTATGCCCTTGTTGGAGTGTCGGTGCCGGGTGATCTACTAGGAGGATCCGTTCCGGCTGGCAACTGGAATAGCGTGTCATCGAGAGGCTCACCACCAGAGGGGGATACAAGGCTCGTCCCGACCCCACCGCACGCTGTTTCAGCGATGAGTCTCCCACCTGGAGGGGACCCTTAGGTCCGTCAAGCTACGGCTTCTACTGGACCAGGGACCTGATGCGCTGGGAACCGGACGACTCCCTACAGATTTCCGGCCGCAAATTTGACCAGATTTAGCCATATGGTCAGCGCATCGAGCTGGACAAGATTGAACGGACTATCTAGATGTCTTCCTGTGAATCACGACGTTGTGGTTAGAATGGTGTCTCCTAACGGCCATCAAAGTTGTAGGGTCGAGGCGAGGAGTGGCCACCACTCCTCGCCTCGACCCTACAACGGATATGATGCCACACTCACCTGCAGTATGGTTCATATGTTGAGCAAAGAAGACGACGCAGCGCCGAATGCGCTTTCGGCCCTTTCCATCACAGTCAGACCCGACAGGTGGCGGGCTGGGCTGGCCGAGTTCCTTCCTCATCACTGCTATGAAAGACACGGCACAAGCTAGATTAGTGATGAGGAGGTAAAATATAGCGGTTGTTTCTTCGTTTTTAACAAAAGAAGCAGCGTAGTGGGGCGTTAAATATTAATAGCATCGGCCATATAGATCCATGCTAGGGGTTTCTCAATCTTTCAATCCTAATCTTGATTTGGATTTAATACTTCAATTCGCCTGGAATTCTAAATTGCTCCTTCATCTCAAACATTGAAAACTTCATCGACATGGGCAATATCTATACATCTCCTTCAATTCACTGGCCACGAGTTTACCGGACTTCTCGACTCATTGGAGCCGCTCGAATACCCAAATTATTTCGGTCTTGAGCCCAACTTGGTACAAGCTCCGAAGCCCTGCCATGTGTGCCATTTGCTTTACCATCTCCTCCGTCCACAAGCCAAACTCTGTGGTAACTTCCTCCTGCTCGATAACGGAGTCATTATCTCGCACAGTGATCACACGACGGTCCTTATATAAGTTATCAAGGGTAGTGCTTTGCAACAGCACCTCCTGATAGGTGATGCCAGGATGTTGCTTGCTGGGAATCCTGCCAGTATCATCTGGGCCGGGAACCCGGATTGAATTTCCGATTTCCTCGAAGTAACGAAGGAAGGATACAACTGCGCCCCCCCGCCGGGGCGTAGGATCTTCCCAATCTCATTGAAAAAGTGCTGGCATTGACCTTCGGCTATAAAGTGGCTGATGGTTCCGAAGGACAGAATTAAAAGATCGATGGCATAAATTGGCAATTGCATCGCAGCCAAAGCTGACCGAAGGTCAAACGCAGACCCCAGCATCCATGTCAAATTCCCAGCCTTTGGTGCCGCGATGGATTTTCTGGCGCTGTCGATCATTGACTCAGAATTGTCGAGACCGATCAATGTGGTCTGGTTCCAATTGTGGCCGAGCCTGTCCCCGTGTTCAATGAGGCCTTGTATAATCCTGCCCGTGCCGGTCGCAATGTCCAAGACAACAGCTGGATTATGGATTGCACGTAGCTGATCGAAGTAAACCTTAGTGTCGGTCGGGTCGATCAAGTATTTCGAGGTGTACAGATCATAGAACTCGGCATGGTAATAAATGGAACGCGACCCGGATTCCTTGTTCTCTTCCGCGACGTCTGGTACAGTCATTTTTGGGGGTTCACAATAGTGTAATATTTGAAATGATTCTAAGTATACTGGATGATGATCTCGTTAAACTATATAGGCTTTCACTTTCACAATATTCTGATTTGTGTAACAAGGGTCACCTATGGCATGGAAGGCAAGGGAGACGAAGCATGCTGGCAAAGATCTCAATAAAACCGTACGATTAGAACTCCCAAAAGGCATGTCGGCTATATCCTCCCGAGGAATGAAGTCTTCTCCTGTGGAGACTATCGAGGGATACAGAACTTGGTCGTTTTTGACAAACCTTGAGGCCGAATTTGTATTAGGTATTTAGTCAAGCCACACCTAAAACCCATATGCAACCCATTTATTCACCCATCATATTGCTCACTCTACCACGATGCCTCCTGTCGCTAGTTTCACAACTCAATTAAGAACTCTGAAATGCTTAACGGATCACGAATCCTCAATTCTGCATTTGGCTTGGGCAGCTACGCTCTATGTCTTCATCAGCGAGAGGAATGTTCAATTTCAAGGACGCGTGCGTGGGTCTCTCAAATCCCTAAACATTTCCATCGATACCCAAAAAGCTATATCAGAGGCTTTGACGGACATCCATCATCAACTTCGAAATCTATGTGTGGATTGTGCCCCCACTGTCAACTCCAGCGATTGGAAATTTGGGAGTCTTTTAGATGTGACGACCTCCGAACCATCTGATCACGATGCAACGATTACAAAGGATCCTGATTCTGGCGCTCCGTTGGTCTTACAATGTCGCCTCGGCGAGGACTCTACCCAAATCAGCCTCGTTGCCAACGCTTTGGGTCCCTCCTCATGGCAGGTACAGCGAATGATCTACCAATTCAGCCACTTCATGGAGCAGCTCCAGTCCTCTCCCGAACGGAAATTGGTATCTATTCTTACTCCGAGTCCTGAAGATCATGCTTTGCTCCTCATTCGGAATGGACAGATGGCCCAACTGACCAGGATTGAGGCATGTATCCATGACATGATCTCGACACAATTTCAGGCGCAGCCTGATCGCGAAGCAATTTGTGCGTGGGACACTACAATGACCTATCGGGAACTTGAGATACAGTCCAAGCTATTGAGCTTGCAATTAGTAAAAGCTGGGGCTGGTCCAGAGGTCGTTGTGCCAGTGCTCTTTGAGAAGTCAGGATGGACCCCTGTCGTGATGCTTGCAGTACTCTTTGCTGGAGCAGCGTTTGTTCTTTTCGATCCATCATTTCCGGACGATCGCCTAAAAGCGATGTGCGAGGATATTGGTGCCACGGTTGGAGTTTGTTCAGCTCAACATGCTTGCCGTGGTGAAGCCATTGGCCTCAAGGAAGTCATCATTCCCAGCATTGTTAATCAGAAACTCTGCAATTTCTCTCCAGCTGTGGTTTATCCATGGAATATGGCGTACATTGCCTTTAGTTCAGGATCTACAGGCAAGCCCAAGGGCACTGTTATTGAACATGCTGCTTTCTGCACAAGTGCTATGGCCTATGGAGAGGCTTTCCGGTATACTGCCACCTCGCGGGTGTTACAATTTGCCTCATATGGGTTTGACGCCAGTGTGGGAGAGATACTCGCTCCACTGATGAGAGGCGGCTGTGTTTGTGTCCCTTCTGAAAATGAGCGCCAGCAGGATCTAGCGATGGCAGCGCAGCGTCTTAATGCCAATTCAGCATTTCTCACCCCTGCCGTCTTACGAACCCTGAATCACAATGACTTTCCATCTCTGTCCACAATAACTTGCGGGGGCGAAAAAGTGATGTTGAATGATATTCAGTCATGGGCAGACGAAAAAGTCCTGATGAATGTATATGGCCCTTCCGAATGCTCTGTTATCTCATCGGCAACGCGCAATCTCCAGGTCACCTCAGACCCAGCAAACATTGGATACCCTACAGGATGTCACTTCTGGATTGTGGATCGTAACGACTCCACACGACTAGCTCCCGTTGGTGCGGTTGGAGAATTGATTATCGAGGGTCCTATCGTTGGCCGTGAATACATCAATCGACCGGAGGAGACTGCGAAAGCATTTTTCCGGAATCCCCCTTGGCTTCATTCATTTCGCAGATCACCGTGGTCCTTTTATAGGACAGGCGACATGGTACAACTGGAACCAGACGGATCTATGCGCATTTTGGGACGTAAAGATCACCAAGTCAAGCTTCATGGTCAGCGAATAGAGCTTACAGAAGTCGAACACGCCATCCACAAGGTCTTCCCAAACTTGCAGCGGGTGATGGCAGCTGTTGTGAATCGTTCATCCCCCGTCCTCGTGGTCTTCCTCGTGGGAGTGGACGGTGATGCCGGTGATCAGGAGAGTGAATCTGCCCGCTCAACATTTCTCAAGCCTTCAAGGACCTTTCAGCATTCCTGCCAGGTAGCTGTTGCTACTTGCCTCCGCCAGTGTTTACCAGAATTCATGATACCAAGACTATGGTTCCCGCTTGACAAACCACCGCTCACCCCTAATGGTAAGGTAGATGCCCGTCGCCTAGCAGCAGAGGTAGCAGACCTCTCACCAGAACAGGCATTGAGGTATACCCTTTGCTCAGGAGACCGACGGATCGCAGTGCAGGGGATGGAAGAACGGCTACAGTGCTGGGTTGCTGAGGCATTAGGAGTCCAGCAGGAGCAGATTGCTCTAGATGCCAGTTTCTTTGGCCAGGGTGGAGATTCGTTGACTTCAATGAAGTCATCCGCCTTGGCCCGCAAAGAAGGCGTGGTGCTAAGCCCTGCTGCGCTTCAAGAGGCCAATTCGCTGGCCGAATTGGCCCAGAAACTCGATGAACAAAATCACAGTCCGACGGGTAAGGACCAACAGTTGAGCCTTCAAATCATTGAAGATACCGAAGGCTCTATTCAGGACGCACTTTTGGGTCGGTTGTCGGGGATTTCGCCCGACAATATCCAGTACATCCTACCTGTGTCCGAATTGCAGGAGTTTTTCCTTGACCTGCCGTGCGAATATTTTCGATTTGATCTTCGAGGCCCGCTGGATCGCTCTCGATTGCAGGCGGCTTTCCAGTCACTTCACAAACGACATGAGATACTTCGAACGGTTGTCTTTCGTGACGCCAAAGACGACAGGGCTTACCAAGCCGTACTGCGGGAATTCACTCCTCAGCTTGAGGTCCTTGAGACTGATGGATCGCTACTCACAGCCTCGGATGAATGGATTTACAAAGATTTCCAACAGGCAAATACACAAAACCAATGCCCTCTATGGCCTGCTGCTCGATACCTCCTGGTCAAAAAAAGTGAGCAACTGCAGGAAAACTGCCTAGTCATCGGGATCAAGCATACACATTATGATGGTGTCTCCATAATCACCTTCTTGAACGATCTGGCTTCGCTTTATCAGCACGGACCTGAGTCTCTCCCACCTACTTTTTCGTTCGGCCAGTACCAGGCGTTTGTGGCGTCTCTCCCCATGAGCAAAACCATTGACTTCTGGCGAGAGACCTTGCGCGGCTCATCTGTGACTCAAGTTGGACGTGAGCGAGCCGTCGCCCCAGTCCCCGTGGTCGAGACAACCCGTCACATTCCCCAAGTGCACCCGCCCTTGGGAATTACCTTGGCTACGACTGTGAAAACCGCCTGGGCGATTTGTTTGGCACAACAGGTGGGTAAGAACGATATAGTCTTCGCGCAAATTGTCAGTGGTCGTTCCCAGGGTCCAGATGGCATCCAGCGCGTGATCGGCCCGTGCATGAACAGTATCCCCGTTCGCGTCTCACTGGCACTGAAGAATTCTGGTCAATCGGCAATGGAGATAATGCAGCAAGTGCAATCGCAACACGTCCAGTCATTATTCCACGAGACCATCGGCTTCACCACTTTGCGAGATGAATGCACAAGCTGGGGCCCAGATGCTGTGATCGAATCTTTGGTCTTGCATCAAAATATACTGCACGATGATGAATATCGTCTTGGGGAGGCTGTTGGTAAGATGGACACGATATATCCGGAGCTTGTCACGGATGAGTTTATTCTGTATTCCGTTCCTCGAGGCGACAGGCATGAATTCCGACTTTCTGTCCCCCAACGAGTGCTCGACCTTCCTGCCATCGAGCATTTGGTTACCGAAACATGTCATTGGGTGCAAGCGTTGGCAGCGCATCCGGAGATGCGTATTAGTCAATTGATGTTGGAAAGGAAGTCTAAGTTACATGCTGTGGGCTGAATGAGCCTGGCTGAGCCTCTGTGGGGTCTGTGTTGGAGAGACGTTTGTCATGGTGAGAGGAGGGCAGCGTGTCCCAGACCCAGAATAATTGTGATGCCGTGATCTATCAAGTCGTTGCCTCTCTGCACTATAGATTTGCTCTCGGGAACAAAGACCTCTGACTCACGGTTTGCGCTGGCCAGTAATTTTCCCGGATGAAAGCCGATTATCACCTGACTTCGTGTCACTTTTCGCGTCCAACCGCACGGTCGTCGAATATTGAGTTTTGCAGCCTGCTTGGCGGCAATGTCGCCTGCAGATAAGATTTGTCGGCTTGAAACTACGGTGTGCTGCCTGACACGAGGATGTAGTTATAAAATGAGGCAGAATATCCCTCTTCTTGGTCAACATTGTTCTTTTTAAACCAAGATCGGAGACACCAGTATAGTTACTACAAACGTGAGCTTAATCTTCGACGATATCCTTTCTGGCACAATGGCTGCTGTCCAAGTATATTTTCTTTCCTATTCTTGCCAGCATTGATAGGCTCACATACTAAGCAGATCGTTTCCCCGGCGGAATATCGCGCTGCGCGTCTAAATCTCCTCGCCAAAGAAAAGGAGGCTACGCGTGCCAAGGACGCGCTTGCCGCAGAACGGCGTTTGCTTCCTATGGTCGAAGTGACAAAGAGCTACACCTTCACTGGCGCCGGTTTAAAGGATGGACAGACGAAGGAACTCGCCTTGTTGGACCTCTTCTCTGGCCGCCGCCAGCTGATCGTCTACCACTTCATGTTTGATCCTTCCTGGGAAGCAGGCTGCTCTGGCTGTACGCTTCTGTGTGACTCGTTCCCTACTCTAGAACACCTCCACTCCCGCTCCACCAGTGTCGTCGCCGTATCCCGTGCCCCAGTTGAGAAGATTGAAGCGTACAAGAAACGCATGGGCTGGACTTTTCCCTGGGTCTCGTCCTTTGGCAGCGACTTTAACTATGACATGCATGTGACCCAAGATGAGGCCGTTTGCGAGGTTGACTACAACTTCAAGAATAAGGGCGAGCTATTGAAGCTCCCCGAAGATAACTTCCCTAAAGGGGAGCAGCCGGGAACTAGCGTCTTCTACAGGGGTGATGGCAAAATTGGAGAAGAGGGAAAGGTCTACCATACGTATTCAACATACGCGCGCGGTAGTGAGAATCTGATCAATACCTTTGACTGGTTGGACTTGACACCTCTTGGGAGGCAAGACGGAGAAACAGGAATCGGTGGTGTCGGGTTTCGGCGCAGGGATGAATATACTGAGGAGGAACTGAGAGGACTGCACTGAATTGTCAGCGTATCACCGGCATCGCCTGAGCAGGGAAGGAATAACGCATGCACAATGATCCGGCGTCGACGATTGATGAATACTAAGCCCAAAACGGCTCGTCTGATTGGCAGATTACTCGCAGCTATACTTAGCCCTATTCAACATTGCGCGCTTTTTTCCTCATCTTGTTTGTCCTACTTCCGTCTTCTCGTGTTGTGGAAAACCGGGACACTCTCATTATTAGTAGTGCGATTGATGAAACTGTCTCGTATTAATCGGTCAAGGCAACTATAAAATTGACCTCCGATTAGATTATTCTCTTACTGAAAGCAAATTGGTTTTAGCCTTGCATTTTCCATACAAGAACTTCTGGACTAATAACCCGATTGAAAGGAAGAGAAACAGAAACTGGTACAGAAAAGGAATGGAAGCATACAACCCTAATGCTTATTTGAGAAACACTCCCCTCCAAAACGCCATTTATCTCACTGGTCAGACATTAAGAAAGAAAAAGAAGAACGCCGAAGTAGTTCTCAACCCCTGACTACACATGATTCGAATACATAGCCGGATGATGCGTGAGATCCGGCACCGCAACACCCGACGAGTCACGCGAGTACTTAGACGAAGCGGCATCATTGTTGTTGGCATTGTTGGCAGTGAGGTTATTTAGCGGAGAGGAGATCTTCAATGGAAACCGGGCTGTCAGACGGCGCGTGGTGCGCTTGAAGGGCGACTGCTCGTAGGAGGGAAGGGGGTCTTCGCGCTTCATGCTCAGCTGGAATGAGCGGTGGCTGCTGGTGCGACTGACTACCTTCTGTGGCGCGACAGCACCGTAGGCCCGGACGTGGCGGGCGCTGACGCCGAGTTTGCGGTCTGTGAAGACGAATGTCTATGGGGTTGTATTGTTAGTTAACTTGGAAGTTACGTCGATGGGGATTGGGGATGGGTGGGTGGGTGAGTATATACTTACAGACACGATGTTCACAATGCTCATGATCATGGCTAGGACGCCTGAAGAAATGACGATCCGCCAGAATGCCAGGCCCAGGTTCTTCTGGCTCATAGCCGCGGTGTTCAAGTTGCCCAGGGTGGCCACACCGAGGATCATCATGGTAGCCGCCAGAGTGAGGAAGCCCGCTTCCTGCCCGAACAAGGGCCAATTGCGGTCGAAGTAACCCCGGAAGATGGGGAGCTCGGAGATGATCAGAAAGACTGGATGAGACAGTTAGTCCGCAAAACCCTACCAAAGTCTTTGAGGGGGAGCTGACTTACTGCTGATGAGGGCAACCACGGCATGCGTGACGGCTTGAAAGAAGAAGAAACTGTTCAACATGTTAATCTTGACCAGCATTACGATGCAGGCGGCGATCAAGTCGATGAAGACGACGATGTTGAGCACGCGGATGGTGTTCAAAATCACGTATCCTGGACCAGCCAAGGATTCTTTGAGAGCTGCCATCATAATTACTGCTCGAAGGGGCTTGAGAAAGACAGATCTCGCAAAGTGGGCAGGTAGAAGACCAGGTATAAGTGGGAGACAGAGAGAGGACTTGTGAGAAATTAGAAAGGGTAGCGACGACTGGCCAGCAGGAAGCTTTTTTTTTTTGACCCGAATAGAAGAGAGGACAGTGAATGAAGGAATTACTCGAAAATAGTTTTAAAGAAGTGAAGGGGATCAATGAGATACATAAGAACAATAAAGAATCGCCATCCAGAGTGAAATGACTCTTCAGGCAGCGCCTGTCCCCGACCCGTCCCAAACAACAAAGAGCGCGAACAACGGAGACACAGGGATCATCAGGCGAGCTATGAATAGAATAGAATAGAATAGAACCTGAAACAATGCAAAAGCGCATTGTGAATGGAGCAGGACAAAGGGGTGTAAGGCAGGGCTCGGCGCTTTGGGGGGGGGGGGTGGAAGTATGAAAGCGATCGCTTCATCGCAGGTCCGGACATCCTCATTGGTAAATTGGTTAGGGTTTGCCAATACAAGGGGTTTGGGGCGAGGAATTGCATTCCCAGCTGTGTCAACAGAGGGCCCAGGGAGTGGTAGGGAGCAGCGGGCGCTGTGGGATGGTGAAACAGGCCTTGTTTGGTGCTGGCGCTTGGAGGGCGGCGCGAAGTATGGCGGCTGCTGATGCGCCATTTATTTAGGGAAGGATTAGGATATTTTGAGATGATGCACCTGTTGTTTGATCCAATGAAATGGAATTCTCGCCGATGTACCTACTGTCATAAGAGACTACTGGGCTTACTCCTATAGTCCCGGTAGAACATTCCATGGCCCGGTTCTCTATTCTCACCCTCCGATTCGCCCCTCCATCTGTGCCCCTCCGCTTTTTTTTCTTCCTCTTCTTCTTCTTCCCCTTTCTCTCACTTCTCACCTCGCACCCTCAATTAACTATCCTCTCGTCCCTGTCACCACCGCCCTGGTCCCTGTTTTCTTAACCCCCGATTTCAAACCAATCAAAATCACCCACCATGACTCGCGGCAACCAGCGCGACAATGACCGGGCCAAAGCCCAGAAGAAAGCGGCCGCCTCGGTACGTTTTTTCTGCTTCCTCATTCCCTGACCGCTCGTTCACAACTAACCTCACCATTTCCATATCAACAGAAGGGCAAGAACAACCTGAGTGGGTCGCAGTTCGCCAAGGCGAAGGAGGATGCTGCAGCCATTATGCGCGAGAAGCAGAGGAAGGGTGAGTCCGGCCTACCCAACGAACCACTTCCATGATTCCCGAGGCTAAATCAATTCCCTCAACGCAGCGGACGAGAAACAAGCTGCTGAAGCGGCGGGCGGAAAGAAAAAGTGACACCAACAACCACTCCTGATGTGAGACCAATCCCGCGATTCTCGGATCATGTTGCAAGCGCGTGTTGCAACGGTACAAGTTGGTTGGGGTTTCACCGGTGGGACACTGTCAGATCATGCACCGGCCTTGTCTGTTTACAAATACAAACATACATACACTTGGCAGGTCGGTGGTTAGTTAGCGAGGCGTTTTGACTCCCGTGGCGTTTTTCTTCTATATACTGTATCAAGCATCATGTCCCCTCCCTACAGCGATGAAGCGATAATTGAACGAGTCACGAACTACGAGAATCTTCTTCTTGGAGCATAGAAATTAATAGGTTGGCGTAATTTTTCTATTTGTACTCCAGTATGTCTTGGCTCGGCCCAGCCGGATTGTCCAGCGTCGCTCGGATGGTTTAGAGACCGCACGAGCGACATTCGCAGCCGTATCGCTTGTGCAAGGGAAATTACTCTCGAATACATCCTCCAAGTCAAATTGACAGACCATCCGATCGGCAAACGTCCACAAACTCTCGCCCTCCCAGCCGACATCTCGCGCAAACTGCAGCACTCGCGCGAGCGCATCAGCAGTGACAGATCGCCCGGAGATATGCTCGAGAACATAAACCACAAAAGCCCACCCGGAGATATCGCGCGGGTGCGCCAGACACCAGTCGAGGACTGGGTTTAGCATGTTGCGAGCAAATTCATCTTCCCGGGTAGCCGATAGAAGAGCGTAGAGCTGACGCATGTAGCTGAAGGCGTAGTAATTCCTCGGGTGCAGCTCCGCGGCACGGAGGACAGTCCTTAATTCCCTACCCTGAAGCTCCATCATATCCTCGGCATCGCCATTGCCATTGTCCTGCCAGGATTTGAGCAGCTGTCTCAGCGTCCATAGCCGATGATGCCACAGCGTCGGAGACTTTGTGTGCCGGTGCAGCGGCGAGCATTGATAACTCGTTAGAAGCGTGAGTTCCATCTCCAACGCTCGCACCCTGTCAGATGCATCCAGTCTTTGAGCGACGATAGCCTGCAGCAGCCGGCGTTTGCGCCAGTTAGAGGCAGTCAGATGTTCGCAGTCAAAGAGGAGCATGACCTCCGTAACGGCCGAGAGCGACGGATTACCAACAGACTCGTCGCCACGAGAAAGCGTATCTTGGAGTTCCGAATCGGACATGTGCTTCAGCTTGTCGAAGTGCCGGCGCGCGACTGTGTATGCTTGCACCAGGGCCTTCTTGGTGATTCCGACGAAGCTGCCATCCTGTAGGAACGGGGACCCTAGGCTCGTGGGCAGGATCTCGATTTCGAGGACTGTGTTGTTTCTCGTAGTGAAGGTGTTCGCAAGTTGGTGGTATGCTTGCTGAGGGTCGGACATTTCATGGTTTCATTGTGGGTGGTGGTGGTGGAGGTGGTGGTGGTGAAGGCGGAACAAGCTGGAGTTAAGTCACTCGCATCTTCCCTCTTTTCCCACTGCGACCACCACCAAGAGAGAACAGTCGCTGGTCCATTCTCTTCCTTTCTGGAGATCTCTCCAGCCCGTATTTCTCTCTCACCTCGACACCCCCGTCTCCCTCCCTCCGTCCCTCACTTCCCTCCACCACCCGCCACCATGATGTCTCTCGTCCTCACCATCTTCCTCGTGAACCTGGCAATCTATCTGGTCAACACAATCGGCGCAACCACAATCGACAACCTGGTATGCTACTCAAACCCACTCCTCCAGCTTCTCATGCTGTCCTTACTATCCCGGGTCTCTACCCACCCTTCATCGTCGCCTCCACGCCCTCCCTCATAACGTTACCAGCTACTGAATCCCTTTCTCAATCAAAAACAGATATGGCTCCTCTACCTCAAACTCCCAACCTCAACCGCCCGCAAGGGCCGCGACCTGCAAACCAAAAAGCGCGAGGTCCTCCAACTCAAGCGCGAGATGAACAACACCAGCTCACAGGACGAGTTCGCCAAGTGGGCTAAGCTGCGGAGACGGCACGACAAGAGCTTGGAGGAGTACGAGGCGATGAGTACTTCCCCCTTTCCTTTCTTTTATTTCTATTAGTTGTCCCTGCAGTTAGTTATTAAGTTGCTAACGGGATAATTTACAACACAACAGACAAATCCCTCTCATCCCACAAAACTTCCTTCGACTGGACCGTCAAGACCGCGCGCTGGCTAAGCACAAACGGGCTCAAGCTTTTCCTGCAGTTCTGGCACTCCAAGAAACCTGTCTTTGCCCTTCCGGAGGCTTGGTTCCCGTATTACGTGGAGTGGGTGCTGTCCTTCCCTCGTGCACCGCTGGGGTCGGTCAGTGTCCAGGTTTGGAGCAATGTGTGCGCGGCGGCGATTGCGGCCGTGGCGGATATAGTGGGATCGGTGATGGTGAATATGGCTCAGCAGCGCAGGGCTGTACCGGTGGCTGGGTCTGGAGCTGGAGCCGATGTGAAGAAGACGGAGTGATACATTCAGAAAGTGTATGAAGCAGATATATGACTACAATACGAAACAAAACAAGTTGTATGATATGATACACAATTGGATTTCTGTATCTAGGATAGTGATGTCAAAGACCTGCGAGTCGTGGCTAGTCCACGGGCTCTGAAGTCTGCGCAGACTATCAACACCCACCAAAGGGTGCAAAGGACGACATGTATTCTGTCCCAAGGTCATCAAGTCGGATCAAAAAAGTCGTCATGTTGTTCATCAGATATTGAAAAATCGTTTCTCGTCAAGGACGCCCCTTATGGGGCATCTCGGGGCTTGACTCTATGATTGGTATATCATCACGCGAAAAGAAAACAGCCCATGGCAAAGGAAAAACTTTTTCAAAAAGAGAGTCCGGCCCCTTCGACAGGGCTTCTGTGATGTGTTCTAGCACATCACCGCTTTGCCATAAGCTACAGACCCAAAAGAATGAAAAGTGTGTGAACTCCTCGCCTCAAGAATGAGCCCCATTGAGTTACCCTCTTCAAGAAAGAAGAAGGCAATCGCATGACTATCCATCCACGACGAAAGGCAACCCAATCAAATCCCCTCTCCGACACCCTAGGGTACATCCCATTGTATCCAGTGCAGTCTCCTGTCCTGTTGGATGGCCTAGGGCACCGGGAAGAGGTAGGGCAGTCAGCCGCTCTCAAATTGCTTTTATGGCGGCGCGTTTCCGCAATGCCTGGCTTGAGGAAACTCTGATGCGAGCATCAGAGTGCAGGGTGTCTGGGGACTTTCTCCCAAAGCATGGTTTGAAGACCTGGTGGCCTTGTGCGTGAGCTTTGAATGCGATTCTTTGAACGAGGAGTTGAGAGAGAAGAATTGTGCGGAAGGGTTTGTTCGGTTGAGTTTTATGGGTCTGGTCATGTGACTGATTAGTCATTTTGTTTATGAGCACTGATTTTGGCATCTAGGATGAAAAGATGGATTAAAGAAGAAAAGCCTGCAAATGCAAGTTGGAATTCCGCAAGGCTGGACAATAAAGCTGATTCTAGTAATCTCCGCAGCTACTGATCACCATGCCGCGCCTTCCGATCTGTCTTCGATTTCCAGCTTCACGGACAACTCCATCTGTTGTAGATCACGCTGAACAAACACTCCGAAGCTGTTTGATCCAGGAAAGCCTAGGAAACTCGAAGGTTTACAGCCAAAATGGGATGCCAACATGAATATATGACGGCTGATGAGTGAGGATCATCAATGATTCCAAGGAGGGGGAGAATTCTGATTACAGGGTGTCATTTAGGACAGGCCTAGCTAAAGCCGTCTTTTTAATCTAGCGGTCCTTGAGGCCCTTTGTTGTTTGCTTTGTCCTGTTTTGTTCTTTCCTTAGCCCATCAGCAATTCGACATGGTAGGTCGCAACAATACTTCACGTTACTCCTCTGCCTTGTTTCATTCTTGTTTATATGACGCATTCATCGACCTGTAGTATCTTAGTTAGTATGAAATATATTAGAATTTCTGGGGGTCTGATACTAACGCGAGCTAGGGTGTAACATCGCAGAAGACGTGTCTGCTCTAGCGAACATGTTTAGAGCACGTAGTACTAATGACGGGAATGCTTCACTATTTTATAGATGAAATCGCAAATCTAATAAAGAGCTAAGATTAGGCAGAAGACGAGCCCTGGCTAGTAGGGAACATCAAATTCAACTCGCCTAACAACAGAAGGAACCCAAACACGCCTAGTGCAACCTCAATAGCAAGACCCTTCAGGAAGATCTTAACGTACCGAATACGAGAAGCCCATTCGAAGGTGGTCCAGGCATCCATAAGACCGATCTTGCCGCTTCCATCAGTCTCGGGCCAAACGTTGCCACCAAAATGGCGGTCAAAGGGTACGACCGGGTCATCCTCTTCGGGCAGCATAGAAGCAGCCACACGGGTGAAAATTCCCCTAGCAGGAATGGAAACTAGCAGGGCAAATATAGCTGGGAGAATGCTAGCGGCTAGGACACCGAGAAGCCCTTCATATCCCTGATTGGTAGCAACGCTCGTGACGGTCCAGCCAGCAAGCTCTGCGGCAGCTATAGGCAGAGAGAAAGTCGCACTCTTTAGGAAATTGTACAACGCAGCTGCAGGGGCCATCCTTGCCCATTTCCGGAGGCCAAGCATTCGCCGGTGGTAGCTCCTAGGGGATTTGTCGGCGATCACAAGATGAACCCAAGCAAGCTGCCAGGTGGCCGAGAACATGCGACCGGCGAAGTGCGCAAAATCTGAACCGATAAACGAGTCGATCGGAATAGGAGGAATAACAGCGACTAGGAAAACCACGCATATATACCCTACTGTGAAAGCCAGGTACATACGAAATCCACGGTAGCACGACCATATTCCACCATGGGCGCGTAGGTGCTTAATGGTCGAGCCTAAGCCGCTAGTAATAGGCTTAGTGATTGATGGAGTTGTGACGTGGGGATCATTAGGGTCGCAGGAATTGTTACTATCTTCGTTGTCGAGGCGAACGTATGTGTTCGGGCTAGAGTCTTCAACCGCGGCCAGAGTCGCAACCACTTGGGTACAGGTGTAGTCAATCTATCCTCGATGAGTTTATATAGTTGCTGCTCACCATGCTAATACTGGCTCACACCAAGGATCGCCAGGCCAAACGCAAGGGCCGTAAAAATGATGATTGAGAGGCTCAGCAATCCATACATTTGAGGCTGTGAAGGGTGCTGGAGCCGAAAGGAGATCAGCTCGGTACCCCGGCGTATGAGGACATTGTTAATGGACCACATGGTGCAACTGATGAAGATAAAATGATGTTGACGAGGAAATCAGCTCGAAATTCGGAGTAGGTGTCATACCAAGAGGGGGGGGTTTGCTGGTTTGGCCTAAGTACATAGCCCCTAAACGTCGCCCTTTTTATTCGTGGACAGCCCCAACTGGCCCAAATTGGCCCCCCCAACTGTGGGGATTTGGCTTAGCCTCAAGTAAAAAAAAAATTTAGGCTTCTTGACCGAGTCTTTGTATCTGGGTTCGAGAAACTATTCGTATTGATCCGATCCTAGAATCTGGCAACAGGTAGGGATAACGAGACCGTACCTGGTCCCCATCTCTGAGACGCATGGGCGCGGTGGAGTTAATTGCAGTTAGGTCGCGAAAAGGAAGTCTAGCCAGAGTGCGGGCCTCACCCATTCTGGCTAAAAGAGAACTGGTAGTCAGAGCAAGTTGGGCGGCGTGCTTCAGTAGTAATATACGGTTTCACATTCTGCTCCTCTAGTAGTAAGATAACTTGGCAAATCATTAGTCTAAGACCATAGCTCGTTTTCAACCACCAAAAATCAACGTAGTGCCTACGAAAATAGACACGACACAGACTACAATGTTGGTTAGGATGCCGGGGCCAGCGGTCCAATTGGAACTAGCGGCACCCGCTGATGTTTTGGGGGGCTCCGCGTTGTCGCTTGACTGAGAGTAACCACTAGGCTGAGAGATGTCGGAAGTAGGGAGATGAAATGCAGTGGCCGTTGGCACATAAGAAAGTGGCCCGGTGGCAGTTGCAGAGATCAGTAGACCTGGTCCCTCCGGCCGAGCGGTCGCTGTCTGCTGAACACTGACCGAATTTGCAACATCCCATGGGTCTTGATTAGAAGATCCAGGCGCAAGAATCTCCACAATATTAGAGATCTCGCTATTGAAAACAGTGGGAGCCAGCGCAATCTGCCGACGGTCGAGATCGTACACCACATATGCTGCACGAAGAAAGGGATCACCCAGAGAGATTGGTGCGTCATCCGGCACAGGTGTCATTCCAAAAACACATGCCGTATTGCCGTTTTTAAAGGTTGTAGGGTACCCGTATGCATCCAATAAAGGAACAGCAAGCTCCGAGAAAGGTACTGAAATGACTGGTCCTCCGGAACCACCGATTCCAAATTCCAGGGTCGCCTCGTAGGACTGCATCGCTTCGCACTCGACAAGATCACCTTGGTCTTGCGTAGATATGACGTTGACAAGCGAAGCGACTTGTTCGTAGAGACCCTGGGGGAGAAATATGCTCTGCGCCCCTGAATCCAGGACAGCTGGCTGCTTAAACCCATTTTCTGTCAGGGGTTGATTGCCCTGAGTGGGATCGTTGACTGAAAGGGATGTCCATGCGACTGTCATTGAGTCGATCTGGCCGGTTTGCGCGTCGGGTTGGATAGGAACCCCAATCAGCTTGCCCTTATATTTGCCTGTGTCAATTCCACCAAACATGATACCTCCTGTCTGAGATTCTGGAGCCCGAGCATTAGTCAAGCGATTGCTAATACCTCAATAGGGTGGCTGTTCTTTTGGAGCTTACCAATATCATTGAGCCAGAGACTATATGCTCGGGAGTTGATAAGTCCTTGCTTGACCATCAAATCGATAATGTTTTTGTAGGAATTGCCCCCATTCCATGTAATCGACTCTAAAGAGTCAAAACCAATACCTAGGACGCCAATGAGACCAATATGCACCTGTCTAGCAACCCCTATAATTGCGTCTTTGATCATGATGGAGCCAATCCCGAAGTTATCGGAGACGTAGTCCCCTGCGGCTGACGCTGTGTCGACATAACTAATGCTAAATGCACCCCTGTTGATTATCTTCGAAGTGCTTGATTGAGAATCGTCGTCTTCAACCAGTTTGAGATTAGCAACAAAACTCTGTACTAGAAAGAACGTAAATGACGACTTACAAGTAAAGCCAAAGCATTGGTCTATGGTTGCGTCACACGAACCTGGTCCGAACACCCAGGTATCGCTGCTTCCAGTGTCGAGTAGAAGCGCGACGTGCTGCCTAGGGGTTCCCACGGTTGCATTAACCCAGTAGAATCCGTCGTAAGCCTCATCATCGTTCCCAAGTAGGACACCTGCGTAATTTCGCTTCACAGTTGAGCGATGCCTATATTTTTTGAAGAGATAGCGAGAGGACCTTGGGCTCTGCCAGTACCGATGTAAATAGAACGAAATTGGCCAGAATGAACAAGTTGGTTAAACTAATCCAGCAAGGAAATCCGAGTAAAGACTTGTTCCGCAATGGCATTGAACTTAGAAATGTTTCAGGAGGCATGTCGTTTATAACCAAGGTTTGATCATGATACACAATAACTTAACGGCACGGGCGGGCTATTTATTTGGTTTCCAAGAGCCATGCGGCTTGAATTGTCAACGAAGTGACGAATCAAAAAGATTACTTCCACGTTGACCTGGGGAGGCGTGAGATCGACAAAAACCTGGGCGTCGAATACGAGAACTAAACAAATGTGGGACCCAGCATTTGGCCAATGCTCAGCTGTCTTCGGGACTAGTTTGATATAGCTGTGCATATCAGGGTCCTTGTGGAGGCGACGGTTCTGTCTTTGGGACTGCCAAGCCCCTGGGATCCTCTTCTCCTCTTCCGCTGGCGGTTTGGGCGTCTTCTACCCCACTTTCTCAAGATATGTAGAGAGCTGCCAAGAGACCAAGTTCTTTGGTGGATTATGGCCGCACCGAAATGGAGTTATTCTCAACCTTCTCAACTTTGTTGTCCTAAGTCTACTGGGGTCGCGTTTCCGCTATTTTCTTTATTTTTATTTCTATTTTTACTTTTTCCCATCGAGATTTGGAAGTGTGCGTGACGCCATAGCATATTAAATGCGCCACCCTTTGCCTCATCCACATGGTCCGCGTAATCAAGAACTGGTTATTCATAGCACCTCTAGTTCGAACTATCCGGCTTGAGACTCTTGAGGTTCTGCGTGGGTTTCTTTTGAATTTTGCAACATTCATAATAGCCACATTAATAGTAATAGTCATATGAGTATAACATCCCTTACTTGGCTGGCTAATTTAGAATACTGACTTTCACAAGAAGATGGTGGTTTTTACGAATGATCTAAAAATAAGGCACACTTTATTCGTACGAATATTCGTAGAGTGATTATTTGTGTACACACCTATAGGACAAGTTCAGAATAGCCACCGAATAGTAAGGCGGCCGCGAAAAGAATATTCAGAGTGCCGGCCACGCTTCGTATACGATTAGCTGAAATATAGGCCGGCAACCCTGTGGGGTTTGAGTCTTCTTGTAAAATGTCAAAGCCGTGGAAGAAAGTCGTCGTTGTGATTTTGACTTGAGTCGTGCTAACAGCCTCCAAGTGCACGGGGAAAACTTGGTCGGAATCTCACAACGTGAAACGACTTGAAAAGGCTTTCATTACTTGACCGCAAAAATCACCATTGTCCTATAAGCTTATTGGCTAAATTGTGTCATGGCATTTGGCTCGGTCGTTTTATATACAAATAATGAATATCAGAATATGATTCGCAGCTCTACTGTTCTCATCCTCGAGTCTTCGTTTCCCAGATTATCTGTGATAGAAATTTGATTTGTTCTCCAGTATGCTTTGTCCCCCATTATATTGTCATCAATTCTGGGTGAAAATGAGGAGCGTCGTTCAGCTGACAAAGCGGTGTAGATCTAGCCATCAATGTTCGAGATTTTGTATACTCCATTTATCTATGCAGCAGACAGAAGGTGGCTGGCGCAAAAAGACTGCGGCACTTTACGAGTCTTGCTAATCAATATTGGTCTTGGCATCACGTACGAATACGGATAATTACAAATCGAATACGAATAAACCTACCAAAATAGCTAAATCTCCCGAGGGTTTTAGTGCTGACAACCTGCAACAAAGCTGGTACGGTCTTCTAAGCCTCCATCTGAGCTGGCGCTTGTCGATTGCGGTTAAATTGGTCTTGGCATATATCTTGGTGATCTTGGCATTGTCAAATCATCTGTATATAGGTTAATGCGGGACCTGCTGCTAATGCCAGTCGAATACGAACGGCAATTTGGGAAACAAATGACGAATACGAATAAGCAAAATCCGTATCCGGGTGGGCCCCTAATTGTGGCTATTCATTCATGAGGTTCTCCCGACAAAACACTAGACTCGTAAACAGCTCAACCTTGGCAGAACACACTCGCTATATCTAACCTATAGCAGCTGGTGGAAGAACTAGTCGTTTTAGATACGAAGAATGAATTGGCAGTGGTGGTCTCATGATGACTTTCGTTTGTAGTCAAACGAAAAATTTCAACCGAGCCACTCGACTTTGTGTTAGCGCATATATGTAGATTTAGTTTCAAAGCGACATCGGCAGTACAGTCTCTAGAACGTTACAACACACCCAGCTTTGTAACCACAACCAGCCGCCATCTAGAGCTCATACTCCCCTGGGCGCTGCACCAGCAAGATCCTATCACAGGGATTTTGTTGGCTTCCATGAGAGATTCAACCACAACGACGCGCGCCTGTCTTTCTTGTGGACGTCGAATAGTTCCTTTCTCCTATACGGAGGAAGATGCCGTTGCAGATTCGGTTGAGGCTAGATCCCTCAGGAATCTGAGCAATGCGCGCATGCGCATACGCAGAGTCCACTGCAGTAGTACATATTCAGCTGCTATTATCGTATACATCCACTGCCAAGGTCGCTTATTTCCTATTATTACTTGGCTTTGCAAGGCTGTCTTAGAACTACTGAGAAATACGAAGGCAAACACTTGGTTCATCCGGATTCGCTCTCGTAGATCGAAAGGATCCATAAAGAAGCAGCATGTCGGGATATATAAAGGAGCAACCTTTCCATCAGTCAAAGATATTCATCACTCGTCACTTTTTCATTCTTACACTGCCTTCTCAGCTTCACTGATCATTTACCCACGGATAATTCCCCTCCATAAACATGAAGGTCCTATCTATTTTCACTACGGCACTCCTGTCTCTGGCAGTTGTCGGAACGCCTATCCCAGACGATAGAGCAGCCGCCCACGAAGCGTTAATCGCGGACAGGCGTGCTCAGCGACAAACCGCCGCAAGTGCTATATCTGCACGCGACGCTGAAGCTGAAAGCGTTGGCCTGCTCAAGAGAGCAGAGCTTAATTGCGAAATCGTCAACGTCGTGACTACTGTTGACTGCCACTATTGGCCCACCCATGCATCCACATGGAATGGCCACTCCAACCACGTCGTGACCTCGTTCGGGCCTTCAACTAAACACGATTTCGATTGCTATTTGAATGGTCAGACAGTTGGAGGAGTTGCGTAAGTTATTTATCAGTATTAGGAGAAAACGGTCAATACTAATAAACGGCTTCGATATTTAGAGCTTGGGATTATGCTGAGAACTGGGACTGCTTTGTTCCTGGGTATTATACAGACTCCCACTGTACTCACAGTACGCTTCTCCTCCCCTTGATTATAACGTCTTTCTGGGTATACTAATCGGAACGTAAATTTCTAGCCGCCCTTGGAAAATGTGGCTTTTCTTAAGTCATTGGACTACGTGTTCAAAGCTGATGAAATTGAGGCCCTTTGGTGAAAGAGTGGGTGCATGAGGTGTCGGTACTCTACTTACTTGTCGTGTGCCGTGGTGTGCGAGAGAAAGAAATTAAGCTAGTACGGATGCAAAGCTGTTGGTGCCTTATTATGGGGCTTCCAGCTTTCTTTGTTGCCTGCAGTCTATTTTTGCTGCCCACTGTCGTTCAGAATAGCATCATTATCTGTCTTCTTTTTCCATGTTCACTACCACAGTATGCTCCTTGTATACCCTCAGTTTCGTCATTTTCGGCCTCTGTGGAGGCTAGAATAGATCGCCCCAGCACAAACACATTTTGTTACAGGGGAGAATATAACAACAGAACATTATTTGAAAAGTTATCTCATTATTTATATTTAAGCAGCCAAAAATTCATTTTTAACCTATCAGGCTGACTCACTCATTATTTATTTCCTGGTTGACAATTTGTACTGTGGGCCAGAAGAACTTTGTCCTCTTCCTAACGTTGTCCGCCATCATTAAACGGTACTAGTATCATACAGCGCAGGCCATGGAGAGAGCTAGACCTGGTTATAACCCACTCGTAGGTACCTAGGTGTAGAAAGATCCCCGGCTGCGAAGGAGGTTAACATCTTACAAAGCATCACTCGAAGGAATGACAACGTATACACAGACTGCGGAGATGGGTTCGGGAATTTATGCCTTAGGAGAGGGTGCTATATGTCTTATGCTCCCATGAAGCTAACGACGACCGGTGGAGGTCCTCCCTTTTACTCGATCAAGGGCTCGGAAAAGTTAATCAGCCTATAAGATATCAACAATCCATCAGAGTTTCCCAAGCCTAGCGAGATACCCGGCCAGGATGGCCAAATAATTGAGTCCAAGGTCTAACACCCAGAATGCACCATCAGCAAGGATAATGTCGCATATGTAATGACTAATGACACCAGTGCTCGCTATCACCTAGCCCCGTGCCACGCCTGATTGCGCGAATACCCCACTATCCAGAACGAAGAACCCGCTTGACTAAGAATTGACCATTGAACGCTGAAATTTCGGTTACAATTGGAAACTACAATTGGGAACAGTGGGGTTTTCGTCGTAGTGAAAGTGACGCATGTCAGCGACATGACCCACTTACCTACCGATTAAGTTCAACTTTCTGTCCAACCATGTAAGTTTTCGTTTCGCCCCACTTTTGCATTCATGATGTCAAAGACTAAGGCTCGATCTATAATATCCTAGTGTGATCTACCTTTTCTCCATATTCATCCTTCTGTGTGGATTTGATCATCTCAGTTATAAAGTCAACAATATACTAATAATGCGCACCTATACAATAACGTGGATTATAGAGCTAGTCAACCGCTGCATACAGTGGGCCAGTACCGCTATCGTCCTGGGACTAACCTCGTACCTCTTGCACCATGGCCATCGCGGCCTGCACCTCACCTACCAAGAGGTCATCGTGGGTACTTCAAAATCTCACAGCAGAATGTCTTCTCTAACTAGCCTTTAGGCTGTCATTTCCATAGTCCTCTTTCTTCCTGCGCTCCTATCCCCCTTTTTGCCCATCGTGGTGGACAAATACGTTTTAGGGATCGATGTGATATTCTCCTATCTGTTTGTTCCCCATCCCTTAACTCTACATGAATGTGGAATTCTTATCTATCTCGCAGGTGGTTGACGTCCTTCATTTTTGCCGCTGAGGATTACAGCCGGGGTGACTGTTTCCTTAACAGCCCGCCAAATATCCCCTGTGGCCGGAAGAAAGCTAACGAAGCCTTCATCTTCCTTGCTTTGTATGTGCCTTCATTGTCCTTCGTTAGCAGAAATATCCTAATCCGATTATTCTAGCATAACGACCTTCTTTGGCATATTCTTAGAGGTTGCCGATATCTGGGTTTACCGTAAAGAGCACCCCCGGCGAGTTGATGATGGCAGTCATCCGGATACTAGTCAGGTGCTTCCTGCATCCCCTGATAATCGTCTTCCTTGAACTTGGTTACATATTCCGACTCTCGAAGAGGATCATTTGCAGCTATTCCTCTTCAGAATGTCTGAGTAGCTCATTTGGAGCTATGTACTCGCCGCCGTGATATGGAATATTCTGGCAAAGTTGAAAAATATCTGTCGCACGTAGTATGAGAGTTAGCACCTTGTTTTGGTAATAGTACAATTACCCTGAAATTCCCAGACGATGGTTAATATTTACACACCAGTCTTGAACTCTGGGTGTCCATTCAGACTCTGATATTCGCGTGTTAGTCAACTAGAAAGAGCCAAGCTAGATTTGTCAAAGGTACTTTTTGATTAATTATGCTGGCATTGTTTTGAAGCAAATTCCTTCCTCATTACAATTAAACCGTAAGGATGTCCTGAACTCCGTAGAAACCCTCCAATGCATTGGGTTCGGATCCGAAATCTTGCCTACCCTCAGAATGCTGACTAACTATTCATCATTAACTAATGTGCTCTAAGCCAAAATGCACATTCAATCCATATATCAATTTCGCATCTTTTGCCTATTACTCTAAGTATCCGTCCCTTAGATGCGGGCCCTCACCAACGAGAACGGCGAGGGCCTGGTATTCCCATTGGGCAAATGTTTCGTGGTCAACGCATTAGACGGAGCACGACATAAGCAGGGGTACAGTACATAGGCCTGACCTAAAAGGAGTTTTGGAGCAGCTACTTCAGCAATATCCGAAATCAATTTCGGCGATTGATTCTTTTTATATTCTTTAAACCCAGAAGACATATGCTGGTTAACAGTAGCAACTACGGACAATAGAAACCGATCAACATAAGACAGTGACCGAATTGTAGTAATGTAATTCATTCTCGAGTGAAGTCTTTGAAGTCGTACTGAAGGTATCTTACAACAGCAACCACCTGGACCTCACAGACGTGGCCTTACACTATCGAATGAGACGGGTCATTGGAAGATAGAACTGTAGTTAGTAGCCGTGACCGAGATTGCGAAACGCAAGTCAGAGAGCATCAGGACAATTCGACGACTTAGCGGGGTTCAAGATCGGCGCTCAACATGCCACTAAATTCATTAGCCTAAACCTTCTAAGTGAATAAAATGAGAAACAAACCATCTTCCACGGCGTGTTCCATGCCAGTAGCAGAGGTATAGCCTGCTTATAGGCATCGCTCTTGATTGATGCCTCGAAGTGGTCCATACTATCCCATCCCCTTACCACCAAAAAGCATTTGGCTATTTCTCCGTTAAGACCTTCGTGCATTTGATCTTCCAGCAGCCAACCGGACGCCCAACTCTGGCTCCCTGTCACAGCCGGGCTGTATATCTCATCAAATCTGAGGAAGTCGTCTTGTACCTGTTTCCGAAAATCTGGCGTGACGCGAGAGACTGGAAAATAAGACAGTACAAACTCCACTACCTTCGCCATAGCAGGTCCATCGGGCCCGAACGCCGGCCGATTCAGAGCAACATGGAAAATGTTGAGTGGCTCACCACAGAGACTGCGGACAGTTTTCAGAAACGGACTGAATTCCAGTGCAGTCTCATATCCAAGGCCATTTTGATGGTAATTTTGCTCTGTTGTGATTTGAATGGCATTTTGATCTTGAATTTGTGAGCCAAGAGCGAAGTCAGGGCGAGGATTGACCCCTTTGAGAGCTCGGACAGCGTCTTGAATCGTGTCTTCAGCGGTTGTGTCCGGAGCTTCCGCATCGGCAAATGAATTTGCATCAAGTTGTATGACTACGGCGACCGCCATGTTATAGATGATATATATGAAAGTAACAATTGACTGTGAATTGAAGAGCAAGGTGATGTGGGTTCCGGATACAGAAAGCTGAGCGCCTAGGGACTTCTGAAAGGCCCGATATTGCTTTAAATAATAAGCAGCTGTGGAAAATTCACAACACGGTCTCGCTTACCCCTTAACGAATGTAATCAGACTCGTAGTTCGGCCTCCAGTAAAGACCGAGGCCGTCTGTAGTAGTATGGTTCGGTTAGTAATCCGATCCGGGTTTTGACAAAAACCGAGAACTCCGCTATGAGGAAGAAATAGCATGGCTCTGCAATTTAATTTGTGCGCCACACAGTCGAGTCGAGAGTTCTAAATTCAAATTTGTTCACCCGCGGTAGTACTGTAATACAACAAGGTCATAGTCTTCTGTAACGGTTGATTCGGTCCTATGATTTATACTGGGTAACTCAGAGAGCCCACGCCAAGTTCAACCAGTTCCGACTCCAAACTTGAGAATTCCGGACAGAATAAACTAAAGTCCGGTGTGGGAATGAAGAAGGGTTCAGAAAGCTGTATATCAAAAGCCGCATTACGACAGCTCTGCTCATCGACCACATCGAAATTCTGGGGAAGTTCGATATGCTGTGTTGGCTGTCGGAGCCGATTGATGTTGTTTAAAGCGTCGGAGGATACAGTACCCCCCGAAGAATAGCACTGCCTGCCGGAAACCCACATACGCTTTAGCAAACTTGCAAAACGACTAGCAATATGGCAATCACTAATAGCAGCTTCTTCGAGTGCTTGGATAAATTGCTGCACTAAGTGGGCGATTTCGGCATACTCCGTACTCACTAGGGCACCAAAGACGTCTGCTTTGTATAGAAATACAGCAGAGTAGACGGTATATCTATCCTAGAAATTAGCCAATCTGTGCAAAATTCCCTGGATTATATCAGCTGAAACCGTGAAGCGTACACGTAAAATCGGAACGGCATATAGCGAATCTGTGCTTCAGAGCTCGTCTGGACAGCTATTGCCAGAATCTTCCGAGCGGCATCTACCGACTCGAGAATATATGAGCCCTCTGCAGCCGACATGATACCCCGCGGGAACAGTGAGATGGCGCCCTTCCGCCCCGATGCTGCCGGACCTGGTTCTCCTCGACTGGGCTGCACAGCCCTGGAAAGAAGCGACTGGAAAGAGAAAGCACTAGCATACAAACGGACATATTCCTTGAATATGTGCATTGTGCAATTCAGCTTTGGAGATGCCTCGAGACTATCCCAACGTCCTTCCCACGCCGAGATAGAGTGTCGGAAATCGTCCAGATAGCGATTATAATCTCCTCGTCGGACCATCTGGGCTCTTCGCTCTTTGGATGCGTATAACGTGTCGTGCACGTTGTGAAGCAGTTGAGTGAGCTCGATAGTAGCTTGTAATACGTGTGCGTATTTATGTTCTGCGTCTGCTCTGAGCTGTAGACTTGGAAAGTCGTTCGCTGTGAAGTTTGTGGAGAGAGATGGACCGCGCGTCCAGAAAGACTGTCCCATTCGGACGGAGATTTGTCGGTCGGATATGTATACAACTGTCATGATAATTTAGTGATTAGGCAGGTCAGCAAGGGTTATCGAACATACATATCCATGCTAGGAGCTTTCGATTCTCCAGTTCCTGCGTCTCTCTAATCGACGTCTCCCGGAAAGACGCCTTGTCTAGACGGAGCAGATAGGAATGCCTCACTGCCTGTCCAATAAGTGACCAGGCCATATTATCTTCAACGGCACTCAAGTTCCTGGGGAACATGTTGGGATAGGAACATGTTTCGAGCTGCAGGTAAGGAACCCATTCCGCGAGAAGCAGGAGGCCTTCGACCGAGCCAACTCTCAGAGTCGATGGCGTAGCGAGGAGTACATCTAGTAAATGTCGCTTTAAATATTTCCAGCAATGTTGGTGGATGTTTCGGTATGCGATCTCGTCTTTGGACGCAATTGTCAGAATGACTGTTAGGAGGAAAGGTTCTTCTACTGCTGTTCTGCGCGGATCTTTTGTTGCCAGAACTTTTCTGGGTGCGAGGGGGCAGAAAGTGTGGTAGTTTGAGGCGTAACTAACGAGTCAGATGGTACATATTTGCGAGGGGCGAATGTTTCATACTGCTGGACTAGAAGATTCACAGTATCTGTACCTAACACGCCGATCACCAATGTCTCCGTTTCGGAAAGCGTCGATTGCGACGCCGGGGGCTGTATGAGATTCATCGTATTACTTCCTGCAAAGGAGGACACCGTCGGTTCTCCATCCAAGGAGCAGTTCCCCGTGAAGGGATCCGAGGCTATGGAGTTGGTCGGGATATTAGGAACCTGGTTGTCGTTCGCTGCAAGTCGAGCAAGGATCTGGAGAGCATCGCCCGGATTAGTTAACTCGGCGTAGATAGGATCTTCATCTCCTTTCACCGGGTCTCTATCTTGTCGACCGCTCGGCTTCTGCTCTATTCCAGATCCGCTAAGAGACGGCGTAGAGTTTTGCTTCTGCCGCGACCGTCGAAACCTAGAGAAGTCGCCCCCGCGCCGTGATCCGGCAAGAACACATTCATCACCGGCACGGAGACACTGCAAGCATGAGGAATATGTCCTGTCGGACAAGTTTGTTCTCGAAGATCTTAGCGAGAGGGTACCTCGGGGTTAGGAATATTAACTCACTGATCACATTTGAGCTTCCTCTGGCGACACCGCTGGCACGCACGGTAGACACGAATGTTTTGACTGCGAGTCATAGTGCATCATGCGTGAGTGACGATGAAGCTAATGCTTTCACAGGGTAAGAAATTTCACCCCGGGAAAATCTGGTCTAGGGGGGATATTGAGAACTCGGCAATAGACGGAATCGGAGTGTGGGGGTAGGGGGTACGATGTACATAGCATCCAATGAAAAACGATTCAACTGATTGAAACTAACTATCTAATTACCGAAATCATTTGAAGACGTGCACGACTTGAGTGTTACAATACCCAAGGAACCCTGTAGAACCCCATTCACCGCCAAGTCCGCTCTCCTTTTGTCCCGATAGCATCGCTCGTGGCGTCGTTTTCGCCCAGGAATTCACAAACACGCTTCCGGCCTGCATCAGCCGGCCAACTCGCTCCGCCCGAGCAACATCAGCACTCCACACAGAAGCTCCCAGTCCGGAAGTAGTGCCGTTCGCACAGGCGATGACATCCGACTCATCGGACCACTTAAGGACTGGCACAATTGGACCTGATTCCAACAAAATTAGCAAATGTGACCGAATCCCCGCGGCGAAAACGTACCAAACTGCTCCTCAAGGACAATTCGAGATGTAGGAGGTGGGTTGTCGACGATACTAGGTGAGAGGTAGAATCCCTTTCCAGAGGCCATGGGTTGGGGAGGAAGAGCAAACTTGTAGCCTTGGGCCTCGCTGTCGGCAACCAATTCCTTAACCTTCTCGTATTGCATTTTGTTCTGCATGGGACCCATCGTAGTACTGGGATTTCCCGCCTCGCCAACTACCATCCGAGAAGCTGCATCCACCATGGCTTCCAGGAATGGCTTATAGATGCTCTCGTGTACATAGACTCTCTTCGTGGCAACACAGACTTGACCGGAGAAGACGAAGCAGCCTTGAACGACTTCCGGGGCTGTCTTTCCGATATCCATATCGGGATAAATGATAGCCGGGTCATTGCCTCCCCTGGAGATTGAATGGTGTGAGATAGAAAGTTCTTCGCGGGTCTTCAGAAGTGAATACTTACAGTTCAAGAGTCACACGCTTCAGTGTCCCAGCCGCCGAGGCCATAATTTTCTTCCCAGTTGCACCGGAACCCGTGAAGGTGATCTTGTTGACATTGGGATGGTTGACCAACGCCGGACCAATAGAGTCATCGCCACCAATAACCTGGACAACACCAGGAAAGAAGATCTTCTGTGCCTGCTCAACCATCTTGAGTGCCGAGTAAGGTGTAAAGGGTGATGGCTTGACGATGATAGTACACCCGGTCAACAAGGCAGGCAAGATCTTTCCAACAGACAGCACCAGAGGGAAGTTCCACGGACAAATAGCTGCGACGACTCCGACAGGAACATGGCGAGTGGTCTGGATGCGTGTCTCGTCCTCAATTCGCTCTTCCGGGATGCGAAGTTGCAGATTGTGATCAAACAGAGCTAATATCTCGTTCGCCTCACCAGACGCCACAGCACGCGGCTTTCCGCACTCTGCCATGAGCAACTTGGTGAAGTCCTCAATGTATGACTTGTAGAGCTCCTTCCATTGAGATATCTTGTCCAGTCGTTCTTCAAAAGGCGTGACAGACCAGGTCTTGAAGGCTTCATTTGCAGAACGGACAGCATCTTCCACATCTTGAGCGGAGGCCACAGGCACGTCCCATAGCTTGGATTCCGTTGAAGGATCAACGCTGAATGTGGTTTTGTCGGATGCGCGATGCTTGCCATCAACGACGTTGTAAAAAATTTCGAAATTCAGATCAAGTCGTGTCATAGTGTAAAATTGAATGACTGACTGTTTTAAATTTTGATGTGAAGAAGTTGAGGTGGTTTAAGTATTTTTGTTGGACTGCGCAAAATGGATTTAGTTTTTTTTTGTCAAAAAAAAAAACCAAGGAATACGTTGAGTAGCTCTCATAGATGCACCGGAGATGCTGCAAGTTATGCTGATTTCTGCGTCTATAGCCGGCGGGACACAGATGGATAGCGATGGATGCGGCTGTAGATGGAAGTAGATGGGCCAACAACCCCAACGTCGGGACCGAGTCTCTACATTTTCCGTATTTGCGGATGTTTGGGAGATCAGTGTGTGTTTTTGGCATGATATAAAGTAGAGAAAGGTACTTGGCCATAAGCGTCAATCATTTCATCATTCCTCTTGCGACAATTAACATTTGAAGGTTCTGTATCGTCTGCTCGTCTCAAAATGCAGAATCCCAAAACCCACAAAGCCGTGGCTTATGACAAGCCGGGCGAGATTTCCACTCGAATTGTGCAGGTTGACACTCCCACTCCAGGACCTGGCCAAATCCTGATCAAGATGTAAATCGAGCTCCTCGATGCCAGGTAACAGCACTGATATCAACGTAGGACCCATTCTGGCGTGTGCCATTCCGACCTCAGTCTCATGACCAAAACGGTAAGAATTCAACTTCAGCTTCTAAAAATGTCTGTGTTACGACCTTTACTAACAGCATGTCTATCAGTGGAGTTGGCTTCCGGAGCCCGTCAAGACTGGACAAATTGGTGGTCACGAAGGTGTCGGCGTCGTCACCGAGTTGGGACCGTCATCTGAGGCTTCAGGTGTCCAAGTTGGGGACCGCGTGGGCATCAAGTGGATTGCGTCTGCATGTGGCAACTGCATGCCTTGCTTAGCCGGGGCTGACGGTGTATGCGTGAACGCAGAGGTATCTGGATATACGTGCCCCGGTACATTCCAGGAATACGCCTTGGCTCCGGCTCACTATGTGACGCCAATTCCTGATGGACTAGCCAGTGATATTGCGGCACCGCTTCTTTGCGGAGGTGTTACTGTTTATTCGGCCCTCAAGAAGAGCAGAGCCCAGGCTGGAGATTGGGTGGTTATCGCTGGAGCCGGTGGTGGACTGGGCCATCTTGGAGTGCAGCTAGGAGGCCGAGGGATGGGATTTCGAATTATTGGGTTGGATATGGGCTCTAAAGAGGATTTCGTCAAGGAATGTGGTGCCGAAGCCTTTGTCGACATCTCGAAGTATCCTACAGCTGATGGCAAGGGCGCTGCTGATCAAATCTTGGAAATTACCGGTGGCGCCGGTGCTGCGGCGGCTGTAATTTGCAGCGCCAGTAACGCTGCTTATGCTGAGGCCCTCTCTTATCTGCGATTCAACGGCACGCTTGTCTGTGTGGGGGTTCCATATGATGCGAAGCCAATCGCTGAGGCCTTCCCTCATTTGATGGTCGGCAAGCAATTGGCCATCGTTGGAAGCACCGTGGGCAACCGCCGAGAGGCAATTGAAACCCTAGCTATGGCCAAGCGGGTAGCCACTACTCCTTTCCGTCTTGAGAAGGTCCACAATATCAATAATGTGTTCAGAGAAATGAAGGATGGGAAGTTGCAGGGTCGGGTGGTGTTGGACCTACAATCGTGGACTTAAGTGTTTTACAATATCGAAATTACAGCACATTGCTTGTTCCAAGCTAGACAAGAGATTTTCAGCAATAATTTGTGATGAGTTTAAAATTTTCATTTCCAAGTCTTTATTGTTGTTTTGAGATCTCCACTAACGAGCTTGCCGTTTTGGGAAACCTTGTAATTAGATAGCGCATCTTATTATGAGATAAAAAACGAGATTCGAGACCTTTAAGTTTTGCTTACCAGAAGTAGAAAATTGAACAGCATATTTTGTTTCAGTGACATGGAGTTTATCGCATCATAATTTTGGCGGGAAACCAGAGAAATTTAAATTTGAAATTCGTGAAGATGGTATGGAACAGAGACTCGAGATGCCAGAAACTGCTTGTGTTATACAAGCATCTGATTTATTGCTGTAGTATGAATGTGAAGAGTTAAGCATGAATGAAAATCAAGTCCATTGGTGCCTATCTGAACCCGCAAGGCTCAAACAAGCTATGAAAACACTGGATGTACACATGGTGATTCAAGGAAGACCTTGTCGCACATTGGTATGCTCATTCAAGCCCCATGCCATCGAACTTGAATCGTGAACTGTAGTACGTCTCATATCACGCTTGTACTTTCGAAGGAAAGGTCCTCCAACAGCCCGATGCATCGTGCAGGTGTTATCCCAGATGACCAGGTCACCCACGTTCTGCCACTCGATCTCAATAGTGTTCTCATCGCGAATGGAGTATTTGTACAATTTGTCAAACAACGCCTGCGACTCTTCAGGGCAGAGACCCTCGATATGGTGAACGTGGGCTGCAATATACAAATTCATACGGTCGGAGGCCTCATGACGCTGTACAAGTTTGTGCCGTCCCATAGTATAGTCGAGCGGGTTGAGATCGGCGAAGGCCTCGGGGGCTGCCAGCTTGCGAGAGTGATACATGGAATGGCAAGCCACATAGTCCTTGGCCAACAAATGCTTTTTCAGATCCGGAGAAAGGGTGTCGAAGGCTGTCCTCGTATCCGCGAATGCCGTGTGACCGCCCATACCGCTGGGCGGAAGCTCGTGTGCTAAGAGCAACGAGTATCCGGCGCGGCGAGGGTTGAAGCTCGAGTCAACGTGGAAAAGATCATTGCCCTGTTTACCCGAATTCATTAGCAAACATCTCGTCTATCTGGGTGTTACTAAGTACCTTGTTTGCTTGTCCGCGGGAGCTGTCAGGATTAAGAATGGTACCATCGGTCTCAACGTTGCTAACATCGAAAAGCTCTACATATTTGAGACGGTGCTTGCGGCCCATACTGACATAGGGCGTCACATCATCTAGCTCTCCAAATTTCCTAGAGAAATCAATATGACCTTCATCGGTGAGGCCTGTGCTGCGGAAGACCACGACACCATACTGCATTACAACCACTAAGTCAGCTCGATTATCGGCTATGAGCAATAAAGAAGCGCAAAGGACTGAAGCATACTTTAGTCACAGCCCGATGGATCTCCTTAAACACTTCTTCACTCAAAGTCGACGTGAAATCCACGCCGCTAACCTCAGCAGCGAAAGTTGGGTGAAGAGGTCTGACGGAGATGTGGGAGAAAGTGGTGTCGGTGGTAGTAATTGTGGTTGTGGTGGTGACCGACATATTGAACTTGTTCTTTCTGGGTTTATGATCTTCAAAAGATGTCAACAGGGACTATTCGATTTTTTAGCTTTCAAATATCTCTCTGAATAGTGCGGAGTATCCTTTATATAGGCTTCAAGACCCTAAGGCCTCCGTGATCCATCCGTACAACGACTTGAAGAAATCAAGGGAGGCTGATCATGAGCTAGCTTTTCCATTCGTCTATTGCCGATTCGCGCTATGCTGGCAAGATACTCAGGTTTGATTACTAAACTTCTCGCCAATAATTTTATCTTTAGCCATCTATAACCGAGGATTCGATAGTCCAAGTGGATGTAATGGGCGACGAAATTGGGATACATCATATTTGAAGGGGAAATGAACCCTCCGTCCCACAGGTTGAGAGTATTTTGACTCTGTAATTATGGAGCCTATCAGTTTGAAACTTGTATTATCCATATGTAGAGCTTTAATTCAATCTAATCACCGACTCCGTTGATCTATTGTCAACCTCAACGTGACAGACAGTAAAATGACTTGCCCTCCTTCTATGTTCTCTTTTCAAACATGCGGGAGAAGAGATCAAGCTGAATCACTTCTAGCTACTCCTGGAGATTGTCTCGACAATATTCGAGCATCTCACCCATCTCTGCGGTTAAATGAGACAAGGGAAGAAGATGACCAGAACATAAATGCAGTTGTGATCCAAGGTCAGTCACTATACCCCCAAAAAACAATGCGGTATGTATAATTTTACGAGAACTAAACTCACTCGTGGAAGCAAATATTCAACGCAAGTTGAATTCATCTTATATCCGACTTCTTGAAGATCAATCTCTCTTTGAGCTTCTTCCCGGCGGTGGCCAGTGTACTTCTTACCTGAGGGAATCCTTATTCCGCAGACATATTATCTCGCCCCTCACGAAATTGCTGCCAACATGTGCTTCCGACAAATTCAGAACAAAATTTGACCTTCAGTGCCACCACCTCACTGCGTTGCATTGCTGTACAGCACGCCGTCACTGCCCTCTCCTGCTCAATTTATGGTATCTGGCGAATGATTTGGAGAGGTATTCTAGAAGTTAGGGAGACGCTGGGGAATCGTTGTTGCGGTTACTGTTGTAAGATACATGGCAAATCACGAGATAAGAAAATGGCGGAGGGGTTTATGTGCAATCCTATAGCTGCCAAGAGGGGCCCGAACCATACCTATGTAAGAGAACAGCCAGAATGGTGTATGCCACACCTCTGTAGCCGGAATTTCATATGGTCTGGTGTCCGGTATAGAGTAAATAAAATTACCATTGAAAGCCACCTGCTCCTGGAAATCACTGTTAGCAACGATATGACGCTCTTCCACTTCCGAGGTGGTGCACCATAAGATGATCGCAATCTCCATCTAAAGCCGCCTCCATCCGCAGGATTACGCACCCCCTGTCCATGCCCAAAACCGGTCACGATTGGACTCAACGCCATTGAAAGTCTAGAAAATGGCGCCTCCACAGAAAAGCGAGACACTCCAATCCCGAATGAATATCTCATGGGAGTGGATAGAAACGGCTGTAGAGACGGCTCTAGATCTCAACGCACCCCGCAGACAATAGGATAATGATGACATGCACAGAAGATCTGGGAAATACCAGTCTGGTGCCTCGGGGTAGATAAATAGATCAATTCTGGGGTACATAGATACTCCACTGTAAGCTAGAAGTTTCCATTCAATATTTCTTCATTACGTTGATAGCGAGGGGCATCCCTGCTCCCGTACCGAAACCATGATCACCAATCTCTACATTATCACGGCAATCTCCGTTATTGGAGGTACGCTTTTTGGTTTTGATCTGTCGTCTTTGTCGGCGATGTGAGTTCAAGTCCACGAAAAATCCCAGAAGTTGAAAGATATTTATTTGGACTTAGCATCGGAACCAATCAGTACAAATGTTATTTTAACCAAGGACCCCATGGGCCCCCATTCGATAACTCAATCGACTGTTCTGGTCCAACGTCCAACGTACAAGGTGGAATTACGGCATCGATGCCCGGCGGCTCGTTTGTCGGATCTCTGTTTTCAGGAATACTGAGTGATCGCTTCGGACGAAAGACCTCTATTCAGATTGGATCTGTCATTTGGTCAGTTAATACACTCCGCGGAGATACCACCCATCTGACTGACTCTTAACCAGGTTAATCGGGAGTGGAATTTCTTGCGCAGCGCAGAACTACCCAATGCTAATCGTTGGCCGTTTTATCAACGGGCTGTGCGTTGGTATCTGCTCAGCCCAAGTACCAGTCTACGTCTCCGAACTCGCTCCACCAAGGAAAAGAGGGTTAGTTGTAGGTACACAACAGTGGGCTATTACATGGGGTATTCTTATTATGTTCTACATCTCATACGGATGCTCGTTCCTCACCGGACCGGCTGCTTTCCGAGTGCCGTGGGGAATACAAACAATGCCGGCGTTTATTCTATTTGGTGGCCTCTTCTGGTTGCCCGAGTCTCCGCGGTGGCTGGCACGAAATGGTCGCTGGGACGAATGCCATGAGATACTGTCCCTCATTCATTCTGGCAAACATGAAAATGATGATTTCATCAGCTTGGAAATGCGCCAACTTAGAGAGGCCTGTGAATACGAGCGCATCAATTCCCACGTTTCATTCCTCGAGCTCATTCAGCCAAAGATGCTTTGGAGAGTGCATATTGGTATGTTTGTACAGATCTGGTCTCAATTGACGGGAATCAATGTCATCATGTATTGTAAGGACCACAGGCATTCCATCAGCATCGTGAAACCAAGCTGATGAATGACGAAACAGACATCACATTTGTCTTCGGCATGGCAGGTCTCAGCGGCAATTCAAACTTGGTGGCATCGTCCATAAGCTACGTAATCAATGTTATCATGACAGTACCGGCTCTATTCCTCGTTGACCGAATAGGTCGTCGAGCCATACTACTCTCTGCTAGTGTTTCTCTCACTATCTGGTGGTTCATTTGTGCCGGTCTAATGGGCGGCTATGGCTCTCCAGCTCCCCCGGGCGGCATAAAAAACGTCCCGGAAGAAAGCTGGTCTATCACAGGACATCCCGCCAAGGTTGTTATTGCCTGTTCGTATCTTGTTGTGGCTTCATTCGCCCCAAGTTGGGGCCCGATCAGCTGGGTTTATCCCCCCGAACTATTCCCACTCCGACTACGAGGAAAGGCCGTTGCGCTATCCACCTCCAGCAACTGGATTTTCAATTTTGCCCTGAGCTACTATACGCCACCAGCCTTTGTCAATATCAAGTGGAAGACGTACCTGATCTTTGCTGTGTTTTGTTTCGCCATGACCGCCCACGTGTTTTTCTGTTTTCCCGAGACTGCCGGGAGGACTTTGGAGGAGGTTGACGAGGCTCTCAAATCTAAAACGCCGGCATGGAAAACCAGGGTGGGTAAACGGAGCTTCGACGGTATCTCATCGGGTACTGGTGAAAGCCCGAGAGATTGCATTGCGGAAAACGCTGAGATTGGGGTTAAATGCGAAGACACATTGCACTTGGAGAAGGTGTGACGAAATTTTAAGTGACTCTATGACTATGGGGATCAATACTTGTTAAGAATTCCAGCCTTGCAAGGCCCCTTCGTAAGTCAATATGCATGGAGTCCCACACTTGAACTACTCTACTAGCAACCAAGTCAAGTTTCAATCCAGATTATGTAAAGTCTATCATTTCCAACAACCTACACTCAAAGTATATTTTTGACCCTCTGGTACTAAATATTTTTGACTCCAAATTCCGGATATTAATTAATCATCTCTCTCTACCTATTGTTATCAATATTCCCCTGGTTTAATATGTTCCATGCTGATTGATAAGAGCGGATAACTCATTGAGTTCTCACTTTTGCAAACTACGGAGCGCCGCATCTTCGCACTCTTGTCGCCTCTATCCCACCCCCTCCCTCCTCAACCTGGAGTATCTTGTTCGGCCATATATCAGACGGCCAAACTTGAACTAATATCTTTTCCTCAAGTGATTGGGAACTGGGTACGGGTTGCTGACGCCTGAGGTCCGCCCAACTCGTAAATGACATAGCCACCTCTCTGTATTTCGAAGGCCGTGAATCTGACGGAACTGCCCTGTTGGATTTGATCTTCAGAAAAGCATACTCGTTAGATCAAGGTGAGACTTTACAAGAACAATCCTTTCCTGCAAACTGTTTGAAAGGCGCCTCTCCGCCTGGATGCTTGTGGATATATGTCGAACAATCATACACAATATCGTCAATCACTATCCCTGCTTATGTGAATCTCTCACTTCATCAGCCTTTAGTTCTGAGGCGGGTACGTGTGGGGGTTGAAAACGATGAGACTTACACATCGCGGGTGATTGCTTTCCATCTCTCTGAGTAACCTCTTTGGCATTGATAAATGGAAGTTGAGAGTTGGGCGCACTTTTGGGCCAGATCGGGTGTTTCTCTGGATCTGCAAGGAGGCCAGAGAGGACCTCATTCAGAACTTGTGGAGCGCTGCGCTCTAAATCTGACTTGGAATACATGACCGCGGGATATGACCTCGTTTAAGTGTATACACAGCTGTATTTATTGTCCTTAGCATCGAAGTCGACTTTGCGATTATATTATAGGCTTCACACCTTGCGTGTCGATGAATTCGATGAATTCCGTGGTCAGTCTTATTGATAGTTTGTCTCCATCTGAAGTGCCAGCATCTCGTCGGTTGTCTCAAGTCATCCCCGCAAGTGCGGGTAAAACAATCTGGGTCGCAAGGCAACGCGTGAGTAACATGATGCTCAGGAAAACCCACAGTAAGCGCAATATCCGACGTTTCCTCCTGCCCACTCAAGGTTGCCATGAGAGTTTCCATTGGAGCTTGAGGCGAAAGCAAAATTTGGATATTGCGGTTACTGCGGGTTATTCCGAGCATGATGTAACTCATACCTTGCCTTCGGATTGCTCAGAAGGTGCAAACTACTGTATTTTTCCAACGCCCGGCCAAACCATGCAGTCGGGAACTGACCAAGACGGCTTAGTGCTAGACCTGTTTGGGAAATCGTTACAGTCCAGTCAAAATACTTGGGGCTTAGAAAGAAATCCGCGAAACCAGAAATGACATAGCCAGTAGTCGAGCTAACACGGTTGGAGGTTCTTCGGAAGCACGTCAAGTCTGGAGAACTTCGAAGATTGCCCAGGTTCCCACATTCCAAATCGCGTAATTAAAACAGTCGGGGAATGACACACGAAATTGGATACTGCGGGTCACATAGTCGATTCACCCCACCATCCTCAGAGACGTCGTCAGAACTAGAACGTCGCCCATGGAAACGTCTTACCCGGTAAATTATATAAAGCTGTTCATGCGGAACTCCTGAGGAGAATATGGAGAGTATCACCACAGCAGGTATATATCGGCTGCGAGATTGAAACCCCCGTTCAGACTCAACCTACATTTCCCCAACTCATCATGACTTCCAACGGCTATACCAGTACACCCCAGCTGGTGACAATCACACTCTCAGAACAAGAGCGCCAAAGCAAACAGATCTCTTCTCACAACCTCCAAGCTGCCATCGAAGCCCTCCATCGGGACGGCGTCTGCGCAATCACCAATGCCGTCGACACTGCCCACCTCGACAAGCTCAACTCGCGCATGGTCTCGGAAGCCAAACAACTCTACGCCAACCCCAAAACACACCGGAACTTTGGTTCCCACACTGGCAACATCCAGCAAGAACCAGTCTGTGAACCCGAGTACTTCCTCGAAGACATCGTCGCCAACCCCTTCGCCACATCTATCACCGAATGCATGCTGGGTCCACACCCACACGTCCGGTTTTACAGCGCCAACACAGCGTTCAAGGCTGAGGGTCGTCAACCGCCACACATCGATGTGCAGTTCGAATTCCCCAAGATCCCGTTTGGATTCTGTATTAATATCAACCTTGTCGCGACCACGCCTGAAAACGGGGCGACGGAGATCTGGCTTGGTAGCCATCGTGAGTTTGACGATGAGAAGGCCGCATCCCACCTAGGAGAGAAAGTTGTGGACACGGGGTTGAGTCCAGAACAAGTTGAGGCGAGGCGGAAGATCAGCCCGCCCATCCAGCCTTCGCTGCCGAAGGGCGCGCTGATTATAAGGGATTTCAGGCTGTGGCATGCCGGTATGCCAAACCGCACCGACGATCCCAGGGTGATGTTGGTGACGATTCATTTTCCAGCGTGGTATCGCAATGATCAGAAAATCTTCCTCCCGCGGAGTTTAGAGGGAAAGCTTGATTGGGGCTCACTGGTGCCCTGTGTGGAGTGGGTAGATGAGGGTTACGATTACTTGGCCGGCAGGCATGATCATGATTTCTCGTTGAAGCCGTAAATATCGACAGTGGAAGACCAAGGTTCGCTAGACCTGTTCTGTATGCGCGGGGAGGATCTGGAGTCGGGAGAGGATATCTGATGTAAAATTAGCACCATCGTCCTGGTTCGAACAACGCCATTTCACACCAATCTATCCCCATAACCCGATCCATTCATATTTTGTAAATTTGGTCCAAGTTTAAGATCAGTCTGATATTAACCGGAAAACACTGCTCGCTACACCAAGTCAATCTCCCTCCTCCGACCCTTCAACACGCCAATACAATCCACACGTATCGCCCTTTCAATCCCCTCCATTGACTCCTGATCTTTCTGCTCCCATACATCCTCAATGGCCCCCAGCACGCGCAGAAGTGACTCCAGCCGTCGCTTCCAATACATGTCTCTTAGCCGTTGTCTGCAGAAGTCACGATCTGTTGCATCAATCGATTCACAACCCGCTGTGAAAATGGGCCAGACGAGCACAGACGAAAGCGTTGAACTGGCTGGTACCGCATGTAGGGCGTCGAGGCATAATCGGACGTGGTGGATGGTCAATGGATGAGGCGCGCCAATGTTGTACGTAACGCGGTATAGATAAATAAATGCGGCGTGGCGGTATGCTTCGGCGGTATTCGTCCAGTCTGTGTTGCTGGTCACGGGTGTCCAGATTTGAAGCTTGCTCTCGATCAATGAGGCGATGGCTATGAGATTTGTGTCGACGATTTCGGATTCTGTGGACTTCTTGCGCGTTTGGAGCACGCTGATTTCGGAGATGAGGAGCAGGAGGGAAGAGATGCGGCCGAGGAGTAAATCCACATTGGATCCGAGGTTGAGGGAGTTGGTGTTACCATCGCTGGAATTTAGCAGAGGAGCGTCTCCTCGAGAGATGGAAGACATGATGTCGTGGTATCTGAAGAGGCTTAGAAGGAAACGTCGTCGCGGATCTAGGGAAGATACTAGATCAGTACGGCGGGTGATGATCCATTTAGCACCTGCCAAGTGATCTGCCCGAGTCCCCTTGTCCGCATCAGAAACGAATATGGCACTCTGCTGCATCAGCAAGATGGACGCAAGAGTGGAATCCGAGACCGCCTCGTGGGCATCATCAAGAGCTTGAGAAAGATAGCGGACGGCGAGAGTGTGATGGCGCAGCATATCTCGCTCGAGAAAATATTGGCCATGAAGGACAGCCAGATGTTTGGCTGCCATATAGAGAATAATATGTCGTAAAGGACCCGGATCATATGCCATCGGAGCCAGGTGTTGCAGGAACGGATTCTTCTCCAACGTGGAAGCGACAGACAACAAAGGGCACAGAGTTGTTGTCCAATGATGGAGCAATCTATAATCATCAATAGCCATGCCACAAGGTATCCCACTTGGGCTCAGCCACATAGTGAGGGCCGACGTCGTCTGCTGTGCAGGGACGGTATATCGCTCGTCCGATGCAGAAGCTCCACTGACCGACGAGCTGCTCCAGTCGGAATCCCGCCAGGATGCTGTTGGGGTATCTTCCCTCTTTACCTCTCTAATCTTCCCACGCTTCAACCCTTTCCCTCCCAACCCCGATTTCAGCGTCGCCATATCTCTCCAGACCAACCGAGTCTCATACCCCTGACAAGGAATCATCAACCGTCTACACCGTCCACACCCAGGTTTGGCCTCGTCACATTTATATCCTGCTTGCCGGCACGTCCAGCAACCCGTCCTGGATCGAGTGAATTTTGTGCGTCGTGGTTGCATCACGGGATACAGGATCTAAGAGTGACATGCGTTGTCCTGCAGTATTCGGTAGCGGCAGATTGAGAGGCAGAGAAAGTTTCGAAGTAAACCCGAGAAGGTGATCCTCCGGAAACAGCTGAAGGCAAGATCGAGCAATAGGTCCTTAGTCCTCCCTGACGAAAGATCGTAAATGATGGCCCAGAGCCAGATTTGCGGTCACGTGGGCTCGCGAATTTCTTGTATTTAAGCACAGTCGAACACGTACATGGTTTACAAGAATAGCTGTCCACTTTCTTTCAATGTGAACAACTGCAGACTGCATCCTTTTGCCCCGGCAGAATGGCTTCCCCTCACAAGACGCGTCTACGCGAATACTGCGGTAATACTGATCCGCCATATCTATACTGGCCTAGAAGCGGTTAGCGCGCTGCGGGGAGTAAGAAAGGGTCTGAACTCGATGCAGGCGATTGGCCACTCCGCTCAGTGCGGCGCAGGTGAACCAGGGTTCCCCAGGCGGCCGATTTCTCACCCCCGCAATATCCGACCATGTTGATCATTTCCCGACTGTTATAATTACGCAATTGGGAATAGGGCAACCTGCAAAGCTTCGAAGTTCTCCAAGCTTGACATGGTCCGGGAGAACTTCCAATCATATTGGCTCCACTACTGGCCATATCACTTCTGGCTTCGTGGATTTCTTTCTAAGCCCATAGTATTTTGACTGGACTGTTACAATTTCCCGAACAGATCTAGCAGCAGGCGGGTTTTACCTGTCCCTGGCCACAATTCTGGTCGGGCGTTGAAACATATAGTAATTTGCACCTCCTGAGGCCAATCAAGGACTGCTCTTTACTCCAGTCGCCGAAATCTGACTTGTAGCTTGACCATTTGGACTTCAGAGTTCAATTTCCCCGCAAAATCCACACCACTTCCCCATGGGCCCACGACAGTGCATGACCATAAAATGAGTGGCCTTCCTCAAGCATCCCACGTTAGCGTTGACAACCAAATTCATACATCAGTCAAAGTCCACACTCCTGATTTCGATCAACATCTCAACCGATCAGAACACAACAGCAGAGATTATCTACCAAAAATTCGCCTGCATGGAATCCAGTCAGCTCACTGAAGAAGAGAAGTCATTAGCTCATACCTTGTTCGAGCACAAACTGGGATTCTGGCAAGCCTGCCGTTTCTACTGGCCCGCCCTTCTCTGGTGTTTCTTCGTGAACTTGGCTGTCATCTTGTGCGGCTTTGATGGCGCACTCATTGGCAGTCTGATCGGTCTGGGCCCCTTCAACAAAACGTACGGCAGACTGGTTGATGGCAGCTATGCCGTTGCCCCCTCTTGGCTGTCAGCCTTCAACTATGCCGCTTTTATAGGCATTCTTCCTGGGTCGTTGGTCGGAGGGATGGCATACGACAAATTCGGACCTCGGGTGACTCTGGCTGCTTCCTCTGCTGCTTCCATCGGTGCCATCTTCCTACAATTCTTCAGCGAAGGTCCGGCCATTCTATTCGTCGGCGAGTTGTTCAACGGCTTCATCACCGGCGCCTATCCGGTCATCGCCAATGCCTACATCAGTGAAGTCGCCCCCGTGGCTGCTCGTGGTGTCGCAGCCGCCCTGATCAACCTTTCCTATGTCACTGGCCAACTCGTGGCGTCCGGCATCCTCAAGGGCACCAGTACCCTGATCAACAAATGGTCCTACAAAATCCCCTTCGCCACGCAATGGGTTCTTCCCCTCTTTATATTGGCCCTGATTTTCTTCTGCCCGAGCTCCGCCTATTGGCTGTGCAAAAATGGCCGGGACGCCGACGCGCTGCAGACGCTGCGTCGCGTTACCGCCTCTGGCGTCAACATTGAGCACCAGCTCGCCAACATCAAGCAGACACTTCGGCTGGAAGAGAGCAACAAAGAAAATGAGGGCATCATTGACTGCTTCCGTGGCACCAACCTTCGGCGCACCCTCACCTCGTGTATGGTATTCAGTATACAGGCACTCTGTGGCAACATCCTATTTATCAACTACGCCGTCTACTTCTTCGAAATCGCCGGTCTAAGCACCGCAGACGCGTTCTCCATGAACGTTGGCTTAACCTGCGTGGGGCTCGTGGGCACTTTGGCGTCATACGTACTCATCTCCTACGCCGGCCGACGCACCATCTTTCTTTGGGGCAATATCACAATCAGCATCCTGGTCTTCACCATCGGCGTCCTCGGCGTCGTCCCCCACACGAACACCTCCGGACCCGCGTGGGGAATCAGCTCCCTCATCGTCCTCACCAATCTCGTCTACGACATGTCCATCGGCCCTCTCTGCTACACGTTCTTGTCGGAACTGTCCGCCGTCAGACTCCGGGGCACCACTATTGCTATTGCCACAGTAACCCTTACTGTTTTCTCTATAATTTTTGCCGTCGCGATTCCGTATACCCTTGATGCCACCAAGGCCAAGTGGGGTGGGAAACTGGGGTTTTTGTTTGCGGGTATTGGGTTTGTGGATTCACTATGCACTTTTCTCTTTCTGCCGGAGACAAAGCATCGCACGTTTGAGGAGTTGGATTGGATGTTTCAGAATAGAGTTCCGACGAGGAGTTTCAAAGGTTATAGGATTGAGGCAATGCATGCGGATAATGCTGAGAGCAGTAAGGTGGTGGAGGCGGGGGAGGGGGCTAGTGATAACGCGGCGTAAAAGGAGGAATGGATATGTCTTTATCTCAGGTTATATCTTTACGCAGGAATACCCGTCCATAGTCTTCGCCAATTAATCTCCGGTCGAAAAGCTAGAGATATACGCTATCACTGGAGGCTGGCAAAATGGAGGGTTCTGATCTCTTGGTGAACTAATTGCTCTCGGGATTGACATCGGTCGACATGCAGCGGGGGAGTGCATATCGCAGGCTGTGGATATTGCGGATCTCTGACACACATTCGATCCACCCTCCGTCAACCCATAGCGTTAAGCCATGACGGTAAATCATGTCTGGTCGTAAGACCCAGTTTAAGTTTCGAATTTGCTTCCCCTCTTGTCGGCTGTTCCTCATTTTCCGTATTCTCCACACGCTGTAATATTATTGTATATTTTATTGTTATTAAATTTTCTTGGCGGGTGTTGGGTCCATGGTCGAACACAACCCGCCATTTTGCCGAGGACGATTTGTCACTAGTCATCTGAAGTCAGCAGATTTCCATAGCCAACTTTGCATGCTGTGACCTAGGGTTCGGCCCAGAGTCAAGTTGTGTTCTTGTTCACAGTGTAGAGGGTTGATTTCGATTATATTATCTGCGACACAAGAGTAACAGGCAACCACCGAGCAATAATGGCTATGTACCAAGGCGACACTCCGGCACACCTTGCAGACAGTGTTGATGGAGGCAACCGCTTCCGGACCCGAAGGGCCTGCGAAACCTGCAAAGTTCGGAAACGAAAATGTGACGGTCGAGATCCCTGTGGTTCGTGTGTGCGCTACGAATATCGATGTTTTTTCAACACAGAGCCGAGCAAGAAAAGAAAGAGATTGAGACCAGATGCTCGTCCCCCTTCCTCCGGTCGAGTGACCGTGAGAGAGTCCTCGCCGGATGAACTGGCCAGAACAAACGATGACATTGGGGGCAACAGTAATCACAATAACAAAGATGACCACCGCAGGGTCAAGGATGATAGCGGCAAGTCCATGGAAGCCAATTCTGGAGTCGTCTTCGCTCATCTCTTCGGCATGAAGCTCGATGCCAGAAACGCTCCAAGATTGCAAGGCTACGGTTGGAATCTAGGTTTTCAAGACCACCACAGCCGCTCGGAGAAGAGCATCGCATGGATCATCTCCCAAGACGAATGGCGCCTCTTATTCGACATTTACGTCCAAAAGATTCATCCCGTCTACGGTTTCTTAGACATCGAGACAGTCTGCCAGATCAGTCTCCGCAGATGGCAAGACGTCCATGCCACCAACGCTTACGACCACATCCTCTGCGGTGTAGCCGCTCTCGGCTCCCTCTTCTCTCTCACCCGCGCCGACGATCGCGAGAGACTCCTTGTCGAAACCGCCAAAGAACTCCTAGACAACACCAGCATGGTCCGTGATCCAACCTTCGAAGACGCTCAGGCTTGGCTGCTTCGCACCCTCTACCTCCGCTGCCACAGCCCACCTCATGCCGCGTGGATGGCCAGCTGCACCACCATGCACGTCATCGAAGCCATCGGCGCCCACCAGGAAGCCCGCAAGGTGAGCTTGGTCTACTCCGAATCCAAAGCGCCCCTGGAGCACACCCTCGGCTGCCAGAGGCGTCTCTTCTGGCTCGCCAAACTGCTCAACTCCTGGATCTCGTTCGAATACGGCCGGTCACGCGTAGTTTTGCCAGGCACATCATGCCAACCCCCAACCCCCATCGAAGGCCGGGAGGAAGACTGCACCACCGACCTAATATCCCTTTTCCAAATTTCCGAAATCCTCGACCCCGACACATCACCTACCCCGGAGGACCTCGAATCCGCCCTCACTTGTGTTCACTCCTTAAGTTTTACACTCGATCCCCTCGTTCTCTCTCAGGCGAACCTCGCATTCACGTTGTATCGCCGTCTAAACGTCGCCATCCCCACGGGAATCTCAACCGTCTTACTAAACAAAGTGATGCAGCTCGGCTTCAAGGGTCTCACAGCATCCTCCCGCGCGACGGATGAAGGCAGCCCGTGGTGGCACGTAAATAATGTTCCGTTTCAGTTCAGTTGCATTTTACTAGCAATGGATACCCGGGTTTCGTTAGGGTATGTGAGGGAGAGTGTGGAGGTGCTGCGTAAGGTGGTGGAGAGGTTTAAGACGAGCATGGCGGCGAGGGCGCTAGATACGGTGGAATTGTTAGTTATGCTGGCGAAGCGAGGCAAGGAGGTGGACGCGGCTGTTTTGGGGGACTGTTTTCGAGAGCACACAGCTGGGCCGTCGCAAGGCCAAGCGCAGATTGGAGAATCTGCCGACTGTGCAGCGCAAGAGGCTTACGTTGATACCAGCAACACCACCATCGATCTACATGGGCAGCTCGCGGCCTTGAATGAGGCCGTACACCTCATGACGAACCAAACGAGCCTCGACTGGCCTGTTAATATGCTCGCTGGTGCTGGTGTTGGGAGTGGTTGTACAAATCCCGTGTTCAACCAGAGGATGCAGCAGATGTGAAAAGTGTTGTGCCCAAGTGTCCATATAAGAAATCAACTTGGAGTTCGTGTTGTATCTCCAGCCACTAGTTTTCCCTCAAAGATAATGAATCAACATTTTTCGGAATTACAACAAAAGCAAGATTCTGATAGTTCAACACTAGGGCGAAATTAGGGCAAATATACTCACACAATGCACGTAAGTATTACTATGATGAGTACACCACAAGTTTCAATTTCTCCAAAGTAGATGAGGAAAGACCCTGTTCCATATCCTACATACGGCACTGCATCAGATATGTCTGCATTTCCTCCGCGTTTTGTGACCCTGTTACCAGCACTAGCTTGGTTACCATTCTAGCCGTATTCACACAAAGATGTTTTCGATAATAACAAAGCACAGACCAGAAATTGCACAGGACTGGTAGTTTATTTAGTTTTTTAACAGCACGCTCCAACATCAACCCGAAATGCGGCTCAAGCGAATTGTCTGACCACCTGCGCTACCGCCCCCAAATCCTCACATACATGCCAATGTCCCACTCCCTCCAGTACTTTCACCTGACCCTGCCTCAACCGCCGTACATAGCTCTCCGCCGTTTCGAGAGTGGAAATCTGATCATCCTTCCCGGCAACAATCAGCGTCGGCACATCGATCTTCTCCACGTCCACAGTCTGCTCTTTCGACAAGGCCAAGGCCATACATCCCTTCGCGTACCCCTCGGGATGCGTCGAGAGCAAGAACTGTCTTATCGACGACGTTGCTTGTGGCCTTTCAGACTTGGTTTTCGGACTGGTTGCAGCCTTTGCGACAAGATGGGCAATGCCGGATGCCGACATGCCTTGGCTGCGAACGATGGAGGCACGCTGGGCGAACATGTCTGATGCAGTGGAAGGGAGGGGGTTGGTGCCGGGACCGAGGAGGATCAGCTTTTCCACTCGGGGTTGAGAAGTGGAATATGAATGCTTCGCTGCAAACGCCATCGCAATCAGCGCCCCAAGCGACCAGCCCACGAGCGTAGCGCGAGTGATCCCCTTCGCCATGAAAAGACTCTCCAGGTCTCGAACGTATGTGTCAATTGTAGTAGTATTTGATGCCTTTGCAGGACTCAAGCCGTGACCTTCGAGATCGTAGGCAATGATCCTGTGCTGCGATGCAAGACCAGTAGACTCAATTAGGGGCATCCAGTACTCGAGGGAGGCACCGAGGCCGTGAATAAAGACGATCGGTGCACCGGAGTCGGAGCCAAGTTCGCGGACATTGATGAAGGCGTCTCCAGCTTGGATCAATCCGACACCTCCCCAAGTGCGGTCAAGGTTGAAGGTGGGAAGGCTCGAGGCTGACGGGTGCGAGACGAGGCCTAAAGTCGGGTTGGATTCTTTGGCCTGCATGATACGATTGCTTAGTTTTCCGAGGCCGGTGATGGAGACCTCAACTGTGAAGTAAAAAAGGGATTAATCGTCAGCCCAAACCTCGGGGAACAACGTGTCTACTGGTGACGAAAATTGACGGACTCACCGAGATCGCCTGGCTTCAGGAACTTGGGTGGACGAAATCCCATTCCAACTCCTGCCGGTGTTCCTGTGGCGATGACATCTCCAGCCTGTAGGGTGATCCCCTCTGAAATGGTCTCGATGATTTTGGGGATTGAGGTGATGAGACTCGAGGTGCTGCCATCTTGACGTTTCTCGCCATTGACATAGGTTTGTACTCGAAGAGTGCTCGGTAAGGCAGCGGCGGGGACAGCTATCGGGCCCTTATGGTAGACGTATCAGCATGAGGGAGATGGAATTTGACTAGCAGAACAAGCAAGGCAAGACATACCATGGGACAGAACATGTCGGGGGATTTGCCCATCAAGAATTGCTCATGGGCACGTTGCTTCTCTCGAGCGGTGATATCTGTAAACTCATCAATCCTGCGGAACTCTGGATTCCTCAGGCCTGTTGCTACTTACCGTTAATGATAGTGAAGCCCCACACATAGTCCATAGCATTGCTTTCACTGATTTGGAAGCCTGGCTTGCCAATTATGACGCCAACTTCTCCCTCATAATCGAGTGTCTCAGTGAATCCCGCGTGGGCATAAATGTCCTGGTTCGAGGCAATAACACTAGTATTGCGTTTGGTAAACACATTAAGTAGAGGGGCTGTGATCGGTTAGCACGGATACCTTATAAGGCTTGATATTAAATTGACCTTTTTTTTGACGGTCTGTGTCGACTCCATCAGGGTTGCATTCTTTGACATGGTCGGCGTAGTTGTTTCCAATGCATAGAACATCACGGCCTGCAAGCGGTGGTAATAACTTGACCGAATCCAACGAAAATGATTCTTCTCCTCGACGTACATCATTGTTTAACTCAATGACTTGATACATATTGCTCAAAGGACTGCCGGAGGCCATTGTCAAAGAATAAATTGTCGAGTCTTCCAAATGGCCAATACGGGATCTACCCATTCGGTCTTCAAAAGCGACGAAGTTGTAGTTCTTGGCTGACGATATCGTTGTAGTCTGAGTGGGTTGAGTCACAAAGTCTGATGGCGCGGACTTGTGGATTCGGCCGTTGATCATGATGACATCCAGCTTGTCATGGTCTTGGAGAATGGAGATATCTTTCAGAGGATCACCGTTGACAAGGATACAGTCGGCATAATATTGAGGCAAGATTTTGCCGAGTTCATCTTCTTGCATGAACAATTTGGCAACACCCGCTGTAGCAGCTACAATGGATTCCATGGGAGTAAAGTCAAACAACTTGACAAAATGTTCCATGTCGCGAGCATATGTCCCGTGAGGGCACCAGGCAAAGCCATAGTCACCACCACTATCACATAGTTAGCACACGCATCACTTCGTTGATTCAATCCAAGATCCAACTTACGGGAGAATGGGTATTCTCCGTCTGTGCATCTCTTTCAAAGTTTGGATGGCAACCTCCAATTCTTTCTTGTAGCCCACTCGTTCGGCTGTATCGAAAGTGTATCCGAACGGCTCGGCTTCGTGGACTGTGGTGTACAACCAGTTGATAGCAGGAGCAACAACATGTTTGTGTCTCGCTTCCTCAAGCATTTTCATGCCTTCTTCATCCGTGTATGAAGCGTGATAGATCACATCAACTCCATGTCGAACACATTGAATGACTGAATCCCGTGCTCGCGCGTGGGAGCACACTCTCAGACCAAGACGGTGCGCTTCGTCCACACAGGCAGCGGTCTCTTCATCCGAGAAAAAGCATTCCTCCGCCGAGCGTGCTTCACAGATGGATTCTCCGGACATGCTTAGTTTGATCTGATCCACACCAATAGCAGCGTGATGTCTAATAACTTCTCTCATCTCAAGGGGCCCATCAGCGTAAGCAGTAATTCCGGCCGAAAGCTCGTTGTCTCTTTTTGCCATCTCTCTGCCGTTTGCGAGGTATCGAGGCCCAGGTAAGTCGCCCCTGTTGATTGCGTCTCTGATGACACAGTCTAGCCGATCTTTTGCTGAGGCTGCACCGTAACACATTGTATATCCCGAGTCCAAATAAGTAAGGGCCGATTTCGCAGTGATGAGAGTATGCTCTTCCACCCCGACGGTACCTAACAATTCTAGAGCATTGTCGTTCCACGTCAAATGCGCGTGGGCATCCCCCAATCCTGACATCAAAGTGCGGCCTCGTCCATCTATCACGCGCACGTCGGATTCTTTGCTGATTCTGTTCACGTTTGGGACTTTGCCGACTGATACGATACGTTGACCTTACTCTGTTAGCAGATGTACATTGGATATTGGGATAATCAGCTCACCTTCAATGTAGACATCTCCACGATAGGGTCCCTCCCCTGTTGAATCCAAACTGCAGGGCGTTAAACGTCTTGAAAGGGGGCACAAAATGAGGGCTTGGTTTCATACATGTTCACATCGATGAAGAGAATTTTGGAGTTTGGAGGGGTGCCTATTTATATGGATCAATCACTCCGATCATTTCCTTGTCGTGCGTTGTGGTCAACATACCTTGAATCTCATACTTTTTAGGCTGGAGTTTCGAGTCGAATCGTAAATATTCATGGGTGAAGCGTGGCAGTACAGACGAACCATCCACGGCCGCATTATCATGCCAGCCATTGGTAGTGATTTTTTGAGCCATAGTTGGGATTGTTTGGCCGAAGACTATACTTTCAAAGGAGTAATACCGACAAAGAGTGTCAAAAAGGAGCCTTATATACTAGTGACCCTCCCGCAGAACTTGCGCTTTATGTCTATCTCCGCCGGGGAAAAGGGCTAGATGAGGGGTCATTGCAACCATTGGCTTAACGTTAATGAATTCCGTAGTCTGATCGACAATTTTTATCTAAACTGACAACATTTGGCGGATTGTCGCAGTCATGCCCGCAAGTGCGGGACAAACAATCCGCCCCGAAGGCGAGATATAAGCTACCTGACGCTCAGGACAATTCGCAGTAAGCGCAATATCCGCCTCTTGCTCTCCTTTTTCTTGCTTGGTAAAGGTTGTATCAGGAATATTTTGGGGTTTGAATAGAAAAATGACACAATCTCGAGCAATAGTCGGATATTGCGGTGACATTGAGCCAATGTGGTGGGACGTTTTCCTAGACAGCGTCAAGCTTGGAGAAATCTGGAGCTTTCCCAATCGCGTAATTATAACAGTCGAGGAAAGATATACGGGGTCGGATATTGCGGGTCAGGAATTGTCCGCCTGGGGAACCCTAGTCGACCCGTGCCGGATTGAGCGGAGAGGCCAATCGCCTGCATCGAATTCAGGCCTTATTTTGCCCCCCGCAAATCCTCCCAAATTGGCGCGCTAACCACTCTTAGGCTCATAGGTATATGCTACGGTCCCTGCAACGGCAAGTTCCTGATGGGCCCACTGTTGGAGCGCCTGTATTTTCTGCTTTCTTGTCCTTTGGAGCGACTCTTTGACAACCTATAGTCTTAATACGATACTTACGCATCAGCTTGTAATGTCCTTGTCAAATTACCTAACCACGAGGAACTGATTATCTATCTCCGTTCCGCACATGCGTTGAGTGCTAATTCCGCCGCCTTGCTGCTCGATCCTTTATGTCAGATTCGGCAACTCATGACTTTTTCCGTGTATTTGTATATATACGACCCTGACCAAAAAGTATCCAACTTTGAAGATACACAGTTCCATCTCGTTATTCACAACTCTGTGGATTCCTTTTTGGAAGGATGTGGAAGGAGCCGCTTGCGTGGGTAGTAATAAATATATTGTGAAGTCATAATGGTGAGGTATTTCAAAAAAGATCAAAATTTTTTCTAGAAACACCACCAGAATACACAATGAACAAATTTACTACTGTACAACGCTTTGCAGCTTACTTTTATACATTGTTCAAACGGGTGTGGACAAAGGCTGCGTGCGTGTGGGCGGCGATCATGCCTGACCACGAGAACTTCCATTCTGTTGAGCTGTATGGGAGATACTACGAGCCTTCATACAGACATACTGAAGCATTGTAATACGTCGAGGAGTTTAAGCTTAGTCGTTGGATGCATGAACAATGAGTTTGACATATCAATATCGACATGGCTACAAAAAAAATCTTGAATAACCCTCATTTACGCCTTCGCCTTGGTCTTGCTACCCTTACTGGCTTTCCCCTTGGCCTTTGTAGCAGGGGACTCCGACGGAGCATCCTGCTTTGGCGTGCCCTGGCCTGCCTTCTTCCCCTTCGCAGCCTTCTTCTTCGGGGTATCCTCACTCTCAGCAGAAGGCGCCTCAATAGCCTTAACAGTCTCCTCCTCCGGAGCCGGCTCAACAGCCTTCTGCTCCTGGACGGGAACATCATCAACGCTCTTCAGCACCGGCAGATCCATCTCATACCCCAACGCCTTCAGCTTATCCAGCTTAGCCTGTCTCCGCTTCTGCTCCTGCTCAATGCGCTGACTCCACTGCTCACGCGTCTTGCCCTTCTCCAACCGCTTCTTCTCAATCCGGTTCCAGGGCGTCTTCTTGAAGCGCCGGTTCGCGCCCTTCCACACCTCGGGATGCAGCTGTTCCGCGGGGACGTACTTGCACTTGAGGATGTGGCCGTACATCAGGTAGTTGTCCATCGTCTCGGCGACGATCTTGGCAACTGTCGTCGAGGAGAACTCCACGAACGCGTAGTGCTTTGATCGGCCTGTAAGACGGTTGCGCGACAGGCGGAGACGGGTGATGTCGCCGAATTGGGAGAAGTAGGCGCGCATTTGGTGCTCGTAGAAACCGTGCGGGATGCGGCTGGATGTTTGTTAGAAGAGATTCGAGAGTGTATGATACTGTACTTACCCAATGTAGACAGTGCCAGGCTCAGAAGGAGTGTTGCCCTGCTTCTGCTTCTTCAGAATCTTGCGCTTCGCCTTCTTCGAGTCTGGGATGCGGGGAACGGGCTGATCCGGATTGAACCCCTCATCCTCGGAGGCGTCTTCTTCTCCACTGCTCTCGAATCCCTTGATCAGCTCAGCGGTCTGGTCGTCCAAGTCTTCATCCTCGCCGCTCTCAGGCTCGGAGATGACATCTCCAACGATCTCCTCGTCAGACTCCTCAACCACCTTCTCTGCCTTCTTGGCCTTCTTGGATGTATCCTCCTTCTTCGATTTCTTCTTTTCAGCTTGCTTCTCAGGCGCAGGCGCAGCAGGCTCGTCATTCTCCTCGTCGCCAAGGAAGTCGGCAGCACGCTTGCGAGGCTTGATCTGGCGTGCAGGCTCTCCATTGGCCTTCACCGACGCATCGGTCTTGGGCGCAGTGCCATTCTCCTTCTTTTTCAGAGCGGGCTTAGGCGCAGCGTCTTTGGTCTGAGCAGGTTTGGCATCGGCCTTTTTGGTTTTTTTCGCGGGCAACTCGGCGGCAGCAGGCGCAGCTGGAGAACAAGTCAGTACAATTACCAAAACCCATCCTGTAGTATTCTCGACATACCCTTGCGCTTTTTCTCTTTCTTGTCGGGGGCCATGTTGGCTGTGTCTGGAGAAGATGATGGATGTTCAGTCGGGAATTTTTTTTTTCTTTGGCAAAATCAAAATCCCTCGGAGGCGGTGAGCCATCCCGACCACATCGGGTTGCTGCGTAGAACTCCCTCGACAACACGTGCAGTGGCCATGGGGAAGACCAAGAATGCAAAGGCCCTGACGCACGAGGAGGTTTGGGATGACTCGGCCCTGGTACGGTCGTGGGATGAGGCTGTCGAGGAGTACCAGGTGAGGCTGCCTGCGATTGAAGCCTCACGTGACACTATCTAACATTGCAGCAGCTATATCACAGCATCCACGCCAAGGGGGAGAATGTGGAAGATGTGTTGAGAGAGGCAGAAAGGGCAGAGGCTAGTGCTGTGGATGAGGGAGGTGTCGCTGAGGATACGCCGATGGAAGTGGGCAGCGATGAACCTACTCCTGACGTCCCGCAGGTATGTTCCTGCAATCCGATGGTCAAGCACTTTCTAACACTTTCCTCAGTCCGCGCAAAAGTCTGGTGTGATCCCTGCAGATGAGGGAGTACCAGCTGCAGTGGCCGCACCCGCAAGCGGTATGCCAATGCCTCATCCAGCGTTGGCGCAAGGTATGTATATCTTTAGCACTAAGTTGGCCTAACTAACGTCCCCTAGTTCAAGATGAAGGACTGAAGAATCTCATGATGGCGTGGTACTTTGCGGGCTACTACACAGGCCTCCATGAAGGCCAACAACAAGGCAAACAACAGCCCAATAGTTCTTAAACAGGACATACTCTTTCCAAGAGTAAAAAAAGGTGGAAATCCAATAATATCTTGTCCGACAAAGGTCATAATTCAATAAGCCAGTTACAGAACAGAAGCCAAAAACCCCCTCTCCATCCATTACACTGCACACCACTCCAATGCGGCTTTCTCTTCCATCTTTCTTATATAAGACCACCTCCATTCAACAGCTGACCGACAATGGGAACTTTGCCTAGAGCACCAGAATTAGGTTTGGCGGTGTTTTGAGCTGAAGTCTGTTCCGCAGTCGGAGTGACGAAATTGCCCGTGTACTGGTCCTTGTCCGTCTTGGTGGGTTCGCCAACGTCGGGCTTGGTCGTCTTGCCCTCCTGCTGCTTCGGCTTCGGCTCCGATGCGACCCGCTGGCTCGGTGTTGCAGTTGGGGTGCCAGTGGCAGAGGTTGCGGGGGCGTGGGTTGACGATGTGGGCTGAGAATCTAACCCTAGGTCCTGCATTATGCCGTTTGTGACGGGCTGGATGGGGGGGGGGAAAGTTAGTATATCAATAAACTCTGATATTAGTGGTTGTATGATTCAACGTACACTCAACGGGCCCAAAGCGGCGTCGATGGGACTACTCTTCTGGTCCACATCACGCTTGGTCGGCAGGGCAATCGCGAATGAGGCGAGGACAAGGAAGGCGGTAAAGAAAGACAGATTGAAACGAGCCATGGTGGATGAATGGATAGATGGGATGGAATATACTAAATGAATGAAAGAAAGTAGATACTTTAAGGTTGATTCAAAAGAGTGACTTTGCTCAGCGTTGGTGCTGGTGAGTGTCGATTGTCGATAGATAGCCAGGATATCGAGAGAGATATAGAGGTACGCGCGGGAACTTCTACGCGATTTATATTCAATCCTTCATTCAGGCTACCCGAGGGCGAGAATGGTGGAAATGACAGGGCAGGGCAGGGGTTGGGACTAGCTAGCAAGTATGGATGCCGCGTACATACTAGATGTATGTGATCTCGCCCCTCCGCGAGGTATTCTGATTATGTACTTGCAGGCCGCGTGAGTAGTTAGTAAACAGCTCGAAACACGACTGCCATGTTCTTAGGGTTGCCATGCTTTACATAAGAGGCTGTTTTTGCCAGCCCACGCTAAAAGATGCGTTTCTATTGGAGGCCTATGGCCCGCAAAAATTGTATGCAAGGGGGCAAGAGGTTGAAGAGCTTCATTCCAGTTGTCGGTCAGCATTCCAGAACACACCACTTGGGTTGCGGTTCTTGCTTATCCATACTTGTCCCTTGATCAACGTTGTCCCATATTTCTTGTGTTAGGGTTGACACTGAACTAACTCCTTTCGTCGACTACATAAAAAGGGTTGAGAATAACTAATCATGATTCGTTCATATTTGATCACTCCAAAGAAGTATAAAGAATGTATGTATCTCCCTACTTTGACACGCACAGCCCCATATGGAAGAAGCGGACGCAACACGAGGGAGTCTCCAGGCGACTTAAGTCGGACCTGTGAGAGCTCACTATGGGCACAAATTTGACCTCGAATATCATGGAGCGATGACGGACGAGACTTCGAAAGTGCCTGGAAATGGTAATCAGAAGAAGAATGCCGGGGTGGCGATCGCACTACATGGTTTGTAGTGGTGGTGGTAAGCGTCATTCAAATCCTGCATGTTAGTAGGAAGGCTGGGTAGGGTAGTTTGTCTGTTCTATCAACCGTCAACCTCATTCGCCCGGACGGAAGAGACATTATCTTCGCTCGGTGAATGGAGATAGATGGCAGAGCCGGGTACAGCCCAGAAGCGGTTGATTAGCGTGGATGAACATGGCCAACATGGCGGCCATCGAATCAATCCCAACAACCTTCCGAATACTTGAAGATCGCATGCCCCATGCAGTCACCATCCCAGTCCACGCCAGCCAGGCATATGGATGTAATTATCATGTAGTGATGTGATGAAGTGATGTATGCTCAAAAGCGAACCCGGCCACCCTCGTCCAAGTGGAAGCAGGGACCAGGATTAGAACGAGCCGAATCATTTGCTCTGGGTCTCTTTTCTAAAATTTGTGGATAGAATCTTGACAGGAATTGAATGGTAAGTTCAATTCCATCCATCGACAAGGGTATGTTGGAGACCGTAAGTAAGATGAGAAAAAAAAAAAAGAAGAGAAAGGAGAGGTTGGGCTGCGTGAAAATTTATGGGGGTGAGTGGGGATTACATAAGCCGTTGTGGATATGGCCACGTGATATGTAGTGTTTGTTGGTGTTGTGGATGTGATTTTAGTTTTGGCATGAAATTTACGGATTTGTATGTGTGGATAGATGGGACTCATACTTTGACTGAGAAATGGGACAAGGTATATCATATCATGCTACATACTATATACATTCGTTTGCAAGTCAGAAATTAAAAGCGGGCGAGGACCCGCTCCTGCGCGTCGGCAACGGCATATTCACTGGTGTGCTTCTGGCTCATTACTGACTTCGCCTGCGCAGCCGTGAAGCCCTTGGCCTCCACCGCCGGGTTGTACCCGAGACCAGTAAGTTTGGCGACAACGTCCGAGGGCACAGCCGCAGCGACCTTGCCATCCGCGCGCTTGTACACGGTGACGACCACCGCGCCGCCTAGACCCAGATTGTGTTGCAGGGCAACAGCCGTGCCATCCATGAGACGGTTGTTAGCCCACCCGCGCAGATGCCAGACCAGCTCAGCGCACTGCGCCAGACCCGTCGCACCGAGGGGGTGGCCCTTGGAAATCAGCCCGCCAGACGGGTTAATGACCATCTTACCGCCGTAGGTGATATCGCCACGGCGGACCATCTCGTGCGCCTTGCCGGGTTCACACAGCTCCAGTGCGTCGATGGTGATCATCTCGTTGGCAGAGAAGCAGTCGTGCAGCTCGCACACCTTGATATCCTTCACGTTCACGCCAGCCTCGGCGATGGCCGTGCGGCATGCATGCCGCGTCATGCCGACACCCATCAGGTCGATCGAGCTGCGGCTGTACACGGACTCGGTGTCGGTGGCGAGGGTCTGGCCGGCGATGAGGATTGCTTGGTCCTTGAGATGAGGCCGGGCGTCGAGGAACTCCTGCGAGACGATGACGGTGGCGGCGCCGCCATCCGAGGTCGGGCAGCACTGCAGCTTGGTGAGGGGCTCGTGAATCATGGGCGCGTTGAGAACCTCGTCGAGAGTATATTCCTGCTGGAACTGCGAATAGGGATTGCGTTTGGAGTGCTCATGGTTGACGCGGGCGATCTCGGCAAAGTCCTTGTTGGTGGCGCCGTACTTCTCCATGTACTCGCGGCCGGCGTTGCCGAACATCTGGGCTGCACCGGGAGCGTTGGTCACGCCGCGGGTCTCGGCCATCATCATGCCGAACAGGCCTGTGGGGTTGGTGCGGTCGTTGTACATGGATTGCAGGCTGCCGGGGTTCATCTTCTCGAAGCCGACGACGAGGACGCAGTCCGCCGCGCCGTGAGTGACCATTGTGCGGGCCATGGCGAGGCCTGTGGAGCCCGTGGAGCAGTTGTTGTTGACGTTGTAGATGGGGATGTTGGTTAGGCCGAACTGGTAGAAGACGCGCTGGCCGCAGGTGCTGTCGCCGTAGACGTAGCAGGCGACGCCCTGGTCGACGTCGTCGTAGGTGATCTTAGCATCGAGCATGGCTTTGATGCCCGCCTCGTAGCCCAGTTCATGGTAGTCGACTTTGCCGCGCGGCTTGATGAACTTGGTCATGCCCACGCCCAGGACGTAGGCGGGGCTTGTCTGTTTCTTGGCCATGCTGAGGGTGTGGGTGGGATTAGACAGATGGATGGAGAGAAAAATAGTATTGTGTTGAGTGCCGGAGAGTGTCAGAGTGCTGAACGAAATAAATAATCATGATCACAGCATGTGGAGGAGCCCAGGCCGAGTTGCGGGGAGGGCCGAGGTCCCGAGGAACCGGTCGGTGCGGCCTGCGGCCTGAGGCAGAGTGCATCCCGCATAAAGGCGATATGCTGGAATAATATTCTGTCGGTCAAATACGACCGCGGTGGGGAAGGCGGTCAATCAGCTACCTCTGATGATCCAGTGTCACGTGCCATACCATGCCTGTCCAGCTTCCTCTTCTCCACATTCTCCCACCCAACTAGGCAAGCAGGCAGGTGCCTTTGCAATAATCCCATCCTCGTTGCATGATGGGCACTTCATAATACTGCAGTCTGGTCGTGCCGTGTCTGGAATCTTGTAGCTCCCCCTGATTGGCTGGGTTGCATCCCCCGGTCCCCGATCCCTGTGCGAGTCCCACACCTACCACGGCCCTCGGAGCACAGTCCTCCACACTGGCAGATCATTAGTTGTGTGTCTGTGTTCTGATTCGAGACGAGCGGTGATCCGGGGGATCAGTTCTGGCCGAGGAGTCTGGGCCGTTTGGACTGTTGGGAACTGCCCTAGGGGCCTTACACGGTACACCCAGCATGTCGTCGACACCGTCCACAACGGGGTTTGGTGTCACCCACGGGAGAAAGCCTGCTCGAGTGACGTGCAGAGCAGAAATGCCCAAGGTCGTCCATTGTAAATAATACATATACTCCGCGAACTCCAATAGGATTGCATGATGTCACCTTCTCGCCCTAAACCGCATCGGGTGCTCAGCAGAGCTCGGTCCACATTTTTGCCCGCTTCGTCTTCTCTTCTTGATTGTCCAGGTTGTCTGTGAGGGTGAATCTGGTCTTTCAACAGCACGCTGTCTTCTGGATGGACGGGCTTCCATACTGACCTCATCCCTGACAGCGCCTGATCTATCTCCCTGTTCTCTCCCTTCTCCCTCTCCTCTCCCTCTTCCCTCTCCACAACAACAATACTATTGCTGTACAAGCGATCCCATCCTCCCTGTCGGGCACAATCATCACCACCCTCATTCGTGAACTGCTCTTGCCGGTCGCGGGGCCTCATCTACTCGCCACTCCTCTTCGGTCGCTCGATTGGCAGGAACGTTGGATCTCCTGCTGTTCATCCTCGATCTCTGGAATCACGCCAGGAATCGCCTTGGGAGGCCACCAGGTTGCTCGAGTCTATTTGAATGGAGATTTGTGGGACGCCGAACGGTCTGCTCGAATCGCTGAGAGACCGCTTTGCGTTCCATAGGGTTCCCCAGCCTGCCTTCCTTCGTCCAATTGATTGAATCTCTCTCTCCCGGCCATTGCCTCCGATGGACCACCTTCAGGGATGACTATTGATAAACGTTCTGAACATGCCCCCTTCTCCCCGACGACAACTTCCAATCCCACTCCCGCCGTTATGCCGACTCGCAATGCCTGGACCATGGACGATGCGGCTCGCAATAAACTATTGAAAAAGTACAAGACACAGGTGGCTTCGGCGACGTCGACCATCTGCGCAACTTTGGCGGTGGTATGTTTTGGTCAGGCTGGTAATAACATGCCGGATGCTAAGCTCTGAATGACAGACCCCTCTAGAGAATGTCAAAACTCGGATGCAGACGTGAGTCTCTATACCATGCGGAATACGAAGCCGAACTAATGCGAGCAGGCACAATTTCCAAAACGTCTTTCAATGTGTCCGCTATCTTTGGCGTACCGAGGGCCCTCGCGGTTATGTAGCTGGTAGGTTGAGCCTCATGTTATTGGCGGACAATAATTGACTCGGTCAAGGTGCCCTTCCGCCGCTAGCGAGCGTGACCGCGGTCCGAGTCGTCAACTTCTCCACATACAACTGGGCCAAGCATGCCATCTCCGACTCCATACAGAATATCACCGGCCGATCTCCTTACAAAGAGTACAATACACCTGGCAGCAGCCCGACAGCGACGGGAATTTTCATGTTTACCTCCGCGGGCCTGCTCGCCGGGTTGGTGACTTCTCCCCTTGCCTGTCAGTTTTGGGGAAATCGTCGGTGTCGGTGCAACGCATACTAATAAAATCCAGGTCCCTTCGAATTGGCCAAGAACGTTGTCCAAACCTCTGTGTTGGTGTCGAATCGCGCTCAAGCTGCCCCCGATGCCGCCCGAGACCCTTCCCTTCGCCGCAAGCCCCGTCTTGGTACCATCGAAGCAATCCAGCAGATCGTCAAGCGCCACGGATTCCGCGGCTTGTATACTGGCTTTCGCCTCCACGCGATGCGGGATACCCTAGGGTCAGGGTTGTACTTTGGCGTCTACGAAACCGTGAAACAGATCGCCGCCAAAGAGATGGGATCTGACAAGTCTCCATTTGGCGCGCCCATGATCGCCGGTGCCATCTGCAGCACCGTCCCATGGTTCTGTGTAGGTTTACCTTTTGGCTTGTAATCCACACCACAATACTAATAATTCCCAGACGTATCCCCTCGACACGCGCAAAACCCGCGCGCAGAGCGTGCTCCTCGGCAAATCCTCTGAGATCGGCGAGGCCTCGGTGGCTGTCGCCAAATCGAGCATGTATAAAGGCCTGTCCATCATCCTCATTCGGACGGGTGTGAACAACATGATCCTCTTGAGTATCTTCGAGTACATCAAGATGCGGATCAACGAGCTCCCGGATTAACTAAGGGAGATGGTTGGTGGGCGCGCGTCGTGTGGAAATGGTCTCATCTTTTTGTTGTTCTGTTCTGGTGGTTGATTATTTCTCATGTACATACACGACGACGGAGCTTGAGGCTCATCCATAGCAAATATCAGAATGATGCATGGATGATCCAACCTGTAGGCTTATAGTTGTTTATATCTCGGTGTTGCTGCCTCAGGCGCCAACACGTCATCCGTTGCCTGGTTAGTGGGGGGTAACCAGTAACGACTTCCGCGATCAACAAAGCCCGCGTCTCCCTCCCACCTCCCTCACAATAATACATGGGTAGTAACGATGGCGTCGTGAGTCTTCCAGTCCCCCTCTGACAAACTGTAGTTGGCTAACTATTTCCCTCATGGCACCCCACACAGCAATATCCTCCAAGTCCCCTTCCGGCGTTCCCACGCAGTCTCCCTCTCCGACGCAATCACCCAATATATCTCCTCCAAATATGACCAGCGCCCGGATATGTTTGCAGAAGACCTGCTGATCATCAACCGCTTGCGGACCGAGGCTATCAATGTCCAGGAACCTCATGTTAGTGGTGTGAGTCGCCTGGTTACGTACGCGGCGCAGTTGAAGTGGTTGGGAGGGAAATTTCCGATTGATGTGCGTAAGCGCAAGACATTCCTTTCCGGGTCCTTCCTTTTAGGGAATGATTTTCAGAAATGAAAAGGAAAATGCTGACCGTGGCTCTTGTGGAGGGTTAGGTCGGGGTAGATTTTGCGTGGTATCCTTCCTTGGGGTTGAATGGGTCGCAGCCGAGTTAGTGGTTTCTTGCTTGCATTTTGGAGGAGATGTGATTTTTTTTTTTTGCTGATTAGTGACAGTCTCTCAAAATAACTTACGCTTCGAACTGGCCAACATCGTCTTCAACCTTGCAGCGCTCTACTCGCAACTCGCATTCGCCGTCAACCGGACTACTGGAGATGGACTCAAGCAGGCTTGCAATTACCTCTGCCAGGCAGCCGGGGTGCTTCACCACCTACGCACCGAGATCATTCCGGATCTGCGCACATCACCGCCAGAAGATATGGACGAAATGACGCTTCAGAGCCTAGAACAACTCCTCCTCGCCCAGGGCCAAGAATGTTTCTGGCAAAAGGCCGTTAAAGATGGTCTGAAGGACATCTCCATCGCGCGGCTGGCAGCCCAGGTCTCAGACTTCTATGCAGACGCAGGCGATTTCGCGGTCAAATCTAATGCTATTAGCACGGATTGGATCCACCACATGACAGCGAAACACCACCACTTCGCTGCGGCCGCGCAGTACCGGCAGTCGCTCGACTGTTTGGAAAAGCGCAAATACGGCGAAGAAGTGGCGCGACTGCGTGATAGCTTGAACTGCGTGAATGAGGGGCTGAAGGAGTCGCGGTGGATCAACCGTACAGTTTTGGGGGATCTGAACGGGCTGAAAAGTCGCGTTGCGGAGGACTTGAAGCGCGCCGAGAAGGACAACGATGTTATCTACCTGAATCCCGTGCCGCCCAAGTCTGAGCTGAAGAGCATCGATCGTGCTAGCATGGTCGCTTCCAAGGCTCCCTCGCAGGTTACGGACGCGATTTCGATGCTGGGCGAGAAGGGACCGCTGGGGCAGCCGCTTTTCGCGAAGCTGGTGCCGTATGCGGTTCATATTGCGGCTAGTATCTATTCTGATCGCCGGGATCGCTTGGTTAATGAGACACTCGTTGCGGAATTGGAGTCTATGACTGATAAGCTCAGAGAGTATGTGCTGACCGGCCCTTTTATCTTCTGCTTTGCTTACTGGAGCTCTCTCCCACAGTCTTTTGTCGTCGTTAAATCTTCCGGGATCGCTGCAAGCTCTTGAAAAGCCTCTCGGCCTGCCACCGACACTGGTTTCTCATGCCGAGGAAATGCGGCAGCAAGATGGACTCAACCGTCTCCGTCAGTCTGTGGAGGATACGGCTCGGGTGAAATCCAATGACCGGACAGTCTATAACGAAGGTGTTGAATTGCTGGCAGCCGAAAAGGCAGAGGACAACGCGGCGCGTAGGAAATACGGTACGGATAGGTGGTCGCGCGCACCGTCTGAGGAAGCTGCCTCGAAGATTTACACCACCTCCATTGAGATCAGCGGCTATTTTGCGTCTGCGCAGAGCAGTGATGATCTCGTCGAGCGGAAGTTTCAAGACTACGAGTCCGTATTCCGGGTGCTTACTGGGTCGAACCGTGATCTGGAGTCGTATGTGCCTAGCAGTCGGCGAGCTGCTATTCCACACGAGCTCGAACGTGAATCTATCCGGCTGCGCAGCTGCTTGAACGAAGTGAGCCGCATGGAGAACCGGCGTCGACGACGGATCCAGACGCTGAAAGACAAGGCTCAGGCGGATGATATCCGTATGTTTTCTGCTTCTTCCTTAGTTTGCTGTTCCCGTCATTGCTCACTCTATTTCACTAGATCCGGCTCTCATCAAAGAAACGGCGCGACTCGAGCGCGAATTCCCGATGCAACCGATCCAAGCAGGTCAATTCGAAGACCTCTTCGAGCAAAAGCTGCGGCTGTACGACTCGGACCGCGACATGCTCGCCCAGGAATGGAAAGACCAGGAGGAAATATCAGGACAAGTGCGTGAGGCGAACCGGAATTTCACCCGCGCTCATAAGGGAGACGCCTCGATGAAGGAGCGCGAGACCGCACTCCAGGAATTGGAGAATGGGTATCTGAAGTACAAGGAGATTATTTCGAATCTGGAGGTTGGGAGGAAATTTTATAACGATCTGGCCAAGATTGTGGGCCGGTTTCGAGATGATGCGAAGACTTTTGTTCATCAGCGTCGGATGGAGGCGAGTCAGTTGGAAGCGTATGCATCGACATTTCTTCCTCTCGAGAGCTCTTCGCTAACGCATCTATTGCACTGATAGAGACATCACCAATGTCGCAGCCATGTCCTCGCTGCATATCACCCAGCCTCAACTTCGCCAACAACCACAATCCCAGCAACACCAACCGCATAACACCCACGCTCACCAATACCAACCTACTCAACCGCCACCACCATCTCAGCCCATGCCTCAAGTCCACCACCATGTTCACCGGCCATCCGACGCCAGCGAACCCCTAACAGCACCACAACCAATGCGCGCCCCCGCCCCACCACCCGCCGTGTCTGCTGCCCCGGGCGTATGGTCCCCCGAAATGGGCATTCGATTTTCATCTGCTGGAGTGCCTCCTGGTGCGACTCCTACAAAAAGCACTACCGGGTCGGGTCAGGGTCAGGGTCAACCTGGCCGTGGTCGTGCGCTGCCCGGGACGTGGGATCCTTCGCAAGGTTTGCGGTTTTCTTGATTGGCCTTTTTTGTACATACAACACACCTCGGCCGTGCCACATCCACAAGCTCTACATCGAAGGATTTCAGGGCTGTGCATGGCGTTGCATATAAGTTACCGACCGCATGACCATTGACATAGTTACTAGAAGGTCAAATGATTGAACAGTCTTTTTACTGGGAGTAGAAAGATTGACATTTAGATTGTTTTTCCGATGGAGCATCCAGTCCAGACTATCGCTGGTATATTTTCTATGTAATCTGGGGGACGGTAAACCTGCCGCCTCGACATCAATCGGCGTTCGCTGCCAGCGAGCTACTGGAGTGTAAATGTGCAAGCGACAGCCATTTTCGATGCTCGATAGCATCCTTTCACCTTCTTTAAGCTCTACCTAGCTTTCATCATAGCTCCTGTTGTTGTCGCCACCCCACGTCAGTCATTTTAACTTCGGGAGCCAACCAACCCATCATGGCCACCACGTGTCTTCCCAAACCACAATCCCATCTTGAATCCTGCCCTTCCAGCAAACATGAATGCCAGAGGGAGTATGGGGAATAAATCTGTTCAGGAGCCCCCGTATGCGATGGGCATCCGACCAGAACACGTCACCGAGTTCGAACGCCTTCTCTGGTTCGAACCAAAATATGACGCGCGCTCATCAAACGAGTACTGCATCCGATATGACAGCGACGACTCGACACTCTTTACCGTGACGGGAATGAAATACAACGAAAAATGTACGCGCGAGTTCCGCGATTCGTCCGGCCTCCCCTTGTTCGAAAGCCAGAAGGTCTGGTCGCCGGGCTGGAGATATAGACGGCCGTGGCGAGTTCGATTGCCAGGGAGCAAGAAGGCAGACCTGGTCGATATCCGATTCACGTGCGCGATGGGTAACCGCTTCGAGGTGAATTTCCGCAATGCAGTTGCGCAGGACACCAAGAACGAGGACGACAACATGGTCCATCTCGTGGTGCACCGCGTCTCGCCGGTCTACCGGGTGTACGAGGTGAGAGTGGCCGGTATCAAAGTCGTGGATATACGCGAAAGCATGGAACGGAACCGATCCGTGCCGACAGGTCGGTACAATTCAAGGGGAGGGACATTGCCCCCTCGGTTGGTCATGGAGATGTTAGTGGCTGAGAATTTTGATATGTCTCTGGTAAGCTTTGGGAATCGATCAGAGGAATGACGGCTGATGCGTGATGGCAGGCGTCTCTTATTGTGGTCATGGTTTGTGATATGGGGTTTAGTGCAACTCCTCCCCACTCGACTAGCCGGATGCATGCTACTTTGGGCATTTCGTGATATGTCTGGGAACCGAATGGGATGGACCGACGCTAGAATGATTAATGAACAACTCCACATGACAGCCTCGCCTCGCGGTTTCACTAGTTATCGCCCTCTGACTCAACTGACTCTTGCATAGCCACACCCACCAGCTTAGCCTTGCCGATCGCAGATCACCACAGTTGCAATACTTGGCCAATGAACGGGAGAAGATGACGCAAGTCTAACATCCGTGAGGCTGCTGGATTTCGTTGGTTTCGATAAGATTGCTCTCCTCGGCATTCGTATACAAAAAAAAAAAAAAACCAACATCAACGGCCGAGACAACAAGAAAAATGTTTCTCACTGACCTCCCGAACGAAATCATTGCTCTACTACCACAACACATCGACAACATCGAAACATTCACTAACGCATCATCATCATGCCGACTCCTTCGCGACAACTTCTCCAAAACAGATCCCCGCACCATCCTCCGTCTAGCAGCGAACTCAGCACCAGTCTTCTTCTCGCCACATCCACACTTTCTAACGGCCATTACAGCCCGCAAGGCAAGTGCCTGGGCGCTGGGGAATGAGTCGCGCACAGAACTCCTCAGGGAAGCATTCCAGGGCGGTATCGAGGGACTATACTCGTTCTGTCTCGAACACTCCAGTCTGAGCATGGAGGATATTCGACGCACGCACCTCGCCCGGTTCGAGATAATCAATGTATTTTCTGATCGCATTGATAAAATGGCCGGCGAGCAGTGGATGGACACGCCGGATTTCTGGAACGGCGGTGTCAGCTCGGCGTACACGCTCTACACGGATGCTGAACGGGCTGCGTTCCAGATCATTATTTATGGAGAACTATTCGCCGCCAGCATGGATGCCTTTCTGGATTCGGAGAAGAATCTGCCGTGGTTCGACATCGGTATCCGACTTGACTATTGCAAGTACTGCATTCCAGACCTGTCGTGCGATTCTTACGAGGCCCGAAACGGGTCCCCGGGACTGGAAGTGCAACCTACAGGCCCGTATTCCTTCCGCAAGGATAAAAAGAAGAAGTCCCCTCCAATGGATCTCCAGCTGGACCAGGTGTCTATGCGCCATATTACAGGCTGTGGGCGCTGGCGGCGGATGTGGGGATCTGCGATCCGGGACATTCTGTCCAAGGCCGAAGGGGAGGGGGAAGAATTCACAGAGCAGGACGAAGAAGAGGAGCACTGGAAGAAGAAGTTGCTTAGGAGGGCGTTGCAGACGCAGGGTCTGGAGGGGATGCAACTTGTTACGGCGTCGCCGGGGAAGGTGGCGCCGGAGTGGGTGGAAAGGGCGCTGAAGATGAAGGGTCAGATTGATAAGTTGGAGAAACCGCCTCCCACGCAGAGGTTGGGCAATTGGGCTCAGTATCTTGTTTTCTTTGCGCCGGATCTTACGAAGGAGGTTAGGGTTACGATCGCGACGTATTCGGGGTATGGGTGGGATGAGGATTTGGTTCCGTGATGTGTTCACGTGGATGGATTCAATGGGGTTAGGACGATTATATATCACGAAGTAAAGCGATATAGGTACGCCGCAATGCTCGTATGCATTATAAGGTGCCAGTCAGCGAAGTGTATGGGCTATTGGGTCGGATATCATCTTGAAAGACCGGGCCTCCTAAAACCGAAGTCAAAATAATGCAATACTTCGCATATCACACAGACATCCCGGTCCCAACAGTTTTGCGTGAATGGGTTGACAGTGAAAACTGGTATATGGTTCTCATGGAACGAGTGAAAGGTCAAACGGTTCTCGGGCGCCAAAGTGGAATGCACAGGTCCTCGTTTTCTAAAACAAATAACAGTAAAATAAATCCTCTCTATCCAATACACGCCATGGTCACCACTAGTAAATGATCTATACTTCCGTAGCCGGGAGATTGTTCTCAGACTTCTCCTCTGCCCTATTCCTAGCATTAGACGCAGTCCCAAGCGCAAAGCTCCCATCAACGCAGACAGGCCACTCATTCGGCCTCAGCCAATACAAATCATGTGCCGGCTCGCCCTTCATCATACCCCCAATATCAAACGGATCCATAAACGTTGCCCAAGCAGACCTTCGGTCAATCCAACCCGGCCCAAAACGCTCCGTGCGCCCGTCCAGATCAAGGTATCGGTTCTTTTCGTTAGGCAGAGACCGACCGGGATGAAGAACATTGAGCCACCAGGTGAAGACTAGCATGGGGCCGAGCTCAAAGGCGTAGAGAAACCACTCATGGCTGATTATGGGCCCGCAGTTCTCGCGGCATCCGACGTGGGAAAACATCTCGAATGCCTCGACGGCGCGAAAGATGCATCGCAGTAAGACGAGCGTTGAGGTGCCGTACAAGGTGATGCAGAGCTTGCGCACGTTGGAAGGCACTTTGCCTGCACGGGCGCAGCGGCGATGCACAGTCGCGACGATTGCAATTACTACTGTTTCGACTGCTCCCTGCAGGATCAGGCCGACGGCAATGAGCGTTCCGCCAGCTTTATATTCTGAGAGATTGGACCCAGCGGAGGCATTTTTGGCGGCTCCGGCAACGGTCATGCTCTCAACGGCGGCACCGATGTAGACGAAAGTGATGAGCACACGGTTCGGGTTGAGGACTGCGTGCATGGGCAAGTAATTCATCAGTCGACCGACGATGTTGTAAGCGGAGGCTGAGTAGATTGGTGGCCCAACGTAGATGAGGACGGTCTGCACAATATACAGATTGACATTGGCGGTGTGATAGCTGGATACACAGCGGACGATCCATCCTGTCATGAAGAGAGCTCCTCCCCAACAGATCCAGAACGTAATACGCCAGAATCTGTAGCGGATATTTTGGTAGATGTGCAACGCCCAAGATATGCTAACGAGGGCAGCAAACACCGCGGGTAAGACGTGGCTCGGTTGGTAGAGATAGAGACTTGGTGCTTCATCTTGCGTGGTGTTTGGAGTCATGCTGGTTTGCTAGATAAGGAGAAACGAATTTGAAGAGATGAGTGAAGATGCGATTGAAAGGAAGAAACTCATCTCCTTTTTATATCTCTCAATATTCACCTCCCCATATCTGAGCCACATCCCACCTGAAAATCACGGCGGTATATAGATCCAGAAAAGGCTAAACCGGACCCCATTTCGCCCTCTATGAGGCGAAGCCATGGATTGTAGAGTCCTCCCGATCAGCCAATCACATCTCCCGTGCCGAGCCTTGCGGCGGCAGATAGCCCCAAAACGGGTTAAACTGCAGCCCACGAGGCGATGACGGAGATGGCTGAGACCCGCTCTTGTCAGCCCTTTGTTCTCACTTCAGACCCTATGCAATATTCTCAAATGGCCAATTCCCTTTGGCACTGCCGCCGGCGCTGAAGTTGCCACAGCCCTTCAAGCGAGGGACGTTCCGCCTTACTGAACCCCCTTCGGGTGACACCGCATCGGCAGTAGATCTCCCCGCCCCCACAAATCAAATGCCCGGTGTACCCTCGGGGCGGGCATGCGATGGGTGTCGCAAGACCAAGAAAAAGGTTAGACTTGAGCTATTCGCTGTATTCGTTTGAGACTAGTATTTACGGTATTATTAAAGTGCGATGAGAAACAACCCGCGTGTTCGCGATGCATTCGCCTGAAGATACCCTGTGTGGGTTCAGGCCAAAAAAGATACAAATTTATGGAGGAAAATCGATTTCCAAAATCCCCGAACAGCGACGACGGGGTTGTGGAGCGCAGGACGTTAGCAATGAACCAAGTCCAATTTTTCGCGGCTTCCCCTTCGCCAACGCCCAGCAACGGATTGACTCAGTTGTCCACTGCTTTCATACATACCATCAAAAGAACCACCGATCTAAGGTATAACCTCTGGTGGGCATTTGGGATGTTCCTTGAAGATGTCCCGCCACGTCTCGGTTCCAATGAAGCATTAGACCACTCTGTGGATGCATTGACCAGCGCACACGCAAGTTTTTCGATCAACCGTGTCCCCTCAGTTGATGCGCTGGCGAAATATTCTCGCGCGCTAAAATCGCTTCGTTCTTGTCTAGATGATCCTGCCACGGCGCAGTCGTCTAGCACGCTTGGCGCGGTCATGGTATTGTTATCCTGTCAGGGCTTCATCGGCGGTCGAGCTAGAGGTTCCTTCACCGGCCATGCCGAAGGCGCAACGCGCATTCTCAAAGCCCGAAAGCAATTCATTCCTCGTGATGAATTTGAGCGCAAGGTGTTTTTGTCTTTGCGTGGTACTGTGGTTGGTTCTTCTACCTTCAAAGTTTTTGTCTCTGCTGATGGTGTTGTTCAAGCTATTCGAGGGCCTTTTTAACCATAAAATATCTCTGAGCCCCCACGAATGGGATAATTTGGTTGCCAGTGAATTAGATAGAGGAACTCCCGACGGCCAGATTCTTCATTATCTGTCGCGGGCACCAGGCATAATGCGACGAGGGAAAGAGGAATTACGATTAGGCCACGACATCACAGAAATTCGAAACGAGACACGATCGATCTACGAAGCATGCAAAACCATCCTGGCCGAATTAAAAGCTCGAGATGCAGCGGGTACACTTCCCGGTGTTGGCCCAACATCATCAGCTATAGCCACAATATTACACGCCCACGTTCAACGCACCTACGGCATAGGTCTTGCCATCGTCGTCTTCTTTAACTGCATGCTGGGTGCATTAGATCCAAACGACAAACTCCTTGCGCCTGAAATGACATACTTTGCCCGAGAAGTTGTCTCTCTGGCCTACCGTTCTGCAATTTATAGGCCGATAGGCGCTGCCTATATTATCGTTGTGCTTCATGTTGCGTTGGCAGCAACCACCGATCCACAAATGCGGGAACTGTTGCAACATACTATGGGTGAGTATCAGAAGGACAAGCTCTTTGGAACTGAGACGCTTGGTATGCGAGATGAGCTGGAAAACACCGCTCGACATATGCGGTTTGGTATGGCTCCTCCACCAGATTCTATAGTAGAGACGATAGACATTTAATTGTGTTATTTATGTCTCGGTGTTTATAAACTCTTGGAATATTCCGGCTTAGGTCGGAATAACAGCTGGCAACGAGTCAAATTCCAGGTAATTTACTGAACCAAACTTTAGGTAAAGCGGTATAAATATATTTAATCGGGTTGATCAACTATATACTCGGTTCAAAATCGATAGACACTTTAAGCGGTTGCCCAGCAAGCACGCCCTCAAGATGAAGCAGGAAGAATCCAAGTAGTAACAGAGGTCTCAGGAACATTACCGCTCCAGGTCTCTCCGCTTCCCGTCGTCACTGTCACATAAACATCATTGCCGAAGGTATTCTCAATCACCACCGTTCGAGTACCATCCGGGTTCAACGAAGCCACAGACTGAATACCGGTTCCTCCAGAGTAAGTATAGCTCCCAGTGCCGTCCAGAACAATAGCACCAGGGGGCATGAACTTGCTGAACTGTGCCATCATGTAATAAGCAGTTTCGAAGGTATAGTCGTCGCCGTTGACAGTGACCAAGCCCGTGCAGGTGCCACAGCCACCGCTGGAAAGATGGGGACCATCATCGGAGTTCGTGCCAAGAGTCCAAGCCGCAACGCCAGAGGCCCAGTTCTGCAAGGGGCCCATGGTAAAATCGGCTGCCTGGTTCCATGATCCGGATGACGGGGTCCAGCATTCTGTCATGTACTGGTTGACGTTCGGATTGCTGTCGTGGAACTCGGTGAGCGTTGTCCAGTTGACGTTGGTAGCATAACAATGCCAGGCAACAGTGTCAACGTAGTCACTGGCCGTGTCGAGGACAGTTTGAGGGTAGGAAGGCACATCTAGTTGTACCTTATGAGCAAGTGCACCGACTCCAAGAATATTTGTACATACCAGTGTTGTGATCATACGCCCAGATGTCCGTATCCAAACCAGCACTGGCAAGCGCGGGACCAACATAGTCCTGAATTAGCTGCCCCGACTCATCCGCATAGACGTACATCGTGGGATATCCGGATTGGCTGTTCAGCGGCTCATTCTGGATCGTGATCGCGTCGATAGGGGCCCCAAGGCTCTCGAACGCTTGGATATATTTCACAAAGTACTGAGCAAATGCACTGGAGTATCCTGTACTTCCAGTGCCAGCGCTGGTCAAGTAGCCGTCGTTCAAGTTGTTATTGTTCGTGTTTCCGTCAATCACACCGTTCAACTTCATCCAACCGGGGGCGCTCCAGGGCGATCCGAAAATAGTCAGGTCAGGCTGCAGCTTCTTCATTGAGGCCAGCATGGTCGCCATTGCATTTCCGCGATCGCCGAGGTTGAAGTTCGATAGATCTGGGTCGGCGGTGTTTCCATTGTCATCGTAGGTGTATGCCGGATCACCAGATAAGTCAGAGGCTCCGATGGTATGGCGCATCAAAGCGAAATCAGCACCAGAGGAAGTCATCAAATCATTGAGCAGTGTCTGGAGCGTCGAGCTGTCCAGCGTGTTGAAGGAGGTCACAGTAGCATCGGTGACGGCGGCGCCAAATCCGACTATGGTTTGTTTGTGTCCGGTGGAAGTATCGTCAACGGTCAGCTGCCAAGTCGATTCAGAGCCCGGGCTTCCACTGCCTTGGACTGGCGCTGCTATGGAGGACAGTTGGTAGTTGCCGCCGGAATTGGAGCAGTATGCCGAGGCAGAAGATGCTCTCTTTCCGGGTATAGCATGGCTCAACCCAGCGAGGGCAAGAGCGGTACTGAGATGGGTGAACATCTTGACTCCAGTGAGATTCGTCAGGTGGACTGTATTTCTAATAGGGCGTTTGTTGACCGTATCCAGTTGCTGGCGTCCCCGTGGCTTTCTTATACAGCGCTCACGGGTAATCAGCCTTAATTAGAGTGACGAAGGTTGATGCTACACTGCCACCAGCTAATGCACACCTCACGGTTAAAAAGCCTGTATAGGCAGACCAGTTTCTGTTTTGGTACCCCTGTCACGCCCCCAAACTCACTGTTTCGTCAGGAGTCGGTGGGCCAAGATCCTAGTCAATTGTTACTCCGCTTTCTTCATACCCCGCAAATGTAATCAATCACATCGCACACTGCCACAAATTGGAAACGCGCTAATCATGCACCTTGGATTGCTTAGTCTCGGTGCCTACTTGTAGTATCCGAAAGTATCATTGGATAGTGACAATCGGTATATGCAAGAACTGAGGTTGCTTCCGAACTCAAATTCTTCAATAGCCTCTTCAATAGCCGTGCAGCTTCTTTCTTGGCCAATTAGCATCGTTAATGTGTTGCCTAAATGAGCCGGACTTTTAATGAACATGAAACTCCGGATTCGCTTGGGAAGGGTTGCCGAATATTACTGTTTCAAGTAAGCCCGCCGAGGCGCTAGAATGTTCTCGACAGCGCAGCATTACGCCTTGCCCCAGGGTATCTACGAGTACATATGTGGAGGACGATCTTTTCCTCGCGGAGTATCGGAAATGGTACTTGCTCACATTGGTCACTGAGTAACATCTGGAGTATTCAGAATTGTCAATAAAACTAGGTAGTATCCTTATGTACGATGGGTATAGGTGTGCAGATAATGTCAGTGGCTGCGCATAGCAGGCGATCTTCAAGAGGAAGAGATTGTATATACACGATGAATAGATATGTTTTCAACACGATGTTCATGTGTCAGTAAGAAGCATCAATTTAGAATTATGATTGCAATGACATGGATCAAGAAGCCATAGGAACCAAGATGTGTTCACTACTCCTTTGCTTACCTGACAGTCCGAGTGGGTCTCATTCTGGGATCAGGCATTCAGGCACCAATCCTCTTCGGATTGCCCAGTCCCGTGGTGAGCTGATCATGTTTGACCCGTTAGTAATTGTTTACTCGTATAAAAACTCCCTTTGAAATATTTCACTCTCTGATAAATATTCAAATCCACAAGTTGATTGCCAACATGACATCAAAGGGCATGGCCTTACCGGCCCATCCTTACTACCCGATCGGCCTTGAGATAGCAGGTTATCTAGCCAATGAATGGGACACTTTAACGCTGTTGTTTATCTTTGCTGCTGGATGTACTGCTATATTTTCAGTCACCTATTTGGTGGTAATGAAAGTTCACCCACGCATATCACCTGGTGACTTATGGACAGTCCATTGGTTTGTCTTATGTATCAGGACCCAAATATTCAATCATATTGGAAATGAAACTAAAACGCATTAGGCGGCTTCATCCATCTCTTCCTCGAAGGCTACTATGTTTATAATTTCAGACATATGCCTGGCATGCAAGACCTCTTTGGGCAACTCTGGAAAGTGTATTCGCTCTCTGACAGCCGATACCAAACCCAAGATGCATTCGTGTTGTCCATGGAGGCTATAACGTCCATTTGCTGGGGACCTCTGTCGTTTGTCCTCGCACTTACGATCATGACACAAAATAATCTCCGCTATCCATTCCAAATCGTCGTTTCTCTCGGCCAACTCTATGGTGATGTTTTGTATTATGCTACTAGCCTGTTTGATCACTACATACTGGGACTGTCATATTCGAGACCAGAAGGGCAAATATTTTGGGGCTTATTTGTATTCCTCAATGCCTTCTGGGTTTTTATCCCTATACGTGAGTTTCGAACGGGTAATTCGGATCCGACAGTACTGATTATTGACCAGATCTATTATACACTGGCGTGTTAGCTTGCAAAAGAGCATTTGAGGGTCTAGCGGTCTCGGAAGCAAAAGATCTTGGGAATATACCTCACTCAAGCAAAAGTATTACATCAAAGAATGAGTAACACGGGTTACGTAGATGATAGTTAGAGATCCGGTTGGCTTAGACAGAAAAGGATATCAAAGCTCCTCTTTTGCCAATTGATATCACTTTTTATATAGATACATTTCTGCCTTGAGAATCACTTCGTGTCTGTTGTAGTTGCATTATTAGTAATTCTCTTAACATGCAGTATTTGAGAGGAAGGGCGAGCGAATTGTCATTGCATATTATCAGACGTGCTCAGTAGTATGTAAAGCAAAAGCCATATACAGATGCCGGATCAGGGGTATATCACTCTTCTAAGCTATCATCTTCAATCTTCCCGCTATGTTCGGCACTGGGGGGAGCGTTCGATCCCCATAGTCAAACGTAGCTGACTTCCTTTCCTGAGGAATAGTACCAGGTGTCGATCCCTGACATTGATTCTGGGCCCCGATGTTATCATTCGACACTTGTGACCACTGATCTTTATATATAGCAGTGGCCGGGGTTTCTCTAGTTGATGGATTCCATTCAACTAGATCGGGATTATAAGCCTTTCAGTTGGAGCTACCAAGAGACGTCATAAATACCTGGATCTGAAGCGTTGCGAACAATCACCATTGGCTGACCCTGCTGATCGTTTTCGGATTTCTGCTGGGCTTTCGTCCGCATGTCCCATCGTCTTTTTGAGCGCGGCGGAATTGACTCCTTTACCGGTTTCTCGGCGCCAGAGAAACGGCCTCGCGACGCAACACCTGTCCCCCAGCGTAGGCGGATCTCATATCCTTCGCACGTTATTCCACGGGAAGTGCATCTCTGACAGGCTGGGCGAATTTCATCGCACTGAATCCGCTTTCTCTTGCATGTCCAGCAGCCCTTGTGGGATCGATGATGGGTACTGATTTGCTTGATGCGAGGGCCATCCATTGGAAATAGTTATTTAAAGGGGCAAGAAAACACTGGTGAATATTATTTTCGTTTGAAATCATTTTAATGGCAGGATATTTCATTCTGGTCATATATGCTTGATCTAAAGCTGAGCGATTTTCTCATTGGATGAGCAAAGACCTCAAATGCCGGTGGTCTTGGTGTGATCCTCTAGCCCCAATAGGGAGTGGCTTCCGGGAATACCGACTGTTTATAAGTTGGGCAAATTCCCTCGCGCTGAAGTTGCGATCGTAACGTGAAGCAGTTCGTTGTTTTTCTAAATGTCCCCCAAGTCGGTCGGAGGCATCCCCAGGTGGAGCCCAGTCGACGATTATGGAAGGTACAGCCAAGTGTCACAGTGCGGCTCCACAGGTTTTGTCATCAGCATGTGTAACCCGGACAGGAACTGGTGATGGCCGGGGAAAAGTGTCTCTACACTTATAGCCAAATTATTTTGAGCTAGGGGAAAAATCTCGACTCGCCGTTAAGGTTGGAAGGAAAGTTTATTCTTGAGACACTCCAAGAATTCCAATGGCGGGATGGTCCGAAGGTACAGATCTCGGCCTCGCCACAGTGCACAACGGACCCAGAAACCAATGTACAATACCAAAAAAAAGGCCGTGTTTCAGGGAATCGGCAGTCGAAGCCAATCTTTTTGCTGCAGAAACTACTCTAGCGCCGAGGATCCATATTCCATCGGATCTTCATCACCATCTGATATCATCTCGAAAACTACCCGTTTCGCCACCGCCTCAACTTTCCGCACGAGGACTACGTTCTCTTCAGAGTTCAACGTGGAGAGCAAGGATTAGGCATCAGCAAGAGATGAAAGCTTTGTCTCGCGTAATTTCTTCAATTTGACCGTGGTCGTGGATACGTAAAGTGGGCCAGGACCGGTGAACCTGGGAAGAAGTCTGCTCCATACGGAGCTCCCACACAACTCGGTGAGGCCCGTGGGGTCCCCACGAAGAGTCAAAAAAGAACCCCAGGGCCACAAGAGTCTCCAGAAGCACATACTCAGTTGCGAATGGAAATATTCTTGGCTTTTGGTTACGGTCTCATCACATACGGCCAGAGGATACAGATCTGGGATCAAAGCTGGCGGAGATCGCCTTGCTAGCGTTTGGGGAAAAGATCCGAAATACTGTTTTCACACCCTGCTGAACTCTCATTATTTTCACGACACAATGGATTCCGAACTCGAAACAAGAAAACCAGTCGATCAAAGCATCAACGATGCATACGACCTCGCCGCCATGGGCCATGACCAGAGTCTCACCCGCAAGTTCAATATCTGGAGCATGCTGGCACTTGCATTCTGCGTCTTAGGAACATGGTCCACATTTGCCCAAGATTTGGCCGATGGCCTGGTCAACGGCGGGCCAGTTTCGATTCTTTGGGGACTTGCACTTGTCACATTTTGCAACACCTGCGTCGCTTTTTCCCTTGGAGAAATCTGCAGTAGCATGCCAACTGCGTTGGGTCAAGCATACTGGATCTATCGACTATGGAGCTCGCCATGGGGCCGCTTCGCCTCATACATGTGTGCGTGGATCAATGTATTTGGCTGGTGGACTCTTGCCGCGTCACAGGTGGCGTTCATGACCAACTTCATCTTGGGAATGAAGGTCATGTTCGATGAAGAGTGGAAAGGCGCTTCGCAGGGCTGGCTGGAGTTTGTCGTCTATCTCGGTGCGGTTTTCGGCCTCACCTTAATCAATGTGGTTGGGTGTCGACGGGAGAAGTTCCTGCCCTGGCTGAACAACTTCGTTGGAGTTTGGTTCTTCGGCCTTTTTTTCGTCTTTTCGCTGGCCTTGCTTATCTCTGTCGGAGTCAAGTCCGATCTCTCTTTCCAGCAGGGTTCCTTCGTGTTCGGGAAATGGATTAATAACACGGGCTGGCCTGATGGTGTGGTGTGGTTCATGGGCTTGGTGCAAGCGGCGTACGGTCTGACTGCATTTGACGCTGTTATCCACCTTGTGGAAGAGATTCCTTCCCCTCGGAAGAATGCTCCAAAGGTCATCTACTTGGCTGTGCTCTCGGGTGCAGCAAGCGGCTTCATTCTTATGATTGTCTGTCTGTTCTGCATTCAGAAAGTGAAGCAAGTCATCAACTCCCCTAGCGGCCTGCCGTTTATGGATCTTGTTCAGGAAACCGTTGGCCGGAATGGAGGCGCAGTTCTTATTGCATTATTCATTCTCAATGGCCTAGGCCAAGCAGTGAGCATTGTGACCACAGCCTCTCGCCTCACCTGGGGCTTTGCTCGCGATGGCGGGCTACCATTCAGTGGATATCTGTCTCACGTCAGCCCATACTGGAAAGCTCCCGTGCGAGCTCTCTGGTTCCAAGGATGCCTGATTGCTCTAGTCGGAATCCTATTCCTCTTCGCCCAGACAGTATTGAATGCCATCCTCAGCGTCAGTACTATCGCCCTGACAATCTCCTACGGACTCCCGATTTTAACAATGATGATGGTTGGACGAGACAAACTCCCTCCGGGCGGACAATTCCGTCTTGGACGATGGGGCATGCCGATCAACTGGGTCAGTCTTATTTACTGCTGCATCACCACAGTTTTCTTCTTTTTCCCGGGTTCGCCCAAGCCCACCGGGTCCGGGATGAACTACGCCATTGCGGTTTTCGGCGTGATGCTTTTGATTGCTGTTTCTTTCTGGTTCATCCAAGGAAGTCGCACCTATCTCAACACAGAAGAGTCAATGGCTCCAGTGCTTCAGGCACAGGAAGGGGCATTCAATGAGCCGCCGGTTCCGGACCCCACCAAGGAAGACAAATAATGCCAGCGATGATGATGGCCGAAATTTGTCAATATGGAGGTTGCGGACTTTGCGGGTCGGAGATTCGCTGTTATTGTTTTGTATATGAAGTGTTGTTCCAGTGCATAGAGCATAGAGACGGTTTGGGGTACATAGAATAGACCGGAAAATAGACCGGAGATAAATAAAGTTAAGATACTATAAACACTCTTAGCTGTAGAGCCTCTGTAACCAGCGGGATCACATTTTTCCATAAACAGGCCTATTTTTAACACTGGAGATACAGATCTTCTGCAAGAAGCTCGCCGTGAAAATTCTGGTGGACAAGCTGAAGCCTGCCGCTGAGCAGATGACCGAGCTCACCAAAATACAGCATGAATATGGCAAGAGACTTACCGGGTAAGAGCTTGAGTTGGGCTTGGGTATATAATCTAGAAGTGTTTATATTTGCGTTGTCAGATAAACTTATCAACTCTTTCAGCGATATCGAGTCCCTTTAGTTAGCAGAAGCACATATTTCCCAAGTAATAAATGCCTCAATCGATGAGTGGAGGAGGCAAATGCCTTGCGCAAGAAGGTTGGATGATCAACGCCGGTATTTTGTATCTATGCGCCATTTGTTTGCTCGTCGAGAAAAAGCCTCAGCAATTTCTCACCACTGTTCTTTCAGCTCTCCTTCAATTTCTCTCCCATTTAATTTCTCCTTTTGATTCTTCCCAAGATTTTGGAGTCATCAGTTGAATTCTTCAACAAGCTCTTGACATTCAGGTTCTCATAACAATCTAAATACTAAATATACAGACGCAAGCTCACAGCTTGGATTTCATGTTCACATGGACGGCCTTGACATTTGAGTACGCAGCCAAACCGGCCTCACCTAATTCCCGACCGATACCACTCTGCTTGACACCACCGAAGGGGATGCGCCAGTCACTGTCGTTGCTCGAGTTGACCCATACCATACCAGCCTCGATCTTCTTCGCGACGCGATGCGCACGAGTCAGGTTCGTGGTGAACAGGGCACTTCCCAAACCATATGTGGAATCATTAGCCATGGCAATGGCGTCTTCCTCGTTCTTGAACCGGGCGATCACCACGAAAGGACCAAAGACCTCTTCCTGGTAGATGCGCATCTTGGGCGTCACATCGGTGAACACGGTCGGCTCGACGAAAAAGCCCTTGCCGTCAGCGACCTTGAATGGCTTGCCGCCGAACGCGAGGGTTGCCTTTTCGGACTGCCCGACCTTGACATACGACATGATGCGGTCGTACTGGGCCTGCGTCACTTGCGGGCCCTGGAAGGTGCTCTCTTCGAACGGATCGCCGACCTTGGAGACATTCTTGACTTGCGCCTTGAATGCAGCAAGGAACTTGTCGTAGATCTCGTCCTGGACTAGAATCCGCGACGTCGCGGTACAGATCTGGCCCTGGTTGTACATGATCCCAATGTGCGCCCATTCCACTGCTTGCTCAAGGTCTGCGTCGTTGAAAACGATCAATGGGCTCTTGCCGCCAGTCTCCAGAGTAATATTCTTCAGGTTTGAGCTGGCCATCTTCATGATGTGTTTGGCCGTCGCGGTGCTTCCTGTGAACGCGATCTTGTCAACGTCCATGTGGGACGCGAGCGCAGCACCGGCAATGCTGCCATGGCCGTTGACGATGTTCACCACACCGGGCGGGAAGCCAGCTTCCACAATCAGATTGGCCAGGAAGAGGATTGACAGCGGTGTCTGCTCGGCGGGCTTGAGCACAACAGTGTTACCGCAGGCCAGCGCGGGGCCGAGTTTCCAGGCTGCCATGGCGAGAGGGAAATTCCATCTAATCGGCGCGTTAGCCTATGTCTCCGGTCACAGAATATCCTCATACTTACGGGATGATTTGCCCGCAAACTCCAACCGGTTCCCTCAGAGTGTACCCGAACTTATCGGGGGTGGTCTCAATGACCTGACCAAACACCTTGTCCGCAAAGCCAGCATAGTACCGAATTGTTTCGGAGGTCTCAGTCAGATCATCATTCAGCGAAACCAAGTACGGCTTTCCATTGTCGATTGTCTCGATGGTCGCTAGAGTCTTCTTGTTCTCATCGATCAACTGGCTCAGTCGGGTCATCAAGCGGCCGCGCTCGGAGGCCGGAAGCTCTCTCCAGTCTGGGTTGTTGAGAGCTGCGCGCGCAGCCTTGACGGCGGTGTCGACATCCTGCTCCGAAGCCGCATAGATCGAGGTGATCTCCTTGGCAGTTCTGCGATTTGGAGTGTCAGTTTTGGAGATCGCTTATATATGCAGACAGCACATACGAAGGGTTGATGGTAGCAATCTTCTCGCCATTCGACGACTTCACCCACTGGTTGTTGATGAACAGACCCGTTGGCTGCGACCAGGTGTGGCCATTGGGCGCCGTGAGCTGAACTGTCAAACCGGACATGATGTGAAATGCGCTACAGCAGAGGGTCTTTGTCACGAAGGATGAGATGGCAAAGCAAACGCTGCAATACGGCAAGTTATTAAAGTCGACCGTTGGAATTGTTGAAGCTACATCATTTGCTATCGAACATTCGCCCGGCATTCGGCTGGACATGCTATTTCGGGGCAACCGGGTCAGAGGTCCATCTGCAGCAGATTTAGGCTGGAAAGTCAGCTCCACACTGAATCCACTTAGCATGGAGTACTCCAGATTGCGGGCGAGACCCAGACACAATGAGCTTCGGGGGCGAGGAGCAAATCACGGTGATTCAAAAAACAGCCCTAAGAGGCGAAGCCTAAACAGGCAAGTCCAGCCCCGTCCGTGCTCGCTTGGACTTCTCAGAATGTACACTGACAGCTAAGATGCCAACAGAGATAGGAATAAAATGCCAGATCGAAGATAGCCTATGCCTTCAACTGGCACGCAGACTCGCAACCGTTTCTCTTCACACGACAAGCAGAAAATCCGTGACACTCAACATGCGCCGTGGCAAAGGGACACCGCATTCCCCACACGTCACGTGCCACCCCACGTGAAATAAGCTTGACTTGCATTTGCATGCTTACTACTACATATAGAAGGAAAAATGCCAGTTATTGCCGGAGTCGGGCAGGTCCTTGCTGCTCATCGCGGGGCAAGGGACAGCCCTGAACAGCCCGGGGATGGTCCGTGACCGTCCCGTGGCCTGGGGAATCGGAGGAGGATTTCTTTGTGATTGGTGCGCATGGCTACTGCCGGAGAAAGCCCTGCAGAAGAAATGCAGAGGTGGAATCGAAAGGGGCATGTTGACACGCCCCAGAAAAACCGTGTACGTAAAGGGTCCATCCGTGTCTTGCGCAGCATCCCGAACCGAGAAGACCCAATCCCGAGTCTGGCGAGGCCGTAGATTCCAAGATCCCGATTGCCCAATGCGGCAGGTCTATGCGAGTCGCAAAAAAGATTAGATCCGTCGGCCACGGGGTATATAAGGCTTCGCTCGGACGATGAGAGACCGCCACAGTCTTTCAAACCTCTCCACGGGTTACCTCTCTGTCGCCTTTTCCTGATCACTCTCTCATTTAGCAATCAGCCCATCATGGCTCCCGATACCACATCCATCCCCGGCTACACCATCTTCCGGGAAGGGGACTATGACAGCGTTGCAGCCACGGCCATGCTGCCGCAGGGCACCCCGCACCCTCTCGGTAAGAGACATAGCACCCCAGTATAAGCCGAGCGCAATATGCTGATTCTACGAGATAGATCAATTATCCATCAAGGAAATCCCCGAGGTCGCCAAGATAATTCGCGAGTACGCCAAGCCTAACACCCTCAAGTTCAACTGCATCACTCTGCGCGAGCCCCGCAAGAATGAGTACATTGCTTATCGCTCGGGTACTGCCCCGATCCCGGACCGCCGGGGTTTTGCGATCGTCATCGTGCGCGAGACGCAACAAGTTGCCGAGGTGCTGGTCAACCTCAAGACTGGCAAGGTCGAAAACTGGAAGGACGTCCACGAGGTGATGCCCACTCTGACCCTCGAGGACCTGGACGTCATGGAGCGCATTTCGCGCGCGGATCCCCGTGTCATCCGTGCTTGCAACGAGCTCGGCATCACCGATATGTCCAAGGTGTTCATCGACGCATGGGCCATCGGTATCGACGAGCGCTGGGGCTTCGATCGCCGCCTGCAGCAGGGTCTTGTCTACTACCGTACCTCCGAGTTCGACAACCAGTACGCCCACCCGCTGGATTTCAGCGTTGTCGCCGACACCGAGCGCGAGGAAGTGCTCAGCGTTGACGTGCGCACGGTCAACGGCGAGCGCACTGGCGTCCCACTCAAGGAGCACAACTATCTCCCTGAATTCATTGGTGATGGCTACAAGCACGACCGACTCAAGCCCATTGACATCACTCAGCCGCAGGGTGTCTCCTTCAAGCTGCGCGGTAACGAGATCTCCTGGGCCGGCATGAAGATGCACATCGGCTTCAACTACCGCGAGGGTATCGTCATCTCAGACGTCCGGACCCACGACATGTACGAGGACCGCGAGCGGACGCTTTTCAACCGTATCAGTGTCGTCGAGATGGTCGTTCCTTACGGTTGCCCCGAGAAGCCCCACCACAAGAAGCACGCTTTCGACGTCGGCGAGTACGGTACTGGTCTGATGACCAACTCGCTGAAGCTGGGTTGCGATTGTAAGGGCGCCATCCACTACATGGACGGTGTCATGTCGAACGGCAACGGTGAAGCTGCCGTGATCAAGAATGCCATCTGCATCCACGAGGAGGACAACGGTCTGCTCTACAAGCACACTGACTACCGTGACGGCACCGTTGTGTCTGCCCGTGACCGCAAGCTCATCATCTCGCAAATCATCACCGCCGCCAACTACGAGTACGGCTTCTACCACACCTTCACCCTCGACGGCACCTACAAGCTCGAGATGAAGCTGACTGGCATGCTCAACACCTACTGCATGCACCCCACCGAGACCGCTGCCCCGTACGGCACGGAGGTTGCGCCTCAAATCAACGCCCACAACCACCAGCACCTGTTCTCCCTGCGCATCGATCCCGAAATCGACGGACCCAACAACACTGTCGTGCAAAGCGACGCCGTCTCCTCCGAGTACCCCGTCGGGTCCCCCGAAAACCCGTACGGCAACGCCTTCTACAGCAAGAAGACTCCCCTCCGCACCTCGCTCGAGGGCGCCGCCGACTACTGCTTCGAGACCAACCGGACATGGGACATCATCAACCCCAACCGGATGAACGCAATCGCCAAGAAGCCCATTGGCTACAAGATCATCAACAATAACTGCCCGCCCATGCTGGCGAAGCCAGGCAGCACGGTGTGGAAGCGCGCTGGCTTCGCGCGCAAGCCTCTGTGGGTTCTCCCCTACAAGGACGACGAGCTGTTCCCTGCAGGCGACTACGTGTGCCAGTCAACCGGCGAGGAGAACCACCCGCACAACCCGACGATTGTCGACTGGGCCAACCGCAATGAGAACATCGAGAACACCGATATTGTCTGCTACCTCCAGTTTGGACTCACGCACTTCCCTCGCACGGAGGACTTCCCCATCATGCCCGCCGAGCCCGTGAGCATCATGCTCCGCGCGTCAAATTTCTTCGAGAAGAACCCCGGTCTCTGGGTGCCGCCGTCTGCTATCTGTGTTGATACCCAGTCGCGGAATGCGTTCTCAAGTTCTTGCTGTGCGGCTAATGCGCCGGCTAGCAACTCGAGACTGTAAAAAGAAAGAAAGAAAGGATATGAATGAACGCTGAACGAACCGGACCTGCCTTGGCCGGTGTGTATTGGCGAGTGATCATGTGTATATAGCCATCTTAGTTCTTATTTTATAAAATAGATCACGAATTTTGCATGTTATCTACTCCAATTTTAGAGTTACCTCGGTCACATCCTGGGCTGTCTCCATAACGGAGGCGGGGTACTGAAGCTCAAGTTCCACATTGTCCACAACGGAATTGCCCAGTCCCACAACACATTATGATTCCCAGGATCGTATAAGAGAGGAGCACCCTACCTGATTCTCTTCGGGAAACCGTCATATCTTCAACTCCCATTAGATAGGATAGAGTCGAAAAACGTCTCCACAACTCCCGATATGACCATATTGTCCTCTGCGGCAGTCGATGCGCTGAAAACCAAGCTCGAAGCCGCCTGCAGCGACCCCCGAAAAGGGTCTACCAGGCGCTTCAGTCGCGGTTGTGGGAAAAGATGGCCGGCAATTATTTTCTCATGCCGCGGGACAGCGAGGCCTGCGAGCTTCCGAAACCATGGATCAAGACACCGTGTTTTGGATCGCCTCATGCACCAAACTCATTACCGCCATTGCATGCATGCAACTTGTCGAGCAGGGCCGGCTTTCACTAGATGATCCCGATTCCATTGAGCGACTCTGTCCCGAGTTGAAGGATATTCAGGTCTTAAGGGATGATGGCACCTTGGAGGAGAAGCAGGATCGCATCACGCTGAGGATGCTATTAAGTCATACAGGTTCGAAATCAAACAAGCTTCTCACCCCAGGACAGGAAGGAATAACTGACATCATCACAGCGGGCTTTGGCTACTCATTCCTTCAAGAGAAGCTAAAGAACTATGCTCGCCCGATTGGGTTTGACGAGTTCTCGGGAAGCATTGCCGATTTCAAGCAGCCGCTGGTTCACCAGCCAGGAAAGGCGTGGGAGTATGGGGTAAGCAAGCTTTCGCTGATAACAAAAAAATGGCGAGAAGTGTAACTGACATGCCTGTATCTGTAGGTCAATATCGACTGGGTGGGCATTATCATCGAGCGCACGACGAGGCAATCCCTAAACGACTACTTTCATCAACACATTTTCAAGCCCTTAAACCTCAGCCACATCTCGATAATTCCGACTGCGGAAATGAAAAATAACCTTGCTTATATGCACCAGCGAGACAAGACTGGTCACCTCTCTGTCCGGGACCACCCGCTCCACCGACCCCTCGTATTCGATGAGAACGACGCCAAATCATTTTGCCATTCCGGCGGCGCGGGATGTTTCTCAACGCCCGCAGACTACTGCCGTAAGAGGCTATCCCGAAAGTTCCCTCGAATAATTCCTCTCTTACTTACAATGCAAACCCAGAAATCCTCGCCGTCCTCCTCAACGACGGTACTTCCCCAACTACGGGGAAACAACTCCTCCAGAAGAGCACAGTGGACGAAATGTTCCGCAACCAAATCGCGCATCTTCCCCCGCTCACCGAGAAACCCTTTCCCGATGCTAAACCCGAGTTCACCAATCCCAGCGTCGGCGTTTATCCCACTGTGGAAGGGGATCGCCAAGGATGGGGTCTGTCATTTTTGATCAGTGGCGGGAACACAGGACGCTCGCTGAGCACTGCGCACTGGACTGGATTGCCAAATATGTTCTGGTGGTGTGATCGCGAACAGGGTGTTGCAGGAATCGTTTGTACCCAAATCTTGCCGTTTGGTGACCGTCAGTCTTTTAAACTATGGCTGGATGTGGAAACGGGGGTTTATGGGGGGATTAGGAAAGGTAAATTATGATATCGAGGCCTATAAAGGCATAAGTGTTAATACTACATTCAACAACTACTGGTGGAGCAGGCGGAAGATGTAAACATGTATGTAGGGCGTAGTTGTGGCGGTTCAATGTCTAGAAAGAGAAAAGAAGATCTTAATGTTTAGCCACAGGCGAAGATCTCCTGTTCTCCTTTCTAAATAGTTAGCCACAACCGTAGACGCGGCCTCACTATATCAGGCTTATTGCTATCACGGTGATCGGGTCACCTCGAGGATAACGGGGTGGCGAGATATTATCTGAAGCTACATGATGCAATGGCCTGAATTCTCGTTATTTGTATGTACATTTCATTCGCAAAGTAGTTAGATATAAATCCTTGCACCTGTGCAAATGTCTATAGTTTGTGGGAGCTGGCTGGTTCTTCCATGTCACAGAAGGACCTCGGCACCTCGCGTTTCCCCTTCGGGTCAGGATTTGTCTATCTACTCCACAATTCCCATTTTCTTGCAGCCTGAATGCTATGGTGGTGTGGTGTGCACTTACATGGCGTCCTACCCCCATCATATCACTTATCGCGACAACTTCATGTGGCGGTTCACGTCCTTATAGAGCAGGTAGCGGAACTTGCCAGGACCACCCGCGTAACAGGCCTGCGGGCAGAAGGCGCGAAGCCACATGAAGTCGCCTGCTTCCACCTCCACCCAGTCCTGATTAAGGCGGTACACGGCCTTCCCTTCCAGCACATAGAGTCCGTGTTCCATAACATGGGTTTCGGCGAAGGGGATGACACCACCCGGTTCGAAGGTCACGATCGTGACATGCATATCGTGACGGAGATCGCTCGGGTCCACGAAGCGTGTGGTTGCCCAGGCACCGTTAGTGTCCGGCATCACGGTGGGCGTGATATCCTTCTCGTTGAGGAACAGCGGGTCGGGCTTATCGAGCCCGTCCACAGATTCATAAGTCTTGCGCACCCAATGGAACCGAGCGGTCGCCGCACCCGTATTACGCAGGGTCCAGCCGCTTTTCGGCGGCAGATAGGCATAGCCACCCTCGGCGAGCGTGTGCGTTGCGCCTGCCAGGGTAATGGTCACTTCGCCTTCGACGACGAACAGCACACCCTGCGCCCCATCGTCGAGCTCGGCGCGGTCACTCCCACCTCCCGGCTGCACTTCCATGATGTATTGCGAAAAAGTCTCGGCGAAGCCTGACAGCGGACGCGCAATCACCCACAACCGCGTCTTATCCCAAAAGGGCAGGAAGCTCGTCACAATGTCGCTGAATGTGCCCTTCGGGATGACCGCGTAGGCTTCGGTGAACATGGCGCGGTCGGTCAGAAGCTGGGTCTGGGGCGGCAAGCCGCCCGTCGGCGCATAGTAGGCACCGATTTTCTTGTCGTTGCCCATGGCGGGGAATTCTTCGGTGGAAATGTGTAGGTATCAAGGTGAGTAGATAGTCCTTCCGATATCGGTGGGACGATGCTTGAACAGAGAATACGACGAACGTCAGAGAGCTGAGTGGTGTGTAGAAGTCGAAATGAACATGAGCGTTGCTGTCGAGAAAGGGAACAGAAGCCTTATCGCACATTAAATGCAAAGTGGCCCTGATTGTCCGGTCCACAGGGGAATTCCGGCGTTGGCCGATTGCCCGGATCAGGCCGACGGCCCCAGCCGTGGAGGGGTGCTTAGTAGAGGCCTTGGTGCCTGATTCCCAGCTGGTGGGGCCTATTTAGAGAGCAGAGGCATGCCGCGCCGACAGAGGTTAATCACTAGCTATTAAAACGGCGCTGGATCTTTGACATATTATATTACAATATTGTCCATTGTTCACTGACTGTAGCTGTAGAAATCGCCGTATCTGGTGGTCATATCATCTAAGTATAGTATCCTGCCAGACTCGGTACAAATAATTCAGCTTCCGATCCGCTAATCCAACAACGAATTGCGCCCGCCTATTTGGAAATGCAGTGTTTATCGAGATGTCTGTTAAGCTTCTTTCTATTCTCAACCTTTAGGGTAACTAGCAATATTAATAACAGTTGCGTTGACACCCCCCTCTCATTCAATTACGCATACAATCCGGTGTCATGGAGGGAGAATTTCAATGAACGCCAGCCAGAAGGCCTGCTATGCCCGAAGAGATTTCAGATGCAATTGTGTTCCTCGCGTCGCCGATGGCAAGTTTTATGCATGGAGCTGGGTTGCTTGTGGATGGTGGTTATACATTTTAGGTAGTCAAGTCATATGTACCATTCAATTAACTATATCCAAGAAGTCATTTACCGCTGGAAAGATGTGATGCAAATCGTATTTACAAGTCCAAGTCAAGTCCCGCATTCTCCAGGATCGCGCAGTACTAAGTTGCACCACCCACTTTGTCTTCTCCCGATGGAAGCTCTCCTTCCCCATCTACGGCCCCGGTGCCAGTTAGGAAGAAGTCCAACTCGCTGGGCCCGCCTTGTGAGTGTTCGTTTTCTGCTAGCTGTTCTAGCAAGCTCAGAAAGGGGTCCTTCTCAAGGGAGCCGGTTTCGCTGCCCCCGGTATGGGATCCACTGGTTTGTGATTGGCCTCCTGGTGTTGCAACCGTAGTTCCTCCGGCGGCATTTTGTGCACCACCGGCCATGTTGGTGTGCGCTGTGTCGAATGGGAATATGGCATATTGTGGATTCGAGGGTGGCGTGGGTGCGATATTTAGTGGCGTGTCGGAGAGGAAGGATGGAGGCGAGAGACCGAATGCAGAGGGCGAAAACCCGTTCGGGAGGGAAAGATGAGTGTTATCTGCTGAGCCGCTTGGATTACCGGGCCCGGGTGATAAATCTGATCCGGACATTGGGAAGATAGAGGGAAGGGTCGGAGATGGTTGGTGTGGATTATTGGGCGGTGGGTGGAAGTGGAATGTTGGAGAGAGAGCTGCCGTGTGGGAAGGTTTGTTGGTCAGGGAATGAGAGTGGGAGTTGCGGCGATCAGAGTCTAGATTCTGTGTGGATGGTAATTGTGGTGTATGACCTGACCGCGTAGTCGAATAAAAGCTCGATGGGCTTTGGTACGAAGGTGCATTCATCTGTCGTTGATAGTAGTGGTCTTGCCGGTCCACGAGGTTCATGGCACTGCCATCGAGGTCAGTTACTGCACAAAAGGAAAAGGAAGCATGAAGAGAAAAATACCTTGTCGCCGGTTCATCTTCCATGTCAACTAACCGGACATGTGCCCCGTCCACCGCCAATCCCGGGTACCGGTCGAGGAAGTCTTCCAGATGGAAAACTGGAGAAAATCGCATGGGGCTGCTAGCAAGCGTACGCACTAGCTCAGCATGACAAGTGTAAATGGTTTGAAGCAGCTCCCGCTGATGCTGCACACCGGCCCACGAATTGCGTAGCCAAGTGAGCTGGTGCATCTCACGCGTCAGAAATTCGCCACTTGACGAGAATACTTCTCCTTCACGGCCCTTATAGTGCACGCCGTGAACATGAACAGTGCCCGCGGTGCATACACAGTACCCAACGAAGGAGGGCCACTCGACAAGTGAGGAATTGCGGCCGAGCTCCACCAGCTCCGCGATGGCATTGGAATGCGAGAAGCAGAGGTTGGTGGCTTCGATCTGCCATGACTGGTGCTGCCCGGTGCCACGCAGCTCAACCAGGTCAATAGGAAGGAATGGCCGATAAATCAGACAGTGCACCAGGTGATAGATCAGCTTGCTTAGCAGGAGGGTAGTACTCTCCGGGTGACCAAACAGTACATCGATAGATGCAAAAACATCCTGTGTGCCGGCTGCCCAGATATCTAGCTCCTGCCGAATCTTGGACAAGTTTGACAGTGCGTGCCAAGGAAAATGCGAGTCGCCTTTGACGCCACCGGCGGCCAGATATCGGTTTGTGACACCAAGGATGCGAGTAATATCAATCAGCAAGGATGCTGCACTGGGTGATTTGCGGCGCGAATCCGCCGAGTACTGGATGTTCGGTCCTACGTGGAACAGCTCGCCTTCCATGTTCAACCCGGTCGCATGAGGGGACCAAGATGGGAGACGCAGCACGACCGAATGGTCTGAGATGAGACTAGGGCGCCGGGATCCGCAGGTAATGAAGCGGTCCATCAGGTATACCGCCCAAAAGAGTCTGCGGCGCGTTTCACGCTCGGCGGGTGAAAGGTTGGCCTTGGTTGGCACTTCCCGAAACAGGTCCAGGGCAACCACCATGGCCACACAATTTGCTAGATCCTGTTAGAATTGACAAGAAGGATGTCAAGAGGTAGCGTACAGAATGTCATGTAGGCCTTCTTTCCTAGGCCATGCCCAAAGAAGGCCTGGGATAAGAGAAGAAGAGCTTGCAGGCCGTCGAGCGTGGGATTGTCAACATCCACTGCACGTCGCGCCTGTAGCGCCGCATCAAGTCCCGCGCGCAGTGACTGCTCCGACTGGCCAGCGGAGTTGGTATACCTGCTAGTCATCAGTAACCATACCATCGGACGGTCATGAGCCGACCAATTTACCTGAGTGTCATGGCACCAATTGCCGTAGACAAGTACGGAGGCAGCTGGCCCAGTTGGTAGCGCTGCCGTGTTGTCGTCTCATCTAGGATGTAAAATGGTTTCCCATGGAGTCGAGCAAAATAAATATCCAAGATCGCGTCCGACAGGATCCCAGCTTGGGGAGAGTGTTGCTGGTGGAAGCTGGAAGATCGATGGGCAGATGGCGGAGCAAATGGTTCTGGCTGTTGAGTGAGAGGAGTAGGCAAAGTCTGTCGTGAGTCCCCATGCGGGTAAAACTGAACGGTGTCGATAGGGTGGCCGGCACCGGAGGCGTGAGGTGGCGGCTCATTCTTCGCATCCGGGGAGGTAGGAGATATCGGGTTTTTCTCGTCTTGCAGTCGCTTTTCTAAGCCGTCGACTCGCTTGAGAAGGGCTTCTAGCACATCCGTCTTGGGACCGCGCTTCTTCGGGACCGCATCTGGCGCCGACGGGATCAGAATTGGGAGGAATCCGCAGGACAGCACAACGACTGAGCTCACCGTAGACACACGAGCACTGGAAGACCTTGCAGGCCTCACAGCTTGGTCGCAAGCGATTACATTTGATCTGGAAGAAGGGATCAGCGAAGATTTGCGATCGTGACAGATGCGACCGACCTTTCTCTTGCGGCAGGATTTGCAGTTCATAGCCTCGCGCGGCTCGACGGTCACCCGGCGCGGCGTGAGGCGGTCGATGCTGACCTGTGGACGAGACATGGTGAATCGGACGACATCGACAGAAGGGAGAGAAGAGAGGGAGTGAGGGAGGATTAAGGTCCGGGGTGCGTGGCGGCTTTTCCCTCCGCTCTGGAGTTGTGGAGCCGGGAGAAAAGTAGAAATGCGGAGAAGCCTTGGGTCTGCTTTTCTTTCTTTGCTTTCTTTTGTTCGCTACGAGTGAACTAGCTATGAACTTGGCCACTAATAATTACGAAACAAGTCTAAAAATACGAGACTCAATTCTCCGATTGTTTTTGACCTCTTCCAAGGCCCTAAATATCTCTCATTCAACCCGGAAGTTTTCCTGTTCGGTGTTAGGGTTTCGCACCCATGTTCCGGGGCATGACTGGCCCAACGCTCGGTCGCTTTCCCCTGTTCATCACGGCCCAACCACCCGCAGACAATGCTGAAGCGCCTATGTAACTAGTCGGCCCCGCTTTTGGTCTGCACCTCCATGAGGAATTCAGGGCACGACAGAGAGAAGCAGGAAGGGAATTTAAGGGCGACCCAAGATCGACGATCCTTCTATTTTCGAGACGGAGATACTTCTGGAATACAAATCTAATGGGTAGAACGATGGTTGGACCACAGGGCTTAAACAAGCATGCGGGTAGATTCGACAGTAACTCCGACGTTTTTCCAGCCGAGGCCTGGACTAATAATCGAAGCTTGAACATGTATGTATCTACTAGGTTACATATTCTTCTATCATACGGGAGATATATAGACAAATCAAGCTATTTCTGGGGAGGTATGACTTCTCCCTTCTTCACAAAACCAGCCATCTTCCGGGCCTGTTCACTATCTATTGCCTCTAGACCCTCGACGACCCCGGCGCGGTCCTGAACAGGGCGCTCCTGACTAACCTTAAACCGGCCCTCAATGCGAGTAATCTCAATGTGCATGCCAACAATATTCTTCTTCAGCAAGGCAATATACTGTTCCGGCGCATCGGCGATTTTCCACGGCTGTGGCGTCGTCTGCGCATCCTTCTGGTACCCCATGACACCCTCCTCGCCCAACCGCGCTAGATCCGACAGTTGTTGGTGCAGAAAGGCGCCTGTCGCCTCATCCTTTGAATCGTGGTAGATTGTGGCGCGGCCATAGACTTGCACCGCGGCATAATTCCACGTCGGAGCCACTTTGCCTGTCCCGAGTTTCGATTCCGTGTAGAAATGCGGTGTTATGTAGTGGTCCACGGGACTGGTGAAGATGATCAACACCTCCCCCGGGATTGTATGTTTCGTTGGTGATTCTGTCGCGGCTTCTACTATCGCTTTGCTCTGTGGGTTTTGTCGCGCGATGTGTCCACGGAGTCCGCCGAGAAGTGGCTTGTTGCTGGAATTGGGTGCATCTGTTGATATTGTGGTGTTTTCCGAGTCAACGACCCATGGGATATGACTGCACTGCAACGTCGGGTAATTCTCCGAGGGAAGCGACGTGGTCAGAACGCCTAGAGGGTGGGCGTGGATAAACGCGTGCAGCGTTGGGAGGTCCCGCACGGTGTGGTCGGGCCGAAGATGCATTTTCGTGTCAATTGCTTTCGGTTTAGAGACTCTATGCTCCAGTACAGGGTAGAAGTAATAATTGAAAAAAGCAAGAGCAGAGTGAGTGAGGGGTGACTCCAGATTTGCTGATAAGCATTATCTATAGTTGATTATCCTCGGCAGGTATTGCCCTACAGCAGTTGATAGCGAAACCATGACAACTTCGGATACAGCAAGCAAGCAAGCATCCTAATTGAATAAAACTATTTAAAAAGCAATGCCAACATCGCCTCCCTGGCCAATGTTCTTCTTCCCTGTAAAAGCACCGTCTGAACTTCACATGTTCCCAGCCAAGCGAGGGATCATACCCTTCCGCCTCGCTTCTACTAAAGTCCAAGTTTCACTCCCTGACTGGCTCTCTTGGCCCAATATCTCTGTCTGTTGTACAATTTCGTTGGCCAACTCAAAAGCGCGAGCGATTTACAGACGCATGCCTTGACCATTCCCAACTCTCCACGAAAGATTCTTCTAGTAGTTGGGCGAGACTATCTAGGCCGTCAAGTCCGGACGTGGTAATCATTCGCAAGCATCGGTCAGTCTCGCACAATCGCTATAGGCTGATTTATCCACGAAGTCGGTAAAGTTGCAATCGAGAATGAGGTTGAAAATCTCGAAGGACGTGAGGCAATCCTTCCAAGCTGATCGCATGTCCACTTCAACATCAATACTGACCAATTTCAAATCTAGTTTATCGTGTCAAAAACTATGGCGCCAATTATACGGCTTCTGGTCTTCAATGATACCACTGCGTGGCGCAATTGTTTCGAAATCGGGTTTCAGGACCTCAATGCGCTCGGGGGAGGCGGAAGACCTAGCATCCTCTAGGTTTACCTTTATATCGAACCCTTGCCAAAACGAGAACCTTATCTACAGCGCGAGGCATCCCAGGACGCTACTGAAGAGGACGTTCAAGTTTTCTTCGACGCGCAACTGATTATACGCATGGGAGCAGATCCCAATTGACATATTCTTGTCGAAAGTTTTAACGCAAAATCATACGTACAAAACACAACACCTTAGGCCTCCTTGGACACAATTCTTATTAGCCAGGCTGGAGGCTTATGGGAATGCCAAAATTATCGGTTAAAGAGATCTCAAAGTCACGATCGCAAACCATGCTCCAGTAAAGAGAAACAAGGTGTTGCTCCAACAATCCTTTTCAACTCTAACTCCACATTCCGCATATCATTATCTCCTGGTTTGTCGAAAAATTCGATTTCTAAAGACATTGCATTTACTATTTTTTTGGAGTTGATTCAACTCGCCAACGGTCACCCGTCCCAACAGTTCAATGGTATCATATGACTTGTGAATGACTACAGTCCTGGTAAAAAGAGCACCGAAAATGGCGTCCAAGGCAGCCTTTTTCGGCGCCCGATTTTCCGTCACATAGTATTGTGGTACCCTGCATCTATGGCAATATTAACGGATTATGTACATAGAAAATGGGCCAGATCTTTCTAGACTGAAAGCTGCGAGGACCTCGTTTTATTTATAAAAGAGATCGAAGTATATTCTTATATCAGCTCAGTATTGCAGCTATATATATCTTTCTTGGCATACATATAGAGCTTAATAAAGAAAAGACAAACCCATCAACCCAACAACACCAAGAAAATGATAACCAAAAAATGGCGATGGAAATGGCAAACCCAATCCGATGCGAATGTCTATTTGCATCGACATAACGACATGACAGAAAACACCAAGAATAGAGAAAGAGAAACAGAGAAGATCTCTATCCCATCCGATCCTATCCTATCCATTCATCCTAGCATAGGTAGACTAACCAAGCCTAGAACTAACCAAGCCTAGAACAAAGGCCTCCCAGACGCCATGCGCACAAAGTCAAACGGCACATTCTGCCCCACAAGCAGTCGTAACGTCTCAACGGTCGTCCAAGCGTTGACATCCTCAATGCCATACGCCGTCCACCCGGCACCCTTCGCAACAGCAAGTGGATCACCCTTGCGGGCACCGGAAGTGAGATCGAGATAGACCTTGCCGCGGATCGAAGGTGATGAAGGGGGGGAGGAGCGGCCATTAATAGCAGCAGCAGTATTAGCGTTGGTACTAGCGTAATGTCTAAGCAAAGGCTGAACAAGCAAAGATTTCTCCGGTGGAAGCGCAGAGACAATAACGAAAGGCTGCTCGACCAGTTTAACGGACTGGATCGATGTGAATGGCTCTAAGCCTGCGGATAGTGGGCCTGTTGCTTTGAAGCCGACTGTGTAGATTGATCCAACGCCCAGGCTACGCAGTGCGAAGATTGCAGCGCTGGCGTCTGTTTCGCTCCCCGCCAGGATTATGGCTGCGCGGTTGCGGTAGGCGCTGGGGACGTATTCGCGGGTTAGGGTGGCGCGGATGCCTTTCCAGGTGGCGTTTTCGCCGATGAAGCGCGTTGTGGTGATCGAGGAGTTATTGTTGCTTGTTGTTGGTGTTGTGGTTCCGTCGCCTGGTGTCACTAGGGCGAGAGTGTCGACTAGCCCGATTGCGCGGGCAGCGTCGCTGATGGCGGGGATGTATGGTGCCGTGCTGGCGATGGGGGGATTGATAGACGCGCCGCCGAACTGCGGCTGCAGAATGACGGACTCCATAGAGCCCTTTGGCCCACGGTCAATAGAGCTGAAAGTATGTGGAAGACCAAGTTCGTTGAGGCACTTCTCCATGAACATAGAGTGCGGCGTCGAACGGAACGAGCCAATAGCGTACAAGTCACGCTTCGGGAGCTGACCCATGATATGTAGGGCCTCGTTGATCTCGGCAGCGGTCAGCTGGCCCGGCGCAGCGATCATGGGTAGGAGCGGGTGTGTGATGGGTGAGAAGACCGTGTTGAGGGCACGGGACAGTTGTCCCATCTGGCCCATATTCACGGCCGACAACAGCGGCCCGGGGCCGCGGCTCTTGATCGTTGACCGGAAGTACTCCAGCTCGTAGTTCTCTTCAATGGTCGAGACCATGGCGATCATCTTGACGATGTCGGCGTACCGAGTGCTTTCTGTGAAAATGCGCTGCGCTTCGGGTGATGTCCACTTCCACCCCCCAGAAAAGTCGTGGAAGGCGGACATGATGATACTATGTCCCTTGGCCTCGGCGAGTCGTCGTCGAATCTCTTCTGGCAGCCAAAGCTCGACGTCAATATACTCGACGCCCCACTGGATCGCGCGCCGAAGGTACTTATAAAACAACGCGGGATCATCCATGGGGAATTTTCCATTCTCCTTCGTGCACCGCGTCGTGAAGATAATAGGCAGCTCGGTATGCTGCCGCAGTAGCATCAACTGCTGACCGACATACTTGAGACTGGGTACGGGAGAAGCCGGTGCGCCCTCCTGCGCAGGAGGCTCAACCAACAGATCCACGCGAATCTCGACCGCGTCCGAGCCAACAGACAGGATATCCAAGTTCGGCAGCGCAGCATGCACATCCGGGAAGGTGGTCGAGATGAAATTGGTGCGAGTCTTCGTGCGCAGATCGTCATGCGGCCGATTCTGGCCCAGGATCAGCGACAGAAAACGGGTGAGGTCCCGCCGCAGAAAGGGACTGCGTGAATATAGGAACTCATAGTCGCACAGCTCGGTCAGCGCGTCCTCCGGCGCAGAGCCATCCTCCACGCAGTGTGTATTTATCACCGTCAACGCGGACCGACTGTCGCTATCACATATCTCTGATAAAATCCGGGGCAGGTCTTGCGCGGGGATGCCCACGACGACGGCGGCATCGCCGGCTCGCGCGAGAGTCGCGAGCGACGGTTCAGTCGTCCACGGCTTGCCCAGTACCTCCGCGACGGTCTGGACGATGTGTTCCAGGCTCGGGCCGAAGGCGATCACGATCGTGCCCGTTGAATTGTCTGTGGGAGCGGCGACGGTGGTCGCGTGGTCTTGGGTGGAGGCGGCGGGAAGGGACGGAGACGGCGTGGCGATGGAGGAGGAGGTGGTGGTGATAGTGGCATTGTTGTTGGAGACAGGGGTAGTAGTAGATATAGGTGCAACCGTGTCAGTGAGTGCCGTCGCGGAGACGGTCGTCTCGTCGAGCAACGGCGAGGCCATGGGTTGCGGGAGGGTTGTGGGCATCATCGCATAGCAGCAGCAGTCCCAGGTGTAATCATACTTTGACTAGACTCGAGCCCGGGAAGGGTTCAATGGGGGAAGTCGACAGGGTAAAGACCGGCGGAAAGACGGATGGCTGCGCAAGAGAATTGTCCGGATCGGCCAGGACAGTAAGTAAGAGCGCGGGATTGTCAGAGGAGAGATCCGGGCCGGGACATTAACTTGATTGAAGGAGGCCAGTAGTTTAACCGGGAGACACATTCGGCGCAATGAGCTGACAGGCACCGGGCATGAATGTAGTTACTGACCCCACGGTGGAAGAACTCCCTGTGCGATTCCATCCACACGAGCGCCGTGACGAGTTGGGGCGCGGGGAAAATGGACCGGGCTGGATTTATCCGCCAATGAGCGAGAGGCTAGGGACCACTTTTATACTACGTCCAGTGAAGTTATGTAGAGTTTGATAAATGTAGGTATTTACATGCATAGTTACAGTATCACTTCGATGGCTATGTGAAGAATCATAAACAAGGAGCAAAATGAGAGAAAGAATACCAGGGGTATTGGGGAATAGACACAAGTCGCCGAGACAGAAATTCAATGACATGAGAAAAGATCGCGCTTTTGGGGTTGGTTCACACCGCCGTGCTTCTAGCCGCGGTTGCGAGGGATATAGACGATATGATGATATGTACGAGAACAGGGATGGAAACGAGGTCGAGGGAATAAATCGTGCAGAGATTATTCAAGGGGAGATTCATGAGGTGTAGACAGAAAGACAGACATGATGGGTTGTTTCATGTGGCCCTCTCTCTCTCTGTTGACAGCACGGCCGGCATCCAGGTAGAGAAGCTGCAAGATTCATCTAACTCGTGCAGCCCACGGCGATACATGGTTGGAAGAAAAGGCAGCGGGCCAGCCGTCTGCTTCCTGGCTATTTGCCGAGGCGCATGTCTCAAAACAGGAGAAATGGCCGACGATATGGATGGAATCGTGCTTGGTCAACCCGACACAAAGTCTCGGCCGGCGGAGGATACAGATCCACGCCATCACCGAGGCGGTGCATCTCGATGTTTTGACAAGATCCGTAAACGGCAAGACTCGCGATGCAACCATCGCATCAGACCCAAAACGAGAAAAATCGTCCACAAATCACGACGTCTTCCCTAGCTGGGCGGCGAGATTGCCAAGCCATTCATCAGCTTAGGTAGCGGTTTCCTGCGGGCGTTATTCGCCGTTTTGGACACCCGTGGAGCACCGTGGATCATGCGGGGTTCTTTCATTAGGCTGGTGTCCAGTTTTGCCGGGGCGCGGGTCGGAGCGCGGGTGTGGTACTCGCCAGAGAGGTTCTGCTGGCTGCGGCTGGTTGGGGCGAAGAAGGTGGCACTGGCTGTACGCCAGAGGTGGTTCGAGGTGTCTGACAAGAAGTCGGTCGTTGAGCGGCTGGAGAAGATCGATGTGCGGCCGCGATTGCGCTTGGAGAGAACAATTTCGTCGAAGAGGGCCATTTTCGAGTCCTTGGCCTTGGGGCTTGTGCGCTCCCGTTCACTGATGAACTCGTTGAAGCCTTGCGTCTGCTGCAGAACTGCAATATATTCGGCGTGTTCGTGCGGCATGCTCTTCATGAAAGCCTCCATGTTGAACTGGTAATACATGCCCGACTTCTTCTTGTCGCTGCTCGCGGGATGAAGAAATTTCTTGTAGGTATAGAACAGGCTGGCAAAGCATCGAACAAAAGCGGCGCGAATTTGGTCTGGATGGAAGGCTGCATCGCACACCAGGCAGACCTGGGAGGCGCAGCGGTTATGGACAGTGAGTTTGCATGCAGAACACTTGTACATTCCTTCTTCCGCGTGGTCATCACAAATACCGCAAACCATCTTCTCATCCCACGGCTGGGTTTGGAAAAGGTGGCCCTCGATCCAGCAGGTGCCTTCAGCGTTGGTGACAGGCTGAACCGTGGCCTGTGGAACGATGGTGGACGCAGCGATGGTCGACTGGGCGTAAACCGACGGTGCATAGGTCGATCCGTGGCCAGAAACGGTGTTTACGGTGGTCACCGACAGGTTGGATGCGTGTCCGAGGAAGGGTACACTAGGGCGTCGTGTGATACCTCGCATTTCCGCTCCAAAGGAAGAGCTTCTCCGCGACATCGCATCGAAGTGGCCAGAGCGCTTTTCACGCAGCGAAGCCTGCAGAGCCATACCAGAGTCTGTCCGTGACGACGGCGTTGGCGGAGGCGGAGGAAAGTGTCCGGAAGTGGGTGAGCTCTCTCTGGGGGATGGGGGAGAGGCTCCGGCCCTGGCAGTCGAGGCCGTCCCTGGGCGTTCATAACCCTTGGAGGAAAAGCCACGCGAAGGCGCCTCCTGGCGGGCGTGCAAGAAGGTGTTGAAGATTGGTGCCTGGTAAGACCCCGGAATCACGGCATTCGGGCCAAATGCGCTGGAGTTGAGACTGACATATTTCGCCAGATTAGTCGGCGGTGCTTTGGAGGAGAAGGTGGCCGTGTTCTCCGTCAGGAAGGTGTCCCAGGGGTATGTTTCAATGGCGTACGCAGGCGGGCCAGTGGGGACACCGCAGCGGGTGTGATGGGGGGCAGCCATCTGCAAGAGTGACAAAAGCTTTCGACGCTGGTGACGGGGAAGTGGGGTGGGCCGGATGGTACTTTCGATCATATCGGAGTCCAGATCCACCAGAACAAAGTCGTCGGATGGCAATTCCACCTTCTCATAGCGCCGCTCAATACCAACGATGTATGGGCATGGCGCCTCGATGGCTTGAATCAAACGCGCGGGAAGCACCGGGATGAGGACACCGGTCCATTGAAGTGGGAACAGAAGATCCACCAAAGCCCGGGTCGCAAGATAGAGCATAGAGGTGTGAGATGAGAGGAAAATGATTCGGGATTCCGTGAGGGCGTACTCGAACAGAATGACAATATTGGGGACGGACAGGGTTCGGAACAGCGCGTAAAGATCAGTATTTCGGGAGCCTGGAAGCTCATTGGGTGCCTCTTTCCGCGCAAACAGTCGCAATTCTCGAACGGCCAATTCAACCTGGGTTTTGGACGAGACCGGGCAGAATGCTTCGGTGCACAGGTTCATCACATATCGCTCTAATGGCTGCCAAAGGCCCATCCGTGGCGAAGGAGGCGGCACGCGCTGGACAGCGCCATCCGTCATGGGCACAATCACGGCCTTTAACCATTCCTTCCAGAACGTAGTCATCGTGCTCTCCCGTCCAAGAAGGCCATAGGCCCGGGGAATCCAAAAGCCGGTATCGCCGTCGGTCAAGCCCTCAATCTTGGAGGCTGCGCCGTGTCGCACAGGGCGCAACAAGTCGGTCATCAATCCGATCTTCTCCTCCACCGCACTGATCGCATCTTCGAGCTGCTCGCGCGAGTCTGACCCGGAGGGGACCGTCGGGAGCTGCGCCAACAGTTGCGATAGTTTGGCCCGCTCAGATGCCAATCTCTCACCCAAGCTGGCTGCCAGCTCGCGTTCCTCGTCCGTCATGTTATCCTTCCGCCACTCTTCACAACGCTTCTCCAACTCCTCCGCCGCTCGCGGGTTGAGGGGAATCCAAATAATCACACAGATCGCATGCAATTTCGAGCCATTGTCCGTAGTCATGGCAAACCCGTGCCAGGTAGACCGCGGACGCTGGTCCGACGAAACAATATTAATATCATTCGGAAAGGCGAACATGGGAACATAGTCAGGAAGATTGCCGCGCTGCTTCAACTCCTCTGACATGCTTCGGTTAGGGTATCGATCGAGGAGAACGGGTTCGAACCGGCGTTTCAAAGGGTGCATGGAGGGGGAGATCTCGAGGGGTTGCGGGACAGGAATCACGGAATTGTAGTTGCTCAGTCGACGGGAGGTTCGCACGGAAGCTGGGACGGGCAATTGGGTCAATTATCGTTTGAGACGTGTTGGGACTCTCACTCACCTTGACGAGCTACGGACGGCTGCCTTTTCATACTGTTCATGTCGCGAAACGACATATGCCGTCGCACACTCCCAATGCCCGATCGGAGAAGATTATTGGACCCCGGGGCCGGCGCCTCATCGACAATCTTCTGGGTGCGCACGCGCGACCGCGGGCGCGAGTTCGGGGTGATGGCCCCCGCACTCAGACTCAAATCCGTCAGGAAGGTGTCCCTCTCCGACGCGAACTTCAGGAGCGCCTGATCGAAATCGAAATCCTCCAGAAACATCGACGGGCCGCGCGGCGAGGGCGACGCACCCTTGACAGTCACGCTGCTGCGGTTGCTGCTGGTCCCATTGGACTGCTCCGAGTCCCTGGAGAGCGTGGAGAGGCGGTTGTTGGAGCCCCCGCGCTCGTTGCCCACAAACAGCGTGGAGGTCGGCCGGGATGAAGCCTCTGTAGGCTTGTGCTCCTCCTCTGCATCTTCCTGGATCACATCTGCGAGGGCCGGGCCAGGGGATGCGGCGCCATTCATGCGATAGTCCTCGCCTAGTCGCTTGAAGGTATCCAGGACCTCGGCGCCATCCACACCGGCAATCCAGAAGTAGTCTGCGAGAGGGGCCCCCTCCATGGTGGCACTCTGCGAGGGCATGGTGGCGAGCGCAGCAGGGCGTGGCAGCGTGAATTTTCAAGGAGGCCTTGACACCGCATGGATTGTGGAGGGATCTCCGACCGCATCAATCAGCGAAGGGTAATGCGCAGGAGGGAGAAAGAAGATAATTGCTAATGAGGCCCCAATTAAATATGTAATCGGCAATGTCACTCGTGGAGGAAAAGAGGGAGAGAGAGAAGGAACAGGAGGCAGAAAGGAAGAGGAGAAGGAGGATGGAGGGGTGAAGGTCGATCATGTATTGGCAGAAAGAATACACCCCAGTCCAGCCTTGGGCTTGTATGGACACTACGACTGGCCTCCTCTCGTTCGGCTATCAACCGATCTTCTTTCACGTTCGCCTATTAATTGTGCAATTCCCCTTCCCTCCAGGACCGCGGCTGCGTGCGTAGATAGCCAGTGGTAACGCAATTACTAGCTGGTAACCCACGGTGGCACAGGCACTCCACTTAGAAGTAACGAAACTAACTATGAAAGGATACCCGTCAATGGCAGGCTATGAAACTCTTTGCACCCCTGCACCAAGCCCGGGGAGGAGGATGAACTCAATATGAGCATGATTCTACTATCTGTCTGAGTCGGGTGAACGCAACTCCACCAACACTCATGGTTCGGTGGAGCGATTCGCTCTCGATGCAATTCATGGTCGGGGATGGAGTCCGGAGAGCCACCCAAGCTTGTCGGGCCCATGGATTTTGGGGTTGATTTTTATACCGTCGTTACCTGGAGCAGCGAGCTTCGTCAGACCTAAACTTCCAGACGTTATCGCGCCGTTTGGGTTGGGGGCGGGATCCCTAAAAAGCAGCCAAGTGAGACATGGCGCCGACGGATGAAGAATGGACATTAGTTAATCCAGTAGTCCCAAATCAGTCGAGAGGTTCTCTGGCTAGGGGCCAAAAAGAGCAGGATTGCTCGGAGACGGCCGAATCTGTGTGTCCCTCCAGGCGCCACCAGCATGCTGTAGGGACTCGGCTCGGTGGGTATTGGGTCGGGCGATCGATGCCTGATCCGGGTGGTGGAGCGTAGTGAACGAGTCTGTGTCGGGAGAATCGTACATGCTGGGCGCGAAGAGTATAGATGCAATCAGAGTTATTTGCCTCGTTCGTGCCTGAGTTGACCCCTGGCCAAGACAGCCCGTTAGGGTGGCTGCATCCCGACCGACATATGGACATTGCTTTTGCCCACGCAGCGGTGGACAGTCCTCTCCTCGTCTGGTTTGACATGGTCTCTCTCTATTGGTTCTTCTTCTTATTATCATGATCACTATCACTCCTATCACTAGGATGGAGGAATATCATAAAATCTAGACCAAGACGTTCAGCTGCACACTGAAACTTCCAGCCGGGGCTATGCAGGCCATGCCGGGTCTAGAACTGTCGGGACGCATGCCCGCTGGTCCGAGTGTCAGGCAGGTGCGGCACTAGGTATACACGGCCATGTTTAAATCCTGGTCGGGTGGGAGGATGTTGGATTATGTGAGGCATGGATGGATAACTCGGCACTTGGTTGTTGGGCTGTCTCGATGTGTGTGGGCACATCCTGGGTACTGGGATACGCACTGGGGGACGGCCCCTTGCCGGCAGGTAGATGTTGTGCAACCTCCCCGGCAGAGGGTATCTATACCTTATATATGGAGGCTGTGTAGACGGGTACAATAATATGCGAGTATCCTTCTCCATCTCGTTTTTATATACATGGAAGAATCCGATCCCTGCACGGTCCGATATCTCGGAGACAGCCCTAACTGCGCTTCCGGCTCATCAGATTCCCCGTCGTCAAAAATCCTTTATCGCCCATCGCCCCTCGCCATTCGATCGACAACTGGCCCAGTGACGCGCGCCCATCGCGCCTCAAATCCTTCTGCAGCGCTTCCAGGCCCTCCGTTGCGCCCTCTGCCTGCTCCACCAGGAACGCAACCTGCAAGACGTCGCGCGGGTTGAGCGTCGGGGGCGGCGGCGCCACTGACATGTCCGGCATGGTGGCGTCCTGGCTGAGCGATCGCGATGTGAACGGCGCCTTGGGGCTCAGCCGGGTTTGCTAGGTGGGGTGGATTAGCCATCGAGCTAGAAAGACAAACTAAATACCCGACGACTCACAGTCACCACAACCGACCCATCCCCCACGTTTTCCAGCTGTGCCTCCAGTGCAAAGCGCAGCAGCCGTGTCTTTCCGTATGGGCCGAGAGACTTATTCTCCACTTCCAGCGGCGGCAGCTCCGATGCCTTAGTGCGCACGCTGAGGCACGGTTGCGCGACGAACTGGTATAATTTGCGAAATGTGCGGACGCGTCCGCTAGCCGCCTGGGCGTCTGTTCCAATACGTGTTTCCGTGTAGCTGACGCTGACGGCGAGGATATGGTTTCCTTCTTCCTTCAGGTCAAACCGGACGATCTTTTGTAGAGACTCCTCGTTGGCCAGCCCAGCCTCTGACGGGGCTTTGTCGTTGCCGGTTGTTGGTTCGAGTTCGAGAGCTGCGACTTGAGAGGGGGTTTGCATTTCGGCGACTATGCGGACGGATGTCACGATGCGTCCGGATTCGTGATGTGGGATTTCATTATTGGCGCTTAGTGTGCAGGCGAAAGTTTCGCCGACGTAGACGGATCCGAAGGCTGGGGGAGGGTGAGCTATGTAGTTGTGTCAGCGTCGATCGGTCGGGGTTGCTGGTTCTACTCACAGCAGGTGCGAGAATGAATTGGTCGTCGGCTTCCTCGGAGGGATAGCTTAAGGGTGCTCGTGCTGAGATCTTGGTGTTGGCGGCGGGGAGAGGGTATTGGTGGGATAGCGACGGACGCGAGAGACTAGGAAGCGTTAGAAGCCACGGCCGATAGAATTTCAGACCCAGCAAGCTAACCGGAGGACTGTTGAAAAGCTCATGGTCAGTATGCCTCGCATTGAATTCGTGTCTGTTATCGGCGACGTACCTTTCAAAGATATCGCATGGGGTTCCTTGGGGGCATCGGCGCCCGACAGAGCTCGTGGTCGAGCCATCGATGGAGAAGAGCGTTGGGAATAGTCAGTTAGGAGCTGGTCATGTTGTCATCCTGGCGGTGATAGACGGTGGATTGGAGTGGAGTGGGTTCGTGCTTCTCCGCGAACACACTAACTTGACCGATAAGAGCTGGATGCAAACACTGCAAACACTGTTGTTATCCTGGACTACGTAGTATTTGCCTTCCTGCTTCAGCATCTACCTACCTACTCGACTCTCCTTCGAACACAATAAACAGATCCCAGCAATATGGATCCCGGTGCAGTGGGATGCGCAAAAGCTTCGCGCAAGAGAAAATCAACTGAAACCGCAGTGCCATCCAATGCCGAAGTGATCGACTTGACCGACAACCATACCCCGGCGCCCAAACGCACACCCCGCGCCAAAAAACAGCGACGGGAAGAATCCAACCCGCCCGCTACGCCCGAACGTCGCCTGCGAAGGTTCCGTACCCATCCACCGGCGTCGTGCATGGATAGATTGCGTCGATCGAGAACCCAGAGGTGCGTACACCAAGTTGCTCGTCTAGAAACCCTCACTGATGGCGCGTATCCAGGATGTATGTGGTAGGACACACAGTGGGCGGCACGGGAGACGTACCGGAGATCTCGTTTGACATGGTCGGCACGACGGGGAATCTGTACAAGACCGTGATTGGGAAGGTGCCATGCTGCGACTGCCCGGACGCCATGAAGGGGAACCAGTGCAAGCACATCTTCTATGGTATGTTTTTCGCGTAACCCGGTGTCCTCATGGCCTACCAATCATCCACTATTATTATTTATTCTTATTTCCTCGTGCTGATGATGTATACAGTGCTGGTGAATGCGCTCAAAGCACCCGAACACCTCCAGTATCAGCTCGCTTTCCTTTGCGACGTAAGTTGGCAGTCTTTCGGTGATGCACCAGGCTAATCCGTTGCTTGCGGCCGCCATTAGGAACTCCGTGAAATGTACCATGGATCTCCCCTGCGCCGCGGACAAGCTGCTTCCACCGAAGACACGGGCGGCAAGCAGAGACCCGTCGAGGGGGACTGTCCCATCTGCTTCATGGAATTCGAGGCAAACGAGGCCATCGTTTTCTGCCGCGCGGCCTGCGGAAACAACATTCACAAGGCCTGTTTCGATCAATGGGCCGCCACCACCCGTACTTCCGGTGTGCGTTGCGTTTACTGGTGAGTTCTGGTCAAACGCATTCCTTGCAGACAACCCGCTGACACAAATAAAATCAGCCGAGCACCTTGGAAGGTCAATACGCCTAATCATGACCTTGAATCTCTCAAAAAAGATGGCCGTGTCAGTGCAGAAGGCTATGTCAATGTGGCGGAGCAGTTTGGATTGTCTGGTGAACGTGGTATGAGACCGTCCCTATTGCCCAGCTTTGCCAAACCCACCATTCGTTGTTAACTAACAAATTTTTGGCTTGCGTGCAGAATGGTCCTCGTACTCGCCTTGGTTCAACCGTCGGCGAGGCACGACGTCACGATACAATACATATGGAGACCCCTATGGCTCGAATGACCTCTCTTGTGACGCAAATGGTGTCCCGATTTCGTGACAAGGCTGGCTTATTCTCCATCAACCCTATGGTCTGATTATTTTGATAGTGTTCAAGGAGGTTGTGTGCTGGTCACCGCTTCAATGGAGCTAGGTACTAGGTGGTTGTTTGATTCATAGATACCCCAATTGCTAACTGCTAATGATTACGATTTCAATTACCTTGCCTGAAAGCTGATAGTACGGTAGACTTGGAGACGCCACAATCCTCTTTTGGGCTATGAATCTCTATTCTATCAGCCAACGACATACTACGTATACTACATACTATATACTATGTCAATACATCGATATGATGTCCGACACAATAAGGTAGGACATGCCGGTCCATCTAACACTACATACCGTAAGGTCTGCTTCCATTTGATGGCGGTTTCCGGTTGTACTGATGAGCAATCATCACCAACTGCCTCTCTGTCTCTCCCTCCCTCTTTCTCTGTTCAGAGCCCTGCCTCGCTCCGAGGATTATCAGTCTTCCATGGGCTTCCAGAGCCCCTATCATGTCCTCAGCCCGACATCTTTAGCTGGCTTTTACCTATTCCCTTCCAATATTCTCAACAACCCAGACGTTCGTTTTGCCGATACCTGCCATTAACTTCTATCTCATAACTGACCTACCTTCCAACCAGCCCACTGCTTCTTTATTACCGAAGCCTTTCATCTCCCTCACTACTTTGTGCATCACTTCCACCACCGCAACCATCCCGAGCATCAAACTCCATCACCACAACTATGAACACACTCTCTACCTCTGAAGAATCAAACCCGCACCTAGATACGCCGCACTCCCAATCCACCCCCGAAACAACACCCGATCAAGGCACCCACCTCCCACAACACGGTTTCATCCTGCCGGACAGCACCCACATCCTCACCAACGCCCTCTACTTCGACGACTGGCTCCACAAAGCCCTCCACACAACCCAACTGCACAACCTGCACCGCCTGCTGAATATCAACATCCCGCGCCCAGAGCTCAACGGTAGCATCCACGCCGTGCGCTGGCAGGACTACTCTCTCCAACTAAAAGACTGGCTCGCGCGCAGCATGTCCTCCGAGCTCTACGACCAGATCGCCTCATCGGGCCGCCCCATCGGTCTGGCGGACGAATTCATCGCCGCCGCGCGGTCGACTTTCCAGCGTCCCGACATGGCATCTACCACAAGCTTTGTGAATGCCGTTCTCTACGCGCGTCGTGCGGATTTCCCGTCTGCGGCTCGATACCTTGTTGCCACCAGGGAGGCGTACCGGTTGTGTTTTCAGCGGAAGATTGATATCAAGCCCTATCTTGTGCTGTCGAGGGTGTGGAGTGAGCTGAGGGGTGAGATTCCGGATTTGGTCGAGATGCAGATTGGCGCTGTTGAATCCAAGGGCGGGAATGTTTGGGAGGACGTTGGTGTTAAGGATTTTATGGACAGCTGTGCGGTCATTCTGAGCCATTTGAAGTTTTTGGAGCAGGTAAGGGTGGTCATGAGTGATTTTGTAGAGGATGGCCAGTTCTGACTGAGTAGGGGAGGGATTGGGGTAGGCAAGCATGTTTCTGGGAAGAGGAGAGGATACGGATACTTTTGAATTGTAGCTATGGACAGTGAGGATTTAAGGAATTGGAAGACTCTTCTGTCAATCTCCCAAAGATTCCCTGCCAGGTATAGTGAAAATATTATGTATCCTATGCCCTACAGACTAGGTACTATCCAGAGTAATCACCCAATGCAATGTAGATTGTATCATTCATTCATTCCCAAGACGCCCAAGACAAACCAAATATGGGTATCACCGCAAAACACCAGACGCAAAAACCAAATAACCAGCATCTTACAGATGCTTCCGGACCCGTTCCCCCTTCCGAACGACCGCCATGCTAACAGCTTCCTCGCCCGTCATCCACGACGGTATGCGCTCGGGATCAACAATGCCCAACTCTGCAAGTCTGCGGATCCCGCCGATAACATCCGTCCCCGCGAAACTGAGTGAGACTGTTGGTAGGGTCGAAGCAGACAGACCATCGTTATCGTCGTCATCACCGTCACCGTCTCCTTGCCCTGGTGGATCCAGAAGACGGATATCCAGACGATCCAACGGCGCATGCGCCATAGACGACCCTGCGGTCCCGAAACGGGAATGGATTGCGAGACGCCGTTTCTTGGATGACGGGGAGAGAGGCGTGGAATTATGGTCGTCACCTGGGCGTTTAGTCTTTGAGTCCGGATGGGGCTGGGCCTCTATGTTTCCTCGGTTCGCATTGTCCTCGGACGCCGCGAGAATCCCTTCTTGAATATACTCCTCCGGAGTGACCGTGTTGGCAGGACGGGGATCCAACGGACTCCCTTCAACGACCGCATCGGCGAAGATGCTAAATGAGCCATTTGCGGCGTTGGAGCGGCCAGGACCGCGGATCGCTAACAGCGTTGACAGGTTTTTCGCGGCCAGCGATGTCGCCTTGAGGCTATACCGTTCTTGGGGGCGCGAGAGAGCTTTGGGGATCGCCTCGCGCACTATTCGTTGGAGACTGCGGGAATCGGACGCCACGGAGTGGGTTGTAGGAGTCGCCGGGGCCTTGAAGCCCGTGGATGCCGAAACGGAGGTGTAGATGAAGGGACAGCTGTCTGGGAACGCGACGTAGATGACTCGCGATGAGTCGGTAAAGATATCAGCTGTCTGACGCGGGGATTGATAGGGCGAGTCCACGACAAATACCCGGAGGAATGTCAGGGGCAGGGTGGATGAGCGAGCGAGGTGGTAATGCGCTTTCACTAGAGGAGAAATCTCTCGTTGGAGTGCCCGCACGAAGGTTGCGGCCTGGATGCGCGGGATACTCGCCGACCAGTCCGACGGCGCTGAGTTGCTGGCAGACTGTTTCCGCCGTGGGTCAATGCGATTAAGCTCCAGCGCGGTCCATCGCAGGCTGGCCGGGTGGTCGTCCATGTAGCGCAGGTCTGCCATCGCCAGCTGTCGCAAAGTGATACCATGTCGCCAATCGCCTTCCAAAATCCGCTCGAGAACTTCCCGCTTGCCGCCCTTGCGCTCCTGGAAGTCCTGGTATACCTGGCGAACCTCCTCGATTGTTTCCGCGGCGGGGTACGGAAGGGTTTCCTCTTCCTCGCCACTGGTGTCGTCGCGCTGTAGATAGGGCGGAAAAGAGGTAACATGTCGATCTTCGAGCCATATCTGGGTCAAGTCTAGTAGGGATTGGCGAGACAGTTTGCCGAGGGTCTTCACGAGAGAGGGAGTTGTTGACGGGATGCGGAGGTTGTTTGGGAGACTGGCCGTCGTTGGGGCGCGCACCGTTTTGGGACGCGCCATGTTGGCTGGAGGGTGAGAGAAGATGGTGGTATGATGTTTAGTATCAGGCGAAAGAGAGGTGCGTCCTGTTTCCTGTTCGCCGTGGATGTTGCTGTCAGTAGTGCTCGACCCGATCCGAAACATCAACAATGGGTCACGTGGAGATAAGGATAATAAATGAAGTCATGTGATCCTAGATTATACTGCCATAGAGCGCAGTCTGAATCCAGTCTACGTTTACTTGTACGTTTGAAATCCGGATCGAAAGGCATTTGCGCAAAGGACCAGCTACCAGTGCACTATTGGAATACATCTCAAAAACCTTGGGCCCCCACCGCAGCGGCCGTGGCTGAGGTCTCCTTCAGTGCTTGCAGGCCCAAGCTCAAATTGATCTTCCGCTGCTATAGCTTTGCGCCTTTACCGCCAGCACTTCTTCCCGCACACTACTGCCGGCGCACAGACGCAGGGTCAAGTGTTGGACAACAGGATTAATAATCTTTCGGACCCTCCTCGGGAGTGATAGGATGCCCAGGACGCCTCTAGGACGCTGACAAATGAGGCAGCCAATCAGCTGCCGAGAAGGGTGGGCATGCCGGGTCCGGGTCAAAAAGGCGCGCTTGTCGCTGGATTTCGGAGTGCCCGGATAGGGTTTAGGGCGGGCGATTACCAATCTCCATTGGATGGGGGAAACCCGCTCCGACCATCGGCCTTGGGGGACTGAATTTTCACAACGGCAGACGACAGAGACGACAGAGACTATAGAGGGTAGGAGAACAACAAGGCAGTCATGAGAGAATAGGAAATATCATGAATCCGAGAGTAATCATAAAATCATTCTTCTGATAGTCTACATGGAGTATGTCCTGTGAATTATTAATGCCGATCGAGGACAAAGATTAGTTACATTGTATAGTCATCATCCCCTCGTCATCCGGGATCCCCCACCACTGCCGCAAAGAAATCCCCCGGTGAATCTGTTCTCCTTTCCATCCACCATCACCCACCCATCCCCCGCCATCGTCGATTCTACTTGACCAGATCACCTTGGCCATTCGCGATCTTGCCAACCCAACTCACCCATTTTCTCCCGACGCATCCGGCGCGATCGAGTCACACCCGGCGCACACCCGGCCTCTAAGTCACCCGGAGACGCGAACCCTCCTCTACAAAATCCACCCTTTGAACACCCGCCGCGGGCTCATTTACACAGACCTGTCACAATGGCCGGGTACAACGGGCGGCGGGCGCCCAACTTCTCGCAATACCTCGATGACCTGAACGCCATCCCCTCGCCCTACGATCAAGCGGTGCAACAGCAGCAGCAGCAGCAGAACTCCTTCAACGTCGACGACGAACTCGCTCTCTTTACCAATGCCGAGTTCTTTGATTTTGATAAATTCGGGGGCCTCTCCCTACCCACGTTCGACTCGGTGGATAACACCAAGACCGCCGGCGACCAAACATCTCATGAGGCGGACATGAAATTCCTCGATTTTCTGAATGGTGAGTCGTTTTTGCTTTCCTTCGGGTTTGGTTCTGTTCCTAGACTTCCCGGTCGCACGGGTTGGGTATCCCACCTTCACGAGTTCTGCCCCTGATCACACCATTTCTGTCCTTCGGTTTTCGCCGCGCTCTCTGCGGCTATTGGAACCGGGCGTGCATGGGCACCTGGATCATCCTATTGGCTTTCCGGTCTTCTGGCTATCTCCCACCGTCTTGGCATCGGATGTCGTCTTTTCGAGACTGTCTGTGTCCATCACGGCGGAACAGCTTGACCCCTGGAGCAATCCAGGGTCCTGCATGACATGCACGTTGTGGCCTGCGTGCAAACTCTTTTGTTCCCGCCAGACACGCAATGGACATTGGCCGTGGCAGGCGTGCAAACTCTCCGCTATCACGCAATTCCACGTGATTCGCTATGCCACTTACACACCACTGGAGTGATGAATGAGTGCTAATGTGCGTTGATAGATGGCTTGGGCAATATCCCTGACTATCCAACCGACTACAACACCATTAACGCCCCTACGGCGGTGTCGGTATCAGACTCGTCTTTCTCGAGTCCCCCCAATGGACCGGTGGCTGCGACCCAGGCTCCTGCGCCTGCTGTTCCCGTAGCTGCGCCCAACCTGGCCCCAGCTCTTGCCCCGAACCCTTCATCGACTGCCGTTGCTGGGCCTAAGCGCAAGCACACCCAAAAGTCGACGCAAGCTAGTGCAGAGGAAGCTGCGCTTGTCGCCGCCGAAGAGGACAAGCGTCGCCGGAACACAGCCGCAAGCGCCCGTTTCCGCGTGAAGAAGAAGATGCGCGAGGCAGCCCTGGAGCGCACTGTCAATGAGACAAACGAAAAGAACAGCCGTCTCGAGGCCCGTGTTGGTCAGCTGGAGCTGGAGAACAACTGGCTGCGCGGCCTGATCATGGAAAAGAACGGCGACACCAAGCGCAACGAGGAGGCTGAGAAGCAGATCTCAGATATGTTCCAGAAGTTCTTGGCCTCGCGGAACTCAGAATCCTCCGAGTCAAAGCACGGCGTGGGGACCAATGCGTGACCGCATTAAAAAAAGCAAAAAAACGAACAACAACCAAAAAAAAAGGAACCTTCCCAACAATATTCTGATTGATTGCCCCGCTACTTACTCGGTCCCATGCTGCCTTTAGATTTGTGATTATTGATTATTTGTCCATATTTTTTGTGCTAGCGATTTCTTGTTGATCTGCAGCCGGAGAGTTAGTGAGTGAGGATGGCATCTGCAGGTTGGGGATAGCAGACAGCCATGAGTGATGATTGTTCCAGCAGTAACTGAAAATACACTGTCTTGAATCTATCAATCATATGATGAATCGTAGGAACACCGTACTAGATCCTTTGAGAAGCTGTAGTTATTCTTGTCCATGAACTAACTACAGAGACCATTCCAAAAGCTCTTGGCGCTCAACCTCGGCCTTGAATCCCACACCTCAAAACATCTCCCACACATATTGCAAGCATGCCCAATCATGTCCTCAGCAATAACAACAACATATCGCTCCCTCCCAATCCTATTAAGCTACGTCACCCTCTGTGCAACCCTCTCCCTCCACACCTGTCAAACCATCCACGCCCGCTACAGAACACGCCAATCCCGCAATGACTACTCCTCCATCACCACCAACCCGTGCCGCCACTTCTGGATATTCGTCTTCCTAGCAGCCCTCAGCCTCGCCGCAACATGGAACTACATGTTCGCGTTCTTTGCGCACTCATATCACGCCTGGGCGGGGAGTCAACAATCTCAATCTCAGCAGCTGTTGCTTGCTGCTGCCGGTGGTAGTGGTAGTGGTATGGGTAGTGTGGGGAGTGGGGTACTGTCAACATCAACCATCTTCAAATTGGAGATGTGGTTACGGGACGCGAAACTTTTTCGCGAGGCGTGGGAGACGGTTATCGAGTCGCCGGCACGGTTTTGGTGGAGCGGGCAGATCTTCCTTTGGGCTACGGGCTGGAGTCTTTTCTTGGGGGTTATGGGTATGTGTTAACGTTCAAACTTCTCTCTTTGGATCTGTCAGATTGTGATTGTGATTATATGGATTGGGAGCTCACTGACTCCCTCGCTGCTATATAGCACGGAGATACCGCATTCCCAATGTCTGGGTGTATATGGTCGTCGGGCAGATCGTGGCCATCTCTTTCGCACAGAATTTGTTTTTTGCTACAATTATGGTCTCTAGGATGAGGTCGTCTAGCCATGACAATGGCAATAAACATGGTACTGATGACAAGTCCGACAAGGACATGGACAATCACCATGCATGCACCTGGACACCACCTCTCCTCCTGGAACTAATCCCTATCGCGACGTCACTGCTCAGCACCGTCCTCGTGCCATCCACGGCACATACCAAGCATTTCATGCTAATCTTGTTAATTCCGCACCTCCTACTTTTCGTTCCGGCCATGCTCCGTCCCCGTAACTGTCGCTCGTCTGGGGGTTCTGATGGTAGAACTTCCCGCAGCGACAGCATCGATGTCGATGCTGCGACGAGGCGCTACGTCGTCTTTTTCCGCTGGATCTTTGCATCCAGTCTACTTGTGCAGGCTGTTTCTACTGTAGAGGTGGTTAGGGATGTGGTTGGGACCGGGTCGGGAACAGGGACTGTTGATGGTTTTGTTGCTTCGTGTGAGGCTGTTGTGCGGGCTTTGCTCCATGCTGTATACGAGCATCCTGCTGTTAGTAGTGTGAGTTGGGATGTTATATTCTGTACTGTTGGGGCTGGGACGTGGTGTCTTGTGCATGGTGGAGATCCGTACAAAATGCTGGGTGGGAGGCCAAGTGCTAAGGATAAGGGTGAGAAGGACGAGTGAGACATATAACTTGAATCAACATATGCTTATTTTTCAACATGGGGTAGTTCCCAAGTTGGTCCTTCTATTGCCGTCTTGCAACAACAACCACCCCTCTAACAACACCACTCCTTGCCCACCACCCAAACACCGCCCTCGCAGCCCTGAACTTCCCCATCTTCATCCCCAGCGGCTTCCCCTCCTTGACCCTCACATCCAAGAACGCAGCTAATCCTACAAAAACATGCCTCGAAACATCGCGGATCTCAATGCTCCCAGAATCATATCCGGCCGCCACGAGGAGCCGCTCATACTCCGCCCTCGAGATAAAGTTTCCAAAAGGTGACCCGGTTAACCAGCACACAAGTCGGAGGAACAGGCGGTCTCGCCAGGAGACGCTGTCTGCGAGGATGAGGTCGAACGCCATTACCGAGGCGTGTAGGGAATCGTGGGCGTGTTTGAGGAGGGGAAGGCGCGAGGGTCGGAAATGGTACATTGTGTCTAGGGCGAGGAGCCATGTTGTTTTTGCTTTTGCTTTTTCGGAAGAAGAGGAGAGAGAAAGAGATTGGTGGAGGTCGGTTGGCCAGTTCTTGGGGTCTGCGGCGTCTGCACAGAATATCTCCGCTGTTTTCTTTTGGTTGATATCGCTGTCTCTCTGCTGCATGTTGTGGATCCGTTGCTGCGCAAGTGCAGCCTGCGCTGGCTCCAATGTGATGCCCACGTAGGAGTCGATCAGTGGCCGTTCTGTCGAGGAGCGATGATTCTTCCCTCTGGCTCGCAGACCAGAAGGCATATGCACATCACGACTGTCGTCGCCATCAGGTTTCATGAATCCCGTCAGATATAGCGACTGATCACCACATCCACAACCCACATCCACGATTCTAACACCGTGGCTGTCGCTTTGATCTTCAGCCAACAATCCCGCGCTCAGCACCTGCTCAAGAAGCGCCTCACACGCCTGCGGGAAATCTTCCGTATGCTATATCCGAATGTCAATATTCTTCATTCCGTAAACAAACACAAAAGACTCACCTCCCAATACCCCATATTCATCCACATGGTCTGCGGCGGCAGCCGCACATTGAGGACTGCATGGTCCAGCCCGTACACGTCCCGCGGCGGGGACAGGATCCGGCGGAGCCAGCCAAGCATAATATGCAATGGCTTCGCTCTTGATGACGAATTTTGAACACTTGGTGTAGGGCAGAGAAGACTCTACGGGATGGGTCGTGTAGCAGGGTGTTGTTGATGATCCCTGACGTGAGCGGGTTACCCGCGCCAAGCATTGTTGGTTATGGTGGAGGACGTATGGAGTCTGCGTCTACTCCACACCCGGCTTTGGTATGTTTAGGGATTACTATTATCTTCGCTTGATTGTGCTTTGGTGTACTATTCAAATTAATAGGGAGGTATGGAGTCCCAAGTTGGCGAGCGAGGACGGACGGGTTGACGACCGACTTTTGTAGATTTGAATAGATAAGACTAATTCATGAATAGTAGTATTTACTGTGTGGGATCCATTCCAGCATGGAAAAAAAGCTCTTATATTCAGATGCTCAGATATGTTTTATTATTCATCGTGACAAAATGCAAGGCCGAAATGTAAGACTGACTTGGGTATATGAAGTGTTGTCAAGAAACCTCTCTCCTCCGCATCTCGATGCATTTGCATGGCCTGTCATTCTTCCATCTGCCACGGTATACATACCCCCAAGTCCTTCGCAATCCTCATCGCGGAGACAATGCACCCCTCCAGCAAAACCATGCCATCCCAGCACCACCCACCGGCAAGATATACGCCGTCATCGCCACTGCGCCAACTATATAATGAGGAACTTTTCTTCAGAGGATCCGGATCCTGGAAGATGGAGTTGACAAGCATCCGGCTGTGTGGATTGCGCAGGACGCGCGTGAAGCGCGCAGAGCGGATCACCTTTGACTGATCGGGGTGGAAAATGGGGTTTGTCGTCACGAGGATGGAGTTTGGTTGTTCGTGGATGGATTCGGTGGTGAGATGGGTGGAAAGAATGTGGATGCGCTGGGTAGTGCGGATCTGCGTGACAGGGCTCTTCTTCTTCCCTGGCGATAACGAAGAGGACGAGGCTGTTGCTTGCAGCATGGGTCTGATGCTAGACTCATCTGTGTGCGCGACTGTCTCGACCGTTGTCGTCGGGATGCTGGATAATGGCTTGTTTAAGCGGGGGAATAGTGAAGCAGCGATATCAGGCGAAACGGCCAGCACGATGAGGTCGAAATGTTCAGATTCCGTGCGGCCATCGGCAGCACGGTACTCGATGTCCACACCAGTATCTTGCGGAGAGACACTCGTCAGCTCAACGCCCAGCCGCACATCCAGCCCCTGTAGGAGCATCTCCTCGACAGAGCGCACACCCCCCGAGACGACGTAATGCTGTTGCTGGTGCGTGCGACGCTTATAGTCCAGCACATCCGAAGCCGGGAACTGCAGGAGCTCCTCGTGTGAACAGGTGCAAACGCTCGAGATGAGTGGGAGCAAGTAATCGGTAACATAGGAACGCGGCAGGTGAATTCGCCGCAGATACGCATCGAGCGACTCGCCGGCCGAACCAGTCCGCATGTCCTCGGCGACGGGCGTTACGAGGAAGACGCAGATGGTGAACCAGAAGTAGCACAGCATGGCAAACGCCGCCTCGAGCATCCACTGCACTAGATCCTGAGTGCGCGGGATGGGTGGGAGCCGGTGGAAATTGGAGGCGTAGATCATCCGCGGGCTGGGGATGGTTTCGCGCTGCGCTTGCCGAGGCAGGCGAGTGAAGCTGAAGAGAAATGGCTGCGAATGGTAGTTCACTCCCAAGTAGTCGTACATGCGGATGAGATGCTGATAGAAGCCGCCGGCGAAGGCGCGCATGGGCACGTCGGCCCAGGTAGGCTCATCCTGTTCATCTGAGGGGATGGCGATTGACTCCGCACTCAGCGAGATTTGTTTTCTCTGTGTTGACGGGTTAGTTGGGTCCAGTCCGCTCTCTGTGGGAGTTATTCCACTCACCTTCTCCAGCACTGTCACTTGAAATCGCCGCTGACTATCCTGGTGCAGCAAATGCGCTGTCACCAAGCCCGCCATGCCCGATCCCACGACCGCGACGGTTCTCGGCTGCGACGGGGCCTTGTCCATGGCTGCGCTTCCCCCGATCCCAGGGGATTGATTCTGTCAATGGAAACTAGGGATCTGGAAGCAACTGGGGTTTACATCAAGAAAAACCAACCCGGTCGGTCTCCTTTCCGTATTACGTAGGAACCGAGGCGGGGCACATGTGTGGTGGCTTAGCTCAGGGCAGAAGCATGGCCGAGACTTTTAAGGTTCTGCAGAAAGCGGGAGTACCGGTACCTGCGGTTCGCCTGGGCAACGCAGCTATTACTAGGTACCGGTACTTGGCCGATCAAGCTCGATCTGGCGCGCGCTACATCATCGAGCGGCGGTCATCGAGTGGCGGGTTTGATTCGGAGTTGAGAGTTTATTTTTTAGAAATTCACTCTCGTCGTCGGGCAACCAGCGGTAGCTAATACATAGAGGGTATCCCATGTCTGGCCGGCAGGGAGAGAGTTAGGTCTAGCAGGATCACATGGTTCCGAGCTATGGGGGAAGCCGGATTGGCCGTGTATGCGGCGTGCTATTATAGACGGAAGGGCATGAATATGAATGGAAATGTCATTAATGTAAAAAGAATCACTCATACCGCAGAGGGTATCAAAAGTCCATCCATCCCTGAAACGCCGAGTGATCAACCATCAACACCATAAAGTGTATCCGCCGGTTCTTCCGGTTCCATGCATCAAGTCATTAGAGATAGTTCATTCGAAGCCATTCAGGCTCAATGCCTTGCTTCACATCCCCAGGGTCTAAGCAATGCGTGACACTCCATTCCATGCTAGTTCTGCTTCGCCTCATCCTGAGAGTCGTCGTGGGTCTTGATCATCCCTTTGTCGTCATCCTTTCGCTCGACGGGCCTCTCGTCATCAGTCTCGTCGCCAGTGATCTCTCCCCAGCCGGAACTCCGGCGACTAATGCGACCAGGCGCCATGGCGAGAGGGCTGCCAACTCCACCGGAAATACTGGCCGCCGTGCTGTCGTTGCGACTGTGCGACTGCACGCCGCTGCGAATGCTCGCTGCATCACCCGTTCCGGGGCTCGGCCGGGCTGTGTGGAAGCTGGTTCGCTCCCCAGTAGCGCTGCCAAGCGGCGTGGCCCCCGACGACGAATAGACACTGATTCGTTCGGCACTGGCAAGGCCGGCCATGCTGGGTCGGCTGAGAACGCCAGGTGCATTGAAAGCAGACGTGTTGGATGGCTCGGCCGGGTTCCCACTGAGAATGCTCAGAGGCAAGCTCTCGCGACTGCCACCGAAAATCGACGACGGCGCTAGCGCACGAACAGAAGCGTTGGTGTCCAGGGAGTTCCGACGACGGCGCTTGGAGGAGCTGGCCAGAGTAAGAATGGATGCGTTATCGGTCAAGACATTGTTGGCCGTAGCAGTGCTGTATGTCATCGAGTGGCCGTGGGGAAGGAGGTGCGGGGGCGGGGGGACGGCCGTTGCGGTCGTGGATGACGAAGGGAACTGGTGGGAGAATTGCACCTGGTGATGGGTCGAGCTTTGGGTCGAGCTACCGTGGCCGTGGCCATTTTGCGTGTTTTGCGCGAGGTACAGTTGGGTTGACGGTGCTGCCGACTGCACAGTCGTCAGGGTTGTCGTCAAAGATCGCACCGACGGAGCCGGCGACGAAAAAGTGCTGCCCTCTCCTCCTCCATGGGAACTGATTCCGCCTCCGCCTGTTGCCAATGTTCCAGCCTTGTTAGAGTATGCCGTCTCCGAGGCTGCTGTGTCACCGTTGGTGGAAACAGTGGGCGCAGCCGACTTTGCGCTCGCGGCGGGGATTGCGTTCTCATAGCCCGAATAGACAAGCGAAGGGTCACTTCGTGAGTGAGATCCCTGGAAGTCACGCTCCCCGAACTCTGAATACGAGCCATCTGGGTTACTCTGTGCAGCCGTGCGGCTGATGGTTCCGGATAGAGGATACGGGTTGTTGGATTTGGTGTCGTTCTTCTTCCCCTTGGTGCTGATGTGCCGTCTATTGGTCCAGCGATTCGTGCTCGACTCCGAGGAGCTCTTCAAGCTGGCAAGGCGCTTCATCCAGCTAGAAAAAGGGTGGCGACGGCCATTCCGGTCTTGTTATGCACTTGTCAGCTCCACAGGGGACATCTGGCATTCTCGCGGGTGTCTCACCGTGTGCCCTTGCAGGGCCTTCAGCTGTAGCCATCTAAGTAAACCTCTCAGCGTTAGAACAGACTCCAATCACGGTGTCTCCGTGGTGAGGACAAGGGGAGACGACAAAGGGAGACTGGGAACGCCGAGGCAACAGGGTAGCTTGTTCGGAGCTGGGTTAATCCGGTCCTGTGACCACTAGTCCCTTTTAGTCTTGCATCACTTCATTCTTGCGACGTCAACATGCCACTCTAGGACGGGTGCTTTCCTGCGTATTATTCCGTCTCGACTTGGTTCCATCATGAAACAGTGGCTGAATATCAACATTCACCGGGATCTCATTTGGAGAGCTAGGCGTGACCATTCTCCATCCTGACATGCCTCGGTCTGATTTCGCCATACAGCCGCTTCCTCCAGATGTGGCGGCAAAGATCAAGTCTTCGACCTCCATTACACACCTGAATGGTGTGGTGTTGGAGCTTGTCAAAAATGCCCTGGATGCCAACGCCCATACCGTTTTTGTCACCGTCGATGTCAGGCGCGGAAGCTGTATAGTCGAGGACGATGGCGATGGAATTCTGCCGACAGAATTCGAGTCGTCGGGGGGTCTTGGCAAGGCACACCGTACGTTAATTAGTGAAGAATCTCAAGATATGATTGCTTATATGTGGCACAGATACATCGAAACTGGGGCTGACGAGCGCCTATGGCCATCGAGGTCTCTTCTTAGCCTCGCTGGCCGCCTTGTCTTTGCTCACTATCACATCCCATCATGCTGGATACCGGAGCACAAATTCCCTTCTACTCCATCATTCAACGCCAGTAGCTCGGTTAATACCGGCACCTGTGCATCAAGAGCTGCAGTGCAGGGATCACGGCACATGTGTCACGGTCAATGATCTGTTTGGAAATATGCCGGTTCGCGTCAAGAGTCGGGCCTTGGCTCTTCAGAGGCTTGGCGAACTCGACAGAGAATGGGACAGTCTCAGATACTTGCTTGTTGCTCTTATGGTGGCTAATCCTCAACTTTCGAAGTTGGTGCTTCATGATGCAGCAAGGAATAAGAAGATCTTAATCCGCCTTGGATCTCGCTTCCCCGGAGACAGAAATTCCAGTCAAGTGGAAGACGAATTGGATCTCAAGCGGATCGGTTCCATTCTTGCGCAGTCCGGAATAGCCTCTTCTCTGAACCTGGGCTCATGGCATACACTTTCAGCCTCGCTTCCCGATCTTACAGTTCGTGCCGCAGTTTCTCTCACTCCCAGCCCAAGCAAGAAGATCCAGTTCATCTCATTGGGTACCGAACCGGTGTTTTCGCATAATGGCTCGAACATTCTCTACAGCGAAGCTAATCGCTTGTTTGCTCAATCGGACTTTGGCCATGAGGCCATACTTGATGATTCATCTGCGCTACGTGCCTCTCCCCTGCCAGAACGACCTGTTACGGGTAACTCCAGCCTCAAAGGTGGAACAAGATCCGTCAACAAGTGGCCAATGTTTTATATACGTGTCGACACGAGTAGTGCTCGGCGATTATGCGACGATGGAAATGAGATCCTTCCCGAATCTGACAATTCCCTTCAACGAATAACAGATGTGCTGGGTGTGATGATTTCTGAGTTTCTCAAACAGCATGGCCTTCGTCCGCGCATGGTTAAGCGACGGGGACAGGCGTTAGGTCGAACCCAGCAGGTCAGTTCTGACGGCCAGAAAACTGTTAGTCAATCAATGGAGTTTGCAGGACAGAATGACTTCGTTTCGTCCACGGAAGAGGCTTTCTCAAGTCGTTTAAAGCTTCCATCTTTCCAGAAACCAAAGCTTGCCCATCCGGGCCGAGGTTTCAATAGCTGGTCCAGAGTGAAAGCAGCGAAGAATCCTCTGGCCAACACTGAGCCTCAGTCTCGACATGAAGACCCTGAATTCGGAAAATCATCGACCGAAGAGGAATCCTGGCTGTCGACGGATATCCAGGAACATAGCCACGCTACGACAGAAGGAGAGTCCCCTTTCACAGATTCCGACGCTTTCATCTCATGGGTCGAGCCAGCTACAGGGAAGGCTCACCTTATAAACTCTCGCACGGGGCAAACAATGATTCGCCGAAAATCCATTGCTGCCCTGAGACCTTGTTCCGCTAGAGTCATCACCGATGACTTGCGCAGACCACAGTCTGCCCCTGTTTCCTCACAAAGCGTGTGGGTAGAAAATCTTTTGAAGGAATGGAACAACCCTGTTTTCAGAAGGACCGAGAAACCTATTTCAAGAATGAGCACGGAATTCAACCACAGACTACCTGCACCTTTCTCTTCTCATGACTGTCTCAAGAGCATTGGCTCGCTGGATACCGCTCAGGTTTCGAAATTCCGAGGCAAGCTTGAACGACATGGTCTAGAGAATGCAGAGGTGATTTCGCAAGTGGACTGCAAGTTCATCCTGGTCAAAGTGAACATCAGTGACACGAACGACCATGGTGCTTTGGTGTTGATCGATCAGCATGCAGCCGATGAGCGGTGTCGGGTCGAGCAGTTGTTTAGGAAGTTCTTTCTGCCTACTCCTCAGGTTGAGACCATTGGCCAGAATTTCCGAGTGCAAACGGTTGATATCGACACCATCACATTCGAGGTCTCATCAACCGAAGGCAATCTGTTTAAGAAGTACAGCGAGTATTTTTTGCAATGGGGCGTTCACTACAACACCGAGCTAAAATCAGGCTCATCCACCGCTGTCCTGGTGACTTCACTCCCATCTCTCATCGCTGAACGCTGCCGGCTCGAACCGAAGTTGGTGATCGATCTGCTTCGTCGTGAGATTTGGACTCGCGAAGACGATAAAATGCCATTGGGGCCAGCGAGAAATTCATCTAGATTCAGATCTCAAGATTGGTCTCTGCCGGAGGAAGAAGACCAACACCATTTTCAAGTTGCCGGTCCACGAGATGGCACCTTTTCATGGGTGCAACAACTAAGCGGCTGTCCCCAGAGCATTATCGACCTTCTCAATTCCCGCGCCTGCCGCAGTGCGATCATGTTTAATGATGCTCTGAGTATGGAAGAGTGTCAAACCTTAGTCTCGCGGCTGGCCCGGTGTGTGTTTCCGTTTCAGTGTGCCCACGGACGGCCTTCTATGGTCCCGATCTTGGATTTGCGGTCTTTGGCCGAAAGTACTGGCTCTGCTCGCTTGGATTTGGAGAAGGGCATGGCACCCAATTACGATCATAGTGGGGGAGTTGGGTTTTTGGAGGCTTTTCAGACACGCTACTCAACTGATAATGTACTTACGGGCAGAGGGAAATAGCTGGGATGACTGGCCTTGGATTTGTAGTATACGGAAGTTGGACTGGGTATATTACCAGTTGACTGCTAATTCAAAAGAACGATGGCATAATTTACTTGCACTCGTAGACCGGTTACTTTCTTGAACTATTCGATCCAGAGCGAGCAGAAGCGCACTTAACAAGGCCCTATCCTCGGGAACACTACCAGATTACAAGACTGACACAAACAACAACCGAATGACCGAACAAAAACATAGATTCAAAGTAATACAGCCGTCTATTGCGTAAGAGTACATATCTGAATCTTAAATTTTCTATTTTCGGCATCTCCTCTAGAAAAATGTGTAAGCGAACAGCGCGTACTGGTACTTCTGTCCATCCCTTGCTTGCATCCACACAAGCGGAAAGATTGAACATGACATGCTATGACTTGCATCAACGCAGGAAATAGTGAGCCATGAGGACTCTATTCTATGCAAGGATCGCCAACTATCGACGGGCGAATTTTCCTCGAAACAAGGGTCTGGATGGGCAGCTGGGGGTCGTGTTAATACGACGACGCCGGGGCAACCTATGTACTACTGCATGCCAGACCGGCTAGGTGGATACGGTGACGCAGTTGTGCGCCCAGTCAGCCAGTATGATCAGTCGAGTCTGGACAACGCATGGTGCATCAAACTACGGGATAGGAAGAAGGAAGGGGGCGAAGATACTGGTATGTAAACTCTGATTTCTATCTGATCAGACTCGGAAATCGCCGGGCCGGACATGATGATGGCAGCGCCGGTGGTGGTTCTATGTACAGAAAACCCAATAGTGCAACCCATCCTTCTTTCCAAGGGCCAAGCAAGCAAAACAAGAAGGAAAAGCAAAAGGAAGTGGAAGCGATAGATAGTGTCACAGAAGATCCACCCATGACCAAACGCAACTGAATCAACAGAACAAAAACACAAGACCCTGTAGGAGGGAGAAAGAGGCCAAGTAAAAAGCTTTTGCATTTCGGGCAGCTTTATAAGTGTTCTTGTACAGAAGCCGTGAGGCGAAATCCTTTCTAAGGATTTTTGAGACAGATAGTAAAGTAAAAAAGCGAAAGAAAAAGCCCTGTGTTGTACTCCAGATTGTCCCCAAAAAAACCCCGGACCGTTTTGTAAAGCAAATCCAGTCGCCCCTTTTTTGGTTACATCCTCGGCGCAACCATGACTCAAACGAAACAAACAGAAATGCACGAGCGCCACCCAAATATAGGGAATAAGGTATTCACAGAACGTAGGACAAGATTTGGAAGGAAAAACGATGCAGCCAGCATTGTAGGACAGTGGTCGGAATGATTCGCAGAAAGCCAAAAAAAAAGACTCCGGCAAACCAAGGTAAAAAGTACAAGGCAGAAGGTCATAAGTCATTATAAGGATGTTGGGTATAGACGAGATGTGTGGGGTGAAGATGAAAGAGGAAAGAGAGAGATCAGCCATGTGAGGCGACCGACTTCACTTTGGATTGATTTGTCCATGACAGGAAGTCGAACTTGTCTTTGGTGTTGTCACGCAGGGACGGATTGGACTCGGCGGTGTGCAAGTTGGTAGCGCTGCGATTAGCCTCGCGGGGCTCCAGGACCAGCGAGCGACGGTAGAAGGTCTGCAGGCTGGACTCGCCGTTGGAACGGACGCGCACCAGCTCGTTTTGCATCCAGGTCTGCAGCTCAGGGATCTCGGTGAGGCGATAGGGGATCTGGAAGCGCTGCAGCTCGCTGATGATACGGGCTGTCTTCATGTGCTTGTCGAAGTTGATCACAGCCATCTCGCCCTCATCGGTGGGGAGAGTGCGCAGCGACTGGTTGCCATGATCCACGAAGGTGAGGTCGGTGAGATAGGTGCCCACAAAAGGCAGGCATGGAGGAACATGGTTTTGCAAGCGCTGGCGCAGCACGGCGTAGTTGCGAGACACATCGACAATGCTGCGGAGGTGCTCCAGGGTGGCTTTGGTCTTCTGGGAGACGACTTCCCATGTCCTCTTGAGACGCGAGATCATTGACGAGTTGATCGAGCAGATGATCGCCATCAGCGAGTCATAGTTGTTCAGCTCCAGGCACTTGTTGGCGATCTTAACCCAGTGCTTGATGATCTGCGCTCGCTTCTTGGGCTCTTCGAGATGCAGGATGGAGTCCACAACCAGGTGGGCCAGATCTGTCGACAGGGTGGACATGGCGCGAACATTGACCGCCAGCGAGCCGGACTTCCTTGTCCATTCCGTGTCGAGGAGCTCCTCGGGGAGAATAGAGCAGAAGATGCGCGACTCCATGATGGTAAACTGGCGGGCCAGCTCCAATGGGTCGAAATCCAAAATGGTGATCGAGACTTCTCCGTTCTTCCACTGCTTGAGCAGGCTTGTCTCCTTCTTACCCAGAATGGGGGGAGGGAGGGGGGTATCAGGATGCACGTATAGAGCGGTGGCCGTGTTGGTCTTGCCCATGGACGAGACCAAGCGCGGCACTACCGGCCCGAGGACGGCCGACACCTTATCAGCCAGTTCCAGGAGACGCCTTCCAGCCGTAGGTAGCTCCTTGATCAACCGGGTTGCGGCAAAGCCGACAATGTAGTCCAGAGCCACATTGTCACGGTCGTGGCGCCAATGCGACTCCAGCCAGCCCTTGAAAATGTTGTAGACGCGCAGCCGGACGGGTCCTGCCGTGTGAGGCGTATCGCCAATGTAGTCGAACCGTTCACCAAGCGCCTCGGCGAACTCGAGAGGCGTAGCGAACAGACGGAACGTAAGATAGAAAGTCGAGACGAACATCGCATCGGGAGTGGACTGGTGCGCGGTGAGCTTCTCAATCAGAGCCCGCAGGCTACCGCCCATGACTTGACCCTCCTTGTAGATCAACTCATACGCGTATGTCTTTTCGAGGATGTTGGCCTCGGTCTCCTCATTTTCCTCAGCCAAGGTCGAGTGGCTCACGCTCTCCTTCAGGGACGGCCCTTGGTAGCTATTGCCAATGTCGGGCGAAGTAGCGCGAGTCGAAGTCTGAGAAACACCGCTCATTTCGGAGTCGCGGGCGTGGCTGTTATAGGTGAAGCTACTACCCGTGCTTGTGACACCCCGGCCGAAGGATTCACTCATGTCCGACTTGGGATGGCTGGTGCGGTAGGCGTTGTCGTGGGAAGAGAAAGAGGTCTTTTCGAAGTGGGTAGGGAGAGTGGCCGAGTTGGGAAATGAGGACAAGGCAGAGGGGTTTTTAGGGCTGGCAGATGGGAATTGAGAGTGGAAGGACGAGGGGGTGGTGGCTTCGGTTAGGCCAGGGGTGGAAGGGGAATAGGTTGTGTTTGGAATCTGCAGAGGCGGAGGAGGTAGGCGCAGAGACAGTTCCTGCGGTTGGTTTTGCTCTCCGACCTGCATGCCAGCAGGCGCCTCGACCGGCGATTCATCGCTCGGCTCGAGTTCGATGTCTCCGATCCGCTCCAGCACCAGGCGAGCCTTGGCCAAACAGTTGCCAGCTGCTCGCACACAGTCCGTCGCAGCGTCGACGAGGCGTCTGCCTTCGTCTGGCATGAACACCAAATCATCATCTGGCGAGTTGGCTGGTCGAAAGGCTTCGCGCGCAGCCTGCACCAGCTCGGATAGCTTCTCGTGCATCGTGTCGCGCGCCTGCTCGAGGAAAGCGCTCCGCTGGGTGTCGTGTTCGCACACGGCTTCCACGACGTTCAACAGCCCTCGGCAGGATTGCACGGCTTGCTGAGTGGTAACAACCAGCTCCGTGGATGAGCGAGACTGCATGTGCAAGCCAATGAAGGATCCCAGCACGCCCAGAAAAGCATCATAGGTCGTGCCTAACCTCTCGGAGGCGAGGTTCTGAGCACGGATAGCAGAAGAAGGACCAGTACATGATATCCGGTGAGAGACGGAGATGCGCTTGGTTGCAATGGAGACAGGTCGAGGCTGGTGATCAATCATTTCCGTGCGCATCGACGCTCGGCTGACATCCATACGACTGCGGCTCAGGTGTCGCGGCTCGGGCTGCTCCGCAGCGGCCTCAGAGACAGGTGCGATGTCTGGCAGGGTGAAAGTCTCGGAGGCAGGTGTCGGGGGCATCGAATACAGGCTCTGGTTGTCGCTGGTTGATTGATCTAATTCGGCGATGGTCCGGCTCAATCCCACTTCCTCGTTCCAGATGTCAAGGAAACGGACACCACGGGTAACGATCTTGAATGCCTTCAGCAGCATCTCGTCCAGCATGCCCTCCACCTCATCTTCTGACGGGGTGCTGTTGGCAAGTTCCTGGAATTTCTTGTGGCTCTTGACCAAGGCAGAAAGATCTGACAACAAAGCCTTGCGAATCCTGCGCAACCCATCATACCGCTTGACCAATGGTGACTCCCGAGTCAGACATTCTGATTTTTCCTTTACAAGCATGTTAGCCGCTATGGTACGTCTTCCCTCCCAAGATGACTTACCAGCAGAAATCGAACGCCGGCGATTGGGCCTCTCATAAGGTCCTGATCGCCAAAATCTTTCAGTGATGACCCGCATCCTCCGCGAATTATATCCCAGAAATCCGTCAGAGCCTTAAGTAAGGGCCGCATAGGCAACTGGTCGTATGCCTCACAGTAGTTCGTGGGTAGCCAACCTCGATTGCCAGAGTCCAATAATGTGCCGTCGGCCCAGCCGTTGGTGTGAACAGAGTGGACCAGGATAATATCTCCCTGGTCCAAGGGCAGGGTGACCGTTGAAGGCGACACATTTCCGGCTGGGTGAAATGGATAGAAAGCGCGAAGGTAATTGTGAAAGACAGACCGTGGCATCTCAGCCTGATCTCGATCCATGGTGGGTACCTTCGTTTGTGGTGTCAACGGCGGGGTGATCTGAGATTGGCCGTTGTTGTTATAGAAGCGTTTTGGATTAAATGTCATGTGGTGTTCCGCGGAGTTGTTGGACACCACTGTGATGTTGGAGTTCGGTTTCGCGATCTTTAACGGGGCGATGTTAGGCCTCATCGATACCATCTCTCGCCAGTGGCGTGTTCTGATCAGGGTTCAATATCCGTAAGAGGTCGCTGACCGAGGTCGTTTAGAGTATGGTAGGTCCAGATGACATGCTTTGAGTGAACGACACAAAATATTGTGGGGGAGAGACTAGAACGACTCTACACCAGGTTAATTGAGTGTTGGAATAGGACCGAAGGGAGTGACGGAGGGTGTTTGGCTGTAGAAGAATGCGCGCTTCCAGGGAATCGAGGGAGGAGGGGCGCGGAATGCTGGGGGGTGGAAGATGTAACACACCCTTTCAAGGACCACAACAATGAAGTAATCCAAGCTATAAACAGCACCAATAGACTTCAATGCGGAACATTCAAGGGCCAGCCGCGGGGTGTGACGAGTCGCAATCGATAACGAGAGAATAGGGTGTCGAGTGTCAATGCGAGGTTGGGGAGCAGTGAATGCCACACAAAACCACCATCGAACTAACTATGAAGGGTCGAATGCACCAGCCCCTCCAAGGACGAAGCAAGGACCAAAAGAAAGACCTGCGAACTGACTTGCAGTAGGGTCCAGCGTGGCGAAACAATAATTCCCGGCGAACGGTTACGTCTCACGCAAGGGCGAGTACACAACGAAGGGATGAAGTGGGATGAAGATTCCACTTAATCGCCAGCAATGGGATAGAGAAAATAGGCCGGTCAGTTGTAGGTCCTGGAAACGAAGGACTTGGACAAGAAAGGGAAGAAGACCACCAGAAGTGGGAACCAGCCATAATAATAAGAGTAACTAATAGTTAGCTTGAGGTTGACCTCGATCGAGTCGATCCCGCCCCTCTCCACTGTGGAGCCCGGTGTGTATTGGATGTATTTCACTGTAACACGCGGCGTGACGGTACGCTCATTACGGGGATATTTCTTTTGGGGATTTATTATTTGATGCCGCCAAAAAAAAATAGTTTGTCTTTTCCGGGGCAGATCCAGAGTCCTTCCCATCTGCCCTAAATAACTATCATCAACACTGTCCTCGAGATAGATCATGCCATTGTCCAACTCCACCCCATTAGGTACGTCATTGTAAGTGCTGTGGAGTACATAGAATCGACCAGACCATGTCTCAAAAAGATGGCCACTGGCCCACCGTGTGTGCTGGAGCGTGCAGCGCCAGAACAGGGGGCACAAGAGACTCGATCAGTCCTCAGTGGCGATTTGTCTTTCCCTCACGTTTTGCCTGTCAACTCTGTTTCCTCCGAGGATCGACAAGGCAGCGCGGCCCCAAAGTGACAGCCGAAAACTTTTCCGTTTGCCATGCACGCTGGCTTTCTACTAGTTTTCGTTGGCGTTGACACTTCTTTCTTTAAGGTCTAGTCCTTTTCTTTCGCTCCTCTTGTGATTGTAGCTGGTGGCCTCGGTACGGAGTACACCCCCCCAAAATATCTTCCGGGGGAACGATATCCTTGCCACTGACAGGCAATAGCTTGACCCCTCTTTCCCGTTTTTTTGCCGTTTTCTTTGTTCCTCTGTGTCTCGCGGTGGGTCAATCCGCCTGAGGTTCGTGTTGTCAGCGGGACCGGGCGTGTGGGATCCACAAACGCGAAGAATTGGAGCTGTCATGAGCTGTCATGAGCTATCGATAGTAAACGGCCCGGAGTCGCGACAGTCGACACATCACCGCTTACTATTGCAGAACCACCCGACAGTTTGAGTATTGACCCATAATTAAGGTCTAGCCACAGCTGTCAGGGCGTGAGACCGGCAAATCATGACGCACCGAGGCACTGAAGCCCTGTCTTAGACTTTCCGTGAGAACAGACGTAGATGATCGGGGCGAATGGAAAATCCAGTCTGTCAGTCTCACATGATTTAGTTACTATGTGGCTAGGGTCAAGAAGCACGCGGGAACTTACTACGTAACAGTGTTGGCGGGACCAAAAATCAGTCGGCTGCTTAGTTAGAATTGGGCCCTCGTGGGATCAAGTGCTGGGCCCACTAAACCAGAAAAGAGAAAAAACGGGTTGGGCTAAAAAGAGATTGGCCTGTTTTTACCCCTCCACGGGGAGTCTAGACTTGGGGATTGTGACGGCTGTGTATTACTGAATCATACTCCGTACTTTGGCACGCACGGGGTTTTTCCCCCACAGGCACCGCGACCAACAATCTTGCTCGACGGCATGGACACAGTGATTCTGCAAGTGCCAGTATCACGTCAATACTCAATGTCAAGTAGAAATGCATAGTCTGCTCATCACATGCTCCCAACTGCCGGTCGCAGAGAAAAAAAACCCCTGGAGTGTTGGTGGCCCTACTGACCAATGTGTCCAATGAGTACCTGCATACCCTCCCGGCATGCAAGCCTCCTCCACATCATCACATCTCGTTGCCATGATGATTGTTTACAGGCGGGTGAGATGCTGTTCTCGGTAAACATGCGATCAGCGTTGCAACCCCTTGAATCGGGAGACTTCTCCGTTGACGGCTCAAGGTACGAACCGTGGAACGCGGTGCGGGTGTCGGTGCTTGGATCAGGGGTTGTCGGTATCAGATAAACTAATAACTGATTGCGGTTCCGGTTCGCTTGCGGACGGCTGCCCAACCGAGCATTGCACTCAATAATCAGGTTGCAAGCAGTTAGTTGGTGGCAGTTTTCAAGGCAAGACTTCGGTCCGTCTTACAGTCGCATCGAGGGTAACACATTAGACGGGCCAGTGCGGTCCTCTCGGATGGTCTGTTTGTTTGTCTCACTGTTGTTTTCGGGAGGCGTCGAGGACCGCGGGGGCGGGGGACTAAGCGACATTGCAATCGCATTCTGTTCTCAATCCTGTTCACGAGAAAGAGGTAGGGTAGTCTCGACCCGTCATTCGGCGCATCTCTGCGGATCCAGTGAATCGCAATCACGCGGCGATATTTGCAGTAGGGCTTGGCAATTTGCCAAATATGAAAAGAAAAAAGTCAATGTGAGTTATTGTCTGGCCTTTCATAAGCCGATTTGAGACTCAAATTAGGTGATCAAGAGCTACTAACGTTCCGTCTTGAATGTCGCACTTCTAGTGTGTTCAGCTTGTACGTCCAAGCTGACCGAGACAAGACTCTACAGTCGCTTCTACGCGAACTCGAGATCTGAGTCAATGGCTCTTTATGTCAACGATCTAGATCTACCGAGCATCCGAAAACCATGGGCCGATAAATAGCATCATGCAGACCGTCACAATGAAAATGGCATTGCCTATTGAATAGAATGATATTAGCAATCATGAATCAGGTTTCATGTTTCACAATATATATTTCAGCGGACACAGTCTGAATCAACCAACAGAATTTTTCGGTGACATATATACACGGCTGATTCTACAAGAAGTATCAAGTCCACCTTGAAATATCCCACATACCCTGCATTTTCTGAAGCTGGATTTGCCACATGTACCTCCAGTCCCATGCTGTACGACCTCGTGGGCTCGTGAGGAGCGTGCGTTTGGGAAACAGCGATTTAGGTGCATATTCCAGCTCCACAATCCAGCACGGTACCTGCATTTGGTGCAAGAGCCGGGCGTTTCTAAAATCATTTGGATAGATCATGTCGTGTGAGACCTTGCGCATACTCGATCTGCTTGAATCTTCACTGTGGCTACCTGGAGCTCTTGGCTCGGTGAGTCTTCACCGATTGTGTAACTCGATACTGGTTACACGGCTCTTTTAGTTCCCCAACAGAATAACAAAAATAGGTACACTTCCGTCATGGTCTGCAATGGAAACATGTATTACAATTGTCTGTTGTATTGCCATTGATTTTTGGGGGAAGGATATACCGAAATGATGTCATCTTTTGTGTTCGAATACAATACATACTATCGTTGCGACTAACGTGTATATTCATGAACTTTATTTAGATACAAAGATACAGACTGTCAATAGCACCAATCGCAGATGAAAGACTGAGTTGACGCAAGTTGGACCCATGGATCGGGTGAGCGGGTCGCGGGAGGGACAGTTGGCCATCAAAAACATCTCATCATTCCAACGGACGAATATGAGGATCACCCGGTTCACTCAGCGTGCCTGAAATCCACCTCCACAGATCTCGGAGATTGCTGTAGACCGTAAATAGCAGACCCAAAGGCCTGGTCCTCGGAACGGTAGAGGCTGTTTTACTGTAAAGATGTACAAGGTACCTATGTATATACAGTATTATGCTAGCATTACGATGTATCTAATACGTATTTCGCTATACAAAATGCTCTTTTATTTCCCTCCGGCATATGAATACCCTCCGATGGGGCCATTGCCGCTAGAAACCCAAAGAAAAGGAGCTCTAAACCTAGTGCGCGGTCTTGCTCCACAGCAAACTCCACCGAGCTCCCCAAAAGTACCTTCAAAAAGGCAATGATCTAAGCATTCGGGCAAGCTTCCGCGAGCATAGTCGAGGAACAAAATCACTCCGGCCAAGCGCATTGGCCCGGAAATCCCCGCACAGCGGTTCAGCCGGCTTCGAAGGAATTACTTTGCATTAGCTCCTATCCCAAAACCCATGTCAGCGGAAGCCACTATCAGGAGCCGCCCTCAAATAAACGGCGACCTCTGTATACGGGTGTATAACTCCGGGATCATCGAGAAAATCCCCAATTCCGTAGGCACGTCGCTGGAACCCGATCCGGGATCCGGCGCAGCGCGTGTGGAGATTGATCTAGGGAAGGGGTTTAGTTAAGATCTCAGATACGTAACCATCCAAGCAGGAACGCGCCGGCGGTTCCCAGCCTCAAAATTGGATCGGCGGTGGTTCGAGGCGGACGGGCTTCCGGGGGAATAAAGAAACTCGTGGTGGAGGCTACGTAGTTCCTGTCAGGGAAGTGGATATGCGATAGTTAGTCCACGCTATGTAACTATATTTTGAGAAATATAGTCATAATTTAGTCCGTACAAACAATAATACTCGCGATGGACAGTGTCCAGTGTGGGTTAGGCTTATTTCCTGACATTCAATAGTCCAACGTCCATCGACTGCCGAGAGAGGGGTTTTCCCGTTGGCGCAGTCTAGTCGGTCCAGCCCTTCGACCTAAAAAAACAAAAAGGCTGACCCGCGGCTTGTCTGGCCAGGCACGTGTTTGCCGGCGTATGCGGACCTAGGGCTTGCCCCTATTGCCGGTTCTTTAGGCAATGGGCATGTGGGTATGCTAAGCCTTGTCAGCCTATTGAAAACCACAGAAGGTGCAACGGTCATCGAATAGTCTCGGCGATTTGTGGACTAGAACGTGTGGTCCAGGGGTGCTTTGGAGAGAACTCCCTAAGGAGGAAATCGTCCCTCTGGTTAAATGCCATCATGATCATCATGACATAGACGGTAGAAAGGAAGAACATAGTTTACGCTTGCCCTGGGCGCGCGAGCGATCATGAAGATCATGTTCTGTCTTTTGCCTTCTCCTGGTTGGTATCGAAATCAATAGTTTCAACTTTCCTCTTGCTTTGTCTCCACAATATTCGCGCCACGTTTTCTGGGACGACGACCGAATCCAGTATGATACGTATCTTGAGCAGCAACACGGCCCCGTCTTGAAGGCATGAGGGGGATCGTCGCTCGTGTTCCATGGTTTTGCTTTTCTTCTTCACGACGTGATAGATAGGTCGCGTCGCGTTGGCTGCTCTCTCTCAGTCGTCATAAGTGATATCCCATGGATCAGCATCTTCCATGGCTTCTGGACCAGCGGAAAGTATAATTCACATAAGGAAGACTTTTCCTCCGAAGGTTCAATTCAGGGGCTGGAACCCAAATAAAAAGTATAGAATCACGTGTGGTACGGTATCTTTGGTATTACCGTCACATTAGAGAAGAGAATCACCAACCAATATTGGTTTAACTAACGACTCAATTCTGAGACGACTTCACTATGCACTAACTACGCGAGGAGGATCTGGATCGAAATGTTATCCTTTCCGAAATTGCCACTGCTTCTGGGGCAACAATTACGTACGGATCCGCCAAGGTGCTCTATACATAGCATCCATTCCTGTCTACGCGTCGGTGGCAATTCTCTGCTGTCACTGGCGCAGACTGTGGGGTGAGGCTGCGCCAACTGAGAACGCCTTGCTCCGGAGGTTGTCCAGCGCCCTTCATCTTTGGGGTGGTTTCTATCGAGCTTCTCTCAGTCCGTAGTTGTCTGCCAGATCGAGATGGTTGTTCGAGCAACGAGCGCCGCTTACCCGGATCTGGACGCAGTGGACTCATGAACTCAAGAGTTCGCGCTGGTGGGTCGCTGCATCGGCGATCGCAGTTGTAGGTTTGTTGTTATCTGTTGTTTTTTTATGACGGATGCAAAATGCGCGCTTTTGTTTTACTCCACTTCTCACTTTGGCTGGTATGTTAATTTCATCTCGTCCGACGATGAAAAAGCCCGGGGACATAAGATCCTGGGGAGGTTTGAAATTGTGCAAGTCCAACTCAGGGACAAGACATACTCCGGACAAGTCCCTGAAAAGAGTTCGAACGACTGGACCATGTGCTCGAGGTGTTGGATCCGAGCGCCATCAATCGTGGGCTTCTCCGCCACTGCCGAAGGACCCGATTTCCTCGATAGGGATTTTCTCCGAGATCAGCAGTGAACGAACCAGCTGCCGTGCATGTGTGATTTGTGACGAGAGAACTACAGATCGAACTGCTGACCGCCAATCTGCGCCCGAGAAGGGGAAGGGTGTTCCCGGCGCAAAGCAGAGTTCATCACCCGTGTCCCTGCTGCATACATCAACTCTTCTTGTGCGCGTTCCGCGGATGTTCACCCGAATACGGTTCTGACGGTCCTGTCAGAATTTCAAATTTCCGGAGGATGCAGAACTCTAATGATGCAGGCGGGAAGGGCGTTCCCGCCCTCGTGCAGCAATGAATTAATCAATTGCAGTGGATCTCAAACTCCAGCCACTGAAACCGCCCCCAAGGCATCGCGGAAGAGATTGGCTTTAGACTGTTCCACGTTGCCGGTGCCGTCTAAGGTAGAAGATGGCCAATGATGGGCATCGTGGAAAGTCCAGAATCCTGATTATTGTACGCCGTCTGATCCCACCCATCGGAATGGGTGGATTGGGTTCGCCGGAGCCATCCTTCGTTGGAAATTACCGGAATATTTGTTTATTTAGGAGCCTTTTTATTATATCTCGCCCATCACAGCTTCGGTGGCTGTGCTATTTCTTTTGATTGGACCCCTGAATCTTAAATCCCCGATCAGGAAGGTCGGATTGCACCCAGTCCTTGGATCCAAGGGGATCCGGCCCGTTCCCCGCTACGGTACCGAATCTCCAGGGCGGGCACGAGTACGCACGGTGCAGTTGGGAAATGAGTATGGTCCGTGTTGGTTTGAATGTGGTCTCGTTCCCAGCCAGGCTGTCCGAGGTCGAAATACTAGCATGTGTCGTTTGTGGTAGTTATCACCGCATATAATGCTCTGTTCGACGAACGAGGGCCGCAGATAACATCTAGTTACGTAGTACTAGAGTGATTATAGTTTCAAGGTACCTTTAGGTTCGGGTTTTCGCCCGGCCAAATCGGCATACGAAGTGCACTCGTGTACAAGGGAACTACATTTTGCTCTCTACTTTAGGATAAAGAATACTGTAGTATATTTTTTACTTCTTGTCGTTTTACATTGCACTTAGGAGACAAATCGAAGACAGTATGTTGCGAAACGCAGTTGCCGGTAACTCAATATATATCGCAGATCAATATTGGATGGACAACGTCGGAATACAGCGAATAACATCAACCATTAAATTAATTGATCTATTTAGCTACTCACGTCTTTCCTTAATATATAGCCTGGTAATTGTGATCACATTCTGTTGACAGCAAAATATTATCGAGGACGCTGTGCTCTATCTGTACTGCCCCCCGAATTCCGAGCCTACACTCAGGCTTGACAGACATCTGCGGCCTTGAAACCTTACCAGAGAATGGTCATTGAAATATAACTATTCTATGGCAGGGTGATGTGAATCTGGCAAAGTAGTGTTGCAATTGGCATCCGCAAGGTCGCGCTTCTCATCCCTTGCTTCGAGCGCGACGCGCACGACTGGGACTGGGTGCCGAACGATATCAATTCTACGAGCCGATAATGGGTATGGAACCAGAAGTCCTTGCCAGTTCTTGATAAATTTAGACAGGTGAACTGACTATGTATCCTGTTTGGACCAGAAAGCCTGATCACATTCTAGAAGCCAAGACTGGGGGATGTATACATACAACCTACCTCGGATTCCAGAAAGTCGCGTCCTGGGAATGTCTCCCGAGTCACAAGGAGATTGCAATTTGAAACATTCATTCCAATCTACTTATTGTACCTTGACCCCTCCAAGGACCACCCCACCAATGGCCACCCTGCCAGCCTCCTCGCGGCAGGGAGTATACTTTCCATAGAAATACCTCCCTTCCCGTAAACGCAGCAGCAGCTCTTCTTTTGTCTCTGTCTCTCGAGCATATATAACCCCTGTACAATCCAAACCCAAACTACGAGTCATACGCATACAGACCCAAGCTCAAAATGAAGCTTACAACAATCATCGCCGCAATCTCCCTCTCCACGCTTGCAGCGGCAGCACCCATTCCAGCGGCTTCGCGACGCGATATTTTGCCTTCGCCCGCTGGGACTTTGGAACTTTTGTTTCCTAATTCGGGGATCCCGAAACTTATGGGGAAGTTAGGTAAAAGTGCTGGAATTTGTATGTGTTGAACTCGAGGATTGCATTGTAACACCCACCCACCCGTGAGCGGTGACTGACTTGGATTTTTGTTAGAATTGCGGAAGAACATTGTTCCTAAAACGGGTTACCTGTCTATTGGCAGGAGTAAACGGAGAGAAGCTGGCTTATGGTGAATAGTATCAGGCGTTGTTGCATGGCGATTTCATTGAGATGCAGCGAAACTGTAGGATGCCAAAGTTCTTGGCGTACATGAGAGAATTGACAGATATCTTTATGCAATAAAAGCGAACAAAATACCTGGTCCAAAAGTGAAGTCTGCAAACCACACAAATATATGGCTCATAAATGCGCGCAGGTATCCCAAAGAAATCCAGGCTGTCATCAATTAGAACATCCCTTCCATATCCAGATCCAGGAACTCAGGATTGCCAACGGCCATGTCGGCGGCATTGAGCACATCGTCAATAGCATCCATGCCCGCACCGCCACCGTCAAGCCCCATATCCTGCCCAACACCGACGCCGCTTTCCATGTCGACGGCAGCGGCAGCGGCAGCCGCGGCCGCCTTGTCCAGCATCTGATTGATATTATCCGGATCGTCATCAACGACAGTATTGTCTCCCACACCGGCAGCAGATGGCCCGAGGTCCATACGATCCTGTCCATCGACGCCGATGTGCATGTTATTGATGATATTGCTTACGTCAATATTTGAGACCTGGGACGGAGGCGCCATGAGAACATTGACGCGGCGCCAGAGACGCACGATCATCTCTGCTCGTAAGGGGTCCTTTTCAGAGATCTTGGGCACGTTCTCGTGCTGCAGGGCGAGGGCGTCTCTGAGTGTCAGGATGGGACACCGAGGGAGGGATTCCTTTGTTGAGTCAACAGGATGGTAACTGTTTTGGTCTACAGCAAAGGACTCCGCCATGGACGCGCAGATCATAGTTGCGGCGATGTCGAGTGCCAGATCACCACTGCCAGCTTGGGATTGCTGCTTGAGCTCGTCCAAGATAGCGCCGAGCACGCGCGTGGACCCCAGCATGCGAACACCGGCTACAAGTTGGCGGTGTGTATAGGAATGGGGTGCCGTGTTGATGTCCGGGCTGGCGCTCCAAAGGACGAGAGACTGTAAGGTAGTGCGGATGCTACCTACCAGACCGCCGGCGGTATGCCCGGTCCAAGTATCAAGCTCTGAACGGTGACAGCTGCCTATGCGTTGAAAAGAGAGATAAGGCTCAAGGGCGTCTAGGATTGGTTTGATGTCAGAGCGAGAGGTGTGTCTGGTTCGGACGTCCTTGAGTTGTTCTTCAAGTAGGCGCCCGGTGATGTTCAGAACAGTCCGATGGATAGCCTGGGCCTCGCCGGAGATGGAACTGGGCTTCACCAGGGAGTGAAGTGTCTTCAGTGCGATCGTCGGGTCTATTTCCGACTCCCAAATGTGATTGCCCAGCCAGGTCAAGGCAAAGACCAAGGATGGTAGAAGGAAAGGTTCAAGCAAATCTAACAAGCGTTTAGCGAGGGTAACCTGACGGGATGAGCGATTCAAATACATTCGAATCCTCCTTTCAATGTCTCAAAATCCAACTTCCCTGACTCGCAAGCACCAAGGCTTTGGTCAAATAGCGTCGCCACAAGCATGTAAAATTCCTGAGGACTGCAGCTCGACATCGTTTCTTCGCTGATACCCTCCGCAATGAACAAAGCAGCAATCCATGACCCGAGATCCTTGTTCTGCTTGTCGGTCAGCTCAGCCAGTTTCTGGCTGTAGGATCCTCCATCCAGGAGTTTCAGCAAAAATGACCCATTTCCTGAGACTCCGATATCAGAAGCACTCATATCATAACGAAACTTGAAAGCGAGGACCAGCAACAGGATGCTGCCGAATTCATCATATACAGGCTGGTTTTCACTCTGATCCTCATCCCAGTGCCATGAATCTAGCAGAGTGCAGAGGGGCTGTAAGAATTGCTTCGCCGACCGGAAGAGAAGAACAACGTCCATTGCGTGCGGACGACGCGAAAGCGCGTTGCAAATGTTTTTGAGTGTCACTGTCTCTTTCTGGTTGCAAAGATTATATATAACCTATCATAGTGTTAGTTCATATTTTCCTGGGGCGGCGTTGCGAATAGTTTTCCTTACCTCGGTGATTGCTCCGACTATGGCGCCTGCGTTGCCCTCCATTGACTCGAGTTCACCAATCAATTGGTCGGCACGTTCAAAGTTAGTATTTATCTGAGCCACAAGCTCGTCCTTTATATACGGTCCACCAACAGGCAACGTTTGCATGGGGTTCTCTCCAAGCAGTCGCTCAATGCTGGATTCGGGAATAAGCCGGTGCGATGCGCAGGCAAATAGGAATTCCTGGCGAGCATCGGACAGAACGCTACTTCCTTGCATAGAGAACATTTGCGAGAAAGAGGGGAATGCGTTTGGGTCGAGCCGGCTCAATGCTTGACTGATGCAAAGTTCCATGGGAATTGGCACCATGGATGCTGCCGACATGGCGGCGAAGAAGGCAGGCAGTTTGTTCACCAGGAAAGCCCGAAACAAGAACATGGTCCGACTGGATTCGTTTCGATATACACCGTTAGATAGAACGTCAAAGGTTGCGGTGATTAATTCCTCAATGAGAACTTCATAGTGTCCCTAATACACAGTCAGACTCCATTACACAATGACTGCATAATCATTCATGGCAAACTCACCCCGTATCGGTTTGTGAGGTAGTTGATCAACATCGAGTCATCAGCCAGCGGTCGGCCCACAAGCTACAGCGGAGTCAGCATTAATATCGCGACAAATGCAGTAAGAGTAATCTTACCAAGGCGTTGATATATACATAGAGACCAGCTCTAGCATTTATAACTGGGCCATCCATGATAGATGACTCAAACTGGAGGGCATTCACATTCATCTCATCAATCGCTGGATGTTCTAATGGTTTAGAAGGTTGATCACCGAAAAGGTTGAATTCCTTCTGCACTGCGTCCAGCCGCTGTCGCAGAGGCAAAGAGATGTCCACACAAAGGGGCAGGTAGGCGGAAAGAGCTTGGCCAAGTTTGGTTTTCATGCCTATCGCAAACATATCAGCAGTGCTCGTGGCATAATCCGATAATATGAGATAACCAACCTTGCTGGTAATCGCTTGAAAGAGCCTCCAGGCCCTTCCCCGTGCCAGACAGGGCAGCAAGCAGAATGCCAAGGGACTCGAATAACGACACCGCATCAGGAGAGCCCATCATGCCACCGGCCTGCTGAGAGACTTCTAGATTGTTGTTGTGCCAGGACACAACGGCCATAATCCAGTCCACAGTTGCAGAGTAGATTTCCGCGACTTCGGCGACGGTCTTGGGGACGTTTCCCGTGGAGATCGAGAGCATGACATCCTGGATAATTTTTATATCCGTCATGAGCGTGGACGCTTTGTGCTTGCGCTTCGGCTGAGCATCAGAGCCCAAATCAAGGATCGAGGAATGTTTCAAAAGACACGTCAACGCTGTCGATGGTTTGGCGTGGCCAATCTTGCAGAGAGCGTCGACGTAAAGTGGGAGCAAGGGATCCCAGGTGATGGTGGTCGTAGTCCGAGACTCTAACAGCAGATTCAGAAGCTCTTCCTCGTCCACGGGGGAGCGGGAGAGCATCAGTTTCGACAGGTCTTTGAACTCGTCTACATCTATTCGATGCGCCAAACATTGGTGGAGGAAGGTCCTCCACTGTTCGGAGAAGGCCATCTTTGGCTGCATTGCCGGGCTCACAGCGTATAGCAGACTTCACAGTCTGGGTGTATATAGCTCAATTCATGATCTGATGCCGGGCTCAATTGATCCGTGATATTTTGATGGGAAGGAAGGAGGATTGCTTCATCGGCGAAGGCGGTGATAACATCACGTGATCTTGGAGTTAAGGCGGTGTCATTCTGCCTTTTCTACGGCCTGATCTTTGTTTGACCTTTAATTCTACTCAAGGTGCAAAGTACCATTTTCTTTTTAAGAATCATTTAACTTCATTATCATCATGAATATTCCAAAAACAGCAGTGCCAAGTGGGAATATCATCAAATGCAAAAAGGGAATCCAGCGCCTCTATATCCGTTTTCGCTCAACAAGAACAAAGGAAATGCATAAAGAGATGAACCAGTTTACCACCAGTCACCATGGTCCTTCATGGCCTCAACGACCTTGGTGAACCCAGCAATGTTGCTACCGGCAACCAGCGAGGGCAGCACACCCTCCTTGGGGGTGACGTACTCCTTGGCGGTGTGGAGACCGTTCTCGAAGCAGTCTTTCATGATGGCCTTGAGGCGGGAGTCGACCTCCTCGGTGGACCAGCTGACCCGAGCAGAGTTCTGGGCCATCTCCAGGCCGGAGACGGCGACACCACCGGCGTTGGCGGCCTTGCCGGGGGCGTACCAGATGGCGGCGGCGCCGGGGTTGGCCTCGCGGTGAGCCTCGAAGACATCGATGGCGTCCTGGGTGGAACCCATGTTGGAGCCCTCGGCGAGGAACTTGCAGCCGGCGGCGATCAGCGCCTTGGCCTCGTCACCCGAGACCTCGTTCTGAGTCGCGGAGGGAAGGGCGACGTCGATGCGGCCGACGATGTTGGTCCAGGGGCGGGCGCCGGGGATGTACTTGAACTTGGAGGCGAAAGCTGCGTCGTTGACGAGCTCGGAGATCTGCTTGCGATCAACCTTGATGGCGGCGATGGTGTTGATCTCTTCGGGAGTGAAGCTACCCTCCTCGCCGTTGAGGACCAGAGCACCCTGGCTGTCGGACAAGGAGATGACGGAGCCACCGAGCTCGATAACCTTGAGAGCGGCGTACTGGGCAACGTTGCCGGAGCCGGAGATGGCGACGCGCTTTCCCTTGAAGGACTCCTTGCCGCCGGAGACGTGCTGGATCATGTGCTCGACGTAGTAGACCACACCGTAGCCGGTGGCCTCGGGACGAATCAAGCTACCACCCCAGCTGCCGCCCTTTCCGGTGAGAACACCCTGCCACTGGTTGCGGATCTTCTTGTACTGGCCGAACATGAAGCCGACCTCGCGGCCGGTCACACCGATGTCACCGGCGGGGACGTCAGTGTCGGCGCCAATGTGCTTGCAGAGCTCGGTCATGAACGAGACACAGAAGCGGCGGATCTCGTTGTCCGACTTGCCCTTGGGGTCGAAGTCGGAACCGCCCTTGCCGCCGCCCATGTTTAGGCCGGTCAAGGCATTCTTGAAGATCTGCTCGAAGCCGAGAAACTTGAGGATAGACAGGTTCACCGAGGGGTGGAATCGGAGACCACCCTTGTACGGACCAAGGGCGGAGTTGAACTGCACGCGGTAACCACGGTTGATTTGGATCTAAGGGATGGTTAACGCAATGTGTTGGTGGTGGAATAGAAGAATAGAGCATACCTGGTTCTTGTCATCCTCCCAGACGACGCGGAACTGAACCACGCGCTCGGGGACAGAAACGACCTGCAGAGCCTTGCGGTACTCAGGGTACTTCTGGAACAGAGTGGAGTTTTCCAAGGTGGAAGCAAGCTCTGTTTCGGGTGATTAGCTGAGAGCCACTTCCCGAGAGCCACATGCCGAGAATGCCGATGGAAAAAAGATCAAGTCGGGCAAGGGGACAGAAGACACGACAAGAACGACAAAAGAACAAATTGGCTTACCCTTGTAGGCCTGCTCGAACTCTGGCTCGTGGGGGAGGTTTTGCATCATTGCGGTTTTTTGGTTGTAGGGTTGATTCGATTTACTCTTGCTGCTAGGTAGTCGGAGAAGGGATGATCGGCACCTGGCACGACTCCAAAGGATGCAAGAAAGCTAAGGTAGTAGATGGGAGGAAGCAGAGATAATTGATGATGGAATGGAAGAAAAGAGCAAAGAAAAAAGTGACCGGATGGGGATTATATACAGTATGGAGGGGTGGAGAGCAGGATTGCCGGAGTCGGACGAGAGACTCCGGGAGCGACGCCGGGGAAAGCAACTACTACTACGACAACGGGAGGCATGGCGCTTCGGAGGAGAGGAACGGATAAGGTAGTACAGGGCAAATGACAGCGCGATCTACTGGGCACAGCGGCACCCAAGGCTTTCCGTGGGAAGAACGTCCGAAGTTCGGGGCCCATAGGAGAAATGTTAGCTTATCCTCTCAGGTCACAGATACTGTCCTTATCAGTCCCGCCACCCTGCTTCTGTTTCCGGTCAACCCTCACCCAATGATCCCACCGTAATTGTCGGGTCGGGCGCTGAGGATCTCTGCCCCTTCCTTCCGACTCAATTTCGTGTCAATTTCGTAGTTTTCGTGAGTAGGGGTGCCCTTTCCCATCGGATCGGTGCTCTCCGATACTCCTAGGATGAGCTAATGACATAATGTAACATCTGGAGGACACCTCTAGGAAATTTGGTACGGCTATGAACGCGAATGGCACAGTGCTATTTTACTTGCGCTGACAGTAGGAGTAGTGTAGTATTTCATAGCGACACACGAGAGATCATGGCCGATGCAGGCCTTCTTTAATTTTCTCGGCACTTCTGATCGGGAGCCGCCACATGCGCACGTGACCACCTTATCTGATGATCCACGATTTTATTATTCAAACTGTTTATTCTTGCTTTGCTAACGGGCAATTAACTATCAAGTCCCACATACACCGCCCCTCTGACAGAAAGGAGGGACAGATACATAGTGGATGGTGGGGGTTTTGACACATTTTAATGAGCAAAACATTACTAACAGGTTAAATATGACATACATTCAACACACTGACTGTCCGGTAGCGGCACTATGCAGGCGTGAGTTCTGATAGTGCATGATTGTCTCCAAGCCATACCAAGTCAGGCCAAGAGCAGACATTAACATTATCTGATCCGAGGTGACTGATTTTTCTAGGTAAGCTGATGTCGTGCTAGCGTCTGCATGACCAATCCATAGTTCGTATGGGCTGTATTGGCATTGGTGGCACCAGTGCCCGACGAATCCCGGAGCTAGACAAGTATCCAGTCATAAAATCCTGTCTTGTCGTTGGCTGGCTATCGACCGAGGCAGAAGGGTGACCATGGACGTTGTATAAGTTATAGCTTCGTATCCCCGTAGAGAACAGCTTATTGCTGTTGGATACCCACACTGGTGCTGAGTTCTCTGTAATGCTCTCATAGTATGAGAGTTGTATACCGATTTCTGGTTATCACAGGAAGACCAGCTAGTGTAAGCAGATAACTTTATATTGATAAGACCCCACAGGAGCCACTGGCCTCTTTCATCTGCAACCCAGATATCGGTCCAGGGGTAAGTGGTGTGTGGAACCACTGCAGAGCCCCATGGTTCTAGAAGGCTTATAACATAGATCTTAGGTGAGATACCTGGTTCGGATTAGCCTCCCTACACTATGATAGAAGCTCTATACTTAGAAACTGTCAATTTGTGTGGGGAACTGATTTCCCATACTGCTATCAAACCCTGAGATGATCATATGGAAGCATTTCTGCATAGTTATGTTGCGGGCAATCTTTTATCTTGGTTAACCTTTCCATCTGATAACCCTGCCCAGACCAATAGGGGAAAATGATATTTGTGAGAGAAGGTCTGTGCTTACATCTAACCGAGTACAACATAACCATATGTACAATAGTGGTGGAATAAGCACATCTAGAAGATTGTACCTCAGATAAATATGTACGTTCGCCTGAACAGTGAGATAGAATGGCTACGGCGAGTGCTGATATTTGCAGGGAACACGACATGCCACCAATCCTGGTCAGTATTGCTGATAAGCGAAAAGTAGCTCTTCTTGCACTGACCATAGATCAGTCATACCTGTAGATGACCAGGAAGGCATTACATGGAGGAATACTAGAAGCCCTATATCATGCGAATTGATTTTCTTCTATATATTATTTCCCATCAGAAAATACTCCACCATCGAGCTCCAAAATATCACAATAAGCGATTATAATTTTCTGTGATATATCCACTTTTAGAATACAGCTGTACAAAAATGCCTAGAAATGTGTAGAGAGTATGGAACGAGCAGAGCAAAAGTATATATTGTCGTCGAGATACAAGAAACTGGGCATGGCTAAATAAGTCATCATATTGTCAAGTCATTAATATCTACATGCACAGCTAATTACAAGTTTCTGTGTAGAACTGCCTCGATCAAGTTCTCGCTTTGATAGAGTGTTCCAACCAGTTCGACTGACCAGTGGTCAAGCCTCAACTCCCGACGAGACAACTACCAATGTAACACAATTATAAAATCAAAATTCACCTGAATTACCAGCTTCAAGCTCTACGAATATTTACCATCAAGCCACAGTGGCTGGTGTTGCGATCTACTGCGACAACTGTGGGATTCGGCGGTCTCCGCCGCGAACGCGTCCCGCATAGACGAATGATAATACTAGCAACCTCATTTGCTGTCCGTTTCCCTATCAGTCGGGGTAGCAAGGGTCGGACTACGTCATGATTAAATTGACACATTGCTTTACTCGAGATATTCACGAGTTTCTCACGGCCGAGTCGTTTGTTGTCGGGACGTGTCGTCAGGGGCGGGGAAGCGAGGTAGGACCCTTACGTGTTCCGATCGGATCGGAACTCCTGCAGATTAAGTTGCTGGAAAGCTGCAGACATGTGACGATGATGATGATAATAACAAGGAAGCTGGTCTTCAGCCAGCCATTGTTCATTTCTCTACTCTAGCTAGCTAGTGCACTAGATAGCTCACACCTGGGGAGAGCTCTCGGGTAGGGACTGCCGATCCATAATTTGGAATCATAGCCGGGCCCACTGTCTATTATTCCCCAGAGTACACGTGCTGCAGTTAGGGACTTCATTATTGAAGTTACTTTTTTCTTACTGTGTCGGAAGTCATGTGTACATTTGCCGACCGTGATGGCTTCTGCAAGGCACTAAGATACAGAACTAGGGCACAATGTAGCGCCTGTCTGTCTTACTCCTGCACGCGATGCACAGATAGTTAGCAGACTATCTAGTGTTCGGCGTAATATCTAAATCCGAGGTGTGCGCCGCTGCAAGCGCCTCATTATGGCCTGATCGCTTAAAAGATATGGTCCCGCCGATGACAATGTGCTACCACTTCGTTGGTGTGACTAGTTTGCTGGGAAACTATGTATAGAACACGGGCAAAACCTAACTATTGATCAGCGCTGCAGGAGCCGATCGAGCCCCTCTATGTATTCGGCCTCAGCTAAGATTGTCCAAATTTGATAGTCCAGTATAAAAAAGGACTATTATTCTAGACCTGCATTCAACTCTCGAGTGGGAACTTGTCTGCGCTAAATATAAACCCAAGGGCTGCAGTTATTGGAATAACTCCGATCAAATAACTGAGGCCCCCCAAAAAGGCCCTTCAAGATTTGCCAGTTCGAGCATTAGTTACCTATACCAGGATTGGTGCTGTCAGTGACCACGCCTATTTTAGGCATGGAGCTGGGCCGTTCCCCCGCCGAAGGATGCGCCTAAAGCCCCGGAAGCCCGTGGTGGGTGACCAGGAACACGATCTGCGCCGATTTCCCACACGCGATCGCAACTGGAGAGCAAAATGCAGAAAAATGCAAATTGAATCAACTGTGTGGAATGCGTACCCGTAGGTCGCCCACGATCAGCGGCTGACGGTGGGATCTGTGCGAGGGGCCGCAGGTCATTTGACTACGGAGTACAGTTTCTTGGAAATGCAAGTTTGAGATATATGACACGCCGTAAACACAGACGAATCCCGTCTGCCTGGCATGTGGATCTGCACGGTACCTGAACTCCGCATGTGGCGAATTAGGGCCCAAGTGGGAACAACCCGGAGAAGAGAATTCGAGTAATAATCAATCAATGTAAATGGGGGAGAGAATAATGATTAGTACTTCTGCGTAGATACACCAACGAGCGACTTTTCACAGCAGCCTCAATATTCACACTCTGCCGAGGTTCAGCCAAAATCGCGTGATTAATTATTATTCGTAAACCCGGCGATCGCGTCTGTCACTTGGGCGCATCCTGCGACGCTATCGCGATCAGGTCTAAGCTTGAGATGGTGTCCGCTTAGCTTGGCCCTCCATTTGTCTGAGATCCTAGCTCGTGTGCTCCAGTGACGCCATCCCTGGGTGCAAGACCTTTGCTTTCATTATTATTCTTGTCGGCGGCTCGTGGCGCTGGCTTCGGGCACGGGTGGAGATCTAACGGGGGTAAAAAAAATCGTTTCAACCCCACGCTCTTCTCAATAATTGCTTGAGTCGTGGAGGATCGATCCTTTGGCTGTCTCTTTACCTTAGCGAGAAGGTGCATCCGCACTTCCCATTGCAACATTAATCTGCAGTCCTTGGTAGAGGTGATGAAAATAATATATGATTGACCGGGGCTAATCTAGCAACCATGGACTATGGAATAAGTGCCGAAGTCCTAAATGATGTGCGCGCATGGGCATGATCACCGCCAGGTGACGAGTCAACTTGATGCGAGCAATGAGTGTCCTCGTGGACGAGCAATTCCAATCGAGACTAGACACCTTGCAGCCCCGGCTCGGAAGCAGATTTGCTTGCCGCAGCACCCCTTTTCGTGTTAGTTAGTTGAAGCCGGTCCAGGGATGGTTATCCGTGATGTATCCTATCCGTGTCTAGCAGTGGAAAAGGAGACCGAGTAATGTGGGGAGGGACAGTAATTGGCATCGACGCCATCCGATGGGAACGGGCCAATCAAACCAATAAAAGGCACTTTGAGATCTGTGCCTTTTTTTTTTTCCCTCTTTATGTACTATTTCGGTGGACTTCCGGGATCCTCCCTCCCCCTTCTCCCTGCCCACTGAAATGTTCCTCTTTAGATCGATCCCGTACCCACTTTCTCACCCGTGGACGACTCTCGTTTCGGAGATCTGACTTGATCTTGGCCTGACCGGATAGACCCGTTTGAATGGATGGATCGGCCAAGAAATAATACACCTTATACACAGTCTTTCCCCCTGCTTTTTCTATGAACGTTCCAGAATAAACTCGGGTTTGTCGAACCTCATCCGCTCTTTTCTTTCTTCTCTGTCTTTGCCCTTCTTCGGGTTCACCTATCCTGTTGAACATGTACGTCTCTTGGGCCGCTTAAATCCAATGCGCCTCTGCCTTACAAACCTGCCGTGAACCTCTACCCACTTCCTCGATGGCCCGGCCCTAACAGATGTCCATGAATAAGCCCCAATCTGGCAGAGGACTCGGGGCTATCAGGGACTTGTTCCGCTCTTCACCCTCGCCCTCCGCCCCCCTCTCCTCCCGGAACCGACTTTCGCTCCTGGTCCGTCGAGGTAGGGATCTCTTCTTGAACAAGTAACTTCCCTCCCTATCCACTTCTGCCCCTCAATCTCTTTCCCTCCGTTCTGGCGCAGAAAAATAAACCAGCGACCAAGACCGTCAGACTAAGAGCATGACTGGATACAGACACCCCGGGAGGTCTCTCTCACCACTGTCCGGCATGAATTCAAATCCGCACTTCGACCCGGCCACTATGATGGGACTGGCCGGCGCCTCGCCCGGACGAACAGAAGACAACTTCGATATCTTCGAATGGTACCCGCGCTACCAGAGTTGCCAACGCTACTTCCTGGACCACGCCCAACACAGTGTCCCCGTGCAAGCGCTGTCCGCTTTCCTCAATATCCGCCTCCCCTTCCAGCGACAGCCCAACCCAGTCTTCAACTCCTCCTCACCATCATCCGCTTCCTCTTCCGGTGACCAGACGCCCGCAGCAGGAACACCACCACCCGGCCCGCCGTCTGTTTCATTGATCCCCTACATTCGGCGCCTAGTTGCCACAGGCATGGACTTCCCGGGGGTCCTTCACGGTTTTTTTGGAGACGATTGGAGCAGCGGGATTGGTCCGCTGCATGAACAAGAGCGTCGCAATTATCTTTTTGCAGCGAAGAGTGGAGGATGGGCCTCTGTGAAGAAGGACTACGACATCCCGCCGCAGGAAACGATCCCTTTCTTACGCCCGCTTCAAGGACCCCTAGACGCTGAGATCGAGGCCGCAGAGCGCAGCTGGAGCGAGTGGCTCGCCATGGAGGACTGGATGGTTGGGCCCCGCGCCCCAGATATCCTCCACGACTCGTCTTCGCAGAATTCGCGCCCTCGGAGTGCGCGTGGATGAACTGTCTCTTGTTTTTTTCTTTGTCTGGTGGGCATATACTACACATCGGGTCGGCGACATGGAGTCAGTCCATTGAGTCTTCTGAGTCCCTATTGTTTCTCTAGCGATTTTTTCTCTCTCTTTGCACCTCTGCATCCATCGACCCGGTCTCATCTCCAAACGGCAGATCCGATTACTGGTCCCTGAGCGCTGGTTTATTTGCTCAACAAAAGTGATAGATTTGGCGGAGATACGAATCTATATACTACAACTATTGCATACAGAATACACGGAGCCACTCCTATGTCTTTAATCCAGGGGGATGAGCAGGGACGGGATAATCGCCCTCGGCAAAACGGGGGCCCGACAGCGACCGCGCAAGCGGACTGCGCCGAGCGTAAACGAGGGCGACTCAAAGAACCAGGAGAAAGATCCCGGTCACCCCTTTCCCAATTGGCCTTCGAACGGACACGTACATCTGGTTCCCAGCAAACGGACATATGCATATGTGCCATATAACTTTTTGTGGATCGGCCCCATGGATTGAATCTTGACCAGCAAGTTAACCGTGTTTTGCCATTTGCCACTTTTCTCTTTTTGTTACTAGTGGGAAAGAAAGCATTGAGAACCAGCCAATGTGTACATACTACTACGCAATAGGCGACTCAAAAAGAGAAAGGGATCTGTGAAATCACAACCCAACCCCACTAGTTTGCGCTTCTACCACTGTGGACACCCCCAGGTCAAAGCCCAGATCCAGTCCGTGATTACTCGGCCGCCGGCGTCTGTCTGCTGGGCCTGTGGGGCTAATGGTGCACCCCCTGCGAAAGCTGCACGACTACGTATGGATAGAATATTGTCGACCATGGATGAATTGATGAATTGATTCAGATGCCGCAGCCCATTCCGGGCGGAACCTAAGACATGTTGAGTGCTATTGCGTAAAAAAGGACTCATAGAGGGACACGAAAAGTCTCTCCTTTTCTTGTTGCAAAAAATAAATTTCTAGCAACTGCCACGAAAATTAACAAAAATTACGACATAACACTAGCTAGAGAATAGACCAATAAGTATCTTCTAGACAATTCTTTCATATTGTTATCTGAAGTCATTCTAGTCTGTGCAGCGGCCTCGACAGGGAAAAAAAAAAAGAAAAAATTTGGTGGCGTCGCTGAACACGAGCCTAGACAGCCCCTAAAAAGGGCCACTAATGACCGCCCCCTCGAGCCGGGGCGGTCTGTGAGACGATCTGAAATTCTCCGAGATCGTCACAGAGGCTCAAGGCTGAGTGGAAATGGTGGAGCCCAAGGCAATTTTTTTTTGACCTACACAAACGGTTCAGACTGTCGGAAAAGCGACTCCACTGCCTGACGCAGTCCCCTGCTTGATCATTTGGGGTTGTGCTTGATCCTGAAACCCAACGGCTGCGCCGTGTACAGTACCACAGTTCGAGGTTCGCACATCGGTGGAACTCCTAGAATCTCTCTTTCCATATAGAGTATGTGCCGGAACCCAGCGGGGAGGAACCAAGCGAAAATGAAGCAACACGTTTGGTGATCAACTTTGTTGAAACTCCTTCCAAACAAGACGAAGATGCTCATCAGCCATACTTAGATAAGTGGGGCACGAGAACTTGTGGGTTCCGTCTTGTTCCTTCGAGCGACCACGCTCCCCTACAACGAAACCACCTCAAAATTGGGCTATATTAATGCCGCTCTTTGGTAAAAGTTTTATCTCACCCTAGAACACTGGCTTTCAGAAGGAAGAACCGAAAAGTGTGAGGTAGATACAGTACAGATCCGATGTCGACAGTGGATCTAACGGCTTCGGCACCAAGATGAGTGAAATCTTGGGTCCTGTTCCCTCCACCCGGGTAAGGCCTCATCACTCGTGATCGGATGATAAACTGGTTCGGAAGTGGAAACAAAACCCTAGGTGGATATTGATGTCCGATAGCATTTTTAATTGTCCGTGATAGGCCTCTGTTCTTTAAGAAGAACTAGGAATTCCTGCTGCAAGAACTGTGTCTGGCGCTGGAGCCGATCCTTGGTTCAGGTCGGCGGAAAACCTCGAATCGGACCAGGGCCGTATACGGGGCCATGATTGAATTATGCTATTTCCACATGCAATTTTATCTAGTGTTATGCTCAGTGCTGGAAGTGTTCAACACTTGAACGCTGATATAGCACAAGTAGAAAAGCAAGACGAAAATGATTCGTCAATTATTGTAGCCGGGTGGTACGTTGGCTCGCACAATGCAAGCTGCATCGATACAGCGCACTGTCACAATTTCTGCTTAGGATTGCTACGCTTTCCGACTGAGAATGGGATTTCAAAGATTTCGCGCGCTTTCATTGCCCGCCGAAGACCAAGTGTCATACCGCCATGCTGTCCTCTGTTATCCGAACGGAAATTAAAGGCGTTGAATATCCCAAGAGAACGAAACCAAACTTGACCAACATAGGGCACTCGACGGCTGCTAGTAGAATCATCGCATGGAAAACTTAGTTCCAATTCACGAAGCTTCTTTGAACTGGTACATTTGACAGTTTCCATGTTTGCATCTGTTCTCTGAATCTATTTGCATTCTGCTGTGTCTACTAAATCAGACCAATCAGTTCCCGCACCCTATACTGCTCAAGATTATACACGACTTCCTTAATGCGCTTCGCTTGATCCTCTCCGTAAACAGGAGATGCTAATCCAAGGTACTTGGCGAATACTTTGTCGCCGGAGGACTCTCCAGCTCCATCCTCCGGCATAGGCTGAATGACCTCTGTGATGGCAGAACCGTCCACAAACTCAATTGTTATCTTTTGTTGGAATTTCAGCAATGATTGATCAGACAAAATGTTGACCCGATCAGTTAGAGCATGAAGGTCGGAATCATGCAATCTATCATACCCGGCCCAGCCAGTATATCCACCATGGAGCCAGGCTAAGGCAACCTGATAATAAGCCGAGAATTGGGCGTCCACAATATTCTGTGGGTGAATTTTATTGGGTGTAGAAGCCCCAACAATCGGGATCTGATATTCTGGAATCCGTATTGTGATAGACTTGACATCCTTGTTCAGCGTGCTAGGGGTTCGTAGCTTGTCGACCATAGCAATGAGTCCATGCGTCATTCGGCAGGCTGGATACGGCTTCCAGATTGATTTCAGGAACTCCCATTCAGACCCGAGCGAGTAAAGAAGCTTGTCGTAATCGATCTTAGCCGGCGTGTATGCGTTGAAAAAGCCAAATTTGCCCTCAAAGATCTTTTTCGCACCAATAACTCCGGATTCTGCCAATTCCACGCAAATCCAGGCGTCATGAACTGCAAATCCTGGATGCAGTCGCTTGTTCCAAGACCCATTCTCCAGGTACTGCATCGATCCGGCTGCTCTTGACCCCGCAAGGCCGAATGCCATCTCAATGACGGGTGCGGAAAGACTCTTAATCTTAGCAATGGTCGCCACAGCACCGAAAATACCCGCCGTTGCGGTATTATGGAATCCTCTCGAGTATGCTGCTTGACCAAGAGCTCTTCCGAGACGGCATGTCACTTCATACCCCACTGCAAGTGCGACGAGAAAGATTTGACTACTGACAGATATATGCTCGGCGGCTACAAGCCCTGCCGCTATGGTTGTAACACCAGCGTGCAGAGAACCATCCGCATACGTGTCATCGAAGTCGAGGGAATGACCAAGGAACCCGTTCAGGAGGGCAGCATATTGAGCATTGAACTTCTGATCTTTTCCGATCACAGTGTAGGAGCCATTTGCTCCATTGAGCCTTGAGATAGTCTCGTACACGGGCCCAGTGGACTCGGCTTTCTGTGTGGCAGCGGCAGTAACACCGATATAGTCGATTATCAGGTTTTTCAATGTTGTTTTCGTTCGGCCATCGAGCTGTTTGTACTCTGTTTGATGCACAAAATCCGCCAATATCGTTGTAACCAGAGGGGGGGCATCTTCAGACGTTTTGTTCGTGGGCTCTGCCGACGCAAACCCTTTGGGTATATACACCGTCCCATCCATGATACGACGCGCGGTTCGTACAAAAGAGAGTGTGCGAAACACCGGTAGACCGTCGGATCCCAAGTTGCCCTCCATTTGAACACATACGCTCATAATGCCGATTGGATGAATGATGTCGAGAGTGTCTAGTTCTGCTGCCTTCCCTATCAGTTTGTTGACAATAGTGCCAGGGACACGACTGCAAGCTGCTGAGCAAATGGCACCTGTGCCAGCCATGCTTTCATGGCACATTTTATCGAGGAAAAGTCGAGCTGAAACATGGCCCTTGGCTGGATACTGCGGGGGAGCGACGAATATCGGCAAAGGCGCAAACGGGGAGATTGTGTCCCAGGTGGTCCAGTCGTTGGTCAAACCAAGAAGCTCCGCTACTTTTCCTCGTAACTCTTGGCATTTTAAAATCCAGGATTCGTTGGCCGTAAGATCGGCGGCAATCTCATAGCCAGTGATACCGAAGTCGTGCGCGTTGACGAATACACATGGGTTGGCGACGTCGCAGGCAGTCACCTCGATATCCTTTCCACCCACGTTGACCACATCGATCGGTCTTCCAGTCGGAAGAATTCCTTTAGAGAGGATTGCTCCAATAGACTGATCTCTAGTTAGCGTGTCAATGCTATTATAGTGAAAGAAAGAACCTTACTGATCGATAATCCATCAGAATAGGACTCGCCTTGCCTGGAACGCCGGCAATCTCCTGGTTTCCGTGGTCTTCAAAGCATCCGCTTTCATCAATCGGGACGTGTGCCACAATTACTTTCTTTGTGCCAGTGTTATAAATGCGAACCTCCTGTGTCTTCATTCCAGGCTCAATTGAACGGCCCGGCCTGAACTCGACCAAGCCTTCGTCAATGGCGAATGGTCCAACTGCGGACGATATGTTACCACAATTGCCCCCGTAGGATATTGTGTCGTCTAAAACTCCGACTTGAACGAATGTATAGTCGACATCAATCCCTTGACGGGTTGATCTTTTGATAATAGCAATTTTCGAGGTAACCGCTTTTGACCCGCCCATTCCATCAAGCTGAAGCGGGTCTGGTGACCCCATCATCCGCTTTAACAGACGATCCCTCTCTGGACCTGGTGGAGGGAGTATATCTTCATGGATGAAAAGTGCTTTACTGGTACCGCCTCGATACAACGCGACAGGGACACCATAGCTGTTCTGTTTCGGCATGATGACTGAGAAACGGGCTATCTTAAATTCACAACAGATTCAAACCAAGATTCAACGGTTTCTCGGAAGGAAAGAATATTCGATAGTCTAGTTATAGCGTTCACTCATTATTAAGTTGATAATTTATGTCACACGCGGCACTCGGCTCTACATCTCGGGCCGGTGCGGCTGGAGCTGTTTCCCCGCAATTAATTGGCCGGTCAAGTCGGCGTCGGCTTTTTATCCAAATTCGCAAAAGAAAAGAAAATGGGGGACTAGCTCCCTTATTCGCAAACAATTTCCCATTAACGCAAAGTACTCTACTATACCCTTCATATTAGGGTCAATTGTGAGTTTTTAGAAACGGTATTGAAATATATTGCCTGAATGCAAGAAACAAGTTCATTGACCTAGAGTCCAACCTCTATATGCCCCCCTCGTAAGATTTTCCACCAGCAGCCTTATCAAACTCCATTGCCTCATCCAAACCACAGACACTGTACAATGAAGCTGGGCCCACATGGGCAGTTTCGTCAGGAAAATCGCCAGTTTCCTTTAGACACTGCATAGACTTGGTGATAGATAAAAATGCCGCCCTAGAAGCGATCGCGGGGAATATGATAATCTTGAACCCAATTTTCTGGGCTTCCGAGACGGTCAGACGCGGGGACACTCCTCCCTGAACCATGTTGTATAAGACTGGGGTTGGGTGCAGCTCTTTACAAACACGTTCTGCCTCTTCCAGGGTTCGAATACCCTCGAGAAAAGCCACATCAGCACCCAGACTGATTGCCTTTTTCAGTCTGTTTAAAGCGACATCAAAACCAAATTCATGTAATGCATCTGTACGTGCGATTATGACAATATCGCCGCCAAGTTTTGTTCGCATGTTTACGGCCGCTTTGATCCGTGACATATACTCATCTTCTGAGACCAACTCCTTATTACGGAGATGGCCACACCGCTTGTTGACGACTTGATCCTCGAGATGTAGAGCTGCAACGCCGGCACGCATGTACTGAGCGACCGTACGGCCTACCATCAATGCACCTAAAGGGTATTATGTCAGTTTCATTTGTATATACCATCTCCAAACACGTTGAATAGTATACCTCCGTAACCTGTGTCTGCATCTGCAATGAGCGGCACCGATGGATCCAAGCCGGAAATGAGAGCGGCGTTATCCCTCATATCATTCAAGGTAGCTAGACCTATATCAGGCATTCCAAGTCGGGAAACGGCAGTCCCAGAACCGGTCTAATGTCTCATTAATAAATCTACTATAAGGTTCTCACTGAAACAGTATTCGAGGCTCACCATATAAAGGCTCTTGAAACCAGCATGAAGGGCAATACGCGCACTGAGTCCGTCATATACACCAGGGCACACGACGATCTCATCCTTGTTGGCTATTTGCCGCCGTAACAAGGACACCGGGGAGATAGAGGAAGTTGTGCTTGCCATGATGAATCTCTTTTGTGCGTTGTTGATCGGACAGTAAAGGGAGGCACGACCGCGAAATATGGCACGTAGAGCTTTGACACTTGCTGACTTATACATTTTGGATCGACCTGAGCATGCCGGTTTATTTGGACTTTTCGGAAGGTTGTGCGAAAGCTGTTTTGCCGGATTATGGCCGATGGCACCTGGACCTCACATCGGATTTAAGGAGGTGACGTCGGCAATTGAGCGAAACAGGGGCGGTAGGACCCGCTCGATCGACAAAGTAGGTGCCGATTTCCCGAATTTCTCGAAGGAAGACATACAACTGCGGTAAGTAAAAAATCCCATTGAAGTGCGGGGAATTTTTGGCAAAGGGCTCAATTGCGAAATCTATTAAAAGGCCGGGATCCGGGCATTGGTGCGACAGGTCCGTTGTTCGTTCGAGTTGCAAATTTGGATTTCTTGATTACAAGACGACCGACAGAGGAGAACTTGAAAATTGCCTATGCGTCTGACAGCGTTTTCTGCTGAAAGCTAATTCCCAAATGGCAACAAACGACGCTGGTCTTCTGACCTTGTCTCAGAGGATCTCTCATGTCCTGCAGACAACCCGTGGAATCCATATCGAGTCTCCAGTACAAAAGAAAGAATGTAAGGCCCGACCTACTTTTTTGTTGATTACAATAATATTTAACAATATCTAGGCGATACTGACAACGAGGAACTTGCGTATGGAAATTTTGTGGCCGTTCTCGATGCCTTCATCAACCTTCTGAAAAACCAAGATAAGCCGAACGAGGCAGATGCAATTCAGCGCACGAAAGACATTGCACTGGAATCTAAGTCTCATGGAGGCCTTCAAATTGATCTGTGGAAAGCGCTTGAGCCCTCTGCTTGTGATGCACTCGCTTTTTGGGTCGAGGCATGGCTTCAGTCCCTATCCTCAGCGGAGAAAAGCCGGCAGCTTCTGCGCCCTCTATCGACACGACCAGTGCAGAGGCGTGGAATGACGTTGACAGAAAAGATTCTTGCACATCACTCTGTTGACCCTATTGCATCCAATGGTCTTACTGCTGGGGATTTCGTGCGAGTGACTATCGACTGGGTTGCTGCGTCTGAGATATCCTACTTCGTAAGTGCTTTGTTTTGCCTTTTTTTGAATCTCCGAAACTAAGTGAGAGTCTCGTCTCTTCTAAAGGGGATTAGCAAAACACTTTGTCAGCTTGACTCATTCAAGATTTGGCGTAATGACCGTTTCTGGATTGCTGGGGACCATGTTGTCGATCCTCGAACATACAACACTCCGTTAAATCGCCGGCTTATCAAAGCTACTGATAAAGCTGCACAAGACTTCAAGCTGACTGATTATAAAGGTCCAAATGTGAGCAACGCCACTGGTTCAGCCGTTCTACAACTATGTATCAGTATTGATGCATAATATTTAGTATACCATTATGCACACCGAATTCGTGAGAGAAAGGGCGGAGCCTGGATTACTTATCCTTGGCTCAGATTCTCGTATGGTCCCTCATAATCCTCATTGCACTCAATCTGACTGACGATTAATTAGATACGTGTTCTTCTGGCGCAGTTGGATGTCTCGCTGTTGGACTCGGTGCTGCAGACGTAGCGATGAGTGTGATTACCGGTGAAACGTGGTTTCAGGTCCCTGAGTGTATTAGCATCCAATTTGTTGGACAGCCACAACTAGGAATTGGAGGAAAGGATATCATTCTTTATATCCTTGGTGAGCTCAAGCGTAACACAGTGGCCGCTGAGAAAGTAGTCGAGTTTTCAGGTCCTGGCTGTCGACACTTGTCTGTGGATGCACGGTTTGCGATTGCAAATATGTGCACGGTAAGCCAGTCTCGGGAAAAATATCCTTTGTTATTTTTACTTTACTAACCTCTTTTTATAGGAGTTTGGCGCCATAACAGGTCTATTTGTGCCTGACGACATTGTTCAGACATATGTTTCGGGCCGAAAGCAAAAGTACAGGCGATCTTCCTCGACTTACTTCCAACCAGATACGGATGCAGTCTATTCAGGCACATACGAGATTGATCTATCCAAAGTAACGCCGCTTTTGGCGATCTATCCTTCGCCGGATGACGTGGTTCCTGTGACAGAGAAGGAAGGCATGCATTTAGATGGATGCTTTATTGGCGCATGCACAACAACCGAAGAAGACTTGATTCTTGCAGCTCTTGTTTTAGATGTTGGTCTGCGGCGAAATTTGCCGTTGGCCCCTGGCAAGCGTCATGTGGCTCCTGGGTCAATTCCTATCCGATCGCGGCTCGAAGCGTTGGGCTTTTTGGATACGTTTAAAGAAGCTGGCTTCTCAATTGGAGTACCAGGATGTAGCTATTGTGTCGGTATGGGAGCTGATCAAGCTGGCGAAGGTGAGGTATGGATTTCGTCGCAGAATCGAAATTTCCAGAACCGAATGGGAAAGGGCTCCATTGGCAACCTCTCTTCCGCGGCCACAGTTGCCGCGTCATCTTTCGAGATGAAAGTCACTGATCCGTCGTCCTTTCTGTCGGAGATTGAAGCGAGTTATTTCAATGCGATAAAAAGCCACCCGAAGAGGAGCAGGCCTGCCAACCTTGTCCATCAGATAACGGACATTGCCTATGTGGAACCAAATTATGATTCATCCACGGCAGATATCAAAGTCAAGAGCACCACAAGTCCCCAAGGAGATAGAGGCTCTGCCAATGGATCCAACGCCACAAAATCCCCAATCAAAGAAAAGGTCATCAGGCTGGGCGATTTTGTTGACACGGACGCGGTAAGTACCTCCCTAGAAACCACACGAGCAATGGACTAACTAGATTAGATTGCACCAGCGGACTGTCTTGTGACGGCCACGACGGATGAGGCTTTAGGCGATCATTGCATGAAGTACGTGATGCCCGAATTTCGACAGAAGGTCCGGGGCGGACAAAAGGTTCTCGTTGCAGGCAAGGCTTTGGGGGTTGGTTCCTCGCGTGAAGCAGCGGTGAGAGCCTTGAAAGGTAAGTCCATAAAAGCAGAAGCCTTTGAATCAAAAGAATTCCTTATTATCCGTGCGGCAACTTACTCGTCTAGGTCTCGGGGTTCAATGCGTTATTGCTCGTTCCTTTGCGTTTATCTTCAACCGCAATCTCCCAAACTTAGGAATCCTTCGATTCACAATTGATGACGATAATTTTTATGAACTGGCCGTTGATGGAGCTGAAATCCAAATCAGCTTGGATGAACGGCAGATTCAAATTGGTGGATCGACGTTCTACTTTCAACTCTCTGACATGGAATTGGCTCTTATTGAGAACCAGGGCATGACAAATGCCTACCAAAAGTTTGGAAGTGATATTTTCCAGTCCCTGGCTAGCGGAGGAAAGGTTCTCCATAAAGCGACCTCCAGATTGACTGGTGCGGAACCGGAAGTCCCCGCGGCATTGAGAGATTTGCAGTGGTAGAAAGAGATAGATATGACTTCGTTAAATTGTGCCTACATAAATTTATTGCATATTACGATATTGAGACACAGAACATCTCAGAAATACCAAAAAGAGATTTCTATTTTGGTGATTCAATATCACCACTTCCTTATTTGAGATGAAAAGGAATAATTGTTGGAGTAGAGTATTTTGATAAAGCTTGATAAACGTCGCATTGCTAGTCAATAACGGGATTATCAACTCCCGAGATCTGTCAAAAAACCCTACAACGTGTATCTGAAATCGGGATGCTGATCACAAAGCTCCTCATAATCCTTAAGGCTATCAGGATTGACCTCTCCCCTCGCAGCAAACTCGGCAGCCACAGCATCCCGGCGTTTATTCTCTCCGTCGAAGATCCACATAGTGGCAAGGACAGCAACTACACCGAGAGCGTTCAATCCAAGTAGTGTCCCATGTCCCTCAAAAAAGCGCGGTGGATCAACATAGACCTGCGTGCTGATGATGCTGTAGCACTGAATAAAGATCTGTGCCATTGCCCAGGAAGTGGCTCTCTTGGTAAAACCAGCGTGTGAGATCAAGACCCAGGCGCTAGATAGAACGACCGCGGGATAAGCACCAGCTGAGACAAAGCAGCATCCCACTACGAGGACAGTTTGACTGGTACTCGTAAGAAGGAGAATATACCCGATCAGGCAAACAGAAAGGCAAACTAAAATTGGGATTCCCTTTTTGTCGAAGCGATCTGCCAGAATGTTCCCAATCGGAAGAGTGACGATGCCAAATGCATAGGGGATCATGGTATATAGTTGAGTCATGACTAGATTCAAAATCTTTTAGCGATAGAACGATTTTTATAACATGCAATAAAGTGCTCACGCGGTGAGAAGCCGAAGAGACTTATGAAAGTTGGGAGAAAAACTCCAAAAGCAGCCACATTTAAGCATACTGCTGCAACGGCCATTGCCTGCAGCCAAGACTTGGGATCTTTGATAGCAAGCAGGATTTGAACAGATTTCGGCCTCGAGTCTGGCACATTTCGAGCTATTGTGTCAAGGTAAGAATATACTTTTTCACAGCAGAAAACGTAGCTCTGACGTACCGATCTTGGTTCTTTGAAAAATCATTTCCCGCTCCTCTTCTGTCTTGAAAATCCAACTTCCATGTTTTGAAACTGTTTCTGGAAATCTAGGAAGAAAGACGAGAATCAAAACGCCCCATAAAATAGTAGGGACTCCCTCTACCAGAAAAAGCCAACGCCAGGAAGATATTCCGTGGCTGCCATCGAGATTTTTACCAACCCCATAAGCGATCAGGCCGCCAATTGCACCTGCTATCGGAGCCGGCAGATAGAAAAATGCTTTTCGGGAGATCAGGTTGTGCATTTTCCATTAACGACAATGATATATACCCACCTGCTCTAGTTCCCACCTCGTTGGGATAGTACCACTGTGCCAGATAGAGATTGCCTGTCTGAACTACTGCCTCAAATGCCCCTGTGAGAAGTCGAAGAACCATAATCGGCGCATAAGAATGGCAAGCAGCAATACAGCAAGCTATCACGCCGAAAATTACGACGGAAGAGCCAAATACCACGGGCGCTGGAATGTACCGCAGGGTCAATGCCGCTGGGAGTTCAAATACCATGTAGCCGACGACTGACCGGACCATAATTGTTAGCGTCGTTTTTGCAATAACAGCAATGAACAAAGAAAGGTTGTCGTGTAACGAGACACCCACAGAACATCATTAGGCAGTTGTAGTATTGGCTGCTTGACATATTGAGATCTGCATCCATTCCCATGACTTTAGCATTTCCAATCTGCGTTCGGTCCTGTTATTTATTGTTCAATTAGTGAGTGGATTAAGACGCATTAAAAGCGTGGTACAAACCAGATAGGCAAAAAAGAAGCACCCAGCCAGCAAAGGCACAATGGCCAGGTCTTGCTTCAGCAGCAATCGCTTCTCGCGCGGAGACTTTTCATGTTTGAAGTCGGTGACAACGTGTTGCTTCTCTTGGTGCTCTGTATACTCGACTTGCTCCGCCATTCCCTTGTCCTGGATAGCTTCCATTGTGAGTAGGGAGACGTATGACCAAGGATGATCAAGCAGACACAAGAGGTATCAAGAAAGAAAAGAATCCTCGATGTTGATATCGCGGTTGAACCCCAATCAAAAATATCATAGGATCAAGCTCGACCTCTACCCCATGGGGTTCATGCAGGTTTTGGAATTTTAGCAAATGACCGGTCTCTTCTGTTTTGCCGATGAATCCGGGGTAAAAGCCGATTCTGGCCGCCATCTCCGGTCAGATCCACATGCCTAGACACCGGAAAGATGTGATGCAGTCTAAGTAGGACTTGAAAAATCGCCTGTCTCAAGAGTGTATTAAGACCTTAATGGTCCAAAGCAATTGAGATTTTTTAAAATACTGAAACAGATGATTATCATAGCTGTATATAATGGAAACCGTATGGCTCTAGTACAAGCCTCCAGAGCTGCAGCTATGTATATTCAAATTTAGCCTAACTAATGCCATTAAAATAATGAACTTTCACGAATTAAACTGATAATAAATCATATGATACACCTCATATGATTTTTGTCCATACTCCTTTGTTTTTCAGTAGTGGAAAAGTGATGATTGGAAATAGCTCGCTGGATCTCGGGCCGTTCACGGCAACGCGGGGCTGGGCTGGGGGCGAATGACTAACTGGAGCGATAGCAGCTCCATCTTCGAGGCTTTTGAACATGAAAAATCCCGATCTCAGACGGCAAATTGCTCAAGACAATGACCGGAACAAAGCGGCCCGGAAGAACCGTCAAGGCATGCACCAATTGCCGGCAGCAGAAGGTAGGCTGCGTCCTAAATCGCTTTTCTTTCCACCCCGTGCTTACTCTAAGAATTAGTTGCGGTGCGATGCTAGCGACAAACCCTCGAAACAATGTTCGCGATGCAGTCGCTTGCATTTGGAATGCGTCGTCTTACGGACCTTCAAGCGGGTCAAGAAGAAAACGTGAGCTAGAACCTGTAACGGCCAAAGTGTCGATTCTGACATGAACCCAGTAAAGCAGAACTACAGCAAGAAGTAGAATTCTTGCGCGAGCAAATGGCAATGGGAGCCCCGACAAGCCCCCCTGTCGACGATCTTCTCATGCAGCCTGATGCTGCAGATCAAGATGGAGTCTCTCCCTCACTTCTGTCTAACCCATCCTTGGGTGATAGGACTGTAGAATATAGTCCACTCGCACAAAACCAAGACGTCGGGAATGCTCTGCTGGAACCAGCGTTGCTATCAGGAATGTTACATTCGCGGCACAACGCCAACGCATCTCCGACATCACCGCGATCTCTGGACGGCTTCGAGGTGGAAGCTCACAAGATCGACGACTGCTTTTCCTTGTAACGTTTCTCATACCCCAGTCAACGAGCACGAGTCCTAATGTTCAATACAGATTCTTTTCCAATTATGCTCACATTCTGCCCATTCTTGATGCACAGGTCTCACCTGACGAGTATTACCTCCGTTGTCCACAACTTTTCTGGACAATTGTGGGAGTGGGCTGTCGACAGTATGTCAGAGATCCAACTCTATTGACACGGCTAGCACCGTCAATCCAGACTATGGCTCTATCTTCGTTGGCAACACGAGTGGCTGTTATCGACATGATTCAAAGTCTACTTATACTATCTACCTGGCCATTCCCTTTCAATTCAGCCAGTAAAGCCATGGTACATATATTCAGCAGTGCGGCCGTGAACCTAGCTCAGCAGATTGGCTTGCACGTTGTCGGTGTTGGACAGGATTTTGCTCGTGTTAAGCTCAATCCAAATGAGACAGTGAAAGCGTACCGGGCACAATTATGGAATTACTGTATCATAATAAATCAGAGGTAAGCAGCTATGCTCATAATATAAAGGTGAGAACGTCGGCTGAGTTTTGATGTCATAACAGTACCAGCTATGCAGATGGACTTCTGCCCAGTGTCTTAACCGCCATGGATAAGAACGATCTCACTCGCGCTCACGCACTACTCTCTCCAGATCTGCAGTACAGGCGCAAAATTCATCAAATCGCCCTCGAAGCTACACAGGCCATGCAGCAAGCTGGATTAGCGGAAAGTGATGGCTACAACACAGCACTTCTGCATTCTCTAATCGGCACCTTCGACCGCGAGGTGTCAAGTATGCCGCCTTTGACAGGCACCAGTGGCATGAGTGAGTCAAACCCTCGCGTGAATACAGGTAATTGATGTCTCACACCCACCAAGACAGGATATATTACATCCTAGCGCGGCTGCACATCAGAACATTCCATTTCTTCAGCACCAATGGTCCAGACTCTTTCGCCCCACTACTCAGTGTCTACGAGACAGCCGTAGAAGCAATCGAAACAGTAACCTCAATATGCACACCAGCTGCAGTTTGCACATTTTATATACATCGGATGCTGGTTCTTGCGGCCTTGACCATTCTGAAGATTCTGCGCAGCGACATGCATAAACAAGCAGTTGACGTCCGAACAGGAGAATACGCGTATTTCTCCGCAATTATGTTTCTTCGACGGCTGTCCATGGCCCATGATGATATCAGTGCGCGTGGTGCAGACATAATGGCTCAGATGTGGGCTAGCGACTCTGTTTTTAAAGGCACTGATGGCACACGAGACAGTCTCACACTGCGTATTCGAAGCCGGTTGACAATGAGTGTCATATATGATGTTTTCTGGTGGTGGCGTGAGGAGATTGCCGGGTTGGCGAGCCCTTATAAGGACAAACGGGACAAGAATAGTAAAGGTGACTGAACTTCCCATGAATTGAACAGAGACTTGCTAACAATTCAAACAGAAACTGCAAGTGAGAGATCAAATACCCATGCAAATGACAACCAAGACCAGGAAATGCATTCAAAAGCCCCAGCAGAGTTTGGCAGTATCCCATACTTCGGCACCGAGTTTGACGACCTCGCAGAATTCAGCTGGACAGGCGCACTGAAAGACGTGACACTGGACCAACCAGTCGATGAAACGATCTTTGGAATGACGCCTGGCTCGAACTAAAAGGCATTTGCAAGCTGGTATATGTAACTCTAGATAGATAGAAATACCATTTTTATCCAGACGATTCCATCACCTAGCTAGACAACTTGCCAAACTTCACTTGGAATGTACACCTTCCCATCCATAAGTCTCCGGGACGTCCGCACAAATGCAAGAACATTGTACTCCGGCGCATCAAGTGAAATAGTTGAAGAGCGCTTACCTTGAATGGCAGCCTCCACTTTGACAGGCATGATTCCCAGGGGATGAGAAATATTAAAAACCTCACTCTCCAAAGTTCCGGCACCCATCACCTGGTATACCATAGTTTCCTCAATTCGACTGCACCCCGCTGTACAGGTAGCTATAGTCCCAGCCATGCTATCATGGCACATGTTATTTAAAATAAACCGGGATGTGATATGACCATCCTGACTCGGCGGGCCAATGAGAGTAACCGACGGCACACCAAGGGACTGCTCGTCGACAAGTTCCCAGTCCCGGCACATACCCAGTAACTGTGCTGCTTTGCCGCGTACTTCTTTACAGACAGCTACAATCTGCGGGTTATTTGTGATGTCGGCCGCGCTGAGACCCGATAGGTTCTCCACGCCTAGGTCTGTTGCTCGCACGAATGTGGTCAGTGTGGCGATGTCCACGATGGTGACGAGTACACTCTTTTGACCGATCTGCAGCGTGTCCGTTGCATGCCCTGTTGGCAACGGGCCGTTATCCCGGAAACCGCCAATGGTCTGCATAATTAGATGTTGAATATACGAATCATGCACCCTCAGACAAGAACATACATTTCGAAAATCCATAAGAATCGGCGCCCCGGTCCCCGGCACAGCAGCAATAGCAAAATCGCCCTTTGAGAGAGACTTTCCCGAGACAGGATGCACCGGAACATGCGCAATAAGGGTCTTCTTAATAGCAGTCTGATAAATGCGCACCTCCCTCGTCTTCATGCTCGGATCAACAGAGACACCCTCGCGAAAGGGCGTCTTGATCAACCCCTCATCAATAGCAAAGGAGCCAACACCGGAACTGATATTTCCACAGTTCCCATGGAAGCGAATACTATCCTCGGCAATGCTAACTTGCGCGTAGGTGTAATCAACGTCAGCGTCGGCGCGCTCCGATGTCTTGATTATGGCGACTTTGGACGTGACGATGCGGGTTCCGCCTAGCCCGTCGATTTGGAGGGGGTCTGGTGTACCCATTGCTCGTTTCATTACCGCATCCCGGAGGGGTCCCGGTGGCGGCACGTCTTCGTCTTTGAAGAAGAGGGCTTTGCTGGACCCGCCGCGGATTAGGGCGGTCGGAATGCCGATTTGATCCGGGAGCATTTTGGAGATAATTTTCAAGGACGAATGGGTAGCTGTTATTCAGAGGGTTTGGTTGTGGCTTGTATATCACTGGGATAAGACTGGAAGGTGCGTGAATTGGGCGAAGTTGCTGTCCTTGGGCCGAATAGGCCGATCTGGTGCATGTCTCCGAACCGGTTCCAAATCTCCGGCTGTCGTCTGTCGATGGAGCAGTCGAACTAACCGCTTTAGAATTCGACGGTGTGATCAAAATTGTGAATCATACGTTACGATAATGAACAGACGTTGTTGTATGAGGTCATTGATTTAATTAATATACTAAATTATCCAAATCAAAAGCTCATCCCATAACGCCAGCGCTAAAATGCTCAAACTAAAGAGTGACCGTGCCTCCCTTGATATATGCATTAGATGAGTATGACCGAATAATAGACAATCCAGAGTTTAGGTGATTAACGCAGCCATAGGCGAGAGAGTGGTATCTTTTTAGTGTGGTGGATATGTGGATTAACAGAAAGGAGAGGGAGGATATGTGCAAGCCAAAGAGAAGGCGAGCAAAGGCATTCACAAGAGCGGACCAGTTCATGAAACATGCCTCGCAGTAGCAAATCATGTCTTTGACAATGAGATGCTTGACAAGTTGGAATGTCTTTTTGAGCCTGTGTTCAAGCTCAGCTGCGAGCTCTGGATATTCTGTGACTGGGGCTTTGGATGGGTCATATCAGGCAAAGAGACAGATTGTAGGGGATTTTCCAGAACACTGCGACGACGAGAGAACACGCCACTCACAGCTGGGTTCTGTTTTTCTTGGGGGATAGCATTCTTTTGATTGCGGCTGCGGCGTCTGTAACCACGAAGATACTCGTTCGGAACAGGGTCAACTTGTTTCTTGGCGGCGGGGACGAAATTGAGATAGAAGGGGAAGATGGCCCCGGCGCAGAAAACCGCTACAAGAACACAGAACGAGTATGACTCGCCACGGGCCAGGTAGGCCGCATACTGCGCGAAGGGGAAGTAGGCGCCGCCGCTGACGGCGACGGTCAAGAACGTTGCGGCGGTTTTTGTGTGTCGGGCCGTTCCGCGCAGTGAGATGGCAAAGATGATGCTGTATGCGCCGCTCTCGAAGAGGTAAACCAGCATGGCCATAACTATGGCTGCGGAGCCGGTGGTCTTCATGCAGAGCACAGAGAAGACGATCATGCCAATGTAAGAGACCATGAGAATCCAGCGAGGCTTCAGAAACCACTGGGCAAAGGCGGCCATGAAACGTCCTACAGCGAAGACGCTATGGCCGATCGTCAAGATATCAAACGAATCAAGGGAGGATCCAGGATCTTTAGAGACGACGAATGTCTCAAGAGCTATCGAAAGGACTTCTTGTCCAGCTACGTAGAAGAATAGTGACCACACTCCCAAGGCAAGAGTGAGCCAGACCACAGGAACTCCAAGTACTTTGGTCATGTTGTCTTCTCGACGGCGGTTGGCTAGCTCCTCCAGGTCGTCATCAGATGCTTCGGGAATCGGGAAGTAGTAGAAGGCCACTGCCAAAAGGACATCGAAAAGAGCAATTCCAAGATACGTCCACTGCACGTCTACCAGAGACGCGACGTCAGTGACGCTCTTAAAAAACACTTTCTGGGCCAACAACGGTGAGACAACGCTTCCGATAGCTTGCACGCCTTGTGAAATATTCAAGCGAATCTCTGAATTTTCAAGTGGTCCGCACAGTGCGATAAACGGGTTAGCAGCCGTCTCCAAGACTGAGAGGCCAATTCCAACGATAAGATTGGATATCGTGAAGGCAACGGTGGATGTGAGGACAGCAGACGGCCAAAAGATCAGTGCCCCACAGCCGTAGATACACAATCCCGTTACGAAGGTGGATTTGAAGCCCCAAGTTTTGAGGACTGGGCGACCGACGAGCAATGGACCAACGACATACCCGCCAAAATAGGCACCGTGAAGACCCAATGAGTGCCAGTTGTCAAGTTGAACAATCCTCTGGAACTGATTATTGAGGACATCCAATAAGCCGTATTCAAATCCCCACAGAAAGAAAAGCAGCGTAGTCCAGGCGTTGGGCGCGATCGACTGTCTGTTATTCAACTTGAGCATACTCTCTGGATTCTTCATGTTGACAAAGTCGAAGAATCTAAAATTAGATGGCTGGGATGAACTGGTAGGAGCCGTGTTTGCCTCTGTGTCTTGAGTTTCGCTGTCATGTTGCCGGAACATATCGATCATCGTCATGGGGACGTTGGAACTGCGATGACGCGTAGCCATGCTATCTCTTCTTTGTTGCGATGACGGCTTTTCATTGCTGTCTGACGGCGAAGATGGTGTTTCTCCACCGGAAGCAGGCATTGCGGCCGGTGAAGGCATCGCCACGGGACTGCCGCTTGCTCCATGAGCATTCGGGGAGATCTCAGATGAATCGTTTGTGTCTTTGATCAATTTGGGGACGAGACGGGCAACAAGGGGCTTGAGAATGGGAACACATCCGCAAATGACCGACACGTTGACTTCGACGGCTGACCACATGAAAGACAGCGACGCATACCCTGAACCACCGGTACAGGTTAGCTGAATTCACATTTGATAGCAACAGAGAGCCCGAACATACAGTTAAAGTCAATAATTCCAGAGTTGGAAATATAGATCGATCGGATTTCCGTTTTATGGGAGGTGGCGGCTCGTTGGAGAAAAGCAATCCGGATCACATCGACCACGGCCACGAAGAAACCGAAGCTGAACGTAATGACCAGGATCGCCTTCTGCTTCAAGGGTAGCCGTATATTGGTCAATATGGGCAATGGCAGAAAAAGGATAGCCAGATCGGTGATGATGTTCACTGGCGATGAGGAAAGATACAGCGTGATAATATCGATACATTTCGCACCTTTCGGGACATCGGAATAAAACACGGCGCTGACGGGATCGCATTGGAAGACATTGACAAGAGTCAACGCGAGACCGGCCCCGTTTACCACCGCAAGGGTCACATAGTTGGCCCATCGAAAGACTTTCTCGCCGCGCGTGAAAGTCAAGTAAAAGACCAGGATGGAAGTTTTGACGGCCATCAGCGCCGGATTCTGGACCAAAGGTCAGTCTCTCGTCAACTTCACATGTCGTACCCGCAGCAACGTACGTAGAGGACGGTAAAGACATAATTGGCGCGATTTAGCCCTGGCTCATCTGCAGGAGAGATGTTGTGTGAATGGAGCCCAAGCCCTTTGCTGGTCGCGTAGAACAGGGAAAATGAGAACCCAAAGTCGATCAACTGGAGCATTGTTAATGCGCCGAGTCCGACACATCCCCGGGAGCATGCAGGCACCGGCTGGAGACGGTACATACCCATGCGAGCAACATCAAATAATCGTGAAACCCGACTTTTCTGACCACGAAGATGCGGGAGACAAATCGCAGAGCCACGAAGATGCTGGCAATGACGAAGAAGGGGATCGTGACTGCCAGCACCATCGGCCTGCGGTCCTGCATTGTGTGTGCAGGCGGGCGACCGCCTTTTGTCCGGTCTTCACAGTAGCAGATGAGGAATGTCGGCGATCAGAGCCACCGCATACTCGGTGGCGTCAGGTTCTTGCGGCGTGGGGCCTCCATCGTCTCGTTGTGAGGTCGGATATCGTCGACGAGGGTTAAGTGATGAAATCACAGAGGAGGTGGGGAGTGAAATTGCAAAGAATAATAAGCAGCCAGGCCCAAGGAACTTCCCCCATCTTTCGGTGAGGGAATAATGCGGAGGATGGACCGCAAACGAGATCATTGGCCGTTTCGGGTTCCGCCTTTTAGGCTTCTTGCCACCCAGAGTAGTCGGAGATGTCTCGGCGAAGCTCCGAGTCCATCGCTTCTGCCTAATTTAGATATCCTAAGCAGACTGACCGCTTGGCGCTCTGCAATAAGATGTAGACGCACTTCGATCGCGACAAAATCACTGACTGCGTGGATGAGGAACTATGCAATCTCACCCCGCCGTCAACCATGACTTCATCGTGCAGCGAACGGGAGCTGTTCCAATGCTAATTACTCAAGTCAACACATACCTTGAATACACTGATATTCTGTCATTATTTTGGCACGATCGCTTTTAGCTGCTTTGTTATATATTTTTTTATCAATGACCATTGGATTTTCAGGACTTGAACTGAACTCGACTCCATTGCCAAATAGGACGACTCCACGCACACCCGCCCAAGCCTATCACATGAAATAACACGATTATCTCGCCGACAACCTTAGCACTACTTACATGGAATTAGCTGCAGGGGTATGGTACCTGCCCGAATCTAAGCGGGTTATGCATCTGATAACGGGGACGTAACCATGGCGCCCCCTTCTTTCCCCCTCGCAAATCACCGAGACAGATCCGATTGCACAAGATGAGACCGTCGATTCTGCTGGCTACTCTGCGATTCCTGGGACCTTTTGTCAGTGCCCATACCGAATCTGCAGACAGCTGGATCACTACCATCTGGGACCATTTCAAGCAGGCTGTAGACTGCACCGGCTGCCAGGTAGGGCTCACATGAGCTTATCGGTGGCGCATTACAACTAAAACCAGCGCGGTTGATTAGGCCCTCTTACGAGGTCTCAAACTGGTCGCAGATTTTGGCGAAACTTTCATGGAGGATGTGTTGATCGGAGTGTGCAATACTGCCGGGGTAAGAGCATGCTTGTCTGGCTTATCGATCTGTACTGACCATATCCACGCAGGTCGAAGATGCCGATGTCTGTTCGGGAATCATTCAAAACGAAGGATCCGCAGTGCACTACACTCTTCTGAATCTACATATCGGCTCTCACACAGCCATAACCCTCTGTGCCGGTCTGATCGGACTTTGTCAATATCCCGCCGTTCGCCCATACAACTTGTCTTTTCCTGTCCCCAAGCAAGCGAAGTCTCGACCTGAGCCTAGTGGACAATCTTCGATCAAGGTTGTCCATTTCAGCGACACACATGTGGATCTGTCTTATGAAATTGGCTCCAATTACGACTGTTCCAAGCCTATCTGCTGCAGGGCATACATCAAAGAGGATGCGCCTGGCAACACATCCAACCCCTGCGGACCATGGGGCAATCTGATGTGTGACCCGCCGCATCGACTCCAGGAAAGCATGATGGCAGCCATTGCAGAATTGAATCCTGCTTTCTCGATCTACACGGGTGACGTGCCGGCGCACGATATCTGGTCCGTAACCAAGGCAGAGGCGCTTCGTGATTTCAACGCCACATACGGATCGATGAAGAGAGGTCTCGGGATAGTGTTTCCTGCCCTGGGCAACCATGATGCAGCACCGTTGAACCTCTTCCCGCCTAACAAAATCCCAAGCGAGTACAATCCTCAATGGGCCTATGATGCGCTCGCCGCGGACTGGCTCGGTCTAACTGGGATGGCCTCTGTCCACTCCGCAATTCACCACGGCTCCTACTCCGCTGTTTATTCGGAGAACAAGCTACGCGTGGTCTCCTACAACAGCATATTCTACTACAAAGACAACTTCTTCATGTACGAAGAACCAATGGAGTACGACCCGAACGGACAGTTTGCTTGGCTCATTAGCGAGCTGCAGTCTGCCGAGAACGCCAACCAGCGCGTATGGCTAATTGCACACATCCCATCCGGCAACGCAGACCATTTTCGCGACTACTCCCATTACTTCGATGAGATAGTGCAACGGTACGACTCTACAATCGCAGCGCTATTCTTCGGACACACGCACACCGACGCGTTCCAGATCGCATACTCGAACTACAGCAGCCGAAACTGGGACACGGCGAGCACAATCGGTTACATCGCACCCTCAATGACTCCGACATCAGGCTCGCCCTCTTTCCGCGTCTACGAGATCGATCCCGTCACATTTGGGGTTATGGATTTCACACAGTACATCGCGAACATCAGCCACCCCTCGTATCAAATCACCCCCAAATGGGAGCTCTACTACTCCGCCAAAAAGGCCTATGGATCCCAGCTATCGCCGCCAGTCCAAGACCCCAGCGCCGAAATGACGCCGGCCTTCTGGCACAATGTCACCGTCGCTATGGAGCAGGACGCTTCAGTTTTCCAAGCTTTCTGGGCTAGACGTACTCGCGGGATTAACGTGGCCAGCTGTACCGGCAACTGCATGACGGATAAGATCTGTGCGCTTCGTGGTGCAGATGCGCAGTATAATTGTGCTGTGCCGACAGTGGGATTTAGTTTTCGCAAGCGCGATGTGAACGAGCGAGCCTTCGTTGCAGGAGACTTTCGTCTTGAGTGCAATCATGCTGGGATGGGGCCGTTGCTGGCGAAGATTGCGCATCGGGCTGCTTTGGAGAAGGAGAAAGAGGTTGAACATACCCGGGAAAATGCGGCTTGATACTTCCGCAACATTCGTATTTCCATAGCTTTTATCTTTCTTTCCGAGCCGGAATACCCAGGGCAAATTCTCTAAATGTAGCATATCAATATGTGAAAGAGAAATTCAGCACATACGACTACAGGGTGTGGAGAACACGAGGCTTTCTGTTCTCTCCGCCGCAATGAGACCGCGTGTTGAGCATGGAGAATTCTCGATATTCCCTCGATGTCATTATTATTTTCAAATGGATGGAAATCTCCTCTTCGTCGTGAAAGCTATCATCGAGCTGAAATCCCACCGCACTCGTATTATTTAAAGAGATCAAGGAATTATTACGGTGTCAGATTCCTGCTAGAAAGTTTAAAGAAACGCTTTGCACAGGCTAGTATGGTGCTAGAGATATTAAGAAGAATGAAGAAGAGGTTGCGTTGCAGTCTGAGCTATCAGGTAGAGAAATGTTGTTAGTTCGTTCGCGCCTGCTGTATTTGTTGATCACGTTCATTTTGGATTCGTGGGATAGTTTGTGCCTTGACCGCCTTATCTTTAAACAATCCCTTTCACCCAAACACCTCGCTTCCGAACTGACTCCCTCCATGCGGAATAGAGGGCTAAAAAAAATGCTCCAAAAAACATGCTCCCACGCAGATTTGAACTGCGAACCTCGAAGGTGGTAATGCATGTAAGTTCCTGTAAAGGATGATTACATAAGCTTCGCGCTCTAGACCAATTGAGCTATAGGAGCATTTTGCCACCATGAACAATTTGCGACACATATTTGCCCTTGTTTTTGAGGGACTGGAATGATAGCGATAGGTCACTCATCATTATTATCTTTCGTTCCCATGGCTGTGTTACCATAAGCCAATTGAGCCAAAGGGAAAAACGCAATTAGATCTCTAGCGATCTTATGTTGAAAAAGTTCAAAGTGAAGTTCAGAAATGTGTGTTCCCAGCTACCTTGGTGCTGCAGTTTTCTGAAGGCAGGCTTTATGCAAATTAAGTGACTACTTTCCCATAGTCTCCTGTTGTATTTTTTTCCCTCTTGTTTCTTTCACTTTCTTAGTCCTGCCGTCCTGTTTAAACTAAAATCTTCACGGGTGCTGCCAAGGAACTACTCCTACATGAAAACAGACGGTGCCGCCGAAGTTAGCGTTGCACTCAGCTAGCTTGCCAAGAACCGCGGGCTATCTATGCCAACCTATCAAACAAACAAGATAACGCATGCGCCGCGAGATATTAACTCTTCTCCTATTCAACACCATACGTTCGCTGTATTTCAGTGCCCTGCAGCGCAGATCTCGCCAACTTAGCAGAACTAATGGTAGTGGCGTAGTCAACCCAAATGTACCTATTGATACTGACCACTTATATGTCCTCGAAGCATCATTCACACCACTCTTCGAATAATTATCATGTGCTGTAACGTCGGAAAGCATAATAAATCTGGCACGGGGTTCAATATTGGTCCGTTTCGCCCTAAAACAATCAAATGTAACTGAATCTCCGCCTATAATAATAGGAGCGAACATATATAATCACAGCTATGCCCCAGCCAAAGCATTGCGAAAATATACACCGTTACCACAGTGAAGTATTCTGACAGCCTCCAACCAGCATACTCAAGAGTATTATCCTACGAAAGCATTCTCCACAATGGCGCCTCTTTCCAGGATTGCTCTGGTCGCTTTTGGAACCGCGAATGGGGTGGCTGCATGGGGTGTATTGGGTCACGCAACCGTTGCTTATGTTGCCCAAAATTACGTCTCTTCTGAAACGGCGTCATGGTAAGTCTTACAGTAAGCTTCAGAGCAATGAGAGTGTTTCTGGATAGCAAATACCCTACTTACATACTTAATGCTAATGGATTTCAAGGGCACAAGGAGTCCTCGGTGACTCCTCTAGCTCGTACCTAGCCAACATTGCCTCTTGGGCCGACGATTATCGCGAAACAACTGCCGGCGAATGGTCAGCACCCTTACACTTCATTGATGCTGAGGATAACCCTCCATCGAGCTGCAATGTAGACTACGATCGCGACTGCGGTAATTCGGGCTGCTCAGTTTCTGCCGTCGCCAACTATACACAGCGTGTAGGTGACGGCCGACTTAGCACTGCCAACGTCGCCGAGGCTCTCCGATTCCTTGTACACTTCGTCGGCGATATAACACAACCGCTGCATGATGAGGCCTACAAGGTTGGTGGAAACGATATTGAAGTCACCTTCAACGGCTATAGTGACAATCTCCACTCTGATTGGGATACATATATGCCCGAGCAGTTGATTGGTGGCGACTCGTTGTCGGATGCACAGTCGTGGGCTAAGACATTGACCACCGAGATCAATTCGGGCAGCTATCAATCCCAGGCTGCAAGCTGGATTGAAGGAGACAGCATCAGTGATGCTATTGCCACAGCCACTCGTTGGGCATCGGATGCCAATGCCTTTGTCTGCAGTGTTGTCATGCCAGATGGAGCTGCTGCCTTGGAGACTGGAGATCTCTATCCTACATATTACAATTCCGTCATCGGCACCATTGAGCTTCAAATTGCAAAGGGTGGCTACCGTTTAGGTAATTGGCTCAACATGGTCTATAACTCGGAGATTGCCAAGCGAGATCTCGAAGGGTCTGACCAGGAGGCCCGAGACACAGCTCAATATCCGGACCTTCTTGGGCGTGAGTTTCTACCAGAGCCTCGTCCGCTGAGTCGTGCCAAGCTAGCTAGAGCAGCCATGGAAGGATCGTGTTGTGGCTCTGGAAAGCATGATCATTGAAGGTTAATCTCGCGATGGAATGGCGATTGCTGATGCGTCCATGAATATAACGGTTGATCATCAAATCTGAATCCATTATCCATTATAAGCTTGCTGCAAGCATACATGGTAGCGAGGCGAATAAGCTGCGCGAGTCTGGCACGAGACGACTTCAGTCGGTCAAGCCCGATGAGGATATTCTGCGATCCATGGTAGCACAAAATGGAGGATTTGTAGCTAGATGGATGGAAGAACAAGATTCAGGCATTTGTATTTCTTGTTCAGCGCTGGAAACCCCCTCCTAAACAACATGGTAATCGCATTTATGGAGGCAGCAAATGGGGCTTTAGTGTATGCATATTCACTGATGGGCTGGGTCGTAGGCCCAATTCGTCGGCCCACGATAGGTTATAGGCAAGGATAAACAGCCTAACCTAGCTAGTACGTCCCTAATGAACTATGAACAGAGCAAATATGGAGGACAGGGATAGCTATATAGTTTATGTATTCTTAGCCTATATCTCCAAGTATTTCTATCATACTCGTGAGATGTATTGAAACTACTATATGCATCAGCAGATACCGCCTACGTATGCTCCGGCTTGGCTAGTTCTAAAATCGTTCTCTCGCGTTTCTTCCGCTGTTCCTTGAATGCCACCATATTTGAGTACTCATCGCTGAGCGTCTCGCGAATATTCTTCGTGGACGCCATGTCCCACAAATTGAGCCTTGGGAAAAAATCCGAGCAAAAGCTGAGGACCTGGTTCTACTCCGCGGAGAAAGCAGTCTCTGTGTAATTCAAGTTGGATCCGGGGAGATTGGATGTATTATTCACGAAAAAAAAAATGATAGAAATCCCACATCATCAAAAGTCTCGGCAACAAGACCTTCTTGCTCGAGCACTGCTGACGGAGACGGAGTGAATTCTCTCCCTTCCTCAGATTGTGTTAGAGTGTTTTTGGGGGTTTACTCGTAGTAAACAAGAGACTTGGTCCTCTCAAAATACTATCATTCGGTAAAAGGCTGGAGTTAGGGTTTCGCACCCCTCGCTGCATGGTCGAATGGGCTTAAGGATGTCATCGCAGGTGATGCCTAAAAAGGCGGAACCGTTTGTAGAGAGAAATTCCAGTTTCCCGACTGTCAATGTATGATGATGATTCTCTTTTTGTCGAAGTGCATTTCGCGAAGATATAGTCTCTTCCAAGGCTGAAAGCAGTAATATTCACAGGGAAACCAGGCCTAACACAAAATTCTATGAAAGAAACTTGAAACCCCGCCAACCTATTGGTTTGTTTTAAGTGGAGTGTATTCCCGCTGAGGCGGCGCGTAGACAAGGATTGTTATTCGGGTCTTTGAATTCTTTCTCCTCCCGTGCGCGGGGTCCCTTTCCTTCACCGAGCATCTTTTTCTCGTCTGTAGCTCTAGCCAACATGCTTACCAAAGACTGCCTTCCTCTGTTTGACCTTGCTGAAATGCAGAACCCTACGACAATCTCAAATCTAAGACTTGCTCTTCTCAAGTACGGCGCTTTTGTCTTACGGGCCCCCGAGCTCAATAAGGCTTTCGCTCAAGGGATATTGCATACTGTAAGCCTCTCTTTCAATTGTTCCGAGCTCAAAATGACGTTTGCTAGGCCCAGACCTTTTTCCAGCTTCCAAAGGAAACAAAACACTCAACCAAGGGATACTCAGCATTTGGCACGGAGCTTATTCGTGGCGAGAAGCCAATACCTAAAGAAAGTATATATTTTCTTGGGAATAAGGAGCAGGAAAATCGGATCCCTCCTCCTTCAGATCTTTATCTCAGCATCAGAGCATTGCACAATGTAGGGAACTCCACCGCATCCCTTCCCTAAATCGTACCACCACTAATCAAATTTACAAACTAAAGGAGTGGAGACTTTTGCGTGGCGAGCTTTTCCACGTGTTATCTCATGACATCCTCAACTCCGATATACTTTTGACCGGAACGCCCATACTTGACCATGAGTCAATAGGTCTACACTACTATGATCCTCGAAAACTGTCGTTAGAGGAAACCGATTACAATCCTCCGCATATGGATGTCGGCACCCTAACGATATTACTTCGGTGCCCTGGAGACCATGATGGCTTAGCAGTGGCCGACCTAGATTCTACCGATAAGCGTGGCAGTGAAGGTGTAGGTCAAGAGGCGTCTTTTTTGCGTGTGCCTGCCGCTATGGATGAAGTCGTTGTATTTGCTGGAACTCGAATGCAACGTCTCTTTGGAAGAAGTAAGGTCCGCGCCTGCGTGCATCGGGTTTTCGGTCCTTCCCAAGCAGATAAACACCCGAGACTAAGTCTCGGAATTTCTTGCGCTGCTCCTGCAATTTGAGCGGACAGCAATTTCTGCCTCAAGACCCTTAATAAACGACGGGTATTAGGCTAGAAACACCAAGCCCAACCCGAACAATCTTTAATTCTACAATCAAGTCTTGACATACATAATCGGGAATTGGCGACAGGATCCATAAGGAATGCGTGATCCACTTCTCCTTGTCGGCTGCCGTTGCTCGCGCCGGCTCGGCCTGATTCTCGGCGGTTGACGCGGGGCTAAAATCAGCGTGACGGCCAGTTCATCGGATCAATTTCTGAGCCTATTGGTTAGATCAAGCTCGCCATTCGCACAGTCAAATGACAAAGGGTTCATATTCTCATTTTTAGGTTCCCCAGAAAATGAAACCTTCCGAATGGATGTTGGATGTTGTGTGGGAGAGGCAACTCCCCCACAAATTCCCCGCATTTTTTATCCTACCGCTGGGATTGGTTTCTTTATCGTAAAGAATGTGACACCACAAAACATATAAGAATGCGTCGATCCCCCAACTCAATATCACCGAGTCATTACCACCTATAACTCGAATTGAATCAACACCCTGCCCGCTCATCATGGGAACCACGGAGTGCATCGACTCGACGGAGCCTGCTTCTCAGCTTGACATGGAGAAAGGCAACGCTCTAGATATGGGTAACGGCAAGATGGACGACGATCTCAACCGCGAGATGGCCAACCGTGGCACGGCCACCGAGCATGAACTCGGATACTGGGAAGCCTTCGTCATTTATCGCAAGGGTGCGCTTTGGTCCATGTTCATCTCTTTATCCATCATCATGCGCGCCTACGACATCGAGATCACGGGTAATTTCTATGCTCTACCGGCATTTCGACAGCACTTTGGCGTCTACTATGAAGGTCACGGCTGGCAGATCCCTGCCAAGTGGCAGGTAGCCCTGTCCATGGGATCGCTTGTTGGGCAGATCCTCGGTGCCTACTTGGTGACCTTTCCGATGGAACGGTTCGGACGCAAGAAAACCTTTGCGGTCTCCCTTTGCTTGACCGCTGTCTTGACGTTTATGCAATTCTTTGCGTCCAACATTGGCGTTCTGACTGCGTCGCAGTATCTCTCCGGAATTATCTGGGGCAGCTACTGTGTGATTGCCACAACATACGCCTCGGAGGTACTTCCGATGCGTTTGCGAGGATTTCTGACGGGGTATATTAATTTATGCTATGTGATGGGCCAGTTCATTCAGACTGGCGTGACTCGGGGTTTCATCTCGCGAACAGACGAGTGGGCCTATCGCATCCCGTTCGCCATCCAGTGGATATGGCCTGTCGTGTTGCTAGCAGGCCTAGGGTTTGCCCCGGAGTCACCGTGGTGGTTAATCCGAGAGAACCGCATGGAAGATGCCCTGAAATCTCTGGGAAGTCTCAGTGAGCCTCATCCAAAGGTGGACCTGCAGGAAACATTGGCCATGATGGTCAAAACCGACATCCTTGAGCACCAGTTGGATGTCGGTACTTCATATTCAGACTGCTGGAAAGGACCCAATCGCCGCCGCATGGAGATATGCATCATGCTTTTTGTCATACAAAACTTCTCGGGCAACCCTGTCGGCTTCGGGACGTATCTGTTTGAACAAACCGGTCTGAACAATATCCAGTCTTTTGATATGGGAGTCGGTTTGAATGGCATGGGCTTCGTCGGCACTTTGATGTCTGCCATTCCCCTAATCTACTTTGGTCGGCGCCCCTGCTATATCTTCGCCATGAGCTCCATTGTGACGATTCTCTTCATTGTCGCCATCATGTGCTTCGCACATGACTACTCCACCAACCATGCTTATGCATGGGCTCAGGCAGTTCTGCTAGTGATTCTAGCCTTTGTTTGGCAGATGACCCTGGGTCCGCTGACATATGTTATTGTCTGCGAGACACCGTCAACAAAGCTACGATCTAAAACCATTGCCATGGCTACGATGATTGACGCATTTACCGGATTGGTTACTACCGTTATCGGGCCATATCTACTCAATCCCGGGGCGGCGAACGCAGGTGCCAAGATCGAATTTCTTTATGCCGGCATTTCTGTCTTCTCGTTAACTTGGTGCTATTTCAGGCTACCTGAAACGAAATCTCGGACATACGAGGAGCTGGATCTGATGTTTGAGAGAAAGGTGCCCGCGAGGGAGTTTAAGAGCTATGTCATTGGCAATCTGGACGAGTAGTTTGTTAACACGCCCCGGACAATACCTATGGGCATAAGAGTAACTATGATGTGCATATTGGAGGTTCTATTGTGTAGTTCTGTTGAATTTTCATATGCTGCCTTTCGAAATTTTGAGCGACATCTCTCATTACTGGAGTGGAGCAAATCGGAGATACTACCACGTTCGATTCTTAAAAATCGGTTTTATATGAATGTGCAATCATAGTTCGGCCACTGAATCTGAGTGTATTTAAGTCAAATCATATATTAATTCCACTGAAAACATGGCCTATTGTCTCGAAACCCTCAGAGAGCTGCCAGCGTCATCATGTACGTAGGTCCACCTTACTCCTGACTATAGTTCAGTAGTAATCACTCCACAGGGAAAATGTTGTCTCCGCTACACGAAATGAGCGCCGCAAAATCTGCAGTTAAAAGAGGCGAAAATTCAATCGGAAGGCAATTATCGTTTTCATTTTGGAAAATGACAGAGTCATCCACGGGGTCTGCTTCATTTTCCACCACTGGTGGTATTGAAGTTAATTCAAAAACTCGGTCAAGCTTTTGTGTAAGTGTACTGCGCAGCTCTGAGTTCGTGGCGGCAGTCGAGAACAGCAGATTGCTTAGAGCCTGGAGGGTCTCGCGTGGTCCCACTACCATTCCAGATGAATCTTCAACCGGCTCCTGGCATAGTATGGAATCCGCTAGCGCGTCCGTGATTTCGTATATTTTAGTTTCCATACCTGGTCCATGAACTTCGAAAGCCGAGATTGGGAGGAGTTCCAAGCCGGCCAGAGCATCCTGTGCAATCCGCACCGGATATGAAACACTCATCTCTCTGCGACCCGGTTGCGCCTGAGCGGCGACATAACCAGATTGGATGGACAACTTCCAGATCAGGGAGCGGATCCAGTGCTGCGTGGCAACGATGTCGACTTTCTGGATATCATTGGCACACTGCGGAATTTCCGTTGGGAGTTCCAGCTCCCGCTGTATAAGGAGAAGTTGCTTGCTGCTTAAGGAAACGCTGGTGCCTTGTGCAGTCCATTTGTTGAAGAAGTCGCTGCCAGGGGTATGGAACAAAGTGACGAGGTTGAGGAAGCCTGTTACCAAGTCTGGGTAGTCCTCGTTGTCTGTCGATGGCAATGCAATTGGTTCCAAGACGGTAGGTAGTCCGTAGCGAATGCACAAAAACCTTTCCGTCATCAAGAGAAGGAAGTACAATTTGCGCATGACCTGCCGCTCTCGGGGAGTCCATTGTGGTTGCACATAGGTCGTCTCGATGTGCATGTCCAAAAGGTTGGCGAAAGTAATGGCTTCTCGAATATAAAATGCGGCGGTCTGCTCACGCCCCGACCGACGCCCGTAGTAGATATGGAGAAAGTAGGAAGTGAGCACAGAGTTAAGAGTGACATGCTCCATGTAATCGAAGGTCCCTCGCAAACGTCGCGCTTGTTGAGCAAATGAGTCGGCCGTTAGCATTTGAGGTAGATTTGGGTCGTTGCATTCAGAGTCATCGTAGACAGTCTGATTCAGATGGGACAAGGTAGCTCCACAGATTGCAGCAGCCAGTGTATGGGTCTCCGGATTATGGGGATTTCTCTCCATCTGAGCGATAAGCTCTTCTGCATTCAATAGTGGCCATATTCCGTACAGGTGGTCTTGGTAAATGCGTAGCACGCGTGTTAATGCCGACAGCGTGACCTTCACTGGAAGGGGTGGAGGCATCCAAGCATCGAGTGCTGATGGACTCGGACTCGGAAAATCAAGTTGTTGTTGTTGTCCTAGGTGGCATGCTGACGACGATCTCTGGTGATCCTCGATCTTGGCTAGTGATGAGGGTCTCAAACGGTTTGGACCGCTCTTTCGGCGTGTGCGAAGGTAAGTGCATTGCAGATCATGCTGCGAACAACGGTGGCACGGTTGCTGGCCGTTACATTTGACCTTGCGGATGTTACAGCAGTCGCAAGCGCGCTTTGACGGCATGTTGATAAGAGGTTGTTGAAGGATGGAAAAGCGACGCGGAACTCTGGCGGCAACTTCGGTCATCCCTGAACTGGACTAAACAGAAAGTGCAGTTTTGGTTGGAATTATGGTTCCGTCCGTGCGTTCGTGCGGGGTGAGTCGCACCGCGGCTAAATGAACCAAGAGAGGCGAGGCATCGATTTAGAGATGCTGTAGATGACTATTATATCAATGTCTAGGAATAGATTTCTATAGTAGCTGGGACTAGTGATCCTTTATCGCAACAGGGCGCCATAGGGACTCTGGCAAGTCCGCCTCGTCGATATCGTAGATATGCGGCAGGACCGTTGGCAGATCCTCTGTTCGCAAAGAAGGAAACGATTCGCGGATAGTACGAAGGAGTAGCTTATAATAAATGTGATATCCCTGGCCAGAGAAATGCACTCCATCCGGCGCAAGAAGATCGGTCAAGTTGTTTGTCCGGTTCGCGTCGACGCTCTCATTGCCGCCCTGGCGATCGTCACCGCTCGAAGATGATCTGGTGTACGTTTGAAACTCGGTCCACAAATCCACAAATGGCACATCGTGTTCCTGTGCGACTTGTTTCACAGCTTGCGAATATGCCCTGTGCACTTGGTTGGAGTGATCCAGAACGTGTTCCCCAACAAGAGCTGGTCCAACTAAGATCACGTCGATACCCCGATCGAGTGCGTGGACCGTCAGAAATCGCAGATTCTCGGCATAGCGTTGTATAGGAATATGCTGCCGAGTATTTGTAGGTTCGACCGCGTCGTTGGTTCCGAAGAAGATCACTAGTAATCTGATTCGACTGCCTCCAGCGGTTTCGGCGCTGAGCATGGGTTCCAGGATATGTCGCGCATGTTCACTATTATAGCCTCCATAGCCATGCGCAAGAATTTGTAATTTGCGAAAATATTCATGCTGCAATGCTGGCGAGAGATTGAAAGAGAATTCTTGGTTCCAGCTTTGTTCGGTCAGGGAGTCGCCGAAGAGGATGATCTTATCGGACGTTAGGGGGTTTGGGTGAACCATGATTGTACAGGGGGTAGGAATACGGGAATTAGATCCTCACACACGATAAACAGGAGAATTCAGATGAATAGATGTGTTCGCTGAGTAAAAGAGCGGGCTGACGTCTCTACTAAACTAAGGTGAAAGAAACGATCGATCCCGGCGAGATTCTCGGCAGAACACTGTGGTCCCAATCGAGCGTATCTCCGCCTTTATCCGATCCAGAAAATTGATTGAAATCTGAAAATGGACTACCAAATACGGGAGGTGGGACTTTCTGCGGATAATCTTCTATATTTATAAGAGAGAGAGAGAGAGAGAGAGAGAGAGAGAGCGCGCGAAAGCAATCATGAGAAACCAATCTTAACAGCGTAGTAGTCTCTACCAAGAGAAAATCCCGCTGTGTTCAGATTAACCTTTACAAGGTACAGCTCCTCTGACTGACGTGCCGTAGTGAAAGGAACTTCTTTTCCGTCCAGGGTAACTCGAAGTTCCTTTTCTAAGTTTCCACTTTCGGATATCAAAAACCCGAGAGTTCCTTGGTAGCGAATGTTTGCACAAAGTCGGGTGCCCAAAACTTCCAATTTTGCAATGGCAACCAGTCCGGCGTACTTGTCGATTAGGCCAAGGCAAGCTATCGTTGCCTCTCCGACAGCATGGTATGGGGCAATGGTGAGGATCTCCACGGCCTTCGGAGGTAGGCGGATTGCTAGTACAGGCGACAATTTTTTCTCACTGGTCGAAGCGTTCACAGTCACAGATCTGGCTTTTGCAGCATGGGAAACCCAAACTGCCATGTCGGTCTCTTTGGACACGGTGGGCAGATCCAAGGCGTCGAGCATATCTTCTGAGTAGATTATATCAACAGCATCGTCCTGAGCCTCCGCGCGGCAGTTCCAGAGCACAATGTTCGCAGAACTGCAGCTGGGGATGTAGGAAGTTCCCTTCAGCGCAGGACCAACTCCCGCATCCAGGAATCGTTCCCAAACATTCCTACACAGCGGTCTGATCGCATTCTCGGTTTTGATCACTTCATGCGTTCCAGAAGCGGGTGAGAAGCCGATAAGTTTCTCGAGGATGTGGGAATCGTATGATCCTGGTTTGTCCGCCGCAAGCACTGGGCCGTCGAAAAAGGCACGCAGTGTGGCATGGTACGCTGGCCACTGAGCATTGGTCATGAACATATCCACATCTGGGACGATGCATAAATTGCTGGTAAGAAGGGCGTTGTAGATGTTATAGCGGATATGGTCACGGTGCACGTTGGGACGCGGGAGGCCGAAGTCATCCGAGTTTCGGAACACGACCTTCTTCCCATTAGTCGCTGCTCCCAGGCCAATATCTCCGTTGAACATCCGTTCGTAGTGTGCCATGCAGTGGATGACACGGTTTTCACCGAATACTTCGTTCGCTGCTTTGGTCATTCCGTCCCACATGGCAACGAACTCCTCGCCTCCTTCAACGCCGTCCAGAAAGCTGCCGTAGGCTTGATTGTCGACCTTAACAAACGATACACCGGCTTCGGCGCAAGATGAGAAGTAATCTTTCCAGAAGTCGTAAGCTCGGTGTTTGGGAGGAAGGTAGTAAACCCGGTCTTTGGGGTCGGCGATGGAGCAAGTCTGATGGGTATCAAATCCGCCGAGAGGCTGTGGAATTCCCGGCAGGTTATTTGGGTTTAGGGAGAAGGCTCTCATTTCGTATTTCTTTGCCAGAGGGGAGTCGGGTGCGACAGAGTTCCAGTATCCGTAGAGTGTCATCCATACACCCACATCCTGTACTGTGGGCAGAGTGTCCTTGACCAATTCCACAACCTCTGAAAGACTGCATCCCATTTCAGGCCATGTGCCAAAGGTCCAGAGACCACGCGAGGTGTCTGCACCATTTCGACCAGTGCGGATATCTTGCCAACCGTCATCAATGATGAAAGTACCGATGGGGACCTTGTCTTGCCGCAGTGACCGCACAAGATTTTTTACCAAGTCATAGGTAAGCGGTACATTCTCCCCAATGCTGGACCAAGTACAGAATCCCAGGCGGTTGAAAGGGTTATTGCCATCTGTGTCGGTCTGGAAGGGTGCGGTTGAGAGACCGTACTTTTCGCGTGCTAGATCGATGGCCCCCCGAATAATCGTGACTGGATTTATTTTGTGTCCAAGCTTTCCGGTGACAAATACATCAATATTTCCGCCTTTCTTCACCCGTCTCACTCGGGCATAGATCCCCGGGGTTTCATCAGCGCGAGCGGCGCTTAATGTGACAAATGCTTCACTCGACGAGGCAGGGAACACGGCGAACACCGACTGTGGGTCGTTGGCTGGGGTTGTCGGGCGCAGCAGAAGTGAGTGAGTCGTGACCTGTGGAGACAACTCGCGCAAGGAAGTGAATGATGCCTCAATCCAAGTGTCGCGGGGACGATACCAGGCCCACCCTTCCCACTGGTCCTGCTCCAGCCACTCAAGTCGTTGACTTTTGAAATTCTCACTTTCATCCAGAACGACCTTAGTGCAAAAGTCCCGCTCGGTCGCCTTGGGTTCTGTAGACCACACGAGGGAAATCGTGCCCAGGAGTTGTCGTCCGCCATTCGCGTGCTCAAAGATGGAAACCTCCGTGGCATCGCAGGAAATTGCATTCAAAGACGCCTGGTACACCTGGAGCTCACCCAGGGCTAACACACGCTCAATACTCTTCAACGGTGAAATTTCGTCACCAATCTGGGCGAAAAGGTCGGCAGATCGTGAACTGGCTGCCGAGAGGATGAGAGAGGAGCTCCCTGCAGTCATAAACACGGACTCGCCCAGGGGAGGCGTAAATACAATCGAGCCGGAATCCGAATTGGTGGCCATAGTGATATGGTTCAGTTTAATGTAATACTACGTATGTAGATAGGTGGGGGTACGGACATTTATAGTATTTCATTGTTGGCGTTTTGGTGACGGCTGACATGAGGACTAGGGAAGAGACACCGAGAATTGTTCCGCCCATCCAAGGCTATGTGGGGATTCAATCGAGCTTTCTTCCGACCTAATGGCTTGGGCTCCAAGTTCGGAAATCCCGAAGTATTGCCAGCCGACTAGGACTACTCAAATCTAGGTCGTGAAGCGTACCAGTCCACACTGCGCTGGCCAAGGGACCTCGCAAGGATAGGGCAACTACAGGGCCGAACTGAATATCAACAAACCTGCTTCATTCGAGGCATCTACACTTCTTAAAAATTCTCCACTACGAGCTATTGCCAACGAATATTATAGTAATTCTTCACCATGGAGAGAACAAATATTGTCGATTTACAAATTCGTGTAATTATAATAGTGTCGACTATAGATGGGAACGAGCCTTGTGCCAGTGATCTCTGCTTTAGACTCGTTTTGAGTGAGCATCCCCTATCGGCCTTCCAGATAGAGCAACTGGGACTCTCCCTCGCCTAGGTATGCTGTGAAAGAACTCGAGACTCTGCTCGAGTTACTATTCCAGACATCTGTAAACTTCCACTGTTTTCCAGAAATACCAAGATCATTCAGTGAGATAGTCACCTCCTGGACTCCTGAAAGCGAAGTATTAAATCCACCGGAGCCCTGATCCGGTCCGTAATTGACGAGCAAGACATACGCATTGGATGTTTCATCCGGTCCTCCAATCCAAGCCTGCACCTGCTGCGCCAAGTTGTTCCCCGTACCTGGATTTCTAGGTTGCATAGGATATTTTGCGGCAAAATTGGCGAATGAAACACTCTGACTGCTTGTCAGCAGCTTGGTGCCCAGTGCATCAATGTGGCGGAGATCGCAACCGAGAACCAAATTTGCACCAGCGCCGAGCCAGTGGTTCATGATCGTGACTCGCTCTGTGTCGCTCACACCTGTCAGGTTCTGAGGGTTGCAGACGAATAAATTGTCCATGTCTGGGTATATCGTGATTGGTACATTACGTTCCTTCTGCAGCGAGATGTATTGCCGGTAGTTTTCAATGGCCCGCTGGACAACCTGCCACGCAAGGAAGGTATTTGTACCGTAGTTGTCGATATCCTGGTCAGTCCTCATCGACTCGGCGAAGGAGCTCCAGAGAGGCAGGTACGTTTCATTGCGGCACAGCTTCCACGAAAGATCCAGACGAACTTGCTGACCAGAGTTGGCGATCGCCTTGTGATATGCTTCCACCGCGGCGCTGTTGTTGCAAGGTAGGTTTGCGCCATTCGACGGGCTTCCCGGCGTAAGAAAGTCGAGCTTGATCATGTCGATCCCCCAGGATGTCCAGAGCTCTAACAGAGAGTCATGCCACTGCTGCACGCCGTCCTTGGAAAAGTCCCAGTCGCAGTAGTCAAGCCCGTCGTTGTTGCCATTGAGTACATCGCCGATAAGGATGTTCGTCCCCTTGATCGTGCGGTTGGCTGCACCACAGGGAACTCCTGGGATCACGTAGACGCCCAGCTTCAAACCCTTTGCATGGAGTTCCTGCGCCAACTGAGGTAGGTTAAATTCCGTGTTGTTGTACTGGATCCGCCCATAATCATCGACATCGTTCGTGTTCCAGCCCGCATCCAAGCTGCACAAGTCGTAGCCCATATTCCGAAACTCTGGCCTCGATAGTACGGTACATTGGTCCAGGACACTCTGCTGGTTTGCGCCTGTCCAACCCGGAATTATCGTTGGGTCGGAGAGAGCCTCGATCCCCCATGAATTCCAGCCTCGGCCAGATGAGGTAAAGCCATTGGCAGTCTTCGCAGTGCGGAGAACCTGTAGTGGCCCAGAGTTGGGCGCAGGCTGGGGATAACAGCCATCTACAACGGTGTCCGTCCGGTCTTGAATGCAGAAACCCGGTCCGGATGTGCCAATTGTTCCATCCTGAGAGTAACATCCGGACTCCGCAGCCATCCAAAACCATTGGCCATCACTGCCATCATCCCAAGTTCCTGTCGTCCATCCATCCAGCAGACAAAAATCGAGGATATCTTCAAAGGCACTTGTGTAGTCGCTGTTGCTACCGCCAGATGCCTGTTGCTGCATGTAGAGATTTCCTGCCGCACCTTGGCAATTGACCTGGCTGGCGTTCGCGGCGAATTGGCTGATGCAGTTCTCCACAGCGTCGTGGCATTCCTTCGTAAATTTGATTGACCCAGGCGTGTAGCTGGTCCCGCCGCAGTTCCATTGAGCCACGACTTGTGGAACAACCGAAGTGATCCCAATCAGAATGATTGCAAACATGGTGGAGTTCTTAATTTTCCCCAGATCGATTGACTGAGATCACAGTGCTGACCTAGCGAATTGCCCCCACAGCAGTTGTTTATACATGTTTCTGAAGCGCCGCTCTGTAAGGTTTCAGACGGTGAGATTCCCGGTCCAACTACTCACATTTTCCGCGTTGTGTAGTATCCGCAAGTTCTTGGAGGGTCCTGCAGAGACTAGTCCGGGGGAAGTACCTTGGAAGTGTTATTTACCCTATTTTCCGTGTCATGCGGGGTAGGTCCCACTACCCTCCCGGATTTTTGGCCGGGGCGAATCTCGGTCAATGTTTTCGATGATCGGCAGTCGTACCCATACGAGTTATCCATTACCCGCCAATAAACGGGCAACGGAATCACCTTTTTTGACTTCGACTTTTTTGAACATTAGACTAAGCCTTCAATTGAAGATCATTTGCCTCTACAGTTCTATATTAATCCAACCGACAAAATATAGACAACCAAGGTAGTCGTTGGTGCATCTCCAACAACTACAATTGAAGGTCCAGCTTGTAAGACCCGTGATTGATCCTAACGTGGCCGCCTCCCAGTATTTTTTCGACTTGCCTTCACGGAATATTTCGGTCTGCTTCAAGATTGCAGCAAGTCTCACGATCTCAGACGTACCAATGGGAAGAGAAGTTCCAAGGTGATAGTTCCTTCGTCCCCGCGCTGGAAATTGATCTCAATCAGCCCAAACGGGCAATCGACTCTTCCCTCGACATGACCGAATTCCGCCTCATAAGAGGGGGACATTTCGAAAGATCAAGAGGTATTCTCGATCTGTTTCAAGCCAAAACAGCGGTATAGAACCATCCGTAGATTGTACCTAGCATCTCGTGGATCGCGAGCTAATTAATTTTATCAGTTGCGCCGAATATGATAGGAGAAATATTCTTCACTCATCAGCATGGCAGAGCAATGGTATGAATCCAATGGGCATTTAGCGTGGAACTAGATAACTTGCGATGGCAAGATCGTCTGGGAGCTTAGCAAATGAAGGCGAACATGGCATATTCAATTTTCTATTTAATCTACGCATTCATTCTAGCACGCCCGTTTCCCATTTCAACCATGTTTGAGATGTATATATAGGATACGGATGATATAGCTCTCGTAGTCGGTTCTATTTAGCTAGGAATTTTCTTAGTAAACTAACGGCTTCGGCATAGTAACCTGAAAATATTTCGGTGAAGGCGAGATTAACTATACTCCAATTTCAATCATACACTCATATCTCCCATCCATGCACTGCCGGAGGTGACATTCTCCGAGTACGTAGTGGAGAGCGCACGCTTCACACTCGCTCTCAGCTTCTCACCCAGGACCTCGACGTCACTGTGCTCAGCAGCAATGGTGCGCTTGGTGTCGTGGAAGGTCTTCCAAGCCGGGGTACCGATGTACGGAATACCAGTGGGATCCTCGAAGATCTGCTCGGTCTTCTCCAGAGTCTTACCCGCAGTCTCAGGGAACATGAAAAAGACGTGGATCAGCATGGCTACTAGGAAACAACCGAAGATGGTGTAAGTCTGCCAGCGGATGTTGGTGAAGGCCAAGGGCACGAACAGAGCCAGCTCCATGCTGAACGCCCAGTTGGCTGAGGTGGCCAGCGCGACGGCCTTGCCGCGGACGCGCGGAGTATACACCCATGAGACCAGACCCTCTACAACCCGCTCCACCGACTCCCTCCGGGAGTTCCGACCACTCCCCGCCCGCTCCCCGCCCAGCGTAGGGGCTAAGTCGGAAACGCAGCAACCGTACCGCATATTCCCTTGAGACTATTCGATGCGAAAAATGGCCCACGTATCTGATGATCCCCCCTGGATGTTGCGCAGACACCAACTTCTAAGCGACGTCGCGTAGCCGTCGCCTGTGATGCTTGCCGAACGCGCAAATCCCGGTGCGACGGCAACCGGCCGCTCTGCTCGTTGTGCCGGGATTTGGGCTTCGAGTGTATCTACACGCCGCCGACGACCGCTACAAATGTAATTGTGCAGAAAGATTACCTGCATGGGCTGGAGGACCGGGTTAGGAAGCTTGAAGACTCATTGTCCACTGTCAAAGATGACATTGCAGGACTGATCACGAAGGTGGATCAGGGCCCTGGGCAAGTATTGCAACCGAGTGAATATGAGGGGAGTCAACGAGTTGTTGCTGGTCATGTGCCAGACTTGACGGGTACGGAGGACTCAGTGGATGCTATGGGAGCGGTGACATTTGCGAACGAAGAGGATTCTGGGTTTTTTGGTATGTTCAATTCATCCGAGTAGTTTTCTCAGCTTACCCCATAATAGGTCCATCTTCAAATATCGCATTTCTGCGGCACCTATCCCGTGCGGTTGTTCAGCAGGGGTACCTCATGTCCCCTGGCGCGGCAGACGGGGGCTTCGTGAGTGCATCACGGCCTCCGTCTCGGTCAGGTCAAATCAATGGCCGAGACAAACGCGCTCACGTCAACATATATGCACTGCCTTCTCAAGATGAGACATTAAAGATAATTTGCCGATACTTTTCTAACACGGGTCTCTTATTTCCTTATATATACCCACCTGCTTTTCTCGAGACATACCATCAGATGGCTCGAGAGAACTTTACTCATGTACGAAGGACGTGGCTTGGCCTACTGAACATGGTATTAGCCATGGCGACCATTACCGCTATTCCTGATGGTTCCAGTGCAGATACACGGATCGCTGAGTCCGATGTGTTCTATCAGCGCGGTCTTGGTTTATGTGGGAGTGAGATCTTGCGTGGCGCAACACTGGAAGTTGGTAAGTGGCTTGGTTACGCACATAGGTTCACCCAATCACTGATAATTTACAGTTCAATTTCTACTTTTGATGGGCCAATATCTTCAAGGTACACAGAAGTCCATTCAGGCATGGACGGTTCATGGGCTCGCTGTCAAAGGAGCTCTTCAGCTTGGCTTACACTCCCGAAATGCATCGAAAACATTTTCACATCTTGAACAGGAAACTCGAAAGCGGACTTGGTACGGCTGTATAGTACTAGACAGGTCAGTGCTTTTCTGACGGATGCTTGTCTATACTAACCAGTGAGAACCACAGGACTCTAAGCATGACATTTGGCAGACCTGCAGCCATTCCTGATAGCTACGTCAAACTGGATCTGCCACTCAAGCGAGAATTTGAGAAGCCCTCGGATTTCGTGGACGATGAAACTTCTGTACTGAGTGTTGCGTTTTTCAATGCCACCATGTGAGTTGAATCCCTTCCGCATTTTCTAGTATTACTGACAGACAAACAAGCACTCTATACAAACATCTATGGAATGTTTTGGACCTTCTTTACGGCCAAAACCTTGGCTGTGATCCCTCGCTACCAATCACCGAAGCTGCAGCACACATATTCAGCATGGAGCAACATCTTTTTGCCTGGGAAAGGTCGCTAACCCAGCCACTGCAACTCATTTCCATCATTAGCTTGGATGAAATGGCAAAAGGGCAACTGTCCAACTACCAGTACTTTTCTTGGAAGTTTCGAGTCATCCTCACTTTACGTTATCTCAACCTCCGTGTCTTACTCCATAGGCCGGTGCTAGTAAAGTTCATCGCCGCAAGCGCAAACACAGAATGCGATCCCCAGGATCTCAAACTTCTTCAGCAAATTGGCATGAACAGCATGCAGATCTGTGCCGATTCGGCTATGGCTATCATCGACATCGTCCATCAGGTCGTAACAGAGCCGGGCTGGAAACAGAGTCTCCTAGGGGCGTGGTGGTTCTCCTTATACTATAGTAAGCCCCTTTCCCTCTATTATGATCAACTGGTTGGTACTAATAACCTTCTAAGCTTTTAATGCGGCATTGGTAATTATTGGCACAGTCTGGGTCTACCGTGACACAAGCGTAACCGGCACCCCGATGACCGCGCAAGCCAGCAAAGCAAAGCAGTACCCCTGCCGGGCCGTTGCGGCTCTGTCCAAACTGGACGAGGGCAACCGTCTTATCGATCGATGCAGGTACTATCTCGAGCAATGTAATAAGGCTCTCAATGACCCTGGTTAGTTTTCTCTTTGTTCACGTTGTGAGTACAAAAATGTTAATGCTCATTTTTAGAAACGCACCACGATGTTGCGACTCCATCGTTCCACGGGCTCACTGGGAACCGCATTGTATCTGCCAATGACTTGACCTTTTCTCCATTTGGAATGGAACTCGGTGAGTTTATGATGGATGGAGATCTTGTTGGTATGATGGATCGGCAGGAAATTTTGCCTGTGCCGGGGACATCGTATCCAGCTTGATTTGCTTCGGAAACTCAAGAAAGTATTCAAATATCCAATGCAGAGCATGATTTGATAAAGAGATACCCAAACTTCCAACTTTACTCGTATGACAAGAATTTATAATAAGAGCAGACTTCCTTTATAGCCGTAACAAGAAGTATTGGTTTTCCTTGATACAAATTTCAATACAACACATAACATCGTCACTCAAGTCACAAGTGATTCAGCATCCATCTCCCCTGAACGATAGAATCCCAACGCATCGATCATTGGCTTATCGTCAAACCGATACAGATACACTGGCTGCCCGGGATCGGCAAAGTGCTGATATTTGTACCACGAAGGAATGCAGAAGGTATCACCCTTCTCCCAAATAAGCTTCTTGTCCCCAATAATTGAGTATCCAGCTCCAGCAACCGCATGGTACACAGAAGAGGTAGTCTCACGACGACTAGGCGAGGACTTGCCTGCTGTGAGACGCTCAGCACAACCACCAAGAACACGGCTCACTAATAACAACAAGTTAGCTTTATACTCACATATAAAAGATAAAGCATACCTTCACTACCGTCGGCCTTCAAATACCGACGCGTCGCCCAATCCCCAGGTATACTGTCCAGCCGAACTTTCATCTCAGACCAAGAGAACACCAGTGGAGAAGTGCTGTTATCAACATCTTTCGCTGGATACCGCGGCTGATTGAAATGTTCGACAAAGTGCACAGGGAAATGCTTGAAATTGGGCAGGTCTAAGCCATCTAGCCAAATCATGGGTCCGGAGCCATCTTTGCCGTGGTCATGGTAGTTCCACGTCGGCGTCAGGATCACATCGCCCTGCTGCATCTGGATGCGGCGGCCGTGGACTGCAGTAAATCCGCCATTACCTTCGATGATGAAGCGCATTGCAAAGGCTGTGTGGCGATGTGCACGAGCGGTTTCATTGGGCATCACTAACTGGAGACCAGCGTAGAGGGTGTCGGTTGTATAGGGAGCATCTGGACGAGTCAGTTTGTGTAGTGCGAATACAGAGGGTAAAATCGCCGACCTCTGGCTGGATTTATCAGCATCAGAACTCGACGCTCAGCCTGCTCCGCCGGGACGAGTGCGCCGGCACGTAAAAGGTTCGGTCGAACGTCTTTATATCTCCACACATTGGGGATGGTGGTGGGATTCGGTACCGGAGGGTTCAGCTTGGTAATTTGCTTCCACAGAGGTAGCGTTTTGCTCGCCGCCAGGTCAGCAAGAAGCTTCTCCTCCGAGTCAGACGTAGTTGCAACTTGATCAGTCAAAGACATGGTTGTTATGCCGGAAGAATATTTACGTGCTGTCAATATCCGGCGAATCTTTGGGGATGACACATTTATTTTTCACGGATGAGCTTGTTAAGATATAGCCGAAAGAACTGTTTATCGTGGTTGGCAAGAATAATGGGTCGTGGAAGCATCGGGGAAAGATCGGAATGGTCCTGGGAGGGCTGACCGGAACATGTTTGCATAAGAAGGATTTAGATCGATAGTTTGTCAAGGGGCCATACATGCGGGGTACTACAGCTCTTGTTGATAGGCACAGATTTTGACAATCATCACGATGGCAAATAAGGACCTAGCCGATGCGCTGAATTCGGGCCTGAAAGTGAGTGTTCCAAGTCTAGTCACAATGGCGACTAACAAAAACCAGACCCCGACATACCCAAGCAACTGCTTGGCCTTTTTAAATCCCCCAACTGAGACCCCCGTCCAAATCGCCCAGGTGTGCATGCGCATCGTTGTCGTCGGCGCTGGGCTAGGGGGTCTTGCAACTGCGATTGCGCTCGCCAGCTCCGGCCACACAGTGACTGTGTACGAACAGGCGCCCGAGTTGGGAGAAGTGAGTCGCATCCCGTGTCGGTAAAGCGTACACCACTCACGCACAAAATAGGTCGGCGCAGGCATTCAAATCCCATCTAATTCAACGAAATGGCTCAAGAAGTTCGGACTCGATTCTTACTTGAAAGACTACATCACCGAGCCAGAGGCGATGGCGTTCCGACGCTGGCAAACGGGCCAAGTAATCGGGTTGACTCGTCTGATCCCCGAGTTTCGAACCATGTTCGGCGCGCCCTACTATGTCATCCACCGGGCAAATTTTCACTCAGCCTTGCATCAGCGTGCAGTTGATCTGGGAGTGACGGTTAAATTGGCCTCGCGGGTAGTCAGCTACGAGACTCATGGCCCAAGCATTGAGCTTGCAGACGGGTCGTTTGTGTCGGCGGACCTTGTTGTCGCAGCAGATGGTATGTCAGATCAAGTTGAGCTAGGAACCAAACACTGATTATTTTTCATAGGAGTCAAGTCGATCGCTCGAGGATTCATCCATGAAAGTGGCAATCGGCTCCCCGAGCGGACAGGCTTCGCAGCCTATCGAGCTACGGTAGATGTGGCACGCATAAAGGCAGACCCAGACCTCGCGTGGCTGCTAGAAAAATCTTCTTTGAATCTCTGGTAGGTTTACTTGCCTTCAACAAATTCTTTTGGTACTGACTTGATTACTAGGGTCGGCGACCAACGACATGTCATGACATATACCATTGGAGGAGGCAAGTCCTTTAATATGGTTCTCTCCCACCCTGATAATACCGACCCATCAACGTGGGACCAGACGACAGCTCTGAGCGATATGCGGAGAGAGTTCCAAGGATGGGATGCACGGTGAGGGGAAGGTTTAACACTTACGACTTTTTGCTGATATTTTTCCTGCCAGCCTGCAAAAGATCATCAGTTTCATCGAAAAAACACTCAAATGGCCACTGATGAGCTGTGTACCTATGACCCGGTGGACGAATAACAAAACCGTAATCCTGGGAGATGCAGCACACGCAATGCTGCCCTACATGTCCCAAGGTAAATTGACTCATTTGATTACTATTGTATGGGAAATACCTAACCAATATAAACAGGCGCAGCAATGGCCGTCGAAGACGGAGTAGCTCTCGCACGATCTCTGTCTAAGATTAGCAGCACTTCTGAAATTTTGAGGGCCCTTGCCGTCTTCGAACAAGTCCGCATCGAGCGATCCGGCATGATGCAGGAGGCGAGTCTTCTAAATGGAAAACTGTGGCATTTTCCCGATGGACCTCTTCAGCAAGCTCGTGATGAGGCTATGCGTCCGGAGACTTTGGGAATACCGTTTAGTCACAGTCCTAATCAGTGGAGTGATCCGGCTACGCAGATGTGGTGTTACGGGTACGATACTGAGAAAGAGATTGATAAGATATGGGAGGAGGGTTCGGCGGCTGGACAAAGTACATTTTAGATTACCAGCTATGACCCGTTAACCCTATACTATAGAATTTTGTTCTCCCGTCCCCTTATGTTTGAATTTCGCAGTCGAGCCAAAGGCCTCTCGACAATAAAATTATATGCAGCAAAGTAACACGCAGCCGTTCAGGCGAGTATTCATTCAGCAGAAACTGTATGCAAGCTGCTCCTTCAATAATCCACGGATCTACGTAATACCCTCAGATGTAAACTCCATAGAGGGAAAATAATGATATCCGCCCTACCCCCACACACCCGATCCATCCCCGGCCAAACCAACACTCCAATTCATATAGCCCGCACTCCCCTCACTATCCAAGGTCCGTATTATATCTTGCTCTGCGTAAAATTATTCACAATCATCCATAACAATGTCTCTCCCCTGGAAGCGTCTAATCCGTTTCATAGCCACAGACGGGCGTACCCTCCGCGGAGAACCCATTCTGCCCAGCAGCACCGAGACCACCGATCTCGGCCTGATCACCGAATCCGACAAGCTGCAGGCGCGCGTAATTGAAGGCGATGATATTTACGACACCACGGGCCGGACACGGGTTACGGATGAGGTGGTCACCGTGCGGACTGTGCTTGGTCCGCTGGCGCAGGAGGAAGTGCCGATTCTGCGATGTGTGGGGTTGAATTATGCGAAGCATAGTGAGTGACTATATCATTGATAATTAATTATCTTTCTTGAGTTGGGATGGTACAGTTATTTATACTTATGCTAATAGGCTGGATCAGTCAAGGAAGCAGGCCGCACTCCGCCACCATTCCCATTTATCTTCTTCAAACCGAATACCACGGTGCATGACCACGGGCAGCCGGTGGTGATTCCGAAAATCGCTCAGGATGACCAGGCAGATTATGAAGGAGAACTAGTTCGTCCATCTCCAAATCCCCAATTTCCTTCCCCAATACTAACAATCCAACCAGTGCCTTGTAATCGGCCGCGACGCCAAAAACGTCCCCGCCTCCGAAGCCCTCTCCTACATCGCCGCCTACACAGTAGGCAACGATGTGTCATCACGCAAGCTACAACGTGACCCAGCGCTCGCCGGACGCGTCCCACAATGGGGGTTCTCGAAGGGCTTCGACACATACGCGCCACTGGGTCCGTGTCTTGTGGCGGGGAGCGAGATCCCCGATCCGAGCAAACTGCAGCTGCGCACTGTTGTTGATGGACAGGTGCGGCAGGAAGAGTCTGTGAGTGATTTGCTGTTTGATTGTGCGTACTTGGTGTCGTATTTGTCGTCGGGGACGACGCTGCAGAAGGGCAGTGTGATTATGACGGGGACGCCCGGAGGTAAGTTCATATTTTCCCTAATCAAGATGAATTGACTGATGGATTCTTCGCAGGTGTTGGGTCGGGATTGACTCCGCCACGATATTTGGTTCCCGGGACGCAGATGGACGTGTCGATTGAGGGCATTGGGACGTTGCGGAATGGCGTGGTGTTTGAGTAAACTAAGGAGGGTATAGATCTCGACAGCTTAGAGTCTTTAAATAGTTCATTATTTTGGCAGGCTTCTATATCTGTCCGAGAACACAGTACACTTCAAATTATCTGTTGACGAGTCGAGGTAGGGCTGCTTGCGTCTACATAGGCACCAGCTGAGCTCATATCACCCTTTTGTCATGCCAATATGTACTTCCAAAGAGTCTAATATATAAAAAATCCATGTCCCTCCCCAACTTAATCACAGACACACCAATAAACCAAATCTCATCTACCACAATGGAAGTTCCCAGAGATCTATAGGACCATCTCTGTCTCCCCCTGAAAGTCTCTGCTTCAGTAACTTGGACGATATCAGGTAAGGGGCATCCATTCTTCAAGATTGCTATAAAAACAGTGTATGGAAAGCTTATCAATTCGGAATGATTAAATCCCTTCCAGGTTGGACCATTCCAGCTGTTTTCATGCCCCTGTCAACTCGCACCGCAAAACACCCTGGGCCTGCATAATGAACATGAAGATAATCAACTTTCGCATCCGCAAATAACAACTCCGCCCTTTCTGCCAGGTCTTTGCCTTCCACCACCATAGCCCCTGTCATCATCTGGTTCGCGTCGTAAGCACGTACAGATAGCAAGCGGCGGCGCTGCTGGTCAGGCACTGATCCATCACACTGATATCGCATGCAATCCTTACGGTGGACGAATATCGGACCAGAGCCAGTGTACGGCGATCCCGCAAGAAAAGGATCATAGGGAACGAGGAGCATGTCCTCGCCTAGCCGGCCGTCTTCTAGACACCGTCTGCATGGGAAGCCTCCTGGTTCGTCGACCATCTCAGAGACTGAGTTCTCTGGATTGACGACTAAGGGAGCGGGGAGCGCAGTAAATTCCAGCATGTCTTGAGGTGCTTGGACAGCAAAAGGGCTGCCTGCTTAGTAGGACCGAAGATTAGCTGCTAGTATGAGAAGGTGCTTCCTAGTACATACTTCCTTTACGTGGATGATGGGAAATGTTTCGAGGCGCCAGCAACGGCCAAAATTAGTCAAAAGTATGGAAAGAATTCGACACCATAACTGTTATATGTATATCTTGGACACCGTGGCATATGCATACGGAATGTTCTAGTTAGCATTGCTCTGCTCTCAATATGACCAATAATCACAGGGAGCTTTGTAGAGTCAAACTTTGTCTTTGTTCTCGATGTAACCAATTATCAAAGTGAGCTTTGTAGAGTTAAACTTTATCGTTGCTCTCCAATTCCCGAGTAGGAGATGAGGAACAGAATAAATGATCTTACATATCATCATTAATTACGAACCGGTTTTGGCGACCCTGATTGATGGTCATGAAAATAGCTGGAACAGATTGTTAGTGCCACTGCTGAACGACCGGTTTCTTGGTCCCAAGGCCACACTCACAATCATGTCCTTTCCGCCATGAGAGTAGGTTACCCCGTAGATAACTGTCGCGGACTATGTAAGCAGCTTCACTGAGAGATTGTGCTATCAAATTGAAACGTTTGAGTATATATACATGTCCAGAGCTGGAGCATGCCAATAGTTCAAGACTTGAGGATGACGAGGGCAGTGCTCAACATGGAGATCTAGACTTAATCGAGTCATCAAAGACAAGTCTGAATATACTAGTGTCAGACAGGACAAAAAAGCTACTCTCGAAAAAACTACGTCGGAAGACAGACAGTCCAGTAAAACGAACTCGATTTCAGCATCGTTCAAATCTAAGAACTCAAGCACTAGACTAAAATCCCCGATGATTGCGCCCATTGTTTCGTTCCACATGGTCGTCGTAGAGGTCATAAAATCAATTCTCTACCTCCGTCGCATCATCGAGATCTCATCAAGAGACGTCTTTGCGAGCATGCGAGAGCAGGAGAGAAGAGAAGAGGATTTGGGGAGGGGAAAGTTTTTTCGTTTTTTGTTGGAATGGATCAATCCATCCTGGGTAGCATTGACACAAGATTCCGAAGAAAAAGTCTATAGACATGAAAATGATAAAAATCATGAAAAGCGGCCCACTAGGGGCTCACATGGGGTAAAAGGGTGTGTAAAGAGAGAGTAAGAAAGTCAAAAAAGGGCCCAGTTGAGAAGAACCCCAACTGGGAACGAAAAGAAAAGAAAAGAAAAAATGATCATCGAGACCACATTGTTGGTTTGCTTGTCCAATCTACCAGAGACGGGTTCCACTGCTTTTTTTCTCGTTCTCAACACGCACGCACACGATCGACGCGGAGGCGTATTTACTCGATGGACCAGGTAGCGCCGGAGAGACGGCCCGCATCGAGGTCAGAGAACTTCTCGAACAGAGCGCGCGACAGATCAATGGAGGTGTCGTCGCAGCCCATGCACTTGTCAACGACGGTACCGCTGGCGGTGACACCATTGTAGGAAATGGTGACGGTCTTGCCGCAGTCACCGTCGGTCATGATGCCGTGGGGCAGGGCGAGGACGGACTCAGTCAGACCGTCGTTGGTAGTGCCGCAGGCGCTGGGGTTCGTGGAAGTGGTGGAGGTGTCGTAGTAGGTCAGGTCACCGGTGCAGGGGGAGCCCGAGTCGCACGAGCCGCTGTAGTTGCTGCCGCCGCTGGAGCTGGAGCTGGAGCTCGAGGCGCTGGGAGCGGGGGCGGAGGCCTCCGTCGAGGAGGTGGTGGGCGCGGCAGGCGGGGCGGGGGCAGCCTGGGTGGTCTGGGCAACGGGGGCCTCGCTGACGGTGGAGGAAGAAGCAGGCACCACGGTCAGGACGGAGGTCACTGCAGTGGGCTGGGCCTGGCCGCCAGGGTAGATGGTGGTGGTCACGTCGATGGTGGTCCAAACAACGTCGGTCACATAGTCGTAGACAACGTCGCGCTTCTTCTCGAAGGGAGCAGCGACACCGGAAGCGGCAAAGAGAGCGCCGGCAAGGGCAAGAGTCTTGGTGATGGGGGCCATTGTGTAGATGGGTGGAAGAAAAGACTGGCTTCTCAAAGTGGGTGGCTTGTCAAAGGATTGATCACTGCACAGCAGGAAAAGTCAAGAAAAGAACACTCGAAAGAGCGTGAGTGTTGACGAAAGAAAGGTAGTGAAGGGACTGAAGAGACCGTTGTGGATGGGAAGGAGAAGGGGAAGGGGAAAGTTGCGCGGCTTTAAATACAAACAGGCAGGGACGGATGGGTCTGCCCCACAACTCCATCCACGGTTGATGCTGCCGCCACTCACTCGGACTCTGCCGAGACGTCGTTGGCCTTGCTTCAGACACTACAGCACACTCCACGCCGCTACACTATACTACAGCACACGGCTCTCCACGACATGGCATGACATGTACGGCCTCTTGAATGCAGACAAAGGCACCTGGTCGGGTACCTGAGTCGGAGCGCCCGGAGCAGGCCACTGCGGGAGCTGATTGGCACAGGGAGGCGCAAACCTGCGACACAGAGAGGGGAACCTCCTGGCCCTAGTCCTTTCCGAGCGTAGGCCGACGGCTGAGAGAGCCGATCCCAGAGCCAAAATCCCCTGGTGGGCCCCACTCCACTTCTTCAGTCCTTGGTTGGCCTATGGCGGGAAGTGACGCAACGCGACCGGAAGATACCACATCCGGCGTGCGCAGAAAGAACCGCGCCATTTCGTCCGAGTGTGCTGGGTTGGGACCGGCCGGGAGAAATCTCGCTTCGGGCAACCACTGGAGGGGAGAGAATGGGCGGCACACAGATCAGACCACACCAGGCGGACGCGACCACGAACTTGACATGTCGCCGCGGGTCCTGATTGGCCCGGTGGTGAGACAAGCTATGAGTTAGGGGCAACCCACCGACCGCGCTGCGATCGCCATTGACATTAGCCCCGGACAGAGATTTCTGACTCCACTGCTCGAGAGGTCTGGGCCCTCGAACGCCTCCTTCATTCAGGGAACCACTCTAGCCGTCGTGGGTCTACATGTCCCGACTGAGGGGACTCTACAGTGAGCCGACCGGCTGAGCTGTGCTGTGCATAGGGCTAGTACAGATCCCTCGGTCACCGATCGGACTTGTCGTGCATCACGGCGGTGACGCAGGAGATGTACTGGTTGTAATGCAAACCAGCCCTAACACACGTCCAGTACGCAGAGCAGACCCTGAACGGGTGTGTGGGTGTGGGTGTCACTTGCTGCCCTACAACACCTATAATGAAATAAATCTTCTATCTCACTAACCCAAGCATTGCAGGCATTGAATATCCCCGATCCCCGGCAGATTCTAGATCTAGACCCGCCCTGGAGGAGGGGCGTGGACCCTGTCGTACCGGTGGTGACACGGTACAGCGTCAGTTGGTGAAGAGGTTGGCATGGCATCATAACCCCCTCTCTTCCCTCCCTCTACCAGTCCGCACAGCTCCACAGCGCCGAGGGAGAAGATCCTCCGGAAAAGGTCACTCGGCTTGAAGGATGGGACTTGGCAAGATGGGTGTGACGACAGGCGGGCAATCGGAGTCGGGAGTGAGGGGATTCCAATGCAGTAGAGGACGAGAACGAACAATCTACGTGTGTAAATACAAACGATCGATTAAGCATGGCAAAGAATGTGATCGGGCATTCCGGGAATAGCACGATGAAGAATGCAATAGAAGTGATTGCACATACTTTGGTATGGAAGCATGCCATATCACCGTACGACCATCATTCCATTACATTCCGTCGGGCCTACCATACAAACAGGCCTTTGAAAAAAAGAAATTCAAGAAACGGAACAGGAAGGTAAAAAAACCCAATTCCCCTCATAACGCCGTGCCCGCCCGAATATCCTCCGGAATAAGAAACAATAAGAGTGAGTGGGTGGAGACGAGGCAAAGAATACCTAGAGAACGGGGGAAAGGGACCCTCGTGGCGAATGACGGCATGTGGCTGGCTTTGAACCAAGCGCACCGAAAGAAAGGAAGGCTCCACCATGGAAGCCGAAAGGAAGGCCGAAAGAAAATCAGAAAACTTTGGAGTGAAAAAGAAAATGCCGGCGGTGCTGTGTCAGCGCCGGATGTGGAAATGGATTCCGCCACTGCGTTTGAGAGGGGGATCAACTGTTTGTAGGGTATGTGGCGTCCAGGTTAGAGAACTGGAGGCTTCAGAAGATTCATAATAGTGAGAGCAGAGTGGACTTCAAAGTCAGTATGAAGAATATATCTATATAATATATCCGTCCCCTGCCTCCATTGTATCTATCAAAAAAAATCAATATCAGAATCAACCCTTCCACTTCTCCCCAATCTCTCCTCGCGAGACCCGAGCAAGCATCAGGCTGTAGATACAGGATCTGTGGACAGACAAAGCACATGCGCACGCGGAGCAAGCGCAATGTAGGCATTTCTCTTACTTTATCTTATTATAAGGGTGTGGGGATAGGAACATCAGAGTCATTAACTATAACTAACATAAGAAAAAAAAATACAACAAGCCACCGCCAATCCATGACAAGGGCCTCAATCAAATCAAGCAGACCATCCAATCTGTGTAATCACAAGGCCAGCGAGTGCAGAAACAGAAAAATCCATCAAACTCATCAAATATAGAGACATGCGATCCTCCCAAGACAGAGACACTCTAACCCTGGCACATGAGGCAGGCCTCCTTGTTCTCGATGCTGCACTCGAGCACCTTCTGTGAGAAGATGTCCGCCTCGGTCTGGGCATCATCGGCACCCTCCTCTTCCGAAGCAGCGGCGCCGTTGGGCTTAGCCTCGAGCACACCGTTCTCAACGGCGGCAGCAGCGGCCATTGGCTCTGGAGCGAGAGTGCGTGGGCTCTCCTCAAGACCACCGTTGATGACAACAGGTGCAGCATTAGCCGCGCCGTTGGTACGGGGCACAGCGGAATAGCTGGAGCCATTGCCAGCGGTGCGCTTCTTATAGGCAGCGTTGCCGCGGGCGACGTTGGTGTCCTCGACCTTGAGCTGCTCCTGGTCGACCGTGAACTGGATCGGAGCGGAGGCGGCCATAGTACGCAAGTAGTACATGCCGGTCTTCAGGCCCATCTTCCAGCCAGCAAAGTGCATGCTGGTGATCTTGCCCATGGTGGGCTCCTTCAAGTGGATGTTGAGCGACTGCGACTGGTCGATGAAAGCGCCACGGTCGGCGGCCATCTGGAGGATATTGCGCTGCGAGATCTCCCACACGGTCTTGTAAAGGGCCTTGATGTCGGCGGGGATGTTGGGGATGTTCTGGACCGAGCCGCCATCGGCGATGATGCGATTCTTCATATTGTCCGACCACAGACCCAGGTCGACCAGATCCTTCAGCAACCATGGGTTGACCACCTGGAACTCACCGGCAAGCACACGGCGCGAGTAGATGTTCGAGGTGTACGGCTCGAAGCACTCGTTGAAGCCAAGGATCTGGCTGGTGCTAGCCGTGGGCATGGGAGCGACCAGCAGACTGTTGCGAACACCGGTCTCGGCGATCTTGGCCTTCAGAGCAGCCCAGTCCCAGAGATCGGTGGGGGTGCGGTCCCACATGTCATACTGCAGGATACCCTGGGAGACGGGAGAACCCTCGTAGGTCTCGTAGGGGCCCTTCTCCTTAGCAATATCAGACGAGGCAGTCAGAGCACCGTGGTAGATGGTCTCGAAGATCTGAATGTTCAGCTGCTTGGCCTCGGGCGAGTCAAAGGGCAGACGCAGGGCAAGGAAGGCGTCGGCGAGACCGTTGACACCCAGAGCAATGGGGCGGTGACGCATGTTGCTGTTGCGCGCCTCGGGGACAGGGTAGTAGTTGATGTCAATGATCTTGTTCAGGTTGCGCACCAGAACCTGCACAACCTCGTGCAGCTTGCCAAAGTCGTACTCACCGCGAGCGGCATCGACGTAGGTGGGGAGAGCGAGCGAGGCCAGGTTGCAGACAGCAACCTCATCGGGAGCGCTGTACTCGATGATCTCCGTGCACAGGTTGGAGCTGCGGATAGTACCCAGGTTCTTCTGGTTGCTCTTGCGGTTGCAAGCATCCTTGTACAGCATGAAGGGGTTGCCAGTCTCGGTTTGGGACTCGAGGATGGCATACCACAACTTCTGGGCCTTGATGGTCCGACGGCCACGGCCTTCCTTTTCATATTTCTCGTATAAGGCGTCAAATTCTTCACCGTAGACATCAGCCAGGCCAGGGGCTTCATTCGGGCAGAAAAGGGTCCAGTCGCCGTTGGCCTCGACACGCTTCATGAACAAATCGGGAGTCCAGAGAGCATAGAAGAGATCACGGGCACGGACTTCCTCCTTGCCGTGGTTCTTGCGAAGATCCAAGAACTCGAAGACATCCGCGTGCCACGGCTCCAGGTAGATGGCAAACGCACCCGGGCGCTTGTTGCCACCCTGGTCGACGTAGCGTGCGGTGTTGTTGTACACCCGAAGCATGGGGACGATACCGTTGGAAGTACCGTTAGTCCCACCAATGTACGAGCTGGTGGCTCGGATGCGGTGAATGTTCAAGCCAATACCACCGGCAGTCTTGGAGATCATGGCACAGGTCTTGAGTGTGTCATAGATACCCTCAATGCTGTCCTCCTTCATGTCGACCAGGAAGCAGGACGCCAGCTGGGGCTGCGGGGTACCCGCATTGAACAGAGTCGGAGAAGCGTGAGTGAAGTATTTCTGAGACATCAAGTGATAGGTCTCGATGGCCTTCTCGATATCGCTGCCGTGAATACCGACGGCAACACGCATCAGCAGGTGCTGGGGACGCTCAGCAACCTTACCGTTGATCCGCAGAAGATATGAGCGCTCCAGGGTCTTGAAGCCGAAGAAGTTGTAGTTGAAGTCGCGGTCGTAGACAATCGCTGAGTTGAGTTCCTCTGCATGCTTCATGACAATTTCGTACGTCTCTTGCGAGATCATGGGAGCGGGCTTGTTGTTTTTCGGGTTGACATAGTAGTAGAGGTCCGAGATGACCATGGAGAACTGCTTCTTGGTCTGCTTGTGGAGGTTCGACACGGCGATACGAGCGGCGAGGATGGCATAGTCCGGGTGTGTAACGGTCATGTAGGCCGCAGTTTCGGCAGCCTGGACATAAAACGTTAGCGGCAACTCGTGAGGATTGTGAAGGTGTGCTTACCAAATTATCCAGCTCGATGGTGCCAACACCCTGGTAGACACCCGAGATGACTTTTTGTGTGATAGCAGCAGCGTCGACGTGCTCCGGGTCGAGGCCATAACAGAGCCTCGACACGCGAGCCGTGATCTTGTCGAACTGCACGCGTTCTTTGCGTCCGTCTGTTTGGGGTTGGGTGTCAGCAACAAGACGTGACGTGGGTGGCAAGGAAGGTGGGTGACGCGTGGGCTGCGTGTAGAGACACCACAGATTCACGTTCATCGTCGACCCGACTGCCTAGGAGGTGCAGGAACGCGTCAGACATACCTCGCTTGTAAACGAACATCTTGCGGATAGGGTGTGGAAGTAGTGTGGGAGAGGGAAAAGACAGGGAAGGGATGCAGGGTATCCAAGATGTGATGCAAGAGAGAACAGGAGATAATTAAATTGAGTGAGAGGATGGGAGGATGGAAGGATGAGGGAGGCAAAGGAGGAGGGATGGAGGAAGAGAGGAAGGAGGAACGGAGGGGAAGACTAGAGAAAAATACCGAGTGTCGCCAGAGAGACAAGACGCGGCGCGCGTTTTTTCGTGTTGCTCGTCACGTGGACCGGCCTGTTTCGGGTTAACTATATGTTCTGCATTGGTTAGTTGGTTCAGGTAGCAACAGTCATAGCGATTGTTCTTATTTTTGGTTAGTTCGATACATTATTACAGCCAAAACAAGCAAACATTCACTTGTTCGGATTAGCAACTGACAGGACCACATGGTTTTCCAGCCATACAACATCTCATCCCATAACTAATTCAAAGAGCGGCAGCAGCTCCCAGGAACACCGCGGCGGCGACCATGTTCGCTGAGAGCTGTCGATCCGGAACGGCGCCGGCCGTGAAGAGCGAAGGAGCAGCACTGTGAATACCGGATGCAGAGGATGGGGCTGTGGTGGCGGAGGAAGGAGCCGGTCCAGACAGAGCACTGCCAGCAGGAGCTCCAGCAGATGGAGTCGCCGGAGAAGCACCACCAACAGGGACAGCGCCAGCCGGGGCAGCGCCAACTGGAGCACCACCAGCAGGGGAAGCCGCCGGAGGAGCACCGCCGACTGGACCACCACTGACTGGAGCACCACCAGCTGCGGAAGCGCCAGCCGGAGCACAGCCAGATAAGGGGGCTGGAGGACCGCCAGTAGGACCTGCACCCGCAGAAGCACCGCCAGCTGGGGCAGCACCAACGGGAGCACCACCAGCAGGGAGAGCCGCCGCAGGAGCACCACCAGTGGCCCCAGGACCAGAGGGAGGGATCCCACTGCTGGGTCCGGAAGGTACACTAAACCTCGGAGTCGACGGAGCAACAGGAGAAATGAAAGAAGGGCTGGCAGCAGGGATGGAAACAATAGACGAGAACTCTGCATAAAGAAAGATCAATCAACACATCCATCCAACCCCTATAGAACCAAAAAACAACATACCTGGATGACCAGCCTGAGGGCAGACGACGTTGGCAAAGTACCTCAGTGCCGCTGTTGCTTGGCCGTCGCACTGTCTTTGGATGGCGGAGGATGCACTTGCTGCGTTTGGTCCGCAATTGTTTGCAACACTTGCAACGTCGGACGCGTTGTTGGAAAGGCCTCTGCGAAGCTATCAGCTAATAATTCCCTGGCCTGTCTCTCCATCTGGTTCGAAAGACTTACGCTATCGCTGAGGCGAGACAGGGTGGAGGTTGACCAGCGGTGGCAATTTTGGCGAGGGCCATGAAGGCCAGCGCGAGAGCGAAGTGTTTGATGAACATTGCGGTGGAGTTGTTGGTGCTATGAGAAAATGTATTTGGTATGATGAATCACGAATATGATAATATATAGATCAAGTGGATGAAGACGAGATCGTATTCTGGCCAGACAAAATAGGGACAAACCAAAGGTCGAGGACGAAAAGTGACGCCGTAGAGTTGATGGTAGCCGGTGACGAAACAGGTGTTAGGGTTATTGAGCGCTGCCCGATTGGGGTGCCGCCGACGACGGCTGAACCAAGTATCATGGCGGATGGTGGAAGTTACCATGCCACTATGAACTGATGAACCTCGGAAAGCTCTAGAGTAGTCTTCGGGCGTGTTTAATGGAAGAATTAAACGGATTGTTGTGTCCATATTCCGGGGCCTATCCATGGGATGTAATAACAGCGAACTGTGAATTGAACTATACGTGAAGCCATTCATGACATTCCCAAACCAGACAGGAACAAATCATTCCATGCCTAGTGCCAGTATCCGTAAGTTCCCGAGATGCTTTTCCAGCCTGCATCCAGCGCCTTCACAATTTCATCAGGCAACGGACCCTTCTCCAAGTCTAGCAAGTTCTGCTCCAGCTGAGCAGGACTAGAAGCTCCAATAATAACTGCGTCTTTGAGTTCCTTCTGCATTATGCTGTGATGTACCATCCACCGTAGACCACATTCTGCCTCCGTGAGACCATGTTTCTTCGCGAGTGGACGGAGGAGCTCAAGGGCATCGAAATACCGACTGTTTAAATAACGTCCATGGTAGAATAAATTGCGGCTTTCCCGGGGATCGAAGCGCGAGCCAATTTCATAGTCCTCCAACTTTTGATCTCTTTGATATCGTGAGGTCAGGAACCCTGCGGCCAAAGGCTGAAAGGCGTAGACTCCAATTCCGTAGTGACGAAGGCAGGGAACAAGCTCGGCCTCAATCGATCGCTGGTATGCATTGTACAAAGCCTGGTAAACGCTCGGTCTGATGTATCCGTGCTTTTCACAGATTTCACAAATTTTGGCGACTTCCCAGGATTTAAAGTTGGAGATACCAAAGCGTCGAAAGTATCCCTCCCGATGGAGTTTGTCCACTTCAGCAAGGGTATCTTCAATAGGAGTCTCTCTGTCAGGGGCATGTAGATAGAACATATCTACACTCTCAGCCTGGAGTGCTTTCAAGCTCGTCATCAAACCGGTACGGACATCTCCTGGTCCGTGAGTCCACATCTCAGAAGTGATCCAAGTCAAGTATCCTCTTTTAGTTGGATACAGCTTGGTGTCCATCACCAACCCACGTTCTTGCCATCTTGATTCGGCCAGATATTCTTCTGTTGAGCCTGCCCCATAGGTACGGGCCGTATCGACCTCGGTATGTCCATATTTCTGAAACATGTCCAGCATTGCATTGGTGCTGTCGATAGTATCAATTCGAACGTGTGCTGTGTCTTTTCATTGTTGTCATTAGCTCGAATTTCGAAGTAGGTAACTTTTGGATTTTAGGCTCACTGGGCTTTCCGAGCGTCATGGAGCCAAGTATGACTGGAATGGCGGTTTTGGGGCCGTCCATGATTGCAGATCTACCAACGAAGCCTTTATCCTTAGTGAATAGTTGGGTGCTGCATATAAATAAGAGAATGTTCGAGGGAAAAAAAGAGAAAGAGGGGTGAGCTCAGTCAGGCCGTGCTATAGAGTGGAGAAATACTATTCCCGGTAAGGGAGATGATCGCCTATGCAATGGTTTATCTCTTCAGATTCTCCACCTAGGTCTGGTCAGCTTCTCCGAGTTACCATGCCAACTCCGGCACAGGAACCAAGGAAATGGTCATAACACAAAGTATGTGCGGTACTGAGGCTCTTTCTAGGGCTAATCTGATACCGCTAACGCTTGGCGTCTTTGGAACCTAACCTAATTTCTTCAAGTCTGAGCTGTCTCCGCCAATAGAAAAGTGAGCCTCCTGTATGTTGCTTATCATACGTCATAGGTTGTTTAATTTCGGCTCGTGGATAATTCATCCAATGATCAAACGTGCCAGAGGAATTTTTCTGTTCGGCCGAGGAAGCTTTCTAAGCAAACTGGTTGTAGATACTCTCTCAGAAGTCGCTCATTTATTCAAAAATGGACAATCGTCATTCGTCTTCTCTGTCTTAAAAGCTATCTAGAACCAGGTGTTTAATTGGTCCACTCAATTGGCGATCCTGACTGTATTTAAAGGACGTGAATACGACAAGGCTCAATGACCCATGTTGTAGTCATGAGCTGTTGGTACGACGATATTGATAATGACCTCTCACAAAGGCTACGCTTACAGTAGTATTCGCGTAGTTATAATGTGTTCACCAAGCGGGTGGATATGAAACTGGAGGTAAGATAGTGTGAAGGATTCGCTTCGTTGGCTTACAGTAAATGATGATTTGCAGTTTAAATATACTATTGTGGTTTACCCGTCTATTTTGGGGCGTTGTAACTACTGGTTTAAACACGATCGTCAACACTAATTGCAACTATGCTTAAATGGCCCCCTATTGCTGCATTACTTGCGGGGTTAACGATCCTGAACTCGGTATATTCTCCTAATTGAGTAATCCGGGGTCTATTCAGCATCTATAATTAAATATCACTAATATGGAGTATGTAAGTAGTTAACGGGGGCTAATTGTCCACATATAAATAGGTAGGACTCCTTTCCTAGCGCAGATGAAGATAAGTCTTTGATATTACCACTACAGATTCCTCACTGATAATATTCTATATTCTTTACCGATTATCACTCGCTGCGATCATGAAGTTTTCTCTTCCGCTATTTCTGGGTGTGGCTATCTTCTCTGCCTCCGCGCTCGCCTGCGGTAACCCAGGGGATGCCTGTGATGGCTCAGTCCCGTATGACTGCCAGTGCGACGGGGGGAATGTGGTAAGTTTGACTCTTGCAAAGTTTATTAGTACCCGCCCCCAAATTCGGACCTCACTACTCTCGCTAATGAGGGCCAAATTTGGGGGCGGGTATCTATGTGCCCTCTTCCCCCTTATTTATTGTCTATTAGTTATGTCTACTAACGTATTATTCGTGTAGGTTGAATGTGTTCAACAAGCGGATGGATATCAAACCGGGGGTAAGTCTCGCTAAACCCGCTAGTGCGCTCTTCTGGCTATAGGAGCCGTGCCTTTTACCTAAAGATTTGAGGCTATAAGCTAGTATACAAATTGGTTACTAACTCTACATAGTGTTGTATACATGGCAAAGTTCCCACGATTGTCCAATGCCTTCGGATGGAGGACTCCAATGTGTTGCCGGGAGTTGCACTTCTTAAAAATGGGGTGTTATAGGCTACTAGGAAAGACGAGGTACTATGGTACGGATTAGGCCACGTCGAGTGATATTAGCGAGCTTGAAAGAATGAAATCTTCAATCAAATTTCCATAGATATTGAACCATAATTCCGGTCTAAATCTTGCCCTTTTGTGAGGGATCTAGGAAAAGCCTAGTAGAGCTGCCGAGTTACCTCCCTCAGATAGTAAGAAAATGATGTATTGGTGATGTTCAATGTGGTCTCGCACCTATAGTGAGGATCGAACTCAGATTCCCCTGTGATCAAGATGTAGTGAAGTTTCTTGGATATCAATCTCGGCAGTAGATGGTACTACTTCCTACAACCTCTCCCACGCAGGATCATACCGACTATCAACAACCTCCTGCACTTGCATCCGACAATCAACTATCTCCCTCCCATTAACAAGATCATTCTCTCTGGCCCGTTTGTCCGCCTCATCCTCATCCCTCGCAATCCCCGCTTTAACATGCCTCCTAATCAGCCTCAGCCTCGCAACCTCAAAATCCACGTTCACAAACCACAACTCATCCATAAGCCCCGCAGCCCGGTTCCATGGCTCCTTATCCAAACTGAGATAATTCCCTTCAAAGAAAACAACCCGACAGCTGACAGGAATCGGAATATCATCATCAACAGGGTCCTTAGTCGCATGATCGAAACTCGGCGCGTACTGCGTCGTGGAAGAAGCCGTCAACGGCTCCCGCAGTTTCTGCACAAGATCCAGGAATTTGGTTCCGTCGAAGGTAAATGCCGCTCCGCGCCGGGCGGCTGCGTACACTGGATCTGGCATTGCGGCTAGCTGGGCGCGGGTGAGATGGTACCCGTCCATTGGGAGCGCGGTGGCGATTGGGGTTGTGGCAGATGGGTTCTCGTGGGCATAGAGCTGGTTTATGCGCTGGGACATTAGGCTCGCTAACTCGGTTTTGCCCGAGCCTGGGATGCCGCTGACTGCTATCATTAGGCGGGCGTTGGAGGGAGTGGCGGTGAATTTGGCTGTGGCATATAGTTAGAGACACGAAACGTAGCGAAGGAATGGATTGGCGAAATGGAGGGACTTTTTTATTCTCTCTCATGCAAGTTTTTGTGGTGAAAAGATACCATGCATGACTCGCGTGAGGGTCCGACTCATTCAATTCAATCCACACAAAACAAACTCACCCCAGGTCTTCTTGACCAGACGGTCAACCTGCTCATCCATGTGGCCGGTGGTGGTCATTCCAAAGCTGAAGTAGGCAGACAGTAAGATCCAAAAATATTCGGTAGTCCGTTGATCGGCCAGCTCAATGGGCGCAACAATGAGCTAGCTTCCCGAGGTGTGTTGCGCAGGGATGGCCGCGAGACAGTGATGATCGTCGGAGTCTCGCAGTTAATCCAGAGACAGGGTTTTGGCAGTGCCGAACAGGGATTCAGTAGTCTACACAGCTAGTCATTCAGTCCACTGCTGTCGTTCGTCAAGGGAATGATTTGTCCCTGCTGGCGGGGGGATTGATTCCGGTGTGGGGACGACTGTGCTCCGGAGCGGAATACGTCACAGTCAGTGAGTTCCCACCGACGGGCTAGTTAACTACAGTGTAGCATGGCAGTTAGGTTGTAATTTTTTTTTCCTTTGTAGATTTATGACTGGTTTAGAAGAAGAGAATATGAGAGAAAATCATAGCTGGTTCATTGGTTCTTTTATCGGTGGCCTCGCTCTAATCATTGGCGGTCATGCAAAGATATGAACACGAGAATCACCGCTGAGACAGTCGAGGTATTGCAACCCTGAGGACGAACCAACAGGCCCAAATGCGAGACCAGATCGTAACAATGTCCGAAATTAAAACGCCTATCCACACCCAACCCGGTCAAAGATATCACTAGATTAAAACGCCATCATAAACATTCGTTTTCCAACGCCGGCTAACAAGAAGAAGAAAAGGTATCCTGCTCTGCTCAGCGAGCCGGTCGGGGCACGCTTTCAGCACCGTTTTCGGTCATATTTGCGCTGGCACTGAGGCCACGACCGATGATGCGCGACAGGCCAGCTGCCGCCCACCAATCATCTGGAATGTCCTCCCGCCGAGCCAATCGATCCAGGATGGCCTGCATCTGGTGAAGATCGGGGTGGAGATCGGGGTCGCTGGACGAGTCCGAGAACGAGAAGGTGAAGGTAGGAATGGGAGGCCCACTGCTCATGGTCGACGGCAGACCGGGAGAGCGGCGAAGAGGGACAAACCGAGCCGACGGGCCGCGGCGGTAGTTGACAGGGGTATCTTCCTCGTCCGACGAAGAAAAGTCACACGGGTGGAGATGATCCGGGTACGGATCAAGTCCCGTGGGAGCCGTCCGTGAAGAGCCCAGGGAGGTTGGGAGAGTTTGCGACGACGAGTTGGCGGATCTTCGAGAGGCTCCATTGCGGGAGGCATCGTTTGTAGAAGTGGGGTTGGAAGCAAACGAGGTGCTGTTCGAGGGAAGAGTAGCGTCCGGCGTGATCGTCGACAGTAAGGTTTCCCACGCGTCGGTTCCGCGCTCATCAGCCGGACTCATACTTCGCTCGCGATCACCGAGCCCATCAACAAGAGGCTCTCCATTCCAGGTGTCAGGATCAACGCCAGCGGATTCAAGACCTGCGCGATAGCCTTCCTGGAACTCTTCAAACTCCTGCGATCTAGACGCATTGTAGTTGACCCGGTCATCGCTACGACTTTCTGTCCGACGCAGAGGCGGAAGACGAACCGATTCCGACGGCGAGTGCGAGGAGACCGTCGTGTAGTAGGAAAGCGCGGGCGCAAAATGAGGTGTCAAAGGCGCATGCTGAGACGGAGGTTGGGCGGGAGGAGGATCTGAGCGGACGACTAGGGCGCCAGATGGTTGATCGTGAGTCGCCCAGCGAATCCTTGAGCTTGGGAGCAGGCGATCAAGTGATTGATCGCGAGTCGACCAATCCCAGCGCCACCTTGTGTTGGATTGGCGGTCACGGATACGCGAATGTCGGGTTGGAGCACTCAAAGCGTCTAGTCTGCGAGCAGCGCGTTCGTTGCGCAGAGCGTCACGTCTGCTCGTGTCGAGATCCATCCCATCTTCGCTAACACCCAGATTCAGGACTGGAGAGCGCACATCAGACGGCGACTCCATCATTCCGCGATGGATCTCATCGAGGATCTGGGAAGGCAAGGATGACAGAACACCGGCGCCACGCGCGTGAGATGACGAGCCAGTGTAGCGCGACGGGCGACGGATGGTGGCCTGACGACGGATGGACGAGCGCGCCGTGGCAGATCGGTCCTTCTCGGTGGCAGTCCTGTGGGAGTCTGCCTCTGCCGGCTCGCGCCACATGCTGTTGTTGATGTTGTTAGTATTGAAGCTGGGGGCTACCGCGACCGGGTGGCGCATGCGACACAAGCACCAAAAGGAGCGACTTACGGAATACCCATGGTCAGTAAGTAAGGAGCGAAGGGGAGAAAAGGGGGAGAGTGAAGAAAGCAATCCTCTAAACGCGCGAATCCAAACGCGACCTGCACCAAAGCAGTGGGGACAAGATAGCGGGCTGATGGATCTGGCCGGGAAGGGAGAGTTTTTCGCTCAGAAGGGAAACGGAAGGACGAGAGGATGCCTGAGGCTGGGAGGGGAGGATTCGGAAAGAATCACGTGGTTAATGTTGACACCTGAGGAATCAACCCTTTTCCTCGGAGCAACTGAGTTCACTGTCGGGGACGCTGGAACATGCCTCCCACGATGACGATTGACCGTCCGACCAAAAGACCGGCGGAATGATCGAGCTAGGGCTGACTCGCGTCTCGCGCCTCCTTCAGCACACCCCGCTGTCCTGGAAGGCCATCCATATTGCCGGCACCAATGGTAAAGGCTCGATCAGCGCATACCTGTCGCACCTGCTGTCCGCCGGAGGGGTGCGCTGCGGCCGCTTTACCTCTCCACACCTGATCGACCGATGGGATTGCATTACGATTGGCGAGAAGGTCGTCCAGGAAGCTCTATTCCGCCAAGTTGAAGACCAAGTGAAGCTCCGCGATCAAACGCTAGGAATCGGCGCCTCCGAATTCGAGCTCTTGACCGCCACGGCCTTCGAGATCTTCAACCAGGAACAAGTCGAAGTCGGTGTGGTCGAGGTGGGCATGGGCGGTCGCCTCGATGCCACCAATGTCCTCAGTGATGTGTTGGTCTCGGTCATTGCCAAGATTGGCCTCGACCACCAAGCGTTCCTGGGGTCTACCATCGAGGAGATTACCCGCGAGAAGGCCGGGATCTTGAAACCCGGCGTCCCCTGCGTCGTGGACAACACCAACGAGGCGGCAGTGATCGCGGCATTGACGAGCCGCATCCAAGAGCTTGGCATTGATGCAACTTTTGTGTGTCCGGCAAAGGTGCATGAGCAGCTTCCACCCCTTGCATCTGTATTCCAAAAGCTTGATCTAGAGCCTCACCAACAAGAGAACATGTGCTCCGCCGTATCAGCGCTGCGCATTGCCCTATCGAAACTGCGTCCAGAGACCGATACGTTCGCCCTCCTCCCACATTTGGCCGATGCGACATGGCCCGGTCGTCTACAAAGCATTGTTTTGCAACCTTTGATTGAGCGCGAGAAGCCCATCTTGCTCGATGGTGCTCACAACGCACAGTCAGCCGAAGTCTTGGGAATGCATGTCGACCGCCGATTGCGTCCGCAGGGAAACGTCACTTGGGTCGTTGCCGCCTCGAGTGGCAAAGATCTGGCAGGGGTGTTCCGTTCCATCATCCGGCCGGGCGATAATGTTGCGACGGCAGAGTTTGGTCCTGTGGATGGGATGCCCTGGGTCAAACCAACCAACGCCACGGAGCTGGCATCTGCCATGCGATGTATTGACGGGATTGGGCAAGTGGAAAGTTTTGAAGGCCATTTGCTGCCCGCCATGAATTGGGCCAGCCAGGCAGCTCAAGATGGGCCTTTGGTCATTGCTGGGAGCCTGTACCTGGTCTCGGATGTACTCCGTCTGCTCCGTGAGGCGCAGAAATGATGGATACTGAACATGCTAGCAAGAATGATACCCTGTATACAATAAGAATGCATCGGCAGGAAGCCTCCCCGCAGCGTGCGGAGAAGCAAAACAACTATTCTCCCTGGCTCACTCTCTCTTCGCTCGCTGAGTCGGAACTACCTCGAATGCTCTGTACTCTCCACTCATCCTGTGCCGAGCTCTCCCACTGGGGGGCATAAAAAACATATAGGTCCTGCTGGGGTTCGAACCCAGGTCCTTTGGAATTGTGAAGTATCAACTGGGGATATGTTAGTAGAGCACAGTAAAATTCGAAAAACGGGTAGACGAACAACCAAAAGTGCTCACCGCTACACTACAGAACCCGGTGGTAATACGGAAGGGCATGAATACGTTTCATGATGGCCCCCAAAATTACTTGAAGTGAGAGTATGCCAAGACCAAAGTCTCCTCAACCCGCGTTCCTCGATGTATGTTTCGAAGCTTTTTCTTTGCCCTCCTTTTCTTATTTTTAGTTTCCTTGCAAGGAGGAACGGCGCGTCGGAGTTATGGCGCTAACTATAGGATCACTTTTGGAGATCGCGACGGGCCCGGCTCTTGCCTCTTCCCTAGCTTCCACCCACCCACCCTCTCCCTCTCCACCGCCCGCCGTCAGCTGAAACCCGCACTCCCGAGACCGGGCGCCGCCCGAGAACCCATATCCCCAGCGACACTCCAATCCCCGAGTCGTGCCTTGTTCGGCGATGGTCTCCCGGTCTCACGAAGGGGGTGAGGGGCAGGCCCGCCCTCTCACCCCTTCCTCCAGGACCCCCGGCACCCCAGTCAAGCCGAGACTGCCACGACTCGCGACGAGTCCGTCCAAACGGGAGGAAAGATCCAAGGAGGACAAAGTGTCCAAGTCGTCGGCCAAGGATGTGGCGGAGCTCAAAGACTACGTATGGATTTTGGGGGGTGGCTTGCCCCTTATATATGGCGGAATGCTGATGATATCTGGTGCCGCAGCAATTGGGCGATTGCCTGGGAAAAGGCGCGTTCGGGTCCGTTTATAGGGCGTTGAATTGGAACACGGGGGAAACCGTTGCTGTGAAGCAAATCAAGCTGACGGATTTGCCCAAGAGCGAGCTGCGTGTGATAATGGTATGCCGTGCACTTGTATGGTCCGGTTATTCGAAGAATGGGACTGATGGTCAAACAGCTGGAGATCGATCTGCTCAAAAACCTGGATGTGAGACACACTATGGACAAACTAGGGGAGCTCGGACTGATTTGTTGTCGCAGCATCCCAACATCGTCAAGTACCATGGATTCGTCAAATCGGCAGAAACCTTAAACATTATTCTAGAGTATGTGCACCTGGGTACTGATATACCTAGGTAGTCCACTATCCCGGATCGACGCAAAGAGCTGACCTTGGACGGCAGGTACTGCGAGAATGGCTCGTTACACTCCATCGCGAAGAACTTCGGCCGCTTCCCGGAAAACTTGGTGGGTCTGTATATGTCCCAGGTTCTCCATGGGCTTTTGTATCTGCACGAGCAGGGTGTCATCCATCGAGATATCAAAGGGGCCAACATCTTGACGACAAAGGAAGGCCTGGTGAAGCTTGCAGACTTTGGCGTGGCAAGTCGTACCACGGGCTTGAGTGAGTCCAGCGTCGTGGGCACGCCTTATTGGATGGCTCCCGAGGTCATTGAGCTCTCGGGTGCGACAACCGCTTCCGATATCTGGAGTTTGGGGTGCACGGTCATCGAACTACTCGAGGGCAAGCCTCCGTACCATAACTTGCAGCCCATGCCGGCGCTCTTCCGCATCGTCAACGATGATCATCCTCCACTTCCGCAGGGTGCCTCACCGGTATGCTCCCTATCGCAGCTGGCTAATCAGATGGGTCTAATTTCATCTAGGCTGTCAAAGACTTCCTCATGCAATGTTTCCAGAAAGATCCGAACCTGCGTGTCTCTGCGAGAAAATTGCTCAAGCACCCATGGATCGTCAACGCACGCAGATCTGATTCGGTTGTCCCCAAGAAATCAACGGAGTATGAAGAGGCCGTGAAAAGTGTCCAGGAATGGAACGAAGCTCTGCGGTCCCCCGGAGCCGGAGTTTCCAAAAAGCCACACAAGCTGGACCACAACGCTGCACCTCTGCCCTCCAACCGGAATGCTTCTTTAGTTGACACATTGCCATCGCCTACTACAAAGCCAACCGCAGGCCGCTTTCGAACCGCCGAGTCGGCAGATGACAATTGGGACGATGACTTTGCCACGGCAATATCCCCCAGTGCATTACACCTTCCCCATCTGCGACCACAGGATAACTTTGGTGGCAAGCTCTCATCAGAAAGGCTCAAGGCTTTTGCCTCGCTTGATGGGTCTGTTCTACGATCCGAGGATAGCTTTGATAGCTTTGACGATACTTCCAAAGGCTCTCTCCAACCGGTCGACGAAGATCCCCTGCAGACCATTCGCCCGTATCCAGCCAAACCAGCCGTTTCTGAGCCTTCAAAATCTCAGAGTCCTTCACGCCGCCAGTCTAACAGAAGCTCGACATCCACCTTGAACAACATTCCGATCCGCACACAAAATCCTGCCCCACCGATGAGACGGACTCGACCCGCATCTCTCTACAAGGAGAACTCTGTCGAGGATTATACTGACCTAATCATGGCAAACGAGGACTCGCTGGACCGCAAGCTGGGTTATTTTCACGTAAGCTACTTCCAAACTGTCTGTAAAAAGAATGTCTAACTGGTGATAGGAATCGGACGAGGACCTTTCCTCTCCAACCCATGACAAGATTGGGTATGATTCATCGCATGATGATCTGGGTGGCCAACACCCACAGCTTCGCAAACAACTCTCCGTCAAGCGTGACCGCTCGACAATAGAGATCCAAAAGTTTGCAGAGAATGAGAACGATGAAGACTTCTCCGATATTCTAGGGACCGACCAGGTGACTCTGGACCAGCCGGAGAGTGATCAAGGCTCTGATAGAAGCACTCTAATGCTGAACTCGAAACTCTCAAACAATTCCTGGCTTGGAGATCAGGATGATGACGATGACCCCTTTGCTCAATTGGAAGAAGGATTCGATGAAATGGATCTGGAAGCCAACATCGCTCGCGACAAATATGCTCGGCTTCGAAACCAAGTGGAGGGTCTTGTGGGCTCTTTGAAAACCTCTCAAGACGAGGAAGTTCTTGCAGAAATCTCAGAGCAACTTCTCACGATTTTCTGTGATCTTCCAGAGACGAAGAACATTATTATCAGCGCCCATGGAATGCTGCCAATCCTGGAAATTCTCGATACGTGTCGACGACGGGACGTTGTCTTCTGTCTTCTGAGGGTTGTCAACGCCATCATCTATAACGACTATGAGATCCAGGAGAATCTCTGTTTCGTCGGAGGAATACCCATTGTCAATGAGTTTGCGTCGAAAAAATATCCTCGGGAGATTCGGTTGGAAGCTGCTGCCTTTGTTCAGCAGATGTATCAGACATCGACCTTGACACTCCAAATGTTCGTCAGTGCTGGTGGTCTGAACGTCTTGGTGGAGTTTCTGGAAGATGACTACGAAGATGAACGCGACCTGGTTTTGATCGGAGTGAATGGGATCTGGAGTGTTTTCGAGCTCCAAGGATCAACTCCCAAGAACGACTTCTGCAGAATTCTATCACGCAACTCTGTTCTCGATCCCTTATCGCTCGTTCTGGGTCGGGCACTTGACGAGGAGGGCGAACTGGCTGAGATCATTGAGGGCCGCATTGCAAACATCTTCTTCATTTTCTCGCAGGCCGAGAATCATGTCAAGGAGATGGTTGCTGAGCGCACGGTCTTGCACAGTAAGCAACAACATCATGTTGCCCTTGCTACATTTTGCTAACAATCTACCTTAGGAGTTCTGAAGGAACTACGCCGCATGACTCCCCTCCACCAGATCACGATGCTCAAGTTTATCAAGAACCTGTCGATGCTCTCCACCACCCTAGAATCCCTCCAAAACTCGAACGCCATTGATGTACTAACCGACCTGCTTCGTTCAACCATGAAACGAACCCATTTCCGTGAAGTCTCCAACCAAATCCTCAACACTATCTACAACATGTGTCGTTTGAACAAGTCTCGACAGGAGGATGCGGCGCTGAATGGAATCGTCCCCTTGCTCCAAAAAATTGTCAAGACAGAACGGCCGCTGAAGGAGTTTGCGTTGCCGATTCTTTGCGACATGGCGCAGTCTGGGAAGGTCGGCCGTCGCGAGCTATGGCGAAACAAGGGCCTTGCCTTTTATATCTCTCTTCTTGCGGATCCGTATTGGCAAGTCACAGCTCTGGATGCCATCTTCACATGGCTCCAAGAAGAGACCGCCAAGGTGGAAGAGCACCTCCTGAGCAACCGCCAGGACAAAACGACATCGTTCACCGACGCTATTGTGCGGTGCCTGACGCTCTCCAAGGCCAACGCATTTGAAAATCTCCTAGAGCCTCTGCAGAAACTGCTTCGCTTGAGTCCTCCCGTGGCAGCTACACTTGCCCGGCCAGACCTCTTCACCAGGCTCGGACAAAAGCTGCACCACAACAAAACCGCAGTGCGACTCAACCTTCTACGAATCATCTCCAGTATCTGCGACTCCAGCGACCACCAAGGAGGTCTCCTTGCGACGTACGGTCTTCTGAACGCAATCCGCGAGCTCGAAAACGACCCAGCCATTCTCGTCAGAGATATGGCCGGCAAGCTCATACAGTCGACCGAGCACAGCGAAGCCTTCGGCGTCATTAACAAGCGCAGACCAACAAGCAGTCGGCGCCAAAGCACTACCACGCCTCCAAATCCCTACCCGGGCTCAACACCCTCAACCCCACAAACAAACCGCACCAGTCAGTCAAGAGGCTACTTTGAAGGCCGCGAGACACCCAGACACCCCCGCAATGCCCTCAGCAGCTCCTCTCTAGCCCTCCGACCCGGCAGCCGGGACGGCAGTGCCTCCGCTCTGGGGTCAGCCGTGAATGGAAATATGCCTCCGCCACGACCGCGGGTCGCCCGCGGCATGTCGAATCGTCTCTCTCACGTTGAAATGCTGCAGGAAGATGACTCTAAGACTCCGAGCTCGCTCAGTCGCCGGCCCTCTGTTATTCCGCGACGCACCCGCCGCCCTACCATCGCTGACTCTGAATGGACTTGACTTCATGCATAAAAGGACCTAATGAATGGTATTCCATGCTGGTGGTGGTCTACCAGGAAATCGGATCGGTGGATTAGGGTTTTGTCTTTTCTTTAACGTCTGTACTTTTTTTGACTATGATGAGCACTGGATGCTGCACAAAGAGTATTGATTACTTGAATAAGACATAATTTTTTTCTTATCATTTCTGGGGTGCATGGGGTCAATTCTGTCAGTCCTATTGGTCACTGCGCAACCAGCCGCCCTCCAGATTGTTCTACCTTCACCAAAACTTGTACTTTTGAATTCTAGCTCACCACGTGAAAAAGGCTCTTTCAGTCCACTTTTTCCCTGGCAGCTACAAGCATGCCATTTTCTGCGGATCGCAACAAGACCGAGCTTAAGCTCGTCGTCGCAGCGCCTCCGGGATGGAAGTTCGCCGCTGGCGACACTATCATCGGCTACTTGGTTCGCCCTGAGCCGATCATCACACCCGAAGCTACAGTTTCGTTAGCACTGATGAGTTCTATGAGGACCCATATCGAAGAAAGTGCCAGCAGGAATGCCAGCAGCAATAGAAACAGAAACAACCACAACTACAACGGCAACAATCACGCCGAATGGCATCTTCTAAATCCCAGACCGATTACTCTCTTCTCCGGACCCTTGCATGTTCCCAAAGGAAGCGACGAGGCGGCTACTTGGCCATTTTCTATTCAGATTCCCACAAAACCTCAAGAATCAGTGAGATCGGGACATCGCCAGGAGTCCAGCTTTATTCCGCTAGATAGGAACCACCCCGCTCACCATATCTTACCTGGCTCCTTCTCCACTGGAGGCGAGAGTAAAGATGGATTCTCTGAGTGCTGTATCGAGTATTATCTCGAAGCGAAATTGCGATATACTCGCGGCAGCGCGTGGCAGAGTTTTACTACGACCCATCCTATCACCATAAGACACCATGTACAGGAGACAAGTCTGCTGTATAGTCTGCAGCAGCAGATAATGAAAAGCAAGATCCGGACTCCGCGGTTGATTCCGGGTATGGAGAGTGCAGGCTTGTCGCTGAAACAGAAGATGCTAAGATTCTTCGGCTCGTCGAGGATACCTGAATTTTCTTGCAAGCTCGAGCTCTCCTTTCCTCGCGCCATCCAACTTGGCGGTCCATTGCCTATTCCGTTGGCACTGAATATCACACCTGTTGATGAGAAAACTAGCGAGTGTATCAGAGGAGTGACGAGACAGGTCCGGGTCGATTGGATCAAGATGATGATCTGCAATAAAAGCGCCGTGCTTGTGCCGAGCAGGTATACAAGCGCCCAGTATGCAAGTACTCACTACCGCGAGGAGTATTCGTCTACTATCAGCCTGAGACTGGAAAGTATTTTTGAAAAGCTTGAGTCTCCGTGCGTGATCTCTACAGGAGAGGATAGCCAACCTATCAATTTCGGACACATGTTCCAGCTTGTTCTTCATCCACACGGTTTGACTTATGGGAAAGAATTGATCCAGCGAGTGCCGCTGATTTATCCTGATTTTACGACTTACGCCGTCAAGCATAGCCATGTGGTGACGTGGATGGTTTGCCTGACTGTGGCGGGAGAGATGCAAACAGTGGAGACCAGTGCAGAGCTGAAATTAGTAGCTGATTCCTGAATTACACAGCGCTCAATACTATTATTCCACCAGATAATCAAAACAAATCCCCCCGTCATGTATAGATTGGAATCACGTGCATGGCCCGATCCCGCGGCCGATTGGCGGCGAAAAGCGAAAAATCTCCAAACATGGCCTGATCCCGAGCCCTGCTCTGCGCTCTGCTCTGCGATCTGTGACATTCTTTTCTCCAGATTTTACATTCGGGATGAGGGCAGCATTTCGGCCGTTGCGGGCATTGGCGCTCGATTCCACGGCCATCGGAGCAGGCGCAGGCTGTTGGTCGACTTCCGGCTTCTCTACTCGCCTGACCTCGAAGAACTCTTTTCTGCGCCAGTCCCCGTTTCTCGGTGCAACCAATTTCTCATCATGGAGACCGCAGCAAATTGCCCGGCATGCGAAACGCTTTTCCACAACTACCTCGCCTCTCTCGGCTCCGGTCAAGACCACGGCTTCGGTGAAGAACTCCACGCCGGAACAACAGACTCGGGGCAAGACAGTCAAGTACCTGGTTATTGTCGGGTTGCTTGGTCTCGGCGCACTGGCCTTATCCGACCAGGCCAGGCATGCCTACCGTGCAGCAGAGAGAAGTGGTCGCGTGGTCGGCACATTGGCCGTGTGTATCAACGAGTAAGTTGGCCCGGCATACTGTCTCGGCCTACAATCACTAATACAAATAAATGGAACAGCTACCGCGTAACCCTCAAGCAAGAAACCTCCACCCCCGAAGAACACGACGACCTAGTGCGCGCATGCCACAAGCGCTGCGCAGAGCGCACCCTGCGCGTACTCGAGAAGAACGGCTCGATCTTCATCAAACTGGGCCAGCACCTCAGCAGCATGGGCTACCTGCTTCCAGTCGAATGGACAACGACCTTCATCCCACTGCAGGACAAATGCCCCGTCTCGTCGATCGAGTCCATCGAGAAGATGTTCGTCGCCGATACTGGCAAGACCATTGACGAGCTGTTTTCTACGTTCGAGGCCGAACCTACCGGCGCCGCTTCCCTGGCTCAGGTGCATATTGCTACGCTCAAGGAAACGGGGCAGAAAGTCGCTGTTAAAGTCCAGCATCCCACGCTGGCGGAATGGGTGCCCTTGGATCTTGCTCTGACGCGGTTCACCTTCTCGATGCTCAAGCGCTTCTTCCCGGAATATGATCTGGAATGGTTGTCGAGGGAAATGGATCTCTCGCTGCCAGTGGAGTTGGATTTCCGCATGGAGGGTGAAAATGCCACCCGCGCGAGCGAATATTTCAAGAAGCACTCCGATGCTCCATTGGTCATTCCCGAAGGTATGCTCAGCTCTTTTTTGGATAGCTTGGGCATGAAAAGACACTAACACAATTCTAGTGATGTGGTCCCAAAAGCGCATCCTAGTCATGGAATTCATCGCCGGCCGACGTCCCGATGACCTCGAGTTCCTCGATGCCAATAACATCGACCGCGATGAAGTCTCCGCCGCACTAGCGCACATTTTCAACGAGATGATCTTCGGTGACGAGGCCCCATTACACTGTGATCCGCATGGCGGCAATATCGCAATCCGCCCCAACCCCAACCGGAAGCACCCGAACTTCGACATCATCTTGTACGACCACGGCCTGTACCGCAACATCGACCGCGAGCTGCGCCGCAACTACGCCAAGTTGTGGCTAGCCGTCATCGATGCGGACGTGCCGCGGATGCGCGAGTATGCGTACAAGGTCGCCGGCGTGACTGACGAACAGTTCCCGCTCTTCGCTAGCGCTATCACCGGTCGTGATTACAGCGTTCTCACCAAGAAGAATGTTGTCTCTTCTCGGACAGCCGGGGAGAAAGAGGATATCTCCGGCGCGTTAAGTGAGGGCATGCTCCAGCAGCTCGTCGACCTTTTGGGCAAAGTGCCACGTATTATTCTTCTAATTCTCAAGACCAACGATCTGAGTATGTATCTCTTCTCTTGCAAGAGTACTGTCAACTAACGCCGACCAGCCCGCAGCCTCGACGAAAACCTGCACACCCGCCAAGGTCCCATGCGCACGTTCCTGATTCTAGCACGGTACGCAACACGCACTGTGTTCGAGGAGCAGATGGAGTCCATCCAGGAGTCCGGCGGCGTGCTGCATGTCTTCAACTTCTTCCGGTTCCTGCACGCCTGGGCTGGATTCCTGCGCGTTGAGCTGAAGCTCTCTGTTTATGAGACCCTGCTGGCACTGAAGAGCCGCTTCGGCCTGAGCAGCTAATACCTTTCTTTCTGTCTGCCTCTGTTTGTATTTTCTTGTCTCCCTCGTACATATATTCCCCCCTTCCCTCTCTTCCTTTCCTTGTGTTCATTTTCATGATTTCAAAAGGGCACGGATTGTCTTGGGTCTATCTGTGCATCAGCGATGGCGTTTTCAACCGTGTTTGTTTTCTTTCTCTGCGCTAGATTTTCTTTCTGTTCTGCCTTTGGAACACCCAGCTGCCTCGGCGGTGATGGTTTTGTATAGATAGATAGACTGCAGTTAGACTTGAACAGAATAATAGATGACTGTATTGACTGATTCTTGCAAGATCAGAATTGCCTACACTACAGGACAAACAAAGGATCAGTGTTGATCGTTTCATTAGGAAACTATCGCCGGCGCCTTCACTTTTCCGAGAATGGTGAATGTGAGTTGTGAGTTGATATCCCAGTCCCAGGCGCCCGTCAGAAAAAAAAAGGAAAACAATTCTTGGAACACACCAGAACAAAGGAAAACATAATCTGTACACTAAACAAATTGGCTAATTTGTTTGAACGCTCATCCTCCGCGAAGCACTGCAAAGTCTTTGAGTGCAACGCGATGATAGCCTCAAGGCGATCAATAATATCATGCCTTACTCTGCTCGACCACCACAGTTTTCCCAGCGAAAGGCAGCACTTCGTCAAAAAAAATAAATGAATGTCGCTTGCTGAAAAATTTCCCGTATCACTTTTCCTCCACCGAATCAACCGATAAAGACCAAGTTATACAGCAGCAGCTGGATTTTGCTCAATTTCAACCTTCATATCGGGGATAGCACCGCCCGTACCCGACAGGTCAGTGGTACGGGCGTTGGGGTTCTTGAGGTAGTAATCGGAGATGGCGGACTTGATGGCGTCCTCGGCGAGCATGGAACAGTGTACTTGAAAAAGAGATGTCAGCAAGATGTATACTACAACAATCATGAATAGAGAAAGACATACGCTTGACAGGAGGCAAGCAGAGCTCCTTGGCGACATCGGTGTTCTTGATCTTCCCGGCCTCTTCAAGAGTCATGCCGCGAACAAGTTCGGTGAGGTAGCTTGACGAGGCGATGGCGCTGCCGCAGCCAAAAGTCTTGAAGACGACATCGTCAATCGTGTTGGAGTCCTTGTTGACACGAATCTGAAGCTTCATGACATCACCGCAGGCGGGGGCGCCGACGAGGCCGGTCTGGACAGAGACGAGATGTTAGTTTTGATTCATTGTGACCAACAACCAGATCCCGGAAATTTCACGATAGGCTACATACCCCGACATCCTGATCGGTCTTCTTCATGGACCCCACATTCCGGGGGTTGTTGTAGTGATCGAGCACCTTCTCATGGTATCCTCTCCGCTGCTGGCGGGGAGCAGGGCCGGCAGCACGCGGCTGGGACAGGGTGGGCTGGACGCTCTGCAGGCCCGAGAGGGGTGCGAGAGTGGTGCGCGGCGCCACGGAGGCGACGCGGGGTGTGATGGAAATTAGACGTTTGAACATGGTGATGGATAGAATCGATGATGGGATGGTATGAAGAAGATCAGATACGGGAGGGAGAAGAGGCAAAAGACATGATGAATTAATGGATGGGCTGTCCGGGCTTAGGTCAGCGCGCTAGCCTGATGGGGAAGTCATTTGCCTCCGGCTTCGGAGAAGCTGACTCATGATCTTTTGACGCTGTGTTGCGTAGAATAATACAAAGATATTATTTGTTTTACCTAGTGGAGAAGGGCCACTGTTCTTATGGTGGTGATATCACAGCGAAAGATCTCGGTGGCGACACTACTCGTGGGCCATGCCTGCGCGAGTTTCCCGATTTCCCGCGGGCCAATGGAGTGTCCGCTGATTTCAATGATTGTGGAGTGATAGACGGTGGGCCATGTAAATCCAGATAGGTTGACACGTTATTACTGTCGTCATTCTCAATGTTGCAAGAGCACGAAAATTCGACGAGGTTCTGTAGACAACGGATTGTAGTAGCGACCGACTGGTGGTATCTATACCCGAATCGGGGCATTGGTTCCTGACAAGTCGGAAATCAAATGGTCCATACACCAAATACCGTACTTTGTAGTAGTTAAAACCGAAAATGATACGTATGTACAATAATATATGACCGCCCAGCCCGGGCCAGGCATATACAGCATAAGCGTAAAAGCCCGGACGATGATTTAAATCCACCTATCTACCCACCCAAAGACTGGCAAATCGACGCCGTTTCGAGCAGACAGAATTGCGGAACGTTGCCCTTTGGATATCTCTGCGATTCGCTTTCAATTTCCACTAATGTGCGTACTGATTTGAAAATGCTTGGGTTGTAGACGAAATAAACAAAAGGTAGCCGCGTAGATACGCAACATTCTATGCTAAATCTTGCCTGAGGCATCAACATCTGGGATCTTCCGATGATTTGTGTCATTTTGCTTGTCTCTGCCATATATAACTCTCACTGTTATACAATGCCTCAACAAACCACACCAAATCCAAAGAAACTAGGCAGGACAACTGGGGTAAGTGAATCATTCCCTTATCTATCAAGTAAACTGCCCCAAATCCCCAACTACAAATGCCAATCCATCCATCAATCCACCCATCCATCCATCCATCCATATCCCTCTCGACCCTCTATACTACAGCACATATGCCTAATCCCACAATCCCCAAATCCCACTTCTTAAAAACAAAACACGGAAACTATTTGAATACTCACCACTCACACAACAAAGTCCCTCAACGCCCCTATCGCAGCTTTCACCATGGCCATCCTCCTCTGCTCCTACTGCATCAGTTCCATCCGAAGTGCCCGGCGCGAGGCCCAGACGCAGAATTTGTCAGTGTTGCCCTCTCAGTCACAACAGGCGCCTTCGGGCCGGTCCGGGAAAGAGCAGTCGTGGGTTCAGCGGGCTCTGGAGGAGAGTCGGGCAGGGAAGGGGGACGAGGGGAAGGGGCCGAAGTAATTAACGGTATTTGTGTGGTTTTTATTATTGGGCACTGTACAATTATTATTTTTCTATTTGATTGCATTTCACTGGTTTTGATGTATATCATTTTAAGGTGCATGCGTCAGGATGTTTTGTTTAAGGGGATTGAACATTATATTAGGAACTACCATGCATAGCTACGCTGCAAGGAACAAAAGAGACAGAAGAAGATCAATGCTAACATTCATAGAGAACTAATTTATAGAATTCCCAGATAGAAAAGGGAAAGAAACTTCCATCTTCATTCATTATCAATCAGAATTTTCAGTGTATGAATGATCATGTCCAGGCGTCCAAGTGTGGGACAGCCTAGAAGTCAATATTCAAAGAAAGGAATCATCATATAGATAACGAAGGAGGATGAAAGTAGTCTAGAGCTAGTCGTGCAGTTCAGGAGGAGAAAGGGGGATGGATGACGGAAGGCTAGGTAGATGTAGTCAGTAGCAGTCAATGCTCACCCCTAGACTGGCGCACATTAGGCCAGTCAGTCACAGGATTGTAGCATAATATTAGAAGGAGGGCGAAAGAGCATTTTGTTGAGATGTGTGGAATCATCACGATGCAGTCAATGCCAGATCAGAAAATTCAATCTGGGATTCTTGCCACATTTTGCATGTCAAGGCTGGTGGTACCCATAAGAAGGAAACACCAGTACGAGCCAACAATAGGGTCTGAACTTTTCATGAAAACTGAAAGTGGTTGCAAAAATGGTTGAGTGTTGTTGGGTGCCAGAGAGAAAAGAGAAAGACCAAGCGAAGAAAAGAAAATCAAATGGGAAAATCAATCACGTGATTATTCACCCTTCGTGGGTCCGAACTAATATAACTCCTAGCAACATGCGTCGTCTTACAAGATATGGAGCGAGTTAAAAAGGAAAAAATGAACAGGACAAGCCATTAATATTGACGGCAGGTGGAATATGGTATGTATGTACACTTGACATGCAAAAACCATGCGCGGATGTTAGATACGGTAGATACTTGACACAAAAGAAAAGGGTAAAGAGGAAAAAGAGACGCTCATAAAAAGGGCACGGGGATTTGGTTAGGTGAGAGGGGCAGAAACTGACAAGAAGCAGCCAGATCTGAGTGCAAGTAAGTAACTGACTGGGTCAGGTCGGGGAATCTTCACATGTCAAGGCTGGAGGTGTGAACAGGAACTGCCATCTATGCCGAAAGTAAAAGCAGAGAAGAAAACGATCTTTTGTGAATGCAGAGAGGCAAGGCAAGCGCTTGGGGAAAAAGCCATCCGAAACTGATTGCAGGCAACTGATCCACTCGCTGCCCATTGTTCTATGCACATTTGTGGAAAGATCCGGGTTGACAGGCCGGTCCGAGGTTGATGGGAGGTTGATGGGAGGTTGATGGGAGGTTGATGGGAGGTTGATGGGAGATTGATGGGAGGGTGTCGAGGAGTAGAGAATAATATTTGAGGTGTCAAGGTTAGTTGAAAGAGACGTGGCCAGATTAGCCTTGGAGGGAGGCGGTGTTAAATCATGCCAGATGCTTCGGCAGACTTCGCCTCTTCCAGCCGCAGCTTCATCTGGCCCTCATGCTGGAAGCTGTGAATGACTTTGCGCAGGTACTCGTAGGTGAGCATCGTTGTCATAGCAGCCGGGACAGCCCGGAACAGGTTGGTGCCGATCCCGGAGTAGAATGCGCGCCAGCCCTCCTCGTGCAAGATGGTCTGGCACGTGCGGACGACACCGCTGTAGCGAGGGCGGTTGCGCATGCCGTCCGAAGACGAGGCCAAGGACCCCGGAAGACGGTTGCGGTCATGCGGGTGTTGCAGGCCTCCTCGGAACGCAATCTCCTCCGGTGATGTCGCAGGAGAGGTGCGCTGCTGTGTCTGGAGTCGGGTTCGCAGAACCTCATGGGGATACGTGATGGTGCTGGCGCAGATCTTGCTTAGGAATGTAGCGAATGAAATGCCGATCCAGTGGGAACTGCCTGTATCTGGGTGCTCGCCGATTCCATAGCCGGTGAAAGCCATCTTCAAATACTCGTAAAGAGGAAATTGGATAGCCACGTGAGTCAACCCCAGGAGAGCGGGTGTCAAGCCAGAGTAGAACGAACGAAAGCCTTCAATCTGGTACATCTTGCGGGCAGCGTCCCAGGTATTTTGATATTGCCATGGCGCACGCAGGCCCTCGTTGCTCTTCTTGAGACTCTGCGACATGAGACGGGTCTTGATGACCCAGATGGGGTTCGTCACGATGGTTGAGCATGCGCCAGCTGTGATTGATGCATAGCCTCGGGATAGCCACCAGCTTCCTGATAAGGGTCAGTATAGGCTCCACATAGAATAGAATACGAACATACCTGTCTGATCATAGAAATATTCGCGAGACCGGTCATAGACGGCCAGGTAGACAGCCCAGGTCGGAAGATAGCCCAGCAGCATAGGGCCGAGACCCTGGTACAGACCACGAATTCCATCTTCCCGCCAGATTATCCGTCCCGTACCCAGCATCCCCCGGTACAATGTCTTGGCTTCAACTTGCGCCCCCCGTCGGGCAAAGCCACCCTGGGCCTGCAACTTGGTCTTGATCACATCCAGAGGACAAGTCACAATCCCAGAAGCCACACCAGCGCTTGCTCCACAGACCGGAGCAATGTAGAAGTTGGGAATGCGAGTGGAGAGAATTTCAAGGCGAGTCATGAAGGAAGAGGAGGACGGGGCATCGACATCGGCAGCCGGCATGTGAGGCGTGGGCGAGACAGCATTGTTTCCCGTCTGAGGCGAAGCAGCTGGGGAGCTGCTGGCAGCTGCCGGGGCACCTCTGCCCTCAGAATGCATCTTGGGGGCCAGCGCTCACAGGGCTTAGTCTGTCCGATATCACCGATGGTTCCGGGGTCGGAGCATAGCGGTCTGCTCGATCCGGAACCCAGAAAATAGAGTAAGGTTAGGAGTCACAGTGAAGGACTGCAAAAAAGAGTGCCGCCGGATAGGAAGTGTTGTGAGCAGGGATTTTAAGAGGAAGCCGATGGTTGCCGAAGCGGTGCGGTGTGCTTCTTTAGGATGCTGTGATCCTGGGCGGGGTTTCGCTCGCACAGCTCCCCTAGTTGGGGTAGAGAATCAGATCAGGGCTTCGGGGTCAACACAGCCCATCTCGGTGTGAGCACAGGGAACCCCAAAGAGAAAGTTGAAGAGACACCGGTTGAGTTGGTGAGGTGGAGTTCTCCGGGCATTCCTTCCCTCTCTTGTTTCTCCCCACTGCCTGCCTCGCCCGGTCACGTGGTTCCTCCCGCTTCCGGTCTAGTGGCCAGCTCCCGTTTTGCACAACCTCGCAACATCGGGTCATCTCGCGTTCGTTCACGATTATCAGCCCTCCCTGAACCCTGTGCTCATCCACGCCAATTGGCTTTCCTGGCATCCATCATGTCCGCCCCGTCCCTCACCAACTTCATTGTCAAGCGCCCATGGCTCCAGCGCTGGATGATGCCGCTGTCCCAGTGGTACGCCGACGCTGCCGGCTACAGGAGACTCGGCCTCAAGTACGACTCCCAACCCCTCAACCCACTCCCATTCATACAAAGACTGGGGGGCATGTGTTCAATGGCAGGCCATGGTCACTTTCCGTCGTGGTCGCAGCTGTGTCACTTCTGTCCCCGGGTCCTGTCGGATCCTGTCTGCGAATCTCCCTCGAAAACCCACGATGACTGACTGTCGCCAGGTACGATGACTTGATCCCCGAGGAGACCCCCGTTGTCCAGACCGCCATCAAGCGCCTGCCTCCCAAGGAGGCCTACGACCGTGTCTTCCGTATCCGCCGCGCTTTCCAGGTTCGTCTCGCCTCGTCCTCGCTGAACTGAAATCTGCGCTCAGGACCTAACCAACGATTCAATCGCAGTGCTCCATCTCCCATACCCTCCTCCCCCCAACGAGCAGACCAAGCCTGAGGAGGTGAGTTGATTTTCCGCCCTCGCCGCATGGATCCCTATATTGGCCAATCCGGTTTCACGGATTTGTCACTTCGTGCGGAATCGGTCTGATCAAGCATAAAACTAATAATTCATAAACAGGATGTTGAGTACCTGAGCCCGATCATCCGCGAGATCGAGAAGGAGGCGAAGGAGCGCGAGGACCTGGACACCCTTGTTGTTCGCCGATAAATCGGTGCAGTCTGCTGGAATGCGAGACTCGACATATGAAAACCATCAACGGTGGCAGATGCGTTCTGCGTGACATAGACATTGGATTTCTTTTGTTCTGCGATACTGAGGGGGTGATTATGACCTGTGTGTACGGATAGTGTACAAATCGATTTCTTCGTCCCACCTCCTGGTTCTTCTGGTCGTATAGTCCTATTATTGCGATAAACCAGCCATCCGGCCTTCATGATGGCCACATGAACCTATTCTTCAGGAATATACTCTTTGGTCGTATACTTTAGAATAATTTACTACAGCCTTCAGTCCAACATCTATCTCACCAATCATACCAGAACGGTCCATTCAAGTCGTGAGAACGGCCACATCCACGTTTTCAATCTTCCACATACACCACATGAACAGGCTCCTACATAGCAAAGTTAGACATCGCATCCCCCGCAACCAAACAGACAACTTACCGATATGGGGCAAACTTGGCAGCCAGCTCCAACATTTCCTTCTCGGACATGTACTTGAACTTGCCACCACCCTTGGCTTTGAGCTTGCTCACATCGCGACCCGCAAATGCCGCACAGCCTCGTCTGGACATAAATAGTAAGTAGCTGTTTCAGAAAGTACAAAATATGGCCATAACTCACTGGACACCCAGATCCCCGGTCGAGAACACATCAACCCGCTTCAAAGCAAAGCAAGCAAACATCTCAACAGACCACTTTCCGAGCCCACGCACCGCCGTCAGTTTCTCCACTAGCTCCTCATCACTCGCTCTCGCCAGCATCTGCGCGCTCAACTCCCCAGCAGCAAATTTCTCCGCCAATCCCTGGATATACTCCGCCTTGCGCTGAGACAGGCCCGCCGTGCGCAGCGTGGCAATCTCGCACCGCGCGACTTCTTGGGGCGTGGGGAAGCTGCGATCTCCCAGACTGTCGAAGAGAGCCAGGAACTTGTTCCGAATGGACTTCGCCGCTGCGCCGGAGACTTGTTGTCCGATGATACTACTCGTCAGGCTGTTGAAGGGGTCGATCTCTTCCGCTAGACCGGCAGGCGAGAAGAGTGAGCATGGGTGCGCCTCGATGACGGGTTTTAGGCGCGGGTCGGTGGCTATCAAGTGAGCGATTGCTTTCTCGAGAAGCGTTCCTGTTGTAGCGATGGGTCGGGGAAGGCCGGTCTTCGAGGGAGACACATCTTGAGCGTCTTGTGGGTAGGCGGTTACGGAGGAGCCGTGGGGGGTGAGGAGGGTTGCGTTCGTTCGGTGAGGGTCGACGGGCCGGTTGAGGGGGGCGGAGTGAGATTTCGGGGTTTGGATGGTGTAGCTGGGGACTCTGGGGCCCAGTAGGCGTCGGAGGTGGTGGATGGCTTGACAGTTGGTTTCTTGGTCTTCGTAGAGAGCTTGCGGGGTTTGGAAACGGCGCTGTGTTGCACTCTTGACACTTTGCTGGGTACTGTGCTGTGTAGCACGGGTGGATTCTGGATGCTGGGGATTGTACTTATTCGGGTAGACCGTCTGAGTGCCATTTTGGAGGCTGGGTGAAGGTTGATACGAGGGATGGGCGGAAGATCCGGGGTTGGGCTGAGGGCGGTGTCGGTGCTTGGCGGACCTTCGTGTCGGAACTATGCCTTCAAAAACGAATAATAAAATCGAATGACACGGATTTCAGATTCAATTGTTATGATTCATTAATTGTTATAATTCATTCTGCGATTTTGACTCTCCGGGTATGTATAACATGTTTGGTGGAGCCGCTGCATGGGGCTTGATCTCAGACACGTAGATCCGGAGATCAACTGTTCGACCATCTCTAACCATCAGCAGCGAAATAATTGCAATTCTATCCCAAAGCGAAGCTAAATTATCATAGTTGACTGCAGAAGGCGAAATTTCCGACCGGATATATATTGGTCTTTCTCTCCACCGACCAAAAAAATATACATAAACAGCCCTCACCATCCTGATATATATATCCAGAAATCCTAGGGCATCCCAAATGGACAAAAATCTTCATTTCCAGTAAAAATCGCAATGATCATTTCCCCATCCAGCAAATCCCACAGCAAACCTGTTCAGTCAACAAATAGCCATTGTGCCCTGGTTGATAGGAGAGAATGTCATGCGATTGGCCCTGTCTGCTCCGCCCGTTAGTGGTACCAAGGTTCTATTTCGAGAAACACTCGTTCCACGGTAGTCCGGCCTTACAAGTCTACAACCTGGTAACGGTGATACCAGCGGGTTTTTAAGTTGGAAACTGAGCTACTAATGAAGTAGAGAGAGTTCCCGAAGTATACTGGCCAACTTGTTTGAATCAACAGCAACCAATTGCGCCCCACCACGACAGCATTGGAGACTGGGAATGAAAAGGACACTAGCAATGTCTGACAGAAACAAGGATTTTTTTGAAGCCTTTTTTACGGAGGAGTGGGGTAAGAACTAGCCATCGACCAGGCTGATCGCGGTCTTCTAGACAGGAACCCCTGCCTGTACGACCAGTTGAGTTGAGGTGGCACAATAATAGAAAGAAAGAAAGAGAGAAAGAGAGATTCGCCGTCTGAACAAGAATACCCAAAAGCGAGCTTTATTTTTATCGGTCATGGGTTCTGGAGAATGTGTCGCATTCCCACGAAAACCGTTTTCAACTGATACGCCGACTGCTCCAAACACATTTTTTACGCTCTGCCTTCCCAGCCAGATCTCGGAATGTCAGTCGAATGCCACGGCTAGCCGACCATGCGATTAACAGTAAAACAGGTTCCATCCCGCACGGACTTGCCCGGACTTGGCTTCTGGGATTTAATTGCATTATGCCTTGGTAACTTACATTCGGTGGCGCTGCAGGCACGGGTGGTAGCCTAGGGGATGGAGGGTACGGCGATCCCTCACCACTGTCCGTCGCTGCTATCAAGGAAAAAAACCCGACACTTTCTGATAAGAGTACGTTCAATGGATCTCGCCAAGGATATAAATTTTCTTCCCTTGATCTGCCTAGTGGAGCAATGATTTCTGGTCAAGTGGAGCAATCCGCCAAGGTGACGGCGCAAGTCGGCTCCGTCCCATCATCGATCTGAAACATTTCATGACTACGCGTTACCAGAGCCTGACGGTACTCTGTACGAAAGAAACTCAAGGACCTCCAGCAATTAGCCTTGGATGACTAGCAACAGTCGGGATTACACGTCGACAGGACAAGATTTGTGGAAGTTTCCTCCGTAGTGATCAGGGATAGGGACCGTGGCCAGCGCGTTACTGTATGAGGTCGAGAAAGGATCCTCCATGGAACGCAAGTTAAATTATGTATCATTAGGATGGGCCATTCACTAACTAGTGTATGTCAGAAAAAATGGGTAAGAGAAAAGGGGGCCAATAGTCAATCAATCATGTGAAAGGATACATACATATGCATGTGTATAGAGGCTCAGTTGATAATAATTGTATCATAATAGTCATCCTGCCGTGAGGGACCATTGAGTGCTTCACGTTAACAGTTTAGCCTGCACGGATTGCCAGAACTGGCGGACGAGTCCTTCCATTGTGCCAATGAGAGACCTCACATACCGGGAGGCCCCATGGACGATGGCGGCAGGGGGCGGGTCCACCAAAGGCTTGATTGCAGGTCATTTATTTAGATCGACCATTTGCTTCCTGCCTTGCGACTAGGATAGTTATAGGAGTTAGGGGATGACGAATAGTAGTGGTGCGGATTGTATTGAACCGTTAGCTAAGGATGGCCCTTTTCTGCACAGGGCTTTCTTCGTTACTGCTCGAGGTACAGATGACACCAGCGGAGTTATGGATTGGCCGTTTAGGTGAGACGCATCCACTGTGGATTGGTTAGTCCGGCCTGTTGTGATCATTAGTAGCTCTGATGGCCAGTCGATCCAACCCCTGAGCGGGCATCAATATTATTGCGGGATGCAGTGGCATCATCTTCTCAGCCACCCGACTGACCAGTCAACAGTGATTGCTATGAAGACAATGTACACAGATTTGTTTAGGGAAGTTGAATGGCTTTATTGATTATGATCATTCATGCTTATAGTCATGGAAGCGGGCATGCCACACGTGTATGTCGCATACACATAAAATACCGTGGTGACCGTAAATAACAACAACAAAAACAGGCCCACATTCGGCCGCGCCTCCTTTCTTGTGTTCCCGGTCCTGTCCCTGTCTCTTTCTCTCCTTCACTTATTCCTTCCTCCCCCCATCCATTCATTCGTTCTTTCCCTACCCGACCAGGCCGCTTCCCCTTCACTGAAGCGTTTTTCTTCATTCGTTCCCGTCGTTTCCTCTTCACCACCCACTCTCGGTACGCCCTCCCTTCACCCCCTTTTCTCTCTACCTACACTCACCCCCCAAACCTCCGTGGACACACCAACTGACCCAATCGACCAGAGTTGCTTCTACCATGGCCTTCTCCAAGTACCTTCTGTCTGCGCTGGCAGTCACTCAAGTCGTCTTCGCCTCTTGTGAGTGTCTCCCCTCCCTGCAATTGACCAAACAGAAAACTGACCTCGCCCAGCTTGCGGTGACACCACCATCTCCACTCAAAGCGATGCCGACACCCTCGCCAGCGGCTGCCAGACCGTCAAGGGTGACATCACCATCGACAAAAGCTTCTCGGGCAACCTGGACCTCAGCAGCATCCAGCAGATTACCGGTAGCCTCACCTGCAAGAACTGCCCCAATCTCGCCTCACTGTCCGGCGACAGCCTCAGCGCGATCGGAGGCGACTTCATCTTGAACGAGGTTGTTGGTCTGACCGCTCTCAACTTCCCGTTGTTGACTACCGTCCTGGGCAACATCAATTTTATCGCCCTCTCCTCGCTGCAATCGCTTGGATTTGATACCGGCGTGACCAAGGCCGGCGGCGTCCACATTGAGAACACCAAGTTGCAGAGCCTGGACGGCATCAGCCTGAGGACTGTTGGCAAGTTCGAAATCCAGGCCAACAATTTCTTGAAGTCCGTCAACATCAATAACCTGATGAACGCCACCGATGAGATTGACTTCTCGGACAACTACGGCGGTCTCCAGATTGAGTTCCCCAACCTGAGCTCAGGCACCAACATGACCTTCCGTTCCGTCCAGACCCTCTCCATGCCTTCGCTTAAGTCGCTCTCCAACGCTCTTGGCCTCTGGAACTGCCAGTTCGACTCGTTCTCCGCTCCCAACCTGACCACCGTTGGTGACCTGACCTTCTTCAACAACACCCAGCTCAGCAACATCAGCATGCCCCTTCTGAAGGAGGTTGATGGCGGTTTTGAAATCACCAAGTCTGATCCCCTGAAGAACATCAGCTTCCCCGCCCTGCAGAAGGTTACTGGCGCCATTGACTTCAGCGGTGACTTCGGCTCGTAAGTATTTGTTGCCTTCCGTTTTGAGGATAGTGTCCCTAACCCGCATGTGTGTAGGATCAAAATCCCGAAGCTTAACGATGTTGAGGGTGCCTTCCACGTCGAGAGCACTGGTGATATCAATTCCGACTGCGATTTCTTCAAGGGTATCAAGGCGCTTTCGATCCACGGCCCGTATACCTGCAAGGGGTCCATTTCGGACCCTAAGACTCGTTCGGGAGTGTCCGGTACCTCCTCCTCCACTACCAGCGGTAGCGCAGCGAGCACGACCACCTCCGGTATTGCTGTCGCCAACGGCGTCGACATGCCTACCGTTGGTGTTGTTGCTGCTGCCTTCTACGCTCTTGCCCAGCTCTTCTAAAGAGGCTGAGTGATGCGTAGGGGAGAAAGAGAGATGTGGTCTTCTGGGGGATGTAGAATTGTTTACCAAGCAAACGCTTCCTTGATTCGTCGTTCCTACTCTGCAGTTCTTATGATAATAATTCGGTCTTTTGTGAGGAAAATTCAGCACTTGGATTTTGTCCTCGGGAGACACTTCCCCTCCCTGTCGCCGTTCATCGGGAAGGTGTTTGTTTCTTTTCTTTTATCCATTGTCCTTATTACCTCGATACGTGTTTTGGAGTGCCCTCGCGCTCAATGTATTCGTTCCCCCTTGTACATGTCCTTGTAGTCCAGTAAAGTAGTTCCAGCCAAGTCAACGGCCTATCCTCCCCATTGAGGACTGGAGTGGCTGATTCTCGGAGTACCACTGGTCTTCAATGGCTTCTTTGTTAGCTCAACTGTTCATGGATTTCTGAAAGGAAGAAACGGCAGTTCAGCCCACTCCCCTCGACAGGGAACGAAATCGATCCAACATCTCTCCCGCAAAGTGACATAGCCTACCATAACTCCCCGTGCTCCCGATCGATCGATGTGCCAACACATCATGATAAGCTAACTAGAGCGGAACGAAGAAGAAAAATTCCGAGAATGTCGATTAGCTCTACACGGCCGTATAGATCTCTTGTATGAATATCTAAATTGAATCTATGGCGCCATCGGTGGTGGAATGATCGCAATGAGACATATATTTTCCAGAATATTGTGTGCAGACCCGAGATGCGCGCTTTTTAGTCGCTGGGCCGCCCTATTATTATTATTATTATTATTATTACTATTACTACTACTATTACTGTTTTTGATCCAATACATAGAGATCAGATCGAGAGATCATTTGTTCTACATGCCCTATTCTAGATCTGAGACGAGGCTGGTTGGTCTCGACGATTACCTTCTTTAGGGTTTGGGTGCGCGGTGTAGAGATACATATCGAGTCTGGACCCTTTATAATCCTGGTCCTTCAGCTGGGACCGTACATAGTGTACGTACTGTAGTTGGGATATGCTGCACGGGGTGCTGTGTTTGTGCAAGCCTATCCATGATTCCATTGCAGATTTCCACCAACTCCAGGCATACAGAACCCAGAACGAGCAGCCCTCCAAAAGATGACTCGTCGAACCTCGGCTAGGCTGGGGAAGGGTGAAAGATTCCGATTCGAGGGAACACCAGTTCGGGGGCGCGATCATCAATAGTGGGGCGCCCTTGCGAGGCTGGGGAGACTTTCGATAGACACGCATAGTGTGTGATGCTCTGGGCCAATCACGGCGCTAAGATGGACTTCGTTGATTTTTTATTGAAGCTGGGGCTCTGGAGGGCTATTGAGGCGATCTGATCTTATCTTGCAGCAGAGAAAGGAAAGGACTGCTTGTTGGACAAAGGCAAATGTTCTTGACAATAATGTCCAATGCCATGCCTTCTCTCATCGACATGATCTCATAGTTAGTCACTTGATACATATCGTACTTTGTCCTCACGGGGCAGATCGAGGTAGATCGCCGACTCGACGAGAACAAAGTTCGTCCGATCCATCCACGCGGGGTTCTAATCGACGAGAGAAACTCGTGTATGCACTATACCTAATGAAACCAAACCCTGAAACAGAACATGGCATGGAAAGCCACCTCTCTGTGTGTGTGGTGTATGGGTGTGTGTGCTGTGTCTTTCCGGAACCTTTCCCCGCGGCCTAACTAAGTAGTCAGCAAAGTTAACTAGAGACCTGGCGAACCGAACAGCACCGAGGGACTCCTCATTGGATACTGCAGGCGATACACTCCCTGCTAGTGCCATCGGGGCGAACAATGTGCTCGTCATCGGCGTTAGGGAGGGAGCGGGGACATCGGGATGGGGTTTCTGTTGAGATGATGAACGGGAACCCGGGACTTTGTTCCAAGGTTTGACGATTTGTGGGGTTTGAGGTGAGATCTGCTTTCTTTCTACGAGTATGGAGGAGGTGTGATGTGCGGTGAATTTGGGAGTTTTTTCTTTCCTTCTAATTGTGCGTTCGTACGTAGGGCTGGCTACCGAGGTAGGGCTATCTGTGTTCTTATCTTGCCCAGGTGCGTACATGGTATGTAGCTGATTATGTCTATTCTTAGTGATGATAATTAATTGCCTTCTCTAGATAGAAGACGGCAGCCTGGAAGACTCAATAGTCCCAAGGCGATCTTCTCGACTGCATATCTGAGGGAGGGTACCTGAATGAACCGCACAGGTCTGGCCCGCCACGATACATCCGCCTTGCATTGCAGGCAACTCGGGATCCAGGTAATTGGGACCTGCTCCTGATACAGACACCTCGACGAAGAAGAGAGATCATAGATCGCACGGCACCATGTAGGAACAGAAGCCCGTCCATGGCCCATGAGCCCTGGATCTCGCGCCGGGGAAGGGGGAAGAGCAAGACGTGTCAGATGCGGTGCGGGCACAGTAAGCGTGGCGAGGTTCGCCCAGAACGAGCTGCAACCTGATGGATAGTCTCAGCGTGCTATCTGTTGCGTCCTTGCAGCTGCGTTGCATGTATTGCGTGGTGTGGTGGCCACATTCCCTCTCGGAAAATTGATCAGAACCATTCCCGCGTGCTCCGATGGCGCAGGAACAGCGTGCTTTTCTTAGTAACATTTAGTTTAAAAAATAATGTAATGTGTGATCGGTGCTCAGACAAGGTTGACAGGCTCTAATGGTAGATTCGGCCCTTGCGGCCAGTTCACATGTGGCGTTGCCAATTATTTGTTTCTCTAACGTGTTGACCGGAGCATGGCGACCAATTGATTTATGGCCACCTCCTTTGCACCTGTCTCTTGAATTGGATTATTGACCCTAATGAGCATGCATTCGCACTTGCCATAAGGAGGGGTGGTATGGAGCAAGAGGGGGATACACAACATGTACAGTAGTCTCTGCTGCTGTCTCCATCAAAACCGGAAAAAGGCGAGGTAGATCCAGCATAGTGAAGAAAACGATCGCACCAGACATAATTTAGTGCTCTACATGGCAGACACTACTCCACTAGGTGCGGTAGCGGAAGTATCTTTTGTGGTGGTTCCAAGAAAGAAGAACTGATCTTGCAGCTCGCATGAACCGGTGGTACTTTTGAGCCACCTAGGCCCGCAGATCTAGGCCATCGACAAGGAGGGGCACACGAGACAGAGAGAAGGAATGCGATCTCAGATCGGGGCAGTTCGTAATGCCCCGCCATGGCGTGTTTGGCTGCGGAACTTGACATGTCGTAGGTAGGCGATCCCACACATGAAAATGAAAGGCCAGACGGGTTCTTGCTCCTACGGGACGGGGCCACTGTTAGTAGTTCACGACTCCCAGAAAAGAAACCCTTGCTAGAGCCGCACAGGTCTGGATAGATGCTGCGCGAGGTGAGAAATTCGCAATCGGACGATTCCAACCTGCCTGGCCGATCGGGTTGGCCCTGTGATCTCTAAGGTTTCCATCGGCACAACCAGAGTACATACCCTGGCAGATCCAGACGCACGTCACTCGAAATGGCCAGCAGGGAGGGTCCGGGGAACGGCGGAAGATGTGAGCTCGAATGGTTCGTGCCTGGGTGGCCCCCTCCCGGAGCTGCAAGCCTCCAGCAAACAGGTCCTAGGCGCAGCCGCGGAAACTTTGGAGAGCCGCAAGTCGGATGCAAGTAGACATGTATAGAGGGGCAAACAACAAACAATTGAGGAATCTCGCACTAGTAAAAGTTTCGAACTCCCCAATTTTTTTTTGGTTGAAAATGACCCAGCCTCCGGGGGGAGGAGAGCCCGACGGAGAGCGGCCGTAGAAGAACGTGGGAACCCTAGCGCCGGACAGAATATGACAGCTCTGATTCCCGCCGTCACCTAGGCTGCCAGAGACCCACACCCAAGACGCATAATTAGGAAAAGATTGACGCTCTCCAGAAGATTCGTCGTGAAGCAGATCCTGCCGTGGCGTCAGGAGTGGGAACGTGCTGCTCTTAGGGCTAAGGAACTATTGTTTAGCCCTCGCGACAAATCAGGGGCCTCGATACGAAATCGGACCCCATAAACGTCTGTGTGTCAAGCCAATTCCAAATCACTCGGATCGCTGTGATTCGATCACTGACAGCAGTCGTATCCTGGTCGCTGGGTTCCCAGGCTGTCCCAAATCGACGGTTGCCCCCGGCCGTCACACTGATCATCTCGCCAATTTCTCGCCCGCTGTTTACTTAACGTCGGTAATTTGTCTGAGCTCTGTCGATGACAATTGCTCGTCAATTCTGCGGCGTCCGTCGTGTCAGACTATACGGGATAGTGTCAATATTGATCGTAGCCTCCTCGCTTGTCTCAGAGGAGGGGCCTGTTTTTTGGCACCATCCTTGCTTCGTTCTATTAGCCCTAGGACCCATGGATTCATTTCGGAGCTTCTTCTTGAAGGGGAGGATCATCTAGAAGCCCCTTGATTCTAATGACAGGAGCAATTTCTCCTGAACATCAGGAACAGCCACGGTGTTGTTCTATGATCCGTCCAAATTGGGGCGGGGACGGCGCAGTTCGATATGGAATTCTCTGACACCCGTTTTGTCGGTTGAATTGTTTTTCTTTTTTCTTTTTTGCTTCTTACGAACCTGGAGATTCCCCTCATCTTCGTTGTAAACAGTCACATAGTTCCACATGGTCCCCGGAAGATTTGGGCTAGGAGAATTCCACCAGATCGTGTCATTCCCACGGCCGACTATTGATGCAAGGGCAATGCGGCGCTGCGCCTTCACTGGTCCCCGTGTCGATCCAAGCCCACGACAAATCAAGAGCCCGAGATCCTCGTCCAGAACCTCCCCGTCGGGCAAGATCGAGCCGCCATGATTCGCTGATCGAGTGGATCTTCGACGGCAATGTTTGTCTGTGCATAATGTGACAGATACTCTGTGATACCGAATATTCTCCATGGCAGGTCTTTCTGACAGTGGTCCAGAGCCCGTCCGGGATGCTAGGCTTCATTTCCCCGTCGTTCAATGCGGCCAAACCTGCACCATGCACCGTCCGTCTGTGTGAGATCGGCCCTGATCGTTCATGCTTTCCCCCCTCCTGGGTCCACCTCAGGACCAGGGCTCTCATGATATACATTATGATCCATAGATAGCCGAGAAAATAGTCCCCTAGTCATGGCCTCCAGCGAGCACATATAAACATGCATCCATCCCCGTGTCTCTTTCCATGAACCGTCTCACTCTTTGTCTCCGTCGCCTCGTGTGAATTTCCAGTTCCTCTTGCTTTTTCTTTTTTCTTGTCTATAACCACCATATATACTGCCCTCTTGTTCTATTACTTCCCCCCTCACCTCCTGCATATACTTCCCCTCCCCGAAGGAAATATTCCTCCGTACATATCTATAACCACTTGTGGCATCTCCCGCGCCACGTCCACACTCGTTGCTACCCATATCACGCTTTTGACGACACTTTGACACGATGTATGAGGAAATGGACTCCATGACTGATGACATCCCGCGCCGCTGCTCTCTTCCGTGAGTATAGAAACGGAAAATGTATTTAGCCTCCATTCTGACCGGCCAATACAGGGCCCTGAAAGAGACCATCGCTTCCGGCATGGGTCCGTCTGACCTGGGCGAGGACCGCCGCCTGCCTCCCCTGCCACGCATTGAGCCGCTGCCTCGTGGGCCGTTCAACCCATTCCACGCCAAGGAGACCATGAGTGCTGGACCTAGCACCCCTAGTCCCCATGAAACTACATTCCAATTCAAGTCGCCCTACTCGGCGGTCGCCGAGCACATTGTTGCTCCTCCTTCTCCTGCCAACTCTGCTGAAAGCTCCTGGCAGGAGTCCTTCGCCGCCCAAAAGGCCGGCTCTGCTGACTGGGCGACTGACCTGTCCCCCGCGGAGATCATGGCCCTCGTTGCTCCCCCGAACATCAACCGCAAGCCGCCACTGCAGCAGCTGTGCGGCCGCAAGCGCAAGAGCAGCCCTCTGTCCAATGACCCGGACGACCAGCGTGAGAAGCACCGTATTGCCGAAGGCAACCGACGCAAGAACCTGAGCACGCTGCACCGCGAGCTCGACGGCCGCATCCACAACTTCTTCCTGGAGCGTGCTGGCTGGAACCCGTCCAAGAGCCTGCCCCAGTCCAAGGAACACATCGTCCAGGGTGCGGTGTACTTGATTGACTTCATGCTTGCCATCATCGTGCATCTCATGCGCCAGGAACAGGTAACCCCCCAGCTGTCAGAGAAGCTGCAGCCTCAGTTCCGCTGCATGCAGTTGCAGAACCTAGTCAACTCCCTCCAACAGGAGAACCAGGCGGCTCAGCAACAGCTCAAGGCCACCAAGGCTGAGAACGAGCTGCTGGTCGACCGCAACCGTGCTCTGGAATTCCAGCTCAAGTCCTACGAGCAGATGTTCCGCTCTCCCAAGGCCGAGAGCACCAGCCCAACCCCAATCGTTGACGTTCCCGAGCACAAACGCCAGAGGAGGGCGGCGCTGCCAGGCATGCGTGTGTTCTGCGGCGAGATCGCCAACATGGCTCCGGAACCATTGTCTGCTCACCCCGATAACCTGCCCAGCGCTACCTCCCAGTGCTTCAGCAGCTCGTACTTGACGGCCACGCCTTCCACGACTGCTCCTCCCTCTCCTGCTTTCCCCCTATCGCACCCTGCGATCTCCTCTTTCCCTCTCTCGGCCTCGCGTCGCGAGTCGATGAATGCCTCGCCATGAAATTGGGACCCTGATGATACACATGTTCTATGATCATGTCCATGTTGATGTTGATATGTTGATGACTTCTCCTTCTCGACCTTCCTCCCTTGCAGACAGCGCTGGATCCCTCAATGATCACTTCTGCTGTATGTGCCCTTTAGCGTCCGCATTGTAACACTATATTCCTTCTTACGACGTGTGGTTGCTCTGCTTGAGGAGTGAATTATTCTTTCACTTCTTTTTTCCTCAACAGTTTATATTTTTTCTCTTTTCTCTTATAAAAATGGGTGGCTTTCTTTTTTTCTCTTCCTGTTTCTTCTGTTGTCATTTTGGCGCTTGTGAACAATTGGATATATGCTCGGGCGGACGGTTTTCGTTTCTGTCTCTCTTTTTTTTTCTTTTGTCTTGGTCTCCTTTCCTATTGTCTACAGTTATGATAGTCAATTGATGATGACTTCTTCCGCTTTTGCCCACTCGTGTACTCGTAGATGTCTCACTTTGTTGTGCCGCTTGTCTCAGCCCACCTGGGTTACTTCCCGGTCATCCTTTGTCTCAGCATGAATCGAGCAGTCGAGTAGCAATCTACCCCATGACCCATAATATAGTGTTGGTCATGACAGCTGTAGTTTACCAGTGCTGCATCGGTGCTTCTGCGGCTACCAAAGGCGTGATCTGCGACAAGAGACGCGCAATGCGGGAAATGAAGCGACCAAAGCACCAACGAGACTGAATTTCAGCACCCTACTCCGTACGCAGACAGCGAACTATAGGAAAACATAGCAGTATATCTTCCTACAGTGTCTAATTGACCAGAGATACAGTCTGAATACTCCCACGTAGCAGTGTCCAAAGGTCGTGGCTGTGCTATAAATAAAAAAAGGGTCTTTCCGTGGCCTAAGGAATCGTGGCGACGGTCCGGACCAGACAGCCGACCCCTTTAGTCGACCATCATCGGTAATTTTGAACTCTAGTCATTCACAGTCCATCATAATTCAACATAATCATAATTATTCAGCCATCCTAACAACATCCGTAGTATTGTGGCTCTGGGCTTGTCTTTGTTGCCGGTGCTGGTTAATTGATGACTTGGTCCGCCGAGCCACCTTTCAGCCCCAACGATCCCGTCCTCCTCTCTTTTCTTCCTCCCTTTATCTTTTTTGCCTGGACCTCGTTTCACCTCCCCACCACACCACATCCACACCTTCAGTTTCTCCATCGGGTGATACGATCGTGGTCGCCCGCTTGAGCCACCATCGTCCCGCAGGGGGGTTTTCGACAACGGGAGATCGAGACCCCGGGATCGTCGCCGTGTGTGAAGGCTCCTGAGTCCGATCCGTCCGCTTTTTCTGTTTCCACGCGTCCCTCGTTTTGAATCGGCAAAAATGTTGATGCCCAAGGGTGAAGTGAATTGGAAGTCCGCCCGGGGCCGGCTGCCTCCATGGCGAGCCATCGTGGTCTTATTAACACGAACTCGCTTTTTGGTGTCGGTGGCCGCGACGGGGTTGCTGATCTTGCTGTGGCGAGGTGTCAGCAAGTCTGCATCGGGCATGCAAAAGTATGTCGACCGCATTATTATCTACCATGAATTCATTCTTATGGTTGTCTAGTTTCTACTGCTACGGCTCGTCCAAGTCGCCGATGGAAATGTCCATCAACGAGATGGTCGAGTGGAACGCGCACTCCCAGACCCCCGTCCTCTTCAACCACCATGACCCCTACGAAGTCAACAGCACCTCCATCTCCGAAGTCGATCTCAATCCGATCCGCTCGTCCTCCCAAGCCATCGCCAACCGCGAGCGAGTGCTCATCCTGACCCCTCTCCGTGACGCCGCCGACTATCTGCAAAAATACTTCGAGCTCCTCTACAAACTGACCTACCCCCACGAACTGATCGATCTGGCTTTCCTCGTTGGGGATTGCAAAGATGACACCCTGGCCAACCTGGCGGCAGAGTTAGATCGCATCCAGAACCACGCCGAAGACAAGATTGCCTTCCGAAGCGCCACCGTTGTGCGAAAGGATTTTGGCGCCGATGTCGAGATGAACGTGGAGGAGCGACACTCGTTTGCGGCACAGGGCCCCCGCCGGAAGGCTATTGGCCGGGCTCGTAACTATCTCCTTTATTCGGCGCTCAAGCCCGACCACTCCTGGGTGTACTGGCGTGATGTCGATATCGTGGATTGCCCTGAGCGGATCATCGAGGACTTCATCGCTCATGACAGGGACATCCTCGTGCCGAGTATGTCATCCTCATGATATTTTTGGGGTTTATTTGGCTAACAGGAGATTCGCAGACATTTGGTTCCACCGCTACCGGGACGGCCGTGATATCGAGGGTCGCTGTATGTTCTCAAGTCTGATCTGTATGCTACATCAATTCGCTAATGTTCCTTTTGTGCAGTTGACTACAACTCGTGGATCGAATCCGACAAGGGCCGGCGGTTACGAGCAACCCCCCCCCCGGACACCGTTCTAGCGGAAGGCTACAAGGAATACGACACGGGCCGGACCTACCTCGTCAGCATGGGTGACTGGAGAAAGAATAAGGATGAGGAGGTCGAGCTGGACGGCATTGGTGGCGTCAACATCCTGGTCAAGGCCGATGTCCACCGCTCCGGCATCAACTTCCCCGCATACGCATTCGAGAACCAAGCCGAGACCGAAGGATTCGCGCGCATGGCCAAGCGCGCCGGGTATCAAGTAGTCGGCCTGCCCAACTACGTGGTCTGGCACATTGACACCGATGAGAAAGGTGGAAACCTGGGAGATCGCAAGGCGTACTAAGCGTTCCTTCTTGCTCGCTCTGGGTTCGACAAAGTTGATCTTTGAATGAACCCGACCCGTCTTTGAATCATCCTTTGCTCCGCTTGAGTGACCATGTTGGCGTCCGCAACCTATATGCGATGGCTGGCGGCATCTTTCCTTTACCATTCGACTGTGATCTTTTTCTTTTCTGTTCTCTCTCGTGTGAAGGATGATCTCGCGACGGAAGCCTAATGATTTCCACTAATCCCATCTCGTGTCGCATTACTACTATTGGGAGTGAGTGTGGGTTGTATGTGGGGGTGTGTGTATTTGTTGTCTTTGGCGCTCCGGGGAAAATGCTGTTTGGCGGGACTTGCAAGGCCTATAGATTCCGCCGGTCCTTTTCCAGACTTTCTTCTTGTCTTGATATACTGTACTGAAATTTCCGTTGTTGTTTCCTGACTCTTGTAGAGACGCGTCTCTATCTCGATCCTCTTGTTTGTGGTCCTTTGCGCACTGAGCTAGGACTTTGAAAGGTCTCTGTTGGATTTCCGATAATGTTGATGTGTAATTCCATCCAGAGAATTCTTGATTGAGATATTTTATCCCTGTAAAATCATTTAAGGGTTGAACCCCCAGTGTGTATACATCCTCGGCAGAGCCGTGTGTCCTCTCCGCCGGAATAAAAACCTTGAGAGAACTGAACAACCCCAAGACTTACCAACAACCCCTTACCCGACCTAACAGGATCCTCTGCCAAGTGACTAGAGTAGTCCTTTAGGATACATACACTATCATCTGTCAAAATAATGCCACCCGCCAATTTGACGCTTCGTGTTCCCGGCTGCTCCCCCCACGCCCTTTGGCGACAGGTCCCCCGCGTCATCCCGCATTATTCATCCTTTTCCTTCTCATCCCTCCGTCTCGTCCCCCAACACCAACGAGACCCCTTGCTCTCCCCGTCTTCAATTCAACAACAGCAGCGTTTCTTCTCGCGCACCATGTCTGTCCCCGCCAAGAAAGAGTTCCTGTGCATCCTGCCGGATAAACCCGGCGCGATGGCGAAGCGCCTCGAGATTCGACCGTGCGTGGCTCCCATCCCATCATATCATACCATGCCTTCGATTATGATTATGTCTTCTTATGATTGATCCCAATCGATCAATTGTGCTGATTTGTGATACGAACAGTGCTCATCTGGAGGGTATCAAGCCTTTGGTTGCATCTGGCACGGTCGTTGCTGGCGGTACGTCCTCTCTTCACTTCCTTCTATAGCCAGTTCCAAATGTCCACCTAGCCGGAGGATTTTGTTTCCATCCTTTTCGACCCATTTTTACCTATTCACCTCATTTCTGTGATGCATTTATTGATCCCATCCTCGTCGCTAATCTCCGGCACCACAGGCGCAATGCTCAACTCCCACCCCGCCGAGGGCGAAACCCCTTCCTTCAAGGGAAGCATGATGCTCGCCATGGCTGAGACCGAGGCTGAGGTGCGCCAGCTGCTTGCTAACGATATCTACGGCACCTCTGGTGTGTGGGATTTGGAGAATGCACAAATTATTCCCGTATGTCTTTTTCCGTCGATAGCCGCGCGGGCCGCCACTTTACCTCTACGTGGAGGTTAAGAGTGCTGACTGGGTGCTGACTTTTCTTTTTGGGGAACTTAGTTCAAGTCTGCTGTGCGCCAGCAGCTGTAAGATGTTAGATATTCTGTTGTTCTGGAGGTGGAAGAGAGGGATATAGTAAGGCCTGTGTCCTTGGGTGTATGAGGAAGAGGGAGTGGATGATCTTATGTACAGTTTCTGTGCAGGAGGATAGATATTATTATCACCATTGAAGCTGAATTGGAGAGGATGTTGAAAAGGGTGATAGATAAAGCGTTGAGAAAGATACTGGGAGAGGTAGACTGCAATAAGAGACATACCAGAGAAGGTTGAAGCTGATTGTCGCTAAAGTAGGTTCTGGACGCTAAGAGAGTTGGACAAAGATACAAAGAAGCCAGACTCAGTGCTAAAATATGTAAAAGTCCTGAATCTTATTGTTGCCCAACCATGCAGCTACGGGATACCTACACTAAGTTATGTATACGGCAGCACCAGTGGTGCAAAACAGCCAAACATCCTTCTTATCGCAACATCAACTGCGATTGTCCAACTACTCTCTCTGACCAACCCACATCCATCCATCATGGCTCCTGAACCCACTCCGTCCAAAGGCGGGGGGATGATGTCCTTGTACGCCAACCTGCTCGATCCCTCCGCCGAGTCCCCGGGCACCATTTCCCGCGCTCCCGTCGTCTTCAAGCAAGGCCCCGAGGCCGACGCGCAATCCGACGAGTCTGCTGCGAAGAAGCAGCAGCTGAATGCTGGTACGTTTCACTAGTCTGTCTCTCAATCCAACTCCTGTACTGACATCTTCAGCTTCCCTCCGCTTCCAACCCACCAAAAGACCCCAGCTCTCAGCCCAGAAACCGAAACCCAAACCTTCAATACCAAAGACCGCGCCCTCCTCCGCTACCCAGAACCCTGCACCTGCACCCGCAGCGCCTCCGAAAAGCACGCTTGCCGACTGGGCCGGTACGGAAGATGATGACTACAACGGGCACTACATGGGCGAGAAGCGGCAGCGCGGAGGCAGGAAGAAACGCAAGAAGAATCGCGAAGCGCATGCTGCCGCGCAGAACTGGGATGATATCTATGATCCGTCGCGACCGAACAACTACGAAGAATACCGACATAGTGATGAGAAGATTCTCGAAGTCCGCGAGTGGAAGGATCGGCTGTATGCCCATCGGATGAGACGCTTTCCGAGCATGGACTCGGATAGTGAGGACTATGACCGGTCACGGAATCGTATGTTTTTGTTTTTCACTTGCTTCTCATGGATTTCATGCTGAGTATTGTGCCAGGTCAATTCGCTCCCCCCAGCTTCGCACCGCCGCCGAATCTTAATGATGCGCCCCCTCCACCACCGGCCTCGGTCCCTAACGATGCATTCGGCGAGGATGCATTCGCTCGCCGTATGCGCATGAGCCAACGCTCCGGTGATGATGGACCTATGGATTATCAGGAATCTCCGCCACCTCCTCCACCGCCTACAGAACCCCCTGCCGCGATCTCCGACGATCCTACCGGGGAAGATGCATACATGCGACGACTACAACGAAGCGGAATTCAACCGCCAGCAGAGAATCCACCACCACCACCACCTTCACGCCCTCTCGACACCGTCCAACCCAGCGTCGTAACCATTTCCCGCGCACCAGTCCGCTACACCCTTCCACCGCCCCCCGAAGATATCCCTGCCTCAGAAGCTGAGCTGGAAGCCGTATTCGCGCAAGAACAACCTGCAGAAGAACCCGACGCAGATGAGGACGCACCACGCTCACTCCGACCCGGCCAAAAGGGCTTCGCCGAGCGGCTCCTTGCCAAATACGGCTGGACCAAGGGCTCTGGACTCGGCGCCACGGGATCTGGTATTGCCAAGCCGCTGCAGGTGAAGGTCGAGAAGCAGAAGAAACGACCCGACTCGGAGGGCGGAGGATTCGCGACGCCCGCTGGGAGGGGAAAGATCATTGGGAGTAAGAGGAAGGGCGGGGAGGATGAGGGCAAGTTTGGGGCTATGACCGAGGTGATTGTTTTGAGGGGCATGCTGGATGGTATGGATCTGGAGGCCGAGTTGGCTGGGGAGGGTGGTGGGCTGATGCAGGAGATTGGGGAGGAGTGTTCTGAGAAGGTATTTTTTCTTTCCACATCCATGTCCCAGTTCTTCCTGAAACTGATGCTACGTGCAGTACGGAAGCGTGGAACGAGTCTTCATCGCCCGAGATGCGGGTGAACCGGTCCCGGTCTTCGTCAAGTTTACCAGTCCATTATCTGCTCTACGGGTACGTCTTCATGATTTTCTTACGTTTCTGACGTCTACTGAGAAGACACTGTATGACAGGCCGTCAATGCACTAGAAGGACGCATTTTCAACGGGAATAAAATCGGAGCGCGGTTCTTCGACCCCGAGAAGTTCGCGAAAGGAGTCTATGTCGACTGATGTACATACATTCTATAACCCGGGATTCGACATGATCTGGTCGGGAATGAAATGAAATGATAATCCTTCGATGTCTATGATGCTTCGGCCCAACCATTCAATCGAATATGCTGCAAATCAGAAAGTCTCCCGATCGAACATCTCAAAATCTTCAACAAAGGTATCCCCATCACTCCCATCTGCTTTCAATCGCAGAGACGGCCCGGACGGATGTCTTCTTTGGAACTTTCCTGCCGGAACAGGGATCAACGACTGCCGCGGAGGACCACGGCATTGTCTTTCGTCCTCACTGGTCTCCAGATATGATGCTGGCTCTGATTCCCGGGGTCGAACCCTCGGCACGGGAATCCATGACTGTCGATGTCTGGGCCGACCTCTGGGATGGCTTGGTTCGAGTTGGTCTTCTTCCACGGGAGTTGACTCGACGTATTCTGCCGTAGATACATCGTGCTCATTTGGCCAATGTGTATCCACAACGCGATTATGTCGCCCTTGTTTATGGCTACCATGGTCAACATCGACATCCATGCACAGGCTGTCGTTCCCATGAGACTGCTTCCTCTTTTTCGCGATCTGAGACACCCCGTGTCCATTTGTATCTGCCTCCGCCACAACATCTTGTTCTTGCTGCCGCCGCCGCTTTGTCCGCCGGTGTCGTCGATATCTCCGCCACCGCTCGTGGTTGCACATGCTGCACCATCCCGCCAAAGGGATGTGGAGCACTTCCTGAACGGCGGGGAGGCACTCGTCTCCTGTTGTCAGGGCGTCGAGACAGAAGACTAGAGAGGATTTGGATGTGTTTTGATGTAGGCACAGGGCGTGGTACCAGAGTATGCCGTGGCACATGTTGGTTTTTGTTGATTGTTAGTCCTGGTATGTGGAATGAAGGTATAGGTTTGGCTTGCAGATTGGGAGTGTGAGGTGGATTGAGGATGGTTTGACTGAAGTTGAAATGATGAGATTACGAACATTCCAGAGACTCTATCTAGGAATGTGGGCCCTTTAAATATGGATTTTGTGTCTGGTGTTCTTCTCGAGAGTGTGTCGGGTCTCTCCTACCATAAATCTGGCGGCTAGGTCAAGTCTTTCTAGGCATCCCTGTTGATGGAGTATCACAATCCTTGTCTTGAATCACTATGTCTTACGGACCGTATATTCTCTTTGTTTGTATAAATAAATCTGCAGGCAACCCCCGTCAATCAATGCTCTTTATACATAGCAAAGCAGCCAGCCGTTGTTGCTGCTTATCTAATCCCCTCCCCGCTGGATCGCCGATTGCCTTTTGCACGTCTGATCTCTTCTTCTTCGCCTCTCTCACCTCACCTCTCGCTCTTTCTTCCCTCCCACCCAGAGCACGATTCATATCCGGGCGTCTCGGTCGCTCAAGCGCAACACATCACCGACACAAAATCCAATCTCGCCAACCCGTCCATTCAAGGAGCTTCGCACTGGACTGCGTGGCCAGCACCTGAGCAAGAATGTCGCTGTGCCAGAATCGTCTCCAAGAGGAGCGGTAAGTGATCCCTTCCCCCCGTACAGTGTGTCGCAAGATAGACAGACAAGAACACGCAGAGCTGACTTGCCGTCATCTTACAGCAAGCAATGGCGAAAAGATCATCCGTTCGGCTTCGTCGCGAAGCCCGCTCGCACGGAGAAGGGAGGGCTCGATCTGAAGCGGTGGGAGTGCGCGATCCCCGGAAAAGCCAAGACGCTTTGGGAGGGCGGACTGTTCAAGCTTGATGTCCTCTTTCCGGACGGTGAGTTTGCCTGCTCTCAATGTTGCTGTATTGTATCTTCTTCATACTGACCGACTGCTGGTATATTAGAGTATCCCACCAAGCCACCAAAGTGTACGTATCCTGCGACGACAACTCCCACCGCGATGCGATTCAGTAGCGCATAACTAACTCCTTCACTCCCTCCAGGCAAATTCACCCCGCCTCTCTTCCACCCTAACGTCTACCCCTCGGGGACAGTCTGCCTCTCCATTCTGAACGAGGAGGAGGCCTGGAGACCCGCGATCACGATCAAGCAGATCCTGCTGGGGATCCAGGACCTGCTGGATGATCCCAACCCCGAGTCGCCGGCGCAAGCCGATGCCTACAACCTGTTCAAGAAGGATCGCGCGGCCTATGAGAAGCGAGTGAAACTAGTTGTCCGGGAGAACCAGCCAGCGTAGACTGTGCGATGTCGCATAATGCATATGGGAATTCCTTGGGTGTTTGATTTAGGCGAAGGGAGCGACGCATATATATTTTTTGGTTTCTGACTAGGACATCGCGAGCGCGGCGTTTCTTAATAATGAATGGCGTTGGCCGTGCGACCACTAGAAGGAGTAGCAGCAGAATACCCCCGAGTATATACTTGTCTAACTACGCCGTTGCCCATGTCCGGTCAGTTGGGAGTGGCTCCGTTATCTTATCGGTGACTCAAAGACTCCGACATCGCCCCTCGTCGAAAAAAGAAAAAACTCGCCCGGTTCCTCTTCCCCATACCCGCGCTTAGTCAATTGCTCTCCTCCTTCTCTGTCTTCCACTCTGCTCCATCCTTTTTCTCACCCTCTCCTCACTGTTGCGACAATCCCTCGCCCATCATGTGTGGAATCTTCGCGTGCCACCAGTGCGTTATCGGCCCTTGCCCTAACTCATTCTTCCCACCCCGCTGCCCCTCCGTCGCAAGGCGAATGACCGGGTTGCGAATTTGAGTCATTGCTAACCAGGACTTTCCTCTAGCCACCCGGATGTGCAAAAGTTCAAGCCTACGGCCTTGCGCATGGCCAAGGCGTGAGTGTTCCCTGACCGAATTGGTGCAATTGCCTCGCTAACCTCGCTTGATGCTCAGTGTGCGCCATCGTGGTCCGGATTGGAGTGAGTCATTGGAATACTTTGGGGGATTTTTGGGGAATGGTTGATGTTAACAGCATTGGACAGGTGGAAACTTCATTGCCGACAAGACTAGTGAGTTCAATTGAAGGGTTGCTGGTCGCTGTCGCCGGCTAGGGCTAATTGAGTCATTCGCAGTCCTTGCGCACGAGCGCTTGAGTATCGTTGGTGTCGGTATGTGGTTTCGCAAGACAGGATCCATTGCACTAGCTAAAGCTCCTTCACTTCCAGACTCTGGCGCCCAGCCTCTCGTTAACGAGGATGGCTCCCTCGCCCTCGCCGTCAACGGCGAGATTTACAACCACCGCATCCTCCGGAGAAACATGAAGACCAAGTACAACTTCAAGACACACTCGGATTGCGAGGTCATCATCCCTCTAGTATGTCAGACGCAATCAATACATATGTCCACAATCGCGGTTGCTGATCTGATAATCGTCTAGTATATGGAGCACGGTCTCGATGCCCCCAAGCACCTCGACGGCATGTTCTCCTGGGTTCTGTATGACCGCAAACAGGACCGTGTGGTTGCTGCCCGCGATCCCATTGGTATCACCAGCTTCTACCTGGGCCGCTCGTCTTCCACTCCCGGCGCCGTGTACTTCGCCTCGGAACTCAAGTGCTTGCACCCGGTTTGCGACGACATCATTGCCTTCCCGCCGGGCCACGTCTACGACTCCAAGGCCGACAAGCTGACGCGCTACTTCGAGCCCAAGTGGTGGGACCCTACCAACGTGCCCTCGACTCCGATCGATTACAAGTTGATCCGTCACAGCCTGGAGAAGGCCGTGCGCAAGCGTCTCATGGCCGAGGTGCCCTACGGTGTGCTGTTGTCTGGCGGTCTGGACTCCAGCCTGGTTGCGTCCATTGCGCAGCGTGAGACGCTGCGCATGCAGGAAGCCGCTCGCACTGCTGCGCAGACCCAAGCCGACTCGGAGGAGCTTGTCGGCATTGACGACAGCAACGAGCTGTCGACTGTCACCACTTTCCAGCAGCTGCACTCGTTCTCCATCGGTCTCCCCGGCGCGCCGGACACCGCGGCTGCCCTGGAGGTTGCCAAGTTCCTGGGCACCAAGCACCATGCCTTTGAATTCACGATTGAGGACGGCCTGGACGCCCTCTCGGATGTCATCTACCACCTGGAGACTTACGACGTGACGACCATTCGCGCCTCGACCCCGATGTACCTGCTGTCGCGCAAGATCAAGGCGATGGGTGTCAAGATGGTTCTGAGCGGCGAGGGTAGCGACGAGATCTTCGGCGGGTACCTGTACTTCCACGCGGCGCCGAACAAGGAGGAGTTCCACAAGGAGACCGTGCGGCGCGTGAAGAACCTGCACCTGGCCGACTGCCTGCGCGCCAACAAGTCGACCTCGGCGTGGGGTCTCGAGGCGCGTGTGCCGTTCCTCGACAAGCAGTTCCTGGAGGATTGCATGGGCGTCGACCCGCATGAGAAGATGATCACCAAGGACCGCATCGAGAAGTACATCCTGCGCAAGGCCTTTGATACTACCGACGAGCCTGACGTCGCGACCTACCTGCCGGACAAGATCCTGTGGCGCCAGAAGGAGCAGTTCAGCGACGGTGTCGGCTACAGCTGGATCGATGGTCTCAAGGACACCGCCGAGAAGCACGTCACCGATGAGATGATGAAGAACCCTAAGCCCGAGTGGGGCACGGATATCCCCGACACCAAGGAGGCGTACTGGTACCGCACCATGTTCGACGAGCACTTCCCGCCTTCCTGCGCGGGTACCGTCGAGCGCTGGACCCCGACCTGGTCGAAGCAGAGCGACCCCAGTGGCCGGTGAGTTTTGATTAATTGTTCATGCTTCCGCATGTTGTTTACTGACCGCCATCGCGCAGGGCCATCTCCACCCACAACGCCAAGTACGATAGCACCGCCTAAGCTGGAGAGTCAAAAAGGGTTGTTTTGGATTTAGTTAGCACCGCTGGAAGATTCGTGATTGGGATAGAATGTATATACAACAACCTTTGAACCACTAGTTACCACTGTCGTTAGGGTTTTCGTTGGGTTGCCTGCCTCAGGCACCACTGGTTACGGCGGCTTTACCCGGCCGTCGCAGCCAGTCAACCAATTGTAGGGGGCAACGTGACTGCTGATCTAATGGCCCCTGCCTCCCAACACACCTCATCGCTCTCTTTCTTCGGCACTTGTTCCCTTCCCTTCCTCCTCTTCTTCCTCCACACCCCCTTTTTACCACCCACATCTCGCGTCTCTCTCGACCCGTCCCACCTCATCCTTCACCATGGCTACCCCTGCTGCTTTCTCTGACATCGCCAAGGCGGCCAACGATGTACGCTCTCTGTCACAAAGCGGAACCTAATGTCCCGCCCGACAACACCCCTGCTAACAGACTACCCGCCCTAGCTCCTGAACAAGGACTTCTACCACGCCAACCCGGGTGAGTCTTGAGTCACCAAGGAATCCCGCAGTTCATGACTGACTAAATCACAGCCAACCTCGAGGTCAAGTCCAAGGCTCCCAATGGTGTCACTTTCACCGTGAAGGGCAAGTCCGCCCATGAGGGTCCCATTGCTGGCCAGGTATGTGTCCTTACTCCATACGACCCAAGACAGATTGGCTAATTCAAGCGCGCCCGCTACTACAGCTCGAGGCCAAATACGTCGATGCGCCTACCGGTAAAGACCCACCCACCCGCTTCCCCTCTCCTACCTGTTGCAAACCCCCCGAACCCGAACCCTGCGCGCACGGAGACCCAACGATGAGATTCCTCTTTTTTTGCGGACTCTCCACCGCGCACCGGGTGAACCTCTTTTTGACCTCCGATACCTATCAACATGGAATCAGGCTAATATTTTTCCCGGGGACAGGCCTTACCCTCACCCAGGCGTGGACCACCGCCAACGCACTTGACACCAAGCTGGAGCTGGACAACAACATCGCCAAGGGCCTCAAGGCCGAGATCCTGACGCAGTACCTGCCCGCTAAGCAGTCCAAGGGCGCCAAGCTGAACCTGTACTTCAAGCAGCCCAACGTGCACGCCCGCGCCTTCTTCGACCTGCTGAACGGCCCCTCCGCTAACTTCGACGCTGTCCTTGGCCACGAGGGCTTCCTCGTTGGTGCTGAGGGTGGCTACGATGTCAACAAGGCCGCTATCACCAAGTACTCCGCTGCTGTCGGCTACAGCGTCGCCCAGTACACTGCTGCCATCACTGCCAGCAACAACCTGTCCCTCTTCTCGGCTAGCTACTACCACCGCGTGAACGCGCAGGTCGAGGCTGGTGCTAAGGCTTCGTGGGACTCTACCTCCGGTAACGCTGTCGGTCTCGAGGTCGCCAGCAAGTACCGCCTGGACCCCTCGTCCTTCGCCAAGGTATGTTTTTAACCCTCCATATATAATCCAATCATGCGTTAATCTTGTGATTACAGGCCAAGATCAACGACCGTGGTATCGCCGCCCTGGCCTACAACGTCCTCCTGCGCCCCGGCGTCACCCTCGGCCTGGGTGCCTCCTTCGATACCCAGAACCTGAACCAGGCCGCCCACAAGGTCGGCGCCAGCTTCACCTTCGAGGCTTAAGCTTGCCATTCTGTTCTGATCTGATCGCTATTTGAGGAGCCATTTCCTTTTTTCATCTCTGTGATTGTTTCCTACTGGGACGCATAGATTTGGCGAATCTGTTTTGGCTCCGAGATCTCTGCCATGTGTGTATCGTAGTCTTTTCTGTCGAACACCCTTGTATATCAAATCGAAATTCTTTTTTCCTTTGTTGAATTCAATTGTTCATTTGTTCTCTTTCATCTATAAGAACAATATTGGTATTGGTACAAGTTGCCAGTGAGGGAGGGGATTCTGTCTATATACATCATCATCGTCATACTCTACCTCATGGTCCAGATACAGCTTCTCCACGTCCCCCCGTACTGCCCGATCTCTTGCCACCGGTGCCTGTGCCCGTGGGCGAAGTAGCAGAACCGGAAGAACCTGAACCAGCAGGCCACTTCAGCAAACCTGTCATCGCCCCCGCGATCATCAAACTCCCTGAAACAACTAGAAACCGTAGCGCAAAATCCCCGGCTGCCCCGCCCGCCGAAGAAGCAAGATGCTCTGCAGCAGCAGCCCTAGCTCTTGACCGGCGCTCGCGCCGTCGCGCATCTTCAGCAGTTTGCGTCCGGAAGTGGCCGCGTGCATTGAAATGGCCCAGCGGGTTGCGGTCTATAAACGCAGTTGGGTCTTCGGGGTCTGTTTCTTGTTTCTTCTTCTTCCCTCCTCCTGCCCCGAAGCCATATCCTCCCGAATATCCTCCAGAAGAACCACCCGCGGCAAACCCCTCCCCCCTCCTCCCCGTCCCCCCATAACCCCCCTGCTCATAAAAGCTCGGCGGTGGACCCCTGAACGCGCCGCGGCGATTACTCAGTCCGCTCGCGGGTCTGGAACCGGCGTAGCTCCCCCTCCTCCTCCTGCGCCTCCTTTGTGGTGGTGTGCTGAGTGGCTACTATGACTCCCCATAGGATGCGTGTGACTATGTGATTGCTGCGCATGATGGAATCCATGCTCGCGGTCATAGGAGGCGCGCCTGGAGGCTTTGCCGAGAACGTTGTACGCGGCGGAGATGCGGGCGAAGCGCTGGGAGGCGTTCGGGTCGGTGCGGTTGCGGTCTGGGTGGTGACGCAGAGAGAGGGCGTAGAATTGTCTTCCGGTGGGGGAGGAGGGTTAGTTATGTGGGAGACATGGTGGAGGGAAAGGAAAGAAGGGGGTGAGGGATGGAGGTACTTTTTGATCTCGCCTGCTGTTGCGGTTATGGGGATATCCAGGATCTCGTAGTAGTTTGGTTCGTGGGCTGTGGCGGGCCGATATGTTGATGTTGAGAATGGCGTTGTTTGAGAATAATATATTGGGGGATGTAGTCGTGTGTGTAGTTGGATTCTGTGTGCTTGGGGTCGGTGGTGGGCATGGGCGTGAGAGATGCCGGGTGATGATGCGATGGTCGTGGGCGCCGCAGGGTGGAGGGAGAAGAAGGCGGCAGCTGCGGCGCGCGGGGGTGGCATTGCCATGTGTCTTCGGAGAATCACATTGAATTCAGAGTAGAGGGCTAGGGTGGAGGAAATATCCCCGGGTTGAGTTGGAGGTGTTGTTGGAAGAGGAACGAATAAAGGTGTGGAGGTCGGGACCTGGGCAAGGCGGAGTGGCGTCATCGGGTTGGTGAACGGCCATTCCACGCTGATAGTGAGTTGTATAGTGCGATATTGTGACATTGTCTATCACTGAGGGAAGGAATATTAATAAGTAATTTAGCCTGTCGCCTCGGGTAAAGATTGGCCCTATTCAGATGTTGAATTTACGTTTACCCGCTTCGAAGAGGCTTGTTAGTCCTGGGGAAAGCTATAGTCTCTATCCTCTGGAGTCTCAGCCACGTTCTTTTTAGTATTGTCTAAGCTTCTGCAGAACCCGCCTTACCACTACCGGGTCATTCGATCTGCCCATCTGTCAGTCCCGGGCCAGACCGAAGCTCCTTTAACAGCATGATATTGCTGTACGGATTGAAGATCGGAACAGTCATGTTTGATTAAACAGATTTCTCTGCAAATATCGATGCATTAGTTTCAGTCTGGTGGACAAAAATGCTATGACGAGATTCATATTATATCAACACAGGAAGTGTGTCGCAGGAACATCAGGATAGATATCTGGCATGCAACAGTTGCCAAGTCTAGGTGGAATTGGAGTTTGACAAATGTCTGATGGCTGGCGAGTGACGACTGACACCATGGTGTGCAACACTGGTAATCAGTCGCAATTTCCCCAAGAATGCCAGAATGTGTACAGTGATATATTTCAGCGGCGCTAAGTCAAAAACCGCCTCGGCCGCTACTTGGCAAGCCTCAAGGCAGATTCAGCTGATCAAAAACGCTCTCTCAGTGTCAAATCTTACACAAACCTTCTTTTCTCAATCTGCAGCCCCATTTGACGGAATAAACCTCCAGTTACTATCATGGCACTCGCCCCCGTTCCGGCCTGAAGCGAGACTTTCAGCGTCTGGACGCCTGTTTGGAGTTCTGCCTTGGCAAGCTGCGTAGGTCTCTTTTCCATCTGCCACGTTCTATATTATTAACAGAACAGTAAGCAATAGAATGGGAACAAGCGATCTAGATGTACACTCGGAATCTTGAAGCGAAGTAGCCCTTGCACGTGAAGTTTCCATACATAAATGTTCATCTGTGCCTGATTTGTTCGCGTTCTGTTTTCGGGCTTGCGCCTCGCCGCTATAATATGTAACGGTGCACAATAAACAGCCGATCTTACCATATATGTAGCAAGGGATGCATGGGATCTGAGACATGAGTGGTAGAAAGATGGCTGCCCGGTCAAATGAAGGCCGTGCCGGAATAGGAAGCGAAATGTACATAAGAAAACCAAACTGCCTCAAACTCCGTCCCCCATGCACTTTCCACAATGGTGACCCTGATTACAGGCATTATTTCCTTCGCAGTGGTTTTGACTTCGGTCTTAGCGGATGCTTCGTCATACCAGCAAAATGCAATCTGCGCCTGGTATGAACTATTTCAAGAGTTAATAGTCGAGGATATTCTTAACTCATAGCTCTCTGAAGTGACCAATTGATGCGGTATTACCAAACGTCTAATGCGGGCCTTTGGGGAGACAACGATTGGTGGCAATCGGCAATTTTCATGACCGCTCTTGCGGACATTTCCTCCCTCGACTCTAGCTACAACGGAACTTACTTTAATACCTATGCCACAACATACACCAATGCGCCGGGCTATGGGGATTACACAGGTTTCATCGACTCCTATGACGACGACGAGGGCTGGTGGGGAGTCGCGTGGCTGACTGTTTATGATTTGACTGAGAATCCGGATTATCTCAACTTGGCCATTAGCATCTACAATGATATTTCTCAATACAAATCATCATGTGGAGGGATTATCTGGGAAAAGGGGGGTACCTATCTTGCATCTATTGCTAATGGTAAGTCGACCTACTCACCATTCTCTGCATCTACATCAAAAACTTACCCAATGAATAAGAGCTTTATATCACATTGGCTGCTGGGATAGCCAATCGGGTTTCTGCTGACCAGAAATCGGCATACCTCGAGTCTGCAGTCTCAGTTTGGGACTGGTTTTTCGATGTTGGCGTCGTTGGTGACGACTGGGTTGTGGTTGACGGTGCCGACGCGAACACATGTCAAGTCAGTTCAACTGCCACATACTCGTATAACCAAGGAGTTATCCTTTCGGCCGCTGTGGAGTTGGCCACCGCTACGGGAAACACGACCTACCTTGATATTGCAGGAAACATTGCCAACGCGGCAACCGCAATCAACTCGCCTTTCACAGGTAGCAACGGAGTAATCACGGATTGTTCCTCTGGTTGTGATACTACCTCAGCTATGTTCAAGGGGCCTCTATTCCGAGGCCTGCGCCAACTTCAGCTCGCTGACCCCCATGACAACTGGCTGTCGTGGCTTACAACGAACGCTCAGGCAGCATGGAACAACGACTTGAACATTACAACCGTGAATGGAGAGACTGAATGCAATCTGGGTGAGTACTTCAATGGACCGGTGAGCTCAGTTGGTGTGGAAACACAAGGTGCCGGTCTGGAGAGTCTTATTGCGGCTTGGGCTGTCACGATTTAGTTAGTTAGTTAGTTAGCTAGTTAGGTTAGTTGGTTGTCGACGGTCATTTATGACTAAGCCGCCAGGACAATGTATTTGAAAAGCTGTCTTCGTGCTTTTCACATATATATCTGCGCCGAGTTTGCATGTTAGACTTCAAGAAGCAAACGGCCATAGTTTATTTTAACAGTCCAATTTCCCACTCGTCGATCAGCCGTGATAATTCCTTGAGCGAAACAGGTTTCGTCAGGAACAAGTCCACTCCTGCTTCCAAAGCATGAGACTCGTCGCGCAAGCTACTGAGTCCAGTAAAAGCAATGATCTTGGCCGGAACGCAGCCATCTCGATCTCTTTCAATCGCACGTATGGCACGCGTCGCTTCGAACCCATCCATTACTGGCATAGACATGTCCATGAAAATGAGGTCGTACCCCGTCAGCATCCTTTCGGCGAAATCGACAGCTTCTCTGCCATTCTGTGCCGTATCTACTTCCGTGACTTTCCGTCTTTTCATGAAAGTCGCTATAAGGCGAAGGTTGATATCGTTGTCATCCACCAGCAACACTCGGGGTCTGCTTTGTGTCCCAGATGAGGAGCCAACAAGGGCTGAGCCGCTGGATGACGGAGTATATGAAGGTGTATGTGTGCTGGAAGCTGCGCTTCCGGGTATGATGTGCCGAGGGCTTTCTGTATCTCGAGACTGTCCAAAAACATCATGTTCCGCAGAATACATGAAGCAAGTGCGGGAACCTGGCATAGGATTAAATGACTCAGCAGCCGTTGGTTCAAGATTTCTTGATGACGGCGATGTAGACCTCCCAGTTGGTAGGGCTGAGCCCGAGAGCTTGGGTCGTTCTGGGACCACGAATGCTGGTCCAGGAGCAAGTGAACGCAGAGTAGGAGATGCCGGCTCCGAATCAAGACAATTCAAAATCCCTCTGGCGAGCTTTTGTGGACCGCAAGGTCGACGAAGAATCGCCAAAGAATCGGCAAGGTGTGACCATTGCATCCTAGTATCACTAGAGCTGTCTGCATCGTTGCGAAAAATAAGCAGGCGTGGCAATGTTGTGCGCAGACGTTGGAACCCTTCTTTATACAAATCGCTTTCTTTCGCAAATAGAACATCAATATGCTCGTTGTCGGACCAAGACACCAGCTTCAAGCCATACCAGTCCGTAATATACCGAGCAATCGATGACCAAAATGGATACTCACCAAGACAGGAAGAATCTATCCCCCATATCGCAGCACGTTTCCCAGTCAAATCCAGTTGACGCAGTTGGGAGGATGCTGGAAGTGTCTTTTGTTCCGAGCCTTTGACATGAAGTTTTGACGGCGGGATATTCTCTCCCACTGGACGCTCGAGGGGAATTGATACCTTGACAATGGTGCCTTCACCTACTTCGCTTTGGATTTTGATATTTCCATTGAGTGTTCCCACAATGCCGCGAACAATTGACAGACCGAGGCCAGTACCTACCGACAATGGGTCCTCTTGTGCGAATGGAGTATAAAGACGTGTCCGAAGGTATTCATTTGAAATGCCTTTACCCGTGTCCGAAATAGTCAAGGTTACCATGTCCTCAAGGCCCTGACGTCGAGAACGACCCTTTGAATTCTCAGTTGCCTGAATGGAGACAGAGATTAGACCCTTTTGGGTATACTTCAGGGCATTTCCAAGAAGGTTCATGATTAAGCGCCTCAGCGAGCCGGGCTGGACTTTGTAAAGCCAGTCGTTGTCACCAATATCGACGATAACCTCCACGTCTGGATTGGAGTCAACTTTGTTACTCTCTGTGGCTGGCGTGGGAGATGAAATTGGTAAAACGCCAGTGAGATGGTTGGTTAACGTGGCTGTCCTCTGGATATGGGAGTGCCCCAAACACACGCTATCCACAACATCCTCTGTTAAGGTGGCAATGTCTGTTAGCACGAGTGGATCCAGCCGCACTGGATATTCGTCTGGAGCTTTTGGTTTCCATGGGTCTTTTCTGTGCTTAGACCTCTTCCTCTGCCTTTCCAATGACAAGATTTTGCTAAAATCCAATACTTGGTTCATCGTATCCAAGAGAGTTCGACCGCATGCATTCACCGTCTCGAGGAGAGACTCCTGGAACTCGTCCAAGTGAGTGCCTCCCCAAAAACTCGGCGGCAGCTAAGACGCCATGTAATGGGCTCCGCAGTTCATGAGAAATGCTGCTTATGAAATCGCCTTTTTGGCGGTCTGCGGCAACTGATTCAACACGGCTATATTCGGTCATGATGGATGAAGCGAAGCCAAACATTGAGCTTAGGTCGACAGCCCGACTGAAAACTTGCGTCGGCTGAGGAGTCCAAGAGAAACACCCTGCAAACCACTGCAGATTGGTGGCATTCCATAGTGGAACAAACATGACCTGACATGCGTCAGGGAAGTAGGCACTCAGTTTGCTGGCTTCTGAGGCCCCGGATCTTTTATTCCGTTTCCGAGAGGCGCCGATAGATTGCTCTTCATCCGAAGTGGACAATGTCCCATCACGGTGAAATGACCAGAGTCTACCTTTGGGATAGCGACGAGATAATTGATTTAGAAAGACATTGTCCAATTTGGCGGCTGGGTATGATGCCTCAGATCCCGCCTGGTATGCGAATGGATCATCTCTGGTGGACAGCGCAAGAACAGGCGCAGAAGACTTGGAATCAGCAGGAGAACAATGGCTGCCGTCGATCTTCTCTGACGAGTCATCGCCAGTCTCCAAAAACACCACACCGCCAGAATCGGCCAAGTCTAGGCTTTGCCGTAAGAGGTTCGCAGCTCGCTGAAAAAGCCATTCGGAGTTGCTTGAGACAGTCGAATTGTTGTCGCCTCGTCGCGAGCCATGTGATGATGGCGCTGAGCTAGCTGAAATGCCTATGTCAAATTCATTGGTAGAGCCCGGGCTCAAAGATCGAGAATTTCCATCTTGGACTGGCACATCATCATTCTCAAACTGTGCTGAGCGGAATTTCAAACTGCTATTCCGAGAGCTTGTAGATCGACTCGCCCTACAATAAGGCGATGCCCGCGAGGACGGACTATGGCTTGAGCTGTGCGCACGAGGAATGGGAACATTATCGGCGAAGCTCGAATTGCCGTCCACGAAAAGACGGAGGCCCTGCGATAGCCGCGAGGCGCGGCGTCCGTCAATGGCCTGGCGGCTGACCTGTAAGTAGTCCATAACCATCGCTGCCACTGTCCCGAGTGTATCCTTCTCAGTATCGGACAACCCTTCACGGGGCTCAGGATCCAACACAAACAAGCATCCCAAATTGATGTTGCTGTCGCTCGTTAGGGGCGTTCCGGCATAAAAACGAGAATGTGGCTCGCCTTCTACGAAGGGCAATTGTCGGTAGCGATCTTCCTTTCCAAGATCGTTGACAATCAAAAAGGGATATGTTCCATCTTGCTGTTCATCCGACTGAGTTTTGACTGTTTCCTGTTTTAAAAGAATAGATCAGTATCGGGAAAGTGACTAATAAATGGCAACGTTCGTAGACCCGGTCTTACCTGACAAATATTCCAAGAGTTTGCCAATGTGGATGTTCCAGCGAAGAGTTTTTCTCCCTTTTCAGTGGGTGATTTCGAGCTTCCCACCTTTGTTGCTCTTGTAGCTTCTGCCAATATGAACTGAGAGTCGCGATTCAATATTCTAAAAAAAAAACCAAATTATCAGACCATGGTCCTCGTTAGGGCAGAGAGCTAATGTACGTGATCAAGGCACGCTGTGCATTCAGATGTAGAGCTGCCAGCTGCGCAAGAGACGTTAAAGTCGTATTCGGGCTGTACAGGGGGTCGGATTCATTCGAGATCGTCTCAGAAACCTCGTCATCCAGAACAACAGAATTCGTAGCGGTCGACGCATCGTCTGTAGTGGCTAAATGGTCGCCAGGAGGCCATACTGCATTTAGCGCCGCTGGATTTGAAGGTTGGAAATACCGATAGACCTCTCGAGTTTGACGATCTGCTTCATGCTCGCAGAGAGTCTGCTCGGTGTAATCAGCCATGGCCGGCAAAAACCCACTGCTGTTGCACGTTGCAATGAAGGATAAAGGGGTGATCTTGTGCTGTTAAGTAGCACTTCGTTTGACATGAAAAGCATGAACACCACCGTGGAAGCCGAAAATTCTGGTGCCGTGGATCAAACAAACGAGGGGGTTCAGCGGTCCAACGGGGACAAAGGTGGGACGTGTCTACACGTGAGGAGCTTAGTACAGTGACGTAAGGTGTTTTTAGCTCCCCAATGACGTAGGGTGCTGAAGGTGACTTGATGAACAGTTTTAAATTGGAAATCACTATGTACATACGCGTTGAGCTTCCAGAAATTGCCCGCTATCAGATCTTGCTCTGTCATTTCCAGAATTCAATCCCATTCCCAGAAGCGACAGAAGAGAAGGGTTCATGAGATGGCACGAAGTGAATCCTACAGGTCATATAGGGCTTTTACCCCTCACCGTGTGTTCCTATTCTGTACTAGTATAGCATTAGTGAGTTTCTGTCCCTGGAATTCTTGATTTTCGGGCATTTCCAGATTAGTCAATCAGAGAACAGTGATCTGCACTTCCATTTTGGGACGTCCTGCTAGTTTCGACACGAAGTATCGCTGGGCTTCGACACGACCGTAATGGACTTGCTGAACAAATTGAACTGCAAAGAGTGGCAAGTTATTGAGATCCTGGAATAACAAAGCCTAGCTCGCCACAGGGGCCAGCTGTGATCGCTTCGTCCAAGCAATAGTTTTTTATTATGTAGGTCATGTACCGATCGGTAAAGGGAAGGAGAGGGATGGAAATGACTCAAAACATTGTCAAGTTTAGACTTATCGATTTGGCACTCAAATTCTCTTAAGGCCATACAGTGAAGGCGCATGTGCACCTAATTATCTAACTATGAGGTATTAAGTTAGCGGTCAAGCCTGGTCTACCCCGGTGATGGCATTGTCTACCCGAAACTTCCTCCGCCTCGAGGGACACTGTGAAGGAAAGATATTCAACCAATAAAGGTGATCGAACATGCGGCGTCGGGATCAGGGCGGAGAGTTCACAGGTTGGATTTGGATCAAGCCGAGAGAAATCATCCTTACCTGCCTGGGAATCTCCGATCTCTGTCATTACCTATACGAGCAGTACTGCTGCCCTCACACCTACCTCGGTCGTCTGACGCATTGTGATTAGTTTAATCACGTTATGTTAACATTCCCGCAAGACAAGTAACTTGTGCATTTTTCTTCTGAGTCGGTTTTATTGACAATAAAATACCTGCTCTGGCGGATACCGAAACACCTTATCGCACAGTATCATCAAATATATACAATAGTTGGCTTACGCCGTTCTAAATCAACTTTCAATATTGTAGTATTTAGGAACTCAGCGAAGGAGACGGTGGTCAAGGTTTCCTTTCCCCCCCATTGCGATAGAACACCAACTGCGACAGACAGGAATGCATCCTAAAATGAACTACGTATAACAGTCCAGAAATAGCAGGCCTAATCCGCGCCCCGCCTAAATGAAATAAACATGTCTCAGCACGCGAGGGTGTCCTTCACCGGCTTTCTGTCTAGATATTCCAACATGCGTTGCCAGGATCGACGAGCCCGTGCGGCATGCTCGTCCGGCACTTGAGTGTTGTCTTCCCCGAGCGTTCGCGAGAAAACTTCCATACTGACCCATCCAGAGTACCCCAAGCGGTTGAGACAGGCGTATGCAACCTCTCGGATCGGAAGGTAACTTCCTCGCTCTTCTTCACACGGGAATAGACGAGCATTTCGGGACCAGGCCAGTAGCTTAGGTAGCCCTGGCGCTTGGAGGAAGGGAGCCTGTGGGTCGACACGCTCGCCATCAGCCAGCTGAACCATCATCACTCGCCCCGGATCGATCTCCCGGACCAGCCGGTCCATAGACATCAGTAGATCCTTGTCTACACTGGCCGATTGGCGTCCCGTTGGATTGGTGGGATCAGCCCACACGCGGGCCGCGATGTTGAAGGTATCCAGACAGATACCAAGGTTGGGCCGGTTGGCCCGCCGCACCACGTCCCAGGAGTCCTCCCAAGTGTTGATGTGCGTTCCCCAGGCAAGTGCCTCATAGGCGACACGCACGGGGGATGCTAGATCCGCCGCTTGAATCAGGTCAGCCGCTAGCTGGTCTCGGTCCCCAGTGACCTCGGAGGCGTCCAGGAAGGATGACGGAATGAGAATGAAGAGATTGTCGCCTAGGATCTTCGCCAGTTCGACCCAGTGTTGGAACTCATCAACGCGCTCTGCGTGGCGGGCCGAATCGATGAGACCTTCGTAATGCCGAAAGGGCTGCAGTGCCAATACCCGTAGATCACGCTGTGCACAGAGATCGCGGATGGCATGCGCGGCGTCGATCTCATAGTCCCAATCGGAGCGATCCGCGTTGGCGCCGGGCGCTTGACAACGCAGCGTCTTGGCGAATTGCGCTAGATCATCGTAGAAGAGCTCGAGGCCTTGCTGGCCGTTCTTTGCAGCGGCATTGATTTTGGCTTTTAGAGGATGCAAGTGAGCGGCGCCGAGGCTCACTGTCGCAATGGCCGGCCTCCATCGTGCGTTAGACTCGGAGTTGGCCAGGCTGGGGAGAGAATTCATGGCCTGCGCTTTATTTATCTATTCTTTTTTGCGGCGCTCACAGCGAAGGAATTAGATAAGCAGGGGTGAGAGGGTTCAAAGATGACATTGCGGTTGACCATCCTCGGGCACCGTTTATCAGTGTCTGTAGTGTAGATCACGACCTCAGGCCACGCATCGTGCACTTGTTCCCGAGTGCCGTAGGTTCTGTCCACGAAAGCCTTCACAAGTCTGACGCAGAGTGGGCCTTCCAGCCGTCGCCAATGGTCGAGAAGCAAGTGTGGCTCCGAACGGCTGAGGTTCGTGCAACCAGTGCAAAACCGAAGGGCGATCCCGGCGATCTGCTCCACTGCTGGCGGCACAGAAGTTTTCCGAAAACCATCGATCTGGATGGTGCTTCCAATGGCCTTAGCGGTTGTTTTCGGATCTTACAATGTCTGGGTCAGGCCATTCTCAGCCATCCATAGCATGGAATGGCAGGGGAATGGAGGGAAGCATCAAGTCAGCTACACCGTCGAACTTCAAAAGCCGAACTTAGAATGTCAAATTTTTGAGCTTACCTGAACTGTAGTGGGATAGATTATAATGAGAAATTTGAAGATCATTGTAAAGAGAATTGACTGGGGCAATTCCGGGTCCGCACGAGGAGCATCTCTTGGCTTTACGTATACAAACATTCGGATGATAAATACCTTAGACCGCACCCGGATATTGTTGGCCAGCGAAAATAAAAAAGAGTTAATATGTTCATGGGAGACTGTATAGGCCTTCACTTTGTTGTTGCTTTGGCAGGCGGCTTCTACTTCACCCCGTCGTAGCCGCTACCCTCGGCAAACCAGCCGGCCACTAGCTGCACGACCTAATCGTAAGCTCTAGCTAAAGCGCCACGACCGGTATATCGAGCCCGAGGTACGCCTCTTTGCAATCTGGGTTGCCATACCGTTCATGGTTGCCGACCTGGTTCGGTAATTTCTGCGAGGTGGTTAATACCCGGTTGGCTATAATTTACTTAGAGAACGGCACAATACGTAATATTCGTGTTTGAAGTAGCCGATTTGGCTATTTTTGTTAGGATCCCTAGTACACAATTTTAGATATCAAACTAGAATTAATATAAAGTCATCGAGAGATGCAACTAAGCTCGCCACACGTCGTGCAAGTTGGGCTGGACCGGACAGCCAGTAGGAACAACAGAAACTCTGTTCCCGCCACTCTCCCAGATGACAGTATTATTTGGCTCAATCTTGTAATACTTGTACTCAAACGGAGTACCAGCTGAAACCAGCTCAACGCTGCCAAACCACAAGTTGTCCGTCTCAGTGTAAAGATTTGCACTGAGTGCAAAGCCATCACTCGTGTTCCAGTTTCCGAGCGCGCTGATGTTGCCAGCTATGTATATATTCTCTCCGTAAGACGTGCTCTCAGTAAGATAGAATGCGATTGGGACGACATCCGTCGCAGGTACACATCCAGCAGTTGAGGTGGGGAAAGTGGAAGTGACAGCCGTGTAAGATCCTGTCACAGAAGAAGCTGAGCAGGTAGAAGGAACTATGTTTGCAGACTTTTCACCCCATGAAGGGGGTACAGCTGAATCACGACGCTGGATAGCAGTCAAGAAGGAAGCGAAAGACCAAGTCAGATCATTGGCTGACAGTGGGACGCTGGTGTTACGGTTGTATTGCTCCGCGAGTGATCCGTTGGATGGCGTGTATTGTTGCACGAGGTTGAGAAAGCCGTCAGCATAAGTTCGAATAGCAGATGTGAGCATCTTGTAGGTTTTGCTGTGTGCCAAATAGGTGCCTGTCCTCACAGAAGAATCGAAATCCCTGAAAAACGGCAACGAGGTGTCGGTAACTTCGAGGGAGCCAATCTTGTTCCATTGGTATAAGGCATCGTAGAGCAACTCCGCCGATGCTAGCGTGGCGAGATACCTATACAATACAGGCATTCGTTAGCCAGCTGGAGCCAGCGAAAATAGTTTCAAAATAGAAAATGTTAACTCACCATGGATTGCCTCCTTGGTAGACATCCTCCGGGTATCGACCCACATTGGCAGCTGACGTCTCGGGAATGCCAGCATTAATTTTGTATATCGAACGGAAAGCATCAACATAGACCTTGTGATTTGCCAGAGACCGAGCTGAGCAAGGCTGGAAAGTTGAATCATCACATTGAGCTTCTGGATCAAAGGTGTGGATGCTTCCCAAAATTGTGTTCGCATCGATGCCGGTGCGGCTAGTGTCGAGATTGATATTGGCGGTGATGTACTTTCCGTTCCAAAAGCTCTGCAAAAAACACAGAATATGAGGGGCCTGAGATAAGCAAGCAGAACATGATTTGTCCAGCTTCTGCGCAAGACTTGCCCCCTGGACCAATGCGCGATGTTGAACAGCTAGTGTGAAGAAAGATGACCCGTCGGTCTCTTCCCAGAGATCAAAACCGGTTTCGTTCCAGTACTGGCCCACATACGCTAGGTCGTTTGAGATAACTGGCCACATGATTTTTTTTGCTTCCCGGCTCTGGCCGTGAGAAATCAGCCAATTCGCATATGTGATCATGGCGGTCGCTCGGAGAGCGGGGCCATCCCGCTGGGGCCGGCCCCAGGAGCCAGTGAATGGATTGAGATCGATCTCAAACTTGGGCTCGCCAAGTCCTGTACCATCTGTCAGAGTGCCAGATGGATTAGATACATTCTGGAGGACTGCTTGTGCAGAGACATAGTTCCGGATGTCGGTTTCCAGGTCATTTTTGTTGCTCCCAAAGCCGGAACTACCACTGTCAAACAGATCGATTAGGCATTTGAAGGTGAGAGCTGAGTCACGAGTCCATGTATAGAAGTCTGGGAGCAAGATCAGAACCACATTTCCAATTCCCTACTCTGCGAACTAGTTGTCATATCTTACAGTCCGGGTTCGCTGTATTGGGGCTGGCAACAAACAAGCCGGCCGCTGTACCAGGCGCCTTGCTCCCTTTATTTCCCAGATTGTCCAGGATACCCTGGTAAGATCTCGGGCCTTGTTTAGAGATGAAAGAATCGAGGGTGAACCCCGATAAGGGGCTCGCAGCTGCTAGCGCCTCCAAGAGGAGGAGGCCAGCAACGCTGGTAAGAAAGGTTGACCGCATCCTCAGCCGCAGCCAATGACAAGGGCTGTAAATGAAGGAAGTAAAGATGCTAATGTGATTTGAAACTGATTATAAAGTTACCGGGCTCACATTTATATTTGTTGAACTTGAACCAGGTCATGTCTGAAGATGGGGATTGGAGCCCCACATAATCACCGGTAAATGTCCGTACTGCATGTTAAAGCTCCATATTTTAACCGATTTGCCGACCGTAAGCCATGGTATTGCTTTTAGCTATATTAGGTGATATTAATGAGTTCAGTTCCTTGCTGTTTATTGCCAGTAAAGTTGACTGTCAGCGTCCTAGAGCACTGGCAATCAATATAGAGTAAAAGCCCACCCGGACAGACAAAGCTCAGTCTATATAGTTGCCGATGTTGTTGCTAAATTTCTCGCTTGATGACAATTCTCGCATAGTCCAGAGCCTATTGAAGCCAAGATACAGTACTAGAATCGTCAACGACAATCCAACCCTGCCGGTGGAATCTGGCTTTTGGGACAGTCAGGTTGTTGATGTGACCGGCAGCCAGATCAGAAGAGAAGACGATGAAGAAGTCAAATTAATGTGCTATGGTCGACGGGACTTCCAAGTTGGAGAAGGGAAGAAAAAGAAGAAGAAGAAAGAAAAGAAACAAAGAGAGTCCCTACTATCTACAGAAGCCATATCACGTGCTGCCTCAAGCACAATTCAGGAACGCTATCCGAGGCTGGTCACAGTTGATCAATGGATTGACGGCACCTCTCATGACCATCAGACAATTAGTAGGTGGATTGGATTTACTGAAGCCGACGCGAATATCGATGAGGAGATATGATTTCGTAGTTCCTGGTACGTCAACTTTGCCAACTGACTTAAAATATTTGAACCCCTTCATGTTGTGACCACACTTGATGGGATCTTAACGGGACTGCGCATGACGGGACCGCGCTCGATGGGTCTGCGCTTGACGGGACCGCGTTTGGCATCACTGCGATTGAAGACTGCATTTGAAGACTGCGTTTGACAGGTGACACAGGACATAGACTGTTGTAGATAAGTAGAGACTCTTCTTCGGTCTCTTCTTCCCTTTCTCAACTTGGATCTCCCGTCGACTACGTACTCAAATTGAATTCTTTATTGATTTTCTTTCTTGATCTGACAACCGGTCACACATGTCACTTTAAAAAATCCAAATTGCGACTCAAATTACCCCGGTCCTGGATTTATTTACTGTTTTTCATTTAACTTTGTGTTTTAGCCTTGATCGTAAGATGTATCATCTCAGAAATACATTTCTTAAACATCAATAGATGCAATTCTCGACTACAAGGTACTGCAGGGTCGACCGCCTTCCATAATATTGTGTAGCATTTACAATGTTGGCTTAAGTTGGCGACTCGCCTGGGAATTATGTGACTATACCGTAACATAATCCATGCTCTGTCTCTGCAGGAAATGTCTTTCACTTCTCCCAATAAAGGATACGAGCGTTGGTCGTATGGAATATCTACGCTCCTGCGATGAAGAAACGGATCTTTTTTCTTTACCAAGCGGTCGCGAGGTAGTTGCTGGCATCATATCACGCCATACAATACCCTTAAAGTATCTAAGATTGCTCCGTCCTATCACCAACCATAAGCAACTACATGACGTTATCGTAATTGATATCACGTAATAATTCCTCCCTTTCCATCGACGATTCTATATTCGCTTCACGACGATTCTGATTCTACATTATGCGCTCAGCTAGGCGTCTCATGGACATCTTTTATTACTTTGAGGGAACAATAATCTGTGAAGACGCTGACTAGATTATGCCAGAAAATCAGATACCCAAAGTCTAAACATGAGTACCAATGAATAATACGGATATCACGGCACACGGAGGGGAGGGGCAAGATCACGTTTGCGAACTGCTCCTCGTCACCCTCGTAAACCCGACCCTATCATACGATGATTGGTGATACCACATATATATGGCCTGTGACAGACCGTGTACGTGATTCTGAGATAAAATGACGCGGAGGCAGAGGACGACGGCATGGGCGTATATTTAAGCCAGTAGCTGCTCAAGGTCACCGTAGGATATTTCATACAACCCGCTCAACTCAGTCCGTCCGTATTCTTTTAAGAACATAAACATGGCACCGTCTATTATTGCCGAATCCCCCACCACAGAGGTCGTCGTCCCTATCAAGGCCGATTCTGGAAAGAACGAGACAAAGCCCAAAGTGAGAAGAATCATTGATGAGGAAGGTGGGAAAACCACTGCTAGTGTATGTAATGATTGGACCTGCCATTCCCCTATGTATAACTAATCTCGACAATGATATAGTATCCAAACTACCTGCCTACTTGGGATCAAGATGAGAAATACCCTCCTCTCGAACCCTTCACTCATGTTGAACACGGGAAGGATGCCGATCCCTCCTTCAAAGACCTGCTGGTGGAGGGCTCCAAGATCCAAAAACTCACTCCCACCATCGGATCCGAAGTTACAGGTGTCCAGCTGAGCAAACTCACTCCGGCCGGGAAGGATCAGCTGGCTCTCCTTGTCGCCCAACGAAAGGTCGTTGCCTTTAGAGACCAAGACCTCGCCGATTTGTCGATCCAAGAGGCCCTCGACTTTGGAGGCTACTTTGGTCGGCATCATATCCACCCCACGAGCGGATCTCCAGAGGGTTACCCTGAAATTCACCTTGTTCACCGGAACAATAATGCGTGGGAACATGATGAGTATCTTGCAGCAAAGAATAGCAGCGTTTCATGGCATTCAGATGTTACATATGAGCAACAGCCTCCTGGTACTACGTTCTTGTACCTGCTTGACGGTCCGGAAGTCGGCGGTGATACTGCTTTTGTGAACCAAGTTGAGGCTTACAGGCGTCTTTCACCAGCAATCAAGGAGAGACTACATGGCCTTAAGGCCGTGCATTCTGGATTTGAACAGGCTGAGTTTAGCTTGAAGCGTGGAGGAGTTGTGAGACGCGAGCCAATAAAGAGCGAGCATCCTATTGTTAGGACCCATCCGGTGACTGGCGAGAAAGCGCTCTTCGTCAACGGTGGCTGTAAGTATACTTCCTCAGTCATTTCCAGCGCCTGAACTCACACGACGAGAAGTCACTCGCAGCATTGTGGGACTCAAAAAAGAGGAGAGCGATGCCCTTCTGGGCTTTTTGCTGGCTCATGTCGGTCGCGGCATTGATTATCAGGCCCGTGTTCGATATGCTCCCGGAACTGTTGTTGTTTGGGATGTAAGTGAATTCTTGAATAACTTAATGACAACTTCAGTGTCTAATAAGTGCACAGAATCGTGTCACCGCCCACTCTGCGATTGTGGACTGGACTACTGGTGAGCGTCGTCATTTGGCACGCATTACCCCACAGGCAGAGCGCCCTTACGAAACGCCGTATGTTCCAGAGGAAGATAAGGAGCATGAAGCTAAAGCATGAGATGTTTTGGAGAGTTGAGAGGTTATTTCATTTTATATAGTCTTTATATCGTTTCAACAACGGCTATAACATGCAGGTTTACCTTGTTTTGCTGCCTTAAAGTCAATTCTCATTTTCGTTTACAATAGTTGTTTCACGATTGTTCTTTTCTTCTATTTGGTTGTCTCTTAAACTAGTTTTCGGAGCAAGGAGCCCGCGAATTATTAGCAAGTCCTGATAATCACTGATATAGGGACTAAATTCAGTCGGGTCACAGATTTAACATAGATAAACCTGTTATATAGAGCCGCCTCCGATAGATTTATTTGTTTTAATTAAACTCTCATGAACAAGTGCAACTTGAAGAGATACTTAATGAAACCATGTGATATTCCAGAAAATAGGGTGCATATACGCTCTCACTTCAGCCAGAACGTAGGTTTTCAATATCTCTGGCAGGAAGAACGGCGAGGTCAAGGAAGAAGAGGAAATAGGCCAAGGTAACCGATCTAAGGATAAGGGTGAGCGACAGCCCCGAAGGACACTCGAACTTGGGCTCTGCATCATTGCTGAAGGTACTTCTCTCGGACGATTCAGGAGGAGGCCCATTCAGGATGTGAGATATCGTCTTAGCTATTGCAAGGCGTGAGTTTTGTCCAAGTGATGAAGCTGAAGGACGTGTGGTGCTGCTAGTAAATACTGGGATGACTACCAGATCGTGATAACGTAAAGAGGAGTAACATCTACTTCTCGGATTGTAATTGCATTACATCTATAATCCATCTTGGGTCCCCACCCAGAGTATAGAGTGGATCGGAGTCTACCTCCGAAATCCGACCTGCAGCAAGGAATCTCTAAGAATTCTCTAAGAATACCACTTCTGCATTTGTAATGCAGAGTAGGCTTTATCTGGAGTGTAGAGTGAACGGAGTCTGCTTCCTAAATCCGAATTTTATCTGGCTGAGCCAAGCCCGAGATTGAAAGTCTCTATATTCTCCACCTCGGAGAGAAGTTTCGGGAGCTCCGTGTGAGTGGAAACAGACAATGACATAATGGATTTATGGTGGACTCGATTTTCAGTTGAATACCTTGTAGAATTTGTGTACTTGGAGATATTGTACTGAGAAACATAGCAGCAACTTGAAGTATATACGGAGTCACTCTAGGTGACGATGGAAAGGCCGGTTGTGCGTGGTCTTTCAATCCGAAAGCGAGGCCTTTCCACGATGCGAGTCGCCTGTGAGGAGTGCGCCCCGACACGCGCTTCCCAGCTAGGCAAGAAAGATCATTATGACGAAGTTCTCCGACTTTGACGTGCTGTGCCTCGACCAACAGCAAGGGCATTTGAAGTTGGAGAATTATCCGTGCGGTAAAACAACACTGAAATAAATCAATGATTCCCTTTTCTCTTACTCCGTGTCTCTCTATTCAGACTTGTATGGTCGAGCCTACATTGCAAGTCCTGGCATTCGTTGTGCGCAATAGAAAGTTATATAATAATGTAAGTTACCAAACTACCAAGCTGCCAGTTCAAGTTTAGGAGACTTCAAGCCGATGCACTACAATTAATCCAATCAGACAATTTGAAAAGTTGGACTATCGAGAATGGATTTTGCAACCAGTCAATTACACCGAGAACATTACGACTATAAATATACGCACTTGCATGATAACTGGACCCGCCGGTTGATGTGGGAGATATTACGAAACGCCTTCTATCTAAGATGGGGGCTCTCGTGTCAAGCACCCCGTCAGTTTTCGAACTCCAGAATCTTCCCTCGTGAATTCCTCCCCAAACTGTCAGACTCAAATACCCTTGTTGTATGGGCCATCCGATCAACCTCCGCAATGTTGAGCTCGATCCGTCGAGGACTGCCACATTTCCTCAAGGGCGCCAAACGGCCAATCCCGTATCGCGCGATCGCTGTCTTATCTCCCCAGGATCTCGACCGGGCCAGGCGCGGAATTAGAGCTTGAGTGCTTTATAAGCCCCGCGATAACGGCTGGCCAATTACACGTGCCGATGTTCTTTTCTGGCGTCCACGTTGCCTGACCCAATATCCAAACCCAAGATATCCATGGGTATTTATTTTCTTGGGACCCATCCCACCCATCTGGGTACCCATGAAATACCCATTCTGGCATAACTTCCCAAGTAAGGACGCATGATTCGCTTACCTCATCCCCTGTCACCTGCCAGCCGTTATATTTAAACTCTTCGCGACCCATGGGTACTAATGGTGTACTCATGGGTGTCGGAAAATCGCTACCCACCGCTGGGTCTGTAACTCTCGCCCAAAACCCAGTCAATCGTGGATTTGTCCAACCCTATGTCCTTTCTGCTTCTGCGTTGCCTGATAGCACACCTTGTTGACCCTGTTGCTCGACGTGATCGAAGCCGCTACTATTGATTGTACGTTCCTTGCTGGTAGATGCCCCCTCCTTGATACCATCTCGACTGGATCAAATCCTGGGATATACTATTTCCATCGCTGCGATATGGTGGATCCACAGACGGGGACCCGCGTGGAATCGAATGCTCCGGTCACAGCGCGCAAGTACCGTTCGAAAAGACAGCGACCCTGCGATCTGTGCCGCAGCCGGAAAACCGTCTGCAAAGTCCTCAGTGGGAGTAGTGTCTGCGAATTGTGTAAAAAACTGGGGAAGAGTTGCGCTTTCGTCTTACAGCCACTCCGAAAGCAGCCACCGCGGCCCCTACCCAGCGCGGGCCACCTTCAGACTCATCCCTCACAAGACCGGAGAGCCTCTGGGAACACTCCAGAGGACCTAGTACGATGCGAGGCACGCACTGTCGTTAATGGGCCTGTGGATATTGCGTTTGATGTCGACATGTTCTTGGCCCCTGCGGCCACGGCTCAAACACCAACGTTCGACCATCCAACTCCATCGCTGAACACTATCCACTGGCCGTTTCTGGAGTCTTTTGACGGTAAGGACCTGACTTTGCTCACGTGAATGGTATGGCTGAGAGTATGTAACACTAACTCATGGAGAAGATGGCAACGACTTCGAAAGTCGTCCTTCGGTGACCGACTCTCGATCTCAAGCAGAAAGTCTATCACCTGTCCAACAAGAGAACAGAGTCGAGCGGCAGTGTCTCAATGGTGCCCCCGCGATTGGCTCCCAACAATCCGATTTCCACGAATATGCCTACCCTGCCGTGTCTGATGATGTATCGTCAATGCCGAGCGACGGGGATTGGCCCGAGGGATTCTCTCTAGACACACGACGGGGATACTCAACGCAACTGATCGGTTTGTCCAACGAGACGGACCCTTTCCTCCTACGTCACTTTCAGTATGACATGTTTGATAATTATTACATGTGCCGACTGATCTACCGCAAGATGACAGATGATGTGACTGTGCAAAGCCATATTAACAGTTCTACTGCGGGCGGGACTCCGGAGGTCCCGGCCAGCGAGGTCCCCGTCCATTTTCAAGTGTTCGACGACTCGATATGTGACGAGAACGTGAAAGCGATAGAGAGGGACTTTTCGGTCTACAATTCCGAGGCGGAGGATTGCGATCTGCTTTATAAGATCGTTCCAAAGAGCTTAGGCTTTCGGCTTTCAAACCTGTAAGATGACGGCACTTGCGTGGCTTGACTTTATCGCTGACTCCGTAGCTTTTTCAAATTTGTTCAACCATCATATCCCGTCTTTTCCGCGCGAGACTATGAGCGAATCAACACTAACGACGGATATGATCTTCCCGTGGGCCTCAAGGCAGCGATGTATGCCTTGGCCATGCCATTTTGCTTCATGGACGACCAGCTTTGTATGGACAAAGGCTACCTGGCACAACCACCAACGGACGGACTGTGGGGAATTGCCCAAAGAAGCTTGCAACGCCATTTCCAAAAGCCGCATCTCTGGTTGGTCCAACTTTGCCTGCTACTATTGCAGAGGCCCCCGCAAACTTTGCTGTCGGGGATTTACCAGGGTTATGGGCCTTGTCCTGCTCGGCCCTCGCAGCTGCCGAGTCATTGGGACTACATTTGGACCCATCGAACTGGCGCCTGCCGCGGTGGGAAGCTCGCCTGCGGAAGCGACTGTGGTGGATTGTATACTCTGATCATACCTGGCGTGCATTGGTCTCCGGGCGCCCTTCCCATCTGAGGTCCGATAGCTGGATCGTTCCAAGGCTCTGGCCGGAGGACCTGGAGGCGGATGAGTATACGAATGAAGAGGTCGGCAACGTGATTCGAAAGCAAAGTGCGTACTCACTCGCGTTGTTCGACTTGAGCATGATAGCGAACGATATTCTCACCGATCTGTAGTAAGTTTTGATGTCTCTTTGTTCCCGTTGTTGAATCTGCTTCTGATATCTGCTCTGTGCTTTTAGTAGCGCGAGAGCAGTGTGCGAGGCAAATACTCTACTTGAAATATTGGCCCGTGCACAACCTCTCAGGGCAAGGCTGCGGGAATGGCAACACTCTGTCTTTGGAGACCAGGCCTCCGAACCCGATTCTGGTGGACTTCGCCAATATGTTCATTTACGTATGGCCCTCATGACACTGGAGGTGCTTCTCTTCCGAGCCATCCTTCGAGCTCTAGTCTTTCCGCCTGCTTCAGGCGATGAGAGCTATACACAGTCGCACTCCGAACTCCTTCATGACAGTCAATCATGTGCTGAATCGGCAGTTGAGCTAATTTCCAGTCTCACATCGAAAGATTTCGTTGATTATTGGCCTTCATGTAGGTTCTCACCCACCACTGCACTGGTTAACTCCTAGCATACCTTTCAGTACACTATTAGTATCAGATGTTCATTTCTGTGGCTGTCCCGTTGAGCCTAGCTGACTCCTGGTTTTCTTTAGATGCAAGATATTACTTCGCTTACATATCGACATTTATACTTCTTCTTTTCGTGCAGTCACCCTCCGTGGAAATGGCTTCCCAGAACAAAGCATTGCTCGAAAGATGGAGAGAGATCATTCGCGCACAGGCACGAGCTTGGCCGGTTTTAAAGCTCGCTGCTATTAGACTCGATGCCATTTTCTTCGCGGGTCTGGAGAAAGTGGTGAACTGGGTGGGAATGGAGAGTCCGGCCCAAATCCTGTTGATCCTACAGCAGCCACGGTTTTCGAATTCCTGACAGGGGGACCGTTACGTTTTATCTGAAATACTCATTAGATAAGAGAAAGACCTCAATTGATAAGGGGTTGTTTGTTACATGGAGTACGCTGCAGGCCAGATCTACCTTTGTGGCTCATCTTCAATCATTGTTGTGATACAAATAACCAAATTCCATATATATTGAAACAATCTAACTAGTCAAATTATATGTTGCCTTCAACATCTTATCTAAAAGCCCGTGTACTTGCGTTCTAAGTATCTCAACGGAATATAGAGTATCGTAACAGACCCCATAGAAAGTTCCCAGCTGATATCAGTTCCATACGGGGCATTGCCCACCTTCAAAGCAATCGGACCAACCCACCAAGTCTGGCTCATGCAAATCAAGGCCATTACAGTGCCAATGACGAAGACCGAGAAAGCTGCGATCCCATGAGGAAGGCGCTTCCGATCGAACGCCGCAGAAATTTTATATGTATATCCGCGTCGGAAAACAAAATGCTCGATCAACAATATAGTGCAGAACGGCGTCAGCCAGTAGGCACAGATGTTCAAAAATCAGACATGACTGCCTCCAGATCATTGCGACCACCAATAGCAGCCGCCAGGAAGATAACGGCACCAATCAGAGACCAGACAATACGGGGAATGACTAGCAACTTTTGCGAGATCATTTGGATGCCGAGGCCCAGGGAGTAAACATTTGTAATGATAACTGCCACTGTCGAAAAGGACAAGATGAGCTCGATGAACTTGCCGAAGCCGGTGATGCTCGCGCTGTGTCCCGCGAAGCATTGGCCGATGAGGCCGCCCAGACCACCACTGTTATAGGCAGCGTTGAAAACGGGGTTGGCACTAAACACCAAAGTGCCAATAGCGGCTCCGAGGGCCTCAATGAGAAATTGGCTGCTAAAGAGGCCTGCAAAGGCATATAGGAAAGATTTCCACGGCGGAATGTTCGGACGCATGTACACCCCGTAGTCGGCGGCTATCGGCGCCCAGGCAAACTCATAGCCAATGATGGTAGTTCCGAATGACAGAACTGATGAGATTTCGGCGGCACCTTTGCCCATAGGCACATTCACAAAGTGTGGTGCTCCGAACCCCGCAAGGATACAGAAACAGATGATCATTGCTATCCAGGAGTACCTTTCATAGACGTGGACCAGATGATAGCCAAAGAGGCCAAAGACCACAGCTACCAGGCCAATGATGAGGACAGCTATGGCCATCGGTAGTTTCCCGTCTCCGACGTCATATAGAATGGTAGCACCAGCAATGCAGTTAACCATGGCCCATCCGATCTGGTTCAGACAGTTGAGTAGGACAAGCACCTTAGCTGGCCACCAACCAAAGCAGAAACGGGGAAGTATCATAGTGCGCAAGCCCATTTTAGGGCCAAAAGTTGCCAGCCAAGCTGCAGGGATCGCCCCAATTAAGTTAAAAAAGAGACAGCACAGGAACGAGTCCCACCATCCCAGGTAGAACAACGTAGGGCCCAGATATCCGAGAGCAATGGAAGCTGTTCCACAATTGGCACTGAAGAAGAAAGTAAACAGGTCTCGTGGATTCTGGTCGGTCCTCATGTCTTCTGGGATCTGCTCGACGCCGAATTCTTCCGCGCCAATGAGATTGATCCATCTGCGGATTTTGGACCAGGTGCTGTTGAACTCCGGTTCGAAACCCGTCCCGAGCTCGACGTCTTGCGGGGATGACGCCTCACTCACTGGCGGCTCCTTCATTTCTTTCTCGGTGATATGTTTGTTGTATATCTGACTCTGGCTTTCAATGATGGCCGGATCAGCCATGGTGGATCTTTGTCGAAGTCGACACAGAAAAGTCAGGAAATGGTGAGTGGAGGTATGAAAAGATTATTAGATTGAGATGAATGAATGTAGTAGTAACTGTATGGTGTTTCTCTTTGTCAAAAGTCTATGTCAAGCTTCTCGAACACCGTTTGGAAGCCCGCCCTGGATATAGTGCTAAGTTGGTTGTTCGGTTGGCTTACGTTCATGTCGGGCGTCGGGCGTCGGCCGTCAACCTTCTCGGGGGATAAGATAGTGGCACGACACGGTACCATGGATTCAATTTTAGCATCGGGCATGAGTACACTGAGCTTATTAGAAGAAGAAGAAAAATATTGTCGCCGGATCGATAGCCCATTGGAGATAGCAATTTTTCCTACATAAGAGTTTCGATAACTTATCGAAGTGAAACTCTAAAAGTTATCGTCGAACATCGTCGAGAAAGTGGAAGCTCATTTTTATTGGTTTTTTTGGGGGTTTTTTGGCCATTACATCAGGATATTCTTTGATCACCAAACTCCCTGTGACAAAGATGACTGCGACAGAATACGATGTCGTGATTGTGGGCGGTGGCCCTGTCGGTCTCTTGGTGGCATACCAGATGGCACGCTTCGGCGTGTCAGTGTGTGTACTTGAGAAGCAGGATACCAAGACACAGGAAAACTTTGGGCGAGCAATCGCTCTATTTCCCCGAACATTGGAGCAGCTGGATCAGCTCGACCTGATCCAGCCTATGCTGCAGAAGGGGTTCGCGTGCCGGGAGAGCGTCACCTACAAAGATGGAATTCAGCAGTAGGATACTCTTACTCTGTTTTTGTTATTCATTGCGGTACATGCTGACATTGAGCTCCTCTGACAAAAGGATTCCCGGAAGAGTCTGGACGTTCATGGAGAATATCAAAGACACTCAATTTGATTTCACCCTCGTTCTCCGACAAATGTATACCGAGGCTATCCTCCGTGAAAAACTAGAGTCTGTTGGCGCAGTCTACTATCAGTCAACAGAGTGTACTGGCTTTGAGATTGATGATGCTGCACCACTAGATGCCTACGGTGTTACATCTCATTTTGTGGATACACAAACTCAAAAACCTATGACTCTGCGCAGCAAGTTCATAATTGGCGCGGACGGCGGTCGCAGTTTTGTCCGCAAACATGCTGAGATCCCCTTTGATGGCGATACATCTGAAGACAAGTGGATTCGGATTGATGGCATCGTGGAAACGGACATGTCCATCAATCGTGCTTATGGGTGAGTTGATCTTGACTTCCATTGGTACATGGATGCTAACCAGCCAATACAAAAGTGCTATCGAAAGCAAATCACACGGAAACATCCTCTGGGCGCCCCTGGATCATGGAGCGACACGCATAGGCTACGCTTACACTGCTGAGATCGCTGCGAAGTATCCCGAGGGAGTGACTGAGGAGGTCGCTGTAAAGGAAGCCATCGAAGGCATGAAGCCATTTCACGTCAAATTCACAGAGGTGCACTGGTGGACACTGTAAGTTGTCTCATAGACCCTACACAGGAAGAGAGAGGAAGGCTGATGGATGATAGGTATACAATTGGACAGCGTATGGCCCGCGATTTCTCGACTAAGGAACGAGTCTTCCTTTGCGGCGATGCCGCTCACACTCACAGCAGCGGCGCCGCGCAAGGATTGAACACCGGCATTCACGACGCAGTGAACCTGGGTTGGAAACTAGCCTTGCAGATCCGTGGCTTCACTCGACCAGAGGTCCTGAAGACCTACTCTGCTGAGCGCAAGACTGCCGTTGAGAAATTGATCAACTATGACAAGGACATTTCTCTTCTCATGACCCACAAATGGCCAGCATGGTATGTCGGGGACAAAAATGCTGATCCGTATCTTGTCCTAGGCAAGATTTTTGAGCAGGCAGCATCTTTCAATACCGGGTTGGGCATCTCGTATCCTGAAAATGTCCTCAATCAGGCTCCGTCAGGGAAATTCGGCGTCGAGCCAGGGACTCGCTCTCCCGACGCCGAGATTACTGTACCTGGAATCAACCTCAAGACTAGCGTCCACCAGGTCGCTCGCAATCTGGGAAACTTTTGGGTCTTTGTGTTCACAGGACAGGTAGAATTTACCGGGTCTACACTAAAAGCGCTCCTGAGTTATCTGGAAACCGACAAAGAGCTGTATTCCCATCCAGCTCTGCGGTGGATTACAGTTAGTGCCACGTCCGGGTGCTCGCCTTACGAAGCATTGGGTATGCAACCGTTTGGCGATACGTACTTTGACCCAACTGGCAAGGCCCATGCTGCGTATGGAGTTGACTTGACTAAAGGAGGAGTCGTGATTTTAAGGCCCGATGGGTTAATTGGGTCTGGGTGCGGCCTCAATGGGACGTCAATCAGGGAATACTTTTCGAAAATTATGAATTTATAGACGATAGTCGGAATTGTTTGTCTTTTACAGGGTATTTTGGATTCAATTTCTGTATATTAGTTAACAATAGCTTAGAAATTTCTTGAGTTTTAAAAATAAAATGACTGGGATTTTTTTAAACGAGATAATTTGATATTTGTTTGAAATACCAATTAACAAAGAGATAAAGAATTTATCTAAAATAAGTTCTATAACTTAGTGGATGATCTGATGAACACTAATCTATCTAAATAAATCGACATAGCTCATATTCTTATGAACGTTTGTTACAATCGTCTCCGATTAACTAGAGCAACAAAAAGATGCAATTCTACTCCGAGACCTTACTTAAAAACAGAACCTGCGCGTTGCAGTGAGCCTTCATTCCATCAACGCCCCATTCCGACCCAAGACCACTTTGCTTGTGTCCCCCAAAAGGAGCCAGCGGTGATAATTCGAAATGCGTATTGACCCATACGGTCCCTGCCTGGAGCTGCTTCGCAATCTTGCCCGCCCTGTCGAGGTCCTTGCCCCAAACCGATGCACCAAGTCCGGTTACCGTGTTGTTGGCTCGTTCAATGACATCTTTCTCAACTCTCCACTTGAGAAGGGGAACGATCGGACCTAGACAGAATTAGAAGTGAAACCCATGGTAGGTAAGGGAGAATCTTACCAAATGGCTCGTCCACGACAATCCGTGAGTCTTCCGGCGGGTTATCAATGATCGTAGGATGGATGAAATATCCGGTCGATTCATCGATCTTCCCTCCAGTCACTGCTTTCCAACCCTGTTCCTCAATGTCATCGAAAAAGGTCTTCACACGGGCGTATTGCATCGAGTTCTGGATCGGTCCGTGGGTGGTGGTTGGCTGAGAGCCGTCTCCAACGACGTAGGCATCGACGCTCTTGATCATGGCTTCCTTGAACTTCTCGTAAATCAACTCGTGTACGTAGATGCGCTTGATATTCAAGCAAATCTGAAAAAGACAACATGAGTGGTATTCTAGGGTGCAGGCGAAATGGTAACCTACTTGACCAGTGTTCAAGAACGAAAAGGTTGCAATCTAGCAGAAAACACTGGTCAGCGGGGAATATAAAAGCTAGTGAAGATGCTGCTTTTACCTGGTCGGCGACCTTCTCGATATCCACATCTGGGAGAATAATAGCAGGATCATTGCCGCCGCTGGGTATGTTAACATATTTGGACATCAGGTAATGATGCTTGCGTGGCGGCTTACAGTTCGAGGGTTACCCGTTTCAGAGTTTTGCTAGCACTCTGCACCACGTTTTTCCCGGTTGCAGTCGATCCCGTGAAGTTGATCTTGTCAATGCCAGGATGACTTGTCATCCATGGCCCGAGATTATCATCACCACTTAGACATTGGACCACCCCCGGAGGGAAAAACTGCTGCGCCAATTCGACCAGCTTCAGGCCGCAGTATGGAGTGAAAGGTCTGTTCTCTGCGGGTTAGCGAAATTGTTCCAACCCTCTCGACTGTCGTGCGAGGGAACGTACGAAGGCTTTACGATGACAACGTTACCGGTCAAAACAGCCGGCGCAATCTTGGCGACCGCTAGACGGATAGGGAAATTCCAAGGAACAATAGCCGCGACGACACCAAGTGGCGTATACCTATTGATCACGGTGTGCTGCTCGTTGTCCTCAATTATCTCGTCCGGGAGAGAAATACTAGCAAGTCCGCGAATCCATTCCGGCGCACCTCCGACCTCCATCCAAGCCTGCTTTGTCTGCCCTTACTCCGTAAGCATTTGATGCATATCTCGCAAAGTTTCATGACAACTGCGATCGATGTCGAAACTTACAGGCCTTCCCTGCTCTCGTGTAAGAAGCTCTACCAAAGCGGCTGAGTGCGCCTCCACCGCATCGGCATACGCAATGGTAGCCTTCTGGCGCTCCTCAAACGGCGTCCGAGACCATTTCTTAAATGCGACCTTTCCAGCAGCGACCGCGTTGTCGAGATCCTTTTCCGTCGCTACCGGGACCGGAGGCAAAGCCTGCTTGTTTGCAGGGTTGATACCATGCCGCGTCTGCTCAGTTGCGGCGCTCTTGCCATTGATTATTTGAATATAATCTCGCGAGAAATCCAGCGTTGTGCCGTTGCTTGCCATGACAAATTCGTCTTCGGGTCCGTCGTTCAGACAGCTGACTCGGAGTACGTTAAGGTTTCCTGATTTTGGAGAGTAATAACAATGCGATCTTTTTTGGCGCCACAATCAGGTTCCATACATTAGTACTATTAATAACAAACGTGCGGCGGTCATACTTCGTTCTTATCGCCCGACAACTCTGTCGGTGGATTTGACGGGCGACGGGAACATATCGGAGTGCCACCGCCACCCGCTTCGAATTAACCCCATCTGACAGGGAGCAGAAATGGAATATGCATCTTTGAGTAGTACGATTAGATAGAAGTATCCAATCGAGGAATCTCCTCTTGATATACACGTATCTATCCTACGTATGGATGTATAATCGTAGATACGTTCCGAAAAGTCCTAGGTTCTGCTCGTTGGACCTGTATTATACGTTGGTATTTTGCCAGTCGATGCAGAGAAGTGAAACTCCAATATGCAACGACTAAAAATACCTTGATGGTTTTTGGTGATCTAGTGGTATCCTTCCTTTGGTAATTTTCTATGTTTATAAGTCTAGATCTATGATCACGGCAGATTGGCGAAGAAATTTGGTTTCGCATTGGTTGACCATCGTTATTACACAGTAGCTATGGAGCTGTGCGTACTTTAAGACATAAACGTATATAACCGGAGCCTGTAGAGCAATTGATCTCAATAATCCAAATGGAGTAAAAACATTATCAATCATTATCTCTGGCTTTGGACGCATCATGACCGTGGAAGATTCTAGGCAGCCTTCGCTTTCTGCTCTGCAAGCCACTCCCGGGCAATTTCCTCGTGAGTGTAGAACTCGACACTCTCGCCCCAGCTCTTTAGCCAAGTCAATACCCGTTCAGCCATGCCGATGATGTGCGCCATTCCACTTGTGTCGGGATGCATGAGGATCGGGAAGATGAAATCAGCGGAGCTGCTGCCTTCCTCGCTATTCTCCCACAGCCACATGAACTTGTCCTTCCACATCTGCTCCACGACACGCGTGCTGACGTAGCCGTTACTGTTTGCCAGATGAGGCAGGTACTGGAGAGGCATCATGTCTTCGTTGTACCAGCCGCACGGGATCTCGACCAGGGGATGCTGACCGCCGGTAGGGTATGCCTCTGTTCCCAACGGAGTGGGGTGCAGCCATGAGGAAGCATTCTGGGTGAAATCGATGGTCTTGATGGGCGGGTCGCTGGGCGTGAAGTATGGTTGCGAGTCATGGTGCATGAGGGATGTGTCGTACAGGAACTCGTGTTTGCGGAGTAGATCCACGGTGGTCTCGCGGATGGTATACATGGGCGCACGGTATCCTCTAGGTTTTTTACCACAGAGCTTGGTGGCAACATCGATACACTTATCAAGCACGTCTCGCTCTTGCTCAGGGGTCATCTGGTAAATTCCTTCGTGGGCGTACCCGTGCAATCCGATCTCGGCTCCAGATTCCACGATCTTCTGGACCGTCGACGGGAAGGTTTCCATGGTGTGTCCTGGGATGAACCATGTCACTTTGTTCGCGATGTCAAATTTTTGTAGCATGTTGAGGAGACGAACTGCGCCGACTCGGCCAGCGAAGATACCGGAGCTGTAATCAGCCATGTTGTTATCAGGGTGGCAGCCGGTTCCTAGCCAGTGAGAAACGGCATCGAAGTCGAAGGAGAGTGCCACCTTCACGCGACGGCGAGAAGGACGTGCAAGGCCTCGTGGAACAGACTGTGTAATGAGCGTTGTTGAAGCCTCGGGAGCGGTTACAGGACTCGTGGCGTCGAGGATGTCGTATTCGCAGTCGGTGGGCATGCCGCCGTTGACCGGCTCCAAGTCTTGAGGACAAGAACTCATGACCAGAATCAAATCCGCGTGGGCTCTCAAGAAAACATATTGGCCCTTCTCGCTAGTCGGCGGCCTGATATCCAGACCTCCGTGATGATCGATGGCCACATTCATGAACACGTTGAAGGGGTCGGGTACCCAGTCATCGGCGATGTTGAAAGCAGGGAAAGTCTCTTTCAAGGCAGTGTGCATATTCTCGGTGCAATTGTCATGATGTCCTTGGAAACCTTGCATGCGATACCGGTTTGCATCGCACGCAGACCAGATGATGTCGTGGACTCCTTTCGTCGTATCTTCTTCTAGCGTCACCATAGGCTTGCGACGGGTGCTGTACAATGCGTCGCCAGTCTTCACGGAGACCTTGAGAAGGATTGTCCGGGTATGGACCATCGAGAGAAAGTCGTGGGGGTCATTCGGGTTGAAAGCCCAGAAGTCACACACCTGCTTGCCATGGGTATTGGTGATCTTGATGGCTTGGCCTTTGCGGATTTGGACGGCGACCGCTTTACGGGCTGGAATGAGGCCCATTTTGCGTGACACGATTCGTGTTGCTAGTCAATAATAATCGTGATAATAGAAGATGAATAGAAGAAGCTTAGATAACTCGGAGATTGGGATAACAAAACCACTGGTATTAAATAATATCGAAGTGGCGGGGGAGCTGCGGTCGCCCGTTAGGGCACAGTGGGGTCAGTATCGCCCGCTAGCGCGCAATAACGTTCTTATCGCATCGCCCGTGTGGCGGGCGACAGGATAACGAACGCATGCCGGACCCACTGTGTAGGTTAGAAATAAAACATCATTATTCATTATGGTTTGGATTCTTGCCAACCATGTTTTTGGCAGGAAGACGAGGCTTCTCCTTACCTTCATTCTCTCGCCCAGTAAAGCAATCCTGGAAATCTCCGGCAATATACACTTTCAGGGATTTCTCCGTCATGTCTCGTCGCCCAAGATTCACCAGCGAACTCTCTGAGCTCGAAGTCTCACAGTTAAGGGCCAATCAGGAGCGATTGATGAAGGATTTACACCACAGTTGTCAATGGGGAACAGGAGTAAAATGGGGTAGGTATGTATCCTCCGAAGCATTTTCCTACTTGCATTGGGGAGTAAACTGAAAGGTGCTTGCGTGACACAGCGACCCAACGGAAACGGGCATGGCACGCCTCGCCTTGTCCCAAGAGGACAAGGATGTTCGAGACTGGTTTGTTGCAAAGATGAAACAGCTGCGATGTAATATTACTGTTGATGAGATGGGCAACATCTTTGCAGTGCGTCCGGGGCGTCGGACGGACGTCCCGGCCACATTCATTGGCAGTCACCTGGATACACAACCAACAGGTGGAAGGTATGATGGTATTCTAGGAGTCCTAGTAGGAATTGAAGCACTCCAGGTGATGGATGATCTTGGTCTTGAGTCCGAAGGAGGTATTGGCGTGGTCAATTGGACGAAGTGAGACTCTTTGCAATGGTGTTACGAAGGTGTTACTGAAAGAAACTAACCCGTTTCCCTTAGTGAAGAGGGTGCTCGTTTTCCGATGACCATCATCGCCTCAGGGGTATGGGCGGGGAGCTGGTCCCTCTCCCACTGCCATTCTCTCAAAGAGGTCCCTACAGTTGCCTCTCGTCCTAGTGCTACTTCTAGTCCGGAAACTTTGAAGGAGGCTCTCCAGAAGATTGGCTACTTGGGAGACACACCCTGCTCGTACGAGGCAATGCCCATGGCCGCTCATTTTGAGCTGCATATCGAACAAGGGCCTCATTTGGTATCTTCCGGGCAACAGATTGGGGTTGTCACTGGCGCTCAAGCATATCGCTGGTACAATATCAAAGTTGTCGGATCAGATTGTCATTCTGGAACCACGGCTTTCAAACATCGGGCCGACGCCATGTATGCTGCTGCCCGGATGATGGTAAAAGCCCGAGAGGTTAGCTCCACCCACGGTTGTTTGGCCAGTATCGGTATCGTCCAGGCACTCCCTGGAAGCGTCAACACAGTCCCTGGGTTGGTAACTTTCAGCCTTGATGTTCGAGGACCGAAGATGGATATGGTGGCACAGGTGGAGACGGAGCTGAGAAAGGAGTTTGAAGTGATTGCGAGGAATGACCAGGAGAGTAAACCGTGTTCGGTCGAGTGGAGGGTGGATTTTAATTCACCTTCCGTTGAATTTCATCAAGACTGCATCGACTGTGTCCAGGAATCTGCCGAAGCAGTCGTCCCGGATCCGAAATCACAGATTCGGCATATGATCAGTGGGGCCGGCCACGATAGTGTCAGCACGTCGAAACGGGTCCCAACAAGCATGATCTTCGTTCCTTGTAAAGACGGGGTTAGCCACCACCCTCAAGAATACTGCGCACCGCAGGACTGTGCCGCCGGGGCATCGGTGATGCTTCAAGCAGCAATTCGATACGATCGGAAGAGATTTGCATAGATTGTCCGCGGAGCGAAGCTATACGGTATAGCGGGGGTATAGTGGGTTAGTTACTTTTATTGGGCAAATGCGCAGTCATTCAGTTGACACTATTGACCGAGGATAACATCCAATATGCGTGGTTGAGAAATGTGTCCGCGGTGTAGCTTTGAGCCCAGGAAGTGCAACCAAAACCATAGAATCAAAGAGCGGCGATCTAGAAAGTGTTGTGATCAGTATGAGAGGCATCAATTGATCTCAGAGCTTGTTTTCTCCCTTATAGAATCAGTGCCTTCCTTCTTTTTATTCTGAGACACCAATCCCAACTAGGAAGGTAACTATTTCGTCGTGGAGGTGATGATGATTAGTTAACTAGCGGTGACAGCTAGTTGTATAGGTACCTTAAAGAGGTAGGTACCTAATATTTGGGGCTAAAACCCCGAATAGTCGGGGGGATTCTACTCCCCGAGTAAATGCTCAGGGACCACGTCGGGTAGTCACCGTGGTCTACGTAGGTGGTGGCAAACCACTCCGACCCGCAAATGATTCGTTATAATAGGCGGTTGGTATAGCTGGGATCTAATTTAACTGTAATATTTTAATACGTACCTAGGGTATCCTTGATGTACAGAAAACGGGGTCTCGATAATCCAACTAAAAATATCGCTAACGAGCGCACTAAGCGACTAGGTTGGTTTAACTAACTTTGATCGCTTCTGCAGAGTCAGATGGCGCGATGGTACAATATTAATGGATAAAAGAGGAAAGTCTTGTTGGTTTCAGCCAGCATGCATGAAGTGCAAAGATTTGTCTTACTCGCGAAAGTTGATAATAACGCCATTCTTCAGATTTAAAAAAAGAACAGAGAAAACATGCCTTTACGCGTCATCGTGGTAGGGGCCGGTATTGCGGGACTCTGCGCTGCCGTGGCGCTGCGACAGCATGGGCACTCAGTGACGGTGAAGAGACCAAACCTTCCCATTGAAAAACAGAGATAGAGATAGAACGCTAATGAAGCAAGCAAATCAAATTTTCGTGGTTTACAGATATTTGAAAAGTCCAAGTTCGCCACGGATATCGGCGCTGCTATTGCCCTCTCTCCCAACGGCGTGCTCGTTCTGCAAGGCCTGGGCTTTTCTTTCCAGAATGCCCGCGCCCAGTCCCAGGATGTATGGGAATCGCTTGATGGCCGGACTTTGGACCGTCTCGCGTACGCCCAAGTGACCGATGCGCAGGAGAGATTCGGCGCTCCGTTTCTGGCCATTCATCGCGTGGATCTCCATACCGAATTGCTTCGGCTTGCTCTGGAAGATGACCACGAGGGCGGCTCCTGCTCACCACCGACAACGCTTCATCTCAACTGTCGCATTGTTGCAGTGCAACCCGAGCAGGGAACGGTTCAGTTGGAGGACGGTTCGCTGCACCATGCCGATTTGGTCGTCGCTGCCGACGGCCTACGGTCCGTAATCCGACCAGCCGTGGTGAGTCGCGAGAAAGAAGAAGAAGCAAAGCCCACTCCATCCGGCATGAGTGCGTTCCGGTTCCTCGTTCCGACCGCCAGCCTGAAACACGATGCTGTGTATGAGAGAGCGAAGAAATGGAAGAACGCCCGAGGAGTCACGGTCATGGCCGATACTCAAGATCTTGACTTTAAAGATCGCCATATTGTCTGGTATGCGTGCCAGGGGTAAGTCGACCAACAATCTTTTTCCCCCTTGTTTTCATCTTTTGTTTTGACGTTGTTGATTCTCCCGCATTAAAGGGATCAGGTGCAAAACTTTGTTGGCATTCAACCTACAAAAGACCTTGAAGATGACGACCAGGGTAAGAAAGAAAAGAGAAAGAGAGAGATGAATAATACGATGCTAACCAGTTTAAACCCATGAAGATGAAGGAGACATAAAGCTTCAAATGTTGCAAGAATTCGGCCACTTCCACCCAGATATAAAAAAGCTACTGAGGTGAGAAAACAACTCACCGAAAGCAGAAGATAGACGACACAGCGACTAAAGGTTGATTCCAGCTCCGCGGAGAATGTGAAGCTCTGGCCGTTATTCGTCCATAAGCCATTGAACAGTTGGACATACGGTCGGGTCATCCTAATTGGAGATGCAGCGCATCCCGTACGTTTCCATCCTCATTCAGTTTGAAAATTTATGTTTCTCATTCTAAGACTTCTTTTCTGCAATGCAGATGTTGCCCTTCGGCGGTCAAGGATCTAACCAAGCGATGGAAGACGGAGGGGCTTTGGGAACCCTCTTGGCCGGAGTCCACCATGCCGCCGATATCCCCGAAAGGTTGGCCATTTTTGAGGACATTCGCCGGCTTCGTGCATCACGAGTCCAGATCTTGTCCCGAGTGCGCATTGGGACCGAAGATCGCGTCAGGCAGGAGCTGGAGGCGTATTGCAAACCCGAAGACACTGGTGAGGCCACTCAATTATTTTCTCTCTCACCTGAATCAAGTTCTTTGTTCTTTGATCAACATTTCTGTCATTTCTTAGACTGATTTGATAATGATAGTGCCGACTACGTTTGCCGCTAGACAAGCTCATGATTCCGGGTTCAATGTTCTGGCCGCATGCCGAGACGCCCTCCATCAGAGGGGTTTATCAAACTTGGACATCTAGGGACAATCGATAACTAAACGGAATTGACTGAATTGGGGGTACTTGCGAGCGGCACATGCATGGGTTCATTGGTTGATAATGCATGCAGACACACGCAGCAGCTAGATCTACTAGGGTGTTCAATAGATGCAGTTAGCGCTCTGCAGGGGTATGAATCCTGTTGCAATCCTTCCGAGTGTACTCTGTACGGGCGTAAATGAACTCGTATCTTGGATCCGTCCATTCGGGATTCGTGCCAAAAATGGAGAAGAGGAGATACGGCTAGCGCCAGCCCTTGAAAATCCATGAAATCGCACTTGTAACAGTATGCCGAGTATGCCGAAGACAAGTGGGTACGCGATACAACGGCTGTCAACCTACTCGGGCGTTTTTTGGCCCCATGCTTGCAACGATCGGCTGGAACAGCAATACACGGCCGGTGAAGGTTGACCAGGCCTTAAATAATTCCCGGAGGGCGGGAACCACAGGATTGGGGCTGCTCTCCGCACGATCCAATAGAGAAGGGACGGTTGTATGCGTTATTGACGTCACAGAAGTCATTGATTCTGATCCATTTAGTGGTGTTCGTTCGGCATGTGCAGGTAAGTTCAACGAGTTCATGCGTGGAGGGATGTCCATAGGCCGAGGGGTTACATGAACCGGCAGCCAGTATATCAGAACCAATTGATATCGATCTACTTGAATCTTCATCTTCTGTCCATGAACTCAGCGATAATGAATCAGAGTTGTTTTTCTCCCTCGGTGGTTATTTTCGGCCCACAGGGCTATTCTCCGCCGACGGATGAGCTCGACTATCTCCGCAGTTGGCTCCAGGACCATGCTGGCGGGAATCAATGGGTAAGGGACATCCAACAAATGCCGAAGATATGGGAGCGATATGTACAGCGCACGCCAGAGCTGGCGTCGCTCGATGGACACTTTCAGATCCAGCGTTTCGTCGAATGGGTGAACGGGCGTTGTGGCAGCCCCCAACCGGCCACGGATGGCGATGGTGGTAAATGTATGAGTGGTGTCATTGCAGTTCCGCTCCTGGTGATTTTGCAGCTTTCTCAGTACTATCATTTCTTGCATCTAAGTGAATTGTCGCATGAACAATTCTTACGCCGTCTATGTGATGACGATGAGACGTGGGGGAACGTGCAGGGCTACTGCAGCGGATTCCTGGTGGCCGCAGCCATCGCGTCTTCGAGGACAGAAGACGAACTGAACGCTAATGCGACCGCTGCGATCAATTTGAGCATTGGGGTAGGAGCATATAGTGATGTGATGAATCTGAAGCATGACCGCAGCAATCAAGCCAACCTTCTCACAGTCCTGCTTGATCGCAGTGGGCAGGAAAAGGAGCTCTTGAGCGAGTTTCAACAAGTATGGAAAAATACCGTTTTCCTTCTCTCCCCTCCCCATCTCTTGTCTCCTTCGTGTTAAGTGTTAGATGAGCTCAACGAAGACCAATCTAGATTTATGCTTCGGTCAAATCCGACGCGCTGAGGGTCTCATTTATGGGTCCTGCTCCGGACATCCAGAAGCTACACCAAGTGGCCAAAGACCGTGGATTATCGGCGGCAGTGCTCGATGTCCGGGGACGGTGGCATTGTCCCGGTAATGAACAAATCACGGACGACTTCTATTCTCTGTGCCAGGAGCACCAGGATATGCAATTGACCGGATCTACCAACGCGCTGCGGACCCGACTCCGGTCGAACGCGGATGGCACGCTTCTTGTGGAGAGTACGTCTCTCACAAAGGAGGCCATTTTCTCGATCATGGTGAGGCAATGCAACTGGGGGATGGTCATCGACGGGGCCATTCAAGATCTGTACCGGCGTTCCCGGGGGGTCCGTCAGCACAGTATCGCCGTCTTCGGCACTGGTGACTGTGTATCTCGAGACTCGATTCAAGGGACCGAGTTGCAGCTAACGAAACAAGAGATTAGTAAACTGTTCTCGCGGTCTGTAGAGACAGTACCATCGCACAATAGTCTGGATTACGTACGCCCCCCTGTCATTTGTGCGATAGGTCTCGCATGTCGGTTTCCTGGAGCGGAGCATGCTGGAGAGTTCTGGGACGTGATTTCTGAGGGGAAAAGTCAATGCCGGGCGGTTCCCACAGACCGGATCGATTTCTCCAAGTCCAGTCGGCTCTCGACTGGTACTGCTTCTCGTGAAGATACTCAGTCGCGGTTCTTTGGCAATTTTTTATCGCAGATCGATGGATTTGATCACCAATTCTTCAAAGTGGCCCCGAAGGAAGCAATCGCCATGGACCCTCAGCAGCGACTTTTGTTGGAAACGGCCTATCAGGCCGTCCAGTCCGCTGGATTGGGAAACCCTAAAGACATCTATGGCAAAAATGTCGGTGTTTTCATTGGTATGAATGAATCCTCTAGTCGTTCGTCACTCTTCCTTTTCGTTCTAATATAAAAATATAAAAAATAGGAATTGGCAACAACGACTACATGGAGCACAATTGCTCCAACACTGCCACCGCATTTTCATTAACGGGGACGCTACGCGCCTTTTTGTGCGGAAAGATCAGCCATTATTTTGGTTGGACCGGACCGTCCGAAACCATAGACACGGCATGCTCGTCCTCCGGCGTGGCCATTAACCGGGCCTGTAGAGCCCTGGCTTCGGGAGAGTGTGATTATGCTCTGGTCGGTGGCGTCAATACCATTAGCAGCCCGAACACCTATATCGATCTCTCCGTGGCGGGATTCCTCAGTCCCACGGGGCCGTGCAAACCCTTCTCGGTGGATGTGGATGGCTATTGCCGGGGCGAAGGAGTCGGTTTAATCCTGCTCCAGCGCCTGGATGATGCCGTCCGGGATGGCAACGAGGTTCACGCCGTCCTCCCCGGCTATGGTGTGAATCAAAGTGGACGAGAGGGGGCCATCACCGCTCCCAATGCCAAGTCCCAAGAAGCCCTCTTTCGCACAGTGTTGGATCGTTCTCGTTTGGATGCCAATCAGATCCAATACGTGGAAGCCCATGGCACTGGAACCCAGCTGGGTGACAAAGTCGAATGCCAGAGCATCAAGCAAGTCTTTCATGCCCTCAATTTCAACAAACCCCTCTATTTGGGCTCGGTCAAAGCCAATATTGGCCACACGGAGCCTGCGTCGGGCGCGGCGAGTCTCATCAAGGCCATCCTCATGATCCAACATAGAGAGATCCCACCTCACATCAATTTCTCCGTGCTTAATGACAAACTCGGCCTGGATACAACTCGATTCGACGTCACGACGTCCACGAAACCACTCTCGCCGGGGGTCTCGATTCTCGTGAATAATTACGGTGCCGCGGGGAGCAATGCCGCGTTCATTGTGTCCAGTCCTGAGAACTATCTAAGCAATTATGATAAGACGCCACTACGGAAAGTCCCCATGTACCGCGCCTTCTATCCGGTGGTCCTGAGCTCTCACAGTCACAGAGCTCTCCAGGCTCAGATGACTTCTCTGCGCCAATATCTCTCGACAGGAAGCCCGACGATCACCCTGCAGAGAGTGGCCTACACCCTGGCCAAGAGGCTGGTGCGTCAACGATACTCCTGGACCGCTTCCGTAGACAGCATCGCCAAGCTGTGTAGCGATCTGTCGAATGCTGCTTCTGGTTCTTCTGAGATCACCGACACATCGGAGGTCCCGCTTCAAAAACTAGTTCTCGTCTTCGGAGGACAAAGGTCCAAATTTGTTGGGCTGGTGCACGAGATCTATGATCATCTGCCTGCGCTTCGCCGCCACCTTGACGCGTGTGATAAGCTGGTTTCAGAACTCCTCGGGCAAAGCATTTTCCCCGCGATCTTTCAGACGACGCCAATCGAGCAGGTTGCTCTTCTGCAGTGTGCGTTGTTCTCTATGCAGTATGCCTCAGCCCGAATGTGGATCGACACTGGTGCTCGCGTGGATCGTCTGGTCGGGCACAGCTTTGGAGAAATCACGGCCTTCTGTGTCTCCGGTGCCCTTTCGCCCCGAGATGCATTGAGGTTCATCATCGATCGTGCGGCATTGCTCGAACGCATCCAAGGCGATCATCGGGGTGCCATGCTGTCCATCCAGGGGGCCATGGTAGACTACGAAGCATGTCAAGAGAAACTCCCGGAACCCTTGATCGACCAGGTCGGGATTGCATGCTATAATGCTCCCAACCAATTTGTTATTTCTGGAAGCCTCGAAGCGATCAATACCTTTGAGGCAGAACAATCGAGTAGTCGCATGAAGTGCAAACGACTGGATGTCACCCATGGGTTTCATTCTCCCGTTCTGGATCCCCTGCGGCCCGACTTGATCAAATTGGCCGAGTCTCTTTCGTTGCGACCAGCCCAGATCCCTCTGGAGCTGTGCACAGCTGAAGGATTGGAGAAGCCGTCTCTCACCGATCTCGCCAACAACACCCGGAATCCGGTCTATTTCACCAATGCCATCGGCCGAATTGAGTCTCGACTGGGCCCGTCGTGTACTTGGATGGAGATGGGCCTGTATTCGGGGATGACTTCACTGGTGCAAAAGTCATGCCAACAGCTACACCTCAATCAGCATCGTTTTATCCCCGGAATGGACAAGAAATATGCGTTCTCTCCGACTATCGCCAATCAAGTCCTGCAACTGTGGAGAAGCGGACAACATCTATCCTGGTGGTCACACGAAGAAGGAGGAGAAGAGTTGAAAGACCTTCCTTTACCACCCTATGCGTTCGACCATACGCGCCATTGGATGCCCTTGAATCTGGAGCCTCGGTCTTCGGGATCACGAATGGACAACGTTGAGCGGCGAAAGCCCGCCCTCGTAACGATCATCCAGGACGGAGACGAGAGATCATCCAACGATACATTCAAATTCATGGTGGATTGCTCCTCGCCCATATACCAGTCCATGCTTCATGGCCATGTGGTGGTCCAACAACCCTTGACCCCAGCATCTATGTACCTCGAATGTATTGCGAGTGGATTGAATATGATCCAACAACAACAAGAAACGCGGTCCCTGCCCTTCGCCCTTGAGTTCCGCGATGTGGAGATCACCGCGTCTCTGGGCAGCAGAGGAATCAGACAGGTCACTTTCACCCTGAACCGAACATACAACCAATCGTGGGATATCTCCTTCCACAGTTTGTCCGACAATGCGACCAACTGGACCGACCATATGCGGGGTTCTGTCAAACTGGTCAAGGGAGGAGTGGGAGGAAGGGAGGGAGGAGAATTAGGCTCCGAATTTGATGGCTACGCCCGATTGTGTAAGCTGCGCATGGAAGAGATGCAGCATGGTAGTGGTACTGGTACCGAAGTGCTGCGCCAAACCAAGGCCTACCAGCTGTTTTCCCGCGTGGTCAACTACTCGAAACACCTCCAGGGCATCTCCACGATCTATACTTCGGATCAAGAAGCATGTGCTGATATTGCCCTGGAGATGAGCCCCGATTCGACCGTCATCCATCCGGCCGCAGTCGACAATTTCCTGCAGGTCGCCGGTCTCCTGATCAATACGCACCCCAGCTGCGACGACGACTTTGTGTATCTAGCCACGCAACTGTCCAAGTTGGGCGTCATTGGTCAGAAAGGGGGAAGCAGCAACAACTCGACGTCGTGGAAAGTCTATGCGACCATCTCAACCATGACTTCCCACCGCGCTGCGTGCGATGTGTTCGTTTTCGATGCCCATTCCGGAATGCTCACGGCGTATATCTTCAATGCGCAATTCACGAAACTGGCCCTCACAACTCTTAGCCGTCTTCTTTCGGGGAGCGCATCTTCCCTACACAAACCCCACAATGAGAGTTATATGAGCGTCCCCCATCTCCGTCAGACGGCGGAGACGTCGGGGTCGGGGTCAGATTCCGAGGTGGAAAGCGTGTTTAGTGACATGAAATCGTCATCCAGCGCCGAAGATACGCCGTCCAACGTGGTGTCCATCGAGGATCTGGCCAAGATCTTCGAGACATATGCGGCGGGAGAGCTGCCGTCCCGGGTCGCCCGTGATACGGCCATCGACAGCTTCGGCGTGGACTCGCTGTCGGCCATCGAGCTGTGTCGGGATATCGCAGATTTGACGCATGTCGAGCTAGAAATGACCGAGTTCTCTCAACATGAGACCCTGGGCTCTCTGCTGGACAGTGTCAATGCCAGGCTTCAACCGCGGACGTTGCCTAAATCACGGAAAAATCTAGATACTGCCTACAGCCCTAACCCCGTGCCCAGAAATGGGATTCGCATTGTTGATCAAAATGATACAGCCGCAGCTGGGGTGAAAACCCACAATCCCATTGCCGTGACGAACAGCTACAAGGATCGCTTTTCTTATTATGCTCGCCTCCATCAGTTCGAGCGATATGGTGAACAGGTTCAATCCTTCCAAACGGACGCCACAGTGGCCTTGATCCTAGAAATGCTCGTCAGTTTGGGAATCGATTTGGATCAATTGGCGGTCTCTCAACCGATCCCGGAGCTGGACAACACCATCCTACCTCGGCATGCTCAACTGATGCAACGACTGTGGACGATTCTCGAAGGGTATGGACTCATTACCCGGGATGATGATAAATCATCTTCTCTCTTCTACCGATCGTCGAAACCCATTCAGTTGGAGTCTGCGAAATCACTGCTCGACAGGCTGATTGCCGACTTCCCTCAACACGCGGAGGAACATCGATTGCTCTCCATCACGGGCCTGAAGCTAGCGGAGTGTTTGAGCGGAACGGCAGATCCCATAAAGCTGCTCTTCCACGACCCAGTGGCCGTGGATTTGATGGGTGCCGTGTATCGAAATGCGCCCATGTTCGCAACCATGACCTCGATGTTGCTGGATGTGATCGATCAGCTTTTTGCTTCTGCTTCTGGTGGGTCCGATTCCGATTCCAATCCCATCCGTATCCTGGAGATCGGAGCTGGTCTGGGTGGAACGACTGCTGGCGTCCTGGAACGACTTCAGACGTCCAGGCGAAAGGTCCAGTACACCTTCACGGATATCTCACCGACCTTCGTTGCCAAGGCGAGAAAACGCTTCACCCATTATCACTTCCTCAGTTTCCAAGTCCTAGACATCGAGAAGGAGATCACCGATGCTTCTCTGCGGGGTCACTTTGATCTGATCTTGGCCACGAACGTCATCCATGCCACCAAAGACCTGCCCACCGCCATGGCTCATATTCGGTCCTTGCTGAGTGAGAATGGATCTGCCATTCTCTCCGAGATCATTCATGGTCCGGACTGGCTCGATCTGGTATGGGGTCTGCTGGAAGGATGGTGGCGGTTCGAGGACGGTCGTTCCTACGCGCTGCAGTCCGTCGACGACTGGGCGCGGGTGTTCCGAGACGCGGGATTTGGCGCCTTCGCCAGTTCAGGCGGTAATTGCAAGGAGTCCCAAATGCAACAGTTGCTGGTGGGATCTGTCCAACCGAGCGCAGGCGCGAGCAAGACTGCGGCGTTGTCGGCGTCTGCGTCTGTGTCGCGCAGCATCTCCACGGCCGATATCGAACCCGTGTCGTACAAGCATGTCGACGGTCTCGATCTGATGGTCGATATTTATTGGCCGAAACAGAACACTTCAGAAAATAATAAACCGATTGGTGAGTGCCGCGATTATTGCAAATACCCTTTTTGCGATGCTATGTCTCATGAACTAATTCATTCATTCAATTCTACTCTAGCCCTGATGATCCATGGTGGTGGCCATATGATGCTCTCGAAGAAAGCCATCCGTCCATACCAATGCAAATATCTCCTGGAACAGGGCTTTGTTCCCATTGCGATCAATTATCGACTATGCCCGGAGACCACCCTCGGGGAGACGATTCAAGACGTGCTGGACTGCCTCCAGTGGGCTCGATCGACTCTGCCCAATCTGGCTCATCGACGTGGTCTCCAAGTCGACGCATCCAACATCGTCGCCGTTGGCTGGTCTTCCGGGGGCCACCTGGCAATGTCACTGGGATGGACGGCAATCCAGGCCCATGTGGCTCCACCGTCCGCGGTGTTGGCATTCTATCCTCCAACCGACTACGAGTCAGGCCATTGGTGGAACCCGATTGATGACTCGACGAGAAATCTCGAGCCGACGATGAGTATGGACGAGATTATCGGTCAACTCCGAAAGCCACGAAAGCCGCTGCAGGAGTATCACGTTGCTGCTCAGGACATGGAGCATGCCGAAGAGGGCTGGGTGTCGCTGGGTGATCCGCGCTCGGAGCTAGTTCTACACTCGGTTCGCGATGGATTGACCATTCCACTCCTTCTCCACGGTCTCGGTGGGGATCCAGGCAACAGTAACGTGTTGTCGTCCATGCCATCCAAAGACGAGCTGGCGGCGATTTCTCCTCTCCATTATGTTCGAACTGGCACCTACCAGATCCCGACCTACCTCATCCACGGCACTGGCGACAAGCTTGTCCCGGTCGAAATGTCCGTGGCGCTGCATGAGGCGTTGAAGCAGCAAGGCATCGACACGGGGCTGACGCAAGTGCCAGAGACGTCGCATACGTTTGATATGTTCTTGAGGCCAGGCGATCGACGTTGGAACGAGTATGTCCAACCAGGAATGGATTTCCTGGTGCGGTGTCTCGAGAAGCGTCATGATAATAGGTCCTGACCTTTTGGTCAGGCATATCCAGATTGAGATTGAACGTCATGATTTAGTTTATCCAATAGATTAATCAATTGAAATTCTGGCTTTGTGGCCTATGAAAAAGTAGTCTGCGAAGAATAGGCAGTCGAACAGATTCTAAGATATATATGTTTTCCTAGCGATATACTTTGGTCATCAATCGGCTATAGGGAAGTTGATGCACAGTCATCGACTGGAGCAGGGGCCTCAAACGGTGACAACAGCTGAGTAGCCCAACTTTATCTCACAAGAGTCCCTGCTGAGATGCATAATCTGGTTTCCCTCTTTGTATTTACTTCTTACACTTTAGATTCTTCATCTAGAACGTGATTTATTCAATACAGAAAGAAAAGAAAAAGATCCCAAAAAAATATAAAAAAAAGAAGCACGGTAATTCTCAGACTCATTTCCCATCTCAGTAATCTTCTCGCAAACACAGCAACTCGTCTCTCAGTGCCAGGTTGGCACCACAGCTGCTAAAACGCCACCAATTGCTTCTCCACCAGCCCAGGATATTAACCATGCTCCATTTGACGGGAGCTGGTAACGGCGGGAAGGTTTCCCACTTCCCGCCCTCGAACTTGGTGTCGAGATTATACCATAGAATGGGGAGAACGTCCGTGGTGGAATATCGTTGGAGCGCATACTGCGTCGTGTGATCGCCCAGCGTCTTCATATCGAATTTATACTTTTGCAGCGAAAGCAGCTTCAACGGTTCACTGGCCAGATGGCTGTGGAATGCGTCCGCGAAAGAATCAAAGATTCTGACCAACTCCGCGCCGTTGTATTTCGATGGTGTAGCGATGCAAGTCTCAGCGTATGTGTTCATTTCCTCGAGACCATTGTGAAAAGCAGCTTTTGTACCGCGTGGTTTTAGTTGAGTGACGAGAAAAAGCTGGCGTGACGATTCGCGAACGTACCATGCTCTTTCGTATCCCCATCCATAATCCCTTTGACCCCTGTATCCTCTTCGATTTTGGGGAATAACACCTTCTCCTCGCTCTCATGATGGCCATCCACAAACAAGTACCATGCGTGACAGTACCGCAGGAAGTCCGGGACATCTGCGGGTTTCAGTTTCGGCGCTTGGAGGTACATGCTGTTGTAACCGCGAATAATGATATTGTGCACGAGCGTCATGTGGGAAGCAAACTCGACAAATGGGTCATCGCCATCCTATTGCAGCCGTTCGCAATCACGGGTGAGCACAGCACAGTCATTATCATCATCGGACGCCTTGCTTACTTTGCCCGTCCCACCGGGCGTGGGGAGCAGACTCAATGGACCACCGGCCTTCGACGTCATGCTGGGTGCTCTGCTGGTAAGGAGAGTAAAATAGGGAAACCTGCGAAAATGATGACAAGAATTGTGATGATGATGGTGCTCCGTATAAAGTGTTAGTTAAATAAATAAAGCAAAGGAGTATGGAGCGACCGTTGCATCACACAGGCAACCAACAGCTGAGCCCCATGCGAGCTGCGGGGGGATCGCCAGCAATTCAGCTGACAAGAGATCCCTGTCTCGACGCGTTGTTTCTTGGTCCAGTTGCAAGTTGTGACTTCCTCTTCCAGCTGCTTATGGCCCCCACCATTAGCTCGCGCCATTCGTACCTCGCTTATCAGGCCCCTTGTCAAGGTTGATTGTATTGTCGTCGATCCTTTCATTCGGGAATACACAGTACCACGTTTTTCAATTCTGTAATTTTACCATCATACGGAGATGTTGCAGAAGGTGCTCGTGTTGACGCAGGGTCAACCCCGCATTGTTGTATATACCACTGCAGCCATTGGCCACCACTGGCCATGCTATACCCACTGATCGCCCAGGCCGTTGCGGACCGCCCCTGGTGCTAGCGAGACCGTTGCAGACACGTTATCGGCTGGATGGCGCAGAGAGTACGCCTCGTCGCACTGCGGCCGAGCACGTGGTCAGTGGCGTTTAGTAGTGCGCGTTGACACGAAGGAATGCTCTCATTCCTTGCCCCGATTAGGCCATAATCGCCTCCCTCGCGCCGTGCAGATCGTCAATTGTATCCCCGACGGATAGCGTATCGGCAAACCATGTTCCTGTCAGCACTTACTCCGGTATAAAAGTATTCCTGCACAGTAAAGTTTCCGCCCCCCACGCTAGTCTCTGACAGGATTCATTATTGAATTCGTCATGGAATTAGTTCGAGAACAGGGAAGAAAAGGTCCAATCATCAAGAGATACTCTGCACACCGACGGTGTTGAACTAACAAGGCTGACTGACTGACAGGCATTCTACAGGACTTCACACTCAATCAGGCCTTCCGTCTGCATACCGACTGTTTCGAACTAACAAGGCTGACTGACTGACTGACTGACATTCTACGGGAGTTCACACTCAATCAAGCCTTCCGTCCCCTTGTCCGCCCGGAAAATCCCGGTAATCTTCAGGCCCGCGGATTCAACCAGCTGGTGCCACTGGGGTACCGTGCGCTCTTGCGCCGCGTGCACCATCATCATGATCAAATCCATGGCCGTATCCTGCCAGTCCGCATTGACATCGGGAATCACGATGTCATGGATCAGAATCTTGCTGTAGCCGGGCTTCAACGCCTTGGCCAGATTCACGAGAATCTCCCTCGCTTTTTCTTCCGGCCAGTTATGGATAATGGAATGCAGGTAGTAGGCCCGGGCTCCTACGACCATAGGTTAGAACAATCGGTACGGTATCGAACAGGATTCAAGAGAGATGGTTACCTTTCACCGGCTGCTCGGTGAAAAAGTCATGGGCAAGCGGCTCAATCTTCTGATCGAGGGACACTCGAGCCTTTTCGATGACTTCGCTTCGATCTTGCAGCACGAATTTCGCATCCACGGTCGGATATTTGCGGATGAATTCCGCCAGATCATGGCCCGTACTACCCCCGACATCCACGATCAGAGGCGCATCGGGATTCCGACCGGCAATCAATCGTTCTTCGACGGGATAGAAACCAGGATCCATCCAACTGGGTCGTCCCTTGCGGTAGACGGACATGTTGTTCATGAACCGCTGCGTGTACCCCGGGTTGGCCGCCAGATAATCGAAGAAGCGCAGATCGGTATTGTATCCGAGCTGCGTGCCACAATTCAGATTATTATCCGGGGCTCGAAGGCCATTCTTTTGGACCCAGTCCGGCAGTTTCAACACCGACAGATTGCAACATTCGGCCCTGTTTTGAATCAGCGATCTCTCTCTCTCTCTCTCTCTATTTGTTTTGGGAGTCGACTGACAGGGACGGAAATCCATCAGCATATTTCTGAATGGTCATGACCTTGGCAAAGGTCGTCGCTTGATACGTGTCGGGCCCGGTCTCGGTAATCACACCCATCGCACCAAGGTGTTTCAAGATCCGGCCTGTTGTAGTATTAGATATATATATATCAATTGGACAGATGGAGAAGTCGGTGGACTACTGACTGAGAAAATTCACTTCCGCACCCGTCGCGATGGCCAGTGTCTTGGCGGTCTTGGGCTCACCACCCTCGCACAGGGCCTTGAACAGCCCAATGTTGATACTGGTCTCAATGGCGGCATATACGGTGGTCTAGAATGGCAAATCGTCAATCAATCGTCAACCCTAAGAGACAGCGAGGAGAGGGTAATCCACATGAGACCAGAGGTATCGACACATCGCCTCTCGAGGAGTTTCGAGGGCGTGAATCAACGAGCGAGCAGACTCGATCAGCCGACGGCGATTTGGTCCGTCATCTTCTGTTAATGTTTTACCTTGGGAAGCTATCTCGTCCAGGATCGCGGGAACATCACTGATCGCACTGGGCTTGGTGGCAATGCTCTCGTCCACAAAGACAGTTCCGTTTTGGACAGCTTCATTTTGACTCGCCATTTTTAGATCCTCTTTATTCTAAAGTATAAGATAGAAAAAAAGGCCCGAATGCTGAGGTGTATTCAAGGAGAAATCATTCACATGAGAGTGATAGGAAAGTGAAAGGAGCACGAGCGGGGTAGCTTCTCCAAGACCGAATAAATTATTTACATTCTAAGTGGGTCGATATCAATTCAATGGATCCATTTGCCATGTTTTCCGGCATTTGCATGTGTGCCATGGAGGATGCGAACGGGGAACGGGCCACAACAGGCGTGAAATGAACTTAGATAGACATTGGCCCTCACTAGAATCCCAAGGAGCTCCAACGGGCCGCATGCATTGACTAAATTGGGCTTGAGTTACCTTGATCGGCCAGCGCTAAGAGTCAGATCGGCAACGTCGACTTGCATTTGCGCCTGCCCTTCTGGGTCTGCAGGATTCTACATCTTCGGCACCGCCAAGATGATACCGACGTCATGGAGACCGTTCATGGGAACCGTTCATGGGGGCCAGGAAGCCTCGCAATCGTGCAACATCATAATGGGGGCCACGGAGGGCCTTTTGGCTTTGTGGGCAGCTGTGACAGATAATCCGTCCCAAATTCCAAGGTCCAAACTGCGTCTTTGATCGATGATCCTGGAGGTAGGGTACCTAGATTTAACAACCCCAGCCTTTCTATCACCCTGTTCCACTCCGCCACGGTTTTCTCATTCCTGCATTTTCTCCCCTGGTTGAGCAATGGAGGGAACAACAGGCCCTACGCTGACGGACCGCGCCGCCCCGACATACTCGGCGGTATGGATAGTCATGGCCATATCGAGCCTCATCTTGAACTTGCGTGTTTTTTCAAGGGCAGTCTTAAGTGGTGACATTGGATGGGAAGATTTAGTGATGGCCATCGGATGGGTATGCATATGATTTCTTTGGCTGTCGCTCGAAGACGGGAAAACATTGCGGACATCTTAGAAAAGTGCCGTCTTTAAACTAACTTCTCTGGCTTCAGATGGTGACTCTGGCAGCCACAATTGTCTACACCTTTTCAGTCCATGCCAGTGTCGTGGCCTCCGAAAGTGTAGAAGCCTTGGCCGAGCATCTGCCTGTTGCGCTCAAGCTGGATCTCATCGCCAGCGCCCTTGCGATCATCGCCCTCATGATCCCAAAGATTTCCATTGCCCTCCTGCTCGTTCGCATCCTCAACCCCAGCCGACCGATGAAGATCTTCATTCTGTCAACGTCCATTCTGGCCTTGGTGATGGGGGTCATCGCCGTGATCATCGAGTTCGTGCAGTGTGACCCCATCCCCGGTCAGTGGGACCCGGATCGATACCATCCTACGTGCTGGAGTCCGAACGTCCAGATGGATTATTCCTATTTCGTCGGTGGTAAGTCGTCCTCTACGTCTCCTACCCGCTTGTTTTTGTCTCTAAAAGCGACACGAAATTAACTTGATACCAGCATGGTCGGCCGCGCTGGACTTTCTCTATGCGGCCTATCCCGCCTCGGTCATCTTGAAACTGAATTTGCCCACATCCCGGAAGATTGAAATCACCATCTTGATGGGGCTGGGAATCATCTCCGGATCGGTGGCTATCTACAAGACCAGTCTCTTTCGCCTCTTCATGCTCCGCAAAAACATCCCGCAAGAAGCGCTCTATGTGATGAGCCAGCTGAGCATGTGGACGATTATCGAAACCAACATCACTATCATTGCCGCCTGCATCCCGCTGACCTCACCGGTCTGGCGGATTGTCAAGCGGCATGCGGCTGTCCACCTGAACAAGATCGGGTTCGATATTCGTACCACCACCACAGGCAGCGGCTCGCGTCGTGCCGGTCAAGGCTATCGCGAGTTTTCCAAAGGAACAGATAAGAAAATGTCCTCTCGCAGCGCCAATGGAATACACGGCCAAGATGACAGCCAATTCAGCGAAGACCGCAGTCGCATCTACATTCAACATGATATCCAGGTTGATCAAACCGGTACAGCCCATTATTCGGACACCATTCCGCTTTCCCATGTACGAGACTTGCCTTGACCTTTTGAATTCTCATAAATACACCGTTCGTCTGTCTATGTCGTTATATTTTTTTTTGTCCTGTTGGTTTTCTCGATGGCGCTGGAGTACCACTACATACGTAATTACCTAGTTAGTCAAATCACGGTCCATCTCATACTTTAATGACGTTACGCTCCCAAAGAAAGTATAAAATCAAAACTCGATAAGAACTTTCAAAATGGAACCCATGCGGACCGCCGTTTGGCTCCTTCACACAAACCACAACAGCTACGTCGTCCCGTGCGCAGCTCTATGGGCCTTCCTTCGCAGCAAGTGATCGAATTACCTTCTCGCTAGTGATAAAAACGGCCAAATAGGGCGGAAAACGAATCTTGTTGTTGATCGGGATATTGGAATTTCTTTACAGGCAATGATGTGCGAGACACCATTCCGTTCTCATTTGCCTCCCCAAATTTGAGGAAAAGATTGTTCCCAAGCCATATATGTCTCCTGGTTTCTTTGTCGCTCGTTTGGTCAGTAGCTGATCTGGACTAAGAGACTTGCTTCTCGAAGTTGGGAAGCTGTAGTGGGGCGATGCAAGACCCTTCACCAAATCCAGATTGAGGCTGAGGCTAAACTATTGCCTCGATTTAATACAATTATGGCAGCCTACATTTAGCGAGATGATAAAGTATAGATCTTCTCTGTCCCGCAGGGTTAGCAAATGCATCATTGATCGCTGTATTGCGCTAATTGGGTTTCCCTGTCATAAACGTGTTTTTGTCCCTGTTCCACCCTGACCAGATGATGATCTCCATAATATTCTCCATCATCGCCTCTCTATTTCTCGCAAACGCGCTCTTTATATCCATGTATCTTTCCAACTTCCTATCAAGAAGCCCCGCGGATCCAGAAGATTCAGAAGAACACATTCCCTGTAATCGTTTCTCTCCGGCTAACCGCTCTGAGGACGCGGCGCTAGAGGATAGGCACTGTGAGGAGATGCGCAAGCTGGGTGCTATATGGTTGATTAGCGAACATGAGTATGTGAGAAGACATTTCATGGATCTCTTGGGTCCCGATCCCGATGAAAAGGTCGTTGTTGTGGGGTGGGTGGGTAGTGATGACGATGAGAAGGGAGGGATTTGGGTTCTGAGCACTACGAGAAGGGAGGCCAATTGTAAGGGCGTCGGGAGGGTTAAGAGCGGGTTTAATATGGAAGAGCGCTGTAGGGTTATTGAAAGCCTTGGGGGAGTGTTTTATGCTAGTCCCATGGACTGTCCAGATCTGGATTTGAGGCCGGCTACTCTGGCCGGCTCGCAGCCTTAGTAAATCCTTCCGTCCTCTATTGACTTATACGTCACATCCCAACTCTCTAATAGATATAACTTCCTTCGTTATCTATGCTACGTACGTTCTTCATGTATCTTCGCAAACATACTATATTGTGTCAGAAGCGATTAACTATGGACCCACTGAGCTTAGCTGAAATCAGTGTTCGCTCTGGCCATACTACCAACAGTCAAGCTGGATAGAGGCAGGTTCATAGCCTTGGGAATGCGACTCCTCAAAGGTGGACTTTTTTGTAATTCTCAATAGCTGATTATGTCTCACTAGGGGTTGCCTGGCCTGTAGTCAGAGGTGAGTCCGTATTCATACTTAGGTTCCGGTTATCTTATCGCAAAATCTTCCCTCCCTCTCCACTTCTTCCACTTCTTCTCCTCTTCCTTCATCCCCATCCTTGACGATCTCTCCCTGACTCCAGCAACAATGGCAGCTCAGGCCACTGAGAAGCTGGAACAGCTCGACCGTGAGACATTTCTTTCCTGACGCTCGCCTGTTGTATGACTGATCCCCGGACCCGCAGTGAACGGCCAGAACGGCGCCGCCAAAACGGACGCCGCGACAGCCGCTCCTGGCGAAGCAGAGGACGACTCTGACGATGATCAAGAAGAAGGCGACGCTGCCCCAGATGCCGCAGCGACCGGAGGTGAGTTGATGAGTTGATGGTCTCCCACATTCCGTTATTCTATTCTTCCCCCGCCTTCCGCTGCTTCACCCCACCCACACGACCAAACCCAATAACAAATCCGGTAGCCGCCAAAAAGAAGAAGAAGCGCAAGCCCAAGAAGAAGAAGAAGGGCGGTGCCAAGGCCCAGAGCTCTCCGCCACGGGTGCCCGTGGCCGACCTGTTCCCGAACAACCAGTTCCCCGAGGGCGAGATCGTCGAATACAAGAACGAGAACGCCTACCGCACCACCAACGAGGAGAAACGATACCTCGACCGCATGAACAATGATTTCCTCCAGGAGTACCGCCAGGGTGCCGAGGTCCACCGCCAGGTTCGCCAGTACGCACAGAAGAATATCCGGCCCGGCCAGACCCTGACGGAGATCGCGGAGGGTATCGAGGACTCCGTGCGCGCCTTGACCGGCCATCAGGGTCTGGAGGAGGGCGATAACATCAAGGGCGGCATGGGTTTCCCCTGCGGTCTGAGCATTAACCACTGCGCGGCGCACTATACCCCGAACGCGGGCAACAAGATGGTCCTGCAGCAAGGGGATGTGATGAAGGTGGATTTCGGGGCGCAGCTGAACGGTCGCATTGTCGACAGCGCGTTTACCATGTCGTTTGATCCGGTGTATGATCCGCTGCTGGCAGCCGTCAAGGATGCTACCAACACCGGTATTCGGGTATGCTCCGTATTTCATCCCACCTGTCCTGTGTATTTCTCACCCGTCTCTAGGAAGCTGGAATTGATGTCCGCATGAGCGATATTGGTGCGGCTATCCAAGAGGCCATGGAGAGCTACGAGGTCGAGTTGAATGGCACCATGTACCCGGTGAAGTGCATTCGCAACCTCAACGGACATAACATCGACCAGCACGTTATCCATGGCGGCAAGAGTGTACCTATTGTCAAGAGCAGTGACCAGACGAAGATGGAGGAGGGCGAGGTCTTTGCCATCGAGACGTTCGGTAGTACCGGCAAGGGCTACGTGCGGGAAGATGTACGCCGGTGCTTTACCTACTTATTTTGGATCAATATACTAACGTTGCTAATAGATGGAAACCTCGCACTACGCTCGGACACCAGATGCACCTAATGTGCCTCTGCGCCTCTCATCGGCCAAGAATTTGCTGAGCGTGATCAACAAGAACTTCGGCACCCTGCCCTTCTGTCGGCGGTACCTGGATCGGCTGGGCCAGGACAAGTATTTGCTGGGCCTGAACAACCTGGTCTCAGCGGGCATTGTGCAGGACTATCCGCCTCTCTGCGATATCAAGGGCTCCTACACCGCCCAATTTGAACATGTACGTTTTTGTCTGCTTCCTTTTTCTACCGGGGTCTCACTAACTTTATTATCACAGACTCTTGTGCTGCGGCCGAACGTAAAGGAGGTGATCAGCCGCGGCGACGACTATTAAATATCTGTCAGGTTTATAAAATAAATGGTCTTTCTCTGATACTTCCATGTAATTGTCACAATCGCCTCCTATTTATAGTTGGTGCCAAGCCCATCCACCGCCCGTGCCGGGTCACCCCACGTGGATCTTTTGTTTCACTTCTTGTTTCTTCACTTCTTCCCTTCGATGTAGACCTGCACACTCGTTTTCCCTCCCCATGTCTGCAATCGAAACAGCCTCGCCTCACCTCCGGGTGTCCGCGAAGACATCCGCATCCACCACCTCCGCCTCCGCCTCCACACAACCCGCTTCGACCAGAATCCTTCCGCCGCAGGCCTCGGCGGTTGAAGACCACTTCTTCTGGACATACACCGAAGAGCCGCACCGCTCACGGCGGCAAGCGATAATCAAGGCCCATCCGGAGGTATGTTTACTCCTTCAGATTCAATTCTCTCACGGGAGTTGAGATCCAAAGCAACACCCTTCCTAGCTCCCTAACCCTCCCTGCTTAACGCTAACCCTCCTATTTCCATTCAGGTCACCAAACTCTGCGGCCCAGAACCATTAACGAAATACGTCGTCCTCGCCGTCGTCTCCACCCAACTCACATGCGCCTATCTCCTCCGCAACACCTCCATGCTCGACTGGCGCTTCCTGGCAACCGCCTACGTGATCGGAGCAACGGCAAACCAGAATCTTTTCCTGGCCATCCATGAAATATCGCATAACCTCGCTTTCCGCTCCGCTCTGGCCAATCGGCTGTTGGCTATTTTTGCGAATTTACCTATTGGGTTGCCGTATAGTGCTGCCTTCCGGGTGAGATTCTTCTTTCCCAAGGGACATACATACTCTCAATTTCAACACACAACATACAATATCTAACATGAAACATATCAGCTAATAAAAATATCCCACAGCCCTACCACCTAACGCACCACAAATCCCTCGGCGTAACAGGCCTCGACACCGACCTCCCCACCGCACTGGAAGCCTTCTTCCTCAACTCTCTCCTCGGCAAAACCTTCTTCTGCACCTTCCAGATCCTCTTCTACGCCGTCCGCCCAATGTTCATCTACAGCCCGCCCTTCACATCCATCCATCTCCTCAACCTCGCCGTGCAGCTATCCTTCGACTACGCACTCACCCGGGTCAGCGGCGGCTCGCTGCAGCCTGTGCTGTATCTCCTGGCTAGCTCGTTCCTCGCGGGTTCGCTGCACCCCTGCGCGGGGCATTTTATTGCTGAGCATTACTTCTTTTCGAAGGCGCAGGGTGGGGGGACAGAGAGTCTTTCTGAATTGAAAACTGCATCTGCTGGTGCCGACAAAGATGCCCCAGAGCATCCATTGGACTCGCTCCCCCCGCCAGAGACGTACTCCTACTACGGGCCCTTGAATATACTGACGTATAACGTGGGCCTGCACAACGAGCACCATGATTTCCCCGCTATCCCCTGGACAAGACTGCATGCGCTCCATGAGATGGCGAGGGAGTTCTACGAGCCGCTGCCTTGTCATCGGAGCTGGGTGTGGGTGATCTGGACGTTTATCCTGGATAAGAATGTTGGGCCGTGGTGTCGCGTGAAGCGGGCGCAGGGTGGGCGTGTTGTTGGTGGTGGAGGAGGAAACAGTACGAAGAAGAATGGCACTGGTGGGCGTGGTGGGGAGGGTATCTCTGCTGCGTCGGCGGGTCCGGCAGGAGAGGAAGGGGATGGGTGGAAGGAGAGTGAGATTCAGTGCTAGAGTAATCTTCTTTTTACCGGTTTTTTCAATGCAATCATCATATAGACTTGACCACTGCCTACATACCAACCTCTATGAAGCTACGACGGTGACTAGGGAAAGAGAAAAGAGTATCTTGCGAGGGGCTTGCTTGGTGTTCGTCTATCACAAAAGACAAAATCGAAAACGAGCCGCTCAGTGCCGTTCATCGTAACGTGTTATTAGACAAGATAGGAAAGAAAAATGGAAAAAGAAAGAAAGGGCAGCAGAACAGGCGTCGAGCTTCCAGAGGATTCAGAACCGGTCTTGGAGAGATAGGCAGCCAGCCAGACAGCACGACAGGGGATTGTAAAATAAAGTATCGATACCGGGAACAAGAAGAAGGGTAAACAGAGAAGAAGGGCTGATGCTGTCACGAAACAAAAAAAAGGAAGATGGAGCTCTTTAAGAGACAAGACACAAAGACAGAAAAGTCGTCGGAGACGTGACGTGATCGGAGAGGCCATGAGCACGCAGAGTCGAGAGGAAAAGGGCTAGAAAAAGAAGTATGCGATCAAGAAGCTGATCAGGCACAACCCCGCCACGATCTGGAGGGGTACACCCGACGCGGACTGCGAATGCTGCTGCTGCATAGCAGCGGGGGGAGCATTGCCGCCAGCCTCGACGCCAGTCTTCCGCTGCCGCAAGCCCTGATCTGCCAGGCGGTCCTTGAGCCGCTGGATCTGTTCTCGTGCATCGGAGAGCTGGGCCTGCATTTCACTTGGGGATTGAGAAATGCTGGCCACGGCGGACTTGGCGGTTGCGATGGACGAGCTGAAGTTCTCGTGCGACGACTGAGGGGAGGACTCGGATTTGACGGGCTTCTCGGAGAAATTGGGAGGAGGGAGCGGGGAGGTGTCATCAGTGCTCTTCTTCGTCGACAGGCCTGGGGCGGGGGTTTCGAAATTTCCGCCGGGGGAGTTGTAGGCCGGGGGCTCATCGTCGAGGGTCTGGAGTTATATCAGTTTGAGAGCGTCGGGGGGAGAGAGTTATTGTTTATTTACCTCGCCTGTGCCGGAGCCCGCGGTAGCATCAGATGGCAGCCAGCTCACGCGGATCTTGCGCTCCACCACAGAAGACTTGGGGGTTTTCTCAAACTGCAGGGCATCATTAGTTTAGGAGCCTAAACATTGAGTGGGATGTCTGGACACACGATCGATGTAACGTTCGCAAACTCCATGTCATGAGTGACCGACACAGACTGAACCAGGAACTTGTCCTTGCACTTCGCATCCAGTGCTGGCTCCTCCTTCATGGCCTGCAGTAGAACTATACAAACCCATCAGCACGTGCGAGTTAAAAAAAGGCGAGTGTAAACCAACCCTGAACATCGACACTCTTGCCGGGCTCAATGCGGCCGGAATTGGGGCGCACGCAGTAACTGCAAGATGGTCAGTCAACATATCTCGAGGTATGCAGTCGCACAGGACCGCAGAGTGGCCACATACTGCTTCGGGGCGGTGGTTTTAACCTGTTGGCCGGAAAAAGCACACATGTCAGAAGATGACAAATGCCGAGGGAAGCAAGAGGAAACGTACCTTGAACACTACGGCCTCCTCGTTCAGATTGCGCAGATGCAGGACCTGGCAAACTTCATGGTTGAATGGTCCTACACCGCAGAGACAGGTTAGCAAGGCACCGCGGGAGAGGTCGCGGGCAGGGCGGGCACGGCCAACTCACGCTTGAAGCTCAGCTCGGGGGGATCGATTTCCATAGACATGGCGGGCGTCGATTCGTTGGACAGATGTATGGAAGGAAAGGAAAGACGGAGCAGCACGGAATAGTGCGCGCGAGTTGCGAACACCGGGGAAGAAGGCAGTCAAGGGCGTCGAGTTGATCAGGAGTTGAGTTGGTTTGGTTGGCTGGCCAGACATGAGCAGTGCTGACTCAGCAAACAGTCATGTGATGTCACTCGTGCAGGCAGTGATATGATTAGTTTATACCGTAGATTGAGTTGTTCTCATTACATGTAGTAGATTGCATGGTTTATAATTTTTTTTCCGGCACTGTACACATGCCGAGTGCATGTGATGTCGCTGTGGAGAGAGGCATAATTCTGTTGACTTCTGAAACTCGCCTATCTGGTTTAACTATGGCGTGGTACCGTCTTCCCGGAGTCAGAGCTTGAACCTAGCTAGAGCGACATAATAATTCTAATAAATATTTTAAAATGGCATATCCGGACCATACATACATCTTACATAGTCCTGAAAATGGCCGAGAGTAATAATAATGTTGTTGCTAGCGGGGCCATGCCATCCCGCAATCTGTCGCTCGCCGCCTTTCCCTGATACGTCAGTCACCCAGAAGCTGCTCTCTCCTCCACATCAACTACTACATTCAACACCACCTGCTTCCAATCCATCCCTCTTCTCTCAACCGGGAGTAGCTTGTGGCCAGCTACCTCACCTCACCTCACCTCACCCATCTACCATGGCATCCGACCTGGACCAGCTCATTGAGATGGGCTTCGACAAGGAACGTGCACAGCTGGCAGTCTCCAAGACCGGGGGTCGTAAGTCATCTCGCCCCATACAAATACCGGTCTAATTACCTGGGCAGTGCAAGGCGCTCTCGAATGGCTCGAAACAAACCAGGACAAATCGCTAGAGGAGATCAAGGCCGAACAAGAGGATGACGAGGGCGGTCCCGCCTTGAAGCCAGGCGAAGAGGCGCGTAGCCTGGTGTGCAACGACTGCGGCAAGAAGTTTCGTAGCCAAGCACAGGCCGAGTTCCATGCATCCAAGTCGCAGCATGTCGATTTCTCCGAGTCGACCGAGGATATCGCCCCTTTGACCGAGGAGCAGAAGAAGGAGAGACTGGAGGAGTTACGGCAGAAGCTGGCGGCGAAACGCGCCGTGCAGTCGGAGCAGGATAAGATCGATAAGAAGAGGAATGAGGTACGTTTGGGATTCCGCGTTTCGGGTCGCATTCTAGCTAATATCCTCCCCAGGAGATTCGGAGAAAGAGCACCAAGGAGAGCCAGGACGCCAAGGAGGAGCTGCAACGGAAACAGCAGATGAAGGAGGCTGCGGCAAAGAAGCGGGAGAAGATCGAAGAAGCGGAGGCGAAGAAGAGGATCAAAGCCAAGATCGAGGCGGACAAAGAGGAGCGCCGGCTGAAGGCTGAGCGCGAACGAGCTGAACGGGCTGGCGTGGCTCCTCCACCTCCGCCCGCGGCAGCTCCAGCGCCGACCACATCGGGCCCCGTTGCGTCCAAGCCTGCTTCCGCCTACACCGAGACTCGCATGCGTTTCCAGACCTCGAAAGGAAATGTGATGAAAACATTCCCGGTCACCACCACACTGTTTGAGGTTGCGGCAGCCCTGAAAGCGGATGAAGGTCTCGATGTACAAAGCTTCACTCAGAACTTCCCCAAGAAGGTGTTTGATGCAGAATACTTTGGAGAGAGTCTGAAGGAGCTCGGGCTCGTGCCTAGCGCAAGCCTTGTCGTTCAATGAGTGGGCCGATATTCAGGTTCTTTTTTACTTGCATCCAACTAAGGAAAACGAATGAATTCCCACCCGCTGTGTCAATAGCTTTGTAATTCTAATAGACTCATTATACTCGACGCGATAAGAGCTTGATTATCACCACGTGACCTCGCGACTTGCCCGCGTCGGCTGATAGAGACGCGACAACACGCCCTCCACATCCTCTAAATACCCACCTCAACTCTCCTACCCCATTGCCAGAATATGCCAGCGTGAGCCCTACAGGAATTTATAACATAACTCATGGACGCGAGCACTGATCGCAACTCTCCCAGTGTCGGCGACCAACACCGCAGCAACCCAGGATGCATCATGATGCCCAACGCACCAGTGGCGGCTAGCACAACGAACAACCCATTCGAGGAACCCCAGCGCCGGGTATCCGAGTACACCGCCCAGGAAATCGCCACGCTGCAAGCACGGCTCGATAAGAAACTTGGCCCCGAATACATTTCCTCGCGACCTGGTGCCGCGGGGACGAAGGTGCATTATCTTGCGGCCGACAAGTGTATCAATCTTGCAAACGAGGTGTTTGGATTTAATGGCTGGTCCAGTTCGATTCAGAATGTTCAAATTGATTTTGTGCGTTGCATCTTATACGCTTTGTGACGAGAGATTTGAGCTGATTTCGGCTCATTCAGGTCGAGGAGAATCCGAATACGGGCAAAATTAACCTGGGACTGTCCGTGATAGTCCGAGTGACTCTGAGAGATGGTACTTTTCACGAGGTAATACGTTCAGTCCCTCAACTAGGGTCCCTGGGCTGATTGGTCTGCTAGGATATTGGATACGGCCACATCGAGAACTGCAAGGGCAAGGCGGCAGGTTTTGAGAAGGCCAAGAAAGAAGGGACGACAGATGCCTTGAAACGCACTTTGAGGAACTTTGGCAACGTCTTGGGCAACTGTGTCTACGATAAGGACTACGTTTCCAAGGTGACTAAAATCAAGGCTGCACCAGTAAGGCACCCTTCAAGGTCCTGCTTTTTCATACTCACTGTGGGTTATAGGCCCGATGGGATATCGATGATCTCCATCGTCACCCTGACTATGCGCCAGTCAAGAAGGAGCCCGCTTCTCTGGTGAAGAGAGAGCCTGTCCCACAAAATCGGTCGCAGGAGGACGATGATCTTCTTCCTCCTCCCCCTCTTCGACCAGTAGGCGCTGCGAGTCACAGCAATGTTGAGAGTAATGCTATATTTGAGGCTGATGGCGAGTTTGGCAGTATGCAACATAAATCATCTCATCAAAGACCTTGCTGATCATACACAGGCGACCTGTTCGATGAAGCCGATTTCGTGGTGACGAACACAGGAAATCCTGATGAGATCACAATAGACCCAGACACTAATAGACGACAGCAACCACCCACACCGCTCAATGGCCATGGTCCACAGCGAGGGCCCCTGGGAAGATTTGACGCAGCTGCTGTCACTCCTTCAAAGCCAGATAGATGGAGTGCGGCTGGAACAGCTGCCAGACTGCCACCACCAGGTCCTCAGAATGCACGGCAAAATCCGCCAGCTATTTCCGATCAATCTACAGCCCAACGACAACCTATACCTGGACCGACGAATGCTGGGCCATCAGCAGCACCCCAGCCACACCCCCCTCATAAAATTAATGCTCAGCCGCCAGCAAAAAGAGAACCTGGGCCAGCCGTCAATCAAGACATGCGTCCACCACAGAGCACCCCGTCCACAGGATTCTACTCCGCGCGAGCAGTGGATCTACTCCGCGATAATCCTAGCGGCGCACCACCGGCGGCAGCACCCCAATTCGACCCACACGCCGAAAGCCCCTCGATCCGCAAAACCGCTGGGGTGGACCACAGCAAGAGCCTCCCAATCTCCAAACCCATGCTCACCGGTGGCTCTCCCTCTGGATCATCTTCCCGCGACTTCGTCAACCCTGCTGCAGATATGCAGCGCCGAGTCGGTGCTCCTGGTGGCATTCCTGGAGGTGGAATTGGTAGTCCCATAAACCGCGGCCCGTCTACTTCTTCATACCGTCCCTTGACGCGGCCAAATGTCGATGCGCGGAACTCGCCTGGCCCTCCAGCGGCAATCAATAGAGGGGACAGTGTTCCTCCACATCCACAGACCATGAATGTGAACGGCAAAAGACCACCCCTGAGCGACGTCACAAATGCAAATGCGTCTCCCGGTTCACATCCCCCTCCTGCAGCCCCTCCAGCACCGGGACCGAACGATCCTAAACGGCCGCGTGTTTCTGATACTGCACCGCAACAGCATCCACAGCAATAACAACCTCCGCGGCAATAGGCGTGGATTTTCCAAATGTCGGCTGGTATACCGGTCAAGAAAGTTGAGATATGTTCATCACCCTTCGGTTGTTTTATCTTGTACTTTCGTTCGTCCATTTCGAGGCGTCTGTTATTCTTATGGTTCTTATATTGCCATGGTAGCAAGGGAAAGAAAGGGCGTTATGGAGTCTGGGAAGTGAACGGATTCGCATCAATTAGTTATGTTGATGGGATGGGTTTCTTGTTTTCTCTCTCTCTCTCTCTCTTTTGCTCTGATCCTGAGCTTTGCGTGTTCATTTTGTCTCGTTACTCCACATAATTGTTATTTCGACAGCTAGTCAAAGGGCGGTATGTACTTAGGATTAGGCTGAGGATTGTCATCGTGTGGCGAGAACGTCGGATTTAGAAATTTCATCATCAATCAGTCCCATTATCCTCCTTGCTTCGAAGCTGGGGTTGGAAGTATGAATTGGGCTTATCTATCTTAATTTCTAGATCAGGTCTTCCTTGGATCAAACAGTCTTCCTTGGATCAAACAGTGGACGTGAGTGATTTGCTGGTGATTCGAACTCTATGTAATAGGTGAATGAGATTAGTAGTAGTAGTAGTAGTAGTAGTAGTAGTAGTAGTAGTAGTAGTAGTAGTAGTAGTAGTAGTAGTAGTAGTAGTAGTATAGTAGTATAATGGGTAAATTACTGGCCCAGTATTCGTTGTAGCTCTTCTTACGCCGTCCTGGAAAACCCAATTGCTTTGATGGAATCGGGATCTATGGTGGGAATCTATAACAGAGAATGAGAATCAAGAGCACTTCCGCGTCAATCATCCGGATTGCTGATATTCTGCTGAAGCCAGTCCCTCCACCCCTGGTCACTCAAGATAGATCTCACACGGGCCTCAAGCCACTCTGTATTCCCCCAGAAGCCCCAAGACGCCTGGAATCGACACCAGTCAACGAGTGCCGTCTCCCAATGCCGCCTGAACGCATCCCATTCATACATGCCCTCGTCTTGATTGCGGAGGAGATGTGCGCGGTACCGCGTTAGAAGTCCCCTCTCGCCCTCACACATGGTCAGCTTCTCGGGGAAAGGCTCATGCTCATGCCAAGCATCATCAACAAGCATACGCAGAGGAACCGAGCACGTAAACAATTTGGCGAGGTCACAGACTCCAAGACCGAGGCCCACGTATTGGAAGTCAAAGAACGCCACCTGTTTTCCACTCGTTGTCGTGAAGAGATTCTCCGACTTGACGTCGCCGTGGATGTACGACTCAATGGGTCTTCCGCGGGGTGTTAAGAACAATGCAGCCATTTCGGCAATGGATAGTGAGGAGGAGGCACCTTCTGAAGCCGGACTGCACAGGGCTTCGCACCACTCCGAGCAGGTATCCTGAGCTAGGGAAGCGTACTCTGTACCTCGTGTCGCGAGATACGTGTACCCCCCGTTAAGCCACAGTCGACTCCCAATAATGGTATCCTGCTTGCCTACACGCTGCCGTCTGGCAGATTCTTCAAGCGGTGGCAGGACATATTCCTCCAGACTATCAGGCAGCAACAGACCCCATGAGCGGCCATGGAAACCAGCCAACCAATCCAGCGCCCCACGCACCTGTGTGCTGTTCAGTACACTCCTTTTTTCGCCCGCGACTGGAAATTTCATGCGCAGATCAACCATGATGGTAGCCATCAGACCGCGGAGTTCTTCCTCACCCTCCTGCTCGCCGCGCACGTCTCGCGTCGAGGCAAGGCATTTCGCAACGGCGACCTCGTCGCCCAGACATGGGACCACATCATGGTAGAAGTACTGCTCCACCTCGTAGCTCAGCATCTTTCGCAGGTGGCCCTCATCCTCATCCTCAGTGCTGCCACTTTGCCTTGGCGGCGAGATGAGCTTGAGGATGAGAGGGTATGTGGTCCCAGCGGTTCCTGATTCCACACCGCAAAGCGCGCTGAGATGCTTCGCTGCTTCGTTGGTGAGAGCTCTGGCGGTGATGGCGCAGATCTGTCCATAACCTGCCCATAGGGTCTGTAGAGTGGTGCATGAGACGAGGTCAAGCGAGTGCCACGATAGCATGATGCTGGCGACCCGGTCGGGGTCATTGGCGGGGGCCATGGTGACTGAAGATCGGTCAATCCAATTACTGCAGGCCAAGAGCTGGATATCTGGATATTAACATGCGGTGGGTTTTGGACGACGTGAGATGTGACCAGCGAAATCCATGGTGGATCTGTAATGCTGCCGGGCGGCACGTGATGTACCTCCCTCAGTAAACAGGAGGCTTAAAACGGCGTTAAGGGGAATGTAGCTATAAAAACTAAGAACGAGCGGATAGGTGGCTCACAGTGTAAGTTGAATATGAGGTACTCCAAAAGCGTGAGATGTTGGGTGTAGGATTACCAAATACAATGCAGAGTGACTTGCTCCCCGCAGCGTTGATAATGGGCACCTCCCCCTATACATGAGCAAAAATAAAATGATACTGGACAAGAGTAGAGAGGCTGTCCCTAGAAATGGACAGAAGATTTGACAGTACGCTAACATTTTTCATTCATTGAGCAGTATTTGCACTACTCTTAAATAAACAAGCCCTTCCAAAGCGGGAGGCAAAGACACAGGACGAAAGAAGACCCCCTACGAGGAAGGCGAAAGTACATGGCGGGTGGGAGAAACAGGGAAGAAACAGAGGGGAAAAGAAGCCAGTGGGGAAGTTGACGACGACAAACAACTTTGATGTGGCCGAGAAAAGACGCTCATCACAATTTACTGGAAAATTCGCGACACAGCGAGTTTCGACTCCTTGCGAGGGGGGATTGTGAATGGCTTGGGGCCAAGTACAGTAGGTTCAGAGGATGATTTGCTCCCCTCCTTGGGTTGCATGCTGGACATTGGCTGGTACAGTCCATCGGAGGAGGACGCGAGAGGGATTGTGAACGGCTTGGGACCAAGCACAGCAGGTCCACAGGATGGCTTGTTCTCCTCTTTGCGTGGCACGCTCGACATCGACTGGTACAGACCACCTGAGGATGCGGAGGTTGGCTGCTCGGTTCCGACCATGCAAGGAGGTGGAGAGAGCCTAATAGTTCGATCACTGATTTGGTTCGGCTCCGCCTGCTCAGGAGCATCTGGCATTGGAACATCTCGAACAGGAATATTCTGAGAGCGCTGAGGCAGCGACGGAACCCGGGCAGAAGGGTTAAACGGGGCAACGCCGAGGACCTTGGTCTTACCGAATTCAGTCACTTGGCCAAGTGGCCGATCGATTGGCTGACTGATTGCAGTGTACAGTGGAGGACCGGTGTACATGGGAACGCCAGGAGTTGCGTATATGGATTTGTTCAACGAATTGACTCGCTTTTTCATTTGAACACTGGGGGACTTGGTTTTTGGGCTCGTAACAGGTGGCACAGTCTCCGAGACCGTAGGTCCTTTCACCGCAGGCTCTGGCCCAGACTTCTTCACCGGGTCAATAGTATGGGGCGCACGATCAGGCGATTCAGACACTCGGAGTGTGTCAAAGGGTGGTATATTTGCGGAGAAAGCAGTTTTGGGAGGAGTACCTGGTAACTCCTGTGCCTCGGGAGGTGAGTCTGACCCAGAAGATGGGATACGCACCGGAGACCGATACCGCGAGAACGATGGATGATTCATTGCTGCATCTCTAGAGATAGCACCAGATTGGGAAAGCCATTTCTGCATCTTCGTGATCTCGTCAGTCCTGGTCATGCCGGGTGTTGTTGGAGCTCGAATTGGACTGCCCGGCGCGGTGTGCATGATCACAGAAGGAGAGGATCCCTGAGGTGTCACGATGACTCGTTGCGATGCCGATTGAGACTTCACAGATGAGCTGAGGGCCTTCGTGACATGTGATTCAAATTCTCTTCTGTAGTCATTCATTTGTTTCAGGAACTCGTCAACCAGTTTCGACATCGCAACCAACCTCGGATCGAGCATTCTTTTGATATCCTGAATGCTTTCAGAGAGAGGCTGCTGCTCAATGTCTTCGCTAGAGACGGAAGGTGTTGCAGAAATGGAGGTTTCCTTCTCCGCTGTATTATGAAGGAGGGTTCGGGGAAAGTCAAGCCCTGTCAAATCCACCAGCGCAGGGCTGAGAACATACTCTGCCGATTCACTTTGAGGGAGTGGTTCTTCTTCAAAATCAAGAAGACGTCCGCTCGAACCTGGCCTAGTGAAATTGTCTTTCTGAGAAAGCGTAGGCTTGGTGTGTGAAATGGCACTTTCTGAGGTCTCCACCGAGGTAGCTTCAGAATCTGACATTTGCGCCGTTCCAGCACGAGCAGCAGCCGTTAGCGCCTGAGCGGCTCTGGCTCTTGCAAGGAATGCAACTTGTCGCTGCAATACTTCCGCACTCGTGCGAGAAGCTTGTTCTTTGGCAGACAAGGCACTCTCTTGGTCTTTGGCAGCCCGGGCTTTCTCCCGCTGTTCGATCTTTCGAGCCTGAGCGGCTTGGTGCTCGGAGACAGCCTTTTTATCTTGGAAAGACGGGACAATGTAGTGCTGCATTGCATATTTGTTCTGGTCTTCCGGAGCGGTAGCCTTCAGCACCGCCTGCCGAGTCCTGTCTGCCTTGGCTTGCATAGTGAGCAAAAGTTCGACCGGGTATTTCATCTGTGGATTCCGCTTCGCAGACACATCTACCTTTTCAACTGGCGCAGATGATGGCGTGGGTCGAGTGGTAGCAGTAGCAGTAGTAGTAGTCATGGCAGGCAGACAAACTATAGGTCGAGCTTCCGCGGTCTTGGGATATGAGGGAATTGTGATGGAAGGAAGCAGCGTAGCCTTCGCTGTAACGGCAGACGGAGCAGTCGTAGTAGCAGGAGCCTTGATTACTTTGCCCTTGGAGTTCACAGGCACGGCGACCGGAATGGAGATTTCAGGCCTAAACGAGGGAGGGGGACGCTTCGCTTTCGGAGTGATAGTAACGGACGCAGATCTCTGAGCTGGAGAGGTGGCGGTTGCAGGAGAGATGTTGGAAGGCTGAACCGGGCTATGAATCGAATCCAAGAATGCCTGGGGGGTACTGATGTGTCGGGAATACTCAGCGCTGTGCGGATAAGGTTAGAACGGGAGGACTGGATTGAGGAACATGAAGTACATACGCAGGTCGCGTGCGTCGGGGCATTGGGACTGGTCTCCTGCCCTCTGAGGATATGTGTCAGTGCTGTGTCGTTCTGCGATCCCTGGGTCACTTACCAAAACCGCGTTCTTTGCCACTAATTTTTCTGAAAGATCCCTTACCGCGATAAGGGCTAGACACAACATCGTTATTGGTGTCAAGAGCAGGGTCCAAATGGGTCGATGTAGCTGAGGCATAGGAGGCACGTGGATGTGGGCTGGTGGCAGCTCCATGGTACGAAGCTCTGGAAGGTCTTGTTTTGTGTGAGTCTGGAGACAATGAAGCAACAGGAGCTGCCCAAAAGGTTTCTTACCCGTGAGGAAGTCCGCGTCCTCGAGTTCCCATGACACCACCCCCACGACCGGCGGACTGCGCTGGCATCGGGTGATGGCCATGGCGCTGAGTATGAAGGAACTCATAGCTGGCAGACAAGTGAGCGCGATGGTTCTGGCCTTGGAGTATGTCATTCAATTCTTCAACTTCCCCAGTGTCTTTGACGGTCTTGTACAGGTCTGTTGGGGAATTTGATTAGCCAATTGAGTGATAGAGGGTGGTGATTGAGGCACTTCTGATAGAGAGGGGGGGGGGGGGGGGGGGGGGGGGGGGTAGTTGACGACAGACCGCGGTGTATACAAGATAGTAGAGGAGATATATGGGCAGTGGCTTACTTTTCCATTCCTCAAGCTGCACCCTGTTCTCTTCAGCAAGGCGCTGAGCCTTGGTCCCAGATATATTCGACTCCCTGGTTGTTTCGATGTAGGCGAGATGGACCGAGGCCTGTCTGCGAGGATCGTCTGCCGTGGAGATCCGTTCGCGTCTCGCAGTGCCCAGATCAGCCTGGTGAGTTGTCGAGTGAGTATACCATGGCTCAGGGGCAGGTGGAGATTCATTGGGTTGACTTACCAGCTGTAGCTTGCGAAGCCTTTCGCTCGCCTCCGGATCCATCGAGATGTGTTGCTGGGGGATTTCTTGTGTGGTTCTGGAGATGTCAAAAAGAGAGGATTAGAAGTGGATTGGATGTAAATGAACATAACAGGATTGTGGGAAGGGGAGAGAAAGTGAGGTGCGGAAAGGGAAGAAGGGAAGCAAACAGGAAAGGCGTGGAAGGTCTTTGTAGGTATTGCAGGACTGGCAACCATGGCAGACAAACACCACGTGAAATGTATTCCATGCCAATCCTCGAAGGAATTCCTGATCAAGCTCTGGATAAAGGAAATGCCGCCTTTTCAGTGAATGAAAATAAAGCTTGCGCAACGACAGTAATTCGAATGATGCATGCAGACTCCATACCTATTTACGGAGCAGATATGTACAGGATGCTCAACACAAGTAAATCTATAGCTGATAACAATGCAATTCGCTCTCAAGCCCCACACGTCTCAGCGCCTCCCTTATCTGCAATGGTCACTCAAATTAGCAAGTGCTGACAGACACGCTGGGGACCACGGGGAAAGTCATACTACTGATAATCTTTGCAACAGCCTGTACGATGCTAACGCCCATAACAATCAGCCCGAAAGCAACGCACGCATAAGCGGGGATCTTAGCCCGCCGGCTGGCGCTGCTCAGTTTGATATAGCATAGCGGAGGGAAGATGTACGCCAGTGCGGCGGCGCTGGTTGCGCCGATCAGCTCGAAGACGCTGCCCAGGTCGCACGTTATCAGGGCGAGAATCACGGATGTGACGACCAGTGCCGAAGTGAAGATGAGGTGGCGGTTCATATTGAAGGGCTCGTCGGGGAAATAATAGGTTGTCATGACGGATCGGCAGACGAAGGCCTCGAGTGGTAGGGTGGTGAGCATGTTTAAGCCGAAGCAGCTGATCAAGAAGAGCGAGCGAGTCAGTGCAAATGATAATTGGAGGGAATATGTTTCTTACAATCGGGCGATGTTGACCAAGATGTTGTTAGATGGGAAGTTGTTCAATACGTTGCCTTGGGTTTTCGATCCGAAGGATAGAAAACCCGCAATGCCCATGGCAAGGCACATTATCAGCGAGACTCCGGTGGAATAATGGGTGACCTTGGTAAAGCGGTCGAGGGTCGGCCGTTTCAAGGATCCATAGATCAAAAGACTATTGTGGTCTTTTGAATGTGTTAGTTCTTTACAACTGCCAGCGAGGAAGCAGTAACATACGGCAGACAAACGCTGCGACCTGTTAGCAATCACTTCAATTCTGAGCAGGGAAGGATGGCATACCGAAAGAAATCACTCCCACCGCTTGGAAGAAACCCGAGTTGATGATGAGGTGGCTTTTGATTTCTCCACGAGAATCAGAGGGCACGCGGAATCCCTGCGTGATGACCGTGACAACAATGACAATCATGCTAACCAACGCCAGGGCAGATGCTTTTGCCAACTATCGGTATGTCAGCTTTGACGCATATCGAAAACGGGCGAGAGGCCTCACCTTGGCAATGTCCCGGTAAAGAGACAATGGGTACGAGACACCCATAACAAACAATACAATTACAGCCCGTCGATCCGTGAGAAGCCAGAGGATGGACATCTCTCGCAGGGACGGGAACAACGCGCTCAACACATGGGGAATGGTATCGCCGACGATGATACAAAAGGCAACCATGCCGCCAAAAGCAAAGGCCCACTGTGCCACAGAAATAGCAATGAGACCGCTTTTCCCGAAGCAGTATTGCATAGTCGCCTGGAAGGAATCCGCTCCGCTTAGCTTGGAGTTGACCACAATCAAGCGGATCGTCCAGTCCACCGTGACAGTCAATGCAGTGAGCAACAGGATCCCCATAACCATGCCGGCCTGCCGGAGCGCATACGGTTGGCCAATTATCCCAGCCCCGATGATGCTGTTGGCCATGTTCATAAACGCCATCTTCATTCCACTTCGCGGACGAGCATTCTCAAGGTGGTCTTCGGGGAAAAAGTCGTCTGAGGTGGCCAGGGTCACGCTAGGGGCCTCGATGTCCGTGAGAAGAGGAACTGTCTGTCCTGTATGGCGCGCGCCTCGCGCGCCCTGGCCTCCTAGCTCATAGTCCTCGTCATCTAGCCACAGCTCATCATCCGGGCTGTGAGCATGGCCATTCGAATGGCGATCGTCCCCTGCTGTTGCCGACTCTTCATCGATGTCAAACCGGACATGGTTCATGGTCCGAGGTGTGCGACGCTGCCCGTCTGCCGTCGGTTGAGAAATGGAGGATTGGCGCAAGCCATTGGACGCGTGGCGTGGAGGAACGGAAGGCGGACTGGCGTCTACGTCGTCGGAGAGCAAGGACTGAGCCTCCAGCGCGTCCGGGCTCTGGGGCGCAGACAAGGCATGCTCGTGCGTGTCATCCCCGGGCATCGCTGACCGTGGCGATCAAAGAGAGAGAGAGAGAGAGAGTTGACATTCCACGGGTTGCGGCCAGGCCGGCTGATATGGTCTGGGGCTGCACGTGATGGGCCTTATCCGATAAGCGCTTTGTTCCATTCAAGTGTGTTTTGGGCAAAGACATCGTGGAAGTGCCGATGAGGAATGATTTTGAGTTGTACAGCTTGTCTTTTGGCTCGATGCTTGGTCAGTCCCTAGGGGAGAAAAGCACATCCACCACCACCAGTACGATCTAGATGCCACCAGAACCATTATCTCGAATATATATTCACATCCTGAGCTCATGTAATTTCCGATCTATATGTATTGAGCTAAAAATGTATCTGATGAGTTGAAACAGGTATTTCACTGATTTTATGCCCACTCTAGGCCGGGTGAATGGCAGACCTGGTCGTGCCACCTGACCAAACACCCTCATCCTCCCTCTAAACCTCTCATTCACTCATGAGCTGAAGGACAATGCAAGCTCCCCATCATGACTTACAAAGTCGACTTGGGTCGCAGTCTCTTCTGCACGATCGATTCTAGTCTCCGTCTCCATCTGGCAGCCTCGGCCCAGTTACGTTTACCACCAACTCATCGAAGCTCTGACATTCCTTTCGACACGAGTCAATGGCTAGCCTATGACGATATTTGGGTGCTACCAGGCCCGCAGCTGGAGTTTTCTTGTCATATTAACGCCGACCCGGTTCTTGAGGGTGCGATCATTGGGTTGAGCTCACTGTTGAGGGACAAGCTTTGTGAGTCGAAGGTATGAGAAAGAATATTTTGTCACTTGAGTCGCTTGCTGATCCTGCGCAATTGTGAAGATTTGGTCGAGTCTCGGATACACTGCGATGCTCAAGGATGGCACCTCTGTCACGAATCCGGATATGTACCGGGATCGGTGCCTTGTGTTCGGTTTGTGCAAGAAGGACGAGACCTCTCCCTTGCGGAAACGCTGGACCTTACCCGATGCAATAAAGAATCCCGTGGATGCCCATCCTCCGGTGGGCGTTCGTACGGTGTACTTAACTTCGGTCGACATCTTCCTGGACTACAGTTACTGCGCGGAGCATTCGCCTCGACAAGAATGGCAATATACCTTCGCAGCACGGGCTCAGACACAGTTTTATTCTGTGATTCCAGCTCCATTTTCCCGATACCCCTACCGTTCAGATTTCGAACCACAAAGCCCTTCCATGCCTGGATACACCGTTGACAGTCCGTTGTCGAGCCAATCGAGCCATTCCTCTTTCTCACAGACAAGCCACAGCCCGCGAACCGACTATACCACCATCCGAAAATCACAAGAACTTCTCCGTTTATTCGATTTCGGGCTCCAGAGATTAATTCTCTCGGGATTCGTCAAAGATCCTCAAGTCCTGGTGTCAGGGCAAGAAACCTTGCACACCCTATCAGGGATAGCGCCTGCAGTCTTCAATAGGGGATACCGTGAGGTAAGGGTCTTTTTCTCAATTTAACAAAAATCCAAGTATCTCACAGTCGAACAGGCGATTAACCAACGAGCGGCATCGTTAAATACCCTCACCAAAGCGCTATCCTCCATGCTCGAGGGCAGCCAAAACCCTGCTATTCAAAATAAAGCATCGGCCCTATTACGTCGAACCTCAAACCCTGATTCCAACATAATTCCAACACAATGCAGCGTACCAGATCTAAAATCCGCGATCTCAACTTCACTCTGGCACATCGCCCAGCAAAAGCTCCACAGGCCTCCAAAGTCAAGAAAACCAACCCCCCTTTCTTGAAATGGGCGCTAAATCAGAAGTGAAGGTGGCACTAGAAGGTTCTGAGGACCTTCCACTTCTCGTTGAACAAGGAATGCAAATTGAGGACCAAGATTTACAACCGGATTACCTCGAAGATACTGATGCCACGGAGTACGAGGAAGACGAAGACGATGATAATTTCTCAGAATTACTTGAAAAAGACATACCCAAAAAACCAGACGATTTGCTACTAGAGGAAACAAGCAGCGAGTCAAGTTTTGTGGACATCGGCGAGTCGACACAGACCACCTTCCCCCATACCGATTCACCATATTCCCTTCTCTTTAGTGACAATGAAATGCTCCTTTTGAACGATGGCGGAGGAAGACAGGACGGGGTTGTTCTATTGTTGGACCGGCAGGATGAGATGCCGGATTCTGAGACGGATCAGATGTTGTGCGGATGATTGTATTGCATATATATGCTCGTGTATACTATAGCTTGTGGCTGTTACAGATACAGGAAATATTGAGAGAAAGAGAAAGCAGAGTATGTAATTCTTCAGGTGTCTCTCCCAAGAGGTGTGTGTGGCATAAAGCCATCGTCTCAGATTCCACCTCCTTGCACCCGCATACGAGCAACACAGAGGTATCTAAGGATATAGAGTTGGATCATCTAGGTATCTATGATAACAATTTCAGTGATAGGAATAGTTGGTATGCAGACGCTTTGAATTGACTGCCAAAATTCCTGGAGTGGGAATATCCGGTGTATATGACTGGTTATGAGCCACTATGGAGCCTCCTCACCGAGTCTAAACATTCGAATGGAGTTATTCCAAGCCCTAGAGACAATACGTTAACAAGAGTTCGAGGGCTAGGAGACAGTCAAGTCTTACGCTTCGCACACTTCTTCCACAGTGATGCCCTTCACCTTGGCAATGACATGCGCAACACGCGCAATGGCCATAGGCTCATTCCGTCCTTTCACCATACAGCCCTTCTGCCATTTCTCCTTCTTAACGGCCTTGGGCATTTCCGGAGCCCCGTCCAGGAACTTCGCCGAGGCGTGCGACGGCCGGATCTCACACTGTTTGGACACCGTCAATGGGTGGTTAATAACACAAGAATGAGATGTACATACCCAGGGACCATCAGTCTCAATCTGCAACCGGTCTAACGGGATGGCTTTCACAACCTCCAGATTCTCCTCGGTCTTCATGCTACACCCGTTAATCCCAACGTCCAGACCCAGGTCTATCATCCGCTGCATCTCTTCCAACGTCCCCGTGAAGCTATGCACAAGGCCCCTCTTAGGAAGCTTTGCTAGTCGGGGCGCAAGAAGTCGTTCAAAGTCTTCGCTGGCAGCTCGGGAATGGAGGAACAGCGGCATTTGAAGCTCGACCGCTAGGTCTAATTGTGCCTCGAAGTATTTGAGCTGCGGCTCCTTCGGGCTGAGGAATAGCCGATCGTAGTCGAGACCAATTTCACCAAATGCTACTGCTCGTCCGGAATCTCTTGCTGAGGTGGCTAGGATGCGCAGATCCTCGAGCATCTTGGTTGCGCCGCCTGGATGCTCGTCGAAATGCTTTGCTTGGCATGGGTGAACGCCGACGGTTGCGTAGCAGAAGTCGGCTGGAAGGTGTCCAGTTAATATCACACCCGAACAGAACTGCGAACGGTTCACTCACGGTATTTGCTGGCAATGTCAACAGCATGCTGCGACTCGACTAGGTCAGACCCGGTCACCATAAACTTTGCGCAGCCCACATCACGAGCGCGTTGGATCACATCGTCCAAGTCATCTTCATGGGCTGTCTTTCCGTGGTATTTGCCTTGGAACACTGGGTCACTGAGATTGATACCGATCTGAGTATTGCGTTTAGCTTCCGGGCGGCCGCCAGGGAAAGAGATAACCTACATCAACATATCGAAGGGGCTTAGGGGTTTCGCCCATGTTCGTCCTGGGTATTTGCTTGTTTAGAGAGGTGGAGAAGTGCTTCTTCGCAGACTCTAGAGGAATGGGTCGCAGAAAACGGCCTGTTCTTCGACAGATAGAATGATTTTCTCGATGAACAAAAGGCTGAAAGACGGTCTGTCCGACCCCGTTCGCTTCTATCGTGAATGTTCTGACGTGAGTCAAGCTCCTCGACACACTACCCACCGCAGACACGAGGTGCATCAGACAGAGCAGCCAATTGAGATGTGTGATGCACGAGTGTCGAATGTTTTCTGCTGACTCACGATCATCGTCAGGCACCAGCCACAGGGCGGAACTGTGGCTGGTGCCATTGCGGCGGTGCTTGTACGGGGGTCAGGTGCTTAGGTAAGAATTTATGGTGTCCGCAGATAAACATGTGGGAGGCCTAACAAGTCCCCTGTCTCTTCTCGACTTCGACTCCGGAGTTGTGAGGAAGCTACGAGCATCCTATGCGGAACATTCTCAGACAATGCCTGCCCACCCCTCAACTCTTTACTAAGACCGAGATACCAAGATATAGAAGATCCGTGGGTTCGACCTATAGAACCATGGGTTCTGGCAATAATGGAGGGTATGTCGTGACTGTTAGTGTGCCAGCCGCGTTGGGTGCGGTGCCAGAAGAAGCGAGTGAGAAGAGCCATTGGGTTAGAGATGAGGCTGGGGGAGTGAGGGGCTTTAAGAATCCGTGGGAGAGTTCTCATGATTTCTCTTTTCCCGAGATATTTAAAGCCATGGTCCAGTAAGACTCCATATGCTATAGAGGCTTCTGATTTCTCAGCAGTCAGAACTCGAATGGCTGATATAGACTTTGCAGACACAAGTTCTTCTCGGGAGACAGCCAGAGGCCTGATACCACGCCGCCAACAGTCTCGGTTACTAAACCCCAGTTCCTCCCGTCTAGAACGAGCTCACACTCACAATCTCTGCGTGCAATATGGCTGGGGCACGCATGCTACTACATTGAGTTTCCCACTGGCCTACGGGTCCTCTTTGACCCCGTGTTCGAAGACCGCTGTTCCCCGTTCTCCTGGCTAGGCCATAGAAGATTCACCCCTAGGCCCTGTGATATCTCTGATATTCCAATAATTGACTGCGTAAGTCCTTATCCTATTCTTGTTTTTTTTTTGATCGTCATAGCTAATATGTAAGTAGGTTATCATAAGCCACTCCCATTACGACCACCTTTCTCACCCGACCATCCTTGAAATCCAAAAACACCACCCCTCAGTTCAGTTCTGTGTCCCGAAGGGTCTTAAGAATTGGTTTTCAGACTGCGGCATCAAGAACGCTGTGGAACTCGACTGGTGGGAGGATGTTGACCTCACATTAACCCCAACACCACACGAACAACCTTCTCCAAGTTCTGGGACATCTGACATTACGGCGAGGATTTCTTGCCTCCCTTGCCAACATACATCCGCGCGTACTCCCTTTGATAAAGCAACTACGTTATGGGCTTCGTGGTCTGTCTCTTCAGGCGGCAAGTCAGTGTACTTCGCCGGTGACACGGGCTATCGCTCAGTTCCACGCTCGTCCAAAGAAGTCGACGATTGGGGCTCCGAGTTTGCTCATCTCCCTGTCTGTCCTGCTTTCAAGCAAATTGGCGGCCTCCGAGGTCCCTTTGACCTGGGGTTGATTCCGATCGGAGCGTATAAGCCACGGCATGTTTTGAGTCCCGTGCACTCGAATCCGTATGATTCCGTGGAGATTTTCAAGGATACAAAGTGTAAGAAAGCGATTGGGATTCACTGGGGGACCTGGGCAGTTGCAGAAGAGAACGTGCTGGAGCCGCCACAGTTACTCAAGAAAGCAATGGCTAAAAGTGGTCTTTCGGAGACGCTTTTTGATGTTTGTGATATCGGCGAGAGCAGGCAGTTTTGAGAGTTTAAGCTGACTTACGGGCTCTTGTGGAAGTGGGACTTGATCTCTACGCTATCTGAAGATGTGGTACTCTATTATTTACACCTGTACAGCAGTTTCATTACAAGATGGTCAAATCCAAACTGGGCGACACCGTCAACAAAACATCATCTTCCTCATCCTGGGCCTCTCCAAGTCCTCTAGTGAGAGAGCTTGGTCAAATGCATTGAACACAGGAGATGAGCCTCTCCTCAGGACTTCCATTTCAGCACTGGTATATAAGAGAGGAATAGAAATAAACTCTAGGTGTATGGCTCTGCTGGGGTGATCTGGAATGTTATCATTTTCAGACCTCAGCCACACCTCAGCCACACCCGCATCCAACTGTGGCTATGCTTGCTTACTTAATCATTATCAGGAACGGCGAGAAATCCGGTCGGCGATGCCCCGAGGGCGACAGGTTGGCTTTGGCGTACGAGAGTAATCGCCCGAGGTTATTGCAGGGAATGTGTGACTGCAGTCTGTCAATGATACCCGGTATCGAGTACTTTTTGGAGAATGCACGAGTGTAAAGGAGACTTCAGTCGAACAGTCTATCTCGTTCCTGGTGACAGCTTCCACCCTGAAAAGACAACTCGGGCAACACCAACCCGAAACCGACTCCGGGGTAAGTCCGGGGACTTTACCGTGGTGGAGTTGGACGGATAAGAACGCCCCTCTGAGTATTCCGCTGGCTGGTTTCTCTCTTTATTCACGCACCCGCTACCTCGCCTCGAATACTCTTCAGCGCAGCCCGTCAACATGGCAGGCGATAAACTCTGGTCTGCACAGCAGATCTCCTCGCACAAAACCCCGGACGACTGCTGGATTGTTGTCGACAACCAGGTATGGGATGTGACCGACTTCCTGGACGAGCACCCCGGCGGATCTACGAGTATGTCTTTCTTCGATCACCTTTACCCCAGCCTCGACACTAATTTGTGACAAACAGTCATCCTCAAGTACGCTGGCAACGACGCCACAAAGGCATACTCGGAAGTACACGCGCCCAGCGTGCTGAAAACCAACCTCCGCGCGGACCAATTCAAAGGCATCCTCGACGAGTCGACTATCGATGCAGAGTGGACCAAGCCACCACCCGGCGAGTCGCCCAAGGTGGTATTGGACCATGAGAAACCACCCCTGCACACGTTGATTAACGCGCATGATTTCGAAGTCGTGGCGTCCAAAACGGCCAGTAGTAAGACGTGGGCATTCTATTCCAGCGCGGCTACGGATCTGATCACGCGTGACGCGAACAAGTCCTGTTTCGATCGGATATGGTTCCGGCCGCGCGTGCTAAGAAATGTTCGTGCCGTGGATGCGCGGACGAAGATTCTAGGCGGGGACTTTAATCTTCCGCTCTTCGTGAGTCCCGCGGCGATGGCGAAGCTCATCCATCCCGAGGGAGAATGTGCCATTGCTAGGGCGTGCGAGAAGAAAGGTATCATGCAAGGCGTAAGTTCTTTTCTTCTAAACTGTCTATCCAACCTACCTTACCTTGCTTACACTCCTCTAGATCTCCAACAACTCCTCCTTCACCGTAGATGAACTCCGAACCGCGGCACCCTCAGCCAGTTTCTTCTTCCAGCTATACGTCAACCGAGACCGCTCGAAGTCCGCCGCCCTACTGCGCCAATGCTCCGCAAACCCGAACATTAAAGCCATCTTCGTAACCGTCGACGCCGCGTGGCCAGGTAAGCGCGAAGCCGACGAGCGCGTCAAAGCCGACGAGAGCTTATCCGTGCCAATGGCGCCATCCAAAGCCTCCAACGACAAAAAAGGCGGCGGCCTAGGCCGCGTGATGGCCGGGTTCATTGACCCTGGTCTTACATGGGAAGACCTGGTCTGGGTGCGGCAGCACACGCATCTACCCGTCTGCCTAAAGGGCGTCATGTCGGCCGACGACGCCATGCTCGCAATGAAGGCTGGGCTGGATGGGATCCTGTTAAGTAACCACGGTGGCCGGAACTTGGATACCAGTCCGCCGTCGATTATTACTCTCCTGGAGATCCACCGGCGGTGTCCTGAGGTGTTTGACAAGATGGAGGTCTACGTGGATAGCGGGATCCGGCGCGGTAGCGATATTCTGAAGGCTGTTTGTTTGGGTGCGACGGCTGTGGGGATGGGGAGGAGTATGCTGTTTGCGACGAACTATGGGCAGGAAGGGGTGGAGCAGTTGATTGATAGTAAGTGGTCGATGTTGAGAGTTCAAAACCCTCCCAAAAAAGGGAAGGCTAATGGGTGCTATAGTTATGCAAGACGAGCTCGAGACCGCCATGCGCAATACTGGGATCACAACACTGGAGGAGGCATCACCCGATCTGGTCCACACGGGGGATGTGGACCATCTGGTGCCTGCATCGCGGGGACATCCGTATGCGCAGGCGGTGGCCAAAGGGCGTCGACCGGGAGCGAGGCTTTGAATAGGAGTGAGATAGACGACGATAGTATAGAATGGACATATCCAGGGGGAATTCCCGGCGAAGAATGCAATGTCCAGCTGACCATCCAGTGGACTAGACTATCACTCGCTAGTAGTGAAAAAGACTCTATGATAGAATATTGAGTGTAGACTGCAGACCAAGGGGTCAGCTGGATCGCCTCACCGCTCCACTTCTCAACAGTTGAGGAGGATCGTTAGTCATTAACTAGTTAACGCTAAGTTACGTGCCCTATTACTTATGATTCATACAACGGTTAACGTATCTATTCCCCTGTCGAATAAGCATACTAGTTACACACTGCTTTCCTGCTATTGGCTCCCCTCCCGGTTGCAGCGATCGCAGAGAGGGGAGGGAACCTTGGAAGCGTCATCATTGGAGAAGTACCCGGTACCCGCGTGCTCCGCTGTGCTGGCGGGTACGGGGTAGTACCTAGTACATCTCCGGCATACGCCGTAGATCTCATCCTATAGATAGACATTCCCCTTGGAGCACGTCAATCACTCGCTCAATCATAGTCCAGACCGCCCATCTGCCCCAACGTTTACTCCAACCCTATAAAGGTGAACTCCCTCCGCTTCCGTCTTACTTCTTCCTTGCTCACCATCCCACTACAGCTACACACCACATCACACCATCTCTCTATACAACATTCAATAATGGCCGCTCCCCGCTCCTCCTCCCTGCGCGCCCTGCGTGTGCTCTCCCAGCAACACTCTACCACCACCGCTGCTGCCGCGCCTGCCCGCCGCAACCTACACATCACCGGCGTTCACTCCGCCCAACCTGCCAACCCGGCCGATAAGGCCTCGCTCTACTCCGCTCGCAGCGTGCCAGATCTCAAGCTCGAGTGCCAGCGCCGCTCCCTGCGTTCTGCCGGTAGCCAGTCTGAGGTATGTAATTGGATGACGATGGATAGTCATCAGCAACGCAACACAACACAAGCTCACAAGATGCTCTGAACAGCTTATCGAGCGTCTCTCCAACCATGACGTCCTGCAATCCCGAGCTTTTAGCATTGCTATGCGTCGTATAAACGGGAGCGCTTTCTCTGAGTACGTCGTTTGTCATACATACTTCTTAGTCAATCATACTAACAATCCCCAAAACAGCACCCCAACAACCCGCCCCTTCAACACATCCCGCTCCTCCAAATCCATCCACGACACCTCCCCGGTCGACCTAGTCTACATGCCCTCACTAGCAGACCTCGACGCACCATCTGCACCCTCATACCCCCGCGTCCCGATCCTCCCCGACCTCTCATCCTCGTCACCCGTTTCATCTTCGCAGTCCCCCCACCCCTACTCCGGCGCCCCACCCATGAAGCCCCAGATCTACACCGTGGCCGGTGCCGGCGCCGACGTCGCAGCAAGCCCTATGAGCGAGGTCACCGATAACCACGCTGTGGATATTGATCCCTTTTCGCTGACTGAGGCTGTTGGGCGCTCTCGCGTGGGCGAGGAACTCAGCAGGGGTGAGAAGGGGCGACGGGAGCCGGGCATTGTTAGGGAGCTTTGGACGGGGTTTTTGGATGATGTTCTTGGGCCGAAGGAGGTTCCGCGTAGGACTTAGGCGGTGGCGATGGTGAATGAGACGAATCTTCTTAGTCAATCGCGTTTTGTTGTTCTTGTCGTTCCGAGTCTGAGCTTTGAGACGGACACGGAGAACTAGCGGTACTTTTTTGTCTACTTCATGTAATATCTTCTGTTGAGTGCTCGCACTCTACAGGACTCTTTTTCCTTTGTTGTCTTTGTCTCTGTTCAATAATACAGAGTCAGTCATCCAATGCAGTCCAGTACTGCATTTACCTACATCTTAATTCCTCTATTCTGTATCTCTATTAAGACTCCACTATTCTTCCCCGATTTTTCCCAAGCCGAGGCATGTCCCCTTCCGGGACACCGCTCTGCTCGTCAGTCCGTAATGATCATCGCCCAGTCCGGGACGGCGTCCGATCATTCACGATGCCATTGTCTTGCTTGTGTCTGGCAGTTAGACGGCCCGAGGCTATCATTCACTTCTTGTGGATGATCCCTTCTACTACTGGACCTGAGTCTCTTGCACTGACGTAGAGAGGGCGTTTTGTTTCTGAAGGTATTCGGGATAATTGAACCAGGTGTTAGTATGTATATATCCAGTGGTTCTTGGAGATCTATCTAGGTACTCTTCTCGTAAATTGCTCGTTACCATATCTACAACGATAGCAACCACTTGAGCTGGAGTCCTGCAATCCCTCGTGAAGTGTCTTGGCGAAGGATACGCCAATTGCTCATCCGTGCACGAGGCAGTTCTTCCAAGACTCTTTAGCAACAAGAAGCAGCGTTGTGTTTACCCGTTGAGTGCACTTTCCGATCTATTCCGACAATCGGCCCCCGGCTTGAATCTAAAACATGGTCGCCCGAGGACACCTTCAAGGATTATTTATTGTTTGAATAGTTTGTTCTAGGTGCACGTGGAGTGGAATTTCCCTCTGTTGGGTCATAATAATTGTGCTATGCTGTGCACATCAACCTTGGGTCCATGCATCTCTGACAGTCCCTCGAGTTATAATACACAGTGCACACACTGTAGTTCTGAAAAGGTGAGCAGATCTTATCCTAAGTCAATTATGTCCCCGTTGTAAGCTATGTTTATCCCGCGAGCACGCGTCATCATCCCGTGCATGACTAGTTGGAGGTTCAAGTCGATTGCTGCTTGACAGCAATAGTAGAGTGTGGATCACGCAATTACAGCTCTTATCTATTTATTCAAGCAAGAGTTGCAAGAAGCTGGGAGTAGAAAAAAAACAAAAAAAAACTGCCCTTTGTCGGAGAGAATATTCGGGCCTCTGTCAGGGGGTTCGCCCGTTTCTGGATAGTTTACTATCTGGTTGGACTTGAATGCCAAACCATCCAATCTAGTACTAGTCAACTGGTAGCCATTCAATCCTCCTCTCTTATCAACTTCGATCGCCCAGATGATTATCAGTTCGTGGGTTCAACCGCGAATACATCCAGCTCTATCCATGTCACTGCGCCTCTTGGCACCTGCCGGCTACACCGAAAACCCACCGAGCCCACTTAGCGCAGCACCCTGGACCAACCGATCGGCCGATCGACACCGCGAACAGGTTTAGAGCAACGCAGCTAGCCCACTCGCGTCTCTTGTCAGGGGCAGTTCCTTCCTGGTGTTGGAGGGAACTGTGGGCGGTCTAAGACCCCCCCTCACGTCTGTCTGTCTGCCATGGGGAAAGTGATTTGCTTTCTCTCAACCTTCACTCTCTCACTCATTCGCAATTCGTGTTTTCGGTTTGTTTTCTTTTAAATTATTTTAATTTCTTGTCTTTCTTTCGCATCAATTTCTTTTTTTTGTTCTTGCTATTTTGCTTGCATCTTTCTCTCTGCTTTCCCCGGATTTTTTTCGCCCGACGACTCGCTCGCGCCACACATTTCGGATATCCACACGAACTGTTCAGCACGAGCAGCAGGTCTTGCTTGGAAAGACCGCACCGCTAATGCGGACCTCTATCCTCTCTAGCATCTAGATCCCTTGCCAGATCATGCACTTCTCTTCATGTCTAGCGGTCATCGCGGCCTTCTCGACATGCACTCAAGCGTTCTATCCATATAACCTCGAGGACGGCTATTCCTCAGGAAGCGAAACAACCCGGGTCACAGTGGGCCGTCGCCGCGATGGAAAACCGCCGACACTGGCTCTCCGGAAACGCGCTGTCCGCCGTGATGATAGCTACACGATAGTCGAGGCCAACACGCCCACGCTTCCAAACAGCGCCGCCCTGGACCAGGATGGCTTGGATTACTCCTACTTCTCTGTTGTAGAGGTCGGTTCGGAGCAGCAGCAGATGTGGCTGGCCCTTGACACGGGCGCGCCAGAGACTTGGGTCTTTGATGCATCTTGCACGGAGGAGGTGTGTACCAGCCATCACATGTTCGACGATGGCTCCTCCTCTAGTTTCACTCCCAACGGATCCGGTTTTAGTCTTGGTTATGGCACCGGCTCCATTGCCGGGACACTGGGCAACGACACCATGTCGTTGGCCGGCCTGAGTGTGCGACTGGTCTTCGGGATGGCTACTTCCGCATCCGATTTCTTCAAATCGTACCCCTTCGACGGGATTCTAGGCCTGGGCCGCTCCAGCACTGAAAGCACTGATGGGTGGAATATGCCCTCGTTCATGGACATGGTCGCGGAGGCCGGCTATCTCGGGTCCAACATCGTCGGGTTCAGTTTCTCGCGCATGTCGGATAACCCCAAGGACGGAGAAGTCAATTTCGGCGATGTCGACACGACCAAGTTCCAGGGCGATATCACGTACACTGCGACAGACGCCGATAACTGGTGCATTCCCCTGGACGATGCGTACGTAAACGGCCAGGCCGTTGGCTTCTCTGGAAAATCCACCACCATCGACACGGGGACGAGCTACATCCTCCTTCCGCTGGCAGATGCCCAGCAACTCTTCTCGCACATCCCGGGCTATTATCAGAGTGGCGAGAAGTTTCATATCCCCTGCAACACGACTGCTTTGTTGCAGTTCTCGTTCTCCGGAGTCCAGTACTCCATCTCCCCGCTGGATTATATCACCAAGGCCGCCGGCGGCGGCTGTGTGTCGACTATTGTCGGTCATCAGTCGAGCGATGCAGATACTTGGCTTGTTGGTGATGTCTTTCTCAAGAACGTGTACACCGTCTTTGACTTTGACAACGCGACTATCGGCTTTGCGCAGCGGGCTGATGCTTCGGCTGCGACTGCCACGTACACGCCGATTGCTAGCACTCTGCCCACCGCTACTGGGACTACAACCGGGACTACAACTGGTACTACAACTGGTTCTGCAACCTCGGAGACAACGACAACGACCTCCACGAACTCGGCTTCCCGAGTTGGGCATGCGGTCGGATTGCCCCTGTTGAGCGCTCTTCTCAGCGCACTCTTTGTTTAGATTCCAGCCATTCATGTCTATGCGAAAGGTTACCTGCACATTTAGGGTCAGTGTTTATACATCCATGTCTCTCTCCAAGGCCACTATGGCATACTGTCATCATCTCATTCTGGTATCACGCCAGTCCACATATTTCTTTCTGCCTCTTATATATCCCCTTGCCTCCTGTCCCATTCTAGGGCGTCTCTGAGCTCACTCCTACATGTCATTCGGATGATTATTTAGACCTGCAGCGTCTATTTTATAAAAGATATACATACCTGTAATAATCCATCAATGAAGACCATCCGTCAGAGCACTTTCTCCGGAATGAGCGTATAAGACTTGGGATCCGACTCTACCGACGTCGTTAGTACACAACTCAATAAATGGTGAAAACATACCTAAGATACTGCGATCAAAGTCCTCAACCCGATTGAACCCACCAACCGCCATCAGAATATCCAGATCAGCCAACAATGACTTCATAACGTGTCTCACTCCCTCCTCACCCATAATACTCAAACCCCAAACCCACAACCTCCCCACGAAGACAAACTTCGCACCCAGCGCAAGAGCCTTAACAACATCACTCGCCCCGCGCACCCCGGAGTCGAACATAACAAAAATCTGCTCCCCACACGCATCAACAATCTTCTCCAACGCATCCAAGCTCGCAATCGCACCATCCACCTGCCGTCCGGCATGGTTACTAACCACAATCGCGTCAACGCCCATCTCAACACACTTCTGCGCATCAGCGACAGACTGGATCCCCTTGATCGCAAACGGCCGCCCGCCAGAAATCCGCCTCCACTCCTCCATCAACCAGGGGATCTTCTCCCACGACCACGCACGGCCGTGCCAGATAGAATCGATCCATTTCGTCGACGCAGCAACGGCATCGTTATCGACATCGATGCCATCTTCCGCACATCGTCGCCGAAACACGGGATCCGTGAGACCGAGGTCGGCGCCAAAGCCCCGGTAAAACGCATAGTTCGACCGCGCAACGTCGCCATGTCGCCAGCCGAGCTGCCACGTGTCCGTCGTAAGAATCAAAGCGTCAAACCCGGCCTTCCATGCCCGATTCAATAGTGACAGCGTCAATTCGTCGTCGTGGGGCATGTAGAGCTGGAAAAACCGTGGACCGGAGCTCCCGTTCGCGGCGCCGACGGCCTCGATCGAGGCACTTCCCGCCGTGGAGAGGCAGTATGGGATATTTAGCTCGCCCGCAACTTTGGCTACCGCTGGTTCGCCTTCCGGATGGTAGATCTTGTTGATTCCGACGGGTGCGAATCCTATCGGGGCTGAGACGCGGTGGCCGAAGATGGTGGTTGTCGTGTCTCGTTCGTTGGTGTCGACTAGTTGGCGCGGGATGATACGGTGCCGGAAGAAGGCCTGTCGGTTCGCTAGGTGGGTGTTTGACATGCCTGCATTGGAGGAGGCGTAGAACCTTTTCTCATACTCATTAGTGACTTTGCCCGCGTCGGTGAAGTGTTTGATATGAGCGTACCACCCGCCTTCACTGAGTCTTTCTTTTGCTCGCTCTTCGAGCTCTCGGGGGTCTAGTCTACAGCTTAGTACTTTGCTATACAATCTGTGGCACTGGCATGCGCACCTGTGCTGAAGAGTGGTGCCTGGCCTTCATTCGGCTTCCTGAACTGCTCCCGCTGATACAGACTCCATTGCGGCGTGGTGCGGTTCTGGATATGGGGGTTTGTCGGGTCAGCCATATTGATTGTAATCTCACTCAGTGTCTAGTTAATCTGATTTGGCTGAAAATGATGAAATAAGTGTTGGTATTGTGATTCCAGCGCCAGGTAAACTATATTTATTGATGACTTCATTCTTACGTATGTTTCAGTCAAAAGAACCGTTATGCACAGGTTTCGTCATTTCACGTTGAATAAAGTTAAGCGATCTAAACAAGCTTTGGTAGGTATAAATATCGCAAGGTACGTATGATCCAGGTACAGCTGCTCTGGATTGGATTGCATTGGTCTAATCCGACGGAAGCTTATGACAGAAGACTCTGCGCTGCTAAGCGTGGAGGGCCTCGTCGCTCTCCTAATCTAACATCTGGTTCTTAATTTCGACATGGTCTTTTATTTAATAATTAATTAGAATGAAATACCTAGAGGAATTCTCACTCAGATATACGAGGTGCCACTGTAGAATTGGTAAAGAGTATTTAAATTACTAATACCCCCCCATGGCAATTCTTAAGTGGTACAGCCGCTGACTGCCGGCACAATGATAAGCGCGGTAATTCTAAGAATTTCAGACTTTTGCAACCCCACTGCATATTGCTCCTTTCATCAATTCGCCTGACAATTTAAATACCCTACCTTGAAGACCGTCATCTTTAGTGAAAGAGGGAGAAAAGAAAGACCTTATCCTCTGAAACTTCACTGAGCGCTAATCACAACACATGCTTCAAGTGAGTTAAGAATGTATTTCCTTACTAACACAAAGAACATCATGACTCACCCGCCTATGACAATCCAGCACACATCTTATTATCTAGCTACTTTTCTAACGCGCTTTCTAACTTTTGTTCTATTCGGAAGAATGCTCATCAAACTTGACGACCTGGCCACCCCGTCCATTCGTTCGCTGCTTACGCTCCATTTCTCCGAACTTCAAGACAAGACTCCATCGGAATCTTGCTATGTTCTCAATATCGCCGATCTTCAAGAGCCCGGTATTTCCGTGTTTTCTGCCTGGGAGGGTCCAGAATTGCTAGGATGCGGTGCATTAAAAGAACTCACTCCTTTTTCCGGAGAGATCAAATCTATGAGGACAGCAAGAACACACCTCCGAAAAGGCGTCGGGAGGGCCATCGTGCAGCATATAATTAGTGAAGCAAGGAGGAGAGGATATACTTGGCTGAATCTTGAAACTGGGACGGATTCTTCGTTTGTAAACGCACGGAAATTTTACTGCAGCATGGGGTTCGAATTTTGCGGTCCATTTGGAAACTATGCTGCCAGTGAGCGAAATTGCTTCATGAAAATCAAGCTATCTTAAACAAGAGGATTATATGTATTAAGGTGGTTATTTTTCGCGGTTACTAACTATCCTACACTGAACGGGAGGCCTCAGCTGACTAGGGCTAGGCTTGCTTAGGATAATAGGCAGTAGACTTACAATTAGGACAGTGTCTACTACCAGCCAAACACATCCCTACCAAGCGAGGCCGTCGCTGAATTGTCGCCCTAGCCAGAGTAAATCCTCCTCGAGTCGATTGGCGTGGTTGGCGCTGAGAGATATGTCTCTAATCCCCGATCGAGAACAAGGCCCGCAGACCAATGATAGGCCACATAATAAATGCAGTCCCTACCGATCCGAAGTATGTACTCGGCATTTGGGGCATTACGTCCCGAGAATCGCCGCCGGGGCCGGGCGCTAATCCACATCGGGCGCACTCGGGACTCTCCCCTTCTCATGCCGCAACATCGTGTTGTCTACCACCCGTCTTCAGATAGCACAATGCTCGGTCTCACAGGAAGAAGGACTGCTCTGGCGAGGCCCAAGTGCCTCTCGCCCTGTAAATCACCTGCTCGTGCAGCGCTGGTGCCAGCAACACAGGGAAACAGCGCTCGTTCTCGGGAGTTCCGCTCCACGCCCGCACCCGCCGCGTTCCGACCGACATGGATGCCGATGCGCGTGAAGACGCCATGGATTGATGCCCTGACGCAGAGCCGTGAGGCGGCCCGTGCCGGTGCACAGCAGAGCCAGACGGCGAGCGTGAAGCCGGATCAGACATCGAAGAAGATGTCCGATAGCTACTACAGCGCTGTATGTATTTTCTCCGTCTCAAAGACTCAATGCTAATTATTTGATATAGGTCCTGCCTTTGGCGCAAGATAAGTGGCTCCTAGATACGTATCTTAATGCTTCTGGACATATCAGGTAAGTTACAATTTCATTTTATCCTCTATTCAATTCTAACAAATGACCCCAGACTCGGGTCCCTGCTTATGGACTTGGATGCTCTCGCCGGTGTCATTGCATACCGACATACAGGTGATGGGGTTAGCACCGTCACTGCTGCTGTGGACCGTATCACCATCGAACACCCGCTGATGGAAATCTGTGACCTCGAGCTTAGTGGGCAAGTCACCTACGCTACTGGACGGTCTAGTATGGAAGTGTCGCTGCAAGTGTCCAAGATGCTTCCGGAGGGTCAGGCTGCTACGCCGGAGGACGTGTTGATCACTTGTGCGTTTACGATGGTGTCACTGGACCCGGCAACGAAGAAGTGAGTGCTGCCTGGTATTTAATAACACAGTCGACGTACTAACATCGGACAGACCTGCCTCTGTAGCACCGCTTATTGTCGAAACGGAAGAGGAGAAGCGTCTGTTCAAGAAAGGCGAGGAGAACTACAAGGCCAAGAAGGCGCTGCGAACTCGCAGCCTGCTTGAAAAAGCCCCGGACGATGAGGAGAGCAACCTGATCCACTCGATGTGGACTAAGGAGATGTCATATCTGAGTAGGTGGTTCCACTATACAGAGAGATACATTGCTAATAAATCATAGACCCGCAATCCCCCGCAACGCGACCAACAAACCAAGTCTTCATGAGCGACACAGTCCTCAAATCCGCAATGATCATGCAGCCCCAAGACCGCAACCGTCACAACTTCATGATCTTCGGCGGCTTCCTGCTCAAGCAAACATTCGAGCTAGCATTCTGCTGCGCAGCCTCGTTCGCCCACGCGCGACCCAACTTCGTCGCGCTGGACCCAAGTACCTTCGAGAACCCGGTCCCCGTCGGCAGCGTGCTGTACCTGCGCGCAACGGTGGCGTATACTGAGCCGGAGGAGCGTGAATCCGGTGGTGGTCGGTACACCAAGGTGCAGGTGCGGGTTGACTCAAAGGTGCGTGATGTCGAGCACGGGACTAAGAAGTCGACGGGCATGTTCAACTATACGTTTTTGGTGGAGAAGGATGTCCACGTTATGCCTAAGGGATATGGAGAGTTCATGCTGTGGGCTGATGCGCGTCGCCGCGCTCTCAATGCTGCTGCGATTGATCCGGCACATAAAACTAGTGCTCTGCGAAGTATCCAGGATAGCGTGACGGAGTAAATAGAGTATTATAGATGTTGCAGCCACATAACACCAGTGCCGACTACGGGTAGACTCCATATCCGAGTAGTTCATATACTGTATGCCGCCTTAGGAATGGTCTGCACGTAAAGACTCCCCAGAATATGAATTTCTTTGATTCAACAAATCACTAGATTTCATCAATTCCCCTCAATAGCGCAACAATCTGATGGGACAAATTTGCAAGAAAGATTACTGTTTCTAGATTTGTCAATTTTTCACGTTTCTGAATCTACTTTTGGTTTGGTAATTGAGTCTAGAGATGTTGGCCGTAAAATTCATACATTTGAGATCCCTTTCTGTCGAAACCCTGCTCACCATTCAAATTCCTGAAACATGTCAGTTCATAAAGGCTCCGTGTGACATAGTGCGGACAACTAACCTCAGTGTATAGAGTTATGGATGGGCCATCTTCACACATGCTCTCAGATACAGCATTCCGTGTTTGATCGATCATTTTCACAGGGCCACATGCCCCAACCATGATGCGATCATTTGGATCTGCAGAGGCAGTAGCAGTCTTAATGAGGCTGGAAATGTCAGGACGCCCTTCTCGGATGCCTGTTGACTTGATCGAGCTCGCCTCTCTGGTGCTCCTCGACGCGCCTTTCTCCAGATCGCCGCCATCAGACTTTGGGACAAGTTTCGGAGATGATGCGCTAGAGCCACGAGTGACATGGATGACCAAGTTGACTATCGGACTCATCTCAAGTTGTCTCAATTCATCTTCAAACCATTCCAATGTATCTTCATCACAATTAGCAGGAATCCTTGGGTAGGATCGACTATCATTTCACTTACCGCCGTATTGAACAGCCCATATAAAGTCGATAGTCTTTGAAGCCCTTTTTTCTGCGATTTTCTGAATCAATTTCAACGCTACAGCAAATGTGAAACTAGCCCCACTACCACCTGCGACAAGAATGACCTTGTCATACACCCCAAAGTTCGGGACTTGTCCGTAGCCTCCGTCAACAGAACAGCGCAGTGATCGTCCTGGAGATGACTGCGCAGCGTTGTAGAGGTCACGGGTAAAACCATCGTAGACTCGAATCACAAACTGAACCGGATCTACCGAAACCATTGTGAACGGGTGAGTCTCTGCCCATCGAATCGCAGGAAGCCACAAAAAGGCATGGGATCCCGGTCGAGAGCAAATAGGACGGCTGAGCTGTACTCGAATTGCATTGTTTGGAAGGGGGGTTATAGTTGCATAATTGCCAAAGAAGTTCCAACACAGCTTGCCTGCCCTGATTATGCGATCGTACATCCAGAGACAGGCTATGAAAATGGTGATGATAATTGTGGAGTCTTTGAACTCGGGCCGGTGCATGCCGAGTGTGATCATGATGAGTATGAACATTGTAACATGCATCACGTAGAATACTGCCTTGATCAGTGAGTGGCCTTCGGTTGAGAGTGCTCGTGCTCACCTTCATACTGCTTCGGCATAATCCAAGGGACTGTAGAGACGCCAATGAAAATCATCGCAAGGCCGGCAATAGCTCCTGCATAGTCCTTTTGCTCTTTGAATTTGTACAATATGTCGCTGATGGCCGACTCGGTCACAAATATAAGGCCGTGGAGGACAGTAACGAGGATGCAGGTGTAGCCGGCAGTCTTATGCAATGGACGTAACTTCTCGTAAGATTGCGCTGAGAGAGGTGCGAGGGGCGTGTTTTTGAGGGCCAGGAACACGAGGAGAGCCAGGTTTGCAACTGAGATCCTAGAAGTCAAGTGTCGTAAGCAAATGAGAGCGGACCGTCAGACACAAATATATTCGTACCAACCTAATCGTCTTGCAATCTAGAAATAATCAGCGCTGTGTATTAATTAGAACATGGCTGGATCAATACGAACATATTCAGCTTCCATTTTATTGTTTGTCAATAGTAGAATCAGGTTAATAGCCCAGTATATCGTGTACAGAAGTAACCTGTCGACCGCAAGTCCAAAGACCTTGCTGAGAAAAAAGCGTCGCAAAAATCTATAAACAGTCAGTCCAGCGAACAAGAATAGTCCGGTCAGGCCAGGTTTATCGCACAGAGAAATTTTGGAGAAGGCTCTGGCGAAGATGCCAGTCTTTTGCCTGTACCCATAATGGAAAATGAGGAATTGAGACCACTGGCGAACCATGAACAATACCATGATTGCTCCCATAGAAAGAGCGAAGTATTTGCTACTCCATACATTATTCTCTTGTCGAATGTCTTTGGCGTCACTCATATTGAATGCCGCCGGAGAGTATTGAGCTGAACAAGATCAGTCGGTACGGGCTGAACACAAAAAAGCGTATGAAGAATTCATGCAGGTTCTCTGTCTTCTGTAGTCCCGGAAATCGGCTCTGATTTACATTTAATGTCCCTGTACTCGGTGGAGTTAATTTTAGAGAAAAAAGGGCGCAGCACTGCCACGAAGCAGCCATGGAGTTTCTCGATTCTTCCGTAATTAATGTTGATCGACTGCTTATAAGCCGACACAAGCCGACACCGGTAGCACTAAGTGGAGGCGCCGGAGCCTTCTTGCAAGAAAAATCTTATCTGATCGGAAACAAAGTTTGTGCTCTTTTTCCCTTCTTGTCTAGACCCACTGGTTAGACCAAATAGGTGTAAGTTCACGAGACATGATTGGGAGAGGCGTTTGAGCCACCAGGACAGGTGCGGGTACAGATTTCAAGGAGTACTACGGATTGTAGAATTAATTTACGTCAAAACCCACATTAAGTGGATATACAAGATTTCTAATCATGACTATGAGCAAGTTCGGTCATCTTGGCGTCGACTGAAAGGACCTAGGCGAGCGAATATCAGATGGCATCTAATCAATCAGATAAGCGGGTAGCTGTGGGACCGAGGGTTAAACCCTTCTCGCCCAAATCCACAAAGTTCGCCGCTGCACGCTCATTGTAGGCATTCTGCGATCATGTACTGAGAATTGTAAGATTTTTATTACAGGATTTTTTGGTTTCTTTCTCCCTTCACGTTAAAGTCACCTTTCGTGCTTTTCTGATCAGCTACAAGTGTAGCCCGAGCCAAATCCGTCATCGACCCCGAAGATCGGCATTCCGCCTTTCGGCAAAATTCAACACGGCATGGGTCCGTGAAAGTAGCTGGTTTGGGAACGAGGGATCTGCATTGGCTCTAGCAATGCTATTGCTCTGCGCAGCCACAAAGAGGTATGGCATGACAAGGCCCATTGAGGTTCTGAAGAGCCAGCATAACATATTGAGCTGGCTAAAAGAGCGGATATAATCTGTGAGCTTTATTTAGAATGCATGTGAAGATACAAGCCCGTTGATCAACTACCTGCTTAGTTCCCCTTTAATCCACAGCTGTCTCCCGTGGCGGCTTGCAAAATGCAGACCCCCTAGTGATCAGCCGAGTAGGATAATCTGTTGTGGACCCTCACTTTTAGCTGATCTTCGTGAAATATTGGAATCCATGTCAGTTGATATATGTTTTCCCGCTTCTCACTCTTCTGGCAAGGTTGAAAATCGCGAGGCACAGCAAGCAACAGAAATCAAAAGGTCTTCGAAAGGGTCCCTAAAACTCAATAAATTGCGATTAGTAGGAAAGCAATGAATAGGAAGGAGAAAAGACATAATTAAAGCGAGGGGCAAGGAATCAACAGGACGGCATCTTAAAATTAACTAGGCACCTATGACGATCCAAAAATGAACTGAGATGCTCACATTCATATCCAAATTATGCAATTAAATTACCAGTTGTTTGGTTGTTAGCCTTTTTGTGTCACATGTTGGGGAGATAAATAACTTCATTTTCATCACTTCACTATCATCCAAAGCAGATATATCTAGAGTCGATATCTAAAATGCTTGTTCTCCTTGTCCGTGAAATCCTCAAATCCTTCCAAATCACCTGCATATTGCTGCTCATTAGAACCTTCGCGTTGCGATTGCTTGTCACGGTCACTATTATTCACAAAGCACCAGGCTGTGTACACCAGTTGCAGGAACATGGCAACACAGTATGTTCCCACCAGACCCTTGATTGCTGTCTTGTATCTTGGGGCTTCACTTGGGATAAAAAGATGAGGACTGGAAATGTTGCCAGCACAGTAGAACGCGAAATATAGTCCCATGACGGTGGTTCGTTTCGTATGCCCTGCGATGTTCATAGAAGGCAAAGTCCAGTTTAACACAATGCAAGGTCCCAACCCCCCTGTAGCCACGAACAGGCGACTAGGGCCCAGCGCTGGCTGTTCGGGATCAAGAGCATTCCGATTAGTCCGGCTGTGCCGGGAATGCAAGCTAAGAAATTCGATACTCCCAGCATATTTGGCAGAGTTGCCAGGAAGCCGAAACCAATATTTGTAAAAATTTGAAAGGCTCCCCCGGGAGTCTGTAGCAGGTTTGCTTGTAGACCGCTAAATCCAAAGCCTTTGATAAGTTCACTAGCGAAGTTGGTAACGCAGCCATTTAGAATACCATAGGCCGCGGCCATTAGGAGTAGGATGTAAGCCTTCGGGTCAATCGAGGCCTCTTTAAGTTGATGCGGGAGGAAGGTGGAATTTTGTATGCCAGTCCTGTTGTTTCGAATGCGCCAGACAGCGACGATGCGTTCATATTCAGAGAACATTCTGCCGTTATGGGGTCCGTCCGGCATCCAGAGAATGAGAACAATGGCCCAGAGGAGTGTCATCGCCCCAATGACCTGCTGAAGTCAACATATGTGGTCAAAAGTCATAAGAAAGTGCGAGTGTCATACTATATAGATGAGTTTCCAGTTCGGAACAGCGAGGTTCGTTACATTCCCCAGCCCGTAGCTAAGCAGAGCACCAATCACTTGGGCCATTCCGTTCATGGCGAGCCAGAATGAACTTCGGAGGGGCATTTCTTCCCGAGTCCAGAGAGTTGATGATAGAAGAAGCCATCCCGGGGAAACGCAGGACTCCACCATACCGAGGAAAAAGCGCACCGCGAAAAGACCCGAAAAGGTAAAGGCTGCAGCTTGAAGCATACAAACCGCACCCCAGATGAAAGTCATGACCCCAACAAATTTTCCAATGGGGAAACGCTGTAGAGCAAGATTGGACGGGTACGAGCCAAGGAGCCAGCCAAAATACAACGCGGAGGCTACCCATGAGTACTGGTCGCCGGTCATACGAGTATCTTTTTGGAGGCCGTAGGCATTGGCGTAATTCAGTCTTGTTACCTGTCAGACTTGAAATTAAAAGTTTGGAGATATGCTCACGTTTGCTTGTCCAGGAAGCTAAGCATATATGTCCCCATCATCATTGGAAGCACAAGAAAATCTAGCTTCCGCCGGACTCTTCCGACGTCAGCAGCGAGTTGCTCTTGGTCGTATTGAAGAGACTTTTGGAATAATTCCAGACCAACATCTGTGTGTGTTCCATCCGATTTGTGGATAGAGTCAAGAACCCCTAAGCTGGTGCTTCTCTGTGCCGATAGCTGTATTCCATCATTCTCGGTATCAGTTATCTTTTTCTCATCTCGAGCCAAAGAGCCCGCTTGATCGGCCATATCAATGCCCATTATAGTGAAGTAAATATGGAGAAAATGGCCATTCAAGAAGAATGTGTGTATGTGTGCCGAAGAACATGAAGTAGACAACAGACCTATAGCGACACTCACGGCGCTTATAAGATGCGACAAGAAGGTTTGAGGGGGCCGGGGAATAGTATTTCAAGTGCCTAGGAGCACCAAACCGGCTTGATTCCGCTTCCTTCAAGCCCTTCGGGGGCTCGATCATTTCAAAATATTTCGGTTTGTTTAACCCCGCATCTGGGACGTATTGTAGATCTCTCCACAATTCGAGGGGGCAAGGTCCACTACTTCGACTACAGTCGCCATGACACCCCAGCATCTCATAACCCCGCAAGATGGCGTTTTTCGGTGACTTCAAGTTCGGTAATGTTTCCGCGTGTGCCGCTTTTCATGAATCTGGGCAAGGATATAACAAACTCAATCCCCGTGTGGCTAGACAGGCAAAGCACATGCTGGACGATCTGCAACTTTTACCGATTATTCATTGTTGCACTTTATCTGATCACCGTCAATTCCACTACTATGGGATCTAAAACTGACAACTGGCAGGATATTGCCAAGCAAAAGCAGCAGGATATCAAGGCTGCTATCCCATCCAAATGGGTCATTCCAGACGAGAAGCTGCCTTCAGAAAGCCAAGCGGATGTGTCCAATTTTCTGTCTCAGTCTGGATTTTTCACAAATCGCGAGATTGAAATTGTCTCAACTGATGCGCTGAAAACGCTGAGCTATTTGTCTACAGGTTCCTGGAAATCCGAGGACGTGACCTTAGCGTACTGTAAGGCCGCGGCTGCAGCGCACCAATTGGTAAGGGTTTTGTTCCATAATCAAATAAACTCTTCAAACGAAGGTTTACTAACTATTGTATTGCAGACCAACTGCTTGTCGGAAATATTTTTCGATGAAGCCATTGCTCGTGCAAAGGAATGCGATGATTATCTCCAGAAGCATGGTCGTCCCAAGGGTCCATTTCACGGATTTCCAATTTCCATCAAAGATAATTTCAATATTATTGGGAAGCCCTCTACAATTGGTATTGCATTACTAGCAAACACTCCTGCAACATACAATAGCACCATAGTGGACTTGATCCTGCAAGCCGGTGCTGTCCTATACGTGAAGACAAATGTTCCTACTGCGGTGATGCTTGGAGAAACGGTCAACAATGTTACCGGTCGGACATTGAATCCCCTGAATCGCAGTCTCACATCAGGTGGATCATCAGGAGGTGAATCGGCGCTGATTGCATTCGGCGGCAGCCGAATTGGCGTTGGCTCAGACATTGGTGAGAACACAATATTCACCGGAGAGGTTGAATACGATCTAACATATCATGCAATAGGCGGTTCTCTTCGTATACCGGCAGCTTGTACCGGAATATTCACCATCCGGCCATCCGCTGGCCGATTTCCTCATTGCCGAGCCCGATCCGGGTTAGCGGGCCAAGAGGCTGTGATGAGTGTAAACGGTCCCCTAGCCAAAACTCTTGAGGAAATAGTCTTCTACTCCAAAACCATTATCGACCAAATGCCCTGGCTTCATGATCCAAAGTGCCTGCCAATTCCATGGCGAACTGTGGAGCCAAAAAGAAGACTAAAACTCGCTGTTATGTGGAACGACGGCTTGGTTACGCCAACTCCACCAGTCGCTCGCGCTTTGAAAGAAACTGCCGAAAAGCTCAAAGCTGCGGGGCACGAGCTCATTGATTGGGAACCAACGGGGCACAAGGAAGCACGGGATCTTCTACGTCGGATGTTCGTTGCAGACGGAGCGAAGTCAATTCGCAAGCTGCTCGAGCCTACTGGCGAGCCATTCCGCCCAGAGATGGGTTCGTATGAGAAATCACAGGAAATGGGGGTTTATGAAATGTGGCAGCTTCAAGTGGACCGCAGCGATCTCCAGAAGAATTATCTTGATCACTGGAATTCTGTTGGCGAGCTAGACGGTATTCTGTGTAGGCCATCCTCCTCCCTCTAATAACTGACAACTAACCAATATGTCATTATAAGGCCCAACAAGTCCCTACAGCTCCGTCGAGCACGGGAAATTTGAGTACGGTGGATATACTGGCGCTTACAATCTCCTTGATTACTCTGCCGTCTCCTTCCCGTGCGGGATCAAGGTCGACGAGAACGTCGATGCTGCGTACAGCGGACATAATCCGCTCAGCGAATTTGATGTCCAGGTGCAGGGTAGCTGTGAGTCCTAGAATTTTTACATCTCTGTGACCGCTCTGACTGACATATACAACTCCAGATAACGCCAGTTTAGTCCATGGAATGCCTGTGAGCCTGCAACTGGTTGCTCGACGCCTCGAAGAAGAGAAGGTTTTGGTGATGACAGAGACTGTTTTGAAATCTTTGTAGCTGCTGATAATCCATTACCCTTATTTGTGAGATATTCTGTGGGTACTCAAAATAATTAAGACTATCATTTTTCTTCATATAATTCTGTCTTTGAGTCTTGAAAATACTAAGTCTGGTATATTCTGAGAAATAGTAAATCGAAGCTAGTGAATTTCAATTTCAACTATCAGTGCAATATCACGAGGCTCCGCTGGCTCACCGATAAACCCCATCTTGTACGTTCAGTTTGCTTGCGTGTGAAAATCCATAGTAAGATGCATTTGTTACACCTAAATCTTGACCTTAGCCTGCCACTTATAGTCCAAGCAAGCCCATCTGGCCATTATAAACGAGAGCAGCGCCAGCACCAGCATACCACCACAAAACGCCACGAAGGCAGTCGTCCCTGCGGCTGCTTGAAGTTGGGCAGCAATCGGGATTGAGATGAGGGTTCTGAACGTCTAATTAACTTTTCCTCTGGCAAATCGTCCAGGCACACTTACGCAAGGCCTACCACACTATAGCTTGTCCCATATCGCTGTCCATATTCACTCACCTTACAGAGCTCCCCGATACACACCGGAGCCAAACTCATCACGCTGCCAGAGCCAAAACCAAAGATGGGGACCATAGTGTAGAAAATAGCGATGTTGCTATTGGCTGGTAGCCAGAGTGCAAGTGTCGCAAAGATTGAAATTAGAATTGAGACTGTCATGCTGTTGAAGCGGCCATAGTGGTCTGCAACTAAACCGGCAGTATACCGACCAAGTCCAGACCCGCTTTGAGCGCGTTAATGTTTATTTCAGGGCAGGAACAGCGACACTTACGCATTCATTATCGCAATTACGTTGAAGCTCGTCTCACGGCCAAACCCCTGATCCAAGGCATAAGTGGGAAGGAGGCCGATCGCCGTAAAGAGCACAAATTCGAAACCTTCAGTCAGGGTCAGTGGACGTAAACTCAATATGCAGGTTGATCCCCATGAACATACACGAAATCCCAGCGGTTGTCCAAACAAATCTCGCGTCCCGGAAGCTCCTCAGGTTGATTACACCTCCCTGTTTTTGAGTTGGCAATCGGCCTCGCACAAACAGATTTCCGAATAGCACTAGGATGAATACAAATAAAGCCAATAGCCTCATTGACCAAGCCCAGGACATGTGACTTAATATAGACCGCAGCGCCAATGGGAACACTATCCCTCCTAAGCTGGTCCCGGTAAAGGTAATACCAGTGGCCAGACCCCTCCGAGCCTTGAACCAGTGGGATATCACGGAGAGTGCAACGGTGGTCAATATCGCACCACTTGTTCCACCGAGAACTCCGAAGCAAAGGAGAAATTGCCAATACTTTGTACATTGGCCTAGGAGCAGCAGATAACACACGCATCCTACTGAGCCCGCGAATGTCAAATATCGCGGTCCATATCGATCAAAGAGTGGACCAATTTGAACACCCAAAAATAAGGTCAGAAAGACTTGGGTAGAAGAGATCCATGCTATATCTTGAGAGCTATAGTTTGAGAGTTGGTGGGATTGCCAATGAGATTGGAAAAGCCCAATTGAAGCGGTGAGTCCAAATGTCGCCGCTATTAAGCAGAACGACGAAAAGACAACCAGCCACGCTTTTCGACCTCCTTCAGGGAAAGACATGGCTGTTGAAAATTGACGAAGTTCAAGTTCAATCCCCTCTTCACTCGGTGATAAAGTTGGCGCTCGAAACAGTTCTGTCTCTCTGGGATAATATTCTGCTCCTATCTGCTCTTGAGAGGAATCTCGAATACCATTGCGTTCGTTGTTAGGCGGCGCAAAGCGGGATCCTGTTAAATTTTCCGCGCTTTCCGGTGGTCTCGAGACCAGAACGGTCAATGTATCGGTCATTTGGCATTAGTGATTAAGAATAAAAGTATATAAATAAAACTCGAATTTAGTAGAGTAGAATCTGTATATAACGATAGATTGATCAATAAAAAACCACTCGGATACTGCGGAATAGAGCCCGTGGTTATGCGGAGTCGTTAGGCGGAGAATAGCGCCCGCTTTTTCGCCGAATGCCAATAACTCTATCATAGAGATAAGTCTGGCCAGAAGCTATGGCGCAAAACGGCCGAGGTAGATCGGCTATGATGGTGAGAATCATTACGGGGATTGGCGATCCATTCCGCCCTACGGCTTCGGCGCCGATAGCGAGTCCTCAATTAGGGTTTATGATTTGGCCCCTATGACGGTGGCAACTAATTACGTTATGATATCGGACGTTTATTAGGTCCGAGCTGTTGCCAAAACCCATTACGGTAGTTGTCTGCGAAGGGAATTGGCCATTCCTCTAGAGAGCAGTCTACTTTTAATAGCCCCTTTAATGATTTGTATTCAATCTTCTGCGCCTTGACGAATTGCGGTCCGACAACGAGCCCAAGGCATGCGCGTGAGCTGCTTTATAAACACCCGACAGTACATGCTTCCAGCAATATGTCCTGTACAGCAAGTTACAGAGCCGTTGAATGGAAATGATTAAATTTCTGATTGATTGACATCCTATTTCGCGGCATTAAAATACGCGAACAGGGTTCTGCCATGTTCAAGACTCGGGAATAAATACAAAATGACCTAAATGATATAATATTCGGTTAAGTAAACCATTCAGATTGTAACTTGGGCTACCTCATCTATAGGTAAGCTAATTTTCTTTGCCACGACGGATTCGAACTGCCCAAGCCGATAGTATCCCTGGACTTCTTGCTCTCCATGTTCCTGGTACGAGTAAAGCTAGATTAACGAGAGATGCCCATATCTGACCGAGGCGCAAGACACTGTGAAGAGATTTTCCGCTGCACCCAAGCCAAACAACTCTCCCACAGAAGATCCTCGGCATTCAAAGCATCCAGCAGCTCAGACACGAGTGCCCGCCCAGAGTTACGAGCCCACCATCGCTGCCCATCAAGTTCATTCAGAAGCAGGCCCCAGTACGCAAGGACCAGTAGTGAAAACGGTCGTCTCTGCCGCAAGCTATCCACAAACCCCTTATCCACAGCCGCAAGCCACGCCAGGACCGGCGCGGGGTCAGGCGAACAGGAGAATTTCATGAAGCAGTGGCGCAGATGCTCAATGACATCTTTATTGATCCTGTAATACATATCATCGCCACTAGCCTTAGTTTGCTCGTTTAGAGCAGCTAGCTGGGTCAACGCGCTGTCGGTATCCTCGTCCAGGGTCGCAGCGGTATCCTTCCAATATTGGCCTTGCGAGAACAGTTCTAGCTTAATCCAGGATTGACCGAGTACCAGGATCCTTTTCACACCCTGTAGCAGCTCAAAAACGGTGAGGATATTTTCCATAATGCTGCTTATATTCTCACGAGTCGCGTTGAGTTGCGGTAAGGCTAGACTGATTGCCGTCGTGACAACAGACTGCGCGAATGCCGCGTCGCAGTTATCTGGCGTAAGGTTATCAATTACGAGGCGGAACGGCCCAAGGCTTAGACTGTGGTATTCTAGGCCTGTGTCAATGTAGGCGAGCGCTTTGGCAGGCTCGAGAGTCGTGGCGATATGCAGAGACGCGAGCGCTAGGATCCCGTTCATCAAGTAGCGGTGCTGGAACGCCAGACGCGGGACGAGCGATTGCCATGTGTATGTTTCTAAGTCACTAACACATAGGCTTTTGTACGTGTCCGCCGTGAACTGATGCATCAGTTCCAGGTCCTCGACGGGACGAGGTGGGGGCGGGGAAGGTGGTGCCACACCGTTCAGCAGACTGACGATGGTCGGGCTCGTCTGGATTGTTCCATGGCTCGCGCGTCGCGCATTGGCTATCAGACTTTCTGGGAGTATTCGGGAGTATGTGCAGTTCTCCAGTTGTCGCAGCACGCAGTTGGTGCAGGGCGGCCCTTGTTCGTCGCATTTGACCCTCCTTCGCCGACAGTGGTCGCACCCATAGCGGGATTTGGTGTGTGCTCTGCGTGGCATGCTCTTGAGGAAAATCGGAGTCGAGATGAAGATGCAAAGTGGAGACTTGGAATTCTTCAAGAACAATTGAGTGGTCGACACACCCCCCGGATCTCGGATTGGCTTAGTTACGTCACGAGACGGCCCACTCGTCGGATTAAATGAAATGGCTCTCTAAATATACATTATTATCTGCCGACTTGAGGCGACTTCAGTACAGTGAAGGCAGCCACCGCAACGCCCATCATCATTACACCTCCCGTTGTATAGGCAACCTCCCTTCCAACCCACCAGAACAGTGAACAAAAGAACAATGGTCCCACGGCTCTGCCCACCTGGCCCCAGCTTCGTAGACGGCCAAGAACAAGTCCGCGTTCACCCTCACGCGCCACTAAACTACCTAGACTGTTGATACCTGTCACTACGGTAGCTGATGTGATGGCCAGAAAAATACCAGCGACATAGACACCTCTGATTGAAGACACGCGTGCAAGCAAGAAAAAGGAGATTGCGCAAGCAACAACGCCGATTCGTATGTTCACAATCGGTGGTAGACGTCGGACAACTGTTCCTTGGAGTAGAGAGGCAATGAGGCCCATAAGGGAAAGAAGACGCCCATTTAAAGCCGAGGGGTTTATGCTTTTTGCTTGGTCGGAGTATAGTGTCGTGGTGAGAAATGGAAGGGAGAATTCCAGCCCGGAGAAAGGGAGAAGAAAGAGGAGATGGAGAACATTCAAAACAAACGTATTGCGAGGTTTGGTCTTTGTGCTTTTCTCTTGACGTGTGAAAGAAGATGATGTGTGGCTATTTGTAGAGACCGTTGATACACCACCATTGCCCGCAGCCGCCGTAGTGACGTCGAACTTGTTATTGTGGCTTGGTTTGGCAGCCAAAGAGGAATGGTCTTGCAAGTGCCTCAAGCGTGGATGTGTCTCCGGTAGAGAAAAGTATATATATATTGTCTCCATGACGACCAGAACCAGGGAAACTCCAGCAGCCACAGCAAATTTGTTGGAAGCCACCATGTTGATACTTGCGAGCGTTGCACCCAGTACCGGACCGCAGGTGAACGCGAGACTAAAGCATGCCCCAACAAGAGCCATGGCTGATCCTCGTTGCTTCTCATCACTGATATCTGCGATAATTGCATTGGCGAGCTGGACGTTACCTTCGCTAATACCGCCAACAATGCGACTCGCGAGGAATGTCCGAAAATCCGTCGCGCCGACCCAGAGGCAGACACTCAATATATTGCCTGTCATAGAACAAAGCAGAGCCTTGCGTCGGCCATGTTGGTCTGAGAGCCGTCCAATAACAGGGGAGGCTAGAGCCTGGAGGAAAGAGAAAACCGAGCCGAACGCTCCACCCAGTAATATAATGTCATATGTCGAGTCGATAGGTTTCGAGAACAAGTTCTTGTACGCGTTCAAGTAGTGAAATACTCGATTGAGCAGGCTCGTAGGTGAGCTCTCTTTTGCGCGATAATAACTTAGGACGGATGGAAAGAGAGGGAGGATTAAGGTAAATGAGATCTAAACACGGTGAAATGAATAAATAGTTAGAATAAAGAATGGAGTCAATTGTTCAAGATCGAATCGGGAATTACCAAATCCAACAGCAGAGAAATTGTCAGGGTCGTGAGAATCTGCCTCCGCTGGGCAGAGGTAAAGGTCATCACGAAGAAATCTTGAAGAAATGGTGAGTGGTCAGACTATTCTAAGTCTTTCCGTCGCTGAACACTTGAAAGTTGGCTAATAACCGAAAAAAGAGTCCCAGTAAGAAAGGGATGCACAATCCTAGTAGATATTTAAATCCACACTTCTAGGAACAGTGTCATCTGCTACTTTGCCTGGGTATGGGTCTCATCTCGCACGGACACCACAATCAAGTACGTCACTTCTGAAGGAGCCTCTATAGATCAATCCGCTGGCTTTAGACCCACATAGCGTAGTGTATGTTCAATAGACCGACCGTGAAGGAGAGCGGTCGCCAGAGCTCCTTAGCTCAGCTGCCTTTAGCTGCCTCGATAATTACGGACTCTATGGTTGCATTGTCAAGTCATACCATGTAATTCGTTTACAGCGATAACATACTGATTCAAGAAGGACGATTAGCTTTGGTGGCGCCCCGCATTTTGAATAACTACTACTAGCGCCTTTACTCTGGCGAATAGAAGAAAGAAGCGAACGAGAGCGAACGACAACGAGCAAGAGCGAACGCGAGCGAGAACGGGATCCGATGTTGTGCCCCAGTTCCTGATCCCCACAAACTACTTGCTCTAGCTAGGCCTCTAAGCACTAGTAGATTTCAAACCAATCCTGCGATTCGCCAGCAGTATGCGCTTCTGCTTGGACCCTTTGACTATGACATATCTTATTCTTGTCCGATCCAGGATTGGACCCTTCTCGGGCGTTCCATTAGCCCATCTTTAGAAAACAGAGAATTGACTTCAAGCCAGTCAGATTTACCCAGTAGGTCATCATGGCTAAATTTTGCCTTGGAAGGGGGAATTTGCTCATGAACTTGAGCTCTTTCTATTCCCCTTATGATATTTAGATAAACGAAAGAAATAGAAATAAATGCAATGTCCAACTTCTTGTTCAAAATATAGAATTAATCGCAAATAAATGCCTTTGTGCAGGCCAGTGAGAGAAAATAAAAAACTAAATCCAGTCCTTCAATACAGCTTCCTCCTTGGGGATGAAGAATGCAACAATAATTACAAGGCAAGGAGGGCCACAATAGCCGAAAGCAGACCAGTAAATCCGGGAGTCGATTGAATGGCAGCATTGACAGTCGCAGTGGGAGAGCTTGAGCCAGATCCCGTAGCAGATCCGGATCCAGTTCCAGATGGCATGCGACCCTGGCCAGCTGCCAGGGTCTTGTTGGCGGCAAGAGGCTGGAGGATTACCGGCTGAGCTGCGCATGTATCGTTCATGGCGAGCGGGCATTTCTCGTCAGTACAAATGCTCTGGTAATTGGCGCCCTGTGACTTGATGACAGTAGTCTTGGGCGCGCAGCGGTAGTCAAACAGTTTCTCAAGGGCTTCGGCGACGGCGGTGATATCCGACTTGGCGACACCAAAAGATGCAGCAGACAAGCCTACTTGCTCAATGAAGTATCCCACCTGATACGGGTCGAGAACCATGAACCTGCCCAAGATATGTGAGGATGCGCGGAACTAGGGAAGTTTCACCAGCGAGACTTACTTGTGAACTTCATACATGCTAGCATCTCCAGCGTAGGCGGCGAATCCCTTCATACCAACACCGGAGCAGCCAAGTAGATCGCCGAAAAACTCGTAGAGGTGAGTCATGAGCTTACTGTTTTCGAGGTCAGCTACCCCTATCGGATGTTCCGGAGAGAGGGATATCTTACTATTGGTTCGATGTCATGTCATTGGCAGGCATGTTCTTCATGAGAGGAGCAGCGGCACCTCCATCCAGAAAGTTCTTCGCGACACCCATCTTCCCTCCGTCATTTGAAGAAGCGAGACCGCCATCAAAGTACGGCATCAAGTTGACCTTGGTCCCATTGTACATGCCATTGGGGTTCAAGATTCCAGGAACGCTCACGCCAACGTTCGGCTGGGTGTAGTTTCCAATGACGACAGTGTTGACTAGCAGGGTCAGGAGGGTGTACTGGTTGGTGGCATTGTTGGTTTTTAGCAATGCTGTCGTGTAGTAGTCGCAAATAGACTCATTTGCTGGGCGCTGGGCAACAGCTGCACCAACCGTGGCCAAAGCAATAACGGCAGACTTGAAGATCATGACGGAGGCACTTAGAAAAAAGTATTAACTGAATAGGATAGAAATGGATAGTTCCGGAGGGATATGTCCTGCATTTAAATAATTCAAGGAAATGACAGCGCCCTGAGCCCATGGGCTTTGGCCTGGGTTCCTAGTCACTCCAAATGGAAAAGATAGTCCATCATCTACATCGGGCGATGTCATTACTGCTCCCCGTCGTAGCTTCAATGGCCGGGTACCACGGCTGTCCCTCCCCCGGGAAACCACCCTGGTGGCAATTCCCCTTCCAAGCCAGCCCAGAGCTATCTAGGCAGGTGGACTGAACTCACCTGCACGAAGTGGATAAATACCCGCCAGCTTCCAAATGCGTAATACTGTAACCGATTCCGTGTATGGTTCACATTGATACACATCGAGTACGGACATATTCGCCTTTCTGATTGGCTCGCCAAGTCCCTTGCAATCCAAACAAAGCGCCCACAGGGAAAATATAGGTTGAAGGGAACCCCAGTGCAGGTAAGGAATGGGATGATAGCTATTGTGCGTTCTCATCCAAGTAGCCAGCCTACATAGACTAACTCATACATTATTGGGCAATTGAAGCGGGTATTAGCATCTCCCACACTCTTGACACCATCTAGAACTGAGCTACTTAAATCCCATTCCTAGCACCCGTCCCAGTTTGTACGACTGAGGCAGCCACTTTTCAACCTCATCACTGTGACCCATCATCATCTGCACCGTAGCTTCCGCACACTGAAACGCCAACGCCATACCTGCTTTCCCATTAGCCATCCCTTTGCCCTCGTAATGCTTCCAAAGATTCACGACTCACCATGTCCATGAAATCCGGCGCAAATCCATAACCCTTCTCTTCCCGGTGCTTGTCCAACAATCGGCTCGCTATCGCGCGTATAGCCCATGATACCCGTCCACTCTTGCACGACAGGATCGACCGGGTTACTGCCCCATGTATCGGCTCCGAAATAGAATGCCAGCTGAGTAGTTAAGTATTTCGAGACGAGTGGGTGGATGGTCGAGTCGTCAAAGACGGGTTGCTCACGGCCAGGTGCGACGGTGCGGCCGCCTCCTACGGTACCTTGTTAGCCATCAATCATACGCATTTTGTGCCTCGCACCTGCACATCACCGAAGGCTTGCGAGCGGGAAGTCAAGGCTTGATTGTCAGGAGCCAGGAGAAGACATACCCATGATGATATCGCCCTCACCGCTTAGTCCGGGTGCACGAGAATGGTAATACGGACTCGCAGCAACATCTGCCATTCCGCAACTCCGTCTCAGCACCGGCGAGCCAGATATCTTGCTGCCAGGCCGCACAACCGCAATCTGACCCCGCGTCGGAATGATGAACGAGTCCAAGGGTGAATAGAGCGCTCCTGTGTAAGCGTTCGTAGCTAGGATGACATGGTTCGCCCGAACATCACCACGTGGCGTGCGAATTGCCCACCGTCGCTGCGAGGCAGGTGCGGAAGCTGGCAAGGCGTCGATGGAGGTCACTAACGTGTGGGTCTGCAAATTCATGCCCTGCTGTACTACATTTTCCAGCAACGAGCATACGAGCTTATATGGGCTAAGCGTATACGCATGGAAGGCGATCGCGCCGAGCGCCTTAGGAAACAGGAGTTTCTCGCGTGCCTCCTCCGCCTGCCAGATCTTGTACTCGTGTCGTACGGGACTGTCTGGGTTTTCCTTTGGCATCGATGCCGAAGTGGAGGTCTCCCCCAAGATTTTTTCGCGGGCCTTCATACTCGCCAAAGCAGCATTCCACTGAGCGGGATCCATAAACACGTCCGCCGTCTCGCTCGCCACTAGGTCACACTGGATGTCCAAGTCCCGCACGAGCTGGGCAACATTCCGCACAGTTGCTCTCTCTAGGGCCTCTAGCTTCAGGGCCTCCTCCGCCCCCCATTTCGCCAAATTGTCGGCGAAGGACAGGTACCGCCCCGCCCGGCAGTGCCCACCGTTTCGTCCAGTGGCACCGGAACAGGCGGTGCGCCCTTCAAGCATGAGGATCTGAGCCGAGGGGTTGGCGTTCAAGATTTTGTACGCAATGCTGGCGCCGGTGATGCCGGAGCCGACAATGCAGTATTCCGTCGTTTGGGGCAGGTGAGGCGTGGTGCGGTGGTCTGAAATAGGGAGAGGCGGGGTTTGCCAGTAGGACGTTGTCGGATTCTCGACAGGAAACCCAGCGACCGGTTCAGACGCTCCTATATTCATAATGGCTATTAATCAAAAGTGGCGAGAGGGCAGCCTCTTGAGTGCAGAAGTGGCCACGGATATGGTAAGGGATTGAGATAAGAGTTTTGGAGGATGTAGCCATGACGCACCATGCCCATCCAGCAACGCCAAACCGGAATGTTGTTGCTTTATTACGGTTCATTCGCGCACTAAGCCCGTTTCTCTGCTCCGTCTGTGCCTGGCTCTGGAGTCATTTATGCCTTTGGTCCGAATTACCCCGTTCCGGCAGCCCCATGATTTCGAGCGCGACTCATCAGCTTCTTTGCGATCCCTCGTCTGGATTGCTCCGCTCGCCTCGACTTTAGCCCCCTCCGCTCTCGAGGTTACAGTATATGTGTGAGTTCATTCGCCCTGAGTCTTCCGATTCAGATGGTCACAAACCACCACCTACTGGACTGGATGCAGATTCGTATTTTGGCCTAGAGTTATTCGACTTTTGGGGGGATATGCGCGCTACACAACTATAGTATTTCTTTGTACAATTTACATTAGCGTGTACTGTACGTGATTTCATGAAAACTTACTATACTACAGCGTATAGGGACCAGGGCCGGTGGGAGGAGGCGGAGCGGCTCGAGGTGCAAGTCATGGAGACTCGCAAGACGAAGCTCAGTGTGGACCATCTCGACACGCTGACGAGCATGGCCAACCTTGCTTTCACCTGGAAGTCTTCAGGTCATAACACCCAAGCCTTTGATTTACTGCGTGATTGTCTATCCAAGCAGAAGCAAATACTGGGGCTCAATCATCACCACGCCTTATCTAATTCCAGAACCTTGATGGAGTGGGAAATAAAGATGTTGAATATTGATACGTAGATGAGCAAAATACTTCAGAATAATAATTTCCTGCGCAGGGCAGCGTTGGACGTATTAATGGTCAAGACATTTCCAGTAATTTTTTGACTATTTATCACGTGGTATTATCTTTCAATACGATTTGATCTCCGAGATATAGCTGCCAAGGATAGATTAGCGTGCTTCAGAGTATGGTTCGAGGACGAATTTACGTGGGTAAAGTGGTGAATCTGATTTCGATCCATCCTGTAACCCTACAACAGAAATAGGATAAAAGAGCTCTGGAGTTTTCTCCATGTTATCATACCAGGACTCGACAACCTCTTCGAGGTCAGCTTCCCGTCTTTAGTGCTCACAAAGTCACCGAAGTCTGCCGTGCCATCGCCCTTGGAGTTTTGAAATGCCGCTGTTGCGTTTATCGCCATGTGGCACGTCACCAGGAGGTGTTCCAGTACCTGTCGTTTTATGCTTATCGATATCAGAGGGCTTGGTTGTTCAGGAGGAAGGCACTCGTATTATCGCGGGTTAGTGCCTACACTGAAGATGGCCGCACAAACGTCTAAGAGGCTGGCATAAGAAGAAGACTACGTGGAATCTGTGAGAGCATGTAAGTTAAGATTTGGTCTGCTTCACAAATAGCTGAATCCCAGCACTCCCTGATCTAAAGTGACTACTGACTATTATAAGTAATGGCTAATCCGATCTCGATTGCATCGGGTGCATTGATTAGTCAGCTCCTCCCTTTGGGACGTATACGAGCATAACGTTATGCTTTATCTGAACACTGACTGCAGTCCGGCATCAAAGTCTATCTTTAAACAAAACAATCACGTTATGCTTCTTCCACAGACTCACCAAACATGACCTTTTTGGTCTATTTTTCGCTAACAAATGACACAAAACTCTCATTGTCTCGGTCATATGAAAATATACTTCGAGCAATAACTATTTAAACTCGCCTTATGCTCTTTATCTCCACCCTTTCACTCTTTCTCACCGTACTCAAGCTTCATAGCCTTTCACAGAATATCGATATTCGAAAGAAGATTCGTCTAATTATTTTCACTGTATTTTGCTCAACATGCCTCGCTTTAATAGCCCCGTTGATAATGCTCAGCTATTCTATCGGGACTACAAACCGCTAACCACGAGCACCATCGATTCCCGGGGCGTGAGTCCATCCAAACCGGCTATCCTTTTCATCCATGGATGGCCGTACTCCTCATCGATGTGGGATAATATCGCCGTTCCCTTGTGTGAGTTCCACAATTTTCGATGCATCACGCCGGACCGGCGTGGATTCGGAAAGAGCGACTGGGATGGTCCCCGAAGCGATGGCAACATCACCTACAATACCTTCGCTCAAGATACGGCTTATCTTGTTGAGGATGTCCTTAGTCTCGGGCCATTCGTGGTTATTGCACTGAGCATGGGACCCGGCGAAAGCATACTGGCTTTTGAAATGAGTGAATACTTCCGACAGAATTGCAAGGTATGCTATACTCTCAAAGCCACCGCTGGAATAAGTATAACTGATGCTAATTGACCGCACTAAGGGATTCGTGTGGATTGCCTCAGCCCTCCCTGGCAACCCCCCGGGGACGGACAACGAATTGGCTGGCCTTGAAGCCGTTTGGAAATCAATTCTCGAAGGTCTTGCTACCTCCCGCGCCGAATACACACATACTGCATTACCAGGTGTGATCGCTGGGAGCTCGGGATACCACTTGGCCCCTGAGACCCTGGAACACTATGAGCGAATTGTCTCAGATGCCGATGCGCTGGCGCTTCAACGCTGTGCCCGCGCTATAAGAATGGTCGACTTTTCGGAAAAATTGCATCGGATTGGAAAAGAAGATTCGACACCAATTCTCTGCATTCATGGTGACTCTGACACCGGTTCTCCATATGAGACCACTGCGAAGGTGGTAAAAGAGATCGTTCCCAGGGCCCGGGTGAAGATATACGAGGAGGGCGCTCATGGTAAATTTCACCTACCCCAATCGCCTACATACGATCCTTTTCGGGCTGACTTTAGATTTAGCGCTTCAAGTCACACATAGGGACCAGTTGGTGGAAGATGTCTTGGAATTTGTTCGAAATCTATCTGCCCGTTAGCAATTAAATTCAATGTGTTGTTCAAATGGAGTGAAGCTGTGGAGCTGACTTGTCTCCTATGCAGCTATCATTTTTGTCACCAGAGTCAGGTATTCGTGATTTTGCACTGGTCTGTTTCCTTTTCTATTCTAGAATAGTCTAATGCTGTTTTCTGCGATCCTAAGTCAATAATTCCGTTAACTTATTGGGTATCATATCCACGCCAGCGTCACCCACTTCGCTATCGATGTCGTCTTCTTCAAACTACTTGCCCTGCTCATCGTTTCTTTTATCTTCTTTAGTCTCAGTTTCTTTCTCTGCAGCATGCTCCTGTGTAATATCAGATCAATGCGAGAGCAATTATCCTAAAGCAAGCAGTCAGAGAGGCAACTGAATCCACTAGCAATCCTCTCTGGCTTCAGCTTTGGAAGATTTCGTGGAAAAGAACATGTAGAGGAACAATAGGCTGCAAAAGTAAGGAATCTTGGGGGCCAGCGCTTGACCTAGCACTTCAGCGAGCCCTTCCACTACCCTTCCCGAAGAGTAGGCTTTTAAAAAGTGAGGGAAAAGGAATCAGCTGACGGGAAGCTGATTCGTATTACGGCAGACCGTCAGTGGATGACAGGGAGTGTATGTGGTGAGAGGGAGGGTAGATGGAAGTCGTCGAGAAGGTCGAGTCTTCCTTTCTAAACAGAAGGACGTGGATCTAGTGAAAGACTGGGGAACAGCTCTTGGTAAGAAAAGGCCTGACGACGAGTAGTTGTCCGAGCTCATAACTCATAAAGAAAAGAGGCGACTGGATTGTCTACGGAAGGAAGAGAAGGAAGCTATCCAGAAGATACAAATGAAAGAAAATTCTGCATCCTTTGCGAGGCTGAGAGGAATGACTCGGTACTGCGCAAAAATAACGTAGGAGGGGGGTATCTTTCAAGCTGTCTGATATTTTTTAGTTGGTGATGATCTCACCAGTCTCGCTCACAAGATGGTCCTGAACACTGATAGGTCCTTCACCGACACCGGTCAGAATGACTCGGCTCACACCATCCTTGAGTGTGCTCAAGACGCGGGGGTCGATCTTCTCCAATTCAACGCCTGGAGCGGTGACGTTGGCCAAAGTCTCGTAGAAGGGGCCGCCCCAGCCCTCAGTGTTCGAGCCAAGAATGGCCTTGGCTGTGCCGGCGACGAGCAAGGAATCCTTCTCCTCGTAGTAGATCACGGCGTTCGGGCCTGCATCAAACGTGTACGCGCAGACCGTGCGACCAACAGCACTGTTGATATCGTGGACCAGGCGCACAGCGGCGCGGGAAACATCATTCATATAGAAAATCGGGGGCCACGAGTCCAGGCAGGTAGCGTGGAATGTGTTGGAATCGCGCATAGTGATCTCGGCAAACTTGGGGAAGTCCCGGTCCCGGATAGCGGCCTCAATGGCAGCCATACGCTCGGGTACGACGGACTCAACTCTCCTAGCGAAGAGCTCCGAGGTGCCCACGGTGGTCTGCATTCCCTCCGTGCTGGGAACATCCTTCTTCTCCGCGCTGACAACCAGAATCAACGCCCGCATCTCCGGCCAGTGCGAGGCCGGCGCGACCTCCTCGGCCAGACTGTCACTGCCATCTGCAAGATCGCCGCTGCGCCATGCGACGTAACCGCCCATGAGAGACCGACAAGCAGAACCCGACCCCTGACGGGCAATCCGGCTAAGTTCCGTAGGAGACTGAGGCAATTGGTAGAGATCGGCAACGGCACGAACCAGAGCCGCGAACCCGGCAGCGGAACTCGCGAGACCGGCCGCGGTAGGGAAGTTATTCTCGGACACGATCCGGAGAGAGAGGTCGGAGAGGGTTGGAAGCGAGGAATCGGCGGCCTCCAGTTCCTGACGGAGGGATCGCAAATTGGAAAGACAGGCGAGAGTGCGTTTCGAGGAGGAAATGTTCTGCGGCTTGCCGTTGAGACTGAGAGTGTCCTCCTTGGGGTACTTGGCCGAGCAGGAGGCGGTGGTCAGGGTTCGGAGAGAACGCTGAGACAGGGTCACCGAGAGAGAGGGATTGGTGGGCAGGTTGAGCGTAACATCGCGCTTGCCCCAGTACCTGTGAGAGAGACCCAGTCAGGAGGGGATTCGATGGTGAGAGGATGAGGGACATAGTATGATGGTTGACTTACTTGATGACAGCAATGTTGACCGGGGCAGTAGTAGTTGCCCGGTAGACGGGCTCGCTAGAATTGGACGCCATTGAGTGATCCAGTGAGTTGGAGGGGTAAATAAGAAAGGAGGCCGAGGGGGAAGTGCGAATGTTGATCTGGGCGGTGAAGGCAAAATTGTCCCCGGCCCGGACGACGATCGATCTACAACCGTCGAACAAACAACTCACCTCAACATGGGGGCCGGGGCAAGCACTCCTGCTCCAGAGACACCAACCGGGTCGTGCCCGGTCGATCACAAAACTCGAGAGGTCTGGTTGCAGCAGCACCAGGGCTCCAACTCGCCTCATGCGCCAGCCCCCGATGCAGCGGCCTCCGAACAAGGCCAACAACCAGCGACAAAATTACATCGCCCTCTATCTGCCGACCGAGAAGTGAGCAGCATCCCTCGAGCCGGAGATACAGCCACAGGAGCATGTCCAGAAGGCAACAAAGGCGCACCATCCCCCTACGCGTCTTCCCCATACGCAGCCTCGCACGGCAGCCCGTCCAATGCCGAATCCGAAACGGGCAAGGACGAGGCGACAGGCAATTGGATCTACCCATCCGAGAAACAGTTCTTTGAGGCGTTGATGCGCAAAGGCAACACGCCTGCCTCTGCCTCGTCTGCCTCGGAATTGGCTACATCGGTAGCGTCTATCATTCCCATCCACAATGCCGTCAACGAGCGCGCCTGGAAGCAGATTCTGGAATGGGAGGCCAAGGCTCCGTCTACAGATCCGGGCAGCAAGAAGTGCGGAGGACCCAAGCTATTTTCCTTCCGCGGACTTGGAGTGGAGCCACAGTTCCTGAGCCCGCGTGCGCGGGTCAATGGGTGGCTTGGTTACCAGCGGCCGTTCGATCGACATGACTGGGTTGTTGAGCGATGTGGTGGAGATAAAGTTGAATACGTGATTGATTTCTATCAAGGCAAATCCGTGGGCAATAGCGGCCAATCGGGACTGGCAGCCAATGCGGGACCAGGCAAACTCAGCTTCTATTTGGATGTTCGGCCCAAGCTTAACAGCTACGAAGGTTGGCGGATGAGATTCAACCGGTTTACTGGTCTATAACAGGCTGTCCCCAGAAACTGGGGGGTGGAATCATTCAATGTATAATGCATGTATAACAAGAGCTATGTACGATATTGTCCTCGCGGACTGGGAAGCAGACAAATAAAGATCACCCGTTCTCCATTCCAAATGCGCCAAACAGCAAGTAAAACATGAAGGATGCCCATGCGGGCATCGTGGGACATCGGGGATATCGTGCAAAAACATGACCAGGGGCAAAGCAGCAGACCGAAAAATCAAACCAGGAGCAGGCTCTTAGTGCCCCATCTATCCAAGGACAACGGCTAGCACAATGATAGCCAGAATGACGGCAAGAATGACGAGCAAGCAGCACGCTTTATTGCGAGCCTGCTTCTGATACCGATGGGCTGAACGGAGCTCGGTATTCGCGCCCCGGGTGTTCTGAGTAACGTTTTCAACGTTCTCGCTGACGATATCCAGTTGACCGCCTTGTTCATGGACGATGTGTGCAACATCCCGGAACAGCTCGTTCAGTTCACCGACACTCTGTTCGATATTGCGGATCTCGGCCTCGCGCTCAATGATCAGCGTCTCTTGGAAATCCACTTCCCCCTGGTTCGCCAGTTGCGATTGCTGCTCGAGCAGCAGCTCCTGTGATTGCGAATCGCCAGGGCCAGATGGGTGTTCGCCGTCTTCCATTCCGGCGCGAGCAGCGACTGCCGATCGCTGTTTCTCCAGTGCGCGACGCTGCACCGTCTGAAACTCATCCAAGGAGGCCTTGAACTCGGTGGACAGCTTCTGCTGCGTCCATTTTTGAGAGGGCTAGGGCGTTATGTTAGAGAATTATTGCGAAAGTATACCAAAAGGGAAAAGAAACGTACGTTGACCTCCTCCCATGTCTGGACCTTCTTGATTGCCTCTCCGGCTTCTTTGAACCCCGCACGTGTCTCCTCCAGTAGATTATGAATCCGTTCGCGCACTCGCTCCGTGTCGCGCTTGGTTCCAATAAGGGCAATCTGGTCTGAGAGTCTAGTGATGTTGCTGGTCAGAGTAAACAGTTGGTTCGACAGGGACTCGGCGAGACGGTCGAAGTCGGGGTCATCGCGATACTGCGGGTCATCCGATCGGCGGAAGGTTGTAGGCTGGGCCTCTAGGGAGTTGAGGCGATCGAACGACATAGTGAAGTTTCTAGTAAACGATGGTTGGTGGTGCAGGAAGGCAACAGGATCCGAGGTTATGCGAGGTGGTTGGTCTGGTATGACGAGATCAGCTGCTGCCTGTGGATGCCCGGAATTGCAGGCCGTCATTGTCACCTGACCGACCCTGTTGCATTATCCCTAAATAGGAATAGCGGCTAGTGTGTTTTGATGCTGCTCCAAAGATCCTCAGTTTGTTCTTCACTGTCGATATTTCACTCAGCACAAACACCTCGGGGTCGGGCCTGCTTGTCACCACCGTCACTGGGCTGTCACTCCCCACTCGCAGGGCTTGCTTGGATTCCCCTTGGGACAAGTCTCCTTGATCATGCTATAATCGACTGTCTTCTTCTCTCGTGCCATCCCACCCCGAGCTCGCCGTCATGGCTGCTGCACAACCACGGCCGTATAGGCGCATCGTAACCTCGGCGCTGCACCGACGGTTTGTCCATGCCTCTGCGCTTGCGCTTCTCGTCTGCTACATCATTGCAATTGCGATCGGGGACAAGTCGTCCTGTAAGTCACGTTCAGTTGGCGAAAGGCCGCTCCCTCAAATCAAACATCCAAGCTGACGGTAGCATCCCCTAGTTCTCTGGTCATGGTTCCCGATCGGTGCATGCGGCATTCGCACGGTCCTGCTCTTTCTTTCGTCCCTTGTTGTCTTCGTCCTGCGCGTCGGCCAACTTCACATCGGCTCGAGAACGACGACCTCCTCGCTCACCACTTTCAAATACCTGTTCCCACTTCATCTCATCCAAACCTTTGGGTGGTACCTCTTCTCCGCGTGGTGGTTCACGGAGATCTACCTCTGGTCCTCCTCGGCGACCGCCCACCTGGAGATGGTGAATCGAGGCCGGTATGATTAAGCACACAATTGCGATTTGAAATTAGGCTGATGATGTCCAGATCGCATGAACGACCGACGTTGAACGAAAGACCCATCTACCTTCATACCTACCACATCCTCCTAGCGTGTGCGCAGGCAACGGCTCACCTGTACTACGACTACGACTGCATCCCAGTGCCCGTTGCGACGCGTGTTCCGAAGGCCGCTGATGATCGTACGCACCCGGTGCCTTCGACGTTGAAATACATCCAGAGCGCTTTACCTAAGGCCATAATGTCTGGAATCACCAGAAGCGTTGTGGTTGCCGGCGTCACCCCCTTGGTGTATAAGATGCTTCTCAGACAGATCGCGTGGAGCTGGTCCCTGTACTTTGCCAAGCTCTTCTGGAACTTCTCCCGGTCCGCTGCTGAGCCCGACACATTTCTTCCGCCAGGTTTTGTGGGTCTCGTCCTCCGATCACTTTTCTCTGGTGGGCTGCTGGTCCTTTGCTGGCAGACGACGAACCTTTTCTTCTCTATTTTCATCGGCAAAGAGCCTCTCAAGCGGGGACAACCTCTTACTTCCGAAACCAAGGATCCTAATGGCAGTTTGCTCACTGGCCTGAAGGCGAAAAAGCCAACGGTGAAAGCCTTTGCGCTCTGGGAGCTTAATCTCATCAGTCAACGCTTGCCTGAGCGTCGGAAGACCATTTTCAGCGAGATCGATCGTGATAATAGCTCGACTTGGTCCCTGGTTTTAGAGTGTGTTACCGATGTGATCAAGGCCATTTCAGCTAGGGTCGAGGTAACCAAGAATCCCGCACCCGGTGTCAAGCCAGCACCTCAGGGCGAGACTGCTCAGCCAACGCTCCAGACTCTGCCACGACTAACCGACCCTCCTAAAAGTGAAAACATATTTGCAGCCTCTCCAAAGGCCACTTCACAACGGGACAAATTCGGCGAGGCCTTCAGCTCAGCTGCCAAATCATATGGACAATCATCAGATTGGACGCCGACTGCACGAGCTCGAGCCCGTGATGTTTTCGACCGCGCCTCGTCGGCCATGCTCAGCCCTGAACGGAAACAGAAGCTTCTTGGCTCTTCCCAAGATCTGAAATTGCTCACTGGAGGTGCCTCGGCAACACAAAAACCCGAGGATGTCCACCCGTTCCTTGCACAGATTCTCCGGTCGCCGTTCGGTCAGCTTTTCCGACAGTCATTTGCCCAGCGGGCGTCGAGTATTGTTCTGGGCACTCCCGAGTCGTCTCTGTGTTCCATAGTTGATGCGGTGGAATCTTTGTCTCGGCTCTTGGTTGCGAGCTTGGCAGAAGATCAATATGGCAAGGTCCAGGCCGATGTTCCCGCTGTGGTGCGTCTGTTCACCCAGACTATCATGACTCTGGAAGACTTTGTTTACAACGGTGGCTTGAGTGCACACTGGACAGATGTCCACTTCCCTCCATCCAGCAAACCTGAGGCACAGGCTGAGGCACGTCGAGTCCCTGACGTGGAACTGGTTCTGGATACTCTGAAGATTTCTCTTGGAGAACTTCTGACTGCGTTCAACCCGTACTTGCGTGATATCGGTCTTGAAGGCAAGGATTTGCGACTTGCAAAGGAAGCGGCTGGTTTTGCTGCGGAAGAGGCAACATCCTGATGTACAACGTTCTTATTTCTAAGGAATGATCTGACATGCACCACAAGAGAGCAATTGACAAAAACCGCCATGACAGACTCAACTTTTCTGTGTATTATTGCTATCTTTTTTGTTGCAGCTTGGGTCTCAGTGGACAAATGCATGGTTGGGCGTTTCTATTATTGGGGCGCGGCTGTGTACTGAGATAGAAGTAGAATGCAGTTTCAGTCTCTGAATTGAATAAATTCCTTGAATAATGCTCACAGATGTTGTCACAGATGTTGCTGCTGTATATAATTGGAAGCCGGTCACATGACGCACTCTCAACCTCAACATCGGCTCCGCTGCTTTCATCCTCTGCCACGTCTCCCAAACAGTCGGTGGGAGCTCGATTGCGTCTAACCTAAACACACATCATTGCTCAGATACGATGGCAATGCTACTAACCAACGTCTACCATCTCCGCCGGGTGGCAGACACATCCGAGAAGGCATGTTTCATCTGCTACAAGCCCACAACAAGCGTGATGATCACGCCCGATAACAAGGTAGGGAGCATTATCATGCCCATGCTATCTTCTGAGTCGAGATATTCAATTCTCTAAGTCAAAGAATCTATCTGTACAAGAACTGATAAGTCCCTAGGACTTCTTCTACGTGTGCCCCGCACACCTACAAGACCGCCACTTCTGCTCTCCTATAGTCAACGCAGAAGCCGAAGCTGCCCGCCGCAAAGAGGAGGAAATGGCTCACGAGATTGAGAAGGTTAAGAAAGAGTATGAGGAAAAGCAGCGGCGGAAGAAGGAGCGTGAAAAGAAGTCTGGGAAGGAAGATGATAAAAAAGAGAAAGATGCCAAGGATAAAGAGAAAGGGAAAGAGGAGTCGGAGTCGAATGCTAATGATGAAAAGGAGAGAGATGATAAGGTACGTGGTTCCAGCGATTGCGCGGCTCTGGGAAAGAAGGTCACTGATCAAACTTCTTCAGATTGATTCAATCCGGAAGGCTGGGACGGGGTCTAAGCCAGATGATTCACCGCGAGTCTTTGCTTTACACAGGTATGCTTTTTTCATTCATCTGGCTGACTGTGTGGGTACGATTGAGTCGGAACTGATGGGATATACAGAAACTTCTATCAAATGCGCGTTGATCGGCTCCGCAATATTGAAATGGCCAAGCGGAACCAGGAGAGGATGAAGAATCCTTCTCTTTTTCCTTCCGTTCCCACTGGCGACATCTGAATTTCGATTTGTTAAACGGTGTCAACATTTTCAGCATGGTGTTTGGCATTCGCATATTTCGGTGCAATGGGGTGGGTTCAGTGAGGATCACGCCATTGCAGATGAACCGGGATCTCCGAAGGATTCACTGCGGATTCAACTTCGTTTCTTCTCGAGAATCAGCGGATGATCCTTGCTCGGTGAAACCGTTGATCAACAATCTCAACAAACCATACCCTGCTTACCTGCCATGGGAATGATGTTTCCTCGAATCCTTCACTTCCAGCCAAGGGCGGGGTTCAGTCTACAAGCATCACTGTGCTTTATCCCTACTCCTATGGCGGGGAAATAGCTAATCAAGGACGATCCGATGTTGCATTGAATTATTCACTTTGGAAACGTTGGGATTCTACAACAATAATATGATCTTCACCACAATAACACAATAATAATCCATGTATGCGGCAGGCTTCTAAATCCTATAGGATCATTGAGCTTCCTCATTCGCGTTTCTTCTCGGGGGGTTAATTAAGACCTCCGACCGCGGGCACCATACATGCGCTGAACTAAACTTTTTCAAGACCTCTGTACTATAACTGCATATCTAGGCTTATATACCCTTCTGTCTCTGGTTAGGCGGTACGTACAATCCTTTCCCGCTCTAGGCAGTCCCGCAGGTATCTATTCCCCGCCAACACCCCTGTTGTCGGGGAATTTGCAGTCAATCACCCGCTGCCACGACAGCGGCGGCCTTGCATGCTACCATGCTACCATCTCGCAGATCTGTGCATGTACAATACCAAAAACGAAGCGGGAAGGGAGTGATAAGCACTAGGCAATAAGGCTGTTAACTCTCGCTGTTTCCAGTAGTAGTTGTTGCGATGTGTGTACCCTTGAAACTCTTGTGAGAATACCCCGCCTTAGGCCCCGCCACCTCAGCCTTGGTGGGCGACTAGATTATTGACACCCCGTCATTTTTGCATTGTGTTCGCCGGTTACGAACATACGAGGCGAGGCGCCTGTCGATCAGGCCCGTGCTTGCATGGGCTTGAAACGTGGAGTCGCCCGCCGGGGAATGCTGCAGCGGGAGCTTAAGACAGATATTTGAATGAGACGCCTGATTTCGATGCAGCTCGATCAGCCTTACCCGGCCGAGATTGGCTGCGTCGTAGAGAGAGAATCAAGCCACTCGCGTTGCAAGGGATACTGCTATTGAGCGGACTTTTGATAACCATATGCGAATTCTGTGTTTTATTAGTGTTGTGCAATTTTTGATGTTCAATTACAACAGGCTTCAGTGTGGCTGTATCCTTTCTAGCACGCAGTAGCCTAATACTCATAGTACTATGCATTTGTAATGTGAGCCAAGTTTTGACAAGATAACTTAGTTGCCTAGCAATGCCACACCCTCCTTCGTCTCCAATCCAGACCATCAGACATAGTCAGCAGGGTAGAATCCACTAGGGATCGAAAGTATGATTAATTCCTGGCAGGCAGTAACGAGTACTGTAGTTGGGAGGCAACTCCCAGTTGCTTGCACAGATGGTAGCCACATATTATACCATACGTTTAAGACGCCCGATAATCGAGATAGGCTTTCACTTAACGTTCCAACGTCATGGTGTGCCGTGTCTGTCGGTACCTCAGCAGCCTTTCATCCTTCTAGATTGCTTCTCACACCGTCTTGCATCAGGCGTACAATGGCTTTTCCCGAGAACGTATGAAGTTTCAAGCTTACAATAATACGTTTTATCTGGAAGCCCGTTCATCGTCGGCTACATACATATGCGGAGTAATGATGAGCGACGGATCCATGCCTACACCCTTTAAGGCTATAGTTGAGAGAAGAGGACCTTGCTTTTCTCCAGTTTGTTTGAGTCAAGACGGTGGGGAAGGGGGCTGTGCAATGATGGGGAGCTTGGATTTTTATCCAAAAGCTGTGGGGGAAAGTTGTAGATCAATCATTTGCCTCGCGGCGGGGGTTTTGTTTGGGGGGGAGGGGGAGGAAGTCAGTTTTACGGTAGTCATAACAGACGGGAATGGCCAAGAAACTATAAATTGGCACAGATTTGGATTAGGGGGGGAAATAAGAGTGTTCCAACTTGCAAGTAAGTAGTAGGCTGAGCCTGAAACCGCAGCCGAGTGTCACAGATGTTTGCTGGTCACAATTACAAATCTCTTTATATTCCCTCAAAGCGGAACTCTATATAGTATAGTTTTGTAGCAGTTATCGGGAAGCTAACCAAAGGTAGGAAGGAAGCTATGATGATATCAGGCCGTGGAGTTAGTTGCACTTGGCATTGCCCCACTACAAGCTCGGAGCTCTCCCCTGCAGGAGGACGCAGCTTTCAAGGTCTTAGCCTCTGGAGGGAAAGTGTGAAGTTACCGTAGTTAGTTTGACGTACCTGCCGAGGTAGTTCCATATACAGTTTGTAACACTACGACACAAAGGTCCACCAGGCCGTCCACAGCCTGTTTTTTAATACATAATAAGAGAATCGAAGTACATGATAGAAAACCATAACCATACCTGACCGGTAATACCTATACATCCCACGCATGTGGGACCAATCTGGAAGGCGAGGAGCAGACCCGCTTTTGCACAGCCTCCCTCGTTGGAGCCCAACCGCCGTCATCTCCTTCCCTGTTGACAGCCTGGGCCGTGGGTGGGCTGGAAGATGATGGTTGGCTAATTCGTGTGCATGGTTTTAGCTTTGCCAGGGTCCGCTAGTCATTGAACTAAAAGAACAATTTTAAATACAGACTTTGTATACTTCGAGTTAAATTCCCAGGAGATTGAGTCTCAATTGTCCGTGTGAACTAGTTAGGGATTTGTTGTGTTACAAGTTGTGCAAGACTGGGTAAGACGTAAGACGTAGGGTTAGCCCAGTAGATACCCTACTTTTTATTAATTTTTACATATAGAACTGACTACTAGGGGCCAACCATTGTATTTGCAATAAGGCTGGCCTGTCGAGAGCTGGGCGAGACCAACTACAGAATTTCCATAAATAAACTTCTAATGCCAGATAGGAAGCTGAGAAGGGCCAAACGTTGACTGACGCCTGGGTAACAGCCCTGAAACGCCGCGGCGCCCGGGGTTGGGTTTGTTCCCATTGCGGATGCACGAGTCTGTTCAGACTTCAGCCACGGATAACTCTGTTTCGATTCTCGAAACGTTTGAGGAAGCGCCTGCACTCCACATGACGCAAGTGAACCTGACCGGTATATCCTCGAAGAGCAGGTTGCTTCGGATATGTATTCGAAGCTGGCAGAGATCGCCATGGCCTTGACAAAGAATTTGATTGGGTATTTTGGACGTAAGTAATAATCAGGGGTCGTAAATATGTACGGAAATGCATATGCACTACATGCCCAATGGTCATGATATTATTCGAAATGTCGGCCTCAAAGATTCCCACGCCCTGAACCAGGGCCGTTGGATTCAGAGGACCGCATTCCCGGGGGCAAGCGGATGCCGAGCGCGGCGGGGGCGCCTCGCGTCATGTTCACTTGGTTCGCCATATCCACGCGAGCCTTAGCAAGACCGATCGCAGGCACCACCCAGCCACCGCAGCTGCATTGCATTCCTTGCCATGCGAATTTCCCGATATTGGCCCCGCAGGCGGAATTGGGGCAGGTCAGACGCCCGGATAATGGGGCGTCCTCTGACTTATCTTCTGGTGACGACGGGAACAAACTGGGGCGCATCCACGTAAGCGGATGTAAGAAGATGTGCGCACAGTCCAGATTTGCCTGGGACTTGGCACTGTTCTTTCCCGTCTCGTGAGGAATGATGAATGGGGTTGTTGCCAACTTGCGCCTGGTTGATGACCGGTTAGGTATAGTTCATCGTATAGATTTTGGGGTCGATATGTACCTGCATTTCCGGCATTTGATCTCGACCGCCTGGTCTACTTCCTGCTGGTGGCGAAGCGGCTGTTCGTCTTCGAATCGAACGGACTTCATCTCGGGGGCTCGGCCACACGCTACACTTTCCTCGACGTCGCGGCGATACAGCCAGCGCTGGTAGGCAGGCTGGCTGGTGACATCTTCTGGGCAGCCCATCTCGTGGTATAGTACGAGCTGTTCCATAAAACCATCATTTGGCTCACATAGCGGCCGGCACTCTCTCAACAGCGTCAGCGCAGATTGCGGCGTGAGCGCCCCAGGCTGCTGGTGGAGCAGGTAGGCAAGGCAGATAGTAGCGGAGCGGGACTTGCCCATTGCACTGGATCGACATTGTCAGTCACCGCCAGAAGTAGATGATAATGAAGGGTGGATTCGAGCCACGCGCAGATCGCACTTTACAGACACGTGATGACGTAGGAGGCATGAAGCCACCAGGCACACAACACTCCGGGCCGGCAAAAAGGAAAGAAAATCAGGTGGTTTTAGGCAGGTGGTGACAACACATGAAGAAACAAATGGACTAACCAATGCACAAGAACGCCGCCACCTGCATCCAGCCCGGCCTGGATGAACTTGATGGCGGCAGGGAAATGCTCCAGAAGATTCTCATCGTCGACATCGTCAACATCGATGAAATGATGGAGATAGGGTGCAAATGTTTTCTCCTCGGTTGTGTTCAGCCGGAGCACGGAGAGCACATGGGTGATATTCTCCCTGGCCATCGCAGCTTTGTTTTTGAGGCAGAAAATCCTACAGCTAGGTATTAGCAGCAGCCATAACAACAATAACAGTTGAAGGTCATCGAAGGAGACCTCTGGATTAGGATACTACTAACCCTCCGATGTAGAGATTGTGGCCTGAGATGCGATTCATGGCCATGGTGGTGGCGGTTAGAGGTGGACTTCACCTTCACTGTTCATGTGCAAAGGTGTCCTGTCAGGATGTGGTAGGTCTTGTAGAATATGAAGACTAGACATAAAATAAGGGCAATAATTGATCTCGGACCGTGCAAAGTAGTCACTGTACCCTGCAACTCCCGTCCGACAGGCTCTGAATGGAGATGGATAACGGCCGAGGCAAACTAGCCCAGATAAGAAATTAGGGCAAGGGCTAAATACATCCTCAGGCATCAACTATTTGCTGCGCGCGCTCGAACTAAATATTGATTGTCCAACTATTCTGTACTACCTGGCATCGTTTGTTTTGCTTTTTGTCCAAACCAAAACATCGGCAGTAATTACTAACCATATCACCTGTTCAATGGGGCAGGCTGGTCCGAGACTAGACAATACCCACTTAACTAGACTCCGCATTTCGACAAATTCCATACATACATCTGCAGAATAATTAGTTCCTGAGTTCTCGGATTGCCACCAACATTGAGCTGAAAAGGTGCCCAGCGTGGCCAAACCAAACAGCCACCGCGTGTGATAGGTAGCCGAGAAAGTCCATGCTTCACAGCATCAAGGGATCCGATTTGCCGTGCTGCAAGGGGCTTACGCACGCCGAAACTTTTCGACACGCCGCGGCGAACAACCTTCTGGGGGTAAGCTTGGTGCCACACTACACTCCTTTCGGGAAATGCGGCTGGCGCCCACGCGCTGCAGCCCTCTAGGGCTTAAGGCTGACCGGCCACACCTCGTGTTTCCACGGGACAGTTGGACCCGTGATTATTTAGCGGTTTCCAGTGACACTCCCGCCAAGACTGTGCTTTTGCCAAATCCTGTGGTTTAGGTTAGCAGATCAGTTACCGACACCGACACGGCATGAAGGTCGGCTATCCCATGGACCTGGACTGGTGACGATCGGTTGGAAACGCACAACTTTATTGCGACTAGGTTTGTGTGCGAATCATTCCGCCAAGATCCCGTTGCCACCCACGAGTCAGCAACATGGATCGAGCTGCCAGAAGGCTGAGATGCGTCTAAAGCAAACCAGTGGTAGTACGTGCATAGCCTTGTGGTGTTCTTAGCTCGAGGTTAGCCCGAGTCATGTCTAAGACTCGCAGGTCTGACAAGTGTCGGTCGTGACAGGCAAAAGAGGGCGATTTGCCCAGATTGTGTTCCTCTTGGCTCGCCTGCTTCATCCCGAGTCGCCGGTGAGTAACTAGCAGCTCAGTTCCAAGCGTTCCAGGCGACAGAACCTTGGAAAGAGCCAAGCCCTAACTTTAAACAGGGTAATTACTCAGCGCGTTTGACCTTTCTGGTTATATCTCGAGAGGTGCTTCTTCGTGTTCCATTTGCCTTTCCTATTAGATGGTCCGTGGGGTGCCCCCTATTATTGCGCACCGCCCATTGCTCGCCCTACCGTGCCCTTCCTGCTGCAATCAGCCCAAAACGAGCAAAATGACGGTGGAGCGACCATAGTGTGGCAGTGCAATGCATCTTGGGCCCCAAGTGGAACCCACTAAGACTCCCCTGTCCGTGGGTCCGGCCAACGACCACTCACCGTTGTCCCCAGTGATGTGGAGGCAATGGATCGGCCCTTAAAGAATGTTCTCTCTCGACTCTGCATCCCCTTCGCTCTCGTGTGAGACTCACCAGGGGGTTCCGCCTGCTCCGGATGTCAGAGAAGTGGAGTTGGAGTGCCGCCACCCGCCAGATTCTTCTTCGCGGACTGGCTGAAAGTCTGCCCGGACCTACTAAGCAGGAGACGTGATATTATTCACGCTCTCCGAGGCGTCCAATAACTCCACGAGAGAAAGTATCACTCGATCAGCGGTCTAGCCGTAACTTCGGCGGACCACAGTCTAACTAGTAAGGATGTAAAACCGAGTTTAAAAGCCATTCCCGTCCAGCCTTACCACGATACATATTCTAGTCGTGTGTCATCCAACGTGGCAACCGTTCCACGCGATTATTACATGTTACTCTTCCAGATCGGACGATCTTGATCCTCTTTCTGTAAACTATTTTCTTCTCCTTGAATTCCCTACCCCACCCACCGTACCCGTATGTAACTTCCGGAAATCCATACATATACTGGTATTTTGCCTCTCAACGTTGCTCAACTTCGTTGGCTCTCGTCTTCCTTCCTCAGCTACACGACAGGCCCCGTTCAGCTCTGCCCTTCCCACCACCACATTCCACTCCCCGCGCCACCAGAGCTGAGGATGAGATCACTGTCCTGCCCTATCGCGCGCCGTCCTCACTCCTACTAGCACCGGCCTTCCGCGCCGGTCGAGAGATCCCTCTGGATCGTGCGCCAATCATCGTTCCACTTCGCCATCTCTTTTGTATTTCCCTGGTTTTACACTTTTCCTATTTCGCCTTCGTTCCTTTGCCAGCCGGTTCTGCATCCCGCCAGACGCGGGCCAATTGTGCTTTTATTAGCGGGGCCACGCCCTTATACCGTGCCGCGCGCCAACTGTCGGAGGTCTGTCGCAGATTACTCCTTTGCACTGTCCCCGTCCGACTTGCTCAAACCATGTATGGTGGGCCGCCTGCTTGCTGCCAGTGAATTGTTGCCATCCAACGGATTTCTATGGGAAGCAATACACCTCGGCCGTGTGCGACTAGTAGCCGGAAACCGTTTCGGCGCATGAAGCAGCAAATCGTCGGGTCTACGAACAAGACTTTGCGCAAGGTAGGGCTGAAGTCGCGGTTACCTCATCAGTGCCTCTGCTCCATGCTGACCGGGAGACGCAGACTTGACTTTTATTCCCAATATCCCACCATTTGCGACTTGCGTGGGTGTGCCGCCTCAAATCCATTCCCCGAATAGTCGCGGCCAGGAATTTAGAAGCTGGACCTTGCTGCTCAAAGGCATCGAAGACGTGGGTGAGCGAGAGGCTAATTGACGGCCCGCTTAGGAATCGAAGCCGGTTCCACGACCGACATTGCTGGATTGGGTTCTTGCTACGAGAACAACACACTGGGCAAGCTGGATTTCGACCTGCTAATCAGTTTCGAATCCCTCGCACTGAGAGAGGCTTGATTTGCTCCAGGCTGGGCTCGCCCATGGACACCTGCCGGTTCCCACCACATCGACCTTTCTCGAATGAACAACCCACGATTGATCTCGCCGCCGTCCATGTGCTCCCATGATTTCCGAGATCACGACCACCACGGCTTCTCCGATCGACCTGCGCACACTATTCCTAATATGCCATTCTCATCACATGGCCCTATGCCCATCCCATCACGAACCGTTATGAACACCGCTCCTCCACCATTACCGCCACCTCCGAGGATCCATGATCTGGACAATGGCTACGACGCTGGCTGGCTCCACGCTAATTCGGAAAAGCCGACTCATCTTGCACCTATTAATCCAAACTCGAGCTTGTTTGGAGGTCATCGGCGGGCAGAATCGGTTCCCCAAAGTGATCGGATGGCAGTGGATGACGAGTTCGAGGGCAGAAAGAGTGGCGTGCCAGTATCCCGGAGCCCGGAGGCCCAAATCATGATTGAACCGCCTCCACCAGCTGATGAAGGATTCCCCAGTTCCATGTCAGTTAACCAATCTGGCCCAATGTGAGTGGTTTTGCTCAAGACCTAATTTGTACGACTCTTGATGAGCTAACTCTGTTATAGTTTGAAGGGAGAGCGCAATTTCTCATTACGAAGTGTGCAAGACTCGTCTAATGCATATGATCAGCACCTGTTATCAAAGATTGGAAAGCCGTTGTCCCCTCGGGGATCGATTAGTCAAAGCGCGGAATGTCGAGGCTCGGTGCCGGCACTCACGGTCCCGTCACTAACAACGAGCAATGTTCCCTCACCCGGTCCATCAGAGGGCTCAACGTTAGATGTGCGATGGCATAACAGCCCCCAGTCTGGAGGGGTGTCACCCAGGACCAAAGTTGGCTGGAGAGAGTACAACGATGGCCGCAGTCCGAGTTTAGAGAGTATCTTACCATCCGCGGCATTGGATTACGACCACCACGGTTACCGGCGTCGATATGGCGGAACAACGCCCCAACGTGAGGATAGCATCAGTCTGCCAAGCCGATCAAACCGGGGTAGCTACGATCAAGGGGTTTTCTCTGATCTCGAGGGCGAATTCTCTGCCGGTGAGCCTGCGCCCCGGCAGCAATTTACTATACGGGAACCGACACCTCCGTTTGCAGACACTTCGAAGCAGGGCATAAAGCGGCGAGCATCTTCGCCCCCACGAGAACCGATGTCCGACGATAGACACCCCACTTTGCGCGTAACCATGAGCAGTGGTGATTTATCCCAGCGGCGGACGAGTGGGCATCCGGTTTCGAACACATTGTCAGTGAATAACAGTTATGCTCCAAGCCACCGAACCCTCTCGGCTGGATCAGCCTTGAGTATCCGCACCTCAGGCTCGTACTCGTCCACCCTGTCGATTGGAAATAGCAGCATGACCAGTCTGTCGCCTTATGATCGTCCGTCTCCAGGCGGCCTCTCACCCAGCTCAGACCTGGACGCCTTCCATGAGAAGTCCATCATGAATCCAAGCGCCTCTGCTGGTGCCCCGCTTATTCATCCGGCAGCATCCAGAGTCATTTCGGGGTCCAACACATTGGAACCACCAACCACGGACACGACTGGGAAGATACCAATGCCGGCTAATTTGAATCTGTCTAAAGGGGTAGGCTCGAAGATGAGCGGGCTTTACATTTGCGACTGCTGTCCAAAGAAGCCCAAAAAGTTTGACAATCCGGACGATCTACGGTATGCAGTGAGACTACTTCACATACGGACTGTTCCCAGCTGACCTTCTGCCCAGTGTTCATGAGATGGAGAAGCAGTACTCATGTCAGTATTGCAACAACCGCTTCAAGAACAAGAACGAAGCAGAACGTCACCAGAATTCTCTTCATCTCCGACGGCATTCATGGTCATGCGCCGCTCTGCCAAACTATCAATCCGCTTTTCATGGCTCGGCAGCTCCCGCCGCCCAGACCAGTGCTGGGCCGTCTCATGACACATGTGGTTACTGCGGGGAGGAGTTCCCAAACTTCCCCCAGCCAGATTGGGACCGCCGCTTTGAACATCTGACTACTGTGCACAAGTATGGCGAGTGTAACAACGCGAAGAAATTCTTCCGTGCCGATCATTTCCGACAGCATTTGAAGCACAGCCATGCGGGAAGCAGTGGGAAATGGACCAATATTCTGGAGAATGCTTGCATGAAGGAAGAGCAGCTGCCAGAGCCTCGAAAGGATAAAGCTCTACATTCCGCCAGCGGATCGGGCTCTACTTCTCAGCCTTCAGCCGGATCACTAGCTTCCAATACGATTGAAGAGGTTCTCAGCGAGCGATGACAATGGGGTTGTCACCTTTTTACGATAGAAGGCTCTCCATTTACTTGGCCATTCTGCCTAAACCGAGATTGTCCCTCCTGCATTTTGTTCGCCTGCGACCAAAGAAGGGCGGTTTGACTGGAATCTCATTCCATCAGCATCAACGGACAAAATAAGGGCCCTATCCATCTTTTTCCAATTCCCCACGAGTCAAGACCCCTTCTACTACACCGAGGTGGACCCTTTCGCCTTTTCTTCAACATTACATTTTTCCTCACCGACCACGGACCAAACTTCCTCGAAATCAAGAAATCTTCACGCAACTAGAATAGCGGTGACCTTACAAGAAGAAACTCCCGTGAACATTATACGGGATTTACGACACGACACGATCTCTTTTTAGCTATTGCTTTTTACAGGGGGAGAAGTGGTGGGAGTTCAATTTTCCGGGGTGGTTTTCTTGCCGGGTGATCACTCGAGCGAACCTTCGTGTGTATACTGCTGCATCATTACCTGGGTGGTTAGTTTATCATTTCCCTGTGAGTTGTTGGAGTCTTGTTTTTATCTGCTACTACATCAAGTGGAGTCATTATGGGCTATGATAGCGGTTGGGTTTTATGGTTTGTTTCATCTTTATCCCGGGGTCGGGTCGGGTTTTGCGCGGTTCCATTGCGACTTTCTTCTGTCTTTCTGCTCATACATATCCAGCCCGACGCCCACCCCTATACATATGGATGTGCGGTGCTGTTGAGATGGGAGGCATGCTGGGGTGTTTTGTACATAGATGTTCTGCATGCTAGGCCTCAAAAGATTGACACTATGCTGTTTGTGCTCTGGATTTGTGTGTGGTCTTCTAGTAATTTCGTCAAGTATGTACTGCATGTATGGTCGGTGCATTATTCTTCAACTGCATCTCATACTTTCTCTTCGCCATTTAACTACCCACATCAAGAACAGGAAAACAAGTGAAATTCTGATGCCCAATCTGCCAGTACGGCATTATCTCATATGATTCATACCCTGGGACCGTGGAATGCAGCGGCTGGCCATTGCCTTGCAGCATATCAATAAGCGATGAGGGCTTGGATCCAGAGACACTAATCGATGCGTTGCTCAAGGCACCAGCAAAGGCCATGAGCACAGGACCGTATTCGAGCGCATAACGCGAGTGGCCAGGGATCTCGTATTCGCCTGTGTACTCTTCCAAGTGGTATTCGGCCGGTAAAATGAACGACATAGTGTCTCCTGAAAACCACATGCGATCGACTGATAGGTAGGATCCGGGATGACCCGTGAGAGTGGTATTGCTGTGGTTAATGGAAAGCTGCATAGGTCTTGCTGCCCAGGAGGGGACGCGGATTCGGATGTTGGCCCGGAGTGGGGATTTGCTTGACGAGGCAAACGTCATATGTACATCGTTGTGGAATGGGAACTGCGTTTCCATGCTAAGAGTTGCGTTGTGGTCATCCGGCGTCGACCATGTTACAGCCGCGGTGTCGAAGAGATTCACATAGATACCGGAGCGATCGTTGGCGTGCGAGAAGATAAACTCCGCGAGCGAGCCCAGAGTTCGCGTACCCTGGCCCTCGCAGCAGGTATTGATCATGCCATTACCGTAGGGGCTCACAGCCGGGTCCTCGAAATCCTTTTGGCCGACGAGGTGAGCATGGTAGATAATCCCCTTGTCGCCGTTCTGGTTGGCGAGAACGACGTTGTAAATAGACTGCTCGATTTGATTTGTGTAGGCTTCGTTGTCCGGATCCAGCCAGTGTAAACGCTGGTTCAAGCGGATCCAGAAACTATTTCCACAGAGCTCTCCCGTCAAACCGTCCAGACGATATGAGTCTGGTGGGTACTGGCCGAATTCCACGATGGCTGTTGAACCGCCGATGTGGATCCAGTGCTTGAAGAAGAGCTCCCAGTAGCCAAGCAGCATGTCGTGGTACCGCTGGTCACCAGTGAGTAGGTACAGATCTGCATAGGCCTCCATGTTGGTGCTGAGGTAGGTGTGTGGATGATCGTAGGGGTATTGCCAAATCATGCTAGGATCCCTGGCTGCAAGGCCGTCACGCCAAAAGTTCATTTGGAAATACTGCTGGACTACATTCGCGTCTCTTGGAGCCCCGACAGGACTGCGGGCCATCAGGGTGTTGGCAACCATTCCCTGCGCGCCCTGTACTGATCCCCTCATCAGATGCTTGAGAAGGGGGTACTTGTTGTACCAGTCATAGTAGCCCCGGAGGAGAGTGAACGCATTTTGAATACCGGTAAGACCTGCGTCAATCAGCCCATGTGTGAGCCACGCACGTGTGTATGCGGCATGCTCTCCCAGGAACATTTGGTCTTGCGGATAACCCATTATGAATCCATCGGGTTCAGCACACTCAGCAATCGTAGCGATGACGGCTTCCATTCGGCTGCGGAGCTCGCTATTCTCTATCCAGCGCAAGGTATTAGACGCCCCCATCAAAAAACGAGCGGCGTTTGATCCCTGATATTGAGCCCAGTACCCGACAGGGTAATCCAGGTTTGAGGGGGTTGGCTTCCCTGCACGGGCGAGGAAGTCATGCACTAGCTTGTCAACAGAGCCCATGGAATCGTTAAGCAAATAACCGATGTTGTCGACCATTGCAGCCTTGATGACACCGTTACCCAGCTTTACACCGGATAGAGGAGTGGACACGAGCTGTTGAGGCGGATGCCAGTCCTTTGGATCGATCACATTATCGGGATTGTCGGTGATCACTCCTTCACCCATTGCCCTTGGAGGTCTAGTCAAGGCCGACGAGTTGCTTATAGGCAGATCAGAATTGTATGGATCTGAACCAAGATTGACCACACCGCTGTTTCCCAGAACAGGATCGACAGCGACGTCCTTGCCTTCAGCAATATCATTTCCATCAGATAGAGCACTCAATTTTGAGAGACCCAGTTGATAATGCTGCCCGTCTATGCTCATACCTAGCTTTGTGGCGGTAAACCGCAAATATCGACGGCCAGCACCTTGTTTACGATCGACGGGAATTGACTGAATGGTATCTCTTGGGTTGGGCTGGTCTTCGTTGGTGCGGTCGATGAGCATAGTAGGGTTATCAAAGGAGTCTGTATCATCAGCCTCAACCTTCCAGCGGCTGGGAAACGCAAAGCTGACGTATGGCATAGTTTCGGGCCAGTAGTGAGGTTGAACCAGCGGGTATATCTGTACCTGCTCAATGGGAGATGCGTTGTCCCCCAAATCGATCTGAACCCATGTTGTAGCATTTTCGGTATCGGCGAGCTTGCTTTGGTAAGGCAGGTACCAGCTGGCTGCAGTAAATGCCATCTGATTCTCATACAAGCCTGGAACAATGTCTGTGACATTCTTTTTGAGGCTAGCCGCAATGACCCTAGGCGACAAGGCCAGGGTCAGCGCAAAATAAAGAAGGCGGGTCATCTTGGGATAATGTTGCGAGACATTTGTTGAACAACGACTGATCATTTATTTAAGCGTCAGTAGTCTAGTGGAATGCAAGTTCATTCATCACTCGTATCGGTCTATCATACCCCGAGCCATCATCTCTCCCGTAGAATCTGTGCACCTCTGAAAACCCTCTGACATCCCGGCACGAGTACTTGGATCCTTGGACCCTGTGCTTGGACCTCGATGCTTCGCAAGATTTTATGCGGGGTCTTGCGGGGGCGATCGACATGATGGCTTTGAAGGATCGTTGTATTTCGGGGGTGTCCGATAGCGTCTTCCAGATCTGGTAGGAATGTACATACGTTTAGTGGTTTCGGTCGAAAATGTACCGAAATCGTAATTAATCTTGATAATCATGAAGTATTGTGAGGATGCTGTTTTGGATTAACTCAGACTGATCATTGGCACGCCACTCGCGACATAGCTACACTAGTAGTATCCGCTCTGTATGTTTCCTGGATCCACATGACTCGACTGGAGGAATGATGGCCCATGATATCCGACTAGTATCCGCCCTGGCTCTATCAAATCAAACAAGCAAGGAAGACTTTCTCATTTCCTTGACAACAGGGGCCTCTTTCTTCTTCTCGCCAATGCCAGTGATCGAAGCAAAGCTCTCTGCGAGAACGGCAGCACCGCCATGCAGCGGCAGAGTTTCATCGGGGTTGGGGTTGTTGTCGTCTTGCTCCTCGCCCTGTACAGTAAACACTGGGACCTCAAATACCTCGTCCCGAGAAGCAGCGCACATAGTCAAGACCTCTTCCAACGCCTTCTCGATGGCAGCAGCACGCTCGCGCATTCCACGCCGCAGCAACGCGTCAACCAGATTCTCTGCCTCCGACACGGCAGAATTGATGCGCTCAATGAGACGTCGAATACTATTAACAAGATACTCCTCTTCATAGACGGTTCCCTTCTTTCCGCGTGCACGCTTGCGCTCCTCGCGCCGGCGGGTCTTCGAGGTCTGGCGGGACGAGGTTGTCTTACCCGTGTAGCGGGTGAACATGGTGCGGCCGGCTAGTGTAGATGCTTCGGTTGGAGCTAGCGAGACATTGTCGGGGATATCTGCTCCGCCGTCGCCGAGAGTAGGATCACCGCCGAAGAAAGCAAGTGGGTCTGCAGCACGGCGTTCGCGGAGCTCGCGAACGCGCGGGACTTGGGCGTTGAGTTGGGACTTGCAGTCGGCCAATAGGTCTGTCATGGCACCCATTGCTTCGGCAAGCCCCGTGTCCACTATCTCTGTGACCTGGGTCTTTTTGCCGTGGAGTGTGAGCAGACGGGCGGCATCGGCAAACTTGGAGCCGCGGCACAGAAGTCGGGATGCCGTGAGGATGTCGTGGAGATGCTCGGCGTGGATTGTGGCTGCTGAGACGTAGTCTCGGCTCTCATCAACGAGGGTTGTGGCCAATTCGTTCATGTGTGCTGTCAATTCATCTGGAGGGAGAGGAACCATCATGGCACAGTAGAGGGACTCGCGCCACATATGCGCCAGCTTGTAGCATTTGTAAGCTTCATCGTAGCGCTCAAGAGATTCGTAGGCTGTAATCGAAGTTAGCTAATGGTCGTTCATTGGGGGCTGACAAAGGTATCATACCGATCGCTGCGTCTTTGTACTTGGACTGATCTTGGAGATATTCGCCGTAGATCAATGTGATCTCTCGTTGCTGTTCAGGCTCGTACTTGAAGATATCAAGAGCCTCTTTGTACAAAACGTGCTTGATAATATAGGGCTTGATCATTTCGTGGGAATTGAGAGCATGCAGATGTTTCAAAGCCTTTGCAAATCGGGAGAGATGGTTATCAATCTCAAATTGACGTTGCAGCTCTGGTAACTGCTGCAGCTTACGGAGAAACGGTAAGTACTCTCGAGGATCCTGGAAGATGATTAGCAAATACCATGAGGGGTACCACAGAAATTCTTACCATCTGAGCCTGTTGCGCAACCAATAGCGTGAGCTCCAGATCATACAGACCCAACGCATGCGAGTATAGACGATTGGCATCGGTCAAGAAGACCATGTGCTCAATAGCATCCTCCGCTTGTTCATTGTTGTGTTCTTGATCCATGTAAGTCGCAATTCAGTCTTTCTAATTAGATAGAACATACCTCTGAGACGAGCAACAAGCCTCAAACCAGCTTCCAAATCTGGTGGTGACTTGCAAACATGGGCCGTTATCAAATTGTGTAAATTGGTATCCACACGATTTTGAAGAGTAGCCAAGAAAGCATCGCAGATGCGGTTGACCTTACTCCCTTTACTGGTAGGCATAGACAGAGCGGGTGATGTAGAGTCGTCCGGTTGGGCACCAGCAGCAGCGGACTCGTTTTTCGAGATTTTGAGTGTGTCTTTGTAGAGAGTCTGTGAAACATCCTCCTCCCTAGGTAGAGGTTAGTGGTAAATCAATATAAATCGCCAGAAATATCACATACTTCAACCGAGAAAGAAAGTCATCAATGAAGTCAACTTTTTTGACTTGCTCTATGAATAGCTGGACGTTCTCCATGAACTGCTGGGGAGCGTAGTCGTAGAGAATATTCATATCCACCATCTGGCTGCGGCATGCAAGGAACGCAGCCCGGTAATGCTTCTGGTCGATAAATGTGCGGATTCCCGCCAGAACCAACGCGCGTGGGAAGATGGTCTCGATATTGCCTCGAGGAGCTTGCAGCACAACAGCAAAGATGGAAGGCATCACTGACACCAACTTTGAGCCTCTCTCAATGCTTCGGCAGCGCTCATCCGTCTCTGGTGTGTCTCCTGGAACCTCCATGTCTATAGTATGAATTAGAATAGCTCGAACGGTTTTGAAAAGACGACTTACCGTCCACGCGGTTTAGATGAACAAACTTCAGAAGGTGCTGGGAAGTTGTGAACAAGAGATGAGCCGGAGTGAGAAGGAAGGACGTGCAATTCTTTGCAAGTACACGTTTGTTCGCACACAACACGCCGGTCCTTGTCATCGTCACCAGGATTTGCTGGAGAAATTAGTATCGCTGTTTAATTCTAGACAGTAAGATAACCTACCTCGTCCTCGGAAATTGAAACTGCGCGAGCCCAATGGGTATCAACATTTGGGCCCTCGGACCAAGAAGAAATCTCAAACCCATCTGCCGCTGATGGATTGACGCAGGAGTAGCTCGCGGGACGTGTAATCTGGGGTGCGTGAGAGAACCACAGAGCTTGGTGTCCAATACCAGGGAAAATAGAAAATAGCTGCGAGGTATCCGCGGCTTGGTACACAGTCTGGGTTGAGCGAGTTTCCAAAGCTGTTCGCTCAATATGACTGGTGTTCGGACTGCTGTCTCTAAGCAAATATACTTCATTTTCGTTCAAAAAAGCAATTTGTCTCGGTCGACTCTGCAGGGCATCGGACAGCGGATAGCTTGACTCCATGATAGGAACGGGAATTGGGCGGCTCTTCAAAGACCACAGGAACACCGAGAAACGGTCCTGCATAAGGACAGCAATTCTGGAACCAGACTTGCTGAATGCCACATCAATGACATTGGAGTTGAGTGCCAGCTCGTTGTGTGCCATAGGGGGTGGAACACCCGCCAGTCTTAGAGGAGTCAACTTCAATATCCCTATTTTCAAGTTAGGGGCAGATTGAGGATGGATGAAGTAAGAAACACTCACGTCCATCGACGACAGCGACAGCCCCAACGTCATCTGGAATTGCCGTAGACCCATGGTTGATATCGAAGACATAGTCCAAGTCCAAGATCGAGACTACCCATTATCAGTTCTGCTTTTTTGATGTGTTCGGAAGAATGACATACTTGAGGACCCAACAACAAATCGCAACGCCTTTTCTTGATGCCATTCAAAGGAGAAGGGGTTCTGACAGGCAGGGTCGATGACTACCGGAATCTCTTGCTTCAAATAGTAGTGGTAGTTTCCCATAGTCCAGAGTTGCACGCGGTCTTTGAAGCAAACTGCGAGCACCGTGGAGTCGACGTTCCAAGCCAGATGAATCTGCGAAGCCCAGGATTGCCGCTCAGCGTCGTTCAATCGAAGAGAGAATTGGCCGTGGCGGAGTCCATTGCGCTCAAAGAAGACCACGTCAATCCGGCCGTCTAGACGCTGGATACCGGCAATAAGGTTTCCATACGGCCGCCAGCTCAGAGCAGCTTCCAATCCGTCAACAGGCTCGCTCACGCTGTCCAGGGTGCCTTCTCTGGAATACACGCGAATCGCTCGGCGGGTTCCCGCCTCGATGCTGTTCACGGCAACATAGGCACCATCTCCGCGCCAGCTGATCGTAGTACCGGCGTCGTCGTAGCTGCTCAATTTCCCTTCATCGACCTTCTCAGGCACGGTCGGGTCGCGGAGGGCTTTTGCTCTCTTTCCCTGGAACTGAGTTTCTCTCTTGCCCCATCCAACAGACACATGCTGCGAGGCTTGCAAGTCCTCACCTGTGAAAGTAATCTCGGCCACATTCTCGAACTCGCGAGTCATGTACAAGAAGGTACGAGCGCGCGTGGTGATTGCCAGCAGCTCTTCGTCGGGCGACCATGCCGCCGCAGTGATCCCCACGTCGACTGAGCCCAAAATTTCAATTTTATCTTCGCCGGGCAGAGGCTCCTCACGGACAAGGATAATATCACCTCCCTCCATCACCAGGCAGGTCGTCAGATTGTCTGCAAAGTAGTGCAAGGAGAGAACTCGGTCGCACGCCATGTCTGGTAAGGGGCATGGCGCATCCCAGGAAGCGATACACTCGAATGCGTCGGGAGTGAGAGGCTCCGTGGAGCACTGCTCAGGACGCTTCCTTCGCAGCTCGATGATTGCATTGCCCTCAGCAGGCCCGAAGGTGCACACAATCGCATCCGAGGAAACATCCCATGCCGTGGCAGTGAGTGGAAGGTCACTCTGGATTGGCGTCTCCAAGAGACGAACGTTCCGTAAGTTGCGCATCTTTCAATCTTTTCAGTGGAATTCTGGTTTTACCCCGCCATGAAGGGAGGAAATTGTCAAACAAAGGTCTTTTTTACTGGTCTCGAATTTTCAGAAAGAGACACTTTGCTTCATTTCCCGGCAAGGCGAGTGTCTGTTGCCCGAAGGAGTTGCGCGACAGAAATGGAGTTGATGCAAAAGAATTTTGATTTTCCGCTCGGCCAATGACTTCATGGCTATTTGAACGGCCACCCCATCACCACCTCACAGCTGCTACAAGCTACTACGCGGTTACGATGGAAGAGATGACAAAAGAAATCAAGAGTCAATACGATTCTCCAGGTTTGTAGGTTTGTACATTGCTATCCCACAGCTTTTCACTCCATCCAGAAGCAAAGACTCCCTCCCAAGTCACTCCCGACTGTCTACCAAATCGAATATAGCATGGAAGGCAGCTTATTTGGTCTTCATGGTTTGCCAGACTAAGAAAATAATTAGATTCAAAGGACTCGAGAGCTGCGTGGGGCAGCAAGACTTACCGGCAATGGCGAAGGGCGCACCGAATCCGGTAACTGAAGGAGTTAGTTCGCTCTGTGGTCGCATATCGCCCGGTCATGACGGGGTCCACTCACTCATGAAGGCCCAGTATCTCCAGAAGAAGTGCTTGGTCAGAGGGTTGAAGGGAATGTTGGTGCGAGGACCCTCCGCGTAGTGGTATGGGCTGCCGAGCTGGGCGCGAGTGGTCGAGAAGCCACGGCGAGCGACGGTGGTGGCCATGCGGGCCCGGATAGCGGAGGAAGCGTACATCTAGCAAGTGAATGTTAGGCTGAATCCATTGACACGATTGCGACCGTCGGGCCACCCACCTTGGGATGCAGAGGGGGAGAGTCGTGGATGATTCGGGAGTGGACGGACAAGGCCAAACTCGTGTGGAATGGGAGTCGTCGGTCATGTGATTTAGTCACGTGGGTTACTCGCCTTGACCGCCGGCGATACATACCGCCTTCCCAATCAATACCCGCTGGATTTTTCCCGCCGAAAAGTCCATGCTTTCTTTCTTTTCTACTTCTGTGGATTCGCCCACTGAAGATGGACGAGCTCTTCGACGTCTTTGACGACAAGCCCCAGGCGGCCAAGCCTGTGGAGGGCACATCCAAACGCCCCAAGAAGGACAAGGATCGGAGCAAAAAGCGTCAAGTCAACGGCGATGTGAAGCAAAATGCAAACACACCGGTAGAGGACAAAGAGGATGTTGCCCTGCCGGATGCGCCGGCGGCAGAGACTGAATCAGACGATGCGAAACCGCCCGCAGAGGACGAGCAGCCCGATGCGAAACGACTACGCCTCGACCAGGAACCCGCTCCCGTGGTCGCGGATACATTCGAAACCGAACAGGAGCAGCAGATCTCAGGATCTGGGGGTCTAATTCCGGACCAAGGGTCAATGGTGGTATCGCATCAGGTGCGCCATCAAGTTGCCATCCCGCCGAACTATCCCTACGTGCCCATTTCCCAGCACAAGCCGCCGGCGGAACCCGCGAAGACATGGCCCTTTCCCCTCGACCCATTCCAAGAAGTCGCGGTTTCTTCAATACAGAGAGAGGAGAGTGTGCTGGTGTCGGCCCATACTAGTGCCGGCAAAACGGTTGTCGCAGAATACGCCATCGCACAGAGTCTCAAGCTCAACCAGAGAGTCATCTACACCAGTCCAATCAAAGCGCTCAGTAACCAGAAATACCGAGAGTTCGCTGCCGAGTTTGGAGATGTCGGTCTGATGACTGGTGACGTGACGATCAATCCGACCGCTTCCTGTCTAGTCATGACCACTGAAATTCTTCGGTCCATGCTGTACCGGGGCTCGGAGATCATGCGTGAAGTTGCGTGGGTGGTTTTCGACGAGATCCACTACATGCGTGACTTGAATCGTGGCGTGGTCTGGGAAGAAACGATTATCCTGTTGCCCGACAAGGTTCGCTACGTCTTCTTGTCTGCCACCATTCCCAATGCCATGCAGTTTGCCGAGTGGATCGTGAAAACACATGACCAACCCTGCCACGTCGTATATACGAATTACCGGCCGACCCCGTTGCAGCACTATTTTTTCCCTGCTGATGGCGAGGGTATTCATCTGGTCGTGGATGAAAAGGGGGTGTTTCGCGAGGAGAACTTCCAGAAAGCGATGAGCGCCATTGCGAACAAGAAGGGTGACGACCCGGCCGATGCTATGGCCAAACGGAAAGGCAGGGGCAAAGATAAGAAGACGAACACGGGGGGCAACAAGGGTTCGTCGGATATTTTCAAAATCGTGAAGATGATTATGCTCAACAAGTTCAACCCCGTCATCGTCTTCAGTTTCAGCAAACGCGAATGCGAGGCGGGAGCCCTCAATTTGAAAAACTTGTCATTCAATGATGACTCTGAGAAAGCGATGGTCGTGAAGGTCTTCCACAGCGCCATTGAGATGCTCTCCCCGGAAGACCAGGAATTGCCCCAGATCAAGAACCTTCTTCCCCTACTTCAAAAAGGCATCGGTGTTCACCACTCGGGTCTACTTCCAATTCTGAAGGAAACCATCGAGATTCTGTTCCAAGAAGGTCTCATCAAAGTATTGTTCGCCACCGAGACCTTCTCTATTGGATTGAACATGCCTGCAAAGACTGTGGTCTTTACCAGCGTTCGCAAATTTGATGGAAAGAGTCAGCGCTGGGTCACACCATCCGAGTTCATTCAAATGTCAGGACGTGCAGGCCGAAGAGGTCTTGATGACCGAGGTATTGTGATCATGATGATTGGTGAGGAGATGGAGCCTGCTGTGGCCAAGGAGATTGTGCGCGGTGAGCAGGATCGGCTCAACTCGGCCTTTCATCTGGGCTACAACATGATTCTCAACCTGATGCGTGTGGAGGGCATCTCACCGGAATTCATGCTTCAAAGATGCTTCAAGCAGTTCCAGAACACCGGGAGCGTTGTTGGTCTGGAAAAGGAGCTTCGTGAGCTGGAGGAGAAGAAGGCCAATATGACCATCTCCGACGAGGGAACCATCCGTGACTACTACGAGCTGCGAGAGCAACTTGACAAGTATAACGACGATGTTCAGGTTGTCCTCTCTCATCCCAAGTACGCACTATCCTTCCTCCAACCGGGGCGTTTGATCCATGTCAAACACCGAGGGCTCGACTTTGGATGGGGTGCCGTGGTCAACGTCAAGGAACGCAAGGTTCCGAAGCACTCCACCGAAACCTTTAACCCGCATCAGTCGCACATCGCTGATGTGCTGATAAAGATTGCGGACGGGCCGTCCGTGAGCACCAAGACCTTTGACGACATCCCGGCGGGCATTCGACCTTCCAAAGAGGGTGAGAAAGTCCGGATGGAGATTGTGCCGATGACGTTGTCCTGTATTGCTGGTATTTCCCATATCCGCCTGCATCTCCCGAGAGATCTCGTTTCGGTCGACTCGCGGAATGGTATAAGGAAACACATAGACGAGGTACACCGGCGGTTCCCAGATGGAATCGCTGTCCTTGATCCGCTCGAGGAAATGCGGATCGAGGATGATACATTTAAAAAGCTGCTACGGGTATGTGAACATGGATCTTATTCGAGTAATTCACGCTGATCTTTCTACGCAGAAAATCGAGGTCCTCGAGTCTCGTCTTTTGAGCAACCCGCTGCACAACTCTCCACGGCTGCCCGATCTGTATGAGCAGTATGCCGCGAAGGTGGCGCTGGGCACGCAGATCAAGGACACCAAGAAGAAAATCGCTGAGGCTCAATCAATTTTGCAGCTGGACGAACTGAAGAACCGCAAGCGTGTGCTCCGTCGATTTGGATTCATCAACGAGGCCGAGGTCGTTCAATTGAAGGCCCGCGTTGCGTGTGAGATTAGCACTGGCGATGAACTGATGCTCAGCGAGCTGTTGTTCAATGGTTTCTTCAACAACCTCACGCCCGAGCAGCTGGCGGCGGTCATGAGCGTGTTCGTGTTCGAGGAAAAGGTCAAGGAGACCCCTGCCCTGACCCGAGACGACCTGGCCAAGCCTCTGAAGGAGATCCAGTCGCAAGCTCGAATCATTGCCAAGGTCTCTCAAGAGTCCAAGATGGCCCTCAACGAAGACGAGTATGTGCAGAGCTTCCACTGGGAACTGATGGAAGTCATTTTCGACTGGGCGCACGGCAAGAGCTTCGGAGAGATCTGGTATGTATCATTTTGGGATTTTTTTCTTTTGAACCCAGGCTAATGTATTGTCCTGCAGCAAAATGACCGATGTCTACGAGGGCAGCTTGATCCGGGTTTTCCGGCGGCTGGAGGAGTGTCTGCGGCAGATGGCCCAGGCGGCCAAGGTGATGGGCAGCGAGGAGTTGGAGGGCAACTTCGAGCTGGCGCTGACCAAGGTGCGGCGAGATATTGTTGCCGCACAGTCTCTGTACTTGTAGATATGTCTAGTGGCAAACTAATGCTTGTATCGAATGCGGGTGCCGGCGGAGACTGCCTGAAAGCAGCCCGGTACGACGGTATGACGACTCCACGATGTTGCTCCTGTAGCTTTTTTTCCCTTTGGTTCTGTAGTGTCAGTCAAAATACCTACCATGTAGTCCGGATAGGAAGGTAGAGCCCAATAATCAACTAATGGTTTTGGTGCTTGCCGACTGCGCATCAGGGTTGCGTTGCCGCCCGCAACCACCACCATTTCTTTTCTTTGCTCCACCGCTTGTCTTCCTCCTCTCCCCACTTCTTCTTTCTTCACCTCACCTCTTCATCCCTCTCTCTCCCTCCTTGTTTTTCACTCTTCCTTCTACGCCTTTTCACTCACACTTTTTTTTTCTCTTTCCCTCTCTTGGTCTCCGTCTGAGGAGTCTTTGCTTGCCATCCGGCTGTGGTCATCATGAACAGCCTGGTGGCCACGCCTCCTGTGCCTCCCCATTTCTACGAGCATCCTCGACACTCTCCTTCCCGTATAAGTAAGACTAGCTAGCCTCTCATCCCCCTTTTTGATGTTCGATACTGACAAAATCGAACAAGTGTCTACACCATCCTCCTATACCTCCCGGAAGCGGAAAGCTGACGACGATGGCAATGACCACGACGGACGCATGTCTGCCTCCCCAACCAACTCACCCGCCTTCACCCCTCGCCAGCTGCCTCCCATGCGGAACATCAAGCGTTCCCGGCCGAACATTTCAGGCCGTCCGCTGGCTCTACCTCGCCTGCTAGAAACGCTGGACACAGATGCCTTACGGGCGGTGGTTCGGACCATGTGCGAGCGCCACCCCCAGCTCGCCGACGAGGTGGTACACACCTCCCCCCGACCCAGCGTCTCCTCGACTCTGCAGGTGCTCCGAAATTACCAGGCGGCTCTCCAGTCGTCGTTCCCCCTGGGTGGCAACACCGAGTCCGACTACGCCTACAACCGAGTCCGCCAGCCGCTCAGCAACCTCCTCGACGCCCTGAATGACTTCACGCCCAACTTCCTCCCCCCGAACGAGCCGCAGGCGTCCACCTCGTTGAGCTATCTCGACGGAGCCACGGATATCATCCATGCCCTGCCACGATGGAGCACGCTCCAGAACAACTTCGAGCGGGACTCCGCCTACGATGAGATTTGCAAGGCTTGGATCCTGGTGATCCGAGAAGCAGGCAAACGGGGCGGTGGCATCCAGCTTCAGTATGGCGGCTGGGACCAGACGCTGGCCAAACACAACCAGAACTCCGGAGGGAAGCTCCAGGCGGCGGTGAACGAGTTGGGCTCCAGTCTGGGGTGGATGGCCGGGTCCGACAACACCCCCTCTCACAGTCCTGGCGGTGGTAGTGAAATGGGCTCGATACGAGATCAGCTTCTCTCGGGCACCTATGGGCTGGGGACTCCTGTCAAGGTTGGCCCCTGGTGAAAGCCAGTGGCCCGGACCAATACGTAACGACCAACTTATCATCGACCCAAGATAGGCTCCCCGCATCGCATCGCACCTCTCTCATCACTCTATCACTCCTGTGTCTGCCGTCCGTCGCACACAAGCTCATCACCTCCCTATCGCCGGCTCCTCCCGGCTGCGGCTGCTTCACCGAAGGACCAGAACCTTTCGACCCCCGATGCATATCACGATCACGATACCTACTGCATGACACGTTAGAGAAACCACCTGGTCTCCGTCAGATTGGCGTTTTATAGTATGCAAAGGCGAATATGGATGATGTGCCTTGCTTTATGTTTTTGCCTCTTCCCTTTGTTCTGCTCGAACATTCCGAATTGAATTGATTCTTTGGATTCGTGTCTGTCTTGTGCAGAATTACTTTTTTCGGTTCTTCTTCTCTCTTGATGCAGGCAGGCTCTTTCGTCTTCTTTTTTCTCTCCCACACACCCTCTTTTGTGCCACTCTTGATACTTTCCCATCGATGGCGTACTACTTACGTCCCTTGTTATTCTTGGCGCCTCTGGAGTCGTGTACATCGCCTCGCTTCGCTTTTTACCTCGTGCTTTACGCCTGGTGTTTGTTCTTATTTACTTACTTACTATTTGGGGAGAATAACATGGCATGTCCCTCGTCAGCTCGCATACTTAGCAGAGTCCACAACAACCTGGACAACGTATGTACGGTATATCGCGCCCCCTTGCCTAAGCCCCTCAGCCCTGGGTCTGGGCCCCTTGGTTTATGTCCCTCACATATTTGCCTCTTGGGTGAGTATACAACATCAGCTAGTGTACCGATCTCACCCTGTGATGGGGTACTTAGGGTACTATGTAATTATAAGAAGATCTGTAAAGAAATGCAACTCCGTCTCTCATTGATCTACTACCTTCGAAACATTATTAATCTTCGCGTGACCGGGTCAAGTGATGCATCCAAGCCCAACAAGCCACGCGGCTCCTATCAAGAATTAAAAATGACACACTCGGACCGACGCTGCAACTCGCTTTCGTTTTCTTCTTTCTTACGTCGTCAAAAAAAGAGGGGGAGAAAGAGAAGAAAGAAGGATAAGAGATTATAAGATCGCGCGCTTGACCATGCGCAACAACCACCCAGCATCCTCCCACCCGCCATTCGCACCGGGTTTCTCAACCTTGGCAGTGGACTCGTCGCCGTCCGTATGAGAGAGGACATCACCATCCCCCAGGTCGTCACCATCTTCGGAGTCATCATACTCATATTCCGCCGACGAAGCGAGCGAGAGATTGTCATGATGCCGATCATGATCATCCGTCTCGACGTGGGGAATAGTAACCGGCTCCTCGAATGTAACCGTCGTAGAAGTGGGAGCAGTACCGATCCGCGCCTGAGTCGTTCCAGGGGCCGAGGCGCCGGTCCACTCATCCGTGCTGAAAAGCGTCCATTCCACCAGCCGGTCGAGCCAGGTGCCTAGCCCGAACCCGCGCTCGCGGGTTAGACGCTGTAGATCGGCTTCGTCGAAGTCGTCGTCGGGCGTTGAGGAGGATGAATAGTCGTACTGCGAGTCGGAGTCATAGTCGCCTTCCCCTTCCCCATTCCCTTCCAGGTGAAACTCGGAGTCGTCGTCCGAGATCCCTCGCTCCCGTCGGTGCTGCAGCGCAGCCATCTCGGCGCGAATCCGCTCATCTACAAAGTCCGCGACCAGCGCGGGACCACTGCCGCGCGTCTCTTCGGGACTCGCAGTTTCCCCCACCGGGCCAGGGCCGGGGATCTGGCCCGCTGTCGAGGACGGCACAGACGATAAAGGCGGCGGAATGGCAGTCATCGCAAGCCCCGCGCGGCTGCTGCGACGGCTTCCGCCACGGGAGCGCGAGCTGCGACGGGACAATGCTCCGCCAGGCGTAGAAGCACCAGATCGAGATTTACGCGATGAGGCACCGGACTTGGTGCGATGGTGGTGGCGGGTCGCAGCAGCATGGGACTCGTCGAAAGGCATCTCCGAGACGAGGCTGGTGGAGCTCTCACGCTTCGAGAGCCAGCTCTGGCCCTTTTGCTCGCGCGTCGACGAGGCCAGCGCGATGCCCGCGCGGAGCATCCACTCGGCATCGGATGCTGCATTTGCAGGTGCAGCTCCATGGCCGGCTGAGTTGAATTGGCGCTTTGAGTACGCTGCCGAGCTAGGTCGTTTGCCGGTGCTATTGCTGTGCGAAGCGGACTGGTGGTGGTGCAGTGCGTGCCGGATTTCGTTGGCGTGCAGGTTTGTATCGCTCAGGTGTCCGGGACGGGTCGAGCTTTTGCTTCGCGCGTGTCGTGACCTAGACGCACTGCGGGAATGGGAGAGGAGAGAGGGCGTGCCGGGGACCGAGGCACTGGTTAGGTAGGAGGTCCGCGGCGAGACCAGACTCTCGATGGGGGCATTCTCGTTGGTGGTATCCCGGGTACTGAAGTAGTCGGTTGGTTCTGGATCGTCATCGATAGGGAATCGGGGGGTTAGAGGGGCGACGGAGACTTGGTGGAGAGATGGGTAGGAGCGGCGAGATCGAAAGCTGTTCGAGGAGGGGGTGGTGGACTATAGCGGGTCAGATTGGCTGACATGATACAGGTCTCGCGTGATGATGTACTCACCTCCATGTCGATTTCTGGTCTCAGACTCTCTGAAAGGGAGAGTGAGTTGAGTGTCGAGAGACAAAAACCGGACGACGAAGCAAATGCGGAGGTGTTGCACGTGCGGGCATGTGATCGGGGACTGGCCATGCGGTACAATGCCCAGCTCTAATTCCGGTTTTGTAGATGTAGAAATGTGCTTTATTTTTCGTAAATTCATATTCTAGCGAGGTTCTTCTTTCTGCGATTTAGGTGGTTGCTCAAGGTCATGGTTTGTAGACATGCGAATATCAGAAATATATATCTCTTTCCACCTCCGACGTCATCCATGGCTGTATACAACAAGTCTCTCAACTTACATTCTAAGACGCAGCTATTCAACCAAAACATCAGGGATATCTGCGAATCTAAATGAAAACCATGCTTACATCACATTGCACTCTAAACGCTAATCATATCACTATACAACAGCAGAAACCTCTCACAGCCTTGAATCTTGAAAATCCAAGAACTGCGCGCCCTTGGTCCGCAGTTCTTCCAAAACATTGTATTCCATAATCCACCTCATGCGCTCCGTCAACGTCTCCGGGCTGAAATTACTCGTCAACTGATCCGGGGAGTCCGAGCTAGCCAGCTTTCCAGCTTCTTCGCTAGTCCGGGTAACGCGGTCAGTCCGGGGCTTGCGCAGGTCCTGGTAGAACTTGAACGCCGCCTCGAGATCATTCGTCTTCCAATGACGAAGGATAGTTGCCAGTGCAATACCCGACTCAATAGCCATACATGTGCCCTGGCCTTGGTGCGGAAGCGTCGAGTGTGCCGAGTCGCCGAGTAGAATGATACCCGCATCCTGCTGCTCGGCGTTCATCTCGTACCACTTCTCCAGCGGATCGCGCACATACAGCGCCTGTTTGAGCATGCGACCGTCGGGCGAGCCCGCGCGCAGACCAGCGATGATATCCTGCACCTGCGGGCACCAGTCGCGGACGTGCTCGTGCAGGCTCTCGATGTCGGAACGGGACATCCAGCTCTCCGAGTCCCAGGACTCAATGGGCTCCGACATGAACGCGATAATAGCGGCGCGGTCGGTCTGCGTCTCGCGGTTGCCAATGGGCAGAATGAGCACATGGCGTTTCGGACCGCGGAAGTTGACCGTCTTGCGCAGCAGCTGCGCCGTCTCATCTGGTAGATCCTTGTAGTCAACAAACCCGCGGTACACGACTTGGCCGGAGTAGTTGGGTGAGTCTCCCAGGCCCATATCGTGACGGACATTGGATTTGATTCCGTCGCAGCCAATGACGATATCCGTTTCTGCTGAGCTGCCATCCTCAAAGTGCAGCGTGTACGGCGCCGATTTCTCGCTGCTATTCCGATCAATCGAAGCCAAACGCTTTCCCAAATTGAAGCTCGATTCCGGCACGCGCTCTTTGAGCGACTCCAGCAAGTGCGCGCGGTGCAGCAGGCGGGCGGGCGGGAGGGAGAACTCGTCAACATGGCCCAGATACTCTCCGGTCTTGTAGTTGTGGTACTCCATGTAGCAGGGCAACTTGCGGGACGAGCGGCGCGTCATGCTCTCTTTCAGGCCGAATGAATCCAGCACACGATTGGCATTCGAGGTGATGTTGACGCCGGCGCCAACTTCGGCAAACTGCGGCGCCTGCTCGTATAGCTGGACGTTTTTCAGGCCGGCGTACAGGGCGGCGTTGAGGAACGACATCCCGCCCAGCCCGCCGCCGACAATGGCAATTCGCTTATTTTCGAAACCCATGGTGGGAGGAGATTAAATCGAAGACGCGGGTGTGTATGATATGAGATAATGAAGAGAAGATATAATACTGGGGAAATGCAGATGCTATGCTTGATGCTAGACGCGCAGTATGAAGAAAAGCTGAGCAGCAGTTGTTTATATGAATGAAATCATGCGGAAGGCCAGGCTGGAAAGATAATCATCATCGGGGTTTCCTCTTCTCCCCGCCTGAGGATGGCCGATCCGATCTAGCCGTGCAGAGACGTCCGAAGCGTGGGGAAAGAGCCAGGCTTCCGAATGGCCCTGATCACCGGATTTCCCGAGCGCGAACGCTTATGCTGGACTTGTTACTCAGACTGCTCTGCTGTGCCACGCAGTGACCAAGTAGAAGCTCTCGCCACAGGTCGGAAGACCCGTCTGTGCACTGGTTGCCCATCCGATGGCCGGTGGGGCTTCGGATGGACAACCACTGCGGGTTGTGTTACCGGAAACGGACCCTCTGCATCCACATTCTTAAACTGTGACTCGAAACATATTGCTATGCAAGTCCGACTACAATATCGCCTGGGTATCAATGTTCCGATGACAACAAATCCGATTCTTTATTTGTGTGTTGTATCTTTTAAGCACCAAAGAAGGGCTCTCAGTCTCATGCTTTCAATAATTTGGTCATTCTCTTTTAACTTCAAAAAATCATTAGCATTTGGCGGCCAATATCAAGTCCAGTTGAAGATCGCTCTATTACTGTGTGTGATGGACAAAGTCTTGACACTTCTAAGTTAGTCGGAACGGATATGATCCGTGGCAACTACACAGGCACATTGTAGTATCCATTGTATCAGCCGAAAAATAAAGGCCAATGGTACTATCTATAGGCCGAGTGGTGGTGGTCAGTGTACCGGGCGAATAAGGGAAGAATAATCATCGCCGTCTTTGGCCTGCTTCTATATACGGCATTGGGGATCTTGGTTGTATTTCCGAAATGTCATACTCCATATGGATTTCTAGTCTCTACTCGACAATTTTGCCCTTATTCACAACAAATCCCTCCAACGCCGAGATGGCCGCCCACAACCGGTTTTCCGCCTCGGGGAAGACCAGCGAGCGCGGGCTGTAGAAAACCTCGTCACTGACTTCCTCCGGATGTCGGGGGAGGCAATGCATAAACTTCCAGCCTTCCTTGGCACCGCCGCGTTTGGCCAGCTCCGGCGTGATCTGGAAGCCCTCAAAGGCCTGCATACGCTTGATCTTCTCCGCCTCCTGGCCCATTGAAACCCAGGTATCCGTCACGAGGATGTCAGCGTCCTTGACTGCCTCCTCGGGGACATTGGTCTGCGTGAGTTTGCCGGGCTTGGCCACGCCCACGCCGGAATTCTGGATAATCTCCAGCATATGAGCCGGAATCTCATATCCGGCGGGCGTAGCCACTGTCATATCCACGCCCATCTTTGTAGCGCCAATGGCCAGGTCGAAGAGAACGTTATTTGCGTCTCCGACCCACGCAATCTTCAGACCCTCGAGGCCCAGGCTCGACAGGTGATGCGATTTGGGCGGGAAGGCCTCATAGATAGTCAAAAAGTCGGCAATGATCTGCAGCGGGTGAAAGGAGTCGCAAAGCGCATTGATGACAGGTACCGATGAGTGCTTCGCCAAATCCGCCACATCCGAGTGCTGCGAGACCCGTGCAACGATGCACGAGACCATTGATGAGATCACCACGGAGGTATCGTATAGGGACTCATTGACGCCGAGCTGGATGTCCTCCTTGCCCAGGAACATGGGGTGGCCGCCCATCTGCACGGTAGCGGCCTCGGTGGACACGCGCGTGCGGGTACTCCGTTTGTTGAACATCATGGCCACGGTCTTGCCGGAGAGCGAACCCAGCAGGCTTTGCGGGATGGCGCCGGACTTGATGGCGCGCTTGTGCGACGCGGCATTGCGGACCAAGGTGGCGAATTCGGCGGGCGTCAGGTCCGCGATTGAGAGTAAGTGCCGGGGCGCGAAGGGCGAGGTGGGTGGTGTGGTCTGTGTCTGGTGGGCAAATCGGCGGAGACCATTAGCCTGAGTTGTTCGCAGAGAAGAGGTGGAGCCGGCCAATTGAGTTACACTTTGAGCGCCCGCACGGGCGGCGGCCTTGAGACCACTGGCCATAGTGGGAAGAAAGGAAAAGGGATTGATTAAGAGAAAGGAGTGTGTGTGTGTAGCAGTAATGGGCAGGGAAGGAAGAGGAAGAAGAGGAAGAAAAAGAAACGGTGAATGGTGAGTCAGGGCCGATGACTGCCTGACCGGGACTAGCGTACGGCCCGCCTGTCTTGTCTTATCGTTCCCAGCTTATCGTCGTCATCCTCTTCCCCCCATCCTCCACTTCGCCCACTCGTGATTCCATCCACGCTCTGTCATTCTTACCACATCGGAGGCATCATAGCCCAGCCGGAATGGCTGACGAGGCGAATCGTCCTCTGTTGAACGGGGGCTCTAGGGCCTCGTCGCCAGATCGATCGCCCGATCACACGCCGCGTGGTCGGCCTGCACCATCCTTCGAACTATCATCAGAATCGACCCCTCTACTGCATCGTCGCGAGGATGACTTGGCGACCTATGGAACCGAACAACGACGATCGCGATCCCCGTCAGCGGCATCCCGAGCCGGTTCTGTCGAGAGTGGCTCCACCAAGAAGACCGCCCGAGTACCATGGCCGACCTTCATAGCGCTTGGTATGCTCATATTGGCAATTTTGGGAATTCTGGTCTTTGCCTTTGCGGCACCGGCCGTTGTGAAGGAGTATGCACAGGAGGCGGCGGTGTTTAAACCCACCGTGCTATCCATTGATTCAACAACCCCCAGAGGCGTCCGCGCTCGCGTCCAGGGAGACTTTGTGATGAACTCGACCCATGTGCAGAACAAGCCAGTCCGGGATATCGGCCGATTTGTCACATGGATTGCCACAGAAGTGGAAACGGGTCATTCGGACGTCGAGGTGTATCTCCCAGAGTATGGGAATGTGCCCATTGGAAACGCCTCGGTGCCGCCGATCAAAGTGAACATACGTCCTGGCCATATAAATCATGTCGATTTCTTGACTGATCTGACCGCGGGTGATATACGAGGCATTCATTCAATAGCCATGGACTGGATAGAGGGTAGGCTGGGCCGCCTCAGGATCAAGGGCAAGACAACGATGCATTTGAAGACAGGCTTGATCAGTTTGGGATCACAAATGCTGGAAAATGAAATTTTATTTGAAGGTGAGTTGGTTTCGGTGTGAGATTGCACTATATTCTAACCCGGGTCAGAGAACGACTTTCCGGCTCTGCCGACCATCGACGTGACGAAGCTTAATGTGCACGACGTAGACAATGGAGGTGCCATGGCGGTCGATGTTTCCATCGCAGCATTTATCGATTCGCCTCTTGCGCTCACGGTGCCCGCGCTCGGGTTTGAAATCTTGGTGCCAAATTGCTCGCCAGGTGACCCGAACATTTTGGTTGCCAGGGCGGAGACAGATGAGATCCAGATTCACCCTGACCAACCAATACATGCCGATGTTGGTGGCCTCATTCAGAAACTTCCAGAGGAGTTGACCAGCAGCTGCCCGGGGAGAAAGGCTCGCCCTTGGACCTTTTGGTGTCCAGTTTCATCCAAGGCCAGGAGACGACCATCTACGTTCGCGGGGCGGACTCACCGTCACCCAATACCCCGGCGTGGCTCGTGGATCTTTTGCGCAGTGTCACGATGCCGGTGCCGCTTACGGGGCACGCTCTGGACAATCTGGTGAAGAACTTTAGCATGACCGACACGCATTTCTCTCTCCCAGACCCATTCGCAGAGCCAGGAACACCAGAGTCGCATCCCACCGTGTCTGCCTTGGTCAAAGTTCTCATTGCCCTGCCGGAGCAAATGAACTTCCAAGTTGATGTCCCGCAAGTTCGTGCCCTCGCAGACGTCTTTTATAAGGGCAAAGAGCTCGGTGCCTTGGACATCGACCAGTGGCAAGACGCCAACTCGACTCTCGTGAAGGACCAGGATAACTCCACAGCGCTGCTTGTGGAGTTTGCGATGAAAAACGCACCGTTACAGGTTTCGGATGACGGACTGCTGGCAGAAGTCGTCCAGGAAATGCTGTTCGGTAGCAAATCAGTGGTGCTACGAGTGGCCGCCAACGTAGACGCGAGGGTTTCGACCGTCTTGGGCCAGTTTGCCATTCGCGGGATTCCTGCGGAAGGCAAAGTCCGCGTGAACAGTATGTTCTCGTTTTAGAATATAGGATAATGCAAGCAAGTCTTCTTTTTTTTTCTAATTGACGGTCATTCTTTCATAGCTCCGTTTGATGGCGCGCTCAGTCACTTGAATCCGCGAGTCGTGTCCTTGCAGCTAGAGAATACAACCGAAACGTCGATGTTTCTGTCTACTCGGTTGAACTTCACGAATCCTACCAAATACGCGGCAACGATCCCCTTTGTGGATCTTCTCGTACTCTACAACGGTACAGCCATTGCTCATGTCATTGCCCGAGACATGTCCGTTGTTCCTGGGAACAACACGAATGTCCACGTCGACTTCTCATGGAGCCCGCACGATACCAGCGGGATTAACGGGACAGTAGCTGGGCGGCAACTCCTCTCGGAATTTATCTCGGGTTGGTTTATTTGACCCAGGCACCCACAAGACGCTTTTCATATTCTTACATTCACTAGGTTCCAACACGACTGTCACGATTAAGAGCCACAGAGGGACTATTCCATCCCTCCCAGATCTCGGAGAAGCCCTCTCTGTTCTTTCCATTGATATTCCAGTACCTCGAATTTCCAGCCCAGACCTTCCAGACGGTGGAAATGACGGAAATGACCGGCAACATCATTTCATTCAAGATGCAACGGTATTGCCTCCTCTGTCTCATATCCCAAAGCTCTCCCAGACCACCGGATTGCAGATATATCCCTGCTATCTAAATGAATCCTTCATACTAACCATATAACCCCCAGCTACACCTCTGGACCTCAACCGCCGAATTCACCCTCTCCTCGCCCCTAAAAGAAACCAGCATCTTCATCACCTCCGTAGACGCAACCGCCTTCTACGAGGGCGATGAGCCCGTCGGCCGAATCAACTACAAACAGCCCTTCGAGGTGCCGCCTGGTCTTTCTCAAACCCCGCGCTTGCCCGTTGATTTGGCACTTGGGAGTGTCGGGTATGAGGCTCTGCGGAAGGCTCTCGGTCAGGAGCTGGAGATGGACGCTGTGGCTAGAATTGGGGTGAGGATTGGGCATTATCGGAATGAGGTGTTTTATCATGGAAAGGGGATTGCGGCTAAGGTGAGGGTTTAAAATGTAGGGCATTTGGAATCTTTCATACGATTGCTCGAGCGTCTAGACTCCAGGCCGTGAGTTAATTAATGGCCTTGCTTATGCCCTGGACAAGGAAGATAACTGCATGTGCTGCACTGTTGGTGCTGGGCTGACGATCTGATCGACTCATTAGAGACTTGCTGTGATCGGATCGCAATGGATGGATCTGGCAAGGAATGCTGGACTGATTTCTTTAATTCATCTTGATTGAACAATTCCCTTTGAGGGACATCTTTTCTGTTGGGTTCATGGGTTATTACAAGAAGCAAAATAAGTCAAACACTAAACTTGAACTCCGAAATAAAACATGAAATAATATGAAGCAAATAGACCAATTGAATCATATTGGGTATGTATATTTTCACTTGATAATCGGACGGCAACTCTATCCCGGGGGCAGGGTGCTGGCGTCAACCACATCGGCGGCATTCTTCTCGATCTCCTCGGTGGGCTCGGAGAGCGGAGACCGGGGCAGCGCCATCAGACCGGTGCGGGTGGATTCGAGGATACCGAAGGGACCGATGAGCTTGAGGAAGGAGTCAATACGGGAAGGCTTAGCGGAGCTATCGAATAGTTTAGTCAATGGTGATTGAGATCAGGCGAGGGACGACATGAGTTATGACATGGTACTTACACCTCCACGATACAGTTGTTGGTGCTGATATCCAGGACTTTGCCGCCGAACTGGTGAGTCAGACGAGTGATGGCATCCAGATGCTCGTGCTTGTGACGGAGAGCCTGGCTGGACGGCAGGTGGCGGGGGTGGAATTCGGGATTCTTCGAGTCACCCAATTGGTGCTTGGGCTGGCCTTCCTCTGACGGAGCGGTGATCTCGCGGTGGTGCTGCAGCAATTCCTCAAAGAACTCCGGGCCGAGAATGGACACCTTGGCCAGGAGGAGCTCACGCTGCACCAGGGCCGAGTCGGTGTAGTCGAGGACAGCCCAGACGGGCACGAGGTCGTCGAGTTGGCGACGGGCCTGCTCGACGACACCCTCCTGGCCCTTGAGCACGATGGTCATGCGCGACAGATCCTCGACCTCGGTGTTGCAGACCACCAGACTATCAATGTTGAAGCCGCGGGCGGCGAGAATGCCGGACACGCGGGACAGCACACCGGGCTCGTTCTGGACCAGGCAGTTCAGGATGTGGCGCTTGGGGGGGTTGGTGGGTGGCACGGGGGTCTCGTAGAGAATCGATGAGACGGCCGTCGGGGCATCCCACTGGGGAGAGGCATCGTTGACGGGGAGGGGCAGGGGGGACCGGCGGTGCAGTGCCTTGTAGGCCAGAGCTGCCGTCGAGCTGGACGACGATGATGCCCGGGTGAAAGCGAACCGAGGCAGCGCCGCAGCAGCCCGGGATTGAGCGGATGCTGTTGTGGAGGACAGCAGGGACGCCGACGCTGCGGACAGCGTCAATGGGCGTCTGAAAGCCATGGTTATGGGGTGGGAGTGTGTAGTGTATAAGTGACTAACTGACTATCCGGGGACATTTTTCTTCTGTCCGACCTCGGCGGTGCTGAGTCATGTAGCCCTAGGTCGGAAGAAGACTAGTGCACACGTGATTATACACCCTGCTGTTGCGATCTGCGACAGGCACAATTCGTCGTGATACGGTGACTTGAAAAGAGGGACCCATCTTGCTCACGGGATTTCCTCTCTGGTTGTTGCGGATTCTGTTGTGGTTCTCGTCGTCCTGAATCCTTTCTCCCCTTATGCGCCGCTAGCCAGAACCCGTCTCCACTCGGATCCTCAACTTTCTCCTTCCAGCATCCGAACAAGAGCTCCCCTGCGTTCTTTGACCCAGCTCTCACCGCAGTTTGCCTTGTCCCCACTGCAATGGCTGACGACGATCGCGATCACCGAGCCAAGCGCTCTCGTTTCGACAAGACCGAACCCGAACCTCGACGATCGCGATTTGATCGCCGGTCCCGTTCTCCGTCCACAAGACACTCGGAATCGACTCGAACTCGCAGTCCCGATCCTCGAAGCCCAGGCGCGGCCCAGTCTGGCGCTTTGGACCCGGCTGCCGCAGCAGGTATGTGGGATGGCCCTTTGTGTGAAAAGAAAAATCGCTAATGATCTGTCCCAATAGCTGCCGCCGCCGCCAAAATCAATGCTCAGTTGCAAGCGAAAAAAGGCATTCAGCATGTCGATGTTCCTCCAATCCGCTCAGTGAACAGTCCCCTGCCCCCAATTCATATGCGACGGTGATCTAACACCACATTTTAGAGTGCAACCCCTGCAACGCGATCCGAGACCCCGTCCAATGCCGATGCATCGGGAAAATTGAACGACGAAATCTATGTCGCTGATGGAGACTATATCAAGGATATAGAGATCAATGATCTGCGCAACCGTTATACATTGACCAAAGGGTCAACTCAAAAGATGGTAAATACTCCTGTTGTCGTTCGCTGATATTCCAGACATTGCCCCCGCAGGTGATGGACTCTTCTTGGATTCATTTCTTGTTGTCTGCTTTTTTTGCCTTTTATTAGGCGCTACTGGACGAAGCTTACCCAAAGCCACTAAATTAGCACCCCAAACTGTTGCATCTGCTGACGTCGGCCGCGTGAATTCTAGATTAAAGATGAAACTGGCGCCGGTACGCCTTCTTCAATATGCTGTTGGTAAAGAAAGAAGCTTATGACTTGTTTTTTTTTTCAAGATGTCACCACCCGAGGCAACTATTACCCCGACAAAAACATGGCAACTGCTGCGGTAGGTCCCGCTGTCAATTTCCTCCGCTTGGGTGCTGATAATTTCGATTTAGAATCCACCTCTGTACCTGCATGTGACAAGCACCAACAAGGAAGGACTCGAGAAGGCCGTAGTCCTGATCAATGACCTCATGCAGAAGGAGCTCCCTAACCTAGTCGATGAACGACGCTTCCGTCGCCGCGAGCCCGAGCAAGTGGAGCGAGATGAGTATGGCCGTGTATGAGACTGCCGTTCTTTTCTGAAACTGCTACAATGAATTTACTAATGGAATGCAGCGCAAATGGCCTGAAGAGCGCATCCCAATTGATCTGGAGCCCATCCCCGGCTTCAACTTGCGTGCTCAAGTCGTCGGACAGGGCGGTGCCTACGTAAAGCACATCCAGCAGAAGACCCGCTGCAAGGTTCAGATCAAAGGCCGCGGCTCTGGCTTCATTGAAACCAGCACCGGACAGGAAAGCAACGACCCCATGTTTTTGCACGTTGCGTGAGTTTTTCCCCTTTGCCCATCTAGTATCTCCAGCTGACAATCCCAACCAAAGCGGACCGGATCCCAACGACGTCCAATCAGCCAAGGAGCTCTGCGAAGACCTCCTCACCAACGTCCGAGAGCAGTACCAACGATTCAAGGAGAACCCACCTCAACACGGTTACGGTGGCGGCGGGTATGGCCAGCGCGGTGACCGCTACCACGGTGGTGGTGGGGGAGGAGGAGGAGGTGGTGGCTATGGCGGCGGCTACAACAATCGCCAGCAACAGTCGCCCACAGATAGCCAAGGCGCAGGCGGTGCTGCCGGCAGTCCAACGGACTACAGTGCGGCCTACGCTCAGTACTACGGGTCTGATCCCTATGCCGCCTACGGTGGATACCAAAACTACGTCGCCTACTACCAGTACTACCAGCAAGCTGCAGCAGCCCAGCAACAGCAGTCGCAGAGCCCTGCTCCGCCTCCCCCTCCTGGCAATGAGGCGCCTCCCCCTCCACCTCCGGGAGCTGGGTCGCCGCCACCTCCTCCCCCTGGAGGTGGTGCTGGTTACAGCGCAGTATGAATTCCTGCTTTTTGACCAATTTGATTTCATGACTAACTTTTTCTCTCCTGTTTATAGGTTCCCCCGCCTCCTGGTCTGTAACGCAGTTTATGACAATGAGACCGGATCCGCTGTTGATAAAAAAGAAAGATATCTGGCTCATTTTGAACAGAAAAGTTTGGGAAGAAACGTCCAAATCTATGGAGGAGAGATGAGAGATGTCTGGATTAAGTAGGATGTAATCTTGTTTTTCTTATGGGTCCTGTCCCTTTCGCGTTCTGCTTTTTGCTCGATGGGAGTTTTTCTTTTCCTGCTGTCCCTATAGCTTCTTCAACTGTTTCTATATTCCAGTAATCGGATCTCTTTATGCGTTTGCAGAACATTGGCATGCTCTACTAAAGTCTGGCATAGTCCATTTCTTGAGATGATATTGAAGCAACTTGTCATATTATATGCTGCACCACCTATCACGAGTTCGATGGGGAGAAGGAATCAAAACGCCGGCCACCATGTGACGAAAGTGGGAATCATTCGAGGAGAAGAAAAATATAAACAATTGAGCGTGGGCAGCTCTGTTCTCAACAGCAATCCGAACACCAACGTCTAGTTGCATCAGGAAACAAGCGCGGAAACATAGCCTGCATGATCTCCGACATCCCCATCAAATACTCAGACGGACTCTCGGCAGCCATCTTCGCCTTCCGAGCCGCCAGTCCCGCACGACCCTCCTTACAAAAATCGCAAGCGAAATCGCACGGCGAAGGAGGCAAGGCAGCAGCACCATCCCCCTCCGTTTTAATAGGCATGGACGAAGGAGGCGGCTGCGTCGAGCCCATCTCTTCCAGCTCGTAGTCGCCAAAGATCTCTTTGATCAGCTCATGTCTGCAGCGGGTAATAGTCTGGCAGTATCGAATAACCTTCATGAAGCTCTCGAGCCGGGCTTCTTGGTTACGCATCCGGCTGGCGAGGACCTGCGCTGGCCCGCCGCGGTTGCGCACGTTCTCAGCATCGCGGCAGACACGGTCGTAGATCCGGTCTCGTTCTTGGGTGTTGTAGTAGACTAGCGAGGCGGCGGCGCGGCCGTCCCGACCTGCACGTCCGGATTCTTGCACAAATCCTTCGAAACTGCGAGGCGGTGTCCAGTGGATTACGAAGCGGACGTGCGGGTTATCGATGCCCATTCCGAAGGCGTTCGTGGCAACGATGATGGAAAATGCGCGCGAGGGGGTCTCATCTGTTGGGGTTTGAGATTGTTGCGGCGCTGTCCACATGGCTTGGATACGTGTTCGGTCATGCGGCGCAAGTCCGGCGTGGTAGGCCACCGCTGAGATGGACGTATCTGAGAGTTTGTGCGCGAGGTTCTCAGCGGCTGCACGCAGTCCAACGTAAATGATGCCTGACATTGGTGGAAGTCGGGCTGCTGCGTCGGCGCCGAACCGCGCCTCGCGTCGGGATTGAATGGACTTGAGCCATTTCCGGAGGTCGTTCAGGTGGAAATCTTCTGCGCTGGTGGTGTCGCTGGCATAGTCTTCGAGGTACCGGACCTCATAGTGTATGTTAGGTCGAGCAGATGGCGTGTTAAACAATTTGAGCTGGGACGTATCCAGCCCCAGCATGTTGATGATGTCTGAGCGAACGCGCGGTGTGGCTGTGGCTGTGAGAGCGCTGATAGGAACAGGTGGGCTGGTGAGAGTTTTCTTGAACCAGCCCAGTTCTTGGTATGCAGGACGAAAGTCATGGCCCCATTCACTGATACAGTGGGCTTCGTCTATTGCAACGCGCGTGAGCTGGCCTTGTCGGTGGACAATCGCGAGGTTGCGCCGAAACATCTCCGTCTGGCATAGTTCGGGGGTCACATAGAGGAGGCGTGTGCGTGGATGACCAGAGAGAATATCGTCCAGAATTTTGCGTCTTTCTGATAGGGTCGTGTTGGAGTTGATGGTTGACACTGCTACTCCAATGGCCCGGAGAGCATTGACTTGATCCATCTGTGGCATTGTTAATATCTCTAGAGCAGAAGCTTGACTGGCCCTTACCATCAATGCAAGAAGTGGGCATATGACAATCGTCACTGTACGATAATTAGTTAGTAATTTAGTTCCATGTCACAGGCTAAATGCATAAGAACGGACTCACGCCCCGTGCTGATTACCGCAGGCAATTGGAAGCACAAACTCTTGCCGAACGACGTCGACGCTTGAAGGAAAACATCGTGGCCCTCCACGACTGCGTCAATCACTTCTCGTTGCAACGGACTGAAAGAAATCATGTCAGTGTCGATCATCTGGCAGGCCTCGACGCTTCAACTGACCGAAAAGACTGTTTGCGGAAGACGCGGTGGAGGTAGAACTCCAGGTCTGGCTTGCGCCGCCGGTGCTCTCCTATATTAGCCATTAGGCAGCATTGCAGGGGTGGTGAAAAGAAAAGTAAAGAAGCCAACGTCTTGCCGAAGCCGGGAAGATTAACTATTTGAAGACCGCGCGTGGAAGAAGGCGCGGTATCACGTGAGGATAAACGGATTGCCTGTTTGGGTTGTATAGAGTGTGCGTTTCCCACATTGGAAGCATAGTGAGTGATAAGTGATTTAAAGAAACATCTTCGGACGTCGGTGGTATATTATTCAGGGCACGAAATGCCAAAATGTATGTACATAGCCGTTTATTTCGCGCTAAGACTCGCACTAATAATCATAAATTGACCACAGCCCAAGAGAACTCGTTCCTATTGTAGATATTCTCTATGGATACAAATGTATTGGCTCTCTACTATAGAGTACTTGCCAAACCAGCTAACAACCTTTTACAATTAGCTTAAATCCTGATGTTATCTCGTCTGTGAGCTGCGGATTTAGAACTTCCAATTGTTGGCCTGAACTGCTATTGGAATCAAGCTCGAGTATAGGAATTCATTGTACCTCTACCATATTTACTTATCAACATCCCGCAAGCAAAAAGTGAATAGGATAAATTATCTACGTAATTCACGACAAAAAAGCATCATCACAAGGGACCACGTGACGCCCTTCGAACTAAGCATATGCCAGCCTCCCGAGGCCAAGGCCCGTCATTCCTCCTAACTACTTAGCAGAGCCTCCAACGTCATAGGAAGGAGGCCACCATGCATGGATGTACCGTGACAAGGATTTTCTCTATTGTGCAGAAAGAGCATCGACCAGCATGGCCTGTACTTCGTCAGCTTTACTGCCCGCGCGGTCTCCGCACTCACTATCCTCTTCAACCCCGGATAACTCCGCTCGTGGCGAAACGGGGAGCTACAACAACAAACAAAAGGCTCTATATCGACCATGATATCCGGCCTGCTGCCGAGATCAACCGTCAACTCTCCTTCACCCAGGAAGTGTTTAACAAATCACTCGCGCTGACCCACAGCCGAATGAACGATGTGACTGAGTTGCGGTGCGCGCTTTTCAATACGAACGGCTCCCTCGTGTCCTCGGAGACTCTCATGACCAAAGTTGACATCGCGAAACAATACGGAATAGACATGCGCGACCTGCGTAATGCCGATCTCGTATCTGAGGGATCTCCACACATCCTGGTCCGGCCTTCCACGATATTCATCAGCATCTTCTCTTTGCGGCTACTCATCCAGTCAGACCGGGTACTCCTTTTTCTTCTTGACTCTGAAAGCGACGATGTCAAGATGGAGGATATATTCGAGCAGAATCTGCAATCGAGGATACGCACTGACCCGGGGCCCGACGCTATGCCAAGTCTTCCCTACGAGTTGCGTGTCGTCGATGCCGCTCTGGCATCAGTTACAGCAGTCCTTGAAGCGGAGCACCTTCTACTTCGAGAGGAGGTTGGACAACGACTCCGCGATTCGCAACGGGAGGAAGGCGTGCACTCCACTTTACGTGAGCTGCTAGAGCATAGAAAGAAACTGGTTACCATCGAGCAACGTGCACGTCAGGTACGCTCTGCACTGCAAGAGCTTCTCAACAACGACGAAGACCTGGCCATCATGTATTTGTCAGATCAGCGTGCGGGTAAGCCGCATGCCATTGCAGACCATCAAGAAGTCGAATATCTCTTGGAGGCATATTACAAGAATGCCGATGCAATTGCCGAATCTTCCAACGCTCTGGGAGGGAACGCCAGTCGCACGGCAGGGGCGATTGAGTCGATGCTAGATGTGCGGCGCAATCAGATCCTGATTTTAGAGGCACAGCTTGAGATTTGGATGCTCGGTCTTGCTGTGCCGACCATCGTGGCGGGCCTATTTGGAATGAATGTGATCAACTATTTCGAAGAGAGTACCTCGGCATTTGCTGTGCTTGTCTCGGCGTGTGCGGTAGGAACTATGCTTATTGCACGGTACGGGATGAGGAGACTCAAAAGGATCCAGAAGATGCAGCTTTAGATTTAGATTATCTTCTACATCAATTATAGTCCCACGGCCAGAATATACGAATTACGGCTCCGACCGTTCTGCTGTGGGCTCGTACAATAGGCAAACATCTCATAGAAGCTAACTCGATTGAAGAAGTTTCGCCTTCAATGCTAAACACAGGCACAATTATTGAATAAAGATTTTGCTAGAAGCACAGTTGGTATACGGCAGATTTATGTATAATGTACAAAAGAGATATCAACCATCTCCCTACTCCCTCGGCCATCCCCACAAACTCGAATGCCTAACTACTTTCTCGACATCTGCTTATCAAGCTCCTCCCGAACAGCAAGGACATCATTAAACTTGCGCCGATCAGGATGCCATAATCGTTCAAGCTGCAACCACGCCTCCAGGACCTCCTTGGGCCCACAGCAGGTGCCAAATGCGCGCAGAATCACAATGACCATGCGCCGGCCGAGGAAGACGCCGTTTTCAACGCGGTAGTCGACTTCTTCGAATTTTTCCATTTCTTCCAGCTCTCGGCGCAAAGAAGGAGAGCGGTTGTCGTTGAAAAACTCGTTCAGGTCGAAATCTTCGTATTTGGCATCGGCGTCGTCATCGTGCTCGGTTTCCTCGGAGGCCCTGGGGTCTGTGTCTCGATGAGTGGTGTCGACTGCGGTATTGTCAGGCTCCTCGTGGATCACTAGGTTCCCGTCCGCATCTACCGACGGTAACGGCATATATAGGTCGTCCGTCGCCTTTGCCCTGGAGGTCTCCTCCTGAGTACTTTCTTCCGTGCCATCGCCAGACAGTGGGTTTTCCCAGACCTCCTTTGGAGGAGTGGTATATGTCTTGTTTTGTCTGGTCTTGGAGTCACGTAGTGCCCGTAGATAGGTGTGCCAAGTCAGCCGCAGCTTCTCTGCAGACCATGCCTTGTTTCTTCGGCCGAAACGAGAGAACCCTTCGAAGAGGAGAAGGTAAATTAGGGGACGGGGCGGAACAGTATAAAAATATTCCATGTCGCGCAACACGGCCATGAAGCTGTCGAGCTCGCCACTGTGGTATGCATAGTATCGAAGGAAAGTATAGAAAGTTCGTGTGTCTGGAGTCATCGGAAGCGAGTCTTGGAGAGCACGGTGATATTCGGGCAGGCGGTTCTTGAGGGCCTGAGACTTCTTCAGTATACGGCCCAGGCTCCGGGTTCTCGCGCGGTAGATCGCGAATTCTGACGACAGCGTAGGGTTCGTGATAGATGTCTGGTCGGGAATGGGAGTCGCGTTTCTTTGCCTATCGTAGGCTTCGAGCATGCGCGCATACAACTGTTCCGCCGTCTGCACATCTCCGGCTCGAAGAAATGACGCGGTCAGGCAATTCAGCACGACAGTGTCGACGAGCTCTCCGGATCTGACGAACTCGTCAAACTGGTCTCGAATGCCATTGAGATCATGTCGCAAGCCGTAATAGTATATTTTTGAAACCTTGCCGCAGCGAGAGAAGCTGATGTTTCGCTTCACCATTTCTTCCTGCAGCCTATCGGCAACCGTAAACTGACCGGCTTTGATGGCGATGTCAAATAGGATGTTGAAAACGACATCGTCCGCCGGAATCCCCGCCACGTGCTCCATCTGCTGCCAAATGCCAATTGCGCGCACCAAATCTCTCCGGGCGACTTGGCCTTTTGCCCGGCCAGCAAAGTGAATCGCCGAGCTCCAAATCGTCCGAGACATGGGGAGACCGGCCGTGATCATGTCATCCACCAATGCCAGAAAGCGACGGGCATCAACCCATCTTCGATCGCGCGGCGCAGCGAATCGACGTAGAAGGGCACCGCGGGATTTCTTAGAGAGATGCGCAACTCCTGGGGCAGGGATGCTCCTATAGAGTCGAAAAAGATATTGGGTGGATGGTTGTTGATTGGACCGTAGTGTTTCGACAAGCTTCGCAACAGATGGAATCTCGACGGCATCGTGTGAGTGATCCTTCGTGGTGCGCATTGATTTTTGCGGGAACGCCACAATATCGGCAGCTTCTTTCCAATCAAGGCCCAAATTGAAAGTGGTGCGGTAGAGGTTCGAAATAGAGCGATAGAGTTTCTTGTCTGGTTGAACCCATTTGTCTTCGTGGGAAGACTCCTTTGAAGACGGATGCTCCTCAAACTCGTCGCTTTTTGACGAATTACCACGTGCACCATTGCTGTCAGGCTCCGTTTTCTCCTCCGATTTGTGATTTCGGCCATCTTCATCTGTCAGCGGTTCATCTGCATGCTTCAATCCGTTGCTCATAAACCGCCGAGCCGGCGAAAAGTTCTCCGCGGACATCGTGTATTCCAATCGCTTCTTTGATGGCAGCTGCATCCTGCCAGACATATCATTGCCCCGAAACCTCCGCATTTTATATTCCGGCGCTTTCACGCACATTGTTGACAGCCCTCGGCAACGCGGCGAGTGTTCCTGACAGAAGCTCGCCAGCACCAAAGAGCCGACGAAAACGTCCGCTATTGACGCGACTGTCGGGCGAGGACGGGGGCGAGTGGCGAGCTTTCTGGTCGAGACATTGTAGGATAGACGAATCGGCTTAGGCATGGGACTTGGATGGGGAAGGACGAGCCCATCGGCGACCTGCTGGGGGAGATGTCGCAGGCTCGACGAGCTTGGGGATGAGGTGGAAGGAGGCATGAGCTGGCTGACATGGTGGCACTGGGTCAGCCATGCATGTCCAATTGGCAGATCCAGGCCGTAGCACGAAATAAGAAAGAAAAAAGACAAAGAGGGCTCAAGACGCAGTTCGAGAGACGGGGAGAAGTGTTGGAAGCAGAGTGTTTTTCTGGTCTTTCTGCCGCCGGGCGGAGAGGCTAAGGGGCCAATCGCATTAGCTAAACTTCTCGTCTTTTTCTCTCTCCAGCACCAGCACCAACACACCCTCCCTCTCAACTAACTACCCGAGTCGCCTGATCGCTCCATTATCACGCCCGCTGGCATTTTCCTCGGCCTCTACATCTTGTATACCGCTTACAATTTACGCCGCCATCGGCCGCTTCTGTCGTCCATGGGCAAGTACAACTTCACAGCCCTGCGGGTGCGGCAGACGGCGCTCAGCCAATTCGCCAGCGGCAAGACCAGCAAGCTGCCCCAATGGGTCGATGTGGTCGGCGAGATTCCTCCTGCCGAAACAATTACTCGCACCCGACCGTTTCAACATCAACTCGTTCGGCAGCGCCTGAAGACCGTCGATGGGTCCTCAAAACCGCAGGTCGTCTTTGAAGTCCAGGAGAAGCGCATCAAGCCGAAGAAGGCCAGCCGTCTGTTCCAACCCGTGGAAATCAAGTACGAGGAGGATCAACTGCGAAGAGAGTTCTTCCGCGACCACCCGTGGGAGCTTGCCCGGCCTCGTGTACTCCTCGAAAGCACCGGCAAAGACTTTGAGAACTATGACTGGAGCCGGATCCAGCAGCCCGGAAAGCGATTGGATGGCGAAAGGTATGTTCCATTTGTTGTTCTGTCTTCTACGATCCAGCACTGACATAAAGTACTAGTGTTGTCCAACGCCAGCTTTACCTCCTCAACACCGTTCCAAACATGACTAAGAGTGAGGCCTATGACCAAGCCCGCCAAGAATTCTATCGACTTCGCTTGAAGGAGGACATTGAGCGACGGGTTGCTGCGGAGGAGGCCGAGGCCACAGGCGCAACCTTTGGGCCGCGACACTTGGATATGGGAATGGAGGGCGAGAACCAGCAGTTCGAGCGGTGGAAGAAGTGGGCGCAACGAGCGTCCCAGATCATCGAGCAGCGCAAGGCGGCTCTGTCGGGAGCTCCAGAGATCATGGAGGAGCAGGTGGTGCCGCTAGAAGAGACCGAAGAAGAGGCACCCGCGGCGGCAGCATAGAGGTTGGCGGGCCAATGTACATTATTATACTTGCTTTCTTCCAAACAATTACCCCTGGTGGAAACAAATACAGTAACAGAAGAGTGAGTAGTAATTAGTGGTTGTGACACCGTTAAATGTCAGCCTCACCGCTTGGCTTATCGGGCATGTTTCTCGATAACAACCGTCTTGCTTGCCCGACCTCGCCTGCCTATTACTCTTCTTCTACCGTGCTGCCCACTTGCGTTGGCACAAACCGGACTGGAAGAATCCTTCTCGGTCTCGACTGGCCCTGACCCATCTCCTGGACCGTGTTGCATCCCTTCCCCCACAGATTCTCTCACGCCCAACCCCCCGACTTGCGCGACTGCGACCCTCATCAACCATGCCCCGTGTCAGTGCGCGCGCCCTGTCCTAACCGGGTAACGGTTCACGTTCTCGCAAACTTTCTGCGATCTGTCCTGCTGTGGACAGGAACGCTGGGCGCGTGGCTGCTCAGTAACGCCTGGGCGGCTCCCGACCATGATCGCCGCGATGATCCGACCGGAGGACACCATACGCGGGCCACGCTCGTTCCGCGGCGAGGCCGATGACGATGATACAGAAAAAGGGCTGGAGGCACTGGTACCGCCTCGCCTGTCGATTGACGATGTCTCTCCTGGTCCCGACGACGATGGGAGCAGGCCCGGTACAGCAATGAGCGAAACCCATGGCGGCAGTAGCAGACCAGCCGCATCTAGACTGCTCAGCCCCGACGACACCATTGACCTTGTGCGGCGCACGGTGGAAACGGGAATCCAGGATACTAAACGCTCGCTGGCCGGAAGCGAGGCTGTTAGCCATGTGGTCAAGCCGAAGCTGACCATCGATCTGGGGCATTCTCACATAGTGAGGATTCCAGAGCCTGTGGTGGATATAATCAAAGATGAAGTGGAAAGGTAACATGTCGCCTGAAGTCCTCGACAAGGAATGATGCTAATACACCCGACCAGGATTTCCTTGTCCAACAACCACCTCTTCCACATTCCCTATCGCTTCGCCGAGTGCTCCCATCTGCGATACCTCAACATCAGAGCCAACAGTTTCCGTGAATTTCCCAAAGGAGTATGAAGTTTTTCCTCTACATTACCGGCAGTTACTGACCCGCCGCTAGGTCTACAAGTTGCCGCTGCTGGAGATTCTCGATCTCAGTCGAAACAAAATTACTACCCTACCGGATGAAATCAAGAAACTGTCCTCGCTGCGGGTGCTGTCGATCATGCAGAATCGCCTGGACGATTTACCATCCGGTCTTTCCGACATGAATAAACTTCAGATTCTCAAGGTTGCCGGCAATCCATTACAATACCCCCTGCGGCGTACTCTGGAGGACTCTGAAAATGACATGGCCAGCTCTGCAATGACTGACAACGAGAAGGAGGTGGCGGTGACTGCCGATTTGAAGAGATTCCTCAAGGTTCGCCAACAAGCAAATACTCCAGAGCCAGAGGGCGGCAATGACACGAGGTATGTACTACAAGATATGCGAATAAATGGTGGACTTACAAATCATCTAGTGATGGAACGGTCGATCACCCGAGACCTCAGCCGGTCAAACGAAAGTTGAGTAGTCGGTTTCCCGTGATTCCAAGCACTGGAGACAGCTCGGCAGCGTCGTCCAGATCACCGTCACTATCGCGGCCTCCCCCGCCCATCCCCGTCAAATCCCACAATCGCATAGCATCGGGACAGCCAGGTGCTACCTACCAATTGGCTGGTCTTCAGCGCCCTGGCATTACTCCGCACACTGCCGCTGAGCGGAACCGCAGTAACAGCGAAGGCATCATCCAAGCATCCTTTGCGGCGCGGAACAAACGAATGGGGGTCATTACTCGCAAAAATACTGATCTCGGCACCTTGGATGAAACAAGCCCAGGGAGCTATCGAAACAGCCACCTGCGAGGTCTCAGTCATGGATCAGTTCTTCGAGCACGTCCGGTCGGCCCGACACCTGCCAGCGGCAGTAGTTCTTCAAGCCCTGGTAGCCCCAGAGGAGAACGCAGGCGTCTCCGGGATGGCTGGGTCAATCGGATGTCCAGTCTTCCTGAGCACAAGGGCGAGCGAGGAACGGATGAACCGATCATCAAGTGCGCCAAAGGGATCCTTTTTGCACTTTTCCAGGTCCACTCCCATATTTCTACGCTGATAAACGTGATTAAGCGCGATGATACACGACGACACAGCCTTGAAATTGTTTTTTATAATGCTTCTACACATGTGGATCGGCTCAACGAGGCTCTTGAGGGTGCTGAAACTTTGTTGACCGAGGATCCCGACTCTTCATCGTCAGTTACAGAAACCGTGAAGAGTGAATGCGAGACCTGCATCAGGGCCTACACTCATGTTGGCACACAGCTGCGCCATACCGCGACCAAGATTGTCGCTAATGGTGATGGCCGGTATGTACGGTCCCTGATGTTGATGATGTATGGCAGCCTCGTGGAGCTACGAAACGCCTGTGCCAGTCTAAACGTCCCCCTCCGATCCGTTAACAAGCATATCTCCCCCGCAAAACGCGAAGGACGTTCAGTCATCAAGGAGATGCCGCCCACGGACCGGTTCCAGGGCCCCGTAGTCACTCCAACAAGGGACCAAACTCCACCAACTCGGCGCCTCCGAAGCGATACCACAATCCGACATCCCCAGCCTCCCGTGTCCGTACCCTTGCCGTTAAACGCAAGCAACCAGATTACCTCTGGGTCGCCTAGCTTCACATCCTCCTCTTCCTTCAACTATGGCCGCAGTCGTTCATCCAGCCGGTCGAACTTGGTCAACACCTCTGTGCCGTCTTCAATGGCAACACCCCGCTCTGGGGAATCCTTCCCTCCTATTCCAACCGCCGCCATGCCTCGTATCAACCCATTAACTGGACTGGACGAGATTGAAGAGGAGCGGATCTTCGAAAAGATCTTCCACCAACTCACATCCGCTTACACGGCTGCATTGCAGGCATTGCCTCTCGCACGCCGGCAATTTAGCCGATGCCTCGAGGTGGCAGAACAATCACGCGAGTCCGAGGGAATGCAGATGGTCTGGAACAACCTCATTCGCCGGTGTAGATTCTGCCTCGAAGTATCGGAGGCACTGGGCATTCGCCTTTCCACGATGAAAGTCAAAGAACCAGGTGGCGGACTACGCAATCAACGAGAATTCTGGCAGCTCTGCAAAACATTCATGCAGTCTTTTGTGGAACTCGTAACAGACATGCGTGAAGTGCGAAGCATGCAACTCCTCCCAGGCGATATAATCATCATTTTGCGCCCCGTCCAAAAAGCCAGTCGGGAAGCTGGTCGCTTGATCGAGGCTTCTCCCTGGTCCTACCTTGCCGACATGACCTCCGCCCAAGGCGCAGGCACCTTGTATGGCCCGCCCCTGCAGACAACACACTCACAACACCAAACGTCGTCCTCCACCTCCGCCATCTCTCACCCGACTGCCCTCCAGCACAGTGCCAGCCTGTCCCCGCAGTCTGTAACAGTCCCCGCTACACCGCTCAGTGCTGCACTCGGCCCGGCCGCGCAGGCTACTGTGCCCTCCACGCCGGCCAGTGCGTACAGTGACAAGTTCTTTGAAGGAGATGTTTTCCAGCGCGCAGACTCGTTGCTCTCGACGGGACATCAGGCGCCGTACTTTAGTCGTCGGTGATCTAGCTTTTGCTCCAGGTCTTCTTCTATGAATGATGATCTCCTCCAGCGCTTCCTTCCCATTTTTCCGCCATCTGTTTTTGATCACGATCATGGACATGTACTATTTACCGCATCTACTACCTGGAACAGATGGGAATCCATCTATCCAGTTCCTTATAACTGTCAGGCTAGTGGGCGTTCTGTGGCTATTCCGGGAACGGGAAAAAGGCAATCCTTGTATCTGTGTCATCACTATAGTATCTAGTTGTGGATATGCTCAGTTCTTATTTTTACGTAATTCTATTGGCCGGGTCTTGACTAGCGTTTTCATGTATAGTAGAGGTCTATCTTGATCGCTAATCACCTAGGGCAAGTCTTGGCTCGCCTTGGTGATCAAGCCCTGATGCATGACTCATGATGAATCTTTTTGACAACGATAGAAATCATATTCTATCATGCTGATTACAGTTGATTAATTCTGAATGTGTCAGCTATCATTCTTACTGTGTATGTTTCATAGTTGACTTGTTGTTAGCAAGTGTCCTTCAACCAGCCTCACTCTCAGGCAAGCAGGGATGGCAGGTAGTACGCACAGTATCCCTGAGCAAGAATCAGTATAAGTAGCGAATTATGTAGATATATAGGTTTAGTTATGAAATTTATTAGTCGTTCTTGTGACTGGGCTACGTTCGTTGCTACAATATGAGAAGTAGGCTGCACTGTGATAGGTATGTGCACATCTCCTCTATATCTCCCCCAAGCAAAACACCCAAAGGAAGACACATATTGGCCAATGAAGAAAACCTACTCTCTGAACCCAGGACGAGTTTGCCTGGTCATTTTTATGTATTGTGATGGAGATAAATCTGTCGACATCGTCCGAAGCCATACTATACTACCCATGTTTTATTTCACCTTGCTCTTGTTCTTGATGATTAATTCTAACAAAAGAACATGTACCTATATACACAGGACAATGTGTGACGGTGGGACCTTTCCTCCGCCGTTTAATCTTATAGGTGATCTCTTCAAGTAGATCCTTCGACTTTATCTAAGGATCTTGCTGTATCCGGCTTTTAATGTCTTCTTCATCGTCTTCTGTAAGCTTTTGTGGCGAACGAAATCGAGGTTGGGAAGTATTATTCACGCGTCTGTGCTCCTGAAGCACTGTCCGTTTGATGGTAGACGTGGGATTGTAGGAACTGACCGGCGATTGGTTATTTTGGGCAGCGCTGTTGACGAAAATGCATGCCCCTACTTCCATCCGTCCATAACCAACCACGAGGCTAATTCAGGATCATTGCATACTCCTGAAAAAATCCTCGACACTCTCATGAAATCATAGTAAGCTCCCGTGGGCTATTTTTTACGCATAGGAAGTCAAGACACGTCGGTCTTCCAAGATTCAGCATACGCGCCTTCCTGATTAGAGTTCTCCTGATTATGGTTAGCGACATTCCTTGTTTACTTGTCATTCCTGATTCCCAGGACTACCTTCCTTATATACACCTCGTTCTCAAACGATTTTCCCAGAATTAGAGCTTTTATTCTAACATCTCCTACGCATACCAGCCTGTACGCTTATTTCCGGTTTCTGCCGCATCTGTATCCTGTATCCTTCCAGCGGACTGTACTTGAGCTGCGTCAACATGAAGTTCCTCCAAACAATCAACGTGTTTGGCCTCATTCTTCAGGCTGTTATGGCACAGGTCCAGGCTCCTGCGCTACCGGGCAAGGGTGCCCCCATCTCGGCCTCGGACCGCATCTATACAGGTGACCAGTCTTCCAACACAGTCACTGTCATTGCACCATTCACTGGTCAAGTCCTCGGCACCATTGCGCTGGGTAATCCGCGTCTGACGGACTTGATGGGCCCACAATATCAAGAGGCAGTCAACTCGCACGGCCTTGGATTCTCGCGCGACGGGCGGTTCATCGTGTCGCTGAGCGTCACTACCAACCAGGTGACGGTCATCCGCTGCGAGGATAACGTGATCCAGTCAACGACGTTTGTGGACCGCCAGTCACATGAGGCCTTCTTCTCTGCAGACAACCGTACTATATGGGTGGGCACACGGGGTGTTGACCACATCGACATCGTTGACGGAATCAATGGCGGGATCATTGGCAAGGTGGACTCCTGGGGCGGACCGAGCAAGGTGCTCTTCAGCCCGGATGGCAAAACTGCGTATGCCAATCACATTCGGTCTGCATCGGTGTCAGTCATTGATGTCGAGCGCCAGGTCGTCGTCCACAACATCACTGGCCTGGCTGACACGTTCTCGTCTGACATGATGCTCTCTGCTGATGGGTTGCGCCTATGGGCGGCGCACAAGAAGGTCGGCAAGGTTAGCATCATCTCGACGGCACAGCGGAAGGTGATCGGGGTTCTAGACTCTGGAAGTGAGACCAATCATCCCAACTTTGCCACGGTGGACGGCATCGTCTACGGCTTCACCACAGTAGGGGCATTGAACCTCACACGGGTCTACGCGCAGCCAAATCCGCACAGAATGCCTGTCCATGTGCGCGACCTCCACTCCAGCGGCATCGAGCCTCATGGTATTTGGCCCAGTCCGGACAACACACATATGTACGTTGTGAACGAGCACAGCGACACGGTTGACTTCTTCAGCTTGGACAGCTGGAGTATCGTGAAGACCGTCAGAGTAGGCCAGGAGGGCCAAGCGCTCGTGTACGTTGCTGACGCGGTTACTTCCGGGGACGGCACCCAGAATCTGGGTACCCAGGGTCTGCTAGCCAGGCTGCCGTATAATAAACTTGTCAACGTCCGGTCGAGCGACGGCGGCTATACCGATGCCACAGCGCTCATCACCATTCGGCATGAGGAGGGGCTTGACATGTTCCAGCTTATCGGACGAGATCTTAATTTGAGCACGATATATACCGCCTCAGCATCCTGTCTGGGCTGTAACGGCGTTCAGCTTCCTCTGGTTAACTTCACAGCTACCCCGTCCAGCGGCATGAAAATGGGCTGTGGCACAGCACCCCAGGTTCTGGCATTCTTGTCTTTCTTTGGAGTGTACGATGAAGACACGCTGCAGGTTACGGAGGCGTAGGTAGATTTTTTTTTTCAATTTTAGATATCATAGTTGATAGGCTCTGAAAGGGTCGCATTGATTTGGATCCGATCAGTCTCCAACTGAATCAGTGGCCTACCCTGCTGGCTTGAACTTCTTTTCTTATTCGCTCTTTAGTATATTTAGATTCTCAGGGTCGTGCTCAGTTCTGCTCAGGGAGCAAGTAGTGAGCACTAAAACGGACAGAGCAAGTCACGGGGCGCCGGATATTATCCCGTACATATGTGCAGGGAATAAGAAGAGAACATTAATGTATTCAAGAAAGAGCGTAGCTTGCTCGGACATAGGAAAGAGTTTGTTAGTGGCTATTTGATAAATCAATGTGCTATACAGCTCGGGCGACACTGTCAGCTCTTTGGGAGTAATACTCAGTTTGGTCACCAAGCCCCTGCAATAATATTTGTGCATCCACTCCCAAAAGCTCGCGTAGTGGCACAGTACATGCATTCCCCAGCCACCTGGATATATGTACCCATTACAAACCCATCCTGCCAAAATAATATCAAAGGAATATCACCTGCGGTCCAGTGACAGAGAACCTTCTCATAGCCTATCGGTAAGCCCTGGCCCAATCTGTATCGAAACATATTGATCAGTTTCTTTTTGAGGTGGGATTTATCGAGAAGTTTGCTCCTATCAGGTGCGTTGCACCCGCACGGAACCCCAAACACGCCCTGTCCCCCAAATGGAATGGGCTTGAAATCACCGAATTCAGCGACTTTTCCCACTAATTGGCCTCCCGGCGTTCTCTTAATATTAACTCGCACTGTTTCAAGCTCCGCCGAGAAATAATGTGGATTCCCATGCACGTCATGGCCAGAAACCTTCCCACTTAGATTTCCAACTCTAAGACGGGCTGGGGGAGGCACAAGCTCCATACCTAGTTCCCGAAGAAACCCCACAGTGAAGTCTCGAGCTGTAGAGCGGTTTTGAGGATGATTCTGTGGTCTGTGATGGAGGGCACTTGCCCAGCCAGAAATCATATATACTGGCTCGCCTTCTGTGATAATTGTTCCACCATCGATCCGGAACCGCACATTCCGCATTTCCTCCACACGGTTTATTCGAGGCTTTCCGCGCTCTATAACACCAACTAGAACCAATGAGTCATAGAATGTCGGGGCTATCTGGGCAAAATTCTCAATGGGATTCTGAAGGCTTCCCAGCTGTGGTCCGGGTAGACAGTCCCTTAATGCGTAGCCCGTGAAGATACTGTGGTGTACACCTAGATTGGCAGCGAGGTATCGTCGAGCGATCTTTTCGTAATGACAAGCGTGGACAAGTAGCTCTATCAAATCCGCCAGGCTTATTTCACCCAGACCGCAGAACTGCGCTAATCCCAAAGCGCGCGCAAGAAGTCGGTCCTGCTGGCCTTCAGATTGCAGTGCTCTTCTCACCATGCCCCTCGCAAAGAGACCAATTTCCCTTTTCTCATAAGATGGCAGGTACTGAAATGGATTCATACGTTCCAACATCCACTGCCGCCATTGGGGTGGATATGTGATGCCTAGTCGTGATCGGATGGCTGTCCCCTTGGATTGGGAGTTGAGGTTGACAATCAGTGATTGGTAGACGCCTAGGGTTTTGAGGCGGGCGTTAGAGAGACCAAGGGCGATTCTTCCACGGTTGATGTCATGATAAATTGAAAAGAAGAGTGAATCGACTCCTTTAGGTGTCATAATCCACCCTATAGGTGCCGTCTTGTCTTGAACTGTTGGTCGTGGTACCAAGGGCTCAATATATCCCTTCTCAGTCAACCCGACAAACAGAATTTTTATCTCTTCAATGAAATGCTTGGATGCACGATGGTCGAGATATATTCGGGCAATCTTGACACCACCTTTAACCAGGAGGTTGACGATGATGGAAAGGGGGTCTATTCTAGAATAATGTTAGCTGTTATTCTTGTATAATCACAGAATCAGCATTCAATGTGGCTCACCCGCTGGACAGCGCAGCTGTGACTAAGTCAACTACAAGATCGCCGCCTACCTCCATTGATTCGAAGCTTATAGAAGTGTGGTACGAATACTTCTTTCGCGGGGATGGGTTTCTCCCAGAGGAATGAAGATGGAAAATCAAGGAGCAAAGGCGAATCTCGAACCTTATCTGTCTGTTGGTGGGTGAGCCTATGTGCGTCGCTTGGGTTGTTTTTCATGTTTAGCCCACGCTAGGATGAAAACGAGCATCAAATGCCCGGGAAAGTAGTGGATTGCGCACGGACCGTCAAACTAGGTTGCGATTTGAATTGACCAGAGCCGCCTTCTTAGCTTGGCAAGGGATCTTAGCTGGCTGTCAACACGGGGAAAAATCCACTAACGACACGACGGAGGTAAGAATCCCCGAGAACCTCGTATTCAGCCCACCCATGCGTTTTTAAATCGCTAGTTCACCCTACTGATCTACAGGCCCAAAGTGGCGCAGTACAGTAAATGCAACTCATGATAGGAGCCAAGATGCTTGCGCGGGTGATGCCTCCTTGGCAAGGGAATGAGCCGTCATGCTTGGACTAGAGCCCCATATGAGGGGACTCTTTCATAAAAAAGGGGGTAGTGCAGGGCGATTACTTCACCCAAAAAGAAAACAGATCTGCATTAGACAGGATCGTTCTTGGTTACATTGCATATCCTTGCGCTTACATCCAATTCTCTAGTTGAAAAGACCTTAGCGCAAAGCTCGTCGGAAGAAGCGACTTGGGAGATTTGAACAGAGCTTTTCGTATTTAGATGAGATATCTCCACATGCAGGTTCGCTCTCAAAATACTTCACTCTGAATTTCCTACTGCACGCCATCGGCATTCGTTGAGTCTATATCAAACTACCTGCATTTATTCACTATGCACACTGAAAGACTCCTTTCCCTCTTCGGGATCGTGTCACTCACCTTCGCGTCCGGCTTTTCTCCACTCCTCCCTCGTCAATCGATCAATGGACCATATTGTTCACCTGAGGATAAGGGATAGGAAGGCGATAACAAGGATGACTCTGGTAAACACGAACAGGGTGGATGGACAGACGGAAAAAATGTGAAGGTATGGAAACACGGAAGATTCAAATATCTGGACGAACTGGCGAGGTCTTGCACGGTCTGTTCTTACACAGTTTAACTTTTGCAGGTCGATCTTGAACGGTTGAATATGTTGGTTCTGAACAGGCTGGACTTGCACTGTCCGCTCTTGTACAGTTCTTAGCTTATTAGGAGTAGCCTTCTGGGGATTAAACTCTACAACAATAATCTCTGCAAAATCAGCCTGTGCAAAATCAACTCGTGAGAGATTAAACTTTATGCTTGAATGTTCCGATTCAATTTGATGTTCCATATAGATATCCCAGGGATAAATCCCGATGATACGGTTTGGTTCCTGATCCGCGCCTTTAAGCTATTGGAAGCTGCTAGTTATAAGTAGAGTTTGACTAAATATCAACCTTAAAGATAGCCCCACATCCTCCCGTACGAAACTGACCGCGGTGGCTGTTCATGGCTCTTACCGAGGACACCACACGCCCGTGTGGAACATCTATAGGCCCTTCACCTCTACGTTCCAGCTTGGCATAAAACAGGATATGTGGACTTGTGTTCATGCTGAATAAACGATCATTGTTTTGACATACCTGGGGCATCAGGGTTCATTTAACTTGGAATAATTGTAACGCGTTGATTTGCGGATTTGGCTCGCAAAAATATTACGTTTGACATTCAACGTGGAATACAGGATTGTTTTTACTTTCAATTGCCCATTGACCGACAGTGAAAATGAATTTTCGGGCGAAGTTTGTGGCTAAGTCATGGTATTGACAGCCACAATACTTGTTACTATACGATAGCCGTAGAGCAAAAGACTGTGAGGGCAGCTGTACTGTAACGTTATGCCTGCGAGGGATGCATGGCCTTTCAGGCCTATAACTGCCTCACAACTGCGCACTGATCATATACATGATTGCATACACGAGCGGGGTAAGAGTCTTTACATAAATGCCTCGCTGGAACCTGAGTTTCAGGGGCCAGCGATCAGTCTTGAAATCATACTGAGCCGCATCTTCCGCTTCCCTGCGAGTCTCTGTTGCCCGAATCCGTAAAACCCCTACGGCAGGTGTATCGTGAGACTACCCTGACAGTAGTTCTTGAAGTCGTTATGCTTCATCACAATAATTTCCTTAGAACTTTCCATTATGGCCGACGTCTCACGGCAAATGAGAAGTAATACTCCCAGGAGCATTCATTAAAGAACAGGGACAGCAGTCCGCAATGGGATCTGTCCAACCTTAACAGATAATCAGGCTTCATCGCAGTTTCATTACGACCGACGCACGACAAGTGAAAGGAATACTCCAAGGAGAAATCAGTAGAGAAAAGGGCAAAGGTCCAATCAAAAGTTGATACATTATTTTTGCACAAAAGGATCACCAATCAGATGGCATTCAGTCTTATCCTAAATTCCTAGAAGTATCGACAATGTTCCTAGGAGTATGTGACGTCCTATAATTAGCCTAGGGCAAAAATGTGTCGCTAGCCTATTACAGTCATTCTCGAATTCGGCTTGACCAATGCACACTTGAGAGTTATTTTTTGGATCTACCGCTGAGCTCTCTGCATCGATAATTTGTTGAGCGGGCCGTGTAAATTGAGGTCCTGTCGGCCACTTCCCCAGGCCCTCTTCAATATCTTTAGACCATGTTTCTGGGGGCTTCTTCATATGAACGCAGAACGACCTCATTGTCCTCGATAGCATTTACCGTAGTGCTGGCGAACTTCCTTGCTGGCACTTTCTGAGTAAACATAATGTCCAGCTCCTCATAAGGTCGTTTCCAGGTCTCAGGAAGTCGGAAGTAAGCCCAGATTAGCATCAGGAAAGATGTGCCGCCCCAAATAAATCTTTTTTGACGAACACTTGTTAGCGAGTTCTTAAGCAAGATTAATTTATTGATAAAAATCAGACACGTACCCAACGTAGCCCTTCACATTCCATGCCTCTGGGTTCATTAAGTACTGCATGAGAATTCCGGCTACAAGACCAGTAACAGTATTCAAGTTTCTCGCGATTCCGATGGTTTTCTGCCGGAGCCGACTGGACCCTATTTCAGCTGGAAACGACCAACCGAGCTGTCCGATAGAAAGCTGGAAGACGAAGGTCCACAGTAGACACAAGCTCGCTTGCGTTAGAGCAACACCTTTGTGGTCTGTCCACACATTTAGAATGCCGATTATGAGCAGGATCGGACAAAGTGTTGCTAATCCACAGATATAAATTGTGCGGCGACCGAAATATGGCATAATAGCTTGGAGATCCTAAGTGTAAGTGAGGAATTCTCTAAAAACGCAGAGTACGTTATAAACAGGTTCAGACCTACCAAACCAGTTGATGAAACACCCGATAAGGCCCAAACAGTTCCCGCTAAGTCCAAGAGAGTAAGTCGTAGATGTACCAACGCCGATACTCTGGAAAAAGTAAGTGCTGCTGTACGCAAAGCCGATGCCCACAAAGACTTGGCCAGCGTAGGTCAAAGCTGCAATCTCGGTTCGACGGAGTTCGGGGCCTCTAAAACAATCCCAATAACTTCCCTCCACATGGACTCTCCGCTCAAAGTCATTGGTGTGGATAATAGTTGCTAGTGTGTGCTTCGGGTCAATGTCACACTTGGAGCTCTGAAGGCGGCGCAGTGCCTTCTCAGCTTCCTCTAGGCGATTTTGTCGGACTAGATGCCAGGGGCTCTCAGGCGCAAGGTATACCAGTGGTAACAAGATGCAAGGCCATACCCATTGGAGTGCAAAGGGGATCCTATAGGCCCACTGACTCGTATTGTTAGATAACCCTTTTAATATACCAGAGGCGATAAGTTGGCCGATAATGAAGCACATGTTAGTGTACGAGGTGAGGTACGTCCGTATAGACGGAGGTAGAACCTCGGCGGCGTAGGAAATCGCACAAGTAGCAAGTGTTGCCCAGGGGAAGCTATCGAATGCATGACAAGTAAGCAACTATATGTATAAATCAAAGGCTGGAGAAGGAAACGTGCATACTTACCCTAAGAATACCTCGCCAATTGTCAGAACCGTTAGGTTCGGCGCAAAGAAAGGAAAGAAAATGCCCCCGATTATTAAGACAAGTGACCACATAACAACGCGTCTTTGCCCGTAGGCGGGCACCAGCCAGCCGTTAAGAATGGCTGCGAAGAAGCCGCTCGCGTTATTTGCTTGGCCTAGGGCAGACTGCCAAGCTGCTGTCAATTGATACCCGCTGGGTGTCGCTGGTGAAACTCCCACGTAACGGCCGAACTTAATTTGAAACGAAGCTTTATGAAAGGCGCTTTAATCAGCATATTAAAGCAACGCGACCAAAAGTTCACAAAAGTGACGGTCACGTACGAAATGCAAAGAAGCTTCCAATCAGGGCACAATCATAGCCTTCCATGACAACACAGAACGCCATGACAAGAGACCATAGGATGGCGTAAGGATAGGCCTTAACGGCTGCCAGGGCGCCTAATTCCTTCTCATTGGCAAAACCGGCCGCCGCGTCCGCGATCATATGTTTAGTGTCCGCTATCAGATCATCGTCTATCTTCTCGTCGACGTGCTCGGCCGTAGCACCGATTTCCACCTCATTTTTATCTACCATAATGCGGATAATACCGTCGTAGGCGCTTCGTTTTGTAGCGTGGGGCGACGAGGGCAGAGTTGAACAAATGCTGTCAATTGGAATTGGAAAAGGCGAGCTCGAACAACTATGAGAGTTGTTAGGTTTATATATAGCCAAATTCGAGATGAGTGAAGGGCATGTGGAGAGTGTTCGCTTGTTAACGGTTAGACGGATGTTGGTCCAGAATAGGATACACCACCGGAACGCATTATCACCCCGCAAATATTCGGTGGGACCAAGACGTGTCCAAAATCCGGGGTACTCACCCGAGAATCTCGCCGCTAACGCCCTTCCTCTCAGGCCCTGTACATGTTCTTGACACACCAAAAGCAGCTAAAAGTGATTTTAAAAAAAAGATCCAGTCCTCGTGCCAACACAATGAGACTGACCGGGAGATTCTCGGCGCCGGCTAATGTTTTCAACAATTTCGCTATGGGCCGACGGATATACAGTAAATCCTCACTTTAGCAAAATTGTCAAATCTGACTACCTGGTAGAATTACTAGCGGATACGCCTATCTTGCATTCCAATGTAATGTGTACGGCGCTGTTACAGGTATTGGGAACGGCCCTGTGCGATGTAAGATTGGATTGCAGTTCTTATGGAATACAGAATTCAGATTGAGTATCATTGTACAATGCTGGAATGCTCCATTGCAGTTATGTTTCGTGTTGGGCTACATAGTATGAATTATGATAATTAGCATTCAGGTTGAATTATTATGTCGGGACGGTTTCAATGTCTTCATTCAACTCCCTCTATCAGTTTCATAAGCCTCCTCTGCAATGAGTAGCGGTCCAAGGCTCGACAGGAGGTGAGCTTCTTGCGTAATTCGGTCGCGGACACACGCTTCTCCAAATGGAAGTCGGAACGAGCTACTTCATCGGTGTCTCTCGGTAGTGAGGGGGAAATTGGCCATTTAGCTATCAGACCGAGAATTCAGCCGAGCCCCACTCGTCGCATGCAACGCGTCTGTTAGTGTAAATGAACACTAATAGATTCAACGGCTTAGACCTTTCGACGAGGTGCCGTGGACAACGGCGTTGTAAAGAAGAGCATAGAATACTACGTAGGTGCCACTAGCGCACTTTTAGAGCAGTGTGTCATTCGTTAACCCGTCGCATGTGTTCTTCTACTGGATGACGTGACAGGATCTGAATTTCCATTTCGGAGTGATTGAGTCGACGATGAGCCTTAACGATTGAGCGCGTCTCACAATGGTTGCAAACCTCGCAAGTGTTCTTACGCCTACCAACAAAGCTCTACCATATACAAGAGAAGAGTTTATTCTGCGGCTTGGGCATTTTAATTCGATATATTCTCTGCCTATGCCGATGATGACTGAGGCCTATGCAAACGAAGTTCTTCAGCAATAGTACCCATCCCTAGGGCGAGTATCTTACTGAATAATTGCAAGACGAATGCCTGGTATTTATGCTGTATCTCTCTATAGTAGCTAGAACTTTCCCATGCAACCCATCCAAAGACCCAAGAAAGGACGACGGCCTCATAGATGTGGCAGACCCATCCCACTGTCTAGCCCTCTGCACAGGCCATAGGCGTCTCATATTGGCTGAGCCCATACCAAGCAAGGGCGGGTAATGGGCTGTGCTGAGATTCCCATATGCGCGTGGGTTAGGGCGCAGAGAGGTCTGCCACTGTCTGCGTCGATCCGAGCGCTTACTCCGAGCCACATAACACGGGTATTATTACAGGTTCAAGTCCTCTACGTCCTCCCCCACTACTCCCCTAATTTGCCCTATCATTTAACGTTTAGTAAAACCAATATTCCCCTAACCATCCTAGTTAGTATTATTAAGTATTACACCACCCCCCGAAATTCAATCACCCCTCCGGCAAAAACATCACCGAAAATATTTCCGCCTTTCACGCCGTAAGTGGAGCTGTGGTTTTCGAAGGATTGATTTGGCAAACGCCTCCCCACCACAACTCTTCGGTGATGTGGTCACGGTGAGGGGTAAATGGCCGAAATAATGATAAATAGGCTCCCTCAATTCTCGGGAAATCTCCGTTTGATCCGTAGCCGTCTCATATTTTGTCCTATTTTCACACTCGTGAAGTAATCGCCATGGTGAGACGCATCCAGCTCGACCAGGGTTGGGAATTCAAGCAAACGACATCTTTGGGCGACGGAGCAGCTCAGGATTTTCTGCCCGTGTCACAGTTTCCCACCGTCTCCTATCTCGACTTACTGCATCATAATCTTATTCCGGACCCGTATCTTGACCAGAATGAGCTCAAGACGCTTTGGGTCAATCATGCAGACTGGACGTACCGCACCACATCGGTGGGGCCATTCACCATCGACCAAGACGAGAAGGCAATCCTAGTCTTCGAGGGTCTGGATACGACAGTAGAAGTCTTCCTTGGTGGAAAGCACATCCTGTCCAGCAAGAATATGCATGTTTACCACCGCGTTGACATCACAGACCTCTTCCAGCAAGGAAAATTGCCACGATCTACGCTCGAGCTCAGATTCACCAGTGCAATCACGTCATCGCGAAAGGAACGAGATCGCATAGGATACAAGCGCGACCCGAATATGACTGGTGGCAATGACGAGCGATTATTTCTCAGGAAAGCTCAGTATCATTGGGGCTGGGACTGGGGTCCAACCGTGCAGCCATGTGGGCCATGGAAACCAATCTTTCTGGAGACATTTCAAATGAGGATTGCCAAAGATAAAGTCTTGGTCACTCGTAACGTTGTGCCAGATCTCAAGTCCGCCACAATCTCAGTGGAAGGCTTCATAGATCATCCTCGAGAGGGTACCGATTTGACAGCAGAACTGCTAGATCCTTCTGGCATCGTCATTATTGAACAAGCAACGACTTTCAATATTTCGGACGGCTCATTCAAGGCAAAATTCACACTCAACAACCCGCAGATCTGGTATCCGTTCCACTATGGAGACCAGCCGCTTTATCTTCTCCGTATTAAGCTGGGCGATGTCGACGTATTTGAGCAGACGGTGGGCCTGCGTCGAGTGCGCCTGCTTCAGCACCCGCTCAAAGATGCCGTAGGCACGTCTTTTGTGTTCGAAATAAACAATATTCGCATGTTCTGTGGTGGATCATGCTGGATACCGGGCGACTTTCTTCTCCCGCGAATGACCCGTGAGCGCTACGAAGGCTGGATATCGACGCTCAAGCGAGGAAATCAATCCATGGTTCGGGCTTGGGGCGGTGGAATCATGGAAGACGATTGCTTCTATGATATCTGTGATCGTGAGGGAATCCTAATCTGGCAAGACTTTCTCTTTGCATGTGGAAACTATCCGGCCTCGCCGGACTTTGTCGAGAATGTCCGGAACGAGGCAGAGCAGCAGGTGATTCGGGTTGGGCATCATCCATCGCTAGTGATCTGGGCAGGGAATAATGAAGATTATCAACTCGCAAACCAAGGAAGCTGGATATGGGACCCTACGGACGATGGACCATGGGATGACACGACCTTCCCGGCTCGACTGATATACGAACGTACGCTACCAGATGTCATTGAGCGGCTGGGTCGGGATGTGCCATATGTTCGCAGCAGCCCATACGGCGGGGCAGAGAACGCCAATGATCCAACCATAGGAGATGTCCACATCTGGGACGGTAAGTGCATCTGCTCTCTTGATTCGAATGTTGCTGACAACGTCTTAAATAGTATGGCATGGCCCTATGGCTCCATATCAGAATTACAAGGAGTTCATGGGGCGATTTGTTAGTGAATTCGGCTTTGAGTCTGCACCTTCTCTTCGCACTATAAATATGGCCATTACTGATCCACGAGAACGCTTCTCCCAATCCCGTACGTGGATGTCACACGACAAGGCACCGGGTCACACCCGACGGTATGGGATGTATATGTCAGAAAATTTCCGTTTTGTCATGGAGCCCCTCGGTGCCTATGTGTACTGTACGCAGTTCTTGCAAGCAGAGGCTATGTCGTATGCCTACAACCTGTGGCGACGCGAGTTTCGGGGTCCCGGAGAGGAAAACTGCAGTGGAGCCTTGGTCTGGCAGACGAATGACATCTGGCCTTGTATGAGCTGGGCTATTGTAGATGTTGACCTGAGACCAAAGGCAGCTTGGTATGTTGTGAAACGAGCATTGCAGAAAGTCACAGTCGGTGTGGAAAGGGTGATCACCAAAAAGTATTCGGAGGTGATAAATTATGATCCCCTGAAAAGAGCATGTGAGATCTGGGCAGTGAATAGCAACACTAGCGAGCTCAAAGTGACCTTGAAGTTGGTTGCTTTTGACATTGAGACCGGGAAGCCTGTGCCTCTACCTCACAGCGAGGTCGAGCGCAGATTGACTCTTGCACCAAATCGTTCAACCGATCTGTGTCGCGTCGATATCCCGCAGTCAGAAACTACTGTCCTCGTGGCTTTTCTGAATGATTCCGGAACGGGTTCAAACCTAGCACGTTGGGTGTCGTGGCCGGAGCCGTACAAATACTTGCGATTCCGGCCTGATTTGAAAGTGGAAGCACAGGCGCAGGGAGACGACAAGATGCTGTTGCGGGCAAACGCGCCCGTCAAGGGCGTTATGCTAGAAGTGCCAATGGAGGAAGGAGAAGACGCAGTATGGGAAGACAACTTTGTGGATTTAGTACCTGGTGAGACGGTAGTTGTTGGTGTCAAAGGTCTCTGCGGAAGGACTGTGAAGCCACGCTGGCTCTGCGATTGGGAGCAAACTGATACGTGAACGCAACCTGGAGTGCACTAGAAAATTTCTTGCTCGATACAATTTACCGGCCTTGATAAAAATTACCATTTATTTCAAGTCCTCGCATAATGGTGCACTACCAGATCATCGCCCACCTAGTCCGCACTCAAGGAGTTTGTGGGGTATTGTTTCTTTTCCTTCTTTTTCTTCTTCTTCCCTTCTCCAACATGGAAGTCCTGTCGGCCAAAGTACTCATACTGAATACCATCGTTTTCGTTGTTTCCCTTCTGACCTGACTGCCCGGTCACAGCTGCTACCCCACGGAATATAGAGCACTATCCCGTGCCTCTTCAGGCCAGGCGTACCGACCGGTACGGGTGGTCCTTGTGAAAGGCATCAGCGATCTCGGACCAGGTGGCCAACCACGCACCCTCCTACTTCTCAATATACTAAGAGAGTCCCTACTATCTACAAAGTCATATCACATGCTGCCTCAGGCACAATTCAGGAACGCTATCCCAGGCTGGTCACATGGAGTACATTCTCTCGCCGGCGGCGCTATGTCTTTCTTCTTAAAGAAGATAGCTAGATTATCAAGGTCAGAAACATCGACGTCATCGACTGGGGTTTTGAGGTGGGCTAGACGAGTAGCGAGGTCTAGATAGTCGACGATGTGACCAGTTGTAACGGAACTACGCATACGGAACCACGTATGACGAGACCGCTGTCTCGGGAACCCGTCATGCTGGCATCCACAATGCAGACTTCCATGACCCTGGTAACTCTGACATGATGCAAGGTTGAGGACTGCGTTTGAGGACTACGTTTGAGGATTGCGTTTGACAGTTGAGAAAGGACATGGACTGTTGTAGATAAATAGAGACTCTTCCTCTGTCTCTTCTTCCCTTTCTCAACTTGGATCTCCCGTCGACTACGTACTCAAATTGAATTCTTTATTGATTTCTTTCTTGATCTGACATCCGGTCACAGACGACGTCGTCTAGCCAACCTAAGCGAGACGACTTAACGCTCTTACGGCGTGGATGGCGGGCATCGCGGGCACTCGGCTCCTGCTTGACCTGTTATAGTCGAAGATCTGGCTCTTCTTTCACTTCCTTCCGGATGATAACAATTTGATATCGCGCTCGGTGCCGCCCCTTTTGTGAAACAACTCGTAGAGCTTAGTAGTATGTATCTCCTTATTGTACCTTAGAGACAGGAAGAATTGATGGCGGTCAGACTTAGGGGAAGTCGTAGAGTGCCAAAGTAGAGACCTAATTGTGGAGATCATTAAGGAGAAGAAACGAATGGAGAGTTGTATTGACTAAGTGATCTCCTAGAAGGGAAGGTCTATCTACAAGCGGCGGTGGGTGCTAACGCCTTAGGTACGCACCTAATCACACCCCCCTTAGCGTGCACCGTGGAGAGGTATGGATCCAAAATTCTTATGAGATAGAGAGATTAGGGTACAAATCTGGGGCAATTTGAATCATAAAACAAGGGTTTAAGTATCTTAAAATAGGTTGGCATTATTATATCGATAGATTAGCTAGGCCATCGTCTCACCTAATTGGTATCAGGCCACCGAACTCGCCTAGCCGATCAAGGCGGAATGTTAATAATAAGCGGAATCTCGAAATCGAGCGGTCATTCAAGTTGGTCGTACAAAATGGATGAAGTTAAGGGACTTTAGTTTTCCAATTAGGGAATGTCGAAAATAGAGTATTTTAATCAGAGAATGTTGAAAATAGAGTATTCCAATCGGGGAATATCAAAAATAGAATATTCTATCAAGAATTAGAATTCCTCCAGAACACATACAGAAATTTTACCCCTTACCAATATTTCCTATTTTGTACTGGTGCTGTTATTCATTGTTTACTAGCTAGTTCACCCTCTAATTGTTGGGGACTCCTAGATTTACTGAATCAAATATTTTTTTTTTTCGATTTGTGCCTCCATGTGAGGACCCTCGTACGTCAAGATTTCGACATGAATAAAAAATCAAATCACATCAAAAGATAGCAGAGAGATACTGTGACCAAGCATAACGGGACTGCGTTTGGAGACTGCGTTTGAAGACTACATTTGAGGACTATGTTTGACAGGTGACACAGGACAAAGTGTTGTAGATAAGTAAAGACTCTTCCTCTGACTCTTCTACTTTCCTCAACTTGGATCTCCCGTCGACTATAGCACCCGAATTGAATCCCTTGTTCGTTTTCTTTCTTGACCTAGCATCCAGTCACATAGATAATAATATTACAGTATAAAAAAAGTCAATGTCGACAAAAGCCGTTGTATTCACACTAAAGGGCAAGGGGAAACCTAAAAACAAGGGAAAACCCATACCAAGGCACGATGAACAAAGAAAGCGGTCTATTTCTAAATCGCGTGACCACATTACACCAATTAACCCAAATAAGGCGACTGTTTTGTGTTGATTCACTATACAGTACGAGTTTGGACATCCAAGGGAAAGCACAATAAATAATTACTCACATCCTAATCATGTGCATCTCGGTCAGTCCTATATCCAAGCAGCCATCTTAGATCTGTCCTAAGAAAGTATCACTCACAAGCTATTTATTTGCATCCTAGTCAGTCCTGCATTCAAGTAGTTATCTCATCTCTCTCTCGGGAGGTGTTACTCGCAAGCTATTCATGTGCATCTTAGATAGCCCTATATCTATCCTAGGTGCCTAGGTATTACTCACAGACAATTAAAGTATATCCTAGTCAGTCCTATATCCAAGTAGCCATCTCATCTCTCTTCCAGGAAGGTATAACTCACAGACTATCATGTGCATCTTGTTAGTTGTATCTTAAACATATCTCCAAATGATCACGAGCCAAATATCCATTCGAAAAGGCTTCAGTCTCTTATCTGACGTTCCGTACTCAATATCTTTTACCAGTGTCGTACATAGAGCTCGTAATTACTAGTAGGAGGGTTTTCGGTTAGTAATTACTAATTATTCCTACTAACTATACTACTCACCTGGCGAGCTTTTAATTCCAAAAACATCACTCGTTTCAGATCGCTGCTTTAGGCGATGCGTCTTGAGATTGCCAAATCTCTCGCCGATCCGTTCTCTATATGCATAGAGCCGGGTGGCTTCATAGAGGAATCAGAAGCAGCAACGTGATATTCTGGTCAGATTTGAACTTGGCTGATACTCATCAGCAATCCGAGCTACCATTTCTAGCTGGTTTCGAATTTACGCGTCTAATGTCCGATGACGAAATACAGAATGGGAAAACGGGGAGGAAAATGAGTGAGAGAGAGTTTTATCAACACCCGGCCGTTTATAGAGAGCCTACCGTCTCGCTCTCTTAACCTTCGATGTTACTGAAAACTTCTCTGGAGCGAGTACACCTAGAATGACGCACGCTTAGTACCGAATGAAATAAAGTGACGGAGGAAGCAGCAGCAACGGCAGCAGAAAACTCGATAGTCGAGGATGTGTAGCTAAAGATAGATAGAACTATATGTTTTGCTCATCCGTCATGGCCCACTGGATCAAGAACTTGATTTTCTTCGTCCTCGAGGGTAGGAGATAGCCCGAGCACATCAGAATGCACTGAAAGAAACCGAAAGAGATAATCTAAGCCTATATGGCTATCTCATGGGATATCTTTAAGTAGCATAGATTTGATTATCCAGAATGTCAGACTCTCTTTGCATTCATCATTAGGCGTTAACAAGTTTGATCCCACTGATATCTCCTGAATAGCATGAATTCACTAAAGCCTTTTTCTAATTGCCAGCTGGCTCTCTCAAAGTATCAGTTAAGCTCACAACACTGAGAGAGAGCGGCATATTGCCTGCTCCACCAAACACACCTGCACCCAGTATCATCAAGTGATCAGGATGCTCTGCAAAGACATGTAGGCTCCGGCTGTATGCCGCCGGCTGCGGTGTAGCGTGAATTTCCCACTGATCAGGCTGGCCGTTGGCTCGGTTGGTGAAAACACTGCTATGATCAGCGTCACTGACGACGATAGTTCCATTGACACCGCCGACCGGAGACCAGACAACATAGGGAGACGAGCCCGGCTGTACCCCATCTACAACGATTGGATAACCGTAGGCAAAGCGAAAATCAAACGGGCTCTCAGCCAATCGATAGTAGACGGGATAGCCTTCCCCAGACCAGCTATCCCCTCCCGGAAACTCGTGCACCAGAATCCACTTCTCCAAAGGTGGAACATATGTAATAACCGTCATTCCAGGCCGATCAGTATAGTTGAGATACGCCACATCATTTATCACGGAGCCCCAGGATTTCAAATCCATTGATTCCTGATGAGCAAGCTTCTGACCATGCTGTGGGTCACGCTGATCAGAGTAAAATACTCCAACTGTGTGGTTGAAAACCCTATATTTCTGTTATTAATCAATTCGACCAAAAATAAACGAGAGAGTAGCCCACTGGATGAAGGGTTCCCAAATACATGGATTCCCATCTGTGGTATCCGGTCCACTGCCCCTCGCCACATTGCTGACGAACTTCCATGTGTAACCTTTGTCTTCACTGGCATATATATCGATATTCGTGCTATGGCTCCCCAGCTGTTTCCACTAGCCAGGACCGTGCCGGCCGCGAAGTCACCAACGGCATATGGCAACTCTGCCAACGCTGGCTGAGCGGCCATACCCAGTCCATTGACCTTGTCTGTCATGTTGGAGATCCAGGACCAGGTAGCACCACCATCTGCACTTCGAAATATGGGGAAATATGGAATTTTGTCTCCACTGTACGAGGCTGTCGCCAGGAGAGTTCCATCTGACAGTTCCACTTGTCGCGGATAGAGAACGCTGTGGTCAGAGTCAGGCTGGAAGATAACATTTTCTCCGAAAGTCGACCATGGCCGGGGTGGTGGTTGCCGGTGAGGTCTAGCTGATGCGACACAACTGAGGCCAGCCAGACAAAGGGACACAATCTTGGTGAGCATTTTTATGAATCAGGGATATGCAAGGAAAGTTCCTGTTACAGATAATTCACTTCGAATGGCTTTTCTTAGTTTGGAATCTCGTCAAATTGACCCTCATTATATATTGTTTTGTATCCATATGCGGGGACTCATCTGTTCCTGTACGATTTAGGAAAATTCCCGTGCCGATGAGTTACAAGCCTGGTGGAACCACCACAGTTCCTGAGATGCATCAAAATTTAGCCGGTAGGTAAGAATTCTAGGCCGGCGTGTCCTAAGCATTCAGCTAAAAGTTGGACCACTCATTTCTAACGGTCTCTCAACATACAAGAACTTTAATTAGCCTAATGCAATTGATCTTTCACAGGGATTAATGATCCCTGTAATTTAGCCTGGATCTCTCATTGTAAGCATACTTTAATTAGCCTAATGCATATGGTTCTTTACATAAACCAATAATCTCTGTAATTAAACTGGGAGACAATTGTTGGCACTGCTAGGTGCTGCTAACAACTTGGGATAATTGCTGGCTCCTCTAAGCATAGGTAATTTATCATCAAGCTTATACAGCTTTATGGCGACCTACTCGGGGGTTGCAGACAGTATCCTCTTATTCGACTTTTTGATATGCGTGAAGCTTTACCAGTTTCCTTCGTCTAATACGCACACCATTCACGTATACCTATCGCCCCTCTTTCTCTATATTTCCTCCTCTTTCCTCTGTAGTTTAGTAGCTTGACGTATACTCATTTTCTGGCTGCTTTTGATAGCTTCGATGGCCAAGCGCAATCAGTTCTTGTTGAAGTATCTTGTGCCGTGCTTTGATGTGGAGAAATCTTGCATTAAATGTAGAAGAGAGCATCTGCGTGAGGGGAGGAAGTGCATCGCCCGTTTAATTGCCACATTATTGGTCTTTGACAATCAAAATTTTCCCGAAAGTGTCATGAGACGCTATGGTGGTACACAGCTATGGCGCTCCAGGATGTAAGCTGAAAATGCGTTGAAAGTAGCACGGCGGAACGTCTCGAGCTCTTTACGACATTCGGTTATGTGAGGCTCCAGTTCTTAATTCAAAGAGTACCTTTCAGAGCCAATCTTGAGATAAACAGGGGAAAGAAGAAGAGGGAGGGAATTTAACCAACGTAACTTACTCCATACAAAATTGTGAATTATTCCCCCTCGCTCGTTCAAGAGCGGAGATCTCGAAGGTGGGCAAGAGCATTTCTTCCAAAGTTTACGGTGGAGAGTACGCCCTGGCCCGTACTGAACCCGTAATTTAGCCTAGTCATTGTCCGGCAATTTTATAAGTTATCTCACCATAAACTGTAAAGCCTATATAAGACGGGGATCCCAGCAACCACTTAAAGTTTGTCCTGTATAAAGTGAGCTACGAATGTTCCGTATTTCTTGGTGCAGATGAGGGACCAATGATGACACCATTCAAGCTCTTTAGAGCTGGCACAAAAGTGCTGCTACCTCTTATGGCAGTACAAACGAATGTCCAGGCATCATCTACGTGCACCATGAATAGTTCAGCATCGACGACAGCCTACAGTGCATCAGCCAGCTATCTCGGATGTTATTTAGATCCCAGCGTGACCATCTTGACCGCAAAAAAACTTAGCACGGTTATTATGACGCCACAGTACTGTGCCAACTGGTGTGGTGAACGAGGTTTTGCATATGGAGGTGTAGAATTCGGGACGTAAGTGAATTGCACTTTGTCCGATGTGGGTGTTGAATTACGCCCTTCCTCAAACTTATACCTGAATAGGCAATGCTTTTGCGGTAGTATGCCCGACTTTAGCTCCGCGAGCAAGACAAATGACAGCAGCTGCAATTCGGAATGTGCGACAGAACCATCTAGCTCATGCGGAGGGACATATGTGTAAGTTAAGTACAATATAAAAAGACAAAGTGACTCCGATTGCTGAAACTATGTGATAGGATGTCTTTGTACCAGATTTCAAATCCGCAAGGGAACACAACGAACACTGGTTTTCTACCGGCCTGTCAAACACACCCTCTCTGCAGTCACCGAGTCTGTGATACTTCAATGAGCATTGCTGAGCGAGTGAGCTCACTTGTTGATTCCATGACATTGGAGGAAAAGATTCTTAATGTTGTCGATGCTTCAGCCGGATCTGCGCGCCTCGGTTTGCCACCATACGAGTGGTGGAATGAGGCAACCCATGGTATTGGCTCCGCACCAGGTGTTCAATTCACCACAATGCCAGCCAATTTCAGTTATGCCACCAGCTTCCCTGCACCGATCTTGACAGCAGCCTCTTTTGACGATGCTCTGATTCGTGGGATAGCTAATGTAATCGGCAAGGAAGGACGAGCATTTGGCAACAACGGGTTTTCTGGATTCGATTTCTGGGCACCAAACATCAATCCTTTCAGAGATCCTCGATGGGGAAGAGGGCAAGAAACGCCCGGTGAGGATGTTTTTGTTGTGCAGAGCTACATCCGCAATTTCGTCCCGGGACTTCAGGGTGACGACCCCGAGTAGAAGCAAGTTATTGCGACATGCAAGCACTTCGCCGTCTACGACCTTGAGACGGGCAGATACGGGAATGACTATAACCCTACCCAGCAAGACCTGGCTGACTACTTCCTGGCTCCATTCAAGGCTTGTGTACGTGATACGGGTGTAGGGAGCGTCATGTGTTCATACAATGCAGTTGACGGCATCCCAGCTTGCGCGAACGAGTTCCTCCTTGAACAGGTGCTGAGAGAGCACTGGAATTTTACTGCAGACTATAACTATGTTGTGTCTGACTGCGGGGCAATCACAGATATCTGGCAATACCACAACTTCACCGACAACGAAGAAGGTGCAGCTTCTGTGGCCCTCAACGCTGGAGTGGATTTGGAATGTGGTACTTCGTATCTCAAGCTCAATGAATCCCTTGCAGCAAACCAGACCTCGCTTGAAGCCTTAGACAGGGCACTGACAAGGCTTTATTCGGCATTGTTTACGGTCGGCTTCTTCGATGGCGGAAAGTACAGTGATCTCAATTTCTCGGACGTTTCGACCCCGGACGCACAAGCTCTCGCGTATGAGGCTGCAGTTGAAGGCATGACGCTTCTCAAAAATGACAAAGTTCTTCCTCTGGGTCGTTCGCATAAATATCAGAGCGTTGCCGTTATTGGACCGTTTGCAAACGCGACAACTCAGATGCAAGGGGATTATTCAGGCATTGCGCCGTTCTTGATAAGCCCATTGGAAGCATTTGAGAATCATGGGTGGGAAGTGAATTATGCTATGGGCACAGCAATCAATGATCAGAGCACCGCTGGATTCCGCTCGGCTCTTGCAGCCGCGGAGAAGTCAGATTTGATAATTTACCTCGGCGGCATTGACAATTCTATGGAGGCCGAAACACTTGACCGAACTTCGCTTACTTGGCCACAAAACCAACTCGATCTCATCAACATCTTATCGAAGCTCCCTAAACCTATGGTCGTTGTCCAATTCGGTGGCGGTCAGCTCGATGACAGCGCTCTCCTGCAAAATGAAGGAATCCAAGCTCTGCTTTGGGCAGGATATCCTAGTCAAAGTGGTGGCACCGCTCTGCGTGACGTCCTTCTTGGCAAGAGATCAGTTGCTGGTAGACTACCAGTCACACAGTATGCAGCCAGCTATGCCGATCAAGTAAGCATCTTCGACATCAACCTTCGCCCTAATTCAGATGGTTCATATCCTGGGCGGACATACAAATGGTACACTGGAAAGCCTGTAATCCCATTCGGCTACGGGCTTCATTACACGGAGTTTAACTTTGAATGGGAGGAAGCCTTGGACCATGAGTACAACATTCAGCAGCTTGTTGCCTTACGCCAAAGGAACCATGGTGGCCCCGTTAACGACAACACGCACTTTGCCACCGTCAAAGCTCGAGTAAAAAATGTTGGCCCTGAAGCTTCCGATTACGTTGGCTTGTTATTCCTTTCGAGCAACAACGCAGGCCCCACTCCACGGCCAAATAAATCCCTAGTGTCCTACTTGCGCCTCCACGATATTACAACCAGCAGCGAACAAATAGCATACTTTCCTCTTACGTTCGGCTCGTTGGCTAGAGCCGATGAGAATGGAAGCCTCGTTATTTTCCCAGGTGATTACAAGATTGCATTGGACATATTCGAAAGCTTGACTTTCAAATTCTCGTTACGGGGGAAACCAGTGGTGGTCGATACGCTTCCTATGCCTGATACACGTTATAATTTTACTGTTCCAGTCCATATGGAGCCAGCGTCCACTGAAGCACATTGATTTATTATCGTTGTTCTTTACCCGCGGGGTCAATGCGCCAAGGAAACAGTGCTATACAGCCGGGGGAAAAACATACTTCTCATCTATTCTTTCCGTTATTCCCACTCGTAGCCTCCGCATGCATATATGAGAGAGGAAGCCCCCTCTCGTTGTTGCGAGACGCGTTAAGGCGAGCCGTTGTGTCTCCGGCTCTCGCTGAACTTCAGCTGCGAAGCACCCATATTCCATTAATAACTAGTACAATACAAATGCCTCTTAATCCTACTAAAACTTATCGTAATCACATGGGTCGAATACTTATGCCCAACATTGTATACAGGAGTCAACAGGCAGGCCTCTGTTAGGGCGTCAGCTGTTTTGACAGGGCACGAACCAATTGATAAGGTTTCACGCTCTTGGCAAGTTGGGCCCTAATTACTCGAGATCACAACGCTTTTGACGAGAAGGTGGAAGGATGATGTCCCGTATAGCATTCTGGCCCCCACATTACACCGATGTATTACTCTACTTTTGTATTGGCCATGCTCATCCCTGATTGCATAGTGAGCATTAGTTAGAAAATCAGACTTCACATCTTCCATCCGATGACCGCACGGTTCCCTGACGGGCCCCTTACGCGGGGTGCTCCACAAATAATTGCTTTCTCAATGATCAGGCTAAATGACTACTTTAGAGCTGGCGAGGTAAAAACCCGGAGGAAATGCTTCGGTCCACCCCTCTAGATCCCCCGCTCCCGGAAGGGGTAGAAATTCAAGAATTAACATGTTCTTCAAAACGTAAATCTGGTATATTTGCACCGGGGTTTATTCACACTCACACTAAGCTTGCCATACCCCTCAACTTCTCTAATAGGAATCATCGTAGGCTATATACAAGGTGAACTATATAGGGTCAACTGGCCCAGCTTTTATCAGCCGAGGTCTGAGCTTTTCCAAGATTTTCTGGGTCTCTATTTAGCCGCATACGACTTCTAATACAATAAGTCTTTAATTGCGTATTTAACCTCTAGCCGCACATTCAGTGCCTTGAATTTCGAAGCACTGCGCTATAATTCCTCCGAGTTTATTGCATGATTGTATAAACAAACCCCGCGACGGGGTTTGTCTGAAATTTGAAGCGCTGTCTTAGTTCAATTGAAGTCACTGATAGCCTACAAAATATGATAATCCGACCTCCAGTTCTCGATACGTGCCCTGTTCGGGGTGTTCGCACCGATCCTCTAGAGGGTATTTGATTTTTCCTTTCCACTTCTCCCTTCTTCAGGTTTGTTGTCTTCATTGAAAGCACATTCTCTCCCCCGCCGGAGTTTGGTACCCCACAAAAGAAAACCAATTCCAGAATCTTTTCCTGCAACCCCTCCTTTGTGGCTAGAACCTTAATCTCGGATAAATGCCCATCCTGAATCCTGTATCCTATGGAATAGCTCATGGATGAACAATTGTTGATACATGTCCTGAAGTAGTTAAAGTTTCTCCGAAGACATAATACTAATGAAAGCTATAAATGTAAGGTTGCTGCCCAGTATAAGAAGCTTCCAGTAAGAAGGTCACTGATGTTCAATTTATTGAAGAGTCATCAGGATGTTGGGCAGCAGTCTTTTACAGATCCTTTCTTTCCTTGCCGGGATTGGCCACGCCGTAAATCTCAAGGTAGCCAAGGATGGAGGAAATGCTTCATCCCCGCTCATGTACGGAGTTATGTTCGAGGATATCAATCACTCCGGCGACGGAGGTATCTATGCTGAGCTGATCCAGAATCGCGCATTCCAAGGTAGTACCGAATTCCCGTCCACTCTGTCCCCTTGGGAAGCAGTTGGCAATGCAGAATTGACCCTCCAGAATACTACTGTGCCACTCTCCTGGGCTCTTCCAACATCCGTGAACGTGGCTCAAGGAGTCGGTTCTGTGGTGGGAGGAGTAATCGGTCTGCAAAATCCCGGGTGGTGGGGAATCAGCGTCAGGCCGCAACGTTACACGGGAAGTTTCTGGGCACTGGGCTCCTATAAGGGCCAGTTCACTGTGAAGCTGCAATCAGCAATCACATCCCATGTCTGGGCAAGCGTGGACGTCAGGTCAGAATGCCAGCATGGTAAGTGGGTGGAGCATAAGTTTCAACTGCACCCTGAGGTTGCAGCTCCTAATACGAACAACACTTTCGTGCTCGAGTTCCATCCAGGACAAGGCTCGGTCAATTTCAATCTGATTAGTCTGTTTCCCCCAACGTATAACAACAGACCAAACGGAAATCGTCCGGATCTGATGAATGGCCTGAAGGGCCTTAAGCCAAGCTTTTTCAGACTTCCAGGAGGAAATAACATGTGTGTCACCTGCGTTGGATGTTCCGAAAAGAAAACTTATTTGGCTAATTATCTCTTAGAGAAGGAGATACCTTCGGCTATCGCTGGAAATGGAATGAGACCATTGGCCCCTTGACCCAACGACCTGGACGGCCAGGAACATGGGGCTATGAGAATACCGATGGACTCGGCCTCGTTGAATATCTTCAAGTACATACCTCCTTTGCTCGAAAATCAACCTAGCTTACAATTTGATAGTGGTGTGAAGACCTTGAAGTCGAGCCAGTTCTTGCTGTGTGGTCAGGAGTGTACCTGAACGGGTATAACAACGTCGATCCCGACGTGATCCCTGAGGCAGATATTGGAATTTATGTTCAAGATGCATTGAACGAGTTGGAGTTCATTATGGGTGACGTGAGAACCAAATACGGGGCTTTGAGAGCATCTCTTGGCTATCCTAAGCCGTGGAAGATAAATTATGTTGAAGTAGGTTTCTTCGCATTCCGTCGCTAGCTGTTATAAGGGCAGCAAATAATCATACTGACATATGCCATGGCTACAGATTGGCAACGAAGATAACCTTTCTGATCCCGCCTCATATGCAAGCTACCGCTTTATGGCTTTTTACGACGCAATTCACGCTACTTACCCTTGGATTACACTCATATCATCCACCGGTGATCTAACGGCTACTGCTGGCCACAGCGGAACCGATTATCATGAGTATGCTAGACCCAACATCTATGCCACCCAGTTCGGTCTGTGGGACAACGCAAACCGTTCCCATCCTATCTTACTTGGTGAATATGCAACCATACAGCCTAATAAAGCCAATACATCCGAACCAGTTGACTGGAGTGGTGCTGAGCCGCGATTGCAATATCCAATCTGGGTTGGTGCCGTGGGCGAAGCGATTTATACCCTTGGTGCCGAGAGGAACAGTGATGTCGTGATCGGTGCAAGCTATGCACCAGGCTTCCAGAACTTGAACGACTTTCAGTGGGCTGTAAGTCTATCCGATATCTTGGTTGCAGTTAATATGTGAATATCGCTAAACTGCCCTTCAGCCTGATCTCGTCTCCTTCAGCGCAGACCCAGCCCAAGATGTTTTCTCGACCAGCTACTATGCTATCCAAGTATGTAGTCTTAAATTGCCAAATTGACACCAGCTAGAATATGGACCGCTAACCATGTAACCAGCTTCTCTCCTCCCACCGCTATACCCACAGCGCACCAGTGACTTCCGATTCAGGATTTGGACCCGCCTTTTATGTCGCAGGTGTCAACGACGGGACAACCGAGTATACCTTCAAGGCCGCCATTTACAATACTACTGCCCCCGTACCATTCAACATCGATTTCGAGGGCCTGGATCACGGTGCTAGGGCTACCCTTACGGTTCTCAATGCACCAAGTGGACTCTCATACAATGCTGTTGGAGGAGAGAATGTAGTCAAGCGCACCGTTACCGAGCTAAGGGCACAGAAGGGTGGAGTTTTCTCATTTGAGCTGAAGGAGTATGATATTGCAGTCTTGACTACCTTCTAAATACCATCTATTGTAACTGCCAATCTTTTCACCAAACTTAGCTTCGCCATAAATACGAAACCGACACACGGACTTGAAAAATGCAATATCATCCTCAGTGGTCTCTTTGTCACCAACAAAAAAAGGCACGGCGCGGCTCTCCTCTGCCGAAACATATGATTATAAACGCAAAACCCAGGTCTTAATATTGTCGAAGATAGATGCTATGTCGTCTGGTTATGCTCTAGCATTAAACCGAGGCTTGCGAAGTAGCTGCATATGGTTGTTTGAGGTCGATGAGCACGCGGAAATTATGCATATGTTCGGCGTTTGTCAATCGAGAGCTGAACCGTCTTCCCCGCAACTCCTAAGAGGTTTGCATCGTTCAATGTTTTCGTCCAGTTGTGCCTTGAATAATCACACACATCCACTGAGGTGACGCGATATTTCAGATCATCTCCAGCCTGACAATGGAGCATCACATTTGGACAACAGTCGTCTAGGATGCTGCAGTCTGCAGTAAACATCGTTGTCTGCAAAGTTGCGCATCGGCGTGTCGGAATTGTTCTCGCGTTGACCCGTGTCAAATGCCAACCATTCCATGGGCATTATTCGATAGATCAATATGTCAAGTAAAGAACACAGAAAATGAACAGAGGGGAGTCAATTCGATATCCCATGTTGTCGGACGCCGGTATATCATTGATGTGGTTGCCAATGCGTTCACGCAGTGACGTATCGCCCTCAGGGGTTCAGCACCAGTCCCATAACATAATCAAGTGGCAGCGCCAAAAGGAATAAATAAATAAATAAATAAAAATATTTGGTTGCGGGCAAACGCGCCCGTCAAGGGCGTTATGCTGGAAGTGCCAATGGAGGAAGGAGAAGACGCAGTCTGGGAAGACAGCTTTGTGGATTTAGTACCTGGTGAGACGGTAGTTGTTGGTGTCAAAGGTCTCTGCGAAAGGACTGTGAAGCCACGCTGGCTCTGCGATTGGGAGCAAAATGATACGTGAACGCAACCCGGAGTGCACTAGAAAAGTTCTTGCTCGATACATTTTACCGTAATGATTCAATTTCAAAGTCAATGAATAAATGCAAAAGCAATATTCTAGATCCATATAACTATAGAAATCTTCAAACAACAAAAGCAAAACGTCCATAGTCGTTCCATCTGTGTTCTTGTACTTAAGCGAGCAAAATTCCGGAATAAGTGCAGGTCAATCCTCTAGTATGGCCAGTCATCAATATCATTCTCAATGTGCATCAGGATTTCCATAATCAGTTCGCCCTATTTATTCAATTGTTAATATACAGATGCCCCTATTGACCTTCTATTAGAATACTGACCTCATCAGGTAGATCGCTTCCACCAACCCAGTAACTGGGCTCATCCAAATCATCTGCATCCATAAAAGGAAGTTCGATAAAATAACCATTCTCCAGAGCACCTTCGTCATATGTGAAATCCTTGACGATGTCAGTAGGGGACACCTGAGGAAAGTACCCGTCGTGGTGGTCACTAATCCATTCCGCTGACTTAGCCATGGTAAGCAGATCAAGTCCATAGTCATCAATCTTCGACGTCCCACTAACTCCGGCATAGTCACCCCAACTATTTATAGACTGGCTAACCATGAAGAAGTAGGCGGTATCTCCATCACATACACGGGCGCCGTCAAGCTTGTCGAGGTCAATATCACAAGGTGCTGTGTCGTGGACGTTATCAGTACGCTTTGCAACAAACACATTCTGCTGGATCCATGCAGCAGCAACAGCACTTGAGAGGACAATTTTTGATATGTCACCGCTCAGGATGTTATATTTAACATTGTGAATCTCCTCAGCAAAGGTGCCATTTTTCATAAGATATGGAGCACTGCTCGGATGAGCATACCAGTAGTTGCCAGTACCAGACCCGCTGTTATCAGGAGCAACATTGATTGCACTCTCAACAATCATCATTGTAGCATTTTGCATAAGCACAATAGAGCGTCCAACCAGATCATCAACAGAAGCATAGGTATCAAGCTCATTTTGTAGACTAGTAGATAGTTAGAATATATTAGAACCAGAGAGCCAAATTGAACTTACAGCTGTGCATAGTTGGCTTGCATTGAGATTTGAGTACCAACACCAAAACCTACTATACCACTTGCAGCCCCAGCAGCACCTGAGACAACTGCACCAAGAGGACCAAGAAGAGCACCGGCTGCTCCTAACAACCCACCTAGCATTATCAATACTCCAGTAGCAGGGTTCTATTGAAGTTAACAAGTCAATATATCATCACAATAGTTCAGGGGTAGGCATTTAGGACGGTCTAAAAGGGTTAAGATGGAAGACTCTTACACTAGACGTATCATGAGGTGTGAGATCTTTGACGATACCCATGATTTGGCTTTGGAAATCGATCGATTTCTCCCCGAGTGCAGCGTGAACACCCGCAGCCCAATCAAAAAGGTTTAAACAAGCGGAAAGTGCAAAAAAAAAGAGTGGGGTCCAGTAGGGATCTTTTCCACAAGCATCTACATCGCTAAGGTCGCCAAGATGGCACTGGGTGCTTCCTGCTTCGCAATGTATGTTTGACAAACTTCCCGTCTGATCTGCTAGGAAGTTGACCCACTCTGTGTCATCTGGGACATTCGAACCGCTGACTGTCTCGGGGAAAGTAGAAGACCTAGAGACAGGTGAACAAGAGAATAGATAGTAAGTGGCTTGTTTCCTTACCAGTAGTCCATCCAGTAATCCATTTCATACTTCTGCCAGTTTTCATAGTTAAAGCCATCGTCCCTGCATAGCTCACTTTTGTCGGTTTCCTGCGACGGGCTGAGACTTTGGGTAGTGGTTGACGCTAGTGTAGAGCTTGAGGGGGGTGATGAGGTCCCACCATTTCGCCTAGCAGCATGCCTACCAACACTGAAGGCACCTCCCTCTAGGGCTAGAGTTAAGTGAGAAAATAGCTCTATTTATAGATAAGGAAAAACCAACCGAAGATGCCCACTAATATAGCAGTGTATCTCATAGTGGGAATTGAATAAAGTAGCAAAGATAGTCTTGGAGTAGCAGGTAGGGAATTTTGCCTTGGACAGTTTCTAATTAGGCCCTTAAAATTGAAGAGAAAGAGTACGCCTTTATATAGATTTTACCTAAAATGGTGGTAACCGCCTTCGTTCCATAAATAGTAGAAGGAACAATTTCGAGTCAGTTCGACACTTGATGATACGTCCTGGCGACGTCTACTTGGCGCACAGCACAGTGCGTTTCAGATTCTGGGGAAGTCGTGGTTTCATTGGATGGATCAGTCAAGTTATGCCGATCTATGAGGCTGAGAAGACTAGTTATGCGAAGGGCTGTTAGTATTTTTATGACTAATACGGAAGGCCCGGTTAGTTCTAGTGTCTTGGTGTCTGTTGGTACGAGCGAATATAGGTATACATCTGGGACACAGGGACAGGGTTACCGGATCCATTGGACCCAACTCTGGCCCGCAATCATGACTTGGTGACTGGGCTACCCCGCGTAGGGATCAAAACTGGGGAAATGACCCCAAAGGAATGGCAAACTCGGTTCCGCCAAGTTTGGAAACTGAAGAAGAATTAATAATAATATGTCTATAGTTAACTCATAAGTGCGATTACTATCTATACATTTATGTTGCATTCATGTTGGGCTCAGGGGCTGCAGTGCCGCGAGATTGGGGTATCCACGTCCAGGCTGCCGATCACCATCAGAGTCCAACAACCAGGTCCCATCTGTGGCGCTCTGGGAGTGTTGGTGCTACTCTTATTCCAATGAAGCCCCCAACTAACAGTTCTGCAAGATCGACTTTGATACGCCCCTTGCCCCCCGGCCCAGGACGGGAAAATACCCACAGGGTCTTTAAACTGGCCCCAGGTGGCGTGAGGTTAAATAAACGAGTACGTATGAATATGATGAAGATTCATGACGTTGGATCGACCCCACAACCACTCGCAGTTGCGGGGCCGATTTGGCCAGGTAGAAGAGTATAGGTCTCGTCGACCAGGTATATGGCAAGCTGAAAATCTGTGCAGTTGTTGAAGAAAACGTCGTTAAAAACGTCTTCCAGCGGCAAAATCAACTGCAGAGAGTAAGAATGAGAGCCTATCAGCGAGGATAGCGGACCCCGTCTTTCTATCAGCCTATATCTTTCATGCCAAGCCAACATATTTTTGTTGGGCCCAAACAGCTATGAAGGGAGCAGGATTATCACAATCTCAATCCGGGATAGAGTTTCTTTGTAGATAAAAAAAATCGGTCCTTTGAGGGGCCGCCGAGCCCTTGGCACGAGCAACAAAAAATGACTTGAAACGGCCAAAAATAGAATACATATGGATGTAAAGAAGTTTTTTCTCCATCCCTGATTTCCAATTTACACTTACAAACATCTTTTTGCTTTATTATGTATCTCTCAACTGCTTTTTTCGCGGCTGGGGCTTTGCTCTCCGGGCTAGTAGCGAGTGACGATACACCGTCCGTTCAATGGGTCGACTTGACCCGAAAGGGCACTGATTGCTGGCTTCACCTAACCAATTACTATGGCTGTACCGGGTCTACCAATGACCCTGTTGGGGTTCAGGACCAAAGCTCGCAAGAGAATGGAAATTATTTCTGCATGAGTCCTAGTTCAGACGAGGGTAAGTAGACTTTCAATGTTTATACCTTCTAGGATTTCTTACTAATTTCTATACGTTTATATAGCCATAGTGACATCCGACATCTGCGATACGGCCAATGTCCAGGTGAACTGGAACACTAGTGTTGTCATGTTCTCGAACCCTGTCCCATCGCAGCTGCAAATCGATGGCTGGGCGATCACCGATTCAACAGACCAAGACATCTAGGGTCGTGTTTTCAAGCTTGCCGATCAGTTTATGGTTTTCTAGATGTATTTATCTCCTGGATTTGCCGCTAAAGGGGACCGTGGTTATGAACCCTTAGCCCTTAGGCACAACCGCCTCAAGTCCGAGAGATCTATCTGTAGAGGCGCTCTGACTACATCTTATGTTGAGGAAAGCTTAACTATGAAATGTTGTTTTATCATGTATAATGGAATAAGTCGGGCTTTCCATAATCGTATATATCCAACACACGGTGGCAGTGTGTTTTTTGGTAACATTATAAAATGATGCTTCAATCTCAACTTAAGTGAGTTCACACTATTTTTCATGCTTGTGAATAAAGCATACGAACACTCAAAGGTTATCAAGTTGTAGTTGTTGAGATATCGAGATGTAAAATATCGTATTTACTTTGGCGTTTTGGGCTGGCCCCACTCGCTTGGGAATCACGTTATTCGACTACGAATATTCGCCCAGCATATCTGGACATGAGAATTTGATTTTGATGGTAGAGAATCCCCTAAATAAATTTGGTATCTAACAGTAGGGGACCCTAAGACTATTTTGTTAGGAAAATATGTGCAATGACGGTTACATCAACATTCATCCCGTGGAAGAAGATTCTGGCCCTTAGAACAATGCAGCCAATTTCGTCACCCTATGGTTAGAAGGCAATTTCTCGATTAATCACAACGTATGTCATGCTATTTTAATTCCACACATTTCTATTTTGAGAACATATAGACACACCTCTCGAAACATCATTATGTCTGGGGCCGAGGAGCGGGCGATCACAATCGGATTTCGCCACAATCCGCCCCCGTTAGATCCCATAATGACGTTCAACAGTATTAAATATTACGTTTCAAAAACCTATTCTAATATGGATCTCTAAGTAGATTCATCCTGGCTCCAACCTGCATGCTTTCTGAAGAGAATCCCTCACCCCTCAACTAGGTAGAGTAAGCTTGCTACAATGTCTATAAACAGGTCTATCTACACGCTCTTTAGCAACATTTCAACACAAGTCATCTTTCCCCAACTACTTATTGCACACTTGCTCAATGAAATTTTCCGGAATTATTACTATTACACTGGCCGGCCTTGCTATGACTCTGCGTAGATCTCGATGAGTGAAAAGATGTGCAACTGTGATCATCTAACTGATAATATAAGCGTCATCGAACCTCTTTAATCACTGCTTTAGCTCGATCTTGATCGCTTGCTCAAGATCCTCCTTCTGCAAGCCCAGTTGCTCTAGCCTCTCCAAATCCCCCCTCACAACCTTATGCTCAAAGTCGCCTCCGTGACCCTCGAAGAAGTGCGTAACGAAGAACTTGTTGAAGTACGAGCCAATATCTCCCGCCTTGATCCCCGCCTCGTAATCAGCGATGACATCCTTAATGTCTCGCTGCGTGACCTTCCAGTCCGTGTCTGTCGTCCCGGTTGCACGCTGCACGGCATCAAGAATCTCGCGCTGCGTAAGGTGCCAGGAAGGCGTGTAAACGGCCTTATTCTTGTACTTGGCTAGCTCCACCTCCGGTAGGGTCAGGACTGCTGCGGTGGCCTGCGCCGTGTGCGCAACAGTGGCTGTGTTGGCCTTGGCGTCGGCGCCGCGCCAGATGGTCGCCTTGCGGGCTTTGGGGTCGATGCCCCAGAGGCCAAGGGTGAGGCCCGCATCTAGCCACGGGCCGACCGTTATAGAAACCCAGCTGCTGACGCCGAGCTCCTCAATCTGACCACGGATTGCCTGTTTGTCTTGCAATAGCACATTCTCTCCCACTAACTGCTTGGCGAAAGGATCGGGACCAAACTCAGATGGCAGGACGTACGGCACGTGGGCCTTGGCCGCAGCGCGGACAGCATGCTTCTGGATGCCAATGTGTGTTAGAGGTGGCATCAGGATCACAGCGTCCTGTTCCTTGAGCACCTCGGCTAGGAATGCTTCATCTTCGAGGTCCCCTTTTTTGACAATGACCTCGGGAGGAAAGGAGCTTGTAGCCTCACGGCGCTGGATGGCGGTAATGGTGTGGACGTTCTGCGTGAGAAGGGCCTTCAGTGTTGGGGCACCTAGCTGGCCACTGGCACCAATAAATGCAATCTTGCGTCCCTGAACTTGAGGAGCCATTCGTGCTACTAATATTCAATTGGAGGGAAATGCGGAAAAATTGGTTCAGGCCGCGGATTGTTCTCGGGTGACTGAAGGGCTTTTAGAGGCGTGATGGCAGAATATGCTGTTAGGGCAGTGTAAGTGACGATTGACTCAATTGACCCGTGTTGTTCTTTCATCTCCATCTCCAGAAGGACTTCCGACTTCACTTTATACTTTTCGAGTTCTATATAAGTAAAGAGTAGAGAGTGGGTGGCGCGCGCACCTTCTGATTTATCAGCGGCCGTAACTTAATTAGTTACCGCAATAGCCGTTAATACCGCAATCCCTAAAACGCAGCCTTCTTGCAATGATGTTCTTACAAATCCAGAACTGTGTAGCCCATGAAATAGGATGCCACCTAACGTATTGAGTGGGTCAAGCCAAAACACTGTGGTCAATGCAGTGTCAAAATCTGGACATTACGAGGTCCCACATGGAAGTGCAAATTACAAATGAATGATTCTCTGATTCAGATAAATCTGGGAATACCCAACAATTTAAGGGCAAAATTAACTAATGATCAACTAATACACAATAGGAAATCGTGATGAGGGGTAAAATCCCTGTATGTGAAGTGTAGGAATACTAGTTCTTGACACATTGTTTTATAACGTGGTCACCCCGTTGGTGTTATCCTCTTGATGATATCCAATCGATGTTATCCAGTCGATGTTGTCATGTCGACATTACCTGTTAATGCTCACTGCTGGTGCTGTCATGTCGATGTTGTGTTACTGATGACGTCCTGTTGATGTTGTCCTGTCTATGTTATACTGTCGATACTTCGATTTGATATTAATCCTGTTGATGTTTCCTGCCGATACTTCCTTTTGATGCTGCAATGTCGACATTTCATGCTCTACAGACTGATATTCGTGTATTAAAGGCTAAAACTGAGAAATTAGAAGGACCCTTGAATAAAGTATGTAAGAAAGAAGGCATCCCAGCCACTCAACTAAAAGCGGTGGGCACCAAGCTCTCAGCTATGTAATAGCTGCCTACATGGTCGTTGGTACGTGACCTCATATAGCCAATGTTGAACAGCAAGGATGAAACCAACGCGGTGGAGGTGAACTTTGATTTGACTGTGTAATAAACCCGCAGCAATTTGCGGCGAAAACAATGAATGTTGAATAAGAAAATTCCAGTCAAGTTTACCTGAGGAGAGCACGTTAGATGCCGCTCATTTGTTCAACAGAGGTTGCATCGATGGTCGTTTAGCTGCGGGATGGCATCACGCGAGTTTAGACCTACCACCTGTGTTCGACATTGGATGTATCTATCGCAGCATTGCAGTAGTTGTCTTGTCCAGCTGAATTCACCTGAACGCAATCATATTGACGCAAATTTTGTTCAATTTTCAACAGTTAGCCGCAGCTTTTCTCAGCAGAGTTAAGCTATTATCGTTTGATGCCAACCCTCAGTGGATGCAGCCTTGGTGAACAGGAGTTGCATCGAACCAGGATCGCGCAAGGCGAAAGCGGTTGGAATTATTTTGTTTGCCATTTTACGTATCTATGCGCGTTACGAGTCTACCCAAGTTCACTTGAGCGCAGCCCTATTGGACGCTATTAATTAGTTCGACGTTCACTGTATCCACTACGGCAGAGATGCGATTGTTATCACGCAGTATAGCTTGGGCCATGACTTTGGATGAAACTCCTTTCATTACGCATCCATGGCTCTACAGTACGCACTACAGTACAGGAAGTCTAGGAAGGCTCGAACGGTAAGGATTATAATTTTTGAGTTGATAATCCCTTCTTCCCGGTAGATCGATCCTACCATAGGGCAGATGGCATGTCGTCGACGAAGCGCATCGCATCGGGTTATAGACGCTGCACCATATGGGTTTCTGACCGGACGCATTTCCTCTGCATCATGCTGTGCGTCTTTTTCGTCGAGTATCCCCAGGGAGCCTTATTGTGTTTGCCCACCTGAGGTTTGAAGTTGTGGCTTGGTGACTGAGTGGTCAATAATCTCTCAGAGCTTCTGTTAGCTTGCGATTCAGATTTAATCACGCTCACAGCAGTTCTTATTGTCAACGAGAATCAGAATATATATCGCGACCAAAGATATACCCTCCCCAGGGGCCCTCACCGCTGACACGGTTCCGGTATTTCGAAGCACACCCACGTACTTAAATTTGCTAGTTTAGACACTTTACTCACTTTACTTGTTTTCGCCCTCACGAATTAATAATATTCCAGCCTGGAATTTCTAACATTCATGATGACCCGCTTTCACCATTAGCAACACCAGGGTTGACATCACAGCATTAAAGCACTCTGCAAGACATGACAACCACTTATAAAAACTCTAGAGGCCTTAACAACCCTCAAAGATAAAGTCCTCTGTTCTACTAAGTTTCAACGAGTATGGCTCTTCTATGAGACTAACGTTATAGTTAACTATGCTCGCTGACTAATGTATATAGAAGCGGCTCAAACGAATTTGGTCCTTTGACTTGAGTTCTCTTAAGGTGCAGCGTGTCTGAATAGACACTAACAATAGAATTTAGAAGGCCACAAAAGTTTCTTAGTGTACAGTGTCCTACAAGACTATTTAGCAAATGCTGTCCTGCTGCTGGGCTCGGCCTTCTCAATAGCATGTTCCCCGCTTAATATTTGATATTAGGGTCAGCGTTCTTAGCAAGAAGAGTATGAGCCACATCTACTTTGTCTAGGCTAACAGCCTTGTGAAAAGGAGTTCTATTATAGAAGCAGGTGAGCAGTCAGCGAGTGCTCAGTGAGCAGGCCATTGTGATTATGTCATACACCGTGAGCAGATTAGGGCGCTCAGGGCCATGCTCAGTTCTACTCAGGGAGCAAGCAGTGAGCACTAAAACTAAGGAGCAAGTCACGGGGCGCCAGACATTATCCTGCGTATATACATTTGTAGAAGAAAGAAATCCCCAAAATATAGAGTGGAAGAGGTTATCCCCGCAAGATTCGAAATCGGGTTGCCCACTTTTCCGCTTGCAAGCCCTAAGTTGAAACAGTGCTAATCCATTTGTGGTTAACCTCTCTCTTGCACAACCGGTAGCCAGTGAGTCCCAAATGAGTCATTTTTATAGAATCATCCGCTCAAGAGGGGGTCCCTATTACTGGATTTCAAATTACTTCTTATCCTAGGACCGACTCAATCCAGCCCAACCTATCGAAGCCCAATTTTTCTTCTAAATTGATAACCATCGGTCAAATAATAAACTGCAACTCCAAATTCACTCTATCAATATGAGCGAGCCAAACAATACCCCCCAAATCAAAGACGACATAAAACAGGCCTACGACGATATCGCGCCGACGTATCTAACCTGGACTCAATCAACCCATGGCGTACGGCTGTCGTATGTCGAAGCCATGCTGAAACACCACAGTCATCCAAATAAGGAGGCACCACGGATGAATATCCTGGAATTAGGCTGCGGCGCCGGCGTGCCAGTCACCGAACTTCTAGCCTCCCGAGAAAACACCAGTGTAACCGCAAACGACATCTCTGCGACACAGATTGCCATGGCGAAGGAGCGCCTCCCGGAGTCAGTGAGGCTTATTCAAGGCGACATGATGGAATTAAATTTCGATAAAGAGCACTTCGATGCTGTGTTGGCTATGTATTCCATTATCCATCTTCCAAGAGATGAGCAGACTGCCATGCTGCATCGCATTTACGGGTGGCTGAAACCTGGAGGACATTTCCTGGCCAATTTCGCCGCGGAGGGTTTTGAGGGCTCTTCTAACCAGTCGTGGTTGGGGGGTACGAAGGGCGCGATGTACTGGAGTGGATGGGGAAAAGACAAGACGAGAGCAATCCTCGGTGATATTGGGTTTGAAACGGTGATTGATGAGGTGGTGACTGATATTGAAGAAGAGAATGGGGTTTCTCGCAACGTCCAATTTCATTGGATCTTAGCTAAGAAGGCAGTCTGAAGGACACTATGGAATGTAATAAGCACACGCGACACTCCTAGCTAACCGCTACTTGAATCATTCACTGGAGGCAAGATGTGTTTTCTTGTTTCCCTGATCCGATATTCGGTACAATTCTGTACTACTTTCATTCCTGAACAGCAGAAACTATGACAGTATTCTCAAATGCCCATCTCCCCTATTGACACCCCCATGCATCCCCAAATTCAACCCGCCTTCCCGTGAACCACCACATCTCGCACATAAGCAAACATCTCGCGCGGCTTATTAGCAAAGACACTATGCCCTGCCCCCTGAAAGAGATGATACGATACTCCGCGCTCAGCAGCCCACGTTCCCGCCACGCCTCCCAAGGCCTTGGCTCTGACAGTTTTGGCGAGCGTCGCCTTCGGTGATCTCTCCGTAGCTGAAAAAGATAACGCCGGCACGGCATCATCTCCATAAAACAATCGAGACGGGTTCTGCGAGAAACCCTGCACACCGCGCCATGTCATGTTCTGGATGGAGAGTTCCGCGCCGAGGTGATTGATCAGCATATCCCATTCCCCCGAATAGAGGTGCAGAGAGATATTATGCTTTGTTACCAGGTTTGGGAGGAGATGGTACTCTGGTGGAATTGGTGAGGGTGCTTCGAGGAGGGTTCTCAGGATGGTTGGGTTGCAGGGGCTGTATGTGCTGCTGTTCTTGACGTGAAGGGTGGCTTGTACGTCCGCGCGATTGAAGTATGCTTCGAGGAGATGCAGTGGGTCGATGGTGTTGCAGTCGTGGTGGATGTCGTAGACGTCGAAACAGGCTTGTTTGTCTGTGCCCCTGGCTAGGAGATAGTCCACTGCTGTGGAGAAGGTGGCGCATGGGCCATAGCAGGTCGAGTTGAAGATAGAGGTGTAAACCTCGGCTGCGGTGGTGGGCTGGATGTCGCACTCGCCATCTAAGGCTAGCGTCATGTCACGCCTCTGCTGCTGTTGTTGACGACGGTAACTGACGTTCCCCAGGTTGCCCGGGATATGAATTTTGCCTTTGGGAGGAAAGACGGCTGCTTCGGCTAAAGCGTCATCAAACCCGCAGGTTTGATCTGCCTCCATAAAAATGTTCATAACATCCTGCGGAATCTGGAGGAGATCGTTCTGTGAACGCATATACGCACCCATTGCTACCGAGGACATGGCTGCCGCGTTGCCCCAGGACCCATCGCCGAGGGACATTGAGCTCAGACGAAGCGGGAGCGCATATTCTCCTTCTAAAAGAGCGTTTGCGAAGTAAGGTATGTAGATGCCCGCATAAGACTCGCCGATGAGGTGGATCTGCTTTGATTGGAGATGCGGAAAGTACGCGAAGAACAAATGCAGCCACCGCGTAAAATCGGCCGTCGTCCGCTCGTTGTCGTGCACCGGATAAGGACTGCTAGCTATCGAAAATCCTGTTCCCACGGGCTGGTCCACGTACAGGACATGGCCGAGCCGGGTCCATGAATAAGGGTTTTGCTTCAGTTGGGTTGAGTTGCCGTCGAAGGAGATCGGCCCGTTGCCGTTGACCAGTCCTATCAAGGACGAACACCCAGGTCCGCCATTAAACCAGACTGCATCGTTAGTGTATTTCAATACCCTTTCTCGAGGCAGAACTCACTGATCAGATTGTCATCGTAGGCCGGGTCTTCTCTCTGGAACAGCCAGAAAAAGAGCGCATTCCCATCTTTCGTGCCCGGTACTGGTAATCGACCCGCCCAACTGGTCGGTAAAGACGGACTATTTGGTAAAGCGTGGACTTCAAACTGGGCGGTCTTTGATCGTGAGAGTAGACCTCTTCCGACTGTCCAGAGTACCTGGAGGACGTACAGTATCATAGCGATGTCCATGGCCGGAACGAGCTGGATGACCAGCGAATCTTTCGATACGATGAATGGGATTCGAGCGATCCTTTCTTCCGTCCTTTTGGAAGGCCATGTTGACGATGCGGGTGAAGTGCTTATTCAGGGCGGGTGGATGTCCGGATTCTGGTGTCAATAAGGATGGGTGGTTTTCATTAAGGGCACGGCGATATTTTATTTCGGGAGAGAAACTGAACAGAGAAAAACAATCTAAGTCATCAACCGACTGCATCTAGGTCGGTCTCCTCGATTGATCAATGATGATCCAAACTAGTTCTTAAGGGGTACCTTGATGCCTGCATTCTCAGGAATCAACTAAACACCCAATCCGAAGCCCTAACTGGAACCCCCTTTGGATGTGTACCCCCAGAACAAACCCGAGCCTGGCCAAGTCTGGAGTCGATCCCGACAGGCCAGACAGATCGCCAAACGGACCGCATCATAACTGCTGGCAGTTCCCCGCGCAATGATCTAGGTGAGGCGAGTCCTCGCGTGGGCCGTGCCAGGGAGTGGGCCAGTGCTAAAGTGAGGCGTCGCTCGATCTATCACCCCTTGGATGGGGATGGACCACCTCCTGGATCATCACTCTCAATCCATCACCGATCGCAAAATGGCGGTGTCCACTCCTTTCTCCCCTGTTACTAACCTTTGAGCTAACTTGCGTTGTTCTGTTCATCGATCGGGTAGCAGCAGCAGCTGGAATGTGGTCTCTGCTTGCGTCCCCCCGAATCCGGGCAGCCTCACTCTGATGAGCCGATGTTGCTCCCGTCATGTTGAAAACGTCCCTAAGATCCTATATCAGTCGGCCCCATCATTTCCGTCGCTTTTTGAATTTTTTCCCTCTCTTTCTTTCTCTTCTTTTTGCGCGAGTCAATCGTTCGTCTGGGTGGTTCTGGTCATTGTTTGCTTCCCGTTCCTGCGCGGCCCCCATCCTCCGAGTTTAGCTGTTTGTGCTTTGGTCTTTTCTTTTTTGAATTTTGGAGTTCCCATCAATCAACACGAGGCGACCATCGAGCGCAGATCGCACGCCTCACCCACCGAGTGGCTGCCTGTCTGCCTCAGGCAAAGCGGCGTTCTTTCAACACACCCAAGTAAGTTGCATGCATTGATAGGGCGCTTAATTCAACAGAATTTAGACACTACGTTCTTAGTGGTAAGGAGCGATGACTGAGTCTCGCTGAAATACCTTCGTCTGACACTATATCCCAGAGCCCGGAGAGCCAACGATGGATCTCCAGGGCACCAAAGAGGCCCGCAAGCAGGAGGAAGGTGAAGGGCCTTTGGACGCCTACGGGGCCGGCAGCGGTCGGTCGAAAGAGAGATCCGACTCCCACAGCCATCATGACACTCCGTCCAACTTGCAACCGCTGCGCCGTCGCCAAAAACCGACCTTCTTACATCCCCCCAGAGCGTCCCGCCATGTATCCGCCTCGGCCGCTGCTCCACGGGCTCCCCAGGAGCCCTCCAAGCCCTCACCAGAAGCCATGACTATCCCACAAGCGTTGGGGCTGTCCTCGCGCAACGTGCGGCTACTGAGTAAGGCAAAACGACAGCCGCCAGTGACGAAGAAGACGCTGAGCGAGCTCGACCTGCCCTGCATCATGAGCAATATCAATCTGCGCATGGACGCCAACTTCGACCGCGACCTGCACTTCAAGCCAGATTTGGAGGGTGAGAAGGGCAAACGCAAGCGGAAAGAGGCCGCCGATTACTGGGATGCTATAGCGGCGGAGATCGCTATCTATTCCTTCTGTGCTGCCAACACCGACGCTATCCCCGACGAGAAAACCGACGGCACGCACAAGACATTCGAGCCTCGGCTGCCAACCATGTTCGAGACTTTGCAGGATGTCATCAAGACCTTGGTCCCAGGAGACGACCATGCCAGCGTCACGCAAAACCTCGAAGTACCGCTGCTCATGCAGCAGATCCGGAAGGGAGTCTTGGATATGGTGACGCTGGCAACGTGGTTGGCCGCTCTCTTCAAGACACACTGCGCACCGATGCGTGATGAGTGGGCGGACCGCATGGTCGAGCAGATCACCGAAGGATCGCAATCACAAGATCCACATAAGATCGTCGATGGGTTGCAGACGCTGTTCGCCATTTTGGAGGCAATGAAGCTGGTAAGATTCTTCCATCCGGAGCCGAGAATTCTTAATTGACTCATTTCAAAAGGACGTGGCCAACCACCAGATCCGCGCATTTCGGGTCCTTCTCATCGAAGATACGGTGCCCTTTCTGCAAGAGTATTTCCAAGGCAAAATTAGCCACGGCACATTCCAGGTCGAATCCGCACGGCTCTGGTACCTCGCCGCACGGGAAGCAGCCCGGCATGAAGACGAACAGACGAGGTCTCCCACCAAAACTGAGACAGGGAAAGACTTCAAACCACTGGAAGCGCTCTTCCGCGGGATAAGTGGCCATCTGCTCCAATTCCACGCGCCGGAGGACTTCCCGGAGACCTTCCTCTTCGATTCCGACCGGCTGTGGCAGCTGCGCTCGACGGTGCAGAACCTGATCAACCTCGATGTGGCCTGGTATATCTTCGAGTCGTACGTGCACACGCAGAAGCGGTATCTCTCCGCGCCCGCCGAGACATACTCCACCTTCCGCTCGCGGATCTGGTCACTGCTGGAAGACGGGTCGGGCGGCGCACGCATCGCCAGCGCAGACGACGACCCTGATGTCCGCGGCGGGGCCTGCTGGCTGCGGAATATGCGCTGTGTCGCGCTGGAGATTGCCCGGTTTGCATGCGCGGCGTGCTGTCTTGACGCCGTCGTCGCCGACGAGGTCATTGGGCCTATCGAAGAGGCCCTGGAATGGCACTTGTCCAACGAGTCGGAGCTATTCCGCTATTTCCAAAACGGCATGCGCGACAAGATCCTGGCGGCGACGTTGGCCTCGGCGCGTAGATACCTGCCTCTCTCCCCCCTGGCTATCTGCGACTCTCAGCGAACCAACCCCCCACCACCAGCACCACTACCAGCCTCGACGGCTTCCTCTTCCTCAACGACGTCGGCAGCATCCTCCTCCTATTCATCATCGACATCGACCTCGACATCCCCGCAACAATACGATATCGACCGCGTCGGCATGCGCCTCGCGCACATGGGCGTCCTACACTGGCGTGTCTGGGCTCCGCTCCTCTATCTCCACGACGAGATCGCCGAGGAGCAAGACCCGCCGAACTTGAGCTTACTATAGTTAATTCTTCGTGTCTTCCGTGATTGATCGCTCTTCAGCGCTTGCATTGTCTAGTTTGGGTTTTGGGCCAGGTGTTTCTTTCATTTTCCCGTTGTCTTTGTCTGGTTATTGGATATTTTGGGGGCGATAGAAGGCGCAATCTTCCTAGAGGTCTATGTAACAATAGTCAAGCATATCACTTTTTTTTTTCTCTTTTGTGCTGCAATGCCATTGAACTCACGCAATCCTTGGCCGGTGTACCACATTCATACTGGAATGGGTCGAAGATCTACACCGATGAACGCGATCCTGGTCCGTGCACCCTTCCGCTCGCGTTGTTGCCGTAAATTGAACACCGCCGTCTTTCCACATACTAAGCTCCTCGTCCGCCCAATGCGTCTCTCCCCCACTCTCTTCTCAACCGCATCAGCCTCTCCGGCTTCATGGCTGACATTCCTAAAAGCCGCACAGCTGCAGCGCATCGCCCGCGCAACGGGCATCCAGTCCTCAGGCACGAAAGGGGATCTGATCCGCAGGATTGAAACGGAGCTGCAATTGCAATTTCCTGTCCAGCAGAACTCGCAGACGTCTGCATGTATAAGTACAAGCGCTAGTACTCTGGTATCATCCCGACATGGGAATGGTGATAGCGGGTCTGGAGGATATACCGGGAATACTTCCAATTCCCATTCCCGTTCTAGTCCACGGGAGCAATGGAGTATCCTGAGTATCGATATGGGGATTCAGAATTTGGCGTTCGCTCATCTGCGCATACCGAAATCTAGCAGTGAAGAGGGTCCTGGGGCTACTCCTGCGATGCCGGAACTAACAGCGTGGCGCCGACTTGCGGTTTCGGAATTCGCAGGACTAGATCTGGCTCGGAGTGTGGAATTGGGAGGGAGATCTACACCAACCCCTGCTCTCGAAAAAGACAGCCCACCACCAGAAGACCCAACCTCACCCTCACCCCCTAAAAAGGGAAAGCAAAACCCCCCCGCCCCAACAGCAATCCCCTTCTCCCCACCCCTCTACGCCTCGCACGCCTACACTCTCATCACAAGCCTGCTATCAGTCTACCGCCCCACGCACATTCTAATCGAGCGGCAGCGCTTCCGCTCCGGCGGGAGCAGCGCCGTGCAGGAATGGACGCTGCGGGTTGGTGTGTTTGAGGGGATGTTGTATGCTATCTTGCATGCGTTGCGCCAGGAGCGCGGTGGGGACTTTGCGGGTGTTTGTGTCAGGGGAGTTGAGCCGAAGAGGGTGGTTAGGTATTGGCTTGATTCTGATTCCGAGGGTAGGATGGGGGTTGGAACTGGGGGGCCTGTTCAAAGGAAAAGTAAAAGGAACGGGGATAAGGATGGTGGAGGGGACAAGCAGAAGCCAAAGATGAATGCGAGGGAGGTGAAAAAAGCCAAGATCGACCTCGTGGGACGGTGGTTACTAGCTGCATCATCTAACCGCGGACCCGGGTCCCAAGCAACGACCCCCAAAGCGGCTGCTGCTGCTGCCAGGGAAGGCGATGAAGTGCAGAAGTTCATCCTGGATGAGAAGCAGGCTGACGTACAGAGTCTTGCTGGTGCCTATCTGCGGAAGTGGAAAGGGCAAACGCAGAAACCCACAAAGCAAGAATCGAATGATGATCAGTATGAGCAGCCCATCACCCTGGGGAAACTCGATGATCTGGCGGATTGTCTGCTGCAGGGTGTGACTTGGCTTGAATGGCAGGATATGCGGGAGCGGATTGCGAGGGGGTGGGATGGGGGCTCTTGAGTGAGTTTTGTCGGTATTTATCTAGGTGTCTCCAGGGGTGGTACATTATGTTGTGTATACTCTGACTCATTGTACATTCATCTAACGATAGACAAACAGGGAATAGAATGCCAAGGTATTCTTCAGCCACCACAACCCTAATCTGAACAGCCAGGAAGTGATCCACAGGCTAAATCAAAGCTAATCTAATCAAGCACGAAGAGTAGATTTCAAGTCCTGAACTCACTTCTACCTACACAGATCAGAAGATGAAACTAAGAACGAGGTTTTGTACAATGTAATCCTTCCACCCGACATTGCACAGCGAGTCGACCATCCCTTGGACCTTCCAAGGACACCCGTCGCTGATACGAGAACTTTTTTCGAGGTCAAAAAGAAGACGAAAAGAAGAGATGAGAAAGAAGTGAATCGAGGGGAAACGATGGTCTATTGAAAAAGAAGAAGCGAATGAATTGCGTTGGTGATTCTCGCTGGAGTGGACGGGTGAGAAATTGTCGAGACACCTAACCGAGCCATCCACCAGCAGAGAGGACATCACCGCGCCAGAAGAAATGGAGAAAATGAAGAAGGTAAATTGTCAAACAAGAACGTCTGGTTGTACCATCAGGAAGGGGAAATTGGCAGTAACTACCGCGCCCCAGGCGCAAGGAAAGAAAGATCCGGTCAAAGTTCACTTTCGCATCAGGGACAGACAGACAGACAGGCTAGTATGTAGCGAGATGAAGAGATGTGAAATCTCTCGTCTCGATTCCTTACATTAGTCCAACTAGCTTAGACGTAGCGGCGACGGAAGCCAGTGGGGTAGGTGCCCTTGCCACTGCTGCTGGTCACGAAGCCAGTGGACGAGGCCACGACACTGGAGCGCGAGAAGGAGGGAAGGGTGCCGTTGCCATGGGCGGGACGCGAGAACGAGGGGGTCGGGGTGGAGGTGGGAACCTCAGTTGAGGTGCTGGTCGCAGTCGCGCCCTCGCCGTCATGGTCGTGGTGGTGGTGGTGATGTTCCTCACCCCAGTGGTGCCCATGGTGGCCGTTGTCGCCGGGGGCATCGGTGGGACCAGCGCCCTATATAGTAGATCAGTATAAAATGTTTTACATGGGTGATGCTTGGGAGTCAACGCCAACTTACCACAGTGACGGTCTCGGTCACGGTCACGGTAGCGCCGTTGCAGGCACCGGAGCTAGTGGGAACAGGCTCAACGGTGACGGTGTGATAGTCCGTAGTGGTGCGGTGGACGGTGGTAGTCACCACGCTGGTCGAGGTGCCCGTGCCCAGGGTGTAGGTGAGGGTGAGATCGCCCGAGCCAGTGGGCTGAGCACCCGAGCCACGGCTGCCAGTGCCCAGAGGGATGGAGGCCGGGGAGCTCACCACCACGCTGCTGCTCGAGGGCGAGACGGAGGGGGTGGACGAGTGGACGGGAGTCGGGGTGACCAGCACCGAGGAGGTGCCGTTAACAGCACGGGGGTTGAAGCGACGGGCGTGCAGACCCTGGTGGGTAGCCTCACCCGAGGCAGCCAGCGAGGCCAGCAGGGCGACAGAGATCTTATTGATGAAGTGCATGGTGAAGAAATAAAGTGACAGTCAATGTCAGTGGACAGATAAAATAAAGAATGTCGGGGGTGCGAAGTCGATTCGCAGAGAGAAAGGAAGGAATGGCAGAAGAAGAAAGAAAGGAAGTTCTCTGACACAGACAGAGAAGAAGTGAAGGTGCAGTGGCAGGTTGAAGTAGGTAGCAGAAGGAGGGACAGACCCTTCGATATTAAGTCTCGACCATACATTGCGGTGGATCTATATGGTACTTGCGTTCACTACGGGGACTGCATAATCCACCGAAGTACCCCTGCCCGCCCCACTGTGTCAGGCACCGGCCAGACCCGCATCATTTTCATTCGATGGGACTGTTCGTTTTTCCCTTCTTCTTTCCCTGGTACGACAGCCGTTGACATCCCTACCGGTACTGCTGTTCCGCCAAACACGATAACTAAATCTCCGACACCCTCTCTGTCGTGTAACTGTCTCCAGATCCCCCAAGTGAATAGTATTGCAACTTCTGCAGCCATCGCAGATAGAGTAACGTAGTGGGGCCCCAAAAATTAGCTTCCATCGCTTGTTTCCAAAGAATTGTCTATCCCTTGCCCCCCGCCTGGACTGGGCCGTCCCCGTTTCACATAAACCAGCCATGGTCGACCAGTCGCCCGTGCCACTCGACGGTATATTGCACGTTCCCACTCATCATAAAATGCCGTCCTGATAGCGGGTCGCACGGACGATCCGGCCTGGTCGGTGGCGTCTAGGCTGCTCGGTGGGTGGGACAGGTCTGCCGTGCTCTCCTTCTGCGACAATGGTATACTAGGGACATGGACTCCGCCAGTAGTGATGAGCAACACCACAGGGCTAGACTGATTCCCTAGATCATGACCAATCGGGAGTATACTGGCTAAGTTCAGGCCCTTAGACCTTGCGGACGCCAATTCTCTAGTCGAGAAGGCGGTCACAATGACTATCTTATCGGCCAGCCACTGACCACCTCCCACTAACTAACAACACACGCAGGATGTCCCCCTCCTTCCATCCGCCCAAGGCCCGCTATGCCGCTCTCCTGAAGCGCTTTATCGCCTCCACCAAGGATTTCGATGTGCTCGCCACCATCCCATCGGGCCCTCCCGTCCCACCACCCACCACGCTATACGTACTAGACGCCTCCTTCAACCCACCCACCCTCGCTCACCTCCACATAGCCAGCACGGCCCTCCAAGAAAAGACCAGTGGCCGGCTACTCCTCCTCCTCGCCACGCAGAATGCCGACAAACCATCCAAGCCGGCCTCCTTCGAGGACCGCCTCGCAATGATGGAGCTCTTCGCGCATGATCTGCGCTCCCATCTTGCCGCGAACCCGGACCCGGCGACGGCTGGCTTGTCGGCACTCGCTCAGCGTGCTCGCCTGCCGGTCATCGATATCGGCGTGACGAAGAACCCCTATTTCGTCGACAAGGCCGCGTCCATCGATGCATCGGACGCTTACTCCTCACCCTCCCCGCTCGAACAGATCCATCTCACGGGCTACGATACCCTGATCCGCATCTTCAATCCCAAATACTACCCCCCGGGCCATACCCTGCAGCCGCTGGCGCCGATGTTCGCGCGGCATCGGCTCAGGGTGACCATGCGGCCGGATGATGATTGGGGTGGAGTGGAGGAGCAGCGCGCGTTTGTGGAGGGGTTGGCGAGAGGTGAGCGCGAGGGAGAGGGCGGGAAACGCGAGTGGGCGCAGCGCATTCAGTTGGTGGAGGGTAAGGCCGCCGGTGAGCAGCCCATTAGCTCGACCAAGGCAAGAGAGGCGGTGCAGGAAGGGCGGGATCGGGATCTGGAGTGGTTGGTTCCGGAGCAGACCCGGCGGTTTATTCTGGATGAGCGTCCATATTCGTAGATTGAAGTAGGCAGAATAATAGTACATAATAATAAGAACTCCGAGGCCCTTTTTGCCTTTCCCCCTCGTCTCGGATCGTATAATACACAGGCCGAGAACATTACCTCGCCTCACGCCTGATCCCCGTCCTCTTCCTCCTCCCTCTTCCCCAACGTATACGCCAATCCCCCACCCACCATATTCACCAAACACAATCCCATCGTCGCGCCGCGCACAATCCCCCTCGCACCCCACCTCTGCATAAACGGCTGTCGCCGTCGGCCCGCGAGCAGCAGATACAGACCCGACCACGCGGCGCTGATCCCCGCGCTGTCGGTCTTGAAGCCCTGGATGTTGGCGTAGCTTGTGAATAGCAGGACAGGCGGGAAGAGCATAGGGAAGAATTGGAAGGGGCGCATGTGTTGCGCGGTGATGAGGGATGCGAGGAGGGTTGGGGGGAAGGAGTTTTCTGTGATGTCAGTCAGTCAGTCAGTCAGTCCGTCAGTGTTTCCCGTGAACCGGGAGGGAATGAATAAATCGTTGGATGTAGTACCTCCCCATGCGCGGAAGCGCTGCACCAGCGTCTGTTTTGCGTCCTCGACTGAGTTGGTCATGATGTGGTGGTGTTGATCTAGTTCGCGGTCGATGGATGTAGTGGAAGAAGGCGATGTCTTGGCGCCGCCGATACCTCCGTCTTTTTCCCCCGTAACGGACTCACTGACTTGTCTTTCGACCCCGTCAGCCTCTCATTCCTTCCACTTTCGCTCTCTCAACATCCAAGAAAATCACCCCCGGATAAAACCGAGTCGGCCAACAGTGTCTCTCACACTGCACCACCCACCTCTCTCGCTACAGGATTGGCTCCCTTCCCTCCGCGGGCCCGCGCCACCCAAAAGGAAAAGACCACATCTCCTTCATCCATCCATCACCGTCATTTTCCCTCGTTTGGCCCGACTCTAGACCACCATGCCGTCCGCCACGGCATCTGGCTCCGACGCCAAGGATGGCGCGCGATCGCGCGACCACAAACAAGGCAACCAGGACCGCAAATACACACCCGAGCAAAAGGCGGCCGTCATCCGCATCCGCAAATGTTCCGCGACGGCATTCTACGAGATCCTCTCTATCGACAAGTCGGCTACAGAGAATGAGGTGAAAAAGGCCTATCGGAAACAGAGTCTCCTGACGCACCCGGATAAGAATGGGTATGACGGCGCGGATGAGGCGTTCAAGAGTGGGTGGCACTTTTCTTGAGGTTGTTATCTGTTTGTTCTTTGCTTTCTGACACCTTGGCAGTGGTCTCGCGGGCGTTCCAGATTCTCTCGGACGCGGATAAGAAGTCGCGGTATGACAAGTTCGGGGGTGATCCCGATAGCAGGTTCAATCCCGGCGCGTCGGCGGCCAGTGGTGCGTCGCCGTTCAGCGGATTTGGTGGTGGTGGTGGATTCCCACGCTCAGGAGGTGGTCCTGGATTCGAGGAAGAGATCTCGCCGGAGGAGCTGTTCAACCGATTCTTCAACGGTGCTGGGTTTGGAGGCATGGGTGGTGGCGGGTTCAGTCCATTTGGTATGTTTTGCCACACAAACCAAGAGGTGATCTCAATCTAATGTCTATCCAGGTGGCCCACAGTTCGTCTTCAACATGGGCGGCGGCCCCGGCTTCCGCGTCCACCAGTTTGGTGGCGGGGCGCCGCGTCGACGCCCGCGCGCAGCAGCAGCAGGACAGTCCGAGCAACCAGCCGATGCGTGGTCCTTCCTCCGACAGCTCCTCCCACTGTTCCTTCTCTTCGTCCTCCCGCTCCTCTCATCTTTCTTCACTGGCTCCTCCACCCCATCAGGGCCATCCTATCGGTTCGACGCCGCGGTCCCACCGCACACACTGCACCGCACCACTCCCAAACTCAACGTCAATTATTACGTCAACCCAGTCGACGTGGAGGACTACAGCGCCCGGAAATTCCGCCAACTAGACCAGCGCGTCGAGGTCGATTATGTCACTACGCTGCGCTATGAATGCGAGACCGAGGTGCAGGTGCGCGAACGCAAAATGCAAGAGGCGCAGGGCTGGTTTTTCCCCGATGTCGAGAAGATGAAGGAGGCCAGGGCTATGGAACTGAAGAGCTGTCGCCGCTTAGAGCAGCTGAAGGGGAGATACTGACCTTACCAACATCCCGTCTTTTCCTTTCCTTAGGGCATCCTGTCTTATCTGGACTTGGTGCTTTTCTTGATAGCACGATACGATGGGCGTCTTGGGATTCTTTAAATCTCTTTCTTTTCCTTTTTTTTTCTGTACAGTGCCTCTGATTTGAATGCATCCGGGTGCTTCTAGACTCTTGAGTCTCAAGGTACTGGAATAATTGATCAAGCAATGCATATATACATTAATGCTGGGTGGCACTTAACTGATTTAAAAAGGCTGGGGTGCAAGTCAAGTACTCTCTTTGCTGGAGGTCTATGCCGAGTTTGTGATGGTCAGTCCCGTCTAGTTCAAATAAAAGTACAGACGTTATAAAGTCTGTGATGAGAGGTACTTCGTTCAAGCGGACAACCTCCCACGTGAGCCAAGTACCTTTGATCTCAACCTCACGCCGTGCTTAGTCAAGTAACATCATACCCCGACTCAACATAATATTGATCTTCCACTTCCTTCTTCGCCGGTCTCTGTCATTTACCTCCGCCGCTGCACACCCACCTGGCCACTCTGCAAACATTATCCCTCCCGCGGTGGCCCACCTATTCCTTTTAAGATGTCCGACTCACTCTCTGATGCGGACAAGGTAAGCTGCTCCCCTCTCCCGCGGCGACTACACAACTAGGCTAACTTCCCACCTCTTTTTCAGATCCGAAACAAGCGTCTTGCCAAACTCTCCAACCCCTCCCCATCCGCGGAAAGTGGCTCCGACCCCAGTCAGAACCTATCCACACCCTCCCCCTCACAACCGCCATTGCCCGCTCCACAGTCCACCGAGACACCAAGCACCCCGACAGCCACATCTTCCACCCCGCAGCAACAACAGACAGAAGCAAAACGAATCAAGATAACTCCGGTCACATCCTCAACCTCAACATCAAGCCCAGAACGGCCCCCTTCTACTGGCCCATCCACCTCTAAAACACCCCCGCCACCAAAACCCGAAGAGAGCATAGAAGCCTTCGAGGATCGGACATTGAGCGCGGTATTCAAGCTAACTCTGCGCGAGGACCGCCAGCGCGATATCCACGGCAACGCCCTGATCTATCTTCCCGGTCTGCAAGCCGAATTGCAAGATGAGGGCCAGGAGCTGCGCATCCAGACCGCGGTCCTGGACCAAGCGCTCCTGGAAGCTGCGTCCAAGGCGGAAAGCCAACGTCCACTGGACTACCTGATTCCGTGCTGGAAGCGAGTTGCCAGATTGCACAAGGGGTTCCGGCGTGCGCGCGATGATGATCCCAAGTTTCAGGTTCTGGTGGAGGCACGCCGGCTCTGTATGAGTTATTGTATCTTTGCCATTACCATGCCTGAGATGTTTGGCGTCGAGTCCTCTGAGCTGTCTCCGTTAGCACCGTATCTGCTGAACGAGCCCGAGGATGATAAGGGTATCGACTTTGAGTTCCTCACCGAGGCGGTTAAACGGTTTGAGGAGGATGAGAGCGTTAAGCCGGCTTTTATCTCTGCTGTAGAGGTGCTGAGCTCGGAGCTTGCGTCTAAGACCGTTAATGATGACTACAAGCCCTATGCTCTGGTATGCTTCCCTCCCACCCCCGAAATAGCCACCGAATAGGCGTTTACCGATTATCTTTCCAGGCATTGCGGAATCTTGTGCGTCACGCGGCCATTGCGGGTGCGATCACAGAGTCATCCATTTTCAATGCGTCAAAGGATGCTGCTCAGTTTGAGAAGGCAACACTCCTAGGTCCATGGTTTAGCCTGTCGCCTCTCCAGGGAGCGGTGACCATGACGTACTTCTCCAGTCCAAAGACCCGCGATCAATCATACATCCTAAATGCCCAGCGGTCTCTTCGCATGATGCAGCAGATGCTCAGCTCTGACCTTCTCGATGTGATCAACTACATGATTCGGGCCTCGAAGGAGGCACGCGATCGCGTGCTGGACTGGTTCGCCACGGCTCTGAATATCAATCACAAACGGCGCGCAATGCAGGTCGATCCCGAGCAGGTATCTTCAGATGGCTTTATGTTCAACATTACGACATGCCTGGACCAACTCTGTGAGCCTTTCATGGATGCCAATTTCACCAAGATCGACAGAGTCGATGCAGAATACCTCCACCGGGATTCGCGGGTGGATATGCGCGATGAGACGAAAATCAACGCAGATCAACACGCCTCGGATGCATTCTATGCTAAAAAAGCTGAGGGGACGTCCAATTTTATCACGGAGATTTTCTTCTTGACAGTTGCCGCTCATCACTATGGCAGTGAATCACTAACCTCGAAGCTGGAGCAGCTCGAGAAGGACCTCCGACACATGGAATCTACCATCACCAAGTTCGAACTTGAGCGGCACAAGTGGGCAGGCAATCCGATGCAGCTGCGGGTGTTTGAGCAGGCCCTCAAGCGATACAAGGACAAGCTCGACCTGGGCCTGGCCTTGAAGTACAGTCTCCAGGGCGTGTTGTTTGATGACCAGTGGCAGGCTCGGTCGATGCTGTTTATGAGATATGTCACAGTCTGGCTTCTGAGGCTTGTCTCCCGTAAGGAAGTTCCTCGCGAAGAGATCACTCTGCCTCTTCCGGAGGAACAGCCAGAGGTTTTCCAATGTCTGCCGGAGTACTTCCTGGAGGACATTGTCAGCAATTTCAAATTCATTATGTGGTGCATGCCACAGATCATCACTGCCACCCAGGGTGATGAGCTGGTCATGCTGTGCATCACATTCCTTGAGAGCTCCGATTATATTAAAAACCCGTATCTCAAGGCCGGGCTGGTGTCCATCCTGTTTCGAGGAACTTGGCCCCGGCCCGGGGGAGGACGGGGCGCGCTTGTGGACCTTCTCAGCTCGATGCCATTTGCCAACAACCATCTCCTCCATGCGATCATGAAGTTCTACATCGAGGCCGAGCACACCGGCACCCACACGCAATTCTTTGACAAGTTCAATATTCGATACGAGATCTTCCAGATCATTAAATGCATCTGGCCCAACGTCCTATACCGCGAGAAACTGTCCAAGCAAGCCCAGGAGAACCTCGACTTCTTCGTTCGATTCGTCAACCTCCTCCTCAACGACGTGACCTACGTGCTGGATGAATCCTTCGGCGCCTTCAAAACAATCCGCAATACCCAAGCTGAACTTAGCCAATCTGGCAACTCAATGGACGAAACTACCCGCCAGGAACGCGAAGAGAACCTCTCCTCCGCCCAGCGCAGCGCCAAGTCCTACATGCAACTGACCAATGAAACAGTTGCGATGCTGAAGCTCTTCACCGAGGCACTCGCCGACTCCTTCACCATGCCGGAGATTGTACAGCGCCTAGCCGACATGCTGGACTACAATCTCGACGCGATGGTGGGACCCAAGAGCTCCAATCTGCGCGTCGACAATATACAGGAATACGGATTCAGTCCACGGTCTCTCCTCAGCGAGATCATCGACGTTTATTTGAATCTGATGACGAAGCAGAATTTCATTGTGGCTGTTGCGCGTGATGGCCGCTCGTATAAGCCTGCGAATTTCGAGAAGGCTGCTGAGATCCTGCGCAAGTGGTCGCTTAAATCTCCGGAAGAATTGCGTCTTTGGGGCCAATTGCAGAAGAAGGTGAAAGAGGCTAAGGAAATTGATGACCAGGCCGAGGAGGATCTGGGTGAAATGCCGGATGAGTTCTTGGGTATGTTCCGTCCAGTTTCGCGCATTTTTGCAAGCGTATTTTGAAACTAATCTTTATGCAGATCCCCTCATGTTCACCCTGATGGAAGACCCCGTTATCCTCCCCAGCTCCCGCGTCTCCATTGACCGCGCGACTATCCGGTCGCACCTCCTCAGCGACCCGCACGACCCATTCAATCGTGTTCTTTTGAAGATGGAGGATGTTGTGCCTGGTACGAATTTCCCCCCTTTTGTTTTCTCTCTCTCTCTCAAAATATCCACAGCTGACTTATTGGCCGATCCACAGACACCGAGCTCAAGGCCAAGATCGCGGCGTTCAAGGCGGAGAGAATGGCAGCTAAGCAAAAGGATCGCATGGACACGACAGCGGGTTGATCAACATCAACATCAACACATGTCGTCGAAGACAGCGGCTGATACATTGCATATGATGTCTCCATAGATGGACCGGGGTTATTAGATACCATCATCGCTGATTCCATTCTCATATATGCTCTGCTCTGAATATCCCTGTCTCTTTGTACTGTTCCTGGCCGCCGCACTAACCCTAAATCCATACAAGGCTTCCGTAAATTAAGGAATGTGGAATAACGGGGTAAAGTACGTGTTCCTTGTACCTCTGATCCCCGATCGAACTGATCGGCCCCGCCACCGCCCATTGCATCACTAGCTTGCTTCCCTTTGTGGACCTGACGACATAGACCGCCCTTCCTCCCTCTCCTCTCCATCTCTCCTCTACACACGCCAATGGGTGCCACCGTCTCTTCTGTCTGGGCCTCCCCTGCCCTCCGGGGCTGACTTGTACCCGCTAACCCCCGAAGCCTGGCACGTCGTACTAAACAGCTTCCAGTACTTCCCTCTGGTGAGCTCGTCCTACCCACCACCACCTCCAGATCCACTCCCCAGATCCGTGATCCCCCAGATCTTAAGCTGATACAAACCCTATCTAGGTCACCACCCTCCAATGGCTCATCTCGTGGCACCCAGCTGGCAAAACCTCCCTGAGCTCGTCGATCTTCAACCTCCCAGGCCGCCTAGCCTGGTGCGCCATGGAGATCGTCGGCCCAATCAACCTCCTGTACAACCTGACGCGCCCATCGCCCACCCTGCCCGCGCTCGCAGACCTGCCAACAATCAACAAGCTCGTTGCTGCGCTCTACTGCATCCACTACTTCAACCGCGCTATCATCTCGCCACTCTTCGCCGCGCCTAGCATGTCCCCCATCCATGTCTTCGTCATGACCATGGCTATGGGCTTTAACTGGTTCAATTCGTCGTGCATTGCCGGCTGGCTGCGCGGCTACGCGCTTCCCGTCTCGGGGTACACGACCGATGGCACGGGCGCAGGTCTGGCGACTTCGCACCCCGTCGTCACGGATATGCTGCCCGTTGTAGGCGTTGTAGTGTTCGCACTCGGCATGGTAGGCAACATCTACTCCGAGCGCAAACTATTCCAGCTCCGTCGCGAGTCCGCCGCCAAACAATCCGCCAAAAAGACCGACGACGCCAACAATGACGCTAGCAATACCAAACCCAAGTGCGCAAAGGTCTACGTCCTTCCGCCCCGCCAAGGCGTCTTCCGCTACATCCTATACCCGCACTACGCCTTCGAGTGGCTAGAGTGGGTAGGTTTCGCGCTCGCCGGCACAGCCGTCTTCCCTCTCTCCCCGACTAGTGCGTCGCTCGCAACCAGGAGCGAGCTCGTCGCGCCCCCGCTTACCCTCGCGCCCTGGCTGGTCCCCACCGCGTGGCTGGCGGATCGGTTGGCAGTGCCGTTGCCTTTTCCGGGGGTGTTGTTTGTTGTCAATGCGGTTGCGAATATGCTGCCTCATGCTCGTTGGGGCCGGAGGTGGTATGTTGAGAAGTTTGGGGAGGAGGCTGTTGCTGGCAGGGGGGCTGCTGTGCCGGGGTGTGCGTGCATGTGATGTGATGATATTTACATGCTGATGGCCTACAGGTTGCTATGTAGTCGAAATGAGTTGGTAGAGTACATAGTCGGAGAGGTAATAATAGCTACTGTCGAAACTTGATATCTGATAGCTTGAAATCTGTATCGCCGTGCCGGGCATATCATTCACATGCTGATATCCTACATGCTGCTATGTAGTAGATATGGAGTGGTAGAGCTCATACCTAGGTAGTCAATCAAGACAGTTTTTACCCGACAGTCTTATTCGTTATTTAGTACATTACTCTCCTCCCTCTCTCTCCCTCTCTCATTAGTCGCTCTTCCACTGTTCATGTTTCTCTGGCCAAATTTCGTACATACTAATGACCTTGGACCTAAATGTATGAGCCCCCTACGTCAAGGGCTTGTATGTAAACAGTCGCAGAACAATAGCACCACGCCTGTCGAATGGCGTGATCTCTCGCCGATCACGGAGACTGTGACTGGTGGGGTGGATAGTGTAAACGTATTTCAATAATCTTGTCATACTGAACCTGTGGGAATGCCCTGTATTTACCGTCACAATACACATGCCCCTCGTCTATTTCCTCCCCCACCATTTTTCGCTTTCCTCCTTTTCTTCTTCTTTCTTCCCATCTTCTCTCAGCAGGGGCAATTGTGTTCTTGTTGTTGTACCTGATCTTTCTCTTCTCTCTCCTCCAACCTTCCCACCGTTAACTCACATCCTCCTCCGTCCCTTTCCCCTCTTTTCCTCCCACACAACCGTCATAATGGTTCAATCGTAAGTCTCTACCTTACCCCTCCATCCCTGACACACTGGCCACAACACACAATACTAACTCCCACTCCCTCAGCTCCGTTCTGGGCTTCCCTCGTATGGGCAAGCTCCGTGACCTCAAGAAGGCCACCGAGGCCTACTGGTCTGGCAAGACCTCCCGCGATGAGCTCCTCGCCGAGGGCAAGCGTCTCCGTCTGGAGCACTGGAAGATCCAGAAGGCTGCTGGCGTGGACATCATCCCCAGCAATGACTTTGCTTTCTACGTATGTGTCCCTTGCCGTTTCGTCGGAACGTCTCCACCGTTTTGTCTTCACTGGCTGACCCTCTCTTAGGACCAAGTCCTGGACCACATCCAGCTGTTCGGTGTCGTGCCCGAGCGCTACTCCAAGTACAACCTCCACTCCCTTGACGAGTACTTCGCCATGGGCCGTGGTCTGCAGAAGGAGGGTGTTGATGTTCCCAGTCTGGTATGTATCCTTCTCCCGTCTCACTACAACCAATGTTAATGCTCGATGTTAGGAAATGGTCAAATGGTTTGACTCCAACTACCACTACGTCAAGCCCACCCTGCAGGACAACCAGGTCTTCAAGCTCGCTGCCGAGCCCAAGCCCGTGGTTCAGTTCCTCGAGGCCAAGGAGGCCGGCGTCGTGACCCGCCCCGTCATCCTGGGTCCTGTCTCTTTCCTGACCCTCGGTAAGGCCGACCGTGGCCAGTCCGTTGACCCCATCTCCAAGCTGGACGAGCTCCTCCCTCTGTACGCAGAGCTCCTGGCCAAGCTGAAGGCTGCCGGTGCTGAGGATGTCCAGATTGATGAGCCCGTCCTGGTCTTCGACCTCCCCGCCAAGTCCAAGGCTGCTTTCAAGCCCGCCTACGAGAAGCTGGGCAACCTCGGTGACAAGGCTCCCCGTCTGACCCTGGCTACCTACTTCGGTGACATCGTCCACAACATCGATGTCCTCCCTGCGCTGCACAACCTCCACGGTATCCACGTGGATCTCGTCCGCAACCCCGAGCAGCTCGACACTGTTGTCGCTGCCCTGGGCCCCAAGCAGATTCTGTCTGCCGGTGTCGTTGATGGCCGTAACATCTGGAAGACCAACTTCAAGACCGCCATCGAGAAGGTCGAGGCTGCCATTCAGAAGCTCGGCAAAGACCGCGTCATCGTGGCCACCTCCAGCTCCCTGCTTCACGTTCCCCACACTCTGGAGAACGAGAAGAAGCTCGACGAGGAGATCCGTGACTGGTTCAGCTTTGCTGTTGAGAAGCTCTCCGAGGTTGTCGTGATCTCCAAGGCCGTCACCGAGGGCCCCGCCGCTGTCAAGGAGCAGCTCGAGGCCAACGCCAAGTCTGTTCAGAGCCGTGCCAGCTCCAAGCGCACCAACGATCCCGCTGTCAAGGCCCGCCAGGAGGCTGTCACCCCCGAGATGCACAACCGCAAGTCTCCTTTCGCTACTCGTATTGCTGAGCAGAAGAAGAGCATCAAGCTGCCCCTGTTCCCCACCACCACCATTGGCAGCTTCCCTCAGACCAAGGAGATCCGCATCCAGCGTAACAAGTTCACCAAGGGTGAGATCACTGCCCAGGAGTACGAGAAGTTCATCGAGCAGGAGATCGCCGAGGTTGTCAAGATCCAGGAGGAGCTTGACCTCGATGTCCTCGTCCACGGTGAGCCCGAGCGCAACGACATGGTGCAGTACTTCGGTGAGCGTCTCACCGGTTACGTTTTCACCACCCACGCCTGGGTCCAGAGCTACGGTTCCCGTTGCGTGCGTCCCCCCATCATCGTGGGTGACATCTCTCGCCCGGCTCCCATGACCGTCAAGGAGTCCAAGTACGCTGTGTCGATCTCGAAGAAGCCCATGAAGGGCATGCTGACTGGCCCCATCACCTGCCTGCGGTGGTCTTTCCCCCGTGACGATGTCCACCAGTCCGTCCAGGCTCAGCAGCTCGCTCTTGCTCTCCGCGACGAGGTCATTGACCTCGAGGCTGCTGGTGTCAAGGTCATCCAGGTCGATGAGCCTGCTCTGCGTGAGGGTCTGCCCCTCCGCGCTGGTACTGAGCGTGAGAAGTACATCAAGTGGGCTGTTGAGGCTTTCCGCCTCTCCACTGCTGGTGTCACCGACGTCACTCAGATCCACTCTCACTTCTGCTACTCTGAGTTCCAGGACTTCTTCCACGCCATCGCTGCCCTGGACACCGATGTTCTGTCCATCGAGAACAGCAAGTCTGATGCTAAGCTCCTTAAGGTCTTTGTTGATGAGAAGTTCCTTGCCCACATTGGCCCTGGCGTGTTTGATATCGTACGTTACGCTTTTTCTACAATCTCTCATTTGGCATGGATAACTAACAGCTCGATAGCACTCTCCGCGTGTTCCTAGCGAGCAGGAGATCATCGACCGTGTCTCGGAGATGCTGCAATTCCTTACTCCCGAGCAGCTCTGGATCAACCCCGATTGCGGTCTGAAGACTCGTGGTTGGACCGAGACTAAGTAAATCCTCCCTGCTACTTTGGCAAACATGATGGAATCCAATACTAATATATTCCAGGGCTTCTCTCACCAACATGGTGAACGCTGCTAAGCACTTCCGCAAGCAGCACGCCCAGTAAATTTTAACACCACATGGGCACCAATTTTCCTTTGTTTTCCTATAATGTGTTAATTGGGGGAGGCGGCAATCAACCTGCCGCCTCCAGCACGGGGAGTTCTTTTTTCTGATGAGTTACGAGATGATACCAAAAGTTCAACATATGGGTTTCAACGGGCTTTGCTGATTAGAGGGCACCAAAAGCGGGTTTACGGAGTTTCAACATGACTGACGATTTCAACATGGGTGCCACAATTCGGTGCCGATTATTTCAACAATTTTTGCTCTCTCGCCCTTCGCTTCTGCATTTGCATTGGCTCGGAGCCTAGAGAGGAGACTTTTTTAAGTGTAGAATCAGCTGTGAATAAACATTGTTCGATACTGCTAAATCATTTTGCTCTTGTAACAACGTAAGATCCTAGTGAACTTTGCATTAGACTTGCTGTTCTCAGATACGCGGGGAATAGGGTAACCCCCTATATCATGGGTCTAACCAAAGTCCGTACAGCTTCAGCACCTCCCGACAATTATTACCGGGAAGAGATCCAACACCTAATGACCAAGTTCAAAAATAGCTCACAACTATGAGAGCCGAACTCAAACTTGGTGTCTCGTCGTGCAAATTGGGTGGGAGTCTAGTTGCGAAGAGAGCACCTGCTGGCTTCCTGAGAGCAACTGCAATTTATACAAGAACCATCAAAGGTTTTGGTTTGTACTATGAGGGAGTCTTATCCGTTGGCATTGATGGAACAAGACTGCCGCTAACCGCCCCCTTTACTCTCAGGCGAAACGTCGCGTGGCCGTGGCACTAGTGAGAGCTAAACATCTTCAAAAAATAGCCTTGTGGGTGAGCGCTGTTCAATTTCTAGTACGAGTCGTATGGTATCGATAGGATAAAAGAGAGTAGGCAATCTATTTTATAGTAGTGACTTTGCTCTCACCTATAGAGTACTTTATATTTCCCTTTAAATAGATAGACGACATTGTCATAACATGGTAATCAAAAGATTTTAACGTTAGTTTTGAGGAATAGAAATGTCGTTTCCCTCACTATGGATTCACTAGTGCAGATATAATTCCAGATGCCCTTCTTTGGTCCTTCTCCGCCATATTGTTCAACCAGCTTAAGTATGACTGCCAAAAGACAGCAAAGAGTGATGTAGCAATCGCGCGTGACTCTGGGCTGACATAGGTGAAATTAAAAGTCGTGACCAGAGGCCAGTATAGAAAGCTTCTCGGAATACTGGTCGGTACCGTGGCCTTTACTCGTTCAACAGCCCCTGTAAGTCCCTCGCCGGAGAGCAGAGCATGGAATGCAAAAAAGTAGACGTTGAACAACGGGGTATAGAAAAGCTGATTGACAGCCACCTTCGCCCCGATGGACACAAACGAAGAACTATAATTGAACCGCCTTCCAAGAAATAGGAACCACTCGTAACTGGGGATGGAGACGACGGCGCCGATTATGATACTTCGCAAGGAGCGGTGAGCATCAAATGTGTCGTTCCCAATCCTCTGCGCAGAGAAATCACCAAGGCAGTAGATAAAAGCGGTAATGAATAGCTGAGTGAGATATGGTCGATGTTTCTGCGTGTTCGAATACCAGCTGAAGAGTCCTAGAACTGGTTTCCAAGCTCTCTTCGGCTCCGGCTTTGTGAGGGGTTCCGGCTTTGACGACGGTCGCTTAGTAGAAAGGGTCGCAGTTTGAGAACGGTGCAAGTGGATTGGATTTGGACGAGACGAATGGAATCGTAATCCTTCGACGTGACGAGCCTGTCTGGCCTCATTCCGAAATTCCGCAAGCCAGAAGGGACCAAGGGGAGGGAAACGGCGCATAGACGTTGGCGAAAGCCACCGAAAAGTTCTCCTGGCGTAAGAAAAGAACATTATATCTCGAAAAATTAATGAAAAAGAAAATTTGGGTAATACTGCGTTTTATTTGTTGAAAAGTAGCTGCCCCTCTGGATGTCCGAAATATTAAGGGAAAGTCCCGATGGCGTCGGCACTTCAGATATCCGAACATGTCACGAAGCAGAACACGTTGCAAAGCTTGCTGAAACTACTCAAAAACAGCGCATACTTAAGTGCTAATACTTTCAATCCCGAAGTGGCTTTAGTTCCCCTTCTCTTGACTCCTCTTCTCCAAGCTCACCCCTTGTCAACCGCCAATGTACCACTTGCTATCACCTAACTCTGCAAGATTATTACCCTTTCATCCAAGCCCCTGCCGGTTATTGTCATTATCATATTCTAGAACTATCCGAATTCAACGAAAAGCGTAAGCGTGTATGACGTAGAAGATATAGATAGAGGTCACCCATTGCGTTCTTATCTCGCACTCGGGTCGCTTGTATTGCCGAACCCCCGAAATACCGAAATCCTCCGCCACGCCAAACCTCCGAAATTAAATGTAATCGGTTTACCGGGAATGCTGCGAAGAACCACAGAGCGGGAGCACTGCGACTCCGCACCATTAATCCCCCCTCTAAGTTTGACTCGTACTGCGGGAATGAGATTCCAAAATTCTGTAATCATTGCCATTATGGTGATGTTGGATTATATCCGTGTGGAAGAAAGGATAATTATGGTCCAGAAGACCACTGTTCATATAAATTGCTAGGAAGGGAGACATTTTGGAAAACACGCACGTTACAATCCACGGGAGTTTGAGTAAGTCAACCAGATAGACGCAGCCGAGCCTCCGATATTTCCGCACGGCTGGAATCTGGCAACATTTCGAGGGTGGGCTGCACTTTCTCTATGCAAATATTTTAAAAGGCATAACCAGAAAAGAGGACGTGTTGGGAGGTTTTTTGTCACTTTGTATCTGACCTGAAAACGAGTCTTTATTTCTTCAATCTGTCTCGGTCTATTCCAACTTCCACCATGCCCACCGGCAGTTCTGCATTCCTGGCCGCACTGGCCAATCGTCGATCCTACTATGGGCTTCGCCCAGAGTCCCCAACCCCTGATGCCAAAATTCATTCCATCTTGAGCGAAGTCATGCTCACAACCCCGTCCGCATTCAACTCCCAGACGACGCGCGCCATACTTCTCCTCAAGAAGGAGCATGAAAGATTCTGGGAAATCGCCAAAGACGTGCTTCTTGCGCGCATTGGACCCGAGCGGTTTGCTAAGACCGGTCCGAAACTCGACAATTTCAAAGCAGCATACGGAACTGTGCTATTCTATGAAGATCAGCTTGTCGTTGCACAGACGAAGGAAAGGTTCCCCACTTATTCCGAAAACATTGAGCCATGGTCAGAGCACTCAAGTGGCATGCACCAGATAAACTCGTGGGTTGCTTTGGAGGCCGAGGGATTTGGCGCCAATTTGCAGCATTATAACCCCATTATTGACGAGAAGGTTCAGGCCGAATTTCACATTCCAAAGAATTGGAAGCTCCGTTCGCAGTTGGTATTCGGTTTGCCTAATGGCGAAAGCCCTCCCCCGAAGGATAAACTGCCCCTGGATGAGTTGCTGCAGGTTTGGGGGGCTGATGCGTGAGGTATTAGCCACTGGTTCACAAAATTGAGAGTCATGAGATGGAACAGATGAATATGTCAGCATGGAATCATATTGGATCCATGCATGAAAGTTTTGTCAGCCCTAAATTGCTATTTTGTTCTGACCGGTTTGTTATTGTGCACCCATTCCGCTTACTATGCAACTTGTACTATAAAAGAGATAGCCAGAGTATTCCCAGAATGTCAGACATCCTCTATCTTGTTAATTGAGCACATTCCCACATCCCACCTCTGGTGATGAGTGGCCGGTCATTCTCCGCTCGGATTCGTCACGTATTCATAAAAGCGATTCAAAAAAAGTCTATCATCAGGTGAATTATACTATCTCAACATCACATAGCACTTTTTCTCATAAGATTTTCATCAAATTCGATGAAGCGGAGATGGGGCCGGTAAAATTCCTTTCCATCGAGAAATCATACCCCTTGCTCCAGCCACGCCTTTAGAAGCTTAACTTCCGCAACGGATAGGTTGGTCATCCGAATGAAGTCACTTCTCGTGATCCAGCTTGTACTGGATAGACACAAACACGTATCTTCCTCTTTTATTCCCGTCAATTTGATTTCCTTTGTCCGGTACGACCTGATTGATAATTATCATTACTGAAAGGCATCCAACGTGCCATTTACTTGCCTATATTAGTCTATACAAAAGCAATGGCCTAGAGATTTTCGTTCCCACACAATGTATCCTCATTAAACTCGTCTGAAATAGTATGAACTGACCCTAGAACTATAGATGAAATTAAGGGATCCTATTGTGTTCTCCTGCAAAAAGAGCTTCTTAGAATGATGGTTATACTAGATACATTGATATTATTAAAAAGGTCATTCAATTAACTATTGCTGATTCATGAAGATTTACATTATGTCGGTTTGATTTGTCCCTTTATTACTAGGAGCCTGTTAGCAAAAGTCAGCATACCAAACGTGTCCCACACAAACCTTTGCGATGCCTGCTCCCAATACTGATTCAACGAAACTATCTTTATTATCGATTCAGTATTATCCCTGGCCGATAAGTGCAACTGCTCGTAACGAGCCATAAGTCCAGCTGCATCCGTCGATCCTCGGCGTGCAGAGGTGCTCAAATGACTCGTAACAAATCGACTAGACTGGGTGCCATCGAAGATGGTATGCATTGGCTCGTGATTCTTTTTGTGTCTGCGAGCCAGGCCTTTCCAGGGAGCCGTGTCTTGCTGAGTATGCTTGGTGAGGATGTTCAAGGCTGGCATACAGGAGCAGATTAGCCCAATTCCCACTTCGGCGTTTCTGTAAAAGAAACGGGTTAATTCCAGATTCGAGATAATCTAAGACTAGAGAAACTCACGCAGTCAATATAGACCTAGTGAACACTGTCGTATCGTCCGGTCTCTTGATCTCGTATACCGCGACTATAAGCTGGTATAGGCTAAAAGCCAGAGCGATGCCTCCAAGTCCAAGAAGAGCAATGACCTTGACCTTTTTCCAAAGGGGCATTTGTAGTGGCCAGATGAACGTAATGGGAAAGGCGAATATGGCAATATCTGTTAAGAAGCTAATGGCGGAATCTGCAATGATCACTCCTGGCTCGCTCAAGCATATGGAGTAGGGTTTTTGAGACAGTATCCAATAAGCGGAGATTGGATTGCAGATGAACATCTTGATGAAGGTAATGATGGTATAGTAACCAATGACTAAACCGAGAAGCAAGTGTAGGGTCGCCATTCCTCTGTATAAAGGTTGAAATACCCTGATCAGGATATAGATAAGACTGGTCTTGACGAAGAGGGCTACTGGTGGATATAGTACAGTAAGGACGTAGTAAAGCTATAGTGCATGTTAGCAATAGGGGTTGTTGCTGTTTAGATATTGCCTTGCCTTTTTGCATGTTTCGAGCTCTTGTGCCGTTAGGTCAGCAGGCGACTTAGTACCACCCTTGAAGCCATCTAGCGGTTAAATTAGCAACTTGAGACCACCAATCGGAAGGGGACACTACAAGAAACGTACAGACCAAAGCAATTGCGCAAAAACCCATGAACAAGACCTAGCTGTCGGTTAGTTAACATCCAAGCATAGGCACGATCACAGGTCGGCTGTGTCTTCTTACCCATCCAATGAGACAACAGGCTGAATCAATTAGCAAACGCATATCTGAATAGGTTAACCAGATGCATACCATCATCGATTCCCAGCGTGCCGCTCAATTTCCATCGCACGAGGAACCGGAGAAAGACGAAGGAGGTCACAAGGATGAAACATAGTACTTGCGTCGCATAGTTCAGCAAGAACATGGAGTTATCGTTATGACTGGTAAATGCCATGGAGACTGGAATCGCATGAATGCGCAGAAAGAAGCATTTCGAGCTAGGGTTTTTATTCTCTCCTGATGTCTGTCTCGGGGCTGATAACAATCGTCAACTTGAGGGCTTAGTCAGGATACAGATCGATTCGGCTGGGAATAACATAGGCTGCGGCAGCATCCGCAAGGTCCGCGGATGTAGTAGTATAGGCAGAATCCGTAAATCCGCAAATCGCGGAAGGATAGGCAGGACCCGTAAATCCGCAAATTGCAGATAGAGAATGTCGTAGGAGGATGAATAGGACACCTTCGGATTTTTTGCGGATGCTAGCGAATGATGAACATTACAAACACGCGAAGTCTTTTGACCTGTTGGTGACTACATACATTGTGCATTTTTGATAGTAATTTTCAAGTATTAAGTGTGTAAAGATTTGCACGGATTTGGGTGATTCTATGATCTTCCGTCGAATCCTTCTGGTTGCACGGCTTGCTCTCCTTTATTCAGATCATAGAGATATTTCTTCGTCCGAATCTTTCATATTACAACTTATCAACCTCAAATCCAGCTAACATCTTTGGTTTCTTCCGGATCCTCTCTGACCGTACTAGCGTACTCTCTTCAGTTGGAATTTCTAGAAGCATGAGACTATCATCTGCATCATCTAGAGCCTCAGACATCCTCTTTTTGAGACTTTTGCTATACGTGCTTACTTTGGGTTGTACTTTGCATAGGAGATAACCTCATCCTCTGGATAATTACCCAGGTGACCCTCCTCCTCATTATCGCTGATCGGTTCGAACTCGCTACATAACGGATTAGGCTTTCTGACTTGATCCATCATAGCAGCTTCACCAGCAGATAGACACTCCTTCTAGAAATCTATTTGATTTTGTTCGAGACCAAACTTTGACGAACAAATATAGACCATAAGATAACTTACTGTCTCTGCTTTAAACTGTCCTCGACGATAGTAACAGACATCTTAGGTGCAGTTAAATAGACGTTCAATTCCAGCACCACTTCCTAGAATAAAGAGGATATCCCGGGCTAGTTTTGCTAGTATTGGAAATTTGTGTTCATACTCTTTCCAATATACCCCAGAGTCTGATTTCACAAGTCCTAAACTTGATATTAATATAAGATGTGGTTGTTAGGGTAGATAAACTCACCTTTTGTGAGATATCACGTGATATCTATTTCTTCCTGTGTGTTTAGGTGATATTTGAGGAGACCATCACAGGAGATCAGACTTTTTTGTGATGTCCTAAAATGCTGAAGTGCCTCATTCCTGCGTAACCCCAAGAGAAATACCAATCTCATGGACACTTAATTTTGCGTTAAGGTTCGAAAGATGTCATGGCGGACCGCGGTTGGACCACAAAGTAAACTGGTCTCCAGAAAACAGATGCACGTACAAGGGACATCATTGATTGTCTGTACAGCCCTTTATTATTCAGATATTTAAGGACATGTCCACCTACATGACAGTGCCACATGGGGCATAGCATCTTGATCTTATTTGAGATTTTCAACGGAAAGCTCAGAATTATCCAAGGATATCCAAGGACAGAAATATCTGCGCCAAAAGATATCCTGGCTTTCGAAGTTTCCAGAGTCACACATTATATAGAAAGATGGATCAATGAAGGTCTAGAAATCAAGATAACCTCACAACAACCTCAAAGCCCTTCTCCCTAACACATATCGAGCAAGTTGCTATTGTGGGAGCAAGAACGAGACTCCCCTTATATCTTAGTAAACAACTTACCATTAGACTACCAGAACAGACACCAAAACCCATCATCGTGCAACCCCCGTAGATCCATACATGTTCTCAGTGAAGGTCTACGTCGTTGCTACCAACGATATTGCCACCCCCTGATCCACCTGCTATGACGCCAAAACCAAACGTTGCAAATGCAATTCCAATGCGTGTGCCTATATTTGCCTTATCCACTGTCAATTGTACTAACAAAACTCCTGGGAGGGCAATGAAGACTATATAAGGACTGCTGCACACACCAGGCATCTGGGCGAGCCATGGTACTAATAGTTTGAGCTCATTCGAATAGATTTCGGGCTGCCAAAACAGCAGCAGCAGGGCTTACAACGTTGTGTTACTAGTGACAGTAGCATAGCTGAATGATATTCACATTTGCAGTGATGAGCGAGGTTTAATCGAACTATCGATTCCAAAGAGGCCATAACAGTTCCCTTCCAAGAAGACTAAGAGATGGGCGCTTAGTATGTACTAGCTTCGTCGGCTGATTTTCTGAGATCAGAGCCGGGAGGTAGGGCCTGCTATCGTTTTGATTCGACGCCTTCAACGTTGGGTCTCTGTGCAAAGAGGTGGAGGGGCTGTTTAGGAACGAAACGAAGATTGAATCCTCCATCAGGTCGTGAACGCATTTCACGGCGGGGTCAAGAGTCTCGGGCCGGGGTGGTGTCGACAAATTTTTGTGTCGCAAGAGTGCATCACGTACGTTGACAGACAGGTTAACCTCACGGGCCGCCCCGGGGAGAATGTACGTCGTCAGGAGAAGCTGATAGAGCATACTCAGGTTGATGCTTGCCGAGGAGTTGGTTGTCACTATGGATTCTCCTGCCGGTTCGACTAATGACCTGTAGCTTTCGCGATATCGCTTCGCCTCCAGGATAAACTCTAAGGTCTCGAGGCAATGGTTTTGGGAGAGATATTTTATGAAAGCGTTGAGGATGTACGGTGGAGACGTGGCGTTGTTCAGCACTTCATCGAGCGTCGGCCGCCAGGCTGCCCTGTAGGGCTTAGATCGAAGATTATTTAGCATTGTCGGTGCGTTCCAACGCCTATTGACGAATCATTGGAGTCGGAACTGGTCGTTGTGTAGGACCTTGGTAGGCATAGAGATTGGGCGGCTAGTGTAGATGCATTGGATTACTCTAGAAGGACAATGAGCAGTCTATCTTATAAGGTAGTTTACCTTGAGATAAGAGAGAGCCGCAAAGTGGTGAAATCCAATGGTCTACTGAGATGGTGGCGAATGATAGGTGTCTAGCGTTCGTTGGTCATTCCAGGCTTAAAGTCGGTAGACCTCCGCAGATCCCGCCAACCCGTTCCGTAAGCCCGCGGGTTTACGGGGCTTCATGTTTATATCTTCCTCATCCAGCAACAAGATATAACTGAAATATTGATACATGATTCATACATTATTCACATATAAGTCATACAGAATTGTGGCAAGCTGGGACTAACTTCCGCTCTACAGTTGACCCATTCGCTAGGGAAATACGTTATCCAATTGTGTAGAGTGCTGTGGGTCTGTGACCCACAAACAGAAGCTCCAACATCACTCATCCGTATAATTAACGCAAAAGCACCCATTCAACCTTGTTATAAATCTAGCCGGCATTCCACGTCATCTCCGGCTGCATTACCACGAAATTTCCACAGGTAACAAGATTAAACCAATCGATACATAGTGTGTACTTGTTATGCACTTGTTACGCCTACCAGAAGCCCTATAGTACTGGTCGATACTTGGTGGACTGCTGGAATTACGGATGTAATTCTATTTGAACTGAGTAGGGTGGTGGTTAAATAAGTGTACTAGTTACTTCTCTTACGTTTGTTTTCCAAATTCCTCACCATTTACTATCTACCAAACAAATAACCACAAACGCAGCCAGTTTCAATGGCCTCATTTCTCCCTCAGGCACAGGAAAAACAACTGCAACCACTGCAAGATCGAAATCACAAGACACGCCCTCGATTTCAAGTGGCAAACACACAGTTTGCTGGCCGAATTGGTGCTAATCAAGAGTTTTCCGCCCACGTTCTGGAGGAGACAGAGCTGTTACGGAAGACTCCCGATGCCGCCCCGCTGGTGCCATGGAGGCAGATGATATGCCTAAACCAGTTCATTCAGCTTAACATATGGAAAGCTGCATTTACTGAAGGTGTGGGTATGTTTAATATTTTGGATTCTGTCTAGTCTTCTCTACGTTTTTTCGAATTGAAAGCCCTTAATCAAGAAGCGACTTAGCTAGAGATGCACGCTGACATAAAATTTAGCAACATGTTTGCTTGTCTACTTCACATGCTTCTTGGCTGTTGGCCTAGGAGGAATGGCTAGGTCAGTTTCAGATTACTTCGTTATAGTAGTTGGTTGCTCAAGCTCATAGCTAAATAAATCACAGACAACTTGCTATAGGACCAGTAGTATCAAGCCTAATAGGTGGTCTACTCAATATCCTTACTATTCCTCTATTCATTTTTGCAGCTGGTCCTGTATCTGGAGGTCATGTAAACCCTACAATCACTATCGCGACATTCTGCGCTAGGTTATCTACCTTCCCGCGAAGCATTCTCTACATTAGCTTTCAGTTACTCGGGGCAACGGTTGCTGGCTACCTATTGAGGAGTAGCTTTGACACTCGATCTGTGAGTAAATATAAGCGTCAATCACGTTTCACTCGTTATTTATTTCCTTGCTGTTTGCTTCATAGCTTCCCCCGTACTCTGATTCTTCTACTAACCGTTATAGTTTGTCATTCCTGGATGCGTCATAGACACTTCTTTAGTGTCGGTAGGAAGCGCGTTTACCATCGAAGTTACGACCGATTTCATGCTCATCTTCCTCTCATTCAGCGTGGGCCTCGATCCACGTCAAAGACAAGTGTTTGGTCCAGCCCTTGGTCCTATATTTGTTGGTATTATTCTCGGAATTACCAGCTTTGGGACTGGATACAGTAAAGTCGGATTCACTGGCTTTGGTACGTAGTACTCACTCTGCAGTCATTCGTCGGATTTCATTTGCTATTTCATGAGGCTCACCTAATATTTGCCAGGTGGAAATCCTGCTAGGTGTTTCGGTGCTATGGTCGGCTCACATTTTACTTCCTATCATTGGATACACTGGGTTGGGCCTATTGTGGCCTCAATCCTTCACGGGCTCATGTATTATTTTATTCCGCCATACCAATACAGTGTATGAGCGTCAGTGAAGGTGTCTGGACGCAGAGGAACTTTATATTGTTCTCCAAACCAGCAAATTCTTTATAGTTTACCTAATATGGATTTTGAAAGAACAACCATGTCCAACCTATAAAAGTATCTCAGTAATGTAGACTCTGTGAATATCAGGAAGCATTCCACCACCGACTCAGCTGGGCTTGCGCTCAGCCCAGGGGCCGAAGCTTCTGAACAAGCCTTCGCCATGAAGAGTGGTAGTGGGTTAGCTTTTGGGCCGTAAGAATCATCGGGCGCTAGGTACGTAAGAGAAAAAAGTTTCCAAGTCGATCGCAGAGAAGTTATAGTCAAAGTCGACCATGGGGATGTTGAAGTCCGGGTCAATATCTTGAGAGTCAAGAAAAGGTGCGGTTGGGCTGAAATTGCCCCGATCCCACAAATCTGCATGACTCAGAGTCGAAGTTTCGTTCTTCCGAGGCGGGTGCTGGGCGACAATATCAGGGAAAAACTCTGTTCTAGGTGGTTCAGTCTCGGAGGGAAGGTCATAGCTAGGATTGATACGTCGGAGGATGCGACGTATTGCGTCCATGATACTCGACACCGGCTCGCCTACTCGCATGCCGCTCAAAAACTGTAGGCCGGAGTGCACCCAGGGAAGGTGGATGGGGATCACTGCTTCATCGTGAACAAAGTCGTATACGAGAACAAAAAGGCTGTTCTCTAGGTAGAAAAGATTATATCGCAATTCCTAGAGAGACGGTGAGCTGAGTTAGAGGTGTAAAAGCCTCCTTGGGGGGAACGAGGGTGCACACCTTGGCGAGAGGGTCCGGGGCAACATTTTCGCGCAAATGATAGATCAACGCTCGGGCCGCATTCAGAGAGTGATTGCATGCATTGTTCAGCCACGGAGGCGTGATCGTGGCGACCCCAAGTTTCCCTTGGTCCTTCCACTTGCCTCGAAAGATAACGAACGGACGGAAGGTGATCAGAGTGATGTAATTGTATACTACGGAATGTGTTAGCTTTGAACAGGGTTGGTGAGCGGAGGGGCTATACAGCTGACGAGGATGGTCTCGCGTATTCCTTTAGGGTCGGTTGCGGAGGGATTCTCTAAATCGAGTCCAAAATCCCGCTGGGTTCGTGTGTTCAAAGTATACATCTCCCTGCGGATGGATATTGCGGCTTTCCACATCATCGGCAATGATAAGTGCTTGGGCCGATAGACCTGTTGGACCAATTTCGCCATAACCTGGGCGAACTGGAAGAGTCTGGTCAGGAAGGGATCGTTCGGGAGGGCAATATCTATATCGGCACCAGACATCGAACTAGGTCGCCCTAGGAAGAAGCTGAGGTACCTAGAACGATGTCAGTTTGCATGCGTTCATCCCAAGACTGCGGATGCTGCCCATTCCACGCACGTCTCACAGAAATACAGCGCACAAAAGGTGACGCGCCTATCTTGCTCTTTATCGGGCACGTCACCGCTATTTGGCGGGGATTCTTTGTGCAAGCCGGCCGCAAACGCTTTCCGCGCGGCAACGCCGATGTATAGGTAGGAGGCATGGGGTCGGCCGGATTCTGCCTCAAACAAGGCGTGCACCTTCCCTGAGTAAGTCAACATCATAGGCGGATGAGAAAGACCTGAGTAACTTATCATAAGCATCTCCAATTGGATGTGTTCCAGGTTTACCGCAGCCTCCAAATCCGCCTCATGCCGAGCCGTCTTAACCTGTTTACCTAAGATCTCGCCCCACTGCCAATGGTCTGTGTCCAGCGCGGCGAGCGCCATGGACATCACTAGGATCAGCCTCTGCGTTTCACTAGATTCCACCTCGAAGTCTGCACTATACATCCGCTGCAATAGCTCCTCGTAGGTCTGCTTCGAAGCAAAGGGCAGTACGTTGTAGTGGGTCTCCAGAAATCGACGAAGTAGATCCTTTGCCAGTGTATAAGGTAAGAACCAAGACCCTCTCCGCCGGTCAAACGTTCGGTCTGCCGCGTCCCCTCCTAGCATCGGCAGGCTGAAGAAAATATGACGCAGCCGCAGCAGATCCAATCCATCTCCTGCTTCTTCCACTGTACTCCCCGTAGACACAGTGGAGGTGGGTTGCCGATAGAGATCGCGATAGAGATGCTGCAACATGCAGAAGTCCGACGTCGGCCCGTAGTAGGCCTGCATGACGTCGGACTGCGAAGAGTGGTGGATGGCCAACACGCTGCTATGGAACCTGTAGAGAATCGACTGCTGTTGACTTCTGTTCTCGGGTGGAATGTCGGTCTCCTCAGGGCGTTCCTCGACTGGGTCACTTATTTGCAGTGGCAGCGAGCGGTCCTTGTCCTGGAGAATCTCCCGCCGGCTCCTGCGTCGGCGGTTGCGTTCTCGAAAGTTGCACGCCGCACCTCGCTGCTGGCACGGCATACAAGGAGTTACACCATTGCACCGAATCTTCCTCTTGCGGCACTCTTCACAGGCCTTGGAGACTTTCAAGAAACATGACGTAGGCGTGCGAATCGGTCGTTCCTCATCCCGGCGGCCACTCGTGTTTTCGGCTTCCGGATGCGCCGATAGGGAATACATTGTGTCCGGGTATCGATCGGATGGTTGGACGCTTGAGCACATGTCTTTTTGGGCAACCCATGTGAATATTTAATGGGAGAGTTAGAAAGAAATACCCCGTCACAGGATTCAACGCCCTCTTATGCTTTGGGTTTAGTGTGTAATTGAGTAGCATTCGTATTGAAACTCCTGTATTGAGTCTGTCATCCTAATACGCACTACTGCTGCAATAAGGCTAGATCTGTACAGTGGCAAGTTTTCGACCACCCGAGGTATCACGCAAAATTTTGTTGCCGAGAAATAGCTGCTGCACCACTCATAAGTTGTAGTTAGGAGGCGGTATGTCCTCAATAAGGAGGCGGTAAATAATGGTACTTCGGGTGGTCGAAAACTTTGGAGGTGCCACTGTATCTACAGTATATAGGCGGGTCTGGACCCACAGAAACTTAACACAATACAACTATCTTACATATATATTAACAAGCTCAAGATGAATAGAAATGCTGTGATCTATTGCAAATTCTCTCCAAAATGTCCAAGCAGAAGATTTTCTTCGTTGGTGCCACAGGCGAGACAGGCAGCACGATTCTTGAAGCTCTTATCGAGGATGGCTCATTTGTATTTCAATCTGATTTCACCTCTCAGAAAGAAATCTCTTGACTGAGTATTCTGCAGGACATCAACTGTTCCATTCGCACTGCTTCAGCCGGAAAGCCCGCCGTTCAGCAAATCAAAGAGAAGGGTTTGAACGTCGTGACTGGTGACCTTTCCGGCCCTATCCAGGAAACAGTTGCACTGCTGCAAGGCATAGATACCATCATCAGTGCCATCTTCCCTCTAGACGTTGCCGACCAAATTCCTCTTATCAATGCCGCCGTCCAAGCCGGCGTCAAACGCTTCGTGCCCTGCAATTGGGGCCCGCCGGCCGCTCGCGGCGGCATCATGAAGCTGCGCGATCTGAAGGAAGAGGTCCACGACCATATCTTCCGTCAGCGCCTGGGCTTTACCATCATCGATGTGGGCTTCTGGTATCAGGCGAGTTTCCCCCGCGTGCCGAGCGGCAAATTCGACTATGCAGCCTTTTTCCCCATTAACGAGCTTTATGCCGGTGGAACGGCGCCGAATATGCTCATAGACAAGAGAGATGTCGGACGGATTACAGTGAAAATCATCAAGGACGAGCGCACCCTGAATAAGAGGGTGTATACATACGGAGATCTTCTCAGCCAGAACGAGATCCATGCAGTTATCGAAAAGAAAACAGGGGAGAAGTTAGAACTCACTGATGTGTGTATCACCGTTAGTCTTCATCCAAGTATGCTAATTTTGTGGATAGAAATCGGTGGAAGAAATCCAAGCGACTCTGAAAGCGGCACGAGAGGCAGCAGAAGCTGATCCAACGAACATAGGCAACAAGTACAAACTTGCTATGTCCGAATATTGTGATATTAAGTACGTGCGGACCGACAATACGCCTGAAAATGCCGAATATTTGGGATATATCAATGGGCGGGAGTTGTATCCAGATTTCGAGTTCATCACGTTTGCCGATTTTGTTGATGACCTGATTGCTGGCGAAGTAAAGAGGCCTTATCCACATTTACAGATGTAGTTTACTTGTCGAGCGTCTAGGGAGAGAGAGCTTTAACTGGCTCGCCTACTCGTTCCACTCTTGGGAAAGTGTTTTTTCAGTGATCCTGCTGAACTAAATTGCCTGTCATTATTTAGTAATTTTAGGTCGACATTAATAATGCTGAGATATTAACAGTCGTTAAACACACAACTTATGCATAAATCAGAAAACGCCCGGAAAAGGGGGAGAAGAAGAAAAGACCGTACTCGATCAGAGCTCTATTCTGACTGACACTACACAATCACCACGTAGCATGCTTTTTAAGCGCATCAATGCGCTGCGAATACAGCATCATCAGATGCATCCCCGGATTCCCAAAAATAGCGTTCCTAACCACATCATCAGAGGTAACACAAGCCTCAACCTCGCCTTTTCTCATAATAGGAGGATGTTCGTGCTCGGTCGGCGTATTCCGCAAAACAACCAAATGTCCTGCGAGCGATAGCGGCGCCGGCGGAACTTCCCATGTGGTAGAGCGGGGCTTCTTGAAACGATTCGGCGCAGGAGAGGCATAGAGATTCAACAGCGAGCGCATGTACGCCTTATCTGCGCGCGGCACGGGGTCTCCCTCGTTAATGAAGGCGTAGAATAGCGACTCCTCGCTATCGGGCGATGGTGTAGGATAGAGTGGGCGTTGGGAGGACGGTGGTGCGCCAAACGTGATACAGTGGATGCGCTTAAAGTAGCTGCCCATATAAGCTAGCTCGGAGTTCACTTTTGTTGAGAGCATATGGCAATATAGTAGGCCTGCAACGGCGGCGCCGGCGGAGTGGCCCGTGATCACGAGGGAGTAGGATTGTCGGAATGCGTTCTCTGCGATTAGAGCGCGGAGTTGCGCCGCGATGGGCTGGATCATCTTCTTCGCGGCGCCAAGGAAGCCTCCGTGTACGAAGTTCGTGATGTCGTCGAGGAAGCCCTCGGGGGATGCGGGTTCCGTATTTATGTTCACGGCCCAGTCTTTGAAGCTCGCTGTGCCTCGGATCGCGAGTACAATCACTTCTTTATCGTCGACGCAGCCGATCACCATTGCTTTTGTTCCCTGGCGGAAGTTCGCGGGGATATAGGTGTGCTTTTCTAGTTTACTTCTCATATAGGCTTGGTGTGAGTATCGCGATGCTAAGCGGATAAGAGGGTATTCAAAAGGATCACTTGATATATTATTAGTCACCGTAGCCAATCTATATGTATTTAGGAAGACTCACATTTTGAACTGAGGAAGGGTAGCTGGTAGGCGTGAGTTCTCGTAAAAGTGCACCTTGGAGACACTCGTTGATGGCTTTGAGCCTTTACCATTCATGCCGTGCTCGCAGTGCTCATCACTATGGACCGAACAGTTGGCCACTATACGGAATTAGCTCTAACTCTCCAAAACAATAAAAGACGAGCGAACTCACTACGGCCCTGTCTTGGAATAAAAAACCGCTCATCCAGCGAAAGGATCTTATCATCCAATCCAGTAGTGAAGGCATCCATCTTGGTCGAGACATAATCGCGCAAGTGGCTGCCGAGGTCAAGGACGGTATCTTCCGTGGAGTAGACCTTCTGATCAACCCAGCCAGTCACATTCCATTTGTACTCAGCTATTGAATCTTTTAATTTTCCACGTGTTGCTAGAATATGCGACGAGTAGCTCTTGCGCATGGCGCGCACGCCGAGTTTGTTTTTCAATGCTAGAAAGCTGGTCGGGCGCGATAGTTTGCTATCTGAATCTTTTGAAGGTGTAGGAGGATCGTCTTCCGGTATGGACGTAGCGCCGGAACTCGTAAGAGAAGGCGTGCAGGAATCCAAATTGGAAATCGGGTTCGAGGTCGACGAGGACGAGGACGAGGGCGAGGACAAGTCGGCATACTCGACTACGTCGTACGGCCCATACGCGTCCGGACCCCAGGGGTCAACGGTGTTGAGACGACTGACCATCCTCGGTGGTTCCATCTCATAATAAGCGGGAAGCTCAGCGGGAGAGTCAGAGACCATGTCCTGGCTTGTCATGGTGTTGGCATTCTTCTATCATATGGGAAAACTACAAAATCAGAGAGCCACAGGGCTAGCAATGATATTTATGTCCCCCAAACCTCTTTAAGGGCTTTGTTTTCGTTTTTCCGAATGGACCAATCACATCATCTTGTAGGCCGAGGGGCCAAAACGAATTCAGATAATTTGCCTATTCGGGAAAGGCCTACAGTCAATCCCTGATCGGGCAGAAAGGGCCGGGGCTAAAAAAGCGAGGCGCAGATGCCGATCATCCTAGCTAACTTGAGCTAGATGGGAAGGGGATGACTATATTTAGATAGTTTAGATGTCAACTCGGTTTCATCGATGAACCTCAAGATAGAAGAAAAATTAACCATCAATTACTAGGACTTAGTGGTATCCCTTCCAGCAGTCACATCTTCAAGGATCGTATCTAAATACCAGCATTGATTCGGGCTAGGTCAACGAAGTCCTGATAGAAACGTGGTAACCGGACTAGGATTCGCTAAGATAGGAAGCATTGGCCTCAATGCTATAGTCTTCCCAAATTTCACAGCAATTCACACAATAACAGATAGTGCTCACCATTCGTGGCATTGCAGTCGATGTTTCTCCTACATTTCAAGAGTCGGCTGTGAAAATTGGCTAGAGATACTGATACATCTATTGATATGGGGAAAGTGCAGCCACATCACGTTCTGGTACATGAATCTATCGCACTTGCCCGAACTATAAACCAAAAGGAGCTTCCATTCACTCTCTTAGCCGGTTCGATTTCTGTCTCCTTCAACCTTCCCAAATGGTGTTCCTCGTCTGTCCTCGTTTTCGCAAAGTGAATCAGCCAGTCTCTCCCTCAGGCTTCGCTCGGTCATACCAATCTAATGAGCTGGACAGGTCGCAGAACTTGGAGAGACAAGGTGTGATCTGCCCTTTGGTTTGGCGACACACTCTAACTGCTGGAATAGCAGAAGCCACAACAACTGCAAACTGCTCTCCTTCTCAGCAGAACAGCCGTCCATCCGAGAGCTTCTCACACAGGCTGCGACGCCGCTTCTCTCGAGAAAGAAACTCATCAGCACTATTCAGAGATCGCCATCGACGACATGGAAAACCGCGATTCTCCACTCTCTCTTTCAAGTCATCCAGATCCCACACTCAACAGTCTCCAATCCACCTGACCGTGATGGGGGATATCGGAAGCAGCTTGATGAGCGAGAGGGGATACGACAGCGATGCCCAGTACCTCGCAACCCCAAAATACAGTGACCGCATGGAACGATCCCCGACAAGCCGCCCCTTTCGCAGACTGGAGTTGAGTGAAGTACTTGAGCAGAGGCCTGAGCTGTTAGATCCTGTGTTCCGGGCAGCAGCATTCAACGACATTCCCGAAAGCGAATCTGAGTCTCCCTTTGGGCTGCGCTATATCCCTACCCTACATGGTAGTCTGAGCGGAGCTCGAAATGCCTCTCATGTGAGCGGCACCGGGTACAACAATGGAGCAAGACCTGCAACTTCCCCCGGCGAGGAACCGATCACTCTCAGCGCTGGGATGCAACCCGCCGCGACGAGATCTATCGACACCCTGACAATCGTCACCCCGAATTCTGCTGCAAATATTCTGGAGCCACTCCCGTCCATCGAGATTCCTGCAGGTATCAATAGCCAGACCCTCATGGCCGACTGGATCCAGTTCTTGAGGACGAACCGCCAGATCCGAGGCACGACCTCGGCATCACTGTCAGATCATAGTCCGGATCTTGTCGTTCCGAAAAGACGAGAGTCATTTCCCTCTGACCAGTCGTTGGTCGAAAACCGGCCACTGCACCTGGATGAGCTCCGCATTTCCCATATCCTGGCACCACGATCTATCTCTTCGGGAACACACTCGGGCAACACGTCCATCACAGCAGGACGTACCCACACAAACAGATATGCGTTGTTAACCGCAGAGGATTCTCAGTCGCGCCAGAAAACAGCAACAACGGCGGTCTCGGGACCAGATCCCCAGAAACTAGCCGCAATTCGCAAGCGAGATGCATCATCATTCTATTCACGCCAAAGCAGTCTTTTGTCAACGGAGGTGTTCAAGACCCGTTCTGTCAATGCAACAGGTAGCAAGTCGGAAATCCAGACAGGTCGGATCAGTCAGGGCGAGGAGCCTGAGGCTCTTATGAAAAGCAAGTTTGTTGAACAACTTAGCCCCATTACAAATGACTCTGAGCCCTCCCGCTCTCCCATTGATGAGCTAGAATCGTCCCCTCGTCAAGTCAGCATCGGTTGGATGACCAACGGTCGACGTACAGGGTATGGCTACACAATGGTCTCTAAAGCTGAAGAAGCTGTCCTTAGCAATGATACCCCTCTCCAAATCCAGGACCCAATCGAGCGGCCATCACTGACAAATGCTGACGATGAGAATATCAAGTCGACTGAAGTCGACTGTTCTATTGCGATTGACCCTGCTTCGGAAGAGTCAAAGATGTTGGTTCCTCTCGAACAGCCTATCACTATCGTTGACCGCCGACATCCTCCTGGAGATCCAGCTAAGGGGCCCGAGGATGGCAATGATACCACTGAATCGATCAAGGAAGACATTTCATGGTGGGAGAAGCTAAGGGGCCGACCCATGAGCATCCAGCCCCGGCCGCGCAAAGCCAAGGAAGATGTTCATCATGGACGCAAGACATGGGTCCTTGACAGGGGACAAGGCTCTTCGATCCTTGAAGAGCTATCAGAGCACCCTCAAGTCGAAGGTTCCACCGCAAACACCCAGGCCCTTCCATTCAACGGCCCTCCAGTCGGTATTCCGCATGGCTACATTCCTTCCCCTCCAGTTCCGTCTCGAAACGGGCGCTGGTCGTGGCGGGTTTCTAAATACAAGGAGACCAAGAGAGAAACCAAGAGATTCTCGAATGGACGCCAGGAGAATTCGGATGCTTCTTCTGGTCCATCGTTCCACGACTGTGCATCAACTGGACTTGGCCGGGCCAATTCGACGAGGAGCAATGCCGAAGATTTGGCGAGTATGTATCAGACGGAGTGTCTTGGTTCCATGCCTGGAGCTTTTGAGGGGAGTTCGTGGGCCGGGCGGGCGTGAGTGTTAAACTGTCTCTGTTAGCCTATAACTAATTATTATTACCGAGAGCAATCAAATAATCAATATTCTATTAGCCTATTAGAGCCTAGCTAGTAGCTCTTTTCCCCTCAACATGTAATGTACGTCCACTGGTGGGAAGGCTCGTAGTCGTCAGCATACTCTTCCTCCATCTCCGTCGTCCCCACAGCCTCGATCACGAACGCCTGCTTCTCTCAGGTTTAGAGTCGATCTCAAGTGATAGTTCCCCAGGGTCTAGTCTACAGCTGACTCTACTTAATTAATGTGGAATAAGATATTTTTTAAAGCAAGCCTCGTCAACCCCATCTACATAATGATCGCCGAGTACAGCTTGAGAATCCTCCGTAGTAGTAACATCCATATAACTAGTGTCTTGACTAGCCTATGCGTTGGTTTGGGCAGTTTCCCATCTTAATATTGAGAGCAAAAGTTCTAAATGGATGTAGTTGTGGCGAATGAACGAAACATGTCATTAATCGTACAGTGGTATTCGGCAGAGAGTAATTGAAGAAGGATCAACCAACAGACACTCCCTCTTAAATGAAACAAAGCTTCTTCTTCTTCTTCTTCTTCTTCTTCTTCTTCATAACAGCAGAAGAACCCCTTACCGGCGCTGTCGCTTATTGCTCTTGTCACTGACGCCGCTAAGCACACTAGCAGACCGTTTATGAGCGCCATCAGGATCCATCGCCTGCGTATCCTTGGCCTCATCATCTTGTCCCTTATCCGCATTGCCACCCGTAACACCAGCCCCCGCATCGTCAGTCTCGGTCTTAACCTCTGGGTTTTTAGAATCCGACACAATCCCAGCCGCCTCGTTGGCCTTGCGCTCCCGCTCAGCCTTGGCGGCTTCGAGGACGCGGATCTCGCTTTCCACCTTCTCGGAGACCTTGCGCGCATCGAGCAGCAAATTGACGGAGTGGATGAGCTTCTCGAAATCCCTGCAGACTCGCTCTGTGGGCATCATCAGGCGCACGGGCACCTCCAGCTCTGCCAGCGCGGCGGCCAGCTTTTGCGTTTGCACATTGGACTTGGCCTGCGTGAGTTTCTGGGCGCGGTCGCTGCGGAATTGCACGCCGGCCTGCACGCGTTCGTGGTGCTGCACGCCGTACCGGGCTTCTTCGGCGGGGGTGAGCGTGCGCACGGTAAGTTGCTGTGCTTCGCGGGCGGCTGCGGCTGCGCCCTTCTTGTGTGGGATAGAGGCGGGCGTGACACCGGGTGTCTCGCCGCGACCCTGTGTTGGAGTCTGGCCCGCGGGACTGGGGAGAGCGCCGTCCACGCCCAATAGGGAGCGGCGCTTCTTGCTTTTGTCGGCCTGCAGCAGAGTCTGCAGGAGCTGCGAGAGCCCCGCACTGGACTGATACATGGTGGTGTTGCCGACGCTGATGGGTACCTCGAGACGCGAGTACAGCTCGCGGCGCTCGGTGACGAAGTTCTGTTCGTTCGAGGTGATGCGCTTCAGCTCTTCCAGCAACATGGCTTCCTCGCGCACTTCGTCAGCCGTGCGGTCCAGCTGCAGCGCCGCGAGTTGTTTGCGGTCTCGCTCGCGCTCCGGGTCGAACTTGAGCATCTTCTCGTGCAGCTCGAACTCGAGCTCTGACATCTCGGATGGTGGGTGCTCGAGGGCGAGCATGTGTGCCGCCACCTGGTAGTATCGTGCTTTCATCTGCTCCATGGTCCGGTACTGCTTGGCGGGAACCAGCGCGCTGGCATCCGGTTCCGTGTCCATTGGCGGCTGGTAATCGTAGCGATCTGCAATAATCACCCATCGCAAATCGTATTCGGAAGCCAGTTCCATCAAATAGTCTGTCTCTTCGCGCGTCCAGTCGTCGTGCTTTAGATGTCGGTTGTACTCGTCATCGGTGTATGGACGCGGTAGGCGCGCCTGGACGTTGTACTTGGCGAACGCGTATTCCTGCTCCTGTGGCTTGGGATGTGCTGTCTCCTGGTCGTCTTTCCCTTCTTCTTTGGTCTCGTCAACTTCCATCTGCGATTCTCCGGGTGCTGGTGGTTTTGTCGATTCGTGTTTTCGTTGCCAGTGTTGTAGAACCAGCCCGTCAGACCGCGCACCGTTCGTAAAGGGCGTCATGCGCCTAGAAGGGTCAAGTGTAAGCTGATATTCGATCATCTGAACTCGATCAACCTACCATGGTCGCACTCGGAGCTTGTTCATCCATTTCGGGCGTCCCTTGTACTTGTTCTCGTTGATGGCGATCGGCGGCGCGCGTTCGCCCAGCAGCGCGTACAGTTCACGAGTAATACCCTCTGGACCGGTGTTAACCTCAGTATATTGCAAGATCAAGTCAATACCAACCTGGTCGTTTCTCTACCACCTTTTGCTTCTTATGCGGCCTGGGCTGCCCCTCCGCCGGCAGGTCCAGCATTTCGCGAACATCGGCGGCCGCCATGATGGCGTTTCCGGTGGGAACGAGAACCGCTTCGGGATGCGACAGCAAGCAAAGAAACCAGGGTAGTCCGGTACGGTAAAATGAGATGGACCGAGCGGAGTTGAGCTGATGGACATGTGCAGAATAGTTGATGGCGACGGAAATTGAAGAAGGGATGAACGGGCCGCCCAACACGGTAGGCGGTGGATCAGTAAGCCAGATCATCTTGTTGACAACTTCAGTCCAGGAGAAGAAGAAGAATACATACACACTTCTGCCAATTGCAGCCATGGCTCTCCGGCATCCGTCGTCATGGCTCGCGTCTCTGACGCTCCTCGCTCTGCTCTCTATCCTCGTCCCCGCCAACGCCCTGTACTTCTACATGGACGGGCGGCAATCCAAGTGTTTCTACGAGGACCTGCCCAAGGACACCCTGGTGGCCGGTAAGGAAATCACCACAACCCAACCCAACACCACTCCAGCAGGAAATAAATACTAATTTCATGATCAATTATGTAGGCACCTTTTCAACAGAGGTGATCAATCCGAACACACACCAATACTCCGTGGACGCAAGCATGAAGGTACTCATCACGGTAGTCGAGACCTTCGACAACGACCACATGATAGTCTCAAAGCGTGACGCCCATTCCGGCCGGCTCACCTTCACCGCGGCGGACTCGGGCCAGCACAAGATCTGCTTCACGCCGGAGACGGACGTCGCCACGGGCGGGTGGCTGTCTGGTCCGGCCGGCGCGGTCAAGTTCACGGTCGACCTGGCTATTGGCGAGACGAGCAAGATCGAGACGGAGGATAAGGATAAGATGAAGGATCTGGTGCAGCGGGTGAAGGATTTGAATTCGAGGTTGCATGATATTCGCCGGGAGCAGGTGTATCAGCGGGTGAGTTTGCTTTTGCCTTTCCAGGGGCTGATTGATGTGCTAAACTCCTTTTCCTTTCTCTCTCTAGGAACGTGAGGCCGAATTCCGCGACCAGTCTGAGACAACCAACTCCCGCGTCGTGCGCTGGGCCCTCATCCAAGTAGCCGTCCTCTCTGCCGCGTGCGCATGGCAGCTCTCGCACCTGCGTTCGTTCTTCATCAAGCAGAAACTGACCTGAGGATGGATTGAATACGTTGATATTGATCAGTGCTTGTTACGTTGTGTTTTCTTTTTATTGGCGAATTAAAGACCGAAGGGGAGGTGTATGTGTATGTGTGTCGTCTCTTGTGGGAAGCATCTAGTGATGTATTTGAACAAGAAAAATGGTGTTGTTGAGTGCTTGGGGCTGCATGGTCAAAGCGATGTCGAGTCGAGTTTGATAATGGATTTAATGACAGCTTTTTCCTGCATAGTTCTTCCTGTCTAGCTCTTGTATTGGGTATGCTTCGAGGTAGGCTGTAGGCTTGACTTGGGTTATCAAAAGCTGGACTCAGTTCTGTGACCTAGGAGCTTTGGACAAGTTGAAAAACGAAAATCCAGACAAGGACAACGCATTATCTATTTTTTACTTGCAAAACTCCGATGTAGAACATGTGTCAATCATCATTCATTATGTTCAATAGTAGCAAGGTCAATAAAATGGTATAGAGGTCAATAAAATGCCGCCAAAATGTAGGTATATGGCTGGAAATGAAAGGTGAAAAAAGGAAGGCCGAAAAGAAATTAAACGTTGGAACGCCAGGCTAGCAAGGCTAGTGAATGGATAGATGTTTTCGTTTGATCGAGTGCTTCAATGCCCCCGTAGGAGGATGATGATGCATCGATCGATGGCAGGATAGGGCAGCCCCAGACGGGAAGGACGAAGAGGTCGTTCGTGAAAAATGAGGGGGTATATATGGTGTATGAAGATCATCAAGTGCATAGGTAAGAGGATGAAAGTGGGTGGATGGGTCTGTCTATGCCACAGCTGCCACCACAGGAACGCCGCTGAACTCGATGATCAGGCGTTCTAGGTCGGAGAGTTTGTATGGTTTCGTCATGTACCCTTTGATCCCGACTTTGGAGGCCCGGTTCAATGCTTCGTCGCTGACATCTGCACTGACGGCAAGGACGGTAGGGGGTGGTGGTGGTGTCCGAAGTGTGTCTTCGGTGGTGTCCAACTCCATCGGCTCGAGGTTGTGGGGTGAAGACTGAAGATGTGTTGAGGTGTTTTCGGAATCAAGAGGTACTAGGCCTCGGTGATCGTCGACCATCTGGAGGATGCGAGCAGTGGCTTCGTACCCGTCCATTTCGGGCATCCAAAGATCCATTAAGACGATGTCGATTGGCTTCACTTCTGTGGGGGAGGGTAGTGTGCTGGATGCTTCATGTTGTTGGTCTGCAGAGACAGCATCTGACTGGGCAGCAGAGCTGGACGCTGAGAAAATATCGTGCACGATTTGGACGGCTTCTTTGCCGTCTGCTGCTTCTAGTACGTCACGGTAGCCGAGCTTCCGCAGCATGCTGACCAGCACACGTCTGTTGATTCTGTTGTCTTCAGCAACAAGGAAACGGAGAGGATATTTTTCTCCAAGCTTCTTGTCGTATGCATCCCGTGAGATTGGGGTCCGGCCGCTTCCACTGCGAGAATGTGACGAAGGTCGTGGGGGTGTTGAGCCTTGAGATGCGGTGTCGTCGCTAGTGCTCGGGGTCGGTTGTTGCAGTTGTTGATATTGAGAGAAGAAAGGAGAAAAAGAGGAGGTAGGTTCCAAAATGCAGCTGCTTGCGCTGCCTTGCCGGAAGAAGTCGCTCATAATGGGTGAACTGATCGTCCTCTCAGATGGAGTGCCGGGACGACTGTGAGCTTCACGCTGGTTCACGGGCACGCGGATCTGAAAGTCCGAGCCGTGGTCTGGACCCGAGGTTGACGAGCGCACGCAGACTAGATCACCTCCCATCTTCCGCGACAGACCCTTGGCCACAAGCAGGCCGAGTCCCAGCCCGTCCTTACTTCGCGTAGTCGAGGCATCCTCACGGGCAAAGGGCTTAAAAAGACTCGGCAAGAATGCTGCGGGAATTCCGGGACCGGTGTCTCGGATGAGTATCAAGACATCGTTTGTTCGACGATCGATCGTTGCATATACCGTGATGGTGCCATTGTTGGTGAATTTGATGGCATTCAGGAAAACACACGATATTAGCTTCGCCAGGTCTCGATCATCAGCGAGCAATGTGTCTGGCAGCGCCGGGTCAACAGACCAATCCACGATTTTAGTGAAGATCTCCCCATTTGAAGATCGTGATCGAATCTCGATTCTCTCGCCAAGCTCAGTTGCGTTGCTCACAGCAGAGTCAGGTCGGCCACCGACATGAAGGGACTCGTTGATCACCAAACGGAGAAGATCACGAAGTTTGGTGAAGCGCAGAGCTGAGCCCTTGATATTCACGTTGATTCCTTCCAGCAAGAGATGAGGAGCGGACCGTCGAACCGCGAGGGATGGGCGAGGATCCACCATGTTGGCCATGACGGCTTCGATCTCGCGGGCCGGTGTAGCATGGACGATCTGATCGCTTTCGTGAACGGCGTTTTTAACTTCTTCACTCCGAGGTGAGAGCTCTGGTCGTGAAATTGAACGGATCCTCTGTTTTCGTGGTGGTCCGGAACTGACATCCAGTGGTTGACTTCGGCGTCGCTTGTATGGATTCACTGCAATATTGTCTCCTGTGATGAAGACGCTTGGCCGGGTCTCGGGAATATCTGTTGGCGTGGCTGATTCTTCCAAGAACTCGCTTTCATGTTCCCGCATGGGCGTTTTGGGGACCTGCATATTGAGATCGTAGGCATGAACGACGTTATCAGCGGCTTCCACTGCACGGCGTGCGCTATCTATAAACACAATCTTAATACTTTAAGCCGGACTTCAATGGCAAAATCACAACGAACCTTGAACCATTTCAATGCCCTCCTTCAGGGTCTGAAAGATCCCACCCGATTTCACCGGGGCCGGGCTCTCCATGGCCTCTCGAACGGTAGCGTGCATCACATCGAGCATACCCACTACCCCCTGCATCGGGGTCCGGAGTTCATGAGACAAGCTTCGTGCATATGGTTTCAGCGGCTGTGCAGTGAACTCGGAGGCCTCATGAAGGGGAACATCTTGTGGATCCTGAACAGTCGACAGGATTGTGGTTGAGGGGTCTGAGATCTCATGTTGCGAGACAGCCTCTCCCGGTAGAAGTCGCTGAACGATCAGGTCCTCGAGCGAGTGCAGGATCATCTGCAAAAAGGACCAAGACAGGTTACGGCTCCGAAGGCCGTCCTTTGTCCACATCAGACCCAGATGCGCCAGGCACTTGCCAGCCGAGAAGAGCGGAATTGCCAAGTATGCTTCGGCAGCAAAGGGCAATTGATCGTCTCCAAAGGAAACCAGCGAGCTCAAATTGTCTGGAATCAAGCAGGGCCGCTCGTGGTCCATATGCAGCAACGGGTTCCCGCCCGCAAAGTATCGGTTGCGCTGCAATCCAACAGTGTCATAGCCGTCATTATAGTAAAACGCCGCACCAAACAGCGAGGGCCGCCGCCCCTGCAGTTCGGCCATGGGCTCACCACCGTGCACTCGCCTCGCCACAAACCCATACTGGGCCTTGCTGATCGATGTGAGATCCTCCATGAGCCGTTTCCAGAACAGCTCCGTGTCCGACGTTCTTAGCCCCTGTTTCAGCGCCACCAGCTGCTCAATGGCGGTCGTCTGAGCACCGTCATTCCAGCGCCTCAACGCATCGAGCGGGGCATCGTCGACGTCGTCTTCGTGTACGGTTCGGCCGTCAGCGGGGATGCATTCGGTCTTGCAGGATGGAAACGACCTGGCGGGCCGTGGGTGCACCGGACTGGAGACATCGGGCTCGGGGGAGTCGGGCATGATCCATGTAGATAGGCGCGGCCTCGGCAGCGATCTCTGAATTATCGAGGCAACAGGCAAACCATGCTTCCCTGTGCGTGTTGGTTAAGGTCGGGGTAGGTCTGAGGAGGACAGTGGGTGTGAGGAGGGCAGTGGGTGTGAGACAGAGTCAACAACGATCGAAGGCTGAGAAACGAGGAGGGGCAGGGGATTTTCCCGATCGGGGCGGTCTAGACTCGACTGAAACAGGAGATCGTGGGTCAGGCCAGGCACCGAGCCGAGAGTAGCAGTTAGTGGGTAGAGGAGGATACTCTCGAAGTATAGAGAATATGGAGAATATTGAGACAAAGGGTTTTGTTTTTCTTCCTTGTTATTCGGGAGAAAAGAAGAGACAAATGTGCGATCGAGGATGCGGAGGTGTAGCACGATCGGCGCATCTAGACCGACCGGGGGGCAAGTACCGGTACCTAGACTGCCACCCATTGTGAGTGTGGGATGATGTATCGGCTACGCCCAACATATCATCTGCACCAGGAGTGCAGGTTATAGTGGGCCAAGGGGCCATATTTATCGGTCCGTTCATATTTCGACCAATTGTCACACAACTGGCTGGTCATATTCATCACTTCGGGTCAGCGCAGGGAAGGTGGAAGTGCAACTACATTCGATATATATATTAGACTGGCTACATTGGGTGCATCAACTCAACAACAGCATAGCTAAAGATGGAAAGACAGTCTAGCACGATACAAATTCTCTATGGGACCTATGAGCTCTGCTACACTGTAGATATACACCGGAATCTGCACAACTATAATAGGCGGTGCGCAGAACAATCAAGCATGTGCCCCCGATGGCCCTCGGCACGAACTATAAACTCAATCCTCGACTCCACCACCACCCCTACGTAGTGGAGCGGGTATATTATTGCACTGTGGCAGAAGAGATGGTTGCCCGACTGCAGGAACTACTCTATCCCATCTAGACACGTACAACACAAAAAAATGACTCCAACACCCTTCAAAATCTCCATCCCAGACTCCCAACTCCAAGCCCTCCACCAAAAACTCTCACACGTCCACTTCCCCAACGAACTCGACAATGCCTCCTGGGATATGGGCGTACCGCTGTCCGAGATCCAGCGCCTGGTGACAGTGTGGCGTGAGCAATTCGACTGGCGGGCCCAGGAGCAGAAACTCAATGCGCAGCTGAATCAGTTTCGAGTGCCTGTTCCTGTCGCCGGATTCGGGGAGCTGGATGTTCATGTTGTGCATCATCGGAGTGGGAATCCGTATGCGGTCCCGTTGCTGTTTATTCATGGGTGTATGTACTGTAACTCTCGGATCTGATAACTAACTATATAATGCACCAAGATGGATAGCTGATGGATTGCTGGTTAGGGCCCGGTAGTTTCCTCGAAGCTACGAAGCTGCTCCCGCTGCTCACGAAAGACGACGGCAGTGGGCCAGTTTTTGATGTCGTGGTGCCTTCGCTGCCTAATTTCGGATTCTCGCAAGGTGTTCAGCAGGTGAGTATAGTATCAATCCCTCTCATCTCGTTTCCTCTGATGACAAAATCAGAGAGGATTCGGGCTGGCCCAATACGCCGAAGCCATGCACGGGGTGATGACAGCTCTAGGCTACGAAGAATACAGTAAGTCTTCTTCTTTTTGACTAGAGAACAGCTACTAACCGCCCCAAAACAGCAATCCAAGGCGGCGACTGGGGCAGCATGATTGCGCGAGCCATGGCGCAGCTCTACGCACCACACATCCAAGCCATCCACCTCAACTTCGTGCCAGTGGCACCGCCCTACCCCTGGCGAAGCCCACTGCTCTTCATGCAGTTCCTGCTCTCAGTCCCATTCTCCGCAAAGGACCGCGGGTTCCTCGCGCGGACAATGCGATACGCAACCAAGGGCAATGGATACATGCGCCAGCAAGAAACCCGGCCGCAGACGCTGGGGTACGGGCTGCACGATAGTCCCGTGGCGCTGCTGGCGTGGATATATGATAAGATGCATTCCTGGTCGGATGCGTATCCCTGGACGGACGAGGAGATCTTGACTTGGGTGAGCGTGTATTATTTCTCGACGGCGGGACCGACGGCCTCGACGAGGATTTATTATGAGGCTTCGGCGCCGAGACTTGAGGCAGGTGTTGAGTCTGGCTCTGACGGCAAGCAGAAGCAAGATGAGCCCTCTGTCAGGAACTACATCTCGTTGGCAGATATCATGACCGCTTGTGCGCCCCGGCAGGTCCGGTTCGCAGTCACCCGGTTCAAGGAGGAGCTGATCCTCCTGCCGTGGACGTGGTCCCGGCAGATTGGGAATGTAGTCCGGGAGACGGAGTATGGGCGCGGCGGACATTTTGCTGCGTGGGAAGTACCGCAGTTGCTGGCGGCGGATCTGAAGGCGTTTCTGGGCAGGGAAGGGCAGGCCTACGGGGCTGTGACGGGGCGGGATGGTTACGCGGGTGAGGAGTCTTGATAAAAGAAATCATTTGATGAGACCAGAGGCTTGTATGGTCGTTATAGGAAGGAAAAAATCAAACTCCAGTCCATCTTCCCAGTCCGGTAGACCGTTTTCTCCCGTGTCACGGCCAGGCGAGGATGGCCGCTCCATCCATCATCACCACCACCAGCTCGAGCCTTTCTCTCTCTAATCTTGTCTCCCCTTCAATAACCGCTTGGTCACCTTGTCCTTCTCTATAATATAGACCTGGGCACCCCAGCCAGAGAGGGCGTCACGGTCGACGGCGCTCAGCAGTGCTTGCGAGATGGTTTCGAAGAGGTCATCGGGCGACTGCACATCAATCAGCATGATAGCTAGTAATAGAAGGGGAGGAAACGTACCAGATCCGGCTCCCACAGACCCTCACAAGTACCGAACAACTGATCGCTTGCCGTCCCGCTGACAATGAAATCCTTGGCAAAGTCAATGCACCCGATACTGTCGAAGCCACAGATAAACGGCTTCCCCGTTGTGTGGTTGATTCCCGCCAGCACGGGGCTGACGAAATACGGACCAAAGCGCTTCTCGTACAGCGACGAGCTGACCAAGTTGGCCAGGGTCTGGGGCGAGATGTTGCGCTCCTCGCGCAGGCGGTACATGTTGACCTTGTAGCGGAAGAGGTCCGAGACGGTATGCACGTCGGTGGCCAGGCCGGTCAGGCTTAGGTAGGTCGAGGGGGCGTAGTTGAAGATCTTGGGGAAATTGTTCGACACTGTCAGGGCTTGCATGCCCAGGCGCAGGTCGCAGGCGATGGCAACGCAGTCCTTGCCCACCATGGCGACGGAGGCACCGCCATCTAATCCAGAGGTTAGTTTGGTTGGTTTGATGATGAGAAGCCGGGGGAAGAAAGGTCTGGCATACTGATGTCGAAGGGAGAGCCCTGATGACGGGAGGTTGTGGTCAGCGCGTGTTCCCTGTGATCGGGGGGGATGGAGCATCCATACCATGATTGTGATTTATTTTGTAGATTCAATCCAGCTGGGAAGGAATATCTGCAGCTATTCCAGGCAAGAAAACAGACAAATGGGAGTCGGAGGGAGGTTGGTTGGGGGTTGGAGGGAGGATGGAGGATGGAGAAGATGGCGGAAAGACAGAGACAAGCTGGAGCTCGGATGGGGATGACGCCCGCACCGCTGCCTACTGGATCTGCCACACCTTCTACTTCCTCCCACCACCACCACCACACGGCATCATCGCGCATCGTTGATCTCTCAGGTTGTACTACAAATCATACGCTCTTTGTTCTATTCTTCACGAAAAAGGCCCACTGTCCCACGATGAGCGCCCACGTCGTGGTGATCGATGCCACGGCCAGGCGGGCGACCATCAAGACCAATCCGGCCAAACACCTGTCAGACATCCTGCAGGAGGCATGCTCCAGGCTGGGATATAACGCGAACCAGTATGGCCTCAAGTGAGTGTCCCTGTCCTTTGGCAATAGATATGTCACTGACCGGGATCCTTTGTTCACGGCAGGCATAACCGTAAACAGCTCGACCTATCACTCTCGTTTCGCCTCTCGGGCCTGAGCTCAGGTGCAAAGCTCGAGCTGGTTCAGCTCTCCCGATCACCTTCGGTGGTCACTGTGGCCCTCCAACTCCCCGAGTCGGAGGCGCGCGGGGCTCCCAACAGCCGCATCCTCGACAAGTTCCCTAGCACAACCACCCTTTGGCTCGTCCTGCGCAAGTTCGAAGCAGGAGTGGCAGGGAGTGGGCCAGCACGGAACCTCACTGCTCGTGGGGTGCCGGCAACTGGTGGTGGGACCGAAACCGGCTCGGGGCGTTTGTTCTATGAGATTCCTGTTCTCCAGATCTTGGAACGCGAGCTATCCAGCTTTACCGATCTTCAGAAATCTCTGGCCCAGCTAGGCTTTAATAATGGCAATGTTCTTATGCGACTCAGCTTCCGGCGAACGGAGGAGCCTCTCGAAGAAGCGATGGTGAAGATTGGCGAGTACTTCAAGGGATTCGAGGATGCTGCGCCTGCCCCAACACAACAGCCGGTGCCTGCTACATCGGCCCAGGAACCCATCGAGATAGCTGTGCAACAGCCTCCCACTGCACAACCAGACCCTTCCCATCTGCCTCCGACTGCAGAGGAGGGGACTGTCCCTCCCGCCGAGGCATCTACTGCTACCACCTCAACGGCTACACGCTCCATCACCGTCTTCTCTCCCCCCACCACAGGCACCCCCTCTTCAGCCCAAATACCCTACAACGAAAACGACTACGTCCCCTCCATCGAACACGCCAAATCTCATCAGCGACTGCTGAGCCAGTCATCCCGCCCGCAGCGCCTCCCAACCGACGCCGAGATCGCCGCCAAGGCCTCAGCCGAGGAGAAAAGACTCTCCAGCATCCGCGAGGTCGACGTGAAAGTGCGGTTCCCAGATCAGAGCCAGATCGTCGCCAAGTTCGGACCCAGCGACACAGGCTCATCGCTGTACGACTTTGTGCGAAGCTGTCTCGCACCCACCTTCGCCAGCGAGAAGTTTCTCCTCAGCATTTTTCTCAACCCTGGCGCATCCCGCGCCTCAAACAAGGCTATCTCCGACTCCAGCCAGGTCCTCCTCATCAAAGACCTGGGTCTTGCCGGTCGTGTGCTGGTCAACTTCTCCTGGACTGATAGCGCGGCGTCATTTGTTCACCAGCGCCGAGACGACCTCTTACGTCCTGAGCTGCGCAGCCAGGCGCGCGAGCTGAAAGTTGAGCAGCCGCCAGATGTCGTGGATGAGCCTTCGTCCTCTGCTGCGCAGGAATCGGCTCCGTCTAGTTCTCACGATGGCAGTAAGCCTGGTGGTGCGCGCAAGACCGGAGGCGTGCCAAAGTGGCTGAAGCTGCCGGGGAAGAAATGAGGATGCCTCCTTCGATAGACAAAGGTCACACCACACCTTCTCCGCGGCGCGTGGCTGCAGAGAATCTTATTCTATCAATACCAACGGACAAGATCCCTTCCTCTACCAAACTCAACCTTATGCTATGGAGGAGGATTATGACTTGACTCCGTTTCACCTTGCATTCGAGGACGTGCATTGCCATGTAGACCTGAACTTGCTTGCTTGTTAAGATAAGATAAATACATTTGTGAGATTAGACGTTGATGCTGGTGTCGTGTACCTGTCTTGTCGTTGGAGACATGGTAAGTTAGCTAGCTAGGGCTACAGCAATAAGAGAGAATATCGCAGGCCTACAAAAAAGTACGAAAATGCGACCTCGACATATGAAATCAAGTAACGGATATGTTTTTTCATTATGAGTTCACCTTCTTCAAAACAACAGCAGGGAATCCCATTTTTGCCATCCTCATCAACGAACAGTCACAACCATACACCCTCCTCATTTCCGACCATAAGCCAGCCATACACAGATATAGCACGCAGGTAGCGTCAAAAAGTATCCATCCAGGCTTCAGCTTGGTGTAAATTTTTCTTTTGTTCCATTCGTACCCGCTGGCGTGATGTGCGCCAGGGGATTGAGTTTCAAGTCGTCACAAATGAAAGAAAAGCGCTCGAGACCGGTTCGGAAAGGAATCTAGTGGGCGCCACCCTGGACACGGCGGGCCTCGGCGATGACGCGCTGCATGTCCTCGACCTTCCGCTTGCCGCGGGTGAAGGTGCCGAGCTGGAGTTGGTGTTAGCTTTTGGTTCGGGTAATTTTGCTTGTTGGTACAGTTGGGGATGGGATGTAGGTTGGTGGGTAGTTCAAAAAGATAGATGCTGGACTGCGGTGTAATGCCAGATAAGAGAGAATAGTATCCGTTGACGAGGATATTGTCACCTCTATCGAGCATGTACACCCAGCGAGAAATCCAGACCACTTGAACCACACCCAACCCACCCACCCAACCGCATCAAACGAGCAGAGACAGCAAGTGAAATGATAGAACGTACCCTCTTCTTAGCGAGCTTACGGGCACGCTTGTCCTGAGCGTTGCGCAGCAGTTCAATGACGCGGCGCTCGTAGGGAGCAAGACCGACGACCTCGCGGGCGATGTCGCGAACGAAGGCACCACGGCGGGAAGACTGGCCCTTGGTGCGGCTGATCTTGTTCTTGGGGGTGTTGAGGGGGGTGGTTTTCTATTGGCAGAAGGAATATGTTAGCCGGGTGGATTCCATTGAATCAGGAGTTACTGGCGGTGGTTCCGGTTCCGGTTCTGGATTCTCTTCTTGTTCGATCGGTGTTGTTGGTCAAGTCAAGTCGTGTGTTGAGGTTAAGTCGAGTGAGTGTGGCCTTGGGATTTTGTTGTAGAAGTTTTGTCCATGTCCCAGTCCAAGTATCCTTCACCTTCCCATTCTTTCTTTCCGCCACACACAAAATACCATCTCTTCCATCGTGATTCAACAATTCACTGTGGAAAATCCGTTCCCAAATCCCCATGAACCACTCGACTCGACCTGAGAGCGACTGACCGATCGACAAGAAGAGACCAGACCCGACTGGACCAGCAGGAAAAAAGAGAGAGAGAGGTCAACGTACCCGGCCGCTGTTAACGCCGACCACGATTCCGGAGCGTTCCTGCGCCATCTCGACGGTTGATGACTGAGGGTGTCGTGGGTGGTTGTCGAAGAGGAAGAAAAACTGAAAGGGCAACCGAGTGACTTATCCACATTTCTTGGCGTTTGGTTGTGCGTAGGCGAGTGCTCAGGGCTAGGGCTGGTCGCGTGACTGATTATGTGATAGCATATCACGTGATACCGAGCAACCCTAAAGGCATCAAAAGAGTTGTTATCATGGCTTCGTTGTATTGGGTCTATGGCATATAGATACTCGGAATAGGTATTGGGTCTGGTAAGAATCACAGCTTTACCATCATCACCCCGTCCAGCGCATCCTCCCAGCTCTCCATCAATGCACCACAGAATAGCTCGAGAGCCGGCACATCCATCGTCTTGTCCAGCAGAGCACGGAGATCCTTCCCGTATCGCTGAGACGAGTCACCCTCCATGACAAGCCCGACCAATACACTCAGAAGTCCTGAGGCAGAAACGCGCATCTTCAGCACTCGCGTGTTGGAGCGGACGCTCTCAAACACTTCTGAGGCAAGAGTAGACAACCGTTCGACTCGCTCCTTGGGGAGTTTGGCGGTCTTCAGTGCCTTCCGAGAAGCCAAGGCCACCAGCTGCGACAAAGCCTTCACTGTTTCGAGAAGATGGAATACGACATGGAGGTATTCCCAGGTCGGCGCTGCAGGGGTACTTGTTTCGACAGCAATGGTTGTGCGAGCAAGCATTGGCGACACCTTGGCCTCGTTGGGAGTCAAGTCCTTTTTCTTGGAATTCAGCCACTCCTCCACCCGACCAAGAGCTCCGTCTGCTTGTTCTGCAGTCAGTGATTTAGACCCAGCCATGAAAGCGGCCACCTGGAGTAATTCCGAATGAATCTCGGCGTTTTCTTTCTCTGTACTCGTTTGTTCGGGCTTGGCATCAGAAAGGGACAAGTCCTTGAATGAGAGCAGATCATCATCGGCAGGTAGAGGCTTTTGAATGGAGATACCCTTCAGGACGCTGAAAAGTCGGTCGGTGACTTGAGTAGATGTCAACCAATCTCCCTAAAGTTCGGTTTATTAGCACATTCGAACTGGAGCCATGGAATGACACCAACTTACACCAGGCAGAGGGCCTAAGCGCATTCGCTCCTCGAAGGTGGGCTTGCCCGGGGCTTCACAATTCATGAAGGCATCAAACTTGCGCTGGTCGAGCACCGGTGAACTGTCCTTGGCTGTATATCGGTCAGCAATGCTCACAAAAAAAATATAAGAGACCAACCAAGATCATCGTAACGGGACATGGGATCTCCCCCAACCAGTCGCTGCATGCGTCGCACATCTAGAGCATACATTCGGCGGCAGACACTGTCTCTCAGGCGTCGCTGAAGTTCAATAGTGTCTTCCGTATTCACATAGCTGCCGTATTCCAAGCCATTCTTTCGGTATTTCATCGTCGTGACGGCCGTGTTACGGTAGAAATTGAGAGCCTGCACAAATGCTGACTGCGGATCAAAGTCCTTGAACTCTGCTCCCTCCTGTGGCGGCGCAGAATGCGGGTGAATGGTAGCAAGACGAGTGAACAAGTTATGAGCTACAGTCTCAAACTGGACTTGCTTGACGGACAGCTTGCTGAACGTCTTCAGGGCGAGCGATCCCGCACCGAGAGTGAGATAAATCCGCACCAGTAGCAGGAGCGCCTGATAGTTGTGAGGCGAGTTGTCAAGAAGGCGTTCCAGGATGCTAGCCGCGCGGATGAGTGCGGTGTTTGAGATCTGAGTTTGTGCCGAGGGTCCGCCGTAAAGCAAACTCATAGCAGCGAGGATACCCAGATCGTCACGGGGCTGGCTTTCAACTGTGGTGGGTGCCGAGCCAGCCTCCGTCTTGGTCATTTCTTCCGATTTCCCTGAATTGGAGACCGTCTCATATAGCTCCAAACAGCGGACAACAAATTCTTCGATTAGCTCCTTCGATACGCCGCTCTCATTTCCTGAGATGTTGAAGCAGTATTCAAGTTTGAGGGCATTGATTTTATGAACGTGATTCGTCTGGTTGAATCGTGAGTTCAAATATCCATGGTGCAAATATAGAGTTCGATGACTTACATTCTCGTCATTGTCCTTACTGTTCAGAGCATATTCCACCATCTTCGATGCCACCGTTTGGTTGACAGAACTCAAAAATCCCCGAAGGTCGCCAAAGACGTAGAGTTTGTGTTTGTGACCGTCAAAGTATGCCTGACAAGCAGACAGCATGTCTTCTGGCTTCATATCGCCGACATCAATTCTCCCCTGGATGAGTTCCAAGCGAACGAGTTGGCCGTTGCGGGACTTGGGGTTGAGCTGGATAAAGTCTTCAACAAACTTGAGGGACTCGGCAGCAAGCCTAGATTATTGTCAAATGTGATCCACAAAATCTTTCTTGGATTCGCGGGCTTACCCTGGGGTTTTGCTGCTACGCACTGCTTGGATCAACACTTCCCAGACCTGCCAATCATCGTGCTTCTGAAGATATTGCTCTGTGTCCACGGGCTCGGGGGCAGTAAGGAGGGTTTTGATGTAGGCAAATGCGTCGTCCCACAGTTTGGCCGCTGCCAAGTTGCTGATCTTGGAAACGACGAAGGTCCAGTCATTTTGAACAATGCGGGATGAAATGCCGACGTTGTCACTGTCCAGAAGTTTCAGAAGCTCAGAATGAAGACCCTGCGATTCGAAAATTTTAACGAGCAAGAGCATCTCCTCCGCTGTTTTAATCGATTTGGGCAAGCTCGATACGTCAACCTATATCCATTCAATCAGTTCCTTATCCCATAGTCTCGTTTTGAGAGCTGAAAGACGGTTTACCGGCTCGACAGGACTATCGGCAGCAGCCTTTGAGATCATGCGGTAGGCCAGGGTTCCGAAGAGCTTGCGGTCCGCATCCGAGCTCGCAGAATCATTTGCAACCAGGTGGCACAGGAAGATGGCCCAGAAATAAAATTTCCGATCCCTAGGAAAGTTCTTCTGAAGACTCATGGCAGCCTTTCAAGAGAGGATTGTCAGCCATCGACTCTTCACTCCTGCACCATGTCTCCTGCTTTTCCTCACCTTCTGCGCCGACTTCCAGTCGTCACCCTCATAGGAATAGTTAAACCACCTTGTTTGGATCTCCAACCCTTGCGGTTGCGCCTTCGCCGCCTTCTCCCACAGGTTGCTCCTTGTCTGTGCTTGACCGTCCATCTTCTGCAGCGTCCGATGGAGCATGTCCAGGGTATCCAGGTCGGTGGTGGGAGGTTCTGCATTGCACAACTCGAGAGTCTCGGCGATCCCACGCTTGTGGTGGGCTTCATCCGCATGACTAAAAAGGACATGTGCTTTCCATGCCTTTGTATAAGAACGTGGTCAGTCAGAGTCAAGTCACGCGCGCCTAGATGGCAATTGGGGAGAGCTCACCCGGAGGAATCGCGTATCCTCGCCCTTCTTCATGCGTTTCTCAATCAGCTGCAGCGCCTGCTTCAGATTCTGGCCGTCAATGGCATCCTGAATCTGGTTGTTGCGGCGGTGAAACACCGCATCATTAGCCGGCGCCATGGCGGGTGTGCTTGACCAGAGCTTCGTTTGCTGTTCACCCCACTAGACCTGGGGTCAACCTGAGGATGAAACCTTCCACTGGGCCACGCACAGCACACAGAGAGGAGAATGCTTTGGTGGGGGATTGTTCTCGGAGCTCTTTTTATTTGGCGGGGATTCGGAGGGAACGGGAAGGCGGTGGAGTGGGCGGTGATATCCTGCAGGCAGTTGTTGTTTTAGTTACTAGGAGCCAGAATGAAAAAGTGCATCATCATATCAAATTCTACTGAAGCTGGTCTTAATATCACGGGCTGGATATACGGATATCAAGAAGAAGGGTAAAATGCGAAGAAAATCAGAGAGATAGTATACATGTTTCAACGCAGTGGCCTCGGGATATTTCGTACATGCCAAAAAAAAAAAACACAAGCTGCAGGAAACAAAAAGAGAAGCCCAAATCATGGCAGTATGTTTGAGTGGCACAAACGGCATATCTTGCCTGACAGCCTCAGCTCGGTACCCAACACAGTCCATGTGCTTCTCCGAGATCAGCCACAAATTGGAAGTGTTGAATGTAGTGGTCATTATTGTAGTCGATTTTGAGGTCTCGTCGTTGGGTAATGTACATCGTTAACCATGGCGTACAGAGAAATATCCACCTCAACTGCTCGAGATGACTTGAGCCTTGATACCACAAGCCACAAGTCCCTTTACTGGGATCGGGGAGCAGTCTTCTTCTGCGCCAACTAAGAACATACATGTCAGCAGCACGCCCGGAAATATCAAGGATGCACATCTGTTAGAAAAGAGAAAGTAACTTTGACTTACCCAGTTTTTCTTGCAATCACGATATGCCCTGGGAATAGCTCTGGTCAGCCAGTGGATCGACAAACAACCAACGCAAACGGCACGAAGGCCAATAATGAGCCGCAGCATGCAAGCCCAAGAGCATGAGATCAACCAGGATAGGTAACATACTGGAAGTAGTCATGGCACATTTCTCGATCGAAGCCATTGCGTTTCATACACTTGAGACTTCGATCAGCGAAGTCTTGACATGGGTCGAAATATTCGCTGGCCGTTTTGCTGGTCTATCATCAGCAAGACTCAAGAAGAAAGAAAGAAGAAAGAAAATAAATGTGCTTGTTTTCTCCATCGTTGTATGAGCCGAGTAAACACACACGGCTCAATATAGCCGGTGCTAGTCGCAGCCACAGAAAACGACAACAGGGGCAAGGGTATGGGCACCAGCAGTCCCAAAGCAGTAACAGAGCACACGCAGACACAGAAACATAACAACAACCACAAAAATATGACAAGTAAGCGGGACTGGGAACCATCTTACTGGGCGAATTTCTTCTCTGCCTTCTTCCACGCCTTGTCGTGTTGGTCGTCCGGGGCTGACTCGGCCGCCATGGCTGCGACGTGCCCGGAGGATGGGATGAATGCGTTCGCCCGGGAAATCGGAATGAGCCGAGTATAACGATCGAACAAAAAGAAAACTGCCGAGCTGCTGGGGCTGGCTGGGAAGGGAAAGGGCTCGGGTGTGGGGATGGAAAAGAGCAGAAAGTCAAGGTTGGTCCGAGTTGAGGATCCGCGGGCTTGGCGCGGTGATCCACCGCTATAGATCGGAATGGATTACTTCGAGTCACAACAGGTAGTTGACTCTATTCTACGGTATCGACGATAGTCGAGGGTTTGTTGGGGTGCTTCTATTATTCCTTCTATTCATTAATACTGTTGCAAAGATACCCTCACTCTGAATAGCCCGAGTGGAAAGCCTCGGCATCTTTCCAAAGGACCAGTCACCCGTCTCTCCATCTTGGAAACAATCAAGCCCTTGAATGCACGCTTCACATTCAGCACTGCAGATAAGCGAGCCATAAACCCCCCTAGAATATTGCCACGGTGACAGCCTCCAACGGCCATAATCCGAACTATACCGGTCCATAACGACCCTTACCCGGCGCTTATTGCCACCAACACCAATTTGGCTTTGATTTCCTTCAGCCCTCACGGTCTCGCCCCTCTTTCCACCTTCCTCTCGTCATTATTTCCGATCAATGCGGCTCCTTTTACCCTAAATAACAATACCCCCACTCGGCTACCTGGCTCGATCCTGGAGCAGAGTCCAGGCGGTCTTTCCGACGCCATAGCCCTCGTCCGGCACTGGCGGAGCACATCACATGGCCATGGCCCGGCAACACAAACACAAACAGCTCATCACACAGCGAATATTGTGTGGTGGGGGAAGAAGTAGTGACACATCGATGAAGAGTCCGAAAGTTCTCGACAACGCCACTCGGCCTTCTCTTGGACGTGGGTTTCGTGCCGAACTGACCCGGCTCCTTTCAATCTCCCCCAAAAATCTAAAAATAAAATAGACTCGAGATCGGGAATCACAATATAATGTGTCATGCCCTAATTCGGAAACCGCGTTATTCTTTGCTCCATCCCATGGGCTCGGCGGGTCGCCGACACAAGCAACGACTAGGAAACTGTGATCTGCGCAGGCGACCATGGCGTTGAAGGATCCATGGCTGCGGCTGGAGCATTTATCCTTCATGCGAGATCCAAATTTAAATTAGCAACAGCTTCCCAACTTTCGATAGCCGACTGCACAGCACACCGAGGGCGTTGTCAGGAGTTGTTCGATGGCGACCAAGGCTATTGCAGTGACGAGCCAGGGAAAGCGAGGCCGCTTATCCCGCCGGTCGATTTTAAGGTTTGGCATGAAGAACCGAGAAAGGTGTCGCGTACGGAACAGAGACGAGACTCATGTGGTCACACATGGTGGATGGCATGGTGTTGATTGTTGAGAACAGGACGGTGAAGGATTGGCTGGGAGGAGGATCTGAAGTATAAAGTCGCTGCCTTCATCCGTTGTTCCTCAGATTTGACGTTTCATTCCCAATCATCACATTGTATTCGCACAAGAGCATAGACTTGCCTCCCTTTTGCTTCCCAGTTCCAAAGATGTCGGCCGTACAAACGTTGACCGCCGCCGCACTGCCCTCGCTAGCATGCCTCCAACTGGGCAAACGGCCGATTTTAGTTGGGGACGAGGATTCCTTTCTATCCACGAAGAAGGCCTGGACAGCTAAAGAATGCGTCGCCTTCGATCCGGCTAGGCATATTGAGCACACTCCTCCATCAAAGGTGTACTCCATGTCGGAACTGGGCTACTCAAATAGCAAAGGTGTCTCTCCGATTGGCGTCTCAGAACCTTTCCCACTGTTCTCTGCAGAAGCCATTTGGCAAATGAGAGCGGAGGTGCTGAGTTCTGAGGTGCGGGAGAAATATGAATACTCCAGTGAGCTAGCTCAAAGCCAATTGCGAGGCTATGCAGCAGAGTGAGTCCGTCATCGATGGAGCCGCTCCAAAAGGTTGACTTGATTTCCAGATGTGCGCCTTTCGTCTATGAAGCGTGGAAAAACCCTGAGACTCTCGCGATAGTGTCGAAGATTGCTGGCGTAGACCTCGTTCCTGTAATGGATCTGGAGATTGGACATACCAACCTCTCTATGAGTAGCGAGGAGACGAGATCCAAGGAGCTTGTTGCTGCGGTCGAGAAGAAAGAGAAGAAAAAGTGGGAAGCCAAGGACAATCCACAAGAAGATGAAAGCCCTATTGTGGACTGGCACACGGATAGTTATCCTTTCGTCTGCGTGACTATGCTCTCGGACTGCACAGATATGGTTGGCGGGGAAACTGCTCTTCGCAAAGGAAACGGCGAGGTGGTGAAAGTTCGTGGGCCACAAACGGTATGCTAATATGTAAGGATTTTGGAATGTCCTTTTACTTAAAATCTTGCGCACAGGGGTGGGCCGTCATCCTTCAGGGCCGGTATATCGAGCATCAAGCGCTTCGGGCTTTGGGCATAACTGAGCGTATTTCGATGGTGACATCCTTCCGTCCGCGATCGTCAGCCATCCAAGACGACACCGTTCTCACCACCGTGCGTCCAGTCTCGGATCTGGGTGAACTATATTATCAATTCGCAGAGTATCGATTCGAGATGCTTCGGAACCGCCTCCAGGATGCCAATAATTTCATGCGAGACCAGAAGCAGGCTCAACGACGATTCGATACATCCAATCTCAAGCAGTTTATCCGGGCACAAATCGATTTTCTAGAGCATATGGACAGGGAGATCGTTGAAGACGATAAGGTTCAGAAAGGCGTGGTCGACGACAGTCACTTGGTCTCCGAGGACCTGAAACAGAAACGGTCCCAGAGACATGTCCGAGTCGCTGTTGCAGAGTAAACGCTACGCATACACCGGACGCTGTATTGGCGACAGAAAGCAATGTTACTTTCTTCTTGGGAAGGCTGCATCTCTGTAAACTTGGATTTTTGAACGTGGCGCTTCTGGTAATAAATAAATAATTGGTGCTTTTTGGTCGCAGTGAAAGGAGAAAGAATCGTATATGGTTTTTTTTAAACCATCGATATAGAGCGCGATAGGTCGCAAGGTTGTCGCTGGGTCAAAGTCAAGCTTGACAGAGAGTCTGCTAAAGTGTTTTAGTCACTACTGCTTAGGAGGGTTTTCGCGTTGGATGCTGCTGAGGCATAGTGCGACGGGTCAACAGTGAAAACACTCTATGATTAGACAAGACGATTCGATAAAGAACAGTTTCATAGCATTGCATAGCGCGTAGAAAAGTCAGACTGTCAGATATAGCTCCTTGAAAGAGCGGCAGAATGGTCGCAGGTTGCTTTTGGGTTATTGAAAAGCCTTGTCATAGTAGCCCCGGGGACCTTTGGCCTGGGCTGGAAGAGCATGATGCATCAATAGCATGGCCATGTGCAGAGAGTCGGGCAGACGAGAGGAGAATGAGAGGAAGATAAAGATGTTGGAACCCTGGTCAGGCACGGATGACACAACATGTGATGCCTGAGGCATCCAGCAAAACATCGCCAGCACTGGTTTTGCGCTGGGCTTCGGCCCTGTGAAACTGCAACGTCCACCGAGAGTTCTGCCGCCCGGTCTCTTTCCTATCTCTCTTGCTGCTTGCTGACTCGGATCACCCTCTTCCCTCTTCCGCCTCAACCTGCCCCCTCCCTCGCCACTCCTCCATCTTTCCTTCTTCCGACCTCACCTCATCCGCGACGACCACCCCCACTTCCTTAGCGCCTTCATTGCCAACGTCGCAGCGCGTCTCGGTCGATGCTTGACTTGCCCCGCCAGTGACTGCAGGTCTCGATAGACTTTGAACAGTAATCATGGCGGGCAGTGGCTCTGAGCTTGAGGCTTCGGGGGTAAGATTACTTCCTTTGCGTGGCAAGGTATGCGAACTGACGCGTTTGATCCAGCTCGCCACCACTCTACAAGGGCATGTGGACGATATTCGCGCCCTGATCCAGTGTGGGATTTGCATCCGGCCTCTCTACGAACCGTTTACCCTTGCCTGCGGACACACTTTTTGCTACACCGTGCGTATCTTGCCTTCCGGACGCAAAGCAAAGGCCTTCTCTAATTTTTCCCAGTGCCTCTCATCATGGTTTTCCGGTGGACGATCCAAGCGCACATGCCCGGACTGCCGGGCACCCGTCAATACACAGCCCGCGCCGGCGTATCTTGTAAGTCTGCACAGTACAAGATCGCCACTCCCAAATCTAACTGTTGTGCAGGTTCGAGCAATGGTGCAGATGTTCACAGGCCGGGCCGAGCTTTTGGACAAAGGGGAGACGACCGCAGAACACTCGAAAAACCAACAAGATGAGGCCGACAAGCTGGACCAAGACAAAGCAAATACCCACCCCAGCAGCGGTGGCTTGTTTGGGGGGTTGTTTAAGCCAAAGGCCCCTGCCCTCAAACCAGTTGTTGATATTGAAGACGGAGTAATGCGTTGTCCACACTGCAATTGGGAACTCGAAGATGACGAGATCTGTGGCGGCTGCGGATGGTACTATCGACCCGACTCGGATCAAATGACCGACTACTCCGATGACTACAGCGACGGGGACTCGATGGATGATCTAGAAGGCTTAGACTCACTGGATGATGAGTTTGAGGACGAAGATGACTTCGGCGATCACCCATTTCCACATCTTCCGTTCTTTGGGCCAGGAGCGGGCCCCCTTCGAATTATCCGTGGCGACTCGGCTACGCTTCCTCATCATATTCATGGTATGATCCACCCGGGTGATATCCCATTGGAATACTTCTACGGCGACGGCGACTCTCTCGCTACCGGTAGGGATGTCAACGATTGGACAAGTGAGCAGGACGAGGAAGATGACATGGGCTCCTTCATCGATGACGATGAGCATGGGACTTCTAGTCAGGCTGACAACTACGACTCAGACCCATCCACGGTGGTGGGTGAGCCTCGTGCTTCAAGTCAGAATCCTGGACATTTGCGAGCGTACACAATTGATGCGGTTTTGACGGATGATTCGGAAGACGACGATTATGAGAGCGAAATCGACCCCGACTCTCAGACACGACGAGAAGGGTCATTCACACCGGTATCCAGCAGCAGTCCTGTCAATCCTGTCTATTATGAAACAAGATCTTCACTGGGTCAATCGGAAGCCGGCACGACGGATGTTTCTCGTCTGGACGAAGAACCCGTGGGTTCATCAGAGGATGATGACGAAAGCGACTCGGATGCTTCCAGCTCGCCTCCTCCAAGGCGCATGCAGCGATCCGGAGATACTGGAACCTCTGCACGCAATGCGATTGCCATTGACGATTCCGACGACGAGGATGACCAGCCCGTCGGCCCTGTGAGAAGAGCGCAGCGGCGCCGGCCCAGGTACTCTCCATACTAAAAGGAAAAGCCATCGTCAATTCCCAACACCCGGCCGGTAGCGGCGTACCAAATAAGTTGTTTTTTTCTTAATTTCTTTTGTGGTTCATCAGCATGGCGCTCTGGAATGGATAGAAATGCTTTAGCGCATTGCGCTCTCGAAACGGGAAAAACGGCCCAACAAGCTTATTGTCATTGATCAGCGCGGTGTGATGCTTGTTTACTTTGCCCGGCCCATCTTGTTTTCCCCCTCGCTCAACACTGAATTTTTGCGAATACCCTCTTCCTTACCCTTTCTAACACGAACTCTTTGTCACTGCTTTCTCATTTTTATATCACGGGCATAGCGAGCGCGGTGGTGCGCTCGGGGTTACGGTTCTTTCTAAAGCTTTGTATTCTAAAATCAGGGGCCTGGTTCTTTTTCGTCTCCCGGTAATGACCATTTTTCAATTCCAAGACTTACTAGTAACTTGTCCCGATGAGAAGCCTTTATATGCATTATGGGAGCCTTGATGAGGTTGTTTGCTTCTCTCTGGATACATGATTATTGCTTGCGGCTCTAGTACGCCTGTATCTGCTCGATGATCTGGGCTGGAACTTCTACTTATCCGCATAGCAACCACTACAGGTGTACCCAATCCTATAGCACATCTGTCGACCTAAAACAGCTTAGCTTCGTCAAGCTGGATGTTATTGAGGTCTCTCCATGAACACGTATTGGTCCTCTTCGGTCCTGTTCGTGTCACATTTGAATAAAACAGATACTCTATGTAACTTAGCCCTAGTAAGTCCTACCTGTCTTATTCGTCGCGTCTCTGACAAGCAGTTAGAAGTCGCGCATCAGGAAAGAAAACTCATCAGGGTCAACACACCTTCGGTATCTATAAGTAGAATTCCAGCTCTAACAGGAAGATCATCTAGGGATTTGACGTCTCTAATGTGGCCGCGGGCCCAGGCAAGACTCTTCCTAGCAAAGTATGGGTCGCAAAGAATCAAATATTCTTTGACAAACATCTTCGCATTCGCATCAGATGTATATGTGACGGCTATCGCAGAGGCGCAGAAACTTGACTTTGTAGTTTCGGGCGTCGCCGGAAGTAAATAAGGCGTTTTCCCCCATTTTTTAGAGGACCGGAAGGATATGGGCGGCCAATATGCGGAGTAGAAAAGCCCTTGATACTTCGCGAGCTCCTCGTCTCCAGAACGCTCTGATACAGCTTTAGTCAGAGATTCTTCCGGGTTCTGGTTTTTTGGGCCCTTCTTGACTCCCATATCTCCTAGAGTCGATGCCCATATCAAGTCTTTATCACCACACTCAAGTTTCCACCTTGAACTCTCTGACCGAGGATCGATCAAGTAATAGTTTCTTTGCGTTCTCGAGATACCCTAAGTATATAAGAAGAAAGATTAGCAACTATGTAGTAACTATGGCGCACATAACGATGCCTTCCGACTCAACGGAGGGCATAGTAAGAGGTGGCACTCTCACCTTTAGCCTGGGTCGATCGAGCCTGTCCTTAACCCATTCTTCCGTAGACCATATTGGATACCAAACATTGCGGACGCCATGTTCAGATAATGGATTGACTGCTGGTTTTCAGGGACTGGCCCTTGAATCAATTTATCAAGAACCTCGATGCCCTTTTGTAGGAGTACTTCGGAGTCCCTCATGTCGCTATTGATTCCTTTGCCATAACAGCCTCCACCTTTCCCTTGAGGGATACTCCTAAAGAGATTCCCAAAGTAGGTCATGACTTGGGCCGAAATACACGGAATTTGAAGACCCCATGATAGAATGAGAATAAGACCAGTAATCTTCATAACGAAAGGTGACGAAGGGGTCTTTCAGAAACCCAAGATCACCAATTTCACTCTATAATTCGAACGGAAATACGCATTATTATAACTATTTTTACGCTCGGCCTGGCCCCTATTGAACATACCGGGGATTGGACTCCGGGGGCCAGGGGCCAGGGGCGGAGGCTAATTGAATATGCACGAACCAGCCAGTCATCCTTTTGAATCCTTTTGAGTATAAGGACGCTAACTCCGACCGCTCAGGAGCTAGGGCGAGTGGTGGGCACTAAAACGAAAAGAGCAAGCCAAGATGTGCCAGGCATTATCCGGCACGCACATATGCATATTGCAAAAGGCAAATGGGTTGTATGCAAACTAAAGTTGTACAGTCGAAATAAAAACACCGTAAGTATATGCCGGGGATGATAGAAGTACATGCACAAGTAGAGACAGACGCCAGAGACACCCTCCAATTCCAGCAACGCTCTAGTTTTTTATCTTTCCTCGAAGTTCATGCAGTTCATTCGGCAGCTGCTTCAGCAGCAGCTTTGGAAGCAAATGGGACCTCAAACACGATAGCCCCGTTGCGGCCGTCCGACATACTGCCCTCGTGATAGTTGTTGGCGTAGCACTTCCAGCGACCCAGGCGGTGCTCTTTCCCCACAGCAGCAACGACACAAAGACCACTAGGTTCCGTGTCTGAAATCGGCTTGGACTGGCCGGGCAGAGTTTCGGGACGACGCTCAAACACGGCGATGTCATTGATCACGCCCTTGACCAAAGGCTCGGGTTCTTCCTTTTGGGTTTCTTGATCGACGGCCATGCGGTCTGACTCTAGCGGCGTATTATCAAGTGTGAGGGACTGGTTCAGCTGCCGCGAGGGTGTATCGGGAGTCAGTTGGCCGCCAGATCCTGAGGTAATGGGACCCAGTGGAATGATCGTCTTCTTGTCATCGGAGATACGCCATGCGCGGATCCAACCATCCCAACTGCCGCTGAGCACGATATCTGTCCCTGGAAGAGTGGCCAGCGCGGTGATCCACCGAGGCGAGGGACGCAGGTGTCGTGCATTGTGGGCAGCGACCTTTTCATCAACCTCCGGAGACCATTGATCCAACGGTGGAATTGGGTCCAGGCCGTGCGCGAGGGGAATGGTATGAAGTGGTTTCTTTTTGTGGATCGACCATAGCGAAATCGAGCCAGAGTCAGAGCCAGTGACGAAGTGAGAGGGTGGGAGAGGTGCAACACAGTCGATGTTGTTGTCGGGATGCGGGGCGTGCTTCGAGGCGCCGCCACGGAAAACAAGTTGTGTCTCGTCCACGACCTTCCACAGTCGAGCGGTGCGGTCTCGAGCTCCGACGCTGACACATTGGTCGATTGCCATGGCTGCAATGCCGGGAATGGAGTCTTGGTGACCAAACAAGGTTTCGACGTAGGCATGGCCTGCACCGCTAATGGACCAGGTCTTGATAGTCCGGTCAAACGACCCCGAAAACAGCTGCTCTCCGGACGTCATAGTGGAAAGATGCCGGACGAACGCTAGACCGCTGACGGAGTCGCGATGGTGTGTGAAGGTTTTGGTGGGTGTCAACGTTTCCGCATCCCAAATAATCAGTTTCTTGTCAGCTCCACCCGTAGCCACAAATTTCCCAGACGGTGAGACTGCCACAGCCAAGATGCTTCCTGTATGTCCCTGCTCTTCGCCCGTCTCTGCAACTTTGCGCATGCCCCGAGCGTACCGCACTCTCTTAGGCTTCTTCCGCAGAGGGCGTGGAGGCCGTTTTGATTTTTCGCTTTGACCGTTCGTCTCAACGGCCTCGGTCGCTTTAGGGGTCGCCAATTCCCATTTGATCAAAGTCTTATCCTTCGATACTGTGTAGGCATACGGCGGGTGGACTGCAATGGAGGTGGTCGACTGGGTATCTGAGCGGAAAAATGAATGAGGTGCCGTGGAAAATGAAAGTTGAGAAGCGATTTGCCGGAACGTGCGTCCTTTGAATTCGTCCTGATCAATCGCCGTCAGTTCATGGCTCAAAATTTAAATTTTCTTCCTCTTGGAAAAAGAGCAAGCACATACCACATCCTGTTTTAGTCGCTCTGCGATCAGGTCCCGATCGATCTCTGCTGCATCGAACCCAACTTCATCCACCTCTTCTCGGACGTTGTCGAGGTATCGTTCCGCCAGTTTCAATCTGCGGTCTGCTGCCGTTTCGCCGTCGTCAGAGTCTGAACCACTCTCCTCGCCCGACTCCCCCAAATCCAAATCATCCTCATCTTCCTCCAGGTCACTTCCCGAGATCGATTCATCTCTTTCTCGGGCTCGTCGATCTGCGCCATCAGTTTGAGCATCCACACCTCGTTTCTTCGATGCTGGGGCTGCGGCGCGGTCTTCTCTCTTCCGCTTGCGCTGAGAAGCGGGAACCGTGAAGAAGGAAGACATGGCGACCGCACGGATTGACTTGCCCGTTCGAAATGGTCGCAGTGGGAAGTGCCAAACACTGTGAGTTGCGGGAAGTGCAACTTTTTTTTTCTGCCCGGCGGCGGCTGAGTCAGCACGGTGAGCTCCAGGCGTCAAGCTCGCCGCGTCAGGGCCCATCCATCACCTGCCTCCACATCTTCCATCCCGCCCTTACTCCTTCTTACACTGCTGCTTCTGTTTGGGCTGTGTTCATCGCAAACATGTAAGCTGCTTGATCTCAACTCCATTTGGACATCGATTGCTAACCATCTGCCCGGTTGCTAGGGAGGTTCTTCTGGGCATCACCGGCAAGGACTTCGTCATTCTTGCCGCATCCAAGGCCGCAATGCGTGGCCCGACGATTCTCAAGGCCGAAGATGACAAGACAAAACAACTGAACAAAAATACGCTCATGGCTTTCTCGGGAGAAGCTGGAGACACGGGTCAGTAGCCTTTCCATGAGGTCCCAGCTAGCCAGGGTTGCTGACGAGATATGACCGTGATCAGTGCAATTCGCCGAGTTTATCCAGGCCAACATCCAACTGTACTCAATGCGTAATGACACCGAACTGAGTCCCGCTGCCGTTGCCAACTTTGTCCGGGGCGAATTGGCCCGCAGCCTGAGGTCGCGGAGTCCCTACACTGTCAATCTGCTGCTCGGCGGACTGGACCCAGTGACCGATAAACCACACCTGTACTGGCTGGATTACCTGGCGTCGTTGGCCGAGGTTCCCTATGCCGCACACGGCTATGCCCAGTACGTTTGAACCTACCTCTCGCGGATCGAGCTGCCAGTGGAGAGAGACACTCCCCATACTGACCCGATTCCAGATACTACTGCCTCTCTCTCCTTGACAAACACCACCACCCCGATATTTCGCTCGATGAGGGCCTCAAGCTTCTAGACATGTGCACAGACGAGCTCAAGCGCAGACTACCGATTGATTTCAAGGGAGTATGTTGCTCTTCCCTCCACTATTTGTTGGATCCGCGACTAACGTAATGTTCTACAGGTATTGGTCAAGGTCGTGACAAAGGACGGCGTGCGGGTGGTGGACTTTGATAACGACAAGATTGTTCGTCCGGCGTAACTTGGTGTATCACATCCGATGACTTTATTACTTTGGATTACGGGATAATCTTTCAATGGTATGACACAAGGACTATGTGTAGAGCTGTAAATACTCCAATAAATATGTATTGACTGGCGTAGAGCATGAAACATTAATATCAACTTGTCTGCTGCCATCTGGTTGTTTCCTCATGTTTGCCCTGTTTGTCCTGTTTGCATCCCGTCCCGTCAAGCTCGGCCGCAGTTAGACAGCCTCCGTTTCTTCCTTCACACCTCGCAATGTCGAAGAGACAAGCTGAGCTGCCTCTCGAGCAGGATTTCTCCGGTTCCCCAGCCTCAAAGAAGGCGCGCGTTGAGGACGACGTCGACGACGCCCGCAATGGCGCAGTGTCCGCGCATCGAGCACCGGGCCAGGAATTGGAGCAGGACGATCGCAACGGCGCAAACACTCTGGCCGCAGCAGACATCGAAGGCGAGGAAGTGAAGGAAGGCGAGTCCGATGACGCGTCAGATATTGACGACGATGCCCCTACGGTCAGCGCTCCGAAGCGGCAAAGCGCGCCCATGGAAGGCTACGGCGACCTCTACCTCGACACCATCAACCGCGGAGTGCTGGATTTCGATTTCGAGAAGCTGTGCTCGGTCAGCCTATCTAATATTAACGTCTACGCATGTCTCGTGTGTGGCAAATACTTTCAAGGTCGCGGGCCCAAATCGCATGCCTACTTTCACGCGCTCGAAATCGGGCATCATGTCTTCGTCAACATGGGCACGAAGAAGGTTTATGTCCTGCCGGAGGGCTATGAGGTCAAGAACAAGAGTTTGGACGACATCAAATATGTGGTGGATCCGCACTTCTCTAAGGAGGAGGTCGTGAAGCTCGACAAAGAGGTCCACGATGCCTGGGATCTGTCTGGAGCCCGTTACCGACCTGGGTTTGTTGGCATGAACAACATCAAAGCCAACGACTATTTGAATGTTGTCGTCCAGCTTCTGGCACATGTCCCGCCCATCCGGAACTACTTCCTCCTGAACGATTTCTCGACACCTGGCACTCCCCAATTGCCAATTCGATTTAGCACCCTGGTTCGCAAGCTGTGGAATCCCAAGGCATTCCGGTCCCATGTATCTCCGCACGAGTTGCTGCAGGAGGTTGCGCTGCGATCTTCGAAACGATTCAACCTCACCCAACAATCTGACCCGGTGGAATTCATGTCCTGGTTCCTGAACAACTTGCATCTTACCCTGGGCGGTTCTAAAAAGCCCTCTTCAACGCCCACAAGTGTGATCCAGGCAGCCTTCCAGGGTCAACTCCGGATTGAAAGCCAAGCGATTACTGCTCACTCCGATACACAAAATGCCCGCCTGGTGTTCACGGAATCCGGCGCAATCAACAGCCAGACCACCCCGTTCCTCATCCTGACGTTGGACCTTCCCCCAACACCGCTTTTCCAGTCAACAAACCGGGAATCCATCATCCCACAGGTCCCGTTGACCTCGCTCCTCAACAAATACAACGGCCTCACCGCATCCGAAAAGCTCGCCCACCGCGTGCGACACCGTCTTCTCCACCCCCTCCCACCATATCTCCTCTTCCACATCAAGCGCTTCAGCAAAAACCGCTTTGTGTCCGAACGCAACCCCACCATCGTCACTTTCCCTTCGCCTCGCTCCCTCGACATGTCTCCATACGTCGAACCAAACCCATCAATCTGGCCACCCGGGGAACCAATCATGTACGACCTCGTCGCAAACATTATCCTCGACCCCGCCGTCGCAGCACCAGGTGCCACCGAGGACGCAGCTGGCAAGGGCGTCAACGCAGCCTCCGGCTCCGCCGGTGCGCCCTCTTCTGGTGCCGGTGCCGGCAGCGAGAAAGTCTCGTGGCTCGTCCAGCTCCATGATAAGGCCATGGGTGCGGAAACAGCGCGTGGCGGTGCGGAGCAGCAGCAGCGTGGAGCTGAGTGGCTCGAGATTCAGGATCTGTTTGTTAAGCGCGCGGAGAGTGAGACTCTGTTCACTCGCGAGGGCTACTTGATGGTTTGGGAACGTCGCAAGGTTCCGGGGAAGAAAGGGAAGGGCCGGGCTGGTGCGAAATGAGATGAGGGTGTTTGAATAAGGGGAAAGGTGTTGCTGTTTTACATACCGAGGGGAAAATGACGGTGTGCGGAACAAGGAGGCTCTGATCTATCTGCTTTCAGAGCAGATGCATGTACCATTAGATCCAGTGACGAATTCATGCTTGTATTTTGGTGGCATCTATATTCATAGGAAGTCAATTGGGTTATAGATTGTGAGAAATGGGAATGGTTCCCGCAAAGGCCTTTGGCCACCATGAAAAAAAGAGTGAAAGGTTTTGCGGTTTTGTCTATGGTGGTCTCGAGAGACTATATATCTTAGAGTAGCAAGAGCCTTTCCTCCATTTTTGATCTCCGTCCTCACACACTTCTATGGTTCTTGTCTTATTATGGCTAATATATGGAATTTAAATAATTCCCATCCCTATTCCACCACTATCATGTCTATACAATCACTACAAAATAGTTGTCCAGTTAGTTAGGGCTCGTCACTGATAAGCCCAACTCCCACCCTTGCCACCGCCTTTGCCTCCAGAGATTCTCGAGCTCTCCAACTTTTCGACCGAACAGAGCACCAACCCCAACGCTCTTCGAGTCCTTCCCTTATCCACGCCTACCGTCGCCATGTCTTCATCGACACGTCCCAGCGACGGCAACGGCAAACCGTTCTCAGTCTCCCTGTCCAGTTCCAACGGCGCATCCTCCAAAAAGACCTCGTTCAACCTACAATCCTCAAAACGCAACCATTTCACCGACTCACCTGCACCAGGAAGCCGCTCCCTCCCTCGACGTCCGCACAAGCTCGACCATGGTGACGATTCCTCCGACGAAGACGATAGCGCGCCTGTCCATGAAGAAGTCTCTGGCTTCGACACGCACACCGGCGGCGTCCTAACAGTCGACGGACAGGCAGTCAGAAAAGACAACGAGCCGCTGGTCATCCCTGTTACCGCCAAGAATAACTGGCGCGACCGGCCCGGCGTCAACACGAAGAAAAGCAAGAAGAACCTCCTGCCACGCGAGGTCCAGGCCATGCAGGAAGCGGAGAGAAGTGGACAAGCCCCCGGAGGCAGTGGCGGTGCTGCAGTCGAGACAGAAGGGCCGAGTATGGCGTTTGGACTGAGTTTTGCAGCACAGAAATCCGCAGAGGGTGGTGGTGGGGGTAATCCAGCGGTCGAAGACCATGCCATGCCAGATGCGAAGCCTATACTCCCTCCTCCCATTGAGGAAAGCACGCCACTCACAGATGATCAGAAAGCACTACGAGCTCTGATCAGCGAGAGCAAGGGGGAGGCACCGGAGCGAAGAACGGATCTCGTGATCGAGTCCCAGCAGAAAGCGCAGGAGGAAGATGAAGAAGAGGAGCATGGACGCTACGACGAGGCGAGCTCTTTCCGCACAGATGTTGCATCGCGACCTGATTCCGCGACGCTGGATGCCTACGATGCCATTCCCGTGGAGCAATTCGGAGCCGCGCTCCTGCGAGGAATGGGCTGGAAAGATGGCCAGGCCATTGGAAGAGGCCAGTACGGCACATCTGCGACTGCGGACCAAGATCGCGCGAACAAGCCGCGTGTCCCAGAGCGACGGCCCGGGTTTTTGGGAATTGGAGCCAAGGATACCTCGGGCGGGAAAGGCGCTGAGGCTGAGCTCGGCGCGTGGGGGAAGTCAGCGATGCGGAAGGCGTCGAGAAAGCAGGGAGAAGCAGATGCAAATGGCGGAAACACGGAAGGTGTCTATATGCCGGTTATGATGCGCAACCGCAAGACCGGCGAGCATATCACCGAGGAGGAACTGGCCGCCATGCAGAAGGAGGCAAAATCTAAACCCACCACGGAGGATAACTGGCGTGAACGCCGTGATCGCAATCTGGAGAAGAGCGGTCGCGATAGAGACAGGGATCGCGAGTATCGTCGGCGCGACTATGATGATGATGAGGAGCGGCACGGGAGGAGGAATGGCTCTTCACGCCGGGATCGCAGCTTGTCTAGTGGGCGCCACTCTTCTCGGCGATCACGGTATGATGATGATGGCGGCAGAGAAGACCGGTCTCGTCGTGATCGGGATAGACGGAGGGACCGCGATGATGACCGGGACCGACAGAGAGACTCCGGCCGTGATCGTGATAGGGAGAGGGAGCGAGACAGAGACACAGTCCGCAGCCACCGACACGGTGATGATCGGTCCAGCAAGTCCCGGCGTGACCGAGATCGGGATCGGGACCGTGACTCTCGTCGCAGTCGGCGAGACGACTAAACATAATTTTCCTAGTGTGGAACGAACGTACAATGACTCCCTTCAAAATACAATAGATACCCTGGAAGAATAGACGGAAATCATGATATATATTCATTCAATTCTATCTGCAAGGCTGGAAGCCAAAAGAAAACAGATGCTTTTGGAAATCCTATAAATACTCCCTCGAAGAAACAAAAAAAAAAGCGCCAAACCAATTAATCTACAGCAGAAATCGAGGAAACAACCGACTCCCATCTATGCTTCCAGCATGACCACATCCTTCTCATGCGCCTCCTCCGAGTCCCCATCCACACCATTCGTCAACGCACCCATACCAACACCGCCATCCATCTCGCCGAGCACCCACTCAACAAGGAAACTATCATCGACGAGTTCCTCCACACGGCGATAGTGTCTCTCCGTATACGCCGCCAGAGCCTGCAAGATATCTTTCAGACCCGCAGCGGCGCGACCATTCTTGCCTCTCACAGACTGCGTGGCCAGCTCAACGAACGTCGAGGCCGGGTACGAACGGAACAGGGCAAAGAGGATGCGCTGGGCCACGCGGGCGGTGCGCGCGTTAGTGTTCCAGTCGCGCAAGCGGAGCAGCAGCGTGCGGAGGTTGGCGGCGTCAAGGGATTGCAGCACCTCGTCGATGGACGGGTTGCCCGTCAGGCTGTTGGCGGCGCGGGCGCGGTCCTCGGCGGGGAGAGTCGGGTCGTCAGCGGCGTTGACGGCGGCCGTGAAGAGCGAGAGGAGCCGGGCAGGGTGGTTGAGTTGCAGCGCTAGCGTGATGGCTTCGCGGTACTGGCCGGCGCGCACGTAGTTCTGGAGCTGCTGGTCTTGTTCGACGCGCGCGGCGCTGGCGTTCACGGTGGCCGTGTAGGTTGCGGAGGTCGTATCGGACCAGAAGGTGACTGTGGAGTCGGCGGACCCGGAAACCAGGGCGTAGGGGGTTGCGTTGACTTTGGATGAGGTAGGCTTAACATCTGAGCGGGATCCGGACGGCGTTGGGCTCGCTAGGGCCCAGACTCGGTCAGTGTGATTGTCGAGGGTGGTTTCGAGCTCGCCCGTGTATGGCGACCAGATCTTGACCAGGCCGTCTGCCGCAGCGGAGGCGATGAGCGGCCGGGTTTGCGCAGCTGATTTGTGCGTCGAGGCCGCCGCCGCTTCTTCGTCGTCGTCATCCTGGTTCTCGTCCCCGTTTTTGTTGGTGGAAACCTGTGGAGGCGGGAGCCAGAGCACTTTGAGGACGCTGTTCGTGTGGCCTTCAAAGGTGAGAATACAGCTGTAGTCTGACAAGCTCCACAGCTTGACGGTCTTGTCACCCGAGCCGGTGACCGCCAAGCCGCGATTGGTGCTGGTTCCAATCTCTGAAGAGACCACCGGCGTCTTTGGAGGTGCAAATCGTATAGACCAGACACCTCGCTTGTGACCACGGAGAATTCCTACCGCGGAGCCTTCCTCAACAGACCAAATCTTGACGGTGCGATCCTGAGACGCGGAAGCAAACAGTGCAGACGAGGAGTCAATGTCGATAGCGTTGATGTCCTTCTCGTGTGCCTTGCGCGTGTAGACCGCTTTGGGGGAGTGTGCCTTTTCTCCCTTGAGCGGTGGTAGCTTGCCGGTGTCCCAACGCTTGATCGTGCGGTCTTGTGAGCCCGTCATCAAGAATGATGGGGGGTGGTTGAGCGGGTCGTTGTATGCCGAGCTGCCAGCTGGTGGCGGTACCCGTGGGAGAGCAATTGCCCCCAGGGACTCAGCGTGGCCGGTGAAAACAGCAAAGCAAGTATATGACGAAGTTTTCGGGTCCAGCCGCCACAGACGAGCGGTGTTGTCCTTGGCTCCGGTAGCCAGCCAGTGTCCGGACCAGTCGACGTCAATGCAGATGATAATATCGTCGTGGCCTTCGAGGTTTGTGACATCTGCTCCGAAGAACTCCTCGCCCTGACCCGTCGACCGATCTTCAGATGGGCCAACTGACACCACTCGGATACTTTCCGTGTTGGTGGCTAGGGCAAGCATCGATCGATCTGGGCCAACGTAAGCCAGATCGATGATCTCGTCGTCATTTCCGGAGATGCGTCGAACGATAGTCAATGGCTCCAAGGTCGACCCTGGCTGATAATCGGACAATAACTCGAGCGAGTGCAGTCGGAGGGTCTGGTCAGCATGGACAGTCATGGCGAATGACAGGCCGGGTGAGTATTGAATGGCCACAATGCTCTCAAACTCCTCGCCAGCCTCCTGGTCGTGCGTCACTTCGCTTCCTCGATTGCAGTCCCAAACTCGAAGCTTGCCATTCTCTCCGCCGACCACACACAGGCCACTATCAGCAATGAAGGTGGCGGCCTCCACGCTCTCGAGGACCGGGATGATCCTGCGCGTCTTCCACGTTTTCGCATCCCACACAATTACCGTTTTATCTCGACTCGCCGAAAGCAATGCGTTCTCTGCGGGAGAGAAAGACAAGCTGCGCACAAGCGACACGTGCGATTCGAGCGATGCAATGGATTTTCTTTTATGCAAATCCCACACGCGCACTTTTCCATCCTCACTGCCGGAGGCCAGCCGGAACCCTGCTGTGGAGGCAAAATCCTCCATGTCGGCATCTTCATCGCTCCTCCGCTTTGACTTTTTATTCGAAGCACTGTCGGGAGTTGAGACCTCGAAAAAGCAGAGCGCTGAAATGACTCCTCCGTGACCGTGAAAGGTATGTGTGACATAGCCGCCTCGGATATCCCAGACCTTGATCGACCCGTCGGCGCCTCCAGTAGCGAGTAATGTGCCAGTCGGATCCACGGCGGTCGTCACGACGGGAGCGGTATGGGGTTTGAGCGTTCGACGGAGTTCGGCCTCAATAGATCGGGACGTTTCGTCAAACGGACTGAGAGAGTAGATGCGCATGGACATGGACCGAGAACAGACAATCGCATGCGAGGCCGACGGCGTAACTGGGAAAAAAGAATGTCAGTACCGGGAAGAGACGAAGACGCAAACCTCGACGTACTGGCTAAACTGGTGATAATCTCTCCATCCTGCATTCGATCAGAGCGGTCAGTAATGCGCAATTTATTGGGGGGCCAGGCAGCACGTACTCCCTCCAGACTGGCGAGCTGGTCGCCCGTGTCCAAGTCTACGATCAGCGCATCCTCGCCCACGCAGGTCAGCAGAATGCGACCTGTGGAATCCAGCGCCGTGCTGCCACCTGTGTAGATGGGCCGGAGGGTGCGAGACGCCTCGAAAGTGGGTTTGACGGTAGCTTTCGACATGGCGCGTAGACTGAGCGCATAGAAAAGAAGACCAAAAAAAAGTTGACGGCCGTTGTCTGATAACGATTTGGTGATCTTTCCCAAGAAATCTATTCTCCATTGAGTGGACTTTCAATCTAAGCGGTCAGTGTGGCCGAGTGGTTAAGGCGTGACATTCGAACCATACGGCATGTTTGCCGTGGACAATGTTATGGGTTCGCCCGCACAGGTTCGAGTCCTGTCGCTGACGTTTATTTCTTTTTTTTTTTCCTTCTCCCAATCCCAACTTTTTGTTAAAAAAAATATAGTCTATTATTTTCCAAATGGTACATAATTTTTTTCCATTGTAGAACCACTAGCGAGTCCTTCTTCTCCCACGTCCCAGCCTCACTCGAAGCTTTATAAGTTAGGGCCTATAGTGCTATTCCAGAAGTCTTTCTTGCCTAAAACGTCAAGGTGGCCGAGTGGTTAAGGCGTGTGACTTGAACAGGCAACTCTTCCTAAATCGCGGAAGCTATGTTTCCGCGATTCCCGAAGCTTTGCTCTCAATATCACATGGGTTCGCCCGCGTAGGTTCGAACCCTGCCCTTGACGATGGTTGGTTTCCATCCGATTTTTTTTTTTTCTTTTTTTTCCTTTATTTATTCATTTTCTTTAGAGTTGTAGATCTATCCAGAGAAATTATGTAGTTAATTAACTAAGACGTGGCTCGTTGAACGTACACTCCCGCCCTGGTCGCTTTCACCTAGTTTTTAACCTGGGAATCAACATGGGAGGCCTAGCAGTCAGGCATCAATTAATTATGTACAGGATCTTCACAATCCAACATTCTCCTCATATCCATTCGGGTACCAGTTGGTCTTCTTGAGAGTGACCCCCGTAGCAAACATCACGTAGCTGTCTGCGTTGACTAATGTATCATCTACACGACTTTTGTCAAAGGCCAGCAGTCGGCTTCGACGAGACTTATATGCAGTGACTTCGCCCGCATATCCTTTGGCGCGGAATACTACATCAGTGACTATCATCACACAATTAGCTCTTGTTCTCCATCCAATACCCTGGTTTCCACGTACTTTTGGGGTTCACCCAGTGCAATGTCTCGTGCAGAAATGTAGCACCGGTTGTCTTCTCACCATCTAGTGCCTTATCCATGTCTGGCTTCTCCCTAATTTTGTCCTGGTCCTTGATTGCTTGCTCGACACTTTTCAGCTCAAACTGCCATCGGCATAGCATCATCATCTGTGCCTCGCGGAAGAAAAGACCACCAACGCTTTGGCATGGGCCACTCATCGCGTATACTTTCGGGACATCATATGCAAGCAGCAAAGCCGTTTTCATATCGTAAACCCCTAGCTTGACCTGCGGAGAGAAATATTCCGACAGATAGTATCCCACCACATCGGCGTCTGAGGTCTTTTTGCTTGGATCCTCTTTCTCCTGGTAAGCCTTTATCGTTTCGTCTTCTGGCTCAAGCCCTAGGTCCCCTAGAGTTGTTACTTTTCTCAGGTCCTCGTCACCGCATTCCATTTTTATTTGCTGCTTATCCATTTTCAGCCTATCACTCGCTAACTCGAAATTGTCTGTGCATATCCAATATTAATTCAAATCCCTTTGCTAATTGAATATTTCATGAACCAGAGAGCGGACTCACCCTGAGCTTGAAGCAAACTGTTAATCCCCCCAGTAATCACTAAAGGCATAGGCTTTTTAGGGTCAAGGTCTGGATCATCACAATCCCAGTATATTCCGTATTTGACTCCAAATGAAATGTAAGCCATGTTTAATAAATTCACGTTTTCATCGGTGTTCTCGATCTTCGTATTAGAGATAAGCTTGTCGATCGCATCGTAGGCATTTTGAGCGAGTAGGGCCGCGTCCTGGAGAGTCTGGTCCATAGGCTCGTCCGCACACGACCCCGGCTTGCCCGCAGGGATCATTTCTAGGAGTTCACTGGCTTTAAGGTCTTTCAGGGTGCGATCTGCGAGGGCCCATCCGATGAAGAGGCAGAACAGCCCAAGCAACGGCCGTAGTCCAGAAGATCTCATGGTCAACGGGGAATGAAATGCACCACGGAATCCAAGGTTGAAAGACGACGAGACAGGAAGAGACATTGGACCTATAATAATATAATCTAAAAAAAATATAAAGGATCATATCTGCCCAACGCCCGACCCGGGCTTGCGTGGCTGGCCTCCCTGTATGTACGTTACCACGTTGGGATCGTTCGCCATGGGGCAACCGCCGTATATGTACCGGATGATGTCTGGCAAGTCTTGGCCTTCCCTTCGCTTTTTCCCGCTCACCCCGTGCCGCTTTTCGCTCACTTTCCAAACGTTGCGAGGATGTGGGTATGGGTCCGACTTGGGGGCGGTATGGTATTCTTCGATCCTTCGATCCTCGAGAGACTATAATAGCGGCAACCTTCTACATTTCGACATGTTCTGTATTTTTATGACCGAACCTCCCTAACGCCCTGTCCCCACTAGGTCGAATTAAGGAGGCGAGTGCAGTTCGAAGCCGCAGACGTGTAGCTCGCGTAATACGAGCTGACAATTCAGTAGGTTCACGCGTCTTCAGAAGTAGAAAATATTTAGTCTCCTAAAGGCTATATCGATATGACTAGTACTGCAGATTAGGGTAGGCAGCGCGGTCTCCACGCCCTTCCATTGTCACGTCGAGGACGCCGTATATTGTCCATATTGGCTCGAGAGAGCTAGTATCGCCGCGCTTGAAGACCGATTCACTCGTCCAGTGGTGACGAATGCCCTGTTCGTCACGCGAAAAGACGTGTAAGACCGCCCTCTGTGTCCCATCAGCCGTCTCTGAGAGATAGTCGCGATTAAAAGTGTTATTGCGCGACGACAGGAGTCGGAGGTTGTGCCAGCCTCGTTCTTCTTTGTAATCATGAAGCCGGTCTGGGCTTGCCTTTGCCATAACAACTAAATTAGTGCGCTCGGCCAAGTGAAAGGCTGCCCCGGCAAGTCCATCGACAAGTGATGTACATGATGGACACGGTTGTTCGATAAGCTGTAGCTCTGCGGTCCTGCCCCCTGGCACTGGTGCACGTTTATCTTCCGCCCAGCGCGGGAACATCATATTGTATATAACCAGCGAGTCCTTTCCCGGAGCAAACAGCTCGGACAGTTTGACTTTGCTCCCATCTGCTGCAGATTCGAAAACGTAGTCTTCTTTGACGTAACCACCGGGTGGAAGCGCCCGCCGCTGCTCAGCTACCTCCTCAGTCAACCGCCGTAGCTCCTCTTCTCGTTGCGTGAGCTTATCTCGCGCTCGCCGATACTCGTCCGACTCGTTGGGGAAATGGACATTTTGGTCAAGGAGCTCGTCCCGCCACTTGCTCATATCACGGGGCTGACCAACGACAACCATTTTTGCGCGCCTCCTGAGTTCTCCAATTCAAAGGCTTTTGACGGGATCGAATGGACAATCCAAAGAAGAGAACAAGGCTGCTCATGTAACCACTAACAGTGGATGGAGTTGGGTATAGAAGACGCGACACAGGTCACTTTGCTCCGGCAACTAGGAACGCCTTGGGAATGTTCTACTCCTGTCACACTATATATACAGTGCCTCGATGTTAGCGGTGGGCTGTATGTTCTCTGATTTGTAAGTCCTCGCCCGATAGCGGGAAAACGGAAGTTCCTCCGTTTTAACGGATGAAGCGGCCGCTGATAGCCTTTAAGAGGGAGAGCGGGGCAAAAGGCGGGAAAGCGGAGATTTCTCCGTCATAACGGCCGAAGCGGCCGCTGCAGAAAGAGCAAGGAAATGTAGCATCTTCGGGACTTACAAATTAAGCTCGCGTGCTAGTGTCACAAAGGGAAGCCAATATTGAGGTGGTTGGTAAGCAGTCTATAGTGGAAGCTGGGCCATACGAAGCTTCAGTAGACTTATATATAAAAGCGGTTCACTACTCAATATCAGCTTCGGTCTTGTACATGACATCATCACTTTACTATACGCCGAACATCTTTCAAACTTATCTTCTGTGGTAGAAATATCGTCAAGGAACATTTACGAACCTCTATTAAGAACAGGGAGGCATCATGAGTCTGGATCTTAGATACTCAGACGCCACGGCGCTTGCCGAGCTGATTCGCACGGGCAAAGTGTCTGCCGTCGAAGTTATGCAGACTCATCTTGACCGTATAAATTCTTTGAATCCTCAACTCAATGCTATCGTCACCGTCGACAAGAGTGCGTTGAAAAACGCTAAAGTCGCAGACGCAGCAGTGCAGTCCGGTAAAAAAGATCTCGGTCCCCTGCACGGCGTCCCCTTCACCGTGAAAGACTCAATCGACACCGCGGGTGTGGCGACACAACGTGGCTCGCCAATATTCGAAGGCCGCGTGCCTTCGTCCGACGCCGTCAGCGTTGCGCGGATGAAGGCCGCGGGCGCCATTTTACTTGCGAAGACCAACCTCCCGGAATTCTCATACGCCTGCGAAAGTGAAAATCTTCTCACGGGTAGGACCAATAATCCTTGGAACCTCGAGAGGACACCGGGCGGCTCCAGCGGCGGAGAGTCGGCGGCCATTGCGGCCGGACTATCCCCTATTGGTTTGGGCACTGACCTTAGCATCTCGGTACGAGGTCCGTCTGCGATGACAGGCATCATGGCGCTCAAGCCAACCCACGGGCGTATCCCTATGACAGGCATATGGCCACGAGAGCCTCGCCGGTTCTGGCACGCGGGGCCGATGGCACGAAGCGTTCGGGACTTGGCTCTAGCATACTCGATAGTAGCTGGCCCTGACGGGCACGACGCGTTTTCGTCACTCGGAGCCAATTTTGATGCTGGAATCGGAGCGTCGCCCAAACGACAGCTCAAGGTCGGCTGGCTGGTAGAGCCGGGTTTTGGCCCTATTGATCCTGAGATTGGCTCAACTGTCAGGGCTGCGGCCGAGGCTCTCAAGGCTGCAGGCTGTGCTGTCGAGTCTGTCCGCATCCCGGCTCTAGAGCGAGACTTCGCCCTAGACGTATTTATACGCATTCATGTGAATGAGATGAAACCCGCCATGGTGCAAATTACCAGCGGGCAACCAGAAGAGAAGATTTTCAAGAATGCCCGGGGCATGCTAAACACCCCCGAAACACCAATGCCTGATTTCGTCGACGCTGAGCAGGCAATCGAGCGGCTCAAGGATGGTTTTGCTGAATACTTCCAGAAGTATGATGCACTCGTGTGCCCCGTGATTCCACTACCCTCACATGGACACGCGGTTGAAGAGCTTACGATTGACGGGCAGACCGTCAGTAACTTCAACATCTGTTCGACCACCACGCCTTTCACTGTAACAGGACTACCAGGACTGTCAATCCCGTTCGGAGCAAGTCAGGAGGGCATGCCAATTGGCGTCCAACTTGTCAGTAGCTGGCACGCCGAGTCCACTGTTTTGTATCTCGCATCAGTGCTAGAAAAGGTCAGCCCTGTTAAAGGGTCCCACCCGAGTATATAGACAAACTCGTTAGGACAAACCTCGCACTTGGGAGTTTAAACATTGGAACAGAGACTTGAGCACAATTTATCTTTAATATATACATTTAATTAGCTAGAAAAGATGCCGTTCAATAGTAAAATGTGTATCGCATTCAACCGTAGCTGCCAAGGTGAGGCGATCCAAAGCTGGCTAGGTCGACTGAGGGTCTATTTGTGTGAGCTCTCACACAATGGCTCAGTTTTACAGGGGATCGTGAAGCAGTAAAGTTGAAAGGTATAATTACATAGGCCTTCTCTAACAGGGGGTTGTGCTCTGTTTGGTCGCTGAGGGCTCAGCCCAGGTAGTTTCTTTTTCTCTTGATGAAAGATCACAAAACTATGAGATCACATGTACCATGGCGGCCAGTCACATACGTGGGGACGCAGAACCCGGGCTTTTCCCCGCTCATTCCCCGCTCTTTCCATCACTCCGTCCGGCAGCGGCCGCTCTCCATCCGTTGGGCGTATCTCGCAACAAAATTATTGGCTGTCTTTGTCCCATCCGGTGTTACCCGGCAGGAGTAATGAACATGACCAATCGCTCCCTGCCGATGAACGATGGCCGTCCGCGACGTGCATGTCAATTCTGCACGAGACGCAAAATTCGATGCTCGAAAGAGATACCAAAGTGTTTGGCGTGCAAAGTGTATGTGCTACTGTTTCATTCGTCCCTCATCTGCGGGTCGCGGACATTACAGGGCTCATTCATGGCTTGCCAGGCGGAACGAAAGCTGCCGCTATGATAGTCAGTTGCGGAATTTGCCCGAATCGCCAGATTCACAGACCAACCATGGCAACGGTGAGGTGACTCTGCCTACCGCGCCTGATGTTGTTTGGCCTCCATCATTTTTGCCGAAAGCAAATCTCCATGGTGCTGCTATCCGGTTTATGGACCGCAGCCTCTTCCTTCGCAGCCAGGCACAGACCGGCAGTATAACCTTTCCCGAACCCGACGCAATTCCTACCCACGTGAGGCCGTTTCTAAGCAACAGAGACACAATGCGTCAGATAACAAGTTCGTTCTATCGAGTTGCAAATCGATGGCTGCCGATCATCTCCAAGAGAAAAATATTTGACCGGCTGCTGAACCCCCTGCTACCCCTCCGTGCTGATGCTGTGTTTCTCCTCCTATGTATGAAAACAATCATAACCCAGCCCCTCTTGGAACCCCATTCTTGGCCGAGTGAGTACCATGCAGCTGTACGATACCGTACTGATCTTGAACTTGCCGGGTTGGCATCGCTGGAAATTCTACAGGGCTGTATCCTGCTTGCAGCTTACGAACAGGGCAATGCCATTTATCCGGCCGCGCACACTTCCATAGGAATATGCCTTCAGCATGCCTCAGCTTTGGGAATGGGCTGGACATATTCGATAGCTTCTCACATCGATGCTGAAGAGTGGAATAGAAGCTGGTGGGCCATATTTCTGCTTGAGCGGTAAGCAGTGATGACCAAAATCCACTTATGACAGTTCTTGGTTGACCCAATGCCCATTGCCGTCGAACAGAGTACTTGGTCTTGGCGACCCTCACCAATTGTTCGTGATGCCAGAGCCGAAACTAGATGCACAACTGCCGTGGCCAGATCAGGACTGGGAAAATTACACAGTTCCCAGCACATCATCCACACTCTCGTCTCCGCCGGTTGTCGTGGGCCGCTTTGCAAGTATTTTACAAGCCAGCTTTGTGTTAAGCCGCGTCTTTGACTACCTGTCAGATGCGCTCACCGAGGGCCAAGCCCGACTTGATGAAGTAGAGCAGTTCGAAAGGACGCTGCAGGCATTAATGAGTTATGCTCGCCCAGCTCCTGGAGCAGATGCCAGGTCTGTATGCTATCAAAAGGCTGTTGGCTACGCGTAAGCTGTGTCGTGTACCTCAATGATGGTGTTTCTTTGTTAACAGAATCTAGTGCTATAATAGCTTTGCACGTCCCACATCTTCAACTCGACCATGAATGTCCGCTCTACCAGCAAGCATGCATTGCCTTGGACGATGCCGTGCACAGTGCCTCTGAGGCGGCAGAGCTATATCTCTCTAAAGTTGCAGTCGAGTCTGAACCAGGAGATACATCCCCATTTATAGTACCTTGGCTCTATATGGCCGGAACAAGAGCTATTCGCTCTGGATTAAACGATGACCTTGGAGTGATAGAGAAGGCCCTGACTAAGCTTAACTCTAGATGGAAGGCTGCAGGTTTGTGAAACGACTTGGTGCTGGCTATCAACGAATTGACTAACAAGAGACTCTGTAGGCATATACATAGAGCTAATCGCTGCAAGCAAAGCAATGGAACCTGCGTAGGTAGAATTTATAGGCAAACATGTAAATAGCCTTTGTCGGCTCGGGCCTAAGAACTATATACAAAACTTTTGACTTGGAAGCAGAGGGCTTTGCTCTCAATCTGGAGAATAATATTCTAATATCCTTCCTTTCCTTCATATAAGAATATAGAAATTATGTCTATCATTCTTATACAAACCCCATCTTACTACCACCACTATCTTCTAAATAGCTTTGCTTATGCTTGCCATCCATAAATCACCAGGATACTCATTCCTATAAGTTTTATAATACTATAGTCGTCAAATATTTATTTTCTAAAAAAAGCAAAAGGATCTCAGGAAGGCTAAACTCCTACTTCGGTGACTGGGCAGCAAACTCCCAGGCCAGTTGTTTTATCGTCTCAACATCCACCCCATCTCCTTTCTGCAGGCCGTCTACAGCCAAATAAGCAAAAGCAACGGTAAATGGCTGACCCATTACGTCTTTATTGGCTAGTCTAAACTCAAACTTCTTATCCATACAACCCAGCCGTACTAAGGCAGCGTTCAGCTTTTCAATATAATTGGGTATCATAATAAGTACCCATCCTTCCTACAACGCAACGCCATTAAACACGTTGAAAAGGGACAATAACCACACCTTCCCAACTCTCCCTTTCCCCTCCTCCTCCTAGTACTACTACTATGCTACGCCTTGAGGTTTTGATAAATACGCAGCATCCATATCTTCAAATTGGTATTCTTAGGTAGTTATAGTATCTCTATAATACTCCTCCCTCGGGAGGCTGTTTTGGAGGTAGGACTTTGGATGTGTCGGATGTATTGAATTTACGAGCGAATACATACTTGAAAGTAATATGAATTCTACGTAAGAAGCAATATACATTCAACTGACAAGGGTACTTCGGAAAACTCCCCAATATACACTAGTGTGTCTTGGCGCTGGGGCTGGAGAATCAATCGAAAAGTGTAGGTTGTCGCACCGGTTTCGGACGGACTGTAGAAACGAAATCTCGATACGCTTTTCTACAAATCAATTGAAATTGGTTTTTGTTGAGACAAATCGAGTTGTAAAAATCCTATTTTACAATGGGGCTTTGGGGTTATTGGCTGCTGGGAATACGTTAAGATTTAAAGACCATTCTATGCCCATGTTATATCGATAATGCCTCTGAGCCCGAAGACTTCCTCCTGTCTTGTGTTTATTGCTATTGTAACTACTATAAAAACAGCCTCATTACTCTTTCCGCCTCTTAACCGTCACTTCCAATTCTTTAGTCCTACGCCCTAAAGCTTCTCTCCTAGCCGCCAATGCCAGTGAGCGAACTGAGCAAGCCAGGCTTGCGTGTAACCCTAGTGTCTTTGAGGACATGGCATTTATTCTCATCATACTGGAGGGAATTATTTAGCAACTCTCCATGATAGACGTCCCTAAATATGCTTACATCTTTCTTATCCCCCTGTTCCTCATGGTCATCACGATCATCATGAGGTACGCAGCAAGCGATATAGTTGACACATGTGATCTGAGAATCACCTAGAGACCTTTGTTAGAACCCACTATCTAACATATTCGACAGACAGACTGAGTTATACGCACCTAAGATCGGGGCACAGCCAGAGAGAATGCTAATAGGAATAATATCCGTAACTTGGCTGACAGTGTTGGTAAGTTCACCAAGGACGTTAATGGGATTTACTCCTTCCAGGCTAACGGTGTTTCCGTTAGCCTCAGCCGTGCTTTTCAAGTTTGAGCAACAAGAGAGCTGATTGTTGGAACATTTCTCTCTCAATTGTTTCTCTGTATCTTGAGGCAAGGCAGCGACAATTAGCGCGCATGAAAAGATGGAAATCAGAGTTAGATTCATGAGGTTTGAGTGACGCGTGAGAGGTTCTTTAGAGAGTAATAAAAGCGAGTGAGAAAATATGATGCGGCAATAGACTGGATAATATAGGTAGGATTTCAAATTGTAAAGTAAATTTAGAGTTCGGTACAGCAATTGGATCTCATTATGCGGCGTCTGATGAAAGATTTCATTGGGTAATAAGGCTCGGGTCCAGTATCCAGGCCCAGCATGTAAGGTCCGGTATGTAGGATCCGATATGTAGGATCTAGTATGCATAAACTATAATGTAGCGGGCAAGAACTGCCGATACGATATTGTCCTACATCCAATCTAATTCCAAGCTGAAAATTTAGATAGACGTCACCAAAGCTCTTGAAGGCCAGCCCAGCTAATACCCAGGTTGGGCCGAGCTTTGCGCCCCAAGGGATGTTCTGGGGTGGGTTTAGGAACGGAGCCCTGGACCAACCTGGGCTGTGTACGATATAGGAGCTAAATAGACTGGCATAGGTGTTAGTTAACATTCTCAACGTTGGCACCGTGTTTGGCGGCTGCTGCGGAGAAGACGGAGGTCATGGTGGTACTGTGACTACAGGAGTTCAGACGGGGTGGGCTTATCTCCATTCTGATTCTGGTTCTTCGCCGAGCCGAGTTCTTACAATTACTCTGGCGGGTTTCACTAATACATAAAAGATTCCAGGTAGCCAGCCGCAAGTATCTGGACGTGCTTTGGCTCGAGAAGAAACTTTGCTCAGTAATGAAGGAAAGAACAACTGCGAAACAGGATAAGACATGGAACTAAGAATGACAAACCAACAAAATCTCAAGGAGAACAATTCATAGCAAAACACCATCGACTCCAAACCTGAATGACACCATCTTGCTAATTACGTCGTGGACGGTCTCCAATCAGGTAGGTCTTGTTTTCCCAAGTTCTGTATTTCCCGTCAATCTCTATGCCCATCTCTCGAAACTGTGCTGCACGTTTTCTGTGCTCGCTGATCTTTTTTTCATGGCCATATCTAGCTTCGTGGCCCTGGTATGCCTGTGGGTGCTTCTGGTCAAAGCCTGACCGAAGTTGGACTATCCTAGTGAAGAAGATTTATTAGCAATTCGAGTATCTCATTTTTCATGGCATGGATCATTGTATTTACCTGTTTTTATGGTTTCGAATATGTTCGGCAGCTTCTATTCCAGCTTTGAGGGTTTGTCCTTGACTCAAAGTAATATCCTCCTTCAAACCAACAGCATTTGCCTTTGTAACTAAGCGCTGCAACGGTTTCATGGATGTTGCTTCCAAAGATTTGTACTGTCCGTACTCGGCTTTCATCCTATCAGGCCATTCTTTTGGTCTGGTCTCATAGGGATCAGAATATGTATGTTGTCGTATAGGGTCGCTGAAAGTATGGGCGCGACCGTGAATGCGACCTTGGGGCACAATTTGATGTACCCTTTGCCGTAATATTTCGTCTTGCAGGGGCGCTCTCTGAAAGTGCGGACCATAATAGCTCGGTGGTGGGGGAGCTCGGTTGTACAATGTCTCGGAGTCTCTTCTATTCCCCTTGGCTTTCGACCTTCCACTAAATAAACCCATTGTCACGCTAAAATAGATTTGATAAATGAATATCAGGCAATTATAATAGCCAAATAATCAAGTGAAACCAAACAGAAGGACAACGACCAATTGACAATATCAAACCTATAATTGCATATAGAACTAAGAAAAAGATAAGATGTAGAGATGTTCAAGACGATTGCTCTTCCGGTCACAGAAATACCGATTGAGAGATCTGAGAGCGAGTTGAACCCCATTGAGACTGGTGGAGGAGAGAGAGATTTATAACGACCGATCTCCAATTCGCATATATTACAACTAGAGAGTCTGAAGTACAAAATGCCTAGATTTTGTCTACGCGCCGTCCTGAAACTGGAACAATTTTAGAATTCGCCGTCATCTGGACTGGATTTCTCAATATTCTGCCCCTGCATCTGCAGATATAGTTTCACAAGGATGCAACCTAAGACTCAGCGCAGCGCAATATCGGTCTACAATGGAGTAAATATCTTTATAAAAGGGGCTAAAGTAGAAAATGCGGGATAACCCCAATGAGATGCTTGGGCCAAATGCAAGGCTGGCGGCAAAGGGGTGTGGTGGGCGTTAAGCAGCGGCTACTATTACTAGCCATTTTTATAAAATGGTCCATTGTTTCACCATTACTGTCGTTGACCAAAATCAACATCATGAAATTTAACGATAGGATAAGAGGCCAGTCTGGAGCAAGCGCGCGGTTAAGATCTGGCGATCATTATTTGGATGGAAGCAAGGGTATGTCAAGCTGAGACCCCACACTGACTTCCACCTTCTAACCTCGCTGTTTCATGGCCACGCATCTGAATTGATTCTCATCCCCCTCTTTCCTTTTCTCAACATCAGAGCCTGAACTCTCGTTCCTAGCAAGGATGGTATGATTAGGCACTCGATAAAAGAGGAGATTGACTGACTTCCTCTTAGGCAGGTCAGACGCTAGAAGGCCTCCCCGCTGAGCTGCTCATTCTAATCTTGTTCGAAATTCGCGATCGGCAATCTCTCCAATCGGTCGTACTTGCATCACCAGCATGCCACAAAGCCTATCTCATGATTCGACCTGACCTACTCTACTGCATTCTCAAAAATCAATATGATGAGCTTCTTCTCCCAGAAGCAATCGCTGCCATCCGGTCCAAAGGACTAGATATGAAGAATAACAGAGAAAAAGCCATCGCTTTATTAGACATTCGGCGCCGCGACAAAGAGATCAATGCAAGTGAACCTGCCAGTTTGGAAGAGATCATCGAACTTTTGCACTTCCATAAGGAGATACATTTCTTTCTGGACGACTATTCACAAAATGCACCTCGACCGGAGTGGATAGACTCTGCTCAATGGCCTAGATTCCTACCGCTCGATTTATCTAACAGCGAAAAGTGTCGCTTCCTCAGAGCATTGTGTCGGCTACAAACTCATGCCTATATTTTTGGGAAAAGCGAAGTTAGCATTGAGCGGTGGTATGATTGGCCTTCTAACGATTGGGAATACACTACGCTCAGACCCGAGGATGCATGGCGCCTATTTTTTGGAACAATCCTTCCTTGGGAATACGAAGAAATGGGATGTGTGTGGTCATATTTGATGACCAAATACGATCCAGTCTACAAGGAGATATCGGACAGCCTAAACAATTGCGGGGTCAATTTTTTCTGGGACCTTCCAAAAGATCAACGTCCAAACAGTGTGGTGGTAGAAAGAGTTGAAGACCTTGAAATTTTGCCCGACTGTACAGATACTCTGGTTTCTATCGGGCCAAGGTTCCTCTACCGCGTTCTGCACGCGGACGATCTCCGGCGGCGTAATCTGGTAATGGCAAACGCAAACACAGAGCCGGAGACATGGATTGGGCCGAACTGTGGCGTATCCTCGGACTATAAGTTTCCTTTTCTTTACCCCGCAGATCTGTGCAATGTTGGCAGTTTTAACGAGTTATGGTCTGCTTTACCATCTCTCGAACAGCCTAATCTGGGATGGACAGTGAAAGCGGTAGAGAAATTCAGAAAGGAACGGTATTTTGAGTTCGCGATTGTCGAGAGCCATTGCGATCAAGAATGGGACTGGGGGTATGCTATCTGGGACGGCGAGAGGTTGAGGAAATGGGAAGCGCCCTTACTCAAAGACGAGAAATCAATGTCATAGTGCCTATGTTTTTCTTTGAAGAATTGGAACACCGCACAGATACATCTACCTAGTAGATAGAGATAGGAAAGCCTATGCTATTAGTCTGCCAAAATTTTCATGTCCAGACGAGATTCAGCACAGTGATAGAGCTCTTCCTGGGACCGGGCAGCCAGATCAAGAGAGAAAACGATGAAGAAAATGAATGTGGTGTCTAAATAAAGCTGTTTGTCTCTCGCCATTCCCGCCAACGAGACGGGCCAATTGTTCGCCCGTCCCCCGGTTTGATTATACTTCGTCATTTATCATCGTCTCTAAAATGGCCCGGAAATGAGGATCCACCATGCCTGATAGTATATGCCGAGGTTAAAATTGACCTAGGATATTCTAGGATTAAAAGTAAGCGCTCCTTCATCTTCCAGTTTCTTTGGTTTGCAATAACTATTTGAATTCTTACGCTACAGAATTTTGACTGCTAGTTAGAAAATCACTTGTTGATCTTCTTGAGCATAAAAATGCCAAATCCTACTCTTCTCAAAGCTGCCGGATACGGCTCCCTTCTTTTTGCCATAAAGCATGCGGTGAGTGTCGAACAAAATGCCAATGAGAGCTATACGATGGGCGAGCATGATCTCACTTTATTTTGTCAGGCTTCCGGGAAAGAATTCCAGCATCTCCGCCAGTTTCAGGAACTGCCAAATATCGCATACACACGCAGTACAGTTGGATGGTACCAAGGAAGTGCCTACTTGGTTCTAACTGGTACATCTTATCCTCTACCCTCTTGCGAAAAAATGGTTCTCAATTTTGACAAATTCACTTCTAGCTCTCCTTAATCTCCATTGGGCACAAAATCCCAAATCTTTGGAAGAACCACTAAACCGTGCCATGGCTGCCCTGCTTATTCTTATTGCCTGGGCCAGTTCTGCTTGGTATCTCCGCAGAGGTGTAAAGGCGAGCGGAATTCTCACAGCGACTGCCGGTATATTCCAGGCCTGGGCAGCCCTTCATTGATGCTCTCGTTTAGCCAAACCCAAGGCATCTTCCGGCCTGTAAAGTCTCACACAGGAAATGATGCCTAGCCGATTCCGAATTTATTCTTGAATACATTACTAAAATATCCCTCAATGCCTACATGTAAACTGCCCATGATAGAAGTATCACAGATAGTGTGATTCTAGTCACGATGAATACAGCAAGTTTGGGCGATTCCAACTCGGTTCTGTTCCGCAGAAGCCAAAATTCTATTAGATCAGGCCATGAAGCTTTTTAGGTGTCTTTAAGATAACAGGCCTTCGAGACGGAAGACAATCTAAGGGCTGTTATGAGTTCGAGAGGCAAGCTTGCTGAAAATCATTCATCAAACGATTTTGAGACGACTATAAAATCCACTTTCTTATTGTGTCATTATCAACCGCTTGAAAGGAAAGTTGAGGCTGGAGTCAGCGTCCTTTCTACGAAACATGAGGCTGATGGCGGTCAGACTCAGGGGAGTGTCACAGAGCGCCACAGTAGAAACGTGATCGTGGAGATCATGGGGGAAAGGAAACAAATGTAGTGAGATGTATTGAGTAAGTGATCTCCCAGAAGGGAAGGTCTATCTACAGGCGGCGGTGGGCGCTGACACCTCAGGCAACCACCTGATCAGAGACTTAAGGCAAGGTAAGCACAGGGCTGGTGAGGAAAAGCCTTGGTTGGCAATTGACTGGAACTTGATACACCTCGGTTCTTCCTTATACGGCAGAGTTCATTGATCGGCCAGATCTCCATTTTTCAAGAACACTTTGGACTTTCGGGGAGATTATCTGTCCGGCTTGCCACCACTCAGTGGGCCAGGCGCTGCCGCGCTCATACTATGCACGATCTGTCCGTCGTCCGAATTTGCATAGATCCACGCAAAACTAACTTTTGCCTTTTTGCCTATTGGCTTGGTCCTAGGTTTGTGTGCCCTAAGGTACAGCGTAAAATCTACTAGTTATAAATGGCGGTCAATCGGCCTTCTCCTGCGGGCGGTACTGCACTGACATCACACCACACTCGGGAGGGCTATCAACCGCGTACTAAGGATTCTCAGAGACAACTATGGTCAAGCGCATCTTGAATGTCGTCACCAACGTCGGGCACTACGACGACCCTTCCCACCCGACCGGCTTGTGGTTGTCAGAGCTCACGCACGCCTGGCACGTCTTCGAGGAGCACGGGTTCGAGCAGACCATTGTCAGCCCAGCGGGCGGACCCTCTCCCCTGGAGCCGCGGTCGTTGAAGTTCCCCAACTACGACAAGACCGCGAAAGCGTGGAGAGCTGATCCGACACGGATGGCGCTACTCGAGAACACTGCCAGACCCGACCAGATCAACTCGGCCGACTTCGACGCTATCTACTTCACTGGCGGGCATGCGGTGATGTACGATTTCCCCGACAGCGAGGGCTTACAGCGAATCACCCGAGAGATCTATGAACGGGGTGGCGTTGTCTCCTCGGTCTGCCACGGCTACTGTGGCTTGCTCAACACCAAGCGCTCTGACGGTTCCTACCTGGTCGCCGGGCACAAGATGACCGGGTTCGCCTGGCAGGAGGAAGTGCTTGCTCGCGTAAACAAGCTTGTGCCCTACAATGCCGAGGCAGAAGTGAAGAAGCGCGGCGCCCACTACAAGAAGGCGAAGCTGCCATTTGTCTCCTACACCGTGGTCGACGGCAACCTGGTGACTGGGCAGAACCCTGGTTCGGCTACGGAAACCGCTAAGAAGGTCGTCGCCGCCATCAGCCGGTCGTGAACCCTGTCACCGACCACCTGGTTGGTAGGAATCCCGAGGTGGATTTCCACTTACGCCGATCTGGCAGCCGTATCGTACGAGCCCTTGTCGGTGTTAAGAATTTTCAGACATGGAAAGCAAAGAGAGGATGGTAGGAGCGAATTTACCATATGTTCTTTATGCATTTAGTCAATAATACAAAACTCGAAACTTGAAGAGCATTGAGGAATCCCATGTGGCACCCATCCTTATGCCCTACCCCCTCAGTGGGTTCCCGACAGTTCCTTCGTAATGTAATCAATGCTTCTCTAATGCACCTAGCTTATTATAGTCTTATAATGCCTGTCGTTCGGCAAATCTGATACAAGCACTTCGCAGATACCACAATCTCAACCAGCCCCATGTCATCGTTAGCGGGCAACCATACGGTACGGTCAGCATACTAGTTGCCTTATTGACAGCAGGACCGTATAGTGATCTTCAAGACTCGACATTTAATCGAACGCCTTCAAGGATGTGGGCATGTTCAAGACCATCTGCGCATCCTTGAGGACGTCCATCCGTAAGATGGTCGAAACACTCAATTCGTTTAGGAGTTTACTCAATGGACCTTCGTTCCGATAGAGCTTGACGTTCTTAGGGAGAAGACATTGTGTCCCCAGGAGTGGATTCGTCTGGACTGCCACCTGGCACCATTTCCCATCGATCTTGTTGATCGCGTTGTTGGTCCCAATCGAAGATTCCGACGGGATGGTCTTCAGAGCCGGAAGGGGTACTTCCAGCGTCAAATCGGGTGTTCCATCGGTCGCGGTGAGGTCGGCCGTAATGTAGTGATCGTCCATCTCCAGATTGATGTTGGAGAGCCACTTTGGCAATTGGTATCCGTACACACCTCGTACTCGAGCGATCTCGGTATCGACGGGTAGAGCCAAAACGTATCCGTAGAAGGTTCGGTTCCATATGGAACTGAGCAGTTGTGTCGTACTGTAACTACCATTACCCGGCTGACGGACGATGACAGCAATCGAGACCTCGTTGTAAGGATCGTTGTCACAGACGAGGTACGAGTAAAACGTCAACGCCACCAAACCGTAGCCGGGAAACACTGTGATGGGCTCCAAGGGTGATGGGAGCTTAGACTGCAAGCGGTCAAGGGGCGCGAGGAAGAGGAGTTGGACGCTTCTGGTGCGATAATAGAAGTTGGGTGCGTATACCTGACCCACCCTCGAATTGACCAGCTTCTTTTGGATCTTCCGGAAGAAGTCGATTTCGGGCCCTACAGCCAAATCGCTGGCTACCTCGTCCAGGTTGGGGTTCATGCGATAACGGTCGTAGTAACCACCTTTGGGTACATCGACCTCCTGATCTCCGAAATAGACCCTGGTGATCGGACCCTTTGAGCGTCTACATATTCACGGAAGGGTTAGTACCGCGTCAAGGTGAGGAGTAGACTTGAGAGCTACATACGATGTGGAGGCCTTTGATGATGCCGCTGACAAGCGGCCTGTGGTCGGAGACATAATGCTGGCGGTATGCTAGAGACAAAGATCAGGGTCTGATGGTCCCGTTCGCCGGAAGATGCTCAGTAGGCGGTAACAGGGGCTGATATTGGTTCCAGGAAAGATTTCGATACGTCTTTATCTATGTCGTAATCTCTTGTCCGAGCTCGTCGGAGCGATTGTTGCTCCGTGGGTAGTCCATTGGAAATGACTGAAATCAGACCCACGATCGTTTCGTGCCTCGGTCCATCACCTGCCTGTCTTACGCACTCTTTCTACCCGTTACATTCAATTCAGACGCGCCTTCGTTTATCTCTCTTTATTCTTTCTTTATCTCTTACCCCTTTCTTCTCTAATACTCGGAAGATAAATGTTGTCCATATGTATATCATCTTACTCAAAGCCTTCCGCATATCGGGTGTCGGAGTTGACACGGCAGAGTCTTGTCAACTCGAAAGATATGGTCGTCAGGGTATATGCGGCTAGCATTAAACCGGAAATCGCTCCTTTTTCTCATTCTGATTCTGTCTTATATCAATGGCCCTAGATATTTAATTAATGCGACCACGAGCTAGCCATATCATATCGGTTTCGACTCTACCTTCTGGTAATTAGCTACAGGCTTCATCTCTTATGAATTTGCCTCACCGGCCTATTATTCCATTTCCTTTTCGAATGGGACTAGATCTGCTTGATCAGATTCGCAAGGTTAGTGCACGTCGTTATAAGACAGAGTACTCGTATATGTTTCTGGACCCGACCGGCAAGAACTTAGATGAACTGACGCAGTATGTCGAAGCTGGGAGACTCAGAACAGTTGTGGGAACAATCGTCGGTACCCGAGATATTGAAGTCGTGCAAAAGGCTTGCGAAGTCGTTCACAGCGCGTGGGGCGGGCTAGGAAAGTTAGTAGTCCGCGTTTCTACGCTCGAAACAGTCATTTCAAGTTTAATCCTGTTTTAATAAATGTCTGCGCCAGACAGATATAGCATAGGTAACCTTCTTATTATTGAACTATTAAGGTAACCTTAAATATGCCATAAACATGCTTGATATTTTGGTTGTGGGCGAATGTTTTGCGATTTGGAAGAGGTGGGAACCGGCTCTAATTCTGCAGGATGTTGAAATAAGGGCCACGATCATGGAAAATAAAGTTTTTTAGTCCCGAAACCTGAGAAAACGAAATCGGGGGAATTAACGAACCGACCCCGACTGGTATCTGCCTCCACCGCTCCCTCGGCAGTGATGATTCACATACCCGCTGTTCAATTTACCGACGAAAATTATGGATCGGATTGTCCTGGAATCTCTAGAGTGTATCTGATTTTCCCTGCTATGGAACCTAATGGCTTCACCCAGAACTCACAAGTTAATTGAAGGGACCCACCTAGCGCTACCAAATTATGTATTGATATAAAATCTAGGGCCCATTCCAAACAATAGTGGAAATAATTATAAAAGGACAAGTGCTACGAGTCCGGGAGCTCGGGAAATTAGAGTCTTTATTTCACTCGGTGAATCATTCCATTCACATCCGACCATGACAGAGAATACATCACTTGTGACTGGTGCGACCGGTTTTATCGCTAGCCATGTCGTTCAACAGCTACTTGAAAAGGGTGACCAGGTCCACGCTACCGTTCGCAGCACCAAAGATAAAAAGAAAATCAGGCACCTCCTCGATATGCAGGAACGATGGCCAGGCAAGATGACATTGTTTGAAGCGGATTTGCTTGTGGCAGGCTCGTTTGAAGCTCCAATGAAGGGTTGTTCGGTGGTTTATCATATTGCCTCGCCTTTTCTCATCGAAAATAAAATTCGCGACGGCCAGAAAGACGTTGTTGATCCAGCTCTCAAAGGAACACAGAACGTGCTTGATGCAGTTCAGAAATGCCCCACGGTCAGCCTTGTTGTCCTGACATCATCCGTGGTGGCCATCTTTGGCGACAATGCCGATGTGCTAGAAATGAAGAACCAGACACTCTCCAAGGAGTATTTCAACACAACTAGCTCGGTTAATCACAACTCCTATCCCTACTCCAAGGTGGTCGCTGAGAAAGAAGTTTGGAAGCTATATGAAATGCAGCCAACGCCTCCACGCTGGAAGCTAGTGACTATTAACCCTGGGCTTGTCCTGGGGCCGTCATTATCTCCAACATCCGAATCTGGCAGCCTGTCTTTACTTGATCAGCTCCTACAAGGTCAGCTGCTTTTTGGTGTACCAGATATGTGGTTCGCAATTGTTGATGTGCGAGAGGTCGCAACTGCTCATATTCGAGCGGCCCAAAATCCAAATTCTCAGGGTCGCTATATCCTGGCCGACAACAAAACACACGGTTTTGTGGAACTTGCTCGCATCCTACGTTCTATCACTCAATCTTCCAGAATTCCGAGGAATAAACTCCCGAATGCCTTGGTACGCATGTGTGGACCAGTGCTCGGCTTAAGTCAAAAATGGCTGAAGCTGAACCTGGGGATCCCTTTCGATATCGACAATCGTCCTAGCTTGGAACAGTTGAATATTGTTTACCGGCCTCTGGAGGAGACATTGATGGACCATTACCGGTCTTGGAAAAGTGCCCAGAGCCTATCGTATTAGCACCATTGAGCCTTTCAGCAACATTTAACAAAAAGCCTGCCATACCGAACCATCATGGCATGCGAAGCGTTCTTCTAGCTATTTGTTCATTGTTCACGTTCGTGCCCTTTTGGGGTTGATTTTGTCTAGCTCCACTATTTTTGTTCGGTCGCTGTCTTTCTTATTCTGTACCTCATTTGAATCAATGGCCCTAGATATTTAATTCACCAACATTTAGTTGAGATTTCCTGTTAATGTATTTTTATTCCAATGTAGATTGTAACAGAGTGACTGATCTTCGGTGCTGCGAGACCTTCACGTATTATATTTCCTCCATTGTCATCAATACGCGTCGTTATTACCATTGCTGGTCCCATCTGCTACACGTTCATCAAATGGATTTGGCTGACTGTTGAAGATAGTTCTCCAAAGCGCAATGATGGTTCTTAAATTGACGTTCCATTATATACCTTTCTAGTCTCATGTCCACTGCAAGCATCAGCAGTGGATATAGGGCTGCCAAAGTTGCACTCACTCGATAGAGTTCAGCTGTGTCCAGAGCGTTGGAAATCATTTAACCCTCGGTGAAGCGCATGCCGCGATCGTCCCTCTGGGAAAACATCCCTCCGTCGGCGCCAGGTTGGATTGATAGGCGTCCGGATCGACTGGATCCACAGTAGAACCAACCCACAAATCGAGGTATAACTCAGAGATGATCAGGCGGAGTGGGTGAACGAACTATCTGAAAAAACCTTACTGGAGCGAATTAAATATCGAGTACGTGAGAAGAAAATACATCATGACGTCATGGCTACGTTCGGTATGCGTTCAGCCCCGGCTTAGGCAATGCGAGTCCACCATCGCTAGCTATATATGGGACTCCAACCCACAGGGTTGCAAACGCGTCAAGTCCCTCAATTATCCCAAGAAGAGAATTTTGAAATCTGAATCTCACCAAGACCGAACAACTTGTCTATCAACCATGCCCCATCTAAAGCTTCGGGATGGTGCCGAGCTCTTCTATAAGGACTGGGGCAACCCAGAAGGCGCTATCGTCACCTTCTCCCACGGCTGGCCCTTGAGCAGTGATAATTGGGAAAACCAAATGATGTATTTAGCTGATCACGGCTACCGTGTCATCGCACATGATCGGCGTGGCCATGGGCGATCGACTCAGACCTGGGACGGAAACAATATGGACACTTTTGTCGACGACCTCGAGGAGCTTTTTGCGAAGCTGAAGGTTAAAGATGCAGTGATGGTTGGTCATTCCCATGGAGGAGGAGAGGTTACCCATTACCTTGGAAAACACGGCACGGGTCGTTTCAAGAAAGCCGTTCTTGTCGGCGCCGTCCCCCCTCTGATGGTGAAAACTAGCGTCAACACCGAGGGGACGGACAAGTCCGTTTTCGATTCGTTCCGACAAGCTATGCGTAAAGACCGCGCGCAGTTCTTCTTGGATGTCCCCAGCGGGCCATTCTTTGGTTTCAACCGACCTGGTGCACAGAAAAGTGAAGGACAGATTCGGAGCTGGTGGCAGCAGGGGATGAACACCAGTTTCAAGTCAGCGTATGACGCCATTAAGGATTTCTCGGAAACAGATTTCACGGAGGATCTGAAGAAGATTGATATTCCCGTACTGGTTCTCCATGGGGACGATGATCAAGTTGTACCCATTGAGGCAGCTGGAATGAAGTCAGCAAAGCTTCTGCCTCAAGGCAGGCTGAAGATTTACAAAGGGGGATCCCACGCTATTCACAACATCAATGTTGATGAAGTCAACAAAGATCTGCTTGACTTTATCAAGTCATGAGTCGAATATTTTTAGTATGAGACAATTTCTGTTACTTTTGTTGAAATAAATAAATAAAAAAGGTATAAGAGAGCTGGTTATTATTTACAATAAGTTGAAACTTTTAATTCAAGTTGACCAGAAGTGTATTACTTGATACAGCAGATAACTAGTTCATAGTGCGGTAGCGTGTTGTCTTACTTTCACTAGGCGATTGGGCAGAACTAAGCCGCAAGGTAATTTAAGTGGTTCCGTGATATCTGATACCATCATTGAACAATGATCTTTCCCCAGACAGGGCCTAGTTGTTGATTGCATTTATGAGTTCCAGACCGACAATAGAGAAATATGATCTTATTATAACTACTGATTTATTAAAGACGGGTCTTACAAAACAAATCAAATTAAGAACGCCAGCACATAGGGAAGATGAGACTTGGGATCAGCTACCGAGGTTGCCATCAAACAGGGGCTATATACCTCGGTGTAAAATGCTGTGGGGCATGAGGGATTGGAATTATTGCGGCTTTGGGCGATGAATTACTCATCAGTATTTGCTAAGTTGACTAAATATGTTACCTTTGCCTAGGACATCCTTTGCCCTGAACGATTGATCTACAGCACGCCACGCTCTATGGGTTGAGGAGACTGGAAACACCACTCCGAGATATAATGCCAATAGATTTCAGCTTTCTGGTTTCTAGGAGAAGATACATGAAGGTCCGCGACGCTCTGGTGTACATGGAAGCCTCGGCATGCCAACCTAAAAGAGGCGGGCTTCAATATGCACCTTGCAGGGTTTGGGCCCACCCAAACCTTATCAGAATAGTCGGGCCAACAGTCTATCCGCCCACACACCCGAATTGCAGACGTGCACGATGTGCGAGCTGCAGTTGGATTATACCATGGCATGCATTTTCGATATCAGCCTTCTACAAAGGCTGGGAAGTGATACCCCAGCTCGTTGATCTTAGTCGGCTCAATCATCCAACTGCTCAATGTCTGCTACCCGCCCTTGAAACCCTTTGTTTATTTGTGAGATGTGAAATGGAGGTCGCGAGGATACATAAGCGTGCTATGGTATTCCGAAAAAGGGGTCACCTTGCAAGGATCGCATCAAGGTTACGAAAATCAAGATGGGCCATCAAAAACCGGTCAAACTTCCTGCATGTCTACTCTATTTACCTGCCCACTGCGCGAAAAAGTCAGTAGGAAGAATTTTGGTAGAAATTTCCTGGAACAAACTTGGGAGATAAATTCTCGCATGCGTATTTATTCGGTTGTTCTCTCTCTGTCTATCTCTCTCTATATAAAGACCGTAAAACCTAACATTAAACAGGCCTGCAGAAGTCTGCCTACTCATCCAGCAAAACATATCTCAAACAAACACAATCACAGACTTTCCGACGCCCCCCTCCCATCAAAGACCACTTTACATGCATCCCGAACTGCCTTTAGATCCTTGTAGTCTGCTTTTGTTCCCACAATTGTCCTCAACTTTCCTGCTTCCACCCATTGCCGAATCGAATCCAGGTCGGTCGCATTTGGCTCCAAGAAGATAGATGAGTACTTGACTGCATAGCGAGATGCCCGAGCTACTCGGATTCGATCCATCACGTTCAAGCCAACACGGACAGGGAAAGGCACAATTGCCTTGTCTTGCTTGCTTGGAGATCGTCGCATAACGCTAGAGTTTTGGAGAACGTCTCCCGAAGTGAGTATAGACACTGTAACGATGGCCCCCTTCGGCCGCATCAGTGACAGATACTCCATCGCACTCCCTGTGGTATCAAAAATAAAATCGACAGATTGTGGAGGAATTACAGTTTTAGGATCCGATTTTTTATAGTCGATGACTGACACGGTAGATGTGAGTTTATCTCGCGGTGTGAATTCAAAACGGAGTCTACTTACTTTCGTCCACAATCCCCTCGCCCAAGAGTTCCGTTACCTTGGGTACTTTGCCGGTGGAAACCGTGGTGATCACTTTGCCAGCTTTGAAAACATTTTTCGCTAGTTGACAAGCGAAAATGCCAGTTCCACCCACTGTGACAAGTTAAGCATCCAATCTGCAATAGTGGAATTCGAGAAAACCTACGCCCAGCAGGTACGAAAACAGTTCTTCCTTCGAGATCCCCTTCGTAACCCCGAAGCGCCTGCAGCGCCGTCATGGACGCCAAAGGAATTGAGGCGGCGTCTTCCATAGAAAGACCCTTCGGTTTCAATGCGACGAATTCTTCAGTCGATCTTGCGAGTTCACTCCATGATCCACGGTGACATTCTGGCAATCGAACAAAGACCTCATCACCGGCCTTAAAGCGCGTCACCTGGGATCCGGTATTCACAACCGTACCGGCACAATCATAGCCGATTTTGTACGGAAAGCTTCACATAAAAGTTAGATTGAGGAATCAATCCGGGAACACAAAGCTGTCACCTGTCCTTGAGAACCAGTTTGGTTGCCCCCGCGGCTTTTTTAACATCTATCGGGTTGATACTCGCGGCATGGACTTTGATCAAGATGTCGGTGGGGTGTTCCACGGCCAGCGAGGGAACTTCACCCAGCTCGTATTGATCTGGCGTAGCATGCTTTGGAATGTTAATAGAAAGCATCTTGTCTACCGTAAGAGTAGCGAAAGCTACTCGATACCAAACGAGACAGTCAGTTTCTTTTAATAGCCGAAATCATATTTGATTCGGAGCTTCAATTTGCCCGACGGAGGCGGGTGGAGGCCAAGAGCCAGCCCATCGCCGTTTCCGGTTCAACCTCCATTTTTGCTGCGGCAAGAACTTTTTTTTCTTAGTCATGTCGATCACAAGGAAAATTGATAAACACACCACCCAGATTGATCTGATTCGTTTGGAAAAGCTGATGGTTATTCAAGGTTCCCCGGTGGCGGGTTCGCTCTGACCGGAATATCAGTACTCCTCTCTTCATCGCTATCTCGTCTTATCTGTTTCGTTTCTTCTCCCTTCTGCCGAGTCACCTTTTCACTTTTGAGCGAGGGTCATGTTGCTACTATTTCGCTAGCATAATGACACGTCCTGCCTCACTACGAGAGGCCCATAAAACCTTTATAAGCTTCGGCACGACGAGGGAGCGAGAATTCTTCAAGTCAATGGCTCCACAGTCTTACCTGCTATACCTGAAGACCTGAAAGGAAAGCCCAGATCACGAGATCCTATTTGCACTGTTTGTCTTTTTGTATTTAACTCTCTTTCTTTCTCTTCTTCTCTCTCTAATTTGAAGATTCTTGTAGAATGTCACTTCTTCTTCTTCTTCTTCTTCTTCGTTGAATCGCGCCCCTCATTCCACACGAACACTCTCTCTTTCGACTGTTTAAGATCTTGCAACTCCTTTCTCCGTGGAGATTTTCGAGATCTTTACGAATTTTAAGTATAAAGTTGGCCAACTCCGGTCGTAGTCTCCGAGACGTCTATTTTTGCTTTTTATATCTCAAAGCGCTCCGGAAATGCGTGGGCCTGACATTTGGAGGCGGGTACCATGTTCTGTTGGGAGGCCTTTTAAGGCGGGGAGATTAAGTAGGGTATGTGGGCGACTCTTCCACTAAAGAAACGCGGAAGCTATGGCATATTTTTTCGTCCTATTTTTTTTAAAGTATTTACTAGATGTAACTACAACTAATGTTTTTTATTGGATTGGATTGGATTGGATTGGGTGAGATTCTTTCATTCTAGTAAAGGCATTCTTATTAAGGTGTGGCTTGTGCTCTTCCCCGTGGTCGCGTCTCACCCGATTTTTGTCTTCCGCCTTTTGTTCCACCTCCCATGAGACAATGAATCTAGCACGCCATGGGCAGACAAGCCTACCTGAACCGGCTCGCTCTGGTAAGTGCTTCCTAGCTAGTTCTCCGTCAACTGCATGTACTGAACTGTCCGCTTTCCAGGGCCGGTCCCCGTACGATGCCCCCGACTACGGCGCGGTGGATCCCTCGAGCACAGTGCGACGAGTCTCCAGCATCCACGCCGATGACTACATGCAACAGTATGACCACCGCGGCCACCCTGTCAACCCCGAGTCTAAAGTCCTCGGACGGGGCCTGCGGAGAGCTAAGAATGACATCCTCTCAACGATGGGGATCGTGGTGAGCGGTGAGGACCGGAACACCAGGGTCCCCAATGAACAGCAGAAGATCAACCAGATCGCCACCGAGAATGACTTTGGCTTGGTCATAACCACCCTGGACCAGCTGTTCGTCTTCTTCGGCACCTGGTGGACTAATTCGCTCACGGCTCGCATTCTGGTAGGATCCGCGCAACCGTGTTTTATCGTATAAGTACAAGGCTGACTATCCGTCATATGGGAGATAGACATACCGACGCTATACCCATGCTGCCCTGCTGGATGTCATCCGCTCTGAACGTGGGTCTACAGGGATTCTCGGTTTCTATTTTGCCGGAATCCCTGCCTGGGCAGTATCCAGTGGTTTCACTATTGCCCGTGAAACCCCATTGAAGCGGACATTTACTTCTGTCCGAGATTATCTCCTGGCGAAGACAGGCGATGGCGGCCTCTCTCTCATCGTCCGTTCGGTATTCGGAGTTGCGTACACGGCGTGAGTATATTCGAGAATCGAATCAGAGCGCAGGCACTAATGACCATTCCCAGGGCGAGGACATCGGTTCTCATGTTTTCCGTGGAAACCTACATGTACTCTTTGCTCCAGTCACTCTCGCTCGTGGCACCAAGCTCTCTCCCCAGTCTTCGCTTCTTTATCCCCTTTGGTGCCGAATCCCTCATTCAGCTGCCGCCACTCCCGACACAATTCACCTTCCACTCCGTAAGCGCCTCGCTTACAGGCCTGTTAACCTCTCCTGGTGTTCTCGTTTTTTTATATGCATATTACCTGCGCCCGGAGCTCGAAGAGCGTATTTACAGATTGATCCGTCGAAGGCTGCCAAAACCCACCCTCGCAGATGAACTTTCGGTTCGTGTCGCTTTTGAAGAGAACCTCATTGAGTGGGTGGTGCCTACACTTGGGCGGAGGTCGGAAGAGGAAACTCGGCGTGCCAAACTTACATTCCTTGAGGATGTCCAGTGCGAGCTGGCCGCTTTGCGGGGATGGGTTTTCTCGTGGTTTGGTCTTCGATCAAGACAAGCGCCAGATCAGCAAGTCATCGAACCGGCCAGGGATGACAGGATTGAAAGTCTTCGCAACTCCATCGAGACCTTGCAAAATGAGCTCGAGGGGGCACAGTCGCGCAATCACACGACCGAGCGTGGACCGGATGAGCTCCTGGAAAGGAATTTAGCAGCCATTCCTCCTTCTCACGTCGTCGACATTACGCGACCAGACTTGCCGGATGCTGCGCAAGCCTTGCAGTCCGACGTGGTCACCACCACAATTGCCATGAATCAGGTGCTCACGAACGAGAACCGAATGTCGCAGTCTCCGGGAGAGATGAGTAGCGACTACTTTTCCGAAATGGCCACTCTAGGACAGGCGAGCGCCCTCTCGACCTCTTCCAATCCGAACGACCAGCCGACAGATCAGGATGTACAGCACGGCGAGGGAACAGCCATGGACCGGCAGAATTCGCGGTCAAACACCCTGTTCTCGCACCCATCGTCCCCTGAGACATCTCCGCCAACCTCGCCTCGTGTCCGGGCATCACTGATCCATCAAAGCTCCGACATCATCACAATGCAACTCGAGCTGCTGGGCAACCACAACCGCAACGCGCAAAACCAGACTCGGAACCAGGATCACCTGGCTGTCCGGCCCAGCACTGATGACCCTTCCCGGCCACCCTCGACGACCGTCGACCGCAGATCGATCGCCGAGTTCCTGGATGCCTTGATCTCGAGCCAGCATCATACAACGCTGAGTCCCCAGCACGCAGTAGTGCACCAATCTTTCGCCGCAGACAGCAGCGCCCTTACCGACGTTGTTGCCGAGCCTGACCCCCCCCATGCCTGAAACTCAGCCTCCGCATCCCCTCCCAGACGCCGCGATCACCGACCATCCAGCTCTCGAAGCCACGGCCGACGCCCCCGTCTCCAGTATCAACCCAAACATCCTGCCCGACGGCGTGGAGGAGCCAAACGACGGCGAAGACGAATCCCACACCCACCTATCCCCAGCCCCAGGTCCGGACCTCCCCCAAAACCCAGACATAGTAGAACTGGACACACTCATGGGCCAACCACCACTCACCTCCGCCACAACACTCCCATTCCCCTCACAATCTTTTCTAAACCCATCAACCCTCGCACACAGAGTAACGCTCCTCTCCGCACACCCAGTCGACTCGCTCGCCTCCCACCTCGCCGCAATACTAAGCATCATCCTGCTCTCCCCGCTGGAATCCCTCTCCCTTCGCTCCCTGGCACACTCCTACCTTGTCTCCGCGCACCGCTCTTCTTCGTCCGCCATCCAGCTCGCGGATCTCCATCCGCTGGGCCTGTGGTTCGGCGCAAGCTCGTGGACCGATGCTTTTGCCTATACGGGGCGCCTCGTCCTTATGCGTGGGATGCAAGCTGCGCTCAGGGCGGGCGTGTGGGGATTCCTTGTTGGTTCGACTATGAGGATCGGGAGGAATTTTTGTGGGTGGGGGAAGTTGTGATTCACGTCATCTACTTAATTAACTCTTCTTTCTTGCTCTAACAATTGAAATGAAGATGGAGAAGGATGGATGGATATGGCTGCTTTCAATCAAGACTACTCATACAATTCATATTCATCAACCAATAACTCCTTCTTCGCACTCAACCCCATCCGATCCAAGATAAAAAAAAAAAAGAAAAAGTCGAAAGCTCACAAAAGAATAACTAACCCGCCCATGCCATCAATAGGTGTAGTACAGGGAGAACCCAAAAAACCAGATGTGATTTGTTTTCCAAGGCGCAGCACTGCATGGAGCACAGCCAGTGGACGCTTATCTGGTTCATTGGATTAAAATCATAGGTTCCGGGCCGGTGTAAAAGGGAAAATTTGGGGGAACAGATGGAACAGGAGAGAGGAATGGGAAGAAACGTGTGCCGGAAAGCAGAGAGCGGGAGTAATTGATGGCGGCGATTTCAGGTGGGTGGTGAGAGTGATGATAGCGCGAACATCGGGATCATGATTTCAGCGCAAGACAAAGAAGAGAGACAGACACGCAGCAGGCAGGGAGGACGAGGGATTCGATAAATCAGAGTAATAAAAAGGGGTTTCAAAACAATATGTACAGTTGAAACAAAGATGGAGGCAGACGAGCGCAGCATGAGGCTAATCCATGCCATCCGTTTCCAACACTCAGCTGCTGGCCGTCTGGGCCGGCGGGGGATGCGGGCTTTTGTTCGAGCCCCCTTGGACAGCTCCCGCCTGAGTGCTGCTGCCACTGCGCTGAGTCTGCGGCGTTCCGCTGCGACTAGACTGGGTGGCGCCATTCATAGCCGGAGAGCTAGTGACGCCGGCACGGGTCTGCTGCGCTGTCTGCGAAACGCGCATCATGGGCGAGAAGCCTTGATTCTGGGGCACCTGCATTGCGGGATTGCCGTTTGGCAGGCCGGATTGCGGCGTCGGCGTCTGGAAGTTGCCGTCGTGCGGGACTTGGTAGTTGGCCTGGGCGGCGTTCAAGCTGCCGGCGGCGGCGTTCATGGCCGCTTGTTGAGACATTCGCTGTTGCTGGTACTGGTTGAGGCGCTCTGTGGCCAGTTTATTGACCTGATCTGCGGGCAGGTTCGGGTTGCTTCGTTGAATCTGGCTTTGGATGGTGCTGATGGTTGGAACGATGCCGCTGGAAAGCGGATTGGGCTGGCTCATCCGGGGTGACGGGGTAGACACGCCCTGCGGTGTACCGGCGTGGAACGATGGGCTTTGCATTCCTCCCTGTGCCTGGAGCGCGGCCATCATGGCAGCGTTGTTGGGGCCGTTGTTGACATTGGGCATGTTCAAGTTCGGTGAGTGCGAACCTTGCGGTGCGAACTGCTGTTGGCCGTGGAACTGTTGCTGTGCCTGCTGGGGTTGGCCTTGGGGATGAGGGTGCTGCTGTTGCTGCTGTCGAGACTGCAGTATACGCTGCTGTTCCTGCAGTCGGTTTGCTTCGCGGATGACCCGGGCGTTGTCTGGAGACGTCTGCATCGGCATTCCAGGTCTAGCGCCCGCGCCTTGCTGCATCTGAGCTTGCGGCATCATCTTCATTGCCATGGCATTTGGAGGCATTTGGCCATTGACCGGGGCTCCAGCGGGCATCCCCTGCATTGAAAGGGGGCGACCTTGGTTCACGCTAGCATTAGGAGTCATGCCGTTGGTCATTCCATTTGGAGTGCCACCGGTCAGGCCAGAGTTGGCGGGGTTGGTGGGAACGCCGTTGGGGTTCCGATTAGGAGCATTCATCATTTGGGTGGGCTGCTGCTGATTGGGGATTTGACCGGCACGCTGAGCAGCAAGACTGGCCCTTTGCTGAGCGATCATCTGCTGTCGGTACTGTTCTTGCCTTTCTTGCAGCTTCATCTCCCGATCGTACTTGAGTCGACTGAATTCAGCCGGAGATGAGATCGGAGGTTTGGGCTGATTCGCCTCATTGGCCTTTCGGAGCGAAGCCAAGTGAGATGCTTAAGGAGGAAAGGTCAGCTATTTTCCCAAGTGCTGTATGTATCCAAACTTACCGTGTTGCTGCTTTTGAAGCATCGTCTCCCGCTTCTTAGCCAGCTTCCGCATAGCATCAAGCAAGGCGAGATGTTTCGAAGATCTTCTCCGGTCGACTCGAAGAGGCTGCGTCGTTCTGCGCCGAATCGGTGGTTGCGGCTGACCGTTATTGCTCTGTTGCTGTTGCTGCTGTTGAGCGGCTTGCTGCTGCGCCAGAACAGTGCGCTGTGCCGTTTCCAGTCTCTGGTGGTAGGCCCGGAAGTACTGAGTCTTGGACATCTCCGCAGGGAGACCTTCCAGTCCCACCCAGCGCTCAAAGCACTCCCAAGGAGTGCGCCTCTCAGCCCCAGATGTGAACAGAGAAGACGGTGTCAGACAGCTAGAAATAAGAGACCAATTGTAGGAATACTCTTTGACTAGACGGCGCAACTCGTCATCCTCGGCATAGGTCCATTGCGATGACTGTCGAGATTCGAAAAATCCAACTGACGGCATGGGATATTCAGTCGGAGGGCGGAACGAATGGCCAGGGTGAATTCGATCACGGATGCTCTTGTTCTCGGGCCTAAAGAGCGCAACGTTGGTCTGTTCCGGGGGTATCTCAGTAACACGATGCTCCGATTCAGAATCGTATTGAGAGTAATCGTATCTGCTTCGTTTTCGGGGCCGTTCATCGTCATGGAAGCTGATCTTGGTAGTCGCGAACTTGGAGACGGGAAGAAGATCGGTCTTCCAAGTTGAATCTGGAGGTGTTTTGAATGTCGGTACACTTGTCTCCGGAGCGATCCGGATAGGAGCGTACACCGGCAGTTCTTCCAATAGTTTCTCGGCAGCAGGAGTCATGTTAATGGAAAAAGTGAACTCATCCAAGCCGAGCGAGAAGATAGCCGCCGGAGCGACAGTATCTTGAAGGTCGTGTCGTGGCTCATCGTTGAAGCCATCGCTGACCGATTCCTCCTCAGCGGACGGAACGAGATCGGGTGTAGGGTGATCGCCTGGCGCCTCTGACGGGGAGGTTGCGCTTGTCTTCCCGGCATCCTTCGCTTCGGCGTTGAGAGTTGGTATTTTTGCATTCACTCGAAGGAGAGCACGGTGTTCCTCGTCACTATTGACATACTCCGCACACCAGTCGGCGCAACTTTTGGCCGCAGCTACTTTCCACTTTCTTTCCTCACGGAAGTCGGTTCGCATCCACTTCATGTGATCCAAGACAACATCCCAGTGCGTGCCCTGGCGGACGGGCTCGGCAGACCGCTTCATTTGCCGCAGGGGCCATCGGTTGGCATTTTGGAGGGCATAGATGCGCCGCAAGGTACGGCAGTCCATCTGCTCCTGGTACTCCAGCAAATGGTTTTCCGTGCTCAGCGTCTTGTGTGCAGAGCTCAAGAGGGTATTCAGGTTCGAACCCCGAGGCGGAGCATAGGCGCGATTCAAGAACAAGGTGAACAGATAGTCTTGCTCCTCGTTCACCTTCGCAATTGCATCGCTGGAATCTCGCTGGCCAAGGTCCATAGAATCAGGTCTCTCCAGTAGGGATGGTGTCTGCTTCGGGAAGACAACGGTTGAAAGCCGGGTTCGCTCCTTTTCTCGGTCTTTCCGATCCTTGAACCGCATCCTTGCGACGGCATCGGGGGAGTCTTTCTCCGTCACAACTCTCGGGGTCTCTCCGAGTATTTCGGAGACAGATTTATGACGAATGGCACCTGACGAAACGCGCGTAGTCATGCGTTCCGGCTGGGAGAGACCGGATTGGGTGGGTGAAATCCTCTTTGCTGCTTGCATATCGGACATGGCATCAACAGCCGGCTCGGCATCTTTGGGCAGGGGCTGAGTTGGCGAAAGTGGCTCCGTTGAAGCAGCTCCATCATGTCTAGTCTCGTCGACATCCATTCGATCTTTGTCGGTCTCGTTTGTCATGCCATCAGGGACATGATGCAGTGATCGCGCCTCCTCCATGCGCAATTGTTCATCCGGGGTCGATGGAACCAAGCTCTCGCGCGCTTTGACAGATCGATCATGCCTAGAAATCGGGTGGTCGATCTTTCCAACGACGTCTGCTTCGTCTGCGGGGCTGGTGTCTGGCGATGCAGCAACAGGAATAGGGGTATTATTAGAGTAGGGTCCAGCGGAGGAGGCGGGTGAAAGTGGTTGTTCGGTATGCGCAGGTCCCAAGGTGAGAGAAGGCCGCTTGTCGTGTTTCTTTCGCGTGAGAGAATCAGCAGGAAACTCCAGCGTTGGAGCGCCCTTCATTCCACTGGGAGAGGTCTTTATTTCCGCGACATCGTGATCCTGGGTCTCGGCTGCTCTTTGCTCGGCGCGCGGTGACCGAGTAGACGGCGCGGTCGACGGAGTCGGTACATTCAGATCCTGCGACCGTTGGGGACTGATCGCGGACGCTGGCGGTTGCTTCTGTCCTGTCGCATCCGCAGAGATTGGCGCGACTTCAGGCGATTCTTCTCCTGCGACGGTTCCGATCGCAGTCACAGGGGCGCCATCGACCGTGGGCGGTGGAGCGACTGCGCTCTCAGCAGCGGTTGATGCGGCGGCCTTTCTGCTTGCCGAACGCGTGAGATGTGGATTCGAGGGTGGTGGCAGAGTGGATTCGTTGAAGTAGCGACCTCTATAATGGGGCATTAGCATCGAAACCCCAAAAATATCGCATCGCGCGACCGATCAATGTGGCAGAAAAAATGGAAAGAACACCAAACAAACTTACTTGGAGAGGTCGTTGGCGTCAAGGAACGCTTGTTCCTTTTGTTGGTAGTGCGAGTCCCCGGTCGCGCCCTCGGTCGCGCCCACACCCACCGTGGCGTAAAACAGCTCTGTAAGTTTGGCCTGTCGTCGAGCTACGACTGCATGCAGCTCGTCACGGAGCATGGCGAGGTCATCTAGACCGCGGAAATGGCTTCAAACCGGATCGACAGGACGAGCAGCTCGTCGCAGCGCATGGGGGCCTTGGTTCGGGCACACCGCATCCAATTAACGCGGGGAAAAAAAGGGGAGTGGACTGCGCGAGGGCATCCAGAAGGAAAAAATCGCTCAGAAAGGATGAAACAGATGTGGTGATGGTGGGAGACGATGGGGGAGGGGGAGGAAGACGACTGAAGGGGTGAAGACCCTGATTTGTGTTGTGTACGGGTAACGAAGAGAAGCAGCAGCGGGCATTGGCGGGAGCAATGGGTTCCCTTGGCCGTACGGCCCCGTTACGCCCTCAATGAGACCCTCAGAGAGAGGTTGGTGTGGTTGTCAAGCAACCAAATACGAAAAGACCTAATATTCACTCCAGTCGCCTTTAATCTCAAGTCAATGTCCGCGATGGTTCGCGACTAACATGGTGTGGCCGCCGTGGACAGGCTCGTCACAGCGCCAACGGGGTTGTATCAGTGTGTATGGCCGTATGGTCATTTTGACTAATCCGCTTGCAGACATTATCACTCCGCTCTCTAATCGATAAACGAAAAAAAAAAGAAAATACAGACAGGCAGTCAATTCAGCTCTTGCACACCTCGCACATCCACCACCACGTCCCAGATCATGGTCAAGCGCAAGAGGCCCGACGCGGCCAAAGACGATAAACCCGCCACCCCTTCGTCCAAGGCCATCAAAGCCACGGCCACCGCGACAGAAGCTCCCGATGTAGCTCTACGCCTGCAGATCGTCACTGGTTCCTACGAGCGAGTCTTGCACGGATTCACGGCGGGCATTCCTGCCTCATGCTTGGGGCCCGCCAAATCGGACTCATCGTCGGTCCAATGTGTGGACTCGTTCCTGTTCGAGGCGCATGGATCCGCCATCCGCTGTCTGGCGCTGTCACCAACCCCCAAGGCCACGGACCCTGCTGAAGCCCCCAAGGTCATCTTGGCCAGCGGTGGAACGGATGAGCGCATCAATCTCTATTCCCTGTCGGCCGCACCCCCCGCCGTGAACGACGAATATCCCTCGGTGCCGACCTTGGCCGGAAACAAAATTCTCGAAAATCCGAAGAACCGCGAGCTAGGGTCGTTGTTGCACCATTCGGCCACCATCTCGGCCTTGGTTTTCCCGTCGCGCAGTAAACTGTTAGCTGCAGCGGAAGACAATACCATCTCAGTGTCCAAAACCCGTGATTGGAGCGTTGTCTCGACGATCAAGGCCCCGGGTCCCAAGGTGCAGGGCAGACCCAGTGGTGACACAGCGCCTCCCGGGGCAGCGCCGTCTGGAGTCAATCATTTTGCAGTGCATCCGAGCATGAAGTTGATGCTGAGCGTGGGGAGAGGAGAGAGGTGCATGCGGCTGTGGAATTTGGTGACGGGCAAGAAGGCCGGTGTGTTGAATTTTGGGAGAGAGGTGCTACAGAGTGTCAAGGAGAGCAGATGGAGCAGCGGAGAAGGCCGGCGGATTGCATGGAATCCCGAAGGAGAGAATTTTGCCGTTGCCTTTGAATGGGGCGCAGTGGTGTTTGGAATTGTAAGTTGCTATCGGTCCGAGTCACGACATGCTCTAATCATTTATACAGGACTCGACTCCAAAGTGCCGTGTCTTGCCCAGTCCCCGGAGCAAGCTGCACCAGATGAAATACATCTCCTTGGGAGAGGACCAGGCGGATGAGTTGCTTGCCGTGTCCACGGAGGATGGCCGAGTGATCTTCTATTCGACCATGGTGCTCCAGAAGGCGGAAGAGGATGATGAGTCTCCGATTCCTCACGCGACTCCGGTTGCTCAAATTGGTGGGAAACAGGCTGGCCTCCCCGGGCGCATCAAGGACTTTGAGATTCTGGGTCTGGAGGGGCAGTCGAAGGAATTCCGTGACAATTTCTTGGTGGTGACTGGCAACAGTGATGGGGTGGTGCGCATCTGGAAGATCACCGGTAAAGAGCTGGCGGCAAAACCATCCGCCGACGAGACTCGCCAGGTTGGAGATCTCTTGACGACCTATGAAACGGGCAATCGCATTACTTGTCTGGCATCTTTTATCATGCTGCCAGCCGAGGATCCATCCACTCTGCTGGACTCGGAGGCGGATGAAGAGGAAGAGGAAGAGGAAGAGGCCGAGTCAAGCAGCGACGAGAGCGATGAGGAATAGGGTTGATGTGATACCCAGCATGTAGAATAAATAGTATGTGGCATTCGGGGGTTTTGAAAAGAATAATTCCATGCTATCGTTTCCAAACAATAATTATTAGGCCGATGGAAGTCATCTCTCTCTGTAGTAGAACAATAGCCCACACTCACCGCCCACACTCCACTGCACAAAACTCCCCACTCCAGTTTCTTTCATCATGAGCCACACGCCGCATTTTTCTCTCTCGCTTCCATCCACCCCCACCACCACCCTAGAAGAAGGTTGACTCTCGCTGCTTCTTCGCCTCTCGCAATCATGGCTACCAACGGCGACTTTCCCGACGACGACTCCCAGCCCGGGTCCCCCGTGCTCGAGGCCACCAACCAGGACTTTGACGACAACCTAGACCAGGAAAAGCCCCTCAAGTCGGCCATGAAGAAGTCCGCGGCGCCTCCGGTATCCCAGCCCACGCGCCCAGAACTCCCCGAACAGCCCAACCCAGACACCCTCGACTTCTCAAAATTGACGCCCTTGTCCCCCGAGGTGATCAGCCGTCAAGCCAGTATAAACGTTGGGACAGTAGGACATGTCGCTCAGTTCGTGCATATTTCCTCGGGTGTTGGATTTGGCTAACACACTCCCCACAGCGGCAAGTCGACGGTCGTCAAGGCCATCTCGGAGGTGCAGACCGTCCGTTTCAAGAATGAGCTGGAGCGCAATATCACCATCAAGTTGGGTTATGCCAATGCCAAGATCTACAAGTGCGACAATCCCGCGTGCCCTCGGCCGACGTGCTACAAGAGCTACCGCAGTGACAAGGAGGTCGACCCGCCGTGTGAGCGGGAAGGATGTGAGGGACGGTACCGGCTGCTCCGACATATCTCCTTTGTGGACTGCCCTGGTCACGACATTCTGGTGGGTTGCCTATGTTTTGTCTGTTCGTTTCGCCTTTTTCCACTAACTAATCTATTTACATCTAGATGTCTACCATGTTGTCTGGCGCTGCCGTCATGGACGCTGCCCTCCTTCTGATTGCTGGAAACGAACCATGCCCGCAGCCTCAGACCTCGGAGCATCTTGCGGCCATTGAGATCATGAAGCTCAGCCACATTGTCATCCTGCAGAACAAGGTGGACCTGATGCGGGAGGATGCGGCCCTTCAGCACTACGAGTCGATTCGCAAGTTCATTCGTGGTACCGTTGCCGATGGCTCGCCCATTATCCCCATCTCCGCGCAGCTGAAGTATAACATCGATGCCGTCAATGAGAGTTTGGTGGCGAATATCCCGGTCCCCATGCGGGATTTCTCTGCCTCGCCCCACATGATGGTTATCCGGTCGTTTGACGTGAACAAGCCCGGTGCCGAGATCGACGAGCTCAAGGGTGGTGTGGCTGGTGGCTCCATCCTGACTGGTGTGCTCAAGCTGAACGATGAGATTGAAATCCGTCCTGGTCTCGTCACCAAGGATGAGAACGGCAAGATCCAGTGCCGCTCGATTTTCTCGCGCGTTGTGTCGCTCTTCGCCGAGCACAACGACTTGAAGTTCGCCGTGCCCGGTGGTCTGATTGGTGTTGGTACTCGGGTTGACCCGACGCTTTGCCGTGCTGATCGTCTGGTTGGTTTCGTGCTGGGCCACCGCGGCCGCCTGCCTGCCATCTACACGGAGATCGAGGTCAACTACTTCCTGCTCCGCCGCCTCCTGGGTGTCAAGACCGCCGACGGCAAGCAGGCCAAGGTGGCCAAGCTGGCTAAGAACGAAGTTCTCATGATCAACGTTGGCAGTACCGCCACTGGCGCCAAGGTGCTAGGTGTCAAGGCCGATGCCGCTAAGCTCAGTCTGACCAGCCCGGCCTGCACGGAGGTTGGTGAGAAGATTGCTATCAGTCGGAGAATCGAGAAGCACTGGCGTCTGATCGGGTGGGCCAACATTGTCGCGTAAGTCCACGTCTGATTTTTTTTCTTGTCATCTTGCTAACCCTTGTGATTAGTGGTAACACCCTGGAGCCCGTTTCAAACTAAACTCGCCCATTTTGCATGATGCCCCCAGCCCGAACAAAATAGGGAGAGGCTGCTCCGGCTCACTAGGCAGTCGTACCAGTGAGAGCGCATGTCTTGTCTGCGCTGCCACCTCCGGGCATTCGACCCCTGGGCACGAGTTCGCCGATTCCCAGATAATCGCAAGAGAAAAAGGGGGTTTTGTTACGATCACGACGAGACGGCAAGGTTACATGGAATGGCATTACAAAAACGGTGCCCCCTGCTGGATAGAAAGAGCGCAAGCAAGGATTCCGTCTCCCTCTGTTTTGGCCAGAGAGAAGATGTATCTGGACTGCGAGCCACGTTGGACGAAAGAAAAAATGGGTTCATTTCTATGATGTGTTCTAGGGAGTTGTATCCGAGGAGATTTCCCCGTTCTGTGCATTTATTATTACTATTGGATTTGGAGTGTAGATAGAGAATCCAGTTCTTGTAGTTGCTGCCCGTTTCTTTGTTTGTTCTTCCTTAGTCAGACGGGGCCACTGTTGTTTGCTTCTTCCTCGCCAGGAACACCTGTCTCTTTCGTTCTTTCTCTGTCACTGTCCTTGCGAGTCTGCAATCATGTATATTCTCGAGGTGAGTCGGCAAGAAATTAATTATATGCGCCTTGTTTCCCATTGGGCCACTCACTGACCCATCGTTTTGTCCGCTTCTAGCAACTCGCGCGTCTGCTCGACCGTCCGCTCTTCCCATGGAAGAACGTGCTCGTGGGCTTCTCGCTGGGCCAGTATGTGCTAGAGGGCCTCTTGTCGCTGCGGCAGTATAAGTTCCTGCAGCGCACGAAGGCTCCCAAGGTCCTAGAGGGCGAAGTGTCCCAAAAGGTCTTTGACCAGAGTCAGGTAAGGACACTTTATGATTCCCCCCCCTTTCAACGACAGGGCACCGCTAACTAGAGAATAATGAGCATAGGCATACGGTCGCGCAAAAGCCAAGTTCAACCTCGTCTCCGGTTTCTACGGTCAAGTCCAAAACCTGGTCTTCATCTACGGCGATGTCCTCCCCAAACTCTGGGGCGTCGCCGGTGTGGTGCTGGCGCGGTACTTGCCCGGACGGTTCCAGGGCGAAATCTGCCAGACACTGCTCTTTCTCTTCGGTTTCAACATCCTCAGTACTGTTCTCTCGCTGCCTGTCTCGTACTACAACACGTTCGTGCTGGAGGAGAAGTTCGGGTTCAACAAGCAGACGCTCAAGCTCTGGGTGACGGATATGCTGAAGGGCCAGATGCTGGGCATTGTCCTTGGCGCACCCATCATCAGCGCCGTGCTCAAGATCATTCAGAAGACCGGGACCTCGTTCTTCTACTACCTGTGGCTGTTTGGTATCTTTGTTCAGATCTTCGCGATCACCATCTACCCGATTGTCATTCTGCCGCTGTTCAACAAGCTCTCGCCGCTCGAGCCCGGTGCCCTGAAGACTGGCGTTGAGAACTTGGCCCAGAAGCTCAAGTTCCCGCTTCAGGAATTGCATGTTATCGATGGTAGCAAGCGTAGCGCTCACAGCAACGCCTACTTCTATGGTCTGCCGTGGAAGAAGCACATCGTCATCTACGATACGCTGATTGAGAAGAGTGAGCCCGAGGAGGTCGTTGCCGTGCTGAGCCATGAGCTTGGCCACTGGAGTCTGAGCCACACGACCAAGCTCTTCGGTATTGCGCAGTTCCACATGTTCTACATCTTTGCGCTCTTCTCCGTGTTCGTCAACAACAAGTCCCTGTACCAGTCCTTTGGTTTTGTCAAGGAGCAGCCCATCATGATTGGATTCCTGCTATTCTCCGACGCCCTGGCACCTATGGACGCCGTCGTCAAGCTGCTGATGAACATTCTGAGCCGCAAGTTCGAATTCGAAGCTGGTATGTTTATTATCTCATATACATCCTTCATCATCTATACTGACATGTTGTAGACGCATTCGCCCAGAATCTCGGCTACAAGAAGGAACTCGCTGCGTCACTCCTCAAGCTCCAGATCCAGAACCTGAGCACCATGGACGCCGACTGGATGTATGCCAGCTACCACTACTCGCACCCCATCCTCACGGAGCGACTCGGTGCGCTGGGCTGGAAGGGCGGTAATGTCACGGGCCGCAAGGAGGAGGACAGCGAGAAGCCCATTAAGGCGGCTGATCGTGAGCTGTAGTCTATTTTCCATGTTTTTTTCCTTCATGACCGAGAATCGGCGGATGCTGATGATATAGAGTGGCTTGGTTCATATGGGGTGGGAAGCAACGTACCTGGGCTACATGCAAACTAAATTATCTGGCGGATTCGATTCAATCCGCAATCAATGCTTTAGATGACTTTACTTATTTGGTTTCAAATGGAATGAATGCTTCTTTATATTCAGGGTAAAGACGAAGGAAGACACCCTTGTCAACCAATCAATCTATAGACCAAAAAAACTCCGACCCAATGCAATAACGCCTCCAGATCAGACCAGACATAGATAGACACAACCAGACAGGACAAAAAAGACCACTCAACACCCTTAGTTACCCGCCTTAGCCTTCTTCTCCAGTACCCTCCGCTCCTTCTTCCTCCTCTTGCGCTCTTCCTTATCAACAACATCCTTCCTCGCCTCCTGCTCCGCAAACGCCTCCGCCTCCGTCTCCATAGCCGGCTCCTCCCACGTCAAATCCTGCTCCTCCTCCCCATTCTCGCCCTCTATTTGCTGTGCAGATGCAGTGGTTGGATCTACCGCTCCCGCTGCAATATCCAGATAGTCCTCGCCAGGGTTCTGTTTCGCAACCGTCAAATCCCGGCCAAGGATTTCGCCTGCCAGCCCGGCTTGCACGCGCTTCAGGTTGTGCAGGATCAGGTTCGGCGCTGCGGCTGTTGTGCGCGAGACGGGGCCATGCTCGCTGATGCTAGCGTTTGGTTGCAGGGCTGGGTCGGTTGTTGCGCGGTCTAGGTAGGCTGCTAGGAAGTCGGCTGCGGCGGATTGGGGGATCGCGTGGGTGCTGTGCACTGTTGTTGGGGGGGGAGGGGGGATGGGCCTTGGGCTGCCATTGTGGTGTGTGGTATTGTTCCCAAGAAGATTGCAGAGATTGTAGGTAGAAAGTGTGCACTGAAGAAGTGTAGAAGCGTAAATGAATGCGCGACCAAAAAAAAGTTCCACTCACGCTAGTCCCGATGGGGCAAGAAGCACGATTTCTCCCCGTCCGTCTCTCTTGTCTCCTTCACCTCGACATCCGACCCTCTCTCACCATCACAACCCACCGCACCCAAGCTCCCATCATGCTCTGCCTCCGCTGCAGGGCCCTGCCCTCGGTCCGGTCACCAATGCCTACCCGTTCATTGAACAGGTATGTTTACACTCAACACCTTCCAACGTATCCATCCCATAAAACCACCACCACCCACTAACACCACCACAGAACCACTCAAGGCGCACCTCACAACTCACCAATCACCCCAATGGTCTCGTCCCGCTCCTTCTCCTCAACCCTCTTCTCAAGCCCAATCCGCCAGCTGCAGCCAACACCACAGACCAGCACCAGCAGCCGCATCATGTCTTCTCGACTCCCGTCCACAGCAATCCCATCCGTATCGTCATCGTTGTCACTATCACCAGTGACGTCCCTCCTCCAATCCCAATCCCGCGCCTTCTCCTCAACGCCCAACCTCGGCGTGCGCCGCTCTACCTACAACCCTTCGCGCCGGGTGCAGAAGCGACGGCATGGGTTCCTGTCGCGGTCAAAGACCAAGAATGGGCGGAAGATTATCCAGCGCCGGAGGTTGAAGGGGAGGAAGAACATGAGTTGGTAGATTGAGGATTGTTTTTATAGAGAGATAGAGAGAAGGGGGGTTGTGGATGTGGACGAGCTAGTTTTGGTTTAGGAGATTGTGCATGTGTGTTTCGAAGGAAGAATGTTTGAAAAGGGACAAAGAGAAAGAGAGAGGGAGGGAGAGATTCTTGAGAGCCGAGATTAAAGGTGGTATAGAGGATTTTTCTTTTTCTTTTGTCCTGTTCTCTGTGGTGGACTGTACCTTTACCATTGGGGGGATCTGTGGACGTGTATCATATCCTGAAGTTTATTGAAGAAACAATCCGATATCTGGATCTTGACCTTCTTTGCTTTCTCTGGGTCACACCTATAAAAGTATCTAAAGATCGGATACGATTGGTGGTGAATTATTGCCTATTCTCTTCTACCACAAGGCTCATCAATGTTTATATGTATGTACGGAACTGCTTGTATACAGTTTACTCAAGTACTCAGAGTCGTAGACCGCATCACTCATCATCATCCTCATCACTCTCCTCCGAACCAGTTTCCTCGTCGTCTTCGTCGTCGTCGTCGTCGTCATCATCCTCATCCTCTTCTTCATCACCATCCAGCTTGAGGCCATAGTCATCCTCGAAATCCTTGAGGAGCTGGACCTTGGGCGTGAACCCAGAGGTTTCGAAGCTCTTCTTGATGGACTATGGCAAAAACAATCAGTATGCAAGCCGGCAACGAACAAAAGAGAAAAAAAGCTCACCTCCTCCAAGACCGTGCCACAGGTCACAACCACATTAGCAGTATCCGGCGCAAACAGCGGCAAGAGAAGATCCCGCAGAGCACCTTTCACCTCTTCGACACTGATATCGCGCACCTTCTTGAGCATCCGCTCCTTGTAATCAGCGGGCAGATTGCGCACGACTTGGCGAATGAAACTACCCTGCGCAGCGCTGGCAGCGGTTGTCTGCTCATTGGCGAAGCTGACCACAATACTGCTGATAGCACCCTCCAGCATCAGCGGGTCAAAGGACGTGGCGCCGGACAGATGGCTCTCCACGAGTTCTTTACTGGACTCGAACGCCTTGTATGCGTTTGGAGAGCGGTACACGTCAAAATTCACAAAGCCCGTGTCGATGTTGTATGCGAAGTTGGTGCCGTAGGCCAGACCGGTGCCGCGTACGGCGACCCACAGGGGACCCTCGACGGCGTTCATGTAGGCGATTGCGACGAGTAGCGCCGGCAGCTTCGGGTGGTCGTAGGAGTCGAGGCCGCGGCCTGTGGCGTAGAGGTAGGACGAGTCCACTGTCGGCATGGGGACGATGTAGAACTCGCCGCCGATCTGCTTGCCGGCATCGCTGAGCAAGGCGCGTCGGTTGGTGATGGGCTGCAGGGTGGTGCTGGTCCCCAGACGGTCGGCAAATGTCTTCCACGAGGAGACAGGGCGAGGGAGCTTTTCGAGGTCGGCGATCACAATCACCCTCACGTTTTCGGGCTGGAAGAGTGACTTGCGGATCTCCTCCATGCGGCTCACAATCGAATCGGGCTGCTCGGCGAGCAGGCGCTTGACACGCTTGAGGTAACGTGCCTTGACCAGAGTAGACCGGGCCCGAACGATGGACTCTTCTCCGTAGTGGACCATGACGTGCACGGCAGCGAGCATGTCATCGCCGCTGCGCTTGGAGTCGGGTACATCGGCCAGGAGGCGGGTGGTGATGGCGCGCAGGCGTTCCACGTCGAAGATTGAGTTCCAGCATAGTTCCTGGATCCAGGCGATGGCAGTGTTATACTTCTCCAGCTCCACCTGGAAGGAAACGCGCAGCATCTCTGAGTTTCCAAGGCTGCGAGCACCCTCCATTCCGTATCCAACAGTATCTCGCTCCAATTCCACGATGACTTCTTCGAAGTCGATCGTCTTGCCATCGCGCTGAACCGGGATGCTGAAGAAAGCCTCGGTGTAGACCGCCAACAAAGGTCGGAGTTGAACTGGTACAGATTTTGCCGAGATGAGAACCGACAGCTGCACAAAGCTGCTGCTGATGTGCTCGAAGTGGATAAAGAGCGGAAGGCCCGACTCGTCCGCATCAACGAGCTTCTGGATCTTGTGCTCAGGATGACCAGCTTTCAGAGCAGCGCCGGATCGGGCGGTCGTGGTCTCCGTAAAATGAATTGACTCGGTTCCAGGAATACGGAACGCCTCCAGCAACTCCTTCGGGACCTCCTTGTCGTTCTGAGCCTTTGCCTTCTCGAGCTTGTCGGCGAGTTCCTTGAGTCCATTTTCACCAAAACGTTGCTTCTGCGCAGCAACGCGGGCCTCCTCGTCCTTCTTCAGTTTCTCAGACATCTTCTTGGACGGAACGCCCAAGATAGTGACATGAGGGGCATCGGCGATCCATTTCTTAATGAAAGTGCGCCATTCACCCTCGGTCCAGTTCTCTAAGATGTCGTATTCCTTCAATGATGCAACATCCAACATCGTGGAGCCATCTCGCTTTCCAAACAGAAAGTCTGAAATGACATACTCAGCGAACGATGAGGCGGAGTTCTCTGTCGAGAACTTCCAAGTCCGGCGTTGCCGGTCAATGCATTCCTTCAGATACTTCATGTCCAGCTTTTTGCTCATCGCATCGTTCAGGATCTCGAAGAATCTCTTCTCCACCTGTGCGAGCTTTTCTGTCTCCACGCTGGTGAGAGTAAACCGAATCTCCATGCTGGGGTGGTCTTCCGTTGCGTAGTAGACTGCACTGGCAAGTTGCTCCTTCTCGACAATGATATTTTCCAACAGAGATGCAGACGAGCCAGCCAGATACAATAGTGACACATTCACGGCACCGGCTACGAAAGAGTCAATATCCACTGCAGCATAAATGACCAGAAAACTTACTTTGAACAGGATCGGTGCAATCCGGTCCCAAAAACCGAATTTCAATCTCACCAGACGACTCATCCTCCTCGGGAAACTCCACTGTCTTGATAATCGACTTCTCCAGTGCCGGAGCTTGCTTCGAGTCAACCCAGGGCCGCGTGAATGGCGAGTCGGGGCTAGGAATAACATCCAAGATAGTGTCTTCAAACTTGTCTAAAATTTCCAACATGTTCTTCTGGTCCACCTCTCCGGTGAGGATCAAACACAGATTCTTAGGCTGGTACATTTCACGGTGAAATTCCCGAATGCGGTCGGCCGTGAGCACACGGAGCTGCTCCATCATACCACCAGTCTCATACCGGAAACCCACGCCCTCAGGGTAGGTAAGCCGGCGGGCCGTCAAATCAATGAGCTCTGCGGCATTGTTTTGGACGCCCTGCATCTCCGAATAGACAACTCCCGCATCATTGCCGGTGCCGTCAATATGATGCACTTCGGTATAGCAACCTTCATCAGTCAGAGTCGGCGCAATCACATGCTCCAGGTAGACTGGCAGGATTCGAGAAAAGCCTTCCCAGCCTGCCGTGTCCAGCGTATAAGCCGTGTGGTCAGTAGCAGTCCATGCGTTGGTGCTGGAGTACACTCGGGTCGCTAGCTTATCCAAAAAGCCCTTGTAGCGATAGTTGCGAGAGCCCATGAAACATAGATGCTCCAATGTATGCGGGGCGCCTGAATCATCATGGATCTCCGTGGCAAGCACAAAGTACCCATTGACCTTTGGGCCTTTTTGGTCGATGACCACCACTCTCATGCCAGTGCGTTCCGACTCATACTGAGTGAACTCGCTCGGCGAATAGTCCGGCTTGAACTGCTGCAGCAGTTTGAAGTGGCTATTCTGCACCGAGGGCGACATCTTGTTCCAAGGGGGCCCGGGGAGAGTATCCCGGCGAAATATGGAAGATCTGGGGCGGCGTTAGCTATTTTGGTCTTCGAACTTTTTTCGGCAGAGTGTGCAGTCAAATAACATCGGAGAAAAGCTCCAAACAGGCACCAGGGAGGGTATGCACCGGATCCACGAATGGTTCCAAAACGCTGGCAGTACAGAAAATAGTAATACAAGAGCAGCTATGGCCCATTGAGTCATGCTGCAGGGGAGAACCTTTAGGGACGGTCCTGTGACATGCTGCTATCTCAGAGGTGGGATGTTGGTGGGGGTGGACAAAGCACACAGTAGAACAGGGATGCAACAGGATGCTTGGATATGATCAAAGAGAGAGAGAGAGAGAGAGAAAACACTCACAGGGACCGAGTAGATTGTGCCCTCGTCAGGCCTCGCAGACAAGAAGACAACACGGTGGGATGAGAGAAGATGGAGCCCGGCGGAGGTTGGGTCCCGAACTTACAAAGCAGCGCGAGTGATGGGCAAGTGGCGTATGCAGACGGACTGATCGAGGTATATTCCGTTCCTATTATTCTTTTTATTCCCGTATGATTCTTATTATAACAATTGTCATTGTAAGAGAACAATCCGAGAACAGAAAGGGATATAGTAGGAGTCGCTAAGCTGACGATTGGACTAACTAGTTATGTGGCTTATGTAATTGGCGTAGACAGCTTAGGTGTCCGGCTCGGCGGATTGTTCTGTCAACAACCTCCTGCTCTCGCTCCAGCATGTCCCAGTCCGAGGAGCAAGTCTGCCAGGCGGTGCTAGGCTTCGTGACCGAGGGCGTCTATCCCGAGGAGAAGGTAGTCGCGGGAGAATTCCCCACGACGGCTCTTGCGCGCGAATTAGAGCTCATCGCGCAGGCCACAGAGCAGGTCGAGGTGAGACAGAGACACCGTTGAACTCCCCTGTGGTGGTCAGTACTGACGGATAGATTTTATTGAGTAGAATGAGATCAGCTCCCTCAGCCGCGAGAGCGCCTTCGACGCCGATGATTGGATTGACCAGGCAAAACAACTACACGCCGACATTGAGCGCTCCAGAGTCACTGCGCGCGAGATTGTTGCCCAGCATGAACATACCAAACCTCTACAGGCAAGAGTGGAAGATGCCAGCGCCAAGGTTGGGTTGATCGAGACCGAGATCGCGTTCAACCAAGCTGTCACCGACACCCTGGAGGGGGTGCAGCGACTGTGCCAACAGATCGAGGCGGGGAGGGCGGCTTTGAGGAATGGCCAGATTACTGTCGCTATTGAGCAGATGGAGTCTACCGAAGCTGATCTCCAAAATGGCTCCTCCTTCGCCAATACCAATGTGATGGACATACTCTCTTTCGAGGTGGCACGATTGCGACAGGAAGTGGTGGAAGCTCTGCGTTCCCGCTGGGATGATCATTTGAAAATCGACCGGCAGAAAGGCGAATTTCGGGTCTGCAAGGATGAGGGTGCTGACTCACTGGAGAATACGATTGTGTCTCTTTCCCGGGTGGGCATACTCGAGTCCGCAACTGCCAAACTCCAAAAGGACCTTCTTTCTGCGGTTATCGAACCGGTATTGCTGCCCGACACCGATCAACTCGGTCACGGAGTGATAGTGGCGGATTCCGGCATCCGGATCGAACCTAAGCCTTCCAAGGCGAGCGTTTCGGACACATTGGACCGCACCACGAAAGTCCTGGGTTACCTTCAACAGAATCTGCCGTCACCGGTCTCGGCTGCTCTTCCCGAGTCATTCATTCCCACTGTCGCCTCGAAGATTATAGCGACGTGGCTGTCATCTGCGATCCCTACAAATTTGGATGGTCTCAGTGGTTTTGAGGAAACCCTAGATCATGTTCTACAATTCACCCGAACGATTGAGTCCTGGGGCTGGAGTGGCCAAGAAGAGCTCGTCTCATGGGTAAATCAAGCCCCTCGCTTGTGGTTGACTAGGCGCCGTGTCGACTCACTTGACAGTGTCCGCAAGGTGATTGCGGCTAGTCAAGGGACTACCAAGCAGGTTGAGCGGATTGAAAAGGAGCAGGTTTCTCAAGCGGATGGGGCTCTGCTGGACAATGCTCCTACCGACGACTGGGATGCTGGCTGGGATGACGACGAGGAAGAAGATATAGCCGATAAGCCCGTAGCACCACTGCCTGAGGAAGAGGAGGAAGATGTCAGCGCTTGGGGTCTTGATGAGGACGAGGAGGAAATACCAGAGGAGACGAAACCAGAAGCACCCGCTGAAGCGGAAGATGATGACGCTGACGATGCCTGGGGTTGGGGTGATGAGGACGAAGACGCTCAAAGGAGCCCTAGTGAACCATTGCAGCCCAAACCTGCTGCTGCTCCGTCGAAATCTGCGAATGGGGAGCGGACCGTGCCGTCCTCTTCTCCGAGAGAGGTTACGCTGAAAGAGGTATACACCGTGACGGATATCCCGGACTCGATTATCAAAGTTATTCGGCAACAAATCGACGATTCGAAGAATATATCGCAGCCAGCGTAAGTATTAACGTCACATCTTGGGTCCTAGGCAAGCTAACAAACGCTTAGGCACTCTCACTCCCGGGTCGCCTCTTCTGGCGCGGGCCTGCTAGCATTGCCTACATTGATCTTGGCGATGTTCAAAGCCACTTCGTCTTCTTTCTACTCGTTGAAGCTCGCATCAGGGCAGATGTATCTCTACAACGACAGTTTATACCTCGCCGAGCAGGTTCGTCAACTTGTCGAAAAGCATGACCTTTCGCGGCTCAACTCCGATGTGGAAGCACTTGAAAAATTCGGCAAGCTGGCCTACAGCAAGGAGATGCAGACTCAGAGAACCATCGTCACCGACCTGCTTGATGGTGGCCAAGGCTTTGGGCAATGCTCGGAGCAACCCTTTCGCGCAGAGTGCGAGAACGCCGTCAGCGCCACTGTCGACCGAATCCGCGACGTCTACAAGGAATGGCATCCGATCTTGTCGCGCTCTGCACTTCTTCAGTCTGTCGGTTCTTTGTTGTCTACGGTGATCAATAAGATCATCATCGACGTCGAAGACCTGGGGGATATCTCGGAGGACCAGTCGCAGGAACTGGTGTCTCTCTGCAACCAGGTGTCCCAGCTCCAGGACCTGTTCATGGCCGAGAGCAACGACAACAGCGAAGCCGTCCCGGTCACTGCTGTTTATGTGCCGAACTGGCTTCGATTCCAGTATCTGATCAACATCCTAGAGAGTTCGCTGGCCGATATCAAGTTCCTTTGGCTGGAGGGCGAACTGCGCCTGGAATTCTCCGTGGAGGAAGTAGTAGACCTCATCGAGGCGCTGTTTGCCGAATCAGACTACCGGCGACGGGCCATTGCTGAGATTCGGAGGGCATTGCAGGCATAGTGAAAATAAAATGTATAGCTGAATTCAACCTGTTCATAGAGTGAGTGATCAATAATGACAAACCTCCGGGAGTTGCGCAAGTGGCCGCACCGCTCGCCGTATTTTTTTTCCTCAACCCGCGCAATTTCTTCGACTTGCGACAGCCACAAGGAACAACTCTCCATCTACCGTGATAGCAATCGCTCAGTCACACCATTATGAACGGAGACCAGACGGTGGATTTTGCAGCGGAGGCGCCTGCGCAGAGGCAGGTTCGTGTGCATCTCACCAGCAAGCAGGAAGAGATTGCTTTGCCTGAAAGCACCGGCCCGATCCTTGTTCCCACAGGTATGAATGATCACCGCCTTTTATTGTAAGTCTCTTGTTAATGTCTGAAAAGGATTACGACGATATGCGCTGTCGACGCTGGTGAACAACCTTCTCTCAACGGAAAAGCCGGTCCCGTTCGAATTTTTGATCAATGGAACATTTCTGCGTACCTCGATCGACGAATACCTGACGGCGAACGGCATCTCCTCTGAGACGACTCTTGAGATTGAATACGTGAGAGCACTCATTCCGCCGCTGCACATTGCGTCGTTCCAGCATGACGACTGGGTCAGCTCGGCCGACGTCCTCTCTACAACCTCGCCCGCCGCCTCGTGGGCCTCGGGAGCCACTGTCGCAAAGGGCCAAGAGAGAATATTGTCTGCAAGCTATGACGGTCTGCTTAGAATATGGAATATGTCTTCAGAGACCATCGCGACCTCCCCCGCTGCCGCCGACGGTGGCCACAGCGCATCCATCAAAGCCGCCAAGTTCGTTTCTCCGCACCAGATCGTCTCGGCGGGTTTGGACCGCACAGTCCGGTTGTGGAAGTACTCGGAGGAAGAGGATGGCTTCTCGGGGAAAATTTCTCCCCAGCTGGAGCTGTACGGTCACAAGTCGGGGATCGACTCACTCGCTGTGCATGCCCCGTCCAGCCGTATTCTGACGGCTTCGTCGGATCACACCGTCGGGTTCTGGTCGAGCAAGAAGACTGAATCTCCCGCTGCACCGGAGAACTTGCTTCCATCAAGCGTCGCTCGTACATCGAAGCGACGGAAGCTGAACTCGTCCGTTAGCACGCCCCAGCGTGGGCCGCTGGCCCTCTTGTCGGCCCACACGGGACCAGTCTCTGCGGCCATCTTCGATGCACGAGACTCGACGGTTGGATACTCGACGTCATGGGACCACTCACTGCGGACCTGGGATCTGGTGACTTCATCTCTGGTCGACACACGCACCACATCCCACTCGCTTCTTTCTCTGGAGCACCTTCCCGATCTTCACCTCTTGGCTGCGGGTACTTCTGCCCGCCACATCACCCTAATTGACCCTCGCACATCGGCCACGACTCTGTCAGCAATGACGCTACGGGGCCACACGAACGCGGTGGTGAGCCTGGCGCGGGATCCGCACAGCACATACGGCCTGATCAGTGGCAGCCACGACGGCACCTGCCGGATCTGGGATATCCGGTCTACCAAAACGGACAAGGACGGCGTGGTAGGTGAGAGTGTCTACACGATCTCACGGAAGAGTCTCGAGGAGGAAGGGAAATCCGACAGCAAGCGGGTTGGCGGCGAGGGTGTCAAGGTGTTCAGTGTGTGCTGGGATCAGCAGGTGGGCATTGTCAGCGCGGGCGAGGATAAGCGGATCCAGATCAATCGCGGCGAAGGGGTGTTGTCGTCCAAGGAATAGAGCTGCACATATGGGATTTGGCGTTGATTTGGCAGACAAAAGTACGCATGTATTCAATTGTGTTGGAGCGTTGATGAATGTTAGAATATACTAGTTGGTTCGCTACACCTTGTGTCATATGCTAATTCAATTCATGCCTCAATGTCATATTGGGCTCTAGCGTATAATACAATCCAGTAAAAGATACAAACAGCGGGCCCTTGAATCGAGTTCCAGGCGCTGACAAAAAAAAAACGCCATTCCCATGCATCTCACAAACGCGAGGTACGTAAACCCCAGAATCCCCCAAAGCCACATTAGAGCTTGCGCTCCATGCGGTTCAATTTAACCGGCGTTTTAATCTGCAATCCAACATGGTCAGTTTGATTTGATCCCTCCAACCCGGAGCAAAGCAAAAACCGACCTGAGTGCGCGTCCTCTGGCCTCGCACGGGCAATCCCAACGCATGCCGCCGACCCCGGTACGTGCCCGTCTCCTTTAAGCGCTTGATATCATTCAGGACTTCTCGGCGTAGGTCATTCTCGATCTTCATGTCCGACAGCGCGGCGGTCAGGTCGAGGACTTGCTTGTTGGCTAGCTCGCTGACGCGGCAGGTTGGGTGGATGTGGAAGCGGGCGAGGAGGCGAGAGGAGGTATTGTTACCTATGCCGAAGAAGTTTTCGAGGGATTTCTGGGCCATGGTGTTAATTGGATTGCAATCGGGTGTCTGATGGGACAGACTGCAACTGGGGGAGGGTGCGCACCTTGAGCAGATTCCGCTCGGGGAAATTGACGCCAAGGATGAAGACCTGTGGAATTTGTGTTAGAGATAAGGGGCTGGAAGATGTGTCGGAAGGGGACTCTATGTACCATGGTGATGTGATGGGTGTTGTTCAGTATTCAGTCAGTCCCTCGATGGTCGGGAGAAATCCTACGGCAACAACGTTGTTCCGAATTGGTGCCTGAACCACCAGGCCACGTGTGTTTCTCCGCATCAACCTTGCAAGCTGGCCTCGTCACCTCATTCTTCTCTCTTTCTCTTTCATCCACTGCCTGCCTTCCCCCCTTCCCCGAAAGCAGTGCCAATTGCTACCAACCATGCAGTTCCGAAACCTCTTCCTGTCGCTCTTCCTCGTCCTCGCGGTCGGCTTCGCCCTGGTCCAGGCTGAGGAGGCAAAAGAGCCTCGCGGCCCAAAGATTACCCATAAGGTGATATGTGATTTCTCAGCATGTCAATTTCAATGCTGACGACTCTAGGTTTATTTTGATATCCAGCATGGAGACGAGACCCTGGGTCGGGTCGTGATGGGCTTGTACGGCAAGACTGTCCCCAAGGTGAGTGCAGTCCTGATCAGTGCCATTGAGAGCAGCTCTGACTTTCCTTTCTCTATGTCAGACTGTGGAGAACTTCCGGTAAGGGCATCATCACACCGTCTCGTGGTGAACGAGTTATTGACACGGTTCCAGCGCTCTGTGCACCGGCGAGCAGGGCTTCGGCTACGAGGGCTCGTCCTTCCACCGGGTCATCAAGAACTTTATGATCCAGGGTGGTGACTTCACCAAGGGCGATGGTTCGTGGATTCCTCTGCTGGCTGGCTGGCCCTAACTCCGATATGCAGGTACCGGCGGAAAATCGATCTACGGCAACAAGTTTGCCGATGAGAACTTCAAGCTGCGCCACACCAAGAAGGGTCTCCTCAGTATGTTTCCCTTACTTTTGAGTCTCGGTTTGTGGTATCTCTAACTGGTCTCTAGGCATGGCGAATGCCGGCAAGGACACCAACGGCTCGCAGTTCTTCATCACCACTGTCGTTACGAGGTACATCTTGTCCTACCTCTCCTATCCCGTACCCAAGCTAATGGATATCCAGCTGGCTCGATGGCAAGCACGTCGTCTTCGGCGAAGTCCTCGAGGGCTACGATATCGTCGACAAGATCCAGGACTTCCCCCAGAACCGCGCCAACAAGCCGGACGTCGATGTCAAGATCGTGAAGAGCGGAGAGCTCGAAGTGCCGGCCGAGGCCGAGGCCGAGGACCAAGGTAGCCGCGACGAGCTGTAGCTGCTACGATTTTCTGGCGGGGCTGATGATGCTCAAGAACCCATCGAAACCCCAGCGCCCGCGCCGGTGGTCACCGAACCGACATCCTCGTCCTACCCGTCGCTCCAGCCATTTGTTATCTTCGTGGTGCTGGTGGCCGTGGTGGTGTTCCTGCTCAAGCGACGCCGCACCCCCCAGTCCGAGGAGAAGGAATTTGAGGCGTAGTTTATATATACTACATGTAGTATACCTAAGTCACCATTTGAACCAACTAGCGTGCGGCGTGCTCCCCGGCCGGCCTTAGTCATGCGTAGGTGGCTCAGCGAAAATTCTGGCCACGCTGAGTACTGTATGGATGTACGCACCGTGTTTTGGCCGGTAACTTACGATCTCGATTAAGGCCAGCCCCTGTACTGCCGCCCCACACCGATTTTTGCCTCTTTCCGCCTCCCACAGATTTCCATCGCCATCTGAATTTGACCATCATCCCTTTTTTCCCTCCACCATCCATCTTTCTCTTTTCTTCTCTCCTCCTTCATAGAGTTTCTTAGAGTTGGGAGATTTGCATTTTCGTCTACACCCTTTTGTGTGTGCTCTGCTGCTCTGCTTTCTTTCCTTCTGTCGTTTGCCACTTGACTTCTTTTCGAGTGGAACCCGACAGTGAGTCTCAGAGACCTGTTTCTTCTTTCCTGCTGCAAGTATCTTCGCTAGATCGCTTGCAACCCACCACCGACAACAAAAAAAGTTCGTGCACTTCCTGATCCTCCTCCCAGACACGCCCACTGACCACCCAACTCCCAGCCGTCTTTTTTTCACCAACAACCGCAAAATGGCCGACGGTCTTCAGATGGGCAATCTGTCCATCAGCGACTCTCAGCACGCTGGCCCGCCCGCTCCCACTGGCCGGTCTGCCTACATCCCCCCTCATCTCCGCCAGCGCGGCATGAACGCGGCTCCCAGCATGGACGCTGCTCCTCCCCCAGGCCCTGGCTTCGGTGGTCCCAGGAACGCCCCTCGTGGTAACTGGGCCAATGCCAACGACTTCAGCCCCCGCGGCCCCCCCAATGGTAACCTAAACTGGAACTCTGACGGTCAACGCCGGCCCTTCGATCCCTATGCTTACGGACATCCAGGTCACGGAGGTTCTTACGGTGGCGGTCACAGCAGCGGCGGCGCTTCTGCCCGCGGCTCGGGAGATGGCCAGTGGCGCGATGGCAAGCACGTCCCCGGTCCTGCCAACGCTCGTCTGGAGCGTGAGCTTTTTGGCGTTCCCAACGACCCCACGAAGCAGCAGACCGGTATCAACTTCGCCAACTACGATGATATCCCTGTGGAGGCCAGCGGTAACGAGGTCCCGGAACCCGTCAACACCTTCGAAAACCCCCCGCTCGACGATCACCTTCTTTCGAACATCAAGTTGGCTAGCTATCTGACCCCGACCCCGGTCCAGAAGTACTCCATCCCCATTGTCATGAACGGCCGCGACCTGATGGCCTGTGCCCAGACCGGTTCGGGCAAGACTGGTGGTTTCCTCTTCCCCATCCTGTCTCAGGCCTTCCAGAACGGTCCGTCTGCGGCTCCTGCCCAGGCGGCTGGCCAGTTCAGCTACGGCCGTCAGCGCAAGGCTTACCCCACCTCTCTCATTCTTGCTCCCACCCGTGAGCTGGTCTCTCAGATCTTCGACGAGGCCCGCAAGTTCGCCTACCGCTCGTGGGTGCGCCCTTGCGTCGTGTACGGTGGTGCCGACATTGGCTCCCAGCTGCGCCAGATCGAGCGTGGCTGTGACCTTCTGGTTGCCACCCCTGGTCGTCTGGTCGATCTGATTGAGCGTGGTCGTATCTCGCTGATGAACATCAAGTACCTGGTTCTTGACGAGGCTGACCGTATGTTGGACATGGGTTTCGAGCCGCAGATCCGCCGCATTGTGGAGGGCGAGGACATGCCCGCCGTGGACCAACGCCAGACTCTCATGTTTTCGGCCACTTTCCCCCGCGACATCCAGATGCTTGCCCGTGACTTCCTGAAGGACTACGTCTTCCTGTCGGTTGGTCGTGTTGGTTCCACCTCGGAGAACATCACTCAGAAGGTGGAGTACGTCGAGGACAACGACAAGCGCTCGGTGCTGCTGGATATTCTGCACACCCACGGCAGCACTGGTCTGACCCTGATTTTCGTGGAGACTAAGCGCATGGCCGACTCCCTGTCGGACTTCCTCATCAACCAGCGCTTCCCGGCCACTGCCATTCACGGTGACCGCACCCAACGCGAGCGTGAGCGTGCTCTGGAGTTCTTCCGCAACGGCCGCTGCCCCATCCTGGTGGCCACTGCTGTTGCTGCCCGTGGTCTGGATATCCCCAACGTCACCCACGTCATCAACTACGACCTGCCCACCGACATTGACGACTACGTCCACCGGATCGGTCGTACCGGCCGTGCTGGTAACACTGGTATCGCGACTGCCTTCTTCAACCGCGGCAACCGTGGTGTCGTTCGTGACCTGATCGACCTCCTGAAGGAGGCCCATCAGGAGGTCCCCTCCTTCTTGGAGAGCATTGCTCGCGAGGGCAGTGGCTTCGGTGGTCGCGGCGGTGGTCGTGGCCGTGGCCGTGGTTCTTCCAATGCCACCCGTGACGTGCGTCGCTTCGGTGGCGGCATGGGTGGTGGCCCGCCCTCTTCCTTCGGCGGCGGCATGGGCGGTGGTGGTGCTGGCTACGGCGCTCCTCCCTCGTATGGTGGCTACGGCGGCGGCGGCGGCGCTCCCTCGTACGGCGGTGGCTACGGCGGCGGCGGTGGCTACGGCAACCCGTCCGGCCCTACCGGCCCATCTTCCTGGTGGTAAATTAACTGTGTGGTCTTATGACGAGGCCGTCAGGTCTGATTGGCTCCCATTTATTTTTCCTTTTCTCTCTTTTGACGGACACGATCAGAACGAAGCCCTGGGTTTCTTCTCCTCCTTTGCTGTTTCTCCAGGGACGGCTTTGTCATGACTTGCACGACTTTCCTATGCGTTTTTTCTGTTTAGAGTTATGCCTTGCTGCCTATGTGCCTCTGATCTTTTCCTCTTCCTGTACTTGTCTTACTCGCTCCCCATTTCGTGCGCTGGACTGGCTTCTCTCTCCATACTGGGCCCGTTTTCCCTTGCGGGCGCCCTGTTCGAGCAGCCCGATTTCCTTTTTTCCGTTGCTCCTGATGGAGCAATCCGCGATCGGACCTGCATGAACATGATAGAATGCGTTGTCTTTTGTTTTTTTATGTCCGCTGTCATCAGATACCCCTTCATGTTCGAGCGTCCCAAAAAATGGTGGACGACGTTCGAATGACGCTTGCCGAGCGGAGTGTGCCGGCGAAAAAAAGTGGCATGTTACGGTGTTTTTTTCGCATCGCATCTCCTTTCGGCGCTTGTTGTGGCTGCAACGGCGTGTGTCCTTGCAGCATAGACTTCTTGTCCAGCGTCTCACGGTATCTCATGGCGGGCCTTTTTTCTTGCTTATGTGTACGCGTTCTACCGTCGATTTTATTTTTTCGAAAACCAAAATCGCGCTTTCTTTCTCCTGGGCTGTTGTGGAGGGTTTCGAGTGGGAATTGTTTGCATTCTGTACGGCGTTGGCTCGACCTAAATCCCCCGTGCAGAGAGGAATGGTTGCCGAATGGGATCTCTTCCTATGTTATTTTCCTTGTCTGTTTCATGTCTCAGATCCGTGGAGGATATGTCGAAGGGAGACGACAGATGGGCGCGAGATGTCGAGGCCTCGCGAGAAGGAAAGCCTTTTAATGCAGGAAAAGTGTTTGATTCAAAAGAACGTTCCCAGCTGCGTAATTGCGTAATTTTTGTAGATGTAAATGGGTCGGGTGCCCGACACCTCAGGTGTCGTGTCAGCTATCGCGATGCCCGTCCAATCGCGGCAAGGAATCTGCGGTCACACACCCTGGCTTCGGTTCCCTCCTTTTCATTATTGTTCCATCCATCTTCATCATACCATATCAATCTTCACCCCCCTGGTTCCCTTCCCTCACCTCTGCCTCCCGCGCAGTTCCTGAGCTCATCTCCTGATCCTGTCTGACCTACTCGAGCCTCCTACTTCGACTGGGCGACCACGCCTCCAGTCCCTACGCAGACCAGCCACGCTCCCAAATTCCCCGATCCCAGGGGGGCGCCACCGCAACCCCAGACCTCCCCAATCCACCCAATCCACCCGCGAGTGGCACCATCCAAGATGGCCGAAGTCGACAATCCCCCGATGGACGAGTCCTTCCCGGCGTCCGAGGCCGCCGACGACAATCCCTCCCATGGCAACACGGCGAGCGCGACGGTCGGGACAAGACGACAGGCCAACGGCACGATTGGCTCTGTCTACTCGGGCAACAAGATCCGGCATCTCAAGAAAGAAGACGGCATCCCCCTCTGGCGCAAGGATATCCAGTATCAATTCCTGAAGCTCGTTTTCGAAGACAAGACGCCGGTCTTCACGCGGTATCCGGATGGTCAGAAGAAGTGCGACTTTGCCGATATCTACATCGATGCTATGGCCAGGAGTAGTAAGACGAGCAAGATTCTCAAGGATAAATTGCAGAATGACAAGCCCGCTGCTATTAGCATGGCGATGGTCTGTCTGCTGGTGAATTTTGGGCGCATGAATACCACTCTCAACTGTATGTCTGGCTCTATTTTCTCTTTGTTCCGTGGAAGAATACTAGCTAACTCATTTTGTCCCTGCTAGTCTTCCCCGAAATGCGTGCTCAGCTGCGAACCTACCACTCCATCCCTTCGCTACAAGCACACCAGGACTCGAACGCCTACAAACAACTCCAGGATGCCCCGCGCCTGAAGTCGATTCTCAAGGGCGCATCAGAGGACGTCGACCAACCCAACACTCTAGACAAGATCAAGCGGCAGAATGTGCCGCGGACGAACCCGGTCAACCTCATCTTCGTCCTGGCGCAGTACGCGCCTAAAGTTTCGGAGACGCATTTCTTCCCTCCCAGGGACTTCTTCGACCTGGTCATGAGGTCCACGCTGAGCAGCCATAGTCGTGCCCGAGCGTTCCTGTGGCTGATGTGGTGGTACTTGGAGAGTGACTTCAGCCGCGAGGCTGCGCTCAACAATCCGTTCGGTGCGGGTCTGGATGGCGATGGGTCGGAGGGTTTGCCTCTGAAAGTGCCTGCTTTCGAGATTTTGACGGAGGAGCAGGCCAATGAGGAGAATGTGGATTCGCAGGAGGAGTTGGAGTATGGAGAGGCGAAGAGGCTGGAGCGCAAGCGTATGTGTCTTAGCATTCCTTTCGCTGAGACCCTATACTGACCTCGGTTGCAGGCATTCTGGAGGAAGAAGAGCCATTACCCCGTGTTCCCAAGCGTCCCAAGAAAGGTTGGTCGTCTTCTTTCAAGTTTCTTGTTCTTTCTAATCCTATATCATAGACTATGGTTTCGAGGAAGACTCATTCGCGGGCGACTACTCTGGGTTTGGAGGACGCAGCTCTGCTGTGTCCACTCCTCTCCATCCTTCCGCCAAACGCACCCTGGATGATGAAGACGATGACAGCGCTATGGGCCAATATCAACCGCGCAGCAAGCAGGCGAAACGAGAGTCCTCTCTTAACCGAGCCGCGGGCCATCAGCGCCTCATTCTCAAAACCAGAATGGATCTTGATCGTACTCCGGATGCCTCACCTGCGCCTCCGGGGTCTGGCCATCCCGTTCTCAACCGGTTCATCCAGGAGCCATCGCTTTCCCAACCATCTGGTAGTGGCCGTCGACCGCGGCCATTGACGCAGCACCAGCTTGCCGTTGAGCACAACCGTCGACAGCGGATTGAGTATCTACTTGCCAAGCGCAAGTCCAACGCATATCGCGTTCTCCGGGCCAAGCGGGAGAGCGAGATGCCCTTCGCGCGCTATGGCCGCCAGCTACAAAGTCTGCCGGACGGCTACGATTCGGAGGATGGAGAGAACTCCTGGGGCAAAGGAGGTCTGTTCTCCAACCCGGACGAAGAAGATGACTTTGGCGAGTGCGCCAGCTTCTTCTTGTCCGTAGCGCGAAAGGCGTCTCGGCGACTGGACCGTTGGGACTACGAGGGCGCCAACGGGCCTAGGAGAGACCGCAAGAAGGAGCGCCAGGAGCGACAGCGGGTCAAGGCCGCCATGGAGGCAGAAGCACGAGCTGGGAACCGGTCGCGTGCGCGTCCGTCGCGCGGTGGTGCAGCCGCCAAACGCAAGTCTGGCGGCGCTGCAGTTGTCTCCGGCTCGGCCAAAAAGCCCTCTGGAGGTTCAAGCTCGAAGGGTGGCCGCAGCCGTCCCCCCAATGGTCCTGCCGGCGCAGCGGCCTGGGAGGCCGAGCATACAGCCGGGGACGACTACATGGAAGGCGAGTTGGATGATCTCGACCGCGAGCTGCTGGGCGAGGGCTCCGGCGACGAAGGACCGCGACGCTATGTGGGAGAAGGAGGAGATTCGTCGGACGAGGAGGAGGATGAAGTCGACGACGAGAACTCGTCTACCTACGATGGGCCTAATGGCTATGCGCGGCATGAGAGCTCGTCTCCTGTTCCAGAGACTGCTGCTGTTAGTACCCGGGAGTGAGGGTTGAGGTTTTTTTTTTTCTGTGTATGATCACCTGTGTACTACGTACGTCTTTGTGCTTCTGTTTGGCGGGGGTTACTTATTCTGGCTGTTTCACATTCCACCATCTTCTCCTTCCTCCTCCTACCTCCTCCCTGTACTGTGCCCAATCGTCGACACACATCCGAGGCAAACCGAGACAGGGATATGAATTCATCGGGCCATGTGAACATAATCATGTGTAGTCTAGCTGAGCAATGTGTTGTCCATCAGGTGGATACGACCAACCGCAGCCAGTGGATTCCTAAGGCTGGCCATTCCCCCGGTTCGCCCTGACGTCTTTCCTTCCTGTCCTTTCCTTCTCTTCCCTTTCCTTCTTCATCTCCGCTCTCTTTCTCCTTCCCAACAACACTCATTCGATTTGCCAGGCCTGGATTTCCGTTGTGCAACTCGCCCGCTCGTGCATCGGTTCCGTGTCGCGCCTTCGCTTCCCGCGCCGGCATTTTCTGCTGCTCGTTTCGCCCGCGCTCCGTCCGTCTTCATTCCTCAACAAACACACTCTGCACGATTTGAGGTCGCTCCTTCTTGACACCGCTGGTGTCTTGTATTTGTTTCTTCGATAACCAGTGATCTGGAAATTCGATAGGCGCCACGCCGAAAGGGCTTCCTAACCCTCTCACATCAACCCACCAACCAAACCCTCAACATAACCTCCAATCCACCATGGCCGAGCAACCTCGCATCCTGCGTCCCCGCCCGCGCCGGGTCTTCGACGTCACACCAGCCTCAACCGAATCATCCGAACCTCCCACGCCCGCCGAGCCCGCCAACAGCGCCGACCTGCTAAGCCCTAACCAGGACATGGGGTCGACATCGGCGAGTGTGAGCCGCACAGGGTCGATCATGAACCTGACCTCCTCGACGCTGTATGGGATCTACTCGCCGACGGCATTCACCGGATTCCGTGGCGAGGACAGCCCCTGGGGCACGGAGGCATTGAACACGCCCACGGCCGAGTTTCCGCCAGAACCCTCGCAGCGCGAGGCGGTCAAGTCGGCCACGGAGCCGCGTCGGTTTGCGCTGCGGCGCACGCGATCGCGGCTCAGTCATGGCTTGTTCCGTGGTGTTATCCTGCCGCAGGCCTTGAGCAGTGCCTTGCTCTTTGGCTTCGGAGTTGTCTACGGCGTGATCACTATTCATTTGCACGATAATCACTGGATTACACCGGTTAAGCTTGAGAATGTACATTACTATGACTCGTGGCTGTACTTGGGCTTCTGGGGGCTGGCTGGTATCGCGTTGGGGAAAGTTCTTCCCTGGCTGGATGTCTGGCGTGAGAAGGGGCTGGAGAATCGGGATACCCGGGGGAACAATGCCGGAGATGAGGAGACCGAGTATCGCGCTCCGTCGTGGGTGGCTGTCGCTCGGAGCGTTGGAGCGTTTGTTGGAATTGCTTTTGCGATGGTAAGTCTCTTTTTTTCTTTCTTTTTCCGGGCAGACACACGTGTGTACCTCTTTTTGGTTCGACAGCACCTAATTTTTCTGGCAAATTGCAGAGACGACTCCCCTGGCAGTCCACCACGCAAGCATCGCTAACCCTCGCTCTCGCCAACCCCGTCCTGTGGTACCTAATCGACCGCACCAAGACCGGTTTCCTCCTCGCAGTGATTGTTGGTATAGGGGGCATGGGTGTGGTACTGGGCCTGAAACCCGAGCTGGTCCCTGGCTCGACCGGCCCTTCGTTCGGAACGACGTTCTTGAATGGAACCGGGTTGGAGAATGCGCTGGGCGCAGAGATCACGCAGGAGAGCATCGCGGTCCGCACCTGGATCGCCAGCGTCATTTTCTGCGCGTGCGTATGCTTCGGCAACATCGGGCGCCAGCTCGCCATCGGGGCCATGGGCGCTGATACCCTCGCATCGTGAATTGTCATTCGCTACGTTTTTTTTTTCTCCATTGTTTGCCGTCACATAATTTGGGATGGGATATCGAGTTGGCTGGATCGATGGGGATATAGATAGCAGACCAAAAAGAAATTGTTTTATACAGGATAGGATCATAGAAGGAGGCATTATTATTATTGAGATGTAGAATCAATCATTGCAATTCCCGCCACATCAGACCCGAAGGTCTAGGCAGGGCACTGCACCCAAGATCGACCCTGTGCCCGTCAAGGACACTCGGTCTCCATTCTCTATACGATTTCCGTACTTCATCAGACAAGTCTTCGTAGGAACGCTTTTTGAGAAGAATGTGATTATTTTGCGTTGTTCATGAAGAAGAAAAGAAAAGAGGAAATGCGGACCCGCGAGAAAAGCTTTTGATCGTGTGGTCATGTGACTGTTACCCTGTATTGTCATTGACTGACCGGGTAAGTTACGACATTGGCTCGCCGATCGCGGGAGGTGCTGGGTGGGATTGGACCCCGCGGCGGGACACTTTTTTTTCTTCTTCATTTCTTCTGCTTCGTTTGCTCTAGAGTGGTCACATTCACCTGGTGGGTTTCTCTTCTTATCTCGGCGCAATTGAAGAGGATCAATTGCGGTGCACACTGGACCACCTTCGATCGCTGACCCCTTCTCTTCTCCCAGTGCCGACTATCGAGGATTCATCATGTCTCAAAAGTCCGGTATGCGATGATATATTCCATGGATCCATGCATGGGGTTATACTCACAGTCGTCCAGCTATTCTCTCCGTCTACGACAAGACTGGCCTGCTGGACCTGGCTAAGGGCCTGGCCAAGCAGAATGTCCGGCTTCTTGCCTCGGGCGGTACGGCCAAGATGATTCGGGAGGCTGGGTTCCCTGTCGAGTGAGTGTGATATGCATGCTGTGTTGGGAAGATCCGTTCATGCTGACCTCGCCTGTTAGGGATGTCTCGGCCATCACCCATGCCCCCGAGATGCTGGGCGGCCGTGTCAAGACCCTCCACCCGGCCGTCCACGGCGGCATCCTCGCCCGTGATATCGAGTCCGACGAGAAGGACCTCGCAGAGCAGAAGATCGCCAAGGTCGACTACGTCGTCTGCAACCTATACCCGTTCAAGGAGACCGTCGCCGAGGTCAACGTGACCATCGACGAGGCCGTGGAGGAGATTGACATCGGCGGGGTGACCCTGCTGCGCGCCGCGGCCAAGAATCACAAGCGCGTCACCATCCTCTCCGACCCGTCGGACTACCCCGAGTTCCTCAAGGAGCTCCAGACCGGCGAGATCACCGCAGCCAGCCGCAATCAGTACGCCCTCAAGGCCTTTGAGCAGACCGCCGACTACGACTCTGCCATCTCGGCCTTCTTCCGCAAGGAATATGCCGGTAACGGTCTGCAGCAGCTGTCCCTGCGCTACGGCACAAACCCGCACCAGAAGCCCGCCTCCGCCTACATGGTCCAGGGCAAGCTGCCCTTCAAGGTCCTCAACGGCGCTCCCGGTTATGTCAACCTGCTGGATGCCCTGAACGCCTGGCCTCTGGTCAAAGAGCTCAAGCAGGCGCTGGGCTTCCCCGCCGCCGCCAGCTTCAAGCACGTTTCCCCCGCCGGTGCTGCCATCGGCGTGCCCCTGAACGAGAAGGAGCGCAAGGTGTACATGGTGGATGACATCCCCGGCCTCGAGACCTCCGGTCTGGCGCAGGCGTACGCCCGTGCCCGCGGCGCCGACCGCATGTCCAGCTTCGGCGATATTCTTGCCCTCAGCGACGTGGTCGACGTGCCCACCGCCAAGATCATCTCGCGCGAGGTGTCGGACGGTGTCATTGCCGCGGGCTACGAGCCCGCCGCGCTAGAGATCCTGTCCAAGAAGAAGGGCGGCAAGTACCTCGTCCTGCAGATGGACGAGAGCTACACGCCAGCGCCCGAGGAAACCCGGACGCTGTTCGGCGTGACGATGACACAGCACCGCAACGATGTAGTCATCTCCCCCAGCAAGACCTTCAGCACGATCCTCACACCCAAGGACCTTCCTTCACTCCCCGAGGCCGCCCTCCGCGACCTCACCGTCGCCACCATCGCCCTCAAGTATACGCAGTCCAACTCGGTCTGCTACGCGCTCAATGGCCAGATCATCGGCCTTGGTGCCGGCCAGCAGAGCCGTATCCACTGCACCCGTCTCGCGGGCGACAAGGCCGACAACTGGTGGATGCGCTTCCACGACCGCGTCTTGGGGATTCAGTGGAAGCAGGGCACCAAGCGCGCTGATAAGAGCAATGCCATCGACCTGCTTTGTTCCGGCGAGCTTCCTCGCAACGACGCCGAGAAGGCTGAGTATGAGCGTGTCTTCGAGGAGGTCCCCGTTCCCTTTACCGCGGAGGAGCGCGAGGCTTGGCTGTCGAAGCTGAATGAGGTCGCCGTCTCGTCTGATGCCTTTGTATGTCTTCCCTATTACCCTCCCTTCTCCTTCCATTTCCAGTCATGCTAATCTCTTTGTGTTCTGCTCAGTTCCCCTTCATCGACAACGTCTTCCGCGCCGCCCGCTCCGGCGCAAAGTACATCGCCGCCCCGAGTGGTAGCCAGAACGACGGCCCCGTCTTCGCCACGGCCGAGAAGCTGGGCATCGTCTTCGTTGAGCAGGGAACCCGTCTGTTCCACCACTAGATTGATGGCCTGGCCAGGGTGGAAGTGAAAATAAAATCGTTAAACGGATGGCGCAGATATGATGATAAACATGTCTTTTTTGTTGTGCGTTTGTCTTATGGCCTAGGAATTTGCCAAAAAATATATATATATATACCTTTCTTGGACGGACTTCTTTCAGTTTAGATCAGGTCTTCGTTTCCTGTCTTTGAAGAATGTATCTGCCATATGCTGTCAGTAAACGTAGTGTCTTGTAGCCAGATATATATCCGCCTGGACCACGCTATATTTCTCAACCTGATTACCAAAAATATCGCTCTCGTGTTTTTATTTCCCTTCTTATGTTGGCTCTATTGATTGATTTCGTACACCCTGTGCTTTCTTATTCTACTGCGCGTGATAGTCTGGTACTGTCGTGAGGTTGCCACGGACAGTTCAGCCACTGATGTCGGGCTGCCCCACCTTTAGTCGACAGGGGAAATTGTCCCTGCTGATCTTCTGGGAAGGTATGCTTGATGATTCATTATTCTCAACATGGCATTTGTAATTAGCAAAGATTTAGTAAGTATTGCATTTAACAAAAAAACATTACTCAATTACTGTATCTAAAGTCCTCCGATTGAATAGATTTGACGTCATGGCATCAGCTCGGGACGCTCGGAGCAGATCAACACAATGGTGATGGTATACCTGCCTACTAGGAGATAGAAACCAATACAGAATAATGTTATCATTAGCATATGCAGACACGTCCATCGCAGCAGACAGGCAACCACATGGCTCATATTCATTGGACACCCTTTCGCGTGGGCACCGGTGTAGTTGCTCTGTTTATCCTGCTGTTGATCATGTCCAGTCATCAAACAATACACGATCCAGCAGAACAGCACATCTCATGGATTACGGTGCCGGGATCTAGTAGAAAAGGGTGCGTGTACTCTACAGTGCACAGCGACGAGCCCTATCTTTCAGAGGATCAATCAAGCTGCAAGAATGCACGACACCGAGAAAGTTGCTGACTATGGCTCCGAGTATGGCAGTACTGGCAGAGAAAATATCTACAAGCTACAAACCCCTCATTCCAACTGTATGCAGCTGGTCTCTTGCCCGTCTGATCCCAGGGAAGGCGGCCATGAGCCGCGAAGCCGGGTTTGGACCTGGAGGTAAGTACCATATACACCACCCAAGGAACAACATCACTGAGATCGTGAGCCCAGTGGCCCTGCTTGGGATGTCCGAGTCCAACTGAATCTCAAGTAGGTGTTACAGGACCCATTGGCCTTTGGTGATAATTACCAGCTAATCCAGACCTCCCTCAATAGAGCCCATGCGCAGCTGGTGTCGAGTGTGGATTGGGCCATGCGGTGGCGGGGTACTATGAACTGTCTGTCCTTCTCGGAGCTGGATGATCTTGATATATTTGAGATGGATGAGATAGCGCTGGAGGCATTCTGGGCGAGAGTGTGGAAGTGTTATCTGCAGTACACGGAGTGAATGAAGCACATCACGTTACCCTCCCTCATTAACAATGCCCCGTATCACGTGAGGCCACTCCATAAGCGACACCTCAGCAAGGACAAACAGGGCCTCCTGAGGTCACTTCCGCTTCTTGCTTCTCCTACCCCAACAATCACCCTCCCCTTCTTCCCTCCCACTCTCACGCACCTTCTTCTTCTCCTCCCCGTTTCTTTCCTACTTTCATTTACGTCTTACCTTGGAATTGCTTTGCGTGGCGTTTAGCTCGGAGGACGAGGTCGTGTTGCGGCCTACGTAAATATGGCTCCTCTTCCCATCAAGTTTACAGAGTTGGTCAATGTACGCTCCTCCTGCCTTCCCCTTCTTACTCTGAGCATTGATCTGACCTGTCTGGATTCTCTAGTTGACCAATGTCGGCATTGCGGTATGTCTCCTGTCCCTCCCTCTTCTGTCGTCACCTGGCAGCTAGCTCCCGCTGCATTGCGGATGCGCCGGTCGCGTCTACAGAGGCACCCTAGGTTATCAAGTGCGGTCGCTCACATCTCTCCTTTCTCTGCAGCCGGCATCGATTGGCTTCACGTCATGTGTGAGTGCTCCTTCTCACCTCTAAACAATAACACGCACGGAACCCCAGTTAACGTGTCCTTGCGCCCCCATTGCAGACCCTAGAATCGGATCACTATGTCTGCGTCCGCCAGAAGCTCGATGACGAAGACAAGCCCCAGGTCATCATCGTGGATCTGAAGAACAACAATGAGGTTATGCGTCGCCCCATCAACGCCGACAGTGCGATCATGCACTGGACTAAGAACATTATCGCCCTCAAGGCCCAAGGCCGGACGATCCAGATCTTTGACCTGTCAGCGAAGCAGAAGCTCAAATCGTCGGTGATGAATGAGGATATTGTGTACTGGAAATGGCTGAGCGACAGGTCTCTCGGTCTGATCACAGACACCGCAGTCTACCACTGGGATATCCAAGATGGCACACAACAGAACCCGGTCAAGATGTTCGACCGGCTTCCCAACCTTTCGGTATGTCTCGTGCAGCCCCCAGAGAGAGCTGTGATTTCCTGACTCTTCTCCTTTTCCCCCTTAGGGTTGCCAAATCATCAACTACCGTGTGAACTCGGAGGAGAAATGGATGGTGGTCGTCGGTATCAGCCAGCAGCAGGGCCGGGTTGTGGGATCGATGCAGCTCTATTCCAAGGAACGTGGGATCTCGCAGTTCATTGAGGGCCACGCCGCTGCTTTCGCCTCCATTAACGTCGAGGGATCGCCTCTGCCACACCACCTCTTTACCTTCGCCGTTCGAACCCAGACGGGGGCCAAGCTCCAGATTGCCGAGATCGATCACCAGGAGCCCAACCCGCGCTTCCAGAAGAAGGCCGTGGAGGTGTACTTCCCTCAGGAAGCCGTTAATGATTTCCCCGTCGCCATGCAGGTGTCCAGCAAGTACGACGTTGTCTACCTTGTTACAAAATATGGATTCATTCACCTGTACGACCTGGAGACCGGCACCTGCATCTTCATGAACCGCATCTCCAGCGAGACCATCTTCACCACGGCCTCGGATTCCGAGGGAGCTGGTCTGGTCGGTGTCAACCGCAAGGGCCAGGTCCTGTCCGTTAGCGTCGACGAGAGCACCATCATCCAGTACCTGATGGACAACCCGGCCATGTCGTCGATTGCGGTGAAGCTTGCCTCGCGCGCTGGGCTCCCGGGGGCGGACCACTTGTACCAGCAGCAGTTTGACAACCTCATCGCACAGGGCAACTTCTCCGAAGCCGCCAAGGTCGCGGCAAACTCCCCTCGCGGATTCTTGCGCACGACGGAAACCATCAACCGCTTCAAGAACGCTCCCCAGACCGGCCAGATGTCCGTCATTCTGCAGTACTTCGGTATGCTCCTCGACAAGGGATCGCTGAACCGATATGAGAGTGTGGAGCTCGTCCGACCTGTGTTGCAGCAGAACCGCAAGCACTTGCTCGAGAAGTGGATGCAGGAGAACAAACTGGAGTCTTCCGAGGAGCTTGGAGATATTATTCGCCCGTACGACGTGTCTCTTGCCCTCAGCGTTTACCTTCAGGCCAACATCCCCCAAAAGGTGGTTGCTGGTTTCGCGGAGACGGGCCAGTTTGACAAGATTCTGTCTTACTCCAAGCAAGTTGGCTACCAGCCCGACTACACCCAGCTGCTCCAGCACATTGTCCGCGTGAACCCCGAGAAGGGTGCCGAGTTCGCTACTCAGCTTGCCAACGAGGAGACTGGCGCCTTGGTTGATCTCGACCGCGTGGTGGACGTTTTCCTGTCCCAGAACATGATCCAGCAAGCCACTTCCTTCCTGCTGGATGCCCTGAAGGACAACAAGCCCGAGCACGGCCATCTGCAGACCCGCCTGCTGGAGATGAACCTTGTCAACGCGCCCCAGGTTGCGGATGCCATCCTTGGCAATGAGATCTTCACCCACTACGACCGTCCTCGCATTGCCACACTTTGCGAGAACGCGGGCCTGATCCAGCGCGCTCTTGAGAACTCGGACGACTCTGCTTTCATCAAGCGCAACATTGTCAAGACCGACAAGCTCAGCCCCGAATGGCTGATGAACTACTTCGGCCGTCTCTCAGTCGAGCAGACGCTGGACTGCATGGACACAATGCTGGGTGCCAACATCCGCCAGAACCTGCAGGCTGTGGTGCAGATTGCCACCAAGTTCTCTGATCTTCTCGGTGCCAACCGCTTGATCGATCTCTTCGAGAAGTACCGTACTGCCGAGGGTCTCTACTACTACCTTGGAAGCATTGTCAACCTGAGCGAGGACCCTGAGGTGCACTTCAAGTACATTGAGGCCGCTACCGCTATGAACCAGCTCACTGAGGTCGAGCGGATTTGCCGCGAGAGCAACTACTACAATCCTGAGAAGGTGAAGAACTTCCTGAAGGAGGCTCGCCTGACCGAGCAGCTGCCTCTGATCATCGTCTGCGATCGCTTCAACTTTATCCATGACCTTGTCCTGTATCTGTACCAGAGCCAGCAGTACAAGTCCATTGAGGTGTATGTGCAGCGTGTTAACCCCTCGCGTGCTCCTGCTGTTGTTGGCGGCTTGCTCGACGTGGACTGCGATGAGGGCATCATCAAGAACCTGCTCGCCAGCGTCGACCCGGCCGTCATCCCGATTGACGAGCTCGTCTCCGAGGTCGAGAGCCGAAACCGACTGAAGCTGCTTCTGCCTTTCTTGGAGGCCACTCTTGCCACGGGCAACCAGCAGCAGGCTGTCTACAACGCCCTCGCCAAGATTTACATCGACAGTAACAACAACCCGGAGAAGTTCCTGAAGGAGAACGAGATGTACGACACCTTGACTGTCGGCAAGTACTGCGAGAAGCGTGATCCCAACCTGGCGTACATCTCGTACCGCAAGGGCCAGAATGACTTGGAGCTCATCAGCATCACGAACGAGAACGCAATGTACCGGGCCCAGGCCCGCTACCTCGTCGAGCGTGCCGATCCCGAGATTTGGAGCTTTGTTCTGAGTGAGAACAACACCCACCGCCGTTCGCTTGTCGACCAGGTTATTGCCACTGCGGTCCCCGAATCGACCGAACCCGACAAGGTGTCCATTGCTGTCAAGTCGTTCCTCGAGGCCGACCTTCCTGGCGAGCTGATTGAGCTGCTAGAGAAGATCATCCTGGAGCCCTCTCCGTTCAGCGACAACGCCAGCTTGCAGAACCTCATGATGTTGACCGCTGCCAAGGCGGACAAGAGCCGCCTGATGGATTACATCCACCAGCTGAATGAGTTCTCCGCTGACGAAATTGCCGAGATGTGTATCAGCGTTGGTTTGTACGAGGAGGCCTTTGAGATCTACAAGAAGGTTAACAACAACCTGGCGGCCGTCAATGTGCTTGTGGAGAACGTCGTCAGCATCGACCGCGCCCAGGAGTTTGCGGAGCGCATTGAGTTGCCCGAGGTCTGGAGCAAGGTGGCCAAGGCCCAGCTGGATGGTCTTCGCGTGTCTGACTCGATTGAGTCGTACATCAAGGCTGGTGACCCGTCGAACTACAACGAGGTGATTGAGACGGCCACCCACGCCGGCAAGGATGAGGATCTCATCAAGTTCCTCCGTATGGCCCGCAAGACCCTGCGGGAGCCGGCCATCGACACCTCTATGGCTTTCTGCTTTGCTCGCCTGGATCAGCTTCCCGAGCTTGAGGACTTCCTTCGCTCCACTAATGTCGCCGATATCGAGGCGTCTGGTGACAAGGCCTACGAGGAGGGTTACCATCAGGCCGCCAAGATTTTCTTCACCAGCATCTCGAATTGGGCCAAGCTGGCGACCACCTTGGTGCACCTCGAGGACTACCAGGCTGCCGTGGAGTGTGCCCGCAAAGCCAACAGCGTCAAGGTGTGGAAACAGGTCAACGAGGCCTGCGTCAACAAGAAGGAATTCCGCCTCGCGCAGATTTGCGGTCTCAATCTTATCGTCCACGCCGAAGAGTTGCAGACCCTCGTGCGCCAGTACGAGCGCAACGGCTACTTCGATGAGCTCATCGCCGTGCTCGAGTCTGGTCTTGGCCTGGAGCGCGCTCACATGGGCATGTTCACCGAACTGGGCATTGCCTTGTCCAAGTATCACCCGGAGCGCGTGATGGAGCATCTGAAGCTATTCTGGTCCCGCATCAACATCCCCAAGATGATCCGGGCCTGCGAGGAGGCAAACCTGTGGCCGGAGCTGGTGTTCCTGTACTGCCACTATGATGAGTGGGACAACGCCGCTCTGGCGATGATGGAGCGTGCGGCCGATGCCTGGGAGCACCACTCGTTCAAGGACATCATTGTCAAGGTGGCCAACCTGGAGATCTACTACCGCTCGCTGAATTTCTATCTGCAGGAGCAGCCTCTTCTCCTAACCGACCTGCTGCAGGTCTTGACCAGTCGCATTGACGTTAACCGGGTTGTGCGCATCTTCCAGAGCTCCGACAACATCCCTCTGATCAAGCCGTTCCTGCTCAACGTTCAGACCCAGAACAAGCGGGCCGTCAACGACGCCATCAACGAGCTTTTGATCGAGGAGGAAGACTACAAGACCTTGCGTGACTCCGTTGACAACTACGACAACTTCGACGCCGTGGATCTCGCTCAGCGTCTGGAGAAGCACGATCTCATCTTCTTCCGCCAGATCGCCGCCAATATCTACCGCAACAACAAGCGCTGGGAGAAGTCGATTGCTCTCTCGAAGCAAGACAAGCTCTACAAGGATGCCATTGAGACCGCTGCCATCTCTGGCAAGTCCGAGGTGGTCGAGGACCTCCTTCGCTACGTAAGTTGCTTTTTGAACTGTTCGATGACCACCCCCGCTAACTTGCCCTCTCCTAGTTTGTGGACATTGGCAGCCGCGAATGCTACGTGGGTATGCTGTATGCTTGCTACGACCTCATCCGTCCGGACGTGATCATGGAGATTTCGTGGCGCAAGGGCCTGCACGACTTCACCATGCCGTTCATGATCAACTTCCTCTGCGAGCAGACGCGCACGATCGAGATGCTGAAGAAGGACAACGAGGAGCGCAAGGCCCGCGAGACGACCCAGAAGACCGAGGAGGACAACACACCGATCCTCGGCGGCTCGCGGTTGATGCTGACCCAGGGCCCTGGCGGCGCCCCGGCCAGCCCGATGCCATACGGCCAGGCCAATGGCGTGGCCCCGCAGGCGACCGGATACCGCGCGTTCTAAGTGTGCTCTCTCTTTCTCTCCATTTTTACCATCCCTGCGTTTTCTGTGTATGTGTAACATAAAGCGACGCGAACCATTATTTATCTGGGGAGCAAAAGACATGACCGATATGGAGGTGGGCTGATGCTGGCCGGGCTGGTTGTTGAAAGGGGAGGATGTGACATGGCGGCCTGTTTTTAATTTTCTTTTCTTTTCTTTTTCTTTCGTTCTCATTTTTTGACTTCTTTTCTCGCCCGAATGTATTTGATAGGCTTGCGTTTTCTCTCCTTTTTTCCTGTGACTGAGTAATGGCATTGCGTTCTTTTCAATCTTTGGTGGCGAGTTGTAGATCCGATCGTGAGCTGCCTAAGGAGACCAGGCTGTTACGCAAACATCATTGATGCTGCTGTGCGAATAGTCTCCGCTGGGCCGCCTACAGGATAGCTATATGATACGCTATGGGCTGTGTGCATACCTTGGCCTCGCATTGATTGGTCTATGCATGGTCCTGCGATAACACCCTCTACGTCTCTGCTAACTAAGATCTTAGAGCTAGAGCTTTTCTCGGCTGGAGGGAATGCGGGCTAGGATTTACCCTTTACCCCCCCCCTTGAGATGCATGTGCATGTACACACCTGGATTTGAGATGAGCGCGGCAGGTTTCGTTATGACGAGGCACAGCATCTTCAGCGAAGAAGGGAAATAATGACGAGATATGTCGCTGTCTTTTGTCAATAAATGCAATAAGTGCACGCCTCCGTCCTAGGCCGCGCTTGGCCGCGGCCCGACTAGTTGGATGTTGGACCTGGTGACCCGGGAGATCCTCCAAGTTGATCGGAGAAATATGGTTTCAAAGCGAATATTCCCGACATTGATGTTAGTCTTCCCCGGCTCTTGTAGGAACAGTTAGGAACCAGCGAGGGTTCTCCGAGAGTCAGCCGGGCCCAGCCCCAGTTTCCCGCTGGTGTCTCCGGAAATCGCTCGTTTCAGTCTGTCCCGAGCACCGAGGTTGTGTGGGGGGGGATCAAGATGTGGCCTAAATGACCCGATGGGGCTGATGAGATCATAGTATCATCGTGGTTTGAAAAAAAAAATCACAATCAGAATAGTAGGTATGCTGATAACCAATTCGACCGTAATGACTACACGTAGTAGAAACTCGATCCTTGGGACCTGCTGTACGCCCGGTGAACCGGTGAGGTGTGGGCGGAGGCGGTAAACTCAGTACCCGTTACCTCATGGCTGTAGTCAACTCCAGGTGTTCCGGAAGTACCTGTGACCTGGTGACCGGCCGGCCACCGCAGATCAGAGAATCACGGGGCTGCCCCTCCATTCCCTCCATCCTTTCTTTGGAACTTTTCCCTGTTCTCTTCTTTCTTCTTCTTTTCCTCATCCCTGTCTCCCACTCTTGTCCACCATTCTTCAATCCTCTCTGGGTTGCAGGCCGCATTGCTCGCTCTGCAATTGTGCCAGCCACTGCGCTGCTGCCCTGTGCCGAAACCGGCCCTCGACTCTTCTTTGGAGCTGCCAGCCAGCTTCCCCAGTGAGTCAGACCCCACCAATTCCCGCGGCCAACGCCATTGACTTTTCCTATATTAGCCTCTCTGAATATCTTAACTTCTCGCGACCTCTGTTGACCCTCCTTTCTTCCACCTCACACCATGGCTGCCCCGCACCGCCAACCGGAGGACGCCATCGACGACTCCGAGTTCATCGATGGCCATGTTGAGCACCACCAGGACTCCGTCCACCGGCGCCTGCGTGCCAACTCCACCATCATGCACTTCCAGAAGATCCTGGTGGCCAACCGTGGCGAGATCCCCATTCGAATCTTCCGGACAGCCCACGAGCTGTCCCTGCAGACGGTCGCCATCTTCTCCCACGAGGACCGCCTGTCCATGCACCGTCAGAAGGCCGATGAGGCCTACATGATCGGCCGCCGGGGGCAATATACTCCTGTCGGTGCCTATCTGGCTGGCGACGAGATTGTCAAGATCGCGCAGGAGCACGGCGTGCACCTGATCCACCCCGGATACGGTTTCCTGTCGGAGAACGCCGAGTTTGCCCGAAAGGTCGAGAAGGCGGGCATTGTCTTCGTGGGTCCGACCCCGGATACCATTGATGCCCTGGGCGATAAGGTCTCCGCCCGCCGGCTCGCCATGAAGTGCAATGTTCCGGTTGTCCCCGGTACGGAAGGCCCCGTCGAGCGCTACGAGGAGGTCAAGTCCTTCACCGACACCTATGGATTCCCCATCATCATCAAGGCCGCCTTTGGTGGTGGTGGCCGTGGTATGCGAGTCGTCCGCGACCAAGCTTCGTTGCGCGACTCCTTCGAGCGCGCCACTTCCGAGGCCCGCTCCGCCTTCGGCAATGGCACCGTCTTCGTCGAACGCTTCCTCGACAAGCCCAAGCACATTGAGGTCCAGCTGCTCGGTGACAACCAGGGCAACATCGTCCACCTGTTCGAGCGTGACTGCTCCGTGCAGCGTCGTCACCAGAAGGTCGTCGAGATTGCCCCCGCCAAGGACCTCCCCGTCGACGTGCGGGACAAGATCCTGGCGGACGCCGTGAGACTGGCCAAGTCGGTCAACTACCGCAACGCCGGTACCGCCGAGTTCCTGGTCGACCAGCAGAACCGCTACTACTTCATCGAGATCAACCCGCGTATCCAGGTCGAGCACACCATCACCGAGGAGATCACCGGCATTGATATCGTCGCCGCCCAGATTCAGATTGCGGCTGGTGCTACGCTTGAGCAGCTCGGCCTGACTCAGGACCGTATCTCGACCCGCGGCTTTGCCATTCAGTGCCGTATCACCACTGAGGACCCGGCCAAGGGCTTCTCCCCGGATACCGGTAAGATCGAGGTCTACCGGTCTGCCGGTGGTAACGGTGTCCGCCTGGATGGTGGTAACGGTTTCGCCGGTGCGATCATCACCCCTCACTACGATTCGATGCTGGTCAAGTGCACGTGCCGTGGCTCGACTTATGAGATCGTCCGCCGCAAGATGCTGCGTGCCCTGGTTGAATTCCGTATTCGCGGTGTCAAGACCAACATTCCCTTCCTGGCCTCACTGCTGAGCCACCCGACCTTCGTCGATGGTACCTGCTGGACCACCTTCATTGACGATACCCCCGAGCTGTTCGCGCTTGTCGGCAGCCAGAACCGTGCTCAGAAGCTGCTGGCTTACCTGGGTGACGTGGCTGTCAACGGCAGCAGCATCAAGGGCCAGATCGGCGAGCCCAAGTTCAAGGGTGAAATCATCAGGCCTCAGCTCAAGGATGCCTCCGGCAAGCTCGTCGATGTCTCCACACCCTGCCTTCAGGGATGGAAGCAGATCCTGGACAAGGAAGGCCCCGTTGCCTGGGCCAAAGCCGTGCGTGCCAACAAGGGTTGCCTTATCATGGACACCACCTGGCGTGATGCCCACCAGTCGCTGCTGGCTACGCGTGTGCGGACGATTGACATGCTGAACATCGCTCACGAGACCAGCCACGCTCTCGCCAATTCCTACAGTCTGGAGTGCTGGGGCGGTGCTACCTTTGATGTCGCCATGCGTTTCCTTTACGAGGATCCTTGGGACCGCCTGCGCAAGCTCCGCAAGGCCGTGCCCAACATCCCCTTCCAGATGCTGCTGCGTGGTGCCAACGGTGTGGCCTACTCTTCCCTCCCAGACAACGCCATCTACCACTTCTGTAAGCAGGCCAAGAAGTACGGCGTTGACATCTTCCGTGTCTTCGATGCTCTCAACGATGTCGACCAGCTCGAAGTCGGTATCAAGGCCGTTCAGCAGGCCGGCGGTGTGGTCGAGGCCACCATCTGCTACAGCGGTGACATGCTGAACCCCAGCAAGAAGTACAACCTGGAGTACTACCTGTCGCTGGTTGAAAAGATCGTCAAGCTGGGCACACACGTGCTCGGCATCAAGGATATGGCTGGTGTGCTCAAGCCCCAGGCCGCTCGCCTGCTGGTCGGCTCGATCCGCGAGCGCTACCCCGACCTGCCCATCCACGTCCACACCCACGACTCCGCCGGTACCGGTGTGGCTTCGATGATTGCCTGCGCGCAGGCTGGTGCTGACGCCGTGGATGCCGCCACCGACAGCTTGTCTGGTATGACCTCGCAGCCCAGCATCGGTGCCATCCTCGCCTCGCTCCAGGGCACCGAGCACGACCCCGGCCTCGACCTGTCGCAGGTGCGTGCCCTCGACACCTACTGGGCTCAGCTGCGTCTGCTCTACTCGCCATTCGAGGCTGGTTTGACCGGTCCCGACCCCGAGGTGTACGAGCACGAGATCCCCGGTGGTCAGCTCACCAACCTGATCTTCCAGGCTAGCCAGCTAGGTCTGGGCCAGCAGTGGGCCGAGACCAAGAAGGCGTACGAGTCTGCAAATGACCTGCTGGGTGACATCGTCAAGGTCACTCCGACCTCCAAGGTCGTTGGTGACCTGGCCCAGTTCATGGTCTCCAACAAGCTGTCAGCTGAGGACGTCGTCGCCCGCGCTGGCGAGCTGGACTTCCCCGGCTCCGTGCTGGAGTTCCTGGAGGGGCTGATGGGCCAGCCCTACGGCGGATTCCCGGAGCCGCTGCGCTCCAAGGCTCTGCGCGACCGACGCAAGCTGGACAAGCGACCCGGTCTGTTCCTGGAGCCCCTGGACCTGGTGAAGATCAAGAACGACATCCGCGAGAAGTGGGGCGCCGCGACAGAGTGCGATGTTGCCAGCTACGCCATGTATCCCAAGGTTTTCGAGGACTACCGCAAATTCGTGCAGAAATTCGGTGATCTGTCGGTCCTCCCGACGCGCTACTTCCTGGCCAAGCCCGAGATCGGCGAGGAGTTCAACGTCGAGCTGGAGAAGGGCAAGGTACTGATCCTCAAGCTGCTGGCTATCGGTCCGCTGTCCGAGCAGACCGGCCAGCGCGAGGTCTTCTACGAGGTCAACGGCGAGGTGCGCCAGGTCAGCGTCGATGACAACAAGGCATCAGTCGACAACATTGCGCGCCCCAAGGCCGACGCGAGCGACAGCAGCCAGGTCGGCGCGCCGATGAGTGGTGTTGTTGTTGAGATCCGCGTCCACGATGGCCACGAGGTCAAGAAGGGCGATCCTATTGCGGTGCTGAGCGCCATGAAGATGGTATGTTCTACTTTATTTCTTTCTCTACATTCCTTATCTATTCAGCTATACTAACTTGTGCTAGGAAATGGTGATCTCTGCCCCACACAGCGGAAAGGTGTCCGGCCTGCTGGTCAAGGAGGGCGACTCGGTTGACGGCCAGGACCTGGTCTGCAAGATCGTCAAAGCATAGAGTGTACAACCAGGCTTTGCACGAATGATACGTGATATCTGAGCGTTTATTTGGCTATTTTCCTTTTCCTTATCTTCTTTTTGGCTCTTGTTGGCTAGTCTATAAAAATGCGACGCTTGTATATGTTAGGTTGAGGAGCAGTAGCTCTACGGTATTGCCCTATAGGGTTAATTCCAATTAGTACCGATTCTGTCCCGATTATACCCACCACTGGTCTATAGAAGACCAGCGCAATTCCGTCCACTCGGCGCCAGATCTGGACCCGATTCTCGTCCCCCGCATATCCACTTTCCCCTGTGAGCTTTTGCCGATCTGCTCGTCTACCATTACCAATGGGATCCTCCCTCGGGTTCCCTTGATTATCTCGGCTAGGGTTTATCTGTGGGGAAGACGGAATGGAGAGAACCGCAATCCGTCTGGACTAGGGCAAATCACCTCACTACTGTGTACATAAACGCCATTCCCTCTCCCTCACTGACAAAAACTACCTAACACCACCACATGTGCATAGTACATATCCTCCACCCAAACAACTGCATCAGTTAAAGATGGAGACCACTCGCCGACCACGCATCCACTCCCTCGCTCACCGCGGCGTCATCCAAGGCGTCACCGTTGCCTCAGGAACCGCAACCAGCCCCGGCCCGGACTTGTGCCACTACTTCGGCGGCGTGCGCTACGCCCTCGCACCGCTGCAGCGCTGGCGGCGCTCCCGCCCTCTCCCACCAACATTTTCTTACGGCACTAAGGATGCCCCCGGGCGATGCGACGGCGGTGCGGCGCTGTGCCCCCAGCCTGCTTTCTTGGATCTCTCGCCATGGAGCCCGGACGCGTGGAGTGAAGATTGCTTTCAGTGTAATATATACGTGCCTACCGGCCCGGTGCCGGAGGGTGGATGGCCTGTTTACTTTTATATCCGTATGTCCGAGTCCTTCTTTGTTGGCAATTTGAAGCGGAATGTTGTATCGAATTGGATTGAGAGTGAAGATTGACTGACACTCCCACTTCTATTTCTATTTAGATGGCGGATGGCTTCAGTTCGGCACACCGAATAGTTTCCATGCAGAGGCGTTGCTGGGGGAGACGGATTTCAACTGTGTGATTGTCATGCCTGCGTACCGTGTGAACCTGTTTGGATTCCTGTACTCGTCTGAACTGGCGAAGGATGCTGCCTCTGTTGGGGAGACGGTAGGGAATCATGGGTTCTGGGACCAGCGATTGGCGCTGGAGTGGACGAAGGAGAATATTCACCTGTTTGGAGGGGATCCGGAGAATATCACTATCTCGGGTTATTCGGCAGGTATGTATGATGGGATTGATTGACCGGAGCATTGGGTTTATGTCATTGACGCTTGAATATTTCCAGGTGCAAACTCCGCCTTCCATCAGCTGGCTTTTGATCTTCGTCAAGCCGACGACAAGGCCATTATTCGTCAGGCATGCATCTTGTCCAATGGACCGGCCGTGCAGCCCAAGAGCCCTGCCGAGTCGCAAACCCAATTCAACCAGCTAGTCCTAGCACTGGAGATCCCACTGTCACTCTCGGCGGGGGAAAAGATAGCTCGTCTGCGGTCCATTCCTCCCGCACGACTTCTAAGTGTAGCCAAGGGAATCGAAGTACACCAATTCCGTCCAGCAACAGACACCGACTTTATAGTACCCAGCCTCTTCGAGTCCCTCGATAACGGCGATTTCGCACGCAAAATGCTCTCCCGCAACCTCCGCTTGATCCTAGGAGAATGCCGCGACGAGCGCCATCTCTACGCCACATGGTTCCCACCAAAGACAAACACCCTTTCTGGGGTGCACACTCGTCTGATAGCCGACTACCCGGAACAAATCGTCGATGCCCTCATTCCGCTTCACTACCCAGGCGGCCGTCTCCCGCCAGACTGCGCCAACTGGACCGTCGATGCCTGGGGCAAGATCTACGCGGACATGCAGGTCTACCAGATGCAGCGCGGGCTCATCCACGCCCTCACATCCAACAGCGCGGGCATTGACGCTTCGCGTTTGATTCACCGATATCGAATCGAGTTCCGGGCCAAGTGCGTCGATGGCAGCTTGCCACCTGAGTGGGGAGTTACGCACTCGTCTGACTACCCGATCTGGTTCTGGGGGAATGGTGATGTGCTCACAGACCAGGAGAAGAAGATCGCGCGCGAGGCGTTTATTGCGCCGCTGAGCCGGTTTGTTAAAGGTGCGCAGGCGGCGACCGGGCCCGATGGCTTTGGTTGGGGTGCGAGTGGGAAGAAGGTGCGCGCGTTGACCGCCGATGGGAGGGTGGAGATTCGTGAGCATGATCCCTTGTGGGATGAGGCTATTCGGGTATGGAAGCGTTTGAGGGAGGTGCGTGTTGATGCGGAGCGGTCGAAGCTGTGACGCCAACACAGACCATGGCTTGCGGTAGATCCATATTTTTAACTATAGAGCCCAGACAGATATACAGCGTTCACTTCAAACATTCTTACTATCTACCTTGTCGTCGACTATACATTTGATGCTCTGTGCTGGACCCAAACAGTAGAAATAAGGCCGTTGTACCCAGACACGTGCGTATCCCAACTCTATCTTTTGAAGGATGAACCTTCCTCTTTGTAGCAGCACTGGGAGTAGTCCATGCCCTAAGAACAGATCTGAGGATTTCCCCTGGTATTCAGGCTACGTAGCCTAGTAGCAGATTTAATAAATCTTGTCTCCTTCCTATCGAGGTTAGATGGGTGGGTTAAGTCCAGATTCGAAGCTTACGCAAAACGCGTACTACTAAAGCGTGGCAGGCGAATTGAAGACGCCTCGGATTTTACGGAGATAGTTGGCAAGCAGACGGGGCTTTTTGACCTGGATAGCACCGACTCCGTCAACGTGAACGAGCATATTGTCATGGCTCAACGAGGACAAACAGTACATCTTCATACTCACACTCGATCGCTTTTCCATTCCAGGACACAGTAAGGAGTCTAAACCCGTCGGCAGAAAGGCAAACAGGGCTATCTCGATTGTACATTAGCGGTACGTAGTAGTTCGTCTCCTGTTGCGAATCGTTGGGTACCAACAGTCAGGGGGGCACCGCTTAGAGTCAGGGATCAAGATACATCCCTGCTCACCAGGTCCAATGAGAGCCAGAACTTGATCCAACCATTCGTAAAGGTGAAATTGTAACATATGCGATCTATACAGAGCGACAACAATCCAGGAGTTCCAGACTATCTGTGTGGCTGTCTGTCCTCGAAATCCCAGCAGGGCTGTCTGTCGGCTTCAAGTCGAATATCACTCCATCGGTAGGCGCCAACCTCGCCAATCTCAAGCTGCAGTGTAACCTCCTGGCGCAGCTACTTGCAGCAAGCGGGGATTGGTCACACGCACTCAAGCCTCACAAAGTCGGGATTTTGGGGCTAGTAATGCTCTATAAAAAGACCGTCCAATCGTGCTATGGATCCTTGGCCTTTGTCTTTCCTTTCTGCCACTTCTTAAGAAACATCAGCCCTATCAAATCCATCAGCAACAACAATGGGTGCCTCACGATCAGCATCTAGATCTAACTTCGAGTTTTCTCCAGGCTCACTTCCTCAAAATAACAGGCCTGATGGCTCTTTATCTCTTTTTCAACCATCTCCAACCGGATCGAATACTTCGCCTCAACAAGGGCTTCACCTACAGCATCTTCATCTTGAGGATCCCTCTGATGGAAGCACAACAATTGATGAAGTTTCTTCAAACTACACGCTAGCTCCGACTCACCAGAGCTCCATGTATGCAGATCTGCACAACTCTACTCCCAGCCCCAGTGCCAGAGCGAAGCTTGTCCCTAAGTCTCCAAGGCGCGAGGTCAGAAGCCTTTTCGTTGCCTCCGCGTCAACAAGGACCCCTGACAAACTTTCTGTGGTAAATAACCAAGACATTGGATCTGTTTCTTCCGCCTTACCTGGTACCGAAATACCTCGGATGCCTGAATCGCGGACAGAAAACAGTGAGAATGAAGACGAGAGCAACATGCCTCAACTTGACGAGGACACATACAGCGTGCGCCAAGAGTCACTGCCTCCAGCTCCAGTATACAATCTTGGACTTCAAAATGGGCTGGGAGCTGTGAAAAAAGCGCTCGCCGGGCTTGCAAACACAATGTGCCTTTCAGAACTCGTAAACGATTCGACCACTAGTTTTTACAAGCTTCAAGAAGAAATACGACAGTTGAGCGATTTTAAATATCCAGAAACGCGTACTGTGGGGTTTATCGGGGACTCTGGTGCTGGTGTGTTTCTACCATCTAATCTAGTTTGAATGCAAGGGAATCAACTAACGTTAGATCAGGAAAAAGCTCTGTCATCAACTCGCTGCTCGATCAGCCAAACCTAGCACGCTCGGTATAGATACCTTTTCAACCCAGTCGTGTTTATTTTCTCTTCCAATCCGTTTACTGATTTCTATGTTCTATACAGAGTAGAGATGGCGCAGCTTGTACATGCGTGGTGACAGAATTTCGAAATATTGATGATGCCCACCCTCGGCCGTTCACGGTCGAAGCAGACTTCATGAGCCCAGAAGAAAGGACAGAGCTTCTTCAAGAGCTTCTAAGAAGCTTTCGTCACTTCTTTTGCCCCTCGGAGTTTCAGCAGATTACATCTTCTGCGGACAGGGAATCTCTCAGGCAAGCAGCCACCCGAGCGCAGGAAACGCTAGAATATTTGTTTCAGAACCAGCCCGAATATAGTCACGAAGCCTTCTGTAGTGAGGAAGATGGCGCTTATGATGCGCTTCTTGGTCAGCTGGAGCAGTGGTCAAGCGCCGAACTCTCTCGAAAGCCTGATGGCTTGCACACTTTCAAATATACCGTGACTGCCGATGATCTTCTAAGCTGCAAGGATCAGCTGAACTTTCTGACAGCCAACTCCCATGATAATGGCCAGCCTGTCTTGTGGCCGTTCATCAAATTGATCACGTGCGTTTGGCTTCATTTTGGGGGAATCGAACTTACTGATGGTTTTACAGAGTCTATCTGGACTCGGTCATCTTGCGGACAGGCTTGGTAGTGGCGGATATGCCAGGTATGATAATGCAGAATCAATAATTCTCGTACGGCCAGCTAATGTATTCTAGGTTTCGGAGATCTTAATTACGCTAGGGTGCGAGCTACAGAGAAATATTTACTACACAACTGCAGTGAAGTTTTCATCGTCACCGACATTGCCCGATGTTGTTCAGATCAATCCATCGACGATATTCAGACCCGGTGTGAGGGAAAGACACAACATATTGTTTGTACAAGATCCGAGGTAGACTTGTTCCTTCCATTGTTCACAACTTGCAATTTTTGACCTCGATCATAGGACGTTTCGCCTGAAGAATCTGCTGAGAATAGAGACGGAGATGCTCGACGTGTGCGTGAAATGAATGAGGAAATCAAGAAAGTTACAGACCAACTCGGTAAGGCTCGTAAGAATGTTCGGATAGCCAGCGCAGATCGAAAGCGAGATTTCGCGATGGAGCAACATCGCCTCACGTATGTCCCACCATCATCCTCTGTTGTTCATTCCCCCGCTCTTTCCTCGCTTTCTTTTCAGAAATAAGATAATAACAACAGCCCATCATATCAAAGGGAAAGAAAAGATGAGTTTGAACTACGGTAAAACGCTTCTCACTTTGTACAGAGGCTTTGGGGACTAATATATCACATAGAAGGAAACAGTTTCTTATAAATACGCGAAATAATCGAGTGATACGAGATTTGAGGAAAAAGTATCAGGAAACAAACGTCTTCTGTGTTAGCAATACACTCTACTCAGAACATCGCGATGATTCACAAGGCCAAGCAGAGGCATATATCCGCCTCAGTGGGATTCGTGGGCTACGCCGGCATTGTCAATTGGTCCCTGCAGAGGCTCAGATGCGTGCTGTATCAGCGTATATTAAGGACCAAGTTCCAGCTCTGCTAGGATCCCTTCGTCAGTGGACATTGGCCGGTGCTGATTCCGTCACGGCTGAGAGAGCAGCTATTCTTCGGAGGGTTTTGGAAGAGGCAGAAAAAGGTCTTCGTCGGGTACAGCTGTCTGCTCATTCCAGGCCGTGATATATGGTCTAACATGGTAAAAATATTCTGACAGCGAATAGGATCTTGTTTCTCGACAGTCACATATTGCTCAGACACAGACTGGCTTGACCAGATTATTCAGGGTGTCTATTTTGGAACTAATTCGTGAGTCAAAATTTGCCCCTTGTCAACCTTATAACTTGCTTCCCATCGTTGTCTCTAATAATACGCTAGAGAATTCTCAGAATGAGTGGACAGATCAATGTGTGGAAGTGAGCCAACGATGGGCATCTGTAAGGTCTTTCTCTTGATTTCGTTGGACAATATGTGTCTGAACTTAATTTTATAGTGGCATCATACGACCTATGCTGCCTTCTGTCGCAAAAACGGGACTCATTCTACCAAAGGAGCAGGAGGATATCATTGTTGGAACGATGAACTAGTTGAGCACGCACGCGATCAACTAAGTCCTAGATGGGATTCAATACGAACTTGGCTGGTATCGCAGAATGATGCATTAGAGACAGCAATCGCTGGAAGTTTTGAATCCCTTCGCATTTTATTTCAAAGTGAGTTGTAGCGTGCTTGGCTACTCTCAAAATGAAGTTGAGAATTGATCTTTTCTAGGAAATGAGTTATATGCTCCTCACTCGATAGGAAACCTTCTTGCGAGCATGGAGCCCAGACAGCGGTTTATCGTACACCAAATCCAGAACTCCATCAACCAAGTTATTCACAACACAGAGTATGCTTTTATTCTTTTAAGGTCATTGCAAGGCGCTAATACGTTCATTCAGCATAATTACGCGAGACATGCTTCAAGGTCACGACAGTTCGTTCATGGCGACCCTCATGCGTCCTGCTTATGTGTCCTGCGCCAGCGAAGGAGGTAAGCTGAGATGAACAAAGAGGCCGATATTACCTTCAACACTCTGATAACTGTATAAAATCAGGGTCAGGTAGTGATTCCAGGCGCAAAGAGATCATTCGCAACCATCTAATGCACTCACGTATATTCGCCGATTACCACAACCGCACTCGAGCAGAGTACTCTGAAAACATTCAGGGACTGTTTGATGTTTTACAAGAGAAGATTACTGAACAGGTAAACAACATCGCGAGAGATTTTCAAGCCATGATTGCAGGAGAAGGCGAAGTGCCAGAGGCTGAACAAGCCCCAGCAATGGCAGCACAACTCAAGTCAAATGTTGAAAGTGCCGAAGAGATTCTCAAGAAAGCCCAAGTTGTTTTGCAGCAGGTTTCACATCGGCACTAAACGCCCAATAAGACGATCGCGAGGTTTGTGTAACCCACAAATGGGACTGGAACAGCAGAAAGTATGCGTTGAGAATTGCTTGAGACGGAAGAAAGAAGAGACTGGTCAAACAATTCGTATACTGTGGTTTGCCTTAAGTCTATCTGATATTTTCACAACTGATATTATTTTTCCCCTACACAACGTTGAAGTCCGGGTCCTAAGAACAGACTTGAGCATTTCCCCTCCTATTCAAGCTGGCCCAGTAGCAGGTTTAATATTGTTCCCCTAAGGCGACATGGTTCGGCATCAAAGCTTTCCCCGCATTCCGGGTTACGTCAAGTCAGCCATGATCTACATCTAGGGTACGTCTCACTGGGCACAGGGTTCTATATGAAATCATGTATACCTCACGTACCCGCCGCCCTTTTTCCCATTCGGAATGTCTCCATTAGCTGACCAACCGGTCTGGACTTATGCACTGTATGGTCTCACCCATCAGCAGATAGACTCATCTATATAAGCTGGGTTCCCCTCTTCTTCTTCTATGCTTCCCTTCTTCATCTATCAGATTCACCCTCATACCATCCGGTACGTTCCACGCTTCCTCCCCATCCTAACCAAACTTCCCCCTTCAAGTGCATGTCGCGTGCACCGCCACTGTCTTCCCGTGGATATCCATCCCTCGACCGAATCAGGCCCAATGACGTCTTTGACTTCATCCCTTCCCATGAATCCATGTAATCCTTAATAATCTACATGTATCTCGCCTCTGAACCTCACTTCTCACCTACCACATTATTACATACATACCTATAGTGAACAATATCCCTGCCGCTGACTGAACATATCAAGTGTCTGTCTATATTCATCATCCTCAGACAAACAGCAACCACGGATTGCGCATTATTCGAGATCACCAATATGAGTGACAATACCAAGCGCCACTGGCACGGGAATCCCGGTGACCGATATGAGCACCTTAACGTATGGATGAATGGAGGAGCGAAGGCTCCTGCAGACCGGGCTGTGTGGGCGATGCTGCCAGGGATGGAGACCACAACTCGACGGGTACGTTTACAAGATATCCTCTCACCTTGCCCTCTCTTTTTGCACACTGAATATATATTGACCCCGATCCAGGACTCTGATTCCTCTACTTCCTCCACTGGCAGCAACGCCTCTACCAACGCCGCCGGCGGCAACAGCCCTTCCATTCCAAGCGTGAGCGAGAGACGTCGCTCCAGCGCTAGCTCCGGCGCCGCTCCTGGCCTCTTTGCCAACCTGCAAACCCAGAAACGAAATTCAGGAGATGCCAGCTTGAGCGACCGACGTGCCAGCTGGAATGAGCAGAAGCCCACAGGTAACTACTTTTCGAAGTGGTGGGATGGCTATACGCGCGGAAAGTAGGGTGCCGTCGCCGTCGTCGTTCATTTACTCGGATGAAACGAAATGAAATCAAGCCCCGAGCTGAGCTCAACCTTGATTTTGATATCGAAGAAGACGGGCTTTGGGGGATGTGTGGATGGATGTTTCACGACTGTTACTCTACTCTCTTCATGCTTGTGTTTTATTTTATCTCTTGTCATGTGAGAGCTTGCAGTTCAGTTATGGGTTTGATGGTGTCCATATCTTTGAAGGAAATTGCCCCAGGGGGAAGCATGTCTTTGTTCTGGTGGACTAGTGGTTTTTATACTTGTGTGCTTATCAAAGTCAATGCATATTGCTTGCTCAGTGACAAGTGTCTAGCTTGACTTCTCAAGCACGTAGACTGGTTGTTGGTTTTTCTTTTCTTAAAAAAAAAGACAGGATATAGACGAACAAGTTTCTTGAGTATCCGTCCAAGACAGATCATGGACCTTTGGCTGGAGGACACATCCCGGAAGTTCATGATTGGGCCGTAATGTTTGACGTGCCAGTAGCTGCCGGTCTTCGTATGCTGTAATGGTTATGTAGACTGGGTATAAATGATAAAGGTCGGGGCGCTTCGGGAGATATCCCAAAGCGCCAGTGATAGCACAAAACCTACAAACTACGCAGCCTACGATTACCAGGAAAGACATGCCAGTGATAGAGAGGGGACAGAGAGGCCATGGTGCTCACAATCCCTCCACACGGAGAGACGAGACCGACTCTTTGGGATCAAGCCAACCGAGTCACAAGCCAGACACTCGAAAGTGCCAGCCAGCCTTTTCAGCAATAGTTATGCGGGAAACAACACCTCTTGTGAAGCCTTCATTGCGAAAAGGAAACTGCGTTGCAAAAGTTGTAAGTGGTAGTGAATTCATGTCTCTAACACGCCTATCCTGGTTGCCGTGATAGTAAAAAATCAAAACACCTGCTGCGACAAGGGTCGCACGGCCATTCCACTCCTTGGGGCCGGGGTTGGTTTTTTTCAGGGAGAAAATTTTTTGGCTTCCTTCGATGCATCGTAAATCACAGCTTCAATCGGCCCCCCCTTCTCATTCATCGCACACGTTCGACGGACATTTACCGGACGATGCCGTCGAAGCGGTTCTTGAACCACTTGACAGTCTCGTTCTGGCTGATCTTGTGGTTGACGCCGATGGGGGTCTTGCAGCGACGGCGCTTGGCAACACGCTCACCGGGGCGGGTCCTAGAAAAAAAATTGTCAATCTGTGCCCTCGCCAGTCCAAGCTGATTGGTAACACTCACATGCAGCAGTAGAAGTCCATGCCGTAGATACCGATGCCGGGGTCGTACTTGATGCCCAGATCGATGTGCTCGGAGATACCGAAGCCGAAGTTGCCGGTCTCGGAGAAGTTGCGCTTCCGCAGCTCGTACTCCTTGACCTTCAGGCCACGCTCCAGAATCTCCTCGGCCTTGGGGCCACGGACGGTGACGTGCACGGCGATCTTCTCGTTACGGCGGATACCGAAGGTACGGACGGTGTAGCGGGCCTTGCCTATTCACACACACATTGATCAGAAAAAAATTCCCAGAGGGTCCAGAGCGAAGGGCATTCTTACTGTAGACAGGAGTCTGACCGCTCAGCTGCTCAAGCACCTTGGCGGCACGGGTGAGTCTGTCACCAGACTCGCCGACCGAGATGTTCAGCACAAGCTTCTGGATGCGCAGCTCGCGCATGGGGTTTGCGCTCTTGTCCTTTCCGTCCGACTGCATTCTGTTAGAATCATAATAAGAATGATGATATCCAGTGTGTGTGGACATACCATGGCGACTGTGTGTGGCGTGAAGTGGTGGTCGACGAAAGATGGAGGAAGATCAGAAAAGCACAAAAGGCGGTTTGTGTGGGCGGGTCACGGGAGGAAGCGAGCCCTGCTGAAGTAAGCTGCTGCTGAGTCATGGTGGAAGCGGATGAGTCAGCCGCTTTCCTCGAAAACCCCGTGACTACCAAGTCCCAGAGAGCTCCAGCTTTCGTTCTTGTCCAGAGGATTTCGCGTCCTGAACAGCCCCGGCAGAAGATTCCCCTGTCTACTGCATTTGCTGGTTATTTTTTGGTCATCTCAAGTCGCATTCGTGCGCACTCTCAATAGCCATTATGGCCGCCAACAAGCAGGGCAAGATGGTGAGTTTTCTGTCCCTGGTCGAACCTGCACCGTGTGCTCAATGGCTGTCGCTAACGTTTCTCCTCTAGCAAAACTTCGTGAGTTCGACTCTGACGACTTGATCGTGCTATTGGCATGTCTAACTTCTCTCTCAGATCAACTACCGGATGAGGGTAACCCTCAACGATGGCCGACAAATGACCGGTCAGATGCTCGCCTTCGATAAGGTAAACCACTTTTCTCTGGCGTGTCGGGCATTCGACTAATCCTTTCACGACTTTAGCACATGAACCTCGTTCTCGCAGACACAGAAGAATTCCGCCGAATTAAGCGAAAGTCGAAGCCGGCCGCCGGCCCCAACAACGCCCCGCTGGTCGAAGCGGAGGAGAAGCGAACCCTCGGTCTGACAATCGTGCGCGGTACTCAGGTTATTTCCTGCTCTGTGGATGGACCGCCTCCTGCAGACCCGTCTGCGCGGCTTGGCGCCGGTGCGCCAGGTGCCGCTGCTGCAACTCTCGCCGCGGGCCCCGGAATCAGCAAGCCCGCTGGTCGTGGCCTGCCGGTCGGACTGGGTGGTCCTGCAGCTGGTGTCGGTGGACCGCCACCCCCAGGAGGCTTTGGAGGGTTCCCGCCGGGTGGTTTCCCCGGAGCGCCGCCGCCTGGATTTGCTGGACGTGGAGGACCCCCGGGTGGACCTCGTAAGTTGATCTCGTGGTGTGTACTCAAATGCTTATGGATACTAACATATTTGAATTTGCAGCTGGCTTTGGTGGACCACCTCCTGGTTTTGCCCCTCAGGGCGGCCCTCGTAAGTTCCTCATGACCCAGCAGTTCTTGATACATTCAGACTGACATGCAATTCTTTTATAGCGGGCTCTTTCCAACCTCCTCCCGGCTTCCAGCCTCCTGGTCAGGGACGTGGATTTCCTCCCCCCGGGTTTGGCGGTAGGTGATCCAAGAACCTACCATGCAATATAACACGCTTTACTTCGTCGGTGATTTGTTTTACCCTGCGACAACGAAACACGCGGCTCGACGCTGGATAGAGTTGAAATAGGCTTTTCTAGTGAGAAGCAACGATATGTGTTCAGACTAGATTCATCCCGAATCTACCGGGCAAGGCGTTACGGCGCATGCGGATGGTTGTCATGGCAAGGAATGGAGAAGAAGAAAAAGAAGCCAAGAAATGATTTTTGAGATTCGTATCTGTTCAAAATAATGCTAGCTAGCCACCTATCAAAAAAACTCGTATTCCTTCTAGCCATCAACAGTCTTCTCGGGTTATGTTCCTGCTCACTAAACCTTTGCCTAAAATTGGTTTGGAGTGATGAGAATCTTTATTACTGTGTGTGCAATATATATTTCCTCACGCAAGGACTAGCTCCTGCCCAAATACACGTACCTTTAGAGTCTCTATGGCCGAGCAAATTATCTCCTTCTATTTATTCAATCTTCTCGTTGAGCACTCTTTCTGTTACCATCTTTGCAACTACTACTACTCCAGGCCCTAAATTATTGAACACCATCACGTGACCTCCCCCGTTAATTCCGCCGCAGAACCGGGCTCGGGCTCCCGGCGCTCGACCCTGCCCTCTTATTCCCCTTATCATTCCTCCAGCAATCCATCATGGCAGCTGCTATCAAGGCCATCAATGCCAAGATCCGCTCCAACAAGGTGCTGGACTATGTCTGCTCTACCCGTACGTGCTGCAACCTATTCCCCGTCCGTCCCAGTTTCCCGAAACTCCCGCTACCGACATCGGCCGGCGATAAATTGAGTCTCGCACGAGGAGAAACGGCGGAACTCTTCAAGCGGACAAAGAAGATTCCAGTCATACCGTACCTGCGCAGCTTGCTAACCATCAAATTGGCGTGATAGACTTCTGGGGCCCCGTCTCCAACTTCGGTATCCCCATTGCGGCCGTGATGGACACGCAGAAGGACCCTGAGATGTACGTGCTATTTATACTTATCCCTCCTCGATGAGTCGAGTCCTTGCAGACTGGCTGGCCGTGGCCCTTCCATTCCTCGGTTTCCACTCAAGTGAAGACGAACCGCCGAACTGACCACTGCTTCTCTCCTTGTTATAGCATCTCCGGCAAGATGACCGGCGCCCTCACCATCTACGCTGCGACCTTCATGCGCTACGCTCTCGCCGTCACGCCTAAGAACTACCTCCTCTTTGCCTGCCACTTGACCAACTTCGGCGCCCAGACAACACAGGGTTATCGGTACCTGAAGTATTGGCAGTGAGTCACACTCCCTCAGATCACTCGATCCTCCCAATCCAATCCCATCGTCGGTCCACATACATATACTGATACATTTTCTTTCTTCACAGCTGGGGTGGCCGGGAAGCTCAGATCGCTGCTCAGGGTGCTGAAGCAGGCGAGGCTGCATCGCAGGCTGGGGCGTAAAGAAGAAGAGAAGAGAAGGGAGAGAGGCTCGGTGGTGGAGGATGGTTGTACACTCGTCTTGACTCTATGCACGGCCGTCAGTTTCGGCATTGTCACTTCTATACACCTACGGTCTTCTGATTTCTTTTCTGTCAAAACAAGAACAAAATTGTCAGTTTCTAGACAGCTTTGGAATGGGAGGTACATTATATAGAGAGAGAAGAGGAAGAGGAGGCGAAGGCGTAGCGAGGTGAGCTAGTTGGTGTCTCGTTATCCGGTCACTGTATATAAACAGTATCTACATCCGTTGAATGGGATCGTTTCTGATGGGAGCAGGGCTGAGCTAAGACTTCAATTCACATCCAATTCTTGAATAGCTTGCACACGAGAGGACCAACATGTATATGCATATAAGTTCAGATGAGGTGGACTCGAGAATCCGTGCCATGCCACAGTCTAAAAATTAAAAAAAGACACAAGGAAAAATATAGTATGAAAACAAGTTCGTTCCAAGAATCGCCCCAAAGAGCAGAAACCAAGGACTTATTACTTAGAATCGCAGTACCCCGGGGTCGTATCAACGGCACCGCGGAGCCAATTTTGAATGGTCAGGGCGGTCGTGTAAATACAGCAAATAACGCCGAAGGAAGCGAGTACAATGTCGGCAATGGCCTGTTTCCGGGAATGGGCACAGGCGCGGAGATGGAGGAGAGGCTAGACAAATTTCCAGTTAGCGATGCGTCTATTTGGTAGGGATAGAGAACGGTCGAAACCAAGCCAACATACCGGATACACGTAAATCAATGGAACACAAGCGAAGCTTCCGACCAGCGAAACAAACTTGTCCAAGTCGTCGGCACCTCCCCAAGCGACAACCGCACAAACCAGGACAAGGAAGAAGCGGAAACAATTCTTCTCCCATTTGATCCAAGGGTTATACTTGCCGCTGCGGCTGAAAAGCTCGTTCTCCATGATTCGGATGGCGGGGAAGAGCTGCAGGGGAGTGCTAAGCAAGATTGCAAGCGAGTAGAGGAACTGGACAACGTTGACAAATTTGTCATCCTGGGGTAGATTAAGAAGGATGACAGTCTTCGTTTTTGAACCGTATGCGGCATAGCTGAGGGCACCTGCTGAGAGGAAGATGAAAGTGATGACGATCATGACACCACCAAGGACAGCTGGAAAACGTTGCGGCTTTTTCATCGATTCTTGAATTGGAATGATGAGGCCAATGCCCTCATAGGTGAAGATGGCGGTTCCAATGAACATAGACCAGGTCGCCGGATTGAAAGAGCTGACATCAGAGATGCCCCCATTGCTGACGAGGGTGCTGACGTCGTAAAAGTAGATATACAACAGTCCAAGCAGAATAAAAACGTCCGCAATAAGCGCGGTAAAGCCAAGCTTGCTGATGTCGCGAATCAGAGAAAGAGGCATAAAGATGACCAATTGCAACAGCACTAGCCACTTGATGTCGATGAAGGACTTGCATTTGCTCACAGCGAGGACAAATGCTTGTAGGCTTTGTGAGACGAAGACGATGTATGCTGACACGAACCCCAACTGGCTAAGGACGATCGATCCCAGAATAATGCGTCGCATGTGCTTTCCAAATAGAATTCCACCAATGTCACCAAAAGACCCATTGATCTTCATGCGGGTGTTAACCAGCAGAATGAAGGCATAGTAGCTCAGAATAGAGACGCCCAGTAGCACCATACTACTGAATAGTAAACCGCCGTTCAGGAACGCCCGAGGCAGAAACAGAATGCCGGTGCCGACAAAGGACTTAAGCAGCAGCAGAACAGCTCCAGTCGTAGTTGTTGTCCCTGCCGGTGCACGCTGTTTATGCTTCCGCTTCTTGCGACCCGGTGTTTCACCCTGAAGCAGTGCCGCCTCTTCTCCGGACTCTCTCTCTTCATCTCCCTCGTCCCAACTTGCACCAGATGAGAAATACTCATCGGGACCTAAAGCCTCATCATCTTCTTCTAGCTCCTCTCCCGCAAAGTGACCGTACATTGTCAGAAACTCCAGAAAGCTTGATGTAGGAAGCTGAGGGGGGCCATGATGCCCCCCTGAAGTTGACCCTTGTGCACTTCCCCTTTGCGGGCTGGCCGCTGTTCTTCGCAGATAGTCTCTTCGAAACCCTCCTGGTACTCGAATGGTGTTGATATCCTCCGTCTCGGTCTCCGGCGTTGGCCGACTGACGCTGAAACTCTTGCTGCGTAGAAACTTCCCCGCGGCCTCGGCCTCTGCATCCTCGGCCCACCGGTAGACTTGTCGAGTAATGTCACCTCCCTGAAGCTGTAGACTGGAGAACTCATCCTCGCCGCCAAAGCTTGTCGCAATCTGCGAGTGGACGTCACTGTTGTCCGCCACGTCCTGGGGGAGAACTAGATGTCTCTTCACAACTTCGGGGTCTTCGTACGGCGCCATACTAGGCGAGTCATTTCCATACTTGTTGTCAAATGAGCCGTAATGTGATGCGACTGGTCGGTTATCTAGAGTCGATGGCCCCGGGGCGGGCGACCCACCTAGGCGCGGCGGTGTTCCAAATCTCGGAGGGGAGCGGCCTACACTATCCTGAAGTGCTGAAGCAATCATCGACTGGCCGGGACCCGGAAGAGAGGACGGGTCGTCGACAGCCCGAAAATTATGCTCGGTGTTGTTGCTCGTCACCGGACGACTGGCCGGGATGCCTTGCCGAGACGAGATCGATGTACCCAGGGAAGGCGAGGGAACTGGCGAAGCAAGTCGTGCAATCGAGGCCTGTCTGAATCCCACGTCCGGCGCCGGAGAGTGTGACCGACCCGGCGAGGTCGCGATCGGTCGGGATTGAGACGGGTTCAGGGACGAACCCTCTCCGTTATCAGCCATGCTGGAGGATGGCCCGAGGCGTCACTGGCAGCTCCACATAAAATAATACGGGTGACCAGAATAGGCGTGAGGTCTGGGGCGTCGTGGTGGCTTGAGTCGTGCAGGTGTTGGGGCCAGAGTTGGGGGATATGGACGCTTGGGGTCAAGTTTCAGTCAGTGATCGCCGAATTTGCACTGTTTGTTCCCACCCACACACGTCACTTGTTTCCCTTTCGACCCACGTTGTACTACTCTCTGTTGGTCCTACAAGGACAACCGATAGCCCGTGTGCCATGTGAGACAACCGGGAAACGACATCTATTGACCAGAACGGCTACAGACCGACCTTCCTCCGACGCGATGTCCCGCCGACGCCCAAATTTCTCGACCAGAACCGCCGAGGAGGATGTCGCGCGCCTCGATCCAGGTGATTCAGTGCCTACCAATCTCTTTCGCGATATCGCTCAGTGGTGGGATAAACGGGACCACAATACGGAAGCAGAGGAAAACAGCGGAGAGAGAGTTTCTCCTGCCGGGCCTTTACATGAGTCCAGTACCCACAAGGACCACAAACATGGGCATCGGTTCCGCTCAACGGATGAGCCCAAGAAGCTCGGGACTCTTTCCGGCGTCTTTGTTCCGACGACATTGAATGTGCTGAGCATTCTGATGTTCCTTCGTTTTGGTTTCATTCTAGGACAGGCAGGCGTATTGGGCATTCTCGGTATGCAAATTAGCTAAGGGTTTGAGAGAGGATGGCTAATTCGCCAAAGTGCTGCTCATAATCTCATACACGATCAATCTCGTGACGACAATGTCTCTTTCCGCCATTGCAACAAACGGGACAGTGAGAGGCGGAGGTGCATACTACCTGATCTCTCGGTCTCTCGGCCCCGAGTTTGGCGGGTCCATTGGTTTAGTCTTTTATTTAGGCACCGTCTTCAATACCGGCATGAACGCTGTTGGTCTCGTCGATTGCTTTACCCAGAATTTTGGGATTTATTCCGGGAGCTGGGCGAACTTCCTTCAGGAAGGCTTTTGGTGGCAGTACTTGTGGGGCACGGTTATCCTTGTTCTCTGTACCGGTATCTGCTTGGCCGGAAGTTCCATGTTCGCCAAGGCGAGCAACGGGCTGTTGATCATCCTACTCGTGGCCACGTTTAGTATCCCCTTGTCAGCCATCTTCATGAAGCCTTCTTCTTGGCCGGAGCACGGGGTCGAGTTCACGGGCCTCCGCGTGAGGACTCTACTTGAGAATCTGAAACCCCATCTGACAAAAGGCGCTGCGGGTAGTCAGATCAAAGGGAGAGAAACCTTTCAAGATCTGTTTGGGATTCTCTTCCCCGCCACGGGCGGAATCTTCGCTGGTGCGAGCATGTCGGGCGATCTGAAGAACCCGAGCAAGTCTATCCCCAAAGGTACCCTTTCGGGTCTGGCTTTGACTTTTATCACCTACACGCTTGTCATTTTGGCCATGGCAGCTTCGATCACACGGGATTCCTTCTATAATAACGTGAATGTGATTCAGGTCGTAAGTGAATCATTTTTCGGGAAGTACGATCCGGGCCCAACTAATTTGCCTACAGGTCAATGCCTCCGATGCCGTCATACTTCTCGGCGAATTTGCTACCTCGTTCTTTTCCTCGCTGATGGGGGTTATCGGATCTGCCAAGCTTCTCCAGGCCATTGCCCGAGATAGTTTACTCCCGGGATTCGGAATTTTCGGACAAGGAACCCGGAAGACTGACGACCCAATTTACGCGATAGTTGTGACTTTCGTGTTTGCTCAACTTACGATGCTGTTTGATATCAATCGTATCGCGTCTTTTGTCACCATGACCTACCTGATGACTTTCCTGGTCACGAATCTGGCCTGCTTCCTCTTGAAGATCGGTTCTGCCCCGAACTTCCGGCCGTCGTTTCATTACTTCAACTGGCAGACGGCTGCAGCTGGAACTCTAGTCTCTGGTGTCAGCATGTTCTTTGTGGACGGTCTGTATGCCACAGGCTGTGTCAGCATCTTGGTTGTGCTTTTCTTATTGATCCACTATAGTTCGCCTCCCAAGCCGTGGGGCGATGTTAGCCAGAGCCTGATATACCACCAGGTCCGCAAGTACCTGCTCCGGCTGCGGCAAGAGCACGTCAAATTCTGGCGGCCACAGATTCTACTCTTTGTGGCTGATCTTGACAGGCAGTACAAAATGGTCTCCTTTTGCAACTCGCTGAAGAAAGGCTCTCTTTTTGTCCTTGGACATGTCATCGTGACCGAAGATTTTTCATCGGCGGTCCCAGAAGCACGCCGGCAGCAGACAGCATGGACCAAGCTCGTCGAATACTCCAAGATTAAGGCCTTTGTTAATATATCTGTATCGCCCGCGGTAGAATGGGGAATGCGGAATATTGTTCTGAATTCGGGACTAGGAGGGATGCGACCTAACATTGTCGTGCTTGACCAATATCGACAAAATCAGTCCTTGGTCGAAACAGTGTCAACGACCGGCTTGCGGAGAGATTCATCCAAGTCTAGACGTCTATCAGCTGCGTCAGGCACCCGCAATGACGCGTCCGAAGAGGCAGGTTCGGCAAATACAATGAGCTCCAAAAACTATGTCACGATTCTTGAAGACCTTCTGTTCAAGTTGCGAATTAATGTCGCCGTGGCTAAGGGATTTGAGGACCTTGAACTGCCAGATCCTCATGGCCATCACACGAAGAAATATATTGATCTGTGGCCAATTCAAATGTCAGCTGAGCTTGGGGCTGATAATGAAAGCAAGCAGAACGTTCTGACGACGAATTTCGATACTTATACCCTTATTCTTCAACTGGGTTGCATTCTCAACACCGTCCCTTCTTGGAAGAGAACCTATAAACTAAGAGTGGCTGTGTTTGTCGAGTATGAGACCGACGTGGAAGATGAAAGAGGAAGAGTCGAAGCACTTCTGGAGAAGTTGCGGATAGAAGCCGAAGTTCTGGTCTTCTGGCTGGCTTGCGGCGATCTGAAGGCTTACCGGATCATCGTCAATGGCGATACCTCTCCGGAGGTAGCTGATGCCGAAGATAGTGTTCATTCCGTTCTGCGAGGCGAAGAATGGTGGCTAGGTGTGGTACGAGCTCGCAACTGTTTCCAGAACTTGCAAGATTCTGATGCAGCGGGTGACTGTCCTCAGCAACTACAGCAAGCTGCCACCTGGCAAGGCCCCTCAAGTCAGGAAAGCGGAGCCAAGACTTTACAGCAACATGTGACCGGCCTGAAGAAGTTGATCCAGAACACCACGCGAAAGCGGTCTGTGTCCAGCTTTCGGGCTCTTGGGGGTTTCCCACTGGGAATGCAAACACACCGGTTGCTGGATGCGTTTGTCGACTACGATAGTCCAGAGAGCTCAGCTGAAAATAGCGAGGACAGTGATCTGGAACCATATATCAGCGAGCCTGAAATGGATGACGGCGATGAGGAAGACTTGGCCAGTAGTCGAAACGAGAGCAGGTCGAAACCGGGCCTTCTGCGACCACTGGGCCGGTCCAGTAGTGATGATTACAATCCCAGTGCAGGATCTTCTAGCACTGAAAGAGCACAAGAATGGACTACTCGCGCTCAAACGATCCCCTCCATCGTTACAACAGGAGATGACGAAAGATCACCCAAGAGTCAGTCTCCTGCCCCTCGTCCTCCCATGAGCCGCTCTGCATCCAGCAATCGATTCAGCTCGTCGCCAATACCTGAAGCCAAAGTCAACACAGAGGAAGAAGGAGCGGGACCGTCCATCATGTTCGCTCCTAACGCTTCGCCTCCTCGTTTTGCCCAGAATCCAAAGAAGTTGGATTCTATCTACGCACGGCGCCCGTCCGCTCCGTCCCCCACTTCCACAAGCAACAACAACCAACCGGCAATGGGATACCCCGGACGTGCCTCGATCCCTCTGTGTTTCAACGATCTTCCAAGCCGCGCACAGCATTTGATTTTGAACGAATTGATGGTTCAACAGAGCGGCGAGACTGCTGTCATTTTCACAACTCTGCCATCACCGGTGGAAGGTACTTCCCTCCGTGAGGAGGACAGTATGTCCTACCTAGATGATTTGGAGGTGTTGTGGCAAGGACTGCCTCCGTGCCTGCTGGTCCATAGCAATAGCATGACTGTGACGATGAACCTGTGATGAGTGATGACCTTGCATATAATTTATATTCTGCAAATTGTCTTGGACTTCGATATACGTAGAACCTGTTTTGTTTCTTTCATTTTCTCAGACTGTATCTAGTCAGGCAACCAGTCCTATAGTTTAGATGCATAGCAACCATTGTTTGGCATAGCACATAACCCTATTTCAAGGAACACATGGCTGAAGGGTCTTGTGACAAGTTCATTTTGAAGTCTGCGCTAGAGCACGATGCGAGGAAGCGATATCGGACCAGCTATTCAGGATACGAAATAACCCCACTGAATCTGTTTAATATGGGCTGATGGAAAGACACGATTTGAAAAGCAAACTGCGTACCTTGTACTTAAGCAAAATGTATACCTTGTACTTAGTTGCCTGAAGTATAATTGCCTGTTCAGGAATAGCGGGGTCATCTCGCACAGCCCCCATCTGGTCCTGATTGTTCAGCCTCGTTTGGCAAGAATTTAACATATCTTCATCAATAACATGCCTCTTACTGCTCTTCCAAATGAAATAATCCTTTTAATTGCGGCCCAACTGGATTCAGAAACTGATATTCTGCACTTTCTGATCACCAACCGCACTCTGTACAACCTTCTCATCCTCGAGCTGTTCAGAAGAAATGTGGAGCATACCGAAGGCAGCGCTTTGATCAAAAGCGTTGAAAACTGCAACGAGTGGGCTGTGAGAACCCTGTTATCTCTGAAAGCGAATCCGAATATTGTCGCATTCGACCTTGAATGGAACACGCCCTTGACGATTGCTGTCACGTACGGCTATACAGCTATAGTCCAAATTCTTCTTGAGAATGGAGCAAACCCCGGTTTCGTGAACTACCGAGGAACAAGGCCCTTAAATAGGGCTATCAAATACAATCAGGGTACCTGCATCATGAAGTTGCTGATTGACTATGGTGCCTACAACGACCCCAATGTCCGCCCTGAACCAGGGACTCAGAGCAGTCACCGTCATGAAGATGACCCGCTAGTCGCCGCCGTGGTATCAGGCGACATCCAAAAACTTGAGATACTTTGTGCCTATGCGAATTTGAACCTCTCGGACCGCCACCTGGGGCCGAGATTACTTCGCTCTGCTGTCCAGTTTGGGAGTTCCTCGCAAATGATGAAGATGCTTCTTGACTCTGGCCTTGACCTCAGTGGGGAAGATGGGTTTGATTCGTTGAAACACGCTGCTAGAATGTCATCGCTGCCAATGGTGCAGCAGCTGCTAGATCTTGGTGCCCCCGTGAACGCGCCAGCCGGCTGCCAAAGCATCAGCCCCTTACATCTTGCTGCGGATCCTAACTATTCTACTGATGTGGCCATCGTCAGGCTACTTATTGACCGCGGGGCTCAAGTCAATGCCATGACTTTTACTGGCCAGACCCCCCTACATTGCACAGCTCGTCGATGCGATGTTCCTGTCGCAAGGGTGCTTCTTGATAATGGCGCGGATGTGAATATCCAAAATGATTATGAAAAAACTGCATTGCATATTGCCGCTGAGTTGAATGGTACGGATTTGATCAAGCTGCTGCTTTCTTGCGGAGCCACGGTGCCTTCTAAAGCTAATGGCCTGCCTCCTATTCGCTTGGAGGCGGACGACCCAATCGCCCAGATGTTTCTCGCGCATGATTCCAATGCGCATTTTCGAGAATAAAGAGGGGTTGTGAGCGTGTACAGTGTTGTTCTCTTATTCTTGTAACCTTGATAGATTGGCTATGATATGTGCAAGTTAGGCCATTTGCAGCTCATATTAATGAATATTACCTAAGTGTAGCCATCTCACTCAAAAACCACTTCTATCCAACAGCCATTACATCATCTGATCTGTCCAAAGAGTCCTCTTCATCTATTTGTGCTACTTGCGGTCTTGATAGGCTAACCAAGGCACTCTGAACCATTGCAACTCCCTTTTCGGGACAGCCAGAGCGCATCTGACGAAACACCTCGAGACTTTTCCAGCACAGTTCGAGCAGACTAGCCTTTTCGTCTGCGGAGCTATCAAAGGCGCAGATGAGTACTATCAGAGTTGCAGAGACAACACGATGGTAGAAACATGACCAATGATCGATGCCAGCGTCTTGGACGAGAGCCTTGTGTGCTAAAAGTATTGTCTCCCGCGAAGCACCAATGCAAACGCTCCTGGCCATACTGGAGGTGTAAAAGGGCGTCGAGATGTGCACATTGGCAAAGAACGGGCGGTGCGCAACGAGCATCAAATGGTTGAAGTCTAGGAATTTATTAGATACCTCCCCTATACTGGCAATGATATACTCACGGAGCTCCACTTCGTAGTACTGGCGCTGTATCCAGGTTGTGATTTCCAATACGTGGAGCCGCGCCGCGGGAACACTATCCCGAGGGGAGAGATGGACGGGCAGTTCTCCTCTCCATGTCATAAGCTCTGCTTGGTGATTCATAAGTCGGCCCACGTAAGACTGCATCGAAAGGCCTTTCTCGCTGATGTCCGATAGCTGAATAGCAGATTTAGTGGGGTTATTGTCAACGTTATCACAAGCAACATACCAGATCAATGATCTTGCGAGCTATTCTGCTGAGCTTGGCCATGAAAACAATAAACGTGATCTTGCTCGCATTTGCGGCCAGATCCTGTCGAGCTAATTAGTTGGGGCTTCAATGATGAGTTTAAATACCCCTTACCAAGGGCTCATGTGGATAAGCAGCTTTGGCGTCAGTCTCCCGGATGCACAGTGGTTTTCCGTATTCGAGACAGAGCTCCGACTCCAAGCTATACAGAGTCCACCATGTTCGTAGTGCAGCCTGAGTCTCGATTGCAGCGGCGCTGGCAGAATCCAGGTCACGGTTGATCCCGGTTGAATATGCAATTCTGATGGCAATTCCCAAGTAGTCATACGCCACTAAACGGTGTTAGAATTGAGAACTTGATATTTTCAGGGAACACTGACGGTTGGGATGAGCTACATGATGTGCATAAGTCGCCTTGAAAATTGTCAGAAGGATAAGAACGCTGGCGTTAGGAGTGGAACTGTTACCATCAACATAGTAGCCTGAACTATCTCCAAGCAGTTTCCGCCAAGTGCACCGCCAAGAAGCTTCTGCGCCTCGGCAAAATAACTGGCTGCCCACTGGGGATCATTTGCTGCGGCTTTGGAGTATAGAGCACCCAAGGCCAAGACTGAGTAAATCAAGCAATGACTCTGACGAGTATGAGTGTTATTCGAGTCTGAAGGGGATGCGTTCCAGAAGAGTCCATAGGCACATCTAAAAGTGTCTTCGTTCAGGACAGGGATTGTATCATGGACGGTGAGAAAGAAACAATCCACATGCGCGTTGGCAAGGTGCTCCCGTATTTTCCATGTGCCTTCGCTTTGGAGATCGGTGGATGCGTAGATATCCAGTCTTGAGACTCTTTCGGAGTGAGACATCAGAGGCTCATTCAATTCCCATCGTAGTCTTTTCGTTGGCCGTACATCATGGCCATCAGTTGATTCCGACCAGGACAGCTTGTTCTCCATTGATTTGAGAAGCGCGATGGTGGAGGTAGGTCCGTAGGATGATACATTGTTTTCGTCAAAAATGGTGACCCCAGAGATATTCTGGTCAGTGGTGTGGCCAGCGCCTCCTGTGACATGAGCTTTGGTATATACTAAACCAAAGGAGACAGAGAGCAAATACCTGGTGAATCCACTGCACTGCTCGGCTGATATGTCCTCTCGCCAAATACCGCACGCTCTAGTTCGATCACCCTTGCATTGATAATATCAAGCCCCCTAGGCGTCACGTCAGCTCGAGGGGGAAACGGGGTATCTGCTATCACTTACCCGATAACCCTGCTAGCTGTCGTAGACGGGTCGTAGGCGCACTGGCTGTGACTATTCTCACACGATTGACAAGGCAAGAGGCCATTGCACTATCTCAATTAGTTTCCACTTGTCCTGCGTGTGCGACCTGGCGAGCAGTACTACCTTTAGCTTCCGTGCACGGCAAGGATTGCACGCTTCCGTTGTTTTCTTGCGGAGTCCGGTCGTGAGACCAGTCTTTTGATGCTGCTGCACGGTCGACATACTGCGGGGAATCGTTGTGGCAATTGGACCAAGGTGTATGTCTCGCGGAGATCCCGACTCCCTTGATTCATAGATGAATGTTTATGCTTATGTCATATATTTGATTGGGCAGGGATCTCCCCGAGTTGAGCGTCCCACTCTAAGCAAACCTGTAATCTGCAGTTGAACAAGCTATGGACTATTAATTTTCACTGCAATGGTTTATTCAATGCTCTGGTAACTAAATATTGTCATGAATTATGGGGCGCCGAACCCTACACCCGTGGGCCATATACGCTGCACGATGATTTGTAGGAGCTGGGCTGGTACGAGATGTAATGCCTGTGTTATTGCCATGATTACTCCTCGGTGCGCGTACAAAGATGAATGGTACTTAGAGCTGGGGAAATTGTGCAAAACAAAAGAGCAAAGAGTACTTCTGCAGGGTTGGATTTGGTTGGCCCTGTCATCCTTATCCCCACACCGAATTGATCCAATCGCGGAGACCCCGAGGATCCAAGTTCCACGCGGGGACCATAGCCAAGTCATTCGAAGTGGGGTAAATAGAAATGTAAACACCTGCTAACTGCTCTAGATCGTTCCCACAATCGCGACTCGGTGACGTTGAGAACAGCTAGGTTGGCTTCGGAAAAACTAGGAAATAAAGCTCGTACCGAGGGGGAGGAAACTATAAAGCCCGGAAACCCACAACTTTATCCCGCTAAGCAACTTCGAAAAAAGCAATGTGTGCAGGAACCTAGCGCTGCAGTCAATCCAAAATGGCCTCAAAGAAATCTACCCGCAAAAGGCCCGTGGAGTGGGAGGAGCATTCCCCTGGTGATCGTGGAAAGCTTGTCAAGCACGGCAGGTTGACAACGGCAGCCGAGGGGTTTTTCGAAGCACTGAGTACGTTAGAAACAGCCCCAATATTTTCTGAACAAACAGGCTCACCTTGTATCTGAAGCGGAGGCTGGTGTTACTCATTGCTTTGCCAATTTGTTCGTCTACTGGTAAATCGGCGTTTGACACTTCTCTGACAAGATGGAATAGGGGCAGCGACCATCCCGCCATCCTGGAAGCTGTAATAAGAGCGAAGCAAGGTGCGATTCGGCCACGTTCTTTCTGATCAGCAAAAGCTCATTATATGACAGAAAACAGTACCAAGGTTCCTGAGATCATTACTTGTCCTTCCGAGCTTGTGGCCTTGTCCGCAGCACTGGGATATGCCCAGGTCACGGGTATTCCGGTATGACAATTGCTGGCCAATCCATATACTTCTACTAAATGAAGCAAATATAGCAATGTGTTCTCGTACATGTTGACTGTGGAACTCTGGCTATGGGACAATCCATCCACAATGCCTCAGCGAGCAGAGTGCCGGTTTTGTGTTTTGCGGGTCTCAGCCCCTTCACTCAAAACGGGGAACTGCTAGGCTCAAGAACCGAGTGAGGAAATTGCCAGAATCTTTGGAAATGGAGCTGATTGTTTTCATAGATTCATACATTGGGTGCAAGACGTGCCTGATCAAGCAGCGATTGTCCGCCAATATTGCCGTTTTGCAGGGGAGATCAAGACTGGACGAAATATCAAGGAGATGGTGTATCGAGCTCTGCAGCTTACTATGTCAGACCCTAAAGGCCCGGCCTATTTGACTGCAGCGAGGGAGGTTCTTGAAGAAGTGAGCCAGCTTCAGTCAAGTCGGAGAGAACTTCACTGACTAGACGGACATAGAGTGTGGAGAGGGAATATCTCGGAGAGCAAACCCTCTGTCCGATAGTACCCAGTGCATTGCCAGAGTCGGGTAAGCAGCCTTGTCTCGTCTCAGCTGAATATTGCTGAGGTCACCAGAGGTGGAATTGATTGCGACTGCACTTATAGGCGCAAAGAGACCGCTGGTCATTACGGGATATCTGGGTCGCAATCGCCAAGCTCCTTCCCTACTAGCAGAGCTTTGCGATAAGCTGCCAATAAGTGTGGTGGAAATGGTAGGCTCTGACATGTGTTTGCGGAGTGACCATGAAGGGTATCTGGGCGTCACTGTCACTACACACTTAGAAGTCTGCGAAGCGGATGTGATTCTAATCCTGGACTGTGATGTGCCATGGATCCCTACCGCTGGAAAGCCACAGAAGGGTATTTATGCCCATCTTCTTCATTTTAGAAGTATGTTGACTGTCCAGGAACGAAAATTTTCCATCTCGATGTTGATCCGCTCAAGCAACAAATGCCGCGTACATACCCAGATTCTTTTACATTGGGCCATATTTCTAATACTTGATGTCCAGTATTTTCTTTCAATATGACTCGCAGACTCCGAGTCAGTTGCGCGATTGCACTGAAGCAACTCAATGCCTTTCTCGACAAGCAAAGCATTGACAGAGGGCGCTACACCAAAGCGTTTGAAGCACGCAGCAATCGCTATCAGAGTTGGCGGGAAAACTTACGCAGTTTAGAGACTGTATCTGTGAAAGGTGTCATCAGTACTCCGTACTTGACATCTAGACTGCGAAACTCCCTTCCACAGGACACCATCTATGTTCTGGAGGCTGTCACCAACGCGGGGCATGTTATCAATCACCTCAACCTAACTCAGGTAGGTTTGCTCAATCAGACGTATCTTCACAGCACTTACAATCCTTTAGCCAGGTTCTCTTGTCGGCACTGGGGCCGGTGGCTTGGGATGGGGCGGCGGTGCCTCGCTGGGTATCAAGTTAGCCAAGCCAGATTCCTTCATCTGTGCAATGTGAGTGTCTACAATCCACGAGATATCAAAGTCTAATGACATCACAGCATCGGAGATGGATCATATCTCTTCAGCCAGATGGAGAGCGTGTATTGGATTGCCCGGCGCTATAACATTCCATTCCTGTGTATCGTGTTAAACAACAGCGGGTGGAATGCACCCAAGGTGTCGGCTCTTCTTGTCCACAAGGATGGGTTGTCGTCAAAGTCGAACATGGGTGGTATGTCAAAACAACATGGGAGTTTAATAAACTGACGAACGGTTAGATCTCAATCTCTCGTTTAATCCCTCGCCTGACTATCCTGGAATTGCCGCTGCTGCTGGTGGTGCATGGGGTGCAACTGTCAAGGTACCAGAAGAGTTGGATCCAGCTCTCAAGGAGGCAATACATGTTGTCCGCAATGGACGATGTGCTGTCGTTGATGTGGCGTAAGTTGAACACCGCTCGAGTTGGTTAGTAGGGCAATAGGGCTAACTTTTCAGTGTGCCGTCAATGTGGAAGGAGAATTAGACAAGCATAGGTCGAGAAACAACAACACAAAATTACAATATGGGTCCGTGTAAATAGCTGATAGTAGAGAATGCAATAGGGTATTCCGAGGCCCATCGTCAATACATAATCATCTCCCATGTCCTTATCATCTAGCTGACGTGAGGATGCTGACATGGATACATATAGAGACGATCCCGGCGAAGCTACTGCACTGCGCCGCACACACTAACCTAAACCAGTCCTAAGGCGAACAGACTGCAGAAACGATAGGATTCTCAGATCTTTTAGTCCAGAAAAATGGAAAAATCTCTTCTGTTTACACTAACACGCTGACCAATACCCAATTCGGGCCATCTTATTGGCCCCCGAGCCGGGGAACCAGCGACCCGCAGCTCAAACCCCGTGTCACCCCGTTTCCCTTTCTTTCGCTTTTCCTCTTGCAATTGTTGTATTGTTTGACTTCTCAATCGCTTTCCTTTCTCTTTCTCTTCCTCTTCCTCTTCATTTTCCTCTTCCCTTATTCTTCTTCCCGCAACCCCCGCCAAACCATGAGCGAAAGTCTGCGGCCGACCAACGGAGCCAAACCTTCCAATTCCAACCAGCGTCGCACGCCTACCCACTCCCTCCCCAGCGGCGCGCAGAACGGCCTCCCTGTTCGGTCTCGCGCTTCAGTCAACGGCAACGGCCAAGTTGACTCGGATAGTCTCTCCGACAGCGCATCCTCCACCGACTCGTCCCAAGTGAACGGCGCGGGGAAATCTCATCGGCCCGCCATGTCGCGTAAAGCATCCTCCCCCATGGCGCCCGCCTTCATGGTGTCTGCCCCAGGCAAAGCCATTGTGTTCGGTGAGCACGCCGTCGTTCACGGCAAGGCAGCCATGGCAGCGGCCATCTCACTCAGATCGTACCTGCACGTCACAACCCTCTCCAAGTCACAACGCACCGTCACCTTAAATTTCAGAGACATTGGCCTCGACCACACGTGGGACATTGACGCCCTGCCCTGGGATCTTTTCCACCAGCCGTCCAAAAAGAAGTACTACTACGACCTCGTCACCTCCCTCGACCCCGAACTCGTCGCCGCGATCCAGCCGCACCTCGAAGGCGTGGGGAAGGGCATGTCGGAGGAAATCCACAAGCACCAAGTGGGTGGCGCATTTGCTTTTCTCTATCTATTTCTCTCCCTGGGATCCCCGCAAAGCCCAGGCGCCGTTTACACTCTCCGATCCACAATTCCCACCGGCGCTGGACTAGGTAGCAGCGCCAGTGTCTGTGTGTGTTTGAGTTCCGCCCTCCTTCTTCAGATCCGCACGTTGGCCGGTCCGCACCCGGACCAGCCGCCCGAGGAGGCAGAGACACAGATCGAGCGCATCAACCGATGGGCGTTTGTGGGTGAGATGTGCATTCACGGAAACCCTAGCGGGGTGGATAACACGGTCGCCGCGGGCGGCAAGGCCGTGATGTTTCGCCGTGTAGACTATAACAAGCCTCCAGAGGTCACTCCCCTCCTCAACTTCCCCGAACTTCCTCTCTTGCTCGTCGACACACAACAATCTCGCTCGACGAAGACGGAGGTGGACAAGGTCTTCCGACTCAGGGAATCACACCCCGTGGTGACGGAGTCTATTCTTAACGCCATTGATCAAGTATCAACATCGGCGCAAGAACTTGTTGACGACCCTGAATTCGAGAGTTCTCCCGGAAAGGACCTGGCACAACTCGGCACTCTTATCCGCATGAACCACGGGTGTCTGGTGTCGCTAGGTGTTTCCCACCCGCGCTTGGAACGAATCCGCGAACTGGTTGACTACGCCGACATTGGCTGGACGAAGCTGACTGGTGCCGGCGGTGGCGGCTGCGCGATCACGCTTTTGCGCCCAGACGCGAAGAAAGAAGTCGTGCGCGATCTTGAGAAGAAGCTCTCCTCAGAGGGATTCATTAAATATGAAACCGTTCTCGGTGGCGACGGCGTTGGCGTTCTCTGGCCCGCGGTGCTGCGCAATGGCTCTGACGAGGAAGGCGGCGAGGAGATCGATCAACAAAAGTTCGAGAATGCCGTTGGGCCCGAAGGTATCGAACGCCTTGTTGGAGTTGGGATGCACGAGCGGAGAGAAGGGTGGAAGTTCTGGAAGCGAGCGGCGCAGGCTTAGCTGCCTCCTGCCTGTTTTATGTCTTATTCTCGGGTCTGTCTTATTATTCCTAAGGCTCACATATTGGGCGAGTTTATGATCGATCATAACACTATCTAATTTATTGTGTATAGTTATACCACAGAGCAGAATCGTAGTACTTCTAGCATACCACTAATGAAAATTGCACCGTATATACAAACAGCAGAAGATAACAAAAAGAAGGGTATTTTGCAAAATCAAAATCCAAAATCCAAAATCCCCTCTCCCACTTATCCCATCGTAGTCTCCCACCCTTTCTCCATCATAACATCCATCCAAAACGCCCTACTCTCCTGACCCGCATCCATCCGTCTCCACACCTCAGTAACAAGCCTTAAGCACACATTAATCGGTTTCGGAGGCAGCACATGCAGAAACGAGGTGAGACGGCCGAGGATGAATTTCCGTGTGCGCGAGACCTCGATGGCGGCCATTGAGACGGCGGGGCCTTGGTTTTCGTTGCCAGCGGTGTCGTCATTATCGTTATAATTATCGTTATCGTTATTAGTTTCTTCATTGTAATCGTTATTGTCATTGGTATTGCCTTGGCCGTGTGGAGAGGTAGTTCGGTGAGGTGTGCATGTGCGTGGGAGGCGGAGCTCGCTGCTTGATGCAACAAGTAAGAAGGGCTGCAGACATCTTGTGCGGGATTCGAGGGGGATGGTTTTTAGGCGGTGGAGGGTTGTTACAGCGAATTCGGTGAGCCAGTTTTCGTATAAGGAGGTGTCGGGGTCAGGCTCTGTATCGAAGCTTGGGGTGGGGTTTTGTGCTGCTGATGGTTGGCGAGGTGAGGGAGGGTAGAGGTAGGGTTGGGTGGGTAGCGATGGTGAAGGGGCAGTGTTTGGAGAGTTATTATTAGTATTGGTAGCGCCTGCAGGGCTGTTGCTGCAGAAGCCCGGGGGCATATTCATGCCTTCAAGGTCGATTGGGAAGAACGGATCCCGGGACGTAGACGATACAGCAGCGGGGAATTGTGGCCCAGGAGATGGTAGACGGCTGTGCAGCAAGTCCGGGAAGACGCGGTAGAGCTGCATCAGACCCGTACAACGGTAGACTTCGGCCATGGTGAGGAGGTGCCAGACTGGAGTATCGTCGTCGCCGGGACTCACGATCTCAGCTTCAGCGGGGTGGGCAAGGTCCAGGAGCCGAGCTTCTAGTTCCCGGGCCTTTTCAATGGCCATCTGGGCGCGCGAGATGTCGTCTTGAGAAGTGAAGCGTCTGGCTCGAATGCGTTTCCGCTCGCGCCGGACTAGTCGGCCAACTTCGTGGACGGTGAACTGTGTGTCTCGCGCGATGCCGGTCCAAGGATGCGGAACTAGTTGAAGAACTAGAGACTCGTCCATGGATGTTGCGGATCGCGAATTGTCAGAGAACACCATCGTGTCGTTGTCGGTCACGAACGACAGGAGCATCTCCCAGTATATAAGGGCTTCTTCGAAGAACCGGTAGTTGTTACCGGAATTCTTGGATGTGAAGTCAAATCCCGGGCAGTGCGACGAGGACGACGCAATAGTATTGAGCTGTTTGCGCAGAAGATTGAAGAACGAAATGCCCAGATCCGTCGGATCGTGCCAGCTCGCCGTCTGGCCGAGCATGAGAAGTGCCAGCAGCGCCTTATCATCCATGACTGCTTCACGGGTGATGATGTCCACCGCCTCGTTGCGCATCTTCCGGCCCAGAGGCCCGAACTGAGGGAAGTCATTGACTAGCGTTGCAGCTGCCATGCTCTGCATTGTTCGGCACATCGCCAACGAGGAACCCCAAAGTCGGGAGACCGTGGTCCGAAACGGGTTCATTTGGCTATCATAGCTGGAGAACAGCGCGGCAACTTCCTTGAAATAGTATTCGATCAGAGTCCATGACGGGTTGTTTAGGGGACAAGATATGGACATGAAATCGCGGGACGCTGAAGGATGCGGCGCTGGAGGATAACTCCGGACGATGGCTGACGGTGAAAAGTCTCGGTATTTGCTGCTAGGCTCCTCGTCATTCGGGGCGGGTGGACCGATGAGAGACAGGAAACGCGACAGGTCTCCGGGCGAGTCACCCGATCGTCCAAAGCTGTAAACCGATTCTCGCCGCGGCGAGAAGGACGATGGGCCGGGTCCGGGAGATGGCGGACAGAGGTCGGTCAGTTCAGGCAAAGACCCGTTCCCGGGGAGATCCCACAAGTTATCGCAAAGGGCGTTTGGTCCGTCCAGCCCAAAATGAGTAGCGGTAGTGTCGTGCGAGGGTCTTTGGGCCGGGTCATCATTCAAAGATAAAACATGGCCGATGTGCTCAGGCTGCTGCTGCTGTTGTTGCGGCACATTTGACGACGAGGCGGGACTCGTCCTGTTTTCATTTGATATAGATGCGCTGGAAGTCTGATCTGACTGCTCATGCTTGGTGATCCAGCGCAACGACTGTACATAGCCTGGGCAGCGCACGCCCAGACGTGTGCAGCGGCTACAATGTGGTTTCTCTTCGCCGCATTTCACCTGATCCCGTTAGCACCCGACCTAGGAGGTGGAGCGGGACCACGAACCCGTTTACTCTTGCATCGCACACAGCCGTGGCGGGACTTCTTGACTCGCCGCATTGCAAGTAGGAGAGATAGAGATCGTATGAAGACGTCAAGAGCGATCTCCGACAGAGATAGGAATTGTCCCCAGGTCAGTGCGGGGTGGATATCGCGATAACGGGAAACTTTTGCCTGTTTGGTCCCGAAAATAGGAGATGCTGACCACAGTTCTCGGCCAAGTCTCCGGTTAAGTCTCTTTCTATCTCTCAGGCCATGGCAGGTAGACTCGTGCGGGCCTTGTCAATCAGATCACCAAGCCTAGTGTCTCAGTCGGCTTGGACGCCTCCACACTATCCTCTGGCATCGCGTCACTGTATTCGCGCCGCCCCCCGCTGGTTCCATTCGACCGCAGCTATGGTTGGCGCGTCGCTGGAACTGAAAAAGACCCTAACACCAGATCTCCTGGAGAGCGTGCACCAACTCTGGTTTGCTCATTGTGAGGAGGAGACTTCTCTAATTCTCCCAGGCCAAAATGAGATGCAGCATTGGTTCAAACGCGACGCGGATTTCGACAGGGCCTGCGTGTAAGTCTGCTCCCCACTGTCTTTATAGGCGTTTTGGAAAAAAAAAGAAAGAAAGAAAATATTAATCTAAATAATTAGTGCAAAATTTCGCCCTGTGCTGGAATCAATTCTTACTTCCGAAGCATCGGCCACCGACATCCTAGAAACAATCAACACAGCCTCGCCTTTATCATGGCTCTACACCCTTATCCTTCTGGATCAGATCTCTCGAAACTGCTATCGTGGTTCTGAATCCAAGTTGGTATTTACCCGTTTCGATCCGCTAGCCAATGCGATCGCCATACGTGCAATTGAGAAGAGAATTGTTTCTCAATCGCCGGAGCTTCGATATCGGCTTGCCTATCGCATGTGGTTTACTCTGCCTCTGATGCACTCCGAGGAACTAAAAATACATGAGAAAGCACTGGAGCAGTATGAAATCATGACCGCGGAGCTGGAAGAGTTCGTTGACAGAGATGTCGACACCTTGTCTGAAGATGAACAGAAGTGTCATCGCGTTTTGTCCGGCCAGCGAGATGAGCTTAAGAAGCTCTTGAATATGCATACCGAGTATGAGAAGAGACACAAGGTCATCATTGAGCGATTCGGGCGGTATCCGCATCGCAATGAGGCTATGGGCAGATCCTCAACTCCGGAAGAGGTAGACTATCTAGAGAATGGCGGAGAGACATTTGGCTAAGAGATATATATTGTCACACTTGGACACCAAAATATCAAAGTGGTTTAAGAGTGACAGCCTAGGAAGTATCTTAAGAATATTTTAGGACAAAATACATAGTTATGGATTATTTATTGCAGGGAAGTCGCCTATTGGTTGTGGAACAATAGCATTAATGATCTTGAAGAGCAATTCTAAAGCGGACTAGAAGAGTGCAGTCAAGTCCACCATCTCTTTGCTCTTTGCCGCGATTGACTCTTGTAGCATTCTTCTTAGTTAGAATTCCCCAAGTGCAACATTCCTCCAAGGTCAATTGGAATGTTGACATCACCAGTCCCCCCAATCAAGTAAGGGAGCACAAGACCAGGACATCGTACCCCTTGGTCCGGACATTCTTGGATCCTCGAGTTGGAGTTTTGTAAAGCTCAGTGCCACGAAATCCTTTATGAACAGGATAGGATTTACACTCGATGAAAGGCTTTGATAATAATAGTTCTTGGGCATATTCCAAACTAGAACTCAAGTCCAGCTTATAGGGTGACTTTCTTGTTTGGATTGTCAGTAGATGACCTTCACAAAGGGGCTGTTGAACCCCACGTAAACAACCCCTTCGAGTCGTTCAAAAGGCATGCCGCTCCATAACTTTAACGTGGCCCGCAATTTGCATTCATTGAATAAGGTGGCACTGACAATGCGCAAAGTAATTATTGTCCTGGACGGCTTCGTAAGAATCAGTTCCCGATTGATGTCCGAACCACGACGTATGCGTCAGTCCACTAAGTTAGCCTCTGTGGAGACAAAATAGCCGCATGAAAGCAAGACGCTCGACTGACCGTTTGCCCTTCCTGTCCCTTATGGAAAGATGGGCTCCACATGCCTGGCAATCACCCTTGACGAACTATAATGAGCGTGGTCGTTTGCGTCCGCCTTACTTTAGCGTAGAGTGTACACCCCTGCTCTAAAGATTGGTCTACGAAAAGAGACAGAAACCAAGGCGCCTTCACAGCACACTGTGTGCGAGCCGTAACCACCCTGGTAATAATAAAGGGAAGAAGCTAGGCGTAGTAGAACTAATAAAGGAGCATAATATGGTACAAGGCACTCCCTGCAACACAGGGCATGGGGCTGATCTCGAATCGACTCCACAAAAACAGCTAACAAGGACCGGTGGGCTGGCCGGATGTAGAGTTGTTCCAAATAATGTCACCGTATTTGATCATGAGCACCCTTCCTGGTCCGATTGATCTTGTTCGGGATGTCTCGATCTCTTGTTCATAGATCAGCGGTAGGATCCTACCACAGCCACTTGAACTAAGATTGACTCATTTGCAGGACAAAGCCAAGTATTGACATGGTTCATACTCTCTACTAGAGCAGGCCTAAACCAGAACACTAATCGAAAGCGCGATGCGTGCCGTGGCCGTCTCGGAGTTGTGCTGCCCATCATGATCGTCGCTCGTCCATCACTTCTTCTCCGGCCCCTGGTCTTCTCACTACTGGTTGTGTCGGCACTGTCTTCGAAGACATTGCATCTATTTCAACATGCAGGATCTCTCCCTAGCGCGCTTTTCGTCCTTTACTTTCCGACATTTTTCATTCAGGAAGCCTTTCTCTTTGCAGGCGCTTGGTTTCTCTTGCATAAGACAACGGGTCTGAGGTCTGTTTTTGGAGCAGGATTAACAGCATTTCTATCGTAAGTGGGAGTGTTACACTTTGTACAAACAGAAAAACAATTCTGACAGAGTCTGCCGATATAGATGCTTGACCTTCATCCTATCCGCCTCTCAAATTGGCTTCTACTTCGTCACAGGCAGTGAAATCCGTTGGGATGCCGCAACAAGCGTCGGAAATGATCCGGAGGGAAGAAAGCTGATGTTTAGCGGGCTCAGATCATTTCTGGGAGCAGCTGCGATGCTTCTTGTTGCATCGTGGATTTGCACGACGGGAATATGCATGTTGATGACCAAATGGCTGTCAGCGGTGTTCAGCGCGTCCTCACCAGAAAAGGTGGATGAAGAGCTTCCGCTAGCCCATCTGCAACAAACATTCCGTAAAGAGCGCCTTGTTCGATTTTGGACCATATGTGCTATACTCGCAAGCCTTGGTCTGCGCATTGTTCGGCCTCGGGTGCCCTATAACCATATGTCTGGAGCTTTGCCGTTTACTTTTTTCGAAGCGATTCGGCTGAAGCATGTTGCGCATCACGAACCTATTAATGGGGAATTCCCGTTTCCGGAATTGATTGGGGAGGAATATTGGGAAGCTTCCAATGGTCATTTCAAGGGCTGGGCGCCGGGTATGTCACGGCTGAGGACAGACGACACTCAGCCCCCCTGGGCTGCTGGGCCTTTACCAACAGGATTTCGCCGTTGGAGAGAATTGGCCAATCTGGAGAACGAAGATATCTTGTTCAATGGACAAGACCCCGAAGAGTCTCGGAAGGGGTTCTACAACCCTGTCGACGATCCCTTGCGCATCACGAATCTCAACCACGGGCTACTTGAGCCGCTCGCTCGAGCGTTGAAGGACCACGATATTCCGATCACTCATGTCGTTCTCGTGATGATGGAAAGTGCGCGCAAGGATATCTTCCCTCTGAAATCAGGCTCGCATTTACACCAGGAGATTCTCTCGTCGCATCGCAACGCCGATGCAAAATCTCTTCACGACCTCAATGACAAGCTAGCGCGTCTAACACCCGTTGCAGAAAGGCTAACGGGGGAGTCTGGTGGATTTTCATCATTGAAAGGTGATCCTGATGCGTTAGAGACCGAATGGAAAGATTCTGCAGGACCTGACATGGGTGGCATCAATGTTAACGGCGTCCTCACTGGTAGCACTCTGTCCTTCAAGAGTGCAGTTATGAACCACTGCGGGGTGGGACCGCTCCCAATTGATTTTATGGGCGAAGTCAAAGCCGAGATTTACCAACCCTGTATCATGCAGGTTCTCGAACTCTTCAATCAACTCCAACCGAAGTCAACCAGCGATGATGCCAGATTTCAAGATCGCAACTGGACCTCGGTGTTTCTGCAGTCTATCACCGGGGAGTATGACGAGCAGAGCAATCTCAATAACAGGATGGGTTTCACAAAAGCCCTTTATCGCGAGGATATCGATCAGCCCAAAGCCGAGCATTACCATCCCCATATGGAGGAGATCAATTATTTTGGGTGAGTACTCCTCCGAATATTCATAGATCATGCTAACTTCAGTCAGCTTTTCGGAGCGCGAGATATACCCTTACCTGCAAGATGTGGTGAAAGGTGCACTTGAAAACAACGAGCGACTCTTCTTGTCACATTTTACAAGCACAACTCATCATCCCTGGTCTACACCGGAGGAATTCCATAAGGAGCAATACTTGGCAGACGACAGCCTCATAGCGGAACATGAGGACATGAACAATTATCTGAACGCAGTCCATTACGTGGACACCTGGTTGGGTGATATGTTGAAAGTATTGGATGATAACGATATTGCCAACGAGACATTGGTGGTGCTTGTCGGAGACCAGTAAGTTGATCATCACTGGCTTCAACTAGCCCAAGCTAACCTCAACTCAGTGGCCAGGCATTCCAAGAAGATGCACCAGTGACGGGGACGTACGAGAACGGGCATATCAGCAACTTCCGTATCCCGCTCGTCTTCCGACATCCCCTTCTGCCCCGGCTTCAGATCACAGCCAACGCAACCTCGATGTCGGTTGTGCCGACCATTTTGGATTTGTTGGTGAACACGAAATCCTTGAACGAGAAGGATTCGGCCGCAGCACAGGACTTGATGAATGAGTATGAGGGACAATCGCTCATCCGCCCGTACCAGGCTACCCATAATGGCCGGCAGGCGTGGAATTTCGGCATCATCAACGCTGGGGGCACGATGCTTAGCGTTGGATCTGCGGCTGTACCGTACCGACTTATTCTGCCACTGACGCCAGACTTTGAATTTGCCTTTTCGGATCTAGACGTCGATCCCGATGAATTGAGCCCGTTACGCGGTTGGACACAGGAGGAGGTCATAGACCGGGTCCGAGAACAGCATGGCGACAAGGCCGCTGAGTGGGTGGCGGACGCCGCGAACGTGGGACGGTGGTGGGTGGATGAACGGAAGAGGCTCTGGCACCACCACTATTGATGTAATTAGGAACTCGCCATTTTGTCATAGAAGAAGAATAGCCAGGGCGTTGATATTGTTCCCGCTCTTTGTGTTTGTGGCCTCAGGCAGCCACGGCCCCACCATCCCTCACTTCTTATATCTTCCTCTTCTCTTTCTCCTTCTCTCACAACACTTTACACACCAACATGGAGGAAAAGGACTACTCCACCGATCCTGAATGGGCTGATATCACCCCAATTCCCCTGGACGATGGCTCCAACTCCGGAGCATCCCCGCTGGCTACCATTGCCTACCCACCCGAGTATCTCGAGGTGACATCGTATCTGCGCGCCGTGATGGCTGCAAATGAAATGTCCGAGCGGGCGTTGAAGTTGACGGAAGACGTGATCTCGATGAACCCGGCTCATTACACCGTATGGTAAGTAGCGACATTACATTTTGTTGGTTTGAGGAGGCTAATATCAAGCCCACCAGGATCTACCGAGCCAAGATCCTTTTCGCGCTCGAAAAGGACCTGGGTGAAGAATTGGAATGGCTGAATCAAGTGTCGCTTAAATATCTCAAAAATTACCAGATCTGGTATGTTTCATTCCGTTCACCGGATGTAAAGAGGAAAATATATTGATCGAGATATTTATAGGGGCCACCGTCAAGCCCTCATGTCCTCACGGACACATTTCCCCGAACTTCCAGCAAAAGAGCCGGACTTTTTAATGGAAATGTTGGCTCAAGACGCAAAGAACTACCATGTCTGGACATACCGACACTGGTTAGTACGTCATTACCGATTGTGGGACTCGCCACGCGAGCTCGAGGACGTCGAGGCCCTGATCAAGGCTGACGTGCGCAACAACTCCGCGTGGAACCACCGGTACATGTTGTGTTTTGGACCGCGTGAGAACGAGCCCGACGCCGGCATGGTCAATGCGGGAAACGCGCAGACCACGCCTGCCGAGAAGGGCGTGCAGTCTGTTGTTGATGAAGACGTTGTTGATGGAGAGTTGCGTTACACGCAGGAGCAGATCTTACGGGCGCCTGAGAACCGGAGTCCCTGGTGGTATGCCCGTGGAGTGTTCCATGCAGCTAATAGAAAGCTGGCTGAGTGGGAGGGGTTTGTCTCTCAGTTTGTCTCGGCGGACGGTGACTCTGTCAAGAGCAGCCATGCTGTTGAGTGGCTGGCTGATGTGTATGCCGAGGTTGGAGGGCAGAGTGCCAAGGCAGCGGATATGCTTACCCTGCTGAAGGAGAAGTATGATCCGATTCGGAAAAACTACTGGGACTATCGGATTCGCCAGCTGGATGTGGTGTCTGCATGATGGAAGGAGGTGATTGTCATGATGTCGGCGTTCTTTCTGCCATCTTCGGGCGTAAAGATGAACAAGAAACTAATTGCATTGAGATATGTCACGATTATCAATCTAAGCCTTTGTTTTGACCTCCTCCGTGCCAATCTGGTTGTTCAAATCGCTAGCGTTCTCGTGTTTCTTGAAATGCCGGGGCTTAATCCCCTGCGCATACAACTCGTCAAGTTTCTCAAAACGGACGCCTTTGGTTTCGGGGTACAGGAACCAGCCAAAAATGGATACTACAAGCCCCAACCCGAAGAAAATGAAGCCGACTTTGCCGCCGAGATGTCCGGCGTCTGGGTTAATCTAATCTCATGTCAGCTTCTAGCCTGTCAATGGCGTCTACAAAAGCGTCTTACCATATATGGAATAGTGAATTGCATGATGAGTCCCCAGACACCATTGCTCATCGTGACGAGAGCCTGAGTACCCGCACGAAGCCTCAGAGTAGCAACCTCGCTTGCCAGCACAAAGCCTGTTGCGCCTATGCTCATTTGATAGACAATAGCCCAGAGATAGATAAACACGACAATTGCCCAGCCTGCTTTCGTCTGATCGGGTACGCAGCCCATGATACCAATCAAAAGCAGAAAAAAGCAGAGGACGAATTTCGAGGGTACGATCAATGTCCGACGGCCAACCATCTCGCTGAGTGGAAACGCCGCCACTGAGGATAGTAACATGATGATATAAAGTGTGACCGACGCATCGAAGTACTCCTTAATGCCAATTAGATCCAGGAAATATGTCGCATTGCCAATAACAAAGGCAGCTCCGATGACCTGCTGTGAGCTGGCGGCACAGATTGCAGTCAACGTCCTCTTGCGGTTCTTTTTATCGAAGCATTCGAGCTCGGCAGTGGGCGAGGGGATCCATCCCCAGATCATCTTATTTTTTTCGGTCCGTCTGCTCGATCTTCGCAGAAATTCACGTCCTCCTGGAGGCGTTTCATTTCAATGTCGTAGAATGTCGGGTCGTCAACTCCATACATACGTTCTAGAGACTTCCTCGCTGATTCGTGCTTGTTTTCGCGGATTAGCCAGTACGGTGACTCTGGGAAGAATGGCCAGATGAGAACAAGCATCACTGGTCGACTTAGTATATACGGCAACAGTCAGGGGAGGCAACACTTACGCGGGTATATATACATGCAAATCACTGGGATCCACCATTGCCACTTGTCTTGAAGTCCGCTGCTTGCACGAGCGACGATGACACTACGTTTGACATTAGCATTCGGTCTCTTCTCTCCATTTAAGATAGATAGAATAGCCACTTACACAAGCATTTGGCCCCAAATGATGCTAGTATTGACTTTATGTTCAATCTCCCAATCAGCAAAACGCGCCTTGTAGATTAATGAATCTAGAGCACTCACAGAAGCAGAGCCAAAATCCTCTAAGCTCAGGACGGCAGGTCTCACCAATCCACAATGGTGAGATGGTGAACATGATACCAATGGAGATACCTAGGGAGTTCGTTTATTAGCAAGTCTAATCGCAACACATTTGATGGAATTCTGGAAAAAGGACGAACCATTCACCGCACGGCCCGCCAAATGCACCCTCCAATTGGTAGCCAACTGCTGAAGAATGATGGCAACTGTAGACACCGCGGCACAGAAGAGGATAAGGGGCTTCCGTCCATATTTTTCCAAAACAGGTGCTGCGAGCCACGATGCCACCACGTCACACCCAAGCCCAATCGCGCCCCAGGCTGAAAGGTACGACGCGGGAACGATCCAGCTTCCGTCTGGTTGTTGGACGCCGAAGAACTTCTGAAACTCCGATAGGGCTGCTAGCTGGCTGCCGATCACATAGTCAAAGCCAAGCATCATGGAACCGATGGAAGTCCATAACGCTTTTCGGATGTCAGGAATATTCTTCATTTGCCAGGGTTCAGGATCCTTACCCCATAGTCCGTACCGCCATTGTACTCGGAGGATCTTCCATTTTTGCGCTGGGTTGATCACCGTGTAGTCGATTCTATTAAATTGTCAGCCCGTCTCGATTCGCTTTCGATGAGTGTGCAGGGCATCTCCTTACGACGTAGATGAGGGAGCCATGCTTGAAAATTGTCGACAATGGTCGGTCGTCAGGAGAGGGGACCGTCAGGGGAATGGACCTAGAAAAGCGTGTGACCGTCAAGAATGCCGGGTGATTCGAGGATATTTAATCTCATCATTGCATGCGTTCACATATTAAAGGAAAGACTCATGTTTTAGTTGATTAGTGCGGTTAATTTCATCGCGTTCTAGTGCGCTATGGACAGCTTACCCCCCGCATCCATGTGGCCGGTGACGCGGGGAACCAAGCTAAAGTGGTTGATCGGCGACAGGGGCGCGGAGTTTTTCAAAATTCTCCGCGCCCGGCTCAAAAGGTGCTGTGATGAGCGACTGGTGGAGACTGGTTCGGCAAAGAATGCCGGTCATGATTAGGTGTCGAGAATATAGTTTCTTTCACATTCCTGATGGTTTTCTAGACAGTCAAAACCCCACTCACATACTCAACGGTCTACTTCGAAAAAGCAGCAATGATGGAAAAAGAAAAGTATATTTTGATACGTAATCTATTTCTTGATAGCTTCCAAAAATCTACGCCGAACGTCCGCCGCATCTTCCTTGTTCTTCGCAGCACGCTGTCTGCTGTCTTGTGCCCTTCGCTCGAGCCATTTCAACTTATCGGCTACAAAAGCGTCCAACCTCTCCTGTCTTTGCTGAACCATTTGCATCCTCCTCTCATCCAGCTCGGGCTTTTCGTCTGACACAGGCGGGATAATCTCCATCCGTCTGGGGAGGCGTTCAGACACGGGCAAAATATCCAGCTTGGGTCCTGGAAGAGTTTGATACCAACTGTTGGTCGATTAGACGACGCTATCATAGAAGGAAACCCGAAATACTTACTAGGCTGTTGAGCTCCAATCATCGCTTAGGTGATTAGCATGCCCATACTCCATGGTGACTTTAATTCTGGTATTGAACTTCACAGGATCCGGGAGATGCCAGCGGTATGAGACCTGGTACGGTGGCATTTCACCCTCATGGATGATAGATCCCGCAAAGGGGAAGGCGTTCTTCTGCATGCCCCAGCCCTGACTAAAATAGTCCTCGGCTCCAGTGCCGTGCATCGACGGTGGCCAGGTATCGTCATCGATGAAGATCATGTCGTCGCCTTCTCCCCACCATGTGCCTTGAAAATGATAGACGGAGTGGTTGCATCCGACGTAAGCTCCTGCACCGGTCGTCTCAAGAATAACATAGTTTTGTTTCCCGTCGAGATTGGGTACCATCGTTTCCAACGAGTTTGTTTGAAGGTCCGGAGGCGCCCATCCCGGCGTCGGATTCTGACGTCGCCAGTGGGCATGGAAGAAGAGCGTGTTTTCAGGGTGAGGCTCTGCGCGCAGCTCATAGTCAATATAAAAATATTGGAAGTAGGCAATGTCGTTTTGGTTCTCGACCTCGATCCGAGCTCGCTTGTTAAACGGCCTATCGTTGCGGCAATTAGATGTATGGTCGTATGAATGTCCTCGCCAGTAGACTCACATTGGAAGGTAGCAGTTCAAAGCGGCCGCTCCCCCAAACTTCTTGTCTTCAGTCGGCTTCACCGATGCCGTAAAAGGGAGCGACTGGAAGTTTGACGCGATTGAATGGCCAACGCAGAAGAAGTCTCCGAGTGGCGCGAGAACGTTAGGTGTCTCGGAGTCGTCCCAATACATGCGGATGAGCACTTTGCGGTAGTAGTCCGGATCCATAACTTCATAATTGACGCCCTGACCATTTTCAACCTCTTGCATGGCCACGCCCGACTTAGAATATGGAATAAGGCCTGGGCCCAGAATTCGGCGGCATGCCTGCACAAACCACAAGTGCGTAATTACTCCGGGCCCTTCGATGTCTGCCAGGATGGCCGTTTCCCCGGGCTGGACGACGAAGGCGTCTTCATTCAAGCCTGAATGGTCCCAGCTGGAGATGCGAGCGCTCCTGGACTGAGTGTGCTGGGTGACTGCTGTGAACATTTCCGGTCCGAGCATTGTTCTGATTGTGAGTTGTGAAAGAGAACAGACAATAGAGTGATAGGCCAAGATATTACAAACGTAGAGAGGTTAACTTTTGCTTTAAAAACTTTCCTGCCAGATAAAGCCTCTGTCTATCTCTTGTTGGGGAATTCGGCCGATGTGGAACTATTAAGATGCAACTAATCCACCAACGCATCCAGCCGACACTTCACCATCTTTAGAACAAAGCTCCAGCCTTTTTTAGTGTGGGGGTGGGGCACATATTGGGCCGAGCGTTTTCGCTGCCATCCAATCCCAACATTGAATCGGGTTTAGATCTTCCGCGCGGGGGGGCAGCGGGGAAAGAAACGCAAACAGGGGAAAACTGGGCAGAGTTCCGCGACATTCTCTTTGTGCTCATGCGGAAATGACATCTCCAACCCGCGCTGAGCAACCCCGGAAGCTCCGAGTGATCGCTTGTGAACCATGTCGCTCCCGCCGTACTAGATGTGATGGCCGCAAGCCAAGATGTGGTTCGTGCGAGACGCGGAGAAGTGTATGCGAGTACCCGGAGGTTGGTGCCCCGAAGGGCGAGACCGTGCATGAGAACACTGCTAATCCTTGCTACTAGGCAAACAAACGCACAGCAACGAAGTATGCTACACAAGGCTCTGAAGCTTGAATCATGCAGGATTCTAACCAAGAGATAGCGTCGAGGACGAGCTTTCCCAGATTCGATCCCAGCTAGACCGTATCGAACGCGCCGTTGCATCGGTGGAGTTCACCCGGCGCCGTGATGTCGGGTCGATCTCTGAAGCTGCAACTAGCCCTTGGGCAGCTCATGCTGGTGCTTCCAGTGTATCGGCAAGCCCAGAGCTGCTAGACGCTCGGGGCTTCCCATACATGAAACTTCAGACATGCGCTTTCACCAGACTGGCGGGTTTGGGGGAGAACTATGGAAACGATGTCATTCGACTAGAGCGCGCTGCTCACCCAATTTCTACCTCCACTGGCGGCTTATTCGTCCTCAACCACCCCAAGGCCATGGCTGCCTTGCAAAGCTTTTCGGTTAAGATACACCCATGGTATCCCATACTTGAAAGCCGGTTCTCGGAGTGCATATCGTCCGTTCTAGCTAACTCCTTTGAGCGGCGTACCGATACGTTCTTGGTTCTCATGGTACTGGCTAGCGGGTCTATAGCTCAAGAAAACACGTATGCCGAGGCACTCGAACGTCGGCCGGATGCCATGTACCTGAACCTAGCTCTGGATATGTTGCAAGTGGTTATTCTGGAACAGAGTTTGCGAAGTGTACAGTGCTTAGTCGCTGCGAGCATCCACTACTGCCTACTCCTTAAACCATTGCAAGCGCACGACCTTGCCGCAATGGCAATTAAAAAGGCGCAAGATCTGCACATCACTGGCGCTTTTCAAGACGATCAAGTAGCCTACGAGCATTGGATCCGTGTATATCGAATTGCATTGCTCATTGAAGGAGAGCTTGTCATACCTCTGCGACTTGTAGACAGCAACGCATGGGAGACCGAGGAAGAAATCCCCTTGCCCACGGGCACTGACATTTGGTCATTTGAGGAAGACTCTGATATGGATGAATCAGTTGAAAGAAGCCGTTCTGACAATGTTGTGACTTACCTGCTGGCAGAAATATCTATGAGACGGATTCTTCGGCGAAATACTGCAGCGATTACAGTTTCGACCGAAGGCAAGGCTGACTACGCGCCTCTGATAGCTCAGGAACTAGAAGACCAGGTTGCTAGATGGTATTCTTTTCTGCCAGTGCCTCTACGTTTTTCCTTGGAACCCGACGATCTTGATGCCGACACTTCAGACCCGATCATCTTTCTGCGCACTCAATATTGGGCGTGCATGGTGTCTTTCTACTGGCCTGCAGTCGTCAAGGTCATGGACTCACAACAACTGAGTGAAAGCACTATGAATGGCTGCAGGAGTTATTTTCACTCATATCGTCAGTTTATCGACAGCGCCACAAGAGCCTTGGATGTATGTGTCCCAAACAAGTGGACTATTTACGCGAGGTTAGTCTGTTCATCGGTTGGAGTCAAAGGCAAGTCTTAACACTCGACAGTATCTTCGCCATCTCAATAGGCGCGCATCTAGGTGCTTCGAATGCATTGCTCGCCCCTCTTGCTTCGAGGCAGACATGGGACATGCTTGCCCTGGCTCGCGACGCCTTTGGAGAGGAATGCCAACAAAGTCCATCTTTGTCCGTGATGGCTGAAAGCATGCGAAAAACACTTAGTGCTTTTCCGGAAGTGTGGCATAATTAATATTTACGATTTCATGAGAACAAAAATTGATCACTAGAGCCCAAGATCTCGCCTTCTTCTTGTCTGTGCGGGTCCCAAGTACAGGCTAGCGGAATGGTACCTTTCTCTCCGCAACAGTCCGGGGCCCCGGAATTCAGTAAGCAGCAGCTATAGTTTTGGCTCCTGCAGGTCGCCGATCCATACCGTATACACAATAGAAGGAGACATTACTTTGCGGAGTATTTGAGGGTCTCGAATCCCTTCTGCGATTTTTAAATAACCAGCAATTAAGGTGGTCGATATCGATACAATTATCTACTGGCGGCAATGGCTCCTAGTCACACCAGCTGGACCGTGGCCGTTCTCTGTGGCCTGGCATTGTCCGGAGTGGAAGCAGTCCCCAGCAGCACACTGGTCGATCCCGAAAGTACATTCTTCTCAACGAACTTGATCGCATACTCATCCGAACTCAACTTCGACCAGAGCGACGGAGACCTTTGGCCGACAACATGGGCTGACGACGATCAAGTCTACACGGCTAACGGCGACGGCCTCGGCTTTTCTACCGATCAAGCAGACTTCGCCGACTGCACTGTGAGTCGCATATCTGGCACCCCCGAAACTGGTCTCTCCGGCGTGAGACTGGCTGCCGGGGATGCACTGGGTCCAATCTGGGTCAATGGATCGTATAATCGAAAACCGACTGGAATTGTTGCGGTTGATGGCGACGGCGACGGCAAAGACGAGTTGTACTTGGTGGTCCAAATGCTCAACGATGGCTCAGGTGACGTGGCTTTCAACGATGTCCCAGCAGCCAGTATCCTTCGATCAACAGACTACGGTGTCACTTGGACTTCTACGACGGCTGCCATGTTCACGAACTATGTTTTCACGACAGTCTTCTTCCTCGATTTCGGGAAAAGCAATTCCAATGCAGCCGTCTTGGGTTCAGGCGACTCCGAATACGTCTATGCTTATGGCCTGGATAACAACTGGCGGGATTCGGTAGACGGATCTGTTCCTGATCCACAAAGCGTTTACCTTGCTCGAGCCCCCATCTCCTCCATTCAAGACATCTCCACGTGGGAGTTCTTCAGCGGAACCTCTAGTTCCCCTGCATGGAGCTCTGATATTGCATCCCGTGAGCCTGTTTTGACTGACACACGGAGAGTCTATCCGGGCGGGGAGACTGTGGATGGGTTTTCGGTGATTTCACAGGGCAGCGTGGTATACAACGCACCACTTAATCGATACCTCTACACCAGCTGGACGGACTACACATTCGAGTTCTACGAAGCACCACAGCCATGGGGTCCGTTCACACTTTTTGCATGGAAAGACTTTGGCGTGACCCCGTGGTTTGGCTTGAACACAACCACCCCTAAGAATGGCGGCTATGCCACTACGATCCCATCCAAATTCATATCTGAAGACGGAACAAAGATGTGGGTGCAGTCAAACTGGTTTGTTGGGGCTGCTGCGGGTAGTGATTGGAACTATTGCTTCTCACTGAGAAGTCTCGAAGTGACCAAGTATTCTCCTAGCACCCCAGAGAATCAGCCTGGTTCAACGAATCTCGCAATGGTTGACGGCACTGTGCCTATCTGCAAGACGGCACATTACGGCCATCTATCTTATCTCAATGATGGATCTACGCTCAGCGAGGATAGCTGGGACGGCTCTCTGAAGGACCTTGACCGCTGGGGCTATACCTGGCCAATCGAGTACAACATGAACCGGATTGTGTACACAACAGGAGACTCTTTCAGTGACGGAGGCTGGTTTACAAGCAACCTTACAGTTCAGGTCCGTCGTGGTTTTACATGGGAGGACGTCACTGGCCTGGCAGTTAGTCCGGAGTATCCATATGACAACTCGGCAGTTCCGAACAAGGAGTATACATTCACATTCGACAACGCCGCGGGCGACGGGATTCAGATCATCGGGGTTCCCGGTGGAAGCTGGACATTCACGTCAATAGGTGAATTGTCTGTGTACCTTGATAGTTGAGTGTTTGCTTCTCTGCTAGTTACGAAAGAAATGAAGTGCCAAACACATTGTACTTGTGGAGCCGAAGTTCTGCGATCCTGCGGTGCTGCGACTAAGTATAGATCCGAGTATAGCACAGCCTTCTCAATGAGCGGGATCAAGTAGAAATAGTTTATTCAAACCAGTGTATATGCAAGAAAAAAAAACCCCCCTTCTAGATTAGTCCAGCAGCAAGATATCCACAAGAGAAAAAAGGACACAGCCAAAAACCAAGCGATAACAGAAGAAAATAAGATACACAAGAGGTATATGATAGTATAAAAAAGTATGCATCGAAGCCAGCAGCAACAAATAATCTGCTTAGCCAAAGTGAATTTTTCATCAACGTCGTCATGCAAATACGCTTTGCCTTCACTCCCACCCCTCGGCCAACAACTTCCTCCACTCGCCAGCTGTTTCGATGGTGACATTGCTGCCCCCACAAACAATAATGACAATGCGGCTTTGGGAGTTGAGGTCGGGGATAAGCTGTCTCAGCTTCGACTTCAGCGGAGGAGATCCAGACGACTCATGTCCGGCATGGTCGACGACGACCTCTTGTTCCGTCTCAGGGTCAGTCTCATTCGAAGACGACCGATCATCACCGTAGCCCTCATCACTAATGGAAACACCGGAGGTCTCTGCACCCAGCTTCCGCCTCTTGACGCTTTGGCCCCTTGCGACGGCGGAGACCGACGATGCAGAAGTGGCAGTGGCGGGGACAGCGTCGCCGATGGCCGCTTCAATGCAGACGCCGCAGGCAAGTTCGACGAGGTAGCGCTCGTCATCCACTAGACGGAGACAGCCCCGCGCAGCTTCTGCGTCTGTTAGGACGGCGCTGTGTACGCTGATCCCTGGTGGAGGAGCCACGGCGTAGCGGAAGGTTGTCTCCGACACGCGGATGGCGCCGAGGGAGGTGGCTTGTGAGGTGATCTTGGGGAGGGAGACGAGAGACTTCTTGGCGATGGCGGCAGCCAGGGAATCGGTGCCGGCCGTTTCGATGGCGAGGAGGTGGATCGGGCTGGGCGGCGTCGTCCGGGCGGCGCCTAGGTTCTGCTGTCTGCGCTTCTCCAAGCCCATAACTAGGCCGTTGAGAAGGCCGCCGCCGCCGACGCTGCAGAGTACAGCATCTACGGGAAGGGCGCGGCCGCGATAGGCCGCCTCTTCTTCGGCGGTGGCGGCGGATGGGAGCTGCTTCTCCAGCTCGTCGATGATGGTGCTGTTCCCTTCCCAGATGGGCTGGTTGTCAAAGGGATGAAGAGCAATTTTGGCAGTATCGTCGTCTTCTCCGGGCTTGCTCTTCATGATAACTTCGCGCATGTACTCGCCGGCCTCAGAAAACGTTTCGCCGTAGCGGACAACGTCTGCTGCTCCCGCTGCCCGGATCTTCTGGAGCATCAAGGGTTTAGTGCCGAGCGGCACGACGACGGTGCACGGGTAGCCCAGACTACGGGCAGCGCAGACGGCTGCCAGTCCAGCGTTTCCGCCGGATGAGGCATAGAAGTGAACGGGACGGTTGGCGTACGCTGGGTTGCGGAGGTGAGAGAGGATCTGGTTGCCCATTGCACGGGACTTGAAGGAGCCGCTGGGCTGGACATTTTCCAGCTTCAGAAAAACCCGACATCCAGCAGCGCGAGACAGGTTGGCGGACTCGACCAGAGGAGTCTCGATCCATGGTGTCTTGAATGCCTGCTTTGGCTCGTAGACGCAAGGCTCGATGCTGCCCATGGTGGCGATGTGTGGATGAAAAATCGAAATTGCTCAATCGACAAGAAGGCGCGAGCCCGATGATGTATTGATGTAAAGGGGATTCCGATTCCCAAAATAGAAAACTGTTTTCGGCGAGATAAGGCGTGTTGCACAAATTGCGGTGTGGTATAAAATGGAAGGACAATGAGGGGAGATAAGCAGGCCAAGTATATAAAAACAAAGTGCTAAAAACGCTCAGTGTCAAAACCCCAACCGTGTTATACATAGTTCGCAATAATTTGGAGATATACAAACGAGGAAGAAGTTGTCCGCGGGAAACGGGAGAGTTTCCCGATCCCGACCATCCGTGGTGGCAGAGGAACTGAGACCATGGTTCTAGCCCCAGTCTTTTCCGGCGATAACCTCGCAGGGTCTGCCAATCACCAGACTATTCCCTGGCAGCAGCCTCCGCCCGTGCGGAGGCACCAGGCGGGAAACCCTATCATAGAGTTGTTCCATCCAGGCGGCGATGATGCAAATCTTTATTTGGACGGACCCCCGGGCGAGTGGTGATTGGCCGGTGGGCCATTCTTGTTATCAAATCGAAAGCTCGGGGCCAATCTGGTTTTATTTTTATTACCTTTCGCTCGTCAGACGAGGGAAAAGGTGCGTGACCTTGTTGACGCCCACGCCCGCACCGTAATCTGGATCGGAGCCGTACGTAGTAGCCGAAAACGTCCGCTTGGAGGGGTCCGAGATGTCTACGCCGAGCAATTGCAATAATTCGAGGGACTTTGTGGGCATAAATGGCTGCAGCAGGATGGCGGAAATGCGCAGTGCTTCAGCCGTGTTGTAGAGGGTCCATTGGGGCTCGGGATGTGACCACGGTTCCTTCAGATGGAAAAGTCTTTGCGTCTAGTTGGAGATCAATACTCGTCCGATACGTAGCGTGCGGGGAGATCCAATTTTCTTACCTCATGCAAAAGGTCCATGATATGCTGGAGCGCAGCCCGTGAGTTCAGGTGATCCATGTGTTTGGCAACCTGAGCCGGAGCCCGTTCAAGCTGCTCCTGTAGCATACGATCCTCAATCCCGGGAGTGGGAAGGCGGCCCTCCTTCGCGTCCGTGATGAGGGCGGGAAGTTTCCATCCTCCTCGTTTGGCACATCCGACGAGGCGAGTGGAGAGGTTTCCGATGCCTCCTAGGAGACGTTTCTGGTAATCGCGAAGAATGAACTCATTGTCATAGTCGGAATCCGCCGATAGAGAGCCCTTGTAAGCAAGGAAAAATCGCATGGGGTCGGTTCCGAAACGATCGATGGCGAAAAACGGGTTTACAACATTACCCGTGGACTTGGACATTTTCTTTTGGTTCATGGTCCAGTGGCCGTGCACCAGCACCCTCCGAGGCACAGGAAGATCCAGAGCCATGAGGAACGCCGGCCAGTACACGCAGTGGAAGCTAGGAAGTGATCAGTCCTGGTTGCGTGGTATTTCCGGGTAAAGCCGTGTACTCACCGCACAATGTCCTTCCCGACCACGTGTACATCGGCGGGCCATATGTGCTGATTCTCTTGTCCGGGAGGGAAAGGATATCCAGCCTGGGTCAGATAGTTGACCAGCGCATCTAGCCATACATAGATGGTTTGCGTGTCATCACCGGGGACAGGGATGCCCCAGTTCAATCGTTCCGCTGGTCTCGAGATAGACAAATCTTGCAAGCCCGAGGAAACAGATTGAATGACTTCCTCTCTGTATTTACCGGGCGTGATGAATTTCTGTTGTTCATTCTTGTACAAGTCAAGCAGACGATCCTGAAAGGCAGAGAGGCGGAAATGATAGTTGGTTTCTGACGACCACTCGACTTCCTTTCCCGTTTCGACTGAGACCTAGCTTGCAGGTGAGCAATTGCGCTGGTTGCAGTGATTGTTAAAGAGCTCACCATTCTTTTCTTGCCCGTGGAGGGATCGAGAGAGTTTTGGACCTGGGACTGCGGATAGAAAGTCTCATCGCTGACGGAATACCAGCCTTCATGCTTGGCAGTGTAGATATATCCACGATGATTCAACATTTCCTTCGCTTGATCAGCTTCGTTCCGACACATGAGTGAGTCTGAGGCTGCCTACCCAGAAATACTGAACGGCATCGCGATGAGCCGGATCAGTGGTCCTGATAAAGTAATCATTGTCGATATTTGCAGCCTTGGCGAGATCCTGTGTATCATGAGCGGAGGGTTCGAGTGGGCTATACCAGGATAACTCCCACCTTGAACGTCCGACAGTTCATGTCGCAAAAGGCCTGTGTATCCATGCCCGCTTCCGCGGCAGCCCGTTGGATCTTCATTCCGTGCTCATCGGTTCCGGTCAACAGTTTGGCGTTCGTCTCTCCGCGCAGGACTTTCCATCTTTTCAGGATATCGGCGAGGATCATAGTGTACAGGTGACCGACGTGAGGTGCTACTGACCTTAACAAGGAAACATTTCCATCGATTCAGGGCACACTCACAGGCATTGACGTAGAAAATTGGCGTGGTGATATAGTAAGGCTTCCGCGGAGCCTTGGACTCCGTCGCGACACCGCGACGAGGGATGCGCGTGACAGTTCTGCAAGAAGCGCATTTCCATGCTGGTCGATGAGATAGCAACTGCGCAGTCCTAGATAGGACGCGAAAGGGCGTCCTTGGAGTGGCCATTGGGTACGGGGAGGGTGGAGAGCGAGAAAAAGTGCTGGAGGTTGAAATGTCGCCGATCGGAGAGGAACGGTCAAACAGGTCCAAGCTTCTCTCTCTTTCTTCCTTCCTTCCTTCCTTCCTCAACCACCAATCTTACACCCTGCGCAAACCCACTTGACCTGCTTATTGTTCTTTATATTCATTATCAGTCTTTTTTCTATTATAAAATAACCCTGCAGAAAATACTTCCTCTTGCAGGAGCCAACCAACCATCAGCGGTCCACCGTCCTTCGCAGATTTTATCCACGCAGCAATGCCCGTCGCCAACGACGATACGCTGACCAAAGTGTCCTCGGAGGGTATGTCTCCAACAATCACGATTATCCTCTCTGCTAACTTCCACTCCCTTGTATAGCTGCCACTGAACTCGTCCAGTCCTTCTACCCAGCCCTGCAGTCCAACCGCGACGCCATCGGCTCATTCTACCTCCCCACGCCGACAACGATCTTATTCAACGGAAATCCCGTGGCGGATGGGAGCGCCGTGCAGGAAATTTTCGTCAACCAGATGCCCGCCGCACACTATGAAGTTCAGTCATTCGATTGCCAGATCATCAATCGCGCATACCCCACGACCACCGCGGCGGGCGTGAAACCTCCGGCCCAGATGACGGTCAAGGACATGTCGGTACTGGTCATTGTCAGTGGCCATGTGCGGTATGGAGAGGCGCGCGATCAGCCCCAGCGCGGATTCAGCGAGACCTTTGTTCTAGTTCCGAATCCGTCGTCGGATCGGGCGAAGCGCAGAAAGGAGTGGCTTATCCAGAGTCAGAACTTCCGGCTTGTTGTCTGATTGTCGCCTCTGATGAGGCCTGCATGGTCAGAGGGAGAAATTACGACATTACACCATTCACGAAGTGATATGATAGCCAACGCCAAAAACATGTCCTTGTTCAAGTCCCATAACGAAGCTCCGTCGTTTACGAGAGCATTATCACATTATTATTCTGTATTGATTTGCAGACTTGACATGATCCACGGACCATTTCTATGACTGCGACGCAGCAGATGCTGTTTTGCGAGGTACCCGCAGATTAGCCTTGATCCGTTCCAGCAATTCCTCGCGCGTCGCCTTCTGATTCGGCAACAGTCCTCGCTGTGATGGAGTGTTAGAAGTGCTGCTTTCTCAGCGGAAGCTAGACATACCACGCGAAGCCATCTCTTCATCTCTTCCGCCGTCCAGGACTCCGGATCTACTTGCTATCAGCACCTTATGTGTTTGACGGCGGAGCTCTGCTTACCTCCTGTCGGATCTGGCTCGTTGGGAAACATGTCGCCGCCCCAGATGGAGTAGGCAGCCACAGCCGTGACCATGCCGGCGAAGCCTGATGGGAATGTTAGATATTTAGACCTGTTTGGTTTGGGTCGTGTATACCAAGAAATAGATTCTGTTGCGCATTAGCTACTGTTCAGGACAGTGTGTGTAGTCCACCGTACCTTTGAATTTAGAGCTCGATCCAGCTGAGTTGGCATGTTGACTGACTGTTCTGGTAAACCCGAAGAGAGAAGTGGTGATGTTGTTCCGTTTATTAAAAGTCGCCGCCTGATCTGCACCGCCACCCGACGCCACAGTTTCTACACGTTGTATACATCCGCATTGCTCTTCCCATCTGCCTCTCCGGGAGAAGCAGTAAATATGCAGAGCATCCAGATCATGTCTCGTAGACTCTCGCTGGACGCAACCCCAAACGCCGCCTAGCCAGCGCAAATCACTGTCAATGGACGTTTACAGAGCCACGCCGATAGCCCTCGAGCGCGTCCTCGAACGGCCATGGCGCACTTTCCGCTCCAGCCACACTTCCTCACCGCCACACATGCACCAGCCACAGCCGAAGACCCGCGCTAAGGGCTGCAAACCCTAACACACAGTTCCTTCATTTCTTATCGTTCCTGGTCCATCACCATCCATATCCAATCCCCGACAATAATATCACCCGCCCACCATGCCTCGTGAAGTCTCCGATATCAAGCAGTTCATCGAGATCTGCCGCCGGAAGGATGCCTCCTGTATGTTTTGTGTGGTGGTGGAGGAGCAGGAGGATGATCCAAACTAACACCCACGCTTTTTCAGCCGCCCGCATCAAGCGCAACCGCAAGAGCCAGCAGATCAAGTTCAAGGTCCGCTGCGAACGCTTCCTCTACACCCTCGTCCTGAAGGACTCCGACAAGGCCGCCAAGCTCAAGCAGAGCCTGCCCCCTGGTGAGATCATGACACGATATTGGAATAGAATATGGAACACTAACACTCTCCCACAGCCCTCAAGGTTGTCGATGTGTCCAAGGGTGACAAGAAGAAGTCCCTGTAAAAAAATGACATGACCTGATGTCCGGAGGGATGGAGATGAGGGAATATGGCAAGAATTGGTCGGTCGATGCATGATATGCTACGTGCAACCAACAACTGTTAGATGATGGAGCGATGGCAAAAAAAGGAGCTGGATTGGTCCTTCTGCGAGTCAGCATGGGGGTGGTTTTGATGCTCGAATCTATTCATACCCTCGAGGACCACCCTTGTCGGAGCATTCAGTCCCTACATCATAATGAAAAGAAATTCAAAAAACAGTTGAAATATCTTCCTTGGCCCCGTGTATGTTGGAGGACTGCATGTACTCCTTGGTGCCCTCTCAACCATCCGCGGCTATTGCCGAGATAGCAATCTCCTCTTCGCTGTGATAGGAGTATAACTATCCCGTGTAATCACCCCCTCCCAGCTTCAATTATATATAATACAGTATAGTTATCTATTCGCCCGGCCGATACACAATCTCCGAATATCCCTCGACCTCAACCCTATACATCTCCTCAGATATATCGCTCGTCTCCAAATTCGCGCGCCGAAGCTCAAACTCGCCAAAGAAGTTCGGTTCATCCGACACCTTGCTGAATCCGAGACTTTCAAACAGGGCCAGGCTGCGCGTGTTCGACTGCCCGATCTTCACGCTCAGATAGGAGAATTCCAATCCGGTGTTCTTTCCTTCTCCCTCCCCTACTTTTCCTTCGCTTTCTTCTGTTCCCTTTCCCTCTGCTTTTCCAGAGATAGCAAAAGCTGTAGCTGTACTAGAAGAAGAGACCAAACCAAACCTCCCCTTCCCCCCCTCCTCAATCCCACCCCGCACGAACTCCGCCAGAATACCACTCTCATGCTCAGCGATATACCTCAAGAAGATCAACAACGCTGCACGCCCAAACCCGCGCCTCTGGTTCGCCTTCTCGGCGACCATCAGCTCGATCTCGCCGATGAGCTGCGGTGCCGAGTCGCCTTCGTCGCCGTCGTCGATGCGTAGGAATAGATTGATGTCTCCGATCATGTTGGGTGGGGAGTCATCTTCTGGGGTGAGGGTCGGGGCCGTGTTTATGTTGTTTATTACCCCAGCGGATGTAGAAGTAGAAGTAGCAGCCTCGCTATATGGTGGTATAGGTATGTGTATAGGCCGGCAGATAATAAAAGTCAATTTATCCGGATCCAAGCGCCAACTGCGCTGCATGGCATATTCTTCATCTAGCGTGAGCGGTTCAGAAGCGGTTGCTTCTTGGATTTCCTGTCGCTTTATTAGAATCCATTTCTTTTAATTCCTCTCTGTTCTGGCAGTGGGTACGCACCTCGTCTTGCATCCATTCATGGTAGCGGGGGACGTGCCGCGGCGAATATGGAACCAGGAGGGCCTTGGTGGTTGAGAGGGCTGGGGGTGATGTTAGTTGGTCTGTTCTGACTGGGTCTGCACTTCTTTGTGTGCAATACAATGCATCTGTTGTCTGGGGAGAGGTGGTTGCGTACCGGTATTGGCGTTGAGGAGCATTGTGATTCTGCCCTCTAGCCTTGCGGGAGGCACTAGTCGGCTTGGAAATATATATTGTCGGTCCTGGAAGCATGCAGTTGGTATATTTTCAGATCAAACACCCATTTGTATATCTGCTGGTCTCCTCAGGACTGTAGTTGACCAAGATGTCTTTTCTTTCTTTTCTTGATGGTGGTGGGGCGGACTTGATCTCGCCAAGCTCGACTGCAATTGGTACAGACCAAGTATACCATCCAGCACATTTTCCGATGTTAACAGGTTAAAAGGATAGACTCATTAATCAAATTCATGTCATGATGTCTCTTTTTAGAAGACTATATCACTTTTTCTCTTCTTGCCCCCCAAAAGCCCCAAACCGCACAACCTCCACCTCCAGCGTCTCAGTATCAACCAGCACCAGCTCGCCCGTCTCACCAAATCTCGGAAGCGACAACAGCCGCACGCGGGCAGAGGACGAGTCTGCCGCATCGGTCATCTCGGTATCGTCCCCACCTCCCCCGTCCAAGCGAAGCGGGATCTCGCCCTTGATGACCCGCGTGTCGAACTTGGGCTGGTTTCCTGTAAAGAAGATGTGGGGGCAGGCTTGCAGCACGAAGGGGTCGTCTTCTTGGAAGGGATATGCCCCTGCAAAATGGGTTAGTATTTAGGATTCTGACAAGCAGAAGAAAAAAAAAGAGGGCAAACATAAAACATACAAATTGTGTCGGGGGCAGTGGGGACACCGCACCGCCATCGGAGCATAGCTTCCATAATCCGCAGCCGTGCATCTGAGTCGTCTTCCTCGCCTTCATCACCGGTGAAATCCAGGTAGCGCAGGACATCGTCGACATTCTGTCCGCTGCAGCCCCAAAGCCGCCACCCTTCGACATCGCCCTCCCAAGGATTTGTGACACTGTCGAACCAGCCAGTTTCCGGATTACTCTCATCAGATGTCGGTGGTGCTGCCGCGTATGCTCTGGCTTGCGGAAACATCGCTCGGTGGATGGCCTGCTGCGGTAGAGAGAAATTCGCCGGATCGGAATCACCCGGCATGAGGGTTACGGGGATGCTGGGCAGGATTTCAGCGAGAAAATTATCGAGATGTGTGATGGGCGAGGCGTTGTAGGAGGCTGCATCGTAGCCGTACTTCTTCGGCGCAGCTTTCTTTTTCTCTCCTGCTGCATTGCCGGTGTCGAGTTCAGAGACCATATTGGCTCCGAGCGAATTACCTGCAATGACAAGCCGTGTGATCGTGGATGCGTCTGCCGAAGGGCTGTTTTCGGCATCGCCTGAGAATCCTGTGTAGCCCAAGAGATACTCGGACAGTAGCTCCAATGCGAGCGTATCGCTCGACGTCCCTGTAATACCCAGTCCACTGACAAACGCAATCTTGCCGGGCCTTGTTTCTTTCGCATCCTTGTCTCCCGCCCACCGCCGAGGCTGGAGCGGTAAGTCCGGCACCTTGATATCAATGACCTCGAAGTCACCATTCGCGTTCTCTGTCCCCAACGCAGCGATAATGGCACCGGTAGCCAAGTGTGTCGACGCAAGAACAGCACCCGTCAAACGCAGACGTCCGGACTCATCCTCCATCATGATCTGCGTCAACGACGGGTTCGATGGGTCGACGTATGTGCGACGCGGAGGCGGCGCAGATGTGAAATTCTAGGAGTCGGATCAGCTGAGCTCGATGGAACAAAGAGCGAGAGGGCAGTAAGCACGCACCTCCTTCGTCAGATCATCCAGAATATTTGGCTTCATCGGCATATCCATATACACAGTGCCAGCGACCCAGCACAGCTCGCCCTGTCGCACATCGAGCACTCGATCCACGCGCCGCGCGCGTTCGCCGGCAATCTGAGCCAGCGGTCAGTTCAGCTCTCATCCGCCCAGGATCTGCTTCTTCTCACATTGAATCCATCCCACGCTTCCGTCGCTACCTTCTCCACGACTGGTTTCAGGTGCGTCAGCCGCAGGAAGTACATATCGCCATACTGCTGCTTGTAGTGCCGTCCCGGGCCGGCGGGTAGGCGGAAGGTGTGCCGGGGCTTGTAGTGGGATTGTGCGCGGTAGACGGGTTCATGGTCTGTATTATCTGGCGGGCGTAGGAAGCCGTAGTCGGCGGTCTCGGAGACCATCTTGGGGATGACGATGGGTGATGATGGGGTGGGAGGTGCAGAGAACAAAGGGTGGACGCGACGCGTGCGCGTTCAGGGCATTCCCGCTGGGCCAGTTGGCTGCCCTCCATGACAGCGAAGTACATACACGATTGCAATCATAGTCAATGATTTCATTCGTCTATTTGGCTACGGTTCTTCCATGTGCCTAATCCATATTCCATTCGGCTGTATGCAATAAACCACAAGCCTCCTCGGTTCAGCACTAAGATGTGTACATTTTCATAACTCGCCCAACTCAGCCTCGGTCCGGTTATGCTTCCCCGCATTATCACCAATTTACCTACGCCCATTCACTCTATACTTATTGCTCCCTCATCCCCCCCTTCCTCTCCTACCCTTCAAGAACAACCACTCACAATGTCCCTCCACACCCCACTCTGCACCCTCCTTAAAATCCAGCACCCGGTCCTCCTCGCCGGGATGGCCCGCGCCTCGGGCGCCCCATTAGCCGCCGCAGTCTCCAACGCCGGCGGACTCGGCACAGTCGGCGGACTGGGGTATACACCGAAGCAGCTATCAGAGATGCTGACAGAGCTGAAATCACTCCTCCGCGACCCCAACCTCCCCTTCGGCGTGGACCTAGCCCTCCCACAAGTTGGGAACGGCGCGCGCGCCACAAACCACGATTACACGCACGGACAGCTAGACGAGCTGGTCGAGGTGGCAATCTCGCATGGTGCGAAGCTATTCGTTTCTGCCGTGGGCGTTCCGCCCGAGAAGACGATTAAGCAGCTACATGGTGCGGGCATCCTGGTTATGAATATGGTGGGTGCGCCGAAGCATGCGGAGAAGGCGTTCCAGCGGGGCGTGGATATCGTTTGTGCGCAGGGTGGTGAGGGTGGTGGGCACACGGGCGATATTCCGTTCTCGGTGCTTGTTCCTGCAGTTGTGGATGTGGCGCGCAAGTATCGCAGTCCCTTGACGGGGCAGCCGGCGCTGGTGGTTGCGGCGGGTGGAGTGAATGATGGGCGCAGCTTGGCAGCGTCGTTGATGCTGGGTGCTGCGGGTGTTTGGGTTGGGACGCGGTTTGTGGCCTCGGAGGAGAGCGGCGCGAGTCGCATGCATAAGGAGGCTGTTGTGGGCGCCCAGTATGGTGAGACGAAGCGCACGCTGGTGATCTCGGGGCGGCCGCTGCGGATGTTGCCTAATGACTATATCAAGGGGTGGGAGAGTCGGCCGGCGGAGATTGCGGAGTTGACGGCGAAGGGGGTTGTCCCGATGATGAACGATCTGGAGAACGAGAAGGATGTTGATATGCCCTTCCTCATGGGTGATGTGTCCGCGAGCGTCAAGGCGATCAAGCCGGCGGGTGTGATTGTGAGGGAGATGGTCCAGGAGGCCGTGGACATGCTCAAGGTTGGTGGCTCGTACATCGCGGCGAATGGCCAGGCGAAGCTATAAACGGATGAACGTGGTGGATATCTTTTTCTTTCTCTTTCATTCCCTGTTAAGGATAGCATGGGCATGTACTTATACAGAAACTCATGAAATAACAACATGACTCGCACAAACCCACGCAATTGTGCAATGCTACGGATAGAAAGAAGCGTGTCCTATCTTCCAGAAGAGCCAAAAACCGGAGATGCCCCAAATGCAAAGCCAAGGAAAAGGGGTGCTGTCAGTAATGCCATAAACATCAAAATGGATTTAGCGCCAACTACTTGTGCACACACAACCAAAATCAATGGCAACCGTTGACCACGGCTGCATTGCCATTCGTCCGGGTCTCCAACAGATTGGGCGGCGGTGGGGGTCCAAAGACCGGCCGTTCCGGGGGTTGGTCGACGCGACCTCCTGGCAGGTGGTGATCGTGGGCATCCAGCTCATCCTCATCACTCATCTCTTCCTCGTCCTCATCATCTTCGTACTCTTCATCGTATTCGCTCTCGGTGCCTTCGTCGTCACCATCCAAATCCCCGTCTGGCAATGCTTCGCCCCGACCCTGGGCCTGCATCCGACGACACAGGGCTTCGAGGTGGTGGCACTTTTTGCGCCATCTTTCCAGCTCCTCGTGGTTCCTCGTCCGCTCTTCTGCCATCTCGAGGATATTTCGGTTTGTTTGTTCGTGTTTGCGGTTGAGCGTATGATTCTCCTTTTCCAGCCGTTTGGTCTTCTTGGACATCTCTTCCATTTCTTTACGAAATGTAAGGAAGAGCTCGTTGCTGTTGTTCAAAGTATCCTCGACCTGATTGTCGGTTAGCGCGTGACGTCTCTATGGCAGAACCCGCTCCGTACCTGCTTGAACTTCTCCACGTAGATGTTAAGCTGACTGCGCAGCTCGGCTTCTGTGTGGGAGAAGGTGGAAACCTGCGAACTCAATGCCCGGCCGCGAGCACTCTCGTTCTCGGCAGTCCGGCGCTGTTCCTCATACTTGGACGTGAGACTTTGCAACTCGGCATCCTTACTGCGCAGGAGTCCTTTGTAATGCAGTTCACGCGTGTCAAATTGCTCAGTGATAGTCTTGAGCTTTGCCCGTAGCCTGTATGTCCAGAGTCAGTGACTGACCCAAGCCTGTATTTTTCAAATGCATACGCTTCATCCAAATCCACGTCCACTACTTTCTCGCCGCGAGGATTGCCCTTGGCGGCCATGATGTCTTGAATGTCGTAGAGGAGCGAGTCCAGACGTTCGTTGACGATCAGCCGGGCTTTCTTTTCCGTATCTTCCAGTTTCTTGTTTTCATCCTATGAGAGTCTCCGTTAATAACATTGTATCCTCTCACTAATTCCTGGAATCCCTGACCCACCTTGACTTTCTTGTTCTCCTTTGTAAGCTCGCGGCACAGCTTCTCCAACTTGTCTTTCATGGTCACGGTTTTGCTCAGCTCGGACTTGCCCTTGTCCTGGTCCTTCTGCAGCTGATCGGCACGCTTTTTGCTCTTGGCATAATCACGATCCAGCTTCTTCATATCGGCCAGCAGTTCGGTGTACTTTTTGTGCACGGCCTCGAGGCGGGTCATCGGAGACTCGATATTGTTGAGGAGCTGGTTGAGATCCCGAGTCGCTTTTTTCACCTCGCGCTCTGCACATCGAATAGGTTAGCCACCAGTGTGCGCTGAGCAACATAGACCAAAAGCCACGCACCGATTTCCTGTTCCTGATCCTTCTCGCCAGCCGCATCTTGCTCCAGCTGTGAGATTTTGGCGGCCAGCAATTTGGATGTTTCGTTGGGATCCGCCGCCTTCTTCCCCTTATTCTTCTTGGACATGGTTGTGGACGACATGGTGAATCTGCAAGGAAAACAACCGCAGACTCGAACGTTCGAGGCTGGGTTGGTATCGCGTGAACAAGCCCCGGGAGACCGAAAATTTGCGCAAAGGCTGTAGATACACGTCGAGAACGGTCAATCCAGGCTAGTGCTGGTGGTCGAGTAGGAGGGATCCCAGAGCCAAGCGGCGCAGATATGAGCAGTAACTCTGGGACGGCGAACGAGGCTGGGTTGGCGGAACTGTGAGCGGGATCGAAGGAACAGCGGTTCGTTCTCTCGCAGAACTCGGAGGGGGACCTTAGTCATCGACGACGAGTTCACTCAGCCAGGCACTGGGACGAATGTATACAGGCCCCCGCCAATTAATGCAGCTAGGAAGTATAGGGACAGTGTGCCAGAGGAGAACGAATAGCAGGAAACAAGCACACCCTGGCTGCACACCCGACCGCAGCTTCCGGAGGTGCAGGCACCGAACTTAGTCACGGGGGACTCGGCTGAGTCAGCCCAGTGGTCTTTTCCTGTTCGGCAGCTCAGATATTCTGGATTGGCCACACTCGTTCTGGACATCACTCCTAGGGGATGTTAATAGGCAGTTGTCCATCCATTCCCTCGTTATAGAGCTGTCACACCATGCTGCGCTCATTATTAGGTCAGAGCAGGGCCACCGTGCTGCGCCAGACCCTGTCTAACCGGTTGCCACGATCTACCATTGCCCTGAACACATGCAACCGAAGTGCTTCCACTGTGACTAGTCTCGACAACTTTCCCAAGGTTGGTGACAAATTGCATGGGTTTACCATTCAGGAGAAGAAGCATGTCCCAGAGCTGCATTTGACCGCGGTGCGACTCACCCACGACAAGACCGACGCGGACTACCTTCATGTGGCGCGCGACGACAAGAACAATGTCTTTGGAATCGGCTTCAAGACCAATCCTCCAGATGCCACTGGGGTTCCACATATTTTGGAGCACACCACCCTTTGTGGTAGTGAAAAGTGAGCTGCCGCACCTTGAGAGTGACTGCACCGGTCCTTGCTAACTGCTGCCTAGGTATCCAATCCGAGATCCGTTCTTTAAGATGCTTCCGCGCTCTCTTTCGAACTTCATGAATGCCTTCACCTCCTCGGACCACACCACATACCCCTTTGCGACAACCAACCAGCAGGATTTTCAAAACCTCTTGTCCGTCTACCTCGATGCCACGCTACACCCCCTCCTCAAGGAAGAGGATTTCAGACAGGAAGGATGGCGACTAGGTCCCGAGGACCCGCGTGCCTTGCAGGCAGCGTCAGGAGAGAAGCCGCAACTGGAGGACATCGTGTTCAAGGGAGTGGTGTACAACGAGATGAAAGGCCAGATGTCGGACGCAAACTATCTCTACTACATCCGCTTCAAGGAAAGCATCTTCCCAGCGATGAACAACTCAGGTGGGGACCCGGAGTATATCACGGACCTCACTCACAAACAGCTGTCGGAATTCTCGAAGCGCAACTACAACCCGAGCAACGCCAAGATCCTGACATACGGAGACATGCCTTTGGATGGCCATCTCAAGCAGATTGGAGCTGTCTTGGATGGATTCGAGAAAGGACAGGCCGACAAAGCTGTCAAATTGCCGCTGGATCTCAGCCACGGGTCTCTGAATATCACCGTTCCTGGACCTATCGATACATTCGCTAGTGAAGACAAACAGTACAAGACTTCCACTTCATGGTACATGGGTGACTCGACCGATATCGTGGAGACATTTTCCGTTGGCATCATCTCCTCGCTTCTGCTTGATGGATATGGCTCGCCCATGTATCGGGCGCTTATTGAAAGTGGACTTGGCTCTTCCTTCACCCCTAACACCGGCCTGGATCCCTCCGGCAAGGTCCCCATCTTCTCTGCTGGTGTCACAGGAGTTGGTGAGGCGGAAGCCGCCACCGTCAAAGAGACGATCCAGAACGTCTTCCGCGAGTCTGTGTCGGCTGGATTCAGTGAGGAGAAGGTGCGCGGCTTCCTCCATCAGCTGGAATTGGCATTGCGACACAAAACAGCAAACTTTGGAATAGGGGTGATGGAGAAGACCATTTCCTCCTGGTTCAACGGTACCAACCCGATGAAAGAGCTGGCTTGGAACGACGTCATTGAGGAATTCAAGGAGCGATACGCACAACCCGGATATCTCGAGTCTCTTGTGCAGAAATACCTCATCAACGATCAGTGTGTGACATTTACCATGGTTGGCTCACCCACCTTCAACAAGGAGTTGGACGAGAAGGAGGCAGTGAGAAAGGAGACGAAGCTTGCCCAGCTTATTGAAGAGCATGGCTCGGTCGAAAATGCTCTCACTAAGCTTGGTGAAGAGGAGCTGAAGCTGCTCAAGATCCAGGAAGACGCCCACAACGCAGACTTGAGCTGTCTCCCGTCTCTGCGAGTCAAGGATATATCAAGGGAAAAAGAGCGCAAGCCGGTTCGCGAGTCCCGTGTCGACGATATCGATGTGGTCTGGCGCGAGGCCCCCACCAACGGCCTGACTTACTTCCAGGCCTTGAATGCCTTTGAAGATTTGCCCGATGACTTGCGGTTGTTGATGCCCTTATTTAACGACTGCGTTATGCGACTGGGTACGGCCAACAGGTCTATGGAGCAGTGGGAGGACTTGATCAAATTGAAGACCGGAGGAATCTCAACTTCGTCCTTCCTCGTTTCATCCCCGACTCAGCTCGACAAGTTCAATGAAGGCATGCAGTTTTCTGGGTACGCCTTGGACAAGAATATTCCCGAGATGCTGGAAATGATTTCGACCTTGATGACTGAGACCGACTTCACGAGCCCTGCGGCGCCGGCCTTGATCCAGGAACTCCTGCGCCTTGCTACCAACGGTGCGCTAGATGCCGTTGCTGGCACTGGTCACAGATATGCGGTGAATGCAGCGGCTGCCAGTCTCTCGCGGAGTTTCTGGGTGCAGGAACAGCAGTCTGGGTTGGAGCAGTTGCAGGCGACAGCGAACCTGCTTCGTGATGCCGAGTCATCCCCTGAACGTCTCCAGGAGCTGATCGAGAAACTCCGTCTGATCCAGTCGTTTGCTATCAGCAAGACCCCAAGCTTCCGTGTCCGCATGGTCTGCGAAGCGGAGAGCGCTTCTCGCAACGAGTCAGTTCTGCAGAAGTGGATTGGCAAGCTGCCTCAGATCCGCCCCCCGAGTTTTACCGCAACCAACTTGAGCTTCAAGTCAGCCGACAAGGCTTTCTATGATCTCCCTTATAAGGTCTATTACTCTGGCCTGGCCACGCAAACAGTACCATTTGTCGATCCGTCCAGCGCACCCCTCAGCGTCCTTTCGCAACTCCTCACTCACAACTATCTTCACCCCGAAATTCGCGAAAAGGGTGGCGCGTACGGTGCCGGCGCCAGCAACGGTCCTATCAAGGGTATCTTCACTTTTATGAGCTACCGTGATCCCAACCCTCTCAACACCCTGAAGGTTTTCCAAAATAGTGGAATCTTCGCCCGGGACCGTGCCTGGTCCGATCGGGAGATCGAAGAAGCCAAACTTGGCATCTTCCAGGGTCTCGATGCGCCTATGAGCGTGGATGAAGAGGGCAGTCGCTACTTCATGAGCGGTGTCACTCATGAAATGGACCAGCGCTGGAGAGAGCAGGTCTTGGATGTCACGGCCAAAGACGTGAACCAGGCAGCCGACCGATTCTTGGTCAATGGCTCTCGACAAGCCACCTGCGTGCTGGGTGAGAAGAAGGACTGGGCGGGTTCCGAATGGGAGGTGCGCAAGCTGTCCATGGATCTCCAGAACAATGCTGCCGCATCTTCATAGGCAGGCCCTATTCTTCCTTTTGCCAGGACATTGAGTGGCAACATGTTGCCGTCAAGACCTGGTCGAAGGAAAGTGTACTATCACCTCGATACCCTGTCTATTTGTCCCCGTGTATTTTTATCATCCTGCACACTTCCCTGTACACTACACATATAACTGCTATATAGATCCCCTGTCTTCTCACTCTTCCTCTCCCATCCTTCATTGAACGCGCTGCAAGATCTATACGTGCTTTCGAGCACCAGAGCTGAATCACACACCCCTGCAACCAGTCACCCCCTTTGGTTGACAGATGTGGCATCCGTTCCCGGATGCAAGCGCAAGAGCAGTAGGGAATGTGAGCCCAAGACCTTTTCTTGCGGTACACTTCCTGACTCCGTTTCCCAGAACCGCCTTGAAACATCCCTCTTTCAGCCTACGCAAGGCGGACTAAAAACGCGAGAACATAACTCGGCACTATAACCCGGGATGTAACCACCCCTTCTGCCTTGCTGGCGTAGATGTATGTGTTAAAACATGGCGTTGGGGCAGTGTTTTTCAACCTCGCTTAATTTCTGTAGCTACATAACTAGCTATAATCCTGCAGAAGAACAGATCCTTTCCTTAAATTTAATTCCGACCCCAATAGTTCATTTATTTCGCACTGAAGAACCCTAAAACGAGTCCAATAGAAACGAACTGGCGCAGAAAGCGGAGAAAATACGAGTTGGCCCCATCTCACGTGTCTCGGCTGTGCAGGGCCGTTGAAACGTCACGATCAGCACTACAGATGCGTTCTTCATCCTACCTTTGTTAAAATGAAATCCAGGGCCATGTAGGAGCTCAATTTCTTGTGTGTGGGTTTATCATGAAGCAGTCGGGGTCTGTCGTGCTCGGCCCCAAGCCGACGAAAGCATGCGGTAAGTCAAAAAGGGGCAGCCTTACCACATGGGTTTGGGTTGTTGTGGAGCAGAGCTAACTAATGATTATGGGAATGAAGTCAATTGCCGGCGACTGAAGGTAATATTCACTGATAGTAGCCAATGTCGGAACTTGTGAACTGACGTCGTCTGCCAGATGAAATGTGAGGTCGCTGGCCCACCTCCGTGTCGGCGATGTCGCCAAACAAAGACGACTTGTGTGTTCAAGCCTCGTGCTAATGTATGTAATATTAGACTCAGCAAAGTATGATAGCTTACAGTTACTATAGGCTGCGGCTATCCATGAACTAGTTGAAGAATCCCAGAAGGAGTTACGTGCCTCGCAGTCTTCGGTGACCCAGGACCACAACACTATTCTGAACCGGCTGGATCGAATCGAAGCCGCTCTGGGCATCAGCCAATATCTTTATGATGAGGCAGCTTCGTCCCCTTCTCATTCTCATGATATGCATTATATGAGTCCTGAAGCGGAGTTGGATGATGTTCCTCTTCATGGTGTGTGGAAAGCAATTGCGCACCTGAGAATTATTACCCGCCCGCCGCCGGACGAACGTATATGGTCTCGACCTCTTGTCAAGCAGTTATGGAGCTCGTATGCAATTTCCCCAATGCTATTATATGCAACAACCTTGCTAATGGTGTTCTAGGTTTCTGAACAATCTACCGCTTCTTCACTTTCTCACTGACCGTGGCGCTTTTGCTTCTCCGACGCCGTTACTGCTTGCTTCAGTCCTCTATATCTCTGCGCTGCACCATTCATCATCGGAGCTTGCGTCATTAGAGGCGGGGTATTTTGCAGCGACATGCAGTGCCATTGCTGAGCTGGTCATTCCATTTCCGCACCCTAATCTTTCACATATGTCGGAGGGTAACTATGATGAATCGGAGCAAGATCAGCCTCCACCAGCTACAAAGTGCAAGGCATTTCACAATATCCTTGGGTTAATAATGGCCAGCCTGAGCTCAGAAGCCTATATCGATGCCACCGGATCATGGATCGCAATGGCGTACCGTCTCTGGCTGGACCACTGTCCTTCTGAAATGGATGAAACAACGGTACAGGACTGGCGTGGCTTGTTTTCTGGTCTCCAAGTAAGACAGTCTTTCAAGTTCTCCAGATGCGGTTCACTGACCTCCTCATAGGTAATTGATATAGAGCACGCTTCAATGCATATGTCGTATCCACTGCTCCCGCGCCATCCACCAAATCCAGATCTCCAACGTCTGGACAGCCACCAGGAAAATGCCTTTCAAGGTCTTGCGGAAATGATGCATTACGGAATGAGCCATTTTGTCGGCCGTGGACTCCCGACGATATGGAGTTCTGTCAACGCAGACGTCGCCGACTCCATGCCCGTAGTTCGAACGCCTTTTACCGAGCATGATTCCAAGGTTATCCGACTTTGGGCGCGCAAGCTTGACGACTGGCTGGTTAGATATAATGGAGCGGTTGGTAAGTGCTAGGCTACATGAATATTCTTTTTGACCATGGACAAACTAACAAAGTGCGTGCTTGCTGCCTTAGAACCATCTCCGTCAGATCGACAAGGTATTCTCATTCTTCTGCAGTATCATTTGCACAAACTCTATGTGCTTTCCATATATCACCCTGCTCGGGGATTTGACCTAGGGTCTGCAAATATTAGTGCTGGCGAGCGACATGAGCTACTTGTTTCAGCGCGGGCAGTCCTGAAGCTGCGGCAAGATGATGCTAGTATTTGGTCTAACTGGGATTTAGTAGTGAGTACGGCCTGTCCCGAAATTGACGAAACTTGTCTGATTATGCATAGATGATCACCTGGGCAGCCCTTCTACTCCTTCGAGGTGTTGAAGATGGCATGACGCATCCGGATGGTATGAACTATTTATTATTGGAAATGAATCTCGACTAACATACCGGATATACAGACCTCAACCTCATCCAAGCACACCTACACAGCCTGCAACTAAGTCACCAGTCTGCAGTAAGCATCCACACCGTTTTATCTCGCCGTCTCGAATCCGGAATTCAAACCATGCACACGCCACCAGACAGCAGCGCAGCCCTACCTTTCCCGCTCCCAAATCCCGAGGATTCATGGACAATATTTGACCAGGAGATCATGTCGCTAGCCAATCCTCCATGGCTATTCCAAGACTCATCTCAACTCACCTCGTCTCACAAATCTGTAAATATGCAACAACCTCCCTCGCAACTGCAGTCTGGAATCGCACCTGTTCAATATGACTCCAGCCTATTGGTAAACAATCCCCAATCTTTTGCGGCGAATACGCAGTGGAATGTCGCCGGGCATATACAGGGTGCCTTACCGACGACGCTGAACCGGCTTTTTGAGAATGAGAATAGTGCACAACATGGCGGTTCTCTCATGTAATATATCGAACTTTGGTCTTTCAGTGGTTTGAAGTTTTTCGTTCGATTCATAGGTGTTACTGGTGAATGGTGAATTGGCCGGGTAATTCATCGTTGGGATTCTATATGGAAAGAAACAAATACCCAGTAGTATCATAAATTTCTCCCTCATTTCAAGATCTCCAAAAGCTCTTATCTGTCCAATTGCCATGCCTCTCTTGTTCCAAGTTCTCGATCCAAGCTAGATATCCTTTCAAAGATGCGTCATCTGTTTCTCGACTTAGTCGACCAGTCCACCGTCCATGTATTTGCATCCATGCCCCTAGCTCGATACCTAACCAGATCCACATATTCGTAAGCATTTCGATCCATCTCAAGCCTTCTACCACAAAGCATTTCATCAAATAATAAGCTAAAAAAAAAGTCTACAGCCTCCTAACAGCAAATCTCAACTTGAAAGTCTGCACTCCGCCATGAAAGCTTCTCATGGCTCGATCAGGGCCCTCCCATACTTCCATCCAAGCCTGAACATCCCACTTCGTGCCCGTCTCCTTTGAAACCTGATCCCAAAGCCTCTTCCACGTCGATGGATCATGCCGGTAGTGTTTCTCGTCAGCTTCTTGATTTAGCGGGTCTTGTCGACCAACCTGCCGTCCAATCAACAAAGACCCAGGCTGTGCACAAAGCAAGCTAACCACCCGCTTGGCAATAGTGATCTGCTGATCCCAGGTAAAGAGATGGAAGAAGGACGCGGCATTGATGATGTTGACTCGGCCGGTTAGCGTGTTTACTAAGTCGGAGTTATCATCGAAGATGTCTGCGCTGATGAATTGGGACTTCAGACTGTCACGATCCGCAAAGAGGTCGTAACCTATCTCGAAGAAGTCAAGGCGGAGGTCAGATGCGTAGAGGTTCTCTGAAGGTACGCCGTCGAAGACCTGTGTTTCTTGATTAACGAAAGTTCTAGTTGCGAATAGTAGGAGCAGATTACCAGGTGACGCAGCTCTTGTCCAACTGCACAGCCTACGTCCAGCAGCTTCTGGCCAGACTTGAGCCGTTCTAGAATCTCGGAGTAATGTGGCGATTGAGGGACGCTCATGTCCAAGAAGCGGAACGAGCCGATGCAGGGGTATGGGAACTATTCATGGTATTTCAGTGAATGTTCTTATAGTGAAAAATCAGGTTGAAAGAGTGTAGATGTCCACTAGTGACAAAGCGATAGCCTCAAGAATAAAAAATTGATCTCACTACCGACATGGAATGTCAACATCACTCACCACAGAGAAAGCCCGATCTCGCTATGGGAGAACAGTCAGTATCCACAATCATAATGTTAGTCAAGGCAATCCTTACGACTGTTTTCACATGGTGCACCACCTCCCCCGGCGAGATCTTGCTGTACTTCTCTAGCAAAGTCTTGGCCGGCTCAGGAACCTCCTCTAGATCCGCCACGTACCAGGGGAACCTTTCCCGATCGAATCCTCCGTCGAGAATCGAACGAAGTTCAGTCTCGGATTTCGCCATGGCTGGTCTCCTCTGTAACTGGAGAGGGTTTAATAGAACCTTTGTCTATTCCGAGGTGAGTGGAAGTTGAATCGGAGCAGAAGAGCTGACGACGGCCCCACGTGCTGTGGGGCAGAGACGCCATCTAGCCGGTATTGGCCTTCGATAAGGTAGACTATTAAGGATGATGGGAATATAATTTATTGCAAACCTTACACGGCTGCCATGAGGGCTGCTTGCGGTGAAAAACCCGTCGCTCTTCATCCAGGAAAAGAATGCAGACAATTGAAGCTGGCGGAGACCGCCCAGGCTATATATCTTCTCTCATTCGAGTTGATTTTGTCGTCCTTAAACTTGACAGCTGCTATTTCTGGCACCAACTTGACTATTTGAGGAGCCAGACTGGATTGCAAAGGTATTCAATTGGCTCTTGGCCATTTAATGTGTTGTGTGACAAGATATGATTAAGTCAACTCAGACAAAACAATGGTCACATATTGACGAAAAATTCTTCCCCCTTCGGCATTTGACTATCTCGATCTTTCTGCTTGACTTCATATTTTACTGGGCCTGTAATTCAAAATACTGTTCTTGGACCCGATATCTGGATCCAATATCCAGCTCACATAGCCAAAGTAACCGACCTTGAGATCTTTGAACTCAATCAGTTTTACCCACTGAGCAAAAACCGGCGAGCGGCGAGTAAAACTCGGCACGTACCATGTAGGACTGACTACTGTAAAAGTGATATTCATATAAAGTAAATTGGTATATTCAAGCCAAGATCCAACACCAAGTCATCGTCCTAGCTTGTTCGCACGCAGGGGTATAAGAAGGTACAAGAAGCAAGTTACTCGTCATATCGTACAGCTAGAATAGAAGGCTGAGGAATGGACGCAATCCACGGTTTAGTGTGGTCCATCCATATCGGTGCCGCTAGGCTGTTTAGGGGAGTCAGCCTCAAAAGAAGGGAAGGGTTCGGATTGGTAGCCAGAGAATCTTCGACTGGACGAGTCACTCCATTGCCTGGCATGACTTGGTCTTTCCACAGTTGGGCTGACCAAAGGCGAAGATCCAGTGGGCGACCGGGTGGGTTGAGCAGAAGTGACCGAATGAGGATCGACTTCATCTTCAAGGCCGCGGCTCAAGGCCAGCTCGTGTGCGACAGCCCGTCTCTTTTGGATTGCTGATTCTTCTTCGAATGCAGCGTGCTGTTCTTCCAATTTCAAATCTGCAATCGAAGGGGTATCAAGCCCTTGCACCACTGCCACATCTGATGCTGGCGATTTAGTAGACCGCTTCTTCTTCTTCTTCTTTGCCTTCTTCTTGGACGACGTCCCCGCTAAGCTGGAAGTGCCCGAGGCGGATTTCGTCATCTCTGATTTCGGCCCGGACTGGTCCTCGTATTCTAAACCAGTACCTCGGTGGCCAAGCACAAATGCGAATTCGTCATCTAGTGGTACTGCATCTTCTTCTTCGTCGCTGGGGATCAAATCGCCGCGTGAGCTTAGTGAATTTGTCGTCCCGAGCGAAGACTGAGTTGCACTCCGATTCCTTCCATTGGGACTATTATAGGAGCGGATGAGATCTTCGTCGGCAGCCTCCATCAAAGGCTCCTCTTCCTGCGCGAAACGATGCAAACCCGACGGCTGCTCCTGCAGATCGGCCGCTGAGGGACGGTACTTCACACCGCGCGCGCCAAATCTCCATGGAAATCGTTCAAGGAAGCCGAGTAATGACGAGCTGGGAATAATGGTTGGATCTGGGCGGTTGTCCGGGATATGCACTGTGCTTCTCCGCCTGGAATTGCGCGTGCCATAGCTCATTTTCCGCGGCCGACGTGGCTGCTCCGCGGTGCCTTGTGCCAATCCACTCCCTGCCAAGAGACGATCGAGTTCTCCCGCTCCCCAACCAAGTAAAGTATCATCCGCATCTTCATTGTCCCAATCGTCGTAGAAGTCAAATACAGCCTCGGCACGGCCGCGCCGTCGTCGTCGCAAGTGGTCTTCTCTAGTTGGGAGACAGGGCGCGGTACAGGCGTACACGCAGGTACCGAGGGAAGCAAAGCACGGCGATATGTAATTATGCGAAAAGGTGTAGATACCTTCCTGGGCGGTCTCGTTTGCCGATTCGAGGTTATGTGAGATCTGGTTGATCCGCTGGCGGATGCGAGGGTCGCGCGGGCGCATCATCTTGGATGGGCAGCGCAAGGGGCAGAAAGTGTTGGTTATTCACTGGCATCGGCGACATTGAAGAAGGGATCCCTTGGAGTCAACGGGGTCAACCCAGGCAAGGGTGAGGAGGAAGCCAAGACGACGCAACCGACGATGTCATCTGACGTTAGTCAGCGCGGCACGTGAGATCCGCTGTTTGGGTTTGGCAGACACTCAGGGTCTGTCGCTCTATATCATGGTCTATTATATTCGCTTCCTCAAGACCCCCCGAGTCCAGCAGCAGAAGGGGTCCTCTGTTGTGTCTGCGTTGTTCTGCATCACCACGGATCTTGGAGATGCATTCCTGGCCCAGGATGTGGACTTGATCGCAGAATTAGCTATCTCTCATTCCTCAAAAATCCTGAGCTCGAAGTCCCTGACATGGCAAGCTGGGAAACGTGAGCTTCCAATTTCTCTGGAGTTGCGTCGTGGCCTTGCACAGCAACCCGTGGTGTTGACTGTTCGGCCTCTGGGCCCTCAGTCGCTTGTCAAAGACTCACTATGCCCAATCCCATTAGTGGTCTCGGGCTGGAGTACCCCAATCTCGGCGCAATTGCCGGCTGAAAAGCTGATTGAACGCCGGTTCAGTCTCGGGGACAGCCTAGAATCCCAAACATCGGACCTCTGCATTTCCGAGGAGACTGGCAACAGCATTGCTCGGCATATCTGGTGAGCCAAGTTCCAACCATCTAAATGGGACCAGCATCTAAACAGCAAATGACAGGGATGCGGCGCTCGCCTCAGTAATATACCTCCATCAAATAATCAGCGGAGCATCAGAGGGAATGCCCTCGCTCCGCCACCTCTTACAGCACCCACGCCAAACCCCTCTCCAGGTGATTGAGCTGGGAGCCGGATGTGGCATTGTGGGCATTGCCCTCGCCCAGCTGCACCCCCACTGCTCCGTCTTACTCACAGACCTCCCCGAAGTCGAGGAGATTGTCACACGGAATATCAATGCTGCCCGACCGGCCCCCAAGTCGACAGTCTACTATCAGTCTCTCGATTGGAACAAACCGCCACCCGATGGTCTCTGTCGCAACGCTATCGATCTGATCCTGCTGTCCGACTGTACCTACAATGTCGACAGCTTGCCCGCGCTGGTCTCTACGCTGGACCGCTTGGTCCGGAGCTCGCCGGGGGCGATCATCTTGGTGGCCCTGAAGAGGCGGCACGACAGCGAAACGGTGTTTTTCGATCTGATGCAATCCGCAGCGTTCCAGTGCCTCCAGGACCGCATCCCGCTTCCCTCACAGCATGACCAAGTCGATCAGATCGAATTGTACTGCTACAGCCGATGAGGGATCTGTGTGACCAATGGATCTACGCTAACAGACTGATCTGGTGGTGTCCCACTGTTGTGCGTCATGATTTTCGCTGGCTAGTTCGCGGGGAGCGGTTCCCGAGAGCTTTCTTCCTTGGCCACTGCTCTACGGTGACACAATCAATCCCTGGTCGGACAACAGCAGTCCGGCTGTGTAAATAATGTTAGTAAAACAAATAACTGTAATAAAAATAGAACCAATTCGACCGGCCGGGTCTAGTTCCTGCGCGAAGAAATCGCTCACTGTTCGGTCTGGCCACCCTAGGCATAGTCGTACCTGGACTCAGCGAGCCCAAGCACTCCGGTTCGGGTGATTACGTGAGGTAGTGCAACCTTTCCCCGGAGCGTCATCTCTATGTGTTTGCTCGTCTCCTCCACGACCTATTATTATTTCTGCTAGTGAGTCTTTTTTTTTGTTGGCAGGATTTGTTTGTGGAGAGAAAAAAACACCTCTGCGTGTGTTGTCCGTGCGTGTTCCTCCAATAATGCCCTAAACCCAAGCTACCCTGCCCTGGCCCGACTCCAAACCCAAAAAAAATCTGACTGCCCCTCCGACGTAACTCACGACTGGCCGCCTTTTATTCTCTCCCCCTCCTTCTTCCTCCATCGTCTCTCTTGATCATCACTATTTCGCCCCAGCTGACCCGCGGTTCAGATTCTCAAGTTTATTCCCTCTGCCTTTGGAAACCCCCCTCCAAAGGCAACAATCAATCCGCTCACCACGGCTCCCGTAGCCTCGCTTGTGCTCCTCCGTCAAGTTGTCTCGACCCGACGACCCCGCGACACGCTTAACAACATTCCTCCTCCTGCTACAGGCTTCTGAGCTTTCGTCCGGTGCGCCTTTTTTCAGCCCATTGACTCCACCACCGGTCAATTCTTCTACCCTTGAGCTGCCGCATAGGACTACTCTGAAGTTCCTTCCTCTTCAGGAGGAAGGGTCTTGGAGACTTGGTCTAGTCAACTACGGTTGTGACGGTTATCGTCCTCCCTAACACGCAGCCGCGTTACTTGATTGATTGATCTTATACTTCTTTGTTGTTCTCTTATATCGTGCCGAGTCGCAGCTGCACGGTTATGGCCCCGACTGCATGTGTATCGCATGCTGAACTATGCACCATCAAACAGGACTATCTTAATAGTCTAGACCATCACGGTCAGGTTAGCAGCCATGGAGAGGACGACTTGTTGCAATCTCGGTTGACGGCCAAGGAATTGGTTCTGGATGTGCTGAAGAAACGGGCCACCGAGGTGGATGTGGACCGCTGTGGCCCTGGGGAGGAGGATGCGTTCTATGTCGCGGACATGGGCGAGGTGTACCGCCAGCACCTGCGCTGGAAGATGAATTTGGGTCGCGTCAAGCCCTTCTATGGTAAGTCCCGTTCTGATCTAGTCCCAAATTCCAGGCAATATTTACTAACCGCCATCCACAGCGGTCAAGTGTAACCCGGACCCGGAGGTTCTTCGCCTCATGGCCGAGCTCGGAAATGGGTTTGATTGTGCGTCCAAGTCTGAGATCGAACTGGCTCTGCAGGCCGGTATCGAGCCAAGCCGCATCATCTATGCCCAGCCCTGCAAGACCAAGTCCTACCTGCGGTTCGCCGCCGAGGCAGGCGTCAAGCAGATGACTTTTGACAATGCCGACGAGCTGTACAAGATCAAGGCGACTTTCCCCGACGCCGAGCTGTACCTCCGCATTCTGACGGATGACTCTACCAGCCTGTGCCGGCTGAGTATGAAGTTCGGCGCTTCCCTAGATGTGGCCCAGCAGCTGCTCGAGCTGGCACACCAGCTCGAACTCAAGGTTGTCGGCGTCAGCTTTCACGTTGGCTCCGGCGCAGAGGACCCTACTGCTTTCCTCAAGGCGGTCCAGGATGCGCGACTGGTGTTCGACCAGGCTGAGGAAGTGGGCCACGTACTCCACACCCTGGATGTCGGCGGTGGTTTCTGCCAGTCGAGTTTCGAGAAGTTTGCCGGTATCTTGAGCGATGCTCTAGATAGCTACTTCCCGCCGCACATCCGCATCATCGCCGAGCCGGGTCGCTACTACGTCGCCAGCGCGTTCACCCTCGCTGCCAATGTCATCGCGCGGCGCGATGTCCCGGACCCGCTGGACCCCTCCCGCGATGCGTACATGCTGTACCTGAATGACGGCGTCTACGGCAACTTCTCGAACATTATTTTCGACCACCAGCACCCCGTGGCCCAGGTTCTCACCAGCGCCGCGGACCAGCCTGCCTCCCGGGGCTCTCCGAATCCTGCGACTTCGGAGAGCATCTCGTACTCGATCTGGGGCCCGACCTGCGACGGCATCGACGTCATCTCCGAGCGCATCGACCTGCCGGGTCTTCTGAATGCGGGCGACTGGCTCTACTTTGAGGATATGGGCGCCTACACCAAGTGCAGCGCTACTCGTTTCAATGGGTTCTCCGATAACCACGAGGTGATCTATATTTCCAGCGAGACTGGTGCTTCTGCTCTCCTCAACTATTAACTAGTTGGGTCCTTGTGCTGTGTGCTTTCTTCCCTCCTGGTTTTTCTGCTCGCCCATGTCGTTCGTTGTCTGTTTCGGGTCCTTTCTGTTTGGAAATATTTTTGTTGCTTGTCTTCCTTAAGACGGGGTTGACTTAATATGTGATTTGCGTGATCGTGTTGCATTGCAATCTACCTTTTAAAAAGAACAAAAATAGAATAGAACTGGGTTCTTCGTTATTTTTCTGAGTTCATTCATAACCGTTTCTCTCAAAACAGTCAGGTGTAGCAAGATGTCTCTGGCATGTAACTCTGATTTATCAGTACAGACGCGCTCGAAATCAATTCCACCAACTTTATTCGCTTCGATTATTTCCCGAGCTCTATTGAAACATGCTAGTCTATCTTGATTTAGCGAATTTCAGAGTCTAGAAACGTATTGTAAGGCTGTAGTCCTAGGCCAAAAGGCCCAAACTAATTATTATGATGAATGTCATTGCTCATTGGTCAACTACGCTTTTATAACTCGATCAGCGCCCTCAATCTCTTCATCAAGTTGCAATTGATCTTGGCACAGTCCTGTCATCATACATCGAGGATCTCCCGGTTCCTAATGCAATCAAAAACTGACCCTTATATTCTCATATTGAGCATTGCAATCTGTGAACTAATGGGCTAGAATAACTGCCCGTTCACAAGCCATCTTACTGTGCCATATACCACCCCAACTAGTGCAAGCCAGGAGATTGCACCCCGAGCATAGAGAATCCTCACGACCATTCGAACCTCAGAAGCATCGTTGCGGCGAGGAAAAGGCTCGTCGTCTCTTGGTGCCTGCTTGCCAAGAAATGCGCACAAAGGCTCCCATCCTTCTTGAGGCTCAAATTCGAAGACCTCTCGCCCGCGCTTTCGTGCCTCGGCGTGAACCCAAGCATTATGCGCATCATAATGCTTTACGGTCAAAAGCTCGTCCGCAGTTAGATTCAGTTTGCTCTGACAGAGCTTCATAACCTCGCGCCACATGGCAGCCACATTACGGTCGGTCTTCCATAAGAAGCCGAGAACGTGGTACACCGGTGAGGCTGCGAAGGTGAGCAGCTGGATCGACTGGACCCACGGGCGGCCGCCACCAGGCCGCTTGTTCAGCACGATCTTAGCGTCCGGATACATGTCCATAAGATCATCCGTGAACATGGACGAAGGGAAATCGGTGGCTCCTTGAAAACCATTAAACAGTTTATAGAGTAGCTTGTGACGCCGTGTAGTGTCCTTCTCCCGGAGTGCAGCTAGGACGATGTCCCCGCGTTCGGCGTTCGGCGCAATGTGCACGAAGTGCATGCATGGAGTCAGACCGATGTGTTGCGATTCAAGAGCGGCTTGCAGAGAGCTTGTTCCACAACGAGGGAGACCGGCACCAATCACTTGCATAGAGCTTCGGCTCGTCTGATCAGCGACGACATTATTTTCAAAGAAGCGCATCGCACGTGAATGGTTTCGGAAGACTAAACAAAAGATAATGGCTCCTGAGAGTGCGGTTGCAGAAAGAATGAGGATACGAAGTTGTAGTGACAAAGGGGATTCCCGAATATAAGGCTTTTCTATTCCTCTCGCTGTCAGCGTCAGCACTAAAGTGGAGCGAGAAGGCTGAGATTCTCATTTTTAGGCGCTAGCTATGTATGGACCGTTGTTTATACTGGTTAACGCAGGATTTGGGACTATGAAGCTTAAAAATTTGGAATTTCACTCAGCCTTCGTATCAGTAATATAGAGTCCTGACAGCAGACGAACCAGGCGCTCCGGAGGTATCGAGCGGCCGTACTGTCGCAAAGGGCTCAACCACAGTGCCAGCCAGTTAAGAATAAGAGATGAGATCGGAGTGAGATTGATACAGCCCGTGGCTGAACTTGAAGGTCTTTAATTCCCAAATCGTAATTACTATCGTACGAGATTACTGCCAAAAATACATTTCAGGGGCAGGGTAGCTGTAATAGGTATCGCGTGATTCAAAATAGAGTTCGGGAATGAAATGAAGAGAATAAAGTGGTGAAACTGATGTCGAGCGACCCTGTCTATATGTGCTCTATCTATCAACGTTGCTCTAAATATGATATCGTAATGCATCAAAACACAGAAAGAAATCTCCGCCAGGGAAAATGCTTCGGCTCTCGCGGAGCCAGCTCCACGGCGCTTGACACATCCCGGCGTCCTAGGCCAGTTTCTGCACAGTCAAATCGGCCTCGTTTGCTTGCACAAGCCCGCCAGCCTCGAGCTTCTTCTTCCACTTTGTGGACTCATACCGAGCACAGATGAACGTCATGCGAGAGACCACCGTGGGGTCAGCAGACTCGGAGGTCACGGCCGAAGGGGTGCACGTCCAGCGTCCGAAGGCCCAGTTCAGGATATAGTACTGACAGGCAGAAGAGTCGGATTTCTGGCGCGCCTCGAGATTATCGGATGACTCTGCCGGTGGGTTTTGAGTAGAACAGCGCATGATCCCCTTGATGCGGTAGACTTCCTCTCTCGGGACCGAGGAAAGGAGCTGCTCCAAAGCAGGGATGTCGATTGTCTCCTCCGACGAGGATGATTTGAGCATCACAGAAAGCACCTCGACCTCGGACTGATGGTCATGCTTGTGCTCGTGGCCATGCCCATGCTCCACCCCATTTAGACCATGCTTGCCCGCCTCCTTCGCAAAGAGCGCACCATCAATCCCCAACAACACCCCCTTATCCACTCTCCCCTTGTCCGACTTAACCCAAGGCGTCTCAATATCCAAATCCCCAACCCGATCCAAGCAGACATCGAAGCGCTGCTCGGAGACACTCTCCCACTTATTGAAAACGATCAGATCCGTGTACTTCGCTTGCAACTTAGCCGTGTACGACGTATCCTCATACCCCTCCCAATTCTCCACATCAATCACGCTAATCACACCGTCGAGCACAAAGTGGCCCCCCTGTTCGCGCGCCAGCCTGTTCACCTCCATCGCCAGCGTGGCGGGGAACGCGCTCCCGCTCGTCTCGATGACGATTCGGTCCGGCTGCACTTCATCGCGCAGCTGGTCGAGCGCGTCGCTGAGTTGTCCGACCAGGTTGCAGCAGATACAGCCGTTTAGCAGCTCGCGCACGCCGGAGATTGATTGCGTGGAGGCGAGTTGGGAGTCGATCGCCACATCGCCGAACTCGTTTTTTAGGAGGGCGAGCCGGTAGGAAGCTGGCAATTGCGGGATGAGATTGAGGAGGAGGGTTGTTTTGCCGGAGCCGAGGAACCCCGTGACGATTGTTATGGGGATTGGGGCCATGGTGGGAGAATTGGGCGGAATTGAATGTTGGAGAAAGATTCGATTCGATTATTATCTTCTTATCGGAGATATCGGAGAGGCGGATGCGCTAAACTGCTTTTGGTAATAGAGCAATAACATTCCAGGTACACATCGGCAACAGGGTCCAGGTGCCCTGGCAGTTTATTTCTCGCCCAGTAAATATCCCGAGTAACTAGCTCCCAGTAGTTAACTGACAAATAAATAAATACATACCCGATTTTAGGCCGTGCCCACCCGAATGTTTTCTCTTCCAATTTTAGTGCTCTCGCACGCCGCTTTTTGCTCACTGAGTAAACTTACCTTTTACTCTTGACAACGCTCTTGTTTTTCTCGTCGCTGCAGGGCTGGTGTCATCAATGTGACCTTCTTGGACCTAGTGCTCCACCTCCTTCCTCAATGGCAAATGCACAGGCGAGGTGGAAGGCGGATTGATCTGATTTTGAAAAGGTGGAATGCGAGACAAACCAATTCATTCGTTATTATAAACTAACCAACTAATATACTACTGAAATCAACCTGCACCTGGTAGTCTGTTCACAGAACTGCTCGGAACCCTTTATCCAGATTACGATCCAGACCCAAAAAGTCCACCACCTGACCGAGATGGTCGATGCCCCAGAATCCCTCCGTCTCGCCCTTGGAGTTGGTGCACTCAAACCACGGTAGACCAAAAGCACCAGTCTTAAAGGCCTGGTCCGTGTTAGATGTCAGGATATTCTTTACATCCGGTTGGCCCATCTAAAAAAAATACCATTAGAGAGGGATCAGGGTCCGCAGATTGAAGCATCCAACTTACGGCAGACAAAACATCCTGCGCCACCTGCTTCCCAAGAACACCCTCCAAAACAGGAGTGAATCCCTCGGGTTCCCCAATCTTCGAGTTGCGCTCCACCCAGAACGAGCGGTAAAGAGCATCGAGGACAGATTCAACCTCTGCAGGCGACTTCTGGGAGACGGCACACATAGCTCGCTGGACGGCGAGGGTGCGCACCGGGAAGCCCTCGGGGGTAGTAGCGCACATGGGCACGGAGAAGTATTTTGCCCAGCGCAAGCGTTCCTCGTTAATCCACTTGTCCTTGTCTGTAGCGAGTAAAATGTGTGAGAAATCTATTCCTATTACGTCCAGAAGTCTGGGGCTTGGCCATACTCTTGATTCTGATTGGAGGCGTGTTGCCGCAAGTTTGCATCAGTCCTCCCAGCAGGACGGGTACATATTGCACCTTGCATTGAGCAAAAGTGGGCGAGTTCTGCGTTTAGGGTTAGAATCAACAGGGCAAGTGAGTAGATGGTGGACTTACCTTCAACACATAGAAAGCGATGTAGGCAAAGGGACTGACGACGTCAACGTACAGGGTGATCTTGGGGGCTGACATGATGGCGCGATATGCTTCCAGTCCGATGCAATAATTCAAAAATCGAAAGAGAAGGGCGCAGGTATGTATGGATGGATTCCCCGCGCGATGACTCAGCTCGATGAAGCCGAGGTTGTTGAGGTGTTGGGATAGCCGTACGGAGTCGATCGCGATGGTTCCTCATCTCCGCGCGTTGAGTGTTGAATCCAATATGGAGGAAGGGGTTATGTGCCTGAGTGCCGTGGTTCCTGGCGCCTTCCATCGCCCTCTTCACCCTTCCACTTGCTTCCCAACAATCCACCCCTTCTATACACAGCGTACCCTATTCTACAGCGTACCTAACACCATGACCACAGAAGATACTGGTCCTGCCACTGATGACTTTCACGTCGCCAATTCATGCTCATGTCTCGATGACTCCATTGTTCGGCGACGGCGACAGGGCGAATATTTCCCCGGCCGTCGGTGTGGTTTCTGCGATCCGATGGGCTGGACCCGTCAACCCCATCGCCGTGCTCTGACGCTGACTACACTCCTGGTTGGAAGATCGAGGAATTCGGACACAGAGCAGTGATTGGCTGAGAAATACTTCAACCGGTGAGAGGGAAAACGACGCTTCTGATCCGGAGTCAACAACCCACGGCGAGTGACGGCAGGCCCAACTCTTCTATATTAAACCACGTATACATTAGATTATCAATCCTTCTGCATACCCTGGAATCCTTCAGAATGTTACTTGAGAATATTGTCCCGAGCAGGTAAATAGCAATTGCATCACAGTGCGCTCATAATGAATGAAATTCGATTTATTGCCATCGCCAGTGCCGCCACATCTACAGCGAGTACGAAAACCAAAACTTGCACCGCATGTAGCTAGCTCTATTGCCCATTTCACCAGATACATACTGACCTTTCTGTCAAAACTCCATCCACCCCTTAATATCCCACCAGGAAGGTATACACCGCCATGTCTTCTCGCTTCGCCAGCCCATCCTTCTCCCCAGACATCGAGTCAGACGGCCAAAAGCCACAAGATCAACATCATCAACACAGCCAACGCCATCATCAACATCACGGGGACCACAAACCAGACCACTCGCACATTACTAGTCGCGGAACCCCGGCACGACACTCGCGTCGTGAACGGTCTGAGTATCGTTCGTGGGATCGGGCGAGTGATCAGCCGACGGTGGGAAAGACGGGCTCGAAGAGTCGTGCGAGTTCACGGCACTGAAGCTATCTTCTGAGTCAATGTGGGTAGAAGTCGCTGTTGAGAGAGGTGGATTTCTATCTGTTGTTATATGACCACAGGGGGGCCCTTCTAAATAACTTGCTACAGGCATAGAGGGCTAGTGAATGTAAATAAACCGAATGGCCTCTAGGTAGCCCAAGGTAGATGAGCTACTGTTGTTTATTTGGTTGTTGCCTGCCTCCGTTCTTCTATCTTTCTGTCTGTATGCTTTTACGTTTGTTTGTACGTACAGCTTCTCTTCTCGCCCACCTTCTTTCTGTTGCCATCTTTACCTTCTAAGGTTCCCGCGTCTATGGCCTCTCACTTACACGCTACCATATCATTGCCCAATATGGACACTCACGGCGTCTCCGAGGAGCCCCAGTACCTGAAGTATCTGGCTCAGCATAAAAAGACTCTCCAGAATGCCCAGCATTTCAAGGGTCAGCGTCCCAAGCAAAAGCAATCCCGAGATGAACTGATTACGGAGTTCATGCTACGACAGACGTCGAGCAAGAATATGACTCCTGATATCCATGAGTTCACTATTCGCTCGTCTTTCCTTCCCCCAGCCTACGTTCCCAGCATCGCCCCATTCCGGGAACTCAACAAGGTCATGGTCAAAGATCTTGTTCTCGAGACACATCACCGCGGCTCATACCTACTTCTGAGAACAGTCACCCCAGCGGACAGAATGACTGCAATCCTGGCCATTGTGGAGGATGAAGAAGGCAATGTTTTGGTCCTTCAGCTGTACAACCAAGACCCATCGCTTGCTGCGGAGGACATACTTAATGAGGGAAGAGTGCTCCTTGTTAAGGAACCGTATCTCAAAGTGATGGCTGACGGGGGCTATGGAATACGAATTGACCACCTCTCCGACATCAAGTTTGTCCCAGGATATGACAGACTGGTTCCTCCATCTTGGCGGAAGCGGCCTGGGAAGATGGAAATCTTGAGAATGTCTGCTCACGATTGGCGGGTAGTGGGCAACGACTTTTTCAATAAGTCCGGGTATCAATCGGCTGTTGACTGGTAAGTTTCTCCTCGACCATTCGATCAGACATACAGCTCACAATGGTAACAGTTACTCCAAAGCTTTGGAGTATTTCCCCTTAGAGGATGAGGCCTTCACAATCAAGCTAAACCGTGCTCTTGCTTTCCTCAAACTTGACCAATTTGATGATGCTCTTTGCGATATCCCAGACCCCAAGATGTCTGAGAAAGCTCTGTTCTGCAAAGCTCAGGCACTTTGCCGTCTCCGGAGATACCGAGAGTGTTGCGATGTCTTCAGGATTATTTGCCAGAAATACCCTGGAAACAGTGCCGCTAGCAAGGAATTCACGCGAGCGATCAAGCGCCTTGCAGAGCAAGCGAACGGCAGATATCCCTTCAAGCAGTTGCAGCTGGAAGCGGCAAAGCTTCGCCCACCACACTTGGACCGTGCGACATACATCGGCCCTGTCTCTGTTAGGTCTACCAATGCTCATGGACGAGGCTTGTTCACGACCAAGGCAGTCAAGGCCGGTGATATTCTGCTTTGCGAGAAAGCTTTTGCGCATTCATTCGTCGATCACATCGGCTTCACTCGCAGTGCAGTCATTCTGATCAACCCGGAAACGAACCGTGTGACTCTTGGTGGTCAGGCAGAGCTCATCACCCTGATTGTTCAAAAGCTTTACAAAAATGCGTCCTTGATACCGGTTGTCACCGATCTCCACCGCGGTTCCTACAACTCTCTCGAGGTCTGCGAGGTGGATGACGCGCCTGTGGTGGATACGTAAGTGGCTCATAGGGTTATAGTCCTGTTCAAACCTTGCTAATATTCTCATATTTCAGCTTCCTTATCGAACGAATCGTATCCTTGAATGGCTTTGGCTGCCCTGTCTCCTCCCGCAAGTCTCACATCAGCCTTATGACCAACCAAAAGGTGGAAGAAAAGTTCGACTCTTGCGGTCTTTGGCCTATGGCTTCTCACATAAATCATTCCTGCTGCAGTAACTGTCGAAGGTCGTTCATTGGAGATATGATGATTATTCGAGCTACCCAAGATCTCGAGCCCAACACCGAAATCGTCTTTTGGTACACTCCGCCTTTTGAGGACAACCCTGATAAGCAACCCGATCTCGAACACTGGGGCTTCAAGTGCAGTTGTGCTATATGTCAAGACATCCAAGCAACGCAGAAGATCACTTTGATCATGAGAGACAGACTGCTTGCTGACCTGCGGAAATATTTTCAATCTTCCAATCCAAACGGTGTCAGGATCGAGTCTACCCTCGCGACGCTCGCAGAAACATACAATCGACCAGCCTCTGAAGTCCCCCGTCTTACCCTATGGGATCCCTATTTGAGTCTCTGTGGGATGTACTCCGAGTGGAACCAGCCGGAGAAGGCTATTGAGTGTGGCTTGAAAGCCCTGGAATCGCTGGGCTATGTGATTGATGGTGGGAACTTCCCTCAAGCGCCGAAATTGACTCTCGTCGTTAAAAGGTGGGGGCTAATGCTGGACTTGCTTGTGAACTGTTGGATGCTTCTCGCTCTGGCCTATAGTCAGGTTGCGCCTGAGCTTGAGGCGAAGGCGGAGGGTTATGCCAAACTCACATACAGAATTTGTGTAGGTGAAGATGAGACATTCCATGAGACTTACGGACGACATGCAGGTCGACTTGATGGTTTTCTTGGTGGGGGAGAATAGACCTGTCTTTCGTGGATTTTGATGAGCCTGAAAGTGGATTGGATCAGGCGAGTTTGGGAGACGGATGTGGATACCATGAACATTTCAGACGAAGTGTATGAAATACCTGTTGCAAATTTAACATGATACTCAGCTCTTCGAGTTATTGATGAACCCAATAGCTATAGTTACCTAAGTAGGTCCATAGTCAATCAAGTGGGTATCGGTAATCGCGCAACCGACCCGCCTCCTATGCGGGAATCCATCCGAGATCCATCACTCGGAAATTTTACCCTTTCTAAACACTCGGCAATACTTCGGAAGATGGTACTCTTCTATCAACCCACTTTAGACTCAGACTGGCAAGAAGGAAAATATCCAAAATATATTATCAAGCTACGCTTGAGCTACAAAATCGTAAGGAAGTGGCGGTCTCATCGAAGTATATATTCGGTACTCCCTTCGCCCCGAACAGCAAGCCGATGCTAAAACCATTTGAAATTTCTGTAAAGGTCTATATCTACTGTATCGTTTCGCTCAAAGCTTTCCAAAATTCATCACGCAAACATAATCCACGATTTAGACGTTCAGTTAACTTCTGACCATGCCGTGTCGAAGTGAACGTAGTGATTTTCCCAATCCCTTTGTTTTGCCCTGGAAGGCCTCTTCAATCTCAAGAAAAGTTCGACCTTTAGTTTCATGCATGAAGATCCCACCGACAAGGGCGGTAGCAATGCAACATCCACCGAACAAGAAATACGCCCCGAAATTACTCTTCGAGAGTAGAATTGGGGTCGTTAAAGCGACCAAAAAGTTGAAACCCCAGTTGCTTGAATGAGCCAATGTGGTGGCTGATGCTCGAGTTCGCTGAGGCTGGATCTCAGCGCTGTAGACCTTCATGGTGATGCCCCAGGTCACGGAGTACAAGGCTGCAAAAATATAGATCGAGACGATCACAATCCAGCGTCCAGCGCCGCTGGATTTGTGAACTGCGTTACCGGCATATAGACCGCCCATGAGAAACATAATAATCCCCATTCCAATGCCGCCATAAATGATGCTGTGTCGCCGACCCCATCGGTCTGCGTAAAGTAAACCTGGGATAGTCACGCCAAATATCACTATCGCAGAAACACCAGAGGCTAAAAAGCTTGCTTCCGACGACGCAAGACCAGCCTTTTGGAATAATAGAGGTGCATACTGCAGAATCCAGGTCAGTCATATTAATCCAAATGTTTTTCGTTCATAGAAAGAATTGATGTTAAGGTTTCGGTGAACCTACATAAAGCACACCGTCAATGCCACTCATCTGCTGCATACCCATCATAAAAACGGCAAGGGTGGTCCGGGCCCAAACATCCTTAGAGAAGATATCAAGGAGCTTGTGGATATTTCTCTGTCTGGGAAGATCCGTGGGAACTTCAATCTCTGTTACCTCTATTTGCAGCTCGACCTTTTCGCGCTCTGCACGACTCACACCCAAGCTGTCCCATACCTCCTCGGCCTTCGCATGATGACCGTGAAGGGCTAACCACCTTGGTGATTGGGGTAAGCAAAGAAGTGAAACACAGCTAAGGATCATAGACAGAGATGCAAGCAGGATATATGGTGCTCGCCATGAAAGTGAAGACTCAAGGCTCGAACTTCCATAGCTTACAAAATACCCGATCACCAATCCGAGGGTAATGAGCAGCTGTGGACCGGTCGTTAGGGCACCTCTGGTGCTCGTCGGTGAGATTTCACAAATCAAGACCACGAGATTCCCAATGAAAAGGCCTTCTCCTAGACCTTCCACGACTCTGCCGACGATAAACATCGCCAGTCGAACTGCCCCTGCTTCTATCGCGGCTCCAACACCGAATATAAAGACCCCGATGCTGATGCCCTTGGGTCGACCGAGTCGATCCGCAACATGACCAGCAAAAAACGAAGAAAGAGCTGCGGGGATCAAGATAGACGAGACGATAAGGCCATGTATCGTGGAGTTCTGGCTACCTCCAAATGAGGCTTTGAAATCCTTCATGTCGGTAACCGGGCCAATGATACCCGTATCCATTCCGAAAAGAACTCCATTCACTGAGCATAAAATGCATGCCAGCATATATTTGGGCGGGTGCCTTAAATGAGGTGGAAGCAATCCCATGATTTAGGGTTTGTTCGGTGCCGGCAGAGATTGGGAAAACCGATGTTTCTTCTCTTCCGTTGAATCAGGAAGAGAGTTATTTTTTTTTCTAAATTGTTTGAAACCGCTCTGAAAGACTGAAAATGAATCTAGGAATAGGTGAGAGACGTGAGGGTCTTTTGTCCTCTCACGGGATGCATGAAAAAAATTTCATCTTGGTGGAGTTGGAACATTTTTGCTCATGTGCTCATGCAGGGGAAAGATAAGTCGGCAAAGATGCCAATCTCAGTTGGTGGGGCTTCAACTCCGCTTCAACTGCCTCCACTTATACAGTCTTCTGTCTGAAAGGAAAAGACGTACAGCTTGCGTGACTCACGATTTTAACTCCGACTTGCCAAATAATTATGGTTCTTTATCTCCTTTGAGCCCCGTGCATCCAATCAATCACGATGAAATATGGACAAATTCCCGCGGCCGCATTATTAGTGTCCTCTCTAAGACGCACTGGGGAGGAGATATTGGGATGATCCCTGGCATTGATAAGATCCCGATCATACCTATCCTTAGTAGGATACAGACCAAGCCCCAAGCGATATATCAATCTCAGACGCCAATCGTTACCCAAAATAGAGTGTGAGAGCAACCCCAACGATTCACTTGTATGGATTTATCTTGCTTGGGGTTCGACTTTTTTTGCATTTTTCTATATCTACTACACCCTCGATTTTACCTGTTTCTCCCCTTGAAAAAAAAAACTCAATGAAAGTACAAGCAGTGTGGTAAGTTGCGCTGGAAAGCCCTAACACCATGACCAAACTGCGATACAAAAAACAAAACGGCAAGAACAAGCTAAAGATTGACAGCTGTTATGAGAAAAAGACCTAGAGAAATCAATGTTAGAGAATTGAATTACGCTCAAAACTCACAAGACAGAACACAGGATGTTGTTGAAATGAACCTGCTGCAACCATATTAGAGAAACATTCTTCCCTTAGTATCTATACCCTCGTAAACGTCCATAGCACTGAGCTGCTCGCATGTAGCATCGGTTATGTGCTCAATAAAGGCACTGGCTAGAACAGCGGCTCTAGGGGGATTCCTTGCTGAAGGAGAAGATTGAGAACCAGACGCAGAGGAGTCAGCCCCCGACGTCCCGAGCTGACCGGACCTGGGGGAATGAGGCTGCGAGGAATAAGCTTCAGTCTTGGAATCGTCATTGTTGGTAGAAGTACCGTTGAAAGCGGATTTTGTCTCTGGGTGGGAGGACACTCCGCGATGGGGGACGTCCTTTCCAGTTTGCTGCTGCTCCACATCAGTCTTCGCGGGACTGACCAATTCGGCGGACATGGATTGAGCCAAAGACCTAGGTTGTTTGGAAATGACTGTCTTCTTCGGATTTATACTGCTCAGGTGGATGAAGGACTCGTCGAAGCTGCGACGAGTGCTTCCCTCCTCGCCACGCTCGTCCTCATCATTGCCCTCAAGGGAATGGCTCAGCTTGAGATCACTTAGGAACAAAGGCCAATCAATAGGACGAGCAGGTCGTGGCGCAGGAATGTGATAACAGGGTTGGTGTCCGACTTCCTTAGGGTTTGTGCTCAGCTTCGGCTGCGAAGCTTCTTGTCGTTCCCTCAGCTTCTCGCGCTGAATCAGTGAGTTGTTCATTTCCCGCTGCCTGTCCCGCGGGCGATAGTTCGCGTCCCCAAGATCGATATTCAACCACAGCGGCATCTTGTCGTCGTCTCGGATCTGGTAGTGCTGCATAACGAAGCGCGCAATCTCCGCGTAAGTCTCGTTAGCGTCGACTAACTGGGTCAACTTGTGGTGCATTTGCTCATCATGTTGGTACAGCATCGACTCAAGGAACAGGCCCATATCGCAGGCCGGCACGCCATGCAGTGCCCAAAGCTTGAGCAGCCGCATCAGATCGCCGATGCTGTCATGGTTCCAGACGAGCAGAGCCTTCCAGTCACTGGTGAGTCTTGTGTTAGAGCTGGTATCTGTTTCAGTTGCACGGACAAGCTGACTGGCATCTTGCCCAGACGGAGGAGCTTCAGGAATCTCGTCTTCGTCGATCCACAGGGTCTGCAGACGTTTTATCAGATCTTTCGCTCTGCGGCGGACTCCGTTAGTCCGCTTGAGGATGCGTACCTGATTGGATTCACGATTCACCCAATCTTGGACAGTACTAGCCTGGGAGGTAGGGCTGGAATGGAAGAAGAGCTCATCCATGACTGGAGATGATCGTTTGCTGCTGCCGGCTTCCTCACCCTTTTCTTTGCCCTGGCTGTCATTCATCTCCTCACAGCTGGTCGCGGGATCTCTGATTTCCGAGCTGAAATTTCCTTTGGATGATCTGCGAATGGCACCTGATCTCCTCAGAGAGCTTTCTGCAGGAGCAGTAGCTGGTCTGAGAAGTGCTGGCAATGGACGATACACGACTTCGTTGTCGAGGTCCTCGATGCAACGACTTTTTTTATCGGCTCGACTCATCGCCGCCGCAAGCTACCCTGGGTTGTACGTGAGATCACAACGGAGTGAGATTGAGGTTTACCTATGTTGGGGTTAGTTCTGCTGAGGGTTTCAGTGAGCTTTCTTTCTTGGACAAAAACGATGATGAGGATAATGAAGATACTGGCAGGCAAATATCCCTGCTCATGATCAGATATTTATAATTTTACCCTGTGCTCTCATGAGATACTTTTTCCTGGTTGTGAGACAAAGCATATTGCGGAATCTTCCATCTGTTTGGGATGTCTCTGTTCCCAACAATGAATAGCAGTGTATTCTGCTGGTAATACCCGGCAGTCAAGGATGGGAGGGAACCTTGTAGTTGAGACTTTAGCAGGGAATCTCCGACAGTTTATAGTTGTGCAGGGGAGTCCCGCCGAAAATTGCTTTTCTGTAAGAATACCCCTTCGATCTGCCATAGCATGTATTGTGCAGGAACAGGCCATTGTGCAGACGAGTTCAATGCAACTGAAACAGCTTATTGGATAGAATGATCATGTAAATTTCGTTAACACATATCCACTGATGTAGATCACGAAGAGAAATAAGAGAGCCAGTAACTCCGCACCGAGGGGGTATCTGCAAGCAGCGGGATGTACAAAAGTCCGAAGACAAATGGGAATCAACGAGTAAAAGACAACATGATTAAGAAACAAGACACAATTTCGATGATCAGGCCATGTCTTACAACCACAGAACCCACTTTGCACCCGCAATAGAGCCTCGAAAAACACCGCGCACAATCTTAAAAGCCATGACAATCAGCCACACCCACCAGAGCATTCCGACAAGGGCCCATTCCAGCACGACAAAGCCCGTCCGGCGAACCCAGCGGAGCCGACGGCGGCGCCTTCGGACTCCTATATCGAGCGCGTCGCTGAGTTGTTTAACTGCGAGGGTGTTGGTAGTGTTGAGCTGGACGCAGAGGTCTTCTGCTTCGCTCGCTGTGGCACGAACGCGAGGCGTGAGGGTTTGGTTGACCAGCGATTCCAAATTCTTGAGCTGTGTGCGGAGAGGAGATGATGTTGCCGTCGAGAAGTGGTGCATGGATTGTTGGAATGAATATTGGGTCATTTCGAAGCGCCGCAGAAGGTTTTGGGCGGCTAGATCAAATTCACCGAGTCGCGTAACGCCTGTCATAGATGCACTGGAGCCTACGGCCTTATGCACCCATGGAGGTGGTTCTCGGACAGTATGAGCTCGACGAGTGATTTCTCGGGCCTTGATCCCTGACGACAAAAGAAGGGCGCGAGTGCGTTCAATTTCTGCTTTCCCAGGGACGCCATAGTCATTCAGGGTGTGGAGGCTGCGGTCAGAGATGCTCCAGGCGCGACTCGCGTCCGTGAGCCTGGGGCGGCTCTCCTGTGGTACTAGTGATGCTCGAGCTTTGGCGAGACCAGTGACAGGAGGGCGCGTGAGACTGAAGGGATCAGATGGATCTTTGATGCCGCGCACCATCCCGTGTTCTCTGCCTGCACTTAGAGGAGGCGCATAATCAATCGTTTTGCTGCGCTGCATAAGAATTCGGTTGGCAGGCACACGCTCACGGGGGCTACCAGGGTCTGTGGCATCGCTCGCTGTGTTCCGCCCATCCTGCCGCAGTGGCGATGTAAAAGTAGGTAACGTCGGTCTTAGATTTCTAGACGATGCAGCCTTGTCGGAATCTTCGCGAGTCGGGCGTCCAGGTTCTTCTCCAAGGCTCGCGAAACGGCGCAACAGCGCCTTCGGGCCTGACCGTCTGTCGGGCCTTGCGTCCCCATCCTCAAGATCGCTATCATCCGATGTGATAGGGGTCGCGGACGATGAATTTTTTGATACTAGAGATTGTTCTTTCTTCAGAATGAGATCTCCGACTTTGGAGACTTCGTTGCCGACAATTTCAGCGATCCTACCCGGCCCCTTGAAGATTCCGCGAAGCCCAACATCAGGAAGATATGCTCCCTTTCGTGCCCTGGATAAATCCACACGATTATTCTCATCGTCGTGATAAGCCGTAGACACAACATCCGGAAGTGGACTAGGGGCCAGCTTTGGGCCGCCTTCAACATGCTCAGGGAGGGACGTCAGGCTGTGTCGGCGCAAGGCGTCAGTATCCCGAATGTCACCCGTGATTCGGTCCCTGGGTTCTTTCTTGCTGGACTCATGGCGAGAAACAATTTTATGCCGAAGTTTGTTCTTGGTTGGCGAGGGGGAGCGGCTTGAAGGGGGAGACAAATTGGCGGCAATGCTTGGGAAATAACCAGCATAGACCGGTGAGCTCGGGGCGGTGCTATCTCTTTCTTCCAAGGACATTCGCTGCTTGTATCGATCATCCAGACTGCCCGTCGATGAAAATGACTCCTGTCTTCGATGTTTCCAGGGTCGGTCTTCTGATGTGCGGATCCGGGGGAGCCCAGACGATTGAGAGCCCGTGATCTTGCTTCTACCGTAACTTGGATTTTCCAGGATTGGAGACTTCACACGTGGTGGTCGAGATGAGGGTTTTGAGGAGACGTTTTGCGACGGCCGGTCGCTGTCTTTCCGATCATCTGTCCAGGAAGGTCGCCCTCTTTTGTCCACTGAACTGCGAACCTCTGCACTTGAAATGCTCGAAACACTGCCTCGACGTCTCCTTATCCTGTCCCAGCGCGAGCCTTCTCGTTCACTGGAGACACTTCGGCTAGTGAGACTTCGTGAATGACCTCTATATTTGTGCTTTTGTCGTCCACGACCAACGCTTTTGAATTCAGGCTCCAACGCAGGATGTAGGATGGAAAGAGAATTTCGTCGTGACGAATGGTCTGTCTCAGGGTTATCCACATCCACAGATTGTCGCGATTTGGTCGCCGCCTTAGAGTCGGCATGAGTGTCCAGCGCGAGGTCTGTTGGGCCCGAGTAAAGTTTGTTGCCATCCCTATCCACTATCCTGACCTTGTTGGCTACGTCCTCGACCCAAACAGTGTCGGCCAGAAGCTCAGCTGGAGAAAACTCCCAGTCCAGACGCGGGCGACGAGTTTTCAAGCTGTTTGTACGACTGATTCGTCTCAAGCTGGAAGGTGGTGACGTTGCTGTGTTTTCCAGATCATCGGCATCAACTGTACCCAGCTGTCGCTGGCCTTGTTGGAACGACGGAAGGCTAAGAGTCTCCATATGATCATGGACTCTCTGGCTAAACTTGTCCTCGACAGTGCTGACCCAGTCACGGACTTTGTCAACATCATGCCAGCCCTCGGCTTCGGGATCAATCGAACATTTCTCTCGATACCGGACTCTTCGATTGCGGATCATTTGAAGGGGGTTGTATGCTCGGTTGGCTTGCCGGGTGGCATTTACGGCCCTGGAATAGTCTGGGATCCCTGGACTAGAAGGTTGTGGCAGAGGAGGGAGAGAAAGAAGCAGCCGCTGATACTCATAAAAGAGATCGAAGTGTCGACGAGCTCTATCCGCTCTCGCAATAGTGCTCTCCGAAAACTCGTAAGCTCGATGGTCATCGACTACCGTAGCAGGCAGTAAGCTTAGGACGGGAAACTTCATGCCCATTTGCGTTGCTTGGTTTGCACCTGGCTCGGCCACAGGAGCAGCCGGTTGAGAGACGGCTGAGGGTCTCCGTCCAACTGAGCCCTGGGCCAGGCCCGAAGCAGTTCTCCTTCGCGACTCATTTAGATTCAACGCCAAGGTGACGATCTGGAGAGAGTCGCGGTCGAGCGCGAGAGAAGTCCGGTCCACATCATTCGTCCTGGCCTCGGGCTGTGTCAAGGTTGCGGAGGGTTGTACATCAGGTGGAGATGTCGGAGTCTGCTGGACCGTTCCCGGTGTCGTTCGGCCGGTTGTAGAAGGTGCCTCGGACGAAGAGTTTTTATGTCGGCTCCACGGAAATCGTGATCGTTTTTTGGGCACGGCAATATCGGGGTCGGGAGCAGTATGGCGCTTCTCTGTACGCGGCTCGGACGGCGCAGGCCGGTACGAGCTCACTCTGGCACTTTGGGTCCGAGGCAGGAGCGGAGAATCTAGCAGAAAGCTGCCCGAGTTTTGCGTCCTATGCTGACCCGAGATTCTCCTTCTATCCCCTTCGCGAGAGCTGCTCCCGAGGGTGCTGCCTTCCAGGGTCCCGCTTGCTCGGTCGTCGGTCATCTGGGGAGCTGCGCGTCGAAACGACCCGCCTCCGGACCGGCTCGGGGAGGCATTTCGACGAAGGGAGTCGCGGGGTGATGCATCTGTTGGAGGCATCGAATATCGTTCGCTCGGCTGGTTGGGTCGGCGCGACATCGGAGCTGCGGGGAGGGCTAGGCACGCAGCTGGGTGGCCAAGCCCGACTGGGAAGCTATTGCTGGTGCTCGACGGTGAGGTACGAGCATGAAGGCGAGCGTCAGGGAGCTTGGGGTGTCTCTGGGGAAGTGGAAACAGCAAAGGGAATGGCAAGCTCCAGTCTAGACCGCGTCAGGGCCGGGCTTATGTAATACTCTTCAGGCTCCAGGGATATGGGGGTGGGCACTGTTGGATGAAGTGACCCTTTCAAGATCATAGAACTAGATTTGCTGAGACCATTGCAGTTACCCATAGTCCCACATTCGCATTCAAGCTAGTATTTGGATAGCAACGTTGCCCAGTGGGAACTCCGATACCACCCACCACTTACATGGGCAACTATATATATCCACTGCCAACATAGGAAAATCTAGCATTTGGGTCTAACCACACAGAGTTACAACTAAAGGTACAATTCCTGTAGACAAAATGAAGATATACAGGATAAATCCAAGCCAACACCGCTTGGCACATGCGTTTACTCCACCCGCAAGCACTGGAGCCGGGCCTCAGCCTCGATGACCTATAAAAGAGATAGTGTTAGCCAGGTGAAAGTAGATTTGAGACAGGCAAGAGCTCACCTCGAGTGCCTGCTTGACCTCCAGAACTCTGCGAACATCGGCCAGCCAATCCTTGCTCAGGATCTTGGCCCAGCCCTGGAGTGTGTTCATCTCACGGGCCGCAGCATCCACATTGCCCTCCTCCAGCAGGGTCTCCGTTCGGACGAGAATGCTCTCCACGTCATCACCACCTGCAAGGCCGTCCTTCTTGAACATAACCTTGCTCAGCATCAAGCTAGCGGCGTGGCTGGCGATACCTGCGTCCTCGGGAAGCAAGCTAGCCTTGCGGACCTCGCTGGCCACGCGGCGGAAACGCTCGACGATCTGCGCAGTCGATGGGATGCCGCGCTGGTAGGCGGTGGGATTGATGGAGGCAATGGCAGCATCGACAACGGGGTCATCGGCAGCCAGCTCCTTCACGGCAACCAGTTCACGGACAAATGGCCGCGGGGTCTCGGCGCGCTCGAGAACGCTGCGGACAGCATCCACAGCGACCTGGAGCTGCTGGGTCTTGAGGTTGGTGTCAATGACATGGCTCCAGCCCGAAGTCAGCTGCTCAAGCTCATTGATGTTGGCAGTAAGTTCATCCAGCTTGCTGAGACGGCCCTCGCGCTCACGCTCAACTAGATCCTTGACATCGTGGACGTATTTGCGGTTGAGCTCAATGGCCTGCTCCACCAGCTCGTTCTGCAGGCGCTGTTCAGCGATTTCCTGGGCGCGCTGGAGTTCGGTCTTGATTTTTTCCTGGTAAGCGAGAGCGAGCTTCTCACGCTCGACCTCAAACTCCTCCCGATACTGGGCGGCTTCGGTACTGCGCATGTCCTCGAAGCGGCGGATCAGTTCCCGTGCCGATTCGTCAAAAGTGGAATGAGCTTTGTTGATCTCCTCTTGAGCGGCCTTCTGGGCATCACTGCGGAGAGCCGAAATCTTCTCGCCAATCTTCTGCAGCTCCTCTTTAGCCTTGGCGATCGGCGCGGAGTACTTTCCGGCGTTCTCATCGGCGCTGATCACAGTGACAATGTCGTTGAAGGTCTTGACCAACTCTTGAACCACGCCTTCATCATTACCTTGCATCTGCAACAGTTCGATGGTGCCAGCAGAAACAGCTGGCTGTCTAGGCTCCTCCAGGGAAACAGGCTTCTTCTCCTCATTCTCAGCAGGCTTAGTCTCCTTCTTGCTCTTCTTAGCCTTCTCATCCTTGGCCTTCTGAACTGCAGCATTCCGCTGCTCAGGCTTGGCCGCTTCGGTAAGTCCATCTTGGGCACTCATGTGAGGATCCTTCTTCGAAACGTCGGCACCAGACTCTTCGACATCAGCGACCTTCCAAGAGAGGCCACTCTTGCTGGCGATAGTGATCGGCTTTCCATCTTCCCGGGGTGTACCGTGGAGGCGGTTCAAGTGGCGGGAGGCATTGGGGAACCGGCGGTAGAAGTCACGCTCCTCGAAGTAAAGAACGCACTCCTCACCATACGGCACGTATTCGGTAAAGAAATCGTGGAAATTGTCGGACTTCAAGGCTAGGAAGACGCTTCCACCATAAGCCAAGCCAGAGGTGAGAATCAAATAAGTCAGGAATCGACGGAAGCGACCGGATTTGCGAGGCGCAGGTGTTTGTGGTGACGGTGGGACATTGGGTTCTAAAAAGACGTCAAAATAAAGACACAATTGGCACACGAAGGTTCAACAATGGGTGCTGATGTACCTTGTTGTTCACCGGCCTTGGCCAAGGTCTCAGGCGGGACAGTCGATGTAGAGGAAGGAGAGGCAGGCGTGACACCACCGGTGTTCGGCGGTTTGGAATCGGCGAAGAATCGCTGCAGCTATTAGCAGAGAAGCAATAAAGGGCGATCACGCGAGAAGAGATTCGTACCTGACCGGACAGCCGGCTACTGGCCCCGGCTCTGGAGAGCCATTGTGGTGCGACGCGCTGGCGAGCAGAGTACGACAAGAGATGCCGACTCGGGGAAATTGAAGACCGCAGCATGACGAGCCGCACAATCGCCGACGATTGGAGGGAGTGGAGGGGAAAAGGTGTAAGGGAGAGAAAGATGATGCTGCCCTGCGATCGGTCCCGATCCTGCGGGCGGTCAAGGCCGGCAGTGACTACTCTTTTATTGCACTTTGGCACGCCAGGTTTTTGAAGAGGGAATTGCCGGGTTGCATCACGAAGCTATCTAGTTGGATTGATCTTTATTACATGAATCTGTCCTATTTCTGCTTTTGCTAGGAATAATAAGAACATAACCCGCTATTTGCGTACCGGCAACTCCGTAGCCATGAAGATAAATCACGCAAGAAGCAACCCGCTAAGAAGACAAACACCACACAAAGAAGTGATCATATAACTTAATTCCCAGAGAATGAAATCTAAAAATGCTAAACCTATTTTCCTTGTCTAAGTGTATGCTGGATCCTTATACCCTTGCAGCTAAAGCAGGTAGAGGACTTAGTGTAATTCAATTCTGTCCGGCGGTCCATCATTCCTGAGTTACTCCCGACCTATGAACTAACTTGAAAAGACCTGCATAAAATCTCCTATGTTTCCTACTGCATCAATCGCGCTCGAAAGATCTGATAGTGTAGGATTTTGAGCACCGCCCGGTGCCTCTGGATCGACAACATCCTCCTCCAGCTCCTCATCCGTCGTTATACCTCTGGGTCGTGGGACGAGATCAATTTCACATTTAACCTCTGCTATTTTTTCTTGGTTTAAGCCCCGAAGCACCATTTCCACAGCAATATTCCACTCCATGTACAAATTGTACGTTTTGAAAGTTGGAATGCAAGAACGTGGGATGTTGAAAGTCACTTGACACGGCACATTTTGATATGATTTGCCATCTTCTGCAGGGTTGAAAAGATGTTTTGTTGCCCAGGTCTTACTATCTGATGGACTTCCTAGTAACTGGAGCGTGGACATTAGACTTTCAAAGGAGGACCTTCGAAGAAGACGTGCTTGCCTTTTACTATATCAAAGGGATTTTTGGACCCTCTGTCCGATATACCGAACCCCACGAAGAATCACCAATACCAAAAGACCTTCTATGCAAGCACGAATCAAAACTGCACTCGCACGCCAAATATCCCTCCCATCGGACTCCCCAGCGGCATCCTTAAGTCCCTCCAAATAAGACTCTATTATTAAAGCCGCAAAGCAGAAATAGAATCCAAGAGACGCGCCAAGGATACGCGCGTTTCTATCTTCCCTGGTCCGGTGATCAAACGGAACAGGCTGAGAGGGAGTTTGATCATGCATCTGTCGGTTGTGTGTGTCTGGAACAAATTTTGGCAAACCTTGTAGGATCAATTGGCCAAATAGATAGCCCAGGTAGGCTCCTGAGAGATATATCACAGCAATGACGGCAGTGAGAGTTATACAGGCAATGGCAATCGCCCCCGCGATCTTGATCATTTGTGTTGGAATATCCATAATTTATGAAAAGTAGGGAGCATTCAAGAAGATCCTGAAATTTAAAGGTATGAAATAAGACAGGAGACTAATCGGGGCCAGACTGTATTATGATAAACAGGACAGAACAGCGGGCCCTAGCAGGCCCTGGTAGAGGGAGGCTCGTGGGGGCGAAAGGTAACTGGAGTCTGAACTCGGACCACACACCAGAACCATCGATGTTCACACAGCCTGAATCCACGCTTTCGATAATGCGTCCTGAACAATCACCTCCGTAAAATGCGAAAGCTGCTGAACGTTAGCAATGATCCATACTACAAGAGAACAAAATGAAGGGATTAAAGATGACATTGCTTATAATACGCTGTTCTGAAAGAATTCGTGCTCGGCAAGAATATGTTATAGTCTCAGAGCATCAAAGGTGAATAATAGCACACGTCCGGAAGTACAATCAGAAACTATTGTCCATAGCGGCATAGCAGAAGTATGTGGTTGGTACTTCGATGGTTGTCGACCTACCTACTAACTAATATCCGATAGTAGAGATCCGTTAGTGGTTCTGAGATCTACGGAGGATGAACTAAAACTGTGACGATTTATATATTTCTAGGTGCTAACAGCAGGTTGATTCAGAACAGCCTTCGGGAGGGAATAATAGAATACAGGAGGAATGGTGGTAAGCGATACAGAAACATATAACACTATACCGGAGAACAACATAGGAGACAAGTAGGCGGCAAAGACCATGAGAATGAAGAATGGAAAAGGGGCTAAAGTAAGGTGTGAAGCGGGCAGAATTATTCGACCCTAGTCTTTCCTTCTTCGAGGAAGACCAAGCGAGCGTTGCTGATTCCCCGCTGGTGTCGGCGAGAAGGAAGCCACTTGCCGACGAGAGGGTCAGTCCGGGCTTTGAGAAGAGCATCCTGGTAGCCTTCGGCGCCAGCGACGGGCGTGTTGAGCTTGGGCCAGTTCACATAGAGCATTCCATGTGCGTGGATGAAGCGGAAAGTGTAGGCGCCAACAAACAGCCAAAAGACCACAAACAGACGGAGCGGCCAAACTGCAGCATCGGGCAGCTGCCGGGTAAAGGTGGCAACCAGAACCATGAACACACTCGCAGCGAACGCATACGGCAATGCTTGGATGATGAGCGGTCGGTTGTCCACAAATAGTTGGAAGTTGCCAAACGTCGAGTCCGGGGGAAGATAGGTGCCCAGGAACACGTCGAATCCGTCTTGGCGGGGACCATCCATGAAGTTGTTGCGCACATAACGAGTGATGGAATTGTTTAGGTCCTGCAGCATTCCGACCCGCGTGCGCTTGCCAGTGCGAGTGAAATCAGTCTTCAGGGCACCGGTACCAGAGTAGGACTTGGAGACCACGTCCGCATTATCCGCCCAGATATTGCGGAACAGACTCTCGAACTCCCGGTCGTCGTTGGCCGTTTCTCCCGGGCGAAGTACACCGGCATCCATGAGCTGCCGCGTCACCGCCCAGCGGCCGAGCATGCTTTGCACAACATTGGTGCGATCCAGGCAATCCATGCAGTTGGTGCGGACAACGCTCGATTGCGTTGACCGAATGTCCAGCTGACCACCGGGTGCTCCTGGATGCTCCACTCCCCGGAAGTAGCCGCCCTGAGACAGTCCATCATTCAAACGATTCATGAGCAGTTCAGCACGATGCCACTGGAGCCCCTTGGTTTCGTTGTGGAAGTCAAAGTACACGTAGTGGAGATGGTCCATCTCGTTCTGCTTCAGACCTGGTTCCAAGACATGCGTCTTCTCGGGGGATTTCTCATCAGCCTCGGTGGTTTCGTGGGAGGAAGTGACCAGTGTGCGAACCAGCTGCTCGTATGCGCTTTTGACGCGTTCCTCCCGGCCTTTCTGGTTGACCAGGTTGACCAAATAATTCTCGCCATACAGGCGAATCTGCTCGGAGAAATGCTTGCGGGCAGCTTCCACGGCAGTTTCAACACCACGAACCTGTAGCTTCGGCGTGTATTGAAGGTTGTTGACCTCGGCCCAGAACACCGGGACACTCCCTCGAGTTTGCACGAAGGAGTAAAGCTGTAGGTCCTGACCCGCCTTGCCATTGGTCATCGATTGCCCACCCGCAAAGCCGGACAGTCCACCAGTAGAATCATTCAGAATGACAATCTGCTCCGTCTCGTTGTAATTTGAAACATGTCCTTGCTCATCAATCCCACGGGAGAAGTATCGCGTGCCTCCGCGGTGTCTGGATCGCCGGGTGATCAGGGCGAACGTGAAGGGGGTTGACTTGACTCGCGCGGCCGTAATGCGCAGCATGCCAAACATCACTGGCAGGATGTACGGATCGGCTCCTGGCTGCGGGCCGTAGCGGATTCCACTCGTGTCATTAGCGCCTTGACTAAAGTCGATCAGATCAGATTGAATGAAGCGGTTCCAGAAGAAACGGTCGTCAGCGGTCTTCCACATGGGCAGATTGGGCGCGCCTTGGGATTGTCGCTGGAAACTGTTGGTCAAATCAAGGGAGTAGGAGAAGTACATGGGACCGGTGCGAAGTTGGTCTTTCAACAGTGCCAGGTATGTATCCTCGTCGGTGTCGTGGAGAGGTCGTTCGCGCAGGGGCAGAAACTCGGTTCCGGCAACTTTGTAGACCATATGGCCGCGCAAGCGTCCCATCGGTTGGGCCTTGGTGATAATTATGATATACTTGTCTATTTCGGGGGGATGGGGTCAGCATGCGTGTGCTGTCACCTTGTTCTGCGTCCAACTTACCCAGCTTGAGCTTGATCATTCCCAAAATACCTGCGATGCTGGAAATGCGCTTTGCACCCGACAAAGGGCCATTGTTCAGGCGCAAGTCGCCGGTGGGGCGCTCGACCACGAGCGTTGGGGATTGAGGCGAGGAAGGGGACGTAAAGGCGTAGTGGGAAGGCGAGGCGTGGAGATTAATATCCCGGAACGGGAGAATAGGAGGCGCCATTGCGCCGAGTGGGGGAGATGTGAAAACAGAGAGAGCGTGACGGTGGTTGTGGAAAGAAAGAGCGAGTGGGTTCAGCGTATGAGTTCAGCGTATGATCGAAGACACGGGGACGCCAGGCACACATGATTTAAGGGACCGAGGAAGGTCTCCAGTCCCCAGCATGAAGTACCAGGTACCTGCACCCACAGCGACCAGCAGGCCACTTGACTGGTACTGGATACCTGTGCGACACGCCACACACACCGCCCCGCCGCAGAGTGGCTGGGCCTTCCGTCATCAACTATTCCGGCTGCCTTCCACTACTACGCACTCACCTTCTCCCTCATCCAAACCCCCCCCTAACGCCACCCTGCTCTGTCTTTGGCCGTGCGGTCTTTGATAGGGACGTTCCTCGCTGATATTGAATCTCCTCGTATCGCCCTGTCTCTCGCTCCGTCGTCTTTGCTTCGCGCCCGTTGCCGACCGCTCTCCTGATCAGCAGCCATGGCTTCCAGACAACCAGCAGGAGCCCGTCCCGGCGCGCGGTTCGCCCAGTTCAAGCTTGTTTTGCTCGGTAGGTCATCCTATGAGTCCTAGCCGTCGTCCTGGCTGAAAAGATTGCTAACATCTTCCTGTTCCGTCTCCCCAGGAGAGTCTGCCGTTGGAAAGGTTCGTGATCGTTGACTGCATTATTTTTTGGTCGGTCGCTAACATCCTTGCTATCTTCCAGAGCTCTCTAGTGCTGCGATTTGTGAAAGTGAGTCCCTGACCATCGCCAGCCGAGACACGAAGTGCTAACTGCGCAGGATCAATTCGATGATTACCGGGAGTCGACGATCGGCGCCGCTTTCCTGACACAGACTATCTCGCTCGACGACAGCACCACCGTCAAGTTTGAAATCTGGGATACTGCTGGCCAGGAACGATACAAGTCATTGGCTCCGATGTATTATCGGAATGCCAACTGTGCTGTCGTTGTCTATGACATCACGCAGGCTGTATGCTCCCACTTCACTGCCTTTTCTGTTCCGGAATTGAAGCTAACTTGCTGGATGATATGATAGTCGTCGCTGGACAAGGCCAAGTCGTGGGTGAAGGAGCTTCAGCGCCAAGCAAATGAGAATATTGTGATCGCGCTCGCCGGCAACAAACTCGATTTGGTCGACGAGAGCCCAGATAAGCGGGCCATTCCCACCGCCGATGCCGAAGCCTATGCCCGCGAGGCGGGTCTGCTTTTCTTCGAAACATCGGCCAAGTCTGCGACCAATGTCAAGGAACTCTTCACAGCCATCGCCAAGAAGCTGCCGCTCGACCAGGCCGGCCCGCGGAACCTTCGGACGACCCCACGACCCGGCGTGGACTTGCGCCCCGAGACACCTGGAACCCAAGGCGCCGGTGCCTGCAACTGCTAAACGATAATCACCCTTTTCTCTTCCGCAATTGGCCGTGCGAAGCTGGTCGATTTCTTGTGACTTTTCCTCCCGCCACACAGCTTCTGGCCCGGGCTAGGGTTGCGTTCTCCCACCACTCCCTCGAGCTTGAATCTGCTCCTGCCTCCCATCCAACCGTCTCGGTGCTCCTCCTTTGATTTCCTTGTCCTTGCTCGCCTGCCCAACCGAGCTTTGCTGGGTCTGCCGCCGGTAGATTGATTCTCTCATTCGCCCAAGGACATATGGAATGTGGCTTTAGATATGACGCGGCAGGGTTTCCCTGTGTTTTTTTTGTTCCTCCCGCTCCACCTGTACTCCTGTTCTGTTTCCACCTGGCGTCTGCATCTGCTTCCTCTCCTAGGTTCCGCTTTGGGCTGAATTCATACTACATTTATTACTTTTCACTTTGTCTCTGTCTCGCCGGACCCTAGTATGCTCGACATAATACACTGCTTCACTTGTATGACAAGGAATCTGGCTCTAGGACCTGAACTGTATAGATGATCACGTGAGTTTGTGCTCAACTTTTGGTTTCCCGCGGGCAAGTCAGTGCATCACTCCACTTCAATTCTTATCATCGGCTGCCCGGGGTTTCTTTGCGCAACAACCCCCCCAGCTTCCTGATCGCCTGGGTTTCAATTGTCGATGCGAAGCCTTTGGCGAGCTCTCTATTCCTGGCAATATTGTCCACGGCGCCGAGTCTCTACGTACTCGCCCGCCATGGCTCGTACATATGAGGTACGGCTCGTAGATTGTCGGTTGGGCTGGGAGTTACTGACATTGAATCTATGCAGGCTGCGATTACAGCGCTCAATTCCCTCCAAACCAACTATGCCATCGTGGAGGAGCTGCGGAAAGCCAAATCGCGGGACGAAATTAACGAGCGCTCCATCCCGGAGATGGTGGAATGGCTCGAGCGCATTGGATACAAGGTATGCCGATCTGCCTTTAATCGGAGCTCATGTTGATCTTGTTTGTTTCGTTCTAGCCAGCCGATCTGAACCAGTTGAACCTTGTCCATGTCGCCGGCACCAAAGGCAAAGGTTCCACCTCCGCGTTTATCTCCTCGATTCTCTCCCAATATACCAAGCCGGAGCTAGGTCAATCGGCGCCGGCGATTCACAAGGTTGGACTCTACACCTCTCCGCACCTGCGTTTCGCCCGCGAGCGCATCAAGATCGATAATACCCCGTTATCCGAAGAACAATTCGCGCGTTACTTCTTCGAGGTATGGGATCGGCTTGAGGAAACCGCCAAATCGGCAGGACAGAACCCCACTGCGCCGGGTACCAAGCCTCAATATTTCCGCTACTTGACCCTGATGGCGTTCCACACTTATATCAGGGAAGGCGTCAATGCAGCAGTAATTGAGTGTGGAATTGGAGGGCAGTACGATTGCACGAATGTGATTGAACAACCCAAGGTGGCCGCCATAACAAGCCTTGGTATCGACCACACCGCGCTATTGGGAACCACAATCGAAAACATCGCATGGCACAAAGGCGGTATTATCAAACCTGGCGTACGAGTATTTACTGCACCGCAAGCTCTCAGCGCGGAGAAAGTCCTGACCCAGCGCGCTGAGGAGAAAGGCGCCCAGCTGGATGTGGTGCTGGGCCATCCCGAACTGCTTGCCGATGGCAGTCAAGTCAAGCCTGGTCTGGCGGGTGACTTCCAGTATACGAATGCCGCCTTGGCTGTTGCAACCGCGGCGGAGTTTTTGAGGAAAATCGGCGTTGCCGGCATCCCCAAGAATATGTCGTCCGAGTCTCTACCCCCGAAATTCAAGAAGGGTCTGGAGGAAACCCGTCTCGGCGGCCGTTGTGAAACTCGGACTGAAAAGAACGTGGCTTGGTACATCGACGGCGGCCACACGCTGGAGAGTATCCGGCTGGCGGGCTCATGGTTCGCGTCCCGAATCCAGGCGGACTCCTCCTCGAGCGACATGGCGACCAAAAAGCCGAGGATCTTGATCTTCAACCAACAGACCCGCGACAGCACGGCTCTTGCCCGCGCGCTGCACGAGACGCTGGCCCTAGCGCTTGGATCCACCTCCCCATTCACCCACGCGGTGTTCTGTACCAATATCACCTACAAGCAAGCGGGCTACCGGCCGGATTTGGTCAGCATGAACACCAACGCCGACGACGTCGAGCTGCTGCGCGTGCAGAAGTCCCTTGCGGAGGCGTGGAATTCGAAGGACCCCCAGGCGCAGGTGCAGGTGTTCAGCACGATTGAGGAGGCTGTGGACTTTGCGCGCGAGGTAGCCGCTGCGGCGCGCAAGGATTTGCCTGAGGAGCAGTCGCCCGTCATGACTTTTGTCACCGGCAGTCTGCATCTGGTGGGCGGTTTCCTGGATGTGGTTGAGACCAAGCCATGCCCGTGAGTCAACACATCATCAGAAGGCGGTGTTTTGGGATTTCAACAATTCTTCCGGCGATACCCTGTGAATAGACTGAGTAGATAAATCAATAATCATAAACATAACTCTCGTGGAATATACTCTGTAGTCGCCTATCGTCGGTTGGGTGATCAGTGGGGCCAACCCGTCACCAAATCCTACTCTGCCAACTAACTAAACTGAAACTCTCTTCCTTCCTCTCTCCCTTCCCCCCTCGCCCGCCTGGTTCGCCCTGCCATTCTTCTCGCTCACCATGTCGGACTCAAATGACTCAAAGGGGAAGAAACCCATGCGTCCAGAGGACGAAGCCAACCCCAAGCCCGTTGGCGGGGCCGAGGCAGACACTGGTAGGACTGATTCTCTGCACCCGCGATTGCGCGATGCGATAACTGACATAACGCCTCTCCCTAGACGAGACTCCTTCCTCCGGTACGACGAAGAAAATCCCCGCCAAAGTGGTCGAGTCAATGCTGGAACAGAACCCAGCACTGAAGAAAGAGCTCGCCGCGATGGACAAGAATAAGGCCGCGGAGGCGCTGCAGAACATGGATATCTCACAATTACTCACTGGACTGGCGCTGGGAGGCAAGAACCAAAAGGATATGGCGTCGTACAAGTTCTGGCAGACTCAGCCCGTGCCTCACTTCGAAGACCAGGGCCGCCAGAAGCAGGTGACCCAGGGCCCGATCAAGAGGATCAACCCCGACGAAGTGTCCAAGACGCCGGACCCGCTGCTGGAGGGATTCGAGTGGTGCACCCTAGATCTGACCAACACCGAGGAGCTCAAGGAACTCTACGAGCTGCTGAACAACCACTACGTCGAGGATGACAATGCCATGTTCCGATTCAGCTATTCGCAGTCGTTCCTGCACTGGGCCCTGATGTCTCCCGGCTGGAAGAAGGAATGGCACGTCGGAGTGCGCGCCACCAAGTCCCGCAAGCTGGTTGCCTCGATCTGCGGTGTCCCCACGGAGCTGCGCGTGCGCGGCGAGCGCATCAAGGTCACCGAGATCAACTTCCTCTGTATCCACAAGAAGCTGCGCTCGAAGCGGTTGACCCCGGTCCTGATCAAAGAGATCACCCGGCGCTGCTACATCAATGGCATCTTCCAGGCCATCTACACCGGTGGCATCATCCTGCCCACTCCCGTCAGCTCCTGCCGGTACTACCACCGCGCGCTGGACTGGCTGAAGCTCTACGAAGTCGGCTTCTCGCCCCTGCCTCATGGCTCGACCAAGGCTCGCCAGATCACCAAAAACCACCTGCCCAACCAGACCGCCATGCCCGGTCTGCGGCCCATGGAAGCCAAAGACATCGACGCTGTCTTTGACTTGCTGGAGCGGTACATGCGGCGGTTCCAGCTCAACCAGGCCTTCACGCGCGAGGAGATCGACCACTGGCTGGTGCACAAGGATCTTCCCGCGCAGGATCAGGTCGTCTGGTCGTATGTGGTGGAGGATCCGGAGACGCACAAGATCACAGACTTTGTCTCGTTCTACAACCTCGAGTCCACGGTCATCGATAACCCCAAGCACAAGGTGGTGCGCGCAGCGTACCTGTACTACTACGCGACCGAAACGGCATTCACGGAGGACACTAAGGCGCTCAAAAAGCAGCTGCTGGCGCTGATCAACGACGCCCTCATTCTGGCCAAGAAGGTATCTACTATCCCCCAACACCGGTATTGCTATACTGACCTATTCAGGCCCAATTCGACGTGTTCAACGCCCTTACACTGCACGACAACCCGCTGTTCCTGGAGCAGCTCAAGTTCGGGGCGGGCGATGGGCAGCTCCATTTCTATCTGTACAACTACCGCGCGGCGCCGGTGCCGGGAGGGATCAACGACAAGAACCTGCCGGATGAGAAGCGTATGGGCGGCGTTGGGATTGTCATGCTTTAAAATGATAGCGGCTGGCCGGCTAACTGCCAAGAGGGTTAACCGAGTCAAATAGTTCACCAACTAGTCAATTCAACGCCCAAGTACATACCAGGTAGTTGCTGCCTCAGGCACAAATACCGTCACATGTCCCTCCACGTCGGTCGAGCTGTAACCGCAACAACCTACATTACATACTCCTCTTCGCGTACTTTTTGACTTGTACTCACTCGACTTTGCAAATCCCTCGTATTGCTCTTATTTCTCACCGTTACTCTTGACACCGTCCCTGTAGCAGCCACATGCCCAGGCCCATCATTGTCACCACTAGCTTCGACCGCTGCTTGCCTGGACCAGCGGCGCTGTCATCTCGCGCCTTGACCTGAACAATGGGCGCAGGCCAGTCAGCGGAGCTCGAGCATGGGTCATCCCCAGGTCAGTCGATGCTCCCTTTGCCACCTGCTCATAAAACATATCATGCGACCCCGTGGACCCTATGCGACCTTTCCCCCGCAAATATCCATATATCCCCACCCAATATCTAATCCCGTCAGCAGAGGAACTAAGCTACATCCTTGCCGAACGCTTCGCGACAAGATGCTTCACGCCGCTAGAACTCACCCATTTTAAAGACAACTTCTTCTTCCGCGCCTCCGAGCAGGGCGGCCTGCGCTACTGGAACGAGAAGACCCTCTCCGACTTCCTGGGCATTCCCGATGGCAGCCACTCCGCCGTGCACCAGTACCCGCTCGACGCGGGCCCGGTTCTCTTCCGCATGGTCTCGTATCTAGGCGCCTTTCCGTTCCAGAGTACTATGGCGCCCAGCGTGCTCACTTTTGAGGCCATGGTTAAGGTTGTCGTGCTGCTCACGGAGCGGTATGGGAAAGTTCTGAAGCGGGGGCGCCAGGATCGGATCAAGTTGCTTTTTGGGAGCTTGGCAGATGTGGGGAGGAAGGATCTGGGGTCTTCGCCTGATCGGGAGGCGCAGAAGGAAGGAGGAGATGATAGTAGTGTCGGGGAGGAAGTGGATGGATCGGCTGCTGCAAACTCTCATGCACCTGGTTTCGCGGTCGATGAGCCTGCTAATGAGGAGTATGACGAGGATGATGAAGATGATGATCTGGCGCTTGCGGCGTTGGAGTCGCTGGACGCAATTGAGGTGTTTAAACATGATCACCGCATTGACAAGACGGTCTATGAAACGCGCATCTCGATCGACACCTTTCGCCGACTGCTCATGCTATTACTGGCCATTGCGCCTTTAAATTCGCTTGGATCCGTTCAGACTTTTATGTCGGATTTGCGTGAAGAACGGCTGGACGACATCAAGAAGCAGGCCGACAATATCATCGCAGCCTTTTCCCCAAAGCAACACGACGGCGGAATCTCCTACAAGGCGTTCGCCAGAACGATCACGTCTTCGCTGCCCTATCTCTTCGATCCATTGACTCCGCTCTTCGAACACCTTCTCTTCAGCAAGAATCTGGATTTCTCCAAAAGACGGCAGACGGGAGCTTCACTCCCTATCCAAGATGCAATGGAGAAGAAAGAAGCATCTCCTCCGCCACCATCACCACTCCCATCAATCATGCTCCCCGGCAGCTTCGAGTCAGGCATTCTCAACCCAGCTCTAACATCACACCTTTCTTTCTTCCTCTCATCCACCTCCCCGTCCCTGAACCTCTTCCGCAGCGGTATCCGCTTGCACCCTGTCTTCTCAACAATCGCCCACGGCTCCTCTCTCACCTCCTTCTCCCACCACGTCCTAACCTGGCAATCCGCCACCCTCCTCGTCCTCCACGGCGCACCCCAAGACTCATCCTCATCCGCCTCTAGCACCGACCTCGTCACTTTAGGTGCCTATCTCCCCCAACCATGGAAATCCTCCTCTTCCCACAGCAGCACATCAACCACCACCGCCTCAGACCCACCACCCGTTCTATTCCAACTATCCCCAACCCACCTGCTCCTCCAGGGCAACACTTCACCCTCGATAACCCAAAAATCAAACCTCCCTCCGGCTTATTTCTCCACGCACACCGGCATAGCGCTCGGCTGCCAAATCCCCCCGTCCTCACGAAGCCACCACGCTCAACCGACCCCACACGGTGCAGGCAGTCTCTCGATAGACGTGAATCTCGAAACAGCAGATTTCAGCGCTCTGCCAGTCGGTCACGACGGCGTCTTCTTGCCGTCCGGTACGGCTTCTCTGCTTGACGAGCCCGTCAAAACTAGACTGGACATCTACGCTCTCGAGGTGTGGGGGGTTCTCCCGGACCCGGAACAGTCTTCGACGGAGGAGTTGAATGCCGTGGAGACCCAGCGCCGTAAGTGGGAATTCGAGGCGCGGGAGGCGGAGAGGAGACGCAATATTAATCTCAAGGCTGGGGTGGGTGATTCGAATCGCGAGAGTGCGAGGTGGTTGTTGGAGACGGCGGGGATTATTGGGGATCAGCAAGGTGGAAGGCCTGGGGGGAGTGTGTGATTACTGTATTGGTTGGGAGAAAATTCAAGGGTTTTGTGTATCTCGATGTGGTTGATGATAGTGTTGGGTGGCTGTCTTTTCTATAGATACAATCCAATCAAGCCCCCATCGGCGGCAGTCCATCCGGCGCGCCATAAAAGTCCATCAAATCCTCCTCCTCTTCCTCCTCCTCCATCTCAAGAGGGAATTGATCAACCTCGGACTCCTCACCAGCCAATTTACTACCATGCCGAAGATTAAGAGAAGCACGGCTGCGACTAGCACTAGCACCAGCGGGTGCTGAACCGGACACCGGTGTGCCACGGTTCTCCTCGGCAAAGACGGCGGGGTCGACTTTCTCGCGCGGCAGTCGATTAGCGAGGAATCCATCTGGAGCGCGCTCAGCGCGGTCCATGACCTCGTTCATGTACTTGCGGACTTCGTCGGCGGGCTTGACGACACGAGAGAGAGGTTCCAAGATTTTGGGGTTCGAGGCGTGGATGCGGAATGTGACGGGCTGCCAGTATTCTTTCAAGTTTGCCTCGTTTGGCGTGGTGGCCGTAGTGGCCGTGTTGGAGTCGCCAGCTGGTGTTCCGGGTTCAGGTTTGGTGTCTGTGTTATTATTGTCTGGCGGCTTCACCGCATCGGGTTTCTGGGGCGTGTCCGTAGAAGAAGGGGCAGTTGCTTGGGTGGCAGCGCCATTCGCGTCCTTCTCTGCACCTTTGCCCTTCTTATCGCCCTTCTTTGATTTCCCTTTACCCTTGTTGTTGCCGGTCTCCGAAGGGGTTTCGAGGGGGAACGGTGTGTTGGGATCAACCTTTCGAACAACCAAGAACGAGGCGAGCACAGTGTTTTCGCTTGGTATCCACTCCAAGATCGAATATTCGGGGAACAGGTAACGGTCACCGGAGCCTGCATGGCCCGACGTACTGCTTCCGTATGGGGTCAATGGGGACGTGAATTCGAAGACGATGGCTTTGTAGTTTACTCGTGGAGGTGGCAATGGAGCCGTGGGTCGATAATATTGGCTCGGTGAGCCATACTGTGGAGGACGAGACTGAATTGGAGCAGAACCACTGTGTGGAGCTTGTTGTTGGGGAGGATATGGTGGTCCCGGCCGGGCCCCAGCCTGCTGGACATTACCTTGCGGTGTCCCTGGCGCGGGACTCTGTTGCTGAGATCCTGTGGCTGAGACGGGGGTGCTGGAAGGAGCACTTGCTGTAGGCGGTGCTGCGGCAGCTGGTTCTTGCTTGACGGTAGTCGAGTCAGAGGCACTTTGAGTCCCATTCGAAGGCTGAGTGGACGGCGTTTGCGCTGGAGTCTGAGGCTTATCTGCCGGTTTCGGAGTCTGTTGTGGCTTAGAGTCAGGTGCGGGTGGTGGCGCTTGGGATTTTGGTTTTTGTTCGGGTTCCTTAGACGGAGTTGGAGCTTGAGCCTTTGAGTTCGGCTGCTGCGAGGGCTTCTCAGGTGGGTTTACATCACTTGGGGTATTCTGTCCCGACTGAGACGGCGGAGGTTGCGACCCAGAGGTTGACTGTGCCGGCGACCCCTGCGGCTGAACAGGAGTCCCACTCTGTCTTTGTTCCCGTTGCTCTCTTGCTTTGATGATGGCATTGAGCTCGTCAATATGTGCCTGAAAAGCGCGGAGTTGCTCCTGCGTCGCCTGGCTGGAAGCTACCACTCGCATCAACGCCTTGAGTTCGGGATCGGCTGCTGCTCGGGTTGCAAGCATCTGAATGACTGGGTCAGGGCTCGGTTTGGCGGGCTGCCCGTTTTGCTGTGGTGGTCGATGTCCGCCCTGAGAGGATGGCTGTGGGCGTTGCTGGGATGGATGGGCGTGATTGGCGGGATACCCCTGTGGTGGACGATTGGCAGGGGCCGGCGAGTACGGAGGCCGTTTCTGCGGGTAGGCGGATGGAGGGTAGGATGGCTGGAACTGTTGGAAGCTCCCGGGAGGGCCGTAGTGGACCATCGGGCGCTGCTGCGGCGCGTACTGCATCGGCGGCGCGTTGGGGTCTTTGACCGTGTATATCATCGCATCGAAAAGATGAGGCCCGACGGTGACGTCGCATGGTCCGACCTTCAGCATGGATTCCTTGGGCGGATTGCGCTGCGCGATCTGTTCGCGCTTGGTCTTCTTGGGTTTAGTGTAGTAGCGAACGAGGATCCCATCGCTGAGCCATTTCTTCTTGGACCGTTCGAGGGATGTGAGGAGCACCGCACTGGGAGGCGCGTCAGTGACTGGACAGAGAGACACAAGGGCAAGGACACAAACCTCTCGGCGAGGGACTGGTACTCCTTATCGGACAGCGTGGTCGGCTGGCGCGTCCGGAGAATAGGCAAGCCGTCGGCATCTTTGATCTTCGTAGGCAACGGCTTTTCAAGCTCCGGGGGTGGTGGCCGGACCTTGGGCGTAGCCTTCTTTTTTTGGGCTGGCGGCGTAGGCGCGGGCGTTGCTTCGGAGAGGCGCTTCTTGGCAGGTTCGCGGCGTTCGCGCGGGGGAAGTCTGCGCTTCTCGGCCATGGTGGATGGTTACGGGATGGAAGGACGCGACGTCAAGGGAACATGTCGAGGAGTGGGAGGGAAGAAAGGACAGGGAGGAAAAGCGGAAGCGATAAGGAAGCCAAGTGGATTAACACCCGCTGCGGCTAAGTTAGTTAAACACCAACACCATTGATAATAATCATGGAGCTGATGCCCATCTTCAAAAAGGCCTACTGGGCACTAGCAGCCGGGGGCTTGGTCTATGTGCTCTTCATCTACGCGCTGACCTTTTCTGCCGTCCAGCGCTTGTACGTGGATTGCTCTTCCATTGACTCTTGACTGACACTCACAAGTTTCCTCTATGCCAACAAGGTCAACCCAACCTTATGGCAGGATGTCAACCATGTCGAGCCATTCGGCTTCCTGAGTATGTCGATTCAAACGTCCTGGACAGCACTGGCTCACTCGTCCAGGAACCCAAGTGCAGCCGTTCAATCTGCAGACCCCCGACAACGAGACGCTGTACGGCTGGCATCTTCTGCCGCTACATCTCTGCCGACAGCATGAGCAGGAGCTGGCCGACCACCCACCCAATGGCACAGCAGAGGACTACGCACAAACTGTCGCTTTTGATATCTTAGCCAAAGACCCGAATGCCCGCGTGGTCGTGAGCTGTAAGTGCCGCGCCAACCAATGTATGGGATAACTCTAAACCCCGTCTCCAGTTCATGGCAACGCCGCACACCTGGGCTCGGCGCAACGACCAACAATCTACAACACCATGCTCGCCCTCTCCACGCCCTCGAACCCCGTGCACGTCTTTGCGCTCGACTACCGCGGGTTCGGGGTCTCAACCGGCTCTCCGACGGAAGAAGGCCTAATCACCGACGGCGTGTCACTGATCAACTTCTTAACCGCTGGCCCGCTGCGCATCCCGCCATCCCGCATCGTGATCATCGGCCAGAGCCTAGGCACAGCAGTGACGGCCGCCGTGGCCGAGCGATTCGCCTTTGGGTCGCCCGACCCAGCAGCCATCCAGCCAGCCATAAAGGACGCGGAGCCCTTCGCCGGCGTGATTCTGCTGGCGTCGTTCAGCAGCCTGCGCGCGCTGATCGAGTCGTACAGCTTCAAGGGCCTGACTCCGCCTATGCTCTCGCCGCTGGTCGGGTATCCGCGGTTCCAGAACTGGGTCCTTGGTCACATCGTTGACCGGTGGGATACGGCGGCGAGAGTGGCGCGCTTGACGGGTATTGATGCTCCGGAGCATGATGAGGAGGGGCGGAAGTATAAGACTAAAGACTTGGACCTGACGATTGTGCATGCTTTGAATGATTTCGAGATCCCCTGGTATGAAGGACGTCGTGTCTGGGTTGCTGCGACGGGTGAGAATGTGGACGGTGCGCCTGGGGCTGTGACATACGAAAAGGCCGAGCTGGGTCGGCGCAGTGAGGTGAAGATCTGGGAGAATAATTTCACTCGACAGGATGGGAAGAAGGTTGTGAAGAAGGTCCGGTGGGAGCGGGTTCGCTATGGAGGTATGTGATCGAGATAGGATGCATGGTTGATCAATATGCTGACTGCTGGGTTATTCTAGGCCATAACCGAGTCGCAACTTTCTCTGTTGCCGGTCTCGCAGTCCTGCGGGCTTTCGAAGAGTAGATGTGCTTCATGTTTGAATTGGGGGTTTGATTTTCACATCTAGACAACAGGGAGTTAAAAGAGGCATTTGATGGGGAAGTGTTCTTGTCTATCAGTATATATATTTCTAGCCTTCTAACTCGATATATCACGGAGGGGAGAGAGGTGAGGTCAAACAGCCCGAATTGCAAATCGCCAACCTCGACATGAAATGATGCAGCGCCAAAAAACAATTTCTATTCAGACAACTGGAGTACAGGGCACTGATAGGTAAAGCAAAGAAAGAAACGGTATATCTTGTTCTTGGAATACAGGTCTGAGAAAGAAATGGGGAGAGTGTAAGGCAGTGTCGTAACCCTAAGCCCAAAGGTATGACTTCGGGTCCTTGTGAAGATTGACTAGCACCGCCTGGGTGTATTTGTCGTGGGACGAGCAAGGGAGGGGGTGAAAATGGTACAAGTAGTGTAGCGCAAGCCGAATCAACAGCTTGACACCTTGCAGGGGGGTTGGATGTGTCTATTTCTTGTGTCGGTCGGCCTGGGCCTTGAGGTACTTGGCAATGAGTTCCTTCCTATTAGAGGGGAGACCAGTTAGCGTCATTATCAAAAGGTAGACCAGGGGATTGGATCACGTACTGCATCTGCGGAGGAGCCTTCTCGTAGTGGCTAAACTCCATGGTGTATTCGCCCTTACCCTGGGTGGCGGCGCGCAGGTGGGTGCTGAAGCCGAACATGCCGTTGAGACTGCAGTCTGCGTAGATAGTGAACTCGTCAACGCCGGTCTCGGTGTCGTTGATGGTGGCACCGCGCTTGTTCAGCAGGCCGATCACATCACCCTGGAACTCCGACGGGGCCGTGACAACGGTCTTCATCAGGGGCTCCAGAACAGAAGGGTTGCTGTCCATGAACGCCTTCCGGAAGGCCTGCTGGGTGGCGTTCTTGAAGGACATTTCGGAAGAGTCCGTCATGTGAGTGGCACCGTCGTTGATGACCATGCGCGTTCCCAGCACCTTGTGGCCGATAAGAGGGCCCTTCTCGCAGGAGAGGTTGAAGCCCTTCTCGCAAGCGTACAGGAACTTCTCGGAAATGCTGCCACCGACAATCTGTTGCTCGAACTTGTTCTCCTCCAGAGATCCTGTGGGCTCCATCCAACCCATGACGCGGGCATATTCACCGGGTCCGCCGGACTGCTTCTTGAGAAGATGGTCGAACTCGACGCGGTTGCCGAGCGTCTCACGGTAGGCCACCTGCGGCTGGCCGGTCTCACAGTCCACGCGGTATTCACGGCGCATACGCTCGACGTAGATATCAAGGTGGAGTTCGCCCATGCCTGAGATGATGGTTTGCTCACTCTCAGTGTCGTACGTTACCCGAAAAGTGGGATCCTCTCTCTGGAAACGAGCCATGGCCTTGGAGAAGTTGGCACCGTCCTTGCTCTGCTTAGGTTTGATGGAAAGGGAAATGACGGGTTCGGGAACAAACATGGACGTCATGCTGTAGCCCAGCTGGCCGTCCGTGAAGGTGTCACCAGAGGCGCAGTCAATACCGAACACAGCACAGATCTCACCGGCGCCGATTTCAGAAACTTCCTCCATCTCGTTGGAGTGCATGCGAACGATGCGGGGCACCTTGACCTTCTTGTCGTTGCGGGCATTGAACACATTGGCACCCTTGCGGAGAGTACCCTGGTACACACGAATGTAGGTCAACTGTCCAAAGTTGCTCTCCTCCAGCTTGAAAGCCAGACCAACAAAGGGCAGAGAGTTGTAGGGAACAAGCTTCACGGATGCCTCGGCGCGCTTCTGATCCAGGGCCAAGTTTTCCACTTCCGCAGGGTTGGGCAGGTAATCTACCACACCATCCAGCATCGGCTGCACGGACTTGTTGGCCAAGGCGGAGCCCATGAAGACCGGGGTGAACTTCAGACCGATAGTTGCGCGGCGAATTGCAGCCCTCATCTGGTCCGGAGTGGGCACGGATTCTTCGAGGAAGATCTCGGCGATTTCATCGTCGACATCGGCGAGAGTTTCGATAAGCATGTTTCTTCGCTCCTCAGCGAGAGCCTTGACCTTCTCAGGAATTTCCTTCACGACAATCTCCTCACCGCTGGCTCCCTCGTTATACAAAGCCTTCATGTCGATCAAGTCCACGACACCCTCAAACTCGTCTTCAGCACCGATGGGGACTTGGACCGCAGCAGCAGGAATCTTGAGTTTGGTGTTGATCTGCTCGACAGCCTTGAACGGGTTGGCGCCCATGCGATCCATCTTGTTGACGAACGAAATGCGAGGCACGTTGTAGCGGCGCATCTGCCGATCAACCGTGATGGTCTGCGACTGGACGCCCGAGACTGCACAGAGGATCATAACAGCACCATCTAGAACGCGCAGCGCTCTCTCGACCTCAATTGTGAAATCAATGTGTCCCGGTGTATCGATCAGGTTGAGGTGATACTTGTGCTCCTTGCCCTCTTTGTCCTTCTTGACCCAGTCACAGAACGTGGCGGCGGACTGGATGGTGATACCCTTCTCGCGCTCCAGATCCATGGAGTCCATCTTGGCGCCGACACTGTCACGTCCGCGCACTTCGTGAATGGCCTTGATCCGGCCGGTGTAGAAGAGGACACGCTCGGTGCAAGTGGTTTTACCACTGTCGATATGGGCCTGAGCGAAGAGAATTATCAGAAGTGGTCCATGAAACGCAAGTTTGAGGGAAAATGTACCGCAATGCCAATATTCCGACATTTGTCCAGGCGAGCAGCCTCCGCGGGATCCAGGTTGTCGATAATGGCGGCTTGCGACAGGGCTTCCGGGTTGGCCGCAGCGGCCTCGAGACTATTCACAGAAAGCCAATTAGAGAGCGGTCGATTGAAAAGCGTGCCAATATACTTACACAGCAGATGCCGCCGCAGAGGCATTCCTCCGCTGGTTCCATTGTCTCTGGATCGACGGGTACACCGGCGCAACTGCGGACGGCCGCAACACAGTCGTGGATGCGCACCGTTGACGCAGGAAAGTCTGTGGCTGAAGACGGACGGGTGATCTGGTCAGACCAGAAACCGCACGGGACTGCAACCGCGCAAGAGTAGGAGACCTCATGGTGTTAGGATTGGGAATCGAAAGTTGTTCTGTTTTTCTCCGAGAAAAAAGTTCAGGAACACGCGTCACGTGATACCATTTCTTACAATTACGAGGACTGAATATTGACTTGAGAAGGTTGAATCCGGATTGCCGTGAAAAGAAAAATAATATACAGTAAGTATCATGAGCGCCGAGACAGCTGACCAGGTAATTGGCCCGTGTTGTACCTATGCGAAAGAAATGCCACCACTTCAAGTAATCCATCCGTATATCCATCAGCCGAAGGCAAGAGACATGCACCTCATGTGCATTCCAACATCCCAGATCTTGACTGCTCGGCCGACAATCGCAGAATAGAGCCGGTCATACACTGCATGGCCGATACGCTCATAACGAGGCAATGGTCATGACAATTCAAGTTTGCTGCATCTGCCCGAACCGGCCGAGGAATCCCACGCGTAGCAAGTCGCCCATCAATAAAAGAACTCGAGAATGTCGCGACAGTGTACAAAACACTGCGACGTCCCATCCACCCTTCTCAATGCATGGCCGGGGTATCCAAAAGAATGCGTCTGTCCGTATGCACGTTGTTGTCGACTCTATTTCCCTTGCCGTTGCTTGTGTTTCGGGTTCTTTGAGCTATTGCAGTGAAAGAAGCAATTAGCATGAAGAACAGCCCTGAAAGGCCAAGATGGACGCACCAAATAATGTACACACGACCCTTCCGTTTAACAGGCTAAAGTTCCCAAAAGTCAAGTCAGTAATCGAATCCAGACCCAAACCCCCCAATTGACCAGGCAAGTGCAAGTGCAAGTGCAAGAGACAGTTCATTCCACGATCATACCTTGCAGCCATCACACAACCGTTTCACCGAAGACCGGGTCTTCATCCCCCGAACCTGCTCGATCTGCCTGGCAGAACCAACAACACCAGCGACGGCAGTGCTTGACTGTGATTGTCCAGCGCGCAACCTTGTGAGACTGTTTCGGATCATGTGCGAGAATGGCCGGAGCGATACAGAGCTGTAGAATGATCGGCGGGAGACGGAGGGGAGGAATTGGCGGACGGCGCCGGAGGAGGCTCCGAAGACGGTGCGGAGGGAGAACATGGTGGGCGATTCCTTGGTTGATCCCAGAAATTGCCTCGAGGAATGGACTGGGAACCCGGAATGGGGAAGTGAGATGGGTGGTGACTTCCTGGTGGTTTTGCTTGGTCTGTTGGTCTGGAAGGCGCAAAGGCTGGCCGGAGGTGTGGTATTGCCGGTGCCGAGTCAGCCAATCATAGTCCAGTATGCGGTGAGAGGAGTATATAGGCGGACAAGAGATGGAAGACGAATATAATGAGATCGTACGATCAAATAATCTTGTCTACGGACAAGCACAGCTATCATACAGAATGAAGCCAATTCCAAGAGTCTATTGAACAAAGCCCGAACGCCAAAGATAAACACAATAAAAAGCTGAAGATGTGGAACCCTGAAACTGGCACGATTCACTAAGCAAGAACCACGGTCATCGACGTATACACAAATTGCGAAATCATTCACTGCGCAAAAATGTTCGGTAGGTCGGAGAGTCGGTGTGTTCGCTGAACGGATATCCCAGATCCCGAAGGAAGTGTTCCAGATCGTCCTTCTCCGCCTGAGGGCATTGGATACCTGCCAGGACCTTGCCGACATCGCCACCATAGTTGCGGTAGTGGAAGAGTGAAATATTCTGGTTCGGCCGCAGCGTGGTCAGGAACTTGGCCAGCGCGCCGGGCCGCTCGGGGAACTCGAACATGAACAGGCGCTCGTCGGCGACGTCGCAGCGGCCCCCGACCAAGAAACGCAGGTGGCGCTTGGCGAGTTCGTCATCACTCAGATCGTGGACGTTCATTCCTGCCTTCTCCAATTCCTGCATGATCTTGGCCAGGTCTTCGCGGCCGGTCAGGGCGGATAGCGAGATGCCCATGAGCACATCGGCAGATGTTTCGCGGGCGTAACGGTAGCTGAATGCCGTGACGGCGTGAGGCAGAATCACTTCGACGAGCTTGGCAAATGCGCCGGGCCTCTCGGGAATCTTCACGCTCAGGAGGGCTTCCTTGCGCTCGCCCAGCGCAGCGCGCTCCGCCACGAAGCGCAGTCGGTCAAAGTCCATGTTCGCACCGGAGGTGACCGCGATCAGTTCGCGGGAGGTGTCGGGGCTGGGGTTCTTGGAAATATACTTTTTAAGACCGGCAAGAGCAAGAGCTCCAGCAGGCTCGATAATGGAGCGGGTATCCTCAAAGGCGTCCTTGATCGCGGCGCAGGTCTCGTCCGTCGATACCTGGATAATGTCATCGATGACCTCCCGGCTGAGTCGGTAGGGCTCCTCTCCGACAGACTTGACCGCCGCACCATCGGCAAAGAGACCGACTTCCTTGAGGAAGACACGGTTGCCTGCACCCAGAGACTGGGCCATGGCGTTGGCATCATACGCCTCTACACCAATGACCTTGACCTGCGGCGCAATGCGCTTGAGATACACACCAACACCAGCAATCAGACCACCACCACCAACGGCGCAAAAGACGGCCTCCAATTTATCCAGGTTGGCCTGGCGCAGGAGCTCCATGCCAATAGTGCCTTGGCCCGCAATCACGTACGGGTCATCAAACGGCGGGATGTTCGTGAGGCCGTGCTGCTTTTCGAGTCGGTGCGCCTCCTCTTTGGCAGCATCGAAGTCGTTACCATGAAGGACCACGCTGCCTCCGAGACGGGCAACATTCAGGTGCTTGATGGCGGGGGTGCCGGAGGGCATGACAATGGTAGCGGGGATTCTCAATTTGCGGGCCGAGAAAGCCACCCCTTGTGCATGGTTTCCTGATATACATGTTAGATGAGCACCATCCGTATATTGTCATCACTCACCTGCAGAGCAGGCAATGACGCCTTTCCACCGTTGCTCGTCGTTCAGGTGAGCCATCTTGTTGTATGCGCCACGCAGCTTGAAGCTGAACACCGGCAGCAGATCCTCCCGCTTGAGCATAACGCGGCTCTCGAGCCGGTTACTCAGGTTCACCGCGTGTGTGAGAGGAGTCTCTTCGATAACATCGTACACTCGTGACGTCAAGATCAGCCGGAGATACTAGTTGAGCGTTCGTTAGAAAGTGGTATAGCATCGGGGGAATCCATCTCACATCGGGGTACCCATTGGGCAGCAGGAAGGCATCGGGGATGCCCCAGTTAGGGGGTAGCTGGGCTCGGGGCGTTCAGATGGAGGGGTGGGAGCGGCGGTATACTCGGTGAGGGCCAGGCCACTCATCTTGGGACTGATGGGCGTCGCCACGCCATTGGGGGTGAACTCGTCGGACATTAGGATTTGAGGGATCCGAAAGAAGACACGGCCAAAAAGGGGGCACAAGAAGGTAATTGCAAACACGACGGACAATTCTTCCTCTCGACTCTGACCTTTTTTTCTTGCGGAGGCGGGACCGGGATCGGAGCGTTATGTCAGCAACCCTGCCTGCCAGCCCTAGTGAATTCTCGTTGAAGCTGTTTGGACTATTATAGCGGAGAATTGCTTTTTACCAGAAGCAGAGTAGATGGAATTGGTTGAAGACGATACTAATACTTGTCCAGTAATGAATCATTTTTGTTTTGAGCTATGTTGATTGCCCAGTGGTACTCCGGTCCCTGATGGGAGCTGCCATACCGCCTTGAAGAGAAAACTGCCCCGTTCTTCGCGACGTCATGCCGAAGCCTTCATCCTTTCTCTGCTCCGACACCGAAAGCGACAGCGGGCCTAGATCGACTCCTCGGCTCGCTATTGTTTAATTTCGTCGCACGTCGATAAACACTGCGACTGTTAGCCGCGCCGACCCGCGATCTCGAACTCCGCGCCGTGCATCATTAGCCTCAACTCACCTCCGTCACCATGGGTCGCGAGCCCGTGCCATCCTCATTTGAGGATAGTCCGTATGTGTGATACTTTTGGAGTAACTGCTCTACCGGATAATGCTAACATTCATTCCCTAATCGTAGTCAATTCAGAGAGGAGTCCTCCCTCCAAAAATTCACCCGACGACTCAAGGAGGAGCCTCTCATTCCACTTGGTACAGCTCCTTCTTTCACCATTCCTCCTGCAACACACTAACTTCTTGGGGATAATAGGATGCGCCGCAACATGCTACGCCCTATACCGCGCCTACCGCTCCATGAAAGCCGGCGACTCCGCTGAGATGAACCGGATGTTCCGGGCCCGTATCTACGCACAGGCATTCACACTAGTCTCCCTCGTTGTGGGCGGGATGTACTTCAAGAGCGAGCGACAGCAGCGCAAGGAATTCGAAAAGGCCGTGGAAGTACGCAAGGCGCAGGAAAAGCGCGATGCATGGCTGCGCGAGTTGGAGGTGCGAGATAAAGAGGATCGCGAGTGGCGCGAGAGACATGCTGCCATTGAGGCTGCTGCTAAGGATGCCGAGAACAAAGCACGGCCCAAGTCTAGTGAGCCTGATGCGGCGCGGGCTGCGATTGAGCCGGCGGATGAGAAGAGCATTGGGGTTTTGGATGCAGTGAGGGCGCTTGTACAGAGGGGGCATTAATAAAATGAGGGTGTATCGTGTATAACAGTGTTTTCTGATATTGTACATATTCTGGAGTAATCTTCTCTCTTCTAAGTCATCCATCAACCGAATAAGCTATCGAGCCTGCTCGTCGATATATCGTCTCATGGTGTCGAATTCGGATTTGCCTGTCTTTAAGCATGTGAGTCAGTAGGAAGAGGACATTTCCGGATTTCAACATACGGAGATCAAGTATCGGATATGGGTCTAATAGCTAGGTCAGTAATTGATTCCATTCCTGACCAAAGGACCACTTACTAGGTCCGACACTTCGCGATGTCGCTCAAATTCATGACGCGCATAGCTGCGCAGCTCGTCTCGCGTTGACGAGGGCGGGATCTCTAGATAAATGCATGAGCAACAGAGCACATAATGAGAACAGAATGAGTTTACTATTTACTGCCCTGACGATTTCGCGCCATAAGGAGAGCACCCGCTGCCTCTGGATGAACTATGTGGATTATCAGCATCACTCCAAGGATCGGGACCAATCGAATCGTCCATACATGATCCAAGCTCACGGTGGGCTTCCTCAGACGGGAGGCCTGTCCGCGGGAAACAGCGGCAAGGAGGGACAGCGATGAGCGCATCAGGTCATTGTTCTTATTCGAGGATAGAATTCGGTGACGGAGCCTTGGGAGGATGGAACGGAAGGCGGTCAAAGCATGATCGTACTTGGTCACGGGTATTTTCGCGTTGTACTTGTACACCCAAGCAATCTATATTTTTTTGTCCTCTCCCCTTGTATTCAAAGAATTCGTTGCTATTTCTCCCAGTTCAACACGCTCGACATAATAAAGAGAGGCATGCCACCCGAAAAGCTATCAACATTACCGAAATTCCTCAGTTATTGGCCACTCCTTTCCACTAATTCAGCAGAACTAATTCCCCCATCTCAGCCAGTGTGGATCGGTTAATTCGCTTCCATTGCTATCGGGTTTATCTGTCTGGAAAGATAGCCGTGATGGCTAAAATCTGCTTGACGTTGAATATAAAGCGCGCTTACCATACCTGTTACATTTCTCATAAGCCATCGCATACAAGGCATCCCATAGTAGATCAGCCCCGTTCATATGGGTGCAAGGATCCATACCGGACTCCCCGTCTGACACGAAAATGTGTTTCCTGGGTCTTTCCAACAACCAACCCCAGATGCTGAGGCTCCACCTCTCGGATGCATATGGGAGCTTTCCACAAATCCCAGTCATCGATACCAGCGCATGTTCCATTCAGCTCAACTGACTGCGGAGAGTTGATCGCCAATGCCAGCAATTCTCCAATACTGCCCCATCGTGTGGTAACCAAGGCCCAGTCGGATAGAGAGCTTCGGAAAGTGACAAACGCCCACCATGCAAGATATAAAACCACAATGCTGCCGAAGGTGAGGAGAACTATCAGTCCAAACACGGTAGTCTTGCTGTTGATGGCGTATCCATAGCCCCATCGGTCGACACTCAGGTCAAACCGGGTCCAGTATAGCGCAGAGTCTTGCTTATACTCGTCAATCGTCCAGGTGGAATTGCTTTGTGGCGATTGAGCCCCAACTCGAAACCTTAGAGATGTCAGATCTGCATAGGTCGAGTTGTGGTAGTACATGGCGTCGATATCATAAGCATATCCAATCCTTGATAGGCCATCTGCGACAACAAAACCGAGAATAGTCGCTATATCCTGGCTCATAGTTCTGCTTTGAATCAATAAGTTTGAAGCAAATTTCTGGCCATAGTATGACGCTGACGCGGAGGGATTGGTTTGGTAGTCATCCCCTCGGAGAATCAGGGGCTGTATAAGCTCAGACATGGCCGTACTAGGTCCGAATCGGCGAGCTCGAGGGACTGGAAGATCCAAAAGTTTCGCCCATTCAGTGGATATCTTGATGATATTTGAGGCATTAAGCGTCTGGATGGAGATTCGGGCATCTTGGCCAAAGTCTTCAAGCTGAGTTATATTGTCATGGACAAGGTCGGTCATTGTAGGATCGTATGATAAGTCGGAGCTAATCCAACGAGCCTCAACTGTACAGGGAACAATCCAGCTGGACTGGACTGTGGTACCATTAACAACTGGCACGTATGGAATCGAGAAGACAGCACCAAGCGAGGCATTCACTGCAGTATGCTGCAAATCTATCCAAGTGAAGTTGACGATGTTTAACTGAGTTCGTGTGTAGTTCCAGGTGGATGTAGGGATATTCCAACCTAAATTATTGGTAGTCGCAATGCCAGTGTCACCAAAACGGTTGTGGCTGAAGGGCGCGGTCAGCGGCTGTGATTGATTTCGGCTATCATAGTAGTCGTAGGTTGAGCAGCGGACGCTGACCAATGGGTCCCAAACAGGAATGCTCTTGTCAATCTGAAGCCTTGGCCTGGCCGCTCGGTTTATAGGCCCCAGATTGACGTCTTTGGCCCAGTTCCAGACCAAGCCAAGGATTGCCACCATCCAGTGTGTGGTTGTCGTTGTAAGCACCTCGACACCTATACTCAACGCATACTTCTCTAGGGTCTCATTTTGTTTTCTGGTGAATTGGTCATGATTATCGGCAAAAACCGGAATGTCCGTAATGTCCCAGACCTCCGGGATGTCGACTTCACCGTCTGCATATGACTGTAGCCGCCTCCGGGCTCCACTAGATATCTCAGTCATGGTGATATTAGGTTGCAGGCCGGAGCTCTCGTAGGCGCTGACCCACGCCTTAATGTCATCCAGCCCCTGTCCGGGACAAATATTACTTGCATTTGCCAACTGGTAGCAATCGGAAACATACTTGGGAACCACGGTCATTGGCCAAATGTCTTTTCGGCTCGCCCTCACGATTATCGGAATGCCCTTTCCCGTCCTGTCTTCAGAGTATGGCTCCGCGATGTGCCACCAATCCAGACTGGGAACCAGCATGATGGCTGACACAGGACTGAGGGTTGTGATCAAGAGGGTTGTGAGGAAGAGACCGAGCATAAGAATTAGGCGCGGTCGCGAGAAACTGCCCCAGAACTCGGAGCTGATCAGATAATCGGGTGCGCTGATCCTAAACGGAGCGGTCACAAGGCCCAAAGGCAGGCCACGCGATCCCAGAAGCAAGCTTCTGGAGAAATGGAAAACAATAGCCGTGAGAGACGCAACCATGAAAAGCTCATGGAGCTTTGCGGCGAATTGCATGGCGTTGAGAGCTTCGTTGGTACTCATCACTCCAAATTTCGTGTCGTCTACATCTCCAAAATAGCATTGACGGAGACTGAGCTGTATAACAGCAGCCGTCATTCCGAGTGCAATGATATGTGTAAGAATTTGAAGGAGGACAGAGCGGCGGGTAGCGCCGACGAATTTAGGGTTGTCTTCTTTCAACAGAGCGACAGGGTCATAGGAGTATGCCGCAAGCATATGGCTCGAAATGCCTTTTTCTTGGGTCATTGTGGAGGATTTACATAAGAGTAAGTTCCTTGGACTTGGAGAAACATGGTTGAAGTAGGCACGGTGGCGCTTTAAAAGATACGGCTGGGCAAGGCTGGGTGTTTGTCGGGTGTTACCCACCAGTTCCTCTAGGGCGAAGAGGCTTAGATTTTGGTGCTATTGGACGATATGAATAGACAGCACATAACTGGATGCGTGTTCGGGATAAACGAGAGGAGGTCTCTAGAAAGCCAAGCCCGCTAAGAAGAGGCGATGCTCTCGCATGATTGTACCCTTGTCCTTTCTGGGAACACCAGTGGTCTTCATCTGCAGTAGACTCGGCGATAAGCGAGCCCTGATTGGTTGGGTTGCTTATTGGTCTGGTTCAAGTGACAGGCGGCACACATGTAGTCTTCTCTCCATCACCATGAATATTATGGGGCTGAGCAGTGGTACAACCGTCTCCATGAAATTGGCTTGGCAATGTCGGGCTTAGAGGCGTATTTAACAGGTAGTGGTGGGTTGACAACAAATGGGAGATGAAGATCTTGGTCACCTGACAGCCCGAACAGTTGATGTAAATAGAGAATTTTCTTATAGTCTACTGCTATTTTTGCCTAGAAAATCTAAGGTCAAAAACAGAGGGAGGACAAAATCTGCTTGCTAACCACTGTCTTCTGAATAGAGAAGGTCTCGAGAATCTGGCAAGGTCACTCTCCTCTGCCACTATTTTGACAGAATCTAAGTTTTATTACATCGCCATCCAACACCCAGCGAGCCATTCGCCCGTCGGCAGCAGCCGCTTTCTGCGATTTTTTGGGTGACAAGGGGCCATAATCACATTACCGAATACCTCAAATTAACGAATGTATCCGGCGGTGAGAGGCCGACTTCTTGGGGGCGGGTAGTGCCTTCCCCAAATTAAATCGTTAAAGCAAGTAATTATTGTATGCCGCGTACACCAGGGTGCTGCCTAGTTCGTCTCTCTTTCTTTAAGGGCAGTCTTTCCACCCAGTAATGTTCTTCTACCTTCATCAACGGTGATCATGGACGTCAATTCCAATTCCACAGCCAGCTCGTCGGCTACGCTCAGCCCTGTAGCCCTGGCGGCTAGAGGAAATGAGATTAAAGGTCTCGATATCTTCCAGAAGACAACAGATGACTTTACGCTACCCAGGGTAAAGGAGCTCATGTCGGAAATGAACGCAGATCAGCCTAGCGGAGGCACCGACATGGCATATGGGAAGGCAAATTCCCAGATTCTTCGCTTTTGGAAGGCCAATCCATCCAAATCATCCAAAGCTCCGATTGTCCTCTTTGTTCATGGCGGAAGTTGGCGCTCGGGGACTTACTTAGACTCTATTGGGTCCGCCAAAGTTGGCCATTTGATCGACAAAGGTTATGCCTTCGCTACGGTCAACTATACACTTATCCCCTCTGTGACGGTGGAAGAGCAAGTACAAGAAGTGGCCCACGCAATCAACTATCTAGTGGAAAACGCAATTAGACTCGACATTGATTCTGAACGAGTCATTTTGATGGGGCACAGTTCCGGGGCCCATGTTGTCACTCTGTTGGGAACTGATGCGAGCTACCTGGAGCGAGCGGGAACTAGTATTTCCATTGTTAAGGCCGTCATCGCCCTGGACGGCTCCAACTACAACGCAGCGGCTGAGATTCTCGATAATCCGGGCCAGATTGCGGACAATATGATTTATGGGTTCGGTACCGATCTGAAGCGACTAATTGCCGTGTCACCTACTTATCATGCCCGCGCGCCTAACGCACGCGCGTTCCTGCTTCTCCACGCTCATCGACATGGGGACATCCGCCAGGCAGTCGAACTAGCCGTAGCGCTAAATTCTGCAGGTACCGATACTACGTTGCATGTATTTGAAGGGCAGGGTTTCGAAGGCCATATTCAAATGCTGCTCCGATTGGGGGATCCGACCTATCCTGCCACGTGCGTGATGGACAACTGGCTCAAGATCCACGTTCCAGTGATTTGAACCTTACAGACCCATTTTTATGGGGCGACGCGACGCAGCTATGCTAATCCTTTTGGACCCTCACGTATTATCTTTGCACCCTTCTGAGCGTTTTTCCATTCCTTATTTCTCGCCGTATAACCTCCATTCTCGCCGTATAACATCCATAGCTAGCCTTGGGTCAAATGTGGTTGACCAGAAACCACGATGAAAGCCAAGGAATGTAGTAAGTATGATCCGTGGGACGGGGCAAGACCCCTGATGGGACTCCAATTTACTCCAATTTCCCATGCTCTTCGAGGACCTATAGGAGTTGCCGATGCCAGCCGAAAGTTTATCCCTCGTGGGCTCATGCAGCCAACATAGATTGGGCCTAGTGAATTCCCGGGAATTGATTCTGATTGGCTCAGATAAAATAAATACGCCCAGCGATCCCGAGTGGGTCATAAGGCTTGGTGCGCAGTTCCAGCCGACACTGCGGGAGAGGAGTTAAGCCCCGAGCTCCTGTTTGTTTCTACCGTAACGCTCCACCGGCATCATGTAGTGGTACAGAGGGGCACGCCGGTGATTGGACTGATACTCGACTTGCTCTGAACTACAGGGCTTGTGTGGCTTCTATCGGCCACGCGTTGCCCTAACGCGACTTCGATGCGCTCAGGCACGTGCCGTGCCAGTCGTAGCCCTATTCGCGCTTGAGTTTTTTCCCTCTTCTTTCGGACTAGGGGTTTGACATGGCGTCGGTGGCAGTCTTAGTCCACGAGGATGATTTAAAAACCCTGCCATACCCCCCTCCTCCCTTCATCTTATTGTGACATGACCGTTGTCGTTCGTTGTTCTCGATGGCTTCCCTAGACCCCGAGAAGATCTCCGAGAAGACCCCTGAGCCTCTCCAGGGGGAGGCCGAGGCGCAAATCCCGCTCGACGCCCTTCCCAAGTCTCGCTGGGAGCGGAGTTGGCCTGTTATCGCCTGTGGTGCTGGTCTCTTCTCCGATGGATATCTGAACGGCGTATGTCGCACCAAATCCTCGCCGTGGGAATAAGCACACCGTTATTATTAAAATAGAACTGGACTAACCTCTGATCCCCGCAGGTTATCGGGTCCGTGGATACCATGCTGACCCGTATTTACCCCACGGACTACAAAAATTCCCCGGCACTCCGCAATGTCTCCTCCCTCGTCTTCGTCGGCGAGGTGGTCGGCATGTTGATCTTTGGCATCACCAGTGACTACTGGTCGCGCAAGTGGTCTCTGATGATCTCAACCTTTATCCTGATTGTGTTCGCCGCTCTGAGCGCTGGCTCGTATGGCTATCACGGCAGCCCGACAGGGCTCTTTGCTGCCCTCACGGCGTATCGTTTTATAATGGGCATCGGAATCGGAGGCGAATATCCTGCGGGGTCCGTCGCCGCCGCAGAGAGCACCGGCGAGCTAAAAGAAGGCCATCGCAACCGTTGGTTCATCTTCTTCACCGACTTTATCATTGATTTTGGCTTCGTTGTCGCCGCTTTCGTGCCCATGGTCCTCGTCCTTATCTTCGGGGAGGACAATCTAGAGGCGCCATGGCGTATTGCCCTGGGCCTAGGAGTTATTCCGCCACTCAGTCTAGTGTACCTGCGATTCAAACTAAAAGAGCCGGAAGAGTTCAGCCGAGAGCGCATGCGTCGATTCCCCTATGCTCTGATCATCAAGTAATATTCCCTAAGCTCTGTTCGTGGGAGGGACAAATTCGCTGACAGTCTGTTATCTTTAGGTTCCACTGGAAGCGCCTGGTATGATACAGTTTCTCCTTTGATTGTTATTGATCTCCGTCGAGTTTACTCTCGTTCCTCTTTTTGGATACTAATAGACCATAGCTTGTTGTGTCCCTCGTCTGGTTCATCTACGATTTCTCCGTGTTTGCCTTCAATACCTACTCGTCAGTCTGGCTAGATACCATTCTTGGATCGACCGCTCCCCTGTGGAAGATTTTCGGCTGGAACGTCGTGGTCAATCTCCTTTATCTTCCCGGATCCTTTGCCGGTGCATTTGTCAGTGACTGGATTGGGCCGCGTATGTGTCTGATCGTCGGAATGACCGCTCAGTCTGTGGTCGGCTTTATCATGTCCGGCTGCTACGCATATTTGTCGATCCCCAAAAATGTCGCAGGATTTGTTGTCGTCTATGGGTGAGTCTGCCGAAACGATCTAGTTATCTTGATTGGTCTTGTCATAACTGACCAATCTACTAGTATCTTCTTGTCCTTGGGCGAGATGGGCCCTGGCGACAATATCGGTCTGCTTGCATCCAAAACTAGCGCCACCGCTGTGCGTGGCCAGTACTATGCCATCGCTGCTGCAATTGGCAAAATCGGTGCCTTTGTCGGAACCTATGTTTTCCCCTTGCTCATGAAGAATCCTGATCCCATCCGCGCGGGTCAAAATCCGTTCTTCGTCGCTAGTGCATTGTGTATTTTTGCGTCGCTTATTGTTTACTTTGGCTTGCCTCATGTCGGACAAGTGAGTTTGTCGCTTCCCATCATTTTGTGTGGACCACACGGACTGATCTAATTTATTCTTTAGGATACTATTACCAAAGAGGACGAGGCATTCCGCGCATATCTGGAAGCCCATGGATATGACACCTCCACTATGGGGATAAGGAACGACACCTCTATGGTGCAAACGGAGTGATGGAAATGATAATTGTGGGGTTTGTCTCTTAATTGATCGCAGCAGTAAACCTCTTGTTTTCTAAGTTCAATTCAAGCAAAACCATTTGACAGTTGTTGATTGGTAACAGCATGGACCACTTAGATATAAATGCCGCTAGAGAGGTTCCCCAGCAGATCGCATGGCCGTAGCTGTTGTTAAATGTAGTCCTTGATTGAGGGTTGGGCCTGGATTAATGTGGATATTGACTGGACCACTGACTCTGAAGCGAGAGATAGATATAAATTTCCCAAAATATCCAGATAAGGAGCCGATGTCGCCCGTTGTATACTGTCGATCAGTTTATCAGCACGTGACTGATGGTCCGCCCGGAATTTTTGTTCTTGTCGACATCCGAACTACTAGTAACAACACACGACTCAGGGCTATTACATGGCCTGTCTTGCGCATTGGACAGTTTGAGATAGATCGTATCCCACAGGAACCAAAATTCATGTGACATAGCATCTATCGGTCTCCGTCACCAGCCCGAAGGACGGAGGACCCAAGCGGTCTCGCGAGGAATGTCCTCATTCTCCGAGCAGTCTTCCCAGTTCAACCCACCGCAGTCCGCACAGCCTCGCAAATCACTATTCGGTAGCCCCAGCAGCGATGCCGCACATTCGCCCTCTCGGCCACCGCGACGATCATTATTCGGTGGACCCAGCGGTCACGATGGCACCGTGGAAACGCGCCCCGTGGAGGAGTCTGTGGCTCACAAGGGTGCACGAGAGGAGGACGGCTATGAGGTTGACATGATGATGGGGCATCAACAAGCCCCAACGGGCGATTATTCCTCCGATGGCGATAGTTTCCCCGGGAGCGATGAAGATGACGACTCGCTGGGTTCGGATATCGATGATCACGATACGGGCAAGTCTAAGCAGCCACAAAGAGGTCCGGTATACGGGGGACAATTCCGAGAATTTGTCCTTGACCGAGGAAAGGATTTACCCTTGGGGTCTACACGCCCAAACCGCTGGATGGGATCTCGGTCTACTTACAAGAGAGTAACGGCGAACGACCGAGGCGCTGCAGATTCCATAATCAGAAACCGAGCTCGGGATCTGGCTTCGCACCTCTATAATGCGCATGCCATCCGCAAGCGAATGGACAAACAAACTTCACTGAATATCAAACGATGGGTCGCGTGGCCTATGCCGGCCGAGAAGGTCCCGCGTGTCGGTGAATTTATCCACAACCATCTGGATGATCCAGAAACATGGCGCATGCCACCTGATCCCCGACTCAGCGCTGAACTGGAAGAGTCTATTATGGCAGTGATGACTAGGACTGCCAAGGAGAGATTCCAAGCCCGCGAATGGGATCTTACGGAAGTGAAGAAGAGTGTCGACTACGATGGCAAAATGGACAGCGATCCCGAAGATGACGATGAAATACCACTGCGGCCGGTGGTTCTGGCCGACGACGATCAGACTCGGCAGCACTTACGACCGCTTTCTCGAAAGGTCATCTCACGTCTGGACCGTGTATTGGTTGGGCTCCATCAGTCGATGAAAGGGAAGATCGGCGAAGGGTCTAGCAGCGAGTCCTCCAGTGATGCCGACAGCGTCATCTCGCAGGCCTCCAAGTCGGTCAGGAGCACGAGCAGGAGTCGGTCGCGCGGCCGAAAACGAGCTCGTCGTAATCTTCGCCCCGAACAGCCGTCCGGCAGCCGCAGTCAACAGCTGGCTTCAGAGAACGAGGCTCAGGACCGGAGTATGTTCGGGACGTCTCGTTCCCGCGGCCGGTCTCGCTCCCCCAACCAAGAGAGCCAATCGCAATCCTTTACCAACCGCAAGCATCACCTGCGTGACTGGAGCGAGGTAATGGGAGTCGCATCGATGATCGGCCTCCCCTCCGCTGCCGTGATGCGAGCCTCCAAGCGATGCACCGACCTATTCGGCGAAGACATGACATTCCGGACGTTCCATGAAGGACGGATCAAAGCCCAGGCCGCGCGCAACAGCCGATATGAGTACACTGACTACACCTACACCGAGAGCGAGGGTGAGATAGAGGAGCCGTCCAGTCCGCCGGCTCCGGACCGGCAGCCACCACCACCCAAGCCCAAGAGCCGAGCAGGGCGAGCTCGGTCACGTCTTTCATCCGCCCCAGCATCGGAGCCGCCGAGTGCAGAGTTTGCATCCGAGCAGGAAATGGAAGTATCAACACCATCGGTTCCCTCGCAAGCGGCAAAGGGCAAGGGACCCCATCGCAAACTGGATCTGGTGTGCCCAGTGAAGAAGTGCCCGCGACATACCAATGGGTTTTCGAGGACGTGGAATCTCAACCTCCACATGAAGCGGGTTCACCCGAGTTATCGCGTACCAGAGCCGTCGAGCCGGGCAGAACGATCGGTCAGCACGGCGAGTGCTTCGGCCAATGTATCCGTGGTGGAAATCCACGATTAGGGTCTGGGGTGGTATTACGCGTACACTATCGCTGGCACCGGGGGGCGTGATTGGGTGATTTTCCCGAAAATTGGCTGTGACTGGATTGAATTCCCGGATACCGTAACAAATGTAAATCTATTACCATGAACTATACACAATTTGTCTGTTGACAACCACATCGCAAAGGATCAAGGAGTACAGAGTCCATTGAGTCGTGAAAGAAAAGAATAGTATATAGAGATCAAGTCGAGAATATGAAAATATAACCGAGTTCTGCATATGGCTGATCTCCCCAGCCCCAAGGGCAGGCCGACCCGTGACATCACCTCCGCAGGCAGCGTACAGCTTCCCTTTTCACCCTCGCAACCAAGTGCGATTATTATTACTCGGTGCTCTCGGGCCCAGAGAGCAATCACCGTCCAGCCCATCTGCCACAGCTCCGTCCCCACACTTTTGTTGGCTTCGCTCTTAAGAGCGAGATTCCTCTGTCCAACTTGCCCTCCAGTCTCCCCCCCTCTCCCCGCACGAGATTCCCGGTTCCTTCCACTGCCGTGTATTATTATTCCTATTTAGTCTCGCTCTTCCCCCCGGTCTCCACAACCATGGAGAGACTCATCCGCCCGGTTTCACGCACACTTCTCAGACCGAGACCTCGATACCCTTTTGCTGTTCCTTCAACGGTTTACGCTCAGAGACTCTACACCATGGGGCACAGTGCACCGGAGGTGGGTGGACCATCGGACTCGCCACTGTCCAATGCTAATGAATCCCGCAATAGTTGAAAGACAAGTCGCTCTTCATTGAGAAGTCGTACATCAACGGCGAGTGGGTTGGTGCTCAGTCCGGCGAGACCTTTGAGGTTCACGGTAATACGAACCATCTCCAGCATTTGGACGCCATAGCTAACCCCTCGGTCAATAGACCCCGCAACCGGCAAGCTGATCGGAACCTGCCCAGAGCTCAACACCAGCGATGTCACTAAAGCGATCGAAGCCGCCTCGGCCGCCTTCCCCGCCTTCCGGAGCACGCAGGGACGCGAGCGCGCCCGCATGCTGCGCCGGTGGTACCAGCTCATGATGGACAACGCAGACGACCTGGCGAAGTTGATCACATGGGAGAACGGGAAGCCGTTGGCAGACGCCAAGGGTGAAGTGAACTACGCCGCGTCGTTTTTCGAGTGGTTCAGCGAGGAGGCGCCGCGCCTGTACGGCGACACCATTCCGGCCACGGTTCCCGGAAACCGGGTTATTACGATGAAGCAGCCCGTCGGCGTCTGCGGCCTGATCACGCCGTGGAATTTCCCGGCTGCTATGATTACGCGCAAGATTGGTCCGGCCCTCGCTGCGGGGTGTACGGTTGTTGCGAAATCGCCGGCTGAGACGCCGTTCACGGCTAATGCGCTTGCGGAGCTGGCACACCGCGCGGGTATTCCTAAGGGTGTGGTCAATATCGTGACTGCGAATAAGAATACCCCCTCCGTCGGCGAGTTGATCACCACGCACCCGGAGGTGCGCAAGGTGTCGTTTACCGGGTCGACGAATGTCGGCCGGCTGTTGATGAAGCAGGCGTCGTCGACGATCAAGAAGGTCTCATGGGAGTTGGGCGGCAACGCGCCGTTCATTGTATTTGATGACGTCGAGGATCTCGAAGCCGCCGTCAACGGCGCCATCACTTCCAAGTTCCGCAGCTCGGGCCAGACCTGCGTGTGCGCGAACCGGATCTACGTGCAGAAGGGCGTGTACGACGAGTTCGCCAAGCGCTTCGCTGAGAAGGTCAAGGGATTCAAGCTAGGCGCCGGTTTCGAGGAGGGCATCACCCACGGCCCTGTGATCCACGAGCGTGCCGTCAACAAGGTGCACGAGCACGTCCAGGACGCCATCTCCAAGGGCGCCAAGCTTGCCATCGGCGGCGAGAAGGCCGCTGCGCTCGGTCCTAACTTCTACAACCCCACCGTGCTGACCGGTATGAGCAAGGAGATGCTCATCGCCTCCGAGGAGACCTTCGGTCCTGTGGCGGGTCTCTTCCCCTTCGAGACGGAGAAGGAGGTTGTGGATCTGGCCAACAGCGCTGAGGTTGGTCTGGCGGGTTACTTCTTCAGCGGCAACGTCCGCCGCATCTTCCGTGTTGCAGAGGCCCTGGAGGTTGGCATGGTTGGTGTCAACACTGGCTTGATCAGTGATGTTGCGTCTCCGTAAGTATTCTCCCTGGAGATCAGATGACCCAAACTAACTGACTTGATTCTAGATTCGGTGGTGTTAAGCAGAGCGGCTTCGGTCGTGAGGGCAGCAAGTACGGTATTGATGAGTTTACCACCATCAAGAGCGTGACTTTCGGTGGAATGGGCGAGCCTCTGCAGGCTTAGATGGGATGATATCAAAATTTAGAGAAATTGGAAATTTGCACGAATTGAATCAAAGGCATTGAATTTAACCACAGTCAGGCATTCCGCTAGTCAAGCGGTTTTCGCCTGCTCTAGATTTGACGCGTTCTGTCCTCATTTAAAACACGCCTGCAAATAACGAAGAGGGCTTTGCTATTGAACTAGATGAACGCGCATAACAGCACGATATAGATCGATCCTTTGCATCCTGATAGTGCACCTAGAGCGACCATCTGTCTTCAGGGTTCAATAATATAGGGTGGCCTTCCTTCGAGAGAAGCAACAATCGAGGAAATGACAATCCATGTAAGCCAGGAGTTGGACGTGAACATCAAGATGTGATACCGAACTAATGATTGGCTTATTGGGGTATCAACGAAGTGTCTTTTCTCAACAGTTAACTATAAGGATTTAACATTGCAGGATTTTGAATGTAACATTAAGGACGGGAACCAAGCAGTGCCTTTTTTGCAATGTCGACCTCCTCAGCTGTTCCGCAGATTAATCCCGCGGTCTCATCACAATCCTTCAGCGGCCGAGTCAGAATATCCTCCCCATCAATCGGGTCAATAGCCCTTCCTCCAGCGCATTCCATCACAAGAGCAACGGGAAACAGTTCATACAAGCGGCGCAGCTTCGCTGCGCTCACTCCAGTCACAGGAGACACATACACGCCGTGACCCTTGACCAGCGCGTGTACCAAATCCGGAACCAATCCACCGCTATACCGCAAGGTATAGTTGTTCTCCACGTACTGCGTGATCAGGCGCATGTAAGCCTCACTCTCCGCTGCTGCGCGGAGATTGGCCGGGGCAAAATAGCGAGTCTTAAATGGTGGATCCGCAAAGCGCATATCCGAGCGAAGGAACTCGTGTGCCCCCGACTTCCCGATCCCGATCTCAAGACAACAGGGTTCGCCGCCCGGGACCCTCAGGGCAACGATGGCCGTAGTCCGCGGCCCGTAGACGCCTAGAACGGCCGCAATTTGTTTCTCGGAGGGCCGTTGGTGGATTGCCGACTCGCCATCCCAGATGCCGATAATAGTGCCCACAGTCCAGTTCGGCGCAATGATCGAGCTCCCGTCTAGAGGGTCAAACGCGACTGTGTATTTTTCGGAAGTGGCGGATATTCCTTCCACAGCTTGGCCCTCGCGAGCAGGTCGCTCCACAGGGTCCTCTTCGCTGCTCGCAGTCAGTACCGAGGGACATTCTGCAAGCGCTGCTCGAAGGAGATTCTCGGCTGAAATATCGACGTTCAATTGGCCATCACCAAATACGTTTGTGCTGCCGGCGAGGGAGACATGTTGTGACTGGTGTAGCGACTCTGCAATGTCTGCGATACAGTTCAGAAGCGCCGGTAGTACAGACTTGCACAGCGCTGTGCGGCCATGTGGCAGGAGGAAGCTTTCAAGATGGCTGGCCATAGCGAGTTGAGGGGGATTTAGTACACGCAATCCATTCGGTGAGGTTGATTAGTGTGTAGTGGGAGAGGGCAAGAAACTCCGAGCAAATGGCATGACGTATTTCGGTTGGTGGATTTGATCCACTGCTCATGGACATGCCTCGAACTGCTTAACTGTCAATTTCCCAATAACCAGCGTCAATGACTTTCAAATGATCTTCACTGGATAAAGTTTACCGTGAATTATTATTGTTCCTTTAATTCCTCCCATTCTTATATCTACTCCCGTCTCCCCATGTTCTGTTCCTCTACTACAGTGAGAAGTCCGATTTTATTACAGAACCAGAGAATTTGCCAGCCAAAGGGTCTCATCCGCTCAGTTGTGCATGAGCCACACGCTGACAGTTCAATACCCGGTGGATATCCTGCAGACACAAGGAGAATCTGAGATCACGCTTCATTCCCAGGAAAAGACGTAGTTTGAAGTCATCGTCGTATAATCACAATTGCGCAACCCAGGAATTAGGTACGGACCGTTCCTGTAGGGGACATTGTAGCGCAATAGCTGCGATGTATCTGAAGGACGTGTAGCCCAAGGTATGATTGTCCTCAATTAAATCCTCATGTACACGTCTATGGAATCGACTAGACTAGATGTGGAGAAATGCATGGTATTCTATTCGCAAGAAAAAACTTTTGATATGCATATACAAGTAGAACTACCTATCGAACTATCCAAAAAACGCATAAACGCCTCCCTCACAACCTTCGATATCCTCACATCTTCACTCTTTCGCACCCTTCTCGATCTTGCGCCTCTTCGACCGAAGCTTCGCCGCCTCATCCGACTGCTTCTTGTTCGAGTACATCATCTTCTCCAACAGCTTGCGCTTCTTGCGGCTCATCATCATCTTCTGCCTCTCGAGCTCTTCCTCCTCCTGGCGCTTCTTAGCGGCCAGCTTCTTCGACTGCGAAGACTTCTTCTTGGTTGCTTCGTCCGTGGCACCGTTCGACGAGAACGGCAGACCTGCTGCTTCGGCTTCCAGCTCCCGCTGGTGCTGCGTCCGAGCGGCCTCATCGTCATCTTCGGATTCCGACGCGGCTTCATTCTCCTCGAATCCGCCGAAGTCTTCGTCTTCTTCCTCTGCATCGCTGGCACTCTCCTCCTCGTCGTCATCAGTACCAGCGACATCCATACCACCATCGACAGACTCCTCCTCGGACTCGTCGGCGGGCGCCTTCTCCTCCTCAGCAGCCTCATCCTCCATCTCTTCATCGCTATCGCCGGCCTCGGCAGCAATCTCTGCCTCGCCTTCCTCTTCCTGCGCGGCCAGACTAGCGCGCGGGTCATAGGCGCCGCGAGTAGCCTTCACCCAGGGGCTCAGGTGAGGCGGAAGTGTGGCGCCAGGAGCATATAGATCTGCGCGCAGAAGCTTGCCATCGTTAAGGCAATCCCACACCCACTGGGGTTGAACGTAGGTCCGGCCGGGGATCCGGGTGCCAGGCTTGACCTTCGGGGTGGCGTCATCTTCCGCGGCAGCAGGAACAGCAGGCAGTGAACCCTCCGGGAGCTGGGGTCGGTCCACAATCTGGTGGGTGATGCGTTGGTCGGTCTCGTCGTGCGTGAAAGCCCCATCGCCCAGAACAGCGTCCCAACCAATTCGCTTGCAGCCAAACGCGCGCAGGAGAAACTCGAGGGGCGCCTTGGGTGCCTCCCGGGAAATGTAGAACGTAAACGGGGCGAACATGGAGCCGGCCTCCCCACTGCTCAGATCGGGCTGGGGCAGGGTGTCGGCTTCGGGGGCCGCAGGCTCAAATCGGTCAATGGAGTCACTCGTCTCCTCGGTCGACTCGACAGGCTGCTCGTCCTTGGTTTGGTCGAGGCCCGCATTCTTGATGACCTTGTCGACCTTGGCCTGAATCTCGCGGGAAACTTCCTTGGTCGAATTGCCATTGCTCTGGGCCTTGGGTGCTTCGAGCGCTTTCGGTGTCTCGCCTACCGTCCGGCCCTCCAGAGTAAATGCTGCCAACTCGGCTCCGTTCTCGTCGCTGCGAGTGTCGAACTTGGGGGGATACCGCAGGCCAATCGCGGAGTAGAGTCGGTAGTTGACAAAACCCAGCAGTGTGGTGTAGAACTGCACGAAGGTCGCCATGATGCGGTAATCGACATCTGCGTTCACGCGCTGCACAAAGCGGTACGGCACCAGCCACATGATGTCCTGGCCCTGGATAGTGGCCTGGTAATAAATACCTTTGATCGACAGGAATGATTTCCGCAACGAATTGGTGGTGATCAGATAGTGCTGGAACTCGTGGCAGAGACGTTGGCACAGCGCAATGGTCTTGGGAGGAACGTGGGTATCGGAGGGAAGAGTGGCGAACAGAAACAGAAGCGACAGTGCATCATCCAGATCGCGGAGGGCGTCGATAAAGGTTGGGTAGCGCTCTTTGATGACATGGTCCAAGGTGAGCTTCGGCGCATGGTTCTTCTCCAAGCGCGCAGCGTCGCTGACTTCTCCCCGTCCGAGGGAACGGGCGATCTTCTTTGCAAGGGCCTTTTGATCGCGGAATTTGTTGAGCAGCGGCTCATGCAACAGGTACTGGATGTCCTTGGTGTAGTAGAAGGTCGTGTTCGGGGTGGATGTCTTGGAGGCCTTTTTCTTACTCCGAGGCTCGCGGGGATAGATTCCTAAACCAATCGCAAAAACCCGTCAGCGCAGCCCATCGGAAGAAGTCGTCGAGGGAACTTACCCTTGAAGATGCATAGTCGGCGGAAATCCGGCAGCGAGATCTGAAGCTTCCGCACGGCCTGGGTGCGGGTGATGTAGTTTTTGGCCTGGCCAGAGGTACCTGAAGGGAATTAGCGACCGTGAATTAAAGGTTCCGAAAATCCAATCGCATACCCTTCTTCTTGATCTTAGCCATGGTGGAAGTGATTGTTGATAAGAAGAAAAAAAATCCTCGGCCACTTTTTTTTTCGGTCGCCCAAGTGGGTCCGTGCACCAAGGCGGCGTGGAGTGCCAGTAAGTCAGGTGTTTTGGTTTGGGACAAGTACAACACAAGCCAGAACAACCACCATGTCCGTGGACCGGCGCAAGATCGCCGTGTTCAGTGCGGCCTTTGTGCTGCGTCTGGTTCTGATCTGCTTGTTTCCTTCGCTGCCTGATCTGTTGACGGGTCGTGTCGAGGTGTCCACCCCCGTCAACAGCTTCAAGAGACGTGGGCTCTCCCCGAACCCCCGGTAGTGACGAGCGATGCTAACAGTCAATCAGTCCAAGAGGGCTTGTTCCTCTATACGCGAAATGTCTCGCCGTACGACGGTGGCGTTTTCCACCAGGTCAGTGCATTCCTGATGGACATGGACCAAGCACTCACTCACGCACTTGCCTAGGCCCCTCTCCTGTTACCGCTCTTCGCCCTCCTACCAGATACACAGCTCCACCCTTTGCCCACAGCCATATTCTACATACTCGTCGATCTGGTCAATGCCCAAGCGTTGGCCACCATCTCGGAATCCGGCCAGTCCGTCAAGTCACGATTACATTCGGCAATTCGGAAGCATATTCGATGGGATGGAGTGTCGGTGGCAGCATGGTGCGTGCGAACCGGCTTCCAGAGAGAACAATGCATCGCTGACTCGAGGATATTAGGTTCCTGTTCAACCCTTTCACCATTGCAACCTGCTTAGCCCGGTCCACGAGCGTGTTCACCGCATCGGGGATTCTGTTCGCCGTCTCCAATGCTGTCTCTGGGAATACGGTGAACTCAATGCTAGCCCTAGGGTTTGCATCCTACCTGTCTCTGTATCCGGCTTTGCTATTTGTCCCATTGGTCCTGCTCTGCCTTGATCAGCGAGTGCAGGGACAACCGCAGGTTCCGAGTGTCGCCTTGTTCGTGATCCAGCACGGCGCCATGCTGGTGGGCAGCGTATCAGCACTGCTTGGTCTCTCCTACTTGATTACCGGCAATTTTCGGGAATTCATATCCGCCACCTATGGCTTCCACCTTTTGGTGCCAGACCTGACCCCCAACTCGGGTCTGTGGTGGTACTTTTTCATCGAGATGTTCGACTCCTTCCGCGAGTTCTTCCTTGGGGTCTTCTGGCTTCACCTTGCCAGCTATGTCGGAGGTCTCACCGCGCGACTGAGACGGCAGCCTCTGTTCGTCATCACCTCGCTCCTTGGTGTCTTTGCCATCTTCAAGCCATACCCGAGCATTTCGGATGCGTCCTTGTTCCTTGCTCTGCTGCCCCTTTACCGACATCTGTTCCCCCGTGAGTGCCTCTCCATATTAATTAAATCCTGTGCTAGCTGACGCCAGCAGTGATGCGGTATACCTTCTTCGCCATCGCCGCACTCCTATATTCGAGTCTCCTCGGCCCCGCCTTTTACCACTTGTGGATCTACGCAGGATCCGGTAATGCCAACTTCTTCTACGCCATTACCCTCGTTTGGAGTCTGGGGTTGTCTATCCTGCTCGCAGACGCGGTGTTTGCCGCGATCCGCGACGAGTGGGAGCAGGAGCATCCCGAAGCGCAAGGCCAGCAGGTGAAACAGGTGTAATGTATATTATGTATTAGTCCATCGCACCATTCATTGCATTACAAAAAGGTACGAGGGGTAAAGAAATATCAACATTTGAAGCCGTCACTTCTTCAACCTCTTGGACAGAATCAAATAGTCCGCCTTGATCGTCCCGTTCCGCAACCTGCGCGGTTGAGGCGAGTACTCATCAATTTCGTATCCAAGCCGGTAATAAAACCGACAAGCCGTCTCGTTCGACTCGAAAACCGTCAACATAGCCTTCTCCACCCCAACCGCGCGCCCAATCCGCTCCATGCGCTCCATCAGCTCCCTCCCGAGCCCCCGTCCTCGCGCTGCGGGCGACAAGTGGATCTCGTAGCAGTAAACAACCTCTTTCCCGTCCTCGTACGTGACCATAAATGATAGAAATCCTAGCACCGGATCACCCTTGGCAGTTGCAGACGGTTGATCATTATCGGCATCATTGTCGTTGTTATTCGGGGATGCGGCGGTGTCTGCTCCCTTTCCTCTTATGATTATAAACTTCATATCGGGAAGCTGCATCTCCTGCCGCTTCTTGCTGCGGGACCAGCCCATGCTAGACGCGGCGTAGGCCGCGCCGGAGGTTTGCTCGACTAGGTCGAGACATGCTTCTAGATTGCGTCTCGAGATGTTCGCGGCGGAGTACACGTCTGAGGGCGGTGATGGACGCGTCGCATTTGATGCTGCCGGTGTGTTGGCGGATGGGCCCACGTAATGGGAGATGAACTCCTCGATGGTGAGGGCATTGGTACGTTCAACTAGCGGCAAGCCTGGAAGGATGGTTAGTGGTATTCGAAAAGGAAACTCAAGATATGTTGATGTTAACCTACTTTTCACCCTGCTCGGCCGGACGCGTCGCGAGGGCCGTTTGGCCTTGAGCTTTGTTACTTTGTCTGGTGTTGGGGACGGCATCTGTATCTAGAGGATCGATTGAAAGGGATAGCGAAATATTCAACGGCTAGTATTATGCCGGGTCGTCGTGTGTATAGCGACGTTGAAGTTCGTGGAAGCGGGATTCCATCTTTTTGGGTTCAGGCGCTTGTCAGCCTCCAGTACCCAAAAGATGGCAAGTATAGTTATCTATATTATTCACCGCCCTACCTAGAGTTGTATTCGTCGCAGTAGTCAGTCGTAAAGAAGGGAATGATAATAATGGAAATCGATCGCAGCACCAGGAGTCATGGTCACACACCTTATCGTCACTCAGAAGATGACCAAAGAGGACCGGGAGGCGATCACCCACGCAACGGCATAGTACCACACCTACCATTACCCTTGGCCCTTGGCGTCGAAAGGAAAAGGAAGTCACTACTAAATTGAAATTCTATAGATTTCCACAACGCCCGCGTAGAGAATCAAGGGAGACGACACAAACGAGAGCGTGGTTTCAGCGCTAAGTCGGCACTCGTACACGTCAACGGTCTCACTATTGATGAAGAACGATGTTTTCGATACTACAATCCCGAAACTTGGACCTAAATGGCTCGAAGAGGTAGTTACAGACTACCGAGTCAATCAGATCATGATTCCGACCGCGTACTGTCTACTTCGAAAAGAGTCGGGTGGACTGCGTCAGTAATTCGACGACCCGCCTCTGGATTGCACTCGAAGACGGATCCCGCCAACTGAGATTCACGACTGCTACCAGCTATAGATGGTTTTCATCTTATTAGCTAGGTCATGTACGTCGCTAAGCAACGACTATGAACTCGGTACCTGCTGAAGAAGCATCTTAGAGCCATTTGAGTATTTAGAAGTGGTCTGGAAGCAAGCCCTTACCGGCGTACCACAGATGTCAATACATAGATTCTTAGAGAGGTATTAGGGTCGTTGGGGAGATTAAGGCCCTAAGGGTTCCCAAGAACAAACTAAAATGCCTAACTGCACTATGTTGTTGATAGAATGATAAATATAGCCTGCGTCAAAAACGACCACTAACTAGCCTCTCCCACCGACCAATTCAATCACCCTTCCTAAGCTTAATAGCGTGCTCCTCAGCGCGTCTCTCAGCTTCAGCAGCTCCCAATTCACCGAAGATATCAACTCCCCAGCGGAAAGGGTAATTGTAGCGTTCATTCCTGTCCAGCTTGTTGATGGCCTCAAACTCAGCGTCGGGAATGACGAAATCTATAGCAGGTATTAATACCGCAAGAACTGACACATTATTTTCACAAATACCTTGGAAGTTGCTCTCAATGCGCGAAGGCGTGACGCTCTTCGGCAGCACTGCTGAGCCTCGCTGGACGGCCCACGAGATCAGCACCTGCGCAGGGTCCTTGTTCAGCTTCTTCGCAATCTCTACGACTAGTGGGTCGTCGACGACACTAAAGAGCATTGAACATCAGTAATTGACTCTCCGGTGAAGGTTTAATATGACATCTCACCGTGGCAGGTTGTAAATGTTGTTTCCGAGCGGGCTATATGCCACGGGGAGGATGTTCTGCACGGTAATCAAGTCAGCAAGCAAAAACCAGCAATTTCACTGTAGGTACGTACGTTCTCCTTGAGGAAATTGACCAGCCCGGGCTGAAGCAAGTACGGATGTGCCTCGATTTGGTTAACCGCAGGCGGGATCTTAGCAGTCTTGAGCAAGTTCTGGGTCGCCTCGACGGTGAAATTGCTGATTCCAATACTTCGAATCTTGCCAGCATGTACCAGCTTCTCGAGAACTGCCCAGGTGTCAGCGATATTGGTGTTGCCTAGGCGGAATCGCTGGGTGGCCGGGTCTATCGGGGTGAGGGTGTCGTTGGTGTGTTCAAAGGCCACCGGCCAGTGAATCTATACATAGCACACATTAACCAAGTGCTATCAATATTTAAGACGGGACCATACCAGATACAGATCTAAATAATCAGTCTGTAAATCCGCGAGGGTCTTGTTGAGGGCTTCCTCAATGTGGTCTGGGTGATGGTGAGTGTTCCACAGCTTGCTGGTGATCTATATCTCCCAAGTTAGATCTAGTATATTACTTCACAGCGGTGGTTACCCCACAAAGATCTGTTCGCGTGGCACCCCCGACTTCTTCCACCCATTTCCGACTTCGTTCTCGTTGAGATAGCACGCAGCCGCGTCGATGTGACGGTAACCCAGGCGGAGAGCGGTCTCAACGGCATTCTCGACTTCGTGCGGCTTCGACAGCTGTTATGGGAAGAATGATAGTTGAGCTTTGCGTCTCGCTACCCGAGAAAGAGAAGCATACCCAGGTCCCGAGACCGACGGCGGGGATCTCATGTCCCGAGTTAAGCTTGAAAGTTCGTCCGAGAGACATGTTTAATGGTCGAGTGGTTGGATAAATTCACAATGTTACAAGGAGGATATATGGTAGTGAGAAGGAATGGCAGTTGCTTTGTTGTTCTCTTCTACCCCTCCCCTTTCCCCTCCCCCTCCCCCATGATGGTCAGACCAGGGCTCTGGTAAGGTAACCTTGCGCCATATTCGAGTCAGAAAAGTGAGCAATCCTAGCCCCAAATTGCACAAGGACGGACCGGACCCTCAGTGGAGCATCTAGTTCTGCAGTCATGTATAAAAAGCATACTTTCCGCCATATTATTAAGGCTGGTAGGATATTGGCCAAACACATAAAGTGTCCGATCGGATAAATAAAACTCAATTATCGGCGACTTTTTCGGGCGAAGCTTTCATAATCGTTCCGTCATGGTTTCATGGTCCACTTTTGACATCATCCGGCAGCAACCGAGTATATATGCCGCCCATCCCGCTCAATGGATGTTACACCGACCTTTCTGCTTCCAAAATGGCTCCCACAATGAAGCAATGGATTGTGCAAGACAAAGAGAACGGCTTTGACGGCCTGGTCTTTCAACAGAGTGCTCCTGTCCCCAAAGTCGGCGACAATGAGGTGCTTGTCAAGTTGGAAGCCGCGTCGCTAAATTACCGCGACTTGATCATTCCGAAGGTATCTGACTTCCCATGAATAGTATTACTTCGTCCAATACTTACGGCCCGGTCGCGTAGGGCCTGTACCCCTTCCCTATCAAACTCCCTGTCGTTCCCGCCTCCGATGGCGCCGGCGAAGTGATCGAAGTCGGCTCCAAGGTCACCGAGTTCCAGAAAGGCGACAAGGTGGTCACGGTCTTCAACCAGGGCCACCAGTATGGCGATATTGATGTCCAAGCCACGAAGACCGGCCTCGGTGGTGTGATCGACGGCGCTCTGCGCCAGTATGGCGTATTCGACGAAAAGGGCCTTGTCAAGGCCCCTGCGAACCTCAATGCACTCGAGAATAGCACCCTTACCTGCGCGGCTTTGACCAGCTGGAATGCGTTGTATGGTCTCAAGCCGCTGAAGCCGGGCCAGACTGTGCTGGTGCAGGGGACTGGCGGTGTGAGCATGTTCGGTTTGCAGGTATATCTCCTTTTAACCATTTGACCGGACGGAATAATATTAACTGCTGTATTCAAAGTTCGCCAAAGCGGCCGGTGCGACCGTGATCGCCACCACTTCGTCCGCGCAAAAAGGCGAGAAGCTGAAGAAGCTCGGCGCCGACCATGTCATTAACTACAAGACCGATACGAACTGGGGCGAGACGGCACGCAAATTGACTCCCGGCGGAGCTGGTGTGGACTACGTTATTGAGGTTGGTGGCACTGGCACCCTCGAACAGAGTTTCAAGTGCATCAAGTACGAGGGTGTAATTAGTGTCATCGGGTTCCTTGGTGGTGTCGACCCCAAGGGCCAGCCCAGTATCTTAGACACTCTGAGTAACATTTGTACTGTTCGCGGAGTCTATGTGGGTAGCAAGGCTCTAATGAGAGATATGGTGCGGGCGATTGAGGCCAATGACATCCACCCGGTGGTGGATGAAAAGGTCTTTAATCTGGACCAGGCCAGGGAGGCCTATGAGTACATGGTCAGTAGTTCTTTGCATCTTTGTGAAGCGTACTAACACATCCCGACAGTGGGCTCAAAAGCACTTTGGAAAATTGGCGATCAAGATCGCTTGATCGTCCAGCTGAATATATTTCTCCTTTGGAGACCGAGATGCCCCGGCTTTCTATTGTGTTTGGTCTATATAAAATGTAATCGCTGGACCGTTCAAAAGAAGGGAAAAGCAAAAGTATGAAGGAAATTTGGGGAATAATATTTGTGATTGGCTTTTCTCCTGGAGAGTTCCGTAGTAGTAAATATCTTATCGTGGATGTAGATCGAGTGAGTTGTTCCCCGCCACCGAGGCTGATAAGTTCATCATGCATCATCCGGAGGCAAAAACAGCCAAACGAACCCTTCCAACTCTTGGTTAAATTACTGTGGCATGTTGTTTTCTTCGTCAAATCAACTAGTCAATTACCCTTCATGCAGGTCAACACTAGAAATTCCTCGACCCTGCCTATCCGGGAGCCGGGCCACCGCCAGAAACCCTCCCAAGCGGTCTTTCTTCGCCCGGCTCAAATGAGTTTGTTTGCACGAGTGACCTGCTACCCACCGCTGGGGCAGTTAACCTGCGTCCAGCGGGTGCAGAAGGCACTGCGATCTGAAGAGGATGACTCGGTGAGTTCATGTAGACATTCTGATGGTAAGAGTAAGCTAACAACACTTGCACAGCTCCACTTCACAGTCGTTATTGAATCCAGCAACGCATTTCCGGCGCAGTCCTGGGAAGCACAAATTTGGCACAACATCACCAGTACCGAATGGACTGCTCTGCCGCTCAGAAAGCGCGATCCATCGTCTGCACCTCTGCTGACCGGCGATGAAGCCGATTACAGCTATCATCGCTATGTATTCTCCGACGAGATCAAACTTCCCGCTACAGGGGGACATGCTCAATTCACTGTGCGGTTCCGGACCAGTCCTGACACGGAATGGCAGTGGGCCAATCAGCAGCGCCCCGTGAGTGATGGAGAGGTAGTATTCTCTCCTCGGAACTTGCAACCTGTACGAGGTCCCTCAACCGAGTTAGCCTCCACTGAGTCAACGACTACTCCGAATCCCAAAGAAGAACTTGGAAAGTATATCGACAACCTTTCGTCCGATGTGCAAGTCGAGTCCCGCGCGAGTGAAGCTCCCGGGTCCAGTCTTTGGGCTCTCTCTGGAGACGCGGAGCCGGCCAGAGAAGGAATCTCAGGCGTCAAGCTGGTGCCTTTAGGGACTCCGTCGTCTCTCCTCAAGTATTTTGCCCTGGTGCGGGTATGGAGTCCCTGGTTAGGGCCTCGACATGGTAAAGATAAGTTCCGACTTACGGAAGATGCACTACTGTGCTCGTTTCTCCGAAAGGATGGATTCCACCTGGTTCTGCTTGCAGTATCGGGTGTTAACGATGTCCTGACTCTTCTTCAATCCACGGATAATGGCGAAGTAATGATCAAAGCGCGTAGCGAGAATACGGAGACTTCCAAATTCCAAGTCATCGTTGCTGTTGCGGGGAACTTTGAAGTGGGCATGTCTGCGGTGATGTACGAAGCAAGAAAAGTGGTGAAACCGTTCACCGAAGCTGCCAATCTTTCACCTGCGGCTACCGAAGGTTTCTCTCCTACCTCACCTCCAGGCGACGATGATATGGTGGTCGTGGAAAAAGACCCGAAGATGCAGTGGCTCACTGAATGGTTTGATGGTCTGACTTATTGCACCTGGAATGGACTGGGACAAAACTTGACCGAAGAAAAGATCTTGCGGGCCTTGGAAGCTTTGAAAGCTCACGGAATCAATATCGTCAATCTCATCATTGACGATAACTGGCAGACTGTAGACAATGAAGGAGAGTCACAATTCAAGAGGCGCTGGCAACAATTTGAAGCAAACCCTAAGGGATTTCCTCAGGGGTTGAAGGGGACTGTGGAGGCCATTCGCCGGAATAATCCAAGCATCGAGCACGTTGCCGTTTGGCACTCTCTCCTAGGATATTGGGGAGGTATATCGCCAGATGGCGATCTCGTCCAGAGGTACAAAACCAAAGAAGTGAAGGTCAAAGACCCCGCCGCTGGCGGTCCCATTGCACAACACATCACCGATGGCAAGATCTTGGCCATTGATCCAGATGACGTGCAACAATTCTACGACGAGTTCTACAGCTATCTCATCTCTGTGGGCGTTGACTCGGTCAAGACGGACTCGCAATTTTTCATTGATCTTCTCGAAGACCCCGAAGACCGCAAGAGGTTCATAACATCCTACCAAGATGCTTGGTCGATCTCAGCCCTAAAACACTTTGGCACCCGGTCCATCTCATGCATGTCATTGATTCCCCAGATCATCTTCCATTCGCAATTGCCAAATAACAGGCCAGCAATCCCCGTACGGAATTCGGACGATTTCTTCCCGGAGATAGAAGCATCCCACCCTTGGCATCTCTTTTGCAATGCACACAATGCGCTCCTGACGCGATACTTGAACGCATTGCCCGACTGGGACATGTTCCAGACCAGCCACCCATACGCGTCGTTCCATGCCGCAGCACGATGCGTCTCTGGGGGACCAGTTTATATCACCGATGAGCCCGGTAAACACGACCTGAACATTCTCAACCAAATGACTGCGCCTACAATCCAAGGAGACAGCGTGATCCTGCGGCCCAGCGTGGTCGGCCGCACCATCGACATCTACCACGACTACAACGAAGGCCATGTACTGCGGGTCGGGTGCTACACCGGCTGGGCCAAAACTGGCAGCGGGATCCTAGGTCTCTTTAACATCCAGTCTGCGGAGGCATCATGTATGGTTTCACTCATGGATTTCCCGGGAATCCACGAGGACTCCGATGGGCAGTATGTCGTGCGCGCACATAGTAGCGGCAAAATCACAGCGCGGATGCGGCCACTCGCCCGGGATTCTTTGGTTTCTGTCGTCCTGTCGCAAAAGGGCTGGGAAATCCTGACTGCGTATCCGACTCGATCATTCACATTGAGAGGAAGTCAAGGATGCAATGCCTCTGGCAATAATTTGACCCATGTGGCAGTTCTGGGGTTGTTAGGCAAGATGACCGGCGCCGCCGCCTTGGTGACTTCAGACATTTTTGTGGTGGAGAATGGGCGCTTGCGATTTGATATTACCTTGAAGGCGCTGGGCACCCTTGGCGTTTATTTCTCGGACCTTCAGGACCGCAGCATTGCGCGTAATTTCATGGTCATGATCTCCGGACAAGCTGTGCCTCGGAAGACGGTCTGGAAGGAGGGTGGCGAGGATGCCAATGTGTTGGCCATAGATGTATTGGCTGCATGGAAGGCTCTGCGCCTGGACAGCGGATGGAGCAACGAAGTAGTTGTGCAGGTGTTTGTAGGTTGACAGATAGAAGAAAGGTGGCTCACGTTTCGGTTTCGTCTACCGGCTGCTTCTTTCCTTTGCCGTAATAGGAATGTATAGTTAGTTCGCATTATCGATGTTCCGGCCTCGGTCCTTATCGTCCCTGATTGTCGCGAACTGATATTTTGGACTCGACGCAATCACTCGATCTTCTCTACAACCACCCCTCTCCCCCCTACTTCAATTCCTGGTCCAATGCGACCGCAATCGGCGTCGCTCTCTCGAGCGGTTTGCCGCAATCCCCGACTACCCCCACGGACAACGTGCGGCGCGCGCAGCGTACCGGCGATCGCGACGACAAATCCGCTACGGAGTGAGCGTTGTCGACCAACATTACCCCCACGAGTTTCCGGAACTCAGCAACGATGGATGACATTGGGATGGATCCAGCGCATGAAAGACGGCGAGGACGAATGGGCTGAGCATGCGCGGCAGATCAAGGCCGGCCAGAGGAAAAGCTTTGTGCAGCACTTGGAGGAACGGGGATTGATTCATGATGTTGTTGGGTATGCACTTTATCTCCTCGATGAAACCTGTACAAATACAATTGCTGACCAGTGTGGGTTGATTACAGAGAGCGCGACCTGTTACATCGCCTTTTTACGGAGAAAAGAGTCGGGATGTACGTGGGAATCGACCCGACTGCGCCTTCCATGCACGTCGGGCACATGCTACCTTTCATGGTGCTGGCCTGGGGTTATGTCTGGGGTCTACCGGTGACATTTTTGGTGCGTTTCCTTCTGGGAGTTATGAGAGGAGTGGCTAATCCAACGCAGCTCGGCGGCGCTACATCTCGGGTCGGCGATCCCACGGGCCGGTTAAAGGGACGCGAGCAGGTTCATTCGTCCATCCGCAAGGCAAACATGGCCAGCATGCATATGCAGTTGAAAAAGCTGGGCGCAAGCATCGAGCAATATGGGAGGCGACACGGACACGAGCGGGAGATGATCTGGAGACGAGCGTTGGTGAATAATAATGTCTGGTGGAACAAAATGCCGTTCATTGAACTGCTTCGCGACCTGGGGGCATATATGCGACTAGGCCCTATGCTCGGCAGAGATACGTGAGTCTCGGGTGGCTTTGCAGATACGAGCTCAAGTTGCTAACAATGCACTAATAGAGTCAAGACCCGTCTGAATTCCGGTGACGGCATGTCCTTTGCCGAGTTTTCGTACCCGTTGCTCCAGGCTTGGGATTGGTGGCATCTGTTCAAGAAGGGTGTTCAAGTGCAAGTGGGGGGGTCTGATCAATACGGAAATATCCTGTTCGGCATGGACGCTGTCAAGTCGATCAGTCGGAACACGGCAGATGAGCAAAGCCGGCGGGAGCTGGAAGATGAGCTGGACCGGCCGATTGGATTTACAACTCCCTTGTTGACGGCGCCGTCGGGCGAGAAGTTTGGCAAGTCGGCGGGTAATGCGATTTGGCTTGACAAGGACATGACCTCGACTTTTGAGCTCTACCAGGTATGTTTCCCACGTGTCCACCTAATCCCTGGACTAACATCTTTCCAGTTCTTCGTGCGAACCCCCGACGATGTTGTCGAGCACTATCTGAAGCTGTTCACTTTTATTCCATTGCACGAGATTACCTCGATCATGGAGGAGCAGAACAAAGACCCCTCCAAACGAGTTGCTCAGCACACTCTGGCCTCGGAATTTGTCGAATTGATCCACGGCAAGGCCGAGGCCGAGGCCGTGGCCATGCAACACCGCCAGCTGTTCCGTCCACGCTCTTCTACCGACACCCCGACACCTTTTACCTTGAACCAAAAGTCCAACGATGACAAGTCTCGGAAACCCCCGCTCTTCCCGGACGATATCACTCCCCAGTCGGGCAACCGCTACGCGCCCCAGACGAACTTTGCCAACATGCCCGGCGGAAACAGGGTTGTCCTCCCCGAGTCGGTGGTATACAACACAACCTTCAACAAGGTGCTCTGGTCCGCTGGACTTGTATCATCCAAGGGTGAAGGCCACCGAGCTATAGCTAATAACGGAGCGTATGTTGGCAGCCTTCCCTGCAACACTGGCCCGATGAGAGATAACCTCACGTTCGCCCCGATCAAACCCTGGTTCGCGGATCGGACCAAGGACTATGTCATTGAGGGCAATCTCTTGTTCCTGAAGTTGGGCAAATGGAAGTTCAAGATCGTGGAGGTGGTGAGTGACGAGGAGTTTCGGCGGCGCGACTTGACTTGTCCGGGCTGGGGGGAGGAGGAGCCGGAGAAGCAGGAGGGAAAGGAACAGAAGGAATGAGGGATCATTTCTTCCGAATGCATCTCCCCTAATGTAAAAACATGTACTTCTACATCTACCCAATATATACTACTCCACATTCTGTATACATTGCCAGTCCCGTGACCACTCAACGCGAACGCGCCGCGCTTTACTTATCGCGCCCGCCTATCACTTCCTCATCCTTGTCTCCCTGCTGTTTCTCCCTGTCATTCGCTTCCCCCTTCAACAAACACTTCCAAATTAATACCATCTTGTGGTGATTGCCGTTCATTTCCATCCCAATTGAGCGCCATTCAATTTGCCCCCCATGGCGAAGGGACCCTCCGACTCGTCTCCCACCGCGACGCCCCCAACACGCCCACTCAAGAGAGCGACATCGAGCACCCAGAACATGAAGGCCCAAAAGTCCATTCTGGGGTTCTTTCAGAAATCCTCTCCCGCGACGCCTTCAACCGATCGTCTACGCGAACCCGCATCTTCGCCTGCTCAGCGGGCTTCGGAGCAGCGTGGCGCTGGTAGTGCTGTCAAGCGCACGCCGAAGGACCAGAAGAGGAGTTTCTCGAGTTTTGCGCAAGATTTGACGCCTGTACCGAGTAGTGATTTACCGGTACCTGAGGAGGAAGAGGGGAATGGCACGGTATGCTTTGCGTTTCTGGTTGATTGTTTCTGGTGGCCACTCGAGCTAATACAATTGCTTGCGGTACAGACTAGTCTTGATGGAGTACAGGATTCCGCAGTGTCTCCTTCGCGTCGGGTATGCTCACCGCTCACCTGCTATTGTCTCGGTCATTAAATACTCATGCCTTTCTTCCCAGAACAAGAAGCAAGTCAGCTACAAGGAGTCCGATTCGGAGGGCGAGGATAACGATGAGGTGATCTTCCGCCCAAACAGAAACAACAGCGTTCGCGGCCGCGCTTCCAAAAGAAGAAAGACGTCTCCGGACAGTGATGATGAGTTTCAGGGAGGCGCAGAGGAGGAGGGGGATTCTGATGATGGTATATGCCTCACTGCTACCCGCTATGCTTCTCGCTAACAGGATTTAGAAATGGATGATTTTATTGTTGCCGATGATTCTGATGAAGACGCTGCTCCAGCAAAGAAGCGCAAGCGACCCTCGGCTCCTCCCTCGTCGGCGCGTAAGCCATCTCAGAAATCGTCATCTCTACCACCACCCCCATTTGTGGATGAAGACCTTGATCTCGATCTTCCTGAAGGTTCCTCTGGCACTGCCACGAAGTGGACATTTGACCCCGAGAACACCGAGCCTCGCAAAGAGAGAGTTTCTGCAACTCCGAAAACGCCTTCTAGTCAACGCAAGCAGAAGGCTCACGTTAAGGAGCCCGAAGACCGATACCCGTGGCTCGCCAATATTAAAGACATCGATGGCAACCGCCCCGGATCTGCCGAGTACGACCCTCGGACCATCTATATCCCTCCACTGGCCTGGTCCAAGTTCTCGCCATTCGAAAAGCAGTACTGGGAGATTAAGCAGAAATTTTGGGACACGGTGGTGTTCTTCAAAAAGGGCAAGTTCTATGAGCTCTACGAGAACGATGCTACCATTGGCCACCAGCTTTTCGACCTAAAGCTCACAGACAGGGTCAATATGCGCATGGTCGGTGTCCCTGAGATGAGCTTGGATCACTGGGCCAACCAATTTGTTGCCAAAGGTTTCAAAATTGCCCGCGTGGACCAATCTGAGTCTGCACTGGGCAAGGAAATGCGCGAGCGAGACGGCAAGAAAGGAAAAGAGGAGAAAATCATCAAACGGGAGCTAGCGTGCGTCCTGACCTCTGGCACCCTGGTTGAAGGGTCAATGCTCCAAGATGATATGTCGACATACTGTGTTGCGATCAAGGAGGCTATCGTGGATGACTGTCCTGCTTTTGGATTGGCCTTTGTCGATACGGCAACTGGCCAATTCTTCCTTTCTGAATTTGTTGATGATGTGGACATGACCAAGTTTGAGACCTTTGTCGCGCAGACTCGCCCGCAAGAATTGCTGCTGGAGAAGTCTTGTGTTTCGCATAAAATGCTGCGCATTCTGAAGAACAATACCGGCCCGACGACCATCTGGAACTATTTGAAGCCCGGAAAAGAGTTTTGGGAGGGAGACATCACCTTGAGGGAGCTCGATGCCAGCGAGTACTTTGTATCCCAGGACGACGACAACATCAACGCTTGGCCCGAAACTCTTCGTGAAGCCCGGGAGAAGGAGTTGCTCATGTCCGCCTTCGGCGCCCTTGTTCAGTACCTAAGGGTCCTCAAGATTGAGCGCGATCTGATCACAATTGGGAATTTCACATGGTACGACCCTATTAAGAAGGCTTCCAGCCTAGTGCTTGATGGTCAGACCCTGATCAACATGGAAATCTTTGCAAATTCGTTTGATGGGAGTACCGAAGGCACTCTGTTCCAGCTGCTGAACCGCTGCATCACCCCGTTTGGAAAGCGCATGTTCAAGCAGTGGGTGTGCCACCCATTAATGGATGCAAAGAGAATCAATGCTCGGTTGGATGCCGTTGATGCATTGAACGCGGACCCAAGCGTCCGAGATCAGTTTTCATCACAGCTGACCAAAATGCCCGATCTGGAGCGGCTTATCTCGCGTATCCATGCCGGGAACTGCAAAGCACAAGACTTTGTCCGTGTTCTTGAGGGGTTTGAACAAATCGACTACACCATGGGTCTCCTCAAGGACAGCGGTGCTGGTGAAGGGATCATCGGAGAACTGACTTCCTCGATGCCAGATCTGGCTTCGCTTCTGGCATACTGGAAGACTGCATTCGATCGCTCCAAGGCAAAGGAGAACGGCATTCTAGTCCCAGAGCCTGGAGTCGAGGAGGATTTCGATAACTCCCAGGAGCGCATTGAACAGCTGCACCGAGATCTGGACAATCTGCTCAAGAAAGCACGCCGTGACTTGGGCTCCAGTGCCATCTGCTACCGTGATAACGGTAAGGAGATTTATCAGTTAGAGGTGCCCGTCAAAGTGAAAAATATCCCCAAAGACTGGAACCAGATGTCAGCGACTAAGCAGGTGAAACGATATTACTTTCCCGAGCTCCGCAGCCTTATTCGCAAGTTGCAGGAGACTCAGGAGACTCATGGCCAGATCGTTAAGGAGGTCGCTGGGCGCTTCCATGCTCGCTTTGATGAAAATTATGGTACATGGCTCGCTGCTGTCAGAATTATTTCGCAGCTTGATTGCTTGATCAGTCTAGCTAAGGCCTCGGCGTCCTTGGGCCAGCCTAGCTGCCGACCTGTCTTTGTGGAGAACGAACGTAGCGTGCTGGAGTTTGAGGAACTGCGTCATCCATGTTTTCTCTCGTCCGGAGGAGACGACTTCATTCCCAATGATGTGCAGCTTGGAGGCACCCGACCCAATATCGACCTGCTAACGGGTGCCAACGCTGCCGGAAAGTCTACCGTCCTTCGAATGGTCTGTTTTCCTTCTTCTGATAATACATGAACCCTCACTAACTGCTGCCCACAGACCTGTGTTGCAGTGATAATGGCCCAGATCGGCTGCTACCTTCCCTGCCAGTCCGCTCGCCTGACCCCAGTAGACAGAATCATGTCGCGCCTAGGTGCAAACGACAACATCTTCGCCGCGCAATCTACCTTCTTCGTCGAGCTCTCTGAGACAAAGAAGATCCTCTCCGAAGCAACTCCCCGCTCACTTGTCATCCTCGACGAGCTCGGACGTGGAACAAGCTCATACGACGGCATCGCCGTCGCCCAGGCCGTGCTACATCACATCGCTACGCACATTGGTGCCCTGGGCTTCTTCGCAACTCACTACCACTCCCTCGCAGCAGAGTTCGAGGGACATCCCGAGATCGCGCCAAAACGCATGGCCATCTACGTCGACGAAGAAGAGCGCCGCGTTACGTTCCTCTACAAATTGGAGGACGGTGTTGCAGAAGGCAGTTTCGGTATGCACTGCGCGTCGATGTGTGGTATCCCCAACAAAGTCATTGAATGTGCGGAAACGGCTGCGAAGCAGTGGGAGCATACTAGCCGTCTCAAAGAGAGTCTGGAGCGCCGCAAAGGTGGTGGGTATGTTGGTTTGGGGTGGTGGAGTGATGTTGCATGGGCATTGAGGGAGTCGGCTACTGATGCTGATCCTAATGCTGGGCACGTCTCTGATCGTGGGCTCGAGGTCCTGTGCAGAGCTATTGAGGCGCTTTGAGCCGTTTTCTTCTTTTCGGCCTTGTTTTCTTTCAGTTGTGGTCCGCGGTGTTGATGTCTTGTGCATCTATGCTCGGTCTCTCGGGGTAATCCATCATATATTTCCTTTGTTTCCTCTTATGCTCCAATGGTGTATGGCAACCTAGCTGTTCCCTTGATCATTTCCAGTCTCAATCATTTCATATCTAGTCTCTTACGGAAAATCTTACAATATATATCTCTACCCGCACCACTCCGCCCTGAGGCAAGGACGGAAGAGAAGCGGCGGACACTACGAATTAGAAACATTTCCTTGGCAAAACATAACGCCTAGATGATCTAGTAGATCATAGTAAAAGCAAGATAGTCGTCAGGTAGCTCACCCTACCACGACCATCGTCAAAACAAAAAGCCCTCATTCGAAAGATCCCAATGGAAAACAACCCCTTCTCCCCCCAAAGAAGATTACCGAGATTCGATGAAAAACCAGCCACGACTCTCATGACGAACAAATCCCTAGTACCTCGGATATGCACGAATCAACTCTAAATTTCCCAAGAAAAGCAGCAAAGTGCTATGGCTGAACGAGATGGCCAGGGGAAAAGCCAGCTTAGACTTCAACACCTCCAAAGAGCTCCTCGTTGTCTGGGTAGTTAAAGGCAGATTCGCCATACTCAGGAGCGGAAGCCAACTGAGTCAAGGCAGCTTCCTCTGCCTTGACAAAGCTGTCAGTGGCGTGCTCGGCAGTAATATTCTCAACGACCCCGGACTCGGAAGACTTGACATTGGACTTCAGAGTGATCTTCACCTGCTTGGCTTTTTTGCCACGAGCGGCCTTGGCCACCGGCTCGTATTCAGTATCGGAGTCAGTCTTATGGCGACGGCCCTTCGGGGTAGGCTTCAAGGGAGTGGCCTCCTCATCGTCAGTAGTAACCGCCCCTTTCTTCGAAGGAGTGTTGGGCTTGGCTCTGCGAAGTTTGAGCAGATCGGCAGGGAGCTCAATGCCGAGGTCATCGACAAACTCAGCAAAATTTTCTTCGAACTTGCGGCGGGCCGCGTTGTAGCACACGCGAGAACTGTTGGGGTTCTTGAAGCCACCGAGTTGGTAAAGAAGCGCATGGTTGGGCTATCAAATGTTAGTATGTAGTCCTGGGGAAAACAGAACTCTAACCACGCGAATATTACATACCTTGGGGTTATCGGCGGCACAGGCCATGCCGATCAGGAGGACTCTGGCCTCTGCACCAGTAAGGCCGAATGGAAGATCCGGCTTCTTGGGAGTGGCATCTCCCTTGACCGGAGTCGACAGCTTCACGGGAGTCGACATCTTTGTAAAGAACAAGAAAAAGTGGACGGCTTGAAGTGAGAGTAGTGATATGTCAGTTGAAACTCAAATACGATTCACCAATGTGCTGAGATCATGAGGCATACTTACTAGTTATGAGCCTTACGTATGGCAGGAAGTGGCTATGCTGGATGGAGTCGGTGAATGCGAGGTGAAGGGAGGAAGAAAGAGGTGGGAAAAGGAGGAAGAAGAAGAAGAAGAAGAAGAAGAAGAAGAAGAAGAAGAAGAAGAAGAAGAAGAAGAAGAAGAAGAAGAAGGAAGAGGAGGATGAAGAAGGAGGAAGGAGGAAGGAGGGAGAAGGAAGGAGGAGGAGGAAAGAGGTGGGAGAAGGAGAAGAGTAGCTGGAACTGCTCGAGGCACTTGCTTGATACACAAAGAAAAGAGTCGGTGTTTGCCGCAAAACTCACTCAGCGAGGCAAACTTGGAAATCGAGGACAGCAGGCAGCCAGTAGAACGAAGGGAAAAGAGTACATATGGAAGACATAAACAGATACACAGAGGCAGAACAGCAAACACCACCTATATAAATATACAGAAGAAGATAACATGATGACATTATCAATTAGACTTTAGATGACGGACGCGTATTGCTCATGATGCGCCGATGAATATGCGGCCACAACTCAGGATAAAACACCGAAGACTGCCTCCCCGGCTGACTTTTCTCAGCAGCGAAGAACTGCGTAGGAGATCGCCCTGCCCACCATGGCCGTGGGGCCGGGCAGAGATTCCGGAAAGCAACAGGCCGAATCGGATCGTGGTCTGGGATGAGGTCCCCAATCCGCACTGATGTCTGTCGTGGAATGGTGTTGAATCTCATGGTGTTGATATACAAGATAGCCGTGGGCGGCAGGTCCTTAGCGTAGTGGAATGCTGTTTCCCGGGTTTTGCGTGCAAAGGCAGGTAGTGCCAGGTGGATGAAGTTGACGTAGGGTGCTGAGGTGTATGCAACGAAAAGCATGGGTAAAGTACCGCCCGCGATTACTGTTTGTTTTTAGCAAGCGCAGACTGATAGTTCATCAACGGAAATATTACCTGCTGGCGTGGTATACCAGGGATAACCTGACTCGTGGCAAGCTGGGGCCACGATTAAACAGGCTGCCCCGAAGAGGAGGATCGTGGTGACGCGAAGCACCCCTAGGAACATGGCCCGGCCGGTCCCTCCATAGTAGACCAATAGCCTCTCTGGTTGTCCTGCACAAAAGAGTCAAGACGCCAATCTACCATTGGAGAAATTCAGCATACCTTTTCTGACCGCTGCGACTCTTGAAGGTGCGGATGATGGGCCGGAGTCTTTGGACTTGAGAGACACCTGGTCATGCTTCTGGGAGGCGCGAGTGTGAGTGGTTTTGAACCGGGTGACGAGCCGGCTGCACAGATCCCTCTGTGCACATCTTGGGATTGAGGCCCGCAACTGCGGATGGAGTAGTATCTGGAGTCGCATCGCGGTTGTTCAAGGAAGTTGTTGTCGAGATAAAGATTGCGCCGACAGAAAGTGGTGACCGCCTTCCACCCACATCACCGCTTTCCGTCCCTTTGTCTGACATACCTGGCATGTCTGCAACATCCATGCGTGTCTCGGTGTTTTGAGAGTGTGAAGGGAGAGTGTCTTTTCTTTGGCGCCATGTCTGTGGCTTATTATGGCCTTTGTCGCCATTTCTTCCTACTTGGCCTCAACCTCCTGACGCTCCTGCTTCCCGGTGAGGCCTACGAGAGCATCTCCGACGAGACACTACGCAGCCTGCCCCGGCCAGGGAATGACTTCGATATCCACAATGGCGCGCTCCTATCCCCGATTCTAATTCCCCGTGTTCCTGGCACTCCTGGCTCCACTGCAGTGCTCAATCACTTTGTCGACTTCTTTCAGATGACGTTGCCTGAATGGAGGATCGAGTTCCAGAACTCGACCTCGACGACACCCACGTCTGGTGGGCAAGATGTGCCATTCGTCAACTTCATTGCCTCACGTGATCCACCGGGAGCTTCGCCTGGCGGCGTGGAGTATGTAACATTTGTGGCGCACTACGACAGCAAGCTGGAACCGGAGGGATTCATTGGCGCCATCGACAGCGCGGCGCCATGCGCGATTATCATGCATATGATGCGCAGCATCGATGCAGCGCTGGGAAATAAGTGGAATGCGATGCAAGGAACGAAGGCTTCATCACTGGACCTGAAACGGGGCATCCAGGTAATCTTTCTTGATGGCGAGGAGGCCTTCAAAAGTTGGACCGCCGACGACTCCTTATATGGCGCCCGCTCTCTGGCAGAGCAGTGGGAAACTCAGATGCACCCAGCCATGTCCGATTTCAGAACTCCGCTGTCTGCCATCTCCCTGTTTGTGCTTCTGGACTTGCTAGGTGCGCAGGGCCCGTCGATTCTGTCCTACTACCAGACTACGCACTGGGCCTATAAGCACTTGGCCTCACTGGAGCAGCGACTCCGCTCTCTAGACATATTTAAGTCGTCGCCTGGCCTGCCGTGGTTCCCTGATGCTGCTAAAGATGAGCATGAACTCAAGGTGTTTGGCGGTATCCAGGATGATCACATTCCTTTCCTGACTCGAGGCGTGGAGATTCTTCATCTGATTGATTTTACACCCATGCGGAAAACAGGGTTTCAGCCGGTTTGGCATACAATTGATGATGATGGAGAGCATCTCGATATAAACACTGTGGAGGACTGGAGCTTGCTCATGACTGCCTTCGCCGCCGAGTGGATGGATCTCGAAGGGTATTTCGACACCGTTGATGGACCTACACCGAGATACGAGGCTCTAGCCAACGCAGAGGCGATTGAGTTGGACAAAAGGGATGAATTGTAAGCGCTCGCTTCCGATTGTCACTCTTTCGTGTGATCCTTGACCTTTGGATGGCCATTTTGGATGTTTGATACCCAATCATGTTTTATTTAGCGTATATGGCATCTTAACTATTCATGTACAAGTTGTTTTTGGATCATAGCCCTTGCTAATAAGCTCTCGTGTATAGTCTATAACTGGATGATATCATCAGCGCAAAAAAACAAGCCGCCCAACAATATAATTTTTGGTCCGATACCTTGGGGCTGTTAGAGCAGATTCCCCAGCATATACCCGACCATCGTCACCAAGCCCCAGGTCGGCTGAAGCACGGCTCGCAAAATCGCCGGACCGGGACAAACACCCCTTAAGCCCCAAGCAAGGCCGAACGCTGCCGCACCCATCATGAATCGCCAATCAATATCACCCACTGTCGCGGTGGGAAGTCTCCATTGTTCTGCGAGGGTAGGTTTCGCCTGCGGCTTTCCCTTCTCTGGAGATTGACCAGGCTTCGTGCTCAAATATGTGACCAACGACGGCCCGATCCCAAAGAGGACAATCAAAGCTAGCGAAGGATCAAAGCGAGACAGGTCAGTCAGGAAGGCGAAGAACCTGAGCACCTTGGCCGAATCCGCCATCCCGGAAATCAACAGGCCCGTGCCAAATTCCAGTCCCGCCACATAGGAGAAGATCGTCTTGGATTCTGGTGATCGATGGAGCATCCGCGGGACGATCGCAAAGTTCGTGATACTCGCCAACAGCGCCGCGGCCGCCATGAAGACCAGCTCCGACAACGAGGGGTTAATTGGAGTGTAGCATGGCGTGGCACCGCACGAAGGGATATTTGCACCTCCTGAGGCAAAGTTGGCCGTGAGCAAGGCCGTCGTGAAGAAGACAGCCGTGGCGATCAGCGAGCGTGGCGACAGCCGCGAAAGTCCACAGAGCATGTGGCCCGACGTGCAACCCCGGCCATTCTATGATTTCGACATCATGTCAGTCATGTTTTCACCGTGACGAGAAGGATAGCATTCGTTACCTTTGTTCCCCAGCCTAAGAGGAATCCCACACCCAGGGTAGCAGCCGCAGAGGCCAACGACTGCGGCGCAGGAGGATAGCTAGGGATCAATGAGGGCGTTAGAAGGAAGACAGGAGCAATACTGGAGACTAGCCCCGCGATTATGGGGACGTTGTCCCGACTGGGGTTGAAGACGCATCCCGACAGCAGGGAGGAGATGCCAAAAACGGCGCCGTTGTGCAGGAGCAGGCCAGATGAGCCCTGGAAGAGCAGCAGGGCGCCGAACGAGGTGTGAATTGGAGTGAACATTTTCCGGTCTGTTGGTTTAGCGCACTCAAGTTCTTCTCTGATGTCATGAATCCCGCATCGTGGGCGGCGGTGATTTGTTTTTGTGTCAATATTCAAGTGGCCAGGGTTGGGAGAGGATAACTAGGAGGCGATAGGCAAACGCAGGATCGCATCATTTGGGGACATGTCAAACGTTAAAAAGGAGCCTCGGAAGGATCTGTCTAGAGTTAGCTGGTAGCTTTCCGCATTCGGGGACCCCACGAAATGGTCCCCGAAACTCTCCCCGACGAGCCAAGACTGCCGATTATCAGTCCGAGATCGACCGCTTTTATAGTTTCAAGTTTCTTGCTCCCTACCTTGGCAGCCATCCGTTGCAAGGATGGCCAATGACCGTAATGGCGAAGTATATAATCCTGGGCCGATGCAAGTATGAGGCTCAGCACGTCATCATGGCAGGAAGTATACTATGCTGTCCACGTGCACCCTGCATCCTCTATCTCTCTCTTTCCTCCCATCAACTCCTCCGCCTCTCTGGGCTACCCTTCGTTTCATCCGAGAATAATCCCAGGCTATTCCCCGATTGAACCAGTATGGGGAACATCCCCAGTATCCCCGGCCACGACTGTCTCCTCAAGGCAGTCGGCCACAGCACAGACCTAGTAGCCTTTCGAGGCGATCCATTCTTCCAATTCCATGCTCTGCCACTCTACAACTTGAATCTGCCCGTGGCTCCTGCCGTGATCACGTACCCGAAAACGACGGACCAGGTCGCTGCGATTGTGCGATGCGCTGCGGATCACAACTACGAGGTCCAAGCCTACAGTGGTGGTCACAGCTATGGTAACTATGGTATGGTAATGCCACCCAAATCCTCGCCTTGACTCTGATACAATGTATCACCACAGGCCTGGGTGGATCCGATGGCGCGCTTGTGGTCGACCTGAAGCACTTCCAGCAGTTCTCCATGAACAACGATACCCATGTCGCGACAATTGGTGCCGGTACACTCCTCGGCGATGTTCAGACGCGTCTTCACGATGCAGGTGGTCGTGCAATGGCCCATGGATCTTGTCCTCAGGTAGGCTCGGGTGGTCACTTCACCATTGGCGGACTCGGCGCCATGTCCCGGGAATGGGGCACCGCCCTCGACCATGTCCTGGCGGCGGAAGTTGTGCTGGCCAACGCGAGCATTGTCTGGGCCTCGGACACGCAGAACCAAGATGTCTTTTTCGCTATCAAGGGTGCAGCCGCCAGTTTCGGGATCGTCACCCAGTTCAAAGTTCGCACGCACCCCGAGCCCACCGAGGCCGTTCAGTATGCATTCACGTTCAACTTGGGTACCACCGCTGCCAAGGCCAGCCTCTTCAAGGACTGGCAGAGACTGATATCGCAAGATAATCTCACCCGCAAGTTCTCGAGCGAGCTCGTCCTCTTCGGAGGAGGCGTCCTGGTGTCTGGCACTTTCTTCGGATCTCAAGACGAGTGGAACGCCTTCGAGCTGGAGAAACACTTCCCCATCAGCAACTCAGGGAATGTGGCGCATCTGACAAACTGGTTAGGTATGCTAAGCAGCGCAGCAGAGAATCTCATCTTACAGATCGGAGGCGGCATTCCGCAGTCCTTCTATGCCAAGTCGATGTCTTTCACACCCGACACGCTCATCCCTGACGCCGGTGTGGATGCTATGTTTCGCTTCATAGACACGACTGCCAATGGAACCATTGCGTGGTTCGTCATCTTCGACCTGGAGGGTGGTGCGACGAATGATGTCCTGGTGAATGCCACCGCGTATGCCCATCGTGAAACCATAATGTGGATGCAGTCTTATGCGATCAACTTTTACCAGCCCATTCCAGAGACAACGAAAAGCTTTCTCAATGGTCTGAGCGACACCATTTCTTCTGCTCGCCCCGGAACTTTCTTCGGGTCGTATCCGGGGTATGTGGATCCATACCTGGAAAACCCCCAGAACGCATACTGGGGTACAAACCTAGACCGGCTGCAGCAGATCAAGATGGCTATTGATCCACACGATATCTTCCACAACCCGCAGAGTGTTCCGGTGGTTTCGAAGTAGCGTCATGCCCTAACTGTATTTATTATTAACCGACACGGTCGTGCAGTGGAGACATGGGCGATGGGTCTCTAAGATCATGACTCCGGATGACGAGAGATGGTCGATGCAGTGATGATTTTATGTCTGTTTCTTTGTTATGTATCAGATACCCAGTATTATTTTTGTGAGAATTCAATGACAGCGATTATTTTTCCGTCACTTCCATTTCCAACTGTTGTTGATGCCAATGACTAAGCTCTGCATCACTCGAGCTGCTTGTTCGATGCTCGACGTTCTCCTCTTCATGCCCAGGTTCGTTGATCCCATGTATGCTTCGGCTGATAATTGTATGCAAACTAACCGCGTATCCAGAATGAAGCGCAGCTGGAGCTCAGACAGTAACGGAGAAAGCGGTGCACAAGAAACAGATGGACCTGAGCCGCAAGGCCCTGTCCTTTCCAGCTTAAAAGCATCTGTATCACCTCCACCAAGAAGACCTACAGTAAACCAGAATATTCACAAAGAGCCCTCCCCAAACCCAAATGCTTCCCCAAATGCTTCCAACCCGCCCACACCCAGTCTAGCCGCCATTGAAGCTGGTCAGGTCCAAATCAACAACCACCTAGCCATCATCTCCGACAAACTGAGCCAGTGCACACGTCCCTTATCAGACCTACCGGCAATACCCAGACTCTCAATCGACAAGTGGATCGATCTATACCGACGCAACGAAGACGCGCGGGGACACCACTTCGTAATCCACCAGCACGACCACCCCATCGCGGGCCCCCATTATGACCTCCGTCTTCAATTCTCAGAGACCAGCTCTGTCAGCTGGTCCATTATGTACGGCCTGCCGGGGGATCCGAATAGCCAGCGATTGAATCGGAATGCAACTGAGACTCGCGTTCATTGTCTATGGGTTGGTGATGGACATGTCATCTTGTGCTATTCTTATTGCTAACCATATTGCCGTCCCAGAACCATCTACTTGAAACGGCATCTTCTCAAACGGGCAGTATGATTATCTGGGACACGGGCGAGTACGAGGTTCTGCCCTACAGCATGGATCAAGCCGAGCCGGAAACCGATGATTCTCGGGCCGACGCCTCAGACGACCCCATCTCCTTCTCGCCCGGCGACCAGGTCCCCGAGAGTGTGAAGCTCCATGAAGCATTCAACAAAGTGCGTACAATATTGCATTTGGGGAAAGCGGGGCCATTCTGCTGACGCGTCCCACCCGTCGCTCTCTAGCGCAAGATTCGCCTCCGATTACACGGGACGCGGCTGCCGGCTGGGTATACGATTGCACTCCGCATGGACAAAAGCACTGATTTCGTGAGACCGATTCGCGACGGGCCGAAACGGCGGCGACGCCCTTTACGACAGGCGCTACCCAGACGGGCGGCTCAGGAACCATCGACTTCTAGCTCCGAATCCCCACCGCCATCGGAGGACAAGCTTTCTTCGCTGTCGCCGAGCCTGCAAGAGGAGAGGGTCCACTCGGACCACACTGATTCCGGTCTACAGATCCAGAGAAACAATGCGTACCCGGGGTCGTTTAATACCATTGGCTCGATTCACCAGCGGCGTTGGTATCTCAGCCTGGACCGGCTCAATTCGGGGTTCGAGCCACCGGTCCGGACCAAAGCGAATAAATGGACGCGGCGGCAATCGCGGCAATCGGATCATACTGACGGACCGTTCGTGTTGGGATTTGAACCGTTCTACGTGGGCGGGCCGGAGGTCGAGCGGAGTGTGGTGACGGGACGCCTCGGCGCGGATGTGCTGGAGGACGAGGGCGTCGATGACTTTGTCCCTCGGCGGGGGTGGAGGGCGATCTTGCACTGAGATTAGCGTACGTCCTATCGACCGCCTTTCCATCCTGCTCTGTCGTTCGGGCGGGTTGCGCCGCCCGTGGCGTGGCTCAAGAGGTATCGGTCGTGCAGGAGGCACGAGCGTTCGGACTCCACTGCTTTGCGCCGGGTTGCCCTCAAGGAGTGCCCGTCAGTGAGTCATGCGTATAGTGTGCCTCCGATGGAGGAAGAGTTACATCCCAGCCGATGGTTGGCGTAGATCTGGCGCCTTCCCGCGTATTATGGTCTAATCCTGTGAATCAGTCTGAGTCAGAAGTCGAGTAGTTTTAGCTAGAAGAATTATGGAGTCAAGTTTCCCCGCTTGGCTGTCCCGTTGACGGAGGATTGTGAGAAATCTCCGTTTCTTCTTCTTCTTCTTCCACCCTTTCTCTCCTAGACCAACACTCTACATGGAGCATGCTTGATCCGCAGAAGATCTCCTTCGCGACGGGCTGTCTGGCCGTGTTGCTAGCCGGTCTGGTCTCTGCTCCCGCTATCAAGAGTATCTCTAGCCGAGTCGCGCGCAAGGCGGCCCGGGAAGATGAGCAGTCACTGGCAAAGGTCGCCTATCGTGATGAGGACGGCGAGGCAACCGAGGAATCGCTGAGGGTCTTTTCGGATAAATGGCAGCGGATCTTGATCTCCCTGACCTCGATCGCCGGACTACTAGTTACTCTGGCGTTGGCCGTTCTGACAACGTTGAATGACAGCATCAACGACACGCCACTCATATGGCTGCAATTCGGTGTCTGGGTATGTTTTCAGTCCAATCACGTTGTCTCGGTAGACTTAGATCTGATCCAAAATGTAGGTCTTTCTCTCGATTCAAATGATCGTGTTTTTCACGGAGCCGCGGCCCACACGCCGATTTGACCACGCCGGCTATGCACTTTGGGGCAGTCTCATCGCCGTAGCACTTCCCGGGGTGCAGATTGCCCTGGCCTTCTACGGTGGCAAAACTCTTCCTCACACCCGCGCCTGGGTCGTTCTGCTGATCGTGCAGATTGCCTGCGCACTCTTTCGAGGCTTGTTCTGCGTTCTCCTGCCGCGCCGACCCGATGTGTACTTCGAGGGCCAACTGGTGGACCAGCAAATGACCGTCTCCGCACTCAGCCGATTCACATATTCCTGGGCCAGCACTCTTCTCCAGTATGCAGTCAACAACAAGACGCTGGATATCGACAGTCTCCCGAAGCTGTCATTGCCCGTGCGCGCTCACAGCCTGCGGGCCAACTTCGAGCGAGCCCTAGGATCGCGAAAGATTTGGAAAGCCATTATCTTTGCTCACTACAAGGACATTGGTCTACAGATGATGTTGACGCTGGCAGCCTGCTTACTGAGTTTCGGTCCCCAGGTCGCTTTGTATAAGATCGTGAACTCCATGGAAGCTCGCGGAACGGAGTCGGGGGTTACCCTCCAATCCTGGGTGTGGGTCCTTGCCTTGGGAACCCTGATGCTGGTGGCTTCCAGCCTCGAGGCCTGGTTGTTCTGGGTGATTTGCTACCGGCTTGGTCTTCCCATCTACGAGGAACTATCCGCCACGATCTTTGCCAAGGCCATGCGCAGGAAAGATGCGAAACATACAAAGAAATCTAAAGATGCGGATAAGAAGCCTGATGCCTCGTCCAAGGCGCTACTGGACGAGCAGGAGGAAGAAGACGACGACGAAGAGGCCCTGAAGAAAAGCCGACAGAGCGTCATCAACCTTGTTGCCGTGGACGCTAGGCGGATTGCGGACTTTGCAACCTTTAACTACCTCATCCCGCTCGCGACAATCAAGGTAATCCTGGGCTGTGTTTTCTTGGTCAAGATTCTCGGATGGCGCAGCACAATGGCCGGTCTAGGTGTTTCGGTACTCGTCACGCCGTTGAATATCTACGCCGCCAAGAAGTTCACCAATGCCCAGGACCGACTGATGAAGGCCCGTGATCAAAAAATGGCTGTCGTAACGGAGGTACTTCAGGGGATCCGGCAGATCAAGTTCTCTGCTCTAGAGGAGCAGTGGCAGAAACGCATTGGGGAAGTGCGAGAGACGGAGCTGACGGCTTTGTGGACCGCGTTCCTCTATGATATTGGCCTGATCTCGATTTGGATCCTCGGGCCTGTAGGGTTGTCAGCGGTCTCTCTCACGGTGTATGCTCTGATTAATGGTGGCCTGGAGGCGTCAGTTGCCTTCACGGCCATGTCAGTCTTTGGTTCCCTGGAGTTATCGCTGGCTATTATCCCAGAACTGACGGCGGATGGCCTGGAAGCCATGGTCAGCGCAGACCGCATTGACAAGTACATGAGGACGCCTGATAAAGTCGTCAACACGGTCCCCGCTGAGAATATCGCCTTTGAAAATGCCTCGGTGGCATGGCCCGCAGATCAAACAGAGGACGAGGCAGTTGATGAGGACCGGTTTGCACTTCGCGGTTTGGATGTGGCTTTCCCCATGAAGGGTCTCAGTGTCGTGTCTGGTCGAACTGGATCTGGAAAGAGTCTGCTGCTTTCATGCCTTCTGGGAGAATGCGAAGTTCTCGAAGGAACTGTCAAAGTCCCCGTCCCCCCTCCTATCAGTGACCGTTTCGATCACCTGGCGACCTCCGCTAACTGGATCATCGACTCTGCCATCGCCTATGTTGCCCAGATCCCGTGGATTGAAAACGCGACGATCAAAGATAATATCCTGTTCGGGCTGCCGTTCGACCAAGAGCGCTATCAGAAGGTGCTATTCGCATGTGCCCTGCAGAAAGATTTCGATATGCTTCCCGATGGTGAACTGACAGATATCGGTGCTAATGGCGTCAATCTGAGCGGTGGCCAGCGGTGGCGCGTATCATTCGCTCGGGCATTGTACTCTCGTGCGGGTATTCTCATTATGGATGATATTTTCAGCGCTTTGGATGCCCACACGGGCCGTCATGTCTATGAGCATGCTCTTACTGGAGAACTTGGTCAGAATCGCACTCGGATTTTGGTCACGCATCACGTCGCTCTGTGTCTTCCTCGTACGGACTACTCGGTGCTTCTGGAGAACGGGTGTGTCAAGTATGCGGGAACGATCGATGAGCTGAAAAAGTCAAATCACCTGGAAGATATCCTGCAAGAAAATGATGCGGAGGGGGACCATGTTGCCGTCGAGGGCGATGGGATTCTCAATGACGAAGAAACAACGCTTCAGAAAGTCATCTCGAATACCTCTCATCAGCATCCGAGTACGACTACGAACGGTGCTACTGCTGCCGAGCCCACCAACACCAAAACCCCCAAAAAATTCGTGGAAGAAGAGAAGCGCGAGGTTGGCAAGATCAAGCTGGCCGTATACGCGGCTTATTTGTCCAAGGGTGGCCATTGGACTTACTGGCTGCTGGCAACCGTGGTCTATCTCAGCAATTCGACGCTCATGGTCGGACGAGTAAGTAGAATGCCCCTATTGAATACATCCCGCTTCTAATCATTCATTCCAACAGGCGTGGTGGGTCAATATCTGGACCAGCTCTTCGTCCAGCACACGAGCGCATCCCGAGCAGTTCTCTGCTCTCCTGCAGCATCCGATGAATGGAACGAGAACGACTCGTGGAGACGACAATCTTGCCATGTATTTGAGTGTCTATGTCGGCGTTTCAGTGCTTGCCTGTGTGGTTGGGACAGCTAGATACTATTTCATGCTCAACGCTGCCGTCAAGGGCTCGAGGAACCTGTTCAACGGGCTGATTTTCGCCGTGCTTCGCGCTCCGCTCCGATGGCTAGATACTGTTCCCCTTGGACGAATCCTCAACAGATTCACTGCGGACTTCCACATGATCGACTCCCGACTCGGGTACGATATTGGATTCACGATAACCAAGGTCCTGGAGGTGCTCGGCGTCCTGGTTGCCGGTATGCTTGTCTCGCCCGTGGTGATCGTCTTTGCCGTGGTTTTGCTTTTGATCTCCCTCAAGCTGGCTATGATCTATTTGGCTGGCGCGCGAGAGATTAAGCGTATAGAGTCGATCGCCAAGAGCCCCGTGTTTGAGCAATTCGGATCCAGTCTGGCCGGCTTAGTGACCATCCGCGCCTTCAGCAAGAGTGATACCTATATTGGAATTATCTACACCAAGATCAACCGTCATGCCCAGGCCTGGTGGAATCTGTGGCTGTTCAATCGCTGGCTTGGCTTCCGGATGAACCTCATCGGTGCCGTCTTCGCAACTTTCACCGCAGCCCTGGTCGTTTACGTGCCCGGCATCACAGCCTCTCTGGCAGGATTCGCTCTTAGCTTTGCCCTGCAGTACAACTCTGCCATGTCAATGGCACTACGCCAATATGCTAACACCGAGCTGGACATGAACGCTACTGAGCGCGTTATCGAATACTCCTCCATCGAGCTTGAGAACCAGGGCGGTGCCGACGCGCCCGCCGCCTGGCCTACGGAAGGACGGCTGGAGGTGACCGACTTGGTGGTTGGGTATGCGCCAGACCTGCCTCCCGTGCTGAATGGACTGAGCTTCACCGTCGAGAAGAACCAGCGAGTCGGCGTGGTCGGCCGGACAGGTGCGGGCAAGTCTTCATTGACTTTGGCCCTGTTCCGGTTCCTTGAAGCGCGCGAAGGCCAAATCCTGATTGATGGACTCGATGTGTCCAAGATCAAGCTTCATGACCTGCGCAGCCGGTTGGCCATCATCCCGCAGGACCCGGTTCTGTTCTCCGGGACGGTGCGCTCGAACCTGGACCCGTTCGGCGAATATAGTGACCGAGACCTGTACGATGCATTGGCACGCGTGCACTTGATATCTTCTACCTCTGACGACGACGAGACTCTGACTTCACGCACTGCCACGCCACGACACCCAGGCAGTACCGGCGCAACGACCCCAGACACAGCGACTGCAACTGCCAACGCCAACACTAACATCTTTACATCTCTCGGTGCGACGATCTCCGAGGGCGGCCTCAATCTCTCTCAGGGACAGCGGCAACTCCTGTGTCTGGCCCGGGCTATCGTCGCCCGCCCCAAGATCATGGTGCTGGACGAAGCCACCTCCGCCGTGGACATGGAAACCGACGCCCTGATCCAGACCTCCATCCGCGCGGAGTTCGGACGCAACGCCACCACCCTGCTGGTCATCGCGCACCGATTGAGCACGATTGCGGATTTCGACCGGATTCTTGTCCTGGATGCCGGCAAGGCGGTTGAGTTTGGTCCTCCGAAGGACCTGATGGGAATTCAGGGCGGAGTGTTTAAGAATCTGGTGGATAACAGTGGGGAGAAGGATGTGTTGGAAAAGATGATTTTCGGTTGAAAGGAAAAGTCCGGGTTTGTTAGTTTTGTTCATTTGTTTGTATAGATTCAGATTTGCGTCCAGATTGAACACATCGATGGATAAAGAATAAAATCATTGTTGCATTTTCTGCAGAATCATTGCTAGAATGTTGATTAAATGTAGGGTTATGCATCATCTAAGCTCGTCGAATAATCGGCGAGCCTCTCCGCACCCATCATTCTCACCAGGATAGATATATATATAAGATAAACACCGCCAAGTCTCAATGGGATCAGAGATGCCTTCATCGCGTCCGTGAATTTAACAAGGTGGTTGTGCCGAACGCCTCGATCACCCTCCCACCATCTCGATTCGGGCAGCCCTTGAGCTCCCCGAAGGAAGAGAGCCGACCGTCTCAGAGAGGTGAGATATCATATAGAACACACTAGGCTTTCATCATCTGAAAGATGGTTAGCTGGGCCCATTAATTGGTGCTAGGGGACTCACTTGTATAAAACTTGGAAGGATGAAGAAGAAAAAAAAAAAAAACGAAACAAGCCGAGCAAATATAAGCTGGGCGCTAGTCCTCATAGAGCTGGCGGTGGAAGAGGCATTCTGCCGCTTTATTTGATATCGAAAGCATCTCTCTTCCTTAACAGCACACCATTGAAACGCTGGATGATGCTCCGGCAAACCGTGTCACAGCGCGCAATGCGACTGCGCTCGATTTATGTCGAGCTCTCTCATTTCGCCCAGCACAACGCGGTGTGGTCTGCACCGCGTCGTCTGGCGCCAATAGCTGCCCCGAGACAATTCCGCACGCAGGCCTATCTGCGGGAGCAGGCTACTCCGGAGCTGCCGGCGTTTTTGAAGACATACAAAGAAGCAGGTTGGTTTTGCGCGCTGGTATAAAAGAAACCCCACTGACCCAGATCGTGTGCTTAGTGGAATTTCCGTCGGCCACTTATGACTTCGAGACCTTCCTTGCAAACGCTGAGCCCAACACTCAAGTCGTGCTGCATGGCTACCTAGGCTCTCTGTCAGCAATTTCCAAGTCGCTGTCATTTGCAACGCTAGTCGATCCGACAATGGAGCGCCGTATACAGCTGGTGGCTCTCAAGAACGTCGTCGAGAAGCTCAAAGCAGTTAATAAACACAGCCCCGTCGCCGTGCGCGGCACAGTACAAAGGAAGAAGAACAAGGCATCTGACTCGGCACCAAAATTGTCTGAAGATATGTGGGAGCTTGTGGTGGAAGATATTCATGTGTTGAACGACTTCCCAAAAGAGATCGTCATGAAACCCGAGACTGTATTCCCGCCTGAGCAGCGGTATCTGCAGCTGCGTTCCGATGCGGAATTGCGTGAAGCGCTAAGGTTCCGGGCAAAGGTACATAATGTGTGCAAGGTGGAATTGGAGGGGCACTGTCGGCCGGCATTTGTCGAGATCGAGACTCCACTGCTGTTCAAGTCGACGCCGGAGGGAGCACGGGAATTCCTCGTCCCGACGCGCAGACCAGGGCTAGCCTACGCTCTGCCCCAAAGCCCTCAGCAATACAAGCAGATTCTCATGGCGAGCGGCTTGCCGAGGTACTATCAGTTTGCGCGCTGCTTCCGCGATGAGGATCTTAGGGCGGATCGACAGCCAGAGTTCACTCAGGTAAAAACAGTAAATAAGGGGTTCATGTATGGAAATTGCTGACTAGATATTGTCTAGCTTGATCTCGAAATGTCTTTTGCGACAGGCGAGGATGTGATGCGCACTGTTGAAGGCATCATCCGCCGCCTCTGGTCATCTCTAATGAAAGACCCAGCGCCTGAGGGCCCATTCCGGCGCCTCTCTTACCAGGACGCCATGGCTCAGTACGGCTCAGACAAACCAGACACCCGGTACGGCATGGGGATCATCCGACTCGACCACTTACTACCCGCCGACCTGGTCAACAAGATCTCACCACTCCAAGATCCCATCGTAGAAGCCTTCAGACTTGAAGCCAACGACAACGACCCCACCGAAACAAGCAAATTCATCTCCCAATTCCTCGACTCTCCCGCCGGGGCACCCTTCAACAACAACCCAGATGGCGCCCCAGGCGTATTCGTCTACAACGGCAAGGCGCCGCTCTGCGGCCTGCAGCCATTCGGCTTCGAGGCCGCCGAGCAGGTTGAAGAACTCCTCGAGCCAGATCACGGCGACCTAATCATCATCCAAGCACGACCACGCGCCCCATTCACGGGGGGCTCGACTCCAATCGGCGACCTGCGCCGTGCCCTGCACGCATTCGCCGTGTCCACGGGCTTCAAGCCCGCCCCTACGGGATTCAACTTCCTTTGGGTCATCGACTTCCCCCTCTTCTCGCCGTCCTCGGACTCAGAGCCCGGTCAGGGTGGTGCAGCGGGCATCTCCTCCACGCACCACCCCTTCACAGCGCCCAAGACCGCCACGGACGTCGACCTTCTCCTCACAAATCCTACGCGAGCCGTCGCAGACCACTATGACCTCGTCGTGAACGGTGTCGAGCTCGGCGGCGGTAGTCGGCGTATCCACGACGCTGCCGTGCAGGAGTTCATCCTCCGTGATATCCTCCAGATGAAGCCCGAGCGCCTCGAGGATTTTTCGCACCTACTTGATGCCCTCCGCGCCGGCTGTCCGCCGCATGCTGGGCTGGCGCTGGGCTTTGATCGCCTTGTCGCTGTGATGCTGGGCAAGGAGTCTGTGAGAGATGTCATTGCCTTTCCTAAGACGGGGAAGGGTGGCGACGATGCCATGGTCCGCGCGCCGAGTCCGATGACCGAGGAGGCGCTGCAAACGTATCATCTGCGACTGAGAGAGTAGGGCATATCTCGAAATGTTTCTTGTACGATATAGATCTGGATACCCGGTTTTTATCTCCCCTTTGATGAATGTATATTACTTCTGTATAGTGATGGTGAAAAGATTCTACAATATTGGAAAATGAAAGTATAGATGCTTGATCTGTATGCGATTGCTGTTATACAAAGACGCAAACGCCCCTCCAAACCCTTGTATAAGACACCAAAGAAATCAAAATGTAGAGAGAGTTGGGGATGAATCCAGTGCTATAGCGTCAGATAGGACCTATGGCGCAGACGGAATGACAAGAAAATCAACGAATTCATACATCTGACTCACGCTTTCATGCCGTAGATAAAACACTAGCGCGGTTCGACCTCGTCGAAGAGCGGGTATTGGGGCGAGACGAGGCGGGATTCTGCTGCGAGGACTCATCCTCCTCCTCATAGTACAGATACTCATCCTCGTCCTCGTCGTCTGGCTGTCCGAAGATCTTCTGCCAGACACCATCCCACAACCCCTTCTTGGTGATAAGGCCACCAACCAGGAGAATAGGCAGCTGCCAGATACTCGCCCAGAACAATCCACGGGCAGTGCCCTGAGCACCCTGGTGCTGCCAGAAGCGGTACGCTTCACGGACGAGCCAGCCGTTGGCGACACTGCTTCCCACCAAGAACCCGTGGCCGACGACGTTGAACCACCACAGCCCAATGGAAATGGGGAACATCAGAATGGAATAGCGGAGCGCAACCCGGGCGTTGTGAGCCGGGTTCGTCCAGCACAGCATCTTATACCCCGCGGCCTTGTATTCCTCTCGAATGGTGTGCGAGAGAGCGTTGAAATGCGGGAACTGCCAGGCAAAGAGGACACCACCCAGGAGCCACCCACCGATACTCTCTTGGCTAAAGAGCATATCTCGCCAGTTATCGTGGCCCGTAGTCGCGGTCTGGCCCTCTGCAGCGATCCATCCCATCATCGGCGGGATGGCACCCACCACGGCGCCGACCCAGGTGTTGATGACGTGGATGCGCTTCAACGGCGTGTACACGAACGCATACAGACATATATTTGCTGCGGAGAGCGCGGTGACCGTCGGGTTTGTTCCAATGTATAGGAGTGAAAGGCCGGTGACTGCAGTGCCAATAGCGAAAAGCACGGCCGCGCGCCGCGAGACCAGCCCGCGGACCAAAGGGCGGTTGCGAGTGCGCGACATCAGAGCGTCGTACTTGGGTTCAAGGATCATGTTCAGCGTGTTTGCGCTGCATGATGATAGGAATGTGCCCGCCGTGAGGTAGATGAAGGTCAGGGTCGACGTGGAGAGAGTGGGTAGTGGGGTCATGGCCGGGTCGAGTGTGAGCAGGGAAGATATCGGATACATCCCATATGCGGAGGTTGTAGTGAGGAGGATCAGAAAGGATAGTCGAGGCTTTGTCAGAGCGAGAAAGGCCGCCAATTTGCGGCGGAGGGAGGTGGTGGGCAGGGCGGAGGAGAAAGCAGACAATTGCGCCGACGCATCGGGAGGGATGACGGGCTCTTCCTGGCTCGTCTCCGGTATTTTTTCCTTCAGCCGCTTTCTCCGTCGATGTGGTAACTCGTTCTCGACGGATTCTGTAGCCATTGACCCGGCCGGGGCTGTCTCGGTCGAGCTCGGGTCTGTCGACTTCCGACTCGCGGCGGTGGAGAGGCTTTTTGAGGCATTGGCGGATGCTAATGAAGATAGCACGCTGCTGTTGCTCTCTGAGGAATCCTGTAGGCGATTGGGCGAGAAATATGTCTTGTGGAGGGTCGAAGGGGTGTCATTGGCGATTCCTGTTCGCCGTTGCGAAGACGACCAAAACTGGCGGAGAGCAGAGTGCGGCATGGATCTGCGCACCAGACATCGCGAGCACAATAATGCCTCTCGAGGCGGCCCCTGCCTGAGGATGGGGGACCGCAGAAGCAGCATGGCGGCAGGGAGTTGGTGTGCTGGGAAAAGAAGAAAGAACAAACAAGAGGAAGAAACAAAAAGCGAAGATCAAATTCCCCGGCGCGGATCGCAGACCAAAACCGCAGTTTGGCCAACAACAACTGCTCGTTAACTCCTTCTGTTCAAACCACTCCCCATTAACAACGATTCAGAATGGACGTGCTCCAGAAAGTCATCGATCCCCTGCAGCCCTATCTGCGCCCCGTCATCTCCTCCATCCCCGAGCCTGTGCACCATGCCGTCATCTCCATGATCGGATCGCCCTGCCACAGCGCGCTGTTGCTCGACCTCGACGTGACAAAGGACCCGGCCTGCACGTCCCTGGCGATCTCCAAGGCCCTTGGTATTGCCATTGTTGGCGCCAGCGCGATCGTCAAGGTCCCTCAAATCCTGAAGCTGATCAACTCTCGCTCGTCCGCCGGCGTGTCGTTCGTCTCGTACGCGCTGGAGACGGCCAGCCTGCTCATCACGCTGTCGTACGGCGTGCGCAACCACTTCCCCTTCAGCACCTATGGCGAGTCGGCCCTCATCGCCGTCCAGGATATCGCCGTGGGGGTCCTAGTTCTGACATTTGCCGGCCGCTCCGCTGCGGCAGCCACCTTCGTTGCCGTAGTCGCAGCGAGCGTGTACGCGCTGCTGTTCGACCAGACTCTGGTCGACGCGCAGACTATGGCGTATCTGCAGGCCGGTGCGGGTGCGTTGGGCGTCGCTAGCAAACTCCCTCAAATCTTTACCATCTGGCGCGAGGGAGGAACCGGACAACTGAGCGCGTTCGCGGTATGTTGACTTGTTTCGCCCGATGATTATTACATGTCGTATCTAATTATTTTTCTGTTAGGTCTTCAACTACCTCGTCGGATCTCTTTCCCGCATCTTCACCACGATCCAGGAAGTTGACGACAAGCTCATCCTCTACGGATTCGTCGCCGGCTTTACCCTCAACGTCATTCTCGCCGCGCAGATGGTGTACTACTGGAACGCCCCGGCGACCAAGAAGAAGGGGACTCGCAAGTTGGCAGACAGACCGACCGTGGGCCAAAGCACCGGCGTGTCTCCTTCGCCTAAGGGCAAGGGCCCGACCACGCGACGACGGGGTTAGCAGGAGTGCTATTATTTCCTTTATACTTGTGGTTTCTTTTGGTTCTTGAATCGCTTAATTCAATAATGCTGTCTTTGGGATTTAATATGCAATTAATCTCGGATCTTCCCATGAAATGTGCGTGTAGATGTCACATCGGTGTATAAGAACTCCCCGGTAAACAAGCCGTTGACCATCGCCGGGGACATTATGGCATGCGTCCGGTCGTCATATACCTCAGGATCTCATCGAGCGGCACCAGCGGCTCCAGCGCATGCGCATGATGCGCGGCGATATCAAACTCCAGGCCCCCAGAAGCCTTGCGATGAACACCCACAATGTCCATTTCCCCCTCCTCTTCGGCCTCCGCCTCTTCTTCTTCGTCTTCCTCCTCCTCCTCTTCAGAACCTTCGTCATCCTCCAATTGTCTCTTCAACCCAGTAACAACATTCTGCACCCCGGCCTCGCGTTCTTCAAGCGTGAAATTCCCACCCCAATTCCTCCGGCGCGCTTCCTCATTCGCCTCCAGAGGTGCCCACTCCCACAGCTCCGCGAGCTGGGCCTCGGTAAGTGGTTTGGGTGCAGTCGAGTTCTGGTCTGCATGCAAAGCAGAGTCGGGATTGTGGGTACCTGCGACGCGCCCGCGCGCCACCCAGTCCTCGACGCGTGGGTCGAGTTTCGTGCGCAGGAGTTGTTCGAGCGTGCTAGACTGTGTCCGGCCTGGGTACTCGGGCCCTGGGTAGGCGACTAGTGCGGAGAGGAGGTCGCCGTGTTCGGAGAGTTGTTCGGAGACACTGAGAAGGTTGTTGGAGATGATACTTGCTTGGGACTGGAGGGAGGACCTGTTTTGGTGTGCAGTTGTTAGACATGTGCTTCGAGGGGTGGGTGTAGTGGGCTATCCTCGAATTCTTTTCGTAGTTGTTCAAGGCTTGCTCACTCACCACGGAGGAAGGGGATCGCTTTGGTTCAGGCTGGCGATCAGGGATCCGAGGGAGCGTGTCAGCTGCACGAGGCGCTGGCGTGATTGTTCGAGGACTTTGATCTGGTCCTGGGTGAGGGCGGACATTGTGGTGATTTGGAGGAATTGGAGGTTGCGCGGATGAGGTGTGGAGGTGAGGGAGATGGGCTGATAAGATACTTGGACTAGATCTATGGCCACCCTCGAATTATTACCAGAACCTTCGTTAACTCTCATGCCGCTGCACCTGTACGGTCAAGCATTCGCTCTGATTTACAGAAATCTATTGCATACAGGGCAATTCTAAAAAAGCTCTTTCCCAAGGGCCACAGACCACACATTCGTCTGTATATCCCTAACGCCCGAGACAATTCAAGTCCCCGATGCCCCGATAATGACTGCCATAACTATCTGCCTCGGAACCTGCCATTTCTGCGTGCAATCACGTCCCAAATCAGCCTGACGTGACATTGGTGATATGTCAGCGAAATTCGTGGTCAAAATATTACTTGACGTTCGCTTGGTCTCGAAATTCCATGTGAGCGTCATCGTGAGTTCGGGCAACAGGTTTAGATAAATTAACCATCCAAAACTATGCAGTCTGTCTCCTTAGTATACCCATCAGTCGGCGAAATAAGAATGCGGGGCTTATCTGCCCATCTCTCAGCTAGACTTCTGTGAACAATCTTCCTGCCACCGTTGGCCCCAGCTGATATGGCAAATACGCTCGTGGCGAATACAAACTCAGTGCCAGCTTCCAACCCATCGATCTTGTTGCGCTCCAAAACTGGAATCACAGTTCTGGGGTAAGCCAAGTTTGTATTGGAATCTGGCTGGAGGGCACTAGAGCTTGTTTGTGTCGGCAACGGCGCAATGTTTAGTGAAGTGACCGATACGCCGCTGCAGCCAGCAGCCGAGAGTATCAGGGTGGAGTCTTCGGATCTGAGAATGCCTTCGGATGTCCCGAGCTCTGCGTTGGCATGAAGCTTGCTGATAAAGGGAATCTTGGTGCCATCTTTGGAGCAACGTGATGGCGACGCGAACCCGCCTTCGGTCGTATGTAAAGTTCGCAACGAAGTCTTCACGCAGATACGGTGAACGCGAACGTGCCAGTCTGGCCACCTATCCGTCGGCGGAACAAGAGTCGTTTCGATCTCGATTTGCCTATCTCCCCAAGGACACCAACGTACCCTTGCAACGGTAACTGAAGTCTGATCTCCATTGGCGTGGAGACTAGCTTGGGGAAACGTAGCTTGTGAGCATTTCCATTTCACGGCCCAGGACTCAGCACCATCACGGCTCAAGGCCAGCATGCAATCTGGAGCAATTTGCTGAATCAGTGGGCCGGTAGGGACGGAAAAAGTGAATGCCGACGAATACTCAAACTTGGAATATTTGGCCTGCGTTGCCTTCATCGGCCAAGCGACAAACTGGGCTGGTGAGAGAAAGAAGTGATGATTGCCCTTCGGGTGATTGCTGACGATTTGCCTAGGAGCAGGGACAAGGCTGGGCCTGAACAATGGTGGATACGGCTGTTCTGGGGCTGTCCAGAACTCGTCGTTTTCACTCAAAGATAGAGCAATAAGTGTTTTCATACACCAGTAAGGTGACTGTGGAGAGTTGTAGTCCTCACACATAAACATATTTCTGTACCAAAGTCAGAAGCCTTTCGAAGGATAAAGATTATCAGATTGATGTGTGCATACGGGTACTTCCAGCCGATGTTCAATGTACCATCGGCATGGAAAATGTCATCTGAATTCTTTGCCCACCAACGGAGGTGGCGCAATAAAAATCCCTTGATACTACCGGGATCTGCCAGCGGGAATGGCATGTCTGGAACCTTTGCCACGGCTAGAGCCGCAAAGAACCCGCCACAGGCGAATCGATATGCGAGAGATCGACCGAATGGTATTGCGGAGCCTAAATTCGCTCCTGGTTAGTAGGAGCATTGGTTGCTTGGGGGTATGGCATATCCTTTACCGTCTGCGTCAAAATATTTCCAGATCGAAGCTCCAAATTCCCTCGCTTGCTGCTGATATTTGGTGACCCGCTGTGGATCAATATCACTGGCGAATTTGATATATAGAAGCTGGCTAAATTGAATTGCAAAGCTTCCAGAGTAATAGTCCGCCTGACGTCCGGGGCCAATTGCATCTCTTCGGCCTGTCTTTTCGTACGCCGCGTCTTGCTGCTTTTCTTGTTCGGTGCTCAGCCACGGACCGTCACCAGACCAGCCATCCTCGAGGTAAAACGAGTCCAAAATGGTGAAGTCAGAGTCCATTGTGCTGGCAAGCTCTTGGGCTGGCACACCGCAGACACGGATGAGGGCAAGGTTCGAAATCACTCGAAACCACCGCCAGTTGTTATCTGGCATTGGCTTGTTGTTCATACCACGCAGCCACGCCTCGATATTGTACTGTGTCCGCTTCTCCTGGTTGTGGTAAAGATAATACGGGGCAGAGATCAAGGCAAAAGATATAATCTCTGCCTCGACCATGCGTTGACCGAGTTCGCTAATCTCGCCCCAGTAGTCTTCATGATCTGGATCTGTGCCAGTGCGAAAGCCTTCAACCCATGGCTCAATTATTTTCCTGGAACGGGCCGATAAACTTGTCCCGGTGTTGTTGAATGCCGTTGTGCTTGATCCTTCGAGAATGGCACCAACTGTCCAGAGTGGACGAGCAAACCCTTCCAATTGAGCAGCCAAGTCATCAAAATGTGCACCTGTCCCAACGGGGAGGCGGATTTTGGCTCGACCAGGTGAGAAGTATGCATGCAAGGGCTCGAGTATGGAGAGAGCTGCCAACTCCAGGTCATCCCTTGTTTGTAGGGGATTATCGGAGAACTCTCTCAGAGGAGGCATGTCTCAATGATGTGTTCGTAGAGTTCGCAATTGAGACTATGTAACTTCAAGTCCCGGTTGTGGGGGAGAGATGATGGTTGAAAGCTTACAATTCTCTTTTCAGAAGAGCGACTTTTGTTTCTCGAGACGCATGACTACGTCCAGAAATTTGAATTACAGCCATGCTTTGGAGAGGCTGTTGGAGGTCCTTGGCAAAGTGGCATGGTGGCCACCATTCACCCGACGCCCGAGGAGAGCGCTCGGACGTCGGGTGAATGGTCGTCGGCCTGGCAGCCGACTGGTCCGCTAGGAAACGAGTCCGTCCATCAAGTGAAAGAGCAGAATCAACTCGCCAGAGTATCAATAGTAGGTGTTTAGTTTGACTACCAAGTTAAAGACAGCTATGAATGTGACTCCCCGCTGTCTACAAAGCAAGGAAGATAATAAATATATACTTATTACCGGGCTATCAACAGTTACCATAGACGCTCATCTCGTACAACCCCGCTTCCCACGCGGCGGAGGTGCCATGGACAACATCCCAGATACTCGTAGTATCAAGCCGAACATAGCGATAGCTGCCAGATACCAAATGTGATTTGAAGCCAGGTAAGGAGTTGCCTCTGTCATCGGCAAGTTCATCCCAGGTCACATTATCTTTGCTTCCACTCAGATAGTATCGCTCGACAGCATCGGAGCCTCCCACACTGCGGAACGACAAGCCAACCCATGATACATTGCAAGGATTGCCCAGATCCACTTGCCAGAAATACGGCACACTGGACGGAAGATAGTATTGTGCAATGGCATCATACGCGTCGACGTCGTAGTCACTGCCGTCGTTGGCAACGGACGCGCTGTAGTTGTATGTGCCCGCTGCAGCCTGTGATGCAGTCAACGTAGTGGCAGGCGTTGCCTCTACTGGCTTGTTGAGAGAGAGAAGCATCCATGACGGGGTTTGGACGGTTTTCTCCACAACATCGATAGCCGGTAGCGGGTCAAACATGAGGGTCATGTTGCCACTTCCAACAATTTGATCCTCTCCCGCTTCATTATCGTCAACGAATAGACTCATGAAGACATAAGTTGACATAGATAAGTTGAGCGCGTTGTAGCGATCTCCTATGTATACGTATGCCGGGTTCCTGTCGGTTCCAATGTTTTGGATCCAGCTTGGCTGGCTTCCGAAGGTACTTGGATCTCCAACAGGGGCGAGTTCGGACCACACAGATGTTCCGTTGCGATATCCTGTTTTTTTGTCTCGAGGGAAGGAGAATGCGGCGGAGAAATCCGAAGTACGTTTGTACTGCCCTTGGTTGGCGTACCAACCGCTTTGTGCAGATGTCATGAGATAAACAAACTTGCCCGAAGGGCCACCGTGACGAATTAGAGCGGGCGCCTCTCGTGATGTATCCACAAAGACATCATATTCCTTATTCGGTACAACATCGGTGAGGTCATCCGTAAGTTGCCAGATCCGCCCATATATGTTGTCTGAGAAGGTTACCAGATAGGAAACTCCAGTCTTCGGATCTTCCCACACGGTCATATCTCGCGAACCATATCCAAGGTTTGCGTTCAATTTGGGAGGATCGGGATCAATGCCATCCATTGTGTAATAGCAGTTCGTCCTGTAGGATGGACTATATACTCGTAGTCCATTGGTTTGAAATATGGCCGAGTCTGTTGAATATGTTCCGGAAGGATAGTTGATGATAGGTGCGAAGATCGGAACATCAGAGACATTTGATGCTATTTCGTAAGATTGAGTTACCACAGCTGAAACTTGATTTCCCTTGACCGATATGGCCTTGACTGTCAGACGGGTTCCTGCGGCTCCGGATACAGTAATTCGAGTGCCAGGGGTATACTCAAGTTGTGAACTGACGATCGGATCTGAGCCATTGGTGGTGTAGTAGATGGCTGCGTCTTCATTCGAGACTGTGATAAAAGCTGCATCCCCCGGGTTCATGAGAACAACTGTCTTTGACTGGGATTCATTCAGGGTCGGGCCGATGGTAGGGGGAGCTAGGTCCCCGCCCAACTTGCTTGGGGCACCGATGATAAAATCACGTCTTGTAACGGGGGATCGCTCATCGGTTGGGTATTGAACGATGTACGTCGATGGGGATACGCTGTACTGACTCGCATACTGATTATAGAGCGAGGCATTCCAGGGTGTCATCACAACAGCGATAGCTTTCAATGTCACATTAAAGCGGATATTGGAGAATGTTGCGGTTCCATATTCGGACGCTGGTACATATGCTGGATTATACGGGCTCTCGGTTGCAGGTGCGCTATATTGGACAATGGTGGGCGGGTATACCGGTAGATTTGGCATGTATGGATGAGTGTTGTCGCTCGATAATTTGGCATTCGTGCTAAAGTCCAATCTTAGTCCACCCACACGATCTCCCATCGCAGTCGGGGCTTGGTTTTGGGATCCGGGTCGATGATGGCCTTTGGAAGTGATGGTGTACGGGCCTCCCACTTCATCAGCGGTAGCCACAATAACCTCGGATGCGCTATACGAGTTTGCCATTTCCCAGTGCTATGAAGAATTCAATCCCTGTGTTTGATAGAGTGACAACGTTAGGCAGGGGGAGGCTACATACAGCCCATATGATATATTTGCCAGTCGTCTTTGACTTCATGAGTTTGGGCCGCTCGACGAGACTGTAAGCCAAAGGACGATTTCCCTCAACGTCGGCAGTATAGACTGATATTGGAACGCTGATTTTTTCCCAATTCAGCATGTCCTCTGACCGGTACAAGCTATTTGAGTTCGTAACATTAGCAATCGCTCTTCAATGTTTCAGATTCCAACGTACTTGACCAATGCAGGACTTGTCTGATTGGTGATGGAAGGCGCACTCTGTCCAACCCAATAATACATCGAGTCTTCCAAGTATATGTTCCCACCCCAGGCTCCAATCGTTTCTCCGTCAGTATCATACCAGTCCACCCCATTTGGTACTGCTTTATATCTGCTGGAGACTTTGGCTGACAGGTCTTGATGCGAGGAGATAGGAGCATGCCCAGGCACTTTTGGTACTGCGCCATATGCAAATTCTCCAACCGCCAGCCATGCACTCAATAAGGCAATGCCCCACATGATGGGACTGAATCGTAAATTGCGAAGGGTACACAAGTAAAAACTTGAAGGATATTCGGGAACTTACATATACGGGAATGAACCAAAATACAGGGGGTGCATTGCGAGGAGTATGCGCCAGCGAAGCCTCTCGGACCGTAGCGGGCCGGGATTACTCCCACTTGATTCATTCCGGGTTTATTTACTTCGGTTTACCCCACAATTTCCCCCGCGCTTGGACTGGAATCAGGTGATCGCCTCGGGGCTCGGGAGAAAGAAGTGGGCTATCGGTTGAATTGCACCGGTTGAATTCGCCCGGTTGTATATAGCCCGCACTTTCGCCCGCCTGCTCTCTCCGGCCGGAAGAAGCTGCACCTTCAGTGGCATGCAACACTGCTCAGCCAACGAGATGGAGTCGGAACCCAATCCGGCCCCCCTGGAAGACCGGCCTGCCTGTGGAGCATGTCGCAAGCGCAAGCTCCGGTGCTCACGCGACGTTCCGCAATGCAGCCATTGCCGACGAATTGGTATGCTTGGCATGGGGTTTCTCAGTAGGACGAATTGCTGATTGAAGGGCCTGGCCGAATTACGTCTAGGAACGACCTGCACCTATGATGGTGATCGTGAGAAGCCTGGAATTAAGGCAGGTGCAGTTGAGGCTCTGAGGCGACGAGTCGGTGAGTTGGAGCCTCGTTCCTTTACTATACAGAAAGTGCGTTGAAGTGCTGATTCGGGAGAAATAGAGACCCTTGAGGATGCTGTGTTCCAACAGGGTAAAGCGGGAATCAGTGAGACTCTTCACGGTACAAATGAACCGAGTTCATTGGCATCTGCGCTGTGCGAAGGGCTAGAATTACTTCTGGGAAAACTACATTCCAACTCTTCACAGAAAAGACCAAGGTCCGAAGTAGTTGACGAGCCCCTTGAAGAGGATGTAAATTACCAGGACGAACCATTACCGCAGCCCATGCCTTTGTCTACATTATCGAACAAACGCAGGCGAGGAAATGAAAGACGAGTCATCGAACCCGATGACCTTCCAGGTCCCTCGTCCACACTACCGCCGCCACAGGTCCTGGAGGCTGTTGTTGATCTCTTCTTTGATCTAGTGCAGCCATGGGTGCCAATCTTCCATGAAAAGAGATTCCGTCGGCGACTGGAGAATCCAGACGATAGGCCTGCCTTAGAGGTTGTTCTTCACGCAATGGTTGTTGCATTGCTCAAGCATGTATACCCTCGAGAGCTCATAGCGGATCTGGGTGACGTAGAGAGTATCTGTGAGCGATCTCGGAAGATTGTTGTCCTGACCGCTATGGACGATTTATATGTTGAGAATTTGCAGGCACTCATTATTATTTGCTTCGAAGACGTGCGTGAGCCCAGTTTCGTTCCAGAGAGACCAGGAAGTTAACCTTGTATAGATCGGGTCCGGTAGACTTTCACGTGCGTGGCCCATTGTTGGTTCACTAACCAGAACGGTGGAATATCTACAGTTGAGTGTCGAATCAGAAAACTATGATAAAGATCCGGTCCTTCAGCCTCGGCCGTCTCTTCCCCAGGCCAAAGACTGGGTCGAGGAGGAAGAGAGGCGACGCGTGTTTTGGACCATTTTCAACCTGGACAGGTGGGCCTACATTCTTGTACACGACTTGGTATAAAATATTAACAAACGGCAGATTTTGTTCAGTCACGACTGGGTACGCTTCACCTCCCAAAGTAACCCTGCGCAAAAACTGACTACCTCCGATAGATGGAACACTAGCCTAACATCGAACGATGTTCACCGGCGCCTCCCCGCCGATGGAGGCTTATGGCATAACGAAGAAGCAGTCACCACGCCATTCTTTGGTATCTGGGACCGGTCGGCAGGAAGGATCGGAAGGCTCATCGCCTTTCTCCCCACAGACTACAATAGTACAGAACCTTCGAACAACGGATTCTCTTCAACACAGGGAAACAATTATATTCCGACGACATCCGATGAAAAAGTTGACATGTCAACAGTTGGCGCATTTGCTTACCGTGTTGAAGCCACCGAGTCGCTAAGTAGGGTGACGACCTTTTTTCTACAGCAGAAGATCAATTATCGCGACCGACAGGAAATGGGTAGCTGGCTCATGCGGTTCAAGGAGTTGGATTTACGCCTGGTCAGGTAGGTACACGAATCCCCTCATCCTACCTCCCGAGCAATATTTTTTCTCACAGGAAAAACAACAGTTGGAAAATGTTTTTGCCCCAAAAGTGGAAAGAGGCAAATATATCTCGCCAGCCGGCTGTGGTGACGATGGATCCGAACCTGACCTTGGCACACATCACCCACAATACATCTATGATTCTCCTTCACCAGCGAATTGCCTATCCTCCCTTGGAATGGCTGGAAGTGGTGAAACTCCCGATCCTGTCCAGCGCAGAAACATGCGAAACAGCTGCCAGTGAGACCGCGAATATCACCCAGGAATTCTTGGACAACTCGCCCCCGCAGAGTATTGTAGATAATCAGTTCGCCTTTTGCGTTTTTGTCAGCGCAAGAGTTCTTCTAGGTTTGTTTATTCTTTGTTTGACCTTCCACTCATAGAAGTGCATTAACAGCTCATTCCCATCTGCAGTGCACTGGCGTTACTACAAAACACAGAAGCTTCCTTCCGATTACCACACACTCATGAAATTCCTCGACATCATGTCAACGCGATGGTCAAGTCAGAATCGGGAGTCAACCACCAGCCGCAAAAACTCGGCAGCCAAATATTTCAGTCAACTTAATGATATATACGACAAATGTCAGAGTGATACAACATTCAAACTCGATGTGCTAGGGTACTCAAATGAGATTGAATGGACTGGTCCTCCTCTGAGTCAACAGAGAGATATAAACCAAGCATCTGCATCTCACATTGAGACCTCGATTAGTGCATCCCATGATCCAGCGATTCGTTTTGCCTCTCATGGATCAGGCATTCAGCCTTCTGCACAAGATTCCGCAAATATGACGACTTACGGTGGTGACGTTTCAAATGATGGCTTTCCTCACCACCCTCAATCCGTTAGCAGTCGACGGCCAGATATACTGAATGCAGTGGACGTCGATCCGGAGATAGGGCAACATCATCAAATGTCACTAAATTCTGTTCCTGCCCACTTGAGCTACAACACAGGGAGTCCAGACGAATTGGCCGCCGTCACGTCAATTTTGCTGGACCAGCAGTACTCAGAGATGGATCGGATTATCAGTCTAAACAACGCATATTTTGCGTCCGATGTAGCTTATATTCAGTAAATCTCATAAGAGCTAATTCTCCATTTATCTGAAGCAAGTCCACATTCTGTTCTTGTCTGTAGTTCATTTTGTAACTGATCTAGACCGTTTAATATTCTATCTAGGGAGAACCTATGCTAGGCCCATTCGCAACAACTGATTCCCAAATTCCAAAAGATAATAGTCCGCGTACACCAGCCCGTGATCACTGTAACGATCGTGATCCTGGGAATTGTGATTTGCCGTTGCATTCTTCAAAATGGAGTCAAATCTCTGTCCAGGCACCAGGTCTTCGCCAGTGATCGTGCTTTCTTTTCGTGAATCCCCAGTCAACTGTGCTCGTTCCCTTGAAAGAGATAATTCTATTGTATCGGAAACTATTCTCATCGCGGCCAGCTGATATTTCTCTGCTAGGGTTGTGTCCCCGAGCACTGTCAGTGACTGCGAAAGAAGGAGCATACCGTTGGCGGCAATCACACCAGCAGAAGAATCTCGTAAAGGCATGCTTTCATCCTCGATTGGGGCGTCAAAGTCCCACAAAGGCACGTATCGACCGATCGTCTTTTGGCGATCGAGCCCATCACCAACCACGGGCTGCTCTACGCAGAGGGGTGCAGTCTCAATTCTCCACAGGAAATAATCTGCCAGACCACATGCTGCAGCAAGAAACTCTTTATCCTTGGTCCAGTTATACGTTTTGGCATAGCCGAAAATCCCCCATGCCTGGCCGCGCGCCCAAGTCGAGTCGACTAGGTATCCCTGGGCTGTGCGGTGCTGCTTAATGCCCCCGGTGTGGGGATCGAAGTTGACAACATGGTAGGTGGAATATAGTGGGTACTTGTGGCCCTTGTCGCAGCCTACAGGGGTAGGCTCTGGTCTCAGAAGTGATTTTAGAAGAGTACGCGCGTGTGTGGTGGCAATCTCCGCGAGGCTGGAGTCTGCGAGATGCTTTGAGGCGTAATATAGCAAATCCAGGTTCATCATGCTGTCGATAATAACCAGACAATCATCTGTCATGCTTGTAATTGAAACGTCCGCTTGTCTCAGAACATTCCAGCTGCGGATGACTCCGATATGAGGCATGTACCGACTAGCTAGGCTGCGAGCAGCAGTCAGAACAGCATGCAGGCTATCCTCATCACTGGTCAGCTCCCAATCTTTCTGAAGAGAGGGTTGAATGATGAATCCCATATCATGGGTATCTGTGCGTGACATCATCGCCTTAACTGGGCCAGTCCAGCTGCAGCAGAGCTCGGCTAGTTGGTGGCGCAGGGACGAGCTCGACACAGGTAATGTTTTACCTTCATGGCCGAGGTATGGGAAGACTTGAGGATATCTCACTGCCCGTTCTCTCAACAGGTACAGGATCCCGGGGAAGAAGCCGCATGTCCAAAAGTCGGCATCCCGCAGGAAGTACTTCCCTGCACTGTCGCCATGCTGCGGCACAAATTCGGGATAGACTGTCGGTGGATCCTGAAATAGTAAAAAGTGGTTAGGATTGAACAACACTGGACTCGGCAATCATAATCATGAGCATGCATACATTGTTTTCTAGCGCCTCCACCGCCACCCTAAGCATTTTGGCTAGGATGTTTTCAGAGAACAGCTCGAGCATAGTCTGCTGCATTTTGCGCCACTCATCTGTCGAGCCCGATGCCAACGCCATCATGTCTGTGAACTGGGAATCCGGGACAGTTATATCACTGCGTGGAGATTTATTCCGTTCATCCTCTGATCCGGCTCTGGAATCTTCGGAGGTTGAAGGAGTAGCGTTGGAAATCATGGGGGAGGGAGAACCAAGAACCGGCCTTCTTTCCGTTTTATTTTTGGCACTCGTGCATCGATTGACTATTAAATAATTGTCTGCCAGCACAAGCATAATTGGAGTTTTCCACTATCCCCCATTTATTCTTGATAAGGCGCCAAGCAGCTCCCATTCCAGCGGGCGGCGGGCGAGTGAGCGCGGAGCGAGTTTGCCCGCCGGCCGACTTGGTGGCCGGCCTCGCAGGAAAATGGTCTGTGGCTGAATTTAACCGACTTTGGGGGGAAAAAAGAACGCTGGGATTGTATCAACCATTCCCCATCCGTGCGAGATGAGTGACGGAAAATCCCCCGGTCCAGAAGTCGCTGCTAGACTGCATCGCATCAACCGCGTGGGGCGTGGCAAGCCATTGACATCCCCGGACTCGCAATATTCCGGGGTAGTCGCACTATAAGACCAACGGGCTGAACCTCACCTCTCCTGCTTTGAACGTGGCTCCACGCGTGCTTTACTCTATCATACGATTCTAGCTACAATGCTCACCCACTCCGAAAATTTCGAAGGGCTTGCGCTGGAGGATGTGGTTCCCAAAGACCGCAAGCCCTTTTGGAAGGATGGCACTCTTCTCAAGCTGAACACTCTGCTGTTGTGTGCCTTACTCACCCAGATCGCCACCGGCTATGATGGTAGCATGCTGAACGGCATGCAGTCGCTTCCTCAGTGGCAGAAGTATTTCGGTAAACCGACAGGTACTCGCCTTGGAGCAATGTCCTTTGGCCCGAACGGAGGAACGCTCATCTCGGTGCTGGTCTCGTCACAACTCTGTGAGAGGTTCGGCCGTCGCTATCCCATTTGTGGAGGATCTATCATTATCATCATCGGCTCTATTCTTCAAACAGCCTCTGTCAACTACGCCATGTTTGTCGTCTCTCGCTTTTTCATCGGCTTTGGACTGGGCATTGTGGCCACTGCGGCACCACCTCTGCTCTCCGAAGTCGCTTATCCAACACATCGTGGTATTCTTGTCTCGTTCTACTTGTGTACATGGTCACTGGGCTCTTTGACTGCGGCCTGGGTTACGTATGGCACCTTCAAAATGACGGACTCATCCTGGAGCTGGCGCATCCCCAGTATCCTGCAGTGTTTCTTCTCTCTCATCCAAGTCGTCTTGAGTCTGTTTGCCCCAGAGTCTCCGAGATGGCTCATCTATCAGGGACGCCGGCAGGAAGCATTGGATGTCCTCACCAAATATCACGGGTACGGCGACCCGAATTCACCTCTTGTGCGGTTCGAAATGGCGGAGATCACGGCAACTTTGGAGGTGGAGAAGGTGCAGAAGCTCTCCCGCTGGACAGAGTGGCTTGCCACGCCAGGCAATCGTCACCGTCTCTTCTTAGCTCTCTATATCCCAGCCATGCTCCAGTGGGCCGGCAACGGACTCACCTCTTACTACCTGTCCAAGGTGCTCAATACGATCAACGTCACCAACCCTAGGACCCAACTGATCATCAACGCATGTTTGTCCGTCTGGAGCTTCCTAACAGCCATTGTTTTCGCTACTCTGGTAGATCGTGCTGGTCGACGACGCCTGTTCCTTGGGGGCATGGGAGGCATGGGAATTGCCTACATTCTCTGGACGATTTGCTCAGCACTCAACGAAGAAAGAGACTTCAAGGATAAGGGCTTCGCCGCTGCAGTCCTCTTGATGATCTTCATCTTTAACGGTTGCTACCACATGTGTTCTCCCATCGCACCTACCTATATTATGGAGGTCGTCCAGTATTCGCTGCGCGCCAAGGCATCGATGATGTACCAATTGACTGGAAATTTGGCCGGCATTTATAACAGTTTTGCCAATCCCGTCGCCATGGATGCTATCTCATGGCGATACTACATTGTCTGGTGTTGTATGATTGGTATTCACTTCACTCTGATCTACTTCTTCTTTCCAGAGACTAAAGGGAAGGGTTTGGAGGAGGTGGCTGAAATCTTCGATGGGCCTGACGCGCTGGCAGGTGTCAATGCCATGAGGAGCATGGGTTTGGATGTCAACGTAGACAAGGCTGTTGCAATCGGGTCCGGGCAGGAGACTGAGTCGGATGCGGTGAAGACTGGAACAGCTCACGTTGAGCGTGTTAACATCTCACCGTCCGCGTAATTCATATGTATGTCGTACAACAATCGAGGCTCCAGAAGATTCCATGAGGTTTTATGCAAGCATCGCAAACATCAGATCAGCAATCCATCACATTCGTCTTCTGCATCTCCCAGTTGCTTCACTGCAGAGGACCTAGCGCAGGCCTACCTAGCTTCTAATAGACTTCAAGAGCCGATCTCGTCTCATGCTCACCGAATTGTGCTGTATGTGACGCATTGCAACTCGCTCGTGCCACTTAGTCATTCCATACCCGTTCGACCCCTTGCATATTTGCGAGTCGACTATGCATGTTTCGCTCAGCAAAGGCAAGGTTCGTCACTTTTACCAATCAGATCAAGGCACCCATACGTCATTCCTCATTCTATCAACGGCAGGGTCTTTGTTTCTAGGAGATGCTTTCTCATCGGCCAGTCTAAGGGATTTATGGTAGAACTATATAAGCTGTCTCCATTTACTCGTGGCATAGCCTATGTACAGACATACTCCCGCCCACACTTGCTAAAACAAGTGTCCTGGCTATCGCAATTGTCCCCAACGCTCGATTTCTCGATATTTTGTCTCGATAGGTTCCAAACCACTCTTCCAGCATGCTCATCGAGAAATTCCTCTTTATTGCACTCGCCGCCATCGGTTCGGTAATCGCCTATCCTGATTCGAGCGCAGATGATACCATCGCCTTGGATCCCAGATGCAACAATGACAAGTGGGCCCATTGGAATGGTCGTGGGTGCAGTTGCTCTGCAAGAAAGCTTTGGGATGGTCATCGCCATCATTGCTACTAATGGTAGTAAAATCGGTCCTAACTACACTCATCCCGAGTGAACCCCTTCAAGGGCTTTTCGATAAGGTGGTTACAAAGGGCTCCCTGCATAATAGGAATGGTGACTAATAGCTAAGCGGCAGCAGCTAAGAAAAGATGAGGCTGTCGAGCAACCGTATGTTTCTGGTTATGTTGGTGACGGACGCTCACTGAACTGCATCACTTCGGTCACCTAGGATGTGACACGTCTCTTCTTGCTACGAAGCCATCACTTTGCGTTGCTAGGGTTGAGATTTCGAGCTCTTACTAGTGAGTCGGATTGTCGGCGTTTGGACGCCTTTGTTGGGAAAACGTCATCGTGGATGTGTACTTTTCAATTTTCGAAGCTGGGATAATACAAACGGTTATCTTACTGAGGTGTTCCCTCGTTTGGCACTAGACTGGTTAACGTCGGAACGGATCTTGAAATACGGCATGAATCGTGTCCTTGCGTAGTCGGCGATTGCGATTAGGATTTGAAAGAGCATCTTATCAAACCTGGAAGGCGATAGCGCTCGCTACAAAATCTCCATTAGACAACGTCATTGCGCCGGAAAGATTTGAGAAGGAGCATCCTACACCGGTGAAGCGGGCGGTGGAACCAGCAGTGAAGTCAGAAGTAAAGAAAGCTCTGGTTGAAGCATTCAAGAATTATCCTAGAGTCTGTACCGCATCTCCAAGCGAAGATCTTTGGCCAGATCGGAATTTTATCTCCAGAGGGGAAAGGATAAGCGTCGCGCCTTCTCATCCAGCTTACTGGAATTGACTCCTCATAGCGAATATCATCGGGTGGTGAATTTAAGCTCGCATCATAGTGGTTAGAAAGGCCAAGCTCTAAAGCGAATCTACAATACTCATGCTCGTCTATGTGCAGTATCTCCGTACCGAGGAAAGAGATACGGTTGAACATATGATCAACATGAGTATTTGCTTCTTTTCCTCGACATGGTTCAGTTGTAATTTCAGTCTAGTTCAGTCAGTTCAGTTTAGTTTAGAGGATTTCTATGAACTGATATGAATACAATTACTTACAACCTCCTTTCACTGCAGTAATTTCTCTAGTTGCGCCCTATTACTGTGACAGCATCCTCGAAAACGGCGGCAATATCCAGCATCTTGCCATCATATCCACTTCCGCCCAGAAAAGTAACTCCAAATGGTAGCTTTCCTTCCTCTTCATTGTCCACCCACCCAGCATTGACGCTAACGCCGCACAGATCAACTACATTGCCTGCATGTGTGAATGTGCCAAGCTTGGAATTCAGAGCCACTGGGTTTTCCAACATATCCTTGATTGTAGGGTGACATGGTACGCTTGGTACGACCAGAACATCAATTCCGCTTTCCAAGGTGTTGAAAATCTTCTGTGCTTGCACGGTGTATTGGATTTGAGCGGTTTGGTCCTGGAATACTTGCCAGGCTTTGAGCTCGGAAGAAAGCGCAGACTGAAAGATAGTCTTGGTGGTGGGATGCAGGGTATCGATATTCTTAACGAAGAACTCGTGGCCCATGGAGGCGAGACGTTCGTGTACAAGGGACGCATCATAAAGGAGGTCGCCGGCTTTGGTGAATGGGGTGTAATCGATGTCGACTAATCTGCCACCACATGATCGTAACTGCTGAATACTGGCTTGGAAGAGGTCTTGGTATGCTTTAGAGCAAGTTTCCAGGAGAGCACGCGGAGGAACACCGAATGTAAAGCCCCCTCCTTTGGTCCCCGGAAATCTATCGTCCAAGTTGACAAACTGCTTGGCGGTTTGGCATATGGATCGAGGGGATCATGCTGGTCAATTATATACCAGACCTCTCGTGCATCTGCTATAGAAGGTGCCATGATGGTAATTGTATCAAGGCTTTTGCATGCAGGCACCAAGCCTCGAGCAGAGATAGTGCCTTTGGTCGGCTTGAAGCCAACGATGCCATTCAAGGCCGCAGGGACACGAGTACTTCCTGCCGTATCGGTTCCAATGGCAAATGAAACTAATCCTGCTGCAACAGCGACGCCTGATCCCGACGAGGAGCCACCGGAAATGTGCTTCTTGCTGTAGACACTATGAGGGATGCCGTACGGTGACCGGCATCCGGATAGACCGGTTGCAAGCTGGTCCAAGTTAACTTTGCCAATGTACAAGGCCCCGGCGTCAAGCAGATGTTGGATAGATGGAGCTGTGGAATTGGCAGTGTACGCGAAGCTCTCGCATGCGACAGTTGTGACTATACCTGTCACGTCAATACTGTCTTTCACGGCAAATGGGATTCCAAACAAAGGAGGCAGTGGTTTTCCGGCGAACTTCGCAGAGAGTGCTTTGGCTGCCGCGAGGACGTCTTTTCGAGATTCTTTGGATATCCAAACGGCAGGATCGACCGTGTCGTACTTCTCTATCCGATCAAAAACAGACTGGACAGTCATTACCGGATCCGCAAGGCCAAGTTTGTATTGCCGTTGCAGCTCAGCAATTGAGGGAAGGGCTGCGTCCGAAACCAAAGTGGTACAGGGTGGATTTAGCTCGCAAAGACGCTCTGCTTGAGCAATCAAATCCGAACTATGGCCAACGTATCCAAAAAGGCCGTCTTGGCTGCAAATTATATCTAAAGACGTGGTCACCATCTGCTGGTCGAAACCACCTGTACAATCCGATAGGATACAGCATTCGTATCCCCTATCATTGCATTCTCGCAAAGTGGTCGTCACACAGCACCTTTCCTTATTGTCAGTCATTTGCAGGACACATAAAAGTTCTTTTCCAAGGGATCTCACTCAGTTGTAACGCCTGCAAATATCAGATGCGTGATGCCCCTGGCCAGCAGTGTTCGGTGAAATCCGGTGTTCCAGAAACTCCCTTTGCCTGGTTTGTCGATGATGGGCTCTCCAGGTTGCGGCTTCAGATCGTCAATTATATCCTGGCCCCACTCATTCCTCACCAACAGCTTTCCCATCGGGCCTTGGTCGCCGATACCCATCGTATGGTGGCCATGTGGTGCACTGATCTGTCTCAGCCTCTTTGCTGCAGGCAAATCTGAGAGATCCGGGCGATGGCCTTCCCTGGTATGTATAACTTGCATTCCAATGGAGCGGGCGACATCCAATACTTTCTGAATGGTTGGTACAATCTTGCGGACTGAGGCAAAGATCTCAGGATTTCCGCATTGAATAAAGCCAAATCCATCTGGATCTAAAAAGTCTCGTTGCATGTCAATAATGACAAACGCAGTGGTTGCGATGGGGAAGTTGAAGGAGTAGGGTCGAGCATGGGGAAGAGAAAGCTTGGTTGTTGGTGCCATTTTGGTTTCGTAATTCCTCAGGTGCTTTTTCGTGGAGGGTAGTAAGAGGCAGAATTACCAACAACGAGGCAAATAAAAGAACACTGGAGAGGATATACAATGAGAAAATGGGCTCCCACCACAAAACGAGAAATATTGCCGCCGTAGCCATCCACTCGGTTGGATACCACTCACAGCGTGTAAAGATAAGATAACTATGTGTCAATATCTTGAAACAAGCTTAATCGAGAGACTGATAGATGGCATGAAATTTCTTAACTATGTAAGTTTTCTATTTTGGCTAACTATCTCTTATTAGTTTATGTAAAATAGCTAGAGACACGTTAAGATAAGCAATATCTCTAACTCTAGCATATATACGCCCGCTAGGGGGTAAATTTCTTCCAGAAGTAAATAGTAAGCTATTTTTTAGATGAAATTCTAGAAGTAGTATATATAGTAGATTTTGACTTGATAGGTTGAAAGGGAGATAAACAAAACACAGAGTTGAACTAATAACGAAAAGGAAGAATAATTAAGGTAACGTGAGTGAGCACTTGAAGCTTCGGGTTAGCCGGTTGACTAACTGACAGTCAGTTAAGATAACTAAGATATTCAGGCAACTAAATCTTATGTAATTTATTAAAAAGCATGAGTCACTGGGACTATTTTATACAAATAGCTAAAAATGCCGTGCGGAGAGATAACATCTGTCAAGAGATAAGATAACAGTCGGCGAAGCTCAAAGTCCATCTGTGACTAGATAGTTCTGGTCTAGATAAGGCCGCTTTCCGAATTTGGCGAACATTTCCGATACCGGTCCAACTGTCTTAAAGACTATTTTGCTACGTACAGCAAGTTTCAAAATCAGTTATACGTCCACTTTCACAAACTTCTATGAATGAAACTCGCCCAGATTCGTGTCCCATGGCAAGTGTGTTCCCTTTAATCGCTGAGCACAAGGGCCGATATTGAGGAGGAAGCCATAGTACCTTGCTGCGGTGAAGGGTTATCCACTGACGATCCAAAATAAATATCCCGGCATTCTCTCGAGGTAAAAAGGAGGTTTCATTATCACGTCCGGATTGGATTTCAAGGCATCCCAGGTTGGTGCTCAGATGTGAACCATCTCGGATAAATTCCAGGTTGGTGACCTGCCCTTTTACACTCAGACTCTGCTGCAGCGCCCCTGTGGCAGTATCCCAGAGCTTGACTGTCTCATCGTCTGAGCTAGACGCCAGGAGTCGGCCGTCAGCGGAAAATACAACAGACCGGACCTTGTCTGAATGGCCGTAAAGAGTCTGCTGCCGCGCACCTATAGCGACATTCCAAAGCCTGACTGTTTTATCACTGGAGCCAGACGCTAGGAGTCGGCCGTCAGGGGAGAATACAACAGACCAGACTATAGCTGAATGACCCTCAAGAATCTGCTGTCGTGCACCTGTGGCGGTATCCCACAGCCTGACTGTCTTGTCATTTGAGCAAGATGCTAGGATTCGGCCGTCTGGGGAGAATGCCAGAGACTGGACACAACGTGAATGACCCTCAAGAGTCTGTAGTAGTGCGCCCGTAGTAGTATCCCATAGCCTTACTGTTTTGTCGCTTGAGCCGGATGCTAGGAGCCGGTCGTCCGGCGAGAATACTATAGACCAGACCGAATCTGAGTGGCCCTCGTGGGTTTGCTGCCCCGCATTCGTAGTGATATCCCATAGCTTAACTGTCTTATCGTTTGACCCGGAGACTAGGGTTCCACTGTCGGGAGAAAATGCCACAGACTGGACACAACGTGAATGACCCTCAAGAGACTGCTGCAGCACACCCGTAGCGGTATCCCACAGCCGGACTAATCTATCGTTTGAGCCGGATGCTAGGAGTCGGCCATCGGGGGAGAACGTCACAGATGCGATCCAATCTGAATACCATATCGAGTCTGAATGGGCATCAAGGGACTGTCGGAGTGTGCCTGTGTCTGTGTCCCAAAGCTTGAGTGTCTCGTCTCTTGAGCCGGACGCCAGGAGCCGACAGTCTGGGGAGAATGCAACAGAATGCACAGAGTCCAAATGACCCTGGAGAGTCTGCTGCAGCGCGCCTGTAGCGGTATCCCACAGTCTGACTGTCCTATCATTTGACCCAGACGCCAGATGTTGACTATCTGGGAGAATGCAACAGATCGGACATTGTCTGTATGGCCGTAGAGAGTCTTCTGTAGCGCACCTGTGGCTGTATCCCAGAGCCTGACTGTCCTATCATTTGATCCGGACGCCAGATATTGGCCATCTGGGGAGAATGCCACAGACTGGACGGACTCCGAATAGAGATCGAGAGTCTGTTGTAGCTCACCTGTGGCGGTCTCCCATAACTTGACTGTCTTATCCCTTGAGCCGGATGCTAGAAGTCGGCCGTCAGGTGAGAATGCCACAGACTGAATGGACTTAGAATGGCCTTCAAGAGTCTGCTCCAGCACACCTGTGGTGGTGTCCCATAGCCGAACCGTTTTATCACTTGAGCTGGATGCTACGAGTCGGCCATCGGGAGAGAATGTCACAGACTGAACGGACCCGGAATGGCCTTCAAGGGTCTGCATTTCTGCGCTCCAGGTTTCCTCAACCTTTGGAAACCTACAAATCCATCTAGGGAGCTCTTTTTCAAATATCGTCCGAACTATTGCCACTCTGGGTGCAAATATAAGTCCGGAGTTATAAAGTTGGAGAGGCACCTCATCAGCGATCTGTCTATTCTTAAGGACAAATCGCCTGCCATCATGTAGGAACTTAGATATTTTATAATCCTAGTCACCCTATATCAGTAATGGCACGTAATCACATAGGACTTTCTATAGAAACTTACACGTATGACTGGCTGTAGTTGATCAATGATCCCTAGAACTTCTGATACGACGCCTAAGAGGCTCATTGCTTCTATCCAATGCATGAAATGCTCCCGGAGAAACAGAAAAACATCCTCTATTGCAGTATCAACATCCTTACTCTGTGCAAGATGATGTACCCAATAACGACAGGAATATTCTAGCTCTGGTGGTAAATGCTCATGGATAGTCCTGGTATCGATCTCAGTTCTTTGTATTCCGTAGCCCTCTAGGTTGCAAATATTTCTCTTTAGGCGGCCACGCATAGTGATAAGGCAATGCATGGCGATATCTGTATGCTTCTTAGGCTCGTCCACAAGGAATCTGCTCTGGGACCGGACCAAAAAATCTCGGAATGACAAATGTAAAATCCTAATAGGCAGATCTCGGTTCTTCGGAACACTTAGAACAGATTGAAATAAATCCAATCGATTGCTAATTAGGTCTGGCCTAAGCCCAAGAAATAGGGAGAGCGCATTGGTTGAAAGTGGAACAGCGAGAAGAATGATGACGCCGACTATTTCTTGGAACTCTTGCAAGAGCTGCTGCTGCTCCGACTCATCATTGTCTTGATCATCTATCAATCGCGTGATAATTGGAAGGTACGTCTTGTCCATTTTAGTGGCATATTTGGCCTGGTCCTTTAAAAGCTCTGTGAGGCGTAATGCGGGTTCCCATTTTGAATTTTCGATGTAGCGGCACACGGTGGCGGCACAAATAAACAGTGGAACTGACATCGTAACTAATTCTTGGATAACGGCATTACTAGGCCAGTCTCGAGACATACCTCTGTCATGTCTGATCTTCGCAAATCTGTCCTTTAGGAATAAATGTATGTCGCGTTCTGTCGCTTCTCCGGAGATATCATTAAGAACCAGTTTCTGATAATCATGATCCGCGATCTCCAAAAGGCCAAGGCGAATTGGTAATTCAGGCCTGCTTGTCAAGAATACCCGAAGGCGAATCGCGTGTGCCTTCCGAAGAAGAGATAATAATCTGATTATGTTTCGTACATCTTGATCATATTCACATTCGTCTAAGGCATCGATCACTATCACAGCGGTATGAGGAGGTTGCTCATCGAGTTGGTCAAGGTCGAGCAATGGTTGTAAGAGTAATTTTATAAACTGCTCTTTCATCGATTTCGAAGCAATGTCTGGGTCGTCATGGAGTGCCTTCCGTACGCCAGCAATTAGCATAGGGAAACTAAGCACTAGCTGCCTTACGAGTGTTGGGAGAAGTCTTGTAGCATTTCCTCGATCACCTTCGCCCCTTTTGAAGAAAAAGCTTGCTCCTAGTTGCTTAGTCTCCTTGAGCGATTTTGCGACAGTTCGAGATATCGTGGATTTCCCAGTTCCAGCCATCCCATTTAACCAAAAGAGGGACTTTGCGTGTGGTGAAAAAGCCCATTCTTTTATCTGTTGAAGAATTTCAGTCCTCGTGCCTTGCAGACACTCATCTTCATGTTGATCCGGGTATGAATTATATTCGGCCCCACGCGCATAGGGCAGCTTGTCAAAATCTATCTTCTGATTGACATATTCAGCCTGTCGAATCATTCCTGTGATAAGTGTTCTAGATATATCTTAGTAGAATATTCTCAAGAGAGATCATGCTCCCCGGAAAAACATACGTCTGATCTAGCTGTAACGACAAGTTAAAGGACGATTTGTATCTTTCGAGATTCTGAACAATACCCTCCACCTCTGTGTGTTTTAGAGGCCACCTCAAGGCTCGAAGTCCCACTTTTCTCATCAGCGTCTTGCCCCTTCCTGGATCAAGTTTCGATTCTAAGGCTCGGAGGTCGGAGAGGCAATCGGTAATAATACTGCCTAGACGCGAGGAAATAGGTAGGGTGTTGTTATTCTGGCTTTCTTGAAGTAATTCCTCGAGATCTTGGAGGATTCCTTGGACGCCCGTAATCGCCCTTTGTAAGGTGATAATTTCGTTTCGTGCATCCTTTACCTCCTGGATGTAACCCCCGCAAATCTTCACTAGGCTTCCCGTCAGTTGGATGATCGCGACAACGCTCGCTGCTGATGAAAGTACATCCATATGGAAGGAAAGATGGCATAAACGCTTATTTTCATGTAAGTAGGTAAGACGGTCACTATAGTTTGAGGTTGTGTTCGGTTTGATAGTTTGGACTTTGCGGCGAGAGATAAAGAGGGGTAGGTTAGGCGGCGGGAGCGAGGCTGTGATTCAAGAGTGGATTTTCGAGTGCTAAGAGGACTGACTAATCATGAATTCACCCGTTGAAGCACTCCAAGAGGCTACATGGGGAAAACCCGTTCTTTTGTCCAGTGATACGGGCTGACTGTGGGCTCAACTGTCGGCCCAAACCGAAGCAGACCAATATCCGCTGCCATGTGCCTCTGACCACCTCTTCAACCTTTTCGGATCGACGGCACGCGACATATTATGGTACCCCAATTTGCATCACCTCCATCTCTTCGAGGTACAAGGTGGGCTTTTCTAGCAGGTGATCGGACAAAGTCTCGAGCATGATTAGAGTGATGCGGCATCGACCCCCTTTATTAGGCGGTGCTTTGACGCGGCCAAATATCCGTATATTGGAAGAAATTCTCAGGATGGTACACTTGTTGCCGCCAGCAGCCTGTGCCATCTGCGATATAGATAGTTCCCCACTGTGGATCATATCATGGATAAGCTCATGCTTTGAAGGAGCTAGGTTTGGGGCTATATTGGTTCGACCACTCGTGATTGAATGTCAGGATACCCCTCCCTCGGGAGGTTGTTTTAAAGGTGGGGTATGGAGGTGTCGGATGTATGAATTTGCAGGCAAATACCTCCTTTGGAAGTACCTTGTAATCTACGTAAGAGGCAATACACGTCCAACTGACGGGGTGCTTCGGAAAAACTCCCAATAGAGATTGGTGCGTCTTAGCGTTGGGCCTGGAGAATCAATCAAAGAGTGAAGGTGGTCGAACCAGTTTCGGGACGTACTGTACGGCATTATGGCAATGACTTAACGATCACTGTAAGGCGATACGATACATTCCAGCAGGGATTGCTGAGGGAGAAACTAAAATTAGACTGGCGGGTTTCAGATTAGGGTTCGGGGAGTAATTCGTGAGAGTATGGTGGTGGTATCTGATTTCGAAAATTGCTGTACTTAATATGTCCCATGCAGTCAATAAGAACCGGAACAACAAGCCCAGTATTGCTCAAAAGATACAGCGCTAACGTTTTGGCAGAAATAAACGTCTGTTCTATCTAAAGTATATGTACGAGACGAATCATGATCTAATCATCCTTTGCAGCATAGAAGAAGGGAAAAGAAACCATTGTACTCCAAAATCAAATCTTGCTAAACAGAACTAGTCTCTGCAGTCTCTTCCGAGATGGATTTCGACCGAAACTTCTCGTCTGGCGGTGTTGCCAACCCATTGTTGTAAACCAGGACGCCGTCCACGATTTGAGTTTCGTCGTAGATGGTGGACCCGACGAGCGTCTCGGTCGCTGGCCAAAAATAGCTCAGCACGCAGTAGATGATAAATCCACTGCTGAATCCCCACATAAAGCTAATGTCATAGATGTGATCGATCGTGCCCACGGAAAGGCTTGGTGTCACGGCGTGCACCATGCCAGGAAGATTGGGAGCAATGGAAATAAGAAACGCAACAGCTGCGCGCCAATTGAATCCGGCCTCATACCTATAGATACCATGACGCCTATACAGCGATGGAATGTCAATGTGTCGCCTCTTGACAACCCAGAAATCGGCTCCGATAATGGCGCAGATCGGCGCCAGGAAGATGGCCAATGAGGACATGAATGTCAACAGAGAAGCAGCCGAGGAGATGATCTTCCAGGGAACCATGACCCAGCCTCCGATGATAGTTGTGATGATGGCGCCACGGCGAATGTTAACATATTTAGGGAAAAGGGTTGTCTGCGCAATCCAGATCAGCGGGAAATTACGTGCAAAAGCCGGGGGACTCAAATGCTTACCATGTCATTCGAGCAGGAGATGACATTGGCCGAAATATTCGTTCCGATCTGTGCCACAACCCAACAGAGACCAACGAAAAAGGCGCCACAACGACCACTTGGCCCATCCCAATTCGCAGATAGTTCGACAGGGTCCCAGATATAACTACCATATAGAACCTTGCCAGCACTGGCTGCAATGATCCCAAATATGCCAATCAAGGATGCGATGAAAGGCATAAAGAGCGCTTGCCAATACACTCCCTTTGATTTTTTCAGGTAACGAGTAAAGTCGGGAATATTAGTTCCCATCGTAATCCTGTCCGGGGAATGGTTTTAGCGCTTGGCAAAACAACCATGCAAGATCCACTTGTTTTATCAAGAGGGTTAAGTGAGAGATCGAGAAACATACCATGACCCGGTAATGCTCGACATGGACGAGAGAATCAACCAGTTTTTGGTTGACCCTGTAACGGTAGCTTGCTGTTTCCAAATGTCACCGGCACCGCCAGCCTGGATGCACAGGGCGATAACCACCGCGACCGAAGTGACCATAACAATGATCGCCTTGAACACGAAAAACCAGCGGAGTTTGTGGGGCGGGATAAGCAGAAACGGAAATTGGAGACTCCAAAACAGAACGTGAGAGCACATTTGCTGAGACGTGATACCCACTGAGGCAGGAATCGTGTTCGGAGTATTCATATAGGAGGGCCAGATAGCACGAATGATTTGCGTCATCGCTGTTGATCCAGTGTATGTTTGGATAGCTTGGGGGAATGTAAGTCGAGTCCTCGGAGATGGGAAATATACGACCAGACATCACATACCATGCCAAAACAGCGCAGTGATCATACGAATGACGACTGCTACTCGTGAGAGGTAGAACCCAAAGGAAGCACGCGAAGCCACAGCGAAATTGACATGGAGATGGGCGCCGATCGCTCCGTTGAGCACAAGGGGAATAATGACCATGGAATAGCCGATGATGAGACAGTAGAGCGCTTCCCTCCTAATACAACTATGAGAATCGAAAAAGAAAAACGAGGTGGAAGGCATTTAGACTAACCATGTGAGCCCCACGGCGATAATAGAGGCAGCACCCTCCCAACCCTGAGCGTTGAGGGCATCGCTGAACCAGAAACCCAGGACGGTCCACGTTGACCAGATGCGTCGCTCAATAGGAGTCACGTCGGAGTCGATGTTAGACCAGGTGCCTTCATCGGTGAAGGTTGTCGTCTGCTTTGGTAGCACCCAACCAGAGGGCGACCTCTTCTGCTTGATATGTTCCTTGACCCGCTCAGTCCGACGGTGCAGGTACGATGTGGCTGAAGCCATTCCCGTAGTTAACGCCATAATGGACTGGCTTCAAACAAACAAAACTGGTAGGTAGGTATAGAGTTCATCCCAGAAACGTGCCAGCCATGCAGGGACTGGAGTTTATTCTATAAACATGTCGGGCATGATTCATACCAGTACAAGTTGTGATAACAAATGGGCAAAGATACCTGACTTGTTGATAGAACAGTATCCTGCTGATAGCGGATGACTATCTTATCTCGTTGCGATAATCCCAAGAGGAATGATCTTCGACTTCGGCTGTAAATTGTGATAGGCTTCCATCGCGGTGGTAAGGTCCAGCATGATAAGATATCCGGGCTCTGATTGGCTTTATGAAACAAGAAAGGAATCCTCTATCTAGGTACATTATGACTGACCTATTAAAGATAGTAGGAAGCGATCGGAAAAGAAAAAAAAGCCACTAAGAACGCTAAAATAACTCCAACTTTCGCTTAAACGGCTTTAAAACTGGGCAGCCCAGACGCTGACCTCAAGTCGATCCCGAGGCAATGGCTGCTCCGCCGACAGATTCCCACCCCCAGAACGGACATCCCTGCTCGACATCCCCTAGGAGCCCAGAAAGCGAACTGCCAGAGAACATCAAATAATAGACACCGACGCGACGGAGTTGGTAGAAACAACAGCGGGGTACCGGGTTGGCAGTTTCTCAATCTGGTATTTAGATTCCAGTTTCTTTCCCCTCATTTCTAGAAATAGCTTTCCCCAAATATAGACAGCATACTTCAGTAGACCCCCCCTTAGTTTCTTGGCAGTGCGTATTGAAACGCCTATCAAGGCAACAAACCGCCAATCATGGCTATATCAGATACGGAGACCTTGTCCCAGGATAAAAATAGAGCTTATTGTCGCTGATTGATGCAGGGACACAGTTTCGAGTTGAATGTGGTGTTTGAGCGAGCGGGGGATGATAAATAGATGGGTTATTTCCAGAGTTTGCTCTGTAGTCGAGCGTTTACTTCATGCTTAACCTCGTTATGTACTTCTTCGTTTCGTCCATCCAAAGGAAACCAGATTTTCAAAAAATGATTCAACATAGCGCTCAAGCCCCAGAGCAGCAAACTCCACGAGATGAAAGGCCGAAAACGACAACGCCGTCAAGAAATGGTGAGAGAACATATAATTACTTCCTCGCAGTGCATCAATGCCCGATTTGAAGATATAAATACTCAAACAAGTTGCACATACTCGATATCACTGATACCCGCCGTGTTGCTTTTCGGGCTGCACCCCGTACGTGGTGGTCTCCGGCTGAGCGTAAGCACCAGGTGTCTCTGCGATCTCCTGTGAGAAACCCTTTTTCTGCTGTTGCTGATACTGCGGATAGTATTCTGAGTATCCAACAGCCTGAGCCTGGCCATTGCTGTCGACGAACCCTAATCCCCCCGAACCATACCCCGGGCCCTGGGCCTGCTGCTCGCCCCAGCCGCCCTGTGCATAAACGGGCGTGCTAATGCTGGTATCATTCCAGCGATCGTACAAGTGATTGGACATCCGCTTGCCTCGAACGCGCTTGCGGCGCCAGCGGATGAAGCAAAAGCAGCACCCCGCCAAGGAACCTACGAGGATCAAGAACCCCACGATCGGAACGGCGATCACTAATGGCAGGTTCACACTTGAAGAGTTGGGAGTGGGGGTACTGAGGGACAGGCTGGAGGGGAGCAGGACCGTGGAGAAAATTCGAGTTGGTACAATACTAAAGACTTCCCCTGAGACACTAGGGAAGTGGCAGTTGTATCGGGTGGCTTCAAGGACTATATTGAGAGGTTCAGTGAGTGGAACTTTTCATTGGATATTGACATGATTGGGAACCTTACAGTTCGCCAGGTATTTCTGGTTCGTCGTCTCATTGTAGCATTGCTCACATGTGTTGATGACATTGTCCGCGAATGAAGTTGAGCCGCACCAGGAGTTGAAGTTAAAGGGGCCTGGATTGTCAAGGCCGGTTTCCACTGCCGGGCTTATGTCCTGGCATGCGACAGTGCACGGTGACGAGATGTTGGAGATGCTTTCGGGGTAAGCGAAGACGCATGTCGTAAAAGCATAGCGCAGGTTATCTGGTACCAAGAGATATTAGAGATGCTCGCGTTTGGAATGTTTAATCACTTACAGAGCCCCCAGTTGACGTCCGACTCACCCGCCTCCTGGTTGAAGTAAGTGCTCTTCAGCTGGCAGTCGACGCAGGCCTCGAAGGTTTCCCCAGTGGTCGAGTCACCGTACATGGCGTCCAAACACACGACATCGGCACCTGTTGTGTTGCTGCTGGTTTTATTGCAGATACTTGCGCATGGTGAACCACTGGTAGTTCTTAATCCAACCACTGCGGGGAGCGGGTTGCTGAGCCAGATGCCAGCCAGGGCGACGGCCAGCGCCCTGGGTGAAACTCCAAGCATAGTGAGATCGGATCGAGCAGAACTGGAGAGAGGGAGCCGCTCTGCCTGCGACCGGTGAGGTAGATTAATTAATTCGAGAGCTGGAGCGCCGGCCAGAGGACGATCACCGCATGGAAGATAGCAGCTCGGAAAGCAGCGCAAGGCAGAGATGGGGAGGAAAAGCTTCTTTTTTCAGTGCCCGCCAGCTTTGCGGCAGATGTGATGAGCGAGCGGAGACGGAGCTCGCCCATCACAGGAAAAGTCGGCATGGTCTAGGAACCTGCCTGCTGCCGGAGACTGCAGGCGAGGATACATGCTGGACGAATCACGGAGGACGTTGCAGCGCAGGCGTTGCCAATCAGCGCCTAAACTGAGGTGCACGGCGGAGGAGGGGTGATGAGACATGCCATTGGCAGATGGCACTGGTGACGGATGTGACAGACCGTGCATCACTAGCGGTTATGAACATGAACATCATTGCCCGCCAAGGAAGTACAGGAGTATTATGTAAGAGCGAGAGAGTATGGAGGAATAACGTTGAAAGAAAACAAAAGATAATAAAAGTCTTGATCTGGAGGAGTAGGAAATATTATAGACATAAGGAAAGTATAGAAAAGTAAGCTGTCGAGCCCTAATCTCCTCTCCCTCACCCGTACAGCTCATCGTAAGACGGCACCATCCCCGGCTGCGCCACGGGTTCAGCCTCCTGTTGCCTTGGACGGCTGCTCTGCTTTCGGTCCGGGCGCAAAGACTGCGCCGCAATGTATCCAAACCGAGGGGTCTGCGGCGGCATAGACGGCGCCGATACCGATGAAGCCGCAGTGTAGCTCGTATGTCTGGAGCTGGCTGTGACCGATGCCGCAGTAGAAGGATCGGTTGGACAACTCTGGAGGCTGCATCGCCGCATGCGCGAGGTTACTGACAGTGGAGGAGACCTGGATAGATGGGAGGAGTAGCTGTCACGGTCTCTGCGAGCGGATGAATATCCGTGGTCTCTGGTGGGTGCATCGAAGGTATCACGTTCTTCGTTCTCGTCCTCTTCCTCGTCTTCTTCAGAACAGGACTCCTCATCGAACTGTGTATTCTCGTGGGTAGAGCTCATTTCGTACCCATTCCAGCCAAGACCCAGGCCGCGGAAGGGTGGCTTGTGGCCATCCCGATGGCGCCGCCGCACTCTTTCATCGAAATGTCCCGTCGGTATGGCAGAGTCTCCATGACGAGGAAGCGCACTAGGCTCAGACGATGGCACAAATTCCATCGGCGCATGCCGCCGAGGGGCAGTGGGCTGGTTGTTGGAAGGAGGGGCATCTGGTGAAGAGTTGGCGGCGAATCCAGCGGGCTGGTTCCACTGATTCCAGGATCCCTCGGTGGGATAACTAATAGCAACGTCGCCCCATCGTGAATGTAATTCAGACGATAGTCTGCGCTTTCTTTTGATCTTTTTGAGGAAGGCTGCCATTTTATTGAATAGGTTGGTCATAGAAAGGGCCCGGACAGAATAGTAGACAAGTCAAATGAATTTAGAGGACAGTTTCTGTCCGGGGCCGTGGTCATGACAATAGTGTCAAAGTTTCTCGTTGGGATGAACGGAGTCACTAAACAGCGAGATTGAAAAGGGGGTGCGAGAGAGCAGGTAGATCGCCTGCATGGGTTGAAGTTATATCAACAGGACAGATGGCCATCGACGCGCCCACTGATCAACCACATATCTGTAGGAAAACCAAGAGGAGAGAAGATCTTCTGAGGTGAATGCGTCTGCGCCAGGTTAGTGTTGGTATCGAACATTTGCCTGTCAAGAGGTGAGAGAAGACCAAGACTCGGGAAGGCGCCCGGCACATTGGATCAACCCCTCTGGCGGAGACCTACGCTGCGCCACTTGGGGGTCAAGAGGTCGGTCTGGAGGTGGCCTTGTCTTTGAGGGACGATCAGAACCAACCACAGTCGCGACAAGTGGACGATTCAAGGAGCTGAGCGGACCGTCGGGCGTGGAAGGTGTAATGTTGGAGCGCATTTGCAGGCAAGCGGAGAAGAGCGAGTGGATGTGAAGGCCCCTCTGAGCAGACCCCTGTTTTCCTTGGAATACCGGAAAGACTGTAACAAAATGCGGCGCAGTCAACTTTTGCTTAACAACTCTGACGCCAGCCAGGGATTGTTGTACGTTGGTGGTACATGGCATGCACGGCGTCGTCCGTCGACTTGGCATGGCGCTTGTTCGGGCGATCACTGCTCCTCAATGGATGCGCCGGAGCTAAGCAGTGATCTAGAGTCCGGTGGTGCTTTAGGCGAGGGGGATGCAACAGCAGCTCGGATGACCGACAGGGTAGAGGGCCGGGGGCCAGTCTCGTGGTGAGAGGCTCCTTCGGAGGATCCAGCGAGAAGAAAGGAAAAAACCGACAGGGATAAGAAGAGGGGTTCGGTGGAGACTAAGAGATGGGCAAAGAGACTGTCGCACTCATCCATGTCCGCCATCCCGATCCCTGCAGCGAGGGTGGGCAGACCCTCCGGGGGAGCTCAGGGCGTGCCATGGACCAGCTAAGCCCACAAGGAACACACAGAGCTTCATCCTATTTGATTCTCTCTGTTTTGTGTCAATCGAAGCCTCGAGGGCAACGATGGTGAGATCTTGGAACCAACAAGGTTGATCGTCCCGCCCGTGGGGAGGCGGCTGGGCACGCCATTCATGGGCGCTGATAGGCGCCGGGGCGACCCGAAAGGGAAGCTCGATCAGCCACTGAGGGAAGCAGCACAGACCAGCAGGAGACGGCTCCGTGACAATGCAGGTCCGCACACTGTCACAATGTTCGCGTAGAGAGAAGTCGAGCTTTTAGCAAAAGGGTACAGCCTAAAGAGACACCCGACCTCTAGATTCCCTATCTCATTCTCGTCATAACGGAACAGAGAGTTTCTTCTGGTAGTAACATTAGCACATTACTATATCATAACAAGCCTAGATATTTTGGTTTTCAAATTCCAAAATATTCGACATGAATAGAACCACCTAACTTCACACCCTAGGCTTTGTCTGAACGGCCGACCGGATTCTCCAGATTCGTCGATTCGAGCACAATTCAATGATCCCTAGGGAACTTTATCATGATCTGTCCAGTCCAATAAAAGCGAAGTTTCGTTTATTTTAAGATGGATAGTTTCTTGGAGATTGCTCGGAATACACTCCACGTCAGAGCTTGAAGGAAATAGACTCCCCGGATAGCATTGAAAAGTTTTGCACAAAATATATGGCCCGTTCCAAGCAATTGGGGATCAAATGAAGGATGCGTCAAGATTAAAGTTCTGGCGCCGTAGTATTGATGCTTTCTTTTTTGAAATGTCTCAGGTTCAGAGCTTGGAAGAAGACCTGAGCCTCCCACAGTCATGTTATGAGTTAGGGGCAGGTGATGGGTTTTTGATTCTGTGTCGGCGGCATGTTCTTGAATTTGATGATATGGCATAGATATGATGATTTACTAGATGGTCTAAGCAAAGTGGAAAACTCGGCTCCCGCTTTGTATGCAGTCTAATTTGGATGCCTCTTTCATTCAAATTGAAGGCAGTGATAACGCCAAATAATGCCGAAAATCCATAACGCCGCGCAATGATTTCCTATGAACAAACCAAGCCAAACCCGCGAAACACAAAATAAATTATTCATAAAGATCATCCGCTTCCGGGACCATCGCTGTAGTCATGGGCTTCAACAGAGAAAACCTCTTCCGGTCCGTCACAACCTGCGGCGAGGTTTTTCGTCTGGTCGGCAACACATAGTGGCGTGGGCCAGTGGAGCCGTCTGAGGAGTCACCACCAACATTTGAGCGAAGGCTTCGGCGATCATCCTCGATATTGCTCTTATAGGTCGTCGTTGGAAGATCGCGGCCGCTTCCTTGACCCTCCAGAGACCTTATGACTGAGTTCCGCCATAATTGAGAACCGCGGTAGGAATCAACAGACTGGCTACGAGAAGGGACATGAGCGAGCTGCTCGAGATATCGTCCGTTGGTGGGAATGTATTTGAATCGAGTAGGCTGCTGTTGCTGCTGCTGGAACTGAGTTGCATTCTCGATCGCCTCAGCTGTATAGTCCTGCTGGATCGGTTTATATGCAAATTCGGTTCTTTCCGGCTCCATTGACTGAGATTGTTGCGCGGTCTGTGAGTTATTTCTCAGGTGTTTGGGCCGTGAGGCAAGACGGACAGACAGTCGACCGGGTCGCAAGGCCCCGAGGGCCCGGGAGTTGCGCCGAGATGAAGAAGTCGTGTCGATATAGGCTGCCGTAGAGTGTGAGTTGTTGCCATCTGGGCGGTGATTTTTTATTATTTCTTTATCATATGAACAACAGTCGGGGACAAAGCCCGGTCCATAGCACTGCGGTTCACGCATAGCTCGATGAGGATTATCGTATTGATTCCATGAACCCTCGGTAGGAACGGATATATCCACATCACCCCATCGAGGATGCAGAGGTTTAGGGTCCTCGGACTTTCGGAGGAAGGGAAGAGGAGTGCTGACAATTCCAGCCATGTTTGAGATAGATGGGTGGCTTTTGTGTGAGACTGACTGACTGGTCTCGAGTAGAAAAAAGCAGACGTAATTCAAATCGTTGTTGAGAAAATACAGGAAGGAAATAAGGCCACTCAGATATATGTGGCTATTATGGCAGCACGTTGGTCAGCCTTCCACTTGAGCAGAATCAACAAGGCTCCGTGGCTTCGTGACCGGCCGCAGATCATCCGATCCTCCCGTCGTCTGAGGAGTCAGCGGGGTGTCTTCATGGGCAGGTCATCCAACATCCACATGGGACTCGGCGTTGGATTGGGCACCGGCGCAACCACAACGGACCGGGGTGTGCAGTGAAAGCAGGGGGTCCTTCAGCCAATGCCCTGGAGAGAAACCCAGTGATAAAGACGCAAAGGTAAAAATGCAGGGAGACAGAAAAGACGACACAGGATAGAGATTGACAGTGTCCTTCGCTAAACTACCAGTCAAGGAGTTGAAACAAGCGATTTCCGCAGCGGGAGTATAGAAATGTCAAGCAAAACCTGAGGATCCAGCAGCGGGAAAGGGTCCAAAGATATAGCATCTAACCCCGCGACATGAAACAACTTCCATTTAGAGCTGCTGATCATCTGAAGATGGTGGTGGCCGTTTGTAAGAGGGCACGATGGATATCCAATGAGGTTCGTGCATTACCGCTGAGAAGGTGCGTCAAGATCGGCACGGACCAGGGGTTTTGACAGGGGATCGGTGACGTTTGTTCCTTAATTAGCAGCCTAGAGAGTAAAAATAGTAAGTAAATTAGCCCTCTCCCTGCCGCCCGCACACCCCTGCGTCATGCCGCTGCGGCTGCATCTAGCCTGTCCTGGAAATATTGACAGTTAATTAGGTTTATTTATAGAACGTTAGGGCTACGACGGCAGAGGGTATGGTTGATAATTGTGACAAGAATGTGTCTAACCAGGAAATGAAAGCATATATTCCATAGTTTAGGAAAAATTAAATTTCAGCCTAGTGACAACAACCACACAGCGAGTCTGCCGGCAGTGCAGGGCCGCTACACCGTTGAAGGCTAAAATCTAACAACTATACCCCATAGATCCTATACCGTACATGGTGAGAAACATCAGGATGCAAGGTCCGATGCCGTTTCTACAACCTGGCATATTCAACCTCACCAACTACCTCGAAAGGCAATTAGGCTCAGGAATGCCACACATGAAGTAGGCCCTTATTTAAACACGAGGAGGCAGAGAGAAGCTGCTAGGAGCGGGTCCACTGGGGATGGAGAAAGGAGGAAGACCAGTAGGGGTCGCACCGGAAGGGGTAGAGAGCTGACGCTTGTCAAAACCACCGGACAGGATAGAGAAGCTCGAAGAGGTGGGGAAGCCACCAGTCGGAGCAGGGAACTGGCGCTTGTCAAAGCCGTTGGAAGTCGGCAGTCCAGAAGGGGTCTCGGGGAACCCGCTGGGAGCAGGTCCGCTGGGGAATGGGAAGGGAGGAACGCCCGATGACGCCGAGAAAGGGGGGATAGGACCCTGACGCTTGTTGAAGACTGCAGATGTAGTTGGAAGACTGGATGAGATCGAGAATCCACTAGAGGACTCGGGGAACTGGCGCTTGTCGAAGGGTCCAGACGGCACAGGGAATCCGCCAGGAGGAGCAGGGAAGCCACTAGTCGGGAAGGGAGGTAGACCAGAAGAACTGGAGATTCCGGTGGGTGCAGGGCCAGAGGGAGTTGGGCCAGAAGGAATAGGGCCCTGGGGAGCAGGCAGGGCGAGGGCGCAGCCCATCAAGCCCACAAGGGCGAAGCCGGTGTATTTCATTGTTGGAGGGAGTGGTAGTGTAGTATATTTCGTAAAAGAAAGGAGGTAAAGAATTGGAAGATATAGATGAGACCACGATCGAATGTTTGACGTGTAGATTGGTCTGACTGATATGATGCTCCGAGTCGAAAAGAGAGAATGGAGAGCACGTCTTTATAGCGCTGCCAGTCCACCCATCAAACAGCCATTGCTGGGCGATTCTGGGTCTTCTGAAGAGACTCCACCAGGCATCTACTCCGGGCTCGGTCAATGGCATCAATGCATCAGTTCTCAGCTCGTCAGTGGATATCGACAGGTCCATCGTGCAAAGTCCATCCAGACCAAGAGATCGTCGTCTCCACTGAGCAAAATCCGGGCAGACACACCATCAGGGACACCGGAGACTGCAGCCTATGGTTGCGGTGTTTTCCGGCAGTCAATCGAGGTGATTGGAGCTGAAACAGGTAAAAAGCGGTTCTTGTTCTTTTCAGTAGGATGAATAAGGTAGGTATCGTCGTTCGGTTAGGGCGCGGGTACTGGTTATGTAGTTTAGTTAGGGTTACCAAAATCAATAGCCGCGACGATCATTGTTCCGTGTATACAAAAAGTACCGAAGTGGCCTGAGGATCTTCATGATCAGTCAACTTTGCTCGTCGTGCATGCCCGATGTAGCTGGGTCCCGGTGCTCATCTTGCCAGCGCCGGGAGGAGAGGAGATGGAGGTCACGGCCGAGGCTTAGAATTCTGGCCCGGTGAGCTTGATGTCATTCCTGGATCGGCCGGGTAAATTCAATAGTTGCAGTTCAGTGATGAATAGTCTGCGATCTGAGGGATCTGGCCGAGCCTTCCATAATTAAGTCTCTCTCTTTGCATCATAATCAATTAATCCCTGGATCGTTTTTCCCAGAGTTCGTCGCCACGCAGCTCGAAGGCGTGCGAACTGATACAGATCGTGTATCAGGGGTGGGCTGGAATGTCCCACGGGTCCCCTGGGATCCCACAAGAGTGGATTCGTGTGGAAAGCCCGGCACCGTGGTGGACAAAGCCCACTGATTGATAAGAATGCGCCCAATAACCACGTCCCGATCGGCGCCGGGGACCGCCACGGGCTCCATTTTCTTTACACCGTTCTCGCGCGAAGGTGAGCAGGGGTTTTTTGTTTTTTTAACTTTCCTTTATCGGCCCGCGCGTGGTGCGAATGCTTCCAGTTCGTGTGCGCATATTCCTAAACGACGATGTCGGTCGTGGAAACGCTGGACTTGGCGCTGGAACCCGCAGGCGTTTCACGAGCAGTTCCAGCCACTGCCGAGAGCGAGATCCACATGGTCGTCGTTAGGGCGGCGGGTCCTTGCAGGTCTGAACTCGACCAAGCTGCTTTTTAGTTACGTGGTTAGTCCCGGAGGTGGAACTCTGACATAACTGATCCGTCCGTCTCCTGAGAATATTGTCCAATGTACTATGCAGGAAAAAGGCCTGATAGCCAGCGAAGCTTGTGGGAAATTCGGTTAAGCTCATTGTATTTGTAGATGGATCAATCTAGCTGCAAATTTTATGACACACAGATGTTCCCCATGCGGCATCGACTGGGTTGCGACGCCGCTGTATGTACACGCGGACCGACTATATACAAGTGACAGGTGAGACCGCTACAGTTTGAGTAAACTGCAGCAGTCAAACACCCGAAAGGTTTCTGGTAAGCGAGATTTGATGCAAAGACTCAAGGGGTCTAGGCGTAATGGGTATCGACCAAAGAAAAAAGGGCCACGCGGGTCGTTTCTGTCCGAGTGGCCTGCGATTTCCGAGCAACGATTGCCATATCCATATCCCAATCGAGCGAGTGACGGAACAGTTTAGTTATAAACAATATTCTTAGCAAGATGAAGGGAAGCCTATGTTTCACTGGCGAAGTTTACGCGTCAGGAAATCCGGGAGCTTGGCGGAATCGTTGAAGTCATATTGAGCAAATGGCGAGAGGATGGTGGCATGGTCGCAGAGAGGTTACGGATCGAAGGCGCATGGCCTTGTTTGGGGGAGTGTCGATGAACAGTGCCGGTGGTACTTTGGGACGACTGGGCCGAGAAGGAAGATCGTTGGGATAGCACCGGACTGCGCCGGCCTTTGTCGTTTCCGAACGACGGCCCACCACCGTAAGCCGTTGAGTCCCATGTGGCTCGATGGCTTGGTTGCCCAGGCCGCACAGTGAAGGAAAGCTCGGACTCGTCGTCTTCGCTGTCGGATCCGACGGCGAATATCCCGCTAGCCATCGACGCCGATGATCGACGGGGGGGCCTTCGGTAAGGCGGGCCAAAAGGTTGGATCGTTCGGAAGCCAGCGTGGAGGCTCTTCCAATGACACTGTGCTGCGGGCCTTCTTCAGTCCATTGGTAGGACGACCGCGTGATTGGCCTCTCGGGGGGCGTGTCCGCTCCAGTTCATGACTGTGCGATCCTCGGCGTCGTGCGCGGATGCGTCCTCGTCCGGCACTACTGTCTGGTGAATCGGCCGGGTGACGAAGTGAGCTTTGAATGCGCAGGTCGATCTGACTGGGACTGAAAGCCACGCGGGCCCGCATCTGCTGAATGGCGCTATCCAATGCGAGCTCAATGGCACAGTGATTCCGAATTCGGCTCAGCCGAGGCCAAGTCGCGCGTTCTCCGCTGAGACAGGCTTGAAGCATGAACTCCGTTGTCGGATTCTCCAGAAGACGCGGGAAATTGGACGATATCAGTTCAGGGTAGATGTTGATGTCACCAATGTATTTCTGTTTCATAATCGATGAAAACTTGGTCAACGAGTTAGGGAAAATTCCAAGTTCTGAAAGGACGGACATGCGGTGCAGCACTTCGTCCTTGGCAAGGTGTGTCATCGTGTTGACCAGGCGAGGAATGGCAGAGTGTGCCTCTTCTGCTGGATTCATAGGTCCACCCTCTTTGGGGAGAAATGGCACGATGTGTGGGTTGACTTGAGACACAATGAAATGGTTGACGTTGAACATCTCCGAAAGCCGGGTCATGGGCAAGTCTCCGTCCACGGACCCGTCAATGTACTGCTTGTGGAGGTCATTCCACGGGACCGGCTTGCCTGTCAAGGGATCCTTGGCCATCAATGTGTAAGGCCGAAATACCAACGGCACGGAGCATGACACGGCTCTGGATGAACGGTCAGCGAACATTCTACACAAGATACGATGGCGAGACTTACACAGCGGACCAAATCAGCACGTTGGGTGCAGAAATGTAGTTCAGCAGCCTGGGCAGTTCGTACATGCCGGCACTCGACACGCAGATGTTGAGAATTCGACGCGTCCGGTTGTACGCCTCCTGGAAGGTCATGTCGCCCAACCAGGCCCGCATCGTATTCGCCAGGTGGGAAATATCCAAGAACGATCCAACTTTTAAGAATCGTGCCGTCTTCTGGAAGATGTTTTCCTCGCGCCCATGCTCATTAAAAACCGCCATGTTTCCGTGCGCGTAGGTTTCCAGAAGCGCTGGTAATTCGTCATCGGTTCGGGTACAAAAGACAGCGCACACGATACTGCCTGCTGAAGCACCGGAGATGATGCGGGGGATCAGTTTTGACTCATAGAGAGCCTTAAGAACGCCAATATGGTTCATCCCAAAGGTGGCACCTCCGGAAAAAAGCAGCGCACTCCGCCCGAAGGCCTGACGAGCTGCCAGCAGTTGATCCAAGATATATTTCAGCTCCAGCCCATCGCAGCGATTGTGCACCGACAAGTCCACCAGGGTCGAGATCGTCTCCAAGGCGGCGGTGATATATCGGTCGATCAGGTCCTTCGTCCCGATATGGGTATGCCGGTAGAGCGATGCATGGCTCATATTCCCCAAGTCTCGACTCAGCGCCGTGCGCACGAGGAACAGCATCCGGCTCACATCGCAGCTAATGCGAGCCTCCTCCAGCTGTCGCAGCCGTTCCTGGACCAGCCGAGGTTGGTATTCGGTGCACTCGAGTGTCTGCTTCCAGGCGTTATTGTCTTCCAGCACATCCAGTTCGTTGGCACAAGTACTCCATTCCTCGTACGACACGGCCTGCCGTCCAGAAAAAAAGGATTAGAAATGGGTGACGTTGCATACTCGACTTGGCCCCGCCAGGCACGGCACTCACATGCTTCATCTTCAGGTAGAGAACTTGCTTGCGATCCTCCACCTCGGTCTTGTGTTGTCGCTGCTCTCGGGAGAGGCCATCACGATAAGTGTGCAGAGTGTCTCCGGCCCAGGACCATGAGTCCCGCACGAGCGACGACACGGTGGGGATGGAGATGGCCTTGCGGAGCGATCGGCGCGGCGGCGAAGGCTGGGCGTCATGGTGCTGGCGCGAATGGATTATTGGAGAGTCGCCCAACACCGACATGACAGACAAGGGCATTGAGAGCGAGCCATGAGCCTGTATTATTGTATATGTGGGATGTGGAAGTGGAAGTGGGAGGAAGGGGCAAGAAAGAAGTGTCGGTCGCCGGGAAAGACGTCACGAGGTCAACTACTGGAAAAGCACTATTTATCACCATCATCCATCTTCACATGTCCATTAACCACTCTCGCAGCGCGTGTCGCGCTCGCATCTCGACTCCCTCTTCTCGCCAGAAATGGCCCGCGCCACCGATCTGCCGGGATTGAAACTGGCTGTGCGCTCTGTGGGCCAGCTCGTCTGACCACCTCTGCAGTTTGCGGGCTGACGTAAAGGTGTCCGAATCGCCAAACAGAGCTAGACTGCGGTGCGTGCTCAGCTGGTCGGCCGGATGGGGGCAGGCGATGTGTCTGCCCTGGGCTGATGTCACGTTCAGCGACAGGGTCGAGAACACCGTCAGCAGCTGGCTGACAGGAGGCAGAAGAGGTGACACGAGAAGGTACAAGATCTGGGTGTTACCCGGACTGAAGGCAGGGGCATTGTCCAGACTGGAGGGGTTGGTGAGTTGGAGGGTCTCGATCGAGCGTGTAGCGGCCGTCATTGCCGTTTTGCCAATATCACCGCTAGGTGATGCTGTCCTTGTATCGGACTGGAATAGATCGGTCATGACATCCACGGTCGGAACGTGCGAGACAACCAGTGAGCCGTAAGAGTAGCCTCCCAGAATGAGTCGGATGCCGGGTATTGCATCTTGGGGTAGTCTCTCCTTCGGAGCGAAAACAGAGTGCAGCAGATGCAAATATTGCAACATGAATCCGTAGAAGGACACATAATCCCCCAATTCAGGCCTGGCGGTCCAGCTGGTCCGCCCCTCGGAGCCACCAGCGCCGCTATCCGCAGCATGGTCAGTGGGATGGTGATGACCAGAAGAATAGATGCCCGTACCGGAAGTTGAAGGTGCCCACAACACAGCCCGCGTCCAACAGCTCGCCGCCCACAAAGCTCACAACTGGATCATCGTAGCAGCCTCCGAGTGGTCCGTACGGATGGGCGATGATGGCACCTGTGATGGATGTTCGTGGTTGTTCTATATGTAGCAGGGTGCGCGGGAGGTAGAGGCGGCATTCCAGCTTGCAGCCATCATAAATCGAGGGGATGGTAAAGGAGAAGGTTGGAGATGGGAGATCCATGGGTATAGATGCCGTGCCTCGTCCCCTCTCTCCCTGTGCTGCTAGATCAGTCGTTTCCATGCATGGGAAGGAGTACTGTGGTGATGGGTGGTGGAATGTTAGTGTCTGGATTCCCGCACTAAACCTTGAACCAACTGGCCTGGGATGACAACCATTCCACCAACGCTCGTTCTTGGACCTAGCTATTTCCGGATTGGTCGAAAGATCTATTGTGGTATAAGTATTGACGACGTGAAAATTATGGGATAACTGAATAGCACGCGTATTGGCCACTGGCCGAGGTCAAGACGATATATATATTTCGAGATCACCACGAAGATCTAAAAGACACCATCACTAGCCCAAGGGTAGATAGTATATGGCCACTCATCCTCGCACCCAGTTTGCCCTTCGCAATCAAGTACCTACTATTAATTGGATAAAATTTAGGTATATTCATTTCAGACTTGTCTTGATAGTACAATTGTGTATGTGGTGGCATTGGGTGGTGAAGTGAAGTTGGGGTCCAACTCGCTTACAGTTTTCACAGTGTATTTGATTTCTCTGCTAGTAGGTCTCGGGCCCCTTATTATTATTATTGTTGTTGTTCTATTATTATGTATGTAGCTGCTTAGCCCTAGCGAAAAAGGAAAAGATTTTCTTAATACGACCAAAGCAACTAACTAATAAGAGGAGTAACCTTAACCAGTTGTTTTCAGCTCGCGCGCCCAATTTTCTCCTTTTTCTTTTACCCTAGGGAATTCTCAGAATCATCCTATAGCATCGGCCATGACAACGTGGATCTCTCTTGTTCTTTTAGTGCTGGCTTTGTCGCACCGTACATTATGTTCCGAAGGCGACATTTGCTATGTAGTTGGGGCACAGAGTTCGTCGGTACCTCGCTGAAAAACAAAGAGGGTTGCTACTAATCAGCTTGCAGCTAGCCTTGTGGACGATCGGTTATATTTTATGGGAGGCAACTATAGCATCGTGACGTATGACGGCCAGCTGATTGAACCCAGTAAGTTTCCTAGAGAAGCCTTCTCTTAATCTGCTAACGGCGGGTAGCTGGGTCTCTCTACTCAATCGACCTAAACAGCTAATTTCCAGTCGAAAGGGCTATCCCCCAGACAGCCCTTAACAATGACACCATCGATTCTAGAACAACGGTAGCCTATGATACTACGCTGCGTGCAATCGGGGGCGATACTACTAATGGAGCAGTCTGGCAAATAAACGACACCCTCTATGTCTTTGGTGGTGGCTTCAAAACTCCAACCAACACGCTATCGACCTACAACGTTTCGACTGGCAAGTGGAAGGACGTGACCGTGGCTGGTGGTGACTTAAATTTCGGACAGCGCACCTCTGCTCAATTTGCCAGTGCTCCCGAGTCCGGTCTCGGCTTTATCTACGGCGGCAACACCCCCTATATGAGCGGCATGATCCGTTTTGATGCGTCTAATCCCGATAAGCTCTCGTGGACCAACGAGACACTCTCACATGGGTCCTATGGCGTCCAAGTGCCGAATCTGATTTCTGGTGCTTTGGTCTATATTCCGGCCGGAAAAGAGGGTATGCTTATTAGCTTCGGAGGTGCAAATGTATGTTTTATGTCTTCCATTGACTTCGTACGACAGACGATAAAAAGCCTGTCCCCCCCGCTAACGCTCTGTCATGAGCAGGTCACTGAAGGAATAAGTCCTGACTCCGGCTGGCCGTACGATGCGGACTGGCTTACTATTTATGTCTACGATATTGCCTCCCATACATTCTACGCCCACAAGCACGGCTTACCGGTCTTCATCCGATCCTTCCTCAGCATCGGTTCAAAACAACAAATCTCACCACTCAGATACCGGTGCTATTGCTGGTGGTGTAGTCGGCGGCATCGTAGGACTGGCATTCATTGCAGGAGGAGCATGGCTCCTGTTCAGGCGCAGACTTGGCCGTGGAAGCAAAGCGGAGGGTCCTGTGAAAAGCAAAAAGAACCCGTCACGGATACAAGAATTGGACGTGGAACATTTTTATGAGGCACCTATACATGGCGCAAGATCCGAAATGAGTGGAGAAGGCACTTTTGAGCTGCCCGGAACCATAAGAGCTGCCGAGCTGGGGAGCAATGAACCACTGAAAACTGACAAGGTCTAATGAAGAATTAAACTTCGGAGTGACTGATGCAAAAAAGTAGTAGTGAGCTACTTGGATAGCCTTCGTTGGACATTTTACTTGTCTTCTTGAGGCACTTGACTATATGAAAAACACAGAGACAGCCATCTGGTGTTACAGACCGGGCTTTCCAGACAGGTGGTCACAAAACCCCTTGATCATCAGGTATTACGATCCGTCTTCAGCCTGTTCGACTTGGGGATGCGCGGACGCTCCCGGATCGTGACGTTGCTGTATTCAGTTTCTTCGGCCATTCGATTTGCCGTCATTGACTGGATCTACCATGTCACGGATGAGATGTAGCTTTGAGAGGGGAAGCCTCGAATTTATATTGCACGCCTGTCGTTGGTTGACGCTCAAAAATCATGTATGAAGAACAAACGAAGCCTATTGCTCGGGGTGAAAAGGGGCACAATGGTAGCATATGTACAGCATTTTGTGTAAAGCACATAAGGCGAGATCCCAGTCGTGTCATGTAGAATACAGAGCCTATACAGGAAACCTGGAGAATCGGACCTGCCATACAATATTTGGATTTGCATGTTCAAATTAGGGGATTAGGGCTCAGGAGTCAATGTCTGAGAGTGTACAGGTAAATCTGATGTCGAATATGACTGTGTGTTCCAGTCGCTTTTCTCGATTTGCAAGTCCTTTTCATATAAATCCCTACAAATTCCGCAGCCCTTCCAGGACCACTAGGTCGTCTTAAGTTCATGCCTACAATTTAAATCTAAGAATATTTGTGAGCCCAATGTTTAGTAGAAGTCTCTATGCTCGGGGCAGACTTTTGACTACCTTAACGCGTTTGACACTAACAAAAGAGATATATCTTCTCTACCATCCTCTACGAGAGCACTATGGGCAGTTGGACCAGAACATAGTTGTGTACTGGTCAAGCCACTCCGAGAATGAATGTATCAATGCTAGACTGGCCCTGATATTGGAAGGCCGATTTCAATACGGGAGGAGAATTGTTTGGAACGGCAATTCTTAATGGAGGATCTAGCCAGAAAAATGCGACGCGCTGAGGGTATCTGTAGTTGTAGCCTTCAAAACAAAATGAAAGATTTACAAGCATAATAACTCAAGGTTCTGAGAGAAGCCACGACGGGTCAGGTTCGTCATCTTCAGACCGTGACTCGGTGTGATGGAGTTCTTCATCCTTGAGCAAATCAGCTGGAGGATCAGCTTCCTCATCCTCGGACCTCGATTCCGTATGATGCGGATCACCGTCCTTCAATAAATCATCCGGGGAGTCAGGGTTGTCGACTCCAAGAGGATCCGGGGTTTCATCAAGCACGGAGTGGTCCCGTTCTTGTTCAGGAGACTCAACTGGCGTATTCCCACGCAGAGGGAGGCCAAATGCCTTACGAAGCTTGCTCTTTGCCTGCCGCAGTGCCGTAAGCTCTGCCCCAACACAGCAGATAACGAGATTCCAACCCTTCTTCTCAGCAAGCTTCATCACATGGTCGACAAAGTGCGTGGATTTGGCCAAATCCCCCAGGACACTGTCAATCAGCTCGTTCCTGGACTTGGTCTTCTCGGCTTCATCCAATCCAGCGTTCATATCTATCCGCATGTATTGACGCATGCTGATCCGCAAGCGTTTCTCAAACCCGGTCACCTCGGTCACGACCTCACTCCAGGCACTGCCCCCTTGCTGCAGGGCCAATATTTCCTTATCAATATCCTGTGTTTTCCTTTCCAGGCCTGTCCATTCGCTGTTGAAATATTCTTCCGCCATGGGAAGCGTGCGGCGTTTGGGTTGCAGCGAGTAGAATGGGACCTTATTCTCGAATCCATTCAAAGTTTCACCGGGAGGGTGGACTAGAAACTCACGCATATCCGCTTGGAGCAGCGACAAGGACTCCGTGTAGGAAGACAGCTTAGCGTCGACCGAATTATTGATGCTCGAGATCTCGTTGACCATCTGCTTATGCTTGACTTTCATCTCGTATAATCTGGTCTCCAGTTCCTGAATGTCAGTCTCCAGGGTCTGGGCCTTCTCTTGCAGCCGTTTCGAGCGTCTACTCTCTTCTGCGTCATGGATATCAGAGATAGCTTTTTCCAATCCATCTTTCTTCTGGTTGAACTCATCAATGTCGTCGAGCGCCCGTTCCGTCGAGAACAGAAGCTGCCTCAGGATGCGCCGCTCGTCCTCTTCCAGCTCCAACAACTTGTCGATGAGGCGAACGATTCCATTCCGGGCAATCTCCAGTGACGTCTTGGCATGTCCACGTCGTGTGGCCGGTATAGAAGCTGGAGGTATGGACGAGCTCGCTGTAGAGGAAGCTGGTGTGAGGTTTCTTTCCTCGGTAGCTTCTGGATTGGGAGAAGGGGAATCGGGATCACTCGGATCGGGGGCAAGAAGAGCGCTGGATTGTGCATTAATCAGCCCCTGCAGCTGGCGATGGATGTCTCGCTGTTGGCGTTGGATGCGTTGCAGGGAGTCCCCATGGTGTGATGCTTCTGGGTCTAGTATGCGACTTTCTCTTTCAAACAGACGGGACATCGTGGGCAGAATGCAGCAGTATAAGGTCGAGGATTATTCTCCATCCGGGCACTCGCGACACGACGTCTTTGAGGTGTTCATCATGTTGTTGTTGGTGCAGCTGATGCGTTCGGGTCAGGCGTCATCGCACGTGACCCGGTGAATCAGTCAGCTGCAGTTGACGTTGTCGCGCGCGCCTGGAAGCTTCTGCTCTTCCAGCTCCTGCTCTCTGCACAACCCATCCATTCGGTTCCATTCCTTTGATCACTCGCTGTCTTTGGGACAGCTTTTATCTACTACGGGATCTAAATCCCTCCCTGTCCACTTTTTCCGTGCTTTGGGCCGACTCGCTGTCCTCCCCCGGAGCTCTCCCCGTTGACGTTGCTTCATCACCCCTGCAACACCGGAGTCGCTCTATTCCAACGCAACCTAGGAGCTTGTCATCCGAGACATCTCCTACAATAACCATGGTCGGAATTGCTTCAGCTGCCGGCCTGGTCGGCTTCCTGTCGGAGCCTGACCCAGAGCTGAAGGTCTTTGCGCTCAAGTCATTGGACGCCCAGGTCGACCTGCTCTGGACCGAAGTAGTGAACGCTGTTCCTGAGATGTAAGTCTGCCCTTCCTGACGGATATTTTGGCCTCGTAATGTCTATTGCATCTGCTCGGATGAGATACCCCTGCTGCCGAGACCGAGGGACCGTGCTGACGCCATCCATCCAGTGAGGCTCTCTACGAAGATGAATCATTCCCTGAACGTGAACTGGCCGCCTTGGTCGCCTCAAAGGTATATTATCATCTTCAGGAGTACAACGAGAGCATGGTCCTTGCTCTGGGTGCGGGAAAGCTGTTCAAGCTAGATCACGGTGGCGAGTACGAGGAGACGATCATTGGTAAGATGGGCTTGTGTCACTTCTGATTGTTTTGGGCTTGTCCGGTCGCTAACTAGATGCAGCCAAATGTGTCGATACCTTCATCTCCCTTTCTGCGGCCCAGCGGCCGGCCGGCGGCGACCAGCCAGCCAACTTGAACACCGCATTCCCGGCATCGGGTGAGGGCGCCACGAGCACATCGGCCAGCCTTACCTCCCCAATCACACCATTCTCGAAGTCCGCCCTGCCTTCCAAGTCTTTGTTGTCCCGCCAAGAGGTGCCCGGTATCGACGCTGCACACCCTGGAGGCGATGACACCAGCGTCCAGCATACGGACACACCTCTTGTGTTAAAGCGTGGCGTCCAGGCCCAGCTGCAGGCAGTGATTGAGAGCCTTTTTGAGGAGTGCTTCCGCCAGAAGCGCTATCGTCAAGTGATTGGGATTGCGGTTGAGGCAAAGAGTTTGGATGTGTTGCGCATGGCCATCATTCGTGCTAGTGAGGACGAGAAGAAGCAGCAGGGGGAATCTCGGCGGAGTGAAGAGCTCATGGAATATGTCTTGGATATCTGCATGGGCATTGTCCAGGAGCGGGGTTTCCGGAATGAGGTATGTTCATGCATCTACGCCCTCTTCTATTAGAGTCTTTTGTCCTGACGACATTCTCTTCAGATTTTGAACCTTATCCTGGAACTACTGAACGAAATCCCCTCCCCTGACTACTTCTCGATCGCGAAATGTGTTGTCTACCTTAACGAGCACTCGATGGCCTCCGTCATCCTCCGTCAGCTGGTTGAGAAGGGTGATCCTCGGTCTCTGGCTGTCGCCTACCAGATATCTTTCGACCTGTACGACAACAGCACCCAGGAGTTCCTCCAGAAGGTTCGGAAGGAGATCTCCGAACTTGTGCCTGAGAACGAGAGGGAGAACAACGAGAATGATGAAGAGCCCAAGGAGTCCGACCCATTGCTTGAAGACCAAGGACGTTCGTCAAGGACATCGGGAGATGGCGACGAAAATCTTTTGGATGACTCGCTTTCCGCTTTCAAGAATATTCTGGCAATTCTGGATGGCAAAAAATCTATTCAACTCAACCTGGAATTCTTATATCGGAATAACAAGGCCGACATTGCGATTTTGAACAAGATCCGTGACAGCCTTGAAGCTCGCAACTCCATCTTCCACACGGCAGTCACCCTTTCGAATGCTTTCATGCACGCTGGCACCACCCACGACAAGTTCTTCCGCGATAATCTGGAGTGGCTTGGCAAAGCTGTGAACTGGTCCAAGTTCACAGCCACTGCGGCTCTGGGTGTGATCCACCGGGGAAACCTGAGCCAGGGCCAAAAGCTTCTACAACCATACCTGCCCCGAGAACACATCGCTGGTGTTGGAGGGTCGGGCTCGGTCTACAGCCAGGGCGGTTCTCTTTACGCATTCGGACTCATCTACGCTAACCACGGTGGCATGGCAGTTGATCTGATCCGTGACCACTTCAAGAAGGCCACTGAAGAGGTGGTTCAGCACGGCGGAGCTCTGGGACTGGGTGTTGCCGGCATGGCAACTGGCGACGAGGGCATCTATGAAGACCTCCGGAACGTGCTCTACACCGATTCGGCTCTCAATGGTGAGGCTGTTGGTCTCGCCATGGGTCTGGTCATGCTGGGCACTGGCAACATGAAAGCGTTGGAGGATATGATTCAGTATGCGCACGAGACGCAGCACGAAAAGATCGTCCGTGGTCTGGCCATGGGTATGGCTTTGATCATGTACGGTCGCCAGGAAGCGGCCGACGAACTGATCAATGGTCTGCTCGGTGATCCCGATCCTACCCTCCGCTACGGTGGTATCATGACCATCGCTCTGGCATATTGCGGCAGTGGCAGCAACAAGGCTGTTCGTAAGCTTCTCCACGTTGCAGTCAGTGATGTCAACGACGATGTCCGCCGTGTTGCAGTGCTGAGCTTGGGCTTCATCCTGTTCCGCAAGTACCAAAGTGTTCCCCGTATGGTCGAGCTGCTCTCGGAGTCTTACAACCCTCACGTCCGGTACGGTGCCGCCATGGCGCTTGGTATCTCTTGCGCTGGCACTGGACTTGACGAGGCCATCGACCTGCTGGAGCCGATGCTTAAGGACTCGACCGACTTTGTCCGGCAAGGTGCCTTGATTTCGCTTGCCATGGTTCTTGTTCAGCAGAACGAGGCCATGAACCCCCGCGTCACCAGTCTCCGTAAGGCCATGATGAAGATGATCGGAGACCGCCACGAAGATGCCATGGCCAAGTTCGGCTGTGCTGTCGCCCTGGGCATTATCGATGCCGGTGGCCGCAACTGCACGATCAGCCTGCAAACACAGACGGGCAACCTCAACATGCCTGGTATTGTTGGCGCCGCCGTGTTCGTGCAGTACTGGTACTGGTTCCCGCTCACGCACTTCCTGTCACTCAGCTTTGCTCCCACCTCTGTGATCGGCGTGGACCAGAAACTCGAGGTTCCGTACTTCAAGTTCCACAGCAACACCCGGCCAAGTCTCTTTGACTATCCCCCCGAGCAACAAGTGAAGGCTGAGGAAGCTCCGGAGAAGGTGAAGACCGCTGTTCTCTCGACCACCGCCCAGGCCAAGCGCCGCGCGCAACGTCGGGAAAAGCAGGCACGTCGCGAGAGCATGGACATCGACCAGACCCCTACGACGCCCAAGGTTTCCGATCAGCTACCGGAGAAGATGGACACCGACGAGGGTGCGGCCAAGGAGGAGGAGGGTAAGGAGGAAGAGGGCAAGGAGGCCGACAAGGGCGCTGGTGAGGGCCAGAAGAAGAAGGCCGAGCGGGAAAAGGTTGGCTACGAGCTGGACAACCTGTCCAGAGTCCTCCCGGCTCAGCTCAAGTACCTCACCTTCCCAGACCCGCGGTACGAACCGGTCAAGAGGGTATGTTGTGTCCCACTCCTTCTATGTTCTTATATCCTAACGATCTCTACAGCCCACCGGTGGAGTTGTAGTTGTTCTCGACAAGCAGCCCGACGAGCCCCGGGAGACGGTCGAACTCAAGGCCAGCAAAGAAACCCGACAACCCGCGCCCCCGGCCGAAACCCTCCAGGACCGTCTACAGGCCGCCATTGGCACCGCTGCGCTGCAGACTCCTCAACGGGCAAGCGCTCGCGCTGCGGTGGCTGCCGAATCGACCCCGGCTGCTGGCGCGGCGGCTGCAGCCGGTGTGTTGACGGCGGTGGATGAGGATGAGGAAGGTGTGGAGGATGCGCCCGTCCCGGACAATTTCACATACGAGTCGGACGAGGAGTAGAGTATTTTGAGCTGGATGTATTACTAGATTAATCGGGCTGTTGATGTGCCGTGACCGACACGATCTACCGGGCCTTGTGATTGATATGGAACTGTTTCTGCATTATTTGATCTCAATGTAGAATGTATTCCGACCCCCCTTCTGCTACCGTAAGGGGTAGTATTATTATTTCCCCTGCTCTGGTCTATTTTGTACACCCCAATGCCCCATCGTCTCCAAATTTTCACATGTGTGTACTGATATTTCATGGTACTGTTGTTTCAACCATATCCGTCCCTGTAATATACGTCACCGCCGGTAATCTCACTGCCTCGGCACTTGCTGCAACGGGCCACACGATGACGCAGTGGCTCCAGCCAATCAGTGGCGGCTCAATCGGCTCTGACCGAGGAGTATCGCTGGTCCATGTGAAGACGGACATCACCAGCTTCGCCCAGAGTAGAATACCCTCCGAAGAAAGTGGCCCCCTATATGTATATCTGCTGCCCCGGCTTCCCCGGAGCTTTCTTTTCTTTCTCACCTCGCTCGTGACTGTTCCTCGTTTTGATCTCTACCCTCCCTTCTTTTTTTTGGCCTCCCCACATCACAGCCACCATGTCAAAGACATTTACCAAAGATGACGTTGCGTCGCATAGCAAGGAGGCCGACGGCCTTTGGATCATCGTCGATGAGGACGTCTACGACGTGACCAAGTTCCAGGACGAACACCCTGGTAAGTCCCAAGTTCGCGCGCCGCGCTGCCTCTACGGCGCGTCGCACAGTCCCTTTCATTCCCCGTCGGGGTTGCGCGAGACTCACATGTGCTGACTATGGGTGTGCCAACAGGTGGAAAGAAAAGTACGTCATTTTGCGCGCACGCCGCTACTCCCCCGTGAAACCCTGTATTGACTTTGTGCACGCAGTTCTCCAGCGCGTGGCCGGAAAGGATGCCTCGAAACAGTTCTGGAAGTACCACAACGAAGGCATTTTGAAGAAGTACAAGAGCCAGCTGCAGATCGGTTCGTTGGACACCAAGAAGGCGGCTGCCCCGGCCCCGGCCCCGGCCCCCAAGAAGGCAGCGCCCAAGCCGGCAGCATCTTCTTCCTCAGATGTTACTCCTCCCGCGACAGCGGCACCGCAGGATCCGTTTGGCGAGCTGATTCCCTTCTCCGATCCCTCCTGGTACCAAGGTGTAAGTTGGCCCCTTGAGCAAAACCCGCGGTTGGCTTGTATCCGACGGAGACTAATGCGTTTGCGCCACCTTTATAGTACGCTTCGCCCTATTTCAACGAATCCCATGCCGCTCTCCGCGAAGAGGTCCGTTCATGGGTTGAGAATGAGATCGAGCCGTATGTCACCGAGTGGGATGAGGCCAAGGAAGTGCCCGCCCACATCTACAAGCAGATGGGTGAACGCGGCTACTTGGCCGGTCTGCTGGGCGTCAAGTTCCCGCAGCAGCACACTCCGTATCGGGTTCAGTCTGTGGAAGCCGAGCGCTGGGATCTGTTCCACGAGATGCTGCTGACCGACGAGCTGTCGCGCGCCGGCAGCGGTGGTCTGGTGTGGAATCTTATCGGTGGCTACGGCATTGGCTGCCCACCGCTGGTCAAGTTCGGCAAGAAGGAGCTCGTCGACCGCGTCCTGCCTGGCATCCTGGCTGGCGACAAGCGTATTTGTCTTGCCATCACCGAGCCTGACGCCGGCAGTGATGTCGCCAACTTGACCTGTGAGGCCAAGCTCAGCGAGGATGGCAAGCATTACATTGTCAACGGCGAGAAGAAGTGGATCACCAACGGCATCTGGGCCGACTACTTTACCGCTGCCGTCCGCACCGGCAAGCCCGGCATGAATGGCGTCAGCGTTCTTCTCATCGAGCGCGAGGCCGGCGGCGTCAGCACCCGGCGCATGGATTGCCAAGGTGTCTGGAGCAGCGGCACAACCTACGTCACATTCGAGGACGTCAAGGTCCCCGTGGAGAACCTGATCGGCAAGGAGAACCAGGGCTTCAAGGTGATCATGACGAACTTCAACCACGAGCGGATTGGAATCGTGATCCAGTGCGTGCGGTTCGCTCGCGTCTGCTACGAAGAATCCGTCAAGTACGCACACAAGCGGAAGACCTTTGGCAAGCGCCTCATCGACCACCCAGTCATCCGCATGAAGCTAGCCCACATGGCCCGCCAGATCGAAGCCACCTACAACTGGCTTGAGAACACCATCTTCCAGTGCCAGTGCATGGAGGAGACCGAGGCTATGCTCAAGCTCGGCGGCGCCATCGCCGGCCTCAAGGCCCAAGCCACCACTACCTTTGAGTTCTGTGCCCGCGAGGCCTCCCAGATCTTCGGCGGTCTGTCCTACAGCCGCGGTGGCCAGGGCGGGAAGGTCGAGAGACTGTATCGTGATGTCCGCGCTTATGCTATCCCCGGTGGCAGTGAGGAGATCATGCTGGATCTGAGCATGCGCCAGAGCTTGCGCGTCCATGGGATGTTTGGCATGAAGCTGTGATCCGATCTCACTTGGATGATTTCTGTTCGGTGCATCATATAGACCCTGGCTGTGGCTTCTTCCTTCTTTTCTTTTTCTTATCTTCTTTCCATCCCCAGCTCCGGGGGCTTTTGGGACATATTCTGGCTAGATATCCTGCTTTGTGACGGCAATTTCCTTTTTTCATGATTTGTCTTGTACGATATGTATTGCTTTTTGGTGACTTGGATAGAACAATTTGAGTACGTTTATTTACCACTATCTTTGGGCTCGTGGAGTTGCGGAACCCGGCCCATACAAAGGTGTCTCACATAGATAAGGGAGCGAGTGGCCATCGTGCAGAATCAGTACGGCGGGCCACAGTGACCCTCCACGCAGCCGGACTCACTTTCACCTCGCGCATTTCACGACTTCGCGCCCTCCAACTCACTTCCCTAACACACTTGGCTCAGCTGACACACCGCTCTCTCAAGGGTATAAGAATCTCCATTCCCCCTCGAGAAGTGTGTCCCAGTTTTCTCTCTCGCTTTTCAATCCCCTGTCCGCGAGACTTGTGACTACGAGTTTCTCCGTTGGTGATCGCGGCAATCGGACAGCCCGCAGGTCAGGTCTGCTTCCCGCCACCTCACCCCTTGGTATCTTCATCGCTCCGTTCAGCTCGGTGTGTGGCTGTCCCCGGCTTGCGCGTTGAACGGTCTACTGGGTGGAGTTTGCCTCTTTGTCCATCCGACTCGGGAGAAGGTTTCTTTGAGCGAGGTGCGTCGCCGCATCCAACTCCCCATCTTATTTTCCTCCGTCTGGCCTGTCTTCGAGTCTGTTGATGCTGATTTATCCGTGACAGTCTAGAGAGGTGTACAGATCCATTGGGCACGCCCCGAAAATCTACCTTTTAATACCCACCCGAATTATCACCCGACACGATGTCCAACTTTCTCAATCAGGATTTTGGTTCCGATGACGAGGACGATGACTTCAACCCCATTGCCCATGATGACTCAGATGCCGAGGAAAAGGAGGCGAAGGTCAGTGATCGCTCCCTGATGGGGTTGGATGAACAGTATACTGATAGCAGGGAAAATACAGCCGGCGAAAGAGGAACTCAATGGTGCCGACGATGATGTAAAACATGACGGCGATGCGCCAGAGGATGAGGACGATGATGCAAAGGATGTCGCGGAAGATGAGGACGGCGACGATGATGATGACGAAGAGGGAGAAGAGGAGGAAGAAGAGGCCGTTTCGGTGAGTGACCCCATGTGGGTACAGATATCAAATAGAGCATGTCATAGCTGATGACTGTATTCTTTTAGGGCCGACCTCGCAAGCGCAGACGCGGTGGCGTGCACTCCTTCTTCGAAGAAGAGGCCGGTGTGGATGAGGAGGAAGATGAAGCTGAGGAAGAGGAAGACGAACTTGCCGAGCTGGGTCATGAAATGCACCCGGACGACCTCGATGCCCTGCCCGTGGGCGCTGAAACAGACGACCGCCGTCACCGGGAGCTGGATCGCCAGCGTGAGATCGATGCGAGCATGGACGCAGAGAAGCAGGCGCAGATGCTCAAGGAACGCTACGGTCGAAATCGCGCAGCGGCGTCGGACGCTCTCGTGGTCCCCAAACGTCTGCTGCTCCCCAGTGTGGAGGATCCCAGCATCTGGGGTGCCCGCTGCAAGCCCGGCAAGGAGCGTGAGGTTGTTTTCTCTATTCAGCGGAGAATTGAGGAGCGTCCTGCTGGCTCTCGGAATCCCATCCGCATTATTTCTGCCTTCGAGCGAGGGAATGTCATGCAGGGCTGGTTCTACTGTGAGGCGCGCCGACAAGCTGATGTCGTCGAAGGCCTCGAAAATATTGCCTTCTACTACCCATCTCAAAAGATGACTTTGGTCCCGGTGAAGGAGATGCCGGATCTTCTTCGTGTTCAGAAGTCGGAAGAACTTTTGCCTGGCGGTTGGGTCCGCATTAAGCGCGGTAGATACCAGGGTGATTTGGCACAGATCGAGGAGGTTGAGACGAATGGCCTCAATGTCACCGTGCGTGTCGTCCCCCGACTGGATTATGGCATGAATGAAGATGCCGCAGCGGCCCGCGGCCTTGATGCGAAGCGCAAACGTGGTGCTGCCAATATGGTTCGCCCCCCGCAGCGCCTGTTCAGCGAGGCCGAGGCCAAAAAGAAGCATGCGAAGTACCTGTCAGCCACTTCTGGATTGGGTGGCAAGTCCTGGAACTACCTTAACGACAACTACGTTGATGGCTTTCTCATCAAGGATATGAGAGTCAACCATTTGAACTCCAAGAATGTCAACCCCCGACTGGAGGAGGTGACCATGTTTGCTCGTGGCGGCGAGGATGGTACGGCGAACTTGGATCTGGCCTCGCTGGCCGAGACCTTGAAGAACTCTACTGCCGAAGACTCTTACCAACCCGGGGACCCCGTGGAGGTGTATCGGGGCGAACAACAGGGCCTAGTTGGTCGCACAGTGTCGACTCGGGGCGATATCGTCTCATTGCAGGTCACTGAGGGTGATCTTACCGGCCAGACCATTGACGCGCCTGTTCGTACTCTCCGTAAACGCTTCCGGGAGGGTGATCACGTCAAGGTGATTGGGGGTAGCCGATACAACAATGAGCTGGGTATGGTGGTGCAGGTCAAGGATGATACCGTCACCCTTCTCAGCGACATGAGCATGCAGGAGATCACAGTCTTCAGCAAGGACCTCCGGCTCTCTGCCGAAATGACTACTGATGGACAACTGGGCATCTATGATGTTCAGGACCTGGTCCAACTTGAGTGAGTTTTTACGCCTGAACTAAGTTCCCCCGAGAATCCGCTAATCTTGTTATAGTGCTGCCACGGTTGCCTGTGTCATCAAAGTCGACCGCGAGTCTCTGCGGGTCGTGGATCAAAACGGTTCTGTGCGCAATGTCCTTCCCACCCAGATTGCCAACAAGATCACTCCTCGCCGCGATGCAGTAGCAACTGACCGCAATGGCGCCGAGATCCGACATGGTGATACTGTTCGCGAAGTGTACGGGGAGCAGAGAAGCGGCGTCATTTGTCATATCCACCGTTCATTCCTCTTCCTACACAATAAGGCGCAGGCTGAAAATGCCGGTATCACTGTGGTGCGAACAACAAACGTCGTCACCGTGTCGGCGAGAGGCGGTCGGCCTGCTGGACCTGATCTCACGAAGCTGAACCCCGCTCTCAATCAGCAGGGTGGAAGAGGTGGTGGTGGTGCAATGCCACCTCCTCAACGTGGCCGTGACAGGTTGGTCGGAAAGACCGTGACGATCCGGAAGGGTCGCTACAAGGGTCTCATTGGTACTGTGCGAGATGCAGACGACACATCTGCTCAGGTTGAGCTCTATACGTCCAACAAGCCCGTGATTTTAGCCCGGGATATTTTGACTCCTAAAGAGTACGTCGGAATCATTTTGCTGTTCATACGTTCTGTTACTGACCTCTGGCAGCCCTGTTTCCAAACAAACACTCGATATGGGTCGTGGAAGAGGCTCCCGTGTACCATTCGGTTCATCTGGGGCTCCCGCAAGAGATGGATGGCAAGGTGGTCGAACCCCCATCGCCGCTGTGGATTCTTCAAGAACTCCGGCATGGGGAGGGTCATCTTCACGCAGTAGGTTGGGACTATTCCTATTGGAAATAAAGATGCTAACGAAATTACAGCCCCTGCGTGGGGTGGCATGAGCAGTGCCGGTGCGGCCGGCGCCCGTACCCCAGCATGGAAGGCGGACGGATCACGCACTTCAAACCCTTACGATGGAAGTCGCACGGCCTATGGCGGCCTTGGAAACCGCACTCCCGCGTGGAATTCTGGCTCCCGGACTCCATACGACGGCGGCTCCGGCTTTGATGCCTTTGCTTCGGGGTCTCGCACTCCTGCCTGGGGTGGTGCGGGTGGTGCCAACGCTGGCAATCGCACCCCAGCTTGGGGCGGGCTTTCTAATGGCCGAGACCAACGAGACTTCGATGACGCTCCTACTCCCGGTGCTAATTACTCTGCGCCTACTCCCGGGGAGTACGCACCAACGCCAGGCGCATCCGCCCCGACCCCTGGCGCATGGCCTGACAATGCCCCCACTCCCGGCGGAGCTTTCAGCGCGCCTACTCCCGGTGGCCCCTCCAAGCGAGGCTATGATGCGCCGACGCCCGCTGCATACCCCTTCGATGCACCAACACCGGCGATGGGTAGCGGCATGGCTGCCACGCCCGGAGCAGGCTATGGCGGCGATGATGGTGGGCCACGGTACGATGAGGGCACCCCCAGCCCGTAATTCTCATATTCCTTTTTTCCAACTCATTCGAAGCATTAAAACGGCTGCCGACTACTCTGTTTTCTATTATCTTTATCATTGGCCGCAGGATGGATGGGACGGATCAGTTTCTCATGTGTATTCTACTTTAAACATCGATGTACTTGACAGAACAGCAACAAATGACAACTTGATTTGGGCTGAAAACATCACTCAGACTCTTGAATTGCGTGATCAATGATCGCCGCCGCCCATAGGCAACGTTCGTCCTGGAACCGCGGCGCAACGACTTGCACTGCGCAGGGTGCTCCGTCTACTTCGTCTGGGTGATCTAGAGCGCAGTCAGAAACAATCCTTAATCCACCAATAACTAGGCACACTTACAGTCTGGCTGCACATCATCTCCTGTTTTCATGTCTTCGGGATCGAGCTCCTTCGATGCCTTGCCAAACGGAATGATACAGGCAGGATACTAGATCTTCCGTGAGCAACGGAGCAAGATCATCACAGAAGACAACTTACATCAAGCAGATTCCACATAACCGTATACGGTGGCCACCCAAAGGTATCATACGCAACAGCCGTGTTCTGCGCCCCAGGCGCCAAAATCACATCCAGCTTCTGATCAACCCATACTTGACGCCATTCATCGTTCACTCGCTGTCTGGCAACGTGTAGCGCCTGGATCGTCTGGAATGGCTCCAGGCCTTGCTCAACGGGCCAAGGACCTGAGAACATCGGCGACGCGAACTTGGCTACCGAGTTCACGAGGGGCTCGCCGATGGCTCCGATGTGGTCTTCGTGCGGACCATAGGTGAAGTACTGAAATGCCAGGCGGGATGCATACGCCACGGACAGGCATTCGTTGCTAGGGTCTTCGAAGTGGATGATGCGGTGGCCTGCGCGTGCTAGGCGCTCGATTGCAAGGTTGAGTGCTCGTTTGATGGGAGGATGGAGCGGGAAATGCTTATCCTCAGCCAATACCCCGATATTCAGACTTCCGTTTCGCTCATTCTGGTGCAAATACTGCTTCCACGGCGCCCCGACAGCCGTGGAGTCGAACTCCCACGCATTTCCGTCTCCTACGACGCTTTGCATCAGCAGTTGCAGATCTGCGATGCTATGTGCCAATGGTCCCGCGGAAGGCTTGAGGCCAGGCATTCCCTCCATGGCACCAGAAACCTGTCCGCCAAAGGGAATGCGATCTACCGTTGGCTTGAATCCGTATACGCCGCAGCAAAGAGCAGGGATACGGATTGAGCCCGCGATGTCAGTGCCCACGCCTAGGATTGATCCGCGGAATGCAGCCAGTGAGCCCTCGCCGCCGCTGGAGCCTCCGGCTGTGAGGGAGGTGTTATGCGGGTTTAGGGTACGGCCGAAGATATTATTATCTGAGTCTCCGGTCTGGAGGGATTAAGAAGGTTTATTGTTAGCCGTGACCGAGACACGGGTAAGCAAGGAAGTGGGTGATACCCGTACATACCATCATGGTCTGCGGGATATTGGTCTTAACATATAAGACGGCGCCCAGCTTGAGCAGCATGCTGACGAGTGCCGAGTCGGACGCCGCAGGTGCATGTTTCAAGAACGACACGTATCCTACCGTGGCTTGCGTGCCCTGAACACAGAAACTGTCTTTGAGACTGATCGGTAGGCCATGAAGAGGGCCAACGGGCTTTCCCTCCTTACGTAGATATTCATCTAAGAATTGAGCCCGTTCTAGCGCCTGCGGGAAGAAAGTCTCCGTCAAGCAGAATGTCTATATGCGTACCGACATCAATCAGCATATCGATTCTCGTGCTAGAGCATTGGAGTTCTACGTACCACCTGCTGCGCAATAGCCGCCCGCTTACAAAACGCCGTCGTAACAGCTAGCGAACTTACCTGCCCCGAGGCCAATTTCGGGAGCAGCTGGCTGGCGGTATACTTCTCCGTCAAATCCAGCTCGGTCTCAGATAGAAGTCCGCTATGGCGCGGGAGGTTATACTCCAGTAGCCGGCGCGGTACCTGCGCTAGGAGTTTTTCATCGACAATCCATTCGCTTGGGATCTTCTCGCGGCATTCGCGCTGCTTCTGCGCCACGAGATCTCTCCAGTTCGTGTTGCTACTGGGGATTGGTGCATGGGTATTTGCCCTTGACATTGTGTATATGAATAGACGTCCATCCTGTCAGCTTGTGAAGAGAGTGTGGTATATATATGAGAACAAAATTTGGCCGAGGTCAGAAATTCATGATGCCGTATTCTCTATCCGTGTCTTAAGTCCTTCCCCGCACCGTTATCTCTAGCGGCGATGGTTGCGTCTACCTGCCGAATCGGGAAGTTCACTACAATGCCACTCTCTGGCTTTCATCTAGATCGTATTTAGTGTTTGTAAAGGAATATTGTTCTTAAAAAATTATAAAAATCGATCGATCTATCAATCAATTACTCAATAAATTACTCAATCAACTCTACAATCTGGTTGCAAGTGGCCCTAATCTTGCTATTGCTCACCGCGCCACCACATCTTCCGGCCGAACGCCTGGGAAATTGGTCAAATGATACGCATCAATCCAGATCTTCTCTCCCTCGCATGTCATTACTCCAAGGCACACCAATCCATTAAGCCAGTTGTACGGCCCAGGCCCCGCCTCAATCCGTAGATGCGAGAAGAACTCGACGTCGTTTTGTGATACTATCGCCGGTGGAACCATTTCTGGGTTGGCTTCCACCTGTGATGCGTAGTCCGTGCCTGGACCGGGCCGGTAGAGCCCGTGTGCGCGAATATGGAGGTGATGGTTGTCAATTGTGCGGACGGTGTAGCGGGCGTCGAGAGTCATGGACTGCGAAGATTAGTATAAGAGATACAGAGATAAAGAGATAGACAACCAGGGATAAGAAACTTCAAAGGAAATCAATGGAAAGTAGAAAAGACTAACTGACATGTGTTCCTTTCACCACGGTTGCCCAGTCGGCTCCACCTAGCGGAAGCACATCACCCTCAATGCCGGGTCCTTTCAGGCTGCCGCGGACAATGTTGGCAATACTACGAATGATGCCTGCATTGTGGGGTGCGCCGATATTGATCTCCTCTTTGGCAATGTCGCATTCAAGCCGATACAGGAACGATAGCGAGGGCTGGCGCATGCACGGACCCTGCGGAAAGAAGTCATTACCGGGAGACGGAGAGGCAGACGTGGTAACCATGATTATAGTTATGACGATGGCGATGAGACAGAAAGATATTTAAGGTATGGGAGAGGATGAAAAGCGTCTCTTTTGTATGCGTTCTGGGTGGACTCGAACGACGGGTATCTATGAAGCCCTAAGTCATCTCCGCACTACCCAAACAAGTAGGTCGTCCCACCCCAAGTTTATCTGATCTTGGCCTTGTAGAGTTTCTGAAAAGTAGAATCTGGCCGGGTACCAAACAGGGGAGGTACAAGAGGTAGCATCTGATTAGCGAGGGGTGTTTACTTCAAGCAGGCAGAGGCCGACTATTTCAAGCTTTATTTCAAACCTCTTCTTCTCACCACCGCACTCTTTCTTTCTCTCTATTTGCTCACCCACCATGCCGTTCGCCCAAGCCTTGCTCAGTGACGAGGCGATTCCTGTCATCGCGCGTCAGAAAGCTCTGGACCGCATTCTTTCTGACCCCGGTATTCCTGGCTCAATTACAACCTCCTCCTTCTGGCTCCAAGAGCCGCATCCGCGCTTCACCCAGCAGACCCCAACTACGACTACACTGCCCAGCGAGAGCGATGTCGTAGTTATCGGTTCTGGAATTACAGGCGCCTCTATTGCACGCACGCTGCTACAATGTAGTGCTCGGGATTCTTCCATGTCAACACACCCAACCGTTGTCATGCTCGAGGCCCGCGGCATTTGTAGCGGTGCCACGGGCCGTAATGGCGGCCACATCCTCGAGACCGCAGATGAATATGCTGAGCTTGCTGAAGTCTTTGGGAAGGACGCTGCGCGCAAGACTTTACAGTTCCGTCTGTTGCATCTGAAGGAGATGCTTCGCGTTGCGGACGAGTTTGGTTTGACGGAGGAGGCGCAGGCGCGCAAAGTGCAGTTCCTCAGTGTGTTTTTCGAAGACGACTCGTTCAAAAAGGCGCTGGATAGACTGCAAAAGTTTAAAGAGGGACTTCCTGAAGAGTCAGCGGAGTGGACTTCCTATGAGGCCGATTCTATTCCCAAGGTAAGACCTGCGCCTTTGGGATTATAAGCTCATGCTCACCCCATCCCAGGAGTTTGGACTTTCTCGCGCACGAGGTGTCATCGCTGGCCCTGCTGGTGCTCTGTGGCCCTACAAGTTTGTGACAGGCGTGTTGTCCCGTCTGCTGGAAGAGTATCCGCAGGATTTCCGCGTCGAAGAACATGCAGCCGTGACCGCTATCCACAACACATCGTCAACCAAGGAGCTGCGCTACAAAGTCGAGACTAGTCGGGGCACAATCTTTACCAATCACATCATTCATTGCACCAACGCACATGTTGGCCACCTGGTCCCAGGCCTGCGTGGACGCATCTTCCCCGTGCGCGGACAGATGTCCGCGCAGACACCCGGTGACCGGTTCCCATGCCAGGCAAAAGAACATTCATGGCTTTTCAATTACGACCGCGGCTTCGACTACCTTACCCAGCTTCCAAGTGGCCAGATGATGCTTGGCGGCGGATTCGCCCAGGCCGAGGGCGGCGGGATTGCCGATCTGGGCGTCGCAACAGACTCAGATCTAAGCCTATATACTGACATTCACCTCTCGGGTGTTTTGAGCGCCATCTTCGGCCACCAGGCCTGGGGCCGTGTGAACGGCGATCCCGTTCAGGCAATGTGGACGGGCAACATGGCTTTCAGCTCCGACGGATTCCCCTGGGTGGGACGGTTGCCTGCTTCGATGACACGTTGTGACAGTGGCGGTAGTGACTCCTCCTCCCCCTCCCACCGCAGCGGCGCCGAATGGGTGTGTGCGGCTTTTGGTGGCGATGGTATGGTGCAGGCCTGGCTGTGCGGCAAGGCCCTGGCCACCATGCTCCTCACGCAGGACCGCCGACTTGCCCCGACTGCTGACGCAGATATCTCGTGGTTCCCAGATCAGATGCTTGTTTCTGAAGAAAGAATTGCTGCCGCGAAGTTGCCGGACACTGTGGCTGATAATCGTCGCCAGGCGAATCTGTAGAACGAGGAGGGTTGCGATAGGGTTTCGGCCTGGTCACGCTGTGTAATTTGCTTATTTTCTCTTTGCTTTTTTCTCTATTCCTATAATAGGCATCCATGTTTCATTAGGGCTCGGACAGGAAGCTGGTGCGTTGACTTGTGTTCCTGTCACTCTTCGTATCTAGCGATCATGAGATCTTAGAACTCATATCAGGGCTTGCCATGCGTACATTACGCATTTGAACGATTGAAAAAAAAATCAGTCTTCTGCATATGGCCATGTTATCTAGTATATTTCCACCAAAATAGCAAAATGGCGGCACGCACTTATACGTCACAGCTATATCCAGACCAGATCAGAAAAAAACAGATCAGAAAAAAACAGATCAGAAAAAAACAGATCAGAAAAAAACAGATCAGAATAAAAACAGAATGAAAATCGCACAAAACATATTTCTAGGCCAGGCAACTAGATTCCTTCCCCTCGTACAAAGACACCAGGGAAATTCTAGAAGCCAACTAAACGACCCAAGACGTCGGACACGGGGTACAACAGCGTCAGTGTCCCAGCGCATGCCCCTGCTCCTCGACCATGCGGTAATACCGCGCCGCCAGGACACGGCGTGCATCCTTGCCCCAGATTACCATGGGAATAATAAGCATGGTAATGCCTAGAGATATGAAGCCACAGGCAATAAACATGTTCTGCAGACCATCATGTTTCATCCACGGGGCGATGGCGAAAGGGATGCCGATGCTGGCCGCATTGCGGACAAAGGTCACCCCTGTAAAGGCGTCACCGGTGATCTATCGTAGTTAGTGTTATTAGCAAGGGAGGCCGGCAGACACGTGGTGGTGTAGATATACATACGTCACGATAACTATCAATCACGAGAGTCAACGCGGCGTCGCTGATGCTGCCAAGGCCGAAGCCGAAGAGTGCGCCACCGACACTGGGATAGATCCAGTGCATGCCCTGTAACGAGACCAAGAAGTTAGCGGGGACTGACATGTCCGGGCGAAGCAAAACCCCCAAAAAATGCTAGATGCAAATGCAGGTGGTGCTGCGCGCTGTGTAACCTTACCCGAGAAATGGTTGTACCGAACATAATCAAACCGCCCGCCATGGCCACTGCTGGCAGGTGCAGGATATACAGACGCATCTCTGGCTCGTAGAATCCCTTGTTTCGGCGGGAGAAGTACAGAATCGACCAGTCTCCCAGGACCCCACCGTAGATGGCGCCGATGAGGTTGCCAATAAACGGACCTACGCTCATGAATCCGATCTGCTCGGGTGTGAAATGATAGGGTGCCAGCGGGAATACAAGAGACAGAACATTCGCCGTGATGGTCAGCCAGATGACGCCGGCAGCATACTGGAGGGCGGCGAACATGACCGGAGGGAAACTGATGAGCACAGAGAAGGGGCGGTAATAGTACGGCCAGATGGGCTCTGGAGTAGCGGTTACCAGGGCGAGGCGCTTGCGCCATGAGTTATGTGGGATGGTCAGGTCCAGCTCGTGGTGCAGGTTGCTGGGCTCGACAGGGATGGCTGTCTTAGCATCTGCTTGGACCTTGGTGTGGGGAGCCAGCTGGTCGGGATCTTTTGCGGTAGCCGACAGTTCGTCGGCGTCTGACTCGGAGCGCACCTGGCCTGTGAGGACAGGCACATATTTGGTTTCCTCGTAGGCGACCAAAAATATGACCATGAGAATGGCATTGAAGATTCCCATGGTGCGGTACGACCAGCGCCAGCCCTGGGAGGTGGCCTGGACACCCGCCGCAATGGGAGTCAGGAAACTCTGTGGCGGAAGCATCAGCATAAGCATCCAATCTCGTGCATGGATACATACCCCAATCATGACCATGCTCATGTACAGGCCATTCATGGTGCCGCGGTGGTGGACGAAGAACAGATCGGCAATCTGTGTAACGTCAGCCGGCTGGTATCACCATCAAATCAGGGCTCAGCTACAGTAATCTCCGCGATAGCCTCATTCGTTGCACCGCCCAGGCCTTGCAGTAGATTGGTGACGTACAACTCGGCTAGGCTGTGCATGTTGGCGGTCCAAAGGGTGGTGACTAGCATCAGCGCAGTCGAAACAATGTACACTGGACGTCGACCGTATTTTTTCGCGAGAGGGATGAAGAACACGCATCCCATTGCGAGACCGACATAATTCACCGACATGGCTTGATTGAGTTGCGTATAAGAGACATCGAGGTCGACGACCATCTGCTGCCAGAAAATGGACTGGATAGAGAGCCTGCGAGGGATGAGGGGGGTTACTAACAAGGTCAAGTTGTCTGATTTTCAACCTACGCTGTGAAAATAATGACTGTCATGGCCAGTACAATGCTGAAGTTAATTGTTTTCCGCAGCGTGCTCCAATTCTGTAGCCTAATGTCAGACCTGAACAAGCAACTACTCACAATGCAACATACCAAGGGTTCATTAGGGTCGCTCGACGGAACTGGGTCGAGCATAACAACTCGCTGGCCATGGAGATCAATTCCATCTTCTAGAGAGACGTCAGGCTGCTGTAATGTCAATCAAGAAGAAAAGCAATACCTCGAATCAAGCGAAAAGTGCCCGGGGGAAGAGTGGCTTCGCCAGGCTCTTCAAAGTTTCCAGCCATGTCTCGTCCGGAGAGAAGAAGATCGTTCTCGCTAGGGTGTGCCCGAGATCCTTCCATGCAGCGATGGTACAACAGTCGATATATAGATTTTTCCTCTTTGTGTCCAGGTTGTAGAAACGACTGGCCACATGATAGACGAACGGGCTATCTTCCACGCCACTGTACTGGGTACGAGGCGAGACACACAGACTCTTTTCTCTATCTCGAGGCCAGTGGCGTAGACCCAGACATGGAGAGATAGCCCCCCGCGAATCTGGGGTTGACTATCGCTGTCTCCACATGGTGAGCTTTTAGGGCTGGAGTGTGTCGACCTGCCCGAATAGGAATGGAGCGCCGCGACTAGGGGCTTGGGAGCTTGGGTACATTGAAGTGTAATTCCCGCCACGGCTTTGCGTTGGTCCTTCGCGTCGAATATACTGTGATTGGAAGGTGGACGCAAAACCACCATCGCCTGATAACGCTCAAGTCGGATCCAGACAGATGGAGCTATGATGCAGATCGGCGCACGGACTATCGCTCTAAATGAGCTCGACAGCATCCGCCGCGGTACATGACTGTCCATCTACAACTTCCCAGGAGCAAGGAAATGGGCTTATTCTGTTCACGGCACCCGAAGGCTATCTGGAAATATGACCAGCAAGCGGGTAGTCAAACTGGATCTTTTGTCTTTGCAGAAAGGTTCTTGAAAGATCCCATTCAACCAAAATCCAACAAAACTGATAGTCATTCCTTCTACAGACCATGATATTTCCTCAGTTGCGCGAACAGTCAGCCTGGCATTCTCACCCGATCCCCTGATTCGATGGCTACGTCCCAACGCGCTGCCGTGGAGCCAGCTGGACGGTGCGTCATGGAAATGGCAATATCGTCGAGTCCAGCGAGTGATGCTCGAGGGCCAAGTGCTTCGTTCCGCCGGAGCACTTCAAATGGCCCGTATGTTCCCACACAAGATCCAGAACGCTCCGGTTCCAGCAGCTGATGGTGCCTCGACCACAACACCTGAGAAAGTTGCGCAGGTCTCTGCGTCAGAAGAGCCAGATCCCAGCTTGAGCGATGCGGATGCAGGAGCCGTGGTTTTCTTTTTTCCTCCCAAAGATAGAATGTCCTGGTCCCTGTCCCGGCTATTGCTCTCGTGCAAGCTGTGGTTGCTTGATATGCTGAATCCGGCTCGGGATAGCGGAGCAAACGACAAGGTAGACCGGCTTCTCTCCCCATCGCATCATCCCATGCCCTAACCAATTTCCATCCAGCGTCTTGCCAAGCTCCTTGGCGCACATGAAGCCAGCTTGCTATCTTTGCAAACAAAATACCCCCGCCGGCGACTGTGGTACCTCGAGGTCGTCGCTGTGCATCCGGCGCTGCAATCACGCGGCCTCGGCGGGGGCGTGATGAAATGGATTTTGGAGCATGTTGAGCACGATCCGGTGTATCTGGAGTGCACACGACAGGAAAATATCAAGTTCTATGAGGGTTTCGGATTTCGGGTAGCGGAAGAGGTGGAGCTGACGGATGACGAGGCAAAACTGAAGTACTGGGTGATGATCCGCTCGGACGACGACAGCGAAGAAGCTTCATAGTCGCAAAGACGAAAGAAGCAATCTTCGTAATAAGGATAGAGGCGAGGTTGCGCAAAGAGTGAAACATAGACAGCCGAATCGGGTCATAGCAGCCCCATTTCAATTCCCCTTTCTCGGGCTACCTGGTCTACACTAAAATCTGGGTCGTCTCGTCGCCACATCTCCTCCAGTAAACCTAGAATCAACTCATCCTGACGTGTGAGAAAAAGATAGCTGCGGATTTTCTTCTGCCAGTCTGGCCGGGGACGCAGAACGGTGATTTCTAGCCCGGCAACAAACAGAGGATAATTCTTTGCATTCAGGATGAAGGTGTCCTCTTCCGGACGCTCAGCACATGCCAGACGCAAAGCGTCAAGGTTGGCCAGAATCCGCGCTACAAGAATCGTTGCATCCGCAGGACACGCGCCGGGCTGACGCCATGCCGAGACATTTGGAGACTGCTGGTTGCCAGGTAGGCGAGCTTGCTGGCGCAGTGTGAGGATGCCTGCCAGTCGGTATGCCTCCCAAAGGTAGCACTGCAAGAAGCTTCCTGAATGGCCAGGCCAGTCCCAAAAGCTCTGCTCAGTCGTCTCGAAACCAATGCCAGCGAACATATCCAGCAAGGCGCGAGGCAGACCACTCACAGGCTCAACGCCCCTTCTGGGTTCTGCGCGCAGGCAATAGCGTCGCCAAATCTCAATACAGGGAGTCTGGCGCCCGATTGCAAAGATCGGAAGGTCCATAACCCCCATGACCTCCAGAAGGTGCGTACGGAACTTGGACGGGGTGGAAGGACGGTGCAGGTCCTCGAGCAGGATGTTGTGCATACCTTCCAGATGCACCGTCCAAGGAAAGCCATGCATCAGCTGGACAAGAGAGAGTTTTCTGTCAGAAGCTTATGTTGCTTATTATGTCCGGAGTACCTGAAACATGGAGTCCGGCGCGAAGGAAGACGGGGTGACGTACGCCGATGCTACACAACAGCAGGCCAGCGGCCAGCGTTCCATCTAACAGTGTCGTGCTGCAAGCCAGCTCTGACCGAAACGTCCGCAGCGCTGCATCGAAATACTCGAAGAACCGTGGGGTCAGACTGGGTGCAAGTGAAAGCTGGAAGGCCAAGCAGGTCGTGTATAGTGCGCTGGATTCCCGGCAGAGCTCCGGGAGACGCGGTTGGAGCATGCTCTCCTGAGCAGTGGTTGAGTGAAGAACATTGATACCCGAGCGCAAGACTGCGTCTGGTCAGTCTGTGGAAGCCTTTAATTTCCAGGAGTCAGTCACTCACATTCGTTGAACAGGGCCTCGTCGCTGCTTGTGGCTTGCCCTGGTGAACTCCCCGGCTCATCGCTAGCGGTCATCACATCTACATATTCAGCCAGTCAATATCAGACGGCAGAGAACAAAAAACATATATGAAGGCCACCGACTATCCGAATCCAACTGCCGTGCCCCCGCGGCCCTCTTCCGTTCTCGACTCAAATCTCTCTGTCTACCCTTCTGCCTCGGCGGCACACTCTCTTTGACGGGCTTATCAGCGCCCATAAACCTACCCCGCGAGGCAATCCCCGCGCCCCATCGCAGCCGAACCTCATAGCCCTCGCAGGCGACGCCGCGCTGCTCGCAGTTCCGACACGCTGGACGGGTGTTGTCGCAGCGCCGTCGACGGGTCTTGCATGTCCAGCAACCCTGATGTGAGCGGGTCGGCATGCCTGATTGAAGTGAATCCTTGCACGAAGACCGTTGGCAACGCTGCGCGGGAAGTAGGAATGCGGGGAGAGAAGACAGGTGTGGATCAGGCAGTGCGCGATAACGGGTCCGACTGCCTGATCGGGGCTGGACGGGGAAATCCTGGACTATACCGCGACGCGATATGGCATCTGGCTGAGTTGGAGAGATATATTGCATTCCGGCCATCTTGTTCGAAAATTTTACGTTGGGTATATAGAAAAAAATGTCGTTCCAAAGCCCTAGCTCAACCTGCTGCACTTTCATCCCTGGCCTAGGCACATTGGACGGACTACAATATGAAACGAGCGTGCAGCAATTCTGTGGCATTCCGTATGCTCACCTACCAAAGCGCTGGACACGATCAACATTAAAGACCGCATGGAAAGGAGAACATCATGACGGGACACATTTAGGGTATGACATGTCTACTTGGGCTCAGAAATATATCTCATTAACACGACCACAGAAATGACTGCCCAAGCCCAAAAATCGACGGCGACGACAGTGACGACCTAGTCCCCGTCCCACCAGCAGCGCATTTCCCCAATCCACCCGATGTAGATGAACTGTCAGCTCTGGTGATGAACATCGTCATTCCTTGCGCCATCAACCCAAATACTACCAACAATGCACCACTCCCCGTCCTGGTGTATGTCCACGGCGGATCTCTGCTATATGGCGGCGCCAATCTCCCCATCTTCGATGCAGTCAACCTGGTTTCCCACAGCATCACTATCGGCCAACCCATCATAGTCGTCAATTTCAACTACCGCGTCGGCATTGGAGGATTCCTCGCCGGCAGCGCTATTGCGCGCGAGCTGGCGCGTGATGGGTTTGCGGGTAGTGGAAACTTTGGATTCACAGACCAGCAGGTTGCGTTCGAGTGGGTGCAGCGGTATATCCCGTTCCTGGGCGGAGATGCCCACAATGTCACCGCGGTGGGCGAGTCCGCTGGTGGTATATCTATCAGTAACCAGCTCCTAGCAGCGAACCCACCAGATTTCAATCGCGCAGTGTGCATGTCTGGATTATCTGCTTCTATCCCGGCGTGGACGATGAAGCAGCATGACCGGTTCTTCGGGGACGTGTGTCGCCATTTTGGCATCGATCCTGCAAGCCCAGAGGCGTTAGACACACTCCGCGCTGTACCGCAGCAGGAACTTGCGAATGCAACCCCACTTATTCAGGGTGTGCCCTCTGGCACGGGGAATCCATGTCTGGATGGATGGTTTTATGGGAATTCGGACCCGCGGGATATCCATGCTCCGCCGGGCTGGCTGGAGGGACTTACGCTGGGCGATACCTACCATGAAGGCGTGATCTTCCACATCAATCTGCTGCAAGAGGACTACGAGAGTATTCGCCGAACTCTGCAAACCTATATCGAGAACGAGGTATATACGGACCAAATTCTGGATGACTACGGGATCGACAAGGATCTGTCTCACGAGGGGCTGCTCCTCCGCGTCCAACATATGTGCGGCGATGCGATATTCAAGATTCCTAATTACGTTCTGGCGCAGAAATATCTGTCCAAAAATGTGCTAAATGGTAGTACGCTGTTTATGTACCACTTCGACCAGCGATCACGCATCCCGAATGCGTTCGAGGGAACGGCATACCATGCCCATGAACTACTCTATCTATTCGGGAACCTGGACAACGCGTTTAACGAAGACGAGCGCCGCATGGCGCGGGAGTTTGCATCCGCATGGATCCGTTTCGTGAACGGACTGGAGCCATGGGATGCCAGTGAAAAGAAGTGGATGGTCTGGGGTCCAAACAGTAGCGTGAAGCTCACGTCAGAAGAGGAGGACGATATAGTAAGGCATTATAGTCGGATGAAGAAGGTCTTGAATCTGGGAAGTGGCGAGATATGGAAAAAATGGCTGGCTGGTGTGGATGCTCTAGTAAATCATCGACAGTACTGAAAGAATAAGATGGATGGATAAAAGGTCGCCACGGCCACCATCACTGGGTTCAGATGCATTGGTAACAGTATACAATAAAAGATAACGCGCTCGAGATATAACAAGTCCCACAACTCCTTATCTGATGTTGTATGTAACCAAGCCAAAACAGCGTAATGCGAAGTGAAGCGAAAAGAGGAAAAACCATATTGGAAAATATATCTCCTAAATGGATAACAAAAAGGGGAAGAAGATAAGTGTACATATTACAAGAATCCGTTAATCGACAAGGTTATTAGGGCGGAACAGCACGAGCCAAGACCCTGATATTGTCCACGAATCCCTTGACGAGCTCTTCGTACTGGTTTTTCGGATTACCTTCCATGGCAAGGTTGCCCTGGCGGCGGATTTCGGCAGCAGACGCCTCAATCTCGAGCTCGTGCTCGAAATCGTTTTTTGTCGGAGGCTAAAAGAAACAGGTCGTGTGGTCAGTGCATGCTTTCGAGTGGCACAGTAACACGGGTGCTAAACTCACCTCGGCGCGGGCCACCTGGGTCAAATCGACCTGATACGCCAAATGTCGGTAGCTCATGCGATCCTTGTTGCGCTCGCCGCGGCCACCTTTGGCTGCATCCGCGACGGTAAGGCTGTGGATGTCGCCTTCGTACTCCATTTCCAAGTTCACACTCACACGCCAGTCCACGTGGGTGCTGGGGCTGTAGACATCGAAATCGGCGACGCGGCACTTGATAATCTTGGCAAGCACCTCGCCCGTGCGCTGGTCAGTCGTCACGCGGACTCGGGGTTTATGTCGTGGGTTCAGATTGTGGCGGATCACTGGCGGCAGGTCGGCCGCCGAGACCTCGTAGAACGTGTCTCGCTCCTTTTTATGCGCATACGAAAGCGGAATGCGATTTGGGTTTGTATGAGGCAGTGATTCTTTAACAGCATCGTTCAGAAAATTATTCATAGCCCGGTGTTGCTCCTGAAAGACGGTTAGTATCTGTCGTGGTTATGCGAATCAGGAACTTACAATGCTCATATTGCTCTCAAAAGATGTTCGGAGCATTGGGTTCTTGCGGTTTATAACGCTCTCGGTCAGGATAGGAAGGTTCAGCCGCTCTGATCGATCCATATCCAGGATACGGCCTAACTTCGCTTCAACCTCAATGATCGCGCCCTGGCCAGCGGCCGCCGAGCCCGCCGCCCCAGCGGCCACGTCATTTCTCAATACCACATGTTCGAAAAGGAAATCACAGAGACGCTTCGTGACTTCCTCATGCGGAATGAATCCAGTAATGGAAGGCTCCCACGGCCCAAGAGAGCCAACTTCTTTTGAAGCTGCTGGTAGGGGTTGCATCGAGGGCCCATTGGTGTTGGTTGGAGGCGCAATTGATCCTCGAGCAACTGACGGAGAGTGTGTCGTGGGTCCTGCTACAGATGACGATCGTCTGCGCTCGGTCCAGGAATCCTGATATGCGCGTCTCGCATGTTTTGGAATGGGCGGCTGCTGGTTCGGGATCATTGGGCATCTGCCTTTGCTTCGAATAGATCTCCGAGCAAAGATCGGAGGCTCGTTGTACCTCCTCCTCTTAGGTTTGGGCGGTTGGCTATCGACGCTTGCGCGGGGAACCGGCTCAGGGTCTATGTCCATTTTCATCGGGGGTGCGTGCGCCACAGATGCCGAAGGCGAGCTGTCCATCTGCATCCCTGGAGCAACAGACGAGACGTGTGATCCCGGACCTGCAATTTGAGGTGCTTCTCTGGTCTCTGAGACAGTGGTGACGTTGTTTGTTCGGGAGGCGGGTTTGGAGCCTACACTCTCTACAGGTTCTTGCTTCAGCCCCGCAGAAATACTTTGGGGAGCCGGATCAGATGGTCGAGAACTGAGAGGCGACAAGTGTTTCTGGGTCGCTGGGGATTGAGTTTGTGGTGAATCACGGGTTGTGGGATCGTGCGCGGGGCGCGGGCTAGACAGTGGGTTTCGGGGAGAATCGCGACCGGAGGATGGAGGGCGGGCAGACGATGGCGAACGACGCGACGAGAAGGCAGGCGGCGGCCCAAGAGGCGTACTGGGGACCGAGCGATGCGCAGAAGGAGAGAAGTGTTGCGGCGGAAGAGACTGCGGCGTGGCAGACGGTGGGCTGTCGCGGGGTCGGAAGGACTCGCCCGGGGCACGCGGGTTCGTCATCACCGTCTGAAGTGAGTTGGAACGCTGCTGCGCAAAATAGGACTGCTGATCGGGATGCTGGGATCCCGCGCTCATGGGATGTGGCGTGTACGGTGAAGCCATTGGAGCGGCGGGTTGCGGCGCGTTATACGGTGGCGGCGCGCCGAACGCATCTCGCGCTCCCGGCGTATAGGGAGCCGGGGCATATTGGGGACTCTGGCTGCGATGCGATTGTACTGCAGTATTTAGCGTCGGTGGTGCGTTGAATTGCTGGTAGGGCGATTTGGTCGGGCCGTAGGGTGAGGATCGATCGGGGGAAACGTGGTGGGCATGTGGTTGTGCGGGTCGCGCAACATATTCAGAAGGATAGGGCATTGGCTGATGGGCGTGCGGCGGATGCGATGGCTCCGATGAAGGACTCGAGGATTTGGCGGGACGGTTGGAGGCGCCGGCGGCGTCGCTGTTCATGATGGTGCGCAAATCCATGGCGACGGCATCCAGGGTCGCGACGACCGAGAATTATCGATGCGAAAGAACGAGCGAAGGCGACATCCAACCCAGCGACAGAGTCAAGTTCAGGGCAGAGACAAGGCCGCCGTGGGTGGGAGGTGATGGAGGACAAAGAGGGAAAGGGAAGCGAGGGAGAAAGAAGTTCGAGTTCAGGGAGCTGGGCGGATCATCGCCGCTTTGGGTATACAGGCCAAGTATAGCGCAGCGAGTCGTGAGTGAGAGAAAGTGTCTGGATGGATGTTCGGAGCAGTGAGAGTGGTCTAGTTCTATTTTATAACAATTTCTCTGTTGGGTAGCTTGGTTACTAGGATAGGTTGTCGAGCTCCATTATTGTTTGGCTAGGATGGCAAGCCCTAGAGCTGTCCTTTCCTATTATTTGGGGGCGAGAAAGCTGCAGCACCCAGCCCTGTTCGTTCTAGCCAACAAACCGATCATTCCTACACCCAACCCTGTTGCTCCTGCCTGATACATCCGTCTTCCTCTTGAGGCCAGAGTGGAATCTACGGAGTCATGTGATCTATAAATAATGCTGAGTCATGCCCTGGGACCTGTGTCCCCGCGAAACCTAGATCAGTGGCTGCGCTAAAGGGGGAACTATTAAAGTCAACTGGGGAAGAGAAGAGGTTCTGACCGGAAGAATCCATTGTAGAATGTGAGGAACCCCCAAACAGGCCACCCATGCTGACATCACCGCCCTGATGTGACTGCACGCGGACCAGACTGGACGCAATTGGAACAGATCATCCACCTCACCCCGGGGCCAAGGCTGACCGAGGGGTTGTCGTGCTGTTCCTTTCCACAAACCCAGGGGCACACAAACACACACCCATAACATACACATTGGTGGTCAGTTCTAGATTCACTGTGCGGCTCAACGTGCCAAGCGTCTGTCGTGCCCGCTGCTGACGCATGCGCCTGTGGCAGCGGAAACGGCCCACCGGTCCCGACGCAACTCATCCGTCCTCCCACCCCCGTCGACCGACCGTCGAGGACCCTTGATTCTCCCCGAAACAAGCCTCGATGTTCCTCGACTACTAACGCGGGCACAGTCAAAGGCACTATCAGCGCGACGGACTGGACCCGCGCCATGTCAACTCGCCGGTCCTCCAAATCCGCCGCCGATGCGATTCCCGCGAGCGACATTGAAGCCGGTGGCGGGGACACATCGCGGTGGAACGGCTTCTCGCAATTCCACCCGTCCAATATCCTGTCGCACTCCAACCCATCGGACGATTGGCTCGATAATGCGGAAAATACATTTCGGAAACTGACCATCTGGCTCACGCCCAGTTTTCTGCAACGTTATGTCGGCGGCGAGTCCGCAGAGCCGGCCAAGCTGCATGCCATCGCCGCACTGGATGGCTTGCGCGGCTGGGCCTGTCTGCTGGTGTTTAACTTTCATTTCCTCTTCACCTACACCTGGAAAGTCGCCGTCGGGTGGGGATTCGCGGGCGAGAATTTCGGAATCCACCAGCTGCCTTTCCTGCATCTGTTGATCTCGGGCCATATCCAGGTTGCCATTTTCTTCGTCATCTCGGGCTATGTCCTCTCCTATAAACCTCTCAAGACCATCCGCAACCGCCAATTCGACCAGACATTCACCACCCTGGCCTCGTCGACCTTCCGCCGTGGCCTGCGCCTCTACATCCCCTCGTTTGTTGGACTCCTCTGCGTCTTCGTTGCGGCCCGCTTCGGTCTCTACAACTACTCCCACGGTGTCATCAAAGAAGGCCACACCATCCTCGGCACCAACGAACAACACCCCTCCGTTTACGCATCCTTCACCAAGCAGTTTTGGGACTTCTACAAAACCCTAGCCGGACTCCTGAACCCATTTGATTGGAACCTCTACTACAATTACTACAACCCGCACTTGTGGACCATCCCCGTTGAATTTCGCTGCTCCATCGTCCTATTTGTGACTATCCTCGCGACCTCGCGTTTGGTGGCAAAAGTCCGCATGCCGGTGGTCGCGTGCGTGATCTGGTTCTGCATGCGCTACGGCCGCTGGGACGTCGTCCTGTTCCTATTTGGTATGCTCATGGCTGAAATCGATTTGGTCAATGGCACATGGGAACGCCCGAACACGCCTACCGCCGCGGTGGTGGACGACAAGGCGCATTTCCACGTCAGTGCGGGGACTAGGGTGACCATCCGGCTCTCGCGCCGTCGCCTGTGGATCACGCTTTTCATCGTGGGGCTCTTTATCGGCTCGGTGCCAAATCTTGGGTTCAAATGGACGCCCTTCTACCGCTGGCTGTGGCACCTCACACCAAAACCCTACCCCGAGCCGCACCGCTTCCCGCAAACCATCGGTGCTGTACTGATCGTCTTCTCTATCAACAACTGCCCGGACATCCAGACACTATTCGTCAACCCGCTCTCGCAATACTTGGGCAAGATTTCCTACGCCTTTTATATTGTCCACGGACCCATTCTGCATTCGCTGGGCTACTCCATCATGCCGACCATTTGGCGCATTGTCGGCAAGGAGACTGATCTCCAATATTGTCTCGGATTTCTGATTGGATGGTCCATCTGTCTGCCCGTCTCCATCTGGCTGGGTGATATTTTCTGGCGCGCAGTCGATATCCCTAGCGTGAAGTTTGCGCGCTGGCTTGAGAATCGTCTCATCGCGAAACCAGGCCCGTCACCCCACCCTGCTCCTCCGACCTTGAGCACTCCGCGCACGGCATAATTTTATTCTCCCCATTACCTTGACAATCGGAGAAAGAAAGAGAGAAAAAAACATCTTCGTCTCCCGTCTCCCTTCATTTGATACCTCCTCGCTGTGCGACTCCCTGGATATCCTGTCTCGTTTCTTTGCGGTTTCGCAGTCTTGTCTTTGTCATCCGAGCTGGGTAGTCGTTTTTCTTTTGCAATTGTTATGATTTACCTTGTATATATATATATGGATAGATGGATGCATCTCTAAGAATACTCCACAAACTGATGTGACGGTTAGCAGGCGGCCGAAACATGCCGCCCATGCGGCCGTATTACGAGTCTTGCTAACCAACGTTCGTCTTGGCATCACGTGAAACAATTACCCCGGCCGTCGGCTTAACCTCCACGCCACCCAGTACTCTTCGGTCCCTGACGCTAGTCCAACTGATTGGTCTGTGTTCAACTTCATGTCCTTCGAAGTTCACATGGCGGAGCCAAAAATGGCTCGACCCTGGATTATTTTGTCTTCCCCAATACCAGACTGCCCCCTTTTTGCCTCTATTATTCCGTACCAATCTCTGTCTATGAGTCAAATGCTCGTAGAGTCGATAGAGCGAAAATAGGGGTGTGTCTTCTAATTTGCCTTGAGGGGTTCGATAAACGCGTTGAAAAAGGCGTTCGTGGTAGAGATTGGGGTGAGCGAGGAGTTCTTCGGGCTTGGGCGGGGAAAAGATGGGGTACGCTTGGGTCAAAGACTTGTCCCAGAGGCATTTCAGGCGTCGGGGGATCAACCGCATTCTATCGAGGTGTTCTCGCTTCGCATAAGGATTTCGGTTTCTTTAAGCTCGGCAAATATTGCAAGTTTCCAGCTATATCCCCTACGCCTGAGTGAAACAGCTCCTACTTATACCTCTCGCGCGGCACCTTGGAAGGATTGCATGTAAGGAGAAATGCCTGGTGATGGTGGCGGTGTGATTAGCGCTTGCTGTGCCATTTAACATCTGATCAACGCAGCGATACGCTTCAGCCCACTAAGCGCCGAAATGATCAAGGCCACAAAGAGTTCATATTGGTAAATGACCTAGATACAGCTAGTGAATATTTCGGGGGTGTGGAACAGCTAGCTAATACAGGAGAAAAAAATGAGCATAATCAACCTTTAAAATTAGGATCCTCTGAATTGCCGCAAATTTTGAGACGCATGGTAATGCTGGCAAGGAGAGAAGAGCAGGGATAATTTGAGGATAGCACCCATAGCAATGATACAGTAAGGCACGCAGACGAACTTTGCTGCTAGAGAAACACACAGCCTCCGCCCAAAGGAAACACAAAGAAAATACACGAGAGTAGTCGGATCCTCATTTCTTCGGGCTAGGGCCAGGGCCAGGGGCAGGACGAATGTTCTCCTTCGCCATAAGAATAGGTAGGGAGGGGGCACCTATAGATATTTAGTATCAGTAAGACCAGTTCTTAATCAGTATTCGAAAGTACTTACCTGACCGAACCAAAGACGGACCAACAATGTTTTCAATGAAGTGAAAGTCGATCGTAGACGACAGCCGCAAGTATGTCGGTCGGGACATACGCAGTAGAAGAACGACCGAGTTCGATTCATAGGCGTCAATGATTTCGACGCCGAACTGGGCAGGAAGGGAGGTGATAACACCCTTGAACTGTTCTAAAATCTGCACAGGAGGGCCAGCGATCGAGAGCTTGACCAGAACACTTGCTGAAGTAGCTTCCGGACTCGATAGGGTCAGGTTTCGCAGTCCTTGCTGCGCAGAAGCAGATGAAGTGCCCTTGAACGGGATTGCAATGGGTCTGACTCCTCCATGAAACGTCAATTGGGCCGCTGGAGCGGCACTAGGTTTCTCCCGGTTGACTTCGGTGACGAGTTCTTCAACAGTAGCAAATGCTTTCCCAGTCTTGCTGAGATTCCTGGCTGCACGGTAGAAACGCTGGGTAAACGATATCATGCCACCAGTTCGCGAGCGAGCAATCTCGTTTGGGCCACATGCGGAAAGAACTTGGCACGTCCTATCAGTCTTCGCGCGGTTCGCTCCTGCGTAACAGCAATCCAGGACGCCAAGAGTGTCCACATTTGCCGTGAGGTAGCTAAACGGGGAGAAGTACTGCTCGCGGATAAACGACCATTGGATGTTTTGCCGGCCGGGACCAGCAACAAGTTTCACCTGGCCGTTGGCGGCCTCAGGCATTGCATGACCGACGTACGCAAGAATGAGCAGTGACGGGAATGATCTGCTGGATGCATCCATTTGCTCGAGAATGACATTAAGTCTCTTTGTGAGAGTGAATCCAGGCATCTTGTCAGTTGTTGCCAGCTTGATGACAGTTGTCTGAATGTCGAACACATCCTGGAAGCACCATTTCGCAAGCGTTTCCACATCATCCTTTGCGGCAGTGTCATCACTTTCGAAATAAAAAACGACCGCCTGCATGGTGTGATATGCAGCTCCGCGAGCACTGGCAGCTTCTTCAAGGGCAGCTTTCAGTTCGGGAAGCCTGTGAGGGCCATCAGGAGTAGCCATGATGAAGGAAATCTAGACTGAATAACTAATGTCAGCGTTGACAGAGTGGATCGTATCGGGACCCACACAATTCGGGAAGGGTGTTGAGGCTCACCTGTGGGATGTACGAGTACACCTGATCTTTGAACTGACGGACAAATCGTGAAACTGATGGATCACGATGGAAGGGGATGCAGGGGATGGAGGATGGGAGGAAGCAGAAAACTGGGTGCAACAAATCAGGCAAAGAAGGATTTGGCATATTGATGCCTCAGGTTTTTATATTCTACCATCATACACCATCATACACATCAGTTCTGACCTGACATGCCATTGTGCGCCCTATTTCCCGGCTCCACTAGATACTGTGACCAGGTGCCAGGTCATGAAAGAAAACGATAACAGAATTCAATTTGAGAGCTAAGTCGACGGGAGATCCAAGTTGGAAAAGGAGGAAGAGACTGAGGGAGAGTCTCTACTTATCTACAACTGTCTATGTCCTGCGTCACCTGTCGAGCGCAGTCCTCAAGCGCAGTCCTCAAGCGCAATCCCGTAGTCGATTGCTCTTGCATCATGTCGGAGTTACTAGGATCGTGGGGTCTGCATTGTGGATGCTGGCATAAAGGGATCCCGAGACAATGCGCGGTTCCGTACGCGTAGTCCCGTCATGCGCATAACGGGATCCCGAGACAATGCTCGGTTCCGTTATTCCTACTCGTGGGCTTGTCACATCCGTAGGCTGGTCACATTTCAGGGAAGAATCCGCTGCATGAGACACGAAGCGATGTAACCCAAGATGGCAGAGACACAAAACTCAATATCTGAGGCCCTTGTTAGTGGGCCAAGGCAGCTAGGAGCGAATCCGCATCGCTGCAGCAGCAGAAGGGAATGTCTTCTTCGCATAGGAAAAAGATGAGATCAAGACTCGTATCCCTGGGATTGGGACATCACTAGGTGCAGAGATTCAAAAAAGGAAATGTCAGCAACTAGCTAAGAGCGAATATGACACACGCGGCGAGCTCGTGGCTCACAGCGCACACATAGACCGGCTCTGGATTCGCATGGCGCGGCATCCTGCGGAGGCCACCGAAAAGGGGGCCCATGCGCTCAGCTGAGGGGCCCAGCGGGCCAGGGTGAGGTGGGGGCGGAGAAGAGAAGGGACGTGGGAAAAAACAGGAAGAAGTGCGTTGCTCTGACGAAGCGGCGCGACGGGGGCTTTTATAGATGGACGGTCGTGGAAACGGAGCGGTAAAACGGCGAGAACGGCGCTAGGCCCGGACGGGCGGGCGGTGTCGTGCGCTATGCCCAGATAGGAAGTAGGATCGCGGTGTACGGCAGGCGGTCGGGGGGCAGGCGGACGGATCACCGACACAACTAATACATCCTAGGAGTTTGTTTTGGGACCTTACTAGGGTTTTAAGTTTTCGATGTATGTTTCATTTATTCGTTCACTCGTACCGACAGGAAACAAATCGAGCGGAAGGCCTATCTGTTATGACAGCCAATCACAAATAAGGCTTAAAAACGACCGGCTCTCGCTCGACTCGACACTATGCAGAGACAGAGAATACCGTCAGGAACAATAGCAAGGACAAAGAAGCCAGGAAGATGAACGGGAAATGTTCCAAAGGGGTTTGTGCTGGCGACAGAGAAATAGATCAAGGCGTGAGAGAAAACCCATCTAATGCAAGAGAGAGAACACGACAGGAAAAATCACAAAAGAATAAACCCTAAGATCCTTGAACCTGGAGGGAAAAAAAGCGAAGAAAATGAATTTTGGCTTTCATAGCGCAACGCCCCAAATGCCTCTTCCGCCGCAAACTCCAAGCCACTCCCGTGGGTGACCCGAGTGGTTCGGCCCACCTTGTGGGGACCAGCTAATATTCGAGACTTCGTAGTCACACTGCCAAGCGGCGGCGGGGCCACGGTCAGAAGTCACAGACGGGGCACCGGGAGTGTGGGCGACGGGTGGGGAGAGAGGTGTGGAGTTTTGTTGATTGATCAGATCCCAGAGGAGGACAAGGGAATCATCGCCACCGGAAGCTAGAACGCCACGCCGGTTTGGTGACCACTCGACACAGTTGAGTGCTGCAGAATGGCCCTTGAGCTCGAGGAGGGCCTGGCCCGGTTGGCGTACGTCGAGAACACGAACGACGCTGGAGTCCTGGGAGAAAGTGGCGAGGAGATGGGCGTCGTGTGGAGATGCTGTGGTCGCCAATTAGCTTCTGTCATATGGATTGAAAAAGTCAAAGCTGCGTACCTGCAATCCGCAGCAGAGGCGGAGGCCAGGGTCCGTTGAGTGACGGACCAGATGGGCTGGCGTTGCCGGGGCTCATCGCTATCTAGGCAGTTAGTATTTTAAATTTTGAACATGGAAGAGATGACTTGCGCTTTTCGTTCTTGTCGGACGGCTCATAGATGATGGTACTGTGTTCGAGGCTTCGCAGATCAAACATACGCACACTGCCATCAGCACCGCAGCTCACGAACACGTCGACGCTGTTCGCACAGAAACGCACATCGTAGACTTCCTTGTCGTGGGCGATCAACTGGGTTTTGGCAGTTAATGTAGGAATATCCCAGATGGTGCAGGTGGTGTCGATGCTGGATGTGATAATCAGACTTGGGGAAATGGTATTCCAATCTAAGGATGTGATCGGGGCGGTATGCTCGGGGGATTTCGAATTTGAAAGCAGGGCCAAGGGGGAGAGCTTGGATGCGGGTGAACTTTGTTGGCCCGTGGGACGCGTGATGGTATTCGAGCTCGGTACGGGTTGAGAATTGGGCAGTGACCATAACCGAAGGTGATCCCCAGACGTAGCCAGTAAATCAGTGGACTGTTTCTGGGATGATGGGGGTTCCCAAAGAATCCGAGTTACTGGGTAAGAGTGCGTTGCCTCAGCGGTCTTCACATAATCCAGTTTGATCTCTCCCGCGGCGGCATCTGGGGTGTCCGGATCTGGCTGAGACCAGTGTGTGTCAATGATTTGGATCTGGAAGCGTATGTTAGTATCATTGAAGCAGCTGGGGGGAAGAGGCACGAACATAGTTGTGGTTATCTTCTAAATAGCTCCCCAGGGCCAGTTTGCCCCCAAAGGAGCCAGAACCTCCCGTAATGGGCCATTTGCACCAATCTACTGCATATATGGGCCAGGGGGCCAAATAGTTGCTGTTGCTTGGCACCTGGTTATCTCCGTTGTATGGTAACGAGCCGGGACTCATCAGCGAGCCAGCGAAGAGATGGTCCGCCGATGGTCGAATATCAGCCAGTCCCAAGGGCGAATACTTGGATCCTTGCGGGGTGTGCGGTGGGAAAGCCCCAGGAGAGGTTGGGAATTTGGAGTCATCTGGAGCACTGTGTTGTTGGTACAGCGACTGCTCAAACCCCGCAGGGCTGGATCGAGAATGTCCGTGTGAGTTGATCATGCTAGACCGATTGCTTTGTTGTGACTGTTGTTGTTGTTGTTGTTGTTGTTGTTGTTGTTGTGGCAGGGTAGGCAACACTGATGGGGCGGTGTTGGCAGACACAGCCGGGGGACGATTGAGACCTCCTGGTTGGAGGGCTCCAGGCAGGGCACTGTTACCGTTGCCTCCACTAGCGCCTGCGTACGGCAGCTGCTGCACATTTATTGATGGGACAGAGGCGCTGGCGTCAGGAGTGGGTGTGTATTCTTGAGAAGAGGCCTGGCGCGACAGGCTCGAGTTAATCAGCCCGGTGGATGGGATATGAAGTTCCTCTGGCTGGCGACCGAACATAGCTGAGCGACGGGGGGAGTCGAAGGTCTGTGCAGGGTTTGACATGGTGCAGCCAGCACTAGATGGGGAGGGCGACGAGTGGGATGGACCGATCTATTGTCCGCGGGCGAGCTCCACTGATTCCCTGTCGTGGATCGGTGCCAGCGGGTGCGGGCGGGCTGAGATGGCGGGGGAAGCAGCGGACGGGCAGAGAAACAGCTCTGAGCGAAGAGGCAAGGACGTCAGGGACCATTCCAGATCCAAAATCAAGTAGGGGGGATTCACAATGGCATTCTGCCCGACGGAGGAAGCGTAAACAGGTCGAGGCACACAACTTGGGGGTGGGAGCATGACCAAGTGCCAGGGCTGACTCAGCCTCCTCTCCCACTCGTCGGCTCGCAATGTACAAGACAACAGTTCCCAGTGACCGGCCGGCGGTGTTTCGAACGATTTCCGATCACCATGGCTTTACTCTGCAGGCGTTCACCCTCAGCGCTGCTGCTGCTTCCTCCACCCCCATCCTTTGCATTCGGCCCGGTGGAGGATGCGTTCTCACTCCCGTTGGCCGAGGTCTATGCCAGAATCGTCCGCATTCTGGATGGCTCCACTCGCATGGCCTCGCTGGATATTGCACTCGCCATTCCTGATCTGCTTGCCCCAGCAAACAGACCACGGGCCAAGGTCTTTGAGCAGCTCCAGCGCTACCTGACCAGCATCTATACTCTGGTGGGTGCCGTGTGCTCGGCCAAAAACATCGAGCTGGATGCACCCGGTGGCATTGACACCCGTGTGATTTTCGTGGATCATACATCATCCGAGATCGACTGTCCAGAGTTTGGACCGGTTCTGGCTCTGAAGAGCCTGGCAACCTCCGAGCGCTCGTGGGACTATGTGTTCTACCCAGATATTCCTGATGGCCAGAACCTGGCCAGCACTTTTGCCAATCATGCCGAGCCCTCAAACAGGAGTTACATGTATAAAAAGATGCACGCTATATACAGCAACACTCACTGGACACTCCCTCCATCTCTGCTGGTTCCCGACAGCCAACACGCATCCGGCCCCCATCATTCTGTGGTGGTGGGTGGCACATTCGACCATCTTCACCTGGGCCACAAGCTTCTGCTGACAGCCACCGCGCTGGCATTAGAGCCACCTGGAAAGGCGGATCCCAAACCACTCAAATCCCTGACCATCGGGGTGACGGGACCTGCTTTGCTGGTGAATAAGAAGTATGCCGAGTTTCTCGAGAGTTACAACGAGCGATATGAGAGCACCGCACGCTTCCTGATCGCCATCATGAACTTTCGTTCGACCGAAGAGAACAATGCCTGTATCCGACAAGTGAGTGTAGCAGGCTCTGAGTGTAGACATGTTGAGATGACCGGACAGCCGCATCTGTCATTCAAGTTTGAGGAGATATCGGATCCATTTGGGCCGACCGTTACCGATGAGGACCTCAGCGCGCTGGTCGTGTCCCGAGAGACTCATGCTGGAGGCGCGGCAGTCAATGACGAGCGGGCGAAGAAGGGGTGGAAGAGGCTGGAGATCTTCGAGGTGGATGTGCTGCAGGCCGGTGAGGCCGCGTCTCCGGACGACTTTGAGTCGAAATTGAGCAGCACTGAGATCCGGCGGCGGCGAATGAACCTGGCCAAGGTGTAGGAGAAATGTATACAGTGCATCTCGAAACCGGTGCCACCACTAACACTCTTTCATTGTTTCTCAAACCGCAATGCCAAGACTCGCATACACTAGGAATATCAATATTTCTGTATCAGTATCAATACAGTGACTTGCTCTAACTGTCTATTAGAAGTTTTATTATTACAAGAGGAATGTTTGGATATGTTTCTTAGAATGTGAATAACTTAAACTTCCTAGGGGTTTTATGGTATACGCATAAATTGTGCTCAAAATGTTCTAGCAATCAGAATGGAGCGTAATCTAATTGGTCGCCCAAGCACACAACAGCCAGGCCGGCAGTTCGCACGTACGACCAATCAGATCCTATGGGGAATTGATAGAAACAGAACACTTTTTGTTAGGGACAGGGAATTGATAGGGACACTCCTTATTATGTAATTTCGGACCTTACACAATAAAAAATGACAAGTGATCTGCATTAGAATTCCATTCTCTCTAATATTTACATGATCTTCGTGGGTATGCCCAACTTCCCCACATGTAGAGCACTTTGGCGCTGCCTTCTTCCGCTTCTGTATAGGCTCTCCAGTATTTTGCTCTACCTAATCCCGCTTCCGTTTCTTAGGCTTTGGCAAAGGCATAAGTGGCTCTGTGGAAGATATTCTGATTCGCCCTCGTCTAGGCCAATTCGCCAGAAATGGTGGATATCTGTTAATTGAATAGCTTGATTGCTCTTCAACAATCTAGAGATACCATGTGCGCAAGGTAGATCCATTGTTCTTATAAATGTATTTGTAAATGGAGGCAAAGGAGTTATTTTTGCAGCTCTTAAAGCCCTTTTGATGGTACTATTACCGTTTGAATTGATCCTCTGCAGAATCGTACGTAAAGATATTATATTGGGCTTGTAAAGCCTGTGAAATCCCTTCAAATACAAATAGGATATCCCCTGTCGAACTACCTAGATACTTTTGTTGAAAGGCATGTGAGCTTTCAGTTCGCTGCATTACCTAGATGTAGATATTGCTCTATCCACGCAACTATAAAATTATCTTGTGTATTGGCCACGTTTCCTCTATAAGCGAATGGGGGTAGGGGAAACTGTTTCTTAAATTCTAGAAGCCTAGAATTATAGAAATACTTTGTAGTAGAATAGATTAGCTGGTTCCACGGTTGTAGAAACTTTTGATGCTCGTCAAGAGCAATGCTGCTTTGTATACTGTGTCACAGTTTTACTAATATGCCACACACAAAGTAAATGCGGATATCTAGGGCAGATACCCTTCACTAAACATGCAAGTCCGTCACTCGCGGGTGTGACTGTCCCCGCCTAGCCCCTCCACTCGGTAGGCCGCAACCCTAACTCACTAGTCCAGCACCCGTCATCATCACCAACACCCAACCAATACAAGCCGACCGTCTCAACCTGCTGCAGGATTGCGCTGGCTGGCCGCAGACGGAGTCGATCATGTGATTCCTGGGTGCAATCGACGCCAATGGATTCGCAAAGTGTCAGCGCGACGCTGCGCGCTAGGCCGGGGTTTAGATGATCAGCCCCGGCGCGGTTGGACGTGGTGAGAAGCTGTCCTCGACGCGCCCAGCCCTGCAGGATCGACTGGTTCGATCTGTACAAGTTGTTTGATTAATTATTATTGATTGATCGTTTCTTTTTATGCGGCCCCTAACCCCTCTCTTTTTCTTCCCTCTTTGCCCCCAAAACTGCATGTCATTTTCGCTTTTGCTCTGATCTGCTTGATTCTTCTCCGCTCCTGGCAGAGCTGATTCTCTTCTTCTATTCCTCTTCCCCCTCCATGGTGATGCTTTTGCCCCTAGCAGCCGGTAACTCGGCTGCCCCAATGCGCGCCAATCATGGATCACCAGCCACGGCACATTCATAACCTCGCTGACGAGCTCCTGAGCGAGATCCTGTCGTTCCTGCTCGGTCCCGAATCAAAGGCTGCGAATGGCAGCAAACCCCATTCCAATAGTTCTCCCGCCATGGAGCCCGGCGAGACCTCCGACCTCGATCGGTTTCGACTCGTATGCAAGCGCTTCATGCGGATTGGATCCCCGCGCAAATTCTCTCGATTTGTGCTGCGATTCTCCCGAGATGGCTTTCAGCGGCTGGAAGATCTGCTGGACATGCAGCTGGCCTGCTATGTGAAAACAGTCACGTACATGGTGCGACCCTTTTATCAAGGAAGCGGTACCGGCTCTTCGTGCTTCACTCACACGCCCCCACCAGCACAATCCGCAAACTAATACCTGAACACAGGATGGGCACGCGTGCTGCAAGCACTAAGCGCAGACATGGCGCCGCTCTCGCAAATACACTCTCGGCGACTGCGGGACCAGAACGACCTCATCGAGTCCGGGTACGATCTATGGGGGCTCCGGCGGGCACTCCCGGCCTTTGTATCGCTACAAGAAATAAAACTGCTTCGTCTACAAGATGCGGCCGATGATCGTCTAATCGATGTCCTCCGCGACCACAACTTCCGAAGAAGCGTGCAGTTCGACTGGGAGCCCGCATGCTCGCGCGCAGTAACAAATCTCGGGATCGCCCTCCTCGACTCCAAATGCAACGCCATCCGCTTCATAGGACCCCAAATCAGCCCCGAGGCAACGCTCCGGCTCCTGCGCGCGCCGTCGACCACTCTTACCGCGTTAGGCGGCCGTCTCACCAGTCTCGACATCAACTTCCACGCAACGACCGACATAACCACCACAATGGCCGACCTGTCAGGCGTCTTCCACCGGTTCTTCGGTGCAGCTAAGAACCTCATCGCCATCCACCTGGGATTCCCCAACAAAACACCTCTTGACCTGGACCTAGAAGCGCTGTTCCACCATATCCGCTGGAAGACACTCCGCACGCTCAGCCTGCAAGGCTGGCGCCTCGATTCCGACGAGATCATAGCCCTAGCGCGCCGCCATAGACATCAGCTGCGCTCTTTCCGCCTTGCAGGAATTTACCTTCGTCCGGGCGGTCGCTGGCGCGATGTCCTCTCTATGCTCCGCACAGAAATGGAGCAACTAGACCGCTTGGACCTCCGAGATATCGACTATACCTCCCATTTCGATGCTCTCGCCACAGCATCCGGAGTAGAGGTCTTCGACGATCCAGAAACAGGCACAGATGGAGGTATCCGACCCGCCCTCCCTGAGCTACTACCACCTCTCTCGTCCCTGACTCTAGCGGCGCGCGCCTCGCCGCACTCGACAGAGTTCCTCCCAGATCGGGACCTGGCCCCAACACCTACCACTACCACACTGTACGCACAGCATCGTCGAACATCCTCGACAGAGATCCTGTCTCTTGAGAAACTGCGCGCTATGTCGGCTGATGACGTCGGCGATGACGGCTCTCATGTCCGGCGCGATCAGCTGGCTCTCTGGGAGGCGTGGGTGCTTTCTACTTCGCAGCACGTTAGCGTTCTGCATAATGGGCATCGGTCGTGACAGCTTCAGGGTCTGTTACATATACCTACATCTATAGATCGTTTGGTTCCAGCCCCGAACTGGGGTCTATTAGAACAAACCGTTGAATACCAAAGGTCGATGCTTGCTTTGTGCATATCAACCACGTGTGGATGGATCATGGGATGGGAGATATGTTGTCTTTCTCTTTTCTACTCGAGATAAGACGAGGAACCATGAGACTGTCCGACTCTGACGAATCATTTATGGCTTTTTACACCGTGCATCTTACATCTTAGCGTGCGTACTTGTGTTTATAGCTAGAGAATCTGTTTTCTATGAAGCGTGAATAGAATAAAGCAAGGTTGATACCAGATTATGGACTGAAGTGCATCACATTCTGATAATTTCGCCCTAGCTCTATTAACTTTAGAAAATTAAGGAAACACCTAATATTAGTGTCTCGCAATCGTAGTTCGTATCGGATTAAAAATGCATAACAAATTTTTGTGGCTATTACCACGCGAGGCTTGTCCTATCAACAAGAACCCCGATGCAATGAGACCTCCCGGGAAGTGACAAACAAATGACCTATGCAAAACACTGGTCCCAGTTCCCACCCTCCCTCGCGAAACTCAGTGCGCGGACGAAGTCACCCCGTCGACAGCGGCCAAGGTCGTCAACGGAACAGCCGTGCAAGGGGACGACGCGGTTGTTGATGAGGACGCGGACGAAGGGTTCTTCGTCCGGGGTACCATCGTCGCCATCCTGGGTCTGTTCATCGGAGCACTGCATCATCTCGATGTAAGCGCGAGCCCCGAATGGCACGGCCCACGCAGCGGAATACCCGCCGGCGGCTGCAGCGGATTCAACATGCGAAGTAGGCAACGGGGCGGTGCTGTTGTACAGACCCAGTGCGAAGAAGATGGGGAGCATGCCATTGTCATGAGTAAAGTCTGCATAGAGAGTCGCGTTCAGAGGGAAAGAGGCCGCGTCGGGGGCGTCGAGGGTGTGGTTTGTGCTTGTGTCATCTTGGACGGGAGATTGTGTCAGACGGGCAATTAGCTCATTGACGAAACCGATGCCCTGTGCCGGACCTAGGAAGTTGCCGCCGCCGAAGCCGTAGTACTTGGACAGAGATTGTAGGTAGTCGTACTGGGACCACTCGTGGTCAGTGAAGAGGGCGCAGAAGGGGGATTCCTCGCTCGCATCGGGGGTGCGCGAGACAGTGTCAAACGGGCAGATGTCCATCAAATGAACCACGTCTCTTCTGGAAAGCTGAACACCGGGGAGATCATGTCTCAGTCGGCGCTGGATAGGCGGCACGAAGATGGCAATCCAGTGGTCTTCGACCCGTTCGCCCAACTCACTGTCCTCAAATCGCGGGCACGAGCCGTGATCGAGACTGTTGTTGAAGCCGCTTTCTTCCGGGATCACCACACTGATTTCCGGGAAGGGTTGCTGGGGATTCGCATTCTGGTCACGGTCCTTGGCTTTCTGGAATCCCTCGATGAACTTCTCGCCTGATAGTACCACCCGGTCCGAGCCAGATGTGCGGATGAAAGGGATTGTCTGTGCGGCGAGTGGCTTATACCGCTGATAGAATTCCACACCGGAGTCTACCATCTGGTCCTTGCCAAAGGGAGTCAAGTCCTCACTGATAAGCGAGTAGTTGTATGACCGCAGAAAAGCGTACTTGCCCGTAAATGAGGATACATTGGCTTGGATGGCAGCGACAAGCTGCGCATATTTGTAGCTCTTAGATTCAGTGGGATACCGCGCGCCATGTCGGGAGAGCACTTGGGCGAATGTGATCTGGCAGCCCGGGGGCACATCGCCCGAGAGACTGGACTCCGAGGCAAGCGAGAAGTAGGGCGAGTACATGCCCCAGCGGTGGGAGACAGGTGCAAAGCATTGGTATCCGCCACTACGGGTATTGCATTTGTGCCTCTGCCGGGGAGTGTCGCACACCTTCTGGAAACAGGGAAGTTGGTTGCGCAGGTGACTATACTCGGTCACCAGGTACACGGCCGTCAGCAACAGACAGCCCAGGAGCCCCAGAGTGCCCACAACCCTGGTCCTCGTGGGCTTCCGGCGCATTGAGCCAGTGCGTCCGCCATCTAGCAACCCCTCCTTCTCCGCGACTGCGCTTTGACCGGAGTCGGATGCCGCCATCGGCTGTTCCTGAAGGGAGGTTTCAATGGGTGTTTGTTGACCACTGGGGGGCAACCAGGTCAGTCCCTTGGATGGCAAGGAGCATGCTGGAGAAGGAGAGAAGGAGAGAAGAGAAGGAATCACAGCAAAAGAAAGGAAGCAAACAAGGCAGTCCAAATGGGATTTGGTGGATGACCAATCGGAGGGTTGCCCCTGTGGACGTGGGCTTAGTCTCCACGGTCGGCCGGTGACAGGCGGGGACTTGCGGGTACTTGACCACTGTCGCATTGTTCGCAGACGATAGGGTATCTCCAGGTACACACAGGTACCTTCTACCATTGTCTATCATCTAAGTAAATAATGAACGACCTTATAGATTCGTATATATTCAATCCCCCAGGGACACACAACAAATACACAAAGAGACACTATATTAATACACCCGGCCGAAGCAGACAAGGCGCTTTTTGGAATCGCTAATGGAGATCACGACAACACCCTCTGCCGCGGTCATGCCAGCGACCGTGTTCCTCCGGGCAGCAGAGGGGATTAAAAAGAATAACACAGACAAAAAGGAAAAACACAGGTTATTGTCGCCACGCCCCCTGCAGTGGAGGCAGAGGCCCCCCGTCACGGAAGGCGGTCCAGCAGGCGCAAGGCCCCGGTGTGTCGGTGGTGCAGGCGAATATGGCGTTGGACTGCCCGTCCAGCTGCCCGGGGGACGAGCGGGATCGGGGAAGTGCGCTGATGGAACTGGCCCAGTAGAGCTTGGCTGCGAACTGGATGCGGATCGTGAGAGGTCTCCTCCGGGTGTCGTTCCTGCTTCCATTGGTGCGACGGCGACAGCAGCAGGAGCAGGCGTGGGCGGAGGGGGCGAGGCTGGCCGGGCAGGCAGTTGGTTCAAGGAACCCGAACGGCTGAGATGATCACGAAAGAAGTCTCGCTCAGACCGATAATGGTCTCGCTGCCGCATCAGGGCGCGAATCTCCTCCGTCTGACGACGTATGATCCCGCCACTCTTCTGGATCTCTTCCTCCTGTGCGGTGATACGCAGCTCAAGCTGCATCTCATTTCGCTTGCGAGTACGAAACCGCCTCGAAGCGTCGCTGTTTGCCTTGCGTTTCTCTGCCTGGGTGGACGAGCCGGACTTCAAGTCCAAAACGCACGGAATCAACACTCCGCCGCCGCCCAGGGACTGTGTGTTCTGTGCGGTCAGTCCCAGTCCCACGCCTCCTTCGTCAGCGGGCCGCGGGCCAGCCGTTCTGTTCATGGGGTCAGCTGGACCGTAAGGCGGTGCAGTCGAGTAGGCGGTTACGCTGGGAGGGAAGGAGACGGGCGCCATGGCGGGAGAGGCGCGCGAGAACGGTCCGGACGTGGAATGCGGTGTTGTTGGGCTTGTTTCCTGGGAGTTTGGGGTGGTGAGCCGGCTTGGGCCTTTGCTGGACCGCCGCGAGTGCAGGGTCGGGGTTGAATGCAGCGAAGTGGAAGCTGGAGGTAATGAGGTGATTGGTCTGAGCATGGAATCCAAGGGTAATGGTGAGGTGGAGGCTGGGTGCCTTGAAGGTTCTTGAGATACCGAGATTAACGGTGACTGGACAACGCTGGATGGACCCGAGCTTCTGGCGGCTCCGCCTACAAACCGAGCCGATGGTGACTCCGGAGTCAGCATGGAATGTGGCTGCGTTCTGGGAGATAATGGCCGCTGCTGGGCGAGAGGATGCACCGGCCGAGCTGAAGGTAGAGAGCCCTGACGCGAACGAGGAGAAGAAGACGGTGCCGGCAATCCCAAGGACTCCCGACGCCCACGGGAGCCAGCCTCGGCTGTAGCCTGCTCGGGATGATTCAAGATGGCATGGACGCCGATAGGGCGCAGCTGGGTTGAAGAGTCCAGCGGCGGTTCCACAGGGCCATATGGATGCCAGGACTGTGGACGAGTGCGCAGAGGAGATCTTCGCGATGCCTTGCCTACCGGCCCAGCACGCTCGGCATCAGACTGAGGCACATCTTCGGACCATGAGCCTGGGCGCAGAGGTCTCTGCGACATAGAATCCGGGTGTTCGTCGGCAGGTATGCGCGAGTCAGGGCATGACCGGGCCCCCCCTCTTTCAACGTCCCGTTCTTGAAAGAGAGGATGGTGGTGAGAATGACAATGATGCGAAGACAGCTTTGGCGAATGCAGTGGGCCGGGATGAGGTGCGGGAAGCACGCTGATACCCAGAGTCGCCACGGTGAATGGTGGACGACTGCGTGCGTCCTCGTATTTCTCGGCAATTGACAACCCTAGTTGTAGCAGTCGCCTCTGAGTCTTTCCAAGTAGTTGATTCAAAAGCTTTTTGAAAACCAACTACTATTAACAAGGACGGTGTATATGAGCGCTGCGAGTGTCAATCCCCCGTTGATGATAATAACCAGCGTGGGCGAAAGAGTATGTGTAATGATTTAAAGCCTAGAAGTAAGAACAGAAAAGAGAAAGAAGAAGAGGACCGGGGACGCAGTAATAAGACTAGTTTCCTTTTTTATTAATATTATTTTTTGCCAGAACCGTTGACATCCAGCGGTGAGAGCCAGGGAGACGGACCCATGATCCATCACCTTGCCTGCTAAGACCCAAAATGAAAGTCAAGTTGGTCGCCGTTCCGACAGGCTGGACAGAGGGCAAGCGTTGGGCAGGATCTCCCGGTTAGCGTGTCGGCGTAGTTAGTCTGGTCCTCTCCCCGGGTGGGAAACAATAATCATATGGGTCCCATTATGCCAGCCTCGTTGTGGTAGTGGAGCACCATTGTTTTTTTTTTTCTCTCTATCTCTCTCGTGGCTTTGTGTCAAGCTGACGGGCTAAGTACGGAGTACGGGGACCAGGTCCGGGGAGTGGGCCGGCGCAGGCGAACTACCGGGGGGTCAAAAGGGAGGGGGGGCCCAGTGAGCCAACCAGCGAACGCAGACAGGTAAAGCACGAATCAGTTGGACAGGAGAGCTGCAAGTGCGCCGGCTTCGTCACCGTGGCCATGGACAGGGACGGACGAAGTGGAGACCAAAGACAACGGAAGCTCGAGATTTGGGGGCGAGCACCTTCAACCTATGACGGCCTAACCGGAAACTTCCATTGTCCGGATTCGATAGCATGACGCCAGATAGAACTGATCCATACTGCCTCGGGCCTAGTCAAGCCCCCTGGAGCTGGCCCTGTCAATTTCCGAGAGTTTGGTTTAGTGCGAAGTTGTTCAAATGAACTTGGACGATCATGGCAGCGAGGCGATGAGCGCATTGGTTCTGATTTTGCATGCCGTCAGGGGGCCCGTTGGAGCCGGCCGTTGGAGGAATTCTCGGGACCTGGGTGTAGATGAACAAATAATAGGATATACGTCGTCCCACGGGGACCAGGTTACTCAGGTCCTGACTGCCTACTGACACACATACTTAACTACCACAAGCACTAGTGACAGACAGCTTCCGCGGAAGGATCCCGGAGGAAGCTGGGACTTCCGATCACGGGAGTGGCTAAGTGGGTGCTAGCATCCTTCACAGCTCAGCTCTAACAGACATGCATGCCTTGTACGTATGACAGTAGCTGTTGATCGCTGGCAGATCTCGATGAGGTAGGAGGGGCGTTTAGCAGAATGCGATAGATCGCGAAGGGGTTGTTTTGTTTTCCGAGAAGCTGTCAGTAGTATGTATGTATGTCCCACAAAAAGGCGGCTACGTGCTTTTGGCACACGGCGAATCAGGGGAAAGCACCGGGGAAACAATTGCGGTCTGATAGATCCAGCCGATGTGAGTGGCTGGTGGACAATAAGTTTCGGTGGCGCTGCGTTCTCAAACCGCCGTTCCCGCTGCGCCGGAAGAGAGAGGGGAAGGATGAGGAGGGGAGGAACCCCTGTCCTATGCGTGTCATGATGGAAAAGGCCCAAGCAGCTGGCGCATGGGACACGTGTGTTGACTCTTTCGTGATTATGTTCATTTCGTCTCCCATCCACATCGATCTACTTCAATCTCGTGTTTCTTACCCCTTAGTACCCTTAGTACCCGCTGCACCCGCCAGGACAGAACAGGGCCTAGAACTCCAACTAGGAGAAAGCTCGGAGATATTCTCCGGACGCAAGGATCCATCCAGGTAGACCACATCCCAGCCTCACTTTTTGCCCTCACCGTACATCGCCATCTCCCGTGCCTGCATCGCCCTGCAGGCCGCTGACGGTGGCAGTGCAGCATCATACGTACATAATCCTCGCCCACGAGACCAATCCTTTGCAATCAGACTACGTATGGAAGTGGTTCGCCCCGTCCCTCGCGGGCTGGGCCATGCCGAGTGACTGGGAAGAAATGTACATACATGGGCCGGCCGTTTGGTGATCGACGACCGACCCACCCATCCACCAGATGCATCGCGGTAATATGTACATGTACATCGTCGAATGGGCGAATAGGGGCCGAGCCGGAAGGCAAGAGTAATAATTTAAAAAGAAAAAGCCGTAGATCTTAGTGTATATGGGATACGTGATAGATATACAGTCAAGATGCAGGTGGATCCATCCACGTCAACTATGTATAGCTCTCAGCCCTGGAATCGGAACTCGTTCTTGGGCTTCCCCCGAACGCCCACATCAACTCGGTACACTCGCCCTCCATACCGGATAGACTGCGGGAACTTCTCGTCATCGCGATCATCCTTCGCCGTGGTAATAAACAACTCCGTGCCCACAAAAGTAGGGCAAGTGATGTTGCGCGTCGGAAGGGCGATTTCCCCAATCACCTTCCCAGCCGGCGAAATACGGATCACCTTGCCGCCACCATAGATGGCCGACCAGATACAGCCCTCGACGTCGATGGCAAACCCATCAGGCTCCAGGGGCTCTCCGAGATCAAAGTGCACGCGACGATTGGAAATGGCGCCGGTGGCGGCGTCGAAATCAAAGGCGAAGATCTTGCCTGTTGGCGAGTCGGTCAGGTACATAGTGTCATCCTGTGCATTCCAACCGATCCCGTTGGGAATGGTCACCGGGACCAACATGCGATGCACGCTGAGGTCCGGATCCAGTCTGAACAGTACGCCTTCTGGCCCTGGGGGTTGGATTTTGGGGTCGTTCATGGCCCCCGCCCAAAACCGGCCGTGGCTGTCCACGGCGCCATCATTGAAGCGCATTCTAGCTATAGTTAGTAAAGATAACTAATATTAAATTAAAGGCTCACCTCTCAGCTCTCCCCAGCCCATCCTCCTCGCCCCAGACCTGGCGAATATAGGAGAGCGACCCAGTGGTGCGGTTCAGCCGAGCGAATCCATACTTGGCCCCTACGACCAGCTGATCCTCGTCCACGTCGGCGATGTTGGCGGTCACCCTACAAATCAGCGGGAAACAAGTCAGTCAGTCTACAGTGCAAGACGCAGCAAAAGAAAAACAAAAATCACTAGACAACGTACCCGACCGAGACAGGCGTGTCAATAGCCCTCAAGGACTGAGGGCCCTGGGCCAGATCGAGCCGATAGAGTTTGTGCTCCCAAATGTCGACGAAGCGGAATTCATTGTTAGCCACGTCGTGATAGGGGCCTTCGAGCAAGGTGCCCGCTATGTCGAGGTAGGGCTGGATGATTATTGTTATGACATTATTACTTTTCCCCCTTTAGGAGCTGGACAACTGTTCCAGCGATCACATACCTCGTTGACTGTCCACCGCTGAATGCTCGACATGATGCCGATCAGCCACCAGCAGAGTGGGACACCGCTATTTTGGGCGGAGTACGCAGAACCCGTTGGCGTGATCCCCTGAGGAGCTGGGTGTCAAAAACAGGCTGCCTCGGTTAGGCAGGTGAGACGGGCCTGGTTAGAGAGTGAGACAGCGACCTCTCGATGCCAAAAAGTCAAAACTCGACGATCAATAATAGTCTAGTCGGTGGTTTGGGGCAGTCCGGCAGTCCGGCAAGAATCAAGGAAGCGCACAACAGTTTTGTCGAGGGTCAAAGTGAAAGATGGTGCCAAGGACCCGTCGGGATCCCCACATTCCATCGCACTTTGAACTAAATGATTCAGGGGAGAGTGACTACGTGAACTCTGATTTCACTCACTACCACGGCTGAGAAAAAAATAAAAATAAAACTATTGAAGCCCCTGCAGACAAAAATCCTAAGTCTCACCTGCCAGATCCATGGATGATTTACATCCCAGTCTGAACTAGGATAACTACTACTCCTATAGCATCCGTTTCTCACCGCTAACCTCGGAGAAACAATAACCTTGTCAGGTTAACTAGGTATTTCACATGACCAGCTAGCGCTGCATGCATGAAAACTTCGCCCCCGAGTCACGGTGTGCTGTGCCTGCATAGGCCCATGTGATGGACAAAGTGAGGCTGGCCCACCACGATGGGTTAGGGAGGAGTAGGTACGCTCCTAGCGTCTAGTTAAGGCACCGACCCCATGCTGCACGTATTCTCCCATCGAAACTCAAAGTGATAGGGTAGACATGCATGCATGCCGCGGTCCCCCTCTCTCGGCCAGGCTTTCTGTCTGACGTGGTGTGGACATGAGACTGTTGGGCATCCATTGTTACTGGTACCCCGGTTCTTATTGACTTTCTTTGAAACTGTATCTAAGTTAGTGATCACTGTGTAACAAATTAATAAAAATGCCTGGGCCCAGAATGGCCATGCACTTCGAAGTGGATTGGGATCGCCCTCGTGGGATCTCCACCAGGGAGAATGCTGGCCCCGGTTTTTCGGTCCTTTTCTCCTTTTTGGCAGAGGAGCGGTGTCGTTCTTCTTCGAGTTATAAACATGGTCTCAATATACGCAGTAACTCGGGAAGGTGGCAAATATGGCAAGGTCGTGAGTGGTCTTTTTGTCTTGCTACACTAGCAATCGTCGCTTAAGCCACCTGTTCTGGCTATACCATCCTAGAGTGTGTATGAACCAGTCACATACTATGAGCTACTACGGCAAACGCCGCCCAAGTTCAAACCGACAATGACTTAAACAGTATGAAGATTTGTCTGTCCGCTGAAGCTGAACTGTCCCAATGGGCGAAGCACTGCTTGTGCTATATTTGAGGTACTATGGCGTACTTGCAAAGCCCCACCCCAAAAATGCAAGAGACCACCCGTCAAGCGTTCCAGTGGCCTCCGGTGGCCTCTACGGTAATTCATAACACAGGAAGAACCCTGAGATGGGAGGCTAGCCAGACGTAATTGCACAGCCAGCACTAGTGTCCTTTTTCTGCACAACGTTCGGAGGCCTCAAACTACACCAGAAGGAAATGGCCCGAAGGCTTAGGGTTGACAGTAAACGCCTAAGAACTACTGGCAGGCATATATTTGCATTCTAACATCCCCTTCGCTTCTTGCTGAAGAATTCAATAGGTAATTACGATATACATACTGAGACGCTTCGTCCTGTAGTCCAATAATATCTCATCTCAATCCAGAAACCTATCCAGCAAGAGACGAGCCAGTAGACGCGACGCTATCCAATATCACGACACTACTTCTTATGCTAGACCCCACTGATAATCTCTTTGCCCTGGCCTTTTTGGCAGCTTGTTCCGGCAGACGTTCTTGCGCCTTTAAAGAGGAAATATCCAACAAATATATTCATCATCTCCACTGTGGCCTGGATATTCAGCTCCTTTAAACAAAATAACCACCCTTCCACGCTCAATAAATTCCTACTTAGATCCTACCTATTCTGAAAAAATAATTTCTACTGATCCCGGGACGGATTGCGATGAGTTCTCTCGTTTTCTGATCCCAGCCACACGCAGTGTGGCAAGAGTCCCGCCAGAGAGAAGTTCAAACCGGCGAATATGTGTACTGCCATTGGGCCTCGTGGGCTGTGGATGTGAGGTGTTGATCGGTTCGAGTTGTGTGGAGGAGGCTGAGGGGCTGTTGGAACGGGTGAAAGGAGGATTTCGCTCAGGATGATGATTATTGTGAGGAGCGTAATGGCGAGGATGTTCCGAATACATATACAGTGCTAAGTCCAAGAGATATTCAGAATTCATCATCATTAATATCAAACTCGCTATATCAAGACAATTTTACAGCTTAGTGCCCATGTTAACGTGAACAGCCTTGACCTGCGAGTAAGCATCCAGACCAGCCTCGCCAAGCTCACGACCAATACCGCTCTGCTTGACACCGCCGAAGGGCACACGGAAGTCACTGTCGTTGCTGCTATTGATCCAGACCATACCGGCCTCGATCTCTGACGCAACGCGGTGAGCGCGCTCAATGTCACGGGTGAAGACGGCAGCGCCCAGGCCGTATGTGGTATCGTTGGCGCGGGTGACGGCCTCTTCCTCGCTAGTGAAGCTAGCGATCGCGACGAAGGGACCGAACACCTCCTCGCGGTAGATGCGCATATTGTCCTTCACGTTGGTGAAGATGGTTGGCGCAATGAAGAAGCCGCGCCCGTCGCCGACGTTCTTGTACGGCTCGCCGCCAGAGACCAGCTTTGCGCCCTCGGACTTGCCGCTCTCGATATACGACAGCACGCGGTCGTACTGCGCCTTGGTCACCTGGGGACCCTGGAAGGTGTCGTCGGCGAAGGGGTCGCCGACCTTGCTCGTGCTGGCTACGACCTCCTTGAAGATGTTGACGAACTTGTCATACGCGGAGTCGTGGACGAGGATGCGCGACGTCGCCGTGCACACCTGGCCCTGGTTGTACATGATACCAATGTGGGCCCACTTGGCGGCCTGCTCGAGGTCCGCGTCCGGGAAGACAAGCAGCGGCGACTTGCCGCCAGTCTCGAGGGTGACGTTCTTCATGGTTCCAGCGGCCATCTTCATGATCTCTTTGCCAGTGAGGGTCGAGCCCGTGAAGGCCACCTTGTCGATGCCCGGGTGGCTGACCAGCGCGGAGCCTGCGACGCGGCCGTGGCCGTTGAGGATGTTGACCACACCGGGAGGGAACCCAGCCTCCTTGATCAGGTTCGCCAGGTACAGAATGCTCAGCGGGGTCTGCTCGGCCGGCTTCAGGACAATGGTGTTTCCGCACGCCAGCGCCGGGCCCAGCTTCCACGCAGCCATAGCCAGCGGGAAGTTCCACGGGATGATCTGGCCCACGACACCAATCGGTTGGCGCAGGGTATAGGCGAACTTGGCGGGCGTGGTGCCGATGGTCTGGCCCGTCACCTTGTCGGCCCAGCCGGCGTAGTAACGGATGGTGCCGCTGACCTCACCCAGGTCATCGTTCAGGGAGACGGAGTATGGCTTGCCTAGACCACTGTCAGCTTGTTCCGCCGTTCGATGTGTGGCAATGCATACCGTTATCCCAGGTCTCGATGGTAGCTAGCGTCTCCTTGTGCTGATCGATCAAGTCCGCCAGCTTCATCATCAACGCACCGCGGTCCGTCGCGGGCAGCAGCTTCCAGGACGGATCACGGAGCGCCTTACGCGCAGCAGCGACAGCAACATCGACATCCTCGGCGCCGGCGGCATAGACCGAAGTGATCTCGGTCTCGTTTCTGGTGATCAGAGTTAGCGGGGTACGCTGTGTATGACGACATGGGTGATTGCCCAAACGTACGAGGGGTTGATGGAGGCGAACTTCTCGCCGGACTTGGACTTGACGAATTCATTGTTGATGAACAGGCCGATGGGTTGGGTGTAGGTGCGCCCATTCGGGGCAGTCAATTGTACGGAGACGTCGGACATGATGGAGGAGGAGAAGTGGAAGCGTCGGGGAGTGAGGTGTAGACAGCAACGTAGTGGCCTTGAAAAGGAGAAAGCAGAGCGGAGGAACATGGAAGGGCAGAAGCGGGGAGTGATGATATAGCGAGGTTGATATGTAATAAACATCCCCGCCATAGCTGGTTGTCGGGCGACCCGAACCGGTCGCATAGACCTACTCTTTGGGGAGAAAAGATGAGCGGCGCTTTTGTTTGGCCCACACATCCGGCCTCGGCTCTGAACTGCCACTGCCGCACCGCCCACTGACTACCGACCGACATACATGCGCTCTACTCGACTACGCAATTACTGAACCATCTCGGATCCAATTCATCGCGGAATGGCCGACTCCAACATCAAGCATGCCGCCTCCCTCGAATACTGGAACTCCGTCGCCCCTGACGTAAACAGGATGCTAGGCGGGTTCCTTAGAGCTCGCGCATCGACCTCTGCGAATCATTGTGATCAAGGAGAACATGTTGACTGCTTCCAGTGAGCAGATGGCGGGCTGAACTTGATCGGGTCTGAGGAGCAGGCTGGCTGCCCGCCCGGTTTGAAGCTCTTCCCCGTTCGATTCTACGCGCTGCGGCCGGCCACTTGATTGATATGGATTCATTGGTTGTGTTTTGTTCTCATTACAAATACCCCCGTCATCACGATCCAACGACGCCATTTGACAATAAAAGTATCAAGTAGAAATAATCCGCTGTGCATTTACTGGTTTTACGAGGCCTCGCCCGCCAGCTCCAGGATAAATCTCCATTGCGCGGGCGTGACGGACGAAACACTGAGTCGCGATTGTTTGAGCGTCTGGAGATTCTCCAGCGGCTTTCCTGGTTGAGCGTGCAGTTTCAGGTCAGCCAATGTGACCTGCTTCTTGAACTTGCGGCGAAACTCGACGTGCACGACTACCCATTTGGGAGTGTCCCGCTTGGACTTGGGGTCGTAGTATGGGTGTTTCGGATCAAATGCAGATTCTGGGGCGATGTTAGTACTGGCTCCGATGCCAACGATAAAGAGAGATCGAACCGTCGAAGGAATGCTCTCGGACAACCTCCATCATGCCTACCACTCCGGGCACTTTGCAATTGGAGTGGTAGAAGAACGCATAGTCTCCGTTTTTCATCTCGCGCATGAGATTCCGCGCTGGTGGTGGTCAGATAGTACTCAAAGGGACATGGAAATATCTCTTACCAACAGGGTTCCGGACTCCTATTTCAGATCGTTAGCAATTGGATTTTTTGGCGCTTTTGCAAATTCTCATCAGACATACCATCCCAAGGCTCTGGCTCCTTTGCATTCGCCAAATCATCAATAGAGAACTTCACATCAACGCCCTTTTCAAATCGCGACTCGGGCTCCGCCTTCATCAACCAGTAGGAACGACTTGACTCTGTGGGAACAGTGCTGGCCACCGGTTTCTCCGTTTTGGGTTTCACATCAAGAGCGACACTGTCCACCTCAGCTGGGAGACTCTTGCGCGGACGCCCAACTTTCTTGGGCGTTGTGGTCACAGGTTCAACACCGGCAGCAACACTGCCCACTTCAGTGGGGAGACTCTTGCGCGGACGCCCAACTTTCTTGGGTGTCGTCGTCACAGGTGCAACATCGGCAGCAACACTGCCCACCTCAGCCGGGAGACTCTTGCGCGGACGCCCAACTTTCTTTGGTGTCGTAGTCACAGGCGCAACATCAGCAGCACCACCCTTCACCTCATCCGGGAGGCTCTTGCGCGGACGCCCAACTTTCTTGGGTGTCGTCGTCACAGGTGCAACATCAGCAGCAACACCCTTCACCTCATCCGGGAGGCTCTTGCGCGGACGCCCGACTTTTTTAGGCGCAACATCTGCAGCGACACCGCCCACCTCAGCCGTGAGACTCTTGCGCGGACGCCCAACTTTCTTTGGTGTCGTAGTCACAGGCGCAACATCAGCAGCACCACCCTTCACCTCATCCGGGAGGCTCTTGCGCGGACGTCCGACTTTTTTAAGCGTCATAGTCACAGGCGGAGCATCAGTAGCACCACCCTTCACCTCATCTGGGAGGCTTTTGCGCGGACGCCCGACTTTTTTAGGCGTCGTAGTCATAGGTGCAACATCTGCAGCGACACTGCCTACCTCAGCTGGGAGACTCTTGCGCGGACGTCCAACTTTCTTGGGTGTCGTAGTCACAGGCGCAACATCAGCAGCGCCGCTTCCCGCCTCAGCCGGGAGACTCTTTCGTGGCCGCCCACGCCCCCTCTTCGGTCCCGGCGACGGCGTGGTCCCCGTATGCGTTGTCTCCGCAACAGCTTTGCGCGGCCGCCCACGACCACGCTTGGGTCCATCGGAGTCTTTCTTCGGCGTCGAGCCTTCGGGGTGTTTGCGCGGTCGGCCGCGTTTGCGTTTCTCGCCGGTCTGCGGTGTCTGTGGCATTGGGATAGATATTAGTTACTTAGCTGCTGTGGGCCGGCACGAGTAGGTGGAGATCGACGAGACCTGACCCGTGCAACAAGAGATCACGTCGATCGTCGCGGTTGATGATCCATGGCATCTCCCGGTACAAAAGAAAGGGGCTTATCTAGGTACTTACCAGCGCTGATGTCCCCTCGGCTGCTTCAGAGTCCCGCGCGCGTTTAGCGGGTGTGGGCGCGTCGGTGTCGGTGGGTGTTGGGCCCTCGGATTTGCGTTTCAGGGGCATGGTGATGGATATCGGGATGTGGGAGTAGGCAATTGGTTGGATGGGAGGGCGATCGGATATCCGTGTATCCGTGTATATCTCTGGATGGAGTTTCCAGAGAATGCGTTGACACGACGGCTCTGGATCAACAACAACATTTGTTTGTCTGGGGGACCGAGCTTGGATGCGGATCCATTCGGGTCACGTGCGGGACTCGAGTATACCGTCAGGAACAGTGATGTTAGTTATTCTGGGAGAGAATTTAGCTACTCAGTGAGGGGTGATTAATCGGGCCACACGATACAAATTGGTCAGGATATAAATAGTACATGTATCATTATATGCTACGGTCCATCTACAAATGGTCTCATGAACCCTCTGTCGGTGCCTGGCATATGTATGTCGGACATCCATTCAGGCCGTACAGCCTACCCGCGGATGCCCCACCCCAGCACCAGTGGGTCTACTGACGAGCAGTCGGGAGTTGACCCTTAGCTGCCAGGGTGTGTCCCCTGGACTCCTCTCTGCACTGGACTTGATCACGTCATACTCTAGGTTTGCAGGCTGAAAGACTAAACCCGGCTCAACTCCCGCTCACAAAGGATCGACTCGGTGCAGGGAGTCGAGGATTAATAATTCGACGCCAACACGAGCAACGGCAATTGCGCCATCCCGCCAAGACTCCATTGGTTCGCACTTGTCGGCCGACTTTACACGGCTCAATGCAGAGTCGGCGGGAAGCAGGGGGAGAGAGGACGTGAAAAAGGAGAGAGAGCAGGAAAACGGAGGCATTATATAGGAATCAGACAAGAGACCACGATACACGATCAAGGTCTCAGAGAGAGCGCAGTATAGTTCCCACGAACCGACCTGACCCAGAAGCACACCGAGAAGCGGCAGAATGGCATCAGGCACGCTAAACAGCCCACGTTGGGGGATGGACCAATGATAGGCCTTCTGCAGCGGGCGGTGGGGAATTGCGTGATCAAGCATCAACAGCCGGAAGGAGGAAGATCAATCCACGGTGATACTGGTTCACTATTAGAAGAATACCCCTCCTCCGCTGGCTTCATTCTTCTCTCTCATCCCTGACAGTATCCTCTTGCTACTCCTCCCACATCTCTACACACCATGGCCGCCGAACGTGCTCCTCCGTATGTCAATGTCAAACTACAACTACCTACTCCCCCACCACTAACACACACTCCACAGCCTCCGTCTGGGCTCCGTCGCCCCCAACTTCGATGCGCAGACCTCCAACGGTCCCATCAACTTCCACGAGTTCATCGGCTCCAAGTGGACCATCCTCTTCTCCCACCCCGATGACTTCACCCCGATCTGCACCACGGAGCTGGGCGCCTTCGCCAAGCTGGAGCCCGAGTTCACCGCGCGCGGTGTGCAGCTGATCGGCCTGAGCGCCAACAACGTTGACTCGCACCACGCCTGGATCAAGGACATCGACGAGGTCTCCGGCTCCAGCCTCAAGTTCCCCATCATCTCCGACCCGGAGCGCAAGGTCGCCTACCAGTACGACATGGTCGACTACCAGGATACCACCAACGTCGATAGCAAGGGTATGGCCCTGACCATCCGCTCGGTGTTTATCATCGACCCGAGCAAGAAGATCCGTCTGATCATGACCTACCCGGCTTCCACTGGCCGCAACACTGCGGAGGTCCTCCGCGTCGTCGATGCTCTCCAGCTCACTGACAAGCACGGCGTCACTTGCCCCATCAACTGGCTGCCCGGTGACGATGTGGTCATTCCTCCCCCGTGTCCACTGAGGATGCCAAGAAGAAGTTCGGTGAGATCCGTGAGGTCAAGCCCTACCTTCGGTTCACCAAGTTCCCCCAGTAGATGATGGATGGGAGGAAGTGGTTCTGATGAAGTGATGTGAAAATAAAAACCTTCCATGTGGGACAGCTTGACTCAGGCAGATGTTTGATACCACAGTGATATACAATTAATCGGTGCCTGTTGGTCTATATTCATTTCTATACCTCGTAGTGGGACTATACTGTAGTTGGTACGGTGCGCCCCCAACCTGCGACCGCCTTTTTTGCTGCCGATCCACCGTTTCTCACTTCCCCGTCTTTCTTTCTCTCCACCTCGCTTTTTTTGTCGGCGGCGGACTACTCTCGGTCTCTCTTTGTCGTTGCACATTTCTTCCCGTGAAGTCGCCCGCAGACCAGAAGGCGTGGAAGTGGTGGGGAATCCTGCTCTCTCCTTTTCTCTGCCTTACCTCCCAACCTCAGGCCAGCCCCCTCGCCGACTTGAGCCTCGAAGACAAACCTGCCAACGGTCCCGATTCAAATTGCTGTCATATGCTGCCTACCCACGGCGCACAAGGATTCTGCGATCGCACGACCTGAAATTTGATCCGCTTGCCGTGAGAGTGGCGCGGAAACCGATTCGCCCGCCATGATGTCGAGGAGTCAATCGAGCCTGGGGTACCTGGACGTTGCCCGTGAGGAGCCCTCGGCCCCAGGGGTGTCTCCTCTCTCCCGCAGCAGGCGGCTACAGGACCTATCAATCTCTCAGGGCTGGTGTGCAATGTGCGCCGGACGACGGGCACGGAGCCGCACCCCCTGGTGGGGGCGACCACCACCGTGCTAGGCGACAAGCTATACGTGTTTGGAGGACGGGTGCTCTCGCGTAGTCACCCGAAGTTGACGTCGGATTTGTACGAGCTGGACCTGATTCGGCGACACTGGACGAAAATCGAGCCAGCGGGGGATGTGCCGCCAGCACGCTACTTTCACAGTGTGTGCGCCTTGGGTGATAATAAGCTTGTTTGCTATGGAGGCATGTCGCCAGCACCAGCCACTCCAAAGGACCCAAACAGTCCCACTGAAACTCAGTCCGAGGTCGTGGTCATGTCGGATATCCATATCTTCGATGTGCCCTCGCGGGCGTGGACCCGTGTTGCGGCCCACGAGTCGCCCCAGGGTCGATACGCGCATTGTGCCACGATACTCCCGTCTAGCGCGTGCTTCACCTCTGCAAGTGCGCCGCTGTCTGCTATTCATCATAACCCTTCCTCTGGCGCTCACCAGGGGTCGATTGGCGTGGACATTGACGGATTCGGGGGCGCTGAGATGGTGGTTGTGGGCGGGCAAGATAGCTCCAATCATTACATTGAGCAGATCAGCGTGTTCAACCTCCGGAGCCTCAAGTGGACCAACACTAGTCCCTTGGGTCGTAGCTGCGGCGCTTACCGCAGTGTGGTTGCCCCGTTGGTGGGCATGGATGTGTCAGAGGTTGGGTCTGCGGCACCTGACCGAGATGCACACGAACCGATCGAGACCTCTGAATCTCCCGGCTGTCCCATGCTGATTTATTCCAACTACAATTTCCTGGATGTCAAACTGGAGCTGCAAGTGCGCCTGCCGGACGGGCGTCTCGTTGAACGCCCGATGCAGAGCCAGGCCTCTCCCCCGGGACTACGATTCCCTAACGGTGGCATTATCAACGGCCATTTCGTTGTCAGCGGCACCTATCTGACCTCGTCAAAGCAGGAGTACGCCCTCTGGGCGCTCGACCTTAAGACCTTAACCTGGGGCCGCATTGATGCTGGGGGATCCGTTTTTGGGAATGGCAGCTGGAACCGTGGAGTTCTCTGGCCACGCCGCAACGGCTTTGTTATTCTCGGACACCGGAAGCGCAGCTTAGTCGACGACTATAACCACCGGCGCATCAATTTCTCCCATGTTTGCATGGTGGAGCTGGAGGCCTTTGGGCTGCACAACAACCCGTGCCGCACGTTTCCTACGTCGGGCTACAAATCATACAGCTCGCCATCCGTCCCTGCGTCATTGCAGCAGAAGCTGGCACAGTTGACGACAGGTGGACGCCCGTTGTCCAGGGCCTCTGACGAGCTAGGTAAGCTGGCCATGTCTCTGCCCGAGATGGCCGATATGGAGCTGCAAGCTGTGGGTGGAGAGCGCATCCCCGTCAATTCCCGTGTGATGGCTCGGCGATGGGGGCCCTATTTCATCCAGCTTCTACGAGAGTCGTCGGAAGGGGGCATCGCCGATGTAGGGACGCTCCGTCCGTCGAATGTCCATCCCAGTCGTAACTCCAGTATCACCATCACCCCGTCGGTCGGACATAACAGCAACTACTCTACTGCGACTACTCTTGTCAGCAACTCCGCTCCTCCGAAGTCTCTGCTTGAGAACCTGGAGACTCCCTCAGCGCATCTCCTGCCCCCGACCTCGCGGCCGCGCGTGCTCTACCTGCCTCATACGGTTTTGACCATCCAAGTCCTCGTTCACTATCTCTATACGTCCTCCCTTCCCCCAACTAGCTCGTCTCTGTGCACACCGCAGATCCTTTGCTCGCTTCTTCAACTCGCGCGTCCCTATCAGATCGATGGCCTATTGGAGGCTATCGTCGAGCGCCTGCACCAAGTGCTCGATGGTCGCAACGCAGCTGCTGTGTTCAACGCTGCCGCCATGGCCGCGGGCGGTGGTCGCGGAACCGGCTTCGACAGCGGATTAGGCGGCACTCTTGAAGCCTTGAACGGCGCCAACACCCGCGCCAGCGTTGTACCGGGCTCCTTCGAGGGAGACGCATCTCAGAAGAGCGTTCTCCTGGCCTCCGATTCATCCGACACAGAGAACGGCGGACCATTGCCCGGCTCCGCCACCAGTAGCACAGGCGACCTAGCCAACTTCGCGCGCGGCATTCCCTCCCTCCGCATCGACACCGCCATCTCCCAACAAGCACAAGCTGCCCGCCAACGCATCTCCCGCGACCGCGAAGACTCCGTCAGCAACGCCAGCACCGCAACTTCCGCCTCCAGCGCTAGCTTCAGCCAGTCAGACTCGGAATTCGTCAGTGGCGACGAAGACCGCACGCAGTCTCGCCGACACCACCGCCGAGGCACGGATACGGAGCTGCGCCGCCCACACCGCGAGATCTGGACGGGGGATTTGAGCAGCGTCATCGGGCTCCAGAAACGAGGCTTGCGCGGGCTGATGGAGGGCCGCCGCTTGCGTGAACGCACTACGAAACCCTCCAGCGCGGGTAGTACCACTGCTGCTTCTTTCCCGCTGCCCAATCCGGGGGATTCGTATCCTTCTGCTATGCAGGGAGTCGCTGCGTGATGATGATAGATTTGGCGGTTGGTTAGGTGGGTAGAACTGGGCGTATGTACAAAGTTGGCATTTTCTTCGTGGTTTTTCCTTGGGGTCTGTGATGTTTTTTTGTTTCTCTGTGCATTCTTTGTGTTGATGGATACCATATCTTTGTTTGATGTAGATGCTTTTTCTTTTTCTCTTCTCTTGGTCTCTGGGCATCTAACTGGAGGTTGATTTGACTGATGGCAAGGCGATGAATGAATGAATGCAATGCATGGATGTTCTGCCCGTTTTTCGTATCTGTAAAGCCGCAATTGGGTCAATATGTTGGTTCGAGAGAAAAAGATACAATACTGATAATCCAGTGCGTATCGATTCAACATTACCATAAACGCAGGATCATCTGGTTAACTCCAACCATATATTTCTGCCTCAGGCAACAAGTCTAACCGCCCAAACCTCCCAACTCAACTCTTCATCTCTTCAATCATCTCAATTCATTCCGTCTGAGCCACTCAGCCAGACAATGTAACCCGCCCAATCTACTACCTCAATTCCTATTCTCGATTTTATTTTTATCTTTTCCTTTTTCGCAAAACAGAAGATAGGGCGGAGTTACAAAAAGGATAAGAAACCGGAAAATGCCTGCCCCCTCGACAGGCCCGAGCAAAGGCAACAGCAACAACAACGCCCCAACACGGCGTGTTGTGGACCCGAACTCCTTACCTGCCCGACGAGGTCCCCGTCCAACTCCGATACCGCGTCTCCCCACGGGAGCGCAGGATATCCGGCAGACGAAAGAGTATAAAGTTGCTGCGCGGAGGTACGTTTTGTGTTTTGTATTCCATAATATGCTACCACGATCTTTCTACTATCTTTTGTTTTTTTGGCATTGAGATGATATCATGCATCGAAAAGAAAATGGCCAATGACTGACAATCTCATGTTCTTGTATCTTGCAGATGGATCTCAACGATTGTGGCACTACCTATTTTCATGGTCACTTCTTATGTGTTGTATGAGCGATGTGAGTTTGCTTCTTTCCTTTCCTTTTCTTCAACTCAACGGTCCCGCCCTGTCTGTAATTATTTGCCAATTACTGACTGCTGGGTGTAGTGTATGGGAATCAGAGTCCGAAGCGGTTGCATCGGATGGAGGAAGGGGAGAAGAAGCAGCCGCCAGAAACCTCTTCAGCCTCTCCTTCTTCTTAGGCTTGAAAATGCAGGTGATTGTTTGTGTGAACATGGAAGAGTATTCAACCCCTTGTATACAATATGTAAATAATGTTTGATTCTTAAGCGCACGGCAAAATTGTGGCAGAGAACGGTCGTCTATTCGAATTTTTCCATTTATCAGATACATACAAACAATATATAATCCTGCAAAAGACTTTTGCAAGTCAAAGTACCTCAAAATTTAGTGGTTCCAAGAGGGAAACCACCAATCTGGGCCTCCAATCTCCAGCTGCGCTAGGCAATCAAATATTTGAAGCATAAGTGGGAGAAATAGGAAGCACTGTTAACCAACTTCCAAAGGGGCTAGAGAAGATTCGAGTACGCATTGTCGACATTTTAAATGACTATGTCAAAATCTGGGCGTACGGCAGTCCCACATGGACGTGTAATTCACGAAGAAATAAATCTCTGATTCAGATAAATCTGGGAATGCCTGACAATTTAGAGGGCTCACTAACTAGTAAATGACTAATACATAATAGGAAATATTGATGAGGGGTAAAATCCCTGTGTGTGACCTGTAGGAATTCCAATTCTTGACAGACTATTCCCAACGAGATCTTACTAAATGCTCCGAAGGCACTAATATTGAGTGGACAGCCGTTCGTCCACATCTAGAGCTTCACCACTGCCTCATGCCCGTTCTCTGCGGCCTTGCATTATGGTGTTGAACCATTAGACGGAAGTGATCAGAACAGTAGTGGGAACGGCAATCAAACCCTGCTAGAAAATGGGCGAATTCAAGTGGTCAGGCATAGCCCTCATTCCTTGGCACTGCCTCCCCGGGAAGCAAACTTCAGCCTACGGCCCGGCCCCCACAGGACCCCACAAATACATCCAGACTTGTTTGGTCTGAGGACCTATCATAGCCTCACTCCTAGATACAGTATCCCTCAGCTGCCTGGGACAAGTCTGAGTTATCTCTCATAGACTGTGAGGCTGACAGCAATCATCACGACCGCGCCCTGTCAGGCAGAACAAGACAGGAAGGTAATAATTGAATGAACCCCACCTAGCTGTATATTTTGCGATAGGGTCCCTTTGAATGAGATACACGTTAACCAGTCTGCTCACTAATGTATCTGAAAGTTTCTGGGACCCCACGGAAACGACACATTCGAATCGACAGACAAGATGCATGATGACCATACTTCTTCGACAACTGAACTCCAAGATGTTCGACCCAGAGAAAGATTGACTAATACTCCGGCTACGATCTCGGCTCCCTCCACGTCTTATCCCGAGCCTCATTCAGAAGACGATAGCCTATCCGCCCAGCAACGCACCGAGAGTAATCACGAGCCCAAACAGACGAAACCATCTGTGCCCCTACAACGAACCGTATATCCCGTGTTCCTTGTTTTACTGTACAGCGGGGCAGCACTTTACGCTTGGGTTGTCATCTGCATCCTCACTCATCGCCCCATTGGTGGAGTAGGCTACGGACTCGACCAACTCAACAGCACTCTCGCAAACCCGCATTTAGAATTCACTGTGCCCGAGTACCTCAACAAATTCTTCAACAAGAGCGAGAGGTATCTTAGGGCTGCGAGGGTTGTACAGTCCTTGGTATCGGTGGTGACTATCCCTTTAACCTCTGCCGTGTGCTCGCAGGCAGCTGTGGTTTATGTTCAGAGGAAGCGATGGAGAAACGGCCCGACCCTCCGGCAAAGCATGGCCCTGGCGGACAAAGGATGGACCAACATTGATGTCATAATTAAACTCCTTCTTGGGGGGTGGAAGAAGTACAGCTCCGCGCTCCTATTTTTGGGATTGTTTCTACATCTTCTAGGTGGGCTCATCCTCTAACTTTGCCGCATCAAGTCCACTGCTTACCATTTCGCTTCTTCCAGGCTTTGCTATTTCTCCAGTGCAGCAGCTATTTATCTCATATAAGACGATCAAGCGTGTCCAGTCAATCTCCACTGACCTCGGCATAATCAACCAAATCTCTGATCTTTTCCCCTCCGGTGACGATGGCGGCGGCGGCGATGGATTGAGTACAGTGAAGCTGAGGTCCAGTTTGGCTTCGGCCGTCAATGATGAGGTTCAGACGAGACTCTGGTCGCGAAATAATGACACCGTTTCTTTAGAAGATCGTGTCGAGAATGCCGAGGCTTATTCGATGTTAGAGACGAAGAGTCAGAACACTCTCGCCAATTTAAGCATTATAACAGATCCTTTTTGGGCTGAGCTCCCGTCCAGTACGACTACTGGCTTGCTGCGACAGTTCGCTCCTCGGATCAATTCGACAGCCAGATGGGAGAGCAACACAGATGCTATGCTTCCCGCGGACTGTCACCCATCGTCTGATGCCCTCTACCTCCACTATATGTACCAGTGGGACGATGTATTTGGATACGACATTCAAATCTGTATGCCGGGAAATGTATCGAAATCGCCGTGGAAGAACCAGAATAATCGACAAGACATTTACGAAGAGTTGTACCTCAGGATGAACTTTTCAAACAGCGAATCTTCAGGGCTCGCCCCAGTAGGGGTCAATTCCGGAATATATTCAAGAAAGCTGACACTCCAAACCACTATGGGCTACTTTGAGCTTCCTAACTACGCGAATGGCGGATTCCCCGGGCCATTGATCGAAGGAGACCCGTTTACCAATACGACGCCGAATTTGCGGAAGAGAAATCAGGACAATGATACCGCATGGAATATACTCCATGCTACCGAAAAATTCAACAGTTACGGCCCTAAAGGCCCGCTACTTAGCATTGCCTTGGCTTTGTTTGGAGAAGGCTCATTTGTGGATGTACAACATACAAACTTGGCAGCATACGCCCGTTCCGACGTCTCTTATCCTGGTTGTGTTGCGTTAATCCCCTTCATTTCACTCCTTCAGGTGCCCGACGTTTCCAAAGCTCCGGACCTGTTTTACCCCTGCGTAGACGGAGAGGCCGTCGAAGGTGGTACTGATGCATATGATCTCGAAACCAAAAACATCACGATGCAATCAATAGTTGCCACATACTTTTTTGTTTTCTCTGGGGACTACCCTTGGGCGCCACCGGCGAACGTGATGGAGAATGCATTTGCGGCATCGGCATTTCTGGCCAACGATGCAATGATGGCAACTGCTAATCAGTATCCGAGTCTTGATGTATCATACTCTTTAGGTGTCGATATGCAAATTCCGTCAATTTCCCGGGAAGGAATCATTTTCGTTTCGGTATTGCTGGGTCTCGACTTGTTATGTCTCTTAGCGATCGCGATCTACAGTGCCTGGATTCCTCGTTGGACCACGACTCTGGACTCCTTTGCGATGCTACGGATAGGGGCTTCTATATCAGCGAAAGTCCCTTTGCTCGCCACAAATCATGCTGAGCGCATTAAGACTCTTGATGAAACCCCCGGTTGGATAGGGAACGAAGCCGAAGGCAAGATCGGCCAACTATGCTTAGGAGGGCAGCGGCCACTCAAGAAGACGAAGTGTTATATCGGCTATGACACAGACCTGAGGGCTAAATCTTCGGCGACCAAGGAGCCTTCGAGAGCTATCAGGCGAGCGGGCTACTCTCTAGCTCCAGGAGAAAATCTATAGCATTCAAGCCATTGAGTGGGGGGATGGAACCTTATTGGGCAACACTATCTCAACTTTAATTCATTATCCTTGCCTTGGGTACAGCCGCTACACAATTCATGTATTTCGTGGTGATAATTGGCGGCCCGCCGTACACATGGGCAGAGAGGGCAGCTAGTCCTGATAGCAGCAGATGGGTCATGTCCGGTGTGGGCAATAGTTAATTCGAATTTGTATCTGGCACTGATTACTCCTACTTCGCGGAAGTACATACGGCGGTATATGACCAATAATGGTCACATATCGTCACTCTTAGCTTCGCGCTATGCGTGCTCATTGACCTACGGAAGTCGTCTTGCAACATCGCTCAAGAAGGTAGTATAATGCCTCCAGCCTGGACAGCGCAGTTCTACAATCAAACTAACTAGGGATAGATTCGAAGAAAGAGTGATATTGTACGTGATCCCAATGTCAGGAATCTTCGCTACGGGCTTCGACTTAATCGCCCTCTGGAGAGGGGAGGATCGAAACCTAGACAATAAAGCGATTCGTCACACTGGTCCCTGGAATCTCTCAACGCCGCGACCAGTGAAGAAGGAATAGAAAAGTAAAAGAGATATCAGACAGCCAAAGCCATACAAATCAAACATAAACACCACGCTATGCGATTCCTTTTTGTGCATGCACTACCCGTCACAATCCAAAACGCCATCCATCAAACAAGTCAAAAATGAGATCCCACTCACTGGGAAGATAGCCCCCTCCTCCCACTTCTGATAATACAGTGAATTCATTTGGCCGGACGACCACCACCATGTCGCGTAGGCGTCGCACCAGGAGGCCCTCGCTTGGAGGCGCCCTTTGGCCCCGGCTTGGGGGTCGCCGCCTGGGGTTTCTCTTGCTCCTCAGTGCCCGCACCCTGTTTCTTGGTCTTGGTCGGGGTCTTGGTCGGGGTCTTGGTCGGGGTCTTGGCCGGGATACGAGAGTTGCCCTTGGGCAGGGCCGTCTGATCCGCCTTGAAGGTGACGCGTTGTCGCTTGGGTGAAGTAACCGACTCTTTAGCATCACCGTCGATCGCTTCCGCGCCGCGCTTCTTTCCCTTTGTAGTGGGCGTCGACGAGATGTCGTCGCTGGCGGGTTTCAGGGTCAGACGGAGACGCTGGATCTTGGGCTTGCCGGTCTCCTCACTGGTGACCGGAGTGGCCGGAGTGGCCGGAGCTCTCTTGGTGCCATTGGCCATGCTCTTGGCCGCGGTGCCCTTGGTAGCCTTGGAAGCGGGAGATTTCTTCGTTGCTGTGGGAACTGGCTCAGTGTGGCGACGTCTCCTCCGCTTCGGTGCAGAGACACCATTCGTAGTAGAAAGAGTTGCAGCAGTAGATTGGTCGTGGTCATCCTTCCCTGCTTCAGTGTGGCGACGCTTTCGCGAGGAGGAGATCTTGTTCTTCTCCACAGACTCAAGTGGCTTGGCCTTGCGGTTTGAACCACGGGTCTTCATCTTAGACGTCTCCTCCGCGATATTCTCTTGCGTGAATTTAGAATCCAAGTCTGCAGGCTTGTTGCGATCGCCCACACGAGGGGGGTATCCAAAGACCTCATCGGTATCAAACTGGTTCTTCGGCTGAGACCGCAGACGGCCTGGCAGACTCTCGTCGCCATAGTCACATGGCGAGCGAAAGGGGCTGTGATCGCGAGGCATGATAACGAATTCTTCGCCGTTAGGGTTGACACGACCAGTATTTACCCATCCGTCCGCCTCAATCTCCGGCGAAGATTTTTTGGAGAAGCCCAGAACAGTGCGCTCATGGCTGTTGATATTGATGTTGTTGTTGACTTCCGTGTCAGCGATCACGGCATCTTTCTCTTCCGGAGCAGCTTCTCCCACTTCTTTGCCGCTGTTCTTCACTGCCTGGAGTTCCTCAAACTCCTTCCGTCTATCGGCGAGGAATTGCTGTGGATTAGGGGGATAACGATACTCTGTGCCAAGAGAAAATGCGACCAACTCATACATCTTCTGCCCGGCCATAGCCGTGTCAATTTCAAGGCGCCGGAGAGCCGTCTTGAGCTTCAAACCTCGCCCGCGCTTGGGACCTTTCGCAGTAGGGGTGTACTCGGGTTTGGTAGAGTTCTTCGTCACCCGACCGGAAATCGTACGGCGAGACGACTCCGCGGGAGGGGCTTCTTCCTCGGCGGCGAGTGTGGGACCACGACGAGGCCGGCGTTTCTTCTGGGATTGCAAAGCTTCCATGGCTCTGAGGGTAGGCTTTCGAACGCGCACAGAAGTCCGTGTGTTAGCCGATGAGGCGCTCGGAGACGCCGGGGGATCAGAAGGATCCATCGCCCCGTCAAACCCAAATTCAGACATGTATTCATCGTATGTCCACCGAGTATTGTCCATAGTGTCAGGGATCTCTTGGTCCGACATTTGGTTCTTTGGAGTGTTAAGAGTAGTCCTGCGACGACTCCGGCGGCTGCCTTGGTTGGTGCTGGGCGTGTCCAGAGTCGGAGTGAAAACGTTGGACAAGCGGGATGGCCGCGACTGAAAGCCTCGACGACGTGTCGAAGGCACTTCAGGAGTCGAGAATTGCGAGCCTTCATCGCTAGATGGAGACTCCACGTCGTAGTCGTGCGTGAAAGGGTGATCGGGTGAAGTCTGGGACGCCAGATTCCAGTCATCAGATCCCTCCTTGGTCCGAGGGGTCCTGGTGGGCCGGCCATCGCGACGAGCCGAACCCGCCGGAGTGGAAAGTGAAGAACCGCGGCCAATTCCACGTCCACGACCGCGGCCACGTCCGCCACGACCACGACCGCGGCCACGAGGGGTTAGGTTGCGGTTGTGAGGACTATCTTTCTTTTCCTCGGGGGTAGCAACTCCATCGACCCGGCCCGCCATGGACTTGCGAGCCCTACCGCGCTTTGGAGTAGCACCTGCGAGATGGTGGTTGGTTTCATTGCTGGCAGGAGCCAACATGGATGGAAGCGACTTGCGCTGAGTCTGGTTATCGGCTGACCGGGGCATGCCCAGCTTGAGCCGTTGTCCCCTCTTGGGGGGCATGGCGAGAGAAACCGAGGGACAAAGCAGGCGTATTTACTTTTTGGACAGATAGATCACAGCTCAAAGTGTTCGGCAAGTGAAATTTTCACTCGAAAAGGTTCTACTTGGCACGTAGCAGAGTCAGCCATCTGTTGTGTAGGTGGTGTTGTGGCGGGGGAAGGGAGTAGGGCAAGTAGGGCAAGGCGAGCCACCGAGGGTGCACGCAGTTCCAATAGCAACACAGCAACAGCACCACACGTCGCCACGCTTCGATCTAGGGCAGACATAAGACAGAAAACTTACCAGCACTCGTTCCAGATGATCGATGGTCATGATACACAGCGTATCCGTGGGGTGCGGAGAAAGAGGCAAGGTAGACGTCAGAGGTCTGCCGCCGGAGTTGCGGAAGGCGAGGAAGTTGAGGGTTAGGGCAAGGCGAGGTATCAGAGGCGAGGGAATGGTGAGACGAAAGAGTAGCAGAAAAGAAGAAATTAGAGCAGGTAGAGAGACAAGAAGAAAGAAAATGACGAGACTGGGAGGTGTACAGAGAAGAGAGCAACGAAGGTGTCGAGGGTCGAAGGCAGAAAATAAATTAGGGCTAGCTACTGGCCTCGATCGGGGCTTATCAGCGTGTCCTCCGCCTTTGTTCTGCACCTCCCCTTCACTTCCAACTCCAGTCATTCATCCCCTATCCAATTGAACTCCATTGTCGTGGTTTGTTTCATTCACTATGCATTTATGGCAGGCCACTGTTCAATTCTGCCTGCTGGCTTCGGTCGCTGTGCCCGCCGCCGCCGCGTCGGCCTGGGGCTATACTGATGCCACCGTGGCAGTTCAATCCAAGGGCGCCGGTGTTAACGCGGGATTGAAGGAGCAGTATGAATTCGCACTGTGTTTCTGGTGATTGCAAGCTAACCTTTGGATCTCTGTGGCCGCAGACTATCCCCCTCCAAGCCATTGTCGAAGCCCGTCTCGCTCGCAGTCGCCGATACCCTCCGCGTTATCCTCACCACGCAGGAAGGAAGCTCGGCCAAGCGGCCACACCAGGCCTTCCTTCTATTGCAGGATACACAGACGGGATTGGATATTTCTTATCCGTTTACCGTGAAGGATACGGGCAAGGCTCGGGTGGAACTGGTACACATCCCCTCCTCTCAAGGTCCCGCGCAGCCCAAGAGCTAACGGAAGCTTCCCTAGACCCAAAAAGACCTCCCGGTTCAATTCCTTTCGGCCTCAGATCCTCTTGATGCCCGCATCGTCATCGGTGCATTTGGCAGTTCCGAGGCGTACGACAGCACGGCCTTCAAGTTGGCTGTCGAGCGCGACCGCAACGGGCCCGTGCCGACCGTCGACACCCAGCGATACGGCAAGCAGCCTGAGATTCACCACATATTCAAGGAAGACCCCACGAACCCGCCGGTTATCATTACTTTGGCTTTTGTGGCCCTGGTCGCAGCGGCTCTTCCGATTCTGGCTGGCCTGGTAAGGTGTTTTTCCACAGCGTTCAAGAGAACTAGCTAATCAGTGTTGATCTTCAGTGGCTATTCCTTGGTGCCAACGTGAACCACCTCTCAGCCGCATTGAAGTCGGCGCCCCTCCCCCATGCCGTGTTCCTGGGATCCCTGATCTCGTTCGAAGGGATCTTTTTCCTTTACTATACCTCTTGGAATCTCTTCCAGACACTTCCCGCCGTGGCTGTAGTCGGTGTGGTTGCATTTGTGAGCGGCAGCCGCGCTCTGGGCGAGGTGCAAGGCCGGCGCCTTGCTGGTCTGCGATGAATGCCTGCCTTGATGACACTACACCACGCAAGCTGCGCAAGAACTTCAAAGCGACCATCCTAGAGACGGCCCTTGCGCTGTGGTTTTGTATCTTATCTGTGATGATATCCGTCTTCAATCCGACACCTCTTCATGAGTCCATTCGTGTTCATTAGACGCAAGTACTCAACATATAGTACTTGCATGAGAAACTGCTCACTGTAGCCGTACCAAGTCCCAATAGCTATGCATACTATCTCATTCCAAATCATTTATTTCAACTATGTTGATACGTAACTATAGATTTGAATCTCTGTTTTGATAGGCGCTGATCCACTGCCAAGCCTTCCTCGGCGTTTTTCCCGCATCACTACTTCAACCTCCTCCAACTACCAGTCACCATGGGTTCTGCGGCCTCCAAACCTGCCCGGTCCGCGGCCGGTGCTGCTGCACGACGCCAATATCCCAAACAACCTCCTTCTTCAACAAGAGGACCTCTGAGCTCTCCGGCCACCGCGCAGCGGGACACCAATGCCGCTCCGACGCCGACACCTACCTCTACCCCTACATCTGCACCAACACCCACCTCTACTCCATCGTCACAGCCATCACAAGCCCGTACATCACAAGGGCCTACATATCACTCGAAGGAGCAGCCCTCTAGCGTGAAATCAAATGGTACGTTTTACCCCGTAAGCCCAGAATTGCCACTGTCCTGCACTACACCCCTGGCCACTCATTTACAGCATAAAACTAACCGTCAACTACACAGCCATTGACCTCGACGGTCGCGACCCTGATTTCGCCGCCTCTCTCCGCTCAATCGGCCCCGTCAATCCATCCCCAACCCTATCGCACTCCAGCACCTTCCAGCGCCAGGGTACCTCCCCGCAGACCATCTTCCCACAAGGCACCAACCCAGCGCTCCTGGTTCTGAAAGCGCGACAACAAATTACCAAAGCGGCCGAAGACGAAGCCGAGCAGATCGGGCTCACGGGCCGTGGTGGTCGCCAGTTTGTGGATGCCTTTACGATCCAGTCGGCGCTGAGGATGCGGGATCAGCAGGGTCTGCCACCGGACGAGATTGAGAGATTGTTGCGCTTAAGACCTGGCGTTATGGAGAAGTTGGGTAAGGGTGGGTTGGTGTCGCCTGTTACATGATGTGTGGTCATATACACGGGGATGGAAGTATACGGATGGCGTGGTGCGCAGGGTGGATGAGTATGACTCTTCTGTATATTATTATTGGACCATCAAATATCTAATTCATATCTCCCACACAGCTAAGAACCCAGCATTGGAACTGGAGAATGGATATTAAGCTCATAAACCATACCCGTTGCTCGGTTATGTCCCCAGTACCCCTCTCACTGTTAACAACAGAGGTGACTAGTCGAGTGGGCAGGCACCCTCGGCACTCAAAGAAGCCCTGTTCGATTCCAGATGAGACCAGCCTACAACTGGCGCGGGAACTGGGTGGACTGCAGACCACTGCTGAAATCAGCGACTCGTTGCACTACCTACCAACGTGTAAGCCAGGTAGAGAGCGCTGTTTCATAGCCTGGCGGCCAAGTATTGACGCCCATATCGTAGCAGGACGCAACGCTCTACTTTTTAACAACCATAGTCTTTCGCCCCTGCATGATGTTCTTCCATTCCATCGTCTGCATCGCACGATGCGCATAAGTTTTCAACTTCTCTGGAATGATGTCGTCCCTCTCAACGTCCAACATTCTCGCTATGAAAGTCATGAGATGAGCATCCAGTGCCGTTGGGTGCGGAAGATCAAAGAGCCACGACTCGGCTGTTTCACCTCGGGAAGGTGGCCATGTCACAAGCGACTCGAAAACTCCCATCAGCTCGAGCGCTTGTTTCCCCATGTTCTTTGAAACGCCGGGCTTAAGACCACCAACCTTGTCACGCTCGATCCTAAATGATCAGTAAGATTTATTTGTTTTAAATATACGGCCCGATGGACCATGTCTAGCGGTGGAAATTCACGAACAAAACGGTAGGACACTTACACGCCCAATTTAAAGGTCAAAGCATCTCGGTACCGAGGAGATACTTCTGTAGCCAGCCGCTTGGAGACACTCTGTTTGAGTCCCTCGGCAACATATTCGCGGCCAGGGAAGGACAAGGAGAAATAGTTGAGCGCATGAAGGTCATTGAGCAGTTTAGTAATCTGTTCTTTGTGCGATGCCGGGATCAAGGACGGATAACGCTCTGCGAGGAAGTGAGTAATGTGAACAGAATCGGCGATGGGCTTCTCAAGCCATTTTGACGACAGCACTGGAACCTAGCGCTGCAGTCAGAACAGCACAGTCCATGCAGCTCCCTTCTGTGCATGTGATGCTCGTACCTGGCCTAGTGCATTGATTTCGCATAGGAAATGCTCCGAGAATTGCTCTTCGTTGAAAATATCGACGATTACTTCAGTTATTGGTATATCGGGGTATCCATCCTTTGGTTGGCCTCGGATCGCTATTGTTTGACGAACCATGATGGAGCAGATGGAGTACGTGTTGTGGTAGAGAGTATAACCCGGAGAAGCCATTTGCAGGATATCGAGAAAGAATCCGTATGTGCGAGAAAACGATGTATTCGGAGTGATGCGTTTAGAAGGACAGTTAATTCAGGATGAATCATCACATCATCATTCATGGCCCTCACCGCTCACCGCAATTATAATTTTCATCCATATCCCCTACTTTGTCCTCCCATTACCAACCACCACAATAGTTCAATCATATATTACAGTTGAGAAGCTGAGCCTAAGCATTGGTCTGCTGTTGGGATGGGTTAGTCCAGAGCCATGTATACAAACATATATTAGTCTCTTCTTAATACAATTCGGCACCTTCAGAGCAGTTGCTGATGATGTATACGCTCGGGCTCTAATGAATAATTAGAGAATTGTCGGAAATAACTGAACAATAGCTGACTTACTCGGTTGCTTTGGCTGCCAATTCCTGTTTTTCGTTGACTGGATCAACCATTTTTCCATGTTGATCCTTCCAGATGGAGAACGAGGTAAAAGGCGTCCTCATGTTTCAAGGGTGCAAGTGTAGTTTGATTACGATCCGCTCTTTTTGCTCTCACCCATATATATTCCGGACATTGTGATTGTCGCGCTACTCGGAGGACTCGGGCGCACCGGCTCACTGGGGCAGCAGCGCAACAGTTCCAAATCGGCTGATTGCGTTGTACAACGAATCTGCAGTCCACATTTTCATTGAGCTTGTTGTCCTACATAGTTCGATTTAAACACTGAGAGAAGAATATAGGGGTGTCCGATCATTTTCGAGCATCTATTGTCTCACCATGATCAGTTCGGTTCGTCTCGACACTATTGTCTCCAATTAGATGCTTCGATTATTTCTCGATCAGTAATTGCCCGGACACATTTCGAGAAAGTATCGCGCAGCTCTTATCCCATCTAGATTTCTTATCGGTTCCCTCTCATTCCATACTCTCTATCATAGCCTTCAATTCTCCCAGTTATGGCCAGTCACTGAGTACTGGACGCATGCAGATCTCGACAATGATGCTATTTAGGGAAATTAACATAGACCATGCATTTGATACAGACCCCAATATCAAGTTTCTATAGAGCTGATCACTCTGTTAGAAGACGGGTGTGTTGATATACTCCGTAAATGAAGTGCGGTCGGCGCCGACTACCAATCACAGCGCCAGAAAACGCGATGACTCGAATTGGAGATATCGGACGAGAGAAGAGCTACAAGAGCAGCTAACTGTACGAGAAACAAGCATCTTTTGCCTACACCATGTATCTCCGAGCCGCACACGTCGAGAAGAGCGTCCAAGTGCTCCAACAACTAATCCACGACAACCCGCTCGGTCTCCTCACGACCGCCATCAAATCCACCGACCACCCATTCATCCAGACGAGCCACATCCCCTTCCTTCTCGATGTGCCTCCCACAAGCGAGGAGGATGAGAATGCTTCCAACGGGATCCTGCGTGGGCACATCGCCAGAGCGAACCCGCAAGCCAAAGCGCTGATGGAAGCGCTGGCAGCGGAACAAGCAAGCGGAAAAAACACCCTAGAATTACCAGACGAAGTCCTGGTCTTATTCAACGCCCCGCACCACCACTACGTCACTCCCAAATTCTATACCGAAACCAAGCCCGCGACAGGCAAAGTCGTCCCGACGTGGAACTACGCCGCCGCGCAGGCCTACGGACGGATTAAGGTCTACTGCGACAGCAAGTCTGAGGAGACGCAGAGCTTCCTCCAGACACAGATTGAGGATCTATCGCAGCACGCGGAAGGGTCGATCATGGGCTCATCCACGCCGTGGAAGGTGTCCGATGCGCCTGACTCGTATGTCGACCTGCTGAGGAAGAATATCATCGGGGTTGAAATTCGCATTGAGCGCTTGCAGGGCAAGTTTAAGATGAGTCAGGAGATGGGCGTGGGTGATCGCCAGGGTGTTATACAGGGGTTTGAGAAATTAGAGTCCGATGTGGGTCAGGGCGTGGCGGCGATGGTTAAGGAGCGAGGTGAGTTGAAGGACTCCAAGAAGGGGTAGGGTAGGGGTTGGGTGTAGGGGTTGTATATATTGGCAGAGTACCACTGTTCTTTCACCTCCTTCCTCATAGGTGGATCTAGACAGTCTCTTCATCTGTGATTCTCATTATGATTACCATTATAATGGCGATCTTTATTGCCTTCGATGTCGGAAATACACGGTTGTTCTGTCCAACCAACATGATACGCTGAACTCCATATGAATAGCGCGTAAACATACCGTTCAAGCTAAGCATGCCAGAGATTTTCTTCAATTAGTATGAAAGATACAAGAGTCTAGAAGTGTTGATTCTGTTCCGCCATACGTGGCATACGGTGGTATTCGAAATCAGATATACCACCATACTCTCCCGGATTAATTCCCGAACCCTAGCTTGAAACAAGCTAATCTGAATATGGTTTGCTCATAAGTTCCTCCGCTTCTTGGAATAGACACTGTATTTTACTGGAAGACGCGCGTGGGTCGCACGTCGGCGCTGAAACGGTGAAAAGAAGAGGAGTGTAAATAAACAGTTACATTAGAGAGTCGGAAATCAACTTATAGGTTAAACAATAAAGACCAATGAGGAATGCCGCCGGCATGACTAACACACGGACGGTGGGAGACGGTGGGAAAGAGATCTGAAGCGTTGTATTTTGATACTGCTTGAGCTCAGTACGGACATCATCGATCGGCCGCGGTTGATGATGAATCAACCTTCTGCTACATGTCCATGTCAAGTAGACCTAAAGTATGTTCATGTCCGCTATATGACCCCTATAGCCTCCAAATGTTTTCAGGATCTTAACACCCCACTTGTAGTAAAAGCATCTATTGTAATAATGTGAACAAGCGGTGTGACGAGAAGTGGGGAGAGGGCCGGAATTCAATCGTTAGATGCATTGCTGAGATGCCGATCTTAGTTCGATCTTAGGCCGATCTTAGAGTGCTGAATTCTAGGTCCCAAGCACGCATCCATATGTGTTCTTCTCCCTGCCTCCTCGGATTATTTTAGTTATTTCCTCTCCACCCCCACTTTCTTTTCAATCTTTCGTTCAATATCACTCCACCAAAACATTCTACCTCACAATGGGTTGGTTCTCCGGTAAGAGATGGTCCTATATCATACCGCTCTCCGTGGTTCCGAGTAATACGAGGCCTACTGCTTAGTGGATTCCGACCAAGCTCAAGCTTATGACGAAATCAAGAACGCGCCTCACAATGCTGAGCTGTCGTACGAGTTAGTCGGTAATGCCGCTGCCTATGAAGCCGCCACGATGTACGAGGACCACGTCGCCAATAATGGTCAGGATATCTGTGCATCCATTCCTTCCCAGTTGCTAACACTCTTACGTAGGCCAACCTGATAGTAATGCTGAGGCTGAAGAGATTCTCAAATCCTTTATCGGCGTCGTTGTTGACCGCCAAGTTGAAACTATGCGTCTAGACTCTGGTGACAAGCAGAAGGCTGAAGTCTTTGGCCTGCAGCAAGTTGAAGAAGCAAGAAAAATGAACGAATAAATCTGAGTAAGAGCGGGAAAATAGCTGATGGTAGAAGGATCAGCCTACAGCTCTCATTGCTCAATATTGTTCATAGGATAATTTTATCCATTCCAATACGGGCTACTAAGCTACCTCGGGGTTGGAACGTAGTCGGAGCTCTGCTTCCATGTTCCAGGTTCCATGGATTGAGAGATGTAGTCGATATGATAGGGCTCCGTGTCCTCTCACTCAAGCAACCATAACCCTCAGAACACCTTGTCAGCTTTTTAGTGAACCAGGTTCTGACGGAGCTTGGAGACGAATAAAAATAGTGACTAGAGACAAATCTGGTGGTAGTACACAACAGGGCGCCGCAGTAGAACGATGGGCAAGGTGCATGTTACAAAGCAATCATAGAACGAGAACGTGCAGAAAGAAGCAGACGAAGCCCTAGAACCCTGAAGCCAAGACAGGCCAGACCGAGAAAGGCAACAATAATGCAGCAACAAGGGCGAAGAGAGACGAATGGGCGGCGCGCGTGGAAAAACGGCCCATACGTAGTCAAGTCATATCATTTTGCAACGTCTCGTGCACACGCACATGCGTGTTGATTAAACCCCTTTCTCTCACTTCCTTCGTTTCAGGGCACATGACGTCTGTGAGATCTCAAAGTATTTATTTTACACGAAATTGTGATACACACACTGCCTCGTGTCCCTCCTTCCCTCCTCATCCGGTCTCAAATGGCTGGAGAAGCTAAATGCAGCTAGCTTACGATCATCAATGTCCGCAGAAACTTAATTCATATTGATGAATCCCGGCCTGATAAAAGGCTTGGTTTTAAACTAATGTGTTAGTCACCACTTACCAAAGCTCCTATGTAAGACACAGTTCCACCGCGATCAGCAATATCTGGTACTCCCTACGTATACCTAGAATGGGGTCGTTCTCCTTTCGCTCCACCGCCCACGATCATAGTCGTGAATGAGTTGGGTGCCTGGCAGGGAGCCATAGTGACCGTGCTTGGCCCCTACCATGCGGTTTTATGCAGCGACCACGTGGTAAGCAGTATCACTGAAGGCTAGTGAAGTAGCTTTGGGCTTAAAGAAGCATCCCGAAACGGTATTGCCTTGTCACGAACAAGCTACCAACCGGCTGCCGTCGAGAATCTGGGGCTGACTGAAGGTCTCTAGCACCTAACTAGTGGGAATTGCAATTTTCCTTTTCAAGGATGAGGTGATTATGTTATTACGAACCGATAGGAACCATTCGCCAATGCGCTGCCCGCGATGATTACCAACCGACCCGACGGACAGATAGTTGCTCCGTCTCGGTCCGTGCAGCCCGCTATTCTCCCGTTCGGCTCAAGTGACTTGCATTCCGTCCTGCCGATGTATATTTCTTTCTCGCCTACGCTTCTTAGCATGGATATCTTTGTCCACATAAACATAGATCGGACAGCAAGATCGCCTAGGTCCATTACTATGAGGTCGACGGAAAATTGGATGAAGCAAGACCAAGTTCTAGAGAGCATTTGAGTCCAATCCATCATGGCGTCCGCTACAACACTGCCAGACACCGGCTTTGCCTGGCAGTACACGGACACCAGCCACGGCATCGAGTCGCACCTCGTTTTCGACGCCTCAGTGCCAATCCCAAAGGCCAAACGGCAGACACCCTCGACGCTTGTCCGCGTGCTAGCCGCGTCGCTGAACCCCAGCGACTACAAAGTGCCAGAACTTGCCTTCGCGGGTCGGCTGGTGATGGGCCCGCCGCCCATCACCCCGGGCAAAGACTTCGTCGGTCGCATTGTCGACACCACGGCCCCCGGTTTCCAGGCTGGCGATCTCGTCGTTGGTACGACCTGGAACGGTGCGCTGGCCGAGTACGTGCGCGTGCCTACTGGGCCCCTAAGTCATAATGCGCTCGTCAAGGTTCCCCCCAAGCTGGCAGCCGCCGTGGAGGCAGACCCGCGCCTCCTCGCTGAGCTCCCTGCACTAGCGGGCGCAGCGCTGTCGGCCTTGCTTCCGCTCAAGCACCTGCCGGGGGTGGTAGCGTCTTCATTAATGGGGGAAGTGGCGGCGTCGGAACCTTCACCGTGCAGCTTGCCAAGATCATGGGCGCGAGCCGTGTTGTGAGCAGCTCGAGTGCGCGCAACCTCGAGCTCTTGCGCAGCCTCGGTGCAGACGAGGTTGTCGATTACACAGCGGGAGATTTAGCCCAGTCCATCGAGGCCCTGACCGAGGGCGAGGGCAAGGACAAGTTCGATCTCGTCCTCGACGTGGCGGGGAAGGACCTCGAGCTCTACTTCCAGGCCGACAAATTCCTCAAGGAGGGCGGGCGCTACGTGCTCGTCGGCGCGCCGACATGGGGCGACACCTGTGTCCTACTCAAGATAGCGCTCTTGCCCGCGTTCCTCGGTGGCGGAAAGCGGAAGTTTGAGTTCCTCCGCTTCAAGGCCGAATCCGAGGCTCTGTCGAATTTGCTTGGTTGGGCAGAAGAGGGCAAGCTGAAAGTCGTTGTGGACGAAATTTTCCCCAAGGAAGAAGCCGTTGCTGCGTTTAAGAAACTGAGGGCAGGGCATGCAAGGGGTAAGATTCTTATTTCCATCGCTAATTGATATTGAAGGCAGGGCAATCGCTTGTCGGGAGCAACAGCCGGAGCCTTGCCTGAGAGAGATCCTGATGGTCGTTCTAAATGGATATCATCTCGAGAGATCCATATGCTAGAGCCGTTATTCTGAGCTTTTGATATCTTTTCGAGGATATCTCGATGGAAAACTAGAAAGTCCCCTTCAATTCACTCTTCTTTGCGGTATATATGGGAATACAGATTACAGACCTGGGTGGGTCGTCTCTGATGGTGGCCTATTGAAACATCTCATCTAGTGGATGTTGAAGAATTTGCTCCAGGCTCTGCTTCTAGACTCTTTCAGCCTTCTCCTTGATAGCGGGGATGCTATCTAGGGAAAGTTCGTTCCAATTAACAGTCTGCTCGTTCTCGTTCCAGGGAAGGTCGATATTACGCATGCTTTCTGAGGCTCGCAAAGAGATATATGCTGAAAAGCAAACACCTTCCAGGGACGGAAAACCGTATGAGGATTGTCTACTTGTTGAAAGTCTGAAAATATGATTTTGGCAATCAGAATGGGTCATGAAGAATAGAATTTCCACTCAGTTTCCACAGTTACGGTATTATAACAATGATTCATTTCTCGTTAGTGGTGAACCCAATACAGTCCTGCAGGGATTATTTTCTCTTTATCGAGGGAAGGGCTAAAATTAGATTGGCGTTTTTCGAGCTAGCGTTGGGGAATTAACCCGAAAGAGTGTGGTGGTAAAGCTGATTTCGAATCCTGCTGTATCCCGCCATGACCTGCCGTAGTACCCCATGCGAACCGGTATCTGTCAGATGCAGCCCCGACGCTACTTTGAGTTCTTCCAAGGTTCAGCAACGCGACTATCGATTTGGTAAATAGTTAGTATGTCCGGCTAGATCATCTGCGTGGGATTCATTTGATCTTGGCTGGCTGGACCGGCTCTCCGCAGAGATTATGGCTACTGCTTGCGACAACGAGGCTCCTGTTTGCCCCGAAGGTCCGGCAATCCCGGTCTCCTGTCAACAACCTGGAAACAATGAGAAGATAGCCATCAAACTCGATGGCGTGGCAAAGACTCTTCTTATACCGCTTATTGCTCGCGTCTACGACAACACCCTCCCTTTGCCCATTCTCGGCGACCCATACGCCAAAGACGTCTTAGAGAAAATCGAGTTTGACGCGGATGCGATGTCTATGACACCTTTACAGAACGGCGGTCTTTGCCTGAGAACAAGCCAGTTCGATCGATGGGCAGCGGCATTCCTCCAGGATAATGCCAACACGACGGTTCTCCATCTGGCGTGCGGTTTTGATAGCCGTATGCAACGGATTGAATGGGGCGAAACAACTCGATGGATCGATGTTGACCTTCCAGAAGTCATTGAGCTTCGTAGGAAAATCCAGCCCGTGTCCTTACCTGGGCGAGACTACTCTCTGATTGGGGTTGATGTTCTCGATGAGAACTGGGTGCATGAGATTGGTGACGTTTCCGGGCCGGTGCTAGTTATAATGGAAGGATTGCTCTCCTATCTCCCTGAGAAAGATGCGAGAGGGCTTTTACAACGGATTTGCCAGACGTTTTCAGAAGGGGAAATGATGTTCGAGGGAGTGAGCTCTGCCGCGCTCAAACGGATCAATCAGCCAGAAACCATCAAAGCCGTGAGCGACACTGGGGCCGTATTCCAATCGACCATTGACGACCCGATGGCCTTGGAAGATCTCCATCCACATCTCCAATTGGCGGAGTCTGTTCCTGTTGTGCAGGCACCAGGCACCGAAAAGCTTCCCCTTCTCGGTCGCATGCTGATGTATTTTGCTTCGTGGTTTCCAAGTGGACGTGATTCAGCAAGACTCTTGCGCTTTCAATTCGGCGAGGCAAGGGCGCTCGGAGCAAGCACGACAATGACTCAGGTTGAGAGGGTTGGCTAGATTTCTTACATTGCCGTCGATGTATAGAATGTCAAGCTTGCATACTGATTACACGGTCTGGCGTTCTATTCTTGTCTGTATCAGGTGAACGACGATCTTAGGCTGCCAGGAATCGAGGCTTCGTGCCATTTTGGGCGCAGGTGGGGATATTTGTTGGTGCTGGGTTGGCACATGCGGGCCGAGGCCACGTCGTGGTGGCGGTGGTTATCTTTAGATCTGTAACAATCCCCATTCGTTTATAATTATACCAATCCACTTGGAAACAACGCATTACATCCATCGCATCTTGATCAGGTTTAGCGGGTCATGTGATTAGGGTTTGAAGAGCGTCTCTGTGCTCCGCCATGGAAGGCAGAATCATTATTGGAGTCGCCGGCAAAAGGGGGGCACTCTGAGGATTAGGCGGCGGCGAGAAAGGAGGGAACGGATGGGGCGAGGGCCCGACTAGCCCTGGATCGGGGCAGTGTTGACCCTGTGTGCGGCTCTGCCCGTCAATCTCTGCGAGTCAGTCTCGTTTCTATTACCCAATCGAGCGCGTTCCTCGTTCCCTTCCCCGGTCTATTATACTTTGCGCTAGCCTCTTCGGCAGCAACCATAAAGAATGGCAAGGCAGCAGCGAACCACCTGGCTCACATCAACATGATGAAGATGGTCCATCCGCCAGTCGATGTAATAGGGATGTCAATCGGCCAACGACGACCCACACGCTGGACCAACGTCTTCATTACGGTGCGATCTCCGACGATTCCGGGGTGTAGATTATTATTATTATTATTATTATTATGGGGCCCCTTGCAACAGTCGTAGCGGCCCGGCACACCGCTCAGGGGCAGTGCACGGGCACGATATCGTAAGGCTGGGTAAGCGACAACAGGGGTTATTACTCATGAAAGGGGTCGTTCTCGGGATTCATTGGTCTTTGGAGGCGTAGGGGAGAATCAGAGGAGCCAAGAGGAAGGACGTAATAATAATCCAAAATGCAGGGTCTTCTGCCTCCGGCGCATCCGAGTCCCTATGTCCAGATCGTGTGCAATACTGCCCAACCGGGTCTAGTGCGCCGCGCTGGTCTCACATCGTCGCGCCCTAATTGGGGCTGTCCCCGGCCTTGTCTGAGAAATTGTTTGACCCGAACACATTCCTCTCCTGCTCATTCCTGCTCAGTCATTCTCTTCCCTCCCTTTTTTCCTGTCTTCTGGGCTTCCCTTTGCACCTTGACCTTCCTCTCCGGTCCCGCCGACGCGCCTTTTCTTGCCCATCTCGTGCAAATCAAACCAACCAGCCAGGTCGACCATGTGCTGATCTCGCCATGTTGCGTTTCCCCTTCCCACCGGTTACGCCGTTCCTCTTCTCGGCCCTCGTCGTGGGCGGCCTCACCTCCAAGGCCCTGCATCTTGCGCTGCATTTCAGCTCCCTTCCTTTCCTTTATTTCGTTCTCTACTCGCCGACGCTCGTGCTGCCCGATGTGCTGGTCATTATCTGCGTGCGATGGCTTCTCCAATATCCAGTACCGGAAACCCGATGGCAATGGGTATCTACAGTGATTGGGGCATTCTTGTGGTATGTTTACCTCCCCGGACAACAGTGGAGGGAGAAAAAAAGCTGACGGTGTTGTTTCAGCCTGGCCACCTGGGGTGCGTGCTCCATTCAAATCGGGTTTTTCATGCAGACAGGCGCCGAAGTCTCCTGGTCTGCCAGCAACTCCTTCATCAGTGATCCCGCGGCCATGAAGATCCTGCTGAGCGGCATCTCGACCGTCTCCGCCGCCGGAACCGTGTTGGGCTTGGTAGCTTGGCTAGCCCACTCGCAGCTATACTACTGGGTTGGGATAGGCCTGCATAGCCTGCGAGAAGTCTGTCTGGGCGGCCTGAGGGCGCCGCAGAGGCTCCCGGCGACCATTCGTTCGCTTTCTTCCAAACCGCGCATTCCGGCAATTGACCCGCGCGCGCTTCGTCGTATCCTGCCCGTCACCGCCGCTTGCGTTTCGCTTTTGTTTTTGGAGCTCACGAGGCCGTCGGTGCCATACGACCATCTCTCGGGGGCGCTTCCGGTCACGCTTCTGGATGCGTTTCACTCCAAAGCCAATGTGGCTAAGGGCTGTCGTACTCCTTCGCTTCCGTTTCCCCTGTGGGAGGAGGATAGCAGGGCGTCATTCCATCATATAGTCAACCCGGAAGAGGAGGAGGTGGAATGGATACGGCCAGCGTGGCTTCCGTTGAATCCAGGCCCGGGGTTCAGACGCTTGGATACTAGCCCTGCCGATCTCCGAGAGGCCGAAAACCACTATGCCTATGTTTGTGGAGATCAAGGAGGCTACTATTACCCGGAAAAGGACCCGCTTAAGATTTCCAATCTGGACGGCGACGTTTTCGAGCCCCTACAGAAAGCATTTCAAGATCACCCCGTCGAGATCGAGCATATCATACTTTTGACACTTGAGAGTGGACGCAAAGATATGTTTCCTGTGCAGCAGGGAACTCCGCTATTTGAGGGTCTGCTCGCCTCACATAAAAAGGCGAACTACGACGAGGCGATCGACCGGCTGGTGGGCGCGACTCCCGTGGCGCAGATGCTGACGGGCGAGTACGCTACGGATAGCAAGGGCAAGCTTGTCGATCTGAGCAATGCCACTTGGCAAGATTCTGCAGCAGAAGGCATGGGTGGGCTCAACGTTCGGGGCGCCGTGACCGGCAGCTCCTTGACCTTCAAGAGCTTTCTCAATAGCCACTGTGGTGTGAATCCGTTGCCTGTGGATCTGTTGGAAGAGTCTTTGCTTGAGATCTACCAGCCATGTCTGCCGCAGATCTTGGAATTGTTCAATGAACTCAAGAATCGGGGCAACAAGACCTTGATGAAGTCCGAGCCGTTCAGCAATCCCTGGAAGTCGGTGTTCCTGCAGTCCATCACCGATGACTATGACCGCCAAGATATCCTGAATGATCACATTGGATTCAAGCACAAGGTTGTCAAGAAAACGCTGGAGGCAAAGAATGCGAAACACAAGCCCGATGGCGAGGAGATCAACTATTTTGGCTATGCCGAAACCGAACTGCGGCCGTATATCCAAGATTTGATAGACGAGGCTGTCCACAACAACACGCGCCTGTTTCTCTCTCACGTCACCAGCACAACACACCACCCGTGGAGCACACCGGAAAACTTCACTAAAGAGCCCTACGTGGCGGATCAGGGCAACATAAACCATGATCTGATGAACAACTACCTAAATGCGGCGCGCTTCGTCGATAACTGGATTGGTGACATTTTGGGCATGCTTGATGAGTCTGGCATCGCGAATCAGACCCTGGTGGTCGTGGTTGGTGATCACGGCCAAGCATTCGGCGAGGACGACCGTGACCACACTGGTACCTACAACAATGGCCATGTCAGCAACTATCGCGTTCCCTTAATATTCCGTCATCCGCAAATGCCCCGAGTCGACATCGCCGCCAACGCAACCGCCCTCAGCATCCTCCCGACCATCCTAGATCTTCTCGTTCAGTCCAAGTCACTCCCTGCAGGTGATGCCGCCATTGCTGCTTCTCTGTTGCCCGAATACCAGGGCCAGTCACTTCTACGACCTTTCCTTTCCTCAATCGAAGAGCCACCCCACCACCACCTAGATACAGGCTATATCCCCGAAAGCACCAACCCGCATTTCGGCGAAGAGGTCAACACCACAATCTCAACATCATCGCACGTGAAACGCTCCTCCGATGAGCGCGGGTCCCATCGCATGGGCCCTTTGAGACGTTCTGCCTGGAACATGGGCATGGTCAACGCGGGTGGCGCTATGATGGTTGTGTCTGCCGCCGACGTCCCCTACCGCCTCATCCTCCCCATGAAGGAAGACTTCGAGTACCGCTTCACCAATGTCGGCGTAGACCCCGGCGAGAAAGACCCCTTATCCTCATGGTCTCTGGATGACTTGGTCGAAGACGTCTATGCCAAGCACGGGGAAGATGCAGCCGCGTGGCTCCAGGACGCCGAGAAAGTCGGTGTCTGGTATATCAACGAGCAGAAACGCATCTGGGGGTGGCGCGATGCCTAGAACCTTGCTTCCAAAAATATTTTCCGAATTTTGTTTCTCTACTGGATTGCATCGCGGGTCATATCTTCGCCTCATGTCTTACATTATTATGATGGTTTTCACGTCGCTCTCATCTCCCTTGAGACTTGCGTTGTCTTCTTTTACTACGTCTTCCTTTTTGCATGGGGTTTCACTGGGTTGCATCTTCGATTTTTGGGGTTCATATGTCACAGTTATTATGTGCATCCGATGGTAATTTGGATTTAAGATGCAAGAGAGACAAAAAGAGAAAAGCTGGGGCGGTTTCTTGAGGAAATGGCCCTCTCATGTTTCTTGTACATATATTTGTGGGACTTGGTTGGTTTCTTGATGCGACAACAGGATCCGACGGGTTGCATTTGCGTCTACACTGACTCTCTACTTAATAAAATGCATCCGTTTGCATGTCTCCTTCGTGGAAACCAATAGCTTCTACTAAGCATTTGATAACTAGAAGGTAGACCATTTTGTATCGATTGCATGTCCCATCCCCTTGAACTAGATCAAGTCAGGATAATGGCATCTAAGCATTCGCAAGACTTGTCCTTTGACTTGAAGTATGGAATCGATGAAGTCCTATCTTACCAATAGAACGTATAAGTTACAGCCACTAGCGAAATAGGCTCCGCCATAGCTCTCAGCAATTATATCGGCGCCCCCACTGCGAAGGAACGGGGAGAAATTTTCTTCAAATCCTATTTTAGTAAATTTAGTACATTGAGTAAAGTAACGATGCATGCACGTATCGTGACTAACTATACACTGGAACAAACGTCGCCCACTGTTCCATGGATGTTAACTTTGCTGCTTGCCGTATTGGACCACGTCCATACACAATGGGTGAGCGGAAAACACGGTTTCGTAATTTAATCTATATGTTTGGTGCAAAGGACGCTGCCAGGATGATGAAGATATAGACCTGCTAAAACCGAATTCTCATGTACTCGCTCCCGTAAGCAAAGATCTGAATCCTTCGAAGGTCACTTTGAGGCCTCAGCCTTCACCTATGTCCACCTCATCGGTAAATCTTAACATCGTCGGGTCTTCGATCAAGAAGAAGCTTCATGAGGTCCTTTCCACATCCCGTATTTGACATAGCCGCCATAACTACCTCGTCAGTGATCTTAACGTCGTCTGGTCTTCGATCAAGGAGAAGCTCCATTATAGCATCACCACGGAAACTATTTGACGCAGCCGCTATAACCACCTCGTCGGTAATCTTGACGTCGTCAGGTCTTCGATCGAGGAGAAGCTTCACCATAGCTTCTCCACAGCCCGTATTTGATACAGCCGCCTTAATCACGTCTTCGTTGATGTTAACGTCGTTGGGTCTTCGGTTAAGAAGAAGTTTCATCGTCTCTTCACCAGAGAACATAGTTGACGCAGCCGCCATAACTACCTCGTCAGTGATCTTAACTTCGTCTGGTCTTCGATCAAAAAGAAGCTTCATCATAGCATCACCACGGAAACTATTTGAGGCAGCCGCTATAACCATTTCGTTGGTGATCTTAACGTCGCTAGGTCTCCGATCAAGAAGAAGTTTCATCGTGGCTTCTCTGTTTTTTGCAGTCGTTATAACCACCTCGTCGGTGATCTTAATGTCGTCGGGTCTTCGATCAAGGAGAAGCTTCATTATGTCCTCTCCACATTTCGCAGCCGCTATGACCACCCTATTAGTGATTTTGATGCTATTAAGTCTCCAATCAAGAAGAAGCTCCATTATAGCATCACCACGGAAACTATTTGACGCAGCCGCCATAATCACCTCATCGGTGATTTTAACGTCGTTAGGTCTTCGATCAAGAAGAAGCTTTGTCATAGCATCACCACAGAACGTATTTGACACAGCTGTTATAACCACCTCGTTGGTGATTTTAACGTCGCTGGGTCTTCGATCAAGAAGAAGTTTCATCGTGGCTTCTCCATATTTGGCAGTCGTTATAACCACCTCGTCGGTGATCTTGACGTCGTCAGGTCTCCGATCAAGGAGAAGCTTCATCGTGTCCTCTCTATATCTCACGGCCGCTATGACCACCTCGTTAGCGATTTTAACGTCGTCGGGTCTTTGATCAAGAAGAAGCTTCATAATGCCCTTTCCAGATCTCCTATTTGATACAGCCGCCATGACGACCCCGTCGGTGATCTTGACGTCGTCGGGTCTTCGATTAAGAAGAAGCTTCATAACGTCCTTTCCAAAAATCGGATTTGATACAGCCGCCATGACGACCCCGTGGGTGATCTTGACGTCGTTGGGTCTTTGATCAAAAAGAAGCTTTATCATAGCTACTCCACAGCCCGTATTTGATACAGCCGCCTTAATCACGTCTTCGTTGATCTTAACGTCGTTGGGTCTTCGATTAAGAAGAAGCTTTATCATAGCATCACCACAGAACGTATCTGACACAGCTGTATTAACCACCTCGTCAGTGATCTTAACTTCGTCTGGTCTTCGATCAAGGAGAAGCTCCATTATAGCATCACCACGGAAACTATTTGACGCAGCCGCTATAACCACCTCGTTGGTGATCTTAACGTCTTCGGGTCTTCGATCAAGAAGAAGCTTTATCATAGCATCACCACAGAACGTATTTGACACAGCTGTTATAACCACCTCGTTAGTGATTTCAACTTCGGCGGGTCTTCGATCAAGAAGAAGCTTTATCATGTCCGCTCCACATCTCGAATTTGATGCAGCCGCCTTGATCACGTCTTCATTGATCTCCAAATTAGATTCGCGGAGGAGCAGCTCTAGAACCCGTAACAATCCCCAAGTTGCCGCCCAGAAGAAAGATGACTGATTTTGACTTATGCTCTGCCTCCAAAAGATATTATGTGAATAATATCGAACCCACAGCGAATTTGACCCATCCCTTACATCACACAGTTTGGCGGCCCTGTTAACCCATTGCCATTCTATCGTATCGGCCTGCTGCAAGTGATAGATCCAATGGTTTGCAGAATAGCGCAGAAACGCCTCCTCCGGTACCAAGTCCAGAGTTATTTCTTGATAGTCTCGTTGGAAATCCTTGAAATGGAGATACACAAGACATAGCTTAGAAAGGGCCAGGTGGGCATTCTGCAGATCAATAGAATATCTCCATCCTTTTGTTGCGGCTCTTTCATTCCACTTCCGGAGTAAAAACTCCCTCGCCGTCTGGTGTATGAGATAAATGCGCGAGTCAATTATACTGACGAACAAGCTGCATGTGTCGAGTATCCACTGTTCTCTATTGGCGCCTTCGAGATCCAAATCGTCGCATGACCTTGAGTCAGGATCGGTTTTAATCTCCAAGACGACATCAATCTCGGAAAGTGTCAAAGGCCGCTGTGCGGCAACAATTATCTCCAGAAGCCGTTTTGCATCATGTCTGGTACCTTTGTTGCACCTTTCTAGGATCTTCTCGTAAGCATCCTCGACAGTTTCGGGTAGTTCATTGATCTTTCGAAGCAACTTTTTCTCAGTCCCACCATGATACCTCTGAATCTCATCCAACACAAGATGCAGCCAGAGATAAGTTGTGCTAGGAACTTCAGACAAGCGGCGTTTCAAAGCTATGCCAATATCGTTAGTGAGACGCCTCGCCTTCACAATTTTGTCGACTGTTGCATCCATCACCATGCGTATCTCGTGGCTGATAATTTTTGATTCATCATCTGCTGCTAGCTGAGTGGTTGGATGCTCGTAGATCATATTGCCAAATCCGCGCTTAATGTCTCCATACGGGCGGCTCGTAATGAGGAATTTCAATTTTGATCTTCCGTCCACTTTTTCTCGATAGGTCGTGTAGAATCTTTCTAGCTCCTGAATAAGCCTGTTGCGGTCCGGCTGGCGACATTCATCGAGTGCGTCGAGAATGCAGATCACGTCTCCGGTAGAAGGATCGTAGGCAGCAGATATCCAGACCTGCCATAAGGTTTCGAAATCAACTTTTAAATTATCCCCATGTTGTATGATTTGTTTTAAGGCGTATTTCTGGAAGAGGCCTTCCTTAGCGCAGAATAGCTGATGGAGGATCGCGCAGATTGCCGTGGCTGTGGCGTTTTGCTCCTCGTTGTCCTTGAAGAAGAAATAACAGATTGTAGCTGACTTAGATCCAACCAGTTCATCGTCAATCAAAGCCTTCGAGAGCACTGACTTTCCACATCCGGGTCTCCCAGAGAGCCATAAGAGGTCGTGATGGTCGCTGTTTCTCCATCCCTGGAACCTGTGATGATCTAGAAACCATTGGCACGTGTTCTGGACGCGCGCCGGGTTGAAGTCTTTGTGCGCTTTGTAAGTTGAAGTCTTGAAAAAGCCAGGCCCAATGTCTTAGTTTAACAAAATGTTAGCTCTGATACTCACTTAGAAGAATTTAACTTGATCGAAGGATAATCTCGGAAGTTTATCCCAAGACAGCTGCTAGATTTATAACAGAAAGCGTTGGACTCACCGTTCGAAGTGGATATTACACTTTGACTAACAAAAGATTAATACCATGTTCCCGTAAGCTTCCCGCGTGTGGCATCTTACTGTTGAATATATTGATTCCCACCCGCTTGGTTCATAACAGGACCATTGTTGTACAAAGAAACTTCGCTCGGCATCTTAGCCAATTTTATACTCAACCGTGAGATTATTTCCAATCGGCAGAGGCTGAGCAGGGAGAAGAGGGGTAACAATTCACCTTCTCACGTGCATGCACTTGATTGGTTCATAAAATGCTAACGGATAGCCTTTCGCAGCAGAAGCTCACTTACCTCACTATTAGGCTTATGTCTTAACAAGGCTCCCTTTTCAAATTTCTGCGCAACCAATTTTATCACAAAATGTCGCGCTACGGTTTATCGATATGGAGTTCTCCCGATCAGGCTGAATCTGAGTATATTTTCCCTTATCCGCCGGTTCTTCTCCGCTGGCCCGCCCCCGTGCCTAAGACACTCTTTAACCTATCGTCAGCATCGTTTTTGTTCACGGTTTACGCGGTCATCGCGAGCAGACGTGGACTAAGGACGGTGTTCTATGGCCAAGAGATCTCCTTGCCCCCGACCTTAAAAAATGTAGGATTATGAGCTTTGGATATGACTCGGCTATTGTCCACTCAGATACCGCCGAGGTCACCCAAGGAAGCCTTGCAACTGTCGCTCGTAGCCTCTGTAGCTCGCTCAGTACAGAGCGATCTGCGCCAGAGATAGTGAGCAGCCGCCCTGACCCTTAACGGCTGATTGAACACGCTCACCCTCGAAACAGGCTGGGCGACCCATTCTGCTTGTGGCTCACAGTCTCGGTGGACTTGTTTGCGCTACTGCAGTTGTGCTCGGCGACCGAAACGCCGCAGGAGACAATGTCGAGGTCATTGCACAATGTATCAAAGGCATTATATTCCTGGGGACACCCTTTGGGGGCTCAAACCTAGCGAAGTGGGCTGAACTTGTGCGTCGAATATTCGATACGATGAAGAAAACGGATCAAACGACACTCAAGTCTCTTCATCAAAACTCGCATGAATTGAAAGATCTAGGGAGCGCTTTTTCTGATGTAGTAAGAAAACGCAACAACGGGCAGAACAAAATCAAAATTGTGTTTTTCTACGAGGAGCTTGATACCTACGGGCAAAGAGTATAATACCTTCCTAGTGAAAAGATTAAGATCCTATACTTATTGATGAACACTAGGTTGTTGAGGAAAAGTCGGCGTCCTATCCCGGTCTTGGAGAGACACTACCGCTTCGCTCTAACCACCTGAACATGTGCAAATTCGCATCTAAGGATGAGAACGAGTACAAGATTGTGCGTGCGAAGATCCTTGAGCTAGTTTCTGATAAGAACAAAAATACCGTAGCTGTGGTAAGTGACGGTCTTTGCTTTTCAGACTAATGGCTAAGGCTAGCAGAAGCCCTTCAGCACTACGTTCAACAATTACGACCAGGTGATCAATCAGTCCGGAGGAGATATGAATATTGGACAGCAGAGTTTCCAATTCTAATGATTAGGCGTGGGTGAATAGTCTCATAAATGTCCACATGTTAGGAGGTCGTGGATTAGTCATAAAATATATAGCCGCAATAGTGGTTTTTCTTTTCTTCTTCTTTTTCTTTTTGCGTCAGTACGGAAGACATAGTTTGAGAGCCAACATACTTGATTCTGTTTATCATTTGCGTAGTGACCATACAGCGATAATAGCACGAGCTCAATTTATAGACATCTGGCTCCTCATTTGTGAGATCCAAGCTTATTGAGCCCGAGCATCCTGAGCTACCGCTTCCCAAGCGAGGGCACCTGAAGTGCCATTATCGAATCTCTTTCATTCCACGCCTCAGGGATGGCGGCCATAATAGATCGCTACGTGCGGGCGTGGGAAAACCATCGAATATACTGAGTACATAGCATGTCTTTCACTCCACTACTTATACCGAGCATTCTCCTTCCAAGCGGGAGAAATCATGCCCTTTGACTCCATAGTCATCGTCTGTAATGACTTGAGCATTCCATAAATCGTTGAAAGCACAGGTGTTGGTACACCCAGCTTCTGGGCTTCCCGTACTGGTTCCCCGACGATGTTCTCGTACTCAATAAAATTTCCCTGTTGAAAGAATTGAGTGATGTCATATTGACAAAATTTGGGCCACATACCTTCTCAATATCCTGACACATACTCGGCTTCCAATACACGCCGTCCGGATCCACAGCTATCAACACCTCGCAGATATCCTCCGGCAGAACCACGCCAGCTGCCCTAGCAGTAGCTTTAATTTCTAGCATCGCAGGCCGAATGAGACTATCGATAGCGTGCTCGTACATGCGCATTCGAAGGGTGTCCCAGCGCAGGATGGTACACACGGAATTGTACGACGCATTGTAGATCAGCTTTCTCCACCGCGTGAAAGGCACGTCCTCATCAAATGTGCAGTCAACTTTACCACACGCATTGTAAATCTTGACGAAATGTTTTGCCGCCGCGACTGCGGTCTCGCGCTTGACACCGGGAGACTCGTACGGCCCAATTTTCAGGGAGTCACTGTCATCGTGTGCGATGTGGCCTTTAGGGTTCTCCGTCGCCCCGATGAATGAGACTCCAGAGAGAACCACATTGTTGGGGAACTTGGCAATCACCGGTTTCTCAATGTTAAGTCCGTTCTGCATCAGCACAATCGCTGTGTGGCCCGGTGTCACAGCGGGCTCGATGATCTCCTCCACGGTCGGTTTCACGTCTGCGATATTCTTGGTCGTGACAACGATGAAGTGGTACTTCAAGCTCGGGTCTGTACTGACATTGGGAACTTTTTTGAGTACTAGAATCTGCTGCATTAGTGGAGCCTACCAGATTAAATTTTAAGATACACACTCTGTGACGGCTTGAAGCCCTTGATGCCCATGCCGTGCTCAATAGAGTCGATCGAGAAGCCCTTCTCCATGACAGTCTCATAGTTTGATCTGAGCACCGCACTCACGGCCGCCAGGCCGCCAGTCTCAAGCGCATACGCCCCCATCGTGCCAACACCACCACTCCCGACAAGAAGAACGTTTGCCTTAGTCGCCATGATGATGCATCGAATTCAGTTTCTTCCTTTGTTTACGCAATAGAAAGCACGGCAATCATATGGAATTCGGTTTTCCGCTGGTGTGATATGATATGTGCGGGGACAAATCAACCCCTCAACGGCACCGTTTTCCCGATATTGCAAGTGTCGGCATAACCTGCCCGACTTTGATGGCTTATCGCGATTTCCCTCTAAGGTTCACCAACATAAAGTCTTGGACCCGCTTCGGCTATAGCCCCGAGATACGAGGGTCCGGATCTCTTCTTCTGCGACACATACTATAGAGAGGTCCTATTCTCCGTGTCGCTCGTGGATGGAGATGTCCTAAACAGATGGCCTCGATCGATAGGAAATATGAAATGATGAAGACTACAGATATCAGATGGGTGTTGTTACTATAGATAGAAACTAAAGGCAAGAGCTGGAAAATAAGATATCCAGCACGATAATAAGTTCTAATTTGATGAATATAGTTAATTGAGAGGTTGTAGATCGCAGCTTAGAAATCCATGACATGATAATATTAGAAGTTCCTGAGAGGTGGCAATTGATGGCAACTCCTACCCTATTCAAGATCTTGGTGGTGTGGACCTTGTGGGCCAAGCATTGTGGACTAAGGAGACAGTGACCTGGTCATCCTCAAAACATGCTTTTGGTTGCACACGCACTGGAAGAGACTTCTAATTTGAGGCAAATTGCGGAACCACGCCCACGGAGTTCAAGTGAATGATCATGGAGTTTCACGGCTTGAGAATTGAGAAAATTGTAAGAGCATCGCTCTTCGAAACATCAAATATGGAGCGTCTAATCCGATTATTCAGACAAAACATTCAAGTTCACCCGTCAGCCTCTGCGCATCGAAGCCGTAACGAATGGTATCAGCCTCGCTCACAACGCGCACAAGTACCTGAAGAGCGTCGAGCTGTAAATATACGAGAAAAATTTCGGCTTCGGAAGCACTTGGCATGAAAACAAGTCTCCGGGGTGTGTCTGCGATATTCCCAGCCACAGTTATAAGAACAATTGGCTACCAAGCCCACGCTGGCCAGAGTTCTATGGAGTTGAAGTACTTATCTGAGCCACGGGCTTCGACGTCTCAATTCACCCCACGCTTTCCCAAAATCAGCCACCACGGCATCTCACTCTCCGACGCCTGAAAAGAGCGAGCAACAGCCTATCTCACAATGGCAGCAGTCCCTAAGCCAGCCACTTCATGCTCCTAGGCCCCAGCGTGCCCGTCGGGCACGGCAGCATAATCACAGTCATCGAGCAGATTCTCCCGGCACGTGGTACAGATGATCTACAAGGCGCAGACGGAAAACCCCCAAACCTTCCGGCTGTCCACGGCGGCTATTGTCGAGTTCGTGGCGCATAGCGACGAACTGTTCTAGCGCACGGTGGGCGGATAAGTACCGTAGCTGGTATAAGAGTGGCTTTGCAGATGGGCCTGTTACAGCGCTGTTGCCTGGCTCGTGGGTTCATTGTTTTCAAGCGATAAACAAATCCGCGCTACGAGGATTGGGCGCGACAATATCTTAACCCGGTGAATCGCTAGGGGTGTCTGGGGGGAACGGTTTTCGTGTTAGGCAGGAGAAGTGGGGAATTATGTTGGTATATGGAAGTGCCAGAGGCTGGATATGATCGGATTCAGTATTAAACCGACCGTCAATTAAGAGCGTGGTTTTGTTTCATGGCATCTGTTCTGATTCTGATCTAACACAACTACTAAACCTCCCCTAAGCACTCGGGAGAAACTCAATTAGCCTTCTCACAATATGTCTCCACAATCCTTTGCCGAAGCAAAAGGCGTAGAGTGGTCCATGCGACTACTCCTCGGGAGCGATCCCCCGACATTTCTGCCGAGAGTCCGTCTGAGCGGGAAACTGCATGGTCAGCAGCGGAAAAAGAAAACGCCACATGCAGCCAGGGGCCAGCCTCGAAATCAGGGGCAAGAGGGGTCAGGACACGGGCCCATGCTAAAACATGCACGAGCAGTTCGAGCAGTGGTCCAGGCTTGGTCTGTTCTGTCGTGTCGATAAGCCGATCAAAAAATCTGCCGGGTCACGCTGGCAGCCCGGCCCCACGTCTAGACGGGTCTGGGCCCGTTCATCAACTCTAGTACTCACTACTCACGGTGTCCTGTAGGATGCGGGGATATCCTTCCGGGTGCAGGTATGAGCCGCGCGACCGAGATACAGGGCAAGGAACAGGAATAGCACCATCGGCAGAGATTCCTCAAATGAGAGCGCGAGACTGCTGATATCGGCTATGCGGCAGGAAGTCGAAAAGAAGAATCCAGAAAAAATGGAGGCGCAGTTTATTGCGGATTAAGTGTTCACGAGGCCGGGGAGTGGATCTCGCGGGATCGCCAGAACGGGCAAGGAGCTTGGGCGGGTCTGGCAGGACTAAAATTAGGCCTCCCCGGTCCATATGGACTGTGAGGGATGGGTTGATGGGTGTTTTCGATGACGGCTCATGGTCTTCTTTTCTGTCGCCTACAAAATCATGCAAACCCGTCGTCGTCGTCGTCGTCGTCGTCGTCGTCGTGCCTTGGACACTCACGACGAGGGCGGTCTGGTCCACCTGACCCCAGGTCACCTGCCAAACGGTGGGGCAGATCGGCTTGCCTCAAACAGTAATCCGATCGTCGCTCGTTCCCTGCCGATCTTCAACAAGATTTTCTTTCTGGCGTGCTAGAACCTGCTCGGAGTATCGCCGACGACAACAGGGCATACGATGGGCTTGCGAGCCGGTTTGCCGCCGTGCACATTGTACACAATGCCTTGTCGCCACGCCTGGCAGCTACCCGCCTTCCCCGGGCCTGGACCACTACCATAGCCTGGGGTTGTGCTCCATCCGGGCGCGGTGCCAGGTTCTGTCTGTTCACGAGACCGGTCGAAACGTGGGCCGGTGTAGCCGAATGGGACTGGCCAAACATCCCCAGAAACAGTATTTAATGGTCCGCGATGACCATGGTTGACGGACTGCCATTGACATTTCCATTTTACCTGCCTCATTAATATTTCATCCTAATCACCCTCCTCCTCTGATTCTCTGATCACCCTTAAATCCATTAATATCTTCTTTCACACATCACACAATGTCTGTTTCCATTGAAACCACTACCGTCCCCACCGCCCCTGTGGCCGCTCAGCAGCCCGTCCTCCTGGGCCAGCAGGCTCGCATGCCCGAGTTCAGTCTCGCCGGCAAGGTAGTCTGTGTCTCTGGCGCCGGCCGAGGTCTGGGTCTGACCCAGACGGAGGCTCTCTTGGAAGCTGGAGCGAAGGTGTACGCATTGGACCGACTGGAGGAGCCGGTATGTTTTCCCAGCTGACTTTCTGGTGACATGCCCACTCACAAACTGAATGCAGGCCCCCGAGTTCGCTCAGATCCAGCAACGCGCCAAGGAGCTGGGCACGGAGCTGCACTACCGCCGCATCGACGTGCGTGACACAGAGCTGCTCAACAGTGTTATCGAGGCCATCGGCAATGCCGAGGGCCGCATGGATGGCCTGGTCGCTGCTGCGGGCATCCAGCAGGAGACCCCCGCGCTGGAGTATTCGGCCAAGGACTCCAACACCATGTTCGAGGTCAATGTGACCGGCGTGTTCATGACCGCGCAGGCTGTGGCGAAGCAGATGATTCGGTTTGGGAATGGGGGCAGCATCGCTATGATTGCTAGTATGAGCGGCACCATCGCCAATCGGGTACGTTTCCACCACCCCTCTTTTCCGCGTCCCAACGTTTTCTTTTTTCTTGGGGTTTTCTCTTGCGTCGTGCGGTGACTGTTTCCCCGCATTTTCGCCTTGATTACCCGGGATCCCCTTGTCAGCCCCTACACGGATGGCTTTGTCCGGCAGGGTCTGGTCCCGGGACTGCGTTCCTTTTGCCCCGCCTTTTTACCCTTTCGCGTTTCACCCACTTGGTCCTCCGTAACTTGATACTAATTTCGGTCTATAGGGTCTGATCTGTCCCGCTTACAACGCCAGCAAAGCCGCTGTCATCCAACTAGGCCGCAACCTCGCCGCCGAGTGGGGCCAGTACAACATCCGCGTCAACACCATCTCCCCGGGCTACATCGTCACCGCCATGGTGGAGAAGCTGTTCGTCGAGTTCCCAGAGCGCCGCGACCAGTGGCCCAAGGAGAATATGCTCGGCCGTCTGTCGCGTCCGGAGGAATACCGCGGCGCCGCGGTCTTCCTGCTCAGCGACGCGAGCAGCTTTATGACTGGGAGTGACCTGCGCATGGATGGTGGGCATGCCGCTTGGTAAATCATAATAATATCTTGCGGTGTGGTATACTATACTTCTGTGCTTCTCTCTCATTGCATGGTGTTATGACTGGGTTTTCGGACAGCGATTTTCTTTCTTTCGGGTTTTTAGCTTGTTTTGTCTGGATTCGATCTGATTTGATTTCATGATCAGCGAGCGCGTTATGGAAAAATGTGGATTAGACTCTTGGGTTTTGGTCTGTATTACGACCAGAACGATCTCGAATTAATTAATGCTATACAAATCATAATACATCCTCATCCTCATCTACGTGATCTGGTCCCACTCGCGCCCACTTTTGACAGATCGGCTCCACAGCTGATCCTTCCATCCCCGGATTCACTACTCTAACTGGATGTATTTTCAAACACACCACACCACAGCCTCTCCGTGATTTCACCATAGCGTCCAATTCCACCATCATCTCACATTAACCCCCACGTTCCTAGGATCCTTAACCCACATGACCAGCGTGCCAATGCGCTGATCGTCGGATAATATCCACGGATATCAGCCGGGAAACAGACTACTGGGGCTGGGGGGAGGCGGAGGGGATTAGGGCTGCCGATCAGGTTTTCTTGGTCGTGCTGCGCGCCCGTTGATCAAGGTGGTTTTTCTTAAAAAAAAAAAAAAACAAATTATCGGGGGCTGGGCAGTTGGCTAGCTAATCAGTGCGGATTCTACAACAGACGACGCATGGTTACATACTTATAGTTCGGAAAAAAAGGGGGGAATCAGTCCCAAGTCGTACGGCAGTTTCCATCCATGTCTATGTCGAGTTCCCGAGTACGTACTCTTCTGTACGTGCTCTGCTGTACAGAAGAGTAGACGCTGTGATGTCAGTGGGACTGGGCTGGCTTGTGCAAGCATGGGAGATAAATGAAGTCATAACCCTACACTGTACAAAGTGAGTGCCCAGAATGGCGAGCTCCAACGGTTCAGACTGCCCAGTCTGTATACCGGACTGGGCAGGAGACTCGCGTAGGGGCCCGTGCCACGCCCGTAACCTAATAACGAAGTGCTCGTGCTCCGCGTCGAGTCTCTCGGCCAGAGATCAGTGGTTCTCCATCCTGGCTGACGGTAGTACATGTACGGTGTCCTGTGTGTGGTGACAGCAGTTGTGTCCTGTAACAGGGTAGATGAGGTGGTTTACATCATTTCAGTGCAAGAAACCTGTGTCTTGTTCTCGGGAGTCCTATTTCAGCAACTCTGGAACGGACCAGCCGTCCCAGCGGTCGGGATTGGCTGCCGCTATCTGTATGATGTATAATACAAACACAACAATCTTGAAAGAGAAAACAAGAATATGGAGATAATCATTTGGGATTTCGCCGCCAGCTGAGGGTGGGATGTACCCCCGGGAGGTGGCACTAAGGGCAGGGAATCTGACTTGATTCTACTGGTGGCAACGCGACCGTGGCACTTTGTTGGTTGGCGAAGGACGTTTCCCTGATAAGAGCGGCCCCGCGCTTGGTCTGGGACTTGGCACCATCGAGCGCACATCTTGGCCCTGTCTAGACGGCTAAATGCGTCTATCCCCGGCGAGTATGGGTGTATCAAAGCGCTGAAGTTAGTTGGTGGAAGGTTCTTGGCGATCAGGAGGTAGAGTTCTCGGGAGCCACGCGGCAAATAAAGTAATAAGGTAGGTAATAAGGTACCGAGGCATGCAGATACCCATCTGGCCCCTTTTATTGTTGTTTTGTTCGTTGTGAGTTGTTCCTGCTCAATCACCGATCATCATTATCCATGCCATAGCCATATCCGCGTCTCTTGACGCTTGTCCCTCTAGCTCAGTCCTGGTTAGTTAAGGCTTGGTGCTAGCGGCCAGTCCGCACGCTTAGTGCTGAAGCTTCGTTACATGGCGCGCGCCCCCCGTTCCAGCCGGCATGCTCATTCGTCGCGGTCAACCTTATCTTCGGGCTAGCACACCGTTTGGGTTAGCGCAGTAGAATCCGCGGTAGTTAACTATGTATCAAGTAACGATGGTGTGCTATGGTGCGTGTAGTAGCCATGTAGTACTCAATCGGTCCGTCCTTAATCGTGTGTGCTTTCTGCTTCCCTCCCCTTCTTCTCCTTCTTCTTCCTCCTCTGCTTTTCTTCTCTTCCGTCACCCATCCACTTGCTTTCTCTCCTCCATCTCCTCTCTCCAACATGGCGTCTCCTGTCGTGGACGAGATTCACGACTCTGACAATCCCACCACCACCGTCGTGGCCGATGGTCCCAAGGACGAGAACAAGCCCGAGAAGAGTCTCATCTCGGCCTCGTACCACCTGGGCATTGGCGACGAGGATCCCACCGCCGAAGAGCTTCACGGTCCCAACGCTCTCCGACGTGTCTCCGCGCCCATCCCCTGGGCCGTCTACACGGTCGCCTTTGTCGAGCTGTGCGAACGCTTTTCCTACTATGGAACCCAGGTTTTGTGTATGATTGATGAACATCTTCCACTCGATCTGTCACTGACCTGAATCTCCAGACTCCAACTTTGTGAACCACTCCCTGCCGCTGCCCGCTCCCAACGGTCCCCCAGGTTCCATCCACGACTCTGGAGCTGGTGGTGGAACACCCCAGGGTGTTTCGGGTGCGCTGGGCAAGGGCGTCCAAACCGCCAATGGAATCAACACCTTCAACACCTTCTGGTGCTACTGCGTTCCTCTGCTCAGTGCCTACATTGCCGATGAGTACTGGGGTCGGTATAAGACTATCTGCTGGTCTATCTTTGCGGCCATCATTGGCCACATCATTCTGGTTGTGTCGGCCATCCCGCCCGTCATCGTGAATACACCGGCCTGTTTCGGTGTATTCATGCTCGGTGTGATCATTATGGGTCTCGGTACGGGTGGTTTCAAGCCCAACATCTCGGCACTGGTCGTGGAACAAATTCCCGCCGTCAACCTCAAGGTGCGCACGCTGCCCTCCGGAGAGCGTGTCATTGTCGACCCTACCATCACCCAGAGCCGCATCTACCACTACTTCTACCTGTTCATCAACGTCGGTGCCCTGGTGGGACAGATTGGCATGGCCTACGCCGAGAAGTATGTCGGTTTCTGGCTGGCCTACCTGCTGCCAACGCTCATGTTCTGCACTACTCCGTTCGTCATGTGGTGGGGACGCAAGCGCTATCGCCAGACTCCTCCGACGGGATCAGTGGTGTCCAAGGCCGTTCAGGCACTCTTGTTCGCCTTGCGTGGCCGCTGGCACTGGAACCCCGTCACCATGTGGAAGCGCACTCACGATGGCACGCTGTGGGAGTCGGTCAAGCCGTCCAACATTGAGCCCGGTCTGCGACCCAAGTGGATGACCTTTGACGATGCCTGGGTGGACGAGGTGCGCCGTGGATTCGCTGCATGCGCCGTCTTTTGCTGGTACCCGCTATACTGGCTGGCATACGGCCAGCTGACAAACAACTTCACGGCTCAGGCCAGTACCATGGTGCTACACGGAGTTCCCAACGATGTGGTCAACAACCTGGATCCCTTGGCCCTGATCATCTTCATCCCCATCTGTGACTCTTTCCTCTACCCGGGTCTGCGCAAGATGGGATTCCGATTCACGGCCATCAAGAAGATCACCATGGGCTTCTGGCTGGCGGCCTTGGCCATGGTCTGGGCGGCCGTGGTGCAGTACTACATCTACAAGACCTCGCCCTGTGGCCACGATGCAAACAACTGCTTCACGAAGGACGGCCAGGTGAACCCGGCCCCGATCAACGTGTGGGCGCAGACAGGTTGCTACGTGCTGATCGCCTTCTCGGAGATCTTCGCCTCGATCACCTCACTCGAGTACGCCTACTCCAAGGCTCCGCGCAATATGCGATCCCTAATCCAGGCCATTGCCCTGTTCACCAACGCCATCTCGGCCGCCATCGCCGAGGCGCTGAACCCGCTGGCCGCGGACCCGCTGCTGGTCTGGAACTACGGCGTTTTTGCAGTGCTGTCCTTTGTCGGTGGCGTCTTCTTCATCTTCCAGTTCTGGGGACTGGACAAGGAGGAGGACGAGCTCAACAACCTGCCCGAGGGCCGCGCTTATGCCGACGAAAAGGGCGTCGAAGGTGTGCTGGTGGCTAGCGAGATTGGTCCCGTCAAGGGCTAGCCAAATGGGTGGAGGTCTTGCGATGAAATCCACGTTGACATATGTTTACGGGTGGTGCATTCGGTATCTTTTCTAGTCCATAGGAATGAATTATGACCACACTTGTCCTTTTCTTCAAGTAAATTGTAACTAGGGTCCCACCGTTCGTCGATCTCGGCTTGCCGTGCTTATTATTGTCTCATCCGTAATAGGATGATTCCCGCCCCAAGTGGGTTCGGCCCTTCCATCTGCAGAAACTCAGCCACGCGGCTGTCGGCACGCCAACGGAGTGAATAAAAAGGCCGTCAGCATTTCAGCCCTCGGTGCAATAATCATAGCTATAGGATTTCACAAAATAATAATGCAGGTGCCTGCTTCGCGACGTTCTAAGCCCCCCAAGTACGAGCGCACAGGTAAGAATCAGGGTCAAGTGGATCAGCCCGGCTGCACCGGCTCGTGTTGCGGCTGAGGCACGCTGGTGTTGCAGGGTTACACGGCAGACAGGAACACTGGAGAAATGGACGTAAAGATGGGGGAGTAGTAATCAAGTCAGGTTGGACAACCCACTAAATGCTAACTACATCCGGGTGCCTCCACTCCAAATAAACAAATACAAAACACCACAGACTATACGAGCGTACGGCAGTCATCTAGAACGCTCCTAGTCTCGAAGGCACGGAGATTAGAGCCCTCTCGTCCGTTCCGACGCCCTTCATCGCCTTGCGTAGCTTGTTTGCTTCACGCTGGAAATCGCCGTGCGCCTTAACTTGCGGATCATAGGTGATGGCACCTGGGCTTAAGGCGGGTATGCGCCTGCAGGCGGCGGGGCGCCCTGTGGGCCTAGGGCTGGGCGGCCCGGAGCATCGCCAGGCAGAAGGGCATAGCCGTGCGGTGGTTGGCCATAGGGAGGCTGCGGCGAGGGCGTGTGCTGGTGGCTGGGGCGAGCTAGCCCGTCTCGGACCTGCAATGATGTCAGGCGAACCCCAGATTCCGGCGGTCCCGATGCATGTTCTCTCGGGCTACCCCTGGAGCCGGCAGGACTTAAAGCCGGACCTGCGTCCCGGCTTGTCTTGGTTTGTTCTATTGACGGGCTCATCATTATTATTCCCAAGGCCATGAGAACAGCTGCGTGGTTCTCAACAGCGCTGCTGTCCGGTATGTTCGGTTCGGCTTTGACTTGAGTCGCGATTATTCTTCTTGCTGCCTTCCCTTGTCTCCCTTTCTTTTTTTACCCCTTCCGTCGTTGTGCTGTGCTGTATGCTCACCGCTAATTCTCATACCAGGCGCCCTCGCCGGCCCAACTTTCGACACTGCTCCTGCTGCTGCTATCGCACCGGAAGTCGCGCGCCGCGCCCTCCCTAATGCCCCCGATGGATACGCCCCGACGTCTGTCAGCTGTCCCGCCAGCCGACCGACAGTGCGCAGCGCTGCCGAGCTATCAGCGAATGAAACATCATGGCTAGAAACGCGGCGCGGAAAGTCACTCTCTGCGATGAAGGATTTCTTCGGCCACGTCAAGGTCGGCAGCTTCGATGTCGCGTCGTACCTCGATAAGATCGCCAGCAACTCGTCCAATCTGCCGAATATCGGCATTGCCGTGTCCGGCGGCGGATATCGCGCTCTGCTGAATGGGGCCGGTGCTATCAAGGCGTTTGATAGTCGTACTGAGAATGCAACAGCATCCGGCCATCTGGGTGGACTGCTGCAGTCTGCCACGTATGTGTCTGGTCTTAGTGGTGGCAGTTGGCTGGTTGGCTCGATATTTATCAATAATTTTACGACGATTTCGGATCTGCAGACTACTCAGGCCGGTGCTGTGTGGCAGTTTGGGAACTCGGTCTTTGAGGGTCCGGATACTGGCGGCGTTCAGCTGTTGGATACCGCGGGCTACTTTGAGGATCTGGCAAATGCGGTGGAGGCGAAGAGGAATAATGGGTATGATACGTCGATCACGGATGTCTGGTATGTAGTGTTATGTGTTTGTCGCAAAGAAAGCGAGGTGCTGACAAGTCTGCAGGGGCCGCGCGCTCTCATATCAGATGTACAATGCCTCTGCCGGAGGCATCAAGTATACCTGGTCATCCATTGGGCTGACCCCAGAATTTCAAAACGCCGAGTATCCCATGCCGCTAGTTGTAGCGGATGGCCGCTACCCCGGCGAGACGGTAGTCGGCGGTAACGCAACCGTCTACGAGTTCAACCCCTGGGAATTCGGCACCTGGGACCCAACGATCTACGGGTTTGTCCCGCTGGAGTTCTTGGGCTCTCGTTTCTCCGGCGGAATCCTCCCAGGCAACGAAACCTGCGTGCGCGGCTACGACAACGCAGGATTCATCATCGGCACCTCGTCGACGCTCTTCAACGCCGCCATGACGAACCTCGACACGGCCAGCCTGCCCAGTTTCGTGAAAAATATCCTCCAAGACGTGTTCCAGAGTGTCGACAAGGCCGACGACGATATCGCCACTTCCGAGCCGAATCCGTTCTTCGGGTATAACAACGCCTCGTCGCCGTCCGCGCAGCAAAGAGAACTGGACGTTATCGACGGCGGTGAAGATCTCCAGAATATTCCACTGCAGCCGCTCATTCAGCCAAACCGCCACGTCGATGTCATCTTTGCGGTCGACTCGTCCGCCGATACGGAGTCCATCTGGCCGAACGGCACCTCGCTCGTGGCCACGTACCAGCGCAGCCTCAACTCCAGCGGCATCGGCAACGGCACTGCCTTCCCCGCCGTGCCGGACCAGAACACTTTCGTGAACCTGGGCCTGAACAGCCGGCCGACTTTCTTCGGATGCAACAGCTCCAATCTCACAGGTCCGGCGCCCTTGGTCGTATACATACCAAACTATCCCTACTCCTCCAACTCCAACACCTCCACCTTCCAGATGTCATACGATGACGCCCAGCGCGACGACATCATCCTAAACGGCTACGAGGTCGCTACTATGGCCAACAGCACCCGCGACGGCAACTGGACTGCCTGCGTTGGTTGCGCTATCCTCAGTCGCTCATTTGAGAGAACTAATACCGCTGTCCCGGATATCTGCTCCCAGTGTTTCCAGCGCTATTGCTGGGACGGCACTGTGAACTCCACTCAGCCCGCACCGTATGAGCCTAGCGCGTTGTTGACGCTGGATAGTGCGGCGGCGACCTTGGTGCCGGCTATGCTGGCCACTGCCGTGGCAGCGGGTGTGGCTCTCTTCACGGTTATGTAAAATGGATATTTTGGGACTGGGACTAGATCTGGATATTATGATCGTGCTATATTCATGTTTCTGGGGGTTTGGTTGGACTGGCTGTACACTCCCGGTTGTGTCTTATTGGCCTGGTAGCTTGTTTACGAGTGTTTCTGGAGTGTGGTTAGTCCGTTGAGCGTTACGATAATGAATCAACGTGTATCGATTTATAGGTTTCTTTGGGGTGATTGCTGGCAAGTCCTTGGTGGCAAGAATAGTTTCATTCGCCCCGATGGTCTGGAAGATATATATTTCTGATGTTTCCAGTGTTCTCCGAGGGTTATTCCCGCATATTCCATCTAGGGTATTGAAGCGAACAAATATTGAAACGCGCTATATTATTTATTATCACGAAAACCATAAAATCCACACCATGACCAACGCTAGTGCTGCAATCAGCTTATAGTTACGGGGGTCATGGACCACTGGTTCGTGTCGTTGCCAGGACAACACGGCTACCGCCAAACACGGACCCGTGGATTGTTTGGAATCCCGGAACCTACTACGTACATATGTCACCATTGACCAGCCTCATCCGAACACTTCATATTGACGGCCATCGCCATTAATACTCAATTACAGCATTATCCATCTGCATTGTGACTACGAGTGCAGCCTCTCAACATGAGCACGGCGTGCTGCTATTAATTGCGAGCTGCGACAACCACAACAACATCAACAAACACCAACCCCCGACCACACTCCGTCCTTGACAACCGCCCACCATGGCGCGCGCCGCTGTCATCCCTCCCTCCCCTGTGAAACGCGCGCCTCGTGTGTCCAAGACAACGACAAAAACTACCGCCAATGCAAAGAAAGGAGCTCCCCGCAGGCCGACGACGGCGACACGCGACATTGTTGACCAGGACTCCAGCGACACGGACGATGAACTCGGGCTGATAACCACAACCACTACCGCCAAACAAGGCAAGGAGGTCAAGCCTGCGAAACCGCGCGGGCGCCCGCCCGGTCGGCCGGCGACCAAAACGGCCGGGCGGCCCAATAAGGTAGTTGCCTCGATGCCTGTGCGAGAGCAGTCGAGCGATGACGATGACGGAGAGGAGGATGAGCTCGCTCCTGTGCAGGAGCTCCCGAAGAAGCGCGGGAGGCCGAGGAAGGCTCCGCTTCCTGTCGAGAGTGCGGCCAAAGCCCAGACAGCGCCGAGGCCCCGTGGACGGCCGCCGAAAAATACTGCCTCTACGGCGACGACGACGACTGGGGCTACGCGGAAGAAGACACGTGCCGCTGCTGAAGCGGATGCGTCTGCTGATGACACGAAGCCTAAGCACATCTTCGTGGCAACCCATTCGACTAACGTGCGCTCGAATCTTTTGCGTGGGCCCGCGAAGAAGAAGACTGTTACTTTTCAGGATGTGTCTGCGTCAGAAGAGTCTGACGATGAGAATCCCTCTGCTCCAACCGCTGGGCGAAAAAGGGGTGTTACCGCTGGTCGTGCTGCGAAGACGGGTCTTGCGGGCACGCCGGCTCGTAAACCTGCTGCCAGGGGTCGACAGCCCGCCACGGTCAAGAAGGGTGCTACTGCTTCCAAGCCATTGACTCCCAAGAAAGCCAAGCAGATGTCCAATTTGATGACGGACTATACGAGTACCGACGGGGAAGAAGATGAGCTGAATGCTGTCAAGGACCCGATCAAGAAAGACATCAAACTTGTCATCCACTCGCCTGTCAAGCATGCCTCAGACAATACGGGATTGATGTCCCCGGTGCGAAGAGTCAACTTTACCCCGAAGAAAGCGTCCAGTTTTATTGACGAGAACGGCGAACCGAAACAACCCACCCCGAAACACGGATCAGAGTCTACTACCGGCCTCAGCTCGCCGGTGCGGAAGATCAACTTCACACCTAATAGAATCCACAACCCCATCCCGGAGAATGGACACCTTGCCCTTCCGCCAGGAAAGTCGATTGACTTCAGTGACTCGATTATGATGTCCAGTCCTGCCCGGCGGCCTCCCGCTTCGCCTTTCCAGTACAGCTTCAAAGATACCCCGAACCGTGGCCGTGCTTTTTCCCGTGATGAAATGGGTCCTCCTCCGACCTTTGATTTTATACCGGCGCGTTCCTCACCCCTCAAGATGTCTCCGCGGAAGGGTCACCTGGGAGCTTCGTTCTCGCAGTCACCGTTCAAGGCTAGCACAACAGCGCCTTCCCTTCCGGCTAAGACGTCATTGTTCCAAAGCCCGGCGAAGAGAGTACCTTCTCCTTTCAAGGGCTCCATGACCTGCTCCGTGTCTCCCGCAAAAACAGCGGCAAAGAGCCTTCCACCTCTGGAGGACGATGTCTTTATTGATAAGTCGGGTACTTCGGAAACCCAGCAGCCTTTTTTGCCTCCTCAATATATACACTCGGATGCTCCTACTTTTGACGAGGACTACCAAATGGTTGAGGAAGTTGCACGCGATATCTTTGGCATCGAGCTTCGCTCGGATAGCAAGTCTTCCTCTTCTCCTGTGCAGAAAGATGTGGTTACAGTTGAAGACGCGCTGGACGATGGATCACTTGGCCATGATGAGAATGACACTGAGAATGCAGAGGATCTGGAGGATCCTATCCCCCAGACAGAGCATGAATTAGGCCATCATGTTCGATATGAGATTGATGAGGCTGAGACACTCTGCTTTGACAATATGGAGCAGGAACAGGGCCTTTCTATGATTGCAGAGGAGGTAGACCTCCCAGAGACAAGCCCTGTCCGTATCTCCAAGAGCCCAGCACCAGCCTCTCGAGAACCGACAAGCGAGGCTGATGCTCAGTCGATTGCCAGTGTACGGTCACCATACCAGCAGACTCTCGACTTCATCACTGATGCTGAGGACTCTCCGAATGTTATTCATCACTCCCGCCAATCTCTTGAGCTGAGTAATGACCAGGATGTTGGGGAGCTGGACAACGACTATTGTATCAACAACTCTGTCCGCTATCCCGATGAAGAGCATGAGGCCTCCAGCGAAATGGACGCACAGGATGGCGACGAAGTCACCCTGGTGGGGTCAGACGCAACATGTACCATGGTCTCTCAGCCTGTTTCGCCATACGAGATTAGTGAGGGCTCCAACTTCACCAGTCCGTTTCAGAGGAGCATCCCCCCTTCGGCCCCGACTCCTCCAGTGGGCGAAGCTACTCCCATGTCCTTTCGCCAATTGGACACACCCGACACAAACAGGAGCGAATCTAACAATACGATTTTGAATTTTGGCTCTAATGCCTACAGAGATGTCGAAGATAGCCCTCTGAACGAGACTACCCAATCTGAATTCCCCACGCCAGCGGCACGCATCTCATCGACTAGACCCAGTATCATTGGACAGCGAAAGTCTCTGGGTGTCGACCTAGGATTCACACCGCTGGCTCAGCAGTTTAACAGCTGGGAATCAGACACCCCTTCGAAAGCCGGACCAGCACGACCTCGTCGCCGTGGAGTGTTCTCGCTCGTTGGTCCTCTGGAAAAGGCCATTACTACTGAGGCGACTCCTCGGAAGTCGGATGATGTACCGCTCTCCACGTTGGCGAATACGCCGTCATTGCTCTCCCAGCTTCCCCTTCAGCCTTTCAGTGATGATAGCTCTATGTCGCCTGAGAAGCCTCGCGAGCAAGTATCTCCTATGAAGGAACATGATATGATAGAGTCGCCATCGCTACAAAATGATATCTTTGAGGATTTGGAGAATCCGGCAATCGAGACTCCTAAGAGTGTACAGATCCCATTTCGAGGTGTGATGCCCGTGAGCGAAAATGACGACGATCAAGAGGATGATGCCCAGTCAGACAATGATAAGGAGAATACCCCTGCTCCCGTTCTTCCACTGGCCACGCCAATGAAGGCTGCCCCCCGCCATATGCAGACCTTCCACACCGTGTGCAAAGTCCCTCTGAAAGGTGAAGGACCAGAATCCCCGTTGAAGCTGCCGCGGAAGAGAGGCCGGTCCCTGGAGGGCGCTTCTCCAATCCGATCTTCGCCACGGTCCCGCAATGCCATATTTCTTCCGCACAATGAAAGTGCATCTACTCTTTCTCCGCCGCACAAATCGGCTCGCGTTGAAAGGAGCGCTAGTCCTCCGAAGCGCCGCATCAGCACTCCCAGGCGGCCGAGTATGCAACGTCCCTCTATGGGCCCCCCTCGGACTTCCTCTGTCACTGGCAGTCCTGGGAAGACACCCAGACGCAGCAGCGTCCGACCATTTTCCATGGAGCCACCTCCAGTACCGTCATCTGTGCCAAGCTCTCCTGAGAAAACCCCGCGTCCAAACTTCGGCGCCAGCAAACCTGTTCTCCGTGGCGCCGTCGTGCATGTCGATGTCCATACCACTGAGGGAGAGGATGCTTCCGGCATCTTCGTAGAACTCCTGCAGCAAATGGGGGCTCGTTGTGTCAAAACCTGGACGTGGAACCCGCGATCCAGTATGTCACCCGTGGATGGAGTCGAGCCCAGCGCTAAGGTGGGAATTACCCACGTTGTCTACAAGGATGGAGGTCTCCGGACGATGGAGAAGGTCAAGCATGCTGCTGGCCTTGTCAAGTGTGTTGGCGTGGGCTGGGTTCTCGAGTAAGTCATCCTATTGGCCAACTATATCCAGATAGACGTTCTGACTCAATTCATATAGCTGTGAGCGAGAGAGCCAGTGGCTGGACGAGACCCCGTATGCTGTTGACAGCACCATCATCCCTCGCGGGGGTGCCAAGCGCCGCAAGAGCATGCAGCCGCGTGCTCTAAGCAATGTGAATGGCACGCTTGTCCGCGTCTCGGAACCCGCAACCCCCTCCGCCAGCGGCCGCCGCTGCGGCGCTGACTGGGGTGCAATGGAAGGATTCCGAAATCTCACGCCTCCGACTCCCCGACAGGGATCACCATCAACTCCCGCTCAGGAATCTTCTGCTGGCGGTGATGATGATGACCACTACCATATCCCCGAAACACCGGGGTACAATTTCGCCAACCTCGACGCCATCGGCATGTCGCCTGCAACACCTTTCTTCCTCTCCAACCGGGCCAAAATCGTTCAGCAGTCCTGCCCACCGAAGCAGAGTAATAAAGGTCTATTCGCTGGATCTAGCAAGCCATCATCGAATATCTTCCAGATTGAGGAAGACGATGAAGAGGCACGACGTCAGAAGCGGTTTCAGATGGAGGCTGCGCGGCGGAAGAGCCTAGCTTTTAAGCCTCAGGTTGGGAGTCCTCTAGGGAGGTAAATCTCTATTCTATCTTTAAATTTCTTTTTTGTTGGTCTACTGTTGTATTCTACTGTTCTTGGACGAAGCCACTCTGTACATATGGGGGCTACTATGTGATTTGGGTTTATTGGACTGGTCAGACTGGATGGATTGGTTGTTACGTTATTCTGTGGATTTTGAAGTCAATTGAAGGCATTAACCAGTCACTGCTTTAACTTTTAAACTAAGCCGCAAAAAAACTCCACGGAAATCCAAATGATCCCTAGTACCCAACTCTTCGCCCAAACAACCAGATCAATATCATTCCTTTGCCTCGCGATAGAACGACGCAACAAGGAACGCCAACTCCAGCGCCTGCTTCTCATTCAACCGCGGATCACAGAAAGTAGTATATCTCTCCATCAGACCATCCTCTGTCAACCCAGCCGCGCCACCCACACACTCCGTGACCGCTTCACCAGTAAGCTCAAGATGCATCCCACCAAGGAACGACCCCGCGGCGCGATGAATCTCAAGTGCCTGCTTCAGCTCCGACAAAATATCCTCAAAATGCCGCGTCTTGACACCCGACGGCGTAGACTGTGTATTGCCATGCATGGGATCGCACTGCCACACAGGGATGTGGCCCGACGCCTGCACGGCGGCGATATGCCCCGGCAGGAACTCTGCGATCTTCGCCGCGCCGTACCGCGAGATGAGCGTGACTTTCCCCACCTCCCTTGCGGGATTGACAACGTTGAGTAGGGCGACCAGCTCGTCGGATGCCATGGTCGGCCCGATCTTGATACCGACGGGGTTTGCGATCCCGCGGAAGAACTCGACGTGTGCGCCGTCGAGCTGGCGTGTGCGGTCACCGATCCAGAGGAAGTGCGCAGAGGTCGCGTAGAATCCCGTTGAAGAGTAATTTTCGGTCCAGGTTGCTTTCGTCGGGACCGGGTGGCGCAGCTCCCGCGTGAGACATTGCTCGTAGTCCAGCGAGAGGCCCTCGTGGCTCGTGTACACGTCCGCTGTCTCGACGCCGCGGTCTTTGTCGATGCCGACTGTGGCCATGAATCGCAGGGCATCTTTGACGGCGCCCACGATTCGCGAGTACTGTTCTTTGATCGAGGGGGTGCGCACATGGCCGAGACCCCAGTCTAAGGGAGAGTGCAGGTCGGCGAGGCCGGAAGATAGCGCCGCGCGAAGCCAGTTCAGCGTTGCGGCCGAGTGGAAGTATGCTGAGACGAGGCGGGACGGGTCGGGTCGTCGTGACTCGGCGTCTGCGCTGTAGCCGTTGATGTTATCGCCGCGGAAGGCGGGGAGCTCGACGCCATTGACCATTTCGGTGGGCTTTGAGCGTGGCCTGTGGTATAGGTTAGCTTTATTGGTGTCAATTTCTTTATTGGTAATAAGTTCAGTTTCATACTTCGCGAATTGGCCTGCAATGCGGGCGATACGGATGACGGGCTTGTTGGCGCCTGATGCAATGGTCAGTTCTGTCTGTCCGAGAGAAATGGATATGGTCTGCCCTACCCCAAATTAAAACCAAGCTCATCTGAAGCAACAGCTTGACCTTGGCCTCGATCATGTCTTGGTTGCAGTAGTCAAATAACTCCGCACAGTCCCCTGGAAGTCCTTAGTTTGGGACATCCTGATATGGGGGTGAAACAAGGGACGTACCGCCTTGAAGCACAAAGGCTTTGCCGAGAGCTACATTGCGCAAGCTCTCTTTGAGTTTGTTAATCTGGAGATACTATTAGAGCACTAAACATCAATAAAAATCATGAAGACACACCTCTTGTGTGGTTACCAGCGGAGGCAACTTCTGCAGCTTCGCCAATGCTTCTTTCATCCCTTCCGCATCTTCGTAGACCACATCTTGCTTGATGGGCTTGTTAGTCCACGCTGCAAACACACCACTGTTAGTAAAAACTGGCACTGCACTCAAGATATGACGCATACAGGAAGGACTCCAGTCCGCCATGGTGCGATGACTGCAAGCGAAGCCGGCGATGCGAGGGCTAGCCGTGGAGAAGGGCTTGGTCGGCCAATTGGCAAGACAGTGTAGCGGAAACAGCACCTAGCAGCTCAAGGAGTATCACCACGCGAAGGAATGACTCGAACTCGAGCACGAAGAAAGTTCACTGAAACGAACAAAAAGACAGCTCGGTCAAGGCGCTTATTCACGGGGATGACTCATCTGCTTATGTCATTGCTCCTTATCTTATCGGTGACGTTATTGTTGTGTTGCTTGGTTTGACCTCCTCCTGTCTTCAGTCTTATCCCAACGAGACTCTTGGATCGTCAAAATGTCCGATTCCATTCCATCTGCCACTGCCGACCCTGATGCATCAGATCAACCCCTCCCCGCTAACGCAGAGGACCGCAAAGCTGCTGCGGCGCTGAACTCACTCAACACCAATGAGTTGGGCACTGAAGGCAACCCCGCTAAGCCGCCTGCGGGGACAGATCAAGAGGCGTTGGGGAAGGCGATGAGCCGACTAGAGATTGCGGCGGGTCAGGGTCACGCGAAGGTTGAAACACAGAAGAAGGAGACTGTGCCGAAGAAGACGGTTAAGGTTGCGGCGGCGGACGTGACACTTTTGGTATGTTGTACAACGGATATTACCGGGAGATTGTGCTTACTTGTGGAAATAGGTTGACCAGCTTGATTTGAATAAGATGAAGGCGACGGAGTTGCTGAAGGCGCATGATGGGGATGCCGCGAAGGCGATGCTGGCTTTTGTTTCGCCTTCGGTCCGGGTGTGAACGCATCTTGTGCACCGCAGTCAGGCAGATGTTCTGATATTTACGATTAAATGAATTTGATGAATATAAAATGCAAATCCTTATGCGATGTGTTCTATGCCGGCCAACCCTCTATAGGTCTGGTCATTTATGTACTGGATATAGAATCAATCATAGGGACTGACAGCCCCTTGGGGAGCACGAACACATAACAGTCGTCAATCACTCCGCTTCCTCCTCCTCTTCCACCACCTCAGCTTTCTTCCGCTCGATACCCTTCCCCTCGTGGATAGTCCACAGCACAAACCAGCCCGTCAAAGCCTCGGCCGCAAGGACCCACCACACAGCTCCAATCATGTTGTGTTCGAGGCCCCATCCAAGGCCCCAGCCACCAAGAAAAGGGCCGAGGGTACGAGCTGCACTGGCAATACTCTGCGACACACCATGAACCGTCCCCAAAACGGATGGGTCCGTGACGCAGTTGTTGACAAGGATGACGGCTGCGGGCAATACAAAAGTTCGTGACATGACTTGCAGGCCCACGACCACCGCAAAAGAGGGCCAGACGACCCAGACGAGGCGGGGGAGAACAACGAGGAAAGGCATGAGGATGTAGGACAGCGGTGACAAAGGAAGAAAGAAACGGAAGGAGGTAAGTGTGCCTAGTTTGGATTGCACCTTCGGGTAGAAGAGGATTTGCAGGGGCAGGCCGATAAACCCGATAATGGCAGTGGCCAGCCCGACGCGAGAAGAGGGAAGGCCTAGGCCCCCGCTGAAGTTGAAGAAACCTGTCCTGGAATTCTCGGGAGCTCGTGGCATGGGCAGAAACACAAAGGTCATGGAGTTGAAGGCGCTGGTGTGAATGGCGAGTAAGAACTGTACTAGAAGCGTGAGCAGGACATTTCGAGTCCAGATCTGTCGAAAGCCGGGGCGTTTATGTTGTCGGGGTGGTTGCGGGGCGCGTGTATGGACTGGGCTGGATGGTCCAGACCATGTTCCCACGCTGCCCTCTAGGTACATGGAGTCATCGTCCCCGGATCGGGTCAGAGGACGGTATTGCCGCGGGCGTCGTGATAGAGCCTGTACTATTCGCTTACCCAAGGATCGACCCCAGTCTTTTCGATAGCGTGCAGTTTCGTGTGTCTAATATTGCTTGTCAGCTACTATTCCTATGAACGATCGCGGAACACTCACCTCGTCGAGTCCGAAGAATACCGCGTTCAGAGATGTAAAGATGAAGATCGCACTCAGCACATTTGGCAGGGCATACGGCCACTGCTGCATCCACCAGACACCATCCTTTCCTCCAAACACAGACCCGGGCCCAAAGATCTGTGGAAAGCTATGAGTGGGGTCGGCCAACGAGCCACCTAGAATGGGGCCAATGATCACTCCGATATTGAAGCACATCGGCAGCAGCAGGAATGCACGCGATTGGTATCTAGGTCCGTCAGCGTGTGAGCCATTAAATTTTGAGGCGTACATACTTCTTTTCAACAATGATCTCCGAAATCATGGTCCGCATCACACCAACGTTGCTGTTTAGGGCTCCACCCAACGTCCGAAACACCGCCGCGGACACGAACGAGCGCGAAAAACCAAAACCCAAGGTCGAGAAACAGGTTCCCGTTAAACCGATAAGCAGGACTCTCTTCCGGCCCATCCATTCGGCATCAGCCAGCCGGCCCCACCAGACAGCGGTCAGGAATTGCGCGGCGGTGAAGCTGCCTTGAAGAATACCCGCCTGTCGTGAAATAGTCGAGTTTGGCAACGAAGGATCAAACGACTTGAGCTGGTAGAACATATACGCCTGCAGCGAGGTCTGCGTTAAGGGCTCAGATAGCCGAGCAATTGTTAAGATCGCCAGCTGCCCTCTCTTCGGCAGCGACATCCATGTCACCGGCTTCTCCTGCGCGGTATGAGGTCGACTGGGATCGCTCGCATGGTCGTCGCCTTGCTCATCTTCATCCACAGATGGGAATCTTCGATGGCCGGGGTTCAGCAGTGGCGCCGGTGCTCGGCTGCTTCTGAAACCTGGGGAACTACGCGCGAGAATCGAGGTGTTCACACTCTCGCTATCGCTATCCGAGGATGATAGATCGGTGTCGCGTGCGGGCGAATCTCGGTCATCGTGGTGAACAGGAAGGCGGATTTCGTCTGCATTGTCGGGCTGACGGGGTTGTCCCGCCGTTGTTTGGTGGGGAGAAAGCCCCATCAACGAAATACAGTAATGAACCCCGCAGGCAGAAATCAGTCACGCGAGTGGAAGAGGCGTGCAGTATCTTGATCGGAGATGCTTGGCACGCTGTTTTGAGGAGCGGTTATGTATACGGGAAGGTGTTGGTTTATCCTGGATTAAAAAGAAAAGTCCAGACCGACAGTCCAAACAGGCAAAGGCGAAAAAAATCCCATGACGCGATCACCGTCCCCGCCGTGATGCGCTATCGATAAAGGGAAAAGGCTTGTTCCGTGTGGAGTGCCGACTTACCCGAAAAGGACTTTCCTCTTCTTGACATTTTATTTAATCTAAATAAATAAAGGTGATGATACGAAAGATAGAGATAAACTAGATAGTCAAAAGCTAAAAAGTAAAAAGAAACACGACAAATGCGCCGACCGGGATTCGAACCCGGGCCGCTATCTGACTCATATTAGATGGGAAAATAGCATCGTAACCCCTTGACCATCGGCGCAAATTATTAACAGATGAGGAGCTCTTGCGACTCTTGTTACGTTGTGAGAGTACCTCAACTGCGTCGGTCAACCACGGTTGACATTTGTTTTGCCTGATCTATAGACCTTTAGGGCTTGGAGTGAGAAAACTTCATTCAATAGCATCGAAACCAGTGCATTGTCAGAAACGCCCTTCATGTCCTCTCCATGATGCAACCGATTCTATAAAAACACAAATGTCCGGGTATACCAAAAAAACCTCAAAAAGAGAACGATCTACATAAGTTGGAAAGGAAAACTGCAACGCATTGTGTATGCACCCTCAAACACGGATAACAAAGCGACAAAGAACCTACACGGCGTTGTAGATGCGGTCCGAAGACAAGTCATCTCTCTTCGAACGGGATTTATCAGATCGGGCAACAGATGCTTGGCTGTCGTCCTCGGTGTCAAAACCTCGTCCCTCATATTTGTTCCATTCCTCCAAAGGGATGACATCGACTGCATCGATGCGGTTGAACTCCTCATAGTCATTCGAGGCAGAGACCTGGGTAATAGCTTCTTGGCTCGACCGCTGAGGACCACGATCATGCCGGTTTGCTGCGTTGTTGTTCGTGCCTCTGCGACAGGGTGGTCGGACAAAGTGCAAGGCACGGGGTAACGAAAATGATGGGCGCGATTGCGAGGTACCAGACTGAGACAGGCCATGGCTGTCCTTGTTCGGGTCGTTCGGGTCGCGGGCTCGCCTGCCTCGATTACTGTTATATTGAAAGGCTTTCAGATTAAAGAGCTTGCGCAGCAGCGGCCACCAGCACATTAGGTTGGCGACATAGACGGCAGTGCTGGCTTCACGAATGTACCAGATCTGGTAGGTGGTCGTGAGCGGGGAGGCAAAGTTGAAGTATTTGTTAAGGATAGCGGCGACAATCGTGAATAGACCCAGACTCATCACGCCCAGCAGCACGGTCTTCCTGCGGCGCTTGAGCTGTGCCCGGATAAGAAGCGGGATCGGAATGATGAACATCACGGCATCGGAGGAGATGTTAAAGACGGCTTGTGTGATTGAATAGTGCTGGTATGTTGCGCATTGCATGTTCTTCACGGGCATAGCCCAGTATTGCGAGAATGGTCGACAGTATATTCCGTAGTAGGTGACCATGATTACAAAAAATCCGACAGCCACATATACCGCGAGGATTTTGATATAGAGGTTTGATCGCAGGTTCTGTGTAATCCTGAAGTAGAGAATCAACATGCAAGTCTTTACTCCCCAGGTTGAGAACAGCATGCATTGCTCCAGCCCGATAACAATCTTGCTCCCGAAGATCCGGTCGCGCACTTGTTTCGGATCAGCCAGCACCGTGCTATAGTCCTTTGGATCCATAAGGTTGGTTGCATAGCGTGCTGAGATCTGAATCAAAACAAGCAAGGTCGTATAGATCATCTGGAGTGAATTTGGCCGTTAGTCATTCTCGAACTTAAGAACAGCAGGAACACTGAACTCACAAAAGTTGCGGTCATAATATAATCGTCCCCTTCAAGCAGACGGTTAGCAGTCGCTCTCTGGAAAAAGTCTGAAGATACATACAGAATAGGTGTTTAATGGACCCATTGGCAATGATCCGTGCTGCCCTTTCCTAGTCGTCAGTATCTTCTCATGCGCACCATTGAGGCTCGAAACATACATGCGCCCAGCGTATATAACAACACCAATGCTCCAAAAGACCACAGATTCAACAAAAAGCTGGTGTGGGGTGGGTGAGACGTTCCCCATCCTATCGGATGGAGGGACAACCGCCCTGGAACAGTCCTCAAGCTGTTAATCAGGCGAAGGACGAATATCTCATAGATTTGATGTGATCAAAAATCTTCGATGGCAATGGGCACCGGTGCAGACAAAGGAGAATGAAATGGCCATGGCCCGTTGTACCGGCCACTGCACCAAAGCTATGAAGGTTGTTTTTGGCTTCAATATGACCCACCACTAGGCGATTTCATCGCCATCGGTGAGCTCGGTTAGAGCCCAGTCCATTGAATAATGACGAAGTACACACCTAACCGAAAGCAGGGCTGCACAGAAATGTCAGTGTCGGGCTGGTGAGCGAGTGACAAGCAAGGAGGAATGTGGCTAGAGACGCAAGGGAGGCCGACGGAGAAACAGGGATCCAGATCGATGGCAGTTTACTTTGGAATGCAGAAAACATCCCTCCCTTCTTGCGCCGAAACAGCAGAAGGCAGAAGCTCCCTCGAATTCCCTTACTCCGTAGCACATCGTAGGTGCACAGGCACTCCCGCTTGACCTGCAAGTTCCCTTAAGCGAAGCGCCTGTCTTTCAATAGGGCTAATCGGTACCGAGAACGGAATATGCACGATGGGGGAGAGTTCCCGATGATCTGCGCACCTTGCCGAGAGGCGGGTGTTGACAGTTCAGATTCCTGTGACAAGGGATATCGCTGATTAGACTCGACCCATCACGATGATCTACAAGACCAAGCCAAGCCAAGTCCAATAGTCCTGGAAGTATTGTTCCCAACGGCGATCAGCAAATATGATGTTAGCCGGCTGGAAGATAGGCTTGGCGATCGCGGCGTGCCCTACAAGGAGCTCTTATTCCGGCTGATCCCCCAGCGCCAGCTGAGCTCAAATACCAAATTATCATTCTGCACCAATCGCGGTTTGGCTTTCTTCCCATGCCAAGTATCTGCTGACTTTGATCGTTATGTGCGGCAACCGCGCCACATCCCTGAGGGATTCCGGCTAACGTTTTTCTCCAAGACATGGGTCTTTCTTTCTCTACGAAAGATCTTTGTTTTGGGAATCCCGATCAGCCTAGATCGCTTACATTCCTGGTCTCGCCTTGGCTGTTGATTTCTTCACGGTTATGGAAGATCTGCATACAAGGTATCAACCTATCTTGTAGAACTGACAATCTTGAGAACTTGGCCTATACAAAATGAGTTATTGGACCGAATAGGCGAGGACCTCGACCAGAACCGAGGTTCACACATTCCACAGCAGTTTGGGACGCCTAAAACAGAATGAAAACAATGTTGAAGGTTCGGGGCGGCTGTTATTAGTCGCAAATAAATGACTGTCCTCCTGAGTTAAGACGAGGCAAGGGAACCTGTGTCTCAGAGCTATGCGATACTGCTTATTGTAGAGATAGCTACCTAATTGGAATGCCAACAGGCTCATTGCTCTTTCTTCGTCGACTATCGACTAGAATGAGGTCTATATGTTTCTAAAGTAAATTTTAGCTCCTGCCGTAAAGGCTCGAAGTTGTCAACTTCTTGGCCGCATGCCTGATGAAGGTCTACACGAGAATCCGGTAATCCTTATCACCTGGCTTGAATATAGTTGGTATGAAGTGGTCTCTCTGTTTGTTCCATTTCTTTTGTTTATAGTGGAGAATTGCTTTGTATGTCCAAATATCAAGTCATCCTCGTGCATATCCACTTTGGACACCGACACGCACGATGATGGCTTGTGAGTTGAGGACTCGACAGTAAATATCCCGGGTTATACACAATCAAAAACCGGTTGTTCTGGTAAGACTTACCAAGTAAAATCTGATCTTAGGCCTCGTGGAGTTCTTTGCTCTTCACTACGAAGAGCTCAGGTCTCAAATAGTATGAATTATATGATACACCTGTGGGATATGTCAGATAACTGAATCTCGAGTTGTCTCTTCGTAGTCGAGAGTGATAACTTGGGAAACTTGAAGAAGCCGCAGCAAGCAATGTCAGAGGCCAAGAACCAGCTAAGGGACAGAATATGTAATGGAATGATCTGAATAATTAAAGTGAAAGTGTGAATGAATGAAGGGACAGCAACCAGCTCTTGAGGCTATCAAGGGAGTTCTCCTGTCCTATATACATGGTGGCGGATGAACCATGAGCCGACTATCGACATGGTACCCTGGTCACTCGTGCAGGAGGGCGACACTCCTGTTCGTCAACCAGATGGCATCCTGGCATCCTCCTAATCCAACTGATCGTACAGAGATGTCAACACAATAGTGGTAGTACTGTGGGTGACTGCATATTAAGGCCTACTGTATGTGAGAGAATGCAGTGAGGTACTTACAACAATTAGTTGCAGATGTGTACTCGAAGTGTCCTGTCGATTGACGTGAATCAAAGAAATTGAGATTGCATCGGACCACGGAAACATATTTGGACAAGTAGGCCAGTGATAACGCAAAGACAGAGGCCTCAACAGTAGAATGAAATCAAGTAAATCCAATTTGAAAAAAAGACATTCAAAAAGCAACAGGAAGTATTTTCTCGCGCCGTTTTGTTCTACTTGCCTGACACTGCAGTCCGACCTATCTACAATACAGATTCACCACAGACATCCAATTAGCCAACCAAAAAAGCCAATGACGCAGCAGGGACCCGACAACCTGGGCACAAAGCGCATCAGAAACCGAGAGATACGGAAACACGGCAACATTTAAAGGTCGATCAGATTGTTCGATCGAGGATTGGTGAGTTCGAGTTGGGTCTAGGATCGGATCGCCCGATCGACGCCCGGCTAGCCCTCATCCCGCAAGCTGGGTGGATCGCGACACTCCCCCTTGCATGGAATGCGGCCATGCGTCCGCAGCCGATGCACGCGTGTTTTGCCTTTTGCGCAGGCAAGAAGACGCGTTCGACAGCAAACTTGAGTTTGCCCGTAGCTTTTTGGTGGTTCGCGACGGCTACCGGCAGGTACAGTATGTCGAGTCAGCGCCAAAGCGGGGAGGCGTTCGCGCTGCACAGTCGATCCATCGAATCCACACTATTGCCTCCTAAACGACATAGCCTGATCCTCGAACCGGTTGTTCGAAACTGGGCAGATTCATAGGGCAACAATAATGCGCCAGTCTGGTTGCTGTCTTCCATCCCTTCGGCGACTCGTCTCGGAGCATTTTGGGACTCGTGCTATGCACGTGGACGCCATATGGTACATCGCCCTCGCATGAAGCATTCCGAGGTTCAGATCCGGATTGGCCGGTCCCTGCTCGTACCCTGGGCTCAGTAAATTGATGAGTAGTAAGTAGTCTTGGCTGGGTGTGGTGGCGCTGGTTAACCTTTCTCTCCTTGCCCCGGCCCTGTTCGTGTTATATTTCTGTCTTCCTTCTTGACTTTTCTTTTTTCTCCTTCCTGCATACACTCCTATTGTATGTCTGGCACAGCTTGACAATTGGCATCATGGCGATGGCTGAGAAGCATTTATCTCAAGATGGGGAGAAAGTGAGCAATCAAAGCGCGATGGATGAAGTGCGGCTCGAAGCGGCCTTGGGACACAAACAGGAGCTGGTGAGGAATTTTTCGCTCTGGAGTTTGACGAGCTTGGGGATTGTCATTGCCAAGTATGTTCCTCACTTCTTCACTGCTAGAATGAATCAACTGACGTGATATAGTTCATGGGCTTCCACAGGAGGAACCATCGTTGCGGCGCTCCAGAACGGTGGCCCAATGGCAGTTCTCTACGGGCTCATTCTCGTCAGTATCTTCTACACGGCTATTTCAGCGTCCCTGGCCGAGCTCGCCTCGTCCATGCCCTCTGCCGGTGGCGTGTACTACTGGTCGTCAGTATTGAGCCGGAATCGCGGCCGTGCAGCAGGCTTTTTCACGGGATATCTCAACGCTTGTGCATGGCTCCTGTCTGCGTCGTCTATGAGCTCCATGCTAGGCAATGAGGCAGTGGCCATGTACCTACTCCGACACACCGAGGTGCGCTGGCGCTCCTGGCATGTGTTTGTGGTTTTTCAAATTATGAACTGGACCTGTTGCGCCATTGTCTGTTTAGGGAATCGATTTATCCCATTGATCAATCGTATTGCCCTGACTCTGTCCATGTGTGGACTTGTCACGACGGTGGTGGTTCTCTCCGTCATGCCGAAGAAACACGCGAGTAATACGCAGGTGTGGACGACATACTACAATCGGACTGGTGGATGGTCGGACGGGGTCTGCTTCATGACAGGCCTCCTGAATGCTGCTTTCGCAGTGGGCGTGCCTGATTGTATCAGCCACTTATCGGAAGAGGGTACGTTATTTACTATCTGATTCAAAGCACAGCCAGTTGATACCTGATCCAGTTCCAAAACCGGAGATCAAAGTGCCTCAAGGAATCATGCTCCAAATGCTAACGGCATTCACAACGTCCTTCGTCTACCTAATAGCCCTCTTTTACTCTATTCAAGACCTCGACGCCGTCTTCAGCAGCACAATCGGCTTCTTCCCCACAGCCGAAATCTACCGACAAGCTACAGGTTCCAACACCGGTGCCATCGGGCTAATCGCCGTGTTATTTCTGGCCACATTCCCAACCCTCATCGGCACCTTCGTGACCGGCGGCCGGATGTGGTGGAGTCTAGTCCGTGACAACGCCACCCCCTTCGCATCATATTTTGCCTACGTTGATCCCTCGCTCAACTGTCCCGTGCGTGCGACTGTTGCCATGAGCGCGATGGTCACCTGCCTAGGCTGTATATACGTTGGTAGCGCAACGGCCTTCCAAGCCCTGATTTCCTCATTCATTGTGCTGAGCTCATTGTCCTATCTCGGGGCTATCCTCCCGCATGTCCTCTCCGGCAGACGCAATATGGTCCCCGGACCGTTCTATATGGGCCGCAGGTTGGGAATGATTGTTAACCTCGTCGCTCTGATGTATATCCTCGTCACGGTCGTGTTCTTCTGCTTTCCGCTCGTGCTACCTGCCACGGCCAAGAACATGAACTACACCAGCATCATCATCGTTGGTCTGATGGCATTGACTGCGCTGTGGTGGTTATTCCAGGCTAGACGCGTGTATCAGGGCCCGAAGTACAGTTTTGAGGCGGCGGAGCGATTGACCGCGTTCCAGGAGGGTAAAGAGGGTCGTCGGGTTATTGCAGATTTGGCGGACGTGACTACTGTTTGATGAATTTGGCCATGTGTGATGATGTGATGAGAGAAATGACTTGTTGCTCACTTAATTATTTGTTTCGTGTCCATGTTTGCCCTGTGATATCAAAGTATATGTGTTTATAATTTTGAATACTGTGTCAGCTTTACTTATTCAAGTCGCCATCCACAAATGATCAACGAATCTATTTGATTTCCGCGTCAAAAAAGATAAAACACAAATCGTCTTCAAGTCATCAAGTCTCGTGCAGATAAAGAACTTGGAAGGAGGTGGCTTAGAGAGTAGTTAAGAGTAATTGAAAGTTTCCCGTTGTGCTGAATGCTCTGCAACAAAGCCATGAGGGTTATAAGAGGTCCATAGATAGAAGAACTCTATAACCCTAAGGGGTTTATGACAGAGTAGTTGACACTTAAGGAATTGTACACCAGCTCTTAACTATTACCTTGAGAAATCCTTTCCCCTCTTCTCTTTTAGGTTGCGCCATTGTTCCTATCAAGGTATTCCTCCTTAGTGAAAAAGGATGAAACCCATGGAACAAACGCCATGGCATTTCATAGACGCGATTTAATGCTCTGTCCGCCCTCCCACGCTTCACCAGACTCGAGGGTCTGCCACGCCGACACCGTGCCGGCCTCAACACAGATCATGTTCTTGTATGCGTCATCCGGCGCAAAGTCAGCCATGCCCTTGGCCTTCTCGGCCCAAGGATTCCACACTACGACGTCTGTCAAAGCCTCCCGCGTGATCGAGAAAAGTGCCTTATCATCGGTACTAGAAACCACAATCGGGACGGTGGGATCAAGAGCCTGGTAGACACGGTCTGTTTCCTCAGTGATCGCCAGCGCAGGGGAGGATTCAGTGTGAGAAGTGGCGTTGCGCGTCTTGTCGACGTATGTCTTGTTTTCGAGGTTCTTGACCCGAACCTTGGAGATGTCCTATTTCAACGGAGCATGTGAGCCAATTCCTTGTGTAGGAGCCAAATATGCGATTCTACTCACCTCAACATTCAGATACGTATGCATCAGAACCTGGAACTCGAAGTTCTGTTTACCCTCATTGCGCACCTGCAGCGTCGTCTCCAGCGCGTCCTTGGTAAGGGTGACGCTGTACACAAGGCCAAACTCATACGGCCAGGCTTTTCGGAACTCCTCGCTCAGCATGCTATGCGACAATCCGAAATCCAGCTTCACCGAGAGATCTTCCTGGCTCCGGTCCTTGCCCAGTGACTCCGACGACGACTTGCCCAGGTATTCCCAGGTAGAGTTACGTGCGAAGCCATGTTGTGGAAGGGAGGAGGTTGCGTGGTTGGAAGGTGGGGGGCCGAACACCTAGCTCGTGGATGAGCAGAGGCAAATGGCAAGGAAACAAGATCAAAACGTACAGGGAACACGAGCGGAATACCGCCTCGGATAGGCTTGGAGCCGTCTAGATGGGCCTTTTGGCTGAGGAACAGCTGCTCGCCATTGGCGGTCTTCCACGACGTCACGGTGGCGCCATACAGGTGGATGGTGACGGACTGGCCGGTGGGCAGGGTGGCTTTGACGGTGTTATCTTGGATATTGACGGAGGGCTGGGGTAGGGATGCACCCACGCCGATGGCGGAGGGTTTATTCGAACGATCCATTCTGATTATTGTGGGGGAGAGAGTGTTGAAGAGAGAAGGAACACCAGGCGCAGCTGAAGACGATAAGAGCTGAAATGATTAAGTCATGGCGGGGACGAACACGCCGGGACAACAACAACAAACAACAACAAACATTCAATTACACCAACTTGAACTACACTATCTCTATCCATGCTGCCAGAACGACGACGTGCCTCCCTGGATACTGACAGCCTCAATGCGCTTGATCTCATCCACCGTTAATCGCCATCCCAGCGCCTGCATATCCTGCTCCGCCTGCTCGGCGTCCCGAACGCCCACCAGCGGCACAGCGCCCTTGTTAATTGAGTAGTTAAGCGCGACCGCCGGCACAGGCACGCGGCGCTCCTCCGCAATGCGCTTCAGCACATTAACCGTCGGCTCCAGCATGTGCATGGGATAGCTGCTAAAGCGCAGGGTGCGCCGCGGCTGATTCGACTGGGAATACTTGCCCGTCAGTCTGCCCTCCGCCAGCGAGGCATAACCCTGGAAACAGATCCCACGGTTGCGACACTCGCGGATCATCCCACTCGCCTCGGGGAAGCGCCGGATAATCGAGTACTCACACTGGCACACTGCCAGCGGGACGCCATTCTTCGCCAACTCGTCAGCCATTTTGACCATCTCCTGCGTGTCGTAGTTGGCCACGCCCACTGCGCGCGTCATCCCCGCCTCCACGCACTCGGCCATCCCCTTCGCCACCGTCGAGATCATGGCCGGGTGAATCGGGCCGTGCACGAGGTAGATATCGACGTAGTCGAGGCCCAGACGGGACAGCGAGTCCTTCAGCTTCTTTTTGGGGCCTTTCGACTGCATCAGGGTGTTGGTCAGGTCCGGCGTAGACAGCCACTTCGTCTGCACGACGAACGAATTCCTGTTCATGTCCCGGAACAGACTGCCGCAGATACGCTCGCTCTCGCCGTCGCCGTACGCCTGCGCCGTGTCGACGAAGGTCAAACCCACGGCTTTCAGCTTCTCCCATGCGGCATGGATGCGTGGCAGGTCACGCGTCGCGTCGTAGCCGAATGTCGCTTTGTCGCCCCATGCCCAGGCGCCGATGCTCATGTAGGGGATCTGTACGTCTTTGCCGCCCCGGCCGCGCACGGCGATCCGGCTCTGCGAGTCTGGCATTATGTCCGCGGGGAGCACGTAGGCGTCGTCGCTGAGATGCGGGTCAACGGGCTTGGGATGCGGCGAGTGCACGCCTTCTGTGGCGGACATGCCAGATGCGAGCCCGGCTTGCAAGACATATTGAGCCCCTGGGGTGGCCATCTCTGGTGTTGTGTCTGTGTTTATTTTGTTATGTGGTAAGAAGCACCTGGTATAAAGTGGCAACCTTGTTTTTCGTTGATGGTCTGTACGGCGTAGTACTCACAAAGAAGCAGTGAAGATCTCATATATCGAGAAACGCACAACGGCGAGTGCACTCGTTTTTATCGACTTCTCTCTTCTCTAGTCAAAGAGTTGGCGTCGTGCGTCATGTCAGATCATCATGACATCCAAAACGGGCCATGCGGCTGCGGAGTGTCATCCGGGATGGCTTCGGATATCAGGCCAGACAGTCCCGTTTGCCCCAGGTGTGGCCATGGCGAGTTCGTCTATGCGGATGGCCAATGGAGCTCATATACTTAGCATACGCCCTTTGCCACGGAGGCGACAGACTTTCGCTTCTGGCGATTATGAGGGATATAGGTGGCTCACTAAAGACCAACTAGTTACAAGGAACCAACTGTTAAGTCGTCGCAAGAGTTCCCTTCAAAGTAATAAGATGGTGTCTTTCAAGTTAAGCCAGAAGAACCCCCCGAAGCGGAACGACACTAAAGACATGGTCATGACCAAGATTATGCAGCAAAACAGTAGCATCCCGAAAAAAGAAAAATAAAAGAACAATGGACATGAAATGGGGGGCTCTTTCTTTACTTTGGCTGCTAAGACATGTAGATGCAAGGCTTGGGGGAATAAGTATGACAGACGGGGGATCCAATATAGCAAAATTCACAATAATACAACAAAAAGTCTGTGCGACTTCTCGACAAAACTCCAATCGCTATGCTGAATGGTGGTGGCGTCGGGATGCCTCGTGGGCTTCGACACGGATATTGAACAGAAGATCATCGACTTCCCGGAGGGCACTGGGGCTGAGAGTCGCTGTTTTCATGTCCTCGAGGAGTTTGCCCAGGGATCGACTGATGACGGTCTCGCCGCTGTCGGCTTCGATCGAACGAGGCACTTGTTCAACAGTTTGAGTTGTGGAGTGGGCAATGTTGGGAACTGGCTTGGCCAATGAAACGTCGGCTGGACCGTCTGTAGACGTTTCCGCCATTGCAATGTCCAAGTTGACTGGCGGGGGCTCAGTTGATGGCCCCACTTCGTTCATCTTAGTATTGGGTTGCTCATTGAATGAAACAGTAAGGTCGATCGGCTCCGCTGGCTTATCCGGAGACAGGATAGTCTCGGGAACGAGGTCCAGATCGAGCATCTCCTCATGTTGAGGCTGTTGCTGGAGAACAGATTGCCCGAATTGCGTATCAGCTTCTTGCAAAGATTCTGACTGAGACGCAATCTGACTTGGCTGGGAACGTCTCCTGCTGGAACGGGTTTCACGAGATGGTGTGTTCTTGGTTGGGCTTTCTTTTGTGACGGAACGAGGAAGTGATTTGCGGATTCGCTTCGATGGCGGCTGCGGGGTTTCTGCTTCTTGAACAGTTTCTTGAAGAGCGGAGCCCTGGGTTGCCTCTTGGGTTGGGGGAATCGAGTCTGGTAATGCGCTTTCAGCGTCCTTGAGTTGGGAACTGCGGGTTGGGCGGCGACGCAATACTGGCGATTCTTTATCTGTTGAGACATGCGGTGTGGCATCGGGTAAAGCCAAGCTCTGCGACTCGACGGTCTCGGACTGAGCGGCATCTGGAACAAGCTCTTTCGTTGACGCGCGTTGGCTTGATCTGCGCGTTTCCATCCTGCTGGATTGACGAGTCTCCTCGCGCTTTCTTTTCCTGGTAGCGGGTCCGGAGTGTTGCTCAGCATGACTGGCACTGTTTTCCTGTTCAACGACATTTCGGGAGAGCTGATAGTCTTGCTCAAGTTGAGAAGCAATTTGAGTGTCGACATCCTCGCTTGCAGAGTCGACGAAATAATCGGGGACTGCGGCGACAGGAGCGGCAGCCGTGTCTCCAACAAGGTCTTCCGCTTCCTGCTGAGTTTCCTGAGGGTTGGACTTGGGCGTGCTCTTCCGTTTACCCCTTTTGGGCTTAGCAGTTGATGCCGTCTTCTGGGAAGAAAGATCGGCTGTGTTCCTCGTTGGTGTTTCGACGGTTTCTGTAGTTGCAGATGATTTGACAGGCGCCGTCGGTGCAGAACTCGGTTCCGCGGGAGCGACTTTGCTGGATGCAGAACGTAGACGTCCTCCAAGAGGCATTTCCGATTCTTGCGAGGAGACGACCTCGGTATCAGCGCTGGGTGTTGCTGCGTTATCTTCTGCCATATCAAGGTTGGAGACAGCCGGGTTAGACACAGAATCTTGCTCGCCAGATCTAGCCGCAGCGGCTTTCCTGCGCGCAGACCTTCGGCGTGCGCTTCTGGACCTTTTGCGGGGGCTTGGACTCCTAGAGTGGAGTTCTGGTGGCGAAGATGGAATGTCGGTCTGCATGCTCATCTCAACGTCGTGGGTTGTTGCCAAATGAGGAATTTCAGAGCTGGCGGCAGGCGTTGGCTCTCTGGTTCCAGGAGTAGGAGAAGAACCAAGAAAGCCCTCATGTTCGGCAGCTCCAAAAGTAGGCGTCAGTAGTAAGTCATTCGCAGAGTCTGAACGATGCACACGGCGGATATGCGTGGGTGTATGAAGGCCCGATTTGCCAGGGGTGGGTGCAGGTGACGATGAGTGGATAGCTTCAATCATTCTAAAAACCTCACGTCGCGTTTGGCGATTGTTAGTGACCGGTGTGCTTTCGACAATTTGCTCCTCGGGAGCTTCAAGCTGTGAGATGGCTGGTTCTCGGCGTTGAGGTGGTAGCATCGATGAAGAGTCTTGCGCCCTAATGACAGGGGACGACTTGAGTTCTGCAGTAGGAAGCTGCATGGCACTATTTTGGACACGATGGACTTCATTCATGGGTTGATCGTGTCCTTCTCGACACATGGATGATAAGCTATCATTCATCTGTACATCAATAGTTAGCTAGGACTTGCGAAGAGCCAGTAAAGCATGTTAAAATACCTGAATATCACTTTGCGGTTGCGAACCTGGAGCCTGGAGCCTCGACTTTGCTGTATGCAAGGCCGTAAGAAGACTCACACGACAGGGGAGGTTTTGCAGACCAAAAGTCGAGCCCCAAAGCTCCAGAAACCGCTTGGCAGTCGACGTATGCGACGATTGCAAACCCGCACAGATGATGGCATCAAATCGCAGCAAACAACCCATATCATGAGGAACACTTGTCTGCAGGATATGAACGACAACAGATGAAAGCGTCCGGCACTGTTTTCTCCTGTCAGGGGTAGTCCAGAAATCTTTTAGGGGCTACTTACTGCGGTCAGAATTCGACTATTAGCACCTCGATCGATATCAATTTGACATGCTTCATCCTTCAACCAAAGGCACAAGGACGGTATGAGTGTCTCCAGAACCTTGGAGTGGAATGATGGAAAGCCCGACGACATAAAGGATGCCAGCGATTCAACGAAGTGGGCCAAGTCATCTGTGTCTGAAGCGTCAAAGCTTTCATATACCCTGCAGAGCGTTGTCCCAACGAGTTCCAGTAGCTTATGGGGGAAAAGTGGTTCTTCAACTGATCCAGAGCCGCTATATTCTCCACCAGTGACTGGATCTTGGAAGAAAGGGATAGATAATGAATGGCTCAGAAGTAATGACGATGGCATATAAGCCCCACGAGCCGGAAGACCTAACAGAATTTCGGCCATAGGTTCCACGATCATGGTGGCAAGCAGTCGATCCCCCTTCTCCGTCCGTACCACACGAACGAAAGAATCGAGGAGATGAGACCATTCTTGGAATGCGTTCGAGAAGTGAAGGCCGGAGGAAAGAATCTTGCTGATGTTATCGTAATCTTGCGAAACAGATCCATCACGTTCACGGGCAGATTCGATGGGGAAAGAGCGCAAAGCGTCAGCCGCTTCCTGCGCAACAGTCTTCCAAATCTCCTCCGAAACTTGAATCTCCCGGGAATGAGAATCAATCTCCGTAGGTCTGAGTTCTGTGAATTGCTGAAGAAGTTCGAGGCGGGACCCTCGGGAAATTCTGCCACTGCAAGATGATTGCACTATGGCAGTCACTAGATCTTTGTAGGATGGAGTCAATGCAAGATTCCCAGGATTGCTGATCATTCGGAGGAGGTGCAGGATGGAACTGTCAAGGTTGGAGTTCGGGCCGGTACGGCGGTTGCTGGGGGTGTTGGAGACCTGGAAAGTTTCATCGGCCACTCGCGAAATAAGCTTCTCGGTGAAAGGAATACTTCCAAGAGAATATATCATCTTTGTTGACAATAGTTGAAACCTTGCGAGGAACTCATCATCTGATTGTTCTCCTGTCGCGTTCAAGGATGGTGGGCCAGCTGTCCACAGCCGTTGGAGTAGTCCAAGGACACTGGCCACGGCCTGCATCGACTCACCCGATGGGGTGATCTCCTTGCTCGAGGCAAACGATAGAGCGTTACCAAGATTGGTCCAAGCCAAGGCCACATGGGGAAGGCCATCTGAGCCGCCGCTCCAGACGGACGACTTGAATAAATGCTCAAAGACCTTCAAGACCTCAGAGATTCGTGATCTCACCCACTTGCTGTCGATGGAGAGAAGCTCTTCAGGTTGCAGCTTCTCGTTGTCAGTGATCCGAGTCTCTGACCAAACCTTGGCCTGCGAACTCCACAACAGACTTGCAATTGCGCAGCAGGCACAATCATTGAGAGCCGGTACGGATGAGAATGCACCCGATGAGGGAACAGCCACGTATTCATCCCAAATCCGATCCAGATGACGATAGGAGGTCGAAGGGCGAAAGGCGTAGTAAAGAAGATTGTAATAGCTGCTCAGTGCGAGGTTTGTGGGCGATTGCCAGGATCTGTCGGCTTTTCTTCGTTCAAATTGGGTGAAAATCGGTTTCCCCAGCATCTTGAGCAGCGAGAGACTTGTCGATTCGGATGGGCCAACAGCAAAGACAAACCGGTTCCAGCCGATAATTGCCTGTGCTTTGATGGCTGGTTCACTGCAGTTGAAGCATTTCTGCAGTACAAGAACCCACTCCCGGAATTGATCCCACTTCTCCAGGTTCCACCGCTTGCTCCTGAGAAGAAGGACGATGACGCTCCAGATCTGTGGAACATGCACACCGCTCTCCGTAGAAGCCATCATTCTTGACATGCGCTCGCGAATCTCGGCTCCCAATTTTCGGTCATTCTCAAGGGGTCGGTCGAAAAGGTCTCGAATGTTCCTCGACAGCACCAAGTCCATGCCCGCTGCAGATATCTGGAACCCCAACGAAATTGCCTTGAGCCGGATGTCTTTCAAATGATGAAGAAGACCGAAGATCAGGTGCTCGATCCATACCTCGCACTGGGATATGAAGGCGGTTTTAGCTTGAGTGAGAAGGCGCTGGTAGATGCCCAACTGGTAGGAGACAATGGCATTTCCAGGTACCCTCTTGTTGATATCATGTAATTCTGCCAACAAACGGGTGATCCGGCTGTTGTTCATGATCTTCGGCCCGAAGTTCTGTGTGGTCAAAATGTTCATATAATGCGACAAGACCGACTTGGGCACCTTGGCCTCGCGAAGACTTGTGATGCATTGTTCCACCAGAAAGATCTTGAAGTCATCTGAAAGTTGAGTGGATATCTCCGCATGCCAGACAAAGGCTGCCGAAAGCTTCAGGGCCTGGTTGGCCAGGTTGGTGTCCATTGGCTTGCCGTTGACAAGGTCCCTACCAACGTCGCGTTGGATGAACTCCGTAATCAGACCCAGCTTATCTGCAATATCTTGTCCCGCCGGCAGTCCTTCGTATGTCCGTAGCGCCCCGAAGAATTGCATGTATGCATCGAGCCTGGAGCTGAGGGATTCGCCGGCCAGCTGCTGGATGACGGATTCGAGCAGCATGGCGAGCGATTCGGTGGTGAAAGTATCGGCATTGGGCGACCACACGGGGATTGGGGATTGAGTTGCCTTGAGTATTGATTTTGCGGGCCGCAACTCGTTGGAAGGGGGCGGGTTCTTGTTGGACGAAGGATTGGCAAAGGTCGGCGGTTTGATGTACTTGTTCCAGGGCGAGAAGTTCACACGCTTGGAGCTGCGACTGGAAGGGGGAGCGCCGGCCGACCCCACGACCGTGAAGGGCGACTCCCCCGGGGTTTGGACAACTACCGGGGAGTCGGTTGGGTTGTTCTCGTCCAAGGACACGAAGCGAGAGGCGGTCCGGGGAGGCGTAGGCGGACGAGTAGGAGAGACCGGGCCCCGGATCTCCACCATGATTTTGGGGAGATCAAACGAAAGGAAGGGAAAGAGAGACACGGCGAGCTTCTAAAACCATTGCTGGGAGCGAGGTGTGGAAGTGGGATCCTCGTCCACTGGCGGGTGTTGAATTGAAGTTGAGGAATGGATCAGTCCAGCAGGCGAGGGAGAGAAAAAGGCCCGACGCGCCAAAACACGCGCCTCAAAGTGGCCGCGCGAACGGCAGCCTGAGGCAGCCACTGGTCACTCACAGGCTCCCCGTTCTTCGGCAGTCTAGGATGGAAGTCCTTGGTCTGGCTTCTTCTTTGATTTCCCTTGGTCTCCCTTCGACCTTCTGTACCTAACTCCATCCACTTCTTGAAACCGATTCAGCACTACTATACCTACCCTCCGTCCAATGGAGGAATCCGGCCCGGCCAACCTAGCTCAAGTGGGGTCCTTGCCCCGTTCCAAACGATGATCTTCGTCTTCTCTGCCCTTCTTTGTTCTTCCTGCCAGACCACCGAGACCGTCAGCGCCACTCTGCGACAACGCCTTGGTCTGTGCCAGTTCTGCATGCGGTGAGCCCACCGTTCCAGTCCACGAGCAGACGCTTCCCCTGACCCGAAATTTGGTCTTGATCCATCACGCCACCCCCTCCAAGACCTCTTCTTCTTTCTTTGAATCGCTCAAAATGCAGTCCCGCCAGCTGCAGGGACCGGGTACGGCCTCCCCCTGGACCTGACCAGCGCTGGTTTGCCAAGTCAGTGGCTAACCAACCACAGAAAAGCTCCAGCAGGTCACACAACTGCTGGAGACGCTCAACAAAGATCTCCGCGACAAGACCCTTTCCTCGGCGCGTCAGTATACCAGATATCTTTTCGTGATCTGATCATATCCTAATTGTTGGGACAGAGCGGGTTCAGATCCTTCAGCAGCTCCGTCAGCACGGGACGAGCCCCGAGAACGCCGGCCCTATCTATTGCAAGAATGTACGCCCCAACTTCCACTAACGGTTCTTGGCGGCTCTCTGATGATCATGCAGGGTATCGAGACGTTAATGCGGTATGGTGTGGATGGCGAGAACGCCGACATACGGCGCACAGCATTGCGGTGTGTCGCAAATGCGCTTCTGCTAGATGCGAAGATGCGCCAAGTTTTTGTAGACACTGGATACGGTGGGAAGCTTGCGGAGCGTCTGAAGGTGTGCAACAAGAGATTTCAGGACCGTGAGGGAAGCTGACCGGTAATGTGGCAGGTCGATAACTCGGAAGATGAAATGGTCGCCAGCAGGATCCTGTTCTTTGCAACCTACGATACCACGATGAACTATGACGATCTGATCAACAAACATTCTCTAGGGGATAATATCAACTACGTGAGCCAACCTGTCTAGGTCTAGCCTTGGCGGGTGTGCTAACGAGCGCAGCAATTAAGCCGGCACGCCAAACAGTTCCCCAAATCAGGAAGAACGCCATTGACACAGATCGACGAACTGGCCCTGATAGATTCCCTCAAGCTGATTTTTAACATTTCCAAAATCTACCCTGACCTCGCGGTTACCTTCTCTCCGTCCATCCCGCACGTCCTGAAGATCATCAGTCGCGTCGACATTCCCGAGAAGCCCTTGGATGGGCTGGTGGGATACTTGATCAACTGTCTCTCGGTCCTCGATTTAGAACAGAAGAAGGGCAGCCACTTTGAGAGCAACCCTCTGTTCCCCAAATTCAACACGAACTGCAACGTCGATAAGTTGATCAATATCCTGGACCAGGCTGTGTCGGTCTATGCCCCAGAAGAACTGGAAGTCAAAGCCATCCCCCTCCTACATTCCCTCATCGTCGTCCACGAACAGGCACCTGATGGGCCCCGCAAGTACATGCAGTGGCTGCTTCTGCCGGACGATAACGACCGAAGTCTGCCCATTGGACAGACCGACACCCTGTCATCACGACTGTTGAAGCTGTCGACAACCCCTTACCAGAATCTTAAGATTGCCATCTCGGACCTGATGTTTGTGCTGTCCGGAAAGGACGCGGAGAACATGACAAAGCGGATTGGATATGGTTTCGCCGCTGGATTCCTGGCATCCCGCGGCATGGAGATTCCGCAGACAGCCGGGGAAGCCTTTGCGACGAACCCGACAAACGGGAACGACCTCAACTCAGGAATCAATCCGGTCACTGGACAGCGGCTTGCCGCCGAACCGGAGGATACTGGCCCGCCGATGACAGAGGAGGAGAAGGAGCGAGAGGCCGAAAGGCTCTTTGTGCTTTTTGAGAGGTATGCTTACTTATTTCCTGACATGTTACAGTTGCTGACGACTCGAGCAGGGCGCGAGCGAATGGCCTCATCACGGCTGAAAATCCGGTGGCCCAGGCTCTTCGCGAAGGAAGATTTGAGGAGTTGCCAGATGATGCTGACAGTGACTGAAGTTAATCTCTGAGGTTCAACATAAAATATTTGTATCTTCTTAGTTGCCATGACTTCCAGTTGATCATAGCGTGCGTGCGTTGATACTGCGGCATTGTTGCTGCACCTTTGTCGGTATATATCCATGCAGTCAGTGCATGATTTGTTACTTGGTGACTGGTACGATTCAACACCGTGTATATTGGGAGCGTGCAGCTTCATAATATTAAATTGAATGGGGACTCGATTAGGGTGATTTGTCTTAGAATCGCTCTGATACAGTACTTCCGGAGATCGGTGTCACAACCTACACTCTTCAACTCTAATGCCAAGAAGTTCTAATCTACTTTTGGAATAACCCAAGAACAGCCCCGTTTTGTAGCATTGTACCGTAAAGACCGGATGATTGTACTGGGATAACCCCGTGTTTATTACCTGTCATAACTAGACAGCTGCTACGCTGGGCGCCCCCACGTCCAAGAACGTCATAAAGTCCCTCACGGGTTTTAGGGGGCAACTTCTTGGCTTTTTCACTCCGTCTTAGTGCTCACGGGATCTGCGCTTCTCAGACTCTTGTTAATTTATAGACTGGGCGAGACTGCATCGAATTGTGACTTCCATGATTTTTCCAATACAGAGTCTTCCATGGAGAAGACCTTTTACTTCATAGATGGCTTCCAGCCTGACAGGACGTCCAAGAAGCTGATGCGTCGTCACGTCATGAAGGGTAAGAATACTGGGAAAAAGTTTCACCGAGCGTCAAGAGGACTACCGATCAATTCGCATCAGCCAAATGTTATCAAGGTTGAGGATCTCGATCGCAGGCCCTGCGATGGTAACAGAAGCGTGAATCCAAGTACAATCGACAAGATATTCGGGGACGCGATCCCCATAAGTTCTCTTCCTGTGGTGGAAGTCAACCAATATTCTCTAAAAATTATCAACCAGTGTGAGAGTTCAAACCCTTAAACTGATTCCATTAGAGCTGACACAGTCGTTTCAAGTCTTCGACCTGACCACTGAACGGCTATACCCTATCACCCTTGGATTTCCCTTATGTGAAGCCAAGCTTTTGTGGCTCCGGTTGCTTTTCACAGATGAGGCCGGTGAGATCGGAGACAATCCACATGGTTTTACTTATCTTTTGACCTAAATCTCAGCCTACCATTGCAATATCAGTTTGATGCAGACATGCAACGAAATATACCTAGGAAATGGCAGCAGCACAACTAGAGCATTGCATCACCTATCCCAGACATTCACCCAGATCCAGAGGAGGCTCGAAAGCCGCGAAGCTCTCTCAGATTCCACTATAGGGCTGATAACATCTCTCATCCTGCAGGAACAAATAAGAAACCAAGGCCCTGCGGCTGAAGTGCACGCGAGGGGGCTGCAAAAGATGGTCGAGCTGCGGGGGGCTTCAGTCAACTCGATGGGAATCTAACCCTTGTCTTGATAGTCTGCAAGTAAGTGAGAGAATTACGAAATTGTCAGCCTCTCAGCTAACTTCCAGGGTTGGAGAACGGACATAATGCTTTCGTTGCAGTATGGAAGACCGACAATGTTCTTCCGAGACCATATGGCTGAAGTGTGGAATAAACTGGCCTCGGAAGGATACCGTCTCAACCACGCTCCAGTCATACCCTGCAACAATTTGAATCCATATCTTTATGCCATACTTTCAGATGTTATGAGCCTTTGCTGTCTACTGAATAGCGATTCACGCCAGCCTATGCTTGATCTCCTAGGCTTCGAGGAGATTTTCGTTTCAATTTGCTATCGCCTCCTACGGTTTATTCCAATAAACGATTTTACGGGCCGAATCGACTCGCAAACCGCAATCCACGTTGGGTTACTCATGTTTGTTATGACCACATTTTTCCAAATCGGCCGGAACCGGATCATAGACTTCAAGACACTATCTCTGCGCTTCCAAGATTTCCTCAATAGTGACCTGCACGAGCTCGAGAATAGCATAAGTCTTTGGCTCATGACTATTGGAGGCATTTGGTATTCAAAGGATCTTAATAGTTATTTGGTTGCTTCGAGAATACGACAATTGGCTCAACGGCAAGGAATTGGCAGCTGGAGCGAACTTCGAAGCTGTCTTTGCAAATTTCCATGGATACAAGCTCTACATGACCAACCTAGTCATAAGCTATGGAACCAAGTACAGCACAGCCACTAGATATCGATTCTTTAATGACAATTATACCGTACTTTCACATTGCCGCGTTTCAAATTATTTGAAGTCACGCCCAAGGGATTGCTCACCATGCGAAAGCCTGTCCAACCATTTTTTCAGAGACATCCCAGAGCTTGTCGGCCTCTTTGCTAGACACTGCAAGAGAATGAGCTTTACCACTAATTTGACAACTATCAAGATAAGATCCCCAATTTTCGCTGTCGTTTTTGCTTTCTCCGACACCTTGAGCCAGTTTTGGGTCCAATGCGGCGACCAAACTCGTCGATGCTCCCGCGCCCAACGTTCTTGGTTTAAAAATGCTCTTTCTCAGCTCCGCAAATGTTTCCTGACTCTCCGGGGTCATGTTTCGGCCTAGCTCAGTCTCTATGACTCCTGGGTGTACGGATAGGGTCAAAATTCCGTGCTTGTCGAATAACCGCTTATTCGCGGCGATGCCAAAGAGCACATTTGCAACCTTGCTGCGGTTGTAGCCATCGAGAGGAACAAAACAAACTTCCTCGATGCCTGGACACCCACACATCTCAAACCACTCATAATTAGGCTGCTCCTCCGTGGGCAGATCTTTGTTCCTCTTATCGAAGTTTATGTCGCTCCAGCGCATACTGGAGACCTGGGGCGAAGCAGAGCTTACGTTGACAATTCGTGTGGCGCCCTTCGGGTTGCTTTCAGCGGCTTTGATTAGCTTTGGCATGATAAGGCATGTGAGTAGCCAGTGTCCCAGGTAGTTTGTTGCAAAGTGCAGCTCAATACCATCCTTGCTCAATGTGCGTTCTTGGATGCACATTATGCCGGCACTGTTAACGACAATGTCGATTGTGGGCACGTCGGCCCAGTTCATGACCTCGGCAGCTGCATCCCGGACCGATTGTTGAATAGAAAGGTCAATCTGGAGACCGCGATAGTTCACGTCAGGGAAATCAGCCCTGAGGGCCTTCATTGACTCCTGGATTTTGACCGGATTGCGACCGGTAAGAATGAGATGGGAGGGCGATTGAGAGGCCTGGCAATCAACATGGGCGAGTTGTATGAGAGACTTAGGGGTAGCTTACAAAGGCTTGGGAGGTCGAGAAACCGATACCACCGCGATTCACACCAGTAACTATGACTGTCTTGCCACGGATTCCACAAGCAAACGCCTCGGCGACCTCAACGGCTTCGGTCTTCTCAGTGAATTTGGAATGTGTCGTAGTAGCCATCCCGCCTGTATCGCATAGAAATTGAGAGAGGGCTATAATTTATGGGAATAGACAGTCTTCGCGCTATAGATGGGAATATTTTAGTTAATGACAAACGGTTTATTTATGTTCTTTCTGAGGGCCACGCCTACGTAGCATCGTGACCCATAAAACACACACTTCTTATGGAAGCCTATGATCGGAACCAATGAGAGACTCACTGCCTATTTCGGTTAAGCGATATCAGGTTTACATGGACCCGTGTTCTGAATTCTCTGCTCCAGCCTTAGCCAATGAGAGACTTGTTGCCTAATTGGGTTAAGACGATGTTACGACCAATCTACCATGACTTCCCCATACATGATGCCAGTATATTGACTTAGGTAACATAGTGTATAGGTACCGATACAGGAATATTGCTATTCCGGGGTTATTCTTAATACAGTATGTTAGTTCTTGGCATTAGAGTTCGAGAAACAATCGAAGAGTGTAGCTGGTGACACCGATTCCCGGAAGTACTGTATGCGGGACTCAAAGCATTCTCAGTCAGTTCTCAGGCTGCTGTCGGGCCCAGCCGGCGCCCGCATCTACTTCCCCATACTCCTTTTCGAGGAGGCAGAGCATACGACTACATGAGGTAAAGTAGTAATCTAAAACACAAAGTACATAGCGGAGATAGAATTTCAAATCTTCAGGCAAGGGCAAGATTGATACTCAATACTTCTCCCCCGCTTCAAGGCTGCTATCGGTGTACTCATGGCTATATCGGCCCGCAAAACCCGGCAGCAACCTACCCCTCTTATCGACGACAAATAGCCGATCATTGTCGCCCAAGTAGATGGCATCCAGCTCTTCAAGACTGCGCCCCGAGGTCTCAGGATAAAAGAGCCAGATAACAAGCGCGAAGAAGAGGTTCAGCGCGAAGAAAATCATGTATGTCCGCCAGCGGATATTCGAGATTGCGATGGGCGTGATCTGCACGATCATATAGTTGAATATCCAATCGCTCGCCGTCGCGAGTGCGGTGCTGTGTGTCCGATGGCGCAGCGGCATGATCTCCGCGGGATATAGCCAGGGAACTGGGAGCCAGCCGACTGCGAAGATGGCTTCGTAGAGAAAGAAGAAAGCTAAGGAGGCTTTGGCGCGCGTATCGGTTGGGTTTTGTTGGAGGGCTCCGGCCTGGGAGAAGGGTTGTTAGATGTAGATTTGATTGTGGATATGGTTTGAGAATGGATGGCTTACGATGAGGAAGCAAAAAGCACAGCCTAGAGCGCCGAGGATGAGTGGTTTTCGGCGACTGATTTTGTCCAGCCACATCAGAGGAATCAAGCTGAAGACCCAGTAGGTGCAGGAGAGGCCCGCGGCTATTTGCAGGGAGACTTTCTCGCCCATGCCAAGGTCGGTGGTCAAAGTGCGCGGGAAGTAGTATACCTGCGCCGATTAGAAAAGAGGTGTCTGAAGTGAGTGATTGACTGGGGTGTATTTGAGGACATACCAAGACATTGATCCCCGAAAGTTGTTGCATGGCTTGAACACCAATAGCTAACATATACCGTCGACGGATTTTGAGAGGTCCGTTGACGAAGCATTCCTTGATACTCCATGGACCGGCGGCCTCTTCGAGCCGAAGGGCTTCATCGATCTCTTCCTTGGTAGTCTGCACGGAGGAATCCGAGAGCGGAGTGTTGGTACCCTTTAGCTGGGCGAGAATATCAATAGCCTCGTGATGGCGTCCGTCTAGGTAGTCACAGTTAGCTCGCCTTATCTACAAGTGTGTACTCTTGACAGGGTTAACATACGTTTGATTAGCCACCGGGGAGACTCGGGCAAGACAAGAACGAAGGCGACTTGAAAAATGATAAAGATGATCTGCGACGCGATAGGAGCACGCCAGACCACTGGACCGGTCGTGTAGGCCATGCCGATGTTGTAATAGGACGCGATCACAATTCCGAGCGCAATAAGACTGCCTTCCATCGCAACGAGACGGCCTCGAGACTTGGCTGGACTGAGCTCGCTGACCCATAATGGCGTCGTCGCGGTGTTAAACCCGTTTCCCCAACCGCTGGAATTGTCACGAGTCAGCTTTTTGCGCAAGTGTGCAATGCGATAGCTCATAGTTTACATACCAAACAATCCGCCCCACGATCATCTGAGCAACGCCGAACGAAGATGCTTGCAGGATCGCGCCTATGGCCATCAATGCAGCACCAATGTAGAGACACTTCCGCCTGCCAAGCATATCTCCGAAGATGAAAACCGTAACAGCACCGCCGAAGCAGCCAATCTCATAGATGGCATTGATGGTGCCTAAAAGACTTGACGATGGATTGCCAAACTGACGTAAGAAATCGGACGACGTGTTGATACCCTGCTAGCGGTTAGTTTCGCGACAACATGGAACTCCCGCATATTAGTACTCACACCAAGAACTCCTTGGTCATATCCAAATAAGAGGAATCCAATCGACCCAGCCACACTAATGGCGCGCATCAACACGGCACCTTGGTGGCCAAAAAGATAGCGATGGCGCGGAGCATCCGCATATTCATGCATGGGGCCGGACGAGGCATCGGCCTCCTCCAGCATGCTCGCGTTGCCTTTGTCAGACATGGTTAGAGGTCGACGAGATAGAAAGAGAAGCAAGGGTTCTCATCGCCGCTGGCGAAATCCAGATCCCAATTCTGGGGTAATCATCCCGATATATAAGAAACGACGCCATGACTGGGGAGAATGCGGTGGGGAATGTTATGGGATCTCCGCAGAATGCAGCAAGAGGCGGAAACGCAGATCGGCATCAAGCTTCACGCTAACATCAACGCCAGTCCCAAATAAGCGAACCTCGGCGAGGATGACTCGCTTTGCTTAGCGTTTGCCGTGGCCACCGCCCACCACGCGAGTCAGTTGTGTACCCCCTACCCCGGACTGCATTCTTCGCCGACATTTTAACCTCTTCGGTACCCCAGGATGCGGCCGTCTTACAGCTATTGATATCATGTCATCCAGAGAACCTAGATGGTCAGCTTCCCTCACTAGTAGTCATGCATGCTGGCTAACTCCGCGCCGACAGTATTCCATGTCGCGAACGACATCTGAAATGTCAGTGCGCGCTGCCAGCATTCATAGCAAGAGAAACAAGACAGCTAAGCCGCGAACGTAGGTGATCGCGCTAGTCCGATATGCTCCAGTTGCAAAAGGGCCAGAGCCTTGTTGCGCTGCGAGTATGCATCCAAGATGGTCCAGATCCGAGAGAGCAACTATTCTTCGCGCATTGCAAAGCTGTCTGTCCGTACCCAAGAACGGCGGAAGAATGCAGATTCCACCACCTCCCTTCTATCGCCAACTAATGGCAAGTGGCGTTCATATGTGACGATGACGACCAGTCTAACTTCAGTCAATGTTTAGGCGCCAGCCCAGGTAGTCCGGTATCTCCTCCTGTTCAGAATGGCCCCGTAAGGTACAACCAAAGTGGCCATAATGCATCAAATGAGCTTGATTGCGGCACGGCTGCCCCTGTGCATTTCGAGCGCCAGATTCGGGGGGGTTCTCGGATCGTGCCAAATGCTATCCGCTACATTTCACCTGACCGCCATCCCAAGAGCTCGGGATGGGTGAGACGTCATACTAATATCGAGCTAGATAGGACTGCATGGCAGTATTCCACCCCCATGGACCTGGATATCACCAGTGATCCGAGCAACGGCCAAAGCTCGCCGGTCTACGGCACTGCGGCCTTGGTTACGAACCGGCTGGATGCTAAAGTTTTTGCGTTTTACGTGAAACAGGCGGGACCATGGGTATGTCGTGTATCTCAGACAGATTCCATGGGGATTGAGTCACTGGCGCTGACGCCCTGAGCATTGTAGCTTGACATTGCATCGTCAGATCGCCATTTTGGAGAGCTGGTTCCCAAATTGGCCCTCGTCACTCCCGTCTTGTTTTATGCTTGCCTCGCATACTCTTCGCGCGTTCTGGTACTCATGAAAGAGCTAGACCGGTCCGAGGGTGACCGGTACCATGATCAGGCCATCACCACATTGATTCCACTACTCTCTGCCGAGTCAGTGGCGCGAAAAAACGAGGCTCTTCTCGCAACTGCCGTTATTTTACGAATGTCCGAGCAATTCTACGAAGTGCAGAATGACATGCAATGCCATTTGTTGGGAGCAACATCACTCTTTGCTGGCAGCAATAGATGGTCTCTCGAGCAGCCTTCTTTGGAGGTTGCATCATTCTGGGTCTACATTCGTCAGAATATTCGGATGTGTTTCTTGAATGAGCAGCCATGCCAATTTGACTTGGACACCTCTGCGCTGAGCATGTCGTATTCTCCGGCACCGGAAACGGTCTGGGCTAATCGCATCACGTTTTTAACGGCGCTAATATGTAATGAATGCTGGAAAGACCCGATTGGACCGGGTGTCACGACCTGTCGGAAGAAGTCATGGGGCAATTATGACCACTTACAGTCATCTATCGAACGGTGGAGACAAAGTTTGCCAGACAGCTTCCAGCCATGGTGTCATATTCAAGACGAATTTGAGCCATTTCCTGTCGTTCGATATGTCAGCGTGTGGCAAGGTAATTTTCCCAAGTTGTGGTTATCGACTGGGCTGACAACATTCATTAGCCATTGCGTGGCAATATTACTATGTATGTAAAGTCATGCTTGCACTATATGGTCGAGGTCAGTCCGCATGCACGTCTCTCCTTGAAATCAATCAATACATGGAGGTAGGTTTGCGGTTCCTCATGCTCACGAGAAACTACATTCAGAGTCACCGCAGTTGCTAAGTTTCGCAGTCCCAAGTGTTAACCCCTGCTCGTCTGGTCTGTGGCATAACGTTCTCCTGTGATGACGTTGGTGCAGTCATCAATGGCTCGCATCTTGCTGCATGGTGCGGGCAGCTCTTCTCCGGCAAGGAAGAACAGAGATGCCTGTTTAATTTCCTACAAAACTTTATGCATCAGACCAAGTGGCCGAACGGAACTTGTTGTGATCGCTTGCAGAGGATCTGGACCGGGCCCAATCAGCCTTGGATTGTGAGGTCGGCCACATAGCTACGTTCAAAGGCCTATCTATATGCCTGAACCCCATGACATATGGATTGCGGAGTCTTGAAGTTCTAACCTGTTTAGGAAAGTTCCCGCCGAGGTAGAGTCTGGGGAAAGATGGAAAGTCCAATCATGCCCAAAGCGGCTTCGGCGTTCCATCCGAACAACCATGTCAGAACGGTCATAGGATCATGGGAACTCGGGCCTCTCTTCTACATGTTTGCTGATTTAGTAGAGAGGATTTCGCTCATCGCCCGCAGGTAACAGGCTCCTTCCACTGTTATCAACCCAAATACCTAATTACTGAGCGTGTTCTCTCTTCATAGTTGTGTACTCTACAAATTAACCAAACATGTTGTCGCTAGGTACGTTCACCACAAAGTTTCTTGAACGGTCATAACTAAATGACGTGTAGCTGGTCTGTTCGCATGCATACTAGTGCTTATCATACTATATCTACCGTTTCAACACTTTCGTGATGAGAAAGCACTGAGGAGGTTCCCAGCACCCTCAGTATTTGCCTCGTTGACGCCGCTGTGGCAGATGTATCACAACTGGCGTGGCCAGAAGTTTATCGCTATCGATGAAGCCCATCGAGCCCTGGGTGAGGTGGTTCGGATTGGGCCGAAGACGATATCCTTCTCTTCCATCCAGGCGTACAAGGATATCTACGGACATGGGTCGCAAGTGGTCAAGGATGTGTTCTATGACAATCAGGCCGGCGGCAACCCATCCATGGCGGATACTTCCAGCCGTGAGCTCCATAGCCGGAAACGAAAGAACCTGTCATTCGTCTTTTCAGCGAAGCAGGTCACCTCGATGGAGCCTCGGGTGATGGATGTTGTTGACAAGCTTCTTCGGGCTGTCAAAGTCAAGTCTCAGGGCAGCAAGATTGCCCCCACAGACCGTTTCGACGTTGTCGATGGAGCCTTGGACATCAGACCGTGGCTTAACATGTTCACGTACGACGCGATCAGTAGCATGTTCTTCTCAAAATCATTCAATTTTCTGGAACGAGGCGATGATGACTGCATGGCCCAGGATGCAAAAGGTGTCGTCCAGCAAGTGCACGCAATGCAGACTTTCCACACAGGAGCCCGCCTCAGCGTGCTCTTGGGCCACATGCCTGCCTTCTGGTTTGACCTTGTTAAAAACCGGATGTTGGGCTGGACGTTCGGAAACAAATGTGGGACAAACTTCACTGGCATGGCGCGCTTTCTGGTTACAGATAGGTTGCAAAACCCACCGAGCAAGCCTGATCTGTTCTCCAACCTTCCTGTCAAGCCAACAGAGAAGAATCCAGTGCCGATGGAACTGAATGAGCTCATCGCTGAAGCTGCTGTCATGCTGAATGCAGGGAATGACACCACACAGACCTCCCTGGTCAACATATTTTACAGCCTCGCCAGTAATCCTAACGAACAGGGAAAGCTTCGCCGGATTCTGGAGGAAGAGATTCCCACAAATCAACGTCCAATCGTCTCCTATGCTCAGCTGCAACACATTCCGTACCTCCGATACTGCATCGACGAGTCATTCCGTGTTTTGTCTCCCGTCGCAACCGGTCTTCCCCGTCGAACAACCCAACCGGCCATCATCGCTGGCCACCAGATTGCGGCTGGGGTTGGGGTTTCCGCGCCTACTTATACGCTCCATCGGAACGAGAAGCTCTTCAGCAATGCCAGCAGCTGGCATCCAGAGCGGTGGGACCCAGACAACAAGAACTACACGGACGAGGAACGCAAGAACCTCAAGGATTATGTGCAGCCGTTCAGCCAAGGCTCACGAGCATGCATTGGACGCAACCTGGCATATATGGAGCTGAGCATCTGTACTGCGGCGCTTGTCCTTGCTTTCGAGTGGGAATTAGGGCCTGGCCAGGGTGCGGTAGAGCACTTTGAACGCTTCAACTGCAATCCGGTTAAGCTGATGGTTCGGCCCCGACCCAGGGATGAAGTGTGGGACTCCTATAACTACATTTCCACTCAGTAGTAAGTGGGACTCTGTAGATATGGAATGAACATTCGAGATTGGTTAGGCATCACAGTTTTAGGCAGGAGCGCAACATGATGGGACCCAGGCACCTCTCCGTTCCCTTTCCAATCAAAGTCAGGTAATTCATGTAAATAGTAACGTGGGATCTATACTTGGCGAATGACGTAAGGAGCGGAGGAGCGGGCGGCGACCTTTCTTTCGGCAGAAAAAATGTTCGTGGGGCACGACCACTTCCACTTTCCACTCACTCAACAATCGTACTCGACCTTGAACTTTTCTCGTCTGATTAAGCGTTACATACATACCACCGCCAACATGTCGAAGCCATTTGACCCCGAGAAGGCCGAGAACCTGGAGGATGTGCGTCTTCCTGCCCAAGCTCCCCTGCCCGCAGACGCGGTTGACTTGATCGCTGACGCTGACCACTTGTACAGATGGAGAAGCAGTTCGCAGTAAAGGGTCCGTCTTTTCTGAGTCCTTTGTACTCTTCAATCGAACAGATATATTAACGCCCATGTCTTTGCAGCCGTGGAACACCTGATGACATACTGGTCCATCCTGGAGAAAGTGAAAGGCTCGCAGCTACGCCTGACAAAGATGGACAATGAGATCTACGAGAGCTTCATGGCCGAGTTTCCCGATTTTGATCCCGCCGCCACCATCGACGAGGATCAAATGAAGAGCAAGGCCGGCAAGGAGAAGTGGCGGAAGTGGGTCAATCAATATGATAAGAAGATCGAGGACTTCAACTTTGGAACCATAATTCGCACTCGTGCCGATGCAGAGTATGATCAGGACACTACAATCTTCGGTGAGTCGACGAGGTTTTTATGGCTGTGATTGACTTTGTGAGAAGCGAGGGGCTGACGATGGGGACTAGGTGTTCGCATGCAATTCTATGCTGTTGAGATCGCACGGTAAGTACCAACTCTTGAACAGCTCATAAAAAAATCCATAACTAATAGGTGCTTATTCTAGGAACCGCGCGGGCCTGAACGACTGGGTCTACGAGAAGGCCCAGAAGGCAAGCTCATGATTTCGAAGACGGGCACTTCTGGCTTTTCTGGAAGGCAGCCACAAGCAGCCACTCACCAGTCTACACGGCTGACGGCATGTTCATTGTTCTTCTCTGCAACGCGGGCGCGGACTGGTTCCGGGGCCGCGACTTTGATGCTTGGTGGTGTATAGAAAGGTTTTCTGATCGATCATAGAATCCATGACGCAGCACAGACTCGGATTTGTCTTCGATGCAGGACAATAATGAGTTGAGCTGGTCAAATACCCAGAAATGAATTATCCTTTTCTCCTTTCCTTTCCTTTCCTTTCCTTTCCTTTTATCTCTTCTTGACTCGAATTTGTATAACGTCACGTGACCCGAGAAAATGGCTGGAGGACAAAGAAACGCCTTCACCGGCCCCTTGGATATTACCGAATGGGGAAATCTCTAAGGATTGTTCTTCGGATAACACTAGACATGGGCCATTATCTCCTGTGTATATGGGCGTCGAGTCCCAGATAACTGTTTTACTCCCTCATGCTTCCTTCCATCGCGAGCTGCCATCCGCCTTTAGCATGGTATCTCTAATGTGTACACAGTTTATCTAAATTGTTCATCAGCCTTGAAATGAACTGTCTGCAACGATGACTGCAAAATCAAAAGACTCCAACAATGTTGGTGCTGACCCCAGTCCGACGGAGCCGAGCTGGAAATCGCTCTTCGGATTTACGTCGAAAAAGCATTTGCCAACTCTCATCCTTGGCTCATGCTTCGCCCTCGTTGCCAGCTGTGTCACTCCTGCTCTTGCCATATTTCTAGGCAATATCTTCGATTCGTTCACGTCCTTCGGCGCTGGACAGAGCAGTGCTCAAGGACTCCGAGACAGCATCGTCTCAAACTGTTTTGTGATGGTCGGGCTGGGAGTCGCCGGTTGGTTCTTCAATGGTGCATACTATGCCCTATTTGTGGCATTTGGTGAATTACAGGCGTCTGGAATTCGCGGTAATGTCTTCATTGAGCTGCTCAAACGGGATGTTGAATGGTTTGAAGCCCAGCGGGAGGGCTCTGGCGCTTTTCTCTCTGGGATCCAAGCGTAAGTTTCGTCGCCGTAAATTGATGTTCTAGATCATTCTAACTATATGGCAAGCAATATTCATGATTTACAAATGGCGACCTCCCAGCCCCTCGGACTTGTTCTCCAGTACTCGTTTCGATCCATCGCATCGCTCGCGCTTGGGCTTTATACCTCATGGAGCCTGTCTCTTGTCACTCTCGCTGGAATCCCCATCTTCTCATCCATCATCGCCATTCTGTCCATCAGAATGAAATCAAGCATCAAAGCACAGCAAGTCGAATTGACACATGCATCCAAAATAGCCAACAATGCCATCGCCTCTATCGATACGGTCAAGTGTCTCAACGGCCAGTCTCTGGAAACCCATAATTTTGCCTGGCATATTGACAGATCCGCCATGCACTACCTAAGGCAAGCACGCCTGAATTCTCTTCAAATTGCATTCATCCGGTGGATGATGTTCGGCATGTTCGTTCAGGGGTTCTGGTATGGCAGCACGCTCGCTCGTTCCGGTAATCTTACTTCGGGAGAAGTGCTGAGGACTTTCTGGGCCTGTCTAACTGCCGCACAATCTATTGAACAAATCCTGCCCCAGATGATCGTCATAGAGAAAGGCAAGGTAGCTAGTGCTGCGCTGAAATCGATCACAAGGTACCATGTGGAGAACAAAATGGTCAGCGAGATGAAAGGCAGCATGTATCCTCGCCACTGCGAGGGGGACATTGAGGTCAACAATGTGGGCATTTTCCACACTACCCATATCAAAGGGGTTGGACTGACCTTATTTTGTTCAGGTGTCCTTTTCCTACCCCTCTGCACCGGATCAGTGTGTTCTCAAACCATCGACGTTCTTCTTTCCCGCTGGAGAAACAACCTTTGTTATTGGAAAGAGTGGTTCCGGAAAAAGCACGTTGAGCCAGTTGCTGATGCGCTTTTATCCTCCCACATCGGGTGAGATTCTGATCGATGGGAATTCGATTCAATCACTCAGTAAGAACTATATTCGGAACAATATCACTCTCCTTGAGCAGCGCAGCGTCCTGTTTAACGAGTCTGTGCTTACCAACATTGCATTTGGACGGCAGGAGCTCGGACCAGTCATGAAGCTGGATGTGAAAGAGGCGATTGATCTGGCTAAGCTCCAAAACACCATCGATGGGTTACCTAAGGGAATCGATACTAGTGTCGGTCCCGGAGGGGGTTTTCTGAGCGGTGGACAACGGCAGCGAGTAGCAATTGCACGAGCAAAGTTACGTGACACACCAGTCTTGATTCTGGACGAACCTACGAGCGCCTTGGATTTCACGAACCGCGTGGCAGTGATGAATAAAATTCGAAAATGGCGAAAGAACAAGACGACAATCATTATCACGCACGATATGTCGCAAATTCTCGGGCAGGATTTCTTGTACATCCTGGAGAACGGCACGATCACCCAATCAGGCTACAAGCATGAAGTGGAAAAAATGCCAGAAGGTGGAAAGTATTTCCATTCAACAGCGCAACCTAAACCAGATGAGAAGAAGGCCCACCGGAAAAGCGCAACAATGCCTAATTTCTATTGGAATAGCTCTACTTCTGAGGACTCGGAGAGCTCAGAAGATTGCGGTCCCTCTATCCCTCGGCGTGCAGCCTTGGTCTCTAGAAAACATATCCCCAATCCACAGGAAATGGCACTTAAGAGACTAGCGATCTACTCACCAAAGCTTGAAAAGGATCTGGCCCAGGTTCGACCCCAGAGTGTTTCATTCTGTGGTGGAATCCCAGAGAGCCTTGCTCATGGGCCGGGAACATCGCCTATGGACGATCTTGAAATGGTTGAGATCGATGGACATGGTCCACGAGCAGACCGATACCTCCATAATCGTATTTCGTATATCTCACGATATCCCTCCCAGTCGAAACGTGGTAGGAGTTTTCGGCGTCGATCGATGAAAGCAAAAAGACGACATGTAAGCAAAAGCAATGGGATGACTTCGCTCACTCGCATAATGAGCACTATCGGCCCAAGCCTAACTATTCGCGAGCGGGTCATTCTGTTCTTCGGTTTTGCATCGGCATTAGCTCATGCCAGCGCAACGCCGATGTTTTCGTACTGTCTGTCCAAACTGTTCAGCACGTTCTATGCCGGCTCGAACAGTGAGCATTTGACCATGACATGGTCACTCGCTGTTCTGGGAGTCTCCTTTGGGGATGGTCTGGCCTCTTTCTTCATGCACTATCTCTTGGAGTTTTGCGGCGAGGCATGGATGGACAAGCTACGGTATACTGCTTTCCAGCGGATTCTCAGTCAGCCGCTAGCCTGGTTTGAAAAGGAAGATAATGCGTCGCCAAAACTCACTGCGTGTCTTGATCAGAATGGTGAGGATATGCGGAATTTGCTAGGCCGTTTTGCTGGGTTTGTCGTTGTTGCGGCAGCCATCACGGTCATGTCTATCATCTGGAGTCTGATAGTTTGCTGGAAACTGACTCTTGTGGCGCTCTCTTGTGGTCCTATCATCTACGCGATTACCAGGGGGTTTGAACGAACCAATGGTTTGTGGGAGAGACGATGCAATGAAGCCAACAGTATTGCAACTGATGTCTTCACGGAGACTTTCTCGGAGATCCGCACTGTGCGATCACTGACTCTCGAGGGATATTTTCATCGCAAGCAATTGAAAGCCATCACTCATTGTCTTAGAATTGGGCTGAAACGTGCCATATACACGGGGATGCTATTCGGAATGGTTGAATCGAGTGTTGTCTTTTCAAGCGGTAAGCCACACCAATTTGAGCCCAAGCGCTGGCTAATCTAACTTTGTATAGCATTGATCTTCTACTACGGGGCCGTTCTTGTAACTCACGAGTTCAACGTGAACGATGTTATGATGGTATTTTCCATGCTTCTTTTCAGCATCGGATATGCCGCTCAGATTCTCTCCTGGAGTTCGTACGCCCCGGTAACTCAAATCGAGCGCATTATCACTAACTACATCTAGTTCCTCAAATCAACACATCGCGTGAAACAGCAACACAACTCCTCCGCCTTGCCAGTCTCCCTGAGGCCGAGTCACATGAGCATCTTGGGACCGTCAATGCCTCCGACTTGACCCCAATCCAATTCAACAAGGTAAACTTCCGCTACCCATCCAGACCAAACACGCTTGTTCTCAAAGATGTCTCCATAAACATCCAGCGGAATTCCTGCACCGCAATTGTGGGACGATCTGGTTCCGGAAAATCAACCATCGCGTCGCTCTTACTCTCACTTTACGAATCTCCAATAGCCAGACATGGCCGGTCTACCGTGACCCTCGGAGGCGTGGACTTATTACGACTCCACGTTCCCACACTTCGCTCTCAAATTGCAATTGTGTCCCAGCAGCCGACTATCTTTCCCGGGACAATCCACGACAACATCAGTTATGGCATACCCGAAGACTCCCCTCTTGCCTTACCACAGAGCGTCCGCGCGGCTGCCCATGCTGCCGGTATTGACGACTTCATCTCCTCACTACCATGTGGATACTACACTGTCGTTGGTGATGGAGGTATCGGTCTGTCGGGCGGCCAGAAGCAGCGCATCGTCATTGCGCGCGCTCTTTTGCGCCAACCCCAAATCCTCATTCTCGACGAAGCGACGTCTAGTTTGGATCCTGCTGCTGCTGAGATTGTACGCCAGACGGTGAAACGGCTTGTTTCTGGGCGTCATAGTCTTACGGTTATTATTATCACGCATTCTAAGGAGATGATCGAGATTGCCGATCATGTCGTTGTTCTTGATCGGGGGGTTGTCGTTGAGGATGGTCCGTATCGTGCGCTTGCGAATCGGGCAGGGAGGAAGCTGCATACTTTGATGAATGGTCCGGAGGAGGCTGGTGATGCTTAGAGTACTTTGGAGATTGGGAGGAGTGTTAGGTTGCGGAGTCTGGTTACTGAATTCTAACCCAGCATTCTTCCATTGAGTGTTTTATAAGGAGCGGGCTTGTACATTGTCAATAGAGATGAAAAGGTCTCTGGGGATCTGAGAAAATATGGTCTGAGTGACGATATTACGCAGTAATAACTAGGGAGGGTTTATCACAGCGTATACTTGAAGCCTGACAATTCTTCGATAACCATGCTCCCCCTGGACGCTCGCCGATTGCAAACAGCAAAATAAGTAGTAAGAACACCAACAACTACAATGGAGAGGAGATTTGCTCTGGAATAAAATGGTCAGCAATAGACTAAGCTGGGAAGTCAAGAAAATGGAGTACTCACGCTATACACGCATACACCCCAGGATGATACCTCGGCGCATCCTGCGTCCGAAACACCATCGATCCCGCCACACCTCCAATACCACCCAAAGTAATCGCGCTGGCACTGCAAAAAGCGCGCTTTAGTTGGCCACGGATATTATTCGCTTGATACGTCAGCACAGCAGGGACGTTCGCATTCGACCCCGAGGTAACAAGAAAGACCCCGAAATACTGCACACCAGGAACAGTGACCCAGCCGAGAATAGCCAGTCCGATGATAGCTTGTATATTGTTCCAGATAATAAATGGTGCTCGCATGCGATATTTGTCACCCAGCCACCCTTGAAGGAACATGAATATTCCGGCGAAGAAATAGGGCGGCGTCGTGAGGACTTGGGCGATTTCTGTGCGAAAGTGTAGCTCGGAGGTCATGATGATAGGGAGGAAGAAAGTAATTGAGTAGGAAACCATTGTGGCGCAACTAGAATGCATTTGTGAGCCTTTGGTCTTGATAAAATAAGGGATGGCTTACAAGAAAAGAATCGCGAACCCCCACACCTTTGGTTCCAATGCTGGCTTGAGGAATTGCTTTAGGTCAAAGGGGACTTCTTGCGAGGCGTCCTGTCGATCTCGAGAAATCCGCGCAACAATAAAAGCGATTTCCTCTTTGCTGAGAAATTTCCATGACGGACGATTTTCGTCTGGAAAATCGATCAGCAGCACAAATCCAATGCATGCTACCACACAAGTGAGCAGTCCCTCCATGATAAAGATCCATCTCCATGGTGCGAAGCCTGCTAATCCACCCATATGAATAAATCCGAATGCTAGAAGTCCAGAAAAAGCCCCTCCCGTCACACTGATAAGATAGAATGCCGAATACCTCTTGTGCATATCATCTATAGGTGGTTAGATGCCGTTCTGCCGGACAGGGGAGGGGATACAAACAGCGGGAGTACCACATCGAGAGCAAGTATACAGCCCCTGGAAAGAGACCACCTTCGAGTAAGCCGAGCAGCATCCGGAGTGCAATCAAGACCTTCCAGTTGTGTACGAAGCCAAAACACTAATTGAATTAGTAAGATGACGGGGATGGTGTATGGGTCTCTTACCATCATAACAATACCCCATGCCAAAGTGATACCAGACAGAAAGATCCGAGGCCCAATTTTGCGATTCAGGAGAATCAATGGAAGCTGGAATAGGACATAAGGAATGAAGAAGACGAGAAGAACAATGGCCTATGAAGAACGTCAGATTTGGTTTAAATGTCAGCAATCTTGGCTTCATACATAGCGAGAGCCAATCTCCAACCGCAGTTCCTCCTCCATGCTATTGTTATGTCAGCATGGAAGTAACCCCAATTGGAGTGAAGCAGTACCCAGAGATCATAGCATTGCCCAAGTTGGTCCTGTCAACTAGACTCACACACAGCAATAGCCCCAATGCTGTGATGAGTCGCCGGTCGACTTTGTGGATGATGTGTCGCTGCTCCTTGTGAGAGTAACGGCTTTCTGCCGCTGAATACTCTGCCTCATTCTTTGACGGAGAGTCAACGTTGTGGTCGGTCTGTTCTGACAATTGTTTATCCATGTTTGACAGTGTGAAGATTGTTTTAGACAAGCTCTATGCCATGCTGCTGCCTCCTTTTTATCTCTGGCGAGCTTGGACCATTCCCCGCATTTACAATTAATGGATCCTCTCGACTCATCTTGACAAGTTGAGGCTACCTCGGACAAAGTCGTGGAATCAGCCCTCATTATACAGTGTTCCCTGGGGTAAGTTGCACGCTAAGCATGGGCGCTGCCAATAGCGTGCGGCACAGTGGATCCGGTCGTTGAGTCGCAGTAACCGCATCGGGCAGTCGACTCGTCGCATTATCTAAGCCTAGTTCTGGATGGAACCAATGTGATCACGACATGGAACGTTTGAATGAATCCCTCACGATCGTTCTGTGGATCTGACCGAGGCTGTCGGCAATTTTGGATTAAGAAACTAGCATAAAAGGATGATCCTAAGCCACGTCTTTGGGAAGGATTCGACTCGCCTATCACGATGGCCGCTCCTCAATCCCTGCCTTCTTTCTCCGACAACACCGATTTCGAAAACGCTTCTCGCGGACTTGTCGGTGCTTTGAAACCATGCTCCATCAAAAACGCAGCTGGCCACGACGTCTGGAATAACGATGACTATGACTTCATGCAGAACACTGAATGTCCTGCGACAGCGGACCCCAAGCTCTGGCGCCAAGGACAGTTATGTTCAATGCAAGGTCTGTTCGAAGTGACCAAAGGTATTTACCAAGTGCGTGGCTTTGATCTTTCCAACATGACCATTGTCGAGGGCTCGCGCGGCATCATCGTCATCGACCCCCTCACGTCAGTGGAATGCGCCGCCGCCGCTCTGGGGCTCTATCGCTCCCACCGGGGTGATCGACCAGTCAAAGCCTTGATCTATTCCCATTCGCACGCCGACCACTTCGGAGGTGCACGGGGGATCCTCGCCGCGAATGCAGACCCGTCGATCCCAATCATTGCCCCGGCCGGGTTCATGGAGGAGGCCACTAGCGAGAACATCTACCTGGGCGACGCCATGCGCCGGCGAGCTGCATTCATGTACGGGATTCGACTGCCTAGAGCTCCAGATGGGCATATCGGGTGTGGTCTTGGGATGGCAGTCTCCACTGGAATCACATCGCTCATCCCGCCGAATGACACCATCTACGAGACGGGAGAGACCCGGAATATTGATGGAGTGCGGATCGAGTTCCAAATGGTTCCTGGGACGGAAGCGCCGGCGGAAATGAATTTCTTCTTCCCAGATCAGAGCGCTCTGCTCATAGCTGAGTGTGCCACACATTGCCTGCATAATATCATCACCCTGCGTGGCGCACTGGTGCGCGATGCCAAGGCTTGGGCTTCGTACCTTGATGAGACGCTTGTTCTGTATGGCGATAGATCAGATGTGCTATTCGCTGGTCACCATTGGCCGACGTGGGGGAAAGAACAGCTGAAGACCTTCATTGAGGAACAACGTGATCTCTACGCCTATCTTCATGATCAGACCATTCGCATGATGAATCTGGGGATGACGGGGACCGAGATTGCAGAGAAGATTACTCTCCCACCTTCTCTGGAATCGGCATGGCATGGCCGTGGGTACTATGGGTCAATTAGTCACAATGTCAAGGGCATTTATCAGCGCTACATGGGTTGGTTCGATGGTGACCCCGTTCATCTGTGGGAGTATCCCACCGCTGAGCTCGGCCAGCGATATGTTGACTGCATGGGAGGTGTTGATGCCGTTATTCAGAAAGCCGCCCAGTACGCAGAGGCCAAGGACCTGCGCTTTGCTGCGACCCTGCTAGGCAATGCCGTTTCCGCACAGCCCACGCACCGAGCAGCAAGGCTCGCACTAGCATCCGTGTTTGATAAGCTTGGGTATGGGTGTGAGAACGCAACATGGCGCAATTTCTATCTTACTGGCGCGATGGACATGCGGTCTTCTAATACTGCGAATCCGAAAGCGCAATCGGGCTTTGAGTTCAGCCCAACTCTATCAACAGAACAACTGGTGACGCTTTTGTCTGTTCGGTTGGATGGGCTGCGAGCCGCGATGGAGTCTTTTGTGATGGACGTGCACCTTACTGATGAGAAGACGTGGTTGCGCTTGATTCTGAACAATGGTGCCCTGACAGTCCGCAACACCGCTGAGCAAACCGGCTTTGCGGATAATGCCGCTGGCCTCACCATGACTCTCAGCAAAGCCGAGTTTGTCGCCATCCTCAATGGACAGGCTGTTGCCTCTGGAAAGTCGGTCGGTGATGTAGAGATTGTGGCTAAGCTCATCGCCTTGACGAAACCAGTGAAGAAAATCGCGAGTTCTTTGTAGATAGTTTACAGTTTATCTTTATTTATTTTAGAATACAAACGAATCTCCGAGGTCTTCAAGTAATTTCCCCACTCGTTAGTTTGGCTTCGAATTGTCGTGCATTTCGCAAAACTCGCGCCATAAACTGGGCTTTCCCAATTCCCATGCAATGCCCAATCACTTCCAGGCGTTCGATCGCCCATTCGCGTAGTGCCGATCCCAGGGGGGCTACATCGGACGCCAGGAACAGAGGCCACATCACGATGAAGCCTCCAAGAAAGTTGACTGAGGAGGTCAATTCGACTTCTGCTTCTCTTGCAGACCCAATATGTCCCAATGCGTAGGGAACACTCTGTGCAATTTCCCTCGCTAAATTGCTGAGCGCTTCGTTTGTCGAGTGTGAAGTTGGATAATTATTATTCTGGATGCGAACATAAATCAACCGATGGAGCAGGATCCGGCCTACTCGATAGAAATTCCAAATATTACACGCCCAGGCGTCCGGATAGATATGATAGGTTTCATCGAAGAAGAGAGCTTCTGCATCCGCCTGGTTCCGACTTCGAGTTGGCGGTGGTTGGGCTCTGCGATAGGCCCATCGGGGCGGTAGATCCTGTTGCCATTGTAGTAGGAGTTGGTCTACAGCGGTGGCCTCTGTTATAGTTTTGATATCATCTTGTGTCTCCGCGTCAACAACTACTTGGCTAACGCGAGCAACTAGGTCTACCAGCTCGTCGGCTTTGGCGTCGCTGACCGACCGCAAGGACATGGCCTGCGTGGACCATTGCACCAATGGAGCTGGTACGGGAGTGTGCCAGTGCAGGCAGCTAGCGATCTAATTTTTGTCTCGTCAATATCGCACCTTCTCGTAGTATGTCGTAGATATTGAATCTTACAATCTGCACGCGTAAATGCGTGAACAAGCGCATCCCGACTGTCTTTTGAATCTGCTCGGCTCCCCGCATCTCAACCAAAGTCATGGCTCCCCGAGTATGACGAAGCCATGATTTTAGGGAGTGTCTAACTCGGCATGTCAAAACCTGCAGCTATTAACATTGACCCAAACAAGGGGGCGGGGGATGGACGGAAGCATACCTCAAACATATTCAGAAGCAACACCGCCGCAAGAGTAGCATCGCTTGTTGGATTATGCAACGCAGTCCCTGTCAGCCTTAGAGCCTCTGTGTAAACTTTATTGGCAGTGATCATTAACCCCGCAGATTTTCTGATGTTAGACAAACTCGCCAGTCCCACCGCCGCGAGGGCCCCCGAGACAGCCGGGCTGACGGCGGCCAGATCGGCCATCTGTGAGACGCTGGGGTGAATCGGAATATCGTAGAGGTCATTGAGAACATAGTAGCGAAAGAAAAAGCAAACCGATTCATCGCGGATGGATGATTCCGCTAGGGGCGACGGGATCGAGCGTGGCGATACAGTACATGTATTATTCACCGTCGTTGCTCTGGAATGTAACTCTTGATTCTCTGCATGAACTCGCGCCCGGACAGCCAGGCTCTCGTCGCGAAACTGCAGCTGCTGTGGATCGCGGTATCCAGGACAGGAGAATCGGGCCCGCTGACACTGGGAGCAGGTGGGCCGTGCGGTGTCACACTGCTCGTCGGCCTGGGTCAGTGATGGAATTGCGAGGTGCGGAGCATACAGAATATCTCGCTTACTCGGATCCGGCGCGCACGGCAATTCCCGCACCCTTTACTCGACCGGGGGTGGTAGGGCATGGGACCGGTGATGAGGTGAGGTGCTGCAGTTGGTTAATTTACTTAGTGCCGAGGAGGCGAGCGAGGCAAGGTCAACTAATGGCCGTTGTGGGGCGTGATGGATGGGCCCGAGCACGCCACCGAAGGGGAGTCGTTGCACGAGGTCGGGTGGGTTCGTCACGTTGTGAAGAGGATGGGACAGGTGTTGCAGTGGTATGCAGGTTGGAAGGGATAGATGTTGAGGCGGCTGAAGGTGGTGGTGGTGGGACCTAACGGGCACCGGGTTAGGAGAAATATATCTTCGGCATAAGAAGGCAAATCACATTCACAAACCGCAATCGAAGCTGTCTGGAACAAGCACACAGCTCGAACATACTACTAGCTAGCTATTTACAAAATATATAGATTCTCGCCAATCCAGCCCACCACTCCATGCAGAGAGTCTCAGTTCTTACACGACAGCTTGCGCATGAACTTCTTCACCCCAGCGAGTCGGTCCTTTTTCTGAGCACCGTGGTTTCCCTGGTCGTTCTGTCCGCTCTGAGCTGGGACACTATCACCCTGGTTCGTGCTCTTCTTGGTAGAGTCGCTGGTCGGTCCGCCAACGGTGACTGTCAACGACTTGGGGCTCCCGTCGAAGACAGCACCGGAGACATTCGTAGCGTCTGAAGGGGCCACATCATCATACGGGAACGCATAGCCCTTGCCATCCAGAGCAGTCGCGTGGATGATGCGAGCGTAGTGGTTCGTGATGGAGGTTTTATAGTAATCGGCAATCACCTCGTTATCGGGTTGGGCAGTGTCGATCAACAGGGTGGACCGATTAAACGCCGCCGCAAGACGCGCGGTGACGGCGTCCTTGGTGGAATCGCCGGAGACAGCGAAGACGCCGGAGCTGTTGCTGAAAATGTCGGCGCTCGCCGGCTGTCCGTAGGTGATGGAGTCGGACGAGAAGGTCAGCGTGTCGCCGGAGACCGTCGCCGTGAGAGTACCAGCGGAAGCCTGCGTGTCGACCGACAGGGTAGCACCGGCGTACTTGGACCACACCTGAGTGACATAGGGCTGCCAGTAGGTGCTGAACAGTGAGCTGTCCAGGGAGATCCCCGTGTTGGGTGAGTTGGCGCGCAGGTTCGCGCCGCCAGTGGTTACCACCAGCTTGTCCCAGCCGGCACCGTCACTGGCATTCTGCGCCTGCAGAGCGGAGCAGATGGTGGCAAGCCCGTCAGCAGGCAGACCCTTTGCGGTTGTGGTTGTGCCAGAGGTGTTGGTGAGGGACAGCGCAATGGGCAGACACGCAAAGTCCACCATGGTGATGTTGACATAGAGCTGCTCCGCGTTCCAGGTGAATTCACAGAAGTCCCAGTAAAGGTTGTAATTAACATCCGACGTGTTGGATGACGAGGGCTCAACCAGTTCGGGACCCGGATTCAAGTAGAAGGTCAGCTCGGCGTCGCGGATAAACCACAGTCGCGCGCCCGCCAGATGGGGGATCGTGACGGTCTTGGTGCTGCCATTTGCGCCTAAGGGAATGGCACAGTTCGCCGAGAGCGCGCTACCGGTCGCCGACGGCGAGGTCGGGTAGTAGGCTGTGGTGCCGTCCGACTGCAGTAGGAACAGCGCATTGTTATTGTCAATGGCCTGGCCGGTGATGTAGGCATATGCGGTATCGGAACCGGTGTTGTTCACCAAATCAATATTAAAAGTTGCCATGGTGGGTGATGATCAGCCGATCGGAAGCTTGTCGCGTGGCTGTCGGGATATATGTATAGCCCCTGATGAAACAATGAAGAAGGGTGGGTCCACTCAGACGGAAGTTCAACAGAGAGAGCTGGATGTATGTTTCCTTGGGAGCTGCCGAACCCGTAGATAAATAGGATCCGGTGCGGCCCCCTCTACCGAGAGGCCGTCAACATAGTTGAATAGTAGGGCAGGCTGACTAGGCCCGGTGATAGTGGGTGGATGGTATGGAATGTCCCGATTGGACCGACCCGGCCATTTCATTTCGGCGATGTCGATCCTTCAGATGGGAAAAGCGATGGTGCGCCAACCGGAGCATCTAGTAGTCACTAATGGATCCTCGAAGGCGGCGCTATCCCGATCATGCCGCGGCGCCAGATGATCGCCGTGTCGATCCGGGGGCCTTTCAGTCAGCAGCAGAAAGGGAGGATGGACCGTGGTGGTAGAAAGCCCTAAATAAGAAAGCGGCGCCACGGCGGATTGCAATCCTGGCGCCTACAGTCATGATGCCCATCTGGCCAGGGCAGCCCTTGCAGTGGGGGGTGAATTGGTGCAGAAACTTGCAAACACGGCCAGGCGCATGTCGCAGCTCAGACATGATCGCCACCGATTTGCAGCTGCGGACACAAGCAGGCCACGCCAGCGCTGACTTCGCCTCTTGGCTTTGAGGCGTCCAAATTCCCAATAATAGCGGATCTCGTGTCTCACCCGCTTTTTGGTTCCCTGGTGCCTTCCTTTCATCTCTACTCATCCCATGTCTCCCATTACATCTCTCTAGGGCTCGACGGTGCCCGCCCAGTCGCGATGTACCTCCCTGACAAGCGGGATCAGTCGGACAAGTCGTCGGCGCACAAGCCGGTCGCCTCGTCATCCAAAAAGAACACCTCCTTCACCATCGTATGTTGTCCCGAGAAATCTAAAAAAAAAAAAATCTCGCTGACCCGACCGGTCACCGCTAGGGCGCCGTCTGCATCATCTTCGGACTCGCCCTCTGTGTGGTCATCTATTTTGGCTTGCGATACCTTCGCCAGCGATACTCAGAGCCCAAATACCTCCCCGGAAAATACCTCAAGAGCAAATGGAGGACATGGGCGCCGGGCAGAGCCAGGTATGACCAGGTGTCGAATCGACCGGGCCCTGATGGAGAGCACAACACCTCCTACCCGGGCCGGGGCCCAGAGATGACCACCACGAGTGTCCACCGTGATACGTCGATCCGTTCCGTGATCACGCTGCCGGCCTACTCCCCCAGCCCGAAGCCGACGGAGCAGGTTATCGGCCGAGAGGGCGAGAGGAGCGGCATGGACACGGTGGTGGAATATTCCGAGACTGCAGAGGAGCAAGAGGCTCGCCGTGAAGAGCAGATGGAGGCGTTATACCAGCTGCGTCTACAGCGACGACAAGAGCTCACTGATCGAGAGGCCCGACGGCGAGACCGGCGAGAAGCTCGTGCGCGCGGCGATACGGACCGCCTGGAGCAGCTGGCCGCAGAGTCACGGGCTCGCAGACGCCAGTCTCGGAATGGTAGCAACACCTCGATCGATGCATCGGCCGTGCTGGCTGAGCATCAATCGCGCGAGCGAGGACGTCGCGTGTCGAGCGTCAGCTACGCCGATGTTGGTCATGTCCGCCATGACGGATCGCGCCTTCGGGCCAACTCGCACGAATCCGATCACCGTCCTCTGCTGCAACACACCGATTCATCCAACCCATCTTTGATGGACCCGCAGGACGCCACCTCCCGTGTCATGTCTTTTGCATCCTCGATCATGAGCACCTCAACTGCTGTGACGGACGTTGATCCCTTGGCTTTGGGCCGATCCACAACACACGGGTCTAGCCGGCCGTTGTCTCTAGCCGATGAAAGAGACCTGGGGACGCTCAACATCCCTCCGCCACCGGATTATGAGTATCTGGAATGGGGCGATGTGCCTGCATACGATAGTCCTGTGGCTGAGCGCACCCCTCTGCCTCGGACCATCAGACGAGTGCCATCCATTCAGGTGGATACTCCGACTCCTCGGGCTGCATCCCCGGCATCACCGTCGAGCTTCCATTCGGCAATGGACGAGCGACCACCATCTCCATTGGAGCTCTCCCAGCCTGCTTCATGAGCCATTGGTCTTTTTCCGCGAGCACGTATTACGAGTTGATGTATTAGCACGAATTTTTTTTTTCTTTCGTTAATTTAACAGCTGGAGGCAAGGCGTTGAGGACCCCCGGCTGAATGGAACTCTGTTTTGAGCAAAGTGACTGAGTGAGAAATAATGGTTTGCCGAATGTAGTTCGTATCTGGTACTCGAGGGGAAGGAATTCGCTGCCTCAGGCTCCGACCATCCACCCGTAAACAAACCCATTCCATTCCCTATCCTGCCTGCCATTCTTCATTTCTCCCACTACGGTTCACAGCGATACATCCATATTCTGTTTCTGTTCTTCTGGGTTTCCATAAGAGTTGTAATTCTCCTCTAATTCTACTGACACCCATTTCCCGCTCACTCCAACCGGCCTTGGACCCACGTTGGTGCCGAGACGCGCATTGACCAAAACATTCGGGCCAAAACAATTGTCACTCTTCAACACTCCGACGCGAACCTGCATGGCCTCCCATTATTGATCACTACTCTCCCCCGCTGTTTCTTGCGATCTTCTCGACGATGTCGCAGGATAACACCATTCATTCAGACCTCAGCTTCGCGTCGTACGGCAACTCCTCCATATCCGACTTCGACCCCGAACACGAAGCCATGGCTTCCACACGCGAATTGGAATATAGCCCTCGCCTGCCTAACATGAAAACAAGACCTGGTCGATCGCGCGCCCCTCTCCACGACGAAGAACCCGACTACGCCATCAACACGTCTACTCTCGACCGCGCTTTCCCCGAATTCTCTCAGCTCCCAACCTCCGAAGACGACCAAGACACTTTCAACAGCGATTTATCCATTGAAGTTGGACGAGGTGTCAGCAAGCCGACGCGCTTGGATGATTCTCGGAACTCCTTTATGAGCTTTGAAAACAGCGTGCGTGCGTCCTCGCCCGCTGTACGGGTGGACTACCCGACGCCGCAGAAGGCTGCTGTGCGCTCCACGGCGCGACGCGCAGTCAGTGAGAATTTACGCAAGGATGCTCAGCTTCGACGAGCAAGCCAGGCTCAGAAAGAAAACATGGGCTCTCAGGTGTCCAAACCGCAACGTGACCAGCGCCGAACTCTTTCTGAAATGCACGCCAAAGTCCGCGATAGCTACGATGGCTCCTTTCTTGGGGACGAGCGTCCTGCTCCAGTTGCCATCAATACCCGCTCGACGCGCTTTGGTAACCGCTACAACTCCCAGGACATTGCGGATGCGGTCGAGCGAGCTTCTCGGGAAGCCTTCGCGAAGGAGACAGGCAAAGCGTCGAACAGTCCCCGCAAGACAAATGCAAACACTGGACACACTTCCAACGGCCTCGGGGACACCGTGACTCGACAGTCTTTCCTGCTACCCGACCTTCCTAACATCTCCGACCTTGTTTCCGGTGTCTATGAAGACGGTACCCCTGTTTTCTCACGCCAACAGAAGATGCGCCCTACTCGATTTGTATCTTCGCCGCATGATGAGGCGGACATGTCTCTTTCGCGACAGCACGTACCGCTGGATGCAGTGCCGATTCCAGAGGATGAGAAGGCTTTGTTCGTTTCTCTCAGACTCCTCCAGGACAAGGTTTCTGAGCTTGAGAGGGCCAAAGCAGATGCAGAGAGGAGGTTGGAAGGTTTCCGCCGAGAGAATGCGGTCTTGAGAGGAAACAAGCCTAGTCAAGCGGAGAGGTACGAGCCGGAGGAGGGCGATTACCGGAAAGGATCGAAACGACTGGCAAGCGAGAATCAGAGTGAGCTTCAAAAAGTTTGCCCTCTTAAGTGTTATTAGCTAACCTGTCATTTACAGAGCTAGAAGCAGCCAATTTTGCCCTACAGAATCAGCTTGACATTGCAGACAGAAAAGCTCAGGTTCAAGAATCTGCCATCAAGCGCCTGAATCACGAAAGAGAGTCCGCCATCTCTCAGCTGGGAGCCGCTTATCTGGAATCTCGCGAACTCAAGGCTGAGAACGAAGATCTCAGACAGGAAAACACAGAGCTCAAGTCTCAACTCTCTCGGTTCTCAAGTCGCGAGCCCGACACTCGTGATTCGGAGGCTAGCTCCGCGTCAACGGACGCAGAAGACAGTCAATTTTACACTGAGCACGGTGAGGGTACGAGCCGCAGTACGAAGGATATGGCATTGAAGAGTTCCCGCTCCAAGAAGCGCCAAGATGATTCCCGTGCAAAAGTTTCTGCCCAAGTTGACAAGGAAATTTCCCGGCTCGAGAGGGAACGTGCCGAAGAGGCTCTTTTCTCTCTGAACATGCCTAACTCCAAGCGCGCGCCGGGTTCTAGAGCAGGAAGGTCCGATAACAAGAGCAGGAAGCAGCCGAATACCAGCAAGCAACGTGTCAAACGTGTGGTTGTGGAAGACATCAGCGGACCAGTGGAGGTGACTGAGCGCACCAAGAGCTCATCCGAGGGTGACTTGACCCTGCTGAGTGTTATTGACGTGAGTACCCCATCCCCTAATCCTGCGGACATAGCTCAATCATTCATGCTATAGGAAAATGAGATTTCGCGCCTGCGCAAGACTTTGGAAGAAGAACGGTTGGCCCGCAAGCAACGTCGATCGAGTGCACCAACCGATCTTATTCAGGACACGATTAACTCCACTCGCCAAAGCATCTTGAAGGCACCTGCACCACGCAAGTCATCTCTACGAGAGCCTAAACCTTCGATCCAACGACCCGCATCGGCTGCAGGTGACATCACTGCTGGTTCTAGGGTCACCACCGATGGAGATAGCAGTCTCGTTGTTCCTCTTGTGGAACGACCTCGACGGTATTCCGATCACTCGTTGCCGTCCACATCTGGTCGCAAGAAGCGCCGTAACGTTGAGGACATGACGTCCGCTTTCATCCTTCCAGATATCACTCTCCACCACACGGATCTGGGTGCCAGTAACCCCTCGCAACTCCCTGAAGCAGCCCAGAAGGCTCTCGATAGCATTGCGCAACATGATGGCAAAAACTGTATGGTCTGCAAGAACTCCACCAAGGATGGGACCTGCAACCATGAGTCCATCAAGATTCCCAAACCAGTTCCCGTCTCGGAACGCATGCCCAAGCCGTCACCCTTCAACGAAGAACCCACACTCCGCCCTTCCCAGCCGCCAGCTGTTGCTGTCGCCACCGTCCTCAAGGCATTGGAAGACGAGCTCTCTCATCTAAAGATGCAGTTGGCCACATACCAAAGCGCCTACAACAAGCTCGATGTATCTCTCGGCAAGCGACAGCGCAAGTCGCTCCTGGAGAGGATCGATAAATTGCTCAAGGATATCGACATGAAATCCGACCAGATTTATTCTCTCTACGACGTCCTGGAAGGTCAAAAGCAGAGCGGGCATGAGATGACCGCGAAGGAGATGGAAATGACCCTCGAGTCGATTGGCATTGATACGACCATGTCCCATGTCGCGGATGTTACTGGCACTACCGACAAATCAAATCGTCACCTTGGCCAGCTCGACATGGATGATGACGAGGATGAGCTGCCGTGGGAGGGAATCGAGAGCACGGCCGATATGACCGGCCACACCCGCGACTGAGTTGAGACGTGTCTATTGTCCTGGAGTCTCATTTCGAGGTGGTGTTGTTTTGTAGAGCATTGGCCGCGTTTTGGAGCCTTTTTTTTTGCTCGTATTGAGTATTCTTCTGCCACATTTTGATTAGAGAACTGTTGGGGCATTGTTCATTGTTTAAGTAAGACTGACTGGCGTTTGTGATTGTTTCTGTTACTTCTCCGGGAAACACCCACGCAATTTGATCATAATGTCCTTTTTTGGAGTAGGCCGTTCTTGCCGCTTTGTTGCCACGAAGTTGTTCCTGCACAGGCGATGATTGCTTGCCACAGACAGCCGGCAACAAGTCCAGTAACAGTAGAACTAAGAACCATTGTTTCTGGGGCTGCCACTGACAAGACTACGGCTGTTGGATTGCGTACTAGCACATATGAGACTGTTTTGTAGAATTCCCAAGATAATGAAATTTGAATGGAATTATCGAAATTATTTCATATAAACACATTAATCGGTAGCTCAAGGCATCTTGTCCTCCACATGCTCTTGGAGTACCACTTGCTCCTTCTGCACCTCAACCTTCTCCGCCAGCCTCTGTTTCTCATCGTCCCCTTCAAATAGATAAGCCAATTCCTCCAGCGTAGGGCCCGATGTCTCCACGAAAAAGAAATAGACAATGAGGAAGATGAGCAACACCCAAATGTCATAATAGATATAAAACTTCCAACCGATGTTCTGCAACCCGATCGGGTTGACATAGCTGCCGAAGATGGACGCCACCTGAATGGTGAGAAGCACGAATGCCCAAGTCTTCGCGCGCATCTGGAGGGTGACGACCTCGAGTGGGTACGTGACGATCAGGTTCGTCCAGGCAAAGGTGTAGAAGAATTGGAAGACAAAGATACAGGCGATGACCACTCGTCCTGCTGGAAGGGAGCCGTGCTCAAGGTATCTCTGCGCGGCTATTGTCCAAACGATGAATGTGACCACAACTCCACCGGACCCAGTCAGGAAGAAGAACCGACGCCGGAATCGATCGACCGTGAAGGCAACCAGGATAGCAACGATGTATTGCCACAGGGTGACCATCCCGTTCACGAGGGTGATTTCATAAGAAGTCTTCAAGCCCGTGTCCTTCAAGATTTGGGTTAGGTAGTTTGACACGAGCAAATTCCCAGAGCTCTGACTGAAGACGGCTGTGGCAAAGCAGAGGGAAATGCGCTTCAGATTGGGGACAGACGAGAAGAAGTCCTTCCAGCTAATGTTGTTTTCGGCTTCCTTGTCGATGGCCTGTTGGATCTCTGCGCATTCGATATTAACCAGCTCTGAATTGGGGTCGCACTCGCCATGATACTTCACGAGGATGTTGCGAGCCTCCTCAAAGCGGCCTTTGGCAATCAGCCAACGGGGCGACTCGGGGCAGAACCAAATTAGACAGAACTGGTAGGCCGAGGGGAGGACCTGGATCAGAGTGGGCAACCTCCATGACCACTGGCTGGTGATTTTATTGCAACCAAATGTTGCCCAGGCGCCAATGACATACCCAAGAACAATTGAGGTGTTGTAGAAGGTCGTGACCTGGACACGTTCCTTGGGATGAGACAGTTCAGTCACCAGGACCGGAGCACCCATCTGGATGAGTGAGGAGCCGGCGCCCAGCACGATCTTGCCGCCAATGTACATATTCAGCGAGGTAGCAAAGAACTCGATAATGACTCCAGTAATGATAACAACCGAGCCGAGGGCAGTAGGGAGACGACGACCAAATTTGTCGCCAATCCAGCTGAGAAAGATGAAGGGAATGACACCACCAATGGCGCTGGAGGCTCCAAAGAACCCTAGCGTTGAACCCTCAGGGTGCCCGAAACGGTCTTGCCAGGATGAGAGAACCTGCATGCCGTTCGTCATGGACTATGAAGGCTTGTCAATGTACATCAGCAGCAATGTAACAGGAGAGCCACTTACGCCATCGATACCGAGTGCAGCACTCGCCAGCAATGAGGAGGTGAGGAGAAAGTACAGTAGAATTCCATTCTTCCGACGCCAGAATGGGGGCATCGACTGCACGTCGATGGACGACACAATAGCCTCGGCGGCATGGGCGGCAGCGGGAGCCATTGTGGAAGAAGTAAGTCGCAACGACTCAAGTGAAAGCCTGTGATAGGATCACTTGGACTCAATCGCTGGGGACGCGAAGATGGCGGGAGAACGAAGGTGAGGATGAGGACGGGACCTTGGAAGCCAGGATGAAGACATGCCTGCACTTCTTATAGAATTCTAGATCGGCATAAATGGTTGAAAGGCGCGCACCTGCTGCTGTCAAAAACTTCCTGTGCGGAGACCTACTCCCCACGGGGACAAGAATCTTGCGCGGCCGACCAGAGTCAAAAATAAGTTTTCCCGAATTTCGGGGAAATAGAACGTGGAGAATGGGTTGGGATCCACCGGAAGGCTTTCCTTGGCTGTCGTCGCTCGATATTTCGCCGTTCCTCTGATATTCTCCCGACGCGGCAAACACAAATCTCCGGGGAGTGATCAACCCCACGCCGAATTGCCAAGTTGGTTGATAGCAAGAAGCTATAAGTTGTTGAATTCATGTGCTGGAGCTTGAGTGACTTTTTAACTCGTTCGTCGGAAGAAGTGGCTTGACCTGAGTCCCCATTGATACTAGTATTGAAACTCAAGTCATGGCGCCGCCTACACGTCTCCCTGCAGACTTTGAATGGGGATTTGCTACAGCCGCATATCAGATAGAAGGCGCGGTTGATGAGGACGGCCGCGGCAAATCCATCTGGGATACCTTCTGCCATCTGGAGCCTACCCGGACCAAGGGGGCAAGCGGAGACATCGCGTGCGATCACTATCACCGTTATGAGGAAGACCTCGATCTGCTCTCGCGGTATGGCGGCAAGGCGTACCGGTTCTCTATCTCTTGGTCGAGAATTATTCCGCTGGGTGGACGAGATGATCCTGTCAATGAAGCCGGAATTGCATTCTACGACAGGCTCATCGATGCCTTGCTCGCAAGAGGCATTGTGCCGTGGGTGACTCTCTATCACTGGGACTTGCCACAGAAGCTCCATGATAGATATGGAGGGTGGCTAGATGTGGAGGAATCACAGCTCGACTTCGAGAGATTTGCGAAGATCTGCTATGAGCGGTTCGGTGATCGCGTCAAGAATTGGATTACCCTGAATGAGCCGTGGATTGTGTCCATTTATGTGAGTTTGACCATTTTCATCACAAATTTACTCTCAAACTAATCGCAGAGCTAGGGATATGCGACTGGAGGCAATGCACCCGGTCGGAGCAGCATCAACCCACAATCTCCAGAAGGCAATACTGCCACTGAACCCTGGACCGTGGGGAAAGCCTTGATTATGAGCCATGCCCGTGCTGTTGCTTTGTACAACAGGAAGTTCCGAAGCGCTCAAAAAGGTCAAATTGGTATCTCTTTGAATGGCGACTTCTATGAGCCATGGGATAATGAGGATGAGCGCGACAAAATGGCTGCTGAGCGTCGAATGGAATTCCACATTGGATGGTTTGCCAACCCAGTTTGGTATGTTTTAGAATCCGATTTAATGCAAGAGAATTTGCTGCTAACATTGCTCCAGTCTGGCACAAGACTATCCAGTCTGCATGCGAGAGCAACTTGGTGATCGCCTCCCAGCATTCACTGAGGCCGACTTTACTCTGCTTCGAGAAGCTGAAATGGACTTCTATGGAATGAACTACTATACCTCCCAGTTTGCTCGCCATAGCGACGAACCGGCATCAGAAACCGATTTCGTGGGAAATCTCATCGAGTCGCAAGAGAATAAGCAGGGCGTTTCCGTTGGCGAGCCTAGTGGTGTTCATTGGCTTCGTTCAACTCCGGGCCTTTTCCGGAAGCACCTTACTCGGGTGTATCGGAAGTATGGCTTGCCAATCTATGTCACTGAGAACGGATGCCCTTGCCCTGGAGAAGATAAGATGACTCGTGACGAAGCCGTGGAAGACACGTACCGGATTCGATATTTCCAAGACCACCTTGACGCGGTTGCATTGTCTCGAACAGAAGACGGATCTGACATCAAGGGCTATTTTGCATGGTCGTTGATGGACAATCTTGGTATGTCACGTCGGCTTGAGGCGAAATGATCGAATTTACTAACTTTCAATTACAGAATGGTCCGATGGCTACGGGGTCAGGTTTGGTGTGACTTTTACCGACTACAACACGCTCGAAAGAACACCCAAGAAATCTGCCCTTCTGTTGAAGAGCATGTTTGAGGATCGAATGAAGCAAAGTGTGTCCCCCGAATCTCAACTGTCCTCTGAAGGTCCTAGAGCGCACATGTAAATGGGACAGTGGGGCGTTTTCCGTTCGGGAGTATGTTCATCTGGCATGACTATAGAATAAATAAAAGGAATTTTTCAGACCGCGAACTACACTGCTTCAATTTATCATTTCGATCCCAGTTGGTACCAGTTCGGCATCAAATGAATTAGAGGTACCCGCCCCCAAGCCCTCCGTCACTGGCATGATTTTCATCATGGTATCCCCGATATGGAGCCTGATTGCGGCTTTAATTCCGTTAAATCCGACCAGATGATTGACACATTTTCGTGTTGTCGAGGTTAAGTTCACTAGAATTACCCATAAGGTAACTCCGGTCCAAGAATATTCCGAACCGCACTTAACACCGTGATCAACTTATAAAGGCGAAATAGCCCGATCAACGACCTTTCACCAACAATAATACTACAGGCTGGCTCGACATGACTCTACAAAACATCAAATACCTTGTCCGAGAAAAGGGTGGCCAATTAGTGGCCACCAGCGTCCCTAAGCCGACAATTGTCGAACCCACTGAAGTCATGATCCGCCTAAAAGCCATCGCTATCAATCCAGCAGACTGCAAGATGATCGATGAAGGCCATCGAGTCACCTTATGGCCTCTTGTAGCTGGTCTTGATGGGTCTGGTGTTGTTGAAGCTGTCGGCGACAAAGTAAAGAACTTTGCAATCGGAGATAAAGTAATTGCTATGTTTGCATCCGGCGATCGCGGTGCATCATTCCAGAAGTTTGCCGTGGTACCAGAGATGATGGTTGCGAAAAAGCCGTCGACATGGTCCTTTGAAAATGCAGCGACTTTAGGGTGAGTTCCTGCCTTTGTATTATGATGACCCATTGGTTAAAATATTTTTGGACAGAAAGAGAGTGTAAACAGGGTTAACGTCTTGCTCCCAGGGTATGCTACCTCACAGCCATGATGGCTCTTGGGATAGGGCTGAAAACTCGGCTTCCATTTCTCCCAGACGGGCCAACAACTGGCTTCAACCCTTCTTCGGTGCTCATTCTCGGTGGTAGCTCTGCACTTGGTGCAGCCGTTATTCAGCTTCTTCGTCTTGCGGTCCCAGATTGCCTGATCTTGGCAACCAGTTCGCCCAAACATCACAAGCACCTCGTCTCTGTTCTGGGTGCAGACGGAGCATTCGACAGAAATTCTACATCTCTGATTACAGAAGTGAAATCAGCATCTGGATCTCAAGGAGTCGATGCGATCATTGATGCAGTCGGCGCTGGTAGCAGCCAGAGAAACATCTTTGAGGCATTTAATCCAAGTGGACCCAAAAAATATGCCCAGGTTTGGACTGGCGACGAGGAGATCCAAGTCCCAAGCGGCGTGGATTCGGTGATGTTCAGAGGTCGCGATCTGCTGCATTTACAAGGGGGAAATAATATAATGCTGGCCCTGCAAAAGTTGCTGGAAGACGATAGCTATAAGTTGCCACTCCCAATTCATATAGTCGGCGACGGCCTGGAGGGGTTGCAGAAGGGGTTGGATTTGATGCGACAAGGGGTTAGTGGAGAGAAACTGGTGGTTACTGTATAAATTGTACTCGCACTCGGCATAATTGAGCACGCTTTGTCTCGGGCCGAAATTCTCGTTTTAGTGGCCATTTCATGTGCCCCGCCAGATTCCTTAAATATTTCCCCGTCACCCCTCGTAAAGATTCTCCGCAACAACGTAGCATGACCACAATTAGCCTAACCTCGTCTCCACGGCCAAGGCCACCTAGAGCATGCGACAGATGTCGACGGAGGAAGGCCAAGGTCAGTGCAAGGACCATTGGCTCCTGAAACAGGGAAAACTAACCGTCGAATTACGCCGCAGTGTGACTGTCCAGAACCTTCGGCAGTTTGCATCAACTGCCGACTGTCCGGGGAACAATGTACATTTGATTTGCCGTTGGGTAGAAGAGGCCCCAAAGTGAAACGACACAAGGCCAATAACACCGTGGGCTCAAGGCCTCACCACGCCCCGACCACGCCAACATCGCAATTACCAGAAGCCGATGCGGCATCCCAACTTGTCTGCGCTCCTGATTCGAGAACTTTGTCTCTAGACGCCTGGGATGCCGGACTGAGTGCCCTCGATCCCGCCCTCTCACCAGACACAGTCCACACAGTCCGAACCTCGATCTCCGATGCACCATCTGCACGAACTATCTCTTCCCTGCAACGATGGCACAGCCTAGCAAGGGAGCTATCACTACGGAGCCCATCAGCACATCTCGAGCGGATGATAAATCGATGTTTCGATTACTTCTTTGAATATTTATTTCCTTTGATCCCTCTGGTTCATGAACCAAGCCTGCGGGATGGGCTGAGCTTCTTCGTCAATCAGGCCACGGGCCGGAGTTTGCAGGGTAGTAATTCAATGCCCGAAAGCATTTTATATCGCGCGAATAGCCTCAAATATCCGGACCTGTGGCCGGACCATACATTCACCCTCATTACAGCGGTGTGTGCGGAGGCGGCATTTCTTCTTCCAAAAGACATTTTCCCTGAGGGGGAGGAGATTGCAGACATCTTTCTGCATGCCTCTCGAAACTGCTTGAGCTCTTACCTTGAAGCCGACCTGGAATACCCGAATGCCAACTCCGTGGCCATTCGGTACCTCCACTCCAACTGCATGCATGCGGCCGGCAAGCCGAGATTTTCATGGCACATCTTTGGGGAAGCAACCCGGTTGGCTCAGGTGATGCAACTGCACGACGAAAAGTCATTACAGGGCTTATCTCCACTCGAGGCGGAATTTCGCCGACGCGCATTTTGGATTGCCTATATTGGGGACAAATCTGCCGCAATACTCAATAACCGCCCCATTACAATCCACAAATTTTCATTCGAGTCGGGTATCACCACGGCATATCCTACTGGGATTGAGGATGAGATCTCTGTTTCTCCGGGGAACTCGGCACCAGATGATACGACGCGAAAGAGTTTCATTGTAGGGTTTAATGCAAACCTTCGCCTATGGCAAGCTGCGTCAGACTTGCTTCTTGAATTGCGACTGCTCGAAAGCCGAAAGGACCCCGGCTTGATTACGCGACCGCTTCCAACTGCCGAAGAAAGAGGTCGAATTGACCACCTCTTTTTACTTTTTGTGACGTCTCTCGATAACTTGCCGCCATATCTACAGCCCGATATGTTTGCGATGAACGTCGACGAGGATAGCAATCAGTTGGGTAACCCGTTGAAGCAGTATATCATCCAGACAGCAAATCTTTACGTGTCACTACATTGTCTCCGGTTGGTCATAGCTCAAAAGCTCGAGGAGTTTAACCACGCTACGCCATTGCATAACGATATTTTGCTACTGCGGAAAACTGAGATCGCTCGTGATATGCTGCGTGTAATCCGCGAAGCTCCTTTTTGGTCTTTGCAGGTGAACGGCGAGCCATGTGTAAGTTGGCTTGATCTATGACTTCTTTGTTTTTGGCGGTTGATTTTGATGATTTTGAAACAGGTGGAGAAAATCCGACTGATTGGTGCCGGCCTACTGGAGATAATTGACCAGTATGAGGCATCTCCACTATCGGCTAGAGCTCGCAACGATCTATCGGTCTTACTCGACATTCTAACAAGGCTTGATTCAAAGGCATCGGACACATTACGTAGGTCATTGTGATTTTGGGACTGTATGATCGAGATCAATGTAGAGAATCAACGGACATTCTTGAAACATTTCTCCAAAAGCTTAGCTCACTATGCCGCTTCAATTATTTCCCCGGGCCAATTGAAATTTCCCCGTCCCAAGACACGCGGACCCAGTTAAGGCTTCTCCGGGGGGATTCAGGAGTAAAGTGCGGGGAGCCCCAGAAAATTAACATTATTGTTGAGATTGATTTGCTTTTGACCTGGGCAGTGTGGTTTGTACCCACTAGTGTTCAGCACTGCAGGCACAAGAATGCAGCCTGAGAAACTTATAAATGGCCTCGTAAGACCACGTCGGACACCTTTATTTTCCAATTTGTGATTTCCAATTCTTCGATTCTTCTCCATTCGTCTCTCTTTCATTTCTTTTTGCGATAAATATACCATGCGTGTTACGCACGCGTCATCTCTCGCCCTGACATGGGCAGCACTGGCAAGTGCTTTGCCCTCGGGCCAAGCCAAAGCGCCATCATGCCGCTTCGCTTCTCAATATACCCAACAGCAGGTCCTTCAAGACCCGAGCAAGTTCATCAATGACATGCTATACTGGGAAGGACAGTTCCACCAGAACAACGTTTCCTACAACACAGCGAATGGCATGTCTTACGATGGCACCAATATTGATTGGGTGACTGGAGAGAGAACCGTGAAGCACCCTTTCAGTGCAGCCAGCAAGGAGGTTAGTTGTAGAGTTTGTAATGTTCCTTGGCTACTGAAGCTAATATCTGCAATAGTCACTTCAAGTCATGCTCTATACTCATGCGATTGCGGGCTCAGCAGAGGCTGCCCGTTTCCTGTCTCCTAATAACCCAGCTGCAGCCCCTGGGATGGTGGTTTCAATCATGGAGACCAAGCTGCAGACTTATCTGAGATTCAACGAGACGTACCCTGGTTTCGGTGGATTTCTGCCTTGGTTTACATCTAGCACCCAAGATCTCACTCCTACTTGGGACTGGGTTAACCGCGTGCCTGGGCTTGACAACGGGTAATCGTTATTTTCTGGGCGTTTTTGAAATTTACGACTAACGTAATTATTTCTCAGAGAGCTTCTGTGGGCCGTCTACGGCTTTATCCAGGCTCTGGAAAACACTAACAATGCCTCCTACAAGGAGCTTGCTAGCAAATGGCAGACCTGGATGGATTATACCAAGACTACTGCAGCGCAGGTATGTGTGATATGTTTCGAAATATATAAATCATGCATGAACCCACATACTAAACTGGATGAACAGATCTTTTACAAAGGAAATGGTCGAGTCTGCTCCGTTATCGACATAAAGAACCAATCTCTTCCCGTCAATGACCCTAACCAGTCATATGACTGTGAAGGAACTGGTCTACTCAATGATCCCTATGAAGGAGAGCTGTTCACTTTCTGGCTCAATTTCTTTGGTGGTTTGTCAGACGTGGATAAGCAGGCATTGTGGGCGATCAAGCGGCCTCAGTTGGTGAGCGTGGACTACGACATGGGCCATGTTGGTCCTGTCACTGTCCAGAAAGGTCAGTTCATGCCCATCAACTCAGTAAGATAGTGATTCTGACCCCAAGAAGGATACTGGTTCTCTAGCCACGAAACCTGGAAGGTCATGGAGATGCCCTACTACGACGTTGATATCATTCGGTATGTCAGAGCCCAAGGGAACAGGCTCTCTACCATTTAAAGCTAACAATTCTGTTAGGCGTGTCTACGAAAACGCCGAACGTGTGCGTACCTGCAACTCTGTGGTCACCAAAGTCCCCGGCATGTTTGCCTCAGTGAACAACTCTACCGACCCCTCGAATGGCCAGGTAATCGGGTACATCTCGAACGCTGGCATTCCATCCATCTCGAACCAGACAGTCCAGGAACTGGACGTTATCACCCCATACAGCGTGTTCCCTACTATCCTGTTCAACAAGGCTGTCGGCTTGGCTTGGTGGAGAAATATGGCCATTGCCAAAAAGGGACAGAGTAAGTGTTGAACCCGTGGTATTTGCGTTCACCGAAGAGTTTCTGTTCTGACGACATCCGCTTAGACCCCTACGGAAGCACCGAGTCCACTCGTGTGGATGGAACAGGGGTTTCTGCTCTTGTCACCTGGGATAGCAAGATTACGACCGTGAATGCTATCCTCGGAGGCGTGACTGAATGGACTCGTCAGAAGATGAAGAGTGATGGTCTTTATGAGGAGTTCATCAGCATTGCAACGGTTCGTTCGAGGCCATCCAGCTTGAAAGGGTTGATACTAACCACAATGCACGTCTAGAACGAATACTCGAGCGTGTTCAAAGATATCAAAGGAGAGAATGTCAAATTCTGCCTCCCCGAAGAGACTGTCCCTGATGCGGGCTTGGAGGATTTCACTCTTTGCACTTAGATTCAGCTACCTTGAGTTATACACACTGCGCCTGTGAACTACCTTTTTATTACAAGATATATTTGTTCAAGGTCTTCAACTTAAATGGGATCGTTCGATAACTTTTGAGCTCCATCTTGGATTAAGAGGTTGATAGGATAAAAGTAGACATGAGGCCATAACCAGATACAAAAAGACGCCACGCTATGCTTTTCAACTAGACAAACATGACAGAAATAGGGTTTCTCCGCTAAAAGAGTAAGGGAAGGCCAAAAGCCTACTTCAGGCCGCGTTTTCACTAGCAACAGGATTTTCCACGGCAGCCATAGCAGCGCCCTCTGTCGACGCTGCCTTCGACCGACCCTGGATGGAGGTAGCATCGCGCTGTGCGAGCTCTTCCGCGACGGAAACGCCGAGGCCTGCGAAGGCTTCCATCAAGGAGCGTGAGTAGTATTCGCGCAGGTCATAACCACCAGCCTGCATGCGCATATCCTTGCGAATCTTATCCAGAAACGCGGAGGGGTAGTAATCCTGAAGTGTGTAGTAGTCGTGCTTCTCTGGGACCATGCCGGCGAATGGATCGTAGGGCTTCTCGGGCTCAGGCGCCTTGATCTTGCGGAGACCCTTGACGAGTCCAGTATCAGCGGTGCCGGCAGTGTCGGCCGTATTGAGTAGACCAGCGGTGCGTTTGATGTCCGTGCCACGTAAAGCAGCCTGTTTTTGGCGGATACGGTCTTCCTCGCTGCGTCGAGCAGACGATTTCTTGAGAAGTACCTTATGACCTTCACGTGCGATGGCGGCTGCATCGGCTGGCGAACCGGCAGCCAGACGCAGGAGAAAATCGTTTCGCCCGGCCTGCATCTCGCGTCGCTCATTCTCATATTCTTCGCGCGCCGCCTGTCGCCGCAGCCGTGCTTCCTCTTGCTCTAGAGTCATCCGTGCCTGGAACGACTGCGATTCCTCAGCCTCCAAAGCTTGATTCGTCCGGATTGACTGCACATTATCCGTCGCATATCTCTTCAGCTTTGACTCGGTTTTGGCCACGTCGATGCCGGACACTAGGTTGGCTATAATCTCTTCGCGTTGCTCGAGAAAATCGTCATAGGCGCGTTTCGAGTCGAACTCCTCTTCTCGGCGGTTCAATCTGCGAAAGGAGAAATGTCAATCGAGATCAAAACCACACACAAGACATGAAACCTACACTTGCATCACTCGGCGTCGAATATCAACCTCCCTCTCCACCCCGATATCCTCGAATGTCTGCTGGCGGAACTTGTTTTTGCGCAGGGTTTTCCGACATCCAGCTACAGGGCAGCTGGATGGGCCAGACGAGAATATCCGATCCACACAGGACTCGCACATCTTGTGGTAGCATTCCGGATTGATGAGGAATCGCATGTTCGGGTTGAGATATCGTGAGGATTTGCAGACAGGGCAGACCTCTAGTTGCGATCAGAATGAGGGTTCATCAGGAAAAACGCTCAAAGAAACTTACCGTCCTCATCCCGGCGGGCTACACCACTTGTGGCCGACATGATGCTTGAGAGACAGATGAGGTGAGGGTGGGAAGAATAATGACGGAGTTACGGAGCTGATAAGGATAACGCACACCGCCTTATCTTTTTTTGCCACCCGCGGACCGGCAACTTTTTCTTCTCGACCACACCAGTCAGTCACAATGGGGGTTCCTAAGCCCAACCTAGAGGCGCTCGAGGGACAGCGTCTCACCTTGGAAGACAACATCCTCAAGCTTCAGAAATCACTCTACCACTGGCGGATTTGGGAAGCAGAATACGATGGTCTGCGCGAGGAAATCAGCAATCTGCCGAATGACGCCCTAGCCGAAGAAGTGCTTGCGGTTGGCCGCGAATTTGGAGGCACATTGGTGAACGAGGAGGAAGTGCACGTCATCCTTGGTGGGAAAGAAGGCCTGACGCGGTCTCGCACACAAGTGGTCGACATTCTCGGCCGCCGAATCGACTATGTCAAGCAGAACATCGGGACCATGGAGAAACGTCTGCGCGCAGCAGAAGATGAGTTGGATGGTCTTGATTTCAACGGTCAGGCCTCTGCGCAAGGCGAGACCTTACTCCCCATGTCGGAAATCATGGAGGAGCTGGACGAGGAAGGGCGGGTGATTTCCAGTTCCGTCAATACACCCGGAGACGATGCGCCACAGCTCTTAAATGCTCTGAAGAAGGCAGGGGTTGAAAATATTCCCGACATGGCTGCTGGGGAGAGCAGTGCCACCGGTAGTTCCTCAGCTGTGCGCGAGAGTGTCGCGCAAGCGCCGGCTCAATTAGCCGCTGATCCCGAGATTGGTACACATGGCCCGCACTCTGCACCAGAAGCAAGCGGCACAAATGCGGATGATCAGGTCGATCTTTCTCGTCCGGTGTCTCTGGTTACTGAAGAGGACCGCAAACAACTACCGGTAACCGATGTCAATGAATCTACAGAAGATGCCCAACTCCGCCGTGAGATGTTCCAGTACGGCATTAATGAAGTGGGCGCGATTGTGGCGGAGCTGGAGATGGATGAGGATGCAAGCGATGTATCTGTCGACGAGGATTATGAGTACCAAACGGACGAGGACGATGATGAGGATGAATTCGGCCGCTCCTACTCAGTGCTCTCCGAAGATTACCACCAGCAGATGCGCGAACTGGAGGCTAAGCTCAACGCCCGGGGAATGTGGAATATGGGCAAGGATTCGCAGTCGCTTCCTGCAGATGTCAGGGAGGAAATCGACCCACCGGCTGTGGAACAGAGTGGGCCAGCAAATGGCAATGTTGATGGCCCTGTCAAAGAAAAGAAGCCCAAGAAGCGCGTTGCATTCGCCGACGATCTTGATATTGCGCCTGCGCCTAATCCTCCAGCTGCAGAGAAGAGGACACTTCCTCCGCGGCCAGATGTCCCGGTGCTTTCGGACTCGATTGTCGAACGGACGGATAACTCGCAGGATACTCGTCCAGCGGCTACAGAGGCTCCCAAGAAGGTCTCGCGCTTCAAGAAGGCACGAGACGCAGCCCCTGAAAGCGGTACCATGGACAACACTCCCACTAGCAGATCCTCACATTTTGCCGAATCTCGGGATACGAGAAAACAAACCAACGCGACTCCTTCGTCGGTGCCCCCTCCCCTTTTCCCGGCCACGCCGAAGGAACCCAAACCCTTCTCTACTCCGATCACCGACGTTCCCAATATCCCCTCTGCTCCCCAACCCCCGGAGGGGAAAACTTTGGCCGATAGGCTGGTCGAGCGCGATATCACCCCGGGAACTGCCGCGGCACCCGAAGGAGAAGAGCTAGATGAAGAGATCCACCGTCGCGAGATCGCCACTGAATTCTACAAAGCGCGGAACCGCCTCGTCCACCAGAATGGCGGGTTCGTCAACGATGACGAGCAGGAGATGGTTCCTATTGAAGACGAGGACCCACCGAAACGGATCAGCAAGTTTAGAGCTGCTCGGATGAGATAGCATGTCACCAATGCGCAAACAGGGCTACTTTATACCCGAATGCAAACTCGATACCAATTATTCAACTCATTCTTTACATTCTGTAGGACAGTCACACCATCGCACGATGGAAGAATAGAAAGGAATTCATTTGACCGTGGTGTATTCCGCAGCCAATAAATGGACCATACCATTCAGTGATATGCATCCATCTATCTGAATTCCAAGATTAATCCAAGCAAACCGAGGGCTTCTCTGGCGGCATCCCTACGCTCAGGCCATTCTTCATGCTTGCTCTTCTGATTGACAGTCACCTGTACTGTGCTCATCAAGAGTACTTACGGGTATTTGTTGGTCAGCCTGGGCTTGTTATAACGTGGTTTGGGATGCATATCCGTGGGAATGTAGTTTATTTTTGTCCCCCGACATCCAATATTACATATTAAATAGAACTAATGGAAATGGCATCGAGCCATTGTGAACCGTAGCATATGGACGGACCTTGTATGCCAGTAGTGAATAATCAATTGCTGCTAAAAGGTATCACAATGGAGTGTGCGGTGCACGATCATGAACAGTCATAAGAAGCATTACGTTGGGGAGAAAAGGTATCCAGCGAGAAAGACCCAAGAGGTTGAAAAATCACACTCGCAACACCGACGTCCCTTTATGCCACACGCACAATGCTCCCAGGCGTAGACCGAGAATGACAACTGCAAGATGTACGACCAGGGCAAGGATTTGCATCCGAACGTTGCGGATACGCGAAGTCACCGCTGCGAGAACAATAAGAGGGTAGAGGATCCACGGGCTGACAGCCAAAGGGGAGCACGGGTGGAGAACCGAGACTACCTTGACGATGAAGAGCGAGAGGTGCAGAGTTGAGGATGAAGGCGATTGATTGGAGAAAGAAAACACTGACTGCAAAAAATGGAATCGGCTGGGTGGGGGCGGCAGAAGTTGCTGCTGAGGAGGGGGATGGGCGTCGATAGGGGGTTCTTCGAGAACGGATCTTCGAGTCGGGGAAATGGGAGGAGATGTTGAATATCTGGGCCGGACCATTAGGTCTCGATCAGGGCTGGGCGAATGTCCATCTTCCGGTTTTGTGTCTGGTGCCGGGGCTGTGCTGGCTCTGGAGTGACTGTTAGAGTCAAACAGCGAGTCGTGCCGGAAATTCACTGGGCTGCGAGGCATTTTCTTGGTGGGCGATACAGCACGCTGGCCCATAGACGGATGTGGGCTATTGACAGGATGGATCCGAGAGGCCGGAGACACCTCCGGGCCCGCCGAGCTGGCTCTTTTGTAGCGAAAACGCTCGCTCGTATTGGCTCCCACTTGGATACCACTCAACACTTCGTCTGCGGATGGTCTTCGGTTGGGATCCACAGAGAGCAATCGTTCAAGGAAAGTGTACAGTCTCTCCGGAAGATCGGGTCGCATTCTCCGTGCTTTATCAAATCCTTTCCAGCGGCTGATCTCTTCTCGGAGTTGGTCTAGGTCTTCCTTTTCCTCGTTGATAAGGTCGGCACTGGCGTATGGAAGGTCGGCAAAACACAAAAAGTAGAGGATCATCCCCAGCGAGAAGATGTCGGATTTGAAACTAAAGTTCCCGAATGGTCCATCCGGGTGCTCCCGTCGAAGGACCTCCGGCGCGCAGTACGAGATTGTGCCGGTTGCACCAGTCGATTTTCGTATCGCATTATGACCTTGAACTTCACCGAAGTCGCTCACCAGCACTCGGATTCCGTCACTGGTCTCGTGAAGCAAGCAATTGTTGGGCTTTAAGTCCCGATGAATGTACCCGTTTGCGTGAAGGTAACGAAGACCCGAAGTGATATCGCGGAAGAAAGAATAGATCTCATCCAGCTGGAGAGTCCGAGGTCCCACCAGGGCGGTTGGAGGCTCGGGCTCACCCTTGGATCTTCGCCGCAGTCGCTCCTTGAGCTGCTGGGTCGTGGTTGAAGTTTGTACGGAGCCACAAAGGTAGTTGTGTAGGTCTCCAGCATTGCAGTACTGCTGGAGGATAAATGCACACGGCACTCTGGGACCGAAGGTACTGAGCTTGGCGTTTTCCAGCCAGACGTGCCGATAGGATACAAGGTTCTGATGTGACAGATGCTGCAGCAACTGGACCTCGCCGAGGACCTTTTCGAGCCACTCATGGTCATCGCCGACGGGCACGCGCTTGCAGGCATATTGTCCCAGTGAGACCCCGTCCAACATATGCTTGACTAGTAGCACCACGCCCTTTCCACCGCGTCCTAGAACCTTTTCCTCCACAAAAAACCTCTGAAAGTAGTCTGGGCTGAATGCGGCAGAGGATATCCCTTGCGATGTCGGCGGTGGGCCGTGAGAATGGACACCGTCGGGTGTCGGAGTCGGACCATCTGATAGTGCTGGCTGAACGAGTCGACGACGCGGGGAGGGGGGATTCGAGGAGCTTGCAGAGCTTGGGAGACTGTTGTTCAGCATGCGGAAGTAATTGGGATTAATAAACTCCGCTTGAGGATTAGTGCTTGCGCGGTGAGAGTCCCGCCCTCTGCTGCCCTCGCGCATGGGGCGATGGCAGAGGGGACAGTCTGCCAGCTCCAAGTTGCCGCCATCATTGTGGTCAGCCGTGTTTCTCAGGACCAGCTGTTGCGAATCCCGATCAAACACCACAACGGAGTCGTTGTGCCGCCTATAAATGAGCCGTAATGAGAGCTGGCTCCAGAGCAGTGGAATGGAGAGGAAATACATACAACACCACATCCATGTTGGATCCCCCGTTGTAGGGAATCATCGACATGTCGTCGTCCGACATTGTCTACAGCAGCATCTCGCTGGTCCTGGGTTGAAGCTGTGTTTGGTGGATGACGGAGCCGAACTGCCGCCCCGCATGCCATTTATGCCGGGCGGTGAAGCGCAGAATCTATAGCCTGACCGACGGGCGGGGAGGGTGTTTACGCGTTGCAAGAATGGACAAATTGATTGCTTTTATTGCTCATCGGGTATCTAGTGAAGTGCCGAGTGCTCTATGGACTCGATACGTAGTGGCTGTACAGGATAGGTACAATCCGGCGCAGGATGCAGAGTCGAAATGCAGGTTCGCAGCAAGGACTAGCGCTCTGCGACGCTGAGCTGCTGGGGAGGTGAAGTACGCATGACCACTTCTGGAATTGGAGTGACCGGGTTCGGATGCTCAATTCACGGTCTGAAGCCTGGTGGGTGTTGGAGGATAGCTCAATCGAGTATGGCCATCCTGTAGTGATCATTGACCGTTGCGGTCGCATTCGTCTGGGCTCTTTTTCAGTCGTTCTCCTCGCCGCTTTCTTCATCGCTGATTTCCAGGTTTGCAATGGAGTCGTTATCATCGTCGGTCTCTTCAAACCCCTCAAACTCCTGATCACCACCAGGCTGCGAATCGGAGGATTCGGCTTTCTCGTCGGCTGCCTCAGAGGTTGTCTCGTCCAACTTGCGCTTGCGTCCCATCTCCCCAAGTCGGCCTTCACGACCCTCGATCTTACCGTCTTCCACGCCAGCTCCCTTTGGAGGAGGCGTGAACCAAGGAATCTTCCCGCGGAGGAAATCATTGATCACCATCTTGGCCACGCCGTCCAGGTCCGGCTCGCCTCCCTTGAGTAGTCGGCCTCCCTTGCGAGCAAGAACACTCAAAAACTCAATGGCATCATGTTGATCCTTAACACCATATGTCCGCTCCAGGTGACGGGGTTGGACGCGGCGAAGAACAGCTGGAATATATTGTTCTGGGTTCTCCACATTCTCAACCCGGCAAACGCCACGAAGAAGGATGTCCTCCTCAGTGTCATTCTGGTTTGGCGGAACGACTCCAGGGCAATCGATGAGGTAGATCCGCTTCATCAGGGTGATGTACTGCCACACTTTGGTCTCACCAGGGATAGGAGCCACGGTGCAGACCTTCTTCTTCCGAAGAGTGTTGATGATGGAAGATTTGCCGGTGTTAGGGTATCCGATGAAACCGACAGAAACTTGTTTCCGGTCGGAGTGCAGGGCTGAAAATTGGCGAAGCAGCTGGATGAGAGAGCCTTTACCAAAGGAGTTATTGATGTTGGCGTGGAACGCGAGAGTGGGATAATCTTTTGACAGGTGGCGGACCCAGGAAGCCTGATAACAGATTTCATGTTAGCAATCAATCACCAACCAATATGAAAAGCGCAGAATGTGTGGGATGTTACTAAGAGGCCTGCTATAAAGCCACCAAAGAAGGCAGAAGCAGGACTCAACTCAAAAACAAAGCACGCTTGGTCCTTGAGACCGGTTTTCAAGACGAAAACCAGTCAACCTAGTCTCAGAAAGAGGTTCGGCGCGGACCAGCATCAATCTACCAAAGCTGTAACAGACAGACTCCCATTGAAAAAAGCACGACATGTGTCGCAGGAAGAAGCCTTGACTTAGCAATGGCACGGCCAGATGGCCGAGGGGACAAAAAGTAAAATGATATAAAACAAAAAGAATCGAAGCACGGTGGTGGAAATATGGAAAGAAGGGAAAAAAAGAGACTTACAGCAACGCCGGTCGGGACAAGATCGCACTTGTTCAGAACAAAGATCAAGTGTTTGTGTGGAGCTTCGTCGTGGATATATTTCTCAACACTCCGGCAGCGGGTACCAACGGGGTCACGGGCATCCAAAACGTGGATCACAACATCGGAGGAGTCGATGACTTTGTAAAGTTCATTCCAAATCCGCTTGCTTTGCCCCTTGGAGAATACCGACTCTCGCGCAGTCGTATAAGTGCCGGGGTCCTCGCGAGCGACGTCGTCGCCATTCACGATCGCAGTCCCATCCGCGAATGTGCCTTGATCCAGCTTCTCGAGGTACGAGTCGTGCATCTTGGCGGTCTCGCCAGCAAGGTCTTCCAGAGATGCCACGCCTAGCTTCACTCGCTTTCGCTGAGCCTTGGGACCGAAGGTGTCAACGTATGGAGCGGTTTCAACTGCCATCTTAGCCTGGTGCTGTTTCAAGCCATTCACCCCGTCACCATCCCGGATGAGACTCATGGGAAGTTTGTTGGTCTTGAGCAGGACCTGGTATGGGTCCGCTGCACGCTCTGCTACGGCCTCACGGAATGAAGACAGTGCCTGCTGTGAGATGACCCGGGTGTTGCCAAACCATTTCCGGTTAGGCTCAATGCGAGCCACCGGGGCATCGCGCGACTGGTAGGAGGCAGCCTTGGTGATTTTTCCAGAAGCATTCCGTTGGGCCTTGCCATCCTTGAACATGTTCAAGGTCCTTATCTTCTTTGCATCTCTAGATGATTGTCAGTCCACATTGATTCCTTGAGCAGCGTGGTTCCTTGGGGTAGGGGGAAAATGTACCTGTAAAAGTTTTCACCTTTGGTCTTCACGTTTCCCATGCCATCGTCCAGCTTACCCTGCCGCACCTTACGGGCGGCCTCCTTCTTTCCGGTACCCATGATTTAGGGTGATTTGGAAAACTAAAAGAGAATTTCGCTGCCTTGACAAAAGTGTGGCAGGTCGGAGATGGAGTGGAAGAGGAAAAGAAAAAAAATGGCGAGCGGAGTGTTTCTGCCGCGCACGGGCCACTCGCAAACTCGCTTCGTCGCCCAACCTCCATCCATTCCTGCTAACGATCCTCCCGAAGACACGGAGTGACCGGGTTCAATTGTCCAACATGTCCCTCCTCCGCAGCGGCCGGGCGGCCACCGTGCAGGTCCGTGGCTTTGCGTCCTCCTCCAGTTTTCGAGTCGGCCCCGAATCTCCTCACTTTGTCGATGTCCCAAGAGCCATCCAGCCATCTGCCCAGACCAAACCACGCGTCAAGGGTACTCTCCCGGTGCCTCGCGAGATATTCCCGGCTCGACGGCCGGACAAGGGGACAAAGCAGTATATCGATGCCGCGACGCAGGCCCCAGCGACCGAGCGCGAAGTGAAGAACAGCAGCGACCCCGAGAAACAGGAATTCAGACTGAAAATGGCGGCGCTGCGACGAAAGAACCTCCGACAAGGTATTCGGGAATTGTACCAGCGAAAACGGGTGGCTGATGAAAGGATCACTGCCCGGAGTCAGGCCAGCCAAGCCCAACGCGAACGGGTCCTCTACCAGCCCGAGAGAGACGATGAGCGGTTGACGCGGCCGTCCATCGTCCAAGCGATGCTGCATGAAAAGATGGCCGTCCTACCGGATCCCAACCGAGAGGAGCGTTTGGCTCAATCGAAAGCGCGCATGGAGTCCAAGCTGGCTGAGAAGGAAATGGAACGCCAGGAGAACTTGCAACACCTGTACATGAATGCGCGCAAGTTTATCACCACAGAGGAGCAGCTCGACGCCGAAATCGCCAAGGTATTCCCTACCGGTTCCAACAAGGCGTGGAGCAATGACCATTCAGAGGGTGAAAGTATCTGGAATTTGGGTAACCCCCGGACTGTCGAGTCAATTGTCAACGAAGGACGGAAGAGCGAGACCCAGCGCTGGGATATTCTCCAGGGCAGACTCAAAAAGATTGGAGAGCAGATCACTGGAGGCAAGCTTTGAACGTGATCTTAACATTGTGTACAATACTTTCAGCTGTTACATTTCTTTTGTTTTTATATCATCCAGGGAAACCCTGCTACATCTTGAGCCATTCTTCTTATCATATCCATCGTTCGCCTTTCTTTCTCGTCAGACCGACCTAGCGCCTAACTTACGAAAATTCCGCTGTGAACCCGATATCTTCGGCAACTATATTTCGGTAAGAGTATAAATTCGAGTTGAGTGTCAAATGCAGTATGAATACAACTTAGAAGCAACACTGGAGGCCCCCTATTCCTGACGAACATCCTACTGGGGCACCAAAACCAGAATCGATGTATAAGTCACCGGCTCGTAGGTGTGAATCTGCTCGACCCGCAATCCGGAACGCTCACAGAGCGCATTCCACTGCGGCACGCTGCGCTCCTTCCCAGCAGACGCAGCCATCATGGCGATATCAGCCATTGTCGCCTGCCAGTGAGCGCCAGTCCTAGGCAGGACGACTTCGTCAATCAGAATGCGAGAATCCGGGCCCATGGCAGCTGCCACATTCAGAAGGATCTTTGAAGCATCATCGTCGCACCAGTCGTGCATGATTCTGCGCATGTAATAGAATTTGGCCCCTATATCTGGGAATTAGCATGAAGTCGGGTTTGAAACCAAAATGGATACCTGTAATGGGTTGCTTCTTAAAGAAGTCATAAGCTTCAGCTTTCACGCCTTCAATCGGAGGCAGCTTTTTAACCGCCTCTGGCAAATCCTGGAGTACAATATGGTCTAGGAGGTTGGGATACTTCTTCGCAAGCATGATACATTGGTGGCCGTACCCGCCGCCAACATCCACGAGGAAGGGTTTTGTAAAACCCTCTGTGGGACCGGACGAAACTTTTTGGGCTTCTTGGTCAATCAAATCAAACCCGGTGGTCCAATCGGCTGATTTCAGCGAGGTCATGATCTTTTGCAGTGATGCGAAGAGCTCCGGACGTTGAACGAGCCAATCGAAGGCAGCGAGCTCAGTATCGAAAGCCTTCTGGAAGGGAGTCTTGGTCACACAGGTGATATCTTGATAGTTTGTTTCGGCCAAAAACGCTGGCAGAACCTGTGCGATGCGAGCATGGACGTCGACTCTGACCACTTTAGTATATCATTTGGTGGAATGTGAGTGTTAGAATAGCTCTGACGGGGCTCACATACCCGTAGTGAATCATACCCTCTCCGGCAGGGTCTGCAATGATGTGAGTGCTTTTGTTGGCCTCGTATTCGTCTTCGCTGACTTCATGGATAATGTTGTTGGAAGCCAAGTAGCGGAGAACTCGCTCTGTGTGCAGAAATATATACATTAGACCATGAGCAAATACTCAGACCGGCCTTGAATAATCCTACCTAGTAACTGAGGTGATGCGCCCGATGACTTTGCAAGATCGTCGACACTCATGGAGCCCTGGTGGTTGCACAGCGTGCCGAATATGTTTAAGTCGGCGCCAACGCGGACGACCGACGGGAGCAAGTTCTGTGTCTAGGGTAAGCCTAACATCGAATGAGGGCACCGACGAGTACCTCACCGAGTTTGCAATAGAATGCAAGACTTCCTTGGGAGAATCAAACTCCGCTTGCACCTGCTGGAGAGTCTTGCGGATGTTCAACCGACCGGCTTCGTCGGCAGTTTGCATCAGATGTTTGATTTGGGCGATGACGGAATCCATTTTGGCTGGATAATTAAACTACTCGATTGATAGACTGAAAGTACTTGAATTGGATAATCACTACTATTATACTTGATCACCCCCAATTGACCTCCGCGGATTGACGGAAAGTCCGCGGCATTCTTGCTTTGTCATTGGCCAGTTGTCATCGCAGACCGCATCCCCTCCGTCATCCATCATCCGCACTGAACACGGACCAGTGAAAGTTTTCAGCGGAAGCGAAAATGCGCATTGAGAAGGAAGCCAGGCTATCGCGACAACGGCCGGTGTCGTGCCATTTCTGTCGTTCGAGGAAGTTGCGGTGTAGTCGCCAGTTTCCCTGTCCGAACTGCACCAGTCGCGGTCTAAGCTGCCAATTGTATGCCTCGTCGCCTTTGCAGATCAATAACCCTCGTGGTGGTGGCAATCAATCAGAGGTTGGCAATGAAGATATTCTAGCGCGTGTGCGCAGACTTGAAGACATCGTTATCGGACAGAGCAAGCCGAGAACCGCTGAGAAAGCCCTTCAGACTGAATATCCGCTACAGCCTTCACTTCATTCCAGAGGCCAGCGCCCCTATATACCGAGGCAAGAGCAACCTTCAACAGCCGACGCCAACTGGCTTGAGAAAGCAATCACTTACCCGACTTCAGCGGTATGTTCTAATCTTCCCTATTGATTTTTTGTCTACTCACTGTAGGAATAGCGCTTCCTTCTGGGCCATGAGATCGAGTTTAAAACTTGCTCCATTCAACAAGCTATGAAATTGAATAGTGTCAAATACACTTCTACCACACGATGTATTTGGCTTCCGCTCAAAGAAGAGTCAGAAAAAGTGGTCGACAAGTATCTCTCTGACATCACATACTTGCACCATGTCGTCCATAGACCTTCAGTCCGCGCACTCGTGAACGAACTTTATTATGAACTCCATCAGAATAAACCAATAAAGCTTGGGCAAACCTCCTTGCTCTTGGCAATACTGGCGAGCACCACGTCTTTTTGGACCGTGCGCGATATGGACGGTTCGCCTTTCTCTAGTGTGGAGCAGGCACATGAACAGTCTATGTCGTGGGCAGAGGCAGCTTTCGAAGCACTGGAATATTCGCGCCGTATGGGCTGCGAATCTATTGAGGACATTCAAGCCATGTTAATTTTGCTGTTCGTGGTCTGCAACCTGGTCGGCATACAAGCCCACGCTCGCCATTTGCTATCTACTGCCATCTCGGTTGCACGAGAGCTATGTTTGCACCGGATCGATCATCAGCATAATTCGGAATTCGTGAATGCTCTTCCTCCTGATTCGGTTAGGGCGGAAATAGGGAGAAGAGTATGGTGGTACCTTGTGTCGACCGATTGGTGTGTCTGGTTTTGTTCTCACAGCTTATGCATGCTGATAAGAGAACAGGCAGGTTTCTCAGTTTGCGGGTTCTCAAAAAGGGACTTATAGTATCAATCCACGGCAAATGATGACCAACAAACCCCGGAATGCCAACGATGAAGACCTGATCGATGGGATGGTTGTTGACCAACCGATTGATCAGCCAACATCTATGTCCTACTGTCTACACCGAATACGCCTGGGTGAACTATGCCGCGAGATCACTGACAATGTCCCATTCGCAGCATCCAGCACTGGGGGACCAGCTTTCCAACAAGTACAAGAAATTGATATCAAATTCCGGGCATTTGCAAACGAACTCCCGGCTTTCTTTTCTCTAGATATCGATCTGAGCCAACTACCCGTGAATGACTTGCGAAGGTCACCGGAGATCGTCAGTCAGCGGTACATACTGAACTCTATACTACATACCCAGAGATGCAGATTGCATTTACCTTTCCTATCTCAATTTTCCACCGACCGCACGAATTCCTACTCAAGGACTGCGTGCCTAGACGCAGCCCGCATGGTGATCCGTGCCGAGGCACAAATGAGACAAGAGAAATTTCCCTTCGTGCTGACTCGATTAAAGTTTTCCGGTGTCTTGCACTGTATGTGCATGGCCATAGTAGTTCTCTTGTTGGATCTCTGCCTCAACAGAAGCACTCGACCCACGGAGGATCAGGAGCGTCGTGGCGAAATTTTCGATGCATTTGGCATTCTTGAAGAAGCCAAGGGCGATTCACCGTTTGCAAAACATTTGCTTGACTCCTTTATGACTATCCTTCGCCGGAATAAAGTGTCGCTACCAGAAATGGAGAACACCATTCCGGGTCCCCTCGGTGTCGAAACTTGCGAGTCAGCCTCTACACCTACCGGTCGCTCCGACATGCCGATGGGTTCAAGTTCCGTAGATCTTAACACAGACACTGTTCTGATGGATTCATCGCTACCTTTGTTTGGTGAATTTTGGCAAACGTTCGACACGAGCATTGACGCGAACACATTCAATTGGGACAATTTGTTTTCTGAGCTGGATTCTTCATTACTGTCGGCGTGAATTCAGCTTCTGTGGTTCTATGGTTATATCTTGATCATCAGCCCACGCCCACTCAGGCAATACCTAAGAATATCTGTTACAAGAATCATAAAAAGGCAAGAAAGGAAAAAGATAGACAGAAACAAGAAAGCCAATTTAATTTCATCCATTGCACTATGAAACATTGTTGGGCAGAAGATACAGAAAAGTGTTGACAGCAACCCAGTAGATTCCTGTCTCGACTGGCCCACTAAATAACAAGGCAGACAATTTTTTGAGTCTTCCTACGAGAGTATGTCATTTCGACAGTTCATGGTTTCCTCAGCGTAAGACCCGCTCGGCTCACTTGGTGCGGCGTGATGTCGCATGGCATGTCAGGATAAACTTGGCACTGGTGTCAGAGCTAACTCTAAGCGGCCGAAATAATCCCAACGGCTGTGCCGGTGTAAATTGGAACTGGAGACAATGACGGCATTGGCGCTTTACACATTATTCATCGAAGACGGCAAATCACCGGCATTATTTTCGCTCATCACCGAGATCCATTATCCGATTGAACCGATTCGGAGTGCAGCGGAAAGCACCGCCTCATCGAAGTTGAGAGTCCCGAAATGAAATCACATTAAAATTGTGTCTGGTCCCTGAATACGTAGTCGCTCATCTCTCTATACATAATCTACTATGCTTAAGTGCTTTGTGATATGTAGAGGTATCTCTACCATACCATTCGAATCTCCCAAGGACGCAATTCAGCCACTATTTGAAGCGTTCTAGAAGTTTACGAAACCTAAAAGAGCGCGAAGCCTTATCGCCCCGGCGTGATGCACGGATCGGCGAAGTGACATGGATCTGCGTCTCGACACGCGTCGTGGATCGGACACTTCGTAATCCCTCACATCGTACATGGTGTCCAGCGCATGCCTTGAAGACAGACACAGAATTGATAATGACGTCCCTTGTTGCCAACTTTGTTTACTATATCACTCGGTATTCTATGTTTGGCATTCATTTTGGCAACAAATAATAATAATAATGTGTGTGTCCAGAGAGTGGCCAACTCTGGGTCCAACCAGACGAATAAAAATAACCGGTCATATCGTTGGCGGAACCTCGCTCGTGGGTCCACCAGCAATGAATTGTACCAGAAGGAACAAGGAATATTCCGGATTCCCACGATCCGACCCAGTTGTGGTGCGTTCATTGCCTCCGCTGTGTTGGAGCCCGAATCTTACTTTCATTATGATTTTCACACAGGCGCACAAAATAGGCAGTGCAATCCACCGAGTTTCCCGATGGAGTTGCACCACACCCAGATCACTTGGTAGCTACTGCTCAGAGTTTGACGTAAGGACTATCAGCCCCAGTGGATACAATCAAACATTGCTGGAGGCGCCTAGCCATCTAAGAGTGTATTTTACCTTTGCAATTCGAGGCATGAGTGAATCTTCGGCATTAAAATCGAGCTATAGAGTCTCCCGAAATCTGAGTGTTTACGATTAGCTGTTCCAGGCACCAAACCTGGAGGTCCTCCACGAGTACCTCGATCACCCGTATGCCGACCATCCGGAACAGACGAGCGGGAGTCAATGAGAAGGCCGAACGGTGCCGACTTACCATGGAAACCCGCGCTTCCACCCGCTTAACCCGGGTTTTGGTCGGCCTGCGCCTTTCGTAGTCGTACACTTGGGGTGGTTTCCATGGAAGAAGCTGAATTTGCCACTGGAATCTCGGTGCCTGCACAGATGAGATCCAGACTGAATTGAGTGGCTTCTATGATAGGTTCTGAGGACCCACTGCAGTCATGTCTCTTTCAACGGCAGCCGTTAACCGCTGTTCTGCCAGTGGAGCGTCGAGCATGGCCTCTTCTCCACATCTCGCAACGGTGATCTTTTCTTGGAAATGACGTTTGGCATGTTACGATGTTAACGTATCGTATCCGGCTGGTTCGGACCTGGATTTACTTGCCCTCTAGGACAGAGACCCGATCCACTCTACCCACGGACAATGGCGTCGAGCCAATGCGATGACAATCGGCTAACAAATTGCCATTCTATTTTTCGCTTGATCTTTTGGAAATACCGGATCCTCGTGGTTCAAGCAGCTCCGGAGTCACATATCCTGATTCGTACCGAAGTGACCTAAATCCACTGCTCGTTATAAATATCCCCCATTTTCCAAAAGTTCGCCCCAATAAATCCCCCGTTCATCTAAACTCGGTGGCGGATATAAGCTCTTAAGGTATATCAAGAGCTTTGTTTAAAGGGTTGTGTTCATTCATTATTTGACACCCCCATCTTCACTCGCTACTCGATATCATGAAGACCTTCGTCACTCTCGCTGCCTTTGCTGCCGGCACTAATGCCTTGGTTGGCCGCAGCAACTCCTGCTGCTTCCACCTGACTGCTTCTGGTGGTGTCTCAGGCTCGATCGGCCAGCTGGACGATGGTCAGACCCGTGTTGGAGACAACACTCTGTCGCCGGCTCAATTCTGCCTCGACTCGTCCAACGGCACTATCACGGATAGTAAGGGTCGTGGCTGCGTCATCACTTGTGAGTATTTCACTAATAATCATTCTAAAACGGCGATACTGACAATCTATTCTAGCCGAAACTACCCAGTTTCAGTGTGATGAAGGCGCTGCGCCCACCGCGGGCTTCTCTATCGACTCCCAGGGCGAGCTGGAGTTCCAAGGCAGCGAGAACTTCATTGCTTGTGAGACTGGCGAGAGAAATGGCCGGAACATCTACACCACTGACAGCTCCGATGTCACCATGTGCAAGCCCGTGAACCTGCACGCTGACTCGTGCTCGAGCTCTGGTGCTGGCGCTTCTTCGTCTGCCGTGGTCACTCCCGTTCACTCGACTGTCTCGGTCTCATCTGTCCCGGCTTCTTCTGTCCCGGCTTCTTCTGTCTCGGCGTCCTCTGTCCCGGCTTCCTCTGTTCCGGTCTCATCTGTCCTGGCTTCCTCTGTCTCGGCTTCTTCTGTCTCAGTTTCATCTGTCCCGGTTTCCTCTGTCTCGGATTCTGTGCCCGTTTCATCTCTTCCGGCCACCGAGTCTACTCCTGCCGCCTCGCCTTCGGGATACCCTGGCTCAGGCTCAGGCGCCGGCTCCGGCTCCTCTGTTACGGTCACTGAGTCTACTCCTGCTGCGTCGCCTTCGGGATACCCTGGCTCAGGCTCAGGCGCCGGCTCCGGCTCCTCTGTTACGGTCACTGAGTCTACTCCTGCTGCGTCGCCTTCGGGATACCCTGGCTCAGGCTCAGGCTCTGGCTCCGGCTCCTCTGTTACGGTCACTGAGTCTACTCCTGCTGCGTCGCCTTCGGGATACCCTGGCTCAGGCTCAGGCTCCGGCTCCGGCTCCTCTGTTACGGTCACTGAGTCTACTCTTACCGCCTCGCCTTCAGGATACCCTGGCTCCGGTCCCGGTTCCTCTGTTTCGGCCCCGGCTGGCTCGGGTAGCCCCCCTCTGGCGGGATCGCCGTACACCGTGCTCACCACGGTGACCGTCACTGACTGCAGCTGCTCTTCTACCCCTGGTGCTCCTGCTCCTGGTGGCGCGTCGTCTGTTCCTGGCTCGCAGCCCTCTGGTCCCGTCAGCTCCCCGGCCCCGGCTTCCACTCCCATTGTTTCGTCTCAGCCTGGTGGCCCTGCTAGCACTCCTGCTTCCTCGTTCACCGTCTACCCTTCGGTCCCAGCTAGCGGCTCCAGCGTCCCTGCTAGCTCGCCCTCGGTTGCTCCATCTGCCACCGGGTCGTCCAGCGGCAGCTGCCCTACTGATCTCTCTGGCGACTATGAGTTCCCGCACCTGATTATTCCCGTCGACTCGTCCTCGCCTGACACTGCCCCCGGCACCTCGTACAATGGCACTGTGACCTCTTCCATCTCCAGCCTGTTCAATTTTGACATCCCCTCGTCGGATGCCGGCAAGACCTGCAGCCTGGTGTTCCTCTTCCCCGAGAAGCAAGATCTCGAGACCTCGTCTTACAGCTTCAGCGGTGACGGCCAGATCGATTTCGCTCAGCTCTCATCGCCCGCCAGCTCTTCCACCTCGTACAGCAACATGCCATCGGTCTCTCAGGACTTCGGTACGACCACCGTCTCGCCCGGCAACTCGTATGTGATTTCCACCTTCTCGTGCCCCGCTGGCCAGACTGTCGGCTACGAGATGAAGAACGCTGGTTCAACCGACCTCAACTTCTTTGAGGACTACAACCCCTCGCCTCTGGGTCTGTACATCACCGTCTGCTAAAATAGTGCGTCCTTCGTGCAATGCGGCTGCTTTGGACCATGTCATTTCATTATGTCTGATTTCATGTGTGATGTTAATGTTCATGTGACCAAGTGATCATGTTTTTTTTTCTTCTATTGGTTCTGCGTGGAATATTAGTTCGTGGAACAAAAATTGTGCCCAGCAGGCCTCGTGGACTGGTGAATTGTCCTGAGTATAGCAATTTCTATCTGGGTTACTCGCTTCCAGAGCAAAACACTCCTTCAACTGCTGTATTATTAGAAATACAATATTATAGTTCTTTGAATTTATAACATAATGATTTCACTTCTTATCTAGAACGTCATACTCTCTTCAATTGCCCTCATCAAAATCGCCGCCTTTCTAGCAATATTTCTACATTCCTCACTCAATCCACTGCTTTCCTCTGTTGCCATCCTTCGGGTGGACAGGGTCTGGGATGTTGAGAGCTGGGAGCAGTCCCGTGTTAGCAATCATCGGATCAGATTCCTAGTATTGTCAGCTGGTATTTTCCAAGCATTTACTGGGGACCCAAAACTCACCAGACGGGGCTTGCATCTGCGGAAGAGATAGAGAGATTGGTAGCACAGCATGTGCGCGTGTACCTCGAAGTTGTCGCTCCATCGATGTCGAATGACGAGATCTGGAGGAAGCAGTCCATGGACCCTATGCCTGTGTTACTTTGAATCTGCGAGCTCCTAGGAGGCTTACTTACCGTTTGTGTGCGGCATCAATGGCATCCCGCATCGCGGTGCCCTCACCGGGTCCTAAGTAGATCCTGTTCGTGTTCTTGTGGGCGACACATGGCCCAGTATGTCCTTGCTTGCCACTCATCGTTCAACAAGCCCGATCGGAGAAACCTCGTAAACTATCAGCATCCAGCATAGAGTTGATGGTCCATAGAGGGAGGAGATTTGCGACCGGTTGTCTACGACTTGCGATTTTCTCTAACGGGATCATGTCGAGGGCCATCAAGGCCTTTTGAATCCTTGATCTACAAAGAGGAGCCATTTTCGATACACCGTGTTTCATTGTGAATAAAGCAACAAAGGGTTGTCTCTATATGAATGATGTCTGGACCTTGATGCCTATCAAATAATATAAATAGCATGGATGGTATACAAAGAATCGGGCGACTGGCGATGAAACAATAATCATCGTCTGATGGAGGCAAGAACAACGCAGACCAATCACACCGGGCGAGTGACATACTTTCGGTGGAGCCAGGGGCGGCGGCGCAGTTGGCGCGTGGATCTTTCGGGGGCTAGGCCCAGTTAGGACGGTTCTGGTACCTGAACTGCCATCCAGTGGTGGCGGCAGCCTAGGTACCAACTACATCTGCCCAACTTAAACTTTGTCGTACACGCGACTCTCTACTTTCTACTTTCTTTCTTTTCTTTCTGTTTTTTTCTGTTTTTTTCTCTGTGCAGCACACATACACTCCTTCGCACCTATGGAACTCCCCGCCAAGCTGCCCTTCTCCAAGCGACGACTGCGACCGCGCATTGTTATCTCGTGCGTATACTCTACCTGTATTCCCGTCCGGATCGGTCACTGACAGGCGTCCAGGTACATATTCGACTATGTTATTCTCATGTGCGTCGAAATCGATTCGTCGATCGGTACGCTCTGCTGATTTTGAGCAGTGCTTGCATCATTGGCTTCTACATCCTCGACTCTATCGAGCCATTCCACCAACACTTCTCCCTCCGCAACATCTCCCTCCAGTACCCGTACGCCGTCCACGAGCGGGTTCCGATCGCCCTCGCTCTTGCCATCTCGGGCCTCTTTCCCATCATCCTCATCATTACCTACACCCTCGTGATCGATGGCCTGTTCTCGCACCACAAGCTGGATCCAACATCTGGGAAGAGAAAGTTGAGAGGCCCGTATCGGTGGAAGGATCGCCTGTGGGAAATGAATTGTGGTATCCTGGGCTTACTACTGGCGCAGGGCCTGGCCTTTGTGGTCACACAGGTGCTCAAGAATGCATGCGGCAAGCCTCGACCCGATCTGATCGCAAGGTGCCAACCGCCGGCCGGAAGCCATGATGAGATCCCGGGCTTATCGACCTACACAATCTGCACCGGAGACCCGGCACTGATCAAAGATGGATTCCGTTCTTGGCCGTCAGGTATGTTCACCTTAGATGTGTCAGTTGATATGAAATGCTAAAATATGGCCAATGTAGGTCACAGCAGCTGTAAGCGTCTTGGAACAACACCCTTACATCGGTACTGACTGATTATTCACCCACAGCATCCTTCGCCGGCTTAGGCTATACAGCACTCTGGTTAGGCGGCAAACTGCATGTCATGGACAACCGCGGCGAGGTCTGGAAGACCTTGCTGATCATGGTCCCTCTTATCGCGGCAACCCTGATCGCTGTCTCGCGCATCATGGACGCGCGCCATCATCCATTCGATGTAATCACCGGCGGGCTTCTGGGTCTCATCACCGGCTACGTCTCCTATCGCCAGTACTTCCCTCCGATTACCGAGGCCTGGCGCAAGGGCCGTGCCTATCCGATCCGTACCTGGGGTACCGACCCCGTCGATCCTCACGGGGATACCAAGACGGGCCAGTTCGATGAGAGCGCGGCTGCTCTGCGCAATCCTGAGGAGGAGCAACTGGGCCTGAGGCAATCCAACACTACGGCGGCACCTTACCTAGGATCCACGAATCCATTTGTTTCCCCTGCTTACCCACGGCGGCCGCATGACCACGATCCCGACGGCAACTGGTCGTCCAGCGAGGATGATCTTAGCGATGTGTATGAGATGCAGCATGGGTATGCGGCGACACAAAATCCGGCGGTTGGTCGGTCTTCGCCGCAGTATACTGGGTATCCGCCGCAGATGATGCCGACTGGTGGTCTTTCTGCTCCATCGGTGACGGTCAGTCATCCGGGTCGAGGGCAGCCACTCACCGACCCGGCCTAACCGTTATCTTTTTGCATTGTGTCAGGATGAAATGTGTATCTCTAGCGTGGCATGACTAGCGTTTTGGTTGATCGATCCGAGATTCCCGATCTTAGTTGTAGATCTGTACTCGGTCCGGCTGGGCCAGCGTATGGACCACCGTCTGTTAGTCTACAATGTTTATTGTAGAGATACTCTTCACTTGCTGCAAGTATTCTGTAGGAATTATTACCCTAGAGCTGAAGCACGAATGTGTATGTAGCCCTCTTCATACCAATGGGGATAATTTCTTGCAGCCTTGAGATTAGACGGACTCTTCCCATAATGGCGCTTTGGGCTATCATCCTTGGCGTGGACTTTTGCACCCAATTCGACGAGTACTTGAGAACATCATTGTAACGATTCTTCGTGAATCGCATTTTTTTTGGTGGCCCGCTCGGCTCTGCATCTGACCGGCTTGTAAATCACGTTCGGTTTCAGAATAACAAGCCATCCCTCTACAGTATATACTCCAGGGATTGAGCCGAGATCCCGATCTAGTTAGGGTTGCTCGACCCGTGGCTGGGACGGCGCATGGACCACTGGTGGTTGGCCCGACGATAATCGTGGCTGCACAACATCACTATATCCTGCGTCAAGTCAACTGCCCAGCCACCCCAGTCGGTCCCAGCCTCCCTCCCCCCACCGTCAGCAATATGACGCTTATAGTATTTCTGCCGTTCTCTGCTTTTTCCCTTTCCTTTCCTTTTCTTTTTCCCTCACCTCTCCCCCTTACCTCTCCTCGGTGTCCCTTGAGGGTTGCAATCGCAACGGCCTGTAATCCACTGCCAGTCAACCCTGCACCCCATGCCGACATCGTAAAACACCTCGGGACATTTGGCAATCCATCTTATCTGCACGCGCATTCCTCGGATCTGATCTGACTCCCCGACCACACCACACCCCACCCGACAAGATGATTGGCAGTGTCTTCTTCATCTTCAACCGCCTGGTGGAGATCACCTTCCTGATCCCCATCATCGGCATGATGGTGCGTCCTCCCACTTTTGAATTCTTGCATCCCTAACTAACCCGACCGTGGAAATGCAGGCCTGGTTTGTCCACGGCTACCTCACAGCCAACATGCTGACCCCACCCTACATTCTGGTCCTGTTCATCGTCAGCGTAATCGCTGTCTTCTGGGCCTTTGACACGCTCATCCGCTTCTCCACAACCAAGCGCTCTGCCATCTTCGTCTCCTTCATGGACCTGCTCTTCTTCGGCGCCTTCGTCGCAGGCGTCTACCAGCTGCGCTTCATCGCCAATGCCGACTGCTCCCACTGGGACGGCGGCAGCGCGTGGATCTCGCTGGGCCCGTTCGGCGAGTTTGGCTTCCGCACGAATAACGATCTGTCGCTGCACATAAACAAGACCTGCGCGATGCTGAAGACCTCCTTTGCGTTTGGCATTATGGAGGCGGTCTTCTTCCTTTGGACTGCGTTGCTGGCGCTCTTCTTGCATAAGAGGAACCGCGACGAGGTTATTGTCAAGGAGACCACCGTGCGGAGACGCAGCCATTCCAGTCGTCGTGGATCCGGCTCGCGGCATCGGCATCATAGCTCCAGTCGCAGACCGCACTATGTGGTTTGAGAACGTGGGTAAAATGGAATTTACGGGGTGTTTTTTATGATTGTTTATGATGGAGATGATTTGACTGGACGTACTCATGAGTGTCACGGACTGCAACGATCTTGGAAGAAAGAAAAGATGGATGATCTGGTTCGAAATCCAGGAGTGTATGTTCTATATCTTGTTTTCAATAGCAAATAGTATTCATGTCCAAACAATTCAATACATGGCTCAAGTCAACCATATAAATCCGGGCTCCCGTCCTTCCTCATTCGGTTTCTCTCCATCCTCAACCCTCGCTTCTTCTTCCACGCTACCCCCACGACCTCTTGTCTCCCTTTCTTCTAACGGTCTCCCGGAACACCAGCTCTATCTTGAGCATATCTGTCTGAGAGACTTCTATTCCCCGTATCGTTCTTGAGCCCATAGGAGGAGACAATCTCTGAGGATGCCGGGATGCCGGGGATGGAGCCGTAATGGAAAGTTATCGCCTGGCATGTTTGGCACACCGTCGACTAGTTAGTATCTATCACAGCAATTTGGACACAAAAATTCAATTTTGATGCCCGCATTGTATTGTTGCTGATCATGGCTCTCAGGGACACTGGAGACGCGCGAGAATGTTGTGCATCCCAGAACTGTAACATCATTGTTGATATCATACTGCATCTGGTAGAGAAAGATGAATTTATCCATCATAGATCGTTTTCTCATCCTTTCACCGAACCCACGCATCCTGGACTTGGTCACCGTTAAAAACAGATGCCAGGGCTCGTGGTTGCCTAATAGAAAGAAAACAGTTGAGTATCGGCTAAGTGAGTCTCAGTAAAGGAGAAGAACCGGTCATCGGCGACATGTCCAATGTCTCCTAGAAGGTCAAGGTGTTCGGCTGATTGAGAGAATGCGAAGCTGTCGTACGACGTGCGTGTCTCAACGTCTCTAGATCCGACATGACTTATATAGGGATGGCACCCATGGCAAGTAAAGTTAAGTATTTATACGCGTAAAGTAGGCAAGGACATATGCGATAGCGAGTCCAAGGTCAGCGCAAATTGTGGACTTGGATGCCCTCTCATGTGATATAAACCTGTTGTGCTGACGGTACATTAGCATCACGGTTAGCTGCCAATCATTTTAGCGCTAAATGCGCTGGTTGCAAAACGGTCGTAAGCGGCGCTTCGGTATGAGATATGCCGGTCCCCGCTGAGGACTCGACACGGGTTTATCAAGCGGTCTAGTTTCCAAGGTTCCCATCTAAATTTCTTATTAAAAAAAAAAGGCAAATGCTCCTTAGCTCGCACTGACTCACAAAAAAAGCATACCGATTGTGCCACTCTGACCCCTATTCGCGTCATCAGTACCACTTCTTCATCGCGTCGGGACGTCGTCTCGGTCCAGATTTGTGGGGAAGCACTAAACCGTTCCCGGCCCGCGTGGCCCCATGTGCCTGCGGCTTGTCGGCTCTGGGGAAACAGCTGTAACTTGGATGGAGGCAAGGGCGAGGAGGAGCGCTCTCTCACAAACTCAGATGGCCGACCGTCCAGGCCTGATTGGCACATTCCACGCAGTCTTTCCGAAAAGACTCAAGTGTTCCCAGCTCCCCGAGTGGGGGATATTTCTTCCTTTGTGAGGAGTATCAAGGTAGGGGCAACCACCCCCAACTCGTTATAAGCCCAACACGGACTCACCTCCTTTCCAAGCATACTATTCTCTATAGCAGCAAGACAAAGAATCCAGTTTTTTTTTTTTATTTAAGGTGGGTGCACCAGACTTCAGGGGCGGATCGCTTTCCCTACGTTGTCAGAGGCCTGTGCTTTTCGTGTTCTCGGACGCCATATTTCTAGTTCATGGCGTGCTCCTTACCGTCCTTTGCGTGCGACGCCGCGCCCCTCTCCAACGCGTTGCCTTATGTACCTGTCCTTTTTATAGCTGAGCATCCCTGGCCTGTACCTTGCCGAGAAGCTTTTTTTTATCTTCCTACTAGATATATTTCGTTGTTGCACTTGGCAACCCCATTCCAGCCCTAGCTGACACGGGATCAAGCTCATCGCACACGATCATGGCTAGGTTAAACGGAACCAGGCTCGGAGCTATCCGCGCATACTTTTTCGGCTTCTTTATTTGTACTGCCGGGTTCCTGTTTGGATATGACACTGGTGTTGTGGGTATGGCATTCCTCCGCGGCCGGTTGTATAGTGTCGCGTGCTGATACTCATCAATCTATAGGTGGCGTCCTAACGCTAAAGTCCTACATAAAGGATTTCGGCTATACCGATGAAACAACCGTCAGTGCGGTTATGGTCAGTCTGCAGAATGCTGGCGCCTTCTTTGCGGCTTTGGGTATCTTCCCCATCTCCGACCGGTTCGGGCGCAAGTACACCATCCAGGTCTCCATGCTAGTGTTCTGCATTGGTATCGTGCTACAGGTTTCCCCTTCCCACTCGCTCGTCTGCTTCTACATCGGACGCGTTATAAGTGGAATTGGCCTCGGCTCCGCTACTGCTGTTGTACCTGCGTACAGCGCCGAGATGGCACCCAAGGAGATCCGCGGCATGGTTGGCGGCGGCATGCAGGGTCTCTTTGCCATGGGTGTCATGATCAGCTACTGGATCGACTACGGAGTTGAGATTGGCTTGCCAGAGATCTCCAGACAGTGGCAGATCCCAGTCGGGCTCCAGTTGGTGCCGGCCGCAGTGCTGGGTCTTGGTCTAATCCCCATGCCAGAGAGTACGCGCTGGTTGGCGAAGAAGGGACGGATCGAAGAAGCGTTGAAAGCCTTGCAGTGGATTCGTGCTAGTGAGGGTATGCTTCCTTCAGCCAATTTTGATCTATAGCACGACTGACGATTCTTCCCAGGCGCCGAAGTGAAAGCGGAATTCAACGAGATCCAAGTTGGTCTTGAGGAGGAACTGCGGGCCACCGAGGGCCTCAAGAAGCGCGAGCTGCTTGAGCCCGCAAACCGCTACCGGATCGCGCTTGCTTTCTTCATGTTCCTGGCTCAGCAATGCACGGGAATGACCTCGCTCGCGTACTTTGGGCCACAATTCTTCAAGACCCTTGTCGGTAACAACAACAGCCAGTCTCTGCTCATCACGGGTCTATTTGGCGCGGAGAAATTTGTCTCTTGCTCTACCTATCTCCTGTTCTTCTCGGAAATGTGGGGACGAAAGCCGACTCTTTACATCACTGCTTTTCTGATGGCCATCTGTTTCGTGATCGTGACGGTTCTCCACGAAACTACCATTGCCATAACACCCTCGGGCCCGACAAGTGCTGGCATAGCAACCGTGGCGATGATCTTCGTCACTAATGCCATCTACCAGTTCAGCTGGGGTCCAATTGTGTGGCCTTATACTGCCGAGGTAGGTTCCCACTTATCATGACCTCCATGATGACCATTTCCTGACCGTTGATATTAGATTTTCCCAAGTCGCATCCGTGAGATCGGAGTCTCAGTCGCCGTGTCCACGCAATGGCTCTTCAATTTCCTCTTCTCGCTCGTCACCCCGTACATGATCGCATCTATGGGCAGCTACACCTTCATCTTCTTCGCGGTTTGTGATATAATCATGGGTTTGGTCGTTATTTTCTTTGTGAAGGAGACAAGGGGGAAGAGCTTGGAGGAGATGGAAACACTCTTCCACAGCAAGGCAGCCTTCGATGTGGCTGCTGCCAGAGACAAGGCACGGACATCTGCTGATTTCCACCATAATGAGGAGGCCGGACCTAGTATTGAGGCTTGAGATGTGGTTATAATATTTACATATGTTGTTGGATACCTAGACAGTGCATGCATGGCATCCCTCTGGAAGGGAGATTGGTTTGCACGGTCTTTTCGAAAGTCAGTAGCTCAGTTTTATGGAAAGAACTTGGAGTAAACGTGCTTGGTCTCTACACACAGAAGTCGTAATGCTTGAAGTCCAGGCCACCTGCAGATCTGTCTATCCCTATTTGACATGCAGTATGAAGCAATTAACCATCCCATGTGGCTATCTCTGTTCTATTCTATTCTTCCCGATCAAAAAAAATATACACATTCTGAAGTGCATCTTCCCGACTGCTTCGTCTTTCAACTGGTTGGGTTGTGTGGTGGCTTCGCCATGGATCTTAGCCTGAGCTAAGCGTGCTTTTATGTGGTCAACTTGGTGGTCGCAGCTCCGCTCCCACTGTACATAAGAAGCAACACGATCGCCACGACAGCGCCGATGATGATGACCTTGGCCTTCGCGGGGTTGCTGCGCTGGTACTCGCCGACCTGGAGACGAACGTCCGTGGCAAGAGACTGCATTTTCTCCGCACCGAGCTTGTAGTAGACCAGTCCAGCGAGGGCGATGGAGTAGCCGAAGAACTGCTGGAGAGTGACGGGGTCACGGAAGATAATCATCGAAGCGCAAACAAGCAAAATATCCTTGAGGATACCAGCCATGGTCAGGACAACAGCAGAGGTCTTGCCAATCTAAAGGATTGTCAGTGATGAAGTTCTCAAGTAGGGCGGTGGGTCTTACCAAGAGCACAACGGAAGCATTGAGGAGGAAAGCAACCAGTGCGTTCGCAACGAGGGTACCCAATCCGAGGCCGTAGATATCGTTCATGGTCATTCTGGGGAGTTCGGCGAAAATAGTGATAATGCCGTTGGTCACAGCGCATGCGGGCGCATAGTAATATAGCGAGACCAGGGGATCCATCTTGAATTCAGCCGAGCTGAGCAGGCGCTGAACCATGACAAGGCGCATGGCCTCGAAAATGATACCAGCAACCTGGACTGTAGTCGGAATGTCAGTTTGCGATCAGAAAATGAAATAAATCCGACACATACTCAGGAATCCAGTCATCTCAAACTTGATCTCGCCGAAGGAGGCGATCACAACACCGACGACAATCAGGCCCACGTTGCCGAGGGTCTTGAGGTTTGCGGGGGCAATTCCGAAGGCCCAAGTGGCCAGCAGGGTTGCCACAGCATTGGTCGCCTTGAGCATCTGGATGAACGAGACGCTCAGGTAGAGGTAGGCCAGGTTACCGCAGATCAGACTCAAGCTGAACATGATTCCAATGGGCACAATCGCCTTGCTGTTCCCAAATCAGTTTTCGTCCATTGGTTCTCGGTGTCTTCCCATCACTCACGCGTAGGTGTTCGGGTTCATGGGGACCTTGTGGCGCGAGTCGAGGTGAGGGGTGAAGCGAGCCAGGATCTGGGTCATGATCGTCGCAAAGACCATGTGCCAAGTTGTCAAGAATAGGGCTGGATGATGCAGTCAGTACATTATTGTAATTCGATTCAGTCCCTCAGGGGGCGTGTGGCGACCAGGAGGGACTTACGGAAATCTAGTCGAAGTACAGGTTAGCGGAGTTCAAACGCAAGACACATTTAAGATTGTCACTTACTGAATTTGGCGGATGCCAGAACCCATTTGTTGAACAGGATTACGCTCGAGCTCAGCGCGATCCAGAGCCTGGAGGTGAAGTCTCAGTATTCAGGATCCTCAGGGCAAAGGGGACCGCGCGGTCGCGGTGCCGGCAAGGTATACGCACGCAATGTAGAAAGCCGGGTGCAGGCCATCGTCCGCGGGCTTGGAATTGGCCTGGTTGGCGGAAGTGCCGCTCTCGAGCTTGCGGTCATCCTGGGATGAGCGACCGTTTGCCATGGTGTTGGGAGAGGGTGTGGGGGGTGGAAAAAGGAGGTGATTTGTGCGCTGAGGGAAATGTGTTTGGCGAGAGTCCAGAGAAAGGAGTGACAATGGTCGGCAGGGAGAAACGCGTGGTGCCTGGGAGGCAGATAGGGATGATGATAAGGTCAAAAAAAAGTCGGGAAGATGACTTTCTTGCCAGATGGCCAAGAACGGGGTGATTGGGCGGGCTGTGTACACGTAACCGTTTCGCCTCCTGTCGATCATTGCGCGATGGACCCCTTTTGATAGTGCATCCCGATGATAACAAATTGCTCCAGGACCGCAAAATAAATAAATACTGTCAATGGAAGAGAACAAGAATGGAAATAAACCATAGGTTTCTCATTATTCGATAAATGGCAGTGATTACAGATCTAGGGCAATAGAGGTGGTCCTTCTCACGATGAACCTTGGAAGGCCCCAAATAATGGTTCGCCTGAAAAAGCCGATCAAGATCAACGTGGCAGAAGGGGATTGCATCATAAGCGTGGTATCTACTCAGACCCTGTGATGAAAGTGCAACAGGATCATTCTTGGCAGTAAGTAGTATGGATAGAGATCGAACATGGGAACCTTCTAATAACAACAGCCGACAGGTAGTTATTTCGGATAACCCCGTTCAACTTACGACAACCAATCAAGCAAATCGATTTCAAGTTATATGCCGCTGTAATGCCTGGATTTCAGTTCTGAAAAAACTCCTATTGCGACATGCATGCACCACATGTTCATTGTCCAGATAAACACAGCGTCATTCGAACAATATAGCTGCAAAGGTGTCCCATTACGGTCGATCATACTCCTCATAAGGTGGTGGGCTGTCCGCGGCTCGCAAATAAGAATCGTTGGGACCATACCCAGTCTGGAGACTGATCAGATCGGTAGGCTCATTTACGTAACCTTTCTGACTGCGACCAGAGGTCCATTTTGCCCGAAAAACGGTTCCAAGAACCCCTAATCCAATTATAGTGACAGCAACAGAGTATCCTATCACAACGGACGTTGATGTGTATGACCAAGTGAGCCCGATGCCCCCATTGATGATAGCAAGGAACATGACAACCCATCCAAAATAACGGTGCAGGATGCCATATCTGGTGGGCGATTGGGTCCTCTTGTACATCCAATGGTGCCAGAAACCCATGCCCAATTGCAATAACATTGCGAGAAGAATGATGATGCCCAGAATCTGGTGTGTGGAACCGAACGATTGAGACTTGGTGAACATCGTGCTGAGATAAAAGCCGATGACAATGCCGATAAGACTGAGACCGGTGGATATTGTTTGGTTTACCCAGTGCCACCGGACACTCTTTGGATACACACGGAGTAGTATAACACCGCTAGGCATCAGGAGAATGAAGGCTCCACAGAGACATAGGGCGTGAATGATACTTGGCCAGTTGCTATCGCTTGTGGTAGAAGCTAGCGATGAACCGGCAGCAGTGGTATAGGAGATTGGCAGTCCGCCTGAACCACCAGTTGCATGAACCATGTCCACGAAAAATTGTCCTAAGTTTCCGAATTAGCCTCGTAGGATTATGGACTAGATGCTCCGATTCAGACGAACCATATTCGGAATGCCGCTCTATGCTAGCCGTTTTCGAATCGCTTTGAAGCATTCTAGCATCACTGCCAGTTGGGCCCAGAGCAAATATCCAAGACTGGGCTGTAGATTTTAAATCCAATGATCCCGTTTCCCAGTTTGTGCAGTTCGAACATCGCGCGTTCACAGTCATCGTATTGTTTGAAATACCGGTGCCTTCCAAGATATCGACCGCCAGTGAAGCTGAATAGACTGGCTCTTGTTCGCCGGAGCTGAAACGAGGACTAAGGGTTACGTCTATTCAGAGAGCTTAGTTAGCGGGATCCGTGACTATGTATTCCGGGCAGTGCTCACGTTCTCCGCTAGTACTAGCATACATAATAATCATGAGCGAGTTCTGCATCTTACTTCCAGTCCCGACTGCAACCCAAGAGTAGCTGGTCGGACCAGACAGGTGAAAATAGAGATCGGTGGAGTCATTGGGTATATTCAGGGCAAATGTGAAATCCTTAGATTTCGACCCGAGAGGATAATTGAAGATGCTCGCAGGACTTGAACGAGACTGAGCAGAGGCTGGTGAAAGGATGCTGGGAAGTATTCCTGTGAAATAATTGCCGCGGGTTAAAATCACGGCCAATCTAAGTAGCTGATGGGACCTGACTGACCGAATAGAGCAAAAAGCAATGCCCCCCGGTAGGTGGCAGCATAGTTGTAACTCAGAACTTTAGAGTAAAGTATCGATCCATTGAGAGAAAAAGAGAATGTGCAAAGTTCAAGAAATATTGAAATGATGGAGATTTGTCGGGTCCTTCAGCATTTGGTGCAGAGCATGATTGCAATAGTCGGATTTATAATTAGGAGGAGGGGCCTCGTAAGCCATGTTGGCTGAGTGTATGTCGAAACAGTCCATTCGTTCATGAAATGCCATATTAAGCTTTCGGGATTGCTGGAGCCTGGCGTCGGCCTTTTGATTTGTTTATTCAAACGATTTCTTACTACCAGACTGACAGAATTGGCGTGGCAACTGAGTCCATTAGGTGGGCCGACCAATCATACGCGCCGAGTATGTCACTGCTCTTGCCCTTCCAGGAAGGGGGCATTGTAATGTCCACAGGGAGAGAAGAGACGTAGACAAGACTATTGTCGAACCAATCGTAGGATACCAATTGAAAAAGCTAGACTAACGCGACCCAGCAGATGGCTCATCCTTAAATAGAGTCTCGGTCCCTAGACGTTTTGATTTATGGATAGGTGACTAACTTTGTATTTACCGCAGATTATTCACAACGGTACCACGTGGATTTGCCTTGCGTGGACCCATTCACCCTAGATATTACTAGGCCCTTAATCCGAGGTTCCAGTGTTTGGTCCGCTAGTCCGCAAACTATCAGACAGAAAGAGTTGATTCGAAAGGATGACATAGCGATGAAATGATCGACATCAGCTTATAACGATCAAGCTTCCGAATCATTCCTTGGCTCTCTCTTGGCTCGTGACAATAAGCACCATGGCTTCGCGATCTCCTCATTCTACTGAGTTCGTTCCGCTTGAGATCATCCCAGAGGAGGATCCATCGTTTCCGTTCTTTCCCAATAATGACACAGTTTCCTGGGCCAAATCCAGCCACGCCTCGCCAGCAAAGCGGTATCTGTCAATGTGGAGATGCTCACATGCCCGGTGCAACTCGCGCCCCTGGTCGAAACGAGCACTGTTCTGTCGAGGAGTGCATCGGCCATTCTGGAGCTTTGTGACTTTTCTGTAGGTCGTCTAGTTTTTTCCTCTTTCGCTCATCATAGGTGATGTAGCAATAACTGACAGTGAACCCAGTGGCCTGCTTAAGCTCATTTCCTTGTTCTGGCATGGTTTAGTCCACGTATTCCCTGACGATCTCGACACCGCTCTCGACGCGTGGATGTTTCCCGGCGGCCGGCCGTCTGTCTTCTCGCACTGGACGACTCATGGGGTTGTTCCCGTCGCGTGCCACTCTCACAACGATTACTGGCGCCATGTTCCGTTACTCTCCGCTCTCGCCGCGGGATGTATCAGTGTCGAAGCTGATGTCTATTTATCGGGCAACGAGCTTTTGGTTGGACATACGCGCCATACCTTGGCACGAGGGCAAAACTTGCGCAATTTGTACCTCGCTCCATTGCTGAAGATGCTCCAGGAACATAATACGGGTTCGATAAATCTGTCTCCAGATGAGGATTCGATAAATGACGACATTGCGGGCGTGTTTGCCAATGATCCCACGCAAACCTTAGTCCTGGTCGTGGACTTCAAGCGGGACGGCGAGCGTATATGGCCTCACCTTGTGGAACAGCTTGAGCCGCTTCGTGAAGCAGGGTACCTGACACATGTTAACGGCTCATCGGTCATTCGGCGTCCTATAACCATTGTCGTCTCTGGCAATGCACCTTTTCATCGAATCACGGAACTAACTAACGCTGGTGATATTTTCTTCGATGCTCCTCTCGACGAAGTCTCTCATCTATCTCCGAATACGCCAGCAGATGAGCTCCCATACAACGCCCAAAATAGCTACTATGCCTCCGTCGACTTCCAAAAAGCAATCGGGACTGTCAAGGGCAACCGCTTTTCCCAGGACCAGTTGGCCACAATCCGCCATCAGGTACGAGCAGCGCATGAGCACGGTCTCAAGGTGCGATACTGGGGTACACCGAGCTGGCCGCGCGGACTGCGGAATCACGTTTGGCACGTGCTTGTGCGTGAAGGTGTAGATGTCATCAATGTCGATGATTTGAGGGACGCAACCCAGAAGGATTGGAGAAAACATCGCAGCTGGTTAATCTGACCAGAAAGGAGGCCACGAATCTCAGATTGTGAAGATGTTTGCTAAGTTGGCTTGCAACGCCTAGCTCGGTTGCCTGGAGTGTATATACGACTTCTCCTGTTCATCTCGTCATAATATATTATAATTCACCAGATACAGAAAATTTAACTACTTAAGCAGTTTCAACATGAGCAGCGGCGTTCTTCTCCAATCCCCTCTCCTCCTGACGACGTTCCGCGCCGGACAGACCATTGCGTGGCAGCGATTTCTCCACTTTGACGGGATCAAAGATGGACTTGGAGCGAATGAAGATCTCGTCGATCTCTTCGAGAGTGCGACCCTTGGTCTCAGGGTAGAATAGGTAAAACGATACAAATGCAACTGCACTGATACAGGCATAGACAATGTAGTACTTGTATCCAATATTGGCGAGAGCAGTTGGCGACGCCTCGGCAATGAGAAAATTGAACAACCAGTTCGTGCAGGCACCCAGGGCGGCGACCTTGTGGCGGATGGAGAGAGGGGCGATTTCACCCGCATACATAAAAGGCAGCAGGAACAGGCCGACAGGGAAGAAGAACATGGCAACGAAGTAGAAGAAGATGGCAGCCTCTCCGGCGGCCTTGTTGGTGAGGTCGGACATGAGACCGCAAAGAGCGGTTTGAGCAACGCACATGCCAGCAGCGCCTGCCATTAGAAGCCTTCGTCGTCCAATCTTGTCGATCAAAATCACGGACAATCCGGCACACAGGAACTGCCAAATTTGGATGCAACCCGAGAAAACACGAGCTTCGGTTGCGCCATAGCCAAGGTGATCCTCAAAAATCTGGGTCGAGTAGAATGTCACAATGTTGACACCGGTCATTTGAGCCAACAGGGCTACGAAGATAGCCAGGCAAAGACGATGAAACAGTCGTTCGGGACCCATAGTAAATAGCGAGGCAGAATTCTCTTTCTCCTCGAGATATGTCTCACGGATAACATCCAGCTCCTGGCTCACCAATTCCGAGTCCTCTGGCATATCCTCAAGAGCACTCAAAACTTCGCGAGCATTCTCCATGCGGTCACGCTTGACCAGCCATCTAGGAGACTCCGGCAAGAACATAATGAGGGAGACGACGATGATCGCGAAAAGGGCCTGGAGGGCGATGGGAAAGCGGAAGTTGGCCTGGCTGTCCTTGGCAAAGAAGAGTCCAAACTCGATCCATGTTGCGAGTACGATGCCACCAATGGCAAAGAATCCCTGCATCAGGACCATTCGGCCACGGGCATTCGCACTGGCGCATTCAGACACATACATAGGCGCTGTACCAGTGAATGCACCGACACCGAGGCCTAGACGGAAAATCTTTAGTTGGTGGCTGAGTTATTGACAGAGTGTGTAGCCAACATACCGGTGATAATTCGAGCAACGATCAATTGAGGCAGACTGAACGGGGTCGCCTGCAGGATGACACCAACAATGACAACAACACCGGCGGTGAAAAGCATACGACGTCGTCCTAGGACATCACCAATGAAGGCACAGGACAGAGCGCCAATCGCGCAACCAATCTCGTAGATGGCAACGGTGGTACCTAGCAGTAATGAGCATGCTACCAAATAGTGCCAAAGAACTTGGATGTTACCCTCAATATTGGATTTGTGCATTTCAGGGAAAACAGAGAGGAACGTCGGGAGGGTGACGAGGCCGTTCATCACAGCCTGGTCGTAACCCTGAAGCATAAATGCTGTTGCAGACACAAGACTGACCAGGACGCTCAGCGATCTGCCTCTGAGCCCGAAGTAGACCATTTTCGCGGTATCCCGATTGACGTTTTAAAGATTCTGGAAGGGAACGAGGCGACGGAAACAAAAAGATGGACAGCCAGCAGACAGCAGCGGGTGGAGATCGTATTATTATACCCATCACCAGTCCTCTGCATAATTGCGACGAGCATTTCCCCCCGCTTTTTCTTCGCTTTAGATTCCCTCGCACTAGCTCCGGATGACCAACTCCACAGAGCAGAAGCTCTGGAGTGACCCCACTTGGATTCGGGGGCCATCCCTGATCGCCTTATGCTCAGGCCGCGGCACAACCAAGAGGCTCTGGTGGCCGAAGCATAACATAGCGCGACGTCAACGGCTGAGGCAAGCGGCGGTATCATTGGACAAAAAGCCCGATTGCTCCTGCAGGCTGATTTGGGTTTTTGCGCACCGGGCCTAAAAACGACACGGCACGGTAGAGATTTCTTGGGGGTGCTTAGCAAGGGCCAAGACTGCGCCAGCCGAAGCCCCAAGAGTCCATCCACAGGAACCAGTCTTGGTATTCTTGGCTTCATATAGTAAAATTATGCGTCGTAGTAGCAATAATAATGACAATCGCCGCCAAAAAGGCTCCATCAAGTAAACGTTATTGCCAAACAGCCTGGGCTTGCGGGGTGCATCCCGACCATGTGCCTCTTTCTTCCGAAATCTGGGGGATTTGGTTTGATGATTTTTCGTATCCTCGGGTCACACTGACCGGCCATGTCCGCACTCAAATGCCACTGACCACGGGCCGTCAAAGAACAACTTTCGGACGTTCGCCGAGCGAGTGGAGCACGTGAGCTTCCCGGTGCCCCCACGGTATCCTCTAGCTTCGGACCGAGTGTGATTGGTCTGAACAGGAATCGTAGTGTGCGACGCTTCTAAATTTGCGGTGTTTTTTTCCGTAGACTCCGTCTGTTTATCTCGGAGAGACATCCAATCGGTTTAAACAGCCTTCTTTTGTATATGTACTTTGCGAGATGGGCTTCTGTTGTCGGCAAATATTTTATAATGGCTCGACTAAGAAACATGGGAAATATCTCTAACACATACAGGCCTGTGCTGATATCTGTGGAAAAGTCGAGTCATGTCGGATCGGGTGAAAATGGAAAGGTAGCCCGGAGGCAGTTCTCGACACGGGGCTCAACACCGACCCTAACGCCCTCTGGATAATTAGACACGAGATCGACAGCGGGGTGAGGCATCCCTAAACGACGCCTTCGGGAGAGATCGGGCAGCATCCATGCTGGACCCCTCAAAAGATAAAAATCTGGGGAAGTAAAGCTGAAACTGCCGATGAACGGAGTCGGCGAAGGTACCCTAAGAACTATAATGTGTTGAGGAACCGACAGGTTAGGCTACAAAGCCTTGGGTGCATTCTGCTTGGTCGGTGACTAAGAAAGCAAGGGCTAAATTAGCTTAAAAAGCAGTCATCAAAGTATAGACACGAAAGTCGAGATTCTTTTTTTGAAGAATGCTAGCATAGTGTGACGGTACAGCCAACTTTCGGTCATGTCTAGTAATGAATTCGAATAGTCTTTCTCCCCAAATCTGTACTAGTTAATTGACGAGGAATTGCCCATATCCCTCTTCGCGAACAAGCGATGGCCAAGTATCAATCACGATGCCGAAATGTATCGGGGCTTTTTCTACCGACGAGATACCTGTCCTATGTTAGAATCTATAAAATTCCCAGAGTGAATGGCCAATACCAATTGAGTTACAATTCACGTCTTCTCTTTCAAATTGTCATTGTACATCCGTATCTTTTTCTGGCAACAAGCTTTCTACCCTGCACAAGTAGATCCTTAGTATATATTCACGGGTGACTCCAATTAGTTAGAGACCGCGTCTTATTCATTCTGAAATCGATTAACGTGGAAAGAAATCATTAAAGTAAAGCACTAAAATCTAAATGTTTTCCGCTAGATTTCTAATCTCAAGCATCCATCTTTTTGTGCTCTCGGTCGTCAATATTGGACCGGGCCCTAAATCGCACGCATGACCAAATCAAAAAGCCCACAAGGGCAGTTAGAAATGAAATAAATAAGACAATATGGTCCCCAATAGTTTTGAGCAACGTGTAATCCCAGTCCGCCCATGATTCACCTTGAGTTTGGGTGAAGAATACCCAGGGATCAGCGCCAGGACGCATGTCCATGAGAACACGGTGCAAAGGGTTCCATCCGGCCCCTGCGATGCCACGGAGTGACCCATCCGAAGATAGCAACGAATGATACTTCTCCCACATTGCTGTGGAAAACCATTGTCCACTACAAAACATAATAGTCACGTATGGGAGCAAGTAGTTAACCTTCCAGAGCATGAGGTTCTCAGTGAGAAGGACGAAGTATGGGTGACCAGGCTGCCCACCAATTATGTTGTTACTAAGAGCACCGTGTCCGCCGTCCGTAGTGAAAGCTGGATATAGGGTCAGGGGGTCAAGATTCGCAGAGCAGCCCTAAGGAACACGAAGTTTAGTAACGAGTTTTGTGCAATATATCGCTAGGAACTTGAGAGCCAGGAACGTAAGAGATAATACACAGGGTAAATTCTTCTTTCACTCACGTTGTCCATGTCGATATAGATTCCACCGTAATGACGGAGGGCGAAATATTTCATAGCGTCTACCCTCTGAACAGGATATTTGTAGCTCTTGTATGTTGAGAGAAACCATCGAAATTCTTTTCTGATGAATTCTTCGGAGCTTTTCGTTGTCCATAGCTGTAACCAAAAAGAGTTAGCTCTAATGACGCGATATCATTTCTTCTATTTCACCCCACAGGATCAGTCTCACCATATGCTCCCAGTCAGGGTTGAAGTCTAGACAAGTTTGGTGTTCTGGTTGCCAGTCTGCTGGAAGTGAGTCGTCATCCGGATTGCTCCAATTATGAAATATTTTATGTATTATCCTCGGTACCGGAGGGCTTTGAATTTCGGAGTTTGTGCTGTTATAGGAAGCGAAAATTTCGTCCTGTGTAATCCGTACACCTGCATGGTCTTTGAAGATGCCAAACAGCTGTGCAAATGCAACTATGCGCTTGGCACAATGCAGAGTCAAAGCAAGCCCCCAAAAGCTCAGAATGGCGAGCAAAGCTGCCGGTAGAAAGCGCTTGTGTCCGCGCCGGACTCCCATTTTTGACTTTGTTTCGCTCGATTTGTCTGCTGAGGAGTCTCTGAATTGTACGAATGATTATTAAATAGACAAGTTATGATCTTCACCTTGCTCAGTGACTTGACGGTGGTACTCTAGATAAAAATCAATCGAGCGATTACCTGTAGAGGTAGGTTAGGAGGATAGATTTTGGGTTTGGGGTAGGAGAGTATATAAATAGTTATATGGACGGGGCAGCTTGCGACATTTAAGGGTAAACAGGGGCCAGGGGCCGACGGACCAATAATGGGCAGCCGTAACAACACGCAGAAAATCTTTAACCTAAAAATAGACGAAACCTTGTACCAAAAAACGACTGTACGAAATTTCAGGTGACCGCTATAGTCATTAAGCATAGAGGGATATTCCGATAAATACTTATATTTATGTATCAACATCCAAAAATCTTGATGGAGTATATTTGAATGGGAAAATCTAGGACAGAGCAGTTGGGGCCAATTACTGGGGCCAATTGTCGCTTAACTACTAGCGGGACCAACAAATGATCTAATATTCGCACCTGACTGGCTGCACCTTCACTGCCAAGGCATTCTCGCTTACCACGACAGAGGTGAGTATGTAATCGGATAAAGAACAAGATAGCTTAGCAGCAGCGAGATGGGACACAAACCCGCCAACATTGACCCCACCACACCAAATCTAATCAATTATACCCTCGGGCAAAACGGAAACATAATCCAAGGGAGCAAGTTCAGTGCCATCGGGCTGACCAACAATTTTGAGAATATCACCACTCTGTACCTTTATTCCACGGAACGTGATTCTTGTCGCTGAATGACCATCCAAGTACTCCGAAAAGTCATGCCCAAGTTTGTCCTCCAAATCACCAGTCCAGGTGCCAATTGACCCCTTGTTGAGAAAAATCTCATATTTGGATCTGCCGCCAAGGTGATCGTAATAGTTCACTGCGATATCATAGATGCCAGTAGGAAAGCTGAGCTCCTTCTGTGCGGTACCGGGCTCCGTATTTGACTCGGTAATAACGGCTTTTCCACAGGAAGCCGCTTCTGCAGGAGTGACAGAGACAGTTTTGTAACCAGTCAGTTGCATGTCCTCGGCTTCAATACGCCAAATGTGATTTCCAACACGATTCTTCTCATCTGGGATCTTCGACTTTGCAAAATAGAAATTGTTAACAGAGTCTCTCCAAACAAGAGCGTGTCCAGCTTGGTACTGCAATTTGAAGGCTGTCTGCTTAAAGCGGTGGTCGTCTATAAGACCTTCCAATTTGGCCCATTCAAGTGGGAAGGTCTGTGCATGCGCCGCACCTTCGTAGTGTTCATCATAGAAATGCTGAATCACCGTTTTTCCGGATTTGAGACGATGCGTGTACGGGACATGGTGGAACCAGAGGAGCAGGTCGTCAGGTGTCGTTGCAATATTCTCGTAGATGGCAGCAATCTCAGGCGGGTATTGGCCCGCATTTCCAGACCCGGTGGCCACAGTACGGTCCATGCCTATCGAATGAGCGTTCGCGCGGGTCCATTGTCCCCATCCATTACCGTCCTGTGAGCCCGGGCTAGGACCATAGTGAGTGTAGATAATGTCGCAAAGGGTCTGAATTCCCAAATTTCCGCTGTACTTCTCGTATGTCGGCCAGGACTCCATGGAGATCTTAGTGATGGTATCAATGATGGTCTCGTTTAGGCCAAATGTAAGACGTGCCCAGTCTTGAATGATACACACTGAACTGGCCAGTGGATTCCAGGCAAGGCGGCCGTAAGCGTAGAGGTTAGACATGGAGAGGTGATGCCCAATCCAAGTGCTATCACTGCCAATGTTGAGGACAGCGGTGTAGCCGCTGCGGCTCCAATTCAATCGTTCGCCAGATACAATGTTCCGGATGAGAGAGGGCTTGCCGTCGATACGCATATCGTAATCGAGGATTTCTCTCCAGAGAGGGGCCATGTAGACGTAATGTGACTGCTGGCCGAGATACTCCTGGGCGACTTGGAACTCGATGGCAGCTTTGGTTTTGCGCAAGTTGGCCAACAGCGGAGACGGGGGCTCGCGGACCTGGAAATCAATGGGGCCCCATTTGATTTGCACGATGACATTGTCTTCAAACTGACCGTCGAGCTCCTTGAAGTAATCCACCGCAGCGTTAGCCCTGTCATTAGTCCACACGGATTCATCCAGGTAATGATTGTACACAAAAGCGCGATACATGACAACACCATCCCCGTGCGGCTTCAATGCTCGAGCAAACATGTTGGCGCCATCAGCCAAAGTGCGGTTGTATGACAAAGGTCCAGGCTGACCCTCCGAGTTGGCCTTAATGGTGTATCCTACCAAGTCGGGAACCTTTTCGTATACCTTGGTAGTGATGTCCTTCCACCAGTTGTTCACATCAGGGTCCAGCGGATCAGAAGTAGGCAGACCACCAAATTTCTTTGGAGAGTCGAAGTAAAGCGATATCCCGATCCGTACACCCCATGGGCGCATAGTATCCGCAATCCGACGGAGGCCATTGAGGTTTGTCTCACTGAAAAGCTTCGGATTGGCGTTGACGTTGTTGACGACGACCGCATTCAGGCGAATAGACGAGAGGAGTCGAGCGAACTGAGCAACACGAGTCATGTCCGTAACCACTTCCCCATTTCGAAAGAAAATAGATGGACCGGCATATCCTCGCTCTATGCTTCCATCCAAATTGTCCCATTGATTTACCCATCGAATGGGAGCGCTGGGATTGTTTGCGGTCTTAACAGGGTCGAGATTTCCCTGTGCTAGCAGCATGAGATATTCGAAAGCACCGTAGATAGCACCGCGCTCGTTTTCGCCAAGGATGTGAACACAGTCTTTTTCAGCGTGGGTGTTGAGCCAGAACCCATCCTCCTTGAGCTCTGGAATTTCTGGCATCTTCCCATAAGTTGAAGTAAATGCCTCAACGGTACCGATGATAATGGAGGATGATGGCGTGCCGCTCAATTCACCAATGAGCTCGATGTTTTGACCAAGGATACGTCGCAAACCATCTTGAACTTCCTTTCCGGCCGTATAAACAGGACTGGTCTGGGACTTGTTCAAGACAGTAATGTTTGAAAAATCGCGGTAGCTGTTCCTGGTTTCCGCGGGGAGCAGGGCATATCGCAGCCAACCGTCAAGGCCACTTTCAATAGTCATGTTGAGAACCGTTGAAATAACAATAACCCATCAATAAACAAAAAAGTTCTTCTTTTTGTACCCCTCGGGATTAGGATGTGAGCTTTTATCAGACCCTGGTCAACGCCCAATTTACCCGCCCCAGGCTAAAATATCCAGCTCAGTTTTGTTTTCGGCTAACATTATTCTAGTACCGTTTCAGCACGTGTACGCAAAATGTCCAAATTCTGAAATTGAGATCAATTCTTGCGGCTATTTTGCTCTGTGGATACTGAAAAACCTGAAACTTATTTAAAATGTTCACATATTTACTGTGTGCGGTATAGTAGTAGTTTCGCATCGAATTTGTCATGGCAACACGGAACAGAATCATAAGATTTGACCTCAAATTGCCTTCACTACATAAACAAAACTTGGTCCCAGCTCAACTCTGTTTGGTAAAGGTCTCTGCAGCATCCTCATCAATCTGGGCATCCTTGAATTCCCAAGCCTTCAGGTCTCGCGCGAACAAAATATCTAACTCTTCATAAGTACGTCCACGCGACTCGGGAAGACGGAAATAAGCCCAAACAATGACCACAAGGGTGAATCCAGAAGCAAGGAACGCTGTTTTGCCCTTCCAGTTGGCCGCGGTGGGGTTGAGTGTATAAGGAGCAACAGTGGAGCTGAAAACATTCGCGACATTGTAGGCGTTACGGGCGAGCGAGATACTCTTCGAGCGCAGACGAGTGGACGAAATTTCACCAACAACAATGAATGCCAGCGGTCCCAGAGTCAGCTCATAGAAAACGTACCACAGAAGGTACATCGCGGACTCTCCGTAACCCAGACCAGATGTTTGGTGAACGCAAGCCATGATGCCCAAAATCAACATGGACATGGCCATGCCAACATATCCCCCGAAGAGGACGGGCCGACGACCGAAGTTACCGGTGATAAACACAGACAACAATGTGCAAAGGAAGTGGAGGCCACTTTGCCCAACGCTCATCTTGTAGGCACTAGCAGCAGGCAAACCAGCCTGTTCGTAGAAGTAGGTCGCGTATGAGGTAATGGCAAATCCAGACAGAACTTGAGACGTCCAGACAACGCATCCGATCTCCGTACGCCAAGCGTTGGAGCCACGGAAACAGTCGATGAATGAGGTGCCTTCGGTCAGGGCCTTCTCTAGGTTGGTAGTTTCCACCATCAGGGCAACGGATTTCTTGGCGTGGTCAGGATCTTGGGAGGAGGAGAGCCGCTTGATAGATTTTTCGGCCTCCTGAACACGACCCTTACGGACCAGCCACCATGGCGATTCGGGAGCAAATATGAGGACAGGCGTAATGATCACGGGCCACACCCATTGCACGGCCAGGGGGATGCGCCAAGCCCATTCGTCGGTGCGATGCTCGAGGCTGTCCAGAATCCCAGTAGCGACAAACTGTCCAATACCCCAGCAGAGTACCACATATGTCTCGAGATAAGATCGAAGCACGACAGGGGTTACTTCAGAGGCGTATGCAGGAGCCAAAGTAGTGAACACACCCCATGCCAATCCACATAAAAGTTCACCAACGAAGAGAACCTGGATGCTCTTCGAGAAGAAGGGAATAAAGAGAACTGCAGTCAGAAAGGCCAAAGTACCGAGGCAAGTTTTTTTGTGGCCCCATTTTTCAGTCAAGAAGGCGTTGATGTAGATGCCGACAATGTTACCCAACGGGCTGGCGAGACCCAGCGCAGTTTGCCATTTGGGGTCGAGTTGGTAGGAGCCAGGAGTGCTGGTTTCATGGCCGAACTGTAGCTGGAAAGCAGGGAAACCGAAAAGAGAACCGATCAGGGCGGTATCGTATCCGTCCAGGATGACCACCAAGGACACAACCATCGTCCACAAGCACGCCTTTGGATAGAGTTTAACAGCCTCGACAAAAGTCAATCTGTGCTCTTGAACGGTCGCATCACGAGCATCTTGGGCCAGGCCAACCCAGCCTTCAAGTTCCTGGTCCTGTCCGGGAATTTGGCCCTGCTCAACATGTTGAGCTTCGGCCTCCTTGGTTGGGGGGACAGTGGACATCTTCGATATGCTGGACAATGATTTGCTGGCAAGAGGGGACAGGAGAAGAAGTCCAGTGTCGAAGGAACCAAGGCGCATGGGCCAATATTTATTAACCATGCGCTGTGCATACAAGAGGTACAAACAACGCGAGTGCGCTCCTCCCGAATGGGCTGGCTAGACTGACATTCACTTTTGCCGGACAGCATAAATTCGCACTCCGGGATAGCCATGTGATCAGCGGGGGTAAGCTTGAGCCTGGGAAACCGCATCAGTATTAACCCCCTTGAAGAATGGGGAGTGGTTATTGGTAGGGTTGGAATTGGAATGTGCGAGTGGTACACGCCACTGGGGTTTTAGCCTGTGGAAACGGCCAGGGTGTGTTTGGCTTTGGAATCTACAATATATTCTGCGATATGGTTGAGCATAATCCCACAGGTAATATAAGTTCTTACTTCTTACGGCCGGAGTTTTACAAATTTGGTTGCTTTAGAATCATTACTATCTTCAACGAGCCGTCAATATTCCGAGCTGCTGAGATTATTTCCCAAGTAATTACTATTTGATCTGCGATAGAAGCTTCAGTACGCTAAATCCAACGTTAAAGTGGCCAATCTTGCTAGCCCTACCTCTCGCATTACCGCGGATAAATCCAGGAATGGGAATTCGCCAAGATAAGCGACAGGATGCGTAAGATTTGTGAGATATGTTTGGACCTTTTGCAATGTGTAGAGGAAATAAGACACTTCCAAGCGATTCCTTTTGCCTATATTACTCTGTATGGGTCGTATGAATGAGCGCCGGCAGCAAAATATCGGGCCTGAGCTAGGAGTTGGGGGGGGCTCTGGGCCAGCCTGGCAGACATCCACTTTGCCGCAAAACTTTTCCCCAGCTTTCCCCAGCCAAATTATTCATTCCCCGCATTGGCCGGCACTTGTAAGCGAATCCGGTGCGGAATATCTTCTATCGGCATTTAACCGGAAAATAGTTTTTAGCATGGAGAATTTCCACCACTAAGCTCTGTACAAGAGTCCACCAAGTCTGCGCCTAAGCGAATGGTCATTGCGCCACGGATCCTGCTCCTTCTTCCAAAATCAGGCAAGTCGTTCTACTTTTACCGGGGGATAAATTACGGGATACGATGCTATCTTATGCTAAATGATAATTGCTGTCATTTAATTGTCCATAATGAAGGAAACGTATTTTCGAGAGCTTCCGAAGAACTGTAATGACTTATATGGAACCCAATTCCACTGACTCAGTATTGAAGAAATTGCAATCCCATTCCATTCCTGAAAATCGGCCAAAATGATGCTCTCTATTGTTGATACCCTCTTCCTCCTCAATGCGCTGGTTGCTCGGGTTACAGCAGCTTCCGCAACATCGTCTCGTGTGTCTGTTTCCATCAATCCACGCATCCAGTTCCAAGAGGTTGATGGCTTTGGTGCCTCTCAGGCCTTTCAGCGCGCGGAAGACATCTTTGGGGAGTATGGTCTCCCCGCCATCAACCAGACTCTCGTCCTCAACCTTCTCTACGACGAAGACGTCGGTGCGGGCTTCACCATCTTGCGCAATGGTATTGGCTCTAGCAACAGCTCTGAGAGCAATTTCATGAACTCAATCGAGCCTATCAATCCTGGTGGTCCTGATGCAAAGCCTCATTATACCTGGGATCACTATAATAGTGCTCAATTTCCGCTTGCCCAGCAAGCCTACAAACGTGGTCTCCAGACCCTCTACGCCGATGCCTGGTCCGCCCCGGGCTACATGAAAACCAACGATGATGAGAACAACGGTGGATATCTATGTGGCGTGACCAATGAGCATTGTGCTAGTGGCAACTGGATGCAGGCGTACGCGGATTATCTCGTTCAGTATGCACGATTCTATCAGGAGTCAGGTGTCCGCGTCACTCATCTGGGATTTTTGAATGAGCCCCAGTTTGCAGCAACCTACGCGGGCATGCTCTCTAATGGCACCCAGGCAGCCGATTTTATTCATGTGCTAGCGAAGACTATAAAAAGATCTGGCCTCGACCTCAAAATCAATTGCTGTGACGGCATCGGCTGGGATGACCAAGAAGCTATGCTGCCCGGTCTTCAAGCTGGTCCGGACCCAGCCATTAACTACATCGACGCGGTGACTGGGCATGGCTATGATTCTGCTCCAACCTATCCCCTCAGCACCAACAAGAAAACCTGGTTGACCGAGTGGGCGGATCTTAGCGGCGACTACACGCCTTTCACCTTCTACGAGAATGGTGGTCCCGGGGAGGGCATGACCTGGGCTAATCACATTCAAGTCTCCATGAGAGATGCCGGAACCAGTGCATTCATGTATTGGATTGGTGCCGAAAACTCGACCTCGAACAGTGCTCTAATCAATCTCATCAACAACGAGGTGCAACCCTCAAAGAGGTTCTGGGCTTTCGCACAGTTTAGCAAGTTTGTGCGCCCGGGTGCTCGGCGGATTGAGGCTTCTAGCTCAAATGACAATGTGACTGTCAGCTCGTTCCGGAATCACGACGGGGCCATTGCAACTCAGCTGCTGAACCAGGGCGACGCGGATGTTGAGATCAACGTGCAGATTGATGGCTTGAAGTCGGGCGTGTCCGTCCAGCCTTTCATTACCAACAACGACTATGACTTGGAGCGTCTGACACCTATCAGATCAACAAGAGATGGCTCTTTCAATACTAAGATCCCTGCTTGGTCAATGGTCAGCTTTGTGGCTGTGTGATAAATAGGTGTTCACTGATGTGTCTCGTCTACGGGATGTGTATACACTATATTTTGTCTTCTGCCAATAAAATTTTAAGCTCTAAAAGCCCAATCTGTCTATATTGTAACCATCATGTCTGTAAACAGTACATCCCGTTTCGTTAGTTGAATTTAGCGAAATTGGACTTCTCGAAAATATGCAACGGAAATGCATCCGCCAATGCCTTGAAGGCCTTGGCATTTGGATGCAAACGATCCCCCGAATCAAATTCCTTTGCCAACACAGAACTGTCATCCTTATCTCTCAAAGTTTCATCAAAATCAATTACCGCATCAAACACTTCAGTTTTGCGCATCCACTCATTAATCCTCTGTCTCGTCACCTCTCGAAGCGGATCCGAATATGGCGAAAATCCCTCTGCCTCTGCATCAATTACAACCTCGCCCTTTCTCCGTCCGAAGGGTGTAATAGTCGCAGCAAAAATTTGAATTCCACGCGCATGCACTCTCGTCGCAATTTGTGTATACGCAGCAATCAATCTATCCCCAATGATCCTTTGGCTTTCCTCATTGGCTTCGGCGACGCCAATATCATTCACCCCCTCGAAGATGAGGACGTACTGGACACCTGAGTGTGAGAGAATATCGCGGTCCAGTCGACTGAGCACATTGGGTCCAAGCCCATCTGCTAGGATTCGGTTTCCGCCGGCTGCTTGGTTCAGAATGGAGATTAAGCCAGTGTTTCGATTTGACTGGAGGCGTGGGAAAAGTAGGTCAGGCCAACTAACGGATGCATTTAATGAGCTTTGGTACTAATTCCCCAGTATCATATGTGTTATAGCGCAAAGACTTACCGGTCGTTGCCATTAGTGGTACTGTGCATGCCATCCGTTATACTGTCTCCTATTATGGCAAATGCGCGCGATTTGCGATCAGCTAGGACTTCGACTCCACTGATATAATACCTAACACACTCAGTAAGCAATCGTCCACATAGGCATGATAAACAATGGAAACTACCAATGCTCAACCTCCTCAACAGAACGATCCGTCAGCGTCGTCTCCGATACATGATTCCCGAACGCGCAAAACGAAGTCGTCCGACTTCCAGGGTGGAGAGTAATTCCGCCTTCGCCATCATGTCCATCCTCTAGAAACAAACTGACGCTGAGAACAGTATGGGCTGGCAGTGGAAACCCAAAATCGATCGGATCAGAAACTGCTTGCGCGCGGACCGGAATCGTTGTTTTCTCCAGCCCACCATCAAATGTGACTTTCTGCAATGTATGGGATTCGATTTCACTAATTCCTGAAGAATTATTGATTGCCAGAGCGATAGCAGTTTGGGTGATTGTTAAATCGTTTGTACCGAATGTGTTGGAGAAACGCAGACGTAGGTATCTTTCTGTACCAAGTGTGATCTTCAGGGTTTGACGAAGTGTTGTGTTGGGAAAAATTATTCCATCTTGAACCTTTGCGATTTTTGTGATTTAGAAATAATGAGTCAATTTGCTCGTGGAGAATTGAAAATACTTACGAATGCTTTTGGGGGGAGGTTGTCTGGCTCGGCGAGCATGGGCATTGCGGTCCAGGTATGGACCCAGTGCTGAGATTGATCCATTTTTGTCGATTGAATCTTTTTGGAATGGTTAGTCTCAAGTTGAGACTCGCCAACGACTGATTTATAGCCAGTCAGCAGCTATTCACGGGTAATCCGGTTGAATGTAACCCGGATAATTGGCTAGCGTTGTCATCCGGCCTACTTCCCGGCGCTGACAGATTGGCGAGTGCTGTCGACTACCGTCTTCCAGATTCACATTGTTCCTTGAAAGATATCAATCCAAACACAAACTCAAGATATACACAATCAAGTCAGGTATTTCCGAAAAGCCCATCTTTTTGTGTTCGCTGAACTTGTCCATAAATGCCCCTTGGGTCTGTCTCAAAATATATGTGGTGGACAGATTATTTTACCCTACATAGCACTATCACATACCGTTAGAAACTTTCCGATGTTACTATCTATATTCAAGCTCAATGTCATCCTGAAAGACTGATAGTACATGTTTAACGGGCGCTGATTCGTGGAGATTGGTCAAGCAGGATCTCAAGGGAAGTGGGCTCTAACATTCTCCAGCAGTCGACGGGCGAAGTTCTTTTCCACACCAAACCCCCGACAAAAAGATGAGTGACCATCATAAACCGCAATATAAATATTAGTGCTAGAACAAAGTAGCTGTAGGCGAGCCACATGTAGAGAGATTGTTGGGTGTTACTGTCGGGCCGTAAACGGCGATGGCTCTCATCCTCGCCGTCTTCCGGCCCGTTCCCGGCCCCGCTTTGTACTTCATCGCACCGCACCGTGCTTTAAGGCGGCCGACTCTGACAAGCTGCAACACTCACTCTTGTCAAACCGTATAACACAATGACCTCTCCATCGAATCGACATTCAAGTGGTGAGGGCGCGACAAAGCAACTATGCTCCTGGATCAATCGTCTATCACTCGATGATATCCCCGAGCGAGTGAAAACACGGGCCAAATACTTGATATTGGATGGGCTCTGCTGTGCGCTCGTCGGTGCTCACCTTCCGTGGGTCGAGAAAGCCACAAAAGCCGTATTCGCAATAGAGCCAGCTGGTGACTGTCTTGTGTGGGGGTATGATAAGGTAGCCCAGCGATGAGAATGGTTCGGCAAAAGTGAACTTAATTAACAAAGTCTACAGAGGGTGGGAGCATTACCAGCAGCTCTGTTAAACAGTACCGAAATTCAATCATTTGAGCTGGATGACTGGCATGCTCTTGCGCCCCTGCATTCCAATTCCATTCTGTTGCCTGCAATATTCGCAGCCGCGAGAACAAAAAAAGCCAACGGCTCGGCCACATTCGATGGCAAGGCTTTCTTACTCGCGACTATCACCGGTTATGAAGTAGGGCCTCGCGTCGGTCTGTGTCTGTATGGGAGCCACATGCTCACAAGAGGCTGGCACTCGGGCACCACATTCGGCCACGCTGCTTCCGCGGGCGCAGTAAGTAGATTACTCGGCCTTGAGAAAGATTCCATCGAGGATGCACTCGGTATCGCCTGCACACAAGCTTGTGGCCTGATGTCAGCTCAGTTTGGAAGTGACGTGAAACGCATGCAACATGGATTTGCAGCTCGCAATGGCCTCTTTGCTGCTCTGTTGGCAGAGGGAGGGTATACAGGCATCAAGAATGTGTTTGAAGAGCCATATGGTGGATACTTGGCAGTATTTGGGCAGGGTTCTGGCAAGGAGCCTCCATATCTAGTCGAAGAATTGACCAAGGGGCTCGGCCAAACATGGCAGTCGGATTATATCCGCGTCAAGTCTCATGCTTCCATGGCGGGGACGCATTGCACCATTGACACAATTAAAGCACTGCAAAAGCAGTATGGAGACAAACTGTCTGACCTCAAAAACATTACAAGCATCAAGATCGAGATGTCTGAGGCGGCTTTCAAGCACGGAGGATGGAAAGCTCGCCGGCCTCTTACAGCGCTTGGCGCGCAGATGAGTTGTGCGTACGTCGCAGCTGTCCAACTTGTGGATGGGAAGGTCACACCACAAGAATTCCACCACGATCTGCTGGATCGAGACATTATCTGGGAATTGGTAGACAAGACGGAGTGCTTCCATGCCCCCCAACTGGGCGAGAAATACGAGCAACGCGTGACCATCACGGTTGCAAATGGCTACTCGATCACTGAAACTTTGGGAGCTCCCAGGGACGTGGATCCTGGTCTGTCTAATGACGAAATTTTGGACAAATTCAGGCGGTTCACCTCGGAGGTCATCGATGATCAAAGAAGGGACATGATCGAGAAGCTGGTGTTGGGATTGGAAGACATCGACGATATCTGTTTGTTGGAAGATCAGCTTGCTAGCCCCACATTGAACCCCATCGCGTAAATGTTAGATTAGGATGACGATGTCGGCAGCATACAAAACAATTGAGCCTCGCAAACATTTCAGCCTCAGGCACTAACTTAACCACGTGATGCTTCCCGCGCTCTTACATAGTCTTGGCCAATCCCATCCATGCTCCGTCAACACACGCTCACCACCGCGTCTCTGTGCACACACGAACTTCTGTCGGTACTTAGAATGTCTTGACCCCCCCCTTGGGATGTTTCATTTGATCACCTATGCCCTCCGATCATGACCGTGGCTGAAGCGGGGCATTCTTATCGATAGGCGATCCGAGACTAACTCAAGGCAAGTTGACATAAACTGCCTTCTTCATATGCGCTGCAAATTTGCTACTCTCATTGAGAACTAACTGTTTGTTAGAGGCCAGGTGAATCAGCGTATTAACATGGAGAACGCGGCTTCTCTTGTCTCCATCCAGAAGAATATCTGGGATGGGCGAGTACCCCTAGAGATTGTCCTTGCTCCTTCAGAAAGTCGCACGTTTGACCAAACAGACCCATATCTCGTAGGTTCATTCATTCACTGTTCCGTGCAGACTGGACCTAATTCCCCGCCAGGTATCTTATCCTCGAGTGTCCTATCTACCGTCCTTACTGCCCAAACTCCGGGCATTCTTCTCGTCCTCGTTGATTGAGCCTCACTCTCAGCCTCATGATGGCTGGTTTGCTTTCGAGGATGTGCCACTCAAATGGCACTACCCCATCGGTCTTTTATTTGATCTCTACGCCGGAGTAGAGCCTGCCACCAGGAGCAGCTCGAGAGATGAAGACTCTCCAGAAAGCGGGTCTCCACTACCATGGCGTCTGACTGTGCATTTTAGCAACTGGCCTGATGAAGATCTTGTTCGACTTGATGCTGATGGTATGGTTATGAACGATGCTTTCATCAACAGTGTCAAGGAGGCCGATTTTCTTCGAAATGGCACGGCGAAGGGGATCATGAGTCTCTCCAAGGAAGACTCATCTGGCCTGTGGAAGGCTGTTGAAGAAGGTGAGACATTGAGCTGCCACCCACGTGCTGGTGTTCGTGCCTGACAATGCTGAATGAAGTGAATCTCTCATCATTTCAACGAATCTCCACCACTCTCCTGCCACCACCATCACAACCGTTCCGCAACGTACCAATCCGAATTTTCCTGCCGCTACCACCGGATGCCGACTCTGGATCACTGAAAGTGGTGCAATCTCCACTTCCCCCTTCAATACCTGCCTCAAGTATTCAGTCCAGTCAGTCAATAAGTTCTCGCAGTAGTCCAAGCATGCAACCTCAGACGGTGGGTACTGTCTTACACACGTTGCTCCCGAATCTTTTTCCAAGTCGAAGAACTCCGGTTCTAGCGAAGCCGGTCTTGCACGGTGCAGTTCTTCCTATGTCTGCGCCCATTGAGGAGGTGGTGAGGAGCTCTGCTTATGGGGATGGATGGGCCTATCTTGTCGTCCGCATGATGGGATGAGCTCAGCTTGAATAGAAATCGGACGCATCTACTTTGACCAGTTTCAGAGAGAGCGTTCACAATGCAAAGTGATTTTGAAATTAACTCCGCGGCGGCAAAGGTGAAGTTGTTAGCTCCCATGTGATTGATGATCACTCGTGCCTGTAATATCAAAATAAAAGAACCGGTAAGCACATATACATATAGTATAGCGATATGTTGGTGGTAAAAAGTCAAGACTATACAACATAACAAGCCTTTCCCACCTCAACTGCATCCTCATAGGTAAGTTCTGCTCCCAGGAGGCCTATTGATCCGGCAATCCGGTCAAGCCAGGTAAATGCGCGCGGATCATCCTCTTTGGTGCCCCCTCCAAGCTCGCAGGTGAAACAAAAATCAAGAAAAGGTCTGCTACCATTAGTTGTGGATTCACTTCGCGGATTTGATAAGGACAGTGGCGCTCCACAAATATCTACCCTAACATAAACAGGCGTAGTTAACCGGTTGTGGAGTTGTTCAAGGATGCTGAGTGTATTAACAGCGGCACCGAGAAGAAGTGACGGACTCGTTTCGGGAAAAGCGTTAGGCTCTGGCCCAACAAAAATACCAAAGATGCCTTCCTTGCGTTGGTTGTTGGACGCAAGCAGTGATCGCAACTCATCACTCAATTTCCGGAGTCGGTCACAGGTCATATGAATACTCTGTGCTAAAGTCGTAGCCTTGTTAGAAGGTACGGAAACGATTTCTCGCGCCTCTTTGATGTATCCGGGACATTTGACCAGTTCCATGAAAATCTTTTCATAGACATCAATGTAGAACGACCACTCACTCTGCTTCTGAGAGTCTTCCACTCGGAGGATAGCTGCCAGGTTTTGCCAACTATCTTCACCCAGGAAGCATGGCTCGCCTTCGTAGAGCGCGGCAGCAATAAGGAATGGTCTGTATGCAAAGTGGCAGACGCGTCCAGCTCCAAACAAATGGAAACTCATACCACGGTTCAGCATCAGTTGCTTTACCGCCCTCGAATGATAGACCCAACCGTCTTGCATAGTCCTTGTATTCATCTCATAGAATGAAAGAAGAATAACTGCAATAAGCAAGGCATCTGACAATGTATCATCCGAGCTCAGCGCATGCCTGACCGCCCCCAAGGCCTGCGAATACTTCTGTCGGCCGGATTGGTGGAGTCCCGGATCCTTGGTGAGATGGGCGAGGTATTCTGTTGAAAGACAAGAGACTGTTGCATCGTAATAATGCTTGGAACCGAAATGTTTTGCAACCCAGTCGGGAAATGTAAAGCCGTTGCCGAATCGGAATTCGTTATGGAAGAACATGGTTGGGAAGGCAGCGCAGATAAATTCTTTAAGTATCCACGGCTGCTGATTGATGAACGAGCGATGGACCAAAGCCGGATAAACACGTTCATCAATCGAATTTTTTGTATCAATATGTTTTCGCATAGAGCCATGGCTGTGCACAGCCTGGCGATCTGTCTTAACACCACAACCACCGATAACAGCCGACTTCTTTTGATACTGCTTCTGGAGACGGGGTCCCTCGTCCTGGAATTGCCAAGGACGCTTGTATCCCGGGCATACAACGGCGTATCTGCGACATTGCATACACTGTGGACGAGACTGGTCACACTAAGCCGAAGTCAGATTCGTGTCGGAATATGAGGGAAAGAGATAGCTGACTCTGATGCGTCGCTCCAGACATAGCAAACAGGCTTTGCTATAAGGAACGCCAACCATGATCAAGCGTTATTCATTATATTCCACAGCCTTGCGCTCTCCAGTGTCTTCCACAGCACAACTCCCAGCGATGAGTGATGAATGTCGGGTTGATCATAGAGTTGCAGCCTTCCCCTGGTAGGTAGACCCACACCAACCCCACCACCGCCTTTCCCAAAAATTTCCCTTCCGCGTGCTTACTACTGGTCGGGTAGTTCCGGCAGAGCGACACGATCATCACGACGAGCGTTTCTTGCATAGAATGTATGTGTGAGGATTACGCCCAGGCACACACTACCCAGCTAGGTCAAAAAGACCGCCATGCCGAATCATGCCTCGGACTACACCAGGAAACGAAGAGAGGAGGGGGTTCACAGCAGCATCAGTACCGACATTCGCGCTGAGTAGTCACAATAAAAGGAGAGCCCTATTACAGCAGCCTTGACTATTAAACTTCGCTTCTAGGTCGGGTATCATAACATGGGAGACAATTAACAAAAAGGCCTTTCCTTCATACCGCTATGTATTGTTGCTCACTTCCAACCAAGGTCGATTCACCAGTCTCCGATTCTCCGACATCCGATTCCACATCCTCGAAAATAGTTGCTGTACTGTCTCTTCCACCTTTTTGTGGCTTTGGGAGCAACTGCCCCTCATCATCAAACCACAACAACCCAAGTGGGTTTTTTTTGGCCAGATCAAATGCTGTTATGGTCGATGTGGCCTTCTCCCCATTCGCAACAGACGCATCGTCAAAAGGAATTTTGACGTTCAAGTCGGCGCCAGCTTCAAGTAGCTGGCGAAATATTGGCTCTCGTCCACGCTCGGCTGCGAGATGCAGAGCAGTCTTTCCCTCACGGGTGACGCTATTGATATTTGCCCCTTGTTCAATCAAGAATTTTACAAGAGACGGTCGGGGTACGGGTGACATTGTCGCAAGATGCAATGGTGTTTCAGCGCTTCCTGATGCCGAGCATTCGTTAATCGAAGCACCATGCTTTATGAGAAGTCGAATGTAGTCGGCAGTCCTGTCGGATTCTAAATTAATCGCCCCAGTTCCCGTATAAACAGTTTCGTGAAGAGGTGTCCAGCCTTGACTGGATCTTGCGGACACGTTCAATCCCTCATCCAACCCGGTTTTCAGAATGTCAATGCACTCCTGGTTGACTGGTGGTGTCATGTGGAGAAGCGTCTCGCCCTTTGCTGTCTCAACGTCTATCTTTGCACCTCGATTGAGCAGGTAATAAAACATGACTTTGTTTCCGGACATTGCCGCATACTGAAGGGGAGTGTGTCCCTGGGATGTTCGGGCTTCAATGTTGGCTCCCTGCTCCAAGAGTTTAGACGCAAGAGCAATGCTGAATGAATATCGGGCCTGCTCATGGAGAAGCGTTTCGCCTTGTTTGTTCCAGACATTGATGTCCGCTCCACCGATTATAAGGAGATCAAATGCAACCCAGTGTCGTTTCCAAGCAGCAAATTGTAAAGCTGTAGGACCGGTAAGGGATCTTGCCTCGACTTTAGCGCAGCGTTGCAGAAGTAGAGAGATTGCTTCGCAGTTGTCCATACTGGCGGCTAACTGAAGAGGAGTGATTCCATCATCATTGGGAATGTCAATTGACGCGCCTTTCTCAATAAGAAACAAGATGATTCGAGGTCGTTTCCATTCAACGGCCAAATGAAGCGCAGTGTTTCCTGTGCTGGGATTCTGAAAATTGACATCTACCTTGTGTTTGACCAACAACGGGACCGTGGACTCATCGGTCGCCGTCCCTACAGCGACATGAAGAGCAGTTGCTCCTGATTGATCAGCAGTTTCAAGCTCAGCATGAGAAAACAACAACTTCATGCACTTGCGATGACCATTCTGCGTTGCAAAGTGAAGGGCAGTGCGACCTTGAACATTAGTCGCGTTGGCATTGGCTCCGTTATCCAGCAAGAATTGAGTCATTTCATCGTTTCCCTGATATGCTGCACAATGTAAAGGACTCACTCCCAGGGCGTTATCTTGAGCATTGATATTTGCCCCCTGCTCAAGAAGGCGTTTCGATTTCCCTCGAACTCCGAAGAATGACAGGACGTGCAGGCCACTCCAATCGTTTGGATACTTGCCAAGACCGAGTTCCGCTGGCATGCCACTCTTCAAGTTCATCGCATAGTCGAGGGGCGGCCGCCTCCAGAGAAGTTTGTTGAGGAATGTTTTTATCAGTACTTGTACTGTTTGCTCATACTCATCAATCTCTCGGGCATGCAGTCCCCAATATTCTGCGGCATAGTTGAGGAAGCCTTTCTTTGCGATGCGGCATGAGTTGTCGGTCTTCTTATAGCATTCATCCACTACTTCATCAAGACTAATTGCAGTCAGGCAAGCCTCTGCAATGTCCTTCTGAGCCCCTGGAAAGAACACTCGAGCTGCTGATCCGTCAAGATACTCTTTCGCAGTCCTGTGGACAAAGCGTATAGCACCTGAAACCGCGTCCACAGAAAGCAGACCCGCACATTTGGTCTGTAGCAGTTGTTCGAATGTCACCGATTCTGGATTTTCAGGTGTACCATCTTCATCGACGGCGCTTTTTAATTCCGAAACCGTGAGTGGCCGAAAAGTGTAAAGCACCCAATATATATATCTGGTCGCAGATGCATTTTGGCTGACAACATGCTTCATGGCCTCTCCGTATGCCTCTCCTAGGCTTTCCGGCAAGTGCATGAGAGCTCTTTCAAGAAGACTTCGATCGGTGTATTGGGACAAAAGATCAATTTGGAGTTTTGCAAGGAGGAATCTGAAAAACAAACGTAAGCAGCTAGTCCAATCGCTTAGTTCTCAAACAATAAACCTGTTGAAACTTACATCCCATGAGATTTGTCAATGACGGTGTTGACAATTACATCCTCTAGTTCCTCATCTGTAGACTCTTCTCCAAGAATTGACTTGAACCCTTTATCGGTTTGTGTGCGAGAAAGTACGTAGATCCCAATATCCTCTGGAGGTGCCAATACGCTCACGAATCGAGAATTGTCTAAAGGTTTCACACCACTCATTTCACGTAAAGTGACTAGAAGTTGGGTTTGCTGGGGGAGCTTTTGTAGTCTTCCTAGGACGCGCTCCTTGTCTGAAAACATATCAAGTCCGTCAATGACAAGTAGGACCTTGGAAAAGCGATTGATCTCAGCTCGAATTGCGTTGTGATATGCCTTTGGAGATGCACAGCTTTTGGTGATGGACTCTGAGTGGTAGAGAGACGACGTTGCATGAGAAAATTCGCGCTTCCGGTATACCAACTGCGCCAGAATATTTTTCAAAAGATCGGTCGATGTTCGGTCTTTTCCACTCTCCTCCTGGCAAAATACAAACACCGTTGCAACGTCGGGGGAGGTAAATGTTCGCTGAATATAATCAATAATCGCTGATCTGTTCAAGACATTAGTAATTTGAACCACACATGTGATATTGCCAAACCCACGAGAGAAATGTTTTCCCGGCGCCAGCTGTTAATGGTCAGTAGGGGCCTTCAAAGCCAATGTATATATCACATACGGGGGCCAATGCAGTAAAGAGTCCTGAAGTACCCAAGTAACCACTGCTTGAAATGGACATTCTCAAAAATCCATGCGCATGAGCCTTGTTGGCGTCTGTTGCAAAGGTCCGCAAGCTTTATAAAATGCGCTGATGCCAGTCCGCTTGATAGGCTAAAAGCTTCTTCTTCAAGTTGGAAGTCCACGGGGGAATGTGCTGCAAATATATCACTGGTCAAACCACAATTCCATATAAGCTCAAGATAAGCATGTGCTTACCAGCTTCAACTTCACGATATTTCTTCAGAAATTCCCTAATTTCCTTGTCCAATAACGACCGCTGCCTTGGTAAAATTTCAGTACCATTTCGTGGGATCAATCAAACAGAATGATATGGAACGAAATTATTCTTACTCTGAGTCCGGCTGCATAGACAAGAGAAACATGATCTTGTACTGCTCTAACCGGGGAAGGTATGTTTTCTCCAGCAGATTCTTCCGGAAATAAAACACTCCGACACCACCAGGTTGGAAGTAGAGCTCGACGGACTTCATGGTTGACCCAAACAGCGCAAGCAATTCGGCGAGTGCTCTGAGACGGGCAGTAGCCACGAACCATTTTTCCTCCGCCCACGAGATCTCATCCTTAATTCGATAAAGCAGATCCAGAATGTCTGTCAGCAGTGCCAGAGCCCTCAATGAAGATTCATGCGAATCTCGTCCTCCGTTCAAACAACGCATAGCCACCCGCGTCGACTGGGTGGCCAGCGAGAGGTTTTCCCGAACCGCTGCAACGTTCACCATGGTGTTGAATGGCCATAGGCTTTGGTGCCTGGGCCAGCGAAGTGAAGCCTTGGTTGCAGACAGGTGTTGAGATGTCAGGGAGACAAGTGAAACAGAAACAGAGCAAAAAGTCAGAAAAAAATAATGATTTGCGCGTGTGTGTGAAATACCTAAGTCCTTATGAGGGCCATTTCAGTCCTAGCGGTGTCGGGATTTACCTGGCAATAGCAGATCATTTCCGTTCAGCCTCCGCTGGCTCTGCCCCTCATGCGTAAACACCCCTTTGCTGCCACGCAGCGCTTAGAGAGCGCACCCATCTTTCCCTGGACTAAAAAGCAGCATTCGACTTCATTGGCCGGTGGTGTTCCGCCGCTAACGCCCAACTCCAGTCCGCTTATCCATAATAGGATGGCTTGATGGCGGCGCTTCTCGTGATGGGTCGCACCCGCACCAACATGCTAAAACTCAGGGCAATCTTTTTTCCTTTGCGACATGAGCTAGGCGTCATTGGCTGCATGCACACTGATCACCAACGTGATGCGGGGCGGGGAACATCGGCTGATTGATACGCCAGTGGAGATGGGGGTATAAGCGCCTAGGACGATCCATTCCCCGCCACGTACCAATAACATATGCAATCACTTCGCGATATGTCGGACGCATAGATCCCTGTCTCGCTTGACATGGTTTTCAGCAGATGAGACAAGCCACGAAACTTGCGGTCACACTTTGCTTGCTACGGTTGGAATGGTGGGCTTGCATCCCACTTGCGACTTTCGAGAGGTCTGGGTAGTATTATTGGCTAAAATGTCCAACCTTGACTCGCTCAGGCCATTATAACCGATCACGAGCTCATTCTACGTTCCGTTAGAGCTTAAGCGGAGATTAAAGAACAGGCTACCCGCAAATAGTTTCGATATGATGGAATGATGTTTATCCGAGCCAGCTCGATTTTTTGGGGGATAGTAATCTCCATCTGAGTAATGAAACTGTGAACCATAAGGTCAAATCTAACAAGCTAGGATGCGTAACCCACTCGCGGTGGCAATATCTAGGCCTGGTTTTCCTGAATAACATACGTATAAACCAAACAGAGCAAGCAGCCTGAGAGCTCCGCAAAATATCATAGGCAATGGCTCCCATCTCCAAAGTAAGAAAGATTCGTAAAATAATGAACCACTCATGCAAAGTTCTTGGTGAAACACCGAACTGCCACTGATCATCGGTATGCAAGAATCGCCGTAGGGTATAGTTGAATGAAATTTCGCGAAAGTTTCGGACGTAGACAAACCAGCGGACACATAGGGAAAATAAAAATAAGTGAGAAACTTGTGAAGTAGTTATACGGCATTGCCATTGACATTGAGGGAGGCGCCACTCTCACGGCCCCTCCGGAGAGCTTTGGCTAGCATCAATTCGCGCATCCAGTCGATACGTTCGTCACGAGTTCTGACGGCGAAGTGGTGCGCCTTAGTGCCATTAAAAAACATCGATCTCCGATCGGAGCCGGAAGCATTGCTTGCGGATGGAATCAAAGAGAAAGCAAATGCTGTATCGCCGTGAGTATTGTCCTTGCGCTTCAGAACAGTCTTTTTGAATGCAGCAGTCAATTTTGAACTGGAAGCAAGTGAGGAGCAAGCAACCGCGTAATCGTCAACATCGATATGCTCTAGTGCCTTGGAATCGCGTCTAGAGGCTTCTTCATCGGGATACATGGAGAGTTGTGTTCCCCGTAAAGCGAGGTGGTTCTCGTGCCATTCATGACGAAGTAGGCGCGTGGTCTTGCGTTTCTTCACCCAGCCACTATGGATGATATCATTTGCGTACTCTCCTGATGGGCTGAATGGATTGACCCGATGGTGAGCAGCCCGGGGAGTTCGATCAAGATCTTCGGGTGTTTCGATTGGCTCCATTGCCTGGCCTTCATCAAGACGCGCCAAACTGGAATTGTTGAACGAGTACTTCCTTCGATGATTATCAACCTTGGTGGATACTGGACGAGTGATGGGATCCGGGATCCGGGGGTTGTAGTATCCAAATCGCATGTCAGGGGGAACTGATTGGGAGAAAACTCTTTCAACTGGTCCAATGGGAATTGCTGTCAAGGGAACGTCCATTTCAGAGAATGGTGTTGACTGGTCGTAGTGCGGATCCTGTCGATAGAAGTCGGAGGGCGAGAATATGGCGGTATTAGGAATGTCCGGGTGCGCAGAAAGACTCTGCTGAAGATGCGATTTTCGTCGAATCATTCCAGGTGTGATCGTCCGTTGCCCTGAAAGATTTGGAGAAATGGTAGAGGTTCCTAAAGATGGGCCATGAATCTTGGGGATTTGGAGTTTTGGGAGTGTTCGTAGGTTGTCTGCCAGTGTACCAGGTGAATAAGAGTCCGGTGACGGGAATGTTTCCCTGGGAGGAGTTGCAGGATCATTTACAGGCTGTAATTGACTCAGACGTTGGAAGCTCAAAAAAGTTCGCACATTCTCTTGAGGATCACGCGGCTGAACATCATAAAGCTTTTCCTTTGACAAGGGCATCTCAGCAGCCTGGGTTTGTCCCAAAGCATCTGACGATGCCACGAGAGAAGGAGTGACGTCTGACTTCGGGGTTTTGGGATCTTTCATCAGATTCCTCGCGGTGACAGCGTTGCCTGGGTCCCCTGTCACCACAACTGGACCGGACAGAGACTCGATAGGCAAATCTCGAGAAAGCCGAGACAACCTGGCATATTGTTTCTGCCACTTACGGCACTCCTCGCCCTTGGAGCATCGGTGTATCTTTGGCATAATCTGTTCAATCCCGACTATAGAAACCGAATCATTGGGGCCAATAACCCTCGGACGTCGTCGCCGGTGTTGGCGACGGCGTTCGCTTTCCGTTTGCTGTTGTCCATTTACACGATATTCGTTGACAGGGGTTGCATTGCAGCTGATGCCGACATCAGCCATCGCACTTTGTGGAGTTGCTTCTCTTGAGACGGGCTCTGATGGAATATATTGGTGGGCATCGGTTGGCTGGATTACTCCACTATACCGTAGCTGCCGAATTGAGTTCATAATTTCATGTCTTTTGCCAAAAGACTGGATGTCGAGCTCTTTTAAATCGTCGGCCTGAAGTTCTAAAAGGATAGACCCCGAAATGTCATTGATGAAAAACTTCTCAATGACGGTCTCATCAATGTTCAGCTTCTGCATCCACATCACAACATCGTCTGGGGTCCAATTAGACACGTCATTTTGACTAGACTCAGAATTCGTTCTGTCAGGCACTGCCGGCACCACAGAAACCGCAGGAACGGCTGTGGCATCTTTCCTAGGCGTCTTTGCGCGGGCTGGGACCGGCGTGTCTCTTCTTTCAGGGCCGAGCTTGGACGCTGAGTTGTAAAGAGGAGTGACGGCACTATTTGGTGCCTCGTCAAAAATCAAATCGACTTCAACCGTTGACTTGATATCAAATGACCCATCTGAAAGACGAAAAAGATGCGGTCCTTGGGGACCACTTGTAGCATTATCGTCAATCTGGAAATGGAATCCAGTGAGTCCGGAAGAGTCGGGAGTTTTAATGTCATCAGGAGTTGAGGCAGTGGTTACACTGTCATTCCCAAGCTGCAGAAATCAATGATCGTTAGCATCACAAGTGAGAAAAGACATTGTATAGAAAGATGCGCTTACTGAGCGGACACTTCGGTTCGCAGAATCTTCAGAATTCTCATCCTGAGAGTCGGTATCAAAGTCGGTATCCAGAATCTCCGTTGTGTCTGATGGAGAACTGGGCTTCACCTCTTTGGATGTGGCAAGATTCAATTTCTCCTTGGCCTTCAAGTACCGCAGAGTCGGCCAGTAGTCGTTTTGGTTGGCCTAAGGTTTATTAGCCATGTCTTCCAACGTAAGCCAGCAGGTTGCCCGCACCATTTCGAGGCCGGTCCTGTTGGGTAGGAAACCAAATCCAGAGGCTCGGTAATCGTCTTTATGCTAAAGCACTAGAGCACAACTTGATGTCTGCAGGCCCCAGATTGCAAACCAGTTGCCAGGTCTGTATTGTATATGAAAGAGCAGGAAGAAGGTAAGATATCAGGGAAGGACTCAAGACACTGAGCACCTAGTAAAACCAAGCATGGGTAAGTAATAGATGACTTAAAAATATTATTATCGTCGCACAGCGATGATAGAGCATATGGGGTATCAGTAGGGGAATCAAGATCAACGGTACGATCGGGCGGTTGGGATGTTTATGTATAGGTTTCTCCTTCTAAACAAGGTAGTAGCGAGCGAGTTGCCAAAAAAAGATACAGTGATCAAAATACCCACAGGAGGAGAGTGCCCACTTCAAAGGAAGGATGTGACGGATTGGCTATGCAGTTGCATGAAATGCGCAACGAGCAGGGTTGCTGGGAAACAGACTAACCTAGCTACCCTAGTCGCCTATCCTCGGATCTATTGGACACTGACCTGGGACAAGAACCGCCTTCTCGTTAGCCCCGTCATCTGATTGGGCATTAATGAGAGTAACGTGCAGTATGCCAAAATTATCCTCGAGCGATCATTTTTCCAAGAGGAGGGTGGGAAAATGCTACGAGAGGTTGGTGGGATCGCACTACTGCCGTGATGGAAGTTTAGCACGTCTGACAGGCTATCTGTTGCGTAGTGAGAGCGGTTGAGCAGCCGGCAGCCAATTGATGCTAACGCCTTGTCACAATGGCGCTAAAGCAGGTGCTCCAGGCTGGTCACGCACACGCGGGGTTCGTGCCCTTAATTCCCTCGCTAAGGACAGAATTGTAGATAATTATAGTAGCATGATTTAAATTAGCCTAGAATCTTTTTAAAAAGGCGGATAATTGTTTCCTGAAATAGATATATCTATAGTAGAGACAATCTATTATTATTAGTATTATTATTATTAGTATTATTATTATTAACTTATTATTATTACTAATAATGATACACGAGTTGGTAGGTTCCCTTATAGAGTCATCTTTCATGTAAAATTGATGTTAATTGATTCATTACATCATCTACACTTGCTTCGACGGAAAGCTGTCGGTCATGGTGGTAAGCAGAAAAAGCACGGCTCAAAGAATTTTGACCTGTTGTCTCCAGTCCCCATACGAAGACTTTGTTTCGGTCACCTTGATAAGTAGGCTGCTTACTGCATCAATAAGCTATATTCCTTTGCCACGTCAATAGTTGTGGCTTTCTATATTTTCTCCTTTAATCTGTGTCTTTGATATTGTCATGGGCATGTTTTGGCTACACGTGCTTCTGGAAAGAACGTGTAAACCTAACAACATGTAGGTAGTGTTGGCTCATTTGCCATCGACTTTAATTTTCCTTCAACTTTTTAGCTATGATACAATGATTCCGTGTAACCAGACGGGGAGGCAGACCACAGAATCATTCATAGCATTCAACTTTGTACAGAGTCTGATGCCCTAGGTTATTGGTGGAATAATAAACATCATTCACAGATAAATAATTCTTAAGCAAGGGTTCTTTTAGTTACTATGCTACCTTTTGCCTGTACCACCAGCGCCCTCCTTGTGCTACCAGAGAGCGGTCGTGCTACTCCTCAATGTCTGTTCCTGGAATTTGCGGAACATCCCCAAGCCGTAAGTCTGTGCCTGATGCTCTGGTAGCTGAAAATGTTTTTGCCGCTAGTGATAGGGAACGATGCCGGGTCAACATGAAAGGAGAACCAGAACATTTGAATGAGCAAACGAGACTTTTTGCCTTCTGGATTTACCCAGCAATGGTATTAGGACCAACTCCCACTCGGCATTGGGGGATCGAACTTTGGGCAGATCAGACCGTACTCGATCACAGGACCTTTCCAACTAAAACCCTGGTTTTCCGATTGTCCTGCCTGTCGATTCGGTTAGCGATGGGATGGATGAAACTTCACCATTCCAGTCAGCAGAATGCTCTGATAGTACAATTGATACTAATTATGCTTTAATTAGATCATTAAGGCGCTTGCTCGAACATATTTGATGCTAAATTAAGGCGTATTCTGTCTAAAATGGGAAATGTTATTCTTAGCAAGGCTTTCTTAGTAGCTAATTAGCCAAACTTTAGACAATAATCTAGAACCATGGTTCCCCTAGTTAGTTCTACCGCTCAGAGGAATTATGAAGCGGTTAATTGTTGCTAATTACGGGACATGATCATGAGCTAATGTAGACGGGGTCACCCGCTTCTGTAACACCAACGCACGGTTGGCTGGCGTTTCCCATTCTGCACGCTATGGGCCTGGCTAGTGGTCCGGGCCAGTGACCGAGCCGCTGAAGGCTTACCCAGACTGTCGAATCAGCAAGCAAAGGTGGAAGCTTGGCATGCAACATATGCCGCCTGGTCACAATTTAACTCCACTTTATGTACCTCGAGTCACCAATTGGGACAACTAAGTCCTCGGAACCCGAATTTCCACATCAAACTGGTAGCAGTTTAAGTCCACGAAATCCTGCCAAAAAAACTATTTGATATAATATTACGCACATTGTGCGACCTAAATTTAAGCATCCTCATTCCTTCGCGGTAAAAAATAACGGAGTATTGGGGAAAGATGTATCACAAAGTTGTGGGGATGTGATGGCACGTTGTGCACGGACAATGTGATAGAAATCAAACCACGCTAGGAAACGGGGACAGGAAACAGAAACCTATCAGCGTTCTGAACGAAGTTGCTTCTATGTGGACCTTGGCCAATAGATCCCCTAAGTCATCACATCTCAGATGGTTCTCGTCCAGGTTCAGCTAAGCAACAAGTCTGCTGGGGACGATCAAATCCTCCGATGCATAATGATCAAGAAAAGAAATTATACCCCTGCAAGAAATGATCCCAAATTTAGTTCAACTTTGGTGTCATTTGTCCCGGCCGCTGATCCCCACCCAAGTGTTCGCATGCTCTTCCGACCAGGTCGTCCAATCCCTGCCGTCTCAGTCAAAAAATAGAAGCATCATGAGCTGCAGGTTTGATCGCAAATTAGTCTTAAAGCCATCGAACTCCGAGAATTTTAAGACGAGACTCTCCACTTCAGTCCGCTCAATAATCATCACTCTCTCACTGTGAATTGCCCTCTGTCTTGGAGGTACAGACTTCGCAAGACAGACTTTCTTGCTTTTCACTTCCCAAATTATCTCCCTTCCCCCCCCCCCCCCCGGGTCGACGGCAGATAAAGATAAACCCGCTGGCGGTCATCCCAAATCCGTGGTTTTGTCGCTAGCCCTCTGATGACCAGACCTACGGCACCATCTTCTTTACTTGTTCGATTTTACTCTTTCTACCTTGAGATTTCTATTGTCCATCATGCCTCATCCAAGGCTTGCGACTACGCAACGTGCAGAGGCCATGACAGCCATGAATGAAAACCATATTGTGGAAAAGCCCTCAGCAAAGTCACATAAACGTTCGCGCTCAGGTACGTACAATTTAAAATCTTTACGATCAAGTACATGGCTATTGTTACGGGTCATGTGGGGAACTGAAAGCTGATAGATGTGTATCATAGGTTGTTACTCATGTCGCGTACGAAGAAAAAAAATGCGACGAAGGCCACCCTCACTGTAAGACATGCACAAATCTAAAGATTGAGAAATACTGCAAATATAAGCGGCCTGAGTGGTGGAGCACCCCCGAACTCCGAAGGCAGAAAAAGGAGAAGCTCAAGGAAAAAATCCTTCAAAATAAGGCGAACGATAGACATGGATCGGTACAAGGTACGTCAGAAAGCCAATGGAAATTGGCTATTTATTTTTTATTGTTCTTTCGCGACTAACTGAGTTGGTTTTTATAGAATCAATGGTCCGCGTTCGCATGCCATTCGGTGGCTCACCGACTCTTATCCGGGATCAAGACTTTAATCGCCCATTGACCGAATCCTACGATCCATTTTTGTCGCATGGGCAGACATCCGCCTTCCCTCCTAGTGTTTACACGCCTCAATATGCCCCATATGAAGTTGATGTCAGAACTGAGAGCCAAACATTTATCAATGATGTTCCTACGCGACACGATTCCTCTGTGTCAACATTCAGCGCGATGGGTCCGCCGCAACTTCACGCAACTCTACCAACTTTCCATGGAGATGAATGGTTGCAGGAAGACTGCTTCAACCAGACTGCACCATATGGTATCCTCGATCCGATTCTGGCCCAGCAAAGCAGTGGGTCCCCATCAGTCTATCTCCAAACCACAACCATTCCGGTTGAGGAACATGATCGGCCTTTGCTGGATCACTTTGTGGAAAATGTCCTGCGAATGATTTTTCCCATTCTCGAGGTCCATCAACGTGGGGTTGCTCGTGCAAAAGCAATTTTGAGCTCTCTAGAGACAAACATGTCCTACCTCCACTGTTGTCTAAGTGTATCTGCGATTCACCTCAAATCAAGCATTGGTCTCAGTGCCGAGCAAATTGATCCTGATATTATGCGACATCGATACGAGGCAATTTCACAACTTTGTCAAGCTCTCAACCGCGACACCGAGCATCAACAAATTCTAGATGCCACATTGGCCATGATATTCTTTCATTGCTCGGTTGGAGCACCAGACGACTGTCTGCCTGACATCCCATGGAGCGATCATTTCCAGGCAGTGTCCAACCTGGTGAACAGGCTCGAGCTGTCGAACTCGGCAGTTCCAACCACAACACCTCAAGTAGTCAACCCCTTCAGTATGGCTTTGACGTCATGGATTGACATCTTCGGAGCAACAATGCTAGGGAAAACCCCGCAGTTTGCTCACACATACCGTGACAAGCACCTTAAGGGTGCTTCTTCTGGCCTGCAAGGGTTGATGGGCTGTGACGATCGAATCATGTATTTGATCTCTGAAATTGCCTGCCTCGATTCCTTGAAGGCTGAGGGTCGCCTTGACGAGTTGGCCGTCTGCCATCACGTATCTGCCCTCGGCACACAGCTCGAATATACCGAGCCTGCCAAAGCAGTTCTTGAGCAGCCCTACTCATGCACCGGTACTATTCGACCTGACCAGTTGACCAAAAACATGAGTGCCATTTTCCGAATTGCAGCTCGCATTTATCTGTGTAGTCTGGTTCCAGGATTTGACCGCAGCCAACCCAGCGTTGTAAATCTGGTTTCTGCTATGACAGATGCTTTGCACTATATTCCAGCTGGTCCTTATGGTTTTGATCGATCCCTGGTTTGGCCCTTGCTGATAGCTGGGTCATTTTCAACCCCAGACAGTGCATTCCGTGTTGTTCTGGCTGAGAGAGCTGCCGCACTGGGTGAAATCGGCGATTTTGGCAGCTTTAGTCGAATGTTCCGGGTGGTTCAGGAAGTATGGAGGCTTTCAGACGACTCAATTACTCCAGTCTCGCTCGATTTAGAGAAAAGCCAGACTCAAGTTTCGGCAATGAAACGTGAAGAGTCACCATTGTCTGACGCAACAACCTCCGGTTTGCGATCTATCAGGCAACAGAGCGTGCACTGGCGCGATATAATGCATCGCAACGGCTGGAGATACTTATTGATATAATTGTATTTGATACCCTTGCCCCTCTATCTGTCAGGAAGCCATTTTTATTATTTGGCGCACTCGATAGTTCTGTTCGATGTTCACTTAGTGATTCTAAATTTATTTTCGTGTTGGAGCAATTGATATCGGGGATCTCTTCGGCGTTGGTTATTAAGGTTGGGCTGGTCCTCCTTTCACTGTACGGTACCCACGAATTATACCACTACAATTTCAAATGGAAATGAATGAGTTCCATCCAACGCTATAAGATCTTTTTCTCTTTCTCTGTTTTCTTTTTATGTTTTTCAGAGCTCTTTCCGTTCTATAAGTCAATTTCATGTCGTTTGTTCTTCAGGTTTTTGGGCGAACTAGACAAGCCCATTCAAATTTGGAAAGACATTCTTTCAAGTTTAATTAATATATCCATCAATAATGCTCCTTGGAGCAATTAAGATTATTACCGCAGATTATGCGTGAATGTTCTTTTGGGTGGAGATGAAGAATTAGATGACATGAATTTCCTTGTTAGGGGCATCTATAAGCAGCAGTTGACTCATTAAGATTTACGAAGAAACTGAACCTTCATCTTTGGTGTTTTCTTCCAATTATTCCTAGATTTGTGGACTATCTAGATGGTACACAGCATATATATATTCATCCAAGAATTCACAAGAACACGAAAGAAAACGATCAGCTAGTTTCTCGGCCTAGGGCACTTATTAACAACCCTGCAAACCAGCAAACATACCTAACCTTAGCTACTCTGATTTAATTCAGTACATTGTGACTTGATTAGAAGTCTGACTTGTGTAGCAGTCAGTCAAGGCCCCAGGGCTTTTCCCGATTACTGGCTCAGGCAGGTCATCCTAGTTAATACCATACGAAATGGGTTGGATAATTCAATAATTCTGAAGTATAACTTTTGAAATTAGGTACCTAACATTCAGCCATTCCTATTAAATGTTGCGAGAAGCCTGGTGGTCTGCATTCCAGAGCCCAAACTTAAGCTTTCAGTCTGTAAACATAACTAAAAAGACAAACATTCCCACTGTGTACAAACAGTAGGGCTGTCTTTCGTCAAGTGTAGTGACTATATCAAGATTAGTGAGGAGGATCCAATAATGCTCTAGACATTTCAAGCGCCCAACTCACCTCAGAACATGACGGGAGCGGCAAGAGAGATATCAACCTGGTGCAAACATGGAGGCGAGTGTTTGTAAATTGTCACCGCCTTTGCAGGATATAGAGAAATTATTGCCGACCTGACAGACCAAAGCTTAGAACCCGATGCATAGAAGCTCTCAAAATGATGAGAGACCATAGAATCTGAAACGGCCGCATCTGAAAGCGCCTATAATCTCTAATTTGCATGTTTTGGCCCCTGTTGAAGATGATCAAATATAGAGCTACTGCTTTAGCGCACGTTGTTCCTTGTCTAGGTAGAGGAAGCTTGAATTGAACGACCAGTGATCTCTTCGGATTAATATCGTTCTGTAGGCATAGGAAACTGATGTTGCTATTGTAAGGTATATTTTGTAAGAAAGCGTCTCCTCAAACAACAGACAGCTTGGCATTCTCTGTTGTGCAGCTGACAGTATCTCGATACCTCAAGGTGTAGCAGTGATAGGCCGGCTTGATGATTGCACTGGGTTCAAAATAATGTTATTCTTGTTATCCTCTAAACATGCAACCAGAGCAAAATATCACCAAGGAAATCAGAAACAGCAGCAGGTTGCTATTTGACTGGAAACACACGGATTCTAATCTATTGGACGTTGATTTGTCTGCATCGCGCATATCAAGGGTATCTACCTTTGATAACACCGTTATTGTGTCCAAAAATTGGCCCCTTAAAACATCACCGCAGAGTGTTTGCTTATGGAATTCAAGAACTCGGCGCGAAGGGAGCCGCTGGCTTTTTAAGGAGGAACCGCGCGCTTTAGTCAGAACGAACCAGGATCGGTAGTTAAGTAAGCCGCGCTGACCCCTGACGAGGATGCAAAGATGAAACGCTCTAAGAAAACGCCTGTAGTTTGAAGGGCCTCTCAGTCAGGAACCAGACTGCAATATTTGCCTCAGATAGCGCCCATCAGATGAATTAATCGCCGATCCTGCTCCTGTCTGAAGCCACGCGGCTGGCAGAGAGAAAGCTTTATAAAGTGGATAATCCCCGACAACTAGTAGAGGCTCACATCTCACAGACTGAACAAGGAGGCTTGCAACCACTAGCTGGTCTGACTCTGCATGCACGCTTTGCTCGTCCAGTGTTAAAGAACCTGGTCCCTGGTGTGGATTCCCTCCTTCGAAGTTGAGCATCTAGCAACTCAGAACAAAAGCGGGGCTCTCCTCATCCAGTCCAGGGTTAGCAGACGGTGCAGTCTATCCTTTCCTCTATTATTATTTCTCCTTTCGTGCCAAGCATAGGTTTGTGTCCCCTGTACTCTGCTGCTGGAGAAGTGCCCACTAACCATCGCGTGATTAGCCTGGTCTTTTACACCGCCGAAATATACTTTGTATCATTACCGTCTGGTACGGTGGTATTGGTGTATCACCGTTCGTTCGATACGTTACCACTTTGTGTTGTCGCCTGCTCCGCCCATTATAGATACCTTGCAACTTGCCCACGACACTAACTCACCCACTTCCCCTACTCGACGTCTCTCCTTGCCCGCACCACAGCTGGCTACTCGAATCTATTTTCTTTCCTGTTTGTCGCCCGCTTCTCATATACAGCCCGGCCCTCGACCATACTCATCTGATCGATTTATCCAGACGCATCTGCCCTACGCTTTTCTTTCTTATATTACCTACCTCCCTACTACTCCCATTCCTTCATCATCTATCACCCTCATCATCTCCTCCAGCATATCGTTGCCCTTTCCCAGCGCGACACACTTTATCAACGCCATGGCTCCGCCGAAGCCTATTCTCCCTCCTCTCAAGACACCAAAGACCATGACCTTTCCGTCTGAGCTACACGACAGTCCTCTCACTGCCTGTTCGGATTCCGTAATAAAACGCGAAGATGATGTTCCGGGGAGTGCGACAGGGAGCGGGACACCAATTACCCCTCCTCTTTCCTATACGCAGTTCCTCAAGGCCCTTACCCCGGTCTTTACCAGCCCAGTGAGTGCTGGTGTTGAATTCACAAAGTTCAAAATTGAGAAGCGACGCCCTTCTCCGATATCGATGCCCTCCAGCGCAACAAGCACACCTGCGTCTGCTCGCGAGGGTCCCAAAACTGCCAGTGCTGCCATACCAGCACCTTCTCCAGCTTCAAGTGCCAGCCCGCAATCAGCAACACTTCCCACGACTTTACGACGTCTTCGTATTCCTCCCTCCTGTGCCTACTCGCCTGTTACGGATTCTCCGCAAAGCGCACGGACAATTCGATCCCCATTCTCGCCATCGGACTGGAAGATCCGATACATCGAAAGTCCCCGAAGTGCGGGCGGAAAGTCCGTCAGTGTGAGACAGGTTGTGACCAGAACAGTGACATATAAGCCTACTTACTTGGACCCTCCACCTAAGAGGAAGAGACGAAAGACGAGCGAGAGCCGAGACGCCTAGCCCCAACAGCTTGGCAGGGGTTAACCTTTTGCGGTCATTCAGCGTTATGAGCCATGCACTTTTTACGTTTACTTTCTGGTTGAGTCATTGAGAGTTTTGGCTCCTTTTCTTTTAGTTTGTTGATTTGGGAGTTTGAATGGGTTGAGTTCTTATCACCTTGTTAGAATGATTTGCAATATGTCTCTTGAGGGGTCAGCTGTTTCAGAGTATGTATTGCCTAATTGTCCGCTTCTCGACTAGGGTCTCCTGCAAAGCAACGTGGCTTAATTGCTAGGGAATGGAGTTATTAGCAGGGGCCGGATTTTTGTCCAATGCCTACGATTCCTTTCGGCCTTTGTTGGTCATGGCGGAGAAAAAGGAATACGAGTCTGGGTTTTTTTACTTTCTTGTTTTTGCTCGCTACTCGCTTTTGTCTTATTTTTGTCGAACTTTTGTGTTTTCAACAAGGGTTTTCATTCATTTTATTTCTATCTCCAGTTCACAATTGACAAAGGATCCGGCTCGACCAAGCAGGCATAGTATTTTCGTCTCGTAAATCCAAGTATGCGGACCCAAGAGCCATGATAGTACCAACATACGTATACTATTAGTATGAAAACGTGCCCTCGAGGTTCTAACGGCAAAAATCCAACACATGAATAGTATGCCTATTTGGTCGTTCTAGTAAACGAGAAGGATCAAAGCGGCGTGTATGCCCCAAGCTTGATCTTGGCGATTGAAGCGTGGCCAAGTATTTGGCGCCCTGTTAGAATAAAAAGGTACCTCGAAGTAATATTAAATTTCTGGACTACTTCCACGTGTCGGCCGCATACTGTTGGAAACAGTAGCATAACTATGGAAGACCCAACACCACCCTTACGCACGAAGATCTTTTGCCCTTTCCAATCAAAGTAGCTAGCTCATATGCATGGATTCAGCCTCTCGGACTGAATCTATTATCCTAGTCAACATCTGGAAAAATATCCCTACTTCCTGGTACTCTCTGCCGAGGTGAAAGAAATCCTTAGTTTTTGTTTTAATGGTACTTGGGTCAAATCAGTAACTATGCGCCGCACTCGACTGCCGTGGAAGAGGGCTGGATTACCACGAAGACTAGTAGATTCGCTTCAAGGTCTTGCTGTGCTGTCTACTGAGCTGCTTTTAGAAAAACCCTATCGGGCTCGAAACTGTATTATTAGCCCAAGGCTGTAGTATATGCCCAGGCGTTATATTTTGGGCGTTGCATGAGCGGCACATATACCAAAAAAGGCTCCAGGCGCATAGAGGTGGCAAAGGCTAGATCAATGCGGCCAGCACCTGAGTGTATACCAACACCGATGGTATGGAACGCTAAAACCATAACGACGAATCGCGATATTTCTACCACACTCCCCACGTTCTGACCCTCTCTTACAATATACAACACCCATGTATTGTGGCTTTTGCCCCGGAACTAAGCCGCACAGTCAGCTTTGAGGCTCCCTGTCAACATTACTTCCTGACTCGAAGGATTCAATTCAAGCCGTGGTACCACAAGACCTTGGGAAACCGTGTGGGCTAATTGTTATGTTGGAAGCTGAAATGGAATTGGCGCTCAGCCACCGCCCCTTTCCTACTTACATTTTGGATTTTGGTGGCAGCGTCTGAAATGCTTTGAGGGAGGAGGATCTAGACGCGTGGTAAAGATGATGTATCAAGTAATCTACTATGTAGACATAATCAACGGCTGCGGTTACAGAGAATCTCTCGTGTAGAAAAAGCTATATGTGCACCTGTATGATGCTAAGTCATTGATTGTAATCTAATTGACACTCTTCATCTAGCATGTGATTTGTTCTACTTTTCAGGTCAAAGAAGATCCATGTAGGCGTGGTATGGTATGCTGCGACAAGGCATACAACCAAGATACCAAACTACCGGTAATTCCGTACACCCTGTACAGCAAACGGACAAGTGCGTCATCTCAGACCTATCCCCTGCAGTTGGGTCCCCAATAATGAGGAGCAGCGTTGTCCTTGGGAATATTCTGATCTGTATTACGCCGTGTTATTTTCCACTTCGGTCTTAAGGGAATTTCAATTACAACAGTGACATCTTACAGCCCTCCACCATCAACCTATTGCACGCTAGAATAACGAGCTAACTCAGTCATCGACCCCGCCACCTGGTGGGCCTGACTGCTCATCTTTATTTATTTATTTTTTCATCACAAGGATCAATACGGCGGTCGTGAAGGCCTCACTCTACGAGCAGACCACGAAAACAAAACAAGCCCCACATATACACTTCCCCAATCATCGGGACGGTGGAGCGGGCCCCCGACCATCAATCTGATTTAAGCGCCGGCACTATTCCTGATACGACCTGGAGTGTGCTTCCACAAAGCAAATCCTGAAAACTGTGGTGTGATTGGAGGGTATCGATGGGGCTATCACGCGGAGGATGAGCCCGTCAGCGACTTCGGCCTTCTATTTTTGGGGGGATTCCACTGGTGCGGGTTAAGTTTGGGTACTATGTGCTTCCCATCCCTAGACTCTAGCCAATGTGCGTTCAAGCTTTCTGTATGCTGATCAGCTCACTTTCCGTCGGAATCCGTTTCCTCGTTTCCAGCGAATCGGTCTCCCGTTCTACCCTGTGACTTTTCAATAGCTCGACCAAATGAAAACTTTATGTGCTTGTAAAAGCTATTCTTGGGCATACAAGGACTCTTTGTCACAGTCTTTCACTCTCGGTGTCCTCCAAGTCATGCAACTTCGTCACAAAATCAATGTGCCAAGATCACCAAAGGAGAAAAAGTTGGTTAGAGAAATTGCAGTTGGGGGGAACTGCGCTATCGAGAAGACTCTAATTTTAGCAACACAGCGACTAAATGCAAAGAATTCATAGCTTTCAGATCCTCTCACATAGTGTCCAAGTTGATAGGTCTGTTGGTTGCCTCACTTTGGTTTGGTTTTCAACGGAGCGCTAGCCAGGTTTGCCCTGCGCGTGGTAGTGACCAATTAATTCTATCAGCCTTTGTTTTTCCGTCACCAAGTTCCCTCGGATCAGAGCCTGTCTGAAGCTTCCAGGGTTTAGCTTCAGCGAAGGCGTTACAGAAATGCACGTTCGGGTTTATTTTTGCAACCCATCTTGATTATGACCTCATCTGCCTAAAGGAAAATCCTTCTTACAACTTGTGACTTTCACCGCGGCAATGTCAATAATAAGTGTATATGCTCTTGGGTTTACATTCTCTTCATTTGCCACTATTTGAGACAATTGAAAACATGCGGAACGCCAGAAATGTGCTGACTCTGTATGCCGTTAAAGATCTAATTGATCACGTATAGGATAGCCCCAAAATGTGGTTTTGCAACCTGTTGTAACCGCTGGCGGCAAGCCAAGTTCAAAAATAGTAGCATTCACTTTCAAGTAGTAATGCCATACATACACCACCATATATGACGCCCTGCTAATAATTTGGAATGCCAAAAATAACATCAAATGCAAGACTCCGAGTTTGGCTCCACGAGTCAAAACTCTACATTGGGATTGTGCTTGTGCACGTCCATGTGATCACCAGGAGCTAATTTTATTTTCTAAAGCCTTTTGCCCACACCAGAAGCAAGCAGGCCTAAGCTCGGGATCTCAATATAGGGCTGCATACTTCGAAACATGGCACTGATTGGTTCGGGATCGGGCATCGACCGTTCGAGAAACTATGACAACCATTCATTTCCGTTTTTTCTACCGCTTTTCCTTAAGATGCTATCTAAAACCTGTCTTTCCTCTTCGGTTGACTATTATTAGTACCGGTCTGATACTATCTAGTGATAAATTTAGATTCATTTAAGGAAGCGACACAGGGATCCCTTGTCCACCCCGTCTCGGGCTGATCCGTCTGCAACCCAATTGTTCCGCTCCGCTGTATACTCCGCCACAACAAACGAGTCCAAAACTCGCTTTGACTCTGTTCCAAAATAATTTGGCCCAGCTAGAGCATGACTCTATTCCCGATCCGTGCTTCACAACCGTTGTTTTCGTTCTGAAAGTCCGTTCGCTTTCAGAACAGGTCCCTGAGTACGATACAGTATCATACCATCTCTGCGTTCCGCTCTTTCCTCTCCTTACCATCACGAATACCTCCGAAATATTCTAAATTAAGAGGTGTTTTTGTTCTATCGTGCTGATCTATCTCTATCCACGCGTCATAGGTCCACCTACTGAATGACTGGGTCTGGAGGGCTCGAGGTTGTTTGGGAAACGCTTCGGTAAACAGGGAGTCCCAACATGTTGCCGGTGCTGGTAAATATAGAATGTATGCCATTGTCCTTGCCGCTGTGTAGTTGCACAGTATGAAGCCTTGTGGAAGATAATCAGAGAGGCATAATTGATAAGCGGATCAAACCTCGCCTTCAACTTGGCGATAGCTACAGGAACATTTAATTCAAAACCTACGTAGTTAGCGGTTGTTTTTAGATACTTAACGCTGTCAACCATATCATGCAATAATCATGTCTTCGAATGGGATATTTCCTAGCTGAATTTTCTTATATAGTTCAAAGACAGTCTCTCGATAAATGTTTGCCTCATCGAACCTGATGTTTTGCTCTTCCACCTATTAGCTCTATCGATTCTCAACTTGAGATATCGGAAACTAGAGGCACCAACAGAGACCTCGTTATTTAATGTGTTGTTGTCATAGTGCAGGGATTGGAGAGAGGGGTAGTTCATGCAGTTCATCACTCTCTATCACGTCGCATGGCTGACGTTGCCAAAAATAGATCAAGATACCCCGCGGGACCATTTAGTTAAGAGGGTCGACTGCTATAACAACAAGAGTGAAATGATAGCCAGAGGAAGAACGTAGAGCGAGCTATCCAGGGATATCTCGAAGTATTTGAAAGAGCGGGGTGTAGAAACAACTGCATTACTACAAATGCTTGTCCATGTGTGTTCTATAATTAGAGGCGGGGCAGGCATGCGATTCATTGACTGGTTTCATTGATCAGCCCTGCCCCTGGAGCGCTTCTGCACGAATCAACGAGCATCTCCCATTTCCTTTTCATTCATCGTCAGCGAAACACGCCGAAAAGGGTCCAGCGAGGGCTACAAGGGCCAAATCCCGTGATCGGCGCGCGCCCTGCCCTCCTTCATCCTGCACCACTCTCGTCCACCACACCGACATCCCCCTCCCTAAACCCATCCTGTCAGGCCTGACTAGCCCAAGCCCCGAGCCCATACAACCCGTGTCTTACACTCCCCCCTTCAAGCGCCCCCAACGTCTCGAGGTCCCGCCCCCCTTTAGTCCTTCCAGCCTGCTGCTGCACCGCCATGGCTCAAGCACCGCCCACCTTCACCCCGGACAGCGAATTCGCCGACCTGCAAACCCCCCGCGGCCCCAGCAGCGGGAGTCTGTCGGTGTCGGCCTTGGCACGGTTCGAATTCGAGGCTGGCAAGGGCAACGAGGGGACCAAGATCCTCATGATCGAATGGGAGGACGATGACCTGTCTCGTTCCGCGGCGGAAGGATCATGGCATGTTTCCTGGACCGGGAAGACGACTGTTTTGCCCGCCGATGAGCGGCCAAGTGATAGCGTCCGTCGGGTTTACTTCCTGCTTCCGCCAAACACGACTATTCCTCCAGTCGTGACCCTTTCATATGAGCATCGGTCTACAACCACAGAGACTACCACCACTACCACCACCCCGCTATCAAAAAGCAAGGATACCTTCCAACTCAACCCGCTACCAGCTATCTTCCCCCCGGAACTCGGGGCAACGGGCCGCTCGGCGGGCAAGAAGGGCGTCCTGCATACAATCTGGGCGAAGAAACGGTTGCGCGTGCTGGACCACGAGATCCGGGAGGAGTTTCTGAACAATGCGGAGGGAGTTGCGTTGCACATGGCAATTCAAGAGAAGGAATGGATTGAGTCGAATTTCGGAGTCATATCTGGTGCTGTCGACGCCGTGGCTAGCAGTCACGAGTCGTCCACCTCGTCCTCTGTTTACCCCATGGCTCCCGCCACGCCCGTGTCGCCAGTTAGTGGACGAAAGCTGAGCGAGAAGCTCAAGGGCTTGAAGCTGCAGACAAGTGAGAAAGACTTGACCGCGAATGATGGTATGGTGTTCTTATACACACAATCACTCCGCGACCAATAACTAACCATGCCACCTTCAGATCCCGACTCAGCACACCTTCTCTCGCCGCAATCGCCCGACGTAGCCGTCTCCTCCTTCAACTCATTCCGCAACGTGAACCGAGCCATGCACTCGATGCCGACCCCAGACACAAACCCCACCCCAACACCAAGCACGCAAATCAATGCCTCAGAACCCAATCCGCTCAAGCCCGCCGTCGCCCATTTCCCGCCGGCATCTCTCCAAGAAGCGCAGCAGGACACCACCAGCGTAACCGGCTTCGCGGCCCTGGCTCCGATAGTGCGCGAACCCATGGCGCGCACCTCGAGCGCAGACTCGGGCGAGGAGCTCTTCGCCAAAGCGCTCAGTCCGCGCTCGCCGGATCTGCCGCGGAGCCCATTCTCATTTGCTTAATTGGTGGCTGTTCTTTTCTTCAACCTTCCATTCTATATCCTCTTTATTATTGCTATGATTCCCCTCTGTGCGGCGTGTGACGAGTCTTTTTTTTACTGTCTACTTTCTTGCGCGATATGATTTTTCATCACTGCATCTTCACCTCATGTCATATCTCGTATTGGAAATAGCCGCCATGGCATCCGATCCAGTGTACATAGACGAAATAAAACATCACTTCAACTCCACGGATTTCTTCTTCCGCATACACCACCACCACCAACCACCTCTTTACACCATCCGAACCTTAAGCGAAGCTTCGAAGCAAGCAAACAACCGCCCTGTTTGTTCCCAATTCAACTGCTCTTCTTCCTCTGACTCGCCTGCCGTCCCGGCCGTGCCGAAGATCCCGACGATGAACCCGACGCCGCACCCGCAGCACTCGCACCATCCGCACCACCCTTCTTGCCCGCAGCAAACGAGTCAAACTCCTGCGCGTCCTTGCGATCGGCATACCACTGCCCAGCTTGCAGGGCCAGAATCCCAACAAGAACAAGAGCAAGAATCGTATTCGAAGCAGCAAGAACCTTCAGCGAGTCCTCCCTCCCAAGAATCTGATCCGTCTCTTCGGCGGTAGTAGCCAGATCGGCGCCGTAGCGGCCCGCCGAGGCGAGACGCAGACCCTTAACGATGTTTGCGATGTAGACGGTCACGCCGCACATGTAGAGCACGAGGGAGGCGCCGTCGAAGAGCATGTTAGATTCGGAGGGGCGGTAGAGCTTTGTGATGAGCCCTGCGAGGCCGAGGAAGATTACGATGTGGAGGATGCGAGGGATGAGCGGCGGGGAGGCATGGAGGAAACGGAGGTGCGCTTCGAAGTAGTCATAATGTGAGGCTGGGGTGGGAATTGTTGACCAGAGGATTGGGTAGTCGTAGGGGAAGAGGGAGAAGATGATCCCGAGGAAGAAGCAGGTTGCTGGGTTAGTGTCAGTCCATCTGTTCTGGCTGTCTGTTTCGAGCGTGGTGGGCATGTGGGGGAGGGGATGATGGAGGGAGGGAAACATACGGCACAGGATGAGGAAGGTCGCGAACGACGAGGTTTGTCGGGAGGCCATGGTGGGTGGATTGGAGATCCTGGAAGACAGGACTTGAGGGAAAGGCGGGTTGGGAGAGAAGATAAAAATAGGGGGCATGGAAGGATGGAAGGTTAGGCTCGGCCGCCAAGCCCGGACGATAAGGACGGACCCTACCTGGAGTCACAACTCCAGGGCGCGATATGATAACTCTGATAGGAGATGATAGGTATGATATGGATGGGGACCTCGGTATGATACAATTCCTATATGTCTCAAACGCCTTTGTTAAATTCCCAGCGCCTCCCGTATATCGTCAAATCAGATCATCAAAATGGGTATCTTGTTCGTCCCCGGGGCGATCAATGCAATTATACACAATTATCAACTCATTCCACCGATATTCACCGCTTATAGACCGGCAACGACTCATCCGCCTGTGCAGTTCCGCCCACCAGCTGGTCATCCTCGTCAAAGGTCGGGGCGCTAGGCTCCGCGACACTTGCTGAGCCCTCCGCGGTCTCCTCATCCGGTGCGCTGGCTTCGTGCATGAGTCGCTGGCGCTCCATTTCTCGCTTGTCATCTGGCTGCGCCGGGTCGCTCGGCTCAGCTGCACTGCCGTTCATGACGACAGTCTGCATCGAGTCGTGTGGCGGCCGTTCTGTGCCGGGAGATGGCAGGTGCTGGTAATCGTGCAGACCATCGTCCTCGGGCAGGACAGGCGCACTCGGTTCATGGGAAGCGGATGGTCCCGCCTCACCAGGGGAACTAGGCAAGAGCGCTTCCTCGTGGCGTCGTACTCGCGTCTTCTCGTCCACTGGTTCTTCAACCTCGGGCGGCGCAACGACCGAGTCCATCGGCTGGAATGGTTGCGTGTAGTCTTCTGCATAGTCGTACTCGTTCCATTGGCCTTCCTGGGGGAATCCGTAGTCATCTTGGATCCCAGGATCCGAGTGGTGGGAATTGGGCATCGGACTTGGGTCGACAGACCACCCATCGCCTTCTCCAGGTGTGGCCACCGTCGAGGACGTCGGATACTGGGAATGCTGTGCCGCGGCTGTGGTAGAATCCGCAGCGGCGGATGGTGCGCATTCCACGCCGGCCTGGCCGCGCTGTGAATCGCGAGTTCCGACAACAACTTCAAAAGCCACCGAGATGACTCCCTTCTCGCGGCGGATTTGATCAGTATCCAAGATATTCCCTGCCCAATTGGCCGTAATGGCACTGCCGTTCACGTCGGCCGGATTGAGAATCTGTCCGCTGGGCGAGAATGTGCTGCCGCCGGAGACCATGTTGAACCGCGGGATAAACCGTTCGGGCGAGGTAAATTTTCCCCGCAAGTCCACAACGACTTCAACGTAGTAGCGGAAATTGATCATGCCTCCAGGCACGTGTGTAATAGTTGGAAATGCGTCCTCCGGGACTCGAATGGATGTTTTGATATCTGCAGTCATAGTATGTGGGTCGACAATCAAAGGCGCGAATGTCTGTGACAAATCTTTACGGAATGCACTGCTGGTGCGAGCCGTGCCCAGCGTAAGCCCCCCTAGCCCTGTACGCGAACGAGGATAGCAGTCCTCGTACACCGGCTTCTTCCCTGACGCAGTGGGACCAATGGGAATCGACGGGTGGAGATCAATCCGGCCCTGGCGATACAGAGTGATCATGATGCCGTGCGCACTGCGCACTTGTTTGCAATGGTTGATCGTGACCCGGATGGGCAAGGTATCTCCTGGTAACACGCCCGCGCGCAAGACTTCGGCCTTTGCTGTAATGGTCCGATCCGGCGCAGAAGGAGTCGAGCCGTGTCCTTCACTATTCCGTCCGCCGGTGCTCGAGGATGAGCAGGGATCGGTCGAGATCTGAAAGCTCTGGCTGCTGTTGCTTGGCCGACTGGATGTACTGACATTGCTCGGAGATGGGCTGAGCGGTGGACGAGTTTCCACGGAAGCGACGGTGCCATTCACCGGGGTGTCGATGGACGACGTATCTGGCGCCGCTGTCGTATCGGAGGCCGGCGATTTTGATTTTGCCTTGGATTTGGAGCGCTTGGACACGGGTTCGAGAGTGACAATGCGAGCTTTGGGTGCAGGAAAAGGTGCAATATCGATATCTTCAAGTAAATTAATTCGTTTTCGGCAAGTAAGAGTAGGGTTCATGGTGGTCGGTCGGGTTAGTGTAGATGTAAGTGTATAGGAAATCGTGCCTCGTTCAAACTAGTTGGGTCTTCTTGTCAGCATCTTGTGGGAGGTTGGCACACAGGATCAAACGCACATTTATACTGCTGGGAAGTGGGTATGGGGGAAGCGACATCTCAAAGCGGAACATATATTTGCCTTCCTTGAGACGGCCATCGCCGCACAGAACGACTTCGTCCTCGAATAACGTTGCCAGCCCATTTCCCATATATTCAGCGCCTCGTCGGCCACGCCCGGGCCCCAGGAACCCCAGGTCGGGGGTGGCCTCCCCAGCCGGCGTCGCATTCTTGAACACCTTCACACAGCCATGGAGACAGACGACGACGTGGGTGATGCGCACCGGTCGCACGGCGACCACGACGACGGTGCCCTTGATGACATCACCGGGGAAGTAGGAGCGCCATGGGTCGTCGGGATCAATGTAGAAATCGGTGATATTGCGATTCCGTTGGCCGAGGGGGAGCGAAACTTGGACAGGAAGGAGTTGCGATTCCGACTGAGCGGCGAGGATGAGGGTTTGGAGGGAGGATGGTCGGTGGACATGACACACGGCCACTGCCTACTGCATCCATATAAGATGACCAGGGGCGGGCGGGCGGAGATCGGAAGGGAGGCGAGGCAGGGTACGGTTTTGGCACTGATGTTCAACCACAGACACGAGTTCGACGGGGACGCGGTGGCAGCGGCGGGGGGTGGGATGATGATCAGAGAGAAGCCTACGTCAGGAATTCCAATCGAGGGACACGGCCGGTCGTGGCAGTGTCGGAGAAATCCGTCGATCGCCTTGCACGGTCTGGATCCCAACTGCTCGGAATGCAGCCCAGCTATTTTCCTCGGGGTCCAGATCCAGGTCCAGGCCTTGGTGTGGGTGGGAGGGAATTTCGAGGAGGGAGTGAGGGGATTATGAGTGATGACCACCGCGCCACATGGTTTCTGGCCAAGTTGGAACAGGCAGAGGAGCACGCAAGAGACACACTCCCGCCAGCAATCAGATGCGCCGGGGCGAAGAGGGGGCAATAATGAGCGAGAGTCGGAGCAGGGGCGGAGGGAGCACCGAATTTGTTCCACAAATAGCCACTGATGGAATGTGGGACTCGAGGGAGGAAGAAAGGGTAAAGATAAGAGAGGGAGGGAGGGAGGGAGAGATGAAGAGAAAGAAGAATAGACGAGTCAGAGGAGAAAGAGTTCGCGATAGGCGGAGCCCCCGACAGCCCGGGGAACCCGTGATTCGCGTGTGGTTCAGTCAAGCTTCTCTTGGTCTTCGGCTAATGGTGGTTCAGCTCTAACTACGACTCATAACTCCCGCAGCCCACCTTCCACGTATTCGTCTCCATAGCACTCCCGCATCACTGCCGTCACCATGTCCCGGTCCCCGCCCGCCAGGTGTCGCAGATACCCTTCGAGGATGTAGATGTTGTCCGTCCACTGCTGCGCCTGCTGCTGCAACCCTCCCAGTTCCTGGCGGATCTGCGTAACGCCCTTGTTACGGCCCTGACTGCGTTGCATCTCTGCAGCCTGGAGGCGCCCCACCTCGGCCTCGAGCACGATCCTAGTGGCCATCAGGGTGTCTCGCCGCGACTCGCGCCCGGCGTGATCCTCATCCTCATCCTCCGCGTCATCGGGTTCCTCCCGCTGTCGCAGCGCTGTTTCCGCGGCCAGGGCCGCCTCGGCATCGGCGCACGACTTCCGCGTCTTCTCCACCTCCGTCTTCACCCGGCCCACTACCCGCTCGCGCTCAAGCTTTTCGTCGCTCCCGAAGATCCAGTACCAGTTGCCGCTGCCGATCTTCTCCACCCGCAGCTTGCCCTCGTTGAGAAGAGCCTGGATGTACTCCTTGACCTGGATGCCATTGATCGATGCCACGGCCGGCAACGTCTTTTCGAGATCTTTGAGGGTGTGGCAGGTGCCTGTGGCGCGTAGGTAAGTCAGGATCAGATCCTGTTTGGCTTCTTTCGAGAGTTTGGGGGGCTTGGGGACGCGTCAGTGTGAGGCCTTGACGGGTGGGGGGCTACGTACCATGATGATTAGTTGATTGGATTCGATGCAGATGATAGCAAGCAGTGACTAGTGTTTGTAGAGCAGCAAGGATGACTGTGTAGAGGATGATCGCGCAGGTGGGTGCTGGTGGAAGAACAGTCAGGGCAGGTCACTGGACCAGTCGCAGTCCAGAGCATCTTTGCGACCGACCATGTTGACCTTCAGGCTTTCTAGGACAATACCCTGACAGACTGAATTCTCGGGGTGTTTATCTATTGTATTGTCTACGAGACTTGATTGGAACTAACTACAGTGCAACCCCTGCTGGCCGTGCCGTCACATTGCTCGCATGCCCAGCTGCCAGAGATCGCAGGGAAGGATCTGTGTCTTCCCACGCCCTTCTATCAAACATAACCATGATCGGTGTCCCTGCCAAGCACTCCCGCATCTTGGCAACAGCCGCCGAACGGCAATTCCGGAGATTTGTGAGACTGCATGTGGGGGCTGCCCCCACGATGCCCGGGGAGCGGACTCGGCCAACAACGGCCGTCCGTCCGCCGGAGCCAAGACACTAAGCAACGCGTTTTTCAGCGTCGCCGTCGATGGCGGTGTGTCGGGAAAGGCGGCGTCAGGGTCTGAGGGGCTTCGATAGGCAGGGTGGGTCACGAGTGTATATAGTTCATTACCATTGAGCAGCTCTCTTTACCAACTGGTTGACAAGGGTGTCTGAGCTAATGCGAACTTCCCAGCATGCGACACATGTGCTAAGACAGGATCTGATGATTGGCAGGCGCACAGAGGGAGGAACGACGTACCCTCGCCCCTAGACTGACGACGGAGACGGCCTGGAAGGGCCTCGGGCGTAGATAGTTCATTGGCAAGAGGTGGACGAGTGTCGCATTGCCACAGCTGAAGAACCCTGGAGCAGGTGTGGACGTGTTGGATCGAGTTTGATCAGCACTCCTTGGGGTGCGCACTGCCAGTAGTCCGCAAAATGTTGAAAGGGCATCTCATGGGGACTGCGATAGTTGGATGCTATAGTAACCCGTGAGGTTCGGGCTAGATCGAATGAGGAAGTCGGTCATGCGACAAATCATCTTTGCTCGTCATTCTCCGTTTCAAAATCAGTTGTCGAGGCCGCACGAATCAACCTACGCCGTTTGTGCTTCTTGCGCACGCCCGTCGCTGTGTGCTGAGAACCCACGAGGGCTGGATGTGCCGTGGTATTCGATCTCTTCCTCCGTAATGATTTTGCGACTGGCCGAGGCACAGAGTCACTCTCACTACCCGGATGCGAATCTTCATCATCGGATAACTCCTGCCCTTCCACAAGAACCAAGTCCCCTGTTTCGCCGAGAGCTTCTTTCGCTAGTTCCTCGACCAAAACCCCCATCGCAATCAATGCCGTTTCATCCATACTCTTGTGGTCATTCTGTCCCTGGTCCTCGGTTGTGAACTCGTAGTGGTCAGCGACATAGGCGTGAATCGCTTCTAAGAGATCGGAGCTAGGAAGCGGGCGGTTGGTGGGGAGAGTGTCGTTTGCAAAGTAGGTAGCATCCTTCGCTTCGAAATCCACGGCATGCTCTCTGCGGAGCAGGACCTCTTCGGGACGGAGAGCTCGGCGCTTCTTGAGCGCGGGATGGGAGACAGTATTGGTCGCTGCGTCACGTCCGCGATTGCTGAATCGGCCTGTGGTCGTTAGAGAGGTGCTTGCGTTCGCGTGAAGAGGGCATACCAGCTATCACATCGTAGAGATTGGTTGAGCGGCGACTGACGCGTGTGGGCGAGAGCTCGCCTTGTGACTGGGAAACTGTAGTCGGATCAACCCAGGTGTTCTGGGTCAGTCGGAGGGACTGGCCATGGGACATGCTTGGGAGAAGAGAGGGAGATGGTGGTCGATGTGGTCCGGATCCATTCCGCTCAGAATGCGCCGGCGAAAGTTTTATCCGAACAATACTGATGAGAACAAGAAGAGACGATGGATGTTCGAAGCTATCTCTAACTCCCAAAAGAAAAATTATCTATGCCGGGAAAAAGCGACGGAGCCCGGGATACTGATCTGTCTGCCTCACCCCATCCCCTTCGGACTTCATGGCGCCCTCAAACGCTCAAAAGTAAAGGTCTCACAGAAATGCACACAGGACCTCGCCAATTCCCCAGGGCTGCACACACAAAACATACTGGACGATTTCTTTCCTGCGCCCTCGTGATTGCCCCGAAATTCAAATCCTGTCCAGGTTGCGGCCATTCTTGCTGAAATCTGACGCTCTTCCTGTCCAGCTGTCAGTCCTCAAGTCGATACCTATAGTCGCCCAAACCCCCAACCAAGGAATGTTTGTCCTGTTTGCTTGTTTGTCCTCAGTACCGGACTGCCTGCCGTAACCTCGCTCCCTTGCCAGTAACAAATGAATGAATGAATTCCTATCTGCTCAACAGAGCCCTTGGGTCTGTCACTCCATCTGCCTTCCATGTCGCCCAAACCACCCGACTAGTCCACCACCTCGAGCCCGCGCCGGGCATCCGCTTCTCCAGTCCCCGGCCGGGTGCGTCCACACAGCACGAAGACGATGTCGCGCCACTCGATAGAGAGCTCGACCCGGTCGCGGAAGTGTTTGCGCATAAGTCGGGAGTGAACTGCCTGGCCATCGATCAATTCGAGGGACGATAGTGCGTGTTGCGCTTCTTCTGGCCGCCATGAGCGCATTCAGTCTGACAATCCAAACAGTATGATATCCGGCGGCGCTGACCCCTCGATTCGCTTGTGGGACCTTGAGACTAGAGGGTCGCAGCTCGAACACGTCCATCGGTCCTGCGCGTCGATCAGTAAATCTTCGCATGAGGATGCGCACACCCACGCCATCACCTCGCTCTCCATATACCCGTTCGATCCCGTTCCGTCCACTATATTCTCCACGTCGCATGATGGCACATTGAAACTGTCTGCGCTGCAGTCGCCAGCGATTACACCACTGCATACATTTACGCTCGACTGCACACCGTACTCGCATTCCTTCTCAGCTCAGCCCGCGTCGACCCTGCTCGTTGCGGTAGCCACATCGGATCCGACAGTGCGGCTGGTGGATTTACGCTCGGGACTATCGACGCATGGCTTGCCTGGACACACCGCTGCTGTGCTCTCAGTATCGTGGGCTCCTCATCGGCCGCACCTGTTGGCGTCGGCCTCGGTCGATAATCGCGTAATCATATTTGACGTGCGTCGCGGAGGCCACAATTCTGCAATTGCGACTCTGGATATGGATGACCCGGTGGGATTGGTTAATGGATCAGGGGGTGTGTCAACATCGTCGGAAAGCCGGTCAGCATTCTCTCGGCATGGGCGTGCCCACAATGGAGCCGTGACTGGTGTGCGCTGGACATCAAATGGCAGCCACATAATCACTACTGGGCAGGATTCCCGAATCCGAGTGTGGGATGCAGCTACCGGCGCAAACACACTCGTGCACTTTGGTCCGCGAGTGCGAAATACCGCATCCTCGCATTTGGCAGAGCGGGCGCCGCTGATCATCCCGAAGGGACTCATGAACTCAGGCCAAGAAACACTTCTTTGGCCGAATTTCCACGAACAGGATGACCGTGGGGAGATCTTTATGTTTGAACTCCGCGAGGGGACCTTCATTAAGCGTCTCCGCGTACCGGGTCTCTCAACAGGACCGCAAGCATCCCGTGGTCGGTCAACGGCACTGAGTGCTGCCCGCATCAACGACCTCGTCTGGCGCGGAAACGGGGCTTCTGGTGAAGGCCTCGAACTGTTCTCCGCGCACGGTGACGGAACTATTCGGACTTGGGTGTCTCGAGAGCCGGATGGAGAGCCGGATGAGGCCGAGGAGGCTGCTCAGGCCGATCGCAAGAGAAAACACGATGTGTTGGAAGAAATCTACCAGGGGTTTATTGGAGCTGATCCACGGCTACATACTTGATGGTCGACTTGTTTACCCGAAATACGACTGGTTCTTCGTTGTATCTGGTCGCTTTGTATTCTCATGAAACGCCATACATATCACCCATTTTACCGACCGTATTTTCGGAATTTGACTTGCCAGGTGAGGCAAGGTGCATCCAAAAAGACGGCATATAGAGAAATCACGCATTTCTTCCCGCATGTTCACCAATCTTGTCCCCAGAATCCGGATCCTCCTTCGCAAACCGGTCAAAAGCACTCTGACCCTTCTCATGCTTCGTAGCACGAACATCGCCTTTGGCGGAGGGGTTATTCGTGCCCATTTGGGTACGCTTCGACTCCACCTCTGCTGGCAGCGAGTCACCCGTCCCCGTAATGACATCCCCAGTCATGCCAATGTCCCGTGTCGAGCGCGGCAGGTCGGTGGGGTTGTCGACTGCGAAGGCCGTGCTTGGCTTCGCCACGCCCTCATTATCATACAAAAAGTGCTCGGCGCGTTGGTCTGGGCGTGGTACGGAGGGAATGGTGCGCTGTTGACCGGCATCGTTGGGGATAGTGGTTCCCGTGGCCGCCATCTCGGAGAGTGTGCCACCTTGGTGAGGATCTTGCTGCTGGGAGGGCATTGTTGTTGCTGGGGTTTGAGGTGAAAGTTGTTGTGGTAAAGCCGGTTGTATACTCGGTCAGGGTTTTCAGAGATAAGGGTAGGACCAGCCTTCAAGGTTCGTTGGGATTTAAATCAATGAGCGATCTTAAATTTAGTATCATGGTCCGTGATGAAATCACATTTTCAAGTTGGTCTACTTCCTGTTCTGATGTCACTGCATAGTCTGGGTATGATGGTGGGATGATATCACGCGAGGTTGTGCCTTGGTTGGAGTATTGCGCGGGTTAACCCTATTTTGAGAACAATTCCTGTATTTAGTAGAGAATCAGGCTCCGATAGACCATAGATCTTCAACCGGTCTTGAAAGATTTTGCGATAATGCTCTGGTTGATGATCAGATATGACGCAACCAATCGAAGACAGGCTAAAAAGAACAATAACCGGAACGTATTGATTGCTGAAAGAGAAGCCATGACGAACAAAGATAAGCTGCGAAGACAGGGCGGGCTTCCAATTGTTGGACTAGAATTATCCAGCCGGTAAAAAGGGGGCGCCGAGGTCCGAATGAAGCTTCAAGAGAACAAGGTGTTCGACGATACACCTACAATGTACAGGATCTAAGAACGTAGAGTCTACAACAGGAGAGAATGAATAAGGCAGATCCGTGGAGGTAATGCTCAAGATACGTGCACTCGAATGGGCAACAATCAAGATTAATTGCAAAGATAATGAACTTGGAGAATAGAAATGGAGACAAATTCAGAGTGAAATGAAAGAAGAATAGGAGATCCTTCGGAGAGCGGTACAACATGGTCAGGACACAAACTCCGATTTTCAAGCCATATAACACATCTACAGGATGAAGGCAAGAACGCCCATCACAGCAGCGGCAACGGAAACAAGGCCGCCAGAGAGACGAGAAGCGTCACCGGTGAACATCTGCACACGAGCAGAAGGAGAAGCAGAGGCTGATGCGCTAAATTCGGGAGAGACACCAGTGGGTATCGCCTTGCTCTGAACAGGGGTTGACGTACCCATGATTCTGCTAGAGTGCACCGGGACATCAACAGGGATCATGGAGTAGGCGACGCCCTTGGTCACTGGGCGGTGGGACTTGTAATCGTAGCTGTAGACAGGAACCATGGACGATGGAGCCGGAATAGCAACAACAGTCTCCATCGAGGGGTGCAGGGCAGGGTTGGAGTACACCTTCTCCTCTGAAACGTTGGACTGCTGGGGCACAGCGGCCATGGGGATAGCGCTGGTCTCAACAATCATGCTGGTAGCGGGCTGCTGCACATAAACAGTAGCAGTTTTCTCGACCTGTCGATAGTGGGTCTTGGTAACAGTGCGAACGACTTCGACTTCACGTACAGATGCAGCGCACTCAGGGGCATGGTCCACCTCCTCGAGGGGCGGATTGCTCTTGCTCTTGAAAGTTGGAGGAATCTCACCAGAGGGAGGTCCGAATGTGGGTTCCTCGAACCCAGAGGGCGGGAAGTCGAAGGGCGTCGCGGGGCCAGGGTATACAACTGGAGGAGGATACACCTCCCAAGGAGGGTGGACGTGGGTCACATCAGCGTTGATGGCGTGGTTGTCCTGGTGGTGCTCGTTGACATGGCTGTCAGTAGAGACGGAAGCACCGCCGGAAAAGCTGTTGCCGCCATCATTACCGGAAGGACCACCTTCAATGGTGGGGCCACCATCTGCGCCGTTCTGTCCATCATTTTGACCAGCGTTCTGGCCATCATTCTGGCCATAATTTTGACCCCCTGAGGACACGCGGCTGCTGTCTGGGGAGTAGGCGCCGGCGTAACCATCCTGAGCGCCAGAGCGGAAGGGAGTAATACCACCCTCTGGAATCGTCTCACCAAATTGGTCTTGGGCCGGCACAGCCGGGGCAGGCGCTTCAGGAGCTGGAGCAGGCACTTCAGGAGCCGGAGCGGATGCTTCGGGAGCTGGCGCGGGTGCTGCAGGAGCCGGAACAGGCGCTTCAGGAGCTGGCGTGGGTGCTGCAGGAGCCGGAACAGGCGCTTCAGGAGCTGGAGCAGGCACTTCAGGAGCTGGAGCAGGCACTTCAGGAGCCGGAGCGGATACTTCAGGAGCTGGCGCGGGTGCTACAGGAGCCGGGACAGGCGCTTCAGGAGCCGCGGCGGGCGCTTCAGGGGCTGGAGCAGGTGCTTCAGGGGCCGCGGCGGGTGCTTCAGGAGCCGGGGCAGGTGCTTCAGCCATAGGAGCAGCCGACGCGGGCTCGAAAGCGGGGGGAGCTGGAGCTTCAGCCGGTGGAGCTTCAAAAGAAGGAGGAGCATTCAGCTCTGGCCCAGGGAAGGCAGGGCCGCCGAAGTCCGGTGCACCAAACGGTGTCGCGGGAGGGGGAGGGTACACATCGTTGTTCTTGACATTGACACCATGGTCGTCTTCCCAATGCTCATTGACACCAGTGTGAGTATTGATTGTGACAGGGGTAGAAAAGCTCTGGCCGCCGTCATTGCCAGAAGGACCACCCATAGCGGTGCCACCTTCCGGAAGTCCCCACTCCTCAGGGTCCCAATCGCGCTTGAAGGGGTAGTCCCATGGCTCTGGTAGGTTATCGAGCTCCTCAACATTGATGGAATCGTCGTGATCGTACCAGTCCTCAGGCTCCCATTGGCGCTTGTAGGGGAAGCCCCATTCGGGTCGAGCTGGGGGGTAGACATCCTTGTGCTTCACATGGATGGAGTGGTCGTCCTTGTTGAACTCGTTCACTTCGGTGTCGAAGTTGCCGGTAATCGGCATATCGAAGCTCTGACCTCCATCATTGCCAGATGGGCCCCCCATGGCAGTGCCACCTGAAGGCCAGTGGCGACGCTTCTCAAAAGGACCTAGACCAGGGATCACCGGGCCAGGGCCTTCCGGGAAAGGGACAGACCCCTCCCACGGCGCCGGAGGCGGGTACACATCCTTGTCTTTGACATGAATGGAGTGGTCATCCTTGCTCCATTCGTGGACACCGCTGTGAGTGTGGACATTAGGGGCGATGCTTCCAACATCGTCACCATCATCGTTGCCAGATGGACCACCCAGAGCAGTGCCCCCATCGGCCTGGGGCAGAAAAGGCAGTCCAGCATCACCAGGCACGCCAAGGTCACCAGGCTAGTCTGATTGTTAGCTGGCATTCCGAGGCTGCGATGGTTAGAGTTTCACTTACACCACCGTCGAACTGGGCCTGGGCCGCGGCTGCGAGCAGGGCCAGAGGAATCCCACCAACAAACAGTCCCTTCATAGTTGCAAATGTGAAGTCGAAGATTAATTTAATAATAATATGTATGATGTTGCCCGTAATAAGTTAAATGAGCGACTGGAAATGAACTTTCACGGGAGCGGATGAAAGAATGGCACAATCAATTGTAGATGCTCCCAGTAAGCTAGAACAACACTCAGGCGCGGGCCTCGTCGAGGTCTGTAGACCTTTAGTAGTTCTGTTGCATTCATGATCATCGACGCTGCTCGCACATCGGAATGTCGGCCCACAGACAGATGATGGGTCTCCCGGCCGGGTAAGCAGAGTATGCGCTGCATGGGAATGTCACGGAGAATGAAAAACAACATCGAGCGGTGGACCCCCTCCATTTGGCTTGTTGATTCTGGGGAAGAATTCGGTTGTGGCCTGGAGAGGTCGTGGTACCACATTCTTCGGTCTTGAGGGATAGGTCCTGCGGTAACCAGATTCACAGGCCTACCTCTCCATCCAACCAGGAGCCAAGGGGCAATGTGTACCTGTGCACCAACGTCAATTCAGATCTATGGCTATGACGAAATGTTTTGCGGAACTGCGTGGCCCCAAAACAATTGAAGAATTGACAGTGGACCCTGGCCATGGTCGTCGACCACACGAGTCGGGAGAATCGAAGCCTGTGAAACTCACCAACCACGGATCGTGCTGATCATGATGACATCCTTCATGATCTTCATCGATGAACAGGGGGCCTAGTGTCTTAGTGTCTACTGGACGGGGGAAGTAAGCCGAGCAGCACCGCCGTGGACGGTTCCAGGATTCTGAATCAACAGCAACAAATTGTTTCATTGAAATACCCTATCATCCTAAACTGATCCGACGTGTTCTGTTGGTGTCGCTACGTCGGCCATGTCCGTCAGCAAGCAAGAAAACAAGCTGAGGACAGGAGAATGTATCCCATTTTCGACATTCCTCCCCCATCGCCCTCACTGAAGAGGACCCAACGGGAGACAAACTTCCTACAAGGAATATTAATCTCCAGAACCGATCAACTCCCGAAAGAGTCGAAGGCAACACATCGCCGTGGATTTGTCAAAGGAGACAGGACGATGGTCGTGGCGGGTTCTGTTGCTTTTTTTTCGATGAAGAAAGAAAAAGAGAGAACACCAAATTTTTCGCGGCTTTTGTAGGTCCCGGGAACCGTGGGTCATGTGATCGGAGCAACCCTGTTCCGAAATCGGTTCTACAACACGAAAACAACGACGATGTACAACAGAGAAAAGTCCTCAGGGTTCTCATTCAAATAAAAAATAACATAGCACTGCGTCATAGATGCCATCCAACTAATCAAATAGATCAACAAATCGCAACAACGATCTGTCAGAATCTCAGCTTTGCCCTGGCTCCAAACCAGATCGCAAGGACTTACCGATCAGTCCAAGGCGGCCTTTTCGGCACTGTCTTTCCAGGCTCCACCTCCAACAGCTGCGGTAATTCCCAGCGCGACCGCGATCATGCTTCCGACAGTCACCACTGCCACGACTCCCTTGAGCGCCATACGCTGTCTGTTGCTTAATGACTGCATCCATGACCGCGGCTGATTCTCCTCCTCCCACAACTTAGACCGCCGAGGGCTTTCGTTTCTCAGTGCCGAGTATGGCCCAGCATTCTCGGTTACCCTCAGGTGACTTGGATTTTGATTTTGGTTCTTGGTTTCGAAAGTGAGTTGTTCGTATGATATCGTCGGGGTTCCATGTCGATAGAAGGGCGAGTATGGTTTGGCGCCGATGGACGGATCGAAGTCCTGGCTGCGGCCTTCGTTGATCGAGGGAGTTGACTGGATCGAGCCCGGCGGCGAGCGGCACCTCGGCGTCTCTGGATGTTTCTCGTCGTTGCTCTTGATTGACGCGGCGGTCACCTGAGCGCCAATCACTCCGAGTCCATGCAAACTCATGGCCTGTCGGTTTCAAAATATCCGGGAAATGGATCGTCTGAAGCTCAGCCGCTTTGCCTTTGACGGGGGCAGCGGGCTCGGCGGGCTGTTGTTCTCTTTGGGAGGTGATGCAGTGATGGCTTCAACGGGGATGACCAGCGTTGGGCAACCGCCATACATAAACAATGCGGTGTCAACCTGGAATGCGCTCCAAGACCAGGTAGATCGGGACAATCTCATCACTCCGGTCCGTCGCGTGGGTTATAAAAAAAATTGAATGAATGAATGGATGAAGTAGAGTACACCCGTGCAACTCGAGGAGGTAAAGTAGACCGAGGGCGGTCTTTTTCCTAATGGCAGGCTTCTCCTTCTCAGCCGACCCCTCGATGCTCAACCCGATTTGGATTGCGTGGAAAATCAAGATCTACCTTAGCCGGTGCCTGCCTGCCCCCTAACGAATTCTTTTGTTGTGGGATGCAAGGTCGCGGTTGACTGCTATTTGCTTTTCATCCCTAGATTGGCCGTTCGTCCCACCCCCCCGCAGCATTCCTACCTCCTCCTGTGCCAGGGAGCTTTTTCCCCTGCAGCTACTGCAGCACGGTCACTGGTAGGATGCATGCCTCTGGTCGATCATCGTGGTGACTTTGTGTCATCCCTTCCATAGGCTGCTGACCTGGCTGTACCCTTCCGTTATACCCACAGTGAGTTAGATCCCGCTAGGGCCGGAACACAGCATATACAGTAGTGTGCCACCTTGTCTGCAAGGTCGATCACATTGTGCAATTTTTGGTGGCTAGATGGGTTGTTCGCCTTCTCAACCACAGCCAACGACCACGTGGTGGTCGTTCTTCATTTACAAGCAGCGAGAATAGATCTATCATAAACACAGAGAATATTCGCATCTTAAACCAAACGTCCATTTTGTGGTTTGTGGGACTGCGGACAGTTAGTGTCTCTTGTACTACACATGGCTAACTGCAGGACGAGCTGTTCCATGATCGACGGATAACGCATCTCTACCCTATAACTGCGAGGTTGCCCTCAATAATACATGTACACATCCTGCATAAATTAATGGATATCTGATATCCGGTAGAATTAAACTCCTCGCAGTTTCCAACATTAGTGTTACGTGTTGTTTGATGAGGTGCGAATTAAATGTCCGTGGTTGTGGTTTTACCCCCGCGTGGTGGAAATATATATTCCAGACTCGGGCCCATACACTCGGCCACAGTCGTTTTCTGGAACTCCCTATTCTCATCGATTCAATGTAGGTCCTACGACATGTTTCGTTCTTGATGGCTAAATTAAATATACTTAGCTAGTATATTTCAATTCATGGAGATTTCTATCTAAACTCTATCAACAAAGTACGACCATATTGTTAGTTTTACCCCAATTCACCCTTCGACAAGTTATACATGAACTTCTTCCACTCAAGCCATTGACAGAAATGCCAATCAAGGTTGTGTAGCTTCCAGCATTATTGAGTAGGTACACATATGAACTACTGAGTTCTTCAACCTCAGCCAGACGAGGGAAGACCCCGTAGTACTTTATCTGCTGCTCCTAATCGGGAGCTACGGCGACACCCAATATGTCGTAGCAGTGTCGGCCAGACCGAGCCAGATGTTGTTAACCGCGATGTCATGCTGAACACACTCCATAGCCATCGCATGGGTCATGTTCGGATCCCAGCCTTCGACGCGCGGTAGGGGGTTGAGAGAAGGAACTGTTACGAGGAGTCAGCGGAAATGTTCCAGACATCATACAATTCAATCCAATAAAAGAATAACCAGATTATTGACTCCGTTGGGGCGGTATCAGGTCATGAGGTCCGTGGAGATAACTGACCCCTTGATACTTCCCATGATGAATGCTCGCGCGGCACTCCTGGCTGTGTAGAATGTGCCAACTAGCTGATCCATTCCGGGTAGTTGGTCAGCCAACCTTTTAACAACAATCTAGGAGGCAACGACGGTAATTCAGCGTTCATATTGAAGTATATCTTCCTCGATTCTTCGGTCGCGAAGTCAGGAGCCGTTTCGTGATTCGTTCTCCCGGCATTGACAACCAACCCATGTATATGTACATCTGGCTTCCTCGACCATTTATTTCACTGAAGCCTAGATCTTGCCTCCTAGGTTACATCGACCTGGATGGCGAAGGGGTGCTAAGGGAAGCGCCTCGACAGAACCTGTAGATACTCTCCTGTTTCGCCAATGTCGATGGAGTAATTTCGCGCTGCACAGATGATGAAATAGTATTCTGCGATTTCAAGGACAATGCCTTGGTTAACGCCAGTAGCTTTTCTACTTTATATGTTACACCTGAGCGAGATGGAATATAACATAGATTATAATTCAAAGAGGAAACTCAAATATTCTGGGGTAACTCATGGATACTCCAAGCATCTCATCGACGCTATTAGTCTGTATGGGGTGTTAAATTAGGCAGAATGGATGGTTGCATTGACCAATCATAATTTCACTCACTAGATCCAATAGCTCCCCAGCAATCCCTAAAATGGAGGATTCGGCCTCGCTTGGCTGAAATTGAGGCATAATCATCGCTTGGTCCATGAGCATCGCACTGGAGAGTGCTGTCATTTGGGGTAACAGTGACGCAGAGGTGTTGTCTGTCCGGTACACTTTAGCTGTTGTATAATGTACTTCCAAACATTCGGATACAGAGTACGTATATAGAGAGAGGGGTGCAAAAAGCACACAAAATGTACCTACCTGTTGATGGAGTCCCATAAGCCCAAGAAGCACTGGAAGAATGGTTGACCTCGAATGGAGTACCAAGAGCTTGTAACTCCTGAAGCTTTTCCAATACCACTTCCACCGCTTGTGTTGCTTTTCGAGCTTCAGCAGGTAACTCTGATGATCCTCGCATACGAATATCATAAGATTTCTTCAGGGCCTGAGATATTCGAGTGACGAGGTCCTTAGAAAGAGAGATTTTCTTAGAATCGGATGATGACGAAAGATCATAGTTCAGCTCTAAACAGAGCAAGGTGGTCGCGAGGAGGAACTCTGTTTTGATCAGTGACAACAATTTCCATCGCTCGTGAAAGAGGCGGCCCCCTGGCTGGATTTCTTGATCCAAAATGCAGTGATAGTCAAGAATATGGAGAGAAGCTTCAATACAGGTCTCTCTTGAGTAGGCATATCGTCTATCAGTACGCGCTGGAGCTAGATATCTGTAATGCAACACACATCGCGCCTTCTCAAGTATGATGACTTGTTGCATGCGGCGCAAAATAAGATCTGGCTCATCCATAAGGGACTGTCTCAGGGGTCGCTCACGCAACTTCTCCGGGACGGAGTTATATGTTTCATGAAGTAAGCCATCCAAATGCATCACCTCTGCATAAGATGGCCTGCGAATCGATGTGGCGAAATCGGTGATAATACCAAACATGGAAACGAGTTTGTTCTTGGTTATCAAATATTGGACTGGGGTATCAAAAGAGTCGGGGCGTGAGGGTGGTAGCTCTGTGGTGTCTTCATCAAAATCTTCGTCAAGAAGGTTTCGAGGAAGAGCAGTGTCTGATTGAAATTCTCGAAGCAATCGCGGAAGTCCAACTCGAGATGAGGCTAAGGTATCCATATCGGTGATGAGCGTCCACACTCTGCGTCGCATTTCACCTTCAAAAACAGAGATGTGGGGAAAGTGGCGTGCATCGCGGTGGTAACCCATGCGCTGGGCCAACCGAACAATGACGCTGAAGAGTATAATGAGGTCCATCTGAGTGCTCTCCGTTTGGAGAAATTGAACGTTAAGGAAAAAGCATAATGTTTCGATGGTATCTGGAGGGTACTCCTGGTATTTTCCAAGCACCAAACACTGTATTATCTTCTCACCAAATGTTTGAATGAGTGACTCGTTGTTTGGCATTGCAGAGTCACTGTAGCGTTGATAAAGGAGGCTGACGGCCAATAAGCCAAACAACTTTCCAATCCACATTATATGAGTCTCCAGAGGGCGTTCCCAAAACCTCTCATACTGATCGATTAAATTAGTTTTTATTTGTAACAAGTTTAACAAGGAGCGACTTGCATCTCTGAGGAACTTTGGTCCATGAATCACTATTTTGAGTTTCAGTTTTCTGCTTCATCGACAAACCAGGAGAACACACATCGAATAGCCTTTCTAGAAAGGTATTGGGCAATAAGCCTATCGCACATTTCTCGTTCTGGCAACACTTTCAATATGTCTTGTCTGCTTGCGGATTGGGTGCCAGCGAAAAGAAGCTCGGGAGTGGCACTCCCGGGTGACGACTGAGTCCGGCTGCTATCATCATTTTCCTTCACGGAGTTTTTAAGCTCTGAGATCTAGGAGAAATAAGATTTAGCTAGTTATCTGTCAAAAAGGAATAAATTCAACAATGTGGCAAAGACGAAACCTACTCCATCCAAAATTGCCGTCCAATGCGTATCGTCGACATATGTTGTTTTACTGTCCTGCAGTGAGATGTGGCCAAATGAGTCAGATGGCCTATTTGACTCTGGGGGTTGAACATGGGGATGTGGCTTCATTTGAGGTGTCGGTGTTGGTGTCGTTTGGCCCGCAATGCCCACGTCATTGTCGATGCCACCGTGACCAGAGTTGGGTAAGTTATTGGCATTATTTTCCATGAGCGAGGAAACTAGTTGTTCCAGCTGGGCAATTCGATCAGAAATTCGAGGAGATGAATGTGTATTTTGGTCTCGGCTGATGGCTCTGGGGCTCCGATGATGAGATGGGTAAGTGCAAGAGAGCGACAGGCCCCGATGCATACAAGTTCCGCAGGGTTTAGCACGGTCACATTTCAACCTAACAGAATTAAGCCATACTGTTAGACTCAAGAAGTAATACGCGCCTCGTACTTTCTTTTTCTACACAAGTTGCAAGACAGTTGGGGTTTATCTCGTCGTCGACTCGGAGGTGGGGGGTTGTGTGAGGTATTTGACTGCTGCTCGGTCATCATGAATGGTAAAAAAACGACAATCAATTAGATCTGAGCAATCAATGGATGATGGCTGCTATTTAAGTGAGTGAAAATCTCACAGGAGGCTCGGATGGAGCTGTCCGAAGCTCCGATGATGTCAATAAAACAGCGTGACCTAGTGGAGGCGAGACGAGGGCTCTGGCCGTCTATTGGTTGATATGCTTCAGGCTCAAACTTCAGGCAACGGCGAGTCGCAGTTTATTGGGGTTCCTCCGACCCTCCGACCCTCCGACGATCCGCTCTTCACAAACAAAGCCACAGCTCCTGGGTGTCATGGGCCTAGATAATAGTATGACTGGTGTCAACAGACTGGTAGCACGATGGTCCTTTTTCACTGCTAGCCTCTAATCACTGTTCAAAAGCTCCGACCTCATCACCTTAGTGTACATATTCCGATGGGCACCGGGACGTACGCGGATCTCCATCTTGCTTCTGGCCATGGTTCGTGCATGGATTTAGCAAGAGATAAACTACGCGCGATGTGGACCCTGGCCCATTAAACACTCGGCATATACATACCTCAGCGGCAAGATGGAATCCTAAAACCGATCTGTCTGCATCCTTATCGCTGTCAATATACCATCTGTGACGCGGGCTGAGACTGATAAGACTTGCATGATTACCCACTCTATGCCTCAATTAGCCAATATCCGTCGCTGCCCGCAACAACCTTCCCGATTTCGAATAGCTTCTCCACAAAGTCAACACACGGTCCTCGCACACAAGATCCCCGCGTTTTGTCCACAGCTATTATCCTCCTCTTCAACACGATTGATGGTAGAATATCCTCAGCTAGCCCCTTTGCGTTGACTTTCGGAATCATAGTTTTGAAACCGAGGGTGGGCTGTTATGGGGAAGTGGACAAGAGGACCTTGTGACCAATATTGAATCTCTCACTGTCGTCCGCCGTCGCTAGCGGATGGAGCTGCCTAAGAAGGTTAGTAAATGGAGCGACTGTGTATGTGAGATAAGATATTGCACTAATAAAGTATCGCTGGTACAGCTATATGAACTCCCCCTCTGCCCCGTTTCCCGCTTTCCGAACCTCCCCCCCCCCCAAGTTCATTGTTATTGCCCCCATTGCAACACACGCATTCCATACCCTCTCTTCTCCATCAGATTGGTAGCTCAGCACCACATCCATTCTCCTTAGATGGCGGTTTTCTCTCAGTGTCCACTACGGCTACATTCGCACGCTTATACTATATCTTTGTCCCAACCTCTCCGCAGAGCCAGTAGAAGAAACACTCGGATCTCTAAGCGTGTCCGTTGAGCTACTTTACCTGTAGTGGCAAGACAAATATACTATGTCAATCGAAATCGTCCCGCTGGCCAGGGCCGACATTCCAGGCGCCGTAGAGTGTGTGCAGAAAGCGTTCGCCGACGATCCTTATTTTCGATGGGCCTTCGATGATCCATCCAAGGTACGATTTACCATCATAAAGCGACATCCTCAGATATTTGTGCTGTTTGGGCCCAAGAAACAGTAATAATGAACTTTACAGTTCAACCCCCATCGCAATGCTGCCTCACTTGCGGCACACTTTCACTATGGCATCAACTGCAGCTGCCCTATTTTTGTTGCCAAAGTAACTCTAGCAACGAGCGACCGCAAAACCGACCGCGAGATCCATCTACCTCTGGGAAGCATCGTCGGAGTTTGCTGGTGGTACTCGCCCAAGGTGGTCTCCATGCCTCAGAGCTGGTCTGTTTGGGCCCAGGAATGGCTTCTCTCTTTTCGCCAGCTTAAGAACAACATCTTCTTCCTCGGCCGGGGTGGTCTGAATGTTCGCCGCTACTGGATCTGGAAGGAGTTACAGCAGAATGCGCACAATTCGCTCTGGCAGGATCCCCGTGGATACTATTTCTGCAATGTGGTGGGGGTTACATCTGAAGCCCGCGGAGTGGGAGTAGGGAAGAAACTGATGGAGTGCGTCATGGAGAAGGCGGACCGAGAAGGGATGCCCTGCTACCTCGAGAGCTCCAAGGGATATCCCAACGTCGAAATCTACGAGAAGATGGGATTTCAACTTGTCAAGGAGATTGAATGTGCAGATGGCCCGGACGCTTGCAAAGTGAGTGTGTTGGTCATGGATTAATCCTTGTGGCTGACCTGGAATTAGCTGTACTGCATGATCCGAACTCCCGGGTCTAAACATTGACTGCCCTAATGGGGCTACGATATTATGGAATCTGATAACTGACATTTTCGATGCAATTGGATAATTTACTGAATTGAATGGAACTATTTTGTTTGGACTTCAAGTTACATAAAGGTACAATGCACTCGTGGTACGACTTGAAATTGAACGGAAATGAGAACATCCTTGTAGATGTAGAAATTCCTCGTTTGTATTCCTTGCCGATGGTTTATTATCGTGAAAACGAAAGCTAGTTATCAACTCAAATATTTTCAAGCCAGGTTGTAGGCGACAACAAGTGGTTGGGCAGCGCGGAAAATGCCGGCTTGGCCGATTTCGGTAAATATAAGACTGGTTCGAAACGGAATATTGTGTCGAAGACCAATGTCGCAGTGGTAGTAGTGCATTTGGAATAATCTCGAGAAAGATAATCAATGCGGAGAAAATATTACTATACGACTAATAGGCATACATATTACCTAGCGCCTCAGGACGACCGTTAGGCAGCACCCATGAATGTAAGTCAGTAGCCAATCAGCAGTGACACTACTGTCAACAAGCTTTACACTGTGAAACAATACTATATCGAGCGGGGGTCGATTATGCGTCAGCGTTGCTATTTTGGGTTATCCACTGTGCACAAATTCATAGCCTCTAAGGTGAATGGCAGAGATCCGTGGCGATCCGCCACCACGATTTCGTGATGTGCTAGGCTACATGTGGTCGAAGAAACTGGTCAAATCAGCGCAGGCTGCGTATGCCGGCCCGCTGATCCGACCACGCAAGCACCGGGGGTTCCGTGTGGAAGCTCTGTGGAATAAATCGGAGGTATCGCAAACCAGTCTACCCTGCTTATTTATGTTCTTTTCTGTCCCTCATTCTAGAAATCTCATTTTCCCACCTTCACTTACCCACACCGAACCCGATCTGAGATCCTCTGCCATGCACTGACCGAAGTTCACATCCATTCTCTCCATCCACCACACTCGTTTGCGACACTCTACATGGCTGGACTCACCACCCCCGCCATCATCGTCATCGTCTTGGTTGGTTGCCTGGCCGTCACGGCTCTGGGCGCCGCCTTGTTCCGCCAGTACAATCCAGCCGTGGTCGAGACTCCATACTCTCCACAGCATGAACAAGTCAAGTACATGCGGACGGTCCGAATGCGAAACTATGCCCATCTAAAACGGGAATCCGTGGATGCAGCCAAAGATCTGGAATCGCGATGTGCGCATAACTGATCATGTCTCAGAAGTAGACATTGCTGACAATCTAACTAGTTACCCCAGATGAGGCATCGGGATACTACCAACCACAACACGAGCAGCAGTATCACCATGCCGAGTGATTCCACCGTGCAATGCTTCCATACGATCTGACGAAAAGAAGACAACGAAGACATCATGACAGATACTTTGGGGGGCATATTATCTCAGGAAATTTACGAGCGGCAGTCATCGGAGGGGACTGGTATTAGGACATATGGCGTTTGCTTCAGGGTCAACAAAACAGAGTGGTGCTTTCGGCAGTTATCCATTGGAGTGTATGACCAGGTTCGGTCTCTTTTGTTTTTCAGCGAAATCTTGTGCATGGTATTTGCGAATGGATGATATGGCATCATAAGCCCGGGTTTGTTCAGCATAGATGATGGTCGGCCATCTTGTTCATTTCAGTTGATCTCTCAATCACAGCGTCTCTATCAACCCAACGCCGCGATATATGGTATTGAATCTGGCTTCAGTTGGTTGCCCCATACTTTTCACGCGGGTCTTTTGGAAATATCCCATCGTCCTGCCAATCTTGGTCCTGTCCATATACGTCTTACATATCTGCGCGCACCCACGGCATATCTTGCATCAATCCGGACTCGCCTCGTCCAGAGATCAGGGGTCAGGTCTTGCATACCACCCCGATCGTGTTGATCTCCGCCAGTCAGATCGCAGATCTAAATATGGTCCAATCGCTGACCTCGCATTTTTTGTCCTATTCTGAATTGACAATGATAGGGCTAGGGCCGGTCGTCTCCGGCGGCCGTATCTCCAGATGCAATGAACAGAGTCCCAATACGTGCCCTCTGCGATGGGACAACATGATATTGGACCGGCATTTCTACCACGCCATACCTGCCCCCGACAAGGTGTTTACGACATGATCCTGCGCGGGGCCAGTTGGACAAGGCGCTTTCACCGGCTATGGTACTGACGTCAGCCGGACCTGGCTCTGTTGGATTGGGGCCTTCGCATCTTATGGTGATGCTTCGCCATGCTCATCATCACCAACACGTTATGCGCCCAGACAGAGGGGGCGGCAGCGAACAAACGTAGTTCGAGAGACGTGGCTTTCCATGACTGCGTTGTTAATTCTCGACCATTAGGATGTGGGGGCTGGGCGTTTTCGCCAAATTCGGCTGTTGAGTCCGGACGATCATGAGGTCCCCCAGCTTCGCTGTCGTTTCCATGGGCTTCAATTAATTGGATCGCCGATTATTATTTACTCACAGTGAACGCCTTGATGGGCGGCACTGTGGGGATCGGAGCACGGATGGAGAAAACCACCAGTTCACAGACAAGAAACAGGCTACCGAGCTGCAAGAAGCTTAAAACAGGTTTCCACCCAACCACCGTGCGACGAGCCTTGCCACAAGGCTGAGGCTGTAGATTGCGCCGCCGCATGGCTCAGATTTTGGGCGGATTGGATTTCAGGCTTTGTGAACATCACATGGGGCCGTGCTGGCAGGCCGAGTGAGCGGGAAATGGCCCCAACCATCCTAATGAACGATGATGCCTGAGCTCGCAATAAATGCCGAAACCGGGTCCAGGCAGCGAGCCCACGCCCAAGTCTGACTGGTCCGCCACCCTCGGTCTTAGCCGCATCTGTAGACACGAATACGATCGCCAAGACTCTAAGTGTTTAGTTCCTTGTTAGCTAACTACTATTTATTTGGGCACCTGCCTCGGGCGTGCACCTCTTATTCCGGTTTCTGGTCATGGTCGCTGCGACAGCCTCTGATTATTATCCCCCTTCTTCTCATGTTTCCCACCGCGAGCTCCCCCGATCATGCGAGCTACGACAGCGACACAAGCGATGAGCGGTAGGCATCTCATAGTGAACATAAATAAACCAGACCAGGACTGACCATCGCACACAGGCCCAGCTCACAGCCCGCACGCACTAAAATCCACGCGACATTTCAGATCGCGCGCCCGCCCCCGAAATCCTACCAGCGCCTATTGAGGACGCCAAAACTACTGCTTCAAATCCAGCAGCTGGCCCCAAACCACCACCCGGTGCCCGTGCTAGAGATCTATGAGGCGCATTTTCGCAAATCGAAACTGACCCGCGACTTTGCCCAGCGGCCGCCGAAACTAGCCAAGGGGGATCTCTATGCAGCGCTCGGGGAACCCTATATCACGGCTCACACGAGGAATCAGTCGGCAAGCTCAGAGACAGCAGGAAATGGCGACGACCAAGCCCAGGAAAAGGATATTATCGCGGTAATGTGCGATGCGACATCAACGGCTTATTTCCGCGATGCGCGGTGCAGCTGGCAAGCCAGCACGGGCACGACAGGCGCAGAGCAGAGCGCGCCGTGTTATCGATTTGCGATCAGCGATGAGAATGGGAAAGAATTAGAACATTCCACTTGGATCATGCAGTGGGAAAAAAAATCATCGAGTCATGGAATCGCTTCCACGGACAAGGATCAATTCGTGCTTTTTATTATCGACCGGAAGACACGCCGTAGGAGTCGTGTAGCGACGATGGATCGCGGTGGAGTGGAAGTTAAGATTCGCAAGGGTGCCCTCTTGGCGCATCTGCAAAAATCCATGGATTTGACAAGCCCGGTCCCGGGTCCTTCCCAGAATCATCCTTACGGGATCCTAGAAACCTGGCTGTATACCCACATTCTCACGCTCGGGGTATGGGTGGCTTCCCAAGAGGGATGGTTAAGCTGATCATGAAAAAGATGAACGATTACAACGAAACATGTCAAATACCCGTAAATGTTGTTCAATTTCTTTGTCCGTCTGTATCTGTGATGCAAAACTAGTAGATCGCAATTCCTTCCTCCAAGGCCTTGATCTGCAGAGCCAGTAGTCGTGAATAGTACCTGCACAAGGCAAAGTTTCCACCCATAAACCAGAAGCCGGGGTGGCCGCTGCGTCTCCAGATAGTGCGCATTTCACCCTCCTGGTCCAACCCCCAAACGTCACCCACGCGGTCAGCAACCTCGTCGCCGAAAATGCTGCGTGCCTGCGTTCTCATATTCTGATATCCCGTGGCTAAAACAATCTCATCGGCTTCCAACTCCGAGCCATCCGCAAATCTGAGACCATTCGAAAGGATCTCGCTGATTTCCTGGCCTTGTTTGACCTTGATCTTCCCATCAGCGATCAACTGACTAGCACCCACGTCGATATAATATCCGCCTCCACGTTGCAAATACTTCATCAGGAGACCTGCATTCATTGGGCCTCTGTCGACCTTGAACCCGGCCTTTTCGAGCCCCTCGATGGTCTTTGCGTCATTTTGAGCCTGCGCAGCAGCCACTTTTGTCTGTTGCACTTTGAAGAGCGCAGGCGGGATGCTCCACAAGAATATATCAGAGTCCTCCGTGGGGGGACCACCCTCTTCATAGAGACCCTTGAGACCAATGTTGACGATCGAGTCAGATGAAACAACGCAGGTTGTGCTTCGCTGTACCATCGTGACGTCCCACCCTTTCTCGTAGTAATCCTGCGCAATGTCGTGTGCCGAGTTACAGGATCCAATCACAACGGCCTTTTTGCCCTTGGAGTTTGCGTCTGCGCCATCGAACTCGGAGCTGTGACAGATGCGAGATCCCTTAAAACCCTCCATTCCCTTGAAAGACGGTGCGTTCTTCTTGCCCGAGTGTCCTGTTGCTTGGATGACGTGGCGTGGATGCAGAGTGCGAGTGCCAACACTTCCATCCTCTTGCCTGCGCTCAACGACCACCGTCCACTGTTTCTTGGACTCATCCCACGAAGAAGACTTTATCTCGGTGCGGGTCCAAACATTTAACTCCAGCAACTTGGCATATGATTCGAAAAATTCGGCCAGTTTGTCTTTTGGAGTGAAAATGGGCCATGTGGATGGGAAAGGAAGGTAGGGCATGTGATCAAACCACACAGGATCATGGAGAACGAGCTGGTGGTATCGTCGGCGCCAGCTGTCCCCAATTCGGTCCTCTTGGTCAATAATAAGGGTATCCACATCGAGCATCTTCAGCCTGGCAGCAGCAGTGAGACCACCTTGACCGGCTCCTGTATAGCTGATAAGCATGAACGTGCATTTTGGGAGATGACGACAGCCACATACCGACAATTACTACTGCGGGTTCCTTCTCTTCAAAGTTTATATCCGCCGTTCGTCGGTCCTGCCAGTTTTTTCTGCCTTGCTGCTCCCCATGCTTCACACCCACTGGTCGATGGCGGTCCACTACCTCTGCATGATCCTTCAGCTCGGCCAGGGAGGTGAAGATATTGAAAATTTTCCATTTACTGTCGTCCTGGGCTAGCCGGATGACTCCACTTCCGCGTCCGACGTCCGTCTCAATAGTGATAAAGAACTCGATTCCATGAACCTCGCCAAAGGCATCAATAGGACCCGCATGTGGTGCTTTCATTGCAGAGGATCGGTCGATTTCGAGCTTGGTCGAAGACACCTCGCTTACATAGGCAGTTATTTGTTCCGGACCCGAGATGGTATGGAAATCCCATGAGAAACAAAGGTGATCGCGCCAGTAACTGTTCTCAAGAAAAAGGTCCGAGAGCGTCTGTCGCTCTTTCTTGGCCAGAGCGTCGTTCAGGCGATCAACTATGCCGCCTGCAATCTGGTCCGGGTTCTCCGGGGTTGTCGAGCATGTTGGAGGAAACTTGCCGAGAGGGATGTTGACTGAGCCGGGCTCGACTCGCTCTTGAGAGGGGAGATGGAGCTGGGAATCCGCAACGAGAGTCATGGTGATAGCGAGGAGGGAGAGTCAGACAAAGTTGAGGGCAAGTTAGGCGGGGAAGCGATATATCTGTTTAGGAATGAGGGGAAGAATCGCCGGCCGTTCATATTCTGTACGACGTGAGCCCCGCATCGGGGACAAACAGTGGCGTTCGTCTCATGTGGGTCAGATCTACGAGTAGTTGATCATGTCGGAGGCTAGCCAAAGGATCACCTCGTGCACAGGAGAAGATCGAAAAATGTTATTTTTACTCGATGACTATAGATCATTTTATTGCTAGATAAATTGTGGAAGGCGAAGCTAAGTTTTAATGACATGCAGAGTCTGGCCGTCAAACCTTAGCTGATCGCTCAGACTGTATAGATTCTGCGGAGTTTAGGCTATGAAATAATTTACAAATAGCTCTTGAATTGTACTAATAGCCCATTGATATATAGTCGACTATACTCCAAAGCAAGAATCTCTTGCTGTTTAACATCAATGACCACTTATTTCACCAGAAGCAGTCAAACCAAGATCTGGCCAATGTCGAACTGCGGATAAAGCTCCGGAAAGGTTCTCCACATCATTCAAGCATCATTGGTCTAGTGGTAGAATTCGTCGTTGCCATCGACGAGGCCCGTGTTCGATTCACGGATGATGCACTATCTTTTTGCAAAATCTTTCTATTATTCGGGTGAAGTATCCTTCGGTATGCCATGTGCACGGCCAAAAAAAAAATCTTTTTCAATATCCGCCCTACATAGTCCATATTTCGTCGAGTCCAACTATACGGCTGGACTCTGCGTATTTGTTTTTGCAAAACCATTGCGGATTTCATTACCCCATTTAACTAGATCGGGCGGCATGTCTATGGTTGCACTAAATGCCGACTGGAGCAACAGAGTGTCCGTCCGAAGCATCCATCGATCCTTCCCTTAGCGTCCCATCAGGGATTATACCCCTGAGGATTCTTCACGGCATTGACTTTCCCATCTTGCGCGTTGAGCCAATGGCAGAGGATCGCCGGCCTGGAAGCTCATTCCGGAAAAACCAGTAAGTTAGGCGCTAAGCCGGCATTATTGAAAGGTCTAGACCAAGGGCTGTTGTTCATGCGTCCAGGCCCTGCTCGAATGCCTAGCGCACTAATGCCGACCATGGGGTCTAAAGGATGGAGTCCTCTGCACTGGCTCCATCAAAATTGACGGGGCCAAAAGCGGCAAAGCCTCTGTCGGTCCTCATAATTGCTACCTTTGATTAAAAAAATTGTCCCCCTCGTCTTGGCAAGGCTAACTAGTGCGCCGGAGGATGCTTATTCGCCCCAGACCCTCTCAGCTGGTCTCCTGTGTCTCTTGGGTGGCGGGGCCACGATTATCTGTCTGTCTGTTTGTCTCCTATTATTCACCACACTCATCACCTAATGCCGCTATTCTCATGGTGACCATATTGCCGTGAGCAGAAAATGCTGGAGCCAGGATTTATCGCGTGACTTTGCATCTGGTTTGCACCTACCATGAATCGTTCAAGGCGCCAGTTGCTGCTTTGGCTGTTGGTGGCGTCTTTCCTACTAGGTTATTTCTTCTTTCCCAGCGACAACCCATCGGATGACGGCGACGACCTTTACACATTGTCACCTTTCATAGGACCTGATGGACAGGAGAGGTTTATCAACCCGACAAAAGATGAACTCAACCCCGACTATCTGTGGAGGAAGCTACCTGTACGCAACCCCGTCGAGTCCATGGAGACTCTCCCGACCGGAAACCCTAAGAGGATGCCACGAGTTCAAGCAAAAGCGTCAAAGTTTTCAAGAGTCACGTCGTGGTTTCAAAGAGACCGGCGCGATGCAGTTAAGCAGGCTTTTACGAGATGCTGGGTGTCTTACCGCGATTTGGCTTGGACAACAGATGAGCTGTCCCCTATCAGCGGTCTCGCTACAAATGTGATGGGCGGTTGGGGCGTGACGCTCGTGGACAGTCTCGACACATTGTGGATAATGGATATGCACAAAGAATTCGACGAGGCAGTGGCTGCGGTCTCGCAAATCAGTTTCGAAGACACCCCAGCGCCCGAAATCAATACCTTTGAGGTTAATGTTCGCCATCTTGGCGGTCTTTTGGCGGCTTATGATCTCAGCGGCGACCGAAGATTACTCAAAAAGGCCATAGAGGTCGGCGACATGCTCTATGCGGCATTCGATACGCCCAACCGGATGCCCATTACACACTGGGATTTCCACCGCGCTGCGCGTCAGGAGGAGCAGCTGGCAGAGGAAACTGCTCTGGCTTCGGAGTTGAGTTCTTTCACGTTGGAATTCACGCGACTGTCCCAGATTACCAGGGATTCGAAATATTTCGACGCCGCTACTCGAATCATGATGAAATTTGATCAGCAACAAGACATGTCCCAGCTCTCCGGCATGTGGCCCGGTATTATCAATGCCAGGGAGGAGCAACTCTCCAACGGCAACGTCTTCACGCTAGGAGCAGATGCAGATACTCTCTATGAGTATTTGCCCAAGACGTACGCGCTGCTCGGCGGCCAGGTGTCAATGTATCGGAGAATGTACGAAAAATCAATGCGCACAGCAGCTGGACACACTTTTTTTCGACCAATGAATCCAGATGAGAAGGACATCCTAGTCTCTGGCACGGTTCACATCCTACCGACCCAGAATGGGAATCCGCGTGCACATATGGAATCCCTGGCCCACCATCGAACTTGTTCTGCTGCTGGGACATTCGCTCTTGGCAGTGCGCTCTTTAACATCCCTGTTCATATGAAGATTGCGCATAAGCTAGTTGATGGTTGCATCTGGACCTCGCAGAGCATGCCGCTGGGTATCATGCCCGAGCTTTTTGAGACTATCCCATGTGCGTCGCAAACCGACTGTCCGTGGAACGAACGACACTGGAAACAAGAAGTATTGAAGAAAGCAAACAAGGATAGGGTCGCGGATTTTGACGTTGATTCTTTCATTAAGCAACACCATCTGCCGAAAGGGTTTATCAGCATTCCCGATCCTCACTACAACCTACGCCCCGAAGTTATCGAAAGCATGTTTCTCATGTACCGCATTACCGGCCGCGAAGACCTTCTCGACACCGCCTGGGATATGTTTCAGTCTATTCAGAACAACACTCAGACCCCAAATGCTAATGCTGCTCTTGCCGATGTCACGGCTCAAGACGGCATTCCACCACAGGTTGACTCAATGCAGAGTTTCTGGATGGCACAGACGCTCAAATACTTCTATCTCATGTTCAGCTCTCACGATGTCATCAGTCTTGATGAATATGTTTTCAACACCGAGGGACATCCACTCAAACGTCCAGTATAATCGGAGTTCTTGCAAATGTGCTCTTTCATAATGGGCTGTGGATTTTTCACAATCACACCTGACATACACTATCACGAAAGTTTGGTTTTTTTTTTTTTGGTTGGATATGGTTGAATGCGTTTTTTTGACGAACGACGAAACTCTACGGTTGTAATACTACTGGGTGTAAATAGGTTATTGGAGTCAAGACCAGCATATACAAGCTTCATGGATTTTCATACTCTTTGGACACATGCAATGAGATTCAGTAGGAGTTGGATATTCTATTCAGGTCGCCTGGTCAATCTCAACATAATGTTTGTCCCTACCTATTTCTGAGTATTTGTACTTTCGATTTGTTAATTATGCAGTTGGTAAAGCAAATTTCCTTTGGCAAATCTGATGTTTGATCTTCTGCCCTTTCCAAACATTTGCTCAACTAATCCGCAAAATCAAAATCCCGGTCCACCTCGGGGAATTTGCTTAATAACTCTCGGCAAATCATGAAATCAGCGAGCGATGACTTGAATACACAACAAAACTTCCTCCTGTCCCCTTATCAATCCGAAAATGGACGACAGTCGACGAAGCCCGTCATCCATCCCACGCAAACGCCGACGCCCGGCCTTGTCGTGCGAGCAGTGCCGTCGACGCAAAGTGCGTTGCGACCGTGAGATGCCTTGCGGGCCATGTTCGAAGACCCACGACGCGTCTGCATGCTCTTATGTCTATGAAGGCAAAACTGCTTTGGAATCACGATTTAAAACATCTCTTTCAAATGAGAATGAGCCCACATCCCGGCTTTCGAGCACCCTGGGAGCCTCTACTAGTGCCGATACTCCCCTAAATGAATCAAGGATGACACAGCTAGAGCGGAGTATCCAGCTACTTCAAGAGCGAGTCCAGGGCCTCGAAAATAAGACCCAGGGTGGTAACGGTTCCAGTCGTCTATTTCCAGCAGACGGCGGGAATGACGGAGCTCAAGATGTTACTGAGCTTCATGATCGTATCGCACGGTTGGAGCGTCAACTAGACAACAAGACTAAAACATCCGAAACGCTGATTCCTTCCCTGACTCCATATCTCAAAGTCTGCGGTGACAGGTCAAAAAGGTCAAAGACCTTTGGAACTACACATTGGGCGCAAGCATTTCAACGCGTATGGTAGCCTCACATTCCACCAAAGACCTTGAGTCGCCTAACTATAAGATGCAGCTCTATCAAGTACGCCAAGCGCAGTTACTGTCCCGTGGTTCAGAATCCAATCCTAGTGGAATTGGTAAAGGCCTTAAGACCTTGCGGTCGCTTAGACAAACCATCAAAGGTTGGCAAGCACCGCGGCTCCAAGACCCAGCTCCAGACTTGTTGCGCGACTTGCCTGCGAGAGAAATATGCGATCAACTTGTGCGCCACTATATGCGGACCCTCGAATTGATTTATCGTGTGCTACATGTTCCTTCTTTTTATCAAGACTACGATAGCTTTTGGGAACAACCGCACTCGGCCTCGACTGCCTTTCTCCTCAAGCTTCTCCTGATACTTGCCATTGGATCTATCTTTCACTGCGAAGCAGGGCCATGTAATTCGCTCGGTCTACCGATTCGTCGCTGGATATATGCAGCACATTGGTGGCTGACGGGACCGTCGGAGAAGGACGCTGCAAATTTGGAAGGATTGCAAGTGCATTGTTTGTTACATCTCTGTCGACAAACACACGCTATAGACAAAGAAAGCAATTGGACATCCGCAGGTTCACTTCTGCGACTGGCTATTAACCAAGGGCTAAACCGCGATCCCAAGCATTTCCCGTCGTTATCGGTCTTCGATGGAGAGATGAGGCGACGTGTATGGGGCACCGTCCTGGAGTTGAATTTGCAGCTTTCACTTGATACAGCGATGCCACCGCTGCTAACGAAAGATGACTTTGACACAGAGCTTCCATCAAACCTAGATGATCAGGACTTTGACAAGTCAACAATCACTCTGCCAGCTACAAGACCTATCGACAACTATACGCACTCGTCTATGCAGATTCTTCTTCTGCGATCGTTTAACACCCGCCTGCAAATTGCGAAGATTATCAATCAATGCAACATCAAGCAGTCGTACGAAACCTCTATCGCTCTTGATACAGAGTTGAACACATCCTGCAAGGAAATGACAGTCCTGTTCCGTGAATATCTTGCCCACACTCCCAAGCGCAGACTTGGCCCAACTCCCTTTCATCATCGACTCCTGGATACATTGCTGCGGAGATTTTTGCTGAATCTCCACCGTCCATTCACAGTCCAAGCTCTTGAAGATCCGCGATTCTACCTGTCTCGAAAGCTGAGTCTTGAGTCCGCAATGGCGACAGCTTCATACACAGAATTTCCCGATAATCCACAAAACGAGTGGCAGCAAGATTTTTATCGTCTCAGCCTTTCTGGTGCTGGTCTTTTCAAATTTCATCTATCTTTAGATGTCATTGTTGTCATTGGATTGGAAGTTACCACTCAAATAGCGGATGAGCTTTCCCGAAAGCCTGCCGAATCTGCCGTGCTACCGCCAAACGCAGTGGACCAGATGGCCCAATCCGCTCGCGCTCCGCTAATACAAGCTTTGCAACTCATTCTCGAGCAGCTTCATCAGGGAATTGCCGCAGGTATCCCAAGCATGAAGCGATATTTTCTTCTGGTTGGCATCCTTGCCCAAATTCATACCATGCATGGCGGGGAGCAAGCTGTGCAAACTAAGATCAAAGAATCATTCTTGGAGAACCTGGAGGAATGCCGCAGGTTACTTCAACAGTATATCTCAGATAGCTCTCATCCATCTCCATTGGATGGTAATCTGCAGGTTATGCCTCAGGGAGTGAATGTGTGGACCCCAGAGAGTGGAATGGCGTCGAACCTTGGCTCGGAAATTATGGTACGTTATTATTTCACTATGGAGTTTCACTTTATTCCTTGACTTTCTTGTGGCTAATTCTTTTCAGGGCCCGGAGCCTATTTTTGATGCATTGGACTTTTGGGATCTCCCTCCATTCATGGATGCCGAGGCTTTCTTTCCTTCGGAGCTGTTAGAGAATCAGGATAAAGGCGCGGGCGAATGGACCAGTCGATAATTAATGGGCTCGCATATTCTTTTCCCCAGATATTAGCTATTAGTTCGGCAAAACATGGAACACATCCTAGATTATCTAACTTCAGTGCTCAGTTGGGAAGATAGTGATATTCTCAGCCAATGGAGCTAGGATAAATTTCTGCGAGATCCGATACATATCTGTTTGAGAGCCAATTAGTGGTTTGTGATCAATAAATCAGGGCGCAAAAGCATGCGACGGCAGCGGAAGGATCCTCTCGGTCTGTCCGATGATTGGCGTATGGTAAGCGACGGTTGCAGGAACGAGGGGGGATCTGGGCTTTGATAAAACGAGCCGGCGGGTTTTATGCAGAGCAGATCAAAAACAAAAGTATTCAAATTCGGCATTGATAGCGGATCATCGGATATGGGGTAGCTTGTATGCAGTCCTGGCTATGAATTGCCCCTTTATGCACAGGGACTTATACCAGATGGAAACCTACGAGGGTATTATATAAAGAGGGTCCTGACGATTCTCTGATGCGGAGAGTCGGTGATAAAGGCCAAACACGGAAATCCAACTTCAACCATGGCGCACCTTCTTGACTTCTCGATATATCAGTATCTTTGTGTCTTCCTTCTGGTAGGTCGACATCGCAAGCACTGCAGTAAGAACAAGGTGGCTGACATGACAGGCCTGGATCGTCCAATGTACTTACCGGTTGAACTTCCATAAACTCAGCCAGTTTCCTGGCCCCAGATTTGCAGCATGTTCTTCGTTCTACTTTCTATACTGGATTTACCTCGGTCGGTTTCCAGAGCAATGCGAGCGCCTGTTTGAGCAGTATGAAACCGACGTTTTGCGCGTTGCCCCAAATCAACTTGTCTTCCGCGACCCACAGTCATTGAAAGATGTTGTGGGACGCACCGACGTTTATCGCGGGGACTTTGCTCTGCGCGTTATTGGCTTCACTGGCAAGAATGTCAGCAATATCCGAGATCCAGTTGCGCATCGGCGCAAAAGAAGACTCATGAATCCGGGGTTCTCCAATATTTCACTCGCCAGACAGGAACCGCGCATCATTGCGCCATTGGTTGACAAGTTAGTCACAAGGATTACTGAGAAACAGGGTCAGTCGATCAACGTCTCCGACTATTTCGACTGCGCGACTTCAGATATTATTGGCAAGCTCTCTTTTGGGGCGGATTTCGAGATGCTGGACCGTGTGGACGACCATCCATTTTTACATGTGCTCCCCAACGCCCTGCGGATGTCTGTCATTGCCCAGTGTATTCCGGAAGTGTACCGTTTCGTCTCATGGATGTTCCGGGTTGGGCCATCGTTCGTCATTCCTCCAACTTTCCGTGGTGTCGCCGACTTTGCAAAAAAGCACACTCAAGAACGAGAAAAGAGACAGCAGCTGGGAGAGCAAGCCGAAGAAGACGATATCATGAGTATTATCATCAATGGCACAGAGAAAATGAAAGCCCAGGATCCCAGTCTTGCGACTGATTCTCACGAACTACTTGGCGAAGCAACCACGCTGGTCACCGGCGGCGGAGACACAGTAGCCACAGCGCTCACAACGTCAATGTGGAATCTTGGGCGGAACCCTGCCATCTACAAGCAACTGACAGAGCAACTGCGGACCACTTTCACTCACTATGAGGACATTGACTCAAAGGCGGTTGCGGCGCAGGTTCCGTTAGTTGACGCAGTGCTCAACGAGTCCATGCGTCTCAATCCGGTGCTGCCAGGACCCATGTGGCGACGAACGGACAATCCAATCCCTGTTGCCGGATATGCCGTGCCGGGCGGAACGGAGATAGGCGTGATGCGGCAATCCATTTTTCAACACCCAGACTCTTTCCATAGGCCCAAGGAATTTGTGCCCGCACGGTGGATGGAGGATCTGGGTGACAACCTGGATGCCTTTCAACCATTTGGGGTTGGACCGCGCACATGCATCGGCAGGTACATCGCGATGGTGGAGATGCGCTTGATCCTTGCGCGGCTGCTGTGGAAATTTGACTGGGAACTGGTGACGAAAGAATATGACAACCCGGAATATGTAGTTTTGTACCGAGCACCGTTGATGATGGAGGTTCGGCAGCGTGGGGCTTGAAGCGGAGAGCTATGGCCGTTTGAACACGATTGATCAGCAGGCCGGGATCAGTTCGAGAGTTGTTCGGGGACATATCCGGGCTTTGTCAAGTCTTTGTCAAGTATTTAGCTTCCAATGTACCCTGGAGTTCCACGGGTGTTCGAAAGTCAAAGAGCCAAAACAGGGAGTTCGACCGATGCTTACTCACAAACCGTACTTTAAGATACCAGCTGATACTGTGAAGAGTAGCAAAAATTGCCTCGGATAAAGAGCCAGAGGAGCGACAAAAGACTACCTTACGCACGGGGCAATTCTTGTTAGAGTTCTTGTCGAAGGAACCGCCGTCACGGCCACATGCGGCCACATGGGAGATCGATCCGATGTGGCGTGGCCGGTCGGGATCGAGACACGCTTAGTTAGCACACGTGCGCTGAGAGGCTACAATGAGTCGCGGAGCTTGCACTGCCCTGTCGATAGGATATTACTATCAACTATGCAGTGGTTCTCAGCTGCCCCTCGGTTCCTGTCAATATAAGTGTCATCCTCAAAACATGCTGTTGCTCCTCCCGGCCGATCACCTGTCTGAGATCGCGTTTGTTCAAATGTGTTCCCGCCGGTCCTTGAATTATAGAAATTCAAGGCCATGAGCCATTACCCTAAAGACATCGACGAGTGGCTCGAGTCTCCCCGCCGCCAGAGCGCCGTGTCCACGTCGACCGGGGACTCGGCGTCCACCAGCATTCTTTATTCAAGTCCAGCCACCTCCCCTGGCTCCAGGTCGCGGAAACAGTCCTGGCAGCTGTACGACGATGTTGTCCGACTTGAGTTGAACCCATCTGTGACAATGTAAGTGTTGGTTGCAAGTCGAAAGACAGGCTCTAGCTGATCTGTTGTAGCTCTTTCATGAAGAGCGGACAGCTATTCAAGCTACGATATACTTTTATCGATGTTTGCAAAGACACAACCGGGTCACTGAAATGTCTGGAGCTGGGAGGAGGCGTGGGCCAGCAATCGCCTTTTGTGCATGCGTGTACAGTGACCCCCAGAAGAAAAAAAACTCCGAGTATGAGTTAACGTTGTCTCAATTCAGTCCACAATACAAAATTACCCGTACCACATCTCGAGCATCCAAAGACGCGCAACGAACTACCCATGCGCGTAACTTTTCTCGACCAACAGACCATCCAAGCGGCTCATACGCTGTTCATGACCCAATTGTCATATACCTTTGAATCATGGGAGGGTATGATTTCCATCCCGAAAAAGATACTTACGATCGCTCACAACCCACAGACTGCGTCCAATTCCAAGAATTACTACTCGGATCAAAACTGATGCTCATTGCGGGTATTGCAGAGGCCAAATCCAAGGGCCGCGGAGAGGAATGCATCAGCCAAAATATCAGGATCCTGCGCGGGCACAACAATAGACGGGTAATGCTTTTCTTCGCGAACTCCCAACGGAAAGAGCTGAAGCGATATGTCTCGATTCCTCGTACGTTTTCCCTCTTCGAATCATTTTAGTTGCCTATATTTACAGCTCTCTATCTAGTCAACTGTATCGAACATGTTAAGCCCGGTAAAAAGGCCGGCCGCCCGGTGGTCCTGGATCTGAATCCAAATTTCGACATTCTAGAGCAGATGCGAGTTTTGCACATTCAGTTTCTGGATGACAACGGTCAGTAATTCTACCCTTGCCAAGTGATGGCTCGCGCTTAGTCTTTCCTAGACAGCAAACACTTTTGCCAGCTGCTGTCGCCTGACCTGACGATTGGATGATTTGTGGTGGGCTTTTGTCACGATATGACCGCATGGTGGAGTTTATATTTTGTTTTTGGCTTTTTAGGGGATTAGATATACCCGGGTGCGCCGTATTAATTAATGTATAGACTATGGTTTCTTCTCTGCCAATCTCCCCGGGCGGCGAAAGCACGACGTGGACCCATACTTCGTGGTGCCCCACAGGCGTGCTCGAATTCCGGATGTTGATTGGCTTGGGGTTTAAGTGGAAGCCGCATTAGCCTCCAGCTAGTCCGCGGAATTGTATGTGCACATGGGCTTCTACGAACAGTCATCAATCGCTTGGAGATTCATAATTCTGGAAACCCCTCTCAGTTCCTTTTCTAGTTGATAATATCCGAGTCGCAGACCCGCAAGAATGCGCCGTTTTACCCCAGAGACTACCTGAGGATTCTCTTCACCATGCGCAAGTTCCACGCAAGGCTGTACCAAACCGACCGTGCGCGGGACTTCGACCATGAACAGGTATGCGACTTTGATGATCGGGATAGACTTCATGTTAACATTGGCAGGATCGATATGTTCGCATGCGCCAAATCTACGAGACCATCGACCGGCAGGGCTATCAATGGATTGTAGTATTGGTCGCTGGTCTCGGTTTCTTCCTAGACGGATATACAGTGAGTTAATATCTTTGAAGTCAGTGGAATCTAAACCAGGAAATGATCGCTGATAGCTGGTGACAGCTCTTTGCTAGCAATATGGCCCTCCCTATGGTCTCCTATGTCTACTGGAAGGAGGAAACTTCATCCGTCAGGCTCACCTGGATCAACATTGCGACCCTCGCTGGAACCCTCCTTGGTCAAGTGATGTTCGGGTTTTTAGCCGACAAGTATGGGCGCAAGAAGATGTACGGAGTGGAACTTGTGTTGCTTATCACCGCCACTGTGGGTGTGGTGATGTCCTCCACCGGGTATAACGGCAGCATGAATGTCTATACATGGCTCATTTGGTGGAGGATTCTGGTCGGTATCGGAGTCGGTGCTGACTATCCTCTCAGTGCGGTCATCACATCTGAGTACGCTGTTCCCTAAACCGTTCTATTGCGATACTAATGAATTCCACAGGTTCGCTCCCACGAAACACCGCGCGCGTATGATGGCAACGGTCTTTTTCATGCAACCCCTAGGACAGATCGCAGGGAACCTTGTCTCCCTAGTTGTCATTGCCGCCACCCGTGGCAACGGCGATGCCGACCTTGCCCGTAGCGTCGACAGCATGTGGCGTTGGGTTCTTGGAATTGGTGTTGTTCCAGGCGCCATCGCCACGCTCTTCCGATTTGCCATTCCCGAGAGTCCCCGGTATCTTCTCGATATTGAGGACGATCCAGTCACGGCTGAATTCGACGCAACCACGCTGTTCAGTGACCCGCCAATGAGCCCTGGCATTGAATCTGCCAGTTGGGCAACAGGCAGCCACATTCAGCTTCCTCCAGCTGCGTGTTCAGTGGGGCGTCCGTCCATTGACTATGATAACGCTCATGAGTATGGACGTCCACCACCAGCAACTCTCAATTCGCACTGGCGACTCGCCCGGTCAGACATCGTGCGGTATTTCTGGATCGAAGGAAACTGGCGCAGCCTGGCAGGCACATCAATTGCCTGGCTTCTGCTCGATTTTGGGTTTTATGGAATCGGTCTCTCAAGTCCCCAGTTTCTTGCCAAGACTTGGGGCTCCCTTCATATCAACAACGAGTCCCCATACTGGATGACGGATGACCGGCCCGGTGCCAACATCTACCAGATGTTTTTGGATACTTCAGTCCGCGGCTTGGTTATCCTCAACATCGGCAGCTTTGTCGGTGGTCTTTTGTTGATCCTCGTCATACACCGCCTTGATCGCGTGGCATTGCAGAAGTATATGTTTCTTGCTCTTGCAGTCTTGTTCATAGTCCTTGGCACTCTGTTCATTACACTGTACCAGGGACCGCCTGCCGTGATAGCGCTCTATATTATCGGACAGGCGCTATTCAACCTGGGTATATACATTTTCCATTGATTTCAAATAACAAGCTAACATCATCAGGTCCCAATGCAACAACCTACATGATCCCCGCCGAGATCTTTCCTACCCGCTACCGGGCGACCTGCCACGGTCTCAGTGCCGGTGCCGGCAAACTGGGCTCCATCCTTGTCCAGATCTTCTCTGCTTATTACCGCTTTGGCACCGGTGCCGGGCCCCAACAGACTCGTCGGCATGGCTGGATACTCATCGTCTTCAGCGCGTGTATGATTGTCGGTGCAATTGTCACGCACTTCTTGATCCCTCCAATCCAGCACAAAGACAGTCGAGCCAAGATCTGGGGCGGGCAGCCGGAGACATTGGAGACCCTCGCACTCGGGCGAATGGGGCGGCAAAGTCGCGATGCGGCCGTTCGCAAGCGTTTGGTGCGTGGTCGAGCATTTTCAATGAACGGATAACCTCGTTCTTTATTCTTTTCTTATCTTTGTTTCGAATTGGGTTATGTTCATGGGATTTTGGGGTTCGGATTGGTTCCCCGCCGGGATAAAACAGTTAAGTGATTTGACTGAATCTGTATATAGGAACTGGTTTGTTACTACTTGACGTTATATATAATAACCAATAGATACCCCTTTCTCTCTTTTGAAATCCTCGTGTTTTTGAAGAGTAGAATTATTGTCGTCGCGTGGTGCTTCTCAAATGTGGATCCCTCGGAGGTACCCACGGATTTAAGCTGAGAGCTGGAAATGAAGACCATATGTACCTTAACAAAATCCCGGGTCTAAATCTTTCACTTTAATTGCTCCTATCTTTTGCTTTTCTTTCATCGCCATCCGACAGCTTCTAACAAATATGCCGACCCTAATAGGGAAACCAGTCAGCCAGAATGGACTTGGTCTCATGCGTGAGTCTCTCTACATATTTCATCTGCATGTAATCTAACAAGTGTTTAGGTCTCACTTGGAAAGACGATGTTACTCCGGACGAGAAAGCCTTCAAGGTCCTGAAGGCTGCTCTCGCGGCAGGAGTGAATGTCTGGAATGGTGCCGACTTCTATGGCACGTCGGACAACAACTCCCTACATCTGGTGAACCGCTATTTCACTGCATACCCGGAAGATGCGGATAAGGTTGTTCTTACCATCAAGAGTGGCATTGTGGATATGCGAACCTTCACCATGGATTGCTCGCCAGCTGGAGTCCGAAACTTCGTGGACCGCGCCAATGCCATTCTCGACGGCAAGAAGAAGATAGATCTCTTTGGCTGTGGACGAGTTGATAAGAACGTGCCCATTGAGGAGACTGTCGGTGCACTGGCAGAATTAGTCCGAGAGGGAAAGATCGGTGGTATCCAATTGAGCGAAGTGAGCGCCGCTACCATCCGTCGCGCGGCCAAAGTCGCCAAGATCGACATGGTTGAAGCCGAGATCAGTCTGTGGGCAACAGACGTGTTTGAGAATGGGGTCGCCGAGGCTTGTGCAGAGTTGAATATTGCAATGGTAGCGCATACGCCTTTAGGCGCTGGAATGCTCACGGGTCAGATTAAGAGTCTGGATGATATGCCGGCGAACGACTACCACCGCTTCTTCCCGCGCTTCCAGCCCGGGAACTTTGACACCAACCTGAAACTGGTGGAGAAACTGAAACAGCTTGCCGAGAAGAAACAGTGCACTGCTGCGCAGCTGGCGCTCTGCTGGGTCAAGGCTCAGAGCTCTAGGCCCGGGATGCCGTTTATCATCCCTGTCTTCGGGGCCCGGGCGGAGGCGAGGGTTGCTGAAAATGCGACACACATCGACTTGTCGAGTGCAGATCTGGAGGACATCAAGGCTATTTTGGATAGCTTCCCGGTAGCAGGAGGCAGATACCCGGCAGCGGCTGCGAAGCTTACCGAGTATTGAGAACATTTGCTTAGTAAGATATTTATTCAACTGTCCAGTATATCAATAGGTAATAAAAAATCAGACTCAATGTTTTGCTTCTTCCTATATTGATCTCACCTAATTTGCATTTGCAATGCGGTGTGCTTCTACTGTCTTCGTGGAGACAATGTCTGAAGGTTGATTGGCGGGCGACTGACTCATTTTAATTACCCCTCGCCCCGTATTTTCTTTTTTCTTGAAAGATTTCATACCGATTTATCTCTCTTTTTTTCACCATTTTCCATCGAAACATAGAAGCTCTTTTCCTTGTACCGCCGAGAATATTATGAGCTCGAAATCACAAGTGACTTTGGTCCCATGGGACCCTAAATCTACCACTCATCTGCAGCGCCTAGTGGAACAGCGACTGCAGTGCACATGGGATCATGAAAAGGTTGCAACCAGCTGGCGAGAGAGCCAGATAAAGGGTAACAAATGCCTATATTGGATTGTGAGCTTGCCTATTTGATACAAAATATCTAAACCATTGCATAGAGAACTATGAATACTTGCCAGTTCAAGCTATAGGCTAATATTACAGCAAATAGACTATTTCCCCTAATGATGCGGAGGCAGATGAGAAGACAAAACTTCACCTCAATATGCACCCGAAGGTGCGTATAAAGGATTGATTTATAACTGGCTACTAATGTATTGCTAGGAAGCTGAAATGCTGCAAGATACCGCTGCCTATATTAATGGTGTAGCCCGGGACGCATCAAAAAGAAATTTCGTTCCCGTTGGCCACATCGCTCTAGATGAAGGAAACCCGGACGCAAAAGACATTGAGCTAGATCTCCCATCAGAAGGCGTGTTCTGGATTAAGACTTTCTTTGTTACACATGCCTTACAGAGCAAGGGCATTGGGCGAGCTGCACTAGACGAAGTTGAGACAATGGCCGTCAAAGAGCCTCTTCAGGCTAGAATTTTGATGCTGGACACGGTCCAAAAAGACGACCAAAGAAGAAAGGAGTTCGCAGACCTTGTTTACGGGGGCATGCCTAAGGTAGGATAATGCAATAGGTAATCTTTGGAAAGTGATTAACAGTTTGCAGGTTACCAACCAGGAATGGTATGCCAGACGGGGCTACCGACTGGCTAAAACCGTGCAGAACTACTATCAAGTGCCAGACAAGACAGGCAAAATTTGGGATACTAAGACTGTTTTTATGAGGAAGGATATTGCATAACTTGCTCAAATATTTTTCAGACTCAGAACCAAGAATATGGACGCATTTCACAGGGTATTGCATAGAAAAATTTGCATATATGAACACCTGTGACATCGACACCGAGAATGACCTCCTTGGAGGCAAGGAATGGCCGCCTCTTCACCCTATGATTTCCAGCGGCAAACCGCGGGTTTATCGCCCTAAGGAACCTTGTTGGCCCCAGACGCAGGGAATTCGAGAAGAACGTCTGACCATGAGCCGTATGAGACTCCGTAGTCGTTGCTTGCCCAAATAGGATCGTACGTCGCAAACAAGCTGTCCAGGATCGAAGCAAATAATCCACTGATAAAGAGGTTGCCCTTAAGACTGGGGAGATGTATTTGATCCTAGTTACATTGAGTAAGCTTTAGAAAGTGGCCGGCGCGTGTATTGTAAGGCTTTCGCCTGTTCCTGGGGACACAGCGTGTTTAGAGGCTATTCTTCAAGAAACATCCAGACAACCACACCAAGCCAAATAGAAAGGAAAACTGCAGTCAGGACCCCAGCACCTGCACGGTCGGCTGTCGTTATTGGTGCCGGCGGGGTGGAATTTTGACTGCCTGAATTTTTACCTGCGTTGAAGTTGCCCTTACTCGTCCCACCGGTCGACGATGTCAGGGGCCCTTGTTTTTGCCTCTGAGTGTCAAAAGAGAGCAAGTTGATAGTGAAGATGTTGCTGGCACTCATCATGGGCTCCAATCCCAGCCTGGGATCAAGTTTCTTCTGATACCAGCTGCAGCCACATAGCTCTGGTGTAGTGGGCCCCGTACAGGATGCTGCAGCTCCCTGGGCTGTTACCTGAAGCTTCGGCATAATTGTGTCGTATACCTGTGGAACCAAAATGGCAGTCCATCCTAGCCACAAAACGCTAGGGCCTTTGAACAAAATACTGTTGCTATCGAAACATTGTGTCGGCCAAGGATCACAGCTGATCTCTTCTAATACATATCCGTTCTTTTTGAGGAAGAACGTATCCAGAGTCTTATTTGTGAGCCCGTAGACGATGTTAAGCCAGCGTTCTTGATCAGCCCCCGTAGTCTATGATCAATCAGTTATAGTATATATTAGGACAGGAGTTGGGCATATACACACCTGGGCATACATGTAAGCTGCCCCCAATAGGTAGGAGGCATAATTGTATGTCCACGGGGTCCGACCGGGAAAATGGCAGTCATCTTTGTCTATTGACACCGTGTCCCAGACCTCGAAAGTCCCGTTAACAATCAAGTGACCGACAGACCAATCCCAAATCTTCTGAGCCCAATTAGCATAGAATGGGTTATTCGTGTACCGGTAAAGGCGTGCAGATAGTTGAAATAAACCTCCATTGGCAATGCTGTTCTTCACATAGAAACCACCCTGTTCTTCGAATTTCTGCCAGTGCACGCCACCACCGCAGCTAGTCGGGTCCCATCCCGTGTTTGAGGGATTAGGCTTAGCGGTTTGGTCATTAAACACTCCCTGTGCGAGGCTAAGCCATGACCATTGTCCGTATTCGGGGAAGTTCAACTCTGCAGCTGTCATAGCAGCGCAACCCCAGAAGAACTGATCATCGTTTCCCTTTGTACTAGTCAACAGGAGAAGATTGCCAAGTTGTTTGAATTTCTTACAATCCACTGTGTCCAGTTGGGTGGCATGTAGTCGCCAGGCTCGCCCTGAAAATCGAGCCCAACCTTTGTCACGTCATTGTACGTGGTGTCATTGGTGAAATACCAGTAGTTTATAGTTGACAAGAACAAGACAGCACCCTCATACCATTTGGAGGGAATATTTCCTGGAATGTTCCCGGATATGTTACCTTGGTAGTATGACATTGCCCCCCACATCGCTGTGGATGCAGCATCTTTAACAGATTCTGTTGTTTGAGTGCAGCAACAATCAGCCAGAAGAACGAAATCATAACTGGGCAAGCCTCAATCAAAAGGAGGCCAGAGAGGAGCACCGCTTACGCTCATTTGTGATGTCGATCTCGATCGCGCGCATTCCTGGAACAAGGCATAGCGTCGTCCATAACGCTGCCAAGGCGTTTAGCGTTCGCATATCGGCTCGAAGGGCATGGAGTGATAGCACTGCGAAGGCATTCAAAGCCAGGTAAAGACGCAGAGTTCATATACGAATTCTGCGATGTCTCTGGATCTCCCGCACTTGTGGTCACGTTACTAATTTTATGGGGGGCCTGTCAGAGGGCTGTGCAAAGCGACCTATAATATTACATCACATCGCGCTGTAACAATAGGCACCTACTTTGTTTGACTTTAACCAGCGCGAAAGGATTGAATTTTCGGAGTTCAAACAGTGTTCCTGCCTCTTGAACATTATTTGTCTCTTATATTAACGAGATGTTCTTGATCCTTCGATTCAGGAAGGCCACTTGTCTTTGAGGGAATCTGATCGTTGCCTCGGTAAACTAGTTGTTACAATTACAAAACCGCTAAACAGCAGGGACCGTACGACTTTTCCCTAATTAGGAACAACCGGATTCGTATCGAAGATCCAGAACCATGATTGCGGGGTTCCAACACAACACAGCGACAAATCCAGTGCGGCCCTGAAAACAAGCTACGCAAGGCACTCACTCGGCTAATCCGCTTAGTCTTTGGACCATGGAAAATTATTTTTATCATTGTCAGCTTCCACAAGAAACTGTTGGTTAGATTGGACTTGCATCCTGGGCATGGCTTAAGAGATGTGAGACATAATAAGAACTGTGAGACATAATCAGGGGACCGCTCCGTATTCAGGTAGTCAGTTTGTACAGGGCTTACTGAGAGGCTGGGTAGTCGTTATATGGAGTAGTCATGCTTGTTGCTCTTATCGCTGGATCTCCCCACATTCCCAGTGATCGTGGGTTCGTTTGAAAGCGTCCGTGTCCGTGATCCGACCCTCACTTAGCAAGCTGCCAAACTGGTTCAAACATTATAATTGGAGAGGTGTTAGAACCCCCCACCCCCCACACGCCCCACAACTATACTAATCCTATTTAAGAATAGTCTGTAAATAATTACAAAATGATGGACGGCTCGTGTGAGCATGTCATAACAGTCCGTCCTAACAGTCCGTCCTAACAGTCCGGCGAGTTCGGTGATGTGAGTCCTTGGTGGTTCGGGGAAGTCAGCGGAATAGAGGAATGAAAGAACGCTAGTGCAACGAGGACTAACAGCACTTGAAATATTGTGGGTAGTTGGTTGGACTGGAAGCGGGGCGAAGATGGTCAGCTCCCTTCCCGTTTATCCGTCAATATTTATTCTACTGCGGTCACGTGCACGACGTTAAACCAGGCTCTTGACTGGTATTTGGGCTCTGGAAGTCATTCTCTCGGCTGTCAGGTAGCCCTGACAGCACTCCAGCAGAGCAGCTGTACAGAAAGCAAGCTACATCAAGAAAATGGACACTGATTGTTTGTTACAAAATGATACATTCTATTACCACCGTGAAACAATACGCGTACGGGGTCCGTAAGGGAATCGTGCGATCATCGCATGGAAAATGTCAAATCTGCCGGTACTTTATGAAGTTTTGGGGAGAGGCTTGCAAGAAGTTTGGTAGTGAAAAAGACAAAGAAAGAAAGTCAGAGGCCTATCTGTGAACCTGGAGGATTTGAAATTGTTCTGCTCAGCTTTCACGGAATGTTGGACATTCCTCGTGAAAAAGTACTGAGAAGAATGCGTACCGCTTCGGATCAACCAACTTGTAAATTTGTCTGGAGAGGGCTGGAAGTCGGATACTCGAAGCTCTGATCTACTCTTGGCAACTTGTTAGGTGAGGATGTTGTATTTAATTCTCGCTCCTATTCGGTATCCTGCTTGACTAGAACTATAGATCAAGTCAAACTGCATATTAGACATCAACTAGTGAGGAAAGCCTTCACGGACTCTCCCCACACTGCAGCCCGTTTATAGAAGTGGAAGTCTGGGGCATTTCCTTCTTTTAACCCATCAATTGCTTCCGCGAGATCTTTGCCAAGGCCTTCTTCTTTGATCTCTGCCAGCGTATATGTTAGGGTTTTGAAAGAAAAGAGCAGCGCACGACTCTGCGGTAGTCGATGTAGCACCTGTCTTTCGCAACGGAGACGAGTCTAAAAACATCTTGTTAGCCGTGAGCACCAATTGCAACAACCCTTTTGGTAGTTCTCACGCTGCTGATATCAATCTCCTCCTGAAGAACCTTTTCACCTTCATAAATATGGGTACCACTGGGAGTGAAAAGCTCGTCCGTAGTCGTAATGGCCCACTAAAAACCAGTCAGGCATATCCCATGTCAGAACATTTAATCAGGAAAATGCGCACATTCGCTCGCTTGACAAACTTTCCAATTGGCAACCTTGTGAAATAACGATCCATGCTTTTTTCCAGCCTTTCTTTATACTGGGGAACAGGCTTGTGGATGTCCTTCAACTTGAGATTCAACTTTTTGAATGTATTGAATCCGTTTGGGAAGCATGTCACAAATCCCTTCAAAGTGTACCCATCCCCGTCATCTGAGGGTAACAAGAATAGAAAGTCATCGTCGACAAGCCCTCCCAATCTTTCAAGGGTTTCTAGCGGCTTCTCCGCAGGAGATAAGGGAAGTTTCTCGTCCATCACCAAGTTGTGAAGGAAACCTTCCTTGTTTATGTGCTGCAATACAAACATCCGAGGAAACCGTGTAGGAAGAAAAGATCCCAGAAGCCAGCAGTAAAACTCGTCGACTGCTGACTTGACACTGTCTTCAGCAGCCAGGACAGTATCAGTATGTTCGTTCATGATCTTTCTTCGCAGGTGAATTCGATCAACGTAAGTTTTATCCATTTCAATAAGACCATTAACAGTGGTTTCCTCGATGCCTAATGTTTCTGAGTTGTTGTCTTGTAAATTTTGGCAAAGAGCGTACTCATCGTAAGGTTATATTTAGGTCTAAATGGCCTTATCTTCAAAGGCTCTTTTTGTTGCCACTCAAATTCGGGAAGAGCTTCAACTGAGGGGTACGCTTTTGGTTCGGAGTCGACGCTCGAATCCTTAGGCGAAATGCGAGGCGACGATTTGGGACCTTTGAGCAGCGTGACCATCCAATACAGAAGACTCGAAACAAGACTCAGCCAAAGCAGCATAGCCCATCCTGTCCACTGCGTGATGGTAATTGGAGCCATGGTTTCTCTCTGGATGCTTGACTGCTGAAGTGGTGGTTTATTAGTACTGCTGAAACCAATATGTCCGTCGGACCTTATCAGACTTTCGCAACAGTGGCCCTGCTGTATTTCAAAGCTGTGGCAGTCCACAGAGCTGAGAAGACGTGATATACTTGCTTATATCCTATTATTCGGCTTATTAGACAGCGCTCCAAATCCATAGGAGGGCGAAACCGTCCCTCCCAATGACTTTGCTGGGATAATGACTCACTCAACACACCTGGTAGAGTAGCACACCTTGGATACTCATCTGACCTGCCTGTTCTGTTATCATCTGCTAGCTATCTTCTTTTCTGTTCAAAGTCATGCGTAACCAATATAAGGAATGCCGAGATTACCCCGCGTAAGCCTATCTCGAGGGGTGCTCATTTAACCTACCCTTTTCGGCAAGTAGGTTTCGGCCTAACTTTCCATTTAGCCACTCTAGAATATGGGTTCAAAGTTTGTAAAAAGCCAATTAATACATTCTCAGTAGTTGAACTGCACGCACATTCAATCAAATCCTTTTCCTTTTCTAATTACCCCGGATCTTCTATCCTTATAGGTAGTAGTCAGGTGTGCGGGGTTGAAACCTAGTTCATGTCCACCATTGTAGATGATTCTTTCGATCGCTTAACGCCCCCTTTTTATAAATATTCTCAGCTTGCGATAGCCAGTATAAAGCGTCGAATATGCCGTTGAATATGCTCGTTTAAGCTTCTCATCTTCCGAAAATTTGTTGTCGATCTACATATTTTCTTATGATTATCAAACATATTTATCTATCTCTTTGGCAACAATGTCCAATGAATTGTCCAATAATGGGGATGGAATCGAAAGTAAAGGTCTGAGCCTTGGAACGGATAATTATTTTCGGCTCCAGCTGATCAGTCTCTTCAGACAAGCAAGTGCTAGAAGTTTGTTCGTTACCAAAAAAGACATAGCTCAGGTAACCGTACTAATATGGAATAAATAATCTAGGCGAGAGTCAAGGGCGAGGAATAATGAAAGCAGCTGATCTAGAACTTCTTGGGCTTGCCCAGTTGACAGAGCGAAACCTCGGAACTTTCCAGATCATATGCAGCGGATGGAATATTTGCAACAGTTGGGCGGGCATCGCCGGTACACTTGCTATTGGTATTACGCAGGGAGGCACCGTCCTTCTGTTATATGGTATTGTTATTACTTTGATGGGGGCTGGATGTGGTGCAGCCACCTTGGCCGAGCTCGCCAGCGTGTATCCCACAGCAGGAGGCCAATACCATTGGACTTCCATCTTGAGCCCGAAGAAATATAGCCGAATTCTGGTAAGGTAGTGTCAATCAATGCAACTGCTCTTTGACTAATACTGTATCTCAGAGCTATTGTTGTGGCGCCATCAATATCTTCAGCTGGATTTCAATCAGTGCTGGTGTCACGATTCTTCCGGCACAGTTTTTTATCTCCATGGCCATCTATAACAATTCGGGATACGAGCCTCAAACATGGCACTATTTTCTCATATTTCAGGCGACAAACATTATTGTCATGCTGTACAACATCTTCGCCCTTCGGAGAACTACTTGGGTCCATGACCTTGGCTGTGAGTTTCGCCAAAATAAAAGTCCGATACTATACTAACTGCATAAGTTGCCGTATCAATATCCTCTTTTGTGGTCATCTTCATAACTTGTCTGGCTCGTTCACCACTCCAGCAAACTTCCGAATTTGTATGGACAACACTGATCAATGAGTCCGGTTGGTCATCAAATGGAGTCGCGTTTCTGACTGGACTGATCAACCCCAACTATATCTTCTGTGGAATCGATGGTGCTATCCACCTAGCGGAGGAATGTAGCAATTCTATCACGGCTGTTCCATATGCACTTATGAGTACACTTGCGATCGGATTTGTGACAGCGTTTGCTTTTCTTGTTGCCATGTTGTACAGCATGACCAACATGGCCGCTGTCATTAAAACAGCTACTGGGTGATCACACTTCCTTCGATAACCGTCATCTACAATGCTAATATTAGAGATAATAGTGTACCCATCTATGAAATCTGGATCCAAGCCACCCACTCCGGAGCAGCAGCAACGGTCTTCATCTTCTTGCTGGCGCTGATAGGTTTCTTTTCTCTTAATGGGTGCCAGCAGACTGCATCTCGCCTCACCTGGGCCTTTGCTCGAGATGACGCCTTGATCCTGTCCAAATATTTTAGTCGCATTCATTCACGGCTTCAGGTTCCAGTCTATTGCCTTATTGCCAACGCAGCTGTCATCTTTGTCATCGGATGCATTTACCTTGCCTCATCAACTGCATTCAACGCTTTAATTGGTACAGGTCTTATCTTGCAACAAGTCTCTTTCGCGTTCCCTGCTGCATTGTTACTCTATCGTCGTCGCTCGTCCGTTTACCTTCCGCCAAATCGATTCTTCAGCCTTGGAGCGTTTGGCTGGGTGGCGAATATCATGACTGTGGCATTCGGAGCTACTACTTTGATCTTCTACAATTTTCCAGCCGAAATGCCAGTGAAGGGTAGTAATATGAGTACGATTATTGTATTTGAATAGTTGTCACAAGCACTTGAAACTGACTTCTTATCTAGATTATTCCTCTGTGGTCATAGGCACCATGGCTCTTTTCTCTCTCGCCAACTGGTTTCTTCATGCCAATAGGAAGTACCAAGGACCAAGACTTCCCGCAGAGCTCACTTAATTGGGTTATGTTTCCTCTTCCGCATGTCAAGCACAGACTTCTTGAAAGTCCCCCGGTTTGTGTCTTGTTGAATAATAGCGATATACAGAGGGACCTTCATAGGAACATCGTCATTACTCCAGCCCTTACCGGTGAATCTATAAACTGCACTAGGAAACCCAAACTGTGAAACTTGTTACACTAGAACTCGAGGCAGAGTTGCCATCATGCAACTTGAATACACTACTGAATTTGTAAGATTTCAGAAGGTGAGAGTTTCACAACGGAACAAAGAGATAATCTTCACGATGCGATAGCCGCCTCCTGACCCTCCTTAGCTGAAAACTCCTGGTTTGCATAAGAAATGTGAAGCACGGCCATCTCATACTCTATTTTGATTCGATTTTCAAATCAACAGAAAAAGTTTAGCTTAAGTCGGGAATCTCCGACAGGACACTCTCATCTAGGTCTCACAGGCTTATTTTATTGACAACTCTATTCAGTAGTTTCAGAGTCAAAATAGAACGATGATTGGTGGCGATGGCCCGAGTCCTTTATTGATATCTCAATCCGGCCATTACTAACCCCCGACCAATACGAAACCCTCTCTTTGTTTCTGTGATGCTCCTATAAACTAGCCATGCCTCGCAAAAGCAAACTCGCAGTGGTTGTTCTGTCTTTTTCTCCTTCCAGCACTCAAAAGGCCAGTGACCCTCCTTCAAGGCAAACAACCTTCTCACTTTGGCTTTCGATGCCATCGCCGGTGATATATTCACCAATGGATAATGTTTTTGCATCACGCAGCTATCGGCCCGTCCCTAAGGCAGAGGCTGACAGCGATGTTGAAGACGATAACGCAACCCTGACACGCCGTCCTGGCCGTCGTTTCGCGCAGCAGTTCCTCAAACGCAATTTGACCGCGATCACCGTCACCGGCCTTCTTCTGATCATTTTGATGCTCGTTATTGCCATTATTGCTGCTATCGCCATTGAGCCCCTCCGCCAGATTCTCGTCCTGAAATGGTCCGCTGGTCCCGCAGACCAAACTGGTCAACGCCAGTGTCTGCCCGCCGCACCACGGACCCTGCTCTCCTGCGGCAATTCAACCACTGAAGCTGAGGCTCTGGGCTGTACATACGACCCCTTATCGGCATGCTGGTTGCATCACGACTGTCCACACGATTACTCGGATGTCTTTTCGCATTTTAACAACGGCAAGCCGTTTATTTACTACTACGACGAGGCGGCCACCCGCCAGATGAAAGACTATAACGAGGTCGGCCACAACGCGAACGGCTTCTACTGGACTTCTGTACGCGAGCACCTCGTGCATTGTCTGTATCTGCTGAGACGAGGTCACGATGTCCACATGCGCGGCGATCGTCTCGACTCAATGCTCTCGGATATCGGCCATGTGGATCACTGTACGAATTTCCTGGCCAATTGGCTGCGCAGACCGGACCCGGCCCTCGAACACCTGGGTACACAAGGCAAAACGGACTGTTTCATGTCCTGCAACTGAAGGGTGGACCATTCTGACAAGGTGGGACGGTCGGAGGAGACAAATGAGGCAAAAGAATCTGTCGAAGTCCTTTTTGGGAGACCATCCTTTCATCACAATATCCACTCATGGTGGTTATTTCATTTTACATGTATCTTTCGCAAGAACCCGTCCACAATCTACTTCGTTGCCTAGATATAGATCAACGCCATTAAGTATGCCTTGCCTATTTGGGAAATTAGCTCCGCGGAGGACCTCCCGAATTCGCCTCAACCAAGAAAAGGCACGTTGACGTGACTCGCATATTAAACCGTAAGATCCCCTTAATTTTTCCATCCTCCACGTCTACGAAATCCAAATGCCTTCCAAGCGCATCGCCATCGTGACCAGCAGCACGCGCTGCCCGCGCCTAAACCCGACCATCACGCACTATGTGTATGACGTCTTGTCCGCGGATCCGATGATCCCAACTTCTCCAGCTACAAGTCAAGGAGAGGGCAGCATCGACAGAGACCCTAGGCATATTACGCTCGATATCCTCGATCTAGCACAACAGGGACTACCACTCTACGACGAAAACATCATTCCCGCCGGCCTACCAGCGGCGGACCCCACGCCGCACTATGAAAAGGCGCACACTCGCGCATGGTCTACTGTTGTGCGCGGGTATGATGGGTTTATTTTCGTGACGCCCCAGTACAACTGGAGCATTCCAGCCAGTCTGAAGAATGCACTTGACTATCTTTTCCATGAATGGAAAGGGAAACCTGCTGCGATTGTCTCGTATGGGGGCCATGGTGGTGGCAAGGCGGCGGATCATTTGAAGGGCGTCTTAAATGGCCTGCGCATGAAAGTTGTCAGCACGGTACCTGCATTGCCCGTGAAATATACGGGTTTGCCCATTGGGGGAGATGAGGACGAGAGGGTTACACTGGATGAGAGAGATGTGGCCGGGTGGAAGGAGGCAGGCATCGAGGCAATGATGCGGAATTTGGGGATGGAGCTGGTGTGCGAATTGGATAAGGACTAAATAATATCAATGCATGCAAATTTTGGTATCTATTGAGAAAGAATCCCTGATATATGCAGAAGGATACAACAAAGTAATCAACCGGAAAAGAAAACATTATTTTTAGTCCGCCATTAGAATATCCTCGCGCGTAATTCCGCTGCGATCACACATTGCTCGGAAGATCCCATCCGTCCGATCCCACAGCGCAACTGGTGTGTCCATCTCGGCGATCTGGCCTTGGTCCATGACACAGATACGGTCGTAGTGAATGATCGTACGCAGGCGGTGCGCAATGCACAGCAACGTCTTGCCGTGGAATCCCTGTGCCATCGTGCGCTGGATCTTCTGGTCGGTCTCGAAGTCAACAGAGGAGGTTGCCTCGTCGCAGACGATAATCCGAGCCTGTCGGACCAGTGCCCGTGCGAGCGCCATCAGCTGCCGCTGCCCCAGAGAGAAGTTGAGACCTTCCTCGTCAACGGGACTCTCAAGCGTGAGCTTGCTATGCTGCTGTGGCTTTGAATCACTGCCCGTGGCTGGCGTCACGGTGCCACTAGCAGGGCCGCTTGGCAGTCCTTCTGCGTCAGGTTCTACCGAGTCCTGACCGATCAGGTAAGCCTGACGCAGCGCGGTCCACAGTTCCAAATCCCCATGCTCATTGAATGGATCCAAGTTCGAGCGGATCGTGCCCCGGAACAGCGCCGGGTCCTGAGGAATGATGGCCAGGCGAGAACGAAGGTCATGGAGACCAACAGTAGCAATATCGATTCCATCGATCTTGATAGAACCACCGGACAGCTCCGTCAGACGGAACAGCGCGGACATGATACTCGACTTGCCGGCGCCCGTTCGTCCCACAATTCCGATACGTTCGCCACCCTGCACATCCATGGTGAGCCCCTTAAGGACAAGTGGGAGGCCCGCGCGGTACCGCATATGTGCGTTGTCAAATGTAATGCGGCCCTTCTCAGGCCAACTAGAAGCAACGGGGGTGAGTTGCAAGGGTGCCTCCTCTTCCAACTGGGTTCCGTAGTAGTGAACGCGCTCGGTAGCGTTCATGTTGTTCTCCACCTCGGCAAGCTGGCGGACAGTAAATTGCAGCATCTGTGCAATGGAAAGAATGTATGAGAGCACCAGTCCAGAGATGCTGGGGGAGACATTAAATCGAGAGGTGACGACTAAAACACCCGTCACAAAGACGAGCGAGGTCGCCACGGCATCCAGACGCACGCTAAGCCAGCGCTGGTTGGAAAAGGTCAAAAAATACGCCCCGTTCATCACGTCGATCGAATCACGGATACTGCGCCGGAACTGGTGCTCCACCCCATAAGCTCGAATGCATGCGGTACCAGTAATGGCTTCACCGAATCGTGCATAGACCATCGACCGCAGAACTGCTTCGTGTCGCTTCATCTCACGGGCTGAGGCTCGGTAGTAGTTGGAGGCCAGAAGGAATAGGATAAACAGTGGAGCAAGAGCAATGACAAACTAGATAAAGTTAGCGGTTCAGTCCAGAAAGCAGAGCATTGATTCACTTACGTAGTGGAAGAAGACAATGATCAGGACCATGACGGAAATGATCATGGTCATTGTCAATGCGTAGATACGCATAGCATCCGACAGTTCATTGTCCATCACCTGGATATCCTTCGAAAAGCGGTTGGTGATTCGTCCGAGCGGTGTGGTGTCGAAGAAAGACATCGGCGCTCGAAGCACACGAGTCATTGCGCGCTGCAGCATTGTTCTGCTGGCGTTTGTTCCGCATGTGGTCATATAGGTCGAGAAGACGAACATGAGTACAACAACGCTGCCTCCTAGGCCAGCATAGATGCCAATGTATTGGCCGGTCGACAGGCTCGGGTACTTGTTGGACGTCCAGTAGGAGAGCCATAGACTGGTCCAAATGTTGGCGACGTTGGCCATCGCCAGCAGAAACATTATGACAAAAGCATTGAGAGAGCTTCCAGAGGCTTTGATGTATGCCTTCCACACATCGAACCCAACCGAGGCCGTGGCCTTTTCCTCTTGCTGCATCAATGCGGCGGCTGGCTTTCCGGGCGCTGCTGGCGTCTTTTCGTCCACCTTCTTCTCATCGGGCTCCTCTTCAGCAGTCTCTTCTGTCTTCTCGCTCGAGTCCTCCTGTCCCGTCGTGGACAGGAGCCGCTGGAAAACTTCATTGTCCCGCATCAGGTTATCGTAGGTATCGACCGCCTGGATGCGTCCCTCGTCCATGACAACAACCCGATCACATCGACTGAGGACATGGAGCTGATGAGTTGCCAGAATCCGACACCGGTCCTTCAGAAGGCCACAAATAGCTTTGTCCATGATGTGGCGCCCGACATGTGCGTCGACCGCCGATAAAGGATCATCCAGGAGCACGAGTTCGGCATTGAAGTAAATGGCACGAGCAATGTTCAGGCGCTGCTTCTGGCCACCCGATACCGTAATTCCGCGCTCGCCAATCTCGGTCTGGTCGCCATGGGGGAGAATCTCAAGATCCGGAGCCAAGGCGCAGGCATCAATCACTTTGTTGTACCAGTCTTCGTCATATTCTTTTCCAAATAGAATATTCTTCTGAACGGAGGTGTTCTGAATCCATGCATACTGCGGACAGAATGCCCGCGTTGTGCTTAGGCGAACAGAACCATCCGTCACTCGCATATCACCAGCCAGTGCTGAGAGCAGAGAGCTCTTGCCGCAACCTACCGTGCCAATCACTGCAATCAGCTCATGGCGTCCCACCTCGAGAGTCAGGTCGTTCAGCTTAAATGGTTCGACGGGAGTCTCATCGGCCGTGTTGTCGTCACTCTTAAGCGCTGGTGCCGCATGCGCCGCCTTGTCGGCCTTCTTCTTCCCGGTCTTGTCTTCCTCCTTATCCGTGGGCAAGCGTTCCCAGGTGAACGATGCATGCTCCATCTCAATAGCATTCTCCATCTTCTCATCCTTTTCGATGTCCTCCTTTTGCTCCTCGGCCAGAAGGAATTCTTGAATCCGGTTAAGAGCAGTCCAAGCATCCGTGACCTGGCCAATAACCATCGGCAGCATGTTCAGTGGCATCCGGAGCGAGTTGAACAACGCCAGAGACGAGAAGATCGGGGCCGGGTTCAGGTCATGTTTCGACAGAGCGTAGGTGATGAAGGCCAGCATCGAGGCGAAAGTGGGAATAGCCAGCGACACGCACAGAATTCCGTTTCGGACGGCCAGCAAGGTCTGGATGGATCGAATCTCCCGTTTTCGAATAGCCTTGAGGCGGCTCAAGAAGCTACTTTCCCAGCCGAAGTATTTGACGAATCGCACCGCTTGCAAGATTTCTTGTGTCAATGAAACCCGTTGGTCGGTGATCTTGTTGATGTTTCTCCGGCGTTTCACCAAGAATCGCACCGCGTAGGTCAAGAAGGGGACTCCGAAGACCAGCAGGGCATATCCGGCCAGACAACTGTACCCGATATTAACCAAGAGAAGAATCAGGGTCACGATGATGGTAATGGGCGCGGTCCACATCATGTGGAACATGCCGCAGGCCAAATTGATTCGGTCGACGTCGATACTCATCAGGGCCACGATACGGCCATTGTTCCAACCTCGGCCATCGCCTGCCACGCCCTGAGGGGCGGCAGCGGCAGCCTTGGGATCTTTTTTCTTCTTCCCGTCCGACTTCAAAAGGGCGTTCTTGGTCGCTTCCAAATTTTTGATTTCTTCATCCGTCGCCTTGCCTCCTGCCTTTGCCCGGCCCGACAGTCTCATGGCCTTGTTGAAGACTTGTGAAATCAGGACAGCTCGGATCTGCCCGCCAACCATCTGGCCCCGGTATATAAACTGGTTCGTACACATACTCTGACATGCTTGCATGAGTGTTATACCAACAGTAAACCCCATACCACGCCCAATATGGGGAGCAGGGAGGCCGTTTTCCTTGGCAATCCATGCCTCGGTGGCAAACGCGATCAGGTAGCGAGTCAAATAGGGCGCAAAGACTAGGAGGAGCGAGCTGAAGAACTGGCAGACACCGCCCAGCACGAACTCGAATTTGAAAGTATCGTACAGCGCCCATACCAGCGCACGTTCTTTCCCGCTCTTCATCCGGTTCTCCAGCGCAGCCTCCAGCCGTTCTGACAACACATCGACGGCCCGGTTGGGATTCACCGTCCAGATATCCTGCAGCTCGAGGGGTCGCAGATAGCCCACCTATATCCCATAAGTTAGTAAGAAAATTTTTCCGACAAGGTTTTCGAACCACGAACCTGCATCAGAGGGGACATCCATTGAAACGAGATGGTGCTAAAGAACGAAGCGCCGTATTCGCGCGACGGCGTGCGCTCCTCCGGCACGGGGGGGAGCTTCTGCCATCGCAGCGGATTCAGTCGGCGGTACCATTTCTTTTTCGGTTCCGTTGGCGGTGGTTGCAAAGTCGGGTCTGCGGCTTTGGCCTCCTCACCGTCTGCCGAGGCGGACGAGCTGGAGGCCGCTTGCAACTTTTCTGCATCGGCCACCACGACCTGGGTCAGTGGTTCTGCTGGCGCAGACATGGTCACGGCTGTCGTCTGCGGCACCAAAAAAAAAATTAATAAATAATGTCCTAGGCGGCGTGGTCCTTATTTATCCATCGCAAAAGAATGGTGTGGCGAGTGAAGAAAAGCTGCTCTTCTGAAAACGGAATTCAAATGCTGGGGTACCCGACGCCCTAAGAATGAGTCAAGCGTGCTCGGATCGTCCGTTCGCTTGGTCCGAGGTAGATGAGAGTAGTAGAAAACCCCGAAAGGGACGAGGAGGAGAATTCGCGGACAATTGAAAAAGCCGTTCGTTCTTTTCTCACTGTCCGTTCCAGGCCTGGGCGGGACGCTAAGCCTTTGCATATATCTATCCTCGGGTGGAGCAAAATGCTACATTAATAATAACTGGAGCCAAGGAAAAAGAAGCGGTCACATCTACATAGTATTACCACCCATCCTTGTTTTCCGTTCCGCTCTAGTGCTTGGAAATCGACCGTTCTGACTCGTTGATACGGTCGGCGGTCGGGACGTGGACTCTCCGGCCGGTCTGTCGGCCAGGGCGCTATACTCCTTCAGGTAGAGCGCAAACCTGAACCGAACTTCTTATCTCCGAGACGGACGGACTAAGCGAGTCTAAACGAGCTAGCGATGCGAAACAAAATGGAAAAAAATGAACCGGAATTAGGCACCCCGAGCCGAGATCAACCTGAGCGGTGGTGTCTACTATACTGGATCTACAATGGACAGGGGAGACAGATAGCCATTTGCCTAAATTGCTCCGGACATCCACTTTTTTTGGTTGTCGTCTAATATAGCAGCTATTCAGTCATCACGTCGTCGCGGAGGCCCTCAACGGTGGATATACGCATATTATGCATCCACTCGGCCTTCGTTCCTGAGTCGTGGGGCAATCGAATCGATTACCCGATCTGGAGATCTTTAGACATCCAAAAGGATCGCGGGCGGCGCGCCCGGCGATACCAACCTGCACTACGCGCTAGTTCTCCAATCCGATCTTGACCTTCTTCTCCGGTGGAGGGATGACCCTATCCTCGGCAGCCCCCGTGAGGTTGGGCAGCTCGGTCACAGCCTGGTGGATGATCTGCAGCGCCTGCTGGATCTCTTCCTCGGTGATCACCAATGGAGGCGCCAGACGGATGATGTTCTGGTGGGTGGGCTTGGCCTGCAGATGAAAGTCAGCCACATAATACCAAGCATTCGGAAGCAAATGTCACATACGAGCAGACCCTTCTCCTTCATCAGCATGCACAGATCCCAGGCGGAGTGGCCGTTGGTCTTGGATTCGTCAATGACGATGGCGTTGAGCAGGCCCTTGCCGCGCACGGTCTGGATCAGGGGGCTCTTTAGGTCCTCCAGACCCTTCCGGAAGATGTGGCCGAGCTGCTCCGCGCGCTCGACCATCTGCTCCTCGCGAACGATCTCGAGGGCGCGGATGGCGACGGCGCAGCCCAGCGGGTTGCCGCCGTAGGTCGAACCGTGGGTGCCCGGCTCGACCGTGAGCATGACGTCCTTGCGGCCCAGTACACACGAGACAGGGTACATGCCGCCGGAGATGGCCTTGCCCAGCAGAACTAAATCGGGCTTGATTCCGCTCCACTCGTGGCACAGCAGCTTGCCCGTGCGGGCAATGCCGGTCTGGATCTCGTCGCAGATCAGGAGTGCATTGTACTTGTCGCACAGGGCGCGGGCCTCACGCAAGTAGTCCTCGTCCGGCACGACAATTCCCGCCTCGCCTTGGATGGGCTCGACCAAGAAAGCGGCCAGGTTCGATCCGGCCTTCTCAAAGGCTTCGCGCAGCGCGGCCTTGTCATTGTAGGTGATGGGCTTGTCAGTGCCCGGAATGTTGCACCCGATGCCGGGCAGGTAGGGACCGTAGTTCTCACGCGACTCCGGATCGGAGGACAGGGAGATGGCAGCGAACTAAATATGCAAGGAAACAATCAGCTCCATCCCCCGCGGAGGGGGGTCTAGCATGCTTACCGTGCGACCGTGGAAGTTGTTCTCGGCACTCAGCACGACGGCCTTGTTCTCCGGGATGCCCTTGACCTTGTACCCCCACTTGCGGGCGATCTTGATGGCGGTCTCGACTGCCTCGGCGCCCGTGTTCATGGGCATGACCATGTCGAAGCCGAAGAACTTGGTGATAAACTCGGCGAAGCGTGGGAAGACGTCATTGTAGAACGCGCGCGAGCTCAAGGTGACGCGCGAGGCCTGTTCGGTCAGGGCCGCGACTAGCTTGGGGTGGCAGTGGCCCTGGTTGACTGCGGAGTAGGCGGAGAGGAAGTCCAAGTAGTGGCGGCCCTCGGGGTCCCAGACGGAGGTGCCCTGGGCACGGGCAAAGACGACAGGCAGCGGGTGGTAATTGTGAGCGGCATAGTTGTGCTCGGCATGGATGGCCTCGTCGGTGGACGTGGCGTGGATGGCGAAGGTGGAAGTGCCGTTGGACGCCATGACGCAGTGGATTGCGGGGAGGTATAGGTAGATGGATGGAGGTGGATGGAGATAGTTCGATCGCAGGGATCAATGGCTGTATCTCCTCGATAAAATAGATGAAATGGAAGACCTGGGAATTCGGTGGCAGAGAAGAATCAAGGAAGAAGAATTGAATCCCAAGAACGGCCACCAAGGACGGATTTATTCTCGGGGCCACCACCACAGCATCCCCTAAGCGCAGGTTTACCCTGCCCGTCTTCCCTTAAGTGCAGGTTTACCCTGTCCTCCTCCACTCCTATCCTTCCCATTACTACAATTTCCTATTCTTATTCGCACCCCGGCCCGGGACACGGCCGGTCCAGCGAACGAAAAAAGTGTGATCTTCGATTGATGTCATTCTGCATTCGGTAGTAGTCTGTGGTCGCCGCTGTCAAGAAAAGGCATGTCGTTCCCGCCGTCGATGCGCCGCACGCCGCCCTCCCACGCCTCCAACATCTTCCTCTTCCTGCTCGCCTTTCGCCTCCTGAATTCGCTCGCTATCCGGACCTTTTTCCAGCCAGATGAGTTCTTCCAGTCGCTCGAGCCCGCGTGGCAGATCGCGTTCGGCAAGGACCAAGGGGCTTGGATAACGTGGGTAAGCGCGTCACTGCAACGCAACACCTCTGCGCGCGCAGTTCTCTAATTTGTGTCGCGTCAACAGGAATGGCGACACCAGCTACGATCCTCGCTCCATCCGCTTCTTTTCGCCGCCATCTACAAGACCGCAGACCTGCTCGCGTCAGTCCTGGCGCTTGGCCCCGCACCGCACGCGGAACTCCTGATTGTCGCGCCCAAGACAGCGCAGGCCGTAGTGTCGGCAATCGGTGATTTCTACACGTGGAAGCTGGCTCGGCGAGTGTACGGGACGGGTTCGCGTGAAGCTTGGACAACGGTACGTGATGCGATCGCGCATGAGAAGAAAATTGGATATTAATTGTTGGTGGGCAGCTGGCGGTCACCGTCCTCAATCCATGGCAATGGTTCTGCTCAACTCGAACCCTGTCAAATTGTCTTGAAACAACGATCACGATTGTCGCGTTGAATTTGTGGCCGTGGCAGTGGTCGAGCACAGGGACCGATGGTAGCCGTGATAATGGGAGGCAAAAGAGGGGCACGGACAAGGATCGGAGTCTTCTTCGAAGGTATGACTCTATGATCAAATCATATGACCATTGTTGACGTTTACTGGGCACAGTTTGCGCCAATGCCTGTCATTAGCTGCTCTCGCATGTATACTCCGTCCGACCAATGTGTTGATCTGGGCGCCTCTGGCCAGCGTCGCTTGGCTTCGGACCTCTTGGCTCCAACGAAAGATTCTGGTTCGCGAAGTTGCTGCTTGCGGGTTAGTTGATATCTTTCCATTTGAAGAGTTTCATCTTACAGACATTGCTTCTTAGGTCGGCACTCTTGGTCGTATCAACATTGGTGGACCGTCTGTTTTACGGAATCTGGACTTTTCCTCCATTTCGGTTCCTCTACTTTAACATTGCACAGTCTCTAGCAGTCTTCTATGGCCGGAATGACTGGCACTATTATATCTCGCAAGGCTATCCGCTCCTTCTCACCACAGCTCTGCCTTTTGCAATTGTTGGGCTCTATCGCGCCTTGATCGCCCCGGCCGGTGACCTTCAGACGACAATACGTGTTCAGCTGGCGGCAGTATGTGTTCTGATGCCGGCCGCTCTTTCTCTGATCTCACACAAGGAAGTGCGGTTCATCTACCCACTGCTGCCATCGCTGCATATCCTGGCTGCGCCGCCACTGGTCCAATTCTTTTCACCAGCCATACGCTCACACTCCGCGCAAGCATACACCCCCCAAAGGCTCACCCTTATCTTCCTTGTGCTCGTGAATCTCGTGATTGCGGTGTACACGACTATCTTCCATATGTCCGGACCTCTCGACGTCCTCTCATACCTCCGTGGGCAGCACGAAGTTCATTCCCAGCAATTGAGTGGAAGAGAAACCACCGCAGAGTCTGGAATCACCGCTGGTTTCTTGATGCCTTGTCACAGCACTCCCTGGCGCTCGCACTTGGTACACCCAACTATTCACGCTTGGGCATTATCATGCGAACCCCCAATCGACTTCAACGAGACCCAAAAGGCCGCCTATCGAGACGAAGCAGATCAGTTCTACGATAACCCAGATCAGTTCTTGCGCCAGAATATGGCGGGAGGCCTACGCCACCTTCCTCGGCGGCCAAGCTATGCCCCCGGTTCTCGCTCTCTCGGCAGCTCTCAATCGCAGCATGAATGGCCCGACTACCTCGTCTTCTTCGCCCAGCTCGAGTCTACGCTGCGTCCCCTCCTCCGTGGATCCTCGTACGCCGAGTGTCGGCGTACCTGGAATACACACTGGCACGATGACTGGCGTCGCCAAGGTGACATTGTAGTCTGGTGTCTCGACCCAGCCGAACAGGACGCCTGGCGCGCCGAGACCCATCGCCGTGTGCAGGAAAGCCGCGAGCGTCAGTTCGATCGTATTGTCAAAGCATTCGAAAAAGAAGCCCGACGTCAGCAAAAACGGGGCTGGAAGGCTCTTGTCTCGCCCTCTTCCTCATCCACATTAGCTTCGTGGAGACGTTCGGTACAGTCGCGCTTCTCTTCGCCCTCCACCATTAGATGGCCATGGGGTAAACGATCCCGCAGCTCTGCTTTCTGGAAGAAGTTCCCTTCCTTTTCACGGAGTACGGATTGGTCTCCTTCTTGGCCTGAGTGGCTAGGCGGGAAATCTAAGGATAAGAAGAGTCCTTTTGATCGGGATCTGTGGTCATAACGGGACCTTTTCTTCTCTTTCCCACCTAATCTAATACTAGACTTGTCTTACTTCATTGATCTGTCATTAGAGATCATCGGCCGTGCAAGGCCCCTGTCATAGCCCAATCTGTGTATAGAAAGACGTATAGAAATTGAGAATTAACTAACATCCATGTACCTCGTGCACAGACCGTCCTTATCATCATGTGTTGCTTCTTGTCCTCCAGACTTACCACTTTCTTGTCGAGTAAGTAGATATTGGGTGCGACTCAGTATATTTATAAGACTGATCACTGGCCCTGAAACCCAGGTGCCAACGAGATATTTATACAGGCTCTAGACTCTGCTCGAATCCCAAATCGCCTCCCCGTGTTGCTATCAAGACATTGATGAGACCTCGTTCTCGATCAGCCACGAATAAAACTCCGCGCAACCATCCGCCGTCTCCAATACCTGCTTTAAAGCGTCCCAGCTTCCAAACAGCTCCCGCAAGCTAATCGTTTTGACGACGATGACCCAGTCCGATGGTGGCAGCTTGCACACGCCATTGTCGACGTAGCAGCGCGGATGTGTCCCAAATGCGTACTCCTTCAGGCCAGCGCAGGTTGTCGACTTCGCGCCTGTGCCGTACTGAATAAGGTCGCGTTGCAGGCACAGCATGGTATTCGTGATCCACGCCTGGCCGCTCTCGGACATTTCCGACCGCACGTTGATGAAGAGCGTGCAATAGTGGAGACCGTAGCCGATCGGATAGCCATTAGGGCCGCATTGCTCCTGTGCCTCGAGACATTGGGAGTAGAATGTGCATGAGTTTGGCCGAGGATTTGAGCAAATTGTGCCGTTTCCCAAAGGGATCAGGCTGGTGAGCTCGTTCTGAGCATTTCCGTATATGGCTGCCTCGCAAAGTCCGAGTAACGCGAGAGAATAAAAAACGAGGCTCCTCATATTCCTTAACAAGGTTCGTAGCCCGTGCGGAGACTTGAGATGACGTTGTAGCTGAGCCGGTGGGGATGATACTTAGAGCGAGGAGAAGCCTATTTATCACTCCGGGGTTCGTTCATGGAAGCAAGTTCGCTGACGACAGCTTTATGTACCTCGACACGATTTAGCCAACGGTAAGACAGGGTGGCAAAAATAAGCCTTTCAGGTACATCCTGAAGACGTAAGAGATATGCAGGGTAGGGATACTACGTGGGGGCAGTGCTTTCCTGCGCCCAACATGGATCAATCTAGCGGAGCCTGGGGAATCTATTTTGGTTATAATTGGCTCTTTTAAATAATCCGGTTTCATCAGTTTCCACTAGGGGATCTTGAAATCATTCCTCTATGATGATCCAACATCCCATCAATCTAATATCTGTGCCCGACCCACGCCCCACACTAATGTCTTGGTGTTGGTGCTTAGCATACTAACCCAAATCCCCGCACTAACGCACAATTTGAAGCTATTCGACCTGATTTATCATACATCGCTGGTTATATCTATCCAAACAGGCTGCCGAAGGCCCTCTGTAGCCGATTGGCTAGGTTCTATACTAGGTAAATCATCCCCTGTCCTGTCTAGTAGTGTAGAAATCGGCGGTGAAAATCCCGCTTTTTTCGCCTGCTTGATGATCTCTTTCTTCCCTCTTTGGTTGGGTATGGTCTGGAATTCGTCGATTTGCACTTTTGACTTTGCGATTGAAGTTTAGACAACATCGCAACATACGACAGCTCCTGACCCTAAATCATAGAAACAAATTTCACTTATCCCACACCGGACGTTCGAACTTCGCAATCGCGAGGCCTGTCATTAGAATCAAATCCCGAAGATTGGCAGTCTCAATCTCGGTAGCCTCCTTCAACCCATCAATAAAGATAATACCATCTGGATTCATAATAGCAATAACGGGAGCCACAAGCGTAGAAGTGTTCCAGTGCCTTGCCTGGTACTGCAGTGGGTTGATCCGACAGAGGCGCGTGTCCTTATCCATGGCAAATGGCAGGCCCGCCGGGGCCTTGCCATATTCCGGCTTCCAGTCACGATAGCACTCCCATAGAAGCGTCGTATTCCAAGCCTTAGGGAAGTCCCGGTCATGCAATCGCTCACGCACGCGCTGGAACTGGTAGTAGGAATTCCAGGTTTCATCGAATCGCCAGCGTTCGCTACTCCCCAAGGTGACCCATCCTCGATATCGAACACAACATTTACAACACAGGAATGAGGGATAGTCGACATCAATACCACCGACGACGGTCGTCAAATCGAAAGGAATTGGCCTAATATCTCTACTCTTGAGAAATCTTGTGTCGTCTTCGTAACTAGAGACAAGAAGGTCATTGCAGCTCAGCTTATAAGTTTTTACATCTGGCAGCGGTAGCAAGATCCCGAAGTATGCGGGGCTCCAGATGTTGTATATCGGGAACAAAGAACCACCTTTCCAGGAAGAGCTTTGGTTCAGTTGAAAACACAGCTTAGGCTCAGATGAGAATAACCACCAGTTGCGTGTGTTGATCGCCCAAGGCTCAGCGCGAGTAATTCGGAAGATATCTGAGCATTTGGGAGTTGGCAGCTCTGAACAAGCCTTATTGTCATCACTAGACGCGTGGGAAATTAGATTCGACGCCAGATTTTGGTGAGGGTTAGGGTTGGTCTCACTCAGTAGTGAGGGTGTCATGCAGAGGACTGTCCATCATGTGTATGAATGATCAGAATAAAGATACAACTTGAGACGTTGAGACGCTGTCAAGTGAAATCACACGGTATGCATCTAATAAAAGTGAATATGCCCAGGGAGGTGAGAAGCTATATGTAAATGCGGTTTGCTGAACTACTGCGTTGAGAGATGGCGGATGCCTACGAGCCCTGGCCACGAGGGCAGTTTTTGGCGACGCTAAGGCCTCATGTGGCGTGGGCAGCCAATCAGAGTATAGATTTCACAATCAAAACATTGGCAGCTTCAAATTAGGAAGGCAGTTGGACTGTCCCAGCGTCGCTGCACTTTGAGGGTTTGAAGATGCAAGCAGGCAACAGTCGATCCAAGCTAACGTAGAGGCATTAATAAAAGGGTGTGTGTTGATGAAAGACCTCGTAATTGGGGATGTGGCATTACTCCTCGTGGCCACTCGTCGCAGACTACCCGACCAAATATGTTCTTATCCATTTTTACATGTCACTTCTCTTTTAGACCGCTTTATATGCAATTAGATTGCATATGTCCAGCTCACTATATCGAGGTCAGGAAACCTATGCCAGCAGCTCCGTAGCGGCCTTCATCCTTTCCTGGATAATCCTGCTCCATTTCTGAAACAAGCCAGTAAGTCAGCAAAATATAATCGAGAACTACAATCTCAGATGAAAAACATACCTTGGCATTTTCCAAGTCGCCAGCTTCGAGGCTCTCCACAATTCCGGGGTAGGTTGTGCCCGAATAGCCAGTCCAGATACCCGGGGCGAAAACAACGTGCTTGAACCAGCTACGGCCGTCAAGGCCAGGCTCGTACAGGAACGCGCGCTCAAGACCCTTATACTTGTCATTTGCGACGCGGATCTGGAAGAGAAGATGGACCTTCTTCCACCATTTATACCATGGAACGTGCTCGCCCAGTCTCCCGACGAGACCGGCAGTGTACTCGTCGAATTGCCGGGCGTACTCGTGGAAATCAAGGATAGCAAAGTTTAGATCTGCAAAGTCGAAGTACAACCCCTCGGGCAGATTATCCGCCGCCGGCTCAATCTGGTGCAGGTATGATTCTAACCCTTTGGCGTAATCAGTGGCGTTGAAGGCGATCAAAGGTGACTCGACAAGTCGTGCTGCTGTTAGTGCCCACAGCTTGGTGCATGCAATATGGTAGCTCCAGTCGTGATCACCGAATTTCTCCATCCAGGCAAAACTGTCGTAGTTGGAGTGATAGTGATAGACGGGGTCAGTCGCTGCGCGGCCAAATCCAAAGTCTAGACTGGCGACACCTGCAAAGTCTTGGAACGCAGTGAAGTCACTTCCACTACCCATAGTTCCAATCTTTCCATCCCAAACATCGCGCACCGTCTGGCCGGGGACAGTTTGGTTTGGCGACTGCACTAGGCTAGTGACCTCGTAGAGAACCTTGTTTAGAAGAGGCGCGGCGCTAGGATGAAACTCAGTGCCAGCCGCAGCCACATCAACATTCAAGTACGCGACGTTGGCCTTGGAGAGCCAGGGGAGGTTATCTTCAACCCACTCGGTCGAGCCAAGAAGGCCATACTCTTCACCGTCCCAACTAGCAAAGACAATAGTGCGCAGTGGCTTCCATCCCGCCTTCAAAGCTTCACCGAAGCTGCGCACAACCTCGTTAAGTGCTGCGGATCCACTATTGGGGTCGGCCGCACCTCCAGCAATCCATGCATCACGATGGTTGCCAAGGATGATCACCTCATCGGGGATATGTCCCTTGATGACACCGATGACATTCCACACTGGAGTCGTCACGTACTCCTGCTGGTTGTCTAGGTTGATGACCACATCTTCCGGAGAAGGGCCAATGTTGTATTCCACACCCTTGTAGCCCAGACCACCGCCTTGCCAGTCCTTGTTGAAGTCCTCTGCTTTAGGCCCATGGCCATTAAGGGCTTTTAAGAAGGGCAGGACCTCATTATAGGACACGGGAAGGGGAAGGAATAGACGGGATTGAGTTTTGTGGATCTTTTCGCTCGCACCCAGGTTTGGATGCATATCCGGGTGTAGTTGGGTCACCGGGAAGAGTACCTGTCAAGCAGAAGTCAGTGATCCTCATCTTCATGAACCGGTGCATGCCTACATACTTATGAACTGTGTGCTGCCCCTCTGGATGGCACTAGGGTTCCGTGCAGGTCCGTTGGGGTAGGTTTCGTAACCATTTTCCTCTGTGATCTCGCCGTCCTCCTGCGGATCACTATAGATAATCACGCCAACCATGCCGAGCTCCTGTGCTCTCTTCACCTTCAGACCACGCAAGATGGCGCCATATTTGACAATGGCAATCTTGCCTTCCAATGCGATACCGGCGTTCACCAGATCCTCAAAGTCCTTATACGTGCCAAAGTTGGCATACACGAACTGAGCGGTCACATTGCCAGTGGCTGAATACCCATGGAAAACGGGCACGCGGTCTGGCAGAGTAGAAGTAGGATCTTCCTCGAGCACATCTTCTTCCAAGGTAGCCTCAAAGGTCACCTCGGTGATGCCGCCTGACTTCTTCAACAGAGCCAGACGGTTATCTACTGGGTAGTTCAAGTAGATGTCATAGGACGCGAGAGTCGTGTCTTCCACGCCAAATTCCTTCCATTTCTCCAATGTCCACACAGCTTGGCTAAGATTCTTGCCGGCCAGGTGGGGTCCAGCCGTATAGTAAGAGCTCCACTCGCGAACTTTAGCCGCGGACGGAGTGTTCAGGAGGATCTGCTGTAATTGATCATAGGGGAGTCCGTTGCCTTCTGGCCAGGATGCATGGGGTAGCGGGTGCGCCCAGGGGAAGTAAGACCAAATTGAGGGGATCAAGAAGAGGATTACTGCGACAGGGAGCAGTGTACTGAGCAGACGGAGGGCATGGTGCGGGTATCGACGTCGTTGCCGTGCGGCATGGGCCTCGAGCAGAGGCGTCGTCTCAGAGTAGAGCCTGATTTTCTCCATCATCTTCGTAGGAGTGGGTAGGGACGAAGGAGAGGAGGAAGCGATTGCTCCTCTCCGCATTGTAGATCATTGACTAACTAGCTATCGCGTTATCGGCTGACAAACAGTCGCCGAAGGATCCATTAGGTCTGTGGGCTTATTCTGGTAGGCAATTGTATATTTAATTACCTATGTGGGTATATGATCCAAAAGTATCTACAGTTGCAGTCGAAAACAGATTGTAAACACGAATTTGTTTCCCAGCTTGAAGCGGCGAAAGTAGCCTTTCTCTTGGCAACACCTAAGCGCTCTTACTCTTGACATTCTTTAACATATTGACAACAAGTTCATAAGCCTCATCTCTAGCCTGAACGAAGATATCGCCCGTAATTTTCTTGTCAAACCCATGGCCGCACCCCTTCATTCTCCGGATAACTACATCCCTGCCATCCGCGTGGCCTTCGCTCTTTGCTCTCTCGGCCAACTCCTCTGACTCGAGCGCCGATGCGTCCGATTCCGCTGTCACGAACAGCATGTTGGATGGGAAATTGGACGTATCCGCAAATGCTGGAGAAATTCTCGGATCGCGAGGATCCATCTCTCTTATGTAGGACTCTCGAAAGACCCTAGTCCAGAATGGCGAGCGCTCCTTTCCACCTGGCACTGGGGCTTTCCTTAGGCTCGGATCCTGAAAGAGGTTTGTCGCGGGATAGAAAGCGATCAGAGATTGGAAAGTTCCGCGGGGAAATATTGTTGAGGCAGCGGAGAGCGCGAGAGTGCCACCAGATGAAAACCCCGACACGGAGATCTGCGAGGCCTTGTACTCGTTCGGGCGGCCAAGCACGTATTTCACAGTATCCTCGAGATCATTAAGAGGTGCTGGGAATGGATGCTCGGGAGCTAGACGATAGTTGACATCAAGCACCACATAGCCAGCGGCGTTGGCAACCAGCCGGCAGAAATAGTCATCGCTGCCATGAAACGGAAGCGCGAGGCCGGAGCCATACAGATTGACCAAAACCGGGGCGGGTGTCGTGCTTTCAGTGCCTTCCACGGATGGCTTGTAGACATGGACTTTGATCGTACGGTGCTCATCACGCGACGGGACTCTTAGCACAGAGTCAGGTCTGGGCTTTGGAGTCGGGAAAAGGAGCCTAACGACGAGGCGCATAAAGGAGACGAGGCCTTTCAGACGCAAATAGCGCACAAAGGATAAGAAGCCAGCCATTTTGAAGATGTCGAGGCAGTTGACGCTATGCAGCGGTGGAAAAAAATAAATGAACTCGTTGCGACGACGGAACTAAGCGGGGAGTATTTGGAAGGTAACCTAATCCAGATTAGCGTGTTTGAAGATACGAGATCTAGATCTGGTCTCGTTCTAGGACGAATGGCAGGCAAGTGGATAGAAAATAAGAAAGATGATATGTTATTATCTTTCCATCAATCAAATTCAGTAACAAGAACAGAAGATGATATTCCATTTCCAAACGCTAAGTACAACCCAAGAGACCATATACAGAAGAAAAGTCAAACAAGAAAATACAGACAAAATAAGAACAAAGAGTGAAAGAACGGGCTCAAAAAAGCGGTTCTCGACAATAATGATGCACCTAGATTGACATGCACAGCATATATCTCAACGATCATCCATCTATAGGAACATCATTCATGCATGACCCAATCCCATCCCAAAAATGTCATCAATGGCTATCAAAGTCCAATAATAAAAAAGATGGAAAAACAGGGCGTGAATCAACATCAGCCGTATCGTGCACTAAGACTAGCGAAAGCGTCCGGGCTGTGCCGGCCATTCTGCAACCCGTTGACGTCCACACTCGGCTTGGTCATGTGGATTCGAGGGAATGCCGGGTTCCCCGGTGGGCCGCCAGCAGCAGAAGGGGGCTGGTTCATTCCCAGTCCCATTGAAGGGGCAGTAGCTGGTGTGCCCGTGCCGGCTGTCATGCCGATACCGAGTCCCGAGGATTGAGGGAAGGGACTGACACCTGCTTGGGCGGCGAGACCGGACCCTGTGGACGCGCCTGCGTTGGCGACTCCGTTGAAGGGGTTACGCGATGCCATGAAGGGCCCGCCGGTCGGTTGCGGCGAGGGCACGAATGAGCCGGTTTGAGTTTGCGGGGTGGAATTGAGGGAGTTTGTCAGTGGTGGCACCGGGCTGGTACCATTCATGCCATTCACGGGTTGCTGTTCAACCTGGGGCTGTTCGGGGATAGAAGGGATGTTCGATTGGGAGGGGGCGAGGTTGTATAGAGACAAAATGCTGTTTTTATCCATGCGGCCGGTGCCTTGTGGGACGAGTTGCTGCGGCTGCTGGGGTTGAAATTGTGATTGGAACTGTGATGGGAATTGGTTCGGGTAGGGGCCAGCACTCTGTGGGGTCGTTGGTGCTGTTGCCGATTGGAAGGGATTGTAGGAACCCTGGTTAATTCTCTGTGCTTGTTGCTGTTGCTGCGGCTGCGGGTGCTGCGGCTGAGAATGGGATGAAGGCCCCGGTCCAAAAGGCGAAGTGTCGAATGGTGAGGTCGAAGACATCACTGGCATCGTGTTTGCATGACGAGGCGGAGGAAATGGGAGAGTCGGCACTGATGTTGACGTGGCCGATTGAGGCTGCGACTGTGCTTGCGACTGCTGGATCGAATGGTTTTGCGGCGCAGCATTGAAGAACGGGTTGGTTTGCTGTGGCAAAGGGCTGGAAAAAGGCTGATTGAACGTGCCAGCTTGTGGTTGGGGCGCTGTTTGGAAGAAAGGGTTGAAGGAGTTATCCATTGGCTGCGGAGAGGAAGCGTATGGATTCTGATGGGAGAATGTCGAGGTCAACGGAGGGGTGAAAGGCTGCTGGTACATAGCCTGCGGCATGGATCCGCTGTTGTTTGGATATCCACCAGTCGAGTGCGGGAATAATGGCCGGGACACCTGCAAATTCTGGAAAGATGACTCCAACGGCTGCGCAGATTGAGGCTGCGGGATTGGCCGATCGAATGGGTTGTACGACACCGACTGGGGCTGGTTTGGGGACTGGCTTGGAGGCTGTCTTTGGCTTTGGCTCGCCCCTGCCCGGTCGAAGGGGTTGGTGGATGTGTCCAACTTGGGAGGAGGCACTGGACGTGCGGATGCAGTGGATGCAGTGTTCGTGACCGATGCCGGAGTCCTCGCTCCTGATGCCGGATTGCTTCCCTCGCCCAGTCTGACCAGAGTCTCAATCGCTCGGTCCAAGTCCTCATTGACCCCCCGAAGAATCGTTTCATTCCGCTTGTCATTGTTGAACCCCATCTCGCGTAGAGAGGCCATTTTCGACTCCAACGACGCCGTGGTCACATCGGTGACAGGTGCCCCAAGCCCATGCGTTGGTCTCGGGGGGACGGTGGGTGGGTGATAGTCGATGTCTGTCTTGCCCTTCTTGCGACGTAGATTGGAGGTCGAGGATGCCGAGCGCAGACCGAAGCCAAAGAACTTGCCGCTCTTTGGTGGTAGCGGAGGAGGCGAGCCTTCGGGAGATGAAGGAGTGTCCATTGGATCTGGGAGCGGCTTGACGAATCTGGCACCGTCCCGGCTCGGAGGTCTAGGCTTCCCATTCTCCAATGTTCGATGCTGGTATTTCTGTCGGATGAATCGTTCCATGCACGCGTCGGCCTCATCAACGTCTGCTGGAATCGACGGCCTGACGTTCCGCGGGTTATAGATCTTGTTCACGAGTATGTTGCCGTTGGATTTCATATTCTAGATAGGGAACACACAGTCCCGTCAGCCCCTGTATCTCCAGATGCACTGCACAAGGACCCCACTCACGTCAACTTGCTCCGACGTCCACGTATCCATGGTCAGCGACTTGACCTTGGAGATGTGCGTGCCCAGCTTGCGGTGCAGCGCGGCGCAGCGCATGCACAGGAAAATCCCCATCTGTTGGGGAACGTCAGTCTGAGGGGAATAATTCGAATGCTAACAACCGATGATCACATACGTTCCAGCTCGCCCATCCTAGGAAACGATGTTAGTCTCGGGGGGAAATCCGTTGCGTTCGGGGGGGGAGGATATGGGACACACCTGGAGTCGCAGCACCGCAGTCGGCACAACGGTCATTGCCAGGGACCACGCGGAGCAGCTCCGCGAGGGCCTTCTCATTACGCTGCTGCTGACGCTTGCTGATGCCCGTCCGCATGGTGTCGAGCGAGCGGAGTGAGAGCTCAGGGCAGGAAAGGGGAAGGTGAGGAGGGAGAGTTCGTTCCGGCTATCCGGGGCGGAGAAATGCTGAGGGGCAAAAGGAGTTACGTCGGACGATCAGTTGCAGAACCTGATGGGCAAGAATGTGTCGATCAGGGATGATAATCCTGGATTTTACAATGATGGCCTAAATATATAATCGGACCTTAATCGCAAGGATGAAGACTAATCGCGTGGCATTATGGTCTTTCTGGTCTACATAGTTCCCCGGGCTCTTTCCAGAACACCCCTGGATACAAACACACGATCCTGCTGAATAATCTCCAATTCTACAATTGCATGTCCGGGCAGCAGTGGCTCGCATCCACCACTGCGCTGGGCAGCACCGAAGCACCGCCCAGAGCCGTCGAGGAGCCTTATGATGCCCAGGGTTTCCTTCTAGTACGCCAATATGACCTGCCATCCTATGGCAGAGAGGAATTGGAGGTTGATTATGCGTTCGTCAATTTCATGATATAGTGTGAAGAAGAAAGAGAAAGGAAAGTCTCACCAGAGAAGAAAATTCACGATGCGCATCACGTGAGATGGGTCACGTGGGGTCGGGGCCTTTTCTTCCCACTTTTCCATTTTCTCTCTTTTGCTTTTCATCCATCAACTGAACCCAACAACAACACAACCCTGCTCGGCCGTACTGTGCGACTGATTCATTCTTTGATGTTTAAGGATGCCATTCACACTCGAGTCCCGAGACAGACCATAGACACACCCACACAGCCCGCGTGGTGCCTTTCTCCGTGGCACCCGACGCTTTGCTATTTTATCGTTATCGTTCGTGGGAGATCGAAACCAAACAGTTTTTAGCAGAGCTGCGTCTACTCCACCCTGGTGCTTGCTTTCAGTAGAGCAGCAGGACTTTTTTACGACGGACATTTCAGGAATAATATCAATGCCATTTCTTCTTTTTTTCTCGCGTCTCCTGTTACTGGGACAGCTGGGCCCAGATCCCTGTGCTCTTCCATCCTGTAGTGGCCGTTCAATTGAACGTGTAAGGTTATTGGTATCTTCTGCAGCAGGTCAGACCCATAGGTACTGAGTGATTCTACGTAGACGAACTGAATGCAGGTCTTCCGGTTATTCAACTGTGATTCTTCTTCGACCGCAGCGACCTAGTACCACCCTAGACGGATTTCTGCGCTATCTATTTGAGATGGAAATAATCGGCGACATATGAATCATGTAAATCTTGTCGCCGACTACTATCCGATGATGTGACGGGGTCCCTTGATGACACCAATAATATAAATCCGAACCCACGGACCGGCCCAACCCGCGCCACACAAACGCCGTGCAGCCATGGATCACCAAGTATATGCGATGGGCATTGCTGCTTATCAAATATGGCCAATATCTTTCCTGTCTTGTTCTCAATTACTCAGATCTCTGACCTAGAACCATCCATGAGTCAGCGCCACTACGGAGTTCCGGTGGGCCCATTATCGGCTGGACGTGCCAGTGAGCGTGTTCCTGTTGGTAAGACCGACCCGCTGCCCGGTGGGACTCTTGTCAGTTCTTGCGATGCCCTCGGAGAATGGACCGGCGGCAATTAACGGGAAAGAGGTGTCTCTGTGCTGCGCTCTATCCCTCGAGGGCAAGAGATATAAAAAAAACATAGAGACGATGCATGGATGAAAGCTGATCACACCAGTCCGTCAACCAGCGCTGTGTAGATATAGGACTTAACCGAGGCCCGCTATCAGTGGTTGTAGGGATTGAATGGGCAGAGCTGATCGGTACAAGTACTGCGCCTGCCCTCCCCGGGTTCTTCCTTCTTCCATCCCATCCACACTCCCTTGTGTTCTCTTCGTTCCCACCCACGCTCCCTTCCACCTTCACAATGGCTTCCGCTGCCCGCTCTGCTTCTCGTCTCCTTCGCTCTGCTCCGGCCTCCTTCCGTCCGGCGGCTCGCAGTGCCCGCTTCGCTCTTCCCGCGCAGGGTGTCCGTGTCGCGGCCCGTCGTGGATATGCCTCCGAGGCCGGCTCGGGCAAGTCGTCTGGTGGCTCCGGCGCGATCTGGGGTATCGGTCTGGCCGCCGCTGGTGGTGCCGGACTGTACTTCTACCTGAACGGTGAATCCACGCCCAAGGGTCCCTTCGTCCCTACCAAGGAGGACTACCAGAAGGTGTACGACGAGGTCGCTAAGCTTCTGGCCGCTGAGACCGACTATGATGATGGCAGCTACGGTCCGGTAAGCAATGACACTATTCGCAGCAGACAGGGTGAGGCACTAACACTTTGGTGTCCATACAGGTTCTCGTCCGCCTGGCCTGGCACGCCAGCGGCACTTATGACAAGGAGACCGGCACCGGTGGCAGCAACGGCGCCACCATGCGATTCGCACCCGAGTCGGACCACGGCGCCAATGCCGGTCTGAAGATCGCCCGCGAGTTCCTCGAGCCCGTCAAGGCCAAGTTCCCCTGGATCACCTACTCGGACCTGTGGACTCTGGGCGGTGCCTGCGCCATCCAGGAGCTGGGCGGTCCCCAGATCCCCTGGAGACCCGGCCGTGAGGACAAGGACGTGGCCGCCTGCACGCCGGACGGCCGTCTGCCCGATGCCGCCCAGGGCCAGCGCCACATCCGCGACATCTTCGGGCGCATGGGCTTCGACGATCGCGAGATGGTCGCTCTGATCGGAGCGCACGCCCTGGGCCGCGCCCACACCGACCGATCCGGCTTCGATGGTCCCTGGCAGTTCAGCCCCACGTCCTTCAGCAACGAGTTCTTCCGTCTTCTTGTTGAGGAGAAGTGGAACAAGAAGAAGTGGAACGGCCCCGTTCAGTTCACCGACAAGTCGACTTCCACCCTGATGATGCTGCCCGCCGACATGGCACTGGTCAACGACCGCACTTTCAAGAAGCACGTCGAGCGCTATGCGAAGGACAACGATGCCTTCTTCAAGGAGTTCTCCGATGTCTTTGTCAAGCTGCTCGAGCTGGGCGTGCCGTTTCAGACCGAGGACCGCTTCGTCTTCAAGACTTCCGAGTAGAGGGTTGGTTGAGCGCTATTTGACTGTTTTTAGATATCCGAAATTTTCCTGTCTGATCGGCAGAGACTGTTAGATTGTTAGACGGGCTGTTAGATGTTAGAATGTATAAATGCCTTGTTTGTCCGTGCTCTACAACGCAGTATCAAGTGTGGTGGTCAATGTTGTTGTGAGGTGTATTGAGTGGCGTCTCGCGCCCGCCATTTCTTTCGGCTTTCCTTCTTTTCATTCCCGAGACCACCCTCCAACCAACCCCTGCCCTCCCTCCCTATTTAACTACCCCAGGAATTCATTCGCTTGGATCCCTGGCCAGGGCGGTTGGGCCTCTGCGCTAGTCCAGTGCTGCATCTGCACTAACCCCGTCGAACACTACCACCGCCACCACTGGCGACGCCTTTCAAGAATGCCCAAATCGGCCTCCACCGACGCCGACTATTATGCGATCCTAAACCTGCCCTTCACGGGCTCCTCCGGCCTCATCCTCTCGAAGCAGCAGATCAAGCTTGCCTACCACAAAGCCCTGCTCGCGCACCACCCCGACAAAGCGAGCCCGATCGCCGTCGCCGACGAGCCCGCACTCCAAGGAGCAACTCCCCACCAAGCACCAGGACGAGGACAAGGTCAAGGAAAGGCACAACAGCGAACCTACACAATCGACGAGATTACCACCGCCTACAAAACCCTCTCAGATCCCTTCTTGCGCGCAGACTATGATCGCGCGCTACGCTTAGACCGGGCGAAGGTTGCGGAGCGGGAGAAGACGGGCGATGTGTTTCACACGGGGCTGGAGATTGTGGACCTGGAGGATCTGGAGTGCGATGAAGATGGTACAGGCGCGACAGTGTGCTGGTATCGTGGCTGTCGGTGCGGCGATGAGAGGGGATTCCTGGTTACGGAGGCTGATCTCGAGAGGGAGGCTGAGCATGGTGAGATCGTGCTCGGGTGTCGTGGGTGCAGTCTTTGGCTGAAGGTTCTTTTTGCGGTTGAGGATGTGTGAAAGGGTTGCATTCTTTTATGAATGTTTTCTTCACGCTGTCTCTATGATTATGCTCTTGCTCGACCTGATATCACCCGGTTTTGCCCTGTCTGACTGGTGTGATTCCATTCGCAAGTTGCGCTGGTTGTTCTAGGCCTTCAGTGCGCTAGGATGAGGAAACTTTGCTGAAAGATCAACCTTGCGCCGCTTTCTCTGGACTGTTAATCAGACCAGGCGACTGATACTGAGGCCATGCATTCGAGTGCTTGGAACAGAAGCTCCGTCTCAACTGACATCCGCCAGTATTATGCTTCTTCTTACACTGGATATCATCCACGAGGATTGCAGGTGCTCGGGTTCAAGGGCTCGATCTCCCTGCTCAGTCATCCAGCAGGCTTGAAGGTCTCAATGGTCTCATCCATAAATCCATTCGGGATCTTGATAAATCTTCACATGGGGTGAATAGATATATGTATTATGATAGTCATGAACTCAATGCGCTTTGCTTGTTCTCGCCATTTCCTAGTGTACGCTTGGGTATCCAGTGGTTGAGATGGCCAAGGTATATATATGTATATATATTCGCTCTAGAAAAACTGGGGATATAAAGATACAGAAAACAAAAGGAATCATTCCAAGATAGAATACATCAATACAGACTGACGGGGTTATGATTGAATTTGGATGGTGGTTGCTGCTGTCGAGAGGTGGATGACATACACCGTGCCAGACACAACAAACAACCGCCATTTTCTCTTCGTCATCTCTTCTCACCTTCTTCACCTTCACCTCTCCGCCTCCACCCACCATGCCTCCCATCCAAATTACATCGGCAGAGCAGTTCAACTCTCTGCTCACGTCTTCCCGTTTCGTTGTCGCCGACTGTAAGTACTGTGCTCGTGCCCCGCGCCGAATCATCTACCCCGCGACCATCGCTCTTCCACCAACCTGACCTGATCAAAAGCTGACTGACTTCTCGGATCTCCAGTCTATGCCGATTGGTGCGGGCCATGTAAAGCAATCGCTCCGGTGTACGACTCGCTGTCCACGCAGCTCTCGCGCCCGAACCTCATCACATTCACCAAGATCAACGGGGATCAGCAGCAAGCGCTCGCCCAGGCATATTCTGTGTCAGCGTATGCATATCTACGAGCATGACAAGAAACACCCGGCGCTAATCATTACACCTATTTAGATACCCTACCTTCATCGTGTTCGAAAATGGTCGCAAAACCCAGACAGTTCAGGGCGCCGACCCCCGAAAATTGAACGAGGTCATCCAGAAGCTTGCGTCGGAAGCAACCAAGTCGGACAGCGCGTCGGGACAAGCTGGCGAGGGAAGCGGATCCGGCGGCACCTGGCTGGGTGCTGCTGTGCCTAGGGGATACAGCGACATCACCGACCAGGTCGACCAGAAGGGACTGGAGCTTCTGAACCGGGACAGCCAACATGCGCTCCCAAAAACGCTCTTTGAAGCCTCGAAGCCGTCTGCCCTGACAGGAAAAGGCAAGGCCGGTGAAAAGGACTGGGTCGAGAGCGACACCGACGAGCAGCTGATGCTCTACATCCCCTTCCAGTCGACGCTGAAAGTGCACACCCTCCATGTGACCTCATTCCCTCCCTCCGCCGACGACGCCGAAGACCCCGACGAGGTGCCGATGCGACCCAAGACCGTCTCACTCTATACGAACCGCTCGCATGTGCTTGGATTCGACGAGGCGGAGGATACCGTTGCGGTGCAGACGATTGAAATCAAGCCCGAGGACTGGGACTCCAAGACGGGGACGGCGAAGCTAGATCTGCGATTTGTCAAGTTCCAGAGCGTGACCACGCTGGTCATGTTCTTTATCGATGGCGACGGAGACAGCGACAAGCTGCGCGTGGACCGCATTCGCATCATTGGCGAGGCGGGCGAGAAGCGCGCGATGGGCAAGCTGGAGAAGATTGGCGACGAGCCCGGCGAGTAAATTCTAAGCGACGCCAACATTCATCGATACGAGCCAGTCCAACGACCCAGCGAGCATATCCTACTACACCAATAAAGAAAGCAAAGAACACATTGATTGAATCAAATTGAAGTATTTTGTACGCTAGAAGTAAAAATAAAAGACAAGAGCAGTGCTCGAGTCAGGGTATGTCCGATCCCAAACCAAATGGTCTCATCCTTGAACGATCAGAAAGACCAATAAAGTAAGAACCGGTGTGCAATTCCGTTCGTCTGTGACGCAACTGACACCTGGTTTAACATCACTGAAGAGATGTCCAGGCAACACGGGTGAAATAGTAGTTGCGCCGCCGCACGAAGAAGAAAAGAAAAAAGAAGCAACCGAGTTTTGCGGCGAGCGAGTTTTATGGTGGGCAGAACGGAAGAATGGTTGTTCCATGTATTATGTAAGCAGACCCAGCAACATTGAACATTTTTTCCTCGATCGTGTTTTTCTTTTTTTTTTTTTTTTTTTTTCGCTAAAACAATTTATGGCTGATGATGAGCTCAATGGATTTCATATGATAGGAAGAGACTGACTCCTTCTGGGAGCGTGATCTCACTTTAACCATATCCTGAGGCCTGCTTGTTTTGTTGTCTTTGATTGGAATCTGATGAATATCAATCGATCGGTATGGACAGTTGAAGCTGTCCTTCAAGGGATCAAGTGAAATCCTCTAGAGCAGAGCATTATATCCGAAAGAAGGTTCAAGAGAACATCGTGACTGTCATGTCAGTTGCAGCGGCTGTGTTTTGTTTTCGTGAAAATGTTCTCCCGGGACCAGGAGGACCTGCAAAGTGCATACAATTTCTTTTCTAGCTCCTAGCCGAGCCATCATGGCGACACTAAAACTCGCATCCACTGGACTCACTGGTTCTCGTTTGCTTTGACGCAATCATATGATCGCGGCTGAATCCGATTCTTGGATCTCGTGGAGCAGATTGTGCATCGTATCATCAATTTAGGGCCCGCATCATCCACTTAGGGAAAACGGTGTGAATTGCACCGGAGGCTGCCGGGTCCATCCAAGATGAAACAGGGAGGAGGGTCTTTGTCTGTCTGGCTGTCGGATAGTACCGTTACTCCAGCCAGTCCTGAGTTGGATGCCTAGATGCAATCTTTCTCCACTGTAGGTTCGTTTCAGCGCATGGATTTCGTCGGCAAGCTCATGCATGTGTATCGTAGACAAAACTCATGGACTGGAAAGAGGCAATCCAAAACGCATCCGAAGATGCATAGGAGATCCGAGTGATAGGCCGGCTGAAACAATGTATATCAGTACAATGCTGCCGCACAGAGCTTGGTGAGCCAGTATCTCTGACTCAAGGGTATCCATTTGCGTCGGCAAATTCGCAAAACATCATCCCATCTTTGATCTCAGCATGGTTGTTGAAATGAGAGACCCGCTGTTTCCGGGCATCCTCGACCCGAGAAATGTGCGCTGTACATTATTCAGACAAAAAACCAACAGGACGCGATCGGTGGACAGTATCCACCGTTCAGCGGGCCGTAGATTTTTTAGAAACAGATCAGTACAAACCCGACAGATTGAACTAGAATACTGTAATGCAATGCATTCGCTGAAGGTATTGATGGCAAGAAGTGCTGCGGCTGTGATAGGACATGACGAGCGTTCAGTTCAGCTCTGCATTGCCGGCTGAGCATGCACAGCGCCACCCAATCTTTGCACTGCACCGACTCGCCATCGGACACGCCGCTTGCTGCAGCGCCCATGTGCTCAATCCAAGGCGAATAATCGGTTACGTACTGAGATGGCTCAGTTTTGATGAGAAAGGTTGACTAACTTCTCAGAACTTGGCAATGGCGACAAGCCACGCATCTTCAAGGTCAAACTAAAACTACACGGCCAGTTTCCGAGGCGTAAAATGGAGCCCGACGGCGATCGCGATGGCGCGAGAGAGCAAATTACTGCGAACAGCATACACGTGCCTAAGTTTGCTTCTTCAGGGACCCTCTTTGGGTTCTTTTTTTTGGTATGTATTCGGCAGGTACGGGAACTTATGCACACTGTGGACGGTGTATCCACTGTGAGCGGAAGATTCGCATGCAATGGAGACGTGAGGACCACATGGACAAAGTATTGTATTGATTGGTCATTTGGAATACCACAGTCCCGGGTTGAGGACCACACTGGAACCAAAACCACGAAATCGCACAGGATGTAGATCAAGATAGCGCTGTGTGCGAGGGAAATGGCATCATCGTCGGTGCCAGGGACCTTGCCCGGGTGTTTTAACTCGGGCTCCAGTCGTACCATAGATCGAGGGTGGTCGGCCGGAGATACGACATCGGAGTGCTATCTTATGGAAGATGTCGTGTCCTCCATAGATGCGCTGGCGGTATCTGTGGTCATTAGTTGCAATCTAAGGATCTTGTTCTTTGGGCGTGGTTCGTCGTGTCGATCCAACCACACCGACAGAGCATAGATTAATGGAAAGTCGGAAGCGAATTGGTCGACACTTGGCAGTATCGTATGTACTGGTTGGTGCACCCATTCAGACCCAGAACTCAGACCACGGGTCGTAGTCTATCTCCGCATTTTCGATCGTGCCGAACAGAGACATCAATCCTTCGATCGCTATCGCTTGGACCGAATTGGCTTTCTGATAGGCTCCACGCAGCCTTCGACCCAGAAGTATTGTGGAAACAAGTGGAGATAACCTGGTTCATCCTTCACCCGCCCGCGCCAGACACGGAAAAAGTCTCAATTGCTGCAGATTGGCGGTCGCGAGATTTGGAGCACTAACTACTAGTAACCTAATTTAACTTACAAGGTGCGTCCAGAAAATTCCATCCATTGGGCGAACGGCAAAACCCTTTTTGGCCCTTCTACCGCTCTCGGGAACACGGTGGCTGGGGGATAAGCAGCAGATCTTGCCCGAAGCTTCCATATCCCACGTTCCGACGGCAGCGATAGCTTAGGTGCTAGTCAGTAACAGCTAGCTAGCTTCGTGGTGGCGTGGGTAGTCCACGGCGACCAGTCCCAAGGTCCTTCTTGGAAAAGCAGGTCCCAAGCGATAACAAGCTAGCAAGGCCGATCAAAAGGACCAAAAAAAAAAAACTGGAGATTGGCAATCCCCATCTGGGAATAGCGTCGGGATAGCCAGCCAGTGGGCGCGCCCCAAGGGCCTTTTAGGTCCTTTTTCCAGACCGGTGAACTGTGGTTCAGAGATCTCAAGTCCGGAGAAAGCGTCCGGATGGATTTCTTTATCCCGCACGTGCGCTGCAACCCTAAGTTGTATTGAGATCGACTGTGTGCATCGACACTGAATTGGGGGCGTGCGCTTGCTCGCCCATGGATACATTACGCTGACAGCTGTTTCTTTGGGATGTGTAGCCGAGTGAGCTATCTCTCCCCCCGCACCGTTCGGTGTGTATCGCTTGGTCGCTTAGCTACGGTTTTAGGTGTATTCAGGCAAAATGCCAGCAACCCCAGCCACATGCTGTTGCTCCGAGGTCCTGGGGTTTCGGATGGATGGAAAATGGCGAAATTGTCATTGTGGCAACTGCGTCAAAGGGCCGTTGCGTGCCCTGTGCGTCTGCTCGAATTTCGCCGCTGGGCTTTCTTTCAGCCCGTAGGCTATAGGACACTGTGTACACCGTGTACACCGTGTCCACGATTGTAATAATCTCTGACGACGGGCCGCCCCAAGTCTGACCTGAGACAACCGACCGACACAAGACATTCACTCTATAGCAGTAAGACAAGCCACACACGCCGCAGCGGCGAAATCCTACACTACGATGGACTGTACATGAATCAGAAACGCCATCTGAGTGCACAGTAGCAGGAGTTAGTTACCGCCTCATCCCGACCCAAAGCCTCATTGGCTACCGGGCCTCGCCGTAGTCTCTCCACCACCTTCTTGTTCCAGTATGGCTTAGGAACCCGAAAGACGCCACACCGAGGCGCCTAGAAAAACAAGCAAGTGCACCGCGAACACACAAAAAGTATCGGCTCCGCATGGCAGGGGCCGCGACGACCTCGTGCGCGAAATTCATCCGGGCGTCTGGCGTTTGGCTGGCGCTGGTGTGAGAAGAATGGGTCTCGAATCCTCGAACGCCCGGACTGCACGGGCAGGATGGACAGTACAGTTATCGGCGAGTGGACCAAGGCCCCGGCGCACTAGTGCCAAATTGCGTAGTTTTCCTGTGTGCATTCCGCGCAGAGACAAAGGCGGGAAGCATCCAGGCACTGTTTCAGATTCTGTCTGCCAAAACGTCGCGCGGAATGGACCGCCGCACAGACTTTAGTCCTCTACGTGCCGGCCTCAAACTAAAAATCCCGCTGGGTCGGTTTCTCCACATGGACTATGGATGGAGACCGTACATTAGTTTCTTGGGGAAATTGAATGATCTGCGCATTATCAGAGTCAAATTACGGTCGATGGTCGGGATTAGCTTCTCTTATGGGCGTAACTAGCCGGCATTGAGTTATTCTAGCTTCGGGTGTGAGTTTACCTCCGGTTTTCACTATACTTTGTTTCCTGCAGAGTTAAAACAACGAGATAAGCGGTACGGATCCGAAATTTCCGCGCATATTCGGCCGTCGCTATCCGCCTGGTTCAGATTGGATTGACTAAGACAGAAAACACTGGCCTCCGCAATATTGCAAAGCCATGGCTAGTATGATGTATCCATGAAGCTGGTGTCATTATTCGTCCCGGCGAAGCTGCTCTGCTCCACCAGGCCACATTATTGGATTTGCGACGCTGTCTGGTCTAGTTGACGCCTCTATGATACTATGTGAAGTCTCATGAGGCGAAAAAAAAAACAATAATAATTGAAAACTAATGAATTGAACCCTGCTATGGTCAGTTGTGGTGGCGAACGAACACTATTCACCAAGCTCGAACGCTATTTGTCTGTAAATCCTGTAAATCCCTCGACGGGGGATCCACTTTCTTTGGCATGGGAATATCACTCACTCTGACTAGTCCAGAATCCGCAATCCCTGGCGTGTTCCGTGCTTGTTGGAGGGAGGTAAGCTTCAGGCAATGCATGGGAGATGTCAACCTGTCCGTTTGGGAAAGAAGACCCTTGCAGCGTACAAAGTGTGGTGCATAGCATCTTTTGTACATGTATAATTTGACTCTTTGCGCAGAGTCGACTGGTCAACTTCCAAGGTCCTCGTCACTCGGGAACAAGCATGACGATCGCCAACGGTTTCTCGCATTTCTGGGTCAATGCTGACTGTGTGATTTGTCGAGTGAAATGAGCATCGTCGCGCCATCCCGCCGCACCCGTTTACAATCGCACGACCTTTCCTTAACTGCTCGTTATAATAGTAGACTATTCCTGGCAATAATTCGAATAATCCATGGGCGACGAGCTCCATTTGCGTTGATCCACTTCTCAGGCACGGGAGCCACTTGGATGGCTGAGGCGAGCAATAATATTGGACCATCCGCGCATCCTCCAGTTTTTTTATGGGTCTTCACCGAGTTACAGTCGGTCTCGAGCAGCCGGTGTAGATTACAATCTCGTCTTTCCACAGCTTCTTCTGCAGTTGTTCGTAGTCTCTGCTGCGGTTCGTAGTCCGTCCCGTGTATGAAGTCACTCTGAACCGTTCCATTGCTATTTCTATGTTGTTTCTATTTTTTGTTCCCCGTTCCGGTCTCGGTTGCGGTGAAGGGACGAAGGGCTCCGACGCAATCCATTCAATAGAATAATACCTCAAAAAATCGATCCTCCGTCTGTGCGATTACGGTGGCGGCGGCAAGGATTCGGGAGGGTCGCTGGCGTTGAGCAATAGCAACAACCGAGCATATGGATCAAATTTAGAAAATTTCCTTTCGCGTCATCGTAGAACATTGATTGTTGGGCTCTCCCTAGCTGACAGGCAACGATCATAGACCAAATTAGGTTCTCGAACCACATATGACAGCCTTCCATGCATGGCCTTTCCCCCTTCCAACTAGATGGATTTTTGTCACTACGTCTGGGATGGAAATAAGTGACCTTGAGGACTTGTGGACATCGATGGGTCCCGCCAAGGATGATCCGACACAGTTTCCAATTTCCAGTGATCACGTCATTGGCTGGGGAAGAGTGGAAGGCCCGCCCGAGCCGCGATCTAACCTCAAAAAGCAAGGAAGTGGATATCGCGCTATGTTTAGAGGCCAATCGAGCACCGTGGAGGTCCGCGCTGGGCCTCACGCAGGAATGATGAAATCCACTGGATTTCGAGGGCAGGCCTGGACTCGATCATTGGGGGAAAAAAAGAAAAATTTGTATCAGTGGTAGGTTATGTGCCACAGCCGAGCAGTGACCCAAGCATTTGGACCGGACCTTGCTTGCTTGTGCAGGCGGCTGTGCGGTGTGCTGGGAGAGTGGCTGTCTGTCGGCCATGGTTGGTGTGATGTCTTGTCCAGTATCGACCGATCACACAGGTCTTGTGTGGTTTTCCCCGGATCTGCTCTACTGATCACATCACCGCACAAATGGGACAAGTGGTCTTCGCGACCTGGCTGAGAGGGTGCCCAATCGCAACCGGGCCTCGCAGTGCGATGACATGGGAGGTGCAGTTCGGCGTGCCTCGGCGGCTGCATGAACTTGGGGCCATGAACAAAAGAGAAGTATGGCCTGTCATCTGGAGCCTTGCCTCTCACGGATGCGCCCGCGACCAATCAGCAAGCGGGCGGCCTGTGCTCGTTTCCAGACGGTTCCTGCAGTAGGACGCGTAACTCGACCAGCTTCAGCGCGGAGGATGGCCTGACCATCCGTCAATGGGAGGGAGACCTGAATCATGGAGGCGCGGGCAAGAGGAAAGCGTCAATTGACTTCATGTGGCGAACCAACCGATCCTCGGTTTGGGTGTTGCACTCGTAGCTGGGATCATATGAAATTGTCACTAGCGGAGGCGACTGCCGACCGTTTCACGATCGCGATGGTCGCACGGTGTGTGTGTGTGTACTGATCTGCGTATGGAGATACCACGCCATACAGATAGGGAATGGATGGACCAGACGGGATTATCGTGGGGCCAAGCGAGGGCTGCTGCGCCCACGGGCAATGGCCATTGGCCCCCAAGATAAGCCCTCGTGCGTTACCCGCCAACATCTCTCACATCTGGTATGCGTTCACCTACCGGACGTGAGCTGAAGGTGAGGGCATCCATCTGTCTCTGCTTTGTCGCCCTACCCTTCTACCCGTCCATCACTATCACACTTGCCCAGGATTATTCTCTCTCCGCACTACCCATACTCGTGCGCACTCCACCGTCTAACCCGTTTAGGCCACTGGCCGAGTGGATTCAGAGTTGGCCCGATACAGGCTGGACGCTCCCCCCTGATTGGGTCCGTCTGGCCTGCGCCCCACGGCCCTCCGCTTCCTACGGGAACTGAGCCCTCGCCATCATCATCATACCCAATCCCGCCCCGGACTAAATTACCATACAGCTGGTACCACCGATAATCCGAAATAAATAAATAAATCAATAATAATAAAATAATAATCATACGTCCCCAGTGGGGCCAACACTAAGACCGGCAGTGGAAAGCAGCACCAGGCAGATCACCTCTTTTATCCACCCCCGTCACCCTCTGCACTGGGTTATGCCTCTCTTTTCAGACCAGATTGCCCATCTTGGCCCTGTCTCTCTTTTGTCCCCGTTTTTTCTTTTCTCTATCAACTACTAGTATTTTCGGTTTGACTTTTTTGGGTTTCGGGGTTCCTTCGACTGATTATTTTGGATCCGTCTCGTCCTTTCCTTTCCTCACTTGTCTGTCTCCCGGTCCCTGTCCCAGGTGAACCTGTCCTTCATTTACTACAAGTGCCCTCGTCCACCTATCTATCGATCTATCGATCTATCTAATTGTCCTTCCCGCTTGGCTTGTCCATTCCACTCATTCGCTTGAACTCCACACTCCTTCTCTCGCCTGGAGAACCTATCCGTTCGCCCAGGCGCCTTGAATCCAGTCCGTTGCTTGTGCGACAGGATTGAAAGAAAAAAAAAAGTCCTAATACCAGGTGAGTCGGGATCTTTCTCCCAACACAGCGCATGCGCAAAGACTGACCCGGGTCTAGAAATGGAAACCACATACATGGCGCCGGCCCCAGGGCACGGCCAGCCCTCGTTCGCCTACTACGACTCTTCCCAGCCCAGACAACCAGGTGCCTTCACCAGTCAACCGTCCGACCTGCCGTACTACGGACAGATGCCGCCCCAACAGCAGCAACAGCAGCAGCGGGGATCAGAGCAGCCCATCTACTCGGCGCAGCCCGTCATGAATATGCACCAGATGGCCACGACCAACGCCTTCCGGGGCGCGGCGATGAGCATGACTCCCATTGCTTCACCGCAGCCGTCGCAGATGAAGCCTGCCATCATCGTCCAGCAGGGCTCGCCCGCGCTGATGCCGCTGGACACTCGCTTCATTAATCACGACCTGTACGGGTTCCCATCAACGCCGCCTCTCTCTTCCTCCGGGAGTACCATCAGCAGCCCCCCGTCGGCCAATTGCACATTGCACACGCCAACTGCCGATGGCTTCTTCTCTTTTGAGAAGGTGGAGGGCGTCAAGGAAGGCTGTGAGACCGATGTGCACACCGAGATCTTGGCGCACCCGGAATGGGCCCGTTCCGACTCTCCTCCGATGACACCTGGTAAGCCTATGAGCAAATCTCGGAGAATAAAGGAAGGGAAAGAAAATAAAGCAAGAGGACTGACGGACTTCCAGTGTTTATCCACCCGCCGTCTCTTACCGCCAGCCACGCATCCTCGGATCTCTTATCCGCTAACTCGTGCCCTTCACTCTCCCCTTCGCCTTCTCCCGTTCCCAGTGACTTCCTGACCCAGACCCAATCGCTCTCGGGCGAGTCTTCGGTTGCTGGCGCTGACTTCTGTGACCCGCGCCAACTCACCGTGGAGCCTTCCGTCAATGTTCCCGCCCAGGATCTCCCACCTTTGCCGACCCTCTCGTGCGAGGAGGAATACCCGCGCGCAGTCGTGGGCAGTCCCTCCGTGACCCTGCCTGTCAATAAGAACCCGTCTCCAACTTTCACCACCTCATCCACCGAGGACCCGCTGAGCTCGCTGCCGACCTTTGACAGCTTCTCGGATCTGGACTCCGATGACGAGTATGTGAACCGCCTGGTCGACTTCCATCCGGGCGGCAGCGCCGTCTACCTGGGTGACAAGCGCCAGCGGGTTGGCACCTACATGGCCGAGGATGATGGGTTCCTCAGCGAGCATGACCTGGACGATGTGGAGGAAGAGGGATACCACGTTCCCTCTGTTCCCTCTTTTGAGTGGCCCGAGTCTGCTCATCCCCAGGCCGCTGAGAGCGAGGACTCTGACGTGGAGGAGACGCAGATCAAGAAGCGCTCCAACCGCAAGTCGTCGCGCAAGAGCTCCGCTATCCAGGACGATGCGGATGTCCAGAAGTCGACCTCGTCGCCTGACAGTGACTGCGCATCGCGCGAGGGTTCCGAGTCAGCACCCGTGTCGGTGAACCGCCGCGGCCGCAAGCAGTCCCTGACGGAAGACCCGTCCAAGACGTTCGTGTGCACTCTCTGCTCGCGTCGGTTCCGTCGCCAGGAGCACCTCAAGCGCCACTACCGTTCGCTCCACACGGAGGACAAGCCCTTCGAGTGCAACGAGTGCGGCAAGAAGTTCTCTCGCAGCGACAACCTCGCTCAGCATGCCCGGACGCACGGCGGCGGTTCGATCGTCATGGGCGTCTTGGATCCCAATGACGTCGCCGCCGGCTCTTTCGACGAGCAGCAAGAGAATGGTGCACTGGGCGCCGTCATGTACGAGGCCTCCTCCCAGTCGGGCTCTGAGGAGGTGCCCGCTGTGGACCGCCGGCCTGCGAAGAAGCGCAAGCGTGAGGCAGCGGCCTAATCGCCGCCGTCTTGTCTCGGCGCGTTCACGATTTCTTATGAGACCAGGAAGCTTCCTACTGCATATATAATACTACACACACTGTCGCCGTCTTCTTCCTCGGACGACCGCGGCGGTGGGTCTTGATTGGGTTTGGCGTCCGGGCATTTACACTGGTGGTTGTCGGGAAACACAGCAGGGGTCATCGGTGTCTCGGCAGCTTTGTTCTTAGCGAACGGGGACACTCATCACCCTTTTGGCCTCGATTTGCCTGGGTCTTCGGAGAGAGACATGGGGCGTTTTTTCCCTCCATGAAGGAGAAAAAACAAAAGAAGGGAACATAGAGCGAATGATGTGGCATCTGTTCTACCCTTGGTACCGTTGACAGGTCGCCAAGGTGGTTTTTCTTTTCCTTTGTTTGTGTCTTGTTGTTTTTCCTTTCCTCTGACCAGCACAATCGGCGTGGGCACTGATGTGTCGAGCTCACTTCGGCCGATTTGGTTTTCCTTCTTCGTGAACCCCCCCCTTTTTTGATTTCCTTTCTGACCATCTCGTTCATCTTTCTTCCTGTCATATTTCATGTAATCTGCTCTTTGGCCCTTTTTTTTTGTCTTGTGCTGGTCACATTCCTGTATAAGTTAATTGACCACTCCCCTTCCATACCCCTTTTTGTACTGTTCTTGTCTACCCCGTTTGTGTTGGTCTGATCTCCCATCTAGCGCAGATGTTGAATTCACATACACTCTATTTGAGCATGATCTGGTTCTAGTAAACAATGTCTTCTGTAGCGTAGTTAGTACTTGGGGTCGTAGGTCTGTCTGTCTTGATAGGAATCCCGAGTCTTATCGATAAGAACTGCCCTCCGCAATTGGCGAAAAAGTTGTTGCTTCATCGATAACACAGAACACAGAGGGATACACACACCATGCCTCCTGTCCCTCCGGATTCGGGACTAAATGTCATCGCCCTGATCTCCGGCGGCAAAGACTCGCTCTACTCCCTGCTACACTGTATCCGCAACGGCCACCGAGTTGTGGCGCTGGCGAATCTGTACCCAGAGCCAAAGAAGAACCCAGATTCCCAACATGCTAGTGCGACCAAAGAGGAGGCGACAGCCACAGAGCAAGAAGAAGAGACGGAAGATATCGACAGCTTCATGTACCAAACAATCGGCCACAGCGTCATCCCGCTCTACGAACCCGCCCTGGGCATCCCCCTCTATCGGGCCCCAATCACAGGCGATGCGGTCGACACCGCAAGAATATACCGACACGACGCAGCAGATCAAGCAGCCGAGACAGACAGCCTGCAAGACCAAAAAGAAGATGAGACTGAATCACTGATGCCCCTCCTCCGGCGCATCAAAGAAGCCCACCCAGAGGCCAACGCCGTCTCAGCCGGCGCCATCCTCTCGACGTACCAGCGCACGCGTATTGAGAACGTCGCTGCCCGTCTTGGGCTGGTGCCCCTAGCGTGGCTGTGGATGTATCCCACTCTCCCGCCGCCGACGGAACGCCAGACGGATTCCATGGCCGTGACCGAGGCAGGACTGTTGGAGGACATGGCTGCTTGCGGATGTGAAGCGCGCATTATCAAGGCTGCGTCGGGCGGACTGGATGATGGGTTTCTGTGGGGGAGATGTCTCGGGGGACCGTCCACTGCGCAGACGCATCGTTAAGGCTATGAGGCGCTTTGCGGCACCTGAGGATCTTCGTGGCGCGGTTCTTGGTGAAGGGGGGGAATACGAAACGCTAGCTCTCAATGGGCCTGGTTTTCTATGGAAACAGAGGATTGAGATTGACTCCAGAGAGACTCAGACGGCGGAAGGTGGAGTGGCTTTTATGAGTTTGAAGGGGGCGCGCTGTGTGCCTAGAGATGCGGAACAAGAGGGAGCACTCTCTCCGCAAGACGTGAGGAGACCGGCTTTGTTGGATGCGCCATTTGCTTCTTTTGCTTTGGAGGACCAATCTTCTCCACCGCTATCATCACTATCGGGTTCTACTACAGAGACCAGTGTGACTACAGAATGGGCTGGCTGCGAGCCTGTTCATCGGCAGACAGGAACGGCCTGGACAATTTCGAATCTGACTGCGCCCGAGGCTGGTACCGGTGCCGGGGAACAGATGAAGGGCATCGCCGATAAGATCCAGCAAGAATTGAACGCATCTCATGCCCGATCGACAGATGATATCGTGTTTACTACAGTGCTCCTCCGCTCCATGTCCGACTTCGCCTCCATGAACAGTGTCTACGTATCGCTGTTCAAGAAACCAAATCCCCCAGCGCGGGTCACTGTAGCCTGCGGAGACCGACTGCCAGCAAACGTGAAGGTGATGATCTCTCTTGTTGTGGACCTGGGTGCGCGGGGCCATCGACAAGGTCTTCATGTCCAGTCCCGGTCGTACTGGGCCCCGGCGAATATCGGGCCCTATTCACAAGCCATGTCCGTTCCAGGGCAAGAATTAGGCAGGCTGGTTTATATTGCTGGACAAATACCGCTAGATCCTGCTTCTATGGAGCTGGCATCGCCAGAAGAGACTAAGACTTACCACCTACGGACCGTTTTGGCTCTCCAGCACCTCTGGAGGATTGGAGAAGCCATGCAAGTGGACTGGTGGATGGGTGCCGTGGCCTTCCTGGCTGGCAGTGAGCACTCTGATGCTCGCGCTCAAGTAGCTTGGCGTCTGTGGGAGAAGATGCATGCTCGACCAGCAGCTACTGAGGATGCGGATGATGAGGACGAGGGACCCCAGCTGGATATCTGGGATATCAAGTACGGTCGCCGGGCAGAGGAGCTGGCTCCTCCGGATCCTTCATGGGTCTTGCCAAAATTCGGCATCCTCAAGGCCGACTCGGCCACATTTATCCCGCCATTCCTGGCCGTCCAGGTCGATGAGCTGCCTCGAGGCAGCGATATCGAATGGCAAGGTCTGGGCAGCCGATGCCGACAAGCCCAGCTGACAACACAACATAAAGGCTCGACATTTATAAATGAAAGCTGCAGTTACTCCGTGATGGAGATCGAATCGGAATCGGCTTTGGACGCGGCCAAGACGCAGTGCCCGAGGCTGGTACAGGCGACGCTGTATACCACACAGAACATCTCTGCTGGGTCCTGGCCGGGCCAGATTGTGCCATGTCGGTCTGTCTGGGGTCGAGGAGGAAGGAGATTGGCTGCGGGAGTTGTCTTACATCGGGAGAAATGATAGCATAGATTACATGAATCCATCTGCGGTGGCAATGATGTGACGGGCAGAATCCCTCCCGCGTTCAGGAAAGATAACAACACAACACCTCTGACACCACCACTGAATTCCCCGGACATACTGCGCCGACCCCCTGGATCATTAGAGTTTCTCTAATCGCCCGAAAATAACTCCCTACCTCTCTCTTTCTCTCTCAACATGACGCACCCCTCGACCTAAGGCCTTAAATGGCGCCATGACATCTCCGCGGGGCCAGGAGGAAACCGGAGCTCCTCCGCGCAGCAGCACGCCTGCCACGAGCTCCGAAGGCATCGCCGTCGATAACCTGCGATGCTTCACACGTTCCCCCCATCCCTACCATCTGCAAAGCCGCGCCAGCGCCCGTCGCCACGGTTCACACACCCCGCCCTCCGAGCTGGGCGACCTTCTCCGGCCTCCTTCCTACTACTCCAGCAAGTCATCGCGGACGCCGAGCGACAGCGGCACGGAGGCCGACGATGAAAGCACGGGACTCCTGCGCGGTCTGCCGGCTCCGCCGCTACGGCCCCGGAAAGGCTTGCGTGTTGGCACAAATGGCAATGTCGCCGCGGATACCGATGGCTGGATGCCCTCGCTCCATCCCTGGCCGCCGCAGCTGGTGCGGACCATGTCCCGGAAGAGCTCGCGGTGGAGCTCTGACACAGAGGCTGAGGGACGCATGGCGGAGAAGCGTCAGATGCTGAGCCGGAAGAGACGGGTCGAGGTCCTAAGGCGGTTGTTGGAGACGGCGCTGTTGCTCTCTGTTGGAGGGGTGGTTTTGCTGCAGAGAGATGCGCGAGTGCTGGCTTGGGCGTGGAGGAAAGGTAGGGCTGATCTCGAAGTCTTGTAGGTATGGGCATCGCTAACTGCTTTTGCCTTTTCACAGAGCTCGCGGCCCACGGGCTTCTGGTTACGACGTTGTATGCCGCTTATCCCTTCACGATCCGGGCTGCGACAAGCGGCCGGAGATGGCGCCTATGGCCCAAGAACCGGCCTTTCTTTTCTATACCCTCGAGTTTTGACCCGGCACCTCTATTATATCCAGTTCTCGTCCCAATCTTCGTCGCGTTGTCTCTGACACACCGTCACCCGGCCCTGGCCATGCCCAACATCATCCTCAGTCTTTCCTCTCTACCTCCGCTGGTTGTCCCACTACATCACTGGGCTCATGGCTTCAGTATATCGCATTGGGTGGTCACCTTGATACCCATCGTCATCTCCGAGCATACATTTTTCGATTCTACGCTACCCAAGCCACTGTCATTACGCGGGTTTAATGCGGAAGCATTGACTCTTCTTTTCCCTTTGCATCAAGCGTTGATACCCACATTAGACTTCTTGTTGACCACCAGCCTTCTTCCCGCCGAGCTGGAGCTGCTGACCACGGCGCTGATCAATCTGTACTTGTTTGCCGCCTCGCCACAGGCGCAAATTCTCAAAGCCTTGTTGTGGCTGGGTGGGATGTGTGTATTTATTTCGTGTCGCCACCTACTGCGTTGGGAGGTTGCTCTCGCGCGCATCCCCAGTTGGAAGTTTCGTCGCCCGCCAAACCGTTCGCAATCGCCCCGCAAATTCTTGAATATGATGGACCATCGGATCTGTGAGAAGTTGAGCAGAGCTTGCGTTTCGGATGAACCCATATCGGACAGCGACGAGCCGAGTGCATTCCGAAACTCGCGCAGGACGAAGACCATACCTCCAATCCGTGACCCCGAGCTCCTATCCGCCGAACCTAGGACTGCCACCGGCGATGTCTCCATGACAAAAGTCCTCGAGCAAGATATACATGCTATCCAGCGACGACGACATTCAATCGCCACGTTCGATGAGTTGGTGCGTGAGCAACGAGTCCGCACCACGCCCGGTGGCCGACGGAAGAAATCCATGGAGCCGGGGCTCGCCTCGTTCCTCTCGCTCACCGCGGCCCAAGCCCAGGTCCGGAAATGGCTGTACGCTTTGTGTGTTTATGCGACCTCCGTGCTGATTATTCTCGGCCCGATCCGAAAGTACGTGGCTGAGTACGCTCTGCATGGCCAAGATCCGTTTGGGTGGGCGCTAGGATATCTATTCGGCAATCTGTCTGGGTTTCGATTCTGGGTGCTCATGCTGAATTTTGAATATTGGATTCAGCTACCCCCCGCGTGGATGCGGATGCCTCGTGTTGGCTTGGCTGGGCCGAGCATCTTCGTCAGACCAGCATTGGCGCTGCCAGCTCTCGCCTCCTGATCAGTGGGTATTGTTTTCTGGTGTTGTTGACCGGCTTAGCTGTGGTCTTCCAGCTCAGCTCTGTTGCCGAAGTCGACACGCGGCGCAAGTTATTCCACGGTATGATGGTGCTGATGTTCCTCCCCACTGTCTTTGTGGATCCGACCTTCTGTGCCATGGCGTTGGCCCTGGTCCTGGCGGTCTTCCTCCTGCTCGATCTCTTCCGGGCGTCCCAGCTGCCTCCCATCTCCCGCCCGTTAACATACTTCCTGGCTCCCTATGTCGACGGTCGTGACCACCGCGGGCCAGTGATTGTGTCGCACATATTCTTGCTCATTGGATGCTCAATCCCGCTCTGGCTGTCTCTTGCTGACCTACCCCGGACTGGTTCACCCCCCTGGACCGGTTGGGACGTGCCCTCCCGCGACGTCAGCATGGTCAGCGGGGTGATCTGCGTCGGCATGGGCGACGCCGCCGCGTCTCTTATCGGGCGGCGCTTCGGCCGCCTCAAGTGGTTCTGGGGCGGAGGCAAGTCGCTCGAAGGTAGTGTCGCATTCGCGGTCGCCGTCACCTGTGGGCTAGTGGCCGTTCGTGCCTGGCTCTTGCTCGGCCAGTGGGCTGTGTCGGGAATAGCGGATCCAGACTCGGTGGTGTCCTCGAGGTCGTTCTGGCTGGCGACGATTGGCAGGGCCGTCCTGGCCGCTGGGGGCACCAGTGCCACGGAGGCGATCCTGACTGGATGCAACGACAACGTTGTGGTGCCGGTGGTGCTATGGCTACTGGTACGAGGGCTTGGTGTTTAATGTATAGAAATGACCCCAATGTATGCAACTATCTTAGATAAGCACCCGATGCCGGCTGATCCCTTATCTCCCCTATCGATAATGCTTTCCCTTTCTCTCTTTTGTACTTCCACTATCTCTCGCTCTCTCTGTGACTCCTTTCTCTCTCATCATCCTTTCCATCATCCTCTTTCCCTTTCCCTTCTTCGTTTCCCTTCCCCTTCAGCCTTTCCCTCCCATTCATCCCATCCCCATCTTCCTTATTCCCTTATCTCCACAACGTCACCGCCCTCCTGACCGCCCGCGATCATCTCATCCATCACTCGTTATCGTTGGTCCAGGTCACACCCCCCTCCCAGCCCAGCTGCCGCCTGCGTCCCTTGGGTCCAGCTGCCCGCCCTTCAGCATCACATCATCCTGGACGACTATTAGAACGAAGCTCTCCCGGTTGCCTCCCCAATACTCCGGCTTCCTCCTAGTACACTTCAACCAACTACTTTACATCAATATCATCCACTTTACACCGCCCTCGATCGATCTCTCCCCTCAACTTCAGCCCCAACTGTTCTGGTGCCTGCCTATCATCCAGCTCCTATCTGCGAGCCACCTTGATCTGTCTTGACCTGGACACCCAAACACCTATCCGAGTCCGCCGGTCTCGTTCCCCGGCACCTCGCCCCCTCTAGGCCCCTTCTCGCAATCGTTTGTCCGGCGGTTCCTCGACCTTCCTGGCTTTCCGGCTGCTGGCAGCGTCATCCTTCTACTGGGCTCCCCTGATGGGCCTCCACCGACAGTCATCCCTGTTGCCGACGTTGAGGTAGTTGTGGTTGACGGGGCGTGGTTGATTTTCATCTTCTCCCCAAGACTCGAAACTTAGTGGCGTCGCTGCCCAGCTACAAATATGGCATCTCAACACTCGCGGAGGTCGCGCGAGTCGACTCGCCCCGAAATGTCGATCGGCCGCTATACACGGCTCGATGAGATCGGGCGAGGGAGCTTTGCTACCGTCTACCAAGGTGTGCATACGGTGAGTCACTTTCCCTTCTCCGCATTCATTTGATGAGACGCTGATCAGCTCTTCGTTGCCTTGCTAGAAATCCCGCACCTATGTAGCCATCAAGTCAGTCAACCTGTCAAAGCTCAATAAGAAGTTGAAGGACAACCTCTCCTCCGAGATCGATATCCTGAAGGGCCTCCATCATCCGCATATCGTGGCGCTCATCGACTGCCAGGAGTCCACATCCCACATCCATTTGGTCATGGAATACTGTGCCTTGGGGGACCTGTCACTTTTCATTAAACGACGAGAAACCCTCGCCAACCATCGATACACGCGGGACATGATTGCTAAATACCCGAATCCTCGTGGTGGAGCGCTGAATGAAGTTGTCGTGCGGCACTTCCTAAAGCAACTTTCAAGCGCGCTGCATTTCCTCCGAGACCGCAACCTTATCCACCGAGACATCAAACCACAAAACCTACTGCTCTGCCCATCCCCTTCATCTTATCGGTCAGGTGTGGCCCAGGTGATTCCTTATAAGGGCAGTGATGATTCGTATGAACCCATAACTGGCCTCGAGTCTCTACCGATGCTCAAGATTGCGGACTTTGGGTTCGCTCGGTCCCTTCCGGCCACCTCGCTGGCAGAGACCCTTTGTGGCTCTCCCCTATATATGGCACCCGAGATCCTTCGGTATGAGAAATATGATGCGAAGGCAGACCTGTGGTCGGTTGGCACCGTGCTTTATGAGATGGTGGTCGGCCGGCCGCCCTTCCGTGCCACCAACCACGTGGAACTGCTCCGGAGGATCGAGAAAGGAGAGGACCGAATTCGATTTCCCGAAGACAATCCTGCCTCGGATGACATTAAGAAGCTGATACGCGGCCTTCTGAAGCGGAATCCGGTGGAACGCTTGAATTTCCCTGAGTTTTTCAACAACCATGTTATTAAAGATGAGATTCCTGGTCTGGTGCCAGATGACCTCCCGCGGAGGCCTTCTGCCGAGTTCGATGATGCCAGACCGACTCCGGTAGACGTGAACTTGGCCAAGAACTCTCCATACGCCGAGGAACCGGAAGAGACGCTCTTATCCCCTGCCAGGCGACCGCTGTCGACACGTCAGAAATCAGGGACTCCACCAACTGCTACGACTATGCGTCGAGTTGGCAGTAGTGATCGCCCTCCGTCTGGTACCATCAAGGGACAGGAAGCCAGTCCACATCGGCCCGGTCCAATCAGCCATGCTACTGCACCTGGTCGCCAGGAACTTGTCGGCCGCCATGCTGCCACAGCTGCGATGGAGCACCAAAGATCTCGGAACACGTACACGGACGCTACACGGACACAAGAAGCCTCAGATCCTGCCCAGGCGGAACGCGAGCAAGCTGCCCAAGACGTGGCATTTGAGCGAGACTACGTGGTTGTGGAGAAACGTGCTGTCGAAGTGAATGCATTTGCAGATGAATTGGCACATAGCCCCCGTATCCATGGCGGCTTTGGTCGCCCGGGACTGGTTGGCACAGTATCTCGGCGCGCAACTACGCAGGCCCTTCCCACAACCACATCGACCTCTCCGCATGCAAATGCTACCAAGGCCATCCAGGTTGTGTCGAATCGTGCGCGAGCAGATTCAACACATCAGCGTCAACACTCTTACGAGCGACGGTATGGCCAGAGCCCTACGTCGGCCACATCAGCTATCTCGAAAGCACTCAATATGGCCAGTGGTCGCCTTTTCGGAATGGGGTTTTCTCCGCCACTAGCCATCACCAAGGGTGGTCGATCCCCCCGCTGGCCTACAACCCTTTCCCTGCCTACCCAGCTGCCCAGGCTAGCCTCATGATTATGGGCGACGGTGCAAAGACCAACGTGGCGGTCGACGAAGACTACAAGGCAGTTCAAGTCATCGAAGAATGTGCCACCCGCAGCGATGTCGTCTATGGATTCGCTGAGGTGAAGTATAAGCAGCTCATTCCATTGGCCCCTTCGGCGCCCACCGAGCCTTCTGCAAGACCCCCAGTCTCTGGTGCCGACACCGATTCTACCGACCCCACTGACGACGGGTTGACTGTGGATGCCATCATCACACTCTCCGAAGAGGCTTTGGTACTCTACGTGAAGGCTCTCTCCCTGCTGGCCAAGTCCATGGACATTGCCGGTGCCTGGTGGTCGCGCAAGAACCGTGAAGAAACATATGGTGACTTTCCGTCAAATAGAGGGGAGATCAGTGCGCTCGCGGGAGCCCGCATTAACAATATCGTGCAGTGGGTACGGGCTCGGTTCAATGAGGTTTTGGAGAAGGCGGAGTTTGTACGCCTGAAACTGATCGAGGGGCAAAAGCGTTTGCCCTCGGATCACCCCAGCCATCCGGATAACCAGCCCATCGCCTCGAGTGCAGGCTCAAGCACTTCCATTGATGTGGTATTGAGCCCTGGCGTCACAGCCGAAAAGCTGATGTATGACCGTGCCTTGGAGATGAGCCGGGCTGCAGCGATCAATGAGCTGACTGGCGAGGATCTCGCCGGATGTGAGATCGCCTATGTCACCGCCATACGCATGCTAGAAGCTGTGCTGGAGGATGAAGGGTCGCGAACTGACCGGCAAGATGCCACATCGGCTGGGGAGAAGGTTGTCCTAGACGATTTACAGGCGGAGGATCGGCAGGTGGTGCTGAGGTGTAAGTTTTTCTATCATTTGGCTATTGACCGCAAAATACTGATGTGATGTTTACAGTGGTGTCGAGCATGCGCGGTCGCCTCGCGTCTCTCCGCAAGAAACTGGCATTGCTCGCCAAGCGAACCTCGGCGCCCACGCCGACGACGAGCAGCACAGCCCGGATTCCATCCTCGAACTCGGTGCCCGTTTCACTTGCGACAGGTGCCACGCCGCCTCGGTGAATGCCCCACCTCTAGGGCTACGGGAAAAGCCCATCTGATGATGCTTGCCCTCTACTATTATTGATCTCTCTTTGAGATACTAATCTCCTCATTTATATTTCCGTTGATTCATCTTTGTCCAGTTATTCTGTGCCATATATCCAACAACATGAGGAGAAGGGAGTTTCTGTCTTTGTTTTTGTTTGCGCAGGCTTGATTTGGACCTGGCGTTTGACCTGGATTCATGGTATACAGAATGGCCCCTTTTTTCTTGATTGCGTCGGAATCAGCAAGGTCAAGGCGTTTTGGGTCGTCCATGAAGATTGGATTTTTGTGAATTGCACTGGCAATGCAGATACTGAGATGTATTCTTGTATATAGATAATCAGAGGAAATTTGATTTCTTCAGTCCGTCTTCAGTCCGGACCTGTCTTAGCAGCGACGATTGTCAGGTCTGATCTAGATCTCATTGAATGCTATCAAGTTGGTGTCATGTCCTGTCATCTCCGAGCACAACCGTGGAAAGGCAATGATCTCTGTCCCAGTCTTCTATGGAAGCCCATTCATCATCCGCGTCGGAAGACGTAGACATTCGTGGGCCCCTCAAACTTGCTGGTGCATAGTCTTGCAAGAAAAGAGCCCCGAGGGGCTCAGCAGTCGTCTGCCATGAAGGGAGGGCATGGGCTGGGAAAGCTTGCGTGAGGTGAAAAGGAAAAAAGAAAGGAAGAAACGTAATGTGGATTTTCTGCTCCGACGGACTCCGCTCACCGCCTCCCATTTGGTATTTTCTGCGTCTTTTTCCTATTGTTCTCCAACCCGTGGATCGAGCGCCTCAGAGACTGTTGTTTTTTCGTCGAATCCGAGTCCAATCCATTGATTACTCGGGAGATCCTTTCTGTCCGGTCCTATCCCACGGTCACGGGGTTTTGTGGAGTGGAATGCGCCGCCTTTCACCGCGGGCACTGCTGCAATCAGCAAGGCCACCGCTTCTGGCCGCTGCTAGGCCACTACCACCCTCACCCCTCCCCCTCTTTCCTTCCCAGGCTGCGGCACTTGCGTCAACCTCATCTCCTCGACTACCTCGACCTCGCCGTTCCCCTCTCCGTTCTTCCCTCTCCCAACCTCCCAAACGCTACTGTTCCTACCGCAGAATGTGTGGCTCTCGACGTGGCGACGTTTCGGGCTCGACCAATGTCCAGGGCCGCGAGGTCCTGCCCACCAATGTCAAGCCTCTGCACTACGACTTGACTCTCGAGCCCAACTTTGACAAATTCACCTATGACGGAACGGTTGTTATTGAGTATGATACCTCCCACGTTCTGAAAGAAAGAAGCTCTGACATAGCTGCAACTGCATAGTCTCCAGGTGAACGAGGATACGGACTTCGTTTCCCTCAACGTGAACGAAATCGAAATCCACAACGCCGTTATTTCCTCAAAGGGCGTGGTGGTCGAGTCCAAGCCGGAGATTTCCCACAATGGAGATGCTCAGGTCGCTACCATCAAGTTCGGCACCGCCATTGCGGCCGGGTCCGATGCGCAGCTGAAGCTGACCTTCACCGGTATCCTGAATGACAACATGGCGGGCTTTTATCGGTCATCGTACAAGGATAAGAACGGCGAGAAGAAGTATCTTGCCTCAACCCAGATGGAGCCCACAGACGCCCGCAGAGCATTCCCATGCTTTGACGAGCCTGCCCTCAAGGCCAAGTTCACCATTACCCTGGTTGCCGACAAGAGCATGACCTGTCTGAGCAACATGGACGTTGCCTCGGAGACCGAGGTCCAGGGTGGGAAGAAGGCTGTCAAGTTCAGCACCTCGCCGTTGATGTCGACTTATCTCGTTGCCTTCATTGTCGGACACCTCAACTATATTGAAAACAACAGCTTCCGTGTTCCCATTCGCGTCTACGCCACCCCGGATCAGGATATCGAGCACGGTCGCTTTTCGTTGGATCTTGCTGCCAAAACCCTGGCATTCTACGAGAAGGCCTTTGACAGCGAGTTCCCGCTGCCGAAGATGGATATGGTTGCCGTGCCGGACTTCAGCGCCGGTGCAATGGAGAACTGGGGTCTGATCACCTACCGTATCGTTGATGTGCTGCTGGACGAGAAGGCCAGCGGTGCTTCGCGCAAGGAGCGTATCGCTGAAACGGTCCAGCATGAGCTGGCCCACCAGTGGTTCGGTAACCTGGTGACGATGGACTTCTGGGACGGTCTGTGGCTCAACGAGGGTTTCGCCACGTGGATGTCGTGGTACTCGTGCAATGTCTTCTACCCCGAGTGGAAGGTCTGGCAGAGTTATGTTATCGATAACTTGCAGGGTGCCCTCTCTCTGGACTCGCTGCGCAGCAGTCACCCGATTGAGGTCCCTGTCAAGCGTGCCGATGAGATCAACCAGATTTTCGATGCCATCTCCTACTCCAAGGGTTCTTCTGTCCTGCGCATGATCTCCAAGTACCTGGGAGAGGATGTTTTCTTGCAGGGAGTGCGGAACTACATCAAGAAGCATGCCTACGGCAACACCGAAACTAGTGATCTGTGGGCTGCGCTGGCTGATGCCAGCGGCAAGCCTGTCAGGAAGGTTATGGAGATCTGGACCAAGAACGTTGGGTTCCCGGTCGTCAGTGTCACGGAGAACCCTGATGCATCTTCCATCCACCTGAAGCAGAACCGGTTTTTGCGCACGGGCGACGTGCGTCCCGAGGAAGACACCACTCTCTACCCTGTGATGCTCGGCCTGCGCACCAGATCGGGTCTCGACGAGGATACCATGCTGACAGAGCGTGAGCGTGAATTCAAGGTTCCTGACTTGGACTTCTTCAAGCTCAATGCCGACCACTCCGGTCTCTACCGCACCTCGTACACACCTGAACGCCTCAAGCAGCTGGGCAAGGCAGCCAAGGATGGCCTGCTGACCGTCGAAGACCGCGCCGGCATGATTGCGGACGCAGGTGCCTTGGCTGCTTCCGGTTACCAGCACACCTCTGGTCTGCTGTCGCTGCTTCAAAGCCTGGACACCGAGTCGGAGTTTGTGGTTTGGAACGAGATCTTGACTCGCATTGGCTCCCTGCGCGGTGCCTGGCTCTTCGAGAGCCAGGAGACCAAGGATGCTCTCAAGGCTTTCCAGCGCAAGCTGGTCAGCGCCAAGGCCCACGAGCTGGGCTGGGAGTTCTCCGACAACGACGGCCACATCCTGCAGCAGTTCAAGGCTCTCATGTTCGGCTCTGCCGGTGCAGCCGGGGACCTCACCGTCGTCCAGGCAGCCAAGGACATGTTCGCCCGCTTCGCAGACGGCGACCTTTCCGCCATCCACCCTAACATCCGCGGCAGCGTCTTCACCATCGTGCTGAAGAACGGCAGTGCCAAGGAGTACGACGTCGTTCTCGACCGGTTCCGCAATGCCGCTACCTCGGACGAGAAGACTACTGCCCTGCGCTGCCTCGGTGCCGCCGAGGACCCGGCCCTCATCCAGCGCACCCTCGACCTCGCCAGCGGCGATGAGGTCAAGAACCAGGATATCTACATGCCCCTTGGCGGTCTGCGCAACCACCCCGCTGGCGTTGAGGCCCGCTGGACCTGGCTCAAGAAGAACTGGGACAGTATCTATAAGCGCCTGCCTCCGTCCCTCGGCATGCTGGGCACGGTTATCCAGTTGTCTACGTCTAGTTTCTGTACCGAGGCACAGCTCAAGGACGTTCAAGAATTTTTCGATGCCAAGGATAGAAAGGTGGGTTTAATCCGTTTTGGTTTGTTTTCGTCGTCTCGTCTTGCTGACTTTTTTTCCGTTGCAGGGCTACGACCGTGCCGTCGAGCAAAGCTACGACGCTATCCGCGTTAAGACATCCTGGCTCCAGCGTGACCGCGATGATGTGGACCAGTGGCTGCGTGGGAACAGGTATCTCGGGAGCAAGCTGTGATTGATTGACTTCTTTGGATCTTGCCTGTCTTGAAGCGCGCTTCTATGCTTAGGTGATGGCGGGTTTGCGCTGGTTCAGTGCGGGTGGTTAGGTGTTTTTCTCTGTTTACTCTACATCTCTCACTCTCCTTACTTGGCAAAATTAGATCATCACACACACTTCTATTTCCGTGCAATAACTCATCATATCCGCCGCGTCCTTCATCATTAGAGCCGGAAGTTCAGCTCTGATGCATTGCGAATGTCTTCCTGCCATTGTTCATCACAGAAATCCACCATCTTATAGAAGCGTTGAAGTATTGCTTTGGCTTGTTGGCTTCACTTTGGTCGCCAGTTCGGGACTCATCTTTTTTGCATCGATAATGACAATGCGATCGATTTCTGGCCTAAGACTTACAAGGTCGCATTTTGACCCGCAGAATTGGCGTGCGACTTCTTGTTCGAATTCTTTCGCCAGGGCTGTGTCATATGCTTGGAATTGTGGCCAAAAGCGTAATGGTCATGTTCCCATGGTGCGAACTGGCGATATTTCTTCCCCATCCAGACTGCAGACGGCGAGTATATGTATATACAGTCTCTGACTAGTGAACTTAATGTGATAAGAGACTCACATGTGCAGCGTGCTGCATTGCATACGCGTGGCTTGTCAACTGTTTTGTGCTGAGGTGCTTGCTTGCGGTTGATGTGATATCAGCTGATATATATTTTCAGTTGCCACCAGCTTCGGGGTTCACGAGGTTCAATCGGGCTTCATTGCCTATTTCTCCCATATTCTATACCTAGAAACAGCTATTCGAGTGATCGGTTTACCGAAATTCCATCCACCGAAGCTGCGGGTGAGACTCACCCGCAGGCGTGGACATGCCTACTTTAGTATGTCGAGCCATGTAGATTGGCGTGGCTATAGAAGAAAGGTGCGTAGGTAATGTAATCATCTCCACACGCCGCGAGTTTCCCCAGCAAAATCAGTATTGCCACGGCCTGGGTTCTCCGATCTCCGTCTCTGTGCGGGGGCAAGGGATTGCCGCTCAACGTCAGGTTTTCTGTGCCTGCAAGTCATTCACATCTTAAGCCTGTATTTGCTTTTTCTGTTCCGAAGTCTACGAAAAGAGTATGGAGGCACCACCATCCCATCTATACACTTCCCCTCTAGATCAGCAGCCCGACGTGCTTGGATGGGCTCTGAATGACGCGCCTGTCGGTTGAAAGTGGCTTTTCGGTAAGCTCCGATGGTCCTGATCTTTTCTATACCCATGCGAACGTTCTTATCTCAACCTGTGCCCCCCCCTTCTTATATACTTCCTGTTGCATTGATATAATCGCCTTTGCAATGTGAATTTTTAAATTCATGCATCGGGTTCGACTGACTCGGGCAGTCTCTTATTTTTGTGTTGTGCTGTGAACAGCTCTCCCCAGTTGGCTCCCGGGCGTGTCACTTAAGATTCGCCACTCCAGCTTTGGACCTCCTATCAGCCACGAAAGGCACCGGAGGCACCATCTGCTTTTGAAACCAGAGTATTCATTATCACCATCGTCCGTCATGGCCGTCACGGCCCCTCTGGCGGCCGGTCATGACGACTATTGCCGCGGCTACTCCGCCGACGTGGACACCATTCGGGAGCAGGAGTATCCATTGCTAAACGGTATGATGACCCTCACGACTAGGCAAGAATTCCGATTGACTTCTCAGCAGCAACAACCTATCTCGACCATGCCGGGACAACACCATATGCCAAGTCTCTTATCGAGTCCTTCTCTCGTGACATGACATCCAATCTATTTGGCAAACCCCATTCAATGTCTCTATCCTCACAGCTATCAACGCAGCGAACAGATGACATTCGACTCCGCATGCTCCGCTTCTTCAACGCGGACCCAGAAGAGTTCGACCTGGTCTTTGTGGCGAACGCAACGGCAGCTATCAAATTGGTCGCTGACTCGCTCCGGGACTCTGACCCCCGCGGCTTCTGGTATGGCTACCATATCGACGCCCATACCAGTATTGTGGGAGTGCGCGAACTGGCCGACCTGGGCCACCAGTGCTTCCAAAGCGATGCAGATGTCGAGAAATGGATCTCGGAGCTGTCTGCCGATCAGACCAAGGCGCCTAAACTGTTCGCTTACCCAGCCCAGTCGAACATGAATGGTCGACGCTTGCCTCTAAGCTGGGGCAAGCAGGTTCGCTCTGCGGCCAAAAATGGCACAGGAAATGTATTTACATTACTTGATGCTGCTTCGCTCGTGTCGACTGCCCCGCTTGATTTGGGAACTGCTGCACCAGATTTCACGGCTCTCAGCTTCTATAAGATTTTTGGATTCCCCGATCTGGGCGCATTGATTGTTCGCAAAAGTGCGGCACGGGTATTCGAGCGCCGGCGATTCTTCGGCGGCGGCACTGTCGACATGGTCATTGCATCGGGTGTGCAGTGGCATGCTAAAAAGGAAGCATCCATCCATGAACGGCTCGAAGATGGCACTCTTCCTTTCCACAGTATCATTGCTCTCGACTCTGCCCTCAAAATCCAGAAGAAATTGTATGGTTCCATGACAAATATCTCGGCGCATACTGGATTCCTTGCGAAGCAGCTCTATGATCGACTTTGCTCATTGAAGCACTGTAACAACACGAAAGTGTGCCATATATACCAGTCCGCATCGGCCTATGGCGATCCTACCACCCAGGGCCCAATTATTGCCTTTAATATGCGGAACAGTCGCGGCGAGTGGATTGGCAAGACGGAGGTCGAGAAACTCGCCCTAGTGCAAAATATTCAAATACGCACGGGATCGGTCTGCAACCCTGGAGGAACCTCTTTGTGTCTTGGGTGGACTGGCCCTGAATTACGTCGAAATTATTCTTCGGGATTGCGCTGTGGTGATGACAATGATGTCCTCAACGGCCGGCCAACGGGCATTCTGCGTGTCAGTCTGGGTGCAATGACCAACATGAAGGATCTCGACTCTCTCATGGCCTTCATCGAGGAGTTCTATGTGGAGAAAATACCTCCTCTCGTGACACTGGATCCTCCATTGGGCGAGAATGGTCTTCCGGCGTCCCACTTTTATATTGAGAGCCTCATGGTGTATCCGATCAAGAGCTGTGGTGCATTTAAGATCCCAGAAGGAAAACGCTGGGAAGTCAAAAAGGAGGGGCTCGCATGGGATCGCGAATGGTGTCTCATCCATCAGGGCACCGGCGCCGCCTTGAGCCAGAAAAAATACCCGCGCATGGCGTTGATTCGTCCGTACCTTGATCTCGACCGTGGCGCCCTTTCCATCACTTGTGGCACTATAGTTGCTGATCAAGTAAGCCTGGAGATCTCTCTGGGTTGGGAAGATACAAGCCTCGTGTCAACGTCAATGTGCATGAGCTCTACCAAGAAATCGACCACGGTGTGCGGCGACCAAATACCCCTACATGCCTACTCTTCACCAGTAGTCTCGGCCTTTTTCTCCGACTTCCTCGGCGTCCCTTGCACGCTCGCAAGATTCTCCTCACAGACCGCAAACCGGTACTCACGACCACCACGTATTGCCGGTTGGAGGAACCGATTCCGCAAATCCACCATGCCCGGCTCCTTCCCACCGGACCTACCACCTCCAGTGCGGGACCAAGGCACGCCACTCCAACTGGCGAATGAAATGCCCATCCTAGTCGTCTCACGATCCTCCGTCAACCGCCTCAACGAGACCATCAAGGCCAATACCAAGCACGGCGCAGGCGTCAGCAAGGCCGTTGCTGCAGATGTGTTCCGCGGCAACATCGTCGTCGCGGAACGGCTTGCTCAGCTTGGTGATACTGAGCAGCCTTATTCCGAGGACCGCTGGTCCCATTTTCATATTGGGCCGGAGAAGCTTCGCTTTGATGCTCTTGACGCATGCGAGCGCTGCCAGATGATTTGTATTGACCAATTTACCGGTGTTCGTCGTAGCGAACCCTTGTCTACGCTTGCGAAGACGCGGAATATCAATGGGAGAATCTCGTTTGGGCGGTATGCTGCGCTTTCAGAAGAGGGAATGGAGGCGTTTGAGTCCGAAGCACCGGACCGCCGGACGGTCATGGTGGGGGATTTGGTGGTGCCGACAAATGATGACCATTGAAGCCCTGGACTATGATTGTATATTGGACATGATCTGTATTTTGTACCATCACAGCGGGTTCGGTTTTAGTTAGTATCAAGAGTCACGGTCCTGGATTGGTAGCATGCATATATTTGCACATATGGAAATGCCTTGCTTTTCTCATTTTTTGCCATGTACATAGAGTGATAAGGAGAATGCAGACCGAGGATGTGTGACCCTGAGTTATATAGTACAGATGAAAAACGATGGCTGAATGAAAAGAAAACTCCCATGCCGAACCGCTTGAATTCATAAGCAGTTTCGGCGCGCATATTCCGCTCGAATCCGGATAAAATCGTGGAAAAACGGTGGGTTTGACCTGGATGAAAAATAGCAAAAGGACCTCACTGGGGATTCCCAGTTTACCGCTTGGGCCACTGCTTCCAGCCACGGCCATGTCCTCTCTGCAACACGAGTCAGCTCCAGCACAACGTCATCAACAGGTAAAACAATACTGACCTGCCTCCACAACCGAATCATCTCCGGCATCTCTGTCATTGCCTTCCGGCGCTCCTCCAATCTCGACTCCATTGTCCGCTCCCACTTGTGTCCCTTGACCTTTTGTCCAATACCCGTACCCTTGATGCGCAAGCCACGCTCCGCAAGCCGGGTTGCCTTGAACTCAGTTGACTTGCGTCCAGGGGGTAACAATTCCTCCACCTTGTACTTGGCGGCCAATTTCACCAGGTCTGCTTGTTGTCGCAGACCAAATCGCGGTGGGATCCATTTCCCCGTCCGGTTGTCCTTCCGTGGCAGGAAGGGATTGGGTGCCTCTGAATTGTTGTATAGGAGAGCCATGGAGGGAGAGTAGGCAGTGGGGTCTGGCTTGTGGGTGCCCTTTGCATCACGATTTGGCGTGTACGGTGACGGAAGGGTTGTCTCGGCCGGGGCGTCGGTCTCTGGGGGAGTTGGACGCGGTGCGACAGCCGCGGAGTATATTTGCGGAGGGTAGCGAGCGAGGAAGTTGCGCAGGCGGATGGGGAGCGAGCCCACCAGAGACGACGGGGATGACATGGTGGACGACAAGCAGGCAAGAGAAGCACGACGGCGGAAACGAGAGTAAAGAGTAAAAGTTGAGGCCGAGGCGCTAAACCCGTTGTGGAAATCATGCCTCAGGCACCTAGACTTCCCAAGCGCGGCCTTTTCCTCCTTCTGGGTTTCAGCCCCAAATCCCCATTTCTTCCACTCACCCGCCATTCTTACCCCAGCATCTTTCTGTCTTAATTGTACGGTTTTGTTTCCTGCTATACTCGCTGCCCTTTAACATTCGACTGCGCGCGACTCTTGTACCCCTGCCATCATGGCGGACTACCACTTTGGCGGTTCCGAGGAGGAGAATGCCGAGCTGAGGAAGCTCGAGGTCGAGCTGGTATGACGCGCGCACATAGACCCCCAACTGGTTCGTACCGCTGACTTGTTTGTACTCTAGGTGGATGACCCAGATAACTTTGAGACATGGGAGAAACTCGTGCGCGCCGCTGAGTCTCTGGAGGGCGGCATCAATCGCAACTCCAACCCCCAAGCCATCACCACCGTGCGCAATTCCTTCGATCGGTTTTTGGCCAAGTTCCCTTTGCTATTTGGATACTGGAAGAAATATGCCGACTTGGAGTTCTCTATTACGGGCACCGAAGCCGCAGAGATGGTACGTGGCCTGCTATCAGCCCTGCAGATCTTCCTCCGATTGCCTCGTGCTCATTCGGGTGTCGCTGACTGTTTGCTTCTTTTAGGTCTACGAAAGAGGTGTCGCCAGCATTTCCCCATCCGTTGACCTCTGGACCAACTACTGCTCCTTCAAGGCGGAGACCTCACACGATGCCGACATTATTCGAGAGTAAGTAGTATTGCAGAGCGGGTCTTTTTCCCTTTCCCTATAACCATTATCAATGCAGCCCTCGAAAGCTCTTGTGGTCCCGATAGTACTTGATGTCTGGATGCTTTCCATCGATGATGGGTGAGACTCTGTCGCCTTTCCACCCGGATTCAAGTGGAGTTTACTTCTCACCCTTGGCTCATTCAGGCTGCTTCCCTTCTCATGAAAAAAAAAGACCGTTTCCTTACTGCCCGGACCACACATGGACCAGTCTCGTTCGAAAGCATCTGATCCTGCGAATGCCTTCCCATAGCTTGATCACCTTGCTCGTTGACTGTTTGGACTCATACACACCGACAGAGTTAACTGCTCATGTTTGCCATCCTTGCCATCCTCCCTTTCCCCTTCTAGCACCCCCCCCATTCCCTTCCACACCTCCGGTTTTGTGACGTCATGCTGACTTCCTAACCTCCATAGACTTTTTGAGCGAGGTGCGAATAGTGTCGGGCTTGACTTCCTCGCGCATCCCTTTTGGGATAAGTATATCGAGTTCGAGGAACGCCTGGAGGCCCAGGACAAGATCTTTGCAATCCTGGGTCGAGTCATCCATATCCCAATGCACCAGTATGCGCGGTATTTTGAACGTTATCGCCAACTCGCCCAAACTCGGCCCTTGGCCGAGCTGGCACCCGCCGAAACCATGTCACAATTCCGTTCAGAAATCGAGGCTGCGTCGTCACAAGTGCCTCCCGGTGCGAAGGCTGAAGCTGAAGTCGATCGTGATCTTCGGCTGCGCCTTGACAATTACCATCTGGAAGTGTTCTCCAAGACCCAAGCCGAGACGACCAAGCGCTGGACATATGAGTCTGAAATCAAACGGCCTTATTTCCATGTGACAGAGCTGGACGAGGGTCAACTGGCGAACTGGAACAAGTACCTTGACTTTGAGGAAACCGAGGGCTCGTATCTTCGTACTCAGTTCTTATATGAACGATGTCTTGTGACCTGCGCGCACTATGATGAATTCTGGATGCGGTATGCCCGGTGGATGGCTGGCCAGGCCGACAAGGAAGAAGAAGTTCGGATCATCTACCAGCGTGGCAGCTGTCTCTTTGTGCCAATTGCCAACCCCACCATTCGACTACACTATGCTTACTTCGAGGAGATGTCGGGCCGAGTTGATGTGGCCAAGGATATTCACAGCGCTATCCTCATGACTCTTCCCAATCATGTGGAGACGATCACTTCGCTGGCGAACATGTCCCGGCGTCATGGCGGCCTTGATGCAGCCATCGAGGTCTACAAGAGCCAGTTGGACTCACCAGAATGTAATATGTCGACGAAGGCAGCCCTCGTTGCCGAATGGGCCCGACTCTTGTGGAAGATCAAGGGCTCGCCGGAAGATGCCCGGCAAGTCTTCCAGGGTAATCAGCAATACTACCTCGACAGTCATCCGTTTTGGGCCAGCTATCTCATGTTCGAGATTGAGCAGCCCACGAGCGAAGCAAGCGAGTCGGTTCAATATGAACGCATCAAGCAGGTCGTCACTGACATACGGTCTAAGAGCACCCTCGCAGTTGACGTTGTGAAGGCACTGGTGCAGATCTACATGGCCTACCTCCTTGAACGAGGAACGAAGGACACGGCCAAGGAATACATGAAACTGGACCGCGAAGTACATGGTCCTATTTCCGTGTCCCTTGCTCGGACTGGTGGTTTTGTTGCGGCGCCCACCGCACCTCTTGATGGCCAACCAGTTGTGGCCCCTCCCGCGCCGCCTGTGCCTGACGCGGCTGCTGCCGAGGCATATGCCTACTATCAGCAGAATCCGGTGAACGGTGGCCCTGTTGTTTGAACTTCAAACTAAAAGAATTCTGCTCCTCAAGCAGCCGGTCTTTTTCTTTGGATATGGTATTTACGAATGGCTCCGTTCCAAGAGCCTTGGCTTTCTTCCTTTGCGAGTTCGTTTCTCCCTCTATTTCGTTCGTGTTTTATTGTTTCCTGATCTACTACTGGGGTGGGTGAGTTTGTTTCTATGTAGCACCATATTCCACACGTGCCTATACCGGGGCATTGTTTTTGCGGGGTTGTTAACGATTTCGATGTACCGTAAAGTCGGTCATCCTGGTTTCTCGGGTGAGAGCCTAATGTCTAGTCTGCGATCTGCGACTAGGCGAGGACTGCTGTTCCTTGGAGCGAGGTTGGGTCCTTCAGGGTCCGTTGTATTCTATTAGCTCGCCGTCGATATCAATTGAACTTACAGCAATGCTTGTTTTATCATTTGTAGTGTTTGGAATCCAATCCAAGGACATGGCTCCCATAGATTACACATTACGATTCGCAAAGATGAGAAGATCTTCGGTTATCCGATGGGTTATAAACGACCAGTATTCAATGCTGCGATTCGCCATACAAAGAGGACCAGTCACGTGACCATCCATCTTTGTCACCCATAATTCTGGCGCATCTCTTGTATCTCTTGCGTTTGCATCACGTTGCATCACGACGGGAATCATGGCGTCCAACGGTTCCAACGCATCGTCCCATGTCCCTCCACCGTGTCCCGATCAACGCCCGGCCACTCCTCCACCTCCACCACCAGAAGAATCCACAGCACCACCGCCTCCTCCAGACGCGGCCGCTCCGCCACCACCCCCGGATGATCGTCTTCCGCCGCCGCCTGTGGAACAAAAGAAAAAGAAGGCTGGATGGGGCGCGAAACGTCCGGCTGCGACTCCGTTGAGTGTTGAGGAGCTCATCAGGAAGAAGAAGGAGACAGATGCAGCGGCTGCAAAGGTATGCTTTACGCTTGTGTCAACTTATTAAGACCTTGTGGACGATGAGTAGCTAACAATTGTCTTTCTTTGAATAGCCAAAGTTCTTGTCCAAAGCTCAACGAGAGAAGCTGGCGTTGGAGAAACGAGCAAAGGAAGTCGAGGCAGATCGGCAAGCTAAGGCGCTCGCGAACGGTGCCCGGGAAAATGGGGTTGTGTCAGAGCCATCGTTGAGAGAGTCAAGTGACTCAAGAAATGGCAACAGAGATGCAAGCAGCAGGAATGTCCCGACCGGACCACGAGCTATGCGTGGAGAGGCACCGGCAGGTCCGGGAGCCACGCGGACCTCAAATGGGCAATCGACACGCAACCAAGATATGGCCCCGCCGCCAGCACCAAAGGCAATGTCATTCGGACTGAAGGATTCCAAGGGCAAGGGCGAAAAACGTCTTGCAGAAGAGGACCAAGCAGCGGCAGAAGCGGCATTGGTCAAACAACGGTACATGGGAGCAGACCAGACCTCGAACTTCTCGGCCAAGAAAAAACGGAAACGCACAACGGACCGCAAATTCAACTTTGAGTGGAATATCGAAGAGGACACCAGCGGCGATTACAATCCGCTCTATCAAACCCGCCATGAGGCGAACTTCTTTGGCCGTGGCCGACTGGCGGGCTTCGGAGATGACGTCTCAGATACCGTAGCGCGCAAGTATGCGGAAGCATTGGAGAGCCGCGATCATGAGGCGGGTAGCATGCGCGCCAAGGAGATCATGGAGATGGAGCGACGACGGCGTGAGGAGAGCACGCGCAGTCAGATCGACAAGCACTGGAGTGAGAAGCGACTGGAGCACATGCGCGAGCGGGACTGGCGTATTTTTAAGGAAGATTTCAACATCGCCACCAGAGGTGGCAGCGTGCCAAACCCAATGCGATCCTGGGAAGAGAGTCAACTGCCCAAGCGATTGTTGGAACTCATCGACCGCGTCGGGTATAAAGAACCTACGCCAATTCAACGTGCAGCGATTCCAATCGCCATGCAAAATCGCGATCTCATCGGTGTGGCAGTTACGGGTTCCGGTAAGACTGCGGCCTTCCTGCTCCCGCTTCTGGTCTACATTTCGGAGTTGCCACGGATCGACGAGTTTGAGTGGCGCAAGAACGACGGCCCATATGCTATTGTACTGGCACCTACCCGCGAACTGGCGCAACAGATTGAGATCGAAGCCAAGAAATTCACACAGCCGCTCGGGTTCAACGTTGTCAGCATTGTTGGTGGTCACTCGATGGAAGAGCAGTCATTTAGCCTTCGTGATGGCGCCGAAATCATTATTGCTACTCCCGGTCGGCTGGTCGATTGCATTGAACGACGCATGCTGGTGCTCAGTCAATGTTGCTACGTCATTATGGATGAAGCAGACCGGATGATTGACATGGGTTTCGAAGAGCCTGTCAACAAGATCCTTGACGCTCTTCCTGTTACGAACGAGAAGCCCGATACTGAAGAAGCGGAAGATTCCCGCGCCATGAGTCAACACCTCAGCGGACGCGGACGCGGAGGCGAACGCTATCGCCAAACCATGATGTACACGGCCACCATGCCTGTGGCGGTCGAACGAATTGCGCGGAAATACCTCCGCCGTCCCGCAATCATTAGTATTGGCAGTGCCGGCGAGGCCGTCGACACCATTGAACAGCGTGTAGAGATGATTGCCGGTGAAGACAAGCGCAAGAAACGTCTCGCCGAAATCCTGGCGTCCGGCCAGTTCCGGCCCCCGATCATTGTCTTCGTCAACATCAAGCGAAACTGCGACGCTATTGCTCGCGAAATCAAACATATGGGATTTTCATCGGTCACTTTGCATGGTTCCAAGACCCAGGACCAGCGTGAAGCCGCCCTCGCATCTGTCCGCAGCGGTGGCACGGACGTTCTGGTGGCTACTGATCTAGCGGGACGAGGTATCGATGTCCCCGATGTATCCCTTGTCGTCAACTTCAACATGGCCACCTCTATCGAGAGCTACACTCACCGTATCGGTCGTACTGGTCGTGCTGGCAAGAGTGGTGTCGCTATCACGTTCCTGGGCAGTGAGGATTCCGATGTCATGTATGTTTCTGTCCCTCCCCTACTCATTTTGGTATAACTGCTAATGTCCTGGAATCAGGTACGACCTCAAGCAAATGCTCATCAAATCACCAATATCGCGCGTACCCGAGGAGTTGCGCAAGCACGAAGCTGCGCAGTCCAAGCCGTCGCGCGGACCGGGAGCCAAAAAGATCGAAGAGAGCTCCGGCTTTGCTGGAAAGGGAGGATGGACCTAGCCACTTTGATTTCTCTGTATGAACCAAATGTACACTACCATGGTCTTAAGGCGATACCTTACCATACTGTCCATGGCTCGAGCGAAGGGCGAATTCCACGTAAACTGGCTCTCTTCTCACCTCTGGAAGGCGTGTCAAAGCATAAAGAAACCTTAGCCCAAAGCAGCAAGGCCACTGAGAAACTTGCCGAGATTACAGCGCAAGCCCACTTCCAACTTCACCAATCATCTTGCTGGCTGACGGGGGGCTAAGCAACAGAGCCGCACTCGTGCTCTCATTGGTACCAGTTTTGATTTGTCCGATGTCCCAGTGTCTCACGGCACTCGGCTGCGAGCCCCTTTTACAGGTCGGTTTGTGGTCCCGCACTAACAGACAAGCCTTTGAGTGGACTCTTCATATAAACCCATGCTTGGCCCCGTTTGCTCTTGGGGGCCGCTATCATCGTTCCCATTCGAAGTTATCTGTGAGATTCAACGCAAACTAGAATATGCGAACCCGGACAGCCTTGACTGCCGCAGTTTTGGCGGGCACTGTCTCGGCCATTAACCTCAACATCGACAATGAGCGTACGTTTTATTATTGTTTCAAACCCCGGTCGCTTGATCTTAAAATTTGCTAGAATCCATTAAAAATGCCGCTGCCACAGCCGCCTTCAACACCATGGTTAATTATACCGGTAATCAAACGGGACAAATTCCAGGCTATATCCAAGGTGGCTGGTGGGAAGGCGGCGCTCTGTTCCAGACGATGATCCAGTACTGGTACTTCACTGGTGACACCTCGAATAACGCCGCTGTCAGCCAGGGCATGTATTGGCAGCGTGGGAGCGGTGACGATTTTATGCCTTCCAACTGGAGCTTATCCCTTACGAACTCCGATCAGATGCTGTGGGGCCTAGCTGCTATGACCGCCGCTGAGCTTGACTATCCCCAGGAGTCTTCAATGCCTTCATGGGTGAGCCTGGCCGACGGTGTATTCGACACTCAAACCAGACGATGGGACAACGAGGTCTGCAATGGCGGCCTGCGAGATGGGATTCAAACGTTTGATAGTGACTATGACATAAAGACTGCCATGGCCAACGGAGGACTCTTTCAGCTGGCTGCACGTCTGGCTCGCTTTAAGAATACTGATCATTACTATATTGGCTGGGCCGAGAAGGTTTGGGAGTGGAGCGAGCAAGTCTCGCTTGTCGACACGAAGAGTTGGAGGCTAACGGAAGGAATATCCACGTCGGATGGTTGTAAGTCAATAAGTGATCTCCAGTGGACGTACAACTATGGCCTGTATCTCGGAGGAGCAGCGTACATGTACAATGTGGTCAGTGTTTTATTCCCTACTCTGCGTCAAATACAAAAAACACACTTGGATGGGACAGATGCTAACAAAGACACAGACCGGGAAACAAACATGGAAGAAAGGTCTTGATGGTCTTTTGCAAACCACTTTCGATACCCTCTTCCCAAAGGCATACGGAGGGAATATTATGTCCGAGACTGCTTGTGAAGCAGAGGACATCTGCAATTCCTCAGAGGATATATACAAGGGACTCCTCGCCTCCGACCTCCTATTCGTGAGCATTGTCGCGCCATATACCGCTGAAAGCATCACTTCACGCCTACGGGGATCTGCTGTTGCGGCGGCGAAATCATGCACCGGCGGTAATAACAATACCCTATGTGGCCAGCGCTGGTACAATTCAACGTGGGATGGAACTGCGACCATTGAAGATCAGATGAGCGCTGTCAACATCCTTACGGCAGCCCTGGCCTCCTACGTACATGTTAATACGTCGAGCCCGATTTCTTTGAACGCGACCCAATCAGCCTCGAGCATCGCTGCAGCCGCCACCAAGTCGAATGGTGCCGTCGCCCTCACACATGGCAGTATGAGCACCTTGCCCCTTATTGTGGTAGGTATTATTTCCGCTCTTCAAGGGATTGTCTACTTTTAGCGATATTGAGGTCATCTCGACTATTGTGTGAATAATAAGATGGACCTATATGTGTTTCTGTCAAAAATGTTATACCGCTAGACCCAAAAGCACCATGGGCCCTTGACTAGCTAATACAGTCATTTCCATACTTTCTACAGGTTCTCCCCGGGCAGAGTGTAAAATCTTCATCATTTGTGCGCCTTTTCGAACAGCTAATGTAGAAAAACATACATGCTCAATTGGGAACACTTAACGAGATAGTAATTGACTAGCTGAGCGTTTTACAGAAGGCAAAGAGACGCAAAAAGCGAATTTTGGGGGGGGGGATTACAACATCGCTTTGGGGAAACGTTTCATGGCTTGCCGGACCCCGAGGTCGCCTGGACAGACTGTTAGCAAGTGTGAATAACCCAAAGGACTACTGAAAACTCACCAAGGATCTCCTCTGTGCCAGCCAGGATAGCATCGAATTTGTATGTTCGATGGAACAGCTCGATAGCCCTCCCCATACCAGTCCTGGTAAGAGCGCGCCCACCAAAGACTTGCACAGACTCGTCTGCAATCTCATGGGCTGATCTCGTCGCAAACATCTTGAGGAGCCCAATTGGGCCACCGAGTTTGCTTTTTTCTGATTCCGGCGTCTGCTGCATTTGATGCGTGATGGTTTCCAGGTATGCCTGGTTGGCTTCACAATGAGCAATCATCTTAGCCAGCCTGGTCGTATATGTCAGAAATGCCTGTAGAAATATGAGAATTGTCAAATTACCTGGCTCTGATGACTGGCTGCTCAATAAGTCTTTTGCCAAATATCATGCGTTGGTTCGACCACTTCAGACATTCCTCGGTGACAACTCGCATCTGGCGGATCACCGCGCACGTCACAAACCATCTCTCATGGTTGAAGTTATTCATCACCACTGCAAATCCCTTGTGTTCTTCTCCCATGAGATGACTTGCAGGGACCTTGACTTGTTCATATGTCACAAATGCTGTGCCAGCAGAGGCACTATAGCTGGTCTTGATCGGTTTGGTCTCGAGCCCTTCGCTCCTCTCCACTAGGAATACAGACATTCCTTTTGGAGTCTTTGCGGCAGTGATAAAATAGTCACTGAACACACCGTTTGTGATCCATTTCTTGGTTCCTGAGAAGACATAGTGGGATCCATCCTGGGACTTCTCCACGGTTGTCCTCATCCCTGCCACGTCAGAGCCGGCAAAGGCCTCAGACACGGCAAGGCAGATCTTTTTGCGCCCAGAAAGGCACTCATCCAAGACTTTCTTTCTCAAAGCTTCGTTGTTGCAATACTTCATAATGACAGATAGAGAAATAGTCATGCCGGTCATGTTCCCTGAAGCAAAGTGAGCCCCCTGAGCAATACCCAGACCAGATGAATACATACCATCCATGAATCCTCTAGCGGAGACGTACCCAATCTCTTGCTGGACAATTTGATCATGGAAATAGTCAAATTCCTCGGGTTGAACGACGCCACCCAACAATGTTCGACCATGAAGATGCTCGCCAGGACCCATCCGCATGGCGAGAATATTATTTTCACTGCCATTTTACCAATGAGTAAGTATACAAGCAGACCCTAGAACCAGAACGTAGAAGACTTACGCCATGAGCCGAACTAATCTGTCACTGATGATCTCCCCGGTCTCTTCGCATCTCCTGGCCTCTTCTTCGACCTCTTCTTCCATGAATTTCCGCATGGCCTGCTGCAACAGCCGGTGGCTTTTTTTGTAGTACGGGCTTTTGTACTCCGGTCTCAGCCATAATGGCTCTCCATAGGGCACCGGACTGATGTCTCCCGGCTGCCGTTGGACAACCTGGCTTTCCTCGCCTTCAATTCGACCAACATGGAGCGACGAGTATTTCCGGAGAACCTCGTGCCGGTGAACATTATAGAATTCCGCGGTCGCATCCTGGCCGGCAACCTGACGAAGGACTGCTTCTCCACCAGGGTGAGCATCGACAAAGTCGGTCAGGTCGTAAACCTGGGAGTCAATGATGCAGAGCAGGGAGTCCTCCGGGTTGGCCTGGGCAATCTGGTCGCGAGTAAAGACTTTCATTATGCTAGCAGTGAGCATCAACAGTTACAAGGTACCTAGGTATTGTATTCGCCAGATATACTCCGTCCCTAGATCGCCCTTGCCCAAATAGGCAAAGCGGGCCGCGGTCGCTCCTTCCCCCCAGCCCAGCCAATCCCGAGATGGCAGGAGTCGTGCCGAGGTCTTCGCTCCTTCTCACCACACGCCGAGCTCGAAAGGCACTGACCGAGGCGTCAGAGATAATAATCTATCACTAGATTGGATATACCTTGATTCAGCGCCCTTCCTCTCGCACCATTCTCCTCCTTTCAAGCGCCATGTCCAAGCTGTCCCAGCCCTTGAAGGCGCTCATCAACTCTCCTCACGCCAGACCCGACACCATTCCGGCGCCGGCACAGATCAAATCCGTATACGAGAAAATAGCCCGCGATGCATCGTCGAAAGACATTGCCCTCTCAACATGGCTGAGCCTTACGGTATGCGCGGTTCCGACACCTTTTTTTGTGTTTTCGCTAACTCCACACCCTAGACAGCGGCGACCATGACCATGAACTCGCCCGAGTCATTGCTCCAGCTTCATGGAATAGTATCTCGCCTGCATGCCTCGGAAAGTGTTTATGCAGCAGAGCTCATGAGAGAAGTCGGTGTCAAATGCATTGGCTTCAATGGTGTATGTGCAATTCACGCTCGCAAACCAAGATGCTTTTGCTAAAGAGACCCCAGATCCCTCGAAGCATCAATTGCCTCAATGCGTTCTACGCAGGCCTCCCATCTGATGTGAAGAAGAACTTATCAACAGTTCCCACTCGGTTAGTCCGGGACCTCTCCGTTGGACAATTAGAGTTTCAAACTAACCACCTCTAAAAACAGATCCTTGACTCCGGATAACGTGTCGGGCGTCCTTGACAGGGGTCAAGGTCTTTGGAAATCAATTTATGCTCCTTTGGATGAAAAGCTCAGAAATAAGCTTGCTCAGTCCCACCCAGACCTGGCCGTGCATATAATTGAGTGCGGCTACGGGTCTCTGTTTTCTGACAACCCTTCTACTCGTAAACCGGCACAGGTTGGGAGAGTTCTCACTTCGATTGTTGCAGTTTCCTGTCTGCGGGCCCAAACTGGGACTGGACCCCAGGTTGTCAGTCATGTATTTGGGTTGCGAAAGGCCTTCCAGGATCAGAACGCCCAATTGGAGAAGGATGAATACATCAAGGGTGCGCAGTGGCTAGCTACTGATGAGGGAAGCATCTGGATGCTGGAAATTGTGGATTCAATTGTCCAGGTTATTGGAGAAGGCAAAGGAACGACATTTGCCCCTGGGCTCGGACGGGAATCAAAGTTGTAACTGTTGAATCTGGGTTGATTAATTTACTATGCTATGTAGAGTATTCGAGAATTTGTTAATGTTATCTCCAAGTTGAACGAATTGGAAAGTTAATAGAAGAATCCCGATGCACTTCATCTCCATCTTAAATTGCTTGGAAGCGCATTTGGTTGGAATTCTAGACTTGCATAAGCTCTCTTTCATCTCTGGTATTTTGAGTCCATTCGAGGTGTCCTAGTTGTCTAGACTTAGACTCCCCATTGCAAGTCCTGCGAATGCGGACACCACTTCTCGTGGGGAGCTTTGTTTCAACAGCTCGAAATGCGACACCCTGCGCCGATACCTGTACTCTTTCTCGCCAATTTCCACGCAGTTTCCAACCGGCCCGAATGCCATTCTTCTGGCTTCTTCCCACGGCTGCTTGCCGTTGATGAATGCAATCCATCTCATTCGCATCTCAGTCCCAACGGATTCTGCCTTAGGGTTTATCCTAGATAAATCATATCCGCCAAACAAAAAGATCAGATCAACAGCGTGGTGGCTTCTGCTAGAACTTTGCCACGGATTAGGTTGATCAACAATGTACTGATAGACCTTGCGTCCATTGCTGCGCCATTTGGCTGCAATGTCGTTGGCAGGCATGGCAAAGCAGTAATCATTAATAAAGTCCAACGCACCCAGTTTGCATGACGTTGATCTCTCAGGAACAATCCCATAAGCCGACTTGATGGCTGAGGAATTTTGAATTTTGTCGAAGCTTTTGTTTATCTGCTCCGCATTGAGTGACTCAACACCGTTTCTCCAAATTGCAGACTGTTTGACCGGTGTCAGTAAGTTTCTGTTAAGTAGATCAGTGTGGCCCTTACATCGTATTCACAATCTCCGACCATGAGCTCCTCAACGGCTTCAGGCTTTGAATTCCAGCCTTCTAGCCCATCGGTTGCTTGTAACCACATAGCCCCGACTCCGTCCTTCTCCAATCTTTTGAGAAGCAACTCAGCAGGCACATCTTTGAGAGTGTATCCAGTTTCCTTTTGGATAATCTTCGCCAGGTTGCTTGTCATGCTTTGCCCTCTCTTCGGAGGGAGGGGTGGCGAGAGTGCAAGGGAACCAGATTGAAGAATGGCACGTTTAATTGGAGTGCCAACAATAGAATGGGCATGAACATAAACACCACCAGCAGATTCCCCAGCAAGTGTAATGTTTTCCTGCTGCGAGTCAGATTGTACTTTATTATTCAATTTAAAACACATGACGAACCTTGTCACCTCCAAAGCCTTCAATATGTTTTCGAACCCAGTCGACAGCGATCATTTGATCTTTCAAGGCAAGGTTCGTTTGACTTCCATCTCCAAAGCCAAATATGTTGAGCCTATAATTGAGTGCCACCACGATGATTGGCTTGTTGAGCTCGACAGATTCGGCAACCATACGATGCGGATCACATAGCTTGCCCCCAATGTTGCCAAAGGTCATGACCTGTGAGCCGCCTAGGATTCATATGTCAATTTCTTTCCCTACTCTTCGCTCCCTAAATGTACGCGAATGGAGAGAACACTAACCATATATCCACATTAAGACCGGCAGCTTCTTCTGTCTCTGTGGCAACGCAGGAACCGTGACTGTGAGATTGAGACATTCAAACTCATTTTGTGTCGTTAACCAGTCTTCAAGTCCCTGTGGAACACGGAGTAAAACTTCAGGTGGTGTGTAATTCTGGGGGCAGACAGGACTAATAGTTCACGTGATTAATATATATCACAACGATACGATAGAAATGCAGAGCCTACCCAAATTGAGTACAATCTATCGGGTCTAGTCTCTGCACTTGGTTCGAGCTCCATAGTTCTGATATCTCAAATCGACCTGGAACATGGCCATATTTGATGCCTCTGAACTGATTTATGGGAACCCCACGCACATCAGAAACAATTCCTTTGAGAGAAACTCGTAAACTGGCGTGGTTCCGGAGCACAGTCGTCATTTCTTCTTTGGAGGACCCCTCCCCAGTCTTCGAGGGCTCAAGGTGAGCAGAAATTGCCCTGAGACGATCTGCGGACATTTTTTCGAAGAATAACAAGCGGATGACGAGTAAGCAACACTATCGACAAGACCCAAGTGCTTTTATGGGCTAGTTACCTATATATAAGTCTATCATCTGAATGATTTTTGTCCTCGGCAAAGCCCAGGCCGAGCTAGCCGAATGGACCAAACGATGAGCTTCGATAACGAAACAGCTTCGTCATATGTGGTTTAAGAATGAGAGCGCTGCATGATGGCCCATGCCTGGATGTAGAACACATACATTAATAGTTGACCTTTGATAATGGCCATAATGTGTAAGCCCGTTTCCAGCAGGGACGCACAAGTTTAGAGTGGGTAAAACAGCTCTACCAGATACATCAAAGAACAAACTTCGCGATAAACAGCAATTATTTTTGCTGACTGCTGAAATACAACCCTTAATATAACCGAATGATAAAAGTCAATAGCAGAGATTAAAATAGCAAAATTATGTGGATAGATAGGCGCATTATTATTAAGACCAGCTTGGTATTCGGTATCGGGAAAGATGATGTTGTTCAAATCCGTTGCGCATTTAGGCTTACCCCCAACATTGAACCACATAGTTAGACAACGCAGCCATCATACTGCATGTAAGAAATTTGAGAAAAAAATCCATCAGCATATGGAATGTAGTATTTACGAAACCTTTCTAGTACAAGTATACTTAATTTCAAATATTGAAGCGGAGGACAACAATAACGGATGACTCAGCCAATTCTCCCCTCCTTTCCATTCCCGCTCATTTCCGAAAGCCAGTGTCCGTCTTAAACCGATAGTGATACAAGGCATAGTATCTGAAAATATGCGTTCCAGCCTGTCCTGCGAATTCTGCAGGTGAGTTTCACTCATGTTTCAAATGTTCCATCAAGGCATTGAACCATCACCCTAACCCCGTCCACCAATATAGGCGGTCTAAGATCAAATGTGTGCACACTGGAAACCCACCATGCCAGAAGTGTCAAAAGTCAGACATCCCCAATTGTGTTCTTAGTCGGCCTCGCCAGAAAACGTTGAAAAATACCGGACGCCGATCATATCAGTCAGAGAGGCCTACCTCAGGTCCCCTACCACCCAATGAACATGGAGCCAACGGGTCTACTCAACCGTCGTCTTCCTCACCAGGACGTGATAGGGTGACCAATGCAGAAACCCATGAAGACGTGGAATCCTGGGGAGGATTTTGCACTGATGAACATCTTTCTAGTCTGAGCTCCGGCATCATTTTTAAGGCACTCAACACATTCGCAAACAAATACCCAGAACTCGGGATCATTCACATCCCCCAGTTCATGAAAGAATTCCGATCACTAGGCTCTCGTGAGACAAAAACATTACTTGCAGCAATTCTTGCCATCACCAGATCCCGTCTCTTATCTCTGAACTCTTCCTGGTCTGAAACCATCCTATCCAGAGAACAATATGCTTCTTACGCTGGAGAAACTATATCCCATAGTGTCCTTGGAGAACCAAAGATCCAAGTTGTCCAAGCGTTACTTGTGATGACGCTATTTGAATGGGGCACTCGGGAGTTTCACAAATCCTGGATGTACTGTGGTAGGCCTTCCATCACACTATAACATAATTTATATGATCTAAGATTCGCCAGGAATGGCGATCCGAATCATGCAAGCTATACACAGCCACCGTATTGCTCCATATCCTCTTGATTTTACAACTACCAACGAGCGAAGTGGAATCTCTCTCGCAATTGAGAACAGGACTTTCTGGTCGTGCTTCATAATGGACCGGATGATCAACTCTGGAACCTATAACCCACCCATGCTTCCAATGTCAGAAATGAAAAACATGAAAATCAGTCCACCATTGAGCGCAGTTGAGTTTACATTTGGCCCGGACGTGAAGTCAAACAGAAACGGCGTTGAACAAATCCTCTCAAATTCTGGGTCTCGACCTTCCGATCTCTTAGACATCACTCAATCGTTTGAGATATTGGTATCGGGATTTGATATATGGGCCCAAGTCATGACATTCGTCTTCAAAGATGGCCGGCGAGCACCAGGAATGTGTAGCCCGAATAATTGCCCATGGGTTCCGGGATCACCGTGGTCGCGAACAAGGAGTCACCTGGAATGTTGGAGAGCTGGCCAACATCACCGGCTCCACTACCCGAACAACAGTGTTGCAGCTCATATGAGTCTAGGTTGTGGGGAGTCTTTCGTGTATTCGAATTTACTCTACTATATCTGGTATGGACAGTACTCTACCGAGTCGTAACAAAGTCAAAGCTGACATATATGTCGTGCAGCACCCTCATCCTTCATCGTGAATATTTTCCCTTCATGCCTCTTGCAGACTCAAGTCCCCGCGGCCCACTTGAAATTCCTGTTCTTGAAGCTCAAGCTCCAAATGGCTGGTGGAATGAAAGTGCTGCAGAGCTTTTTGGAGCCGCAAAGAACATTTCTAGCCTACTCCATGAAGCATCAGACTGTGGGGCTGATTTGATGTCACCCTTAGTGGGATTCTGTGCCTTCAATGCTGCATATATGGATCTTTACATCTTCAGGTTTCCTCAAATGAATTTATGTCGCAGCCCCGATGCCAAATTACACTTGGATTATTGTCTCTCTTATCTTGAAGACTTTCAGCATCAATGGAGTATTGGTGAAAGCTGGGTAAGTTCATCCCTTTAAACCCTACATATTCCTCTACTGATTCATGTCAGATCAAAACTGTCAAGCATGCTTCATTACTCTACGAACGAGCTGCTGCCGATAAAGCATGGTATCAGGGCAGCTCGCGAGCTGACTTGGACATTTTGCACCAATCTATCCATGAGTTTCGCGTGGTTGATAGGTCTGACCAACAAATCCGGGAGATTGAGGGCGCGGAGAGAAGTATTACCTCTCTGACTTCAAGTTTATCTACCCCATTATCAAATTCCGAATCTGATGTATCGGAGAGGAACGTCACAATTAACGATTTGCTGCCAGAGATGGTCAGACATGCCCAGGAACAAGGCACTTGGGCTCAAGGGTGGCCAGCATTGGGTGAGGTGAATCTGGCTTTATTTTCGGGATGATTCAATACAAAGGCACAATATAGATATATTGACAGTTTGTTATCTAGACTATCTATCTACAAATTAATCTATCTCGAGACTCATTCTTACAAGCCCCATGCTAAGTCGACATTCACGATGCAATGAAGTGGAAATCTCCCTGATTCAAAGCTTCGCCATACCAGCCTTCTGTTCCTCTTTGGCCTTTTCTTTCAGAATTCTTCTCAATATTTTCCCAGCTGCACTTTTCGGGATTTCATCGACGAAGCGAATTCCACCCCGCAGTTTCTTGTGGTTTGAGACCTTTGAATTCAGCCAGTTGATAATTTCCTGAGCCGAGCCATCAGAGCGTTCTATGCCCGGTCGCAGCACAATATAGGCACGAGGGACCTCAGTGTGCTCCTTTTCAAAGTTTACCCCAATAACAGCCGCGTCATTGACGTTTGGATGACCGAATAGCAGCCCCTCAAGCTCTGTGAACAATGTCAGATGCCGCTAGAGCAAAGATTTCATGGAAACTAACCTGCAGGTGCCACTTGGAACCCCTTGTACTTAATGAGCTCTTTCACTCTATCGGTAATGTAGAAGCTGCCATTTGTGTCTTGATACCCGACGTCACCAGTTTTGAAATATCCATCCGAGCTGAAGGAATCCTTTGTGGCCGCCGGATTGTTCCAGTAGCCTTTGAAGACGTTGGGCCCTTTGAGATAGAGTTCGCCAGTCTGGCCAGCGGGGACCTCTTCGCCATCAGTAGAAACATACTTCGCGGTCATATTTGGCATCATCTTCCCAACGCTTCCACAACTGGCATACCATTCCTCCCAAGGCTGCATATGGGTGACGGGGCTGGTCTCACTCAGGCCGTAAGCATTGTTGATCTTGACATTCGTACGCTTATAAACGGCGTCAACAAGCTCGCGTGTTAATGGTGCAGCGCCGGAGGTGATCATGCGCAGAGAGCTGAGGTCGTACTTCTCAACCACTGGATGGTTCGCGAGGTGGACCAGAACTGGTGGCGCGACATATACAAATGTCACCCTATGCTGCTGCACTATCTTGAGGAATAATTCCAAATCAAAGCGTTCCATTGCAATCATCTCAATGCCCCGGTACAAAGACTGATGTATAAGAGCTGTGAGACCTGAACAAAGCATTAGATATGATCAAAACATAAGTAGCTTATGGTTTTGCTCAACTCACCATAGATATGGTAAAATGGGAGCAACCCGATGAATTTGTCATTTTGCCACGAATAGCTCTTCCCAATCGATGAGGTGAACATCAGGATATCGGAGACAACGTTGGAATGCGTCAACATTACACCTTTCGGGAGTCCAGTGGTGCCAGACGAATAAACCAAGAATGAAAGATCTTTATCTGGATTTAGAGGTGTTCTTTTCATGCTTCGGGTAGCTTTGATTTGATCGAAATGTTTGAACTGTCCGCCTGGGTCTCGATCATCACCAAGCAGCATGATGCGATCCAAGGGAATGTTAACCTTCTTGGCAGCGGCCGTGACGACAGGTAAAAGCGAATGGAATGTTGCAATTGCCTTGGCACCGTTGTCTTTCAACTGGAAGGAAAGCTCATCAACAGAATAGGCAGGGTTTGACGGTGAGACAGTTCCACCCGCAAAAAATGTCCCGTATATTAGGACAGGTATATCAATACTATTGGGAGCGAAAATAGTGAGAATATCGCCTTTTTGCCAGCCCCATGTTGACCGCAAGCCTTCCCCGAAAGCAGAAGCGGCATTTTGCAGATTTTCGAAGCTATAATGCCGGTGTGTAACTGCATCGCGATAGATCACTGGGGAAGATTAGCACAAAGCAGACAGATTATCATTCTCAAACAAACCTTTATCAGCTGGGAATGGTTCATCCCGCTTCTCTTCGAACATCAACCCCCAAAGGTCTACCGCCGGGATATTGATGGCCGGAAAGGACGATTCTGTCGGCATGTTGTCGGGTGACTTTAGAGGAGTCCCAGCCACTCAGTTTACTTGCCTGCCGCAAGGAATAGATAGGTATGACCTTGAGAGCTGCGCTCTTATATCCGACTAACTGATGGCTATAGCCCAGGAAAAGAAACACGAGGCAACGGAAAAGAGCTTGTCAACTTCTGGAACGACAACGGCCGAGGAGAAGAGAGGGGTTGGTCACATGACTTGTAGAATATTGAACAAGAAGTGATCGGCCATGACTCGGCATTATCGGCTTTCCAGAACGGGAAATTTATGCAGCAGGCAAAATGCTGTCTCTTAGTCGAATTTGCCTGCTCGCCAGACGAGTGACTACCGCGGGAACAGAGCTTGACTGCTCTATTCGTACATATGCGAACTAGGTCCTTTGTGGCCAACGTACACCCGGGCGGTCTTTTCACATTTCGGCTCTCGGCTCAAGTAGAGAAGCCGGTCAAAATTCCAATTGTTTACTTATTTACATATCCTTGTTTCTAGCAATACAGTGCGTCTCGAAGCCGGTGCCACCACCTTCACTCTTTCATTGTTTCCCGAACCCCTATGCCAAGTCCCACTAGTCTATCTTAGAATTAGACTCGGTATATCGATATTCCTGTATCAGTATCTATACGCTGACTTACTCTAATTATAATACGTCGCTCTGTCTTGGAACTGAATTGGCGATCCAAGGCAACTGGGATTTTCATAGTAATGCAAACAAGTCAACCATCAGAGCCAGAGAGGGCCTCGAGAATCTGGCGAGATATCGATTCCTTCTGCCACTCCTATGTCCAAGTAACAGTTTGTTGGATTATACCGTACCAGACAGTGCAAACAGTGACTTACATTGACTTGTTTACCTGCAGACTACAGACGCATGGATGGTCAGCTTCACCACTACGAGCATTCTCGATAACTAGTAATTTAACGAACTTTCGTATAAATAGGCAAACGAGAATTCTCTGGCGGATTTAAATTAATCAGTCTAAGACAAACATCAACACGAAGCAATAGGGATCAGTTAGATAGAAAAGTTTTACTTCTGTAGAGGCTGTATCGCACGGACGTGGATAATAGTAGGGCTTTTGCCTCGGTGTTAGTTCTTCCTGCGTGTTTCGTCTTCTATCATAGGCCATAGAACGACTAGTAAACAGAGCTCAATCATTTCGGCGGTGATACCACCGGGCGCAGATAGTCGAAGGTTTACAGGGAAAGAGAGCTAAATGGGATGGCAAGACAACGAGAGGTAAGCCTGTAGAGGTAATAAGAAGATGAATGGCAGGAGCCGGTGGTGGTTGTGCAAGAGAAGGAAGATATTGGAAGCTGTGAAAGAACAGGAACTGGTGGAAGTTGTAGGAGGGAAGAAGAAGGAAGGCTGGAAGTCAAGTTTATATTCGCCGAGAATCTTGCGTAGCTCATCAACCTGTATCATAAAGGAAATTAGATTTTAAATACATATGCGCACCAACAGCCATGCAAACGCCAAAGCAAGTGTTGTTTGTGAAGAAACAAAATAGGAAACATCCAAACGGCAGTTAATAACTCGCGGATGATCCAGGGACAAAGTCCATCCCCTTCGAACCCGCAACGTATCCCCCCTGGCCCCAGAAAGTACGAGCAGCATCAGCCCACATGGTCTCGGGCTTCATAATGTTCTCAAAGGTATAGAAGCGACGGTAGTCGGCGGCCTCATAGACGAACTGCAGAGGCACCTCATCCTCGCCCTTGCGGTAGGCACTCCTGAAGTTGACCTGTCCTCCTTCCCCACCGAGCTGGAAGGGAATTCTGTGGGGGTTCGGGAAAGCTTTATAGATATTTTTCCTTAGCTCGGCAGTGGGAGCGACTTTGTACGCCGTCTCTCCAATTGCAAGAATCTGCGATAACGAGGCAGCAGTGTTACCCTTAGAACCGCCGATGGCTTGCATTGGTCCGACTCGTGGCCGTCCGCCGAAGACTAGGCTCTTGACAGCGCCTTGGCTCTTCATCAGCTCTGCGAAGACCGTGCAGGTTGATGTGCAGAGTCCGTCTGTCAACTATTCAGTTGGTTGGTTAGCATTTCCGTCTCATTTAGAATTCCCAAATGGTTATGGCCGGTTACTTACCAAGAGAATGTTCTCCGGTTCAAATAGTCGCTCGTTGGGAATCTGAGGAACCCCGCCGTAGCCTCGAATCGGAGACGTAGGCATGGAAGATTTGGCCAGCCATTCAACGCCCATCAAGGCTGACATATTCCCTCCGAGCTGTTCGTAGGGCCCGTAGATTTCCTGCCATGATTCAAAATGTAAAACCTGAGTCGGAGTTTGGTCGGGTTTGACAATAGCTTCGATGCAAAGATCACTAGCAGAGTCGCAAGCAAGATAATCAGCTTTCTTGGCGACTTTCAGATGGGCAAGTGCCTGTCCAGCAAGATTGAAAGCCTCGTGATCGCGTATGCGAGAAGCCTGGTAGATATCTTGGTCGGGGAAGAACAGCTTAAATAAGTCCATACCACTGCTGAGATCACCTCCCGGATTGGCAGATAGATCGATAACCAACTTTTTCTTGCCGTCTCGGACTGCTTGCACGACGAATTTGGTTGCGATACTAGCAAACTCGGCGGGCTCCATAGCGTATTCGGAGGGCTCGAAGCTAGGGATGGCAAGAACGGCCACATCCTGCAGATCAGTCTCGTTGAGATAGTAACCGGAAAGCATATTATAATTATCCCGCGCGAGAGGCTTAGGATAAAAGAATGGCAAAGGGTTGGTGGTGTTTAAAGACCCCCCACTAGATGTCGAGGACAGAGACGCGGAAGATGATGTGCCCTTAAGACAAGCGCCTTTAAGCAAGGATTGGCCACTGGTATACGCAAAGCCGACATCCGTCTGGGCAACAATTGGCTTGTGAATGGTCGTCCCGTTGGCAAATTGTATCTCATACGTTGCTCGCCCAGGCCAACCAAGCTGTTGCACAGCGAAGCCTCCTTGAGGAGAGAACGAATCGGCCACTAACCGCACGGGCGACATGAACATCATATTATAACTGATTACCTGTTAGATGGCCAGTTTTGATGCTAGATATAACACTTACCGAGCATCTGGATCCTGCAATGACATTAGGCTAGATAGGTTTTCTATTGCCTCTGCTGCCGGCTCACCATTGATAGCGACAATAGGGGAGACAGTTGAGGAGCCTGAATTGAGTAGCCGCGCATCCTCTGAAGCGTAGATCTGTGGAATCTTGACTCCATCCGTGGAAATTGATACCACAGGGAGATCTACCTCAAAGCTAAAGATCTGTGGAGAGCAGGTATCAATAGAGAGGTGTCCGTCATTGGAAGTTGCTAATAGCTGGTCGATGGCTTGGTCAAACTCGTACTGGCTACTGAACGCTCCTAACAGGGCTAAGTCTTCAATGATTTTGAGGCCACCTAGAATATCCGTAGGAGGAGACAAGTAACCAAGCGGCGGGTCTAGCGTAGGGAGATTGCATGTTAGAAAAAGACGTAGTTGTTAAAGCGCCATACTTACTTTGGAGTACCTCGAGAGTGCTTTGCCACTGCACAAACTTCGTGATTTCGCTGACAAAAAGAGTACCATTTCTAGGGTCGAAGGGCATAGATCGAAGGCAGTTGTAGGCCAGCTCCCCTGGAACTGTGACAAAGTCCGTTACTGGGTAGGGCCTGTCAGTTGTGTAGATCAAGATTGCTGATCCGTTTCATTCCATACCGTTTGCTTTTCTGGCTTGTGCGGCGAGCTTAGAGACGCCCAGGCAAGCATTCTGTTGCGTGCTGTTTCTGCTCGGAAGTGCGACTGCGGACAAGCCGCCAGCCAGGACAAGAAGTAAAGAAAATTTCGGGATCATGGTTTCATATGATTCTCAATGAGACTGCGAATATGTGCGAAGAAAATAAACGGAAAGCGAAGAGATCGTGCGACTTGTGTGTTTATATATGCATCTATCCCGTTGGCCATTAAGGTCATAAGGGTGAGGGCGAGGCTGTACCGAAGTGTAGTTTTCTATAGATTTCGTCCTCATAGTTGGGGCGAAGCAACACGCATAGATGACCCTTATAATTAGCGTGCTTAGGCTCGTTCGGCTATCCAAATGATGAGGCTACCTATTCTGTAAGAGATGGCCTAGTATGGACTAGTTTGGTGGCTTAGAGGGACCATTGTGGGGGCAAGGTTAATGGCCGGCCTTATTCGCGTCTAGCGATGCGCTCATTCGCTGTGCCGTGATTTAGGCGTGGTTAAAATTGCTAAGGCCCCCCACACTATCTGAACAGCCTTGCGTTAAATAGCGGAAGCTGAAGCTTTTTAGTAAGTTCTAAAAAAAGATGCGCATTGGCGCAAATGAACAACTTCACCAATTATCGAGCTTCCACCGTACAAGAATACGATTAAAATTAAATTATGCCTTAGCCAAATTTGGATCGGAAGTTGTGATCGGCGCTTTCACTCTACTGGCTATTTCTACTTTGTGTGCACAATGTCCTGTCGCTGGGTTGTGATAGACTAACCTAGCAGCCCCAATATGGACCAGTCAGTTACTTCTTTTCTATGTTCCGGAAGTGCAATAATCCCTATCTCGTAGGGAGGGAGTTAAAGCGGTGGCGCCAGGACGGAAATGCCACGAAAATCGACATCTAAGGTCACGCAGTTTCGTGGCCTTTCCGGCGTCGCCCTGAGTTACTTCGTACCACATAGTAATTTGTATGGTAGACCTGTGTGCCTCCTATCCTACAAATGTCTCCCAGCCACCCAGAGTCTGCCCTCAACTCGTACAAAACTAGGTGTACATGATCTCTCATAGTAATTAATATGGCAGGCCAGGTACTCCACTTTTCTTAAAGGTCTCCCGTAGACCTGGCAGTCACCCGCCACGCGGGTCCAAGGTCTAGTCTCTCCACCCGCTCCTCACAGGGTCGGACCCCACCAACCCTGACCCTGTCAAATCTCGACATAGTTATTTTGAATTTTCTCGCTATCCTGAACAAAGCCTCCATCCGCAATGCTCAATTTTGCAACAAATTCATGGATGTTGCCCGTGTTGATCTTGTCGATGGAAATCTGGTTCGTGAAATCAATAGTGATGAACATTATCTCGATGCTGCTGTCTAGGCCGCGAATCTTTTGGATAACTAGAAGCAACTTGGTTTGATCTCGTCCAGAAAGGATGATCATTGATGGTGGTTGTCTAGCAAGAGAAGGGGCAGTCTCGGCCCCGATTCCCGCTTCACTGGGACCGGTTATTAGAACTATCAGCAGATGTTAGTTCAGTTGTAAACCGTACATTTGCGACCTCTAACCCATACAGCAAATTCGCGCACAACTTCATCCCCAGTTGACGCTCACGACCACTTCGGCGATATTTTTCGGTAACGATATTCACAGGGAAGCAGTCAAAACAAGCCGCCAGCTAGTCATGGAACGGTCGTGTAAGCTCAAAATATAAGTAATTCAAATCTTCAAATCTTCAAGCGAATCAAAGCTGACCGACGGATTTTAACATTATCTCCGTCTGCCCAAAAATCCGAATTTCACATCTCCATGAAGCTACTGTAGAAGCAAGGAAAACATTATTTGTCAATAGGCGCATTTTTTGTCCGAAAGAGATTAGCAATCTGGTCACGCTTTGCAGGATGGACGTAATGCATACCCGCCCCCTGGTAATAGTCGGGCCCTCCCCAGCGAAATGTAAACCCAGCCAAATCCAGACTTTTCTCCGTCGAAGCATTCTAAGAGGCCACATGGGGAGGACCCGTTCTTTTCTCTGGTGGATGCTGGCTGGCTGTCGGCCCGAACCGAGCCAGGCCCATCTCCACTGCCATGGGCCTCTAGCCACCTCATCAACTTTTTCGATTGATGGCGCGACATTTTGTGGCACCCGAACTTGCAGCCCCGCCATCTCATCGAGGTGCAAGGTGGTTTTTTCGAATAGGTGATCGCACAAAGTCTCGAGCATGACTGGAGTGATGCTACGGGGTCGTCCACCTTTATTAGGTGGTGTTTTGTCGCTGCCAAATATCCGTATATTGGAAGAGATTCTCAGGATGGTACTCCTGCTACAGCCAGCAGCCTGTGCCGTCTACGATATAGATAGTTCCCCACTGTGTATCATGCCAGAGATAAGCTCATGCTTTGAGGGGGCTCGGTGGGCTCGGTTTGTGGCCATCTTAGTTCAACAACTCGTAATTGATTGTTAAGATGCGCGTCCCGAGGGAGGCTGGCGGGTGTACTGAATTTACAAGCAAAGATATGCTTGGAATTACTATGTAATTAGCAGCAATACACCTCCAACGAGCAAGGGTACTCCGGAAAAACTCCCAATATAGACTGGTGTGTCTTGGCGGTGGGGATGGAGAATCAATCAAAGAGTGTAGGTGGTGGCGGCACTTTTGAGACGCACTGTACCACCTACCTACTGACATCTCATTCTCTACTATTCGACACGATCCCCTCGAATTATCCAGTGGCAGAACTACGTTTCAACGATCAGACAGTGGCTATTACTGAGGTCGGGGCCGGCCTCGGTAGGGCTAATGCTTTGTTTTTTGCTTCAAAGGAAGCTAATGTGGTTGTCAGTGACCTTGGTGGTTCTATGAAGGGAGATGGAGGTTGGTGAAAGGCTCAACCTCCAAGCCCGAGAACCTAAATATCATGGTGAGGAGCGTTAATTAAGAAAAAGTCTAACACCCAACGGCATTTGTTCAAATTCACCAAATGAGTTTTATAGTCTAGGCACGTGGAATGAAGAGTTGTCATCTCTTGGTGGCTTTGGTTGCAGATCATCATACCACTCCTCATTGTTCAACCCTTCCAGTATTGGGAAATAAAACTGATCATTACAGTCCACCTGAATATTGTAATCGAGAGTATTCATTGTGTCCAGCAAACCACCGACACTGCCAAGGGGGTCTCTGGGATTCTGTTCCCATTCAATAGTTTGCGGTATCCCAGGTTGATTATCATCATGATCATTGGGAGATGGAAACAACTCAGGAAGTATGAATTGGGTAATCATGTCTTGATCTTTGGAGCTGAATGGTAGGTAGAATGGGAGATCGAATATATCAACTGAGCGGGGATTAGAATCGTGGTCGAGGTTTCCAGTAGACGTGCGGCGGTGTAGCTCCATGGGAGACGGATGGTTCCACGCCGATGAGTGAATGCCTGCTAGCGGCTTTAAGCTGCTGAGAAGCCCGTGGTCTGTTTCTCTCGACGCAGAGTATGGGGTTATATGAGTTTCAGACATTGCTTCATGGCTTGTGAAGGCTCGATCAAAATACTCTTTTAAGGTTCTATTGTCGAGAATAGCCACAAAGAGTTGATGTGTTACCTTTGCTATAAGCCACACTTGAGACAGATCGTCTAGTGCACGGAAACAGATGTTGATTTTCACACGGCAGGCTATAACGGCGGAAGGAACTGTGGATAGTCTTGCATGATGAATATGCATCGTCAGAGCAGTGAACAGACTGTAAACACTTTCAAATATCAGCTTTTTGTTGAAGGACTATGAAGGAAATTTTTCATACATGAAGCAAGGTAGGTATTTAACTTCACCATGTTCTCGCTGTGTGTTGATAATTGACGCTATCATATCAGCAGCATAAAATGCAACCGTTCTGGACACTGCCATTGTGTCCTCGGCTTTATTTTCTCCCATATTATCTGAGGAAGGCCACATGTAAGCTCTGTGTAAAAGACACAGTGATGTGCTAGTATAATCAGCATAACTCTCAGGCCAATAAGCTTGGACATACTAGTAATTCAAATGCAACAAAGCCGCCCAGAAATTGTGACGGGAGTGGTGCCAATTAACGTCGTTTGGACAATTTCGCAACCAGGAGGCAAGTGCGAGACTGGAACTAGTCAAGTCTTTGCTTTCTGACTTGCTGGACATTGAGACTTCTTGGGAGAGTACGCGGACCATGATTTTGCACAAGGAAACGTACTGAAGAAAAAAGTGAACATGTATGGAGTTGGGAGTATAAATACCCGCTCGCCCCATGTCTCCTTCCTTAAAGTCATCCTCGTTCAATGTTTCGATATCGGAGTCATTCATGTTAATCCCAATTGGTCGATCTAGAGCCAAAGCTACCGAGCAGTCTCTAGTAAAAAGGGTCCACCAAATTCGTTTCCACAATCTTTGATCTGCTCGGCCAATCCCTTTCAACTTTGCACTGTTCCTCAAGTTAACCAAAGTTACTGGTTTGATCTATGCGAAATTTTGGCGCCATACCCTCGATGCATATCAAATCCCTGCGCGGAGACCACAGCCAATCTCGTCCAGTAGAAGACGTTTTTGGTCATTTCTGTGCCCAAGTTAGTATCGATGATTTTAAGTTCAATGTAGAAACCAACCCTCCGGACCTTCCCAGTACCAGCCAAAAAGTATCAGTGCTTGGACTACCGCAACACAATCACCCTCATAGTTTGCATCATATAACGCTTTTGCTCTTTTGTAAAAATTCATTGATGCCGATATTGTAGAAGACCCGTTTATGTCTAAGAGCTGAGGACTCGTGCAAACTCTCGAGCCAGCCAGCAGAACCGCTTGCAAAAGTAAAAGTGAGGGTGGGTTTTTAGGATTTCCATACTGGCGCATAAATCGACAGCGGTCGATTATCGGAACAACTGGAGCAACCCAGTTGAAGTATGCAGCCACTAATTCATCACATAGTGATTTTGGTGGTAGTAAGAAAGCACCTTGCAGAGACAAAATATCTAAGCCAGGCGCTGGAAGACAAGGAAACCCATCCTGAAAGTTGTCAAAAACGATAGGAGTGGTGGCAGTCTGTTGGACATTGTTGTTTTCTAGCTGATTTGCTGGGGGGTTTTGATTTTTCTGACAGCTGTCGGTGTTTTTAGGTAGAACAGTTTCCGTGGTTCGCTTGCGTTTGCTGATCGCATCGATTTCGTCACTTTTATAGATACTCCGCTGTCAGTCTCCGCTGATTTTGGAAGAAATATGATCAATGAAACCGACCTCTTATACGATTTATATTTGGTTCGGGTTTTGCGCCACCTCAGGCTCGGAAGCCTGCACTCCACACCAAATGCCGCGCAATTTGAACAAGGCTTTCCAGATCTAGCTATGGCATCACACCGAACCTGGACATATTAGAATGTATGTAAATTTCTTTCCGAAAACAGAGAATATGAACGAAGTTATAACTTCAGAGGCGTGTTTTTACCTTCCTTGCGTGGCAGATCTTAGAAGCAAGTTTATTAGCCCAAGTCTACGATTACCGATTGAGATACCATGAATTGTTTTCATCAAGAAACTTACCTCACAAGCACGTGTTGCCCGTCGTCTATGACATCAAAATCAAGTTAGAACATGCACCGGGAACTGTTCAGATTGCAAATTCCGCGAACAGAAAAGGGGGAAATGGATCAGCAGCATATCCAACGTAACCTACTTCCGAAATCCACGAGAGGAAGATTGCTCATTACTGGACATATTGGTTTCAGGACCACAGTCCATCAATACACAAAACGTTGTCTTGGGGTCGGTGATATCCGCTGTTTCGTTAACGGAAGCTCCGCTCACACTGGAGTTGTGTTTTCTCACTCAGGAACAAGGAAGAGGAGGTGAAAGTATTATTGAACCAAATCCTATTGAACTTGCCATTGAATATGTGGCTGTGAAAGCGATGTACGGAATCGGGTTTGACATGGGAGAAAACCGTATCGGCCCTCGTCAAATGCTTTAATATTGCGGGGGCCTTGAAGTACGTACGCGGGGCTAATAGGGCAATCTACCGATCTTCGGGTTTCCATTTTGATTATTCTGGCCATCTTTCGCTAATTTTAGGCCGCTTTCTCGCAGGATGCGACCCGGCAGATTGCATCTTTGTTTCGGCGAGGGCTGCGTGACTGTACCTCAACTATCAACTATTACATACAACTGCATGAAGACATCGTTTCTGAATAAATTTAGTTGTCATAAAAGGAACTGACCCTTGAGAGGAGCTCTACTTGACCAAAAAACTTATTTTAATTGTCACTAAGGGTCCGAGTCACGTACCGTGGGGTGGGTGTAGTACGTCCCGCTAATCCGACATTGATTAACCGAAACCCGATAAAGATTGTCATGGGGCAACGTCTTTTCCGATACGAATAGCCGATCACCAAAATTGAGATTTACCGATCAATTATTATTATTAAACATCTTGTTTGTAGGTTGGCACTCAATCAAAGCTGTGTATTCACGCTCCAGGATTACTGGGTATCCCAAAGGTTGTAAGTCCTGAACAATCAAGCATATATTAGCCTCTAAACGGTCAAACTCTGCCTTGACCGTAGCAGCACCATGTATGTGGTTAATATATAGTAGCGTGATTCTCCTTAGCAAGTATCCAAATCCTAGGTCTAGAACGGTTCGGCTGAACAACCCAAGTGACAATCTCCCTGCACCAGCAGCTTTCCTCTCTACTTTCCATTTTGCAAAAGCAACATAAGAACTGAACTTGAGACCGGGAAGGATTCCCTACCACACTTTTATGCAACCTTACTTTAATCTCTGCCTCCACATCCATTGTCATGTCTTTGATAGAGCAGTTGTTCTCACCTTCAGAGCTGGAATATCTCAATGAATCAGTGACTGAAATCGAGAAACCTCGTGATCATAGACACAAGAAAACAAATGCCTTGCACACGAGGCAGTTTTTAGACGACCAGATAGTCAGTCCATGCGACACTGTTCTATCTGGAGTTGATAAGTTGACTGAAATGCGAAATGGTTCAACGCCACACCAAGCACCTCTATGCATGCTGCCACTTCGCTTTCGACCCGACCCGTTTATTCCCCTGGGATAAATACCGGCCTTAAATTGTCCGAGGCCAATAACCTGGCGGAGAAAGGCAACCGGATAAATCAAATTGTCAATTTCAAAAAGCTTAGGATCCTTTCATACAGATCAAATCGAGAGGATTCCGTTACTTTCATAGATATCTGCACCCTATTCTGTAATCAGTCCCAGTTTCAGTACCGCGCTACATTATTTGGCATTTTACTTCAAATATGGCCTTAATTCCCGAATATCCAAATTACTACTCGGACTGATAAGACACCACAATTTGTAAAATGATGTCTATGACTCGCTCAAACAGCGAAATAAATTGCCATTACCGCTCATGATTATTAGGTGATGACCATATCTTGGCTGACATGACAAATTTGTACCCAGATTCATATCAAAAAGCAAAGTGAAACACAATCACTTGAGCTCCGGGAAGGATCGGAGGAAATGAGCCTCACAGTGATACCCATCCGGAACTTTCTCCAAATAGAGCTGATGATACTCTTCCGCATCCCACCAAGGCCCAGCCTCTACAATCAAGGTATGAACAGTATCCTTGAACCATTGCTTGTTAACCTTGTCCATCACTTCTTGTGCTATCTCTCGTTGCGTATCGTTGTGGTAGAATATGGCAGAGCGGTAATTTGTTCCTTCATTGCGACCCTGTTTGTTGAGCGAGGTAGCATCGTGGATTCGATAGAAGAATTCTACAAGCGATCGGTATGAGACAATGGCCGGATCAAAAATCACTTTCAAGGCCTCGGCATCTAGATATATCTTCGTTGGCATTTGTTTCGACGATTTTGGGGAAGCTTAGAAAAGCGCACGTCCAGTGGTGCCAGTACAGACTCCTTCGTATGTTGGGTCCACTGTCTCACCGCCGGTGTATCCAACTCGTGCATCTTTCAATCCATTTTCATTTCCGAAATGCTTTCGGTACAGATGTTCAATTCCCCAAAAGCAACCGGCGGCGAACGTGGCTGTTTCATCTTTTGTGTCGTTTGTTTGCGTCATTGTGTCAGGGTTTCGATATATAGCTTTGCAGGATAGATGCAACGAGGATCTTGCTCAAAAACAAACCAAGTGACTTAGACTAACCAGGCATTGTGAGATAATCTGTAACTTATAGCAGATGGGTTCAGCTACTGAGGTGGGGGCTTATTGAAGATGGCCCGAGGGAAAATGGCGGACTAATTTGTCAGAGTGCATCCCCGCTCCTCCATTAATAATTATCAGAATTTGACTATAATTCTAGTACTCCATAAACCGACCGGGTTGTTTCCTTTAATCTTCAATGCTCGTTCGGCTCGGCTTTCGGGAAAAGTTTCCGATCTGGGCCAGCAAGCGATTTCGGGCAGATGAACCCTGTGGGTATTTTGGATGAGGTATTCCGATATATGTCGGTGTTTATGAGTTTAGGCTACCAACTCGACGCTTTTCAGTAATCGAGGGCTTTGAAGGTGTATCTTCCTCCTTGTCTTCTGGATTTAAGAAAGCACAAAAGGACTCTAATGCTTTGCTGGAAGGTCTAGTTGCCTTTGGAAATTCCAGTGATTATCAGGGTAATCTCTAGCTTGAATGCCTTTCAACAATCAATGGTCTCACAGCTTTTGAAACAGTCCTTGAGTTGCTAAAATTTTGAATGCTATGTTCCAGATGGCGGATATCAGCACCGAGAACATCGCCGACCATGTCACAATTTTCTTAAGAACGAATGTAGGCATAGCAGCAATGTTGAATTCTTGTGAAAAATCAGGAAAAGTGTCGACGTCAACCTTAAGAAATTGGACCCCAATATAATCACTGCTGAGTTCTCCGTTTTTTTGGAGAGATTAATTTGCAGGGCCATTCTGTAACCGAACTTGGACCTGATCATGACTCTTTTCAATAATGATAAGAATAAAGGTCAAGTTAGGCAATCGACAAAACTAAAGCGACAAGAAGTAGGCACTTTATTCTGAGATATTTACCAAAGGGACTGTCTTTCCACTTCATAAATTTCCTTTACCTGCTCTTTTTCGAATATCGGTATCTTGGTCCTCGGTAACTCGGCTCGGCTTTAGCCCTGAGCTAAGGAACTAAGGTTTGCAGAAAATCAGATCCTTTGCTTGAAAGAGAATAGTGAGTATGCTGATGCCTCGGTTACCCCGTTGATTTGCACATTGCTAGCTGAGCTGTCAAATATAATTGGGCTCTGACCAGCTCAAAATGTGCAAAGAAAGAACGAACATCTCATTAACATAAACCATTATCTTTTACCGAATTGCAATCAGCCATGGCAACCGGTCAACACAGTGACAGCGAGTGGCGAGCTCTTTTGAGTCCAGGTAAGGCTTTTGCATTTTATAGCATACAGAGCTTAGCCATCATTTGGCTATTTGGTCCTAATGTTTGACGACGCAGAGCAGTTCCGCGTGCTACGAGAGGGAGGAACTGAAGCCAAACATACTGGAGAGTACGAGAAACACTATCCGACTGAAGGTGTTTACACATGTGTTGGGTGCGATGCGCCCTTATACAAAGCTGCAACTAAATTCGACTCTGGATGCGGGTGGCCCGCATATTTTGATTCCATTCCAGGCGCTGTGAAAAGGCAGCCCGACTTTAAAAAGCGTCAAGAGGGCAGAGAGTGGATCGAACTTGTCTGTACCAAATGTGGTGGGCATTTGGGGCATGTCTTTAAAGGAGAAGGGTTCAAAGTTCCCACTGACGAGCGCCATTGTATAAATAGCGTCTGTCTGAAATTTAAGGATGATGACTCAGACAATGCTATGCCAAAGCAGGGCTAGATCCTTACATTAGCCCTGATTGGGATTGGATGTTAGCGATCAGGTCCTTGAATGAATTGTTCTCGACGATACAAGAAACGACCGCTTTCTGCGTAAAATTCCAACGCCTCTTCTATGCATACCAATTTGCTTAGTGTTTATATCTATGAGTATGATCTATGTTATGAAGAGCTGCCTTTTTCTGTAAACGAAAGCGCTACTAACAAGAAAGAACTAGTCTAAGATTACAGCAATCATTCTGGTGTTGGCACATCAAATATGAATTACAAATAATATCATAGTTCCACCTCCTAGTTTGCACGGGAGTAAGGGAATGGTAGCCAGATTGACTGAACATAACAGCTTCACCTATTACTCACACTAACGAGGGACAAGCGCCCAAAGGGCTGTTTATCTTATGTTTAATAATTTATTGATAGCCTTAATCCTACCCTCAAATTTTAGAGTCATTTAACAGTTCTCCTCCACCCTCCCAAAAGCGGCATAACTAGGCCACATAAGAAAAGTAGAAATGTCCATCTTCTTCCTAAAGTAAAGCAGCTCGAGCTTAGAACCTCATGTTAGATAAGGAAATAATATTCCTACTTGAACACTTTAAGGCTATTGCCAGTTTTGCGAGCCCGGTTTGCCTCTTAAACTGCCTGCCTATATCAAAGAAAGTATCTTGGCGCTACTAAAGATGGTAGAAATGAGAAAAGCTATTAGTTACTCTTGTGTCTGTGCCACTGCTTAGTAGTTACGAAGAAATCACTGATTGGGTGGGATTGAAGAGTGATTCAAGGCTCGGTCCTCTCCCATTGGCTGTTGGGAATGACGAAGGTTGACTCATTCTGGCTCATGATGATCGACTGACAACGAATCCTTAGACAGGACGACGAATTTCTAAATTGACGCCTGCTGGGTTTGTTGTGCCGAGCCCGTCTTCCTAGCAGCCTCTTCGCCTGTTTACCAGGCCCCTCTCTTTCTGACGACCCACCATTCTTTCTGACGCCCCCGTCTTTTGTCGCTCCGCTGCGGATGTGAAGACTTTGTCTCCTAAACTTCTTTTCTTTTTCAAAAGTTTTTTGGCCGCTTTTTTGCAGTCATTTTCTCGGCGGCCAAATTTTATAGCTCTTCATTCTCCCACACCTACCTACACGACGGGATGATAACCTGCACACGCGTCCCCGTGGCTCTGCCCCAAGATGGCCCATTAACTAAGGTTGCCATCAAAGATATTGTCGGAATATTTGTCACAAACGAGTGGCGAATCGTGGACCCAGAAACACTCGTTGTAAAAAGGAATGATGGGGCAAACCGAAACTATACAATAGAACGGTCAAAGACCGAGGGTGACGCGGATCTAGGACCTCTTAAGGTTTTCCTTAAGTTCCACGGAAAACTCGACATAATTATCGAAGTGTTCAAACACTTGGTCCCCAACAAGCACGAGGAGGCACAGCTATGTCACGATTACGGTCAGTCAGGTCTCGGTGCCAAGGTTTACGGGTTCTTTCAGACAAAGGACGGTACGTTGGGAAGGGTCGACGAATTTCTGGATGCACGCAATTTGGAGCCAGAGGATGTGGAGGACGCAGGTATCCGAGCCGCTGTGGCTAGAGGGCATGCCGCTTTCCACGCCATGAAGACCCAACTAGAGGAGAAACCGATTCAGGCCTATTACGATGTCATCACCAGGCAGCTTGAAAAGTATCATAAGATGGTCAAGCTCCAAAGCCTTTTCCATGAAGGGGGCGTTAGCATGGATGATCTCATTGATTACGACTTTGCGTCAAAGATACGGCGAGTAACAGACAGGCTGGAGTCGATGGGGGGAAAGAAAGGATGGTGCATCCACGATGTAGCATTCATGAATGTGATGGTGAAGAACAATCCCAAAAAAGGAGAAAGTAAGATCGTCCTCATAGATTTTGAGTTCGTCTTTCGGAACTATCGAGCCTTTGACATTGGTGGACACTTCATGCAAAAGGTGTTCAGGTGGGTTGACGAGGACGGCAAAAAGGCCAGCTGCAGGCCTTATACGGAAGAAGAAAAGAGGCACTTTTGCGAGGAGTATGTCGAGCAGTGGAACCAGGCGACTGGTGACTCAGACACAGCGGAGCAAGTTTTTAGGGAATCCGAGCTGGGGTACCTGCTGGCTATCACCTTTGACATCCACAACATGCTCTGCTACGTGGAGCAGGAAGATATCAAGGACCTCTTGAACCGCTTGGACCTCTTGGCGTTTAACAAGCTTTTTGCAGAGTTTGTCAAGCAGTATACAAGGCTTGGACTAGATGTTCACGAATAATAGAGCCAATGGTGTCACGGGCTGTGTTGTATCCAACGACGACCAGAACAGCCTAATCGCTTGCTATAAGCATAGAGCTTGTCCTATGTTTGAGTTTGATAACTCTAAGATTTACAAACCTACAAGCAGATCTTCATGCAGCAGATGAGAAGGACAAATTAATTTGATTTTTGCACATTCGGAAATGGGTCGTAATTCTTGAAACATTCGAGTGGCGTAGTCGATCAAAGCTGTTCGTCCGCATGTTTTGGGTTGATCCAGCCATTTTTGACAACTTGTTCATCAACTGAACATTATGCATTTGCTTCCCAAGCAGAGGAATTTGTGATCTTCTCGTTATTTTGCAACTCTCGGATGTCAATTCCAAGGTAACTGGCGCCTGTCAGAATTAAAAATGCTTTCACCGGCGTTCGCCAAGACAGACCAAGCTACCTTCAGCAAAAGGGCCTTTTTAGAGCCGAATCATTCTCGGCCCCCACTATGTATGTACGTCAATGGTGCCAATAGACTGACAGTACGTAAACAAAATGAAGCTGATTATCAGGCTATTCTCTAGCTGTCGTAGGAAATAAGGCATATACCTGTACTTGGGGAAGGAACCCCTATTACCCCGCGCTTAGGGCTTGCTCCTGCATCCTGACTCCACAATAAAACTTTAGTACAAGCGATAAACACAATCCTTCGCAGTGAAGAAATTTAGCTCTCGGGCTTGCACGTTTAAAGATTAACTGCTCTAGCCTAAACCCCCTCTATTTCTAGCCTTCTGGGTTTACTTTCAACTCAAATTTCCGTTCAATTGCTCTTAGAATTGGCTTTTGAATTTCTGTTTTCCGTTTTCATATCCATCACAATGAAGAGATATTGGGGTCTCCGAGGACCATCCCTCAACCTAGCGACTATTTTACTGGTGGTAATGCCATCGATGTTGTGCTATGGCTATAATCTTTCCGCACCAGGTGGTGTTCTGACTTTGCAATCTTTTGTTACCACATTCCCCAAGATGGATACAATCAACACGTCGGGTCCTCTTCAGGAACAAAACTCAAGAATCCAAGGTTGGCTACCACTTGATCAACCTCTTACTTTTGTGATTGATTTTCTCGTCAAAAAAGATCAAGATGCTAACTTTGCTTCTTGTAGGGACTGTGATCGCTTTGCTTACCCTTGGCGGAATGTGTGGATCCATGTCTTGTATTTGGCTGGGGGATATCCTCGGTCGGCGAATGGTCATATTTTTGGCTTGTGTTATCTCTATCATTGGTTCAGTTCTGATGTCTTCGTCCTTTTCCCTTGGACAATTTATTGTCTCCCGCCTACTTTTGGGCATGGGCACAGGCGGCTGCGCAGCTACTATTCCGGTTTGGCAATCGGAAATATCGCAAGCCAGTCATCGAGGATCCCATGTTGTTACCGAGGGAATATTTATTGGCGCCGGCGTATCTGTCGGCTTATGGGTGGATTTTGGTCTCTTTTTCGTCGATTCATCAGTCGCCTGGAGGTTGCCGCTCGCACTTCCCATCGTGTTCCTCCTGCCAGTCATGGCATTTATTTTCACTCTCCCAGAGTCACCACGCTGGCTTATCAAGAAAAATCGATGTGACGAGGCGCGGGAGATTTTGGGCATTTTGGAAGGTATCCCAGCAGATTCCGCAGAAATCACCGCGCATGTTAACGATGTGGTCAATTCCCTTCAAATTGGGAGTACTGGGTCAGTTCGCGATCTATTTACTATGAACTCGACAAGGATTTTTCACCGAATGATTCTTGCTGTAGTTGCTGAGTCGTTCATTCAAATTTCTGGCATCAATCTAATTACCTTCTACGCCACAACAATCTTCCAAACAGACCTCGGTTTCGACCCAGTGCAATCCCGCATACTTGCTTCAGCAATGGCAATCACTCAGCCAATAGGTGGGGTTATTGCATATTTCACAATTGACCGGTACGGACGGCGAAATCTCATGATGTTCGGCGCGGCGGGAATGGCCATTTGCATGACAATGCTAGCGGCAACAACGTCCAATCCCTCAAATCACCACGCTCTCATTGCAGCGGTTGCGTTCCTATATCTCATCAACCTTGTCTACACGGTGGGATTTTTAGGCGTGCCCTTTCTTTATGCTACTGAGGTCGCCCCACTCAATCTACGTGCCGCTATCACTGGTTTGGCCACCGGGACAATGTGGATTTTCAACTTCATCGTTGTCGAGGTTACACCCGTGGGGTTTAACACAATCCACTACCGTTATTACATCGTGTACGCAGTTGTCAACGCCCTCATCATCCCAATCGTCTTTTTCTTGTTTCCCGAAACCACTGGAGGTTCACTCGAAGAGATTGACGGTGTTTTCGCCCAATCGGAGAATCTTTTTGACCCGCCTAGATTTGCAAAGCAGTTTTCTAAGAGAAAGCAACTGCCCTGCGGTGTTGAAGAAGGCGCAGGAGAGGCGGTCCAAAGGAGCGAAAGCTCAACCACCCCAGAGCAGGCAACCACTGCATAGCTTGCATCAGTCTATCAGCAAGATCTAAGGTGAGCAGTGGGCAGATGTTTTTAAAACTGAGCTGCCGCAGGAGCTGAATAATTCAATTTGTGAGCTAACATTTCACGGGAATAAATATACAAACATATCCGTGGATGTCAATAACCAGGCCTACTCAAGGTGAATTAGAGAATCTTGGGCAAAAACATATCGGTAGTCAGAGTGTACCTAATTATTATCAAGGTAATCATAAGTGGCAACGATATCTTCAAGTACAAAGAATGCGCCATCCACAGGATTACAGAATATGATTAAATATCTTTTCTCATGAAAACGATTTCAATATCCCACCTGTTTCCACTTTCATCCCATACATCGTAGAAGTTCGGCACAACTTTGATCGGTGTGTATCCCCGGCGGCCATACCAAGCTTCATTGGTTATCTGCAAAGAATCAATCGTTTGATACAGGTCTGACGCACATTTTTAAGGAGTGTGCTTACCTTTGGGATGGCACCGAATACAGAAATTGCAAAATCCTTTCTGACTTGGTGTTCCTTCGTAACCGTGTCTAGCATGAGCGTCTGGGCCCAGAGTGGCTCTCGAGCTGCCATCTTCTCGACTTCTTTCATAGCCGCGCTCCCGACACCTTCACCTTGAAGTGATTGCAAGATGAAGAAGCTCTTAATCCAGAACACTCCTTCTGAAGGTAAATCGAGGCCAAACCCTTCTGCATCTTTGTTTTCGGAGTCTAAGGAAATGTGGCCTATTGGGACAAATGCCACTCGTGATGCTTCCCGTGTAGCTCCATTGACTGATTCTGCTGTATCATAAAGCACTTCTTCATCGCTATCGCGAGATTTTGTGCCCTCTATATCATCAGACTGACGGACCTATGTGTCAAATTAACATTGGGGCCTTTTGTCATGTAGGTTACCAGAAACATTGATTGAACTCACAATCCAGTACATGCATTTCTCACCCTTAATTTGTTGCTCTCTCCATTCTTCCTCGACCTTTTCATAATACCAATTACACTGCACTCTCTGCTTATAAAGCCGCCTTCGGTGAGCAACAGATGTGGCGTCCCAAGGGAAAAATGAAATCTTTGGTTTCGAACTCATCACTGGCAAACTTCTACCTGGATGTCCAAGATGAGAGAGCAGCAGATTCCATTATATGAGTCAGACCGTAGAATGTGCTTAGTAATATGCCAAGGTTGTTAGAGTTGACACATTCAAAACTTGAAAAATACTATCAAAAATGCACAATTTATGTAGTCACTAGCAGGTCACACGTCTCGGAGTGTTTATAATTCTTATCATCCACTAGCATCCGCAAAAAACCCATGGATGTCGTGTTGATGCTACTTCAACATCCGCATTCGCAAATTGCGGATTTGCGGATCCTGCCTACCCTATTACGTCCGCAAATTGCGGAGCGGATGCTGCTGCAGCCTAGTTGAGACTAATAGGCTGGCGAATGAAGGGTGTTGAGATGTGATGGCTGTTAGGCAAAGTCATGTGGTGGTAAACCAATCTGTTGTACATAATGGTGCAGTGCACACTAGCTAGGGGGCTGCATACGACTCAGGGTCGTGAAAAGCCTGAGAAATCAATCAATCAATCAAACCGACAGAAATTCATATAAATTATATCCTAATCTATTGGTTGGAGGAATGCCGCTGACCATAAAAGTGGCGGACACTTGTACGGTACAGTAGTGGGAGGACAATAATAGATTAATTCAGCGCTAGCATTGCTTGGCGCGCTACTGTAAAATTAAAATGAATGACAATTCAAGAGACACACAATTACATAAAAGATTACCTAGTATTTAGTGTACCATCCGTCTAATTTAATCACTACTTGTACGCGACATGGCATCGTCATCGCTAGATTGACCATTACCTATTCCCTAATATTAAATTATGCGATTTGGGCTCAAGTCGATGATATTCAAATAATAGTGGTAATTAGTTTTCAAAATAAGGCCTACCATACTAGACTATAGTGGTAGGTGGGTCTACTAGCGCTGATATTCTTTTGCTCAGCCTTATAAGTACGCCAAGAGATGAGCAGACGAGCAAATAGGGGCTACACCGGCACATAGTTAGTACACATGCGTGCTGACAACATTATTGGAGCTAAAGGAGAACGGACCATTAAAACTTGGAGTTCTTAAATACTAAAAGTATTCTCCTTTCTCCTTGGTGTTTTTTTCGTTTGTCCGCCGACGCCGGCCTCAACTGTATCGCATCTCCACGAAAGAAACCTGCGCCCACAATGGCGCAGTTGCTTGCTTTCTTCCTCGCCCTCCTTGGTTTGGCCACGGCTACTTGTTATTACCCCGGAGGAACAGTGAGCTCCAATTCCGCTGTTGCGTCATGCCTTTCTGGCGCGACGAGTATGTGCTGTTCGCTGAACCGAGGTAATCCCTTTGGTGGCACGGGCGAAACCGACGACAGGTGCTTGCCTAATGGGTTGTGTCAAAATGCGGTTTCAGCCACCACAAATGGTCAGTCAGTCTTGGAAATTGAGTATTGGCGGGGTTCGTGCAACAATATCGACTGGCCAACAGAGGGATGCATTAAAGTCTGTGACGGCGGCAGCGTAAGCACCCTCTTCCTTCTCTAACCCCCTCCACAAGGCAAGATTTCGCTGACTGATATGATCGTCGACGGGGTAATTAGACAATCAATGGTTCTGTGCAAGTGACTCCTTGCGATGGCACAGCTGATTCCGCAGAGTGGTGCTGTGGCACGAATACTGACTGCTGCGGGACTTCGAGTGCTGTTCAACTAGCGAAGGTGCTATCTAATTATGGCTCCACTGATTCTTCTGCCGTTACTTCTGCTACATCGACCTCACGCTCGACCTCTACCTCTACCTCAACCTCTACCTCAACCTCTACCTCAACCTCTACCTCAACCTCAACCTCTACCTCTACCTCTACTTCTACCTCTACCTCTACCTCTACCTCTACCTCTACCTCAACGGCTTCAACTTCGACTTCGAGCTCCAGGCCTACCTCTGCACAATCAAAAACATCTACACAGCCAGCCGAAGCTTCCTCCAGTCCCACTTCTCCGGCTTTATCTTCAAAGGGGCTTTCCACAGGATCAAAAGTTGCAATTGGAGTTAGTGTTAGTGTTGGATGTATTGCGATCATTGGATCGCTGGTCTTCTTTTTCGCACGGCGGAGAAAGGTGGCTTCGACTTCTTCCCAACCAGAAATGGATTGGTATAATCACCCTCGCCAGCGTAACGCGAACCTAGTAGAGGTTGAGGGTAAATACCGCAATGCAAGCCCGTCAGAGATTGGAAGTAATGGTCTGTATGAAGTTTCCGTTTCTGGAACCACGTACGAGCTATCCGGGGACTCATACTTGAATTCACCAAGATAGATGCGGCTTAGCTAGAATGGGAATTTCTACTTTGAATTGCTTTCTTCCTCATAGGTAACAATTTTTGTAGCTGAATTTGATGTTTCTTCATTTTTCGAGTGTCTTTCTATAATCCTTCTTGGCAATGCAGAATGGAATCAACTACAACTGTTGCAGGTTGGGCCGTTAGATAGGTAGACAATACATGCACGTGTGACAGTCTGAAAACATCTCTGATTCAAGATCATGTGAAAACTCATAGGGTTCGTGGAGTAAGACGCGAATCTAATGACAGTATACTCATACTAATCTCACTAATTCATACGGTACAATGGTCACTTCGCCTATGATACCGTAATGCTGCACTGCTGGGAGCACACTCAATGCACTCGCAGGGCCTCCTCCAGCTGTTCTTATCTTGCCCCAGTATGGGATGATACCATTCCATAGAGTGGAGGATACTTTGAGGACCAGCGAATTCGTCCCTGGAGCGAGGTATGATGAAATATCCAAACGTGGATTCGTGATATCAAAATTAGGCAGTGGCTTGCCGTTTAGGAAACCAGCTATACCGTGGTCAACAGACGGGAGGAAGAGGTATGCTCCAGTGTCTCTGCTGTTGCATTTTGACGAGGACCAGCTAAAATTTGCCGTGTAGTATCCGATACCAGATACGTTTGTCAGCCCGAGGTTGTACCACGATTGGAGAGAGCCTTCAGGGTGGTTGGCGGTAATGTTAACCTTCTTAGAACTTATTTCTAGGTTGAAGAAATCATCTGGAGGTCCCCATTGTTCAATCGTGAGGTTCCAACTTGTGAGCTTTCTGGTGGGACCAGCACATACTCTCCCAATTCGTACCATTTTGCCGGAAGATAGGCTCACTGTGGAGCTCTTGGAGGCTGTGACTTGCGCCTGGAGTGAATCTTTGCTTGCTTTGTACCCCAATACGGCAGCAGCGCTAGAGAGCGCATGCACCTTCAAGGCTTCTAAGTTGGTGAACTTAATAATTCTGGTCTCTTCATTCTGGAGCTCCAATGATATAGTCGTGCACCCCCCACTCCTCACATACTCGACGATGGGCGTTTCCTCCCCCGTCCAGGCGTTCAAAGAATAAGGTGTACCAGAATTGTGGAAGCTGACAGTTCCGTTGCTGTAGTCACCATCATTGTACAGGAATACGTAAACGTCACCGTTAGAAAGCTGTCGCCATCTCGTGTACCAGGTACCGTTGGATTGAATACGTGATCTAGGTTGGATGCCAAGAGCAGCAATGTTCCGAGTCAGATTCTCATACGGAACCTGGTGGACATTCCCATAGTTCAAAAGGTTTTTAAAGGATTCATTCGCAGATTCGATCTCGGCCTTCTTTGCTGTGGCATATTTTGAATCCATAGGTCCGGAAACAATGATGGGTAAACCGGCCTTAGCATATTTGACCAAGTGGTGCACCCCGTCGGGCGTAAATGTATCATTTCCGCGAACCACTAGGGCCTTGAAAGCCTGTCTTATTGGAGCAAGAAGTCCTCCACTGACGTACGCATTCTCTAAGGCGAAGTTCTCAGGAGAGAGGTACTCATATGTGTACCCAGCGTTGACAAGATCTAATGGACGGTACAAAGGGAACGGGTATCCGGCTTGCGGTGTTTGTTTATCCCAGAAAGCCAAGTCTAGTTTTGGTGTTCCACTTTGCAGCACCCACTGGACTCGGCTAAGGTAGCCCAAAGCTTGAGGGTGTCCCACCTGCCAACCAGGTTGACGCCTGGAGTGCTCAGGATAGTCATAGTTGTGGGTTGTGTAGCCAGGCCAGGTAGTTTGGGTGAAGTTGTGCGTATAGTCCGCGCCGTGTATAACAACTTGGTTAACACCGCCGACAAAGGAATGCTTTGCGTCGTTCAGCAGACGTTTCCACGTCTGCGAGAAAGGCGTCCTATAATCGGCACCCAACTCGATGGAAATAATTTGCTTGCCAGACAAGTCTGCGGGGCCCGAAAATTGCAAGAAGGGATCGATCTGGTTCTGAAACGAAAGAGTCTCGCACTCGGGGGCGTCCGCAACTGGGACTACTTGTAACATGTCGACCGGGAGGTTGTATCCCATCTGTCCGGAGAACTCCAGACCCAAAGAGTGAGTCCAGTCGACGATATACTCGTAGTAGGATTGGAGACGGCCAGTTAGTGTTGAGAGAAAGTCATCAACAACCCCTGCGCCGCCATCGATAGTGTCCGTTCGGACTGAGACAACCGGCTGATCAGCCTGATAGCCCGCGACTGATTGAAGGAGCGGAAGATACGGGATAATGGTGTACTTAGAATAATCAGAAGCCGTCTTAGCAAGTGCACGGATTGAACTTACGCCATGTTCCCTCTCGAAGATCTCCTCCAGGCCTGGAGTCCAGAATGTAGTTGCTGGAATCTCAACGCTATCTTCCCACAGATAGTGGCCCACTTCTTGCAGAAGTTCCTTAGCACCATCAACAAGGACATGCTTCTGTAGGAAGTCTGTGATCACCTTTGCACCAGTCGCAGAAAAGTGGTCCACATAAAGGGATCCGTTATAAAGGTAGCTAGACGGGTTACTGGCTGCAATTATCTCACGGCCGAGCGGTTGATACATATACCAGCTTTGAAGGACATAAGAATGAGCGTTCTTGACCTCGTCGGCCGTGACGGTTATCGTTCCATTGGATGTCACCAAGCTCGAGATATCCATGACAGATGCGTTGGAGATTGTATACTGAGGGTAGCGTTTCGGCGGGCCCCATGGGCTGGCGACGTCATCAAGGACTGATTCCAAGCTCAGAACTGCATAGGTTTGAGCCGCAAGGAACTCTCCACTTCCCCAGCCAGGTAGCTTGCCGGTGTAATTGCCGTTCTTGATAGTTATGTTGCTCGATTTCTAGGTAGTAGTCAGCGCCTGGTTTACAGCAGAGAACCTGATCATACTAGTGCCCAGGCTAGGCCCGGATTGTTGTACGCGGCTGGGACCGCTCCGTTGTTACTCATTGCATAGTCGAAGGTAAGACCATTGTCCAAATGTGCCTTCATGGCGGCTTTCAGAACTCTGACATACTCAGGGGTGCCGTACCCATAGATGGTCCAATTCGAAGGAGGGTTGCCCTTGGATAGTCAGATCCTAGTAGTGACATTGATGCGACCACATTTGACAAACCGTGGGTGAACCGAACCAATTCAGGAACTCTGTCCCACCAGCGCCGATTTGACCCAGCGCCGCAACATCCTCTGTGATGCCTGCTGAGGTGACGCTCGCATCCGGAAGCCTGCATTTGTTCGTCAGCATACGTGTACAGACTCGGAGGTTTGCTCTCCAGTTTCTTACCAGTATCTAAATCTTGGTTTGACAGATGTCCCAGGTCTGACAAACGTGCCTGAGGCACTGCCGCCTCTCATGCCCCCTAGCCGCTTGAGAGAGGCAGTCCGAGCAAGAGCGTTTCTGCATAGCCAAAATACAAGAATTAGAATGAAGTGTCGCATTTGTAGTTTAGCTTGAATTCATATGTCGGTTACTTTATTCTGCCATCTGAAGTCAAGTCAGCTCCTTCTGTTTTAAGTATTTCCCCAACGGCTCCTGTTCAGGCTACACCTGCTTCTGCTTTGTACACTCGGGAAACGTTTGCCGAGGTGCTGTCTTCGTACGCTTGCAGTTCGTCCGATAGCCGACGCGCACGGATTTACTAGAAGGACTATTTGTGGAGAAAATACGGATTGATGGCGAAGTTACGGAGAACGCAGGCTCGAAACATACGGCATATGGCGGCGATACAGAGGGGTGGGCAAATTACGTGCTGGTGCTTTCTCCGCCGCCCCCAGGTCGGGAAAGAAAGGAGCGAGGTGTGCACAGGAAGTGTTAGCCCGATTTCAAAGGTAGACCTGGGATCATCGAGAGCTCTGCTCGTAAGTCCATACGGCTAGTCCGGGGACCCCGCACATCGGTGTATCCACCACCGATTGCTGGAAAATATCGTGTCGTTGCCACTATGACAACCCACTGTGGGAAGTGACGTAGACGAGCTGCGTAACATTATTGTACATGATGTCGGCCATTGATAGGAACATATGATATTGTCTTTCTCACTCTTCATTTCCAGTCCGCAAAAAAGTTCGCGGCACGTATTTCGCTATGTGGCTTACTATCCCAGCCGTCCTCACTTTGCTGCTTGCTATCTTTAACCCTATCACCGCCAAGGTCCACGAGAAGATTTGTACTATCAAGAGCGGCGGCAGCAATGTCACTGATGATGCCCCTGCAATCTTAGAGGCATTCAAAAAATGCGGCCGAAAGGGAAGAGTCATCTTCGAGCCCACAACGTATTATGTCAACTCTGTCATGAACATTTCTTGGCTCGAAGATGTTGAAATCGACATTCACGGAACGCTTCTGGTATGTTTATCCCCAAGCAGACTTAGTACGCAGTGCGCGGAAATTGGCTTCCAATCTGAGTTGCTGAGAGCATGTTACATCCATTAGTGGAGCAGTGACATCTTTTACTGGCTGAATAACTCGATGGAAGTCGGGTACCAGAACCAGTCAACAGCATTAATAATCGGTGGTAATAACGTCCGCATCAACGGTCACGGAAACGGCACGTTCAATGGTAATGGAGACTATTGGTACCAATGGATCAGTGAGCAGCCAAACACATCTAACTATCCGGGACGACCGCACGCTGTGACCTTCGACAAACTTACAAACTCCGTCATTCGTGGGCTTAATTTCTTGAGGAGTCAAATGTGGTATGTGATAAGCTTTATTTTGGATTCGCATGGCTTTTGCCTTTGGTGTTAACCGTGAAATCCAAGGACGATGTCAATTATTTATTCTCACCACGTATTGTTTGAAAATATCCTCGTCAACAACACTGGAAACTGGGCACAAAGCTGTACATCTATCAAGGCATTGCATAAAGTTTATGTGCTGACGGGGACTGATTGAACACAGCAAACACCGACGGAGCCGATACCATCCGGTCATCTCATATCACATTCAATAACTGGACTGTCTACAATGGAGACGACAGCCTCTCCATGAAAGGCAATAGCACTGATATCACTATCACAAACAGCAAGTTCTACAATGGTCTAGGCATTGCTATGGGGAGTATTGGGCAATACAAGGACCAATTTGAGACGATTGAGAGAATCACAGTCAAGGACGTCGACTTCCACAATACATTACATGCTGTGAGTGACCGGACAGCCCAAGTCACAGAATCATGTATGCAAGTCAGTTCCCGGGTTCAAGAATTAACGTTATCAACTCCTAGTTCTATGTAAAGACCTGGACAGGTGATCAGAATGGATACCCACCGAACGGCGGCGGCGGCGGGCTCGGGTGTAAGTATTGCTTTCCCAATTTCGCTATCCTTTGATAAGCTATGATAACATATCCACTTAGTCGCCTCTGGGATGAAGCTCACAAACCTCACATCAACTGGACTCCGCGGGGCCGCGTTCGCAATCTCACAGTGTACACGGTTCTCGGGTGCGCCAGGCGAGGGTAACTGCACGAATTCGAAGTTCCAGATCCGCAACGTGCAGATTGATAGGTTATCAGGTACTAGCGATTCGACACAATTGGCGAGTCTTCAGTGCAGCGCTGTGGCACCATGCACCAATATCACCATCGCTGACGTAGACCTGCACCTAAATAATGGGACTGCATCAAACGAGTACCTTTGTGGTAACGTTGTGAACCCGGCTGGGTTCAACTGTACCGGTTCGCCGTGTGTAGGGGGAAGTGCCACCGGGGGGTGCTAAGTGGTCCTTGAGACAGAGTATGCTTTCCATTATACTGGAAAGGCCACATACACGAGGGCGAAATAAGAATCCTAGTTATTGGGAAGAATCATTCATTATCTTCTCTGCTAGGTTCTGTTGTACTGTAGTACAAAATACTGCAGAACCAACTTCACCGTTTTACATTCTTCTCTTGATTCTGCGCCCCATTGCCAAGAAACTAACCCATAAATTATTGAAGTGAATATTCAACAAGCCCTTGAAGCGCGTACTAGTCGTCTATCACTGGAACCTTGCTCCTACGACCGTTTTGGTTGAACTCAGGTTACTTGAACCTCCCAGGTTAATAGGACCCCATTCCTACAAATTTGTACTAGCGTAGAGTAACTATAGTACTTATACTTTTGCTTTCCCTCCGGACTAAATAGCACTTTGCATTTCGAAATGCGAAAGAGATTGATAAGAATTCATTTCTCACGACTGACCCGCCACAGCAGGAGCTGTAGAGGTCGTAGCCTCAATCTTGGTAAACGGAGCGGCAAAGCCGTAGGTCTTATACCCCTGTGAGTAGTCCTTGCCCTCTTCACGATCTGTCGCGGATATTATCAGCTATGCCTCGTGCCATAAAAGACCAGGAAAGAAAACCCACCGTGTTCTGGAGGAAAAATTCCATGCGATGCTTATAGTACCGTTCTCTCAAATCCAGGCCATCCTTTCTTCCGTGGAATGTCGCATAGAGACTGGAGCGACTCTTTGGCGTCTTGTTTTCGGCTGACCGATGAGCAAGATGAGATCCAAAAATCAGCATATCGCCGGCCGCTAGCGGGATTGAGGTCCATTCGTGCGTATTCTCCCACTCTGGTTTAATACGGCCTCCGGTCTCGAATTCCACCTGCATGCGGTGAGACCCCGGTACCACTTCCAGACATCCATTCTCCGGAGTAGCGGGATCAATAGCCACGTTGGCAGTAACGTGCTCAATTCGACCAATGTGGTCATAAGCGGGAGCATCCAGATGAGCCTTGAAGCCATTGCCATTTGGCTGCTTGTAGTTGATTTTGTCTTTGAAAAGGAGCATATCCTTTGCAATTGTCAATTTTCACACATGGATTACGAAGGATGAGGTTGCTCACATCACCAGATACTGCTTTGAGAATCGCAGCGAGCTGCTCTCCGCAAACAAGTGCCTTGAATTGCGGGTGGTAGTCGATGAATTTCTCCGTTCGCATGAGCTGGCGTTCGCCGTTGATGTTGATTTCATCGTACGGCATCCACTTCCCCTTCTCTCGCGGCCAGGATTTGACTTCTTCTGCCCATTGCTTCAGGGCTACTGGGTCAATGAGACCATGTTCGTGAACGCGAAGCAGGAGGTAGCCCTTCTCGTGGTAAGAGGCAATTTGTTCCGGAGTGAGAGGACTCATTTTTCAGGCCGCGTGAATGCTAGGAGTATGAGATTGCAATACTCGAGAGCAATCTAGAAGGCCACTGGCCCGGTTTATATGTTTCTAGGGCGCAGACAGGTTCGGTAACTTGCCGCGAGACTTGGGGAATCGACCTTCAACCTGCAGTCTCCAAATGTGCCGTCCCTACTTGGCATAAAGCCCCACCAATCCGCCTCGTGTCCCCCTCGAGACACATGAGTTTCAATCCCGCACGGCCTCACGGCCGATTGATGAGCTGGTTTTCTTCCCGACGCTAACAAAGGAAGGGGGCAGAATGCAAATCATCGATGCTGCCGCGTCTCTACATCATGGCACGGGCCAACGCACTTCGCACCGACATGACGGAATCCACAGGTGAGGTGGGGCTTACAAATCGGGCCGTTGACGGACGCACGATCAACATGAGCCGACGCTGATTGGGGGACCGGTGGAGACGGGCTTCTTGCCTTATGCTTCTCCGATATCTGGCGTGATGCGAATTTTCGTGGGGTTTTTTGCTGGTTCCCTCCTAGAGAATACATGGCCACAAACACAGATAAATATGTCGAAAGCGCCCAAGAAACAAACCATCTGAGCACACTGCGAAATTGGAGAACCAAAAGAACTTCAAAATGAATCTCAAAATGACCATTCCCCCGACCACGGAGCATTTGGCATCTGTGAAGGAGCACACGCAAGCCACAATCACCGCGCTCTTCGCCTTCTTGACTGCTCAAGGTCAAGGAGACTATCTTGGCGAGAAAGTTACCCAACTAGAGCACTCGCTGCAGTGTGCTCATCTGGCGAGTCAATCCTCAGAATATGGATCCGATCCAGAAGTCATCCTCGCTGCTCTTCTCCATGACGTCGGCCGATTCATTCCAGCCGCAGAAAAAATGGGCAAGATGATCACACCGGATGGACAGTATATTGGTCGACAAAGTCATGAGATTCTGGGCGAGTCGTATCTACGCCAGATTGGCTTCAGCGAGAAGGTTTGCCTGCTAGTTGGAGCGCATGTCATGGCTAAAAGGTATCTGGTTGCAACAGACCAGAAATATTATGATGGACTGAGTGAGACGAGTAAACGAACACTCAGGTTCCAGGTATGTCCGGAACATTCAGTACCCATCAAAAAAAGGTTGCCAGCTGATGCTCGACAGGGTGGAGGGTTTACAGCCGAAGAAGTCCAGGAGGCCCAAAAGGATCCACTGCTCGAGGCAAAGCTTGCTGTGAGACGCTGGGATGATCAAGCGAAGGTGCCCAACATTGTTGTTCCTCCTTTGGAAGCGTATGGGGAACTGGCTTATGACTGCCTACTTGGTGAGCGCTATAGCTTTCTACATACAAAAAGCAATATTAACACATAGAGAAGATTCTCGGGCCAAGTTCACTCTTCATTCAAAGGAATATTCTCTCCCTACCAGACCAACGGTCGTGATCTGCATCGATGGATTTGATCCGGAGTACTTGGATTCGGGGATCCAGAGAGGCGTCCTTCCAACCTTCAAGAAATTTGTTGACAACGGATTTATGGCTACCGCCAAAAGTTGCATGCCCTCGTTCACGAATCCGAACAACGTGTCTATTATCACTGGAGCACCCCCTTCAGTTCACGGAATTGCCGGAAACTTTTTCTTGGACCGAGAAACAGGAAAGGAAACCATGATCACGGATGACACGTTGCTCCGGGGCTCGACCTTGCTCGAGCAAATGCACAAGCGAGGTGTTCGAATCGCAGCCGTGACGGCCAAGGATAAACTAAGAAAGATCCTTGCACATGGTATCAAAGGCGCTATTTGTTTCTCTGCGCAGCAAGCCGCAGACTGCACAATGGATGAAAACGGGATCGAAAACGTTGAAGAGTGGATTGGACGACCGGCTCCTAGCCAATACTCCGGGGACTTGTCCGTGTTTGTGCTTGACGCTGGAATTAAATTGCTCGAAGAAGGGCGGTCGGACTTTTTATACCTCACTCTCTCGGATTATATTCAGCACAAACACGCGCCAGGCGACAAAGAAGCCGATGACTTCATGAAAGCGATCGACGACCGCCTGGCAAAATTGGCCAGTCTGGCACCAGTTGTTGGTGTGACTGGCGACCATGGAATGAGTCGGAAGTCGGACGCTGAAGGAGAGCCAAATGTGCTGTTTCTCGAGGACGCCCTCAATGCCCAGTTTGGCCCTGCTGCATCCAGGGTAATCTGTCCCATTACAGATCCTTTTGTTCGGCATCATGGTGCCCTGGGCTCGTTTGTACGCGTATATTTGAAGGATAAAACCCAGATGGACGCGATGCTTTCGGTCTGCAAGGCATTTCCGGAAGTCGAAATCGCCCTCAGCGGCGAGGATGCAGCGAAGGAATATGAAATGCCCTTGGATCGTGAAGGAGACATTGTGGTCATTTCTACACGCAACACCGTGATTGGCAGCCGTGAGTCTGACCATGACCTCTCGTCGGTGCGAGACCACCCATTGCGATCGCATGGAGGCTTGAGCGAGCAAAACATTCCAGTCGTCCTGTCAACACCGGTAACTAATTGCAAAGCCGCACTGGAGAGGAGCTGGAGAAATTATGACATCTTCGACCTTGCGCTCAATTGGTCATCCTGAGCTTGTTCTATTCTTGCATCATTGGACGGGTAGGAGGACCCATCGATGTACTGTAATGAAGCCACCAATCATCCAAATCCGGATATTGCGTTTGAAAATCAAAGTTTGCCATATTTTCCATCCAAGTTACGTCGTACAAAGCCTGTTGTTCAAGTCGAGGTGTAGCATGAAGCCCTTGGTCATGGACCATATGAATGGGGCTTTCTTGACATCGTCTCAAAAGCCTGCCAAGGCCTTCGGCAATGACGCCGAGTAGATGTTGTTGGTGCATATAGTGAGTAATCTCGCGAAGCGTAGATACTGTTTCCGTAACAAGAGATAGGATTTTGGCTGTGTCAATTCGTATGGCTGACGCATACCTCGTCGCCACTTTGAGTAGAAAAACAACGGCAAAGGCGATCATTGTGTTGAAGTATAGTGGGAGCCCATTCAAGAAAGACTGGAACTCAGTGTCAGACACGATGACCCGGAGGATGGACATGGCGGATAAGACTCCAGCGTTGGCGATTTCCTCCAATTCAGGTCCCAGATGCTGTCCAGTATCTCCTGTTGTGGGTGCTCCCCTGAATGCATGGGAGCAGAGGTAGAGCTTTGCGAAATGGAAATGAAAGCCGACGCCTTTCTGAGGATAATTACCGACATTCTGATTGGTTCGAAATGTTTCATTCCAGTCGGCGAACCATGTGTCCAAGGCGATCGAGTACCGACGGAGCTGGGGTAGTGTTTCTGGAGGAACTGGCGTATCAACATCGACACCAAAAGTATCGAATACTTGTCCCAGGAGAGACCATTCTTTGACTTGACTGATCAATCTTGCGTCGTCTTCAGTGGCATGTTCGGTCTCAAGAAGGCGACTAGCAGAGTCGATGATAAAGCCTTCTCGGGACATCGGCGGTCGTCCGTAGGCTATTGAAAAGTGATGGTCGCACACATATACCAGATAATATAATCGGGCCTGCAGATATCCTTCACGATCTCCCTTGAGCGCTTTGTAAATCCCGCTGTGCAGGTTAATGCCTGACGCCAGTCGCACCGCTACAGCAGTCAGCTTTCCGTGTTCCTTTGCCACTTAAGGCTGCACTCACCATTCCCGATCAACGCCCATGAGAGTTCATGCAGCCAAAATGCACCAATACATAAACCGCGTACATCTTCTTCGTTGGCATTCCGAGCGAACGTCTGTAGTGCGACGAGATTTTTGTATTCGTCGTAACACACGTTGAACAGATGGCCGAAAGACTGGGAGTGTAGCGCTCCAACAGTACATACCGCCGCGGTCAGTAACGGCGAGGCAAGTCGCACCGAGTCGAGGCTGGTATGATCTCCCAAAATGCGATACAGGAAATGATCCAATCGAAGATGGTAAGATTCAAACAGACACAGCGCCTGATGCAATGTAAGAATCCCCGTCGAGACCAAGTCTGGGCGTCGTGGAAAGGGCAGATTGCTGGGCTGAGATGCCCTTCCACTCTCGGAGACACAGGAAGCAGGGATCGATGCCGGACCTCCTTTGGGGTCCATCACCACTTCCCAAGTAGTTCGTGGAGGATCGCGAGCGTACGATTGTGCCGCAGGGCTCAAATGGGATGATCCCGGGTTTGGAGGCGCAGCTGGCGGACTGATGGAAGTTGATTCGCTTCCACGAAATTGTAATTCAGGCATATCGATTTTGGTCGCTACCTGGGCCATGGCCTCTTCCAGCCATCGCAGCTTTTGGACTACTGCCCCTTTCCATCTACATCGAACCAATGAGTATGCCACTCTGAGGATGGCCAGAACACTTACGTTGCATCCTCCTCCAGTAAAGTTTGAAGACTTCTGTTCACAGTACAAGGAAGACCTCGTTTCTTGCATCGCGAACAGGGGGACTCGCCATCGCGCATGTGGCATTTGACCTGGTATAGATCAGTCACTGCCTCAGGCACCAACGGAAAACGGAAAGATACACCTTCTGCTTGCGGCAAGCCACACATGCGGTGATCTTGCGCGTTATGTCGGGCGGTTTTCGGTCGCCAAAGGATTCACGCAGGGCATTCACTCCGGTCGGGGTCGGGAGCGGTACATCCATCGTCTGTGCCCCAAAACAGCCCCTGTATCCCGTGTATAACTGTTCAGACCGGCTACCCCAACCACGATTGGGGTAATTCGTGTCAGCTATTGTCTCGATGTTGCAGAAAGCAGAAGTGCCTCGCGGTCTTCGTGCCGGTGATAAAAGGGCGATCGTTCCTGGAGCACGGGGAGCGACCGACGCACGTGTGGGGCTGGAAGGATGTCAGTGGAGAAGAGTAGTGTGGCACCTGCTCCACTCATATCCCCGTGGCAGCTTCGACGGCGCTCATTGCACCTCGCGACTTTATGATGCCTGCGCAACTCAATTCGCCTCTGGACGGCCTTGATGCCGGTTCTAGGGCCAATTCATACGCTCGGGGAATCGGTTTCACCATTTGCAAGAAGTATATAACACCAACGTGCAGTGTGACTTGGACAATATTCAGGATGCCGAGCAAGGCAATCTCAGATCAATTGCCCTTATAACCGGAAAAATTTGGTCCAATATGACCTCCTTAGGAGCTAAGTTGCGGTTTCTCGTCACCGCAGGGGTTGGATTCTTCGCAGACGGCTATCTCAATCTGACTATTGGCCTCGGTAAGTGTATTCTCGTCTATGAGCAGAGCATTACTGAGACATTGCAGTGGTACCGATCTTGGGCTACCTCTACTTCGAAGACAGTCAAGGTCAAGTGCCGGCGGTCCAAAGTGATGTGATCAAGGGAAGCTTGAGCTTGGGCATGGTTGCTGGCCAGCTTCTGTTCGGCGTCCTGAGTGATCTTTGGGGCCGCCACACTATCTACGGCAAGGAGCTGATATTGACGATGTTCGGAACGTTAATGGTGATTCTTCTCCCATGGAAGAACATGTCTGCCTCGGGTGTCACAGCATGGGTTTCTGTCTTCCGCGTGTTGACTGGAATTGGGATTGGTGCAGGTCAGAAGCCCTCTACTTGGTTTGTTGGTCGTATATTAATGTGTCTCAGACTACCCTCTATCTTCTTCCCTTTCTGCAGAAAAGTCGCCGTTCGCTTCTCGTGCTGTGCAAGTCATGACAGTCTTTTCAAATATCGGCCTCGGCAATATCGCGGCCAGCATTGTCTTCTTGATCCTTCTCAAGGCCTTTGAAGGCGCAATAGCGTCTGACCAGAATAATCTCGAATGGGTCTGGCGGTTGTTGCTAGGCTTAGGGATTGTGCCCGCCGCGTTCACTCTTTATGCACGATTGACAATTTCGGAAACAGAGCCCTATAAGCGATGTCAGCCACCTTCCCCAAATTCCAGCCGACAAATATTAACTCCAATACAGATGTTTGCAATGATGCTGCTGGCCACAGTCGTGGCTGGAAGGAGCAATGGACAGACTTTCGCGAGTACTTTGGGGAATGGAGACATGCCAAAGTACTGTTTGCGACTGCTGCTTCCTGGTTTCTCTTGTAGGCACCAGACCATTCTCAAAATTGCGGCATTTGACTGACATCTTCAGCGACATTGCATACTACGGAATCAATCTTAATCAAAGCATCATCCTAGCAAGAATCAACTATGCTAAAGGAGCCACGCCTTGGGAGACACTATACAAAACAGCTGTCGGCAACATCATCGTTCAAGCTGCGGTAAGCAACTACCGGGTCTTATCCTCTTCGCTTCTGATTGTCAATACAGGGATACTTGCCTGGGTTTTACGTCGGAATATTTCTCCCAGATCTCATGGGGCGTACACGCCAGCAGCTGTATAGTTGCATCGCAATCTGTATTCTGTACGCCATTTGGGCCGGGATTAGCTCTCCCAGTGCACACACCTCTACCGCTGGTCTGATGGTCATTTTTGCGATCTCCCAATTCTTGCTAACCGCGGGCCCTAACTGCACAACTTTCTTAATCCCTGCTGAAGTTTTCCCAACTCGTGTTCGTGGTACTGCGCATGGTATCTCGGCCGCAGCAGGAAAATGCGGTGCAATTCTGACTGCATTCGCTTTTGAAACAGTGGAAGATGCAATCAGCCTGCAGGGGGTCTTAGGCTTGTTTTCTGGAACAATGCTCCTGACTGGTTTGGTGACGCTCATGATTCCTGAGTCCAAAGGGCAGACTTTGGAGGGCATTGAAAAGGATGAATTATACACACAAGGGGAGCCGGTTGATCCAGGGTCGTCGAGTCCCAGTAGCTTGGCCAAGGGTGCTGTGTATGAAACAGGTGACGGGTCACTTGTCAAAGGGATTTGAAGCACTGAAGTTAATATTATTGCCTGATTAACATTGTTTCAGACTTTAACCATATGGCAGTTGAATACTGGCCGATTCATTTGGCTGGTGTTCAAGATTTTTGGAAGCGATTATGGGTTAAAATAGAGGGAAGATGTTGGTTTCTATCTGTTAATTATCGATCTTCGTTCAGGGAAGAAGAAATTTGAAAATTCAAGATAGAGAAAACTGGTGCAGAGATCGGACCTGTTCACAGGCAAGTGGATGACCTCGCCCGTAAGGTCAAAGATAAAGTCTCTTTTCTACCCAATATAAACAACCACGCGTTCTGGTCTCATTTACTTACAAAGCCGGCTTTCCCAGTCGGACTAGGCTATCATTAGAGAGTCTTTCCCTGTCAAATCTCTGCATTACTTGATTCAATACTGCTTTTGAGAGCTCTTCTCGGTCTATAGTCGGGAATACTCGCCAAAAGACATTGATAACACGACAAAGGGCGCCCAGAGTCGCCCTCGACCACGTTGTCGAATTTGTCACTACCCCGGGCTGAGCAATGCAAACCTCAACCCTTTCATATTCCTGGGGAAATTTGAGAACCATGAGCTCCGTCTCGCACTAGCGGCGTTAGCACGCCATAACAACATATGATAACCCTCTGCAATGGTTTACGACAATAGGGGGTGCTCACACGCATGACTTGATAGTCGCCTTTAAAAACCGGTCTTTGTGTCGGATCTCGGGGTGTCCCCTCGGCGCTGAAGTAAAGAAAACGAAAGGGTCGCGCCGGTCCAGCCTCATACATGGCCTTGAATCCTGCTATAGTGCAATCGTGACAGACGCGTTTGACCTCGGCAAAGTCAAAGCTGCCCGTTCTGAAAGGCGTTACCGCAACAGTCCTGAGACCTCATCCAAGACCAATGTTAGCAAAAGATTTCTCCAATGAAAAAGCATGACTGATGCGCACCATATGCATGCGTCAGCCCCAGCAAATTCGGCTTTTACATGGTCTGGATACTCCTCATAGTCACTAATGACAACGCTCTTCAGCTTAGATGAATCAACGTCGTCTTCGACCTGAACGGGCTTCCGGGCAAGTGCGATAACCTGGGTGACCTGACTGTTCTGCAGACTCTGACGGATGACCTCTCTGCCCACCAGACCAGTAGCTCCAGCGACAATGAGTTTCATCTTGGTTAGGGTCCCGATGGATAGGTGGGTGTGTGGTTTACCGGCTCCTGGTCCTTAGGCATGTTGAGCTGAATTTTAGCTGACAGTGCGGTCGCGCGAGTGTTATACATTTCAAGTGCGCTTGGGCCAACGGGATTCGGAGCCAATGTTGTTTGGCAATGCGTTCTTTCACACACACAGAATTACCCCGTCATCTCACAATCATTGCGCAGGTTGCGAAACCCGAACCCCGGCGGAACCGGAGCGAATGAATCCCGAAGCTTAGATGAATCGATGTAAAACTTCGCCCACTGTACTCGGTTTCCGTCCTATATCCTTTCCGAAATCGTACAACTCATATACATATTGATAATTATGACGGCTTTTGTGGCCTTCCCGACTTCGCTAAATAGGTCTGAAATGCAGAACCACTGATCTGGTGACTTGAAAATCATGCATGGCTATATTCAGTTGACGGCCCGAGAAATATATATTTTCTCACAGGAGGACATGGCCTCAATACTCCAATCGATCAAAACATAGTTTTGACTGGGCAGGATCACAATAGAGTGAGAGCTACAGAAACTGCCATGTTGAGAAGATGGAAGGTTCTTGGGACAACAGTATGAGAAACTGAATCTGTCAGGAGCAATAGACCAATTATCCAAAACTCTATTACCAAGGCTGGACGCATAAATGAAAGAGATAAAAATAGTAGCAACCGAAAACAGGTTCGGCTTTGCCTGACGCACCTGGCTGCATCCCTTGATTCGCATAGCAAACAAATTTTGATCGGGAAGGTCCGCGTTAACGGGAACTCTGTCGGTGCCAAGACTAAGGATATTATGATCCTCATCTATCTCCTATTCACAGGCTAGGGGGCTGGGGATGACTATCACATCTTCTCATTCTAGGGTTTCGAAGGGGACTGTCCAAAGCCAGATTATAGTATGTACCTCGAGTCAAGCTCGGAGCTTACTGTAGCTTGGAGGAATCAGAGAATGTCCATCGGAAGAGCTCAGTCCAAGACGACCATTTAACTGCGTGATTGATATGTGGCTGGTATTTAAAGTGGCGCATGGCGAAGGGCCTGAACGTTCCACCCCCTGCCAGTTATTTTTGTGGCAGGGCTGCAAAGGACGCAGTGACCAGAACGGTCGTGGCGGCAACGGAAGTTGGCGCTAGACCTGCAGAGCATTTGAAAGACTTGCGACAAGTGCGTTTCAGACTGAGGCGTCCAGCAGGCGTGATGATCTGCTAGACGATCACTACCCTTTTTGTTATCATCTTTGAGCTCTTCGAAATCCCCTTGACAGGTTCACAAACCCGATTTTGAGCTCATTTTTGCTGGGCAGAAGCTCAAGTGACACAAGGACATAGTTCATTTTTCTGTCTCAAAGTCTGTCGGGTGGATTGTCTTTCGGTTCAAAAGAGGCGACCATCCCAATTCAACTAGTCGTAGATCATTGCGGGGCGGGTTAGGGGAAGAGCTAACTGCCTGAAACGTCATGTAGACATTGCACATAATAGGCAGCGCACTTGAGACGAACGATTGACCACAGCCTCATAAGGATCAACATGCTAAGCCACCCTAAGATAAGGTTGCTGGGATTCCGCAGCTCGGACCACGCCGTGCCTTGCATACTACAGCTCTAGCGCAGTCAAACATTGCTCCCCCAAGCGAGGTCGGAATGACCACGCACTCCCCAATGACTATCACGCGTGGGAAAAGCAACTTTATCTTCTGAAACAACGGGGTCTATAAGGCGTTCTGTGGGCTTTGCCCCGGTCCGAGTCCGCACCTTCATAGCACACGCTACATACATACCACGGGAAAGGGGGCGGAACGGGCCATGGCCAAAGGCCTAGAGCGCCTTGAGGGAAAATTGGGGGCTCCTCGTTCTGTCAATTGCGGAAGAGAATCATTTTTCTTCTCGATAAGGGAAGTCCATAGTATCAAGGTTCATTTCGGACGCAGATCTATAACAGCCGGTGGCGTTCTCAAGCCACATAAGGCCTGTCTAATCAACAACACCTTGGTTTTTGAGGCTTGAGCCACTTGCATCGGTGAAACCTCAGGAACTGCAGGATCCAGCTTCTTGTGATGAGTCTCGTACATGGCACCGGATTGGATAATCCACGTGCCCCCTTCCGGAGAGAAAAACAGTTGATTCAGTCTGAAACAGGGTCGAGACGATCTTCCTCTGCCTTGTTGGTGGAGGTCATAGCATTCCTGGCAATGGCACTAACACGCAACGGTGCAGAATGACTGCTCAACCCGGAAAAAGAGGACGTGGTCGGTATGGACTTGACCCTGCTTGATTCCCCGAGGTCAGGTCCTGCCTTCTTTCTCACTATTATGCATCGCAGTAGTTGTAGATCGGTAGGGCAGCCACCTCGAGAAAGGAACAGCGGGAGACATGGAGGCGCAGACAGGACACGCGTGGCCTGAGGAATGTTATTCGCAATCCTTCAGGGCCAATTTCCTAGTTTAGAATCGGAACGCAGGGCCAGTGCGCGTGGATTTCCATGCGATCGACCACGTTGGTCGGTGTTTCAAGCTGTTTGTTGGCGCGGCCCTGGACCCCTTGAGTCAAACCCACGCGAGCTTGCCCTCCGAGGCATGCAACGCGCACTTGCCGCTTATGGGGATCGGCAATCTAGATTTGGCCAGTGACGCCGTTCCCCTGTCAAGGTTGATCAGCGGGCAACGGTTGCCCTTGTTTTGATGCCTCCCTTCGGTGGCACTCCAGGGTTTGTACCAAATCGGATCCTCACACTTCATCCCTTTACTGAGACTTCGGGGTAGATGCTGAATGGGGCATATCCCGCCCTGAAACATGTGGTCCGCCATGTGCCCGGGCATATCCCTTTGGAATGTCTTACTCGGCCCCAGAGGACGATCGTGGCGGGCCTCCACCGTAGACCCTTGTGTATCGTGTACCTGCCTCCTGGGCCCAGCTGCATGCAGGGGTAAAAGGCCAATCACAGCCAACCTGTCGCCTGTTTTGGATTGGTGGAGAACCGGGTATGCGCCTCGTCACTGCTTTGCTTTCGGGTTAGTGTCCATCCTAAGGAATTTTCAAGCCATGGGGGTTCACGCGGATCGCCCTAGTGTGCTTTAAGGCCCATGGCAGGTGGATCCCATCGTCGTACGCCAAAGACGTACTTTGTGAAGATCCTTCCTTCATTCCTTTCTTTTTGTATAGGCTCGTCTCAGTTCTCCCATGTGGGACATGATGCAAAGCCCCAGACCCCCTGCTCGCGTGTGCAGCTGCATGTTTTCTCCGGACATAGCCTCGCCGTTTCAGGAGCATATAAAGCTACGGTGCTGCCGGCTCTAGCATCGTATATCTCACTCCATGTCCTCCATTGCAAGCTCACTTCTTCACCCTACTTCGTGCGTCTCACCGGAAACCAGGCTAGCTTCCTACCAAAGAGCCTGGACACTTGTTCCACCTGCCTCTCTACCTCTTGCGTTGCCAACCCAACCAGCGAGGCTCTATATCAACCACCACACAAAGCCATCAATCATGTCTGTCCCAGAACCCACAAGGTAAGTGTCAACAAGGCTATTTGCAACCATAGCTAATGATGTGAAATTTTCTTAGTCGTCGCAACGGAGCCACCACCACCATCCTGACACAAGGAAACGTCAGCCAAATACCAAGAAGCAGCTACAGCGCCGTGGAACGATTCATGCGAACCCCGACCGCAGAAGGTCCATACTTTGCTGGGGCACGAATGCAAGAGAGATCCACACATCTCACAGTGCTGTCAAGCCATCTCAATGCAGTGGATGATATTGTAAAAGCAAAAAGCTAGATCAATCCGAGGAAGCAAAGGGGAATGAGTTTGTTATGTGTCTATGTAAAAATTTCTATCATGTATAATAGAAGTCAGCAGGAGTGTCTAGATATCAAAATACAGCCGATAAGAAAAAAGCAGCCACCCGATCACAAGATCTCTGAAATATACGTCGCCACCTCTTCATATTTGGTGCTGGGGAACTCATGCCCTGCCTCGTAGAATTTGAAAACCGCATTTCCACCCAAGGCAGCCGTGGCATCCGGCACAAGCTCATCCTTGATGATGATCGCATCATTGATGCCACACAGAATGTGGACCTTGTGAGCAGGTTGGCCCTCTGCAGTGGTGCTATTTTTCACGGTCAGGTAATTCCCAAGCCGTGTCCAAGTATTTCGCTGACGCTGGGCCAGGATCGGGCCATGCCGCATACTGGACATGAACGCGTGAACAAAGCCAGCGTGGTTATTCACTTGCCATGTTACTGCCGAAGGCACATTGATATTCGGGTACTCTCGTGACAGAATCTGTACAGCGGCAGCACTTTGCGACGGAAGCTCCTCGGTCAGCGCGTCCGCAGCATTCAACTTTTCGCTCTTAGGCTTCGGAGACACCAAGGGACCAGCCCGCAGGCGACGAGCGACCATAAAGCTCAGCAGACACTCGGGCATAAGACCACGAGAGTAAAGAAGGTGTGTCTTGAAACTAATCTGGGAGTCTCGAACTAGTCCGGCGGGAGCCAAAAGGACCAGCGACGAGAGAAGCTGCGGAAAGAATGACGCGAAGGCTGTGGCAATGCCACCACCCAGCGAATACCCGACCAGGCAGAATTTGCCGGACTCCGCACCCGTCCAGGCGAGTGGTGACGAAGTCAAGGCAAGTAAAATTTGCGTGGAGAAGAGGCGTTCGTCCTGAGGGAGATCAGCCGGGCAATCTGAGTACCCTCTTCCAAACCTAGACGGGGTCTGTCAGCAAAGCGGATGCCGATGCGATCGTCTCCAGGGTGATTGTCCGCATACAGGTCGAAGAGCATCACCCGGCAGCCTCGGTCCACCAGCGCATGGGCTAGGCCACCAAGCGCGATACAGGGCGTGGTAATTCCATGTATTAACAAGACTTTCGGGCCATCCTCGGGACCCCATTCATACACTCGGATGGAACCGTACGGGCTCACGACGTCGCGCGCCCCGGGCAGTACATCGTTCGGGAGAGGGAGTTTGCGGTTCTCCGCGTCGGACAGCGATGGGAGGAGGGATGCGCGCGGCGAGAGAAGGACCGTTTGGCGGTGTTCGATTCGCGAAAAGAGAGAGCGAACCAACAGACCGAGGGTGAAGGAGGCGCCCGTCACCGCCAGCAGGGGGAAGCTGGGACCGCGGGTTGGCCAGGGAATCGGACAAAAAATCCGCGGTTTGGCTGTAGAGGGCCATGGTTCCTCTATTGTGATGATTATGCCGTCTGTAAAAGAGTGCGTGAAAGCAAAAGAGAAATCCCCTGAGGTCAACAAGTGAATTCATTGGGGTTGGCCGGGGAGCCGAGGCCAATCGCCATGTGCCTGATAAGATAACGAACATGTGCAGTGAAATCGGTTGATATTTATTTACACCCGGAGAGTAGATACACAAGAGCCGGCAACACTACGGATGCTGTCTAAAAGATTGACTGCGTGCCGAGTCTGGAGGGGGCATCGAATGCTCCGACCACCCGACATCTCGTTCAACCGAGATCGTAGTGTGATCGCTTGGGGCCATATGATCACCCTTCCCAAACGTGTTCGTGAGAACAATCTCTTCCTCATCTTGGGGCCGGAAGACCCTGCCGGAAGAATGGTAAGACGTGCCGCTTTTGAACGATCGGCCCGTAGAGATCCCCTGCTTTCCACTTTCGAGCCAGGTCGGGAATATTCGGCGTATCAGGGGTCGTAGCGTAGGGAGACAGGCACAAGTAATGCCAATGCAGGGTTCAACACTGGACCAGATGAAGCTGTTGCTTTGGTTCCAGGTTAGGTCGTCATTCGCGTACATCTGCGTCAGGAAGTAGATTCGGATCACACCCGCCACGCAAGCACTAAATATCAATCGGAAAAAAAGCCGTCAGAAATCGAGAACAAACGAAAGGGTTAAAAAGTAGTAAAACCAGGGGCGCGCTTACAAGCCAGCCAAAAGGAAGATTCCAAGCACAGTCAGCTTTCGGTTCAAGGGCATTTGCAGCTGCAGAATCATTGGTATGGGACAGATCAGGATAAGGAAGTCCGTGAAAACGCTCAGCGCCGCATTAGAAATGAAGAAGGCGTAGACGTCGACGCAACTCCCCTTGGCAGTGGGGTCTGTATATTGCTTCCAGAAATAGTCGTACGGCCGGCACTGAAGACCCGCGGTGACGACAATCGCGATCCACCAGCCAATCACTAGGAATGATATTCCATAAAGTACTCGTCGGAACCAGTTGATGGGGAATATGCGATAGTATAGAAGGACAACAGACATCTTGACGGCTGGGACGACGCTGCCATAGAAAAACTCATACAGCCAAAGGAGCTATCGAAGGTGAAGAGAGTCATCACGTATTAGCGGGCCGTTATGTCTATACTTTCTTGAGGACTCATTGCGGGCGTCGATCACTCACCTTGGTGACAGTGGCAATGTTCACGCCGGGCGCCCAGATATGTTTGCCGACACCGTTTTTGGTAGCTAACACAGGCGTCAGCTTCAATCTTCTTTCATCTTCGTTTCTGCCCGGTCGTTCAAATCGAATTATAGATGATGAGACAAATTGACCGCGTTGCCTTACCAATTACACTCATGATCCCGTTGCCGAATGCAAAAACCTAAGTTAGATTTTAGCTTAAGGGTTGGTTTCTCGCAACAGACAGACTCAATCTTACCAACGCCACTGCCAGAGCCCAGTCATCCCACCAAAAGTTCGCATTCGATAGGGATCTGGAGATAAACCGCACAACCACGGCAATGGTCGCCAGGGCGAGTAGCGCCATATCAGCGCCTATGATTTGAGGGCAGTAGTTCTCGGAGAGATCCATGCCCGCAGGCGGTCCAGAAGCCATGCCGAGAGAAATGCAAGTTAGGGATTGAAACCATACATGATAGCCACGGAAGGCCAGAAGAAGAGGATGGGGGTGGATTGGTGCGGGTGGGGGTGAGTGACACTTGTATTTGTAGGCCAAACTTCGGGTTTCAACGTTCCTGCGCTTGGGGGCCCCAATCAGTAAAACGCTAAGGGACCCGCGATCCTTTTGGCGTCCGGGCGAAGCTGTCAGTCGGCAAGACTATCTGAGCTAGGTCTAATTAGGAAGGAAACTTATCACTGACACACGCCTAAGGGTTCTAAGGTTTGCAAGTCTCCACCAACAACCCCTGTCCAATGTGATCGATCATCCGGCAATCAGTCCTTTCACATTGAAATAGGGTCAATTGAGATGGCTCAGAATACAGACATTTCGTGGCCTCGGTTTTACAATCTATTAGTGCGCTCAGCACTTTCATTTAACAGAATTCTCGTTCCCGACAATTACCAACTGTTGGCGATCAACAAACTAAGAGGGTCCCGGAATCCTGTAAAGAGCTAGTTCCGCAGTTAGTTGAGCGAAAGAATATGCTTTCTGGCCCCCAAATGTCAACGAAGAGCTTTTTGTCTCGTTTCTCCCTCAGGGGCGGTGATCGCAGCCTTGCTATTTTTGCCAGCTGGGCGGTCGACTGTTTCCTTTCTGAGAGGCGTGGATGATTCCTTTTAGGACGAGTGGACAAATTGCTGGTTTGGTAATATTCCATAATCACGCCCTCCGAACATCCTTAAGAAATCTCAGGTCAGTCAGTCAAGGAAATGAAATTATTGCATATCTCCATGGAAAAATCTCCCCTGTCTGACTCGTGTTGGTACTTATGGATCTCCGGAGGAGGCACCGAGGCGACGGCTACATAATGCCGGGGCCAAACTACGGAACTTAAACAATTAGTCTAACCTACCTTGTTTAGTTTCCCCTGTCACTTTCTGAGAATGGAAGGGCTAGACCGTTGTGACTAGGCCGTTAGAGTCGCAGAGTGTTATGGTTGCTACGGCCGATAAGGATTTGAACAATCTGTCGGAAGCGAGAATGCTGGTATATACTATTACCGAACTCGTCCAATTTGGAGATCCTGGAAATGTCTTATCTAGAAGCTATCTCGATTACCCCTATTTACGTGTGGATTCTTGGCTATCTGATTACATGATCAGCTCGACTTAGGGGGCGGGGGAGGATTGTAGTCTCAGAATCAAAGACAATGACCTTGTAGCACTGTTATAGTAGCTTTAGTTTTTAAAATGAGCAGCGTGGCAATAAGTAAACACGGAAATATTGCTTCGTCAGGATCAAGCCCCTTCATAAATCGAGGCCATTCCGGTACTACGATAGTAGAGATACCAAGTGCATGTCCCCGCCAGAGAGGATTGTATCGTCACGGCTCGGAGGCGCCAGAAGCAAAGCTGGGTGTCAGACGTGCAAGTAGGGCGACCCTCTCTATGTATGTACTGTGCTAAGAGAAGTAGGAGTCGTCAGGTTCTTCGACAAAAATCATTCTGCCATCGCTGCTCGTCCACCGGCCGACAATGCGATTACTTAGCCTCGTCCCTTGCAGGCCGAGGTGTTGAATTGTCCCCCTTTTTATCGACTCACGGTCCCGACGGAAGACGGAGCTTTGGGTACTATTTCTTCGGGGTAGGCCTCCTCCATCGCGGGGATTCTGGACGTGAGTTTCTGGAAAGTCGTTGTGCTGCAGATGGGTTGATTTGAACCCGTGTCATGGGATGCGGTGGTAACAACCAGCCTATTTTATGAAACGCCAGACAGAGATCTTGGATACGGCCCCTTCAGGAAAGATGTGCCCCAGGCTACAGATACACATCTGCTGCACCGACAGGCCATGGCATGTTACTCAAGGTCTATAAGTACCGTCCGGGCGCAAATCCAGCGAAACACGATGGATATTCAGGTCGTCCTGATCACCTGTACCCTTTTTCATCTGCATCGAGGCGTTGCAGGGCCACCAGGCCGAGGCCATGGAATTGTATAAGCAGGATGTAAAGATGCCGCAGGATATACTCCAGTACTCGCAGCAGCCAGGGAATCATCTGCCCCATTCGTAATTTTTGGAGCAGATCATCGCGTTTGAATCCGGCTGGCGTTCTATTCGAACTGTCAGTTCTGATGCAGGATAATGAATCGGAGTGGTGCCATTCCTTACGTGCTGCGCAAAAATCGCTTCCTCGGCTCTTCGCTCAGTGTCTGGTCTACGAAAATTTCGTAGCCGAGCATGTTCAAGGATTCGGGCACTTTCAGATTTGACAGGCGGCGGAAATTACTACCAAAGCTCACGCTGTGGAGGCAGAGCTTTGTGCCGCTGCGTACAGAGCTACACTTGGCCTCAAACCCAAACTCGAGCGCTCTGTCCACGCTTATCACGGTATATCACACCCTCTATGTAATCGTTGCGACGTCCCTGCACCATCAAGAAACTATTTACGGCCAGCAAGTAAAGAGAGACCCTAATAGAAATTGTGCACTATGGCAAGGAAGCCCTCGCAGCGACTGCCGATTACAACGGATCGCAGCCCCCCTTCGCCTTCGAGATCGGCGTTGGAATGCCGCTGCTACTCACGGAAATAAAATGCTAATGCAGAGGATCCTCCATCCGGCACTAAGCCCTCTCACTTCTCCCACAGTGCCCTTCAATCCAGGGCTTCTACATGTTCAGCAACGGGTCCGCCCTCGCCGCCAAAGCCATTGATATTGAGGAAAGGTTAGGCTACGTTCGGATCAACACGAACGTTATCGACGGAGAAACGCGAAGTCTGGAAAAATTGACGTGTGCAATCGAAACCCGTGAACCACTAGGAGAAGACCTGTCGACTCAACCGATCAAGCTGAATGGGCCTTGGTAGAGGAACAGGTCACGCTGCAAATGAGATGAACCAATTTGGGATTTTTTTCCCTAAGTATTGTTGTGTACTAGTTCAGGATCGCGCCCGGCACGTGTCGTGAATTAAACGTCGACTACTGCGATGGAACGGCCGTGTCGCATTGGGCAACTTATCCTCGGTCTCGCTCCAGCCATAAGAGCATTGGCTAGTACAAAGGCTAAGCTGGTGCTTGAGACACCAAAGGGGGCAAATGCATTTGTCAATGCATCTACTGCGACGGATCGTCCTAAATCTGGCAAATTTAAGGGCGTTACCAGAAGAGGCGGGGGTCCCCAGAATATTCGGGGAATTCGATCTAGCATGCGCTGCTGGAGTCAGTACTTGCCATCTGAACATGAGAGCGATGGCAGTTAGCTCTCGCTTCCTCGCGTATCCTATGGCGGTGCTAGGTCCATGAACGAATGAGGGGGATAGACCCTGCAAGTCCCCCGCTGTTTGAATTTATCCAGAACTCCATGGCATCCCTGTTTTGAATAGAGAGACGTACTGTCAACAGCGACAAGGGCTGGCACAAACAACATACCAAATAGTTAATTTCTATATGACATGAAACTCGCGACGATTGACATTTAGGCTATGTACATGATAATGCCCCATGATTCATGTTCTTCACCCCAACCCCACAAGTGGGACACCCGCTAGCCAAGCCCCGGCCGCTCATCCTTCATCTTCCATTCAACCGTTAGTGCTTCAGGTCAATAATGTGTTCTCCCACTCACGCCCCAAGTACATGCAGGGCTTTCTCTTACAGCGAACTCTGAATGTTGTTGCCCATCACTTGGTTTTGTGACAATTAAAACGTTACCTTCGTTCCAAGACTCCCGCCATCCGGTCCTGCCATGGTCCTCCAACCGTGTTCCTGACATATTGGTTTGGTGTTTAGCGTGGGCAGCGCCACAAGGTACGAGGCGGTCTCTTGGCATCTAACAGGCGGTATGTGATTGAAGGAAATTCTTCCAAGCCAGTCCTGGTGGCAGCCACCATTACAAATGAGGGGCTCATTTTCGATCCGAAACGCCTTTTTCCGGGGGAGGCGTGAAGGGCACGTTTCCACCTGCATCATCCAAATCTGTCAACATGTTCCTTTCAACCGAGATACGCTGCCTTGACACAAGATTTCGAAGAGATCGACACGCAACTGAGCCCTAGAACGCTTAGATCCGTAGCCGACGATTCTAAAGAAAAAACAACACTTCCCCAAGAGACAGAACTAGACCGGAGGACACTCCGTTAGTATAATGGTCAAACCCACAAGGACCCTGTCTATCCGCTCCATTTCCAGTCTTGAAGATGGCGATCCATCGACGGCGATCCTTCCCATCCTCATCGCGGCCCCAGGTCCACTGCGAAATCAATGCACGACGTGGGTGCTCCCCTACTCTGGAAACACTGCCATTTTGTTGAGGGTCTTTCCTTGTCATCCGTCGTCCAAGCCAATTTCACGACGGCCTCGCGGACCGCAGCACCGTTCGTGGCGTAGTATCTGTTTCCAGCCTGGCAAGGCAAGATGGTAACGAAGGAGATGGCTATATAAGGACGACGCATCCTCTCCGAAAACATTCATCTTCCCAACACTGCAGGTCAGAAAGCAAACTCAAGATTACAAGTTCACTCCTTTCACTATCTTCCAGATGTATGAGCGCGCGTTCCTTTTCTCTGCCATTATGGCGGCCGCTCGTGCCCAGCAGGCTGGCACGCTGACCCCTGAGACTCATCCCTCTCTGACGTGGGAGAAATGCGCGTCCGGCGGTAGCTGCACCGAGCAGTCTGGGTCTGTTGTCGTTGACGCCAATTGGCGGTGGGTTCACGACATCAACAGCTCGACGAACTGCTATACCGGTAACACGGTAAGCACACCCGCTTTCAATATTTTCCCCTGTCATTTCTAACAACAGGAACAGTGGGACGCAACTCTCTGCCCAGACGACACAACTTGTGCCGCGAACTGTGCTCTGGATGGCGCCGACTACTCCGGGACCTATGGCGTGACGACCGACGGCAGCTCCTTGACCCTGGGTTTTGTCACCGGCTCGAATGTTGGCTCTCGTCTCTATCTGATGGAGGACGACAGCACCTATCAGATTTTCCAACTGCTGAACCAGGAGTTCACGTTCGACGTAGATGTTTCGAACCTCCCATGCGGCCTTAACGGTGCTTTGTACTTCGTCTCCATGGATGCCGACGGTGGCATGTCCGAGTACAGTGGTAACAAGGCCGGAGCCAAATACGGCACTGGCTACTGTGACTCGCAATGCCCTCGGGACCTGAAATTCATCAATGGCCAGGTATGTCTAGACGATCAGTTCCCACACAAATGCTGATAGATGAACACAGGCCAACGTCGACGGTTGGGAGCCTTCCAGCAACGACGCAAACACTGGTATCGGCGGCCACGGCTCGTGCTGCGCGGAGATGGACGTGTGGGAGGCGAACAGCATTTCCACCGCTCTGACACCCCACCCCTGCGATACCGCCAGCCAGACTATGTGTGATGGCGACAGCTGCGGCGGGACATACTCGAGCAGCCGCTATGGAGGTACCTGCGACCCTGATGGATGTGACTTCAATCCTTACCGCATGGGCAATACGAGCTTCTACGGACCCGGCGAGATTGTCGACACAAACTCCAAGATGACGGTAGTGACGCAGTTTATCACCAGCGACGGCACAGATACCGGCACCCTCAGTGAGATCAACCGTATTTACGTGCAGAATGGAGTGGTCATTGCCAACTCGAACTCTGATGTCAGCGGCGTGAGCGGTAACTCGATTACCTCTGACTTCTGCACAGCCCAGAAGACGGCGTTTGGCGATGAGGATATCTTCTCGCAGCACGGTGGGCTGTCTGGTATGAGCACGGCTCTGTCCGGGGGTATGGTGCTTGTCATGAGCCTGTGGGATGATTACTATGCCGACATGCTCTGGCTCGACAGCGACTATCCCACCAACGCGACGGCCACCGACCCTGGCGTTGCTCGTGGTACTTGCTCGACCAGCTCTGGTAACCCGGCCACCATCGAGTCGCAGTCTGGGTCGGCCAATGTGGTCTTTTCCAACATCAAGGTTGGCCCGATCGGGTCCACCTACTCGTCGTAGGTCAGTATTATTATTGTGGCTGTTCCAATGTGGTTTTGTTGTTGTTGTATATTGTTGTTGTTTAGTTGTTTAACTAGTTGGGTTTGGTTCGGGAATGAATTGACTTTCCAAGGCGGAGAACCGGAAAATCCTCGGCCCGTAGAAAAATCACTGGAGTTTCTTTGTATTCGATGCTTGGATTGAGACAACACTCCTATTGCAGCCATGTTCGACACGGTCTGTACTCTGCCACTCTCGGCAGACCTGTTCACCCAGGCCATTCACCCCCAAGAACCGGTGGTCTCGGTTGGGTTGGCGTCGGGCCATGTCCAGACCTTCCGCTTACCTTCGGAGGATGGAGACAGCGGTGATGGAGCTTCGAACTCATCCGCGCGCAATGGCAAGGGACACATCGATACCATGTGGCGAACGAGGCGGCACAAGGGCAGCTGTCGGTGCTTAGGGTTCGGGGTGGACGGCCGGGCGCTGTACTCGGCGGGCACGGACGGGCTCGTGAAAGCAGCCAATGTAGAGACGGGCCAGGTGGAGAACAAGATTGTCATTCCTTTGGGGAAAAATGGGTAAGCAGTCTTTGAGTTGTCTTTTATTTGAGGCTGACTTGAACCCGGTGCAGCTCGGTTGACGCTCCTACGGTCATCCACGCGCTTTCGCCTCAAACTCTCTTGCTCGCCACGGACTCTAGCGCACTGCATCTCTACGATCTGCGCATTCCCTACTCAAAGGTGTCAGCGCGGCCCGAGCAGTCGCACCACCCGCATGATGATTACATCTCGTCCCTGATTCCTCTACCACCCTCTGAGACGAGTACCTCGGGCTTCAGCAAGCAATGGGTGACAACCGGCGGGACGACCCTCGCGGTGACCGATCTACGGCGAGGCGTCCTGGTGCGCAGCGAGAACCAAGAAGAAGAATTGATCAGCTCAGCATATATCAGCGGTTTACCGTCTACTGGAACGAGCCGCGGCCAGAAAGTGATCGTGGGCGGCTCCAGCGGTGTGATGACGCTCTGGGAAAAGGGCGCATGGGATGACCAGGATGAGCGGGTCTACGTGCACCGGGACGCAGAGGGAGGCGAGTCCATTGAGACGCTATCCGTCACTCCGGACTTTCTGGGCAAGGGCAAGCTGGTTGCCGCTGGTCTGGGCAACGGACTGGTGAAGTTTGTGCGCATGGGGTCCAACAAAGTGGTTTCGCAGGTCATGCACGACGAAACCGAGGGTGTCGTTGGCTTGGGATTTGACGTCGAAGGACGCATGGTCTCGGGTGGCGGGCAAGTGGTCAAGGTCTGGCATGATGCGGTGGGTAACGCCGGTGAATCGGCAGGCGATAAGCACATGCTTGGCAGTAGTGATGACAGTGAGGCCGAGTCCGAAGATAGCGATCGAGACGAGCGGCAGGGCGACAAGACTCGGAAGAAGCGCAAGAGGGTCAAGGGCAAGGACCGCAGCGCCAACCAGCAGGTCATGGCCTTTCACGACATGGACTGAACGCACATTCGGATATCCCGTCTACCAAAAAAGTGATGTGTGGCATATAGGCATATAGCGCGGTGTTAAGGTGGAAAAACAGCAATTGATGATCAACAATTTCCACAAATCCAATCACAGCCAACTCGGCAGTGCCATTAGCCGGCTTATTAAAGCTTACCCAATAACTAGGTATCCACGGGGGATTTCCGAGATGGTTGTATGGGAATTGAACACATTATTGGAGAAAGAAGACACTAGGTAGGGATGCGATGACTGGGAAGATATGGTTATGAACCAGATATAGAAGTTAGGGCTGAAGATTCCCCTCCAGAATGGCGACCCCACGAGTGCACGCCCCACGTCGAACATGACTTCATCCCGAAAGATTCATGGGCCGGTGGGGTGTGGGGAACATGATATAAAAACTTCCCATCGGCAGTTCCGTCCTCTTCCTCCACCCCCATCCACCATGGACGCCTTCGAGTATAATTCTAACCCCGGCCGCGTCGTCTTCGGCAGCGGCACGCTCCAAAACTGCCCGATGAGATCGCCCGGCTGCAACTAAAAGCACCGCTGGTGCTGTCCACACCACAGCAGACCAGCCAGGCCGAGAGCGTCAAGGCCGTGCTCAAGGGCCAGGTCGCGGGCATTTTCAGCGAGGCGACCATGCACACCCCGACCCATATTACGGACAAGGCCCTCGAGTACGCGAAGGCGCAGGGCGCCGACTCGGTCGTCTCCATTGGCGGCGGTAGCACCATTGGCTTGGGCAAGGCGATCAGCATCCGCACGGGCTTGCCGCATATCTGTATTCCGACGACCTATGCCGGCAGCGAGATGACCCCGATTCTGGGGGAGACTGCCGATGGCCTGAAGAAGACTCGCTCCGACCCAAAGATCTTGCCGGGGACGGTCATCTACGACGTCGACTTGACAATGACTCTGCCGGCGGCGATGAGTGCGACCAGCGGTGTCAACGCCATCGCGCACGCGGGTCGGTATTCTCGCTCTATCTTTTGACAGGTCCGTCAAGCTAATGGCTCCTATAGTTGAGGCTCTCTACGCCCGGAACACCAACCCGATCATCAACATGATGGCCATTGAGGGCACGCGGGCGCTCGCCTCCTCCCTCCCCGAGATTGTCGAAAACCCAGCTTCGCAGTCCGCCCGTTCCAAGGCCCTATACGGCGCCTGGCTATGCGGAACCTGCCTGGGCAGCGTGGGCATGTCCATCCATCACAAGCTGTGCCACACGCTCGGTGGCAGCTTCAACCTTCCCCATGCGGAGACACACACCGCCGTCCTGCCGCATGCTATCTCCTACAATGCACCTAACATCCCAGAAGCCATGACGCAACTGGCCGATGCGCTTCCCGATAGCAACGGCGATGCCATCCACGGGCTGAATGTCCTGCTGACCAAGCTCAAGGTCAAACGCGGATTGAAGGACTTTGGGATGAAAGAGGAGGACGTTGATAAGGCGGCTGATATTGCTGTTTCGAACCCGTACTGGAATCCTCGTACCATTGAGCGGGCTCCTATTCGTGAGTTGATCCGGCGGGTCTGGGCCGGTGAGCCGGCGCGGGCGGATCTGTAAATATCATGGCGTGTAGAATTTTTACCGGATAAATTCATTATGCTCCATTTGCCTTGGAAAAGATGACTTATAAATGCCATGACTACTAGATCAGCAGTGACCGTCTGCATTTGAGCGGATGGCCTGATCACTGGTTGGATTGCAATCATGGATCTGCCGGGCCCGATGTGGGCCCCAGTCTTTCCCAAGTTCCTTTTTTTTTCTCTTCTGCCCCTCCATCACCAAGCAACAATTCACACGATGGGCACCGACATGGAGGCAGCCCCCGTGCTGTCGACTCCCGACTCGCGCATCCTCGAAGAAACGGATCCCGTCGCTCCCCGGGAAGTGTCACGGTTGTCGGACGACGAGCTCGCTATCACCTACGACATCGAGCGCACGCTGCAGGAAATCCGCCAGGCGCGATACAGGCGCATCGCTCTCCAGTTCCCCGATGAAATGCTTCCGGATGCTCCACGAGTATTCCAACTGCTCAGCCGCGGCCTGAATCGCGAAGAACTCCCCACGACGAATGATACTCAGACCCCGAATCATACCGCTGATAGCGCCGATGCAAACTTGACGCAGTCGATGTCGCAGCTACAGGTTGGCGAGAAGGAAGAGAGATGGTCTCCTCGCCTGTACATTCTGGCGGACACCTCTTACGGAACTTGCTGCGTGGACGAGGTGGCGGCAGAGCATGTAGATGCGGACGTGGTGGTGCATTATGGGAGATCGTGTCTGTCGCCAACGGCTCGACTGCCCGTGATCTACGTCTTTACGCGCAAGGCACTGTCCATCGACCCTGTGGTGCAGGCCTTCAAAGCAACATATCCCGATCCAGCGGCCAAAGTGGTCATCGCGGCCGACGTGACCTACACCGACCATGTTCCCGCCGTGCACTCTCGCCTCGCGGAGGAAGGATACAGCAATCTGTTCGCGACAGAGGTCGTTCATGAGCCCTCATCTGCCATCCCAAATCGCACCGTCCCCGACTCGGTCCGAGACGCACCAGAGACACTATCCGAGTGGCAGCTTTTCCACATCTCCGACCCGCCAACCACCCTCCTTTTGACCCTTGCCTCTCGCGTCTCCGCGATCCATATCTACCCCACAGATACTCCCAGCGCAGACACTGTCAAACCTCTGCCCGCGTCCACGGCCGTGGCCTTGCGACGTCGATACGCCATCATCACCTCCCTGACGACAGTGCCCATCTGGGGCATTTTGATCAATACCCTCAGCGTGAAGAATTACTTGCATATTGTGGACCATGTGAAGGAGCGTATTGCCGCAGCCGGCAAGAAGAGTTACATGTTCGTGGTGGGCAAGCTCAATGCGGCCAAGGTCGCCAATTTCAGCGAGATCGGCGGCTGGGTGGTCATTGGCTGCTGGGAGAGCTCGCTGGTGGATTCCAAGGAATTCTGGAAGCCGGTGATCACCCCGTTTGAGCTGGAATTGGCATTGAAGGGGGACGCGGAGCGCGTGTGGACGGGTGCGTGGCAGAGCGATTTCCAGGCTGTCCTCGATCAGCCCCGCGAGGAGAAATCGGCGACCGCCAACGAAGACGACGAGGAAGACCTGTCGGAATCCGAGTCCGCGCCGCCGGAGTTTGATTTGCGCACCGGACGATACGTCTCGCATTCCCGTCCGATGCGGGATCCCGGGGCTGCCCAGATCGATGCATCGTCTGGACCCTCCGCTGCCCGGGCCTTGGCTCGTCGGACCAGAGGCGATCTGACCATGATCGGCGGGGCCGTGTCGCCGGGGGCTGAATTCTTGCGATCCCAGCGGACCTGGAAGGGGCTAGGCAGCGATTTTGACATCCGATATGACGAGGAGGATGACAGTACACTGGTCCAGGAAGGGCGCAAGGGCATCGCCAGGGGGTACACGGTGGGCGAGTCCGAGCGACACTAACCGATCACGAAACATAGACGAACTACTGTAGTTAGCACTAATCATACCCGATGCACGGAAGAAATCAGTCCATAATAATAAATTAATACCTCCAGTATAATAGTACTACGTCACATGACTGGGGGGCTCCCTTCCTGCTCTCATCGCTTCTGGTCTGGTCTGTCCCTCTCTGTGTCTGACTCTCTCCCTCTCTCTGTCTCTCTCCTTCTTCCCCTCCATTCCGCTTCCGGTCCCGCCGTGTCTCCCTCCGTTCCGCCCGGCCCTTGCGATCGCACCCCCTCGGCCTTATCGACGATCGACTCGCTACGTTTGATGGCCTTGCATGGTGGCTTGTCCTGGGTGAATAATCTCCCATCGACACTTACTCCCTCTCGTCTTACCATGTGCTGTGCCTCTATCTTCGCCCGCGACCGCGCGCCTCCTCGATTCTCCGTCTGAGCGACGGCGTGTGTCCTCCGTCCGTCACGCGGACCTAGGTGATGAGCCGCCCCGATCTCGCGACCATGACACAAGCAATTACGGACGAACCACCAGCGCCGCGGCAGGAGCTGGTGGAAGCCGCACTCCAGCACTCAGTCATCCCCGACGAGCGGCCTCTTTCGACCTTTGAGCGAGTGATCACAACCCATGCGCCCATTCTGGAATCGCTCCTCCTCCAGATCCCAACCGACACCCTCATCAAACTCTACCACACCTCTCATTACCTGCGGTCATTCCTCCGATCATACCCAACCGCATGGAAGTCCCTCTCATTTCGTCTGCTCTTCCCGTCGGGTACCCTCCCAGCGACCCGGATTATCGTATCGGGGCTGTCCGAGCCGATTACGCATCGCCAGTCGCGTCCCTACGCGCTTGACCAATTGCTAATGAACATTGTGATCCCCTTCAGCGGTTGCTTGAAGAGTCTGACGTTGGACAACACAGCAGTGTCGGGACAGATTCTGATTTCGACCGTGTTGCATTCTCGCCGGGAGACATTGGAGCACCTGTCCGTTCGGGGATGCAAGAATGTTTCCCTCAAATACCACGTCATCCCATACCTGACCATGTTCGGGCTACAGTATGACGTGGACATGGAAAAGAGCATCGGGACCTCTCCCTCAACAAAGCGACTGGCCCTCAAGAGTCTCTATGCATACAGATGCCGTCATCACCGCCGCAGGCCGTATCTGTCTTCTTCTCTCGTACGCAAGGATTCCGACTCGGAGCCGACGCACGAGCTGGTCAATCTCTGCCACAAGCTAGGGATCTGGACCGACACTGCCTGGTGCACCACACCCGCCGGCAGGTGTTTTCGCAGGCGCGGCTATGTGTCGATGAGAGTACCGCAAGGATCACCCGAAGTATGGGTGGTCTTTGATCGACTTTGGAGATCAAAAAACTGGATTGGACCCATCGACTCGCGGGCTGGTGGGACTCGGGTGCGTGACGGCAAGCTGTGGGAAAACTGCGACACTGGAAATTACGGTGAACCATTGGGGACAGGTGAAGGATCTGACCTGGGCGAGGGCAAGCTCACGCCGACACATCTGCGCCGCAGTCACACCCAATTTGTCGAAAACGTTCGCTGTGACCACTGCTTCGAACCCGTCTCCGAACGGTGTGAGCAATGCAGTATCTTGATGCATTGCGTCGGTTGCCGCAGGACTCTTTGCGCCAGCTGCGCCTACGAGCGGCCCTATCTGCACAGAGGGCAATCATCGACCACCACTGAGAGTGCCACTGGAAGTAGCACCGACTCCTTATGGTGGGCTCCTGGGGCGACCCACTCTCCCAGTTCGATGCAGGACCCCGTCTCCGATCAAGTAGACAATAACAACAACGCATTCCATCCGGCACACATGGCGCTCCATCCGGCACTCAAGTTTCACTGGTGCTGTACAGAACCCATCTTTTCTGGGGGAGGCGGAATCAGCATCGGAACCCCAAGTCGGGACGTGGATCAGGTGCGGGCTGCGCCCCTACCTCGAAATCAAGGGTGGGAGGATCTTGAGTACACTGTCAGCGAATGGAGCAAGACTTTCCCAAAATACGCCTACGGAGACCCCGGCAAACCCGACTACTCCCTCGAAACTGGACACCTGGCGATGATGAAATGGTTGCTTGGCCCACCTAATCGCCAGGTCTCTCCGTGTCCACGCAATCTATGCCAGGAGTGCTACGACTCACCACAATGGAAAGTGCACTGCAAGAGTTGCTCAAAACCTCTTTGCATTGAGCACGATCTTCGCGGCCTTCGCTTACGGATCTGCGGCTACCGTGACCTAGCATTCGAAAAGATGACCATCCAAAACCGCGTCGAGGCGAGCCCGCCACCAATATCTATCATTGGCATTCGAACAGACCAACTGCCAAGCTACGACCTACCTTTCCGCACTCAACGGCTCCTCGATTCCGCCACCAGCAGCTTTACTGAAGATCCTCACGTCGACGGTCTGCTGGACGGGGCAGGGTCAGAGTCAAACAGTGGTGACCATCCGACCTATCCAGGCCTTCCTCCACGCCATCAGTCTCGCTCCTATTCCGCTCCAACCTCCACGCATTCTGGTTCTTCCTCTCCATCTTCGGTTGGTTTTGACTCGCCCTTCGAGGTTCCAAAATGGCAAGGCTGCCAGTCCTTCTTTTGCCCCCAATATCGGGCCGTTGGGGACCAGCGCCAGAGATGCCCCAGCTATCTTCGTGAATGCAAAAACTGCGCCGTATTCGTCTGCCAGGACTGTGTCCACGCCAACCCGCCTTGCAAATGCACCTACTGCGAGGAGAACTACCTATGCCCGAACTGCACAAAAGTCCGTGCTCGCGATGGCCTGTGCCGCCGGCGCGAGGAGGAGAAAGCGCGGCGAGAGCGCAAGTGGAAGCAAGACATGCAGGTTTTAGAGGGCATCCTGGAGCTGAAGGTGGCGAACGAAGTCGCCGAGTTTGCGGGCCAATTTTTCGAGCTTATTGACGAGCGCGACAACGACAGCGTTGTGATCACTCCAATTTACGACGACGTACCCCACACCGAACCATCACCCTTACCGGCCAACATTCCTCCTCACACAGTCGATGTCAGTAGCGATCTCGAGGCTTCCTTGTTCCTCGGACCCAACTACCTCGGCTCTCTTTATGGTTCGGAGTAGGCGCACGCCTACCCCCATTTCGACTCTTTTAGTTTCTGCTCGGTTCTCATTTAGCGACACTTCCATACCACGGCGTCCTCGGATCATCTTTTCTTTTATCTTGTTTCATATCTTTTCGTCTTCTATCTTATCCTTATCCCATGTGGTTTTGTTTTCCGGGGCGATTTACCCCATCGGCGCGAATAACCATGGTGTCAGTTAGGCGTTGCGACACGGACAGCGGAGCAGGAATGGTGACTTTTTTTTCCAAGCTCTTTCATCCATTTCATATCTTGTGACGCCGATGCTGCAGACGGCAAATTGCCATCCAGTCTGGGTGGGTTCTCACGTGAGGACATGGCTGGTCAATGGGCGCAGTCGAGTTTGATGGTCCTTTTCCATTTCTTGTATTTCATGCCGGGCTGGATTCCCAAGCGCGTGATGCTTTGAGGACCATATTCGTACCACGGCAGCTGAACTACCTGTTGCTCCTGGTTTCCTGTCTGATAACGGTTGGTAGATGTCCTCTGAAGGGTCAGATGTCTCGATCATGTCTATTCGAATGAAGTGTTCAGATTACTGTGGTCTCTTACATGGATCAGTGTCAATGGTTCTCATCCGTCTCTGCATATATAGCGTATTTCAGCACCATACATTGCCCATTGTTTTGGTTGGAGACAGATCGTATCTGCCACGTCAACTTGTCCCAAGAAGATACTAATCGAGGTCACAGCGCGGACTAGTAAATAATGATTATTCAAGCTAAAATGATTCCCATTGCACTCTTTTTAAGCAAAGCACGCCGATATGACAGGAGGTGAAAAAATAAAGACAGAAAAGAAAAGCTTCATGACATGCTCGTTGCCGCCTCGCCCCACGCCAAAAGCAGAATAACTTTACCGCTTCCGCGGACCAGGACGGGGTTTGGTCTCGTCAGGACCAACGGGGTGCAGCATGACCTTGTTGACCATCTGCTGGTTATTGGCCGAGTAGCCCTTGCTCCATTCGTAGCTGACGGCATAGGCGAAGATATTTCCATTGCGATTGAAGGCCGTGGTGGGGATGGGCCCGCCAACAGCCGGGTAGCCCTTGAGGCGGTGCTTAGCGTCCTTATCCCAGAAGTGGAAGGTGCCATCGCTACCCGCGGTGCTGAAGGTGCCATGCACCGGGTGGAAGTTGATCGAGTTGACGGAGTAGATATTCGTGGCGTCGCGGGAATTGGGCGGGGTCTCGCGGTGGCACTTGAAGGAGAAATTCGAGGCGGAATCCTTCTCTTCGACGTACTGGATCGCGCAGCGGCCCTCAATGCTGCCAACGGCGAACCCGGACGCGTCCGCGAAGCAGCTGACGACCCGCGTCTGCCACTTGAGCGGGGACTGCATGGTCTTGTAGAACTTGGTCGGGTTGTCCAGGTTGATGATGTTGATGTACCGGTCCGCCGTGCCGACTACCAGCAGCTTGTTCTTCACGTCCATGGTGTAGATGCGCTCCTGGCACTCGACCTGCGCGATGGGTGTTTGCTGCCGTAAGTCCCAGTATTTCACCGTCTTGTCCCACGATCCCGTGATCAGCAACGGCGACCCGCCCGCCGACGGGTTGGGGATCATATGGCAGCTTCGGATGGGTGCATCGTGTGCCGCCACCTGCACTGCGGTTGTTGCGCCCGCACCGAGATCCAGCAATCGGGCTGCCTTGTCGGCGCCAGCTCCGACAACCTTGGTTCCATCCTGCGGAAAGAAAAAGAAAGTTAGCATGCAGCGGAGCATGTGTCATGAAGAGCAAGCTTACCGGAGACCAGCAGCAGTTCAACACAGGAGCCTCATGCTCAAACAGCGCTTTTCCTTCACTCTGGCCCTGCTCGTTGATCTCGTAGATGCGGACCTTCTTGTCCCACGACGCGACGGCCAGATGCTCGCTAACCGGCGAAAATCGAATATCGGAGATGCTGTCTTCCGGGGGTGAGTTGAGCGTGACGTCCTTGGAGATGTCGCCGGTGGTGTTCGTCTGACCCGCGGACGTCGACGCGCCAACGGAGCCGAAGAGCGACATCTGGACAGGCGCGAAGAAAGTGTGTTGACCGGAGAAGGAGGTGAGAAACGGCTGGCGATGGCTAGAAAGAGGGGTATATCATCCAGAAAGGAAGGAAGGTGGCCCGTCGGAAGGATTGGGGGGACGGGAAAGCAGCAAAGAAAGAGTCGCGAATACTTTTGGGCTGCGCGACTCTTGGGAAGGTTTGGTTTGGCGCTGGGATGCTCCTGTTGTTGCCTCAGGCAGGAAGATGGTCACCGCCTTCTATAACGGTGGTTGGGCTGGGCATGTACACAGTAACGGATTTATTTTCTTCGGTAAATTCTTATCTCTGAATGCCATTGCTATTCTTATGACTATGGGTAATAATGTGCAATTTATGGTACCAGAACTTGGGGGTTTTAGTGATAATAAGGGGTGTGGTGGAATGAACACTGCTGTAGATTTATGAAGAATTCTATAGTTCTGCCCTAGACTCAATTCCGGAGAGAGACTTTGACAGGCAATGCCAATGTGTGAGCACTAAGGCCCTCCCTGATGCCAAGATCCCAGTCCGGATGTAAAACGTTGATATTGTATCTCCAAAAGAGAGTGGCAATGATCAACTGCATTTCGAAGAGTGCGATATTCCTTCCTATGCAGGCACGGCCTCCTTGGGTAAATGCAAGGTAACCTCTCTGCATGTTAGTGCTGTCTGAACGGAGCCAGCGCTCTGGGATGAAGTCTTCGGGGTTGTCTCCAAATACAGCTGGATCACGATGGACCGTACGAGTAGAAACTGACGCCGTCGTTCCCTCCTCCAGCCATTCACCGGACACAAAAAGACCGCCTTTGGGGATGATGCGCGGTAGGCCGGCTTCGAGGGATGGCCGGAGTCGTAGACTCTCATCAATACAAGCCCTGAGATAGGGTAGATCCTTGATGGCTTCATATGTTGGCACATCCTCCGTACTTCCTTGCAGTGCTCTCTCAAGTTCTTCGTGCAGCTTAGCCGCAGCGCCCGGGTAACGAGCCAGGAAATAAACAGTATTCGTCAATGCAATTTCCGTGTTTTCGGTGGCACCAATGAGATTAACAGCTTCGCTCAAGATCTCACCAAACTCCAGACAGAGTGCATTTGAATCTTTGTCCCACAGCAATGTGGAAACAAGGTCATTGAGTGGGCTTTTATTCGCTTTGATGCGCTCAACGTCCGTTGCAAGTCGCTTTCGAAGAAGATGGATGGTGATATCGCGAACATGCCCTCCAAGTTTCCACCCTTGATGCCACCAAGTCAAATTCTTGACCCATTTCATGGATTCTGAAGCCCAGCCAGCCATCACCACGGCATAGGCGGACTGAATCATTCCCTGATAAAGATCCGCCTCATATTTCTCTCCTGTGATAGTCTCGGCGGGAGCAACAAGCGTATCTCGTTCCAGGAATCTCGGGTTTTGGCTGAAAAGAGCTGCACAGTTCGAGTCGTAGAGGATGGCGAGGTTGACGAACTTCATGTCCAAGACCTGAGACTTCTCGGAACCGGCCAGGCGATGATCGATATACTTAATCATGCCCTCCAGGTGTGATTGCATTATATTTTCCAGCTCCACTACACTTTTCTGTGCAAATGTCTGGGCAAATCTCCGACGCTTGGTGCTGTGGATGGCCCGATCTCGAGAGTCTGAAACGTTCAGGTGCGTCGAATTGAAAGAATCGTAGAAAGTGTCCTTGGTTGCGGGTGATCCGTGTCCATAGATGTCCTTGATCGCTTGAGTAGTCGCAAAGCTGACATGAGTTGGACCGACACGGACAATATCGCCGTAATGTTTGTGGGCACGGTGGATAGTAACGGTGCGGGTATGCCGGTACTGATGAACAACAGCCCATGCATTGGTAAACCCTGCGAGTCCCACGCTTGGGAAGCGACGTAGTTTTTTTGGATCTTGAAGGTAAACGAACAATGGATACAAAACAAAGGTCACTATGCAAAAGACTGCGATGAGCTCGCAAATGTTGAGACCGTACATTGTGTTGGCGGGCGCAGTAGTATCATTCACAGTGGAAATGAGGAGGAACCTCTCGACTTTTATCTTGTAAGTGCTAACCGTACAATAGGATACCTTAGGCCACCAAAGCCTTCCCGAGTGTCTCCATTGTCCACGTAAGTGGCCAGCTGATCTCGATGATCGGTGGACGGCCGCTAAGTGATGATGGCAAATGCCGCGATCTTCACTCGCCGAAATAATACCATATTAGGCAAGGAGGCCCGGTAGCATGACTCTGAATGGAGTCATGCTACCGGGCCTCGTAACAGTAAATTTTGACTTTCTGCTATGCCCAAAGTTGGCCTCGTCTGCATTAAAACTGCCGAGTATAGAAATTCTTTTCTCGGCCTAGATCAACTGAACATACTTATTTCACTGGACTCAATCCAAATTAACCCCTCCAGGCCGTTAACGCCATTTCCTTTAGCTCCCGTTCCGCTCAGGATCTTCTGGCTTGTCCACTTTGGAAACATTAGGCGATTTTTTGCAGTTTTCCCCCACTCCATCCAGCTTCCACTTCCACTACCGCAGACATTATTTATGGCCGAAGAAGCAAAAGACTGGGCCTTTTAAGTTACAGAAAGCCACTCAAGCAATTTGGTATTTAGTTAGAAATGATGATGAACCGCTAAACAAAACGAAGCTCCACAATTGCCAATAGTGTTGCTCGTGATATATGACTCTGCCAAACAAGGTAGACTTGTGCCGCTTTTGTACGACTGTCCGGATTTTGATGCCTAAGCCAAGTTTGCTGGAGTGTGTGCAGAATCTAGGCCGACCTCCTGGTCCTCGAAGAGATTCACTTCAGTGCTAGCGAATTCTCTTGCCGGGACCCTCTTAGCGAAGAGAATATCTAGTTCCTCATAGGACCGGCCCCAGGTCTCAGGAAGTCGGAAGAAAGCCCAAAGGAACATTATAAAGCAAGTACCGCCCCAGACAAATCTATCAATACGAACCAGTGTCAGTCTCGGGGAGTCTACCAATTATCATAGGAACAGATTAGTACGTACCCAACGTAGCCCTTTAGGTTCCACGCTTGCGGGTTCATGAAGTACTGCTGAAGAACTCCCGCTATGATCCCAACAACACCGTTTGCGTTTCTTGCGATGCAGATGGTCTTCTGGCGGAGTCGCGTTGATCCCATCTCGGCCGGAAGCGCCCAGCCGAGCTGCCCAGCAGAGAACTGGAAGATTAAGGTCCAGACAAGAGTAAGCACCGCTTGCGTCATGGCAATTGCTTTGCGATCGGTCCACACATTAAGGATACCGATCAAAATGAGAATCACGGTCATTCCTCCCATACCCCAGATGTAAATTGTACGACGGCCGATATATGGCATAAGAGCTAGGGAAGATATAAGTGAGCAATAGAATAATCTAAAAACCAGAGAGTGGCAAATTGAGACATACCGAACCAATTGACAAAGCAGCCAAAAAGAGCCAGGAAGGTTCCTCCAAGGTTAAGGGAGTACGTGGTAGATGTACCAACACCGACATTTTCAAAGAAGTAGGAGCTATTATAGGCAAAATTGATACCGCACAAGACTTGACCGGTTATGACCATGCAAGCGATCTCGGTTCGGCGAAGCTCCGGGCCTTTGAAACAGTCCGAATATTTCGTACCCACGTCGTGGTTTTGTTCAAACTTATCAGTATGGATAATTAATGCGAGCGTGTTCGCAGAGTTGATATTCGCTTTGGGATTTTGAAATCGTCGTAGTGATTTCTCGGCGTCCTCTAAGCGATTCTTTCTGACTAGGTACCAGGGGCTTTCAGGAGCAAGATACACTAGAGGAATCAAGAAACAAGGCCACACCCATTGGATTGCGAAAGGGATTCTATAGGCCCATGGACTGATATGATTCGACAAGCCTTTTAATATGCCAGCTGCAATGAGTTGGCCGATGATGAAGCACATATTGGTCAATGAAGTCAGGTAGACGCGGAGAGAAGTAGGCAGAACTTCGGACGCATAGGAAGTCGCACAAGTGGTGAGGATTCCCCAGGGAAAGCTTAGTATGTCAGTATGGATTGGACTGCCACAGACAGACTATACTTACCCGCAGATCACCTCTCCAACCGTCAACACAACCAAATTCGGTGCAAAGAAAGGAAAGAAGATCCCAATGATCAAGACAATGAGAGACCCTATAACAACGCGCCTCTGACCCCATTTTGGTACCATATAGCCATTGAGAATGGCTCCGAAGAAGCTGCCCACACCACCCGCTTGGCCCATGCCAGCTTGCCAGGCTGCGGTCAATTGATATCCGCTCGGCGTGCTCGGTGTGACTCCCACGAAACGGCCAAACCTGATTTGAAATGCAGCTATACGAAACCGGTTAGCAACTAGTCGCTCTTAATGGTGCCATTACCATACGATATGCGTAGAAGCTTCCAAGCAAAGCAGTATCATAACCCTCCATGATAACGCAAGCCGCGAAAGCAAGACACCACAGGACAGCATTGGGATAGGCTTTAAGGGCTGCCCTTGGACCTAGCTCTTTCTCATCGGCAAAGCCGACTTGTGCCTCAGCAATCAAAATCTTCTCGCTGGGCATCTCGTCCTGCGCCGGCCGATCGACATTGACACTGTCTGAAGCGGCAAATTGGTTTTCCTTTGTGTCTCCCATGCTGCAGGAATCGGAGTAGCAGACTTGCAACCGCGAGATAGAAAAGTAGAATTTGGAAAGCTCTGTTTGTTGCAAAGCTTTCCTGTCGAGGAAGATAGAGATTAAATCTGAAGTTATCCCAGAGCAGGAGGAATCTGGCGTATTCTTATAGCTGCTTGAGCTGTTAGACGGAACCAGTTAGACTGACATTATTGTCAAAGGCGGGGTCCCCATACTGATCCTCCCTGTGATTCTTGAGGCGTGGCGTAGCACAACGAATAGAGTGAGAGCTCCGGTCTGTAAAGGCATCATAACCCCCCTTGTTAGAGGTATTGAAAGTTGCTTCTGGAAAGGTTTGCGGAAATTTCTAAGCCAAATGCTGCCATTATTGGTTCGCGGCAAGATTCTCGGCGCAATCACTGGGGTACCGGGAATTCCACCGAAACTCCTGGAGCAAGCCGTAGGTCTAGCCGCAAGGACCTTGAATTTACCACGCTAATGTAGGATGACTGAAAATCCGGGGAAGCTTAAAGTTTTTCTTTTCACGTTGAAGTGGTTCCAAAACGACAAGGCTATAATGTGACAATCTGGGAGGTAGAAAATTCAGGTCGGGTATTATGACCGACTGGTGGGCTAATTTTCGGAAATCTGTCCTACCAAGATCGCACGATAATTTCAGCTTCAGATGAACGATCCTCTGCACACATGCAATAAAGAAAACATAGTTATCCACTGTTATCGCCAACCAACAACCTACATTACAAGTCCAACCAATCAAAAAAGAGAGAATCATATCACGTCTCCTTCGTAGCTTAGCGTAAGAGACAGTCATACGCTGGAGGTTGTGGTGTTTCTCTAGGAAAAGAAGTCAGGAAGAAATAAAACAAAACTACAAAACTACAGAAGATAAACAAGACAAACAAGAAGCATACCAAGCGCAAGGATAACTTCAACACCTCCCTCCGCTAACTGCGCAAGTCCTCCGATCTCTCGCTCCAACTGTGGCCCTCGTGCTCATTAGCTTGCACCTTGGAAACAAAGGCATTGGGATCTTCATCCTCGAACAGGCCACCAACTGAGATCATCCTGTAAGATCTGCGCCTGGTGGCGCCAAGAATTGATCGTATCCGCTGTCGCGGTCTGTGATGAGGGTATCTTGCCCCTCGAGAAAGAATCATTGAAGGCTGGGTATATCTGGCGCCTCCGGTGGAATGATTTATGCTGGCTCGCGGCGAAACGACAGGGGGCAGTGTGATCTGGAGGGGACGAAACGATCTATCTCCATACCGCTCGGCGAAAATTTACCGCAACGGGAGATTTTTGCCAACTTGTCTTTTAGCACTAATGCAGGCAAGTTGTGGAATAATAATCCAAGACAAATCGGTTTCTTGACCTTGTTGGGTAATTCCACATTAATCGTCAAAAACTCGAAATCCCACTTCGGCAGAAATATATATATACCTCCATAAGTCTCTGTCTAAGGCGAAGAAGAAACTCTAGTTCGGCTTTCGCAATGCATCCTTTTATCTATAATCCCCTAAGCCTTTTCGACGATCAAATTTCCAAGTCAAATACTGCACACCATGAGCTCTGGCGCTCAATTCAGTTCCACAGCTTTGCGCTGGAGCTCGACGATCTGGTCATTGTGTCTCTGCTTGCAATTTTTGTCTCTTTGTGGACAAGTCATGGTACTCTCTGGTCGAGACCTCAAAAGGGACATCACCTCTACTTCGTCTCTCCTCAGCTACAGGAAGAGATCTTTCTAAACATCGGGCGTGGACAAAAGGAATTTATCACTCGGCAAATCAACGACCGCATGACACAGCTTGGGAAAAGCATCATCGTTTTTTGGGGCTCTCAAAGTGGCAAGGGAGAGCGCCTAGCCAACAACTTTGTCCGAGAGTGCACCACACGCTTCAATTTACCCGCAATTGCAGCCAATTTGGACCTTTTCGACTACGATCAACTTGCAGAGCTAAGCGAAGGACGATTAGTTGGGTTCATACTTGCAACCTATGGGGAAGGTGATCCGACAGACAACGCTTCTGGCCTACACGAATACCTTCGGAAAATTGAGAAGAGCCGGACCCGACCGCTGTCGCATCTTGAGTATTTCTGTTTCGGTCTCGGAAATTCCAAGTATCAGTTTTATAATCGTTTTGTCGATTTCGTCGATGAGACGCTCATTCAGTGCGGTGCTCAGCGAATTGCACCCGTTGGCAAGATCGATGAGGCTGATCATTCTGAAGACAGCTGGCTAAGCTGGAAGGATCAAATGGTGAAGAAACTGGCAGAGCGCTTTGAATCCCAGGAATGCGTTGATCAACAATGGCCAGTCTTCGATCTGGTTACCCTGAACGACGGTTGGCCAAGCAGAACGGTTATGAGCCATGTCGCAGAGACATCAGCAACAACGAATTCCAACAAGCAGCAGCAGCTAGTGCGAGTTAGTCGGTCTTTCCAGTTGTCTGGCTCAGGATCTTCCAAAACGAGGCAAGATGCTGTCCGAACCTATCTGCATATTGAGCTAGACACAAGGATAAGCAACCAGAAGATCGGATATGAGACTGGCGACCACGTTGCCATATGGCCTGTCAATCCTAATAGCGAAGTGGATCTGCTTGCGAGCATCTTCGGGTGGGACAAAAAGTCCTTGAAGTCCACCATTGACATTAGGCCTCGTAACCCAACCACGAGTGAAATCGCCGCCATCCCCATACCTACTCCTACCACCCGAGAAGCCTTACTACAATACCAGCTCGATATCTGTGGCCCAGTTAGCCCCGAGGTTTTGGACATGCTTGCAACGTACAGCCCGAGCACCGATGCCACAGCGTACCTTGATCGTTGCCGATTTGACCCCGAAGCCCGCTCAGAGATCTCCATCCAACATCTTACATGTGGACAGCTCATGAAGCGCGCAGCGCCTGGGGCAACCTGGACTGAAGATGTCTTTTCCGCTTTGCTTTCTATGATGCCCAAGCTCCACCCTCGATATTTCTCCATTGCATCTTCGCCCCTGGTGGACCCAGAATCCATCGCTATTACCGCTGGACTCGTCGAAACACCAACCTCACAAGCTGATCAGCCATTTGTTGGCTTGACGACGGGATATTTGTATGCTTTGCATGGACAAAAAAATCAAATCAACAAAACCAACAGACTTCGACCTCAATACAACTTCGATGGGCCACGGTCTATTCTAAGTGGCTATAAGATGTTTGCACACGTACAAAAGTCGAAGTTCAAGCTACCAGCCAAGACAGATACACCGATCCTCATGATTGCGGCTGGAAGTGGCATTGCGCCTTTCAGAGGCTTTGTCCAGGAACGTATGGCCCTTTCAAGACAAGGAGTTTCAGTTGGCAAGATGATACTTTTTTATGGATCCCGATCAAAGGAGGACTGTCTTTACTCGGATATATGGTCCGAGGCCGAAAATATGGGGATTATGGACACACATTTCGTGTTCTCAGCTCATTTGGTTGATGGGGGAAAGTTTTATGTCCAGCACAAATTGCTTGAACATGCAGAAACCACGAGGCAACTGATTGGAAATGGCAATGGGTCTGTCTATATTTGTGGTAGTGCCAATATGGCCAATGCCGTGAAGACTAGCCTTGCAAAGCTTCTTTGTGATAGCGGGGCTGTCAAGCATTTGAAGGAATCTAAACGACTTCAGGAGGATGTTTGGTAGGGATTTAGTATACCTTGGTCTTGTGTTTTCCAATACTATGAGAAAATGAAATTCTTTTCCTTATTCAAGTGATGAACTATACTCCTTTTTCGACATGTGCAGCCACGATTTTGTACTTCGACAAAAGTGTTGTTCTTGTAGACATCCAAATAGAGCATCACCTAAGCCTCGCCTCCCGACCCATATACTTGGAAATCCCATTTGGGTGGACCATTGACTCGAGTTACAACTCTCTCGAGTGCAGGGAGCATTGGGGTGAAACGGTTCGGAGTCCACTTGGCCGGAAGACGATACAGTCAACAAGGTGCGAACCAAATAGACACGGGAACTGTACTCAAGTGATCGGCAAGTCTGAGGACCTCTTCTTCTTTTACTACTACTCCGGAAGTTTCTGGTCAAAGACTACTTGCCTGATTGGGAAGAATTTCGGCGATTCGAGTGGGTACTTCCCCGCCATTTGTACCAATAAAACATATCAGGGCGGGGGATGATGATGGAATGTTGAAAATAAAACGCTTCAGTCATTAAGCATTACATAGTGTAGTGGGGGAATCAGCGACGGTATTGTTAGCAGGGTTACCCTCAAGCATTGAGATTGTAGGGCGAACCCATGCGAACCCGAGATTCTATGTAAAACCACAATGGGGTAATCCACCCCTAAGGTGCAAATCTTGCCTAACCTTTCCAGGAATCTAGCATATTAGATTTGAAGAAGCAAACTCGTAAATTCAGAGTTCTGGCGAAACCCCTAAGCCCTGCATCCAAGGTCCCTTTGATTTCGCCCATGTTTCCTCCAAGCGCGTGCAGTCGACTTGACTGGGCCACTTGGTATTGTGACTAAATTCAGTCAAGAAATTGAGCAAACGTTGCTGCTCATCTCGACCAGAAAGGAATCGGCCACACCATGCCATTAGATGGCTACCGTTGAGGTTGGTACCCACATTGGTCATATTTGACATACAAAGTCCACACAGTAGGCGAGTCGGGGTAACAATTGCGGTCTGGTAGGTTGGTTCCAAATTGTATGAGCAGAGAGCGGTGGAGAGAGGGACAGGCATCAAAACCATTATGAGCTAACATACTTCAATGTATCGGTGCATATTGTGCACACTCTCATTCGCCCAGTCATCGGGGAAATATACTGCCAACATGACTTTTGCTGCATAGTAGAACTGCCATGCAACCACTTCGTTCAATCAGAATACTGGAACAGCGCCCGGCAACAACGATGAGGGAAATTCACTCACCATGCCATGGAGAAAAGTAGCGAATACCCGGAAACGGCTCATTATCATTCTCACAGATGCACCAAGGTCGGAAAGAAGGAGGTAAGTGCGCTCTCCATTTATCAATGAGATCCTTCAAGCTTCTCGAATCAGCCGTAGAGTGCTGTCGCCCATGGTCCCAGCACAGCGAGCCAACTCTGACTAAAAGAAAAGTCATGCGATTCGTCCACACTCCATCCGTCGGCGCGGGAGCCGTCATGTCTTCGTCACAGAGGCTGAGATGAGTCAAGTCAAATGGACAGGGTTGCTCTTGGAGAAACGAAATGCGAATGCTCTCTCGCAGATAGGTCCAGAAGCACGAGGTCGAAAGGTTGGATTCCACAGGCGACCAGTCCGTGCCATCCAAGAAAAGGGATGCAGCACCCTGCAGGTGGCGCTGGGTGTCGCTGCTGGGCTCCAAAAATTGTTCTGACATCCGGAGAATGACAACGGTAGCTAGTAGGGCCTCGTTGGAGGAGTTTGCTTTTTCTGACGAAAGTGAAGGAATCATTAAACTCACGACACGATCACTGTAGTACTGCTCGACTTCTTTCTCAACCATTCCTAGCAAATACATGAGATGAGATGCGCAAGCAAGACAGGCGGCGAGCAGCAGTGGATCACTGAGAGCAAGCTGGGGTACGTATGAATGAAAGTATCCTCCAGGAGATCCAATGTCAATCTATACGGCATCACTTGATTAGTCGAGTGGTTGTCAGACGTTTGAACAGCTACCCATACCCAGTGTCCGGCGCGCTCCACATAGAAAGCGAAAACCTTGCAGTCAATTTCTTCGGTCAAGGTACGTGCAGAGTCTCGGGACGCTTGATAGGATGTTGCTGTGTTCGGGGAGACATGTCCAATTGGGTGTGATAAGTCAATTGAGGTGTCTGATCCGTTGATACCATAGCCTGAATCGCTCGGAGCTGCACCAACGGACGAAAACCCAAGAGGAGAAAGAATGAACGAAGGTATGGATGATTTTGGTGTCAACGCGATACCGTCCACCGGGAGTGACGACGATGAAAATCGGCGAGTATCCTCGGCAGACGGGACAGGGCTCACCGCCGAGGATTGGCCTGGGAAGCCGCTTGGTAATGTCCGCGGTGAGCCAGCCCTATCAAGAGAAGGATCGTGCGTGGTGTCGCTGGCGCCAGAAGCAGCTCCCGGATCGTTGTCGTTTGCCGGAGGAGTCCGCGCAGAGCCTACCTCGGGCCGCGTCGCATTTGTTGTTGCCAATGACGACGAGTAACGACTCTGCCGGAATCGAAGACGTTTTGAAGCATACTCGCAAACCGTCGGGTATTTGAGATTTCGGCAACTGTTGCAAGTGGGTGTGCCCCTATCACACTTTACGTGTCTTTCCTGGCATCGTAGACATCCAGGGGTCCGTTTGCGCGTGGGCATGGTTCGAATGTATCGACAAATGAAAGGAAAAGTTGGTTCCTTTCTTTTGAGGACTTTGAGGAGAGATTCATGGCCGGGGTAGCCCGAGGAACTATGCTTAGTGATCCGAATCTTAGATCTTTATTTTTTCCTTCTTCCCCGCGTTCCAGAAGACACGATCCCTGTTCTTCCCAAACTATGTATAAAATTGAGGCTCCCCTTTTCGAATAACCAAGTTTCGACTTTCCATCCTTCGGAGAAGCGGAATTGGCCATGATGAATGTACACACAACTTTGCCTCACGCTTTTGCTGGGAAAGACGGCCAAAGCGGGGTTTCGGTTGCGGCCGAGTGGTCTGGTATGCCACGCCATTCCTCTTATGGCGAATTTTCGCCGACAGAGTCAACGGTCTCTGGTCGGCGAGATTTTCTCGCAATTTATTTAAACTACTAGGAATGCCCCGGATTTGTTGCGAAACTAATTTGACAAGCTCACCTTTCATAACTGTCTTCAAAGGTCCTTCTGAAATGGAAAAAAATATGGAAAACGGCGTCACGTACACGGAGGAGCAATCAATTTCTTCCGCGAAGAAATCCGACGAGGCCAGTGCAGAACATATCGACAGCCCCCAGCTCACTAATGTACCGGATGCCATCAAAGAATCAGAGCTCCTAGAGGTGATCAAAGTCGAACATCGCGAGGAAGTTCTGAACTTCGTTCACGAACTCGAGGCGGAGCTTCAGCGAAGTGAGGCTAATGGCCCTCGGCGACGCTCTGATGCATTCCAATTATCATTCAAGAACCCCAAGTACTTCACCTGGGTAATGGCTGCTTTTGCATCAATGGGAGGGCTACTGTTCGGCCTGGATCAATCACTTATCAGCGGCGCAAACCTCTTTATGCCTACCGCTCTGGGATTATCCGTGCAACAGGTAGGATTCGTCAATAGTTCGATGCCTCTCGGCGCCGTGGCCGGCGCTTTTCTGCTTATTCCCGCCAATGAATATCTCGGTCGTCGATGGGCGATCATTCTGGCCACCATTCTGTATACTATCGGGGCGGCTTTGGAAGCTGGCGCGATCAGTTACCCTATGATGATCGTGGGCCGTTTGATTCTTGGCTTTGGTGTCGGCATCGAGACAGGTACGGTGCCGGTGTATGTGGCAGAATGTGTGGAGCGTCAGTTCCGGGGAAACCTGGTTTCACTTTACCAATTCAACATTGCGCTGGGAGAAGTTTTCGGCTACGTCGTGGCCGCTATCTTCCTAAAAGTGGACGGGAATTGGCGGTATATGCTTGGCTCATCCATTGTATTCTCGACTTTGATGCTCATTGGGTATGTATTCAACCAATGCGAAGAGACAAGATATCAGACTAAAATATCACAGCATGCTTCTTCTGACTGAAAGTCCCCGTTTCCTAATGCATCAGTCTCGACTCTTCGATGCCTACCGTGTCTGGAAGCGCATTCGCGGTGTCGAATCCTTCGACTCACAAGCCGAATTCTACTTGATGAAACTAACAGCTGATGCTGAAGAGCGTGAGTTACGAGCGAAACGTGCGACTGTGAAATTCATCTGGTTCGACTTTATCACGTAAGTGTCCATACCACCACCCATACCCGGCATGGCTGACTGTGAAAGTGTCCCTCGCTGCCGTCGCGCTATCATTTATGCGAATATTATGATTCTGCTTGGCCAATTCGTCGGCATAAATGGCCTTATGTACTACATGGGTATTCTAATGCAGCAGATCGGGCTCAATCCTGCGAACAGCACATACATGTCCATGGTTGGCGGCGGCTCTCTACTCATCGGCACCATTCCCGCGATCTTCAATATGGAGCGTTTCGGCCGTCGCTTCTGGGCCATCACCATGCTTCCTGGCTGCTTCATCGGCCTCGTTCTGATCGGCTGCAGCTACCTCTTTAATGTCAACACGAACGTCCAAGCCGTAGAAGGGCTATATTTATCCGGCCTGATTATATACATGCTCTGCTATGGATCCTACGCCTGTCTCACATGGGTTATCCCATCTGATGTGTACCCGACGTACCTCCGCAGCTATGGCATGGCGACGTCAGATGCAATGGTCTTTCTGGGCTCGTTCATTATCACTTACAATTTCAGCGCCATGCAAGACGCGATGACTAAAACTGGGCTCACTCTGGGGTTCTTCGGCGGGATTAGTGTTCTGGGCTGGTTTTACCAGGTCCTGTTCATGCCGGAGGTCAAGGATATGACGCTGGAAGAAGTTGGAGTGGTATTCTCCAAGCCTACGGGGCAGCTTGTGAAGGAGAATCTGACCAGCAGTATCCGAACCACTTCTCTCCTATTACGTGGTCAATTCCGAGAAGCGGTGTTGGGCTCACAAGGATCAGAAAGGCAACAAGACAAAGTGTAAGGGTTTCTATGCCTTCCGTGCAACGATCACGTCAGTTTAGATGATATCATGAAATGACCGTCCCCTGGGGAACGTACATGAATCCCGGTCTTCATTACCGAATGAGATGTAATAATGGTAATCGTAATACACGCTAGTACCACTAATGTCGATCTGGGTGGAGCGAAACCAGAGTAAGAATGCGGGGTGCAGTGTTAGGATTGGGTGATGTCAACATGCTCGTGTGATCCGGGGGAGCCGACCGAAGAGTGAGAACGAGGGTATATTTATCAGGCTCGATACACAGCGTGTGCGCGTTATGATGATTTATTAAGATAACTAGAATCCGTCGGAGTGAAATGCTATAATAATAATCATAGTAGAATCCCCAGCGGCCGTCGAAGCGAGGCCCTCCAGGAGTAACTATGCTGCCCAGCCCAAACATGACATCCTTGACTTCCCCCGCCAGTATCACTGGTCACCTGCCAGTCACCTGCTCTCTTCCCCCTCTTCTCGCACACAACGCTCCCTTCCTTCTCCTTCTTCTTCTTCTTCCTCATCCATCATCATCACCATCATCCCACTCTATTCATCTGGTAAGCTCCATCTCCCACCCCGTTTCCAATCATCATCTCCCTTCCCTTCTAACATCCCATTCCCCCTTCCCAGTCTCATCTACACCTACTGCTCACCCATCATGTCTGTACCTCTCACCAAGGTCGACTCTGCCATCGCTGGCTTGTCCATAGACGACAAAGCCCCCAAACCCTCCGAGAAGGAAGTCAAGAAGACGCACAAGCGCACCCCATCCAAATCGGGTGAAGTCTGGAACATCAAAGACCTGGGTAAGCCTCCTTTACCCTTCCATCCATCCATCCTTTCATCATCGCTCATCATCGCTCTCCATCCAGAGGAGCAAAAGATTGAGCTCTCGCTCCCAATCGAGACACAAAAGACCGGGTGGTAAGTCATTGGCCTGTCATTTTCACGTTAGACATAATCTGACCCCCTCCAGGAAACTCAACACCTCACCAAATACCGTCGAGGACCGGGATATCCTCAAGTTACATCTCGTCACGCCGCCAGTCAAGAAGATTGACTTGCACTTCCCCTTGGGCCTGGAGGTCACTGCCCGGAATTTGAAGGGTGTCACAATCAAGGATGCACTAGACGCCATCCACAAGCAGTTCAAGAAGAAGGTAAGCGGACTTGCTGGCCATCACAAACAAAACTAACCGACCTCTCCAGGCGGACGACGAGCTGGATAAGCCCTACCTCGCTGGCTTCGAGTGGGACAAGGAGGAGTCCTGGACACGGCTCATTGTGCACCAGAAGAAAGAGAACACGGCAGCACAACCCACCAGCAAGAAGTCCAAAAAGAAGAACAAGGAAGAGGCATAGGTCGATGCGCCCGCAGCGATTCCGGTGCCACCGCACCGCGCCCTATCCTGTTTCTCGTGGGATTTCCATGATGATGCACGGATATGATTAGGGAGTCCACCTAACAACTCCCCAGTCACTTGAACTGATCCTTTTTTTGCGACTGCTGCTTTTATCCTTCCTCTCTCTATCCCTCCACGGCTCGGGGTCCCGGTCGGCTGCTCTGCGTTCATTGGTTTTCTCTTCTCTTCTGCTTTCGGGATGTAGAAGCAAGAATAAAGAGGGCGCGGGTGAATTGATTTGTACTTTGGTTTTTTTATTTCTTTCTGTCGTTTCAGTGGCCCGACTGGCTCGAGGAAACCTGCGCTCCTGTTCGCAGTCTCTCAGTATGTATCTGCCCTGGGTCGATCTGGGTTCTGCGGGCCTATCCTGCGGGACTGTTCATTCTTTGTCGCCCAGTGGTGATCAGACCAATCCACTAATTTTCCATGGGGAATGGGTTCGTCCCATCGAACGTAGTTGACCCCGAGTAGACCTGACGTTGGCGATGGATGCGCCAAGAACAGCTCTGTATCCACACCGGCCCACACCCAACCCGCTCGCTAATCGGCCAGGACGCACTAGTCGAGAGGCGTGTTTTCTTGAAATATTCTAATGTTCTTCTGGAGAAAGCGGGGGCCCCTAGTAATGGCAAAGAGAGTGGGTTTTTGTAGCGTTTTCTCAGCGGATGCTCGTCCATCTATCCCCTATGAAGATTTGACAAGGGAAGCTGCCGCACACACAAATCCCTTAACGAACATTCCACACCGCTACTACGGTTTCCAATCAGCAATCCAGTGAGACACGGGTTCTGTGAGAAAGAAATAAACGCTTCTTTCACACTTGACCGATTCAGTATTACTATGTCGTTTTTTATCCCACCGTATCCACTCTATCTCCATGAGACGAGGATAGCGGCAGGAAAAGAAGCAATCAAATAAGGTGAACCGGTCACTAGCGACTTTCTGGTAACATCCACAGGACCAGATGTAACAATGGGTATTCCTGACGTTTTTCAGTTGAATGCGAGACCCCGACAGTCATTCTTCTGGTTAAGTGTCATTTTCGTCTCCATCCAGACTTGCCATCGTCGAGGGAGCCCTTATGTTTAGCTAGCTTCGCCGGAGAGCAACCTTGCAACGGCTTTGTCTAGGTACCAGGCTGGCGCACTTCAGTTATGAAAATTGTAAGATTGGGCTATTTCATGTAGTGGTCTTTAGATCTCTAGAATCGAGCCTCGTTTCCATCCAATGTCTCTTACAGTCACTGCCAACCTCAATATGCGTAGAATCGGTGGTTGTAACCTTGACAGTGCGAATTAGTGCATAATGTTGCTAAAAATCTATAGCCTTGGGCTTGAGGGAAGTGCCATCTTCGGGGTATCGATTGTGCTAATCCCGCTGCCATTCATGGCAATTAGCTTCATGATAATTGCCTTCCATGAAGAGTTAAAAAATGTGTTAAATAACTCTGTCCTGACTTATGACATTTTCAAGAATGGGTCGGCATGCACTAGAGGGACTAAAAAATATGCCTACAGTATGTAATCATCACTAGCGATGTCATCGGGCCAGCCATCTCCACTTTTGGTCATGCGCGCTCACTTTTTTCTTTTTCCTCTTCTCTTCAGTTGGAAGGGCATGCGACCCCCTGACTCCGGCCGTGATCATCATATATATATATGTCCTCTTTTATAGTTTGTGTTCCCGTCGCTCAGAGTTTTCGCACAACCACAAACATCCCCCGCCACCAAAATGGCCGCAGATCATCAGCCCAGGGACGACCCCGGTCTCTCCAATAACAACTCCCGGATGCCAGTCCCGACACCCTATTCCGACCAGGACCCAGATCACCCAGATTTGCCCCTGCCTATAGAACAATCAGACAACGACAACACCCATGATGAAGACGAAACCAAGGCCGCAGCCTCACGACCCCGCCATGCCTGGCAGGCTCGAAGTCGGAACTTCTGGCTCCGATACAAAGGCATGGTCCTGGTGCTCCTGGCCCAGATGTTCGGGGCCTCGATGAATGTCATGACGCAGGTGCTGGAGATCCATAGCTCCATGCATCCATTTCAGGTAGGTATCGATCCTTTTCTTCAAAATAGTAATTGCTCATTTTCTGCCTGAGTAGGTCCTCTTTGCCCGCATGTCTATCACGGCGGTAGCAAGCTACGCGTATATGTTCTATATGCACACCCCGCATCCGCTGGGCACCCGAGACGTGCTGGGCTGGCTGCTCCTGCGCGCCGTCTGCGGATTCACGGGCGTGTACGGCCTGTACTACTCCGTGCAATACCTGCCTCTGTCCGAGGCAACGGTGATTACCTTCCTAGCGCCCATCATGACCTGCTACGCATGCTCGTGGAAGATCCCCGGGGAAACATTCTCGCGGCGGCAGCAGCTGGCAGCCGTGGTCTCGCTCGCGGGAGTGGTCTTGATCGCACGTCCGTTCAGCAAGCGCTCGTCGTCAGGCGACAGCGAGAACCCGGACGCGGCGGACTCGTACCACCACATTCTGGCGACGGTGGTTGCCTTCGTAGGCGTCATTGGCGCGGCGGGTGCCTACACTTCGATCCGCCTGATCGGAAAACGGGCACACCCGCTGGTATCGGTGACTTATTTCTCCACGGTGACGACGGTGATCTCGCTGGTCGCGATGGCCTGCGTCCCCGGGATCCCGTTCCGGTTCCCCAGCACCAAGACGGAGTGGGGACTGCTGGGCGGGTTGGGGGTGTGTGGGTTTCTGCTGCAGTTTCTGTTGACGGCCGGACTGTCGTATGTGCCGCCGGCCTCGGTGGCTCCCAAGGCCGGCCAGGGGGCGCGGGCTACGTCGATGGTGTACACGCAGATGCTGTTCGCACTATTCTACGACAAGGTGGTCTGGGGCAGCACGCCCAAGCCCATCAGCGTCGTCGGGTCTGCTTTGATTCTGTGCTGCGCGGTCTATGTGGCCGTAGCGCAGGAGCCGCGTACAGAATTATCAGTCGATCGCGGCGATCCGCGGGAGGAGGGGTTGTTCAAGGACGACGCCGCTGACGAGGAATGCGCCGGCCCTTGAGTGGATAATGAGCGGTCATTGAGTGTAGCCAATGAGAATCCCTTATTATGGACAGTATGTACAGTAGTAGGTACAGTAGTCAGTGTCTAGCTTCGACTACTTCCAGTCTAGCCCTAGCGGAGCACTCTGCTCCTTCATCAAATGTCGTCATAGCGTTGCAGTCCGCGCCGACAACTCCCGATCCATCTTCACCGGATAAGGAATTCACATTTACTTCGCCCCATAAATATCATGCCCACCACCCCCCACATTAACCCCAGATTGATTATCTGTGACGGGGGATCTAACTGGGATTGACATCCACCACATTCGACTGCCATTGCTTCACTTTATCATTGCTTATTTGAGCTTATCCCGAGTCTTCTTTTTTTTAAACCCAAAATGCGCCACTTTGATGCCTGGGTCGTCCGCGACCCCTACTCCATCTATCACTACTATCCTACCGGCCGCCGCTGGCAAGACGCCGTGCGCGCTCTGATCCAAGAACGCCAGATCTGCGCACCCGCCATCGAATCGCACGACGACGCCCCGATTGACCTAGCCGGTCCCATGTCCGCTCAAGGATCAAGCAACCTACTTCAGCGCCTGCCGCCAGAGATCCGCCAGATGATCTGGGGTCACGTATTCGGCGACGGCGCGGTGCATCTCGTGCAACTCAAGGGCAAGATCCGGCACGTGCGGTGCGAGCACGTCACGCCCTCCATCACACAGCATCGTCACTGCTGCCCGCGCACCCCGGCCCGCTGGCGCGAGTACTCCGGCCGCGAGTCTGGCCATTCCGATGGCCTCCTCTACCCACACACCCACGAACAACTTCCCTTGGCACTCTCCGACAGCGGCGCCGCCCTCCTGCGCACCTGCCGAGCCATCTACGCCGAAGCCGCTGATCAGCTGTACACCAACGCGGTCTTCGACGTCGACGACCTCCACACCTTCGTCGCCTTCGCCCGCGCTGTGGGGCCGCGCCGTCTCCGCTGCATCCGCCGCCTCACGGTACAATGGACGCCCGTCTGGAAACCGCTAGCGGGCCAGTGCCACGCCCGCTCGATCTACGCACACACGCACTCGGACGCGCTGTGGACGCAGTTCTGGGCACGCGTCGCCTCCCTGCCCAACCTGCGTGAGCTGCGGCTCTCGCTTGATCTTGGCCGGTTTACGGGCACTATCTCCGGAGGCGGTGCCGTCGTGGTGGCTGGCCAGCGGCTGCCGCTTGCGCTTGCGGAGCCGTGGCTCGTTCCGCTGCTCAGTGTGCGAGGGCTGCAGCGGTTTGATCTGGCGGTTACGGCGCGCTGTGATCCTACTGCGAAGGGGCTCATCGAGCCTGACTTATGTCGCGATGCTGTGGATCTAAGGGATCAGTTGCGCGCGGTGCTCTGTTCGAAGCCGGGTGAGGCTGTTCCGCTTGTCAAGGGGCTGGGTGTGCCGGAGATTTGCGCGCTGGATGATCTGAGGACGCAGATGCCCAGAAGGGCGAGGTCGAGGTTGGCCATTACGGCTGCTTAGACTGTTTTGTTCTTGTGTTTTTGTTGTGTTTGGTGTTTGTTGTTTGTGATACCCACTCCTGCTGCTCATATTCATGATAAAGAAAGAAAGATAGAAAGACAAGACAAGACAAGAGAACATAGACTTACTAGAAATGCATTGCATCTTGAATCTCAACTATGGTTTTCTAAGGTTGCTTTCTACTTGTACAAGAGTTATATTTGTGCACGGAAGGTATACGTTCTATTGCATCGTTTTCTGCTTGATACCAAGGTGGCATTGAACCCGAGATTAACCGCCGAGAGCCAGCACAGTCTATATCCATAATTGATACCCAAATAAATATCCCAGCCCAGCAGTATAGCTTTCCCCCAAATCCTTTTGGGAGCCGGTGTCCCAGCGCGTGTCCAAAGTCACGACTTTTGTGTCCATCAATCAACAATACAAAAACAGAAATGGAGAAGGGGATCAAAGACGGCAGAGATGAAATGAGAGAAGAAGGGGGGAAGAGGCGGGAAGGAGATGGGAGTTCAATTTGAGATGGAGCATTAGGGAAAAGAGGATGGGATCAGAGCAGCAAAAGACGAAACACCAGTGCGCCAGACATAGGAAAGAGAAAATCCGTCCTAGCAATGTTGACAGAAGTAAAACAAGGATCAGAATGCAAGTGACAGGGAAAGAAACAATATGCAGGGTCAGATTGTGTTATCTACTGCGACGCAGAGACTCCGGTGCCACCAGTGCGGCCGCGGATTTCTTCGTCGAAGCCGTTGGTGGGCTCAGAATCGCCGTCGTCTTCATCGGTCGGCGAGTGAGGGTGACTCTGGGGTTCCTGAAGCGACTGGCGGCTGCGCATCATCTGCTAAATGTTAGATTTGACAGGAGGGGAAAATAAGATAGAAAACATACCCATGCTCGTACGCCCCCAATCAAACCCAAGCTGTACCCCGTCGCGAAGTCCTCGTTCCGCGGCGAGCCCATCGGGCTGTCTGGGCGGTTCAGGGCTTCCACGCGCGAGAGATGGGACTTGCTGCCGCCCGTGGGACTGGTGAGGGGACCGCGGCCATTGCCGAAGTCCATGCTGGTGCGTGCACTGGGCGCGGGGCTGCCGGGCCGGCTGTTCTGCCAGATCTGGCGCAATTCGCGGCCCAGTTCCTGGCCAGTCATGGTCCAGTTGGTGCGGATGTTGTCGCGGATCTCTGTCACATGGCGTTTGATCTCGAGCTCGTTCTTCTTCAGCCACGAGACGTTCAGCTCTTGACGGGATGCACCGCGCTTGAATTGGCGGGAGATGTACTGGTCGTAGTCTCGGACGATCCTGATGTACGTTAGACAAGTTGGAGGGAAGTAGAGACGCTAAAACATACCGAGTGATGATGCCCGTGGTGCTGACTCCCTCCGTTCTCTGGGTCACCAGGAACTTGCCCTGGGCCTTGATAGGCTCGTAGATATCATCACCCTCAGCGGCTTGGTAGGGCAGGTCATCGTGGGCGACGTAGTCGATCTTGTGCTCGGACAGGAAATCCGGCGTCACAACCCACGGGCAGTTGGGAATCACCTCATCCACCCATTTGCAATGCCGGACGGTCTCGGCACGCTCTGCACCGCTGAGAACCGTCAGACCCTTGCGCATGTGTGTCTCCCCATCGCCCGTGACACCGACAATGAGGTAAACCTCGGGGAAAGCCTTCTTCGCCTGTTCCAATTGTCTCATATGACTAGAAACCATCCAGTTAGCCATCGCCGGCAACCACCTTTCGCATCCGATCTAAAAAGTCTTACCCCAGATGAAACAGATCAAACACTCCGTCCGCATACACCCGCACTGGTCGACCCGTCGGCGGCGGGTTGGTGTGGTATCCCACAGGGTCCTGCAACCCTGCACGCAGCGGCGGTTCGATAGCCTCCTGCTCAGTCGGCATCTTGATGTGCAACCCGGGCCGAGCCCTTGGCTGGTTCTCAATGTCGCTGCTGGCCACGGTGGTCTCTGACGGCTCGCCGGGATCCTCCTTGTGGATCTGGGCGTCGCCGTTGGGCATCGCAGTGGAAGAGGATTGGAGGCTCGCGTCCCCGGAGCTCTTGCGGGCACGTTTCGATGGCGGCACCGCATCCCCCGATGTCGAGGGTTGCTGTTTCTTGTGTTTAGTCCCCATTGTGGTCGGAGGGGGGGCATTGGCTGGGCCGGTGGAATCCTCGCCGCCTTCTTCGCCAGACGCGTCGCGCGAGGAGGGTTGCAGCTCGGTCGCCGATAGATGAGGCTTTTGTTGGGCGGGCGTGTGCTGCGAGCCGCTGCGCTTGCGCTTGGCGGAGGGAGACCGGGGGGACGGCATGGCTGTGAGTGTGGGCGCACCGAGGGGAGGGCGGTCGCGTTCAAGAACAGATAGGTAGATGGGCCCGGGGGTCACACGTTGGGGGGGTTCCTCCGGGGTAGGAGGAAAGGAAGGATAGTAGGAAAAGGAGAGGGAGAGCGTTGGAAAATAATAGTGTCCCAAAATGACGCGAGCATCAGGATCAATAAGTGGGTATTCCCGTGTTCGATTGCGGGTAATTTTCACTCCGGGGCGCCCGTACTTGGTACATTACACGGTGGGCGAGTGTGTTTTCCTCTCTGCAAATTGCACTTGTTTGCATAACTAAGTCAACACGTGCTCTACACTCCCATCCTTCCCAACTCCACTGCTGAAAATCCACTTCTACCATCCCCCATGATGCGTACCCGGTGTGCCGTGGAAGGAGAATGTGTGGTTCGTCAATAGCGGGCCTTTTCTGCGGTATCTCGTGTGTTGTGATGGCATAAAAGAAGAAGAAAAGAAAACACACGATGCCTTCTCTGCTCCCGGCGCAGTGCTCTTCACCCACCCACGGATGGATAATTCCCGATTCCACTGCAGCCTCGTCCTCTCACACTCGGACAGTGATCCCACGTCTTCTCGGAGCAAAAGAAAAGGAAAAGAAAAAGGGCATGGTTCGTAGAATCAGGGTAGCGGGGGTCGTTCACAAATAAAAAAGATAGAAAACACCAAACAGATAGAAACAAAAAATCAGCTACGTAGACTTCTTGTCGGTGTCAGCCGTGGAGGCCGGGGATTCCGATATTTGAGCAGCGGATGCTCCATCCTGCTTCCCCTGAGGCCCCGGGGTCTCCTCGCGTTCGTTCCGGGTGGCATCGGGTGTCTCATGGTGCACTTGATTCGCCAAGTCCTGGTCTTCCTCAGTCTGGTCAAAGAGCTCCTCCTCGTTCTGGTCCGGGACGACTTCGGTGCCGTCGCCTAGCAAGATAATCCGGCCGGAGCGGACACTGTACCCACGCGGACGCTCCATCTCCAGATCATACTCCTCCGGGTTGTCTTCGAATTGGTTGCGGATGCCCGGACCGCGGAATTCGGCTGCTCAAGTGTGGACGGTCAGCACGAAGTGTGACTTTCGGCCTCGGCTTCCTCGTGAGACTTGCCGTACTCGGGAGGAGCGCAAGGCCCGTCCCCATTCGCAACCCGCTCGGCGACCTGCTTGTACCACTCCTCCTTGCTCTTGCCATTCAGCAGGCCGATGATGGTCATGGTCATGTTGTCACAACCGACACCACCAGTCTCGCTGTTGGAAGCTAGGCAGTTATCCATCATGTTCTCACAGATCCGGTAGAGATCCTGCTTGGCCGCAATGCCTCTACGGACGAATTCGACCACCGCTTGGGAAGACTGGCAATCCCAGATGCCTAGTAGGATTTCAGTTTTAGTAGTTCCGCACAAATGTAGTTAAATCACGTACCGTCGCAAGCAATCACCAAGAATTCATCGTCGTCAGTCAGGTCGTGGACGGTCACGTCGGGGAATGCAGTCACAATCTGCTGCTCGGGAGACAGCTCAGGACTCTTCTTGAATTCGAAGTCACCGAGTGCACGAGACAGTGCCAGGTTGCCATTGACACGACCGAAGTCAACAAATCCACCCGCGGCACTGATACGAGCTTTCTCGCCTAGAGTAATCCTTCAGCAAAAGCTCTTGTCTTCTCAAGAAACTACACACCTTCATTCTGAGGCTTGTGGTCAAAAGACAGGGGCTTTGCACGGCCCTTGACTCCCAGAACTGACCGGGAATCACCCGCGTTTGCCTGCCACAGGTCAGCAAGCCCAACCTCGAGCTGTTCCAAGAGGGCAATAACATACCACCCAGATCTTGTGTTTGGAGATGATGCCGACTGAGGCTGTGCAACCAGATACCTCCTCTTCATACTTGGGATCTGTATTGCGAAGCTGGTTAGGATTGTGTTCTTTCCCTCTGCTCCATCTAGCATCAACGCACCTTCTAAGATCGCCCGGTCGGTGGCCAGGAAACCATCTTTCAACGCCTGTTCAATATCACCCTTGGCGAACGCGTCCTGTTTGGCGACGATCTTGTGGACATTTTCTCCGGCAAATAACGCGACCTTGTCTCCACCGTGGCCATCATACACTCCAAAGAAGGCGAGACGATTCTCCGGATCCGTCGGTTTGCCGTCACTGTTGTCTAAACACTTTGCGTGCATGTCCAGAATGGCAGCATGGGCATCCTCCATGCTGATGCGCCAGCCCTGCATTGCCGAGACGCCATATACGCAGCACTCATCTTCGCCCTCGGCCGATGTCTAGCAGTTCACCACAACCGTCAGCGTCATTCAAAATATCTCAGTAGCAGGCGTAATGAGAAAAGCCACCCCGTGTGTCGACTGGAGGTCGCCTTGGAGCACCCCTTTACCCCTCCAGCCAGCACGGCAGATGCATGCGGGGCAAATAGTAACACCCTGGCAAAAACAAATTCAGTGTCGCCAAAGCCCACCAGGGACTCTCCACCATGGCAAGCTTCAATACTGAGCAGGGATCTAGGGGGGTGGGGATGTGGACAGCGAGCGCCAGCAGACAGCCGACGTCAGGATGGCAGCAGTGTGGGGGAAGGAAGGGAATTTTTGCCCACTGACCTTTTCAACCACGGGCTCCGACAGAGTCTGACCCATTGTGACAAGCGAGATGGAGGGATGATTCTGGGGAAATCAGAGTAAAGCACCGAATGAGTGCGGTGGAGGGAGCGGGAGAGGTGAGGAGAAGAGTTGAGAGGGTCAGGTGAGGTGAGGGCACACTTTCAGCGCGTAGTCGGTTGGTTCCCGCGATAAAGGCCGGAATCGGGAGTGGGGACACAATGACCAGAGCAGGGTCGGTGGGGAGGCCGGTATGGAACCGTGAGGTGAGTGCGGATGAAGACACGTGGAGGCAATGAGGACGAAGAAGGCCGAGAAGGAAGAAGAAGAAGCAGAGGCACACGAACAACAATGTGGGATGTGCTATCGCTATCAGTGCAGCAGGCAGAGATTTCTGTAATGGAATTACGGGCGTCCGACCGTGAAGGGTCACGTGCCCGGTTACTACAAAGAACGGCGGCGACGAATCAGGATATTATTGGAAAGCAGAAGAGCAGAGGGTCGCGCATGAGGCATACATTATTCCAATAACTGATTCATTCCAGCACCACAAGGAACAGAGACCTCCTATCTACCTCCCCCAGGTACCGCGCACTGACGACCCTCCAGGCACCCTGCAAGGGAAAAGTCTTTCCGGCCCGAATACAACTAGTGTCACTTTGAGAGAGTAAACCTGACAAGAAAGAAAAAAGGGATGGATATCATGTTCGCAATGCCCCCAAACGCCAAACAATTAGAAACGAAAAGATGGTAGATTATTACACAAATGCCAGCTCGCCGCTGCTGGCAACCGGCAGGCCCTGGCTGCTGAGATTCTTCAGGGTGGGTGGTGGTTCCAGCGACATGCCCCAGTCCTGATTCTTGCTCTTCTGAGGGCTAGCCTTGCGGGAGAGGTGCTCCTCGAGATCGGAGACCATCGAAGAGCTCGGAGGCATGGCGGAAGCTCCTCCACCCGATGGCTGCAGGGGCTTTTCATGGCTCCCCGATGCCAAGCGGCGGGCACTGCTCAAACTATTATCACTCCAGAATCGAGGGAGTGGAGAAATGACGCCGCGGTAGTCGTGTGCCAGGCTGAGCTGGCTGCGACTCATCTCGGCGCCCTCGGCAAGCGGGTGTAGACTGGGCGGAGGCTGGAGATTCTGGTACTGAGAGAAGCGGTTGTCTTCACCGCCGTATTCAGAGGCCGACATGGCCATCGAGACGGGCCGCTCTTGGATAGATTGTCGGTATTCATCGGAGAAGGTCGACACCGAGACAGTGTCTGCTCGATTGCGCTGGCTGCGTGCTCGCTCGAGGGCGCGTAGCCCGGAGGAGGCGCGGCGGTCAAGCTGGCTAGCGAACAACGGGTTGGTCGAGTTCCGGTTCTTGGCACGGCTGTGCACAAAGGCCTCCAGGGAGTCTGCCTCGGAGGTGGGCGAATCGTCGGGCTCCACGGTTCGTAACGTCATCCGCTTCGTCGGGTCTGGGATGGTGGATGCCATGCTGTGTCGGGTCCGCGCATTGGGGGGTCGAGGAAACAGCGGTGCAATGTTGTTCAAGCTGTTCTCATCATTGGGGAAGGAGGCTTTGGCGTTTTGCCAGGATATCTGTACCACACCATGTCCCGGAGGTCCAAATCCACCGGCACCGTGGCCGGCCCCGCTAAGTCGTACCGGCAATCCAGAGGCAACAGATGAGATTCCACTAGACCGCTTGGAATATCGCTTCGAACGCACTGATTGAACAGATTCGCGCTTCATAGCCCGTGGTTGAATCGGTTTCAAGGGTTCGCGTCGGCTGGAGCGGCGGCGGCGTACGGGAGAAGGATTGTTGAAGGAAAGACGTTGAGTCTGCTTCTTAGGAGAAGACTTGGAGGGAGAATTGCTGGCCGGTTTCTTTTCGCCCTCTACAGTCGAATCTCTCAGCGGAACGAAGGTCCCTCTGGCCGGGGAACGAGGTGGCGGACTTGGTTGTGGTTGCGGAATCGGGGTCTGCTCTTTCCCAAATGATTCCATGTTCCACGTGGGCCCAAGTTCGAGCTTAGGCAGATCGGAAGCAGGGATGGTTGAGCTCAGCCAGCCATAGGAAGTGTCGTCCGCGGAGGGCTCTTCACGGAAAGCTGTATTTGAATGAGCGAGCGATGCATCCGGCCGTGCGGGCCGCGGAGGAGGAGATCCTTTTGGTTTCGAGAGCGCTTCTTCCACCGTAGATGACTTTCTGCGGCGACGCATGCAAAAAAAGAGAACCACGAGACTCAACACTGCAACGATAGGGATCACAACGGAGATCGCAATAATCCCGGCTTTCCTGTGAGAGGGACTGGCGGATGGGGAAAATGGATTGGAAGGGTCTTCAGGATCGAGATGGTCCGATGCTTTGACAATATCAAGCTCAAAGTTTCGCGTGTTCTTGGTGGATCCTTGATGCGCAGTCAAGGGAATGGTCCATTTCTGAGGCTGCATGTCCGCTGGAACGTGCCCGTGGAGCGTCTTGTTGCCGGAGTCGTAGGTAAGCCACGATGAAAGTTGCTGGTTCAGACCGACATCAAGCTGCACGGAGTTGTCGGTTACGATCGACTGGTTGAACACAAACGTAAAGTCCTCGCCAATGGTGGCTTCGCAGCCTTGAACCGTGTCAAGGAAGAGTTCGAGGAATTCAAGCTGAAGCATGATCTTCGCCTGGTCCTGGTAAGTATCCGTTACGGTGATGGTGATATTCTGGTTTACGGCATTATCGGACGGTGTGCCACTGAGCGAGATCGTGACATTATCCAATATTAACCAGTCGGGCAATTCAGCATCAACAGATGTCAAATCTTTGCTCGATGTTGGGGATCCATCAAGCGAAAGAAGACCTCGATAACTGGGACTGCTGAATTTCTGGCCCCTGGTGAGATTGAAGGTCTGGGTGGTCTCGTTAAACGCCAAAATGTGCGGGCCGATCACGATTTCGAATGTCATATTGACGGCGCTGTATCCAGCGACATCCGATGCAACAAGCTCGAATGTGAAGGCCTCTGAGCTTGAACCCGGGAAAGACGGGCTATTCCCAGAGAATTTCAGTGCTGCAGCGTCGAAGTCGATCCAGGATGGCAGTGGTGTATTATTTGGTGAAGTCCCGTAATAGATTGTGGAAGGGTGCGTGTTCTGGAAGGTATCCTTGTCGAAAGAAATGGTAAAATCATGCCCCGGTTGTATGAACAGAGTCGACGGATAGGAAACGGGACCCACAGCCTGCAACTGCGTGATAAGTGGCTTTCCCAAGGTTGGTCCTCGATCCGCCGTGACGATTAGGGTGACATCCATGCTATCAGACCCCGATCCGTTTGATCCCACGAGCTGGAACTTCTTGGGACCGGTGTCATTAGAAGGAGTGCCTGAAAGCGTCCGGCTGCTGCTATCCACTTCAAGCCATGATGGTGCATTTTTGAGCGAATATTTCGTGTCTGCGTCGGTGTTGGCAAATGTGCTGGCTGCGAAAACAAATTGAAAGTGCTGGTCGACTCGCGCGACTGGAGGTAATTGCGCATTGATCGGGTAGTTGGCAGATATAGCAGCTGCGTCGGTGGCAGATAGCAGGGCCAAAGCAACGATGAGAAAGAAAAGCGCCATCTCTGAATGAGGGGACCGGATGACGTCCGGCACACCGTTAGGGTTGTTGAAGAGACAGCGTGATGAGGCGCAGACGAGTTACCAAACTGCACGCCGGACAACTTCATTCAGAGGGTGAGAAGAGACAAGAAAGGATGGAAGGAGACAGAAGGTAAAGATTAAGCTCTCTAGACTCCTCGAAGGATCATCCTCCCTGGCACTCGGCGTGCCTAGGGGGCCGGTGACAAGGAGATAATCAAGGCGTGCCCTTTGAGAAAAGCCATACCTGGATATGTGCGACGTCAAAGTATGTAGCAGAGTGACAGCCGAGAATGGGCCCTGCCCCCGGTAGGGCTCGTGGATCAAAGGCCTAGCAAGGGATACTCCTGTGGCAGCCAAGGAGCACTGAAATGCCCAACCTCCACCATCATCTCTGACCCCCTCCAAAACTTGAGCAGGCAAGGAACACGGCAAAGGTGAAGAGAAAGAAAGGCCCGAAAGTGGCCTTCGCCTTAACTGGCATGTTCCTCGTCGAGGTCGAGGACCATTCGGATGCCGGTGCGCCCAGGGGCGTAGTAGTCAGGGATCACCTCACGCTCCTCGAATCCACAGCGGACATACAATGCCCGGGCGGGCTCCCTGGCCTGGTCCACCCAAAGTTGGATGCTCTGGCAGCCCTCCTTCCGCAGTCGTTGTTGAATGTAGGACATAAGCTGCAGCCCGATACCTTGTCGGCGATGGGTCGACACAACGCACACCTTGTGTAGGAGAGCTACCCCCTTCTGCCGCACATAGACGGCATAGGCAATAATCTCCGGGCCTCCGTCCGTCGCGTAGAGCACTCGCGTGTTGGGCTTCTTTCTCCACAAGTCTTCGCCGAAGCCGAATGCCTCATTGGTCGGGAATGTCTTCTTCTCGACGCGTGTAATCCGAGACAGAATATCCAGGGCTTCGTTCCTCTTCAAGGAATGGATGTCCGAGATGACCAGGTTGGGCATTCCGGGCAGTACCTGGATCGTGTAGGCGTTGAGAAGGACAAAAAAAAAGCGACTCATCAACCAGTGACAATGCCTTCCGCTCCCCCACATCAACTCAACTTCAACATCAACATCAACATTAACATCACACCATCATCAGGCCATGCCCTCCCAAGCTGATGACAAGCGCCAGGCCGCGCGCGAGGTCATCGACATTCTTCACGAGATCTCCACGCTCCTCGTAAGTGGCATGCCATGCGGCGGGACATGCAAGCGCGGGGCTGACACTGTCATTCATGCGCAGAATACCAACCTCGACCGCACGGAGCTGTCGCTCTGCGTGTCTCTGATCGAGAATGGTGTCAATCCCGACGCCCTGGCTGTTAGTAGCTCGTCGTCCTCGTTGTATCACCTCTAACTGCTCCCTCCAGACGGTGATCAAGGATCTGCGGAAGGAAGCTTCCAAGCGTGGTATCTCGAATGCAGCTGCCATGACAGAGTAGTTGGGAGGTGTATTTCTCTCGGGCGAGGTATTGAGTTAGAAGTCCTGGTGTGTTTCTGGTTCCTGGTTCCAAGCGTTGTGAAGTCGAAATGGCCGCTAGATACCCTTTGCATTTCTTTTCTTTCTTTCTTTCTTTCTTTTTTTTTTTTTTTTTTTTTTTGGGCGAATACAAATACAGTGTTGTCTGTCTACGGATTGAAGATAGTAGACGTGCAATCGGATAGATGCTGGCTACTTCTACTCGGTATCATAATCTCAACAAGACAGGCAACAGACAGGGGGCATCTCAGGCTAACAAAAGGTGAAGTAGGAATAGAGGAGCAATTTGGGGGTTACAAGGTGGTTGATCGATCACTTCGACGACTCGTCCGGTTTGCTGTCCTTGGAAGAACCCATGTCGCCCGACATGGCCTCCTCCGTGGCTTTCTTGATCTGCTCGCTGTCCGCGACCGTGGTCTGCTCCTTGGGTTTCGTGTCCTTCTCATCATCACTATCGCCCAAACTGAATGGGTCATTTTCGGCGACCGGGGAAGGGTCCATCTGAGACAGGGGCTGCCATTTGCTCGCCTTGTTGCCCGTTGAAGACTGCCGCTTGGCGGCAGTGTCAATCTCAGTGGGCGGACCCTCCTGGAAAGACACTTTGCGTCGGTCTGGCGATGGCGAAGGCGCCTTCTGGAACCCGGAGTTGGCCCCCGGACGGGGCGGGCGCGTGGGAGGAGCTGGGACGGTGTTAGCAGGACGTGGAGAAACAGCCAACCAATACTTACCCTCTGAGTCTCTCAGCTCAAGCGCCGAAAAGTCATCGCCCAACACCTGGGGATCTGCGTCATAATGTTCGCGATCTCCACTGCGACGGCCCATATCCCCACTGCGCCGTGGGCGACCATATGTCTGGGGAGGTGGCGCAGAGTAGCCGTCGTCCTCCTCGTCCACATCCTCCCCGTCAATTCTCTTCTTCAAATTCGCAACCCACGAGTTGACCTTGGTCTGTGTCTCCAGGAAACCTTTCTTAATATTCTCACGGATCACGGGCAGGTCATCTACCGTCACCATCTATCAGCTCTGCGTGACCGAGAAAAAGGGGTGCGCATTGCGCCCTACCATCAAAAAAGCTGTAGTCTCTCTCGTCATCCTCCTCGCTACCTCTGGGACGCTGATACCGCGGGTCACTCTCCCACCCTGGACGCGGCCCGCGGCGGGAGGAGTTGTAGTGCTCGGCGAGTTGGCGCGCATACCGTTCATCCGCCTCCACTTGTCTCCAGTCGGTGGTGGTGGGGGGTTGAGCTGGACGGGGCGGCTTCGGAGGAGGGACCATATCCTCTTGGGCCGTTGGATCGGTCATACCTAAGGTGGAACGGTTAGCGCCGTTGGTGCTGTCTGTAACCAAGTCACCACAAACCCAGAAGAGCGTTGAAGGCTCGTTCGACATGCCAATTGCTTGCCACTAATACTGCCTTGACCACAGCACCATCGAGAGACGGGAAAGCTTCCTTGAGAGTGAGTTCCGACTGTTCGCGCGGGCTCAAGGGCCGAGGGGGCTTTGGTGGGGGAGCCGGGGCAGTTTCGGGCTCGGACTGCGGCACCGATCCTGTCGCTGTAGATATTATTCCACTCTCCTGGGGCTCCTCATCATCGAAGTTTAACGGGCGAGCAGTCGTCGGCGACTCGGCGCGCGGGCTGTTGGTGCTGAGTGCCGCGATGGCCTTGTTGGGCGTGGACGGCTGGCGGGAAGTAAGCCACCATGGCTACAGCGGGGGGTCGGGGGAATCTGGAACGTACAGTCTTTTCTTCCTCTGACATCTTGTCGCTGAATCCCAGTCAAAGAACAGGTATGTGAGAGTGATGGAAGAAGGAGGGAAGAAACAGGCAGCAGGACAATAATCACGAGGGAAGGAAGCTCCAACCAGTGACGTGGGGTGCACGTGATGAGCCAATTGCCTGTTCGGGATAGGAAGGAGCAACTTTCTTCTTTCTTAGGTACACCTACAGCATGATCTCACAATGGCCTCGGAGCTGGATCTGTCCTCCTCCTTTATCCCGGCCCTGTATAAGCCCGCTGCATTGCTGCCAATTGCACGCCACAAACAAAGCTTGCAGTATCTGGTCGAGACCTACCCAGTCACCATAGTAGTGGGACAGACGGGCAGTGGGAAAACCACCCAACTGCCCCAATACCTCGACCAGGCCGGATGGTGTCAAGATGGGAAAGCCATTGCAGTCACACAGGTAAGTCGGTTCTACGAAGATGAGCTGCAGCGGGCTAATACCAACAAACTCAGCCTCGCCGGGTAGCTGCCACGACTGTCGCAAAGCGAGTGGCAGAGGAGATGCGTTGCAAGGTTGGCGAAGAGGTGGGATACTCCATCCGCTTTGAAGACTTGACCTCTGCGACAACCCGCATTAAATTCTTGACGGATGGAATGTTACTGCGAGAGGCTCTGGTGGATCCTCTACTGTCGCGCTATTCTGTGATCATGGTGGACGAGGCTCATGAGAGATCGCTTAGCACCGATGTTCTCCTGGGGATCCTGAAGAAAATCCGAAAGAAGCGGCCCGAGCTTCGGATTATTGTCAGTAGCGCGACGTTGCAGGCCGAAGACTTTCTGCGCTTCTTCGCCGACGATGAGTACAGGCCCGATGCCGAGCCAGCTGATCTGGGTGGAAGTGCTGGCAGGATCATTAGTCTAGAGGGCAGGATGTATCCGGTCGACATGCTATTCCTCGAGTCCCCTGCGGAAGATTACGTCGAACGAGCCATCAACACAGTCTTCGACATACATTCTCAAGAGGCAGAAGGGGACATTTTAATATTCTTGACGGGTCGAGAAGAGATCGATACTGCGATTCAGGCGATATCGGAGCGTGCTGCCACTCTCCACCCAAAGGCACCTTCATTGCTTCCCTTGCCTCTCTACGCCGGACTTTCGACGGATCAGCAGATGTATGTCTTTGAACCAACTCCGGACAATACCCGGAAGGTCATAGTTTCAACCAACATCGCAGAGGCGTCGGTCACCATTGACGGAATCGTATACGTGATTGATTGTGGCTTCGCGAAACTGAGGGCTTACAATCCTAATACTGGCATCGAAATGTTGACAGCTGTACCCATCTCGAAGGCTTCCGCCACTCAGCGAGCTGGCCGGGCTGGAAGAACGAAGCCGGGCAAATGCTTTCGCCTCTATACTCAGCAGGCATACGAACAGCTGCCCGAAGCCACAGTCCCTGAGATCCAACGGTCAAACCTGGCCCCTGTCATCATGCAGTTGAAGGCCCTGGGCATCGACAACATTGTCCGCTTTGACTTTTTGACTTCTCCTCCCGCGGAGCTGGTGATCCGTGCTTTTGAGCTTCTTTTCTCCCTCGGTGCGGTGGACGATTACGCCAAACTCACCAAGCCGCTCGGCATGCGGATGGCGGAACTCGCAGTGGACCCCATGATGGGCAAAGTTTTGCTGGCTGCACCATCCTTTGGCTGCTTGAGTGAAATTCTTTCGATAGCCGCCATGGTCAGTCTCCAAGGGGCTGTGTGGGTACAGCATGAGGGCGACAAGCGATCAGCCGAAACCAATCGCCGGAAATTCGCAGTTGAAGAAGGCGATCATTTGACCTATCTCAATGTCTACCAAGCATTCGTCACCAAGGGAAAAAAGGACTCCAAGTGGTGCCGTGACAACCTTCTCAACTACCAATCGCTGCTGCGTGCTGTGAGCATCCGTGGGCAGCTGAAACGGTACCTGGAGCGGTTTGGTATCCAGATCGATGAAACGCTCTCCACACACCGGGCCGTTGATCCAAGCAAGCAGCCTGAGCAGATCCAGCGGTGCCTAACAACGGGGTATTTTGCCCATGCCGCTAAGATGCAACCGGATGGGACCTTTAAGACTGTCAGCGGAGGACTCACTCTTCATGCTCACCCTACCTCGCTGATGTTTGTCAGTGCTTCACCCTCCATTAGTCCTGCTTTGACTGACTTTTATCATTAGAACCGCAAGGCAGACTGGGTCATCTTCCACGAGATCATGCAGACTGGCGATAAGACATATATTCGGGACGTCACGAAGATCGAGAAGAGTTACCTACTGGAATATGCGCCGGAGTATTACCGAGTGACTTGATCGGTGGGAAATATTTGAGCACAAACCTGGGAGTCCTGGACTCACCTCATCGAACGTCAATCTAAATTCTAGCAAATTTTGACTATTCAGCAATCCTTCTATTGGTCCTGGCAATCAAGACCAGGGGTCTATGCTCTTAAAGTGACGAGTCGGAGGCGAGATTGCTCTGAATCGGCACTCTGCCTTCAAGTCGCCGAGACATTAGACCTGTGCGAGGCAGCACGCAACCTCTAGGCTCTCAATCAGGACATTGAGGCGGTTTAGAGCCAATTCGATCCTTTGTCAAAAATGTCAACGGTGAAAATTGCACTTCAGAGCTGGAGTTCTGCCTTTGACATCTTTCGGTTGCACATTAGGGTCAACAAAAAACAACGTGAAATACCCTGAAGATCTATGGAATCGACAAATTCACTGGTCTTTTGTCCAAGGGACTGTGATGCTTCCTGTACTGGGCTTAGGGGATAGATTCTGTTAGCTACCATTGCATATTCATCTTCAGCTACTTTGGATGACCGAGACCAAGATGAGCTATTTATCTATGAAACATAGTACCCTTGACCGCTTCATTCGCCGTAGCGATGCATTATGAACAAGGGCCCTGATCTGTATAAACTGTTCTAAAAGATAGATACCATGTAGTTAGTTTTAGGCTGTGCTCAACAAGACGTCACGGGAAGCGGGCGATCATCTGCGGGCCGTCGACCTTTAACCTCTTCGACTCACCAACCACGCGAATTATTATGTCTGGCCACCACCACCATAACCATGGCCATGGCGGCCACTGCCATGATGAAGATGGCCACGATCATTCCAACGACATCACTCCCGCCGTGCAGTCTCTTCTCTACTCCCAGATCGACTTTGATTCCATCAACACACTCAATGGTACGTCCGACAGCATCTGATCCTTGGACCGTATATTGACTGGAGGAAAAGAGGCCACCCCCAAGGCTGGCACCGCCATTGTAAAGAAAACCTGGGCCGAGAGATTGAACGACGAGCCCGAACTCGAGAGCGACGCAGATGAGCAGCTTCTCATGTACATCCCGTGTGTTTTTCCAAATGCCCCTCATTCGCGATCTGTGCAAATCTAACCGGCCAATACCAGATTCACCGGCCAAGTCAAAGTCCACTCTCTCCTCTTCTACACCGCGCCCACACCCTCCGCGCCGAAAACACTCAAGCTCTTCAAGAATCGCGACGACCTAGACTTCTCAACGGCCTCCGAGCTCACCCCGATCCAAACCATTGAAATGCCACAGCCGGTCCCCGGCGCGGATGTCTTCGAGCTGCCCCTCAATCGTGCGCACTGGAACACGACCACGTCCATTACGATCTTTATCGAGGATAATTGGAGTGATGGGGAAGAGGACGTCACTAAGGTGGGCTACATTGGGTTCAAAGGCCAGTTTATGGCGTTAAATCGCGAACCCGTTAGCTTTTTGTACGAAGCTGCTGCTAATCCTAATGACCATGTGGCCATTCCTGGTGTCAATGGTGTTGGGAGCAGGATTCTCTGAGAGAAACAGTGCATAGTAACTAACAAGGCCCTCGGATGGAGAGGACATACCAAGATGATCAGACGAGAGCAAAAGATAATTCCAATTGTATTAATGAAGCCTACTGCATGAATGAATGAATAATAAATGAACAACAGCAATAAATTCCACAAGCCGCCAACGCCGAACAATGCTCTGCTATGTATAAAAGTGTAGGTGTTATGTCCAAAATCCAATCATGCCGCCAAAGGGGCAGCAGCGGTGCGGGCCTTGGCTCTGGCTTTGGCCCTTTCACTTGCTGTCGGCTGCTCCTCATATACCTGTCCAGGAGGCAGTTCACCCGTCGGAGCCTCGGGCATCTTCACCGGCGGCGCAAGCTGGTTCTGCAGTGCCTCCAATTCATCCTCGACCTCGTCTTCATCTTGATTCGACAAATGGCCCGCTAGCATTTGGCTCACCTCCTGAGAGAGAGAGAAAAAGAACCCATTTAGTTAGTCAAGCTGCTTGGTTAATGAACCCAGTGTGGTATCTTTCTTACCTCTTGATAAGCGCGCGCCTCTTCCGTCTCCCCCATCAGTCGCTCTACACTCTCGATCCCACCGATCTCCTTGTGAATCGCCTGCAAGACCTGGTTACCCTGCTGCAAACCGTAGAGCACATCCTTCTGCACGAGCGCAAACTCGACATCTCCGGCCAGCTGCTCCAGCTGGGAGAGCTGCTGGTCTGTTTTGGCGAGCAATGACTCCTGGTATTTCTTGCGCCGCAGGGCTAGCAGGGCCCTGCGGCGATCATTGCGCGCCAGGCATTCTTTGGCGATTTCGGTCTCGCGCTGGGTCAGGGAGGTGATGCGTCGCTGATACTGGTGGACTTTATCGCGCTTGTTCTTGATTTCGAGGATTGCTCTGTTGGATGAAGATCAATAGGGTGTTCAGGGTGGATTTCCGTGCGAGAAGTCATTCACCGGTCCTGGTCCGAGATCTTGTGCGAACTGCTGGTGTTTCCCATGGCGCATGGTGTTGTTGTGAAGGAGGAAGAGAGAAGCAGCAAGCGAATGACGTGGGGGGTAAAGGCAATACGCGGTATCGTTACCACTCCGTATCTATCTCCGCCTTCAACTTTTTTTTTCTTTTCCTTAACGACACCACCAAACAGACCACCAGAGATGCCGGCCAGGAACCGAGGGAGACCAAGCCTGAGCCAGGGCTTGGACCGTGAGGTATGACTTTTTTCTGACATCTTCGGCGCTTACACTAACACCCCACCGACAGGTCTACCAAGTGGTGCGCAAGATCATCGATGACCAGCCCGAGACCGGCCGCGTGCGTCTATCGGTACCAGCGATCTACGATTCAATCAAACGTTCCAATTCCAGCCTGAACCGCAAACCCAAGAAGCTACTGGAGGACAGCGTCGAGCGGGTGCTGGAGGTTCTCAAGAGCGATGGTCTCGACGGCGATGAGGAAGACTCGATGGACGGCGATTTTGAAGGGCTCGAGGACCCTCCGGCGACAGCAGAGACCAACGGCCTGAACCGGAGCATCGTCGGCATGTGGTCGACAACCTCGAAAACGGACCCGTCCCAGAAACCCGCCGACTCCAATGGCAATGCCCCGACCCCGAAACCGTCCTCTTCTTCCAAGCGGAGACAGCATGGAGGCGAATCGGCATCGAAACGGCGGAAAGCCGACGCCGCCATTGATCGATCACCGCCCACCCACGTCAGTCTTGCGGACCTGGGCGGACTGGACGATGTGATTCAAGAATTGGGGGATATGGTTATCTTGCCCATGACCCGGCCGCAGGTCTACCTGTCGTCCAATGTGCAGCCCCCGCGCGGCGTGTTGTTGCATGGCCCGCCAGGTTGCGGAAAGACCATGATCGCGAATGCATTTGCCGCCGAACTGGGTGTGCCGTTCATCTCAATCTCTGCGCCGACAATTATATCCGGGATGTCGGGCGAATCCGAGAAGGCTCTGCGCGATCACTTTGACGAGGCCAAGCGAATTGCGCCCTGCCTTATCTTTATTGACGAAATTGACGCGATTACGCCCAAGCGGGAAAGCGCGCAGAGAGAGATGGAGAAGAGAATTGTGGCCCAACTCCTGACCTGCATGGATGAGCTCGCCCTGGAGAAAACGGACGGGAAGCCTGTGATTGTTCTCGCTGCCACCAACCGCCCAGACAGCCTCGATGCAGCGCTGCGTCGTGGTGGCCGCTTCGACAAGGAGATCAACATGACCGTGCCGTCAGAGCCGGTTCGAGAGCAAATTCTGCGAGCACTTACACGCAAACTGCGCATGGCGGATGATTTGGACTTCAAGGCTCTCGCTAAGCGAACACCAGGATTCGTCGGTGCCGATCTGAACGACCTGGTGTCAACTGCAGGCTCGGCGGCCATTAAGAGGTATCTGGAGATCCTCAAATCCAACAGCGGTGAGGAGATGGAGATTGAAGGCGCAGATGAACTCAGCTTCAAAGTTCGGGAGCTGCGTCGTCTCATCACGCACGCCAAGGAGACTCCCATCGGCGAAGAAACCGAGACTGTCCTGGTTTCCAACGCCGACTTCTTCACCGCACTTCCCAAGATCCAGCCGTCCTCTAAGCGTGAAGGCTTTGCCACCATCCCAGATACCACCTGGGCCGACATCGGTGCTCTTGGCGGCGTTCGCGACGAGCTGTCCACCGCCATTGTCGAGCCCATCATGAATCCCGATATCTACGCCAGTGTCGGTATCACCGCTCCGACCGGTGTGCTCCTCTGGGGTCCACCAGGTTGCGGTAAAACGCTACTGGCCAAGGCCGTTGCCAATGAGTCCGGTGCCAACTTCATCAGCGTGAAGGGACCAGAGCTGCTGAACAAGTTCGTCGGAGAATCCGAGCGTGCCGTGCGGCAGGTCTTTGTGCGCGCCCGCTCATCAGTTCCCTGTGTCATCTTCTTTGACGAGCTGGACGCTCTCGTCCCGCGCCGAGACGACACTCTCTCCGAAGCGTCTGCCCGCGTTGTCAACACTCTCCTCACAGAGCTCGATGGTCTAGGGAGCAGCCGTCAAGGTATCTATGTGATCGCAGCCACCAACCGGCCTGATATCATCGACCCGGCCATGCTCCGGCCCGGCCGTCTTGAGACTCTATTGTTCGTGAATCTCCCCAGCCCGCTCGAGCGCGCCGATATCCTTCAGACGCTTGTGCGCAACCTGCCCATCGACTTCAGTGATGAACTCAGGAATATTGCGGAAGAGTGCGAGGGTTTCAGTGGTGCAGACCTGGGTAGTCTGCTTCGACGTGCTGGGTACTCGGCTATCAAACGTCGGGATACCATCAAGTTGGAGGACTTCAAGGCTGCCAAGGCCTTTGTACGGCCGAGTGTAACGGATATGAAGAAGTACGAGAAGCTACGAAGGGATTGGAGTGGCGGCGTCGTATGAAATGTCGTCGGTGGTGGTATATGTTTGAGCTGATACTGCGTATCTTTCTAATGACCCTTTATAAATAGATGATACCTTGGGACTGGATTTCAGGTGCGGTAGAAGCTAGAGCAATAGCGAGATGTTAAAATCAACTTTTATTTTTGACAGGACTATACAAAGAATCATATTATGCACAGAGTCAAAGGAAACACGATAAAAACGCCGTGCAAGATATCATGCAACACAAACCAATCCCCTACATCCACAACCGACAAGTACCGTCCGCTCCGGCACTGACACACCAGGCCTCGCGCGGGTGCCAGTCGATATCCAGGACACCCAATTCGCCAGTGATCTTGTGGCCCTTGAGAACCTTGAGCGGGACGATACTAGCATTGCTGAGCATATCGCCCGTGACACTACCATGGAAGATCTGCAGCGAGCCATCGTCACTCGCATCAGCGAACAAGGGGTACCGGCCACCGGGATGGAACTTGACCGCGCGGATAGCCTTGCGGTGATACCGCAGGGTCTTGTAGGGGCGCGGCGAGAGATCAAGATCATGCCAGAGGAGACGACGGTCGTAGGAGCCGACAATGATGTTGTCGCCGCCCGAGGCCCCGGCAGAGGTCGGGTGGATATCGAACGAAGAGATCCAGCGCGCACCGGGCTGCAGGATCTTGACCAGCAGCTGGCGGGAGAGATCGTACGCGCGGATGGAGCGCTGATTGGCGACGAAGAGGATCGGCTTGGACGGGTGGAAGTGCGCGGTTTGCGGGGCGCCACCGCCCTTCAGGCGTCGGCGGAAGGGGAATTGCGTGACGTGCTTGGAGAGGGTGTGGATGGAGATGGCGACAGAAGCGGGGGTTGACGAGCCCGGGCAGATGGTGACGAAGTAGTCGCCGCGTCGGTGCCAAGAGAGAGACTTAACGACGTATCGGAGAGGGATCACCACGCAGATTCCGGCGTCCGTGAGTGCGGACGATGGGCGTATCCATTGCGGTGGCGTGTTCTTCTTGTTTGCTTCTGCGGCGCTGGGGGCAGGGTTCGAGGCGGCATAGCCCCAGCCTGCGTCGAGGATCTCCAGACTGGCCTTTTCGATCTCTGGTTCGGCAATTGGGGGCACAGCGAGGTAGATATCGTCGCCCACGGCTGCGGCGAGAATGACCGCGTCTTTACCAGGGCGCCAACGGACCACATTGACCGCATCCTCGTCGCTCAGGGTAGCACTCCAGAGCTGGCGGCCGGTGAGAAGCTCCCACACGCGCACGGTGCCGTCGTCACCACCGGTGGCAAGCCAGATGCCCGACGGATCCACAGCGAGAGAACGCACACGGCCCTTGTGGCCCCGGAATACCGTCGCACAGGTCGTTGGGAAGGGCTTCAGCTCCTCGGGGCTGGGAAGTTTGGGCAGAAGACTCTCGGGGTCGATGTTCAGCTTGCTGCGGCGAACTCTCGGCGCAAGGTAAAGATCCAGGCAGCGCTCAAACTTCTCCTTGATAAACTTCTCGTATCCAGGAACCCTCCGCAGCGAACCAAAGTCTTGGGCCAAGAAGTCCTTCTCACGGTCCTCGGGGTCAGTTTGCTCCCACTCTTTGCGCTCCTTCTTGTCGGGCAGATACTCGGCAGGCGGGTGGTAGCTCTCCTCGTAGCCAGGCGGAGGCAGTTTAGGAGCCGGAACGTGCATGATGTGATCCGGGCGTTCGGCTTCATCAGCCCACAGATCGTAGTTGATCACGTCTTCATCCGTCTCTTCCCTTTCCTCTGGCGGCCTGTAAGGCAGGATACGGCCCTCCCGAATGGCCTTGACGATCTTCATCACGCGCTTAGCCTCATGCTTAGACGGCACAAATCGCCGCTTCGGCTCCGGAGCTGCGCTGAGGGGCATGATCTCTTGTTGGCTGGTGAACCATTCCACGGTGGGCTCATACGGATCGTAGCCTTCCTCGGGGATCTCGTTCAATTGGACCTTCTTCAACAGCTCCAATTCGTCTTGGCTCAGCTGCAACGGCTTGCCAGTCGCGGGATCAGTAAGACCAGTCCAGCCCTTGGGGATTTCAATGCTGTCCAGCAATGCGTCCAGAGCCTCGCCCTTGGCAGGCCGCAGAATCTTCTTGCCGTTGATATCATAACCAATGTGAGGATACATGTCGTAGAAAGACAACGGGATGTCGCCGATGGTGTTGGCATTCTCCTCGGCCTCAGAGTAGTCCGAGTTGTCATCCGGGTTGATTTCGTCGTAGAGGAAGCGGTCGTTACCATTCGCATCCTTGACAACGCGAACATTTGGCCGGTCCCGGTCGACCTGCGAGACCGTGGTCGGCTTCGTGTCGGCCTGCTCATCGTCCGAGGGAATCTCGTCGCTGTCCAATGCATCTTCATCATCCTCGTCGTCGCTGAAATCGTAGATCAGCTCGATTTCAGACTCGCTGTCATCCTGCTCGCTATCCGACAAGTCGTTGGCATTGTCCGAGAGGGCACCGTCAAGGTTGTCGTGGTTCAGCTCATCACCCGAGAACACACCAGCTTCCTCCTCCACATCTCTCGTGACGGCCTTGCGCTTCTTGGAGGCCTTGGCAGCGTTCATGGTGCCGATTGAGCTAGGTCGAGCGTTTTGTTGCTCCCGTAATTTTTTTTTCTTTCTCTGGTCCGACCATCCACGTGACTCACCGCCCCGCCTTATCGTCTATCAGCAATTGTCAGCGTCAAAACTCCTTCTTCCCCGAGTCAGATTGCCTTGAATGTATACGTTAAACTGGGAGGCCTCTTGTGTGGATCTCGACAGCCATGTCCCTTTCAATGGAGGACGACCTCTCATTATCCCAGTCCATTCCCAAGAAACATGCGGCTTGTGACGAGTGCAGTATGTACTGGTTTGTAGTGTCTATGGGCAGGAAAGTAGCTAATTACAAGCTACACAAACAGGGAAACGAAAGCTGAAATGCTCTGGAGAAGCAACGGGATGCTCCCGCTGCATCAAGCAGGGGCTTGGGTGCCACTACTCTATACAGAAGCCAATGGGTCGCCCACCCAAGAAACGGACGCGAAGCGAGGAGGAAGAGGTCGAGCCTCCCGTACGAGATATTCCTAGAGATGAATTATGGCCCAGTCCAGAAGAGCCGCGGCCCTCGCCTTGGGCTATGGTCCCAGACCCGACAGCTGCAACGGATATACCACATCTCTGTCCGCAGGTCTTTTGGCATCATTACAACGAGTCATCGCAGCCCGCGCCGGATTTATTGTCCGGTCAGGAAGACCAGAATCACACCTGGCACCCCGATCGCTTACTGAATGCCAACCTTCCCGTCCCGCCTTCTTCCAGCCCATGGCCGGACTTCTCGACCGTGACCGAGGCCACAGCCATGCCATTCTCAGCACTGCCAACCTTCCCAAACACGCAATCTCCCCCGTCTCTTTCTCCTCCAACCCCGGCTTCATCCTCAGACTCATCCGGCCCCGAGTGTACGTGTCTATCGTACCTGTACCTATGCCTCAGCCACATTTCCTCGCTCGCTTCCTTCCCCGTCAACTCACACAACATCTGCTCCCTCTACATCGCCGTCAGAACCGCACAGCACGTCATCCGCTGCGAGAGCTGTCCCAAAAATTTCGCCACAGGCGTGCAGAACATCATGTTCACCGGCACCCTGCTGACCGTCGTCGCGGACGCCTGGCTGCGCGTATTCAAGGCCAACGCCGCGGAAATCGGCATGCAAGCCGCGTCGCCGTCATACGTCTCTCGCGTGCTCCAGAGCGCAGACCCCGCAAAGAGCTGGGAAGATTGGCTCCGGCAGGTCGTTCGCCACGCCGTGATAGGTGGTCACATAGACCCAGACGCCCAGCCCGCGGGCTCCAACCAGCCAGATCTACTGTCTGTCATTCGGGAGATTGAAGATCGTCAACGCCGCTGGCATCGCCCCGGATACCAGCACTGGCCACCGCACCCATCTCCTCTGGGTAGACCCCAGCTCGATCCGAATGACCCGGAGAACTCCTGTGATGAAAAGGACCTCTTGTGTTTAAGGGTGGTTGGGAATGCTAGGCATGTCATCTCGAGCTTTGGCTTCGAGCCTCATGAGTATCCTGAGGGTGTGGCACCTTGCACGTATCCTTGATGAATAAATAAATATATGGATTGCACTGGTTTGCATCTGGGAGAAAGTCAGGAAGAAATATAGTATGAATATAATGAGATACGGAATAGACATGTGATTTCACATTGTATTGACCTTTTTTCATTCAATTTTCGTACGTGGAAATCCGCAAAACACGCTATTTTTAAGTACATCAATGTTCAATTCGGAGGAAAAGTAACTAATCAAGCCCACCGTCCGTCAAATGCCAGCAATCCTTGTAGATATGACGCCGAGCAACGTGAATGCAAATTCTCAAAGGGAAATAGGAGCAAATCAGAGGCGTGGAGATCACTCGTCTTCGTCATCGTCCACCACGTAGCGCTTCTTCCGCGTCGGAGGCGTCCCCTCCTTTGGTGCTTCGGAATCAGATGTCCGCTTTTCAGATCGCTTCGGTGCAGCCTTTGCTGGCGTCGGAACCTCATCGTCTGCCTCGCCCTCGGCATCCATGTCCTCGTCCTCCAGTACCTCTTCCTCGTCATCGTCGCCGTCTTCCTCAATGTCCTCGTCACTTCCAACCAGGAACCCGTCGTCTTCGTCGTACTCATCCTCCCTAGTGCGTGCACCGCGCCCGTAGTCATCGTCGTCGTCCGAGTAGATCTCACCATGGCGGTTGGTGCGGCGTGGCTTCTTGGCACGAGGACGAGTGGTAAGCATGCCATCGCCAGCTTCGAGGTGGCCGATGCTGAGGCCGGATGGCATAGAGCGCCCACCACCGCGACGACCACGGTCTGCCTCACGATCCGCAAGTTGCTGCCGGCGGCGTTCCGCTCTCATCGCATCTCTCTCTGCCTGTTCCGCGCGCCGCTGGGCCAGTTCAGGGTCCTCCTTGACGTCGATCAGAGGCACCGAGCCGTCAGCAGTCTGTTTCTTGCCACGGGCTGCAATAGCCAGCGATTCCTGGAGCTTCTGGACCGCATCATCGGTCTCCAGGGCAGTCGGAAGAACAGTCAGGCCATGTGTGACGTGCGAGGTCAGTCGGAAAACCGATGCCGTTTCCACCGCCGCTCCGAGGTAAACGTGAGAATCCAGCTTCGTGTCATACTCGCCAGACTTGGTGAGGGGTGCAAGGGGTTTGGAAGCGATGCGGTATTGCTCAAGTGGCGAAGATGCAAGCTGAAGCGTCACGGAGCCATCCTCCCATCGGATCAGGCGCGCATTCGATTGCAGCAGGGACTCGTCGTCGGGGTCTTCCCGCCAGCAAAGAGATGTCGCAGCGGTCGAATAGGGCGGCGCGACGTAGGTCTCTGGGTTGAATTCTTCGGTCTCGATTGATAGGAACTCGGGAATGCGCATCGTGTAGACCTGGCCATCGTTGGTCACCGGCACCGGCGGCCGTGCAAGACCCACGTCCATAATGTTGACGGTTCCGAAATCCTCGTCCCCGGCCTCATCCATGCGGTCATTGCGGCGATCGAAACGGCCCTCGTCGTCGCCCGAGTCCAGTTGCTCATCGTCTAAGGCGCGGTCATTGCTACGAGGTTGGTCAGTATTTTGCGCATCCACCCGAAAGAAGTTGAGCTCCCATACTCGAGATTGTCCAGTCCGCCGTCCTCTCCGTCCGAGCCAAAGAGGTCGGCGTCGTCATCCTCGTCCATCTGGTCCAGGGGGGTGTTTTCGACATCGCTGTCTGGAGGAGTTTGGCGGCCATTGGGCGCGGCACCGCGGCCAGGGCGTCGAACAGCATCCTCATCGGAGGGCGACATGATGCGGAGAGAGTTTAGAGGGAGGATGTGGTTGAGGGGTGGAGGAGGGGAGGGAGAGGGAGGAAGGGAGAGAGGAAGGATATAAGTGGAGGAGTCGTGAGTGAATATAGTAATGGAGTCGATAGTAGGGAATCAATGCATGAATGAAGCAATAGCAGTGACTGAGATTCCGCGCGGAAAAACAGGATAATCCATCCCGGACCAACACAGCTTCTCCGATTGGGCCAGACCGGCAAACAATCACAATCAGGAGGTGCTCTTCATCGCGGGTGCTTCTTCCTCTTCCTCCTTGCTCCTCCGCTCCTCTCTTTTCATCCACCCTTCTTGGCTCACAATGGCGAACTTCCTGCAGAGCGTGTAAGTGTGATGCGGCTGTATTCCCTGGCTCGCCCTTCTTTTGTGCTCTCTGTCCCCCTCATTCCATGCTGGTCGCCCGCAACACCAGCAGCCCTGATTCGGGCACTTCACTCCTCTTCCTGATCCCCCTTTTTGCCCCTTTTTTTCCATCTGTCGGTCTCTTCGATTCTCTTTCCTGTGCTGACCTACCACTCACAGTCGCCAAGGGTTTGGCAGAGGAGGAAACAATAGGAACCCCCCAAAGTCCCCCTCCCCCGGTTCTTCAGCTCCCCAGACTCCCCAGGGTGGCTCCATATCGAACTCCCCCTCGCTGTCCAACAGCCTGACCCTCGATAACCTTGGGGCCAACGATCCTGATGGACCCAAGTACTTCTTTCAGGAGAAGTATGCCCCGCTCAACGTGCGGGGCAACTTCTTGACGTTGTGTGCTTGTCCGAAGAATGTGGAGCTGGGCGAGTGGCTGGCTCACCAGAGTAGGCAGCGTGGAACCCCCTTCATCTCAATCTTCACTGACGGTCTTCCCTACTAGTTGTCGAACAATACCGCCTGCTTCATGGCATGCTTCAGGTCATCCAGGAGGTCAATTCTGTCACCGGCGTTCCCATCTGCAATGAAACCACTTGTCCGACGATGTCGGCTGGGCGGTATGTAATTGAACTATTTGTCAAGGCAGACAGCTAATGGCTTACAGGCTGACCTACACCTGGCTGGTGGACGGCCGAGCGGCCAAGATCTCGGCCCCGAAATTCATCAACCGCGTTGAGAAGTGGATCGTCAGCAAGATTCACGACCCGGTCATGTTCCCTACCGAGAACGTGACCAGCATTCCCGATACTTTTGCGGTCAAGGAGGTTGCCGCTGTGGCGGGTGGTGCGCCGCCCTCGGCAGATGCCAACCCGGCGGGACCGAATGGCACCCCGGACGACTGGATCGGCAAGTCGAGCGGCTTCCCCCAGACATTCTACAAGGACTGCCAAGGCATCATGAAGCAGATGTTCCGCTGCTACGCGCATCTGTACCATGCGCACTGGCTGAACCCCTTCTGGCATATCAACAAGCACGACATCCTCAACATGTGCTTTGTCCACTTCGTGACCGTCGCCAAGTACTACCAGCTTGTTTCCGACAAGGAGATGGAGCCGATGCAGCCCTTGATTGACCTTTTCATCAAGCAACAGCGCATTCCCCCAGAGGCACTCAACGGCGGCCACTGGGCCCAGCAGCCCTCCTCTACCTAAGCTCCACCGGTCTGGAGCGTTTATTACCATTGATGATCATGACATGTTCAGTCACCTGGCGTTGGTCTTATGTTCGTGATCCCTACTTGTCATTCTTTTCCATCAGGAATTTAAAAAAAAAATGGACGAATCTGCCGATGATACACAACCACAGACCCGGGGCCTGGAGCATTCAGCATGCGGTGTGATTATTTTTCATTTTTTTTTCTCTCGTGATAATCTTAGCTTTTTTTGTGCCTTCGTTGGTCATGATTGCATGTCTTCCCATTACATCCTCTGGCAGGTGCAGCCAGCATATATGCCGCATGATTTCGAGAATTTCAATGCATAGGTTGAGTCTTCATCTGATAGTGTTGTATGTAGTCTATCTCTGTTGGTTGAACCAAAGCCCGGTAGATGCTACCATCCCTCTTCTGGATGGTCATTGTTAAGTCACATCAGGAAGTATAAGTAAGTGCCTTTGCGGATGCACCTTGACTCGAGCATGTATAGGAAGAACCCACGTTCCTGGCAATCCTCCTATCTACGGATCTCCCAATGTATGCTGGGGGACATTCTGGATCCTGGCTAATGATATATGCCTTTCTCCCAGCTGCAATACTTGACTCCGGGTGCAGACGCGGTGCTATATGGCGCGGCTCGGTTTGTGTTCACGGCCTGTGGATCGGTCCGGCTGGGGGGCTTTGTCTGTGGATCGTCTGTTAACACACTCGGCCTTACTCCGACACCCTGCAATATTAGACTTACCTTGGAGGATTCCCACTCAGGTTGATTGAATGATCGTCTTGGATCTGGGCGTAGTACTGCAGTACTGTGGTGACGGCACTCTCGCCACGGGATATGGACCTCGAATCAAAGATACACCCCATTCTCCCCCTCTTGATCCTGCTCATGTGCATGATCCCCATTCGCAGCCAGTGTATTATCTGCCGAACGCTGCTGTTCCGCATCGCCATCACCATCATCCCCCTCCTTCTCCTCAGCCTCGACCCACGACTGACCCCTCCTCTCCACCTCCGTCTTAAGCAGCGCGATCCTTACATTCATAGAAGCAATCACATCCTCATTCTCAGCGACATATCCCTCCAGTTCCTTTTTTTCTTCCTCCGGGTCCTGTGACTCGGCGAGGAAGGTGCGCAGCTCAGCGTTGGAGCGGTGCAGGTGGGCGATGGAGTTGCGTAGCTCGGAGACTTTGGCGTAGACGGCTGAGAGGGGGAGCTCTTGGATTGCGGAGGCGAAGGCGGATGGGGGGGATGGGGAGGGATTCTGTTGCCATTTTTGAAGGGGCTATATATAAGCAAGGATGGTATGAGGGAGAGTGAGAGAGTAGTGAATAGGAGCTCGGCTGTTGGTGGTTGAAGTTATCGCTATCGTCACGTGGTTCTTCTGTTCCACAAGAGTTGAGAGGAGGATTCCTAGATCGGAGGAGGAGATGGGAGGAGGGCAATAATTGGAATGTGTGGTTTTGATAGAAGGGAGGTTCTTAGTTGGTTGGATAAATATTTTGGTTGTTTTACCTCTACAGGTTGTGTTATGTGGGATGTTCTGCCGTGTAGATGCCAATATATATATTGGGTAGATCCCGGGTGATAGATATCAAGCGTTTAAAAAATTCATAAGATTGGTTCAAAATATCCTAACCATATATATCGTGGTCTATAACCACACAGTATACAAAACTCTCAATCGTTTATAAAACGCATTGCCCCCAAAGACCGCTGAAACAAAGCCTTGAAGTGACCGGGGAGGAGTCGATTCGAACAAAGAACCGGACGTGCCCGAACGAGTGAAAACTTGTAATTTAAGAACACCACTGTAGATCTCAAACAAGGCCCCCGAATATCTGAGTTTAGCGGAGAGACCCCCCGTAAGACCTATTGTTGAGGCTGTGACAAGTCCCCCGTTGTGAAGAAGACAAAGACCCACTTCCTATTTTAAACCTCCTCATTCTTTGTACCTTCGAGGCCCCGAAAGCCATTGTCTATGATAAACCAAGGCACCGGGCATTTCTGTAACATGCAGATAGCCGTGTTGGCAGGGGGGTTCTCAAAGAATGCAGGCTATATCTGGCTTCATAATCCTGGCTGAGGGCTAGCTCGACGAATAGTTCGAAGCCGACGTATCCTTGACCGGTGGGGTTCTTTGACCCTGTTTCTTCAAGGATCTTAGAGACTTTCAGAAACGTGAAGATTATTTTTGGGTTTCTCCGTCTGGATTTATCATGGCTGTTGGATGAATGTCTTGTAGTGCGTGCCTCGCAACATTATGGGGATAGATATAAATTGAGGTCATTGCTTCCTGAATTCCTTTCTCTAGCGTGCGCATTCAGCAGGTCTCGCTGAAGCTAGGGGCTTTATGGTATACTGTCTCTTGTGACAAATCGATCCAGATATCGACCGAAGTGATGCACTCTTCAATACCCACAGTCGGTAAACCACCCCAAACATTTCCCCATTCAGGAGTGCTAATAACCATGAAAACAGGCTACACATGAGGGAGGCGAGCCCCCCATCAATTGGGACACGGAGGTCAAGGACCTTGAGAGTCTCCGATCCCGCAGCAGCCGCAGCCGCAGCCCAAGTCCGGACGACCAGAGGGCGCAGCTATGTCACTTTGTCAGTCATCCGTGGGGAGTCATCGACTACTACCTATACCTCACGGCGATCGAGCGCGGCCGCGACGGGGAGACCCGGCTCAACGAGACTCGGCTGCTGGCAGCCGATGGATTCCAGTATCTCAGCTTCGACGACCTCAGCGATGCCGAAGACACTTTTGCCCGCGCTCCGGCGGGCACGAATCCCACGATCTTCTTCGTGAGTCTGCCTGTGTCATGCTATGAAAACGATTCCTCGCGCAGACAACTGCTGCTGGGTTTCGATCTGCGGCGACACCATCTGCTGGGATACCTGTTCGAGAACGCGCCCGACACGACTGACCTCTGGACAGTGTGGGGGCAGGGCACGCGCGTAATCGACCTTCACGTCTTGCGATTCATCGACATGCTCGAGTACGCCGCCGAGCAGCGGCCGCAGATCTTCCGGAGCGGGCTGCTGCGGCATTTCCGCGAGACGCAGCGTGGATTCCCCGCGGGACTGGACCTGGTGGTCGCCATCCAGTTTGCGCAATTTCTGAACGATTTTGCCGATCTGTTGTGGCACGAGAGTGCGGATCAGTTCCGAGCTGAGTACAAGCCGCTCGAGGATGAGCTGCGTCGGTTGCTTCAGAGGGCGTCGTGCGAGGCGTGGTTTGGCTCGCGTAAGGGCTGGACGGCGCGGCAGTACCGCCGACACAAGATACAGGAGTTTGTTGCGTCGGAGTTGTTCTTTGGGGATGAGATGAGTACTGTGGATCCTGCCAGCCACAGTTCGGCTGCCGCTACAGCAGGCACTGCAGTCGTCACGGCTTGTGGGCGATCACCGTTGCGAATGAGCATTACGCTGATAGTGGTTGTAGTGATGATGATGATGATGATGATGCTGGTTCTGGGGTTTGAGTTACCGAGGGTACCTGATTGGCAGTGGGTTAGCTGCATGGCGGCGGGAGGTCAACGGGCTTGCAGATCCTGGGACTACGGATTAGTTCGAGAGCCCTAGCCATGGTTCCAGCGGGGGGAGCATTCAGCCATGGTTTTCCTATCACAAAACATACACTCCATATATGAACCCTCCCTTGATACTCCTACTCTATATACCGGTCCCATGATGGCTTCCCGCCGAGTCGGAGAATGCACACCGCCACATTCCTCGCCAATGGCAGGCCCGATTATGCAGTGCGTTGTGGCGCAGCTGGTCCACTGGGTCCACTTGGTGCTGTGCTGGTCGCGCTTGGCAGCATCATCGCGGGAACAACAGATACATAATGTACTCGGTACCTCGACAACGCGCCAAGGCACGGTGCGCCGCCGGGTACCGACTACTGCCCAGTTCAGCCCTATCGATCGGGGATCTTCTTTACTCTCCCTCCTCTCTCTTCTCCTTCCATCTCCTCCCCCTTCCATCCCCTGCCCCTTCCCGCCGGTCGGCTTCGTTCCACCTCAATTGTTTTGTTTTGGTCCCGACCATTGTTTATTTTCCAGTCTTGTGCCTGTTCCTCCCCTTTTTCCACCCGCCATCCGTGAGTCGCGTCAGTCGTCGCTACCATGGCTGACTCTGCCCAACAACCCCCGGTTACCGGTACGTGCTGGCCTCTTCTAACGCGCCAAACAAAGCTGATCGCATTCCTCGAATGACAGTGACCGCTCCCAATGGCGACGGGTCCGGCCGCATAGCTCTCATTTCGGGCCCGCTGATCAACTTGAAGAACATGCACCTCGAGAACTCCCCGCTCTGGCATGGCAGCGTGTTGATTGTCACCAAGCCGCACCAGGACCAGCCTCGGCTGCTGTTGCGCCAGGTGGGCTCCGTGTCTGCGCAGACCCAAGCCGATAGCACCCAGGCGACCCAGATCCAGGGCCTCAAGCTCTACGAAGACCCCAACAAAGCCTTCTGGCGATTTAACCTGGCAGTTCCTGTGGAGACGTATGAGGCGCGCTGGGAGTATGATATTCCCGGGCTATACAATGAGTCCGGTGAAACCGTCAACGCGCCCTGGCGCTTTGTGGTTCCGGCAGCCGAGCAGTCCATGCGCATCATGTTCCACTCCTGCAATGGCTTCTCCGTTGGCACCGACATGAACGCCTGGGTCGGGCCGAATCTGTGGAACGACGTGATGCGCGTTCACGGCGAGAAGCCCTTCCATGTCATGGTCGGTGGCGGTGATCAGATCTACAACGACGGTATCCGGGTGGATGGACCCCTGAAGGCGTGGACGGCCATCGCTAACCCGCACAAGAGACGCACTCATGACTTTGATGAAAAGATGCGCGCCAGCTGTGACGAGTACTACTACGCCAACTACGTGCGTTGGTACAATACCGAGCCCTTCCGCACGGCCAATGGGCAGATTCCGCAAGTCAACATCTGGGATGACCATGACATTATTGACGGTTTCGGGTCTTATACCGACCACTTCATGAAGTGTGATATCTTCCGCGGCATTGGTGGGGTCGCGTTCAAGTACTACTGCTTGTTCCAGCACCATATCGCTCCCCCCAGGTCGACCTACACCACGGACGCCCCGCAGACCATGCACGCCGTGAACGGAACCTCTGGCGTTGACCCCCGCCAATTGGAGAACACCTACGTCCTCGAAAACCAGCAAGAGGACGACTCTTGGATTCTCGGCAACCGGCCGGGCCCCTATGTCGAAGAGGTCAGCCGCAGTCTCTACATGCGCTTCGGTAAGCGCATTGCCTTTTGTGGTTTGGATGCTCGCACGGAGCGCACTCGCCACCAGGTGAACTACCCGGAGACTTACGATGCGCTCTTCAATCGGTTGGAGAGCGAGGTGGCGGCCGCCAACGGCGACATCAAGCATCTGGTCGTCTTGTTGGGTGTCCCGATTGCGTACCCGCGCCTGGCATGGTTGGAGAACATCCTGTCCTCTCCCGTTATTGCGCCGATCCGCCTGCTGAACAAACGCTTCGGCATGGCGGGTGGCCTTTTCAACGAGTTTGACGGCCAGGTCGATCTGCTGGACGATCTAGACGACCACTACACGGCTCGCCAGCACAAGCGCGAGCGCAAGATGCTCGTTCAGCGTCTGCAGGCATTCGCGAGGTCTCACTCCATTCGCGTAACCATCCTGAGTGGAGATGTCCACCTTGCGGCCATCGGTCGTTTCTACTCGAACCCCAAGCTGAGCTTGTCTGGCGAGAATGACCACCGTTTCATTGTCAATGTCGTCAGCAGCGCCATCACCAACAAGCCGCCGCCCAAGGCCGTCGCCAACCTGCTAGCCCGGAGAAACAAGATTCACCATTTGGATAGCGAAACAGACGAGACCCTGATGCCATTCTTCGACAAGCAACCCGGCGGAATCGAGAAGAGCGCCTCGTTTAATAAGGTGACCATGCCGTCGCGTAACTTTGCATGCCTGACCGAGTGCGTCGCCCCGGCCAGCATTACCGAGCCGACATCTGCCAAGCTCGAGCGCCCACCAAAGGATGGCCACGCGCCGCTGCATACAGGCGAGCAGGGCGCCGGCACGACGCACCGCGCCGCCGACGGGTTCAGCAACAGCGACATGTACGGTGGACTGGACATTGCCATTCGCGTCGAGATTGACCCGCAGAACCGCCAGGCTGCCACCGAGGGCTATGGATTCAGCAGTAAGTTTCGGAATGAATGATCTAGATATTAATTTAACGTAATCGCTGACACGTTGGCGCAGTCCCTGCTTTGACGGCGACTGAGGAGGCGCCCAAGTCGTCCCGGCTCGGCCTCCACACGCGCTCGCGCCCATCTAGCTCGCACCGCCCTTCGACGGCTCACTAATTTCAACCCTCTTAACGCAATGTTTGTTTTTGCCTTTTATGTTTTTAATGATTTGGATACCTCTTCTTCTGTTGGAATGGTGGTTTTCTACTCCGTACTTGGTTACTCTATTTGAGATGAATGTGCCTCAGTTTGTTTGGCTTTTTGTTCCCTACCGTTTTATCCTTTGGCATCATCAGCCCGTCCCAGTAATTATCCTCGATCATCATTGGATGCAATACGATCAAGGCGTGCAGATCCAATGCGGAGACACCCTGTTCCCCTCGTCTTTTGCCCTTCCCGCATCCAATTGCTTTATTCGGCCTAGAGCCGTCTGTCTTATCTTCCTTTCGCGGATGCTTTCTTATCATCTTTTCGCGGATGCTTTGAGCTACCCCAGTTCGGTAACTACTCCTGCTCTCGCCGATCGGATTCCGGGTGTGCCCCGTTGTCCTTAACTATGAGTGGAATACCGAACTAGTTGTTTTTTTGAGCTAAAACTAAGTAACTAACTAATAAGCACTTTAGGGCTCACCACTCATCCTCAGACTACTGACAGGCCCTGTTCTTCTACTGTTCCGAATCGGTACATTGTTTCCTTTTCGCTGCCAAGGCCAAACCCTGGGGATTCGGGATGTGGATGTCTCCTCGGATCCATCTGCCATTTACCATTTCGGCACTCAAGAGATAACAGGGTTGATCTCCGCAGGATGGCCTCCCAGTGGCGTGGCCTGTGCGACCAGTAGGAACCGCAGCAGCTCAGCTTCTCCGCAGGGAAAAGAAGCCGGCACACATGGATCGGAGAGTACATATCAGGGCAGGGTATCCCCTGCATTCCTGCAAAACATGACACTGTGACGTTTACCCTCTTTTCTGTTGAATCGAGACCACCTTCAGCAAAATGGTCCTCGAGACCGTCTCCGAGAAGATCACCCCAGCATCAGAACCAACACCAGCGCCGGGCGCAGAGCATGACCATGAGTCCGGCTCCATCGCCTCCGTGCACGAGCGCGAGGAGCTCGACCGGCTTGGCTACAAGCAGGAAATGCATCGCAACCGGTCCATGTTCACGCTGCTCTTCCAGTCGCTCGCCATAGCGGCAATCCCCTATGGCGAGGGCAGCGCGCTCCTCAGCGCCATCTACGGCGGCGGACCTCTCTCCATCTTTGTCGGCTGGATTGTCGTCTGCGTGCTGGACGAGTGCATTGCACTCTCCCTTGCCGAGCTGGCATCCCGATACCCCACGTCTGCAGGGCCATACTACTGGTCTTTCCAGCTGTCGACAACAAAATCCAAAACCCTGGTCTCCTTCATCAATGCCTGGATCTGGCTGATCGGGAACTGGACCATCACGCTCTCCGTCAACTTCGGCTTCGCCTCTCTCGTTTCGGCCACGATCTCCATGTACCACCCAACCTGGAGTGCCAACAGCTGGCAGCTACTCCTCATCTTCTACGGCATCACCCTGCTCTCGTTCTTCATCTGCGCCTTCGGCAACCGCTACCTACCGCAGGTAGACATCGCCTGCGCAACCTGGACCGCGCTGACCATCCTCATCATCCTAATTGCCGTCTCCGTCAAAGCAGATGTCGGCCGCCACAGCGCCTCCTGGGCGCTATCGCACTACGACAAGAGCTTCTCTGGCTGGGGCAACTTCACCTTCTTCATTGGCCTCCTCCCGCCCGCGTACGTCTTCTCCGCCATCGGCATGATCTCCTCCATGGCAGAAGAATGCGCCAACCCCTCCGTCAAAGTGCCCCGCGCCATATCCCTCTGCATCGTCATCGGCGGCATCGCAGGCCTTTTCTTCGTTATCCCCCTGTGCGTCACCCTCCCGCCATTGGAGGATATCATCAACGCCCCCGCCGGCCAAGCCCTGCCCTACATCCTGCACAGGGTCATGGGCACTCCAGGCGGCGGACTAGGCCTCGTCTTCATGGTCCTGGTCATCACGCTCTTCTGCTCGATCAGCATCACCGTCGCAGCCTCGCGCGCAACATGGGCCAGCGCCCGCGACGACGCCATCCCGCTCGCTAGGCTATGGGCGCACGTCGACGAGCGGCTCGGCGTACCGCTCTGGTCTCTTGTTCTGTTAACCCTCATCCAGATGCTGCTGGGTCTGATCAACCTCGGCAGCTCGAGCGCCTTCACGGCGTTTGTCTCTGTCGGCGTTATCGCCCTGGCTGTCGCATACGCCGTTCCCATCTCGTTGAGTCTGTGGCACCGTCGCAGCGAGGTGAACCGTGCTCCCTGGACGTGTGGACCCGTCGTCGGGCCCATTGTCAATGTCCTCGCGCTGGCGTGGATTGCCTTTGAGCTCGTGCTGTTCAGTATGCCCACTGCGCTGCCTGTCACGCCTGTGTCGATGAATTATGCCTCCGTTGTGTTCGTCGGTTTTATGGCCATATCGGCCGTGTGGTATATCGTGTATGCGAGGAAGTGTAAGTTTTTTTCTCCTTGTTCTATTGTTCGTTGTCATGGCATGTCGCTGACTCGTCGTTCGTTGCAGGGTATAAGGGTCCTCCCGAGTCGGATGCTCTGGGCGATTAAATGGAGCTGTGTGTAGCATAGAAGCTATCGTGCCTACTCTACATGTACTATTTGAACATTTCAAATCACTTCCATTAGTTAGAGTACAATCAGCAGCACTAATCCATCTCGGAAATGGAATCACTCTGCATCGACAGACACCTCACCACCATCCTCCCCATATCCCACCCTTCGTCGCGGAATGTCCTCATTCGGATCAGGATGTGGCACCGACGTCAACGCAGGCGGTACAGACACATCACTCGGTCTACGACGCCTTACAAGCTGATACCCACGATCCAGCTCGATTTCCACCGCCTCACGCACCTTCAGCGCACTAACAGCCGGCCAAACGCCGCGCTCGCCTTTCCTTGTCCACTCCGCGATACGCTGGCATGTCGGGTCCCTGAAGAGGGATATCAAATCGCGACAAGACAGATCCGGCACGAGAGTCAAATTCGAGCCGGGGATTGTCTCGTCGATGAGGAGTCGACTGATCCAGGCGGGGAGGAGGGTCAGGTAATCGAGTTGGCGGAGTCGGTGGTGCAGTTCGGACAGGATCAGCTGCGTGCATGAGCGGGTGAAGTGTGTTATTCCTGTTTGGTCCCGGCCAAAGGGGATTAGATAGGGCCGGGCTTGCGAGACGATGAAGTGGTTTACGTTGAAGAGCTCGGCTATTCGGGAGAGGGGGGATTCGCCGTCGTCGTAGTGGACGTGCCGCCAGGGTTGGAAGATTGCATCTTGGGTGTGTGGCCAGGGGATGATGGAACCTGTTTCGTCTTTGCAGTAGATCATGAGGGGAGAGTGGGTGGGTGAGGAGGATGATGCATTGGAGGCCACGGCGGCGGACCAGATTAACTGCAATCAGTGTTAGAGAAATCGCGCAAAATCGAACAGAGAGAGAATACGCACCACATTCGGCGCAGTCAGGTAGTTGAGCAGATTCGGCGAGCCGTTCTTGCCTTTTGTCGCAATCGTGATATTGAGAATGCGTTTCGACCGGGCATACGCCTCTTCGAAAGTCAGGTCTCCCACATGCGCCCGGACACAGTGTTCCAGTGCATCATCATCAAACAGATGACCCTTCTGGACGAAATGTTTCATCCCACGCAGAAATGCACGGAACCACCCGTCTGGTTTTGCCGTCCCATCCGTCTGGGATTTCCGCCGACAATGAAAAGCCGACAGATCAAGACTGTCACCATCAAGGAGCGCCAACAATTCATCTTCAGGATGAATTCCCACCAGCGCCGCGATGATCGCCCCCGTAGCAGTCCCCGTAATAATCCTCGGCAAGAGACCCTGCAGATGCAAGGCTCTGACAACACCGAGATGACACAGCGCGAACGCCGACCCGCCCTGCAGGAGCAAGGTTGTGCGCCCAAAGGCCTGGCGGGTATCATGGAGCAGCTCTAGCTTCGCCTGCGAGGTGAACCCGGACGACGCGTGCGCGGGGATGGGCTGCAGCGCGGCGACATACTGGATCGACAGCGCGACCTGGGTGATGTAGTCGTCGATCAGCAGCTTGGTGCCGGCATAGGCGTGGGTGAAGAGCTTGGCGGAGGTGATATTTCCAAGGTTGCGCACGAGACCCGAGCGTAGCAGGTTAGCGAGCGTTAGGATATCTTCTTCCTCGCGGGCGTTCATCAATGCCTCGAGCCGGCCGAGTATGAGGCGGTAGTCGTAGTGCCGGCTGACGGGGTTCTGGCGCCTGTGACGGATGGTGTGAGCGGGTCTTGTCTATTCTATCGTTATAGGTCACATCACGTACCATAAGTCCTTGCTGAGGAGCTCGTCGAGCTCAAAGGCTGCCTCTTCCCATTCCTCGTACGTCTGGGCGGTCGCGAGGACGTGGCCGAGCCGGGCGCGGGGAGACTTGGATGTCAACCAGGAGAGCAGTTTGTCCCTCCAGTACTGGGCGACATCTAGCACCAGACTGATCACGGCCACCACGAGTTTCCACAGACCGAGCCACCACTCCATGGTTGTGGTGGTGGTAGGGGAAGAGGTGGGCGGTCACCCTTTCACATGCTTGTTGATGGCTCTACGTCAGACATGACCAAATCAGCCCTAAGCCAACTACCTTGTACACCATGTGTCACGACCACGGAGTTGCAACATCCACGTTGATCGGACATTTTGTGTCTACCGCTACTGTCGAATCCATTGCGCTTCCCGGCTGATATTCTCGTATGGACATCGTCTCATTGGTGGTCCTAGATCACCGAGAACGCCGGAGGTACTCTCGAGACCTGGGTCCAAAGACATGGTGCTTTTGGTTGCTCATTCTCGTGCACAAACCAGTGGGAGAGGTAGTAGAAGAGTTGATTTCAATATCGAAAATCGATATCAGGGACCGCCTGACGTGATCGTGACAGCCCTCGGGCTCTTCATATCGTATAATACCGTGGACGATATTCGCCCCCGTCTGTTGGTTGAACTACATGTAGATAGATCTACCAACAAACACGTGCCTCTGGTCCGTTAGATCGGTGCATACTCGCCCCAGGACATTTCGATTGTGACATGCGCCAGGCCTTGGGGAGAAAAAGAGTGCTTCTCTACAAGAAAAACGAGGTTAGTCGGGCGATGGCTGTGGCATCTACACCAGACACTACAACAACAAAAACAACAACAGCAACAAATTGAAGTTCAGAATCGTTTTTGGCATTTCGCGTTGCTGCCCTATATGCAAGTAGGCGAAATTAAAGAAAGCTCTCCAGACACCCCACACTACCCAAGGCGCCCTTCTTTACGCCTCGATAATGTTGCCCCGCTCCGACACGTACAGACCGTCCAGGAACTACATTGGTCAGTTTTCTGTCAAGGGAAGAGCACGGCGGGAATCTCTTACCTTCCGGATATCCTTGTTCCGGACACGGCAGATCTGCTGAATGTCGGCGGCGCTCTGCGACACACCCTCGAGCGAGTTGCCAGACAGCTGGAGCTCGTCCTTGACGTTGGGCGAGGTGATGATCTCGACACCGGGCTGGGCCGTCACGCGGCGCACGTACTTCTCGCCCAGGAAGTTGCGGATCTCAATCTCCGCGACACCGGTCTCGGGGTTCTTCTCGATGTTGACGTTGATGGGAAAGTGAGCGTACACGTAGCGCATCTTGTACAGGAAGCCGCGGGTGACACCGATGATCAGGTTGTTGATGATGGTGCGGACGGTGCGCAGGGTAGCGACACCCTTGCGGATACCGTGGTGCAGCTCGATCGAGATGACGTTCTTCTCGGGGCGGCCGAAGGTGACGGCCAGGTGGGACAGGTCCTTGACCAGCTTGCCGCGGGGGCCCTCGACGGTCACGACCCGCGAACGAATGTGAAGCTTCACTGTAGTGAGAGAAAAAAGATCGAATCAGCCCGGTCCTTCAATTTTTTTTGGCACAACACATATTGTGTGACCACACAATATTCCACACAGTCTTTCGCCCATCATGCAGTTCCCAGAGACATTCGTTGACAGATTGCAACCGAGCACTCCAAGATTTCAAGGGTCGAATTGAATGTGCGACCCAACCCACACACAACCGGTCGGTCCTTCTCCTGCTGCTGCGAAAAAAACACACAAAACTCACCATCGTCGGGGATGGGCAGCCGTTCCTCAGAGTGAATGTACCGCATATTGGCTGACTGGGTGCGTTGGGCGGGAGAGGGTGGTCGATGGTCGAAAAGATCGAAAAATCGGGAAGAGCGAATGGTGTGGATCGACTGGGGTCACGGGACTTCGCTTACTGAGATATTTTAGGGTTGTCTGGTCATGTGATGGTGTTCACCGCCGGGCAGATTTAATAGGCCAATGGTGGTGACAGTAGTATACAATAACATTTCATAGGTTCTCTACTCTGCTGTCCGTTTGACCTCCCGAATCCACTTCCCCCCAGACTCTGCAGCTTTGAGGCCAGCTCGTCGCTCTGGTCCAATGCGCCAATCTCATCCCCTCCCCCAATACTCATCCCGTTCACCATCACATTCGGCACCGTTTTCCGCCCGGTCGTCTCCCCCAGCAGGTCCTGGAGATCCTTGCCGATCCGGTGGTTGTCGAGTTCGACCACATATGGTCTTGGGGAGATGTCGTATTTTTCGAGCAGGATCGACTTGGCCTTCTTGCTGTACGGACAGTACGATTTGGAGAAGATAATCACTATGACTCCCGTCAGCAACGACTCCATCAACCGTAGTTAGAGATCGGAGAGTAGAAAAATACCAGGTGCCTGCTTCAGAATCGTATCCAGCTCCTCCTTCGCAGCAACCGCGGCCTTTTGCTCCTCCGAATCCGCGGACGTGTCCTCGTTCGCATCACTTCCGCGGTTCTTCGAGACCTGGATCTTCGTCCGTCCCGCAATAGAGATCTCTTCCATGTCTTCGCCCTTCCCCTGAGCAACAGGCACAGCCGGCTTCTCCACTGTTCCGTCGAGACTGTCGTCCGGCCGGTGCATGGGCGCGCTCTCAGCCTGTGCTCGTGCCTGTCGTGCGGCCTCCTGTGCCTTCATGGCCGAGAGCGTGGTTTGGTAAAATGTTTGGTTCTGGACCTTGCGTGCATCGCCCTGTAGAGGCAACGCAAATCGCATTGATTAGACGATGAGTCGAATGCATCGGGGATGGCAAGTACCCACCGAGTAGTAGAATGTCAGAAAGAGAACCGCGACCACGGTGACCAGGAGCAGGCGGAGGCGCCGTTGGGAGAACATCGCGGTGGAAGGAACTCAGGATAAATCAAGCCCTAGGAAAGTGCGCTGAAGCTTCACCCAGTCTGATCATTTGAGCTGGGCAATGACCGGAAGATAACTAGTTAACAGATCGTGATGGACGTGATTCCAGGGGTCCAAGAGTGAGGCTGATTGATGGCTGGTGAGTTATGTAGTACCGGGTGGGGATGATGATGTTGGATTAGGGGCTACTACTGTAAATGATACTTGCTACGTAGTTACTTATAGGCAAAGCTCGCTGAGTCTTTCAACAACCATCCGATGTGGTGTAGTGGTAACATCACCGTCTCTCACACGGTAGCCCGGGGTTCAATTCCCCGCATCGGAAATTCTTTTTTTTTTGGGTCATCTATTCATAGATAGATAGATACGATACATACATGTACAATGTAATTAATTAATGAATGGTCCAAATCTTTAGATATCTCCGCCAGGCCCCTATGGTGCTTGTGGTGCCGGACAGGATATAGGTAAGTTAGGCCCCTCGACCCTATGATCCACTTCGCGGAAAGATAATATAGTTAAACAGATGGCTTCAGAGTTCCGGAGACATTCTTTGGAATTTCCAAAATGCTGTTAAGCTCCTCCGGTGTAGTTCTTCCAATGCCACACTCGGTTGCGACACCAAAATCTTTAGTCACAGTCTTAGCGGCCTGATCCGCCGTCGGGTTCCTTCTTCTTCATTGGCATGCACCAACCAAATCAGTGGCCATCCTCCTAGCTAGTATTGCCTTCGTCTGCCTAGACTATGCCCGGGTCATCTTAGTCGGCTTGGATGACCACGGTAATTGTGTTTACTACGCCGACAACATTGAGGGCTTTACCCTCAGTAGGATTATATGGGAGTAAATCGGCTGCTCTGAAGCTATTCTGAATAGTTTCAAAGGTGAATGCATCTGATCGGGCTTCGGGGTAGTTAGACAGATTTTAAAGCTTGTCGATGATATCAACGCCCGCGCGCATCCATCGATCAACGATCCAACCGTACGATCGCTTTAGGGACGCAAAATAGGCCCAGACAGCCATTAAAAAGATAGACAAGAATATGTGTATGTAAGATGGGACGAAATGGAAAAGTCATTTCGAATCAAACCGCGGGTCCAGCAGCGGTACTGTCCGTCAAACGAAGGCGTCAAGTGATATACGAACCGGATCATCACGAAAGCGCTTTTATATACAAACATGCATTCTTTTTGATGTATGCGTTGACTGAGTCCGTTGGTTTCTGTCTACGGTAGGCAATGATCCTCGATTTTGAGCTCGTTTCAACTAGGCACCCATGGAAGACTGAAGGGTTCCAAATATACCGTCTTGTCCGAGAAAATAATGAAACAGACTATTATGCCTGAACAGGCATTATTGACCTGATACTCTATTGGGAAAGCAGGCACCAATCCCAAAGTCAAAATTCTTCATAAATGCACATGGAATTAAATCAACCAAGCCTCCAGCTTGAGCAATCTCATCAAAGCATTCAATCCCAATTCCCCGCCTTGAGCACTCTCATGAAAATGCAGAATGTTGGTTATTCGAATTAGATTGCATCTTTTCCGCTAATTCTTCATAGTACTGGCAAGTTCATGCCATCCAGGAAGAGATTCGACGTGTTCCTCATGCTGGCCACGAGTCTGTTCTGTATGGCGTCTGGAACACCATACTAACGTGGCAATTCCCTGTTATTGACGGCTATGTCACGCGTCCACAAGACACACACACCTCCCAATCCGGCGAAGCTGGATATTCGGATCTCCATACATATCAGTATGTCGCCGACAACAGAACAGCCACGAAATTCCTTCTTACTCAATGTAAGAAGGCCGGCCTCGAAACGCAAGACTCTACCTGGCAGGAGGGACATGACCAGTTAAGTCGATATTCGGCTTCCACACATGGTAGACGACGAGCAGACAGACGCTCACCTGTTTATGGAATTGTCGCCGTCGGAAACTACATGAGGGCGTACAAGTACGATGATGATCAGAAACTTGTCGTCGAATGGGCACCATGGGGTATGAACGCAAGTGAGATACTTCGGATCGATAAAGTCGATGACAAGCCTCATGTCCAGCGGATCTTGGATCATATTCGTGATCACCACTGAATTATCTAACATACGACTTATGCTTGTCTATTTTGCCAAAGAATGTGGTATTTTGTTTCTGAGAAAGGAAACGCCCTAAAATAGGCTTGGCATATGTGTGTAGTCTGATGAAGATGCAAAGGAATGAGATCCATACGAGAAATATGGATAATACACCAGAAGCTCGAAAAGGAGAGAATGAATAGTGAGAGGAGAGAAGCTCCTCTCCCGAAGCAAAATGGGGTCGTGACGACTAAGAGTGACATCCAGGTGCCAACACCATTTTTCCAGCAAAAGCCATCATTCAGTAAGAGCTTCTGTTCATCTTTCTAAGAATGTCATCAATCAAGCACAAAACTCGTTCACGATTTGCTAAACCACTGGAGATAAATTTTTCCCTATCACGGAGAAGAGAAATGAAGGCAAGGCATATAAACTGCCAACCGGCAGAGCTGATATTGGGCGAATTCAACTCAAAGAGCAGACGACGTTCATCAATTCGCAAGCGGAACCTGCACCACTCATTAACCCGCAACCGCAATTCCCAGAAGGATTTGGGAAGAATCCACCTGAAAGCTGATAGCATATTGAATGTATTTTGGATGTCTGACTCCTGATTGTCCACAGGACACACAAGTTGAGCAATCATGATTCTGAGTTCCACCGGTAAGCCAGAGAAGTCGGAAGTGCTGCTGCTTTTGATGTCTTTTGCGAGTTCGACTGCACTCTGAACTTCTGGAATAATCAATGGGCTGTGATAAAGGTGCGATCCATAGATGTAGAGCTCTTTGAAACCCTGAGAGTCGTTTTCAGTGTCCGGTTCATCGTCTCGCGGTAAATTGTCGTCCCATATTCCCCATAATTTGTGCTTATACCAGTACTTCCGAGCAGCTCGAACAAACCTTTGCAATTCAGTCTGGTTGAACGGAGCTCCCAAGGTTTGGTTAAGAAGTGTCCAACAGTGAGCATGGATAAGATGTCCGAGTGGTTTCCCGCTGATGCTTGCCGGCTGCCTGCTAATGCTTGCAGGGAGAAATCGAGTAAACGTGGCATTGTCGTAACGCGGCTTCCGGCTTTTACTACCGATTCGCGCGATGTTGATATCCTTTGGCATATGAAGAGCCTCGCCAGTGCGATAAGAATACACGCAGTTTATTCCCGTAAGGCAGTATTTCGAGGTATGCGGAAACCTAACGACTGTTTTTCCTTTTTTAGAGCGAAAGCGTAGTATATATGCGGGGATGTCGTACCAGCTCGATAGAAAGTTGAGGAGAGTGTGGGTAATTCGGAGATGTGCATAGCTTCGACCTCCTTTGATGACACCATGATATTTCTCTTCTTTGAACGAGAGTCCATATACTTCTTCCATCGAATATCTTTTCGCAAATAACTTGCTACGGACTTCTTCTGGTATCCGAGTTGCACACCGCATAAGAGACATGTCGGCTCTGGAACGACAAACCTCATAGCGGGCAACAAGATGTAGTTTCATGGGCCTGTTCGTGTGATGCCTTCTCGAGTGTTATAAGAACAGCGCTGGATTTTGATGCTTGACTCCATGCAACAAAGTATTACTGGAGATTTATTATTACGTATAGTATGACAGAATGTTGATCAGTTGATTTATCGAACCATGTAAGACAGTATACTATCTTTCTCTTGATTATTTCCTGGCTCATATTCCATCGTGTTGCTAATCATGACCTCAGTCACTTGAGTGTTGACAAACTCAGACATGGCATTGTAGATCTCTACTGAGGCAGGATTGTAAGTAACAAATAATTATTTAACAGGGGTATTTGGCTAAGTCACACGTTTTGGGTGTATCCACAGACAGTCATTAAACAGATAGACAAAATTATGTGTATGTAAGATGGGATGAAATGGAAAAGTCATTTCGGATCAAACCGCGGGTCCAGCAGCGGTACTGTCCGTCAAACGAAGGTATTATGTGATAAGTCGAATCGGATCATGTAGAAATCGCCAGTCCCTGGCGCGCGGAATTCTGCGCATTTTGCTTGCGTTTGCCTTGCACAATGGTCGTCCAGTCTTCCCACTCCTTAGCGATCTCCGTCAGCACGCCACCCATTACGCCGGCAGAGGCCATCAGACCGTGGCCCTCGCCTTCGAGAATGCGGACCTCGCAGCGCCGCATCGTCTTGCCCAGCCATTGGACATTTTCCACCGGTACGCGGGTATCTTTGCTGCCATGCTGGATCACCACCGACCGCGTGATGTCGACGTAGCGGAAACCAATTGTCTGCCGACGCTCGAGACAGATCAGCAGATCAACGGCTGGGTTGGCATTCGTGGTAGCCAGCTCCCAGATTCGATGGGTGAGGCGCGTATCGTAATCTCGCTGGCGCTCGAGTTCTTCCGAGGGAGACTTGGCTCGAGAGCCAAGAGTGGCATCGCTTTTCCGCGCCCCGTTTTGTATGGCGGTATTGGGAATGCCGGGCGTTGGCGGCAGCTGTTTCTCCTCGCCTTCTGGGGTCTGATGGGTTTCGACAGGGAGGGTCCCATTAGGTTTTGTAGGCCCAGGATTTGCGACGAGAGTGTCTTTGGCAGAAGGCTTGCGTTTGGCTTTGCGAGGAGACTTGGGCAGGCTGGTGGTGATGCTGGCACTTGTGGCACTCATGAAACTAGTGTTGGCAACCTTCAAAAGGGACGTTGGCAGAGCTCGAAGGATGCGCTGAGAGTAAGGAACCGCATTGTTGGGCACGGGTTCTTTCTGAGAGCCGATGCTGGACAGCTGCGATGGAGGGATCCACGGAGCCAGGAGATGGATGCGGCCGCGGATATGTTGCGGGATTCGGAGCGCGGTTGCCAGAGCGTAGATTGCGCCGGCGGAATGGGCCAGAATGGAGAACTTGGTCACTCGGAGGTAGTTGCAAACGATCGCGACATCATCTGGTACAAATTAGCGGGGCTCATCGAGGACGGAAAGAAGATGCATACCGGGCCAGCTGAGAGGGGAAGTCGACTCATCAGCTCGGTGCGGGTCACTTTCGCCCACACCGGGGCGATCCAAGCTGACCAGTCTGAGGTTGAGGGTTCGGGCTAATTCATCATAAAAGGCCATGAGATATCGGGTCAGGCCCATGCCGAGGCAGCAGAGCACAACATGGCCCTTGGGATCTCCCACTTCAGAGAAGGCGATGGTGCGGCCGGTAGTCGGGTGGATCACTTTTTGGGTCAGCTTCGGGGAGAGGATGTACTCATCCACGGCATAGTCGATCGAATCCGCACTAGACGGCCGCTCGTGATTGAGTGAGGGACGATGACCAGGAGACAAGGGATTGGACGGTGCCCTTCGGTGGTGTTTGGTAGGAGTTCCGGGCTCGAGGGAACGCCGATATCGGGCATTAGCATGCTCGTGTTTGTCAAATGAGGATTTGGACACTTGTGGCGAGAAGTTTGTTGGCTTAGATGCCAGTGATACTCCATTCCGGTTGGAAGATCGGCTCTTGCCGGTCATGACAGACGGAGACGGAGCACTGTCGTTAAACGGAGGTCGGCCGTCCTTGGACCCATTCGGAGTTGCGCGACCTGAGTCGGCCTCACTAGGGGTCCGTGGAAGAAGCTTCGACTGTTTGAGGAGAGTCACCTTCGTCGTTGTTTTGGGTACTTTGCCTGGGCTGTCGTCCACTTCCAGCTCAGTCTTGATTTGCTGTTGTTGCTCTTTCAATTCTTGGATCCTGCGTGTGACCTGCTCGGCATCATTGCTTGATCCAGGAAGGCCATTTTCTGCATCCGAATCCTTGCTGGTAGTCGAAGAGTATCGACTGTGACGGGCGGACCGACGCTTCCTTGTGCTTGAAGAAGGACTATGCCGGTGTCGCAGCGACGAGTCGCGATTGGGGATGATTCTGCCACTGCCGATTCCCCCGGGATTGTTTCCAAGGTCGGGAGTAGTCTGGAGGGACTGCTCCTGGGTTGGTGGAGTACTCGTAGCTAACTCAGCCAACTCCTCATATGGCTCTTCTATCACACCACTCGGGCGCTCCTCCTCGGCTACATCGGCCATGGAGCGCAAAGAGCGCACGCTGGCTCGACTTCGTGGGGTATTATGGCGAAGGCTATCGTTGTGGCTGCTCGTGGTGCGTAAGCGATCCGCCTGTGATTCCTTTTCGCTAGTGAACTCTCGCGAAGCCTTCTTCATCAGACCAAATTGACCCCTGAGACTCTTCGATCGCCCGAAAGAGCTGCTGGACGCAACGCTTGGCGCGGTCGAGAGACGGGGGCCGGGCTCTGTGGTGATTGTTCCAAATACTGAATCTTCCGGGACGGCTTTGACGGAGCTGTAGGAGTCTCTCGAGGCCGGACGAGCAGGAGATGAAGCTGCGGATTTGAATGGTTTGAATCTTGGCGACCTAGGCGATTTGGGAGATTTGGGGGACGGAGGTGCTCTGGCCATGCGAATGACCGGCGACAGGGCAGCGTCATCGGGATGTAGAAACGAACCAACCTCGCCCGTTTTGTAGGCTCCGTAACTCATGCCAAAGCCATGGTCGGAATAAGGATTGGAGAAACACGGCGCAGTCTGTGGCACTTCGGGCAGTCCAGGATCGGAATCAGTATCGATTCGGGGCACGTTTTCGAAATGAGTCTTCAGGGGAACCGAGATTGTAGAGAGTGACGTGATGAGAGAGTTCATGACCTCCGGAGACGTCGGGTCGGTGGTCGTGTGGCCTGACGCATGTGGGCGCGCCGACTGGGATTTGCGATTGCGCCGGCGACTTAGCAGCGCGGACTCGGCCGGCGCATTTTTGGCGGGAGGGTCGAACTGCATGGCGTTCGATAGCTAAAGGGTGACAGCGGGCAAGCAAGTCCAGACGCAAATTCTTAGGAAGTATAAGCGAGACCACGCATGATCTGCTGCAGTCGGAACGCAATCGGAGGAATATTTGACAGGGGCCCTTGCGAAACCCCTTACAGGGTTAACGGCTGTAGGAGATAAACAGGAAAACGAGAGATAAGAGAGTGCAAGCCGTGGAAGCGACGAGAAAGGAGATATAGAGATAGAGAGAGACGGTAGATAAAAAGAGAAATGAGAAAAGGGAGAGAGGATGGGAGAAAAAGAATAATGAGAGGGGTGGGTGTCGATCGAAGGGGGAAAAAAAGACGAGGCCAGGGTGATCGGGATCGCGTTTGTGCTCCACACTGGAGGAACCGTCTCCACGCTTGGATTGGACCAGTGCCGCGGTTAGTTATCCTCTGGGTCAGAAATTAAATTGACTCTGTTCCTATACTTGATACAGGAACCGCTGGTCGAGGCTCTTCTAGCGCACACCAACACTAATATTTATTACAAATTAATTGCAGGAGGCATGTCGGACGGCATAAAAGTGATCCGTTGAATCTCTTCATTGCATTTAAATTATTATTTGCTTGTTTGTTTTGTCTTTTCTATTCCGAGCAATTGAGTAGAATTCAGAACTGGCTCTGAGTTATCATGTGACTGATCACTAACCCTAGGGAGATAAATACCGAGCACTCGGTCCTACAGAAGCGGTGGATCCGGTCCACTACTGTTCGGGGTAGAGAAGTCTATTCATCCTCTCAAGGCTTAGTCGCAGATATCCTAGTGTCACCTAGCTATAGTGTATAGGTTCAAGTTGGAACATAGCCCAAGATTTAGTCAATTACGGCACAGCGATATTTAAAATCCAAGATAACATATATCAACCGGGAAGTCTGTTAACTATTCCATCTGTTCACGATAACAGTGTCATAACTAAGCTTGTAAAAACGGTCGTCTATTTGCTTCGGCCACATGTTTCGTTCACTTCGGCTGACCAGTAACTCCCATCTGATTTTATAGAAATAATCAGACACTACATGATAAACTCACGATGCAATCCGTTGCATGAGCATATCACACCATCTCTTAAGATGTGCAACCTCTACAACCTAGACTGAAGCAGGCACAGAATTGTGATCTCGGACAATATCATAGATATTTGTTAACATCGGGACGATTTCTTTAATTTAAGAGACTTAAAACAACAAATTGATTACGCAAGTAGTCATGGTTGAGATAGTTCATTAATTGAACTTATGAGATTTGTAACGTGAGGCTAGGAGGTTGTCGGCATTTTGGATGCCTGTGATATCGGGTCCACGATGGTATTTCTAAAGCTTGTATACTTGAGCCCAAGTTCGTGAGCCGTAATCTCACTATCTATTCCATGAGATTCGTGAATGACCTGGTCCACGCGCTTGACTTTCCCCTTAGCCCAATCAAACTCCAGATGCATCGATTCTTCAGCTCTCCGAGTATATAGCCGACGGATAAAGCATTTATCTTATCGTGCAACTTTGAGGTTCCATTTGCAAGTATTCAGCGGCACTTGATCTCTTCACCTCACTGTCGCTCTCAGCTGGACATCATCAGGATGCCGTCTCTCTCGGAATTCCCCGTTTCTATCCGCGTCTCCGATGAAGAGCGGGACTCGGGCGTATTATCCGACCACCACCTGTACGACGTCGTCGAAGCCTTCTTTAACGACGGATTCGTCGTTCTGGAGAACGCGGGGCGGAATGACATGATCGATAACTTGAACGAACGAAATGCTCCAGGATACGGAGAAGCTCATGGCGGGTGAGGGCTTGTCCCACTTCGCGTGAGTCCCCGTCCATCACGCAAGAACGGGAACTAACGAGCTATAGTCCTCTGAATAACAAAGTGGCCAAGAAGGGGGCCAAGGCCGGCGGAAACCTCTCTCAAGTACCGCCTCTGGAGAAAGGTGGGTCCATTACCTCTTTCACAGCTGCGCGTATCGTATACCTATTTATGGACAACCCTAAGCCTGGTGCAGAATGGTTGCGTCCTGAAATTTTCGCCAACAAACACGCCGCCCAACTCATCTACTGCATCCTCGGCCCTAAGCCCGAGATTCACTTCCTCTGCTCGAACACCCTTTTGAACAATAACGACCGCCAGCGTGTTCACTCGGACATGCGGTTTGAGCACCCCACTCACCCTTTGCCATTACCCAGTCCTCCACCCCGAGGTCTGGGAAAAGATTGCACATGTCAAGACCGCCAAAGGGTACTAGGGCAATCAATGGAAAAGATGAAAGCGACAAAGTGAATAAAGTAGAAATCCACTGAATATTAACAGATCATCGATTCAATGCTGTCCCAAGGTGGTTTGTTTTGGTGAAAAGCCATAGTGGCTCACCGCCCCACCCCGGCCGGCAGTATGTCCGGCCGCATCGCCAACAGCTTCACTCACTCTCTGACCTCGTAGCGCTGGCCTTGGTTCCTCGAATACGGCCAGACTCTTCTTGACTCTCATCCCGCCTCATTACCTCATTGCCCGCCGTCCAATCCACCCCTACAACTAGACATGCGGTGACCGTGCTGCCAAACAATCACGGTCCGCAATGGACGCCTACCCCGAAGACTACGTCAACCACAATCTCCCTTTCGTCCTCCTTTCCGGACTGGAGGCGAGCTCTGAGAATGATGCTGCAACCTCTGCGGAATATCCCCTCCTCTCCGAGAAGGGCTCAGAGATCTTCTCCGAACTCCCTCCGGTGAGCGGGGCTCTTGCAGAGGAATTGCGGAGCGTGCTACTTGAAGAAGATGGCTCTCGCATGCCATGGAAGTCCAGACCCAGCTTAGATGATAACAACTCATCCGCTGCAGGGATTGGTTTCAAGATCAAAAGTACTGGCCGGGTAGGTTCCTGTTCCAATGATTCTCTATGTAAACCCCCCCGGCTGACATTCTGTTAGTCCTACAAGCTTCCTCCACGAAAAGCCAATCCTCCGCTACGCTCCCCTTCCATGAACTCTTTCGTCGACTCAGACTCCGTTGTTCTGCACTCGCCCATATCACCATTGACTCCAGGCTCTCCAACATTTCCAGATGGTCTACTCACTCCGCTCTGGGTCACCAAACATCAGGACCTGGTTCCTGCAGCGGTCATCAATTTCTTTCCCTTTTCTTTGGACCGGAATATGAACACGCTCCGCGATAATCAATTGAAGATCGAGATTAATGATCTAAAGCAGGCGTGGACATCCTCCGGCTTCAAGACTCGGTATTTGGTGGTGTTGATATCCGAAGAAGGTGATGGAGGGCATACTTGGGAGATTGATGATCGGGTCGCAGGCATCCGCAGAGCGACGAATCTCGATCCAAAATCAGTTTTCGTCGTCCCGCCAGACGCGACAACGTCAGAATTAAAAGACTTTACGAAATCATTGTTTTCGCTGTTGCAGCCCTCTGTCGTGGAATACTATCGGGACCTGTCCAAGCATGCCCGGCGGAAGCGCAACAGAAGTAGCATCCCTCCTCAGACGGCGCCGCCCACCAGCGGCACTTCTCAGACCCTGTCGGTCCATGGGTGGAATGTCCGTTATGAGTTCAAACTTGGGATATTTGCCGAGTTTCGTCAGGAGATGGATGCAGCGTGTCGGAATTATGAGTCTGCCTACGATACCTTGTTTGGACAGGAGGTTTTTGAGAATATCGCTGGATGGGATCCACGATTCAGTGACGCACGCCTTCTCTCTGATTCTCTGGCCATTCGAATTATTCGTTGTTTACTTTGGACAGGTCAGACCACTGCGGCCGCACGGTTCTGGGTCGATCACAGAGTTCGCACGAAGGATATCATCAATCGAAGGGGTAAAGGCAGCAGAAATTACGGATGGGAAGCATGGGAGGCGCGGTGGTCGATGGTTATGGCTCAACTCATCCGCCGAGCGGAAATACCGTCTCTTTCATCCGGGGAATTTGGATCCATATACCTTTTGCCTGAGAAAGCAATCCCCACAGGGGAACGAGTCAATCCCTGGGAGCACTTGCACCATGAGGGCTATTGGCTATGCCGCTCAGCAAAACACACAAAGCTGCGAAGAACTCTTGCGGAACAAATTCCAAGCGAGGATCGAATGCCTCCAGGACAGTCTCCTGCCTCGCAGATTGCCAACAAGTCTTACCTTTACGACACATATCTGGCCCCCGAGACTCATGCTGAATCACCTCTGCCCGGGAACACAGGCTTTGACCATTCCTGTCTGATCCTGAACACCTTGAAGTCTGCACTCGAAGAGTTCTCAAAACGCCAACAGACTCGTCATGTCGAGAGCCTCGGCCTCGAGATCGCAGAAGAGTACATGCGCGTTGGCTCTTGGACGGAGGCATACGATATCCTTCAACCCTTGTGGCCAAATCTGAGCTGGCGCCGTTCTGGTTGGTGGCAACTGATGCACAGTTTCGGTTGGGCCTTAAGGGAATGTGCTCTCCGAGCACAGAAAAGCGAGACAGTGCTGCAAGTGGATTGGGAGCTGCTTCATAATGGTAAGTCATGTCATAACTCTTTTGCAGTCAATTCTGACAAACTGGCGCTATAGTGTTTCAACCAAAACCTTCTTGGCAATATGACATCCATCAGAGCCTCGAAAGTTTCCCTTCAGAAAAACCGAAACCATCCGTTGTCCTTCGAGCAGAAGACGTCATGCCGAGCTGTAAGCCAACTATTCTGAGGATCCATGTTCTCATCGCTGACTCTGATCGTCTGCGCAGTGACCGCTTCATTGGTCTTTGAAAAAGCCGAAGGCAACGTCGGGGAACCACTGCAGGCTCAACTCATTATTTCATCGTGTGCTCAAAAATCTTCCGCGCCCATCAAACTCACGGAGGTGAAAGTAGTCTTTGAGGGCTGCTTGCGGCCACTGAAGATTCAATCTGACCAGAATCAAAATGCCGACACTACGAGCCCGTGTTGCCTCACTTCTCTCCAATTACGAGAACCGCGCACGTCTGTCGATTCCGCCGTTCAATCACCGACGAGTGGATTGGCCACCTTACTTGGGACATCCGATCTTACGATTGGCCCTTGCCAGACCAAAGCATTCAATCTCACTTGCATCCCCCGCGAGGCTGGTGAAGCCCGGGTGGCTTCGATAACCATGCTGATTGAGGAGGAAAAGTTTGATCTCGCCTATGTTATCACATGCGAGGAACAATACAAATCCGTCTGGTGGCAAAACACTAAAAAGGGAATAAGTCACAGAAGGGTGGGCAAAGACCGAGACACTGGCAAATGTAAGGTTATGCCAAAGCCTCCCAAGATCCGCATCACAACCCCCAATCTTAAACAAAACTATTACACCAATGAACGGGTGGCTTTGGATATAGAGTTACAGAATGAGGAGGAGGAAGCAGCCGATGTCACCACTGAAGTTCGACTGTTTGGTCCTCCAGAGTCATCGGCTAGGATTCTGTGGCTCGACACAGAGGACAACGTCGCCACCCATGAGTCAGGGACTAGCACTCCAGCCGAAGGTCCAACCCATTTCTTGAAACAACCAGTCGGAGTAATCGAGCGTTCCTCTGATAGGCACATCACTGTTGTTGTGGATGACACTCAGAATATTGCGAATTATCAACTGGAAATTTCAGCCATCTACAACCTGGTGTCTGATGTCCAAACTCCTATCTCGAAGACTATCACCGTTGATCTGTCATTCACCCGGCCATTCGAGGCCAACTACGACTTTCTGCCTTGTGTTCACTCGCAACCATGGCCGAATTTCTTCGCAGTTAGTGACGACTTGCTCGGTGAAGCTTCGGGGTCGGTCCCGGGAGGCTTACAGCAGAGATGGTGTCTCAATTCCAAGGTTGTTTCCTTTGCCCTGGAGCCAATCGTCGTTGATCGAATGTCTGTGGCTCTTCTCGGAGTTGGCGGCGGTGCGGTGTGCAATATCGAGCCAGAGACATTGGTCAGCCCCACCACTTCGCAACTTGCACCGGAAGAAATGCGGGAGTCCAACTTTTGCCTTGACATACAGAAGCTCACCCTCGGTGACCGCCGGCCCTCTACGCTTAACCTCGCACTAGAAATCCAATGGCATCGACAAGGGTCCGACAACGAAAGCGCCGTATCGACCTCCATCCTTGAGATCCCGCGGTTCGTCGTTCCCATGGGAGAACCCAGGGTGCTCGCCTCCTCATCCGTCTCGGAGACCATGCCTGGACTGATTCATCTGGAGTACACGCTGGAGAACCCATCCACGCACTTCCTCACCTTCAACCTCATGATGGAGGCTAGCGAGCAGTTTGCCTTTAGCGGACCGAAGACCACCGTCGTCCAGCTTGTGCCGCTGAGCCGGCACACGATCCGGTACAATTTGTTGGCAGCCAAACGCGGCTTGTGGATCCAGCCACAGCTGGTGGTGGTCGACGGCTACTTCAACAAAACTCTCCGTGTTCTCCCCACAGGGGAGATGCGCTCGGATAAGAAGGGCATTCTGGTGTGGGTTGATGCTGATGATTAGTGAGGCCGTGGAACTGTATATTCGTTAGAAATATCCATCTCAGTTTTGTATTCAACTAGCATTTCCTGTGTGTATAAATGCAGCCTTATAGACTTTTGTTGCAACTCAATATATTTCCAGGACTAACCCAGGTATTTATGTACAGGCTCTGTACTCCGCTCATCAGCATACAGTGCATGGAATCAGTTGCGTGAGGAAGCGGTCTGCCTAAGGGATCGCATACGAGTGCAGCCACAGGTCACATCCGTTCTTAATCTAACCGCGTCGTTTGCACTTCACTGGTCAGCCCCACGGGTAGCCCTCTTCTTCTACTTCTTCTTCTTCTTCTTCTTCTTCTTCTTCTTCTTCTTCTTCTTCTTCTTCTTCTTCTTCTTCTTCTTCTTCTTCTTCTTCTTCTTCTTCTTCTTCTTCTTCTTCTTCTTCTTCTTCTTCTTCTTCTTCTTCTTCTTCTTCTTCTTCTTCTTCTTCTTCTTCTTCTTCTTCTTCTTCTTCTTCTTCTTCTTCTTCTTCTTCTTCTTCTTCTTCTTCTTCTTCTTCTTCTTCTTCTTCTTCTTCTTCTTCTTCTTCTTCTTCTTTCTTTCTTTCTTTCTTTCTTCTTCTTCATCATCATCATCATCATCATCATCATCTTCTCTCTCTTCGTAGCATCATCAAAATCATCAGGCTTCTACTACCATTCCATTTCATGACACACTGATTCTCTCACTTCTCCTGACCGCTGACAACATGCATGGGTATTACTCCGACGATGAGTTCGAGTGCGAGACTTGCAGCCGTGTTTTTTCTTCCCAGCATGCTGTGAACCAGCACATGAACGCTCTGGGTCATCGAGCTCCCAGGTTCGAGTGCGACACGTGCTACTTCAGCTCCTTCTCGCAGTCCGTTGTAAACCAGCACATGTCGGACGAGGGTCATTGCGAGCACTACTGCAGGAGTTGCCAGCGACAATTTCAGAATGACAACAATCTGCAGATGGTGAGTCTGTTTCCTTGCGCTTGAACATTCTCTGATTCATTTCCCTGGCAGCATCTCAAATCGAAGATCCATCTTGGCCAAAATATCAAGTGCCCCTTCTGCAAGGTCGCCTATACAACGGCCAGTGGCGTGACGCACCACCTCGAAACGGGCTCTTGCCCTCGCGCCCCCAAAGCTAATCGTAGAACTCTACGTGATATGATCCGCCAGCGCGATCCTAATGGCATCATTTCCAACAAACTGCTTGAATGGCATCAGGACGAAGATGCACGATACGATATCACCAATCGTGCCTACAACGGTAGTGGCTGGGAGTGCTATCTATGCCACAGGGAGTTTGTTCATAGCCGTGCACTGAATCAGCATCTCAACTCGCCAGCCCACCAGCAAAAGGCTTACCATTGCCCCAATGGCCGATGCGGGAAGCAGTTTGTTACCCTGGCTGCTCTATTCAACCATCTTGAAAGCGAAACTTGCTCTTTCATGCGCTTTGAGCGAGTCCAGCAGGGCGTGACTAGCGTGCTTCGAGGAGACAGGCTTATTGCATTCTAGCGATGCGTGCTTTCATCATTCTGCAGGCAGGAAGATACCCGGCCATTCAACATGACGCCTACTTTTTAATTTTCTTAATTTTTATTTCATTTTTGTTCCTTCGGACGCTGGGGCCAATTTGCTGATAAGGAGACGATCTCGCCTGTAGTACATGATTAGGATGGTAGCATAATGCGAGACGAGATACCGGTTAATCCATATTGAGAGTAGATTTCCAATGTGAAATATCAATTATTTTGTTCTTTCTGGTGTAGTGGACTTGTTCCTGGCATGTAGCCATAGACTTTTGTAGGATTCTACCTTGGTCACTAGTCTAGCGGCGTAGGACCTCCGACGCCACACTCTATACTAAGATCTTCTGTTAGGTACACTGGGTAGGCGTTTTGTACAGGTTTTATTAATCACGACCCTATTTCCACAAGATCGCGCACATACTGCTCCGCCAGTTCCTTGGCCTTCCTTGTCCTCGCTTCTCGTAGATCAACACTAAGGTATTGAGCTGTTGAGCATGTCGGGATCTCCCACTCCTAGTTAGTGGATTGAACACTGGGAAATCCTCTGCTTCAGTATACATTAGATCCAAAAAGTGGCGAATCCTTCATTAGATCCTAAGCAGACTATCCTATACTTCGTCATGGTCTAGGGCTTGTCACGTGCCAGCCTTATCAGGACCCTTCCTAAAGCGGCCTAGCGTCGATCAGCCCTCCAGCAGCTGTTGCCGCGAGCGACTGACCGAGCTTCGTCACATCTTCCTCTCGCTGGCTGGTCCTGGCTGCACTCTTGATTCGCGACCCGCTCGGTTTACCATTCTCCCCTGGCGTCTCATGCCCAAATTGCTCCCATCTCTCACTCTACCTCCCACCCGATTCACCTCCGACGAATCCCCCAGATTCCCTCCGCGCGCCAACCGACGTGTCTAACCCCGACCCATTGCTGCCCACCGGTGACCATGGCGACGCAGGCGGCGTTGATCGCAGATACCATCGTGGGCATGAAGCGGGCCCTCCGCAGAGAGCGCGACGGTAAGTGAAGAGGCAGACTTGTTTTTTGCTGCTTCCAGGTCCGAGTTCTGATTGTCCAGTGGTTACAGACCCTCCCCCCGATGACCCCATCACCCAGCCGACGAACCGCGGAAACAAATTGCGGGCAAATGCGAAATATGTCCGTGAAGGAGCAATGGGCTATATCCACGGCGAGGATTTGTACAAAGAGGTGCGTGCAATTGACTTGTTACTCCTCCCATAGCGGGCTTTTTACGTTCCCGGACCCCGTCCGCTGTGGCGATTTGTCGAGTAACAAAGCTAACACCCAACTTTTTTACTTCGATAGAAAATTGAGCATGCTGGTTACACGCGTTATATCCTCCAACGGAATCCGATACGCTACGATTCTGAAGGTGAAGAACTGGATGAGGACGACGAAGATTCTGAGGCCGATGCAGCGGCTGCCGAAGAAAACCCATTCTCGGGGATTGCGCTTGAGAGTCAGTGGTCTCCTTCTATCAATTGTATATAATACTGACTCCTGTTTGTTTTCCAGCCCTCCTCTGTCCCCTGAAATACCCCTCGGAGCTCCCTACCCATCCCTCGCTTTCTCAACCGTACACCTCCCAGGCTCTCGAGCAGATGACAATGGGTGTCGAAGCCAAGCTCCGCGAGGAACGTGCCTTGCTCTGGCGTGCCAGGAACCTACATCAACAATTCCTTGGTGATGGTGGCTGGATGCCGTGCGGTGCGATCGAAACTCCGGAAGATCGATGGATTTTTGAGCCGAGAATTGTCGATGAACATCAGAGTGCATCGGGCAGCGGATATGGTTTGGGTGGGCCCGAAACACCTCTGACTACTGGAGAGAATAATATGCCGCAAGACGGAGTGACGTCGGCGACGGCGTCTGTCCAGGAACCGCAACGGGATCCTGCGGATGCCGATGTGGAGATGGCGGAAGTTCCAGCACCGTCTGTGGAGGCACATGCAAACAATGGCACTTCGGAACAAATGAAAGAGCCCAAGGCGGAGGAGGCAGATGCGACGGTCAAGGATCTTCCACAGCATACCGAGGCCGCATCTGGTTCTGCACAGGAGAAAGACTCAGCGAGTGGTCCCGCGGACCAAGACACAACCGCAAACTCCGGCGGGAACCCGTATGAAATGGAAGTGACCAAGGATAACGGTACCGCAGATGCGGAGGCCGCCCGTGGACACGCGCATGAGGATGAAATGGAGCAAGACGCAGAAATGCACGACGGGTCATCACCGGAGCCACCGCGTCGTATGACAACCCGCGCGCAGACCAACGCAGCAAATCCACAAGCCGAAGATGGCCAGTCTCCTTTCTCTTCAGCCGACACGACCGGCTCCCTGCCAACACCACATCCACTCTTCCTTATCCCAGAAAATGTCCGCCCAGACGCCAACTTCGGCCTACCAGCCACCGAGGCGGAAGAAACACGACGCCTGCTCTGGTCCTATATCCAGAAACAGGAAGAGACAGTTCGCGGGTTCGAGCACATGCTGGAGTCACTTCTGCGTGCTTGCCATATGAAGGCAGATGTCCTGGAATGGTCCAAGGCAGAAGGTCACGTCGGAGAGATGAGCGACGGCGAAGACTGGTACGATCGCGAGAAGTGGGGGCTCGCTGAGGGCGAGGATCTCAAGAAGGGCACGGATGAGGACGATGTCGAGACCGTGGATGACAGTCGCACAACCGCGAAGCGCAGCCGTCAGCGACGCGCTTGATCTCATTGTCCCGCTTCTCTTTGTTGATGATGACCTGTCTACCTCATTCCGATGTACCTTTTCCATTTCCTCTTCTCTTGATGCGGCGTCATTAGCGTGGTGTTGGTGGTATTTTCTTCTTCTTTTTTGTCCTGTCTTCTTAGTCTTGCATTGACTGCTGTCTTGCTGGTCTGTGGCGTCTTCAATACCCTCGCAGGATAACTGTCCACTCTACAAGAATCGTTCGTGTATTGTTCTACTCTATCTGTTACAGTTGTATAGATGAATCTACTTAAATTGGTTCAGAATTCTCAATGTCCTAGGACTATTTACAAGACAATGATGCAACCGCATTGCAATTCAAAGGGCCTGCTTGCGTGATGCCTCCATTGCTCTCATCACGACCGAGGCCGGACTGCAGAGCCCAGTGTGTTTCACGAAGTTTGCCCGAACTCCCAATCCCAGGAACTCCCATCCATCCCGTCTTTTGGCAGCGTCTTCGGGATCGCAATTCACAACCACGTCGCCTTAAGCTAATCAGCATCCTGCATTTGAATGCTCAATGACTATGTACCTGCCCCGCGAAGCGTAGACCGACCAAAACGAAAAAGGCACCACTCTGGATGGCAACCGAGGCTTTTCTTTGCATGATGGAGAAATGTTACTATTTCTTTCTGGAGGAGGTAAAGACGTCTTTGAATCTCCAGTTCTGACGTCTGCTTCAACGCTCTGCTTGCCATCTTTGGCGTCGGAGCTGCGACCTTTAGTTGATGACGGTCCTTTAAGAATGTCTCTGGTGGATGAATTCTTGTTAAAGTTCAATTCCTCCAACTGGAGGCTCTTTAAATACTGATGGGTCCGCCTTCGACCTGCTGGGCAAGATTGCTAGGCGATTCTCTGGGAAGATTTTCTTTCATGGCAAAGCCAGGCCCCAACCTTTGGTCATGTTCATCGGTAACCGGTGATGATGGTGGAGGACGCGGGGTTGGAAGAGGTTGTGATCCCCAGATTTGGGAAGGAGAATCGATTATCTCTCGATAATATTCATCGTCAGCTGTTGTAGTCCATGCTTTAGAGAAATTCATATTGGGGGTATCTCAGCAGCTCCACCACTCTCATATGATCGTTGCTGGCAGCTTCGTCCAATGGTGTATTGCCTTGGTGGTCTGTTGCATTAATATCAGCCCCGAGTCGGATCAGCGCCTGCACCACTGGAAAGTTTCCTTTGCCAGCAGCTTCATGCAATGGTGTTTTCCCCTGGTCGCTCAGTTCATTGACATGCGCACCGTAGCCAACTAGCTGCTGTACTATTTGGCCGTATCCCTGGTTGGCAGCCGCATGCAATGCTGTTCTGCCTTGCTTATCTTTGGCGTTGATATTGGCACCGCGTTCCATCAGGTGCTGTGAAATCCCGAGATGGCCTTTGGTAGAAGATTCAAAGAGTGCTGTTTCGCCTAGAAAGGTTATCAGGTTGATATCCGCGCCGTAATCGGTCAATAGTCGCGCAACGGCTTCATATCCATAGCTTGCAGCTGCAATCAGAGCTGTTTGACCAGTGATATCCTTCAAGTTGACATCTGCGCCTTCGCTGATGAGCAACTTCGCCATGTCAATGTTTCTATGGCTAGTTGCTGCAATCAGTGCGGTTGTACCATTGTTATCTTTCAAGTTGACATCAGCGCCTTCGCTGATGAGCATCTTCGCCATGTCAATGTTTCTATGGCTAGCTGCTGCAATCAGTGCGGTTCTACCACTGTTATCTTTCAGGTTGACATCAGCGCCTTTGCCGATGAGAATCTCCACCACGTCGATTTTTCCTTCGCCAGCAGCTGCAATTAGTGCGGTGCTACCACCGACATACTTCGAGTCGAAAAACCCTTCTTTAGTAGCTACCAAGAGTGCCGCTGGATCGATTTTAGTCCCTGCATTGACATCTGCTCCATGGGAAATTAGCAGCTCCACCATTACGGAGTGCCCTCCTTCAGCAGCTATCCACAGTGGCTGGAAGCCGTCGGCATTCGGCACATTGACATCCGCACCATGATCAATGAACACTCGTCCCGCCATGTCATGTCCTTTTTCAGCAGCTATCCATAACGGTGTCTCGCCATCGACCGTTCGTGAATTGACATAGACACGAGCTGTTTTGCAGAGTATCTCTGCAATGACAGGATTTTTGTTACCAGCTGCATAGTGTAATGGCGTTTGGCCCCAGCTGTCCGAGACATCAGGGTCTGTGGCACTGCTAAGGAGGTATCGCGTAAGGTCCTTAAGGTCAAAGTAAACTGCCAGATGCAGCGGCGCAATCCACATAACAGGCTTTTCTTTGCGGCCCCATATCATAACCTCTTTTCTTGGAGGCAGCTTGAGTGCTTGGCATGCTGCCTCGAACTTGGGTTTATCTTGAACAAAGCTGGCAACTTCGGTTGATTCCCCACCTTCGCGAACATGATGGCCCCAGTTGTGAGCTGCATAGTCGTAGAAAGGATTCGATTTCAGTCGTTCCTCAAGGTCAAAGTCTGTCGAGCAGGGTCCGCTTTCAAAATCCTTCGACGAGAGATAGATCATGCACGCATCAGCAATATGGGCGTGATGATTGCCCAAAAGATTTTCCAGGTATTTCAATGCTGAAAAATGGCAGAGATGAAGGATTCCTCTTTCGTCCACTTTGACCAATCCAATACACGCCGAGATCAAGTTTCTGATGGATTGAATATTGGCTTTATCCAGCTCTTGTAGTGGCTCATTGATTGCACACGCCTGTCGAAGCTCTGATTCAGTCAAAGGCCTTCTCGCGTGAGAAACCCAGAGCAGAATCTTTCGAGCCAGGGCTTGGTGATGTGAACTCTGACTGTTGACTCTTTCCATGACAGCTTTCCATACCGGTTCTAAGACCTCTGTGGTTGCAATATTTCGCAATCTTCCTTTTAAAGAATGTCCTAGGAACGCACGAGACTTAAGTTGTTTCAAGAAAAAAGGTCCCAGCGAAAACCTTGTGAACATTAGACAAAGATGTCTTGAGCTTGGATAGCAAAGGGGCATAATTGGAAACATACATTCCCTGACTTGACTGTAAAATTTGATCCTTGATCTCTTGCAGTAAGACCGGATCCTGTCGAACAAGCTCTACTCGCTTCGGGAGGTGCTCTTCGATATATCTCGCTATGTCTTCGTCCGAAGCGCGGATCTCCAATATTCTGCCTTTAGAAAACGCATTCATCGCGGCAGATTGGACTCTAGACGTTGCAAAGACCTTGACTTTGGGCCCTTTTGGACGATCGAAAATCGAAGACAAAAGCTTCGATAATGCCATGTCATCATTGGAGCATTCATCGAGAGCGTCAACAATGATATAAACGCTGTTATAGATGGAAAAAACGGACTGTAGTGCGTGTGTTAGTTGTTCGTACTGAAGTTGCGATTCTTTGTTTTTGTGCAAGTTGTAAAGTGTCATGACGCTGCTTGGCAGCCTAGGCAATGGTTGAGTGAGTTGCGCCAGGAGACTAGAAAGGTAGTCTTGAACTGAACGCATCTCAAAGCAATTGAAATAAACGTATGCAATGCCACAATCCTCGCTATATCGATATCGCATGTTGAGGTGATCTATGACAGCCGAAGCAAGAAAAGTTTTGCCTGACCCAGGAATGCCTAGACAGAGCATGGTTGTTTCTCTCTCGTGTTGCATCCATGAATTGAATTCTCGGGAATCTAAAAACCACTGGCAAGTTCCTCGCTGTCGGGACGCAGAGATGTCATGGTGTCGGCGGCCATCGAAGTGGAGAGGCATGAGCCACCTCCGGACTGCATCATGCTCTCGGTCCTTGGTGTCCTGTTGCGAATTATCTAGAAGCGAATGCTTACGCTTCACTTGCGCCACCAACTCTGCGATTTCGCTTGGCACGTCAGCGCGAGAGTCCAAATAGTACAAAGCTGCATTTTGAACGGATAGAGGCTGCCCGTCAATGAGAGTCGCCATTTTTTCCATATTATTTCTGGATATTGATGATTGCCGGCCCATAGCATGGATAGCCAACTCTCGCCAAGCAGGATTGGTATCATTCACCCAAATTTCTGGCTCTTGGACTGCCTTTCCCGGCCATGGTGCACCAGGATGCCAGGAATTGGCCTTCATATCGTTGCGCAACAAATATAACATGGCATCTATGCGTGGTCGCCCAGGTTTTCGGGACAGGTTGCTAGTGTTGCTGCGCACGCGCCAGTGCACACCTATGTGGACGACCAACAAAAGAATTCTCCAATCCTTTGAAAGCCTTGGGCCATCATCAATGTCAATAAAATCATGCGGTTCAGCCAGCTCAGTTGTCCACTTATCCACCAAGTTTCCGCCATCTAGAGTTAGACGTGAATCATGATCAATGCTCGAAAGTCGAGAAGCAAAGTCTGTGACCGACAGTTTTTGGGGCTCAGCAGCGATTGAATCATTTTCGTTCTCATATAAGCCGGTAAGGTCGATCAAATCTATCTCTTGGGGCGCGGCTGTGTCTGTTTGCCCGGTTCGGTCGGATGGTCGTCCGCTAGACACCATATCCGACGCTTTGATGTCATTCCTAGAGGGAAGCGCCAGCAAAAATGCTTGCTCAAGATGATTGGCTAGATGTTTCTGAAGCGTGATGTCTGATGGTTGCTCGGATAAGCAAACAAAACACCAGTTTGGCAATGTGGATGGCTGTCTGGATTTATGGACGATCTCAGCAGAAGTAGACTGGTCAATATCGGGATGGTGGAGATTTAAGTGTTCTTGGAACAGCTCTGCAGTGTCAAAGAAAAGCGATTGTTCCGCAGAATCGGGCTTAGGATGCAGGGAGCATAGCAAGGGTTGGTCGTGGGGTTCACTCAAATGAGCTTGCCAGTCTTTGAAACTTCGATAGGTCTTGCCGTGTTGGTCGCAATTCTGGAACAGGCAGATGTAAGGTTGAAGGTCTTCTAAAAGGTGCTTCCTCCATCTTCGGGACGTCTTCTGGGCCGAATGGGACGAGAATGTTTTAACCGGATACACCAGACAACAGTACGGGCACATTTTCTCCTTTTCTCTAGGGCCAAACTCTGGTGCAGGAGGTGTTTCAAATGGACCTCCAGATTTCAATCCTCCAAAATCAGTTGATGAGGCTGCCGATGATGGTGCAGCCGTTGAAGGAGATAGTCGGAAAGCTATGGATTGGAATTCGGAACCGATTGTCTCGCTTGGAGCTTCATCCTCAGTTTCTTGAACTGGATGCATTAGAGCTGCCCCGCCGATATTTGGCTGCGAAACCACCCGTGGTGCAGATGTCGAGTGCAAACTTTGAGAAGCCGCCCTTGCTGGCCTTGGAGTGGGAGAAAAATTGGCCTCGGTGTGCTTTCCAAGCTTAGCTTGATGTCTTTGGAAATAGGTTAGTTGGCGCCTGCGAACGGAGATTGTGGCAATGCATCTTTCGAGCATAAGCTGACGATATTTCTTCTGGTCTTCATTGAGATTCTCGTCTTCAACGGTGCTCAACCACCTGTACTTCAAAGCCCTTCGCAGAAAATCGTCAAATCCGACAGTGACTTCGAAACGAACTGGTGGGACGGGCTTTTGCTCGATATGGTTGACATTTGTGATCTCTCTGACCACTGCATGTGCTCCATCCGTATCATAGAGGGTTGGCACTTTCATGAGAGAATTACGATTGCTGGCTCTTCGAATTGCGAGCGAGAGTTGGTGGAGTGTGCCGATAGTCTCTTCTGCGGACTGCAAAGATGCAAGTCGTACGTCAACATCGGCCAATGGATCGAAAATCCCAGACCCAAAATTGATGACATCTCGCGGACTAGCCTCAGCAAATGCATCAATGATCTCCTCGGGGAGATCTTCCTGGCCGGTAAGAGCGGACAGAAGTTGTATGCACAGAATCTCAAGATTCCCGTCCACTGCCGCTTTCGCATTTCGTGCAGTCCGAAGTCGATAATCTAAGGAGGCCTGGCGGGCGGAGAACACACCGATATTCGACGCCCATAACTTAAATCGGCTTAACTGGGCCCCGACGAAGCGCTTGGGTTTGTCTGAAAAATTCTCCTGGCAGCACAGCAGCAGTTGCCGCGCTCTCTCTGCTGTGTCTGCGATAGATGAAGCTGGGTCTTCCATAGCTGAGGTGATAAGCCGCAGGGCTGCGAGGAGAGTTGGTGAGAAAGGGAAGATGAAAGGAGCGGCTAAGATGCCCCACTCCCACTAAAGCTGAGTGAACTATGCACGAGTAAAGAACAATTACAAACGGACCGAAAGCAGTATAGTACAGCTATTTATTGGGCTATTGTTTGAAAATACATAGAACCTTATAGTATATATAAATCCTAGATACGTATTACCTGAGCAGATCGGACATGACTGTCTCAAAGGTCTTCAGGTACGAAGATCTTACAGGCCTCCCCTTCCTCCTCCCCTTCTTGAACGGTTACGCCCAAATCATCTTCTTCGTCCTCATCTAGGTCCGGTCCAGTCCGTTCAAGTACTGTCTCTGTGTCAATGTCCTTCTTGGCCAGCATAGCGCCATCCACGTATTCTTTGTGAACAACCCTTCCCTTCAAATTCACCCGGATCTTCTCAACCTCGAACGCAAAGACAATGGGACCCTCAATAGTCCGGGTATGCTTGCTGTAGTTGCTCGAGTTGTGTGAACCTTTCGGTCCGATAGATACGCCCGCCGCCGGGATCTCCGCGCCGATATACCCTCTCGTCTCTTTGGTCTTTTCTTCGATCGTGGTAATGGTGACATTGGAAACGGTCTTGATGCCAGTGATCATAAAGACTTTCGCTCCGAGTCCGCCTATATCGAGGTAGTTTTTCACCTCTGGATCCTCCGCAGCCTTGGTGATATATGCAAGGGACGGGGTGAACCTGCGGGTGGTCATTGAGTGGCACGAGTAATCAACCTGGATGGTGGAATCTGAAGAGAACAAGGCCCCCGCGCCAACCGAGACCACATGGAGAAAGGTCGCAAATAGCCCAGCACTCCATGATTTGGTCCTTTTGGCCGTGCCGGAGGGATTCTTCTCCGGGATTGGTCGGATCGGCGTGTCAATAAGCGTGGTTAAGGTTGGTCCCGAGAGCGTGTTAAGTGGAACTCTGGGGCTCGCTACCACGCTTCCGAGTGCCACCTCGTCCGGGTGAATGTTCCACGCCGGCACCAAGAAGTAGGACTTTCGCAGGGAAGCCATGAAGAGAGCAAAGTTCCGTTCACCAATTAGTCCGTTCGACTGAACTAGCCAAGGCGGGGCATGGCCTCAGCCGTGCACGTGATGCTGTATGGCTTGCTTCCTCTCTGGCTTTTCTCTTCCTTGTCTGACACATCCGCCTTTCATGCCATCGGTGTCGCCATGTCAATCGAGGGCGCGTTAGCTCCGGCCCATAGGGCTAGGACTCTGAGCCGCCCTCTGGAGCGGCGGCTGCGCCTCCTCAAATCCGTACTACCATCACTGGAATCGGCTGCCGGGAATATGTATTACGCACCCAGGAGGAAAAGGTTCGGCCAGGATAAGGCAAAGCAATTCTGGGCTAAGTTTTTGGCCCCTTGTCTTCGGATGTCACCAAATGGATGGAATTTCCACAACCTTAATGACCAGCATGATGAACTTGTCAGTCGTTTGCTGGAGCGTCTTGAAAAGACTGTTTCCATCGAAAAGTCGGCGATTGCGGAGGTAATAAGAAGTCCGCATTATACTTTGTTTTGTTTGTAGCTAACTGAGTCTTAAGGAGTTTACATCGTCGACCTTTCCGCAGCTGGAGATGCTGAGAATCTGGACGCGAGAGACTCCCGGGGATTCCGAGGACACCGAGGACACCGAGGACCTATTCGCTGGCCATTGGAATATTCTCGTACCAACTGACCAGCTGATCTGCAAAGACCTTATCGCTTTACTTGATGAGTTTGCCGATGCTCTGGAGGGGTTCAGCAAGCCACCTCCATCCGAAGAGGTGGCGCCAGTGGTTTCAAGGCCGCGGCTATCAATCGCTCCGCTTCTCCTCAAATTGTTTTCCACCATTTCAGCGTACTGTCGCTGCTCGTGTAGTCACCAGGCCATGTTACTGCTCTGTACTCGTCGGTCTTTGCCCCAAGACATCGATTTTCACTCCTTCACCATGCTTCTAAGCCGCAAACATGGCAGAGGCAGTCCTTGGCAAGAAACAAAAGTGGCCATCCGAGAGCAGATGTGAGTAAATATTCCACTATTTCTTGTGATTTTGTGGCTGATCAATCTCAGCACTCGGCCAAAACCTCGTTTTATGTTCTCCGAGCCCTCGCGTTTACCAGGGAGAGGCCAAAGCCCCACGGATAGCTCGCCTGAGCATGTGAAGGATCTTTGTATTACTATGCTTAGTCTCACAGCATCTCGTTTGCATCTTAATATCGAGGGCCAATCCCTCTTTAAACTCCCCGAAACAGACCCCGGGATTTCAGAGCTCAAGAACGTCGAATCTGTGAGCCTTGCAGAGGGACTGCTGAACAATGATACCGAGCTCGATATCGACAGCAAGACATGCCTTGCCGTTGTTCTGTCTCATTCGCTGCTTGACTTTTGTTGGGAGCCATGGTTCCCAAATGGATGGTCGAGATCTAGCATAAAGCTACTCCAAAATAGCGAGAGACTTTCATTACGCCCGACCCTAGCGACCTCTCTCCGTTCTCGTTCAGAAGATCCTTCTTTACCCACGATACCCAATGACCTCAAGCTGCTCTTCCACGGAATCCTCTTGATGGAGATATTCAAGCAGGCAGAAATATCTCTTGCCATGAATCATAGAGACATGATCAACGACATTGAACATTTCCGGATGATCGCTCGAAAAGAGTTTGACCAAATAAATTGGGCCGTCCATGAAGGGTTCAGGCAGTCGGTGACAGCTTGCCTCGATGGGATTCCAGAAAACAGACTGGATCCTTCAGAAAATGCGGAAGAATCATTTGCCACAAACTTCTGCAAGGCAATCATTAGTCCTTTGGAGAGGGACTTTACTTCTCTTTGGGGAAAGAAGGATCCCGACCAGGTTTTGTCAGGAATTAGTCTTCCCACTATTAAATTGCGCAGTATTCCACCCAGGAAACCTCCTCCAAGACCAAAGCCTGATCATTTGAAGGTAATTCCTTTTCTCGGTGGCATGTTTAATGCGATATGCTCATGCTCTCCTACAGATGAAATTCTCAAACCCATTTATGTGTTCAAGGCTCAATCATCCTTCAGTCCCTAGCTGGTCTACTTCATACGTGCGTGGTTCAACTAGTGGACCACTTCCATTCAAGTTCTTCGACACTGACGACAGACCCGAAGAAACCCAGTAAGTCCTATGCACATCGTTAATCCACCAATCCCGATCCAACTAACCTTATTTTATCTGGACAGAACTAAGAGGGCCAAAGAATGGTTCCAGAGATATGACCGGGCCTTCCAAGCTCAACAAAAAGCCCTGCCAATCAAAGGTAAGGGCATTACGGTTGCCATTTTAGACACGGGTATCAACTTGCAAAATAAGTGGATCTCAGCGAAGATTGGTAGAATCAAATGCTGGCCTTCAAGAGCTTCTTGCAACGACACTGACGGTCACGGTACTCATGTTGCCTACTTGCTTATGAGGCTTGTGCCTAGTGCAAACATCCGAATTGCCAAGATCAGCGACTCACAGCTACTTAACGACGACGACATCATTCAACGAATTGCCAAGGTAAAGTATCCCACCGCGAAACATATCATAGCAACTCTAATACCTCCTGTTCTAGGCAATTGAGCACTTTTCTTCCAAAAGTGGAGATCCCGTGGACATCATCAACCTCTCCTTTGGTTTCCCAGAATACAATGACAGACTTCAACCTATACGCAAAGCACTTCTTCAGGCACAGCAGAATAACGTGCTATTGTTTGCCGCGGCGGGTAATGCAGCCGGTAATGAGGGGGTATACTGGCCCGCCAGTATGGAAGTCGTGACCCGCGTCAACGCCGTTGACGGCGATGGGAATGTGGCTGGCATTAGCACAACAGGTGGAGAACTGCGACCCATCTTCACGCTAGGCGAAGGAGTGCCATCATGCCAGTTGAACTCGTCCAGCAACGAGGTAATCTATCGGAGTGGCACCTCATTCGCCACGCCCATCGCCGTAGCTACTGCGGCTATTGTGTTGGGATATATGAACGACTTCAACGAGGCAGTCGTCCCGGAGGACGTTGAGTCCCTGAAGAGTCGGCTGCGTACGAAGTCAGGGATGGAAGGGGTGCTCCGTGAAACATGTGTCTTGCAGGGGCCGATGAAGAGGACGGACATTGCATACATTGCCCCTTTCTCTTTTTCTTAACATCGAAGCGTCAAGCCTTGTGGGCATTATCACTAATGCTCTGAGGACTTGTGCCGGATGATTCTGTTTATGCTATATACCCTTGGTTTTTTTTGAAGCATTATTTTTGGCGAGCTGCATCTTCATGTCATTCTATTTTTGCTTGTTGTGATGCCATTTGGGATATGCCCTGTGCCTTCCTCGAGGTCGCTGTTTCCTCCATGGGCCCGAAGTTAAGACTTCTCCCGGCTCGGGGGCAGTGAGCCTCATCCCGACTGTGTTTTCTTGGTTATATGATCTTTCCCGGAGGCATAAAAAGCAATAGCACATTTTGCAATCAACTTGAGATGTGATGAAAAGCATAGGCTCCAATGAAGGTCTTACTTCAATTGAGAAAGCAATGTCTAATCTACAGTAATCTATCTCTAGCCATCAGGTGAGATTTATACAGACAGTCGCACTGGGTGAACAGATCATAATCTTTTTTGAGTCGCATAAGGGAATATAACAAAGGGCCTCTACTTGAGCCCTAATTGTGCACCAGCAATGGCTACCGTCTACGGCTCCAGCATCGTTGAGAATTCGGGTGCATCCGTGTGCTGGATAGATGTCCTCTGGGTCCGTGAATCTGGTTCCGGATTAAATCAGCGTCTTCGGTGACTTAGCCGCTCTTATATCTCGGTCTCGCTGCAGATTATCATGCACGGATTGTGGATGTTGAAAGTCCCAGGTAATCCTGCTATGTATACATGGCGTTTACTGCTTCTTGCCGCCCCTCTTCTTGGCGCGTTCACGCTCACGCTTGGCGTAGATCTCAGCAGTGAAGGGACTGGGAGGTTATTGTCAGCTGTCCATGATTCCAGTGAGAAACGCATAAACTTACTCCTCCCACTTAAGCGCAAACCAGTACAAGACGAACACCTGGGCTGTCAAGAGAATACCGGCCACCTTGCCCTTGTACAGAGCAACGCCCAGGAAGTTCAAGGTGCTGCCCCAGTACATGGGCGAGCCGGTCACATTGAAAGGAAAACCGGTGACGGGTGCGTCCATCAGGATGCCGAAGTAGTCACCCAGGTAGGTACCAGTCACACCGAGGGCCCACATGCTGGAAAGAACGAGGATGGAGCCAGCGGCGAACAAACCGGCGCCGATGATGGGCTGGTGCACGGGGGCATAGAAGGGCTGGTCGTCGAGGGCGAGTTGGTAGACATGGTCGCGCAGGATACCCAGGGAGAAAATGGTGAAGGCGAGGACGTAGCAGCCATTGTATGCGCCACCGAAGATGCGGGTCATGAAATGGTTGCGGTACTCTGCAGCAAGCATCAGTATATAGAGGCACTGGTGCACGGTCCCGTGGTGTCTGCGAACACCTCGGGTAAGGCAGACGAACCGGCGCGGGCGACGATGCTAGAGAAGACGCTTGGTTAGCTTTCTCTACCAATTCAAGATGTCGTGACAAATCACACATACTTCCAGAAAATGGGGTTGAACGCAATGCTTGCCGCGGACCCTGGCAATCGGTCAGTCAATTATCACATGCGAAATGCCGATGTTGGCTTGCGGGGGACCAAGGGCGACGTACAGAGCAGAGGCTTCGAGGAAAAATCGACGAAATCGGTGAGACTGGCCATGATGTCTTGGGCCCGAGAGCAGGGTGTAGGTAGCGAGTGAAGAGAAACAAGAAACAGAGAGGGGAATATTAGATCAACAACTCGCTTGGCTTAAGTAAACAAAATGACGTTCGGTCACGGGATCCGTCCCTTCGCTGGCAGCTCTAGCTCACGTTGGACCTTCAACACACACCTTCTCGACATCCCTCGGTCTGGCTTGTTCTTCTCCTCCTCACACACCCTCCGTGACCGATATCTCTCACAACCCGAAGCTCTGCGCATTTTCCACGAGCATGCTACGCCCAGCTCTGTTCCTTGCATGAACCGCTTCGCCTGACCGCCATGGGCCGTGCAGTGTTCCTGCAGGACTGGGGAGAATGGCCCTCAAACAACGTGATCTTGTTATAGCTGGTATTGTCGGGTTCGTCGCGTGGGGTCTGGTGGTCCGCTGGCTGCCGATCCTTCGGTATCTGGGATATGCTCTGACGCTGGGCGCTGTGCTTTCTTCTGTGTCTCTGCTCGGCCTGGTCATCGTGACTGCGCGGAAACAAAACGACCACCGCAAAAACACCAAAAATGTTGCCGTGGCATTCATTACTCCTCAAAAATGGCGAAGAGATGTGCTTCAGGTCCGCCGAAGTGCCCAATACAAACCTCGGCCACTCTACCCGCAATCTTTTGTCGTGTCTGAAGGGATCGATGAGCTTTTGTCTCTTGTGACCAGGGACTTTGTTTCTTCATGGTACCACAACATCACCCCAAGCCCGGTGTTTGCGAACGAGGTCGACCGGGTAGTACGGGTTGCACTAGAGAATTTTCGAGATAGGTTGTTTGCTGAGGATATGATTTCGCTGATAGTGTCACGAGTGTTTCCTATCCTGACTGCACACCTGAAAGATTTTGACATTGCCGAGCGAGCAGTTCGAGGGCAGAAACTGAACCGAAATGTGACGGAATCCGAGGAGCTGGACCTGGCGATCGCCAACAAGTATCGCGATGGCCGCCTCCATGCGGCAGTTGGTCTGTCATTCTCAGACCGAAAGGTTGTTCAGCAAGAATACCTGCGGAAAATAGCTGTTGCGCTTCTCCCGCAGTTGTTTCCGGAGAACGTCCTCAAGAGTCGGATAGTGTCTGTTTTGATTCGTGAAATCATATCATGCGGAATCCTCTTTCCAATTATGACACTTTTGTCTGATCCAGATACCTGGAATCAACTGATGGAAGCTTATGGACGCACTACCCTGCAAGATCGGAAGACAGTGCGTAAGCTCCGAGCAGCCTTGGATGAGCATGCGTCGCCTTTACCCAAATCCAAACGGGGACAACCGTTTCCACGCCTCGGACCACATGACTCAGAACGAGATTTTGAGCGATTTGTTCGGGCTATTAGGCGTTCTAACAACTTATCGGATGCACGCCGGTTCCGTGCCCTCGTTGCTAGCCAGCTAAAACAGGAAAGCATGATCGAGGGACAGGACCCGGTCTATCTGAAACGCCTTGAAACGGGGAAGAGAGTCCTCGATCAGAAAGTGACCAAGCTGTCCATGCCTGGCGAAACATCTCGAGTTCGTGCTGCTGCGACAGATATCCATCACGACTCCAAGTCCGCTAAACAAGAATCCTCTTTGGTTGATGTGATGCATCACGCATCCGGCCTATCATATTTCATGGAATTTATGGACCGCCAGCGACTGATGTCGCTTGTTCAATTTTGGATTGTGGTCGATGGGATCCGGAATCCACTGGAGGACGACTTCGGAGATGAAACGCCTTCAACCTCTGTCACCTGGACGACGGCTGACCGGAACGACCTGGCGCTGATCAGCGAGACCTACCTTGCACAGCCGGAACTCAAGGTCTCCAAGGACTCTCATCAAGCCGTCAAAGCTTTCTTGGGTGCTGGGAAACGTGCGACGCCGGAACAGTACCGCAAAGCACGGACGGTTGTATTGACTACTCAATCGGCTGTTCTTGAAGAGCTACAGAACATCTACTATCCAAAGTTTAAACAATCTGACTTGTATTGGAAATACCTGGCGTCGGATGAAGTTTCGGCCTCAGCCTCGCAGGCACTCCCGTCTCAACCATCAGTTGTGTTTGAAGCGCCTGAAAGACGACCCTTACCTCCTCTGATGGAGCGCACAACCTCCCAGCCGAGCCACAAACCTTCCAGAGATCTTCGACGAGCTGCTGTCTCGTCCAGTGACGTGCGGAGTATGGGGAAGCTGTTCAATGATGATGAGTTACCCAGACGATCAGTTGACTCGGAGCGGGCCTTGCCTCTGTTCGACGATGATTTGGACGCTGATAATCTCGCCATGTCAACTCAGAGTCTTGGCAAGGACTCCCAAGACGGCGACAATGATGCAACTCACAGCGAGGTTTTGCAAACGATGGAGGCCGCACTCAACGACATCATCACTAATGAGCCCCAAAACGGCAGTGATGCTGCCACCTCTTCTTTATTCGGACCTGAACACCCTCTGCCTTCTCCTCGGAACTCATCAGATATTTCCCGAGCAGATAACCGCATAAATGAGAGGCTGAAGCCCAGCATTGCATCTTTGGGTCTGGTCGGACATGCATCGCGGCTTGGTGTATTCGACGATGACCTTTTTCCTGACCAACAAAAATTTCTTGAAGATGAATACGAAGAACCGGATGGCACGGAAGGCAAAGATCCAGCAGATGAAGTTCACGAAGCTGAGCCGGGAGATCTTGGTCTCACTGAAGCGGTCGAGGGGCTTACTGTTGACATCGAAAAGCTTGCAGCTCAAGACTCCGTGGTGGACGCTTTGATGCGGAAGGCTGAATTGACGAACAACACCGCGGAGCTAAGAATTTTACGTAAATCCAAGGCCAGCATCGAGCGGGAAATCCACCGGAAGGAGATGCAACGCCAACAGTACATTGTCCAAGAAAGCGACAATAGTTTGTACGGCCGCTCGACTGTCCGGATCAAGTCCATTGTTGTGGGCAAGGAGGAAGATGGCCGCGAGTTTGCAATGTGTATGTGCAACTCTGCTGTTACTCACCGTACCCAAGCTAACGCATTGTTTAGACGTCGTTGAAGTCCAACGAAATGCCGGCGAGCAGATACCCGCCGCTTCTTGGGCTGTTGCCCGTCGGTACAGTGAATTCCATGAGCTCCACCAGAAGCTGCGCATGTCATACCCTTCTGTCCGAGACCTTGAGTTCCCCCGTCGGCGGGTTGTCATGAAACTTCAAAGAGAATTTCTTCAAAAGAGGCGACTAGCCCTCGAGGCTTATTTGCAGAAGCTTCTGCTCCTCCCAGAAGTATGCCGCAGCCGTGACTTGCGCGCATTTTTATCCCAAAGAGCCATCTTGCCACGCGATGAGTCTTCAGCGCGCAGCGGTAGCGAGGGAGAGACCAAGGATCTCGTGACCCGTATCTACAACTCCGTTGCAGATGGAATGGACGATTTTCTGGGTAACTTTGGCGTCCTAGACCAGCTTTCTACAGCTGGCCAGAACTTGATCACCGCCGCGACACATCAAGCCTCCAGCAGTGGTAGCATGGCATCGGATCCGGCCCTTGCCACAGAAGACGCCGTCACCGCTGCCGAAGCCGAAGCTGAGCTCAACGCTTTCGAGGACCGCGAACTCGAGCCCTTCATCAAACCCATCTGCGATTTGTTCCTTGAAGCCTTCGAGCTAAACCGTGGCAACAATTGGCTACGCGGCCGTGCCGTCGTCGTGGTATTACACCAGCTACTCGGTGGCACGATTGAACGCAAGGTCCGCGAAAGTGCCCGCTCCTTTATCCAGGACGACTCTCTTCTGCGATACCTTGCCCTCGCTCGGGACACCATGTGGCCTGGCGGTGTCCTCCGCAAACCACCCGCTCGCTCCGTCTCTGACCGGCTCAAGAGCCGCACCGAAGCTACCGTTGTCTTGGCCACTCTCATCCCCGACCTGGCCGGCAACGTCGTCGGCCGTGCAAATGCCCAGGCAGCTGCGCGTCGTATCTTTGCGACTTTGAACAACCAACCTCTCAATGCCCATCTTACGTTTACGATCCTCGATGAAATCCTTCTGGTACTCTTTGGTGGTCGTGATCCGGCGCGGTCACGGTGAATAGTAATGGATTTCCTTATGTGCATATTTCTGAGGCCCTCTGCAGCAGGTGACAGTCGGCCGAGTATATAGTTATGGGAGCTGGGTTTCTGTCTGTGAATAATGGTATTGTTTATGTGTAATGGTTAATGGAAGGCTGGATTTATTGTATTCAGGAGTTGATGGCTCTATGTAGATTCTGCATAACATTTGTGTTCATAGTAGTGTGCGTTTCCACATAGGAACTTGCGACAAGTCAGAAGCGATGATTATTCCTCTACACATTGTTAAACTGTTGGCTGGAATGGTCACCCTCAACGCTCTTATGTTGGGCCCAACGATTACAAAGCTACTCACTATCGGGTTTACATCAAACTGCGGGCCAACGTTCGCCCGGACTGAGTACATAAAATGGGCTGAAATTATCCTTATGAACCCCTTCTGCAGCCTCATAACGTCAGATAATTGCTCTTTGACAATGCCTACCGGCGGTTGTTTCTGCGGAAAGATCCGGGTTGAATATAGCGGTCAACCCATAACGTCGGTTGGTATATCTCCAAGGAACTGATTGTCCACTGACTTAATCTTATCCTACTTTTTGCCAGGCATTATGCCACTGTCTCGATTGCCGTAAACTTACCGGCGGTCTCTACACCTACAATTTCGTCATCAAAACCGCTGATCTGAAAATCACTGGAAATCCAAAAGAAGTTCCAAAAACATCGGACAGCGGAAATCCTATCAAGAACTATTTCTGCTCAGATTGTGGTACAGTAGTATATGACTAGGTTTGGAAAGGCACTATCTGACGAAATCCCTAGGCACGCCGCTTTACGGAGGGAGAATAAAGTCTAACGGAGCTCCTGAGGAGATAACTATTGTTCGAGCTGGAATATTCGAAGATTTCGGAATTCTGAATCAGCACAAGCCCGCGGCGGAATTATACACCAATGGACGTGTAGAGTGGATTAGTCGTATCGAAGGGGCCGATCAATTTATTGGCATGCCACCAGCCTTCATTCAATGATCGAGCTTTTAAGGGTAAAGCCAGGCTGGGTACGCCTCAGTATGTCATGGAGAGAGCAGGCTTATGTTTAGATCCCACACAATGCTATACATCAATACAACTTGACCGTATGGATCAGTTAAGCCTAGGAGGAATTGAGAGGATCAGTTTCCATGTAAGTCGTACGGCGTAGTATCAGATGTAGGTAATCACGGTAGGACTCATATATTTTTTAGCGAACCGGATAATATGTAACTACCCCGTGTCTTTTTGAATCCAAGACTCTTACAGTTCCTACGCTTCAAGGTCTCGGGGCTGACGTTGATTGTCGATAATCATCGTCACGCCCTCCGAGCAGGCGATTTTAAGGGAAGGAAGTAACCACAGGCACCCGAAATATAATGGAAGGAGGGGAGATGTCTTTAAATAGGACGAGATGGGTTAGGGCTGGAGCTAGGTATCCATTGTTTGCTATATCCACTGACGACAACCAATCAAAGTAGATACACGTATATTCTCATTGAGAAAGGGATTTTTACCGATCGATGTATAAGCTGATCACATGAAGGTAAATGTATCTCCGCCCTTCTCCCGCAGCATATTGGGCACCCTTGACGTCCCCACGATACGCTCCAGCTTCAGCGCATCCCATTTAGAGAACAAAGCCCTGACACCACCACTCTCAGCAACCTCCACCACAGCAGCAGGGTCCAGACCCAGAAATCCCACAATCTCACCATAGAATGCCGGGTTCTCGGGCAGACCGTACATGATGATGCGCCGCACCCCGCGGATTTGGTAGCGACGGAAGTGGTGCGCGCGCTCGCTGTATAGCAGCACGGATTGCCGGCCCGACATGAAGTGGCTGCGGGCTCGCGAAACTTCGCGGGACTCGGTGTACTCGGAGACAGCGCCAAAGGAGATATTGGTGGTTTGGTTCGAGGATGCGAAGTGGTTGCGGATGCGGACAAAGTCCAGGTACGAGGGGATGAATATCATTGTTCCGTTGCTTTTGTTGTCCTTGCTGCGTCCGCCGGCGAGGTTCTTAACCAGCGAGGATAGTACCGTGGTGGTAAAATGCTTGAACCGCGCATCGGGGTCTTTGGCTGGGGATAGGCTGTCGATACGCGAGAATGTCTGCTTGACTGAGACCGGTAGCGGCAGCTCAGTTATGGCGCCGGCGTAGGTCGGGGTGATCTTGACACGACCCGAGGCGTTTTGCATCTGCGATGAGAACAGCGAGTTGATCTCTGGTGTGATGAATGCTGCCGTCACGATGGTTTGGCGCACATATCGGGCCTGGTTGTCCAGATACCAATTGCGCACGCGGCTGAAGTCACAACCGTGTGCTTCTTTGGGCTGCAGATTGAGATGCTGGAATACGTAGTCGACGTGGTCCCAGTTCTGCATGAGCAGGGCATCCGCGTGGTCTACCATCACCACCTCAATTGAAGACAGGAAGTCATGGTCTCGTTTCTTGGCGCTGTAACATGTATTAGTGTTGGCTTTATCAATGTAGGAAGTTCAAACCCTTACTCAGACTGATCCATGATTGTCCGTAGTCCAAGTGGACTTGCCAGGATGATATCCGAATTGTAGAACTGGGCAAAGTACTTGACTGTCTTTCGGGTGAACTTCAATCCTAGCCGGAACATATCGTCGTTGTTGCCGCCAAAAAGCTCTCGGAAATCGTCGCTCTTGTGCTCCCACGTCGAGTCCTCTGGCGCTGAGAACGTGTCCATGAAACGCTTTTTGTTCTCCTGCTGCTCAGCCTGGTAGATCCGAGTGATGGCGTTGACAACTCTCACGCAAGCCTGCCGCGTAGGTAGGATGTAAAGAATCTTGGGGCGCGTGAATCCCTGATCGCGACAGTCGATGTCGGTGTCTGGGTCCTTGGCTAGACGAGAGTTGTTCTTGAGCACCTGATCACGGGTCTTCAGGAGATGGTTGACGGCGTGGAGGGCCATAATGTCTTGTAGGGCACCAGCATCGGATGTTGCACGCGCCCCGAACAGGACGTCTTGATAGTCAAATACATAGGGCGCTAGGTGCTGCGCAGAGCCGGTGATGGCGGGAAAGGCCTCTGCGGCACGAGCCTTGAGTTTGTTCTTGAGCTAAAGGGACATGTCAGCACTGACTTGTTAATCTTGGTGTGTGTCTCCCTACCTTGATATGGGCCGTACTCTTCATGCCTGCCAGTAGTGATACATCCTTGGCATCTCCCGTGTCAGGGACCGTATTCACCAGCCGCAGTGCGCCCGGCAATTCCTTCTTAGCCGAAATCCATTTGTTCGATTTAATCGCCTCGATCTTCTTGGGCAACTCAGATTCATCAGGGAGATTGAAATGTCTCTCAAAAGGGCTGTTGTCGTCGCCCTCGCCGTCGTCCTCTTGGAGATCCTCTTCGTCGTCAGATGGTGCCTGCGCTTGCAAGTCATCCTCCTCGTCAGGTACTTCCTCTTGCACTGGTTGTTGGTCGGTAGTGACTTTTCTCTTCTTCCGCGCTGGTTCTTTGGACTCGGAGATGTTGGTGTTCAGCAGCTGCAGCAGTTCGTTGTACGGGCGTTCGGTCATTTGGTCGTCTTCCTCATTCTCGCTGCTTGAAGATCCCTCATCCATCATGACATCCTCCGGTACCTCGTTGTCCGACTGTTGATCATCGGACGACTCTGATCTGGAATGAGGTCAGCCACCATTCGCGCAGTGTCGTGTAGATAGTCCAACTCACTCAATATCATTGAGACGAGAGGACTCAAAGCCATTGCGACCGGGCAGTCTCCCACCGCGACCGCGGCCACGGCCACGACCACCGCGACCTCGACTTTGACCTCGACCTCGACCTCGACCTCGATACATCGTCAGTTGTTCAAGGAGTGTGCGTGTGAAGCTGAGAAGGTAAAAAAGTGCTCTGGCTGCTTATCTTATCTTAGCGCGAAAATTCCCACACAAAGAAAGAAGCCGGAACAATCAGAGGGCCGAACCGACCAGTCTCCCCTCCAAGAAAATTGCCCTCCAACATTCAACGGCCAGCTCCCCCCGTATCTCACCCATCATGGCCGAAGACTCCTTCCTGCACCTTGCTCGCCCTCTGGGTCCCGTCAGCGTGGGCACCGCCCCGACCACTGCCCCTCTCAATGTGGTCATCCAGCCCCAGGTAGGACAAATCTTGCGACAGATCTTTCCCCATTGTTCATGCTGACACCTATGAAGGCCATCTTCTCGATCCTGGACCACTCGCTCCGCCGCAACGCCGACCAGGAACGAGTGATTGGAACGCTGCTGGGCACACGATCCGAGGATGGAGGCGAGGTCGAAGTGCGCTCCGCGTTTGCCGTGGGCCACTCCGAGGCCGAGGACCAGGTCGAGGTGGACATGGAATATCACAAGCAGATGCTGGCGCTGCACCTGAAGGCGAACCCGCGGGAGGTGCTGGTCGGCTGGTACGCCACCGCGTCCGAGCTGAACACTTTCTCCGCCTTGATCCAGAACTTCTACAGCAGCCAGGGCGACGGCACATGGCCGCACCCGGCTGTGCACCTGACTGTCTCGACGGAGCCCGGCAAGGACCTTGAGACTCGTGCTTATATCTCTGCTCCCGTTGGTGTCACTGCGGAGCGTGCTGCCGACAGCGCCGCGTTTATTCCTGTTCCCTATGAGCTGCGCTACGGCGAGGCCGATAAGAGTGGTCTGGAGGCCATTGCCAATGCCAAGGACTCCGAGGAGCGCTCCGTCCCTGTTCCCACGGACATTGATGTTCTGGAGCGCGCCATTGAGGAGGTTCTGGCGATGATTGACCGTGTCTCGCGGTATGTCGAGTCCGTCATTGACGAGGAGACCCCGGCGTCGACCGCGATGGGTCAGTTCCTGCTGAACACCCTGGCTCTGGCACCCAAGGTCGAGCCCGCCGATGTGGAACGGGACTTGTATGTGATTCACTTTGTCTTTGTGTTGAATCTTTCTAACAGTTCGGCAGCAACAACCACATCCAGGATGTCCTGGTCGTCTCCTACCTGGCCAACACGATCCGCACACAGATGGAGCTATCCACCCGGCTCGCATCCGCCCAGCTCACTCTGGGCGGCGGTGAGGCTGGCTCTGGCCCGGCCGGTGAGCAAGGCAACCGCGGGCGCGGTGGTAAGGGTCGTGGTGGCGGCCACGGCGGCCACCAGCGTCAGGACCGCGGGCAGCAGGCCGAGGAGGCCCGCGCATAGGAAGAATGAATGATGCATTATGTGATTTATTCCTGTGGATTCCCTTCCGTTGATGTTTCTTATGTCGTTTGCTTTCTTTTTACGTCTGGGCTATCTCTTTTCTTCTCTCTCTTATATCATCTCCCCCTGTTTGCTTTCTCAGACAGGAAAACACACACAACCCCTCCGCATGTTCTTCTTCTCGGGTTGCTTGCTTCTACGCCCAAGCAACCCCATTTGGGTCCAGTTGAGACCATAAAAAAAGAATGGCGTCTTGGAGTCAATCTGACTTTGTTCAGATAGATGGAATGCAGCAGGCAGAGTGAGGGGGATCGTGGACCCGGTCTGGTTTCACGAAGCGAGTCGCATCTTATTCTGGGCGCGGCGTTTTCAGTCATGAGGAAATGGACATACATCGTTCTAGAACTTGACTTGCATCGTGTGTACATGAGTAAAAGCTGTGCGCAGATGATCTACAGTTTTAAATTCCCATATTGACTGTTTGTATCTCCAATTGAGCCCGCTATGCAATCCCAGATGAATAAAAGCACCCGCCCAGCACCGATAGGTATCATAAAAAAAAACAAACGCCGAGTCCCATCCTAACGGGCAGTCGTGACCCCTATAACAAGGGAAAACGCTGAACCACCCCAAAGGGAACTGAAAAGGCAAGAAAGAGCTTCAAGGAAGGGTCTTTCTCTTCTTCGAAACCGACTCCTCAGTAGCATCCGACCCCCTCCGTGCAGCAGCAGCCCTCTTCCCCTTCCCCTTCCCCTTCTTCCCCGGCCCCTCCGCCCCAGCACCAGCAGGGGCATCCAGATCCTCCGCCGCCACCAAATCAGCGCCTTTCTTACCAGCCGCTCCCTTAGCAACCTGGTCATCATTCTGATCAAACGCCTTCCGCGCCTCCTTCAACTCGCGCTCCATCCGCAACAGCTCCTGCACACGACCAAGCTTGTTGGGATCGCGGCGCAATGCGAACCGGAAATCGTCAACTTTGATCTTCTGTCGGCGCGCGTGGTGCGCTGCCTGCGCAGCGCCGTGGCAGACTTCGAGGATGAAGTCTGTGACTATTTCGTCGAGCACGCGGACTGTTTCGGGGAGGGGCTCTGTTGGGTAGGACGGGTGGGGGCTGGGGTCGCCGTAGGCGAGGAGGAGGAGGCGTACTATATTGTTTTGTTTTAGTTCTCTCAATGGAATGGTCTTTCTTCTGGAGGATGTGACGCTGTGGAGAACGGAACTCCGCGACAGATAGAGAGAGACATACGCTCAGAGGAGAAATTCATCTGGCCCTTATGCCTCGCGGCACGAGCACGAGGCTCCGCCATCTTGCCGGGTGTCTTGGGATCCTTCTTTTTCTTAGACCTGGACGAAGTGGACGCAGCAGTGTTGGGATCGTCGTCGTTCTGAGTCTTGGACGTGTAGGCAGGGGCGTATCCGGCACGTAGCAGCACTAGTTCTTGAGGAGTAGACAGCCAGAGATTCGCAGGCCGGTTGGCAACATGTCCTGGAGAGATAGAGGGAGTGAGGATGGATGCAGGCGGTCGGTTGCTGCTCAATGGCCGGCGAAGGGCCGGGTGGCCCGTGCGTCTGGAGGCGGACATGGTTGGCAGAATCGGGTTCTGGAAGACCGCAGGTGTCGTGTTTCTTTCTGCGCTTTAGCTTGCTTCTGAGAACACTGGAGTGAGGAGACGACTTGAAACTCACAATGGTAAGTGTAGCTCTGCGGGTGAGATGAAAGTCTTGAGGTCGGAGATGTCTCGGCAACGAGCAGCAAGCAAGAGGGGCTTCCCAAACAGACCAGACTTAGGACCGCGCTGACCTCATTGCTTGATCTAGTCGGCACTTTTCAACTTCCAGTCGCTGCTGCTGGTATTCCTGCTCATCATCTGCACTAGCACCTATGCCCACTCGATCATGCCAGGGATAATGGATCGGAACCAGAACGGGTAAGGACATGAGCTGCAGCCTTGCTCCAGGACCATGAGGAACTGACTTTGTAGGGTCTTTGGGATATTCTGGAAATGTGCACGCGTCGGGGAACGACTCAGTCCATATGTCAGCATATGCTGCGTCTTGATGGCCGTAAGTTGTTGTTCAGTCCAGTCAGTGTTATCTCAATGACTGACCGTGGTCACTCTAGGTCTCGATCTTCTTCGGTGGTTAGACCTGAATGGTGGATGGGAATGAGGGTTCCAACTGAGATGCCGGTGATTATGACAACTTCACTTCAAAGATGTGGCAAGACTCAAGCAAGGCGTCTAAGCGGGTTCAAAGCGTACAAGAAAAATAAATTCATGATGATTTGATGTATAGTACAGACAAGTAATCACACACTGCATCCCAGCCTCCCAATGCAACCGAAGCCAGAAAGAAATGCTCCTTGACAGCCAACTTATAAGAACCAAAACGGGGTATATAATCTCTCATATCTTCGGCGTCAGCTTTTCCTTTGCCTCCAACCGCTTCAGACCGCTGTTGATAAGCAGGTCGTCGTCCAGTCCCTCGTTGACTTCAGTAGATTCAGACGGTTGTGCAGACGCGGCAGTTTCATCCATGGCGTCCATCGCATCCCAAAGACTGTCCGGGTCACGGACCCAGCGCAGGCTCTTGATGGTATACTGATCAATCGCGAATCCGTGCCTCTCCATCTCCTTGATCGCACGAGTGGTCTCCGGGATTTGCTGGGCATTCGCATAGCCGTTGATGATCGTGTTCCAGGTCACGTCATTGGCTTTGACGCCATACTTGGCCATCATCTCCCTAACCTTCTCTGCAGCGTGAGGTTGTCGGTTGAAAGTGAATGCGGTCAGGAGGATGGTCCAGGTTTGCATGCTGGGTCTGGCATGCACAATGGCTCGGCCAGTAGGCGAGGGAGGAGGTGGATTGAGCATATCTTCGACGAGGCGTACGCACGAGCGCAGTGCGCCACGATGCCGCCGCAGAGCAATGAGAAATTCGTTATAAGTATGATCAGTTTCGGCGAGAGGGGCGATACCCTCGTGGCCTTCTGCCACGAGCTTGCGGAATTGAAAGTAGATCTGATGTACCTTCGAGATATGGCGTTGGCAGCGGAAATAAGTCGCGATCATAATATACAAAGCCATCAGGGAGGGCGGGGTGTTGGCACCTCCCGCTGGAGGCTGATAGTGAGAGGGGATGATGAGGAGATCTTTCAAGGGTGTGATGTCGTGTAAGCGGTTGTACATCTCAAGCATGGAGTAAAAGACTCGAGAGCGATCGGATTCAGCATCCATATTCTTGGCTGTGAAGATGTAGTGGGCATGAAGGATCTTGCTTGCGACATAAGGGTTCTCTCGGATGGCGTCTTCTCGGCTCTCAATTTCATGAATGAGCAGCTCAACATGCGCCCGGTCCCCACGTGCAACTCCCTCAGTGAGCAGAGTCAGGTATGTGTAGGAATCAAATTTGTGGCCGTGATCTTTCATGAACTGAAGCATGTCGGACCCCAGTTGGCGATTTCCAGCCTTGAAGGCATTGGCAAGGACCACATTCATCATATCCCGGTCAGGCTCGACCCCCATCTCCAAGAGCCGTGGCAAGATTCGAAAATTGCGGCCCCCTTCACCATCCACAACCGTATCCAGCGTCAGAAGTTTGCAGCAGTGCCGTATGACGGGTACGGAGTTCAGCTTGAACTTGGTGTGCTTTGTTTTTGTGGCAACGTATTCGAACGCCTCCAACGCCCGATCCACGTCGCCCAGCTCCGTATATCGAAACATAAAGCCAAGGGCTGTTTCTGGAGTGAGAGGAATGGATCTTTCTTTTGTTAACTGGAAAGCCGCGTTGAGGGCTTTGCGGTTGGCCCGCCGGATATATAATCGCACACCCTTCTGCTGAACGCAGAGAATCGGCCAGTGGTTCGGGTCGAGGCAGGACTGAAGAAGGGACCGGTAGGTCTGCTCATCCTTACGCCAAGTTTTCAGCCGTTCGTAGTAGAATCTGTCAAGATAGAGAAAACAATCGGCAACCATGGGGAAATCCGGCATCGGCTGGCACTCGGTGGTGGCTTGCAGAAATTCCAATGCGAGCTCCGGTTCGTTCTGCAGTAGCCATAAAGCGAGCCGTTTCCAGTGGGTGGCCATTTCAGCGCGAGGCAGTGCGGCCCATGTCTCCCGGAAGGTTCCTTCACGGAGTTTATCCAGAAGTTCTTGACCATCCTCCTCCAAGGGCGGCAGGAGATCCTTGACCACATCGCGCCGGTAATATTTCGCTATGTAGAGTTCGCGGTAGGCGGAATTCCATTGGGTGAGGGTGACCTGTCGCTGGTATATGCAGTTCAATCGCATCTTAATCGCCAGGTGTGTCGATTTCTGGTCCAACTTTCTATTGTTCGATATAATCGCCCCGTTAAGACGATATGCAGTAGAAGAAACCACGGACGGATCGCGGCATAGGCCTTCAGCCTCGGCGATCTTGGACACGTCCTCCTCAGATAAAAGTCTTTGTAAAGCATTGCGCGCGTGGCGACGTTGAGTTGGATGATTGGGGAGATCGGAGACAGGGTCATGTTGCAGCACTGAAGATGGTGGGAGTATTGGTTCGTCCAGGGCATGATCTCTGATCATAGACTCGAGATCGGGGGCCACATCGTGGACTTGACATGCAGCCTTGGGCGGGCTCGCTCGATACCAGCGGCCAGGCCGCCGGCACCGCAGCGACAGCCCGGTCAAGCGGGACCGAAAATGGTGCGGACACAATGACATTCAGGCACTTGCGACTGCATGCATTGCCGAAAAAAACAAATAATTGCGACAAAAAAAAAGGAGAAGGAGGTTGTTGCGGCCGATGGGTGAGTTTGGGGGAGACAAGAAAAGTTGAGGAGGGAAGGGAAAAGTGTGGCTTGTGGTGTGGCGCAACCCGGCCTTATCGCGTTTTCTTTTCTTCAACCTTGAACTCACTCACACCTCCCACCTCCTACTCCAACGCCATGTCCTCCAACCACGCCTCATTGGATGCGGCATCCACAGACCGCAAATCTCGCCTCGCCAAGCTAGCGGCACTGAAGCGGAAACAACCAGAACCCGAGTCGTCGACCGAAGCTCGTGCCGGTGATGAGGCCGGCGACGCTGCACCCGATGTGACAGCCTCCTACCTCTCTGGCCGAAACTATGATGCCGAGACCCGCGGTCCAAAGCTTGGATTCGAACAGGGCCCGCAGCATGGGAAAGTGACGGTGGAAGCTCAAGCCGCTGAGATCGCCCAGGCGACGGCGGAACAGGCTCAGAAGGACGAAGAGGCTGACCAGCCCATTGATCTGTTCAAGCTGCAACCGAAGAAACCAAACTGGGACTTGCGGCGGGATCTGGATGAGAAGCTCAAGACCCTCGACGTAAGGACGCAGAACGCCATTGCCCGATTGGTACGACAACGGATAGAGAATGCGAAGCGCGCAGCCAAGGAACGAGGACAGTCCAACGGGGACCAAGGCGAGGAAGTGGGCATTGAGGGCGATGCTCTAGTGGAGGGAATCCATCTCCGCGAGCGGGAGGAAACGAGAGACGAGGAGATGATTTGAAGTGATACCCTATGGCGTAGGAGGAAGACTCCTTTTTCTACTTTCATATACTTTTCTTTCCCTGTCTACTTTTCATTCGGAAAGCTTGGGCATGCAATTGGGTCAAGGGTGCTTTTGCAGACACAAAAAGGCGTTCAGGAATGGTTTCTCATGCATTTGGATGTACCGATATGATAATAATACACACGTTCCAATAAACCCAATGGAACCGAAATAAACTTCAGCCTGGAGCTATCGTCCCAGATTCATGGTCTGGGTCAACGCAAGACGCTTGCTGTAGGGGCTCATACTTCGCTCCCGGGGTGGCTGGCCAGGTCGTCCCCTGGGTTCTTGTTTCGGCCCTCCTGGGACCGGGGGATTTGCTCGATCTCGATAGGACCGTCTTCCAGGTTGATCTCGAGTAGTATTGGGTGTCATCGACCGTCGTTCCTTTGCGATCTGACTCTTGTCCGCACTCTGGCTGCGGGATCGGCGTCTTCGTGAACCGTGGCGACCTGATTCGCGATGCCGCCCACGCTGTTCAGGGCTACTCTCGCGACGCCTCCGTCTGATATTCCGATCTTCTGCCCACTCTCGCGATCGTGAGCGATGCCGCGCACCGGAAGAGTAAGATGAATCGGAATAGTCATTTGAAGCATCACTGTATCGCCTTTTCCGGGATTTTGAAGGCGCAGGGGAGACTGAGCTGGTCCGACGAGCGCTCCCATTTGCCTCTCGTCCTTGACGTGCCGGTGATGCGGAGCGAGAACGGTTTGTGGATATTGTCGAGACTGAGCTCGCCGAGTGCGACGATACAGATCTAGTTCTTTTCGAGTATGGTTCTGCTGTGCCGTCTCCATCCAGGCTCCTCTTCCGGCCGCGCTCCTCCTCCCGTTTTGCGAGCAACTCATCTGCCACGCCGTTTCTGTGTCTTGGATTCAGCGCGTATTCCCAAGTAGCACGCGCAATACTTACGTCCGTTGGAGATCATTGGGGGTCTCGTTGGAGAGCTTAGGCATCAACTTCGGGTTCTGCAACTGTTGGGTCCGCGACGGTCGCGCCATGTAAGGACGCTCCTGCGCGGTCACGGTGCATTCATAGCTGTAATGGCGTGCCCATTGGTCAGCCCAGGAATAGGTCGAAAGTGGAAAGTTGGGACATATCTCGCTTCAGGCATTTCTGACACAGGGTGTTTGGCGAGGCCCTGCTGGGACCCCTGTTGCCGGGGACATTTCTATAGCGATTCATGGGGATCAGCAAGTCCGTCGACCAGTTCGGGAAGAAAGAGAGGGAAATAAGAGAGCAAACCAATCCATGCGACAGTCTGGGCTTCAAAAGCGGTGGGAATGGGCAGAATGAAGGCCCACGAACGAACTTCCAAAGAATCCCAGTTGTTTCCTTCCCATTGTCCGCCTCGACGTGATTCCCTGTCTGGAAATTGTGTACCCGGTGCCTTTCCTAGCTACTGGCCCGATTTTCCCTTCATCCTTCCATTGCCCGTTCCACGACTGCACCTCCCTGACCATGCACCTGCTCTGACATTCTGAGAGACCCGTCTTGTCCCATTTGATTTCTCCTGCACTAGTATCACTCTCCTTCCGGCTCTGATTCCGATTTCGCTTCTAACGCTCAGTCTCAACAGCGTTCCCTATGGCGAATTCCCGCTTTTTGAGATATGTCGTCTTTCTTTCCGGGATTGAGTGAAGCGGGATTCTTCAGCAACCTACCTTCGATTCAAACTTCGGCATCGACTTCTTCCAACCCGGAGACTTGTTGAATTCAGCTGCGCCGTGATTTTTCTTCGTTTTTCTCCGTTCTGCGGGTTGTAGCTTGATATGGCTTCGGAGAGTCCGCCGGGGAGGGAAAATCGCCTCTCTTTTGCAAATGTTCGTTTGGGTATCAATTCTGGCCTGAACGATGGCTAATTTTCATTCTTTAGATCGCTGCCATGGACGCGCCTCCTCACATTCAACCCATCTCGGCATCAGATGACGATGAAAATCTCCGATCTTCCGATGTATCGCCATGTCCCCATCCACACGAGTTAAATGCAGCAGTGCCTGCCCCACACTCCGTCGATGACCTTGGGAAAGCGGTAGAAGGGATCGATCTATCACTAAAGACGGGGCTTGAAGGCCGAGAACTCTTGCTGGACGGCCATGGTCACAGTGTACTCAAGCGAGAGAACTCCTTCGAGGATGATCGCACCCATCTCTCAAACTCGTCAACCAAAATGACCAACTTCGATTCCAAGAGTCTGGCCTCGGTGACCACTTTTGCAATGGACGAGAAAGATTCTGTGCGCCCCGACGACAGTGCCAGTGTTCAAGCCATTGACGAAGAGGAGTCGTTTTCGGGTCCTGCTTCTGGCGCTCCGAATTCAGTAACGGGATCGGAGGCTGGTGGGCGTGCATTTCGAGACTTCCGCGACAGCAACCTCTTGCGACCACGCGGAGTTCTACCAGTGCCTGGTCCTCTCTTCAACGGCACTAATCAACGACTCCTTGGCACTATCCCCCCGGATTCTGTTTCGAACAATTTCGTGATTCCTCCTGAAAGCCTGCAAGATGGGCCAAACCTGCATGGTTTTCCTCTTGAGGCGGATGAAAAACTTTTGGAGGCCATGAAGTCTCCCAAAGACCGGCTACTGATCCTTCAACTGGAAGAAAAGATCCGCTACTTCGTCAGAGAATCCGAGTAAGTATAACAATGTTTTGTGCCACGATTTCCATGGCTAATCTGGATCCAGCGAGCAATCCTTGGAGCTACCTCCTTCGAATGCATTTGGGCGGCTGCTTGCACATAAACTGGGAGATTACTACCATCTGACCCATTTTGTGGACAACAATGTGACGTCGGTTCGGCTCCATCGAACGCCGTTCTGTCGACTGTAAGCCGTGACTCGTCTCTTTTTCTTTTCTTGATCACTGACCTCGTTAGTCCTGCGCCTTTATCTGCGGTACATGCCTCCGGTAGTACCACCCCACCCCCGAGCATCCCAGCTATGAAGATTATGCGTCGAACGGACGGAGAGCGGCCTTCCACCGAAGGAAGCGTTGCGGCGAGTTCATCCATTCCCTCCAAAGCCACATCAGAGGCTGGAGATAGCGGCCAAGATGGAGACCGCACTGGCTCGTCGACAGGTGCGACACCCGCCAAAGATCGGATGACCCTCACGCGAGAAGAGCGTGAAGCCAAATACCAGGAGGTGCGCGAACGCATCTTTCGCGACTTCCCGGACAGTGCGAAGTCAGACACTGCCAGCGGCGATTCAAACCCGAACATGTCACGCTCTAGCTCCACGACTGGGCGGAAGAAGACCCAGAGACAGCGAACCCCCTACGATGACAGTTTCGAAGCGCGGTCGCAGTTCAATGCTTACTATCCGGGGACGCCTTATAACAATGGGCCAGTGCCATATAATCCCGGCGTGAATGAAGGTTCATATCCCAACCAAGTCCCGTATTTGGTTGGACCGGGAGTATCGCCTCCAGCAGGTGGGAATTACATGCCTCCCAGTCAGAACAACGGCATGTACCCGGGTCAGATGAACATGAACAACATGCCGCAATATCCAGTGGCCATGTCGCCGCAGATGGCCTCCAATGGCTCGTGGCAGGGAAACATGCCGCAGCAGTCACCATACTCTGGGTATGCGTCAGTTAATCAGTCACCGGGCATGATGAGCCAGCAGTCGTCCAACAAATCGTCACCAGCTATGACTAACTACGCCGTTCCCAATTCTTCACAATATCCTCAGGGTCCTAACTGGCCCACATCACCCTATCCTGGAAACTACCAGCAATCCCTCAACCAGCGGAATCAGCCCCCCATCCACTGGCCGAACTATCCTCCCTCGCAGCCAATGCCTTCCAATGTGGGAGCCTATCCTTATGCCCAATACCCGGGGCAACATCTCAACCCTTCCCTCCAGAATCAAGCTGGCCCTCATGCGATTCCGGCTGGTTTCGCCAGATCCCAATCCCACTTCAACCCCCAGACACGATCTTTCATTCCAGGCGGTGTCCCTGGCGGGGCTCCACTGGGTCGCCATCCGAACAAAGGCGCTCAGCACGCCATGCAGCCGTATGGTAGCATGCATCCCGGCCTTCAGCAGGCCCAGTGGACTGGATACCCCGACACTGCCCAGGGCCGCAACCTCGACCATACACACTCGAATCGTGGGCCTGCGCCAGCCCCTCGAAACTCGATCGCCAAATGGGGCACCCCATCTCATCTTCCTCCAAAACCGCCCCCATCCCAAGTGGCTTCTGACTTCGACTTGAAGCGACCCGGCCCAGCTTCAGTTTCCGGCTCATCTTATCCCAGCAATGGGATTCCTCCCGCGAATAACGGACCCCTCGTGGTCTCCGGAGGGGCGAGTATGTCGAAGTCCAATTAAGTCTGTGCGTGCGCTTGATATCTGCGTATATGGTGTGGTTCGTGGTCGATGTGGTTATTCTGATGGGATGTACATTCGAGAACACTGCATGGCGATCTGGGCGCTGGGAAGCGTAGATCGTCTCTTAACAATTGATCCATCTTTGCCCTCGTATTAAGTTTCAAGTCTGTAGTTAGACAAGTAGGTTGAAAAGTTGAAAAGGTATTGCGATCTTTTATACACAAGGCTATGTCACATAAGAATCAGGCGCAGCCAAAGACAAGATGTCATCGCAGGAAACAGGAACGCCCTTGAACAGGCAATAGTAAAGAGAGAAAAGTACAGCCTTCCAAAGCAGCATCTTCGTCCTCCATCAAATCCAAAAGACCATATGGTATACACCGATGAACCAACACAATCATCTAGGCAATCAATTCACCCCTCCGCCTCATTCCCTCGCCCATGGTCCTTCTTGATACTCAACTCCTTAATCGCAACCTCCAACTCCTCCACTCCACCCTTCCGGAACCGTGTCACTTTACCCACATTCAACATAGTCAACTGATTTGGCGTCTGCAGGCCCTTCTCCCGCTGCCGTGCCACCGCCCTTGCCGTCATGGCAAACCGCACATCCTTCGGTCCGTCCACAAGCTCCAGAATCGCACTCTCGGCCTGGTCCACCGGCTTCGGATCCCGCGGGCTCTTGTCGCCCCGGGGCTTCTTGTAGAACTCGAATTGATTCCGCGGCTCGATGCGCAGGACGCGCGTGTATCCGCCTGGCCGGGTGGCGTAGCGTTCGCGTAGTTCGCCGAAGAGTTTCGGGACGATTTGGTGTGGTTTCTAAGGAGTAAGAGCCATGTCAGTGAATTGAGAAGGAGAGAGCCCGGGGCGGAAATAGGGGAGACAGACGTAGAAAATCTCCAATGCTCGCCTCCGACTCGCTTCTGTGTTCTTCTTGCCCAGCGTGATCAACTTGTCAGCTAAACGTTGTGTCTCTTTCGCCTTGGCCCATGTCGTTGTGATGGATTCGTTCTCGAATAGCGAGGTCACCAGGTTGCGCAGCAGAGCCTGTCGGTGCGACGACTTGCGGCTGAGGTGCCGGTATTTCCCTGCGCCACCGGCCATTGTGGATGTGGTTTGTGGTGGGTGTGTTGTTGAATTGAATTGAAGACGGAGAGAAAAGAGTGAAGTTCCGGGAGAGCGAGAAAAGCCAATCGGAGACCTTCCACCGCCCGCCGACTTCAAGAACTCTTCTTTGCGACAACACACCTCTTCTTTTTTCTCTCGACTTGGCCGAAAATGGGCTTTTTCGCTGGCTTTGTATATCTTCCTTATTCCCCCCCTTACCACCGAAACTAAGACTAATGTCCCCCAGTTCAGCGGGTTCGCCCTCACCACCTCCGTCCTCTACATAACCGTGCAAGTGCACCGCTCCACGCGCCTGGAGCAGCGCCGAGCCATCCGCGAACAAGTCGACCAAATTAACTGGCTCGCCTCTTCTGCAGGTGCCTATGACCGGCGCTTTGCGCCGAAAGAAAAAGATCTCCGGGATATGGAGGACCGGCGGCGATCGGCGGCCCAGCAGCCGCCGACGATGAAAGAGGTTCTCAAACATCGGTGGAACCAAGAGGTTGAGATCCTGGCGAGGAAGGCATACGAGAGTCGTTGGGAGGATGTGAGGAGTACCGCTGTTGAAGGGTGGAGCGCTGTTCTGCGGTTGGTGAAGAAGGAATAAGCGAAAACTTTCCTTGCTATTTTTGATGCATTGTTACATCTCTGTGTACTTGGGCTTGGGAGCTGTGGTGTTTTGGATACCCTTATGAAATTAAGTTGCTATGTTTCTCTCAATAGTTTACATGCATTCGTAAAAGAGGCTCGTCCGGCGATGGAATGTTTTGCAGCGTCCAGCGCATGATCGTAACGGCGTAACAGTGGTGTGTTCAATCGAGTTTTGCTCTGATAAGATGCAACGCTCCACCATATTATTTACCCATGGCAGGTAAGAAAGTTGGCACATAGTTGTGGTGGAATGTTCACTCCGCGTCGGACGCCGCCGACGATACCGCCGTAGCAACACTCTCAGAGTCACTCCAAATATCTTTGCTCTCGCGCTCCACGATGCGCATGGCCTGAGCCACTTCCTCCAGTTTGGCCACCACATCCAAGACGCCCTGGTTGACGCGATCAAAGTAACGATCATTAGCTTCTCGTCGTCGGCGCGCCAGCAGAATATCTTTCTCCGTCTCTTCATCCAACGTGTGATGCGAGACACCATCAAAAGGGGCCCTGCGCTCCGCAGCGTCATGGCTTTGTCCTCTCACAGACCCCCGACTGCGAGAGGTACTCCTCCCGGGAGCACTCTCCTCCTCTTTCACGCTGTGACTAGGGTCGGCAACCTCGTCGTCGGCCTCGCTGCGCGCCCACGCCTGGGCAAGCTTGAGCTGCTTCATTCGCAGGTCTTCCAGCGCTTGTGCGTGCCTCTCGCCGTAGACGTTCTCGGTCGTCACGGCGCTGAGGTCCACCTCTGACAGCGCGCTTTGCATCTCCTGCCACACGGCGTCGGAGCCGTCGACGTCAATTTTGGACGGCCTCCGCCTAGCAAATGGTGACAATAAGCCGCGATTATCTACTACCACTGCTTCGCCTGTTGCGCGTTTGCGCTGCAGGGGTGGTGGTTGGCTGCCGGCAGGAGTGCCTCGCGAAGATGCCACTGGCGGAACGGAGAGAGAAATGTTGGATGCATTGTGGGAGGGAGGGCCCTGGAACAGAGCAGGGGGAGGCTGTCGCTGAGGGCCGCGCGGTTTTCGCGACTGATCATTCATCATCAAAAGGGATGGGTGCTCACCACTTCGGTCCGGTCGTCCAGGGCCAGCCCGCTATCGACGGCGTTGATACGGGTATATATCACGTGACTCTTATCGCGCGAGATCGTCCGCCTGTTGGATTATATCAGCACGGTCCCGTGACTCGCTTAGGGCACACAACACGGGAGCCGCCGCTTCAGACGGAACCAAGGCAAATCCAGGACTGCCTCCCTTCGACTTTTCGACTCTCCACGACAACATCAGCCTTTGGCGACAGCAACCCTTTTCCCAGGTACGTTTCCATTCGTTCGGGATTTTCTACACAACCATTCGAATACACAAACTATCTGGTTATCCCATCTCCATCTGCACGCACACACAAAAAAACCCAGATCCCCAAACTCGACTATCCATCCATCGACAACCCACCTCGACTGCACTCCCATCATCATCATCACACACACAATCCAATTATTCAAGACTAACACCTTTTTCTGTCTCCCAGTTGACCGTCGATCACATCATCCTCCAACATGGGTAAAGGCAAGCCCCGTGGTTTGAACGCTGCGCGCAAGCTCCAGGCCAACCGCAAGGAGCAGCGCTGGGCCGATCTGCACTTCAAGAAGCGCCTTCTCGGAACCGCCTACAAGTCCTCTCCCTTCGGTGGTGCCTCGCACGCCAAGGGTATCGTCCTCGAGAAGGTCGGCGTTGAGGCCAAGCAGCCCAACTCCGCCATTCGGAAGTGTGTCAAGGTCCAGCTGATCAAGAACGGCAAGAAGGTCGCTGCTTTCGGTGCGTTTCCTCTCTTTTGTTCCTCGGTGTTCTCTGAGGATTGAGTCGAAAAAGAGAGAAAGATGCTAACAACTCCCGCTACAGTCCCCAACGACGGTTGCTTGAACTTCATCGACGAGAACGACGAGGTCCTCCTGGCCGGTTTCGGTCGTAAGGGTAAGGCCAAGGGTGATATTCCCGGTGTCCGTTTCAAGGTCGTCAAGGTCTCCGGTGTCAGTCTGCTCGCCCTGTGGAAGGAGAAGAAGGAGAAGCCCCGCTCTTAAACGAAATGCCGCGGACGGGAAAGGAAGAAAAAGGTGCCGGACAGAAAGCCCGCCTCATCAGCGCCTTGATTTCATGAGAACTCTCTATTTTTGGAAATATGACACACCGGCGGGCTTTTTTTGTCTGGAAAACGTGATGGGGATGCGACTGTGCGAACTACCACGATTTTTTTGATACTCCAGAAAGAAATAAGAGATGGCGCTATGATGTTCACTTGTTTCCTAGGCTGTAGATAAGCCCCGAAGTATTCGTAGATACGGATGAACGGGCACCTAAGGATCTCATGGTGTGGTAGTTGGTCATATTGCATCTATATCTATCCCACCCCAAGCCCGTCTAGGAAATGCCCCCCTGCCTAGAGTAAAGACGCCCACATGTCGATCGTCGCGCATCATTATTTCTCGGGTATCGTTGCTGCACTTTTTTGGTCTCATGCTGCCTGCCCTGCGGACAGCCACCGGCACGACCTCGCTCAAAAGCTGATATCCTCCATGCGGTAATGGTCAGAGACAATCCGGTAGAGATACGACGGCGCATGGCCACCTCTGTAGAAAGATATTAGTTAGCAACTGCATCCGCACAGTATCCAAAAGCAACACGTACAGGTTCGTAATGTAAAGATCGACCAGTTCCGCAGGGACATAGTCATATAACGGATTCTGGACTTCAATTTTGTCGACCAGGTCACCGTCTTCGTACGAGAGGACCTTGCTTGCGTCGCCGTACTCAATGAGCGAGTCGAAATCGAACGGATAAACGGGGCTGAGCTTGTAGACACCGCTCACGACCACAACAGGGGTCTGGTGCACCTTGGCGGCGCGAGCAATGACGCGGGTGCCTGCTGCGGCGATGAGACCGCCGTTGGCGAGTACAGAGTGCGTGCCGAGGATGACCTTGTTGACTCGGGACATCAGAGCAAAGACGGCAGAGTCTGGGATGAGAATGACGGTGATGCCAAGGGCGATCAGCGGCTTCTGGAAGGACTCCACGCTCATCAGCTCGTCTTCGCTGCTAGTAGTGCCGCTGACAGTAGCATGAGTGGCCTCGTGGTTGTTGGGGAAAGATTCCGCGTGGATAACGGTGAACTTGCGCTTGGCAGCGGCCTTGAGGAGGAATTTTTGCACCGTGGTCGACGATGTATGTGTGAGGATGATCTCATTGGAGTGGATGTGATCCAAGGCATAAGCAGCGATCTGGTCGTCGACCTGGCCCAACTCGTCAATGATCTCATTGATGCCCTCCAACACTTCTGCCCGCACATCTTTGCTGCCTTGGCCGGGTCCCCGGCCACCGGGAGAAACAGAGCCTGGTGTGCTTGGAAGCGAGGCCTCTGGCTCCGGGTGGGAGAGCAGACTGAACATAGAAGTCAGAGGGGGCCGGGATGAAGACCGTTCGCCGTCTGGCCGCACCGAAGGCGAGTCTCTATCCAAAGGGAATGATGTGTCTGCTCTATATTAGTCCATGTCGGTGTGAAGCTATGACACTAAAGAATTGACTCACCATCCAGTGCCCGTGGTGTCTGAGGCTGGCTCTCCGAAGCCTCGCTGAGCGCGAATTCAGCGTCCCGATCATCCTCCGCCTCGTCACGAATCAATCCCAGAACTCGGCGCACAATATTTCCCACCACCATCTCGCGGGCCTGCGCTGCCACCAAGCGTCTTCCCACACTCTGCACTCGCTCGATGAGCCTCACTGGATCCGAAGTCCGACATGCTGAAATCACCCGCAAGAGCAGGTAGGCGGTTGCTGTAGCGCATGACCGGGAGTGTCGGATCTGTCGTCGCTTGAGCAGCCTAAGTAGAATGTTAGTGGTGTTGTCTTGCTGGCTCCAATTGGCAGCCGCGGGGAGCGCACGAAATGAGGTTCTCGATCGATGTGTCAATCGGGTTGGTCTTGAGCGACTTGAGGAACGAGGCCAGGCCCGGCGTCAGGGCCAGCGACGTTGACGGCATCTGGAAGGGAGTCGCCGTCTGCTGAAATTGGAAATGGGAGGAGCAGGAGGTAGTTATAGGAAGTGAAGGAAGTGAAGAGAAACAAAGCGAGTCATTATTTTCTGCCGCTCGACCTGCTTCCGCTTCCCCACGCGTGTGATCCTTTGGCTCCTTTTCGTCCCTTCCTCTAGTCTCTCTCTCTCCCTGTCTCTCTTTGCGCTACTCTTTCACTCCAGGTCTCGGATCCCTGCTGTTCCGTCTACCTCCCCCCATCTTCAAACCCCGCGGCAGACCCCCTCCGACCTGCTCGCGCCCACCGTTGTTCCGAGGTTCGGAGAGACCCCAACCTCATCCTCCTCAGCTTACTAGGGCTACTACTTCCTAGCCACCTTGCGCCTCGATCCTTCCCCCCTCTTCTTCCTCACGCAGACTCGACCCTCGATGGACTGTCTCAAGGGCTTTTGATGACTCGTTGCCCTCGCTCTTCTCATTGTTAGACCTCAGCGCCCTCTCATAGGCCCTGTTGGAAGATGAACTCGCTGAACATCCTGTCCTCGCGAGTCATCGGCCAGTCCTCCAGTTCTACACGGCCACGATCACACTCCCAGGGCGAGATCTGGCGTCCGGGGAACTTGGCGAAAAACCGGTCGTATAGCGAGAATAACTTCCGGTCCCTCACCCCCGAACACGGCTACGACGGCGCCGCATCGCCCGCGGGGGAAGAAGACCAAGAGGAGGAGATAACACATACGTTGGACGAGAAAACACCATTATTGCACGACGACCAGGATGCCGCTACAATTGCGCTCAGAAGCCCGTGGCATCTGATCACCAAGCGCATCGTTGATGCGATTACTGAGACGATCCGGTTCATTCTGTCTACTCTCGCTGCCCCTGGCGTATATGTCGCCCAATGCTTCCGCGACGATGAAGGGCGCTACTCACTACTTGCCCCAGTCAGGAAAGTACGGAGATCCCGTACCGGTCCAGCGACCCGGTCAGAAAAGGGGATAGAAGGTCGACATCGCAGTGGCTCAACCCGCAAGCTGAGGCCCCAGACATCCCGCGATTCTGTTGCATCAAGCACATCAGAGTCCGAAACAGACCGTCAGAGCCGCAAAGCGTTAACCAGCAGCAAGAATGGGTCTCCCAAGTCGAATGCTCCCGACCCAGATCCAGCTTCAGAAGAGGGTACACCGCGCCGGTCCATACGAATCAAGCTTCACAATGAAGAGTCCCTCAAACGGCAGAGACAGCGGCGGAATAATAGCGCTGATATGGGGCCGCCCATGCCCGAGGGTGTCACTCGACTCCAGGGAGCCGTCAACCTGGACAGCTTGAAATCTCCCACTTCTCCCTCTGTCCATCGCATCACCAAATACCCCCACTCTCCAACACCGCCGCGGCCACTCCTCCCGCAACGACTCCCTTCATACACCCCTGCGCCGCGCAATGCCAAGATCCCGCAGAAGACGCTGGTGCTAGACCTCGACGAGACGCTCATCCACTCTCTCGCCAAGGGCGGCCGTATGTCCAGCGGCCATATGGTTGAGGTCAAGCTCTCGATGCCCATGACCACGGCGCTGTCTCCCGGTGGGCCACAGACCACGCTGGGACCGCAGCATCCGATTCTGTACTATGTGCACAAGCGACCGCACTGCGATGACTTCCTGCGCAAGATCTGCAAGTGGTACAAGCTTGTGATCTTCACAGCTAGTGTCCAAGAATACGCCGACCCCGTGATCGACTGGCTCGAGCAGGAGCGCAAGTACTTCCAGGCCCGCTATTATCGGCAGCATTGCACATTCCGCAACGGGGCATACATCAAGGACCTGAGCTCTGTCGAGCCGGATCTGAGCAAGGTGATGATCTTAGACAACAGCCCGATGAGCTACATCTTCCACGAGGGTATGTCTTCTTTTTCTTTCTATAATCTTGCTTTCATTATCTGACAACTTGGTTACTACCACCAGACAACGCTATCCCCATCGAAGGCTGGATCAACGACCCAACCGACAACGGCCTGCTCCATCTGGTTCCCATGCTGGAGGCTCTGCAGTACGTCACGGATGTCCGCGCCCTGCTAGCGCTGCGCCGAGGCGAGGCCGAGACATAAGTCGATATTGCATGTGACAGTAACGTTCAACCAAGTGGAGCGTGTCCTTTTGTTCAAGTAGAAAGCGTGTGCAGATCTCCCCCGCTGTATGCATTTTCTCGGGTCTTGATGCTAGGAAGACCCTGGATAACAATGGCCGGAGCAATTCGTCGTATATTCATAATGGCACCCGGAGTTTCTGTTTTCTCTTTTTTTGTGGCTTCTATTATCTGCGCTTGTATTCTGTTGGTGGGATGGGGTAGGGGAGCTATTCGTACATAGCCACAGTCATTGCATTCTGGCTTTTATATTATCTTTTTATAAAGTTTTCTATCGTGATGTATCTGTGCTCAATACTTTGGTTTTGGTGTGGTGGTGCTGTTATATATTTCTGCGAGTAGATATACTTTAGCCACCACCAGACGAAAACACCATCTAGTCCAGATAGATGAAGATAGCGACTAAGAATGAATGTTTTAAGACGAGAGGATACCTAAATGCTACACACCACGCACTACACGTTATTATACACTACAAGTACGACTGGTTGATGCAATGCCCCTAAAGTCCACTCATCCTTTACATCGACTCGACACAACACGCCTCCGATCGAGAGGAAAACAAAAGAAAACAAAGAATATCGATCTCGCTTTGGCGAGTTGCATTCAACTCAACCAAAAAAGGTACAGGTACTCAGCCCCCACGGATGATACAGAGACAATCATAGCCTATATACACAATCGAACGCCGGGACAGAGCAGGAAAGCAGGCAGGGTAAAACAGCGTAAAACAGAGGGAAAAACATAAAGCCCAAAAAACACAATAATAAGCGCGCCTCGCTACTCTTTGTTTCGATCACGCCCAGGAAGACGAGATGTTCAGATCGTGTAGTTGCAACGGAACAGCCGAAAAGGAAAGGGTGGATGGTTGGGGGATGGGAGATGCCGCTACATGGTGCGGTGGGGTTTGAACGAGAGAAAACGGGGTGATGAGAAGGGAGGGAAAGAGATGGGTTCGTCAGGAAGAGGGTGATGGATAGGAGAGGCGGGACCGACGCGCAGAACGGGATGGCCTGGTTGGTCTTATGTGGCCTCTAGGCAAAATGAAAAATTGCCAAAATGCTGTTTACAGGAGAACAAGAAAAGCCAGAATGGGAAGTGGCCAGGGCATGATGATCTGCACTGCATTGCTCAGGGTGAGGCTGCCGGGGGGGGCTCTCTATTCTTGTCCAAAACCAAGCGTTTCCTCCACTGCGATGGTCAATTTGTGCTCCAGGGTATCGTTCGTCTTGTACGGAGGAAGATCAAGACGGTTGAAGCTGAAAACCAAAAGTATTAGCGGCGTGTGTCTTTCAAGAAATGGGAAGTCAAAAACGTACCATGTGTGCGACTTAGGCAACGCAGCAGGATCGCCAGACTTTTCAATCGTGAATCGTCGAGGCCCGTCAGAGCCCTGGAGATCCTTGAATCCGTTGACGGGGATACGCGACGTGCCGGTGGTGAACTGGAGGAGACGCGACTTCTGCTCGGCGTCCCAGCTGCGGACGATCTTCCAGAAATTCTGAATCACCTCGTCCTGCTCCTGGTAACCGCGGTAGTCGGTGTGCTTCTTCCAGTCGTCCACGTCGATATCGGCAATACCGCCGATGAGTAGCTCCAGCTCGCGCTCGTCGAAGACGTTGACCAGATCCGCGGGGATCAGCTCGTTGAAACCCGACATGAACGCGTTGAACTGCTCCTCGACCCGCTTCATAATCTTCCACTCCGTAACCAACCTAGACCTGGGTCAGTGGACAGTAAAGGCAGATATGCGAGACAAACTTACTCAATGTACTGTGCCTTGTTCTCGTTAGTGACGGGGATGTCCCGGCCATTGGGTATCAAATCAATAGTGCGACGCTCGCCAAACTTCTCATCATCCACCGAAAAGGTGAGTTCCACAATCCCTTCAATGTCATTATCCAGAGTCCAGGCCAAATTCCGGTGCAGATCCTCATCCACACCTTCCATGTCCTGGAGACTGACCTTCTTCCGCAGCATCATCTTGTAGAAGGCTCCGATGAAGAATGAGTCCAGGAAGCGGCGATGGAAGATGGCCAGGCCAACCACTCGGCCAATGAACTTGAAATAGTTGAGATGCTCCGGGTTGACGCCGGAGTGAGGATTAATCTGCAGGGTATAATTATCGTGGGCGGAGTATTCGAAGAGACAGTAGAAGGGATTGAACATTTCGTGGGAAAGGAGGAAGAAGAATTCACTGTTCAACTCGTTAGCACCATCCCTCGTACTGTTATTCTGGTGGCAAAGACATACCGAGAAAGACCACCATAATCCAGACCGTCTTCCCCGTCGAATTTGATCATCAGTCGCTTCTTGAGATCCGAGGCGCTCTGCCGCATGATTTCGGCATAGGAATCCTCGAAGATGTTGTTGCGACGGACCTTGACGTGGCACTGCCCAGTCAAGATGCGAAGCGCAGGCTGGGATCGGAAGTAGATCAGCTTGCGTCGGAAGTCACGCTTATACTGCGGAACACCCTGGTCGAGTGATGAGGGCAGTCGGGGATCGTCCCAGGTGGTCGTCTTCGTATTGTGGTCCACGAAGTACACCCGAGCGGTGTTGGTTAGACGCATCTCCCAACCACTGGGCAACGGACCCAGTTGCGAAACAGGCTGTTGCTGAATTGTGGTATTGTTCCCACCAGTGGCTTGACCCTGAGCAAACATGCGAATATATTGCTGCCGGCGCGGATCAACCCAGGTCGTGGTCCGAGTATTGTGGTCGACAAAGTAGGGTCGGCCTTCTGGTGTGTTCCGCTGTTCCCACCCTGGAGGAAGCTCTCCTGTGCCAGCAGTGGTGGCACCCGTCGCCATCATTGAAACCGCGTTAGCATTGCTGGCCGACGATCCTGACGGCGGAGTGTGAGCTTGCGTCGCATCCGGTGGATTCGGAGAATTCGCGCCAGTCCGATCCTCAGGAAGCATTCGGCTCTCATGGGCCCGACGTTCGCGCTGCATGGTGGCTTCATTCTGCGAGCGTTGAGCCTGCGCACTATAGTTGGCTGATGGCCGCTGCCAGGTAGTGGTCCTTGTGTTATGGTCCACATAGTACGTCCGTCCCAGGTTATCCTCCCGGCGCTCCCACCCAGCGGGCAGCCGACCTTGACTATCTTCAAAGGAGCTGGGGTTAGTGCGGGCGGCGGCACCGGTCACAGCAGCAGCGGCACCATTCGCTCCGGCACTAATGGGGGGTGGCGGGCCGGTTGAAGGCGTCCGCTGGTTCAGCGAGGAGCTCGACGCAGCGGCCGCCGACACATCGATTTGGGTGGGGCCTGGCGGTGCCTGGGAGGTCGGGGCAGCAATTTGCGGGACGAGGCCACTGGAGGTTGATGATTGAGCTTGCTGACGGTGGAGGCCATTCGGCTGACTCGGATGCGGGGTACTGAGGTTTGTCGACAGGTTGATGATCAGTTTGCCGTGCACGACAAGATTATCGCTCGACTTTTTCAGATCCCGGGTGAGCATTTCTGTAGGGGGGCAGGCGGGCACGAGAGCCCTCGAGGTTAGCCCGAGCAAGTCATGACGGATTATGGATCCTAGTACATACCATCACCACCCATTTGAAGATCGATCACATCTCCGATGCGCACGTTGATGACACCGAGGAAGCCCTGGTCCTTCTTCTTGAACTTTTTCTGGTCGAAGATCTGGATCGCGAGAATGCTATCTTCGTTGACCTTCCTGCAACATCGATGGTGGTTAACACGCGTCCCCTCGGGAGACACTGGCGGCACGTACAAATCAAAGGGTTCATTCCAGTATGGATTGAGCGTCTTCTTGATCACCGATGTCGTGTGTGTTTGTTCTCCAGCGATGGTGGCCACGGCGAACGGATCAGGGAATCCTAGGATGGCGGTTAGGCGGGTGTGATGCAACAGCAACCCAGGAAGGAAAGGACGTACGGAAGACATCACGCTTGTAGAGACCGTCTGCCGCGATAACTGTCGAGAATGTGTTAGTTGCCGGCCTAGAAAGCACCCCGCAGCCTCCCGCTGGCCTGCAGACTCAAAAGGCGATCTTACTCGTGACCCGGAGATTCGGTTGGCTGCAATTCAACGAACAGGATTAGCAGGGGGCCAATATGTTGACAAGGGAGGAGCAGGGGAGCGTACGCTGGCAAGTTGGACGCCATTATGCCCTGCAGTGATTCACAGCCGGTGCGAAAGGCCGATCAATCAAGCCTAAGCAGAACAGCGCGGCGCGCACATCCGTCGAGGGGGATGGGGGAAAGAACCAAAGGGGAGGTCGCCAGTCCAGTAAAGAGTCCCGAGAGAAAAGAATGGAACCGGGGGAGGCGTGGATGGGTGTGGGAAAGGGGAGGAGGAAGAGTGATGATGAGTCGAGATAGGATGAAGAGGAGGCGAAGGAGGGAGGAGTGGAACGGCTCCGGTAATGCTGTCAGGCCAGGTGGGTATGGTCCATGTACCCGCTGTATGGGTTTACTATGGGCGAGGTACTTGTCCTGTACTTCCCACTACGGAGGGGGCTGAGCACGCTACGCCTGGCCTAGCAACACCAAAGGCCCTGAAGCCACGATCTTACTGCGCCCGGTTCGTTGTTGCTTGTTTCGTGAGGCTTTTCCAACGGGGTACGTAATCCGTAAGAGCGGGCGGGTTGACCGGTGTGAGTGGCGAGAGCGATAAGAATAAACCTAGTCAGGCTCAGGCAGCGACTTAGAAACTAGTGACTCAGTTCCTTGGACTTGCTGACGCTTGGGTCCTTACAAACTGGCGTTTACATCCTGCTTTTTTTTTCTAGTCTCGCCCGAGATACAACCTTCTTTTGAGGCTTTTTTTCTTTTTTTGACTCGTTCTCGTGCTCGTTCTCGTATTATACACAAGTCCATACGCAACTCCAAAGCCATATCCGGAGAAATGAAAAGGGATAGATCAACCTGGAAACCAGCATCCAGCAAGCCTTCTTAGTACACTTCTTAGTACGGGGCGTAGCCGCGTCCACGGCCCCGGTAGCCACCACGATAGCCGCCGCGAGGGAATGAGCCACGACCCCGGCCGCCGCGGAAGCCACCTCGGCCTCGGCCACGGTTCATGCCGGGCAGGTTAGTGCGTTTGGGGACGACCTGTAGAATGAGTGAGATGTCAGCGCCGACCACATCCAGCAGAAAGAAGCGAGAAACGGACCTTCAGATTGCGACCGCGGAAGACACTCTCGTTGAGAACCAGCGCCTGGGCCACCAGACTCGGCTCTGCGAATTCCACGTAGGCATAGCTGCGACGCCACATAGTTAGTACACCAGGGTCCTTGCAGCGGAGACTCGGAGCAGAGCATTGGACATACCCCTTGGGCTGGCCGCTGAACTTGTCCAGCAGGATCGTCACGCGGTTGATCGAGCCACAGCTCTGAAAGTGCGCCTGGATCTCCTCGGGCGAGGCGCCGTAGTCCACATTGCCGACAAATACACTCCGCGCATCGATCTCTTCTTTATTTTCTGCCAGGTTCTCCGACTGCTGGTCGAGCGTTTGTTGCATCTCGCGCAACTTGGCAGCCTCGGACTCCATCTCGGCCACCCGTCGCTTCATCGCGGCGATTTCCTCCTGCAGGGAACGAGAGCATGTTAGCAGAGGCGCGCGCAATTTTTTTGGTCCAGAGAGGAGGGGGGAGGAGGGGCGACGTCGCAACGGAGGATTCTGCTTCGGCGCATCGCTGCCCACACGCACCTCGTCATCTCCACCGGCTTCCTGCGGGGGAAGCTGCTCGTCCTTCATCTCAGTCTGTTCGGAAGCCATGGTGGCAGAGTGATAAAAAAAATCGATTGAGAGGGTTGAGTATCAGGTCGTCGCAATTGGGGTGGATGGGTGAGGGCAGCAATCAGAGCTCTCGTTTCGTTCCGCGCAGAGATTAGAGCGGCGGGCCGAGACACGGGAAATACACCGATAGAAAGATCACACAAAACCCCGAATGTAGATGGTCGGTCTGCAACGGGCAGCAGGGAATGAGAGTTGGAGACTGGACAAGTGATTGGAGGTGCAGGAACTGGGGAGGCTTGCTCTTTTGGGACTAGTGCGATCACCTGGGCAAGGGAGGAATGAAGATGGAGTATACAACCACGAAGGAAACGAGTGAGGATCGCCGAATCGATCTGGCTGTAACTGGTTCATTTATTTTCCATTCTTGCCTTGGTCCATCTATATAGTACGCAGTGGCAGCAGAACTGGACCTCCAGGTATCATCATGATGGGAGTTGAATTGAGAGAAAATCAGGACTCGGAATTCAAGGAAACTATATACAAGTCGGAAAGAAGGAGAGGATGGGGAAAGGGTGGTTGTCTATCTATCAATATCACGAAGCCGGGGCGTGATTCTTGCGGAAGGAGACCTTCTCCACGGATACGTTCTCGACGCCATTGGCATCGGTCTTGAGCTGATAGACGTACAGCACGAGGACATCGCCTTGAATCTATTGCAATCGGTCAGGGTTAGCACTGGCAAAGAAAACAATCCCTCGACCCAAGAAGGCCAACTCACATCCATCAGGCAGAAACTCGGAGTGGGCTCCTCGCCGTCGGGCCAGAACCCGGAGCTCATGGCCCCCGTCGCACTGCCAGGATTGATAAAGAACCGGCCTTCCATTTCAAATGCCTCGAACCGGTGCGTACCGCCCCAGAGCAGGATATCCACGTCCATCTGGCGCGCGGCGATCAGGAGCGCATCCGCGTCGCCGGGCGGGATGATGGTGTGGCCATGGGTGAAGCCGATGCGCAGACTGCCGTGTGTGACGATCTTGGAGAGAGGGAGGTTGGGCGAGTCGACGTCGTAGTCGCCCTTGACCATCTGCAGGTCTGGGGCGACCTGGCGGAGGAACTCATACGTCTCACGGTCGGTCAGGTTGCCCAGACAGAGGATCTGGCCGATCTTGCCAGGGGTTAAGAGTTTTTGGAACTGCAAGCGAGGGAGTTAGTGACGGTCAGTAGTGGGATCCGTCCACGGCCACACATACCTTGGCTGGTAGGTCCTACGGGCGGAGGAGGGTTAGCTGCGGGGGAGTGGTGACCCGGACGAGAGGACTCACAGGCGCCCGGTCGGGGATGAACAGGTCACCGATGACCAGGACCAGACGGGCGGTCATAATGAATGGTGGAGACGATGGTGCTCATTCCAGGTGATCGCTGGTGATGCTGCTTCACAGGCACTCGCGGGGAAGCACGACGGCCATTACGTCAGCAGCCCTAGCAGCCCATCCGAATGTAGTAAGTTCAAAGGCACGCTTCATTGCATTGGCTCGTCAGGCCGAAGAGGAATGATTCGGGCGAGAACTTCGGTCTGGAGATTCCAGTCCAGGGCATGGTGCATCCGATCAATGCATTCCGATCTCTGCGGAGGTCGCCGCGATGCTGGGAGGAGAATCAGCGGTAGGATGGTGCATACAGCGCAATCCCCAGACTGCTGGGGGGTTCAATGGGTGAGATCGGAGGCGATTGAGAGTCAGTGTTGGTTCAGGAGAGGGGGGATAATGAATTGAGCTGGTGAAGCGTAGGGGTAGGTGGATATACGATCCCCATACGGTGAGCCAGAGAGCCCACAATAGGAATGAATGGAGGGACTATTGATGAAGCAAAAAGAAATGGAGAGCAGGCTGGAATAGGGAATCGTCCAATCCCATCATATCAGAATCACAGCTACCGCGTAGAGACATGTCCTGGGCGTTGTATACCCTCGCCGCGAGTCGGGCGGAACCTCCCGATGAACTAGAGCAGAATTGTTGGGGATGGAGACAGCTCGCTTCAAAAGGAACGAGATCCCCAGTCAATTTCATTCCTCGCAATCCCTCCATTACTACTTGGACCACCCTACTCCTACTATATCAGCAGGAGAGTCGTTCACTAGTCCCCCTACCCCCGGTCCAGTACATCGGCGGCGATCCCCGATCCCTCTCCCCTTTCCCTCGGGAATCCACGATCATCACTCAGCTGCCCCGCGGTCGGAGCGCCGCGAATCGGAAAAGCTGGCACCCAGAACAACTACGCAACGCTTGAGCCTGATCTCCAGACACCTGGACCAGCGCCTGCCGTTGCCTGAGCTTAACACTCCCTTCTCGTCCGAGAGAGACTCCCTGCCTTCCGACGACCTCGATTATAAACCCGTCGACCTCTCCAACTTTCCTCCCCCTCCCACATCCCCCATCATGTCTGCCCAAGCCCCTCATAACACTTTGCTCATCCCGGGCCCCATCGAGTTCGACGATGCCGTGCTGCAGTCCATGGCCCACTATGCGTGAGTCGACCCTGCCTGGCCCTCATCCCATACATAGCATGTCCTTTGCTAACCGCCGTTCTTCTTCTTCCCAGCGAGAGCCACGTCTCTCCCAGCTTCGCCAAGGTCTTCGGTGAGGCCATTACCCTCGTGCGCAAGCTGTTCCAGTCGACCGACCCCGCCGCCCAGCCGTTCGTCATCTCCGGCAGCGGCACCCTAGGCTGGGATCTGGTATCCGCCAACCTGATCGAGAGGGGCGATAACGCACTGGTGCTCAACAACGGCTACTTTGGCGATTCGTTCGGCAACTGCCTGGAAACATACGGTGCCCAAGTGACGCAGCTCAAGGCGGTTATCGGCGAGCGACACTCCCTTGAACAGGTCGAGCAGGCCCTGAGGGCGAAGCCGTACAAAGTTATCACCATCACCCACGTCGACACCTCGACCGGCGTGCTGAGCGACATCAAGGGCGTGACGCAGCTCGTCCGCCGGGTCAGCCCCGAGACTCTGGTGGTGGTGGACGGCGTGTGCAGCGTGGGTTCGGAGGAGATCGCTTTCGACGAGTGGGATCTGGACGCCGTGGTCACGGCCAGCCAGAAGGCCATCGGCTGCCCGCCCGGTCTGAGCATTGTGATGTGCTCCGGCCGCGCGATCCAGCGTTCCCAGTCGCGCAAGACCCCGCCGGGCTCGTACTACGCCTCGATGGCCAACTGGCTGCCCATCATGAAGAACTACGAGGCCTTCAAGCCCTCGTACTTCGCCACCCCTCCCACCCAGCTGGTCCACGCCCTGCACACCACTCTCAGCCAGATCACCGCCCGCCCCGTCTCCGAGCGCATCGCTGTGCACGCCCGTGAGTCGGACCGCGTCAAGGCTGCCGTCGCCGAGTTGGGTCTCAAGCAGTTGGCGGCCAACCCGGACTCCCAGGCCCACGGCATGACCGCCATGTACCTGCCCGAGGGTCTGACGCCGCCGGACGTGCTGCCTGGTCTGCTGAAGCGCGGCGTGATCTTCGCAGCCGGCCTGCACAAGGAGATTGCCACCAAGTACATCCGCTTTGGCCACATGGGTGTCAGTGTGACTGACCCCAACCGCAATGATATTGACCACGCGCTGGCGGCGCTGAAGGAGGCTCTCGCTGAGGCCAAGCAGGCGAAGGGCTTGTAAGTAGTGTACAGTCTGGACTGATGTGGCCTGCACCCGATATGTATTCTAGATGTGATCCTGATAGATGGACATCTACGGAATGAATGATCAACTATAGACTAAAGCTCTTCAAGTCTTCAAGTGTATACCAAACTGTACCTCTTGACGTAGCCCTAATCCACCCCTCGACCTGCAGCACGAGAGGACCGATGCCGAGCGAACAGCTTCACCAGGAAATACCCAAGGAAGGCTGGACGTTCTTGTCGGAAAAAACTTCTCCCTAGTCCTCCCTACAGAAGAGAGATATCGACTCAAAAAGCCCATCGAGGCTGGGAGGATGGTCAGTCGATGCTGGAATACCTTCCATTGGCCAACCGAGAGACCTACAAAGGGGGCATGGCAACGAAGAATGCTCCCCCAGACTCTAACGGGAATGCAAGACTCCGAGCCCCTTGCACCCCGACACCCGCAAAAATGCAGCCAATATTTTGTTGCTTGAGAATTGCCCTCGCTTCCGGTTTCCACAGCAGTAATGCAGATCAGATCTCCCCGCCACACCGGGCCATTATGCTTATTTTATGTGGGCGTCTGTTTGCGACGGACCACTCATCGTGAATTAAGGGGGTGCACTCGAGCAATTTCCGATTCCGGTGATTGGCAGTGTTCTAAGAATCATTGGAACAAAGTCTCTTATGTATGGCTTTCTCTCAGCGGGTAACACACAGTGCCCCCGCCACTTTTATACTTCTGGTTGCGGAAATCCGGGCCGCACCCCCCATCCCCAAATAGGAAATTTGTATATTCAGCTGTCTCGCTTCCGATTATGGAATGGAATGTTATGGCCAAGGTGGCCAAGGATCAATAAACATATATTTGAGCTGTTTGTATCGGTTGACTCTGATTTTCTTTTCATCTTCTCCAATCATCCTTCATTCTCCCCTTCCCATACCATCTCATTTCATCTCATCCTATCTCACACTCTCTTTCTCTATCCGATACCCATCCCTACCGAAAACTAAACCATCACCATGCGCTACACAACCGCTATCTCTGTCATCATTGCCGCCTCGGCCAGTCTGGCCTTGGCTGATAGCGACTCGAAGTGCGCCGCGCAGAAGTATGTCTTGCCTTGTTTACCTTAACACGTCGTGTTTTATCAAGCTCTTGTCTAACCATCAAACACTTCCAAACTATAGGGTCGTGGACCAATGCATAACGGATATGAAGTTCCAGCTCGAGAACTGCGACACCGGAGACTGGGAATGCATGTGCACACACAGCACGAATGTCGTGGAGTGAGTGGCTTCCCACACCCCAGATATTGCGACCCAACCAGAGAGAAACACACTAACACCGTCAAAAGCTGCTACAACAACTGCCCCGAAGACTCGGAGCGTCTAGGTGCGCAACAGATCCGGCAACAGAACTGCGCCAACGCGCGAGCCTACTCGGGCAAGGCGGTCGATGTCGCCACCAGCACGGGTGTATCGTCGACAGCAGCGGTGAGCATGACTCGCATGGCCACCTCGAGCGCCGCACACTCCACCTCAACGGGACTGGTCAGCAGCTCTGACGAGTCGACCACTCACACCGAGCAGAGTGATTCGTCGTCAGATGAGAAGCCGTCGAAGAGCCTGACTGGGCTGTCTGCTACTTCTAGCCCGTCGCAGGGTGCTGCGGTCTCCAACCGTGTGGCGGAGACGGGGATGTGGCTGGCTTTCCTGGGCATGGGGCTTGGTGTTGCCCTGTAGAGGGACTTTGATGGATTTTCATTGGTGTTGTTGTTTTTGCATACTGTCCTGGCCTTTACATGTGTACAGGATAGTCTAATTTACCATTGGTCACTGCATTGGAAAGACCATGTCAATATGATATGGAAATAATTGCTCGGATTATATTCAACGAGCGAACGTATGCCATCCATAACTCCTTCGACAGATCACGCCTCAATCCCGCTTGCTCTTCTTGCTATTGCGAGACCCCGTACCCTTCTCATCTTTATTCCTGATGCTTCCGCTTCTTGCTGATCTTATTTCCCTTCGGCGTATCATCCGGAGGAGGCTGATTGGCCTTCTCAATCTTCGTGCGCGCCTTTAAAAGAGTCTCTGGATTTTGATCCTGGTAGAAGCCCGAGAAGGCGACGTTGCGAAGCACAAAGGCTACTTTCTCAATATCATTGTGAGAAATGGGCTGCGCAGCCTCGTCCTCCTCGCTTTCACCATCGTTTTGGCCGGAGGTACCCATGCTGCGGTTCAATCTCTCGCGAAGCTCCCACGAGGCATTCCACAGCTCTCGATATTCGCTCACGTTGTATTTGATGTTCAGCTCTCCGTTCGGCCGCTTGTACTTTGATGGCTTTTTCTTTGGGTTTGTTTCCACGCTTGCTCCGCCGCTGCTGATCGAAGACTGGGGTTTCTGCGCATCTTCGGGCTCCGGGAATTCCTTTAGGCATAGCCAAAGATACACATCGTCGCTGTAGAATGGTATTTGGTGCGAGGCATCGCCTTCAGCCGTGGAGATGGACAGGATCAATGATGCTGTGGCGGGGCCAATGCCGCGCAGTGGCTTAGTGAGTGCGTCCAGACTAGGTCGTGGGAATGCCTCGTCTGGGTAGAGCATGGGGTCTGCGGTAGGAAGTGCGGAAAGCGCTGTGGCAGTGGATTCTCGCACGAGGTTGGCCTGGTTGGCTTTGATATATCCCATGAGAGTGGGACGGGCCACGCCGTGTTTCCTGGTGAATGGTTAGATCATGGAACATATAGTTACAAGACGCCAACATACAGCTTCCACTCCATAATAGAAACCAACTCGTCTTTAATCAAATACCCGTTCTTCTCCTTCCCATCATCTCCTGTCTTCCTCTCCGCGACCTTCTTGGGAAGCCCCTCATACCGCAACTGGTCTAATTCGAGATATTTGTCAGTCTCAGTCTGGATATACAGCTCCTCAGCGGCATTGGAATCCGTTTTCTGAATCAGAGCTGCGCCTGTGGCGGTGGCAGACGCAGAGCCCGCCCCCTTCTTCGACTTGGCCAGCGACCCCTTTGTCGGCTTGGGCTGCAACTTGATCATCATCTTGCGCCGATATACCTGCTCCGCAGTGGTTGCATAGCAGGCGAGCAAGCGGCGGAAGGTGGGAAGAGTGATTCGGTGAGGGTGGAAGGTTTTGTCATAGGATGGGTCTTCGTCTTCATCCTCGCTCTCGTCCGCGTCTCCAACGAGGGGGATAGAGCCGTCTTCTTGCTTCTCTGACTCTCGGTTGGGGGCATCAGCCACCACGTCTGTGTCGATAGCCATTTCGAGGTTGACGAAAGCTTAGCTGTCGTTGACCTGGAAGGTGTCGCAAGGTCCGCGGAAATGCGGTCAGACCAGAGGGATACGCGCTGTCTTCTCGGACGGCGAAAGGATTTCTGAGTACAAGCCCGAGGGTAGCAGAAATGGACCTATGGCTCGGAGCGAAGTGGCGGAGCAATTGGTGGTGGTCGAAGCAAGAGAAACAAATAGGAAGCTAAGATTCGATCGTCATCGCCGATAAACCACTGTAATCTTACGGAAGATCATTTGGACGACGTGAATTACACTTTCTTTCCCTACAGTCACCACTCTACTCCCATCTCAGACATACACGCTTCGGATCCATGGAATAGCCATGGAAAGGCTTCATTACACAGCTATCAGGTACAGGCACATCATCAAAGGAATCAGAGTCATCATCCATCACCGTCAGCCATCATCAAGATGACACGATCCAGACCGAAACATGAAAGCAGACCGTCCATTTTCTCGGCAATAAAAAATAAAAAAACAAAGCCACATATGGCATGAGGCACAAGAATCAGAAGAGAAGAGAGTCTTGAAGCAAAACAAGAAGTGAAGTTTTGGAGATGGGTGTTGGTATTTACCGGCCAGATGGAGCAGGTTTGGGCCCGCGCTTGGATTTGGGGTTCTCATCGGAATGGACGAAGCTGACGTGCTTGTCTTCCTTATCGGAGTCGTCAAACGCAGGCATCATCGATGGAATGTTCTTCTTGGATCGGCTTCGCTTCAAGGGTTTGGACAATTTCGGCGGCGCGGACGGAGCAGGACTCGCCAGCGATGGACCGGGCTTGGCTTCGGTGGTCGCGGTGGACGGAGTGGCTGTGCGCTCATCGCCCTCCACCTCGATGTGACCGATATCTTGGTCGTGGTCGCCTGCCTCGGAAGAGCTGGGCCCATCGGACTCAGAGCCTGCTTCAAAATCATCCTCGTCGTCGCTCACCAAGCTCGGAGCTTGATTCGACTCTAGCGTGTTTGGACTGAGGTTTGCCGGGTGACTCATATGGTCTGCTTCTCGAGGCTGAATTGCTTGAGGCGTGTCTGATAAGGAAATCTCTGAGAGGTATGACGGCTGGAGGTGATGCGGTGGTCGAGACGGTGTTGATTCTTCCAAGGATTGCGCGTCGTGCGGGTTTCGGTTAAGCCCCTTGTGGCCTTCCGAGCGCTGCGATGCGGCTTGTGCGGTGGGCATGCGCATTGGCTGTCGACCAGCGCGTGCTCCGAGTTGAGACGCCTCCAAACCGGAGTCGGACGGTCGCCCAGAATCGTCCGTATCCATATCGTCCTCGCTATCGGAAAGACCATCAAGGTACACAGGTGTCTTGGCATCTGCCACCAGTTGGTCCATATCCACACCGACACCGCGGTCCCGCATCAAGGCTGACAAGTGAGGAGTCGCGGGAGAGGCGAGAAATGAAGGGTTGACAGAAATCTTGGCTGGTTCGGTTTGTCGGCGCTGCTCGCGAACCGATGGTCTTGTCGCGGGCGGTGTTGCAACAGTTGCGGCCGCGTTCATGTCAGACGGTCGCTGAGGAGTGACTGAGTCCTTGGCGGGAGTGGTGAGGGAGTTCGAAGGCGAAGGCAGTTGAGTAGATCGAATCAGCGGATGGACATATCCAGGAGCCACCGGAGCGCTGGTGGATTCACTTCGGCCGCCGATGACGGTACCAGCCTCATCCACCTCGACCGGTTCACCCGACGCCATCGCCGCGGCGTCGTGGCTGGCAAAGTTGCGGTTGTGTGCGATGCGACAGTGGTTGATGAATCCTTGCGTGCTGGAGAAGTTGTCCCGTCGGCAGTCCAAACAGATTAATTTGACGAGCACGCCGTCCGATTTGCGCCGGATCAGCATCGGCCCCGCCTTCTCCTTGATCAATGGGTAACCACTGGGCAGAGATTGCAGCTTTGCACTAGCCGAACCCCGTTGAGGACGCGTCTTGCTCGCCAGCGAGCCCATGTCCACCGGGTTGCCGCGCGTTGACCGGCCCTCGACCTGCGGAAAGCCGTTGGCACCGATGGAGGCAAGACCCGGGTCGACCTCACCCCCATCGAAGCGAGGGTCAGGGAGCAACCAGCGCGCATAGTGGCGCGAATATGGTCCCTCGGTGACCCCCCAGGGCGCTGGAGATATCGGCGCAGGTCCTTTTCCAGGTACCAACACCGACGCACCAACGCCAGAGCTGACAGTCGACGACATGCCCGTGGCAAGCGATCCCGGGTAGGGGATCTCCGCGCAGCGTCGCAGTTGTTCCAGTGCGACCTGACACTTGGCGATCTCCTGGTCGATGAGACGCAGTTCATTGTGCTTCAGCAGCACCTCCAAGCTCAGCTGGGCCGTGATGGTATCGCGCAGCTGGTTCACATCCGGGGCCCCCGTGGCGGCGACCTGCGCCGGCGGATGCGCCGATGCGACCGGGGTGGATGGAGCAACGAGCGGCGAGGCGAGCGGTTTCGAGACGACTGGCTGCGACACCGGCGCTGGTGGCAGAGTGTTGGCGACTGGCGGTTGTGTGCGTGGTCTGGTCGGGGCGGGCGCGTCGGTGGCCGCGTCCGAATCGGATCGCTTGCGCTTCAGCCGGGGTAGCGACAAACCGTTAACTCCCGGCATGGAGCAGTTGGAGGAGGGTGTGGCGAGCATCGTGACCTCTTCCGCCATCACCTTGTTCCCTCCGATTGCAGAGGACCAGGGGAGCAAACGAAACATGCCATGCGAGAGTGCGCCGGAGCCGGGCGGGAACGGCAGCGGTGGAGAACGAGCGATCGGAGGGAAGTTAAAGGGGCGCTGTGAAGAAGGCCATGCGCTCCAGGAAAGATAAGAAGTGTATTACGTGGTAATAAGGAGGGAATGAACGTGGACTGGGCTGGACCGTCCGACCGTGAGAAAAAAGTGGAGTGGTTGAGGAGTTGGGGGTGAGAGGTAGAGAGAGTAGGGAGCGACCGGAATGGGAAGAGCCAGGGAAGGGAGTTGTTATGATTACAGGATCGGGGGGGAGAGACAGTGGCGAGGGCTATTAGTAAGGGAGTTGGGCTGGAGGCCAGGGATGAATAATCAATAATCAGGGAAGTGAAGGGAAGGGAAGGGAAGGGAGGAAGAGGACAGAAGCGAAACGAAGAGAAGAGAAGAGGGAGAAGAAGGAGAAGAGAAGAAGGACAGAATGTCGGACAGACAGAGAGAGGGAGAGAGAGGGAAGAGAGAAAGAAAGGGGGACAATGGGCGAGGAACAGGCAGCCAGAAGTAAGAGTGGAGCATCACATCATTCTCGCTGTATCCAAACACGTCACCACTATGGTTCCACTCACTATCGATCGATTGTTATCTATCGATTGAGGAGGATGGTGTGCGGCTCTGTTCCCTTGCGCCCGGCAGCCTATTACTGTCCTATTTCGGGATCCCCACGACGCACTGGACAGATCTAAACCCCTCGGACTTTCCGATTCCGGCCTCAGGCGCTCAGACCACGCCCTGTCGATCTGGGATCTCCGGGCGAATCAGCGAGACGCGACACAACACCATCATAATGCGGAGAATCTGGGGAAGGATAACCCGTGCGGCCACGGCAGATGATCGCGGGTCTTGTTAAGCGCATATAAACATGCAGAAGGTCTCGGAGACAGGTCCTTCAAAACCCTGAACGGACTCGCCCACTCATGCGTTCGGCCGCTCTGACTCCCCTGGTCGCCCTGTTGGGTACCCTGCCGGCAGCCTCTGCCACGCCGCGCCAACACCCGTCGTATGTGGACTGGCGCACCTTCCGAGCCAACGGCGTCAACCTAGGCGGCTGGCTGGAGCAAGAGTCCACCATTGATACCGCCTGGTGGGCAAAGTACTCTGGCGGTGCATCAGACGAATGGGGTCTGTGTTCGCACCTTGGCGCCCAGTGCGGACCCGTCCTGGAAGAGCGATACGCTACCTTCATTACCACAGCGGACATTGACAAGCTCGCCCACGCCGGCGTGCAGATGCTGCGCATCCCCACCACCTACGCCGCCTGGATCAAGCTGCCCGGCTCGCAGCTGTACTCCGGTCGACAGCAGGAATACCTCCGGCGGATTGCGGACTATGCCATCGAGCGGCATGGCATGCACATCGTCGTGGACATCCACTCTCTGCCCGGTGGGACCAATGGACTGGACATCGGCGAAGCAACGGGGCACTGGGGATGGTGGTGGAACGAGACGGCGCTGGACTGGTCGCTTCGTGCCGTCGACGCGCTGATCGACTTCGTGCAGACCTCGCCCCACCCAACGGCGTACACGATCGAGCCCATCAACGAGCCTGCCGATAACCACGACTTCTCGGCGTTTGGAACCCCCGACGCCCTGTCGGACCACGGCGCCGACTGGCTGCTCAGGTACATCCACGCCGTGCTCGCCCGCGCCGCGGCTGCGGCCCCCGGTCTGCCAGTGATGTTCCAGGGCAGCTTCAAGCATGAGGAGTACTGGTCGCCGCATTTCGAGCGAGAGGCGAATCTCGTCTTTGACCTGCACCACTACTACTTTCAATACGACAACTCGACATCGGCCAATCTGCCCGAGTTTCTTTGTGCCGATGCCCGCGTGAGTGCAGGTGATGGCAAGTTCCCGACTTTTGTGGGCGAGTGGGCGATGGAGGCTGGCGCCGCTAACTCGCTGGCGCTGCGTGGGAGGAACCTGCGTGCAGGTCTGTCGGCTTTTGAGCATTTCACGCAGGGGAGTAGTTACTGGACGGCCAAGTTCTGGAGTAATGCGACCGTCGTGGGCCAGGGCGATAAGCAGGACTATTGGAATTACGAGGAATTTATTGATGCGGGATACCTGGATGGGAGGGTTGTAGAGTCGGGTTATTGCTCGGAGTGATCAATGGAATTCAATTGATCATACGGTGCCCTGGTGATATATCCTGGAAAAAATCCCGCAAAATGTACATATTGGAAGGTAGCTCGTCGCATGTGAGAGCTGCCGACAAGTGTAAAAGGCAGCATTCCAACATGAGAGACGTGAATTCAGCCCGGGGACGAGAAAAAGAAAGCTCGCAGAGCATCGAGAAAATTGGATCCATCGTACGGGACAGAAAAATGTATCGAGAAATCAAAAGTCAAACACGAAAGAAAAGACTCGTTCCAGATAAACGCCATGGAGACAAAGGAAGAAAATGCAATGCCATCACACTCCAGATCAATCGGACTCTCCATCACGAATTCGCAGAATAAAGTTAACAATAACGGCCGCCAAGAGAGCCAGGGCCAGTATAGTCGGTCCAAAGCGGTCGTCGATCCCGCTCTGTCCACGACGCCGGATACTCTGCGCGCGCCAGTGGAATGTAATGAGCGCATAGATCATGGCCGCCATGGCGATGACGGTGAAGAGGGCGGCGGAGATGCGGCCGATGCGATCACCAAAATTGAGGAGCCCGACGGCGAGACCGCCCAGGATAACGGTGAAGTTAAGCCATGAGAGGAAGGTCCGCTCGTTCGCGAAGAAGACTTTCGGCTCGACGCGGGTGGGGAGGGCGATTCGTTTGCCTTGTTATGGGGTTAGTCGGTTGGTATTTTGGTGGGTTGGGTTCAATTGCATTGCGGCGATGCAGCTGCTGAAGTGGAGGGGAGGGGGGAAGGAACATACCGGGAGCTGTCTGGAGGAGTGGCTGGCTCGACATTATCGGGAAGGGAGGGAGGGGAGAGGAGGGGAGGGGGAGTAGAGGAGGAATTGAGGATAGAAGCTGAGACGAAGGTAAAGCAATGCCAGCAGTAATAAGTCGAAGTGCGTGAGGGCGACTGAGAAGAGAAGAGAAAAGAAGCTTGTGCTGCCTCAGGCCCCGCATGACATAGCTTGATGCTGCTCACACCGCCCACGGGGGCCCAATGATTCGCTGCGGTACGCAGCAGATCGGGGTACCCGAACGATACTTGCCGTAGTATAGGTCCTAGTCTATTTGTATCGGTGAGTGTGGTAGTAGAAGTAGCGACCATTCTACAATAGGATTAGGGTATATGGTCAGGTTTGCGAGTAAAAGATTAGGATGCCTTAATACTACTAGTACATGGAAAGCTAGTCTCTCGTTACATATTCCACCATACAGCCACAGGTGTTATCAGACAGGACAACAGTATGAGACAATTTTTGATTGCTTTGTTGAACCGAGCGGCATCCACAGTCATCAGTTTTGGGCCGAACTCCGCGGCTATATTTCCCTTCGGAAACGGTGCATCTGGCTCCGGGAGGCTCAAAAAACTACACAGCGGTGCCCTATCCATTTCTCAGCTTGACTGTCACACACAAGGAAGGGGGCGGACCATACCAGCCATCATCAACAGACCAATCAAGATAAGGCCGTTTTTCCGCCTGAAGGATCTTCTCGAGATTCGAATAGTGGCCTAGATAGGCAGCTTCGCCATTTTTCTCGAAATCCCCTTGGAAAAGGAATTTCCGATGTCCCATGTCGGTCAACCACACGCCCCAGAATAATTCTGCATTAAACCAGCTTGCAAGCCAGTACTTCCAGCTTTGCATCATCGGTAGGACTGATGCGCGGAAGCTATTCTTCCAATCTTGCACATCGCGACGCCGATTGAGGACAACCATCGCATCCGGATATGCTTGCAAGAGCTCTTCGGCAAACCAGGCAGCGGGAATATCGGTTGTGGCTTCTTCATCAGCGAGAATACGATCGAAATAGCGCGTTCTTAGGACTTCAGGCTCGGGTACCCGGTCTTGAAGCTTCAATTGCATGAGCTCACAGTAAAGCATGCTGGTATTCGGATGGTTGAGCCACCAGTCAATGCCATGGGCGACCCCATCGTATCCAAGAGCCTGGAGCACATTTCGGAGGGATTCTGTTCCGCTTCGTGGCAATCCAAGACATAACAATCGTAACGGTCTGGATCGTTGTCGCGGGAGCTCTGGCAGTGAATATACAGCTCTGGTGATCGAGGGCATAGTCGCTGTTGTCTCAGTCCTTTTTTCCAAGTTATTCCAATGAAAATGATGTAAGTTGAGCCATTTAAAAGAGGACGTTGCTTGTAAAGTACCTCACCAGAGAGTGGGAGCCTGAGGAATGTTACTGGGGGCCGCCTTAGGCCTCCCATCCAAAGTCGAGGCCCGCCACCGCCCCAACCTGACCCTTAAACAAGCGGAGAATAAGGTTGGGAGATAATTACGTCAGAAGCCTGAATATTGACCGTGAATGTACTTGGAACCATTGAATATATCTCATGACTCTCAAAAGCAGAAATACCAAACCAAAACATACAGTAGCCCCTGTTTTGGTGTCTCTCTTTTCTCTCCTGTAGGAAATAGTGAGATAGCCTCATCGCTTGAATACGATTCGCCTTGTCGTCTTTCCTTGCAGAACTGTCTGCCTGCCAGAAGTGATCCTAGGCTCTTCATATTATTGGAAGCACCATGGAATGCCGTCACTAGACCGGTGCAGAGCAGCCGAACGACGTCGCAGCAGCCGTCTGGAAGGCCGCTTTGATCGACAGTGCGGAGCCGTAGATACCTATTCGCGTTCCCCACTTCCGTCAGCATACAAGCCTTTTTGCAACAGATAGCCATATACGCCACTTACCAAGACCAGCCGTAGCAAGCGCCGCCAGCGAAACAAGCAGGTTGGCAAACTTGAATAGCACCATCCACATCCCCCCGCTGAAGAGTCCCCTCTTCCACCGGCTCCAGGACGCCCAGGTGTCAGCATGCGCAGAAAGCCCGTCCCGTGCGTAGACGTCCGCGCCGGTCTCGCCATGTAGGCGGACCAAATAGATGAAGGTGAACCCGGTGGGGAACGAGTACGTGAACTGCACGTTGGCCACCGCGGCGATCATGCTTGATAGGGTCTGCACTTGGGGGATAGCCGCGGCGATGATGAAACCCAGCGCCCAAAAACCGACGACCAGGACGGACCACAGGATGCGGCCCCTGAGAGACAGCAGCCGGGGCCCGTTGAACGTGTCCTCGATGAGGTTGACGTACATGACCTTGAGGCCGATGTTGCCGTACAGGCCGCCCGCAATGACAGACGAGATCAGTGAGATTATGTTGCCGATATCCTGCCACGTCTTGTGGCTGACGCCCTGGTACGCGACGGGCAGGGTGAACTGGCCCTGGAAGGTGTAGACGTAGAGGCCATAGAAGAAGTAGAGGCAAAAAATGAGCAGCTGGGCGCACGCGAAAGCCTTGAGGAAGTCCATGGGTCGGCGCATCTCGGCGATGATCTGCGCGAAGATGGTCGCGCCGCCGTACGCATATGCAATTTGCATCACGCCGCTGATGCGCTCGTAGAAAGGGTACGTCGCGACCAACTGCGTGACTACAGGTGCTTCCGAAATTCCGTAGGCAGCTTTAGCGGAGGCGTAATTCGGAGGGGAGTGTGCCACGAAGCCGACGGAGAGGAAGAGGACCAGGAGGTTCAGGAAGATGGCCATGCTGGATAGCCAGCTGTACCGCTTCAGAGTTCTGATCTGGCAGAGCACGATGCCTCTAATAGTTTCGTCATCCTCAGGTCAGCTTCTAAGGACCATAAAAGGTGATGGGATGGAAGAGTAGTCAGATTGGGGTATTACTTACACGACAATCCAAATCACAATCGCAACCACGAAGCACAGCTGGCCATTCACTAGCTGGTACAGCGACTGCGCGTTGCCGAGCGATGTGGTGCCGACATTGACGACCATGTGCAGCCAGATGAGGAAGGTCAGGAATATACGGAGCCATGAACCCACGATGCGATCGGCGATGTGGCTGTAGCTCTTGATGGGGAAGCGGTCGCTGTCGAGCTTGACGTAAAGCCACCAGACCATGACGCCGCCGTAGAAAGCCATTATGCCCATGAAGATGTACAGCAGGGCACCGGCCAGGTAGCCGTTCTGGCGGAAGGCGTAGGGTGCATTGAACGGGCCTAGGATGTCCGTCGTGCTGAGGAAGAAGGCCGATGGCCAGCTCGCCAGCCGCATGGCGCGCCAGGCATTGACGTGCGCTGTCTCATCCTCATCGAGGCCTGCAACTTGTACATCATCCTCCCTGCTCGAGATATGGTCAGATTCCCGAAAGGCTTGTCCGGCCAGAAGTTGCAGCTTGTCGATGATAGAGTATTTGCTAACCCTCCCCAGTTAGCCAATTGCACGGAACAGAGATAGGGCGCGAGGGGTAAGGGATAGATCAGCTAACCTCTTGAGATCTTGCGCTCTCTCACTGTCCCGCTGCTTTGAGGCATAGTAGACATAGTCAACCAGGGTCGGCTTCTTTCTCTTGGTCGTTTGCGCCACGGCCACGGTTTGACCGATTTCCCTCTCGAGTTTCTCCATACCCGTCTGGACGAACTATGTTTGATCCCAAATCCTACCCCTAGGCGTAGTTGTGCAAAGATCCCCGCACCTGGAGTCCTGCGGCATCCTTATCATATATATCCCTATTATGGTCCAGGATCAAACGTCTTATCAACCACGGCAAATCCGCCGACGCAACAGCTAAGTACCTGCCTAAATAAGGAATTTGTAAGCATCGCGTCTGAATGGCGCGAATGGCGTATGCCGTTGGCCGTCTGTGCGTTGACCGCCAGATTGGTCCGAGGCTTGGAGGCACCGAGAGGAAAAGCCAAGGCAAAAAGCTTAGTCCGGTCCCGCCATTATTATTAGGCATAACGTACATGGAATCCAATGCACTTGTAATTCTTCGCCATAACAGTTTGCATTTGTGCTGAGGAAGTCAAAAATGGCCTTATCGGCGCACGCACCCGTCCATCCCGACCACTCACTCGATCTACCCGTAACGCTATTATTATGAACGTCTATCCGTGTCATAAAACACCAAAAGCTCACCACTTTCCTTCCTTTATCACGAAATCTTGGATAGTGACCTCTCCATGCTCTCCAGGACCCCCCTGCATTCCACATGACAGGCACACTTCCATAGTCTTTACACTCTCTGTCTTGGGCATATTTAGCGATCCCTTGGCCTCCCCGAGAGACACCGAGAATGAGCATTCGCTGATCGAGGTAATCAAAGGCCGGGAGCGCTCCCCATCCTCGCATGCGGACAGCTTCTATACCTATCAACAAGGCAATCACAGCTGCTAATGTCACGCTGGCTATTATGTAAACCTGAGACCCGACTTGAAGTGCAGATACACCAACCTCCGCCGACACGGGGGCCGTAAACCTGCCAACCATCATCTGCGCCGACGCATAGCCGACAAGCATGTCATCGACCAAGGAGACCACGGCATTTTCAAGCCCCCTCATAACTATTTGTGATTCCGGCAGAGTATTACTCGTCGTGATTTGGTTCGCGACAGCCGTGCGGAAATCGCTGATGCTGGCATTGAAAGCGTCACCCAGGACCGAGCGATAGAAGCTTGTCAGGTCGTTGGCGATGAGCTCCAGCTGGCGCATGACGACGTAAGCTACCGTATGGTCGGGGTCGATGTTGCGGATCGAGTTGGCCGATGCGGAAGTTGCTTCTTTGCGAACGGTGATGTTACGTTTCTGGATATCGACGGAGATATTGAATGAGGCCGGTGTGAAGTTGACGGTGCACTGGGCCTTGTTCAAAGCTGCGTAATCGCTACCCGCCGCGATGGCCATGTACAGCTTATCTGTAAACGGGGAGGGGTGGTGAGCCACTCCGATGGAGACAATCGGGTGCTCGCTCCAGCCCACATAGACGGAATATTCCGCAACAGTACTATCTGGCAGATACCCTGTGGCGGCATATAGATTTTGTTCGTCGGTCTTCCCAAGATGAAACAGTGAGCTACCGTTGTGTATGCAAGACACAGAGGCCTCGAGATTATCTTCGCGGTATGTATAGTTGGGTGCATGGCTTATAGCGGGAACAGCCAAGTCAGAGAGACCGGGACTGGCCCCTGCGCCGTAGGACCGACCATGATAACTGTAGCGGGTATAGTCGAGCTTGTTGTGGTTGCGGGTGCCACCGTCGACGGTTGAGGCAGAACTGGCTGAAGCTAGCAAAGAATTGAGCAGACCTAACCCAACCGAGTAGGTGAAGTAGCCTTTGGCGTTACGGACGCTCAAGCCAGTCTCGTCTATCTGGCTCGGGTATTCTTTGATGAGAGAAAGGTTGGACCAGTCGGGTAAGTAGATGGTGCTCCCTCGAAGGCCAACGGTACTCACCGGGGTAAGAGCACCAGTCCATAGAGCAGAAAACACGGCGGAGAGATTGCAGACTAGTATGGTGACAACAATCATCCAGGTGGGAAGGTACCAGGGCGTGGTGGCGGTAGAGAGAGCAGACCAGAAGCCAAGAACATCGAGTGTGACCGGCGCTCTGGTGAAACGGATGCGAGTTGCCAGGTTGATTAGTCGACAGAGAGCCAGGGCCTCGATGGCTGCCAGCCCGGCGGAAATAATTTGAACAACTATCTGGACGGTTGACCGATATTCATCTACCACATTGTACAAGCTGTCCGACAAATGCCAGCTGCAGGTATGGCTCATGAGGAGGAGGATTCCTAGAAACAAAGGAATAAGAAGGAGGCTGAAGAGGCTGATGGTGACTGGTTTATCTCGGCATCGGCGTCCTTGTTGCAACGGGTGGTCATCTCGATTTGTTCTCATTGCCGCCAAGGGTCGTTCCAAGGTCTCGTACGGGCCGTCTACATCTCCGGCAGGAGTTAGATCATTGCTGCCAGTTGATGAGGCATTCATTTCATTAGGGACACCCTCAGGTAAAAAACGCTTATGGACCGGAGAGTAAGCTAGTCCCGCTGCCATGGCTGATGGGGAAAGTCGCCGAAGAGACAGAGCAATTGATGAACAACATTTGGGTAGGCGATGCCTATGAATGGGTCAGAAGTGGAATGAATCAAAAGCGTATTGGTCAATTGAGATCATCGCTATACGACGCTGGCGCTGAGCTCCTCTGATGAACTGGGGCAAATCAGCAGAACGGAGACGACCCACTTTATGCAACTAACTAGATACGACCGACCAGCGCTTCCCAGTCTCCAAGCTGGCCTATCAGCAACTCTCTTGCTCCCCGCCTACTGCTGATACTACTATATTAGAGAGCCCAAGCATGATGAAGTGGTCTTTTTGGCCTAGTTGGGAAGCGCGAGCCTAGGCGCACTCCTCACGAAAGCTTTGGAGATGCATTCCTCGGGCATGCACAAACGAACCGTTGCTTCTTATAAAATACAAAGTATCAAGTGAGATACTCCTGCTTGCCCTCTTCATCAACAGTTGTGGCTCTTGGTGCCGTGCCTAATCCCGGTCGTCCTTGCCGGGACTGCTACAACTGCAGTCAACGACGTACCAAGATATGCTGGAGCTACGGACAATTTTGTAGACAAAAATATCCTAGCACCTAAGGCAATTACGTCAAATATCAACCCAAATCCCTCTCATGCTCTCAGGAATCATGGCGTGTTTCCAGGAACTATCATTGGCTCCCGTGAACCGAATGTCTTGTTCCCAAGAACCAGATAACGTGTTCCGAGGAAGCCCGTCTGTATTCCCAGGAAAAATCACTCTACTCGTCAGCTGTAGTATGTAGGCTCTCTCTCTGGATCCTTCTCAAAGATACAGTTCAGTGGCCTCGACGAGAACTAGGTCCCGAGCATCTGTCCTCGCTCAACCTCCAACCTCCAACCAGGTCAAGTTAGGCTCAGCTATTGTCTCCGCCGAAGTTGGCAGATGAACGGTGATCTGTATGCGCTTACCCTTGAAGGCGGAACGGCGTCGCACTTTCCCTTTCATCGCAGGCGGTCGATTGAGCAGCCATCGCATTCATAGCCTCATCGTGTATTGACGATCAAAGGATAAAGGGATAAACCGTTTGTGCTGTCGGGAGCCAACGATGACTATATTTACCAGAGTGGTGTGTAGCTGCTAGGGTGCTACGTACGATCTGCAATCCAATGACTAGTAGAAAGACAGCGTGCAAGGCATTATTGATAGGAACACACAAAATTGATAGTCGCTAATGATCAAACACGATAACTCAGAAATCGGATGCTCTAGTTTCTCACGTAGCAGGGGATGGTATGATCGTACGTTTCTCACATTTGATAGGCCAGATGTCCACAATTCTTTGGAGTGATATTAACTCACTCAGAATTTTACGTCAGGTTTATTACGCCACACCCGCGAGCTTTAAAATCTTTTAAATATCAAGGCCTAAAAGGCGTTTCTAGAGTTATATAAACCTAAGGGCAAGTAATAGATATGCGTTCACTACTAAGGACCTAACACCTTAACCCCAACACCCAAAAATATGCCTTCTCTAGAGAACTGAGTATTATATACAAGCCGCCGAGGGTAGAAAACACAAAAACTGGTCAAATATTCTTTGGCTCGGGTTCATGGTCGTTAGTGCAGTTCTTGCACCACAGTTGGTCACGATCATCGCTCAAAAGTCTTCCGTATTCCAGCATCAGCCGCCACCAAACCATTTTCATGTCTTTATTACGAAGGACCCTGCGCGACCACTCGTAGCTATTTTGGGCAACCTTCCTGCCCAGAGCTTGTCCCTCCCGCTCTTGGGTTAGGTAACGAACGATTTCAGGGAAATCTCGAAGGTCCATGCTGAGCGGAATATAATGCACCCACGGAACCAGCCAGTCATCGTGCCACTCTTGGTAGAGTGTCTGTTTCAGAACGGCTGATTTGGACATTAGAAGCCGGTAGAAGCGTCCACTAAGTCCATTTCCATCGAGGTCGAGGTTATACCGTGCCTTATAGCTCGCGGCGATGGCGTCTCTCTCGCCAGCTTTGATATCCAATTCTTTCTCTTGTTCCATGCATGCACTATGTTCACATTGAATGGCGGCAGAGATTCGCACTTGGGTAGAATTGGAAATAGCTGCGATGGTGGAATTGATGGGCACCCACACGGAGTTTCGCCCATCCTGTCGCTGAGTGTGATTGAGCAAGGCAACAGGATGGTCTTTGTCCCTCAACAATAGAGCCAAACGTTGCCGTTGGAAAGATCGCCAGTTCTCGTACGTGGAGAGCCCCCCGTATTCGAACCGGTCCAATAAACAACGTTCTCCTTTTGGTCCCAATCTATATCTTCTCCTTCATGGTACTCGCCCGAGCTCAGTTTAGCAGCATAAAAGGGACTTGGGTATAGCAAGTCATTGAAGCAGGACGCTTTAGCCTGAGAGAAAATCGGAACAAGCGCGTGTGTCATTGACATTGAGCTCGGGTGACGAAGGCCAGCGTGGATGTTATGAAGCTCCGGGAATTGGCAAACATCCTTGCTTAATGTCAAGTTGGAGAGAAAGCCTATCTCGGTCAAGGCGGGAGAGTGGATGGCCTCCTGGTAGAAGTCCCGTGCTGGAGTATCAGGGGGACAAGATAGCGACATTGCATCCCAGGTGTCCTGCTTGCTAATATCTAAGAAGTCGACATGTTGCGCGAGATCGGAATTTTTCCCAGGAAGCAAGGTGCCTTGACGGGACCCTCGAGCGGCTTCCAAGGCATGAGACAATATGTCGTGAGGCACCACAACTTTGGGTTCATCCATTGTATTGATCGCAAGGGTCATATCAGGTATCGTCTCGAGGATTTCTGGGTCGAACCAATTGTTGATTACTGATCCCATCCAATGTGCGGACTTGATCGATCTGCCCTGAACAACCTTAAGCTGAATAATAGTCCCTTGGCTCGCACTAATTGCATTGTCGACGCGGGCTCGAATATCAGATGGAGCTACACCCCACAAGGGCTCTATGGCTGCCATCATGGTGTCAAACTCATCCGTCAATAGGAATCCTTGGTCCTGGGCTGCTCGGAACCACCTGTCAAAATGCAGAGGAGGCTGTCGTCCGTATCGGCGTTCGTACTCTGCGCAAGAAGCATTCAGTGTTTGAGATTGCTTCTTGACCATCGTATGAAACTTGGTTTCAGCTTGTATAGCAAGGTGGCGAATCGGGTGAACAGATGGATCGAGAATGTCCCATGGTAGAGACGGTTCCAAGCGCCATAATGCCGAGTGGCCGGTGAGGATAGGCAGCATCGGGATGATCATGAGCGCGAAAATCTTTTGCCGTGTTGCTGAGGTAGGCAGATAGGTTATGCCCAAGGCTAAGGACGTAACCGAAATCAGAAGAAAGATAAGATAGTCTTGGGCTGTAATGGCTACAAGACTTTGAATCGCACTTATAGAGTATGGCTCGATCGTGGTGGTTGCGAGCGTATAACCGCACAATACCTTCGAGGGGAGCAAAATAAAGTCAGCCACACATAATCTTGCGCTGTCGAAGAGAAAATACCACAAACCAGATAAAAAGTGGCTGTCAGTCCTGCAGAGATGCAGAAAGCGTGCAGTATCATCGACCAAACTAACGTGGAGGAGGATGGAAAAATAATCAGGACCCCGACGAGGATGCAAAATACTCGGAAAGCGATGGTCTCAAGCATCTCCCACAACGATAGGTCCTCGCTACGTTCCATGAATGTATCTAGCAAGAAAAAGCTCGATGACCTTGCCACAATAAAAAGAACCAAGATCAGGACCGAGGGGGCGTTGACAGATCTTGACATATAGAAAAGGGAACATATTCCCAGCAAACCAAGAAGAAATGATTGTATAGAACGCCGGCGTTGTAATTTCGGTGTCAATCCTCCTTTAGAAACCCCGGGTTTCGGTAAAGCATCCAGTCGTAAATCTCGATAGGACAGCGCAAGAAACGTGGATACCACTGTCAGTGGCTATACGGAGTTAGTTAACAACCAACAAATGCTAAATGAAGAAGAATAGTATACCATCACTGGTGTGATATCGTAATACACCGGCAGCACGCGCGTGACAGCGACGAAAAACGAGATGCTCCATGCCATCCAAGTGAATTCGGATCCGTGTGTCGGCAATGAGGGCGCATCTTCCGACTCAGTTGCCAGCATCTTCGATTTATAGCGTCGGAACCTAAGCCCCAGACACAGAACAGCCCAGCACAAGCACTCGGTGCGAATATCTGGGGTCCATTCTAATTTTGTTGTCGAGTAGTCGGTTGTGATCGTAGAGACGGCGATGACGAAGAATATGATGCTAGGCTCCATGGCTTTGATTTACCCGTTAGTGAACTTGAGAGCCTTGGTAGCGCATTATATAGATGTAGACCGGCATTGACATAGGCCTTACCTGTTTGTCTGTGCCTGACGAATCTAGAGCACGTGGCATTCCGGTTATTCTTCCTTTGTAGGGACACCACACCGGCCGTTTGAGAGACGGTAAAAGAATGGTAGAATTGATAGATAATAGCACCTGACTGCAGAAAAAAAGCTGAAAGAATGTCACCTTATGATACAGAACTGAGAAAACGGAAACTGCGTATGATTTTGGAATAAGAAAGAGAGCAGTTTGGAGGAGGGGGGAGCGGATTATCAGCTTGAACGAGGCCCCCCATCGGTGCGGGTTCATAATATAGGCACATGCATAAAAGCACTGCTGGGATGAGGAGGCAGAGCCAGTATTAGTACAAATTTGCGGTATGTAAGCCCCATTACTCGTCAGTGGTGTGTGCGGAAATCTCGCGAAGATTGGCCGGCCCTCCACTGGAATTGCGTATTCAACCACTTAGGGTTGACTGTGACCAAGCACGCCGGCATTCACCGGAAACTCCCAAGGCTGACGCTACAGCTACCGTATAGGCCAAAGGCTGAGGCTTATTGCTCCTACCCCCACCCGTATCCGACTAGTATTATACTGTCAAAGTTCGGATAACTATGATTAGATCTAAGGAGTATCTTTGTCAAGGTACTGTATTGAAAAAAGTTTAGGGTGTAGGCGGCCTAAATTAGGGGTTTGAGCGCAAAAGAAACTCTAAATAAGCAATTCGCTTGACGGAGGGACCTATCACCTATCAAGTGGCTTTTGTCTCAGATGGCATAAGCAGGCTGACTCGCTTAATGCAGTTAGCTGTCTACAATTCTACGTGGCGAGCTGAGAAGCTACAAAACGTCTCAAATTAGCTAGCACAACCCCATTTTTAATCATCCTCAATTAAATATATAAAGATGGACCCTTGTCAAGGCGGCCTTGTGAAGAAAGCAAACCCGAACCCCAGAGTTGATTCTATGTATCTGAGTATAGATAGGCGCACTATGCTGATAGGCCCTTCAGCGGTGGAGTGTCTGCCAACAAAGCCATACCCCTAAATTACCATCAGCAATCATAATTCATTGATGTGCAATTTAATTAGTATAACGTGGATGCAAACATACCCTTCGGGATAACGACCACCAGAAGTTGTGGTATCATCCACAACAGCCCGTATTTCGGCGACTTCATCATCTGTTAAACTTATGTTGGCAGCCTGGGCGTTGAGGGAGATATTTTCCGGGTTTGTACTCCCCGGTATGGGCAATATATCCTCTCCCTGATGAAGAAGCCACGCAAGCACAAGAGTGCTTACAGACACTCCACGTCGCGCGGCCATATCATGGAGGAAGTCAACCAATTTCAAATTCTTGAGGAAATTGTTCTCAGAAAACCGAGGTAGTCCTCGTCGGACATCATCTGGATGCAAATCATTCGGGGATCGCAATTGGCCACCAAGGAAGCCTCGTCCCAAAGGCGAATACGCTACTACTGCCACACCAAGTTTCCGGCAGGTGGATAGCAGGTTGATATTCGGGTCTTCGATGTCTAGGCTAAAGGGGCTATATTCGACTTGGACTGCGGAGATGTGGTGGACAGCGTTCCTGTTGGGGTCAACGCGTGTTTCATGTCATGCAAGGCAACCGTGGAGCTAGTTGAAAAGCAAACCGTTGTGAGTTAGGGTTACTTACGCCCTTTGCAATGTTTGTGCTGAGCACTCAGACAATCCGAGATACTTAATTTTCCCTTCAGCCTTTAGTTGTGCCATGGCTCGCACCGTTTCCTCGATAGGAGTTACCCTGTCCATCCGGTGACAGTAGTAGAGATCTATATGATCAACGCCGAGGGCCTGAAGACTTCGATCGCACGCTTCACGCACGTACTCGGCGTCATTGCGTACCTCCCCTGTCGGAGTTACGGCAAATTTGGACGCGAGAAAAATTTTGTCTCTTTTGCCAGTGCGCCGGAACCATCGACCGAGAAGGGCTTCGTTATCCTCATAGCAGTCTGCCGTGTCCCAATGACGGATACCCTTGTCAAATACTGCATCCAGAACACCCAACTTTTCAGTATCCGTAGGTCGAGGATGGTACATCGTCGAAAGACCCATAGCACCATATCCGATGGCAGTTACCAAAGGGCCATCGCGGCCTAAACGTCGAGTGGGTAGAGAATCCATGGCACATGTGCAATTCCAAGAATAATCTCAAAATCAAATTCGCAAGGTCATATATAACATTTAGATGATAAGATATGTATCTCATCTACTGAAGTAGCGGTGTGGTTCCAAGGTTGATTATGACACTATCATGCAGGAAGTGGGATCGCATGAGGATTTCCTTCAAACCGCTCGGGAACGACAGCTATGCACCCGAGGAAGTACTAAAATAGCGGTGTAGTTGATTTATTATGACACTATCAGGCATGAACAGGCTTCGCATTGGGATCTACTTCAAGCCGCTCGGGAACGACGGCTTTGCACCTGAGGAAGTGCAATGTCCACACTGTCTGAGGACTGAGTCTCCAAAAAGCGAGCTAGGATATCCAGCATCCCCCGCTGACGGGCTTCCTTTAGCCAAACAGAAAGAGCTACCTCGTGAACAGGCACGCCCACCTCACTCTCAATGTGGCTTTTGAGCTGAGAAGCAGGGAAGACAGTCTCACCGGATTCGTGGACATACGAAACCTTTCCTGGCAGCGACGACGGTTGGTCCAGAACAACGTGTAAAATATCGGCCGCCACAGTTTCGACGCGTATCAAGTCGACAAATCCTGGGCAATGACTTAAATCTGGAACGGAATGCATTAACCGGCACCATTGCAAGACTGCGTTGGTAAGGTCTGTTGCCGGAGCGTTGGCTCCGACAATGCTAGAAGCGCGATAGATAGTCACGGGGATTTGATACTTCATGTGCACTCGTTCCAGCGTGATCTCACTGACCCATTTGCAAGCCAGATAGCCATTTGAAATCCCTTCATGGGAGGTAGGAGGGGGAAATTTGCCAAGGATGATTCTTCTAAGGCACCTCCGTCCGTAAAATGTGCCAGCGCGGCAGTGGATACAAAATGAATGGGCACGCCGTGGAATACGGCCAGCTCTGCGATTTCTCGCGTTGACTGAACGTTCGTCCCATGGAGTAGACGATAATCTTTGGCAAAAGAGACATCAGCACCGCAATGGATGATGGCGCGACATGATTGCATAACGTCTTTGGCAGTCTCAGGCGATAAACCAAGCCTTAATTGAGAAAGATCTCCCAAATGTGTTGTTATCTTCTTGCTGGAAATTATCCTGGAGGGATTGCGCACAGCCAAGCAATGAATTCGATCGATTCGATCGTCTGATATTAATTGGCGCAGCAATTCATTGCCCAGAAAGCCCGTACCGCCAGTCAATGCAATAGCCGGACGGCGCTGAGAGTCATCATTGAAGATGTTGAGTCCCTCAAGACGGGGCGCGAGGGCTGTTTCAGCTGCCCAGTCAATAAGTGTATTTTGACTTGGTGTCTTCCCAGCGCCGTTGAAATAAACATGCTCGGCTATCTCTTCGAGGGCTTTGTTCTGGAATAGATCGGAGGCAGACAGACTCAACCCTTGCATCCTGGCTGCTCCAGAGAGGGTCATGGCGGTGATTGAGTCTCCCCCTAGTTGAAAGAATCCATCGTCGGCTCCAATGTCGTCTGGGTTCAAACGAAGTACCTCGGCCCAGAGAGCTTGTATCCGGCGGCCCATGTCGCTGGTAACGGGGCGCTTGGGGCCGCGCTTGCCCGGTCGATAATTCTGAAGCTGTTCACGGGACAATCCGGCGGCTGCTTCCTGAAGTCGGGATCGATCAATCTTTCCGGAAAGTGTAACAGGGATTTCGGCTATAGAAAAGAAAGTTGATGGTATCATGAATTCTGGAATAAATTGCCGCAAGGTCTGCTGGACATGATCCAAGTCTTGTTGCCAAGTTGCAACAGGCGAAAGAATGATATCTCCAATCATAGCGTCATCATCGGCCGGGCCAGGCATCTGAACAAAGGCCACCAGTTTCTTGCCGTCAGACAAGTCGACCACATCGGCCACAACTTCAAAGGCACTGGAAAAGGCATTTTGAACATGGAATTCAACTTCTCCAAGTTCAATTCGTTGTCCATGCAGCTTAATCTGCTTGTCCTTGCGTCCAACGTATAGAAGTGAGCCCTCGGCGGTGTACTGAACCAGATCCCCGGTCTTGTAGATCCGATTTTGAGGAGCGGCCTGTCTGAGGTCCTCTCGTATCTCCTTTAGCCAAGAGGGAGGCTTGACGAAAGTTGCGACAGTGCGTTCCATGTCATCTAGATAGCCGCGTCCAACGGTAGGCCCTTCAAGATAGAGTTCACCGACGGCACCTATGGGCATCAAGCGTTCATGGCTATCTGGATCGAGGACCCAACAAACGGTACCAACACCCACGCCAATGTCACGGGGATCTATCTTCTCATGGATGTCGTCTTGCACCGTCGAGAGCACACAGCACTCAGCAGGTCCATAGATGTTCAATAGCCGCACGTGCGGGGCCCAGGTACGTACAAGGGCTCCTGACAAGGGCTCGCCGCCTAGAATAACCGTCCGTAGGCTAGGCATTTGCTCTGGACGAAAGCGCCGAAGCAAAGATGGTGTGAGATCTGCCCAGTTCACATTGTATTTGGACACTGCATCCTCCAAAGCGCCTTTGCGTTCTGACTCTGATGGCACACATAAGCAAGCTCCGGATACTAAGCTGAGAAGAATGTCCGACACGCTGACATCAAAGCTGTAGGAGGCAAATTGCAAGGCGCGTACATCTTCGCCCATAGGAATTTTTTCCAAGTAGGCCTTGATGCTAGTAGCGAAGGCGCCATGCTCGATCACTACACCTTTGGGTGTTCCAGTTGATCCAGAGGTGAAAACTCCATACAAAGCGTGATGAGATGCGACGGTACCAAGAGAAGCTCCCCTCGGGGCGTCTTCACTTAGGATTGGGCTTTCATCTTCCAACGCAATGACGGCGGTAGCTAGCTTGACCGAAGTGCTTACCAGGTCAGACGAAGTGATAATACAGGTCGCTTTCATCAGACGGCAAATGGTGCGTAGCCGATGGAGAGGAAGAGAGGGATCAAGCAGAACAAAAGCAGCTCCAGCCTCTAAGGTGGCAAGAACAGCCAAAGAGGTCCATTTGGACTTGTTGAAGAGCAAGGGGACAAATGTCTCCGACCCGACCCCAAGATAGCGAAGACGTTGAGCAACTCTGGTGGCCATTTTGTGCAATTCTCCTCGGCGGAATACACCATCCCACGCACAGACAGCCATACTATCCGGGTTCCTGGCACAGTTTCGTGCAATTAGTTCCGGAAGAAGCAGATGGGTTGTTTCAGGGACAACATTGTTCCATTCATAAAGTTCCGCTCTGTCCTCAGGGCATAAGCCAAGCAATTGTTCCACCTGAAATTGGTGACGTTTGGAAACAATTGTCTTCAGGACATGAACGAACTGTCGCATCAAACGATGCATTTGACGAGGAGGAATAACATTATCATCAAATACTGCTTGCAACCGCACACCATCCGGCCGCAAATCACAGACCCAGGTCAATGCATAAGTGCCGAAAGTGGCATGATTGGCCAAGCTTTCTTGCTGGTTCGTCACATCAACCATTCTGGTATATTTATGTTGAGGAGGGGCCTGGATGACGAGTAGATTGTTGAATTGACAGGCTGTAGCAGCATCACCACCCAATTGGCGAATCTGATAAAGTCCACGTTGCTCGAACGGTGTCATATGACGCTCTTCTAGCTCTAGACGATCCAAAGTAGCATCAACAGACTCGGTTGGGTTGAGGCGAATGCGTCGTGGCACGGTGGCAATTGTTGGGCCGGACATGGCGCCAATCCCGGGCAATGAAGCTCGGCGTCCCGTAAAGGTAACCCCAAAAGTAAGGTCATACGAAGAGACATATCGAGATAAGGTGAGAGCCCAAGCCAGCTCAACAGCCGCAGTCTGAGCAGATTCAGGCCAGTGAAAATCTGCAATTTCCTCGGAAGTCTCAATTAAAGAACGGCCTGTCGGTGTATAGGAGTCGTGAGGAAGCTGAGGAAATCGGCAAGGCTGAGCTCCCTCGAGGAAATTTGACCAGTATTGTTCGGACGCCAGGGATTGTCCATTTTGATTTGCATATAATGTGAAGTGAGAGAAAAGTCGCGGAACTATGGTCTGTTCCGCATAGGCTGCTTCAATCTCATGTAGGACTTGATTCAAAGACCAGTCATCGTACAAAGCGTGGTGAATTGTCACAACGAAGAAAGTCTCTTTCATACCCGGCTCATAAACAAGGGCTAGGCGTAATAAAGGGTCTCCTGGGGTAATGGGGGACTGTATGTCTCGCTGGATATATTGGTCAAGTCCTTCCGCTTGCACTAAGCGGACAGCTGCGTTGACGACGACTTGGAGGGAGCCCTGAGTAGCGCTTTGAATGACTCGGGTACGGAGGATTGTATGAGCTAGGACGACGGTCTTCACTGCTGCTTCTAACCGAGTTGACTCTGTGTCTGTTGCTAAGCGATATACATAGCGCGCAACATAAGCATTTGGATTGCTCATGGACAAGGCCACGAGGGCCTCTTGGGCACTGGTACATGGATAAACATCTTCAATTTGCTCTATCGGGATGTGACATTGGTCCAGTATGTTCTTCTTGAGCTGCGTCGAGTCGTAGAGCTTTGGGAGCAGAGAAAAGTTGAGATCTTTTGGGATGAGGCGTTTGATTTTCTCCTGGTCGGTTCCAGCTGTTGGGAATACAGCTGGTGGCAGAACAGTGACGGTCATCGTGCACAGGCGATCAAGACGGAAGCAGAGACAACTGAAAGAACGGACAGAAATATATCGACACGTCAAATGAAAGGATTGGACGAATGATATTACAGCCCCTTCGCAAATGGTCGACCTTTCCGATCTTTATCTTGACCCCTTTAATGGCCACATCAGCCTTTGATGGCCACCGAAACCTAGATACGGGCCGATCTGAAAATGATCAATCCAGGTCATCCCGAAGAATTTTGTCCCTTCCTGTCGTCAGGTTCGTTTTTACAAGGTTTCAACTCAGCAATTATGTGTTCGATTATGTGAAATTGAACATTCCAAGCCAAGCCAAATTATGCAATTTGCTCCATACCGATGGTTCGTAACAAAAATGACGGAAATAATAGAGAAAAGCCCGACTGGAATCGACAATGGTCTAATTTTGGAAACATTGTTAAACAGGCTCTCCTACTGTAGTTGAACCACCCAAATGTACTCCTCAGGAATCGTGATGATCTCGACAATCCGCAGCCCCGCTTGCTTCATCATAAGATGGATTTTCTCTTCGCTGAATATCCGGAAGGGGGTGTTCACTTCCTGCTTTAACAACACTTTCCGATTCCCCTCGCTGTCAGCCTTGATAACGGTGACTTCACGTCGATCCAAGTAGATACAGTTTCCCGCACTGGGCTCCAGTGCGGTCTCCTGATAGTAGATACCAGGAAATTGTTTACTGGGTATCTCGGGTGTTCGGGTTTCCCCTGGTAGACAGATTGGAACATCCGGGCTCACAAATGTAGACACGAAAGATATAGCCGCACGGCCTGTGCCTTGACGAAGGAGCTGAGCGACCTCACGGAGAAATTGCTCTGGTTGGCCATCCTCATGGAAGTGACTGATGCTTCCAAAAGCAATGGTGATCAGGTCCACCTTTTGCTTTGGGGCAATGGTTGCCAGCGATGTCCTCAGGTCCAGAGCAGATCCCACTACCCACGAGGTAGTCACTGCAGTTTCAGAAGCGGGGAGCCGTAGTTTCACCGCTCGATTGATCATATCTTCGGCGATATCAAGACCGATGAAATGGATTTTTCGGTCATTCTCATCTTGCGTACTACTGATCAATCCCTCGATGATGCGACCACTACCAGTACAAACATCCAGTACCAGTAGTGGGCTGCCCGATGGCGTTTGGTCACGGACGCTCTGCAGCTGATTCGCATAAATTGCGCAGTCCTGGGTGGTAGAAAAGAAATCTTTCCAGTAGACATCGTAAAACTCGGCCATGTAAGGCGAAGTGTACATGGCGCCAGCTTTCTGTTCTTCTGCCTTAGAAACAGTCATGTTGTCTGGGAATTGGATTTCGCGGGATCGATGGAAGACAGGATTGTCAAAATTGAAGGTTTGGGAGTTCGGGGATAGAGAGAGGAATCGTATACCGTTGAATGAATTGAAGTATCACACCATGCATCCCATTTTTGAAATGGTTTCTGCATACATCGAGTGTCATCAGTTGACATTCTTTCTGAGTATCGATTGAAGAAACAAAACGTGATCAAGTAGGACTCGGCTCGGGGACGCAAGGGGTCAAATGTCAAACCCGTTGATGTGGTTCCATCCAAGGTACACATACTGACCTACCCACCAACATACCTTAAAGGTACCCTAGCTCTGCATAGATCTGAGCGGATAGCTGACGAATTCCTACCGAATCGAAAATCCGAAGCCAGAGATCGCGATGCAAGGGGTGATGCCCATCGCGATATCTGCAGATCGTTTAGATCCAGGCGCGGGAATATCCAGGATACACGACCTTCCGTCTCCCTTGGGTGGGTGATACGTGCGCGTGCATTTTTTGTCTAAAGTGACTACTGGCCCCTTTGATCTTTCCTGTGGGAGCAAAAACCCTTCCTTTCACAACATTTCTGCTTCCGAAAGCGTTCTAGGCCGATGCGAACTGCTCGTCGTCATGGTACCTCCCTGAGAATTGTTCTAACATGCCAGTGCGTCGTTCTAGAAGGCGCATGCTTTTACTAAAAGGAGTGATCAAAACGCTTCGCAGGCCAGGAGACGAACACTGTCTTGTCTTCACGTTCTACCATTTCCTATAGTCTACACTTCTCTACTGCTGTGGTCGATCAAACCGATCCTGACCGGCTCGCACCGCTGGGAACTCGTGGGGAACTGGTTATCGAAAGACCAATCACTGGGCGAGGATATATATGTGACCTGGCCAGACCTCACTGTTAGCAGCTTCAGCAAAAAAGCACTCATTTGGAAACATCCTTTTGGTCCGTCAAGTCATGGCTATTACTGGACTGGAGAACTTGCCAGCTGGCAGGCAGATGGATCGCTGGGATTGTCGGTCGCAAGGATTATCAGGTCAAGCTGCATTGTCAGCGCGTTGAGCCGAGTGAAATTGAGCGGACTTCCCGAAGGGTACCCCCGCCGGCTATGATGTTGTTGTCGATATTGCGTCTCCCGCAGATCATTAGATGACCGTTCTGGGGGTTTTCATTCATGGGCCTGAATGGGCGGCAGTTCCTGGAAGTGAGTCAGCGGCCTGGCTGGTCTAGCGACCACTCCCTTTGGCGTTCTAACAGATCTGTCGGAATGCCGGGTCATACCTCAAGCAGCACTTGCCTCAATTCATGATCCCGATGCTCTGGCTTCAATTGGGCCGGCCCCCGCCTCTGACCACAAATGGCAAGACGGACAGGTGAGAGCTGCGCGATCGAACGGCAAAGTTTTCCCTGGTAGAACGACTAGTATACGCCTTTGGAGCGTCTTCAGCCCCGAAACAGGAGAACATATCGTCCGACTGCGCCTACGGTGCCCAGTTGCTCAAGCTGGTGACTGGCAGGGGGATATGTCTGGCAATAGTTATGAAAACGGGGTGGGCCCCAGCTCTAAGACAGGACTTCGTGAAAGATGACATCGTCTTCGGACAGGTGATCAGTGGCCGGTCGGTAGGCCTCCCAGGGGGTGATCGGGCCGTGTATGAATACGGTTCCTGTTCGCTTGAAACTAAGAAGAGATGTTCACATGACGGCAATTGAGCTACTCCAGCAAGTTCAAACGCAACATTTTGAATCACCCAGTTTTGAGAGCATGGATTTCTCTATCGTTCGTGATCGATGTACAGATTGGTCTGAAGAAACCCAGTTCGGATCTTTGATACTGCACCAAAACATGCCGCCTATGCTACAGGTTCATCTTGGCGAGGCAGTTGGAATGCGAACTGACTTCTATCCAGAGAACTCGACAAATGAGTTTTCATCCACTCTATCCGGGCCCTGGCAATTCTCTAAAAATACGGCTCGCTACATCTTGGGAGGTGCTTGACCGAACTACCGCCGAGGTGCTGGTCTCAAGCATCTGCAGATGGATCCAGAGCCTCGCAACAGATCAAGATTGCTCCATAGAAGAGATGATGACATAGTCATGTAGTTAGTTAGAAGACCACAACAACCACAAAGGACAGTTACTCACCGAGCACAAATTTTGAATCAACAAAGCAAGGCTTTTTAGATGAAAGCAAGGGAGATGCTCCAGAACATTCTGGTCAACTTCGATCAAACAACATCTGACGAAGCGTTTGCATTCCCTATCTTGCTGTGAAAGCAGGAAATGCTCCGAGCATTCCAACCAATTCTGGTCAATGAACATCTAAGACGGGGGCGATTGCATTCCATAGTTGCGCCAGGTACATAATTGCCCCACACCTACTGATCTGCAGAGTCTATCAAATAAGATCTAGAATGACGCATCGGCCCGTCCTGGCATTAGATATTTAATCCGAAGCATGCTTCAGCTGACGCCTGCAATTTTGAGGACATTGCTATGAAATATCTCCCCTCGTCGCCCCCCTCGCCTTTCTCTCTGTATTAATACCTTCCATTGCGACATGCATACATCCTAATATCTACCTGACAAGGGCCTCAATTGACCTGCTGCATTAAATCTTTTCATGACGTCCATTAAATGTCACACAGCCGAGTCTAGACCAGATCTTTGGCAGGCTCTACAGGATGACCAAAATCCCCTGAACCTCGCATGGCCCGTTTTTTTGGATCAGAACTTCACGTTCAAAAAATACGTCCCAAAACTTCTAGAGATACAAGGTCTGTCTCGCTTCCAATTTGCGATTGTTGAGCAGAGCGCAGAAGGAAACGAGGTGGTCATCGGATGTGGACGATCGGTTCCTTTCTTCTCACCTGAGCTACATACGCATTTCCAGCTTAGAGGAGGACAATGGTCCTCGTTTTCCCAGGAGGAGATTGAAGTCGCAATTTCCTGTGCTCTACCCAATGGAGGCTACGACACAATTTTGGCGCGTGGGGTCGAGCAAGCCTCACGGCGCCAACAGCATCTAAATCTCCCCCAAAATCCACCGCAACTCTTGTCGCGGCCATCTTCTTCTCCATCTTCTCCGGCCGAAGCATTCATGTCATCCTCTTCGACATCATCATCACCAACCACCTCGCCCTCTTCGATCTCTTCGTTTTCTTCAAACAACAGTCTGACTGCCGAGCAACTGAGAGAATCCTCTAGTACATGGCTTCTTACAGAGAAGCCTAACGCTCTCTGTGCTTTATCCGTCACGGTACACCCGGAAAGGAGGTCTCAAGGCTTTGCAGAGATGATCATCGAGAAGATGAAACAAGCCGCTCGGGAAGCGGAATTGTCTGTCTTGGTTGTCCCTTTGCGTCCCACCTGCAAACAGAAATTCCCCTTGTTGAGTATGGCAGAATATATCTCGTGGATAGTTCCAAAATCCGAAGGAAAAGAAAATGGAATCGATTATCCTTTCGATCCATGGCTCCGGAAACATGTTCGCTTAGGTGGCAGGGTGATTAAGGTCGCTCCACGAAGTATGGTTGTGACCGGTACTGTCCAAGAATGGCAGGAGTGGACTACTGTCAATTTGGGCTGCGATGAAAAGAAGAATGGAGCGAAGATAACCTTTCCGGGTGGTCTCGTACCTCTGGAGTATCATATGAAGGAAGATCAATGCGTTTATACTGAACCAAACGTGTGGCTCTACCACAATCTTGGATAACAGGAATAGAACAATTTTTCCCATAATGTTCAATACAAGATTACACTCCTGTCCCTTTGCATACAAGAAAGCTTCTGGAAGTCTACGCCCTGTACGCTCTAGTCGCTTGACCATCCTGTTTGTAGATGGTCAAGTTGTCGCTCTCCGTAGGTTCTTTCTTGACCCTTAAAAGACTTTCTCTACTTCGCTCCTTTTCTATGTTCTCTTCCCGGTAACCGGTTTTGCCTTCATTTGTCTCTGATATATTTTTGATAGAGCAATATAGGTTGAAGATGCTTCCGAACTCCAATCTTTCGAGCGCGGTCCCAGCTAGGAGTACCCAGGGATTCGTTAAAAGTACCCTGCTCATTTGGACCCGCTCCTTTGTGGTACTACGAATGGGGAACCGCGTTAACGTTTAGTTAGTTACCCTCAAGAACATAGACTATGTGTCAAGAATTGGAATTCCTACCGGTCACATACAGGGGTTTTACCCCTCATCAATATTTCCTATCGTGTATTAGTACGCCCTCTAAATTGTCGAGCATTTCCCAGTTTTATCAAAATCAGTGATTTATTTCTTGGTAATTTACAATTCCCTGTGGGACCGTCGTACATCCAGACTTTGACAGTATGTACTGAGAATACTCGAAAGTTCCGCGCCTGGGAGTACCTAGAGGAGTGGTCCAAATGAGCAGAGTACTTTAGCGAATTCCTGGGTACTCCTAGCTACGTGCCCCCTCGAGCCCGAAGAACGTGGTGAGGACCCACGCCCTGATGCCTAAGGCCTCAATCTCTCAGCCCTGAATGGAGAGGTACCTTATACCATCTATTCTTAAGATTATTTTTCACCTAAAACACAATATAAGGCTGTCTCCTAGTGAGATAAGCTGAGGTATCACATCACGGCGGTGTTCTATAAGCGTCCCCGGCGACACTCAAGGCTGATTCCTCAACAACCATCTGCCGAGCACCAACGAAGATGAAGCTATTCAGAATCGAACTGCGTCAGCCCGAAGACGGATATATAGCTAGCCAGGTCTCCTTCCTACTCCCTCTGATCTCTCTCTGATTCCCCCAAGGACCACCAAGCGGCGATGCATGGAATTGTTTTGTATGTGTTCTGCAGAAAAAAGGTCCCTCCTGTATAAAACCACCTCCAGGAATCCATAGAAATTACACAACTTTTCTTGAACATTTAAAAGCATCCTTATGGTCCGCTTTCCATCTATCATTTTTTTTATTTCTCAACAGGAGGTACACGCTCCACATCAGTCCTTTGTGGCTTTCTTACTTGACCCAGGCCCTGAAAGCCAGAGGGTTGACACCGCCGTGAGGGCGGGCAAAATTCCAAGGGACAATACCATGGTATTCCAACCATAGTGACTATCAACGTAGCCTCCAAGTATTGGACCGACAGTAAATCCAGTGTAAACAGCCATTTGCTGGATGCTGAAAGTCTGCGCTGTAGCACTTTTCTCCCCAAAGATGCCGGGCGTTTTTTCTGCCATCTCCTCGGCCACCTTCTGCATCTCCACCAAAAGACAGGGGGAACTGCAGTTGGTGAATAGCCCAAACAGAGACAGTAACGCGAAGAAAAGAATTTTCTGTTGCATAGTATTCTCATGAACAAATCTCATGCAGATCAATGAAGGGGTTAGCAGAGTGAACCCCGAGGCTGCGACAATACGGGTTCCGAATCGATCAGAAAGATAACCTAGATGGTTAATATGACAAAGTTATCAACATTGAGAGGAGATGATCATACCACAAAGAGGCTGGAACAGCACCGTTAAAGCAATTGGAAGAAACGTAAGCCCAGCACCGAAAGTATTCCAATGGAATGTATCTTCCACAAAGACTGGGAGCACCTAGAAGTCCAAATATGAAAAGTAAGCCAAGCCCGTATCATGATAATGCACTGTTATCTGTTTGAACGTACAGAATCTAAAGCCGTATTTAGAAGGGACTGTAGAATCACCGCCCATGTAGCAATAAGAATTCGTGGCTGCTGAAGAAGGCTCCATATCGCAAATACCTGGCTCGGCTTCTTTTGAGAAGCCTCGCTGTGCTGACTCAAGCATTGAGCTTCATCGTTGCCCTCACGGCTCTCCGAAGATAACCATTTAGCCGCAGTTTTCTTTTCGACTATCAATAATCGCAGTATAAAATCGACACCAATGAGACCAAAGACTGTCCCACAGAATGAGTAATATCCAGCATTGTGGTAAATAATTCCACCCAGCATGGGGCCCAGTGTGAATCCTAGCGTGAAGGCAATGTCCACATAGCCAAGCACTTGGCCTAGACGATTTCTTGGGACAGTGTCGCTCACAATGGTAAACGCAGATAGACTGACCATGACGTTCGCAGCACCTTGAAGAATTCTTGTCCCTATATACCAAGGGATAGAGGAAGCAGCGGTAAACAAGGCCATAGATACTAGTAGAAAGACAAGACCAAAGAGAAACCATTTCTGTCGAGTCTTCGCTGCATCTAACAGATAGCCAAAGACAGGAGCAAAGCAAAAAGCAGATACAGCTTCTGAAATTAGAACCAAACTAGTCCAGTATTCACCTGTCGATAAGATTGCGTCAACTCCGAGTAAAATATCATAAAAAAGACAAAGAAAATGTCCAAATAAGACAACTTACGATCTTGAAAAGATACATCAGCTCGAGTAACCAAAACACTTGGCATTATAGGAACAATCTTTCGCAGACAATGCAAGATTAGAAGGCTAGCTCAGATTTCAAAGGGTATCAATTCTAGGGTACCATTGCGTAGAGAAAAACATCCTATTGTCAAATTAAAGATATTAGCATCCTCAGGCTGAAAATTGGCAAAGGGTTGCCCGACGCACAGTAAAGAGCGATAACGAGATCGTCAAAACAATGAACAGCTGAGACGAACGCGTTTCTAACAGGAAAGGGCGCCGTCTGCTGGTCGGCTCGCACCATGATTTAATTGTGCGCAACATGACCGACTGTAAGGACGTTATTCGGACAGTGTCAGGCTGTAGTGAGGAGAAAGAAACATTCGACAGCAACTGTGTTTGAACATAGTGCAGTGTAGACTATGCTAATATGAGCTGTCCATTCCTCGCCTTGGATCGGTATGTGACAACTCAAAAAATGTCACTGGGCCACCTTATTGTCTCTTTGGTCAGGTGACCACTTTGCGCGAAATGTAGATGAGACGCGGGTTTTCGCTGTGAGCAGGATCCGCCCATAGGTAATCCACGCGGATTTTTGATACCAAGAACCCGTGGGCAACCCTTCGCGACATGTAAACTCGAAACTATGCGAATCAAGCCCTGGGAGATAGGAGGAATGTTGAGGTACGTAAGATCACATAATTGGGGGGGAAAAATCGATTTAAAATATCTCTTTGTCAGGCATCGAGAATTCGACCCTGAAGTATGGTGTTGTGAAATGCCTTCTTCATCTTCCGAGAGCTCTCCAATTCCGATGAAACGGACTTGACTAATCTGCCCAAGTGTCGGGAAGCCATAACGTGGAGTGGTGTTGTGCTTTTGCTGTTCTGGGTTGATTGCGGGCAATTTCATCTTCCGATTCCTTTTAGGCTTTGCTATCATATTAATGTATCGTGGGTATGGCTCACTTCTTTATCTGGGGTCAATGAATAAATTTAAATCAATGAAGATCATAGGCTCATGGGGTCAGATTGACGAGGTCTTTGCAATTTTGTAAAAAAAAAAAAGAATCCTTCGGTGCGCGATTTTAAACCCTTAAAACTAGTATGCAGCATTTTAAAAGAAGCCAACTGACAGCTCGTATAGAAGAAAAGTCAAAATTCCATGTATACGTCGAAAATGACGAGAATATATGAAATGAAAGATGGAAACAGTGCGCACTGCTCAGAGCGAATGAGTAGCGTCATTGGTGTGGCGATAGTAGACTTTCCGATTTGACACTTCCTGATGGTATTATCAGAGTGATTCTTATCAAACTAGGACCCTCAATTTGCATTTCAAAACATGTCACCGTCGTCGTGTAAAGAAATCATCATCGTGTAAGATTTCTCCGTCCCTGGTCTATAAATTTTTTTAATTCCATGGTTATTCGTTTGTCAATTTTGAAATGGACCACAAGGACTTATTTCTTGATTTGTGCCTCTGTAGCTTTTTGCACTCTCTTTCCGAGGTCCTGGTCGACACGGGAAAACAGCGCTGGAAAAGTAAGTCAGCCAAGGTATCCCGAAGAGATCGAAATCTAGGTATTACTAACCATAAACGTCATTTCGCAACTTGGCAGACCAAACCCCTTTGAGAGAAGCAGCGATATTGCCTATGGTTCGATCTTGGTGTCCAGAATCCCGACCAATGACTTCCCATAAAGCCGCAGGCTGCACAAAATCATCGTCCGTAACGTGGCTTGTGTAAGTTGTGACTTCCCCAACCCACTTCTCATGCTCTGTGTGAAGGCTGATGGACTTTGGGCTTATTCCTTTCACCTCAGGGTAGAACTTGGTTGGTTGCAAAGTGGAGTTGACATAATTTGGATCCCCACCATAATTGTCATCAAATCTCATCTTGCCATCTCTTTCGAATGGGCAGTACACGGGTACTTTGGCGGCATTCGTGGGCAGCATCTGGTAATTAACACCCAAGCGATATCGAGCCGCCTCAGGGTAGGAAAATAGTCGTGCTTGAAGGACTAAGATGCAAATGAGCCCGCTGTTGGTGAGGTAAAACGTGAAAGAAAGCTAGCATACCTGGATCAGCCGAGCCTGCAAGCCCTGGGACCATGGTTGATGGTGAGAAGGCCGCCTGTTCAATATCGGCAAAATAGTTGCCAGGCTAATAACCCTTAGTATCGACGAACATAGTATTGTATCCACCAAAGCTATACTCACATTGCGATTCAGTGTTATCTGGCCGATCTGTCTAAGTGGGAAGTCGTTATGCGGCCAGACTTTGGTCATGTCAAAGATATTCCATCTATAGTTGACCGCCTCAGATGGATCCATGACCTGGACATAAACGTTCCACTTAGGGTAGTCTCCTCGCTCAATAGCCTCGAACATATCCTGAATCATGTAGTCTGGATTTTCGCCTGCAATTTTAGTGGCCTCCTCTCGGGTGAAATTTTTGATCCCTTGTTGCGTTTTGATGTGGATCTTGATATATTTAAAGGAGCCGTCCTAATGAAGTAAGTGACTGAGAAATTTAAAAATGTCAACTAGACCGCTCACTTCTTTTGTGAATTTGTATGTGTGTCCACTGTAGGAGTTCAGGAATCGCACGGATTTTGGGGTTCCACGATCACTGAAAAGATGCAACAGCTCGTGGATTCCTTCTGGATTACCCACATGAAAACTAGAATTTTGCTCTATTAGTTACCAATAACATTTTGAACTCCATAAATCGAGCACGTACTCCCAGAACTAATTAAGTTATTAGCAGTTCAAAATATACCTTGCATTTCTCGCGCTTACCATGTTTGGGTCAGGAAGATGGGTCCTTGGATGTCTCTTATGAGAGCGATTCATGGAAGGAAATTTGATGGGATCCCGAATGAAGAAAACCGGCTAAAGTCAATTTAGAAACATGACTTCTTTTTCTTTCTTAAATTTCACCCACCGTGTTGTTAAAAACCCAATCCAGGTTACCTTCGTCGGTGTATAGCTTCATGGCCCAGCCATGGACATCTCGAGATGTATCAGCAGAGCCTGCCTCTGGACCGACAGTAGAAACACGCATCAACAGCGGAGTCTTCTTGCCAGCCTTGTTAAGAAAGCTAGCTGAGGTGATATCCGAGCAGTCAGAAGTTGCTTCAAACTCTCCGTAGCCGCTAATATAGAAAGAGAAATGAGTTCGTCCATTTGTCAATTCGGCAGAATGTTTTGACTTACCCAACAGCTTTGGCATGAACGACACTAAAAATAAATAGAATCAGCTTAGTCTCTGCTACGACCTAGGTATGGCATTGATCATACCGCTCTGGGATTCTTTCGTGGGAGAAATGCGCCAGAGTTTCAATAAGTTGGGTGTCTTGTAGGAGTCCCAGCCCAGCGCCCTCTCGATTTCGCATCAAAACAGCAGTGCTGCTGCTTGCGAAGGGACATCCTTCTTGGAGTAAGTTTAAGCTATCCTGAATATGATGGCCCGAACTCACCTTCGGCGAGGGTGTAGTATCGTTGATCGGACATTTTGAAAACAAGTGTATATCGTTGATGGGTGTAAGTTGAAACCAGTAAGATTGACTGTGAGCGATTTCCTTGTTTATGTTAAGGTGTGCGGTTGGCATTCATTCACAGTGCGTTCAGTGTTCTCCATAGTCAATTACATCATGACAACTGCTTCGAAGAGACCCGTTGTTTCAGCGTAATAAGCGTAGTTACACCCACAGATCGGTCAATCATTGTCGTAAGATTGTCAATGCTTTCTGAAAATGTGGATCGGGTACCAAGGTGACGTGGGGCGAAGAGCTCTTCCGCATCCGACCGCCCTTTGAGCATTTAACCTTCGGAATGATCTCACCACCCCGTATTAACGATTCCTGCGGCATAGAGAAAAAATTTGGCAAAGCATAAATGAAGATATGGATCTTGGTGTATTTGAAGGACCCATAATGACTACAAGTACCCGTCATACGTGGCTAAAATTAAATACATCCAATCCAATTGGAATAGAGCACAATAACAGTGACTTTACTTCCTTACTAGAGTCACTTCCAGAGCCGGCATCTCGACGCTAAGAGCTTTGCCCTTGGAGTCTAGCGAGAAGATGAATTCATCCAATCCATGCCCATTATACTGGAACTTGTCCAGGTCCATCCAGGACACACAAGTCGCAGTACCAGCATCCGCCAATTCGGTCTTGTCTTGAAGAACACCTCTAAAGGCCTGTTTGGAGCTAGAGTCATTCTTCTCAATGAGCTGAGTTGGATATAACCGAATGCTCAGATTCGATGCTTTCGTAATACCCGTGAGCTCTGCCAGCGTCTGCCGGAAATCCGTGCCATTGCTTGTAAAGCCTTCAATATATAATCCTGGCAGTGAATCGTAGGTGACAGTGATGGATGAGTTGAGATTGCCAGATGCCAAATACGCGCCAGCAAAGTTCTTTGCGGCCTGCTCCAGGGCCGTCTTCATGGCTCCGGTTAGTACGGCTTGCGTGTAATCTGCCTGTGCGTTCAGGTCAGCAGGCGCTTGGATATCGGCAGATAGGATCGCGTAGCCAATCCCGTAGTCTGGTACCAGGCCGAAATACGAGCTGTAGAGGCCGTCGTCGTATCCTTCATTACTCAGGACGCTATACACGTCCACCATCGAAGTATTCGGGTACTTTCCACCACTGTAGATGACCCAGGGGCTGCCGACAGAGTTGACCGGATTTGAAGTGTGCGAGACAGGCTTCAACCAGCGGCGTGTTTGGACTGAGGAGAGAAGGGTTGAGTTTAGAATGGCCTTTCCGGCAATGGCGAGGTCCCTTAAACTGCTGAACATGGACGTCGATCTGTAGTAGGATTATTAGCTTTGTTTATCGCACTTGCAGGGATCAAAAACCCACGCTTCATTTTCTGGTCGGCGGGTTGACCAACCACTGGCTTCTTTGTTAACCGGAATGACCCCTTTCAATGAGTTCTCCGGTGCGAATACAGTAGTCTCATTCATTCCTAGCGGAATTGAGATGTGCTTCTGGACAATTTTGTCGAAAGGCTCGCCTGTGTGCTTTTCCAGTATATATCCCAGGAGTTGGAAGGCCATGTTTGAATAACTCGGAGTACTGCCAGCAGCGGCAACGGGAGATCGGTTTGCTAGATCCTGAAGAATCTCTGATAATTACATCAGCCGAGATTTTAAGATTGTCTGCTACCATCCAGGGAGTCGTACCATCGGCATTGCACATAGAGCTGTCTTTGCAACAAGGCAATTGACTAGTAAACTGGGGTGGCAACCCAGCTTTGGGGGCACTTTCTTGAGATGCTAAGTCGATAGAGCAATCTGTACAAGCGCAATTAGAGAGTCTGTTTCCGTGGCCCTTTTATATGACATTAAAAACTCACAATCTCGAGCAATACCGCTCATGTGGCTTGTGAGCTGTCCAACAGTAACACCATCCCATTGTACACTATTAAAAAGATTTTGCTTTTTAACAAAGTTGGAGAGCTCCGGAATATGTTTGGTGACAGGGTCATTCAAGATCTGATCCCCACCCGCAAGGAGAAGGCTCCATACAGTGAAAATCTCAGTCAGTCCACCGATGCGATAGATACTATCCTGTGTGACATTGTGAGAGACATCTGAAGTCACTCTGTGTGCAGGAGAGGTATAATGGTATTGCCAGAAGGCAGGTTCACTCTCCGCGTCTCCCGTGTTCGACGAGAACAATGCGATGCTGAAGGTGGTGTTAGGCGATATCCGCCCATTTGGACCAGTATCTTCTTTGACGAGCTGGTCAAATTCTTGGGTAAGCTTTTGTAGGGCGCCTGCAATAGTTGGATCACTCGCATTCAAAGTGAATGGTGGATATGGAGATCCAAGGAGAGGACAAGGTGTGAATGCCAACGTTGACAAGGCCAGGGAGCAGAGAGAGACGAAACGAACAGTTGATGAGACCATAGTGTTGGGAATAACGAAGGAATGAATTAATTGTTTTGAATTCTACATAAATTATATCTGGCACCATTTCTAGAGCTTGTTTTATGGGAACACTCGGGTCGGTGAAGTGGCTCTTCGCGACCCGATCGGCTCGGCGATACACCAGACTTATGGGGGCCAAGCTCCAAAATTGCCAGAAGCCGCGGAGAACCATATATGGGTGCAATGGTGTAATTTAGATCATAGGTAGTTGGTCTACCCCTTCAGTTGTATGTTTCTAATGCTTTAGTTCCGTTCAATTGCTCCCACCCGTGAACGATCTAGTCTACAAGGGTATTCACTCCAGCGATTCTACCTTTCTTTGCTTCTGGCAACATTTCGACACTGCTAGTACCTTCTTCCTAAGTTTTTTCTTCTGTACCTTTTCGCTATATAAAGAATCTAGTTCAGTAAGATTTTCTCGGTTAAATTCGTGTGTGTTAGGAATTTCCTTGCGATAGTCATTGTCAAAAGTGGTTCGCCGTCTTGGGTACATTTCAATTCCACGGTTATATCCAATTTCTCATCATCTGCTCTATGGAAGCATCGAAAAGACTATCATGCGGAAACTCTGCATCCTCAATCATAGGCATGAGCGAGCCCACTTGGGGCCAACTAGCCAAGTCTGTAGATCCATATTCTGGTGCATGTGAGAAATCATCCACTTCATCGATGCCCACGCTGCTCGTCATTGCATCTGCCTTGCTATCACTTCCGTCGAGTCTGTTCAGAATATATGTGATGCGGTTTCTGAAGCCAAAGAAAACATCTCGCCCACCGTTAAAATCCACGTGGGGAGTTGACAATGCTCCAACACGCTGTCGCAATTGAGCCAATGTGTCAACGAAAGCGGCGGTTTGCTCTGGTCTAGAGACTATAACAGTAAGGCGGTAGGCTGCAAGCATTGCAAATGCCATTTGTACCCACTGTGTGTTGACAAACCCCAGTTCCAAATCAGCAGGTAGCGAAAGATATAGATGAATTGTGGATTCGGCGGCGTGGAGCGCCGCATAGGACATCTCATCCCGCCAGGACCGTGAGGTTGTAAATTTGTGTTTTGGTTGCTGTCCTGCTATAGTGAAAGCAAGCTGGTATAATGATAGGCCAGTCGTGTGGAAATGAATCGCGAGTAATGCTACCCGTAGTCAATAAGCAAAGATTCCGAACCATTGCTTTAAAGCAAGTCTTAGATCCACTCACGAGTATCGTCAATATTAAAGGGTAATTGACTTTGAAATGATTCAAGGTCGGACTTCATATTAATAACATAGAGCTCGGTTCCCGATCCCGGTCTCATCAGCTCTTGTCCATGACTTGCCGATAGGCGGTCTATTTTCTCTGCGATGCGCTGTAATTGAACAATGTAGATGAGGTATTTATCGTATGTGTGTTCCGGCGTGTCATAGAGAGACTGGCAGCATTTCTCGATGTATGAAGTGCAAGGAAAATTAGACTGCTTCAGTACATGTATTGAAATCCTGATATGAACGCCAAAAATGAGCTGCCGTAGGGCTGATACACTCTAACGAAGATCACTTACGAGGACGATAAGTAATAGCAACCAATGAGCGCCCTTTTTTCGTCGTTATGCCAAGATTCTCGACTATATTTTGCGTCGTTCAGGTTGAACTGCGGCGCAAAGAGTAGTTTGGTCTTCCACGTTTTTGACTCTGGCGGTCTATCAAGTCGCAGATCGATGATAAGGCTAATGGCCAGTTGAAGAAATTGAGTGTAGCAACGAGGCTTCGCATGGTAATGTGACCTGTTTCGAATGATTAGACCTATGAAGTATTTCCAGGCGCGTTCATTACCAGGCCAAGAACACCAATAGCCCTTGCAGCAAGTCAAAAGAGACATCTCCATTGAGGACCATACGGCAGGCAATAACTTTCTTAACTTCAGCCCCTAGTAGCCGCTGCAACGGCATGTCTTCGTATGATGCAGAGGCAAGAATGGCTAGAAATAAGAAAGGTCTGTCCTCCCGTAGCTGCAGGACAGATACCTGTGGAGAGACCACCACAAACGGAAACTGAGGGGTCATAGTTGTCCGGAAAATCTCTAAATACCTTTCAGCAGCCACCATACTCAGAAATCCTCGGTCGACAACATCGTGCAGGTCATTTGCACTTTCAAAAGTGGGCTTATTCTCTACGTTGCTCACTGAATTCGTAGGGGCATCTGACGGTTCCTCTGAGGTTGCAGCTCGATCGGTTAGAAGCTCCTTGATCCTCGATTCGAGGGCCTCGATCTTCCTTTACAGGGGTCAATCAACATAAGACCTAGTCGGTGAAGACCACTCACCGATCCTTGTGGAAACCATTGAAACGTCGACCAGTCTCGCGACGAATGCATTCTCTTCCTAGACGGAAGCATCTATTCACGGGTCAGTCTTGCACATGCTCTAACGCATTTTGGCCCGAAGTCGATATTACCGATTACACGTGTGAGGGTTATCCGGGCTTCGGATGCAGCGGACCTTGGAGTTTGCACAACTCTGGCATGTTTTGGAAACAGTGGGCATGGTTCAGGGGTGAAACAGATTCATTCAAGTATAGAATACAATGTAACTCAAAGTCAAGTGAGTTGAGATTGGTATCGTTGCTTGTCGTCCTATCTTCAGACGACGAAGAAGAGGCTGTGCTCCGTTTGACAATACTACTTGGCACCACAGCGCTGAAGCACCAAAAACAAATCTTAGTCACCAAGTCATGTGATAACCTTTACAACCCACCCATGAATACAACTATGTAGTCATCAACAAGCGATAACGTTAGTTAAAGCCTTTCTCAGCGATTGAAATCAAGTTGAATAAATCAGATCAACAAAAAGATAATTAAAAGAATAATGTTAAGAAACTATTAAACAATCTCCTCCAAACTTCGAAATCAATCATCAACATCGCGCGGATCATGCGTGTTCCAGTACTCTTCGTACTCCTCCTGCGTTTGACCAGACACTGGGTCGTAGTGAGTAAGCGGAGCCAAAGGAATACCAAGTTGCTCGAACTTGTCAAGACGCTTTCTCGTAATTTCCCTCTTCTTATTGACGCTGTAAACCTTGATTCGATGAGCGGAGGATGTAACGTGAAGACCCCAGTTCCATGCCGCACGAATATTTAGAGGTTGCGTATTGAGAGAGTTGTCCCAGCACCGACAAACAATCTCAATCCACCCCTCAACCTCACAGGGGAGCTCATACTCCCACGTACGCCATGTCCACTTGCCCTTTTTGGACAAATTTCCAGGTGGCACCTCGTACCATGTGAAACCGCCATCTGCAGATAACTCAACTCTTTCAGGCCATCGACCTCCACCGGAGTAAGCCCAGCCCTTGCAACGGATTTTGCCCATATGCACAATGGCTTGCTTAGTCCATGGAGACATGATAGCGGAGCTGACAGGCATCTCTTGGATTTGAATGCCGTCTGTCGGGCGCTGGTTGTATTTGCCCACTTGCTGGTTGAAATAGAGGTATTCTCTGCTCTGGACTGGCGCAAGGGACGGCTTCTTGATAGCCTTGATGCGATAGAGCCACTTGACGCTCCGAGCACCAATATATCCGAAAACGACGACCCGTAAAGGATATCCATGGATCTTAGGTAAGGGCTCGCCATTCATTTCCCAAGCGAGCATGACCTCATTAGCTTTGACTTTAGACCATGGTACGCTAACCACGTAATTGCCGACCTCGAGATCCTTGACATAGGTTTCCGCACCATACAACTCGAGATGCTTGGCTGAATTGGTAAGACCACCACAATCCTTGATGAGTTTCTTCAAGCTAATACCCACATATCGCGCCGTGCCGATAGCACCTTCGGCCCACGGTGCTTGCGGAACCTCATCACCCTGTCCGCCATACAATCCAATTTGCTCAATACGGCGGGTTCCTGAGCACTGAATAGTGACAGTCTTCTCCATCCGAGGAAACTTGCTCTCATCCATGAGATCGTCCAAAGTATATCGCTGCGGATGCTGTACCAGCCCATCCAGGGTCATATCCCATTTATCTTTTTCGATGATGGGAATGCCTCCGTGATTCCGCACAAAATGCAGCGGATTAGGTGTGATGACTTTAGAGGTGACTAGTCGCTTGGGGGGCTCTCCATTGTAAGGGAATTGCAGAAGGTGCAGCATGTCCGGATGCTTCTCACGAAGAACGGTGCGCCAGGAGTCATCTGCGACAGAAGCAAGCTCCCCGCCAAGTGCAGTGTGCCATGCTTTGAAGTCGTCGCCAGGAAGCACGGGGTTCGTTCCCGGTATTGGGCCAAAATTGAAATCGGGGCAAGGTGGGAAGGTCTGAGATGTTAGAATTTTGTGTGCCTTCTGCTTTTTCTCAGGATAATCTTCCCACTCTACATATCTATTACACACAAATTGTTAGCTCCGTACTTCCTCACATTCAAAAATTATGTTAGGGAAAACAATACCCTTTCCATCCTTGCCGCTCTCGAGCAAACAGCTTGGTACGGTTGCCGACCGAGCGAATAGCCTCCTCATCCTGCACCAACTTCGTGGGCCGCGGTGGATACAAGTGAATAGTCTCACTTCCAGTTTGATCAAGGATAGGCAGCTTGTGGCCTGCCATCCCCTGTTCTATCTTCCACTCATCAGGGCGGTTTGTTGTATCCAAAGAAGCATCGATCTCCATTGTGGATGCAGGTTGATTTTTGGATACAGGTTGACGTCGACTTCGAAGAGCAATATCCATGGATGAAATGAAGTAAAACCAAGAGATGTTTCTCGAATGGTATGAGGACTTGGGTTTTATATTAAATTCCCAAGGGGGGGGGGGAAGGGGAGTTCTCGACCCTTCAATGGACACTAGAGTTCCGGTACACTTTGTTGATGACGCGAACATTCTACCCCGGAGTTATTTTTTGTCCAACTAGAGCAAGGGAGGATTCCGATCTTTGACTTTCAGCCAAAGAATCCTCTCCCTTGGATTCAGTGGCCCTTTTGCCGATTTGGAAGTGTTTGTGCCTGTTATGGTCTCAGATCAGCATGCCAGTAGTGGTCGATCCCTTCATTTTCAGTGACCCTTTGGAAATTTTTCATGAAACTCAATTGCTCTGAAGTATTAATATTGTGGAAAGAAGAAGGAATAGCAACAGCCTAAACTGGAATCGGAATCTAGGGTAACATACCGTCGCCTACGAAAGATTTCGGACCCACCCATTCCAACTTCAAGTCTACTGTTAAGGAGTACTTGGAGGGTGGTTCGGGCGACGAATAGCGAGGTTAATTAGTCCTACCTTTCTCCACCCACCTATGGCCTTCAAATTTGGGTGCCCCTCCAGCCAAAGATTCTCAATTTAAGGCTCAAAACAATTGCTTTGAATATTGACTTGCAATAAAAAGACTTCATGATATATATTCTGCAGCGGCTCTCACCCGACCGTAGATGTAGACGATACGGTGAGTAAAAACAGGAACTTACTCTCTCTTACCACTGAATGTCTAATATATCTAGCCGAAAACGAATCAGCTGTACCGAAGGCATTCGCCCGGTTGCACTAGATCTAGGGTGGTGAGTGTAAAAGACGGCCAGGCAGACCTCATGTACCTGGTCTACGAAGCGACTGAAAGAATCCTTGAATCATACATTGCCAAATCTCAAATCGAGTCTTGTGGTTTTGTATCGGTTTCTTTCTCATTCGGATGCCCTGAGCACTCTGTCCCCGAAGCGGCTCAGCAAGTATGCTCAAACACATCCAGCATTATAACGTCTGAAACTTCGCTCAACACAGCAAGCTTGTCTTCCATATTCGACTCTGATGATTTTTCACTACCTAACGAACGTAAGAGCACCCGTCTCCTTATTATATTATAATTATATTAAGCTCAAGGATATTCCTCCTTGATATCTGATTGTCTCGTTCATTATGTACCGTTGATCTCTATTGGTCCTGGCTGTATAGATATTCCGATGCCTGTCATGGATGGCCTCGTGTCTACTAGCAGGCCCGCCAACATGAAAGGGAATAAGGGCTCAGACCCTCCCGTATCTTGGCTGTCACGGAGATCGCTTCGGCCTCGATGCAGCAGCTCTTATCACTGACTGCAGGGATCATCGAGTACATAGCCTAGCCATTTTCGTTTCGCGAGCTCAAAAAGACAGTCATAAAGCTTGTAAAATAGTAGGGAATATTGTCTAGCGTTCTAGACGGGGTGGATGATCCTCTTTGCCTTTTTGTCGATCCAGACAAACACTGCGGGGTAAATAATAGCGGTTCTGTGACTTTTACGTCAGTGCCCTGGCAGAATCACTTTACCCTAACTACCTAAGGACGGCCCTAAGCCTATATCTGCGGTTTGACCCCCTCATCCTGCCGTAGCCCCACTTAAGGCTGCGGCATTGCGTTTCCCCGAGGAACCTAGGTCGGCAAGCTGAAAATAACACATTATCACATGGACAAACCCATGTTTGCTTATTCAAAGCTTCAATAATAAAAGGATCGAGAGATCCCACCTGGGCACCCGTTCTTCTTTGTTGCCCCATCGGATTACCTTTTGACTGTGAATACCATGGCAGCAACTACCACAAACGTCCCAGCTGGCTGGCTCGGGAACCTCGATGCATCACAAAAGGAAAAGCTAGGACAGTTTTGGAGGATCCTGATGCAATCATGGGACCCAAGCATCCCTGCGATAAACAGTGAATCAAACGGAAGTGCGACAGTACATCGACGGTTTTTCTCCCTGAGTCGGCGCACCGAACCTACGCAGGAGGAGATCTCTGCGATCCCTGAAAATCTGCTCAAGACTCTGAAAAGCCTGCATGCAAATGCAACCGAAATTAAAGCTGTGGGGTCGCTTCTGTCCAAGCTGCCGGGCGACGACCTCCGAGCTGCCTACCTGACAATCCTCAAACAAGACCATCCCGACGCGCTGTGCCTCCGATTCCTACGCGCAGAGAAATGGAATGTTCCCAAAGCGTGGATCAAATTTGTCCGAGCCTTGAATTGGCGGGTTAACGAATACAAAGTGGACACTGAGGTGTTGCTCAAGGGCGAAAAGCATTACCTGGCCAAATCACGGCAAGCAGAGAACTCGACTGAGAAAAAGGATGGCGAGGGCTTTGTGTTACAGCTCCAGACTGGAAAGGGCCACTACCATGGTGCCGACAAATGGAATCGTCCCATTTGTATTATTCGAGTGCGCTTGCATAACCCGAATGAGCAGACCCAAAAGGGACTGAACGACTACATCATCCAGTGCTGTGAGACGGCTCGATTACTCATGGTTCCTCCGGTAGACACAATGGTAAGTGAATACAGTATCATTATGGATGAAATAAAGCTAATACCTACGGAAACCAGTCCATTGTTTTCGATCTCACTTCATTCAGTCTTTCGAATTGGGTAATTTAGCATCGCATCTTAGTAATTATACATTTCACCAGCTAACGTGGACATGTTTAGGACTTTCCTCCTGTCAAATTTATCGTCGACTGCTTCCAAGAGAATTATCCAGAGTCTCTTGGTGCGATGATCTTCTACAACGCGCCGTGGATCTTCTCCGGTTTGTCCAGCTTCTCTGCAAAGTAATCACGAGCTCATCATTAATCCAGGCTTCTGGAAAATTATTCACGGAATCCTCGACCCAGTCGTTGCATCCAAAGTGCACTTCATCAACGGTGCAAAGGAGCTCGAGCAACTTATCCCCAAGGAGCACATTATCAAGGAACTTGGTGGTGAAGAGGATTGGGAGTATGAATACATCGAACCTGCATCTAAGGAAAATGAAAAACTGAAGGATACCGAAACGCGGGATGAGGTACTTGCACGAAGGAAGACACTTGGAGATGAGCTCTTCGGTCTCACCGCGGAATCAATCTTAACGCCCGAGGCTGAAGGGTTGAAGGATCGCCGAGATGAGGTGATCAAGAAGTTGTGCGAGAATTATTGGGAGCTTGACCCTTTTGTACGCTCTAGTACTGTTCTGGATCGAACCGGTGTTATCAAATCCGGGGGAAAGATTGACTTTTACCCTGAAGAAGCTCAGACCCAGACTGAGAAACTGAAAACTGTGACAGACCATGTGGAGAACACACAGTCGACGACAGTGGCTGCTTGAAGATTGTTTCAGAGTCTTTACTACAATATCCATGGTTTCCTTGTTTTCTGTGATTTGATTAGATTCAAGAATCTACTACAGCTTATCCTTTTATCCAGACCAGCTTTCTAAGTTCCAGCAATAGAAAGAAGTCAATGGAACAGTAGGTAGGCATCGATTATCCTCCCATAATTCTCAATCCGGGTCCACTAAACTTCTTTCACTATATACTCGCTAAAAGTTTCCATTCACCAAGTATATTCCGACTCATCATCATGGTCAAACCACCAGCAGCTGACATAACTCCTCCAAAAATCCACATGGCGTTGAATCCGTGATCCTGAAGAATTGCCCCCGCCACCGGCGTTCCGATGAGATTACCAACCGTCATGGCCGCATACCCCATTCCCATTCTGGTTCCAATTAAGCCCCTATCGGGAGAAAGGCGGACGAAGCATGTTGGTGGCAGCGAGACAAATGCCCCGGAAAAGAAACCGTACAGCAACGCAACCACCACAACTCCCGCCAAATTGGACAAATCAATCAGTGCAAACATCAAGGCGCCACAAATTATGGTGCATACAAAAACGATGTTGAACGGACCGACTTTGTTTGCAAAGAGGTTGGGGAATATTCGGCCAAAGACTGACCCTGCTGTAATAATCGACAGCAAGTAAAATCCCACTTCGTCGGCAGCAATCTTCTTGGTAACTGCAAAGTATTGGATATAGAAGAAGGGAATGTTGAGCGATATGAATGTCAACATTCCACCCAGTACGAAAAAAGTGTATGCGGGTTCTTTAAACGCGGAAAGATCCAACATTTTCCGCTTGCTGGAAGGTTGAACTCTGATTCTAAATACCAATAGTGGTATAAGAAGTGTAATGAAGATGATCAGACTTATTGCTCGCACAGTCCAGCCAAATCCAATTCGGTCAATGAGTCGGTGAAAGATTATCGGATACAGAACTCCACCTAGACACAAGTCTAATGTTATAAATGAAACTTTGAACATGGGAATCCACATACCTAGTCCACCTCCCGTAGCCGCGATCCCATTTGCAAGTGCCAATCTTGTATCAAAATAGGTGGACAGAACGGCAACACCAGGAATGAAGATAAGTCCGACTCCAATGCCAACGCAGAAGCCCTGCGCAAGAATGACTTGATAATATTCGTGACACAGACTGGTCATCATGTGTCCAAATATTACTAGGAAGGATCCCGTGGACAACAAAATATGGAAATAACCTGCGTCGTAGAGAGGACCCGTGATTAACCCTAATATTAACAACAAAGAGGATTGCACCGAGCCTATCCATGAGATAGTGGAAGATGACGCCACAAATAGGTCTCCCGTCTCGTAGTAGGTCTGATATGCGCCAAATGTGTTGAGTATTCCCCTGAAGACATGTATTAATTGCTGTCTTTATATTCTGTTACGGCAAGAAGTGCTGACCAGGTATTCAAGAAGATGAAAAATGTTCCCACTATTTGGATCCATGCCCATGTTCCACCATTAGGAATGGAAATAGTATCGTTTGCAGCAGCCTTTGGTGTGATGGGATTCTCGATTGCTTGAACGGTTTGATTGCCGCTGAGCCGCAATTCGTCACAACCTTTTTCGTCCATAATCGATTAGAGTTTGAGAATGACAATTTAAAGAGGACAAAAGTGAACTAAAACTTTCCACAATCAGCTTTAAGTAAAGTCATGACGGGACGAGGCTGTCATTGAGGCCGGGTTGAATAACCGGACGCCGAAATCCCGGCATCCAGGCTGTTCTAATAAGCAACCTCCATGATAATTTCGATCGCGTCTATCTTGCCTTATGCAGCTTGGTTGTTCCCTTATCAACGGGGTATGCAATCCTTCCGTTCGATGGTGGCTTCCGCACGGATGACAAGCATCGGAGATCGCCGACAGGCGCTATTCAGGTATATCCTTGCAATCATTAGTACAACAATGAATGCAATCTATGTTCCTTGAAAAAATTTTCCAATTTCTAATAAGTAGACATTCCAAACATGCAAGGTCTCTTGTTTGGTCATTTAGAGCTCGAAGCCTAAGCCGATCTGAAAGTATGACACGCATGCAAGATGCTATTCTCGCAGCCCCTCGCTAGACAATCTCCATATGTAAAATCCTCTCTTCATCCTTTGCTTCCAGATTAAGCCGTTTTTCTGCTGCTGCAACGTGAATCTCGTGTTTTTGCATCCGGATCAGTTCTTCCTCCGGAATATTCATCAGGACCTTCGGGCCTGAGAATAGGAGATCAATCTGCTCCAAAGTTTTTCCTTTTGTCTATGATAATACGTAAGAATCAAGAATCTTCAAAGGGAACTTAAACTTGCCTCCGGATAAAAAAAGTAGATCAACGGGATAAAGGCAGCATTCAAAGCCGCAAAGATAATATAGGTCTTATACCCAATATTCGAAATTGCAGGTGGGGTAATCTCCGCCACGATGAACGTAAACAGCCATGTTGCTGAAGTCGAAAATGCAGCCGATTGTGAGCGCGTCACCAAAGGTGCGTATTCTGCAGTTAGCAGCCATGGCCCGGGGATCCAGCCTACTCCGAAGCAGAAGTCATAAAAGAACAGGGCCACGGTGGCAGCAATTCCTGGGGCGAAGGCAACAACGGAGGTTGTTCCTGCCAAAATGCACATCCCCATGCACATTCCGATTAGTCCTCCTAGAAGAAGAGGTCGGCGTCCTGTTCGATCAATAATAAAAATTGGAATGAGGGTCGAAAGGTAATAGAATAAGCTCAAGAAACCTGACATCAAGCTCGATAGGCGTGGGCTAAATCCAACACTCTTAATAAAGATGTATGGGGCATAGTATCTAGCATGTGTTAGATTAAATCTTCCGAGTTTTGGAAATCCACCTACGTGATCAGATTGATCCCTGTCAGTTGCTGCATAATCATGGAGCCCGCGCCTAGCATGGTTCTGTGGAAAATGCGTTGTTCGCCATTGGAAAAGACCGTCCGAATGGGTCTAAGGGACCAGAAGTAAGCTTTCTGTGCATGGAGATTGTTACCATTGCAAAATAATTACCCTTTCCCTCCCATTCGTTCCTGAGATAGCCTCTCCTGAGCAATTGCAGTGATGATCTCCAGTCTCTCTCTTTCAGCAATCTCAACGCCTTCGTGCTCGTATAAACGCACGAGAACTTCCATGGCCTCCTCAGTTCGATCGTGGGAGAGAAGCCACCGAGGTGTCTCGGGGAGAAAGGTTATCAAGGCAATAGTCGACAAAGCGAAGACAATCTGAAGAGCAATTGGGAACCGCCACTGCATGCCACTATCCACAAAGCCGAATCCATAGTCGACCCAGTATGCTACTGCCACTGTACCAGTGGGATTAGCAAAACCAAAGACAAAAGTTTAAGCAGAACTTACCACCGCCCTATTTTTTTTTTCGGTTAGTAGTGCACTCCTAAAGTCAAATATGGGGAATACATACCACGTTAGTTGAAAGCTCTGTCGTAATAAACTTCCCTCTCGTCTTTGCTTGGACTAGTTCCGCATGCCACACTGGAATCGTGGACGTTATTATCCCATTCCCAGTACCCGTAATAATTCTTCCAACCTGAAATCCAGATGAATAACTAATCATTGACCCTATACATGGGAATGCTCACCATGAGTTGGGGAATGTGAAAAGCTGAGCACTGAATGGCAGTGCCCACTGCAAGCACAAATGCACCAACAACAACAGTATGTTTGCGACCCAGTCTCTCGCCAATAAACATGGTCAACAGAGACCCGGCCCAACAGCCGATATTATAAATGGCTACCACTAGACCCTGGAGCGTTGAGCTGCCATTGCCGGTTGTGGTGTTAATTGCAGGGAATTGTTTGGTGAAGGCTGGACCGGTAATGACACCGCCCATTACCCCTTGCTCTATGAGCTGGTTAGATCTGAGTAGTCAAAAATACGACATATTGGAGACCAACCATATCCGAAGAGTACAAATGCGACTGAGCAGGTCAGACTGATCAAATGCAAGAGTCTTGGACCCTTCAGACTGGAAATTCCTGTCATCAACATGATTCTATTGTAAACAAGTATGGAAGGTTGACTATGCCGAGCAAAAACGGGGGCATCTCGATATTTCTAATATTTCGGTGCAGCTTGGGCCTACTACCGAGCTCCCCACGGGGTACAAAGCGGAGAAAAATCCAGAATGTTATCTCCAGCTAGTTAGCTATCGTATTAGATCAGTTCTATACTAGTTCTCTGCACGGTTCGGCAATCTGGTTCCGAAATTGCGTGGAGGGAGGACATGGCTCGGTGCAGTCCTTCCGTATTCGGTTTAGTCAACGTGGGGGAATCGGATGAATGCCGAGATGGATGATGGTTCTTCTTTGCGTGGGGGGTCAATATGGAAGATCTGATCATAGGGTCAGTTTTATACAAGAAAGACTTTACCTATGATTGCTTTCGTGGTCGCATGCATGCATATACACTTACAGAATCCTTGCAGTATTGGTGTTCGTTGACAGACATAAACCCGAAGAAGGTGCAAGGATATGCGCAGAAGACAACCGGGCTTATTCAATGTGATATGCTCTGCAAACTGCAGCAGCGACCAACGAAAGGAACACTATCGCTAGGTTTTTATTTTTATTTTTTTGTGTCCATGATGGCGTGCTCGAGCGCACGCATGACTCCGCCAATCTGAGTAACTAACTCACATCCTCCCCAGTTCGTAGTCAGTCAGCCGCGGCCCAAGCGATCTTTTCATGCGGGGAAATTTTATCGAAGGCGCCTTCTCTCTTCATGGATCCCGAATCCCGAATACGCAAACGTATCCCGAAATCCTGCAAGCGCTGCCATCGGCGGAAACAGCGCTGCGTCGGGGTTCCCACATGCACGAACTGTGAATCCGCAAATCAACCCTGCTCACGAGCCGAGACTGCTCCGTCATGGCACCATGGCATGTCCAAAGGTGCCTTGGTTGACCGGATCGAAACCCTTGAGGATCAACTTGCCGCCGTTCTGAATCAAGCACCAGAATCAGCGACCGCTCAGTCTACGGTCGCAAAGGAATCCACGTTGTCTCACCATCCAACTGCGCAAAGGGATCAACTAGATGGAGTAGTTCGCTTTTTGACTTTTGGACATGAGACAGATGGGGAGACAGCCTATCTCGGTCCATCATCGGGTCTCTCCATTGCAGAAAATCTTGGCCGAATAGTCCACAGCACGGTCGGAGGAAAACTGTTGCCCGTCAACTCCAGCAGCCAGAAATCAGAGCCATGGTGGGAAAGCACCGAGCGAGACAACGTTGCTCCTCCTGATGACGTCGTGGGCTCACAAATTCTCGACGCATACTTCAATAACATGCATCTACGCCTTCCTTTCCTGGACCGCACGGAGATCCTGGAATTGCATACGAAGAGACATCAACCGCCTGGCTCAACACCTCAAGGTCAGTTTGAGAAGTTTAAGCTCTTCATGGTTTATGCAATTGGGGCAACTATCTCTCAAATGACTGAGACGTACAACTCAACTCCCCCAAAAGCCTTCTTGGTCACAGCCCTACAATTCGATCCAACTCATAGAGAGTCGCTTTCAATTGCAAGCATCGAAGCAATGATGCTTTTGGTCCTATACAATCTTCGCTCAACCTCCAACTCCAGTGTGTGGTACATGATTGGATTAGCGATGAGGATTTGTGTCGATTTTGGATTCCATCGTGAGGCGCGCTACCGCGATCTGAAGCCACATGAGGCAGAGATGAGACGCCGTCTCTTTTGGAGTGTATATCTGACTGAAAGATACACTGCTTGGGCACTCGGCCGACCATTTAGTATTGCAGAAGAAGAGATCGATACCGTGCCTCCGCATAACCTGGATGATTCAATCAATAATGATGACATGATCATACAGATACTCAGCAACAATGCGAGTATACATGTCCAGTCACAGAAACCTACGATTGGAAGGTTTATTGCCTCGATCCAGCTGCATCGCATTGTCTCTCAAATTCATACCCGTATATACCGTGTCGACAAACCCGTCTCGCAAATGTTGCCAGAAGTTGCTCCTTTGATGGCCTCACTGCAGGATTACAAACAATCTCTGCCTTCTCTCGACCTCAAAGAGAAAGACTTTGTGCACATGCACTGGAACAACTCCCTCCGAATACTCGTTCAACCATTTCTGAGTATTTTGCAACCACAAGATAAGCTCATTGAAACTTGTCTGTCAGCCTCGGGTCAAATGTGTCAGTTCTTTAAAAGACTCCAACAGAGAGACTCTTCGGGTTTTTCCTTTCTCCTTGTCAACTCCGTCTTCATGGCCGGGCTTACTATGTGGTGAGTACCTAGGTGTTCTCTTGTACAAAAGTCCTATTCTGACAAAATTCACAGCTTTTGTCTTTTCCGGTCACCATTTCTTTGGACAACCACGGTATCGAATGACTTGCGCGCTTGTTCATCTGCAGTCTTTGTGATGGCAGAGCGCAACCCAAAGCTAAAGAAACATCGCGATGGTCTCGAAAATATCATCAATCGAGCGATGGAGTTTGTTGAAGAGTCTGCAAATACAAGACGTGCAAGTGAACAAGGTCTTCCAGCTCAGGGCCATTCAACCGGTGAACAACCTATGCATCACACTTCGCCTCATGATTCTCTTGAGTCACAAGCCCAGCAATTTGTCCCAGATAATCTCTATGACACGACTACAGAGCTATTTGATACACATACACTGGGTCTATTTCCAGGATTCCAAGACTTTCCGATGCAACTGCACGACGGACTAACAGCAGGGAGTCCCAGCGTGCTGCATCCATTCCAGGGGATCCTCACCGAGGACTTTTGGACAGGTGATGCATTCAATCTCCCTATGCTGGAGAGATTTAACCGGCGAGTTTAATTAATCAAATCAACTAACAAATCATTCTTATTTCATCCATGTTAACTGCATAGTAGATCATTCTGGGTGAAAAATGACTGGAAATAATCTGCAATAGGCTATGGAATAAATCTACCCACCCCATTCGTGTCGCTCATTGATGACAAGGAGCAAGGTCATCCATAATTCCCAAGTCTTCACGACGGGACTTGCTTTCAGGATCAAAAAAAGGCACCTCTCCAACTCCGACAGCCCGGTTGCCACTGCGTGCGCCAAAGCCTTCGTGGTCACCCGTTGCAGTGTGGAAAACACTTCTGTTGTCCCAAATTGCTATATGTTTTCAGTATTTTATTGAATATCGAATACGAATATAGCACTTACCGATGTCATTAGGCTGGTTCCACTTGAGACGGACTTGGAGGTCATGCCCATAGGTGATCAGGTCGTGAAACCACTGTAACATATTTGCACTCTCTCGGCGGTTCAAGCCATTAATGATAGAAGGAAACGAGCCTATTCCGATACCAAATTAATTGTCTTGTTCCATGAAAGCAAAAGAATTCTTACCAACTGCAAAAATCGACTTCCAGCCTGTGATTGGGTTCGTCCTCACGACCTGTGCAAAGATTAGAACTCCAAAGTCATACCCGAAATAAGGGAGTAAGGTCTTACCGGATGCACAGCAAAAAGGTCTGACCCGACATTCTTCGGCGAGCCTCTCTCCTTGGTATACATCGCAAAATTGCCTGACTGGGCCATACGTCGGAACCCCTCACCGTCATAGACAGCGCTAAGTGTCTCCAAGAACTTCTGATAGGGCTTGCTGATGCGGTCATAGATCTCATACCCAGAAGCCCAAAGAGTATCACCACCAGTCTCAGGGAGTTTGATCAGACGCAAAGAAGAGAAATCCGCAGGAGCGGGCTCAAACGCGATGTCGCTATGCCACACAGCGGCCATCTTAGTGTAGTTTGAGTTCTTGTAGAGCTTCTTACGGCCCTCAGAGTCAATGGTGCTGATTGCGGGATCTGGGTCGCCGAACTCGCGTGCGTCGTTTGTCACTGGGTGGATGTGTAGCCCGTGGTCGGAAGGACGGCCGGTGAGCTGGCCCATGCGGAGAATGAGCTCTTTCTGGAGGTCATTGGTGAGGTTGTCCTGGGCGCGGAAGAAGACTACACCTCGTTCGGCGACTTTAGAGGGTTAGTATATGTGGAAATCAGGATGGAATGGAGTCATACATACTCATGATTGCTAGGTCGCGGATGCGCTCATCCGCATTAGGGACGTGCAGGATATCATCCACAATGTTGCACGAGTCTTTGGTGAACTCGTTGCCGATAACAGGGGTAACAAGGACTGGCTTAAACTGATCCAGAGATCCCGATGAATGAAGACGAGTAGTTGGCTGCATGCTGGCGGTTATTGAAGCGGTTGTTTGGATACGAAGTTGTCGAAGCGTTGCTGGAAGAGACAGCTAGCTATTCCTTGCCGGTTTATGGTTTCCCGAGAAATTGTTGCAATAAATCTTTCCAGTTGCGAATATATGCGTCTTTTAAATACCCCTCAGCATCTCTGATGAGATATCATTGAGGTACCACTATAGACGCTTTCGGCTTTCGGCGTTAAGACCTGTTCGGCCAGATGTCACCAGACTTCGAGAAATATCAGAGCCGAAATGGAATAATGTATGTAAGTGTTACGCTTTTTTGCAAGATGCTGGTTTTTGCGCTTGTTCTAGAGCTTCTTGTCGCTCAACAATGTACACATACAGGCAACCGTTACTGTAGTTGCCGACATGCGACGAGAACCTCTGAAATGCATAAGATTATGCGACAGGCAGAAACATAAAATGTGTACGATGTTGAATAACAAGTTTTCTTTTCACTAGCTATTTACTACCTTTTTTTTTTCCGGCGTTAAATGATGCGTTGGTTCTAAGCTTTCGTGCAAACCGAAGCAAGGTCTTGCAATAAAGTCTCAACACCTCGAACCTCGCACGACCAGCGCCAAAATTGCGCAATTGAGCAATATTAGTCAATTATTGTAGATAAATTGCTCTCGGGAAATACTTCTCCTCAATATGTGGGGGAAAATTGGGTTCATCGGCGATAGGAAGCATTTAGATGCGTTTACAGTGAGGCTTAACGCCGATGTGCCGAAAATCCTCTGCGGGGACAATTACAAGGCTAGCCAACCAGACGCAGGGCAGTTAAAACGTACTTTTCCTGATGCACTCATAACCCCACAAGAGACAAGGTAGCTCACTGTTGACAGCTCCCTTGGCAGCCGAGGGAGATTGCAACAGAGCAGCATTTTATTTCACTATCGCGCATAGTCTTTATTGAATGTTTATCATATACAGCATTACGTCTGCTCTTTTCCTTATTCCCCCATTGTCACCCTTCTACCGCATCATCAACATAACTTTCGTAGAAGCTGCATCCGAGCGTGGCCCTTCCTTCACTTAATCTTACATCTGAATCGAAAGTTGATCGTGGAGAGAGTTATTACAGATCTGCCGGTTTTCAAATATACCTACTGAGATGAAGGAAGCTCGGGGCACATGCCAGAGAAAGTAGATAAAACAAACAAAAAGTGGTTTTTCTTTCTATATCTGTCTAGAAGCCATACTCTATTCTTCTTGTTCTGACATATTTGACCCAACGTGGTCTACAAGAGTCGGAGACAATCAATATTGATACAGGCTTAGCGTACAACAGACTCGGCCAGATGGAAAGAAGAAAAGGGAGTGGGTATCGGCACAAAGGTCAAGGATGAGGGTCGCGGCAGGTAGTTTTCGTTCGAACTTCTGGCATTCTGTTCTTGCACTTGTCGGTATCGGCTTACTCGGCCCGCATTTTGCGGAAGAAATCCATGACGCCCGTGAAGACGACGAGCAGGATACCGCCACCGGGGCCAAGACGCAGGACCTTGGGGATGAAGCCCTTGTACAGGGCGCTGAAGCCCTCCTCCTTCATGACGACGCCGAGAGCGGGCCAGGCCCAGTTATACTTGGGCACCTGGCCAGGGACCTTGGTTGTGTTCTGGATGCGGGACTTGACGACGTCCATCGGGGTGTTGAGCATCGTACCGGCAATACCACCAATGGTACCGGCGATCAAGTCATTGCGGGTCTGCTGGCTCTTGTTGCCGGGCTCAGGCGCGGGCAGCTGCGCGCGGACCTGGAAGATACAACCGAAATAACCTGCGTTCCACAGGATGTGGCGCCACAGCGTCGACTCGAGGCCATTGTACATGGCCAGAGGGCCCTCGGTCTGTACGATCTTCTTAACCACATCAAGCATGCCATTGTACTTGCCCGCCGATGCCTTGTCCTGCAGGCGAATCTTCACCAGCTCGAAAGGAACCACCACGAACGCCTCTGTTGCTCCAGCCGTGGCGCCGGTCAGCGTGGCCAGACCCTGCGTCTGCTTCTCCACGCCAAACAGGCCACGGTAGAAGGTGCCCCAGCTGTCATTAGCGGCGAACTTGGTCGCACGCTTGGGCGCCTCCATCAAAATGGGGGCCGAGATACCACGGTATAGACGGGAAAATCTGTGGGTTGGGTGGTCAGATATCGGTCTCATGGTGCTTGTCCGCAATAACGTACCCCTCGTTCTTCACAATCTTGCGGAAGCAGTCGAGCATGCCGGTATAGTGATCCTGGCCCGGAACCGCGACGCCTGACTGGAGCTGACTGAAGGGCATTATTAGCACACGTACGCTCGGGTTGCACCGCTAACCACACTTACACTCGTGTCTTAACCACATCCAGTGGGTACCTGCATATCGTGCTTTGTTAGCCCAGTCCAATTGAGTGTTCACACAACAAGGTAGCGTGGCGTGGAAGCGTACATGACAAGAATCTGTTCGTGCGGGGAGACAACGTATTAGTCAAGGCACAATCTCACACACGCAGCCCGACTTGATCGACGTAGTCGGAACGTGCTCCGGGGACCGAGAAGAACTTACCTCCGACACACCAGCCACTGCACCGGCGGCGAATTGGTAGATGAAGGGCAGGGGTTGCTGCTGGTTGGACGACATGGTGGGCAACCGGGGGACTTGATGACCTGGGAGTTGTTGGAGGTTAGTTTGAGGCGAATTTCAATATTTCAGGCAGAATAAAGGATCGCATTCTTACCTAACAGACCCAAACGAGAGATGGGGGAATTGGGAGAAGAAGGAACGAGGGAAGAAGTGATGTCGGCAGATATCGGTGATCGAATCCGATTGCGTTTACCCGTGTGCTGACTAACCATCACCCCGGGTTTTGTGTGGGGTTTTGTTTTTACTTTCTCTACAACAACAACAACAACAACAACAACAGCATCCCCAGACCACCAACGCCAATCCCCAGCATCCCAGGAGATAATCCACTGCACCCATTCGTTGCTTGCTCCTTGGCCACCGTGGTCGCCGTCGCCGCCGTCGCCGCCGTCGCCGTGCAGCTCGACCCGCATACAAACCCGGAAGGACAACAGCCTCCACCCACCGTGTCCGCACAGCTAAACCAACCGTTCGCGCACCGTCCTCCACCTCCATGGTTCCCTGCTGTAGCCGTGACAGGCACTACAATTGTCCTACCATCTGTGGTGAGCGTCGTCGAAGATGTTGTAGGACACGACGTGGTATCGCAGTCTCGACCTGTCTGGCAGCACCCGCCGTGGTAGACGGCCGAGCAAGCATAGAACCCAGTCGGGCAGAATCCCTCTCCCGTAGTGGCGGTTGAGAGGCTTGTAGGACGGGCCGGCGGTGCCAGACTTTCGGTCGTTTTGGTGTTGCTTGTCGTTTTGGTGTTGCTTGTCGCTTTGGTGTTGCTTGTGTGAGACGAAGACGTAGAGCTCGGGATACTCTGCGGCTCGGTCGAATACGTTCTTGTGGATACCATCACGGTCGAATGGAGAGTCACTGTAACGATGGAGACGTAGGCGCCTGGATTGTAGCAGTCAGCAAAGGCATACTGACCAACCGAGGAATGATTTCGGTACTTACATCCGCCGGGGACACACTCGTAGCCAGGAATGCAGCATCCACCACCCAGCGCTTCGGAGCACGTTGTGTATCCAGATTGACACGATCCAATCTGTCCAGAGCATGTTTGTCCACTAGGGCAGCAGCCCATGTCTCCCGACCCCGTATCTTGGACCGACACACAGGTCTCTCCGGCACCGCAGCAGCGATTCGGCTGGCCGATGGACGTGCAGCTGTATGTACCCGTCGGACACTTGAAGTCCCGGACTTGCAATAGATTATCTAGAACTGACGGTAAAGAGGGGGGTTGGAGAGGGAATGATCTCTCCAGAAACACTTCCGGCATCTCGTCATTCATGGTCTCGTCCTTGGTCTCTCGCTCCGATAATCCCTGCGCATTGTCGAGGAATTGCCAGTAATCCAGGAAAAATTTCTCCCCTTCGTCACTGCTCATCTTTCGCACACCTTGTGCGGGCGTCTCTGCCAGCCGGGAGATTATCTCGGCGTTGCGATGCAGGATATGCTCAGCATCGGTTGATATTGCAATACCATCGATTGAAGGGGATACAAAGGTATCCCCTTCTTCCTGGGCCTGGCAGGTTGCCAGGAGAAAAGTGAGGACTGGTAGGAGCAGCATATAGACACTGCCTAAACGGGTTTGGCAACCCCGTCAGACTCGTAGATTGTAGTTTGTAAGAGATGAAGAGTTTTCCTATAGGCAGTCAGTTTCCTGATATGCCACAACTGCAAACAAAGCTAGATGGAAAAGGTGTTGTACAAGATCTTGGTGAGACCAGGCCGCTGGGGCTGGAGATATATTTCGGATGTGGTGGTGGGATGAGTGGCGTTCGTGATGGGGTATGACTAGATAGACGATCAAATATATAAAGAGGGATCTTTTTTTGTCTGTTCACAAGTCCGACAAGATTATCAATCTAGACAAAAAAGAACCGGAACGGAGTTGTTGGGGTTGCGTTGGTGGTGCGCAGGAAATGCGATGGCTGGGGATCGGAAGTAACAGGCAGCCCTAGTGCATATATACTTTCGCGCTCCATTTACTTATTGAAAGTTCCTGATTGAGCTGCTCTGCTATTGTATCTCATTAACAAACACATTATACTGGCATTAGCTGTAGACCACTATGGGGCCGGGTATCGACAAAAAATAACACGCCATATGCACTGCAAGCGGGCTGCGAAGAGGTATATTGCAAGTCCGGGGTAAATGAAATCGTGGAACAACATTCAATGCCAAAAGCCCCTCTCTCATACACAACATGCAATTTGAAACCCCTGCTATTCAAATAAGGGACGAGGACCTTGAAAGGTTTCAAGCTCAGCCTGCTCCTACTCAGGCTTGTCGGAAGATGGCGACTCTTCGTTCTTGTGACTCGGAGAGCCTTCGGATGCGGTTTCTGCTTCTCCTGAGCTGGTTGTCTCATCCTGTCCTTCGGATTTCTGTTCTGCTTGGGCTGCCGCTTCGGCAGCCTCCATCTTGGCATTGATACCCTGCTGCCTCTCCCAGACTTCCTTGCGAATGCGGTCATCCTTGGCGTTGCGCAGTCGTTCCGCCTCTTCGACGCCGCCGCTCTTCTTCAGCTTGCCCTCTTGGACAAAATTCCCTAGTTCTTTCTGGAAGAGGCCGATTCGCCGACTCTCAAGTTCCTTCTTCCGCGCCTTTTCTGCTCGCTCGATAGCCTCCACTCGGCTCTCATGGTTAGGCTGCAGAGCGCGGACCTCGCCGAGGACGCCGTCTTTGGCTTTCATGGGGTCAATCGTCGGATCGATTCCCAGAGTTCGGGAGGCGGAACGTGCGCCGGGGGTGCCAGCGCCGCTACTGACGTTGCTCTGCGCCTGCTCTTTGGTGGCCTGCTCCACCAAAGCAAATGTTTGGGCTGCTTTCTCGAGGTCGTCCTGCAAGTCGGCGGCAAGGTCCTCTTGCATGGTAAGTTGATCTCGTTCCTCGCAGACCATCTGTAGTTCCTTCTCCCAGATTTTGGTCCAGATGGGCTTCTCACGGCTCAGGAAGTCTTGCATCTTCTTGATCTCCTTCATGACATTACTGACATCTCGGCTGACACCTTCCAATTGTCTGGGCAAGGGCCGCACGCCTCTTGTGACAACATCCTTGCGGAGATCCTCCACGAGATCTTGGAGATCGTCCACACGAGCGACAAGCCGCTCCGACTCCTTGGCAAGCTCCTTTTTGCCTGTATTGACTCGGGCCCGACCGGCATCACCTTCGAACGTCGGAATCGCAGCCTCCTCGGCAGAAGACTTGACCTTGCTTGCCTTGGCCCGCACGTCACTCATTGAGCTCGTAATGTCAGACGTGAAATTGGAATAAGTCTGCCGCAGGACAGCAAGATCGCGACGCAGGCTCTGAAGTTCTGCAACCTGACTGCCGCTTCCTGCGATTGGAGCTTTCCGACTGTCACCGAGTGCGGGAGGGGCCGAGACCGAAACGGGGGGTGCGACGGACAAGCGAGCCATTTCTTTCGCCGCTTCAAGCTGCCGGTCCGAGACGCGTTGAATGACGGTCCCTTGCCCGGCAAGAGCCTCTTTGACGCCCTCAAACAGGAGCCGCATGCTGCCAAAGCCGTCATCAAAATGTTTCTTGACCTCGTCTAGGGTGTCGACATTTAGAACGAGCACTGAGCGGTCTTTGACATCGCTCAAGTCTTCTAGCTCATGTCGAATTCCCGAAATCGGATCTTGGATGTAAATCTCAGGCAAGTCTGCCCCGTTGTTGTGTGTGTTCCATGCGAATTTCTCAATGAAAGCCAACTGCAGCCGCCCAATAGTGAGCTCTGCAGCGCCTTCTGGAATGACATACTTCTTGATTTTGCTTTTGTACTGCAAGAAGAGAGTTAACTCCTTTCCAGGAGAGGGCTGCTCATTCACAAATTGAGTGACTGGCTGAGGCGTAGAAATATTCGTAGATAGCTCGAGGCGGTCTGGCTTGGGCGTTTCTGGCTCCGGCACCGCCTCCACAGCTGGAGTCTTGGGCTTTCCTGACTCGACGTCCCCAAGGGGTGCCGGTGCCGTTGGAGGCTGTGGAAAGTCTAGCTGTGGCGTCTGGACGGTAGTATCTTTAGCGTTATCCTGCTCCACTGCAGTAGATTGGTCGCCAGAGAGTTCGGGAGCTGGTTCTTGCTGTGTGGCCGATGGGGGCTCGGTAGCAACCTTGCTTTGCTCTTCTACCACTGGATCTGGGATACTCGCGGCCGCCTGTGCCGCTCCGCTCTTGGAAGCAATGGAAGACTGTTGTCTCGTATGCGTATATGATCCCCGCAGGCGAACTGCGTTCAAAGACTCGCGAACATCCCGGCCACGGTTCGGAATAGGGGAACTCTGAGTCGGGAGAACTGGGACGCCGTTGGTGGAGGGACCAAGGTGCTTCTGGATCTGATATGCAGAGAAGCGACGAGACGCACGTCGCTCCAGCTCTCCACTCCTTTGTAGAGCACCAAGGGCATCGTCCTGTTTCGGCGGTGGTGGAGGCGCCGGGAAGCCTGCAGGCGTATTGGGAGCAGCCACTGCGCCGCGAGGAGTGAGAGCCGAGTCCACAATTTCCGTCGGAGAGCTTTGCGTGAGCAGCTGTTGCGTCTCCCGCCGCGATGCTTCCCGCTCAGAAAAGCTCCCTCCCCCACCATCGCCTGAGACGGGCGCTGGTGAAGGCCCTGGTGAAGCTCGAGACATAGCGTGCTGGTCGTCCAAAGACCCATTGCTGCCGTATCGCTTAGCCGACCGTCTCGGAGACTGCGCAGCCGCAGGCGGCATAACGGAGGCGGCTGTTTCATCGTACAGCTGTCCCATGTTGGGGGGCCCATCCAAGTGTCCGGCACTGGCGTGTCGTCCCGGCGCGGGTCTGCCTTCTTCTCGTTGTTGTCGTGACCGTAGCCGTGCCTGTTTCTTCTTCAACCCTTGCAGTAGATTGACAATTATGTCACGAATTCGCGGGAGGTAACGATCCAGGCTCTGCGGCGATGCATCCTGGCTGAGGGTGTCTTCTAGGATCGTTCGTAGGAGGTCTGGCACGGGGCCTAGATCCGAGGTGTCGACGCTGATAGCATTGAAGGCCCGACAGGCCAGGTTGAATTCATATCCCAGACGCACATATACATCGGACACGTCGTTCTCCGAGGCTTGTTTTCGAGACCATTGCGTCAGCGTCTCCAGGAGTTGTTTCGTGGCTACTAGAAGATGTGTCACGCTCTTTTCGATCTGGGAGATTTGTTTATCGGGCTGTGGGCGCGCGCACACACAGGGTCAGCAACCTTTCTTTCCAGACATCCAAACGCGCAGGAGACACGTACTGCACTCTTGCTGGACCCTGGTCGGGCCGAGGCCGATGAGCTGCGGCCAGACTGGGAGGCCATCGCAGGGTCGCTGCCCGACAGCGGGTACTGGGGGGGAGGGCTCAGAGGAGGATCTCCGGGATAAGGTCGCTGAGACCTCGAGCCAGACGGCGACTGCATGTGCTCTGCGCGGGCGATGGAACGAAGCACAACAATGGTCGGGGATGCAGGAGAGAGAACAACAACGAGAAAGTGTCAGCTGACTAGTGCCCGATACGCGGCCCGTAAGTAAAGTTACCGGCCGTTGGTTTACATGGATCGGACCGCGGCGAGGGGAGTCAATTGTCGATGACGAATCGATGGGTGATGGATGATTTGTCGGGAGAAATCGTCGAATAATGCATGCATCTTGCGTCGTGCGTCCGCGTTGGTATGGGTTATTGCGCGAGTCTATGAAACAGGCCGTCCAGTCAGGTTCATCTTACATTGGCCGGGCCCAACAAGACCCCAGATGATTGCCCTCTCGGTTGAGAGCAGAAGCGAGTCGAGAATATTATATTTCCTTTCCTGGCAGCAACATATCTCCATCCTCATCGCAATCAAGAGTACTTACTCGGAGGTGTTAGGGTGGGTCAGAGCTGACAGCGGCACGGTGACAGGGTCCAACAGCCCCGGAGAGCCCAAGAAGCAACCAACACAATACCCAGCTCTGCGGAGCAACGATTATTGCCAATAGTAGTAGCAAAGCTGCTATAGGACTAACGCGAAGGAACTATTTGCTCGATTATTGCTCTACCTGAGGTGGCACAATAGAATACCAGTGACCATACCCGTACACCCCGTGACTTACCCCAATCAGGTCTAAGTCCATCACCCATCCATCGACTTTCTTTCTTCATCCCTCGATCACCCTCGACTGCCCTATCTTCCCTTCCCCCTTTCTGCCCCTTCTCATTCCCCCACCCCATTGACTGGACCTGTGGCTGCTCTCTCTGTGCGTGTGGCGGCTGCTCACCCCCCTCACTGTTCTGTCCCTGTCCTGTTTGTGCAGGCGGTGTGTTGTGGCTTCGTTCCTCGACCTCGCGGCTTTCCGCCGTGCGAAGTTCCACGACACCAGCCTGCCCTGACTGACCCTTGAGTCAATCAATGGCTTCCACCATCAACTCCATGCCTGCTGCAAACAGCGCGTCGGGCAATGCCGTCAATCCTGCGGCGCAGAATTCGGGTCGTCCCTCGCTGAGACCCAGCGCCAGCACCAAGGGGTCTGACGGTCGACGACAGTCGGGCAGCCCTGCGGACGGTGGAAATAGGTACGCTGCAATCCCCACCTACCCGCTCGCTTCTCTTCTTTCTGTCGGGGGACTCGAACGAAATATCGCCTTGCGTCGTTTCTCCTCTCACCCTCCCCGGGGTGTGAAAGACCCCGTGCACGTGCCTTCTACCTGGCAAGCTTTGTTGCACTCCAGCATAGAATGTGTGCCATTGGAGGGCCACAGTCCTGCTATAAGTCCTACACAGCCGTCTTTCTACCGTCACTGACTCAAAAACGTGCTTCTTCATAGGCGCAGCAATTCCCAGAAGGCCTGGACCCAAGGGACCAATCCCATTACCCAACGTACTTCATACGCATCATCGAACGGAAACACGTCCCACCAGAGGCAGACGGGTTCACCTCGACCGGGCCAGAAGGAATCAAATACCCCGGACAGCCATGCTCATGACCGTCTTGTCTTCCTCTTTGCTAGCTTCATCGTATGCTTGTCACATTCTGATAACCATACTCCATGACCAGAGCTGATTGTTTTTTAGGGTCTGAACACCACCATTACCACCAAGTCAGGGGACAAATTTACCGGCATCTTCTCCTCTTCGACCCTTGAAGCCAGCGATTCGTCGTTCCTGCTGAAGATGGTTCAGCGCGCCTCTCAGGAGAACCAACCCAAAGCCAACGGTGTTAGCGAGGTCACAAGTCCATACTTAGGAACCGGACCTGACCACAGCATGGCATTTGATATCAAGGACGTCGCGGATATCGCCGTGCCCAATGTGGTCCCGGCAGAGGTTTCGGCAAAGGAATCAAACGGTAAGACTAATCCACGTCCACTGATACCACATATGTGCTGACCGTTCTCTTCCTGCAGGCGCGTCGGCTGGCTTCAAGACTGATGCTGATATTTCTGGGAACCTGGCGATGCGAGAACGAACTTTGAAGCGCTGGGAGCCCGCTGAGCACGAGGTCGATATGTCACTCGAAAGCACCACAACGGCAGGCTGGGACCAATTCGAGACAAATGAAAGACTCTTTGGTGCCAAGACCAACTACGACGAGCACCTGTACACGACTCGCATTGACCGCTCGGATCCGGCCTTCAAGCAAAGGCAGGCTGAGGCGGCTCGCATTGCTCGCGAGATCGAGGGTACTGATGTGGACAATGTCCATATGCGTGAGGAACGAGGTCTGGTGGCGCCCGACACTGGCGATCAAGATGAAGAAGACAAATACAGCGGTGTTCGTCGGGACGACAAAACTTTCCCGCCTCTTCTCTCCGGCCAACCCAACAAATACACCCCTCCTGCACGCCGAGGGCCTGGTGGCCCGCCTGTAGCAGCGAGGCAGCCTACTCCTTCCAAAGAGGCTGTGCCGCAACAGAACCAACCCCAGGCGACACAAGGTGTCAAAGCCCCTGCTGATGCCGACCAGAAGTCTGCCAAGCGGGCGGTGCCTGATAATGCCACGGCTAATGTCGAGGCTGAAGTGTTGGACCACTTCCGTCAGTTTGCGAACAGTGAGAAGTTGAAGATGCAGGAGCGCCGTCGCAACCAAGCATCGTATGATCGGACGATCAAGCTGAACGAGTTGATGAAGTTCTCGAAGAACTTTAAGCTTTCTACTCCAGTGCCAAAGGACTTGGTGCCGATTCTGGCGAAAGACCCCCACAAGCAAGAGGTGATCATTCAACGCGCTCAACAGTCAATTGATGACAAACCAACTCCGAAGGCTAATACTGTTGCTCCTGAACAAAAGCCACAGGCTCGTGGTCCCACTGGCGCAATGCCTCCTGCGGCACCCTCCGATCGTCAGAACCTCGCGCGCGGCCGTCAGGGACACCTCCCCACTGGTCCTCTTGCTGGCCCGGGAGGCCGATTCCCTCAGCAAGCGATGCAGCCAGGCCGCCCTGGCACGGGCATGCTTGGTCACCGCCTGCAGGACAATCTTCAGCAACGAAAGGGGGCCGGCATGGGCCCTGTTCCCGCTCCTCTGCCCATTCAGGATGCTCGCGGCCCCCCCACTGGCCCAGCCAGCGATCAACCCAAGGTTACGAGCCCGGTGAAGACTCAGACACCGACTTCTGCCGCGGCGTCCAAGTTCAATGTCCGCGCTATGGAATTCAAACCCAATCCCGCTGCGAGTACTTTCACACCTGGTGGCGCCCCCTCTACCAGCGCTGCCGGTTCTGCGGTTAGCCCACGACCATTCTCTCGCAACCGGTCTGTGTCGCGTGCTACCACCCCGTCTGCTTTCTTTGGTGCGAGGAAGCCGCAGCCTATTTCGGAGCGGCCATCCATTGATGATCAGTTCAATCCCATCAAGCGCATGAAAAAAGAAAGTGCTGCGCAGTCTGACAAGCCTTATACCTTCAATGGCGGAATCCCACCGCCTTATAAAACCCTTCCCACCTGGGATGTTTCCGAGGGCAGGGAGGAGACAACCTATGATCAGATGTTCAAGCAGCCAGTCGGCGCTTCCTCGGTCTCGCCACAGGGTCGATCCGCGTCCAACAACCCTCATATGCCGCAGCAACACCAGATGCCGTTCCAGTACCAGCAGCAAAACTCGGGAATGCCTCCTTCGTCCGGCCCTCCCAATGGCCCACATCATCTTCATCCCCAAGGCCCTCACGGCTCTGGTCCGTCTCACATGGATGATCACCACCGCATGCAGTTGTCTGCATCGTCTTCACAGGTCTTCCCTTCTCCGCGGATGCAGCAGGGCTACCCTTCTCCCATGGCCCCTCACGCTCAGCTGGCTTTCGGGCAGCCGATGCCGCAATTTTATGGCGGGCCTCAGCCCAACCACATGAGACAATATCAAGGTGTGCCCCAGTTCATGAACCCACAGGCCCCTATGGGGGCGCCTATGATGGTCCAGCAACCTTCCAATGGCCCGTATATGGGCGTCCCGCAGAACATGTCTCCATACAACCCCCAGATGCAAATGTACTCGCCGTCACCGGGCCACGCCTACCCACAGCATGCCCCTCCTCCTCAGCCGCCTAGCGGATATCCAAGCCCCAGCCGCGGTGCCCCCATGATGATGCATCAGAACTCGCAATCGGGTCAACCCCCGCAGCCCATGATGTTCATGCCACCTGGCCAGCAGCAAGGACACAGTGAGTTACCCCAGCTACCCTTTAAAAAGGACCCCTTGTTAACCTGTCCCAGTGCCTCCCGGGCGTGGCGGTTATCCACAGCAGCAGCCTCACTACTCCTCAAGCCCGCACCAGTCCCATCACTACCCTCCCAATCAGCATCGGACGCCAAGCAACAGTTTCAACCAGATGCCGCAAATGCCACCGCAGATGTCCAATACCCCTGCACCTTCGGGCACGGGATCTCATTCCGCCGAGACTGGAGATGAAGGGAAATGAAATCCACGACTGTCGATACCATCACGGGGCGACTGTGTCAGTTACTTGTGAATGCTTGCTTTGCCTTCTTCTCTTGGCCTGGCAGGCGCCTGGCATCAAGCTTCTACACTCTTCGTGCATTCTTCTCCTCTCTTGAATCGCTGTGTGCTTTGAATGTGTGCCCAGCTTGACACGTCCCCCTCATTAGGGTGCATTTACCACATTTATTACATGCACAGTGAACGGTATGTGACGAATCCGCACTGTCGATAGCCCCAGTTCTGATGATCGTGCTGTCAGGCTGGACAAGTGAGCCCAGTTGCCATGCTTATCACAGCCCCCAACCGGGCGATTCGAAACCATGGCCATCATCTCATGCGTTTTACAGCCTGTCATCCACTGTGCAGCAACAACTTGCAGCAACTCGGAGAATTTATTCTACGACGGATATTTTTCCTTTTTCTTTCCGGTCTTTACTTTTTTTTTCTTTGCTCATCCCTTTAGCTGAGGGCTTCTGTGTTGCACCCACTAGGTTCACCCGTGTTGCCAGTGGTACGGATTGAAGTTTTTCGTGGGGATGGATTACGTATGGAGCAGTGTGTGTGAAGTGGTCATGGTGATGGCAACTGGAAGTGGTTTATGATGCTTCGAGGAAGTTGACGGTGTGGCCAAGCAGAGAAGTTCCGTGTGGATCAGTGGACGTGGTTGCTAGCATTCTAAGAAGTGGCAATAACACGATTATACTGTAATCGAAGATATTCCTATCAATACCTCGTATGACACCTGTTCAATCCCTATAGACAATTCTTCCAGCAATCAAATAAAAATAACTTCCCCGGTGGCAGTGATCAGCTTGTAAGTACCTATTCTGTATGTATATCAGTTAGCCACCACTTCATCAACTCAAAAAGCAAGACTCTCGGACAAAGGGGAAAGCATCTCCTCAGGTCTTTTCAGTTCATAGTTTATCGTCATCCAAAGCCCCCGACACCACTAACCCATTCTCATCCACCGCGGTGCTTTATGCCCTCGTCCCAACCAAGTCCAAACCTCCCTCTCAACAAGCTAACCCCAGAGCAAGAAACAACACCACCGAATCCTCAAATCCACCCAGCAAGCAAAAAAGAACAGTGATACAACCCTGACTCTCCCCCATGTCCCCAGCTCCGCTCCCTTTTTCTCTCACTCCTCCTTCACCACTCTTCGCGCAGTTGGATGTAGAGCAATGCCCACACGCTGTTCGCCGCAGCCATTGGTTCCTAATCGTCCTCATGGAAGCAAAGCGGACTCAGGAACCCCAGATCGCGGCGCTTGCCAACATTCACGAATGAATGTTGGGTTTCATATGCACACGATATTTGCTCCCAAGGTCGAGAACAATGCTGCGAGCAGTGTTGCCCTCCCTGTAAAACAGGACGCCGTAGATCAAGCGGCATAGACCTTCGATTGCCTTTTCAGAGCCGTGTACCTGCGTCTGCGAAGAGTGGGAATAGGAGGAGCGAGATTCCAGGGAAGCACGAATCGGGAATCCGAGGGAGAGGTGGGTTGGCTGTAAGAGCTGTGGGGGGTTTGTTGAATTCGGTTTGTGGCGTGGTGGTGTTTCAGCACACTGGTGATGGTTGTTGAGAGTGTTGTGGAAGATGGGTGCTCGGGTGGTTGGAGGGCCAGTACCTTCGGCTTGAGGAGTGAGAACAGGTTGCGCGCGGGTCGTGGACTGGCGCGGTCTGACCTTTTACCAGGATCACATCATTGGAGCACTGCGAGAGTATCGCGAGGGTAGTGGAGGATGGGGAACAGAGAATGGGACGTACCTTTCGTTTGTTGAGCTGTTGGAAGAAGACAAGAAGCACAGAGAGAGAGCGAGTCTAGACTCCTGGCCTTAGGCACTTATCAGGCGCAAACCCGATAAGGCGGGGCAAAAGGAGAGCGACACCACCACTTGTTTTGTTCTTTTTTTGCCACGACAATGGATTTCCTCAAGTCGGCCGTCGCCTCGGCCATCGCCAAGGGCAGCTCGCTTCCCTTCTCGATTGGCGACCGAGTCGACATTGGCGATTCCATCTGGACCCTGCACAATGCCACCAAGCGGGTACTTGCTTTCCCTAACTACGGACCCTGGCCCGCAAACACACCAAATGCTGACCTGTCTGTCCCTTCTAGGATGATAGCTCTGCATGCAGCGTCTTCACTTTCGATATAGCGGCCAACAAGTCGCGTCTCCCCCTGGCCAAGAACGCAGTCCGCAAATCGCGGACTTTGCGCCATCCCGGTGTGATCAAGGTTCTGGATACGATCGAGGTAAACATGAAGCGAGGATACTTAAAAGGCATGGTGCTTACGCTGGAACAGACTGAAGCAAACCTCTACATTGTGACCGAACGTGTGACGCCCCTGTCATGGTCTGTCAAGCGGAGGAGTATCAGCGAGGAGACGGCGAAATGGGGGTTGTACACTGTCGCTGTGAGTGATCCCCAGACGCATTGCTATGCACACTCTAATTTCGGAATAGTCTACTCTCAAGTTTATCAATGACGATGCCTCCTCCGTCCACGGTGCCGTGCGCGCCTCGTCGGTCTTCTCAAGTGAAAGTGGCGAATGGAAGCTGGGTGGATTTGACGTCTTGAGTTCCATGAAGGAAGATGAGGCTATTATATATGTCAGTTGCGCTTCCTCGGTGCCCTAAAGGAAAGCATGGCCGTTTTGGTATTCCCTATGCTGACCCTTTCCAAAAGACGTACGGAAGCATTGTCCCCGATGCAGCACGGTACACCCCCCCAGAGGTCGTCAAAGGAGGCTGGGATGTTATCAAACGTAACCCATTAGCTGCGATCGATGCCTATGGACTGGGAATTCTGATCCTCGAAGTCTTTAATGGCCACTTCGCGGGTGCAGAGCAGGTGGGCAAGACGACCAACATCCCTCCGAGTATGCAACAAAGCTACAAACGTCTCTGTACGGCCAACCCGAAGCTGCGGCTTAGTCCTGCACACTTCGTGGAGCAGGGGAAGAAGCATGGCGGGTTCTTTCAGACGCCCCTGATCCGGTTGACGGAAGACATGGAGAGCCTCGGTCTGAAAAGTGACGCCGAACGAGAGGAATTCATCAAGTATGTTTAATTTGCCTCGTTCCACTTTACCCTGTTGCTAAATTTTCATCTGCAGTGAACTCGATAATCTTTCGGAAGATTTCCCTGAAGACTTTTTCAAAATGAAGGTGCTTCCCGAACTGCTCAAGTCGGTTGAATTCGGCGGCGGCGGGCCCAAGGTTCTTGGGGCTACTCTGAAGATCGGGTCCAAACTGTCACCGGACGAGTTCAATGTCAAGCTGACGCCTGTCGTGGTGCGCCTATTTGGCAACCCTGATCGAGCTCTGCGTGTTTGTCTGTTGGATAACTTGCCCCTAATGATTGATAATCTCCCCAAGAAAGTTGTCAATGACAAGATTTTTCCACAAATGGTGAGTCCTCGTCGACTAGTGAGCATTCTAGCCTTTCTGACCCTGTCCAGACTTCCGGCTTTACCGACGTTGCGCCCGTCGTTCGAGAGCAGACCGTCAAGGCTGTCTTGGCCGTCATCAACAAGCTCAGTGATAGAATTGTCAACGGCGAACTGCTCAAATTCCTGGCACGCACCGCTAATGACGAACAACCTGGCATCCGTACCAACACAACTATCTGTCTTGGCCGAATTGCCAAGAATCTCGGCGAGGGTGTAAGCGCATATATTCCTAGCATGGACATTGGACACTAATTCTGGCATGTAGACTCGGTCAAAGGTGCTTATTGCGGCGTTCACGAGGTCCCTCAGAGATCCTTTTGTGCATGCTCGAAATGCCGGACTGCTCGCTTTGTCCGCTACGATAGACGTGTTCTCTGAGGATGATTGTGCGGGCAAGGTTCTGCCAGCTCTTTGCCCGACACTATTGGATAAGGAGAAGTAAGCAATACCTGTCTGTCTTATACTTCCACGGCTGCTTATAACTGTATAGAATGATTCGAGATCAAGGAAACAAGACGCTGGATCTGTATCTCCAACGGATACGGAAATTTGGCAGCACCATGGCAGATACGGCGCTGCCAGCTTCTGCTCCAGCAGGGGTCAGCAAAACGGAAGCACGCATCGGCACATCTAACGACAAATCTTGGGCCGGGTGGGCCATCTCGTCCTTCACTAACAAGATCACAACGGCCAATGGAGAGATTCAGCCAACAGAGAGCGGCAACAAGCTTGCGGAGGTCGAGGCGGTGCGCTCCGCATCTGTTCCCCCGGTCATATCTCCACCCTCAGCTTCATTGGAACTTCCAAGGCAGACGCTCCTCCCTGCAGCACAGCCACTTGGCCGATCAATGTCAGATCGACCTGTTCCAGTAGTGCAAGAAGAGGACGCAGAAGAGGAAGCAGATGACGTTTTCGATGCCTGGGGCGCGATGGAAGACGATGACGAAAAGGACGAAGATACTTTTACTGCTGCGGTGTCCACTCCGAAACCTACTTCTCCCGAGCCTAACACAACAACCAAACCAGCCGCAGTACCGTACGATGATGGCGGCGAACCCGATTTTGCTGGCTGGCTGGCGGCCAAGTCCAAGTCCAAAGCGAAGCCACTGCCTCCCAAGGGGCTCAGCAAGGCTTCATCCACTAATACCGTGACGCGGACTACGACTGCGAGCACCACCAAACCGCGCGTGGCTGCGCCGGCTAAGAAGATCGATACTACCCCCAAGGACGATGCAATGGATGATGATTGGGGTGATGCTTGGGACTGAGGGTGTGATTCTTTCACGTTTATAGACATTGTTCCATGCCCTCTCGGACTGTGGAAATATATACCCAGTGGTTTTAGCTCGTGCACAAAAGAAATTTACAATAATAGTTCTTTCATCTATACTTCGAACGTCTGGGTAGACTGCTTATCTTATCGACCTGTACCAAGAGTCCGCTTCTTCCTCCTCCACTTACTGCACTCGCTTTCTCTCCACTGCGGTCCCAGGCCGTTTGCAACGAGCCCAGCCTTGAAGGCAGACTTCTCTCGCTCAGTCACTTGCTGTTTTAGCCCGTGAGATATCTCCGACAGTGTTAATTCCGCCCAGCCACCGTGCGCTCACCGGCCTGCGGGAATCTTGCTGCCTTCCGAACGTGCGCACAGCGTTATCTTATCACCGCAGCATGCGCCGACACTGAGACAGACATCTTCCCACCAGGCCGCGACATTCTCTCTTGCCACACTCCCTGTTGCTATCTCTCGAAATGGACCAAGAGGAGGCCCCGCCGCCTTACTCGGCGGTCGACCCATTACTGACTCACGCCAACAACAATCGCCGCAATGGCAACTCTCCGCAAGGCCCGAGCCCCGGCAGCGTGCCTGGGACAGAGTATGCCAGCAGCAGCTCCCACATTCTTGCGCAGCCCACCAGCCTCGGTGCTCCGCTAGTCCCACCTGCACAGTTCACCTCCGCCGTCGCCTACTTCGAGGAGCGACCTCCAACGCTCTTGGACGACAGCCGAGGCATTCTCCACCACCATATGACCGTCTACCCCCGGAGCCAAGCCAAGGATTTCCCCAGACGGCCTCGCTGCTGGGCTGCGCGAGTGGACGAGGTCACCCAGCAGGACTGGGATACCTTTCTACGCCACCTGTTCCCGCCGCAGCTAGGACTGGCAGCCTCGTCGCAACATCTGCCGCGACAGTTGAGGGCCGAGATTCAGCGAGACCGCAAAGACCGGCCACAGGAGACGGATGAGGAACGGCGGGCAAGAATTACGGCTGTAATTGCGGAGTGGAACCAGTGCTTCTTTGAACCTCGCGCGACTCGCATCTTCTTTGTGTACGTCGCCGAACCGGACGCTGCGCCCGCGTCGGCTCTTTGCCCCAAATGCTATCCCGCTACAACCAAGGTGAATCAGTCGACCCAGCCTCAAGGTGTCGCTGGATCTCCGGGTGTTTCTTCGCCGGGACAATCAAATACTGTGTCGCCGGTGTCAGGGCACTATACTCCATCACCGACCAATCCATGGCCTGGCCAGCCCATGCCTCCTTTTGCACATCCCGGCGGTCCCGGTACACCTTTTGGTCTGCCATTTGCTGCGCCGCCGTTTGCTGGCTCCGGTACTCCGCCGAATAACCAGCCACCCGGATACTTCCCACAGCGGCCCCCATATGGGGGTGCGCCCCCATGGGGATGGAACCACTGGGGCTACCCACAGCCTCAGAGCCAGAGTCCAGGAGCTTCAAAAAGTGGTGCATTCGGATGGATCTCTTCACTTGCATCGCAAGCACAAAAATACGGTGAACGATTCACCGAGCAGGCGCAGCAATACGGCGATCAAATCACTGCGCAAGCACAGCATTATTCACGACAAGTCGAGGAACAAGCCTTGGCACATGGCCGATGGCTCGAGGAACAGGCAAGGCTTCGAGAACAAAAGCGGACTTTTCCGTACGGTGGCTACAGTGGAAGACCTCAGTGGGGGCAGTATCCTCAGGAAGGATATGGCGTCCCGATGGCACCTATCGGCAACCCAAGCCCCCAAAACGAAGTGACTTCGGAAAACAGGAACCTGAACGGCCAGCCTTCACTAGCACCCGAAACCCCTGCAGCCGAACGCCCACGTCGAGGGTCCGTCAGTTCCACTTCCTCCGAATCCTCTCTCAGCTCAATCGACTCTCTCTCAACAACATCAGACCTCAATGCCTCAGACCTTGCCACAGTCCGAGCGCAACTCCAGGCATTAGACGACCGACATGACCGCACCCTATACGATGCAGCCGTGGACCTCCGGCGGCAGCTTTCTGTCCTCCAGGAATCCCGCCACGAAGCCCGGGTTTCACAACGAAAAGGCTGGCTACACGGACGGCGCCATCAAAATCCCCACCACAATCATCACCACCGACAAAATCCCCACGACTGGGGACGCTGGGAATCACCCGAGCAGCAACAGCGGAATTCCACCGAACGCCGCGCCCTGAAAGAGGAAATGCGCGCTACCAGGAAAGCATTCAAAGACGTATTCCGTCGCGCGCGCGACGAGCAGCGCGAGCAGAAACGCGCTCGGCGGAGACAGCACGGGTGGCATCGCTTTGGTGATGGTGATCAGCCCAAACCGCGGGATCAGCCATTGGACCGGCGGCTGGAGAGTCTCGCTCTGGATGGGTCTATCGAGTCTGGCACTGCGTCGATTCCGTCGGAGTCTGCTCTCCAAACGCAGAAACCATTGCCCACTGCTCCGCCTGCGCAGTCTGTCCCTGGGGCTCAGTCAAGCGGTCCTTCTTCTCCTTCTAGTTCTCAAGTCCGTTCTCAGGATTCTCAGTCCGACAGTGTGGCTGATAAGAAAGGCAAGTCGAATGAGGCACCGGCCCGACTGAAGGAGATGCTGAAGCCGCGCAAGAAGCAGCGGCAACAAAGTACTGCCGCCCGTTCCGCTTCTACGGATGTTGATGCAGATGCGAATAAGACATCCGTCGAAAAGGATCCTGGCACTCAATGAGATGTGCCGGTCGTGGTATCTCGATTTTAATTTTTGGAAGCTGGCTTTCCTACCGTTCACAAGCTGCTGGTGTCACGATGGACCGTTGTTGGACTCTGCATGGTGTCTTCTTCTCGTGCATTAAAATCTAGGATCATATGTATGGGTTGATGATATGGCAATATCCATTGCATCAATATCTAAGATAGAGATGCGTGTATGTATCCAACTTTTGTAGATTTCTAGTGTTCATCGAAGCAGGATTCTAGATCCACACCATATTCCCTCCCCCTGCTGCACACACAAGATCCAAGAATCCCCTTCCAAGTGCGGAATAGAATCACGACTGCGCCTGTGCCTCATTCTTCTCCACCAAATCTCCAACCCCAAGCCCGCGCCCAACTTTCACCCGAATCATCTTCTCGGCATCCTTCTTCCCTAGCTCCCCAACCTCATCGCCTTCATCCTGATCATCCTCATCCTCTTCCTCTTCAGCATTCTCGCCCTTCTTCTTCTTCTCCGCCTTCTCGCGCTCCCGGTCCTTCTTCTCAATCGCCTTCCAGTCCAACCACTGGTTCTTTAGATCCAGATGCATTGCATACGCATCCTCCCCATCGGCGTAGTACTTGCTCTCGACCTTCTCGACCTCGAATCCCAGCGTGTCTCGGTACAGGCGTAGTGCGGCGGTGTTGGACATGCGTACGTGCAGGGAGACGTAGTGCGCGCGGTGGGATTCGGACATTGCTCGTTCTGTGCGGGTTGTTCGTCAGTCTTGTTGTGTTGCAAATACACATACCATCTCCGTTGTATGCCATTGATGGAAACAGGGTATGATGTAACACCACGCGAAAGAAAGCCAGGGAAAAGAGAGGAGGAACATACGACTCATCCGCATCAACCGCTCCGCAATCCCCAACCTCCGATGTGTCCGCATAACACTAAGACTAGTAATATGCCCATGCTGCACGCCATCCGAGGGCTCCTCCTCCATCTTCGCAAGGACATACCCGACGACCTTGGGGTACTGGCCCGACACATCGCCCGCGGCGCCTGGACCGCCAGCGGTGGCGGTCTTGTACCCGCCGCGCGGGCGCACGACAGCGACGAAGCTCAGCTGCGGCCAGGTGAGCGCATGGTAGAGGTAGTATTTCAAGAAGTAGTTCTCGGGCAAGTTGGTGATGTTGCAGGTTTGGATGGCGGGGAGGAGGTCGATGTAGGAGGGGTAGGAGGAGAGGGGGACGATGTCGACCATTTTTTCTTTTCTTCTGTCGCCCGGTTCGAAGGAGGGGGGTTGGAATTGAGGAATTGAGTGGTGAGGAGTGAAGACGTGCAGAGTTGCGATGTGCTTGACTCCCGCGGATTATGTGTCCCGCGCTAGCCGCTTTGGGGAATGCCCTTTCGCAGGAGTTTACAAGAATCACGATAGGATGGAAGATTAAGTGTTGCTGTTTATTGGATACGATAGAACGAAACCGCTGATCCCAAGCGCCATCATGCTCAAAAAATAAATCACAATATTATGTTCATCTATATCGTCTCAGCTAAAACACATTCATCAGAAGCTGTACAGTTGCAGCCACCACCAGGATGGACGTAACGCTGGCGACAGACACTCCATGCGCAGCAGCGGAGGCCATGCCGCAGCACTTGCGGTCATAGGTGACGTTGTTCATCTCGGCCGCGACTTCAAACACCGAGCCGTTGAAGTTACCATAGTTGTAGTAGTCCACCAGAAGGAAATTGGGCGGGCGGTTCCAATCCTCTGTGAAACGGATTAGATGGAGCCATACTGAAAGGAGGTGCGGGAAAACCTACTGGTACAATTCTCAGCCATCCAGCCCAGACTGCCGAATCCCGAGACGGCATTGGTCTCATCTATGTAGGCAAGATTGGGGATGAGCATGCTCAAACCGCCAAAGTTCAGCTCGAGGTTGAGATTGTGATTCGCCATATACATGCGCTTCTCTGCATCCACGTGCGAAAGACCCGGTGGTCGCTGCTCCGTGCAAGGGAAGTTGCGGTTCGTCGGCGAGAAGGGCGTCTCCCAGATCTGCGAGAACTCATCCATGAGCCACGGATACTCTTCCGGTTTGGCACCGTAGTCCATGAAAAACACCGCGCGTTTTCCCGTGATGATCATCTCCCCCAATGTCGGCCAGTCGTTCAGACCCATGGGGATCTTGGGCGGAGTGTAGATATAGTCTTTCAGAGGCGAGGCCTCGATCACGTTGGTGATGTTGCCAGGAAGCACATAATCGAAATTGCCCATGAGGAACGTGACCACGTCGTAGTGGTTCTGGTCCAACCATTTGGCGACTGTCTCGAGATACGCTGCCAACGTGCCGACGTTGAGCAGCTCGCAGCTGGTATGACAGAGATACATTGTGCCATTCTGCAGATGGACTTGGAATTGCACTAGAGGGGGTTAGCAAATAGTCAATGTTGGATCTAGCACAGACTTACACATGCGGATGCCGTCATTCAGCTGCGACGTCACATCGTACACCTGGTTAGCAGCCGCGTTGCCCGGACGCACGAACGGACTGTTATGCGCGGCAACCATGGTGATATTGGAATATTGGCGATTGCAGAATTCGGCGTAGTTGTTGCAGGGCTGGGTATTTTGCACTGGCGACGCCGACGGCGAGGCCGTGGCCGTCGCAGTTGCATTGGCCGTGCCATTGCCAAGGGTAGTCGTGCCGTGGCCGCCTACCAGCACCGTCATCCCGTCGGTGGTCTGAGTGACTACAGTGGCATTGCCCGTGGCCGAGGTGGCGGTAGCCTCGCCAGATAGCCCGATGGAAGTGTCGTTGCTGACAATAATGGTTGACCCGTAAGTGATATATTCCCCAGAGGGCACGGGAACCGAGGTTGGGGTCACCGTCTTAACGGTGCCGTCCATAGTAAACACCGAGTCTGAGGTGGTGGTGGTGGTGGTGGTGGTGTCGGCAGCCATGGCGACCCCCGCGAGGAGGGCCAGCACTAGTGATGGCAGTCGCATGGTGCCTGGGAGAAAGCGAGGAGAGAAGCAGTCGCACGAGGAGGAAACACTGTCTGGTCTGCTGCCTACTTTTTCTTGTTCGCATGTTGGGGGTTAGGTAAGCGGGTTCCGTGAGTTTGCCACTGTGGGGAGCGATTGGCCAATGAGAGGAGTGTTCAGGCACAGAGATAGCACCGCGACTGCTGACGTATAGGCTGAAGTATAGTCCAAAATAGCCCTAATTAGACACCGAATAGAGAATATAGAGGACCAATCGCTATGACAAGGACTCAGTCCATCAGACTCTCTTCTGAGTCGTATAGCTACACTCCTACTCTTCCCTATCACGACCATGATCCTCCTGTGGGTCTCGTCTGCTAGTCTGCCGCCGCCACTGACGATCCTCGCTCTAGACGCTGATCCTTAAATCCGCTCATTACCTTGTCCTGGTCCGACCGCCGCCGACTTTACAAGATAACAGAACTGACACACGTTCACTAGGTAACGATCCCTGCCAAACCATCTATCCATTCGTCCAACAAAAATAACAACACCAGTCCCGTGGGTCCGGCTTCAACTTTTCGTGGGTGCCTAACGTCATCCCGCTCGACACCCTTGGGCGGCCCCGGCTATCTTGTTTTTTTCTCTTTCACTCTCCTCTGCTCGTCCTCCACGCCTATTCCTCATCACCACCATCATGGCCAACGCCAATGGGACCGATACCCCCGTGGCCAATGGCTCCAAACGCTCTCTTCCCTTCTTCCGCAGGTCGTCGCCAGACCGGCCCATTGCTCGCCGGCGCGATTCCACTGTCCACTGGCACCGCGGCGTCCGGTCCTTCTTGTACCTAATAGCTTGGATCTTCTTGGTGCTGGTCGTGATCGCCAACCTCGCCAACAAGCCCGTCCTCCGCAACACCTACTTCCTCTACCTCGACCTCTCCAACATCATCCCCGTCTCCGTGCCCAATGCCGTCCTGATCAATTCCATCGCTCGTACGATCGGATTGCACGATTTCTACCAGGTCGGCTTGTGGAACTTCTGTGAGGGTTACAATGATGAGGGCATCACGCATTGCTCGAAGCCGGAGACCCTATACTCGTTCAATCCGGTCAAGATCTTGCTCAATGAGTTGTTGGCCGGCGCAACTAGTATGTTTATTCACCATAAAAGCTACAAGCAAAGAGGCTAACACAGTTATCTAGTCGCTCTGCCGTCGAACATCTCCAAACCATTGCATCTGGCCAAGATCGCCTCCCAGTGGATGTTCGGCCTGTTCCTCGCAGCGGCAGTGTTCACCTTTGTCATGATCTTCATCAGCCCGCTGGCCGTCTCGTCGCGGCCTCCGCAAACCATCAAAACCTGGGCGAAGGCCATGGATGGCAACGGTGCGCCCATGGGCCCCCCACCTCATCGCCGCCGCACCTTCGTCCTACTCCGCTCGCTGCCTTTGCTTATCTTGAGCTTCTTCACCGCCCTCTTCACGATTGTCGGCTCCGCCATTGCGACAGTCATGTGGATCATCTTCGCCAACGTCTTTGCGAACGCAGACCCCAGTCTCAACATCAAGGCGCACGTTGGTATCCAGATGTTCGTGTTCATGTGGATTGCCTCGGCGTTCAACTTCATTGCCTTTATCGTGCAGTTCGGTTCCTGCTGTGCATCCTGTTGCGGCGGCCATAAGGCCAGGAAGCAGCTCAAGAGGCAGGGCGTGGACTGGCACGAGAAGGGCTCTCCCTATCGTGACACCGAGGGGCATTCCCACCCCCACACTCCAGACCACCCTGGAACAGCAGAAGATCCGACTCGTGCTCCGGTCAACGCGGAACCTCACGCTCTCACCTCCTGATTGGATCGTCGAGTTGACCCTGTGCTATATCATCTTTCATATTTGGACATTTACACTTTAGCAGATACAAATGATGTGTGACGACCTCTCATCTTGCGCGCGTAAAGCTATGTGGTTTCACCTGTGATACATTGGTCTGAGGACTAGTTAGATTGGAGGACGGCGTTTTTTTTCGTTTTGTTTTGTTTCTCCTCGTGGTTGAGGATTGCCCGGTCGAGAAACCGATGCAGATGTTAATAGCGTTGATGCGTGCCGTGCTCCGTACATATACTCTTTTTCAATGTACATACCACAAGCTTGTCCCCGCCGATTCCTCGTATCTAGTTTATCAACCACAAAATTACACAGCAGTATTACGAGGACATATCCATTTCAAGCTGCCATTTGTATGCACACAGTGAAAACACTAGGAGTTTTGCGATCATGAATCGCTCTGGAATCAGCGGGTGGGCACGCCGCCGGCTACTTTCCGATGATATCCATCCCGTCTTGGAAATGCATACCGTCTCTCGTCCTCGAAAGCGCAAACAACACAGCTAGTCACCACAGAAAGAAATATTAACATCACTTTATTTGTGACAAACCCTGACCACAAACTCTCTTCATCAAAACATCATCATTCGGTGTACAGGACGTTCAGCTCAGTCTTCGCGCATCATCTCCTCCTCGAGCAGACGGCAAATCTGCTCATCGGACAGGTGGATCGTAGCACCGCCATCAGAATTTTTCGTAGCAATATCGGTATCCTTGAGGTAAACATTAGCCTGGATTGAAATGGGGAAAGCCTCCATGGTGTTGGGACCAGGCTGGGAAGAACGGTTGACAAACCGGGTGGGCTCATTGACACTGGCGACGGTGGCATTGGGAGCCACAAGGGAGCTGGCGGTCTTGGAAGAAGCGCTCTTGGAGGGAGTAGCGAGGGTGGCAATAGCCCCGTCTTCGGACGACCAGAAGGGGCTACCAAGTTCCTTGCGAATTACCTTCTGGATATCACAGAGGGCGTGCTGGGTGTTGATATTCATGTCGTCGTCGTCGAGCACGGCGATGGCGTTCTTCGGTTCAGCCGTCTTGTTCTTCTTGTTCGTCTCGCGGATAATCGTTTCCGAGGTGGGCTCCTGCTGGTGCAACCACTTGAACTCCTTGTTTCTGAACGACCGGTAGAATTCGGCAAACTTGTTAACAGGGTCCAGGGCTGGGGCCGAAGCCGGGGACTGGGTCATCAAAGCACTCACGGGGCTCTCGTCAGAGTCGCTCGTCAAATCGACGAGGGTAGTGGCCTGGGGGGTCACAGGAGAAGTGGGTGTGTGAGTCAGAGCATGCTGGGGACGGCCAGTCTGACGATTGCCGGACAGAGACGAAGAGATGGTGGTTTTATTCGAAACGGGGGCAGCGGACATCTGCACATGGATAGAGGTAGGGGGGCTTTCAGCAGTCGGAGAAGCCTGAGTCGAGGATACCGAAATCGTGGCGGGAAGCTGCGCATTGCCCATCCGGTGCACGGTTTGGTGGTCACCCGGCGTGGACTCGGGGGTGATCTGGCGGACATGGTTGAGCAGACGGTGGAAGTCTGTCAGTAGTTCGTTGAATTTCAGCCCCAGAGCCTCGTACTGCTTCTTGGATAGCTCAAGTTCTTCATTCTTCTCCCTGAGCTTGCGCTGAGTGATTGAAAGAGTGCGGCGAGCCGTAGCTAGGTGCCCCTCAAGAATCTTGTGCGCGGGCTGCCCAGTGCCTTCATCGAGGGCCATGAACTTCTGGAAAGCCTTCTTGTACATGTCACGCTCCGATGTGATTTCGCTCAACCGGCGATTGAGGTTCAGGACGTGCCCGTGTAGGTTTCTCGAGTTGACTGCAATGACCTTGGGGTGTTGGGCGGGAGTCGAAGGAAAGTAGCCGGTGTTCGTGTACGGCGTAGCATGGTTGGCTTTCAGACCTGGGCGGCGGATCGTCTCACCGGTGTTATTGTTCATGATGTCCTGCTGGCCAACGGCAAACTTGTTTTTGGCCTTGCAGCTCGCAGGGGCAGTAGGGTAGGAAAAGGTCTGCAACTCATGGGACGAGACGTTGCTGCCGGGAGGACCAGACGTATTGTTAGGCATGGTCGCAAGCTGCGAAGTCTGGCTCCCGAGAGGACTGGTCGGAAGGCTGTTGTTGCAAGCGATGGGATTGGCGGTCGCGTCATGGAAAACAGCAGGAGGTTGAGTAGAGCCACCGTCAAGAGCTGCAGGTTCGCAGAAAAGAGCATCGATGTTATCGAGACCAAAGGAAGTGTTGGTCTGCTGCTGGTCCATTTCAACGTGCTGCTTCTTCAGGGCAGAAGGGGTCGAGTTGGCAGGAAAGGCGTCCTCACTGCCACGCTTCCTGGGGCCCTGAAAGCCATCAAAGGCCCAGTCGGTGTTCCCAAGGGCTTCAAAGTCAATGGCAACTTCGAAGTCGAAGCTGGGATCAAAGGTGTTGGCCTGCTGGCCAGTCTGAAGGTTTGACAGTTGCTGCGACCCGGGGGAGAGTGTAAGCCCCAGATCAGTAGCGGAATTGCCAGAAAGCTGGAACTGAGAAAACTCACGAGCATCCATGTTTCCATCCATGAGAAAGAAAGGGAAGCAGGGCAACGAGGATCAGAGAGTGGTGGAAGGGTGGGAGGAAGAGAAAGGAGAGCAGACTCGACAGAGTCATGGACCGTAAAGCAGAGCCAGAGGCGTGGGAAAGGGCATGGCAGTGAATACCAGTGCTATTGTTGTTACTGTCGGTATTTATACGGACAGGGCCATTCACCGTTTCCCCTATTGATACAGCCCTATTGAGGGCGTGCAGTGAATGACCATCGTCACGACGACTCTGTGTTTATCATTTTTGATTTCTGCCGGCACTTTTGGCTTTCTCCGCCTCACGCTTTTCCCCTTTCATCTCCCCGCCTTTTCTTCCCATATCACGTGCCATTTCACCGCCTTTTTCACTATGGCAGAAAGCGCGCCCGCTTCCTTTCTCTTTCTCCAGGACTCGAAGACTGACAGCTCCCCTTCCGAATCTGACTGTGCTGTTGCTTCCTCCAGCGCTGACAGTGACGAGCTCCGTCCGAATATCTCTCGTCCTGTGCCTCTTCTCAGCACTCGGTCCAAGATGAGCGTTATCCTCTGCACTGGTAAGTCAAACGTGATAGCCATATCGTCACCCCACATTCCTTAGAGGCGAAAGCTAATGGCTGTTGCGCGCTGCAGCGGGGTATGATCATACCATTCGGTAAGTAGACTCTTTAAATGTTCTCCGCGTTGCAGGAGAAGCTCCTGCACCTCTTGGAGAGGCCCGAACTGACGCTAACCTTGTTTCCCGTTCGATCAGCTTCTGGGAGGCCCTGTCCGGCATCTGCTCGCGTACTATCCAGCACCCAGACTCCCAGGTCAACCGTCTTTGCATCACTCCTGACAAGCGCTACCTGGCCGCCGCCGGTCACAACAATGTCAAGCTGTATGACATCAAGTCCACCAACCCCAACCCTGTGATGACCTTTGACGGTCACACCAACAACATCACCGGAGTTGCCTTCCACTGCGAAGGCAAGTGGATGGTCACCAGCTCCGAGGATGGCACTGTCAAGGTCTGGGATACTCGTACCGGCAGTCTCCAGCGCAATTACGTCCACCGGGCTGCGGTCAACGACGTGGTCATCCATCCCAACCAGGGCGAGCTCATCAGCGGTGATCGTGCCGGTATGGTCCGCGTCTGGGACCTCGGCGAAAGTGTCTGCACCCACCAGCTGATCCCGGAGGACGACACGTCGGTGCACTCTGTGAGCGTGGCCAGCGATGGATCTCTGCTCTGCGCGGGAAACAAGAAGGTAAGCTCTCTCTTATCTTATAATCCAGATGCGCTGACAATCGTTTGCAGGGCAATGTCTACATCTGGCGCATGGTTCAGACTGAGGAAGCCACTCGCATTATTCCCATCTGCACTTTCCAGGCCCACAAAGACTATCTGACACGCGTCCTCCTGTCTCCGGATGTTAAACACCTGGCGACCTGCTCCGCTGACCACACTGCCAAAGTCTGGAATCTCGACCCGGAGTATGGCCCTGCCAAGACTGCCATCGCGGAGTGGGAGGCGAAGAAGGCCCAGAGTGCCACGGCGGATAACAACGGGTCTGATGCTGCGTCGACCACATCCAAGCCCGAGAACCAGCCTCGCGACCTTCTGCGCATCTTCGACACCCCGATCCAAGACCGTGACTTGCTCCGCATCAGCAATGACAACCCTCCTCGCGAGGAATCGCCGCAGGCGACCTTCACTGCTCAGCCCGACGGCCCACCCATGGATCCCGCGAACGGTACTCTGTTCCTCGAGACCACCCTGGCGAACCACCAGCGCTGGGTCTGGGACTGCGCTTTCTCGGCGGACTCTGCGTACCTGGTCACCGTGTCGAGCGATCACTACGCCCGTCTGTGGGAGCTCAGCTCCGGCCAGATCATTCGCCAGTACAGCGGTCACCACCGTGGTGCGGTCTGCGTTGCGCTGAACGACTACTCCGAGCCTCGCTAAAGGGCCCGTTCAGTCCTCGGTTTCTTCGGCGTTTTGTGTCATGGATATCTCTAGCCCAGCGTTCTTTTGTTTCTCTCTTCGATTCCCTACACATATCATTCAAGCGTGGCGTTTGGAGAGGTTGCTTGATCTATCACAGCGGGATTTCGGACTTTTTTTGTCATGGAGTCTATTCTACAGGCTTTCAATAGCGCTTCTAGATAGAAGCAGCGAAATACCTATCATCTGAATGATGATTGTACTCTGATTAAGATTTCATTCTGTATTCAACTAGTGTAGACTGGAGACCTTGAAAACATCGCCTTCTTCCCGCCAGCTACGATCCTTGTACCTAATTCATGGTACTCTTCCCTATGCTCACATCTACGAACTATTCAGCCCCGGTCGAAGCCAATAGGAGCTAACACCGCAAACCAATATGAAATCATATGACATCGAATGAAAATTGAATCTCAACGTACACAAGAAACTAGCCGTGTCCACAGCTCAGACAAGTACAAGAAAGAGAGAGAAAGAGAAAATGCGCAGTATTTCCAAGTCTCGCTTTTAGAACACAAAGAAAGAAACGAGCTCTCCAAATTGTTTAGTTCACAGCGAACCAAGTCACGCTAACCACGACATCCAGCCCGCGCTCCTCTGCACCGGGGTACTTGAAAGTCCACATGCCGTCACGGTTGACATCCCAGAATGCGCCGGAGGCAGAGTGCATGCCGCGCTTGCCGGCGTTGCTGAGCGCGCCATCCGCCGCGGCGGACTTGTCAATCACGCCCTGCTGCACAATCGTGCTGTTCACGGTGAAGCGGTAGGGCGCTGGAGAAGATGCGTCGGAGGGGGCAGTCGCGGAGATGAGGGCTTTGAGGACGGTGTTCTATGGATAGTGGGCTTTGTGTTAGATGGTTTTAGAATAGCGGGGCTGTGGGATAGCTGCATACGATGATCTGTGAGTTCCAGTCGGCGACGTTGGTGTGGTCGTAACCATCGGCACCATTCAGCGTGGCATCACAGGCCTAGAATAGAGAATTGTGGTTTAGTGGCGTTGTTCGTAGAGGGAGATACCAGGTCCGGTTGGGACGAAACGGGCAGACAAACCTGGGTGGTGATTTTGGTAAGGTCCGCGATCGGCACGGGCTAGAGTAGAGAGAAAAAATGTAGGTTAGTGGACAATATCTCCTTGATAATTCGCAGCTAGGATTCACAGGCCAGAAAACGGAGCGATCGGAGGGGCAGTCATACCGACGACGCGGGAGAGGTGCCCTCGACAGCCATTGTGGTGGTATCTGGGGTCAGAAACAGGCTAGAAGCAGGACCAAGGTCAGCACCGGGCACAGAATAATCGGGACAGTCACGCCCGAAAGTATCCTAGTGAAAGGCCAGAGTACAAGCGGCAGGAAACGCGCTGGTTGCGGGGAGAAATGTGCTAGTGGTGGATGAGGCACAAGGTGCCAATTGGAGTTGAGGCAGTTCAGAGTCTCTTACCGCTGATGGTGTCTGTAGGTGAATCAGGGGAGGGCAGCGGGAAGAGTGGGAGGCGTGGCTTGTTGTGGTTGAAACCAGCATCATCACAACGGGCGTCGCGGGGATCGAATGGGGTTAGCGTCGGCATTACTAATGCGCTCTATACACGGGCAATCAAGTGGGCAACCGATTTCCTTTGATCTTTTTAATGATCGATTGCTTTTAAATGGTGGATCTGGCTGTGAGAATGAGTACTGCTTCTGTATGTAACTGGTCGAGTACTTCATGAAATATAACTATCTCCAGGTCTAGATCAAAGTGAACATAAGTCTTGCGCATCTACACGTCCCACATGTGAATATCACCCATCAAACAGCATTAGGTTCCTTCAATGTCAACGTTCCTGGCTGCTCTAGCATAATCAATGGCCCGGCGACCACACTGTCTTCAGTTGGGGCATTAAGTTGATCCGCAATAGCTGCAATAATGATACTCGACGAGTCAAACTGCCTCGGAATAGTGGAGGTATTGTCCACCGGGTTGAACGGCACACTGATGATATCCAGACCATGATAGAACACCACATAGTAATTGTGCGACAGTTTAAACGATGGCTGATTATCCACATCAGAAAACACAAACTGGATCTTTGACCCCGGACGACCAGTGGTTGAATTTTTGTTGAATTCCAGCTGCGGCAGGTTCTGGCGCGGACTGGGATACACTGGATTCTGGGCTGGACAGCTGCCGGGCAGAACAAAGGCATTGGTGGAGTCCAAGATCTGGTTGGCGTACGGGTAGATGGTGTCGGCAGGACCAGAGAAGGGACTGACGTTCCAAACATCGATCAGCGACCAGACGTTATGGCGGGTTTCCACCTCGGCAATTGCCACCAGGGCAGACTTTGACATTTTGGTTTTGGCTTCGCGGACCAGACCAGTCAGGAAGGCCATGCTAGAGACTTCGATATACACCTGCAGCGCCAGGAAGGTCCCGGCGCTGTTGCCCAAGCCGAAGTCATACCGGCATGGTCCTGGCTTCAGGGAGTAGTCCGAGATTTGGTCTTGAAAGATGCGAATATGGCCGGCCTCGTTGTCACGCATCTCGGTGACGCGTTGATAAGTGGTGTTTGGAAGACCGAGTTTAACAAAGTCGGCAGTAGAGAAAGTCTCCACAGCTTCTTGGTAGAAGGAATAGATGATCCATTCTGCACTCAGCAGGTTTTGGAAAAGGAGATCATCCGACTGTGGCGCACCATGCTTGGCTGGTGGGATGACTCTGGTGTACTCGGGATCCAGAGGAGTCTTCTTCCCACCGTAGTTGACGAAGAGAGACGACTCGCCAGGGACTGCGCCCTTGCCTTGGCTTGAGGCTGGAAGAGCAAGTGATGGAAGAATAATTGCCAAACTGGCAATGATGGGTGAAGAAAGGTGCATTTTGATACCGAAGTAGAAAAAAAAAGGAATTAAACTGAGTGATAGGGAAAAGAACTTGTGGGTTTTTTGAGCTCTTATATAGTTTTAAATATAGGCAACACTTTTCTACAAAGCTGTAGAAGAAACATTGCACCGCGAGCCTTTGAGGCTATACATTTACGCAACTATTTGTACCGTGGGGCAATTTGTTAAGCCTTGCTACACTAAACTGCTTTTGGCTGATTCTGCGAGATAATATCTACACGCTAGCCTTATCTAACCTAGTGCAATCTTCAGCTAGTGGGGCTAAAAAAGAAGTATTCACGGCTCGCGCAATGCTCTAAAAGCGGAAATTGCCCTGGAAATTTCAAAAATCATGAGAGGATTTCGTGTATTTGGAGTTGGGGGCTGGAGATAGAAATACAGCGATCCTATGATCTATGAACATGCAATATTAAAATAATCAGTAGCCAGACTCGTTTATGGCCTGGGCATATTCTCTCGTCGACTCATCTCAAATCCATGCGTGTCAGCAATCAAAGCCATGATTTTCTCCAACCAAAGCGCCTCAACCGAATTCGGGATAAGATTCCTATACGCTACATTGAGCGGAAATAGGAGCATAAACGCCCCGGAGCTCCGCCGAAGGTCATGGAGTTGGTAATCTGCCATTCTGCAAATCTCACGAGTGGTATCCATTCTAGTTCCCTGCATCGGAAGAAGAGGATCGCTCATGAGTGGCACAAAAGAGGGCTCCATGCCTATACCGAACCTCTCACACATTCCTTGCAGAATCAACAGCAATGAATCGTAAAAGCTCAGCTCGGTGGCACGAAGAGGATCCTGAAACCAAATGACTGTCTGGAATGGACTGGGAGGTAATTGCATGGAGCCTGGTGAACTGGCATTGTTTGGAACTGTGAGATATGTTGCATTTGGGAATTCCTCCTGCCAGGCCCACCGCCAGTTGTAGAGGGCGTCCATCGTGGATAGTATTTTTGTGCAAAGCTCCGCTGTAAATTGTGCCTGATTGGGTGTCATTGGGTCCAAGGCCCGATCATAATCCTCTAGAATACCAGGGATATCACACAGAATATCGAGCACACGATCTGTCGGCGTCTTTGCATCTTGTCCTTTCTTCGCCCAAGGGATTGTTTTCCATGCTGGATCTTCCAGAAAACAACGTTTACGATCAACAATATGCCCAATAGACTATGACGACGAAATTAGAAAGCAATTGTCAGAGGAGCGAGATTGAATCTTACTATGCTTGTTCTGACAGTTGAGAGTAACGAAAACGCAACGCCAGATTGATGACGATGCGGGCCTCTCAATGCTATCTGCCTAAAATATTAGAATATGCTGGGAACCGGAAGTGTATGGGTAGCACCTACAAGTCGGGCTAGGCCCTTGTAATGCTGTAGCCAAGCCCAGGGTTGTGTAAAGGTAACCAATTCATAAATCCCAAGACAGACGATCGCGACGACCACCTCTGACTCTAAGACTTGATCATAATGCTGTAGCTGTCCGCGCAGAATTCGCAAAGCCTGGGAGTACGAGTTTGCGCCCTTGCGCATGAGATCTTGATGACCATGTACCTTTCCGAAGTAGGAAGTCGCCAAAGCACGCACTGAACGCATGGGCAAACCTCCTGGATCCTCGGGGTGGCGGAAAAGCACCGAAATCCAGGACGCCGAGTACGGCGACAAGTCATCCTCATGCCAGCTAAAGAGTCTGTGGATGAGATGAGATGTGAAAATACTGTCCTCATCCAAGGAAGGATTGATCATAAACGAGGCTTGGACTTCACGACCCAGCTCCCCGTGACTATCACCATCCGCGTTGGCAAGCAACGCTGTTTCCGTCACGGGTTCCTTCTTTGGGGGATCATTGCGAATCAGGCGAGCTGTTAAATCCACAAACTCGTGGTACTTGACGTAGCCTTCGCAATCGAAGCCAGACTTTCTGCAGCGTTCGCAACCCGGCTTCCCTTCGTCTGCAATGGGTCAGTAGTTGCGCCAAGCTGAAGAGCGTTGAATAATGATGTACCGCACTTGATTTTGCGCCGCCGACAGGTTCGGCAGCCCTTGCTTCGGCCGCCTACGCCCACCATTACTGGGACATCTCAAGCGGATATGGCAGTGTGTGGCAAGCGGATTTGGGGTCGAAAACCATGTCGTTCGTAGGCAGCAGAGTGGGTCCGGCTGCGTACAATGGTTGGTTGAGTTGGACAGCGGCCTGTAGATTGAGTTACGCTTATCTGGCGAGGTTTCTTGTACAACAGCTCCAATGCATTACATGCTCCATATTTTGGTTCCTTCTCAATGGGTTTATGACATGGGGTTTAAAGAGGGGCCACCGCGCTAGCATACCCGACTCGGTCCACCGCTCAGGACCGTCCGGCATGCTGAGTCTGACATATCCATGAAATGGATCTCCGGAAAATCACTCGCCCAGGGCAAGGTTCTGTCAAAGGGCTTCCTATATGATATCTTAACACCGCGACAGAAGGAAAATGCTGATCGCGACCCCTTAATTCAAAATGGCTCAGAAATTGATAGGGTACGATTTTTACGAGAGGCAGTTGCTCTAGGGAAAAGCGAATTTCTTTACATCACCCAGACTGCGCATGGAGCGATAAATACACCGATCAGGACTGAGGCCATAATAGTACACTCTAAACTGAGCAAAAATTCGGTGATTGCTTATAATCTCCTATTCTGACAGACAAGCGTATCCCGCCAATCTCAGAGAGTTATACCTAGCTAGTTCGAAGAACCTCTCCCTTGAAGATATAATATCTCTCTTCCAAAGGTGCCTAACCAATAGTGATAAATGTGGAACACTTCTATGTTACACACTATTGCGGTACATACTTGCAAGAGATAGTGATGTGCGGTGGGTCCACTCCACCCTCAGGTCGGAAAGACTTTCGGCTATTGAATCACTACGACTTCAATCGCCGATGTCAAGGGGAAAGGATAGAGAGCTCTAGAAAGTCAAGCCTTTTAACCCCGTGTCGGTACCCATTCACCCAAAGTGGTACGTAGTGAACAGACCTCACCTATTGCCGACGTGGGGGGAATGATGCAATGCCGCTCCCTGGCCGATTAGGATCGTCAGGACTCGGAATAAATCCGAATATGTTCCTACTCGTTGGCAACGAGTATTTAACTGGTGAGGTTGTAGATTCTCGCTGGTGAAGAACCCATCGGTTATTCGCAAGACAAGTGCCAACACGAACGATCTCTTCATTCATCCATCATGATTCTATGGCCCCTCATGACGTTGGCCGGTGTGGTCACCGGCCATGTCGTCCATGAAGGCACCACCTGCACTCTGTATCCTGAGGCTCTCGAACACAACGGCAAGGCAATCGACGATTCACCATCCATCCACCGAGCATTTGAGTTGTGCGGCACGGGTGGGAATGTCATCTTCACCGATAACACTTTCCATATCAATTCAGTTCTGAATACCACCAATTTGGCGAATTGCGATGTTTCTGTTCGTGGAGAGCTTCGCTTCTCGGATGACATTGCCTACTGGCGCAACAACTCCTATTCGGTTGTCTTTCAGGACCAAGTGACCGCCTGGTTATTCGGAGGCAAAGACGTCAATTTGCATTTTGATGGTGGCTGGTACAATGGCCAAGGACAGACTTGGTACACAGAAAACCGCAACACCAGCAATCAGCCCGGCAGACCTATCAGCATGACCTTCTATAACTCTACCAACCTCTTTGTCGATGGCCTGACTATTATCCAGCCGCAGTTCTGGGCAACATTTGTCTGGCAAAGCCAGAATGTTTCTCTTACAAACCTGGTTGTCAACGCTACTAGCAACGACCAATGGGGAACTATGAATACGGACGGTTATGACTCGTGGAATAGTGATACGCTGCTCGTTGAAAACGCAGTTATCACCAATGGCGATGATTGTGTGGCAGCCAAGGGAAATACAACGAATCTCCTCGTCCGAAACGTCACCTGCAACGGTAGCACTGGCATGACCATTGGTTCTGTTGGACAATATCCCAAGACGCCAGACTATGTTCAGAACGTCACATTCGAAGATGTTCGATGCTTGGGCTGTACCGATGGAGCCTACATCAAGACCTGGCAGGGGACTTATACTTCGAGCTCTTCTAATTTGAACGGCGACTCTGGCGGTGGTGGCCACGGCCTCATCAAGAACGTCACCTTCCGCGACTTCGAGATGACCAACGTGGGACTGCCAATCCAGATTTCTCAGTGCATCTACACCGAATCTAGCAGCAAGTCCTGCAATACATCCAAGATGCAGATCGAAGACGTAACTTGGGCTAATATCAAGGGCACATCGCGATACAATATTGCTGCCTCCATCTACTGCTCAGATCTGCACCCTTGCCCCAACATCAACTTCAAAAACATTGATCTCCGCTCCGTCAACAGCACCTTGGGCCTGTCGATGTATAATACGACACTGCAGCATGAGGTTTATCAGTGCAAGAACGTTGTTGGAGAAAAGAATTCTGGAATTCCCTGCAATCACGTCGCTCCGGATAACTACCCTCAGAGTCCGTCTGGCAATGTTCAGGAAGCCGAGGAGTGAAGAAGTCCGGTCTCTCCGCATGAATAATCTTCGTAAATGGTTACTTCCTTGTTTTTGGTCATAGAAAAGGGCTATATTGAGAGGGTGTTTGTGAAACTTTATAGAATAGATCGCGGTTTCCTTACGTATTCCGGACCTATAGATACAACTGGTACATTCTCAAGGGGCCGACTGCCTACGTTAATTATAACAAGGGTACAATTATTGCACGAGCTTGTTATTGTCCCCTTCCATGCGCGGTTTACGCACTCTCTATTCTGGCAAACACCGCCCAGCAATGCTATCTTGACCAGCCAATTTAAATCCCCAGTTAAACACCCCATTGTCGCGACCATCGACTCGCTGACTGATATCGCCAGTGAACGAACGAATACTAGCAACACCATCGCAGGCCTGTTCGGTAAAACCCCTTTTTACGTAAAAAGCCAAAAACGACGTCACGGGGAGAACGCTTCGAAATGGTCTCCCAGCCGAGCTCCTTCGAAACGACTGGACTGGTTCATTGAGCTTGAGAAATTCAGTTGACCATCAATGTTGTCCGGTGTGGCAGATGCGTCCTCAGATCCAGCTTATCCTGGAGGATACGAGCGCTGGTGATTATCCGGGGTATTGAGGCTTGGTTTGATGTGGGGGACGCCATCTACCACCTGCCTAAAGGAGAGCAGGCCTCGGACGCGGCGCATCCGAGATGTGCTGCATTACTGCTAATCTACATGCATCGGGCCCAGAGCGCTGTGGATGCCGAGCCACACGGGTCGGCTACGGGTGAAAGAGGGTTCTTGGCGAACATCGTCAGCCGGTGGACAACGTATCGCAGACAGCATTGAAAGCAAGCGACGGAGGAGGTCCCGGAATAATTTCGGTGCATGGATTTGTAAAATTTATAAATCGTGACCAGCATTTTCCAGTCCAAGTTAGTGGTCCAAGGAGACAGACCTGCATGGCTTCGCAGGACCGTGTCCCCACGGAGAAACGGGGAGTTAGTACGTGCCTAGGCATCGTCATCCACCAAAGCCAACATGTTGAGATGGGTCCGCGCAGTCGACGTAATAATGCCCTCAACTATTTTCTTGGGTGGCACATAGCAAACAACACGAGGATTGTGTGTGGCTTAGACAATAATGGGGGGAATTCCAAATCTGCTGTCCCCGCATGCAGAGACCCATATGCCGGACGCGAAAACGAGTTGGAGACTGGCTGACAACCTGGGGGAAGCTTTCCAATTATACTTTTCGGGGCGCCACCCAACGCAATGGTGCCGTCTGGGCGTGGCAGATCCAGGATCCTTATATGCCGTGCGAGTTGTTTGCAGAAAACCACACAGCCAAAACCCGGGCATACAGCCGACTCTGGCTAAGTCCCCGGGCAGATTTCTCCACACAACTGTGGCAGTGGAACCGCGGAACTGTGCAGAGGGTTTACTTCCGCGAATGGAAGGAACCCAATTGCAATGTAAGGTACCTACTATGTTTGGATCGCCGCACATCCTGACCTGTTCGGGAATGGACTATGGAGGATCTCCGGGGTAGCAGGGGTAGGGAGGTCTCCCCAGACCGCAGACAAAAAAATATAAACCCCCCCGGGGTGCGGGGATCGTCTTACTTTTCCCCAGATCTCATCTGTACACGGGCAAGCAGTTTAGCTCAACTCATTCCTCACCATGTCGGACGACAACATCAGCGAGAAGCAAGACCCTTCCACGGCGGAGATGCTCCGTCGCATCCAAACGGGCGAGAGTGTGCTGCTTCCCATCCCCCGCGATGCGTTTGAGAAGCTCTACCTGAGCCCCAAGACGCCGACCGCGGGCAATTTGGCTCGCACGTTCGGTAACCCGACTCCTGTTTGCCTGATGGGATTCTTGCTGGCCGCGACCCCGGCCTCGATGGCCGTGATGGGCTGGCGAGGCTCCGGCGGCAATGGCGGTGCTATCTTGTAAGCTATATTCATGGGTTGAGAGACTGGAGGGTCGACGCTAACACATGATGGTAGGCCTGTATTTATTTTCTTCGGAGGCATGATACAGGTCGTTGGCGCCGTCGGAGAGTGGATTCTCGGCAATACTTTCTCGTGCGCTCTCTTCTTTACATATGGCACCTTCTGGATTGTCCAAGGAACCACGCTCATACCGGATTTTGGCACCGGCACCCAGTACTCGCCCACCGGCAATGGGCTGGAGGGGATGAAGACAGCCGAATATAGCGCCACAATCGGTTCGTGACATGCTTGCTTTTTTTATGTGTTCTTCGCTGATCTTGCTAGGCCTCTACTACGTTATTCTCTCCGTTGTCACCTTCGTCTACCTCATCTGCTCAATTCGCACCAACGCTGCTCTTTTCATTGCCCTATTTCTACTTGTCATCGCATTCGCTCTGTATGCGGGCATGTACTTCCAGATTGCGCTCGGAAATGCTGCACAAGCAGCGACATTGCAGCAGGTATGTTATTGCTCTCTTCTTTCTCTGGATTTCCCGGTATTATGTGCTAAGACACTTCCCCAATAGTACGCCGGAGGATTCAATTTTGCTCTTTGTCTACCGATCTGGCATATCTTCGTTGCCCAAATTCTCGAGGCTGTCGACTTCCCAATCTCACTGCCGGTCGGTGACTTGAGTACCATTGTGCTGGGCAAGACCCAGAAGGCGAAGAAACGCGAGATTGAGGGTGGGAGATGATATACCTCTGTTTATCAACGAACTGTATGAAAGGAATAGGTAGCAGCTCAGAATATACGTCATGCTAGTTGTTATTTCAAGCTCCACTCAGCTGCTTCTTTGATGCTTGGGCTTTCTACTAATCGAACAGATCTGCAAATGATACAGCATGAATTCTTTTCTTTATTTTAGTTCGTATGTAGGCATCAACATAGGCCTGCTCTACAAGCGAGTAAATAACGATCTCTTAAGGAGAATTGCCTCGGTTCCAGCAATCCACGGCTCGGACAGGACGTACAAAGCCATTTGAACTACCCAGAAATTGGTGCTCATGCAAAGGATCCTCCCGTAATCCAGCGGACCATCATATCCTGTGCGACATCAGGCCGATTTTGAGGAAGCTGTCAAAGTATTAGTTTTCATCAACCGTATCTTTCGTTTCCAGCTAAAGCAACTGGAGGGGCACGTACGAAATGACCCGCATCATCAACAGTCACAATCGCAAACCGTGACGGAATCTCAGCACCATCCGTGGCAAATATGCTGACCTCCTTCATTGTGCCAACAGTCTCATTCCTCCCCGTTCCCGCAACGGCCGCGGACCACGGTCGCAGCGCCTTGGAGGCAAACTCGACCTGGCCCTTCCAGCGCAGCGAATCCGCCCACCGCAGATTGCCGGCCGTGTTACAGGCAAGATCGAGGTTACCTTGGTAAGCCATGTAGTGCACCTGATTCTCGAGTAAATAGGCGACATACTTGGACGCGGAGGTCATCAGGTCTGAGGAAGTCTCAAATGCGTGAGAAACGGTTTCGGATTCGACCAGGTATTTCTTGATTTGTTTAGGCGGAGACAGCGCTTTCCAGATGGTTGGGCTGTTGAGGTACTTCTCTATGCGTGCAGCTTCGATGTAGCATATGTTATCGATTTCACAAGGCGCCGTGACTGTCGCCTTCCTGTAAGCTAGATGCGACACCGCTCACGTACCTAGGGTTGTTGACTTACTATCGAATCGATTACGTCCGCCTCCATAAGACTCTTCGTCATACCACTTGATAATGCCATCCCAGCAGACAGAAACTGCAGCATTGCATATTGCGGGATCGGGATTGCGCTCACAAATCTCGGCAACCTCCTGGCACCGAGGCATGTTGGCAGCCATGATATCACATCTCGTGCTGTTGAAGACGGGCTCGGCAACACCCGGGTTGGTCGTGCACAGCGTTTCCCAGTACCCGAAAGCCGAGTCTTTCGGTGACATGTAACCATTGCCCACCAGGCATGACTGCAGTGGTACCTGGGGCTGGTTGGGATAGCGCTTGTTCTGGCGTACGATCTGGCTGCCGAGATATGGGACATATTTTCCCTGAGATGGATTAGTATCATCCGATATGCCTAGAGTACCTGGGAAGGCGAGTTCATACTGCAAACGATTCTCCAGAAAGGTGGAAAGGAACATTCTGTTTGTCAGGGAAGACCTCCGTGATGAATAGCTGAAGAAATCTGTGCATATCCTCTGCAGCTTCCTGCGAGTTATGCGGGATATCATATCCCTCATCGGTATACGAAAATCCAACATCGACAGGCTGGTCCACAAAGAGCAGCGACGTATTCTGCGACCAGCCGTAGGGATTGTAGTAGGTGCCATTACCATGTTCATTAATCAAACACGGACCGACCTCCTCAAACAGACCGATCATACTCGAGCCGCCCGGCCCACCCGTCATCCAGAGAGTCAATGGGTCGTTGGCGGGATCATTCCGACTCTCGAAGTACCAGAAAAAGAGGTGATGAGGGCCAATGTCGAGCCAGCCAGTGTACTGCGCTGAGCCGGCAGCGCAGATGGATTCATCCTGCTGCCTGATGCGGATGGCGTGATCTGGCGAATAACTGCTCCTGTAGACGCGGAAGTCGTCAGAGGACTGAGGCTCGGTGCGCAGCACCTCCTGCGAGAAGGCAGTGCTGAGGCCAAAGAGTGCGGCGCAGTAGAGGAGCAGCATTGTTGTTGTTGTTGTCGTCGTTGTTGTCAAAGACTGGGAAATGCTTAGCAGGTGAAGTTGTTGCCTCGCCAGGTAGTATGGCGCTAGTAATCCCCGCCCCCTAGTTACTTCGGAGTTCGGAGCTTGGTCGATTGGTCTTGACCGTATTGGGGAGTGATAGATTTTCTCCACCATAGGTATAGATCTAGGTAATTGATGCACAGTGAGTTATTTACATTGCAAGTTGTCGCCCATCAATAGTGATCGTTGGGTTGTTGTTATTCGGCTACGTCTTGCTGCGAACTTTCTCTTTCGTCCAGGCAGATTGCATTGACAGCATCAGTTCTGCAGGAAGGTATATGACATCGCAAACTTTCTCCTTCCTGAGCTCAGTTTAATTGTGGTGATAAATGGAGATGCCTAAATTCCCTAGAAATAAAATACATGCAGGCTAGTTGTACACCGGCACACTCGCCATCATTATCCGAGAAAAGAATATAATCATTTCTCTCCTTTCCAAAGGCTCTTCACATCCTTTTTGACTCCCTTAAACAGACCCTTGACCTCCGCCTTAAGTGCTTTTCTGTCTTCTTTAGACCACTCTCCATTCCGCTTCGCGGCCTTGATGTCCCGAGCGTGGCTTGTGAGTAGAGTCGAGATACTCTCCACCGTGCACTTGGTGCAGTGCTTCTCATCGGCGAGATCGTTCAATGCCGCTGACAACGCACGTATGATCTCTTTTGCTTGTGGCTTTTGTAATTCGCGATCGAGAAGCGGAGCCTGGCTGGGTCCGTGGGTCGAGCAGGGAGCCTTGGGGCTTGTACTAATCGGTCATTTATTAGCTGATACGGATGAGACAGAAAGATCAAAACTCACTGCTCTCGCTCTTGTTTTTCAACCTTGTCGACCGAGTCGATGGAGATGTAGGAAGGGGCTTTGGAATCGTCGGTCTTGAGTTCGGTCATTATCTCGGTTTGGACAATTGGAGAGTGACTAGGCAGGATATTCTGTGAATGACAGTTTCTGAAGAAAGTGCTTGTGAATTATTTAGTCCACAATATTCGGTTGTGCTGGTTGATATTTATATCTCGCAGCATGTATACGTACTGTGAAATCAAGTCCGATATGCCCGAGTACCACCGCCCTTAGGCCCGAACCGACCGCAGTGGGAGTTTTGTGGGGGCGATAATTACTGGAATGGGTAGCTCCGAGCGAAATGTCCGACCGGCCTCGGGGTTTCTACTACTCTCCATACTCAAAATCAGTTTCGCCACTTTTTCTTTTTATATTTCTCCCTCAATTATATCCTAAAACACGTCAGTCATATTGGATTTAGCTTGTTTCTAATATCTCGGAATATTCTGTTCAGGAAAGCCACATCGTGTGAGGTTTGTACTTTTGCTGGAAATATCTTAATACGCGGCTGCGCATCAATGTGAATTATAGAGCATACTTTCTATGTTTGCGTGGAAACCCTCATGATTAAATACATCCTTTATATCTTCAATACACGGACTCATACCGTCCGTGACCACCTTGCTGAGACTTCACCACTAGGTAGGATATATAAGATGTGGCTGTCACCATTATACTACTATACCCTGCATGTGATGCGACTGTTCTTCCAGATTATAACGCCTTGTCCGTAGACCAGTCGGAAAACACACCTATAGCAACCTGCGGTGCATCCATTTGGGAGAATGGAGGTTCAATCATTCATCACCTTTGTGAACCCAATTTCTTTGTTGAGGGAAAGGGGGGAGGGGATCCCTTCGCATTAATGGAGACCTAAACTAAGGTCTAGTCATATACAATGCATCTTTCAAAAAATCAAATAAACATGTGCTAGTGTAGGAGTAAAACTAGTTCATCTACCGCCTTATTCACCCATTTTGAATCAATCGAGGAGATAGTCTATATCGCGAATCCCCGAACTTCGCCCACATACTACGGCGTAATTACTGCTCCATATCCGATGGTTAAGCACCGAATTATGCAAGTTCTATCATAGGCTGAACATTATGAACCGATCGTATTGTATGGGGTTGGCCTAGGTCTGGATTTATTCAGTGGGGGCCGGCAAACTCGTCCTCGTTGAGTTCCCGAATCCATTGCCACTGATTTCACTGTTTTTCTTTTCATTAACTAGATAGGAATAATGTGTCCGCTCCGCTGTTGTAGGATCTAGAGAATGCACATTACAAAGCCGTGTTAGCGCAATCACTATCGAACAAACGCTCGAACAAACGCTACCTGGTGACGCGCGGGCGCATTTGTAACCAGGAGATCGCAGATCTTCTCCATCAGGCTCCTACGGAAGCGAGACACAGGATTTCACGAGGGCACCCCGGGACCAGTTCCTTCCCTGAAAATGCATTCGATGTCGACAGAATAGAAGCGTCGAGAGATCTGGAACTGAGATTCCGCCCTGTCCTTGAAACGTTTCGAGATCTTGGGAAGCAGCTGTTAGAGATTGAAACGAAGTCTAGTTCCTAGTTCGGCATTTTACGGGGCTTGCGGTCTCTAGACAATTTCCTTACTTAGATTCAAACGAATGTGAATATCTCACTCCCTCATTCGTGGTTCCTTATTCCTCTCCAAAAGATCCCCGGCATGGTGTGTCTGTGTAACTCGAGCCCCCACTCACCCCTCTCCCCACCACATACAGCCAGTAGAGTCGACCGGCAGACGAGGCAAGGATAGTATTCATCTTAAGACTACTCTAGTTCGAGTCCTATAAAGATTCGAATGGACCATATGTCTATGCCTAGTTGTATCCTATCATCCAGGATAATCCTGCGCAGTGTGCTATACTTAGACCCCTGGCCCGCCACCCGGATCGGGCAGCGATCCACAGCGCCTGGGCTGCGCATTTAAGCTTTCGTCACGCGAGTCAATAATATGACTGCCTGCGGTCCCCTTTTTCCTTCTTTTCACTTCCTGCGTGACCTCTGGTGGTGACACCATCACATCATATATGCCCACATCTGCTTAAATCCAGGGCTCTCTTCCCTGTATTGACTCAATCAATCAATCAATCAACCAACCAACCATCTCTCTGCAACCGCCATGGGACCAACTACCATGGCGCCTAGGGATGCTTTGGTCCGCATCTCGAAGCTGCTGGCGCTATCTTATGTGATCGACTGGGTGTTTATTGTGTACGTCCATACTTGATACATACAAGGCAAACCTCCCAAAAAGCTAATCTCATTGAATGACTAGTGGCGCCGCGCTCATCGGCTACGGCTTCTCCAAACTCACCCCCAATCACCACCCTTTCTCCCTCACCGACCCGAGCATCTCCTACCCCTACACCGAACATGAAACCGTCACCATGACCACCCTGGTGCTCGCCGCCATCATCGCGCCCGCAGTCATAATCCTGATCGTGTCGCTAGTTCTCGCACCCGGTTCCGCGACGGCAGAGGCGCGGCCCTCCAAGTCGCAGATCCTGCGGCGCAAGTTGTGGGAGTGGAATGCCGGGTGGATGGGTTTGGGGGTTGCGCTAGCCGGCGTCTTCCTCGCCACGGAAGGACTGAAGGATCTGATCGGAAAGCCGCGCCCAGACTTCCTGGCGCGCTGTAACCCGGACCTGGCCAAAGTGGCGGAATTTACGGTCGGTGGGCTTGGCCAGCGTCTGCAGGGCGCGCCGAATCTTGTCTCGTGGGAGATTTGTCGGACGAAAACTCCCTTGGTCAGCGTGGATGGATTCTCTAGTTTCCCGAGCGGACATTCATCATGTATGTGGGATAAGCTCGTAGAAACGGAAAGTGGCTTGCTAACTTCAGACGGCAGTTTCGTTCGCGGGATTGACATATCTGACTTTGTGGCTGTGCGCCAAGTTCGCCATTGGGTTCCCGTATTTGACGCCCTTCCCGGTGGAAGAGGAGGAGGAGGCAACCAATGAGCTATCCTCGGCGCGCAGACGTGGCGCCGCGCCTCCGGTGCTCTTCATGCTTGTCGCGTTTGTGCCAATCGCCACGGCCTGCTTCATCGCTTCCTCGCGGTGGTTCAACTATCGACATCACGGATTCGACATCCTCTTTGGCTCTGCTATGGGCCTCGTGTTCGCCTGGATCGGCTTCCGGATGTACCACATGCCGATTCGTCGCGGAGCTGGCTGGGCCTGGGCTGCGCGCAGTCGTGGACGGGCTTTCTTCCGAGGCTTTGGAGTCCCGAGCTCCTTGGGTAGTGACAGCTGGTCCAGTACGCGCGCTGCCAGGAGAGATGACCAGGAGGAAGACATTGATTTGGAGAGTGCGCCGGTCCCGTCGAATGGCCACCATCCAAAAGCCAGCGGGAGCTCCGCTCATGGAGCGATTGGTCAGGCGCTATAAACTTGGCGTGAGCCACGAGCATGGTATGGGGTATGGCCGCTGGAGGGCGTGCTATGATAATCGCATAATTGTATAGTTCGGTGTATAATCAATTCGTGTACTTCATCATCTAGACGGGGTATCAATCGTAAAGAGGCGCTCATCGTTGCAAGATTGTCTATCCATCAGCGCCAGCCTCCAACTCTCCCCTCATCCCACCGCGCCTTGGCCTCCTTGCGGGCCGCCAATTTCGCAGCCTCCGCACGCACGCGCCGCACCCAATCTGCAATCTCCTTCTCCGATGCCCGACCTTGATGATCCTCGTCAAGGAAACTCTCCTCCACAGCCCGACACACAGCTTCCTGTTCCGCAATCGCAGCGCTGAGGCGCTGGTACAATGCCTTGGGCGACCACGGCGCCAAAGCAGCGTCCATCTCGGTCTGTTTCTTGCGCCAGGAGACTTCTAGCGACTGGTGTGTGAGGAGCATGGTTTCGGTGGAGGCGCGCAGGTCGGCTAGATGGTTCTGCATTTCTAGGACGCGCGTTGCGAGATCTTTGTTGACTGCGATGAGGGATTCGAGGTTTTGCTGGCGGGAGGTGGAGGAGGGGTGGAGGCTTGATAGCGCGGAGATCAGGTTGGGGTCTTTGAGGATTGTTTGTAGGTCGAATGTTCTGTTTGGACGTTAGAGAGATCCAACCCAAGGAGCGACGGAGTGCTGGGGACATACGATTTGTCCTTTATGATCTCGGGGAGCCAGCCCTCCCCGACTGTTGGTGGTTCGGGTAGTGTAGGCACTGCGTATGATGCTGGCGGTGCACCGCCTGGCTGGGTTTCCGTGTAATAGCCTGCTTGACTCTGCGGTGCGGCTGCCAGGGACGACTGGTTCTGGGGGGTCCCACCTCGGCTGGCTTCATGGCTACTGGGTTTGGGCGGTGGCGGAGGGGGCGTGTCGGGATTAACGACCGTGTTCATTATCTGTGGATTGGAATAGTATGGGGATGGTGATTGCGACATGGTGGAATAATCGTGGGTGATGTGGAAGAAGCGTAGCGGGAGTTGAGCTAAAGGCGGGGAGAACCCGAGCTTGGCATCTACAGCAAATATAGCAAATGTTGAGAATGGTCTGAATATATTGTTCCGGGGTATTTGGCTGTGTTAAGTAATTCTTCTAGATGCAGCATAAGGGTATTCTCGTCCCAACTCATGTCGCATAAGGTATATCGCTGGAGCAGCTCACTCCCGACTCGAGGACGGGCAAGATGTGCTGAAGGCTTAAACACTCGCTTCCATGAAGCTGGGATATTCCAAGCTGACAGCGCGATCACAACACTGTAGGAGCATCATTGGTGATTGGTGTGAGATGTAGTTCCGTGGGGAGTCTCGCGGACTGTCCAGGCATGACATGGGATATCCTTTCGTTTCACTCCATCCTCCTCCGCAGATCTCGTTCCTGCGTCTCGATATTGGTCCCCGCAATTGCATCCATCACCAATTCCCGGAGTTGATTCTGTGTCGCCTCACTGTGGAAATCTTCCCGCGCCGCCAGTTCATCTATCCTCCGCTTGAACTCCGGATCCACCTCTGTCTCGCCCGCGCTGGCCTCCTGCTCCGACATTGTCCCGATATTCACTTGCAAGTTGCCCGGTACTGGCGGCGGCGGGTTCAAGGGATCCAGGGGCGGAACTGAAGTGGCGGCTGCGGGAGGTGCGCCGGCAGCCTGTCGAAGGTAGATGGCGACCTGAGGGAACTCGTCCTCGGCCTCCATTTTCTCGTATGCGGTCAGGCCCTCGTCGTTCTTCTTGTTATAGTCCACTCCAAGCTCCTCCACTAGACACTTGGCGATTTTGGGTTTCTCGGTCACGAAGAGACAGGTCTCACCATCTTCGTCGAGGATATTGACGTCGACATGGAATTCTTTCACCAGGGCGCGGAGGAGATCGATGTGGCCGTAGGACGCCGCGGCGTGGAGCAGGGAATAGCCGTGCTCGTCCTGACACGATGCGACAGAGGGATTGGAGCGCAAGTGCTCGAGAAGCACCGAGGGCTGGTCGCAGGCTAGGAGGTATGGGTTGGGTTGGGCCATGGCTGGATGTGGATTGGAAGAAGAGAAGAAGAAAAGAAAACTAAGGCGGGGAGCGATAACCAGCGATAAGGCTGTGCTGGGCGCCTGTCCTTTCTTGCTCCCCGCCGAGTGACACATTCTTGCGCATGAGCTATTGACTCACGCCCACGCATAAAAACTGGACAAGAGAAGCAGTCAAGTGCTGTGATCGTCCTATCGCTCTCCCTTCTACACTTCTCTCCCACGTTACCAGCCCTCCGGGAGCCACAATCATGGCGAAACAGGACCCCTCGCAGATTGCACATCTGGTCCAGACCTTGGAGAATTGCCGCAGTATGAACAAGGGCGCCAAGAAGAAGACCTTCACTTGCAAGAAGTCGACCTTCTCCGTCGCGGGCAACGTCACTGTCGATTCCTGGAAATTCATGGATTGGGACTACAAGCGCTCCGACCTGCCGGTCTATGCCCGCGGTCTATTCACCACCAAAAGGAAAGACGGGACTCGCGAAATTGCAGTGCGCGGATACGACAAGTTCTTCAACATTGACGAGACGAACAACACACGCTGGCGGAATATCGAGAAGAACACCCGCGGGCCCTACGAGCTCAGCGTGAAAGAGAACGGATGCATTATTTTCATTTCCGGATTGGAGGACGACAAGCTGCTGGTGTGCAGCAAGCATTCGACCGGTGTCCGTGAGGATGTCAGTGTCAGCCATGCCCAGGCCGGTGAGCGCTGGGTGGAGCGGCATGTGGCCTCGGTGGGTCGCTCCGTCAAGGACCTGGCAAGAACGCTGCGCGAATGGAACGTGACAGCAGTGGGCGAGCTCTGTGACGACACATTCGAGGAGCACGTTCTGGCCTATGATCAGGAAGCTGCCGGCATCTACTTGCACGGGCTCAACTACAATCTCCCCGAGTTCGCAACGATGTCAGGAGAGAAGGTACATCAGTTTGCAGATGCATGGGGATTCAAAAAAGCCAAGTTCGAGGTCTTCGATGATATCGCGCGCGTGCAGGGGTTCCTTGAGAGCTGTGCGGAAACAGGGACGTGGGATGGACGTGAGACGGAAGGCTTCGTGATTCGGTGCCAGCTGAGCGAAGATGGCACAGGTCCCTATCGGGACTGGTTCTTCAAGTACAAGTTCGAGGAGCCCTATCTCATGTACCGGCAGTGGCGTGAATGCACCAAGGCCGTCATCGCGGGTCGGCTTCCCAAAATCAAGAAGCACGAGGCGATCACCGAAGAATACCTGAAGTATGCGCGGAGAAGGTTTGTCAAAGAACCTCAGCTTGCGAAGGCCTATGTCCAAAACCACGGCATCATTTCCTTGCGAGAAGGTTTCCTCCAGGAGCGAGGACTGAAAGGATCTGAGATCATTGCCTTGGAAGCCCAAAGAGAGAAGAAGGGCAGAGAAGTCAATCGCAACGTGATCCTTGCCCCGATTGCAACACTGGGATGCGGCAAGACGACCGTGGCTCTCGCCCTTGCGCGACTTTTTGGATGGGGCCATGTCCAAAACGACAACATCCCCAAGGGAAAGGGCAAGCCCAAGAAGTTTGCCTTTGAAGTGAGCAATAGCCTGTCGGAACACGCGGCCGTCATTGCAGACCGAAACAACCACCAGAAGCGTGAGCGCAAGCAACTCATGGAGGATATCTACCCGGTTCTTCCGGATGCACAGTTCGTAGCACTGAATTACGTCCATGAACCAAAGAACGAGCTGCTTCCGCGGATCAAAGAAGTCACCCGGTCTCGCGTCCTCGAGCGCGGCGACAACCACCAGACCATCCGAGCTGGAACCGTCACCCGGGGTGAGATCATTGGGATCATGGACGGCTTTCTGAGCCGCTTCGAAGCCATCGACCCCTACAGCCAACCCGACGAAAGCTTCGACCAGATCATCGATCTGGATGTATGCGCCTCTTCGCGCGAGAACCTCGAGACGGTGGTAGCTGCCCTGCACGCCAAGTACCCAGGTCTTGTCGCCCAAATGCCCACCAGCGCTGAAATGGACTCGGCCATCGAGCGCTCCCTGCAGGACTACCACGTCAAGGAGGATCTAAGCTACAGCTACAAGCAGCAAAAAGACAAGAGCAAGAAGAACAATCACAACCAGGCCGACGCCACTGTTCCTACGGACCCAGCCACCCAAGCACAAATGGTCAAAAAGCAACTGGCCAAAGAAACCGAGTACTTCTCCGTCGGTGTGTCTTCGCACGAGATCACCTCTCTCCTCGAGTCTCTTTTCCCCCCATCCACATCCCCTCACACCGCACGTCTCTACAACCAACTCCTGAACTCGCGTCGCATCCAGCCAACCTTCCACGTCACGCTCATCCACCGCAGCGCGAAGAAAGAGCACCCGCAGACATGGGACGCCTACGTCGATAGAGCCCTGCTTGCACAGCAGGCCGCCGCAGAGACCGAGACAGACCCTCAGCAGAGACAGACTGCGCCCTCTTCAGTCGCTGCGCGCATTCGTCTCGAGCGTCTCATCTGGGACGACCGCATCATGGCTTTCATCGTGCGTTTGATCCCGGCGCCGGAGGCCGAGGATGCGCAGTGGCCCTGCGTCAACGTCGTGCCGCACATCACGGTCGGCACGGCCGGGCCGCATATCAAACCGAAGGAAAGCAATGACTTGTTGCAGAGGTGGTTGGAGGTTGGGTCTGGGGGTGAGACGGGGATTTTCGAGGCGGAGGTGCCGGGGGTTAGAGTTGTTGAAGGGACTTTTGGGGCTGTTATGAGTCGGAGATGATGCCTATTTCCCCTACTTCTTCTCTAGTGAGAGAGAGAGGGTGGGTGGTGAGAAGGGCATGGGCAAGGCAGGATGCCATGTCTGGCTACTTGAATATGTTTATGACCTGACGACGGGGTCTCTGGCTTGCTAGCACAGATGTTATTAAAAGGAAATCGAATAATGATAACTATTGCATGCCATGATTGTTCTAGACTGTGCAATTACATATACAAGGGAAATAAAGGTAGGTGGAATATTAGAGGATCTTGCAAGTCTTACCCGAGACAGCAGGGGAGGAGAGAGAGAGGAGACACGGAACCACACACGCAACAAACTCAACCAGTCACCCAAGCCGAGACGCGCGACGCACCAAAGCGGCCCACGTACTGCAGACCGGTGCTGCCCATGGGGAAGTAGCTGACAGCATACCAGACGAGGGCGACGAGCTGAAAGATGCAGGAGATGAGGGTGAGGAAGAGGTTTTGCAACTGGACAGACACGGACACGTCAGCATGGGTACTCTTTGTTTCTGGGATCTCAAAGCAACGATCAAGGAGGTAAGCACGCCAGGGACGGTGCGGCGGACGACAACGATTGGGAAGAGACGACGACAACAAGTGGAAACTGAGTTCAACGTTTTTGTCATCATCTCCTGGAATCGGAAGTCACACGGAGACAGAGGAAAGAGAGGACAGGGTGATACTCCGGCGGATAGAGGGTCTCGTATGTTACGTCGCACGACACGGCAAGAGGAAAGGATGCAAGATCCCACCTTACACCCCGAGAAGGACCCAACATCACCGTGCAACATCCAGACACACAGCACGGAGGGGAGGGCAGGAAAACGGGGAACAGAACGCCATCGCAAGGAAGACTTACCCCGACGGCGAAGTAGAGCGTTAGCGCAATAGATCCGAAATACGCGGCCGTGAACGGCAGCCGTGGTCCCGAGACCAGGTGCTTAGCGTAGGTCCAGGGTCCCATGAGAACGGCCCATGATATCAAGAACAAGAGTGAGCCGACCGACCACCTATGCAAAGGACGCGTGCGTTAGCCATGGAGAACAGAGTAGAGTTTGGAGGGCTTCTTGGCAACTGAGGCGCAGGCCGGGGTGGGAGGTCGAGGGCGACGAATCGAGAGGCCCGGGTAAAGGCACGATCTTCGCACAAGGCCCTAGCCACGGCCCGCTCATGACCGGGATCATCCCAATAGGGAATCTGGGAATCTGACTGGCTGCGCAGGCAGATGCGATGGCTGAGACGGAGGTGTAGAGGGGGGGACGAAAGCAGCTGAAAAGGGAAGAATGACGACGCAGGGCAACGTACAGGATCGCAAATTTGCGGGGCTTGATTGCCAAAGCAGGGAACAGGAAGAAGCAGATCAGGAAGCAGACGGCTGCTCCCAGATTGCATGCCGCGAAGATGAGCATCCGGTCCCACCGGCTCACTGGAGTGGGGGCATTCTGTTAGTTCAGAACTGGATATCAGGTTTCCCCTTGCCGGGTCATGGCCACGTATCGACCAGCACGATGATAGATCCTCCCGGCGCAGGAACTGGAGGGTCGTCACCTGGGTCCCGGCAGGCAGACATGAACAGACAGGGTGACCAGGGTCATGAGCCCCAACGGGGGAGACTACTTACAAGCAAAGAAGCCCTCTTCTTCCTCTCGACGGGTGGCCGCCGGAAGAGGTGCCCCGGGAGCATCATGGTGAGTGGGCAGTTGGACATAGCCTTCTTGGCCAAAAGGGTTCCAAGACTGGAGGCGCGAGAGGAACGGGGTGGTCGATGAAGCGTTGGTATTGACGGGCAGATCCGGGTCTCTCCGCGACCAGCCCAGGGCGTTGACGGAGTCCCGAAAGGAGTTAGTGGCCATGATAGAGATGATTGGTGTCGATCAAAGACTCGTCATATCACAATTGAAAGGGCGTGCACGGCTGCCGGCAAGATGGGAGGTGGAGGCCCGTGGTGTCCCAAACCGTCTGCAGGGACTATGTATATGGAGTGCAGATGATCGTCGCCGGGTGGTGGCTGATCGTAGGAGGGGGGACCAGTGAAGGAGCAGATGACGCCGAACGCGGATTCGGCTTCCGAATGGGCCTTGACCGCGCCGGTGACTTGTCTCGACTTTTTATTTATCTGCGGAACACGCTTCGGCTAGAGTAAGACAGCCGCACGACTGGGGGAGCGGACGAGTCGATCGAGGCCGAGGCGGATGGGATGATCCACGCACGATCTGATCTGGGTTCCGGGAGCAAAGCCGGACGAGGAGAATAAAACCGGGCTGTACGACTGTCGCAAGGGCCGATGTGCCGGCTGGACGTTGAACCTTGAGCGCACCGCACGATCCGAGAAAGGGTGCTCGGCGGGGGTGGTTGATTGGGCGTGGAAGCGCTGCGCTAGTCAGGGAGAATGAGGAATGACGAGATGGCGTGGAGCTACCGATGCGGGCAAACCGATCGGCGTGGAAAACTATTGCAGGTCCGATCAACTGTCAGATGATGCGGATGTCTTGGAGCAGATGGAGTCCGTTCGGCGAGAGAGGGGGACAGGGAGATCGGTCGGACCGATAGCCTAGGCCGGGGAGTGTCTGTGGGTAGAATCGACGGGAGTAGGAGGCGTGGTGGCAGTGCAACGATCAGACATACCAGGCAGGACAAGGCAATTCAGTCGGGCGAGGGCAGGTGTTGCGTTGAGGCCAGTGTCAACAGGCCCTCCCGCTAACCCCAAAGGGGGTGGTAACGTGACCAGCCCGGTGCCTATCGCGCCGTTTCCGCTGATATTATTCTTCTGGGCGAGGTATGCGCTAATCACATATCCACGCTCCGGGGGGACTAGTTTCTCGATAGTATACAGTAGTCCTCCCACCCCCATCCTGTCGATCTCCCTAGTCCATGGCCGGTGCAGACCCTGGGGCGATCCCGGATGGGGGTGGATGGAGGCAATAAATATCATCCTCCCGCTGCAGAAGCTGGGATGTGCCCCGCTTCACCACGTATCGGAAGAACTCCAGCCTGCCTCTACCCGGACCCTGTACGACGCCAAATTGTCCGATGGGCCGCGGGAGAGGGGCAGTCTTGGGGTCGCATCGCTTGGCGCTGGGCGCGATCCAGGACTACGATGCCTCCGGGGTCTCTCTTTGGATATGTATAGCTCACGACGACTCCTTGCGTCAACCGTGGATACGTACACGCCGAACCTTGACGGACCGGCACGATCGATCGAGGTCTCCATCTGGTCAGACAGTGCCTCCGCCACATACCGCGATCATGGCAGCCTAGCACGGACCGCCGAGGAGGGTGAGATCCCAGAGTCCAAGCTCCTGTCGGTCGATCACGGCCCCGATGGATGATCGCCACCGCTGCACGACATGCGAGCGATCCAGGTTCGCTCGTCGAATGAGAATCCTCCTTTCATCGTGATGGCTCCTAGATAGTCACCCTCCCCGTAGAGACATCTGATACATTCCTGCCATGAGTCACCGGAGACAAACAAGGTCATCGACTCCATCCGGCTGTATCACCCTTCCCTCCTTGGTCGATGGGCGATTTGGCTCGGAGTGGCTTGCCACCCTCCTTCATCCAACCCCCCCTCTAGGATAGTTAGTAGACCGGTAAGCCTCGTCGATTCCCGCCGATCGACGGGCTGCATGACCCGATGCTGTAATAATCAAATGAGAGAGCGAGTTCATAAAGTCTCCCTCCCCTCGTAGCGCTGGCGGAAACCGCAAACTCTTTGTTGCGTTGTCACTGCATACATAGCCTATACGGTGTCGATGCTTCGCAAAGGATTCCGAGTCGTCGATCGTCCAGACGAGATCCCAGGAATCATCAGGTACGGGACTCTGCTCGTGGACCTGCATCGATAGTCCCTGCCACGTGTAGTCGGGTTGGGCGCGACTCCTGAGGCTGACAAGACAGAAACAAATATCCAGAAGAGAAGCAACCCGGAACCGTCTCACCGCCCACCCTCCACCGCTGCTTCGCTCTTTCCCTCCCTCCACGTTTCCTCCCTCCCTCTCCTTCTGCTCCTCGCGCTGTCTCGTCATTTCCCCCGTTCAATCTTGTCCGGGCCGATCAGGGTTCCCGAGTGAGAGAGCGAGCCTGAGGCTGAGTCCTGTCCTCTGCCGCCGACTCTTCCTCTCATCCTCGCTCAGTCCTCTTGCCTCTTCTGACTCCCCCAAACAATCTGACCCGTCACCTTTCCCGCCCCTTGATCTTTCCCCTCCTCCTCTTCCTCCTACTCTCTTCCTTGCAGCGCTCAGTTCCCCGGCGCTTCCGCAGTTTTTCGATCACTGCCCTCCATTGGCCTCGTGGATCCGATCTGCGGATTAACGGATTTACCCCGGAGACTTGTCCTCCGGCACTTCCCACTTCTCCATCCCACTTGGTTACCCCAACCAAGTACTTTTTTTCTCTCCCCCACCTATTGGCGACCGACGGGAACGGCTTCGCCGTCATCATTCCATCTTTCGGTGTATAGAAGGTATTTCATCTCACTCCTCTTTCGGTCGGCGCAGTTGCCTAGCATTGCCTTCTGCAAGGCCGGGGGTCGGTGCGCTCGGCGCGGCCGACATGCCTCGTATCGCTCAATTCTTGATGACGGAGTCCACTAACATTCCCCGGAATGAACTCAGGTCGTGATATCTTCTTCCTCGGCACTTGTCTTGCGACAGAGCGACAGTCGACTGGTACACCTCGACTGTCTCCCCCACCCCGCCGCCTTTAACACACTTTCCGTTTAACCGGGCGATGGCAGAAGCGAGTCTATTAATTAAACACGAATCCCCCGATCACACTAGACCTTTCATGATGTCGCACTCCGGTTACTCGATGAACAACCAATTTGGGACCCCCAACGATGGGGTGGACCCCTCCGATTTGACGATGCAGCAGGGTGGCTTCATGTCTTACCCTTTTGGCTCCCAGCAGAACATGTCGTCCAGCTTCAACTTTGGAAACTCCGGCATCGATACCGATGAACTGCTGGACCTGGAGATCAGTGGACAGAATGGTATCCAGCGCGGAGATAACATAAACTACCTCCAGGATCAATCTGGCGGGGGCATTGCCATGAGCCACCAAAGTCAAATGTCGCACATGTACTCGAACACCCCCGATAATGCGCCGCTGGCCAGCCCGTTTGTTCACAACAGCTTCAACTACGAGCAATTCCGGCAGATGAATGCGCCCAACCTTCAGCACGCCAGTTCCTTTGACCAGAATTACTTGAACGCCAAGTCGCGCCCGGGCCTGCAGTCGATGGATCGTGCCTCGTCGGATACCCGCAGCCCCATGACGCCCAAGACACCCGCCATGGGATCGCTGACCTTGGGCACGCCAGAATCCGGCAGCTATCCTTCTCAGCCAATCCGGACCGGTCTGTCGCACCGTCACCAGAAGAGCCTGTCCAACCAATGGGATGGGACCCCTGGTAGCGCCCATTCTTATGTCGATTCGCCTATCTCCTCCCCAGGTCACCAGTCACACCCAGGGATCTCAGAGATTCTTAAATCGGGAAAGCATGCCTCCTTGCCGGCCAAGGTCGACCTCCCTGGATCTACCCAGGATCTCGAGTCACAAGAGGCCAAGCGCCGACGACGCCGTGCCTCTCACAATCTGGTCGAGCGACGACGTCGTGACAACATCAATGAGCGCATCCAAGATCTCTCCCATCTGGTACCGCAACATCGATTGGAGGATGACAAGGTCCGCAAGCAGCTTGTGAACAACAGTGCCCTGTCCGTCGCCGGTGCCGGTGGAAACGCCGCAACCTCCCTTCTTGCAGGAGGCAATGGCCGCCGCGCCACCCCAGGAAATATTACCATGGGCCTGCCGATTGAAGAGAAGGAGAAGGGCCCTAACAAAGGTGACATCCTGAACGGGGCGGTTAGCTGGATGCGCGATCTGATGTGGGTACTACATGTCAAATTTCAGCAAGAAGCCGAACTCGCCGAGTTGATCGGCAGCCTTGGTGGGTCATGGCCGTTCGAGCAGACAGAAGAGGAGAAGCGCATGCGTAGCGAGATTCTGGATGCATTGGAGAATAACGACCCCAGCTCTTTCAGCTACACTCGCGGCCCTGGCAGTGGTCTGCGCGTGCCAAAGCACACAAACATGGCCGGCGAACCGCTGAGCGGCGGCAGCGACGGGATGACGCCGCCGAGTCTGAGCCCATCCTTCCACAGCGGCGCCAGCAGCGCCAACGGTGTTCCTGGTCAGCCGCAGTACTGGAATAGCGCTGGCCACGCGGCGATGAGCTTCAAGGAAGAGGATGAGTATGCGATGGAGATAAACTGAACCTAAGTCGTTGGTCCTTTGATTCTCAAATCTACGACGATCTACGACTGCATTGCGAGATGACTTGTTGCATACATGGCGTCACAACGGAAGGACTCGAACTGTCGGCGCACAGGGAGAGGAGAGATCCCTGACCCCATGGGGTGCATCTTGTTTTTTTGTTTTTTTTGTTTTTTTTGTTTTTTTTGTGTCTTTGGTTGCATTGGTATTTTATTTGTACTCTTGTCATATTCTGTCTATCGTCCCAGGTGGCTGTTCTCGGCCCCTTATGTTTTTTTGGGTTCCTTCAGTACTTTCGGATCGACTTTTTCTATGGATCATATCGATACCCTGATTTTCCGTTTCATCGTGGTTTCTGCTGCTCTTTTCTCTCCATCATGATTTGACAAGATTTTCTGATATTTCTTCTGTTAGTCTCTTTCTATTTTAAGTCGAGACTTTCCCCTTAATACACTTGCTTCTTCTCACTTCGATCTCCATTCTGTTTTTTTTTCCTCCTTCATTTCCTTTCTGGGCAGTTCTGCGTTGTGTTTCTTGTCCATCGGTAGTGCAAGTATAGCAACGAATAGGCACTGCCATTTTTCCATACTTACCTAGGTAATCTACCTATTATTCCCAAGTAGAAATCAAGGGCCAACCTCCACCCCCTTCCAATCCCAGCATCTTCCTCTCCCACCATCAAAATCAGTTGATAAGCCAATCAAAACATTCAACAACCGTTCCGCCGCATCCCACGGCTCAAGCATCTCCCTCGTCCCCCAATACTCTCTCGTGAAATCCGTGCGAACAGTACCAGGATGCAGCGCAACCGCCAAAGCCCGATCCCTACTCTGCGCCCGCAAGTACAAATCGAACGTTTTCGTCAGCTGGAATACAGCCGCTTTGCTAGCGCGGTAGGAGTACCACCCGCCGCTGGCGTTGTCGGATATAGAACCCACGCGCGCCGCAAAGGTGGCGTATATAGAATGCGCGGGGAGAGAGAGAGAGGCGTTGTTGTTGTTGTTGTTATCGTCAGAGTGAGGTAAAGTAGGGAATGGTCGAGTAGATTTCGTCGGCAAGAAAGGCGCAAGATGTTTCATGAGCAGCATTGGGCCCAGGGCATTGACCTGGAAACTGTGCATGGCGCTCGCAGCATCGATTTGGGATGGAGACTTCTCGACGTGAAGAATACCGGGTAGGGTTAGTGCGAGACGGAGTGGTGTTTTGGGGTACGCTTGGTGCAGGTGGGAGGCCATTGACGAGATGGTGGATTCGTCTGTAAGTACGATCGAGTTAGACCATGCATGGATTGTTTCTGTTCATGGATGTAGATGTATGGCATGGCAAGGTTGGGGAGGTGTAGCTGGTGGGTGGGTGGGTGGAGATGGCATACCGGTAACATCCACCTCCAGCACAGTCAATCTCTCCGCCGCGCTGCGCGGCATGTTCTTCCCAGACAAGAGCTTGTCGTGCACTCCATCTTTGTTTCGGCGCACCGTCGCGACGACGGGGAGTGGAGTCCTCGAGAGGAGGTGCTGCGCAATCGCGAATCCTAACCCTCTGGAGGCGGGTGTGACTATGGCGAAGCCATGGGACGAATTGATCATTGAAAAGGCTGAGAGGGGAAGGTTTATTGAGATACATGTTTCTCGTCCCTTGTTTGGTTGTTGTCGTTGCTATCAGTGATATCACTGACGTCATGAGCAACCTATACTCCCTCCCCCTTCTCTACAATTCTGTTTCCCACATTGTCTGTGTTGATAGCAGTGGTCAGACCACAGTTCTCTTTGTGTTTTGAAGTCTAGCACTCACTCGGTGTATAGAGCACCATGAATCTAAAGACAGGATGAATTAGTCTAAGCAAGCCTTGCTGATCCCCCTGATTTCCATGGGGCCCAACCTTGGCATGATAATAGAGATGTTGCAGTGGGGGCGATGTGTAGGGGGTGATGCAGGGGCGGTATATATAGGAAAGTAATCTTGAACGGGCAACGGCAACGGATAGGCAAAGCTAGCGAATTATTTTTGGTCGGGAATGAGCTCCTTAAGCCGCTCCAGTATCAGTGTCGTGTCCTATCCCTGGGGAATTCGAGTCGTTCATTTGGCTACTGTGGAAATCTCCTCTCTATCCATGTGGCGAATGGATAGGGGGCTATAACTATTCAGTTGATTCTTGAATCCAATAATAGCAGTGGGGCTACTTGCCCTGTTTCTCGAATCTAGGCTTGTCTGTCTACGCACGAGTCAGATTGATATCCAGAATTAACTTGGTATGACGCCAATGCCGATGATGTGAATTACTGCCGGAAATTGTGTGCCCTGGCAGTCGAGACGACATGTGTGGGCGTAGTAATCCATATTACTATTATGTACAGCCGTAGAGAGGGCTTCGGTTTCCGCATCCTTCTCTAGCCTTGTTGCTTACATAGAATACACTATCTCCTTGAAGACTTGACGGTCGACAGAACGTCGAAGTAATTATCAAAGGTAGCACAATACATATTTAGTACTATTGTCTCATAAGCTATGAAGATGTGTGCGATGGAGTATAGGTGCATTCCAAAAGTAGACCGAATGTTTAGTGACCGAATACCCTACTCATTGCCGATTGAGAGGTTATTATTGGGCGGAGAGAAACCCTGGGACCCCGGTACTCAACAGCGTGACAGTGAGAAGCAGTCTCTCATATCCTCTGGATCCGTACTCCAAGCTGATGTACCCTCTAACTTTGATCCTATACAGAATATCTCGTATAATTTCCGTTCTCTTCACACCACCAACACATGCATACTTAGCATCACAGCTGTGCTAAATTTATCCCCTGCCGCGGAGCCAATACATAACAAAGATATGAAGCTTGTGCTGTTGGTGCCGATCCATACAATAATAATAATAATGTTGCGCGGCACTCTTCGATCTACGTGGATCCGTTATTATTAGATCCCCACTCACCGTCGTTTCATCGCACGGTAAACCTCCCTACTCAGTTCCGGCGGCTGGAGCATACGTAAATATTACATTAAGTTTAGCAAGAGGCTAAGCATTTACGTTGGCTGATTGATCCAAGAAAAGGCCGCGTGACGATAGTTGAGCCAACAGACGAGTTTGGTTCGGCTGGCGCTTGATCGACAGAGCGCGGCTCCGTATTGCTACAAAGTAACAAGTCATGACCTTCGCTTCGCTCAGGGATAAAATTGTATCCACTGAAAGTGTGAAACTCCAATATTTCGTTGTTTTGAACAATTTCATCTCGGTTAATCCCGAACTAATTTCAGGAAATCTTGACGGCAACATGATTACCCAATAATCAGTGTATGGAGTATATACGGAGCGTCTAACACCAGAGCGCTCCGAAGCCAACAGCGGATTCATCTCACTAAGACTCGCTTACTTGCTTCTCGGAACTAATTTTGAGCGCTTCCAAGGGATTACATGTACTTTCGCTCTCAGTTGAAATCAAAAGTAGCTTCAGCGTAGAGTGTGATGCAAGGATGGACTGAATCACCAATATTCATTTGTATGGGATATCGATCGACCGCACCACAAGTGCATCAAAGGACGCTGACACTTGCATACAGCGTGCAGTCTGCCTAGTACCAAGTCGTGAGCCAACAATTGCAACGTATCTCCACAAATACAGCCGTCGATCAGTATCGGATGGCGCGGGTTTCATGACTCGAAACCGCCCCGCGCCTCAATGTCATGCATGATTAGGTAGTAGTATGCACCAGAGTAGGCAGGAAGAAGCGCCAGACAGGGGACATGGAAGGCTGAGGTAATTCCAAAGCTTTGCTGAACCCGCCACGGGGAACGCAATATGGAATACGGTTCGACAGGGGTCATGGTTTGATGCAGAAGAAGTATAATCGAACGACAAGGCTAATAAAGTGCTGCTCAAGGTAGTCCACCGTCCCCCAGACCCCAGAGGTCTGACTTCAACCTCGTGGCAAGATCGTACGGTAATGGCGTTTATCGTCACTGGGCTTGGAAAGGGCCCTTGTGGGACAATCCTTCCGTGACGCAGAAACACTTGTCCTTTGGCAGTGACGCCAGGATGCTTCTCCTGAAGGAATGGGTAATCGATTGTGGGCTGGCGGGGCCAAGCATATGTTGTGGCGTATGGCTTACTCTTATTCTTTTCTTGGCCCCCTTTAGTCCCATAAATTATTCATGAGGCTAGCGGCTTTGTATTGTAGGTAGATCCCCATATATAGTGGGGAGGGGCGGGAGGCGAAAGTAACCGGTCGCACTCAAGAGTGTCTACGGATATTATTATTCCTCAATGTTTTTTTGACCTTGTAGAGTTAGATTGCCTTTTTTGGCTGGAGTTTTGATATACATCTCAGTCAAAGAGGTTGAGATTGCGATGAACGGGTACCTGACTGCAACTCCGCATGCCATGCAACCTAAACTTCCGTTCCCTGTCACCTTGGGGGCGATCTCCTGTACGTACCCAGCTGGAACTTCTAGTTGACTCCCCAACCACCTCCCTCCTCGATGTGTTGGAACTCCACTTTACTGGTTTTGGTATGGGTCTGCTCATCTATATACAACCAATGTTGCATAGTATATAGCAGTAGCGCATAAGCACGAAACAGATCACAGTCGCCACCTGTGAACCCATCTGTTAGCGTCATTCTTTGCTATTAGGGGCCATGATTCTGGGCATATTGCTAACTGATTGGGGAATGAGGCTCCGTACCGACCCATACCCTCATTAATAACTAGGACATAATCTCAGGGAGTACTGTTCCAGTACCAGGGGAGGTGATCAATAGCCCCCCGCAACTGACTCAGGAGAAGGAATGCTTCCAGGTCCAGATTGTTGGTGGAGAGTTCATGTTAGACTGCTCGGGGATTTCTTAGAGGCAAATTTATAAATAATTCTAAAGCCCCACTGCCTTGATCCCAAATAACAATTACTTCTTCAGTTCTGCCGACTTTCGAACTCTGGCTCGCTTCGGAAGCCAGCTTTTCATGTCTGATTATCCGATTCTCCCTTCACCGCTGGGCCAGTGGCCCTATTCATTCTACTATGCGACCTACTCTTCTGGCGGTGAGCCTCCTGGGTAAGTTTCCCTATCCCTGTATTTGGAAATAATAACCTTGTCTAAGCAATTCCATGATAGCTCTTTCCGCTGTTGATGCCAAGTTTATTGCCGGCAGAAAGCACGAAGTTCCCGATGAATCAAATGCTGATTACGACTACTTCGTGAAGCGAAATACAAGTCTTCCAGACTGGAAGAAAACCTGCAAAGGAAACAACTATAAAACCCAGGCCAATTGGAAAAGTTTACGTATGGATTACTGGTTGCACAGTATGTAAGTAAACAGCCTATCTATCCCTAAAGGAATTGCTGCTCTTTGCTGACACCAGTCGACAATAATTAGGGCTGATTCCATCTGGGAAGGAACATCCATGTCGGGTGCTTCGAGTGTCCCTAAAAATTTGAACTTTCCTCAGGGAATTATGAATCAAATCACAGGCAACTATGATCAATCCCAATGCGTTCTGTTCGTTTTCTAAATTAATTCCCTTCGCATCGCGTATTAGGCTAATTTGTTTTAAAATAGGGGTGATTGTAATTTCGCTTTTCCTACTGGCGATCCCTGCACAACAGGATACTTCAACTCATTCTATATTTTCGTTCTATGGTCTATCCAGAATTTTGAGCATTGGATAGAAAACCTCGCTGGAACCGTTACTGCAACATGTCAGGATGTTTCAAGCGACGCGGGCTTGTTGGTTGATACTTTCAGCGTTGACACTACACCACCTACACATGTGAGTAAGCTTTTTGATTTAACGTTTCTAAATACTAATAAGAAACCACTTAGAACAGACTTTCTGAGTCATTGACTATACTCATCGGTGTCTTTGGAGGTGCTGCTGCTATTTTTGGCCTCTTTCCCGCAGGAGAAGCAGCGGCAGAAGGAGTCGAGGCTGGAGCGGCAGACGGAGCAGCAGAAGGAGGAGGAGCAGAGATGTCAGGCGGATTGGGATCTGAGAGTGGTTCTGAGAGTGGTTCTGAAAGTGGCTCTGAAAGTGGCTCTGAAAGTGGCTCTGAGAGTGGCTCTGGGAGTGGCTCTGAGAGTGGCTCTGACAGCAGCGGATCTGACAGCGGAGATAAAGGATCTATAGGAGGGGGAAACATTGCTACTGGATTGGGTGTTCTTTCGGGTGCTACTGTTGTCGCCAACGGTGTTATTGGTCAAATGGCCAAGGCTTCCCCGGAGTCGGTTTTCTCCCGTTCTTCTGAGACCTAAAAAGGTCTGATGCTAACTTGTCTCTTAGTATTGGCGAGAGGTTAGGCGACAGGACAGATATTATCCAGGCCAGAATTACTGAAACACAGGATGCTCTTGTGAAAGAGATTCGGAACTTTGGGAAAGTGATCCTCGAGCAACCTGTGGATGAATCACAAGTTGGATATTCATACAGCGACCACACGAACAGCGGGCCTTACGTTCTCAAAGGCGGCTACTATGCTAATGAGTTCCAGCCTGGCTTCCATGTGAACTTCGGACAATCTTTGCAAGGTACCCTGCTTAGTGGTGCTATCTCGTGGATCTGGCGAGAAGAGCAAGTGTACATTGTGAAGGATAGTTATTCGATCGCCGGCACTGCCCTTGACGATATGACTCTCGACGAAGACATTTCAAACCGGACTTGCGACAACAATGGCACCTGTTATTGGTTCCTCAAGAACACGGGTATGGGGAACTATGAAGCCCAAGCATTCAAATCTGTCCCCGGATTTGACAAGCTAGGCCAGTTTGGGGTTGAGCCTCTCCAATTTGCGCAGGCCGCGGTAGCTGCACAGAGTGCAGGCGGCTATTTGGCAAACTTCACGATCCCGCAAGCCCTTCCTTTTTTTCAAAAACTATAAGCCACCAAGAAATATGTTCGTTAATCTCCCTGTCTGCTCTTTGGATTTTTTCCATGACAGCTGGAAGAACGACTACGGTGGAAGTGATCCCTCGACGGAAGGTTGGGACTATAACGTGAGCTTTCCCTCATCTCATTCTATTCCTAGATGGTGGCTAACTGACTCGCTATTTAGGCATATTTCCGATATTATGTCACCAAATATTGCCCGAAGCTAACGGTCAATGGTAAGGGTTGGCCGTACCCAATCCTTACGTCCTCATCGAATGATGATAGTCAGATCGGTACTGGATCTGGTGAGGATGGGGGCGGAGTCCCAGCAGAGTGAGCTATCTAGTGCCCGTACTGTGAATCTGATGCTGCCATGGATATATGCCTCACGTTGTATACGAGCTTATTTAAGTTCTACTTCTTCCCCTTTGTCATCCCTGCTAAGGGTCTGCTCAATCGCCGAGCACTACATTGAATTCGTTGAAACTAGCTAAGGGTTTTATCTTTCTTACATGTACTCTAATAGCACTACAGTCCCTACGAATGGCTGATACGAACTACGATCCAATTCTGTTGGCTATAGGATCAACAATGACGTTTTCTCTTTAGTTAACTAACAAGGTTGCTCATACTTCCTAGTTACCTATGATAGGCTGATCAGTCTACATTAGAGCACAGGCCATTATATTTCATGATACAGTGACAGTAGTGATAATCATGCGAAATTCGGTTAAAATAATGTTACGCTTCAACAGCGTGCCGTCCTAATGAACTCCGACTCAAGTTAAATGAAGAGCGTGCATCTCGTCAGTTGTCAATGGATCCTTCTAGGCGCTTCTGAGCAAGGGTACCCCGACTAAGGAGTTTATCGTATGCTGAAAAGGCAATTATATCAGACTATGGCTATTAATACAGTGCAAAGAGATGCAAATACCTTCTGGAGGTGGGGCAGCTGGCTCGGCAGCCGGGACTTTGGGGTATCTAATGGCAGTGGCCGGGATCGAAATCTTGCCTGTAATCAGAGAAGGTCCACAGGTTATCGAGTATCGTCAGGCTTACATTGTGAGCTTCAAGATCTGCACATACCAATGCGGCTGTTTTCTCGATATGGTCCAATTGACTTTGTAAATCCGACGTGTACGATGATGTCCAGAACGGCGGCAGGCGGTATTTTGACTGAAATTGCTTCCAGCTGTACCATTGTATCGACGATGATGTAACCGTATAATTCTTGTTTGCCAGCCAAGTTATAAGCTCCATGTGGGCGTATGCTAAGAACAGCCCACGGTTGGCACAGTCAGAGTCTTGCCTCGCAGCATTTATCAGTCTTCCATCCGACTCTGCGCGAGCCGAGTACTCGCGCAAAAGTCTCCGGATTGTTTTTCTGTCCAGCCGATTATGGTGTAGGTTTGTTTCGATGGCTAGTACAATGGTTCCGGTCTTGGTCAGGAGTTCAACAGCCGTGACATCTTCCTTAGACATTTTGCACCAGATTTTGCTTTGCGTGTAGACTTGAATGGTATTTAACACTGATGATGAGGTACTGAAAAAAAGCCGAAGACTAGGTCAAAAGAAAATTAATGGAGCGCGCAGCGGACAAAGCATATTTATGGCTACCAAGGTATATTCTACTACGACAAGCAGGTGACCCGCCACCAGAGTTCATGAGGAACCAAGGATCCCGGCAATGTAACCAATAATAACCTATTTGTCATTGGTGAACCGAGAAGCTATCTTCCTGAAACTACTTGGCAATAATGAGTAGCAGCTAGCTAATTGGATTAAGTTGATGCCTGATTTTTTCGGGATGTAAAATGAAGTCGTGACGTGACCAATATTTATCTCAGCGACTAGACATATCGCTCATCGCAAAATCTGCCATCGACAAGCTCTCTTCTCCTCATATTGTTGCTATGCAAGTGCACATCCACTCTCCTGTGTTGCCCTAGAGGTATTCTACCAAATGCTTAGGGTTCGAATTATGCACTCCAACTATGCACTCCCACACTCACTCTATCATCAGATTATACTCCGAGGGTTCAGGGTCAGGAGGACATCAATTGATGAACAAAAAGTAACACACTAAAGAAGGTAGAGGCAGAGTTGCATGGCGGGTGCGAGCCCCTGTCTCTGATTCTTCTCTGTAATAAATTAATCCCGAGCTCTTCGATTGAATCACACTGGGCGGCTGCTACCGTGGTTGCGACCCTGATTTAATTGGTTTGCGGGGTTGCCTAGACCAGCCTCTAAATCATTCTCTCAGCACTATTTCGCAACGTCATGTTAATTATTCTTTCGGTGTTCATAAGTTGCTCGCCTGCTACGTAACTCTGTGTTGAAGTATTGACAAGGAGTCACTTACAACATGTCAAAATATAGCGGTCAGGAGGCCTACCTAGATCACTCGGGGGAAAAATGGAATCGAAGGCAAGGCATCAGAAGGCAAATGTTTCAATCCTCTAACACGTATCTAGTCGCTGGTGCTTGGCATCAGTAGGCTTCCCCGTCACTGCGGTATGGTAAATTGTATTTTCCTTCCTCGCAAATCACCAACAGGAAATCTAGGGAACTTTAGGGGCCATGGCAATCATGTTCAACATTTGCGCGTTAGCAGAGGGATGGCAGCAGGTTCTCGATGCTGACAACCGAACGATCAAGCCACACTCACCAGCATGGCAAGTCTCCTTTGCTTCGTGCCTTTTTTTGGTTTTTGTATTTGTTGAAGCACAGGCTAAATCATTTGCAGGCACATTGCACTCAAAGCAACGTCGTTGGCTCTGGCTTCCACCGCATATCTACTTTACATGCTCTCGATGACTTTCCACTATAATCCACGAAAAGGATTTGCTATACCAGTACTTGGCTGGCTCGTCTCAGCAGCGATTATGTTCAGTCTGATAGGGGTTGAAGTTCAGCGGTACCGAAAAGCCCGAACAGAGCAGTCAATAGAGTACACAAAAAACTTTTTCGCCGGTATTCTGGCTGCAGGCCTGTACTGCTTGATTGCAATTTTATTAGCGACTTATACGGCCTGCGCAAGTTCGCTCAAGTTAAGTCTCACAGACAGGCGAATGATCGAATGTACAAGCATCGTCTATCGGGTCATCGCTTTTGCCATCACTCTTCTTGGAGGTGCTGGGATGTACAGCACCGTTGAAGGCTGGTCTTTGATCGATTCTCTATACTTCACAGACACCACCGTTCTTACCATAGGCATCGGAAACATCTCTCCTCAAACTCATCTGGGGCGCTCATTGCTGTTTCCATATGCCACCACCGGAATAATCAATCTGGGATTTGTCATCTCGAGCGTGTCATCATTCACAGACAAAATGAGAGATCTAAAATTGAGATATCAAGTTAATGAGGCACGGCGCGTTTTGCGCGGGGAGCACGACTCAGAGAGAACAGCGAATCAGATCCCTACAAATGGAGAGAAATCACAGAGCTCTTTACCAGTCCCGTCGAAATACCCAAAACAGAATGAAATGTTGAAGCTGCACAAAATCAAGGCAGATTTTTATCGAAAAAATCGCTGGAAAGAATTGATATTCTTTGCAGTGTCATGGTTCTTATTGTGGCTAATCAGTGCTGAAGTTTTTCGTCGATCCGAGAGACACAAAGACTGGACTTACTTCATAGCGCTCTATTTTACGTACACATCCCTCACGACAATCGGATACGGTGACTTTTTCCCGACAAGCAACTTTGGAATAGTCTTTTTCATCTTCTGGTCTTTACTTGCTCTTCCCATCTTAACAAACCTCGTCACGGCCATGGGCGGAGTTCTCCATAGGATGCTGACATTTTCCTCTCGCTATTTATGGAAAAACGTGTTTCATAAAGGGCACACGCACCACCACCATTCACACCACCATCCGCATTATTCTTCGCTCGAAGGTGGCTCTCAGGTGTTGGCACAACTGCACGGGAATGTACCTGACAGCCCGCCTTTGCATCTGGAAGGACAAGATCATGCAACCACAATGAAAGAATACTCTCGAGATCCACCTTCGGTTGGACGTAGGTGGAAAACAGTGCAGGCAACCAGCACTGGATCGAGGGCAACTACGCAATACAGGTTACGCCTCGCGGAAGAGATGAATACACTCCTGTCTACTCTAAAGAGTGAATACTTTGAGAACTGGGAAGAGCTTTGTTGTACCTGGTCCAGAGTCATACCTCTGCTCCATGCCGGTGAGAACGTTGCAAGTGCTCCAAATGAACCCATACCTTTTTCAATGTCCGCAAAATCCGACCATATTGCGTTGATGAAGCTCATGGACCCCAAGAAAGCATTGTCAGAGAGAAACACCGAAATTTCATGGATTCTGGCATTGTTGGTGGACAAGCTTTGTTCGGATTTGAGGGAGGAGTTATCTGAGGCCACATGAGCGAAGACTTTTTTCCGTCATTTGAAGGTGATCGAGGGCGATTCGCACCGAGCCCCGCTACGTATATAACATATACCCACTACTTTCGATATACAGCACTAGGGGTTTCACCGTAATAGATAGCAATTCTAGTACGTACAACCGCAGGGTTTGGAGAATAGGGCTCCCTCTCCGCTCAGCCCTACCCGGTTTCTGATGCAAGCTTGACCATGAGCCTTCTGTAAAATAGCACATCAAAAACTGTACCAGAAGACTCTAATTATATTCTATATGCTGGAAAGCACCTCAGATTATATCAATTTTAAGATTTGATGAGGAGTAAGGGCGTTCTTTGTTTTGAAGACTTGATTTTTTACACCACCTCCTCCCGAGATTTACCCTGCCTTCAAACATTTCTATTTCTCCTCTAGTTTGTTCTTTGTTTGCACATTTAAGCATTGCTGCGAGCTTATTATGATCAGAAGCTATCCGAGAGCCTTCATGTGCTTGAGTTGAAAATATTAAGCAAGCCCACGAAATAGAAATGCTGGAAGCAGTTGGGGTCATCGTTGTTCGCATCTTCGGCCCTTGTTCCTCAGATGTGATTGCACTTCAGTGGCTTCTACTTTGTTATCACAAGATACATTTGTTGCAGAATTAGTAATCTTGATGTAACGTAATTGTACACCGAAAGTCACAACATACCGAAAGTCACACTTTAATCCGCTCACGCGTCTCCTCCACCAAACACCAAATTCCTCCACAACAAAAGATGCCTCAAAAAAATGACGAAAGGCGGGTCATGTTAGCCCTTCAAGCTATGCAAAATGACCCAAAGTTAAGCGCTCGAGCAGCAGGGAGGATCTATTCTGTGGACCACGAGAAGCTGAGTCGTCGCAAGCGCGGTATACAATCACGACGCGATATTCTGGCCAATTCACAAATTTTGACCGATCTAGAGGAATCAGTCCTTATTCAACATATCCTCGATTTAGCTATCAAAGGATTCCCTCCCCGAGTGTCTATTGTTAGAGATATGGCAAATCGGCTTTTCGCGACACGCGACGCGCCACGCGTCGGGATGCGTTGGGCTTCTAGGTTCATTAATCGCCGCCCAGAGCTCCGAACTCGCTTTCAACGGAGATACGACTACCAGAGAGCTAAGTGCGAAGATCCAGTGATCATTCGTGGCTGGTTTGAGCTTGTACGCAATACAATCGCGAAGTACGGCATTGTGGAGTCAGATATCTACAACTTTGACGAGACTGGGTTTATGATGGGCGTTATCTCTACCGCAACAGTTGTCACAAGCTCAGAGGGACGTATAAAGGCAAAAAAGCTACAGCCTGGTAATCGGGAATGGGTTACGGTAATTCAGGGCGTTAATTCCCAAGGCTGGACGGTGCCGCCATTTATCATTGTTGCGGGCAAAAATCACCTTTCGTCTTGGTACCAAAATAGTGGTTTCCCACCTGACTGGGTAATCGCTGTTACTGATAACGGCTGGACAACAAATGAGAAAGGCGTGGATTGGATTCGGCATTTTGAGAAGCATACTAGAGCCCGAACTACAGGTTGCTATCGCCTTTTGATCCTCGATGGCCATGAGAGCCACCACTCGGACGAATTTGAGGAATACTGCAAAGGAAACAACATTATCACCCTTTGTATGCCTCCTCATTCGTCTCATATCCTTCAGCCACTAGATATTGGGCGTTTTAGCCCATTGAAGAAGGTATATGGCCGACACATCGAGGATATGATGCGGGCTCATATCACCCATATTACGAAGGACGACTTCTTCCCCGCCTTTCGTAGCGCATTCTTTGCTACAATGACGGAAAGCAACATTCAAGGAGGTTTCCGAGGCGCTGGACTTATTCCATTTGACCCGGAAAGTGTGATATCTACACTAGATCTCAAGTTAAAGACGCCAACACCTACAACTTCCCGCCCCCGAACCCCTGAACCCTGGGTTTCTCAGACACCTAATAACCCAATCGAAGCCACTTCGCAGACTACTTTCATCAAGAATCGCATTGCCTATCATAATAATAGCTCTCCAACCTCAATTTACGAAGCTGTCGACCAGTTTGCGAAAGGGACGTCGAAGATTATGCACAAATTGGCGTTGTTGCAGTCAGAGGTTCAGATCCTTCGACAAGCAAATGAAGAGCTTAGTAAACGCCGGAGGGCTAAAAAGACACGTCTACGGCAAGGTGGATCACTTAGTCAACAGGAAGCACAAGATTTACAAGATGAGAGGGACATTATGCAGCAGATAAAGCAGGAAACGCAGGCACGTAGTGGTCGGAAACCAAGGCAAGAAACGCGCGCGCGGCGCTGTAGCAATTGCGGCGAGACCGGACATAACGCACGCACCTGTCAGATTGTAATAGAGACGTCTGAGGAAGAAGATTATTAGTAGTATCAATTGATTTTAGGCGTTGTGGTGGAATTATCGCGATATTTATTATGTGAGCGGATTAAAGTGTGACTTTCGGTATGTTGTGACTTTCGGTGTACAATTACGTTAGCTGTATTATTTCTTAGTATTAATCTAGGTGGACTTAGGGAAATAACGCTTACCTATCTTATGCACTGCTGGTTTCTTTACAGCTGTTCATCCAAAACATCAGTTCACAGTAGTGCGAAATTCGGATCTCGAAGATTCTGTCTATAATAGAGGTACTAATTAGGGGATAGAATTGTCTGTTTGTTTGAGATAATGAATTGATATCTTTTTCTACCCCCTGGAATGTTGCCAGTTGCAGTAGTAAATTTGAGAGTAAGTGGCGAGGAAACACCTATATGGATTAAGTGTTGTGGGAAATGTGCTACTGCGTTTTGAGCTGGAACGAAAATATAGCTATGGGTGAAATGATGGGAGCTGACCATTTTGTTCTTAATAACCATGGTGCCCTTCTTTCTTCGACAATCTGTACCTAATTAGTTTTTACAAACCATACTAAAGATATTCTTTGCCAACAAGATCCTGTCGCTGTTGATGGCCAAACCTTGATGAAGAGTGTCCGGTTGCCAAGTCTCATCCCATCGCAGTTGTTCTTAACCTCCATCAGTCTTCTAATCTCATAAGTGACCGAGCAGAATCCACAACAGTCTCTTCCAAATCACGGAATTGAATCCCCAGGATCGTCTCTGCTTTTGAAGAGTCCGGAGTATACAGTTCGACCTTCCCAAATCCAGATCCCGGATTTCCAGTTGGCACACGATTCCTGACTTCGGGGACTTTTTCGCGCAGAATATCTGCCATTTGTTGAAAACTGAAATTGCCACCACAAACTAGGAATCGATGACCACCAGCCTCTGGAGTCTGGAAGGCTCGTAGGTGTGCCAATGCGACGTCTCGAACGTCAACCCAGGACCACGAGGAATTCTGAGGCATGGGATCGCTTGTGTTACTTTTGGGGCTTATCAAGCCGTATATTTGCTGTGACGACGTGTTGAGTCTTGCGAGGTCAGCCGTGGCATTTTTGTTCGGCCCATATACCATGGGCGGACAGATTGTAACTAGGTCGAAAAGCGGACTTTGTGTCTTGACAAAATCCCATGCCTTCCACTCAGCTAATGTTTTGGCCGCGGCGTAAGCAAAGCTAGCTGGAGCGTCTTTCTTAGCGGCTTCTTCATATGTAGTTGGGTTCCAGTCTGCCTCGCTATATGTATAACCCGGACGAGTGCCTTTGTTCGGGTCTCGGATAGCCGTAAAAGATGAGGTGATGACAACTCTCTTTACTTGCGGAGAAAACTTCTGGATAGATCGAAGGATACCAATTGTGCCCTCGATTGCTGGTTGCAGCAAATCACGCTCATTATCATCCACGGTGAGCTTGAACGGAGTTGCTGTGTGAATCACACCGATAACATCGTGCACTGCCTCATCGAAAGAGTTTGGAGCAGTCATATCGGGCACAATGGCAAAGCTGAGCCTCTCATTGAACGCTGGGAATGTTTTGCGCACTTTCTCAGCAGTCGCTTGAGATCGAACTGTACCACGTACGGTGTAGCCAGCCTTCAGAAAAGCATCGACGATGTGGGTTGCTACAAACCCAGAAGCTCCAGTCACGAGAACGGTGCGTTGATCCTTCATTTTTGAGGTGAGAAGGTGTGTGATAGTAATAGAAAGATTATAGAACACTTTTTTAAATGTTTAATGATTGTGGATCACTATGTTTGTCTCGCGATGATGCTCTTTGTGCAAACCCAGAGGTCATACTATACATTCATGCTGTTTTTTTATGTAGCTAATACACAAAAGAAAACCTGAATAGCAGGCCTCAAATGAATGACCGCTTTATTCACGCTGAATCACGGCGATGATGACAAGATACGTCACAGTAATTTGAAAAGAACAGCCCGAACGTTGAAAAACGCTCCACCTAGACCTGCCTCGGCCAGTCAATGAAATTGGTGAATTGATGGCTCAATTATTGAGTCATATGTTCTAAGCCATATGAAACGGTATTGGGTGGATAATATCTACGGCGCCTTCGGAGAGGACAAATCTTTTCCAATTCTCGTTTACATGAGAGCGGTCATCTTATTAACTATTAGCGGAGGATCCCGCAACAAAGTCTAAGCGGTCATGACATCCATCGTACGAACCATGGATCACGTATCTTCATCCAGATAAGAATGTTCTCGCTGCAGCCATCTACGCACACTACTGTACAAACATATACTTTGGTGCTGTAATAACAATAGCTGGTTTGTTCTGTGGTCGAGCATAGTAAATGGTTCTCTATCGGTATGACGTGCATGCTTGAAGGTGGCATGTGCGCGAATAGCCGGACAACGCCCTTTGCATACAAATTGGAACCCCGTGTAAAAAGTGAAGATGATCATTTAGTCATATTTAGTTGACGTCCCGCGATATTTTCGATTCGTTCGTCGGGAAGGACGCAACCAACCAGGCCAGGAATTTAATTTCGACAGGCAATATTCCCACCATGAAACCTCATCTTGTCGTTATTGTTGGCGCCACGGGCACTCAAGGTGGTTCTGTTGCCTATTCTTTGCTTAAAGACCCCAACTTTGCAGTCCGCGGACTTTCACGTAACTCCGAAAGTGATTCAGCAAATGCCCTCAAAGCACAAGGTGCTGAGATTGCTAAAGCCGACCTTAATGATGAAACGAGCTTAGTGAAGGCTTTTGAAGGAGCGTATGCCATTTTTGCAGTCACGAACTTCTTCGAGCCGGCCGGTAAATTTGGAGTAGAAGAGGCAAGAACGATTGAGTACCAGCAGGCCATTAATATGGTCCAAGCGGCGAAGAAAACACCTACTCTTCAGCATTATATCTGGAGTACTTTGCCTAACAGCAATCATCTGTCAAAGGGCAAATATAATGTCCATTTCTTCGATGTCAAATCATCTGTCGATGACTATATACGGCAAGATGAAGAGTTCCTTGCCAAAACTACTTTCGTCTATTTCACCAACTTCGCGTCGAATATGTTCTACCCTGTCTTCCTACCAAACTATATAGTAAGTACAATTGATTCTTATTGTTTTCATTTCAATTTTTCGTATTTTCACCTGATGAGGGACATGTTGATTTTTATAATCTATCTAGAAATCGGCGAGCAAGCACATCCAGATGCTTCCCGCGGATCCTGAGATGCCTATCTTTTCTATGGGTGACGCAAAAGTTAATGTAGGCATCTTCATACGTTCAATTTTGCGAAACCCCCCAAAGACGGGGGGTACTTACGTACTTTGCGCTGTGGACAAATTTACCCTGCAGTCATACCTGGCCAAATGGGGTGAAGCCACTGGTTTCGCCAAGGAGGAGGGATCAACTGCAGTTATCCCTATCTCTTTAGATGATTACCGCCTTCTTTGGCCAGGTTATGGTGATTTGATGGGCGAGATGGTTGCTTTTTGGGCCCTGCTTCGCGAAAATAGCTGGGTTACGCCCCTGGGAACCGACCCAATGGGAGTCCAGGAATTGATGTCTGAGGAGGAGCAAAATGAGCTTCAGTCAACCGCAGAAACCTTTAGGATTGCGGCGGCAGAGTTTCAAAAGTTACTTTAAGTGGGTAAAGTGCCATGTAAATTGAGTTTAAGACCTGGATAATGATTGCATATGCGGACAACTTAAATGAGCATTTTTTGACTTGAGAAAGTTGAGATAGCAGCCTGGCGGAATACCGTTTTCGTATTTCTTGCATGATGAGAACTCATCGAGCCCTGCCGCATTGTCGCCTAGTCCTACCCGATTCAAGCTAGGACTTAAGCTTGGAGGTTCGAAATCGGCAGATATGAATCCGGAACTTGGCTACCTTTCAACGTTCCCCAGGATGAACAACCGGCTTGCAACTGATATTAGGGGCAAGGTCATCTTCTTACACGTGTGCCTGGTTATGATTTTGCAAGGCTGCAAGGCGCGAGGTGCTTTTGTTCTTAAGGCCTGCATCAAAAATCAACCATTTTGTACAGGTTCGATCTCGATTGAGCAAGCGAACTGAACGGGAAATCTTGTTTTGCAAAAGTTTCAGAGCATTGGCGACCGGGTTGCTTTTCGTGTTCATGTCTCGGCATACATTTATTGATATCTTCGTTCTTTGGAGCTGAATTCATGGTCCGTGATTTGCCAGTATAGCGCTATCTGCCATTAGCAAGCTTCAGCATTCGCGATCTAGATGCCGGTTGAGTTAATGAAGTCCAGGACTGCAATGAACATCTTTGAACATCTGGAAAGAAATCAGCTCCAACGCGAGATTCAGAGCTCCTAATGTCTCGTAACTGTATCAAAGCACTGATTCAAGGCAACATGGTTGAAATGCTTTTTGAGAAACGGACAGGCCAAGCAGTTGCTAAAAGATCCGGCATAGCATCTGGTGTAGCAGTTCGGGCTGTCGAGCTGAAATGGTTACTGGTTGATGAAAGTGCTTCGTTGGTAATGATGAAACAAAATGTAGAAGTGGACGATTCTTCGCCGAACTTCGAGACCAAGTTGCCCTGACACTAGTACTGATCTGGGCAGTCCAAGCGACAAGCATAATACCTAGGTAGGCACCCCCCGCCTTGCTTACTGTCTGTTAATCGCCTCTTTTTTGAATCTAATAAAGCACCGGGTCAGTCGCTAGATAAGGCGTCAAGTGGGGGACTAAGTTACACTAGGTAACTTAAGATGGCGACGAGCGTGAGATCGAGCACGCAATTCTCCGAACACCAAAATATACACATGGAGGCCGACCGACCACGGTCACGAATCAACCTCGCTACTTTCAAGGGGCTTGCCATCGGCCAACAATCTTCTTTCGCCAGGGCAAACCCTTCCGGAATGGATTCAAAACACGTACAGAGCGATGCATTCCCCGCAGCATTCGCGGGGCCCAATACTCAACTGGACCCGCCGAGCCTCGACGAAAGCGACTTCGTGACAGTCAGGGAAGACCAAGATCTCCGAAGAGGTCTGCATCAACGACACATCGGTCTTATTGCCATCGCAGGAGCTATCGTAAGGACGGAATACTTTACCCTCGCTCGTGGTCGTTCGACTCACAGCGCGCACAGGGTACGGGACTCTTCCTAGGTCTAGGAGGTTCAATCCAGACTGCTGGACCACTCGGGGCATTACTCGGTTACTCAACCGTTGGCCTTATTGTCTGCGCAGTGCAATTTGCATTGGGCGAGGTGACCGCCTTACTACCCGTTACTGGCAGTTTTGTGCGACACGCCGAGGTACTCGTCGATCCAGCCCTAGGGTTTGCCATTGGGTGAGTTGCGTTGTTCTAGGACTGACCCCCAAGGTCTCACTGACTCTACCTGCCAGTTACAACTTGGTTTACGGCAACTGCCTTTCCATCCCGACAGAAATCACTGCGATATGCGTCCTTTTTCAGTATTGGACCGACATCAACTCCTCGCTTTGGATAATGATATTCATCGTGTTGACTGTCATTGTCGGTCTTTCATTTATCGGAATTTATGGTGAAGTTGAATTCTGGTTTGCCCTACTCAAGATCGTCTTCATCATTTTCCTCATCCTTCTCGGTTTGGTCATTGACTTGGGTGGAGTCCCTGGCACTCCTCGAATTGGATTCCGATACTGGAATAATCCTGGACCATTCGTCGAATATATCGCGAGCGGGGGCTGGGGTCGCTTCCTGGCTTATTGGGCGGTGATGAGCAATGCAGTCTTCAGCTTCGCTGGTGTCGAAAGCATTGCCATGGCTGCAGCTGAGACTCGAAACCCTAGAGTTGCCGTACCGAATGCTTGCAAGAGGGTATTCGTCAGAGTCGCAACATTCTACGTTCTTGCCGTACTCATTGTTGGCATGCTCGTTCGCAGTGATGACCGTCGACTGGATGATGAATCGGGAACAGCAGCACAGAGCCCGTTCGTCATTGCGGCGAGTGCAGCAGGGCTACGCGGTGTACCATCACTTGTCAACGCTATTGTTATTACATCAGCTTGGTCATCCTCAAATCAGGCCTTACTTGCCGGTACACGAGTTCTCTACGGCCTAGCATTGAAAAAGCAAGCGCCTGCTATCTTCCTCAGGACCACTCGTTGGGGTGCACCATACGTCTGCGTCCTCTTCTTCTCAGCGTTTATGTTCCTCTCATTTATGACTCTATCAGATGGTGCCTTGACAGTTTTTTGGTGGCTGGTCGACCTAACCGCGTGTGGTGTGCTGATATCTTGGATCACGGTTCTGCTAAATCACTGGAGGCTCATGCGAGCGATGAAGAAGCAAGGACTGTCTTTGACACTACTTCCGTGGCATAGCAGATTTACTGGTATGTAAATTGCCATTGTCCATCTAGCATACACTGACAACAATTGGAAACAGAATATTCGACGCCGGCAGCACTCGTCATGTGCGTTATCATTCTCTTGACCGCTGGGTTTCCCGTTTTCACCAAAGGCAACTGGTCGGCCAGCGACTTCGTATCATCGTACTTGTAAGTTTGGTTCGGGCATATCAGAAACCGAGTATGTTCCTGACCGTGATTTGTCTCAGAGATATTCCCCTTGTTCTCGCCGCGTACGTAGCGTGGAAGGTATATAAACGTACCAGAATTGTCAAATTGTCCGAGATACCACTGGAAGAGGCACTGGAGCGTGCAGCCGCTGACGTGGAGGTTGAGAAAAAGCATCCTCTATGGAGAAAGCTGATCGGTTTTCTCTGGGACTAGATGGTATTACGGTCAATTCTATTGGATATGATTGCCATTTGTATCTCGACGAGTTATCTAGCCAACTTTCTGTATGTGAGAATAGGATGGCTGGGCGCAAAATGTGCATAGAAACGATTATAGTGACCGCTCTAAAGCCTGTCAATAATTGAATTACAACCTAAGGCTTTACAGTAAAAACCAGCTGTGGGAAGCGAGAATTCTGGTATACACTAGTACGGACCGCAGCCAATTATTTCAATTTTGAGGTCACGAAATGTCAGGGTTTAAAATATAGGTTCGATCACAATCATCCGTTTGTCAAAATGAGGATGGGGTTTCCGGGCTTATCGCAGTATCCAAGTGGCTGCGAAGGATGAGTGATGCTAAACTCCAATAGGAGGGGCCTCGTCAACGCCTTTAACAGGACAAATATCGTCATCAGCTACAATTTTTTAGTTGCATGGCGATGGAGGGATTTATAGGCGTGTTGCAGGGCGAAATCACGCCATTAGCGCCCCGATAAGCAACAACAGGGCAAAAAAGGGAGGCCCTTGCTGGCCAGCAATTGAACATTTAAAGACAAGATCATCCCTTTCACTCGACCCTTCCCTATTTTTTTCTGGCGCTGGATTTATTCCCCACTACTCTTCCCCTCCTGAAACATGGTGTTCGCGACAGAAGCGGAGGACGTTGACCGAAGTCCCCAGCTTTTGGGCGATGGGAACAACTCACAACATTCCGACACTGACGTTGGAAATGGCGATTATACCGCCAAAGCAGGGCAGTTGAATTTTGACCAGTATACTCGTGGAGGACTGGGTCGGCATTTGGGTGTGTTCTCGACGACCTTTCTGATGTATGTTTCCAAGCGATCCCTGTTACTTTCAACATACTTATTTCACCATGAAAATAGCGTGGGAAGAATCATTGGCACCGGTATTTTTTCGACGCCATCTTCTGTGACTAGCAGCGTCGGCAGCGTAGGAGCTGCAATGCTGCTGTGGGTACTGGGTCTTCTCTTGGCTGGTGCTGGTCTTTGTGTCTGGCTTGAATTCGGATGTATGATACCGCGCAGCGGAGGAGAAAAGGTATACCTGGAAGCTGTCTACCGGCGACCGAAATTATTGATTACTGTGGTCTTTGCTACCCAGGCCATTGCGCTAGGATTTACAGGTGAGTGGGCAAAAATAAACGAACATGGATTCAACTTGGCTGAGTAGATGGCTAGCTTCTGGGTGCGTTGTGTTTGCCTCCTATGTGGTTGTGGCAGCTGGGAGAGAGGCATCAGAGTGGGAAGAGCGAGGAGTTGCCATCGCAGTAATTGTGTTCATTACACTGATGCATACATTTCTGCCTAAGTGGGGCGTTCGGGGCATGAATGTTCTCGGAGTGTTCAAAATCGCACTTCTACTTTTCATTGTCGTCACTGGTTGGGTGGTATTGAGCGGTCGTGTGTCAAGTGTGCCAGATCCATATGCCAGCTTCCATAATTCCTTTGCCGGATCTGCAACATCCAGCAATCCCTACGCGATTGCGTTGTTCAAGGTCTTGAACTCATATACGGGGTAAGTGAGCTGCTCATTGTGTTAGCTCGCCGTTGACTGATGGAATGTCTGCAATTTTAGATGGTCAAATGCGGCCTATGTCCTCAATGAAGTTCGTAATCCTGTCCGGACCCTAAAGATTGCCGGCCCTGTCGGGCTTTCTATCTGTGGAGTCCTATATCTACTCGCCAATGTGGCTTACTATGCCGCGGCAACCCCAGAAGAGATCGCCAACAGCGGAGTTACGGTGGCTGGTTTTTTCATGGGAAAGGTCTTTGGCTCTGCAGCCGAGCGCGCGTTAAGGTAAGAATCTCGAAACGGTGTATGAACGACTCTAATGGAGCATTATTACAAATAGCGCCTTGGTTGCCATATCCAGTTTTGGAAATGTAATGACCGTGACTTTCGCCCAAGCCCGAATCAACCAGGAACTTGCGAAGGAAGGGGTAATTCCATTTCCCAAGTTCTGGGCTTCTAGCTGGCCATTCGGGTCACCGTCGTCTGGTCTGCTGTTGCATTTTATTCCATCTTTCATTGTGATCGTAGCGATTCCATTTGGCGATGCCTATGATTTCATCCTGGATCTGGAAGGGTATCCAGCCAGTGTCATCAACTTCATGGTTGTCGTGGGTCTTTTCTATCTTCGATGGAAGTCTCCGAATCTCCATCGGCCCTTTCGTGTTTGGTGGCCTGTTGCATTCTTCTTCATGGTTGGCCAATCCTTTCAGCTGGTGGCGCCATTCATCAGACCCCCGGGAGGGAAAGGGGATACATCTCTTCCTTACTGGTTGTCATCGGTTATCGGTATTGCAATTCTGCTTCTTGGAGTGCTGTACTGGTTCGTCTGGCAGAAGGTGCTTCCCACACTTGGAAGATATCGACTTGCTCCAGAGCATGAAGAGCTTTCAGATGGCACAACGGTTGTGACATACAAAAAGATCAAATAGCACGGGAATGAGTTGAGCAATAAGAGGGGTCTTTATCATCAATTTGATTGAATTGGGTCGGATTACGACGTCTAGAGCTTGAGGCAGGGCCAATGGGATCGAATGGTAAAAATGGCGTCAAAGAGGCATCGCAGATAGCCATCTTCGGCGCCCAATCTACCTCAACTAGCATTGGGTGTAGTAAAGGAAGCAATTGGCAATAAATCCTTTTTTTCATGTTGCGCACAAAGCAGAAGCATATACGATTATAGGTCACTTTTTGCCCTCCAAATCAGTAAAAAAGTCTCGTCCAAAGTCAGCACTACTATCATTGAACCGTAGCTTCTTGTTGATCGCCTGGATCTTTTTCATATCCTCCGGGCTGAGCTTAAAGTCCGCTTCCAGATTGGATTTGATTCGTGACGGTGTCTTGGACTTGGGCAGCACAGAGTGGCCCTGCGTGACCCCCCAGGCTAGAAGTATTATTTAGCAAAGGCCAAAGTGGCATCGTCAAGAGGACGGCACATACCGAGGGCAACCTGCGGCGCAGTCTTGTTGTATTTCTTGCCTATCTCCGTCAACACAGGCTCTTCGATTAGCTTGCCAGCACCGCCTTTACCACTGTAGATGGAATTCTGGTTTCCGAATGGAGAGTACTGCGTGACATGGATCCCATTGGCCTGGTGCCATGCGACGAAATCATGTTGTTGCAGCCACGGATGACACTCCATCTGATGGGCAGCTGGTACGACCGAGGTGTTCTTCAACAAATGCTCCATTTCGGCTTTGGAGAAGTTTGACACGCCAATCGCCTTGGTCTTGCCGGTTTTCAGCAGTTTCTCCATGGCCTTGTAGGTCTGCCCGTGGTGTTCAGCGCGATGTTAAATCAATAAAAACCAGACTTACATCGATATAGTCGATATTCTCCATGATGAATTTCCCATTCTGTTTCGGGAATAGATCCTCGCCACGTTTCCAAGCGACGGGCCAATGCATCAGGTACAGATCGACGTAGTCCATACCCAAATCATCTAGAGACTGCTGCAAGGCCCCGGCCACGTCGTCCGGATGGTGCTTGTTGTTCCAGAGTTTTGTCGTCACAAAGATCTCTTTGCGCGGCACGCCGCTCTTTTTGATGGCCTGGCCTACGGCCTTTTCAGTGCCGTAGCTATTGTTGCCATAGTCAGTACAATGCCAATGCATTTTGCATTGTTGCTGCTTACACCCGCGCAGTATCTATATGTCTGTAGCCCGCCTTGATTGCCTCAGCCACGGCATCTTCCTGGGCCTGTTCATCTTGCCAGGTGCCGAATCCGATGGAGGGAATCTCGGCCCCGGTGTTGAGCTTGCATTTGGTGGGCATGTTGACAATAATATTTCGGATTGCTGTCAGTGGCGGGCTTGTATTCTGCGATAAAACTGATTAAATATATATCTTGAGGTTCGGACGTCATATTGACGACGACAAATGTTCCTTATATCCAATGCCATTGAAGTAGCCCTGAGGGCGGATGACGTTTAAATGATGAGATGAACCAGGTGGAATCCGAAGGTCTGGGGTGAACCAAAAAAGCATCGTTATAATTATAACATTGCTTTTTATCTGTCACAAAAATTGTCGTCTGCATCAGTACAGTTTCCTAGGTCCTGTTTGACTCCCAGACAAACTGCCCGGCCAGTCTCTCCCGCCTGCCGTAACGCCCGTTTATATTCCGAGCTCCACCCACAATTTTTTCTTTCGCTTCCTCACAGGAGCTTTCTTTTCTTTTCTTTTTTTTTTCAACTTGCATCCGTGACAATGGTTCATCCTAAGTCATAGTAACTTCGCTCACTAACCACAGAGGTAAGCTTGCCCTCTCTTTTGAGATCATCCCCTCGACCTTGGAGGATAAAAATCCCTGGTGTCACTGTCCGAACGCCCATGAAGGAATTTTTTTGAAAAACCTCTACAAATCCACTACTCTGCTGTTTTTATCTTCCGATATTCGCTCTCAATGGCTTGGAACTTCGCTGACTCGAGTTTATCCAGGAATCTCGAAGAATCGAAGCTGGCTGTTCGGCCTGATGACTGCTTCTATCCCAAGTAAAAGGTATGCCAGAATTTTGTTCTCGTTCTTCTCACATCCACCCCCCTTTGTATGATGACTCCAAAGACATGTAAAGGCATTCCTCAAACTTAAATCACCATGTGGAATCTGTCATTCTATCAAGTTTCAGCCTTGTCTGACAAAACTCTCATTTTCTCACTGCTTCCGCTGGCCACTCTGTCATGAATCATTACTGACAAACTGCTGGTTTAGGTAAATCTTGAAATCACTGCTCCTTTCCTGCCCTCTTGCCTTGCATGAAGATATTTTGAACGAACGGGCGGACAGATTGTGTCTCCCATCCTACACCCAAAACATACAGAGCGTACAAACTCTGTGGGTGCATGGACGGGAGATCACTTGTTGAGAACTCGTCACCTGAGCCTTTGCCCCTTGTCGTGTCTTATCCGCCTCGCAGATGAAAGTGTGGTCGTGTAGCTGACAGGGAACTGTTAGGTAATTCTTGCTCTCGTCGTCTTGTCCCTCAGCCCAACAACCATGGTCCAATCTATTATGATGAATGTGTTATTCACACTGTTTGACCTGGGTACTTTGTATCTGGGAATGAACATTTACACAAAAATCTGATTTAATGAGGTGAGTGAACCATTTTGTCTCTACCCCAAAAGACCATGCTAATGAGACTCAATAGCCTGACTTAGTTGCCATGTTTTGATTTCATGACTTGAATACGCATCGTGCTCGAATGCCATTGCTAACTCGACGTGATACAAACCATAGGACCCGGATTTCCCTTGTAGATACGATCAGCTCCCGATATTGTGAGTCTCCCAATCTGTTTCTACCCCCTCTACCCCCTTGCCTGATGAACCCATATATTCGCTGTGTTCTTTCTGAACTACATCTTGAAGATAAAAAATATATTCACCTTGGAGAACTGATCCTATTGTTACCCTTGCCATATCACATCACCAACGTCGTTTGATGTTCTGATGCTAATACATATAGCAGGTCCCGCGGGTTATTTTAGCATCAATGAAACTCTACTCATGTTTTGATTTCTGTCCTCCCACTAGCTATCCATAGATCTGTCGTAGTCTCCAGCCCGCTACTCCACAAAATGTCCATGCCTCTTGTGCCACCCCTCCAGACTATCCCCCGAGTCATTGTAGAGTTCATGTACACTCTTCTTCCCCTCGGGCCACCGCACCCACGCCGGCTTCGACCCGCCCATGACACACACCATCTCCTCCGGGACGGGCAGTTCGGTATCAATGGCCGAGGCAAACGGGTGGATCAATTCGGGCCAGTGGTGATCCCACAGCCACAGCATGGTACTGCAGTCGGAGCAGAAGCTTCGCTCGGAGGAGCAGCGCTGCTCGTTTGGTGTGCCGCGATCTTTGATGCCGTTGTATTTCCTGGATCTATTTAGTTCTTGTGTCTCGGCGGAAGGGACGGAAGGGATAGAAGGCGCCGTATGTACTTGATGAGTTCTTTGCCCGTGATAATCTTCAGGCTGTCGGCGAGTCCGCCTAGGTTCACGCTGCCGCTGTATCCGCCGACTTTGCGGCAGATGCTGCACGCGCAGAGCTGGTAGGGCACTGGGGTTTGGGACTGGAGGGTGAATGTCACGCCGCCGCATTGGCAGCTGCCGTCGAGTTTCCTGGTCGGTTTGGTTAGAGTGGGTGATGGAATGGGTAGGCAGGGTTTACATTGGCATAGCTTAAGATTGGCTTGGAAAGATGGAGGTAGAAAAGAAAGTAGGAGATGTGAAGATGGACGGCCGAAGGAGTCGGACGTTATGGACTACATATATACACTCGACTGGACACACTACTCTAATAATAAAGCAAACACGCCACATCGTTACTTTCGGGTGATTTCCTAAGACTTCGACATCCTATGAACAGGCCGAAATGCCCGTCCCCTCAAGCACCAATACATCATCGCTCGACTGGTGAATCTTGGTTGGCTGACGGCGTGTTTGTCTCGTTTGCTCTGTTTGCCTGCCGGCCTCTCTTCTTTCCGACCCTCTGCGGCTCTCTTCTGCGTGTGCTGCTGGACGGACCTCCAAGCAACCGATTCCATTCGAGATGAGCTTCGGTGCTCCCGGAGGCGGGGCGACCAATATCAAGCCCACTCCGTGAGTCTTTTCGGTCGCATAATCTACGAGTCATACTAATTCTCATCCGGAACAGGCCCGAGCGCGGTAGCTTTCCTCTTGACCACGAAGGTAAGGGAGTCCTCTCAGGCCGAAGGCGGCCCCTCTGAACGAAAGACAATCAGCGCTAAGAGTGTGTCCCAATTGACAGGAGAATGCAAGCACATCATCGCGGGCTACCTGAAATGCATCAAGTCCAACAAAGGCACCAATGATGAGGCGTGTCGCAAATTGGCGAAGGATTACCTTGCCTGCCGCATGGACAAGTAGGTGGACGTTCCCTTTTGGTGCCGAATGGCAGTTCACTGACCTGGATCGCGACCGGCAGGAACTTGATGGCCCCGGACGATTTCAAGAACCTCGGTCTGGTGTTTGACAAGAACGGGACTGAGTCGTCCGGGAAAAAGGACTGAGATTTGTACGATAGTAAACAACAAGCTCTCGGCATTCTACATAACTGTATATTATATTTCAAACCTAAGATCCATCGAATTGAAGGTATTCAGTGTACTCGAGGCCCCTTAACTAAATAAAGGGTTAGTGACTCTATGCGGGGAATCTCTCCGCCCGACTCAGCCTTTCCACTTCCACCTCTTTATCTAAACCAGATAGTATGCCCTCATGTCGTCCATCGCCCGGCCACCAGACCCGTGCTTGGTGGCCATCATCCTGATTGTGCGCTCGCGCACTGGACCCCGCCTGGTCTTTCACTACCCCCCAACCCGCTGAGCGAGAATCGCTTGAAAACCATCACCAAGGGCGGCCGGCGCATCTCCCGCGCGCGCCACAGACAGGGAGCCAAGAGCACCGACTCCAGCTCGAGCGACGAGAGTAGCATCAGCTCCGACGAGGATGAGGAGGAGAGAGAGAGCCATTTGGGTGGGAGCTCCGTGCTGGGCGGACGGCGGACGAGCAACTTCGGTCTGGACGACCACGCGTCCGTCACGGTGCCGCCCGCAAGCGTGGAACCGCACCGCCCCGGATCTCTAGGATCTGGTCGGGGCTCTTCGATGCGGAAACGCGCAGGTGCAAGCTCCGACCAGGAAGAGGATCCGGGGGCGGCATCAGATCGGCCAGATGATGGACCTGGAGCCTCGTCGCGGCCCTGGGAGTCCCTTTTGGGGCTTCCGGGGAATGTGTGGGAGAAGCTTCTCAGCCCGTCGCGGTCCTGGCATAAGCGGCGATTCGAGGTCGGAATCAATGACCTGGCCTTGATGGGATGGCCGGTCTTCGTTCGCGAGGATGGTACCTGGCGGAAACAAAAACGGAAGAAGAAAAAGAAGTCCCCCGCCGCTGAATGGGATGGAGGCGAGCTGGGTCATAATGAGGATGCCGAGGGAGCCCCTGGCGCAGAGAAGGGCATTGCATCCCCTGCGTTGGGAGCCACTGCTGCCCCCGGCGCGGACTTGCCCGCTGCATCCTCAGAGGCCAAGCGCACCCCGTCTGCGAGCAAGATCGGGAAGCCGCCAGAGGGCGCGGTCGACCCAGAGGACAAGGACTCCATGACAATGTTCAATGTGGTGTTTGTCATGGATCCTCCGCTACTGGAGTACTCCATGCGCGTCAAGGAAATCTACGAAAACATCATCAAGAAGTTTACCAAAGCTTTAAAATGGGAGCAGGCTCGCACTGGTTATGTATGGAAGGAATCTCAGCACATCTTACAAGTGAGACGAAAAGCCCGGGAAACAAGTAAGCCTCTGCCTTGGAGTTGGTATTACATGAGCTGACGGTCTTGTTAGAAACATCCGTCAACAGTCTCTATTCTGATCTCATCGCTCAGTCTTCGCTGGCGAGGGCTATTTACACCATATATAGCAGTATCTCAGCGTCAAAGATTGCGTCTGTCTCGCTGAGCCCCGATGTCTCCATCTCGCTGCAAATCCCGCCTCTGACCTCCACGTCATATCTCGCTGGCCCGACAGATCAAGCATATCCGGGGCTATGGCTGACCACCGCAGACAATGTGACACCCATTGATGACCCGGGTGCGGCGGATGGGAACAATGCACCACATCAGGTCCTGGCCAAACACTTTGCTCTACTCCTCTTGGACAGCGAAGCGGCCATCATCAAGGATGTCGAGACTTCCGGCGGTGCAATGGCTCCTGCACTGGCCCACTACATCCGTTGCTCCAAGCCCACCAAGTCATTTGCCCAAATCTCCGCGTCCTCGGGGATTTCGCTCACCACCATTCAGATGCTTGCCAGTCATCTTGTCTACTGGCGCCGTGCTCGTGCCATCCCTCCTCTCCATCAGCGAGACACATACATCGTATCCCCGAATTGCGACCTGAGCAAACTCGAGGTCGCCACTATCGCCTACCAAGCGGCCTTTCCGACACTTCCCACCCTACCAAAGATGCTGGCCATGCTCAGCGGAACCCCTCGGCCCTACAGTACCCTCATCCCCAGTAAAGACCACAAAGAACCCTACTTTGCCATTCTCGCGTGGCTCCTCCGCGGCGGATGGGTGACGCAGCTGCGAACGTTTGCCTGGATCAAGGTCTCCCCCGAGATCAAACGAGCCGTCGAGAGTGCCCTCCGCAAAGAAGAAGTGGACCGATACCTCGCCAAAGGCAGCGCAAACTCGCTCTCCACAACGGACGGCCAGAATGACTCTGACGATGATGATGACGCCAACTCCTCCTCCTCTTCCTCTCTCGCAAGCCACGGCAGCGGAGACAACACGCCCATGCCCGGCCGATACGATGCGCACGCCCAGCTCCGAACGTCCCACAAACTCTTAGATCGATCAACCGCGCTCCGCCTGTCCTCCCTGATCCTATCTCCGCACCGCGCATCCCCGCTCGAGTCGCGCTGGCTCGACGAAATCGTGTCTAGATTCCCCGACCGGCCCGGCGGCCCCGGGGAAGGGCTCCTGAGCATTAGCCCAGAACTCGCGCCCAAGGACCTTCAGACTTTACTGAAGAAGTACTGGCCCATCTTTCTCAAGTACTTGAATGGGTATGATGCTCTGGAGAAGATCTCTGTACGCGAGAATCTGAAGCGCAAACTTGTGTGGCAGATCCTCTTGCGCTTGGGCCTGAGTGGCATGTCCGGGCCTGGTGAGCTGGACGCCCGGGAGCAGGTGCTTATCAGTGTTCGACACTGGTAGACTGGGATGTTTTAGGAAATTGATATGGGATGTCATAATATAGAGCCGGGGTATTTTGGGTGTCTTATGGGTCTCCTGTGTATAGCCACGGCGGTGTTGATTCACATTGATTCAATCTATTCTTCACATCTTATACATCTAGTATGACACCTGAGGCATTCATCGGACATCCTCCACAATCGCCAAGGTAATAAAGCCGTGGTAATGGAATTACATCCACTACTCCCCCCCCCTTCCGATGGATTCCGTTGCCCTCAGCCCTAACCAGCACTACCGAACCTTGGCTGTGTGTAGGCGCATGTATTCTCCTCGAACCTCCCCAAAATTCTAATTGTGGGCTGGGAATAGAATGCAACAAAAACGTGCGGATATATTCAAACCCCATGCTGAATCAATGCATGTGCAGGACTCAGAAACCCATCACATTCTTGTCGCACAAATATTATGATGGTAGGCACCCTGTGTTCTTCGGCGGTATTACCGATACATGGTTGCCAGGTACCCGAGGATTTCATCACCGGGTGGTTTCTCCGAAACCGCAACGGTCCCCGCGGGTGGGTTGTGAAGATTCGATGCAGCAGTGTTTCAGGCCAATACTAATCGGGATAGTTGGCAGGTGTTGCGAGGTGCCGTCTCTGAAGAATAATCAACGGTATGGATATCAGCTATCGACTTTACCTGACTGAATGTGCAGAGGATGTCGGTCAAGCATGTTCTATGAGTCCGGGCTGGTTAGGTAAGAAAATCGGACACGCACAAATACCAATTTCCGCCGTCTTCTAGCCAGTGAGCATTAGTGGTATGTTAGTTCCTCTACGGGCAAGTCACAAGTACAATACACCTGACAGCTGACAGCTCAACAGCCCTAAATGTCGAACTATTGGAGGCTCAATTGCACTGCAGCAGCGATTGGCCCTCCCGGGTCGTCCGACACGGATTGATGCCTGATGAGAGAGAGCTTCAACCGAGGCTGGCGGGAAAGCACAGGGTCATCTTTGCGAGACAAGTAACGGCCCTATGTAACCGTGCGATATTTCCAGAATATGCCCCAAACGGGGTCTAGCCTGGCTGGAAATTGGCGCAAGGATGACTGGGTGTGGCTCACACAGGGAATGCTAGAGAAGCACATCGTATTAGTAGTCGTGCAAACAATCCGAGTGTGTATTCCTGTTAACTATGATTACTGGGGCTTGTATTAATGACTATTCCATGGCCCAGCGGGGGACTGTATAGGCCCGATTGTAGGCTCGTCCCACACGGGCGTCCGGCACTGATTCCACACATCCCGTTAGTTACTCCATAGCAAAAAAAAAACCTCGCTTCATTTCTTTTCCTCTTTTTCGATTGTGCAAACCAAAAGTGCCCAATTCTCAGGCCCTCAGCCAGTCCTTGTTTGTGGATTCCCAGCTGGCATTTCTTCAAGGGTGAGTGAGTGGATGACCACAATAATATTAATTTTGTCCTGAACTTTCTTTCTCTCTCTTCCCTCTTTCTCGGTCTCTCTCTCTCTCCCTCTCTTCACCAACCAACTTCCCTCTCTTTCCCTTCCTCTTTTTCCTTCCCTCCACCTCTCGGCCTTCCCACCATCCCCACTGCGCTGTGGGTTGTTTCTTGCTCTCATTCCTCCCTGCCACCCGATCCTGTGCTAAACTCCCGCTCTCCCAGCCCGCGTTCCGCTTTCCCACTCGCCGTGAGCGTATTTTGGCCCAGTTGATCGCGCTTGATCTTCCGTCATTCCTCCCGCCCCTCCCAGGTCAGCGCTGCCTCGGTGTCCTTGCCTGACACTTCTCGACCGCCCTTGACCGTGGAGAGTGCCTTGCGACCCGACCCTCACGTCCGAAACAACTTTTGACCCTCGCTCCGGCACCACGTGAAAGTCGCGCTCATCTACCCAGGCGATTTCCGACAAGGGATCAAGTTTCGCGTCAGGAGCACGGCTGCAACTCAATAACACCGAGTGTTGCCTCGAACACTTGGCTGCTGCCCCTCCCACCCGTCCGACGATCAAGAGCCGGGCTGTTGTGATTGTCCTGAGCGAACGACCGCGGAATTACACAAGGGAAGAGTTCCTGTGCATCCGACTTGCAACAAGCGAGTCGATTGTACGAGCCCGTCACTCTTTCATCCCGAGGTTTCGTTCCCGACGTGGACAGGGCAGTGCCCTTCAACTTTAGTGGAAGCAAGAATTTATTCTGTGCTTGAAACCGCTTCAACCCTCCCATCGCTTCCTGACGCCACGTGAGGTCTGCTTCCAGAGTCTTCTAGACATCCGCTTGTCCTCCCTACGAACCCGACGGTTTTTAATCGATGCGACTCGCGTTTTAGCCGGTCTCTTTACACAAATACACCCGCGTCGAGTACAATCCTCTCGCAACGCCGTACGCCCTTCCGGGATTCTTTCCTCTTGTCCATCCTCATACACCGCCCCAGAGTGGGAGTGATTTGGAAAAACACAAAACGGGGAGTTGCAGCTTGGTGGGCTTGAAAGAAGGGGGAAGCCGATTCTTTCTTCTGCATTCCGCCAGTGTCGGAGCTATCTTGCCCCAAGTCTGCACACACTGAGATCTTCCAGGGTCATCAAAGGAGATAATTGTTCTTAGACAGAACTCTCTTTGACCTCTCACTTTTCCTTGTTTTCTTTTACTTCATCTCGATCGGAACCCGCAATGAGTTCTCAATCCGAGATGCCTACATTTTCGTACGCCCAAGCCGCCAAGGGCCTTGCTCCGGCACCGACCAAGGCGACAGTCGCGGAGTCGGACAAGGTCGACTCTAAATCCGAGGACCAGAGCAATACTCCTTTCACTACGGACGCTTCGTCCACGACTTCGGAACCTTCAGTACCACGAGATATCGAGAAGGAGACGACAGATGTCGCCAACGACTCTGAATTCACGACAGTCACCAGCAAGCTGTCTGCGGCCAAGGCTAAGGCAGCCAACTCCAGAACATCGTCTCCAAATGCGAGCAACTCTGCAAATGGAACACATCGGAAGAAGGACGATGCCTCGAATGTCACCAACGGCACTTCAGAGGCTGCGTCCGGCAAGCAGTCTCAATCAGATAAACAGGCAGAGAAGCCGGAGAATGGAGGAACAGAGGGCTCCAAAGACAAATCTGGGGATTCCGAGAGCAGCGCACCTCCAAAAGAACTCAAGGCTGCTCCCATTCCTACAGTGAACATTTGGCAGCAGAGGAAGGAGGCCCAAGATGCCAAGACCAAGGCCACGCCGCCCGTCCCTGCTGCAAAGGCTGGTTCCACGAAGTCTGCTACTGCAGAGGATAGCCAGCAAGATTTGGCCAAGCCCAACCAGAAGAAGAAAGCGGATGGTGCGTCGGATGGTGCCAAGGATCGGAAAAAGGCAGATGGCAAATCGCGCGACGATGGGTCTGCGATGCCTCCGGTAGCAGACGCTACATTATGGCCCACCCCACAGGTCGCGCTGGGCGAAGAGAAGAAGAAGGCCCAAGAAAAGACCGACAAGTCCGAGCAGACCAACAAAAGCCCCGTGATGCGGACACATGGCAAGGAGAAGTGGACTCCTGTCCCATACGTGCCTACTGCTGTTTTCAATACCCCTCTTCCCTCAGCTTCTGGCCGCAGAGGAGGAGGCCCCAAAGCTTCTCGAGGTGGACGAGAAGGCGGTCGTGGTGGATCTCATGCCGCTGGCGAGAAGGCCGCCGCTGGACAAGGCGCTGCAGGGTCCGCGCCGAAGCAGACTTCTGGCGGAGAGCGAGGGAGACTCGAGCCCTCCACTGGTCGCGCAACATCCCTTCCTGCACAATCGCGTCGATCCACGAGCACCGACGTTCTCCCGGCAGGAGGCAAGACCTCTCAGCCCGCGGATAAGAGTCGTGGAGCCCGCAGTGGAGAGGATTCAACCGCTGCAACCGGCAAGCAGGCAAATGGCGGCGAGAACGTGTCGCGCCCCCAGCGAGAAGGCAAGCCTTTCGCGCGAAACCAGGCAAGCGGCGACCGCAACGCGAGAGGCACCCACCTGGCTGTGGACTCTCAGGCTGCGCCTCGCGCCAATGAACGCCGCCTCGAGAACGGCTCCAAGTCGGCCGATTTCTACCGGGAATCTGGGTTAGACTACAACCGAGAACGTGGCGACCCACGCGCTGAGCGTGGGGGTCGTGGCTCCAACCGTGGCCGTGGCGGGTATCCAGCCTTTGGTGGTCAGAATGCTCAGTTCGCCAATGCGGCGCCCATGCCCAACAACTCCTTCGCTACACCCAAGGCCTTTGGCTTCAATGAGCGCCAGCGATCACAACAGGGTCTTCCCAATGGCGCACAGCAACAGGGTAACAGGATGCCTTTGCGATCACCGTCGCTGCCGACCACTCCAGGCATGTACGGCGTTTTCCCCTTCGATGTCAACTCCATGTACGGCTATCAACCCGCGAACCCTGGAGCAATGAATGCCATGCCCTACCAGCAGCAGTACATGGAGCCCTTCTCGCTCATGAATATGCTCTCGATGCAACTGGAGTACTACTTCTCCGTTGACAACATGTGCAAGGACATGTTCCTTCGCCGGCATATGGATGGCCAGGGCTTTGTGCCATTGGGTGTGATTGCCAGCTTCAAGCGGGTCAAGTCGCTGACCGAGGACTTTGAACTTCTTCGTGTCGTCTCCCGCCAGCTCCGAAATGTTGAGCACCAGGTCGGTGACGATGGTGTTGACCGGTTACGCCCGAGAGAGAGATGGGCCCAGTGGATTCTTCCTGTTGACCAGCGTGATCCCTCCGCCCAGCATGAAGGTGCGCCACCTGCGAAGCAAATCGGAAAGACCGATGAGAACGTCCCATTTAACCACCATGCCGACGGCGCTCCCAACGGCTATGGAGGACCGCGTCAATTCGTTCCTAATGGTACCGCCTCCCGAGGCCCCAAGACCTCCCTGTCTACCGCGGCCCCGGAGTTCATGCCATCTGGGCCACCCTCCGCCCACAATGAAATTGCCAATGTAGGAACCCCCTCGGATCCGTCTTGCTTTCAACAAGATTGCGACTCTGCCTTGTCAACCCCTCTTGATACCCTGGACGACTCATTTATTGACGCTTTTATTCCAGCGCGCGGACTAGAGTTGCACACAGACTGCCCTTCCTCGCCTTCCCTCGGACCGACGGTAGACTCGCCAGGGTATGCTCAACTTTATCTCCCGTCACTTAGGACTGTGGCTCACGGCTGACAACGTGTTATAGTTTTGATGCGCAAGACAGGCCTCGGCGACATTCTAGTCCCATCTCTACCTTGACTGACATACCCTCGAAAAACGAATCGCATCCGCCGTCCGAGAAGAGGCCGGACCACCAGTCTAAGAATGCTCGCAAATCTTCCGCTAAGGGGGTTCAGAAATTCCGGAAACCTCAGTCACGGAAGGCCGAGAAGAAAGCTTCTGGCGTGGGTCTTCCCTACCATTCCTGGGCACGGTATTTGGCACACAGTTTCGATTTGCAATTGTACAATGATTTTAGGCGTTTAGCCCTTGATGAACTTATCTCACGACACGCTGATTACGGGTTTAACGCTCTCTTGTCCTTCTACCAATCCTGTCTCCTAAGCCAGCAGTCAATCAACGAGCGAGTGGTCCAGGATATGGCTCACCTGGCCCGAAGTAATGGCACTGGCCGGATTGCGGAGCCTATGCTGTCGGCTGTGCTTGTGGCCATCAACAGTGACCGAATGACTCCAGGGAATCGCAGCCTGACTGGCTACTACTTCAATGTCCAGTTTGGCCACGGGGACTGGCAAAAGTGATTATGTTGAGCTCTTTTTCTCTTTCTCCTTTCCATTCGAACTTGTGTTTTTCTCTCTCTCTCTGTGCAACAGGGTTCTTCCGTTTTGTCTACCAATCATGAATCAGCATCCGTCTGCCTCAGAGTTCTTTTTGCATGCATCTTCGCCGAATCTTCTTCTTTTCCGTTCCTCTAGAGTGCTGAGGGGGTCATTTCATTGCAACCAGACGGGTCGGGTTACCCCGTCCATGTGCAGCCTCGGAGTTGTCATCTCCCATTTGATATCGATTTTCTTCTCTTTTTTCCCTGTCTCTTTTGAGTTCTTCTTTGTCATCCCCTCTTTGCTTCTCTGTCATGGGAGGTTTTTACAAAAACATTCCGGAGTATGGGCTTGATTCACTGGCAGTGTCTTTTTCTCCTCTTTCCCGTTTCATGCCTGCCTCTTCTTCGGTGGGCCGGGCCAATAAAATTGCTTTTCTCCCTGATCATAGAGCCACTTGCTTACTTTTGTCTTTTTCCTTGATGCTTCTTTTTTTTCTCTTCCTCCATAGCCGCGTTGATGATGATCCTGGTCTTTTTGTTCCTTGTGGGATCCTTAGCGAGACATCATCATCATCGGCATGGAAATGCCGGCTACTCCGAGCAAAGCAACTGGTCAGATTCAAGCCGAAAAAAGTCTTGTATGAGGTCACCCATGTTCTATGTCCATTGATCGTCGTGATGACGAAAAAAGAAATTCCATCTGTTATGCCATTGTTCTGGGCTTCTCTGTACTACATTGTGTGCTTCCACTCCTGTACCATCTGTATGCATTAGGATTACCTCGAATTTGTGGCAGAAAGTAATGTAGCATGCATCCATTTCTCTTCTTTGTATACTTCCCATTCGGCGAAGACCTCCGAGTGAATGCCTCAGGCAGCGACACCTCGGCGTAGTCAACCATCCGACGCTGGCCACTCCAAATGTCCAGACAGCTTTGCCGCCTCCCTTCTCCCGCGGTACTCGGCTGCTCTCTTTCTTTCTTGCCTGGCTCTCCTTGAATACCTTCTCTCATCTCTCTCCTCACCCCTACCAAGATGGAGAGTGCATCCCGACAGGCCCCGAGGCTATTACGGGCCACTCGTGGCTCCAGCCTGCCTCATCAGCACCGCCTGCCGCGATCCAGCACAGCCAGTGTAGCTGCCCTGAGCCGAACCCAACAAAGAGCTGTGTCGAGTTCTCCGCGGAGTCTCGCCCCCGAGTCGCTCTTCAGCAACTTCGCGGCCGCTGGAGCGACTGGCGGCCAGCAACCGGGCGGGCCTACCACGTACTTCACAAACCGAACCTCGCTCCCCGCCAACACCGTCATCCGATTTGTTCCTCAGCAGACGGCATGGATTGTCGAACGCATGGGGAAATTCCATCGGATTTTGGAGCCTGGTCTGGCGATCCTGGTTCCGTTCCTTGACCGCATCGCCTATGTGAAGAGCTTGAAGGAGTCGGCCATTGAGATTCCCAGCCAAAATGCAATTACGGCGGACAATGTGACGCTCGAGCTGGATGGAGTGCTGTATACGCGTGTCTTTGATGCGTACAAAGCGAGGTAAGCGTCTCCACGGGACGTTTTCGAGCTCAATGCTAACCCGTCCGTGATGGATTGTAGCTACGGTGTCGAAGATGCGGAATACGCCATCTCCCAGTTGGCGCAGACGACCATGCGATCCGAGATCGGCCAGTTGACTCTCGACCACGTCTTGAAGGAGCGCGCAACCCTCAACACCAACATCACACAGGCGATCAACGAGGCTGCCCAGGACTGGGGTGTTGTCTGCCTGCGCTACGAGATCCGGGATATCCACGCCCCGGACGGTGTGGTCGCGGCCATGCATCGTCAAGTGACCGCTGAGCGATCGAAGCGCGCCGAGATTCTGGACTCTGAGGGTCAGCGCCAGAGCGCAATCAACATTGCCGAGGGTCGCAAGCAGTCAGTGATCCTGGCCTCGGAGGCCCTGCGTGCGGAGCAGATCAACCGGGCCGCTGGTGAGGCTGAGGCGATTCAGCTCAAGGCCAACGCCACCGCTCGAGGGATTGAGGCCGTGGCTCGGTCGATCGAGGCGGGCAAGGAGAATGCCCACAGCGCCGTGAGCTTGAGTGTCGCCGAGAAGTACGTCGATGCTTTCTCCAACCTGGCACGCGAGGGCACCGCCGTGGTCGTGCCGGGCAATGTCGGCGACTTGGGCGGCATGATTGCCAACGCCATGGCTGTCTACGGCAAGGTCAGCGAGAGTCAGGCCAAGAACATGGCCGCGAAGGCCCTCGGCGTCCAGGAACCTGAACAACAGGCCCATACGAGCAGGAAATCGAACGAGTTGGCGGATCCCGACAGCGAAGCCACGCTGGATGAGGAGCCTCGGCCACAGGACGGTGTCGCGCAAAGTGTGCTGGACGGTTTTGAGGCGGCCAGCCAACGCAAGCAGTGATTGTCTGCCAAAGGAGACCACAAAAAAAGAGTAAATTCCCCATGAATCCGATGAACCCCCCTTGTCTCGACTGTATTGTACTGCTCTCTCCCTCTGGCGTACGGAGATCTTCCACTGTACACTTTTTTCTTTCCTTCGTTCTTTTTCATTCTCTTCATCTCCTGTCTGTACTGCTACCAGCATCTTCCGGAGTCCTAAAGCCGGCTTCTCTATACATTGCCATATACAATAGTTAATGGTGTAGTTCACTAAGAAGTGTAAACGCGGGAGCTCGGACCGCCAATGGAGATCGCGACTTTTCTGGAACGGGCGCGCATTCGTTCACCCTTCCTCATCACCACCAACGCCTGCGCTGCGGTCGCGACTCTCGTTCAACCGTTGTGTCTCTCGACGGCCCTGGAATTCTTCTCTACGCCTTCCTCGCTCCTCAATCAGTGTGGTCGGCGCTCCCTCCCTCTCTCCCTCCGATGCCCGACAAACAGATACGCAATCCTAGCTCTCATCACACCCACACACAGTCCCGGCTCTCTCGACCCTTGCTCCCCTTGGAAAACTGAGAGCGCTACACTACATCGATCGTAGACCGAAACCAGAGGACCTCGCCGATCACGGGTACGACTCAGCGAGCAGCGGCGACTGCCCTCGCGCTGCGCGATGCATATCATCAAGCCAGTTTGGCTTACACACGGAGGTATGGGGCTCGATTGCGCTCGCTTCCCTTGCTAGGGTAGCGAGTGGGACACTGTTTGACTAGCCACCTACATCGGCGATGGTCACAAACAGAAGGTCTTGGTTCTAGAATGGCTTTGGGCTAACGGCGCTTTGTCTCTCTGGCTTAGGTGAACGCAAGGATTTCGAGGTTTACAGTTGCGATGTTTCGCCGGATGGGAAGAGACTCGTTACAGCAGCAGGAGGTGAGCAAAAATCCTTATCTCTGCGTTGGCATGGTGCATATCGAGTCACGTCGAATGCGAAAGCTGACATTGTTTGTATTTGTTGCGGCCTAGATGGCTACGTACGCATCTGGTCCACCGAGGCCATCTACAATACGGGCAATGCGGACTTCGCCAGCAAGCCGAAGCAACTTGCGTCTATGAGCAACCATTCCGGCACCATTCACACAGTGCGCTTCTCGCCAAATGGGAAATATCTCGCATCCGGAGCGGATGATAAGATTGTCTGCGTCTACACGCTAGACTCTAATCCACCAACACACTCGACATTCGGTAGGTTTTAAGTACAGTGCGGATGAACCAAGCCCTAGCGCTGATAGTATATGCAGGCTCGGATGAAGCACCCCCGGTCGAGAACTGGCGCACGATTAGACGATTGATTGGCCACGACAACGACGTTCAGGATCTGGGATGGTCGTACGATTCCTCAATTCTGGTGTCCGTTGGACTCGACTCAAAGGTGGTGGTGTGGTCCGGACATACATTTGAGAAGCTCAAGACGATATCAGTCCACCAGAGCCATGTCAAGGGTATCACCTTTGATCCTGCAAATAAGTACTTTGCTACGGCAAGCGACGACCGTACAGTCCGCATCTTTCGATTCACCTCGCCTGCGCCAAACTCGACCGCGCACGACCAGATGAATAACTTTGTTCTGGAGCATACCATTTCCACTCCGTTCTCCAATTCTCCTCTCACTGCCTACTTTCGTCGATGCTCGTGGTCGCCTGATGGGATGCACATCGCTGCCGCGAACGCAGTCAACGGGCCTGTCAGCTCGGTCGCCATTATCAATCGCGGTTCTTGGGATGGCGATATCAACCTCATCGGCCATGAAGCGCCGGTTGAAGTCTGCTCGTTCTCTCCGCGGCTTTATCTCACTGAGCCACCCAAGAAAAGCCAGGTCGACAGTCAAGGTCATTCGACACAGCCTCATATCACAGTCATTGCATGTGCCGGTGGGGACAAGTCGTTGAGTATTTGGATTACAAGCAATGCTCGACCGATGGTGGTGGCACAGGAACTGGCCGCCAAGGCCCTCTCTGATCTGGCCTGGAGCCCCGATGGGTCATGTCTCTTCGCCACTGCCCTGGACGGCACGATTTTGGCCGTCCGCTTCGAAGACGGCGAGTTGGGATATGCCACAGAGTTTGAAGCAAATGAAAGGTCCCTGTCCAAGTTTGGAACAAACCGGAAAGGAGCTGGTATCACGGAGACGACAGATGGGTTACTCCTAGAAGAGAAGAGCAAGGCTGGCGAGATCAAGGACGTGGAGGGACGAATGGGAGCGCTGATGGGTGACGGCCCTGCCGCGGCAAAACCCAAGGTCAATGGAGGAGTGTCGAACAGCGGGACTCCTGCCCGAGGACCCTCGCCTGCACCCGACACTGCGAAGACGCAGCCGAACGGTGCAGCATCGACTCCTGGCACTGAATCTGAGAAACAGAAACCCGATCCCCACCAGGCCAAGCTGGAGAAGCTCAAACAGCGTCCAACATTCACCAAAGAAGGCAAGAAGCGCATTGCACCCCTGTTGGTCTCAAGCTCGGGGGCTGGTGAGTCATCACTGCCTCAGGCTCGTCTGATGGCTTCGGTTGCCAGTCAAGTCAAAGCCGACGCTCCGACATCTCTCGTCGATCTTTCAAAGCCCTTTGATGGACTTCCCAAAGGTGGTTTGACTGCATTGCTTCTTGGAAACAAGCGCAAGCTGGCTCAAATTGAAGGCGAAGAAGGAGAAAATCAAGTAGAGAAGCGTATCGCCCTGACCAGCCAGAACGGTGCCGCTCCGATCCTTGCTAACACTCCCGATGGCCTCCTTCCCGCCCAGCCACAACCTGGTGCGACAGGGCAGCAGCCAACTCCGGAATTTATACGCCCTGCCGTGACGAATCCATGCATGTCCGTTAGCCAGCTTCGGCTCGCGGTCCCCAAGATTCGCAGTTTTATCCTGCGTGCACTTGACGCTAACGGCAAGCCGACTGAACCGCCCGGTCCTGCTGGGGACACGAGTAGCAAGACAAGAGTTGACGTGGTGTTCGAAGCTCGGAATCCCTCGCCGGCAAGTTTGACTGGCCGAGCAGTGGACCGAGAGCCGGTGCGTCTTACCCTTTCTCGTGGGGAGCAGCCACTGTGGCAGGACTTCCTGCCCAGAACCGTGCTTCTTGTGACCGGGAATCAAACATTTTGGGCAGCTGCATGCGAGGACGGATCAATTTATCTCTGGACCCCCGCTGGCCGTCGCCTGGTGAGTGCCTTGGTCTTGGAAGCACAGCCTGTAATGCTGGAAAGCAACGGTCCATGGATTCTGTGCATCTCCGCAGTGGGAATGTGCTATGTCTGGAACGTGAAACACCTATCATCCCCACACCCGCCAGTGTCCCTGCAGCCCGTCTTGGACGCTGCCATACACACACTCGGCGCGCACCCCACCGCCGCGCCGGCTGTGACCGATGCGCGCATCAACTCCGAGGGCCGCATTGTCGTATCTTTGTCGAACGGCGAGGGCTACTCCTACTCCCCATCCATGTACTCGTGGCAGCGAATCTCCGAAACCTGGTGGGCCGCCGGCAGCCAGTACTGGAACACAACAGACACGCCGGTCAGCAACCTGAAGTCCACGGACGCGTCGCAAGATACCAAAGACGCCAAGGCGGCCGTCTCGGCTGGCATCATCCCCTTTCTGGAGCGCAATACCACGAATGAGACCCTGCTCCGCGGCCGGGCATACTTCCTCCAGCGACTCATTAAGGTCTTGCTCTCGCGCGAAGGCTACGAGACCTTCGAATCGAGTGTCTCCATTGCACATCTTGAGAACCGCCTCGCTGCCGCCCTCTCTCTGGGCGCTAAGGAGGAGTTCCGGCTATACCTATCGATGTATGCGAAACGTATTGGGGCCGAGGGGCTGAAGATGAAGGTAGAGGAGCTCTTAAAGGGTCTGATGGGTGGTCTGTTCGAGGACGAAGATCCCAACGCCGTTGTCTCCAAGCTGCAAGCCAATGAGCGCGAGGGCCGCAGTTGGCGCGAGGGATCGGAGGACTTGTGCGGCTGGCCGAGAGAGGTGTTGTTGAAGGAAGTCATCCTTGCACTTGGTATGCTTCTTGCTTGTCTTCTTTATCGTCTGCAGTGTTGTTTCATTTCTTACTGACTGACTTTACTTTTCTAGGAAAACACCGCGACCTCCAGCGTGTGACTGTCCCTTACGCTAAGCTACTAGACCTAGTCGACAGCACGGAGCAGGGCGATGCCATGGACCTTTAATTCGTTGTTTCCCTTTTTGTCTTGGTTGGCGTTCTCATATCCGGGCTTTTTGGGGGATAATCCGGATACTCGATACATACTCTCTGCATTGCTTATGTTTGCGCTCTTATTGGAAATGGGAAGGAGACGAGACATGATCCTCTCTTTTTTTCGGTTGGTTGTATTTGTAGTCATATATCGGCCGTCGTACAGTTGTAGCACAAGCAGCTAAGTGATGGTACCTTGTTTAGCAGAGTTATGTATATCACGAACAACGCTGTTGGCAGTTGTGGAGCTTCTCTTTGTTTAGGTGTGTAGCTTCTTAGAACTTGAAGGCTCGATCCTTCTTTTTTTCCCTGCTGTAAATAAAGTACAACCTGTGTTCCTCTCCACGGCACTCATACAGCAAGTTGGCTTTGGATGATTTTCTTAGTTCCAAGTTGCACTTGGTCGGTCATCCATCTCTTTACTTCCAACACACGTTTTGCCAAGATGGCGTAATAGTCGTTAAACATCATTTCTCGGTATCTGCCTAGTGATAGGAGGTCATGACAGTTCGGCAAGCTACAGGGCGCGGCTCGCGCTTTCGACCTCAACTATTTCCTATAGGCGAATCCGCCCGATATTCTTGCCGCGCCAGTTCGGAATAGCTCCGCACTACTCTTCCCCACCCCCGCACAAGAGGACAGAACAATCGGCGCAAATCTCGGTCGGACTATGCAATACTAAGACACAATTTCGATAAGTATGCTACGGAACGGAAAATCCCAGGCTTGCCGCCGACTACAAAAGCTCCCACGGAACTATTTCTCTGCCTCGCAGCCATCTCTCTGCCGCAAACATGTCTAAAGAGCACTGCCTTTATTACACCACCCCCTGTGAAACCTTCCAAGGCAGCCTGCCACTTGGTAACGGCCGTCTCGCAGCCAACGTCGTCTCCTCGCCCTCACGCGAGACCTTCGTCCTCAACGAGGTCACCTTCTGGTCTGGCGCACCGCACACAGCAGGATCTGGCCTGGTTCAAGTCACTGACCCAAAGGCCGAGCTGCGGCAGACACAGCGCTGTTTGCTAGCAGGCGACTACGCGGAAGGGAAGAGAAGGTCGGAGAAATATCTCGAGAGCAAGAAGCAGAATTTTGGTACCAACTTGGTCGTGGGGAGCCTCAACGTTGTTGTGAATGGCGGTGTTGAGAGCCAAGGCGTCAGCGGCTTTGAGAGAGAGCTGCGATTCAACGAGGCTCTGGCAGAAGTGCGGTATGATCAGAATGGATATCAGGTTCGGAGGAGAAGCTTTATGAGCTACCCTCATCAGGTGCTTGTGGTGAGCTTCGAGAGCGACCATCCAGAGGGCCTCAATCTCGAGGTCAGTTTTCAGGGCGACAATAAAGCGTCTGAGACCAGGAGTAAGGATGGAATGCTCGAATTCGATACACAGGCGCTCGAGGCCGTGCACAGTGACGGAACTTGTGGCGTCATGGGTCACGGTGTTATTGGTGTCCACTCCGACAGCCAAGAGGTCGAGAGCAAAGAGGGCAAGATTGTTGTACGGGGGAAGAAGAGTGCCACGGTTTTGCTCGCCTTCGCAACGAACTACCAACAGCACGGGGATGGCTGGAGAGAGCAGGCGTCTCGGCAGGTCGAGGAGGCCACGAAACTGTCTGTTGCGGATCTCCTCGCGGCGCACTTAGCGGACTATCAGCCCCTCTATAATCGGATGAGCATCACTCTCGGACCCAACTCAGGCTCAGAGACTGCAAGCCTGCCCACCGACCAACGCCGGCAGAAATTCGAGCCCTCCAACTACGCAGATTTAGGCATGTTCGCTCTCTACTTCCATTACGCACGCTACCTCACCATCGCCGGTACACGCGCCACCTCTCCCTTACCAATGAACCTGCAGGGTCTGTGGAACGACGGACTAGCCTGCCAGATGGGGTGGAGCTGCGACTACCATATTGATGTAAATACCCAGATGAATTTCTTTCCCGTGCTCCCCACCGCGCTGCCCGATCTCATGCAGCCCCTCGTCTCCTATCTCAACCAACTCGTCGCTGCCGGCAAAGATGCTGCCCGCGTCTGCTATGGCTGCGATGGCTGGGTCGCCCATGTCTTCTCTAACGTGTGGGGATTCGCTGATCCGGGCTGGGAGATATCGTACGGCCTCAATGTGACGGGAGGGTTGTGGATGGCGACCCACCTCATAGAGATGTACGAGTATAACCTGGACGAGACATTCTTGGCAGAAACTGTCTACCCGATCTTGAAAGGCGCGGCAGAGTTCTTCCTGGAGTACATGATTGAAGACCCGGAAACGGGTTGGCTGCTCACGGGTCCGGCTGTCAGCCCCGAGAACAGCTTCTTCGTGGTCGGCAAAGATGGTACCAAGGAAGAGCATTCAGTCTGCCTCTCACCCACCATGGATGTCGAGCTTATTCGTGACCTCTTCGACTTCTGTCTGTATGCCACGAAACGCCTCAACGCAGACTCCGCTTTCGCTCAGCGTGTCCAGGCCGCGCAGGCAAAGCTGCCACCGTTCCAGGTTGGCAAACACGGACAGCTACAGGAGTGGCTGCACGACTTCGAGGAGGCGCAGCCATATCATCGCCATCTCTCGCACTCCATGGGGCTCTGTCGGTCGGCGCAGATATCTCAGCGGCACACCCCGCGTCTGGCCGAGGCTGTTGGCGTGACACTTGAACGGAGGCAGGGTCGCGACGATCTCGAGGACATCGAGTTCACAGCGGCCCTATTTGGCCTGAACTACGCGCGCCTGGGCGAGGCGGAGAAGGCAAATGCGCAGATCGGCCACCTGGTTGGTGAGCTAAGCTTTGACAACTTGCTCAGCTACAGCAAGCCCGGCGTGGCGGGCGCGGAGAATGAAATCTTCGTCGTGGATGGGAATTTTGGGGGTGCCGCGGTTATTGCAGAGATGCTGGTGCGTTCGCTGATGCCAGACTTAGGGGGTCCAGTGGAGGTCGACTTGCTTCCCGCACTGCCTAAATCGTGGTCGGAAGGGACAGTGAAAGGCATGCGGCTTAGAGGTAATCTGGAGCTTGACATGGAGTGGTCTGATGGCAAGCTGGACAGGGCGAGTTTCAAGGCATTCTCGTCCGGGGCTATGACGGTGTACTACCGTGGGCTGTCCCTCAAGATACCATATAAAGCGCACGCTGTTATCGAGTTAGGGCCTAATCTGCAGGTGAATTAGATAGACGTCTGGTCCATGTTCTCCTTGGACGGGAGATTCAATATCTGTAGCTAATAAAAGCATGATTGTTATTATAATCTTTATTATATTCTTTCCCTCGAGCCTTCAGCGTCAACATTCCTTCCACGGGCCTCTGGGATTCATTTTTTATACTTCTTTACTTCTCTAAGAGATATATAATTCATCATTGAAGAAGACCTTGCGTCACTAGGAAGCTTTCACGAAGTTATGTCCCTAAAATGCTTTCTCTTCCTTGTTAATTTTCGCCTAATGGATCCCATTTGTAAACCAGGCGTAGTTTTAAAGGACTTCGGCTTCTGCTACTGATACTACCCTCAGCTGGGAAAAACATTGTTAGGGCAAACAATTCACGTGAGCGGTGAACCACAGCGGGCAGAAAACTCAGCTCCAAACTGGCGACCCTTTCGCATACATCATCGATTTCCACTCTTCACTCTTTTATCTTCTCCTCAATTGACCTTGCCCACCTACCTGTGTGGGCGCCATCATCACGTCTCTCTTACCTACCCCCTTCTTCTTCCTTCGCATCGTCGACCGATCTGCAGCTGGTCCTGCTTTTGCCGCGCGCCACCCCTGCCGCCTCCGCCTTCCCTCTTCCCCCCACCTCCCACTTCTCTCCTGTCGCTTCTACTCCAGCAAAAAGAAGAAAATGCCTCCCAAGAAGGCCCAAGTCCAAGAAAAGGTCCTCCTGGGCCGTCCTGGAAACAGCTTGAAGAGTGGTATCGTATGTGAGCATGGATCCCCACTATTTTTTTTCCTTTCTTTTTTCACAGCACAGTCCACTTTTTAATTCCACACAAACTATTTAAAGCTCCCCCTGTCCCCCTTTCCATCCTTCCCTCTTCCTTCGTTCTTTACTCCTACAATGGTCTGACCATGGCTCCAGGTTGGTCTTGCCAACGTCGGCAAATCGACACTCTTTCAAGCCATCACCAAGTCCTCCCTGGGTAATCCGGCCAACTTCCCTTATGCCACCATCGACCCAGAAGAGGCCCGTGTCATCGTTCCCGATGAGCGGTTCGACTGGCTCTGCCAGCAATACAAGCCCAAGTCCCAGGTTCCTGCCAACTTGACCGTGTACGATATCGCCGGTCTGACCCGTGGCGCCTCCACGGGTGCGGGTTTGGGTAACGCCTTCTTGTCGCACATTCGTGCCGTCGACGCCATCTTCCAGGTGGTTCGCTGCTTCGACGATGCCGAGATTATCCACGTTGAGGGTGATGTCAACCCCACTCGGGATCTGACCATCATCAGCGAAGAGCTCCGTATCAAGGATATCGAATTCGTCGAGAAGGCTCTCGATAACTTGAACAAGCAGACGCGCCGTGGTGGCCAGTCGCTTGAGATGAAGAAGCTGAAAGAGGAGGAGGCTACCGTTGCTAAGGTCCTGCAGTACCTGCAGGATGGCAATGACATCCGGAAGGGTAACTGGGGTCCCAAGGAGGTACGTTTCTTATCATCTTTTTTTTCCAGCTGCATGCACTCCTTCTTTTCATGATGAATAAGAGCCTTGCTCGAAATATAACCCAGCTCTTCGAATGCCCTCATTTTAAAAACTCACGCGAGGGCATATTGAGATCACGTCCACAACTGAATTACTCTTGTTTTTGCCTTTTTACAACCACACATTTTATTGCTTAGTCGGTCTTACTGACGAAAAATGCTGTGCAGGTCGAGGTCATCAACCCTCTGTTCCTCCTCACGGCAAAGCCTGTTGTCTACCTAGTCAACCTGAGCGAGAAGGACTACATCCGCCAGAAGAACAAGTACCTCCCCAAGGTCAAGGAATGGATTGATACCAACTCCCCCGGCGACCCGCTGCTGCCCGTCTCGGCAGCGTTCGAGGAACGCCTGACACAGCTTGGTGACGACGCTGCCGCCGAGGAGGAGTGCAAGAAGCTGGGCACCAAGTCTGGACTGCCCCGGATTATCACCACTATGCGCACGTCTTTGAATCTGGCCAGCTTTTTCACCACCGGCGCGGATGAGGTCCGGCAATGGACCATCCGCAAGGGCATCAAGGCGCCTGCTGCCGCCGGTGTCATCCACACTGATTTCGAGAAGACCTTCATCCAGGCTATTGCGTACAACTACTCTATCCTGAAGGAGCTTGGTGACGAAGCGGCCGTCAAGGCGGCTGGTAAGATCATGACCAAGGGCAAGGAGTATGTTGTCGAGGATGGAGATATCTTGCTCATCAAGGCTGGTGCTGCCAAGCACTAGATGGTAGTTTTACAATCAAAATATACACCGTCTGTCCAAATCTATCGGAAAATGTAGTTTTCGCTGTACCTGTAGCTAAATGTAGTAGTAAACTGTGGTCCCCGTCCTCCTCTGTCTGCGGACGATCGTTGCACGTGACCCGCGCTCCCCGCGCATCCCACTTCCTCCAGCTCCAGCTCTCTTGACTCCAGCTCCTAACACACAACCATGTTCAAGAAAGAGTGAGTCGCTGATCTTGTCCCTGAAACCCTGCTGCAGTGGATATCTACTCCATATCCACAAAAAAACAATGGCCTGTCTAGCCATGTCCTTCCACACACTAGACACATCTTTTCTTCACAGAAACAAAGAGAGCAACATACCTGTTCACCAGGACAAGACTCCCAAGTCCACAAACAATAGCTAATGTGACATCCTCTAGGATCCCCCCGAGCAATCGCTCAAAGGTCAAGTCCTCCGTGGCGCGCGGCCTGCGCCAGCGGCTCCTGGAAACATACCCAGGATTCGAGCCGTATATTGAAGAAATCCTCCCAAAAAAAGCCTCACTGGAAGTCGTGAAACTGTACGGCTTTTCCCCTTCTTTCCTTCTCCTAACACTAAATCCAAACCAAATCTAACAACCCAACCCAAAACAGACCAGAGCGCGCAACCCTCTACACGATCGACTCGAGGCCTCTCTTCTTCCAGCCCTTCGACGGCCCGCCCATCCCACATCTCAAACTCGTGCACCAATTCCCCTCGGCGATCCCGACGGTGCAGATCGACCGTGGCGCCATCCGCTTCGTGCTCTCGGGCGCTACGCTCATGGCTCCCGGGCTGACGTCCCCCGGCGGGAGACTGCCTGATGCAGAGCATGCCATTGAAGCGGGGCAAGTTGTTGGAGTTAAGGCTGAAGGGAAGGAAGAGGTGTGTCTGGTTGGTGTGCTGAAGGCTGGCACGGAGGACATCAAGAGTAAGGGGAAGGGAGTCGTTATGGATGAAGGGCATTATTTGGGGGATGGGCTTTGGAATATTCATTTGGATTGATTGGATTGGCAGTGAGAAATATGTTTTATGCTTGGTCTTATACCTAGGTAGGTCTTCTGGGTGGTGCATATACCATCGGTATGATGATGATGAATGAATTGAGAAGGATATGCCGCTTGATGAGAAAGATGTTCGCCAAGAAACACGAGATTTATATACAAGGATGTGACCAAAAGAAAAATATGCTTCCGGCAAGATTCAGATGCGCCTGATTTCACCCGACTCGATGAGCGGCTGGATATGGGTATTCATCCCCCACGTCGCCGTCCTGCCCACCCGGCAGTCCTGAGGCCGACGAGGCCGGCGAGAGGAAGATGCCCACGAGGGCGTCCTAACCGGAAGACTTAGTCCCAAACCCTTGATACTAGCCGCGGAGCCAGTGCGAGATCCATTCAAAGTAGGGCGGGAGGCAGTCGAGCGCAAGCCGACGCGGGAGATAGCGCGCTGGAGCATTTCACCAGAGGAATCAAGAGCGATCAAAAACCGAGCCAGCTCGGCGCAGAGCTCCCAGTCGTTCTTTTGCGAGGCGAGCCCGATCAGACGGACGACATATTCTTCAATTCGGCTGTCATGGCCGTGTTCTTCTTCGTCCTCGAAGGCTTGTAGAACTAGCAAATACCCTACGGCCGTCTTGAGCGAGTCGAGTCGGAGGGCTTGCTCGAAGAGGTCTTTTGGTGGTGGGAGGTAGCTGAATAGCGTGCGCCAGGACCGGAGTTCTGTTTTTCGGGTGCATTGAACGACGATATCGAGGTAGTCCTTTGGTGGGAGAGATGCTTGCAGGAAGCCGATGACGGTGGGAAGTAATGGTCCTTCTCTTGCGACAGATTCGCCGGTCTTGTTTGTATGGCTCTCGTTGTCAACTTCGTCGTCGAGAACATGGTGTAGCAGGATCTCCAAACCGTGGGCGAAATATGACAGGTGTGAGAAGTGTCGGCAGAGGGAGAGCGCTGCAGGTGTGCCGAGATTCATCAAGCCATACTGGAGGAAGTACGGGAGGAAAAGAGTTGTCTAAGTTAAAGAGTAAGCATTTTGGACTCACGGTACCGATGAAAGAACATACCCGGATGGCAAATTTCAAAACGGTGAAGGACATATCCCGTCTCTGCATCATTTCGGACTCGATACCCAGAACAATGCCTTTGCTTAGCAGTACGGACAGGGGATAAAAGTCCAGAGGGATATTGAGAGGCGCCGGCACCGTCTCTTCTGTCAGGACATCCTGAACATCATTCCATGTCAAGAGGTCCTTGCCGCGGAACATCCAGAGAGAATCTCGAAGGGATAGACTACTATGTGATTGCTCCAGTGCCATCTCCGTCGATGGACTACCCGGTGGTAATTCGTCGCCTGTGGATGAAAAGTTGAACGAAACCTGGTCGCGCATCAGAACATAATACTCCACATCGTGCGAGACGATGCGCATATCGTATTTCAGCTCGCCTTTTTCTGACACTGTCGGCTGCAACAGAACCAGGTTCCCATCGACGAGCAGAAGGACAGATGCGACCTTGACATCTTGAGATGGATCGCCATTACCTGTGAACTTGTTAGGTGCTTCGTGAACTGTATGACGCTAAACAAAACTGACGCATTTGGTCTTCGGGTAAGACCCAACTGATAGCCCGAACCCGCGTTGGTGCCCGTACAATTCCATTGAAGGCAATCTGTCCAACAGGAACAAGAGTGATCTGCGGCTGCATCGAGTTGATGACATAGTGGTATAGAATGTTATCGTAGGTATAGACAAGGGAGGAATCTTCCCCAGAGGGCCCGATGAACACCACCGGCGACGGAAGGTACTCAGTATGCATGACTGAGTTGTTGCTGAGAGAAGCCTCCCGTGAATAAAGACGTATCTATGCTTTTAATCAGCGGCTGACCACAATCCGCGGACACAAAAAAACAAACCTCATATGATCCGTCGCTCTCGACAGCAGCAATCAAAATATGCCCATACCAACACATCCCACCCCGAACGGCGAACGAATTCTCCGCCTTGGCGTCCTCAAAGACTTTCCACCGGCCACTGTTCACGCTGTAATGTGCAAGCCCTCGTCGGCCGGCTATCGCCACATACCGTCCATCCTGAGACACAACACAGGACCGAATAGGCCACTGTGAGTGAAGATAAGCCGGCGGATACTGAGCATGATGCCACAGCGAATCCTTGCCCGAGATGGTCATCAGGTCGGGAAGGTCGTGTCCGCGATAAAGAATAAATTCAGTGCCCGTTTGCAGCAACCCGCGTGCAAGATTGGCGGACGAGAAGCACCCAGTCAATGCACTGCGAGCTGTCTCCAGGATCCAAAGACGCCGGTCATTCTGTCCAGACAGAATGATATCGGAGCCACCGCCAATCCAGCAACCGTTTGAAACGCCCATGAGCCAGTCCTCTGAATTTGCTGCGGCCAAAGACGAATCGACGGAGAAGCTGTTCCCTCCGGGCTTGCCAAACACACTCCATGTCGTCCAGCCGCGCTCGTACCCTGCAAATAGACAGTATCCATCGGGCGAATAGTTCATGAATGTCAAGGCGCCAGTAGTAGTTGGTGTCGCTGGCAGGTGTAGCTTGTGAGAAAGAGGAACATTGCCCATGTAATCTTTGGCAGTGTACACCAGAATCTCACCATTCGTGCAATTCACCGTCAACAGAGAAAAGCGCGCATTCACAGCCACTTTAACAGCCTCCTCACCAGCTTCCTTTGGGTCATGGAAACAGTGGCCATGGAACAGTTTGTTGGGCGCTTCAGAGTCAGACTGCGCCCCAGAAGCTCGCTGCACGGCATATGCCTGGCCAGTATTCGTGATCCATATCAGAAGGTTCATCGCACGATCATAAACCATGTCGACAATCGAGACCTTCTTGGGAACATTGAGGATGCGACTCAGCAGCTCAGAAGTCGTCTGGGTTCCGCCCGCCTCGGGAGTCCATCGGATGCATTGAATAGCCGACGGCTTCACGGTAGCAACCACGAGTTCCTGATCCAGCGCCAGCGCCTTGACGATCCCAGACTCGATTTTGATTGCCATGCGGAACCGAATGCTGATATCCCCGACGATATTGGCTTCTTCGACCGCTGAAAACCGTGACAACTGTTGGCGCCGAGGCTGTGTGTTTTGGTCGAAGTTCTGCTGATAGACTCGTGTTGAGGGGTCCGATGCCACGGAATAGGTCAAGAGGTATCCTTCGACGGTTTGGATGACAAGGATCGTTGAATCTGGGTGCATGAGAAGTGCCACGTTGGAGCCGTATGTCTTTAGTGAGAACGAGGACCGAGCTATTGCCGCCACAACGGCTGTGGGCTGCGGAGGTCATCAGCAGCGAACGTGACTTAAAGTGAGAACAGTATAACCATACCCTTGTTTGCCAGACAGCAATGGATGTCTCGGTCATGGTGGCGAACATATGCCCCGAGCGCGAAACGCAGAGGCCTTTGATAGCCTCATCTTCCCACTTGGGGCCGTCCGTCGCAGGCGAGCTTTCAGGTTCGGGCTTGGGATCGGGCTGGGGCTCATGATCATCGCTAGCGAGGGCTTCGGTATCTTCGTTGTTATCATTGTTGTCTAGTGAGCTTCGCGGTTCCGAGAGAGGGTTGTGGGGAGGTTGCGGTACTCCATCAGACGAGACAGACGCGATGGCAGGGCCGTTGATGGCATAGACCCGGGGGACTCCATTGGGCCAATACATGGCTCAGGTCGTGGGAGGTCACTGGATAGGATGGGCCGGCAATGGATCACATCGAGGCATTTCCAATGATAATTCGCATTAATGTTGTGGTTGGTTGCTGTAGAAAGACAAGCTGGCCAACGGATGATAGATGGCGCATCACGTGCTGACTGAACTGCTCCCCGCATTGATTGTCGCCAGCTTTTCTTCTTTTTTTTCTTCTTGTTATCCTCTCACTTTCCTGATATACCCTTCTTTTCTGGGATATCGCTGCTATGGTCAGTAATTCTAGGCCTTTGACTTCCATATCCACACTAACAACACCAGTCTCCCACAGAAAGCAAGAAGCGCCTGGCCCTGGCCATCATCGACTTCCTGGGCTCTAGCCTGAAGGATGGCACCCTGACCGCCGACGATGCCGAGTCGATTGAAATCGCCCAGTCCTGTATCGCCGATACCTTCAAGGTAGACCCGACCGACTCGGCCGCCGTGAACGACGCTGTGGGCGGCCAGTCCTTGGCCAACATCTACAGCGTCTACGAGAAGCTGCGGAGCAAGTCCTCGCCTCAATCCGCCGACAGCGGGGCACAGTCATCTGGAGCCACCGAGCAACCCAAGGCTGGCTCGCCGACTACCGAGTCCGACAAGCTCAAGTCCGAGGGTAATGGCGCCATGGCCCGCAAGGATTACAGCCAGGCTATTGAGCTCTACACCAAGGCGCTGGAGATTGCCCCCGCCAACCCGATCTACCTCTCTAACCGGGCCGCGGCGTTCTCGGCCGCCGGACAGCACGAGAAGGCTGCGGACGACGCTGAGCTGGCCACTGCGGTGGATCCCAAGTACTCTAAGGCGTGGAGCCGGCTGGGTCTCGCCCGCTTCGACATGGGCGATTACAATGCCGCCAAGGAGGCTTATGAGAAGGGCATCGAGGCCGAGGGCAATGGTGGCAGCGAGGCCATGAAGCGTGGCCTGGAGACCTCCAAGCGCAAGATCGAGGAGGCCAGCCGTGCCACGGAGCCTCCCGCTGAGGATCTGGATACTGCTCCGGGTGCATCCCGTGGTGCAGGTGGTATGCCTGATCTGTCGTCGCTGGCTAGCATGTTTGGTGGAGGTGCTGGCGGCGGTGGTGGCATGCCCGATCTGGGCTCCATGATGAACAACCCTATGTTTGCCAGCATGGCCCAGAATCTGATGAGCAATCCCGACATGCTCAACAACTTGATGAGCAACCCGCGGCTCAGACAGATGGCCGAGAACTTTGGCCAGGGAGGCGGCATGCCAGATATGTCCAGTCTGATGAGCGACCCGAGCGTTGCCGAGATGTAAGTTGAAACCGACACCCCTCGAGAACCTTGGCTAACGTACTTTCCAGGGCCCGCAACATGATGGGAGGTGGTGGTGGCGGCGCCGGACGAGGAGAAGGTGGCCAGTAAGCGGGATGACGGAGTGATGGGAAACGAAAACATATGAATGATATACTGTCATTGTTGTAAAGTCGAGTTTTGAGCAGCGTTCTTTAGAAAGAATTGATTCGCTATGACACCGTGAATTTCCCAATTTCGGTTACCTTCATGTTCACATTAACAGCACGGATAGCTTGATAGTAGTGGCTAGCCGATGATACTCTCGAAAGCTGTTTACTCCAGGCTCAGAGGTAAATGGATATAATAGGACAGAAATCTCCTTTCATGGATTTATTTACACAACTCGAGCACGCTCCCAGTCAGCCAAATGGCGATATGATCACAGCCCAAATGCAATCCAACAGACGAGGGGAGAGTGGATATGAAAACAACACAGGAACGCCAGCGAAACACCACACGAATCAAGAAATGCCACCAAATCAGCTCAACGCGCAACTGCCATCCATGTCTATGTAATAATGGTAGGGGTTCTTTTTCATTTGGGGGGCCTGTCCATAACAGTTGGAAGGAGCGAACAGACAGAACTGGGACGGAACCAAGCATTAATACAGGAAAAGAGAAGGGTTGGTGGACCGGCAAACGTTCGAGGGTCGGGGGTCACTGAAATAAAACGTCGGCGCCAGTTCCGCCTGGCTTGATATGATGATATAAAACAGCCATATTGTACAATTGAGGTGATGAGAGTCAAGGTGTAAAGCGGAGGGAGGTAGAGATGAGGCCCACGAGAGGCTATATCGGTGTAAATAGAAGAGTCATTGCGTGTCGAAATGGTTTGACCGACTTAGATGTAGTCGCGAGCGGCCTTCTGCAGCTCAATCAAGCGCCAGCCCCGGGTTTCGGGGTTGTTGACTTCTTCAGGTATCCGAGTCATACCGATGGCGTAAGTGACCAGTTGCACCTTGTCCTCCATACCTGCGGCAAGCTCACCGCTCTTGACGTTGCGGTAGACATGAACTTCCTGCGTCCGGCAGGTGACGACGAACACAGGGATCTCACCAGGATCCAGCAGGCGAGCATGCGAAATATCAACGCCACGGATGTCCAGAATGCGGCCATCCGACTTCAAACCGGCAGTGGTGTATTGTTGAGCGAGAGCCGCGTAGACGTGGTACTGCGCATCAGAGAGCCAAAGCTTGAGTGTCTCAACATCACCCTTGACATAGGCATCGAGAACCTCCGGGAGCATATATTCACGCATCTCGCGGAGAAACGCCTCCATCTGGAAGTTCGGGTCGATCTCACGGAACCTCTTAATGACCATCGCGGTCTCGTTCTCTGCGAAAAACCCAGCGACCCGGTCGGAGATGCTGCGCGCAGTACTGATAAGAGGGTTCTCCGACTCGTTGTAAACCTCCTTCATGGAAAAGAGTCTCTGCATCATCGGATTGGAGTCGCGGAAGTCACGCCACGACTCCTTCCAGGCAGCGTCTTTGTGGAGGGTGACGTTGGTTCCAGCCCTAGCACCACTCGGTTAGAGAATTAAATTCGAAGGTATCATGACGGAAACTTACTCGGGATCTTCCTCCAGGGGCCCCGACTGCCGCTTGCCAGTCCTGGCCTCCATTTCCTCACGGCGCTTCCGCTGCTTGCGTCGCTCTTCCTTCTCAACCCATCCACCATAGCGGGAGCTGCTCCCATCATCAATCGTTTCCTTCACGTTTTTATAGGCTTCAGTCTCTCGAACGGGTCTCGTGGCCCGCTCGATTCCCGACCCGGTGGCGGTGACACCCTTCCGAACGCCCTTGACCACGGGGGTATTCCATGTCCAGGCAGCACTCTTGCCAATTACTTGACCAGTAGTTTTCAGGGCCGCCGAGGTGCGCGTCTGGGCGGCACCCGAAGCGGCTTCGTAGGCCGCGCGTGCACGCTTCACGTTCTCGTTCTCGCTGAGCTCCTGCGCCGAAGAAGCCAGCGCCTTGGTGGACTCGTTCCACTCCTTGGACGCCTTGAACTCGGTTTGGAGAGTCTCCCGAAACACTTGCCAAGGGGTCTTGTCTCCGTGCGGTGGTGGCGGAGGAGCGTCTTCCTTCTTCTCCTCTCCCTTCTCTTCCTTGGACTGCTCGCCTTCTGACTTGTCCTCTGACTTTCCGTCCTCGTCCTTCTCTTCTTCTTTTTGCTGCTCCTGGCTTGGCTGCTGCTTCTGTTGCCAGAGAGTAGTTGCGACGTGAAAAGATCGGGTCAAAGGGAGAGCGGCAAATGGTGAAATTAGCTGCGTCGTGGAGAGGGGAGGAGATGGGAGGGTGGTTCGACGGCCTGACGAGAAGACCAGAGTCTGCGCTGAGACTGTCGAATACGCCGACGCTCGAGAAGCCAACAGCTGAGAAGTTGCTCGTAGGGCCGGGGCCCGAGATCGCAATGTCGCCGCCCGCGCGGTGGCAGACATCCTAGTCGGAAGCATGCTCCAAGAGACAGAGAAGAAATAGAAATAATAAAACAAGGGAAGAAAAAGGGGGAACCCGAGAGTTGTGTCAAGAGAGGGTGAGATGGCGGGAAAGAAAGAGAAGGCGAAGTCGCTGAGGAAAAAGTTGCGGGTGCCAAGACCCGCGAAAAACTCCCCCGGCTCCTTCATTGTTCCTCCACTGCGACTTCCTTCCATCACAATCCACCATGACCTCCTCTTTCTCTATGGGGGCCCTGACCAAGGCATTGCCGTCCCTATGTCGGCAATGTCATCCCCAAGCGTCGTCCCTACGCACAATTCGACCCTTTTCGTCTTCACCTCGAAGGCCCGCAGGCCCAGAGCAAGCATCCTCCGAACCCAATACCAATACCACCAGCACCCCGACGTCCACCCGCGACTCATCGTCCTCGCTGGACATCTTGACTCGGATCGCACAAGGGAACATTACTTCATCTGCACGTGGACGCCCTGGCAACTTCCGACGGGCCCAGAGCATGGAAGACGAGATGCTCACCAACCCCTACCCCGACCGCGCACCTCCCCACCACCTGCACGTCTTCACACACAAACACAACACGATCCTCACCTTGACCCGGCCGAATGGCAACCCCATGATGTCGATGGGCAGTGGCCAGATTGGTTTCCGCAAAGGCGGCCGTTCGGGCTTCGACCCGGCCTACCAACTATGCTCGCATGTCCTCGCCCAGATTCAGGAACGAGGATATCTCTTGGAAATTCAGCGGCTCGAGATTGTCTACCGGGGGTTTGGAAAGGGACGGGATGCCTTCAACAAGGTCATTCTGGGGAATGAGGGACGGAAGATTCGCGGGCTGGTCAGCCGAGTGACGGACTCGACGCGCATCAAGTTTGGTGGGACTCGCAGCCGCCGGGTGCGTAGACTGGGTTGATCTGGACTGGCCCGTACTGGGCATGCCTCGCTTCGGGGTCCCTGATTCTATTTATTTTGTACACTAGCAATGACAGATCTATACACATATGTTATTCCCTTTGCATCCAAACCTAGTGAATGAATATTGCCCAAAGCGGTATAGCGCGTTCAGCTGGCCATCGATCACGTTCTCGATCTTCTCCCTGTTGCCTTCGATCATCCCGATTACCTACCTAGGGAGGTAATAGTGATTTATCGATTGGGCTCCAGCTGCCTACGGTGTTGTGCCGCTGTCCGACTCATCGCATCCCCCTCTGACCTCATCCTGGACCCGGTGATTGCATGCGCCAGAGTTGCCCTTCCCCGCGACTCGTCTGGTGCGAGACGAACGGCTTGATGAGGACCAGAGTTCTTTCGCTGGGCCGTCCAAAACCGTTTGGATGCACCCTCTAAACCCTTTCCTGCGTGCTTTCTTCCGAAGCACTGTTCCGGGCCAGTGTACTCCCGTCGAGAACCATGTAAGTGCAGCTCCCGGACGGATGAACCGGAGAGCCTGATTAACCACTGCCGTGTCCGACAGGTCTTGCTCGTCCCGACGACAGAATGCCTGGCCGGATCGCGCGACCGGGAATCCACGCTCCTCTACTCAGACCTCGTCGCGTCGGAGGAGTTTCTAGGGAGCCATGTGCTGCGCATCCCGATGCCCCTTGGCCCTCCAATGGGGAAAGAGGAGACAAATGTGCGCGATAACAGGAGCAAGGCGAAGCAGCTGACTACCTTCAATGGGAGAACGGTCATCATCAAAGAGAATTCGGTCTACAGCAATAAAGGTGAGCGGGAGGAAGCCATAGCGGCAAGCTCGGTGATGACGTGCGCTGACCGGCCAATCTCTCTCCAGGCTTCAAGTCCTTAACCCAGGCACAACTGCTGTCTGACGCCCTGTATTACACCCCAACGAATGAGTCGCGACCATGGCTCATTTACTATATCTCCCGTCCGTTGATCGGCTCCTACGATCCCGCGAGAATCATCCCCGCGGCTGTACCAGGGACTGAAACGAAGAAGACCGGGGTGACAATTGCTGGCAGAAAGGATGGCGAGCCAAATGGGTCACCGGCGAAACAAGAGATCAAGTCCTTCCATGAACTGCTAGCGAATTTCCCTATGATTGCAAGGCAAATGCAACCGGGCCTGGAAAGACTGTTCCGCGAGTTTAGTATAGAGCTAGGCAAACCGCTGCCCCAACCACCCTCACACTCACGATCGCCTTCCGCGTCTGGCAGTGAAAGCGAAAACAGGTTATCACGCACTGAATCCTTGACAGATGAAAGATCGTCTATCCGCAGTTGGTCATCCCGTGGCCGAGCCCAACGACCGTTCCAGTCCGACGAATTCTATGTGGACGATGAAGATCTAATGCGTCGGAGCTTGGAAACCGCGGTCACGGCAGCAATTGATCTCTTTCGCCTGGTAGACAAACAGCAATTGTCATTTCTGGGCGCAACCACAGATCTGACGGGGCCTCTGGTTGAGAGTCTGATTGAACGCTACGTTGCAGAACAAGTTCATGAACCTTTACTCTTTTCCCGGCTATGTGCCTTCCGACAGCCTGAAGACACAGAACTGGACACTCGCATCCGACAAATGGAGAGCATCGATGTCTCTCAGGTTGGCATGACCATGGAAGGCGGGCGGGAGGGAAAGAGAGAGCTAATTCGACGGCTTGGGCGAGGAGTGGAAGCATTTCGGAAAATGAACGAGGCAAGGTGTCCTCATGATATGCTCAACACTCTCCTGGAAACGGTCAAGGTCATTTCTTTCCCCGGCAGCTATAATCGGGTGGACGGACCTGCGTCTGAAAAGAGTTCTCCTCCCGTGACGATCAACGCCGACGTTCTGGTCTCTCTCCTGCTAGTGGTTGTCATCCGGTCTCAAATTCGACACTTGCAGGCGCGTTTGTTGTATATGCAGCATTTTATCTACATCGAGGACGTGGACAGTGGTGAAATGGGCTATGCCTTGAGCACTTTCGAGGCAGTTTTGATGTACCTTGTCACCGATTCGGCGGGTCTGCGACGTGCCAGTGCTCGAAACAGACGCCTGTGGCAGGCCACCAAAGCAGGCAGGGTTTCGGACATGAAGAGCATTTTGGAACCGGATGAAGACCACCAATCTACGGACGAGGCTACTCCTCAGGAGCCCGAGCGGAAATCTGTTCTCTTCCAGACGGATGATCGCGATGAGCAAGACGAATTGCCCTTGGAATCGTCATCCGTGTACAGCCAGCCAGCCATCACAAATGGCGATCTATCACAGGAGGATGGCTCATCTGAAGCACCGCCCTTGTCACATGTGTTTCCGTTCCAGACTTGGAGGGCTGGGTCGCCTTTCAAGGATTATCATCGGCCTGTGAAGAAGGTATCGATGGACGTTCGCAGCTTGTCCGAGTCCTCTGCTGTTTCTTTCCTATCTCGCTCAACAACGATTGGGTCTATGGCAAGTGGGATTGAAGGTGACTACTCCCTTGAAACCTTGACAAAGACTCAGGATCCTGCAGGAGATTCAATTCCTATGATGACGGTGGAGAGCCGTCAGACGGAGGCGTTGAGGTATCTTCTCACTTTGGAGGAATACTATCCGTTGGAAGACATACTCGACGATACCAACGCAGATGGAACAACACTCCTCAATGCGGCCGTGCAACTAGCTCACACCGAGATCGTCGATATTCTTCTGGATTTTCTTTTCACCAAGGCAGACGAGAGTCTCGTTGCTTTCTACCTCACCAAGTCGGACGTCCACGGCCGCACAGCTGGCCACTATCTCTTCAGTACCCCTTCTCTTTTGCCCAGATTGGGTGGCCTTTTACCTTGGCGACAGCGTGACAAGCACGGACAGACGCCACTCTTTGCTCTCTGTCGGTCGTACGACCATCCAGAGTACAAGGACATGGTCAAAGCCGCATTGACAGCGGCCCAACGAGCCCAAGGTGATGGCAAACCTCTTCAGCTTGACGATCATGTGGACTCCAAGGGTAACACTCTTTTGCACATTGTTGGCGACCCGGAGATCACCAACCGAATTTTACAACAGAGCGACTGTGATCCAAACGCCACTAATGACAAGAGGTTCACACCTTTAATGATGGCGAGCAAGTACGGACGAATTGACCAAGTCCGGATATTGTTCATGGACCCGCGGGTCGACGTACACATCAAGGAGTCCCGCGGACTGACAGCAGTGGAACTGGCAAAAGACGATGAAGTACGAAACCGGGTCGACGATTTGATCCTTCTCTCCCATCCTCTACCGACGTATACAGACTCCTCTGGCCGTGTGACCATGGTCGTGCGGTCCTTTTTTGTGGAGGATGCGACAGTGCGCTTCATCCTGAAATCTGGGGCGCCGTTCCCGTCATCTGAATCAGTGGTGTCTCGGCCAGGATCCACGACGTACACCGTCACGACCTGCCGTCGCAGCTTTTCCGACTTTGAAAATCTAGCCAAGTGGTTGGCAGTAGAGCACCCGGCATCCTTCGTACCTTCACTGTCCGACTTCCGCAACCCATTCCAAATACACTCGAAGCCGTCGCGATCTGTGCTTCATGATCTTCAGGACAAACTTGACCGTTTCCTCAAGACGCTCTTGACCCATCCCACCTTCTCAACACATGAAATGCTCTGGGAATTCTTTCTAGTTCCGGAACTGCAGCCCGGGATGATGGCAGATCGATCTCAGCGCAAGGCCATAGTGCTCACCGAGACGATCGCTGACGACTATGAGCCCATCACCGTCGAAGGGATGCGAGACACGGAACAATTCATCACCCACGCCCAGGACATGGTCCGCAGCGTCCACGCCACCTCGCGCAATCTGATCCGCCGAGGTCATGCACTGCAAAACGCCGCCTCTGACCTAGCAGACGCCATGAGCCTCTGCTCGTCCGTTCTCTACACCTTCGAAGAACCCGCCAGGGCACTTCCTGCCTCGCACACGGACGCCTTCTCCCGCTATGCCACCTACCTCTCCACCTCCAGCTCCGACTCCTCGCCTCTCCTCCAGTATTTATCCGCGCTGACCTCCATCGATAACACCACAGCGGCAATCCTCAACTCCCTAGGCCGCCCGCTTTCCTTAATGGCCACCTTCAACGCCACAAAGCGCAACGTAACCCGCTCGCGCACATCTCTGCATTCGTCGTCTCTGCCCCGCAAATTCAACCTCAACCTTCCGGGCTTCGAAGAGTCTCGCCAGAAATCCGCGCGGGACCTCGAGAAGAAAATCCTCGATGGCGAAGACCAGGCCTTGCGCGTATCCAAGGAACTCTCATGGAATAAGGACGTTGTGGTTAGTGAGCTGGCAGGGTGGACGTCATGGCGGGAGAAGGTGGGCCGTGATGCCATCCGGACCTATGTCAAGGATACGCTCGTCCGTGAAAAGGAGCGGGGCAAGCGCCTGGAGCGCTGTTTAAGAAGTGTAAGGGAGGCGAAGAGGGCCAATGGAATATAAATGGAGTATTGGGTGATATGATAGACTTGGCTGTGATCTTAATGATTCTGTGTACATCTATCTCATGGTGGTTTTGGAGTGCTTTGCTACTTGCTTGTGTGAATACGACTTTATTACTGGAACCTTACTCGTCTTAGATTATGTCCTCGGTTCGATACATAGGGTCTTAAGGACATGGAGAGTGTAAATGTAGCGTGCAGTCATCTCCGAGGTTAGGGCTACAGTGTATGTGACTAAGCATATCTAACATAGTTGGCGGCATCACCGCATGGATGGATGAATGAATTTACATGTTTCATAGAGATTTCGTTAAAAAAAGTGGGTATTCGTCTTCTTCCTACGCCTGAGAAATGGTGATGCTAAACAGCAACACCAACAACCGTCCATCTTTCATCTCCCATCTACACCAGCTCTAATCCCGGCTAGAGAGCCATCTATTCATACAATACCATCCAAACAAAACCAGTCAACTGCCAAAAGACTGCGACAGAGGCGAAGCAGGATACCCAACCGTAGACCGCCGCGACGACTGTCCCGAGCCGGGACGAGAAGAAGAATTACTCACGCCCCGAATATCCCTCGCCGATTCACCTGATCCTCCTCTTCCTCGAGAGCTTCCTGCATGGGCTCTGCGCGGTTTCTCGGGTTCGTCGAACATCCATGCAACGGACTGCAACGACCACGGGCTGCCTGGTTCCACTGAGGCCTCAGATGCGCGCGAGAGGGTCTCGCTGGCGGATGGACGTGTTCTCTGCTCTGTTGAGCGCGAGGTACGGGAGCTGCCAGATTCGCGGCTGAGGATTGTGGGGGTCATGCCTTCTTTCGTTCCGTTGGCCATATCGCACAGCTGCGACGAGCATTCGGTCAGAGGCACCGTGGACGACTGCGAGAGTCGCGAGACTGGGCTGGACGGCTGCTGCTGCACGGAGAGATTCTGCGAGGAGGGTGTGTATCGGTCTGATGTTGACATGCTAGGTCGCTCTGTGCCCTCGGTAGACATGCGTTTCGAGAAAGCCTCGTTCTTGCTCAGACTAGTCGCCGAGGCATCGATACTCGTACGATACAGACGGGCCATCGAGCTGCGGCGGTCTGTCTCCTCGACGACGAAAGTGAGAGATGGCGAGCGGCTCCGACTAAACATGATAGACGCACGCTCGGACTGCTGGTCTTCTTCTTTCATAAGGAAGTCATCAAGCACCTTGGTCGTATCCTCTGCTAGAGTGAAAGTCGACGGGCCGAGAGCATTAAGATTCAACTCTTCCCTTTCGCGCTGGCGGCGTTCTCGTCGCGCGCGGCGGACGTACCACACCACCAGGAAGATGATGGCTGCGAGAGTGACCACGGTCATGATGGTCGCTGCGGCAATGGAGCTCTTGTGGTAGTTCTTTTGGGTGGTCGGTGGCTTGCTGCCCTTGGGGAAGGCCATTTCGGATGGGATCACGATGCCGGCGGGTGTGGATGAGTCCCAGAAGCGTTTGGAGGATGCGGTTACGCTGACACTGGGGGATGGCATCACGCAGAGCATGGGCAAGGATAGATGGCCATCCGTGGAAAGAAATATAGAGGATAGGGGTGGAAGGGAGAGGGACTGGGTATTGTCGGATGGCAGTCGCTATGATGTTTGAGTTGCCCGAACAACTTCGTTTACAGTTCGGAAGCCCCATGAGCAAGCAGAGAGTTCTTGTAATCAATCTCTCATTCATAACGACAATCAATGTATATGTTTACGGTCAATGTTGTTCAGATGGTACTGAACAGGGCGACTGTGCTCAACAGGTAGTCAGAACCACCCGCAACCCCAGTAGAGAAAATATATAGAGTGCAGAGCGCATGGACAACTGGAGGACATTCCAGCCAACATTACGACGGATTTTTCACTTCAACAGATTCTCTCCTCACTGTATCAGGATGTACACCCATTTACTCCGGATAGATCGCGTCTTCCCCACATGACCCCGATCGATCGACCTACGTCATCGGGGATCGGACCAAGGATATATGACGTGAATTTGTACTTCTTGACACTCTCTTCTTTACAACCACCAAATTGAAAATGCCTCTCGTCGTCCCCGGTATCAACTCTACTCCCGACGCTAAGTCCGACTGGGCAAATAAGCTGATGGGCAAGAAACTGAGTGACGCGACTAGCGATGTCAACGTTTGTTTACTCTCCGTGCTGTTGGAACGAGGCTATGTACTGAATCGCGATAGACGTTTGCGAAGAAGGACCTGCCGGAGTCGCATCGAGTGCTAAAGCCAGGTGATATGAAGACGATGGATCATCAGCCGAAGAGGTGTGTTTCTCCCTTTTGGTGCAAGCACCCATGTCTAATGATTATAGACTCAATATCCATGTCGGTGAGGATGGGACTGTTCACGACGTGAATTATGGTTGATATCCGTATGCAAATAGTTTGAAATGCAACAAATCTATGCTCTCTAAATGTCTATCGTCTCCTAATTTGACTCTGCCTTCCATCGCAGCAGCGTCAGAGAGTGCTTCGGGAACACATACGGCCCCTTTCCATCCCACGTCGACTCCTGGACACTCACCTCCTCCGTGCCCTTCATGTTCGTAGCCATAACATCCCCCGCCGTAACCGTAAAGACCGTCGCACCGCCCACAACGCCTTCAACCACACTCTCAAAGCTCTTCTCGTCATGAATGTTCACTACCGCCAGGTTCGCATACCCATCCTCCCCCAGCGTCGCACTGACATCCAACCAGGGCGTATCACGCGCCCCGCGCAACCAAGCCGGCGAGGTCTCACCTTCGTACACACCGCACGACACATGCGCTGCCACCGTCCAGCCACGCATATACTTCGAAAACAGATACAGCGGCCACCAGGTTGTCTGCTTCGTGATCCCATCCTTGGTGGTCATAAGCGGGGAGATGACATTGACGCTCTGGGCGATGCATGCCATGGCGACGTCGCGACTCTTGCGCACAAAGACGTTCAGCCAGATGGCCACAGCCAGCGCGTCAGAGAGCGTGTAGCTCTCCTCCGCGCCCTGGCTGCCCTCTGCGCGAATGGGGTCCCACACGTTCCATTCGTCGAAGCAGATCGTAGGCCGGAGCTGGGTGGGCGGGACGCCATTCTCGATGCGCGCGAGGTCGATCAGTCCCGAGGTGATTTCGATGGCGCGCTCAGCGGCGAGTGGCGCTGTTGCGTTGGGGAGGTGATCGTTCGAGCAGGTGTACAGGTGGATGCTGTGCATGTCGATTAAGGGCACGGCGCTGGTGGAGAGCGCGGAGTGCGCGGGCAGAAGACAATGCTTGAGCGTGTAATAGTCCCATGAGGCGGTGCCGTCTTGGCCGCAGAGAATTAGAATGAGGCTTGGGTCGAGCAGTTTGAGAGCTACGTGGGTTGTCAGTAAATATTATACCCGAAGAAAGAAAAGATAGATACCCTTTGCCCACTGTATCGCCTTGTGCGCGTAGGCTTCTTTGGTCATCTGCTCGACCTGCCATGGGCCCCATGTCTCATTACCCAGGGCCCAGTATTTGACCTGCACTTGTTAGTCAGTGCCGACAGCCATATGGATTAAGAGATGCGCACATTGTATGGCTCCTGTCGGCCATTTTTCCGCCGGAGGTTGGCATAGTAAGTGTCGCCGGTGCCATTGCAGTACTCGACCCACGCAAGAGCTGTCCGTGTTGAATTAGCTACTATCACGACTTGGCTACGAGAAGACGAGAGAAGGAAGAGATTAACAAACCCTCATCCAAAGTGCCTGTCCCAAAGTTGAAGCATAGGTAAGGCTCCGTCCCCAGCACCTCACACCACTTCATAAACTCATCCGTGCCGAACTGATTTGTTTCCGTTCCAAGCCAAGCCAGCTCGGGTCTATTATTTCCCCTGTCAGTCCCACTGTCGCGTAGAGCCTCGGTTAATTAAGTAAAAGCTAACATACCTTGAAGGCCGTTGGTCTTTAGGGCCCACCCCATCGAGCCAGTGGTACGTGGCGCAGAAATTGCCGCCGGGGTAGCGCACGACAGGGATATTCAGATCCTTCAACGCATCGAGAACGTCTTTGCGGAATCCGTTCGAGTCGGAGAGCGGATTGCCCGGGTCGTAGATCCCGCCGTAGATGCATCGGCCCATGTGCCTGGTCATCATTATGTTAGATTAGATCTGGTATTATGATGAGGTGCGCGCTCACTCTGTAAAACCGGCATAGATGTTAGGGTTGATCTTGGAGATGCGCCGAGTCGGATGGACCGAAATAACGGGCGTTTCATGCTCAACCTGTTTGGTAAAGGTTGTCATTGTGAGTGGAGAGGTGTAGTCGGAAGCGCGTGCCCTAAGTTAGTAGCAAGGTATGTCGCGAGCTGAGCTTGTCTTTTTCTCTCTTTTTGTTGCTCGGACTTTAAGTAGACAGCTACTGATTGATCGGGCCGAAGAATTAAAACAATTAACCTTCCCACTCGCTCTCAAACCAACTATCCGCTCCAACCCCCTCAGGTGATCACCAGGGTATGTCCCATCGGCTCTTTATCCGGCAATTCTCCTGCGGGGGACTCGGCTCAGACCTTATCCCGCAACGAAAATAAAGAGACCTACAAACGGAAGCGAGGCCGCATCTGGACTAATCCGGGGCAAGAAGCAGTGCCATTGCAGGAGTTGCCGAGGAAGTGCGAATTCTCCGTCAATCACGAGCCGTCCCCGAGCCCCGCCGGTGTCGAGCAGCCCAGCTTGAAGCTTTGACACTCAAACCCGACAATGGTTTAACGAAGGTAAATGATCTCGAGCTCGGTCCGAGTCATTGGATGTGGTGCCGGACACGCGATACGATGGTCCAGACTGGCTTGTTCGAGGATTTTCTCCTCCGATCCGAGCCCTAACTAGATGCGTTGCCTGAGCTCGACTATTTGTACCCGATGATCGCCCACCTCCCCCCGGTGTGTGTGGAGTTCGTTCCCCGGATTCTTTTCATCGTTCCCCATAATCGCGAAAGAATAACTGTCACCATGCATCTTTCTCCGTCATGGTACCAGGTATGGGACTATGGGATACTTTCTTTTTGGAAAGGTTATCAAACTGATCAATGGTTTAGTTCCTGGTTGGCGTCTTCGCCTCACTCGGATCATTTCTCTATGGATGTATGTTCTCTCTCAGGGTCTTCGGTGTCGAGTGCATAATCTAACTCATACAAGATGATCTCGGTGTTATTGCAGAAGTGATCATCTCCAAGTCTTTCGTCGCGAGATTCAATAATCCGGATTCCACACAAACGTAAGCAATTTACAAGACCCAGACCCTTCAAATCGAGGCTCATGAGGAAGATAGTGGACTGGTTGTTGCGATGTTTACCGCTGGTGCCTTCTTCGGTGCCGGATTCGCAGGTATCACCGGTGACTACCTGGGACGACGAAAGACCATCTCGCTAGGCTGTGTGATATTTTGTCTGGGAGGTGGTCTGCAGACCGGTGCGCGCAACATCGCATTTCTTTACAGTGGTCGATTTCTGGCTGGACTAGGGTATGTATTTTGGTTGGGTCTTACAAAAACTGCTCAGCTCACTGACAGCCAAGAATAGTGTCGGTTTCCTGACGATGATGATCCCCCTGTACCAGGCTGAGATCTGCCACCCGAAAATCCGAGGCCGGGTGACGGCGCTGCAACAGTTCATGCTGGGAGTTGGCGCGCTCTGCGCTGGGTGGATCTCGTACGGCACGTATGTTAATTTTTCGGGTGACAACGACGCGCAGTGGCAATTGCCGTTGGGTATTCAGCTCGTTCCAGCGGTCTTCCTTGGATTGTTGATCATGTTCTTCCCTGAGGTATGTGCCTGGCGTTTTCTCCTAAGTTCTTGGCTGATGCATACCCCAGTCGCCCCGTTGGCTCATTGATCACAACCGCCCGGAGGACGGTTTGCGTACTCTGGCCAAACTCCATGCGAACGGCAACGAGAATGACCCCTGGGTCCGGGCAGAGTATGCTCAGATCCAGGAGAGCATCACCTATGAGCATGAGCACGAGGCCAAGTCCTATGTCGAGCTGTTCAAGAACCGATCGTCGTTCCGCCGTCTGTTTCTGTGCATGGCACTTCAAGCTTCCGTGCAGATGACTGGTGTATCTGCTATCCAGTAAGGCACTTTTTTCTTGACACAGAAATGCCGGTCTGACTTCCAATAGATACTACTCAGTGTCGATCTATGCACAGATCGGAATCAGTAGTCAAGACTCACTGAAGTATCAGGCAATCAACAGTATCATTGCTCTGATCGCTCAATTCTTTTGTATGATGCTCATCGATCGATTCGGTCGACGCTGGTCCCTGATCGGCGGCAACCTGGGCAACTGCGCTACCTTCATCGCCGCTACCATCCTGCTGGCCAAATTCCCTCCCACGACGCAGAACACCGGCGCGCACTGGGGATTCATCATCATGACCTGGCTATACAACTTCTCCTTCTCAGCGACCTGTGGTCCCCTATCTTGGATCATCCCCGCTGAGGTATTCGACACGCGCACCCGGTCCAAGGGTGTCTCGATCGCGACAATGACCTCGTTCGCCTTCAACACCATGATTGGGCAGGTCACCCCGATTGCGATGAGCCACATCCACTATCGGTTTTATTTCCTTTTCGTCATCTGCAATTTCACCAACGCCTTGTTCTTCTATGCCTTGCTGCCTGAGACGAAGAAGGTGCCGCTGGAGGAGATGAACTATATGTTCTCCCATGCGCCGTGGATTGTGCCGGGGATTCGCAAGGAGGATTACTTGCCTCATGACTTGGAGCGTAAGGTCGAGGAGCAAGAGGTGAAGCAGGACACGGCCCACTTTGAGTAGAATAGGGCAGGAGAGGAGATCGAAATTGATGACTGGAAAATTGGGAGGAATCGTGGAATGGCCGGTTTCTTTTGTAGAACTATCCAGCCATACATTAAAGGAGAATGACAATTTTTGGTTAAATCTTTTTATTCTGATTCCGAATCGGATCCATATGCTGCTAGTCCAAGAGAGACAGGAGCGGGTTTTGCTGGCTGTTTAGCTTCGGGCTGTTTCCTAGCCGTATCTGCCTTGGCTGTCCCTGAGGGCTCCTTTTCAGCCTTTGCAGCTGAAGCCGTATTTTGTGTCTCTTTAGACCGGGTTGAAGTAGGTGCCGATGTCCCGGTAGCCTGGGGACCGCCCTGGCTCTGTTTTTGGGGTTCTTGGCCCTTGGAATCATCCTCTGGTCTCCCCGTTGCGGATGCCTTCCGCTTCTTCCCCGGGATCAAGAGATCCTTCTTGTCTCGCCGCCTCTTACGGCCGGGAATGGTCCATTCGTCTTCCTCTGCCGGCGTAATCTCCGAGGAGGTCGGTCCCAACATTGCCTTCTCGGCTTCTTCTCGCTGACGACGGAAGAGCTCGAGCTGGTCGGCCGTGTCCTTTTTGACGGCGGCTTCCTGTGCACGCGTGGACTCGAGCACCGAATCCAGGAACTCGATCTCATCTTCATCCAGGGAGCGGAATTGATTCTTCAGTCGTATCTTCTCCTCAAATTGCTCCTGCTTGGCCACTACAATACACCCGGCCATGTCAGTCGAACTCTTCTTGTTCCCCGTGATGACCGGCATCGGCATTTAATTGGGCTCACGCTTATTCTGTTCCAGCACCTCATAGAGACTCTTGCCGTCATTCTGGTTGCCGATCTCGGCTTTCCGCCGCCGTTCCTCTTCCAACTCCTGCTGTGCCTTGAGCCACTCATCGTCCCGTTCCACGGGCTGCTCGTTCGTGCCGGCCGAGACAAACCCGGATGACATGATGACCAAACTCTGGGTAAAGTGCTGACGATTGGTCCGAGCCCGAGTTTCGGGAGTAACGCGTGGCAATCGGGATAGGGGTGGAGCGTGGAGGATATTATCCGGTCCCTCGGGGGCCGTGTCTGTCTCGGGCTGCCAGGGAATGGAGCCGTGGGAGCAAATCAGGGCCCAGCCTAGGGGAATTTTCTGGAATCAGATGACGCAGCGAGGATGGAGAGAGACCGATAGCGGTGGGACCCAGTGGAGGTGGCAGTACTGGGCGGTGAGTGCCATTTAGCCGGAGTGGTTCGAAGGGCATTCATTCCATGGGGAGGAATGGGTGTGGGAGTGAGCGAGTGACGAATGAATAATATGGATGGAGAATGACAATTGACCCTGGGATTGGGCAAGGATGTGCAGGGTTGCGTATTCTTCACCAAATGAAGACTTTCACTATCTCCTTGACTAAGATGCCCCCACTCGGACCCCTCGGTCGACATCATCCCGCGCCTGGACCTGCCCGCCGTCACTGTTCTTATAAATCCCCGTGTCAGACCACTTCCTCTCCTCCCCATTACTCTCCCACCTCAACCGCACAAAAATGTCGAACCACACTCAGTATGTCTCCCGCTCCCAATATCGGCCAATTTCTCTAACAATGGCTACAGGAAGACCTACACTCTCAACACGGGCGACAAGATCCCCGCCATCGGCCTGGGCACCTGGCAGTCCAAGCCCAATGAGGTCCGGGAGGCTGTCAAGAACGCCCTGCTGAAAGGCTACCGCCACATCGACACCGCTCTGGCATATGGCAACGAGGCCGAGGTCGGTGCCGGGATCCGTGACTCGGGCGTTCCCCGCGACCAGATCTGGCTCACCACCAAGCTAGACAACACCTGGCACCACCGCGTCGAGGATGGCATTGCCTCATCGCTGAAGGACCTCGGCGTTGACTACGTGGACCTCTACCTGGTGCACTGGCCCAGCTCGACCGACCCCAATGACAAGAAGAAGCACCTCCCCGACTGGGACTTCATCAAGACCTGGTGAGTATTTTCTGGGTTGCGAGAATGGTTCAATGGCTAACCCCTCATTCCAGGCAAGAGATGCAGAAGCTGCCGGCCACCGGCAAGGTCCGCAACATCGGTGTCTCCAACTTTGGCATCCAGAACCTGGAGAAGCTGCTCAACGACCCCAGCTGCAAGATCGTCCCCGCTGTCAACCAGATCGAATTGCACCCCAACAACCCCTCGCCCAAGCTGGTGGCCTACAACACTTCCAAGGGTATCCACTCGACCGGCTACTCGTGCCTGGGATCGACCAACTCCCCCCTCTACAAGGACCCGACTCTGCTGCAGATTGCAGAGAAGAAGGGCAAGACCCCCCAGCAGGTGCTGCTGGTGTGGGGTCTGCAGAAGGGCTGGAGTGTCATCCCCAAGTCGGTCAGCAAGTCGCGCATCGATGCCAACTATGAGATTGATGGCTGGGACTTGACCGCCGAGGAGGTCAAGCAGCTGGATAACCTCAAGGACCGGTTCAAGGTCTGTGGGGATGACTGGCTGCCGATCAAGGTGTTCTTTGGAGATGACGAGTGAACCAAAGCGCACATTGGAGTACATACCTTAGTGTAGTTCTGAAGATACCAAAAAATGAATGAATGAACCATAGTCCCGTGTCTCCCTCGCCAAGTAGATTCAGCACTTCACACACGACGTCATTCCTGCACCGCCACACGGCCATCATACCGGGATCACGTGCGTGGCACTCCTGTGTAGAGGCCGGGTGATTAACCAGTCAGCCATCTTCTCTTCCATCCTCCATCATCATTCGGAGTCCCCCGAGTCTTCCATCTCAACTTCCAGTATGGCGCCTTCAGCTGGGCACCTGCTGCTCCCCAAGATATGGAGGGCAGCCAGGTACGTTGCTTGTCCCTTATCGTTCACCATCCTTATCGGATGGAGTCATCACAGTTATCAAGGCTGACATCTACTCAGGTTTGCCTATGAGAAGGCCTCGAGGGCCCTCCGAGCCAAATTACCGGAGCCTACCCAATCTTCTCTCCGACACCAGCCAGCGTATGCCCGAGTCAGCCGCCACCCCATCCCTCGCGCGGCTGCTATCCGTCAAGCCCGCAGCCGCCACTTCTCGACCCGTGCTGCTTTCGTCTCTGCCATCCGATCGGGCCTGCAAGCAGACACTGCTGTGTACAAGTCGACCCGCATCGCTACGAATGTCAGCCGGCTGACCAGCCAAGCGCCTTTCGCCTCAACTCTCCGTCCCAATTTGACCGGCGGCGCTCTTGGCCGCACCGCAGGCGGATATGCTGTCGGTGCAGGCCGATTTGGCGGAGCGCGTTACTTCTCCCATGGTCCTGCTGCTCCCGCACAGGTGATCCAGAATGTGTCCCAGGGCGTACGTGCTTTCTTCCTGTCTGGCCAAAAGGTCCGGTTCGATGGAATCGACCCTCGCACCGGCGACAAGCGGTACAAGGCCGTTAGCAGCTTGCAAGACCAGGCAGAGCGGCAGATGCTCGATGTTCCATACTACACCGCTGGCTCGCACCTCGACTTCAAGATTGCTCCCGTTATCGCTTCCCTCGACTCGAAGAAGATTATCCCCGGCACCAGCAAGACCCTCAACACGGAGGGCTTCATGGACCTTCTATCTGGTGACTTTGCTCGCTCTCTTCAGAACTTTGCGGCGACCATCAACGATCTCAAAAAACTTTCAAAACTGGGCGATCTGCCAATTACCCTCCTCAAGAACTCAACTATCCGCATCCGCTTCCCTGGCTGCGACGCGGACACCGTGGCGCGCCTGTGTGACGAAGTCGGCGTCCACCGCGGTATAATTGTCGAAGACGCAGACTTTGAACTGTGCACTGGCTCCGAGCTGGCACTGCTTTTTCCCTTCGCACCCAGCGTGGCGCCACCGTGTGGCCCCGAGCCGGCACTGCGGTTTCCCTTTGCACCAAGCGCGGCACGACCGTCTGACCCCAAGCGACCTAAGTCTCAGTCACCCAATGCCCTCGACTGGAAAAGCATGATGTCCCCTGAGCCTCACACTCCGTCTTCTGGCAACGTCCGTGAATTGGAGATTAGTTTTGAAGACAACGAGCTGTTTGGCCGCAACCCGTGGAATTCCTCGGCGTCCACCTTCTCCCGCATCAGCATGAGTGAATTGGGAGATCGTGCCTACTTCCCTGATTTCTCTGTCATTAGCACCTCAGAGAGCGGTGATTCCGAGGGCGTCCAGGGGATCCACCGATTCTTGGAGGAATGCAATCAGGCGGCTCGTGGAGAAGCTACTTTCCTTTAAATAGAAACCTGGCTGTCTCTTTCTTTCTTTTCTGTTCTTTCTTTGCATTTGCTTTGTTTTGGATATGGCCCAGGTAGGCCAGCATCGTCGCCCTGATACCACTCCGCTCCTTACCATTTTCTTAGTTTTGACTACAATGAAAACAAAATGTGTACCGTAACTTATTGCCATTCAATACACACTCAGACCCCAGAAGTACCTGAAAGCCACCTCGGGAATAGACCCCCGCTCATTGGCTGCCTTGATGCCCCATGTGGAGGTCCGACACTCCACTCGGATGATCTATGCATCGGCCAACAAGTATCAAGTATCAAGTGCGGACTTTTTCCAACGTTATGTGAAAGTAGGTGGTATCAAACTCGCTAAACACAAGACCGAAGAGAAGACCGAAAAGTAACATCACCAAAACCAAAATCAAAATCCCCGGGGCCGTATAGTAGGTAATACTACCCAGATGCCGTCTGATAATTAATCGACCTCATAGCCACAAACTGATCCTGCGAGATATTTCTAACCACCTCGGCAAGCTTCATACCCCTCACATTAATGCATCCCAGCACCAGCTGGCACCATTCCGCTTTTTCTCGCGCCGACCGCTCGAACGCCTGGCTCGCGAACCACAGCGGCGGGAGCATCGCTTGTAGTCCGCACATGGGGAATCCGGTGCGCATGCACATCGCAACGCTTTGGCAAACGCGGTCTGCAAAGTGGCGTGCTAGGTAGTCGCTCTCCATCGCGGAGCGGATCCCGCCTTTATTGATTGAGTGTGCGATTTGCGGGATGTCGGGGTTTGGGTGCGCTATGTCTTCCATGGAGACGAAGGGCCCATACCCAGGGTTCTCATCATTGAGGGGCCATCGAATCTCTGCTCCAAGCATGTATAGTGACATACACCCAATCCAAAACATGATGTGCAGCTCGAAGGACGGTCTGTCCACGAAGCGGACAATCTGCGACGTATCCCCCGCCACGAAGGGCGCATCCGATGGCAGGGACTGGTCAAGGCAGAACATGACGGCGTCATGGCTGGCTTGAAGATCCCAGTACCAGTATAGAAGCTGGGCTTCCAGTCGGCGCAGCTCGTGGCATGTTTGACGCAGCGTCTCATCGTCGCGGATCAAGCCGCCGCCACGCTGCTTGATATGTTTGGACATCTGTTGCGAAAGCCGCGGGATCTGGAGGATGATGTCGAGGAGCGTGTCATAACTATCGCTGTCGTGCGAGATGGCGAGCCACTCGGGTTTGGAGAGTGTTGTTGCTTCGCGGCCGGCGCATGAATAGTGGACCTGTTTTCCCTCTGAGCGTTAGACCAGGACATGCAATGGTTAGGTGGTTGGTTGGTTGGTTGGGTATCGTACAGCAAAACTTCGGATTCGGCGATATAGATTGCGGTCAATCTGTTCTCCTTGACGGGGAGGAAGCTGTTTGGCAAGGACTTCACACCCAACTCGGATATGCTGGGCCCAGCCTTGAATGCCCGTAGGCTCGTATATCTTCGGCACGCACGCCCGGGCGTAAGCTTCGATCATAACCCTGGTCAGGCTGAAAGAAACTCACCTCGTAGATCGTCATGGTCATCGCAATACCCAGCTGATCGTTCAAACTCAGATTCTTAGTGATATCGTCATTGGCCATGTTCTGCGAGACCTCGCTATAGCGCCTAAGACTCTCCGTGGACAATTGCTCATTGCCCTCCGACTGGCCGATGATGAGCATGCTAAGCGCAACAAGAGCCTGGTCATACAAATCAGAGCGACCCAGCGAGTCGGGCAGATCCTTGTACCACAGACAGGCCGTCTGCTGGGCTACATGCGCTGGGATCAGCTCGTTTGGCATGTAGAGGGTCATGAATCTGGCGAGCAGCTGGCAGTGATACTGTTTCCCGGCATGGGGCGAGGAGATGGCGAGGGCGGTTTGCAGCATCCGCGTGGTTTTCACATAGTCCAGTAGCTTCTGGCTCTGGGCTGACGATGCCGAGCGCGTTAATTGGCCGTAGTCCCCCTGGTATCCATCGCAGGACACGCCGTGCTTGGTACATTTCCCACATCGTGGCCGGAGGCCATCACACTAGAGCCAGGATCAGAATAAGAATCAGTTCCAAAACAAGAGTTGTGTTACCTTGACCTTTCTCCTGCGGCAGGTGATGCAAGTATCTGATTTCCAAGCCTGTTTTGGCATCTTTCGACCCTTTCGCCGGAAAGGGCCTTGGTTCCAAGGCCCCGAATGCGCCTTTATCGGCTTGATATATGGACATGAAACTTTGACAAGGAGAGGTTTCCAAAGTTCAAGCGGGGCCGCCCCTGTCACTTTATTTACGATCGGCGAACCCAACCGACACCGTGGTTAAGTGCCCATTGGCCTGGGGGCTGCATCGGGGCCCCACGGGTTGAGAGGCTAGGAGTTCGGGCCTTTTGCCAGACATTCTTTAGTGCAAACGCCCGGGTGTCTCCTCTACGCCCTATGGGAGTTGCCTTCTTTTCTTGCCTCCCAGTTTAGGGCTCGTGCCGTCGTGCCGAGAGCGCTAGTATTGGTGGTCGAACCCCTCGTGAAACGTGAGAACTGCGGCTAAATATCATTAGTTGCTGTAAACGTGTATTATTGCGTCCTCCCAACATTTTTTGAGCGGTCAGACCATTTCCCCAAGATGGATAAGCGAGTGGCTGTGTGGACTGTAATATTGATTAGCATCGAGATAGCCTCCTGGAGGCGGCGCTAAGATGATTCAACAGACGTGTCAGTACTACTAACTGGCTCAGGAGTCGTACGTACACTGAACTAATTTATAATAATTGGGCAACGCCCCATGTCAATGACTCAGGAGTTGAGTCGGCGCCAGCATCGCATTATTCCTGTCTCTTCAAATTGAAATGTCTCGGCCGTCCATTAGTCGAACACAAATCAATTTTCATTGTTGAACGTTCAGCATTCTATCGTCTCCTGTGTGGGGTGGGATTGGTGCCTTCTCAGGAATCGGATCGACCCGAGCCAAATCAACCAAATCAAACCAGCACGCGATAAACAACCAGATCCCTCTGGATACGAGCACGCTCTGGCATTCAAACTTTGACAGCCTACCGATGCCAGGTGTTTCAAATGCACAGTATAAGCCATAAAGGGCCACATGTGCTATGGCCAAAAGCTAACACATTATGGCCCAGTCCTAGCGCCGCCATTGCTTGAAGTCCACACCTTTGAGATGGGCGACCAAGCTATGTGCGCTGCACCACTTCAGTTGTCATATCACGAATTTGAGCATGACCGACTGAGGAGTCTCTGCATTCATGTATTCAATCCACCTACCTGCAGTTGATATCGCACGGGTCCTAGATCGTTCAACAGAGTATTTACTTCTGTTTACCCTTGATTGTGTCGATCAGGACACCAATAATGATAGCTATTGATCTGCATAACAGTTTTCTCTATCGCGAAAAAGGAAGATAAAAGTCAACTACTCATCCTCACCGTAGATTTGCGGTTGGACTAGCATTAAGAGATTTTACGTTCGACATGCTGAACGATCTTACAAATTGATGGTCAACGTAGTTGATGCTGGGGAAACGCTAGGTTGTCCAAACTCATGTGAGCACTCAAATATTGAATGAAGCTCTTCTGTTCAACAATGGCTGCAACCTTTTGCATGCTTGGCTGGATCTACTCCGTCCCAGATGCATTGAACATCACAAGATCTAGCAAGTTCAACTGCTCATGACCTCTCCAGGACATTGCCACCACCTACACTCTTTCATTGTTTCTCGATCCGTAATGCCAATAACCGCTAGTTTTATGCTGAGAGACTTTCCGGAATATCCCTGTCAGTCGGACGTATATTGCTTCTTACCTAGAATGCATAGTACTTTTAACTATGGATTCGCTTGTAAATTCAATACATCTGACACCTTTATACCCCGCCTCCAAAATAGCAACCAGAGAAGGAGAGGTATCTTATAAAATCAATCAGTAGTGGTCGAACCAAGATGGCCCCAAACCTATCTTTTTCCAAAGCATGAGCTTATAGAGAATCTTTCAACCAACACTAGTTGATGGGGATTTGAACGCCGAAATGGTCCCATCTGATCCACTTTTTCTTACCTGCTCACTGAGCGTCCGGGCAGCATTCCGGGATCATTCCGGGAGCACCTCGGGCTGCTTAGACGGGCGGACACTGAATAACCGAGGCTTGGAGAATTACATAGTGGTAAAATATTCACCCTCCGTCCGAGTTGATTCTTGACTTCCGGGTAGGTCGGCATTCGAAAGCGCGGCACTGAGCCAGCGATACTTCATATATTGCCCTACAAGGTGGGACCCTATATAGATGTCGCGTTTCGCTTTTTGGAGGTTCCAAGGAACTTCATGCCAGTGATTAATTGTACGATTTCAATATGAGTCTCATCGATACCCACCACCATTTTGTGCCTGACTTCTATGCGCAAGGTAAACTGAACCTCACGGCGTGACGATTGAGAGATACTGAATACGGATTCACAGCTGTCGAGGAGGCTGGAGGGGATCCCTCTGGCTGGCCAACACCTTCCTGGTCTTTTGAGGGCTCTATTGCGTCCATGGAAAGAAACGGTTCTACCAAGGCAATCTTATCACTGACTGCCCCTGGAGCCGTCATCGCATCTAATGATGAAAAGAGAAGGGCATTGGCCCGCAAAGCTAACGAATATGCCGCCTCCAAGCGTGATGAAGACCCTAAGAAATGGGGCTTCTTTGCAGCTCTGCCGTGCCTCCTTGATACCGAGGGCACCCTGGCAGAAATCAGATACGCCCTTGATGTGCTGAAAGCCGAAGGTGTCACTTTGTTCACCAGATATGGCCCTGGAAACCAATACCTGGGTCATTCAGAATTCAAGCCTATTTGGGAGGAGTTAAATAGCAGAAAGGCTGTGGTCTTTATCCACCCCACCCATCCCGCTGATACGACTCGGGTCAATCCATTCCTGCCGCAACCAGCTATCGATTACCCCCATGAGACAACGAGGACGGCTGTCGACATGATCATTAGCAACACGAAGAGGAACTACCCTTCTTGCAAGGTAGTCCTCTCCCACGCCGGAGGTACCCTCCCATTTCTGATCACCCGGATGAGCACTGTATCAAAGGAAGCAGCCGCCACGGCTCGCATTTACGGGAAGACTTCTGAGGAGATAATGGAGGATTTCCGGTCGTTCTACTTCGACCTGGCTCTTTCCAGCTCGGAGGCTGTGCTCAAGCTGGTTCTAGATGTTATTCCACAAGACCATCTTCTTTACGGTAAGCTGCTGCAAATGATCCGTTACTATCTATCCCTGTCACTGACAAATTGTGCAGGCTCTGACTACCCTTACGCCTCTCCCGATAAAACACTTGGTTTCAAGCAAATTTTGGATAGCTTTCCTCTGGACCAAAATCTGCGGGACAATATCTACTTCAAGAACGCTGAAGCACTTTTCACAAAGGCAGAGTAAAACAGCTTTGAACGGAGGATGTAGCTTTTCCTCGGCACCTTTGCCCATACTGTTAGAAGCTAGTTGGAAGTTTAATAAGGAAATATCTACCTGGTTTCTACTTGTGCTCAGATTGAGGAGTATCTTATGCTATTTAGTTCAATTGTTTCTCGGTTGCTGCACTGCGCTTTATCTAAGTTGTTCAAGACCCAACAAAAATATATATATTCGTGCAGGAGATGACGTTGGTAGGACGACAAGTACTACGCCCATCGGTCAATCGTAATAGGCCAAACCTCACACCGTCCCAAATTCCGCATGAGCGCCCAAGAGGGCGTGTAATTCAAAACACAAGCCCCGCCCCCTATTCTACGAAGCTTCCCATTGAACATATGGCTGGACTACTTTGCACCTATTTCTTTCGGCGTAGAAACCCCCGCTTTATCCCGGAAGCCACTCCGAAACATGACGGATACACACTAATCCCCCGGGATGGAATCCGGAACTATAGACCTTGCCCTTTCCCTGTGAGGTATTCGACTCCGCTCTTTTTTGGGACAAACTAAAAAATATGGGGTCTGAGCGTACAAACAGAGGCATAAAATGGTACAAATTGGCCGCTGGTTTCAGCGTTGGCAAAGCTTGGATATCCGGTGCTGGTGATTAGACCCTACGTCCAAAAGACTTCGTTGACAACCAAATATTTTCTTTCTCTCTCTAATATTTCTGCCTGGTTAGCCAGTATGAGTGGTCTAGTTTCTGACATGTCCGATCCTCGCCAAAAAGCCTTCTTTGACCACTTGGAGTCTGTCACAATGGAACAGCCCGCCAGTCCAAAGAGAGAGGAGGCTTCATTCCCACCAAATGCTCCCTCGCACGATGCTCGAAACTGGCCACAGTGGAAGAAGAATTTTGTGATTTTCATGGTTTCATTTCATTCCATGAGCTCCACGTTTATGGCCGCAGGAATCGTTCCTGCAGCTTCTAAGTTCGCACATTCGTATGGTGTATCTCTCGCCAACGCCAGCTACCTCGTATCTGTCCAAGTGAGTCAGTTCTTTTATGAGGCACGTGAGCTTTTTTGGTTGATATTCAACATAGATCCTGTTACTCGGCATCGCTCCGATATTTTGGACTGTTATTGCGGATAGGTATGGCCGCCACTATGTCCTAGTCTTTTCCGTTCTTGCAAGTATGGTATGCAATATTGGGGGCGCTCGATGCACAACTTATGCCGGTCAAATGATCACTCGTGCATTAACAGCAACTGTCATATCGCCACCGATCGGGATTGGCAGTGCAGTGGTGGTCGATTTGACTACCCCGGATCAACGTGCTAGGAAGCTAGGCTGGTGGGTCTTGATGACCATTCTTGGTACACCCGGTGGCCCCTTTATTATGGGATTTGTGGTGCAGCACACTGAGGTGCAGTGGATATTCTGGATCTACGCCATTGTTAACTTCTTACAAGCGTTGGCTTACCTCCTATTCAGTGGAGAGACGCTCTACATTCCTGAAAGTGAACCGGATGCCCTCGAGGAACAGGTCTCAGGCTTGAAGAAATTCGTGAAAGAATTGGTGCCAAAAAGACTCAATATGCGCCCAATCACAATGCTGGATTTTGTTTCCCCATTTTTGTTGGCCTGTAAGCCTCGCATCTTGGTAGTGGCTCTGGCAACTGCTATTACATTCTGCTACGGAAACATCATTTTCGTGGTTGAAATGCCGGTTACTTTTGGGGAGAGATTTGGCCTCGATTCGCAGCAAACTGGTCTTCAGTTCATCTCCGTAATCATTGGATGTCTCATTGGAGAGCAGTTAGGTGGCCCAATGTCGGACTACTTCATGAAAGTATATCGGAAACGTAGGGGCCATGTTCGTCCCTCGGACCGTTTGTGGTTGGCTTATATTGGCTTCCTCACCATCATTGCTGGGCTGTTGATCTGGGGATTTCAACTGCAACGTGCCATAACCTGGAATGTTACTCCATGTGTAGGCATTGCCATTGCGAGCTTTGGAAATCAGATACAATCAACTATTCTCACGGCATATGCCATCGATACTTGCCCCGACAAGTCTGCTGAGATTGGAGTGTTTTTCAACGCTATTAGGCTCCTTTACGGTTTTGTCCGTTTATTAAAACCCTAACGATTCACGTGTTTGCTGACCTTTCTTTTAGGCTGGTCCCTTTTACTTCCCATATATGTTTAACGCATTGAACTTTACGGGTACGGCAGGGGTGCTGTGTGGGTTCGTGGTAGTTGTGGGAGTAATTCCCATCCTGATTGTTCAGATCAAGTCAACGCGCCCATGCTCTTAAAAAGCCAGAATCCCTATTTAATGATCTTGATCAAGCAAGGCTTCATATATGTCGACCGCTGTTTTTGTGACTTAGTGGACTCTCGCTGTATACATTGAATGCTCGTTGGAATGGAATCACAATGGAGACAAAAGCTTTCTTGTTCCAAGATAACAACCTTTATTGAGCCACTACAGGGTTCTTTTCCTGGGGTGCGATTGCCCACAAGGGTAAATATCTCCCTGATCAACAGGGAGGTAGATCTTAGGACAACGGCGATGGCTAACAGCGTTGCTGTGGCAGGATGGTCAGCTAGATAGTGTCCGAGTTTGACGTGATTGGACGAATGCATGGTAGTTGCTTAGCTGGCTTTCATTCAAACTTCCAAGGCTATTGGCATTTGTTGGATTAATGTTCAAAGCTTCTGATAGGTGTTGGGGAACCGGGTTCATTCCGGTCTTTTATTTTCACTGGTGATCCTGCTCATTGGCATCGGGTCCATCCCGAAAACTGTAGATAGGCATAATCACCCGAGAGAATATACCCACACTCGTGGTAATATACTAACCTGTCGGTAAGTCTTTGTTAAAATTGCTCCGACAATCTCACCCTACCTACTTGGATAGAACCATGCGGAATGTATTGATAATGATACAGGAACATTCCGAGCCTAGTCCTACCATAGACTAGACTAGCGGTTGTTAGCGTTATGGATGATCTACATCTCTCCCGGATTGCCTAGACACCTACTCGCAGGACAACCCGTCTACGTTGAACACAGTACCACTATCTCATCCCAGGGTCCAGGGCTCGGCAGGCTCAGGTACGCGAACCCAAGACCCATGGACCCCGAATATTCCAGATCCATGGCAGACTGGGCTGACTGGACGGGTTGGCGATGGCGCCAGGAATAGAACATAAAACAAATGGCCAAATCGAACACAGCAGCAGAGTTGGGTATCGAAGGGAATGCTGCCTCTGTCATAGTCAACACATTAGTCAAGGACAGACATGAAAAAAAAAATAAAAATAGACCAAATCACAATCTCCGAAGCTCCGGTCCAGTACCGCTCTCTATACACTTGACTGGACCTCCACCGTTCCCTCGCCTTACCAACATCCCAATCCCAATACCCTATAGAATCCATAAACCATACCATGTCATATCCAGTCTTAAAGAAAGCAACAAGGAATTTCATCAGATCATCATCAAAAATGCTCAGCGTCCGGCGCGAAACCAACTCCTCCCCTGCGCACAGCACAAGACAAACACAACCTTGGCAATTCAGATCCCAGCCCGGTTCGACCCAGCTGGAATCGCAAAGAAACCCATCAGTCAAAGGCTAAACGCCGGAGCCCCTCCTCCCTCCTCCTCAGTGGAACCACACAATAGTAGTAGCCCTCTGTCTCAATTTTTCCCTTCCCTCCGTCCAGTGTTTTATCTCCACGCAGAACAGTTCGGGTATGTGTATCGCATCCACTATACCAGAGTGGTTGCATAAACAATCAACGAAAGCTAAGAGTTCCGGCGCTGCTGCACAAGAATATTGCTGAGCCGCTTCCAGCGGTGCGTGGGGGAGGTGGAGTTGGCGCGGCTTAGAGTGGCTTTGTCCAGGCTGCGCTTGGGAGAGGAGGTAGAGGAGGAACGGGGCTGGCTGATGGTTGCTTCGTGGTCGGCGAGGACGTCCTCGAGGCGCACGTCTGAGTCGGAGATGCGCGGGTGCGCGTCGTTGGGATCGAGGATCTCGATGAATTTTGAGGGTGTGTCGTGCATGGTTGTTGTCGTTGTGGGGGGGGTTTCGAGTAGAATAGAGGAGAGAAGAGCAAAGCGGAGCAGATGAAAGTCCAACAGAGCAGATTCTTTCACCAGCGAAGAAAGTGAAGTAGTGTGAAGCGAGAGACGGATGAAGAGGATGGATCGAGCGAGTGTTAAGTAGTGAAGAAAGCCAGATGAGGCAAAGAGTGTCGCAGTTAGCGCTATGCTATAAGAAGGGGGAAACGAGGAAAGAGGGCGGGCTATAAGGAAATGGCAGTGGAAGCCACATCTGCTGACACGGGCAAGGCGCACTGTCGGTTCTGGACCGATAGAGCGCGGCGATCAGGGGATTTTTTCAGGGTCCGTGATAATATTATATTTCTGTCTAGGAGGTATCACATAGATCTATCGGAGTGCATACCATGTCTAAGTACCAGAACACAGAAACAACACAAAGCGACACATAACAATACTCTGGTTATTCTTCTCCTTCTCACACACACAGCCTCCCAAGATCAGAAAATGTGGGCGAAAAATGGAGAGGATCGGCGCTAAACGACGCTGTGGCGCCGGGCGTCCTGCCCATTGAACACGACCGCAACGGGGTTCGTGGAGATCGTGGTGGGGACGTGGTCGTGTGAGTGGTGTCCTCGGATGACGCGATCTACATATTTTTATAAGCTCCATCTTACTATTACTGTAGTAGTAAAGAAGTACCAAGACGATGATTACCATGACGTCGGGGGCTACTGTCAGTAATAATATGTGATTTGGGAGTTTAGTTGTAGGGTCCGATCTACTCCGCCAACCCTATAAAAAGTAACACATCCGCCATTCAAATCAAAGAGGAGGGCCGGAGGACCAGCCTATAAAAGACAGACGGAGGTGCATCCTCCACTACCTAGATCTGAGAATCGCCACGTCGATCGGAGGGGTGCATATCCATTTAGTCAACAGATCCCTCCCTGGCCCATTATTCTAGTATTATTCTCCATCTACTGATTTGCCCCCATGATATTCGTCGACGCTGATATCAAGCGGGACCAAGATCTCGAGTTTCCGGGAATACACTGCTGGTGCAAACGAAGGGCAAGAGAAGGGCGGGCGGACCGTGGGGGCGCCCCATTGCGCTGGCGTGCAGGTTGCAGCTGTGCTTACTGGGTACCAACAACACCTTAAATCGCCACCAGGCTGCTAATTAATTGCGGGCCTTGAGCCAACATGGCTTCTACTTGGTGGCGGGCGATGGCGAGAAGTTCTACAAAGGGATACAGCCGCTGGGGTGGGCCGGCGATTATTCGCGTGGTTTAGTTACTGGACAATCCAATCGATGTATTGTGTTGGTAGGTGGGTGGGTGGCCAGTAACTGGTAGTTGAAACAGAATTCCATTTCCATCAAGAACGCCGCATGAGAGCCGGATATGGTGAGAGCAAATAGTTATTTCGACAACAGCCGCCAGCGCTGGGGTGGCCGTCATCGCCCCGAATCCCTCTGTCTTTTTGCGGATTTCCTCCTCTATCAATTCCTTCGCGCATGCTCGTTGCCGTCGTAAACGCACGAGCTCGACGGTTCCGAACCAAGAGGCGACATCGGAGAGATGCAAGATCGCTCGATAGACAGCGCCGTCCACCTCAATCACCTAGGTCATCCATCCATCGTCTCTGTAAACGCGCGCACGGGAACCTAGGCGCTCCTCTTCTTCCTTTCTCTGCCTCATTATTTTAACCCGAGATCCGTCATCTCCACGTTCTCAGCCGAGCCCATCCAGAGAATATTGTTGCACCTGCGTCGCCACGAGTCAGCATGATTGATGATTGACCAATATTCCAACCGTAATCGTCCTGCAAGTAGGTACATACCGGATCAATACCAGGCCCAGAGTACCCGTGTTCTTGCCATCGATGAACTCCTCCGTGTCGCGCAGCAGGACGTTCATGTACGAGTCAATGCTCTCCAGGATGCCCTTGTACTCGGTCTGGCCCCATTTCAGGCGGATGACCATCTCGGTGCCGACTCTAAAATGTAAAATTAGTATTTGCTTGAATGGCCATTTCGGCGATGATATGAGACCCGCTAGGATGGGAGAGGAACGGGCGGTTGAGGAGTTGATTGAAATGAAGGGTACTGGACTCGTCGAGCCGGCCTTGGGGAAATTCGTACCTAGCCTGCAAAAATGGCCGAGGGTTGACTGGTTGGAACTGCAGCGATAGGGGTTAGCAATGATTCTCTTGAGATTGCAGAGGCTCGACACCCTGGTTGGGAGTCTGCTGGCCTGGATGGAGAGCAAGGAGGGAGACGTACACTCATTGTGAATGTGTGGAGTGCGGCGATCCGAAACAGGGAAGATCACCAGGAAGATATAAAGGGAAGGACGGGGCAATGAGCTCTCTCTCTCGTTTCTCTCCGGGTGTTGAGGATCGCGGAGTTGCTCAAGCGCGAAAATGTGAGCTGGTCCGTCGTGGCCAATCAGGGGTGGATGAGCATCACCGCCTTGACCGTACTGCCGATTGATTATGTAATGGATCATAACGTAGTTAACTAACTAGCTAGCAGGGTTATTTTGCTATACTCCAAATTTATTCATGTCTCGTATCTTTTCTTCTTCTCGATTTAATCCGAATACATCAGGAACAACTTGATAAAGTTATGAATACCCTAAATTCCCACCTCAAAGACCTCCCCAGCACCAATCGATGGCTCATCAGCGAAGTAGACTCGATGGCTTGGGAGTCGAGGACTGGGGAGAATGTGCAATTTACTTATGCTCTTACTGTTAAATCCAGTGGAACTTTTATTACAGATCCTGCCAAGCACTCTGATTGACGATGGATGTAGCTAGAAGAGGTTGAGTCGTTTTATTTCACACCGGCGGTCAAGAAGGTTGTTCGGGATGCGTTTGCATCTGCTGCCAGCTGTGTTTAGCCAAAGGTCATCTTTGAGCGAACTGGTAATGGTGGAGATGGATGGCAACATATCAATCAGATAATGACCGGATATAGTTAAGAATTCAATCCATTGGTGGCTCAGATATGCTCCATGAAAGACAAAAAGAAAGGGATATCAGTCAAAGCAGAGCCCAGAACCTACCCCCTGTAGCGCCCATTCCCCCCTGCATCCCTCACAAGAAAAAGTTGAAAAAGAAATATTCACGCCCGGCCAACATCCCATTTCAGGTCCTTGATGCTCACCTCCTCACCAGCCTTCTCGTCATAGTCATACCAGTCGCCCTCCATCAGGTCGATGGCACTGAACGCAGTCCCGGACTCGACGCCCTTGGTCTCCCACTCGCCCTATAGATAACTTTCGTTAGCGTGTCCGATTATGCACAAAGAATGAAAGTGCAAGCGGCAACTCACATCAGGCTTGAATTCGGTGAACTCCAGACCGCGGCAGTCCATGTCGATGATCTTTTGGCCCTTGCGCTTGTCCTGCTTCATTTCGACGGAGTGGGGGCCGGCGATGACGGATGCGGAGTGGGTTTTCTAGAGAGAGACGTTAGTCTAAGAGTGTTTTCAAAGGGAAACAAAAAGCAGGAAAGAAGCAGGAAGAGCATAGAGTGTATGTGTCCCGAGGGGACTGAGAAAGAAAAGAAAAAAGCGTGCACCCCTTACCTGGCAAAGACGGCACTTCCACACAAAGTTGGCTTCGCCGCGACTTCCAGGAATCTCATGCTGCTCCTAACAAGCCCATTTGCGTCAGTAAGTGACCAGAGATATAGAACAGACACATACAAAGCGGTTGAAGCTAACCCAGTTCGGGTGCTCCTCGTGGCAGCCGGTGCATTTGACGCGGAAGGTGTAGAAGTACGGGTTCTCCTCAGTGTCAGTGGGCTTGAGGGAAGTAACGCTGTAAGAATATAGAGTAAGCTGATTGGAACTTCAAATGGGAGTTGTGGGGTGCAGCTATCTTGCCAGTGCAAGATAGCTTATTTGATCGGTGCGGGGGAGCAGGGAATGGTCATAAGAAGCAGGAGAGAGAAACACTGACCCTTCCAGCTCAGCAGAGAGAAGCAGTGACAGCATTTTGCACGCTGAAAAAAGCAGATGGGTGGTGTTTGCGGTGTGTTTGACGCGAAAGTGGAAAGAAGAAGATTCTCTGTTGCGGTGCGGGGAGTGAAAGGGCTCGGCCATGTGACCCGTATCGATAAGAATGTACACAACAATTTGGAGGGCTCCGAGTGAGCTAACTACAGGTTACAAATGCTAAATCTGCTGGGCTGCATTCCAAAAATCTCTTCAAGCCCCATCTTGCTAACGCTCATTCGACAAGGACAATTTCATTGAGATCTAATTCATTTACCTTCATGACTAGAATAACGCCAAATCATGCACAACCGGAAACGAAAAGCAAAGGCTATGTACAAGGTCTATAATAACATACAAAACAACAGGTCATCAATCAAAGACGGCTCTGCTGCGAGTCCTGGCCTAGGGATTTGGCCGAGAACGAGTTGAAGTACTCATTCAGAGCATCAACGGTGCCACTGCCCTCCACCAGCTGCACGGTGCAGGCAACGTGGCTGTCAGGCCGAGTGACCACGACACAACCCTGCTCGGGGTTAAGGCCCAACTTCTCGTGGGCAGAGAACTTGGCATGAGGGACACGCACATCGGGGATGTCGTCAGCGTAGATGTGGTGGTGGTAATCGCGCAGAACCTGGGGGATGAGCTCGACGTCGATGTCGTTCTTGGCGGCGGCGTAGATGACGGACAGGGTGAAGAGCTTGGAGTGCGGGTTGTGGCGCTCGAAGAATGAGACGTCGGCAATGTCGGGCCGGCGGTACATCGACAGGAAGGAGCGCTCCTTCTCCAGGTTCAGGGCCAGGTCTGCGATCGCCTTCTTGGTCTTGCCCTGCAGGCCGGCAAAAATGAAGATGCGGAACGCGCCGTTCGCGGGAACTTCCTGCTCCAGCTCGACGAAGTTGGCGTCGGCTAGACGGGTCACGGTCGTTGGGGTGAATGCCCGGCCGGGAGTCAGGCGGGCACCGGGGACGTTGAACAGGGCCGACTTGGCAGGGTGGTTGGAGTCCCAATTGAAGATGTTGGGCTTGTAGGCAACGCCGTAGCCGCTGGTGAACTCGCAAGACGACTTGAAGGTCTTGACGAATTCGTCTTCCTCGCCACCCGCGGTGAGGGCGACATTGCTGGCAGAGCCAACCTCACCAGCATTGGGGCGGCGCTTGGAAAACAAAGACGCGTACTTGGCATCAAAGTCCAGCAGCATCTCGGCAATATCCTTGCGCTCGGTCTCGTAGGTGCTCAGGATCGACTGCTTGGCGAGGCCAGACTCCACGGCGTGGAGCTTCCAGGCCATGTTGAGGGCGTCGTGGAATGCAGTGTTCATACCCTGACCAGCCTTGGGCTTAAAGGGTGTTAGCAAATAACAATCACATTCACAGGGAGAAACTGACGCTGTGGGTGTGGCAGGCATCGCCTCCCATGAACACTCGCTGGTCCAGGCTGTACCGCTCCGCGATACCCTGGCCGATGGGGTACACCGAGTACCACTCGACACGGTCCCACTCAATCCAGTAAGGGCTGAGAATGTTCCTCGCCGTCTGCTGGACCTGCTCGGCAGTCGCCGTCTTGCGAGGGTTCCAGTCGGGGTCTGAAGACGATGCAATTTGAACATAGAGGCGGACCATATTGTCCTCACGAGGGATGACCATGATCGAGCCAGCGTCGGAGTGGATAGTGCATTTTGTCTGCAGACAGGTTAGACCGCAATTTAAGAATAGGTGAGACTATGTCTTACCTCGATATCAGGGAAGTTGGTGCGGACAACGCCGTCCATGACACCCCAGACGTAGGCGATGGGATCCTTGTGGTGGATTTGGATACCGAGCTGCTCACGGACAAAACTGCGGGCTCCCTCACCACTGAACAGGTACTTGGTGCGCATGACGTCGATCACGTTGGTGTCGAGACACTTGAGGCTCACCTCGACCGGGTACTCCGGGTCGCGGCCGTCGTTGTTGAAGCCAACAATGGTCCACGGCCGCTCCACATGAGTACCGGCCTTCTCGATCTCGTCCAGGAAGACCCGTTCGATCTTCCCCTGGTGGACCAGGGTGGTGAACGGGTAGCGGGTGTCGATGAAGCGGGGACAGCTGGGCCAGCTTCCTGTGCGGTGGATCCCGCTGCCGTCGCCCTTGGGGTCCCAGAAGGCAACGTCGTACACCTTGGCCGGCTCGTAAGCCATGATGGGCCGCTTCAGGCCCAGGTTGCGCAGGATCTCGGTTGACCGCGGCTGGATGCCATCGGCGCGGCCGGTGGCGGTCGGCACGGGGCGGTTGTCGATGTGCTTGACCTTGTAGCCCCAGCGCGACATGCACAGGGACAAGAGCAGACCGACGGGGCCGGCGCCCACGATGACAATGTCATATTTTTCTTGAGAATGCACCATGCTGACTGTGATGTAATATGGATCGACAGTAAAGGATCAGAAAGGTTACCGGGAACAGGTCAAAGTGTCACCCGCACGGTCGCATCAAAACAGACAGAATAAGGAGCATGACTGGGGGGGACATGAGCGCCGATATATAAGTTGCGGCGTCCAGCCAGGGTATTCAGTGACGGCGAACAGTCACGGCAGCTGTAGTCGGGAGCATCGTGGGGAGCAGCCAATCAGTGGTGGCAGGGATGAGCACACATAAGCAGAGTGTGGGGAGGGGACCAGCCCTAGCACAAAGAGTGGACTAGCGAAGATTGCCGGCGTGGAACCCGACTGTGCTGCTGCGCTGGCCGGATAACACTTCGGCAAGTGGAGTGCCATCCACGTGACGCGGAATTCTCCATCGACCATTGGTTTCGATGATTTACCGGATCCGAGCTGGGAGTGTGGCAAGGGAGTTGGCCCTCGAAAACCCGGGGCTAGGTGCCTGGTCGCACACGCTAGGACGATTTGGCCGAGGTCTCGGACAGGAGGATGGCAGATAGTCAGTTGGGAAAGCAATAGATCTTGGATGGATGCGATCTACAGCAGTAGCTCGATGTGACCTGCAGGAACAATCACCAAAGGCAGAGTGGGCACATTATTGGTGGCAGCTATTCATTCCGGTACGACTCTGCCGCAGGAGTTATTGGGGCATGGTGTTGGTATCATCTTCAATCGCCATGATTGTTCCTATTGACACCTGAATAATGGCATTGAGGGCCAAGGCCCATTGCCTTGCCCATCTTCTTCCTACCACCTCCAATACCCCATTCAGATCAATATGGACCCCCTCTATTGTCACCACACAGTGAATACCACGATGTCCCTATATGCCATGGGCGGATCAAGCTTCCCACGCCATCTTCATCCCCTCTACGAATCAGGATAGTACTCGCTCTGAATCTTCCTGCATGTCCATCATCATGGAACCGATCTACGAGGAAGAACACTCCAACCCCTTTGAGCTCGAGCGGCCTGACTACCTGGACAGCCCAGCCAAGGTCCAGCCTGACACGTCCCCTCTGGTCTCGCCGGACTTCCACCGGATGAGCGAAAATGCCCAGCGGATTTATCTCATGATGGGTAAAGAGTAAGACCCTTCACACGTCTATCGGGGGGACGATGACGCTGACATCAGACAAGTATCTGCCGAGAGTGTTATAAGGGCAATCCCTATCTGAACTCGTATGACAGCTCCAACCTGTCCCCCACGGGCTCCTCGGGCAATATGACTTCCAGTGACTCTCGCTCGAGTGGTGAGCGACGCCGCTCTGTCGACTGCTGGCCCTTCCCGATGGACGGTGTCCACAAGGAACTCCTCCCGCAGGAGTTGAGCATCCCGATCAGGGACGGACATCAGCGTCACCCGGCTCTTGAGGAGAATGACGTGTGTAACCCTGTCCGCAGCCGTGTGGCTTCCTTGGAGCTCAGCCATTCTTTCTGCAAGCCGGATTCTCCTACTCGTGTTCTGGAGATCATCAATGAGGTTAACGCGGCGGACAAGGTGGACAAGATTACAGGCGTGCTGCGTGTTCCCGAAACTACTCACAAGAAATTGTTCGGGGAGAAGGGCTGGCTGGAAGACACTAGAAAGCCAAAGGGTCTGCGTCCCATGAAGAGTACATCCAAGCGGTTGAAGAGTCTGGGAAACAAGATCAAGCAGCAGATCGGCGAACTGGTAGGTTTGTCCTTATAGGGCTTGCGGCTCACTGCTCATACCTCTCTCCAGGCGGAGGATGTCTCGCGCAGCCACCCGGGATCTTTCAATAGCATCTCCACTTCCGACAAGACCGGCATCCGAAAGGCCACCGTTCCCATCTCTCTCGACCTCGGCACCCAGGCCAAGCTGTACTCCGAGCTCGAGTACATGATCTGCGCGACGGCCAACGCCTTCCTTCTCGAGCAGTACTACGACCGCCGCATCTCCAAGGAATCCATCAAACGCATCCAGAGCTTCTGGGGCTCCAAGAATCGTCCCCAGGTGACCGAGTTCCACTTCGACCAAACCACCCAGCGCGAGCTCATCCTGTACAACATCCGCACCCTTCGGTTCCACGGCGAGTGCGCTGTCAACCCGGTCCTGCTACATTCGAACCTGCGCAACTGGAAGGCGATTGCCACGGAGATGAGTGTTCGGACTTTTTGTTTACCGGACAGTGCCATTCGCAAGCACCTGCATGATATCCAGAAGCTGCTTGAGATGCTGAATGCGACCGTGCCGACTCTGCAAGCATTTCATCAGGTTCAGCTGTTTGCTCAGGAGGAGATCATTCAGCGACTGAAGAAGGCTCATCCCCGGCATGCGGTCAGCTTTTCGCTGTGATTGATGGTTTTCATCTCTCGTAGCTTCATGGTGCTTTTGTGTTTTTTTTTTTCTTATTTTTTGGAGGCTGTTTCTTCGCTGTGGTTCCTCTCAGATAGTGCAATGTATTCCATAGTGATTCGACCACATTTTGTCGTCGTGCATACTTCCGTTCCGTCTTTGTACTCCCCTGTCGGGCGACGTCATCGGGTGACAAGATCACGGGGAGCCCAAATAGTTAATCCCGCAGCGGTTTTTTGGTTCCTCGTTTCCCCTTCAATCAGTAGTTACATTACATGGGTAATCATTCCCTTCACACTCGCAGCTCTGCCATCTGATGCACCGCCCAGCCACCCTGACTCTGCCGAATTGTTGGTTGCCTGGCCCTGATCAGTGACCGCGGCTCCACCGCAATGCCCGTCTCCATCAGTCCCGTCTAGATCACCAATAACAACAACAGCAGCAGCAACATCCAGACAATACACGTTCAACAAAATTAAAGAGCTTAAGACCGATCGTCTCCGCCATGGCGGGTCCGATCCACACCTACGGCCCGACCTGCCTGCTGGCAGACGAGGAGGACGAGCTCTCCCCGCTGCATTCCCTGCCAGCACCGCCAGATGTACGTGCGCACTTCTTCTATGTATCATCGCTTCCGATCGATGATCCGCTGGCTCCCTTGCCCTCAGCAACGGGTCTAGCGACGAACAATGAGCGCGCGCCGCCTCAGCCCTTCGCGGCTAGGGATAACATCGCCCTCGAGGCAGCTTGGCAAGAGCTTCGCCAGACGAGAGGTGCTGGCTCGCCGAACTCTCGGCCCCAGACCGCAAAGGATGCGCGCACGGGCATTGCTGTGCCTGGGAGGGAGCACTTTCTGGACTCCGGTTTGATGGGGAGTCGAGGGAATTCCGTGAACACGCCAACTTCCTTCCCAGAGGGCCAATCCCTGAGAAGTCGACTCGAGCGCGATACGAGCAATCCAAAAACTCGTGCGGGTGATGACTCGCGAGAACCCGACCTGGACAGCTTCGCTTCTCAGCGCAAACGGGACCGATCCTCCTCCATGAAGGACTCCACTCCTGCCAAAAAGAGAAACAGCTTCACGCCAGAGATGGACGGGACCGACGATGGAGAAGAGCGTGGGCCAAGTATTCACGCCACACATTCTCGGGATGCCAGTATCAGCGGTTCGCCGTTCGCAAGGGCTCCCATTTCCCAGCGGAGCCACAGTCCTCTCGGTCGGTCGGTTGAATCGCTCTCGTTACGGGACGAGGGCCAAGGAGAAATCCCTAGAAGCAGTGCCGCTCATCGACTCGCTTCAAAGCCCTCGGGGCTGAGAGCAAGCCTTGGTCCAGATGAAATGGCTCAAAATTCTTCGAGAGATGGAACTGAGTCGACGGCTCCTCAATTGATGATTCCGGTGGGCGTCTCTCGGCTCCACTTGGTCGAGCTTCCAAACTTGAAGGTATGTTCATGTTATGTCCATATGCCCTTTTTTCTCTAACAAGTTAACAGATGAAACCCATTTACTGGAGTCCCCTTCACGACATCTCAAGCGTGCTTCGCGCTACATGGTTCTACAGGAACACCATGTTGCCCGTGGAGACCGATCTGGCGAACAAGCTCGAGGAAGGATATAACTACTTAAAGCCATGGACTGAAACATGGCAGGACGAACTGAACAGTTGCATGGAGAACGGTGCTGCTGCAGAGATGAAAATCGTACACCGATTGTTCTCGAAAGACGACTCCCTTAGTCGGCCTGAAACCGCCCAAGGCCAACAAAGCGTTGATTCTGAGGAAGCCGTCCATCATATGACATTCGAAAATAACCAAGCGGCCGGCGGAACAGCTGCGCACTTGGAGGCAATCAAGCCCTATGTCAACTCCAGTGCGATCTATGTGGATGCAAAGAATGCCCAAATCTTGAGACCCAGTTTACTTCCGTCCGTCTCAAGGGGACGACGCCCGCTCAGCGCGATTCGGAAGGGTCGACAAATCGGCATCCCCGTGGTTCGGGGCTTCAGTCGCAAACTATGGGACAAGCTGCATCCATCCAAGCCCAACCCCATCGATGTGAGGCACTACATTCGACGCACGCAATCACGAGACTCGGCTGCAGCGCCGGGTCAACAAATCTGCTACGGTTGCCGAATGGAGGAGCTGCGCCCGCAACCGACAGATCTCGTCCTCGTCATTCATGGCATCGGGCAAAAGCTCTCCGAACGAATGGAAAGCTATCACTTCACTCACGCGATTAACGCGTTCCGTCGCGAGGTCAACATGGAACTGAACAACGAGCCTGTCTGGCCTCATGTCCGCCAGGATCACGGCGGGATCATGGTCCTCCCCGTGAACTGGCGGTCAACGCTCTCCTTGGAAGAAGCCAATATTGACTCTCCTACTTCGGAGGACCTGCCGAACCAGTTCTCCCTCGCGGATATTACGCCCCAAACACTCCCCGCTGTGCGCGCTCTCATCAGCGATGTGATGCTTGATATCCCTTACTATCTCTCACACCACAAACCCAAGATGATAAAGGCAGTCGTTCGAGAAGCCAACCGCGTGTATCGTCTCTGGTGCAAGAATAACCCTCATTTTCGGGAACATGGCCGCGTGCATCTTCTGGCCCATTCGCTTGGGAGTGTCATGGCACTCGACATTCTGAGCCACCAGCCGACACACGTACCCCAGTTCGACTTTTCCACGACACCATTGCATCACGATATCTTCGAGTTTGATACGAGACATCTCTTCCTCTGTGGAAGCCCTGTCGGATTTTTTCTTTTGCTGAATAAAGGTAAGGCGCACACAGACCTGCACTTATCAAGATATGTTTTCTAACGATTCATCCAGCGAGTCTTCTCCCACGAAAAGGCCGAGACAAACCAGGCAGCGAAGGCGAGGATCGTCTGCGCGGCGTGGCGGGTGATGCTGACAAGTACGGCTGTCTGGCTGTGGACAATCTTTACAACATCATGCACACAACAGACCGTACGCCCCCTTCTCGTTCTCTAGGTATATACATGTGCTAACACCTCACCCATCTTAGCAATCGCCTACCGCGTGAACGCAGCGGTAGATACCGACCTTTCGAACAGCCTCAAAACAGCCGCAATCCCCAGCTCGACCTCCACATTCTGGCAATCCCTCAGCAGCGTCTTCCGATGGAGTCCCAATTCATCCTCAGCATTCATCCCCTCCCTCCCAACCTCCACCACTATCACAGGAGCAACCCGCCCCGCAGCAATCTCCAAACTCCCCTCGAACGTCGAGCTCGAAACGCATGACTTCACCCGCGAAGAAATTGCCGAGAAGCGCATGCTTCTGCTGAACGATAACGGCCAGATTGACTTCTACCTCTCGGGCGGCGGAGGGCCGCTCAATATCCAGTATCTGAATATGTTGAGCGCGCATAGTAGTTACTGGACGCTAGCGGATTTTGTGAGGTTTTTTGTCATTGAGCTTGCAAGGAAGCCCGGGAGGGAGGGGACCTTGAGGGCTTTTCGAGCGGAGAAGAAGGTGGGCTGGAAGTATTCTAAGGGATAGATGAGGGAGAATATGATGTGTTTTCTTAGGGCCTCGGGGTTTGTTTGCTTTTGATAGAGGTTTTCTTTGGACAGTTTTGTTTTGTCTCGGATAAAGAATAAAGATGATAGAGTACTGTACAATGCATGGATGTGGTTGGAGAATAGGAGATTTATATTGGTCCCTATCTAAGAAGTCCAGCATTTCTAGCTTGCCATTTTTAGCCCATCTAGTCATTTTAGTGGCGATCACAGTCTGTTGATCAAGTAGCCTAGCCAAACCAAGACAAAAGGAAAGAAAGAAACAAAACAAAACCCGAACAGAAAAAGACAAGGCAGTGGGGCCCAGCCCCGAGAGTATCAGTGTATATCATCGCTTGAAGTCGAAGTCATAACCCATAAAGCACAACCGAAAAAGAGAGAGAGAGAGAAAGCAAGTCAAGAATGAAGTAAGAGTATTCAAGGCCTAAGCCTTAACTCTTACCTCACCAGCATGAACAGGCCCCATAAGGAGCGCCTCAATGATCTCCCCCTTGATAGCAACGCCGCGACCAGCACGCAGAACAACCAGTGCATTCGCACTGGCGAGACTCCCAACCCGCGAGCTGCGCTGTCCGACGCCCTTGACACCCGTGCTGGTGGCGTACAGCCTTCCATCGCAGCGGGACGCCGTCACCACGGCGCGGTGGTACTCCGTGCGCTTGGGATCGAGCGGGAAGTGGTGGGTCAGCACGACGGCGACGAGGGGCAGGCCAAGGGACTGGGGAATGGCGGGCTTAGATATTTTCACAGATCTGTTTTCGCTCACGTCCGCACCCACCCCCATGCCCATTAGTTTGTGCAGGGAGGGCAGCACGAAGAGGTTGAGGGTTACCAGCGCGGAGGCTGGGTTGCCGGGGAGAGAGAAGATAAGTTTCGATTGGCGTTCTTGCTGGGAGGAGACGGAGCCCGATTTGTCCGTGGCTGCTTTGAAGGGCACTGTTGCAAAAGTGGTTGGTTTGCCGGGTTTCATGGATACGCGGCCGAAGTGGATGGTTCCGCCGAGGGTGCGTTCGATCGTGGGCTTGAGGAGATCCAGCTCGCCCATCGATACGCCGCCCGTCGTGACGATGATGTCGACGCTGTCTGAGGCCCGCCCGACTCCCCGCAGGGCGTCGCGGAGGGCGTGCTCCAGCTCGCTGGCTGGAGTGTCGCGCGCGATGCCTAGGTCGACTGTCGGGAATCCCCAGGAGGCCAGGCAAGAGAGCAGAGATGGACGGTTGGAGTCGCGGATCTGGCCGCCGGTCAAAGTGCGGGAGTCGGTGTGCTCAACGAGCTCATCACCCGTGCTGAGGACGCCGACGCGGGGCTTGCGGAAGACCTTGATGGATTTGGTGCCCGTCGCAGCCAGCAGGCCAATCTCTCCGCCGACGGGGGTAATCAGATCTCCGCGCGAGATAATCTTGCTCCCCATTGACACGTCGCTACCGGGATCACGGACATTTTCACCGGGCTTGATGTCTTCGGCGAGAATTTCCACGGTGGCTTCTTCTTTGCCGTCGGGAGTGGTCGAAGCCAATTCGGTGTCTTCGACCATGACGACGGCATTGGCATTCGGAGGCAGAGGAGCGCCCGTGGTGATTCTCGCGATCGTGCCTGGCTCCAGCGGCTGCAGGTTCCCGCTATCATTTGCATGAGTGATCGAGGCCACGGGGAACACTCCCTTGGTATTTCCGCCTGACGCGGGGGCAATGACGGCGTATCCATCCACAATGCTGGCATGATACGCGGGGACCTGTTCTGCGGCATAGACATCCTCCGCAGCCACCGATCCCACCAAGGTGGTGTCTACGGGGGCATCAACCACCATTGGGTCTGGGGTGTGCTGGCTGATCTTCTCCAGCGCCTCATCCACCGAAAGCATCGGGTACGGCGAGGTGCGGTATCGCCGGGTAGGACCAGCCCCCGGGTCGTTTGATTGCGGGCGGTCCGCGGGCGACGTGTGCGCCTTGGGGACAACATGTCCATGGTTATGGTTGTGGCCATGGTTGTGGCCATGGCTGTGATGATGGTGGTGGTGGTGGTTGTCGTGGGAGTGGCTCTTGGTGCTCGGTGCGGTGGCTGCCGCAGCCCTCACACCAGCCTCGGCCTCTAGTTTCTTCATGCCGCCGGCATGTAGGAGCCTCGAATTGGCGCCTGCGGCTTGGATACAGGCGTGCGGCAGAAGCTTGACCACCGCCTCGAGGTTCTCCTTGGCCCCTTTGGGGGAGCCTGGCAAGGTGATTATCAGGGACTTGTCACGGACACCGGCGACGGGTCGCGACATCATTGCAACTGCGCAGGGTTGGTTAGTGACATAGCGCAGGGGGCAAACAGCGTGTCCGACTCACAAGGAGTGACTTTGAGTGAGGCATCCAGCATGCCATGACTAGAAATACCATTAGGGCCGTTCGACCAAGCAACCCATCATGCCGTGGATACATACACTAGACCAGGCGCCGGACGGTGGATGAGCGGTGATACAGCCTGGAGTTGATCAGCACGAGTGTTACGACACAACACTACGGGTAGTTGCTCACCTCGGGCGTGTTATCTTTGACAGCGAAGCCGGTGCCGCCGGTGAGCAGGACCAGGTTGACCCAATCCGAGCCATCGGTCCAGTCGCAGACGGCGCGCTGGATATCGAGGACGTCGTCGCGGACGATCTTGACGGTGGGGGCCTCCCACTTGCCCTCGCCGGCCAGGATCGGAGCCAGGGCATCGACGGTCTTGTCGGAGGCCGGGTTGAGAGCGGCGGTGTCGGACACGACCAGAATCGCAGGCTTGAGTCGGGCATCCATGGTGGTTGTTTGCAACAGAGGGACAGGCCAGAAATGCGCGATTTTGCGGGGACGTGGATTTCCCGGGAGGCGCTGGGTCACCTTATATATTTGTTATTAAGTTACCCCTGCCCGCGGTGCGACGTCATGGTGCCAAACGGGGTTCAGTGGCTGGACTAGCCCGTGCATCGGCTAGCCTCGATCAGACTTGGACATGCCTATTCTCTTCCCCCGGACCCAGTGGCCAGTGGAGCAACGCGGGGATTCTCGGCCACGTTGAGCCATCCAGGAAGCAAAACCACGGTTGCCATTCGGGTTGCCCTAACCTAGTTGCTACTGTACATCCAGCCAATCATCACAATTCCGGACTGCTCTACATTCCAGACGCCGCAATGCCAATACATATAATGAGAAAAGTCATGAACACGAAGGTGCCAACGAAAACATCCCCGATACTGTCCTCCGACAGAACCATATCACCGCCCTCAATGCAGCCAGCCAGTTAAGCAGCGCCGAAACTCTGCGCCCGTTGGGCTACCAAGAGGCCAACAATCAGACCGAACAGCCCGAGCACAGAACTAAAGATCTCAATGACAAGGATTTTGACGAACCTGCGGCGAGGGACAATGTCAGTCCAGCACAAAAGGGCCACAGAAACCAAAAAAAAAAAAAAAAAAACCTACAGGCTCGGGTCGGCCGCATCGGCCAACGCAGCACCGCTGCCATTGATGCCGACGGAGATACCGCAGATCAGATTGCACATGCCGACGGTGATGCCGCCCCAGAAGAGTGCGTAGCCGGTATAGTAATTGCTGGTGGTGTGGAGGGCCTCTTCTGACAGGGCGTTGAGTTTCGTGGAGAACACGATCGCCATGATCACACCGTAGATGGCCACAACTTCGCAGAAGATAATCGAGATCAGGTTCTTGGTGCGGATGCGCGGTGCTTTGACGCCGCCGCCGACGATGGACGATCCGGTAAGGAAGATACCCCTAGAACAAGGCAGGATGGTCAGAATGAACGGGGGATTTGAGGGTGAGAATGGGTTCGCACCATGCGGCTCCTATCACAGAGCACCCGATGCACATGGCAATGCCGATGTTGGCCCAGGCATAGGGGGAAACCTCCTCGAGGAAGCGGCCGACCTAGGATTGTCAGTATCGTGCGTCGTCGCTAGCTGCGTGTTGGGGCATACATTGAATGCTTCACCCTCTCCGTGGAAGAGCATGTCTAGAGTCCGGCATTGCCATTAGCTGTCACGAACGCGTTGGTCGGGAGAGCGAATCCCAACGTACACAGGCCAACCACGACCAAGGCCATGGTGGCGCCACCAGCTGGGTAAGCGAGAACCATGGCGACCTCGAGGAATGGCGGAAGATCAAGGAGTGGGAGCGTCGATGATCCAATCCAGTGTGTTTGAAGCAGGGAAAGGTCCAGGTGGTGGCTTCCCGTGGTCGGACCGGATTAACCAACCTGTCCGGGCGGTGGCCCTCTTTCCCCAGACGCAAGAGGCCAACAACTCTCACCACTCCGTTGTTGCCTTGTCTGCTCCGAGCCTGCTTGTTCGCTTTTTTTTTTATCCTCGATCTCTGTCCTGATTGCATCTCCTCATCTTCTCCCGCCATGGCCTCCTCGGGCGTCGGGTCGTACTCGAACCCGCTGAAGAAATTCAAGTACGTGGTCCCATCTTTAGGAGGGGGCGGAATGAGAAATTGAAGACTGATCGTTTTAGGTTGGTGTTTTTGGGCGAACAGAGCGGTAGGTACAATGGGCTTCGAGAATTGGGCACCCCTGACCTCCTCCTGCAGTTGGCAAAACCTCGTTGATTACGCGATTCATGTACGACTCGTTCGACAACACATATCAGGCAACTATTGGCATCGACTTTTTGTCCAAGGTGATTGATGGCTATCTGAACCGCGGCATCTGCAATCAGGACTGACGATGGCAGACCATGTACCTGGAGGACCGGACCGTTCGCCTCCAACTCTGGGATACCGCCGGCCAGGAACGCTTCCGCTCGCTGATCCCTTCCTACATCCGCGACTCGAGCGTCGCCGTTGTGGTGTATGATATCTCCAACGCCAAGTCGTTTCAAAACACCCGGAAATGGATCGACGACGTGCGTGGGGAGCGTGGCAACGACGTGATCATCGTGCTGGTGGGCAACAAGACCGATCTGAACGATAAACGGGAGGTCACCACGGCACAGGGTGAGGAGGAGGCCAAGAAGAACGGTCTGATGTTCATCGAAACTAGCGCCAAGGTTGGACACAACGTCAAGCAATTGTTCCGGAGGATAGCCCAGGCTCTGCCTGGAATGGAAGGCGAGGCGAACCGGGGCGAAAGCACAAGTAGGCCAACCTGAACCGATATCCTATTCTCACACGCTGATTTTTTTTCCTAACTGCAGTGATCGATGTGAACATCAACCCCAAGGAAACGACCAACAACGACGGATGCGCCTGCTAATAGTTCCCATGCTGCATTTTCTTATATCGTCCATGAGATCCCATCATGTCTTGGGTTGTACATGCTTTTGTCTTCATTTTTTTCCCTTTGCTCCGATGAACAGCGTGTCTCTAGATCTTTCAGTACTCAATTGCGTTTGATTCCTTGAGAGGATGCTGGGCGTTCTTGTTTCCTGTTCAATCCGCGTTATGTATATTCTTTTTCTTTCAGTTGATTTCCTTCCTTGCTCGCGGTTCTGGCCCTACTCGTCTCTCTCGGGGACATGAATGGCTGTTTTACATTTAACAGATGATGGATCTGCCAGTTGTGTATCCGGGATAGTATATGTGATGAGTGGACACACTGAAGGACATGCGTGACCACAAAGCCTGGAAGGAAAGCCTGTAGTTTTAATTGCCAACCCTGGACATCTTCTCCTCCTATATACTAGTACAAGTGTATTCTGGTTAAAGATAACGACTCAGCTCCGGTGGTGCCGCGGAGTGACCTGCCTCGCTCCCCGCGGATCCTCTATAGACAAGGGGGCTGGTATATTGCACGCCAGGACTCCAAACCACATTCTCATTGCGAGTACTCTGCGGCGTGACATTGATCTCATCATATGTTTGACAATATGCTAGGTGATGATTTGACTATGAAATTTTATTCATAAATCACCCTCTGCGACAGGAATTTGACATCTTTCAAGGCCACGAGTGCACCAGAAGGGACCAGGAGATATGTTATCATTGACGACGATCAAAGACAAACACTATATGAGATGGCGGCCTTTACTCCAAGCTCACTCATCTTTTCACGTCGGGCAAAGAATCCCCATAAACATCATAGAGGCTCACTAGTAGAAGACTGTCAAAGTATGAGAAGACATAGCTCCAGTTATTGGAACAATTGCAGCCTTGTCCCCGCGACTGACCTCATAGTCTAGATCGTCGTCAATTGAATGACGTCCAATCTCTGCCGCTTCAACCTCTCGCCAACACGAAGTATCCGACATTGCGGGGTTGGTGGGTCACCCCGGAGAGACTCGCGATGGTGGAGGACCAGCATCAACACGAACCGAATACTTACTAGTATTGAAGATCGGTTGCACTCCATCTAACGGGATAGTACGCATGCAAGGCGTGCTCGGGCCTCGCAGCTGCGACGCTATGACGCAGTCTCCCCACGGGGAAGGAAAGCGAGCCGTGCCGAGTTGTTGTTCGGGGCAGGTCTATCGAGCGGGGATGCGAGTTGGTTTGGTACGCTAAAATTGGGGGCGTCGAGAAATGAAATGCCGAGCCCGAGACTACTACGATAGCACAGGTGTGAATTGAACGAGAGAGAACTATCAGAGAGATTAAATTCGCTAGCAACTATACGGGCATCACACACCCCTCGGATCCTCCTGTCCAAACACAGCGGTCCAATATTTCTTCACATCCTGGCAAACCGCGGTCTGATTTTTCCAGCTTTTGAACTTGTTTTCCAGTGTACATCCTGTCCACAGAATTTCAGCCCAGAATTCCTTCTCAACGTCTCGCCCAAATTCATTGATCACAAAGTCCGGGATCGTCCATGCCCGCGTATAGCTCCCGTCATCATTGAATGCAGGGTTGACAGCTTGCTTCGAGAACACCGTTGCCGGATTGAACTTGGGGAAATTCGCATGAATGAAAAACGGACGTGGCTGCTTCACTCCATTGTCTCCCGCCGCGCGCCAGATTCCTTTCTGCGTCAACTTGTAGTCTTCGATGGGGTTGAATTGAACCATTGCCGACCCAGCTAGACCTCCCTCAGTGCGGTGGCCGATGGCACATATGCGCTCGCTGACCTGGTAGAACGGCTCTCCTAGCGCTGTTGCGGCAGCGAGGAATGTTTCTTTGTCGCCTTCTCCAGCTGTTCCCTGGGAGAAGAGTCGATAGTAATGTGTCGGTCCCCAGTAATTATAGTATGTGCTGAGCAGCAGGGTCTTGAGATGAGTTCTCTTTGAAATGAGAACCTCGCCGGACTCGGTCGATTGTCGCAGATCCATTGCAGGAATCTCCTGTGAGGCAATGCGGTAGTATAAGGGCGAGGCAGAGGAAGCCCAGAAATCAGGCCAAGTGAGCATTCCCTTTGAGTGGAAGGGTTCGCGCTCGAATAACGACTCCGGTTTGGCGAGAGGAAATGCATCAGCGTCCAAGAAAAGGATCTCCTCGAATGAAGAAAAGAGCATTGCGAATGGCTTGAACTGATATTTCTCAATTGGCCTGGAGCTTAACGATGTGTCCAGGACTTCCGAGAGAATGATGCATTTCGCATTTAATGAGGGTAGCACCTTCTCGCATATATGCTCCTCATATTCGTCGCGGTTTGCCAAAAAGACTTCAACGGGCAGTTTTGAGCCGGTGCGACGCAACATCCGCAGCGAAATAACTAAAACTGGTAGATATGGACCTCCGGCGGTACATACCAGACCCCTCGATCCGGGAACATAAGACAAACTCGGCGGGTTTGCGTTTATGGCCTCCACAAAGTCAGAGTGTGCTTTCATCATTCTCAAGACGTCATGAGTCGGCATCTTCAACATGTCCGGTCGAGGGTCAGGGTCCTTGGTCTTGTAGCCGGCTGTCTGGGCATTGCCAATTCGTCGAGGCGGATCGCACTTGGGTTCATGTTCTTCCAATAGAGGCTGGAACTGGCGCCAAAACTCCGTATGTCCGCTCAGGTTGTAAGCGGGTGCGTGATGCAGCGACCCAATCGAGAAGGCGTATGGTTCCGCTCGCCATGACGACAGGTGCCAGAAAGTGAAAAGCAGAAGGGCCGACACCATCAAGATGCGGAATCTGCCTGTCACCCTGGTGAGATACATTATGGCTGAATATCGGCGACAAAGTCGGCAGTGCATGAATGATCAAGTCATCAGATGAACACAACAGTGTTCGAGACGGTGATTTGTTACACCACCCTGGGTTGGTGATTGTGGGCTGCCAAGAACATAGGATGATTGAAGTTTATGAAGACTGCCATAATCCGCCTATATAGGAAAGGGGCGCCATGAAATATACCCCGGAATTCATCTCCGGATTCAAACATCCGCCTTCGTATCAAGGCACTGCTAATGCATACAAACAAAACACCCGGCCACATGACTTAACAGCAATAGTTTTAGCAATACAGCTGGACTGACCGAAAACAGTCACAAGAATTACTATTGCAGCGAACATGGGATTTTCCTCTACAGACTTGACGTGCTGTCTAGGGATCATCATGTGGCCGAATGCGGAAGGAGGTGGGTGGAATGCAAAGAACATTAATACTAGCTCTGTCATCGATCTGCATACCTTTCCCTTTGTTATTCCTTTCTATTCTGCATTCATATTGAGTTCCAGTCTCTTGGATCGCCAACCTGCAATCGATCCTTTGCATGGCTGTCATAGCCTAATCCATGAACGTGGAGTACACATTCCACTATTTTGACAGTTTTCGACCCATCCATCCCTTTAACGATCTCACGGTCATTGGCATTATGCTTTAAAGCGCTGGTGCTTTGGCGTTCCTTGCTGGTTTAGAAAAGCAATGACACTGTTATCGTGACTGGAAGCACTGGCATACATCGGATTCTAGGATTCTCACACATCAAGAACATGATCTTGGAAATTGAATGACCTTTGTCGAACTGCATGGCTAATAGTTTACGTGGGCGAACATGGCGGGTTACAATTTGCCCAATGGCGAACCGGTCTATTAGAACAAGATCTCTATCCTCAGAGAGGCTTTCAATCCATGCCCTGGCGCCGAATGGATCAGATGGATGGAGGGAAGCATCATCGTTATGAATATGTCCCTTAGCATCCACGCCCACGTCTTATCTAGAGAGAATATGGCGCGCAACATCCTTCGCGATACAATGATCAATGGGCCGGGAGGTGGAGTCTCGGGCTACCGTACGCCTGCTACATACGACTTCGAGGATATCAATCTTGTCACCTCTAAAGACTCATGAGACATGAAGATGAGGAACTTTCTCATGCGGCTACTGAATCCATGGATTAACCCGCTATACATCCCTCAGAATTGGGTCTTTTCTGAGAACGATGCATGGATGCGCATGCGGGAACACCACCGTATGAACCAGTCGGCTATGAATGCCTATCCTTCATACAACGCTGTCGGGGAGCTCTAGCAGTCCAGCGACCATATTGTCCACTTTGCGGGCTGCGGCAATAGCTCAGTATGCTGACCGAGTGGAACGAATACTGGAACATGCATGAGGAGGTCGAAGTGCCTGTCTGTGAGGATGAGGTTGACAAAGAGATGTGCGGAAATTGAAAACGTGCAGAAGAGTATTGATGTACCAAATTGATTTTGGTGTATTTCGAATCCGAGACGACGCATTGCTATTATTTGTGTCTTTGATCTCGAGAGAGAGAGAGAGAGATTTGGAAAAGAAGAGGAATGCTTTCAGCCGTTGGAATGTTGACTTCCACTCGTTGGAATGTTTACCGAAAGTGGCTCTAAGGCGGAAGAGATGGACGCCACGAGACTAAACCTGCAGTTTGAGCACCAATTTACCAAGATTGTGATCAATCAGAGCATTTAAGCTTCTCGAAACTGTCACAGTATGTTCCACAGCCTTCCGCAACCAACCCAGTAAGTTGATAACTGGAGGCAAGGAGTAAGAAACCGTTAGGCACTTGATGGCCAGAAGAACAACATAATTTGAGACTTAATCTAATGCTTATTATATTTCTACTGGTGTTTCAGGTTGTTTGGCTGGGCAATTGTATCATCACAACGACAGTATGAGTCCATCCCGGAACAATATCTTATTTCGTACCCGAATTACTGCACCCGGAGCTCGGCATTTGAGTGGTGAAACGGAGCACCATGCTATACGCTTGCATTCGGAAGTCGACTCCAGCTAGGCTTATTTGTACTTAGTTATTTGTTTCGCACACCAAACCCATTGGGACGTAACTACATGCTGCACTTAAGTGCGGCTCGCGACTGTTGGGACACTTTATTCCCCAATCTCGCGTCGTTTTGAAAGATGGCTTCCAAAAAGCGAGCTGACAATTGGGTCGATGTAAGTGATTTTGGTCTACTTCCCCAAATTTGGTCTCTGGACTTATTTGAACTCTAGGGACTCCGCGGGATCGCAGCTCTAATGGTCGTGACCTACCATGTTTGCTCATGCTTTGCAAATTGGCTGAATTCACCAGCTATGAATGACAAGGGCACAGCGTCACTTTTCCAATATCCATTTTTTCGACTCGTGGTCGCCGGCCGACCCGCTCTTGCGCTCTTCTTTATAATTACTGGCTATGTGAATTCGTTCAGGGCCATTAAGCAGACTCGGGAGGGAGATACGGAGGGGGTCCTCACAAATCTATCGCGCAATACATTTGGTCGAATTGGCAGGCTAATAGTACCTACAAATGCTGCTATACTATTATCCTGGCTTGTCTGTCAGTTGAATGGACATCGAATCGCAAGGGTTGTCGACTCGGCTTGGATCCAACGGGTGTCTTGTGCTCCAGGGCCCACCTTCGGGGCAGCTGTCGACAAATTGCTTCGGAACCTGACTTTATTCTGGCATAACGGCCAGTCTCCATATGACGGCACCTACTGGACGATTCCGTTCTTTCTGCAGGGCTCAATGATGGTTTATCTAACGCTGCTCGCAACGACATTCGCTCGACCACGATATACAAAAGGGATCGTCATTTTCCTTTACCTGTTTTCTTGGGCCGTTGGACTATGTGAGTTTCCGGCAGATGAATATACTCCCAGTCACTTACACTATTAAATAGCTCTTGTGGAAACAAATGTCTACGCAGGTATGCTCCTTGCCGAGCTGAATGCTGACTTTGGGCCTCGTGCCACTTCCGTCATGCCCCGGGCCGTTTCAGCGCTCATCGTCGTCTTTGGTTTACTTCTCTGTTCAATTCCGGAAGAAAACACGGACTGGATGCCATGGAGCCGAGCACTTGTCTGGGCCGCGAGCATGGTCGTTCCCGCTGGGGGCGAAATCAATCGCTATGTGGTGTCTGCGGGAACGACCGTGGTCATGTACGGAGTGTTCTTTTCTCCCGATGCGAGACACGTTCTCGCTCATCCTGTGATGAACTTCCTGGGCCGTATCTCGTTCCCAGTATATCTGCTTCACAACACCCTGATCCGGACGGTTTTGACTTGGATGGTCTACCGGCATGACTTCATGATGCAGGGTTTGCACCCAGTGGATGAGAATGGAAATCCCGCATGGCTAGCACGGGGTGGGTTTGTATCATTTTGGATCTCTATCCTGGCCTTCTATGCTTGTCTGCTTTATTCGGCGCATTTGTGGACGATCCATGTCGATCCTCGCTGTGAGAAAGTGGTGACTTGGATGTCGAACCGAGTGCTTGGCAGCCGTGAGGAGTACGCGCTCACGAAGGAAGGTGTGTTGGTTGGAACGCCTTTAGCCAAATAGGAGAGGGAAGATATCTCTGCCTGTACGCTCCTTGAGACTAGAAAATTCTATAGTTCGTAACTACTCTTCCGCTATCCACGATTACTAAGCCCAGAACTGACGTGCTCGCGGCCGAGTCACCTGATCCCCCGCACCGGGTGTTTGCATCGCTGTTTGCACTGATGTCGTGCTCGTGGGCCAATGAGCGAGGGGCCGATCATGATGAGTATGGCTACCGGAGCAGAAAAAAACCACTGGACTTTTTGGCGGAGAATCATTGTGCTTTCATCGTCACCCTTGGGATTTTGGTACTGCGAGAACTGCTTGCGCCCGTGAAGCAGTCATTGCGATACTTTCCCACTCCATCCGGTGCTGTGAGCTTCGCAGCCAGCAATCCCCCCACCATGGCATCCGTCTCCAGTGCGGGTGAAGCAGGTAAATAGCCGCGGTGTCTCCGGTATAACAATTGCTAATTGCCCGACCCTCTCATCAGTGGCGAGAATTGCCTACCTGACGAGCGATCTCGTTCTGTCGGTGCAACCCTCGCTTCATGCCGACTCGCTGTTCTCCAAGTCGCTGAAGGCCTTGAAGACCAACAAGGCCACTGCCATTCGCTCAAGAAGAATCCCAGAAGTGCAAGCCGTGCGCTCCAATGAAGACCCTCTTTTGTCGGCCTTCCATCCCCTCCAGAATGGCGAGACCGTCTCCGTGGTCACCGGCTCGTCGATCCTGATCACCTCCGTTCCTCACTTGTACCGCCTGGCCAACTTCCCCGTTGTCATCCACGTCGCCCTGGAGTCCTCACCATTCCCCGACTACTCGGTGATCAGCTCGATCCGCCAGTGTGGCTTTACATTTTTGCATTCGGAGACCATTCAAGAGGCTCAGGATATCGCCATCACCGCTCATGCCCTGGCTCTGAAGTCCGGAAAGGGTGTGATTCACTTCTTTGATCCGGCCAATTCCGCCAACGATCCCGCCATCTCGGCCGAGAACATCGATGTTGTGAAGAAGGTGCTGCTTAACTTCAGTGGAAGCGCTGCTTCTCACTCTTCCACTGGCTCCCGGACTTTGTATGCCGACTCTGGTCGTGTGGCCACCGTCTCTTCCGATGACGTGGAACCTTCGCCTGCAGGACAGGGCGAGGCATCGACTACGCTGGCGGTGCCCTCTCAAGCCCAAACCCCATCTATCAGCGTCGAAAATTCGTCTGTTGGCTCTTCCCGGCGAGACAGCAGTGCCGGAAGTGAAACTGCTAGCTCGACGGCCACGACGATCGATGGCTCCAGTACTCGGTCAGTCAATGCGGCCGATATCTTCGCATGGGCTTCCCAGATTTGGCGGGCTCTGGACCGGGAAGTCGGACGCAACTACAGTGCCATTGAATACACCGGCCCTGCTGAAGCCAAGTCGGCCGTTTTTGTGTTCGGCTCCACCGGTGTCTTCGTTGACGCCCTTTCCAAGGCCGAGGAAAACAGTGAACTCGCAAGCATTGGTCTCATCACTGCGCGCCTGTACCGTCCGTGGGTTGGAGGACAAATTGCCAACTCCATCCCCACCTCGATTGAGAAGATTGCCGTTCTGGAGCAGGTCCGCAAGACCACCAAATGGGGTCCGTCTTTCATGGATCTGCTGTCCAGCCTGACCCCCTCGTCCGTTCGCGGTCAGAATCTCAAGGTTGTCGGTTACCGTCTGGGATTTGTCGAGCCTTCCACCGCTGTCCAGGCTCTCCGTGGCATTCTGCAGAATCTGAGCTCTGCCAGCCCCATCCAGAACCTCGAGGTTGGGAGCTCCACGGCTCCTGCTGTCCAGAGCGCGCTTGAGCAGCCCCGCATTGAGAATGCGTATTTGAAGATTCTGAACCAGCTTTTCGGGGAGCGCCTCTACATTGCGAACCAACTTGGATCTAAGAATGCCGGCGTCTCGTCGACCATTGCTGCCAGCCCTGAGTATGGGTTTGGTTCGCTGCTGGCTCGCATGGAGCATCGTGAGAGATTCATCCGGGAGGTTGAGGAAGCGTCCAAGTCCAACACTTTTGCCACTGATATTCCCAAGACTTGGCTGTCCCGCTGGGCTCTGAACGCCCGGGATGCCTCCAAGGCCAATAAGCTGGCTCCTGATGTTATTGCGCGCCTCTCCAATGATGGTTCCAAGCTGTCCCGCCAGCTCCTGGAGTCAAAGAAGCTTTTCTTTGATGAATCCGAGTGGTTGATTGGTTCCGACGCCTGGGCGTATGACCTTGGTAACTCCGGTGTTCATCATGTGCTCGCCTCTGGTGCCAACGTCAACATGTTGGTAATCGACTCGCAGCCCTACTCCGAGCGCACTGCTGCCGATCCCACGCGCCGGAAGAAGGACATTGGCCTCTACGCCATGAACTTCGGTAATGCTTACGTTGCCTCTGTTGCGGTGTACAGCTCGTACACTCAGGTTCTCCAGGCCATGGCCGAAGCCGAGCAGTTCAAGGGACCTTCGGTCGTTGTCGCCTATCTTCCATACCACCAGGAGGATGACTCTGCTCTCACTGTCCTTCAAGAAACCAAGAAGGCTGTCGATCTCGGTTACTGGCCCTTGTACCGCTGGAATCCTGCTAATGAGGAGAAGGATGAGCCGAAGTTCGCTCTTGACTCCGAACGCATCAAGCGCGAGCTGGAGGAGTTCCTTCGCCGAGACAACCAGCTCACCCAGCTGATGAACCGCCAACCTAAATACTCAGCCGTGCTCTCCGAGTCTTATGGTACCGAGGTTCGCGCCCTGCAGAAGCGCCACGCGAAGGATTCGTACGAAAAACTCTTGGAGGGACTCTTCGGTGCTCCTCTTACTATTCTTTTCGCCTCCGACAATGGCAACGCGGAGAATCTGGCCAAGCGTCTGGGTAACCGCGGCCGCACTCGCGGCCTGAAGACTATGGTCATGGCCATGGATGAGTACCCTGTTGAAGATTTGCCGACTGAGGAGAATGTCGTCTTCATCACTAGTACTGCTGGTCAGGGTGAATTCCCTGTGAACGGCCGTGGTCTTTGGGAAGTCATCAAGAACTCTGGTGATCTCGATCTGTCATCCATTAATTACTCTGTGTTCGGTCTGGGTGATAAGCACTACTGGCCCCGCAAACAAGACAGGATTTACTACAACAAGCCTGCTAAGGACCTTGATGCTAGAATTGCTTTCCTCGGTGGTCGCAAGCTTGCAGACATTGGCCTCGGTGATGACCAGGATCCCGATGCTTACCAGACCGGATATGCTGAGTGGGAGCCGCTCGTGTGGAAGGCGCTGGGTGTGGACAAGGTTGAAGGTCTGCCGGAGGAGCCGGCGCCGCTCACCAACGAAGACATGAAGATCCAGTCCAACTTCCTGCGTGGTACCATCGCCGAGGGCCTTCTGGACGAGACCACTGGTGCTATCTCCGCCAGTGACCAGCAGCTGACCAAGTTCCACGGCACCTACATGCAGGATGACCGTGATGTTCGTGATGAGCGCAAGGCTCAAGGTCTCGAGCCGGCATACAGCTTCATGATCCGTTGCCGTCTCGCTGGTGGTGTTGCTACTCCTCAGCAGTGGCTGCAAATGGATGCCATCGCCAGTTCGCATGGTAACGAGACGATGAAGCTCACGACCCGGCAAACATTCCAGTTCCACGGTGTCATTAAGCGCAATCTCCGTGGCGCGATGCGTGCTATCAACAAGGCTCTGATGACTACCATCGCTGCCTGTGGTGATGTGAACCGTAACGTCATGTGCAGTTCTCTTCCGGAGCTGTCCGACTTCCACCGTGAGACTTACGCTGTTTCTCAGAAGATCAGCGATCACCTTCTTCCCTCGACCACTGCCTACCATGAGATTTGGCTGAAAGATGAAGATGACAAGAAGGTCCTTGTGGCTGGAGATGCCGTTGTCGACTCTGAGCCCCTCTATGGTCCCACTTATCTTCCTCGGAAGTTCAAGATCACCATTGCCATCCCACCCCACAACGACACTGATGTCTACGCCCACGACATTGGCTTGATCGCCATCAAGGGTGCCGATGGACATCTGGAAGGATTCAACGTTTTGGCCGGTGGTGGTATGGGCTCTACGCACAATAACAAGAAGACGTACCCCCAGACTGGTCGCATGTTTGGATACTTCCCGGCCGATACAGTTCACATAGCCTGCGAGAAGATCATGCTTGTCCAGCGTGATTTTGGTGACCGGAAGAACCGCAAGCATGCTCGTCTGAAGTACACCATCGACGACATGGGTGTTGATGTCTTCCGCGGCAAGGTCGAAGAGCTCCTTCCCGAGGGAATGCGCTTCGCCGAGCCCCGTCCGTTCAAGTTTACCTCGAACGTCGACACCTTCGGATGGCAGAAGGATGAGAAGGGTCTCAACCACTTCACCTTCTTCATCGAGAACGGCCGTGTCGAGGACACTGCCGAATTCACCATGCGCACTGGTCTCCGTGAGGTGGCGGCGCTGAACAAGGGCGAGTTCCGTCTTACTGGTAACCAGCACTTGATCCTGTCCAACATCGCCGACGAGGATCTGCCGGTCGTTAAGGGGGTCATGGCTAAGCACAAGCTGGACAACACCTCCTTCTCCGGCATGCGTTTGTCTTCCTCCGCCTGTGTTGCTTTCCCGACCTGCGGTCTGGCCATGGCCGAGTCCGAGCGCTACTTGCCTGTCCTCATTTCCAAACTTGAGTCGACACTCGAGGAGGTCGGTCTGGCCCGTGAAAGCATTGTCATGCGTATGACCGGTTGCCCCAACGGCTGCGCTCGTCCTTGGTTGGCCGAGGCCGCCTTCGTTGGAAAGGCCTTCGGTGCTTACAACATGTACTTGGGTGGTGGCTACCACGGCCAGCGCCTGAACAAGTTGTACCGCTCCTCGATCAAGGAGGATGAGATCCTTGATATCATGAAGGGTCTTCTTAAGCGCTATGCCCTTGAGCGCAACACCGATGGCGAGATTCCCGAGCGCTTCGGTGACTGGTGTATCCGCGCCGGTGTCATCAACGAGACCACTGACGGCCAGAACTTCCACGAAGGCGTAAGTCACTCTTTCTAGACCCTATGAAAACTCAAGACTAACTATTCGCTCTCATAGGTTGCCGAGGAAGACGAAGAAGACGAGGAGTAGAGCTGGGATATATCCTATCTGTCCGCTCAAGAGCCATTAAAACTTGTTTTCTTTTTCTGATAATGTCTCACTTGGTTTCATGTCTCTAGACGCGTTGGTCCATGGCGAACGAATGATTCCACTCGTGCAAATACTGTTTTTCTCCTTTTGATTTTTTGTGTGCCTTTTGTTTATAGTTTGTGCATACTTCGTATACCATACGTAGCCATGATTATCTGAGCAATGTAATAAACTTGAAGAATTGAAGCCTCCATAGCAAGCCCAGCTGCACTCCACTATGGGGTCTGAATCTGCAACACGTGTTGCGGAGTTGCCGTGAAGAAATACCCCGGTTGGGGGTCTAGCTTATGCCAGTGGCACTAATATCCAAGCAGTCAGAAGACCAATTTAGGCTCATTAGAGGTAGAGTGTATGTAGACTGTCACGGACTGCCTGGACAGGTCAAAGCGCCCTATACGATCTAGGCCTGTGCACACTAAACCAATATGTTGCTAGCTTACATTATCCTAGCCATTTTCATGCGCCGCTGTCACAGTATGAAAAGCCAATTATAGCGACCCCCATCCCAGGCACTGCATAAACCCCGCCTTCGTATTTGTTACTAGTCACGGCTGGGGCAGATTCTAGCGAGTCAAGGAATACCAATACTGCTACAGAAGGGGGAGTAGTATATTGCATGCATTAACAACAAACAACAATACATCTTACATATGCGGTGGAACATACATGGATAATGAAACAAATCTAGTGTAGACTTGGAATGGGAAAAGAGTCCAGGAGGAGGGTCCCGTGAACAAGAAGGGGGAAATCGCTTCCCTAAATTCTATGCCTTGCAACTTCTTAACTTTTTCCCACTAAATAATAATAAACAGTCACAATCATCATGGCTGGACTGGTGATCTGGACCATCGGTATTTTTCTGGTCCACGTTGCCCTGAAAAGTATCTATCGGCTGTACTTTCACCCTCTCAGCAAGTTCCCCGGTCCCAAACTAGCAGCAATCACCAGCGGATATGAATTTTACTTTAATGTCATCAAGGGCGGGAATTTCATTTGGGAGATCGAGCGGCTGCATCAGGTCTATGGTAAAGACTGCCTTACTCTGCGCAGATTCATGAAACCCTAAATGAAGCCTGTTAGGCCCTATCATACGCATCACCCCACGAGAAATCCATATCAAGGATTCAAAGTACTACGATGAAATCTACGCTTCCAGCGCCCGAAGACGTGAAAAGGACCCTGTCGCCGTAGCCCAGTTCGGACTCGAGGGCTCCGCATTCGCAAGTGTCTCTCCAGAAAGCCATCGCCAACGGCGTGCACCGCTAGACAAATTCTTCTCCAAGCAGGCCATTACTAGCATGGAACACATTATTTACAGTCGGATCGAAAAGCTGTGCCAACATCTCGATCGTGCTTATCAGTCGCATAAGGTTATCAATCTTGATGCCGGATTCGCAGGCCTGACGTCCGATGTTATCCATCAATACGCCTACGGGTTCAACAGCGGCCATCTCGACGAGGAGGATTTCAACGAGGGAGTCAGAGATGGAATCAATGGTCTTTTCCGTTTGTGCCATATTTCTTTCTCTTTTCCGATTTTGCAGACCATCATGAACTCGCTGCCTCTAGGGCTATTGAAACGGGTCAGTCCGCACGCATTTGGGCTCGTCAGTCAGAAGAACGGAATATACCAAATGACAGTCGATGCTCTGCATGGGCATCGTTCGGACGGTGGCTCTATTATGGAGACTCTGGCGGGTTCTGACATGCCCGAACACATGAAGACTCCGGCGCGTCTCACGAATGAAGGATTCTCTCTCGTCATTGGCGGCACTGAGACGACTGCTAGGTCGCTGGCTTTGGGTGCTTATACTCTGCTCAGTAATGAGGTAATCAGAAATAAGCTGCAAGAAGAGCTTCGGTCTGTGATGCCCACGCCGGACTCGCGGCCTACCTGGAATCAGCTTGAGAAACTGCAATATCTGGTATGGCGCAGAACAGCACTCGAATATATTTGTCATTTGACTCACAATTGGCCATAGTCCGGGGTTGTCAGTGAAACACTGCGTCTCTCTACCGGGATTGCGAGTCGATCTCCTCGAGTTGCACCCACAGAAGCGCTGGTATATAACGACTACGTAATTCCTCCTGGAGTAAATGACCCTGTGTCCACACAAGATATATATAGTGACTGATGGCCATAGACACTTGTGAGCGAAAGCAACTATTTTGTCCTCACGGATCCAAATATTTTCCCTGATCCGCATGTCTTCGATCCGGAACGATGGATGCGAGCTGCGGCCAAGGGGGAGCGATTGGATCGGTATTTGGTCAACTTCTCGAAAGGCAGTCGGATATGTCTTGGAATGAAGTGAGATAAGCCCCCTGCTTTGTTTTTATTTTTTATTTTGGGCTAATTTTGCAGTTTGGCGTATGCGGAGATCTTCCTGGTCCTCGCGATGCTGGTGCGGCGGTATGAGATGGACCTGTACGAGACAACAAAGGAGAATATTGAGTTCAAACGCGATTTTGGGACACCCTATCCCGAGAAGGGTGAGTCCCATATTCGTGTCATGGTTACTGGAATGATTCAGGAATAGTCAGTTGATTCAATTCAACGTCAGGCTGGAGTTAGTAGTTGGGCAGTTTGTAGATCCGTAATATGAAGCGCAAAGGCGGTGAGACACCCGATTTTCTGCCACCAAAAAAAGACCGACTGAATCACTCCACGACAGAGCACACCTTCTTCCGTGTCGTGCACAGCCATGGATTCGGACGACGACCCCGTCGTCTCATCTTACGATGTCTTCCTTACAGACTCCGAAGTCTCTCGTTATGTCTTTCAATACCTCGACCGCCCCAAAAAGCACCCTTACATCGAGGCGAAGGGCCAGAAGCCTACCGAATTGCGATTGAAGCCCCGGTCCGGCCTCGTGGAGGTCGACATTCCTATTAGCATTCGGCAAAACTACGATCTCAATAAAGGAGCACGGTTTGGAGAGGCCATGAAGAAGAGCCGTGCCTCTCGTGATGGAGGCGCATTCGGAATGGCCGGTGGGTTCAGTTCCGGGAATGCTGTGACGAGCGGGAGCAGGGTCAAGGCTGAAGGAAATGGGGACATTGAGATCTTGGACAATAAGAAGGTGGTTGACTCCGCGTCGATAATAAAGACCCAGCCACTTGGCGGGCGGATCAAGCCTCCCGAGGAAGGAGACCCGGTCTACATGCTGGCTACATTCAAAGACAGTATGTGCATGCTCTTTCCCCCAATTTTGCGACTGACCATGCTGATTGTCGGGCCTAGAAAATCTGCATCTCTCACCCGTGTCGGCAGTTGTGCAATTACATCCCCAGCTTCACCACCAAGATGCAATGGAAGAAATACCCAAAGGCCGAGGCACAAAGACCAAGAAAGACGACGACGAGCGTCCCGCCGAGAGTGAAGCGCGAACAATAGATGTCAAGATCAAGGCCGCAGAAGATGGCGAGCAGGCAATGCTTGCAACCAACCTGGACCTGCTCAAGAAAATGCAGGATGAGAAATGGAAGGCGTATGAATGGGTCGATGCCGAGGTAGGTCATCTCCTGCTTTTAACCAGAACCCTATTAACACCACCCGACTCTAGACGGAGGAAGCTTGGTATACATATGAAAACTACATGACACACCAGCAGCCCGAGGATTTGCCACAACTTGAATCGGCGATCCAGAGCGAGGACTACCTGGATGCGATGAGTGCGCCACGAATCGACCCTGCGCATCCGGAGATGACTGGCTGGGCCATGAAACAAAATCGACAAAAGCAGAAAGATGGAGTATCCGGGAGTGAAGATGAGGCCGGGTGATTCCTGAAGGCCCAATAAACATTACATCCTTGATTTAATGTCGATCCACGCTTGAAGTGGTCTATGAGGGACAAGGCACACATAATACTGTACACAATAGCCATTTAACTCTTGAACGATGTAAATCCATCGAGATTGCCACTGTAGTATGATCCGCCAATCACGACGCGCGAAAAACTGTCTCCACGTGACTTTTGCCTCAGGCCGCGATCTTTTTTCTCCTACCGGTCTCCGAGATCTTCCCCTTGTCGATTGTCTCTTCACTCCACCTTTCTTTTCTTTTCTTTTCTCTTCATTTTCATTTTGATTCTTGCTCCGGTGGACGGTTGCCAGATGTCTGCTTATTTGACGGACTGAAAGTCGTCTGCAGCCAGGGGAATAAAGGCATTGTATCGATCGTGTGCCATCCCTTATCGAAGTTTCGTTTTGAGCCCATCTTGCATCCTCGTTGATTACCACCGCGCTCGGCCTTGTTTACTTTGTTTTAATCGTTTCTTCCCCGACCGACTCTTTCATTCGCTTTTGTCGATTCTACATCCTCGACCGCTGCCATGTTATCACGCGTCGCTCGCCGGAAGAACGCTCTCTTCCATCTGCGCAAGGCCCATGCCCAACGTACATTGACTTTTTCCACATCACTACGGTTACGTTCGCATTCGACATGGCAAAACCCTGCTGTGCCTACGCCGGCCATCTCAACACAGGAACGCGCCCGTCGACCGTCCTTCCAATCCAGTCGCAATCTTGCCACGGCTACCGACCAATCCGCTATCGGTCAAGCCTCGATTGAAGGCCATCCTTTCTCCTCCCCCTCCGACTACGACAATATCAAGCAATGGGCTGATACAATGCTGCAAACGCCTTCCGATGAATTTGATCCCTCCTCCCTGATCATCTTGGACGACTATCTACAGACTCGACCAAAAACCGTGAGGAAAATCCAGGGCATCGGTGGTGATCAGAGGGAGATGATAGCCAACATGGACGTTTCGTTGAAGGTTGGCCGGTTCGATCGAGCGGCTGCTCTGATCGCCCGCGTGCGTCACTACTTTCCGTTGGGTTCCCCGGAGTATCTCGCTCTCCATAACCGCTATATGAACGCGATGGTGTCGCACATGATTGTCACTCGACAGCAGCAAATGATCTTGCAGTTGCAAAGATGGTTCGAGATTGAGATGCCCAATGAAGGGGTGCGCCCTGATGCGACGACTTACTCCATTATGATTCGGATGGCCTTGCGCATGTTGTACGGATCCAAGCGTGATAGAACGGTGCGGCGGTACTGGCAGCTGGCCAAGAAAGCGGGTATTGATGAGGAGGAAATCGCCGGGGTGGAGATTCTCTCTGATCTGGAGTTCGGCGAATTATTCGAGGTAAGTTAGCCGTTTATCAATTTGTGTGAAGCTGGACAGTTTGTTGACTTTACCAACTAATAGATTTGCCCTTCCGAGTTTCCTAATTTCCACAATGTTGAGGTCGAGCATCCAGCTGCCCCCGCTGACGATGTCGCTGAAGTTTTGGCGACCGAGCAAAAGGGCTTGGGATTGAAGTCTTTGAAGGAGTCTCTCTCATCGTTTTCCAACAAATCTCTGTCTGCGGACAACGACGCAGACAGGGCAATAGAACTCGAAGAGAGGCAACGCAAGCTTGAGGCTGATACTATCAAGACAGCCTTGAGTCGCTGGCGCAAAGAGTTTGAGGACAGGCAGAAGACCGGCCTGGACGTGAGCGCACGCGGGAAAAGGCTAGGCACATTGATGCATCAGTGGCAATCCAATCTCGCCTCGAGGATCAAAGAGGAGCTGAAGATGATCGACAAGGCGGAAATGACAAAAATTCCGGCGAACAAAGAAGAAAAAGAACGTCAAGACTATGGTGTTTATATGCGATGCTTGGATCCCGATCAATTAGCAGCGCTGACTATCCTCTCCGTCATTTCTGTGTTCACCGGAACTGGCATTCATGCCGGGGTCAAGCTCTCATCGATCGCTTCGAATATTGGACAAGAGGTAAATGCCGAGGTGATTGCCGAGACGATTCTCAAGAAACATGCGACTCAAAGCCCTCGGCGCAAGCAAGCAATGAAGCAACTCCTCTCCCGCCGCAAACAAAGGGAGGGTGGAATGCGCTGGAAGACATTGGTGCATGGACTACAGGCTGAAGATGCCACCATTACTTGGCCTTCAGCCGTGACCGTTCGAGTCGGGGCAGCCTTGTTTAGCATGCTCCATGAAGTTGCCAAAGTTCCTGTTCCGAATGAGGACACACAGACCTTCGGAAAACAGGTCACTATGCATCCTGCTTTTCAACATTCCTACCAGATCACATGGGGGAGACGCCAGGGTCTGATCCATATGAACAATGATGTTGTCAGTATGCTCACAAGAGAGCCGACAGCGGATTTGCTGGGTCGCCAGCTCCCCATGCTGTGCAAGCCCAAACCATGGACAGGTCAAAAAGAAGGAGGATATTTCCTCTACGAAAATAATATTGTACGATCGACTCCGGGCGAAACTTTGCAACCTGCCTACGTCAGAGCTGCGTTGGAAAATAACGGAATGGCAGAGATCCGAGCCGCCTTGGATGTTCTTGGCAGCACTGGGTGGGCGATCAACACAGAAGTCTTCGACGTTATGCTTGAGGCTTGGAACTCTGGCGACGCAGTAGGCAAGCTGGCTCCCATTGAGCCTGACTTGCCGATTCCGCCCAAGCCGGATCCCAGCGCTGGCTACGAAGCCGAGAAGAAATGGGATGCTCAAATGCGTATCCTTGAGAATAAGAGATCTGGGTACCACTCAGTCCGATGCTTCCAGAATTTCCAACTGGAGATCGCTCGTTCCTATCGCGACGAGACTTTCTATCTTCCTCACAACCTGGATTTCCGAGGCCGCGCTTATCCTTTGCCTCCTTATCTCAACCAGATGGGGGCCGATAATTCCCGGGCGTTGCTTCTTTTCAGCGAAGCCAAGCCGCTTGGAGCAAGTGGTCTACGATGGTTGAAGATTCAGGTTGCAAACTTGGCTGGATATGACAAGGCCAGTCTGTCGGAGCGTGAGCAATTCACCATGGACCACATGGAGGATGTGCTGGACTCGGCCAACAACGGCTTACATGGCAAAAAATGGTGGCTCAAGGCTGAAGATCCCTGGCAATGCCTGGCATCTTGCATTGAACTGCGCAACGCACTACGCTATCCCGACCCTACCGAATACCCCTCACGCCTCCCAATCCACCAGGATGGTTCATGCAACGGACTTCAGCACTACGCTGCTCTAGGCGGTGACATTGTTGGCGCACAGCAAGTCAACCTCGAACCTAGCGACCGGCCCTCTGATGTTTACACCGGTGTCTCCGAATTTGTAAAAGCGGAAGTCGCTCGGGAGGCAGCCGAAGGTCTCCCGATTGCACAACTGCTCGACGGAAAAATCACTCGAAAAGTCGTCAAGCAGACAGTCATGACCAATGTTTATGGTGTGACTTTTATGGGCGCCATGAAACAAGTTCGTCGGCAACTCATCGATCACTACCCAGACATGTCGACCGAAGAGCACAAGGATGGCGCGCTATATATTGCCCGGAAGATTTTCAATGCTCTAGGGTCAATGTTTAACGGGGCCCATGAGATCCAGTATTGGCTTGGCGATTGTGCTGCGCGCGCCACAGTGTCCTTGACCCCTGAGCAGATTGAGGAACTTATGAGGGAGGTAATGAGCCCGACGGGGGAAAATGAAAAGAGGACATCTCTTGACCCCACCAAAAAGTTCCGATCCACTGTCGTCTGGACAACCCCGTTAGGTCTGCCCGTGGTCCAGCCTTACCGCACTCGAAAGACCAGGCGCATCAAAAACACATTGCAAGACATCAACATCATCGACGACTTCTCTGATGATGTCGTGCACAAGCGCAAGCAGTTGCAAGCTTTTCCGCCCAATTATATTCACTCTCTGGACGCTACTCATATGATTCTCTCCGCCAACGCATGCAAGAAGGCTGGCCTCACATTCTCCGCTGTGCACGATTCCTTCTGGACCCACGCCAGCGATGTCGATGACATGAACATCCTTTTGCGAGACGCTTTCGTCCGCTTGCACTCCGACGATGTGGTCGGTCGACTGGCGGCCGAGTTCGACGTCCGGTACGGCAAGAACCTCTATCTGGCGCGGATCGATGTTAACAAGCGGGTTGGTTCCGCTGTGCGCCGGCACCGACTGAACGCGCCGAAGCGCCAGAGTCAGCTGACTGAATTGTTTGATGAGTACCGACGACAGACGCTGCTCCGGTCGGCAGACCCGGAGCAGCAGGCCCAAGGCCGCGCCATGGTGACACCTGCCAGTATTTTCGAGTCAATGGGCGGCTCCGACAAAGACCTCATCATGTCCTCCTCGCTCGGTCAGAGCGCCGTCGGCCATGTCCCGGAGAATATTGATACTACCGGGCTTGATTCGCCCACGCCGTCTTCTCTGATGGACCCAGAGGACCTCAATCTCTCCACTGCTGAGGATCGGATAGAGTTGATGTCGAACCCCCATGTGAACGTGGACGCGGATGCGGACGCTGCGGATCAGGAAGCTCCGAAGCCCAAGAGGAAGCAAAGGAATGTCTACACATGGATGTGGCTGCCGCTGAAATTTGCGCCGGTCCCTGCCAAGGGAGCTTGGGACTTGAGTCGCATTCGCGACAGCAAGTACTTCTTTTCGTGAAGCTTGTCTCTCCGGTGAAGTATTTCATTGTGGCGTTTAACGGTCTTTTTTGATTCCCACCTCTTTTGTTGTACATTTTTTGTGTGTTTGGGTTCCCCCGGTTGCATTTGCATTTGTAAACTATCTCTGGATGGCCCCCTGGGGGCAAAAAGAAGCGAAAAAGTAATTAGGCATATATACTGGCGATGTACGAATAATAAGACCGGCTAGTCTCCCTGAGTATTGTTTCCTGTGTTGTAGGTAGTTGGATGTGCAGTCGCGCCGTACCAGATTTAGGCAAAACTGCCAGAACAGCCGGACCGCGGGTTAGACTGCAGGCCCCGGTCCTCCCCGCGCGCCCGCGTGGCCACCGGCGCCATGAGTTCTGTTGCTGATGACTATGATCAGTTCGATTACGACTATGGACTGTTCTTCTCTGATGATCCAGCTGGAGCTTCGTCCCCATTCTTCGCGAGATCGGCGTGGCTCTGGCAGGGGCAGCCTGTCTGGGGCGGGTCTCCTCATCCAAAGCGGAATACCGGCACTTGAGAACAGGTCCACGGTCTTCTTGTCTGTCAGCCCACTCGGGCCCTCCTCCATCTAGCCGGGACGGAGTGACCAGGGGGCACGGCCGAGTGAGAAGGTAGCATCCTTCGCTTGCCCAGTCTTGTCTGGTCTAGCCGTCGAGTCCCTTGTCCCTACGCCTAAACCAACCCCGTAAAACCAGAAATCTCATCTGGGGTCGGCAATAAGCGAAGGCACTTTCTGTAGTCCAAGTCGCAACAGTCTCCACTAGTATATCCCATCCTATGTTCTTCTTCCATCCGTCCGTCCATTCTTCTTTTTTCTCTTCTTCTTCGTCTTCTTTTGTTCTTCTCTCGACCCCAGAAACAGAAGGCGCGTATCCATACCGTATGGTATTAATTGTACCCACCGTGTCTCTTCCCCGCCCTTTTTGCCTCTCCAGATTCTTTGCTTCTTCCAATCCTCGGCAGATCGCAAGCGACAGTTCCACCACCGCCTCGACTGCTGGACGGACTCGATCGAAGAAATCCACAATACCGCATCGCCCACTGTCTCTCCACTTTCGGGTCCCTCTCGGCACTGCGGCTAGGTCATGTGCTCCGACTGAACCGTCCCGCGCCTTGACCTGCGATTCTTCATACAGCGATCACATCACCCCTGTGAGATTTGGAAACAGGAGAGGCGGTCCTCTGCACATCCAACTGGATTCCACCTCTATGTCGCTATAGATCCAGTTCAGCCTCCTCGGTTGAAGCATGTCGACAACCTCCCTACAATCGTTCGCCAATTCCTACTCGCCTTTCTCGTCCCGAACGCAGCCTGGTCGGATGTCCCAGTCGCAGACCCCCGGCTTAGACACTCTCGCGGAGGGGTCGCAGTATGCGCTAGAGCAGCTGCAGTTGGCACGAGAAGCAGGCAACAACCATCCGACCGACTCTGCCAGCAAGTCAAATGGTCACCAGCCGCCACAACATCTCCGCCAGAACCACTCCTACGACGAGAGCAACGGTACTGGTTTCAAGACCCCCTCCACCCAACGAGATCATCTGGTCGACCCCCGCTCTAGCATCCGCAAGAATTCATCTGCTGGTCCCGTGCGGCGGCGCATCAGCCGAGCCTGTGATCAGTGTAACCAACTCCGAACCAAGTGTGATGGGCAGCAGCCGTGTGCGCATTGCATTGGTATTGTCTGCCTCGAAAATTTCATGTGTTTTGGCTGTACTAACGGTTGTCCAGAATTCGCACTCTCCTGTGAGTACGCGCGCGAGCGCAAAAAGCGTGGCAAGGCCTCGAAGAAGGACCTAGCAGCGGCTGTCGCAGTTTCTTCTGGAACTGGCGATCCGGACGTGAAAAACAGAGAATCCCCGGCGCAGGAACATTCGCCCAGTACCCAGCCTGCCCACGAGGCAAACGGGCAATTTGACGCCGCTTTTGACGCTTCCCGGAACACACAGTCTCATATCCCCAACTCGGATGTCCCCAGCATGACCGGAATGCAACACAACTCGCACTCGGCTCAGCAGCACTCCCAGCAGCATATGAACTCAAACATGGAGGGCCTCCATTTGAACAACTACGGCGGGCTGCCAGACTCAAACCGGCCTCCAATGTCGGTGCCTGACCTGCGCTCCCTGCAGATGATGCACAATTCCAATGGGACTTCTCGGTCCCCAGCCTCCATGCTGCATTCACAGGGGTTCGGATCCGGGTACAATGACAACGCATATTCTTTAATGAACCCACAGGACAATAATCCCACCTCGATCAACCACTTCCGCCTCGGCAGTTCGGCAGAGAACCCATCCGCTCCGTTTATGGGACTTTCACCGCCAGCGCAGTCGCCTGGCTGGCTACCTCTTCCATCGCCTTCCCCCGCAAATTTCCCTTCTTTCAGCATGCCTCCATTCTCCAGTACCTTGAGATACCCTGTTTTGCAACCGGTCCTCCCCCACATCGCGTCCATCATTCCGCAATCCCTCGCCTGTGACCTTTTGGACGTCTACTTCGCCAGCTCTTCTTCATCTCACCTTCATCCGTTGTCGCCATATGTGGTTGGCTATGTCCTCCGCAAGCAGTCATTCCTCCACCCGACAAAGCCAAGACAGTGTAGTCCTGGTCTCCTCGCCAGCATGCTTTGGATCGGAGCCCAAACGAGCGAAGCCGCGTTCTTGACGTCTCCTCCATCGGCCCGGGGGCGCGTTTGCCAGAAATTGCTCGAGTTGACAATTGGCTTGCTTCGGCCTCTGATTCATGGGCCCGCCACTGGAGAGGCATCTCCAAACTATGCGGCAAACATGGTCATCAACGGCGTGGCACTTGGAGGCTTCGGTGTATCTATGGACCAATTAGGTGCTCAGAGTAGTGCGACAGGCGCTGTGGATGATGTCGCCACATACGTTCACCTGGCTACCGTCGTCTCGGCCAGTGAGTACAAAGCCGCCAGTATGCGCTGGTGGACCTCCGCCTGGTCGCTTGCGCGAGAGCTCAAGTTGGGTCGTGAGTTGCCACCAAACACAGCACCACGCCAGGATGGCGAAATGGAAGGTGATTCCGAAATGGGCATGAACGGCAACAAACGACAAGCGCCTTCGTTACTCACGTCTATGGGCGGTGGTAATTCCTCGGTCAATCTGACAGAGGAGGAACGCGAAGAGCGTCGCCGCATCTGGTGGCTGTTATTCGCGATGGATCGCCATCTGGCCCTCTGCTACAATCGGCCCCTGACGCTGTTGGACAAGGAGTGTGAAGGTCTCCTGCAACCTATGAACGATGACCTCTGGCAGGCGGGCGACTTCTCGGCTGCCAACTACCGCCGTGCAGGCCCGTCTTTCGAATGTACCGGCCACAGCATGTTTGGGTATTTCTTGCCACTCATGACCATCCTGGGTGAGATAGTGGATTTGCAACACGCGCGGAACCATCCACGGTTTGGTCTGCATTTCCGCAACAGTGGCGAGTTGGAGAGTCAAGCGATGGAGATCACGCGCCAGCTCGATGTATATGCCCAAAGCTTGAAGGAGTTCGAGGCCCGGTACACAAACTCTCTAGCGCTCGGCTCGGGAGAGAACGACACCAACATGGAAGGGACCCACCTCAACCACGTCAGTCCCTCTGGTCGCTCAAGCAGCACCGTCGGATCGCACGTTAGCGAATCCATCGTCCACACAAAGATGGTGGTCGCCTACGGAACCCACATAATGCACGTACTCCACATCCTACTTGCCGGTAAATGGGATCCGATCAACCTGCTCGACGACAACGACCTTTGGATCTCCTCCGAATCGTTCATCACGGCCATGGGCCATGCAGTGAGCTCCGCCGAAGCGGCAGGCGATATCCTAGAATACGACCCAGATTTAAGTTTCATGCCATTCTTCTTCGGCATATATCTCCTGCAAGGCAGCTTCCTGCTACTCTTGACCGCGGACAAGTTGCAAGGCGATGCGAGTCCAAGTGTGGTCCGGGCTTGTGAGACGATTGTGCGGGCTCATGAGGCTTGTGTCGTGACTCTAAACACAGAATATCAGGTAAGAAATTCATATCGGGGAATTTCATATTTCGAATTCTAATCCGTCTTGCAGAGAACATTCCGGAAAGTAATGCGCTCCGCTTTGGCTCAGGTCCGCGGCCGTGTGCCAGAGGACTTTGGCGAGCAGCAGCAACGCAGGCGCGAAGTCCTGGCTCTCTACCGCTGGAGCGGAGATGGCAGTGGCCTTGCCCTGTGACAGCATTGTCCACCATCCAATATCATCTTATACCTTACGATAAAACAAAAATTTAACGGCTGGATACCGGGTTTGCCGTGGTCGGGGAGTTTCACGGGCCCATCACTAGTTGAGGGCGTGGATATTTATTTGTCTTGCAATCTTGTCTATATTCTGTTCCATGTGGTCCCTTGAGGGGCCATGTTATTTCTTTTTGTATACTATTTCTCTGGTGACGTTGGACATACCCCCAAGGAGCAGGAAGGCGTGCAAATATGCATAATTCAATATCATGATCTTTTCATAATCCAGGAATATGACCTCATCGCTAAGTTAAGCTGATCGGGCTCACCACGGCCAAGGTCAATGTGCTTTCGCCGCACCGTGGAGAGGAGCCGTGTATACAGGACTCCATAGGAGTGAGTCAGTGTTTATCTCGGGATGCAATCTGCGTCGTGTGTTCTGTCCGAACCATGTATGCTTCTGCTGCGCCGCTTTCTTTTGGGCTAGACATTAGCCATGGTATTCCTGAAATGAGACATCGCGCACCCAAGCAATGGTTTGACCTCACTCCCGAGAAACTGGCAGAGTGGTACATCAAGCTCAGCAGGACGGTGGCATCCACACAATCAACTTGGTGATACCGGAGCACATCGTGCCGCGATTGTACTCTTCATCCTGTCCGCTCGAGCAATGGGCCTTTGCATCTCGACCATCTAGATATTAGTTGTAGTAGAGTTGTCTATACTACACCCAGCCCCACACCCACTACGAACGACCCACCCAAGCTCACTCTTCTGGTCTCTCTCACTTACCTCAACAACCCAGCTTTTGGCTGCTACTTCATCCACACCCACTCATCATGAAGGCCATAATTGCCGTGCCCGCGGTGACAGGCCTGCTCTACCGCGTCTGGGCCCGCAAGTCGCTCACCCCGTTGGGCACCGTCTTCGCGGCGTTTACAGCCACCGCCCACGCCGCACACCCCTGGTTCGCACCATTTGTGCTCATGGCTGTGTTCTACTTCGGAGGAACGAAGGCGACAAAGGTATTTTCGTTTTCCTCCCAGAACATCATGGGTTGTTTGCTGATCCGAGCTCTGATTCGACAGGTGAAACACGACGTCAAAGCGCGACTGACTCTCTCGGCTGCCGGCACGGTGGGTGAGGAGAGCCCTCGCAATCACCTCCAGGTGCTGGCCAACTCGCTCGTCGGGTCGGTGTTGAGTGTGGCGCATACGGTGGTTCTGGCGAAAACGGTCGGCGATGCCGGGGACTGTTTCTCACTCGGCCAGCGCGCGGCGGACGTTTTGATGGTTGGGATCGTCGCGTATGTCCATTTCTTTATTCCCTTTCTCCTCCTCCGCGACTATTTGTATCGCGTGCTCACAGATCGTGACATATGTAGAAACTATGCCGCTGTCGCCGCAGACACCTTCTCCTCCGAACTAGGCATCCTCGCCAAATCCAAGCCCCGCCTCATCACCTCCCTCACGCTCCGACAGGTTCCTCCCGGTACAAATGGCGGTGTTACTGCCATGGGACTCGCAGCTGGTCTGCTAGGTTCGTTTTCGGTTGCTGGCACATCTGCCCTCGTACTTCCCTTCTGTGCCGGAACCACGATCAAAGACCGAGCATTGTGGACTGTGGCGATGACGACGTGTGGGGTGCTGGGCAGTTTGTTGGATAGTGTGCTTGGCGGACTTCTGCAAGCTAGCGTTGTGGATAAGAGAAGTGGGAAGATTGTTGAAGGGATTGGAGGCCGGAAGGTAAGTTCCTTGACCAGTATAGGCATGAAAAATGAATCTAACGATTCATATCTATAGGTCCTCATTCACCCCGCTTCAATAAGACCCTGCGGTCCATTGGACGATGCAGCTTATTTCGGTCAAGCATCAGGCAGCGCACACTTGCGCAACACCGAAACCATTGCAAACGCAGCTACACTACACGGCAGCCACATCACACATACGTCGGCTGGGTCGCAGCCTGGACGGACCCATGAGGAGGTCAAGGAGAGCCGCCGCATTGAGGTCGGCCGGGATTGGCTGGATAATAACGGGGTGAATATGCTTATGGCTGCGACGATGAGTTTCGGGGCCATGGGCGTTGCGCAGTGGGTTTGGGGGGTGGATGTTCGGGAGCTCTTGTAGATCAATATGGATCTTTTGGGTTAAGTCTGCTTTAACCCTTACTATTCTTTGGAATGATCCATTCCATTTGTGTAGCAGTGTATTTTAGCAATCGAGATTTGCATGGGACTGTTTAGAAATAAGCCTAGAACACGGCATGGATCAGATCTGGTCCGCTTGTTTATACGCAATTTCAGTTGGCTGTCTGTTTGTCTGGGCGCCTGCGGTATCCAGCCACCCGTCGTGTCGTTTGTTTAGACTATCAAATCTAAAGCTTTATAAACTCCCATGCACTTGTGAGCCCTTTGGAACACGCCCTGGTGTACGTCTCTGAGTACCACTTTGATATCGCTGAGAGTTCTCTTACCAAGTGCCACCCAGCTGAGTGCGGCCTAAAAAAGACTTAAGGACCACCACAATAGAACGAACAGTCCTGATTTGGCTATATTCAGATGGAATCAGACTCGGTCAGGGATTCGGACAGTCTACTATCTATTACGCAATAGTTTTGGAATTATTGAATTAAGCAATTGAGTATGCCCTGGTTTACACGTCAAAATGAAGCTGTCGTAGGCGCCGCAAGGCTTGAATTGAACTGTTTTCTTTCCACTGTTTGTATGAAACGGCGGCGAATTCGGCAGCAGATACTCCCAAATGTAAAAATAGGAAACCAAAATCAATTCTAGCCCTCATTCTGGCGTTCATGCCGCACAAAAATTGATAGGGTTAGAATCAAAAGCAAAAAAGAATTGACCAGACTGGGGTTCGATCCCAGGACCTTGTCGGTGTTAACGACACGTGATAACCAACTACACCATCCGGCCATCGGAGATAACGACTGGAGAGGACTCCTACATATCAGGGTAGACCGAATCGGTCACATTATTAGGGGTTACGGGTCCATTGTGTAATGGTATCATTTGCTGGGTACCTTGCCAATTTCCTCTGTATCGATCAAAACGTGCCGTACGCCCCGTTGCAGCCAGATGTTACGGAGCAGATTTTAAATTAGACTACGCGATGCTTGCCCCGGGCGGGGTCCAATTGGCATTCTACGGCATTGCTAAATATGGTGATGATATTCCCTAACTATAAGGCCGAAGTTCGGGCACCTTGGGGTTCGAATTGCGGCCCTCAAAAAATATGAGAACCCGGAACCTAATTGAAGAATTTTTACTAAGTGTAAAACCTTCCGGCGCTTCGCCTAACGTGGGAACTAATCAACTTTTACTGCCTTTGTTCGAAACGCAGACCGGCTAATGAGATTTATGCAGTGGTTGAACGGGAGGATTGAACACCCAATAGACAATCGACCGTTTCTGTTCAGTGACCCTTCACCTCGAGGTGGGTTTCAATGGCTCGTCCTTGGCATCCTTTGGGGTGTTGGAGTTCGCAAGGCTTAATAACAAACAGTCTGACACGTTCTTTCTGAAGAAGCTGGATATATATATTCGCATGGACATTCAAGACACTTCACCACGCAATCAGAACTCATGATTTCCCTCGTCCTAGACAACCAATTCGCGTCCAATTCTCCTCCCATGGCCTACATACGCCACAAAAAGCTCAGCTGACACGTAAAAACACGTCCAGCCTGGGTATATCGACGCGTTGAATGTCGAGTAATGCTCTCTCCTAAAAAGGAGGTTCAACTTATGACCCACTCCCGTGCCGCTAGTAATGAGAACGATAAAGGCTAAACTGAACTCGTGAACACTCATGGATAGTTATTGATGAAACCACACTAATGATATGTTATATTTTGGCAGCGCGTCACGTAGGAGATTGATTCAATAGCCTCTCCCGATAAGCAAGAGGCCAGGATCAAACATGCCCAGTTGAGACGGGATATCGCATCCAGCTCTATCAGTTGTGCAGCGCCGTTCTGCCGTACATTCTTCAATCTCACCTCGACTACGTGATTCATCCCCTTGACGACAAGACACCCCCATCCCGTGGTGCTGGTGTTCCTGCAACATCTCCATGGCTTCCACAACGCCGTCCTTATGTGCGCGAGCTCACCGTTCAGAGACAAGGGCCACTAACAGGCGTCAGATGCACCATGAGCGGCGCCTTTTCCCAGACAGTATAGATTTTCTGATTGATCCAATCATGGCACTCTTCTCTCAAGCTGAGATCGAATGAAAAGAGAAGTTTGGCCATGATTAAGCGCATTTCGACATATGCCAAACTACCACCAAATACGTTAGCTCTTGTCTATCTCAACAAGAGAAGTTGATAAACATACTTTCGCCCGATACAATTCCGGGGCCCGAAGGAAAATGGCTGCAAGGCATCTTTTTTATCGTCCTTAAAACGGTCATCATCAAGCCATCTTTCCGGAATGAAGGATTCAGAGTCTTTGAAGTTATCCGATGATCGGAAAACCGCGTATTGATTCATACCCATCACCATCTATAACTATTCGTCAGTATATACCTAGTGAAAAAGATACAAGAGACGTACATTTCCTGGTACAAATGACCCATTGATCGTAGTGCCCTGTGAAGGACTAACTCGAGGGTGTGCATTGGCTCCTGGGGGATAAAGACGGAATGCCTCGTTCAAGAAAGCGAGCATGTAGTCAAGCTGATTAACGCGGCTTATCGTAATTTCCTCTAGAGAATTAAACGACGAACGAATTTCGTTGACGAGTATGGCTAGTACCCGAGGGTTGGTCAGGAGATAAAAAGTTGCTCCAGAAAGTAGCGTGGCTGTTGTTTCACTCCCCGCCACGACTAACACCTCACCATTTCGTATAAGATCAATTTCTTGCAGTTGACCCTTCTCCTGCGCTTGAATGAGATGACTCATGAAGTCAACATAGTTTGGAGAGCGAGACTTGCGTTTGAGAACTTTCATCTTGGTCAAGTCCTTGTTCGCGATGCTTTTCTGTACCAGGTCTTTAGGTATAATATACCGTGACAATCTCCAGATGAGAGGAATCCTCTGCACCGTCCGCACAAAGGAGATGTACTTGATGGTCTGGAAGATCAACTCCACCCATGGATGATATGAAGATTGACTGAGACAGTCAAAGGGCTCAGCGAATGCCAGGTGTCCAATGACATCAAAGGTAGTGTACTGCTGGTAATTTAGATACACTCAGGCCATGTGATCTCATGACAATCACTCACGTTGTACCATTTGACCAAGTCCAGAGGAGTAGACCCTCCGTTACACTCTTCTGACAATCGTTGGATCAAGAGGTCAGTGTAGTGCCTTAAAACCGGCTCTTGGTCCCGCAGGGTTTTCTCGGAAAAGGCATTGGAGAGAAGACGCCTCAGTTGCGAGTGCTTGGCTTTGTCGGCAAAGATGATGGATTGAGCTTGCCCTGGGGTAAAATTCTCGCTGGGGTCTTTGTAATTCTCAGGCTGCCCGATGCGATGTCCATAGATATCTTTCCAGCATTCGGGTGCAGTGTATGAGAGCTCGTCTGGCGCTATACGCACAACCCAGCCATAGTGATCATGCAAACTTTTTGTTTTGTAACTCAGCTCACCACGGAAGCTATGAATTAGCCACCACAGGCGAGAGGCGGCGACATATTTAGGTCCAGGGTACGAGGCGAGTGGATGAAAATATATGTTGTATATACAAAGGCAAATGAAATATGCCAGGGGCTTTTCGGTAGGTTGTTGTCAGGTCTTTCCCCAATGTACAAGGATATTCGAGTGACATACCAATAACAAGATCGCAAATATTGCTCCGGATAAAGATTTTAGGTTTATTATCTCACCTAAAGTCTTGAAAAACATACTAAGCGATTCACACAGTATCCAATAGGCGTTGTACTGAGAGAAACGAAGAAAAGAAATGCAATGAAGGTGGCTACCGGTGGCATTTATTATTGGTGGTTCTAATATTGTGCGTCATGTATAAATCTTGATTCTTAAATGAAAGGATTGCATAAAATAGCCGTAATAACCGACCACCCTTCTGTTTTCGGAAAGATATTCGAAAATCCTTAAAACGCGTTTCATGAGTTTCTGGTAAAATAGAGTATTTTTGGTCAGGTAAAAACATGCGTCTATTCTTAAGAGAGAGAGAGAGATTTGCAACTAAACTGAATATAGGCTAGCGTATTTCAAGATAGGGTTTGGGAAACAATTTGTGAGTGTATGCCGGGGAATCTGTTTTCGAATATAGCAGTATTAGTGCATTCCATAGAGAAGAAATATTGCATCCTTGCATCCCCCTTTATCCTCATCTAGCAGGTCTTAGCTTACTCCATCAATTAGAATTAAACAAGCACAAACTTGCACGCCACCAGATTTTCGGTTATTTGTGAAAAAGTGACAGCATTAGCTCTCTCAAGAAAACTTCATAACATCGTATGGAAGAAAAGCAAAACACGAACCACGAAGATAGATTGAAGATATTAGTGTGTCATCATGACTTTTCTTTTACATGTATTTATTACTTTAGACCGGCTATACACAGAACATCCTGCTTGGTTACGAACCTATCACATAGATACCAAGAGTAAAAGTATTAGATTTCAGAATCAAGTAAAAAGGGTTTCGTAGTCGAAAAGTGGAGGTGAAGCTGAAAATTAAGTTATTATTACATGATGCTCCTTGAAATGATTCTTGACCCAAGAATCTAAGTCATGAGACATGTTCCACTGATAATTCAGAGCCATAGAAACGGGAGGTACCAAGCATCGAAATTGGAGTGCTTGGTGGTGAATTGGCATCGCGAAAACATTCAAGCAGCGCTGGACTTGGTGGGGTTATTTCACGCCGAACAGGCCAGGCGGAGAGATTAGCTCGCGGTGCGAGTCCCTCTTCCTTGCTGCCAACTTTCTGGCAGAACACCTATTTTTTGATGTTAGGAATATTATAATCGAGGTGGTCTGTTTCTTGGAGTGGTTGCTTACCCAGCCGTCTTCGAAGACTCGAGTAAGCACAACATGCTGTCCCTCCCGAAGGCTCACTTGGCTATCGTTCCGAGATTGGAAATCCATATCCACACGGTGAACATTCCTCCTGAATAATTCGACACTTTTCAAGGCCGGAACAGTCGATTGAACACCATTAATTCCGCCGTGTTGATTCCCTGATCTGGTCGAGTTTGTTGAAGCCCTGCTGACCGTGCATGAAGTGACATCCGTCACACTCGAACATTCTGCTCTTTTGCCCCTCCCAGAAGAAACGTCTCTTAACTTGATCCGATGTATTGAAAGTTGTTCCGCTGTCAAAACAACTGGTGAAGGTGATCGGACTTCCCGGTATGGGGAATAAACGGTATGTGTAGAGTGTGTGCTACTGGCGCTCTGAGAGGGACACCGCGAGAAACTGCTATAGGTGGTTGTCGACCCGATTTCGCTGTAATGAGACTCTGATAAATAGGAATGGATGCTCTCATTATCATTGCTTCGTCTGAACTTGTTCGAAATGGTATCATAGAAGGCCATGCCTCTAACCCAGATGGGTGATATTTTCCTTTTCAGAGTTTCGAAGTGAAGATCGACATGACAATGCTGCCCCATAGCACGAGCCCCATTTGCACCAGCAGCGGACAGAGCACTGAAAGAGTATGCAATGGGACCACGTCTGTATCGCTTGACCGTACTGCTAATGCTGTCGAATGATGTAGAGCTTCTCCTCTTAATGCTTGAAAAGGAGTTTTTGAGCCGATCGGCATATGTGGGTGAATGATCGAAATTAGATTTAGACTCATTGTTGAATCTTAGAAGAATTTCTTGTCTTCTTTTCTTCTGTTTGTGTAGCCAAAAAATGATGCTAATTGCCATGAAGAATGTAACTAACATGACACTTGTCGTAGCATAAACAGATGAATGATCTGGTCTCGTTGTTTGAATTGGTACCGGTGGCATGATGGTTGTTCTGAGTGGAGAAGCCGTTTGCTGGCTAGCAGTGGGAATAGAAACTGGGTGAGTGGGCACGTTGATTTGAGTTTCTCGAGTGGGATCAAGAGTCGCCGTCGTATGTTGGTCTGTTGTTTGTGGAAGAGAGACATAGGTGTCGGAATGAATTGGAACTTGAGGTGAATTTGTCACCACAGCTTCTTTGATGTGTGTAGTTGGATACAAAGGACTTGTGTGTGGCAAGTGGAACAATTCAGTCTGTTTGGCGTGTTCCAGTGGGTGGTAGAGGCCATTGTCAAGCTGGCCGGTTTTGGCATTTGCATGGTAGAGACCATCGTTGGGGGGGATTTGTGCATTTATCCCTGCGATTTCCCGATTATCTGGGAACTCTTCTCTTTCAGCTTCAATCATGCTTGCAGCTTCAATCATGCTTGTGAGCTGTAGACACACAGCTGGTGCCTAAGACTTGGATGAAAGATGATAGGATAAAAAAACAAACTCGTCATGAAAGATAAAAACCTACGCTATTCTGACAAGCGCCCAGTCAATACTATTAAATAATAGGTAAGCTTGCTTGTTTACAACTTTAAGAATGCTGATCCGACCTTAACCACAATATTGGCATATGGAGCGCAATTTTCCCGGGAGGAATGCTAGTTTGCTCACACCCAATGGTTAGGGTCTATGTTGTTTGTTTATAGTCAATATATACCCCAAATCTATTCTCTAGGTGGAATCTTGTTTACGAAGTCAGAGCAATAATATTACGCTGAAAACTCATCTACTGACCACTTTCTCATTACTATTCCAAGTGAAAAGTTATAACTGTGTATTCACGTTTTATGAAGAGCCCTAGGCTAAGTTACTGAAAGACAATTCTTATCAGAGTATATAGAATTAGTTAATATCCTCAGATAATAGTTCTTTAGCATGATATTGCGGGGACTTATGCAATCTTCGATTTGCCACCTCTTTTTTAGCGTCTCAGTTTCCAGATCAGATATGGTCTATGTTTTTAAAGTGCCATCAGGGTTTCTTTTCCATTGCCATCTGATAGTAATATTTTAGTCTTCATCAGTTGTAGAAACTTACTTGTTCCTCCACGGCATGTTAACACACTCGAGTTGCCCAGCTAGTCTTAGGCTTATGGGAGTAGCTTCTTGACTTATCAAGCGTTTGTTTATATTATATTCATAGGTTAAAATACAAACATGGCTCTAGCATTAGGCATACATGATTTTTTCCCACTAAATCGATGTGAGCCTTAACTACTCGAATGAAAATCAGGCAATGTCTTATTTCCAAGGAATTAAAGTTTGCCTTCCCGTTTAGGAGAAAGGTTGAAATGAAAACTGTATATTTCATCCAAAGGCAGCCATGTGCGATACAATACGTGTCTCGGATGTACAGGCAATATTGACAACTGCATCCAAACTTCCAATCTTTCGAAAGTTTACTGATGTGACTGTGTTGCTAGGACAAGATGATAGCACCTGTCCTCCCTGTTTTCCCCTTGTAGCCTAGCGCGATTGATTTTCGCATGATCCCTTGAGCTCCCTTGCTAGAGCAATCACCATAAGGGGAAACTGGGTTTGTAACTGGCGCCCACAACACCGGTACATAGCCGAGATGATCTGTGGAATGTTAACGCCACATGGGCTATCAGGTTGATGGCTGTTTCTTCCGACCAATAAGGAAAGCAAACTAAATAATCGTTAGCTCAATGTAGGTTTTAGATTAGATAGCCCTGGAATATGAGCCCAGAGAACAACAACCCTCATATCAACACCCATGTTGATAGAATGGAGGGCTAAAGCAAGAAATATCTCACAATGAAATGGACGAGGGGCAGTCTTTTTTTCCCTCACTAAACATTTCGGAGCACAACCAAAACGTAGAAGCTTTATAAAGTTTGGTGCAATCTACCATTCGCCGATTTGACGTTATACTATAAATTTTGCTGACGTTACTAAATAAATACACAACCATGGGTTTGCCACGAACTAATTCTGGTCGCTCATTTATTTGGTTAGTTGTCTTTTCCAATGAAACCTGAAATTCCTTCTAGGCATGTGTTGAAATATGTGGCGTAGAATTCTACCATTTTCTACACCTAAATGTTTTCAAAATAGCCGAGGGGGAATACCAAGGGGGTTTGATGAAATGCTGGAGTGTCTCTATAATCACGAGCTTTGCTAATAATAGGAATCCGACTAGAAAAAGATTCACGTCTCATCATTCATGACATCCAACTTCACAATAGGGACGCGTATGCTTTTTTTTATTCCTACCTGAGACATTCTCCTCCATCAACAAGATGCGTTCCACAACTGCCAAATTTCTGGACTTAGTTATGGCAACAGCTGCTATCCTCACCTAAGGAAGCATGGTTAGAGGGCCCGAATTGATCAATATCATAAGCAGCGCGTGTCTCAGATCTGAGTTTGTTGCCAGGACAACTACATCATTCCCGGTAGTGATGAACCCGAAATTGAAAGGCGACAATTTCTAGAGCTTTTCGACGATCTACGTGGCAATAGAGTCACTGCCGCTGATACTCTGAACGGGGACGGCGGCGGGCAATCGCAATGTTACAGCTTCAGTACTGTGAGCAAGGGCGTCTCCGTACGCTGCCTCGGAAGTAATAACCAGGTAAGTTATTTATTTAGGGCCTCTGTTAGGTGCAATCCAATGGTAGTCCGAGCCCTAATAGTACACTGCTGTCCACGATCTCAAGGATAAGAAACCCCACTATGGTGACTCGTATAAAGCGTTGGTTTCCCACACGAAGAAGCGACCAGAATCAGCTCAATTGAGAGAAATCATGCGTTATTGGCTTGTAAAGGTCGTGGAAAATGATGATCAATATGCAAAGCGCAAATGTTCTCGTTTCTTTTTCGAGGGCCTTGCACATTTCTTGCACATTTCTTTCGTTTACCTGTATACCTTCCTGTACTGACACTGCCGAGGCCGTCCGTTTGTGATCGGTGTGCCTTGAGGCCTTTTCTGCCTCCGGCCCCTTCTCGACCGCCCATAATCACTTTCATAAAAACTTGGTTACTCTTTCATACACTTCAAGGAGCTCTTGGATTTACTGTTCTGAAGTTTTATTGCAATTTTCCCTAAATGACAATCGCCTCTCGTCCTTTCTAGTTTCCAAACAGCATTAGCTGATCATAATAAATGATGAATCTTTTAAAACTCACAAAAAGGCTAGACGTGACAAAATAGTACTGGGATATCATAAAACCTCATATTGAATTCTTGTTATTGAGATGTTGAATTGTAAAATACCCATTTACCATGGTGTTTTGGGGTGACCCACTCGTGCGTGAATTAGGTCAATGCGTAAGATGTGTAGGAGTCGGACGTAGGGAGGAATGGGTAAGGTGTTGGTCTGTTCACATTCCTAAAATTCCTACGAGATAGATTTAAGCCCTTTAATTATTTTCGATAAGGGTGATTATAAACATTATTATGTGAGGGTACTCTGGTCTTTAAGTGAGGCGTACCTAGAGAAATAAGTATTCATGAGGGTAATCCAAGCGAATTCCTGGTTACTCCTAGCCGGACCCCCTTGTTTTGGCCAAAACTACCAAGAGGAACGTTCCTTGCACGTTAGAATTTCCAATTTATTCTGTATCCACACTCTCAGCTCATGTGGTATGCTATAGAAGGAGCTGAGGTGACTGAATCGGAAGCATCATTCCAAATTCAGCATAATGCCAACGCAGCGCGGAACGAAGAGGTATGTTCCATGTCAAAATAAACCGCTAGAAACTGGAAGCCTTCATGCAATACAACCATAGCTGATAGTTCTCGAATAAGTGTTGCAGAGTAATTTTTCTATTCTGGATCTCCAAATATGTCGTGGCTTGACATGCCGACCGGCCTGTATTGCCGACCATCCAGCTATGCCAATGCCCTAATCATCTAATCTAAACACCTGCTGCCCATGGCAACCTAATTACTGGGATTTGGCGCATATGAAAAGCCAGAGGCTACTGAACTAACATTTCCCATTCTGGTAGGGTGTATTGAGCCCCAACGGCCCGCAAAAAGGTATATAAGTGAGTATAACCCCTATTCAAACTCTGTCCTAAAAAACAAACCATCCAAACCATCCAAACAAGAAATTCTCTTCTCTTATCCTTGAAAGTGAATCACCAAAGAAAATACAATCAAAGTGAAATCACAATCCAAACCATCTGGTCTACCACCGATTCAAAATGAAGCTCTCGATCTCCGCTGTCCTTGTCTCTTTCTTCTTGTCTTCCACGGTCTCCGCTGCCCCCGTCGAATACGCAAATACTGTGACTATTCAGCTTGCCAACTCCAAGCCTGGTACCAATGCCGATATCTGCTTTCCCGCTGATGGCGTCAAGCGTCCTATCGAAGCCCTATGGGGTCACACGGAAGTCGCCCAGAACGGCCGTGTCTTTGCGACGAGCGCCCAGCTCATAAGTTATCGGCCGAATACCGTCTGCACCATCTTCAACGAAAAGGGCCAATCTTGGACGCTAAACGCAAGACACGATTGGAAACAGCTGGGCTGGACCTCGGTGGATTTGTGCTCCGCGTTCTTAGCATGCGAGGATACCCATGTTTGGTTATAATGGGCTTGTTGACGATTTTTCGAAAATTCCCTATGTTCACATTCCAAGGCGTGGCTGCCATTTGTCAATCTGCCGCCGTTAATATATAATAAGAACTTTTTAATTGATTTTAACATCTCAATACTGAACCATTGTCTTTTTGGGACCGTCACAAGGTATCTATGGGAAAATTACGCGATCCAAAGTCTTTTCATCAGCCTAAACGGCAAAGGCAAACATAATCTTTGAATTTTCATTCTTTTATTTTTATCTACCTCATGCTTTTACCCATTGCGCTCAATCAAGGGCCTGGTCAACGAACAGCAAAAGTGGACGAATAAGATCCATTTCAGTCAAAGGTCAATGCTGCGGGGTCAATCTACAACTAATAGAGTCAAGTTGCATTCCCTCCTTAGGATAAAGTGGAATAAGGGATAATACCTCTTCATTGAAATCAGCGATAATGGCCATGTAGATGGGACGCAAGATCAGGAATTTAGGGTAGAAGAAACGACGGACTGTGACATGCTCATATAATTTCTACTGTTCTTAATAATGTGAATTCATTTGCGCGTTGAATTGAGGAGTGATAGCAACCTTGGAAATCGATATATATTTCAAGATCAAGAGCTGCCCTTGTCCAGTGGAATGCAAGTGATAAACATCTGCTTAATGGAATCATAGTGAGAAAACAACTCTCGCTTACAAGACTGTACATAGGAAACAAGAAACACCCCACTTCCCAACTTCTCCATGTCACATAACCCCGTTGTCGATCAGTCTCCTTAAACCTTCCTCCACCACTCAGTCCATCTACATAGAAGATGTTTCCTCAGGGAGCATCTTGAACAGGCTCATTGATCGTGGACGCGGCATTTGTAAATCTGGGTGACATCGAACCGTAAACCGACTTTGCTTGAGTCGAGGTCCACCAGTCTGGATCCAGTCCAGACCATCAGAAGACGAGCTTGCGATTTCGTCGCTTGCTTTTGACTCGCGAGTGCGAGGAAGATCTTCAGTGTCGGGAACCATCCACACAACTGTTTTGACCGGGCGTTCTTCCTTTTTCACTGATGGGTGCCAGGTCTCTCTCTCTGGCAGGGGTTTAGACCGAATAACCAAGTCAAAGGGAGCGGTATCCCGCTTGCGTTTTCCCGGTGCGGATGACCTGTAGCGAGTGTGTTGTCCCTTTGTTTCCCCCCTCTCCTGTCCATTTTCCTTTGCGTCTGCTGGTAACTGGAGGCGAGCACGTTTCTTGCGAGCTATTGCAGAACGACATTCCTTCAACCAGTATTCTACATCAGGACAATCTTCAATCTCGAGACCAGCAGGGCAACAAGTCCGAGTAGCCACAAATTCTTGGTAGGCATGGGTGAAGCTCTTGCGCAAGAACTGAATGCGGCCCAGGTAGTAGTGGCATCTTGCAATGGACCCGTTGCCGACCTCCAGTTCCTGAGCCCTTTTGAGAGTGTTTCGCGCTTCGATCAGCGCGCAGTCGTAGTCCTTTGCCTTGATAATGCAGAAGATCGAGGAAAGGGCTAGTGAGATACGAAGTTCATGCATTCTTTTAATAAGACGGTCAGAGTCAGGGATGGTAGGTGTCTTTGGTGGCAGGATCATGTTCATGACATCCACTTTGCTTTGGAATCCCTCGTGAATCTTCTGTTTGAATTCTCGCTCTTTGTGCAGGGGTACAGGTGTCGAATCCCAGTGTTCGGGGTCCCAAAGCGAAGGGATTTCATCGTACTGCGGACTCTCGGCACCAGTCTCTGGCAGTTGGTTATCAGCGGGATCTGGTTCGAGGGTGTCGTCGTTATCCTGCCATTTTGGCTGAGAAGGAGAGTAAATACCCCGTCGCATTGGGGTCAAGGTGAGTGGTTGGTTCGATGGGTAATGATGGAATATTGTGGTGATGGTGAGAGAGAGAGAGTGCACGAGAGAAGATGTGATTAGGGAAAAGTTGGATATAAACAAGAAGTGGACGTTTGCCCTATCCTTTCAATTAGGAGGCATCTATATCGTCAGCAGTATAGCACGCGCCTGTTGGTGGGTTTCTCCATCTATTCAATAGACAAAGAGAATGTCATGTCATTGTTCCACGGTTTTTCTTTTTCTCCTATTCGTTTCTTTTTCTCTTCCTTGTACCGGCCAGATGGGAAATCCCACCAGGGTCTTTCTACGGCAGTTAGAAATAAAACCAGGGGTATGAAAGGGTATTAGATTGTCTGTCTATTCTACCTCAGCAACAAACAAAGGAAAAGATTGCAATCTATCTTTCACTGGTAATACACGAGCGGACTAGAATCAAGAACGAACAACTGGATCTCCTGCAAAGACGTTAGAAAATCGAACTTGCCGTCAAGCTCCCACTATTTCTCTTCATCAGATACGGACAAAACTGTAGTAGAATCAGCAAAAATCATTTCATCGATCGATCGAACCGAAGAGCACGCTGGTTCTCGCACATTGAAAACGGTTGTTTCCATGGTGTGGTCAAGCGAGGTCCGCCAGAAGAGGTCAGAGGAAACTAGACAGAGTGAGCTTCTGCTGTCAGCCGATCCAAGCAGGGGACGAATAGATGCCTTGGAAGAGACACTGTGTCCATCCACGGCCTCTTCGCGAGTAAAATCTTCGATCGCTTTCCGCTGGTAGTGGCGAGTCTTGGTGTGATACCCAGGCGTGCACAGCGCGCGGGCGAGCGACCAGTAAGCCTCGGTGAATGCTTTCAGGGTCAGTAGATTCCGTCCACGGATGTAATGCGCCATGCCGGTGAAGTCGCGGGTGTGTGAGCTGTCGAAGAGGTAGTGGCGCGAGAGCATCTGGAGGGCAAAGTCCACGCGCTTGTTGGATTCTTCGTATCGTCCCACAGAGTGTAGGAGTGCGGCCACGAAGATGCGGCAGCGGATCTCTTCGACTGGGGGGAGGAATGGATCGGTGCATATTGCACGGGAGACAATGTCCATCGCGAATTCGGGGTATCCATCATGCCATTGTCGTTCTGCTTCTGCGAGGGGTCCTGACTCGTTGTCGGAGGAGAGCCAGATGTCAGCGATCCAGGTGCCTGCGCTTGCTTTAATACTGGTCTGAATCTCAAGTGGCTTTTCATCCATGTCTGGCGTTGGAGGGGTAAACACGTGGGTCCGAGATTGCAGATGTGCCACCAGGAGATCGTATTCTGCCAGTTGGGCCTTGAGCGAGGTGACCGTCTCGACGGCTTCGAAGAGATCATGTTGCAGTGTCGCTCTCTCATTCGAGAGGCATTTGATCACCGACAGGAGTCGGGCGACATCGGAGTCCTTCTTGCTTCCGCGCATGCAGCGGATAAGATTCGACAACATACTGTGATCCGATCATCGATGAAGCAGCGGACTAAGGGCTATTTATGCCTTTGGGCGCAACTCCGATGCAAGACATGGTTGCCAGCCGAGGGCGACCGCTCAAAGAAATGCCACATCCACAGACAGACAAGGTCTTGGTCCGGGTTCCTCATCGACGCACTCTCGAACACACTGCCGCGATCGTCATGGATCGTTCGATTGTGGGGCACTGGAGGAACAAAACCGCGCATCCCACCAAACACGACAAACTCCATCAAACACGGCAAACTGCGCTATGACCGCCATCTGGGGCTCCATCCGGCCCGGGATCTCCACATCTTCATTGTCTGGCCGCGTAGAACGCCAGCACGAGTGGGAACCGCGCGACGTCAGACGGCATGCACGGGATGGCCGGCCTTGCGCAGTCCAATCTGATCGAAGTAAACCCGCGCCGGCCTTGCTCTAGACTTGCGGGGCTCAATCCGGTTGCAAACGTTGCAAACGTGGCAAACAGGATGACGGAGGGGTGATCTCGCGCGACAGAAGGTGTTGGGAGGGCGTGCAGGTATAATAAACTTGATTGCCCTGGATTTCGGGCCCTCACGTCAACGCTCGTGTAGTCTCTGCTGTGGTTTCACTGGTTCCCTGGCTTCCTGGCTCCCTGGCTCCTACCCCAATTGCTCATTATTCTAGACCAGTCGACAGAGACTGGGTCTTTCTGCACAACATAATACCCCCTTGCTGTCTACCAATTGTTTTTGGTTTCGTCTGGTCGGTCTTCTCTTTCTACTTGCTCGCATTACATTTCTTGCAATCAAGATGTCACCATCGGCCGTTTGCACCGGCCATGACGCTGTCGAGATCGTGGACATCCACCAGAGCGACATGGACTTCTCGCTCGTGGACGAGATTCTCAATCGAATCGATCCTCCCGCGGGGACTCCGCGCTCGTTTCCCACGCTGCTGCTGTACGATGCCAAGGGGCTCAAGCTGTTCGAGAAGATCACGTACCTGGACGAATACTACCTGACCAACACGGAGATCGAGGTGTTAACTGCCAACGCGAAGCGCATCGTCGAACGGATTCCGGAGAATGCCCAGGTGGTGGAGCTTGGTAGTGGGTCTGTTGTTCTTGCACTCTGCATCCGCAGTTTGGATTATGCGTCGTAGAGCGTTGATGCCGTCGCGGACTTTCTAACACGTTTTCTCTAGAAACCTGCGCAAGATCTCGATCTTGCTCCGGGAGTGCGAGCGCACGAAGAAGTCGGTGGACTACTACGCGTTGGATCTCTCTCTGGATGAACTGAAGCGGACCTTTTCCGAGATCAATCCAGAGGGGTTCGCGTATGTGGGACTACATGGTCTTCATGGCACGTACGACGATGGCCTCGTCTGGCTGAGGAATGCGGAGAATCGGACGAGGCCGACCGTGGTCATGTCCATTGGGTCCTCCATCGGCAACTTCAGCCGCTCCACTGCCGCGGAATTCCTCGCTGGCTTTGCGAAATCATTGAGTCCCTCGGACTTGATGATCATCGGATTGGACGCATGCCAAGACCCGGAGCGGGTGTTTAAGGCGTACAATGACTCCGAGGGCGTTACCCATGCCTTCTATGAGAATGGGTTGGTCCACGCGAACCGCGTTCTGGGGTTCGAGGCGTTCAAGGCCGACGAGTGGGAGATTGTCACTGCGTACGATGTGCCTGGCGGCCGACACCACGCATACTACTCGCCCAAGGTGGACGTAGTGATCAATGACCGGGCCATTAGTAAAGGCGAGAAGCTGCACTTTGAAGAGTCCGTCAAGTACAATCGCAGGGAACGGGATACTTTGTGGCGGGAGGCTGCGTTGATTTCTCAGGCCGAGTTTGGCAATGACGCCGACACTTACCGTACGTGTTTACGTCACCGTCTCTACCTTCTCCGGATGTTCCTATCACATACACTCACTCACTGCCTCACTCTTTTTTTTCTGTCTCCCTCTCCCTCTCTCTCTCCCTCTCCCTCCTCTCCCTCCTCTCCCTCCCACTATGCTCACCGCGTCCCTGCTAGATCTCCATCTGCTGTCGCCCTCCGGCCATCCTCTTCCCACCGACCCTGCCCAATATGCCGCCCATTCCGTCCCGAAGGCCACGGACTTCCAGGCTCTCTGGACCACCTGGGATATCGTCACCAAGACCATGATTCCTCGTGAGGAGCTTTGGTCCAAGCCTATCAAGCTCCGCAACTCACTGATTTTCTATCTGGGCCATATTCCGACCTTTTGTGGTTTGTCCTGACAATTGATGATCCCCGCATCTCCACACTAACCACACTAGATATTCACCTCACGCGAGTGTTGGGAGACAAGCCGACGGAACCCAGCTCGTATCGCCGGATTTTTGAACGTGGCATTGACCCCGATGTGGATGACCCCAACCAGTGTCATGCCCACAGTGAGACGCCAGACGAGTGGCCGCCGCTAGACGAGATCTTAGACTACCAGGAACGCGTCCGCAGCCGCGTCCGGAGACTGATCAATCGGGGACCCATCACAGACCGGGCTCTTGCCGAAGCGCTCTGGATTAGTCTCGAGCATGAAGCGATGCACCTAGAGACCTTCCTGTACATGCTACTCCAGAGCGACAAAGTGCTGCCTCCGGTGGGTGTGGAACGGCCTGACTTCGCGCACCTAGCCCAGCAAGCAAAGACCAACGCAAAACCCAATGGGTGGTTCACTATTCCGGAGCAACAACTGGCTATTGGCCTGGACGACTCGAACGAGAACGTACTGCCCCGGAGCTCTTTCGGCTGGGATAATGAAAAGCCCCAGAGGACAGTGGCGGTGCACTCTTTCGAGGCTCAAGCCCGTCCGGTCACCAACGGCGAATATGCAAAGTACTTGCAGACTAGCCAGATTCAAACACGGCCAGCCTCCTGGACTCAAATTTCTCAGAATGGTGGCCTCTCACAGAACGGCAACGGTTCAGCCACGGACGAATTTTTGGATAAATATGCCATTCGGACCGTGTTTGGGCCCGTCCCTCTGAAGCTTGCCGAGGATTGGCCGTTGATGGCTTCCTATGATGAGCTGGCCGGCTATGCCGAATGGACCAAGTGTCGCATCCCTACCCTTGACGAGGTCAAGAGTATCTATCAGTACTCTGCCCGGCTTAATGGCAGAGATTCTTGTCCCACAAGGTTGGTCCAGTGCACTTCTATTTCGGACGAGAGAGAATAACTAATCGTATCCGCAGCAACGGAATCAATGGGTCGTCGACAAACGGTCACAAACCACCATCTCAGAGTGGTCTGCCCGTATTCTTGAACCTCAACGACTGCAACGTTGGGTTCCGCCACTGGCACCCGACCCCAGTTACCGCACAGGGCGATCGACTCGCCGGCCAGGGTGAATTAGGCGGCGTCTGGGAATGGACGAGTTCGCCGTTGACGCCGCATGAAGGATTCAAGCCCATGGAGATCTACCCGGGTTATTCTTGTAAGTGATCTCTCGATCCCTAGAGTTTCAACTGCTTGCTCACTGTTTTTTCTTTTTGCAGCGGATTTCTTTGACGGAAAGCATTATGTCGTCCTTGGCGGGTCTTGGGCCACATATCCGCGGATTGCAGGCCGGACGACCTTTGTCAATTGGTATCAGCACAACTACTTGTATGCCTGGGCTGGCGCACGGCTGGTGAGAGACCTATGAAGGGTTCTTCCCCCTAAGGGAGAATAACTAGGAAACGAACAAGTAAACGATGTCATTTTGGTGCGATAAGATAGAACCCGATAAACAGATAAGAGAGGCGGCGTAGTTGCCCCTCACCGTGTCTCTTCTCCAACACTCCCTAGGTTCAACACCACCATCCCACCATGTCTCTCGAAACCATCACGACCATCTCCCCCGCCACAAATGCCCCAATCCTCACTCGCACGGGCATCTCGTCGGACGACTTGACTCGCATCCCCGAGACCGCTCAGGCCGCCTTCCGATCGTTCTCGCAGTCCACCACCCTGGAACAGAGGCAGCAGATCGTGTCGCGCGCATTGGCGATCCTAGAGAAGAAGAAGGATGAGCTCGCTCGCGAAGTCACCGAGCAAATGGGCCGGCCTATCGCATATACCGGCGTGGAAATCGCAACGGCCATCAAGCGCAGCCACTACCTGAACCGCATTAGTTCGTCGGTGCTCGGTGAGGAAGGCGTTGTCCCTGGCGAGGAAGAAAAGGGGTTTCGACGGTATATCAAACGCCAGCCGGTGGGTGTGGCGCTGATTATCTTTGCGTGGAACGTGAGTTTTTTTTTTGGGTTTCTATCACTTCAAGACCCCAACTAAGGCGGATGGGCCTTCATTTTTAGTACCCCTACCTCATTCTGGTCAACAGCTTGATCCCTGCGATCCTGGCAGGAAACGCGGTCATTCTGAAACCCTCGCCCCAGACCCCGACCATCGTTGAGCAGGTCGCCTCCGCCTTCTACGAGGCCGGTCTTCCCAAGGATGTGATCCAGTACTTCCACTGCGGGTCCCTGACCCTACTTGAGACACTCGTCCGCTCTCCGCTAGTGAACCACATCTGCTTCACCGGCTCGGTGGCCGGTGGTCTGGCAGTGCAAAAAGCAGCCGCCGACCGGATTGTGAACGTGGGTCTTGAGCTGGGCGGCAAGGACCCAGCGTACGTGCGGGACGATGTGGACGTGGCCTGGGCAGCGGAGGAGATTGTCGACGGCGCGATCTTTAACAGCGGACAGAGCTGCTGCGCACTCGAGCGCGTGTACGTTCACGAGAAGGTCTACGATGGCTTCGTGGCGGAGGTCAAGAACGTGCTGAGCAAGTATCGCGTTGGCGAACCCTCTGATCCCAAGACTCAGATTGGACCTGTTATCTCCAAACGCGCCAGGGAGATGATCCTGGCACACATTGAGGATGCAGTCAAGAAGGGCGCAAAGGATGAGACGCCTGCTAACGAGACATTTGAGAACTTCCCGCCCAATGGAAACTATGTCAAGCCCACTCTGCTCACAGGTGTGAACCACGACATGCTCGTTATGACGGAGGAGACATTTGGCCCGGTCATTCCTGTCATGAAGGTATCGGGTGATGACGAGGCTATTCGGCTGATGAATGACAGCGAGTTCGGTCTGACAGCTAGTCTTTGGACGAAGGATGTTGCTACGGCGGAGAAGCTGATCGAGCGGGTCGAGGCGGGCACTGTGTTTGTCAACCGCGCTGATTATCCTGCTCCGGTGAGTTTCAGGCATCCTGCAAGCATGAATTATTCTAACATCTTTATTCGACAGGACCTGGCTTGGACCGGCTGGAAGAACTCAGGCCGAGGTGTAACTCTCAGCCGATTTGGGTTCGAGCAGTTTGTGAAGCTGAAGAGCCACCATATTAAGAATTACCCGAAATAGATATGGGCGTGTGATTTTGTTTTTGAGATACTCAATCTATGTAGAGCCAAGTGAGGGATTTGTCTAGGCTCAATATATATCAAACCATCAAATCACGATATCCTTTCCAAGTATATATCTGCTCGTCCACTCAGGATATTTGGTCTGTCTCGGATCTAAGAACCTGAATTCCTCGACAAAACAACGCTAAACAACAAGAAAATACACGAATTCCCTTCTTATCTTCTAATTCCAAACCACCCAGTCACTTAGGAAACACCATAAGTGTAGACAGTGTCAACCAGCTGATCTTTAGTTCAATGAGTGGAATGGATCTTAGCGGCCCGCCAAGGCCGGCCCGTGGAAGTTTCGATGAGCATCAAGAATGCAAGCCACAAGCCAAGTCAAGCACCTTTTATTACGGTTGTGTTACTTAATAATACACGATATGCGCTAATCTCAGGCCTTGCGTTGCGAGGACTCCACCGCATGCCGGTCGTCCACTCACGAGTACCTCGAGAGAACAGAGGCTTGGTGACAGGTCCCGAGATCGGACGAGAAGGGTATCGCCTAATGTTCAAAACCTGTAAATGGTCTGGTTTCTACTGTGGATCGAGCTTTCGATTGGCTCTAGGTTGACAAATCTTCTTCCTTTGTGAAGTACTAGCTAGATGCCCGGAGCTTAGTTAGGGCACGGTTCCATTTACCTACTAAAGATATAATAATAGCATCACTTGAGAAAGAGAAACAGAATAATAGTCCCAACACACAAAAACCCACCTGCCCTTTATGTATGTATCCCCTTTGTCTGGAATGCGTACTAGAGACACTGGCTGTACCTGCAGCCGAGCAGGGCAGGAGGGCGCCAAGGACCTCGGAGCATTACTCCGACGCAAGGGATGAACAACCAAAATAACAACCAACGAAAATCCACTCCGAGATACTGGCGCAAGGGCTTTCTCTGCTTTCCTGTTGTCTCGTATTTTCAGTTATATTAAGGTGGCGTTTTGCCGGGCCAGAGCTGGGTTGCACAACAGGAGAACCAAAAAGCGATGAAATGGAGCTTAGCCGCATCCTCGGCTGGACTGGACTGGGTCTAGATTGGGCATTAAGAATTGGACGGGGGGGTGTTCATGCCATGTGTCGAGGAATTTGAGTACATTTCCTTCTTGCGAGTACATATGTAGCAACCTTGGAAGCCTTAGTGTTTGTTTTCATGCGTGTCCAGTGCATCGTGACCCCCCCAAAACAGTAGATAAACTGTACAGCTCATTCCAGAATGAGTATTACATACTGTGTTGTAGCCTATCCAAGATCACCCCTGCCAGTGACGAAGCCATGATCGATCCATGCAGGGTGCAGGCCCGGTGATGGGGATCGACCGCGCGTTCATTATCGAGATTACAGAAATGCGCCAGCCGAAATACGAAGACAAACCCCGGTCAAGACAAAGAACGGAAGAACCGGCACACAAGCCACCTGAATTTAAATGTAAGAACAGGAGGAAATAGTCACGGTCAGGCACCGCGCCAGGCCCTCGCGGTATGTTCATGTGCATACCCGATCCAGCATCCGGGCGTGTTTTCAGTCTGCACTGGGGAAACACTAGACCAAAACCTTAAAAGCGCGCCGAGTTCCGAGTCTGAACTGCTCAAGGGACGGCGAAGAATGCGCGATGGGGATCTTTCAGCAGCACGCGAGGCCGAAATTTCGCGTTTCCCCTGTTTGCCCCTTCGGTGCAAAGGTTGTTGTCCGCTCTCCACTTTCTTTCTCCACTGATGTCCTTTGAGTGCAGTGGCCATTTTCCTTCCCTGCAGGGCGCAGGCCTATGACGACTTGCTCGCCACCTGCTGCCAGTAACAATGGGCGGCGTATTGTGCCGGACTTTCTGCAGATGATGCTGTACATGAAAGGGAAACCAAAAAAAAAAGAAACTTTTGGGCTGCCAGGGGAACAAGCGTGGCCAGGGCAGCGAACGAGACACTGGAATGTGTCACACACTAGTCCCCAGGAAAGGGAGAACAGCGGCTAGGACTTGCTTTGATCTTGCCGAGCCTGTCATCGTTCCATGCCACAGGATGGGCAATCCCGTTGATCGGAGGATCCATCCGTCCCTGACAAGGCCGGGATCAGCATGGATTTGCATACTGCAGATGGAGCGGCTGCCCCGTATGTAACTTACTTCGTACGCTTATTATATGTACCCCGGCCTGCATCTTCTTTTGATTTCTCACCGACGTATCAATGTCATAGCGCATCTGCAGAGTTTCCTTTCGTTCCGTTTCTTTTTTAGGCGTTATCGTCCCCAGTCCCTCGTTTAATCCTCCTGTCTCTCGTTGTTATAGCAGTTGTTTCACACCGGAGCATTGCTTGTCTTTATTGCTTTTCATTGTTCCAAGATACCCAGATACCTCGACTTGCATCAGCATCGTTCCGTCGCTTCATAAACGTCAAAGAGTCCCCTGTGTGTGTGTTTCCACAGATCGAAGCAGGGAAAAAAAAGTCAAGAATGGAGTGTTTCCGTCAGATCATCCGGTGCATTAAGTCACCATTCACACCTAAGCAGAGGGTGCTTGAAATCGTGAGTTGACTACAGTGTTCCAATTCGAGGAATCCATGCTCATGGAACTGCATGCAGGGCCCTCCCACCAACTTCAGAAAGGAAGAATTGCCTGCCTTCTTCTCCGATGCCGAGTCAGTCTTATCGCCCACGCATAAACTCCTGGAGCGACCGAGTCTGACCAATCTGTCACAGCACCCTGACGTCTCGAGTCAGCCGCGAGCCGACGCCGGAGGAGCCGGAGAAGAATGGCACTGTCGAAACCGTCGAGTGTCCGCTCTCAGCGAAGGAGAGAATTCAACAACACGTCCGAAGGATGAGCATAAAGCTGTCTCCGCCAGCATCCGAGAGTGCATGAAGCCGTCTCGTTGGTCTTGGCCGAATTGAAGTGGCAACCGTGGAATATAAGATGTCCTCCGTGACCGGCCGATCGTGCCGGAGTCATGTCTGGTTAGTACGGTGGCCACACTACTAGGGCTTCCTCAGTTTGCTTTGGATAATCACACCAAGAAGGTTGGAACCTCGTTATAGCGTGTTTTTTTGGCTTTGGGGTTGTTGGTCCCCACTGGCACTCCTTCTGAGGGAATATGTTCACCTTTCCTGTCAGATACAGAGGCTCTTTGCCGAGATGGCGCTGGTAGCTCATCGAGGTCGTCAAATAACATTTGCATTCTCGACTTTGGCACGTTCACTGCTGGTCCCTGACTAGGACGAGCAAATGATTGTCTTTTAGATTTCGAGGAGGATGCGGTTGGCCTTTCGGCTGATCTGGGTTTGTCTGTAGACCCGCTGCTAGGAACTGGCCCGGACTGATTGCCGGGCTGCCGTCTCACCGGTGCAGGAGCGGTGGTAACCTCAAGGTCAAGATCATCATCCTCATCCGAGGCCGTCTCCTCATCCACGTCCATTCGCTGGACCTCTGGAGCCATCGACGACGAAGGAGGTTCTTCACCACTAGTAACCCGCGCCTGACTGCTGGTAAATGCAGCCGCTTTTCCGTAGCCTGCAGCTGCTCTGGTAGCAGACTTAATGGTCTGCACGCCGGCCAGCGAGCGTGCCTTTCTCGGGCTAGTCAACAGGTCATGGAGATGAGTCCCAGCCCACATCTCATCTTCGGTATCCTCGTGCTCCTCGGCATTCCCTCCTAAAACTTGCCCCAGCCCAGACTTCTGACGTGCTGCAAGCTTTTCGGCTTCATGCTTTCGTTGGACATTCTTTGGTATAGCTGTTCGGCCATCCGTGGGTCTGTCCAATTCCCCTAAACTTGCCGCGTTCCGGGCCTTGGCTTCCTTCGTCCGCCGAACGTATTCCGCGTAATGTAAGTGTTGAGTGAATGTCTGTGCGACGGCATAGAATTCATCTTCGACCATAATCCAAGCGTCATCTTTATCTAGGCCTTCGATCAAGAATCTGCATTTCTCGTTAGTCGATTGTCTAAAATCGGAACGCATGCGGGGCTGCGAACGCACTCCTCGGACGGGCATCGCTTGATTGGAGACGTAGGTGGGGTTTGAGCTGCGGAAGAGAATGGTATCAGCTCACGATGAGTAAAAATTCCTTGGTTCACCCTACATGACCTGAGAAAGTTCCTCTTGTCCGGCGAAGATGGTGGGTTCTTGGGAGTCTGATCATGATCCGGAGCCGGCTCCGCTTTGATGCGCTTCCGCGGCGTCGACTCTTGCTTCACCCTGCCAGTGTCATTCTGGCCGACCAACCAGGGCAGCGTCCTTGGCATGCTGGGGTCACATCAGATGGGGTTACTAGAGGTAGTCATTGCGACCAAGCTGGGGGAGGGAAGAAAGATGGGAGTTCGCGTTCACAGTTGAGCGATAAGGCACTACAGCTGAGCGATAAGGGGCAGGATAGCCTCAATGGGCTGCTGTAAGGTGGACAGGATTTGAGTGAATCAGACTGGGCCTATATCAATAATAATGTAATAAACCATTGGCATATGGCTGAAGAAAATTCCGAAAAAGAACTATCTAGACTTTGGGATAAATGACTGTGCACCCGGACAGTGCCAATCCACCTTGAGAATTGCCCCATTGACGCTGTCCGTCATAAACAATTCTTGGTTTCCCTGTCCACCAAATGTGCAGTTGGTGATAAATGCGTTCGGAAGAGGACTTTGGATGCTTTTCAAGGGGATTCCATATCTGTCAACAACGAACACTCTTCCCAGCCCGGGTACACAGACAAACAAGTTTCCTTGCTGGTCGATTGTTAAACCATCTGGTCCCACGGACCCAAAGCCCTGGAAAAACACCCCAACTTTGGTTGTTGTTCCATCCTCATGGAGCGGAAGCTGCCAGACTTGATTTGCCCGAGTCATCGCCACATACAACGTCTTCTCATCCACTGACAGTACAAGTCCATTCGGCGAGGGGCCATTGTCCACAAGACAGTCCAGCTTTTTATCCGTGGTATATCGGTAAACCTTTCCAGTTGGATCGGTCATTCCGGTCCTACCTTGATCTGTAAAGTAGATGTTGCCTTTAGAGTCAACAATCAGGTCATTGACCCCTTTGAATCGCTCAAGATTCCGTCGAGTCAAGTACGGAACGACACTATTATCCGCTGGGTCAAATAAAAGCAGTCCCTGAATCAAGTCAACAATGTGTCCAACTTGCCATCTTTAGAACCTACTCACTTCTTTATAATCTGCCACGACGATTCTTCCGTCATGCATTATTGCCAGGCCATTAGGCTCACCGTCCCACTCAGCGCACGTCTCGACTTTTTTGTCCGAGTCGATCTTCAGGATGCGACCGAATGGTATGTCGACAACAAAAACATCGCCTTGTTGGTTGACTACTGGTCCCTCGAGAAAGACACCCTCCAACTTGTGTGGAAATCCTTGGGCCCACTCTGTAGATTCCTGGCGTCGAAGCGAAGAAGGGATGTTGTAGTAGATTCCTGCAGTAATCACCTCGGGGGGTGGATAAAAGTTCATCTTGGCTGGTATGGTAGATTAAGAGAAAAAGCAGACAAATGCAGAGTGCACAAGGTGTGACCCCGAAGTTCTCCAACTTATCTCCGCACATAAGAGCCGTCTAAGAGGGGTCAAAGTAGCCCTCGGACATTGCTCCGGCACATCTGGGGGCAACCCACCACCTCCGGCCTGCTTTGCATATGATTTTCTTGGTTTGTTCGACGGTGAGTTTCCCTCCATTCAGCTTGCGGTTTCGAACTAACAGGACACTACAGAAAATGCTGTTGCTTGCATTTCAGACTCCCCGGAGATTAGGAGTTGCGTTCTATCTTCTTTGCGCATAAAGGTAGGTTTTCAAACCAGGCAGTGTGCGTAACCCACACTGCCTATATTACTCAAGACTAGCAGTCTACACAGAAACCTAACGAATATCGAGACTTATATGATTCTCAATCTTGGGTATTTGCTGTTGTAACAAATTTTGCAGAGAACACACGATCTGAAATACCCTCAAACGTCACGGTCTGTGGCGGGTTCAAAATTGAAGAACGAGACCCCTGATAGAAAAGAACGCCATGCAACCATCCGAAGAATAATAACGCCGATAACTTTGCTCGCGAAAAAAGAACTCCCGTTCATACCTCTCCAGGCCGCTTGCTGTTGCAGCTCACAATCTTCACCTTATCTGCCTGTACGGCTTGCTGATTATCCAGCTTGAAGGTCACATCCTTGATGAGGAACGTCCAGACGTCGTCGCAGAATCGGTATGTGTCAAGGTGGCCCTAGTAACCAAACAGTCAGTTTCATTCCAACCAGAGATAAAGACCAGCCGCAGACAGGGAAGTGATGTACCTTGAAGGTAAGCCGAGCGCGGACTTTCTCCGCCAGCACCTCGGTGACAACCCGGTCAAAAGTGGAGAGGATCTTCATGGCGAGCTGGGGCTCGATGCGGCCTTCGTTGATGAGGTCGTCCAGCGTGTCGGTCAGAGACAGGCCGAGACTAGGTCGAAGTGGTTCATTTCAGTTTCTCGGTCATCTTGCCCTGATTGGGTAGCTTGTGTGGAAGGCTTACCTGCTCCCACGGTAGAGCTCATAGTAGGACTGCGTCGCCATCGTGAGAGATGTCAGGATGGACTTGTGGTGGTGAAGTGAGAGGTAATGAAGTCAAAAGTTCCCGGCACCGGAAGAGAGCCGCAATGGATCGCGGGGAGCGAATCACGTGCTCTAGTCATGTGACTGGTTCGCAGAAGTATCATTTTGACAGTTCGGTTGTCGATGATTATTCTTATCATAAAGTCACATCCTCAATGATCCACTGTACCCTGATCAATTCTTCCCATTATAAGTCTCGGCTCAGTCGTGGTTGACATGGCAGGGCGTTACTCGCTTCGGCTCAGTCTCTAACCAACCCACTTATATGGTCTTTTGGCACGTTTGATAGCACTTCACCGAAGAACAACAAAAGACAAGGTTATATATGCTGATGATACTGCGCAATGGAACTTGGATAGTGATACAAACGCTGGCGAGTATTTCGAGTAAGACATTGGACGCGATAACTCAAGGAAGTCAGACTGGTTCTCGCAGGTGTGCGTGGCTGGGAGACTACTCTTGCTCGAGGGTTGTTCTTATGGTTCAAGCCACATAGTTTTGACTTTGAATTTCATGAATTTCAATTTTACTTAGCCACTACACTCAAAACATCAATCCATCAACCCGCCCTAACAGCCCTCACCTCCTCATTCTTAGGCAAAATATCCGGCACCGGCCCAACGGGCGTGATACTAAACTGATTAATCTGCTTGTGAGACTTGGTATAGTGCTTCTTGATATGCTCGAAATCCGTCGTGTCATGGAAAGCAGGCACATCCCAGTAGAGATGGCGCACCCATTGATGGATGGCGGGAAATCCAGAGCGAATATCACGGATGTTGCACTTGAAGTGCTGCACGTAGACCGGGTCGAAGCGGATGATGGTCGTGAAGAGGCGGATATCCGCTTCGGTGATGCTGTCGCCGAAGTAGTAAGGTGCGCCGCCGGAAGAGATTTTCTTGGCAAGATGCGTTTCGATGCGGTCGAGCGAGGAGAAGAGCGTCGTTACTGCTTTCTCGTATGCCTCTTGCGTGGTTGCGAAGCCGGATTTGTACACGCCGTTATTCACGTCGTTGTAGATCCATTCATTTGAAGCGTCGATTTCGCTGCGCAGGGCTTTGGGGAACAGATCAACCTTTTTGTATTGCTCGGGCAGGAGATCGTCGAATTCATAGTAAAGCATGCGGATGATCTCGGCGCTCTTTTTTCCCAGATTAACACAAGAACAGCACGGCGCATGCCAAGTAAACTTACCTCGTTGCTGACGATCAGCTTGTTTTTCTTGTCAAACAGAATCGGAACCGTGAACCGACCCGTGTACTCCGGGTCATTGGAGAAGTAGATCTCGCGCAGATGAGTGAACTGCGGATGCAAGGGATCGGGAACGGTGTTCTTGCCCGGCAGTTTCTCGTCAGAAGTGGCGAAGCGCCAGCCTGAGCGCCGAGTTAGCATTTTTGTGCTCTCTGGAACAGATAGAAAGAGTCAAACCATGTTCTCCAAGGTGCCAATGCACCGATGAAAAGGAAATGATATTTTCCAATCCCTTCAGTTTCCGCGTAATTAAGGTCCGATGAGCTGCAACGGCTTAGTAACACAATCTAGGCATGAGATGTCTCTAAGCGATTCCTTACCCCATGGACAAGCATAAGACACATAGAGGTGATAGCGGTCCTTCTCCGGAGGAAATTGGGCACCGGGCTCACGCGAGATCCAGTTCCGAAAGACGGACTGTTGACGCTTGAACTCGCCGGACTTGTCGTTGGGATTGACCCAGTCAGTGATCTTGTTGGGGTTTCCTGTCTATATTTTTTCCATCAGGGGCACGTCAAAATTGATTTACCAAGCGTTTTCGTAGTGAATGGCTCTTCTTACCGCCATTTTTCGAGCTGGACTAGCTAATGAGCCGAAGAAGGAGCTTGGAAGAGCTCTTGGATAGTGCCCCGCGCGCAGAACTTGAGTACGGTAAAATTGGTGCAACGCTTGGGAGCGCAATAGAATGCAGAACATACAAGGCAGACGTCGGGTTCTTAAGTCTTCACCAGTTGAAAAGAGAAGAGAGGTGCTTAGTCGCGGGGCGGATGACGTTACAAGATGCTGACTGATGCGTGACAAAGCAGAAGCATTTGGATTGGAAATCTAGACATAATCACATAAATCTACGTACGAGCACTTGTGGCTGTATGTGTACGGACTGATCACGCTCAGTTAGAGAGCTTGACCATCACGTACGGAATCTCCACATCCTCCTCCGTCTGGTCCTCGGCTGTCACCTCGAAGATGATGTTCTTCTGGTGTTCGGGTACCGGCTTCTTGCTGACGTGCGCGACAAGCTTGCTCATCCTGGGTCTTTGTTAGCCTCCATCGGAGGTAAATATAAATGGAAAGAAACTTACGGCAGAGGAAGGCGATCCTTCACCTTTGACGGAGGATAGAAGCTTGCATACAACAAGCTGACGCCAGAGCTGACCATGGTGATGTCCAAGCCCTTCTCAGCGAACCAGTCGAGGAACTCCTGCAGGGGAATATCGTCCACCTCGAACCGATCCCAGAGCCGGTCGATGCTGACCTCACCCTTCTTACCCATGTACTTGCCCTTGGGGCTTCCAATCGGTTCGCTGAAGCCGAAGAATGGCAGCGCAATGTTGATGAAACCGTTCTTGTACTGTTCAATATCGTCCTTGCCATCAATGATCTTGAAAAACTCCAAGGCAACAAGTCCGGTGACAAGAGCGGTGGCGGTGGCAATAGCCGGGATAATCTTTCCGGCAATAAACTTGGTCTTGTGCCGGTCCGCTTGCGGGATCTCGTAGTTATCAGCACGGAGGTTGCTGGCCGCAGTAATGAAGTCGATGTGGTGGTTGGTGTCATCGTCCTTCTCGAATTCAACGGGCTGAAGGCGGAAGCCTGCCAGAGACTTCGGGGACGGGAGAGTGGCCACAAGTTTCTGGATCTCATCATCGTCATTCGAGCCTCCAGCGGGCTGCGCGTTGGGATCAGGCTCGTTCTCGTCGGCCTGAATCTTGACGTTGGAGCTGGGTGTGAACTCAGGGATGATCATGTCATCGACAACCTTTCGGTAGTAACCTTTGTCCGCGTCAGGGTTCTTGATACCGTAGTTAAAAGCATGAAGATTGGCGCCTGCAATGACAAATCCGAGATGCGTAGGATTGGTGCTGTCAAATTTCAATGGCGTCGGCGCACGCTTAGGTCCAGACCAGAACGGCTGACCAGATGAGGTCTTCGAATCCCGAGGGAAGTTGTAGAGTAGCTGCTGGATCGCATTGTTGTACTGCGACTCAAACTGCTGCCGGGCCCACACGATGCAATCATCGAAAGTTAGCGGTTTTTCAGTAACCAAGAAATCCCGCAAGTGTTCCAGAGTCTGCTTCTCATTACCGGCCTGCTTGAGCGTCCGCTCGATATAATCAGGCTGCGAGAGATACATGTTGACTGACTCCGGTGGACCCACAAAGAGCGTCTGGAAAAGATCCCGCGCCCAGGCAATAGTGTGTTCAATACGGTTGGGGAAACTCTTCAGAGTGCACATAGGGAACGACTTCTCTGGGGGGTCTTGAGAGCTGGAGTAAGACTCGGTGATGAAAGGAAGAACAACCTGGGTGTTGCCCTTGGTGCCAAGCGTGCCACTCTCCAGCAGCGGCTTGCGGAAGAAGACACAGCGGCGATCGACATACGTCCGCGCATCGACATTGTCCAAGGCGTTCGTAACCCCATCCAGTCCGTTCCAGAATTCCTCATTGAAAATGTGCTCGGTGTCAGGACCAACGCGGTCACGGAGAGTCACAATCTTATCTTTCAAATCAGGGTTCATGGCCTGAACGGCAGCAGAGGCACAGTCACTCTTGAGTCTGCCAACATCCTTCGATCGGAAGAGGAACTGCCGGTTCAGATTGCTCTTTTCAATTTGATCCATATCCGTCACGTAGATCTTTCCCTTCGGGCCGGTACCCAGACCGATCATGGCCCAATTCTTCAAGGTTTCGCAACCGATAGCACCGGCGCCGACGAGGAACTGGGTGACGTTGGCGATCTTATCTTGAAACTCCTTACCGAAGACAGCAATCTGTCCATCGTAACGAGTGCCAAGGGGCTTGCAGCTTTCTTCGGACCGAGTGGTCGACGAAGGCAGAGACTCCAGGGAATCAAAATACATCCACTGGTGGACGGGGTTGAATTTTCCGGAGACGGCCTTCAGGACTTCCTGGGCAGCAATACCTCCGAAGAAAGCAGCCAAGGGGTTCAGATCACCCCGAGCCTGGTAGCTCAGCTCCTTGATCAATTTCTCGTCCAGCTCGACCTTCTCTTCTTGCATCGCAGCAAGATCATTGGCAATCTTGAGGATTTGCTGCGCATCGCTGTCATTGTGCGGACGAGGCAGCTGACGATCATGGGTCTCTGCGAATTTGTGAAGAGCCTGGATGCCGATATGCAGCTGCTGTGGTCGGTCAAATTTGGCAAAGTCGGAAATCAAAAACTCGGGCGTCTTGAGCTGCTCCGCGAGGGGCTGGAAGTCAATGAACTTGGGCATCTTGACCTGTGTGTAGATACCACCGCCCTTGTACGTGCCCAGATCCGATACATCACCAATAGTGAATGTGTAAGGACCTTTGACAGTAATTTTGCGAGGCGCACTGCTGTTCAAGCCATCCATACCCTTGACTTCCGTAAAAGTCACAAAATCTCCATCTTCCAACCCGTGGCGAGTCTCATCCAGCGCGGATACCAGGCCGGTCTCATCAATGTCGGCCACAATTCCACTGACAGGTTCCTCGCCTGTAGGATCACCGACAGTGAAGTTCTTGCCGAAGTCATTGAAGATGTAACCAAAAAGACCAAAGGTATCCGAAATCGTGAGGAAAATGCCATGCTTGTGGCAGAAGTCCGCGATCGCCAGTTGTTCCTTCAACGGTGTCTGCGTCAGCACCACCGCTTGATACCGCTTCAGCTGCTCCAGATCACCCGCAAGGTTTCCGCCCTCATGGATGGTCACTGGAACGTAGGAGTTCAGCTCGGCAACTCGTGGAGCGGTGACGTCGGCGCGAGGTTTACCGACGTCCTGAGGCTGGAGGAAGAACTGCGAGGACAAATCCGAAATAGCGACGGGGGCAGGGTCGTAAAGGGTAAGGGACTTGACGCCGGCGAGGGCAATATTCTTGGCTAAAATGGCGATTGGTTGGTCTCATTGTATGCTTTGAAATCAGAAATCAAGGAGCACCACTTACCGATTTCCACACCCAGACCCTTCAGACCCACGACCAGGACATTCGAAGAGCCCATGCGCTTCATAGCTTCATGGCCGAGCACATATCTAAGATGAAAGTCAGAGAGTAGAGCAAAAAAAGCCTCCAAAACAGGACTCACAGTTGTCGGCTGTACAGAGACTCGTCAATCTCTCCATGCTTGATCATCTCCACAGTCTCCTGTGGGTTATCCACCTGCATCTTCTTGAGGTCCTGTAGCCGAGTGTGTTAGTCGCAATTCAATCTTCTCCAAGAGGGTGGCTCGACGAACGGTCATGATCTTCTTCTCCGGCCGAGCTGTTGCGTCGTCCGATAGTCTGCGCTTTCCCGGCTTAGACTCTTCACGAACAGTAATATCGGAAGGAATGGTGAAATTCAGAGGGTGAAAGCCTTGCTAGGGAGCAAGACTTTCTGCAGTGATAGAACGGGATACAATTCTCAGCGTACCAGGCGCCTTGCTAGAACGAGGAGAGGCTAGTCGAAACCCTAAATTGCAACCGGACACAGTGTGCCTATACTGTACAGGACAAAGGGATGGCAAAAGGTGAAAGAGGTTGAAGGAAGGCAAGGGAGGAAGGAAGAAGGAAGAACAAACCAGCGGCGACGTAAGAGGGACAAGCTCCAGTCTGACTAATCGCCGCCCCGCGATCAAGTCACCGCTTTCATCATTCATTTGCTCACAGCCCGTCGCGCCAGCTCGATGTGATCGTCCTTCCAGGCACATATAGTGTGCTGCTGGTCTGACTGTCAGCTATTTATCGCGTCAAACCAAACCTCGGGTCCATCGACAATCGACTCTCATGTGCCGCTTCGAAATATTGGGCAGTGGATTACTGTACTGGCAACGCCGAGATCCCCATCTCGACAAGAGTCGGCTCTCCAGGTTGGTTTGCGCTCGCTGATCCCGTAGCGAAGGTGGTTAACGCAAGCATAGAAACACCCAGCCAGCATGCTCCACGAGATCCTCCTCTCCCTCTTCGGCCAGCCGTCCCCCCTCTTCAATGCGGGAAAGGGCAAAGATGCCGTGGCTCAAGACGATTTCCCCCTTCTCTCACCTCCGGAAAAAGCCCTCCTCGCATCAGTTGCCCATCTGAGCCGACTACACGCGCGTCTTCAAGCACACACCTCTGCTATCTCGTCATCGCATCCCTCGGTCGTATGTCGCTCTGTCTCCACAACTATTGCCACAGTCCACCTTGGCGAATTCCAAAAGAAAATCCTGGATGTGGAGAAGGCGATTCTCGCGGAGGATAGCGGATACGTTGGGGGTTACGGGATTGTGCCATTGTCGACCATAGTCGGAGAATTTGCGCCATGGACGCGACGCATGGAATGGCTGTGGGAGATCGCTCGGTTCATTCAGCCAGAGACAAAGAAAATTGGCTGCAAGGGTGCAGAGCTCATCGATAAATTGCGAGCCGAATTACAAACGGGATATCTCGATATCAAAGAGATGGCGGTACAGTTAGTGACCGCAGCAGAGACGGCGTGGATGAAGCAGCTCTCAATGTGGCTGTTGTACGGGAATCTGCCGATGTACGGCAAGGAAGACTTTTTAATACATGAGGATGTCGACGGTGAGGACGACGAGACGCAGTTCAGCTTGCGTGCCGACTTGATCCCGAAATTCGTGCCACCTCAAACGGCAGCCTCGATTCTATTCATTGGGAAGTCACTGAATCACATTCGCGCGAAACGGAAGATCTCCACTAGGGGTGTGTCGACTGCGCCGGTGACTATTCATCAAGAGCACATCGAACAGCTGGCCGGCTTGAAGTCGCCGATCTCATCTGCAAAAATGTCGACCGCGGTTGACGGAATTCGTCTTTCTCTATCTCAGTCGACATTATCGAAGCTCCTGCCGCTTCCCCGGATCCTCGAAATCCTTACATTACTCCATGATTTTCTTCTCCTGGGACGCGGTGAGTTTGCAGTCGCTCTGGTGTTGCATGCAGATGCTCGTATAGAAGAAAATCATCGACGACGACCAGCTCCAGGCAGAGAGCTCGAGGGGCTTACTATCAAAGAAGGCGATGTGATAACTGCTCTGGCCCACGCGTGGGCCGAGCTAGTTTCATTGCAGAATGAAGATGATCCGGCCGACGAGGAGCTGGACCTTGCGCGGGATCTTCTTCGCCTCTCAATAAGTGACCGTAAAAACGGACGTGCGATGACCCCGTCGCAAGGGCCCAGTTCCGTGGCAGAAATCTCTCGGGTCTCGTTTGAAGATCTACTCTTCCCTACACCTACATACCTAACCGCCCAAGTACGCGCCCCGCTGGATTTGTTTCTGTCCACTTCCGATATTGCCATCTACTCCAAAATCCATTCTTATCTACTGGGCATCCGGCGAGCTCAGATACGGCTTGGGGACCTATGGAAGCGCACTTCATTGCGACGAACGCATCCTTCTCCATGGGGCCCCCCACGAAGCAACAGTGCTTTTGGCCAAAGTAAACTGAAGATGAGCCGTGAGCGGGATAATGCCCGTATCCGACAGATGCGACCCGTGTGGGCTACGTGCAGTGCCTGTCTGTTTGTCCTGTCAGAGATTGGCAGCTTCTTTCAAGGCGAGGTGGTGAATGAGTCCTGGCAAGATCTGCGTGAGTGGATTGAGGGAGATTCGTCGGCATCACCATCTGGTTCTCGGCCAGGTACAGCATCGTCCTCCAAATCTGCGCCGCCTTCCATGGGTCGCCATGATCCCGAAGCACTTACCGTCGCGCACCGTCGCCATTTGTCTTCTCTGGTCGAGTCCCTGTTCCTGACTGAGGTACCCTTCACCGCGGCCCTGCGCGCTCTGCTGACCAGCATCGACCGGTTTGTTGCGCTCGCCATCCGCCTGGAGACTATCCAACGCAACATGGACCTGGAGATGGACGAAGGCGTCGTGGACGCACTGGTGGACTACGGACAAGAAGAGCGCGAAGTTTGGCACGAGCTGCGGACTACTCGCACCGCCGCCGAGACCGGGCTCCAAGACCTCGTCGCAAGACTGCAAGAAATCGACGACAGCCGCTCAGGGGATAACCGGCGCACCGTGCACCTGTCCGGTCCCGGGCCGGACTTTTGTCACTATGAGCCGCGCAAGCCGGCAGGCGTGGATCGGTTGTTGATGAAACTGGACTTTGGCCGCGGACGCCGGGACCTGGGCCTTGAGACGGCAGCAGCGGGGTTTGCATAAAAGAAATTTTTTGCAGCGGTATAGGCGTTTTATCCCAAAATGGACAGCCCGGGGAGGTAGTTCTAGATGGGTCGCACGGATCATCATTTGCAACTGAGGGGGGTTTTGGCGCTTATTCGGACGGACAATGTGTTCTGTTTTCCAAAAACAGAACAATCATTGGCAACAATTAAGGCCACGCAATTGACTTTTTTTTTTCCTTCCGATAACCCTGTATACAGTATCATGTGGGAGCCGATCTCTGGAGCCGTGCGGTTCATGTTATTCACGGAAATTCCCTTATCTTGCATCCAAAAGTCCAGATGACCAGCGCACGGAGCGCACGCAATCTTTCCAGGGCGTTCGAGATCCGCTTCGATTCCTTCGACAATCCCTGTCGCCGGGCGCGACGGGGCTGGGCACAAAAAGAGGCGTCTGGGGCTCGGCCAAGCACCACGAGTTAACGTTAAGGTGGCTACAGTAGCTTGGGGTACGTGTATCCATGGTGGATCCGTATGCATATGGCGCTGAGCCTGGGCCGGAGGGTGGCGGAAGCTTCGTTGCAGAGCAAGTATGGTAGAACTTTGAATTGAACGAGACTTGAGTCTTGATGACCGAAGCGATCCTTTCGGTACAATGTGTTTTTTCCCCGTAAAAGAAACGGGAGTGTCCCTGGCGGAGGTGCATAGCTTCGGTGGAGGAGACAGCGGTGAAGAGCAGAATTGCCTAATCTGGACATCCCGGAGCTCTCATTCTTGTGCCAAAAATAATGCGGGGACGGCGGGACCCAGGGATCGTCGGGGCAAGGAAGGACTGGCAGAGTCAACTGACCTGATCCCCCAATCCTTTAATTAGAATTTTTATTATTTTTTTGGTCGGTGGAGATGGTGGATTACACCACCACTCGCGATGCCGAGACCGTCATTGGAGGATGCGACCACCGACCCTAGTGATTGGCAGTCGGTAAATCTCTGCGATCCAGGGACAGCTGGCCGTGCATAGTTAGTTCAACTGGCTCTATTGAGTTCTGCTCTTATTGTCGTCTCTAATTGGGTGTCGGAAAGGTAATCATGTCGCAGTAGTCTGTTGTAGCCAGGGATGTATGTACTACATCCCCGGTGGGCCATTCCACAGGATCCATCGAGCGGATCGCCCGATTTACCGTCTTCGGCCCAGAACAATCACGATGTTGCCCCAAGCTCTTGCCCCCAGTGGCAAGGGATCCGTGGATTGCTGCGATCTGGGTCTTGAGTCATGGTGAAAGCAGCAGCAGGCGAATCCACCTCCTGGGTCAGCTGGCCAGATGTGGCCCCCCCTCCAGCGCTGGAACACTATCGTGAGATTTTTGGGGGAGATTTTCCGGGAACCTCTCCAGGGAAGTACCGTACTGTCTGTCCATCTGGCACATATAAACCCTCTCCCCGCGCGGGAGATGAGAAGGTAGAAAGTATTGTCGTTTTTATTTTCCTCATCCATTTGCATCTAGCCCTAATTGCACCTATATCTCCAACCCTCTCCCCTCTACTACCACCACCTTAATACCAAAAATGTCTTTCTCCCTCCCCCGTATCATGGCCGCTGTGCGGCCACGTTTTGCGGGTGCCGCCGTCACTGCGCCGCGAGTTCTGTCTTCGTCCTCGACTCGTCTCTACTCCTCCACCAAAAGCGCATACAACCCCCAGGACATCCAGAACATCTCGCACAACCCAGACCACATCCAGTCGAAGCTGCCGCCCAAGAAGTTCCTGCGCAACGCGAATCGCTTCCGCGAGTTTGATATGGAGGACCGCGTGTACGCCATCACCGGTGGCGGCCGTGGATTGGGATTGTCGATGGCCGAGGCCTTGATTGAAGCGGGCGCAAAGGGTGTGTATTCCACGGATGACTTTCAATAAAGCACATGGCTAATCAGAAAACCAAACAGTCTACTGCCTGGACCGCCTCGAGGCGCCCCCCGCCGAATTCTTCGCGGCCAAGGAGCGCGCGGCCACCGAGTACGGCGGCGCACTAGAGTACATCCGCATCGACGTGCGCAACGTGACGGAAGTCAACGACACCTTTGCGGCGATTGCGGCTCAGAACGAGCGCCTGGACGGCCTGATCGCCGCGGCGGGCATCAACCACCTGCAGAGCGCGCTGGAACACTCGCAGCAAGCCCTGGACGACGTGATGAGCATCAACTACAACGGCGTGTTCAACTCGGCCACCGCGGCCGCTCGCCAGATGTTCAACTACCAGCAGAAGGGCTCCATTCTGCTCGTGGCCTCCATGAGCGGCCTCATCGCCAACAAGGGCATGACCTCGCCCGTCTACAACTCGTCCAAGGCTGCCGTCATCCAGCTGGCCCGCTCGCTCGCTATGGAATGGGGCCGCCACGGCATCCGGGTCAACTCGCTCTGCCCGGGCCACATCATCACCCCCATGGTTGAGGATGTCTTCCAGCAGAACCCCGCTGCCCGCGCAACCTGGGAGGCTGAGAACATGCTTGGCCGTCTGGCTATGCCGGAGGAGTTCCGCGGCGCGGCCCTCTTCTCCCTTTCCGACGCCAGCAGCTTCATGACCGGTACCACCATGGTCATCGACGGTGGTCACACCGCATGGTAAGCGTCTTGAGCTTGTCAAGAACAAAATGAAATGCAACGACACGAAAACAAAAGGGTGACGATGAAGCGAAGCAAAAGTGCCGCGTCCGGTATAAAAGAAAAACGCAAAAGACGCTCTTACTGTACATGTCGGCATGCACATACACAACTGAGCCGTCCCCATCGAGAGGGCTCAATGGCCAAGCACAAAGCACTCGACCTCGTCCCTGGATCTGAAAAGAGAAGCTACAAACGCTCTTATGACGTTGTCCACGCCGCCTTTTTTCCCCCAGTCCGGGTTCCCACCCGGTACTCTTCTATATGTACAGGTTCTTTTATTATAGAGTATAGTGAAGACATTCACAATTTTAATGAACAAAACCATTGATCCAACCTTTTCATACGAATGATCTATTAGATGGCAAGCCTCGGATACGACCGTCTTGGCTTCTACATCTCATACTCTCTACATTGCAAAAGAGTTAGATAAGAAGCTTTGGAAGGAAATTTGCGGAATTCAATTCAAATGGCAAATCCGAGGTGGTAGTACATCAAAACTGTAAAGTAAAGACCACAAACGACATCACATCATATAAGATAGAGATAGTTCTTCTCGCCAGTACTATGCTCCAGATCCTGTCTCCTCCCTCCTCCCATGAGCCCATCCCGCTCTTCGTCCTCATCATTACCAGGTCCATCACTGACATGATGACTAGCCTCGTACTTCAATTGCAAGATCAGATTCTGCTTCTTCAACATAATCCTCAAGATAGTAGCCAAGACAGCGACGACGACCATGAAGAACGAGCACACCGCCATGCCGGGGATATACCATGGCCCATCAGAACCAGGGTACAGATGCGTGCCGAGCAGAGGCCCGCACTGGCCGATGACGTTGAGGATGGCGATGCTGGCACCTTTGCCCTCTTTCTCGACACGGTTGTCCATCGTCCAGGTGATGATTAGAGTGATGGCGGAGAAAAAGCCTGACACGGCTGGGTAGACGCAGATGTATCGGATGAAGGTATGCAGGCTTGTGGGCATGTAGGAGTGCAAGGCCCCTGTTAGTGCGATGGCGAGGTAGGATGCTGAGGAGATGAGGGCGTGCATGATGAGGTAGAAGCTGCGGGACTGGTTGCGGTCCGAGACGTATGCCGTGATGAGGACTACAATGAAAGCCACCAGGTAGGGTGGTGCGGAGAGTGCTTGCGCTGTGAGGGAGGAGTAGCCCATACTGTGGGGGAAGAATCAGTATTTTTGTGTTGGAGGTTTTGACTGGAAGAGAAGGCGTACTGTCTAATGATAGTGGGCAGAAACACCGGCATCGAGCTGAAGGCGACATTACAGCTGAAGAACATGAACTGCATGCACGAGTTTAGTCAAGCGTTTCGGGAAATATATCGTCCCACTTACGGCAGTGATGTAGGCCTTGGGATCCGACAGTGTCTTCCCAACTGCTTGCCAATCAAAAGCGGACTGAGGACCCTGAAACTCATCCCTGTTCTCTCCAAGCCGCAACTGAGCCACGACTCTTTGCCTCCGGGTAAGAAAGCGGGCACGACCGGGCGAGTCCGGGATCAAGCCCCAGGCAAAGACCGCAACGATGACACTGGGAAATCCTTCGAGCAAGAACAGGATGCGCCACGGGGAAATCGATCCATGGCTGCTTAGTTTGACAATTAGCCAGGCGAGACTACTCGCAAAGGTGGTAGCCAGCGGCGCCGCGGAAATGAACAGTCCATTGCGGAAAGCCAGTTCTTCTCTGCGATAAAACAAGGAGAGATAGAATGGGACGCCGGGACCAAACGCCGCTTCAGTGATGCCTAGTAATGCGCGCAGGGTGAATAGTCCGCCGAATGAGGTGACCAGACATTGGAAAGATGCAATCAGTCCCCAGCCACAGACACAAAGGGAGATGTAGATATGCGGTGGGACGACGCGGTACATCAGTGTCATCCATTCAAAGAGAATGTAAGTGATGTAGAACGCAGTCAGAACCCATTCATACTGCGATGAGGAAAGGTGCAGGTCTTGGTCGAGGCCGGCGATCTTCGCATTCCCGATATCTGCGTTACGAATACGAGTATTAGCATATCGCATCCCGCAGAACAAGATCGGGGGACTCACTAGAGCGATCCAAGAAAGAGAGCAGGTACAGCAGCGCCAGAAAAGGAACCAGCTTCCAGTCGAAGAGTCGCACCACCTCCTTCTCCTCCGCGGCGGTGTATTTCGGCGCCGCGCTCACGCGGGGCATCTTGTGCTCGCCCGGGGAAGACCCGGAATCCCCCCGGTAATCCGCATCTGAGACATGGCGATCCGACTCAGCGGCATCGAAATTCGTCTGTAGGCGCAGTGCGCCGAGGGGGGTCCTCATCGGCTGGGAGGCTGACGGGGGGTCTCGTCGGAGCCATTTGAGACGGGGGTGTATCGCGGGTTGGAGGAACTGGAGGAGGACGTGGTCCCTAGAACAGGGGAAGGGGGCAGATGGAGAGAGGCCATGTTTGTTCGCCCAGCATGCCGTCTTGCCCTCGCTCTTGTCTCTCCGCGCTCTCGCCACAGAGAAAAAAAGCGGAGATGACGATTCCCGATCAGCTGTTCCCCTGATGCTTGCTTAGCTAAGGTGGCATTGTGGGGGGGCGGGCTAGTATCAGATGGAGAATGGAGTGTACGCTAACCACTTCAAGGAAGAGAAGGGGAAGAGGAAACAAGAATGATTAATGTTGCATCAATGTTCTTTTCATTCAGATCAACCGGCTTGGCTATTGTACATTCAAAGTAAAACTCCTGCGCCAGGGTAACTCCTAGAAATCAATCCCCAAGTGAAGTACAAAGCATCAAACGCCAGAAAGTGTCGTGCGGATCCCTTTACTCACGCACAGGACGGTAAGAATCGATGAAACGCCGGTTCTTGTGGCCGGTAGCCGTAGAGTAGCCAGCACCAACAGGATAACGGGCGGAAGGAGAGCCACTGGAAGGGAGGGCACCAGAGAGATAACTTCCGGAGGGATAACCGCTAGGGGCAAGGCCGCTAGCAGGATTGCCACCAACAGAGGTAATGCCAGTAATGCCGCCAGTAGGGTATCCAGTAGAAGGGTAACCACCAGCCGGATGACCGTCCGAGTGCGAGTGCAAGTTCTCCACCTCAAAGGGGCGCTTGCGACCACCAGACAGCTGCTCGGCGTGGGACTTGCTCACCTCGTAGACCTGGCGCAGCTCAGGCACCAGCGGGTGGTTTCCGTATCCAGCATTGAGCATCTGAGTGAGCAGGTTCTCGGCGGTGTCACGAAGGAAGCGGACTACCTGGAACTTGTCACGGTTCTTGTTCGCATCAGTGAGGTAGCAATCCAGCTTGGCAATCTGGTAAACCTCGATCATGCGGTCGAAGCAAGTGCTCTGGGTCTTCTGAACCTCATTCGGGGCATCCTTGACGGCCAGCTTCTCCGAGGGAGGAGACTGATCTATTCTAGATGAGCCTCGTGTAGGAAAGAAAGAGGGCCAAACTGACCAGCTTTCAGCGACTTCTGGAACTCCAGGTACTGCTCCAAACCCTCACTGGCCGGCTCATGGGACGCAAGACGATCGATGCCCACGAAGTGATCAAGGAAGAAATTGAACAGACCCCAGCAGCCGGGGGCACTGAGCCTCTTCTCCTCGCCGCCGCAGCGGCTGTAGAGCGCCAGCAGGGCCTTGTCATAGATGGAGAGCTCGGCAATGTCCTCCGACCCCACCGCCACCTCCTTCCGGCGCGTGAGCAGCTTAGCCTGGCGCTCCAGAGCCTGGAAGATCAGGAAGCCCTTGTTGGGGTCATCAAAGATCTTGCGCAGAGCCGGGGTGGGCTGCTGGTCCGGACTGCTGTACGCACTCAGCAGGAACAGGGCCTGGGTATCAGAGGGAGAGTAATCATATTCCTCGTCCATAACTAAAAGTGTGGGTGGGTGGTCAGTTGAGATACTAGTGATCATCGATGAGGGGATTTACCTGAATAGAAGCAAGGGTTGTTTTCGGTGGGAAGAAATAAGAATAAACGAAGGGGCTGTGGAAGAGAGCGGTTGGTGCAGGGGAACTGTGCGGTTGGGGGAAGAAGGAGAAGGAGAGAAGTGAATGAAAACAACCGCAACAGATATAGGCAAACGGCAAGTCCCGCAGGCGCCAGCCCAGCCACGGTCATTCACCGAACGAGAGATCAATGAGTCAAGAGCCCGCAGAAATAATGATTCAAATTAGTTCCTCTCTTTGTAGAGCCTCTCCACCTCATCTATCAATACCGCTGGCTCATTCCCATCCGGCGCACAATCCTTCCACTCGGAGTCATGTATACACCACACCTTCTCATCGAGACGCACCGTACAACTGAGCCGAACGCCCAGCTCCTGTCCCCGTAGTGCACTCTGCCGCAACAAAGCAACCCCACTGACCGGGGGGTGCCCCTTCCCACCATCATCCGGGTCGTCGTTCTGCTGGCTGGCACACCGGTTCAGAGCATCAAAGTCGATCCCGTGCTCCAAGGCACACTGATGGACCAGCTCCCGCTCCGGTATGCGCTCGTAGTCACTGATCAGGCAGTTGGCAAACCCCAGTGATCGGATGATGGGCGTCCGAGGGTAGGTCGTCGGCAGGAGGGAGTCGTCGGCCGTCGCAGGGAAAGGCAGGTTCGCCGCACAGAGCATGAGCATGTCACCAATACACTCTGACGGGCCGTGCATACACTCGATGTCAGAGGATTTTTCAGAGACCCTATGCAAGTCCGTCAGGATAGATCTGTCTGGGTTTCAGGTGTCATGCTCACGTTGCAATCATCGACAGCCGGAAATCCACTTTGTCGCTGATCTTCTCCATGGCGGGCACGACCAGCTCTTGCAGACAGACGAGGGCATCAGGGCATTTGCTCATGATGTGAGCCTCGAGGGGGATCTTCTTGGTCTGCACCTCAGCCGCCGGAGAGTGTGTCAGGGGCTTCTGTGTTGGGGCATCGCTGATGCTGTGGCTGTCGAAGGCAATACCCGTCTGGATCGCAGCAACCGGAGCAGGAGGAGAAGGAGAAGGAGGAGGGTGTCTGATCTCTGTCGCTTGAGGCCCCAGCAGCTTCTCGAGGGCACTGGGGGAGGTGCAGTGGGTTAAGTCGCATTCTGTCGGTCCTGGCCGGATAAGCAGGTAGTAGCCGTAGAGGAAACACACGACGCAGAAGAGGCGACGCAGGAACGTTGCTCTTCCCGGCCGCAACCGCAGCCCCTCGACCGGCTCTCTGGTGTGGACAGGCAGCTTCTCCATGGTGGTTGATGGAGCTACGCGGGTGATGATGGCAGGGGGAATGGACTAATCGGGTTAAACGCGCCCCGAGCTAAACGTGGTAACTTTGGAAGTACCGAGTTGCCAAGCTCCACGAGATCCATCAGCAGGAGCCCCTCCGACCTCGGAGATCCCATACCTCCTACCATCATCATTGGCCCCGTGGAGGCCCAACCTGGCGGGTCGGTTCAATTGAGTCTGCCCGTAACGAAACTAACCGACTGGGGGGGCTGATTACTGTGGCTGTCTAAGACCGCTCGAGAACGAGTTCGCTGGTGGCCGCCCCGATGCCCAGGTAGGGTTACATGGATGCCGCTGAAACAGCTCTCCTTCACGTCGCATCTGCCCGGTCGCATCATCGCCATAACTCTCACCCGTCACTTCCCGTTCACCAGCCACACTCGCGGTCCCCTATAAATAGGGATTTGAATCAGCGAAATCCTACACGGAGCATTTCCCCCGCTCTGTTGTCTCTCAGCCGCGTCACCCACGACATGTGTGGCATGGCGCTTTTCTGATCAACACAGCAAGCATTCCACACGCATCGACGTCACTGGGGAAGAGAGGTGCCACTCGACGGGCCTCAACGTCCACCTTTTTTCCTCTTCCCTCTCCCCGCTCCCTCCCCCTTAGCCAGTCCTAATCTCAACACATCATGGCGTCGGTCCACTCCATCTCCTCCGACAAGGACGAGGAGCGCGACGCGATGCAGGATGACCTGATCGACGACGACGACGATGTCGGGCCGGAGCTGGACGCGTCTCAGAAAGAATATCTTGCGCACCACGAGCGGCTCGACGACATGCTGACTCCACTGGTGCTGGAGGAAGCCCGTCTCTACAAACTGGCCCGGCGCTTCTCCACCACCTATCGCCAACTGGCCTTGACCTCGGACCAGCAGTTCTTGCCAACCCCCGTGACCCAGCTGCCCACCGGCCAGGAATCCGGTCGCTACCTGGCGCTCGATGTAGGGGGCAGTAATCTCCGCGTGGCATTTATCGAGTTGTTGGGCGAGGCGGCCGAGTCCGAGGTGCGCTCGACCGATGCCTCGGAGAGGTCTCAGGACACCATTCGCAAGGCCCAGCGCCAGCGCGTGAAGCGTACGCTGGAGCGGGCATGGCCTATCCAGGAACATCTGAAGATGGACAAGGCAGAGGATCTTTTTGCGTGGATCGGCGACTGCATCGCGGAGGTCGTGGCGGAGAGCCTCTCCTCTGACGCCACCAAAAAAGACATCCCCGAAGAGCTGGACTTGGGGATTACCTTTAGTTTCCCCATATTGTGAGTATCCCCCCCACCCCCAAAATAGGCTTGGGGGATGGCTGCTCATGACATTTCTAGGCAAGAGTCATTGGCAGAGGCGACATTGATGCCAATGGGGAAAGGCTTCGCCATCACGTCGAACCTCAATCTGCACAAGATCCTGCTGAACGGCTACGAGAAGCACACCCGGCGACCAGACGACGAGGACGAGCCTTCGAAAAAGCGACGGAAGTTGTTTGCTCTGCCCAAACTCAAGATCGCAGCCATCACCAACGACACCGTCGCCACACTCGCTTCCCTCGCCTATGCGGTCAAATCCCTGCCCAACAGTCGCGTGGCCATGGGTATTATTGTGGGTACGGGATGCAACGCCACAATCCCGATGAAACTCGACGCGTTGCACGAGGACAAGGCCAAGAGCGTGAATGCCATGAAGCCGGATGCCGTGGAGACCATCGTGAATACCGAGTGGACCATCTCCGGCGCAGCCCCGCCGCTCAAAGAACTCGGAGTGACCACGAAATGGGACACTGAACTCGACAGGGCCTGCACACGCCCAGGATTCCAGCCGTTCGAGTACATGACAGGCGGGCGCTACATTGGCGAACTCATCCGCCTCATCCTCTTCGATTATCTTACTACGATCGCAGGACTGTCGAAACGCATCCTGCCGGCCAACCTCGTCCAAGAATACGCCCTGACCACCACCTACATCTCCGACACCGTGGCCCGCGCCCGATCCGACCAAGATCTCGCCAAGGAGCTGAACCAGTCCCTGCCCCCGCCCGAGTCCAGCGACTGGCGCTGGGACGCTCTCGCCGCTGGCGCATTCCGGAAAATCGCGCGCACCGTGCAGCGCCGATCCGCGGGCTTGATTGCCGCTGCGGTGGTCGGCCTGCTCGCCTGCGCGCGCGAGATCGAGCTGAAAGAAGATAGCAACGTCAACACTCCGCTGAATCCCGCCTCGCCGCTGAGCAACGGCGATCCTCACACTCATGACCACACCCCTGCGCCCATTGCAGCGGCTGCCAGTCTTGCTGCATCCTCCACCACTGCCGCCAGGAACAATGTTCACGGACATGTTGTCCCCGTCCTAGAACCCACCCCGGCAGACTGGCAATCTGGTCCAGAGGAGCTGGTCGTTGCGTACACGGGCGGTATCATCCAGCATTATCCGCACTTTAAAGAAATGTGCCAACAACACATCGACCGCCTCATCATGCGCACCGGTCCGCAAGAAGGAGGCAAATCCGTGTTTCTGCGCGAAGCCTCCGACGGCGGTGTCATTGGAGCCGGTGTTTTGGCGGGAATGGTTGGCCGCAAGTAAATCTGGCTTTTTCTTACGACTTCTACGGGCGTTTTTTTTTCTTCTTTCCATTGTCGTGTCTGTTTCATTTCTCGTATGGTGATCTATGGTAGCCGCCGCTCATACTTGGAACATCTCTTTCTGATCTTATGTGCGCGCCGAACCGAGTACACCACATAGAAATGGAGACATCATGAAGGAAATCAAGGTTGTATTTGTGGCTGGTTGGTTTTTGTGGCGAATTCTCTTGGGTGCTCAGAGCAATGGATGGCAAGCATTTCACCGGCATGTTTACTAGGTCACTACTAGTTAACTACGACATACATCAACACATACCCTCCCATGCCAAGATCCTCCTTGTGCCACCGTACTCGAGCTCGCTACCCTGGAGAGGGGATGCGTGGTGAGCATGTAACTTCGCTCATACATATGGAGCCAGTTTTCCAAACCCAAAATGTCTATCAGGCACAACACCGTGATGGCTTGCGCGACACTACAAGCGCGGAATGTTTGTCCCTGTCCCATGCGGAATGCCTGGGGATATGACGCGCGTAAGTACATAATTCCGTGCTGATTGTCGTTTTTCTTCCCAGGATTTAGAAGGTGGTTTCTTCTTTTAATATTGATATGTACTTGGTAGTGGAGGGTTTGTAAGGGAAGATTGGTCCTGGGATGAGTGTTGTGTCTCATTTCATTGGCTCCTGCACGCTTTTCCTCTTGTCTTCTCTCAATGGAGATTATAGGCCATCGGGATAGTGGCACACCGAATATCCCCCTCCCATAGCCTGAGATCCTGGCTTTAGATCACTCGAAACATATTATTTCGCACGCCACGTTTCATGGCTACCGGTTTTCCATCTTCATATTCGATTCCCGAGGCGCCGCCTTCGCCGGACATCTGCTCGAGGCGTTCACGGAGCTCGGCGTCGGCTTGGGATACGGTTTTCGCTTTGGATTGTTGCTGGCCCTCGTTCTTTGAGGGTGTTTCTGTTTCTTTTGAATTATTATTTACTGGGTTCGTTGGATCTTTATTCCTCATTAGCAATGTGATGAATTTTGATCGTTTTACGATGAAAATCCTCGACACACCTGGAGTGGATTTTGAAAGCCTAGAGGGAGTTGAAGATAGAAGACGAGCGGTTGCATATGTATAAGACCGAGCAAATAATACCCTGCTGTCCATAAAATTCATTTTAATGCTCTTCGATGGCATCTTGCGTTATGAACTTGCGTTGACGTAACCAACCTTCCCGAAGTTGATCTAGTCACGTGATCTTTCTCCTCCCTCTAAATATGAAGGTTTTATAGACCGTAGTATCAATCTTCTCCTCTGTATAATTATCATGCGATAATATCGTCGAGACCGATTATCGTGAACACCTCTAATTGGAACTCAGAAAAAGATTTCATTTCAGATAAAACAACAATAAGAAAAACAACAATAAGAAAAACAAAAAAAAAAATTTACAGGCCCTCCTCGTCGTCTGGGGGGAGCGGCGGCACATCCGCCAACTCATTGGCGAACTTCAAGTTCGCCTTGGCGGCAGCCAGGGCGAGCTCCGCGGACTCGGGACCGCCTGTCTTGGCCTCCTCCATGGGGACATCCCCATCCTTGTCTTTGGCCTTCTTGGCCTTCTTGTCGGCGCGGCGGGGCTCGTCTTCGCGACGGCGTTTTTGGCCCCGGGCGGGGGCCGGGGCCGGGGCATGCATGCCGGCCAGCACACCGGCCAGGTTGGCGCCCGGGGGAGGTTGATGTTCAGGTACTATCTTAGTATGAGCAGGCAGACTAAAGAATCAATGGAGTTTAGTACGTACGATGCCATTGTGCATCACCGTGGGGGCAGCCTGGGCCAACTGCGGGCAGTTGGCCCCAGTTGGCCTTCACATGTTTGTGACTGCCACATTTCCAGCAAGCCACCGTAATCGATGATGATGGATAATAGTAGCCGATTATCCAAATACTCCACGTGTCGGTTGCTTTTAAGCTTTCCCAGACCTTCAACGGGGTGGGGAGGGTGGCGGGCTCAGGGGCAGGCGTTGGCGGGGAGATTGATGTTTAGGTACTATCATAGAATGAGCCGGCAGACCAGGGAGTCAATGGATTTGAGTACATACAATGCCGTCGTGCATTACCATGGGGGCGGCCCGGGCCAATGCCCTTGTGTGGAAGGTGGAAGAGCTGTAATAACAAGAGGGAGACAGGAGAGAGAGAGAGAGAAAAGTAGGAAAGAGGAGTGGGGGGGGGGGGGGGGGGCTTAAATAGTGAGAGAGAGGGGCTGCCAAGATATTCAGTGAATGAAATTGGTGAATGGATGATTGATGCCTCCGTGATAACCGCAAGTGATTAGCAGGGGCAGAGTCGACACGCTGCGAGTGAGAGGTTGCGCAGCATGTGAAACACGTCTCGTGTTTCCCACCTGGTCCGCAAGAAAGTCACGAGAGAAGATGCCAAAGTTTCAATCACGGGCCCCATCTCCAACACCTGATCTTCGCGTCTAGAATCGCTCGGACGCGACTCCAAAAGGCGGAGATACTTAGACTATATGTGGGTCGCTCTCAGAGGTTTTACCGACTTTTAATCTACACTGCAGATAAAAGATCAGACCATATGTGAAGCATCTCGTGTCTTCTATCTGGTCGTCGCAGGACGTTGGGAGGGGGACGAGTTGATTGGTGGGTGGATTCTGAACGCGTCTCCCAACCAATGGGAAGCTGCTCTCAGCGTGATCTACAGGACGCGCCGCCCAGCCAATCGGAAGGCCGTGATCTACGGGGACGTGATCTGCAGGGACGTTGAGGGTAGCTTAAAAGCAACAGACATGTGGAGTTCTTTCGATAGTCAGCTACCTATCTACAATTCATCTACCTTCATCACATTCCATCTCATCATAATAATCATCTTCTTCCTCTCCATCTACATTGACAAGAATAGCCTGCTGGAAGTGCGGCAGTGCCAACACGTGAAGGCCAACTACCCCCAGTTGGCCCGCCCCGCTCCCCCCCGCCGGCCGCGACGGTAAATCACAAGGGGATTGTATGTACTAAAATCCATTGATTCATTAGTCTGCCTGCTCATACTATGATAGTACCTGAACATCAATCTCTCTCCCGGCGCCAATCTGGCTGGCGTGGTGTTTCGTCCGAGTCTCGTGCTCGTGATGAAGAACTCGTTGCCGTTGCCCAGAGGGTGTCTGGGACTGAAGGCGTTGTTACCCCAGTGGCTGCTATCCATGTGGCCAGTATTGCTCCTCTGCTTCCATTGGATGGTGGTGCGCAGCCTTCTGCTGGCCTTGCGGGTGGAATGGAGGATGATGATGATGACGAAATCGCTCCTTGCCTTGAGGAGCTCGACTTTCCTGATGATGAGTACAATCAGGACGGCCCAGATGCTGACGACTACCATGATCTGGAAGACGTGGGTGTTGTTGCTTCTGGTGGGGATGTGAGTGTCGGCGTGGTAAGTACTTCTTTCGGGAGTGTGAGCGCCCTGGCGTGGTAAGCACTTCTTTCGGGAGTGTGAGCGTCCTGGCGTGGTAAGCACTTCTTTCGGGAGTGTGAGCGCCTGGCGTGGTAAGCACTTCTTCCGGGAGTGTGAGCGCCAACCTTGATCCCTTCCTGGATGGTATCTTCTACCGCGTCTTGAGAGAGACCATTGAAGTCCTACAGGTTAAGCTTACCAGCATGCCGCTCGAGGCCTTCAAGAGCCCGATCGTGTGGTCATTTTATGGGATCCTTCAGTGGACGTCATGCGACAACTTGTTGAGGCGGCTGCTCCCAACCATTCTGCCCGGGGTCTGGGAGCTCTTTGAGAAAGAGCAGTGGACCATGCAGGACCTGCTTGCCCTCGAGATTGTCCGCCCAAAGGATACACGCATGGGCGTTTATTGTGACCTGATTACAGGACATTTCTCCGGCCAGAATAATACCCAATGCGATATGTACGCTGGGTATAGTAGCGCAGTGGGCAAGCGATGCTACGTCGGGCATGCTGCTTGTATCAGAAAGCGAGACAGGTCCAACTCCCACTACCAGCGGGCATGTTCACCTCAAGCAACAGGCAACTACTTCAAGTTACTTGCCGTGTTCCTTCCGCGACAGGACACTGCGGCGGCTCAGCTCTTGGAGGGTCTGTTTATGATCCTCCTGGATACCTGGAAGGCAGATGGGCGGCCGTGTAGGTTCTGTCCGCAGACCACGTTTGACTTAGCCAAGGACGTCCGGCCTGACTGGTTGTTCACACCAGGGTGGAATGGACTGAATATGGTTTGGTCCTTGAAGCAGGGAACCGTCGGCACGGAGTTGCGTGGAGAATCGACGTGCTGCAATGCTCCGTGTAGCAACCGTGTTGCGCGACGAGCGGATATGATTTGCCATCGCGAGCAAGGTACGGACATGAAACGTCGCTTCTCCCTTGACCCCTTGGACGCTTTCGCTGGGTTTATTTGTGAATCTTGCTGGAAACAGCGCCGTGACAATGGCCAATTGCCCAACGCAGAGTGGATTCACAACCGCGATGTTGAGCTGAAGTTGGCTGCCGAGAACAAGGCTCGTATCGAACGGCGCTGTGACCACTGTGGGGATGTCCAAAATCCCAACGCGCGCGATTTTCACTACGTCCAGGCTGCTCACATGATTATGTGCGCGGGATGCAGCCAGCACTGGTATGAGCACGACGAGCCGCGAGACCTTGGTGGTAAGATTCGCCAGGAGGAGCGAGATGCAGCTCGCAAAGCCGACGCCCGGTGCCAAAATGGCAACTGTCCAATAACGGAGGTTCTTAGCCTGAAGAGATTCGGCAGGCCTCTTCTTTGGATAGAAGGTCGCGGACTTCGCTGCCAGATGTGCTATAGATCCATAATGGACAATGAGGGCCGAGAAAAACCCGACCCGCTTAGCACCTTCTCCTCGGAAGAGCTAGACAGGCTTCGGCAGATGCCTTCTCGTACCTGCTCTACCTGCGAGGGCAAGGAGGGAGTGCTTGGTGTTAGCACAACCTGGTTCAAGGGCGACAACGGCGAGGATATTTGCCTCGCCTGTGACAGGTACTTCAAGCGGACCCACAAGCACCGAACACCGCAGCAGCAGCGCTTGAACGAGGCTGTGGAGCGGGTGAAAAAGGACCGGGAAGAGGGAATCGAGGTCCTTTGCGGCGTATGCAACAGGAAAGAGAGTGCAGTGGCCAAAAAGTTTGTTGTGCACCCGGAACTGTGCGTACCTCTTTGCCGTAAGTGCAACGCTGCCGCGATCAAACTGGCCAAAGAAGCTGCGAATGCCGGTGACAACTCGATGTGATCCACATCCATTAGTGGGAGACCACCTCGAGTCTGGCATGGCGACGAGCCTGGCGGGGCGTCAGGTTGGCTTTGGTACTCGTGACGAGTGCGGTCTAGGTGAGTGGCCCCAGTGTGCAGGTTGCCTGTGTCATTTTTTTTTTTTTTTTTTTTTTCACAAAATAGTCAAGCCCTGCTGTACAGGTTTCGTATGTACGCGGGCCCCGAGCCAGACTTGCACCTTTTCGTGGTGCTCGGGATAAGTAGCCTACATGGTGAAACCAAGCAAGTCAAAAACATGATGTCCAAGTTGGAGGAGGGGCAGACCAAAACAACGAGAGCCAGGACGTGCTGCATCATCCATTCTTGTCATATCAAGAAAAAAGACGAAGCAGCGGCCCTCATAGCAAACTGTACAAGCCAGCGAAGTTCAAAAAGGTCGTGGCTGATCATGATCTATCAACAATCACCAAGGCTTCTCGTTGTTGTCGAAGGTTGGTGGCATCAAAAGCTCGTCTACAGACACTCGGGCGAGACCATGGTTCCCGAATGATAAAACCAAGAAGAAGAGGCAAAGGCAGAAGAGTATCGACTATAAGTCCAAGAAAAAGCCGTGTGTAAACGCGTAGGAAAATCAAAACACGAATTTGGGTGTGATGGGTGGCGGGGCGGCCGGAGAATAACAAAACACGATACGTGCCCTCACCGCTTTTGCGCTTCGAAGGGTCCAAGTACTCCGACCACGTACAGTTGGGTGAATATATTACATCTGGAGGACTCTCCAATCACAAGAAAAGGTGCAGTGGTCAAATGGTTACGATGATTCGTTGTGGCTTTTACAGTTATACTTATCCCGAATTGGTCCCGGTTCGATTCCGGGCTGCGCCAATATCTTTTTTTTTTTGTGTCTATCTTTCAGACTATATAAAGTGCCTTTCCAATAATTGAGAGCAACTACCTGCTGGAGCGTTATAGCGGCCAATTCGGCCATAGTGTTGTTATCTGTGCAAGATGAGTAGCCGGACTGGAAACGAAGTGAGAAATGGTAAGTCTATGTAAGGTACGTAAATATTTCACATTCATCAAAAGCGATTCTCCTCATCACCTCGGATGGATATATATATATACAAGGCTACAAGCCCGCCACATATTATTATCGATGAATCGACCTCGCTTTTAGTAATCGAGTAGACAAAACCACTATGGAAGTAATGGTGGATGTCGAAATTTAGACGTACCACAGTCCCACACAGAAGTGCAAACCATGAAAGAATCAATCTCTAATTCGTAAATCTGGGAATCTCCAACAACTTAGAGGGCGTAACTAACTAAAACGAAAAATACACAATAGGAACTATTGCTGAGGGGTAAAAACCGTGTCTGTAATCTGTAGGGATCCCAATTCTTGATAGTGATTACAATCTATAACTCCTGTTGAAGGGGCTGAATCATCCTAGACGGATCGAACGGAAATATGCCTTGGTCGGCAAACGCATCGGTAATGACCTGGGGTCTCAATGCTTTCTCACGAACAGGAGGGAACCCCTCCATAAAGTCTGATTTCTCGTCATCGGCATCGTCAGGTGGAGCAAAGCAGCTGTAGTGTTTTTGCTTCCAATACTGCTTGTAATCTTGGAAAGCCTTGACGTCGAAAGGTTGCATAAAATGGCCGATATTCGGTGGAAAGCAGAATGGGACAATTAAGTGTTGCTCGCAAAATCGGAGGAATTTGTAAGTCAAATATTGAGGTTGGCCCCTGAAGAGTAAAAGCCGCTGCTGCCCGTCTGCGACGCGGTCTTTGGTCTTGCGATGGAAAAATTGGATCCATTCCCATCCAGTCTTCTCAGTTATCCGACCGTTCGGCGAAAGAGTAAAGGTAGCTTGTTTGGGAAGGCCCTCAACCTCAAACCAGTCCTCGAGAAAATATTCGCCTTGAAAAACGAGAAATGGATCTGCTGTCCACCCGTTGGCGGCGAGACACTCGATCGTGGTTATCCATTCAGTGTAGTTTCTATCCGTGTCGTAAACAGGTCGGTCACGGAGGCTACTAGTGATGACCATACGAGGTCTCATTCCCTCACCGATTCGGAAGGTTGTTTCGTCGAAATTATAGATGTTTTCCGAGGAAACCCCGGCGACCAATGCCCCCAGACGGTCAAACCAATGCTGCATAGTCTCAAGATCGGATGACTCGAGGTATTTTTTCTTGGATAGTCGTGCTTTAGACGGCTTCAAGTCATCCGGTAGGCGTTCGATGAAGCGATCAACCCAAGCCTTGCTAATAGTAGTGGTGTTGTTTCGGTCGAGATTCAAAATTTGGTTCGCGCTTGTCGTGATTTGAGTTGCTGTAGGAAGAGAGGATAGCTCCTTCACCTGCTGAATCCACTGAATCAAGATATTTTCCTGTGCATCATCAAGTGTCCTAGGAGCAGCCACACGAGCTGAGCGAGCCGGATGGCTGTTCAAGCGGTGCCGCAGTTGGTCATCGGGCGCGTCAAGCTCTCGTTCCAACGCGGCGATATTTGACTCGTTAAATGATTGGATACGCCCAGAGGTCTTGGAGACGCGTCCATCGGTTGAACTGTGACCTTCAGGCATGGTGGTGGTATAGGAAAGATGGAGATCGTGAGAATAATAAACAACGACGCGGCGCGTCTCAGAAGGCCGTGCGGAGACAAGCGATGATCGTGATCTTCCGCCCTAATCTTTTTAAAAATTGTTTTTATAACTTCCAACTTCTCCTATGTACCTAATGCCCTATATAGATGATCCAGTAGAATCTAAGACCCCCTTTTTGCTTGTCTGGCTCGATTTTTTTTTTGGAGGTCAGATGGGGAATCTGGTTTCGCCCGCCATTTAGAAGATGGGTAGCCAGATTACGTCGTTTTGTTCTGTAGTCCTGATAAATCCGAGAGTTCTTTCCTAGAATGACCGTGATTCTCTGTTGAGCGGACTGAGACACCATTGGGGATAGTTTCCTGTCGGTTGTTTTCTTCATACTGTATCCACCCCAAAGCTAGATTTTATTCGCGACATTACACAAAGCCAGTTACTAAGACTGCTGGCGTCGATTTTATTAAGACACAGCCTCAAAAAGCTATATAAAAAAAATACTAGTTCCCGGCTAAGCACTCTGCAGCTCAGAGTATGTCTGCTCCATGAATGGTGCCGCATTTGCCATTTCCTCTTCGGTCGGTAGGTTGATGATAAGGAGATAAAGAACATGCTGGTCGAACGGTGAGTATCTTGGAATCATAATGAGGAAAGCAAAGGAGCCATACATGACGAAGAACACGCATCACACCGTTGACTATCAAGTTGACTCCTCCAAATCCAATTTGAGGTCCTCCCATTCCAAGATCATTCGCCGTCTTCCGATTATCCATCTGGTTCATGGTTGTCTGGCTGGCATATTGTTGATTGTAACCCATTTCGCTTGGACTCGGCCGATCCACCAGCTGTTGCTGACCCATACTACCACCCATCATCCCCATGCGGCCTCTTGGTCCTCCGTAAGACATTGCCAATCTATCATTTAAGGGGCTGCAAGATCTCATTATGGCACGGCCATCCAGACGCGCTCCACCTCCTACCCCGCCGAAACCCCCTCTCGCTGGCATACTCAGCTTCCCAGCAGTGACGAGTGCGAGGAGGTCACCGCTGTTTGTCGAGTTACTGGGGTTGGAGTAGCGCGATGTGAAAGTAGGCTTAGGACCAACGGCTAATTGACTATCAGGGTTCTCGAGTGCCTCCAGGATATAGTTAGCAAAGTGACAGATCTTGGTCTCTATGAATGACAACATACATGCTTGGCCTGCGCGCGTCGGTCGAAGTATTCGCTAGCGAAGTTCATCATCCCTTTGATCTTCTCTTTCTTTGTTCTTCCTGCTCCTGTTTGATCATCGGCCAATTTATCGAGAGCAGGGAAAACAAGAGGAGCTGTTTCTGTAAATGGAACGCCATTTGTGGTACCCGTAGAAGGCTTCAGGTTTCGCACAACTTTGGCAATACCTTCTGGAGGGGCTGTAGTCTTGAGAAATGTCTCGTTGAAGTTGACTCCTACTTCTGTAGCATCTATCTCGGGTCTCCAGGTCAAAATCATAGCATGGAGGCCCCTTGGCTGGAAGAATTGCTCATTCATCTGGTCCATGACCGTGTGGTGTCTGTTCCGGCACCGAATCAGTACAATTTCTGAGGTGCAGAAAGCAGATGGGGAAGATTCAACCTTTTCCGGCTCTGCATGTTTTTAATTATCTCCACGGTTAGATAAAGTGCCACAGTGGCTGCTTGACCAATTCCAGGGGCGAGGTGCAATGGTAACAAAGCAATACCAGCCATGTTGATAGCGTTCATCCACGGGGAAGCTTGTGTGGCGGTATTGAAAGTTTCCAAGAAGTCGAGAAACATATCCTGATCAATTCCTGCATTCATCAAATCTGGTGCATATGCTCTGATGAAGCCACGAGTGCGATCTTTGGGTCTGCGTTGAGGTAATACCACTGGCAGAGTCAATCTTCCCGGTGACTGTATTTCCTGAGGTAGCGGATAATCATCGATGAAGTACTGGACTATTTTCTTGGGATCACGAGCGAATGGACGTTTATTGGGATAAACAGGTTCCCATTGGAGGAAGTCATCCTGCGCGTCATCCAAGTCCCACTGCTCCTCATCGCCGTTCCCTTGCGCGCGTCCTCTTTCTCCAGAGCTTTCCTTTTGACTCGAATGTGATCCTTCTCCCTCTAGTTCCGGTATGAATGATTGTTCTGCACCGTGAAAATATGCTGGTGGTTCGACGGATCGTGCTTGTTCGTGATATGGGGGCTGAGATTGATGCTGATGTGTTTCACCGGTAGCCAGCATCGTCGTCTTCTTCTTCTTTTCTTTGTGTGCATGAATACTCTCTGACGCAAGACCAATCCCAGCTGCAATACCCTTGGCATAGAGTCCAAGGCCGCCAAAGCCAAGTTGTTGACCCCTCTGGTTTCCCTGGCCAAAGCCTTGATTGTTGTACATGGTCGCGATTTTGGATGTTGTTGTTTATAAAAGAACTGAAGAAGCGATATATGAACTCTGCACGTTTAGAGATGAGTCCAAATTTGAATAAAAAGGGGGATGAAGATGAAGATTGTGAGCAAGGTAGAATCGGATATGCCTTTTAAGTATTCAAACGTCGAGCACGAAGTACTTGGTTCATACCTCGACGAGGTTGCCTAATATGGTTAGTGATCTCGTCTTTATTTGGATTGCAACCCGCTAGCAATCCACGCTAGTCCTATTCCAGTAACCACATCGAGTTCTGCCCCTTTGATCTGCACCACCTGAATCGTCGACAGCCCCCCTTTTCTCTTATTCTGGCCTTGCCACTCCATTTTTCTCAGAGCTGAGATCCTTTGTCAATTATACTCTTCCCGAGTTGACCAATCTGTTTTTCTGTCATGGGCTCCACTCGACGAGGTTACTTTCCTAGGAAAGCTCTCCCATCCGGGCTGTGTTAACCTAGAGACGAATGAAACATGGGAACTCTACAGGGCATTACACATCGTAAACTTCAATCTTGAAGCCTTTCTTTGGCAAGGCTGAGCCAAATATGTATGACAATTCTGGGCTGCTACAATCAGTACAAGAAAGTTATATAAACCAGCAGGATCCTCCTGCTCGGCGGGTCTATTTCATTGATTAATTGGATTCAAAATTCCATATCTCATTAGCCGGGTTCAATTGCGAGAATCGGAGAACTTGATCAATTCCAACCTTGATTTTCGTCGAGTTCCAACACCCACTATGCGTATCATCAATACTTTGGCTCTACTGAGCACACCTTTGATTCTGCCAGTAGTAAGTGCTTAACCAATCAGTTTTCTGCTCGCGTTTGACTCTAGCAGCCATCATTGACACAATACTCTTTAGCTTGCTCAGGTATCAGAGGATCCGTCCGCCATTTTCCCCCTCAGCAGCAACACGGAGTTCTCCTTCGTCTTGGAGACGGTCCTATCGCTCAGCAATAATCAGGGTGCTCAGACTGGCGAGGTCTTGCGAGCAGCAAGCCAAATCGTCCCAAATGACTTTGAGAGCTGGTATAAAGAGTTTCTGTTCTTGGGTGATTCCATTCATGCGAAGGCCGCTGCAATCAACGCCTCGCGCTTCCCAGCCTCGGCTCGATCGGCTTACTTTCGCTCTTCCACTTACTACCGCTTTGCTCCTTTCTTCCTGCATGCGAATGCAAGTGATCCACGAATCAATGAGATCGGAGCTCGCTCTGTTGCGGACTTCGACAAAGCTGCGGCCCTGCTTCCTCGGCCCGCCATCAAGGCCAATCTCTCGGCCTCTAGTCCCAACGTTCCGAATGAACATTTCTCCGTGCCTGTCAGGTTCTTCGAAGGACAGTCAGTTAAGAAGCGACTACCTACAATCATCGTCGGAACTGGATACGACGGTACACAGGAGGACCTATTCCACGAGATGGGCGTTGAGATCCTAGCTCGCGGTTGGAACGTCATTACCTACGAGGGGCCTGGCCAGCCAACCGTTCTCCGCGAGCAGAATCTCGGCTTCATTCCAGATTGGTGGAACGTTGTCACGCCAATCGTGGACTACCTGGCCACTCGCTGCGACGTCGAAATGAACCAGGTTGCGCTGGTGGGCATTTCCTTCGGCGGCCAACTTGCTCCACTCGCTGCATCACACGAGCCCCGTCTGTCCGCCGTGCTATCTATCGACGGCTTGAGTGACATGTATTCGGTCTTTGCAAGTCAGTTCCCGTCTACGCTATTGGACCTCTACAACAATGGCCATTATGCCGAGTTTGACGAGGCCCTCCTCGCCACGATACACAACACCTCTGTCCCAACTCAGTTGCGCTGGATCCTCGCCCAATCGTTGTTCTCATTCAATACAGACAGTCCTTCCGATTGGTGGCGTCGTTTGCCCGCATTTGCCGCCAACGAAACTGTACTTCATCATATCAAATATCCTGCCTTCATTGGCAAAGGCGAGGATGATAGCTCTGCACCGAGCCAACCCGAAGAAATGATCAAATGGCTAGGAAATAAAGGTACCTTCAACCTCTTCCGCACGGATCTTGGTGCTGGCGAACACTGTCAGATCGGGGCCGAAGCCCAGTTGACCCAAGTCACATTGGACTGGTTGGCCGATGTCTGGGACCATGTTACATTGCCAGCGAATTTGACCAGCGGTACGTATTGAGCTTTCTGCAAGAATCAGAGGAATTGAAAGTAGGAAGCACTACATCTGAGAGTACTTGCGTTGTTTTTGTTGGGGAGGCGACCAAGGGAAAGGCTACTGTAGGGTACCCATAGATTCACGACCAGCTTCATATATCTAGAAATTATACTCAGATTAAACGTTGGTTTCTCATAAACAAAACACTATCGCAAATTTTGCTACAGTCATACATTCATTCCTACTTATCCAGTATTGGTCTCCCTCTCGTCGGTCGGCCAGCTCTACTGCCGGTGACCTTGTTGTGAAAACGGGGGTTGTCGTTAAAAGTGTCTCTGAAATTCACCAGGTATCAGATCCCATATCAAGATGCTTGCATTATTATTCGTTGTGTCCCAGGAATGAGACCCTTTATGCTACCGTCTCTGATGCGCTGCAGCATGCCAAGCGGTTGCTGAAATCCTGTCATGGCTGCAATCGTATCGAAGGTTTGCAAGATCCACGCGTGGGTGGCAGAGTTTTCCGTACAAATGGCTGAGATGAGTAGAGGCCATGATAGCCGGATTGCACCTGTAAGCCAGGGGGTACCAAATAGAAAATGATATGCAACGCTAGCGCAAACGTCATCGACCAGCTGGTTGATGGTGGAAGTAAACTCGGAAACCATCTGTCGACATTCAGGCGACTCACGGAGCTCACAAATATACAGAGCCATGGACCTAATCATTTGACTGACAATGATGCGCGTTTGACGATAATGGTTCCACATGGACGAAATGGTGAGATCGTGGTACACATGATAGCTATCACCATGTACGAGAAAACGAACATCGTTCTCAGAAGGAAGACTCGAGTTCTTGATGACTGTATACTGCCAGCGTGGGCTTAGGGACATGGCCCAGCATCTTAAATCGGTTTCAAGATGAAGGGCTTCTCCGAGCAAAGACCCTAGAGCCTCAACAGAATAGTCCGCCTTTTCGATTTTAAGTGATAGATCGTTCAAGTCAAGTAGTAGGGTGTATAAAGATTCAATTGGCAGCGAGTGTTCGTCTCTCTTAGATCTTGCCAATCTTGATAACTCTTTCATCCTTGATGAATTATGGCCCGAATATCTGAAGAACACGCCGCTTAGTGCCTGTACAAGTAATGTATTAGCGCCAGAAAGCCAGTCAGAGCATGAGTGACCCACATTTTGTAACCGCACAATAGTAAACAATTCAAACCCGGACTCTGAGTCTAATTGCTCTTCACCTCGTAGCTCCAGCAGGCTTGTTGCGCCTTGGACGTGGTTCATCCAGGAACGCATAATTTCCGAGGATTTGGCTTCCGATGTGATCATCTAGTGAGTCAATTAATCAATGAGATATTGTAAGCGGCAGGTGGAAAAGCTTGGGGTTACCTCGTATGTACTAAGCAATACTACAGCCCCCAGAGTAGAATCGGACTTTGCTAACACTTCGTCTCTTAGCGCTTCGTTGGTAGCACGCAACGCTAGGCCATATTCTGCTACCGCTGCGCGCCGTAATTTAGGCAATTTGTGCATTCTCGCCATACTTGCCACCCCCACAGCTTTGATTGTGGCTTGGAGCGCAGAAGAAGGGTTCGTTGTCAGCAGCTTCGGCAAGTACCACAGAGAGCCTTGGTCCTGGACGGTTCCCACATAATAGGTGAAGACATGAGACATGGCTCTTCCATCGTCTGAAATAGGCGGAGGAAGTATATCCACTGGGGAATTCGGTGAAGTCGGCCGGTCCGTCGTAGCCGGCTTTCGCGACAAGGTAGCTCGAGCTCGAGCCTTCATTGTCACCTCTTCGGTCTGATTCTGGACTCTTAAAGTGTTCGGGTCCCAATACCCCGTGCACTCTTGCTGCACTCTCAAGCATTGCGAGCAAGACGGACGACGTCGATCGCACTGTTTGGTCAATTATTTGTCCTTCCCGGTCTAAGTCATCCAGCATACCGTCAGGCGCCGCTTTCGGCACAGGGCACACCCCAGCCCCGGCTTTCCTCTGTAGACCATTGTCGGGTAGTGGAAGGGTTTTACCCCAGAATGGCAAGGATTTCGGACGCTAAAGCATAAAGGGACTCGGACAACCGACTGTGAAACTGATAATCCTCGTTGCAAAGGGGGTAAATAAGCAAGGCAAGCTTGTGGGGGCCAAAACCGGCGTTAAAAGTTTAAAGTGGGGGCTGACGAGGTGTATCGAGGCGGCAGAGCGGCCTCATCCTAGAGATTATGTAGACCGTTGCTACTATCAATGATGAATATTATGCTGCAAACGGTTAGGATCTAGGGAAACACAAAGAGCTTCCTTAGATGAATCGCAGAATCATAAACTGGGTAGACATTAGGTTCCTTCACTCTAACCTGACGGATGTAGACTGGTTGACGGATCCCAATGCAATCAGGCATCAAGGGCATAGGGTGACTACGCTTGTCGATTTTTAGATAATTTCGAAAGTATAACGTAATTCACAAGCGAGCGGGCCACCCCAAAACACTATAGAAAGTGCGATTCCTCGGGTCGCTGTATCTAATTTTCGAATATCGCTGTATTTTGGGATTCCTCCTGACCTATGAATTATAGAGGGCACTAATGGTACTCTGGCGACCGGACGACGAGAGAACCAATAACATGAGGCCCACTGTAAAGCGGGGAGACTAGAGTACTTTTTAGGCGCCCTACTAGTTCAAATAGGTTAAAGCGGTATTTATTTGATATCTGTTGAGGACCAAAGCCACAATCGATTGCTAGCGCGCCAATCGACAAAGAAAGAACTCGATGAAGAGAAAAAGAAAGAACTCGATGAAGAGAAAAAGAAAGAGAAGAAGAAACAAGACGAAAGAAATCGCATCCGTGGGCCATAAGACCAAAATACCAAGGGAGCAAACGACGCCTTCGTGGCCGAGTCGTTCTATCCAGGCTTCAGCCTGCATCAACATCCTAGAACCCCTCCCCACTAAATTTCGGTAAAGAGCGCGAAGTTAAAAAATAAATACTAGTAGAATAACCTGCGGACTACAATAAGACTATTCCTAAAAGGCTTTAGTGGAATTGACATGGGTCAGATACTACTGCTCGGCACTGTAGGTATATATAGGAGGCCTGATATCCCCATCTTGATCAAAGGACTCAGACATTTCATCCAACTTCTTCAATAACCTTCCTAACACCCAGTTCACACCTCAGGCATTTCGAAACAAATCATCATGCTTGCCACGAGCTCCAAGGCCTTGGCCGTTGCAGCAACCATAATCACGGCCCTTTCTCCCTCTGTCCAGGCGTGCCTTAATCTCTACGGCGAATCAAGCCCGACCGAGATTTGGTACGTGACAACAGTAGACAACGGCCTGCAGACATGCGATGTATCCTACTCAAACCCATGTACGTCTCCTGGTCCCCTGTGTAAATTTTTCATCGATTCGACTTGATCAGTCTTACGCCGATATTTGATCCTGCTTCTGGCGAGGAACATTCAGTCAGCGCACTAGCTGACATGTTATATAGTGTGTATCAGCGGCTATTCGATCTCCTGGTCGGGTACCATCGTCACGTATTGCAACCCTGAGAACTGGTCTGTATCCTGGCTATGATCTAAGACGTATAACACACTAACGTTTTACGTTGTATAGTTACAATATCGCCATACCTCTCAGTTGCAATTCTGATGGTGATTGCACTTTCAACTTCTGGACATTTTGCTAGGGTGGAGGAGGCCGTCGATAGATCTCAGCAGGTGGGCGGATCTCAGCAGGTCGGCGGGGCGGGTGGCGGGCTCTAAGATAAATGTTGCCTTCGAGAATCTTGCGATATTTTTTCTACCAATGTTCATCTGAATCTTCCCTTTCTTTAGTCGAGAAGAACTTTGGCTTGTTCGAGGGCGCGATGATTATGCTAATTGCATAGAGATCACCAAAAATTTAATCAGTCAGAGCATAATATTTTGAAAATTTCGAGTTTGCTGCTTGAACGGAGTGGCTACTAAACCGCTGAAGATTATCATATTACAGGTCGGGTTTCTAGGTGCTTTGGAAAGAGACGATAGTGATTATCTGAGGTTGACTATCCGAACAATGTCCTAGTTTCTCGTGCACTTAGGTAGGCGGATGTAGCGCTGTCCAAGACACATAGCCATCTTGGTCATCAACAAGGATTTACAGAGGCATAGCGTACTGCGTAAAGCTTTAGTCTTCTACATCCATGCATTACTCCTTGTCATCGTAATCATCGCCTTCCTCGTCTTCACTTTCCTCGTCTTCGCCCTCATCGCCATGATCTCCATTTTCTCCTTCCTTTCCTTCCAACAGATCCAGCACTCCTCCAAAATCCTCGAAAATGCAACAATTTTCTCGGAGTTCATCCAGCTCCAGTAACTTCGGCCACAACGCTTCAGGGCTTGACTCATCTTGCCTTATCTTCTGTCTTTCCTCAGGCGTCATTGCAGACACGATATCCCACATCCCGTCCACGAAAGTTGAGTCCGATTGAAAATGCTTCTGTACCTCATGGCCCAAGGTATCGTTCGACGAAAGCGCAATCGTCTTGCCGATCTTCCGTAGCACAGAAAGGCCATTCCAACGCGTTTGGGTACTTGCAAAGGGACCACATTGTTTTGCAATACTTTGAACAGTGGAAACGATATCATTAGCCACATCGAAGGCGGATATCATATTGTGCTGAGCCTTTCAAGGAGCGATGGGTGACGTTGATCGATTTCCAGACCATTTTCGAATAATGGTCGAAGACTTTAACGCGGCTTTGCTCTCTTTCACGGATCTTGCGTATCTCAGCATCTACCATCCCACCCACGTCGGGATGGTTCTGGGATGCTTGGATGACAATATCGGCGAGGATGTTTCGATCGAGTTGTTCAACATTTTCTCGAAGCTTAAAAACATCAACTGCTGGTGCTCGCTGTGATACTGAAGTTTCATCTCCATCTAGACTGCCATAGGCTTCACCAGCTGTATTTGCTCGTGCCCGTTTAGCGGCTTTGGTTGTTTCAGCCATGGTTGATGTGAGGTGATTTGCGGCTTCTACCGAGTCAAATGCTGACGAAAGTGATGAAACCGACGAAAGAGAGTGATTTCAACGAAGTTCTCAAAGCTGAAGAAAGAAAGAAAGAACAGACGGGGTACGTGAACTATATGGAGATAATATCTAACCGCGCGCCGACGCGTGACAAGAGCAAACGAAATCATTGTTGATGACCAAGAAGGGCAAAAATATTGGCGATCGCATAGAAACCGCTAAAAGTATGACTATGAACAGAGCAACAGATATGACGAACCATGTATTGCATACACTAATTTTAATTGGGTCCAGCAACTAGTTTTAGTGAACAAAAAAATGACTAGCAATAGCTGTTGATAGTCCGAAAGGACCAAAAAGAAAAAGATATTGGCGCTGCCCGGAATCGAACCGGGGCTGGCACGGCCACAACGTGACGTCATACCACTAGACCACAGCACCTTTCTTGTTGAGTTTTCGGCTTCACTTTTGACCTAATAACTCCCTACATATCATTCGGAGTCGAGATGTGATCTATTCACATAATGATATGGCACGTGACCCAGTAGCCTCCTAGATATCATTAGGAGCCATGCCAAGCCCACCCGCCATGTCCTATTGCAATAACATATCCATTCGGCGAATAGAGTAGGGTTATGAGAATCTTCTTATTAATTGGATCCACGCTCGCAATTTACTATTGATAGTCAATCCCTTTGCTAGCATATTTCCACAGTACACACTCCACTAGTGATATATATCGGCCTCTTGGGTGAGGTCACGTCAACGCAAGTTCACGACACAAGATGCCATCGAGAACTGGGATAAGCGCATGGCAGCGCTCAAAGGCTTCGCGGATCAGACGCCTCAAGGGAGGGATGGAGATCCTGGGACGACGAAAAGACACTTTTAAGGTTGATAAGACTGCCTTGCATATTTCATATTATGTCGATCGCGGCTGCCACCCAGGTTATTTTCGGTCAGTTTCATAGGTCTTCATATTCTTTCTAGTATATGTAAAAGCTATCTCTGGTCCAAAATGTGTTCCACGGGAGTTTGACACCCCATATATTCAGAACCACAGCCAGTCTCAATTGCCCCAGAACAGTATGTAAAGCCGATGTGTATTTTCAATGAACAACAAAAAAAAAGCAAAAAGCATCCCAATGGTATTGTGTATAAGCTCCACAATATGCCTAGACGCCGTGCCATGCAGGTATGTGGATGAATTTGCGTTTGTGATGCTAAGAACAAGGAGCCATGTCAAGTGGACCTAGATGCAGGGATATTCTCAAAAACAGCATTGCTGAAGATAGATAGTTGAGAGAAGGATTTCATAAATGCATCCAAAATGGGAGGGGCTGCCATGCCATGTATGGCGATGGGGGATGGTATGTGGGGTATCTTGTTGAAAATTCTGAGAGCTGGGAATAATAAGGAAGTGCAGCCAAAAATTGGGACGAGGGTGATGGTGTCGATGGAGCAGTAGGCGAGAGGATGGTGGCGGGGGGCAGGAGTATCGGATGGTGTGATCACCTCAGGCCGAGCATTCGTTTCGAATTCTCATAGACCACATAGCTGATCGATACAGCTGGTGCCACCTTGAGAAGGTTAGGTGTAAGCCCCTTGTAGAAACCACGGGCACCCTCGGTTTGAAGGGTCCGACGAGCAACATCGCCAATGCCAGTGTAGGTGGGAGGGTGCAGGATCGTGCCTTGGGCCTGCAGACGGGTCCGAAGAACATTGAGCGGGTAGACAACCGAGGCACTAAGGCCTCCGCTGAGAGCACCGATGGCTCCCGTGCTGACGTTATTGAGAGGCACGTCGTCCTCGTGGCACTGATTCTGACGTGCTTTCCGGGCGAGAAGGGCGCGTTTCAAGTATTCGAATGTCGTCAAGTCGATCGCGGCGTAGGGGAACATTCCCATCAGTCCAAGGGGGAGACCACGAAAGAAACCAAATAGACCGCTTTTGTTCCACACTTTTCTTGCCGTTGCCGCGATAAGCTGGTTGCCTCGAAGTCCTCCTTCCACGGTTTCACATTGCATACGACTGTGACAGATAATCAGTGATGGCGTCCCAAAGTATTTGGGCAGACAACGTACAATTTCAAGGTATCGAGAGGATAAACAAAACACCTGGCAATTAATCAGATAAAAGTTTATGCTTCTTGTGAAACAGAAAAACATACTGGGCCACCATTCCACCAAAGCCACCGGACAGAAACTGCGAGGTGGGGAGTAGACGTCTGGGGTCGTTATGCCCTTCAAATCGCGCAAAAGCTCGTTTTGCAGACTATTTCCGGTCAGCATGAAACAAAATCTAAAGCAAGAGAGACCAACTTCGTAAGCTCCAAACTTGATTGCAGACTCCGGCATCACCTTCACCACGTTCAACCCATTTCCTAGAAGATGATCAGATCAAAGGACCCAAAAGCCGGCAAGGAAGTTCCACCAACCCGCAAATAAACTCCGAATTCCTCCCGCCCGCCATAGTTCTTTGAGTGCGTCAAGTAGCGTTTTGGATGCATTGCCGGCGGCAGCGAAAGGGAGCCCATCCTTCGCTGCATGAGCCGCCGTCCTCTTGAAACCGGTCTGCGCAATGAGATAGACTTTGAGCCGATCGAGGGGCGCGGTGGCCGTTCTCGACACGACGCCCGCGATCCCGCCTGCAATGAAGTAGCCTAATTGAGGGGTATTTTCGGTCAACTTCCGTTCATAATATCGCAGGGACATCCACATGGCGACAGTCTTGGGAATGGGCAACCACTCCAACTCAAATTCGCCGTCTAACGAGGCAAGTTGGTTCCTGACAGTGCAGGACGGACTGGTTTGCGCGTGGGCTGATGGGAGGAGGGAGGCGAGGGCGTGGAGTGAGAGGATATTGTACAAGAGGTTCTGGAGGGCCAGGATATAACGGGTAAGAAACGAGTGGTCAGTACCTAAACCCTGCAGATCATTGATGTGGACATCTCCTTCCGGGTTTAGATTGCCCGTCGCCGTGTAGTATGAGAGGACAGCGTGTAGATCCGACGGTGAATGGAGAGGGAGGAAGAGCAGGAAGTCCCTAACGCATGGTGAGCTATAGCCCCTGTTAAACTGTCGGGGGTGTGCGTACCTCCACTCCGCGTAAGAGATTACCCCGTCGTTGTTTTTGTCGACTTTGGTGAAGAACTCGTCGAGTTTGGCGCTCGAGACGGTCACGCCCGAGGCGGCAAAGGCAGATCGCAGCTCCGCCTTGTCGATTTCTCCGTTGTGATTGCGGTCGATGCTCTGGAACATCTGCCATAGCCCGTTCTCGGTGTGGGCGACGAAGGCACGAAATTCTGGCGACAATTAGGATTGTAAGAGGAGGCAGCAGTCTCCAAGAAACCACCGCGTGATCTTACCGGATTCATCGATGCGGCCATTGCCGTTGGTGTCGACCTCCCGCAGAATATTGCGTAGCATGTCATCTGCATTTTTGAGCGCTGGACCCCCCAGTCAGTCAGTTGGGGCCGAAGCGGCACGGGACCCGATCAGACTCACGATGATCGATCTTCTTCAGTCCCTTCTTGAGCCCAGCCAGATCGATGTGGCCCTCCCGGCGCGTGTCCAACGAGTGCCACAGCTGGTCGACTCGTTCGTCCCGTTCGTCTTGCGACTCGGGGGCCATGGTCGAGGGGATTGTTACCGGACACGGAGCATGATCCTGAGAAAAGGGGGAGGGTGAAGCTTCCGAACAGTCAAGTCGACAAGAACTCTCGATTCATCGACAACAACAAAGTCGGGTCGCAGAGCCCTGAAGTGGGGAGGGGGGAGGTGGGAAGGAGGTGAAGAATGAATAATTGGCGCGCGATCATTTGCTTGACGCCATTACATATTGGGGGCCCGGGGAGGCACGGGACCGCAGGAGGGCCCAGCCCTATTATGCCCGATCGGGAATCCCCCTGCCTTCTTGACAATTCATGAATCAATGGTACTATTCCAAACCCAATGGCCGCCAACTATTGGGCCTCGACGCAGCGGCGGCACTGGCTGTTCTCGCGAGAGAAACTGGCCGACGTTCGCGAGCGCCTTCGCGAGCGGGACAAGGCCGCCCATTCGCAGTTCCCGTTGCCGGATAGCCGGCTGCTGAACATCTACTTCAACCAACGTGAGAAGATCTCTCCTTTCCGTGTCTGATCAAATCGCTAAGAATGGTACAACAGAACTCATCAAGCTGGGCAAGCGCATGTCCACCCGGCAGCAGGCCATCGCCACCGCTCAGGTGTATCTGAAGCGATTCTACACCAAAAATGAGGTGCGGCAGACGAACCCATATCTGGTTCTGACGACGGCCTTTTACTTGGCGTGCAAAATGGAAGAGTGTCCGCAACATATCCGATTTGTCGTCGGCGAAGCACGCGGACTGTGGCCCGGTAGGATCCTCTGAAGGGTTTGGTGCACCTCGTATTGACCAGTGGCAGAATTCATCACCCCCGATGTGGCGAAACTGGGCGAGTGCGAGTTTGCTCTGATCTCGGAAATGAACTCGCAGCTCATCGTGCACCATCCCTACCGCACTTTGTCAGGGCTGCAGACCGAGTTGACGCTAAGCTCCGACGAAGTCGCCCTGGCCTGGTCGGTGATCAACGACCACTATCTGACCGACCTGCCTTTACTGTACCCACCTCATGTGATTGCCATCATGGCGATCATTATCGCAGTGGTTTTCAAGCCAGCGCATTCAGGTAGTTTCTCGTCTGGATCCTCACAGCCCTCCTTGTCCAGCAGTCTGCGAGAGGGCGGGCCAAATATGCTGGCGACATTATCCGATAAACTCGCTGCGGGGGCTCCTCCCAAGATCCAAAGGCTTATCAACTGGCTGGCGGAAAGCGAAGTCGACATCAAAGCCGTGATTGACTGTACGCAGGAGCTGATCTCGCTATACGAGGTGTGGGAGCAGTATAGTGAGAAGCACTGTAAGGAACTGATTGGAAGGATGGTGAAGAGCAAGAATTTGGATAAATGATGCATACGGAGGATAAGGCGTTTGATTTCTTTGGAGTTACAGGGGGTTTGCATTTTCACTGCATGTAGAACAGCATCTCAAGCATTAAACTGGAATGGCATATATCGTATCGAAACAAGATAGTAACTGTGGTTTTCGCAGAGAGTCATTGGAGGTACACTTACGTTGACTGAGGAATGAATGGTACCTTTCAGTCTCGCCCGTCAACCCAGTCCGAGTCACAGAACGGTCTTTTTAGAATCGGCTCCGTGACAAACAGGGTGGATTTCGAATATCTTACGTGGACGTTGACAAAGAAGTCGTCGCTCGTTCTTTAGATCTGTGCAAGAGAAACCGAGCTTTAGGGTGATCCTCCCGGATGGAGGAAGCCGAAACTTACAGCCAAACTGGATCTCGCAATTCCATTATGGTACGGTACGGACTAAAGGGAAAGATCCAAGCTGGATTTGTCTTCTATCAATCTAATCTAATCGATAGCTTCAATGATGAAGAGGAAGTTCTATGTGATTGACATGGACATGTAGGAACCATCGAATCGGCAGTCCTTCGCGCAGGATTCGCCATGGCGGCGCCTCGCCGCAGTGATTCTGGAGTCAGAGCGTCGGTCGCGAATCATCGGACCCCAATCATGATCCATGTCTGGGCCAGCGTCAGGAAGCATGCAGGGTTAGCTGTTCCAGCAGGCGCCCATTCCAGGTCCGGCAGGGCGGGCTCGTCCTATCGCCAGGAACTGTGCATGGACGCCGGCCCACCCTGAGTCCACGAAATCAGTGCACATTCCCCCCCCCGGTGCTGATCGATAAGGCTAAGTGGGAAATAATGTTCAGAGGTTGGGTTGAAAGGATTTGGTTGTGAGTGGGCTGTGGACACCGGCTCGAGTGCCCAACCATCTGCCCTGTAGTATACCTACACCGTCGGTCACGCCCGAGGATGGAGCACATTATAGAGATAGGGTCGGATTCTCCCATCGTCATTGTGACTCTCCCCCATCATTCTCGCTCCCTCTGGTATGCAAACGTGGTATTGAATACACATACCTGAGGCCTTTCACGCTGTCTTCGGCCGTGGAGACTACACCCAGAGTGGACTAGCCCCGGTAGTCGACGTCACGTTGCACGATGCAGGGACTCCACCATCGACTCCCGGATTGGCTCAACCTTGCCCATCTCGCCACTTGGTTGGTGCGGGTCGTGCACTAGCCTGGAGCGGTGACCGTATGTGACAGGGGCGGTGCACCACCAGCCACGGACAGGGCACGGAATGACCATACGTGACCGTACACCCACCTCTCAGCCCCAAAACACCCCTCTTTTCCCTCGCCTCCCTGCCTCTTCCCACACAACTCGACACTGACTCTTCTCTCTTCTGTCTTACTCTTCTTACTCTTGACTTCCCCCATCATCAACTCACCTTTTGTTTCTTCCCCCCATCTTCTTGTACTACTTTTTTGTACCCCCCCCCAATCGACCTCCTATTCTCATCACCAAAATCCTTCCTTTTTGATCTTTCTCTTTTGTTCCCCCGGGTGCTAGCTTCCAATCCACCCGGCTCAACGAAAACCCATCCATCATGTCTGCTTTCTTCTACAACCACCAACAGCACCAGCAACACCCTCAGCACGGGATGCAGTCCGCCAACCACCACAATCACCACGGTCGCTCTCGTCGTGCTCCCAAGATGACTCAGAATGCCCGCCAATTCCGGGGAGTGAAGAGCATGAGGGAACTAGCCGAAGCGCCGGCCATGACGGCGTTCCGGGCGAGGTTCGAAGCAGGCCGGTCCTTCGATCTAGATGATGACCTCGAGTTCTGTCCGGGTCTCCTGACAGAGGACGATGTATGTTTGTTGGCTCGACGATCTTCCTGAGACCGCCCCTACCCCTTGAAGATCGTCACTGCAGTGTCTCTGAAGAAAAAGAGTCACCCGGGGAACAGCTGGTTCTAATGTTTCATTTTTCTGCAGCTGCACTCCATTCATTCCGCCTCTTCCGACCGGTCGTCGCTGTCGAGTGGCTCCCCCGACACCTCGCCGCTGCAGCACCAGATCCAGCCCGTGCAGCAGGTCGCCCCGTCCATCTCTCTCTCGCCCGCCCAGGCCACTTCTTTTGCCCACGCGGGCGTGGCCGGTAATCCGAACCAGGCCAGCTTCCAGCAGCAGTCGGCCAACCGGACCCGCAAGGTCATTCCGATTATCAACCCTAATACCGGAATGTCCATGTCGAGCCCCCCTTCCTCGCTCGCCGCGGGGATGATGCAGACTGCTCAGCGTCGATGGTGAGAACGTGATCTGCCATACGTCGCGGCCGAGCGCCCTTCTACGTCTCTTGCCTGTTCTCTGCACGTCCGTCACCTGCGTCATTCTGCATCATCGGGGGTTCCTTTAATTTGCGGGTCATAATATTTTCCATTCTTACATTCTTGTCTGATACGTCTTATTGCATTCGACACGACCAAACCGGAAAAATATCTCTGTTATACGATCGAAAACACACGGGAAAAAAAAAAGCGAAAAACTCAAATCGGCACTGTATATACACACTCACACCTCTCTTTCTCGATCACGACTACCTTCGCCTCTCTAGATTCTTGCGAGCGACGGCGCCTACGATTCGATTTTCTGCATCTTTTGTTGTTTTTCGCCAAACGATACCTGTTTCGTCTCTCCGGGAGAGACGAACACCTTTTGTTGACCCTTCTTTTTTGTCTTCCTTCCCGCCGATGATGTATAGAACGAGCGGTGACTTGCTACTTGACGTGCATGTCTTGATCTATGGGTACGGAGTTGAACTTTCTTTCGGGGATGCTTTTGCCAGCGACGCTGCCAGATACACCGATTGCTTAGCGACGATTTCCTTGTTTTATGGTTTCTGGGGTTCTGATTGATCTTTGGATGGGATGGGATTTATCATTTTGCAAAGGATCTAGAGGCGGAAACGATACACGTCTGCATTGCTTTGGGCTTTTTGTTGGTTTGTTGGGGTTTGCCATCTGCACTCTTCTCCTTTTTTATTTTTGCTGTATATTTTGGTTCGGGGATCGCGTGAGATACTCATTGCTTATACTTGGCCACGGGTCGTGGCTGGTTGGGATGGTTGCGAGCGAAACCACGGACTGGGAATGCGGAGTTGTCCTTTTGATTGATGATGTCTTTGTTTGAAACCGATATCCTGGGGTCTCTCGCGGCACTGGGCGAGTCAATAGACCATATTCGCACTTAAATTTGGTTGTCCTTCGTTTATTATTCTTTTTTTCTGCGTTGCCTCGCTGAGAGCGCTGTATGATTCTTTTTTTGGTCTTGCATACGGTCATTCCACGTCTCATTCGTTCATATGGCTTTTTACTCTCTCCTGGCATGCGAGATGTTCCTGGACAAATTGATGTGTTTGTTTGGATTATTTCACTTCTTGGTAGATTACAATTCCAGACTGATTATTTCAGAATACTGTGTTTATTGTCCCGTCTGCTCGTGATGTCATCCACTCGGACTGCCTGGTCAGAATATATTGTACAGTATCGCCAACTGAACATGCAGACATCTCCTATCACCATTACCAAAACCAGCCATAGACATTACATTACAAATATCATCCATTTGATCAATTCCTTTGGAGTAGAAGAATAGGAACGGCATCCGCGCAGTCCGACACCCTTGAAGGATCGCTGACGTCACAGGTGCGCTGCTCGGTACTTGTCAGCCACTCGCGGGTCTTGGTCGAACCCAGGATCAAATCAAAGGACACAGAATGCCAGGGTGTATCCTGTGTACCGGCCTTGACGTCGCTCTTGTGGGGTGCTCTCAATCTGGTGACTGTCACTGTTCAGCTTCGACATCCTCAGTTCAGCCTCCAAGTGTTTTCGCTACATACCTGAGCTATATACCATCTTCTGAATAAAGCCCAGTGAAACTCGATTTCCAACCAGACAGCTCGAAGAGTCCTCTGCAGTTCATCATTCTTTCCGATTTAACTCATCCAGCTCATCCGTCCCTCCCTCTTCATCCACCATGTCCTTCCTCACCTCTGTCCGCGCAACCTCGCGCTCAAGCCTTCGACCAAGCTACGCCCTCTCCTCTCTATCCTCATCTCCATTCCACTCCTCAGCGATGCGCCCTACCTTGAAGGAGTCTGACAAGAGTAAGTGAGAGACTATCACTTCATTAATACCAGCATCCATCCAAACAGCAACGGCTAATTACTCCCCCTTAGACCGCGACGACCTGCCCAATTTCTACGAAGCGCAGAAAAATAACCAGGTCGAGAACGCCAAGAATGGGAAGGCGAAGTGGAATGCTGAGCTGGCGAGTGTCAGTGAAGCAGATGTATGTCCTTCCCGTCCCTCTCTCTCTCTTTCTTTCTTTCCAGCATGAGTTATCTGGGACTGAAGGCTAATAACAACTGGTTCAACAGGTCAAAGCGGATCGAGGCGAGATTGAATCCACTGATAAGTCCTGGCTGGAGATGCAGGAACGGACGAAAAATATGCCGAATCGCAAGGCGCCAGTGCATAAGACGCATTGATCGGATGCTGTTCAGTAGTCATTCAGTATATTGTTGGTAGTTGCTTGTTCTTAGGTAGCAAGAAGATGTTGTCCGAGAGAATCCAGTCCATTGCGCTGTGTATGTAGGATATGAAAGAAAAAAAGAAAACAACCGCAACGCCTGTGTTACCACGCCCAGATAGTACAAACGCCCATTCGCCAACAAAACCCCCCCAAAAAGAGCAACCCGTTATTTATTTCAGAATTACAATCAAAATCACCAGAATGATAATCAGCCCGACGATAGTCATCAAACTCCAATTATCACCGGCCTTGCGCCGGAAGCGGTCCAGCCGCCGCCGCGCACCATCCAGCCGAGTCTGATGTCGATCTACGTCGCCGTCCATGCCATCCAGGAGAGTGACATGGCCCTCCAGCTCATCTCCGATCTGGATGCTCAGCTCGTGCTGGCGCCCGATGGACTCGCCCAGGCGATCGAGCTGGTCGTCCTGATCACGGATGGTCTGGGCGTGGTAGTCGTGGATCTGCTGATTGTTCATACCGGACGGATCGGGGCCCGAGGGCGACGGCTCGTCGCGATAGGGCTGGAAGAGGTTCCGCCGGTTGCGATTCTCCTCGGCGTCGATCTCATCTTGCACGGCTGCCGCCGCGGCCGTATTATCCATGAAGCGCACGGATTTCGAGGGCGGGTGTTGCGGGACGGGCTGTTTGAGATCGGGGGATTTGGCCGACGTGGGCTGGTTGCCGCCAGAGAAAGATCCCCGCGTCGGGTCTGATTCGTTGTCTGGGCCGTAGAACTGAGATGACAGGTCCTGGTATTGGGCGCGGAGGGGGCCAAGCTGGTCTTTCAGGGCGGCAGCGCCTGCGCTGTCGTGGGAATCGGCCAGCCGGGATTGCTCGGCTTCAATGGATTCGATGCCTTCGCGGAGAGACTCGAGAGCCCGTGAGATCTCGCCGTCTTGAGCATTGGGCTCGAGGTCGAGGCTGATGGCTCGTTGCCGCTCTAGGAGCGACAGCTTGATATGGTCGACGACGAGGAAGAGTTGGGATGGATTCGCCATGGTGAAATCGGCAATGAAAATGTGGTTGTCAGATGCAGGGCTCAAGGAGATAGACCCCCAGGGCAGAGAGTTGGGGGAAGATGGAGAAGTGATGGAAAGGCAGCAGCGATGTAGGCAGTAAGCACTACGGGGTCCCTTTCCTGTCCGCCTTCGGCTTTCCCCCCCGCAGTATGTAGTAACCTTTCCTTGGTAACCAACACTCTCTCTCCCTTCCACCTTCTTCTTCTCTTGTCCCTTCCCATTTCCCTTCACTCACACTGTCTCTCGATCATACGGTCCTTGCTTATTTGATACCGAAAATTGGATGGTTGTTGCCCTTTGGCCTGCCACCCTCATGGGTTCTCCCTGTCTTTGCGTCACCTACCTCGGTATTTAGAATCTCTTCGCCATCCGCTCTGCAAACTGCGGACCTTGTGTCCTCAGAGAACTTCTGTCGCAAACCATAAGTCGCATACGCCTTGCACATTCAGTCGCTCTGGTCACCTTATCGCGCCATGAATATTCACGAGTTCCTCTCCGCGGAGGCCGAGTGCGACCGGGAGGGGATGGTCGACCTCCGCTCCCTGGATTGCATCTCCAACTACGATTCCCACCTCATGTGTCCGATCTGTCATTGCGCGTTCGTCCAGCCAGTACGATTGCAATGCGATCACGTCTTCTGTCGCAAATGCCTCCGGTCCGCCATCACCAGCTTCCGCTCGACCGACTCGGACGAGTTCCCGTGCCCCTCCTGCCGAACACCCACCAACGAGATATCGACAAGCGTGCCCCGCCTCTTGATCAACATGTGCGACGATATTCGAGTGCGATGTCCGTTTATATCGGAGGGGTGCCAAGAGATCCTGCCCCGCGGCCATGTTCAGTCGCATGTGGACAAATACTGTGCATACCGACCCGTGCCGTGCCCGGACACCTCGTGCGACAAGATGACCCGCCAGCGGGACCTCCATCCGGATCAAAAATGTATACATGGTCTTCGGCGGTGTTCGCGCTGTGAGGAAGACGTCATGGAGCAGGACTATGAGGAGCATGACAAGGAGCTTTGTCCCAGTCTCGAGACTACGTGCGTGGACTGCGGCACAACGATCGTTCGGCGAGAGTTGAAGAAACATGTCGAGACTTGCCCGGAGGTGGTCAGCCCCTGTGCAGCATCCAAATATGGATGTCCCGTCAAAATTCGACGAGCCGAGATCGCGGGGCACGAACAGCTCTGTCCGCTGATCGCAATGGGCCCATATTTCGAGGCCCAAAACACCCGGCTGGACTCCCTCGAGCTGACCATCCGACACCTCCAGCAACGAAATGAGATCTTCGAGGACGGGCTGGCCAACATCCGATCCACACTGGTTGACTCTGCGCGTGTCGGTATGAGCGGCGCTAGCGGTGGAAACGACCATCAGACGGATCACATGGATGAGTCTGTGGATCGCGCCTCCGGCGTATTTTCCTCCAACGCCACAACATACTTGCTTTCTCTGCATGAGTCCTTGCGCGAGGAAGTCGGCCAGCTATCACATGCCATCACAGACCTAGATGCTCGCGCCAGTATGACCATCATGAACGAGTCCTTACGAATCAAAGAGGATATGGCCCACACCAACGCCGCTGTGAATAGTGTTCGCATGCAGGTGCAGTGGCTGATGAATCCTCGATTGCACCAAGGCCCACGTGCGGGAGTGCGCGCCAACACTGCCACCGCCGGCGGTAATGACACAAACCGGTCTCAGATGGCGGCCTCGTCTGCATCGGGGCCGAGCAGTACCGCCGGTTCCTCTCTGGGACCGCTGCGGCCCAGACGGCCGAGTGATAGTGGTCGCGAGGGAACCAAGCTTTAAGGCCTGGAGCGATTGTTTTGAGCGTTGCATTTATCTGGATAAGTCTGGAGAAGGAGTCTCGGAGGTGTTCCTTGTCACCATCACAATATCATGTTGCTTATTTTGGAGTTGTCCGTGGTAGGATAGACGGTTATTTCATTTGTTGTATTTCATACTTCGGTCGCTAGAGACTGGAGATTGCTAAGTAGTTAAGAGACTAGGCGTAATGATGGTGCATGAAATTCATTGTTCTAAAGTTATCTTACATCGTGTAGTTTTCCTGATATATATTTGACCGTGTTCCCTGGGAAATAGCTCACCATGTCAAACATGCCGAAGATCCCAGCACGCCAAATAAAGCATCACATTCTAACCGAAAAACAAGTCGCCATTTCATCACTCGTATCAAATCTAACAAACTGGTCAGAAGAATAAGAGTACAAAAAAAAGAAGAAGACCCAAAAAAAAGGTCTCAAGATGTTCTTAGGAATAGCCGAACGCGGGGGTCGAACCCGCAGCCTTGAGATTAAGAGTCTCACGCTCTACCGATTGAGCTAGCCCGGCAGGGCTTGAAGGTAAAGTCGAGGACTCTGATTCATCAGGGTGAGCCAACCGAGAGTGGTAGCCACAGAGAATTGGGGGTTTTGGAAGTCAATATGTTGGGGGAATCGCGACGGATGAGATATGTGGATAACAGAGGAGAGTGTGTTTCCAATTCTGGATTGCTACATTGTTTATTTCGATGGTATTATTTACAATGTAGGCTTAGAATAGTGCTGGGTAGCTGTGTAATTGTTGTAGCAACTTCGCAATTTGTTTTTATTTAACGTTCATGTTGAATATGCGGGAGCAGTGACGCTCCAGATCTAGTGTTCGTGTTTCGTGTATCAAGCGTGGTAGATGCATCAGTTTAATAACCGTCTCGACCGTGTCCTTGGTGCGGATGGCCATGGCCATGGCCGTGGTGATGCTGGTGCTGGTGCTGGTGCTGGTGTTGATTTTGATGTTCATCATGAGACTGATACTGAGGCTGCTCATACTCAGCCTGCTGCTGCCGATACGGCCCCCCCGCAGTCCCAGTGCCAGCCTCATTCTCACCCTCCACCTCCCTCGAAAAACCATGCCCCAACCCCCCCGGAACGAAGTGTGAGATCTTGTTCAGCTTGTTCAACTCCGACATCCCAGGAATCGGCAGGCCAGACAGCTTATCCCACGGAAGTCCGCCGGAGGAACCATGCTGGCCATGCTGGCCGGAAGATGACAGGCCGGGGATAGGAAGATGGGAGAGTTGTTCCCAGGGAAGACCGCCAGAGGAACTGTGCTGGCCCTGGGACTGGTGTTGTCCCGAGGACGATAGGCCGGGGATGGGTAGATTGGATAGTTTATCCCACGGAATACCACTACCACCCGAGGAACCGTGCTGTCCTTGCGGCTGCTGATGTAGCTGCGGCAGGAAAGATGAGCCATGGGAAGCAGAGGCGCCGTGGGAATGGGCACCACCGCCTCCCAACGCGGCAAACCCTCCACCCCCACTACCACTGCCGTGAGTGTGAGGGACACCGCCAGTGTTACGACCTGCCCTGACGCCATCGGCACTGAGGATGTCATTCAGCTTAGCCCTGCGGTCGGGGTGGGTATTCACCCAGGACTGGACAGCCTCGAACATAGTCCTGTGTGCGTCGTTGCGCATATCACGCAGAGTCGGATGGTGGAAGATATTCATGCAGTCATTCAGAACCTCGTGGTCGGGCACATCGATGTGTTCCCATGCGTACAAGACGCGGGGCGCGACGTAGCGCACGATAGCGGCGGCGACATGACCGGCCGGCTCATTGAGCACGTTTGCGAAGTGGTCCTTTGAGAGCATCGAGTGCGTGGGGTCGGTGCAGCGCGGGTCTGTCCAGGGCTCGTACTGGTGCTTTCCTGAGGCGTCGATGACACCTGACGAGCCTGTCTGTAAGGATTTGGAGGCTGCGTTGATGAGTGGGCGGACGAATGGTGCTAGCAATGACATGATAAATACGGTGAGTGTCTCGGAGATCTTCTCCACGAGGGCTTCCAGTCCCGGAATCTTCTCGATGATTGAGTTGAGTTTTCGGACTACTTTGTCCCGGAACTCGAGAATGGGGTAGATCTTCTTGATGGTCTCTTGTGGATTGATGTCTGGCATACCCTGGAGACCTGGCCCTGGGCCTGAACCTGGTGCTGGCGCTGTACTGCCACCCGGGCCAGGCGCACGAGTCTGCTCGCCAATTTCGTGATCCTCGACACAACGAGAGCTGAAACTCTGAGAATAGCCCGCCATCGAGCCCCGGCGTCGGTTGACAGACTCCTGAGCCTCGGATTGCTGCTTGAGCTGCTGAGCCTCATTTACCAGATCCCTCGTACCGGGGATCTTGCCCAGCAATCCAGTAAGGGCATTGAGCGAGCTATTCGACTGCGAACTCGACTGGGCATCTCCAAGCGCAACATCCATCTCATTGACCTCCGACTGAGTAAAGTGATCAGTCGTCTCCCCAAGCACGGAGTGAAAGAAATCAACCATCCCAAAAGTCCCCGTCACAAGCGGGAAGACCTGGTGTCCCCGGATATTGCACTGCGTCGCCGTGCCCGTGTGCGGAAACACATTCAGAAAGCCCATCTCGCGCAGAGCCAGCTCGCAGTAGTTGGTATGCGCGGCAAAATCCTCCAGCGTGTGCAACCCTTGTCCTAGACACCGCAGGGCCTCACATAGGTCCTCCTCGCTGCCTTTGCGCTCCCCGCCGTGCGTGTACATGCGTCCGAAATGGATGCTGCGGCCTAGGCTGTACTTGACGTAGGCGGCGCTGGTGGCCCAGTCGCCGCGCTCGTTGGCAATGTAGTTCTTCATGCCTGTGTCGGGGTCGATTTCGAGCTCGACGGGCCGGACCGGGCCGCGTAGCCGCTTGTCCAACTGGCGGGCGTCTTGGTTGTCGGCGTAGCCTTTGGGGTTACTGCGAGAAGCGTTAATAGATGCACACTCGGGGTTGAAGGCGGGGGAGGGAAGCGTACTCGATATGCTCCTCGGGCCGATAGACACCCAGTCGGTCCGACGTGACCTCAAACTCGGCCGTCGCATAGCCAAAGCTGAGGAACGAGAGAATCCAGACCAGGATGCGGATGGTATCCGCCTGGAGATTTTTGAGGGTGCCGGTATCCATGGCCTGGGAGCTAGTCACATCGTGTTAGCCTCAATGCTTTCCCATATACTCTTCCCACACTGTGGTCGCACTCACTAATCCCGCAGCCAGTTCCCAAAGTAAACCCGCTTGATCATGGTGGAGGTCCATTTATGGCCGGAGATACAGGCGATGGTCTTGAGTACATCCTCGATATCGCCATGGCGCCAGTTCTGGCCCTCGACGGCCGAGATCGAAGCGATGTCTAGAAGAGTGTCAACACAAAAGGTCAACCATAAAAGAAAAACAGGACCAATGACGTACTGCCGGCACCGAAGGCGTGGACGTGGGGCAACAGCAGGAGGAAGCATAGGAGCAAGGGTGCCCGTGGGAGGGCCATCGTCGTGGTGTAGTAGCGAATTAGGTTAATAGGGTAAATAATAATAATGAATGGTCAGTAACGATGAATCGAAGATGTAGTGGGGAAGGCGGAGGGTGGCTTGGCGATAAACAAACGTCGCATCCGATGATCCACCCTGATCCGAGGGTCGCATTGGCGAGCGTAGTATTGATGACTGTTGGGTTGCCTATGTAGGTGTATGTATATAACTCACCCGGATGGTGGGAACCATACTATTTACTAGCTCCCCATACTCCATCCTCTCCCGTTTGGACTATCATGGCCACTCCTCACCTTGACGCCCTCAAGCGCGACGGCTTCGTCGTCGTGCGCAGCCTCCTCACCCCAACCGAAGTGTCTCAATACCGCGATATCGCAACCGCCGCCACAACACGCACCCGCACAGGCGGCTGGCCGCACTTCCGAACAGTGCCTAAGCAATTCCCACCATGGCCGTCGACGCCGCCCCCCGCCTCAGAGGGCGGCATCTGGGGCGTGCAGCACCTCCTGCATCCCGAGATGGAAGGCCGGGACCAGTTCGCGCGGTGCTACTTCTCACCATCCATTCTCGCCGTCGTTGAGGAGCTGATGGGCGTATCCCCGGATCAAGACGACGAGGCCCTCGTCATGGAACTATTCAATCTGCTCGTTGCGCCGGAGACGAAGGACTTTGAGCTCCGCTGGCATCGCGACGATATCCCCGAGACGGCGTCTGCGGAGGAAGAGCTGAAATTGCTCGCCGCGAAGAGTCCCGGCGGGAGGCAGTCGCATGCGCAGTATAACCTCGCGCTGTGTCCCGATGCCTCGCTGGTAGTGGTTCCGGGCTCGCATCGGCGTGCACGCACGGATGCCGAGCGCAGCGCGGCGCCGTATGAGCCCTCGATGCCGGATCAGCTGGTGGTCGAGTTGCAGCCCGGCGATGCGGTGTTTTATGATAGCAATATCCTGCACCGCGGCGTGTATCGCGCGAAACCGGAGAATGGAGATGAGACTCGGCTGACGCTGCATGGGAGTCTGGGGTTGAAGGCGGTTGATGGCGCGGATGCTGATGCTGAGGCGAAGAAGAAGGTGCGTGCTACGGCCGTGTTGCAGCATGGTGTTGGTGCTTGGGTGCATCGGGATGATGCGGCGTTTGGAATTGGGGAGCGGCCGGAGAAGATGAGGGCCAATCTGGTGGCTATGGGGACTGGTGAGGGTGTTGGGTTTTCGCTGCAGGGATGATTTCTATGCTTGTTATTTAGTTTAGTTCACAAATGTGTATATGATTGTGTATATGAGATTATTGTCTGAATGGCTTAAATGACTGTACAAACAACTGTCGACAACCTTGATCGCCACACTTTCTAATTCTTCTACATACTATACTATGTACTCCTCTAACTATACAGCCGCTTATTTCTGCACGGATGCCAGCTTGACACCACTCGGCAGTCCCAAGATCTGTCCCGCCTGTCCCAACGAGCACGAACCAAGTCGGGCCGCGCCAGCAGCCGACTCCGTCAAGCAGCCGCCAGCCTGGTCATTCTGGAGATGGCCGGTGATAAAGTGTGACCACGTCTCATCACTGCCACGGCATTTGGCAAGGGACACAGTGTTTCCATTGCGGGCAGCGAGACACAACGACTGATCCGACAGGGGGCTCAGGGACAACTTGCTGCCCTTGTCATTAATGCTCCAGACCTGGGAATCGGCCGCGTTGCAGGTCTCGAACGTGACCGAGGAACCAGAGGCAGTCAGGCAGTGGCCCGAATTGGTACCGAATACCATGCCGGTCGGGGTGACGGAGCCACAGTTCCGCGGAGGGGTCAAGCGATGCACGCTGGTAGCGTGACTGGCCAGTCGGACGTGGAGCTCCTTGTTGACCAAGGCTACATCGCCAGATACAAGATCCTTCGCGCGGAACCCGCAGCCAGAGACCAGGCCCATCCGATCCAGGGAGACGGTGGTTTCCGCAGTGTTGTTGCCGCGGTTCAGCACGGTCACCAGGCGGTCCCCGTTGGCCAGCGTGCGGGTGAGCACGTCGAAGTCGGCGTCACGGCTGACCAGGGCAGCCTGCTGGGCCAGCGGGTCCTGGTCCACGGCGATCAGGTCCTTGTTGCTGAGGAACTTGATTTCGTCGTCCGACAAACCCGGAATGTAAGCACTGATGATAAGCGGAGCACCCTGCGAGGCCCAGAGGGCGAACTGCGAGCGCTTCTCAACCGCCGACAGGCGGGGATGGTCCGGAATCAAAAAGTCTGGGTCATTGTAGTAGCCCGGCTGCTGGTAGCGCACGAGCAGGGTGTTGTAGTGGTAGTTGGACATGATGCTGTCCCAGGGGCTGCCCGCACCACTGTACACGAGGATATCGTCCGAGTGCCGCGCCAGCTCTCCATTGAAGGGAATCCAATCCATGACGTCCGACCAGGCTGTGTCGTTGCCGAGGAAGTACGCCGGCGCCGACTCGGAGAAGATCAACGGATGCGCCATGGCGCTGAGGATCTCGTGCCACTGGTGGTACCGGCGGTAGTACTCCTGGCCGATGGTGCGGCCCTGCTCGGGGTAGACATTGCAGCCGTCGAGCTTGAGATAGTCAATCCCCCAGCTGGCGAAGGTCTCGGCGTCCTGCTGCTCATGACCATAGGAGCCCGGGTAGCCGCCGCAGGTCTGGTTGCCCGAGTCCTCATAGATACCCAGTTGGAAGCCCCGGTTCTTAACAAAGCGGGCTAGCCAGGGGATGCCCTGCGGGAACAGGGTCGTGTTCCATTGCAGCGAACCGTTGGCGGAGCGCGAGTGCTGCAGCCAGCAGTCGTCGAGATTGAGGCGGTCGTAGCCTGCATCCCGTAGACCGCGCTTCGCCATCGCCTCGGCGGTCTCGGTGAACAGCGTCTGGTTCAGATCGCATTCGAAACGTGCCCAATTGTTGAACCCCATGGGCGGCGCCGGGAGCACGCGTGGATCCTCCACGGATGCATGGACAGGAAGCAAGGGGATCATCAGCAGTCCGGCTATGCTAGCCGGACCAACGGTCCACGATGGTGTCCTCATGATTGCTTGTTTTGGTTGATGGGCAATGGAAGTAGACTAATTCACAATCGAGAAGAATGGAGATTGGTCGAGCAAGAACCGCGTTGCACACCGATCGCAGTGCTTATATGCCATCTTGATGCTTGTCTCTTCCCCCGCTCCAGGGGCCCAAAAGATCGGCGAGCGAAATCCCACGTCGGGGAAGAAGGCCTCAAACATGGGTGCGACGGTGGTATCTCGCCAAACAAACAGAGAGCTTAATTAAATAACCGACCCCCCGATAAGCGCGCTCAGGGCAGGTCGGAAAGAATTCGTAGTCCGCCGGATCTGCAAACGAGCTGCTTGCCTGGTGGAGTGCGAATGGTGGAAAGGCTGATGTCAGGCAGTGTCGGGGATCAATCACATTGTCACAAACTAAGCTTGGTGTGGAGAAGGGAGAATTCCCCTCCCCTCCTCCCCCAATGCCGTCGGATTCCTAGGAACTAGACCACATCACTAACCGAGATCCGGATGTCTCCATGCCCACCGACTCCAAGACAAAATCGCGCCCCCAGCAGTCGTGTCTGAAATGCCGCGAGCGCAAGGTGAAGGTATGCGGCCGCGAACCCGCCCCCCTGGTGGATCGCCAACTGACGTCTTCAACAGTGTGACCGCCACATCCCATGTCGGGCGTGTCGGGCCCGCGGCCTCGAGGCCGAGTGCAGTTATCTCACCACCGCCGAGGACCGCGTGCAGATCAATATGGCCCAGATCATCGAGCGACTGCGGCGCGAGGTCGACGAGCTGCGCGGTCGACACCCCCCGCCCGCCCGCGAACCGAGTGAGGGAAGTCGTAGCTCCGGCCAACAATGCTCATTCGGAGAGTCGGGATATGCACATGAACCACATTCACAGGGGGCCGAGGGCAGCAGCCTGCCCGGTTCTTCACCGTCGTCCACGTCGACCATGACCATCTCCCGAACCGTGACTAGTCCCGAGAGCTCGGGCAGTGACGGTGGCGTGACGGGGGTTCCGCAACATTCTTATTCGATCCCGGCGCATCCGTATGTGGCCGAGCTGGATGGTTCGGTGACGATGCCTGAGGCGTCTACATTTGATTGTGAGTATGGTGTGGTGGTCTCGGACCAGAGCGTCCATGTTGACCATGTACAGATTCGATGGACGCACCGACAATACCGGGCAGCTATCCCGGAGGCATGCCGGGACTGGTAGAGATGTCCATGTCCATGCCGATGCCCAATATGCCCCCAGCGCCGACAAGCCATCCGTACGGCATGGATCACGCAGACTACAACACGCAAGCCTACAAAGGAGACCAATACTACAACGAGGACTCATTATCCTGGAACCACAATAATACATCATTGTCTCATGCATACCCTAATCACATTCCGCCATCTACCTTCCACGCCAATCCCGAATTACAATCAATCCCACCGGCCCTCCAGAGCCACCTATACAGTCTCGCGCCGAACTCGAATACCCCACACCAACCCTCAAGCTCCTGGAAGGGCCGAAGCAATCAGGAACTCCTCGAAACCCTGCTGGACACGATTGGGAGCTGTGACGAAGAACTCGTGGCGCAGGTCGTCCACGTCGTGCGCGCGAGTCCCACGCCCGAGGACGCCGTGTCCGGCATCTGCCAGGTTCTGGGAATCGGGAGACCTGGACAATCATGATCCGCCTCCCCAGGTCTTGATGACCCACTCTCTCACCCTCCGTTCTCACGAATCACAATGGAGTATTTTGTCCATAAGAAATATATACCTGGTACATAGCAAGTCGTAATATATGAATCTGAAGAGGAATGTCGAAATCGTTTAAAAAAGCCATAATCGCTGAAAAGATTGTGCTGTATATGCGTGTGTGTGGGTGTGTTGATGCCCCACAGCGTCGTCAGTCGTAAGAGAAATCAAATCATGGGGCCACAGTCGGGTCCTCAGACATTGGCTTCTGTCCGTAGACGTAGTGGAAAAGCACGTAGAGGTGAAAAGAGCCGCCCATCAGCTCTGCGCGCACTTTATTCATGTACTCCTGCGCTTCTGGAAAAGAATCGCCTAGCACTCGCGTGAACAGAGCCAGGGTGTACGGCTCGACCACTTCGAGAAGCGCGGCTTTGCCGATTCGGCCGAGTTCTTTGAGACGGCGATTTTTGGCCCAGCCGCCGACGGGACACTGATCCCAGTCCGTCAGCCACAGACATCTCCTGGAGAGGAAGGGGGTTTTTTGGGGGAGGGGGACGGGGGATTACCTTGTACATATCATCGGCTACATTGGCATAGCCAGCCTCATGAAACCACTGCTCCAGAGACGGAGCGACGTTTAAGGGCTTTTCAAACTGTATACTCGCCTGGTTCAGGCGCTCCAGCCAGCCCATCGTCAGAGGCGCTTTCTTGTGCGTGTCATCGTCCGACGTAACCCACGCGTTAAACTCCTGAGCCTCGAACCACCCCCCAGGCTTCAGATGCTTGTAGGCCTGACGTAGCAGTCGTGGCCAATCACTAATCCCGCCCGCCAGACTGCGGCAATGGATATAGTCAAAGGCCTCGCTGGGAGCGAAGGCCCAGTCGCTCTCGGCATCGTCAATAAAAAACCGACAGTTCGGCGGCGCCCAGGTCGGCTGGATGGGCGACAAGTCCGTGCCGAAGATTTGGGCATTGGGGAAATCCTCCGCCATCTCGAGAGCCCATTGGCCGGTGCCCGTGCCGATGTCCAGCACGCGCAGCGGCGAGTCGCCGTTGCGCAGCAGGGGCGCCCGGTACAGATCCCCGCCTGTGATGAGCTTGAACAAGTGGTGCGCTAGAGCGAGGCGGTCTTGCTCTTCCTCGTCGTTGGGGATGGGGTACGCCCCGGGCCGGTAAGCGTGGTAGCGCCGGCCATTCTCATAGCAGTAGTCCCGCACCGACGAGGCGAAAGAGAGATTGGACCCCGTGAGAGACTGGGCGTCGAAGTCGTCGTCGCTCGTCTGGGATGGGTTAGGAGGAGGATCTTACGCGAGTGTATAGGTACATGGTGGGGGTGGGGAAGAAAAGTCGGTGGATGGGGAAGGATGGCTGGGGGAGAAGGGAATGAGATGAGAAGAGGCCGTCGGAGACTTACATCGACCTGAATACGTTCGTGGGGATTTGGCTGGGACATGATGATATGATGGGTGATGATGAACCAAGAATAATATTAATGCAGGACCAAATCCCGAGACACAGGATGCGCAGAACCGAGAGGTTGGGACGCGGGAGATTGGCTGTGGGGGGAAGACAGAAGCACAGCCCTGGAAGGGCGCTAGTCGGGTTAGGTATAGTAATGGTTGGTCGTCGATTGTGATACGGCTAAATACTATCCACCACCTGTCTATCCCAGTCCCTGTAATTTGCCCTGTTCGTCCGGCGTCAACGCCCCATACAACTCTTGGAATCCCGGCTGTGTCGATGCCCGACGGAAGAACTCCACCAGGAAACCCTGCGTCTCGTCGTCACGGCGTCGCACACCAAACACTCCCTCCGACCCGCCCTCAGCGAAGCTCATGAGCTCCTGCTTCGTCACACCCAGGCCGAGATCCAAGATCTGGCCGGGGACATCCTCCCAATCGTCGTCGCCGTCGTCGCTGCCCGCCTCATCGAGCGCGGCTGCCGCTGCAGCGTCGATCTCCTTATTTCCTGAAGCAGCCGACAGCTCTTCGACGAGCACCTTGATGATCTTCAATGGTGCAGGCACGGTCGTGAACTGGTCCGGGTTGTTGCGCGCCTGGGACCGTGTCTTGATACGACCCGTGTCCTGGATGATGAGGTCGCCCTTGACGGGCACCTCCGACAGTCGCGGGTCCGCCAGCTCGTACAGCCGGGCCAGCGCAAAGATGTTCTGCTTGATCTCGTCGTAGCCAGCAAAGTTGACCGAGTTCTCGAGCCACTTGCTCAGCACGACCACTAGACCGTTCTGGCCGCTCAGGTCCACCTGCGCCAGGAAGTCGACCACCTCGTGGGCGCTGATGAGCGTGAGCCGTGCAAACACCAGGATCAGACTCTGGATGAACTGCGCTTGCTGCGCAGTTGCTAGCCGTTGTGCCACGGCCTGAAGAAGCTGCGGCAGGTAAGGGCCTAGGCGCTCGGAGCCAGCGCGCTCGACCAGCTCGGCCGCCAATTGGCCCACCTCGGTGGCTGCATTGTCGTCCACCGCGGGACCCAGCAGGCGGTCGATGATGATGAGCACGACCTCAATTGCCTCTTTGCCGGACTGCGGATCCCGCCAGTTCACGAATTGCGTGAAATCGTGTGCCAGCATATGTCGGACCGCTTCTGTGGCCGGCCGGATCAGTTCTGCCTCGGTAGAGGCCAGCAACAGGCGGTTCAACTTGGGCATCACCGTTTCCACAAAGCCAGCGGGCATCGGCTCGAGACTTCCCTCCGTCAGAGCTCGGAGCAGATCGGCCGCAAATACTGTGAGGGTGTTCTCCTCGGTCAGATTGCCGACATCAATGGCACCCATCAGGGAAGGCAGCACCTTCTCGCAGAGGCCCTGGTACGCTTCTGGACCGAGATTGGCAATGTGCTCTGCGATATCCTCGAATGCTTCGGTGACGGTCATAGTCAGCTGGAAATTGTCGGATTTTCCGCTGGCAATCTTGAACAGCCCGTCCATGGCACCCGACGACAGAACCACGCTTGGATCTACCATGATGGTATCCCGCAGTGCCTCGGCCAGCGTGACCGCAAGATCGCCCGAGTCGCTGGGATCGCTCATATCTTGTGTAGAAGCAAATTCCGAGATGGCCGAGATCACAGGTGCCTGGAAGGGGGCAGCAGCGCTGGCGGGCAAGGAGGGGACGAGGTCTTGCAAGACCCGGATACCAGCCACCTTGACCACCTCGGAGGGGTCTTCTGAAATCGCTCTCAACGTAGCTTCCAGGTAGGCAGATGCAGTTTGCTGGAAACTCTCACCCGTGACACGGGCTAAGACGCCGGCCACAAGGTAGCCCCGTGCACGTAAGAGCTCTTGCTCTTGTTGCGTCGCATAGTGCACAAACTGGTTAAAATGATTAGCCAGCTCCAGGGAGATTGTCTGATTCACCTCGCTGAAGTCCCGGAGAATGGAGTTGAGAATATAAAGGGCTGCTTCACGAGATTTCCACCTATTTAAAAAGGATTAGCCGAGCCTTGTGGCATTTAGAGTCAAAACTTACGAGGTAGCAGAATCACCAAAGAGAGAGTTCATATAGCTGAGCAGCCCTTCGGCCGCGGTACTCTTCAGCCATTCACCTGTTTTGATGGCCAGGTCCCCACTGACGGTCCGAGGCGTATAGTTCGCAGTGACCGAGGTCTCCTCTGACAGGAATAGGCTCACGTCAATCTCCCACAAGCCCTCCTCTTCCATGGTGATCTGCGCGTAAGAGCTGGAGAGCTTCATAATTTCTGGTAGCCAGCTGTTTGAACCGGCATTTTGGAGCTGTTGGTTCAGCTCTGCCTTCACTGGAGGTGCTTTCAGCAGAGTCTGGATCAGATCCAGCTCTTCCAGGACAAGGAAATCCAGGGAGTGGGGCAGTCCATCCACATCCTCCAGGCGGCCTTGCCGGTCAGCCTCGATATAAAAATTTTGATAAATGGGAAGCATATTCGTAAGCTCCGTCCACACGGTAGAAAAGTATAGCGGACTCTGGGCAGTTAGGAGAGCAGGGAAGACCATGCGGATTTTCATAAGAGTCTAGATAGAATGTTAGCGTTGGATTCAGTAATCTGTACGTATGAAATACCATACCTTGACAATCTGGGTCTTCAGAGCAATGGTTCCTCTCCACTGCGATGCAATGTCCACATCTTTGTTTGCTTCGTCCTCGCTTGGGACCTGGGGTAGGGGAGCCTTCAAAGTTGACACGAAGAATGGTGACCAGCCACCCAGCACCTCGTCCATAAACTGTTTGATAGCAACTTTGTGCTGCTCGAGAACCATCTCCAATGTATCAAAGCAGGACCGGAAAACCGCCACGGCGAGGGCGCGCAGTATGGGGCGTCGAGATTCCGCAGTGGCCACAGCAAAAAGCGCTGAAACCAGGTCGCGGGCAACGTTAAAGAACTGCTCCTCACTGAATCCTGTATCCACAAGGTCCAAAAGAACTTTCAGGGCACCGTGTAACGCGCCATCTGTGGTGGCGGCATCGTTGATAATGTGCAGGAGCGTGGGGAGGAGATCTTGCCAGTCGTCGGGGAAGTCGGCACTGGCGATCTTGCTGACGGCATAGCTGGCCGAGGACTTGACTTTGCGCTCAGGTGTTTCGGTGGTCGTAGCGAGCTCGAGCAAAGCACGGCGAATGTGCGCCTTATTCGTGTCGTTCACGAGGACCCGGCCCTTGAATTCGTCGAGCGCGGGGGACCAGGCGGAAGCAATAAAGGTGCGCAGCACGGAGAGGGCGGATTGGCGTAGATTAACGGGGACCGACTCATGGGTGGCAATGGCTGTCAGGGAGATGGGAAAGGACTCGTTGGTATAGAGCTGGGCCAAATGCTGCTCAGCAGATTTTCTAGTGTCAGTCGTAGGCGACTGGGTGTCTGCCAGCAGTGAAAGGAGCTCTTGCTCCATGGCGGGCAGAGCAATCAATTGAGGATGGGGGGATGTAGACGGGTGGGTGTGTTGACAAGAAAATCACAGCGCGTCGCGATAAGCGTAGAGGGGGGGCAGTATCAAGGCGGTAACCCCTGACCTGGGTGTGCGCCGTCTTTATTATGTGAGATCCAATTATTATGCCAAATATTATGCTGTTGTCCTAGTCGATTATTATACTTGCCGTTCCTCTTGTGAAGTGGGACTTGAAGAACGAAAAGAAGACGACCTCTACACCTGACCTGGTGGTTGTTAATTAAGTATTTGGAGTGCATAGCCTGCTATACTACTTAGTACTAACACATGCGTGGAAAATTATTTGGAAAGTGACTATCGCGACCGACTATGCTAAGTCCTCAAATTCAAAGTCTTCGGCTTAGCCATTCTGAGTATCTCCGGGCTCGAAGAGGTTGATCATGTCACTGTGCATTGGACGGTGAAGAGGATTGGCGGTCATAGATTACTTGACGACTGTACCGCACTATGGAGGTACTTTTGTTTAGCCTGAGCACCTGCGCGAGTCGGGTTGAATGGACAGGGCTAGGATGAAGTCTACTAGTTACCAATATATATGCAGAACCTATCCAATGGCATCGCGAGGTTTGCGCCTTTCGGACTACTTTATTTTCACGGTGGTTCGGCAGAAAAGAAAAAGGAAGCGCTTTATCGCAATGACATCCATTTGTGATATTATTTCGCGTTCAATTAATTCGCCTAGTTGTGAGAGCAGAAAAGAAAAAAGAGAAGAACAATACATTGGGGAGATCTGTCGTGCTTTCGATCAGGTTGAAATTGGATGGCTCGAGCTTTAGAGATCCAAGCTTCGGACTTTAAATCCGACATCATGACATATTGTGTGGAGTATAGAATATTATTGGAGCAAGTATTGCCATTCCATGCCTTGGGCAAAAGAGTCCGATCAATTAAGAACCACTTGCACAAAAATAGCGAGTCTTTCCTCAACCCCAATGCTCGGAAAGAAGCGAGCCTTTGCGTGGATCTGGTCGAGTGATGATCGCTTTAATTTGTATTGTTGTATAAGTAAATACTGAAGAACACCCACCGTCAATCTTCCTGCGTGACCGGGTATTGGGCCATGAAGCGGTGGCGGTGTTGACATGCGAAATAAGAATCTGATCGAAAAGGGATTGATAATCAACCACGTCAATCTTCCGGGGCATCACACCCATGTCCGGAGGCCGCCACTGCCGTCAGTGTTGGTAGATCATCGGTACCGTACTGTAGAGTGCAGAACGGCCGGGTACCTGGGGAGTACCCGAGGGGTACTTTGCGGTGGGCGAGGTACGCCCAGCTCCGACGGGTACCATTGGGTGTACTTGCCGGTACTACTCATTTTCTTCATGGTCCTTTCTTCAGTACTACGTGCAGACGGATGCCTGGTTTTTCCACGGTTATGTACTCTTTATTCTCTCACCCCACTATCACCTGTACAGTACGACTATCATGATTCCTATTTGGTTTTCATGTTGTGGGAGTATACTGCAATAATACACTTTTCGCTTGGATGATCGGCCCTCGCGCCCTCATCCACCCACTTCGGTGGGGAAAGGAAAAAAAAAGAGAAAAAGAATGAAGAGGCAAAATACAGGGCTAGTAGAGTGTGTGTTCTATGATAAAATAATACCCACTCCCACTAGGTTAGGTATTGAGGCATGGCGACCGTACGCTGGATTACCATCTGTATTCTTGCTCGTCTTTTTTCTTTTTCTACTTCCCATGCCCTCCATGTGCCCTATGCGCGTATGGTATCACCTTGATGGTATAATGTAGTCTATGAGCATCTCCGTGAAAAGCAAAAATTCCAGAATTCCCCGAGCCTGGCAGTGCTAAAGGTCCATTTCCGCCGGGCATCCCAACCCATGACGCAACCACGTGACAGATCACTGACCTTCCACACCAACTTCGTACATAGTCCGCCTTCTTCTGCTTTTCCCCTCGAACGAGAGTGTGTGAAGAGGCCAACCAACGAACCTTCGGCAGTCCCCATCCCCCGGAATCGTCCTCGATCCATCGAAAGAGCCTCGTCTTTCGCTTTGTGTGTTTCTTTGGCTACGGGCTTGTCCGCCTCAAAGGTTTCCCTACTTTGTCCGACTTTCCCCCTCCTTCACCTTCGCTTTACCAACACCACACCCCTCTTCACTCACACCACCACGCCCGCCAATAATACGAAGGAGGACATTATCCCCCCAAAAAATAATACACCAACCCTATACCTGAGATCGTCAGAGGAAAACAAAACAGAACTTCGTCATCCATACCTCATGCTTTGAGGTTTGCTTCTTCTTGTCGTTTTGTCCCACCCAAGCGTATGTGCCGACTCTCTCCAAACACCCCCTCCCCCTCCCCCATCGTTTCACCATCCACCAAACACCACTCCATTCCACCAACCACGATCTATTCCATACCCCTTTCGGAACAGCTTCGCTGCCGGTTGGCTTAACCTCCAATCCTTCCCCCGACATCGGGGTGACACCGCCCGCAGACCAAAAAAAAAAAACAATCCAGATATCGCAAACCATGAATCGCCGCGTTGACCGTTGATTTAGAAAGACAGAGCGATGATTAGCTTCAGGGTGGAACACCATTCAGATTCTTCGAGACTCCGTCAATATCACCCTTTCCGTGGAAAAAACGACGCCCGATCGGTCAATGGCAATGCCGGTGTCCAGTGAGAGCAGTACTAGCACAACCACCATGACCACCTTCTCCGCTCCGGTCCCTGCTACCCGATCGCTGCCTACGAATCAGTCGGCACTGGCGGCCTCTTTCACCAACTTCCTCACCGTCTCCGTCCACCAAATACTATTCCTGCGCTCCGTCTACCCGCGCGCAACGTTCCTCCCCGTGCGGGCCTACAACTACCCCGTTCGGCAATCCCGCCATCCCAAAGTATGTGATTACATCAACGATGCATCCATCGCGGTCGGAACGGAGATCTTGAAAGGTACAATCACCGCAGTCAGTATTATCATTTCATCTCTCCGCACAAATCAGCCCCTCGAACGATATGCCTTTGATCTGTCGGACTTTCCCCGCGTTCCTGCTGGAGAGGTGAACACCACTTTTGAGAATAGACCAGACGATTCATCAGCTCCGGGTGCCTCGGTCACGGACCGAGGCCCCGCGCCGACTTCGGTCGACCTCGAGGCGCAATTCCGGGCTTGCCTGGCACGACTCGCGTCCGCCTGTGCCCGACTGACCCCACTGCCCCGGGATGACGAATTCAGCTTCACTGTCTGCATCGAAGTGCGGGAGGATGCGCTGCCCCCGGCAGGGACCACCAAAGAAGAGCAGACCTGGATCGTGGCGGAACCAGGCAAGGTCCACCTGCGATCCTGTACAGCACCATTCTCGGTGTCAAAACTACGCAATGGCGAGCCTCAACAGCCGCCACCCCGAGTGTCAAATGGCCGTGCGAAAACAGTACCCGTACGACGTGTGGAGGCGGGGGAACTGCGGTTGGAGCTGTGGGTGGAAGAGGCACGGCAGAAGTTTAACGAACCGGTGGAATCGGGACAGCCGCCATGAACTCGACTGTTTCCTGTGATTTCATCTCCTATTTTATTCGCCTTTTTGTTTCTTGTCTCCCCATCCATTTCTGTCTCATTCTTGATTTAGCGTGACAAATGATCGAACATATATGATGGACGAGGGAATTAGGAAAACTGCCGTCCGCAAGAAGTGGCGCAATCATATAAAACGGGGAGCGGACGATTTTTGGGATTCGCATGGCATTGACTTACATAGATCAGGTTGATATCTTTCCTTTGGGTTCATTCCCTTTTTATCTCCTACCTTTCCTGCTACACTACCATTTCCTTATTCCCCTTCACGCCATTCTTTGACACCCTTATTCTTTCTCTCTTTCTTCACTTTGCATCTGTGCTGATCCCTTGGTTCTTCTCTCCTTGCTGCTATTTGTTTGCTGCGGTCCAGCCCTTGTTTTATCTATTTACTCTTTATTTTCCATACCATCTCCTTTCTCTTTGTGTACTTCTTTGCGTCTCCTTTGTTTGCGAATCTCTCCAACTATATGAATTCCCTTTTTACCTTTTTTTCATTCATTCTTCCTTTTCTAGCCAACTTCAAAAACTATTTAGCAACTAAGTTTCCCAATCTCGTCTCATTATTTCTTGACCATTTCTTTTCCATGCGCCTGTCCTCTTTCTCTGTCCTCTTTTCTCATCATCGTGAGCCCTTTCCTTACTTGGGTGTTTGGTGGTCTTGTCGTAACCATATTTGCATTTTCTTTCGTCTCGTGTTCTTCTATTTCATTTCACCATAATCGTCCCTTTTCCTGTCTGTGTGAGTTAAATAGCCGGGCTCTGGCCCGGTTGGTATGCATGGCAGGCCGTTCCGGTTTGACGATTGTAAGTGTGGTATAATATTGGTGTTCGGTATTGGCAGTCAGATATATGCAGCAGAACTGAATGAGTAATGGGTGCTGCTGAATAGAGAGAACGGCCTGATCAGCACATGTACTGTTCTTGCGCAATATCAGATATAGTAACAGCAAAGATAGCGAGTGAATTTAGCTTGTTGAGAGACGATCCACGATACTGGGGACTGTTAGCATCAATTATCTGGTTCTCTGATCTGAATTTATTTCGCACACTAAATGGCCAATGACGGAGGCTAGAGATCATGTATGCCGTAGGTTGCCATTCTGTCATAGTAGAGCGCGGATACTGTTCGAAAGTGCTGGTATATCCGCTGAACGTGACGCTGCCCCTTTGGTTTATTGAATCTCGGGCCTAGGAAAAGGAACCACATGGTTTGCGCCACATTTCGTAGATCGTCAGCAGTGATAGTATGTGGTCGGTTCGCTTCGAAATATCCTCGACCGGAAAAGCTTTCCCAAATTATTTCCCAAGGGCCTACGAACTTCAGCTTCTTTGTAGTGTTTCTGGGGGTTCAATATCTGAATTTCAGTATTGCAAAGAGATCCATTTGCCGCTGAATGGTAGAGGGATGATGGCAGAACAGGAAGAGCAGAACATATGTTATATGGTTTCTATGAGCAGGGGATGGTCCTAGAGGATGCCTGCTTGTCACCACCCAACTCATTCTTGGGTGACGTGGACAACAATAGCCATTATTGTACAATCCTATTATGTCGAACTATATATAGTTCCCATAACGAAGTCTGGTACTCTAAGCCCAAAACAGCAGGTAGTGAGAGATTCTGACATAGCCCTATCACGTGGCCCACTACGTCAACGGCAAATGCAACGTTTGAGCCGCTCTGCTTCTCCAGATACTCCATCCCATCGCTTGCCGTCGCTTGTCCGCGGGCCGATGACAAAGAGAAACCAGAAATGCAGAGACCCCCGGCCCGGATTGTGATGCGGAGGGCTCGGGGTGTGGGTATATAAAGTAGTTATGATTCGATACTAGATCATGGCGGAACCGTCTCCCGCGTTGGGCTTAGCTGCAGACAGACAGAACAAAAAAAGCCGAAAGTAGATCGCAACATCGGTCCATTACCGAGGCGTTATCGTTTATCTCTCTCCTCTGGACCCCGGAATTTTCTGTCTTGTCTACACAACCTAGGCGCTTTCGGCTATTTCCACACCTATACTTAAACCAGGGCATTTCCTGGCCACTCCACTGATACATTTCCGCAATATTGGTCCACGGCTATCCAGGGAGCTCAATTCGCATTCATACGGCCGTGGGGGGACCTCAGGATTGATCTATTCACACCACCACACCATCCACCATTTTTGCTCTTAACGTCAACCGCGAAAGATACCCCAACATGATTGCCGCGGACGTCACCGCTCTCCCACCAGGCGACTCGCCGGACCTGATTCTCGTGCCCGCCACACCAGAAGAGCGCATCGCCTCCCTTAAGCTGAACAGCGTCGCATGGGCCGGCCCGCTAGACCTGGACACGTACATTGCGCGCGAGGACCATCTCTTCTCACAGCGACTGACGCGCGACGGGCTGACGTGCTGGATCCTCGTCGACCGCACCCAGCCCGAGGGTCAGCGCACCATCCTCAGCTCATGCGAGTCATACCGCAAAAAGGCCCTGCTAGCGTATGACGGCCAAGTGGAAGACGTGGCGACCCATGGCATTGGCAGCGTGTACTGCCGGCCGGAGTTCCGGGGAAAGGGCTACGCAAAGCGTATGCTCGAGGAGCTGAGCCGTCAGCTGGATACGTGGAAGATGGAAAAAGAGCCCCGCAAGCGGGCACTCTTCACGATCCTCTTCTCGGATATCGGGAAGAACTTCTACGCCCAGTTTGGGTGGCGGGCATACATGTCCTCGCATATGGCCCTGAAGCCGATTGCGGATGGCAGCCACACAAACGGTGTACCGGGAGGCGCACAGACGAGAGACCTTTTTGCCGAGGATGTGCATACATACATTTGCAACGACAAGGTGCTTACCAAGCTGCGCGACCAGATGCGGGTGGAATCGCAGAAAAAGCCAGGTGCCAAGATTGCCATCATGCCCGACTTCGACCACTTCGTGTGGCACTGGGCGCGAGAGGAGTTTTTCTCAGAGGCCATGCTCCCGAACCACGCTCCACCAGTCATCAAGGGCGCATGCGACGACCAGGCGCGCGTATACTGCGCGTGGAATCGGGTTTTCGGGGACGATCCCTCTGCCAACGTTCTGTATATTCTGCGGTGGGTGTACGATGATCCCACATCCCCCAAGGAAGAAGAGGTTATTGTACACGCCATGGCCGCGATCTTGCGGCGGGCTCAGCGGGAGGCGCGGGAGTGGAATCTGCGTTCTGTGGAGTTCTGGAATCCTACACCCCTGCTGCAGAAAGCGGCCGCTCTGCTGGATCCGGATGTCCAGCTTGTGCATCGCGAAAAGAGCAGTATTTCCAGTTTACGGTGGACTGGTGCAGAGCAAGGGTTGGGCAAGGATGTGGAGTGGATGTTGAATGAGAAATACACTTGGTGCTGATTTCTTTTTGTCGGGCTTTTTCTGCTCTGCTTTTCACGCCAATATACATCCAAGTGTTGGTCAGAACTGCTTTTTATATATACACCCTATATGCGACTAGGTATCTGCAAGTCGGGGCCTTTCCTTCCGCCGCTTTTGCGAGGGCGCATAGGCTTCGGCTAGATCAGGCACGTAAATGATTCATAGCACAGATGAAGTTAGGCTTTCAGAAGATGCTAATGACTGAAATGCGATTTGTTTTCAGGCAGAGACATACTATATGATACGATAAACCAACTTTTCCATGCTCACTGGACGCATATACTCGTGGTTCCGATCTACGCTAATCTTTCCAATAGCATGCTTCTCCCCCACCCCAGAGTGCCAGTCCGTTGGGACAATCCACTAATGCCCGCCTAGCGTGATTCGCACCGGATTGGGCTCTACTGTCATCTCTCCCTCTTTCGGCTTCAAGCTTAGGAAGGCGAAGAACTCGGTTGCAAACTCTCGCATATCAGGATCTGCGGGAATGGTAAGTCTGAAAAGCTATATCAGTGAACCTGTTTCAGGGTCTAGAGGATTGTGCCTCGAGCCGCTGGGTTTAGAACGAGCGCTTTCATCCTTTTCAATGAGTCGCGAGATTGAGAACATCGCACTTTAAGGAAGCACCAGAGGCTGGGAAGGAGATAGGCTTGCATGGCCATATATTCATCAAGTCATAGATACAGCCCCAACTCGAAGGCCTGCGGTCAGCGGCTCTTTTGAGCTTTGAGTAACTCATGCCAGTTTCGGGTTGTTTTGGTACTAGCCGTTGGAGCCGATCCAGCAGCGGCAGCTTTGCTGGTTTTCTGTCGCTGTGAAATTTCGACGAAGTGTATACTTGTTGCATCCGGGTTCTTGTATGAACCGTCCTGTAGACATGATCAGCTTTGAATGCCGCTCAAAAGAGCAGATTGACTCACGCTCAGTTGGGACAAAACAGCCTCCTCTCTCCAAGTCTCGGGCAAGCAGTCCTTCCACGCGCGGAGAAATTCGCTTCTGCCAATGGCAGAAGACGCTGTCGGAGCTATAGCCGCTAGATATGTCTCCCCAACCCATTGTGTGCACTCGACTTTGTCGAAGCTTGCCCCTGAAGAATAGATACGGCGGTCAGCCTCTCACAATATATTTAATACTCGATGAAAAGACTCACACTTGAGTTCCTCCGCCAGTGGTGGTCGTTCATCAGACACACAGAGTCTCCGCACGACCGCTTCAAGAAGAGCCCGGGGGAATGGCGGTTCCGACGTCTCATCGTCGTCAAGAACGGACTTCCACAAATCCCCCACAAGAAATTGTTTCTCCAGATTGATGCCTTGCAAGACCGCGCCCTCCATCAAGCGCTTCCACACATTCAACCGCGCTCTAGCCGAGGGTCTCCAGCCCGCCAGCTGTTGCTTCCCATGTACGAATGCACAGAGCTCCGTCCAGCCCTCATCACACTGTGCTGTAGACACGGGGATATCAGCACATACGTGCTCCCTCATCTCCTTGGGCCCCAAGCTAGCTGTCGCGCGCGACGCATCTCCCATTTCAAGATCACCATCACCATCCTCGGTATCCTCACTCCGCCGATCATACAGACGCAGCATTTTCTCTAAGAATGGACGTTCCGAGAACCCCTCCGGAGGGGTGTGCAATTCTAGCGTTGACCCGCATTTCGCGATAGATGTCACGGCCTCGTCGGGCAGGTTCAGGGCGCCGCTCTCGCCGGCTTCTTCTTCGATGACTTTGATGTCTGCTCGTGAGATGTGCCCGAGACTTGGGCGGAGGATGTGCAATGAATTGGAAGACTGGACTTGGCGGATGCGGTAGGTTTTTGTCGGGGTGCAGATGTTCACGTATTCGCGGGCATTGGGGTCGGTGGTGACTGCTTGGGCAAGCGCGGCGGAGGGGGATTTGAGCTCAAGTCTGGGGTTAGGTTAGTCGAAGGGCTCGTTCATAGTGTGCGGTTGACTCTCTGCGCATTGCAGAGCCAGAAGGCAGAGAATGTGAAGCCTGGCATCAACGGTCGACTTACACGGGGGCATCTTTGGAAGACAGCAGTTCCTCCAGGTCCGGAGGGAGTTCTAGCAATCGAAAACCCTGCTGGGGGTGGGTGTGCGTGAAGAGCACGCTCCTCGAGTCCTGTGTCGACATGTTGGAGGCACCAATAATGCTGTGTCGCGGAAGAAAAATGAGGCCAAACGAGGCAGACGCGGTACGCGTGCGCACAGACCAGCGCTTAATGGCTCAACAGGTACTACAGCATCAAATACGGTCTGTACCTTAAACAGTCGGGTCTTTTGAGCTATGCTTTCCTTGAGATTAACATAGAGCTCAGACATTCGTTGTTTGTAGCGCTATCCACAGTGATTATGAAACAACTTATGGTCAATTTGGAGTTCGGAAAGCGTAAGCGTCTTTGAAGGATTCCCGCCATATTCTTCCCCCTGGTGACCCGAGAAGCTCGCCAACTCGAGGACTCACCTCTTCGCAGTACTCAAAGTCAGGGGCCATCCAGTGGACAGTAGACCCTTGACATAATTTTAGGGTTCTCACTATATAAGTCTAACGATAGGGTAATTGTCGAGCAAGTTCGCGCCAGCTCTATTAGTTGAATGTCACAGCAGACATAATGATCTAGATGATATGTCACAGAAATCGAGGGAGAGCCCAAGGTGCTCGAATGCCCTGCGCACATACATACGCGAATTGGAGAGAAGAACAGGATCTGAATCAGTTAAATAGTTAGTTCATAAACGTGATTTAATAACATTCATAATAATAGTTACTACACAATTGGATAACGAGTACTACGTCATTTAGCACGAGCTGTATTCACCACTAGGGTTATGGTAATTCATTTGTATCGCCCGGTGCTTCGCTAGACTGAGAGGGATTCTGTTGTTTACGATCCGCAATACGGCAGGATGGGTCCCAGTGGACTTGACAAACTACATGTGGGGGCCGAAGTATGTAACTGAAATCCATTAACGAAAAGAGAAAACACGGTACGATGAAATTCGCCGCAATGAATGATTAGATTGAACCAAAACGAAAGAAAAGACCTTTTGTCTGCTCCAACCTTGCGCCTTTCCTCTATGCAGTGATACACCATGAGAAGAAACCAAAAGAACACTCACGAGAAAACAATGAACATATACAAGAGAAGAAACGAAGAGTACACACTGTAGCCACCTTGTCAAGACTGGTCCAATCTCGGAGCCGGTGAACTGACCAAGGGTGGTGGGAGTGCAAAGCAGTCCAGCCAGCTGGGAAAATTTAAGATGGCCTCAACCCAAAAGAAGATGCAATTAGCGCCTGGCCTGGCCATTGGAATCACCCTTTTCAACGTATTGTGCAGGCTGCGCAGCCATGCCCTCCTTGGAATCTTTGCCGGATTCGCTGTAAACATAGACAGTGTCCGCCGCATCCTGTGCCTTGGACTGCCCACTCTCCTTTTTCTGGGTGCGCTCCTGTTCTTCACGCTCACGGGCCTGTCGTTCCAGTTCCATCTCCTCCATGCGGCGCAGATCGTCCACACTGGGCTCATATAGATGCCAGATCGTATAGTGTGGTAGTCCGATCACTGAAAAGCCCATTCGTTTGGCCATCTGAAGGAAGACATAATTAGTATTTATGGTGCACGAGAATAAAGGGAAGCTTACCTTGCCGAATCCTTCGGTCTCCGCATGCCTTTCGAAGCTGAACGCTGGGAAGTGGACGCCTGCACGGAACACCCTGGCTTTGGCCAGAATGCTGACACCGCCAATTCCGTCCAGCTCCAGCTCCATGTCCGGGTCGCCATAAGGGTCGCGGAGGTAGGCAAGATGAGGCCGCCAGGTCGCATACTCGGCGTATCCCTCTACAATGACCGCGTCTTCATCGAGGGTTTCCGCCAGGGCCAATGCCGTCTCCGATTCTTGCCACGAGTTCAGATCATACGGCTGTTCTCCACCCAACCAATCCGGGAGCGGACGCCAAACATCTGGACAGACAGTTAGCCAGGCTTAAGTCAAGATTAAGGGCACCACTCACTTGGTACAATGACGTCCTTGTTGTGCCGCATCAAGTCCTCGATGATGGTACAGGGAGCCGTCTCTACATCCGCGTCTCGCCAGTAGACCCAGCTGTGAGTCGGACGAAGCGTTGCATTCAACAACCAATTCCGGGCCTGGGCCATCAACTTTCGCCGACTGGCCTGCGCCTCGAAGCCGTGCCGGCTCTCCACATCCTGCTGCACCTTCTGCCCGAAATCCTTTTGTATCACTGAGATCTCTCCAAAGCTCATCTTCGGGTCTGGGTCATTCTGGATTTCCTGGAGCATGCTGGACAGCATGCCGAGGGTGTCATCGCGCGAGTCCGACACCAGAAATGCGAGGTCGATGAGATTGTGAGGATAGGTCAGGTTGCGGAGATGCGAGAAGAACATGGGCAGGTGCGACGAGGCATCGCGCAGCGGTGTGCACATGAGAACTCGCTCCCCTCGTTCCCATCCCATCTCGGTTCCCTGCACCTTCGACAGGTCATAGTAGCGCACCGTCTCGAGTTGTAAGTCTTCGAAGGAGGAGAAGAAGCCGAGCGATAGGGTCGGAAGAACCGCGGCACGCCAGGAAGGGAAGATCAGGATTGTGATGAGGAAGGTGATGCCTCCGAGGAGACAAAGTCGTTGGAAGAGTTGGCGACGGCGGCGGAGGGCGGGGTGGGAGCGAGGTTGGAAGCTAGCAACAATCCATGTTAGCGCGAATCCGATTAATTGTACGCGTAAATTGCCATTGCTATGGATGGGATCTGCGCAGCCCCATTTGGCAGCGAGTGGCAGCTTTTCTGGAGAGCTGCCAGCAGGCAGACGACATACCGGCTGGGCGAAGGGGAGAAGGCGTCCCCGCGAGAGTGGGCGGGATAGCCCTTGGAATAGGCGTGGTGTCTATTCATATCTGCCACAGCATGAGCCGACCGGAGCAAGCAATCAATGGGCAGGCAAGCGGCCGTTGTTCCGCCCGGGTCAACAGGGCGAGGCCACGCTGCGGATGATCTACCTCAGCTCAGCGATTTAGGCGGTGGCTGAGGAACATGGCAGGGTGAGGAATGTAGGGATAAAAGGGGATGGATTCTGATTAAGGATCGAGCAGAGCAAAAGATGGAAAGAAGGGAATCATGAAGAATTGGGGTGGGAGGAAGATAGTAAGAAAGTGACAGATGGATCGACAACGGTGTTTCGTCTGGCCGAATCCGGGGGCTGCCGCTTGCGGCCGGATGCAACATTTGATTCTCAGGGGCAGACAATCCTATGTAATGACTACCGACAATTATGATGATTATGATCAGAACAATGATACTGACTGCTCTCCACCTGTCGCATCATCGACACCAGCAAACTGCCCATCTGTGCCCCATGGCGCAGGGCCGGCACGACGGATGCGGCCTCAAACTCACTCTCCAAGATATAGTACCGTTCCCTACGCCAGTTCCCCACAGTGTCTCGGTGGAATGCTACTTTGGCGATCGCCTTGCCCGGAACACTGGCTTTGTTGGTCGCGCTTCGGGATACCAGACGCAGGATCGGTCGCAGTCCAGACCGAGTCTGATGCGCGACTCGGACCGACCAGGGCGCAGCGGCCCTGAGCCGACTGGGACCCGACATTCCTCCCGGATCCAGCGTGAAGATGTCCAGCGAGATGTTGCCGGTCTAGAAGAACAGTCAGCGTGCTTTCTATGTGTCTCACATAGCTCATACTACTAACCCAGACCAAACTCCGTCGCAGCGCATACATGGCGATGCTGGCTATTAACTTGCTGCTGGCAAAGCGAACACGTCCCTCCTTGGCACTCAATGGAGTCCCCGGTGGACGCCCGCGGCGGTGGTCACGGTCGAAGTAATCCAATTGCCCTCTGGATGCCGCAGAGCACCCGATATTGATCACCTTGGCTCCCCCGAAGGACCCGTCCCCAGCCTGGAATGCCTCCAGCAAGCCGATGGTGAGCAAGAACGGCGCGATGCAGTTGGTTTGATAGACTGGGTCATGGCCATCTTTGGTGACACCGTCGACGACATAGGACGCTATGGCTGCGGAATGGATCAGGTCTACCACCGGTGGGATCACTTTGAGTCGGACTCGGTCGACGGTGCTTTTCGCAAACCCACATACGCAGTCCAGGTCGGCCAAGTCGAGTCGCACCACTTCCACTGACCTGGGCCCGATCAGACGGATTCTGCTCGTCACCTTGCGCACATCCTCGGCCTGGATATCTCGGGCTGTCAATAGAAGGTGAGCAAAGGGATGCTTTTTCGCAATGGCAATCGCTATCTCAGAACCCAGTCGCCCGTTCCCTCCTGTGATGATGACCGTTCCTGCAAGTGGCGTTCCCATTGCATTCAGTTGTCGTCAACCAACCTTACTGGGGATTGGGTGTCGACGTGGTTGACGCCAGATAAATTAGAAACGCATCACGGGTAGAGAAGGTCCATCAGAAAGAAACACCGAAAACACAGTATTTTTTCTAACGGCAGGGGCTTTCCACAGGCCCTTCAATGCATCCTCGAACTCAAAGATGATCGACCGAGCCAATATTCCGGAGCGACGAATGAAAACCCAGGGGAAGGATTGAGTTCAAGTGACCTGTAGCAGCGTATCTTAAGAAAAGAAACTCAAAAAGAAATTCAAAAAGAAAAAAGAATGAGCCAACTCATTAGAACATTCGCTGAATAACTTTTGACACGGTAAGGCGGGACCAATGGATCAACCAGAATATTCACATCTCGAAGCCAGCAAGGCTAACGATGAGACTGGTTTTCTTCATGATCGATCGACATTGACATTGGAGACGAGTAGGATGGCCGAAGGCCCACCGAATACCCTTAAGGTGATCTGTATTCGTGGAAAATATCGATCCAAGGGGTTGACTACTCATGCGTGATGGATCATATACAGATGGGGTACATCCATACAGTTCGTCTTTCCGTTTAGTGCCCACCCCCTCGCCGCTTTTTGCTTGCGAGACTCGATCACTGACCATTATAAAATCACATAGGCTCGCTCGCTCACTGAGCGACCCGGATCCACTTACTCCGTACGTACCGTGCATTTTTAGAGTACAAAGGAATGGATGCACGTAGTCCAGCTTCACTTAAGAGCTCATGAAATGCGCTGTCGAAACTTTTTGAGTTGGTCCTCACAACCATCCCCTGTTAACATGTATTCTCTTCAATTCTAATATTCTTTCTATTTACAAGTGTGCCGCAATAAAACGATGTTCTGTCAAGTCCTGAAGATGCATCTCATAAAGAAGAACATGAGTTTCCCCCAGATTTCTCGACTTGATTGAAATGAAAGAAGAAAGAAAATTGGATACCCTTCCGATCATACGGCCAGACAAAATTCAAACTTCACTATGGGTAGTAGCTATTGAAATAACCGGCCACTGGAAGTTTTCCGCTTTTCAAGAGCTCGTGGGAAGTATGACCCAATCTGTGGATGTCGAGATCAATATGTGGGAGTGATGGTACTGGCCAAAGAATCACAGAAACAGGATCCATCAAAACACGAAGGGGCTTCAGATCCACAGTACGCAGAGCAATCACTTGAAGCGGTGCACGATGGTGCTGTAGAAGAAGGAGCGGGTGTAGATGTCCGAGGCGCACATTCGCAACGTAAATTCCAACACGCATAATTCTCCGATCCACAGTATGAAGCACATTCACTGCGAGCACTGCAAGTTGGTGCTATAGAAGAAGACGAAGTTTTTGAAGGCATCAGAGGCGTGCTGGAAGGGCTGGAAGGTGTACTGGTCGAGTTGCCATAAGAGTTTGGATCTTCCATGTACTCGCATACCACATCCATTGGGTCTTTGCCAACTTGATGGCAGTTGGGATGTGGAACGGAATGTAGTGTTAAACTATCAGCTTCCACTGCGGCAGTACCTTCCCAGTCATAGGCAAGCATAGTTGCGTTGGTCACGTTCGCCGATCCCGGTCCGAAAGAGTCTGGGTCGTCATCGCGCTTTAGTTCTCGGCGAGCCCATTCATATTTTCCGGTTGACCCCCAGTTGAATTTTTTATTGAACCAATTGAAGGTAAATAGCCATGCATGGTTATCCGCTAAGCCAAAAGTTAGCATGAGAACCAAGAGGGTATACTTGGTGCTAGTAGTCGATCACACACCACTTAACTGAACCTTCCAATTGATCTGAAGCTTTTTGGATTTACGATCTGGTGCGAAAAAAAGCCAAGCAAATTTTGCACACGGTATAGCGCCGTAAACATCCTAGGAAATCATTTATTAGTTATACTTTAGAACCAGAGAAAAGAAGGATAGAACACATACTATCTCCCCACTGGGCTTCCAAGGCGGGTGTTCGCCAGGGATGTTAGCTTTCTGATCATCGACTATGCTTTATATTAGCAGACATACAGTAGTGACCAAATTGAGAACTTACTGTAAGGTGAAATTCCCGTAGCACTTTGTGCATGGAAAAATTCGTGCGCCATAACATGCTCCCTTGACGTCAAATACCGCACGGCGTATTCAGGGTAATGAGTTTGCTCAAGTTTGCTCAGAGATGACACCGCCCAGTCATCGAAGAACCTCGGACAGAAGATAATAACCGACCCTAAATCAGGGCAGTCAGAGTAGGTAGGATAGAAAAACTTTGAAGCACGCTGTACATACCCCTGCCAGTAAGACCATTACTATAAGTGGTAGCGGTCCTAAGAACATCAGTAATCTGCACCACCTGGAGTATAATCATACTTACACCCCCTGCTTCTTGCATCTATCTCCGTCAGAATTCTTCATATCGTGCCATTTACATGTCAATGTGATCCTTTTTCGTTGCTCCATGCTTTGCCAACCCGATCGCCCTTTTGTGGGAAAATTTATAACCCGATTGAAATTGTCTACATGAGTCAATATCCGTTGTAAAAGAAAGTTAGAGAATACTTCAGATATAGGACTCACCTATTATCCCCATGTACATGTCACGGAATTGAGGATGCTTTTAGAGAACATCCTATTAGCCTCGCATAATATCCGGGAAGTGTACTGATAAACCAACCTCCCAGTTCTTGTGTGTGTCATCGTTTCCTCCGATTTCTTGGTTCTGGACGAAAAATCGATTCCATCCTGGGGTATGATAGATGTCGTCCTTATCCTGCTCCATAAAAGGGATAACTGCTTTTAGAGTCTCGACCAAGATATTGAACTCGGTATCACTGCATTGAGCAGCTGCTTCCTCAAAATAGATACCCCTATATTCCATCTGAAGGTCTTGGGCTCTACTCGCTCTTTTAGCTAGCGAGTGGGAGGACTCGCTTTTTCTCTCATGGGGAACCGCAGTCGATGGACCAGCCAGGAACAGACAAGCGACCAAGAGAAAGTTCAGGATGCCTCCCATGTGGTGCATTGTGACGAAACCGTCAATTTCGTGTTTGGGACAGAAAACTTCAAGAGAACAACAGAGCAAACTTGATTTTTGCTCGATCAGAATGGAAGGGGAATTGAATCAAGAAACTGTGGCACATGGAACCTTTTAAATATGAATATTTCATTATCTAATACAAAAGACAGCAGCAGTATTGCCAATTCTCTCTGCAGATCAATAAAGTGGCAATTGGGACTGACACTGAGTAGATCGACAGGGAAGATACCAACAGAAAGGATCCAACAATAGAGGACTCCTGAAGACGATCAATCTACAGAAGAAACGGGCCAAGACCCACCCCTGCAGTAATTACCGGAGAGAGAAGCTGGGTAACTATCTACGTACAGGGCGGCTATGTGAATGCTCTGAAAGGAATACGCGACGTGTAACTTTCCTTAGCCTAACTGCATCTGCGGTGATGATCTATCTAGAAACACTTAAGCAACATATTTTGTCCGAGAGGATCAATGGTTTAACTAGAAAGTATTTTGAGAAGGGTACCGATACCACCTTTCTCGAAAGACGATAGTGCTCGAACCTTGGGTTGTCTTTATCTCAGCGGCCCTAGGTGTAGATCATAATTAACAGGCACAACGAGAGTGGACAAGGAGAATTGGAAATACCGCTGTACGTAGCGCTATAGCGCTTGAACCAACTTAATTTTAGCCGCATCGCCACCTGTCCCGGCAGGATCCCTTACCAGGAAGTTGCGCACGAGTCATGACCATCAGGCAGCTAGATAGTACTTGGGGGCTTGAGGTGTGTTTCAGCCGACCTTTGAGCAGTCTTAGTACGCTCTGCGTCTACGGAGCTGTATGTTCATTTGTAGTCTCATTTACCACGATCATCGCTGATGACCACCACTATTGTGTAAAGACACGATCATTTGTTCTTATCGGGACAACCCGAGCTTCCTGAACAGCGAAGTTTGGGACTCTTTTGATAAGCCTCTGATGCTCGAGTGTAGCCATAATGAAGGGGCTCAGGTACTGCACTGTAGTGGTTGTAGCTATAAATAGTAAATGCTCATCATATGTACCAGCTCGGACCAAATACGTACAAATCCTACAGGAAGAGGGGTGGCTAACCCCACTGGGGGTCGCACAACATGGGGCGATGACCGAACAATCCGAAAAACAAATGGGTCGTAGACCCTACCATGTCACCTGATTGATCGACTTTGTTTCAATCATGTACTCGCCCCCACGTGGAACTCACGCAGCGGGTGGGGGTCTGACTTGGGGGCGGTTATAGGGATTGAGGATCTACTTACTCCGTAGAAATCCTCTGACTGTTCCTAAGTGCTTCTAAGCTTAAGTGATGTCACAGACAGCGGAGAATTAAATTGAATTTGCTAAAGAGAGAGGCCTCATGCGTTAATATCGATTAAGATCTTGACATGCTTGTCCTTCTCATTGATGAGGGCCCGGAACCCTTTCTCGACCACTTCGTGCATGCTGATTTTGCTGGTGATCATTGGCGCCGGTTTAATTTCGCCTGCGACTCACAACATATTAGTGAAATTGATCTATCTCAAGAGAGATTGGCGTACCCGAAGCAACTGCCTTAATTACAGCATGAAAATCTGCGTCATCGTACACCGCGGCTCCAGTGACATGCTTCTCAAACAGGACGACAGCGAATGCATCGATGACGGGCTTCTTTTCCCACAATGACACGATAACCGTAGTCCCGCGCACTCGAATACTAGCCATGGCGGTGTCCAGCCCTGCTTGTACGCCAGAACATTCAAAGGCAATGTCTGCCCCATTTGCATCGCCAGTTAGGGCACGAACCTGCGCGACCACGTCCACTTCAGTGGGGTTTAGGATGGTTGTGGCACCAAGGGTTTGGGCAAATAGACGTCGTCGCTCGGATACTTCTGCGACGATGATGTTTTTGATACCGCGTGCCTTTAGTACCTGGACAATAGCCAGACCGATGGGCCCTGCTCCAATCACTAGCACGGCGTCTGTATCTTGAATGGAACTGCGGCTGACTGCGTGCCAGGCTACAGCGAGAGGTTCAACCAAAGCTATAGTATTTGGATTAGGACATTGATTTATAAATGTATGAAGTGGTCTTACCTCCAATATCCAGAGGGATAGACTCCGGTAAGAGAATTGCATGTTTCTTGTCCACAACTACATGGTCTGCGAGACCACCAGCATCACCTGCATATAGTTAACATAAAGAATTCCTAGAGAACACAGTCACAGGTCGCCTACTGCTATACCCAATGAAGCCCAAACTATCGCAACAGTTTATTCTGCCAATCTGGCATCTCGGACAAGTCCCATCGCTCAGGTTAGGCTTAACAGCGACTTTGTCACCAACTTTCAGCCCGGTCACTCCGAAACCGACTTCTTCAATGATTCCGCTGAATTCATGGCCTAGAGTGGTGGGGAGCTTTGCACCAGTGACGGGGTGCGGATGAACCGGCACGGCCATTGGTCCCGCGAGAAACTCATGGAGATCTGTCTTGGATTAGAGATGCTCGCTTCAATGTTGAGAGATGACCAACCACTGCCGCATATTCCTATAAAGGCAGGCTGGATCTTTTTAATCGTCAATGTCAGTGATGAATCTCAAGCTTGGCATACGAACTTGAGACGAATAAAATCTGGGATACCTTGACCTGACCGCTGCCGCACACCGGCTCCTCAATCTCATCGACACGGATATCCTCTCGTCCGTGGAATCTAACAGCTCGCATGGTAGCTAAGGAATTAATTTCCTTCACTTTTGGTTTACTCTCGGATCAGAGAGAGGTCGAGCTAAGTATAGTCAACGCCAGGGGTGAAAAAGCTAGACTCAAACCAGTCTGTCAAGCGGTTGTCCTACATTGAGATTCAGACCAGAGTGAACCTGTCTCCCCGCAGCTCCATATCAGGGTAAGCCTCGGCCGCTAAAAGTTGCTATCGATCGAATTGCCGGAATCCAGGGTAAACTGCGGAAACATGCCGTCTCTTGGCATGTCTACTCTCTTCCCCGCACTGTATAAATCAGTAAGTATAAGACATGGATCACAGTAGATTCATACGACCTGACCACATATTCAGATTTCGTCCTTGACTGGGGGGCTCAATTTGGAATTTAACCCAGCTAATTCAGAATGGAACTGCGCACGAAAAATCTTTTTCGAAAAAAAGCTTGCTATCAGTTAAATTAAGATATATCAATAGCTAATTGTAGTCGTGCGTAACGATTCCGCCACTAAATTCAACAACATAGAGCCGCTGCCGGACGAAAAGCTACATGAGATACTACGTACTCAAAAAATTTGATACCATGGTCCCACGAGCAGTTTTGGCGACATGCTGTGCCATCATGAATGGGATGAACAGGCAGAAGCAGCTCGATGGCGCCGAAGCTGTGTCCTGTCCCCTGTTTGAGGAAACGTTTAAGACTTCTAACGACTACGCCGAGCGCTGAGGGTGCTATACCAGTAGAGGACATGTGCTTCGGGACTACAAATATTATCTGTGTTTAACGGAGCCATAAGGACCTCGGTTGCACGTCCAGGGAGATATCCGAAAGTCGCCATCACTCCAGGATGGCACATTATAATAATTGCTGAAGACTGTGGTGGTGCATATATACTCGCGCCAAACTCGCTCTGCCATTTCTGGTCCTGGGGATGTAACTGTGAAGAAGTACGGTGAGTGGCAAGTGTCCAAGGTCACCGAATACACCCTCAAGGCTGGATTTCGACAAATCTGTGAGGTGAGTGCTCGAAAACGGTCTTGAATTTGAGCAGGTCTAGAAGGATCAAGACTCAGAATTCTTTATCAGGAAGAGCAAAAAGCTGGATAACGCTCGACGGTTTGTATGAGGGCATTCAGCGCTGGGTGGAGGACGTGAAGAAAGCTGTCCCTATTCATGAATTAATGTAGCAACAACCTGCTTTGACATAGGAACATAGGAAAGTTTGGGGTTGTAATTGATCATAATGGTAATATTAAATAATTCTGTGGGAATGAAAACTGAAGTCTAGTGGAAGAACAAGCCGTACAATACACGTATTCGAGAGAGTAAATGTTAAGTGCGGGGTTGCAGAACTTTTAATGATCTGAATCGCTAATAAGCTACGCCTCTCTTGCTCAATCAAATTGCACGAGAAACGATTGCGTGTTCGTAGCATGGTGGGTAGTTGAGATGAAGAGTTGACGTGTTGGGGCGCGATCGCGACTTTCTTGTTATGGCCCTTTTTTGGACCCTTCTTGGCCCTTTTTTGGCTTGCCCAAAGGATCAAGGAGTGTTCGACTGAAATAAACTCTAATGATACGAAAGGGTACATATTATGATCTAGGGACCCAAATCTTTTCTCTGGAGCCATTGCAGAGGCCAGCGTTCTGCTTGCTTCTAGTTAAATACTTCTTCTATCTACGCTTCCTTTCTATTGCCTGCGATATGTGAAAGACTCGTTTCCACTTTATTTCAAATGCAACGAAATGAAGCTCTACGCTAGTTTCTTGACCTTTGCGATGCTCACAATGACCTGTTTGGGCTCGCCTCTGGGGATGGAGAAGAGAGGGCATATAGGACGTAAGGCTAATTCTTTTCATACTCTTTGGATCCGAAGTCATCATATCTGACTTGTCTCGTTTCTAGCTGGCAATGCTTGTTTTCCAGGTGGGAGATGTGTCGAAGGAACTGTTTGTGTGTATGATAGTGTGCACATCGTCGGCTCTGCAATGCACTGCAAATACATAGTATGATCGTTTCTATACCCTCGGGCGCATTCGCGCTGCGCATTTCATCTTCCTATACATATAAACCCCCGCAGACATTCAACATCAAATCGCAAATATATTCTTGCGATGACGCATACGTAATTTTATGGTGTAGAATGTAAAATATGGTAGTCTCCGTGGGCCAGATCCATGGACTACGGTTAGGCACTATCGGTCTGAAGAAGTTTGCTACAATCCTTCCGTGGGAATCAACAACGAGCATGGCCAAAGCTGGTCGTCTTACTACGACATAATATTACGCCCTGCGAAGGGCCAATCCTTCGATATTTCCAATGACTAGACGTTACGCTTTGAGTGTTTATGAGAAACTTCTCCTTAATTGAGACCTAGCAACTTTCTGAGACTTCTTCAATCTTCCAGCCTGCGTGCCGAAAATGGTCTCTAGCACTCTCTTCTGGATCGACCACGTTGATCTACCATTCGAGGAAGACAACACAGAATAGCGAGCGTACCATAGCAGCTTTATGTAAAATACAGGCATTGACGTCTCGCAGCCGTATTATAAAATACCAAGTTCATTCTAAGAAGCGGTCTGGGACTGGCGGGAATCAAGTCGTAGGAGAATTCGAAACTGCTGGACTTGGCTTTGTTCCGTGTTTTAAATGGCAGCTTCAAGTCCGCTGAAACTAGAACTCGTGCCCCCCGAGGGTAGTTCGGCCCTCATGAACCTTTGGTTCGCGGCATTTTCAGACCCTCATTCCCGACGACTGTTTCCTAATACCCCTGGAGTGCGGAAGTGGCTGGAAGATGCGATCCGCGATGATTTACTTCGGCGACCGTTCCAGCGCTATGTACAAATGGTTGACCCCGGATCCAAAGACGCCAACGGCCAACCGCGAATAGCCGCCTATGCAAAATTGGACTGGTCTACGCCCGAAGAACGTGGACCACGCTATCCGCCGTGGAATGACGATATGCCCAAGGAGGATTGCCAGGCCTTTGTGGATAGAGGGGAGAGCAGTAGGAAGCGTGTTATAGGTGACCAAAAACACATCTGTATGTTTGCCTACGCGATTGCTGCATCCGGTAGTTGTACTAATCATTCATGGGGGTGAAGTTTTGGATCTGGTTGCTACACACCCCGATTATCAACGGCGAGGGGCTGCTTCTAGGCTTGTTCAATGGGGATGTGATCTGGCCGACGTCGAAGGCGCTGACATGTATGTGAGTGCCAGCAAGGACGGCGCTAGCTTGTACGCAAAGTTTGGGTTCGTCGATTATAGTAACCCTGGCCAAGAGACAATCACGATGATTCGCCGAGCGCGGCGTCCGATCTGAATAGAGATTAATTGCCCTTCGAATTTCCAGCATGGGGATCACCACTAGTCCTGATCCTGAAGATATAAGGGGCCACGGTTGTAGAATCACGGGCCAGGCGTAGTAGTTCCGTTCGGGGTATGTTGTATCCGGTCGTCTTATCAAGATAACGGCCACAATCATTTGGTTCCAATGGTGCGATGAGATGGTGGAGCACGCTAAAATGAGTCACGCTGAGTGCTTTTCACTCTTCGGCCTCTCAGGTTGCAGCGATGGCGATTCGAGTGGGCCGCGCACCGGGGGGACCACCAATCACGCCGGATCCGCGGGGGCGCAGTGAATCTAGGGCCATCCGCAGGTGTCTCAGGTGTCTACTTAAAGCAACCCCAGGCTGCCCTCCTTTTCGTCTTCTTCCTCAGGACACGACTCGTCGTTGTGACAGAGTCGAACTGCCACTTGCCGTCCCGGTTTGCTTCCATCTTGTTCTAAAACAGAAGATCATCCACGGGTCTGCCAAGGCCCGTCCCAAGAAATCCAGTCATGGCCGCCAGCACCTGTAGCAGCGCCGCGGCGGTTCGCCAGTCGACCGTCTTCTTCCAACCTGCCCAGCTCGAGTCACCAAACAATCCACCATAGGCTCACGGAGCGGTCCTCCTTGTCTCCCTGGCATCATGACCTTAATCACCATTTTATGTCTGCTTCTGCGTGTTCTTCTGCTTCTTCTTCTTCGCTGGCGCCATTGGAGTTCGACTATGCTGCTGTTACTTCGGCTGGGTTTGATGATACCGTTTTACCAGAGTCGGAACCCTGGACGGAGTCGGAACTTTCTTCCTTTACTGATGGCGACTGGAACGTTTTTTCTTTCAACCCCCATCCACCGCCTTATCCTGTCGACTGGCCCGTTCTTGGTCCCGACGACGCCTTCATGCCTGATCTTGCTTCGGTCTCCGATCCCGAGAGTCAGAGCTTGATGTCATCTTCCTACCATCCCGGTTCGACACACTCGCAAGGTATGATAGGTCTGCTCGTTTGAACCATGCCGTGTCTAATGTCCTTCAAGATAGCCCCTCACACCCATCTCCTGTCTCTCAACTTCCAAAATCAGCCACTACCGCTTTATCCAGCCCTGCCACCTCTCAGGGTGACGAGGCATTGCACCCGGTGGATTCTTCTCGTGTCGAGAAACGTCGGTTGAACACCCTCGCCGCCCGGAGATGCAGGCAGAGGCGCGTTGACCGGATGAAGACTCTTGAAGATGAGTTAGCAAGCGTGCGACGGGAACGGGACGAGTTAAAGCTGCGGGTGTCGAAGCTGGAGGGAGAGACCGATGCGCTGAGAGGGCTTCTTAGCTCTCAGAAGCGTTAGGGTCGCTCGTGCGCAGGCTTAGATGAGGACTTGAAAATCAAATTTCCAGTGCTATTCAGATCCGTTTCCAGTCGTGTAAGATGTAAATCAAGAACCGAGCAATGCGGGTCTCCGGTCAGGATCCATTTCTGGTGGTCCAAGTGTGGCTAATAAGCTTATTTTTTGGGCCATGCTTGTTTCATGGCAATGCTTGTCACTGGACCGAACAATGTTATTGATCTTGTCAATGAATCTGGTTTGCTTCTCTTCTCTCCGAGTCCCCTCGCTCTTTCCTCTGCTCCTTCCGTCTTGCACCTGCCTTCCAACCCACTCACGGTCCCCCTTTCTCTGGCCAGCGGCTCTTCTTCCTCTTCTCCTCTGTTGCCTCTCTACTCCTATCCTGCTTCCCTCCCACACCATGGCGACTCCAATAGGGCCTGCCATACCTGACCTTCCCCCGAAGGTGCGAAAGCTGGCATTCTGGCTCCGAGCTTATGATCGAAACCCAACTATCGAAAGCCCTGTTCCCTTGGGTGAGGCGAGACTCATAGTCAATTTTGTCACGTCCACATATACCACCATCGGAGCTGCGCGCGGAAAGAGCCGGTATTGGTTCCCTCCTGCTTGGAAAACGGACAATGGAAACGTCCGAAAGGCGATCCAACGATTCCTCGCGGGTACCAAGTGTCTTCCTCCAAGCGACACCTTCATCGCATGGAAACCGAAACTCAGTTCTCTCCCGGATCTGCCCATTGAGGTGATCCTTGTTATCGTTGAAGATTTGTCTCTGAGAGACTTCAATGCCCTCATTCGAACCTCCCGCCGCTTGCATAGCCAACTGAACGGGGAACTCTACGTCTGTAGCAGGGTCGGCGCCTCCAACCATGCCCTGTATTGGGGGTTCAAACATGACATGATTGGGACGGTGCAGCATGTGCTCGACACGGGCATAGATCCCTTGGAACAAGTCCCAGGAGAGACTTGTCCGCTTTACCTGGCCATCCAGAAGGAAAGCGTCAATGTGATCAGGCATCTCGTGTCCCAGGGCGGCGCAGTTGCACAATACCTCAACACCAACATCGTCGAAACTTTTGTCACTCGGCTCCAATCTGTTCCACAGTATCCACTTCCTTTTATTCAACCGCCTTCTGTCGAAGCACTCCTCCGGATGGGGGCCGACTCCAACAAACTTTACGACAGCCGTTGGACAATGCTCTGGTTTGCGATCCGGGGCAAATGCGATGTCACGGTCGACAAGCTTTTTGAAATCGGACGTGCCGCCCCGGTGACGACAGAGTTTTGGGAGATGCAGAAAAAACCTATTGGTCAATCGGAGGTTGCCACCAGGAACGTTAGGACATTGCTGAAATACGGGGCTGATCCCAACGGTAGATCAGAAGGCAAAACCACTGCGCTTCATCTGGCTTGCGCCCTCTGTGAACCTGACGTCGTCAAGCTTTTGTTGGAGGCCGGTGCCAACCCCAATCCGAGAAATTCTCGGAACCACACTCCTCTTCACGCCGCAGCCTGGACATGTGGTGATGAAGACTTGATCGATGCACTTCTCTCCGCCCCCGCCATCAAGATCAATGCGACGGACAACTTTAGCCAGACGGCATTGCACTTTGCGGCACGGGCTCGGTGTGAACCTTATGCCCAAGTCTTCGTGGAGAAGTTGTTAGAATGCCCACTCATTGAGGCCAATGCCCGTGACTCCAGCGGAAAGACTGCACTGTATTGCGCAATCGAGTCGAAGAACTTTGGCATCGCTCGCAGGCTTCTTCGGTCAGAGAAAGTGAACCCCAATGCTGGCGCGCGAGACAAGCTTCCTTTGCTCCTGGCTGTGCGACGCTACGACTTTGACACTGTGAAGTTTCTCCTGGAATCAGGCTTAGTCAACCCGGACCAGCAGACTGAAACGGGGATGACCGCTTTGCTGCAAGCCGCTAAGAATGGCCATATTCCCATGACCAAAATGCTGCTCCGAGCCGGGGCGAACCCGGATTTGGCTGATAGAACGGGGATCACAGCACGACGGGTGCTCATTCGACCACTTATTCAGGTGAATCTCCCATCCTAAAGAAGATTTGATTTGAGGGTGAATGGAGGATGGATGGCTAGGGAAATTATTGTATGGGCAATGGGAGCTGGAGTGAAGGTGAGAAGGCATGGGCTGAGATCGTTTGATGCATCTGGATTGAAACCTCCAACCAGGATGAAACACCATCAACAATACCTAGAAACGGGTCCATTGTAGCCATCTATAGATATCCGCTCCATCATTTTAGACCTGACCTAATGTCATCGTGCTTTTTGCTCTCTGTACGCCAGTAATAGTCATGGTTCCTTTTTAGGGCAAACCAGCCACGCTGAGTCATCCTGCTGATCGCAAAAAAAAGCCCTAGTTAGAAGACAGGACGAGTCGGACTGGTATATGACTGCCTCGATCAATTGCAAACTCCCTCCCTCTTTACCTTCCTACCGTCCCATCCCACCATCTGGGATTCCAGCCAAGTTGTCGCTCCTCCAGCTGCTGCGGTCTTCCGTACGGGCTACCCCGCGGATCCTTTTATCGCGCGCCCCTCCATTTTTTCCTCCTTCACCCTTCCGCTTCCCCCTCCACGCACTCACCATGGCGACGGCTGCAGCCCCCCAGTCCTCTCTCCTCTCCCTTCTGTACCGCTCGTACCCAACCGCCATCTCCCCCGATGCCACCGAGCCCGACTACCTGCATGCCTCGCCCAAGATTTTCCCGAAGGTCAACTTCGGCGAGCCCGAGCAGGCCGACATCAAACAGTGGCTGAACACCGTCTCGGGCCTGAATGCTGCCGTAGTCAAGGATGAGAAGTCCGTCACCGAGACCATTCTGGCCCAGATCAACACCCACCTGGCCACCCGCACCACCTTGCTCGGCACGAAGCCTTCGGTCGCCGACATTGCTGTGTATGCTCTCGTGGCGCCCATGGTGGAGAAGTGGTCGCCTGAGCAGCGCACCGGCGAACATGGATACCATCACATTGTGCGACATGTCGATTTCGTGCAGAACTCGCAGCTGTTCGCTCTGCAGATCCCTGAGGAAGAAAAAATCTCCATCGACGTTAACGATGTCAAGTTCGTGCCGAAGCCCGTCGATCCCAAGGAAGAAAAGGAGCGCAAGAAGCGCGAGAAGGCCAGTGCGCAGAGCCCAGACTCTATTGCCCAAGGCACCAAGCCACTCGTTGTCGGCCAGGGCAAACCAGAGCAGCCCGCGGACGCTGCGGGGGCTCCGCCCAAGACCAACAAGAAGGAGAAGAAGGAAAAGAAAGAGAAGCAGCCCAAGCCCCCACCAGCACCTGCGGCTCCGCCATCTCCTTCGCTGATCGACCTACGCGTCGGCCATATTCTCCGTGCTATCAACCACCCCAACGCCGACTCGCTGTACGTCTCCACCATTGACTGTGGCGACGCCCCGGGAGCCGATAACACATCCCTGGACGAAGAGACCGGCAAGACGGTGCGGACTGTGTGCTCCGGTCTGAATGGCCTTATCCCGCTGGAGGAGATGCAGGGCCGCAAGATCGTGGCCGTCTGCAATTTGAAACCCGTGACCATGCGCGGCATCAAGTCCGCCGCCATGGTGCTGGCCGCATCTCCGCGCGTTGCAGAAGGCGAGGACTCCCACGGCGGTCCCGTCGAGCTTGTCAACCCGCCTACCGATGCCCCGGCCGGTGAGCGCGTGACCTTCCAGGGCTGGAGCGAGGGCGAGCCCGAGAAGGTGCTGAACCCCAAGAAGAAGATTTGGGAAACTTTCCAGCCTGGTTTCACCACGACCGACACCCTCGAGGTTGCTTTCGACAGCACTGCTGTCCCCTCTGTGCAGGGCCAAGAGGGCAAGCCCGCCCTCGGCAAGCTGGTTACCGCCTCTGGAGTTCTTTGCACTGTGAAGAGTCTGAAGAATGCCACGGTGCGGTAAAAAAAAATTGGCCTTAGCGCATACCCATGAGAATATGAAAATCTAAAACGCTAGACACAAGAGAGTGTTTCGTATAGCCGTACATTGAAAGAATTTCCCGCGCTTTTCTTAAACAGTGTCCCACACATTTCATATGAGACTAGATCAGGCCGAGGAAGAAGTGAAAAAACAATAATAACAAGCAGATTTCTAAATCCAGTCAAAAAACTGATGTATATGTATTGCAGCGGGCAAATGCCTCCTGCTATCATGGCGTATGTAAGGCGTGCTCGTCAGTAGTAGCACAAATCAGGCAATTCTTCCATCTACAACTCCGCTAAAGGTCTCCCCTCAGATAAATCTCGGTACATACTCATACGGCCCCGGTACAGTAAGTATGTCCTTCCAGGGGTTCCGTCATATACAACGCCAACTCATTTCGGCGACGCAAACCCAAGAGATGGGCCCCGTTTATCAAAGACTACGAAGAAGAGTCTAAGAAACAGGTCGCCAAAGATCTGAAGCCCAGCTTGGCTTGACTGGAGGCCACCAAAGCATTCTGAAACTGCCGTCAGTCCCGACCTTACCAAAAGGGAGTAGGTAGAGTTAGAAGGACTTACCTGTTTCACTGGCAGTAGGAGTCAATGAAGTGGTACTGTAGTTAAGCATTGCCCCCGGAACAGTTACTGGGAAATTATCTCCCAAGGTGACATGCAGATCGGGCAGATCCGCTGTGCAAGGAAAGACATATCCCTGGAAGGAGGACGAGAACGAGGACCCCGGAACTTGCTGGTAGTATGCGCTGACAATGTCAGAACTAGCCAGCAGAAGGGTCGTGCCCGTGTCAGCGATAGCCCTGGTATTCTTGCTGCTGCTTAGTTCAACATTCCCAGCTTTGAAGTTGCCTACGTCGAACTCCCAATACCCCCTAGACGAGTCAACGCTGATGTTCGCCAGAGTGCCGGTGTATTTAGAGTGATCGATCTTGCCGAACTCGTACTCGCTCACGCCGTCCACGCGCAGCAGTGCGGTCAGGACGGGCTCCTCGAGCCGTGGCTCCACGTTGTCGAAGAATGTCTTCTGGGGGCCTGGCACAATGCTGTTGAGGGATTCAAAGGCTAGGCCAACGAGTCCGTCGGAACTGGGGTTGTCTTCGAATTGAGAAGAGACCTCTGTCGGTAGTCCAAAAACTTGGTCTGTCACGCTAACGCCCCCTATCGACACTGTGTCTATGCCGACAAACCCGTAGTTATAGGAAGCGTCTCCGTAGACGTCCATGAAATAGCCGTTCTCGAGTAGCTTGAAGGTTTTGGATTGTGTTGAGTTGTATACCGCCCGATTGACTCCATCCCAAGTGGTTAGTCCGGTGTATGTGTTCATCACCCACCTGTAAGCAATTCAGCGATTTGTCTTCCCACAAACTGGAAAAATAAACCTACATGGTTGAAGACCCAGTATCGAAATCCATATTGAAAGTCTGTCCTCCAATAACAACCGGCGACACATACTCAGATCCTCCCTGCACGAGGGTCGCGCTGACTTCTCCCGCTTCATCCGTCTCCGTCTCTGACTTTGAGCTCATCTGGTAGGACTGATACGGCGTATCAAAGGTCATCGGCATGCCATATTTCCTGTATGCTTTCTGCAGCGCCGTCGGGCCATGGGCGACATAGTCGCTGCGCCTGAGTCGTTCAACCTGGAAGGACCTGCCTTGTTGCTTGGAAGTTGGTACCGAGAGAGCGTTGTAGCTCAAGCAAAGTAGTAGAAATATAACGAGAGAACGCATTTTCAGCTCGATGTATTGAACACGGTGATTAAAAATGACTTATCGAGCCAGCTCCTGGAGTAAAAAAAAGCAAGATTGTGAGGCCAGCTTCCAGAGCTTAGCTTTTTAATTTTCGAAGAGATGAAAATGTGTTGATGTCTCAATGAATGACAATATATGATCACAAAGAACGTGTAGAACCCATCCCCGAGTCAAAGAATGAAAGACTGCCGCGTGCGATTGAACACTCAGGGGGGATTGAGTCTCCATCTTTATACGAATCAAACAAAACGCTTACTCTAAGATAAAGCAAAACACACATCGCAATGGCCTACGTAAATCATACTTTCTTCACGGTTCCCTGAGTGGTGGACATGGCTTGTCATTCCGCCAGTGTGGGTCTACCTCACTCCCTTTGCTCTGTGCAAAGATACAGCCAATTATTGGTCGTTTCATATTCTCGCAGCAGCGCTAAGTCAGGGGTTGATAGAGAAATGGCAACTACACTCTGTGTACCGCCAAACATAAGAATTTTTATGAAACGCTGAAGCGCTAGGCACGTTTCATAAGGGACGGTGATGGCCAATGCCCTACTCCCCCCTGAAACTGCAGTCAGCAAAGAGAAACAAGGACGAAGACAGTTCCGGTTACAAGTAAAGACAGCTTGATTCTCGAAGTCACAGCTAGTGGTTACTATCCTTGGGCTCTCTATCGGCGGGTCTTGATTTCAAACCACGAATTCCCCGGAGAGTTCGGCGTACCATCTACATAGCCTGGATGAACTTCAGCGAATGGTCTATAAGGCTCTTTTGATTCGATTATTTTCATGAGAGTACAAACTTTTATATAACTCGTTTAGTCATTACTTCGCTCTTCAAACCAAACCAATAATATGCACGTCTTTTTCATCTCTTGTCAAATCCACCCTTCCGGTATATCCTTCTCACCGACGTATTCGATAAGATGTATCGTAAACTTGTCACTGTTTGACTTTATCAAAGACTTATCATCGCCCTAACCAAGGAAAAACTGGCGCCGTCTGATGAGGCTTGGAAATGTAAGAATTTACGCCGAGCTTTACCATCAAGGGAAATGATCTTGGCCTGGTAGAGCATATGCATCCTTCGTTTCTTAACCGCCGTTGGATTGACAGGGTTCAGATTGGCGGCGTCAATTGTCATCCAATTCCCGCGTGTATAAATGGCCCTAGTCCCACTACTTCTGCTTTGCCAGCACACTTTGGCGCTTAAATTAACAAGGCTACAGACCCTTCATACAGCACATTTGCAGTCACCTACAGACAAATACTTCGATCTATTATTAGACAGAGCCCGTGGTACTTCAGCCCGGTTTTTGACAAATGCCTGCTGAAACCTCAGCCCGCACGCCCTCATACAAGCGGCCGCAAATCAGAAAGGAAACAGATAAGAGGAAAAATGGTAAGTATAGGCGCGAATTTCATTCAATGTATCTAAGCTATGTAACGTTGAAAGTCGTAAGCCATCTCAATCAAAAACCATGGTATCCAGTTGAAATCTATGCCCCCAAAACAAAGCGCCGATAGGAAGGGAATGGTAACCTGCTTCCTGAAAAAGAATGCACCACGCTCAAAAGACAACAGTTGAAACCCCTTGAATCAAGCAATCATACCCTCTGGCAAAACATCATCAGCCTTCTCGCCGACAGCTTCACCAACAGCGCGTACAACGCGCTTAATCGCCTTGGAGGCAGGGCTATCCGGAAAGTTGTCGATGAAGCTCTCTCCGAAATCACAGGACATGCCGACGCGCGGATCAAGCGGCACAGCACCAAGGAAAGGAATACCCATCTTCTTGGCAAGACGTCTACCACCGCCAGTTGTAGCGCGGAAGATCTGTGACTCATGTGTGCAGTTCGGGCAGACAAATCCGGACATGTTCTCCACGAGACCCAGGACGCGAATGCCTGCCTTGCGACAGAAATCCACCTCCTTGCGGACGTCGAGCAACGACACTTCTTGCGGGGTAGTAACAACCACCGCGCCATCGACGCCAGACTCCTTGAGCAGCGAGTTGACGGACAGGTGTTCGTCCGAGGTGCCAGGCGGGGTATCAACAATCAGATAGTCGAGCTCGCCCCAATCGACGTCCTTAAGGAACTGCTTGATCAGGCCGTTTTTCTTGGGCCCGCGCCAGATAACCGCATCATCGCGGTTGGGCAGCATGAACTGCACGCTCATTGCGCCCAGGTTGTCTGTTACCCAGACGGGACTCCATCCTGCGTTGCTCACGTGAATAGTTTCGGACTCCACGCCCATCATCTTCGGAATCGAGGGTCCGCAAATGTCGGTATCCATGATTCCCACGGTTGACTCTGGGTTGGCGGCAAATGCGTGTGCTAGCAGTGTGGAAAAGGTGGATTTGCCCACCCCGCCTTTGCCGGAGAGGACCAGGATCTTATGTCGGATCGAAGCGAGCCGTTCCGTGATGATGGGAATGTCGAGATCGGGACCCTTTGGTGCGGATGCACAGATTTGCTGGTTGGGGCAGCCTGCGCATGCATCGCCTTGACCGGCTTGTTCGGATTCAGGGCCGGGACAGTGTTCTGGGGGAATTGTTAGCGGGGTTGGATCGGTGCGTCGGAAGGTGCACGTACCAGGTTCGGGGGCGACGAGGTTTGGTGCCATCTTGGACGGTACATCCAGCGATACCGCCGAGGGCTCTTCCACATAAGGTGCCATGTTGGGCTTCTTGATGAGTGAGTGAAGAAAAAAAGAGTCAGTGGCGGAGAAGTGATTGATAATCAGGTGACCGTGACTAACCAGCCGGTGGCGATTGGTGGGGCTCAGTGTTGTGACAGGAACCGGGAAGTATATCGAGCATGTACAAATAAAAGTGGTAAAGATAGGAGTGGTCTGCCTACTGTCTAGTGCTAAATTGAATAATTACAGGTCCGTGTCAGCGAGCGAATCTAACATGCCCGAATCTATATCCAACAACATCAGGACACTAACATCATCAAATATACTTCAGTCCCTTCTTGTCCTACTACCTTTTTCTCGGGAAAATTCCACAACAGCAAAAATTCAACAGCTGAAGCGACCTCCTGTCTTTCCCCATGAAAGGTCCATCCTTACTGTACGTGTCACAGTTATCGCTACCATCACCCTGGCTGTTAGGACATTGTCTTGGGCGGAGTATATATTGACGAGCCTGTACTCCGCCGATCTTCGACAGAGCCCGGGGATGGCTTTTGTGGCGCCGATCACCGATTCGACTCGAGTAGACAACAATGTGCCTAGACTAAGGACTGATTGTTATTCGCCGACCAAACATAGAAATAATATGATTGTGTACAAATATGATCCGAACATGGACCATAATAATGTGTGTCTTGCGGCAAGGCCCGGGCGGACCAATCTAACCAGATCAAGTGGGGGAAAATGGACCATGGAGGAGAGCATTTGAGCGACAGGAAATCATGTCGAGCGAAGCATGACGTGCTGGCAGAAACCTCCAGTCCGCCGGTACTGTGCCTCTGGGCAGACCGAAACCGTGCCGAACCTTGATTTGCCCGCAATGCCAGAGGTCCATGCAGGATCTCACCCATCTCACTGGCTGCGCGGCCAAGCAGGCAGTGCTTTGGCCAGCCAACTAGGCGTTGCATTAGCAGTATTAATTCTGAATCTCGGGATGCCCTGGCATCAATGTGCCTGTTCCCACCCGCAACGCCGAGCTCTGGTTCGCCATTCCCCGGTCCAGCGGGGATGATGTCAACACTCGACCCAGTAATCGATCACTGCTTCATGCAGACGCGATCTCAATGCGCGCACATCTGCATGTCAGTGAATTTTTTGACGGGGGACCAGCGGCAAGTGCGGATTCTCCGTGTCGGGGTGTGTGGATCAGCGAAAAGCCCCGCCAGATTAATAGGGAGTAGGGACATTCGTTTAGCGTCTTGTTGGGGAGCGAGACTTTTTCGCTGCAGTTCTGCTCCCTTCGGATGGACTCCACTCAAACCAAGGCCCATTAATGCCCGCATACATCATAAATACTGGAGACTTCTCCCAAACAATCGAAAGGAAAGAAAGACAGAATTACATACATACATGCCCGATTAACGCTTTAGGTCTCCCCAAGTCACATGGTCCCCCGTCACATGCCAACTTCCTCTCCCGCGTCTTCCTCTTCTTCTTGTCCCTTCGTTGCCTTACCACATCATGGACCACGGCCTCTCAACAGGTACCCAGCAGACCCATGACGGGTTGCGGGAGCGGGTATCCCGTCCCGATTCAACAGGGCGCGATGCTCTCAGGGCCTCGGGCGAAGTGGAGTTCATTGACAAGAACGGCCAAGAGCTGAAGACCTTTGGCAGAACCCCCGATGGGACAGGTATGGCGCATTTCTTTCGGTCGCAATTGCATTCGTCGAGGCCGAGTGTTCGCTGGAAGTCATGCTAACCTGAATGCGCCCGATACAGTGTTCACCGTGCCGCAGACCCACGACATGGTCTCCCAGCTGCTCTCCCCTTCCGAGCCGAAGAACTTGTCCGATCTCGCGGTGCTGGCCTTGTTGACCGGCCATATCCTGCTGGTCTGGGTGCTCCCCACGGGTGTCAAGGTGCCCGCCGCAGCCATCATGTATCTCTTCTGGCGCGCGGCCTACAACGCGGGGATCGGATGGCTGCTGCACAACCAATCGCACCACAAGACGCTGATCCGATGGGCCAAGAAGACCAAGATCTTTGTCAACCCAGCCACCGGCGAGAACCCACACCCGGGTCTGTATCATTTGATCAAGCGGGAACTGGAGACCAAGATCCCGCACGATTACTCGTTCGAAAAAGCACCAATTGAATACAACACCTGGCTTGTCTTTCGGCGTCTCGTCGATGTAATCTTGATGTGTGACTTCACGACCTACTGCTTGTTTGCCATTGCCTGCGGCCACCAGCCGGCGGACGAGGGCAGCATCATGACTATCCTGCGGTGGACGGCGGGCATCGTGCTAGTGCTGTTCAATCTTTGGGTCAAACTAGACGCCCATCGCGTAGTCAAGGACTATGCCTGGTACTGGGGAGATTTCTTCTACCTCATCGACCAGGAGCTCACCTTCGACGGGGTCTTTGAGATGGCCCCTCACCCCATGTACTCGGTCGGTTACGCGGGATATTACGGTATCTCGCTGATGGCGGCGAGCTACAAGGTGCTATTCATCTCAATCCTTGCCCATGCAGCCCAATTCGCCTTCCTGGTTCTAGTCGAGAACCCCCACATCGAGAAGACCTACAATCCGCCTCCGCCCCGAAAGCGCCCATCCTATGTGGACTCAACCTCGGATCTCAACATCGGACCAGACACGCCGACTGCGCCATCGGTGTCTGAGGACCCGTTACCCAATGCGTCTTCATCGTATTCGGCCAAGCCGCCGCCATCAGTCCACAATCTGCTCGGGTTGCACAACCTGGATCTGTATAGGACCACGGATTCATCAATCATGCTCATCCAGCTGCTCGTATTTGCTGTGACGGCATTGACGCCTTCCACTCCGTGGTACCAGCTGCTTTTCGTGGTCAATGCTGTGGCATGGAGAATGTGGTACTCTGTAGGCATTGGGTATTTGCTCACCAACCAGTCCAACACCAAGGCATGGACGAGACATTTTGTCAAGTACGGCGAGACTCCGGCGGAAGCGTGGAATCAGTGGAAGGGTACTTACCATCTCAGCATGATCATGTGCTATGCCAGCTTCATCGCTGCTGTCTGGAAGATGTATACCGTCCCCGCCGACTGGGGCTATGGACTGGTGCTGTTCCGGCATGTCCTGGGAGCAGGATTAATCGGCCTGCAGATTTGGACTTCGGTCAGCATTTACGACACACTGGGCGAATTCGGCTGGTTTTATGGTGATTTCTTCTTCGATGAATCACTGAAGCTGAGCTATGATGGCATCTATCGCTTCCTGAACAACCCAGAACGCGTCTTGGGGCTGGCGGGTGTCTGGGGCGCGGTGCTGATTACAAGCAGTGGAGCCATTACCTTCCTGGCTCTCCTCAGCCACATCCTAAGCTTGGCCTTCATTCAGTTTGTGGAACGGCCTCATATGCAGAAGCTGTATGGTCGCAGCCTGCGCCAGGATGGCGGCGTCGTCAAGAACCTGAAGAAGTCTCTGCCGCCTTCCCTCCAACAGCTGCACGGCAGTGTCGACAAGATGTTTGATGAGTCCTTCGAGTTCATCGAGGAGATGCTCGACAATGCCCGCCCGAAGCTAGCTGCCGGTGTTAACACCTTCGTCAAGGATACCACGGCGCTCTTCCAGAAATATCCTGCGCGCGTCACGATATCCCGGATCGACCCAGATCTGGCCGGCTTTGATCTCCGTGATTACTCGCTATCTGTAGAAGGCACCGATGCCGTGACTGTCCATGACAACGATCAGGGCAAGGGCCGTGAGGGTGCCAACGCACGTATGCCCCTGGACCGACGAGGCGACCTGAAGAACCTGTCTTTCGAATACGGCGCTCCCATCAAGGTCAAATGGGCCGCCCCGCTCAACCACAGCAAGAAAGACTGGATCGGCCTTTACCGTGTCACCGACAACACGTCGCGTGAAGTCTCCCGAGTCTCGTCACAGGGCCGCTGGGTCGCCACTAACGAAGGCTTCTATGACAATCTGACTTGCGAGAAAGGCATCGTCACCAGCGACGTCGTAATATCGTCGTCTGACCGCAAGGACAACGATAGCCGTGACTTGGCGTCCGGCGAGATCGTGTTCTCGGGCGACAAGCTCTTCTGGACACAGGGCGTGTTCGAGTTCCGGTATCACCACAACGGCATGCACAATGTCATGGCTATCTCAAGACCGTTTGAGATCCGCATTGGTCGCTTTGACGAGGATGACACCGTTGCCGATGCCAATGGCATTGTCGAGACGGCCGTCGAGAACGCTTTGCTTCCTGTCGTCCGCAACTGCTTTGACCGTGATCCTGAGGTCGCTCCGGAGACCGTGGACGAGCAGTTTGGCGGACTCGTCGAGCGGGAAGGCAAGTTTGCCAAACGGGTCGTCTTTGCCGTTCATCAGATGTGAGTTTCTCTCCCGTTCTGAATCAGTATTGGTTTATTAATGGTCGCATAGGTTCGGTATCGAGTTAGCTCCTGAAGTCGTCAAGGCAGATGGGAACGTCCGAAATCTGGCGTGGAGGATATGCAACGCTAAGAAAGTTCTCGTGCGTCTTGGCTCTGTCAATGCGTCACTACTCATGTGCTAACGGTATCCCAGGCTCCCTACAGTATGACCAGATCCAACGGGACGACGACACCCACCGAGGGAAAAGAATGAACACAATCACCCCTCGAACTCCCGAGACTCCACCATGTTCCTCTCACGATCCGGGCATGGAATGACGAGTGGCTGGATGCCAACAATACCGACTGACAGAGTGGTTCTGGCGCTCAGAATGAAGATACCCGCCGGGATGTTATCTTTACTTGACCGATGTGTTTGATCTCCTGGATCAAGAAAGAAGCAAAAACAAGATAACGGTTGTCCGGACTGGATGAGGTGTGCCGGCGGTCAGAAAAATGGGGAGTATGTTTGTCTGTCTGAGGACCTTGGGAAGGCCAGGACAATTTTTTTTCTCTCTTCCCGCTTCGTGGCCATTCTGCGATCTTTTTATCGTACATAACTACAAGGATAGTGTATCACTTTGCTTAAGAAGTGATATAGACCAGAATATAGACAGAATGTAAATCATAAAATTCGAGCTAGGTACTAAACGTTCCAAGGCAGTATTCTACAAGATCAACTGTAGACATGGTCAGCCCAAGTCCAAACCCCATATCCAGGAGAGTGTGTAAACACGACATTGCAAACAGCTTCACCCAGAAGCAGAATGCAAGTACGTAAAAGGTAAAAAATCAGCCAAGCCGGTTAACTCATCCCATCCCCTGCCGACCGCTCGCACCGATCAGTCATCCAAGACGGACAAGCAGTCCAGCACGAGCTAAGTCGACACAAAGTCAAGCATAGCCTACCTCAACACCGGGATCAGCAGCACACAGCCAGAAACTAGGTCAAAAAGCGACGGGAATCACACCTCCACGAGCTCCACAACCATCCTCCCTTTCCTCCAGATGGAGGTAAGGTCCAGTATCAGGGAGATGGAGAGTGTGCGTGCGCTTTTTGCCCGTAGGCGTTTCTTGGCTTACTGCTTCACGCCGAGTGTCCAGGAGCGAACTCGAGGGGCGGTTCTCCGAGGAGATCGTTGAATGGATTGACTTGTTGTCATCATGTAGAATGGGGGAATGAGGTGTTGTGTAGCAGTAAGGAGAGAGACAATTCATACCTTTTGTCAAGGGAGCCAGGCGCCAAAACAAGTTACAAGGACTAGAAGATATCTTGGGTCTGTCAGTAACTTCTCTTGTCATCGAATTGGAGAGAAGAACAGAATGGCTTGGGACAGAGATCAGAAAGTTTTGGTAATGGTATTTGGTTATCTTCAAGAAGTTTGCAGAAGCAGAACTGAATGAATTTTTCTCATCATATGGGAGGGAAGGCAGAACGGCAGAAGAGATTGGCATACCTTGGCTGACCGAGCTCATCCACAAGGGATTAGAAACCTGGATAACTTGGACACTGTCAGTCTCTGGTAGACAAGACCCAAATACGAAAAGAATGGGAGATGGAGATGTCGATCAGATGGTGATGCATGTTTGTTCATGGCTCATGGGTTGTCGCCGGAACAGAAATTTTGGTAGGCTTTCGTCATATGGACGGGGGAAGAAACGAGGGGATGATGGTGGAAGAGACTCACAGTAAGCTATGTTAGTGTCTGGATGAGAGTTGCTTGTGAAAAATCAACGCCTTCGACATTTTGAAGACGAATGGTCGAGTGTGTGGGAGAGAAAGAAGAGGAAAGAGACAGGGAAAAGGCAGGAGAAAAAAAAAGAAGCGAGGCTAGCGTCAGCACCTGCCGATGCAAACAGTGCAAACACTGGCATGTCCATTCCGAACATCTTCAATTCTCCAACGACGTTCGCTCTCGCAACATGTGTGATGGCTGACCGAAGACGCATCAATGGACCTCCTGGTGGCACCAGGCCGGCCATATATGCCACCTCACTGCCCTCGATCAAGGACGCAGACCGGGCGCGCCGCCAGCGCCAACCCGCCGAGCTCAGGAAAATCTGTAGGATTCAAGCACCCTCAACTTTTTGCTATGCACCAACTAACCTGCTGCACTGCCAGTCCTCAAGACGGGTCTAATCCCATCGGCCTCGGGCTCCTCATACCTTGAATTCGAGCCATCGTCCTCTTTGGCCGCCGCACGCGCCAACCCCAAATCTCTGATCCCGCCTTCCTCGGCCCTGAAGCTTGCCTGCACCGTCCATGGACCAAAGCCGCTCCCTCGGTCTGTTGCATTTTCACCAAACATTGTCCTGACCACGCATGTCAAGTATGCGCCGTTCGCGGCCCGGAAGCGCAAGGGCCACATCCGTGACGCCAGCGAGCGCGATCTCGGCGTGCACCTTGAAACAGCCCTTCGGGGGGCAATTATTGCAGAGCGCTGGCCCAAGAGTGGGCTGGATATCACCATCACCATTATTGAAGCGGAGGATGATCGCTGGTGGGGCGATGCGCCGGACTCGCACGATGCCTCGTGGGGCATGATGAACGTGCTGGCGGGATGTATCAATGCTGCTTCGGCGGCCATTGCAGATGCTCATATCGACTGCCTGGATCTCGTGGCTGGTGGTGTTGCGGCTTTGGTCACTGACCATGATGGTGGTGCTCCAAAACTCATGCTGGATACTGACCCGGCTGAGCACCGGTCGATCGTCTCAGCTTGTGTGGTGGGTTATATGCCGGCGCGAGATGAGATCACTGCGCTGTGGCTCAAGGGGGGCACTTCGCGGGCAGCATTGGATGACCAGGATGGACGGTCCGGACATGAAGCACTGGTAGACGGTGCTGTGGATGCTGCTCGGGGAGCTCATATGGTGCTCGGGGAGGCAGTGAAGGAATCGCTGGAAAGGGCAATTGGGCAAACTGCTTGATAGGTAGGTAAGCAAATAGGGTGGCTGGTGTGCGGTTGTGTCTGCCTACCCGTGAATGATAATGAAGTTCCATGATTGAATATTATTCTCCTTCTTCCTCGCCCACTCCATCTTCTCTTCATCTTCCACACCCGCTTTCCACTCGCACTCTCACTTCTCCCCATCCAACTTGTAAGTATATAACCCATTGTCTCTCCTTCAAGCACCTCTCCATCACTCCCCTGTCCCTCAGCACATCGAGCCTCAACGCTCGACTTGCTGTTACCCAGCCGTCATTTCTGTCGTCCTCATCCGTCGCCTCCATCAACCGTTCCCTCACCGACCCGCACACTGACACATCCCCAATTCCATCCTAGACTTCATTCTCCTCAAATTTCTGAACTTTCAAAATGGTTCCCAAGGCTTCTTTGTCCAAGGAGAAGGGTGACCCGACCACGCCCAAGAAGGAGGCGTCCGGCACCCCAAAGGCTCCCAAGACTCCCAAAGCCCCAAAGACTCCCAAGACCCCGAAGACCCCCAAGTCTGAGGACAAGGACTTGCAGTTCCTCTGGACCTGCATTCAAAACACCGGACCTAACGGCAGCGTAAGTTATCTTCACCCATTCCTGAAAAGTCTTCGTTGATACCTTTTCCTGCACTGCCCAGCACATCTGTGGACATATCCTAACTTTCTTATCATCAGGTCAACTACAAGAATGTCGCTGAATTCTACGGCATCAAGATCCCTACCTGCCGCATGCGCTTCACTCGTCTGAAGACCCGCCTTGAGGGCATGCCCAAGCCTGTGCCTGAGGACGAGGGTGTGGCCGCTACGGAGGACGAGGGCCAGGCGGATGCTGATGGCAGCACCAGCCCTACCTTCGAAGATATCATGCAGGAGGTGTAGATCCGACCTTGCTCCGATCTGGTTTAGAGGAGTTTGTTCTTCGCATTTGGCGGGATGGTTTGCTTTTTCAGGTGAATACGGTGTGAATTTCGAGTATCTCGGTGCTTAAGAGTGCAATCTGGGTTAGTTAGTTGAATCAATCGAAACCAAGCACTCATTTACACAATTGCCCGATGTAGCTTGCGTTAGATATAGCCAACTGCCCTGACTTTGTCCAGAACCTCCTTGCCCATGGCAGCAGAATCCACTACCTGAGACAGTTCCAGGAGCCCTGAGTCGGTTATAAATTTGGTGACAGCCGGAGCCGCGACCTGTTGTCATGGTAGTTCGTCGTGTCCGATAGCCATTAACATGTCTTCCCCGGCTAACTAATTCACGGCGCATTACCTCTCGCTACGCAATCACAGGGGACATCACAACCGTACATGTTCAGATCACAAGCACACCGCGCCAAGTCCCTCTTATTGATCTTGCGGTTTGGTTGGTTTCTCAGAAAGGCAGTTTCGATCATTTCCAGGCAGCACACGATCATCTAATTCTATGAAGCTCAATTGTTGTTTAGAGCGAGATTTCTATCCCTAACTCGACAGTTCTCATTTAAACTGGACTATCAGTACCTCCTGAGAGATCCTCTTGAGAAGTCATAGTTAAACAATAGCGCGTCTCTCGCGGAGCTAACCACAGACTAGTCGAAGCAGCAAGACCGCTAACCATAGTGGTAGATATATCATTTCGTCTGGCGGATGCACGTCAGACTTATCGATACTACTCCGAGACCAAGTGGAAGGCTCAGGCAAACGTGGCGCGCGCGCGCAGATACGACTTAATGAAACGGAATCGCCACGACTCTATGCTCGGCATCATTCACGAGGCCAACTGAAGTCATACTGCGGGTAGACGACTTCTAGATGCGCATTAGCAGCTTGATATCTTTCTAGGCAAGAACGAAAAATACCATCAACAGTCGCTAGAACAAAACGCATGCAAGTGGTATCAAGAGCGCATGTGAAGTGTATATAGATCATATTGTCTGGGGTCTGTGGGATGAATAGGTGATGGATAAACCTAGCGGCCTCCCAGAAGCTGCTGCCATCTTTGTACTCAGGAAAATAATCCCTTAAAGGACGAGAAGACAGCTTTCGCTTGAATTCATCCACCTTATTAAATAGAAGAACAATAGGCTTGTCGCAAAACCAAGGTGATTTGCAAATGGAAAGAAAATTATCCAGTGCCTCTCTCAGCGGACTTGTCCGTACTCCTTCAAGGAGAGGATAGTCGTACTCTGATATGGGCACAACGAAGAAGATAGCCCGCACATCAGCAAAGTAGTGTAACCACTTCCGTTCCTCCGACAGATGGCGGCCAACTTCATTTATTCGGTAGTGGTAGGAGTAACCGTCCATGGGGGGAATTGTGGCTTCGTGGATCCCACTTGTCGGGACATATAGTTGAAGGATGTCCTGATCATCCGGGGTATAATTGGGCGAAGCAATCTGAGAAACGCGGTTGAAGTAGCTTTTGCATAATGTGTTAACCACGTCGCTAGGGATATTACGAAAATAAATGAGGGGAGAATGAGATCGCGAGAGCATACTATACCGGGATAGGCGTTCCAAACTGTTGTTCTTGCCATTTATTGTAACTCACCTGGAAGTGATAATCATCCCATAAAGTCTGAATTGCATGTCCAATCCCGGAGGGGAGGAGGCTCCATTGATGTTGTGAGGACTGCTCCAATACAACCTGAGCATGCAAATGAAGGCACTCGCTTTCAGGAAAAAGATCCCACTGGATGAGCTCTTTGATGATGGTGCGTATAGACTGGATGATATTGTCGAAAATGAATGGTTTGAAGGACTCTCTTTCGTCACTAGAGAATCCTAGTCGACGTAACTTCATCTGTTTTATAATTGTCGACTTCCCAGCTCCACTGGGGCCTACATGTCGTATTAGCCATGTCCTTTTGGACCAATTCAAGCTGACAGGGAGAGGATGGTCGTGGGGAGAAAGCCAAGAAAGCCAATATACCTACCTAGTAGTAGCACCTCTAGATCCCGACGTAGCTCTAGCCGCTCCAGCCGTAGCTGCTCGTCGATCTGTTCGTTGCGTATCTTGGCCTTGTCCTTGAGGTTGGCTCCACACCGAAGCAATCGCGCCTTCATATTGACGAATTGACCCACTCCGGCACTTTGGACTATGAGCCTTGAAGACTCTTACTCTCCCCAGGGGTGCTCACAGTAAAGGCGCCGCCCCGGGAAACTTCCGAGACAGGCAAGAAACTTCGTAGCGTAGGTGACTAACACCAACGAACGTTCGATATTAGACCTGGGGCTCAAAAAAAGGGGAATAGCTTAGCGACACGTGACGGTCGGTGTTTACAAGACACCAAATGCCTATATCCCGTCAATCAGCGAATTTCATCCCGGTGTCAGCTCTGTAAATGTAAGTTTATCTGCACATGGAGGATTGAGAGGGTCGCAGACGGACCGTCGTGCCCCCTAATCCCATTTGAGTGATGGATCGCCCATCGCCAATCTCGAAAATCAGAATCGAACCGAAAATCGATCGATCGATTTTTGCTGCGGATCGGAGGAGCAGGTGTTCGCAGGAACAGAAAGGAGCACACCACCACACGACATCACCACACGCACAGTACTTGGACCGGCCACCAACAGACTACGGAGTATCAGGAATTATCGACTACTGTATGTGACTGCGTGATGGACTGACATATGACAGGGGGTTTTTCGCCCCTGCTTTATTAGCTTGACTTTGGTTCCAAGGTTGATGTGAGTCGGGCGGAGCATTATTATTTATTTACTTATGGACTGACTTCGGTCGCTAACACCTGCTCCATAGACATATACATATCTGGTTTGCTTCCGGCACTGCCCGGAGGATCGACCAAGAAATCCGGATCGATTACGACGAAGGCTTCCAAATGATGGACCAGAAATTGCGTCCCAACCCCCTGGGCAACCATCAACCCCGAAAAAGGGCACGTTTAGACCCGCTAAGACAGGCCGGCGCTTGACGATCACTACACCCGTCACACCAATGACAGCTCGAGCGGAAATTGGGGGCTCCATCGCCCTCTTTTTTCTTTGTCCCTCCCCAATTGCTGCCCCGAGCAAGGCTGTCAAGGGCCGCAGGAGCTCTTAGCTACCGACCTACTGCCAAATTAATGCAGCCTAGACGTTTTATCTTGGGAGCTTGACAGGAAGAGAGGAAGATATTCAGTCTGTCACGACACGGACACCAGCATCAACACACCGCATTACACATTTCACTTTCTCCCATGAAGCATGGAGACACGCTAGAGCATTTGACTTTTTTCTCCTCCGGAGCGAATTGCGCAACACAAAGCCGTTCGTACCAGGCCTCCGGCAGATGGAGCATCTTTAATTTCTTAGCGTTCGAACCGTCGCCACGCGCATCGGCCTGGCCCCATCGGGGGAGCCCATAACACCGGATCTTGGAGTCGACCGGGCCACACTTGCCCCTGATCCAGGCCTCGATCTGCACGCTGGGGCACTGACAGGGCATGCCTGGTTTGCTGTCTTTGTTTTCCCGTATCCACCGGTTTCCTCGAGTTGTGTGTGTGTGCACTCTCTCTTCTTCCTCTTCCACCATGAAGCTAGGGATGTGATCGTGTGAGAACCGCCACCGGAGCTTTCTATGCTGCCATGACCGCCATAGTTCATTCATTTCTTGTATGACGGCCATTGGTCTCGTCTCTATTGTTCACTTCGGACTTGTCTTTTCCTCTTTTTTTCTTCTTTCTTGGTGTTCTCGCCCCTCCACAGCAGGCGTGGAAAAGGGTTCCCAGTCTAAGCCCGCCCAATTCCTAATAGAAGGGCGTCTTGTTCACAGATTCCAACATGGTTTTAAAGAAGCTTTTTCATTCCGAAAAGGTTCCTGTTCGGCCAGCAACAAGCCTGGGAAACACAGGCGCGGAGGCTGAGGAACAGTACCTGTACGCGGCGGAGCCCAATCTCGACACCGCCGGGCTTCCATCGCCTGGTTTTCCCTCGCCAGGCTTTAGACCTGAACAGTCGTTTGATGTGGATCATCATTTTGAGCAGATCGAGAAGCAATTCGAGGACTTGCACGACCAGCTAGACAGCCGGCCACACACTTCTCTATCCGGGCCGTTTGCGCAGGCTCACCTCTCTTCCCAACCGCTTTCCAATGGCCGGCATGTCGACCTACTGGATGCGCTCGCTAGATCTCAGCAGCATCAGGCGCCTACCTCACAAACCTTCTCGCCGCCATCTAGTCCCTACAACGAAGATATCGCTGAGCGGAACATGACCAGATTCCTCCGAATCCAACACCGAAAAGGATATGCCAGCTCCCGAACACTGTCCGCGCTGTACCAAGAGGATGTGGCGGACCGGAATATTGCAAAATATAGTAACCCCATACGTTCGCTGTCGAGCTTGAGTTGTCGGTCTTCTCCTGCGGCGCCTGGAAGGGTTCGCAGCCCGGAGGGCTCCAAGCGTAAGCCTTGGAAGCGCACCACAGGGAAATCTAGCTGGACATCGGAGGAGGATTTACGGTCGAAATCCCGTGCCCGAGCTGAGGCGACTGCCACTTTATCCTCCGGCCATCTTCGGGTCCAGAAATCTGCTCCTAGTCTGTCCACAAGCGAGAGCTCTGCTGAAGAGGATGCTGTGCCGGACCCCGTGCAGCGTCTGGGCGTTCCTGCTGCATATAAGCAAGGGAAACGGTGGAGCAATACTCCATTACCAGATAGTCCCACGCTACCCGTTCCAGTGAGCGGCGGTGGTGGGGGTGGTGGTGCTGCCTGTGAAAGTCCCGTCATCCCAGGTCGACCACCTGCTCTCACTGCGCGAAGCTCTTCCCTAAAAACGAGAACTCTTGCTCCAAGAACTCTTGCTCCACCTTCGTCTCCGGGAGCGAGCTCCAAAAAGAACGTGCGAGAGCTCTCGATCAATACACAATTGGCGGCAAAAGGCCGAGCAAAGATAGCACACAAAGCCATCCAGCCCCCGACGCCTTCCAATTATGAGATAAAACGGGCTCCCAGCATTGCAGAGGTCATGGGCAGTCCGCTTCCAGAGCCCAGTCCCTCATCTATATCTCCGCGCTTCAAGGTCTCGGAGATGATGGATCTGTTCAATAAAGCCTACATGTCCACTCAGGCCGTCAGCCCTCATCCAACCTACGAAACACTCCAGGATGCCATTGTGCGCGAGATCAATTCTCACGAAGCCTTCCAGCGCGTGCCCGTTCCGACTGCTGGCCCACCATTCACGCCGTCGTCAGGACAGGACTCGTTTGCCAAGGAAAACCAGCTCTCCAAGCTGAGGAACAAGAATTCGTTCAGGAAGCACAGGCAAAACCCCGAGTCCCGCCGGAGTATCTCTACCATCCTCCCCTCCAAGGTCCTGCGCAAGGTCTCTGCCTCCCCAGTGGCAGCACGCCGGAGACACACCGATGCACCACCGCCATCACCAGGCCTCCTAGCCGACATCCAGAATCCCACTTCGACAGAATCCATGGCCCCTCGTCCGGCAACGGGAGACCAGCTGACGTACATGGACGTCCTCTTCCGCGCTAGCAACGACAAGCCATCAACCTCCTCTGGCCCCAAACCCACCTCCACATCCCGCAGACGCGGCGGCTCCGAATCCACAACTGCCAACCTCTCCTCCATAGTGCGCACCATACCCGACACCACGCCCCACACCCCGGGCACAGTCTACTGCCTGCAGGCGCACTCCACTCCCTCAAAGGACAGCCAGACTAGCGAAGACTCGGACGACGAGATCATCCACCTCCCCAGTGTGACTGGCCTTCCGCCACCGCGAGTACAGATCGAGGGCGTCGACGAGAACAACGTCCGCTACGTGATCGATTCGGCTTCACCTGTTGACGCACAGAAGCTCATGAGCTGGCCGCAGCGTGCTCGCCGGGATAGCAAACCGAATAAACCCTCGAACACATCCTACCAGACCAGTCTGTCGCCTCTGTCTCGCGCCCGGATGCAGCTCCGTGCTTCTCGCTCCGTCGACACTTATTAGTCGGTGTTTTGCTTCCTTTGATTCCTGCATATAATCAGTCTCAATCATATCTCTGAACTGGATTGAGAACCCCCGTCACATGATAATGATGCTTTCATGATACCAGAGAGAAGAACAAAAGTCGATCTGCTCTATACGCATTCGTTGCTATCAGTCTCTTTTCCCTCTTGCCTGCTCTTTAGCTCTCTCGTTCCTTATTTACCTGACAAGCTTGACTCGTTTACACTCGTTATCTTCCGTCCCTTTTTCAACCTCCTGTATAATTACCACATATACCATACACGCATTTACACTGTCTCCGTCTGTCTCTGTGCCAACTTAGGGCCAAAAGTCGTTTTTTCCCTTGTGTTCGTGTCGTCACCATATTCTTGTTACTGTCCTAATATCTATCTATCTATCGGGGCTGTGTATTGTTCAGGGACGAAGATTTTTGTAAAAACAAAGCATCTGTTTTCTTTTTGGGCTTGTACAAACTTCTTCTTATAACGTCTTTTTCCATTTACTTCTTTTCTACTATGTATTCCCTTTCAATTCGATAATACCTCTCTTATATATGTGTATTTCTTGGAGAATCTTCATGTGCTTGCCAGACACCTTTTTTTCCACTAGCCAATCCTCTATTGTTCTCGCCCTTTCTACCAGTGTTCCTGACTCAGGCTTGTCGGTACTTGTCTAACAATTTGGATGAGACAGCTAAACTATGCTGGACTTATTTACTGGAGCAGTAAGAAATTGATAAGAAAAGACGTGAATCATTCTTCTCATAGTCACATTTCCTCACCCCTCCTCCCGACCCAATTCCCCAATTCCTAACTCCACGGCCATGAAAAACAAATTACGAGGTATCTTGGATGGGACTCCTTCAATCACAAGACGGACAATCAATGCAGGGCTTTCGACACATCTTTCTATCCCATGGAAGGACTCTGTCTAGTCCCAATATGACATTGCACCTGATGGGAAATGGAGTGAGATTTGCACGCAGGTTCTGACAACCGACAAAATAGCTTAGTAGGAACCTGATGGAAACAATATGTTAGCGTTGCTACAGCAAGAATGAGATGGAAAATTGACGTACGACCAAACATGCACCATTTTTCGGCCAATCGACCACACTTGGGGTTGAGGCATTTGGTAACACCGGGCTCGATCCCTTCGGGCTGCTCGAAGGGGATGCAGAGCGACTTGGCACCCATGCTGGGGGCCTTGGCGTCCTCGGCCTCGCCAGAGTCTTCCTCTGCCTTACGGGCACTCATATCCTTGATCTGATCCTCGCATTGCTCAGTTCCGCAGAAGGGAATAAGAAGGAGATTCTTCTCATTCAGCGCAGGGGTGAACAAGTCCCAGTCGGTGATCTGCTTGCGGTGAGCGCGGAACTCTGCATCGGCGCGCTTGTACAGATCGGCCTGGATTGTCTCCAGCAGAGCAGGGACCGCGGTCGCCAGCTCGGGGATCGGGATCGAGCTCTTGCCCTCCTTTCCGAGAATATCACGGCGCGCAGCGGTGACGAAGTGGCCAGCCGACTCGCCAGGGCCGAATTCCAGGCGCAGGGGCACACCGCGCAGCTCGTACTGGTTGAACTTCCAGCCGGGGGAGTTGCTGCTCTTGTCGCTGAGGACACGAACACCAGCTGCCTCGAGAACGGCAACGAGGCCATCCACCTCGGCATAAAGCTTCTGACGGTCCTCTTCGCTCGTCTTGGCCGTGATGCCGACGGGGATGATCATGGTCTGGACCTCTGCCACGCGAGGAGGCAGGACCAGGCCGTTGTTGTCGCTATGTATCATGACCATGACACCAATTGTACGGGTCGACAGACCCCAGGAGTTCTGCCAGACGTACAGAGGGGGCTTCTGCTCGCCAGGCTTAGCAGAGGGGTCTTCGACAGTAAGACCGAACATGCGTGCGAAGTTGGTCCCCAAACCGTGGGAGGTACCACCTTGGATACCACGGCCAGTGGCGGGGATGTAGCCTATATACAAGTTAGTTTGACGCCTCTTATTCTTTCAAGGGTAAATAATTACCTTCGACCGTTGTAGTGTAAAGCCCTCCTGCGAATTTCTCTTTGTCGGTCTTCTGGCCCTTGACGACGGGAACAGCGAGGAGCTCCTCGTAGATCATCGCGTAGTAGTCGAGAATCTGCCGAACCTCCTCCCGAGCAGCTTTCTCAGTCAGATGGGCCGTGTGACCTTCCTGCCAGAGGAACTCGCGGGTTCGCAGGAAGGGCTGGGGGTGCTTGAACTCCCAACGCACCACCGAGTTCCACTGGTTCAGCTTCAATGGCAAGTCTCGATGACTTCTTATCCATTTAGCATAGTAGGGGTACATGACCGTTTCCGAGGTGGGACGGATGGCAATCTTTTTCTCAAGAGGGGTCGAGCCACTGTATGTTTTTGTTGTCAGCACAATGGCCTTAACACGGATGAAAAAGAGAACCATACGCATGTGTGACCCATGCAACCTCAGCAGCGAACCCCTCAATGTGATCCTTCTCCTTCTGCAGCACATCCTCCGACACGAACAGAGGGAAAGAACAATTCTTGACCCCAATTTTTTTGATCCTCAAATTAAACCACGTCTGGATCTCCTCCCAGATGAAGTAAGAAGCGGGCTGGAGCAGATTAGCCGAGTGTGTCTCTCTCCGACCAAGAACCATGACACACCTTCAGGATGAAGCAGCCCGAGACATCGTAATAATCCAGCATGTCGCCTTTCGTGAGTACCTTCATATGGAGATCAGTTTATATTCTGTCACGCGAGCGACCTGAGATTACCTGTTGGTACCAGCTAGGGAAATCCTCGCTCTTGGAGGCATCAATACCGATCAAGGCAGCATTTTCAATCTTCTTCTTGGCAGGCTTGGAGGTGGCCTTCTTGGACTCGTCTTTGCCAATCCCCTTTTCCTTCTTGCCCGCTTTGTTCGCCTTATCGGCAGCCAGCTTCGCGGCCTTTGCAGCCTTTTTGGCAGCGTTCTTGGACTCGCCCTGAGGCTCGGCAGAGTTCTCCGAGCGGACCGGCAGAGAGATGGGCGCAGCGTCCGCAGGGACAGAGGCGTCGGTAGTCTGGCTAGCCATGGTGAGGGCGAGGTGTGGTGCGAAGCAGGAGAGCGAACAGGATGACTCCCCACCTGAGAAATAAATGTGGGATAAAACACAAGGGCCTCACCGCCCGGGCAAAAATCACCCCCCAATTATTCCCCCCAAACCCGAAAGCACAGCTCGGCCATCACACACTCTCGCTACATTTCCGTCATGGCTGGCATCTTTGAGGCTCCGCGGAATGCGGATACTCTCTGTGAGATATTCTTTTCTCTGCAATACTTGCAGCATTGGACTAACATCTCTCGCACACAGTCTTGGGTGGACAGAAAATCAGCGGCGCCGATGTTCGCGAGCAAAATGGTATGTGGGATGAGTGTCGAGCTTCTGTGGCGGGTTCGAAAACTGATCTCTTTGTAGTCCTCGCGACCCAGGCCATTTCCAATGTCATCAAGAGCTCCTTCGGTCCCTCGGGTCTGGACAAGATGATGGTGGATGACATTGGGGTATGAACACAACAAACCTCTCCCTTCCCCGCGGAGCTTCGAATCTGTATCTGACTATTGCTAGGATGTAACTGTGACGAACGATGGCGCTACGATTCTGTCTTTGCTGGATATTGAGCACCCTGCGGGCAAGATCCTGGTGGACTTGGCGCAGCAGCAGGATAAGGAGGTACGGGGGGACAATCTACACCTGGCTTGAGGATCGAGTTGCTAAACTTTACTAGGTCGGAGACGGTACCACCTCGGTCGTCCTCATTGCTTCCGAGCTTTTGCGAAGGGGGAATGAGCTGATGAAGAACCGGATACACCCCACCACAATCATCAACGGGTACAGGCTGGCTCTGCGGGAGGCTGTGAAATATATGAACGAGAACATCGCAACCAAGGTGGAGCACTTGGGCAAGGACAGCTTGATCAACATTGCGAAGACGTCCATGTCGAGTAAGATCATTGGTTCCGATCCCGATTTCTTCGCGAATCTTTGTGTGGACGCGATGCTACTGGTCAAGACGACCAACCAGAGGAATGAGACCAAGTACCCAGTCAAGGCTGTGAACCTGCTCAAGGCTCACGGTAAGAGTGGAACTGAGTCGGTGCTCGTCAATGGCTATGCCCTGAACTGCACGGTTGCCTCCCAGGCCATGAAGACCCGTATCTCCGATGCCAAGATCGCCTGTCTGGATATGAACTTGCAAAAGGAGCGGATGAAGCTTGGCGTTCAGATCACCGTGGAAGACCCTGATCAGCTGGAGAAGATTCGCGAGCGGGAGGCTGGTATTGTCTTGGAGCGGGTGGAGATGATTCTCAAGTCCGGTGCCAACGTCGTCCTCACGACCAAGGGTATCGATGACATGGTTCTCAAGCTGTTCGTTGAGCGGGGCGCGATGGCAGTCCGCCGCTGCAAGAAGGAGGACCTGCGACGCATCGCCAAGGCCACCGGTGCCACTCTGGTCAGCACTCTGTCCGACCTCAATGGAGATGAGAAATTCGAGTCATCATACTTGGGACACGCCGAGGAAGTCGTGCAAGAACGGATCTCTGATGACGAGTGTATTCTTGTCAAGGGAACCAAGGTCCACACTTCCGCCTCGATCATCCTTCGGGGCGCAAATGAGTTCAGCTTGGACGAGATGGAACGCTCTGTCCACGACTCTCTGTGCGCTATTAAGCGGACTCTGGAGAGCGGAAGCATTGTGCCTGGAGGTGGTGCCGTGGAAACAGCTCTTCACATCTACCTGGAGGAATTCGCAGTCACAGTAGTAAGTTTCTCTCCCATTTGGTCTCTGATGTCTCCTTTCTAACATTCGCCATCCACAGGGGTCTCGGGAGCAGCTCGCCATTGGTGAATTCGCCCAGTCCCTCCTCATCATCCCCAAGACCCTCGCCGTCAACGCAGCCAAGGACTCATCCGAGCTAGTTGCCCAGCTCCGTGTCCGTCACGCCCTATCACAGCGTGCGGAAGAAGGCGATGCCAATGAGGAAGAAAAGGCCATCGCCAAGAGGAAGACCTACCGCAACTACGGCTTGGACCTGATGAAGGGCCGCGTCCACGACACCTTGAAGGCCGGTGTCCTTGAGCCCAGCATGAGCAAGATCAAGCAGCTCAAGAGTGCCGTCGAGGCCTGCATTGCCATCATGCGCATTGACACGATGATCAAGCTGGACCCGGAGCAGAAGCAGGATGATGGCCACGGCCATTAGGGCTACTGCGCTTTGTGAATTCCCCAGCTAGAAAAAAAAATGATAATTCGAAGTTTCATAGAAATGGACATGGGTGGTGGTGTCCCATTGCATCTGTACGTACTGACTGCATTTGCACCTCGTAGAACTTCAATAGACCGTGAGCTGGGTCCTCTATACAACAACATATCCTCACAACGCCAATCATGTCACCCTCGCTTCTCTGCCATCAGTCGCCGATACTCCTCGACAATAGTCCTTCTCTCCCCAGCCAATTCCTCCCGACGCCTCAAACTCCCCACGGCAGCAGGCACATTCGCAACATCGACCTTGGCCCCGCCGCGCACTTTGAATATCTCCCTCGGTTTCGTAAGCTGCGGCGGCGCCTGCACAACGTCAAACGGATTGGCCTTGCGCTCGCGGTCCCGTTTCTTCAGCTTCGCCCATGGATCCGGGTCATCATCGTCGCTGACATGGCCCCCCATCTCATCATCCCCGCCAGCAGCAGTGCGGTTATTCTTACCCTTCTTTCTCTTCTTCCCAGCAGCAGAAGCAGCGGCCTTCTTCTTCTTCCCCGCCCCAGCTTCAGCCTCCCACTCCTTCCATAACCGCAACTGTTCTTCCATCTCCGACTCGCGTTCTTCTCTCTCGGCCTGCTCACGCTCCCGGATCCGCGCGTCTTCCTCGCGCCACCCCTGCTGGAGCCGCCGTAAATGCTTCTCGTGTCTCGTCTGTCTATCCTCGCGCATCTTGCCAACTCCGGGCGCGATTGATTTTTTCATAGCAGACAGTGGGAGCGTGCGGTCTACCCGTGCCGCGAAATCGGAGAGCTTTTCACCGGGTAGGATCTTGGGCATTTCCTGCGCGGACACGGTGTCTTTGGTCTTGCTCTTGTCGGCTTCATTTTTGGTATCCTCTCGCTTTCGCTTCTTGTTGTTTCCTTCGGAACCCTGAATATTGTCTTTCTTTTGTTGTTGTTGCTGTTTCTTCCCTGTATCTAGCCCGGACGGCGTGCGCTGACCGGTCGTTTGGAACTGCATGAGTCGACGGAATGCTTTCGGGGTATCATCTGCCAAGTCATTTTGGCGCTGTCCCTTTGCTTTTTTGGACTTTTTGGTGTTCTCCGACGTTTGCTCTTGCTGGTTCTTCTGCTGCGTCTGCTTATTCTTTGCTGGCCCGCCTTTCTTCAGTTTCGGGTCGCGCACGGGAAGAGGTTTGGCGAGCTCTGTTGGTGGGAGGTTGAAGGTTCTGCAGATTGATTTGGATTATTAGTATTGATTTGGAGACTACAAATCTCTTTTTGACTCACGTCTCGTCATTCTGGCGGCGCTTGTGCTTGTGAGGCATGGTGGATGTGGTTGGGGGATGGAGGTCAGAGGTTGGAGTTCCGCAACTTTTTTTTCTCGGGGCGAGCGGTATCTTATCGATCGCCAGCCAACCATGGACAGCTCTCTATACTCTACCAGTTGAGACCTCGATAAACAATTTGACTCAAACATCTATTCAATTCAAACTCCTGGCCCTAGTAACACCTCGCTGAAATTCGAAAACACGCAAATGCAATCCATACAAACCCGAAGCAAACAAAATGCAGACAATAAAACGGGTATGCCACGCTAACAAGACAAAGTACCCTCCGAAGCGCCAGACAATGCTCGCGAGAAATCAATCAGATATACCCCGAAAGTGCTAAACAGGGAAAACAAACAAAAACAGACAGGAAGATGGGAAGAAGTTAATCGTCCTCATCGTCGTAGGGATCTACCGTAGCCGCCCAGCCACACTGCCAGCGTCGACCCTCTCCCTCGCCACTAGTCCGAAGCTCGCGAGCCTCAGAGCCTTCGCGCCAGCATCGCGCACTGTAATCATCGCTCACGGTGATAAGCTCTCCGTCAACCGTCCACGAGGCCCCCGTGACTTCTTTCTGGTGGCCTTCGACCAGCGAAGTGCCGGATTGATAGATTGGGATGGTGTCCTCCAGTCGTCCGGAGAGGCCAACTCCAGAATTGGTGCGGCGAAGGCCAGACCGAGTCGAGAAAAGAGACGGCTGGCGGGGAAGGTCATCCGCCGGCCTTTGAATAGGCGAATCTAGGTACCGCTCATCGGTGGGGAAGAGCATAGCGCAATGATCGCTACTGCCGACAGCCAGCATCTCCGGACGGTCATTGGCCGCCTTGCGCATAGCGAGCTTGACGTAGAAGGAAGAAACTTGAAGACGTGGGTGGCGGAAGCCATACAGAGGCCCGAGGCCTTCTTTATCAGCGCCTCCTGTACGCCGCGGACGGTTGTTGTTTAGTGAGAGCTCAGGCGCGTGTCCCAGTACCAGATGCGAAGTCGCGTATGCATAAACTGTGCCATCACGACAAAGCGTGTACAGTCTCGCGCCATCGCCACCGAATGCCATCGAAGTAAGACCAAACCGACGGTATTTGACATGGCTGTCCGGCTCCCGAGAGGTAGACACGGGAAGGACGGGTCGACCGCGCCGGTTGTTATGCGCCGTTCGCAAATCCCAAAGCCTTACACTTGCACTGGCCTCTGATGCAGTCACGAAGAGGTTTTCACGGCCAGAAGGCAGAAAGGCAAGAGAGGTGACCGTGATATCAGAGCGGCCAAATGGAGGCGGGTCATTTTTATCCAACGTCTGATTCTGGGGAGTGGAATAGGAGTGGGCTCCATGGATCGTATTCAGGACATGAGGATAGATCACCTTTGGAGCGGTGGCCATGGCAGAATGATCACCCTCAGATTCCAGGGAGCACTGGACTTGCAACGAAGGTCGCTCAACCCCTTTGCAACGAAGGTCCCAGATGTTGACATTCCCGTCCCGACTGCATGTCGCAAGAACCTTGTTGTTTGCAGCCGGCTGGAACTGGACCCGTTTCACGGATGAGACATGGTTTGATAAGCAGTAGATAGGTTGTTGCGTGGTCATATCAATGACCAAAGATGTTTGGTCTCCGGAGGCGGTCGCCAACAACATATCATCCGACGAGAATTCAAGATCCATGACTGAATTCATGTGAGGACGAAAGCCAAGGTACGCCTCAGAAAAGCCGCGCGCATCATCTTTGGACGAATCTAACAACCGAATGCCGCCTTCCTCGTCACCCACCGCAACCAGCGAATTGGCTGATATCAGTGTCAGCAGCCAGTCATAGAAAGCTGGGCTGACAAAACTTACTATTGCATGAAGCATTGCAAAATGGGAGAGCCAGCGATCCTTCGTTAGCATAGCTCGCGCACGAGTGACGATCCTCCGGTCGCGAGTAAAAATTCGATGTTAGATCTTGCCAGCCTGGAAGAAAATGAGATTGAGATCTGTAATATGGATTGAATTGGGCACCAACCAGCTCCTGAGTTGGATCGTATGGTCACCCGGTTCGCGCGTGCGCCTAGCACACTTCGCATATACAGGGCACCGGATGTCTGCAATGCTCGGGATCGGCTAACAGGTGAAACAGGCCGAGGAAGCTTTGGAGGGCTTGGAGGGGTTTGAGCCAGTTGGCGACCCCGAGAAGCCACATCAAAGTCTGGGATGAACGTCTTTTGTTCATTTTCATCTCCCGTTGGGGATATCAGACGAACTTTCTTCAAAGGCGACGACTGCAGAGGTGATGCCGTCGAGGAGAACGAATGCTTTCTTTTCCTGTTAGGAGTTCGTGGCAGATCTGGAACGCCATTCTGAGGACTCCTAGTGCTACCGGCTTTGGACGTTCTAGTAAATGCTGGACCCAAACGGTTGACTGCGGGGGAATTCAAAGTCCTTAAAGCCTGGCGATTGGTCTTGACGCTGCTCCCATTATTGCCACTGTTCAGCAGAGACCGCGGAGTGAAAAACTTCCTAAAGGATCGGGGGGTGACGGGGGGTGGCTTCCTGAGCTTCCGTCGGGTACCAGCATCGGAAACTACTGAGGGTGGGGATGATGGGAGCTCCTGGGACGGAGCGAGGATAGGTTCAGAGCGTGGTACCTCTGGGAGACCGGAGCCCAGGTCCATGGTGAGCCTCAAAGCGACAAAGAGTGACTGGAGGTGGGATGCATGGGGAGTGAGAGGGAAAGAAAAAAAAGGGACACGACCAGGAGGGCGGAGTTGCAGCACGTCGCGAGTCCAGGGCGTGTTCGTGTCTTGACGCGGGAAGGGCCCATTAAGGCGCGGACCGGCCATCGCGCAAATACTTACCCACCGCTTGGTTCACCGCCCACCCGCTCATCGGACCGGCAGATTTTTGATTTTCGCTTTTTTTTTTTTTACTTTGGTCCGCTAGACATTCCACGCCTCGGCCTCGCCTGCTCATTATGGCGCCGATCAAGCGGAAAGGGAATGCCCCCGAGGAAACGGCTACTCGTCAGCCTCAGAAGCGCGCTAAAGTGGGTGCAGATGAGCGCAAAAAGGATCAGAAGAAAGAAAAAGATGGTCCGACACCGAAAGCTTCAGACCTGTCTGTGCTACGGGAGGATGAACCATCATTTCCCCGTGGTGGTGGCAGCGTCCTGACGCCATTGGAGCGCAAGCAAATTCAGATCCAGGCGACCAAGGATGTCCTGTTTGAACAGAAGGGACCGAAAGGACCGAAGAAGCCAGCCGGTGTACTCGAAGATGCCGACGAGGACGACGTTGAAATGGAAGACGCAGAGGATACTGCGCCTGTTACGAAAAAGTCGCGGAAGAAGAAGACAAAGGGAAAGAAGGATGCCGGCCAGGAGCCCGCTGAGAAGGAGGATGTCCGCATTGAGGGTCTGACCTTTAAGGTATGAGAATTTTATTCCAATGGCAGCCTGGACTAGCCATGCTTACTTTTTTTATTTCACAGCGCATTGTTCCTGGGTCTATGATTCTTGGTCAGGTGTCGAGTATCAATGCCCACGATATTGCCTTGTCCCTCCCCAACAATCTCACTGGCTACGTCCCTCTCACCGCGGTCTCGAAGGGCATCGAACAAAAGATTGAGAAGATGCTTAACGACGAGGAGGGCGATGATGAGGAAGAAAGCTCGGATGAGGATTCTTTGGAATTGAAAGACTATTTCTACCTGGGTCAATATTTGCGAGCATTCGTGGTGTCCGCCGGTAGCAACACCAATGAGACTAGCGGCAAAAGCAAGAAACGCATTGAACTGTCGGTTGACCCTAGACAAGCCAACACCGGTCTCTCCAAAACCGACCTGGTTGCGAACTCCGCTGTTCAAGCATCCGTCGTCAGTGTGGAGGACCACGGCTTGGTCATGGACCTTGGCATCGAAGGCTCCGTGAAGGGCTTCATGTCCTCCAAGGAAGTCGACCCTCGAATTGAGTATTCGAGCATCAAGGAAGGATCCGTTTTCTTGTGTATGACCACAGGCCAGAACACCAGTGGCAATGTTGTCAAACTCTCGGCCAATCTCCAATCTTCCGCCTCGATCAAAAAATCTCACTACCTCAGCTCCGCCCCTACCATCACTTCTTTTCTTCCAGGCGTTGCTGCTGAGATTCTTTTGACTGAGGTTACGTCACATGGAATGGCTGGAAAGATCATGGGCATGCTGGACACCACGGTGGATTTGGTTCACTCTGGCGCCAACGCTGGCAAGGATGATTTGGAGAAGAAGTTCAAAATTGGTGCCAAGATGAAGGCCCGTATCATTTCGACATTTCCATCCGCGGAACCATTCAAAGTTGGGTTTTCGATGCTGGACCATGTTCTCAAGCTGTCGCCCGATGCGCATGGCCCTGGTTCGTCCGACGATGCACCAGCTATCTCCGCAATCGTTTCCGAGGCCAAGGTTGTAAAGGTCGACTCCGGTCTTGGTGTCTATGTTCAGCTCGACGGAACGGGCCACCTTGGGTTTGTCCACATTTCTAGGCTATCAGACGGCAAGGTCGACTCTATCTCCGCTGAGTCGGGCCCGTACAGCGTTGGGTCTTCCCATGAGGCCAGAATCGTCGGGTACAACATGCTCGATAACCTCTACCTCCTGTCATTCGAAAAGACTGTCATCGAACAGCCCTTCCTTCGCATTGAGGATGTCACTGTTGGCGCGACTGTGAAAGGAAAGGTAGAGAAGATATTGATTGGTCCTTCGGGAATGGATGGATTGATTGTTGGTCTGGCGGATGGGATTAGCGGACTTGTGCCTTCTATGCACTTTGCAGATACCCAGCTTCAGTTCCCAGAGAAGAAGTTCCGGGACGGCATGAAAATCTCGGCCAGGATTTTGTCAGTCAACCTGGAGAAGCGCCAGATTCGCCTGACCCTGAAAAAGAGCTTGCTCAACAGCGAATCTGCGATCTGGAAGGACTACGAAGGCATTGTTGCTGGGTCTCAATCCCCTGGAACTATAGTCAACCTTCAGACACACGGTGCTGTTGTTCAATTCTACGGCTCTATTCGTGGCTTCTTGCCCGTGTCGGAGATGAGCGAGGCTTACATCAAGGATCCAGCCCAGCATTTCAAACTGGGTCAAGTGGTCAACGTTCACGCACTCAGTGTGGACGCATCAAAGGGCAGACTTACTGTGTCGTGTAAGGATCCCTCGACATTTACAGAGAAATACCGCAAGGCATTTGAAAATATCCACCCCGGTCTCCTCGTTACCGGAACCGTGTTTGAAAAGTCCAGCGACGACGTCCTGCTTAAGCTCGACGACTCAGGGCTGGTCGCTCGTCTGGACGCTCAGCATATCATCGATGGGTCGCCGTCCAAGCAGAGCTCAACTCTCTCCAAGATTCGAGTTGGACAAAAGCTGAACGATCTTCTGGTTCTCGATATCCAGCGTTCCCGCCGTCTCATCAGAGTGTCTGGCAGAGCCAGCCTGAAGAAGGCCTCCAAGGGCAAGACCATGCCCAGCCAATTTGATCAACTACAGGAGGGTTCCACAGTCACGGGTTTTGTCCGGAATATCACTCCCGCTGGTGTGTTTGTCGAGTTCCTCGGTGAGCTCAATGGTTTGGTCCCGAAGCGTCTCATCGAAGATGCCAACCTCTCGCAGCCCCAGTTCGGCCTGTCGAAGGGACAAACCGTCTCTGTAACAGTCCACTCCTTGGAACTTGACTTGCAGCGTTTCATCCTGAGCATGAAGCCTGTTGAAGCCACCCGTGCAGGCCCTAAGCAGAAAGCTGCGCCTACTGATGATGTCGTCGCAAACCCCGCTGACGACAATATCAAGACCATATCCGACTTCACGTTCGGGCGAATCGTCAAGTGCAAGATTGCTTCCGTTAAGGCCACCCAGATCAACGTCCAATTGGCAGACAACATCCAAGGTCGGATTGACGTTTCCGAGGTCTTCGACAACTGGGAGGATCTCAAGGATCGGAAGCAGCCTCTTCGATTCTTCCGTCCCAAGCAGGAACTCTCTGCTCGGATCCTGGGCATTCACGATGCTCGCAACCACAAGTTCTTGCCTGTCAGCCATCGCACCGGAAAATACCCAGTGTTCGAGCTCACGCTCAAGCCGAGCTTCTTGAAAGCAGCCAATCCAGCTCCGCTGAACCTGGAGCAAGTTAAAGTCGGCTCGTCTTGGATGGGCTTCGTCAACAATGTTGCCGATGACTGTCTCTGGATCAACCTAACCCCCAACGTGCGAGGCAGACTTCGCTTCATGGATGCATCGGATGACCTGTCTCTGTTGACGGATGTGGAGAAGAACTTCCCCATTGGATCTGCCCTCAAGGTCCAAGTTACTGCTGTTAACCCTGAAAAGGGCCACCTTGATCTTTCCGCCCGCCAGGGCTTCGACAAGCTCACCTTCGGAGATATCACCGTCGGCATGATCTTGCCTGGAAGAGTTACCAAGGTCACCGAGCGCCATGTACTCATGCAGCTCGGTGAGGGGCTTGTCGGTGCCGTCAATATGATTGACCTCGCCGACGACTATTCCAAGGCTAACCCGACTGTCTACCACAAGAACGAGGTGCTTCGCGCCTGTGTGGTTGCCGTTGACAACTCAAGCAAGAAGATTGCCTTGTCGCTTCGGCCTTCCAAGGTTCTCAGTTCATCGATGCCAGTCCAAGATCGCGAAATCACCTCCTTGAAGGAACTGAAAGTCAACGATGTCGTTAGAGGCTTTGTGAAGAAGATTGCAGACTCCGGTCTCTTTGTTACCGTGGGCAACGATGTGACTGCCTACGTTCGTGTGTCCGAGCTTTCGGATTCATACCTCAAGGAATGGAAGGATTCCTTCCAGGTGGACCAGCTGGTCAAGGGCCGGGTCACTCTGGTGAACCCAGAGCAGGGCAAGCTGCAGATCAGCCTGAAGGAGTCTGCGCTGGACCCCAACTACAAGACTCCGGTCCGGCTTGGAGACCTCAAGGTGGGCCAGGTGGTGACGGGTAAAATCCGCAAGGTCGAGGAATTCGGCGCATTCATCGTCATTGACCGCTCCGCTAATATCAGCGGTCTCTGCCACCGCAGCGAAATGGCTGAGAAGCGCGTTGAAGATGCTCGGACTTTGTATGACGAAGGCGACGCCGTGAAAGCCAAGATCATTAAGATTGATCGTGAGCAGAACAAGATCTCGTTCTCACTCAAGGCCTCCCACTTCCAAGATGAGGTTGACGAGGAGAATGACAGCGAAGACGAAGAAGATGGTGTGAGCATTGACGGTCTTGGCGGTGTCGAGGTCGGAGACAGCGACAACGAAGACGAGGATAGTGATGATGATGTGTCTATGGGAGGACTCGATTTGGAAGATGACAGTGACGAGGAAGCCTCGGACAGTGATGAAGATGTGCCGATGAAAGACAGCAAGCCCACCAAAACTGGAGGACTCGGTGCGGCTGGCTTTGACTGGAGCGGCAACGTCCAAAATGATGAGGCTGAGGTCGCCGCCCCAGACAGTGATGAGGAGCAGACGAAGAAAAAGAAGAAGAGCCGCAAGCCCGAGATTCAAGTCGATCGCACCGGCGATCTGGATGCCAACGGCCCACAGTCTGTCGCGGATTACGAGCGTCTTCTTCTTGGCGAGCCTGACTCGTCGCTTCTGTGGCTGCAGTACATGGCGTTCCAGCTGGAACTGGGCGAAGTCGAAAAGGCCCGCGCCATTGCCGAACGTGCGCTGCGCACCATCACCATGGGCCAGGATGCCGAGAAGCTCAATGTCTGGGTTGCACTGCTGAACTTGGAGAACACCTACGGCAATGATGACAGCCTCGAGGACGTCTTCAAGCGCGCTTGCCAATACAACGAACCGCAGGAGATTTACGAGCGGATGATCAGCATCTACATCCAGTCCGGCAAGAACGAGGTATGCACCGACTCCTTCTCCGCGTACACCCGCTCCCTACGGAATTCACTGCTAACGATCATACTCTACAGAAAGCGGATGAGCTCTTCGGGGCAGCTCTCAAGAAGAAGATCTCCACCCAATCCCCCAAGTTCTTCCTCAACTTCGCCACTTTCCTCTTCGACACGATGGCCGCACCGCAGCGTGGCCGGGCTCTTCTGCCACGCGCCATTCAGTCGCTGCCAAAGCACACTCACGTCGAGACGACCACCAAGTTCGCACAACTGGAGTTCCGCTCCGCGAACGGCGACGTGGAACGCGGCCGCACCGTGTTCGAAGGCCTGCTATCCTCGTTCCCCAAGCGCATTGACCTGTGGAACGTGCTTCTCGACCTAGAGACCAAGGCCGGCGATGCGGAGCAGGTTCGCCGGCTGTTTGAGCGGGTCCTCGGCCTGCAGAGCGGCAAGAAGGGTGGCGCTGTTATTAGCGTAGACGAAAGCAAGAAGCTCAAGCCCAAGCAGGCTCGGTTCCTGTTCAAGAAGTGGCTGGCCTTTGAGGAGAAGCGGGCTGCTGCCGGAGAGGGAGATGAGAAGATGGTCGAAGAAATTAAGGCGCGCGCTGCGGCGTATGTCAAATCTCTGCAGAAGGAAGAGGATGAGTGAGTGGCTCTTGGCTTGCTACTCTCCGACCATACCAAAAAAAAGCGTGGGTGTTTCTGGCCGTTGCATGTACATAGTCCCTTAGCATATATTTTCTTCTTCTTTCGTATCTTCCCAGTTTCCTACTGCAGTAGTCAACCATATAAATGATCGCTGGCCCTATCCGACCACCGCAGTCAACCACACGCAGACTTGGTTCGTCCCCGAGGGTTTGGCCGGTCACGTTCCATGGACCCAGCCTATCAGGACCGCGGAGTCGAGGCATGCTTTGCAGAGCAGATCATGGATAACCCGACAAACAAGACGGACGAAAAACCTCATAAGAATGGCGCTGTATTCCCTTCCTCAGCATCATCATGGCGCCGGCTGTGCAGCAATTACCGCCGCAGGACTCGTCGTCGACGACTTGTCTGCTCGAGTTCCCCTTTGACACCTATACAGACGTCGTCGATGAACATCCCTCGGAGAGAGAGGGGTTGGAGGGCGAACCTTCCAGTCGAGGGCGCCAGGCTTGGACTCCCTCCCTGGAAATTGGTTATAAGGATGAGCCGCCCTTGCGGCAGATGCCCTCGCAGCGGTGTCGATGGAGGCGGTATCTGGGCCGCGCATGCTGTGTCTTCTTCGTTTTGCTGTGAGTACCGAACTAATTCCTTCCTGCGCTTCCTCGCAGGAGAAATAAAAATGCCACACAACTAACAATGCAATGATCAGAGGCATCATCCAATTTATCTCCCTCGCCTGGGGCATCGTCCTCGGCTTCTTCCCAGACGAATACGACCGCGCAGCGCAGCACTGGAAGTATATCGACGACGGCCACATCGTGGAGGATATCTCGCACTGGCCGACGGATATCTCGCGGGACATCATCCCCGTGGCATGCCACTCGCACAACGACTACTGGCGGCGCGTCCCGCTGTACTCCGCCCTGCAAGCCGGCTGCATCGGCGTCGAGGCAGACGTCTGGTCCTTCGACGAGGACGAGCTATACGTGGGACACACGCGGTCCTCGCTGACCTCCCGTCGCACCCTGCGGTCGATGTACGTCGACCCACTGGTCACGATTCTCGAGCACCAGAACCCCGTCACCAGGTTCCAGCCGCGAATCGACGGCCGTCCGCTGCATGGCGTCTTCGATACAGATCCGTCCCAAACGCTGATCCTGCTGGTTGATTTGAAGACTAACGGCGCAGCTACCTGGCCGGCTGTCGTGAAGGGGCTTGCACCGCTGCGCGAGCGCGGCTATCTAACCCATTTCAATGGCCGCGAGGTCGTCCGTGGTCCCATCACTGTCGTCGGAACGGGAAATACGCCCTTTGATCTCGTCACGGCCAACTCGAGCTACAGGGATATTTTCTTCGACGCCCCGCTCGACAAGCTAATCGACGATAATGACAATAGCAATGACAATACTACCTCGTCGGCACAAACCCCCTCAGATCCCTTCGTGACAACGCGCTCCCTGGACTACGACCAAGGCATATCAGGCATCCCGGCCGTGATAACAGCCAACACATTCAACACCACGAACAGCTACTACGCCTCGGTTTCGTTTAAAAAAGCCATCGGCTTCCCCTGGCCATTCCATTTCACGGAGAGCCAAATGACCCGTCTCCGGAAGCAGATCCGCGTCGCGCATGCGCATGGCTTGAAGGTGCGGTATTGGTCGCTGCCCAGTTGGCCGCGGAGCCTGCGTAATCATATCTGGCGCATTCTCGTGCAGGAGGGCGTTGATATATTGAATGTTGATGATTTGGTCGCGGCTACAAAGGGGGATTGGAATATTCGTGTTTTTGACTGGTGGCTTTGATTGATCTAGGGGGATGTATCCCAGTCTTCTGTTATGGATGATGCATGATCTTACTGCTCGGGATTGGGTTCTTTTGTTTCTTGCGTTATTTGGTTTTGATTAGATGGGCGTGGTTGACTGAGACTTTCTTTTTTTTTTGATATCCGTGATACCTTGGGTTTATTTTACGATAAACTACGACATTGACAATAAAATGATATTCTCATGCCTCAATGAATTCCATGATATGCTGGTGGGATGAAGATGAAAGTGAAATTGTTGCAATGCATGCATGCAGGTCATGATAACCTATCCCGATCGCCGTCGTCGGCCAGCACTTGGCACTTATGACTATATTAGACTCCACAAACTCCCTCTCCAGCAAGGCAATCCCGAAGGATGGTATGAGGCTTGCACAGAACAACATCGTTGACAATGCTCCGAAATCAAAACAATTAAATGCTAGACAAAACAAAACACAAATGCACGTTCCAAAACCATAGATAGTGGAGGAAATGAGAGCCGAAGCCGCTTGAAATTGGACCACGTATCGTGTTTCTCATCGCTTTGAGCTTTGGACACTCCTTGTTCTCAGCCCTGCGTCAGAAGTTGGGGTGGAGGGGGGAAGAGAGAGAGAGAGAGAAAGAGAGAAAGAGAGAAAGAGAGAGAGAGAGAGAGAGAGAGAGAGAGAGAGAGAGAGAGAGAGAGGAAATAACAGAGATGAGATCATAAGCTAAACAGGGCTTCCTCGCCAAACTCGCGCGCCACAGTGCCCTCCTCGCGGAGCAGTCCGCCCAGCCAGTGCTTGGCGGTTTCGAAGTCCTTGGCGCCGAATTTGACAAGCACGAACCCAGCACGCACGCGCGCCGCGGTCCAGGTGACGTTGGAATTTGTGCTGGGCGAGGACTCCGGTTCAGAGGGCGGTGCGGTTGCCGACCAATTCCGGCTGCCGATGCGCGGCAGCGAGGTGAATTGGTGCATGAGGAAGGAACCGAGATCGTCGTATACTGGCCCGGACAGGATCAGCGTGCCAACAACGCCATGCGGCCGTGTCCGTTCCTGGAGGATGTTCATGGGCGCCAGGCCGGCCTGCGGCGGCGGAGTGTCAACGCGGCCGGAGTGGCTGTTGCCACGGGGATCGGTGGTGGTACCCTCCTCCTCGTCGTCTTCTTCGTCTTCATCTTCGTCGCTGTCGAGGTCTTCGTCCTCATCGTCTAGGATGACTGAATCCCGGAGTAAAAGTCGGCTTTTGCCCGTCTTCTCGTCGGTGGCCCAGACCTCGTTCCGGCCCCGCCAGGAACGAAAGTTCCAGTCCTCGCCGCGCGACGTGCGGCCCTGTGTCACCCAGTCGAGTACGCACAGGCTGCTCCGCTGCTCGCCCTTGGCGGCGGCATCCACGGTAAAGGTCTGTATTTGGGCGTAGCGGCTGTATTGGAAAGGCACTGAGGGGTCCGGCAAGTAGCACAGGGCCGCTTGGCGGCCGATGCGGACGTTCAGGGTCTGTTGGCTCATGTCGGAGAGGTGCTCGTTGGCGGGCATTTGTTTGCGGTGTCCCTTGATCACATGGGGCATGTTGCCGCGGTTGTTGGGGTCCGTTTTGAATATCTTCGTGCTCCCTTGCGGCGTGGTCACAACCATCCTCGTCTTCGGCTCGAGTGTGATCGACACCTCGATGTGGTCACCCGGCAGAAGCCCGCCGCCGTAGGTGAGAAGATAGAGGTGCACCGGCCGGGAGGGACTCTTCGACTCCTCCGAGGCCGGTCCATGGCCATTGCTGCCCGCGAATCCCGGTGCTCGAGGGACTAGCTTCAGCGGGTATTTGTAGGTGAGGGTGGTGAGGGTGGGGTTGGCGGGTGGGAGGAGGGACAGGACCACGGTGCCCTGGCCGGGCTTCGCAATGGAAGACTCAAAGGGCGAGATGATAGGCATTGCCGGTTGTCGCATGGTGGGAGAAGCAAACGGGGAGTACTGGACTAGGGGAGGCAAGTCCGAGGGGTTATGAGGCGATTGTCAGAATCAGCCAAAAATGGCGCAAAGGGCAACGGGTTCGTTAGGTCATGTGGCGGTCAGCAGCAGAGCATGATGCTGTGCAGAATGTTCAGGATTACCCCAGAGTGGTGTCTGGCGGACCTGGTGTATATACCACAATAACTATAATACCATGCATTAGTCACACGGGGGGCATTATTAACACGGGGGGACGAATGGCGTAAGTATATGCGGGCTGGAGTCAATGGGCCTTGGTGTCCCTTGTGTCCGTGATGCCGAGTGGATAGACTCCGGTTCAAGCGGGGGCTCTGATGTCGCGAGCGTCCTTGGCTCGTGTCTAGGGAGCCGTTGAAGCAGTTTCTATTACGGCATCTCGTCGGACTTGTGGCCCCGTGATCCACGCCAGCCCCAGCCAGACCCAGCCAGACCCACCTGGAACGGTATGCTTACTGGTATTGATGCCAGTGAATACAGGCACTTGCAGTTAGGCAGTTAGGCACTCAGGCACTTAGGCACTCAGGCACTTAGGCACTTAGGCACTCAGGCACTCAGGCACTGAGGCATCACCACACGATCGCGTCCCGGACTCAGCATCCCCCCATCCATGCTGATTGCCTCCCCCCTTCCTCGTAGCGCTTCGTTTCTCGCGTCTGATCCACTTCTGGTTCTGTATGCCATGAATGCAGGATCTTCTTGAACTCACAGCATCCCGATTATACCACTCCTTCCGGACCTTGACACGCGCGGGTCTGTGATTCCCCCAATCCTCGCGAAGCCACCCACGCGCGTCCCGCCCGCAGCGCGGATCACTCTTGATTTCTGCAACACATCTCCACCATCAAGACACTGGCCTGCTCGGCATATTTCGTTCGCTAGTGCCGACCGTCACCCTCTCGTCCTCACGACACGATTTATCTTTGCACCATGGAGGTCGATCCCGCCGCAAGCCCTGAAGCAGGATCAACGACCCCCGCCCAAGACAGACGCAAGTCCGGACGCGCGACGCGGCGCCCTGATATCTTTTCCCAGAGTTCCCATTCTGCTAAACGCAAGCGAGGCGAGCCCCATGGTGACGATGATTCGGAAAGCGACGACGCGTCCGAGTCGGACAGTGACGAGGCCACCGACGAAGACGCGGACGAGGAGGAGTTGAGAGAAAAGCGCCGTGCCGCACGCAGAAGCATCACCAAGAAGCTATCCAACCCCAAGAAATCCCATGCGGCAAAGAAACCCAAGGTCAACGCCAACGGACTGGCACGGCAGCTGGCCTTCCGACCGGCCAATGGCCGACTCCCTGGATCACGTCCCAAGAAAGCGAAGCCTCGTCCCAGTCTTGCGGCTGGTGAGCGTGGGCTGTTTGGTATGTGGCTTTTTGGCAACTCCATACATACATCCTGGCTAACAGTGTTGGTTTAGCGGAGGTTTTTGGGAAGAGCAACAATGCCGATACCGCTGCCGCTCAGTGGCTGACGCGATACCAACGCCACAACGGACAAGGCATGCGCGACTTGATCAACTTCATTCTACGATGCGCCGGAGCCGATCTCGAAATCAGTGAGGCGGAGGCGGCAGATGCAGACAATGCTCCGGACCGCATCATGGATTTGCAGAATCTATACCAGGCACAGGGTATCACCGAATATCCGCTTGTATCCAAGGCGAAGAAATACCGAGCTTTCCAGCCGCTCCTTGAGGAGTATACGGTCGCGCTCATCCAGACTTTCCATCACTCATCGGTTCTCTACACGGATGACGCCCTGCTCGAAAATATTCACGTCTGGGTATCCTCCATGTCCACCGCCGGTTGTCGCCCGTTTCGGCATACGGCGACCATCATTGCTCTGGCAATCATGAATGCCTTGTGTGATATTGCTCGGGAGGTAATGACGACCGTGTCCACCTCTCGCAAGCAACTTGAGAGCGAAAAGAAGAAAAAGTCCGTGAACAAAGGTCGCGTGGACGCCATCCAGAAGGCTGTTTCCGAGGGTGAGGAGAAGACTGAGCGACTCGACGAGCTCCTGCAGGATTTTTTCGACACCGTTTTCGTCCACCGCTATCGGGATGTTGATGGGACGATCCGTGCGGAGTGTCTGGCGGCTCTGGGCCGATGGATTCGCACATACCGCGAGGTCTTCTTTGAAGGACAATACTTGCGCTATCTAGGCTGGACTCTTGCGGATGTGGTTGCGCAAGTCCGGCTTGTGGCCCTAACGCAATTGCTGCCCCTGTACGAGAATAGAGATAACATCGGCGGTCTTCATTCCTTTACCGAGCGCTTCCGCCCACGGATCGTTGAGATCGCTGTCCAGGATGCGGACATCAATGTGCGTGGGGTGGCCGTTGAGCTGTTGAATCATTTCCGCGAAGCCGGATTCCTTGAACCAGACGATATTGATGCCGCTGGCCGGCTGGTATTCGATATGGATCCTCGCATCCGGAAGACAGCCGGTCGCTTCTTTGTGTCCAACGTGCAGGACGCATTTGAATCAGTCACCGAGGAAGTGGAAGATGAGGTCACCGAGATGTTTCCCGACGACGATGAGGATGACTACGAATCACCGAAACGGGCATGGATCAAGTTCAAGTGCCTGGTCGACATGTTTCAGGCGTACGACCAACAGGAATCCGAACAGCAGCAAGGACGAACCTCGGCGCGTGACTCGCTCTCAGGCGTGCCGTTGGACTCACGGTTTGTCCTGGCAACGGAGGCAATTTATCCCCATATGGAGGACCTCTCTCAATGGCAAGCATTGGCCGGTTACCTGCTCTACGACCACTCCCAGATTGCCGACAATCCATCTGAAGATGACACGACTGGAGTTGTGAGAAAATTGTACAAGATGCAGGAGGGCCAGGAAGCTATCCTGCTTGAGGTTCTCTGCGCTGCCGTGAAGCTCCGAGTTCTCGATGTTGCCAAGTCCGATATTGACAAGCGAGGACGCAAGGTGAAGGCCATGACAGCGAAGATTGCTGAGCTTCAGGAAGAAATCTCCCACAGCTTGGCACAGATCATTCCGCAGCTCCTCAACAAATTCGGATCTACCCCAGAAGCAGCCTCTGCGGTCTTGCGATTGGAGCATTTTGTCGACCTGGACGCGATTCAAGACCTCCAGAAAGACGCCACGGCCTACTCGTCTTTGCTGAATGATATTAACAAGCAATTCCTCACACATTCGGACCAAGACGTGCTGGCGGAGGCAAGTGTGGCTTTTCTCCATGCCAAGAGCTCCGATGAGATGCGCGAAGCGCTAGAGAGCAAGATTCAGGAGCTGTGGGATGATATGGTGGAGGCGCTTGGTGCATTGTCCCGGAAAAAGGAGGTCCAGGAAGGAGGATCCATCTCCGACCCGACCCTCACGGACTTGACCAACACCGTCACGCGCATTTCGAACCTTGCTGGCATCACAGACTGCACCAGCATTCTTGAAACGGTCCCTAGCACCCGTTCAAGGTCCAAGAAGGACCACCCGGAAGCCCCCTTCAATATACTCATTCACCTCGCGGGGCGTGGCGTTCTCAAGGACGATGAGGATGAGGAGACGGTCCAGGCGGAGGCAGAGCTTGTGACGAGCAGCCTCCGAACCTTGCTCTTCTATTTCATGTGGAAAGTGCAAGCGCTAGCTGCTGCGTTGAATGACGGTAAAGCATCCTTCACGACATCCTATTTCGAAGCCCTCACCAAGGGTCGCGAAATGTTCGCGTCCACCCTCACCAAAATCATGGAGAAGCGTTCTGGTCTCGATGAGCTTCGGTTCACAGCTACAACCACCTTTCTGGACCTGCAGACATTATTCAGCACACTCCGCAACGTCGGGCAGGGCAATGGCAACGATGAAGACGTTGTCTTCCAGACTCAAAGCCTCGTCCATGAAATCGGACATGACGCCCAGGCCCTTATCACCAAAATCCACAGCATCGCCGAACGCACCTTCGCCAAGAAATCCGGCCGAAACATTGATCCTGCAGACGAAGACGCCCCGGAAGACGACCCTGAAGATGAAGACGAAGCCAGCGACGAAGACAACGACGAGGCAATGGCCAACGAGCGACTCCGCAGCAACATCGTGGCCGAACAGCGTCTGTGCGAGCTAACCGGCAAGCTCGTCCTCGCCATCATTGCGCGCATCGTCGACGCCTCTGGTGCCAAGCGCGGCTCCCTAAAGAAGCGCCTGCTGCGCAACAAGACCGCGCTGGGCCAGAACTACCGCGAGGTATTGTCGTACCTGGAAGAGCGGAAACCGCGCAGCGCGCCGAAAAGCAGAGCGAAGCAGCAGCCCGCCAAACCTGGTACCACCGCAGGCCAGCAGACTGGCAAGACGTCTGCTATCTCTGCCGAACTTGTCGGAGACGATGATGATGAGGAAGAAGAGGGTGGACAGCCGGATCTCATGGAAGAAGATGACGAGGATGATCTGCGCGCTCGCGGACTCGTTGAGGATGATATCGACCGTGCGGACGATGACATCGAAGACTTGAATGCTCTAGCCGCTGACCCTGACGAGGACGAGGACGAGGTCATGGGTGACTGATGCTTTCTCTAGCTCTCTCGGTCATATTTATTCTCCTTTGTCCCAAAACTTTTCCCCATCTGCCTTATTTGCAGTTATGGAACCCGCGACCTGTGTGTATGCTATGAGATCGATCTCTTTTACGGATTTTTCTTCTTATCTTCGATATCTTTTTGCTCTTCTTGCTTATTATTTATTACCTTATTCTGATGCAAATCTATTCCCCCTTTGTTGCTGTATCTCTTTCTTTCGTACTGGCATAGATAATATTGCTTGCGCTGAGATTGGTTGTGCTTCTTTTCCCCTTGTTATAGACTGCTCAATGCTGTTACAACGAGATGCCGCGGTAAAGCAGTGTCTGCAGATTTGCGGCATGTCTTGCTGTTCGAGTATACAGCCACACAAAGTGACATCCACAATCAGTCTACTGGAAACGCACTACTCGAAATACAATTCTGCTGTGTAGGACATGGCACTTTTCCTGGCTAACTGCGAGATGACACAAAGCTTTTCAGGGGGAGGCGCCATGGGACCAGATCATCGGCGATGTAGAAGAGCAACATCTTTGCAGACATCTCCAACGAATGGGCCGCCATTGCCAATGGCAGAAGCGAAGGGGGAGGAGTTCCTCGAGAGGGCCCAAACCCCACGCGAGGAACACCAGACGGGAAGGGGTTGGGGGAAGGGAGGGGGGTGCATTAACATAGGAGAGCAAAGGACCGATCCTGCAAACAAATACGCCTGTGTATGAGGATGCTAAAGGGGTGGGGGGATACATGATGGTGAATCTTGTTTATCGTGAGTGAGAAACAAACAGGGAGCAAAAAAAAAAGAAGAAGAAAGGGGGCTGGAATGAGAATCGTGACTAGAGCCGAGGCTGGAGAACGGGGAAGTGGGGGCAGCAGAGCAAGTTTGGGGCTCTACTTGAAAGCGAAAGGCCGGCTCGGTGGATGGTTGAGCGTCCCGAAGCACAGGAGAGGCAGCGAAGTGACGTTGGAGACAGCTCAGTGAATATCGAGTGAAGGGGGACACACGATACAATGACAGGGCAGAAAGAGGTATCCATGCCCTTTACATGTCCATGGAGTCACCGCCGCCGTTGGCGAAGTTGAATCCGCCGGGCTGCTGCTGGCCGGTGCCAAGAGCGAAACCGGTCTGGGTTTGCTGGGGAGCCAGCTCATCGATGTCACCGGCGGCCTCATCCTCATCCGAGAAGTACTTCTCGATGATGTTGTAAGCCTTCATGTAGATCTCCTCGTTGGCGTTGTTCTGGCAATCGTGGATCTTCTCCATGCCACCAGCTTCCTCGATGAACAGAGCGTAGCGGTTGACGCGAGCCTCACCCTGACCAGACTCCTTGTCCATATCACCGACCTTCAGGATGTTCTCCAGACCGTCCAAGGCAACCTGGATGATCTTATTGTCGGGGCAGGCCAACAGATCACAGAGGGGCTTGATGCACCCTTGGGAAACAAGGTAGCGGATCTGATCAGGCTTCTGAAGACCACCGGAGGTCGCGTTGGAGATAGCCCAGCAGGCCTCCTTGCGAGTCTTGAAGTCGCCGTTGGCGAGCAGGTTGATCAGCGGGGCAATGATGCCAGCATCAATGACGGCCTGGATCTGGCTCGAGTTACCAGCCGTGACGTTGGAGATTGTCCAGCAAGCCTCCTTCCGAATGCCATCCTTGGTGGAGCTCAGAAGCGAAAGCAGTGCGGGGAGCGAACCGCAGTTGATGATCACTTGGGTCTGGACATCATCACCGGTGACAATGTTGCCGACAGAGCGGAGCGCAGGGGTCTGCACGGAAGTGGAAGCGTGCATGAGGAGTTCAACAAGGCGGCGGGGGATACCGGCCTCGATCACGGCCTGGATCTTGTCGTTGGCACCATCAGACAGATAAGAGATGGCCCAGCAGGCGTCAATCAGGACCTCGTCGTCCAGCATGTAAATAAGCTTGGCGAGGACGGGGAGGGCAGGGGCGATCTGAGTAAAACAAAGTTAGTCGGCATGCCAATCTTCGAATTTCTGTGTAGACGTACCGTGTTCCAGTCGGGCTGCGGGGTCTTGCCGCGGCAGAAGTTGCTGAGCGTCCAGGTGGCGTTGCGGAGCATGCTCAGCTTGCGGCCATCGTTGATGAGGTTGAGCAGCGGGCGCAGGGCACCAGCACCCAGAACGAAGTCACGGCAGTGAGGGCTGTCACCAGCAATGTTTCCAAGCGCCCACACGGCCTGTTCCCGAACATCAGGCTCGGGGCTGCTGAGCAGTTCAACGAAGATGGGCACGGCGCCGGCTTCGATGACGACTTGGGTCTGCTGGGCGGATCCGGAGGCAATGTTGGTCAAGGCCCAGGCAGACTCAAACTGCACCAAGGTGTGGGGGGAGCGAAGGAATTCCACGAAACGGCTCACAACACCGGTCTCGATGACCCGCTCGATGGGCGGGTTGCGCTCCTTGGACAGCAGTTTCCGGAACTTAGTGGTGGCCTGGATCTGCTCCTCAACCTGGTCGGAGAAAACACCCTTCACCATCTGGGGGAGTTCGACGTTGAGCTAGAGAGTCCATCATGTTAGCGTTGTGCTTATTTGTCTCGATTTTCCGTGTCCCCGCCCCATCGTGTGTTTTGGAGGGGCGCGGCTGGGGCAACTGGGCGGTGAAAAAAAAATCCATGTTGATGATGATGGCATCACAATAACAAAGGGAGGGGCGAGCCAGAAGGTCACGGAAAAGGCTCTCTGAGTTTGCCCAGCGCAACCCAGGGCCGTCGGCGGGAGTAGCCAAGATAACGACAAGAAGAAAAAAAAAAAAGGGAAAAAAACGTACCTCGCTCTCGATGGCCGAAGCCTCGTCGTCGCTCTCAGTGGCGGCAGCCATGCCACCACCCACACCGATTCCACCATCGCGAGTCTGAATGCCTCGTCGCTTGGCTAGGTTCTCCTCGCGCTTCTGCTTCCGAATCTCGACCTGCTGTTCCTCACGGCGGCGACGGAGCTCATCGGGGCGAAACTGGTTCCTGGCCTTGAACTGAGTGCGGCGATGCTCGGGGATGTACCGTTCCGCCATGGTGACAAAGAAATGGATAGTAGTTGCAACAAGAAGAAAGGAAAGAAGGGATGGGCGGGATGGTTGACGGAGGGAAGGAAGGAGGCAAGAACACAACTGAGAAGTGGGATATGTGGGAAGGAGGGGGCCCGATCAGGGGCTCTGATTGGCCCGTGGGTTGTTGCGGGAACGCGTACTGATTATTGACTTCCTCGTACTTCTTCCGACCAACGCTCCATGGCGACCTCCCTGGTCGACATCCCCACCGCCTGCTCGTCCCACGGCCTGGTCACCGTCGTCGGCGTCGTGGTGGATGCCCTGGATGTGTTTCGCACGCGAGGGTCCTCATCCTGCGTGACCTTCACCATCAAGGACTCCGAATTCGACGCCCCCACCTGGCAGGGCGGTCTCAAGGTCAAGTACTTCAACGACAACGAGAGCTTTCTGCCCCAGGTGCGCCTCAACGATGTAGTCCTGCTGCGCAAGATCCGGGTTCGTGTCCGAGTCACTATATCTAGACCATGGCTGATTGATTATGCGCCGCGCAGGTTCGGATATACCAGGGTAAACCGACTGGCGTGGCTTCTCAGTATGATACAGTTTCTTGGGCAGTCTTTCGCCCCGAGGCAGACCCAAGCTCCAGCCAGTCGATCAACAGCGGACCCGAACCGTTCAAACCGACTGCGACTGAAATGAGAGCAGCTCTGAAGTTGCTTGATCGTGTCTCTGAACAGAGCAACTCGGTGCCGCCACCGCAGGGATCCAAGACCTTTGTGGTTCAAGCTTCCAGAACGGCTGAGAACGCAACGCCCGCCGGTAACATCACAGCTCGCAAGCCGGGAACACGTCCTTTCACTCTTATCAAGGATGCCCAGCGCAACACCATCACTCAATTACTGGGCCAAGTGGTGAAAATGAACACCTACGATAGCGAAAAAGCCATTTTGCAGATCACCGACTACACCAGCAATCCTCTCCTCATTGACTACAAGAGCAATAATGACGAAGGCCCCGAAGGAGATACATATAACCATTTGTCCCTGAACAGAAACAACTGGCCAGGCCCCTGGGGCCAGATGGTGATGCAGGTCACTCTGTGGGAGCCTCACGCTAGCTACGCACGCGAGAATGTCAAAGTTGGCGACATCTTGCTTTTCACTTACGTCCATGTCAAGATGCGCCGTGCCAGCGATATCCTCGAGGCTGTCGTCCATGAGGACGTGCGATATAAGGAGAAGATTCATGTTCGTTTGTGCCAAGGCGGACACGACGAGCGCACCCAGGAACTTCTGCGCCGCCGAAAAGAATACTGGGATGTCCACGGTCAGCCGAGTAAAAAGCCGGAGAAGGCCAACAAGCGGAAAACCAAAGAAGAGCAGAAGAAGCAGCAGCAGAAGAAAAAGAAGATAGAGAAAGAGGCTCAGGTAAAGGAAGGGCAGACGGTCCTGCAGCCAACGTCACGGCCAATAGCTAACAAACACAGTAAGTCGATGGCCTGATATATTTAGCTGAATATCTGACTAACCCATGACAATAGTCCTAGCAAATGGTTATCAGATCCCTGCCAAGTCATTGGAGTACATTCTGTCCCGCGAATGCCACCGCAATGCTCTCCCAGGCGACCTCACCTATAAACTTCCATTTCAAAACGTCTGCTACCGGCCCTTGGTCCGTGTAGTAGACTTCTTCCCCCCGAACATCGAAGATTTCACCGTTGCCGTCCCGAACAACTCCATTCTCGAGGAAACAAGCGGTGCACAGAACAATTCGACCCATAATGGTCGCCCACACATGATCTGGGACTGGCGCTTCTGTCTCCTAGTAGAATCAGGCGAGTCGAACACCCCAAAAAACCAGCCGCGAGAATATATGAAGATTTTCGTGAGTGGCGCCGACGGAGTCCATCTCCTGTGTTTGGATCCTACAGAGTACATACGTCCCTATCTTCGAAAATATATCAACGCATGCTAACTGGACGGCCTTTTTTCAGTCTACGTCGCAATAAAAACGATCTCGCGGAACTTAAAGAAAGGCTCTTTATTCTGTGGGGCGATCTCCTGGAGAAAAAGCAACAAGCTGCCTCTGCCTCCACAAACAATCAGGCGTGGGCACCATTTCCCAGTGTTTCGCTTCCTTTCGAATGCTGCATTAAAGAGTACGGTGTGAGCTGTTCTCATCAGACAGATCCGGATGCTATGGCCGTGGATGGGGAAGTATGCAGCCAGCCGGATTGTTTTGGGTGGGAGCGACGGTTTGCTATGTTTGGGACGACGATTAAGTTAGATCCATGACCCATAATTGGGGTTTGAGAATTTGGAGGGAGGGAAGGCGTTTCTGTAATATTGGCGCAGGCGGGACTCATTCATCCCATGTAGATATACCCATTGTCCGGCCGTTTCGGAACGGATTGTACTATGCGTAAGACAAGATTATTGTCTGAGAAACTCCTTTGATAACCGCTTTGAACCATTCCTACTCGTACAAAATCCCCTTCAAAACACCCCGGGTAGATACATTCTGGCACTGAGGAATCATGTTGCATTGAAACCTCCAAGATAAGAAAAAAATAATCAAAAGCACGTATGGGTCGACACGATTTGCACCTGCGAAATTCCTCTCCATGACGACCAGAAACAAAACAAACCCATTAACCATGCACCGGTGTCCTCGCCAGATAAAACTCCCAAATCCGCGCGAACTGCCCCATATGCCATGAGTGCTTCCAGTGATAAAAAAGCGTGCGCCCACAGACCCAGAGAAATAAATGACCACGACCCGGTAAAAACTCCAATTGCAGAAGTCAGGATAGATGTAGGGAAAAGGAAAGGGATGGGGCAGATATGTGCAATGTAAAATCAGGAGGTTGGTGATAAAAAGGGCAAGGCAAATACTCGAAACCGGAGTTCTCAAAAGAAAGATGCAGTATCCCTGTCAACCCGTGCGCCGAATCCCAGTATTTTAAACCCGATTGCAAAAAAAGACAGTTCAAGTGTAGAAAGTTCATGTTCTTTCCAGAATGACAAAATCAGACCTTGGTCACTTTGACGATATTGGTGTCGATACCATGCGCCACAGGCTCGAAGCGGCAATTCTCACCCCGGAAGCACGTCTTCTTGCCAGGTTCGCTCTGAGGGCAGCGGTGACCGTAGATGCAATCCGGGTCAGAGCAATCCAATCCAAAACGACAGGGGGTCATGCGAGCAATGGCCGACAGAGTGTGAAGCTCCTGGCGGGTCAACTTGCGGTCGTGGTCATGGTAGCAGTTTTCTTCATTAGGGCACTCCCCGAGCAGGAAATAATAGTTGCAGAGCTTGAGCTTCTTCAGTCGGTTCAGCTCATCCCGATTAATAGCCTTGAAGTCAAACCGGTCGACGCGTTGGCCGTACTTGTTCCGTTCGACAGTTTTGGGAGGCATGGAACCGGACGCCTTGGGAGCACGAACGACCGACTGGTAGTCGGTAGGATCCTGATTCGTGGTCATGGTCGACAAAGGCGCACCGGCTCCCGACAGGTTAGTGCTCGTGGAAGTTCGCGATAGAGGAGCCGACGTCTGCTGAAATTGCTGGGTGGGTGACGGGGTGAGCACAGATCGTGATGCAGTCGTCAGGGTGCCTCTCCAAGGCGCATTCCAGGGTGCAATCATTTTGATCATGCGGAAGATATCCGGGAAAGAAGTAACTCGGTAGGATTCCTTCACAGCTTCCATATCCTTCTCAAATGGAAGGCCTTCAACCAGCGAGATGCGGCCGGTGAGATCCCCATCTGTCAAGATGTCTTCTAAGAAACGAGAATACTCGCTGGTCGATGGACAGCCAAGGAAGATCTGGTGGCAGTGGCAGTTGTACAAATAAAGCTTGAGGGATTCTAGAGAGTGGAGCAGAGCATTAGCAAAAAATAAAAAATCACTGACAGAAGCAAGCACGCCACACCGACCTCGAATTTTATCGTGCGCTTTGTTCTTTCCAGCGCCAATATCCACGATCTCAAAGAAAGACAGGGACTCATTGAATCCGCGAATGAAGTCATTAATGATGGTAGGCTCCGGGGTGATGCCATTGCGAGCGCACATCTCCCCGAACCCCTTCACATTGAGATAAATCTTGGTCATTATCTTGGGCGAATTAACGCTTGGGAAAGTCTCGGCGATGTAGGCTTCGAGGGTGGTCCATAGCTGCTTGGCCGCATTGCGCCCGCCCTGTTCGCCGAGCTGCAAGAAGTCGTCCCTAAAAATTATGCCCTCTCCGTCCAAGAGTACGACCACGAAGGGTTCTCGGTCCTGCGCAGACACGCGACTTTGATCAGCTCCACCCACTGCCTCCTGCTCGACCGGCGCTCACCATAATAGTCTTAATTCGCGATATCTGGTCCATCAACTCCATCTCGTGCAGCTGGATGTCACGGTTGAAGCGCGTCTCTCGTTCCCGGTCGAGTTTTTCCTGCCGAAAGGAATTTTCGAGATCGGTGATTCTTGTCAAGAGTTCCTGCGACGGAGAGATGCGTGAGTTTGGAGCCATTGACACGAAGCGCGACCAGCCCTTACCTCGATGAGCTCATTTTTTTGCTGATCCAGGGCGCCTATCTGAGCATAGCGCTCTAAAAAGGTCTGCGAAGTGGCCATGATTATCGGTGGGGGGAGCATGTAGAACAGCAGGCCCGGTAGTTGAATTGAGAGGAACAGAAAAGGTGGAAGAAAGGAGGTGTCAGGTTTAATGAAATCGCGGTTTCCTCAGGAAGATTGAATTATGTAAAGTTTAAAAAGGGAAGGTGCGGCCCAGTCTTTTAAAGTGATGGATGGATCAACCACTGAAACTGGTTCGATACTTAGGCCTGGGCAGGCGCTTTGTTCGTCCACTAGATTGGTCTTTTGGGTTTCCTACACGTCCAGAGAAGGGAGCGGAGTTCCTAGACTCTCCATGGCCTATCCTGCCGACCACCAAAAAAATAAAACATGCGTGAGCAAACGGTTCCATGCTAGACTAGCTGACATAAGCCCGACCAGAGCGGACAGCCATACCGGCATACGTGGAGAAATTGATTCCGCTCCCCTTCTTCCTCCCATCCCTCTATCTCTTCTTCCCCTGTGTCCCCAATTGTTTGTTGTCTAAGGTTCTGCCTGCATCCACAATGGCTCGCTTTGGTTTCCTCTCCCTGGCTCTTCTGTCCCTCCAGGCCCTAGTTGGCAACGCGCTCGCTGTATGTTTGTGTGCACCCCGGATTCTCGCACCCGTGGTCCCCAACAATTGCCCGACTAGGACGCCTTTGTTAATTGATCACATTCTAGGATTCTGAAAAGGTTGAAGCGACTGCCGAGGCGGCCAATGTCGCGGTTACCGCGCAGGCTTCCTTCCCGGCGTCTGAGATCTTCGGCGTTAAGCTGGTCAATGGTCGCCCGACCCAGGCCCTGGTCACCTTCAGCAACGATGAGCCTAACCCCGTCACCTTGAACTTTCTGGGCGGCAGCCTGTGGAGTCTGGATGAGACCAGCACCGTGGTCCGCAACCTGACTGCCACCCGCTACGCTGCCGAGATCCCCGCTGGGGAGAAGGAGACGGTGAGCTACGACTTCGCGACCGAGATGCACCCGCAGGATATCCGCCTGAGCATCGCCGCGATCCTGGCTGATCACGAGGGCAACTTCTTCACCGTCTCGGCCTACAATGGCACTGTGAGCGTCGTCGAGCCGGAGACCAGCATCTTCGACCCGCAGATGTAAGACCCCCCAAATCAGTTCGCATGGCTCCGTCAACTGACAATGGGCACTATAGCATCTTCCTCTACTTCTTCCTCCTGGCCTGCTTTGTTGGTGTCGTGTACTTCTTTTACACGGTCTGGGTCGCCCCCTACTTCCCCCAGAAGCGCAAGAGCAGCAAGGCCGACACCGCCAAGCGCACCCCCAAGCGCGAGTCCACTGGCCCGACAGAGGAGCCCACCAGCCCTGCTGTCTCGTCTGCCTCCACCTACAACGCCGACTGGATTCCTACGCACCACATCAACCGCCCCGAGGCGCGGAAGGTCAAGGGTGGCCGTACCAAGGTCCGTTCCTAGATCTAGGCTAGATCTAAATGTGGCACGAACTTGTATGAGAGGCGAATATTTCAGGGGACGTTGGGGGCAGTGAATGTGATAGATCGAACACGGCTAGACTCCTAGCCTGGTTCCTTTCTGTTCAAACTGGGTGCAGCACACTGGGACCGGTGTGGAATAGGGCTGGGAATGCACATTCCACTACCGTTCACAAGGACCTGTGCCCGGCGCATGTATATTTAGAAAGAAGAAAAACCAGCGTTGGACCCATGCAGCCTGTTGAGAGAACCCTTTGGAAAGCCTCACGGAGATCTCATGGTCAATCCATCCATCAATTGCAATATCAGCTGCATCCCCTCGCGGTCAGCTATCACGAGTTGCAAGATACTTCTTCTCTTCCCTTGTAGAGGTTAATGTCTATAGTTTCTTCCACTCCTTGAACTCCAGGTCGAGGTGCTGCTTCAGCTCCACAAACCGGTTCCCAAACTCCTTCCCACAGCGCCAGCAGACAAAGTCCCGGCGCAGATATCCCTCGCCCGTGGGATGGCAGCGGACATCATCCTTGTCCAGTGGAAAGTCCTCAATAGGCACAAAGAACGGCGTCGAGAAGCTATTGTAGTGCTTCCGATGCTTGAGGCAGTCATTATACCGATCCACGGAGATGACATGCACATGCAGATGGTTCATTGAAGGCACCGCATGGATGCCACACATAATCTCCCGCTCCCAGTCTCGTCCCAGTGGCAGCTCGTCCGGCGGCGGGTCCGCAGCCAGTGCAGCCTGTCGCGCTTGCTCCTGTGCTGAGTCCTTGGCGTATCTCCGGCGTAGTTCGCCCGCGGCTAGTTTGCGCAACTTGTGCGTCTCGGCTTGCACCTTCGCGAGGAATTCGGGGTCTTTGAAGGCGTCGAATGGGTGCAGGCGTGACTTGGTGGGGTCGCGTGGGAGCAGGAGCAGATGCAGGCTCGACTTGGGGAATTTGTCGTGGATTACCGCGAAATCTTCATTGTGGTATACGACCACGTCCGATGGGTAAGACTCTGGTTTGGAGATGTATGCGCCTAGTCCGTCGCGTCCGCCGAAAGAGGCTCGGCTGAAAGCTGCGTTGCTGCGTGGGGATTGAGTCTTAGAAATGTTGGCTGCGTGCTTGGATCGCTTCTTTTGGGAGGAGAGGAGCTCGGTGACTATGCAGTCAGTCTTGATCGGGTTCATCTGTAGGGAGTCTTACAGGCGTTTCTCTTCTCAGCTGGAGGCGCATCCCCAGCATCCTCCTCAGTGGTTGATTTGCGCTCCATCTGAGTCATGGTCGCCCATTCATTGATCAAAGCATTTTCTCAAGACAGGAGTGTAGCGAGTGAGTAGTCACATTGTTCGTCCAACAGCGAAGTAGATGAGTGACGTTGGTGCGGTCTTATCGAAGCATGGATGATTGCGGGACATCGTTCGTCCGGAGTCGCAAAAAGTCCCCAGATCAATTCTTCCCCGCGCAACCCATTTCACGTCCGGAGATCGAAAGGAATGGGCCCGAAAAAGAAAGGCGATGGCCGTGGAGGCCCCAAGCCCGGCACGAAGCAGGCCAAGGCCGACAAGGACAAGGCGAGCGAGGCAAAAAAGACGCCCGCCGCGCCGCCGGAGGAGCCCAAGAAGCCCTCAGTGAAGGAGGTCATTGGGGGCGCCTCGTGGACGGGCAAGCTGCCGGTGAACATGCTATCGGAGCATTGTCAGAAGCAGAAATGGGAGAAGCCAGAGTACAGCATGGTATGCTTTTGGAGAGGGTCCGACGACTACAGGACGAGAGAATATGCGCTGAGACACAAGAACAGATCAAAACCTCCGAGGGATTCGTCTCCGCCGTGACACTGAAGAAAGTCGATCTCAAGACGAAGGAGATGATTGTCATCCCGCCGATGAAGCTGCCGCCGTCGCACAAACATCTCGCAGCGCAAACAACGGCCCTGGAGGCGCGCCATTTCGCTGCGGCATATGCCCTTTTCCGCGTGTGCAACATGCGTAATCTCCATATGATGCTCCCGCCGACATATAAGAAGCTATGGAAGGAAGATTTTACCGATATCAAAGCCGCAGATACCAAGGAGGGCAAGGGTTGGATGTACGAGGCGGATCCGTTCCTGGCCAAACAGGAGCGCGAGAGCGCTGCTGCCGAGCTGGTGAAGAAGAGGGCGGAGCGTGAAAAGATGCAGGCAAAGGCAAAAGCGTCCCCTGCTTTGGATTTGGGGGTGGGTGCTAGTGATGGAGAGAACAAAGGACGCCGAATTTGGTCCCAGGCGCCCAAGGTGGATATGGGGAACAAAATCCGCCAGGAAATTGAAGGGCTCTTGAGGGATCATGCGATCTGGAATCCCTATGGGATCAAAATCACGGAGAAAGAACAGAAAACCATTGTCGATGACCTGGCGCGTTTGGGATTCCGGCGCAGTCACGTCGAGGAAGCTGTGATGGAGTGCAAAGATCGCGAGGAAGTGCTGGAGTGGCTTCTGATCTATGTGCCTGAGGATGATTTGCCTCCCTGGAGTCTGCCAGAGGGATATTCCGCTGGCGTCACTCTCGCCACGGGAGATCTCGCTCGCGAGGCCAAGATCAAGCGACTCGCATCGATTGGGTACCCCACCGGTCTATGCTCACAAGTGCTAGACAGCAAAGGGGGCGATGAGCTTGCGGCAGCAGAATTTCTGCAAGGAACATTGGTGCATGGATTACAGTTCTCTTCTTCTCCGGACGGGAATACAGAGGCCTGGGCCGAAGAGCAGTCGACATTGGAAGCTATCTTTGGCGAACGATACACCCGTACATCGGCGAAGGTCTGTGAAATTCAGAGTGAGGCTCCGAATATCCCAGAGAATACTTCGTTCCGCTTCCAAGAGCCATCGGCCCATTATCCCTCTACGGCGCCAGTGATCTCAATCCTGGCCAAAGGCATCCCGGCGTACATACGCCTCAGCGCAATCCGCCGTGCAGTGCAATATGCTGAAGAGAACTTTACTGGCGAGCCGATGATATTCAACATCCTGGATTGGTTAGAAGTGAATCTCCCCGAGATCATGGAAAATCCAGGCCGACTGCGGGAGATTTCAGCTGTAACGGCGTCGCCCGCTACGGGTGGCCAGACCTCCGAGGTCTCGGTGCGTCCATCACGCAGACAGCGCAAAGGCATTGACTGGAAGCCTGGATCTCCGCAAAGTCTCGCTATGCGAGAGGCTTGGGAAGCCAAACAAGCCAGCGCAGCACAGAAGGAGATGTCGCGGAAGCGACAATCCCTTCCCGCGTGGAACACACAAGATGCTATCCTCGAGGCTGTCAACACGCACCAAGTGACCATCATCTCCGGTGAGACCGGAAGCGGCAAGAGTACGCAGTCGGTGCAGTTCGTTCTAGACGATATGATCCAGCGCGGACTAGGCGGTGCAGCCAATATCATCTGTACGCAGCCTCGAAGGATTTCAGCCCTGGGACTTGCCGATCGAGTCAGCGATGAGCGATGCTCATCCGTTGGCGACGAAGTTGGATATGTGATTCGCGGAGAGTCAAAAGTGAAGCAGGGCTCCACAAAGATCACATTCGTGACCACCGGAGTCTTGCTGCGTCGAATCCAGTCCGGTGGCGATGCCGACGGTAATGTCGCAAGTTCTCTGGTGGATGTCTCGCATGTGGTGGTAGACGAAGTTCATGAACGCAGTCTCGATACCGATTTCCTCTTGGCGCTGCTGAGGGATGTTCTGCGTCATCGCAAGGACCTCAAGGTGATTCTCATGAGTGCTACGCTAGACGCTAGTATTTTTACGAATTACTTTGGTGGCTCCATGTCCGTTGGTTTGGTAAATATCCCCGGACGAACCTTCCCTGTCCAGGATTATTACTTGGACGATGTCATCCGGAACACTGGATTTGCGCCCGAGTTGAGCGAGCGCGGCCTGGACGACGATATGGACGAAGTCGAACGAGGTGACGAGTCAATTGGCCGGGCTCTTCGCAGTGTTGGTATGGGCATCAACTATGAGTTGATCGCATCTACCGTTCGATATATCGATGATCAGCTTGGGGACCAGCCTGGGGGGATCTTGATCTTCCTACCGGGCACGCTCGAGATTGAGCGGTGTCTGTCTGCCGTCAGGAAGATACCCAATGCACATCCACTGCCCCTTCATGCATCTTTGCTCCCAGCTGAGCAACGTCGTGTTTTCCAGAGTCCGCCCAGGGGGAAGAGAAAGATTATTGCTGCCACTAACGTTGCCGAAACCTCCATCACCATTGCGGATGTTGTCGCCGTCATCGACACCGGTCGAGTCAAAGAAACCAGCTATGATCCCAAGGATAATATGGTCCGTCTGCAAGAGGTCTGGGCATCACAGGCAGCATGTAAACAACGCCGCGGACGAGCGGGTCGTGTCCGTGCAGGTATCTGTTACAAGCTGTATACTCGCAAGGCCGAGTCCAACATGGCACCCCGGCCAGATCCAGAGATTCGCCGTGTTCCTCTGGAACAACTTTGTCTGTCCGTGAAATCCATGAAAGGAATTGACGACGTCGCGAACTTCCTCGCCAACACAATCACTCCTCCTGAGAGCATGGCCGTTGAAGGCGCTCTCGGCTTCCTGCATCGCGTTGGAGCCCTGGACCATAACCGCCTGACTGCATTGGGTCGGTACCTGTCCATGATCCCCGCGGATTTGCGATGCGCGAAGCTCATGATCTACGGCTCCATCTTCGGCTGCATTGAACCCTGTCTCACCATGGCCGCCATCCTCACAGTCAAAAGCCCGTTCGTTTCACCGCGCGAGAGGCGCGATGAAGCCAACGCCGCTAAAGCCAGCTTCTCACGACCCGGCGACGGCGACCTTCTCACTGACCTCTCTGCCTACCAGCAGTGGTCTGAACGATCTCGCGCCCAGGGTTATTGGCAAACACAGTCATGGTGTGCGGCCAACTTCGTATCCCACCAAACGCTCCGCGACATATCGTCCAACCGCGCTCAATTCACCACCTCCCTCAAAGATGCCGGTGTGCTCCCTGTCGATTACTCAGAGTCGGATCCCCGCTGGAGCCGCAACGCCTCCAACCGCAACCTTCTCCGCGCTTTGGTAGCAGGCTCCTTCCAGCCGCAGATCGCTCAGATCTCGTTCCCGGACAAGAAATTCGCCAGCTCAGTCACCGGCACCGTCGAGGTTGACCCCGACGCTCGCACCATCAGGTATTTCAACCAGGAAAACGGCCGTGTCTTCATCCACCCCAGCTCCATCCTGTTCTCCGCGCAGAACTATCCCGGCGCGGCGGCGTATCTGAGCTATTTCTCCAAGATGGCTACCAGCAAGGTGTTCATCCGCGACCTCACCCGTAAGTTTCTACTTTTCTTTCGCACACCCTGACTGCTTCTAACTTTTTGTTTTGTGTTCAGCTTTCAATGCATACGCCCTTCTCCTCTTCTGCGGTTCCATCTCCTTAGATACCATGGGCCGCGGCCTTGTCGTGGATGGCTGGCTCCGACTGCGTGGCTGGGCCCGTATCGGCGTGCTGGTCTCGCGCCTGCGCATGATGCTGGACGAAGCTCTCGCTGCGCGTTTTGATAATCCCTCGTTGGGGTCTGATTCTTCTGGTGCTCTTGCCATTGGTGATCAGGTCATCGATGCTGTGAAGAAGCTGATTGAGTTTAATGGGTTAGACCAGTGAATTTTACAGGTGCCCATATTTATACATACCTTACATAGAGAGGGAATTCACATTAGATTACGTTACATTCTATCCTGGGTAGAGCTTGAGGTCGAAAATTGTTGGATAACCTGAAACCGCTGGCCTTATACAAAAGCTACCTATGGGGTTGGCGTAGCAGACATAGCGACGATATAAGATGAGGGTGTGCTCGTCATGGACATGGTAATACTGTTCCGCACGCCCGACTTCCAGGTCGAAATTCCCTCGAGCATGGCCCCGTATCCCCACTTATTCGTGAAGTCGAATTCCGCCCGGTCTTTGGAGTCCCATTTCCAATTCAGCCACATTGTGAGACAAACGTTAGCAATCCCCCAGTGGTTAGCAGTCCAGTTTTTAGCTGATGCGGAGAAATATGTTAGATCCTTTGTTGTGCAACAATCGGAGAATAGTAAGAACTTACGCATGACGCAGTTGTCATTCTCATCCCATTCTCCTATGGGTTTGATGGCGACCCCTGTGCAACCTTGGTAGTTCTCGAACGAGGCAAAGCATTTGTTAACACCGTCGTGGCGGACGAAGCTGAGATAGCCCGTAGGCGTAGGAGTAGGTGCACTAGAGTAGCTGACTGATGGTGGGAGAGAGGTAACCGAGATGGTGTTGGTCGCGCTCGGTGCAAACTTTGAGACTCCATCTATGAAGTAACCATTTCTATCCAAATGCTTCCTGTTCTTCCAGTAGATCAAGAACATTGAATCAATGCCCCAATTGTAGTCCAAAATTCCAGGGTCACATATGCCCGCACTGTCTACATGGACTCCGGTCAAGGTTTCGTTCTTGACTTTATAGAAACGCATATCAGACATGGGTAATTTAGACACGTATTGGCAGCAGTGATAACTTACGCGGGCTGCATTGACCATTAGCATGGACCGTTCCAACTGGCACATTCGTTCTTCCGGTGCATCCTTCAAAATCTGTCACTTCAATATAACATTTGCCATCGTTGTATGGGGTAGTGAAGACGAGGGTGCTGCCACATGCCAGATTGGCATATGCAGCGATTGCCAGGAAAACAGTGGGAATATGCATCATGGCGGTTCAGACGAAAATGGTAAATGGAGATGCTGGAGGAGTGATTTTGTCTGTCATTAAACAACCTCATGTCTCATATCTTGCTGCCCCAGCGTAGTATCCGATCTAAACGAGAGCGGTGGCAGTACTTAAAACTTGGATTCTGATAGGTGCTTCCACCTGAAAGTACTAAAGAATGGGGGACGATTTTCTCCAATCATGGTCCATAAACATGGAGGTTGACCTCGAGGTTGATTGCCAAGGCAGATTTTGAATCGTAACGCAATCCACACGCGATCCAAACATCACACATAGTAAATAGGGTAATATTTTACAACAAAGTGGCTAGCGCCATCGTCGACATACTAAGTATAGCTTTTGCCATATGATAAAAAGGTCTAGAAATAGAAATTCCAAGGCTGGTTTTGACCTACGCCCATGAAGACTTCAGTCTCGGACTTACAGTCTACAATCCTATTTAAGGAAGGAACTTCGAACCCACTTTTGGCCATAGATGTATAGCCCTCGAATTACAATGCTTACCCATGCCCATCCTCCGTAAGAATTTGTGGCTATCATAGACGCTTATAAAGGGCATGGACAAGCCAACAATATCTTACACCTGTCGCTCAGCGCTACGCAGTAATTAGGAATGAAATATATCAAGTCCTCTCATTATTATCCTGCGCAGTGTCATGCATCGCACTGCAGCCGAATCCCGATAAGCTAGAGAGGAAGAAAAAGGATAAAAAAAGTAAGCACTGGATTTCATGCTTGCTATCTGTCCATTGAAAACGCCATTCCGGCCATTAAGAAAAGAAGAAACTCCCCGAAAGCTCACAACTCAGAATCAATGGGCATCAAAGGTCGTCATCAACTGTAAGGGGAAGGAAAAACCGATGAAACAAAAGAAAAGAAAAGAAAAATGTAATCCAACAAGAAAGGAAGAGGATATTAACTCCGGTCCACTCCAGCAATCACCCCAGCCCAGTCCCGAGCAACCCTAGCAAAGAAAAGAAAAAACCCCAGTTTCCTATCCGAGTAAACCATGTTCACCGAGATCTAGCACCAATTCCGAGACTGCAATGAAAAGGAGGTAAGAGCGTGAAGGGGGAAGAGCAAATGTGTATGTGAATGATGATGTATGCACGCAAGCATAGAGAACATCCAGCTTGCGGGTTTCGTGTCATGTTGGTGAATTAGAGGGATGTCGCAACTCGAATCGCTTAGTAGTTCGCATAGCCGTCTAGGCGAGCCGGGTTCGACAGGTCAGCCACGGGAGGAAGAAGGAAGCCACGCATAATCTCGGTCTCGACGTAGAGGGCAGCACGCTTGAAGCGACGGTCTGAGTACTTCTCAAAGACGGCGCCGTGGTGGCGGCGAGGGTTCACGCAGCAGTCCAGCATGGTGGTGATCACCGGGATCAGCTGAGCGTAGAGGTAGCCACTGTAAAATGCGTGGGCGGGGGTCCAACAGCCCTTGTACAGGATCAGCCGCGCCAGGCAGTGGGCCCCAGCTGCCGCAAAGCTGGGAGGGGTGCAGACAAAGCGCTCATCCATGATAGTGACCTCCAGGAAGTACTTGGCGACCGTACGGGTCTCCAGATCGTAGTCATCTGCCTTACTGATGCGGCGGAGGAAGCTCATCGGGCCAGGCCAGCCGAGCTCAAAGTCCAGAATGTTCAGCATGAAGCGCTCGGCCTTCAGAATCTCGTCAATGGTGTAGCCACCGTCAACCATGTACACAATCTCCTGGACGGAGGGGGCCGTGATCTCCTCGTACTTGGCAGCGATGAAGAGTGCCGTCGCGCCTACCAGCTGCAGTTTGCCCAGGGAGACAATTTTGCGCGACAGGAACCGATCAATGTAGTTGACGCACAAGTACAGGGTCTCGGGCAGCAGCGTAAAGCGATGATGCACCTGCACCAGCCAGTCCATCAGGACGGAGCGCATCGACCACTGGATCTCGGCCTGGTTGGCCATGTAGTCCGCTTCGGGCAGCATTTCGATCTATCACACAGGTTAGTAACGGCGTCCCTCCTTCGTATCATCAAACATACCTCGCGGGTCCGCAGGTGAAGGAAAATCTCCGAGCCATACTCGGCAACCATGCTGGTATCCCAAAAATCCTCCTCAATGTCCTCCGGAGTGCGGGTAGACTCGACAATGTCCTTGGCCTGGAACATCTGGCCCTTGGTGATCTCGCTCATCTTGGGATAGATCACGGTGGTCGCGGTACCAGTGGTGATATCGCCACGCGATCGCTGAGAGGGCGCGGTGAGCTGGCCGTCCACCTCATGGTAGGCCTCATCGTCCCAGTATTCCTCGGGCTCCGACACCGCGGAGGTAGGGTCCTTGGAAGCGAGACCTGGGGCCTTGGTCTCGTCGGTCTCGTAGTCATACACGACGGGATCATAGTTGTGTTGGTCATACGCATTGATGGGCTCGGACGTCCTGAGCACAGCAGGCTGCTTGGCAAGGACCATCGAGTACTCATCCTTCCAACTTTCCTGGGGCTTGGAAGCCTTCTTCACAGCAAGATTGTCGTTGGCGGTGGTCGACGAGGCCTGCGAAGGCGCGATGGTGACGGAGGACACGGTAGAGGAGCGGGCAGTAGTTTCCTTGGATGTTTCCTTCAATTTATGAGGAGGTTGCAGCTCATCTCTAAAGACCAGGTTGTTGCGCTTGGCCTGGGTGTTGTTGGTAGTGGTGTTGTTGAGGACCGGTAGCGCTTTTCCGGCAGGATTGACAGGTTTGGAGTCGACGACGTTGTTCAGCAGGCTCTTGAGCCCGGACATGGACATGGGCCGCTGGGCAGGCTGGGCCAGTACCGCAGGCTTCTTGTCCACCGCGACCGGCTTCTCCAGGAGCTTGCCCACGGGCTTTCCCTCCAACGCAGAATCATCGCGACTGGGACGAAGCGCATTCTTGGTGTTGCTCAAATCCCCAAAGGCAGTGCGACGAGCCCCATTGTTGACAGCGTTCTGCATCATCAAGTTCAGCGCAGGGGTGGACTTGTTGCGCTGATGCAGGGACTTGGAAGCCGGCAGGGCGAAGGGAGCCGCGTTCTCGTCCCCACGGACGCGGATACGCTGGGGCTAGAGAGAGATCATGAGGGTCAGTCTGGAGTTTCTTGTATCGCAGGGTTAACAATGGGTGGGAGTTGGTTCGCATAAGGTCTGGGCCTTAGCCAAGCGCATTGTCACGACTGTAAACAACCTCGAGGCCAGGCACACTAGTCGCAGGGCTTTAAGGACAAAATGGGCACCGAAATGATCATGAAAGAAGAGGGAAGACATACCTTCGCATCCATGGTTGTCTGGGAAGTTGAACAGACAAGTGCGCGTGTGTGTTGAGGAAGTCGGGAGGTTTGTTTATCTCGAAGGAAAGAGGGCCGGGCGGTCGGGTGGTGATTGGCGGAGTGAAACACTGTGGGCCGGATTCCACAGCAACACGGTGGAGTGCAACACCAGAGGTATGTGGGACAAGGGGGTGACGGTGAATGAGCGAGCCCAATAATTACGCGAGAGCTCCGGCAGTGAATGAGCAGTGAATCCGTGATTGGGAGTGAATGAAGGTTCCCAATTAGGGCTAGCGCTATTGGGGCATTGGGAGGGCCACGAGCTGCCTACCATCCGCCCAGAGTCCCTCGAACAATAGAACAATTCGATCAATAGAGAACAGCGACTGTCCGTCAGTCTTCCGCCCTCTTGCAGTCCAGTCGCCATGGATCGCTCAACATGATACTATACCAACTCTCTCTCTCGGTCGGGATCAAAAATGAGTTCCAGAGGAAGCTGCTGTAAATGTAAACAAACACAATGAACAGGCGCAAGTGGAGAAGAACAGTGCCACTCCTTGAAAGCATGGCCAGAAGTTGAAGGGGTGTACTGGAAGTAGTGCGAGGTACCTGGATAACCGTATCGTCCGAGAGATAGTCATCTATATACATCCATTGAGCAACGACGGTTCCAGCTGGTCCTGCTGCGTCGTCATGGAGATAGACCTACCCAAGATATATATCACCACCCCAACAAATATATCCGCGCACCAAACACCCGTCATAATCGAGTGCAACCGCCAGACCAGATCCATGACACCCAAATTCGTCCCTTCCTCTTTGTGGTTGAGAGCATCCATGGATCTCGCCAGGGCTGGCCGCCGCTCGACCTGATTATGTCATGATTTAAATGACATCATACCACGTGCGGCGCGTGTTCCCCACACGCGCCGAGTCAACAGTTCGGAGCATCTTTTCGTTCTCCTTCACCATACACAAATGATCCAAGCAAAAGAATGACTGTCGCAGACACCGCCTGGTCTCCAGATGATGTTCCGACCATAATTATTCCGCACTATCGTGACAATGGCGACACACACCACCTCCCGCGCTACACACCGGATCGACACGCTTCAACACGTCTGCACGTGACCAAGTCGCTCACCGCTGAAGCAGCCAGACCAGTCCACCTCATCCCCGGGAGGCCCGCGCAATGGCCAGCAGAATGGCGCCGTTCCTGCTGCCACGGACTCGGCGTGGTGCGCCAGTCGGCAACGACCAGGGGCCACTCTTGCACAGTCTTGCGCGACCACATTGCGCGAGCAAATCACCATACAAATAAGAGCTTTCTTAAGAATGGCGCCTGTGCGGGGTTTGGCCAGTTCGTGGCTGATGCGGCCGGAGTCGGTTTAGTTAACTACCTGAACACTAAATTCACTCGTGGGCCCCGTTCTAGGCGCTGCTCATCCACTCATTCCGATGATGAGTTTTAGTCCCTGCGAGCCCTGCCGGAGCCGGGTCTCCCTGCGCACGCCCGGAGAAAGCAGCAAGTAAATAAGAAGACATCGTAGACCCAAGGCCCTGACGTAGAGAGACAAAAGGATTCCACTCCATCCAGCAGATCATCAGCGCATCATCCTTGTTGCGCCCATGATGACCGCCCAGCTGACAGAGTACATGTTGCGCCAACACCGCTCTCTTCCCCAATTACCCTGTCGCATCTCTTGCGACTTCGGAGAGACAAGAATGGTAATCGCGCGGGCCCGTTTTGGCCCTCCGGCAATGCCAATCCGCAATGCGACAAGGGTGGATGCGGATGATTTGATCGCCCCCCCCCTCCCCCCCAAGGTGATTGCCGCGCATCATCAGCCGACGGCCAGACGAGGCCAGGAGCCATCCCGCGATGTGGTTGCGCTGGCATTCGAGCCACGCCATTAGCGCGATCCGTTCTTTATTGGTCTTGGGCGCTCGTCAGTCGGCGCACGAGGTACCTGCTTTGTGCGAGCGAACGGCGCACCATCCTTTCGCCAGCATTTTTGCTTGCTATTTTCTGTGCGATCGAAACATGGGAATTTCTGCGATTTGATTTATGATGGATTTGGGGATTTGTAGTTCCATCATAGGGCACTCGAGGGGGCACTGTAGGACCGCTGTCATCCGGCGCAACGCATCCGGATTGCGACAGCGGTTGCGCACTGCGAAAACACCGCGATAGGCCGGTCGCTCCTAGACAGGAGAATTTATAGGCAAGAGAGCAAAGTAGAAATTATTGCAACATAAATTATGTTAAAAAAGGCAGTACGGGGCGCAAATCGGTCACTCCAGGACCGCTTTTCGTTTTGCTCTGAAACCTGGCACCCACCAGCACCACCAGCACCATTTCTTCTTTCCTCTTCTCTTCTTCCTCCCGTCACCTTCGCCCATCCTGTCGCCCATCCATTTAGCACCAACCTGGGGTATGTCTTAGTGCTCTTCTGTCCCTGATATGCCCCCAACCCTGGCCCTCTAGTCACTGTTCTGCTCTCGGCTACTAGGCCGCTGACATAGCCCAGCGCTTCGTAGACCTCAAACGGTCCCCTCGCCCCGACAACATCCTGCGTCCTTTTCATCCCATCTTCGACAACCCTTCCGGATACCTGCGACTCTGGAGGAATCGGTTTGACTCGATTTAAGTGTGTCCCTCCTCTCTTTCCCTCTGCTTCCGAGTCTTTTCGCTCTGTTCTCTTCCCCCCCCCAACAACAGGCCCGCTCCCAGGTCGGCCGGACTCGGTTAGCGAGCACATCCATCCATCCCCCTCGCAGACAAAACCCTTTCCTAGTCATCTTGCCAGTGGCCTCGAGTCCCCAGAACCCCATTGTACTGACAGCCACTGTGTGTTTTCACTCTAGACTACACTGTCACTTTCTCGACTCTAGCGACAACAGGCTTGCCCCCTCCCACCTCCCTCCATCGCCGACCCTGCTCCAACATCCTCCCCCAAACCCGGTGGCCCATCCACTGGCCAGTTCGATCTGATCCTATAAATTGTGGTAGGTTCGATGGTCTCCCTCCCTCTGCCCTGGCCGGCTCTTCCTCCCGTTCCCGCTTTTCCGCACACAGAGGCAGATGGGTTGATGCAGTCATCGCTATAGCAGAGAGGCTTTCTCCCACATCCTGGACCTGACCACCATGCAAGTGGTCCAGCAGGACAACCAAATGGTCCTCGGGGAGCAGCCGGTTTTTGCAGATGACCGTGCTGTCGCCTCGGCGGCCCGGGGTCCATCGCACAAGGGCCCCGTCCCCAAGAACGTCGCTTTCGAGCTTCTGCTGGACGAGAACTCCAAAGTTCGAGCCCGCATTCCCATGCGCGTTCAGATTTACCCGCATGACACCACGGACTCGATCGTCACGACTGTTAAAAACTTCTATGGCATCTACGATGCCGCCGCCAGCGGTGTGAGCTTCGAGGATGAACATGGGATCACTCTCATCGCAAGGTACGAGAACCTGAGAAATAACATGACCGTCTACGTGCGGGTCATCCCCGTCCAACCGTACCCAGAGGCCTACGGGGACCGCTTCTACGGTGGCTTCTCTGCCGAGACCCGTAAGCGACCCAGTCTGGGCGAGCCGTTCCAGATGGAGTCGGCTATGTCGGCAGTGCAGGCGCTAGATCAGGGCCAGTCTCCGTCTCGTCCGAGCTCGCGATTGGCGCGAAAGCGCAGTACCTCCCCGTCGAGCCGGAGTCTCCGGAGCACCTCGCAGCATAAGCAGGGCTCTCGCAGCGGCCTTAAAAGCCGCGGGTCGAGTGTCCATGGTGGCTTCCCTGGTGACGAGGCGAATGGCTACAGCGATAGCGATGGTGAATATGGTTCTATCTCGGGCGCTCGCAAGGCTCGTAGCGATCAATTCGCCAGCTCTGAGATCAGCATGGAGAACATACTCCAGGATGGTCGTCGGAAACGTCCCAAGTTTGACAGCTCGGTGAGTTTTATGTCTTTTTCTCTCGAAGCTATCGGCTCTAACGTTCCTTTCTCTCTCTAGGAACTCCCATTGTTTGCGCCTCCCCAAGTCCCGCTTACCATGTCGACCTCCTCCATCTCCCCCCAGCGTCGATCCGTCGGCCAGGAAGGCGCTTCGCCTTTTGCGCGTCCTACACACCGTCCATACAACTACCAGCAGCCGCTACCGTCGCCGCAGAGCTATGGACATAGTGAGCATGCCTATGGTATTCACACAGGGCGCAATACGATGTATGCTACTCCCGTGGTCCCGGACCATGGACATCGCCTGCGAGATCGCAATGCTACCCAGGCTTCGGGTCCCTTTATCAATTCGACTGGTAGAGTCAGTGGCGCTGGCGTATTGCCCACACCAGACCCCACTATTGCCAGTTGCATCTCCGATGAAGATGTAGCCATGCAGCTAATCCGTCTGGGTGATGCGTCCAACTTCTCTCATGGTCGCACGTCAGCCTCCACGCTGGATGATGCTTTTAGCGGTGCTGCCGACGCGGCCTCGTCGGCGGCCACTAGCGATGGAGAAGACTTTAGTGAAGACGAGGATGATTTGCCTCGTCGGCAGAGGCAGGAATCGAGCCCGATGCTTCCACCGGGTACTACCAAGCGCCAACACAAGCGTTTGGATGATATTCTGCCCAGTGCCGATAGCAGCGAGCAGAGCTCTGATGGCGCTGACGAATTTGGGCACTACGATCGGTTCGGTGCTCCGGTCAAGAGTGAGGCCGATTACGATCTCTACCGTGACTACGCTCCCAAGGCCAAGAAGCCCAAGAGTCGTCCCGCCAACATGCCACCCAAGCCTCGCAGCCAGAAGATGGTACCGCCAAAGTCGAGCAAGGGAGCCAAGACCAGCACCTCAGCTGCTCCGCGCAAACCCAAGATGCCAGGCCCTGTGGGTATGGACAAGACGACGCCTTCTTTCCCACCGCTGAGCCCCAACTCCGCCCGCAAGGTCTCGGGATCGTCGGTCAACTTCCAGCACCAGCTCGGTGCCGATGAGGAAGACTTGTCGACCAAACCTCGCTGCCAGCGGTGCCGCAAGAGCAAGAAAGGCTGCGATCGCCAACGCCCGTGCGGGCGCTGCAAGGATGCAGGCATTGGCATCGATGGATGCGTTAGTGAAGACGAGGGCAATGGCCGCAAGGGCCGTTATGGTCGTCACATGGGCGTCGCCGTCAAGAAATCCACCGATGGGTCGATTATTGACGGTGGCAACGAGTTCCTCCCAATTTCGACCACCTCATCGCCCATTGCCTCTGCAGGTGATATTGCAGACAAGAATAAGAAACGCAAGCGCTAAGTATGCTTTCTTTTTGTCCGATTGGCGACTCTCCAAGCTGCTCTTTATACGAAACCCCCCACCTTACGCACTTGCCTCCAGGAAGCGACTTGTCTTCTTGATCTCCGACCTGCTTCTTTACTCTCTTCGCCTGGAGATTGTTCTCTAGGTCCCGCTCCCTCCTTCACTGATCTCTTGGTGTTTTCTTTTCTTCGGTGTGTTTTTTTCTTGGCCATGGCTGGACGATCCCGACACTCCTTACTTTATACTCTGTTCCTGTTTTGTCATTTCCTCCCCACCCCCACCACCTCCCTGGCTTTCTGCCATGGGTGCCCGATCTGAACTATACAAAGTCCCAAAGCGGTTGATGAGATCCTATCCTTGTTTGTTTCTGTCTTGCTGGCGGTCTGTTCGTACGGTAGCAACGTCTGTGTTTTTTCCCGAGTTTTCCTCACTACTCGCTCTTTCATATTCAATGCTATACGTGTCCTTTATCTTTTCTATTTGCTTCTTGCTTATATGAATGTCCTTTTTCTCTCGTTTGTTGACTTGGTGAGAGTGGCCGCAACAAGGTGGGTGTAGTACACGGGGGGTAATGGCCGAAAGGGGATGGACTGTACAAGAAGTGGTCTTTTCTGTTCCTGTGTATTCTCACGTTAGTCTGGCAATCGATCCATTGAGTTCTGCCTCTTCAATCACTACCGTAATTGTTCAAGCTCTATACTCAGGTTGTATCATCACGTGATCCACGGCCCCGCTACTTTTTTTCATCCGTCGTGACGACTGCAGAGTTGATTCATTCATTCAGTCAATCTCGTTCAAATCCTTTCACCTCTTTCCGTTCTCGATTCCACACATAGAATATCGACCCTACGTTTTGAAAGTCTCCATACGAGTCAATGTACCACAGAGACTGCCGCAGCGAGCATCTCGTCTAAACCTCTACCTTCTCTATACCCGGCGAGACGCGGACAAGCGCCTCGCCAGAGTCGCAAACAGCCATGCCTCCCAAATCCGCAATTCGGCGCACAAGACGCACCGCCGAGGAACCCACCTCGACCTCTGTCCCCACCAGCGCAGAGTCTACAGCCCCCCCAAATGCATCCGAGACTCCAGTACCCCCAAGTGCATCCGAGACTCCAGCACAGGCTGGCCCATCTGCCACTACATCTTCCCGACCACCAGTGCAGCGACTGCAGTCACTCAAAAAACGCACACCAGCCGGAAGTATTTCACCCAGTGGCCGGCCGCCCTCTGCGCTCGGCGGCGAGCAAGCGAAGCCGACTCTAAAATACAAGCCACGGGCCGTCGGGCGTCGCAGCAAGGAAGAGCGTGAGGCAATCGAGAAACTCGAGCAGGAACGATACAATGAGCGTCTCAAGGAAGCGGCTGCTATCCAGCGAGGCCGGCGCGGAGCCGCGTCTACGAACATCCGCGGCGGATTCCGTGGGCGCGGTGGCCCGATGGGAATGAGCATGGGCGCTGGTGCTATGATGTCCGGTCGAAGAGGCAGAGGCGGCGGTGCCGGAGGAGGAGGATCTGGTTATGACTCCCGACATTCCTCGACTTTTGGACCGCGGAGCCGCACGCGGTCTCATATTAGCGGAGGCAACATCCGGGCGGGGGGAATTTCTCGGACGACGAAGATGGTTCTGGCCTGCGGGTTAGTATTGACCAGATCAATCTGGAGAGCAGCGATGAGGAGTACACCCAATCGCACACCATCAAGGGTAAGATGCCTATTCGGGAGCGGCGCGAGAGAGGTCTACGGCCGGTGCGTGTGGAGCGACATCCGCACGAGGAACGGGTCGTCAGTGTCAATATGGAGTCAAGCTTGGGCGAGGCCGCCCAGCTGCGGGAAAAGGCTCGCGCGAAGGCTACGGAGAACAATGCGCTGTTTGTGGACGATGACGGCCCGGATACAACTGCCGCAGCAGAAGAGCCACGCGTGAAGCAGGAGGACGACGATGCGGTCATGACAGACGACATCCCCCTCGCTGATGATGACGAACTTTTACCCGCGCAGAAAGTCCGCGTGCGCCGGAAGCTGGCTGCCCAGAAAGCCATAGAAGAGAGTCTACCCGAACCAGAGTCGGAACTGGAAGCTGCCCGCGATCCCCGGCGGCTTTTACGGACTAGGGAGGAGATTGAAGAGTACGAGCGACACCAGCATGACCTTGAGGTCGTGCAGCATCTGTTTTCGAAGCCGGTCGAGAAGCCCGAGACTACGGAGGCTCAACCCGCTGAAGGAGAAGAAGCCGAAACAGGGGCGGAAGAACGAGGAGAAGAAGATGAAGCAGAGACGTCGGCCAAGAGTTATCTGGCCGGCAGGCTTTTCCTCATGCAATTCCCACCGATGACGCCCAACCTGACCATCCCCGGCACCGCGGAGGAGAACCAGCGGGAGCCCGCGGCGCCAGCCGCTGCGTCGGGACAGACCGAGCCGCCCGACGTCAAAGCTGAGGGTGACGAGGTGGAAATCGTCGAGGGCGGCCAAGCGGCAACCACACGCTCACCGGGCAAGATTGTCACCGCCGCGGCAGACACACCCCTGCCGGCGGGACGAGTGGGCAAGTTCAACGTGCATCGCTCGGGCCGCATCACGCTGGACTGGGGCGGGATCCTCTTCGAGCTGGACCGTGCCGCGGAAGTGGATTTTGTTCAGGAGGCACTGGTGGTCTCGTCTGTGGGTGATGATGACGATGGTGAGACTCCGGAGCGTCGCGTCTGGGCCATGGGCCAGCTGGGGGGGAAGTTCACAGTGACTCCGGAGTGGGATGCACTTCTGTAAAACCTGTACTGTATACCAATGATTCCCGAGACATCGTTAGTGCCGTCACTAGTTAATTAATACCAACCCCCTGACTCGCTCCACTTCTCAGGGTCCACGGTGGAGCTGCCTCACGACTGGCTCGGCCAATGTCGCGCCCATGTCAACGGCTTTTTCCCTTCCTTGTTTTCGATTTGAATCTTCAAATTTGATTTCTCCTGACTTGATCCTTCTCACTACTGCAGCAGTAGGGGGCTGGTGTATACTCCGTACTTCCCCTGTTCCGACGGCCCTCGCACGGACGCTTGAGTTAAAAAAAGACAAATCGCGCTCGCCCCGTTTCTGGCCCCTATTATTATCCTTCTTATCCGCATCTTTATTTTTTTCTCTTTTTCGCCTCAATCTTGGCCCACACCAACTGAGACAATCCTCCTCCTCCCCGAGTGGCCTTGCGACTTCTCTCTCCCCCTCGTGCGACTCTCTCCTCCTTCTTGATTGCCTCGCCAACTCGCTCCTGTCTCTCAACCAACCCCCCAAGGCACGCAAGCACCAGCACCACGCTTGGCTTGGCGATTGCTTAACCCCCTACAAACCAGACAACAAGCACATTCCACAATTATACCACACGACATCCCATCCATCAATCAGAGAATGAAACCCACCCTCTGGGCCCTCGCAGCCCTAACACCCACCGCCGCGCTCGCCGCGTCGCCACCTCCATCCTCCTCCGCACAAGATCTCTCGCACAACGGCCCCGTCTTTGCCAACGCCCACACCAATGCACCCTCAATACCAGACATCGATCTGTCCGAGATCGCTCCGCGCCGCGCGCCGCCACTACCCTTCCTGTCCGATGAGTCGCTGTCCGGCAAGCTGCGCGCGTCGCGCCATCTGCTCCAGGCGCGCAGTGAAGGGACGCTCGGCCAGACGCCGTGGATTGGTATGGCTATTGGGTTGACTTGTACGGCATTGGCAGCCGTTATGCTCGGGTGATCCCTTACCTTGACCTTGACCTCGCTTTCCTCTTCGGCCTCGACCTCGACACCATCCTTTTCTCCTCCCTCCGCTATGCCACGGAGCTCATACCTTTCACCCTCTTCGATTCCTATCCTATCCTATCCGCTTTTCATGTCGCGCAAACGAACAAATGCCTCGCGCGCACATCTGCATCCACGGTTCTTTTTATCGAGAATCTGGGGTTTCTTTCGACTTTCTGCTTCTGAGTACGGTGTTTATTTTTTTTATCTTCCTTTTCGGTTCTGTTCTGCATCTTCCCCGGCCAGAGAAGATACTAGATTGGCTGGGGAACGGATAGACTTGCATATGTGGCCATGTTGTGCTGTACATGATACCTCTTCTGTTGTGTCTACTTTTTTATTACTATTTGGGTTGGGAGACGTGGTGAGGATAACGTGTGTATGTATATAGCCTGCGGGCTAATGATAATGTTATTATTATTACCTATTCCTCTTCTATTCTGCTGTCAGTTTTTTTGCCATTCCTCGTTTAGTTCAAGCCCCTGCTTCTCATTCTGGCCTCTGGGCTTTCTTCCACCAATCCACCTCAATCCCAGGATCCCTGAGGGTAAGATTACACTATGCGCTCTCGGAGCACTCACTGGGCGCTCAGTGATCTGCTCAGCCTTCATTCAAGGTGCCCAGAGCAGAGGATCGGAGATGACGCCTCCCATCCAAGCTAGAGCTTCTATCAGCTCTATCCCAGTGGCTTTAGACCCGCGCTCTGAATCTGGCAGGAGGTGTCGCAGCCGCGATGGATGTGGTTATAGCCGGGACGCTTTGGAGACTAGTCGCCAAGGTCACGGAGGAGGTCGGAGTCGGGTTGATAGGAGGGAAAATGGTCAACGATGACGACCAGCCACCATTTTTGCAGTTGAAAGTATGGTCACTTGGGTCGTATGTATAGACGTCGTCTTTCAATACGTTAGCCATGAGATTTCCACATTCTGAGGATTTGGGTAGTGGAAGAAGGCATGACTTACCAGGGCTGATTTTGTCCCTCGACCACGTAGCATCAGGACCGAAGAAGCTGAGGCCGGGGTTACAGGAATATGGCAATGCCACCCCATTATCGTACTGGTGCGGTCCATCTTCGGTCCAAAAACAACCGAGGTTATTGAAGGCATGGCCGCTAAAGATCCAAATTATTAGCTTTCATACTTCGTGGCAGATAAGTTGTAGGCACCCACTTAGGCGAGGGACGCAAATATCCTTTATCATTGGTCAAACATTCGTTTGCATCTACATCGAGATAGCCGTATGCACCGCCATCCCAATTGCACCGCAACTGGATGGTGGCAAACCATTCTCCATTGCTTTCAGTGGCATTTACCAGACCGAAAGGAACACATTGTGTAGCTGCAGTGGCATATAGCGAGTCTTCATCAGCCAAAGCAAAAGCCGAGAGGGTGGTCGCTAAGAAAGCAAAATGGAAGAGCTGCATCTTGACGGCGTAAGGAATGTGAGAATAGGGATAGATGGTGAAACTGGAGCGCATACTAGTCATATATAGACAGCGAACTCGGCCCCTGCCGGGATTGGCCCTATACAAATAGGAATTGCAACGCCCGGAAGGATTGGCCCTCCCTTTGCTTTAGGTTAAAAATGCATGAGAAATGAGGGCTAATTTCTTCATCCTTCCTTCAAGACCGGCCCCCTAAGGGCTAAAAGGAACAACCACGCTCTATTTGGATACAGTTGAATTAAGTTAACGATTATATCAACAAGCGAGTAACCCACCCGGTCTGCGTTTGCGTCTACTTTGCATTTCAAACTTTTTGGTCATCCACTATGCCACTAATGCGCCAATCTACTGGTCAAAATTCCACTAATTAGGATGGTAGAAAATCTTTACTAAACGCGACGCTGCTCGCAAGATATGCTAGCCTCATTTTTGTTTGTACGTCACTAAACGAGAAGTGGTCTTTCCTGGCAAGAATGTAGCCAAAATATAGGAGTACTCAAGTTTTAAATACGTAAGGTTTGACAACCGACCCCAATAATGGGTAAATTCTGGGTACAAATGACACTCATCTTGCATTGAAACCTCACCAACTTGTCGTCCGCGCGGCTGCTTTGCCATCACCAATGTTATGTGCTAAAATCGCAGGACCAACATTCAGAGATAACATCTCCATATCTTTGTATCAAAGACTGCATGACAACACCAGCAGTCTGTGATCCACCCACCGTCACATCAAGAGAGAGGAGACCCTTCATGAGGCAATCAACGTGACGCTCCCAAACACCATCAGGAATAGGATCTGGCGCATTGCCATTCGATGTCTCCGACTGAGAAGCTTGTGATTCAAGCATATATTCTATCGCCTTTTCCAGTGCGCCAATCATGATGCTAGGAGTAACGTGGTAGGCCACGATGGGCGCTTCGGCACTCAAGCCGTTTTGGAGGTTGAACGTTTCTTCGGCGGGGAGCATGAGCATGCACTCGATTGTTTGGGAAACGGATGTTGCTGCTTCCTTTTGAGATTCTCTGATTCTTGGAATCAGATTAGAGTCGTAGGATTGATTGATTTCGTCGGCGAAGGGGGGCATAGCTTCGGCGAGCACGAGGGCTCCAAGGTCCCAAGGTATCGCAAGGGACACTGGATATATCGTTTAGTAGAGCTTGGGCAATGATAGGGAAGAAGGATCTTGCTCACTGAAGGCTATTCTTGAAGGAATCGACAGGTCTTGAAAGAGGTCCCTGCAATGGGCCACGAAAGGTCGGAATGATTCGTCAAATTTCTCAATCGCTCTCATGGTCGAGCTGATAGCCTCGAATGTCCCAACCGGGAGGCTGGAAACACCATCAGCCAGCATATGGAGAGAATTTTTGACATCGGAGATTTTTCTCCAGATACAAACTGCCTCTGCAGCTGCTTTCCGACAAATGCTTGGAATGCTGTGATCCAAATCCCCAAGAAGATGATTTGGGATGGTGACTCCGTTGGGAAATGCTGGTCACTGTCAGTTTTGTATCCTCATCACAAACCAAATCCATAACTTACCATCCGACTGAACAAATAGTTTAGGCAATTTGCATTGGTGATTCCCCATCAGAGCAGCCCCCGTGTCGCGAATGTAGCCACACCAACGAAGAAGACTCAAGCTGGCCTCTAGCAGGACGCCGTATTGAGAAAATGGGCCTAGAGTATCACAGTACTGCTTCACACGCTCATCTAAATCACGTAGCTTTTGAAAGCCCGTGTCAAGAAACTCGAGTGCTATACTCTGGTCGTTTAGGCCGTTGTGAGCTTTGCTTGGGATGGCAATCCCATCGAACATCAAAGTAGCAAAAACAACTCGGAAAGAATTAACGGAGTTTGCGTCTCGCAGGCAATTGCGAGCTCGGAACCATGCATCAGTATAAATGTCGAGCGATGAGTCGGATGATGGTCGCTGTCCATTCGAGATCCCGGCCAAGTTGTTCTCAAAACCAGAGCCTGAACTGGGCAACCATTGCAGTGAGAATACCCTGAGTACTGCTTTCAATGCTGAATCGGATTTTCTCCGAGAAGCCGGGCTCATTCTGTTGTTGTACAGATCACCGAAATGATCCAGAAAGCGAATACAACCCAGTAAAGTCAAGTTGAAACTATCATCTGGTATTGTAGCATTGACGGAGCTATGCCTGGTTCTCTTGTGCTGTAGTTGGAAGAATGAACCAGAACGAGGCGAAGGCGAGCATTTCTGCGGGGTCTGCGGACTGCTATCTTCGATTTGATACCGGCGCCCTGTTGCGTAGAGGTTACTAGCATAATCCAGGAACCTTGATGCGGATCCAGTTACAATCGTCTCATAGATCTGGCAAAGTCGATCGTCAAGGATATTCGAATTCATTTTGGAGTTGAGGAGGTCGACGGGGCTGCGTAGCGTGCTGCCAACGAACTGTGCCGTTGTTGAGCGTAGGGCTGAGTGCATAGTCTGTGGATTTTGTGGCGCGACGTCGTCATTTTCCGGTTCTGTAGCTGCCATACACTCCAATGGCGAGGCTGTAAATGAAGCGAGTGCAGATAGATTGTTGGAAAAGTATGGCACGTTGTCATCAGAGTGACGCTCCATATCAAGGTTTAGCCATGAGGCGAAGTCATTCTGGTCATTTTGAAATGCGGAAATCTCAGGTAATGCGATAGATGCACTTTCAAAGTTATTTTCCTCGGCGTATCCTGCTGACTGGTCTCGTCTCGGTTGACAGTGGCGTTGCCTCTTCTTTGGCCTTGAGTTCAGGCGTGATGCGGCAAAGTGGAAGGTGCATTCATGTCCCAGGCGCCGGCAATGGGTGCAGACCATATTGGCATCATCGTCTATAGGCGGTAGGAAGAAGCAACGCCGTTTCGAGCGCCGACATTTGTCGCAGCTGGTGTTCTGGCGACGCTGCGACCGCGCCGAAGATGGCCACGCCACTTCAGCATCAGACATAGCGGCTTACCGAATCACGATATTTAGTGAATGGGCCCTGTTGGGTCGGGTCTGGCTATTTGGTGATAGCCAACAAGTGTGTCGTAACCGGGAGTGCTCGGGGATATGATCGGGTATTCACGTAGGGAATATCTCGTTGCCTTGTTGCCTGAGATATTGGATTTGATTCCCGAGGCATCCACCCGCTCTCTCTAGTGAGGGCGTGCCACAGCACTTCACCCCTTGTTGAAGAAAGTACATTTTGCTTTTGTTATGGATTTTCATTTTTCCTAGATAACTCAACCACCATAACATATTTTAGCTCAGATAAAAATGCTCTTGAGAAACCATAGAAATAGATATATGCTATAATTGATTCAATTGAAATTTAATACAAAGGTGTTTGTATACATAATGCTGAATGTAACAATGCATAATGGTCTGAGGAGAGATATGTAAAATGAAACGCAATAATATACAAGGACTCAGTCCCCAATATCCGACAAGCAAGTGTTGCCTAAACATCTTCACCTGCCGCCCGGCGAATACAGTCCACGATGAAACCCGGGTTGCTCATGAAAGGCGAGTGACCCTCGTTGCACTCTTCGACATGAAAGGCGCCTTCACCCTGTGCAATCATTCTCTTTTGCACGGATACTGGCAATGCCAGGTCATTATTGCACACTATGTATGTGCTCGGAATCTCTTTGAAGGCCGAGTATGTTGCCGGGACGCTCAATGGGCCGGTAGGGAAAGATCCCAGCATATCGACTGCCTCTTGCACATCTTTAGGATCGCATCCGGTATAGAACACTAGGCCAATGATTTCTTTATCGAGTACCATAGCTCCATCCTTGTGCGTAGTATTGGTCAGTTATCATGACAGTCTCGGACCATCTGATCACCATACATACCTCGGTATACTTAATCCCACCATACTTCGCCTGCATTTCCTGGCGTTGGCGCTCGATTTCCTCCTCTTCTGGTGTCGTCGGCTTGATTTGCCCGACATGTGTCTGGCCCTTTGGCAGCGCCATGGCGGTCATATAAATCAGCCTCACAACCGCCCCCTTCAAGCCTTGCTTTTCTCGATCTTGTTTGCCCAGTCCCTTGACAGCCTCAGACATGGCGATTCCTCCAAATGAGTGGGCAACGGCAATCACGTCCCTGCCGGCATCCAAGTATTCCAGAATCACCCGGCGGACCGCTTGCGCATCTTGGTCCCAACTGGCGTGGGGAGGGCTAGAGTCGACTGAGGGCATTGTCACGCCAACGGCTTCATAGTTAACCTTGGCTAGGCTGTTGATGAGATGCTGGTAGTGCTTTGGCCTGTGCCAAGCACCTGGAATGATCACGATGGCTGGATTTGTCATTTTCATGTCTGGGGGATGAATTCCGGAGGATAGTTGGAGAGTAGTAGTAAACACCGAAAAAAGAAATTAAAAATTGAAGATGCTAAATACTGTAGAGCGGTTGCTTGTACATGCCATCGGCTCCGATGATTGGACCCACAAACCCTGCCTGTTTTACTTCTCATTGGCTCAAATGGGGCATCGGCTCCGGTGTGTCTATGTAGAAGTGGGTGATCGAGTTTGAACAATTACTGGTAGTATGTATTTACAAACTGACAGAAAAATTTGCTTGATTGATGGTATCCTTGCTCCTTGCCTTTCTGCATCACTCACAGCCCAATCGGCGAACCATATCGCCGTGTTTGGTGAATGGCAGGTCGACTAGGATAGAACTGACTCCACCTTCGTTTCTCCTTCACTAGAAAATGTTCCAATTCTGGACAGTAGTCGCGCTGTTTGCATTACCGATCGCAGTAGGAATATCTCCCTTGCTGCTGTTCAGACCGATCTCGAATCCATCGTATCCCGTGCAACAACCACTGTTGCACGTTTCAGTACCATCGTCCCCAGGAATGAACTGCCAGTAAATCTGATAATATTATTAGCTGTCAAAATCCATAAATTGAGGGCGCAGACTTACCCAAGGATATCCAGCGCCGTTGATGGCAGCAGCCTGATCATCGAAATCACTGTTGTAGGAGGTGGCCACTCCCCATTCCTCCACATAGATCAATTTGTTCGCAGCAGCTGCAACCTTTTCATCACCGGAAAGAAGGCCAGACCAAGTTGATGCGTCGCCAACATAGCTATGAATACTCATCAGATCAATGGAGCTACAGTTCAGTGCTGCCGGCAACATATTATAGCCGTGGCTATGATCTCCTCCAATACCGCCCGTGGCAACCTTGACCGAAGAGCTCCCAAGAACAGACTTGAAGTTCTGAGCCCGCCCACACAACCAATCCGACGGATCATCATTCGCGCCATCGTCTGTGAACTGGAACGGCTCGTTCTCAAGATCGAACGCGAGAATGGCATCGGACCACTGTCCCCATTTTTGCCCGCTGCTTGGAGACTGGTAGTTCAGAATCGCCGCAATACGCGCGTCATACTGGGTCTTGGCTTGGGAGTTGGAGTAGAAACTTGTCCCATACGTCGAGCAGTAGATGTCGCACCCGTTACCCGCGGTGCTGCTGTCGTGGATATCATTGCCATCATGTGGGGAAATGATCGCTTTGATCCCTTTGGCTGATGTCTGCGCGAGGACGGCATCAAGCTTCGCCAGTGTGTCATAGTTGTAGTCACCGATCGTGGTCTCGAATTCGGAGATGTCGTCAACGACGTTGCTGCCTTTCACGCAGCCTTTTGAGAGACCGTTCACCCAGATGCGGATCACTTTGGCCCCGTCGCTGGCGAGTTTGTCGATGTAGGAGGCTTGGTCAGATGAAGAAAGACCATGAAGGAAGTACAGGTTTGAGCCAGCGAATGAATTGGATGACCTTTTCACCTTGGGGATTCCGTGGACGGACGCACTCAAGTCCAGCAAGAGGACAACGGCGGCGGCTAAGCTGAAGCGCATTTTCATTCAATTGAAATCGATAATATAGAGCACCAATTTTTGAGTCTTTGAGAGCACTGCTTTGTTTCCTTGTTGTGTTCGATGAAAAATGTCGAGAACGAAGGGCAATTGGCACGTCTTTATACTCTATGCAGATCAGATGCTGCAGAACCGCCTTGATCTCCAAATGTGTTTCACCACACGGTAGCACTGCTACTTTTGGGTGTCTTCATAGAATATGGGCTTGTGATCGCCTGTTCCGTCGATCAGTCTCCTCATCGGAGCAGTCTAACTCTCGGTGATCCGGACCGGACGCGGTAATGATCCACCACGATTGATCTCTACGGAAGCACAGTAGAAAGCGGGGGCATCCGATGCTTGTTTCGCGTGTCGATGTGAAACAAAATATCAATAGTATCCATCAATTCTTGCTTTTCCACCTTGACTTTCAAGTAACGCTACGTTGGGTCCGATGCCCCGTTCAGCGATTCCGAGTCGCCCGTTCTCAGAAGGGGCCGTTCTTAAAATGGAAACTGGTATGTATGTTAACAGGATTTCATTGACCGATGTGTTTAGCAACTACGAAAGGACAACAAGCTCGTCCTTGTCTGTTTCCCCTCTCGGTACTCAGATCTGTTGCCGAGTTAATATCATCGAGATATCATCCAGATCTACAGGAACGGGATCTATGGCAACCTATGATCTAACCATCAGAGAGTGTTTCGTCTAGCCTTTCAATAATGGCCGGCCCTGCTATTGTTAGTTAGTGCCAGAGTGAAGTCTTGCCTAGGGGCCGAATAAAAACGCCTCGACAAGGTGGCGCAGAGCCCATCGATTCAGCCCCCAAGCCGCAACACCTGGACCAGATCAACGTCCGTCTCCACCTCCACACCTCCCTCCACACTCTGACCCATTCAGAAAACCATCGCAAAAATGACCATGTACCCCCCTATACCCCGATGCCCTCGCTAGGCCACGAGCTGGGCATCATGTTCGGCTTTATAGGCGCCTGTGTGTTCACGATGGTGGCGTATACTCTATTCTGGCGTGGTGAGTTGCGTCGTATTTTCCCTTCTCATTGCTCCACTCTTTTCCTTCCTTTACCCACTCCCTACCCACTCTCTACACATATACTGTTTGTGTGTATGACAAAAAGAAGAACTCAAAAGACTAACACACCCTTCCAAAAAGCTGCCCAACGCCGCGCCAAAGACGAAGACCTCGCCCGTCGCAAAGCCTTCCACACAAGCGGCACGCAGCGCCTCCATGATACCGCCGGCGGCGCGACAGGAGTCTTCGATAAAGATTCATACGGGCCGTTTGGGCCGGGGGTAGGAATGCGCATGGGCGGAAAGTCTTCTACTTTCACGCCGAACAATGTCAAGAACAATGGCAACATCAGTGGCAAGGCCAACAATAACGTCCATGAAAAAATGTTTGATCGCCATGCGCCGCTCCCACTCCCGCCGGATCGGGTGGAGTTGCCGGTTCATCTTCCGGGGGACGGGGCTGAGGTTGAGGTGCCTGTTATGTTGCAGAGGAGTGACGGGAGTCGCGCGCAGTTGCATTTGGAGGAGCAGGTGGTTTTTCAGAGGGGGAAGTTGGGGGGTGCTCCTGGTGGGAAGGGGACGGAGCTGGAGTTTTTATAGATGATTGTTTTGTATTTTGTGTGATATCAAGGTCCCGGGGAGCATCTATTACTTGTCTATAGCATTATTATTGGGTATATGTTCATCCACACGCCGGATCAGCCCATCCGCGCGTCCACAGCAACGACCCCATAATCACTACCAGAAACCCGAGTGCCACGCCCACGCTGGTGACGCCGTACACATACGCATGGCGGCGACGGGAGAGGGCATTCAACTCAGCAACCCACGTACTAATAGTAGTCGTAGCGCCGCAGAATCCATCCATAACACCCTGCAACACCTGGCAACCGACCAAATGCGAGGGCCCGCCGGCACCAAGACCAGGCACGCGCTGCAGGTCATAGCACATGCCCTCGATGATCGTCCCAAAGATATTCACCACGAAAGTACCCAGCGGGAACGCGGGAATGCGACTGTTGAGTCTCAGTGAGACAAAGAACCGGAGCAAACAGCCCAGCGGCGCGAAGACGAGCGCCATCACTGCACGGCCGCGCCACACCTCCCTTCCTGGATCGTGCCGGTCTGGCGGCCAGATTGCCAAAAACACAGCCCCGAGCCAGCAGCCCCAGGCCAGCACGACGACGACCGGGTCGACGATGCGCCGGGTGAAGGCGAAAGGCATCGTGGGCGTCATCCGCGTCAATGCCAAGGCGCCATGCGCACCGACGATCAGAGCGGAAAGGCTCAGCGCCACCGTAATCAGAATCACTGCCACCAACGCCATGAAGCTATACCCGCCATTGCGTGGCGCGATGCTCGCCCCGACCGGCAGCGAGGGATCAGGCAGCGCGTTAGCGAGAGCCAGGAAGACGTCGCGCATAAACGACGAGAAGGAGGTAAGGCTTCCGCAGAACCCAGTGGTAAGACCAATATACAGCGGGATGGTCTTTTTCACAGCGGCGTGTCTCTTCGCGTGCTCGTGTGCCTCATGCGCGTCCTTTGGCGCTGCCATTTCATTGTGCTGCGTCGCGCCCCATTCCTCCCGGAAGAGATTCTTGTCTTCCATTAGGAACCCCATCACCAGACTGCCCGTTACATTCGCCCATAACACACCCGTCACGACGGGGGCACCCGAGTAGAAGGTTAGCGCTTGGAGACCCAGGCGGGCGAGGGTGCCTAGGAGCGAGAAGAAGATGAGGTGTGACACGACATAGAGGTTCGTTGCATGTTTGGAGGCGGGTTTTCGGGCTGGTGGAGTTGGTGAGGGTTGCTCGGTCTCAGGGATGGCGGCGTCGGGCCATGATTGTCGTTGCGCCGAGACGGTGGCGACGGGCTGTGGAGCGAGGGTTTCGCTTAAAGGGGGCTCGTTCTTTTCGTTAGCGGGAACGACATCCTCGTGGTCGGAGGGACGGGGCGGCATTGTGACATGGCTGAGTGGAAGAAAAATAGTGAGGAGGAAGAAGTAGTGTTTGGGACGAGGCGATAAGTGATTAAGCTTAGTGGGTTTGATTGGAGATAAGCCACTCATGGCCCATCTACTGCTCTCCCTCCAACTCTCACTCTCTCACATACATTCTCTCTCTCTCTCTGTCACACTCTCTCCTTGACTAATATCTATTCTTCTTCTACACCCCTCACTACCACCCCGCCATGTCTCTCCCCCCAACCATCCACGTCTCCTCCCACCCCTGCCTCCTTGCCAAGCTCTCCCAGCTACGCTCGCACTCTACTTCCCCGCGCGAGACGCGGGCCCTACTTCACGAGATCGCATCGATCTTGGGCGTCGAGGCTTTTGCAAGCGCCCTCAAGCCAGCGCGCACAGGGACGGTACCTACTCACTTCGCTCTTCGACTCGGGAACACCCTGGGCCTCCTCCCCCCATTCAGGCTGACGGACGGTGTTACAGGACAAAACCCCGCTAGGTGCCGAGTATGAAACGCAGGGCATCGAGCCTGCTGATCTGGCACTCGTGCCGATTCTGCGCTCGGGACTGGGCATGGTTGATGGTAAGGAGAATCAATCTTACTTTTCCTATCTCTTATCATTTTAGCATCCTGTGAATAACTACTATACTGGGTCTGGAAGCAAGACCCACATACACGTCACATCTATAGAAGAAGCTAACGAACACCCACACCACACCAGCAATCAACGCCCTCCTCCCGACAGCAGTCCCAATCTACCACCTCGGCCTCTTCCGCGAGAAAGTAACCCTCCAACCCGTGGAATACTACAACAACCTGCCCTTCCACCGCAGTGAACTCTCCCCGCAGTCGCCGGCATCGCTCGACCAAACGGCCAACACGGCAGCCGCGTCGCTAGCCGTCCTTCTGGACCCCATCGTCGCGACGGGGGCAACGGCCGAAGCAGCGATCCAGATGCTGCGCGACTGGGGCGTGCAGCGGGTTCTGCTTTTGAGCGTGCTGGGCTCGGCGCAAGGATTGCATCGTGTGGCGGGTGTTTGGCCGGAGGGCGTGGAGATTTGGGTTGGGGCAGTGGATGAGGGATGTAATGAGAAGGGGATGATTGTGCCTGGGTTAGGGGATATTGGGGATCGGCTGTTTGTTGCTATTGGGAAGTGAATACCATTCTCGGCCGACCCTATGGCAGGCCAAGACTAAGTAGATACGAAAGAAATTCCAAGGTGGATAGGTTATGTCCCCGCCAAAAAGACGTAGTATTCTGCGTGTAGATTATACTTATAGTACATGGAAAAGCGACAATGGAGAGAACATGTGCAAGGGAAACAGAAATGAAGCACAACAAAAACGGCAAATGCTGAGAGGAGACCAAGTAATCAAATCAAGTGCAAGGGCGGGGAAAAGGGACAAACAAGAAAGCCACAATCAATACAAAGACCGGACAAGCCGGCATTAGAAAAGAAAGACGGAAAGACCAAAAAATCCAAAAGGTATCAAAACGGCACAAGCAGACGGGACGAGGGGGGCACGATTAGGGGGCTAATGTGGAAAGAACAAGAAGAAAAAGAAAGAAAAAACTCCACGGAGTGCGAAAGAAACACGCAGGACCAGCCAGGTGTCGAAAAGCAAGCAAAGTCAAACACCGCACCAGAGTCCCGCGAAGGGGAAGTATGCAAAAAACCAAGAACCAGCCGGGAATCACCACCAGGCATTGCGCAACAAGACACCTTGCCGCCTGCCACAAGGATTCCCGACCCTTTCCAAAAGCAAAAACCCAATGTCCCAATGAAAGCGTCCACAAAGGAGAGTAAGAAACCCGAAATCAAGGAGTGACAGAAAAAAAAGAGGAGATTGGATAGGTCAGTGACCTAATAAGCGGTTCCGACGCTAGCAAGCGTCTTGGTCGGCATCGCGTGGATCGGCTGGTCCTTACCGACTCGCAGCGAGTCCTCGTAGCCAACCAGGGCCTGGGAATGCAGCTTGAACGACTCCCCCATCAACTTGGTAATTCTATACACACAGTTAGCGCTGAAATCTAATGGACACAAGAAGGAAAACTTACCCCCATACCACCACACCGTCTAGGATGTTACCCCATACACGGGCCACGGTGGAGCTGAGTTTCCCAAAAGCGTCGATGGCATCATCATCGAACAAATTCCGCACCTTGTTGTAGATGGCCAGTTCCGCCTCAGTCGCGGGCTCGTCGTCATGTTCCAGGCGATAGAGCCAGAGACTCAGGATGACCATCAGATCCAGGCCGCAGAGAGGGTGCTCGACGCTCCAGTTGGTGGCGGAGGTCTTTGCAACCCAGTTGATGCCCTGAATAGCAGCAATCTCAATGCACTCAAAACATTGCTGAACAACCTTGTTCATCTCCTGTGATCGCTTGACTTTCTCGCGGGCGACAGTCATAGCAGCCGCCACCTCGTATGAGGAGTGGTAGCGCATGGCCTCCTGGATGGATTTGAGGTCAACTTCCAGGCGCGCACGAGTGTTGCGGTACACCGCCATCGAGTTGAAGATGAGCGGGTGGCCCTTCTGCGGCGTACTCAGGGGAACAACAATCGTTTCCGGCTCGCACACATCCAGGGAGCTCTCCCAGGTCTCCAGAGCCAGGCGCAGCTTGTACTCGGTCACCACATCCTGAAGAGCCTCGAAACTGCGCTTGTGATTCCACACCTGCAAAAACAGAGCATTGATGAGGACGCGAGTGGCGAAGGCACTATAGCGGGTCTGCTCGCCCTGGAAGAGGAAGTCATGCGCCTCGCGGACAGTGAGCGTGCTGGAAGAAGCCAAGGTGCGGCGCCAAGTCTCTTCATCAGCGGCATCGAGATTCCACAAAGATTCGGACGATGGAAGCTCCAGGTTGTCGAACTCGTCGAAACTCATGGCAGGGGTGTGGTTGAACGTGAGCGTCAGCATGCCGAAGAAGATGTACACGGCGAAATAAGTCCGGCGACAGGACTCATCCTCAATCCACTCGTCACGGGATGGAGGGGTGCCCTGGCGAGCCTCCGTCCGCAGCTTGTACTGATAGCGATTGCCAGCGACCATGTTGGCCAGTAGACTCTTAATGGAGCAAGTCCACTCAAGACCCTTGGCGTCGCCACTCCAGCTTTCAAACACCATGTTCAGCAGAGTGCTCTGCATCGACCACAGGGGGCACTTGCGCGAGTCAAAGTTCTCCTTGTGCTGCAGGAACTGATTGACCAAGACCTTGGAGCCGATGTGGAGGATGAAAGCGTCCTCGCGCTCAAACGTGTACAAAGCGCCGATTGAGAGGACAGCAAGCAACAGTGGCGGTGAGGTCGAGGTGGGCTGGAAAGACTCCTGGTGAAGGAACGGCAGATGATGGTGGTACAGGTTGAAGTACGTCGACAAATACCGGTTCAGCACAACGGTGGACGGCAACTGGAAGGTCTCCGGCAGCGCGCCCAGAGTATCAAAACTCTGGATGCGTTCCAGCACCATATTGCGTTCCATTTCGTTAGCAATCTGGGGAGCCTTGGGCAGAGTCAAAGCCTGGCTCGGCCCTGGCGACCGACGGTAGTTGACCGGGCTGACGGGACCCGTCATAGACGGATACGGCGACAGCGCATTCGGCGTGGAGTTTCCAGACATGGGCAGCGAATTGGACAGCGAGTGGAGCGACGGCGCGAGCACATCACCCACGGGGCCATAGCGGTCCACGAACGTGGGCAAATGACCATCGTGCTTGGGGTCCGTGGACGAGACGAGCGTATCCCAAGGCATCTGAGGTAGGGTTGCGTTCCCCGAGAGGTACGAAACGGAATGGTCGAAGGACCCGCGGGCGGGAGAAAGCGAGCGTTCTGAATCGGCGCGCTCGGAGACCTGGGTTGCCGCTGCTGCAGCCTTATGTTGGAAATCTGTCATCAACATGGCTGCAGTTTCAAGATCGACCATACCATCGCTGCTTGCCTCGATCTGCTCCAGCGTCGCCGGGTCGATGGTGATCGAAGGCTTGGACGGGGCGGATGCCGTCGACGCTTTCTGGACCCCACCGCCGCGGCGACGACCCTCCGCAACCAGGGGAATCCCGCCATCTTTAGCGTGAACAGTACGGTCATGGCGTAGGAGAAGATCGCGGCGAACAAAGGTACTCCGGCATTTTAAGCACTTGAAGGGTCTCTCTTTGGTATCTGTGTTCACGAGGGGTTAGTCGCGTGTCGCGGATCAAGATTTCCAGACTTACGTGAGCGTTCATGTCGACTGCGGTGCTCGCTGCGGCTGAACGCGCGATTGCAAAACTGGCACTTGTACTTCTTCTCGGGGGCCGATGTCTTCTTGGCCGGCGAATTGCTGGCGGTACCGGGGGCTGAGGGAGCCATGTGTGTAGCGGTGCCAAACGAAGGGAAGCAGGACCGGTGATTATTGTCACAGCGGCGGCGGTATCGTTCCCTGAGTGTGCTCGCACCGGTTCTGAAGGCGTGTCGACGACAAGAGTTCGCTGGGATGTCTGATCATTCCTTGAGTGGCTTGGGGGGTGGTTTGTTCAAGTCGAGTGTTCGGTTCAGTGTCCAGCCACAGGCGGACGGGCGGAGGGGGGTGTTGGTGGACGGAATAAGGAAAGGAAGGTACGGGGTTATGTTGGAAAACCCGGAAGATGTTGAAGAGAGGTGGGATGGGGGGGCAGAGAAGGGAGGGGGGGGAGGGAGGGAGGAGAGGGGGGAAGTGGATGGGATGAGATTGTGAAGAAAGAAAGAAAGAAGAGGAAGAGGGAGAGAGAAGAGGGGGGGGATCGAGCGAGGGGGGAATTCAGGGAGGGGGAACAGTGAAAGGCCGTGGGCCCAAGCAGAGAATCGCTTACCGACACCGCGTGAGAGACGAGGGGCGAAAGCGGGACTGGAGGCTGGGGACGGAGTGGCCCTACGGCCACGCACTGGTGCTTCCTATGTGTACATCCCGTCTTCCTTCTACCCACCAGCCCGGTTCAAATCAGACCTGTCCTTGTCTAGCCCCTCGATCGATGGACAGGTCGTGGCAGCAACACAATAATCCGGTGGCTGGGACGATGACCCCCCCCACCCCTTTTCAATGTGATCTTGTTCGCCCTGCCCAGGCGGATGCGTGGTCCAGTGAGGTATGCAGCCATCCCGCCATGTCATTTCTTTCATTCATCTCCGTACTTGCTCCCCTCCATCCGCCCCCTCGGACCCCTCTCGGGATCGGCGCATCCCACTTCGAGATCGAAGAAATGATCTATGGTGGATGAAGCCACAGCCAGCGACGGTGTCACCAAGATGGACACATCGCGTACTTTTGTCTAGTGTGGCGCCAGCCCCGCGAGTCATGAGGGCTGAAACAACAGATGTTCTGTACTACTTATCAACCACTAATAGACCAGCGGCCTTGCTTTCTTCGGCAGATCTCATGTACCATCTCATTTTGGATTCATTCAATAATGAATCCAAAATGAGATGGCCAGGATCCGACGACTCAAATGGCTCACGCGCCATCGACCCGCTTTGTTCAGAGACGCGATCTAGTGAGGTTCGGGGGCTCCACAGCTGGTACACTAGGGAGCGCGGCAGATCGGATACCTCCCTTACAGACCAAGGAGAACCCGTGAATTCTCGCCCCTCCGTGGGGCAACAACTGCATCATGGCCAGCCACGACGCGGACGCGGTTACTTGGGAAACGCGTGAAGCCTCATCCGTTGCCCGAGTACACCGCCTGCGTCGTCTCTGAGCGGTGAAAATTATCCACTTGCCGTCCCTGCAGCGGACCGGCCCCGTCAACGTTCTCGACAACTGTTCACTTGGTCTGTCAGGTCAGATTCCGGGAAGCAAGGTGAGATGGATGGCCGATCCACCATTCCGCGAATCCCTTGGCCGGGGCAAGGCCGTGTCTCATTCCATCGGTGGATATTCAGCAACTCCCACCACCGAGGCTGCAGCCGCGGCCCAATAATGGATCTGCGAAAGCGAAATCAAATCGGGCCAGATACAAATCAGGTCTGCCCACCGGACTCCACACCACACACCAATGCCGTTGGTAAGAATTTCAGGAACCTGTTCCCCGGCGCCGGCCCCTGGACTAGTGGACACCGACAGCCAGGCTTTCGCGCATCATCGTCCCGACAACTGGAGGACGAGAGCGCGATCCGGCCCCGCCGAACATCCAACACGGTCTCGAATTTGTGTATCGATGTCGGTGAGGACGAGCTTCAACGAGCCATCTTCACCGCTTCATGACGTCGAGCAATTGCGACCTTGTGCGAGTCTCCACTGATTAATTATTGTTAGGATTTTCGTTTCGTCACTCAAGACCCATTGTGCGCGCTATCCCGAAAAGCCTCTCGCTAAAGGACGGATCCCGTCCGAATTCCCAATCGCCTGGAAAGTATGAGGACAAATGCTCCACAGGGAGAGAAAATGGAGTCCGCCGCAAGTTAGGACTACGGAGAAGGATTACGTGGGAGTCTCGTTGCACAGAAGATGGTTCCTTCAGGAGCGGGCGGATGTCTCGCCCCGTCCCGACAGACGGGAATGGGAATCTGGGCCTGAACGGTGGCCGCGGAAATTGCCATCCGCACCCTAGGCTCCAAACGATTTGTAGATACCTCCGTATATGTCCCAGACCTGTCGGTTGGAGCTGAACCATGGAAATTGGATCCCCGGAGGCGTACCATGGATCCAGTCGACGGGCCGCATCTTGGTTCGCAGCTGAGGCACGTTCGATGCAGGATCATCCTTGAACGACCGAGACAACCTGCCAGGGACTGCCGTCTGCACCGGAAAGAAGCACCCAATGCAGGGGGTGGATCTTTTCTATGGATTGTCCGATCTGTACTCCGTACGTAGATAGTCAATCAATTCGCGACGAGTCTCTCACGGGAACAACTATTGGCATATCGAGTCCATAGTCTGAAAATTATTGATTGCTAGGAGGGAGATACATAAGAATTGTACCAGTTATGAACAATCCACCGAATTTTCTCGAATGCCCACATGGAAAAGAACGGAGAACCCGGCAAACTTTCATCCGCAGCAGACGTGGATTGGTGGATTGGTAAGGTTCAACGTCTGCGACGACCGTCGTTTATGGTGGCATAGCCTAGTCGTCAGAGCGGGATGCGAGTGGGGGAATTGCGAAAATAAAAGAGGGGCGGTTGGCTAAATGTGGTGAAAGGGGGAAAGGGAGGGGCAGCAGTAGGGCTTGTACCTGTTAGCGGTTAGCGGTTAGCACCACCCGGCGGAGTGGTTCACCCATCTCTCAGGGGCCGGTAGGTGGACGCCATTGGGTCCAGTCCGGGCAGGATTCGTTGGTGCTGTGGATGATGTCGTTGGGTCTGCAAGGCACAGAAGGACGGAAGGGCTGTTTTGGTGGCGATTTTGGCTGATTAGGGCGGGTTGCTATGGAAGACTATTTATTGCTTGGATGTGGTGAAGGTGGGCAGGATGATGAGTTCATTATTGTCGTTGAATAACTCTAGACTGTCCTTGGGTTTGGAGTGGCGCTCGGCATTTGGGCTTGACTGTCTGACTCCAATAGATTGGAGTCTCTTTTCTGGAAAGAGTTTGGAAGGTAGGTTTGGGATTGATAATAAGATTCGACTATGAGGTTATACTTCTGTGTTCTCGTATGTATGGTTTCGGGAGATTCGTACGGTTAATTGTCAAGCGTTCACCATCAAATTGCTCGTGGCAGACTGACCTATATTTCCAGAAAAGAGTGTAGATGTTGGTGTTCATTTTCGGCTTAGAATCTTCTCTCGAAGTATCCCACGAGAGCAATCCGAAACTGAGGGTGGATGTCATGCTGGACCATCAACGTGCCAGTTTCGATGGATCCATCCCCTCTCCTTGTATCGTGTTGAGTTTGTAATTCACTGGGCTGAAACATCGAAGATTTTATTGCGAACTCATACCGTCGCACGTATATACTCCTTCCGGCATAGGGTTTCATGCTCTCAGAGACAGGATATATATCGTCCAGAATATGTTTCACCTACGCCCTAACATCTAGCCTTGAACCAGATGAGAGAGAAAGACGCTTATTTTCAACGAGAGAGAGAGCGTCGTTAGATCAATCCCAAGAGCATGTCATGGCCCCTCAACTTCCAACTCCAGGACCTACATCCCTGACCCTTTCTGCCAAACCCACACTGATGGATCTTTTCACGTGCCCATTGACTCCCGTACAGGCTAATTACTCCCGCCAAATGCCCATGAGTTAGTATTATTCACCACGTTGAACCGGGATACGTGGACTCCCCAACGTGTGGCAGCATGTCTACTCCTTCTTTCATCCTTCCTTCTCCCTCGGCACATTTCAGCGGGGACGGGATAGACCCAAAGAGTGCTAAGCCCAGCCGGAAAACCTCACGACTGGTGCCGTCCGTGCCGAGCCGCCAATAATGGACCCAGAATGGTCCAGCCTGTTTGAGGGCGATGAGGATGTGCATACATAGTCTCCCAAACTGTCGGGTCGTCTCTACCGAAACGGCGATGATTGCCAACGGTCTTGCAGATTGGACATGGGCTGGGTGGTGTAGACGGGAGCCTCCAGGGACCTCGTGAGCTACCGCGCTGTACTAGTTAATACTGGAGAAGGGCCGTTGATCGTTGTCCTGAACAAGAATGACCTAACTGACCGTCGTTAGATGACGAGAAATTGAATGGGGGTTCAATTGATTGTTAGTTACTGTAAGGGTCTGGGTAATGGACTGCCGAGAGGAAAAGCTAAGTATACGGCGGCATCGATGGATTGACACCAAGCCATTCATCTAAACCTGTTAAAAAGCACCTTCGTTTTGACGTTAGTGTCGTTGTTCTCTTCTCTTAACTACAGCGACGCGTGAAATCATCCATCGTGATGCCAGGCGTCAATACCGGGAGATTTCAAGTGCACCAATCAACCAGCGACCCTTGAGGCATAGATCCGCGCCATCGCTTGGAGCCAATTCATTGATAAGATCCGCAACCCCTTGTGCTAAAGAAATAATAAAACGGCTCGCCCGAAGCATGGGTTCACGCCGCCCCGTGTAATAATTCCCGACAGCAGTATATAGTTAATCAATCAGGAGCAAGGGTGCTGTCAGCAACATCAGTAAGCTAGTGCGCCTCGCGTCTGCTCATTTGTTTGGAGCTCCAGCCACCGAACCAGGGAGGAGGTCAGCAATATGATGCGAAAAAGATGTCATTCGTTAGGGCTATGGTTACGCCTCGATCACTACTACCTTGAAGACCAACGAGGACTTCGTGGGTTTCTGTCACACTGACCTCGCAGTTGGGTTGGATATTGTCCGAGTACACAGCGCAGGTGTTGGTCTCCTCCTCAATCAGCAACCATCGTCGCCCGACTGACTCCCATGTGCTCATCGGCCAGAGCCGCGGTCGATCCACCACGACGCCCGTGCGGGCAGCAGAGTCTGTCGGGACGGAAGAAGGAGTTCTGGGCGAGATCAAGGTAACACAGTATGTTAAGTAATCCGATGTCCGTAATCATCAGTCCTCCGGTCGGTAGTGAGAGTCATAGGTCGGAATTCCGTCAGTGCCCCTTAGCAGCCAGCGAGTAGTGAGTGACCTAGGCTGTAGTGAGCAATGCAGCCTCCGTGTCACAGCGATCACCATCGATACTCTCAGTGAAAGGCCCCTCCTCTTTTTGGAACGGTAACGTTACCACCCACTAACTCCCACTCCACTCCTGACCAGACCATCCCCCCCCCCCCCCTTCTCCTTCTTCCATAATCCTTCTTCCGCTTCTTTTTGCCGTCGAAACATTATTCTTCTTCTTGTTCTGTTCATACACTATTATTCTTCTTATTCTTCTTCCTTCCTTTGTTCTGATTTCTTCTGTCTTCCTCTCGTGGTTGTTCCCCCCACTCACGCCCACTCTCAGGCTGCCCAGGCTGGCCAGTCACACCCGCTCGGGTCAGTGGGCTCGGCAAATTGCAACCTTCCCCCTCCAACAGGAATCTCAGCCATGAACCCCCCGGTTTAACTCTTGGAGAGAGAGAGCGCGCAAGAACGCGTTTCAGTTCAGCACTATCCCATCTGGTGGCCCCAGCCACCCCAATGTACGACACCCGCGCTGCAGACCTGGCCGACTCTGGAGGATCCGCGTTGGCGACCAAGTCGGGCACGTTTGCGACCGTTGTCGAATACGCCCACGAACAACCCACCAACCCCACAACCGCCTCCCGCCTTCGAAGTCGCGGAAACAGCATCTCGCGAGACTTCCAGACCAACCGGTCGCCTCAGCGACTCAATCCAGCCCTCAAGATGGCGGCCCCCGGCTACGCGGTCAGCCCCGAGCCCCCACCGGCGCTGTTCGTGCGCGCGATGTACGATTATGATGCGGACGACCACACCAGCTTGAGTTTTCGCCGTGGCGACATCATCCAGGTCCTGAACCAGCTCGAGACGGGGTGGTGGGATGGAGTCATTGACAACACCCGTGGTTGGTTCCCAAGCAACTACTGCCAGATAATCACGGAGGCCGACGATTTCGGTGAGCACCTCGGTGAGCACCTGCTGATGCAGGGCCATGACGAGGCGGAGATCAGCGCAGGCTCGGGCCTGGAAGATGAGTACGGCGAGGGGCATGACGAAGAGGACGAGCTGGACTCTGCAGGCAACCCGCGCGATTCGCATCCAATCCTCCCCATCGAGGGGATCCCGCAACCCAAGGAGCAGGAAGAGGCGGCATTTTGGATCCCGCAAGCGACACCGGATGGCCGTCTTTTCTATTTTAATACCCTCACCGGCTATTCGACCATGGAATTGCCCTTCGAAAACCCGACTACGGCCAACGAAAATGGCCCCTGGGACCGGACCAATTTTTTCGTGCCCGACCAGACGCGGCCCCCTCCTGAGATGATGGCGGGCGGTTTTGAACGTGTTGAGGACGAGTACGACGGTTCGGCGTCGGAGGCGGAAGGAGAGTCGTTGATGTTGGCTTCGCACGGATCGATTTCTCGCCGGCGCCAGTCCTTGATGGACGGAGTGTCTCCGGCCACCTCGATGGATTCCTTGTATCCTCCCAAGACTGCCGTGGATACCAAGGGCTTGGAACAGATCTCCAAGGGCCACCAGACCTCGTACAGCACCGATACAACCAGTCTCAACACCTCTACCACCGAAAGCCTCCCAAGACCCTCTATCTCTTCCAATGCCCCGCAACACTTTGTGGACGACGGCTTCGCACCACCGGCCACCTGGGCGATGCTTGTTGATAACATGCAATACGCCATTGATGCTTACCGTCAGGCACTTCTCAATGGCGAGCGTTCAGAGTATGTGAGGAAGGCCGAAGACATTTCCGATCATCTTCGCATGCTTTTGGCTGCTGGTTCAGATACGACGGACAATCACTCTGGCAATCCGTCTATCATCTCCACTAACAAGGCATTGTATCCTTACTTCCGGGACATGATGTCCAAATTCTCCAAACTCGTTCTTTCCTCCCATATCGCCGCTGCCGATTGGCCAGGTTCCGACTCGGTCAACAAGTGCCTGCAAGAGGCCGAAGGGGTCATGCAGGGTGTGGTGGGCTATGTGGAAGTCGCCCACCAACAGCGTGGGGATACTATTCGTCGTGTTATCCCCGGCTTCGTGAGCGGCAGCCCCTGCGGTGGTAGCTGGCAAAACAATGGCGTCTCCTTGAATGCACCCGGCCCGACCTCATTCTTGGTTCCAGAGGGCGGTGATTCACGGGTGGAACCGTCGGTGACTCTTGATGCGCTTCTGTTGGACCAAATCGATGTACTTCGAAAGTCTCTAGTCGGAAGTATCCGCCGACTTGAAGAACATTTGTCCCTCAACCAGAAGGTTATCACGATTATCGCGCATGAAGATCTCGCGGACCAGATCTCTGCTGCCGCAATCAAGGTCGTTGAACACTATCGTCCCTGGCTTTCGGCCGTCGAGTCAATCAACCTCGCGTCGCTGGGAACCAGTTTCCAGAACCCCCAACTGGTCGATTTTAGCTTGCAGAAACAAAGAGCCTACGACGCTATAGCAGATTTTGTCTTGGGCTGCCAGGCAATTTCCGCCCCTCTTGCTGATGAGTGGGCCGAACTGCGTGGTGATTCTCTCGAAGACCGGTTCACTGCTGTGAAAGGCATCGCTAGACAATTGGAGAATTACATCTCACAAATTGGCTTCTCGCTGTCGTTGCTCCTTGAACAGATTCCCGCTGAGCCCACATCCATTCTCCGGAGTGACAGCCGTTTGGATGAGGTAGATGAGTCGCTCACCGGAACTCACAACCGTGCGGAATCTGTGACTAAGATTGGCGGAGAGACCATCGGCATACCTTCTTCCTATGCCCTGGATGATGACTCGCAGAAGGTGCGACGTAACATGGACAAGGCTCAAAGGTTCTTTGGCCAGGCGCCACCTACATCTATCACCCGCGAGCCGGTTCAGGAGCCAGTCCGGGAGCCCGAAGAGACACCATGGTTCCTGAAGATGGATCACGAAGGCGAAGTGTTCTACGATAACAAGGGCGACGCTCCTGTCCTAAAATGTGGAACATTGGCTGGGCTGGTCGAACAACTTACACGTCATGACAAGCTTGATGCTTCATTTAACAATACCTTCCTCCTTACCTACCGCTCCTTTACCACTGCCTCGGAGCTTTTCGAGATGCTCGTCCAACGTTTCAACACTCAGCCTCCGTTCGGCCTGAGCCAAGATGACATGCAAGTTTGGACCGATCGCAAACAAAAGCTTATCCGATTCCGGGTTGTCAATATCCTTAAGAGTTGGTTCGACCAATTCTGGATGGAACCCAATGATGAGACGAACATGGATCTCCTGCGGCGAGTCCACGCTTTCACCAAGGATTCTATTGCAACCACGAAGACCCCTGGCTCCCCAACCTTGCTTGCTGTCATTGAGCAACGACTTCGAGGTCAAGACATTTCTGTCAAGCGCCTTGTTCCAACCCAAAGCAATGCTGCGCCGCCGCCGATCATCCCGAAGAATATGAAGAAGCTCAAGTTCCTCGACATCGATCCAACGGAGTTTGCCAGGCAGCTGACGATCATCGAGTCACGTCTGTACTCTAAGATCCGCCCAACTGAGTGCTTAAACAAGACATGGCAGAAGAAGGTTGGGCCCGATGAACCAGAGCCGGCCTCGAACGTCAAGGCCCTGATTCTGCATTCGAATCAGTTGACCAATTGGGTCGCCGAGATGATTCTGACGCAGGGAGACGTCAAGAAGCGTGTGGTGGTCATTAAGCACTTTGTGAATGTGGCCGAAAGGTGTCGCACTCTGAACAACTACTCAACTTTGACATCTATCATTTCCGCCCTTGGAACTGCACCCATTCATCGCCTTGGCCGGACATGGGGTCAGGTCAGCGGTCGCACATCCACCATTTTGGAACAGATGCGCCGCCTCATGGCCAGCACGAAGAACTTTAACGATTATCGCGAGACATTACATTCTGCCAATCCGCCTTGCATTCCTTTCTTTGGTAAGACTCGCAGCTGCGCTGACCGCAATCCTTTCCCCCTCCCACTTCTATCAGTAAACTGACCTGTTATGCTAGGTGTCTACCTTACGGACTTGACGTTTATCGAGGACGGTATTCCGTCTCTGACGCCATCGGAGCTGATCAACTTCAACAAGCGGGCGAAGACCGCCGAAGTAATTCGCGATATCCAGCAGTACCAGAACGTCCCGTACCTGCTACAGCCGGTCCCCGAACTCCAGGATTACCTTCTCAGTAACCTGCAAGCCGCTGGCGATGTGCACGACATGTATGACCGAAGTCTGGAAATCGAGCCTCGGGAACGAGAGGATGAAAAGATTGCGAGGTATGCTGAAGCCGCGAGCAGAGACAAGAACTCCCTACTATTTGCAAGCACCGTTGCGATCCTGCGATGATTTTGGCTGCAATTTCTCTCCCCCCTTTTCCCGCATGAAGTCTGTCGGGCATTTGCTTGGCGAATATCCAACTTTTATGACCTTATGTGCTTTTGCTATTGGACGAAGACAATATCCTTGAAACTAACCGCTTTTGCTGAACCCCGTAGATTACTTTCCGAGTCCGGTTTCCTGTAAGCCGTGGCGGGGGAGCCACATGGACCCCCTGTCGCGCAACATTCTACAGGCCGGCACCCGCCGAGTTATCAGCAGCCTCGCTCCACGATAAATCGCCATGGCGGAAATGTCTCCAATCGAAATCCGCCATCCGTCTCCAGCGCCCGTTTGACAGGATCATGGCGCCCTCCCATTCGACCAGTCGGGAAGGGCTTTCGGCCCGTGGACCGTGCCCAAGACATCCTAGCCTGCGCTGCCCCGGTCGGTCCCTTGTACGGATCACTCCGTCCGGCTGTGTGCTCATCAGAAGCATCTTGTCGAACCTACCCCGGGCTCTACTGTCCAATGCCTCGATCAAACCCACAAATTGGTGGGGCGAGTTGTATTGATCTGCGACCCTCTCGACCGGGGCCTGATTCCACCGAAGCCCCTCGCCGATCTTCGATCGTGCTAATCCCTCGCCTCCTAACCAACCGTCCACCCAACATAGAGCACCTCCCACTGCTTCTTTTTGGAGTTCAATGCTTCTATTTCCTGCCATCTCTACCACTTAGACTTTTCGCTCCATCATCCCGGCCCCTGGACCCTTGTTGTTTTCTGCCTTGTCCGCTTACTCACCATCACGCACATACTGGACTCTTTTTCCTCGGTGTACATTTTTTCTTTTCTTGTCCCATTCGTTTATGACCGAGTTCTACCGTCATAACACCACTTCTTCTCTAACCCCGAGGAACGGTCGATCCGATCTCGCAAGGTTAATATGTCCTCGATGCCGTCCGTGAATTAATGATCCGTCACGAACTTTGGGGGACTGATGTTTCTCTTTATCCATTCCAGATGGATGGATTTACCCCACCATGTTTGGGGAGCAGGATACCTTTTTGTTCTCATGGTTTTGGTGTATCTACTGCGTTGTCTTTTCCGTTTGATACTCTCATCCCTACCTCTCTCTGGAATTATTGCAAATTCCGAGTCAATCAATAGAAACTGAATTCGACCATGACATGTCATATCATGATAGTTTTGTAATATTCTAGGTAGACTGATTGACTGATTCCCCGTGGCTGCTGGATAGAATTTCAATATAGAGCAGCATTGATTTCCATACCTGATGGTCTTTGCATAGAGTGAGGGTTATGTCGTCTGCTTTTATGTGGTGACACTTCCTGGGTTCACATTACTTGCAAAAGACCACGCAAACAAGAGCATGGAGTCCCCTTCCTTCGCGTGGAAGAAGCGGTATAAGCCGGACACTTGGATAGCCAAAGACAGAAATGATCTTAAACTAGCCTTGCAGCGTACACTTTTATGCAATATTCCGAAGTCAGTGTCTTTAGCTTGAACGTCTTTGCTGAGGTCTTGCTGGATACGGCGCAGTGCTAATCGCAGATATCTAGAGTCTGGTGAGTATGTGTCTCACTGTCTCTTCCTGGCTGCTAACCGTCACCCTACATAGTATGCCGACCACAAGGACGAGTAAGCAAAAGGAAGAAGGCACGCAAGTTTGTCTAGTGTTTCGTCTCATGTGCATGCTCTAGCTGACGACTTCATTTCCTAAAATGTCCTTCTCCTGTGGTGTGATGCGATTGTCAAAATACGATGAGATTGAGATTTCTCTTTCTATCGTCCTTTGTCATATTTACTTTCTTGGTCTCCGAATCCAGCCAGCGGAGACTTTGGTCTTCGTTTCTGAGCATTACTCATTACTGCTCGTTATGCTTTTCTTTGTTACCGTCTGCATATAGCACATTGATCAAGCCTCAGCCTGGCTTTGATCTCCGATGCCCTGGAACAGCTTCATCTTCACCTCAGAAGCGAGTAAGCCCTTCACTTCCTCCGATACAATCCGCTGTCCACCGCGAACGACCTTGTCGAGTTGCTGATCCTTGGCGGAGGCACTATTCCCGCGTGGCCCGCCGCTCTCGATCCCCCGTGCAGCTTTGCGCACCTTTTGGCTGAGATCCATCATCTGCTTGCTGCCGTAGTCGCGAGTAGCAAACAGCGGGCTTTGGCTGAGCGTCGCAACCCAATATTTATTCCAGAGAAGAGAAAGGATCTCGGAATCGAGGGTGCTCTTGAAATGTGACACGTCGAGAGAGTAGTACTGGTTGGCATGGGCGCCAAAGTCCTCTGCCTTGCCAAGCGGGATGGTCTGGTACTCGTCGTCCTCGTGGGCCTCTCGCGATGGGACAAAGTCCTGCGGGAACGTGCGAAATGCGCCGATCTCCACGCGCCCCGCCGAAATCGTGCGCTCGGGATCAATCACCACCGCCACGAACGGCCCTCCCATCTGCTGCGTTTGCTGTGTAGCCACATCAATCCCGGACAGCCAGCACCCGTACCCCGGATGGCTGTGGTACCAGCCCACAGCATTTTCCATGCGTCCTGCATCCCGGCACGACTGTAGATATGACACCATGTACTCGTTGGCCTCGTCCTGTGCGTTCACGCGAGTCTCCGTGCCCTCGACTGGTAGCCGGAAGGCATCTGTCACCACGAATGTATGCGGCAGAATGTATCCTTGCATGAGACCCATCACCTCGAGCGACCCGCCGGACCGGGCATGCATCACCATCTTCAGCAGCGCGGAGGCTGAGATGCGAACATTCTTGAAATAGTATGGGTCATTGGCCCATGGCCGCTCGGCATCGAGGGCTCGCTGTGTCTCTGGGTCGTATTTGTACAAGGCGTCTCGTTGCGGATCGAACACGGTGATCGCATTTTCGAGCTCTATGATGGCACGGCTGGTCAGCTTGCTGGACGTATCTGGCGGTGAAGTGTGAGTACAAACCCCAGGACTGCTGTGCAGCCTGCATTTTGAAGCGAGGTGGAGCTTCGCCTGTGTTTCCCTTGATGGAAATGTGAAGTTGGAGGTGGATCGTAGCAATTAGTAGTCAGGAAGCAATAAGTAAAGAAGACAGCGGGGGGAGATGGGATCCCCGGCGGTGTGTGCCTAATCAGCAGAAATAAGGCGGTGAACCCCCGTTGCCCCGGGCGACCCGCCGAGCACGAGATCTTGGAAGCGGCCGATCGTTTACTATGGGCCCCGGCGTTCCTACTCCCCTCATAAACAATCATCTCTCTCCACCCGCTGAAACCCAGGCCTTTCGTTTTCCAACTCCCTCATTGTTCACCTCCTCCCCCCACACACCCGCCCACCGGGCTCTCTTTTTGGCTTCCATCGGTTGCTGTCCGACGCTGCGACTGCCTGGCGCTCTGTCGCCCTGGTTGATTAACATTCCTTGACTGACTGTCACCCTCACCCAAGGGTTGCTGTTTCCAATGGCGGTAGACACGGGCTACCTGACCACTCAGGTCAACAACATAGTGACCCAGCTCCATGGCATTTTCGATGAGATCGGGGTCCCTAGCCGTGAGCGGGAGTCTCGTGAGGCAGAGGTATGTTGTCGTCCCTGTCGCGAAAGAGGTCCTCGTCGCTGCGATACTGATTTAACTATACAGCTGTTTTCGGCCCTCTCAGACACTCTTCATAACCATCTCAAGCTTGTTGACGAGTGGGTAAACACGTTCAAACCCCCAGCTACTTAGTACTAATCAATGTTTGTTTACAGTGAGAAGGAGAAGTTGACGCAAGAAGCTCAACGTCTCATCACCACCATTCAGCAGATGGAGGCCTCTCTGGGTGATGAGAGGGCCAATGGCCGTTATGAGCTCAACCGCGACGATTTGCGCGTCACGTACCCGCTCAATCGTTGTATCGCTTTCCTCCGCGAGAAGAGTGAGGCCATGAGCAAGTTACACCGTGAGCGCTTTGAACAAGTCAAGAGTGAGTTTGTCCCTCAATTTTTTTTGGAGTGTTCTTTCTGACTTTTAATAGAACTGGTTGATGCCCTCGAATCCTACTCCTCGCACCTCGAGGCCTCCTTTGTTTCTATTGAGTTGCCGCCCACCGCACCTGGCTCCTCTATTCCCCCCAGCTTTGACCTTTCCCCTTCGTATGTCACAGCTCTGGACTCCGAATTTTCCAGAGTGTACGAAGAATACCACCGCCGCGTGTCTCATGTCCAAACCATCTCTGAGGAGATGATCAAGCTCTGGGCAGAACTGGGCACCCCTCAAGTCCAGACGGACTCCAACATTGTCAAGCTTTACCGTGAATCTCCTGAGCAGCTGGGCCTGCACGAGAACGACATTGCCAACCTGATGGGTAAGCGCGACAAGCTGGTTGAGGAGAAGAAGGGCCGCGAGCGCAAGATCAAAGAACTCAGAACCTCAGTGGAAAGCCTCTGGGAGCGGTTTGGAGTTGAAGAGGCTGACCGCAAGGCGTTCCTTTCTGCCAACCGCGGCTGTGGACTTCGTACCATCAACGAGTTTGAGGAGGAGCTCACCCGCTTGAACGAGTTGAAGAGACAAAATATGCATCTCTTTGTGGAAGATGCTCGCTGCCGCCTCCAAGAGCTTTGGGACAGCCTTTACTTCTCCGAGGAGGAGATGCTTGATTTCACCCCTGCTTTCTCCGATGTGTGCAGCGATGCTCTACTCGAGGCGCACGAGGCCGAGATCAACCGCCTTGAGGCCCTCAAGGAGCAGCGCGCTCCTACTCTGGAGCTAATTGATAAGCATCGCGGTCTCCTGGCGGATCGTGACTCATTGGCTTCCTCGAGTCAGGATGCATCTCGACTCATGGGCCGCGGAAACAAGGGCGAGAAGCGCGATCCTGGAAAGCTCCTCAGGGAGGAAAAGATGCGCAAGAGGATTGCAAAGGATCTCCCCAAACTGGAAGCAGAGCTGCGGAAGGAGCTGGAGCATTGGGAAGATGAATATGGCCGGCCATTCTTGGTTCATGGAGAGCGGTATCTCGACACCTTGGCTGCCGCCGCCGCGGCCGCTACCAGGCCGCTAGGCCGCTCTAAGACACCTTCGGCGCCATCGTCGACTACGAAATTAACTGGCACCAAGTCTGTCTCACGCCCTGGCACTGCCGGCTCTATGCGAGGACCCCCGCCGCCGCGCTCAGCGACCAAGACCCCGACTAGCAGTGGACCTGTGAAGCACAACACTATCGGTTATTCCGGCGCACGATCTGCAGGAGCCAAGTCTCCCTCCAAGCTCCCTGCCCGTGCTCCGCTGAGCAATATGCCCCAGGGAAACAATTCTCCTGACCGTCGCAATGGGCCGGGTTCCTACTCGTCTAGTACTGTCAATGGAAAGATGGGACCTCCTCGTATGCCGCCGCCCAGGATGCGAGCCTTGACCGTTGAATCAAAAAATGAGCGCGGCAGCTACAATAATAACATGGACCCGCCTCGCTGCAATAGTTCCATGTCCAGTGCCTTTGTGAGGCCTGTCAGCCCTGAAGACGTTTATGATGACCGCCAACGTTCTTACATGAGCTCGTCTGCTCTATCTCATTCCCGATCAACTGGACTCTCTCAATCCTCCCATTCTTCGCAATCCTCGCTGTCCCTGAGCTCCTCCATGCAAGGGTACCCGCGGCCGAATCCTTATCTGCAGCACGCACCTCCTCCACTGGCGTCACGCATGCCATCCAGCTCTTCATCTGCCAATACCGCATCGTCCGAGAATTGGGAAACATTCGATGATGCGTCTGACTCGGAAATGGACGCAAATGATGTCTACTATGCCAAACTCCGAGCCGCCAACGGCAAGCGGTTTGCTCCAGACGATGGCCTGGACCTGGGTGGCAAGAAAGCCAAAGGTATCCGAAGTGTGAGCCCCGATGGTCCGCATGCTGGGCAGGTCCTGCGTGTGGCGGGCAGCGATAACGACTGGACCGAAGAGTTTGAATCATACTAATAGTTCGATTCAACATCGATTTTCCATTTTGGCATGATGCACCCGGCGCTGATTGGACTTCTCTTCTATTTTTTGCCCCGGCACCTTGGACATGGGGCTGTGCTTACGCGACGACTCTGGTGTTTGACGACCCTACGACCGAGATTTTGCACGGCTCACGGCTCATGATGGACCCTTGACGTTCCTTTGCGATAGAGCTCCTTTCCGCGTTCCCTTACGAGCACAGTCATGCGTGTGATGCTTACCCAGTTGCCGACCTTTCATCTCTTTCTTCGTGTTTAAATTATGAGCCAATCATGTCAACCCTGTTCATGCTCTTTTTCCTTCGTCTGTTGATTTTATCCAGTCCAGCGCTCTCTGTCCAGCTACAGGCCAGCCCTGGGCTGTTTTTAATTGTCTATTTGTGGACGCTTTTTTTGGGTCCTTCGGCATGGTGTTCTCTTCTTCTCTTCCTTTGTCATTTCCTTTCGAATTCTTTTGGCTCGGTGCTTATGGCTCAGTCTTGTTTATTTCCTATGCCTTTTGGTTCAATGTTGTTAGCTTTATCTTTCTTGTATGGTCCGAGTTATTCTTATCGGACAATTTGTGAGTGGTTCTATCACCATAAATGCATTGATTCATTGGATCTGGCTTCGTAGGCGCATAAAATACCAGTAGCTCTCTCCCTGTCTCTGCGCTTGGGTCGATGAACGTATGGTCTACCCTTTTTTATCATTCTTATAAGACACGCCGAAGCTGCTTGTTCTTGAATAGGGCCAACTGACGAAGGTGTATACAAGCAATTATACAAGAGTACTATAAATTTATTTCTTTCCCTCAAGGCTTTTAACCTCAGCTACTATACAACAACATCATGATATACATACATCACTCACTCCTCAAGATCCAATCAACCCATGCAGCTCACCGCGAAGCAAGCGAACCCATCCAACTCCGATCTACATCCCCATTCTCCTCCGAAGAGGAAGAAGATTTAGGAACCCTCCTCCCGACAGGCGGGACCAACGACGCCGTCAACGCCTTCGCATCCTGCAACCTGCGGACAGATTCATCGCGCCCGAGAATCGCCATCGTCTCGGGAATCCCAGGCCCCGGTGCGGATGCCGAGAGCGCCCAGCGGAGGTAGTGATAGAGTTCCTTTTTGAAGAGCTTGTTCGTTGCTGCTGACGAGGCGGAGTCCGCTTCTCCCTGTGCTTCAGAGGAACTGGCCACTGCGGAACCGTCATAGGAGGCGATATTACTGCGGTGCGTTTCGACGGTCCAGTGACTGGGCGGGACGAGGGCTAGTGCTGCGGCGGCGGTGTGGAGCGCTTGCATGGGAACTGCGGGTATAGTGTCACTGGCATTGGTGGGAGATGTGGAAGCTGGTGTGTAGGGGGGTCGGGAGAGCTGGGTGGTGAAGAAGGTCGTGTTGCGCTCGATGAAGGTCGGCGCATCGCTGTAGGTTTTGGCGTCGGCGCGGAGCAGCGGTGCGATATACTCTGGCAGTGTCCTTTCCTGGAGGATCGGGCCTCTGTTTGAAATGTCAGGGCGCTCGTGCTTTGGGCTAAGTCGAACTAGATAGAAGACTTACAGGGTCTCTAGAGAATGCTTCTCTTCCACTGTTGAGCAGACGGTGCTCACCATCTGGTCGAATTCAAAGCCGCCGGTCGTTGCGAAGCGCTGGGCGTGTGCCTTTTGCAAGAACCAGAGCTTCTCGAAGGCAACGACTGTGTTGCCGCGCGTAATTTTCAAGTTGAACTGGATGCGATGTCAGTGATTGCGGGATTGCTTCCGTGATTGAGGGACCGTACAATCGGTTCCAGCTCCTCTAGGCTGAACACGTCTGATTTCTGAGTATGAGACCAGCCTAAGAGCGCGGCAAAATTGACTAAAGAAGCCGCAAACACGCCTTGCTTGTCCTTAAAGGACGAGAGGTCGATATCCATGTTCCGCTTGCTGAGCTTCTGCCCAGTCTTATCGACCAGGAGAGGGACATGTCCGAACCGTGGAGGCGTCCAGTCAAACGCATTGTACAAGGCTACATGCATTGGGGTAGACGGCATCCATTCCTGGCCGAGTCAGCATGAACAAAGACGGCCGAGAGAGAGATGCTTACAGTGCCGCGGATGACATGAGTGATTTTCATGCAGTGATCATCCACCACATTAGCCAGATGATACGTGGGATGTCCATCCGACTTGAGCAGAATAGGGTCGTCGTACACTCGATCAATGAGGTCTAGTTTGCTGCTGCTGAGGCGGTTCTGACCCGTCCTACCATAGACCAGATCGTTGAACATGGGGTATCCTTCCACCTTTAACCGGACAACATGTGTTTCCCCCTTAGACGCCCGTTCTGCAGACTCTTCGGCGGAGATATCTGCGCATTTGCGGTCATAGCCCGGAGCTAGACCGGCTTGACTGCGGTGTCGCGCGAAGGAGTCAAGCCGTTCGGCAGAGCAGAAACAGCGGTAGGCATGGCCATTAGCGATCAAGCCATCAGCGTGCTCGCGGTAGAGAGCAGTTCGTTCGGACTATGTTCCCGCAAATGATCAATCAGCGTTACTCACGGCCGACACTGAAGGAAGCTCACCTGTCTATATGGACCGTGGGGGCCACCGACAATAGGGCCTGCCAACGAGTCAAGTCAGCTCCGTCGCATTATATCGTATATGGAGAAATCGACCAACCCTCGTCCCATTGTAACCCAGCCCATTGTAAATCCTCGTAGAGTCTCTGTTCCGCGCCGGGGATCGTCCGTTTCTGCGCCCATGATCAGCCCGCAGTCCCTCCACACGGGGATTGCGACCGCGCAAACGAACCTGATCGGTATCTTCAATGCGCAGCAGGAATTGACCGCCCGTGCGCTTGGCCAACAGATAGTTGAAGAGCGCCGTTCGCAGCGAGCCCAGGTGGAGGTATCCGGTCGGCGAGGGCGCAAAACGCGTGCGCGCAGGCGTGTCGGGCAGGTTAGTCTTGGACTTGCGCACCTGAGCGCCTGCGGTGGATGCTGAGGAGCAGGTTCTGCACTGGATGCAGGTCCAGGAACGAGCCAGGAGCCCGCTGTAAGGGCGGCGCATCGTCGGGTGGTCTGTTAGTGAGTATTTGCGGAGGCTCGGAGGATCGGGCGGGAAGGAAATTTCTCATCAACAAAACTTTCCCAAACACTTCCTCTTCTTCTTCCTCTCTGCTCTCACGTCCCATCAGCCACGTCATAAACAGTATGTGATCCCGCTGGATTCGAGGTCATATTTACTAATGCGCGTCTACAGTGGCTCAGGTCGAGATTGATCTCTATGGTATGGCATCGTTGCCCCGACAAAACCACTGAACGGACTGACTGACTCGACTGCAGAGGTCCTAGAGGTCCACCGCGGCGCAAACAAAGATGAGATTCGCAAGGCATACCGCAAGGTAAGACTGGTCTTCATAGGGAATCCCTGCAGCACTGACATCTGCTAGGCCGCGCTCGCGAGCCACCCCGACAAGGTCCCCGAAGCCGAGCGGGAAGCGGCCGAGGTGAAGTTCAAGTCTGTGCAGGAGGCATACGATATTCTCTACGACGACGAAAAACGCCACATCTACGATACCCACGGCATGTCCGCGTTCAACGGGTCCGGCGAGCCCGGCATGGGCGGTGCGCCTGATCTGGACGAGATGCTCGCGCAGATGTTCGGGATGGGGGGGATGGGAGGCATGGGAGGCATGGGCGGGATGCCCGGAGGAGGACCACGCGCGAAGCGGCCCCGGAAGAGCCCGAACGAAGAGCAGGCGTATGAGGTCAGCCTGGAGGAACTGTACAAGGGCAAGACGGTCAAGTTCGCCAGCACCAAGAACGTCATCTGCAGTCTGTGCAACGGCAAGGGCGGCAAGGAGAAGGCGACGGCCAAGAAATGTTCGACGTGCGATGGGCAAGGGTACAAGGAGGTTCTGCAGCGCATGGGCCAGTTCCTGACCCAGTCTACCGTGGCTTGCACTGTCTGCAACGGTCAGGGCTCGTTCTTCAGCCCCAAGGACAAATGCAAGAAGTGCAAGGGCAAGAAGACTGCGGAGGAGCGCAAGATCCTGGAGATCTACATCCCGCGCGGTGCACGGTAAGATATCTTTTTCGGCCGTCTATATCAGAAATACTGACCCTAAACAGGGAAGGAGAGAAAATCGTGCTGGAGGGCGAGGCGGATCAGGTCCCAGACCAAGAGCCCGGCGATATCATTTTCAAGCTGGTCGAGGAAGAACACGCAGTCTTTACTCGGGCCGGATCGGACCTGAGAGCAGATATCGATGTCACACTGGCTGAGTCCCTGAGCGGGTTCTCGCGAGTCGTGTTGAAGCACCTGGATGGTCGCGGCATTGAGATCACCCACCCCCAGAAGCCCGGCGAGACCCTGTCCCCTGGCCAGGTTCTCAAGGTGCCCGGCGAGGGCATGCCGCACAAGCGCAGCGATGCCCGTGGCGACCTGTACCTAGTGGTGAACATCAAATTCCCCGACGAGAAGTGGAAGCCGACCCCGGCGATGCTGGAGAAGCTCAAGGAGCTGCTGCCCAAGCCCGGAAAGCCCATCGAGGCGGAAACGATTGACGAGGTCGAGTACAACCCGCGGGGCGACCTTAACGAGTTCGGGGCACAGGATGGCCACGGCTCGGCGTGGGTGGACGAGGACGAGGACGACGATGAGCCGGCGCAGTGCGCGACTCAGTAATCTTTCTATGGCATAGACGGCGTTGGGAGTATCTTTCTTTCAAGTCTAGATGTTACTCTGGCCAATCCCCATTCCCACTACTCTTTACTGTTGTACCTTTTTGATCCCGCAAGAGATCGTACATGACGAATGTTACCACTTGTCTACCAATTGTTCCACTTCTACCAACGAGTCAACCGTAGCATCTGGCTTCAGCTTCTCGCAATTATTCTTGTCACCATATCCGAAACGACACCAGACCGATCTCGCACCGCCAATATTCGATGCAAATCGTAAATCCGCCTCGGTATCCCCGATCACAAAGACATCCGATGCATCGATGCCTTCCAGAAGCCCCCCTTTCTCTAAGAGCCGGAACAAGCACATTGACATAACTCGCAGGATCCGGCTTCCTGGTGGCACCGGGGGTTTTGTCACCAACAATCAAGGCCTCTGGTATACAATCGCCAAGACCGAAGTTGCTGAGAGCCGCTACGACTGCTGCGACCCCTTTATTACTCACGATCGCAGCGGGAATGCTGCGGCCCTGTAAAAACCGCAACAGATGCTGTGCGCCATCAAATGGAGTGACGAGTTGTTGTCCATCTTTAGCGTAGAGGTGGCGGTACATCGAGACCCATTCTTCTTTGTTGAAGGTGCTCGAATCGGGATGCAAGGCCTGAAGAGTATCTTCGAGTCCCATTCCACTGCCAATCAGTCGCTGCACTTCTGATTCACGAGGGGGGTGCGAGGGTAGCAGCACTTCGAACGTCTTGGTGATACTGTGGGCGATGGCGCGATGAGTGTCAAACAGCGTTCCATCGAAGTCGAAGATGATCAGCTTGGGTGGTGCCATCTTCTGTGTGACCTGGTAGTGGTCAATAACAATGAATCAAGCGTGTTTTCGCCCCGACCGAAAAGGGTCCAGGTCCATTTTCGACGACCGCAACTAACCCTAAGTCACCCCCACACACTTGACCCAATCACCATCGCCCGGTTTCAACAGCAGCGTGGGATGCCGACGACCCGGAGTTGCTCCGTGGGGTTGATTCATTCATTCTTAATCATGGCTCGCCCCCTCAATTCTTCACTCGACACATTTCCACGATCATGCCGTGCAATCCTCAACAGGCCTCCTGCGAGGGCTGTTCCTGCGCCGCCGCCACGGCCGCGCCGGTGAATATCGAGGACTGCGAGAGCGAGCTTCTCGCCCTGCGCCAGCGCACTCACGACTTGGAGAAAACCCTTGCCACCCTGAAAGATGAATCCGACCTACCCCGCAAGGGCCGCAAGCTGCGCTCGTCGCGCTGGTTCAACATTGAGGACAACCCCGGCATGACTGCGCTGTACATCGAGCGCTACTGCAACTACGGCATGACCCGCGAGGAGCTCATGTCCGGCAAGCCGGTGATCGGCATCGCGCAGTCCGGCTCCGACATCGCCGCTTGTAATCGGCACCACCTCGAGCTGGCGAAGCGTGTTCGTGAGGGTATTCGCTCCGCCGGTGGTATCGCCTTTGAGTTCCCGACACATCCGATCCAGGAGACTTCGCGGAGACCGACGGCTTGTCTGGATCGCAACCTAGCGTACTTGGGCTTAGTGGAGATTTTGTACGCGTATCCGTTGGATGGCGTGGTGCTTTTGACGGGGTGTGACAAGACGACGCCGGCGGCGCTGATGGCGGCTGCTACTGTGGTACGTTGAGGATTTTAGTTCTCTGGTTTAAACCGTACACTGACACCGTGCCGAACAGAATATCCCCGCAATTTGCCTCAATGTCGGTCCGATGATCAACGGCTACCTTGGCAATGACCGGGCAGGCTCCGGTATGGTAATGTGGAAGGGGAGAGAAAAGTATGCGACGGGCGAGATCGACCGCCAGGAGTTCATGGACTATGTGGCCAAGGGCGCACCCTCCGTGGGACACTGCAATACAATGGGCACGGCGTCCACCATGAATGCCCTCGCCGAAGCCCTGGGCATGGCTCTCCCCGGCTCGGCCGCCATCCCCGCCCCGTACCGCGAGCGAGCTCAATGCGCCTATGTGACAGGCGAGCGAATCGTTGAGATGGTGCACGCCGACCGCAAACCGAGTGATATCATGACTCGTGCGGCCTTTGAGAACGCCATTGTCGCCAACACCGCCATCGGCGGCAGCACCAATGCGCCCATTCATATCAACGCTATCGCCAAGCATATGGGTGTGCCGATCTCACTAAACGACTGGGATGAGCTTGGGTTCCACATCCCGCTCCTGCTTAACATGCAGCCCGCCGGCGAGTTCCTGGGCGAGGAGTACTACCGCTCCGGTGGTCTCCCTGCTATCATGGCGGAGCTGCTCGAGGCCGGCAAGTTAAACGCTAATGCGTTGACCTGCAACGGTCAGACGGTGGAGGCCAATGTGCGCGGCAAGCAGACATGGAACCGTGATGTTATCAAGGAGTATAATAACCCGCTGATGGCGGATGCTGGGTTTGTGCATCTGCAGGGCAGCCTGTTCAACTCGGCAATCATGAAGACATGCGTGATCTCTCCGGCATTCCGCAAGAAGTTCCTCGAGAACCCATCCGACCTGAACGCCTTTGAAGGCTCCGTTGCTGTCTTCGATGGACCAGAAGACTACCACCGCCGCCTAGACGACCCCGCCACGCCTATCGACGACTCAACCATCCTGGTCATGCGCGGAGCTGGCCCACTGGGCTACCCCGGCGCCGCAGAGGTGGTCAACATGCACCCACCCGGACGTCTCCTACGCGAGGGCGTCGCCTCACTCCCCTGCATCGGCGACGGTCGCCAATCCGGCACATCAGGCTCCCCGTCAATTCTAAACGCTAGTCCCGAGGCAGCCGCCGGCGGGAACCTTGCCCTGCTGCGCGATGGAGACAGACTGCGCGTGGACTTGACGAAGCGTCGTGTCGATATCCTCATTGACGAGGAAGAGCTCGTCAGTCGTCGTGCGGAGCTCCAAAAGAAGGGGGGTTTCGCTGTGCCGGAGAACCAGACGCCCTGGCAGGAGATCTTCCGTCGTGAGACGGACCAGTTGAGTGAGGGTATGGTGCTCCGCGAGGCGGTTAAGTATCAGCGCGTGGCGCAGAAGTGGGAGGAGCCGAGACATAATCATTAGATGAAGGTAGGTACATAGAGCAAGATTCTATCTTCGTTCCATTGAAAATATGTAGTCATGTTTGTATATGCAGAATCGGTCTAATCGTTCTTACACTGTACAGAAACCAAATAAACAGACATATACAGCGATCCTCTTTCCGTGCACGGCCCTGCCGCATCTTTTATACATATCACCACCCATACATACACCCATAATGACACGCCCAGCGCAAACCCGACTAACCCGCCGGATTCTTGCAAGTAAAAGGCGTCAAAGCGGACCCAGCAAAGTCCTCATGCATACCAATAACCGACGCCCAAATACCCAGACCCGCCGTTCCCAGCGCAGCCAGGAAGTAAATGACATCAAAAGAGTTGAGAGCAAGCTGTTTCTTGAATCCTCTCGCCCAGCGCTTCCAGCCAGAGTCAATGCGCAGAGCCTGGCCCGTGTGCGGATCGAAGGCCTCACCGGGCAAAATGGCGTCGTTCTGCACACTGTAGCCGACGCGCAGGAGTGGGGGGAAGGTATAGGAGAACTGGAGGATGCAGGCTGCGCCGACGAAGGAGGTGAGGTTGCTGATTTGTGGGATGGCAGCTGCTACGACCCAGGCGAGGGCCCAGTAGATGGGTACTAGGGCTACCCAGAGCCATTTGCCGACGCGGTGGTCTAGTGGGGGGAGGTGGAAGACGTCGCGGAGGACGGCCGAGTAGAAGATCTTGATGCCGATGTTGCCGTATAGCAGGGCCGCGATGGCACCGGTGATGAAGGAAATAGCGTTACCCAGGGTCTGGAAGGAGTAGGCTGAGTGCGGGATGCCTGTGTTCTTTAGTCAGAAATGAATGGAAGAAATTGATGGAAGACGTCTTACCCTGGTAAGATGGGTTGTAGGTGAACTGGCCCTGGGCACTGTAGATAACCATGCCGTTGATCAGGTAGCAAGCATAGATAAAGATCTCAGCGCAGATAAATCCCTTCCAGAAGTCCATGGGCCGGCGCATCTCGGACATGAGCTCGTTGAACAGCGTAGCACCACCATAGGCGAAGACGCAGTTCATCAACCCATTGACCCGGTCATAGAGCGTCGTGTGGGCGGGCCAGTTGGCGGAGGTCTCAATCGGGCCCTTGGGGATTTGGTAGGTGGATTGGACGGCCTCGTAGTTCGGCGGATACTGATGCACGACGACCATGGTCATGATGATGACGACGACGTTGAGCCAGATGGCGATGTTGGCCAGCCACGACAGCCGCTGCAAGGTGCGGATCTGGCCCAGCAGGAATCCGATCAGCATGAAAATGACCTCGGCAACGATGAAGCAGAGATAGCCATTGCCGCTCTTGCCTTGCGCCATCTGCGCCAGACCCTGGCCGTTGCTCACGATCAGGAGGGTGACGTTCAGGAAAAATTGGAAGCTCTGGAGGACGTTGACCAGGATGCGGGCCCAGTGGCCGTACACGCGGAAGGCAAGGTCACCGTAGTTGCGCATGGGGAAGCGCGTCGAGTCCAGCCCGGTGTAGATCTTCCACAGCTGCAGACCCGAGTAGCAGGCCAGGATGCCAAACACAGTGTATAAGGCGAATCCGGGCCCGTAACCCATCTGACTGATTGCCCAGGGGACGTTGGTCGGCCCCAGGATATCTGTGGTGATCAGGTAGAAGATCGAACCCCAGGTGGCCGTGCGGGACGCTCTCTGCGCCTGTTCCCACTCGGTCTCAGTCACACCATGGCCGTCTGTCTCGATATCCGTGTCGCTGCCGACAACCGCGTTCGCAGGCTCGGAATTCGGCTTTTTTTCGGATTCAGTCGGGGCCGGGTCTTGGGCCACCGTATCTATTTCTGGGTTGGAATCCTTGGGCTTCTGACCCAGCATCAGTTTGCCCACCTGCGCAAGACCGGCATTATCGGTGCGAATGCGCTTCTCCACCTCACGCGACCGCTGGGCCCAGAAACGATACTCCTCGAACATGATACTAGAGTCCACGTAGATCGACTGATGGCCGTCCAGCACGGGAGGCGGGATCTGGTGCATACGATCTTCCGAGACATATTCTTTCGAGGTGCCGATGATATCGGCCTCCTCGCCCAGTCGGGCGTCCGCCACGCCGCCGAGGTTCGCGGCCGAGATGTTGCCTGCCATTGCTGCAGACAAAGAAAAAGCGGAGTGCAGATCCGGGGAGAGTATCAAGGCAGTCGAGTGAACAGACACCAAGAATGAGGGAAAGAGAAGACCAAAAGACGGGGGGGGGCGTGGAGACGGAGGCAATCATAAATAATAAATGTCAGGGGAGTTGCCGCGTGTGTTCCTTTTGGTCAATAAAACCCACACCGACGGTGGAGCAATCCATGTGCCCGGCAGCCACCGGACGAATACGACGTCGACCCACGATGGAAACACCCATGGACAGCCAAGCAAAAGCTTGTCTTCTCCGCATCCGACAAGAGTCCGGCGCCCGGTTAGCCCGGATCACCCACTTGGTGTCTCACACGTCTCAAGTATTGGTCGCTTAATGGCGGGTATTTGGTGCTGGCTGCCTGGTGGCGTTACATCTTGCGCCATTGCATGTTTGTTTAGCACAAGCATGCGGGTTTGAATTTGTATATACGCCACCGATTGATTGGTTGCCACCCAGGGGAGAAACGGGCCACTCGGATCTTACGTCTGGCCGAGATGGTATTATCTCCTTTTCGGCTGCCTATTATTGTGGCCCCGCATGAAACCCACAGGGGCCAATTAATCCCGAGATTCTCCAGTGAGCTGGTCGTGGGTTCGTTTTGGACCTCGGCGCATGGTCAATGATTCTGGGCACCTTCGTTTTCGGCTGAGGTGCAAAGAGAGCTGCTAGATCTCGGGTGGCGTCGATGTTTGATTTTTCAAGCTAACCACGTCCAGCCTAGGTACAGACCGGGATCAAAAATCTTAAATCCGCCCGTCCGTCTTTAGGGCTAAACCCGCTGGGTTTGACCATAGATATCTTAGAAATACTCTAGCAACGCCACATGGCGTAAGAGGCTAGACGCATCGAAAATATACTGAATCTCCACAGACTACCCCGGAACGACTTGACTCACTTCCGTAACTCTCTACAGTCCTTCCAGCCGGTACAGTGGCTCCAACTTCGCCGACCGCTGCAACAGAACATACCGCTTCACAAACCAAGGTAGCCAAATCCGCAACTGGTACCTTACATGCCCGTGCACAGGCACACGGAATATATAGTCGAGTTCCTCGAGCGTGCGTTGCCTGATTCGTCTTGTCAGTAAATTCCCGGGGTGGTGGTGCATTTGCCGATGCGTACATTGTCTCCGGGACGACGAGGAAAATCATGATAAAGGCGATTATATTCAGTCCTGCGTAGAATCCAAACGCTAGTTTATGAAGTCAGCTACTTCATTCAGAAAAAAAAAAAGGCACAGCTGGCACAGTGGAGCTCACCTCCCGTCGGGGTGACGGCAGCTTTCAGCGACGGAAACGTCAAGCTGAGCGCGCTGCCGACAGCATTGTTGATACAGATCGTAAACGCAGCTCCGAGTTCACGATGAGACAATGGGAATGCCTCACTAAAGTAGATAGATGGAATAGGCCCGATGCCCGGGCCATACAGGGCCGCGAAAAGATAAATGAAGAACGCAATGAGCGGGATCCGCGCGCTCATTTCATACGGCATCAAGAAGCAGAGCCCCGCCCCCAGCAGACACAGTGCCATGCCGGGGAAGGTAAAGAGAAGGAGGTTGCGCCGGCCGAATGTATCCATTGTCCAGATGGCGGGGAAGGCGAAGATAAAGGTGATCAGGCCGTAGCCGATTGAGGCGACCAGGCAGTCGTACGTGGAATATCCCGCGTCAGAGAAGACAGTTGAAGAATAGAAGGCTATCATATTGATGCCGGAGAACTGTTGCCCGATGACGATGATGGCACTGGAGAGCATTGCTCGTCGGAGACGCGGGACTGAGAAGAGCTCCCACACTCGGGTGTGCAGCGATTTACCGGCGAATGCATCGCGCTCAGTCACGACTTGGCAGTGGGCATAGTACTATCAGTCTCGGGTTAGTTCTGGGATGTAAAAGGGAGCAGAGGTTCAAGTTACCAAGTCCCGCGCGGCAATGAGCTCGGTATTGCGCAGTCGACAGAACGAACGGAAGGCTTCTTGATATCGCGATTTCTTCATGAGCCATCTCGGCGACTCTGTGGTCCACCTGGTCAGCCCTGTCTCAAATCTTTTGGGGTGTGATGCATACCAGGACACCACCAGATGAAGATCAGGATTGGAATAGCCGGCGCAAAAGCTGCCGCCAGCTGAAACCGCCAAGCCAGTTTCCCCATGCGGAAGAAGATCAGGTTCGAGCAGAAGCCACTGGGTATCTGTGTTAGGGAATGAAAATCCTCCATTTGGATTCTGATATCAGACGTACAAGAAGATACCGAACGCCACCCACAGCTGGAAACTGGTGACCAAACCACCGCGGATCGATGCAGGAGCGACTTCGGCGCTAAAGACAGGGATCGTGGAGATCTTGACGCCCATTCCTGGAATACATATCAGCAATTTCTGCTTCATTTTTGCTTATGCTTCTCATACCGAGTCCCATGAATAGACGGCAGAGCAACAATCCCCACCAATTCTGGGTGAAGGCTTGCGCAAGAACAGGGAAGACGCAGCTAAAAGATGATTATTAGCATTGATGTTTCGGAAATAGCTGGAGATTACTGACAAGAGACCAGTCAAGAAGATGGTGCCACGACGTCCGAGCCAGTTGTTCAAGGGATCGGCGGCCGATGCACTATGAGTGTGTTAGATACTTTACCTTCGCAAGCGATGCTATTCTCTAACCTCAAAAGACCGAAGAGAGTAGGCCTGATATCCATATTAGTACTCTCCAACACATTTTGGTTCTGCTCTATATACCCTGCATTGATAACCCCAATCAACCACGTATTATCAGCAATTCCAAACTCCTTCGGAAACGAAAGATTCGCTCCATTGGCACCGGTGTTATCCCATCCCCTATCATCCCTTGTTAGATGCAAATCCCGTCAAAGGAAGCAAGAGGCAAACTCACTGGATCGCCGAGCCCAGAGAACATAGAGCAATGCTGAAATAAAGATCCTTGGGAAGATGCCATTTATCTGTGTCGATTTTAGTCTATATTTGACGGAAGGGATGGAGAGGACAAACGGGTAACTTCTCGCCGAAGGTGGTACTTATCCTCCTCGGTCAGCTCGGAGATATCCTCAAACTCCCTCGGGTGCTGTGCAACGAACGCGCCCTTCTGGAAGGTCTCAATATGATCATCGAAGCCGTACGCTTGACAGAAGCGAGTTACTCGATCGATGAGGTTGTCCTTTGGGACCCCGGCGAGGGGGTTGTAGATTCTGGTTGTTCGGTGTCAGCTAGTCCCGGATTCGTTGTTCTGGTCTATCAGTTTCACAAACCTCGCCGAGATGTTGTGGCTATAGCTATCCAGCTTATTATCTGCTTCAGCATCCTCGATATACTCAGCGCCGGGTTTGAAGTCGTCGTCGGTGGGTTTGGACATGTTGACTGTTAGCCTTGTGGTTTGTCCCCAGTCCGCTCCACCCGATTTATAGATCGGTTCCCTTGAGTATACAATCCCAAACCCATGAATCCGGGGTACACTAGTGCCGGGGTTCCTACCAATCAGGGAAGGGGATCGTTGGATGCCCTGCGTGTGTCATAGTACTGCCCTGTGTGTGACCATCGGAGAGAGAGCCGATCGGAGAATGCCCTGTGTGTGCCACCGCCAAACTCTACTTATAAGTACCCTAACGACTACGCTGATCTTGTTTTCTGTGTCAAAATAGACTTGGAATTTAAACACCACAGTATTCAATATGGGTAGCTCGGGAACTCAGACATGGCTCGACAAGCTGGAGGAGCAGCGTGAGTAAACCATCCTCATCAGCTAAACAAAAACACGGACTAACACCGACGAAAAGTGGATGTCGATGTCGACTGGATGGATCCGGCGTATACACTGAGCATGCCCATCAAGCCGCACGACATGACCAGCAACCAGGGCTGGGTGCACGAGCAGATGTGTAATCCCATCAACGATAACCTGTTCAAGAGCGTGGTCAAGGACCTCAAGGACGAGGGATGGCTGGCCATCTACACCCGCATGGTACGTCTAAATCTCCCAAGAAAAAGCATATCTAACATCCCCACAGGCAGTGTTGATGTCCAAGGCCAACATCGACAACATCCAAGGCCGATGCCTCCTCCAAACCCTCCCCTCTAACGCCTACGACACCCAGAAGACCCTGGAGCATGCGCGCGCCTACGCCCGTGAGTTTGACCTCGCAGGCATCTCTAAGGACCGCTACTGCATCAAGATCCCCAGCACCGGTCCCGCACTAAGCGCGTGTCCGGCCTTGGAAGAGGAAGGCATTCGCACGCTCGGCACGGCTCTGTTCAGCGTGCACCAAGCTATTGCAGCCAGTCAAGCCGGCTGTCTGTACATCAGCCCATACTATAATGGTGAGTCGCCTGTTGTGTGTGTATGTCGACATTGCAGGACTGACTCCGACCACAGAGGTCAAGGCACACGACAACCGCGAGCTCTGGCCCAAGTCTGACGACCCGGCGACCCTGCATCCGATGTCGGCGCGACTGGTCCAGATCTTGGAGACGTACAAGCGGCTTTATAAGGAGACCGGCAAGGAGCAGCCTTTCCTCAAGAATGCCAGGTGGGTTTTAATTCCACAATTGATTGTGCATAATAGCTGACAGCCCGCGCTCTTAGTTTTATCTCTCCGGAAGAAGCCATGGCGGCTGGTGAGCTGGGCTGCCACTCTGCAACTATCTCTCACCAGGTGTTGACGGAGCTCGCCAAACTCCCGTACGACGGCTCGAAGCAGCCTGGTGAAGTGGTGCCTAAGCCAGCTCATCCGTACAAGAACCCCGCGCCGACGCCCGCTCGTCTGCAAAAGCTTGCGAAGATGGATCCGTTGATCGAAAATTGGGATGGAAAGCTGGCTAGCACTGATGTTGACTACCTGGCCAACGGTGGCGCGGAGCTGGATAAGGCGAATGAGGCTGATCTGGTCACGAAGAAGCGACTCCGTGAGGCTCTGGAGCTGTTTATCGCAATGGAGAAGAAAAGCCAGGCCAAGATTGAGGAGGCGATAAAGAACGTCTGATGTTGACCACTCATTCTGGCTCACTTTTGGTTGATGACTGTTATGCTCATGCCATAAACATCTCGGTACCTGGATCTAGACTTTCTATGTTTGGGGGGAATTGATTTCCAGATTGATGAAGAAACCCATGCGCATTTAGTGGTGTAGTATTTGGGGTATTAGGGTTATGATGCCAGTCGAAAGTAGAGTCGTATTCGATATTTGATTGGTTGGTGTCATCACGCAGTCTGTTTTCCAAGGGAGATGTTGTAGTCAGAATACTGGGATATTGAGTCCAGAAAAGAGCAGTATCGTCAATAAGGTGCGATGGATTATGATCAAAGTCCATTGTCGCATCCTTTGGTGGAGTGGTACTTGAAATATCCGGAATTTGGTTCCATAGAGGCGCAGTATCACCGGGCAAATTCGAATGTGCGAGAATTGGATGAGAAGGATTGCCGGAACTAACCCAAGCCCAATCACCCGGGCTTTGAATATTAATACCCGGCGACAAAGATAACAATACAGGATCAGCAGGTGTAGCAGAAACACCCGATTCGTGAGGCCCGGCAGCAGGAGTGGGAAGGCGAGCTTGCTGTCGGGTTAATGGTGAGCTCTTCCTTGGCAGCGGTGCCTGCGGAAGACTATCTAGCTGTCTATTCATAGTGTTGCTAGTAATATCTCCCGCAGGATCTGAAACCAACCCCATGTCATTGTGAGCCAGCATATCCTGCACCGTAGGATTGAGTGGTCTCGCTTGGCGCGGCTCGCATGCACCGGAGCGGTAAAGGGCGCGAAGGGCATTCACCTCTTGCAGCAGATCATTCCGTTCTGCGATCAACGCGTTGATTGTTTCCGTAGCGCGAGAACATCTGCTCTGCTGGGTCTTGTGGTACGAGATACTGGCATCGATAATGATATGTTTCGAAGGCCGGGTTTCTTCCTTCAGAATTGGAATTAGCCGTACTAGCTCCTAGAAAAAAGAGCGTCAGCTAGGGAAAATGAGAAATAAAGTAGTCTGGCGGCCTCTAACCAGAAGGCGTTCACTAAAGGCTTCGCGACGGGATTTCTCAAACTGCCGGTGCACGGCCCGGTCTTCGGCCGTCCAGTTACGGATACGCTTCTTTTTGGCCTTGGAGGGCCCTGTTGAGGACGAAGTTGGCTGTTGACTCGCTGTAACCATTTTCTATGAGGTGGTGGAATTCTATAAGGTGTACAGGAAGGCCATGGATCATGAGCGGGTAGGGATGGGGAAGTGGGGGGCGTGCGGAGTCGGGATCGAGTGCTCCGAAAGGGCACTGTACAGGGCACTCGCAGTAGTCTTAACCATCCATACCAATCCAATTTGGTCATTTATCATCATCTAGTTCTCTCATCTATACCCAGTTGAGGCTGCTCACATGACCCAATCACATGATCGGTGGCGAAGGAGTTCGTCGTGGCTGGAATGAGGCTGGACAATGTGGCAGTGTTGGTAACCATGACTGTGATGATTATTACCAGTTTTGCGTGAAAATTCCATTTGATGATGACTATTCTAGAGTTTTACTATTACGTGAGTTAGGGCTGCGGGTGTCGGTCCTCCGTCGGCTAAAGAATTTTCATCTCGCCCCCTACTCCCCAAGGGAAGTCTAGACGAGCTCCGGCGCAAGCCCAAGAATGACCCAACTAATGTGACCTACATAATGGGTTGCGGTTTCCAAAGCGAGAATAGTCGCAGCATATCTCGCCAGGTCTCGCCCCTGAGGGATCAGTCCCGGCCAGAGACTCTGAAAGGTTTTCAGCGCTTATGACCAAAGGACTCCACCACTTCAGGCGGCAACTACGCCATGTTGACGGCCCTCGAAGAGATCAGCAGGTCTGTTAGCTTAGTCGAGGTGTTTCCCGTGCCAGGACCAGCTCAAAAGGGAAGTTGGAAAATCCTGTTTGGGCCAGAGCTGGGTCGGACCCGCCGTGACCCATACATCGATGGAATGATTTTTGTGGCGTTGCGGGTTTTTCAGGTACTTTCGACACACAATCCTTCATAAAAGTCAATCATGCCCATCTAAATTCAAGTCACACTCTTCTATTCCCGCATCGCCAGCAACTACCCGTCTCTAGATTCTGCAGCTGCAGCTGTGCGGTGGTAGCTGCAAGGTTATCTCGCACGTTTCGCCACACCGCAACTTCCATCACCAACCACTCCCGGTCCCTGATCAGAGCCCGTGCCCTGACGCTTTAGGCCACTGTTCTTCTTATTTTAAGAAGGGCCTCTTTCCATTGAGTCTGTCTGCCGCAGACAGACGTCTTCACCCTCTCTTGGACCGATTGATCACAATTGCCCGCCATGGACGTTGACCTTTAACACTCGTTTCGGTCGCTTCGACTCTTGTACTTCCGCGCTTTGTTCCTCGGCTTTTTGAACCGACCTAATACCACACATCTAATCTCACCCGGACAATGGCTCCCAACCTCTTCATCTGCCTCCGCGCCGTCTTCTGCCCGACCTACTGGTTCCAGAATGGCAACCGCATCAACGGCGCCGTCAACCGCGAGCAGCACTGGGAGACTCCCGTGCCAGGCACCTACCAATTTTTCCCCGGAAAGGGCTGGCATCTGATCCGCCGCGACGACGGTGGCCACGACGAAAAGTTGCCCGCGCCGCTGGTCTACTGCCGTGTTCTTCACCGCTACATGTTCGAATCCGAGCTCGAGGACCGCTGCCGCTGGTTCTCGGCGCCGCTACACAGAGGTGGGCGCCCGGAGCAGCTGCGCTTCCTCTTGCTGGATGATGGTGTCTCGTGGGTTGCTGCGTGGGATGCGCAGGACCGCTTTATTCCCGGACCCTATCCCAAGTGGTGGCTCGACGAGGATGGCGAGACTCTGCATCGGGGCGCTTCGCCGCCGACCAGTGCCAATGTGTCGCGGTGCAGCAGCATTGTTGCCAAATATGATTAAAGTGTCTCTCGGTACACTGCCTTCCGCCATACTCTACGATTCTGTGAGAAGCGTTCAAGCGTGTCTACTCTGCTCTCAAAAGTGCTTGGTTTCGGATTTATTTCATTTTTACGATCATGGTGTTGGGATATCGGGTTTCATACACGGTCATAGATTAATTAGACTAGACCTTTCTTCTCAGATGTTCTCTGAGCTTACAATCAATTACACTGCAATCATAGCAACCTCAAATGGCTGTCATTATAAACAAAAACTTCTCGCTTCTTGCTAGACCATCTACAATCAATCACTCCAGACATCGTTATATACTTCGATCACAACTTCGCACCCTCTTGCGGCCCAACAATCAACTTTTCTAAACCCCTCCTCACCCCCTCGGGCATGCCCCCTTCCCAACACGCATAGTCTCCCGCAGGCAAAACACATGCGTATAAGTGCCCACCATCTTAACGTCCTCCTCGCCCTGGCGGAACACGCCAATCTCCCACGTCACACTGGACGAGCCCAGCTTGACGACGCGGAGGCCTACTTCTAGGGTATCCGGGAAACGCACAGAGGCAAAGAAGTCGGCGTGTGTCGAGACGATCAGCCCGATGTGGTCCGTGCCGACAGCCAGCTTGCCTTGCTGCTGCGACGGCGCATTCTTTTTCTCGGTGGGGTTGTTCACGCTGAAGGGGTCCATGCCGCACTCTTCTATAAGGTAGGTGTTGGCGATGGTGTCGAAGAGGGCTGTGTAGACGGTGTTGTTGAGGTGGGCGTACATGTCATTGTCGAACCTGGGGATTGTTAGTTAGTTGCTCCATGACGGGCATGATGAGGCGGACCATCTTGTCTGGTGCACTTGATGATAGCCATAGTCGCTGCGCTGGCGGCGCTTCTTGGCTTCGTACTCCGGGGGAGCCATGTTAATGGAGGAGAGGGTGTATTGAAGTTGGGAGTGTATCTACCTACACTGAAGCATTTCCCGAGGACGAGCTGGACCGAGGCTGATCGGCATTAGGTAAGCTTGGGCTGATGAGAAGGAAAAAAAAGAATTTCATGTAAATGATGACGATTGACAATGACAATCATAGTAGAATTGATTATCAAAACCCCTGATTAGAGTCTCTGTTCGATCCATAGTTGTGTCCATGCTGTTGTTCCTCGATAAGGGACAGACTTGATAACCGCCGACTGAACTTTTTTTTCCTGGGCCGAGACCACTTCCTTCCACCAACCGACGACATTGCAATCTTGCACTCGACTCGAGTTCCTCCCCCTGGCTCCCTCGCCCCGTATCACAGCCTACCTCCTTCGGCGAGGCAGGCTTCCGCCGCCACCCATGGCTCTCGCCAACATCGACACCACCACCGCGGTGCCCGCGCCCGATCCCGTTCTAGAAACCCCCGATGTCGCCGTGACCCCCTGTGAACCGTGGCCAGCGCCCTATTACATGGAGCGCGGTCTGCGTCGAGTCCGCCCTTATCACTACACGTACAACACCCACTGCAAGGAGCGATGGCGGGGTCGAGAACTGCTAGAGATCTTCACTTCGGAGTTTCGGGACCGGAAGCCCGCATACTACGTGAGTTCTTTACGGGAAAAGTCACCAGTATCAAGACTAACATATTTCCCACAGAAATGGGCTCTCGAAACCGGCCATGTCGCCGTCAACGGCCAGGTGGCCGGCCCCAACACGGTCCTCAAGAATGGCCAGGTCATTTCCCACACTGCACACCGACACGAGCCGCCCGTGACAGGCCTGCCCGTTGGGATCATCCACGAGGATGACGACATCCTCGTTATCGACAAGCCAGCCGGCGTGCCTGTACACTCCGCTGGTCGGTACCACTACAACTCTGTGGTGGAGATCCTGCGCTCAGAACGCGGCAATGAATGGCTGCCTCGGCCATGCAATCGGCTCGACAGACTGACCTCGGGGATTATGTTCATTGGGAAACATCCCAAGGGCGCGGAGAAGATTTCCACTCAGCTGGCGGCGCGGTCCGTGCAGAAGGAGTACGTCGCTCGCGTCAAGGGAAAGTTCCCAGACGGCGTGGTGGTGTGCGACCAGCCTGTTATGCAGGTTAGTCCGAAACTGGGCTTGAACCGCGTACGAGCCACGGGCAAAGAAGCCACGACGAAATTCCGCCGTCTGGCATACTATCCTCCTTCCGCCGCGGCGACCACCGCTCCCGCAGAGACAATTACTTCTACAACCGCCACGGGCGAAGCCCCCGCGCAGCTACTCCGCCGCCGACGTTCTCTAACGAAGCCGAAGGCTATAGCATTGTCCACTGCCTGCCTCTGACGGGCCGCACTCATCAGATCCGCGTGCACCTTCAGTTCTTGGGCCACCCGATCACCAATGACCCGATCTATTCCAATCGGCGCGTGTTTGGCCCGGGCCTGGGTCGTAACGAAACTACCGCCGACCGCGACGAGGAGATCATAGAGCGATTGTCGCACATGGGCAAGACCGAACTGCCGGACACGATCAGCTACCGGACGCACCTCACCGCGGCACCAAATGTGCCCCCGGGCACAGACCCGCTCGTCGTGGAAGAGATTATGTCGCGCGAACAGGCGGCCGCAGCAGAAGCCTACGCGAAGCGAAAAGGCGAGCGGCTGTCCGGCGAGCTCTGCGACGTCTGCGGCACGGAGCTCTACTCTGACCCGGGCGTCCACGAGCTAGGAATCTTCCTCCATGCTGTCGCTTATGCGGATAAAGCTGGCGAGTGGGGCTACCGCAGCAAGATGCCAAACTGGGGGTTGCCGCCGCCGGGCTTTGATGGGCCTACTGAAGTCCCTGACTGGCAACCTGCTGCGGATGGTGAGGAGACTGTCATCGGCCATGGAACGGTGCCCCGCGGTATTGGTGAGGATCTGGTCGAGGGACAACCGAGACCTGGATTTAGTGGCCCGCTTCTCGTGGAAGGGGTCGGTGTTCTACACATCTCAGACACGCCTCAGGAGCCGTCAGAGACTGTACCTGCCGCATCGTCTTGATGTGTTGTTTGAATTAGCTCTTGCTGATACCATGATCATATCATCTTTCTTGGTGCCACAATTGGAATTGATCGCCAGATACCCCTGTCATCTGAGAAATATTTCTTTCATTTGCATGCATGAGGCGATGTGTGGACATTTGCATAGTTGCTTGTGGATTCCAGGAGCGTTGTCTGTCCATAGATCAGGTCACTTTTATACATGGGAGGGTTCTCGTTCATGCCATATATATATATCATTCCAGTATATTCCAAATCTCTCTATCAGTAGTCTCAAAGATGCAAATGATTTCTAAATACAAATTGACAGCCAATCCGTCAAGTCCAGGTGGTATAATAATATAAACAAGAAAAACGGTGTATACGCAAAAACTCCAACCCCCACAAACTCGACCCAAAAGATCAAGGCCTCACCCACTCCGCAATGTCGCAATATCCCAATTGCTCAACATGTGCATCGACCTTGTCGAGCAACCAACCAGAGCGCAGGCCAGACTTCGGCAAGCCACGAATGGGACCCTTGGAAGTTGTGCAGCGGCCGCGGTCGTCGACGCGGTACTGCATGCAGCCTGGTAGACGTGCACAGTATTCTTCGCAGTCAGATGGAGAGACCGGGACGGCGGGTGGGGAGATGTCGTGGTTTCTGTGGGATGGTTTGTCTTCGGCGAGATTATCCCAGTTGTTGCGGTAGGAGTTTAGAGAAGGGCGGATGAGATTGCGGAAGACGTCGCTGTAGAGAAGAGGTGAGTGTGTTTGCTATTATCGTTGTCAGTCAACTCTGAAAGAAAAGGGAAAAGAAAGCGGAGGAAGGATCGGGATGTACATTTGCAAACCACTCCTGGTCAAACTCCCACATGCGCTCGATGTCGGTTGGGTTCATGTGGTGGAATGTCACGGCCGGGCAACACCACACGTTGCGCTGGTAATTGTGCGTAAAGGCGTCAGCCTCCCACATCGAGCCGGTGGTCACATGCGGCCACGACCAGGTCATCTGGATGCCCGCCTTGTTCAGAACCTCGCCGAGCACACAGTCGCCCGCCCACTGCTCCTCCGTGAACCGATCCCACTCATTCTGGCGCGCAGCATGAAAGTCAACCAGCTGCCGCATCGCAGCCTGCGAGAGCACGAAACCGGAACCGCCGTGCGCAAAGATAATACTATCGATTTGCATCTGATTCCCTAGATACAGCGCCTGCTCCGGGTCCATGGGCTCCAGCCACGCGAGCAGATTGCGCCAGATCGGGTATGTGTCCGCCTCGAGGAAGACGTACCAGCTCGCGTTGGGGCGGAACTCCGCCGCCTCATGTATCATCGGTAGGAACTTCCACTTGTCGAGCTTCCACCCCGGGTTCCCGGACATGCCGGTCGCCCCATTGGCGACCTTGTTCATGTCCTGGCTGATCAGACCCGAGCGCCCGCCGTGCTTCTGCGCGCGGTTGTAAAGCGCGAAGTCTTGGTTGGTCTCGCGCAGCGTTGGGTCGACTCGGCGGATCACATCGCGCGTGCGCTCGCCGGCGATTTCTTCCTCGTAGTCCGAGACGATGATCCGGTGCGGGATGCAGCGTAATGTGGTGTGGAAGTGGACCGGCACTTTTTCTTGCGCTTCTGTGATCCCCGTCTTCACGACGACTAGGATGTCCTCGACTCCCGGCAAAGGAGGGCATGGCGGCTCGTGCGGAGAGGTTCCGGTCTCGAGCTCGACTTCTAGTATCGTGCCGGGGCCTGTTAAGCTATCGTCTGAGCCGAAGTTGGCGCTCAGGAAATGAATCATGAAGACAATGAGCGCCACTGGCGTGATGACGGCGCCTAGCCGGCCATAGCGGGCCGGCAGAGAAAGCATTGTTCAGGGAGGCCTGTGAGGGGGAGGCGCCCCGGGGGGTGGTTGGGGTTGAGGGTGTATCGGAATTCAACGGTGCGGCTTCACGCCCTCTTTCTCTCTCTCCCATACCAGATGGGAGGTTGGTGTATGCGCAGAGTCGGCAACGTGTTGGCTTTCGTAAAAAGGGCCGTTACGGCGGAGGATTTTGGGGGCGGACGTGCTGATCATTTGTGGTACCCGCTATCCTGGACATGGTAATGGTGGGTTCGTATATTGACTGTCTGACTGGGGCTGGGCAGAAGTGCAATGCTAGTCACTCGGAGAATTTGTGCTGATGTGGAATGCGCCACGGCGTGCTGACAGGCGGAGATCGATTGGAGGGTGGGCGACAGACGATTATCCCAGGTGGATGACGCCGGGTTCTACACCGTGCCCTACGCCGCGCCCTAACTAGATCAAGAACTACAACTCTTCTACTCTTAGAAATCGATTTTTCCAATTTTTGGTTGTCATTTCGAGAAAGAAAATTGTAAATAATTCACTTTCGCTCTTTTCGCCCAGCAGTGGGTATAGCCAAGCGCTCGCCGCACACGGGCCATGCACAGTCCTTGAAATATCGTTATCGCCAGACAGATGAAAATCCCACTCTCCAATCCCCGAACCGAACCCCCCACGCAAAAACGACGAACTTTTCAGGTTCGAAACATTTATGCCTCGGTGGTAACACGGCCCTTGGAGTTGGTGACCTTGACGCCGAGGGCCTTGGCCTTGGCGATGATGTCGACGCGCTTGCGGGAGGAGACGGCGTGGGCGATCCTGGTTATCAATTAGTTTATACATTCAAGATGGATCCCTTCCCGGCAAGGGAATAACATACTCGGCAGCGTAGGTGCGGTTGTGCATCAGGAGGAGCTCGACATCCTTGGGGTTGTGGACGAGGAAGGCCTTGTGGCCCGAGGGCATGAGGTGGCGGGTCTTCTTGTTGCTGCCGTAACCGATGGAGGGCATGGCAATCTGGCCCTTGAAGCGGCGGCGGACGGCATTGTCAATACCCTTGGGCTTGCGCCATGCCTGCGGCACACACTTGAACCGGTCAGACTGGTGGCGGTTGAAGCGCGCGGTGCCTGTTGCGAGAGGTTAGTCTCTCTGCCTGAATTATTCCTGCATTCCACCGGCCCTGTCCGGTTGGATGGATGACATGACATCGCCCGACGACCAAACGCCTCTCCTTCGTTGCAATCATTTCCTTCTCTTGTTCCATTCATCCTTTCCCATTTTCTTTCTGTCCGGGTTCGGTCGGCCGGGCGATGATATCCAGGGCAGGCATCGGGATGAAGGTGAATCGGGGTAACATACGCTTCTTGACGATAGGGACGTGCTTCTTGGCGAGGACCATCTGAAAAGAGGATATGTCAGTGATGAAACGAGAGGATAAATGTACGACGGCAACTCACCTTGTCGGTGTTGGCAGGGTCTCGCTGGGCGATCGAGGGTTGTCGAAGAACTGGACGGAGCCTGGAAAACTTCGCTGAGCCAGAGTGGGCGACCCACGCTAGTCCCCGTTGGGTTCGGGCTAAGCGAGTTGCTTATGTCATCTTAGGGCTTGTCGGGCCAGGTGATTCGGGGGTGCCAAGACTTTGTATAACATGAACATCGATGATGGTAATTTCTACTGAATGTATTTACCGCGCAATTGAATGCTGTCGCCATTCTGTTCTCCACTGCGCAGCATCCCCTCCAACACCTCCAGATCTGCCAATGCTTCCTCGGGAGACTGTCGCTTCTCAACGGGGCGACCATGGACAATGGTCCGGGCGAACTCCGCAACTTCCGGGCCAACACCTTTCCCATCAAACTCGATAGGATGATCGACGCCATTAACCGTAACTCCATCAAAATGCATACGCACCACCCCCCTTCTCACAGGCAAACTCGAAGACGTTGTCGCTGAACGACGATCCCCAAGACAGAGACACGACGCCCGTAGCCCCGGATTGGGTTTTCACCACCGCATCCACCGTGTCGACGGGCGGGAGGTACTCCTGAAGTTGCTGCGACTGCGCAGAGACAGTCGTGATGGGGTCCTCGGATCCTAGGATCAGACGCAGTGCAGCAACCATGTGCACACCGCCATCGAGCAGGAATCCGCCTTGGTAGGCCGGCGTCTTGCGCCAGGATGTCACTGTTAGTCAGAGTGTCAGTAGAGAGGACTACGTAGTATTTTCGAGGAAACGGTCATCGATCGTCGACCTACAGTAGTACTTGTTATCCGGCTTTACCAGACTGTGCACATTCACCCTGAAATTCCGAACAGCGCCCAGCGCGCGCACCTGTTCCGCCGCAAAAAGCTGTTTCGTCATGTAGCGCCAGTTCTCACCGACAGCCCAGAGGGTCTTGACGGGATCGACATTGGCCTGGTACCAGCGCATCAGCTCCTGGGCCGTCGCGACGTCCTTGGCAATGGGCTTTTCGGACAGGACATGTTTGCCTGCTAATAGGGCTTTCTGGATAAATTCCGGCTGGATGAGAATCGGGAGGCTGTAGATTATTGTCAGTTATGTATGTTGGTGGCAGTTGAGATGAGATGTCTACACATACCCGATGATGACGGCTTCGATATCTGCGCGAGCGAGCAGGTCTGCGTAGGACTTGCCGGGCCCGGAATCCTCAGAGTAGAGATCCACGGCTGAGGAGGATGTGCCGGTCGCGAGGTCCTGGGCTGATTTGAGAGACCGCGAGTAGATGGCTTTGAGGTGCAGGTCTGTCGCGGCTTGGACGGCGGGCTACATGCGACTATGCATCAGTCGGGATCGCGGGATAAACCGATCAGAGTGCATACCAGGTGCTGCTCTTTGGCAAAGAGGCCTGTGGACCCGTTAGCTTCCATGTGGGATGGAATACAGAGACATGGGCGCCGGACGTACCGCTGCCGACAATGGCGATACCGATGGGCATTATGTTTGAATCGTGTATTTCCAAGGCTCTGAGTAGATGTTACGGTGAAATTAGAGGGACGCTGGGAGGTTTCGTAAAGTGCAGTGCAGATATGGAGTCAGGAAGGTCCAGCCCGGAGCGGATGTGATGCTTCAGGCGGATCCATGGGCCGTGGATCCCTGGATTCCACTTATAGATTTATTCAACTTTGGATTCTTGTCAAAACACCAAACAACAAAACACATGTCCCAGATGACGCCAATAATGAACAAAGTCCATAGACAAAACGCCCAATCCCGAAAACTGTAAACAGATGCCCGACCCGACCCTCATTCTCATAGTCATAGTGCAGTCGTGTCTGTCGTAAAAAAAAAAAAAAAAAAAAAAGAACCAAAGAAAACCACGCAAGACCTCATGGATTCACCAAAGCGCGCAACCTCTCAACCCTCGCCATGGCCTTCTCTAGCCTCTCCAGACGAGACCTCTTCTCCACATCACGGCGCTCCAGCACAGCTACGCGCTCTTCCAGCCTCACGCGCGCCTTGCGTTCCTGCGCAACCATCTCATTCGCCTGGCTGAACAGCTGCACGGTCAACTCCTCGAGTTCAGTGCTCGCCTGCGACAGTTGCGACTCGGCGGCCTTGCGCAGGCTCTGTTCGCGGGTGAGCGCGTCCTGGAGCTCGGAGGTGCTTTCGCTGCTGGCGGGGGATTGTTGCACGGTGTACGGAGGAGGGCAGACTGCCGCGGTGGGTGTGGTGGGGGCTGGGGTGTTGCTGGAGTTGTTGCTGGGGCGGCGGTAGGAGGGGAGGAGGGAGGTTAGGGTCGCGAGGCGGCCTTGTTGGGCTTGGGTTTCGGAACTCGAGCGCGGCGTGTCGGTGACTGCTTGGTTTGCGCAAGAGCGCAGTCGGGTTACTTGTTCTTCGTATTCTGCGAGTTGACCGACTGGAAGGGAAAGGAGTTAGGAACTCTATCAACGATGCGCCCCTGGACCGGTCGGACCAGTCCGGGGATTTTCGACAGTTGCATGCTGGCCCGTCGAAACAGGCAACAGACACTCTCAAGAAAGGCTCAACTCACCAGTGATGGAAGCATGCTCCATCAAATCTCGTACCTGCCCCTCCAACTCCTGGATTCGGCGCTGGGCCTCCTCGGCGGAGTGTTCGGAGCCATCCCCTCCGCAGGTCGGACACTGTTTCTCAGAGATCCGGGTAGCAACGCTGGTCATGGCAGGAGGCGATCCAACAAGTGTGGTGGTGAACGTTGAAGTCGTGGCCGTAGCCGACATGGTCACATGGGGAGTGGGAGGAGTTGGAAGTGGCTGGTTTGGGCGGCTAGTGTGACTGGAGGTGTGACTAGTACCGACAAACCAAGTAAGTGCCTCACAATAGCAAGTAAGGAGTTCGTTCGTATATGACAGAAAGATGGTGGCCAACACGGATGAGGATTCTTTTTGGAAGGGGCTTTTTTCATCAATCCCATACGGACGCCACCGTGCACATCCCAAGAATCCATTCGGACTAATTCTTCACGTCTGAAACAGGGACTGACCCTCACTCTGTTTTGCCTTGAGGTTATTATTGCATCCCTTATTGGCAATAATACCACCCTGTCTAATATCCAGTCTCATATCGACTCGAGCGGGTGCAGTACTCCTTGATCCAATATGATAACCACACATCCAAGCATTCCCCCCTCGTCATAATGGGGACAAAATATGCATCGAGAACAACCGCCCCAGTCCCACTTGTTTACAATGTACGAAACAGCGCCTCATTGGCCAGCACTGGCCGGCGGGCTCCACCGTCAGCCCTGGGCCCCGTAGTATGTATCTCCGGGGTACTTGGGTACAGTGCTGGTGCGAATCTAAGATCAATCTATACTGGAATTGCGGTTTAGTTGAATTATCCATCGCACAGAAAGGAAAAACATGGCCAGAACAGAAAACGCCACAACATTCAAGTGGAGCGGAGAGAGAGAGAGAGGAGGAACCGAGTCAGACAAAGAAATTCGATCAAGAGTGGATTGGATCATCGTCAAACAGTTAGGGCACAGTCGACACCACTCTCCTCAGACATCGCAGACGCGGAAGGAAGTCGGTGGGCAGAAGGACCACCTGTGGAACGGTTAGAGCAAAAGGAAAAACAAAAACAAATTCTCTTCATTTCACATCGGCAGTAATCGTCATGGGCAGAGCAGAGTCACACACGCATGGGAATAAGTAGCTAAATAGAGAACAGCAAGGAAACAGACAGGGGGAAAATAGGAAGAAAAAAAACTTTTCAGACTGCCAGATCATCGTAGCAAGGACTAGTTAGTGGTGCATCGAATATCTAGCCCCAAAGAAGTAGAAAAAAAAGTTCATGGAGCTGACGGCATGAGAGGAGTAGATGAGAGGATCAAATGCAGACAAAGCATAGCTACCGTCGTCTGCACTCAACGTGCGGTGGAACAGAGGATGTGGCCATGGTCATGTCCCTTCATGAAGCTCTGGGGAAAGAAAATTCATCCCAACGCTGGTTCTGAAATGCGCCTGGCGTGCCGCCTCCACAGATGCTGATATTTCGGCGAAAGTGGCGGTTCCTGTGAAGGGAAAGGGGTATCGATGTGTCTATGCGACTCCACGGCCAGCCTGCCCGCGACGGGGGTTGCGCGGCTTCGCGCTCACGGTGCTCCATCCATCATCCTCAGCAGCCTCCTCGGTCGGGGCAGCATTTCGCCATTTGCCGTTGGCAGCGGGCTCCTTGGGCGCCTCAGCAGGAACAGGGGTCGACTCCTCTGCTTCCTGGTCGGCAGTCATGCCAGCGTCGTCGTCTCCACCGGCCCGCCGGAGGATCTCGAAGTTCTTTCCACCCTGAGGGGTATCGACGGCATCTTTGTTGGAGTCCGCGGGCTTCTCTTCCTTGCCCTGTTCCTTGGCAATCCGGGCCTTCTCGGCCTTCTCAGCCTTGGCCTTGTCATCAGCCTCCTTCTTTTGGCGAATGGCAAGTTGGCGCTTCTCCTCCACCTGCTTTTCACGGGCAGCGGTATCGATGGGACGGGCTGCACCGAAGGGGCTGGCCTTGGAGTCGCCGGCAGCAGCCGCGGTAGGGCTGGACACGGCATCAGAGACAGTCCGCTTCTGCAGGTTCAGCTTCGGCCGTGTCGCGGGGGCGGCAGGAGCCGCATGGGCGGCGGCGGGGGACTCGGGGTTGCTGGCTTCCTTAGCCTGGTCGGGGCGCATTCTGGCGCGCCACTGGTTATCCATATCAGCAGCAGTTGGCGTCCGCTCGGCCCGCTCGGGGCGCGGGGGCCGCGAACCCTCCTGCGAACGTCCCTCACCCCACGCAGGCGAGCCTCTCCGGAAACCAGAGCCAGGTCCATCATTGCTGCGTGGGCGACCGCCTTCGCGAGGGGGGGCCAGCGGGGGGCGAAAGCGGACCCTTGCGCTCCCAGTTGCCGAAATCGCGGGGCTTGCCATCAGACTCGAAGTTGCTGCGACGGCCACCGCGGTCGCTACCAGCGTCGGAAGCGGCGTCCATATTGCGCCCAAAGCTCGAACGGTCAGGCACCCGGCGCTGCGGCAGTTCAGGCAGAGGCCCACGACGAGACCAGTCCAGGTCCCTCCCCTCGGGCCGGGCATCCTTGGCTATAAGACCGTGTCAGTTCCCGATAGTTGATCCAAGGGTCGAGGCACTCACGAGGTTCAGCGATGCTGGTGCGGATGGCACGGCCTTGGAGAGTCGAGCCAGACAAGTCCAGAGCCTTCTTCAGTCCGTCGACAGTTTCAAACTCGACATATCCAAAGCCCTTGGGGGCTTTGGTCAACTTGTCCTCCACAACCCGGACGCTCGTCACACCACATTCGGCGAAAAGGTCAGAGATGTCGGCCTCGGTCGCATCAAAGGAAAGGTTTCCAACGTGGACCGTGTACGGAGGCTGGGTGGGCAGAGGGAGCGGCTCCCTGACGGCATATCCACCGCGCTCTAAACGTCCTCCTGTCAGATCTTGCCAATTCAGGATCGAGGGGAGAGGGTTGTTCCCATACCATAGCTACTGCCCATGCCCATGCCCATGCCACCGGCGGGGCGGCTACCGAAAGAAGACATAGAAGTGGTCGCTATCCAGAATAATTTTTTTTAGCAGACGAACATCGTGGGGGGGCTCGCCGTATCGAGAGTGGCGGTTGCACGTACCAGCTACACAAATTTCAGAGTCAGTCCTAGGTTCAACAATATGATCATTTCGGGGTTCTGCGACGTACCTGGAAGAGGCATATCCTCCATCTCATCAGCCCAAGAGCCGAGGCCTGCATGTCGTCAGTATCGACCGTCCCTCCAAAATTCCCCCACAGTGAGACCTACTCTCGTCGGCCAAGAAGGTCCCAATGGACATCTTCTGGGCCTTGGATTTTGCGGGCGCTGGTAGGGAAAAAAAAGTCAGCCATCATGGACCACCAGGAGGATGCTCGCTGCAGCCTGCGAACGTGCTGGCGCAAGCGAGATAGAGGGATTCGGACGAACCCATGATTGCGGGTTGTGGGTGGGCAGGAAACGCGCAAAGCGAAATGTGCGCGCTTCTCAGGGAGGAGATCGGCTTTGAGGAAGAGGCAGAAAGAAAGGACTCCCGGTGTGAGTAGGAGGAGTCGATCGAGTGGAGGGGCAGAGTCTCTTGGTGATAAAAACTCCGTGGAAAAGTAAGTTGGTCGAGGGGAATGGCGGCTTAGTCAATCCAGTCAATTTTTAGTTACGGCGCTAGCCCGGATCGGACTGCACCATCACTGTGCTTCCATGTATCGCAGTCAGTGCCAACAGTCTCCATCGACGGATGGATGGAGATAGAAGGTGGAATAATGTCACTGCATCGCAGCGACCGTCCTGTTGGATTTGTTCACTAGGTGTATGTCTATCACGAATATATATTTTCAGTTGCGCGCCGGTCAAGATAGTTGCACATCAAATACATCGACACTCTCTCAATGCGCTGATCAGGTAGTAGCAATACGATCCCCCCTCTATTTTCCAGCCCATCTCACTCAGTCTATCGCATATGATCACTCAAACCCTCAGCCGGAGAGCCTCCATCCTTCGCAGAGATTACATAACTCACCACGTGACCGTCTCTCTTGGTCCAGTCCAAGCAAACTGAGGCTCCAACACCACCAGGACATGCTCGCCATCCTCACCGTTATTGACCGTTCACACCATGAGCGGTCAGAATGGTAACGATGCCAACGTGGAGGCCAGTTCACTGCTGTCAGCGGCCAAAGTGGGTGCTTTGAGTGGTTCGTATGTGCCTTTCTAATGCATTGGGCCTGGTGCTCATATCTCTAAATAGGCACCGCGGGTTTGATCTATGGCGGAGCAGCCGGGGTGATTCGGTCGCCCAATCCAGTGGTGCACTCGATCTCCCGTGGCATCCACTGGTTTGCCTTTGGCTCGAGCTTCTGGTGTGAGTGCGGACCGCAGGACACGGTTTGGCCAGAAACTGACGAGTGTAGGGCTGCGGAGCAATTTCATCAAGCTTCATTTCAAGGATGAGCCGTCCCCGGCAGAACGGGCCTATGTCAGTGCTCTCTCTGGAGGCATCGCGGGCGGAGGTGTCACCCGGCTCATGGGTACGTTTCTCTTATCTTCAATGATTGAAACCCCGTCTCTAACCGCATCACATAGGAGGCCGGCTGATTCCTGGGGCCATTATTTTCTCCCTGCTTGGCTACTGTGGCCAGCACGCGTTTAACAAAGTCGATACCTGGCAGATGGAAAATGCTCGGAACCCGTCCAAACCCCTTGCCCAGCGGATGGCCGAGTCCAAATGGATTCCACTGCGGCATCTGTCCGATGAGGAGTATCGCGGCATTCTGAGTGAGAAGCTGCTGAGCATTGAGGCGGAGATAGCCCTCCTAGACGAGAGGATTGAGCAGCTGGAGCAATCCAGACCCGCGTCGACCGATTCGCGAGGTGCATGAGAACGAATGGGCGAGCGACTCGACTGCAGTGCACGGACAGGACGTGCCACCCACACTGACGGGCACGATGAATATGTATTTTTTTATTCTGTATATTAGGTGTCGGCGGAACAGTCTTTCCCATTTAATCCTGGACATGGACGCTGAAACATGCCCATCGTGTACCCATCCGTACCATCCTAACCTGGTCCACGGCTGTCATGTCGATCGCGAACCACTCTCTGGGCGGTCTGCACGGTGAAATCATCGGAGCCATGGCACCGCCCGAACCAAGCCTTGTGCTTGTTTTCGAGCCCCCAGATACATCATTGGGGACAGGGATCTGGGGTAGCACTACCGATAGTTGGAATTAGTAGATAACGAGGCCTCCCTCCTGCTGCTGCTGACGAAGCCGAGCAAACCCGCGATCTGGCCGGTTCCGCCCTCCAAACACTCTCCCGGCCCGTCCGGACCCCGGTTTCGAGACTCCCTCCCTACTACCCACACGCACACCTCCCAACTGCTTCCTCAACCATGATCCTTCCCCACACTCCCCCCCGTGGCACTCCTCCAACCCTGACTGTTTGATGCCGACCAGTCGTGTTTCTTGTCACTGGCTGGTAGAGGCAGGGAGGTAGGAGACATACAAGAGGTGTACAGTCATCCGGTTCTCACGCGCAGACACACAATCGGTGACCCTTCCCCCTCAATGCGCCGGCGGGCACTGAGTGCGCACCCGGATCCGATCAGTGCCTGGAGTGATCGCGCGTCGCCATGACTCCTCTCATCAATCCGACCTCCATCCTCGTGGGCTTCCTGCTCTTGTACCTCTCATCCTTCTTCGTCTTCGCCATTGTTCGGATCGCAACAGGAATCTCCATCCAGCGCGTCGGCTACTTTTCCCTCCGGCGAATCGCATACACCCCGAGAGAGGGGCTTCACATCGAAATCCGTGGGCTTGGGTTTTCCTTGCACCCCCCGTCCTTTGCACAGCCAACATGGATCAGCATTCGATTGACGGACCTGAAAGTCACCCTGGACTCGGCATCTCTGCGCAAGGGCAAGGGAAAACCGTCGCGCGATATCCTGGAATCCCCTTACCCCGGTAGCCCATCCGAAGAGCACGATGCACTGCCGGACCCTCTCCCCCGTCGCAGCAAAACATGGCAAACCCTCACGCGCATCAAGGAGCGCCTGAAGCGCCTACACCGGCAGATCAATTGGCTGGCTCTGGTCGACCTGAACGCCGTCAACTCTACGGTGCATTTCCTCGATGCAGGACAAATTCAGGTGGGATCGCTCAGCCTGACGGTGGATACCCGGAGTAAGATGGTGGAACGGGGCAAGCTCTTCCGTCGCAAGAAGGACATGTCGCAGGAACAACGCCCGGCTGAGTGGATTATGAATGTTCAGAATATCCTGCTTGCGGTGGACGGCCGAGAACCGACGGAGATGCTGGACAACGTCGGCGTGAATCTCCATGGACTGCTTTACAAGGACTTGGAGGGACTGAGAGATGCATCCGTGGCTCTGAAAATTGGACGCATGCATATCCCCTACGACGATCTGCAGATGCTCATCCAGCGCATCAAACGCTCGCGGTCGTCTTTCAAGGAACCCGTGAGCCCGGAGACGGACGACGAGATCTCTTTTGCCGACTTTGTGGAAGAACTGGACAAGCCCGGGAGCCGAGATGATGCCATTGTGCAGACGGTCGCAGACTCCAAGGAATTTGCGAGTTCTTTATTGCGTGGTATACAGGAGTTCCAGGTAGCGCTGAGCTTCTTTCGATTCTCCTGGGGTCTCCAGTCTCTTTCTGCCGACCAGAACCCAGTCTATCTGAACGTGGTATCGCATGAACTCGGGATTGACCTGAATCGGATGGACCAGAAGAGCCCGGAGCACCGCATGTACTTCCAGCGCAACGACGTGGCCCACCAAGCTCTGCTGGCTGCAATTTCCCTTTCGGTTAGCTTGGATGACGGCTCGGGGGAAACGGACAACATTCTATACATCCCCATGGCTACGACGACCATCAAAACCACGTTGCCCTCCAAGACGGTGAGCGCCTTTGACGACGAGAACCCCGAAGAACGCAACACCAACGTCCTCTTCGCCAATTTGGTGGTCACTTCCCCATCTCTCGACTTGCAGCCCCAGCACGTCTCTCGGCTCCTCAAGTTGGTAGAGGCACGAGCTTCCTCTCCTCGCCGCAAGAAGCAGAGTAACCACCAGTTGATCTCTCGATTGCTTCCCAAGGCAAGCATCAAGCTCTCCGTTCATGAGCCTGTGATTCGATTTGTCTTGCCCATCGAGAAAAAGCCCGGTGAACCCGGTGACTACAATCTCCTCATCTCCTCCATCTCCTCCATCTCACTGGACATTGAGTCCTCCCATTCCTCCGAAGGCGGCGCTCACTACTCTCTGTCGTCGGTTTACCGAGTCGCATCTCACAAATTCTATTACCAAACTCCAACCGGCGTCAAGCATAACCTTTTGACAACAGAAAGCCTGGAGCTCAAGGCTCACTTGAACGCGTCCCCCGAAGTCTGTGTGATTGCGTCTGGGAATCTGAATGAGTGCTCCGTGCACATGATCAACAGCGACGTCAACCGTGGGATCCGAGAAGTGCTCGAACAATTCCGGACTCACTTGCAACCACAGAAGAAGGTCCAGATACATGAGCGAAAGGCAAGCCCCTTGAGACAAGTCCCACCATGGCTCCTCCAATTTCAATTTGAAGCCACGGGATTCAGCCTGGAGATTGCCGGTGTCGATACAACCGTATCCAAAGTTGCGCGCGGTGTTTCTTTGCAAATGCAGTCGTGGACGGCGGAATACAAAGCCCAGAAAACAGAACCAACCACCGGCAGCATCACCAGGCGGCGTACTGCAAGTCACTCAACAATTGGAGAAGAATCGCCATTCCGCTTCCCCCCAACGTCGCCACCCAAAAATGCACAGCGCGGCGCTACAGATGGCAGACGAGTGGCGCTCCATGTGCGTGGCTTCGATGGTTTCGTCATTGAATCCGAAGACTACTTGGAGCCTGAACCTTTCTTCTCACTTCCCCGATTTGAAATCGCATTGAGCACACTCAGTGACCGACTCGGGCCGGTTCTGCACTTCAACTCCGTTTTCAAGGGTATCTATCTGCAATACTCCCTCTATCGCTTCTACTGCCTTGGGGTTGCAACTTCCGTGATTCAAGACGTGTTTTCGCCTCTACCACCTCACCATGCGGGTACTTCCAACAAGAAGACCCAGCCCTCTGCTGCTTCATCACTTCCACCACCTCCACCATCTTCTCCATTCTCGTCAAAGAATGAATTTGTTACCGTCGATGTTCGAGTGACAGTCTTCCAACTCAAGGCCTTCCTTCCCAACGATCCTGCGATGATGCTTCAGGTCTATGGATTAGCCGGTACTTCTCAGCGTCTTGGGACTCCTCACTTGAAAGCCAATCTGGTTCGTTTACACGCAGAGGCACCCAGGCTCAAGGGTATCTGGGCACGGATCGGCAGTATGAATAATGTCAGACTCGACTTCCGCAAGATGAAGTTAAAACACGGCAAGGATTTGGTTGAGGAGAATTCTATAGACTTATGGGCGGACTTCATCCGGCTCGGCGTTCCCCATCACATGGTGATGCATCGCATTTTCGACAACTTGATCAACACCTCGAAGGCCTTCAAACAGTTACATCATCGCTTCAAGAATCGCTCTCGGGAATTCGTGTCAGTGCGAGAGCCCGAGGGCCCAAAGAAAGTACCACGAGTCTCATTGCGCAGCAAAGCTCTGCTGTTTGAGCTCGAAGATGACGCATTTGAATGGAAGCTGGGCCTCATCTACAGGACAGGTTTGATTGAGCAGGCCCAACGGTTGGCTCGCGAGGAAGCTTTCTATTTGAAAGCCCACAAAGTCAAGGAGTCAGACAACCGACGTGCAACGTCCCGGTTACGGGCCAAATCGAGCCATCGCACTCTCCGCAGTGACCGAACTAGCCAGGAGACGAGAAGAAGCCGCAGTGCCGATTCACGACCAAGACAGGACGAGCCAGAGCGTGGGCGTGGATGCAAATTCCGATATGATGCTGGAGGCGCGACTTGCCTTTCTTCCGAGCAAAAGATTTCTACCGATGCTGCCTGGAATCGACTGCAACAACACAACGCCCAGGTCTGGAAGGAGAAGATCGATGCTGCGTTGAAATTCCAAGGCACGTCGATCAAAGAAGTTCGCGAGCTCTTTTCTGGAGCAGACGAGCCACCTGAAGATGTGAAGGAGACGGAAACCATCTTGGCCATTCCGAACAGACCAGGCCTTATGTCCGCGTTGATCAGCGATGTGAATCTTGTGGTGGATAGACCTTCCTTCCCGATCGATGACTACCCTGCGTTCCTTCACCGCATTGGAAAAGGCATGCCCATGTCGATGCAGTACGGTCTGCTTATTCCGATGAGTTTCAATCTGGAAATGGGCGAAGCGCGCGTCACTCTGAGAGACTACCCCTTGGACCTACTTCACATTCCAGCTTTACGTCCAGGGCAATCTCCGAGGCTTCCCAGTTGGTCATTACGGACGAACTTTGTGATCGCTGAAGAATGGCGCGATCATGAATCTGCAAGACAGGTGCGAGTGGAGCTCGTGCCTCCGTCTGAGTTGCCCGATGGAACAGTCACTGATCCGTACACAATCAATGTCTGGCGGACCGTCACTCCCGTCAAGACCTATTCTGACCCCGTTTTTGAGATCAATACCAGCCTGTCTACGAGTATCTCATGGGGCTGCTCTTACCAACCTGTCATTCAAGATATGATGAAGATCATCGAGGGTTTCACCAAGCCTGAGATCGATCCCTCGGAGCGAGTTGGTTTCTGGGACAAGATTCGACTGAGCTTCCATTCTCGAATCAAGGTTCTTTGGAAGGAAGACGGTGATGTCCACCTTCGTCTCAAAGGTTCTCGCGACCCATATGTGGTAACCGGCTTTGGAAGCGGTTTTGTTATGTGCTGGCGACGGGACGTCAAGTGGGAAATCCACCCAAGCGATGATCCTATGGAGTTCATGAGTGTGACTAGTGGCGAATATGTGCTGGCTATTCCCGATTACAGCGCCGAAGCGCGATGGGCTACCGAGTCGACCACCGAAGACTTGGAAACTAGTTCTCTGTCCAGCGAACAGAAGAATGCGGCTCACTTCAAGAAAGTCATCATGAAGCTATCCGGTGATGTCAAATGGGCCACCGGATTGGTTTTTGAACGCGATGTCGAGAACGATATGCGGACATTCTCGTTCAAACCGCACTATGATGTCGTCCTCAAGAATCCCAAATTCGTCGACTCGTCGGCACTCCCGAAATACGATGCTTTCCGTGGGTTCCGCAGTGATCATATTCACCTGTCTATCGCAGTCATTGCACCCCAGAGCCGAAACTGGTCCGTCGACGATGTTCAGCCATCTACAAGCTACAACACCGTTCACTTGACTCCTCGTTTCTTCACCCATTTCTTCTCTTGGTGGTCTCTCTTCTCAGGTGTCATGTCCCTCCCTGTTCGCCAGGGACCGCTCTTCCCAGGACCCGCGAAGACCAGCAAGAAGTTCAACCGCCACCTTTCGACAGTTAAGTACAAACTTCTTCTTGCGCCTCTGTTCGTCGCACACATCTACAAACACAAAGACCGCGAGGACTATGCCGAGAGTGCTGTGACCGCCACAGGATTGAAGGTCCGCCTTGATAGTCTGAAGCTTGACATCCACCAAAGGCGAGAACAGATCAAGACCCAGGCCCGTGGCCGCTCGAAACAGACCAAGACAAGCGTCATGCGGATCAACCAGGCTCAAATTGACCTACAGTCCGCCGATTTCCGGGCTGTCTCGGCCACCATCCAGGGTACAACCCCTGAAGATATTGAGCAAAACCGGGATGATATCCTTTCCTCTTTCCAGCAACCACTGCCCTCTGTTGATCTGTCTCGATTCACAATTCCCGATCAGAACTTGGACTGGATTGACATGGATGACTTTGTCGAGCCCGACTGGATACTTCCGCAAGAGTCAAATCCTCGCACACAGATCTTGCCGCTGGCCTTCACTCCACGGTTCACTTACTTTCGTCAGACTGATTTTGGCGACGTCGGCCCTGAAGAGAGCGGTTATAGTACCTTTGGGTACGAACCGACTCACGAGTGTGTCATGTCCGAGAACAATGATCCTCGGCGCGTCCAAATCGAGTTAATCAAAGATCGCCTTGCGACCGTTGAAGCACAGATACGGAACTACGATCGTACGATTGGCGAACAGGAACTAAAGCTGATGAAAGAAGTGGATCAGGGCGCCGACGAGTTGAAGCGTCAGCATGAGCTCTATGTGCGCCAGTCGGAGCAGCTTGCGACACGACGGAGGTTCTTGACTCATAGCCTGCAACGTCTTGAACGATATCTTGCGCGAGATGAACGGACACCTCGAAGGGACAAGTCAGGCAACGGTGCGGCTCCCAGTAACGCGTCCTCCCGGACTGGATTGGACACGGAGTCTACTGTCGACGGTAAATCCGGTATCGACGGGCTTTACTCCTCAGCCAATGATGAGTTCTCGAGCGACTTCAAGAATCGCTTCATGATACACAATGTGCAGCTGAAGTGGAACAACTCACTCCGAAACATTATTCTCCGCTACAGCCACCAGGTCAGCCAGCGGCGGGGGTTTGTTTACTACATGTCTAGACGAGCCGTAAAGTTCATTCTTGATATCGTGGAGGAGCAGAACAAGAACAAGCGGAAGAACCCGAAGATGTCCACGGCGAACACGCGAAGTGACAATGAGGAGGAAAACGTGGATGAGCGCATTGAACAATTGCTGAATGATGCAAAGCGCTACGTCAATGTTGAAGACAATGACCCGCCTGAGTCGACCAACGGATCACCACTGCATTCGGATGACTCGAGCGATAATATTGCACCAGAGTTTACACCTCAGAACAGCTACCACCTGCGGCTCATTGCGCCTCAGATCCAGCTGATGAGCGAGAAGAATCAAAAGTCAGTCTTGCTTGTGGCCGCCAAAGGCATGCAGCTCAAGGTGGTGTCAATCATGGATAAGGAGCGTGTCTGGGATGATGTTAGCGGTTTGGTGCAACGGCGCTTCTCCCTCGAGATGGATGGTGCGCAGTTCTTCGTTGCGACGCAGAAGAGTCTGATGGCGCACTTGCACTTCTATGCGGGCAACAAATACGGCAACTTGCCGGGCTCTGCGTGGCCGCCCTGGTTGACTCTAGAGGCGATGTTTGACTTTGAACTCAGCCCCTTTGGCTTCTCTCGGATCGTGCAGAAGACATCCGCCACCCTGCGCTACGACAAATACAACGATCTGCGTCTTAAGTATAACGATGAGGTTGCCAAAGGTCACACAAATTCTCATCGCGGATTCCGTGAGACTCGCATGGATCAGATCAGTGTTGACTTCCCCCATTTCCGCGCCATTTGCGACTCCGCAGAGTACTACTCCATGTACATCATCGTGTTGGATCTCATGCTCTACAGCGAACCGCTCGAGAAGGTCCGCAATGAGCGCCTGGAAAAGATCATGCTCACATCCGACTTTAGCGACCTTCGCGGCGCTCCCGAGATGGTCTTCAAACTTCAGGCACGTATCCGGCAACTGGAAGAGATCAAGGAGCATTTCCAGATCAACGCCAAGTACCTCGACAAACGTGGCTGGGAGGACCGACTGGCACTTGAACGAGACTTGTCTCATTGCGAGGATGAGTTGTTCTTCATGATGAAGGCTATCACCACATCCCAGAAACGGATGGAGCCGAGCTCGTCAAAGGTGAACGGCGTTTTGCGCTGGAGCATCTCTGCGGCTGAGGTGGTTTGGCATTTGATGAAGGAAGCATCTGCGCCATTGGTGGAGTTCCAGCTGCGCAACGCCCAGTACGAACGCACCGATAATACTGATGGTTCCAACCACAACCTGGTGACTGTGGAACGTTTGGTCGGGTTGAATCTGTTGCCGAACGCCATCTACCCGCAGATTATCGCACCGTATCTCGACCAGCCGCGCCCCCTAGACGACGACATGCTTCGAGTGAAATGGCACAAGCTGGAGGCCGTCGCTGGAATCGCCGTGGTGGACAATTTCGAAGTGTCTTTGTTCCCGGTCAAAATCCAGCTCGAGCGCGAGCTTGGCCAGCGAGTGTTCGAATACATCTTCCCCAATATGGGGTCCGGCGCGAATGGCGGTTTCTCGCCCTTCACGATCAAGAACATAAAACCGCTGGATGCCGAGGACGATGAAGATGAAGGATCTGATACCGTCGGGAGGACTCAAACCCCTGGCGTTGATGAAGACAGCACGTCCACATTCACGGAGGATATGCAAGGCCTGCCAAAAGGACCTGGTTCTATTGAACTGCGGCTTCAGCCCACTCTGTCTCTGTCGGACGAACCCCCATTCAGACGACGCTCTGGACATTTCAAGGGTCTGGCGATGACACCCATCCACAAGGAGAATGGTCGACTCGGAGTTGCGGAGAATAACAAGCGCCCTGCAAGCGCCGGCAATCTGTCTAGGAAGAAATCTGCGGATAGTATTCGCATGTTGACGAAGCAAGCCACCGACAAGTCCTTCTCGAGTCAGGCAAGCGAAGAGAACAGGAAGAAGTTCGGCCTGAGCCGCAGCTCGTCTTCCAAGAAGGGCAAATCCAAAGAGCCCACCGACGACCTGTCGCAGATGATCTCTCGAGCTGCGCAATACATGACCTTGGCATGCGTGAAGGTACACGATGTGGTCCTCTGCGTGAGCTATAAAGGCAAAGGCGAGCACAACATCGAAGATATCCACGACTTCGTCTTCCGACTGCCCGTGCTCGAGTACGGCAACAAGACATGGTCGAATCTGGACCTCGCGCTGCGTCTGAAGAAGGATGTCATCAAGGCGCTCATTTCGCACGCGCCCGCCATCCTGGGCAACAAGTTCTCGCATCATCGCCCGTCCAAACAACAACAGAAACGCTTCCGCGAACTGGCCTCGTCGTCCCAGCTTGTGCGTAGTTCGACTAATGTCTTGAGTTCAGAGAGCAGCCGCAGCCAAACACCAGGCCAGGCGAGCAGCGTTGACTCTACTAGTGAGTACTCTGAGTCTCCGTCGCGCAAGTCAACGCAGTCGAACCCGTCGCCACTAGCTCGTTCCATTTCTCTTGATTCGGAAGCTCGTGATACGGCCCCGGATGAGAATGGTAGCTTTATGGTCGATTCTCCTGGTGACGTGGATGTCGATGGAGATTCTCGCTGGGAGGCATCGCGCCGCTTTGTCAATATTTCGGGTCGGCCTCTGACTTCGAGTGGGGCGAGCGCAACCTCCGAAGCCACCCGTGGGGCTGAACAGGATGATAGGTGAGAATCACGCCGTATTTATTGTTTGAAGCGTAAGGAAATGCTAACTGTTTTCCCTAGCAACAAAAAGACCATCCGCAATCTCGGCCGCAGGTTGATGTCTCGCAAGTGACCTTGATCTCTGATCAATTCTCTCTGTTTCTCAACATTTCCTCTCCCCCACTGATCCTCATTTTATTCATCTCTTGTTTCTCCGTTGTCACCTAATACCCAACTCTCCACATCATAGCACGCCATTGTAAACCACCATCTCATTTTCCTCAAGACCCCTCGTGTCTTCTCTCAGATACCCCTTCCCACCATATCATCTACATGCAGCGGGTCGTACATAGGCGTTGATTTGATTTGATCTGGTGATTTCTGTTTCTGTTTCTGGGGATATGCGTGGGGCTTGTGTCTGTCTGGGCGTGTTGCCAGAGAAATTCTTGTGTTCAACCATAGAGGCGGAGCGATGGGCGGATTTTTGTGTTTCTTACATTCTGTGTGTTTTTCTTCTGATAATCTGGTTTTTTTCTCTTCACGCTTGCGTCCGCAAATTATCCCATTTCCTATTCACCTTTTCGGGTTCTGTGGCCCTCCATGCACAAAAGCATTTCTGCCCACCTTCTTCTTGTTAATTACTTCTGAAAGTGCATTAATGGAATGAGAGAAGAGAAGCAAAAAGACAGACTTGACTCAGTCCAGTTCATATCAAGATTCCTTCCAGGTATTACATGGCGGCTAAGTACTTTCTGGCAGAGCCCATAACCCTAACTAATCCACCAGCCCAACCTATCTCATACATGCAACTACATACTGTCATACACATTCACAAGCTCATACCCACGCACCTCCTTCGGAAGATCCTTATACCCATGCACAGGATTATCAAAGACCCTATAAATGTCCTCCGTAACCTCGCGCGGCGTCTCATAATTCACCGGAAACAAATGGCCCTCAACGCTCACGATATCGGGCCCAACAGAGCTCAAATGCTTTTTCTGATCCAGCAATTCCTGCGCGAATCCCATGCCTGCCTGTATTTCTTGAATATCATCATCATTTCCATTTCTTCCATCATCGCCGCTGGCATCAACGCCTCCACCGGGGAACGGACATCCCCGACAAGAAAACCAAAACGAGCCCGCAAGCTCACCCCCTCGTCGGGCGCACGAACCATCCCTCCATGGAGCACCATTGACTCGCCCACAGGTCTCGCGGCCGCGTCCGCCGCAGGTAAGCCCCAGTCCCGCGAAGGGGGGATGGCGGAAGGAGCTGGATTCGTAGTCTGGGCGGTGGACGCTATCGGTGGTGTTGACGGTGCAGTCGCAGCAGTGGAACTCACTTAAGTCGGTGCATTGCCCGAAGCGACCGCTGCAGTGGCGGTGGGCGTAGTTGCGGGTTGAAACTGCGTTTGTTGTTGAGACAATGACGAGGAGGGCGAGAGAAAGGAGCAGGTTGGTTGGTGCTGCGTTTTGAGGTAGGATTGGGTCATAGGGATGGTCGATTGTGTTTGCAGCTTGGTGGGTGTCTGGAGCTAGCTATATACTTAATTTTCGATGAGTGTGCTACTGAACTGGACTATAGAGCTGGCTAGATTGCTCATGTAAAGGCAGGATGATGCGACGTCGAGGGTATATTCCGAGACAGTCCCACAGACATACAGCCACGCGGCGACATTGACCAATGCTAGCATATCATAGCTCGAGCACAAAGCTTCCCTGGGGCTGCTGTGATCCAGCAAGGTTGCGCCGATGCTCTCTCAAGGGCATTCAAGGGCATGCAAGACGGGTTGTAGCAGAGTGACACGGGCACGACAAGACATACAGAAATTCCGGGGAAGAGGTTACACATGCGGAGATATTGTACAATCTCGTCGTTTGCTAGAGATGAACTGGGTATCTATATACAACACGTAAGAACCGGCTCTTCCACACGCAGGGCAAAGAACATTGTCCAAAGGTAGATTTTGTGGTGGCCGTCCAAAAATTGAGGATGCATCATAATGTCATATTACAACTCGCTCAGTGGGTAATGGAGTGGTTTCCAGACGGTGTTCCATCGGGGACGCCACCAGGAACAACATCAGGCACAACATCAGGCACAACATCAGGAACAACATCAGGAATAACACCAGGAACACCATCAGGAACAACATCAGGAACTCCATCTGGCATGTTCTCAGGGTTTCCCGTAGCTGCTGTGCTGCCAGCGCCATCCGCAGATGGGGTCGACGGAGCGCTTTGCTTCTCGCGCGTCCAGGGCAGCAGGTTAGCCTGAACGGAAGCAAAGCGAGTGCGGGCTGTGGGCGCGGCAATGTCGTCCGTCCAGGGAATCCCGCCCTGTACGCGGCCCTCGGCCCAGGCCTTTTTCTCTCTGCGCAGATCACTTTGGACCCAGGGGATAGTAATTAAAGTCCAGATGCCGGCCCAAGCGAACGGAAGGCTCCAGCCCAGCTGCGGGGGTGACGTCAGCGTGATTCCGGGTTTGTGATGGAGTCACTTTGAACTTACTGTATACGCGACTGGTTCCGAGACAGTAAAGACGACCGCAGTGATGGCGGCGGCGCAGATGATCGAGCCTCCGCTCCAGAAACAATTCATCTCGAACAGCATCCGTCGGAAATAGGGGCTCGAGAGGTATCGTGTTCGGAGCGCGTACCGGTACATTTGGCCGCCGCCTCCGTCCACGGCCACCACGTCTTCGATGAGTGCGTATAATGCGGTTGGCATGGTGGATCCTTTGGGTGTAGACGAGATTCGGAAGGGTGCCTTGAAGCCGCACATGCGGAGAATATCGAGGGACAGGTGTACGATGCCAAAGTAGAACATTACCGTCGGGAGGACCATCGCGACAAGGCGTACTGTTGAGTTTTCCATGTTAGCGCTTTGCCCACAAAAACAAGACTGGGACTAGGTCTAACCATAAGGTTCAGCAGGAACCGTTCCACTGTGGTTGAGTTAGTTTGGGGCGCATCAGACAAAACTTCAGGGGGTTGACCAACACAATGAGTTCCACCGCCAGGATCAGCCAGACAATTGTAAAGTTGATGTGGAAGAAGTCCAGCTAGAGACGGCATTAGCAATGGGACCAGCATTTCGCGATCAGATAGTATCGTACCCATGATTTGCGAGCGTTCAACGGCCGGGTGCGCGAGTGTTTGCGGAAGAGATTATGGAGGCGATAGAAGTACTCGAAGACTGAAATTCCGCCCAAGCATGCGGTGATAATAGAGAATACTGCGACGGCCCTTCAAATCAGCACACCTGTACAGTGGATGAGTTTGCCGCGGTGGTCAACATACCCAAGTTGTGCGACAGATCCGTGAGGTACCACAGCGTCCAATACAGTATCAATGGCTGACCCAAGGTATCGACGACAAAGAGGATCCAGAAGAAAGCAATGGCCTTCTTGCGGGTGTGGAGGGAGTAGGGGAGCGGAGGAGGCACCGAGGGCGTGATGGCAACGGTTCCTTCTTCCATGAGCGTGGCGATGGTGGCGGGCCAGCGCCGACCGGAGGGAACGTAATAAGATTCAGGGAACAATCACTAAGGGTGGTCGATAATCGATTCAGAAGAGACCGAACACATGATGGGAGACGGCGAGAAGTAGAGAAGGAAAAAGTTGCGCCCTCAGCAGACAAGACCCAGATTAGCCGGAAACGACGGACCAGTACATCCGCCCCCATACAATACACAAAGGCACAGAGGTACCTTTTCCTGACTAAGCGGTGATGTCACTGTCCCCCTCGAGTCTTTCCCTGCTCTACTAGTTCGGTATGTCGGTATGCATTGCAGATAGGTCCCTATCATTATTTCCCACTGCCACACACTCCTGTCGCTGCAGGCCACAAGGCTCCCTTGCGCAAATGTTTGCGTCTAGCGACATCACCGAAATAGGACTCTGAGACATGGAAGTGCCAAGTTGCCGGATGGCGATCCCAGCCAGCCGATCATCCGCCGCATCCGTGGTGAGTTATGTATCAATATGATCATAACTCTTCATTCACCCGTCTGGGCTTCCGATTGGACCTGGTGGGACGAGCAACGTTCGTAATTGATGTAAACCTCCATGTAGGGAAGGATTGTTGCTGGTGTCGCCAAGCCTCAGGCATCCATCCATCCATCACATGACCCATCCCTAGGCAAAACAGCAACAGCGCGAGTTCGAGTCACACTTTTCGCTTTTTGAAATTCCATCCCTCGACTGACCGTCCCTCTTGCCACTTCCCCCAACACCTGTAGAATCCATCGTCTCCACTGTCCAAAACCAATCATGACCTAGTCATGGCTCCCGGTCTGCAGGATCTCATCGATTTCTTGCTGAACGAGGTCGCCCTCTGTGGCGATCAAGGTGCGTATACTTAGTTGCCCTCAGACCCACTCTGCTGCTCTGCATGTATATACCCTGTCATGTCCAGCACCAACCCTGCGGATACCCGACAGGATATCTGGTTCGCTTGCGTGTATCCTGCGATCGTGGGACCACCGCTATCCTGCTATCAAGCAGATCGGCTAACCATCTTCCAGGAGCAACGCTGTCTGTTGTTCTCCAAGCCATCGACACTTTTTATGGCAATCTCGCTCAAGATGCAACTCAGCGGAAGCAGAGTGTCGACCGTCGCTTCCAAGCGAAGGTTTGGTCCTGGCTGACGCGAAACCCAGAAGTGTCCGTGGGCAAGGACAACGAATGGAATCACCTGAATCTGGACGACGTGGAGCAGCTTGGCAAATCAGTGCCTGAGCCGTCCTCAGCTGCTGAAGGTTCGGCGGATGACCTGTCCACCTCCAATCCAGTTCGCATCTTTGTCTCCGAGGAACGAACCTGGTATGCGATCACTGGCCATGAGCCGGATGATTCCAAGGTGTTTCCCTTGGAGTTTGTGCTGCTGTCCATCATCGCCTCGCATAAATCGCAGGGCATCGCCCAGCCCGAACTGGTGAGGCTGAGCGGCCAAGACAAGCGTTCCGTGCCTAAGCGAACAGACAAGCTCGCGAAGAATGGCTACATCGAGAAGCGAGCTGTTCAAGTCAAATCCTCTCGGACCAGTATATGTACGCTTCGCAAGTTCGTGCAGCAAAAAATCGATCGAACAAGTGAATTGAGCAGCGGCAAGGATGAAGTGATTGATTTCGAGGGTTTTACCACCAAATTGTTCGAGATTCTCCAGAAGCAGCCCTCTCGGATCATGGCTCGCAACGACCTCAAATCGGAACTAAACTTTACAGATAAGTGGCGATGGAGACTTTTATCCCGCGCCATCCGCAAGTTCGAGCGTATCGGGGTACTGAAGCGGGTGAAGGCCCAATCGCAGTACGACAAAATGCACCCTTGTGTCATGCTTCTTCGGGACCCTACACCAGAGGACTTGAAGCGGTATTACGAGTACAGGCATGACATGCTGGACACCGCTGGTGACCAGGAGGATCGCGTGGACGCCGACGAAGATGTTGAGATGGAGACCGAGGAGAAGACAGCACCATCTTGGACACCAGATCGCAACTTGCACAACCAACTCGTGGACATTGTGGACAAATCTGGAACAGCAGGCATCCCCAATCAGGTAAGCTCTGCCAGAATAACTCAAAGGCCCGGTTCTGACACTTGGTTCATCTAGGATATCATCCGAGCCTTGTTTGGAAACTTCTTTCGAAGGCCATTGGAGACTGCGTTGCAGCGGATTGTAAACTGTTGGCAATTGTCTCAGCCACTGCATCTTCGACACCTCGCAATCGTTCGGGACACAGCCATGCTCCACACCACTGTGCTCTACGTGCATTACACTTCAACTAACTTCCGGGCCCTCGTCGAGACTGGGCAAGCATTATGGGAGGCTGTGGAATACCCTGCGAAAAAGGCCAAAACGCTTCGGGCCAAGATTCCGCCTGTTGATGCCGTTCCTGAGCTTGACCATTACGGATTCCCCCAAACCGGGCCTCCCAAGGGACTCTTGAAGAAAGGGAATGCTACTCTTTTTGAGTGCATCGCAGCCGCAAAACCGTCAAACTACCTTCGATCTAGCAGTGATCCTACCGCAGTTCGACTCCAGGATGGTAGCTGGGGTAAGTTACTCGTCTGTCTGAGTTTAGTTCGGCTTCTAACAAAGCGTCCAGTCATTCGGAATGGCCACCAACGTGCCCCAGCGGGTGGCGAGCAAGCCGTGCCCGTAAGCGTCCGTCGCCCTGGCGGACGCCCCAAAGGCTCTCGCAATCGACCTAAGTTGATGATCCAAGAGTCCCCGGCGGCCACCTCTGAATCGGATGAGGGAAATGTGCAACATCATGCGGAAGACTTGGTCCGGCAAACCCCGACTCTATCAAGAATGGTGGCGAAGAAGCATGAGCGCTTGAAAGGCCTGTCCAAAAGGGAAAGATTTGAAGCTCTTGGCATGGACGAGACATGGACCGAATATAGCGCTCTAATCATGGAACGACCGACACCTGGGGTCTATGTTACACCGCATGGTCGCAGGAGACCAGCCGGTAAGGCGCGAGGCCGACCGAGACAGAGTCGGATTGCAGTCTTCAAGTCTCCCATGCTGAATTCATTGTCATGGTTTGTGAAGGAACTAGACGACTCTGATGGAGGTGAAGTGGTTCAATCAAAGGAGACAACTCCGGCACACATCGTTGCGGATGGTGGGACTCCTGCAATAGCGTCCATCAATGTACCTGAGCCTCGAACCACTCGCCAAGCCGTGGAAACCACACCAGTGGCTTCAAGAAATGGCAAGCGAGCTCAGAGCTCTGGGGCTCGTGCAGAATCTCCCACTGCTTCACCGACGGTTGAGCCGACCGTGAAACGGAGGGGACGGCCACCGAAAAGACGTCGCCTGGACAAGTCACAAGCTGGAAATGATGAACCTCTTTCTGCGCCTCCCGAAGAAGGGGCAATTCCGGATACCACCCTCTCGGAGGATGTGACCCTGTTGGCCCCAGATCGGGATCAGGGTTCTGCTGTTCATCCTCTGGATGTTGACGCAACCCCGGAGACATCATCCAAACGACGGCGCCTCGCATCTCCAGAGAACGCCAATCGGCGAAGTGTGCCTCTGCATAGGGCATCCGGAAATATGCGTGCTCGTCTCTTTACCAATGACTTGATTTCCCCCAAAGCAGAAGCCGCTGAGAATGGCGATATTTCGTCCGTACCGCCCACGCCTCCCGTCGACCGAGGTAGTCGAAGACTCGTTCCAGAAAAAACGCCGAGGGTACCACTTGCCGTCGAGAGAGGAGGTACTGTTGGTGTACTTCGAAGGAAGATCATCATCGATGTCGTCGAAAAAGCTGGCGGTGCATATCCCACGGGTACTGCAATGTGGTATCCTTTCGCGACGGCGTGGACGAAACTCAATTACAAAGAGAAACCCGATCTACGAACGGTGCAATCAACAATCAAGCATCTAGTGGACGCCGGTCGACTCCGACAACTGACGTTCAGTGGTCGCAATGGTAAAGGCAGGATGGTGACGAAGACCATGGTGACAAAGCCCGAGACTTCGCCAGATGATCCCTGGGTGAAAGAACTCCGGCAAATGATCTTGTCTGACGACCGGCGTATCCATTTTTCACCCAACATCGAAATTGCCTCTGACATTACCAAGAGCGGCGCTGCGCGGCCTTATGGTCAGCCGCCCCAGCAGCAAAAATGGGCGCTACCGGTCGAGTCTAGCATCACGGTGAATTTACAGCAAAAGCCGGCCTCTGTCGAATATGCAGAAAAACGGAGGGAAAGAGGCAGACAGAAACAGCTGCTGAAGAGCCTTCAGGCCGACATAGGTGCCTACGACGACGGCAGACAAGGAACCGGGGTCAAACGGCTCATGAAGATCAACCGCCCTTCGACGACGCAAGAATATACATTTGTTCAAACATCGATATCTCGACCTACGGAAGGCAAGAAGCGCGGACGCCCGCGCCGGGATTCTACTGGCGTGCGGCGTTTTGTCAAGATGCTTTCCACTCTCAGGCCATACGCCATGCTGATGAATCCAGGACAGACCTTCCATACAACTACTGGGACATTTTCTACAGGGACTGGCTCGGTAGCATTCCGCAAGCCGAGAGAAATTTCAAGGAGGCCCCCTGTTGATGTGCAAGAGTCCGTTAACGAGTTGGCGCAGCTGGCTCGCCCGGCGGATACTACGAACTTCTTTACGGCGGCCGACAAGATCCTCAAGTGGGAGCTGCAACATGGGGGAGTATTTGATGGCAATCTCGGGGGTTTCCGGTCTATTGATCAGACCGTTCACGATGCTGGTTTCCAAACTGCCCCGATTCTCGGTGATATTCGCTTTGATGTTGACCAGCCTGCCCCGGCCTTACCGACAGCGAGGCCACCGATGACTACGCGGAAAGAAACGTCTCGTCGTAAGCAGCAGCAGCCGCCGCCGCCGCAACAGACCCCGGTAGATCGCCGACTGGAGAGACTGGCGGATCCTGCGGCAGTCGTTGAAGCCCCCACCCCTGTACCGCGACCGATCTACCGTCGCCAGCGACATGCACGTCCATTGCCCGAGGTCCTGACCCGGAAGCTCATGATTGCGCTTGTGGTCGTTCGCATTCTGGCTGGTGGAGCGGAAGCCAAACTGGTCGATTGGGTTCTCGTCGCGGCCTGCTTCCCGGAACAAGACCCGAAGTTTATCGAAGACCGAGCTCGAATGGTTCTCACCAAGAACCGCTTGCAGATTGCCAAGATGCAACGGGATTTCCAAGAACGATTCATTGCAGCATACATCAAGAATCGCGTGCCTCCGATTGACTACGGCAATATCGACAACTACGACTGGCCGGCCGTTGTTGAATGGGCTGATCGGGAACTGGATGTGCCGGTATCTGAGAATATCCCAGATCTGCCTGCCACCCGCCAGCAATTCGATAGCATCTTCGAGCTGCGCGAAGAGCCTGTGACCGCAGCCGACGATTTTTTCCAGACGATGCACTCTATCACCATCCACCGCAAGCGCACTATGCTGGCTCAAATCGCATTTGCCATTCCTACAGAGGGTGAAAGCCAGCCCGCCGGTCGTCGGAAGGCTGAGTTGGAGCGTCTTGAAGTCGCCAAGACTTGGGTTCGTGCCAACGTTGTTACCCCCGAGGAGGGCTACAACGGAGCCGAGGCAGAAAAGATCCTATCGCGCTTCGGCGAGCCGCTGCTCAACAGTGCAGTGCAATCTCTGTTGACCGAGCGTGTAATCGGCCACTCCAATCGTGGTCGAGTCATCCCCGGCCGCAACTACGATATCACAGATCATTTCCTGCACACACTGAGTCGCAAACGTGGCATTGACAGCATGCAACTGCACCGTGCAGCTTACTTCAAGACCTCTATCCTCGACCCCCAGCTCCAGTCCACCGGTTATGCAGATGTGCAGTACGGCGCCGACGACGGCGATATCCTGGCTCTCATCAATCTCGCCACCAGCGGCCGTGTCTCCCTGCGTCCTCGCGACCCTCCGCGCGACAAATTCGGTCTCACAGACGGCGGATACCTGACGCGGCAGATGGACAAGATGCGACTGCGCTTCGCTATCGAGGTGCGCCCACTTGAGACGTATGTGTACGGCAATCCGATCGACGGGCTCGCCACCTCCATTCCTGCCCCATCCTACCAGCCATCTGCAGACCCGTCATTGCCGCCGAAGATCCCGCTCTGGCTTGATATCAATGGACAGTTCGTGCAGCGTCTCTGGGAGAAGGTGGCAGGCGCCGTTGTGGGGTGCGTGGCTGTCCGACCGGGGATCAATGCTGCCAGTATTGCGAGTATGATCAAGCCCGCAATGGGCGCGTGGGAGACGTCGTTGCTGCTGGGGTGGTTGGAGCAGGTCGGTGCGGTGCGTCGGCATGGAATGGACGAGCAGGCTACCTGGACGGTACAAGAATGGTGGTGGATGTCTTTGCCATGAAGTTTGCTGTGTGCTCCTGTATAATATCAAGAACCAAAACGTTTGTGTGCTGGATGAGAAACGAGACGAGTCCATGTAGAGTTTAATAATATGTTCAACTATCTGAATTGCTCGCTGTGACGGAACCTTGTATACTCTTGCGCTGCTGTGTATATCCCAAGAAAAAAAAGAAAAACGCCACCACCTCATCCTCAAACACCATGTTATAGCTAATGTACCCGACAATAATAAAATGAAATCATAAGTCCTCCACGTCAACGAACCGGCGCAAGATGAGAATGACCAGCGTGACCACGACACCGATGATGGCGCGGTCCAGCCAGACGCCGTCGTTTGCTGCGGTGGAAGCAGGCTGTGCTTGTGCTTGTGGGCGAGGAGCAACGGGGTGTTGAGCTGGAGCAACACTGGCTGGAGCAGGAGACGAAGAAATTGGTGCCGCCAGGGACGAGGAACGAGGTGGAAGTGGTTGTTGTGTCTGTCTTTGCTCTGGCGTCGTCTCCAAGGTCTGCCTGGATTCCTCCTGCTTCATCTCATCACCAGTCTTATCCTCCTTCTCACTCTCCTCCAACCCATCATCCAACCCCTCCACCTCAACCTCTTTCTCCCTACAAACAGTCCACCACTCCCTCATCCGCCCAAGGTTATCCCCACCACACTCCCTACAACACCACCCCCTCGAAAGGCGTGCATACTCCCTCCTCAACGTCTCACTCCCCTCCATACCCCCAACCTGGCCCTTCGCCTCCGAAGAGAAAATCTCCGACCGAATGGCCAACAGCGCCGTGCGCACCCCCAAGCAGGCTGCCATGTCTCCTCGTGGTGGCCTGAGATCGACAGACAGATCTCGCGGTTGACTTCGAAGCGGCCCGATGGCGTGAGGAAGCGGAAGGAAGGCGGGCGTAACGGGTATGCTGCCGGGAACGTGATTCGGCCGTGGTATAGCCCTGAGGCGTAGGGAGATGGTGCGGGCGGGCCTGCGAGAGTGAAGTGCCAGTCGTGCAGGTTAGATTCCGAAGTTGGATGCGCGGTAAAGTAGGGGCTCGGGTTTTTGTGGAGGTCTGTTGATTCTTTGAGGAGGCGTTTTGTTGAGGGGGAGGTCATCGTTATTTGTTTATTAGAGAGTGTTTTTTTTTGGTCGGGTGGGTGAGAAGTGTAGTAGTTGTCGAGGTGCGACGGTTGGAGTTGGAGAGTGGAAGAAGTTTGGGGAAGTGGAAAGGTGGCGGGAGGTGGAGCATCGCCCGATCTGATAACAGGTGGCCCATACTAAACCTACATTATTTATAGATTTGGGAAATTTAGAATATAAACATATTCAATTCGTACACCGATGATTCTTCTATACGCGAACCTACCCAAACTAACGCCTCACGTACAATGCAAAAGACTAAATGCACACTTCATCAATCCCAATCGCGCCATTCATCCGACTGCTCTTGGCCACGACGATTCCCATCCAATAACCTATTCTCCTCGAGGTCATCCTCAAAGTCGCTATCCCCCGGCCGCGGACGCGGGGACATCGGCGCGAGAGTCTGGAGCGAGACACTCGTCTGCGGCCGGTCATCAGATGTGTCCGGCGGCAGACCGCGATTATTAGGCGCCCAGGGCGGGTGCGCGGCGCCGGCGCCGACACTCGCATCGCCGGCCCAGTTGTGGCCGTTATCCATACTGCGCTGGTACAGATCCTGGCGGTACTGCTGCTCGTCCATGGCGTCCTGGCCGCGTCGGATTCGGAGCCGTTCGCGCGCCTCGAGGAAGCGCGGACTCGGGTCCCAACGCCAGCCATCGCCGATGGTTGTGCAGATGGGTAACGGCCACAGAAGAGGGCGGTCGCCGAAAAGATGGATGAGATTGCGGCGCCAGCCGAGGTCGAATGCGCGCGGCATCTTCTCGCTATCTTGCTCCGCGAGATACTCCTGGTATCTATCATGCTCGCGCTGGCGTTCCATTTCGGCGTAGGATCGTGACAGCGCTTGTTGTGCAGGTGTAAGGTTTTCGGTGCCCGGGGCGCCTTGCAGGTAACCCGGGTATCGCTGGGGTGCTGGAGACAGTCGCTCTTCGCCTTCCTCGGCGCGGGTGACGCCCGGGATTGCATTGGCGTGTGCATCGATGATCTGGTTCCCATATTCCTGGATCCGGTGGCTCAGGGTCTCCTCGGGGTGGATGATTCCCTGCTCAGAGCGCTGGCGGTCGAGCGCCCTGCGTAGTGGCGACACATACCGGGTCTTCTCTAACGATTCGATGGTGGTAGTGCCGCGCACGGCCAAACTGATATGCCACGCCGTGAAACCAGACAGCACCAACCCGATAATCCCACCCAGAATGCCCAGAAGAACAACATTCACAGGCAGAATAGTGTCCATGTACGTGGTGTCGCTGAGCATCTCGTCCCATACCCACACGCACGCCACCGCGCAACAGACCCAGCAGAAAACCGAGGTGTATATCAAAAACAGCAGAAACGCTTTGTAATTATAGAGCCCCACGCAGGTAGCCAGCCAGGGGCAGTGGTGATCCATCTTCAGGACGCATCGCTTACACGTGGAGCAGTGGTGCGCACGGTCCGGTTTGGGACACTGGCACTTCTTGCAATACCGCGATCCGCCCGTCGAGCTGACGGTGTACGAAGTAAAGTCGGGCTGCTCGGTGATGGGCAGCGCGCTATAGCGATGGCGGTCGTTACCGCGGGTGGTCAACGGGGAGCCCGGGTCGGTGAAGACGGCGACGGTATAGGAGGCATTCAGGAGGGCGTAGAGAATGACTCCAACAAGTGTGCTAGGGATGCCTGCTCATCCGCGTCTCTAGTCAGCAAGATAATCGGGGAACGAAGGGTGTCTGACATGATCATTACCTATCCAGTCGCTCTTTTGCGGCTTGAGCCCGATGCTGGCTTCGACGTAGACGGCCCATGTTGTGACACCGTAGATAAAGGCTAGTGGGAAGCAGCTCACCGCGGCACAGCAGTATCGTTCGCATTTGAGGGCCCAGGCTCGTGGGCGCCGTTTCGACCACGAGGGGGAGGTTGGGGGAGACGAGGCCAAGGTGGCCATGGCTTAGGGCGCAAGCGAGAGAAAGACACGGGGCATCGGGAGTTGTGGAAAGTGCATCACCAGTGACGCCTGGTGACTACAGAGATGAAAAGAGCGGAAGGGTTGGAAGGTACAAAGTTGAATGCAACTGGATCAGGTGAGTTTACGGAGACGGAACAACTGCGCCACAACCTAGCCACACTTGGATTTTGTACACGCAATGTTTCTATATTTACACAATCACGTCCACATTTGAGGCAGCGCGGTCTCTAAGGACGCACAGATGCTACCTGCTGCTGTTTGCACCAGCCATTCACCGGCTATGGTTTAGTATTAGCAGAGATTCCACAAGAAAGACAAATGATGGACTTACCAGGCAACTCAGGCGGTAGCACCATGAGCAGTTGGACTCGTAGGTATTGTAGAAATTGGTGATGAGCAAAATAAACCCGATCAGCACCGCAACCAGGCTGCCTGCCCGGACAAACCACCACAACCACCAGAGCGGCTTGCGCCCTTTGAAGAAGTTGATTGGGTTTTTCGAGGTGACCTCGGAGCCATCACCCGACAAGACCACTCCCCCTCGGCCTTTGAGGAAGTCCATCAACTTGGACCGCGATGGATTGCTGTCTTCGGGCGCGGCCTGGCCAGCTCCGCCGCTCATCGCGACATACGGCTCGCGCGCTAGGCCGATTCGTTCTCGGAGATTGTTGGGAGATCGCATGATACTCAAGCCGATGGCCAGGCCCATGATGAAACCTCCAATATGCGAAAAATTATCCAGTGCAGGCAACAGACCCAACACAAACGAAACTCCCACGCCCAGAACCATGATGAGCAACTCTATCCAGCGAGAGTCGCGGTTGGGCCAGTCGTATAGTAGATCCAATAAGTAGAGCGCCAGAATACCAAACAGACAGCCCGAGCAGCCGTCGGCCGACTCGAGGTATTCAGAGTAGTTGCCACCGAGCACAAAACCGAAGATTCCGCTAGCAAAATAAGTGAGAGTATAGCGCCAGATGCCAATCATCCGCTCCATGTCGGCGCCCATGGTCAACTGGACCAGCAGATTGAAACCAATATGAACGAAGCCGCCATGCAAAAAGATCGGCACAATAAAGCGAAACCATTGATTTGGCGCCGGCTGCTGGGAGAGGGACCCTCCGGGGTGGGGGTTGGGAACGGAGCCGCTGAACCCACAGATCTCCTTGAGCGAGCACGCAGCGATGGCTTGGGTGGTGTTGGGGCACGCCCAAAGGGTCTGGTTGACGTTGTTTTGGACGGTGTTCATGTTTTTCATGCAGGGGACGTAGCGCGATCCCATCCAGATCTGGACATACGGCGAAGGGCCGATCATAGGATTGAAGGTGGGATGTGTTTCGATTGGAGAACCGGTCAGTTGCGCTAGACAAAACGTCAGCCCTGGGGAACCATCCTCAACGTCCCCCAAACTCACCACTCTTCACCAGCTCGACGATGAAAACGATAATCTGAGCTGCTGTCAAGGTCCACGTCACCCACGCGGGCTTTTTGCTGAAGAACCCCCCTCGTTTACGCCGGCTATTTTGACGATCATTATCATAGAATCCTCCTGGTGATGGCGGTCGGTCCATCCACTCCGGGTTCGTGTGGGCGTTTTGTGTCGCGGACTTGAGTGGTATGTTCTCGGCGTACTGGTCGCCATCCGCCATGCGACCGGAAGTTTGGTATCCTCCGCCATCCGAAGCGAGTGATTGTTGGCTGTATCGCGAGTGGTAAGGAACAGCCGGGTCGTCGTCTCTGTATGTGTTGGGGCCCGGGAAGCCGTATCCGGGGACTGGTGGTAATGGTCGGTCCATTGAGCCTGGGACTTGGTCGTAGCTGGGTGGCTGGGGGCTATTTCGGTGATAATAGTCGTTGGCAGCCATCATGGGCCACAAAGGAGGGCTGTTGGCGCCCTCGAAACGTGACGTAGACGTAGGGGGTTAAGTGCGGAGGCGTCAATTCGTGATCGAGAAAGAGAGCATGTGCACGCGGCAGGGGAACGAGAGAACGTGCCGGAGCGATGGACAAGACCCCAAAAGAAAGAATGGGTCGAGGAAGGATGAGGCCGAGCGCCGATAGGGCGAGTGTTTAAAGATGGAAGAAAGAAAAGATCGTGTTCAGGCAGTCACATTACTCGCTATTTTTGGGAACTCAGCCGCTCATTGCGTGTGTCCGTCCCCAACTACTACGGCACTCAATACGAACTTCTTCGCTCTTCACTGGCGTTCAATCTATCTGTATTCAACCACTATTCACACACACAGTACTGCAAAGGTCTGGCCTCCAGCATGGAAAAACAGAAAATCCACAAAAGAAATAATAGAAAACATAACATCCCGACTTCCGCGGTCCTTAGTTGTCCTTCTCATCCTTGTTGTTGCCCTCGAACCAGTCAAGGATTGAACGGCGCTTCGGGCCAGTGTTTCCATCTAACGGCTCAATGGGACCACCTGGGTTGGTATCCGGCACGTTCGGCTTATTGATGCACTCGATGGGCGCCGTATCCGCATTCGGGAGGGCTTCCACATCAGGACAGACCGGAAGGACTGGACCGGTCGTCGCGGCCGGCGGGATAGAGACAGAGGAAGTAGGCCATCCAGTAGGCCATCCAGTGGGCCATCCAGTGGGCCATCCACCGCCACCGCCGCCAGGATAGCCGGAGGGACCAGGGGTACCCCATGGCATAGAAGTGGGCCAGCCTGGAATAGGTCCGGATGGATAAGGCCAGCCGCCAGCACTGGGGGTTGGGGTTTCCCATGCAGGCGTACTAGTTTCCCAGGCAGGCACAGTGCTGGTAGGCTCGGGGTTTCCATAGCCTTGACCGCCGCCCTGACCATTGCCTTGGCCGTGTTCGCCTGGTTGTTGCTGGACAGGTGCGGCGATGGCGGTGCCTGCGACACCCATGGCGGCGATGATGGCGCACTTCATTGTGGTGATATGTAAAATGTTTTGAAGACTCAAGAAAATAAAACGGTTGAACAAATTGTGATAGTGTTCAAGCCTGCCAGAGGTAATTGAACACGGAATAAAATGATAGATTGATGATAGAACGAAGACCTGGCTAGCGCAGACGGGGCACCTTTTTTATAGGCATGACAGTCTGTTGCATGAATCAGTCGATATTGGAGAATGTTCTATTGAGGATGTATACTCCATGTTTCCATCCCGGATTCGGCCTAAGATCTGCATTGTTCTGTTACGTCGATCCTCGCCACGCCCCTGATCGACTGTTCCTTCGATTCGATTTTCCTTACGCTAGATCGCAGTTAACTGCGTACGGGATCTATCTGAGCACTTCTTTTTTTTTTCTTCTGAAAAGACAAGATAGATATTAAGTTTCTCGAGGTGGAGGTATACAATTGCCGATATGAAGACGCAAAGAGCAGGGAAGATGGCAAATGGCCCCCAACACAGATAGACAGGAACTGTGTAAGAGGCGACATCCTTGAGGGTCTTGGTGGCGCATATAAGCATATGTGATCATGATATTCAGGGTACTACTAGATCAGTAGATTGCCCGGGGCAGCTTGCCCCACAGCGTGTTTCTTGTGGATGGTCGTTTGTTGTCAGGGCTAGTCCCACGGCTTGCTGCTTGCAACGCTGGGGCCAGACGACGGGTGAAAAGGACCCCATGATCCACTGATCTGCCGGGTCGAGCCAATTAATGGCAATTACATACAATAATAATAATCCACCACACGAGGATCTAACATAGAAGGATTCCACAGCCATTCCTTTGAGGTAGTCCTTTTTCTCAATGAAGAAAGTTCTTCTGCCAAGAAACAGGGATTCCGACTCATGTATAAAAGCCATGTATTGTGGAGATTTGTTTCACATTGGCAGCCTCTCCTAATCCTCGCCACAGTAACATGTTTTCATGATTTGAAGTCAGGGCTAAGTGGCAAGATTCGTACCTGAAATAGAACATGACCATTTCTGACGCCATCGTCGATTCCGGGGTAGCCTTGGATCCTTGATCCCTAACATCTTCAACTGTCTGATATAATGTCCCCAGAAAGGTGAGCTTTGAGATACCTTGCGCAGCTGCTTTTGTCAGTCTTGCACTCGTCTCTAGAAAATCCCCATCCAGGCCAGGGGGTTGGTTGTTGTTATCCATACACTGAAATTAAACTAAAACCAAGGCCTCGTAGTAGTCGTGGTGACGGTAGATGCCACTCTGTGTGCCTGACGGGAGGACCCGGGAGTCCAGTTCATGTACCCACGTGTAGGTAAAGCTAGAACATCTGAGAGTTTATTTTCTGCTACCTGAAGGGTTTCCTGTCGTTGTTGGGGCCATGTCGTGCAGCCTGACCAGAGTGCTTTAGATATTCAAGTGATCGGAGAGAGTAAAGCCTAACTTGTAGATTCTTGCTCAAATTTGACTCCTGTATACGACTTAGTTCCACGAAGACTCATTATTGATATCTTGTTGATAGATAACCTGATTTGGCACAGGACAGAGAAAGCTAAGTTGAACCACCTTTAGCTCTCGCGATGAGACGATTAGCTTCTTAACATAAGACACTGCTATTTTTTATACACTGGATGATGTCCCAATCCTACATAGTAGAAGATTAATCACTGGCTATAATACCTATTTATACTTGCCAAACATCTAGAAAACCACCAAATTTACGAACCAAACATAACTGTGGCTTGATTTGATATTAGCGGTATAATGAGTAGCAATGTGGTCGACCGTCTGTATACGGGCGCGATGCAAGACCATCCAGGCAGGTATAAACAAAAATCACACATAACACCAAATCACCGCTTCCCACGTGGTGCTCGTTTCAGGTCATAGACCGTTGGACCATTGAGGGCTCCTCCGGTACGCGTTATTAGTCTAGGTGGCGAGGTTGTGTCGCGGTCGAACGAATGTAGTGCTATGCCCTTCCCCTTCAAAACGCCAACAACAAAAAGAAGAAAACAAAACGACCCGGGCAATCAGCGATTATCGGATGTCATGCTGGATAGGAGGATGCTTATACGGACGGACAGTCCAGTTGGGGATCCGTCGCATCTCAACCTCGTATCTATACAGTGAGGTGTGCAGGGCCGGTTGGCTCATCGGGGCTCTCACAAGGCCACTGCGTTCTCGGCCATAGATGCTGGAGTGATATGGATGCCGTAATTGCCGAGAATGTCCAGGATGGCGCCCATTTCCTCGCCGGTGTGGCCCGTCAGCAGCCACACGAGGCGGCTAAGCTTTGATAGAGCAGTGACGGGAAGTATAGCAGCAGTGCCCACAGCAGGAGTGTCAGAATCACGATGACGAAAGTATTGGTCACGAGCTTCTCGCTCGGAGTCATCACGTAGAGGCCGAAAGTGACCTCGTAGCGATAATACCCTAGACGCACGCGGTCGATGGCGCGTCGGAAGGGACCACGGCGTTGGATTTTGAGGGTATGAGATGAGTTGCTGGTTTTCGTATTGGAAGGAATTTTAGTCCGGAGCTCGTCGACAGCCGGGCCGTGGGAGATGTGCGTCGAGGTGGACGGAGTATAGAAGGACTGCATCTTGATCGGACAGAGCTATGAGGATTGCAGGGCGTTCCTGCCGATCGGAACGTGCAACGATGCGGGAAACGGAGAGAGTCAGGTCGGACAGGAGGGATCGGGGAGGACAAACTGCGAAGATGCAGAGTGATTCCCCAGGGACCAGGGAACTTTTTCCCTGCGGCTGCTGGCCGGAAGTAGGCGGATGCGCACAGGACACCGGGGTGGGAGAAACGGGAATTAAGGGCGCGAGACCCAAGGGCGGCAAGGTTGAAGGCGACATGGTTAGCACTTGGCTTGATTCCTCCGTCAGCCAGCTTGGTCGACGACAGTATGGGCACTGTGTATAGCACTTACTTGCATTATTAATATACTGCTCTGATTCCTTTGTTTGTTTACCAGCGCAGGATTTAGTTCGACCGTACACAATACACTATGCTACCCAAGAGATGGATAACGTGCACTGTCGCTGATGATCATCGCCTGGGGCATACCATCACAATGGAAATATATTTGGTGTAGATCGAGATCGATAATTTATACAATCGCTGAAAATCAACAAACTAGTACTATATCAGGGGAACAGACCTCCCGGATGACATCACTGGTGTTCCTAATCTCGACTTCGCCCCGCCATTCTCTCTTGTTCTCACCATCACCCGCCATGCAGTCCGACGACCCGCTGGTCCAGGCCTTGCCACCTAACACCGACTACCTCACCTACTGCACCCTCCTCGAGTACCAGTTGACCCCTCAGCGTCTACCATTGCTGCACACCCTGCTGCAAGATGAGAAGCTTACCACCAACATCGGCTGGGACCTGGTCAAGCTGCTACTGCCCATGCTGCCGGCATCCACCGAATGCCTGCACGATGTCGCACGATTGGGCAACCCGCGCGAAGTGATTCTGCGTGTGTCCGAATCCCTGATGCAGCTTCACCCAGGGGACGACGAAGATGACCTCAGTGACGCCGAGAAGCCGCTGCCCGCGCATACGCTCCAGTTCAACTGTCTCCTCGCCATGCTCTCTGTCTTACATTCCCGGATCCAAACCAAATCGCCCAGCCGGTTCGTCGCTACATCCATGCAAGCGGCTCTCGAAGCATACACGGCGATGCCGAGCAACGAAACCACCCTGGCCCTCATCGAATTCCTCCGGGAATTGACCCCAACCAAACGGCCTGCTCCGCCTCCACGGGTGGCTAGTGAGTCTAGTGTCTTGCGAGTTTTGCAGAAGTCGGCTCCGGATCCAGAAGCCGAGGCGCCGTCCCCGTCCCCGTCCCCCGCAGCCGACAACGAGACCCTCCTCGTCCAGAAGTTTGTCCAGTTTGGACTCCTCGAGCTTCTCAAGTCCTATCTGTTGAATCTATCAGGTCCATTGGATCCCGGGATGGCGTGGGCCACTCGCATGCAGGAGCATTTACATTCGGATCTGCGGTTGCCCGAACAGTCGCTGACCGATGCATTCGCGACCACCCCACCGCTCAAGGAGCGAGACATGATTATGGGGAAGATTGTCGTATGTCATTGAACTTGCCATCTGACTAAATAGTACTGACCCTATTCGCTAAGGCGCTTTCTCGAGACGTGGGGATAACTAATGACCAGCTGTTGGCCATAATTTCCCAAACACCAACGGACCACCGGCCTCCTCTGGACTTTGACGAACCTCCCGCATCCCCCGACGACATCCCACTCGAGCGCCATGGCTCTCTTTTGCTGCTGGCAGCCCGCGCTGCAGGCGCAACCCTCTTTGCATCGGGACATGCAATGCCCCAACTATCTATTTTCCCAGATCTGGCGAAGATTTTTGGTTATTTTGTCGGAGACCACGAGAATCTCAACGAAGTAGCGTTTGGACAACCCCATGCGCTTTTGGACTCACTGCTAGCTCTTACTGTGCATACCACGCAGCAGCCTATCACGGAATCGTCCACCGAAGCAGAGTTCAAGGACTTCATCCTTACATTGACTGCATGCACTGCCCGTCAAACTCATGACATCGTCCGTCAAATCCCAGCTTCCATCGTACACAGCCATCCTTCGCAGTCTACCAGGTACAAGCTCGTCCGCACCATCCTCGAAGACGACCGCCTGCACGCCGCCCGGGATAGTGCTATTAGCTGGCTTAAGCAGGAGATTTTGAGTACCGACGCCCTTACCACCAACATCTTCCTCGACCCATCGTTATTCATGGTTATTTTACCATTGCTTTGCAATCTCGTCCCCGCCACCAGCTCCGTCTCCGATCTCGTTGCCTGCTGGATCCGTCTCACGCAGACGCAGGGTCCGCCTTTGCACTCTGCGCTGAGTCTGTACTACCTGCTTCTCTCATCACAGCCACTCAGGGACGGTCTTCAACTCGAGAAGTCCCACAAGTACTTCCGCGTGCACGCTCTAAAGCCCCTCCGCCAGTTATTCAGTGCCTTCGACGCTGATCTCGCTAGGAACGGCGGCGAAGGTCTCATTGAAGCTGCTGTCGGCGAAGACATGTGCGGTATCGGCATGACCCGCTGCGGGATGATTTCCTTGACTCTGGACCAGATCGAGGAAACGGCTGGCGATGCATTTGGCACGGATGAAACGGAGCTGCAGGAGTTTTCCGAGGAGGATTTGGCTAAGGTTGAGAAGGCCAAGAAGGAGATGGTTTTTTGAGTACGTACATTCACAAGGCATGGGAGATATGAACATATTCTGGCTAGATATGATGATCATGAATGGTGACGAAGCGATTTATGACTTGTACTTCGTGTTACATGCATCTCTCATATATGATTCTGCATCATCGTATCTATACAATGCAAGATCCAGATCGGAATATCTCGGCAGATCTAGGTCTCGCAGATCGTAGGGCTCTTTTCCTTTATATTTGGTGGTTTGATGTATATCCAGCAATATTCGAAATCACATATACCACTATACTCCAACCCTAATCTGAAATGTGCTAGTCTAAATATGGCATGGTCGTAGATCCTCCACTTCCCAGATTAGACACTGTATTTTACGTGACGTTGGCGAGACCTTTAGTGATGTATTTTACACGAAATTGCTATACTCAGACTGCAGTGTGACGACGTAATAAAGCTTGGATTGTAGGCAACGAACGTTAATAACTGTAATTACAAGAGACTAGAGTAGCAAGCAGTTCACTTCCCGATTAGAGCTATGAGTGAAAGTAAATATAATGCAGGTGGCGCTGACAAAATCCACTGGATTGGACAGCAAAGCTCAAAAGTTGACCATGTTAGTTAATCCCATGGAGTTGAAGATGTAGACATTCAAATTAGCGAGCAATATAGTAGTAGACAATTTCTACTTCAATCCTCGGGGTTTCCCATGAGAAGTCCTTCACTGAGCAAAGGGAGTCCAATGTTTCAAAGGGACGTGCGGCCATTTCTATGAGTTCGGAAGGTGGTGGGTGCTGGGATGCCTCATCCAACACCCAACCGGCAACGTGAAAGCCAGTTTGGGGGTTTTTATTTCCCCCTTCAGCATTAAAATGCATGGGAAGTTCCTCTAATATCTCAATGCACGCTTTGAAAATCCCGAAAAAATTAATCTGGGTTATTGGTAATTCACCCTGAAATTCGGATAGCGTCGCATCCTTGATCTTATCCAAGGATACTGTGAAAGTTGTCGAATGAACCTCTTTCATAACTTCATATTTTTGCTGTATTGTGGATTGCTCAATCAATTCCCCTCGGTAAATCTGGGCCCAAAGATCTGGATGTAGCCGATATTCATTGTTGTGGAGGGCGTAGAAAATGGAGAGCTGACAGAGATCGACTCTTCGTTCAAATGACTCCAAACTGCCACGAGAGAATTGATATTTATTCTCGCTGCGTGAATCGGATGTTTTCAACAAGCGCCCACCGGTTGATAGCCGAAAAACAGAGCCGAAGTTGGCCTGCGGGAGTGATCCAGGAAAGAGAAACTTGGTGAAGAGTTGACACACTTGGTCCAGCCATAAAACTCTCTGCATTCTTGGATTGACTTTCAACAGGGCATTGTACAGGTGCAGAACTGCCACGACATAGTTGTTCCGACAGCAGAGAGTGATTGATTCGAACATACTCGCATGAAGAATCTCAATCATATGGCTTGCTGCAGACCACGGTGCTTGAGCAAAGAGATCAAATCTTTTTTCCTGGAGATACGTCTCCAACTGGTGTTGAAAATCGTACATCCGATTTGCTTGCCAACAAATGAAACAAGTCTGACATTGACAAAGGTTCTTCAAGTATGGCATGCACTCTTTCGTGCAACTCAGAACATTATTGGTAAATTGAAGCGTAGCGATCCGACAATTGATAGTGTTGAAACTTCCATTAGGCCATGAATAGACCTTGTACGTTGAGAGTAGCAATTCCGTTCCGAATATCAATGCCGTAGGGACTGCCGCATTTTCATTCTTTACAGCCTCCCTGACTTCAAATAACAGAGGCACCGAGCTCATTGGCTTTGTCTCAAAGGCTGCTATGGCCCTTTTCGAATCAATAAGTTCGAGCATGTTAGCGTTGATTGTCTCAAGAGCTTTCCGATCTAAATCAACCGATTTGCAGTCGTTGTGTGGTGGGCATATGTATTCTTTTGGATTCTGTCGATTGCCTTGGTTGTTCAATAGGGCTCGATCATGTTTTGATAGTTTTCGGTAGTCTTGAAAAATATGCCAGTATAAATCTAGTTGACGGCCATCTGAGAATCGACGATATTCAGACTGAAATTCAGGCATTCCAATGAAAGTGATTTTGGATAGCCTGAAAGTCGAGTTCCACTTGGTCAATATACTTTCGTGGCATGGAACCAAATCGGAGAAATCGGAGATAATGCGTTTGGCGCCACGATATGCGATACTGGTCAAGTAAGCCGCCATGACCATGGGAAGTCTGCCAGCAGCGACTTCTGTCCAGTATTCGTTGACCGTGGCATAAATCGAATCTAGATGCTGATATATAATTAGGAACATGTAATTGAAAGCCGTGCGTTTGTGACCATACATATACTAGCAGGCAAAGCTCTATATCTTTGCTCAAGTGGTCGTCAATGAATATATTTCGACTGTCGGCGGGCGAGCTGGTGTCAGAAAGAATACTCTCCTCTTTTGTGTCTTGCATGGGAGTTTCAGCATCCATTCCCGTCGTGCTGTCTGCAATATTGACGTCTGCAAGCGCAGAATATCGATTGGAGCTTATGACAGGGGAAGATAGTTTTCTGGGATCGTCTGTCCTGGACGGTTGCCCATGTGGTTGTTTGATGCCGAGAGAAGAAAGTATTTCAAATGCTTGTTCGAGTCTTCTTTATGTCAGAATAAATAAGATCCGCTGAACTTGCCGACCTTACCTCTCTATGAACTTTTGGTGGCTTATATCTTGATTTTCATTGGTACCCTTCTGCTCCTGAGCAACATAAATATCGTGAATCTTGCGTCGTTTTCGAATCGCTTCTTTTAATTCCGATAAAACTTTTGCGGGCACTTGCAAGTTTTGGTTTTTCGCAAGTAGTGCTGCCTTGATAATATCTCCGGTCGATAGTTGTGCGCGGTATACATGCTGTCCCTGTGAGATCTTCACATTCGCAAAAAGCCAGTCCATGGCATGGTTTGTTGATTTTTTGTACGAAAGATAAAGTGAGGTAATTGGCTCACCAGCCGAAGAGCGGATTGCCATGTTATTTTGCAAAGCAGGGCGTGGGAATGGGGTTTCTCTCTGAGTTGTCAGGTGTATGGGATGTGATGGCGCCAATCTGTTCCGGATGCTGACTATAATTTCCCGATATTGGGGTAGGAAAAGGGTTAGATGTCATTTACTAAATATGTACGGGTCATTAATCCTGCTGTATTTCAAAAGTTTTGTGTTCCCATGGAAAATGTCAAGCCAGCGTTAGTTTCGCAGACAATTACAATAATGACGTCATAGACCTGATGCCACGGACGGCTGTGAGAAAAGAACTTGTCGAACTTGGAAAGTGTGCTCTTGGCCGCTCACCGTGTGTGAATAGCACGCGTTATTTGAGATCCACTGCCTACGTTATTCAACTTTCTTCCTGGGAATTGAGACATAATAGAAGAACGACGACGTGGCAAGCCGCGCTAAGCCGACGCCATCGAATTTATCGCTCTCCACAAAGCCTAGAAGTTGCTTTGCTATCAAACAATCAACAAGCGGTCTGCAATTCATACTTAAGTCGACGGCTAGCCTTATCAGTGCCAGATTACGGTCTCATAATTGAGATTGTTATTTTGTTACCTTCATTCCGCATGAAAGCTGCACAGCTGTAAAGGTCATACCAGCGAAGCAAGGGCTTATAGGGGAAAAAATTCTTTGGATCTGAAAGTCTGAAAGTCGGGCAGCCCTTGCTAGTCGTCTGGAATTCGCGTATCCACTAGTAAATCTGCTAGATAGTGTCATGTCACAATGATTAAAAACGATGGTATTCAGGTCTAACTATCATGTACATATTTATAGTAGAGAAGCGGAAACTACACAGTGAGATGTGGTCACATCCCTAGCTGCCATTGTACTGGCATTCTTTACCAGATGGACCGCGAGGGCCCCTTACATGACCCCTCTGAGGATAGCATATAATGTGGAGGAAAATCATTCCCCCAAAGTCTTTCGTAGACATCTACACTACAGGATTGTCTGAACTGAACGTATCTTTCGCCTCATTTATATTCTGACTGAGTACACAATGGAGATCCGAAAGAAGTCGGGAACCAAGAATCGTCCCGATGAGTGGATGGTTGAACAGGGCATGGCGGGCCATAAGCTGCCCATTCTCGACCAGACTGTTGGAAAGGAGACCCACAAAGTGTTCCCTCCCGAACCATACAGGATCCTCCAGGATAAAAAGGCGATTCGAGCGGTTGGCGATCGCAACAAACTTTTTGCCCGTGAACGAGAAGGCTGGGTAGGGTATGTTTGCCCTTTTTTAGACCATGTGAATTGAGGATGGTTAAGCTGATAAACTCTTCAACCTATTCTGTTCTAGATATGTGGAGTGGGAAGATTATCCAGACAAGAAGGCCAAGGCCCACAAGATCTTGACTTCGCAGACCTTCCCACCTTGCCCTGATTTTCAATGGGGGCCTATCCCCGGGACTAACCCTGTTCTTCCTGGCGATGATTTCAAAGCCTGGCATACCGCCATTGGGGGAGAGTTAGCCTCCGTTGCTGATAGTTCCTGGAAAACGGTGTTGAAGGAAAAGCACCCCGAAATGTTGCACCTTTTGCAATTTCCTTATAACGGAGAGCCTCCAAAGCGGCTGGTGACCTCGAAAGCGATCACGCCAAACTCGCTCCACTTCGTGCGCAACCATGGTGGCATCCCACTAATCGACGTGGATGAGTTCGAACTGAAGTTAGACGGACTAGTTAAGAACCCCAAAAAATACACAATGAACGACCTTATGGATGAGTCCAAGTTTCCACGAATGGAGAGGACGATCACTATACAGTGTTCGGGAACCCGTCGCATTGAGCAGATCTCACTGTACGCTGGCCAGGGTGACGAAGTCCCCCAGGCCCCGTGGGCCGAGGGGGCTATTGGCGCCGCCCGGTATGTGGGTATCAGCTTGAAGAAGGTCATCAAAGACTGCGGAGGTCTGATTAACGGTGCCAAACACCTCGAACTCTATGGTGCTGAAACCTATGTTAAGGATCTGGAGGTGGGCAACTATGTTGTCAGCGTTCCTTGGTCCAAGGTCAAGGCCAACGAGGTCATCCTCGCCTGGGAGATGAATAGTGAGACGCTCCCTAAGATCCACGGTTATCCCTTGCGGGTGATCGTGATGGGCTACATTGGAGCTCGGAGCGTTAAATGGCTATACCGCGTAAAAGCGATTATGGATCCGACACTAGCCCCAGTCCAGGCTAGGGAATATCTATACTTCAACCAGCAGGTAGGCAAATACAACCAGCGCCCAATCGACGGCATTCAGATCCAGGAAATGCCGGTTAGCTCGGCGATTATGTCTCCCTGGACCAAACAAGTGGTGATGCACGATGGCAAGATCCATTGTAAGGGCTGGGCCTACTCCGGTGGCGGCCGGTGGCCCGAACGTGTCGAGTTGTCGGCGGATGGGGGCTTCAACTGGTACGCAGTACCGGAAGAGCAGCTGTCTGAAAAGGGTAAATGGACCTGGCGGACGTGGGAAATCGATCTTCCGTGCGATGTGGAAGGGTGGATTGAGATTGTTTGCAGGTGCTGGGATAACTCGCTCAACACACAACCGCTGAACGTGCGTGCGGCCTGGAACTGGGGGCTTCACGTGACATCATCGGCCCACCGCATCAAGGTGTATAGCGTCAACAAGACTCGGAAGCTCACTCAGCAGAAGATCGCGGAGTTTGAGCGGAACAATATTGATTTGGCCCCTCTCACCCGCTATGACCCTATCCCAGGCTTGACCGATGAAGAGTTGAGCAAGTACCAGAAGGCCCATCCCCGCGATGTCGATGTGTGATTTCTGTCAAATCGTTCCCTCATTTGATAGTTCATTTGCTTGATTGCAAAATCTACGCGATATTTTTCTTGCTACAGGTCAAACAAGAGCAAACCCAAGTTGTGCTTTGCCAGGGATCGGTACAGATGGTTTAGTTCTCTCACCTAAAATTTATGAATCAATTGAATTTCTGTCCCTTAGAAAATTCTGTCCCTTAGAAAAAATCATTCCTAGACTCCCTACTTTGAATTAATGAAGGATATAGGTACGAAGAAGGTAGATCTGACATTGGATGAATTAGCACATTCGTTTCAGGAAGAGAACTTAGGATTCTGACTCCGATATGCTCCAGCAAGCGGTCCATATTTCTGAGAAGTACCATAAAGATGGCCAAGCTACTCAGATAGAGTAGAAAAAGATCGGAGGTAAAATACTCCATTCCTATCAATTACCATGACCAACTAAAAGAGCAACTAGTTTGTATCCCGAACCAGTTCCAACCCATCCACCAGCCACCGAAAAAAGAGAAAAAGAGACAATCCGCACTGCATCAAGGAAGATCCTTATCAACTCTTGTTTTTTGTGTGTTTTGTGTTCCTCGAAGTGCAGCTAAAAAGGGAAAAAATGGAGCACCACCGCCATATTCTACTGACCTATCACCCGGCCTGTTCCATGAACGTCGATGATTAAGCCGTCGATGATAACTATTCGCCCGTGTTGATAATTGTTGTCGTCATCATATCGAAAGAATCCAAGGAGGAAGACTGAAGACGGCAAAGCGAAAAGAAATAGCAACGAGAAGCCTGTCTTGTTCCCGCCACAGAAGGAATGAACTGGACAGACAAGTAACAAGCGTATGCCACACCGCTATTCGTTCGACCGAAAGGAAGAGAGTGGAAGTCGAGTACGCTCCAAGAAGAAGCTCACAGACAAACCATTCCTTCCTCCCAAACCTAGTGAGAGCCCCCAATGTAAATCAAAAGCAAAGTGTAGTCGTTGGTCATGTTCCGAGATGATGTTTTTTATGTTGCAAGGTTGATAAGATTCTCATTTGTTGACGGCGCAAGATCGGAAAGTAGTTGTCTTTCCTTCCAATGTCGACCAACGAGGCAGGTCAAGCGATCAGCATGATGGTGGAAAAGAAGAAAACCGGTTGCTGAGGGATGTGGTCATGTAGGGAATTTACATGACAACGCATCCACCACCGGGAGCGGCTGGAGAAGAAGATATCAATATGAGAATAGATGAGACAAGCAAGGATGCGTTTAGCCAGTTCGACATACCTTTGATAACGGCACCGTTCTGGATCTGAGGAGCAGACATTTCGATAGATTGGTTTTTGCTTAAAAAGCGAAAGATTGTTGAGTAGATGAGTTGGAAGATTGAGTTGATTGCGGATGGAGAGGAAACGAATTGAGGGTTGCGGCAAGGGCTATTTATGCTCCAGCAGACAGGTCCGGATAGACTGGAAGTGAGAGGGAGTGAATCTGCAGAGACGCAATAAACACTTCGAATGTACATTCAGATACCTAATCCGGCGACGGCATGGGGAAGCCCTCATTGATTTTTGGAGGTTTAGGAAGTGTGGAACAATAGAGTACTTTCGTATTGTGGGCGCCACGCGGACCGAGCTTGATATTGTTCTGTCTGGGAAATGAATGTCATCAATGTGGACGCTTTATTGCTCGTATCTCCCTCAGAAAGTATATGGGAAGCCCTTCCACGCAGGTACTTCCATGGAGTGGCGTTACCAGGTGGAAAGATAGATAGAGAGCTGGTAGTGCGTGGTCATCGAGGCCGTGGGAGCCAGGGTTAGGCTTTCTTTGTCTGAAGAGCGCCACAGAGAATCAAACCCTTGGCTCTGGGCTTGCCTGCGAAGGCAACACTCAGCTCGTGCAAAGAACAATATTAAGAGGATGGGCAGTGGGATGTATTCAATGCGTTGTTGTTGGCTTGGGGAGTGGAGTGGCTGGCAGTCAGACCGAAATTAGTTGTTCTCCGTTCACTCTTCCTGTTTTTTTTATTGCAAGTGTTCCGCGAGTTGGTGACTCTGCTTGGAGTGATGACTTGCGTGGTTGAACTCAGTTGCGGCACGAAAACTCCTCGACCAATCAGGAGCGGGAAGCGCCCTATTGTTCCTGGAGAACAATACTTTCAAGACACGCACAGATGATAATGCTGTGTCGACGCAAGTTCAAGTTGAAAAGCCTCGAGAAGCAATAAAGGGCCAGGGTCGCATTAGGGAGAGACTAAGTATTGATAACGCATTGAAAGCCAAGATATCGCCAGCTCTATATTTCTGCATGAGTCGATGATACATTGTTCAATGTAGACACCTACAGGCCGGTTGCTGTGGGGGTCATTCTCGACAAATGATCAACTGGTACCCGGACGGATACAAGATGAATACTCGTATGGAATCTTGGAGGATAAGCAGGGGGTGATGGGAAATACCAAGATGGATTGGAGCAGAGAAAGAGACGATTCAAGAACGGATCCTGGGCCCTACTCCTGGCTACGTCAGTTCCTGGGCATTCCCCTTTCTACTCTCTTCTCTTCTTCCAAAACTGGCCGCAGTTGACGCCGTTTTTGGCTACCCATGCCAACCTTTTTGCCACTCAGAACGCCGTCTGCATCCATGCACCTCCCTGAACGCAGCAGAACTTTGGTGAAGCGATCAGGGTTAGTTCTGTTACCTTTCTCTTCATTTTGTTCGTTTCGTGGCACAGTCTGGTTCAACAAGAGAGAAGAAGGGCACCAAGGGCTTCGTTTAAATCGCTCTTCGGCAGCAGTAACGACATAAGTCGCAGAAGGCATTCACGGCTAATGTACAGAAACAAAAGATCCTCCATGCCAACGTACGCCACGTAGGTGACATCAGGGAATTAATTGCCACAACCCCAAATCTCAACCGACCTCCTTTTCACCAATCAGGATCCTTCATGTTGTGTATTTCTTCTTGATCAAATCCGATGCCCGTTCGGCTACGGCATAGATGGTGCTAGTCAGATGACCACAGAGTTGGAATGGCAGGACTGATGCATCAATCACTCGGACATTACTAGTGCCGTAGACCTTGAGTTCAGGGTTGACAACACCACCCTTCTCTCGGGGAGCATGCTGGCTGTTCCGACGGGGTGGTAGTTTGACCTGTCTGATAGGGAATCAGTCTATCTGTTGAGCTTTCAGCATGACATGAAGAGAGATGCTACTCACAACTTGACTTAACCCAGTCGGCCCAATCAGAGTCGGACGCATCTTCGGGAAGAAGATTCAGTCCCGGTGCATTCTCGTCTAAGACAAGATCGCTTAGAGGAGCAATGCCGAATGCCTTGCGAATATACCGAGCCACATCAATTTGGGTCGTGAGATCTTGGTCGAACATAAAATAATTCGGGATTATGGCGGCTGGCGCAGAGGAATTTGCGGACGATATGTGGACACTGCCTCTCGAGAAAGGAAGAAGAGGCCAGTATTCAGCGGAAAACGTGTCTGCGATGGGAAGGAAGACAATTTCTGCATATGGAACCTGTGATTTGAAGATCAAGTCGTACTGCAATTGGAAAGCAGACAGAACGTTCGCTTCGTGAACCGCACCGTTCGAAAAGTTAGCAACAGCCTTCGCGTAACTCGCGAGGCTGGAGTTGACTTTCGAAGCGACGGTGGAAATTCCGTTTCCGTATAGCTGGGCAGCTGATGGTAGTGCGGAGAAAGTTGGCAAACCGAGCCAGAAATCCTCACCATCGTAAGAGAGACCGTTGTTTGTCTGATCCTGTAAGTTCTCACCTACCGTGGGGATGTTGACCTTAACGGGGATGTTATGCTTGCGGAGAATATCTGGGTTTCCAATACCGGACAACTCCAGAAGCATGGGTGATTTCAGAGCTCCAGCGGACAAAATTACCTCTTGTGAAGCATAAATCGTATCAACTCCGACGATCCCGCTTACGTCCACTCCAATTGCGACGGCCTCGTTGTAAGAATTGTTGGCCCAGATAATCTTGTTCGCGTAAGTGTTCGTGAAGATATTCAAATTGGAACGATTCGCATAAGGGAAAAAATAAGCTCTGGCAGCATCCTCACGAACGTTGGCCTCCCTGTCGACGGTATCGGGATGGATCGAGAGTCCGACCATGTTGCCACTGTTCACGTCACGATTGTAAGGGACTCCTAGCTGCTTGAATGTTTCGTCGAGTACAGAGAGCACATTGTGGTTAGTTATTTCTGTCGGCCACCCGACCTTCAGCGGACCGCCCTCCCCATGGTAACTGCTATAGTAGTCTGCACCATTAGAAACTTGGTCCAGGGTGGGCGCCTGGAACCCTTCTGATTTCTTATAGTATGGAAGGAGACTCTCCCAGTTCCACCCTTTGTTTCCAAACGCTTCCCAAGCATCGATTTGGACATCTTGGGCTCGAGTATACGACATTCCTGCGTGAAGAAGCCAGGATTAGCGTCAGTCCACATCATTCTCGTAGTTTGGGGGAATTGATAACCATTGATAGTGCTTGTGCCACCGATCGCTTTTCCAGCACGTATGATCTGCTTTGATCCGCCGGCGTACGTTTGGTTTTCGGTCTCGTATGCCCAGTCGATGGCTGTTCCAAATGTCTGACCGTAACCCATAATGTTAGAGACGTGAGCGTTGTTGAGGACGGAATCTCCAGCTTCAATAACCGCCACAGTGACATCTTTCAATTCTGAAAGTCTGTTGGCAACAACCAGTCCGCTAGTACCTCCGCCAACAATAACAAAGTCATAGTATTTAGCTGAGTCGGTTGTATTTTTCGCCTCCGCTGCACCTATGAAGATAGCCGCAAGAGCGACGGTTGAGATCAGTATTTTCATTATAAGCGAGGAAGGAAAAGGTTGATCCCTAGCAAGGGAAGCTAGAAACGATGTAGTAGAGCGAGGGGGACTTCCACAGAATTAATCCCTGCCACGGTTGCCTGGTAGGCCAACGTTGAATGTTGGCGTCATTGTCTAAGGGCAATCCTTCAGAAACCCTAGTCAACTGCCGTGATTTGTTTACTGCCACAATTCAGGGTGTTTCTCTACGCTTTCATGTCTTATTTACATGATTTACATGGAAGTGACGGACCTTGCTGATGGCTGAGCTCCGACACTGATTGCATGCTAGTCTCATTCAAGGATTCGATGTCTCTGCACCAGGCTCGTTTAAAAGCCATTCCAGTTTGTCTTGTTTGTAGCATACCACATTCCTTGTGGCTTGCATGGATTCCCGCGGTTGTGTCGATGGAAACGGAGAACTGCACCGACAAGACCCTCTCCAACAACACCAGAATGCGAGTGCAGTGAGTACTGCCTGCCTGAGTATTCTATATACCGCATTGCATGACACCATGGCATTGGAAAAACTATTACGGTCACGAGTACTTTGTTCCATTATATCGATCAATGCGTTGAGCTACGGTTAAAGAAGACCGCTTTGCCAGGGTGAACTGACATTTGTGCTGAGCAGCTGACTTGCGCCAGCTGGTCCTGCCGCCGGCCCTGGTTCTTGCCTTCATTCTCAATGCCAAAGCCATCCTGTTAGGTCACGTGATGTGTAACATCTTGTCCTAAAAAGCCAAAAATGAACCCCGTGATCGCTCCGTCAAGAGGCGGTCAACCGCTACATCCCCGAAGAAGGCATCTCGATAACTCCTTGTCCCCGATAGAAAGCCCAATAGCCATGCTTTTTTTGTAGAAGTATATCCAAATTCATTTCTCGGCTCTCCTCCATATCTCCTCCATATCTGCCACTGACTTGGCATTCGGGGATTTGCCAAATTCCCGTAAAATGCCGCAAACACCGACAGCCTTAAGACGGGTTCGTCCCGTAGAGTGGAAAGGTATATAAACCTGTCAGGCAAAGCCACATTTCCCATTTATGCAAAAATTAATTTCAAAGCTCTACTCCCCTTCCATCAATCGGTGTATTCTTCTGAATGGCACATTTAAAAATCCTCATCTGCGGCGGCGGTTGCGCAGGGCCTGCACTTGCTTACTGGCTTGTTCGCAGTGGCCATCAAGTCACCATTGTCGAGCGCTTCCCGACCCTCAGAGCCACGGGTGCACAAATTGATCTCCGTGGCCAGGGAATTGAAGCGGCCAAACGGATGGGCCTATTAGATACGATCCGCGGCAAGCTTGTCGATGAAGATGGCGTCGCCCTAGTCGACTCAGAAGGCAAGGTCAGGGCAACTGTTATGGCCAACAAGTCCGGGAAAGGTGCTCAATCTCTCACATCCGAGTTTGAAATTATGCGCGGTGATCTTGTGCGCATTCTATATGATGCAACGAAAGACGATGTGAAGTATATATTCGACACATCGGTCGATCGCTTCGAACAAGACGAGGAGAAAGTTATTACCTATTTTTCTGATGGCTCTTCCGACTCTTTTGATCTTCTTGTTGGAGCAGACGGCCAGGGATCGCGCATCCGGAAAGCCATTATGCCTCCTGGTTCCCCGGATCCCTATCGGCAGCTGGGAATCCATATCGCCTACTGGTTTATTCCGCGTAACGAGAGTGACAACAGAATCCGCAAGACATATCAGAGTCCTGGAGGTCGAATGATCATGCGCCGAAGTCACAATCCCGCAGAGACACAAGTATACTTCTTCCTCAGAGACGACGCTCTTGAATTCTCGAGTATTCACAGGGCTTCAGTAAAACAGCAAAAAGAATTCTGGACTCAAAAATTTCGTGACGCCGGATGGGAAACTGACCGGTTCTTGGAAGGCATGAAGACAACAGACAACTGGTACTGTCAAGAAATTGTCCAGGTACAGACAGATACGTGGCATAAAGGCCGAGTCGTCCTTCTAGGAGATGCTGCTCACTGCCCGTCTCCATTTAGTGGCATGGGCACCACTGCTGGGCTTGTCGGTGCTTATGTATTGGCTGATGAGATTAATCGAAATACTGAGGATCTCCCGCGAGCTTTTGCGAACTATGACAAGACCCTTCGGCCATTTGTGGATGAGATACATAATGTGAAGCCCGCCCTTTTGAAATTGGGAATGCCGAAGACATGGTGGGGAATTGCCATACTACGTTTCATCTTTGGAATGTTATGTTTCCTCCGCATCCCTGAATTTATGTCAAGGTTCGCGAAGGAGAGAGATGGGAATTGGAAGTTACCGAGATATTCCGAGTGAGGAGCATACAAGAAGTAGATGAAACAGCCAGACACGGCCAGACAAATATGATCGGACGTGTCAGAAATGTATATTGAATTATGATGGTTCTTATCATGCCCACGTGTCTATAAAAATAGGGAAATAACGATTGAACACACTCCACTAGGACTATAGCATTCATAAAACACATGATTGTAACTGCACGAGTTTAACCACTGAAATGGTTAACGTACAAAATATCTCTTTTAGGAGGAAGCAGCTACCATGGTCTGCGGAAGAAGATATATACTACTAAAGCCGAGAGACGAATAAAAGCTCGGTTGATCGGAAAAAAGAAACATCTTGCTGAAACCATTTTTTACGAGGACCAAGGAACCTATATAGGTACACTAGAGCACGACGGTCCGGAAATAGTGGTTATCATATCGGAGGACAAAATAGTGAAATTCGTCATCTTAATTCGTGCTTAGCATCCTCTCCTTACTTGTAAGTAAAACTCCTCGTGTTTCCCGATTTACACTGACTTGGCTCGCCTCTTAGAGAAAAGTAAGAGGAGGATCGGAGCTAGATTCCAAAGATGTGAAAAATGAATGCTTACATTCTCAGATATATTTTTTGGGCACCTTAGAAAAACTTTGAGAACGCCTGATGTCTACGTAACCATCGGCAATGTAGCCTACAATGACCATCCGTTTGTGCATAGAGATAATATTTGACTATTACTGACAGCAATGGAGCTCGCCCTTTGAAATACTCATACCCGCCTCGAGAGGTGGTGCGGGCCTCGACATTTGGAGGCAGATAGCCAACCAACTAGTGATAAATGATGGGGACAAAAATTAACGGGCAAAGGCACTAGTAGCTAGAAAATTAGTATCCAATTGGACCTGTGGCGCAGTGGTACGTTCTTCCAGAAGATCTTCCAGTCCTTCATTTAACTAACCCACTCATTTAGGTAGCGCGTGTGATTCCAGTCCACAAGGTCATCCGATCAAAACGGGTCAGGTTCAATCCGGAGCAAGCTCCATTTTTTTTTCCAAACCTTTTAGGTTTCTTTTCTCCATGTGAAATTAAGTGTTTGAATTTAATTGTTCTAATTGGACCTGTGGCGCAGTGGTATGTTCTTCCAGAAGATCTTCCAGTCCTTCATTTAACTAACCCACTCATTTAGGTAGCGCGTGTGATTCCAGTCCACAAGGTCATCCGATCAAAACGGGTCAGGTTCAACTCGGAGCAAGCTCCTTTTTTTTTCTATCTTTTTTTTTCTCTTTTAAAAATTTAAATGTTTATTATAATTTTTTTCCTGTTCTTCTGTTAACTTAATCAAGATCATTTCCTTTCGCTTGTTCATCCAGCTTGTATCAAAGACTGTGCGGTCGGTCAGTAGGTATTGAGGCTTCGATTGCCCCATTAGAGGATGCCCTTCTTCGCCTTTCAACGATGTCCAAGAGTAAGGCGAACGTGGCAATGATAGAAGCTGAATACGCGATGCGGGCCTTGACCTTTGGGTTACGGGCTTAGTCGCTTTGAGGTAGAATGTACATTGTAAGCATGGAAATTTAGATCCATTCAAGGGAGATCGTTTCTCTTTACGTATCTATTGTTCAGACGTCTAACAATCAGCTGTTCCAGTCGCACGCTTTTCAGCTTCCACGAAAGCAACATGTGAGGTGAGTTGAGGTTTGCCTTTCTCGACGCAGCTCATACCCCTGGTGTTTCACATGATAGCTGGACAAATGTCTATCTAACCATGAAGAGCTTCCGTCAATGGCTGTACTCGTACCAGCCTCAACAGCAGCCTCCGGACTATCATATTCGAGTGGTTTACATGTGGCATAGTCCCGACAGAGTCATCTAAGAAGCCAAGACCTGTACGGGTTAGAAAAATTTTTTATGTACGCCTCAGCGACGGGACAGGGTAAATGAAATCATTAATTTGCCTATTCATCCATCCGCCAACTTGTCTTGCCACAGCCATCGCTTAAGCCATAGATCGTGCTGTGAAGGCACTGAATCACCATTGCTGGATTGTGGGCAAGGAGGAGCTCTAGAAAGCGGCATATTGAGCAGAACAGCCAGATCGAGCGAAAGGAGAACGACGCTTCCATCCTAGGTCCTGTACGATTTATCAATTAGGCATGTGTTTTGAGGTGGATTGTGTTCAATCCAACAATCTTTAGGCTAGGTATGAGCCTGGTGGGAACCCAGACGACGTAACGACCGCAAGTAAATATTAGAACGAGCGAAACGGCATTCGTCCTATCCGATCAGAAGGTTCGAGCCAGCGAGCGCATTAATGAGGCCTTATCCGGAATAGAGACAATTACACATGACTGTATCAAATGCATGGCTCGAAGGATCTCGGTTAGCTCTCAGTGCCATGTTTCTTTGTCCGTTCCATCCACTCCTTGGAATTTTCCTAGCACAGATAATTCATTATTTCCAAGAAAACCCTACTGTTTGATTTTTGCGCTAATACCAGGAACTTTGCTAAGCTGTTTATCCTTGCAACAGCCAACGGATTGAGGGGCTATTCAAACACAAACGGCACAACTCTTAATTTTAGAGTCATGACGTTCAATTAGTTTGCTTCAACGTTCCAGTCGATATATCGGGCCTTTCAGGCTACGTTACCTTCAAAATCCGCAGTGAATGCATTGCTAGAAGCCAGTTTGAGAAGCTTAGATGCATCCCCTAAGCAAGTCCGTTGTGCCACCAATAACTTAATATATGTCATGTGATGTCATGTGATTCTGCATTATGTAATGTTTTGTGACGCACCGCTACTTACCACCGTGATAAGTTGCTCGGTACTTTTGACTTTCTTGGTTTCTACTCACCATGCGCGTTGTCAAGAATCGTAGCCGTACTGGCTGTTTCAGCTGCCGAGCTCGCCGAGTCAAGTGCGACGAACACAAGCCAACGTGCAAACGATGCGAAGCTGCGAACATCGAGTGTGCTGGCTACCAGCAGAAGCGAGATGTAAATCCGCGAGGGTTACATCGAGCTAAGGAAGATACATCATCCCTCGGCCCAAATTTATCAGCAGCATCCCTATCAGCGACCGGGACGCTACTAGTAGGCCAGCCAGTTCCACAACCCCACGTGGATGGGGTTTCCCTTGTTGGACTACCCAGCAACCCTCGGCCAGGGCAGCGACCTGGGCCCGGAGCAAGACATGTTTTAGGCTACCACCAATTCATATTCAGGACACTTCCGTTGCTTTTCCCTCCAGAAGATTTGCCCTTCTGGAGAGATGAGCTGTGTCAAGAGGCTTGGGGTTCCGATTACATCTACTTGACTTTGATTGCATTGGGGGCCTTGCATCGAGCGGCGCTTATGATGTCCATTTCGGAAGACATTTATAGAAAAAGTGGCCTCGACACTAAAATTACTGCCATCCAGGTTTATACTCAGGCTTTGCAGGAGCTATCGAATCAGCTGGACGAGGCGAAGAAGACGCCTAGACTCCTTATTGGAGTGCTCTGCTTAATGGCATATATCGAGGCAAGCTCACAAACATTGTTTCTAAAGCTAAGAGAATTAACATCATCCCAGTCATTTAGTGGCAATATACCAGCATTCATGGGACATGTACAGACTGCCAACTATTATTTTAAGCTTCTCGCATTGGCGGATAGTGAATCAAATGCTCATAATGACATGAGGAGGAGGGAGCTAGCGCCTCTAGAGGCTTGTCTGCGATCAATTGGGCAGACATGCCGCGTTGCTTTGCCCTTTCCGCGCATGCTTGAGGTGTTCCCGGAACGGACTGCCTCCTTGATGCGTTCCACCGAATCCACGTCCGCAATGGATTGGCCTATGCTTCAGGGTCTCATCAACCTTGTCTGTGCTGAATCTGATATCGAAGAACTGGTTTGGAGTCCTTTGGCGGCCTACTCTCGGCGCATATCTTCAGCGGTGATATATCGCTTCCAGGAAAAACTTCTCAAATGGAGGAATCATCATAGCAGCCTCCTCCCTGAGCTCGATTCTTCTGATTCCGCCCTGGAGGCTCTGTTGACCTACAAATGGGAGAAATTTTCCATTCCTCCTTCTAAATATTCCTCGATAAGTCCTCAAGGATGTCTCGTGGCCGCCCACTATAGCTTCTATACGGCTCGGATGAAATGGGCGTTACATCTCCTCGACGAGGATAAAGAGATCAACCAGATATCTGCCAACTTCTACTTCTACGAAACTATGCGCTTCGCAGCGACACATGCCAGTGGATCCATCGAGATCAATGATACTCAATATTCGTATTCACCACGCGAGGCTCTCAAGATCGGCTTCCTACCGCTGTTGCATATTATAGGATTGTGCAGTCCCGAAGTTTCATGGCTACGCTGGATCATTGACCTCTGCGAACATATTGAGCAGGAAGGCGTTCTCAAGGGACACACATTTGCGGCCAATTTACGCTGCCTGCAGACATTTGAGATGTACACTCAGAAGGATACAAGCGCAATACTCCAGCGGCTCCCCGACCCAGAGAATCGCGTCATTTGCCAGTTAATCCCTGAGACAGACGGTCGCCATTATACATCATACTTTGCCGGGCGCAAGCTCGATAGTAACCACTCGATAGACGGACTGGCCGCATATCAAATCCTGGGTCATGCCCGCTGGAGATGTTACTTCGGCGAACACCCATGTAACCCAGAGATCGAATTTTATGACGAGAATCACACGGAAACGCTTTCGAAAGACTCACTGCTGAGCAAACAGGCTGCAGTTGAGTGGTTGGTGTGGTCGACAGATGCGGAGTTCAACATGGACCGTGCTATTCGAGATCATATCAACGGAACACGGCTTGTCCCCCCTCCCGATGAGTTACAGGTTGCAATCTAAAACGTAATTACGTACAATTAGATTGATGAAAAACTATCTTGGGAATTCAGGAGATCCGTCTATCTATGTATTTAGATGTTATTTCATGCCTGAGCCATGAGGCATGAAATGGACGTCGACGCGGAAATCTTTCCCTCAAGACCCCAGCAGTTTGGTTTCTGTCGAGATGCTGGTAGGATAAATTGTGGTGAGCTTTGATTGGCCAGTGCTATCAGTCCTGTAGTTTATGGTTCAAGCAAAAGTATCCCCTGAGTGTGCTCAGCTAGATCTTGAGATAGCTTCCTAATTAGTTCAACCAATCGCATCTATGTTATTGGCACAGCCAGCTTTCCGTCCCTACGGTTTCAGCACCTCCTCCTGACAGTTTCCATTAGTAATCGATCCTCCACGGAATTACGTCGAGTCTCAATTTCGGGCCACGCTCAACTGCTAGCCCCTCACAATCGAATACGGCCTAGCAGCCTATGACCTACGTTGTTTTTTACCTTCAAACCTGCAGCCTCTATTTCCCCGATTCAATTTCCCAAATTGAGAAACGTAATTGACGATACGGTCTCTAATGAGTGGTTTGAATCCGTTCGAAGCTGTGAGTATTTCGCTATCAGTCAGAGTTCCTTGGGGTTTACTGGTTGAAGAAAAAAGGCAAAGTGTTGGAATCTCACTAATTACTGTAACGTAAAAGGCCTACTTTTCCTGAATCCCAAAGGCCCTAAAAATCCATTTTCCAACTTTTGTCGCATATTTAGGCTTCTGAACACTGATTAAAGTAGCCCCTTCGGCAGTGAACGAGGCAACCATCTTTGATTTTAGGGATAACTAGCTTTCACAAAAGAGTCACTGCTGTCTGCATGTAGTTCATCTTCAAGTGAAATGACATGACGCTAGTCAGCCCCACTAGGTTTTCTCCTCCATTGAAAAAGCCAGTGACAGGTGGCAGATGATATCAAAGGCTTTTCCGACCCATACTACCTGTCAAGAGAGCAGCAGGGCCATGGCAGACTGCTGAGACAATGGCTTGGCACCAGCAAACTCTTGGACTAATGTCAAGGAATTTAGATCACTATAAAAGTCAAAGGTCTCTAGATCGGGGGCTTACTTCCCGCATTCTGTTAGCTGTTTTTCACACAAACGCGTTGGCCAAGTACTACACAAGAAACAATTCCCCGTTTGAGCTGGTTTTGCATTTTGCGAGGTTTAATCGTTTCGGTCGTTCCGGTCGCTTCAATCGCTTCGGTCGTTAAAGGTTGCGATTACGCCGACATCCCCCGGCTCCTAAATCCGAACCAAACTCAGAAGTCAGCAATAGCCCATTCAGCGGACTTGAAGCATAATCCGTGGTTTGGACGGTGGCGTTACCGCTGGTGGCTCTAGGAAAGGCTCATAATTAGCCATAGATATTGGCGCTGGTCCCCACAGAGAAATCAACATAAAAGGTGACTCCTCTCCATATGAGCAGCTGAATCATTTCGAGGGGAAATCACTCGTGACTCAATTAAAAGTCATAAATTTGCAAAATGGGCGTTCCTCACTTCTTCAAAGCTGCAGTGGTTAACGAGCCAAAGGTCCAGGCTCTCCTTTCCAATCGCTCCTTGGAAGATTTGGAATCAGGCCAAGTTGGTATCAAAATCACCGCTACTGCCGTCAATCCGGTCGATTGGAAGATGCGCGATTATGATGCATTCATTACTAAGTATCCAGCCGTCTTAGGCTCAGATGCTGCTGGGGTTATTGTAGCCATCGGATCTGACGTGCGTGATCTCGCAATTGGCGACCGCGTTTTTTTCCAAGGAATTATTGGCAACTATGATTCATCCACATTCCAACAATACTGCAAGATGCCAGCGGCTCTTGTCTCCAAGACTCCAAGAACCACTAGCGACGAAGAGGCTGCGGGCATCAGTCTAGCTACAATGGCAGCAGTCACTGCTTTCTACGACGAGAATGGCCATGGGTTGACCCCTCCGTGGAAAAAAGGAGGCAACGAAGCTGGGAAAGGAAGAGCGATAGCGATAATTGGCGGTGCATCATCGGTTGGCCAGTACGCAATTCAGCTAGCCAGGATATCTGGCTTCGAAAGAATCATAACCAATGCAAGCACTACAAACCACCACTTCCTCAAAGAGCTTGGTGCCCATGTCGTGCTTGATCGAGACCATTCGAGTCCTGAAGACTTTGCAGCCGGGGTTGGGAAGTACCCTTTGGAGTTCGTCTTCGATGCCATCTCGATGAAGTCCACACAGGTTCTGGGTGTCCAAATAATTCAGGCTACAAAAACAGAAAATAGCCATGTTGTGACTGTACATGTGGTTCATCCAGTGAGCGTTGATGCAGATGCTGTGGCGCTAGGGCAATCGAAACACCCGGGAGTGGAAATCAAGCAGGTCTTGGGTATCGGTAGTTCTCCAAAATTGCGTTACCTGAGCGAGCCTCTGATGAAGGCTCTTGGCGGAGAGAATGGTTACATTGCGAAGAATATTTTCATACCTAACCGGCCGCTTCTGGTTTCGGGGGGCTTGGGGGCGGTCGAAGAAGCGCTTGCATTGAACAAGAAAGGAGTTTCGGGCAGGAAGGTTGTCTTTCGTCCTTTTGATTAGTCCCTAAGTTAGATCCATGATTGTTCGCTATTGATCCTTGTTTGTAGCTTAGTCGGTCAAAAAAGCCGTTCATCAAGCGTCTGGGTTCTCTGCGATGAGTCATATGGGGGGTAGGCGAAGGGGAGATGGTGACTTTTCAAGAATGTATCGCCATTGCAACTGGTGTAGATAGTTCGCGGTCTATAATAGCCTTAGGGAAAATTTCACAGTTGAAGGTTCTGGAGCCAGAGTCGACAACCGACTTTGCCTATGTACATTCAGGAATAATGTTCCTGAACGGAACTGTGTAAACAATCTCTGCTTGTCTGTAAAATATTTAACTGGAAGGCATATGCTCCGCGCACATCTACTCTGAAGTAAATAAGTAGAGAAAAGGGAGACGAATGCGGAAAAGGGGTCATTGGAGAATATTGCCTAGAATCCATATTGATAACTGTCGAAATTTAGATGTACGACGGTCCTACATGGAATTGTAATCCACATAGAAATAAATCTCTGATTCAGATAAATCTAGGAATGCCCGACAATTTAGGAGGCGTACTAACTAATAAATGACTAAGACACAATAACGATATTGATGAGGGGTAAAATCTCTGTATATGACCTGTAGAAATTTCAATTCTTGATAATAACTTTACTATAGTTTAAGCTTGAGTGCGCTTAAAAGATCTGGTTATCTCTCAAAGAGCAGAAGAGCAGAGAGCATGTAAGCTGTGTTCAGATTGATCACTATGCATGAAGAATATACATCACGTCGCAGTGATTTTTCCTACAGTCTGACGATTCTTTGACCGATAACAGTTCCAATCCACCGGGTGGGCGTCGCATCGGTGAAGTTCTTAACGTCATCCGCCAGCTCTTCCACAAATTCCGCGTTTTTTAGAGCTTCCATATCTTTCCAAATTAACGTGGTTTGCACATGGTAATTTGTGCTGTTTTGCCCAGTTGTGACTGTCCAAGCCTGTAAACCTTGAGAACACCAACGTTTCTCAACAAGCGGAATGTGAGTGTTGAGGTAGTATTCCATATCAAAGTTGGAAGCAGCAGACGTCGGATATATCACCTGCATGACGACTTGCTGAGGTGACATTTGTGACGAGCGGGCAGCCATTGCGGTGCTTGTAGAAAATGGATAGTATTAAGTAAATATTGATCGGAAGATCGAGAGAGCGAGTTATCGAGGTCGAAAAATTCTAGCTATGTGAAAGAGCCGGTGGTGAAATGTGAGTGAGGTTCGATATATTCAGGAATTAATGCTGGCTTGGAATGGAGTAGACTTTATATCTATTTCGCCCTGAAGACTAGCTGTGGTCTACTACAGGTTATATAACCACAAGCCTATATAGATCCATTAGAGTTAACGCGATCGCCTCACCTCATGGCACAGGCGAGTTAAGCGATCGAAGCGGAAGCGAAATAACCGGAAGTATCCGATTGGCCAATTCCTGTCCTAAGTGACCTCATCTCTTGGCATTACTAAATGGGTATATCGTCACTCGGGGGAAGACACATGAGAGAAGGGAATCGGTCCGTTGCTCAAAAATATATAAATAACCCTCATTGCCGAGGTTTCCTCAAAAAGGAATTTAAGTTGTGCCTCACTGCTATCGTCAATAAACAGCTACCTCCAACTCCATTCAGTCCAGCTCAAATCTTATACGAAGACGATGACGTCCGTTTCCACCGCTGACAAGACCAAGCCCTACCTTCCTTTGGCTGGGGCTAGCCAGGATGGCTGGTCTAATGGACAGCGAGCAACAGCGACATGCTTTTGTGGAGCCGTGCAGCTGAGCTTTGTTCGTACTGCCTTTAATATGATTATCGCACATTATCCGATTCTAATATCCATTCTAGCCCACCAGCGGACCAGGCTTGGTCGATACTTTCCTCTGCAATTGCACTGACTGTCGCAAAATCACTGCTTCCATGTTTGCCTCCAACTTTACAATTGACGATGAATATCTCACCCATGAGCGTGGCCGCGACAACTTATCAAAATACAGTCAGTCCAAGTCTATTGGGACTGACAATACGATGACCAACTACTTTTGTTCCACATGCGGCTCCCTTATGTACCGTATCGGTACGGGTTTCCCCGGGAAAAGTATTCTGCGCCTGGGCACGGTTGATGATTTCAATCTGAGCGAGACCCAGCTGAAGCCTCGAATCGAACAGTTCGTTAAGGATCGCGTGGCGTGGCTACATGGTGCGGATGGTGTTGAACAAGTTCAAGGGTATGCCTATGCATAAGTTCTTTTCTTGAGACAGCAGTTTTGGATGTCTGGGATGACCGACCATCTAATGTAAACCAAACAATAAAATAAAACAAGGAACAAAAGAATTTGAATAGAATGGGTGAGAGGGGCGAGCCCTGCACTAGTCCTGCGTTGTCTAGCGTCGTGACCTCGGTAGGGAAGTCATCAAATCCTAAGCTTGCGAAGCGATCGCTCATGAAGCTTGCAATCCACTTTCTAGCGACGGCTGGAATTTACTTTACTCGGAGGCGGATGTAGAAGCTGATTCGGTTGACTCCATTGAAGATTCCTTCCAGAGCGAACACGATGAGTGTGACTACTCAATTTTATACCAAGCTCGGTCGATCGCGCAAGGAAGGACTAGCAGAGCTTGTTCTGTGGTCTTGCCCGGCCACCCACCGAATTATGTATCGGGTAGCAGGCCGTGCTTTAGCGAGACTTGGATCTCCTAATGTGTCGTGTAGTTCCGGGAAATTCCACCTAGGCTCACTAGAGCAAGATGTGAGATCTACTGAAAGAGGAGAAGACAGAACAAACGACCTCGAGGAACAACAGAAGTTGTCTCTAAGAAGAAAGAAGTTATTTTGGAATGTTGTTTGTGTGCAGTCCTAATCATAAGGCTTTTTTCAAGGTGTACTCTGCGATTGACCACACATGGAAGAATTGTTTCTGTACTGAACTGTCCATTTCCCCTAAATATAAGATTAGGTACCAAATTATGGCTTAAGCCAAATTCGTTTCAGAGTCTTGACAGCAAGATATTGTAATCAAAGATGATGGCCAGTCTTTTCGACTGCTTTCTGATAAGCACCCCGCTTTTCAACGTTCTCAAGCCATTTGTTGATTCTCGGCCACGATTTCCCTTCCAAGCCTAAGTCACTGGCGATTATGAATTGACAAGAGAATGCCAACATCGTATCAGCTGCTGTCACATCATCACCTAAGAGAAATGGCCCGCCAGTGTTAGCAAGTTCGGATTCAAGCCAGTCGAAATCTTTCTGAACAGGAACCGCGAGTTTAGATTCGATTTCGTCAAGCCCGTTCTTTTTTACCGACTCTGGACAGGCAGGGCGAAGAGTCCAAATGGCCAGACCGTGCATGAGGAAGGTTCCCTCGGCAGCCCACATGTATTCTCTAACTTTGCTCCTCTTGGCTGGATCAAGGGGCATCAATCGATGCTGAGTGTCATACTTTTCAACAAGGTATCTTAATATATATTAGCAATCTTTGGCACAGGTCAGACAGTCGCAAATATGTACTCAGTAATTGCTCCAGATTCACCAACCACCAGATTCCCGTCTTTAATGGCTGGTGATTTTCCTAGCGATGTTGGTACAGCCAAGGAGGCCGGAACTGAAAGATCGGGATTGCGATCCGCGGATTTTAAGTCGTACTCGACATTCAATTCCTCAAGTAACCAAGCAATACGAAATGCTCTGGAAGTTTGTAGAAAATAAAAGGTAAGCATCGTGTTCAAAACTGAACTGAGGTGCAGATATAATATGATTCTTTGCAAAATTCTCGCAACTGGCAAGGTGCGATATTGTCGGTATTTATTGCGCATATCGTCAACTAAAAAACATTTCATTAGCGACAATATTTGTAAATTGAGTCAGAATTGGCACCTTACCTGAGGTTTGAATGAGATAACGTAAGATTTTACTTATAGGTAAGCAACGTTAGTTAACGTTAGTTAACTAACTTTAATTAGTTAATTTAACTATATTACTTCATCTTCCCTCTCGTAATCAAGTAATACTACGGGTTCCCGTTGAGCGTGGTTCAAAGGGTCACATGCTCGAACCACGCTCAGATTGTTTTCGAACCACGCTCACCTACAACCCCAAATAGAAACACCACACTGTACGTAACTTAACTATTCATGATGAGTCAGCGTGAAAAAGCTGTCCTGAGTAAAAGAAATGGTGTCCCCATCATACGGGATCGCGTGACTCCGAAGGCAATTAAAGTTACGTTAATTGCTTACACCATAATCGAAAAGATCATCACAAACCTAAACTGGAGGCTTTCTCCTATTTCTGATTAGCGATGTCCCTGTGCGTTCATTAGCAAATACTTGACTCATTGCCGCCATTTATGACCTGTCGTACTACGCCCTCGGGCGGGAAACAAACGTTCGAGTAGAAATAGGTCAATTGCCCCATGTTTTGCGAGGATTGACTATTTGCATATATCTACTATCTTCAGTATATTTCAACATGGCTAACAGCGATGAAGTGTCGATTCTAGCTATCATCAGCCCCAAACGGGGCAGAATCGATGAAGTATGTTCGACGTTAGAATCGGATCTTTTCGTCGAAATGAGAACCATGAACAATGTACTAACTTCGGACTAGGTACTCGAATTGATCAAAGACCCCCTTGTCGCGGGAGTAAAGGCGATTGAACCAGATTGTATCTCTTTTCATGCAAATCGGGCGACAGACGAGCATCCCGACGAAGAGGAAATATTTATGATTGAGAGGTATGCTTAAATAATCTGGGAAGCAAAAAAAAAGCTAATTTGAATATTAGATTTGTGAATTCCGATGCGATTGCGTTTCATCAAAAAAATCCCGCGTTCTTGGCTTTTGCCAAGGCTTTGGAGGAGAAAGAGCTACTACGGAAGCCCCTGTACATCAAGATCGTGAAACCCGTGGCAGGATTTCTCAGAAACTAGCACAAAAGGAATAATTCGAACCCTCCAGGTTTAATTATCCTATCTTCGCGGGAGCGAAATCACTTGACAGTGGATGCTTAGAGTCTTACCTATAGGTATCACCAGCGGTGTAGGCAAGACTTTTCGAAAATATGAAATTCATGTAACTCAAAAACTCAAGTCTGTTTTCAATTATTTGTATTTCGATACGAGCAAAACTAAAACCGGCGCGTACTCAATTTGTTTTACCAGACTAATTTGGAGAAGCTCAGAGGGTTGACGTAATAACTCATTACGTATTTAGTTAAATATCTGACAAATTATCAAAGCTGTAAGTTGTCTAGATCTGGTACTCGGACACCTTTTTCATCCACAGGTTGTTTAAATTTCGCCATATGGCCATTTCAAATTCTTTCAATATTTTTTTTTTCGCATTAACGATTCGAGTTATAACTTTTATCATACATAAGCACACAAACACAGTTATCTAGAACTACCAAAATGAGTCAGCCGATTGAATTCTTCTCTCACAGTGAGTAATTAGCCTGTCAGGAAGAAGTATTTGAGCTGACTGAATGATAGAGCAGGGTCCGAACCCTTGGAAGACTGTGCTGATCTTTGAGGAACTCGACATTCCGTACAAAACAACTTATCTCGACTTTGGAAGCTCAAAGGGCGGTGTAGAACACGAGGAGTTCCTTCAAAAAAACCCGGCTGGTCGAGTACCGCTTATTATTGATCCGAAAACTGGTGAATTATAGAACAGAGACAATAAGTACTCGAAACTAACTCGTACTACGCTAGGCCTCGCTCTAACTGAATCAAACGCAATTGACCAGTATTTGGCTGACCGCTACGATAAGAAAAAGATGTTTGCAGTGAAAAATGAATTGGACGAATATCGCGTGAATCAGTGGCTAGGTTTCCAGTCCAGCACACAAGCTCCATTCGGTGCTCAGGTAAATGACCATTGCGACCTAATGCACATATCTTTTAACAATTGATAGGCTATCCAACTACGCAACAAAAACAATATTGAAGGAGCAGCCCATTTCCATGGGCTAGTGAAACGCACGCTGCGAACTCTAGACGAGGAGCTAAAAGACAAGAACTATCTTGTTGCCAACAAGGTTACTTTAGCCGATCTTGCTTTCGTACCTTGGGACTTGATCTTGGATGTCGTCTTGCAAGGAGATAAGGAAGCTGGAACAGCTGATCAAAGAAAGAAGCTGTTTCCGAACTGGTATAACTGGCATTCGAGAATGCTAGAGCGGCCAGCTGTGCAAAGGATGATCGCAACACAGAGAACCGTCAACGCTGCAGCGAATTGATTTCACACCACGTTGTGGAATTCTTTTGCTTTAGTCCGCATCAACCTGTTGGTTTGCTTATAACATTGCTGATTTGAGGGATTAAAAGGTTCTTATCTTCAGTCGTTGTTCAATATCAAGTTATTTGAACAACGACGAATCTTGAATGATATCTGGTTTTATTTGCAAGAGAGCTTTAAAAACATAATAGACTTGTCTAAGAAGAACTCTACATATAGTCTGCTTAAGGCAAAATCTTTTTTGCATATTCGTCTTTTACTTCACAGCTCCTATTGTCCTTGGCCATTGATCTTTGTATACCAGATCTTAAACCTTCAGTCACCATGTACACCCGTTTTTTATTCTATCACTATCTACCTGCTTCAAAAGGAGGACTTGCCCAAAAACACTGCCAGTAGTCGTTCCCCGAGATCAGAAGCATATTGCAATTATGTCCGAGTTGAGCCAGCGGAAATTGAACAAAGCAAGCGAGAGTAAAATCACCAATCTGACTCAGAAGTCGAAGATGAATCATTCTACTGCGATATATCTCGTCCGATGGTGACTTTTCTTAACGGAGAATCAGATAAAGTTTGAAATACCCTGACACGAATTCCAACAGATATGCACGTGACGAGAGTGCTGTTTGTAATACCACTTGTGAAAAGTTTCATGACTGTAAATCACATAAGCTAACGTTATGTTAGATGCATTAGATAATGCATTACTCTAGTTTCAGTCATGAGAAGCTTTAGCAAATTAGCGGTTAGCATCACTCACGGCGCCAGTAACTAGCGTTAACAAATGTCTTGCCCTCGTGACTTATAGCATCATTATAGAAAGCCCTAATTTTCCGTATGTCTTATGTTCAATTATTACTATCTATGAAATTTGTACGCGTTGTACTTCCAAATTACTTTATTGATCTCCTACAATAACGTTATGACAATTGAAGAGCAAAATAAAGCAATCGTCGCCAAATATTTTGACGAGTACTGGGCCAAAGGAAATGTATCAATTGTCGATGACCTTTGCTCGGATGACTTTTTGATGGTCTATCCTAATCACGGCCCACGTCACGGTAAAGCAGGCGCCAAAAAAATGCTCTCTGAGTTTCGAGAGGTTCGTTCATTATGGCACAATGCACCTAATATTTTCAAAATTTGACAGCTAATGTAAACGATTCAGGCTTTTCCAGACCTAACTTTTCGAGCCTACGGATCCCCCATGATTGCCGAAGGCAACTATGTCGCCGCTCAGTGGATTGGTGGCGGTACACACACCGGTGTCGCTTTCGACGATCTCGTTGTAGGCAAACTGGCAAAGCCAAATTCTGGAAAAAAGATTCACTTTTCGGGGATAACCATTTTCACCCTTGAAAATGGAAAAATTACCCGAGAGATTGCGGAAGAAGGAGGACTCACTGTTTTGCAGCAACTGGGTTTAGTTTCGCAACCAAATCTGGGAAAAGAAATAAAGTATGACGCCAATGGAGACCAAATATATATCTAGAGGATCCATTTTAATGGCCGCTTCTTTCTCACCCGATTGTTAACTTACGATCATCATAAAATTACGGGGACGCGGTCGAAAATGTGAGATAAATTTGGTTTGGAAACATGAAAAACAGAAATCTGAAACGAAGCGCCATAGAATAGTATAAAATCCGATATATTTTAGATGTAATCAATTATTAATCATTGATAGAATCAATCTAGGCCGTGAAAATCGCGACTTGGTGCAGATCAATCATTGAGCTGCCCCTACTGGATGGAGGGCCTCCGTAATAAAGTGTATATACGGTATTGTAAATCTCTGGTAAAAGTACATTATGTGTTACTGTGTGGGGTGGAACTCCTGATCTGACCGCCATCAAGAAGGCAAGATACAGTATATGATCACGTTAAGGAAGGTTTTGCGCCGAGCATCCGCCATATATCTGCCTCCCAAAGTATAAATTAATTTGTCAGTCGCCGTCATTTTTCAGCACTCTGCCAGACAAATTACCCCACCTGTATCTCAGCCTAATATTAAGCACGAGCGAATGGATGGTCGCATAAATAGAGAGCGAGAGATCCTCAGTGCATCAGCAAAACATTTTATTCCTTCAACACTCATATCTGAATTCTATCCGTCTTATCCAAGCTATCATGGTGCTACAACTACGCCCAAATTGCGAATATTGTGACAGGGACCTGCCACCAGCATCAACAGAGGCACTAATATGTTCTTACGAATGCACCTTCTGCACCAATTGTGTGGAGACAAAACTAGCCGGCGTCTGTCCTAACTGCGGCGGCAACTTTACTCCACGGCCGATACGCCCATCGAAGGAATGGCGCACTGGCTTGTGCATAGCAAAGCAACCGCCTTCGGATACGCGTGTGCATTTGAAATGTAGCATTGAGGATGCTGCTGCGCTAACGGCAAGGATCAGCAAAATCAGACCACAAGACCGTTAGTCTCCATCTCAGATAGCGCTAGAAGCTTTCTGTTAGGGCTGCAGTTATTATCACTATACTCGTCCGACCTCAACTACCTCGAATTGCAGTGACTGGTCAATAGTGTGCATAAGGAGCTCTTTCGCACTATATAGTGTATATACCACCCTCCCTATAAGTGAAGTCGTTCTCGATTGTGAGCTTCTTGCTAATACGAAGCAAGTTACTCTATCTACATAGCTGCTTCTCTATTTACCGAGTGTAGATGTTGTACTTTAGGTGCGATCCAACGCGCATTTGAAGGGGAGACATCCGTCAGTAATTGCCCATGAAAGTGATTTTTGTAAGATAAGATACGGCTGAGGCTGAGTCACAAAGCATGAATGGAGGCCATTGGCTAGAATGTACATGTCTGCCGAATAGATACGTAATATGTAAGTGGGTAGCGCATGCAAAACGAGCGCAGCGGTTCTCGAAACGTCATATTAGACGTGAAAAAATGCTAACAGTACCGCGTAATATCTGACATTTAGGTGTTGATCATCGAGATGCTGACGCGATGTGTAATTATAACTTACTATAACACAAAATAGAACGCTTAAGAAGTAAGTTAACTAACCAAGCTTGGGTAACTTCTTAGCTAATATCACGTAATCTATATTAGTTCTGTTGTGTCACTATGATGACTATATGTAAGACAACATATAATCTAAAAGGAAAAACGTTGTCGTGACGAGAACAATACAATGACTCAGAAGAAGCGAGATCGTATTTCAATCGAGATCTATTCAGGTCATCCTCGGGTTGAACCCAAAAACAAAAAAAAAAAAAAGAATTTAGCTACTTTTTGCAACCCTCGATAATCACCAAGCTGCTCGCTATCCATAATGGTCACCAATGAGAGTTTCAAGGCAAGCCAAATGAATAGTGCCTCAGATGTCACGTATACTGACCAACCAGTTTATCAGTTCACCATCTACACTTCTACGGCTTCACAGTGGGCTTATGTTCCTCAGCTTGCGCTAGTACAGGAGGGATACAATCCATCAGAGTATGACTCGCAACATATCGATCTTGGTATGGTTGGCGATTTTGTTTTTGTTTTGAAGAATCCTCTTTGGATCATTAGTTGAGCGCTAACGTAGCGGACATAGTTGGCGGAGAGAATTTTAATCCTGATTATCTGAAAATTAATCCGAACGGGACAATTCCATCATTGACATCGCCAGCTCTTCAGAGGCCTTTGATCGAAAGCGTGGATATCCTAGAGTATCTTGACTCTTTCCGACGTGAAAAATTTCCGTTATTTCCAACCAACGCCGAACAGCGGAGTAGGGTCAATGACCTGATTGCACATGTCCACCAAGAGAAGCTCTCTACAAATCTCATCCTTCTAAAAGCGCGCGATCTATCAGAGCTCAACGCAAAAAGGGCTAGTCTTTGGAACGATTTTCTCGTCAATCGACAGAAGAAACTCATTAAATACGGTGCTGCTCACCCAGAAATACCACTATATCAGATTCGTATTCAAGAGAACGGTAAACTGTATGATATTTATAAGAATCAGAAAGGAGGAACAGCACTTGATCAGTTTTTCAGTGATTCGGAGCATGACTATCAAGTTTTCGCAACTGGACTTGATAAACTCGACACAATGCTCATTCTGCCTTATGCTGTCGGTGACAACGTCACTGCTGCCGACTTACATGTCGTGCCATGGTTAGCGCATGCACTGTGGGGGGCAGGAGGGAGCCAGGTTTACGACTTCAATCCTTTGGAGAAACTGATACAGAAATCAGTGCCACAATTTTGTTTTGGAGAGAAGACCAAGGCTTGGTGGCAAAATATTTCGAAAACGAATGCGTTCAGAAAGAATTATCCCGCTTTACATTGAAAGCAGTGTGATATGTGACTGCTTCTACGACTTCCCAACATGTAGCCAGGTCCAATATTCTCATGTAATTTATAACTTAATAAACACATTCAATGTACGAATTCTGGTTGAATAAATAGAACGAAGCGATTTTAGTTCGTACGATTTTCTCTCCGCTCAACATAATGCAGTAGCTATTTTAATGTCACTATTTACTAACATATCTTATTCACATCACTAGAAAGAGGAAAGAACAATGCCAAAACCTGATCTTCATGAACGAAAATGCATCACACTATCAGCAACGGCTGAACTTTAGGCGTTATATTCAACCATGAACTGTGATGGAAGGAACAGGTGCGACAGGCCGTCACACGAGCCACCAAGATCAACACCAGGGGGTAAGGTCGCTGCAACAATTTCGGCCCGTGCAGATACTACAGCCGTACAAAATGTGCGCCGCACCCGTCGCTAAATACGCGTCAACAATCTGGCATGAACCACTCTGAGATATGATTCATCTATGATAGCTATACAGCATTCAGCGAACAGCATTCATCGAGCTCCTTTCTGCCTTTCGGACAGTGGCTACATCTATATTCGACGTTGAGGCGCAGCTTCTCCCAATACATCTTCGACTCCAGGACAAGCCACCATAACCAGACCTTTAATGAACCTTCGGATGATGTTGTAGAAGCTTTGGTCCACACGTCGGGGAAAGCTATTGTTCAGACTGTGCCCATAGCTTATTAGGTTGACAGCGTTTGCAAGGTCGATAACCGGCAGCACGAGCAGCACTCGGCTTGTTGAAAAATTGTATATTCTCGAGTTTGGGCAGTCTTGACGGACATCCGATTCGACAATATATTCCAGTCGTCTTTATGGCGTATAGCGGGGAAGAAGGCGACAGATGGTATTCCAGACGATTCAAGATTTTTGTTCGTCCATCGTTACCACTGAACATCTTGTAGGCTCGAGAAGCCATCTTAGCTATGAATAGGCAAACACAAAATGTTTTGCACAAGATGCATATAGAACGGTTTATGTAGGAATTATTGGGCAGGATTCGTTGGTCTCTGGGGGACTATATATATTTCAAAAGCTTGGTACCGCCGCATTGTCATTGGCTACTTTGAATGCATATCCGCCATAGACAATTTTTCGACTCACTTTTTTACCAGTGGACCCAACACAACTACATTTTTTAAATACACCGATGACATACGCTGTTAATGTTACGGATTCTGGGTTCAAACATGCGCGCGAAATGGTACTCTCTAAGTCAATCAATGCTCTAATCACCGTTTCACCTCACCGTTTCACCTCACCGTTTCACCCAGGCTTTACACCTGAAATAGATATCAACTAAAGATCAACAAGCGCAAATCTGTGTGCGGGAGACCTCCGAGTCATCGCAGCAGACAAAAAGGAGAGGGGAGCTCCTGCAGCGCATGCAGCGTGCGCAATATAATTCTCAGTGGCTGCGTCAATTTGAAATGTTCCAGTATGACTCGTCAATTTGCATACGGGCACCTTACTAGATGAGCTAGCGGTGGCAGAAGTACTGGCGGATTTCTGACATTCTGAGTATTGCTTCAAGCTTCTAGGTCTTCTCTGCAGTCTAAGGAAGTCTCTAGAGCTCTGGTTGCATGAGGCCTGAAAGGTATTGGCTATCAATCGCTTTCGTATTGTCCAAGTGAATCTCTGTTTATTTGTAATAGATATCATTGTTGTTTCTCGCGTACGATATCAGTTACGGATAACATTTTAAGCAACATATCTTTCCAAATCGACTAATTTATAAATTGCCGTCCATAAGATCTCTAGGGTGTCTTAGTGAGACAAATAAGTTCGAATCACATAGTGCAGTTTATCTGGTGTTGATGTCTCAGATGCTCTGCATATTCGCAATCATTCTGCGCCAAATTGCTTGGAATCCCTCAGTAAACTGACTAGGAATGATGAAGTAGATTTTGACCAATTCTTCAATGTTTTTGAATGATTTCATCCCCAACAGCAACGTCAGCCTTCGAAGGTGGCCCAAGAAGAAAGACTCATTGTCTTGATCCGTGCTAATGTCTGCGCCCACAAATAAAATCCAAACGAACAATCTGGCTTCAGGCCCTTCACAATTTAATGGCAAAGCACGTTCAAGTAATGATCGAAGGCGCGTTGATAGCCCTCGGAGTAGTAGTGTTGCTGGGTGCCGTTTAAAGGTTCGAATATAACAGAAGATCAAGACTGCTAGTGCAACTGATCTCTGCTTGGATTTGAATGTACTCGTCGAACTTTGTGATGACAGTAGATGAAGATTCTTTTGGACTGTATAATATCCAATGCAAAATGACTCGAGTTCTTCTTCCGTCGAGTTGTCTTCGCAAATATCATTCTGGCACATCTCATGAAAATCGTTTAGTAGTCTTAAATCAGTTAAAATTGAAACTAATCTTTGACCTAGCGTTTGCTGCAAAATTGGATCAGCAAATGCAAGCCCAGATTGCATAGGAATTGGTAACGTCTTCTTAATCGTCAAAGGGGTAGGATCCCAAGGAGAAAGTGGTATTTCATGCGTGTTGTCGTTGATAAGCGCTGAACCCATCTGCCAAGCGCTGATATGTGTCAAAAATAGTGAGATCCTGGTTAAAGACCAAGTTTTGTTTGAACCTTACCGAATAACGAGGTCTATGATAAAAGGCGGCAGTTTGTTTAAGCCTCCACGTAGAAATATCAAGGCTTTCAGACCCCGCAAGTTTGTTGCTATTCCGTCCATGTCTCCATCCAAGAGCTTTCTGATATCAACGCTATGGCAAACAAATCGTCGGATGATTGCGTACCTCTACTGCCAATAGATTCACAACGCCATAAATTGTCTGGGTTGTAGTTGCTTTTGTTCTGCAAGACATGCAAGCATTTAGCTTCTCAATTGCCTTTGCTTTGTAAAAAAGCTGCCAGTATTCGGCCGACAGAGTACTCTAAAATCTTTAGAAACCCGAAGTTTCCGAACATTCAGATAGATCCCTTTTACCTTCAAGATCCCGCTGGATTGTTCGCCAGTCAAATTCAACAAAGCGGCGGAATAGCTTATGAGTCCATACAATGCTGTAGGCTCAACAAAACATTGACGCATAACCCAGTCAGAATGGCGTGAGGCGAAGGGGCGGATAGGAAACACATTTTTGTTGCGACAGTCAAAGACTATCCCGGTTATTATCTACTTCCATATTGCAGCAGTGATCATTTTAGAACCAATACACTACTTACAAAACTCTAAGAGAATTGCAGCTCTTTCTGAAAGTTCACAACTAACAGCAGAGTATATTTGTTGGGGTAGTTTGGGAGCACCTAAAATGGATAGATGGTTGCGATTGGAGGAACATGGCGTTGCTGCAGATGCAGAATTGTATGCAGAGAATGGCCGCTCTTTGTAGATTTCGATATCCTCTATATATATGTATGTTAGTGGATTGATGTGCAGTGTTCGCTTTTGAATATCAAGGAAAGATTGAAAGACTCAGAAATGGAGCAAAGGGTTTCTTACCGTTATTTCCTAACGCCATCATGGACAATTCATCCCGCTGCTGGTTGGAACTTTTGTTACAAATCGGTGCTTTAGCGTTTGACACTCCTCCATTTATCATGTGCCTTTTTCCTCTTCGAAATTGCTGAACATGTGCGCGCTTTCTGGAATTGTAACTATTGTGAAAGTCATCCTGCGCTTCCTGGCTAATGAATAAGTAATTTGATTCTATCATCGGATGTTAATATCGCGTAGTACTAGATCGTTAAATATGCTCACCGCTAGTATTAGATTGTGCCCCTGGATGTTCTTCGATGAATATCGCGGGGCTTTCGTCTTCCCTCATTGTACTGCGCGATTTGTTTGATCGACTTTTTATTTCCCGGAAAACTGCAGGAGAAAAGTGCGATATTTATTTCTGACACAGAAATTACTCACTAGCGGAGTGATTTACCTACCTTGGAACTTGCGTCTGTGGATCTATGGATCGATGGGTCTTGACATCAATCTATCGAATTATAACTACCCGTCCTAGCAGTCGAGCCCTTACCGCATGCTGCGGAAGTGGCGAGCCTCGACTATACTAGGGTCAAATTCTATTAAGATACTGAAAACATACTAGCCGTTTTCAGTATTTAGCAGCGCGAGAGCACGATTAGTCTCCACTGGTCTTCGCTGGCCTCGCCAAATTCCAACTAACTTTCATTTAATCCATGGTTGTCACAAATTCGCGGAACTACAACACTATAGAAAAAACGTGATTTAAAGGTGTCATCTCCAGTGTTAATCAGGGAGTGTGATCTGAGTTGTAAAGCAGATGTAGAAGATGAAAGATCAGCTAGGTTACTACAGTCGCAAAAATGAATTTTGATCAATGACCATCTATAGACACACCATGCGTGCTTTTCTACGATGACCGCAATCCCTCCGTCCATCCAATGAAATGACGACAAGCGGAGTAATTTTCTGAGCACTGCGCCACGCTCTCACACAGTGAAATAACACAGGCGTAAAAATATGTTACGAAGCGATCGCGACTCTCGGTTGGCAGTTCTTAATGTGGGTCACGACCCAGTATTATAGATACGGGTCCAACCCTAATATACGACATTAGGGTTAAGAATAAAACCGATAGTACAGGTAATCCAGCAAGATGAAACCTGGATGGACGTTTGAATTCATAATGAGCCTTACACCCGGCTTCCTAATCATCCCCGAGCTCCGTCGCCTTGGCGTCGCACGTATCAGTGTTGGACCGGGGATCTATCTTGCGGCGATGAAAACCCTCTCTGACATTGTTGACTCTATGCTTAATGCATCATCGTTTTATTTATATTAAAAGCAGAAACATTTTAATCACCAATTCAGATTATATCGTTAAAAGGTACGGCATTTATGATTCATATATAGACGTCCGGGGCACCCTTATCTTGACCAAACATTGCGACGAGCGGACTGATGAAACACACTGTGCGGCAATATTGAAGTACAGACATTCGGCAGGCGATCCTCTGCAACTAGCGCTCCAGATAGGATTTGGTTTCGGTAGATATTTTACCGGTTCGAATTTTATTGAAGAAGACATCAGTCCACGACCATAAGCAGTAGTGACTGACTTTACGAAGTATTGAACGACTGCTTGTTTAGGAAATTCTCGTTGTATTAAGTCGATTATGGGCCATATCTCTCTACTGGTAGAAGGCTGCGCAATGGCGAGACACACATCCGGATGGAGGGCACGGGACATGTCACCACCAGAGAGATTCGTCAGCATACCGACCAGCTGAAGGAAAACTTAAAAGGAAATCTTACCCATCAGATCACTCTCACTGAATCAACTAAAGCAGAATTGTCGGAGGCCAAGAGCAAACAAAACGCGTTCTAAATCCAAAATAACAAGCTCCACGGGGATATTTACAATCTCGGAATGCAGATCAGGCAATTCCCAATAGCACATTATCGAGATCCTGGGCTCCGGAAGTAATCCAGATCAGCAATTAACGCCCTGCTGGATTCAAGATATTGACCGCAACAGCTACAACGGCTTCGGCTTGAATACTTGTGGTATCGAAATATACAATTTTTATCTTGCCACAAAATCACAACCTAGCAAAAAATAGACAGTAATAGCTTATGGTTGTTGATAAAAGGTTACACATACTTACCATGTGTTTGGGTTTGATCGGTTAGCTTATGTGGCGGAACCGCTTGTGAGATAGGCTAACGGAAATAGCTATCATATCTTAAATGATCTGTAAAAGTTTATCCAATCGGTTCTCTGGTAGATGTGTCATCTACAAATTGATATCTCGGGGGCGGTAGTCCGCAGTGAATGGTAAAGCAGCGAGACAAGCTTGTCGACAAGAGAGTTTCGGCAGCGTAGGCTGCATACCCCACATTTAACCCCGAGCCAAGTGCGTAGCCAATGAAATCGCAATTTGTCCAGAAGTGAAGCCCAAAACACAGTGGAGAAAATTCCATGACTTGATTGACTTAGAGAAGCTGTGTTGTTCGCCTGAGCCATTCTTCATAGTATTTATTTTAGTATCCAGGTAGAGGCCGACTTTCCAAATAAATAAATTTATTTTTTTCACTTTGTTTCATTACTCTAGCAGTCTGATGGAATTGGCCCCGGACAGACCATTCCATTGCTCCAAAATTTCATCATGTGAGAACACATGACACACAGAGAGCTTCGTCGTGAGTTCAAATTCGGACACAGGCAGTAGGATGACAAAGACCGCTCGAGTTCGCAGTTCTGTTCTCGAAGATGGCCCAGCTGCTCTTCTAATTCCTGCACGTGTTTTTCCAAGGATTCTGTGTACTGTTGCTTCCGCTGGCGAAATGTCTTTTGCCTAAGCGAAATATTAGCGGTGTTTTTCCTCCCTCGGCATCGCAATACACACGCTAATCGGTTTTGAATCCTTTTTTTTTCCAGACTCGTGGTTTCATTGACATTTTGATATGTGACTGTCTGCTTTTGAATCTGGGAAGCTTGCCATTTCTTCTTCGCTTTGGCTGCAATGAGGGACACATTTTCAGTCGAATTTTTCTGCGCCGGACGGGCCTTGCTACAGCTCTCAACCTGAGTGGTGTTTCTGCGAAATATCAGAATTGGTCACTTTTGTTGCTTATGTATGAAAGCAAAACTGTGGCTATTTGCTCACTTTGGCGGGGCCTTCGGATCTGTAGGAGAGCTCGCTTTTGGAGTTTCAGATTTGTGACCGACGTCGGATATCGCTGTGGTGAGGAATGATTGATCTGTGATAAGATTAAAAGGATCTTTATTGTCCTTGAGGCAGTTCAGCGATCATGCATCGTTTGCATTTAATAAACAGGATTCCTAACATTCTGGTTGTATGGTAACCAAGAGTCGACAGGCTGCGGCGGTAGCCAAAACATGGGATTATTCATTTGACTTATTTCCATGGCGGAAGATACTCGTTTCCAGAGGGATCGACAAGAAATGGGCATTGTGTATTTGAAACCCGCACGGGCTCATTTATATGGTCCTGATACTGCACATGGTCCATGGGGCGAAAGATCCGTCCGGCAACGTCTAGGTCTATTTCAAAGTCTCGCCAGATCGACGAGTCATCTTGCTGTAAAATCAATACAGCATACCTAGGTTCAATCTCGAAATGAACAGCCAAGAAATCCGATTGGGGTTGATTTCTATCTTGCTCGAAGGGCGAAAACCCAAAAACCACAAAAGCAACGCTGCTGTCGTCGTTGTGACCAATGAGATTTACATATAAAATAGCTCCAGCTCTTCTTTTCCCGAAGCTATCCTGATGTGGAGATAGACCCAGCCGGCGGTACCAATACGGGATCTTAACCGAAAACGTCCCACTCATTTGGGTGGCGTTCTGGTCCACACGTCTCTCCAAAGTTTGTATCGTCGACCTGATCCTGGACTCCGAATTAGCGATAAACTCAGCCTAGCCTCCATTCAGTAAATGCTTCCAAATGTGCGTAGCTTAGCTTTTTGCTTTCCCCACAAATTTGTCACATGACGTAACCAACAATTTTGTTTGTCTACTGCTCCTCACTCAACACAAGAGATGAACAAGCAACATCATATGAATATTTAACTTCGTTTGAAGCGCATTTCGGAAAGCGACTGTTCTACATTAAACATAAGCATTGATTATATGACATGGCGGATTCGTTTTTAAATTTCAAGTTGCGACGACTCTTTGAATATGTTCTTCGTTGTCAGATCTAGCGACCGTTGAAATGCATTACACCCTCATCTTAAAACTAAATTTTGCAAGGCAAATATATGTTAAGGCGTAACCAACCCTTTATGACCCATAGCGTCGGTCAGACTTGCTGTCAGTCGCGAACCACGTCACCTTAAAGACTAGAACTTAAATCAAATGAAACTCAATATACTACATACAACGATGACACGGTGAATGGGAGGCCAGAAACGGCCGCTTTTGACGCCGCCGCTCACTCTTCACGTTGGCCGTGCCAGGTGCCTGGACTCATTGCTCGACCGATGTCCATTCGTGCCGCAGCCGTCGCAGCGCCCCATCTTCGCTCACCCTCAGTCACCCTCCGCCAGGAGGGGAGCCAAAAATGGCTCCTCTGTTGACCGTTCAGCTTCTCTCCCTGAGTTCCATAAAGATCGACCACCATGCCCCTCTGACCGATAGTCCTGCCTGGCTTTCTAGCAACTCCTCCAGCCCCAGGCCTGGATTTCCAACGGGTGACTTGCTCCAGTGAAATCGTATCCGTCTCGATCATTCTCTCGTGCTTCGACTCGTTCTCGCTGCTCCTGCTTCCTCTTCGATCGCACACTACGCTCACTGCCATGCCTGCTTCTACGCATCCTGTTCTGCCCGACGATGAAAGCGACGCAAGCTCAGGCCTGCCAGAGATCTTCTTAAACAACGTTTCCGACTCTGATTCCTCCACCGCGCCTAGCGACTTCGACGCTAGTAGCGAATGCGAGTCCGAGTCCGACGATGAGTCCGAAGATGAACTGGCACTGGAAGATGAAGAGGAGCAACTGTCACCAGAATACTACCTCTGGGAGGCCGAGTCTCTTGATGTCTCCCAGCTCCGACAGAAACGCTACAGTCCGAAAGCGTAAAAGAGGTTAGATGAGGCATAAGATTTCTGGGATAGGTGGGATAGCATACTGCTTATAGTACTTGGTTCGCTGATTGTTCTAGGTTCTGTAAAGGTGCAAAGCGCGACCTGGTAGAACGTTTGTCTAGGCTCTCTGATACCGAGGAGAAGGTCCGCTTCCTCACGGCCTTTTTCCCCTAACGGTGTGACTAGCGATGGGGAAAGGATGGAGGTCGTACCCCGGGAGTGAAGACTAAGAGCTCACTCGACGTATTCTGGAAGTGGTGGCATCTGATTTATAAGGCCGAGATTGGACATGGCCTTAGCAAAGATATCCAAGTTAAGATTCATGATGTGAGATCTCGATTAGTAGCGATGTTGGCATAGATTATACGCGACTAACGTTCTATAGGTGCTCGCGATAGTTGCGATAGAAAAGAAACTTTCCTTCAAAAAACGCCCGAAAGTGACCATGTTTGTTAAGGATGTTGCTGAGTTTGCGCGAGTGATCCTATCCACGATAGAGATGACTTTTCCCTATGGTTAGTATTGGATACAACTCCTCCTATTCTGCTAGCTAGTCACTATCACCGGTAGCCGTCCTAGCAAGCTACTACTAAAACTTCGCTTTTAGGATCTTAAGTTGACATTAATTCGGGATCCAAACGGAGGGCGTCCTCGACTTTCCATCTACATGAGACCCGAATTCAAAAGATCAATTCTTAGTGAAAAAGAGTCGTAAGACCATCCCCTCACTAAGCCTCTTTCTACTTCCCTTTCCTCCATCAGTCATATGCCTCTTAGCGCCCTTTTGCTTATCATTTTCAATCAGACACACGTTCCCGATTCCGGGTATTATCTTTGATCCCACGTTGGTCCTCAGCCCTCATGTTTTCGTACTAGGGATGCTGGGTGGCGAGGTACGCCTGATGAGCCATAGACACCATCTCACAACTCACAGTTATACGGTTCTACTTAGCACCCCGGGGCAGGACTTGTTCGGGGAAATCGCCTACTTCTACGTGGTATTACTACGATACATATCTTACACATCAGCTGCTAAAACGGTAAAACCACTTGTGACCTATGTGTTGCCCGTGCTCCCTTTTGACTTGGGCGATACTAAACGGATGGGTAAGCTGCTGCGGGCATATCGCAGATATAGGAACACATGCCGACCTGGTTTCAGGGCGGTCGTAGGACACAGTGTGGGGATACAGGACGAAAGTACCAAATGCCGCCGCCGGCCAGAATTTAAACAACTAAAATTGCGTGGTGGAAGGTGCATAAGCGTCCTTGGACAGGTTGCCACGTATATATACCATCCTAGTCCAGCTGCAAGCAAGAGCAGTGCCAGAGTATCAAGACTTCTCCGCATCATCTCTCGCATGGAGGATCGTCTCGTCATCTTCAAGGGGATTGACCGGGGTGCTGGCAAACTTTCGTGCAGACACCTTCTGCGTGAACAGGATGTCAAGTTCTTCATACGGCCGATTCCAAACCTCTGGAAGGCGGAAGTACGCCCAGATAAACATCATAAGAGCAGTACTTCCCCAAATAAACCTAGACAGATGTTAGATGAGCCATGGTCATAAGGGGCCTCGACCTACCCGACGTAGCCCTTTACGTTCCATGCGGTCGGATTCATTAGATACTGCTGAAGGATTCCAAATCCAATGTTTATAACGGCATGTACATCTCTTGCGATGCAAATAGTCATTTGGCGGAGGCGAGTAGATCCCACTTCTGCTGGGTATGACCAGCCTAGTTGTCCGGCTGAGAGCTGGAAGATAAACGTCCAGACCAGAGACAGGATTGCCTGTGTTAGAGCAACTGACTTGTGCTCGGTCCATACGTTAAGTATACCAATCAAGAAAAGAACGATGCACATGCTTGCGACACCCCAGAGGTAGATGGTACGGCGACCAAAGTACGGCATGAGACCTTTTCATGTAAGCAAAGTAAACCCGAGAGTGGATGAAAACATACCGAACCAGTTGATGAAACAGCCGAAGAGACCTAAACAACTACCCCCAAGGCTGAGGGAGAAAGTTGTAGATGTGCCAACACCAATTGTTTGGAAGAAGTAGGTGTTATTGAATGCAAAGTTGATACCGATGAAAACTTGACCAGCAAAAGTCATGCAGGCAATTTCGGTTCGGCGGAGTTCTGTACCCTTTATGCAGTCCCAATAGCTTGCATCAATGGCGTTTCTCTTCTCAAAGTTGTCCGTATGAATAATTGTTGCGAGAGTGTCCTTGGGATCAATGTTGGCATTGGAGCTTTGAAGACGGCGCAAAGATTTCTCTGCGTCCTCCAGACGGCCCTTCCTGACCAGATACCAGGGGCTCTCAGGAGCCATGTATACCAGTGGTATCAAGAAAACGGGCCAGACCCATTGGATTGCAAAAGGTATTCGGTAGGCCCATTGACTCGTGTGGTTGGACAGTCCCTTGATCACGCCGGCGGCAATGAGCTGGCCCATGACAAAGCACATGTTGGTATACGAGGTAAGGTATGTGCGAATAGACGGCGGCAGAACCTCCGATGCGTAGGAGATTGCACAGGTGGCGAGTGTCGCCCAAGGTATGCTTCAGCAGGTCAGAAAGGCAGCTGCGTCGCAGACAAGTATGCTTACCCGAGAAGAAACTCGCCGATGAGCAAAACAGTCAGGTTGGGTGCAAAGAACGGTATGAAGATCAATGCTTCCAGTATTATGAGCGACCACAAGACAACGCGTCGTTGCCCATATGCGTTTACCAGCCAGCCGTTTAAGATGGCGCCTATGAAGCCGCCCACATTAGTGGATTGGCTCACACCAGCTTGCCACGGCGCGCTCAACAGATATCCGCTGGGCGTTGACGGGGTGACTCCAACGTGACGTCCAAATTTGATTTGGAACGCGGCTGAAAGCGCCTGGTTAGCAACAGAGCAGGAGAAAGGAAGTGGGAGCTAGGTTGCGTACGATACGCGAAAAAGTTGCCGAGCAGAGCAGTATCATAGCCTTCCATGATGACGCAGAGAGCCATGACGAGAGACCACATGATGGCTTGGGGATAAGCCTTGATGGACTCCCGCGGGCCCATATGCTTCTCGTTGGCGAATCCGGCCGCAGCTTCCTGGATGAGAATTTTGTTGTCGTTTTCGTCTTCATCTCGCCGCTGATCTTCATCGCCACGGTGGCTGATGCCAACAACCTCACCCTCTTTTGCGTCAGCCATGGCGATGATGGTTCGGACTGCTCTTGTGATGGTGCCTCAATCTGGTTTGAAGCAATAAACCGCAACGATGGCCAGTTGGGACAACCTTGTTTTAAACGACAATAGATAGACTGGGGCGCCAGCATATGGGATCCGGGGTATGGTGCCCATGTGCAGGACAGTCCAGGCTAAAAGCACTCTTAGTGGCGGGGAGCTCTGATCACGCCATTAGCACCGGGCTGTGAGCCGAAAATCTCGCCGGCAGACTAATTAACATTATTACTGTTAGCAGTGACAAAGAGGTTCAACTCCGGCTCGAGCCCCCGCCCCCGGAAGCTGCCTTACAGATTGGTATCCAACTACATTTTGCCGCTCGGGCTTATATCCGATGTGCCAGAATATTGATAGTTTGAGTTTCTACATACTCGCACAGTCTGTTGGCTTCGCATCCGATCAAGACGGTATTACAGCGCTCAGTCTTGCCGGGGTGAGTTTGGGTCGCCTGATGTACCTGATCCACCCATAGGGATCCGAGAAAATGTCATCCTCATGTACATCCCCGTCGTCAGTCCCTTCGTATTCTTCTCGCAAGCCAACAACGCCCACATCCTTCTTGTAATGATCCCATAGCTCCAGAAGCTCTTTGAAAATCCCCTGCTCATCTTCTTTGACATCCCTAGTCTCTCCAGGGTCCTTGTCTATATTGAAGAGCTCCCATTTCTGGGGACCTCTTGGGCGCGGTACGTATGTGATTTTCCAATCACCACGACGCAAAGAAGCAGACCCGCACATCTCAAAGCCAACGGCGTAGTCATCGGTGTGTATCGAAGTCTTCGTCAGCGCCGACGTTAGGCTGGTTGGAGATGCCAAGGCAGATAGAAAGGGAACCCAGCTGCTACCCCGTAGCGGCACTATTGGTCGTCCCTGATACATTGAATTCTCAGGATGTTGGAGGCCCGCCAGTTCGAGAATGGTGGGGACAAAGTCCATCACGGTGCAAAACGCGTCTGTGATGACAGCCTTCTTCTGAATTTGGGCGGTTAATGCTGGATGGTTCATTGACCTGATGCGATAAGTAGCACTCACCTGTGTGACCTCAAGGCCTTTATGGGGTTTTACAACCAACGGAACTCGGCAACCGCCCTCTGTTGAATACATCTTGTACAACCTTGAAGGAGCTGTAGCAGCTTGGGCCCAGTGTGTCCCGTACCAAACAAAGGAGTCGCCGTTGCCGATATTCTCTAAGCTGTTGTCATAGTACTTTTCAATATGGGCATTGATCGCGTCTCCACCCAGCGAGCCTAGTTCAATCGAGGCGCCTTCTGCGCCGTTGTCCGACATGAATATGATCATGGTGTTGTCATACTCACCACTGTCCTTGAGGTGTGAGATGACGCGGCCGATATTCGCATCCATTCGGTCAACCATGGCCGCATAGACTTCCATTGCGCGGCTCGACTTGGTCCTATGGTCTTCGTCGAGGCTCTCCCATTCAAGTTCCCAATCCAAGGCAACCACAGGATGCGGCTCCGTGTCTTCCTTGATCATCCCTAGCGACTTCAATTCCTGTAGTCGACGCGAGCGAAGCGCCTTTGGGCCGTCTTTGTACAGTCCCTTGTACTTGGCGACGGTTTCTGCTGGAGCCTGCAGCGGCCAATGCGGTGCAGAGAATGGGAGATAGGCAAAAAATGGCTTTTCCTTTTCTTCATCAGTTCGCTCAGACAGGTAGGAGATGAGCTTTGATGCGTAACCGTCTGAGGAGTACCAATTATCAGGCATTTTGTCAACCCAGTGGTCGTCTTCAACATGAAGCGCCCTCGTCGCAGTCTCAAAGAACCGAGGGGGCTCAGTCATTGGATCCTCATACGGTGGTTCCCAGGCTGACGAGTCAGCGGATGCATGGCAAATATCTTCTTAACCTGGCCAACATACCAAAGTGATTTGCGCATCCCGGGATCAAAGCGAACGATTTATCGAACCCCCTATTCTGCGGATGGTGTTCCTTCTTGACACCCAAATGCCATTTCCCAGACATCATGGTGTGATAACCGCCATCTTTGAGAAGCTCTGGCAGCGCCACAACACGCTCGTTGAGGTATCCTTCATGACCCGGCTGTCCACGATGTGGTTTTGAGTTCCTCGTAAATTCCGCAAGCTGACCCAGCCCCGCGATGTGGTGATCGGTACCGGTCATGAGCATAGACCGGGTCGGTGAACATGCTGCAGCAACGTAAAACGACGTAAAGCGCAGAGCACCGGATTCTGTCACGAGAGCATCGATATTTGGGGTTTGTATCTCCGAGCCATAACAGCCGCAATCGCTGAACCCCAGGTCATCCGCCACAATGACAAGGAAGTTGGGTCGCGTACGGCTAGGTGTTGGAGCCATGCCTGTAGAGCCCTTGCCACAGAACTCTACCGCAGCCTGGAATTTAGGAGTAGGCTGAGGCTCGAAACTTTGGATCACAAAACGAAAGAGGTGTCGGACGGTCTTTAGCAGGCTGAGTTCTCATGCGGCACGGACTCGGCTATAATCGAATCAGTATCACCGAGATTCTCCCCGCATCAAGGCACAATCGGCTTTGGCGCCCGTACTCGCAATCACTTTAATTTCGGCGTCACATATAAAAACACCGATATCGGCTCTGAAATCGCGCACTGAATGACATCCAGCGAAACCGGGGCGGCTTTTTAGATGGAGCTTTTTTTTGGGAAAGCAAGCCTAGCCCTGATATCAACTGACCACTCGTCGCCGAGTTGGCGGTAACTAAGTTTGTCTCCAAGAGGTTGATGTGGGGATTCCTAGATGATGCGATTTTTCCTAGACCGAATCCGACTAGCACAGAGCGGAGTGACCTTCCCAAACGGTATTATGAAGCAAGATGCCCGTATTCCGTAATCTCCCCTTGTTAGCCGATACTTGCTAGTGACTTGTGCTCTACTGCGGGGGTAAACCGCAGGGTATATACGGAGTACCATACTTCCGTGTAAAGTTTCTTATTTGCTGTTTACTCATCCTTCTACTCATCTTTGACCACTTCCGCCATGGTTAAACAAGTTTAGCTCGACAAGGGCTGGGAGTTCAGGCAAACAACCTCATTGGGAAACGTAGCAGCTCAAGAGTTCCTATCCGTGTCTCGGTTCCTAACTATATCTTACCTCGACTTGTTACATCATGAGCTCATCTAGGATCCGTATCTTGACTAGAATGAGCTAAGAACGCTCTGGGTTAACCATGCAGACTGGAAATATCGCACCCCAAAAGTGGGGCCGTTCACTCTGCGTGCCGGCGAGCAGGCCACGCTGGTGTTTGAGGGACTAGACACCGCCGTGGAGGTGTTTCTTAGCGGGGAGCATATCCTTTCCAGCAAGAACATGCATGCCTCGCACCGCGTAGACATCACTGGCTTCTTTGACCAAGGGAGCTTTCCTCAGACCACGTTGAAGCTCAGATTCACCAGTGCTGTGACATTTTCGCAAATGGAAAAGAAGCGCATAGGGTATAAGCACGACGAGAGAATGACCTTCGGCAATGATGAGCCGAGGGCTTCTGGGATTATTACCAAATGCACAGGGTAAGACTCACTGGAGATAGTGCAGGGGATGGTGGTGGTACTTGGCCAACCGATCCAAGTCACAATTCTTCTGAGGGAAGTTGGTGAAAAAGCAGATTCTGCCCCCCATAAACGCCGGGATAAAAGCACTTGCAGGGCTTTATCCCAGGCAAACAAACCTAACTCTACACCCTTCAAAGAATCCATCAGTATCTATGTCCCTATACACACATTCAATTGCTTCCAACTACCTAGACAACCATATCAACCCAAGCTAACTAAGTATAAAGCGGCTCTGTCAAATCATTCAGCGTAAGGCCCTCCTTGGCAACATCCTCATCACACAAAAACATAAGCGGCATCTCTACCAACGTTCCCTTAACCTGCGCCAATAATTCCTTCACTTGCCTCGCGCCCTCAGCACCGGGCGCAAAGTCCTCGCGCACAACATGGCCCCACTGGTACCTCGCCGGACGGCCAAGATTATCTTTGCCCTCGGCCTGGATATCCGCCTTGTGGAAGTAGTACTCGTAGAACTCCTTGTACGTAGCCCAGTTGCGGACATTGTCGTCCGGCACAGCGTGGAAGACCTTGCGGAAGACTTCGGTGTTGGTGTGTGCACGCGTGTTCCACAGGCTGTCCAGCGTGTCTGCGAGCGGGTCCTCGACGACTTTGCTTTCTGGGCAGTCGAAGTCAAAACGATTGGGAATCCCCACGGGCTCGAAATTCTCGTTTGGTACGCGGTAGTCTTGTGGTGGGAGGAGGCCGAGGTGTTTGCGGAAGAGTTCGCGGCGCAGGGATGACGCGAATCGGCTAGCTGTCCAGGGCTTGCCGTTCATTCTTGACTGGACAGGAGTGTAGTCTTCGATCACGACGGCAATTTCGGAGTCGTGGTCACCGAGTTGCGAGCGGTCGTTTAGGTTGGCGGAGCCGCAAATCACTACGCGGTCGTCGGCGATCATCACCTTTCTGTGTGTTAGATTTTTGATGGATGGTTTGTTGAATAAGAAACATACCTTGGAATGAACGTATAGCTCTTCACTGACAAACGCATCAATCTCGGCATCTGGGTGGCCGTCCCAAGGCACATTGCGAATGTCCTCTCCACCCAACATGTAACACGCACTGACACTATCCCAGCGGGTGCTGGACTTGCCGTGAGACTGCTGTTTTGCAGCCTGCTGGTACTGCTGGAACGGGGCGGTGGTATCGAAAGCACTCCGCGAAGCATCTTGGGGAGCCGGGGCATAACCTCCAGGACCGGCAGTGTTCAGGTCATACTGTCTGCAGGCATCATCATAGTTGACACCGCTCTGTTGCTCAGCCGCAGCCATAACGCCCCCGGTATTTATGCGGTCGTAGTTGCGCAGGTTGTAGAATCGGATATAGTCCATGGGGTTGAAGCCCTCCTTGGCAATCAGTTCCATGATGCTATGTCCGCCACGGTTGATCGAGTTGTACTGGAACTCCATAATAGCACGAGTGCCCAGAGTCTCGTCATCGTGCAAGTCACCCGCAAAGCAAGGAACCGACGGAATGACAACTATCATCTTGTATTTCTCACCAGCGCGAGCGGCCCGTAGAATGCGCTCCAGGATCGCAGCGCCGATCTTGTTCTTCACCGGCTGCTGAGCATCACCAGTCGCCGTGATGAAGAACTGGTTCTCAATGTAAACAAAATGCTGACTGTTGCGAATCAAGGCTACATATGCATCTTGAATTGAATGCTCGAGAGGGCTGCCGTTGCTCCATTTCGAACAGCTGCGCACAACCTGGCAGGACATGTTGCCTCGTGCTTGCGATGAGGGTTGGCCGTAGGGGATCAGACGGTCTTGGTATTGGTGGATTTGACCAGCTAGATTGGCGCGCAGGGAGTTGCCATACGAGGATAGGTTCCCTCGCAAACCACTAGATCCAAACGATCCCCGTTCTCCTTCATAGGGATAGTCATCGATTCCGCGAGTGTTCGAGTGAGAGGACTCTTGAGCTGGCGGAGGTGGATAATAGGATGATTGAGACTGTGTCTGGCCTTGGTAGCCTGCGGATTCCTGGCCTGGCGGCGGTGCGAAATACGGAGTCTGACCTTGTGGCTGGCTCTGGTAGGCGGGATGAGCAGATGACTGATTTGGAGGAGGCCCCGGTGGAGGTGGCGGGAAGGAACCCCCAATATAGCTATACTGAGCGGATCCCTGGCTTGGAGGATGACTTGCCGCAAGTTCATAAGATGGTGGGTCTTGACTTGGAGGTGATGGATAGGTCTGGGTCTGGGTACCGCCTGGCTGGTACGATGGAACAGATTGCTGGTGTTGTTGTCCCGGACCTGGATGTGGAGAATAGCTTGGGCTACTTCCAGGGTGGTATGGCTGATAAGAAGTGGCAGATGACTGTTGTTGCTGCTGTGGTTGCGGACTCGGAGAAGTCTGACTCGGGGGAGGAGGATACGCTGAAGCAACGCCTGCATGGTAAGACTGGTAGGAAGGTTGACCCGGCTGTTGCTGCTGCTGCGGCTGTGGGCTCGAAGAAACCCGACCCGGGGGAGGAGGATACGCTGGTGCACCGCCAGACGAATTAGACTGCCAGGATGGTTGAGTCACCTGCTGCTGCTGGCTCTGAGGACTCGCTTGTCCTCCCGAGGGATATGGGTTGGGCTGCTGCACGCCTGGCTGCTGCGGACCGGTCGAGGAGGTAGGCCGTCCGGACAAAGCGAGCCGCGTATACCTCGAGTCGGCGCGAACCTTGTACTTGGCATCGAAGATGAAGTTCCACCGCTCCACAAAATGGCGACGCAAATCCTCCACGACGGAGCCATGCAGACTCATGGAGATATCAGACCATCCCATTCTGGACATGGTCGTACGATCCAGCGCATTCTGTTCCCATTGATTGACATTCTGGAAATCAAGGACCCGGGAGTTGTTGTAGTCCTGGCCGGGGAACACAATCTCGTTTAGGTCAGCGGGATGCGCATCGGCAATGCCGTGTTGGTGCGTGTCCCAGCGGCCAAAACATAGGTCCAGGCCGCCCATAAAGGCGATCTGGCCATCAATCAGACACAGCTTCTCGTGATGAGCCCAGTACAGGATCACATCGTCGTTCATCCCGTACAGCTTCTTGATGGTGTCCTTGGACATCTTGCCCAGGCTCGCTGTGTTGAGTGACATGTTTTGGAAGCTGGAAGTGATGGATGATGCCAGTTCCTGCCGGTCTGGCAGGTGGTCCGGGTGGCGGAAGACAGCAATATTAGGATGCATGTTCTCCAGATGGTGCTTGGTATGAGAGGAGGATACTATACGCGGTCAGTCTCACTTTAGGTAGTAGATAGGAGTAAACATACAAGTCAACGCCTGGGTCACCTCTTTGTAGACAATGATATTGACGCGCACACCACGCTGCGCCGCTGCCTGCAGCATACGGTCTAACCGATACTGCTCATTCTTGGCTGGGGGTCGTCTTAGATAAAGCTCAGGGGATAGCCACCCTAGAGGTTTGTCAGTGGGTTTTTTTTCCTGGGATGAACCGCCTTACAGTCCAAGATCCAGATCGACTCGCGCGCATTCTCCAGCGCCCGTGATACCGCCCAGAAATAGCTACACCCATCCACATACCACTTGACATCATTGTGCTCACGGTGAGGCGCAAAGCTGCCGAACCGATGCTCGGTGGTTCCAGGCTTGCCGGGCCCATATTGAGCATACGCTTGCGGGTCGATAGTGGTGCCAATCTTCGTGGCAAACTCCGATCCCAGGCCGGCCACAGTGCCCTGGAGCTTGCCCAAAAGTCCGCCAATGCGATCATCCTTGGGCGGTTTGTTCTGGTATTCGGACTGCTGGTATTGTTGTTGGTAGGGAGCATTGGGATTGGTGTTCTCGTGACTGTATCCGTACGGACCGGACTGGTTCTGAGGTGGGTAGCCCTGTGGACATCAGTCGAGCTATTTGTAGAGGATGAAGGGTTTTCATACAGTCTGGGGGCCACCCTGGCTGTATGTGGGTTGGCCCGGCTGCCCCGGGCCCTGGTGAGACTTGTAGGCATGGCGGAGCATGTTGAAGGTGTCGCCCACGAGTCCTTTGGCGGAGTCCGTAGCGCCTCGGTCAGACCCCTGGTAATACTGGCCATAGGCCAGGTCATCCTGCTGGGACATGGTGATGATGGTGAGCAGAAAGGAGAGAGATGGGTGGTGTGTTGTTGGCGGGGCCCGTCTCATTTATGAAAGGCCCCGCCTCAGCCATTGCGTGGCTGTGTTTTTTAGTTCCAGCCCATCAGTAGTGCCTAGAGCTGATGGCGACCAACGGGATGCCCGTAGAACAAGTATCCCATTAACATCGGGTACAAGCACATGAAGGTATACTTACTGACATACTGACATGTATAGATCAGCTGATCCATGGTACACGCTGCCATGACGCAGTCGCTAATCTTATCGCTGGTGATCGTTAACTTGTCACCATCATCCTCATCACCATGTCTCTAGCCACCCTGGATGTATAGACCCTCCCCGTTCTATCTTGTGAGTCCCTCATCACTAACCCGGGCAGTCCGCCCAGTACCCCCATCTCGCTACTGTCACTGCCACGCTCTTCTCGGCCAAGGCCGCCAAGCAGCTGAGCTTCGAGCAGATCGCCCACCACATCGGGCGCAATGAAGTAGCTACCGCCGCCATCTTCTACGGCCAGGCCAAGGCCTCGCCCGAAGATATCCAGAAACTCGCGTCGCTTCTGCAGATCCCCGCGGGCCCGCTGGAGGAGCAGCTGAGTGGGTTCCCGGACCGGGGCCGTTCAGTGGAGATGCCGCCCCGGGAGCCTCTGATCTATCGGCTGTATGAGATTGTGCAGAACTATGGCTATGCGTATAAGGCGGTGCTGAATGAGAAGTTTGGAGATGGGATCATGAGTGCCATTGCCTTCTCAACCCGGGTGGAGAAGGAGACAGATCCAGAGGGGAATAATTGGGCAGTGATTACGCTGCGTGGGAAATGGTGAGTGATGGATACATGGGCGATGTGGTGAAAAGGATACTAAATGATGCCAGGCTGCCCTATTCGCGATTTTAGTTGCCATAAAATGTAGTGTTTCCTTTCCTGCTTTTCTTCCCTTGTAAACAGCCCACCCATCCTCCTTCCCCATCCCCCTTCTCCTCCGTCTCTTTCTTCCCTTCTTTCCCACTCACGTACCCAACCCTTCTACTGACCTAACATCCAGCATGGCTTCCTCCAAGGTCGTCTGCTCCTTCAAGGGTTGCTTGCAGGATTTCGACTCCGAGAAGGCCATGCGAGCCCACAAGATGTACGACCCCAAGCACGAGTACTGCGCCAAATGCAACATGGACTTCGGCGACCGCACCGAGTACTACATTCACCGCATCATGAGTAACAAGCACTTCATGTGCCCGATTTGCACGGTCGAGTTTCGGAGCAGCACGGGTCGCGAGATCCATATCCAGAACGTGAGTGAGCCCTCTGGCTGGGAAAGACAATAGCTAATACCCCCATCGACAGAACCACAAGCGCGACCAGAATATCATCTGTACGGGCTGCAAAAGCAGTTTCAAATCCGCTGCCGGTCTGATCATACACATTGAGCGCAATGAGTGTGACGGGATCACCTTTGCGCGTCTGACGCAGGAACAGGCTCGCCGGTCCCTGATCAATGCTACCCTCAAGAAGGACCCGAAGGCTGCCGTTCCGCCTGCGCCGTGGGCTTCCTCGACTGCTACCAACACCGATGACCAGGACGGCGGCGTACGTCTGAACATCGACACAGCCATCAGCGAGGCCCTCGCCTCCCAGCCGCAGCTCCCGGGCTCGGCCAGCGAAGACGACGCCGCAACTCTATCTCAGCAGCATTGGCCTGCTCTCACACCCATGAAAGCCGAACCGAAGTCGAAGCCAAAGCCCGCTGGTCAAACTTTCACTCTGCCCATCCGATCTGCAAAGCCTGCTCTTGCTCTCGAGCCTGTTACTACTGACCCCTTCACCTTCACTCTGCCGATCCGATCGGGAAAGCTTGATCATGCAAACGAACCGGTCACCAAGACATCTGTGAACCTGCCCACTGACCCTCTGGCGACAACCAAGGAAGAGCAAGACGAGCCCCTCACCCCAAGCCTCCCGACCGGGCCCGACGATCTGATCTCTTTCGACGACGATCCCGTCCCTGCGAAAGGCGGCAACACGGTCTTCGGCACGAATCGCCGCGCCGTGCGCGAAGGCACCTTCGGTATTGGCGACATCCATCCTATCAGTTTGATCCTCGACAAGAATGCCCGCTGGGACGCATCCAAGTTCTTTAACAAGGAGATCGGTCGGTACATCTGCAACTGCGGACATGCGTTTGCGCGCAAGGACGATTTCGAGACGCACATCGTGACGGAGCGCGAGAATCGGGAGCGTGATGTGTATGCCTTCTTCCTATCTCCCCTCACCCCGGTTTGTTTTTTTATCTACTTCAAGAACCTGGACGAACTGACAGATATGCAGTTGCCCCAAATGCCACAAGACCTTCAACTCCACCTCCGCCCTCATCGGCCACATGGAATCCGTCCGTTCCCGCTGCGGCATGCGCGCATACGCAGATTTCGGACATGCCCTCGATGAAGCAACTGGTGGACTGGTCCAGGTCGATGCCTTCAACGCAGACGGCACGCCGCACATGGTTGCTCGCGCGCTGGATGATGCGGAGCTGACTACCATCGGCACGGATCTGAGCAAGCCCACGCCTCTTCTCCAGTGAGGATGGAGTGGAGATTAGAACGTTCTTGTCCTTTCTGGTGGGTGGATATCTGAGTTCGCTTTTTCTTGGGGTAGTTTGCGCAGGATGGACGGAATGGAGTCGCCGGGGAGCTAACTTTCTTTTCCATATTTTTCAAACCAATTTCTATCCAGACCACTCTGCAATACTCCCAACTCAGCAGATTCAGTCTGCACTCTCTACTCTACTCTACAGTAAAGGCCATGGTAATGGTATGAAATCACCTGGAATTGGCTCTGGAGAAGAAAACAAAGGGTATAGATAGAAGATAGAGAAAAGCGGTTCCCGTCCAGCCTCTCCTCCACTGAAAGAAAGAAAGCAAGATACAGGGAGACGAGTTCTGGCACGAACAACCTAGACGAGGAAGTAGCAGAACCATAGGATAAAGCCAAAGCCGGTAAACCGCTGAGAGCAGCCGAGTTGAATTTAAAGGCAAGAACAGAACAAACTGCACATTCCCATCCTTCTCTCTCCCAGCAACCAACCCGGACAGACAGAGCGAGCAGACAAACTAGATCAGAACACACCTCCGCCCCCTAAGTTCCACAGGTATCATCCATTCGGATAGACTTGCGGTCAACAGGGGAGGAGCGAGAATGGCGATTGTTCCATCAGATAAGCAGGGCGACGTGTGGGTCGGTAAGCGAGTAAAATAACGAGAAGTGGAATGGGTCTGTTGTGTCCCGCATCGCATGTCTAGCATTATCGAAGAAAGGAGTAAAAAGAAAAGAAAACCGAATCAACGCGAAGGAACGCTGCGATAGCCACACTCATGGATACTAGAGAGGAGCGAATCGCTTAGCAGCAGTCTTCGCAGCACTCAAAGCAGAGCAGACCGGCACAGCTGGAAGCATGGGTTAGTATGTATGCCCCCCGAAAAGAACGGTGGGAGGGAGGACTTACAGGCCGCAGCAGACGTCACCGGCACCACCACCGCGCAGCTTCATCATGTTCTCCTGAGAGTTCTGCGAATCAGTTAGCATGGAATATTGAGTGTTGGGGGAGGGAGAAAGGGAAGACGAACGGGCTGCTCGGTGACGACACGCTCGGTGGAGGGGGCATCCGGGGAGGTGGGCTGCTGGTTCTGGACGGTGGCAGTGTTGGCATCCCAGGTGGCCTCGGGAGCGGAGTCCTTCTTGGAGGAAGAGAAGAGGTTGAAGCCGAACATTTTGACTGTGCGAGAGAAGGAGAGAGAGTGTGTGTGGTGGTTGTGTGGATTGTGGTTGGTGCGGTGTGGGTGGTGTGATGAGGTTTGAGAAGAAAGAACGCCCGTGGGGAGGGGGGGAAGGGGGAGGGATTTATGCTTTGGCTTGGGCTGGTTCGGCAGTCTGTTCTGTACGGAGTGGTGACTGGTCGGGTGAGAGCGACATCATTATTGCAGTACAAAACACATGGTGGAGTGTCCAGGGGCTTGCGCGGGAGAGGACTCCATCTGATTGGGCCCACTTGTCGCCCTAAGCCCTGCGATTGCGTCGTGGCGGATGGGAGGTGGCCACGGAATAGATTGTGGCTGCTGAGGTCTAGGATCGTCCCCGGCAGGATGGATTCTTTCCAGCCGCTGCCGAGTCGTCCGTCTGGCCCGCAAGAACAATAGGAACTCGCCTCGGCCACTCCTCGGGAAGACATAATGATGGTGCCTAACGGAGCCACACATGGCGGGTCCACCGGGCCCCTTGCCAAGCTTCGGTTAAGCTTCGTCATTCGCATTTCCGAGATGGGGCTATTTTTAGCGGTGGCGCAGCCAGCCCCCGTACGTAATGGCGCATCGTGGCTGGAGCTGGGTCAAGTGCTGGTCGGATGGTGGAAGAGTGGTCCGTTTCAAGCATAATCCCTGCCGTTAAGACTACGTGGATGTTAGTATCTGTACGTCATCGCTGGATCGTGCTATCTGGTGATGAGATAAAGGACCGGATGCGAGATCGTACTTCCTTGGGAAGGTAATCCAAGGGCGACCGTTCTCGCCTTCCAGTGGGAAAACATAAATTGAAGGAGTACAGGATTCAGGCAGGAATGGATTCAGGCATCCAAGGTGCTTTATTCATCATTTCTGCTTCAAGCGTCCCCTAGGGCATAAGGAAGGCAACCAGATTATCGTAGCCCCTGAGGCTAAGGGCATTAAATAAGCAACGCTCTTGATTAAAAAGGGGGGCTTGGCCATCTGTCACTTCCCGTTAGCAAACAACTTCGGTACTAATCAATTGCTGAACCAACTTACAGGCACATCGACTTGACAATGCAACCAATTTCTGAAATCGACTGGGACAAAGGCGACAAGGATGGGCTGGTCTCTATTGGCCCCCACAAGCTTTATCTGTCCGTTTCGGGGCCCGATCGCAAGCCTGGCGAGCCGATTGTCGTTCTCATGCAGGGCCTTGGCAGCACAATCGATGAGTGGGTCGCAGTGCGAAGGCTTGTGCTTCCATTTGCTCGATGGTTGAACTACGATCGTTCAGGGATGGGAAGGAGTGAAGGTCCCGACCAGACACCAGCAGGCATACCGGCAGCCTCAGTCGCAGCCGAGCTCGATATTCTCCTAAAGAACGCCGGTATCGAACCGCCGTTTATCATTGTCGCGCACTCGTGGGGAGGCTACACTTCTCGAGAATTTCTAGAACTCAGGCCGAATGATATCGTGGGCATGGTGTTCGTGGACTGCAATACTGAACATTTCTTTGACAGTGGTGCGTGGGGTCTGGACGTTTTCCATCCTGTCCTCGGTGACCAGGATTTTGTTGAAACCACCGGTCTTGCGACGTCCCATGTCCTATCCGAAGAAGAGTGGAAAGCCGTCACAGACGAGCAGGCCAATCCCCGACATCAAGCCACTGAGGCTGCTGAGATGCAGGCGGCGCCGAACGACAGACTGGCATTGGCCCTCAAAAAGCAACTTGAGAAGCTCCCTCTCAAGGGTTATCCGGTCAGTGTAATCATTGCGGATACGCCTGAAGATTTTCAGAAAATGTATGACTTTGGAGTGGCCGCCGGCAACGGAACAGAAGAAGAGCGAGCTCTGTTTCGAAAATGTCTCGATAGATGGCGCGAGATGGATGAGGACTGGCAAAGAGAACTTTTGAAGCTTTCTCGTCTCAGTAGATCTGTCCGTGTGCATTGCAGTCACAACGTGCAGCTGTTACAACCACAGAGCATAGTTCAAGAGATTCAGTGGACCATGAATGCCTGCAGATAATTCTTAATCTGCTATGAACCCTACTGGAACTCTCTCTAAACCATCTTCGAGTCGATATCCGTTCACCCAGAATCAATATAATCAAGATCATGCACTGCCTACCCCTCCAGCCATGCCTTGTAGACCATTCTTCCGATCCTTCCGCCAAACAAAAAACCACGAAGCCAACACACCGGAGATAGCCGCACAAAGGAAGCAGAGACAGATGATGAAGGACACGCGGTATGTCGGCCCAAATACCGTGCTGTATATATGAGGTCCAGCAATCCCACTAAATTGTGCCATAGCATTCGTGGCCCCAATCCCAATCCCCGCGGCCACCGTGCCCTCCAGATCGCGAATCCGTTCTGGCCAGATGACCGGGTATGCAGACCCTGCACACGCTGTGGCGACCACGAGGGCGAGGTACTTGACCACTGAATTAGGAACCGTGATCAGTATGATGTAGCAGATGATTGTCGTGCTTTCGACTGTTGTGAATGTCAGGAGGAGCTTTTCATAGAACGTTTGAATGAGAGATGAAGAACGATGATACGTACTCGCGACTGCAGTGGTCCACGGTCTGATCCATCCTCTATGGAGCAAATACCCGAGGCCATTTAGAAAGAAAAAGCATGCGACGTAGGGAGGCTGTCAATTGCGAGCTGATTAGCATTTCCTACGGATCGGGGAACCCTCTTTAAATTTGGGTCCTACTCACAATATTCATCAGCTGTGATAAAGCCGTCGAGCTAAACCCAAGGTCATAAATGACGGTAGGCAAAGCATATTGCACCCCAAACCCACCGATTCCATGCCCGATCCAGTAGATTGAAAACGTGTAAAGCGTAGGACTCTTGAAGAGCAATTTAATGCCGGCCCAATCCCAGCTTTTGTCTTTTCCAGACGGTGCCGAGGAGGAGAGACGGCCATTCAGGAAGCTTCGCTCCTCCTCTGTCAACATGCGGGCGGTCTCTGGGTAATCTGGAAGACCGAACAGCGCCACAAAAGACAGCACGATGGCTGGAAGACCCTCAATGATGAACAACCATCGCCAGCCTGATAGTCCGGCGGCCCCATCCGCGAAGCTGATGGCATATGCGAGCAGCCCGCTCAATGCGCCGGATATCTGGCCAAGAGAGTAAAAGAGGGCGATTCTCCAGGGCAGTTCGGACGGTTTGTACCAGAATGCCATGTGGTAAAGCACAGCTGGGTAGAACCCTGCCTCAGCCATTCCAATGGCGAACCGCACGCACATCATTCCCGGAAAGTTCTGGGCTGCACCTGCTGCGCAGGCACAAACACCCCAGGACAAGATCAGGACGAACATCCATGTTGAGGGCTTGAAGCTCTTGAGAAGGATCGTGTTAGATGGCTCGAAGATGAGGTAACTATACGAGAAGATGGACTGCGTCCAAGACCATTGCGAGGGGCTGAAACCGAGCTCTTTCTTAATCCCTGTGCCGGCTTCCAGGTTGATGATGGCTGCGTTGGCGTAGTTGTTCGAGTCAATCACCCGGAAGATGTATACAACGGAGTAAAAGCCCACGAGCCAGAAGTCGATCTTTCGCATAACCCTCTTCTCGAGTTTGGCATAATAGTCGAAGTCGGGATTCTCGCGATCGATTTCATTGGGTGGGGATGAAGTCACACTGGTGGTAGATACCCGGTTGTCATCCTTGCCGGATGTCATTATGTCCATTCCGTTTCGATGTAAGATTGGTCTGAGAGACAAATCCCGACGAGCAAATCCCGAGAGGCAAGACAGAAGGTCATTCCCTGAAAACACCGCATTCTTAAGTCTTCCGCGACACCCCTCCTCTTTGATGACAGGAATCTTAGAGTTCGCTTTTGCCATGATAGTTTCGATCACGACATTCCGGTTGCACCTATCCCAGAGACATCTACGATATTATCTGTGGCTCACTCTTACTTCGGTGTGCGGCTTGCATATGGCGGAGTCTAGAAGGTCGTAATTGTCGGATGATTGAATCATTTTTGGTATAGTTGCTCGTCTCAGCCGGGGAAGTATATACCCAAACGTGGATTGTATTCAAGCTTCGATATATACATGCCAATAGCTAACGATTCTGTCAACTGAAGACCAACCAATCATTTTCTTAGTAAGATTATTATTTTCTAGGAAACATTGTTCTGACTTATTCGGCGTGATAATGCCGTAGCCAATAACGCCATCCGGGCCAAGAATGATGTCCTCATACGACCCCGCATCTTTGCAATGACATGGACTGGAACAAATCCCGATAATATTTGTAATGTAGGAGGTTCAGTAGATATATAAGCCCCATCTTGTCGTGTCGGATATACCTCGCTAGATAATATCTGTCATTCGTCATTCTCTATCGTTACAAGAGTTAAAATGGCTCCATCCGCCATCGAAGAGCAACCCCCCATCGAAAAGGTCCCAATCAAAGCATGGAATCGTCCCGCACCCACCGAGGAGAAGCTTGATTGGGCTCCATTGGTGCAAATTGACCTGTCCCGTTTCGACGAACCGGGCGGAAAGCAAGAGCTCGCAAAGCAACTATACGATGCTGTTACAAGAGTCGGTTTCTGGGTTGTAGTTGGCCACGGACTTGGCGAAGAACGTGTCCTGCGTCAATTCAGTCTTGGTAATGCGTTTTTCAAAGAGCCACTCGAAGAGAAGCGAAGCTTCCCTTGCAATTTTGCCGAGGGTGAGTATTTTGGTTACCGTGAGAACTCGAGGTGGGTTGGAGATACGGGGGTCAAAGAGAATATCGAAATGGTATGCGCATGTCCACTATCTGCATTAGACAAAGGCTAAATTGTGTAGCTCAATATTCCCAAACCAATCCCTGCATGGGACGATGTTCCGAAACACAGGATCGTCCGTCAGAATTATGAGGAGATCGCGAGCTTCCATCGTGATCTTTTTGACAATGTTATCAGGAAGCTGTTTGTCTTGATGGCTATTATTCTTGAATTGCCGGAAGACTACCTGGTCAATGCTCATGCCTATGACCAGCTTTCTGACGACCACTTGCGATATATGATCTACAACACCCGGACTCAAGAGGAATGGGACAAGGCCCAGGGCTACACCAAGGGTGGACATACCGACTTTGGCAGCTTGACATTGTTGTTCTCGCAGCATGTTGCCGGCTTGCAGATCCGGACTCCAGAAGGAGAATGGAAATGGGTGAAGCCCGTTGACGGTGGGATTACGTGCAATGTTGCCGATACCTTATCCTTCCTTACTAATGGTGAGTGCCTATATTAGTTGTCACGGAAGCATTCTGCTAACTAGAGACAATAACAGGCTTCCTCAAATCCACAATTCATCGTGTTGTTACACCCCCGAAAGATCAGCTCGACATCCCTCGCCTTGGGTTGCTCTATTTCTGTAGACCTGGGGATCATACCATAATGAGGACAGTGCCCTCGCCTGTACTCGAACGTCTCGGTATGCTCACTGAGGATGACAAAAATCCTAGCAAACCTGCCCCTACAGGAACTGAATATGTTCGTGCTCGGGTGAAGGATGTGCATCATAAGACTGTGATTGATCGCCGGGAGAATACGTCGTTTGAGTTCAAGGGGCTGAAAGTGCAGAATTACTATGCTTAGGGGATTACAGTGGACTTGGATTCAACAAATTGTTCAAATTGTTGCTCTAGTTGGTTTTAATTGTATACTTTGGCAACCATACCATACGCCTACTTCCGGGCGTCTACACCACCAGATTTTGGTCGGCTGAATATTATTTCAAATCTTACAGATACCTAGATCTTGTAAAGTCTCATTCTAACATTATCATTATTATCTGACACGGAAAAGTGCTCTGCTTGCAAAGAACCTGCAGACCACGTGATCACTTCATCCATCACCTGACCTGCACACTGGGGATCATCCGGCCCGCCGTACTTTTTTCAGATGCACCGAGCACGCAACACCTCGACCGACTGGCAAGCATGGCCTCTCCCAACGATACCGCGGGCGTGCGTGAGGCTGACTACCAGCGCTTCAAGCACTACGCCGCGCTGACATTCCTTGTGGCTTCCCCCGTGCTGATCGCTCTCCCACCCCGCAAACTCGACCACCTCACCGTCCTCCTGGCCGGCGCATTCTGCGCCTCCGCCAACCAAATCACCCGCGAACGCACGGGGCGCAGCATAGTCGATCGCCTTGAAGCCCGCATATCCTCATCTTCATCCCCACATCCTCGAGGGTCTCCCGGCATATTCAGCGATCTGCCCAGCAATCGCGCAGAGGAGATCCAGGCGCGTCTGCGCGCGGCACGGGATGTGCAGCTCCGCGATGCTGGGCTTACCACGGAGGAAATTGAGAAGCTGAAGGCGAGACAGCAGCAGGATAAGGGGGTTGCGCAGCGGATCTGGATGGGAAATGAGACGGAGGGGTGGAAAGAGCGCCGTTTGCGCGAAGAGCAGAAGGCGCTGGATGAGGGGAAGGGCTATGGAGATTTAATTAAGGAGCATATTTGGGATGTGTGGACGTGGGGGAAAAAGGATGAGTCGGAGGCGGAGAATGGTGAGAAGAAGGATTGACCTTAACTGCCTTCTCTGTATCAACTCAACTACATGACTCGGCTCTACTCCGCCATGTCGCCTTGTACATTTATCTACAGCATTGGGATTGGGTGTTTGGTGTTTTCGATTTATCAGGAACACGTGAATGAATAATGGTGATTTCATTCGCAGACAACTTCCTAACACACATGTCACAAATTGGAAAATACAAGCCGACACGCCTCTCGATAATTCGACTCGCGGCCCGGGTGCCACGAGACCAAGGCTTGTCCCCACGGCCATGACTCCGCTTGGGGCCTTGATTGAGACGGAAGACGAGTACATATTTCCATACAACCAAATATCACCAATATCTCAATCCTACCAGATCAGACAATCTCAAACAATCTCAAACAAATATGACAAAAACAGATCCAAGAGACATGGAAACAAACCATCCCCCCATTCGAGCCGTGCTTTTTCCCACCTTTATTGGTTGTTTTTGCACGGGGCCAAGGAAAACATCCTCGCAGCTCTTGGACAATTTTGGCATGCGAGGTCAAAACCTTGACCGGGACGCGTACATTGAAACAATTTCCCTCCCTTTCCTTCAGAAGAGTAACGGTGCGTAGGCGCGTCCGCCCTTGCACCGTCACAAAGCTTTTCCGCTCTCTGTGTCTCCAATTTGCCAATTCCTCGGACCTTCCCTGTGTAGGGGAGAATCCTCACCGGCCCCGGTATGGACCTTGTCAAAAAACAAAAATACGTTCGAGACCTATACCCTCCAAGCAGAGCACGGTCGAGTTTGGACCGAGGGAGGATGGCTCAGACCAGAAGACGGGGATGATGAGAATTGATCGAGGGTCGCGAGAACTCGATGGGAGAAGGGGCCAGCAATTGATGACTGACGGGACTTGAATTGTTTCAGCAGGCCCGTGATGGAGAATGGCCGAGATGCTGATGCCCGTCGGTTTTGTCGAAGGTGAGTTGGCTGAATCCCTTTTCTTATACTATATTGTCTCTCAAGCGACTTTTGCGGTTATGGTCGAAAAAAGCAACACATATCCAGGTGTTGGGACCCGGTGGGCTGGACCGGTGTCCGCCAGATGTCAAAGCTTGCCAATTGCACAGACGGGCCGTGGCCAAACGGCAGTCCGAGTCTTATGTTGGGGACTTGCGCATCTGGCTAGATGTAAAGCAGAGGAACAGTAGTCGTGATGGCGACTCCCGGAGCGACCGGGGTGATGTTCTCCTAGTCATTGCCTTGATGGGCAATTTGAAGGATGTGGTTCGCCTGAACATGAGCGTTCGTATGTCTGTCCCTTTTGTGGAAGATGTGGTTGTTACTTACGAGCTCATGCATCGCGGCTGCACTGAATGCCAAGTCTTGGAATCGCTGCGTCATGGTTAGTCTTTGCTCTAGTGACCGAGGATATCGGGATATTACTTACAGGATCAGGAGCAGACTTTGAAAAGACAAGTGGAGGGGCGTCTTCCATAATCACATCTTCGTCAGGCTCAACGATAGGAGTTACGTCAAGCATTTCAACGTCGTGGTTCCAGGGCTCAGATTGTGTTCGTCTTTGGTTTGGGTTGGAGTTGAATCTATGAGCCTGGGGCGACTGTTGACCCAGGCTGTTGTTAGCATACTTGCTGATGAATGAGCCGGGGCCTGCTAACCGTTGTTTGGCGGCGCCGGCGGTTGCGTGCCCCGCAGCGTCTCCCACTTTGGTTAGGGAGGTTGAGACCATGCAGCTGTTGCTGGTCGAACTGCTGATTGAACGACTGGATCGATTGCTGCTGAGGCTGGTTTTGCGGGTAGGCTTGAACCTGGCGAGGCGTTCGCGAACGACTTGAGGAGAAGGAGTTGGCTCGCCGATTGTTGTTAAAGTTAGGGTTCTATACTTCAGTCATTCTCTGGTTCTTCATCAGAGCGAGAAGAAACTTACCTTTGTGCCAGCGGGGGCATGCGCCTATGACATGGGTTATATCGGTGTTCCATCCATGCGAACGGACGAAACCACGAAACGTCATATCCAACACTGCTGGTTAAGAAATAAGTGATACTTACAACCGATCCCGTCCGGTCGCCACCGTGAGAGTTGTAGGAGTAGGGGTGGTTGCGGGCAAAGCCTCCAGCGCCTCCGTTGTTCAACGGTGCCCGGCCTTGAGTGGGTTGGTTTCGGCGAAGGAACCCGGCCGAAGGACCGCTGTCCAAACGGGAGCGTGAGGACTGACCGCCGAATGCTGTAGGATGCGAGGGGCACCCCATGTTGTTCTTGGTTACGGACGAACTCTTTTGAACGTGAGAGTCTGCACACCCAGCGCTCCAACTTCGAGAGAGCCCTTGATCAAGAGGGTCGCCCAGAACCATTCCTCACAAGAACCGACTTTCCACTTCAGAGGCTCCCACCTTTCTTTTTTTGGATATGTTTCTTGGTGCCACAAACGATTAACAATTTAAGAAGATCCCCTTTTTTGAGGTTTTTTGAAGCAACGCGATTTTAAAACAGACACTTCAAGTTGCACTCCTCACAGAAATCAATGGCCCCCTACAAGGCCGACCACTCGAAGGTGACCTGGTCGTCCACGCACACTTGATCAAGGCTCCTTCAAGGAGAAGATACTGGCGGGTTCCTTCTGGGAGACCGCAGGAGGGCTGGGGCTTGCAGGGTTTGGATATGTGAGGTTTTGAGATGAAAGGAGTATGGGTTTTGATGGCCGGGGAGATGACCACGGTGAGAAAGAAGAGAAAGGAGAATGAGCGAGAAATCCTCACTCTTTATAGACGGAGGTGCCGCTACTCTGTACTTGCTACTATGCTATTTTGGGATTGAGGAATAGCTTCAATTTATGCCAGATTCGGCGCTCCGTTCAGCGATAACCGTGGTGCAATCAGCCAAACAAGCATAGCAGGTCATTGTCTGCCGAATCCTGCCTAGTTCATTTGTGCTCTGGAATACGATTGGTTAGGGAGTACCAATTGAACTAGGCTGGATTCTCATCCGAAGCTGATATTGGGTGGGAGCTACTTGGTTTTCCAGGCGCTGGTAATCGAAACAGCTATAGGAGGCCATTTTGGAGACTAGGCCTAAGTAGCTCGAAGACTATTCCTGTTACGGACTTTGCAATGCTCAAATCCCTCTTACGAAGTCAGCACTACAATGGGCAGCTTCGCAACTACTCCCTGATTCAGACATTGTGATCATCAGACATAAAAACAATTCCAAGGCTCTCGAGGTCAACTTCAAGAATAATTCCAGCTAGTATAAATACACTCGGAGAATGGACATCAAGCAACGAGGAGAGAAAAGACAGGATAAGCCAAGCAATTCATGCACCAAATACATCCTCAACGCCCTCTCCGAAGACAAAGTGAGAACCTCTTCCATCGCAAACCACTCCTCCTTCCACAATATCAGCATCATCGGAGAGAGAGCAATCGACCAGAAGAGGTTCCAACGACGACGCAGCGCTTGATTCCGAGCTAATAAGGTTCTGATCTATTATCGCAGCGGGAATGCTGGGCTCCTGCACGGCCGATAACGGCTGACGACAAGCCTTGAATTCATCGAGTAGGATATTGGCTTCGACGAGGGCACGATCTATCCGCTGGATAATCTCCCGCTGCATGATATCCCGTTGGCTAATCGCCATCCCCTGGTCTTCATCCTGGGCAGAGGCCTCGAATTGGCTACCGTCAATGTAGTATCTGCCTTGGTAGAGGTGGTAGAAGCCGGTTTCTGAAAATCGATTAGGGAGTCTGAATATTAAGCAGAATACAGGGAAACTCACGGATCTCCCAAGTCAGCTCGGATTCCATGAGAGTATTGGTTAGCGCGAGTCCGTAGGACATCTTCGTTGTGTGAGATGCGTCGGTTTGGCCGTCAAAGGAGCTGGATACGGTTTCAGACTCAACCCGTGTCCCTGTCTGAAGGCCCCTTTCGATGCCCCGAAAGAGTTCTCTCAACTCTCTTTCCGCGTCCATATTGTGCTGGTGTGCGGTATCGGAAAGCTTCAGGCAATTTGCCGCGGTTTCCATATTTTGTTCATGTAGCTCAAGCAGGACCAATCCTGGCATCTATATAGACGAGCGATCTGAGGGTTTTGGCAGAGGGAAAAGAAGATAGAAGAGTGAGAACAAAGCGACCAAGTGCAGCAAGAGGTAGAGAGGGAAAGAGCGAAAAGGAAAGCGCAGGTCCTGATCTTACTCATGCGCACCTTTTAGAAGTCCAGATGCTCTTCTCCCGACACGGCATAGTCTGACATGAAACCAGGAAGCATCAAAATGACCTTGGCCCCTTTGAGTCAACCAATGCTCCGCTTCTTCGAACTGCCCATCGTCTCGCCCTCCGATACCGAGTCAGCACCTCGTTTCAGATCCGAGCCCGCGTCCACATCTTCTGCGACTTCCATCTTCGAGCGCTTCCTCTTCGGTCGTGATCTGTCAGGCGATACACTTCCGTTCGACGCCCCGCTCGTGCGTTTGCGTTTTTCTGGTCTTGCATTATCCCGTTCCCGTTTCCGTCGCTGCTCTTCTTTGATGCGTAGACGCCGCTGGACCTCAGCAGAGATGTCTTCTGTTTCTAGTGATGTTTCAGTCGCGTCGCGCGGATCATCGTCGGCACCAGACACCGCGGAGTAGGAGCTCCGCTTTCGTTTTGGGGCTCGGGGGTCGGCATCTTCGTAAGTCTGGTTCTTGTCGGTTGGAGGGGTCCCAAAATCCGTCTCTGTCTCGTTCCCTCCTTCCTTCTCATTCCGGGATCGTTTCCTCCGGGCCGTGTTCACGGCATCTGTAGAGTACGGAGTGGGTGTGTGGGTGTGAGAGCGATGTGCGCCGTTCATGGAGCTTGTTTGCGACGCGGCAGTGGAGTGGTCGTCATCTAGGGTTGTCTTGTCTATAGAGAGAGGAGAGACGAATGAGTGCCGTGGAGATGAAAGGATGTGTCCGTCTTCCGTCGCAGAACTTACGGCTGCCCTAAACAAAGAAAACCAGTCAGCCGCCACTCCATGTAGGCGAGTCGCACAGAATCACCCACCATTTTCTTTCGCACCAATTTCAACTGATTCATCGCCTGCACCGTCTTTTGCACCATTGACGACACTGTGCGGGATCCGTTGCCGTCCCCGGTCATGTGTTCTTTGACCGAGTTGAGTAGTTCGAGATGCGAGGAGAGCATGGTCTCATGTCGGGAGAACAGCTGTTACGAGTCGAGTTCGAGCGTCGCGTCAGCCTTGGTTCCCGAGCGCCGTTATTGGGGGGTGTTCCTTGGGGGAGTCGCGGATACCCGCGGTCCTGTGCGACTCGTCCCCCAACACGCACGGATGGCCGACTCACCTCTGCCCAGGCCATTGGGGCGCGATTGGACGAGTCGCGTGCCTCTGGTGGTTCATGGCGGTCGTCCTCGACTGTTGGGTTCATGGCTGCGTAAGTGACGGGAAGAAAGATCGCCGAACAGGGTTTGGATCGGAGCTGGAGCTCTCCGTGCCAAGAATCCGATCTGACAGGGATCATCGGTATTTACCCAGCCACTATTAATTTCGTGATTGGACTATGGGACATCGTACGTCGAAATTTGGACAATAGCGAAATTCAGACGAGCACAGCTTTGGATCCCTTGATATAAACAATGGAATTCCGGTCGTCTCATACCTTATTTTGCATCTTCCTGAGCATGCTCTGAAAGGACCCTTATTTCCGAAGGTTATGAGCGGGCATCCTTGCAGGTCGGTGTTGTAGCCTATGACGCTTAATACGCTGCTTCTGATTAGCGGCGCGTAGTTGCTCGTTCTGGTGCGCCAAAAAGCTGCGTTATGCATTTGAAGAAAGTTGTCGGACAAAACAAAAAGTGGCTGGTCAAGAATGGCGTTCAGATGAGCAGGGAAGATGGTTTACACCAGAGATTTCGCCTCTATGGCCTGTCGCGTTCGATATTCAAGCATTTGAAATTCCCATGTTCTATGCCTGTCCGCTGGTTGCGGCCAATGGCGCTGGTAATGAATCTTCTGCAGATTCTACTTTGTCTTTCGATCCCGCTGTCGTCTTGTTATGTCTCATGCACTGTATGGCATAGCCTACCCCCACGATGAACCCGAAACCACTCAATCCAACTCCAAGGTACAATGCCCCCCGGTACCCCTCAAGCACTGACCCATTTGCCACATTGACTTCCACCACGCCAGCAATACCAAGACCCAAACTCTGCGAATAGTAAACCACAGTCGCGATCAGGCTCGCTGCAATGCCCTGTTGTTGAGTGGGCACGAGATTGCTCAACAAAATTGTACCCGCGGGAAAACTCATGTCCATCCCGAAGGGACTGAGTAAGTACGACCAGAAAACACTGAGCCAGTACGTTTGTTGGACTGGCATTGTTGCAAGGATTATGTTGCCGACACAGAACCATATAAGCGAGAAAGCGAGAATTACTGGGGGCTTCACCCCCCTGGTCAGAAGACTCGAGGTCAAAATGCTAGCAGCAATACCAGACGGCGGCACTGGACTGAGTTGTGCCGCAACAGAGAGCATGGTGTTCCCCCGAAGACGAATCATAAAGTTGATCGAATAATAGCACAGTATACCAAATGACGACCACCCGAGACCCTCTATGAGAAGGATCCAGGCAGCGTCACGGTCGATCTGTGCCACTGGGACGATCGGGTGCGTGGTCCTTTTTTCAAGTGGGAAAAATGCAGCGATGAGGAACAAGCCAATGGTAAGGGTCGTGATGCATTGCGCACTGGCCCATCCTGTTTCCGGGGCGCGATTCCAAGCAAAGTTGAACAGAACAAGCCCTAAGAAAACCGATTAGCTCGTTTTGATGTGATAGGAATTCGTTTACTCACCACTAATGATTGTCGACGTTCCCAGATAATCGAAGGGTTCCGGTGAAGGCTTACTACCGAGATGTGGGACAAAAATATATGCCAAACCTCCGTATATCAGACACGCAATAGCGTTGATGTAAAAAACCCATGGCCAACCTGCTAGCTGAGCAAGTAACGCCGAAAAGGCGGCCCCGAGAGTGAAGCCTATAGGCGCCCCGGAGGCATAAAGCGAAAATGCCAGATTCTTCCTGGGACCCGGCTTGTAGATACTCCCAAGTATAGCCAATGCACTCGGGACCAGTGCCGCGGCAGCTATACCCTGGAAAGCTCGGCAGATGTCAAAGAAAACTTGCGACCCACTGTAGACAGATATGCCTGCGAGGAGAGCCCATAACGAAAACCAGCCCCATGCCGCTAAAAAAAGACGTTTGTGTCCGAGAATGTCCCCCACGCGCCCAAATGCTAGCATGAAGGCGCCCGACGTGAGTCCGTAAGCGGCGGGATACCAGGCTATATCGGCTGATTCTGCTCCAAAAGCTTCTCCAATCATTAGACCCGGGAGGAAGCTCTGTGCCAGAGAAGCTTGCACCATTCCCTGAGCCGAACATACCGTAAATAGCATGCATATTTCTCTCGTAAAAGATAAGCCACCAATATGGAATATGTCTTCCTCCTTTTCTCTTTTGAACATCTTTTTATGCGAATAATTTCTTCGATTAGATCTGGAGGTCAAATTATTTGATGGTGTAGGTCTCTTGCAACTTGCTGTGAATAATGCCGTGAGAAAAGAATGCAAATCTTCAATGAATCGCTCTATCCAGGAGTTTCAAAGCACAGCCATGGTGCGTGGAAATAAACTCCCTTCTCTTTAGTCACAATGTGTCCGAGCGGCGAGATTTTCCTCCGACTATCACGCCGCCATCTCAACAAACAATCATCTGATGGGATACTCATATACTCCGTGTACGTTGAACCCAGTGAAAGATTACCGACTCGATTTGAATTAGTAGCCCGCCAAGTAAACCTACTAACTGGTAGGTCATTCGATCATATATTTTCTATATTAATGCCAGAAGCCTTTCGAGACTATTAAAAAGTGTTAGAATCTGTATAACGAACATAAGTTTACAAGAAGACTATGAGAAGCTACAATTAAGCCTATCATACCTCGGTTCCTTTGTTCTCTAAAAAGTATACATGTCCTTTTCATCGTCATACAGACTTGAGCAAATAAAAAAGATCCGTTGGATTGAGGCTAGTACCAAGGTTGCTGTTATCTCACAAGGCATAAGCAATAACTATCAAGGTATACCGAAGACAAAGACCGTATATCTTGCGAGAACAACTAGCTCGTGGACGCCAATTATCAACCCAGAGCATCATCTCTGCAGCTATTAGCAACACCCACTCAATGGGATGTGGACAGACCTACGTGTACGTCTCCTCTGGCATCCGAACACCGTCATTAATCGAGATCCCCAACATCCTCCCACCGTCAACCGTCAACAACGCACAATTCATATACCCACCCCCGGGACTCGACAACAACAGAACCGGCCCAACCATCTCCTCCGGTCGACCAGGTCGGCCAGCAGTGCACCGCAAGGCAGCTTTCTCGGCCTTGTGGCCGATTTTGTATTCGTGTTTGCCGGAAGCAACGCCGGTCATCTCAGATGGAAAGATGCCGGGGCAGATGGTATTAACGCGGATCTTCATGCTGTGGATTGTATTAGTTGTGGTGGATTTGACGGAATTGGTGGGAGGGTAGCTCACGGATGCAAACGGGCAGCAAGTTGTTTCGCGAGGTGGACGCCTAGAACATGGATGAGGTCAACATTTCATGAGAGATATGGAAGGGTGGCATACTCGCGGCTTTGGAGACGCTATACGTCAAGGAGCCCATGGTCCTAGTTGATGACATATTAGCTACCGATCTCGGTGTTAGGGCGCAAGAATCTACCTCTGCGCTCCGAGAGCTGCGAGTGAGGCAATCACGCAGACGTTGGGGTCTGCCGCTTTGCGAAGAAGAGGAACGAAGTTTACTGTCAAAAAGTAGACGCCGCTCACATGGACTGAGGCAGGGTTAGTGGTAACATTTCTAGGGGCGTGAAAATATCATACTTTGATTACTTCGGTCAAAATCCTCCCTAATCCACTATCAGCGACTTTGATCCTGAACAGCAGAAACAGACTTACTCCTCGAGGCCATTGATCAAGAGATTCTCCGCATCATCAGCTATAACCCAGTCAGTCCTACCATTTCTTTCTGTGCATATGCATGTAAATGCCCAAAACGCACGATTGTTAACATCCTTAGCGGGGACTCTCCACGGACTGCTCACGCCGGCGCAATTGATGAGGGTGTCAATATGGGACTCTTTCGCTTTGACGGCGTCCACAATCTTCAAACAACCGTCCTTTGTCTGCACGTCGCCTTGGATACTACGCGTTTGCACCGGAGTCAGCTTATTCTCGAGTCAAGGGTATGACGAAATTCACATGTGTATATCACCGCCAATCTGTTTTGCCGCAGCCTCCAGTACCGCCTGTCTCCGCCCGGAGATGTATACCTTGGCGCCATTGACGGCGAATCCTTCCGCGAGTGCTTTTCCAATACCGGACCCTCCGCCCGTGATCACGACCACTCGGCCCTTTACAGAGAAAAGATCCTCGACCTTGAATGAAACGTGCTGCTCCGCCATGATTCTTGTCGAACGAGGAACCGTCAGGTGTAATTTGCGAGTTGTCGTCAACTGTTGTGCTTGCTAACGTCGCAGGCAAGTGAGGGGTGCCTGGCACGCAACCCAGCGGGGCACTGCCGTAATTACCGACGATTGGCTATTTCTTTGCTGCCGGATAGCCGTTGCTCCATTATTTTTCGAATCGAAACACTGCGTGGACGCTACGACCGTGGGGGCTATCGATAAGCCCGCGTGGGGGTTCCCCGAGGGGCCGGACAAGTCAGGGCGGGGGTTCGGGAAGGAACCACACTCCAACAACCACCATGAAGCTCCTTTACCCAACCTCAGTTAAGGGCCCTATCCCGACCCTCAAGGGCTTTGCTGTTACTCTGCACACCTACAACGCCAAGGAGACCATCCCGGAGGAGCTCATCGACGCCGACATCCTCGTCACTTGGGCCAACAGTTCCGAGAACCTGCAGGATGCCGCCAAACGCATGAAAAATCTCCGATGGATCCAATCCCTCGCCGCGGGTCCCAATGATGTTCTCTCTGCTGGGTTCGATCTCTCCCGGATCACCGTCACCACCGGCTCCGGTCTGCACGATCGCCCCGTCGCCGAGCATGCTCTAGGTCTGCTCCTCGACGCCTGCCGCCACTTCTACGAGATGCGCGATTACCAGCTCCAGTCGAAATGGCCCGCCCATCTGGGCGGCTCCTTTCCCCGCGCAGGCCAGTTGACAACTCTGCGTGATGCCCGCGTGCTCATCTGGGGATTCGGCAACATCGCGAAGACTCTTGCCCCGCATCTGACCGCTCTCGGAGCCCACGTCACCGGTGTGGCCCGAGGACCGGGCGTGCGCAACGGTGTGGAGGTATTCGGGGAGGACAAACTTTCGGAACTCCTGCCAAAGACCGATGCGCTGGTTATGATCCTGCCGGGCGCGGAGTCAACAAACAACGCCCTGAATGCCGAAAGACTAACGCTCTTACCCAAGCATGCGTGGGTGGTGAATGTGGGGCGAGGAACGTCGATCGATGAGGATGCATTGGCGGATGCTCTTGACAAGGGCGACATCGCCGGTGCTGCTCTGGACGTTTTCAAGACAGAGCCGCTTCCTGAATCCAGCCGACTGTGGAAGACGCCAAATCTGGTCATCTCGCCTCATGCTGCCGGTGGAAGGCCTGAGGGTTATGAGGAGCTGATTGCGGACAACCTCCAGCGGTTTTTGGCTGAGCAGCCGCTCAAGAATGTAATCTAAAGGGACATTGAAGATATTTAGACTTGGAATATAACCGTTTCGGTTTGATAGAAAGTTTGGGAATGAAAAAGGGAGAAGGGGGGGTTAAGCTGGGAAGACTCGTCATTCCCCGAATATAGTGCCGAGCAACGAGAAATCATCATGTTCGTCTGTGTTCCTATGGACATAATATATCTCCATGGGTTGCAATGAAGGCAACGTAAGAGCCGACATGTATCTGCCTAATGGTGAAACAGAGGCCAGTAGGACTGATGCCACATTGCGTCTTAACAGGGACGGGATCAAGTATCAAACACCAAAGGTTCTTCTCCACGTATTCCGCGCCAGTAATTGGTTGAGTTGGCAAGGTCATCACATCCCTTGATGACCCAGTTCCATTTACGCAAGAAAGTCTCACTGACCTCCCACCCCGATGGATGCCATGGCATTCTCCACACAATCAAACCGGTCTCATCGTTTGAAACGTCATGGAAATCAACAAGGTCATTGCAAAGAGCAGTTTCATCGAAGTCTCCATATTTTTGTAATAGATTATCCCTCATTCGGGGGATCGGGAAAAGGTCTATCCACGGGTGATGGGAGACTTCCCGTTGTAAGGATGTAGGACAGAGGCTCGTTAGGCAAAATTTAATTCGAGATTCAGATACACCTGCACACCATGGGGAAATAGCTTCTTCATCTAGCCAGTCCATAGTGAATCCTAGTACGGACGTGTTATCCACGAGCGCTCGAAAAACATTGAACTGGATCAGACTTAGAAGTTGATCGACTCTTGGAGAGCCCAGTGCGTAGTCTTTACGCGCCGAAGCCTCGTATTGCGCCATAATATGTTGGATCTCTGCCCGATTCATTTTGTGGATTGATTTTGGTGTTCGGATACTCAATTTAGGTGAAAATTTATCTTTTTCGGCTCGCTTGCTGCTTGTGACAGCATTGATGCTGTCCTGTTCATTTTGTTCACGTTGATCTTCCGTATCTGGAAAGCTCTCTGATTGCTCCGACGTGGCGGGATTTGTGTCTGATTCAGGAGTGTTTGCCGCAGATTTTGCTCGTCTTCTCCAACCTAAGACCCCAGTTCTAGGTCAGCCACTGCCAAGTAAGCTAATAAGAAAGAGCATACGATATATTCTCTGGTTCAACCGATTTTGCAACTTTCGCCGAAGCACCGGGTCAGAGAGACCAGTCCAATTTTCTTCGGCCGAACGCGCTTCAAACAGCTCTGGCATGCAGCCTACTGTAATGGCAACCTTATCTGGGGATGTATTGATACTGCTAGTCATATTCACGGAGGATTCTGCACCTGAAAGGAGGTGATATGCTTGGGGAATATTATTCCGGCTTTTGTCCGCCAAAGTGGGGTTGTGTTAAGTTAATTCATCTCACCAATCATTGGTTAACTAATTAACTAACAAGCTACTTTAAGACCAAGTCTGTTGAAGTTTGATTTCGCTCTAACCAAATCTCAAGCGGCCATTTCATCACCTCAATCCAGGGTTGATCAAGTAATAACACTTGACCACTGATAGCTTACTCGATTTAACCACTGCAAATGATGGAGGCGGTGGAGTTTCCCCCTTTCAAGGACCCCATTTTTCTAGGATGGTCTGGCTGGCTAGGTCTGACCACCCAGAAAAGGTCCGTGTGTTTGAATCTGATCATCATATAACGACGTCGCAAGATTAAGATATAACCACTTATAGCGACGACCAGAATGAGTTGGTTTGATTACTTACTGAAAATATCACAGAATCGCCATTTCACCACCTCAAGAATAACGAACATCCATACCTTGGACTATGAGGGATTCGCACCATTGACATGGCTGATATTTGCGAACAAGCCTGAAATCATATCTGTAGCAGTTACTAAGCTTACCAGAGAGATAGAGAGAGGTGCGAAGGATGATATGGTGAGGGTTGACAAGTGGGCTTGGATTTGGATCTTGACATATTCCCGATTTCCCACATATAAATTCGCACGAGGATCGAAGTCATTCGATGATTTGCAAAAATTTCCTACAAAATTTGAACGCAATGATATAGCTTTATAGTCGATTCTAGGTTAATTGGTAGAATTCTATGGCAATTCCGTAATGTTAGAATACTCTACTCAGTATCCTAATTGTTTTACGCTCCGGATTCCCCGATTTTAGAGAAATTTTTGATCCTGTTATTAGACGCGTTCGCTTTAATAGAAGGTTGTGTGGTATTAAACAGTAGTGTTTGAATATATATCTTTCGTGAGATACAGATGCTTTCGCCTAGCTCCTAAATTACAACTACTAACCTCTAGAAGCTCTCTACATTGTTTTCTTTCCTGGGATTAGCCGCCATATGCAATCACCAAACCTCATGCTGTCTTTGGATGCGTCCTTGTTTCGAGGACCAAAAATAACCACAACAGATACTTGCAGTGGCAGCTGTACTGATGAAGTGTCTAGGTAAATCAAGTCATCTGTGGAGAATTTTCCTAAACCTGCATCGCAAGCGATGCAAGCTGCTACATGTGGCCTCTCTATATTCAGGCTACAGTCGGCTGAATGCATCTGTGGGAAGTTAAGTGCTTGCATTTACGGCGTACAATAACACCCAGCATCAAAGTTACAGGCTAATTCCCTCAATCCTAGCTCACCTACATCACTATTTCCATTGAGTAATAAGTGGACCATCGCTCCGGTGGGGAATTCATCAGTGCCCAGCTGACGACTGTCCGGCGGGGTAAGCAGCCCCACCAAGTAGTCTATCCGGTGGAGAGAGTCACCCAGCTCAAAGTCCGTCAGTAGCTAGTGGGCTAGGTGGAGAATGGAGCAGAGACACAGTCTCAAGGCCACGACACTGGTATGCTGAAGCTCACATAGATAATCTCCTGCCGGCGCCCGATGTCGAGAGTTGTGGAACTACGGGTCATAGAAATATTGACGAGTTAACGACTGCTGGTCTACCTCCACGATCATTAGCCAACAAATCTCAAGTTAAAAAGTCTTTCCGCAGTCCTCGCAGTTACGAGACTCGGGATAAGTCAGAAACGCTGCGCCCATGTTGTTCAAAGATGAGAATCGCCTCGTTTTCGCCTTCGATGCTGAGCGGCTATGGATTGAGCCCTGGGGTGAGAATGCCTTGCGCGTTCGGGCGACCAAGATGAGCTCGATGCCGGAACAAGATTGGGCGCTCCTCCAGCCAGCATCAAGCAAGACGCAGATCACAACTGAGGATGCTTCTGCTTCAATCGTCAACGGCAAAATCAAGGCCGCCATCTCCAAGGCGGGGAAGTTGACTATCTGGAACTCCGACGGCAAGCTACTGCTCGAGGAGTATGTTCGCAACCGCAACGACATCACAGATCCTAAGACCAGTGCTTTGGAGGTGGAGGCGCGAGAGTTTAAACCTATTTCAGGCGGCGATTATCACCTCAAAATGCGGTTTGAAAGCCTCGATCCGAAGGAAAAAATTTATGGCATGGGCCAGTATCAACAGCCTCACCTAGACGTCAAGGGAACGCAACTAGAACTCGCACACCGAAATTCGCAAGCCAGCGTCCCGTTTGCTCTATCATCGCGGGGATACGGAATTCTGTGGAATAATCCTTCCATTGGAAACGCCGTGCTGGGCAAGAACATTATGTGCTTCGAAGCTCTCTCCACCAAGGTATTGGACTATTGGGTGGTGGCTGGTGACACGCCAGCAGAGATTGTGGAGGCCTATGGTACCGCAACCGGCAAGGTGCCCATGATGCCTGAATATGGACTGGGTTTCTGGCAGTGTAAGCTCCGATACCAGACCCAGGAAGAGCTTCTTGAGGTTGCGCGCGAATATAAACGTCGCAAGCTGCCAATCGATCTGATTGTGATTGACTTCTTCCATTGGCCGAAGCAAGGTGACTGGAAGTTTGATGAGACCTACTGGCCCGATCCAGGTATGCTGAAGCGTGAATTTTTTTTTTTTTGGCTCAGGATATACTAACATCAGCTTCGCATTAGATGCAATGGTCAAAGAATTGAAGGGCATGGGCATTGAGCTAATGGTTTCAATTTGGCCGACTGTCGATAAGGATTGCGATAACTACAAAGAGATGGTTGAAAAAGGCTATCTGATTCGCACAGACCATGGCGTGCGGTTGGCGATGGACTTTCAGGGCAACACCATCCACTTCGATCCCACCAACCCGGAGTCGAGACAATATGTCTGGAATAAGGCCAAGAGTAACTACTACAGCAAGGGCATTAAAGTATTCTGGCTAGATGAGGCCGAGCCCGAGTATAAAGTCTACGACTTTGAAAATTACAGGTACCACCTCGGATCTAATATTGCTATTGGCAATATCTACCCGCGCGAGTACTCGCGTACCTTTTATGAGGGTATGGAAAAAGAAGGCCAGACAAACATTGTCAACTTGGTCCGCTGCGCCTGGGCTGGTAGCCAAAGATACGGTGCTCTTGTCTGGAGCGGGGATATTGCATCCTCGTGGAGCAGCTTCCGAGACCAGCTGGCCGCCGGTTTGAATATGGGCATCTCTGGCCTGCCCTGGTGGACGACAGACATTGGCGGTTTCCATGGTGGGAACCCCAACGATGAAAAGTTCCGGGAGCTTCTCGTCCGCTGGTTCCAGTGGGGCACATTTTGTCCGGTGATGAGGCTGCATGGAGACCGCTTGCCTCTGCAGCCTCAGCATGGGACGACGGGCGGCGCGCAATGTCGCAGCGGCGCCGCCAACGAGGTCTGGTCTTTTGGGCCGGAGGTGTACGAAATCTGCAAGAAGTATTTGCAGATTCGCGAAGACATGCGCGAGTACACGCGCAAACTCATGAGAGCAGCCCACGAAAAGGGCTCACCAGTGATGCGCACACTTTTCTACGAGTTTCCCGAAGACGTGATATGCTGGGACGTTGAGCGGCAGTACATGTACGGCGATAGGTACTTATGCTGTCCGGTGATGGAGCCTGGCACGACCAAGATGAGCGTTTATCTGCCAAATTTTGGCGAAAAGGACAAGCAGAAGAGCTTCTGGAAGAATTTCTGGAGCGAGGACTTGTATTCTGGTGGCTCGACCATTGATGTAGACTGTCCGCTCGATAAAATGCCTGTATTTGTTCGCCAGTGTTAGACATAGACAGCATCATAGAAAGATTTAAACTGCAAGTCTCATAGACTGGCTGCGGTTTATTCAGGCAATGTACACTGAGAAGGAAACCAGAATAACAAGACCCGGCGGAGTAGAAGCTTTGGAAGTTATGAAAGCTGGGGTTTTTGAAGTTCCGCGCTAAGTTAGATCCGAACAATGAGAAAGGATAACGCTCACCCCGTGAGCCGAGGATCCACCCTGCCCATCCCCTTGGCGCCAACTTGGGGCCCATTAACTTATTTGTCTTCCCTTCCATCCGGTGAGATGAACGTGCCAACCGATTTCTTAAAACCTTGATATAATTCTGGTTGAGACAAAGGCGGTGGTAAAAAAAAATGGTGCAAACGTTCCCGGTCACTGTCAAATGCAGCATATGCGACGCCTCGTTCGCACGCCAGGAACATCTTACCCGTCACATAAGAATTCACACGAGAGAGAAGCCATTTCACTGCACCTCATGCGGCAAAAGATTCTCAAGGCAGTAAGCTGAGTTGCATGGCCCGTCTGGGAATGTTGTTGTTGACCTCCAGCAGAGATGTGCTCAACCGCCACGTTACATCGCATCAGGCCGACGAAACGCCGCCGGTGCCAACTGTCTCATCGAGAGCCTGTAAAGAGTGCGCAGCTTGCCGCGTGCGCTGTTCCAGAACGCAGCCGTGTAAGAGATGCTCCGAAAGGAATATTCTCTGCGAGTTTCCAGTGCCTCGCAAGCGAGATGCCTCTGGCTTAGCCAAACCATATGATATCGATACAACGATGGAAGCAACAGATTCAAGTCGTTCGGGTGATGGTTCTATGGGGAAGAGCCAGCAGCATTTCCGGGGGGATAATTGCCAGGCAAACCAAGATGGATTCTCTTTTCAGAGGCCTGCGAGCTCTTCGCAGCTGCCGGACGGTGAGTATTTGAATGACCACTTAGGCTGGGTGGGTAGCTTCGGAGCAGCTGAGCTGCACTCCTCTGTTGCGCATCTATACGGCGCTATGCAGCCTGGAATGGACCCTTCCATCGTCAATTGGATGTCTCCCGAGAACCAGCAAGTCATGGATTGGGATAGGCAGTTGACAAGCTTTACAGTGCACATCGGAGAGGCGACTTCCGGCCATGGCGGATTCCCCTTCTACTTCAACGAACCGAATCCTGTGAACATTACCGGTGACCAATGGAATTTGGCTTCCGCCCGGAGTCAAGAACAGAGCGAGCACCTTTTACAGCGTACTTCTCGTGATGCAAGCGAGAATAGCTTGAGCGGGCCATCCGAGTCTTACATTGCCACAGGTTCAATGATCTCCACGTCAACAGATGGAAACTTATATGTCGATGGTTCCGGCGCGAGAGCACCGTTTGGAGGTCGGTTAAATATCCAATGCTCCCCACTCAGCGTCGATGCCAACGGTGAGGACGTGACCGAACTTGCTCCGTCTCATTCAGCTACAGCGGGAATGGTATCCATGTCTGCTTATCAGGGCTTGAGGGATCATCTGGAAGACGAGTCATGCCTTCATTCGCAAAGCCTTGATCTGTCTCAATTTCCACCTTATGCTCATATACAAGGGTTTGTGCGATATTACTTCGAGAGGTTTCATTTGGTCTTTCCATTCCTCCGGATGTCATCGTTCTCCCATGACTCATCCCACCATTGGGTACTTCTTTTAGCTGTCGCTGCGACTGGTTCGAGGTATTTGCGCCGAAATCAAGGAATACAACCTGGGGATATGCTTCTGGGTTTGCTCCGAACGATACTCTCCCGACGGTTGTTTGGACTCCAGGTGGACAACGATGAAAGCATCCCTTTCATACCGGGTGCTCATACTGTTGGATCAACCATTCCGGATCTCCCGGTCTTACAGGCCGCGATACTAAGTGTCATGTGTACGATACATTCTGGGACAAAGTCGATGGCGGAGCGCGCATTCGTGGAAAGACACTACCTCGTGGAGGCATGCATTGCATCAGGGCTTCTTTCAGCAACCGCTCCGGCTGAAGCTCTCTCAGATGGCACAGTGAATGATGATACATTCCGGAGATGGTTATACAGAGAATCGGAGATAAGAACAGGGATGATGATATGGGTAAGCAATTCCCATTGGAAGTTTCCTGGGAGTTTCAAATTTTGATTATTTAATGTCTGGATTCAGCTGTTAGACTCCATTATTGCGTACCAATTTGGAGTGAAACCATTGATGCATCTTGAGGATGTTAATGCACCATTGCCCAGTCGGGAGGACATTTGGGAGGCGCCCAGTATAGCCAAATCCATGCCGACGAAGCTGAATATGAGTACGTATATTAAATCATGTGGACAGTTGTGACAGGGACTGAATAGAACAGTGACACTTCCTGAATCAGTCTTGATGCTATATATGGAAAAGAAGCTACCGCCAAATCTCGGCGAGTTCAGTACTGCGCTATTGATCAACGCAATTTACCGCAGAACCAATGATGCCATTAGTCAAGAACGGAGTGCATTGAATTCTTGGGTCCCGACAGCCACGAGACAGCGCCGCACAGATCCAGCGACGATTAATGAAAGTTGGCCTCCTAGTAGCCAACTGTCTTCAAAATGGCGGAACAGTGCCTGTGACTCTCTTGATGTGCTGCATTGGTCCGCCAACAGCAAAACAATGCGCCTCAATGGAGTAGAGCATCCAACGATCTTGCACCTCCACCTGGCAAGGTTGATCATCTTGACCCCAACAGTACACATCCAGGCGTTTGCAACCCACTCTTCATCGCCTCAGACAGGTCATGGGTCCGAAAACAAGATCTACATCACGGCAAGAAATCAGGTGCTTCAATGGGTCGGTCGAGATCAGTTCAAGGCAAGGCTATCCGTGATACACTGCGGAGCCTTGTTTTGGCACGTCCGCCGACATAGCCTCGATAGCGTAATGGAGCCTTTTGCCATATACATCGCCACATTGGTTCTCTGGGCATTTTGCGTCTCATTCCAGTTCGCCGGGCGGAACGCATACGAGGGGCATGTGAGCCAACAAGACTCCTCGGAGCAGCCGCTGTATGAACTTCCGGAACCTCCATTTATCCTCCTGGACCGACCGCTTGACGATGAACTGGTCCAATTATTTGTGCGGATGGGCCACAGGATGAACGGTTATATCACAAGAGTGGGGAACATCCAGGATCCGGAAGCGCCGAGGAAGCTTTTGCAAGAAGGTATTCGACTTCTTAATAGGGATCATGGATCAGGATTTCCGCTAGGAGATGATCGCCAGTCACACCGCAGTCGCACTGGAGAACCGCTGTGTCACACCTGGGGAATTGAGGCATCTTTCATCGAGGTTCTCAGCCGTCTTGTACGGGCGACTGTGGAGTTGGTTAGCAATCAATCATGACACATACTCGACGCTCCCTCCGCTGCAGTCATTTGCTCAACCACCACGGTAGAGAGCTCAGGAAACATGACTTTGCCCTGTGTTTCGTTTCCATCGCGCAGATTATTCCCAAAGAATGAGCTTGCTGCTTAACGCGTGTTGATTGTGATCGCTCACGACGACATTCGTGTTCATACTCGTTAGTTGAGTTGGTTACGTGACACCTTACCCCACCGGTCGACCCCTTTAGTGGATGTGGAGCAGTCCCCGATGGAGACCGGCAAGCGAGAAATGACGGGCCTCACATGGTGTTTGTCACCTTACCCCGATTTCAGACGGAGCAAGTGCCGGCCGGCTTTTGTGGACGGTCTCGAGCCAATAATTACACTAACCGCTGAGAGTGACCCACATAGTGCGGCTGCTCTTATTCTGTTGATTCTCGAGGATGGCAAAGTCACGCTCGGACCAGAAGCCCTCGATCAATCTACGCATGTCTCCTCTCCATCGGCGAGAAGTATCTGCTAATTATTAATAACCCTGCTTTAAATTAGCCTATTTGAATGTCTAATGAAACATTACACACTACCTTTTCGAAAGACTGGTAGTTAATCAGGACTCAGGAGAGTTCGCATAGTGACTAGAAAGTGTTGGTGTAGGTGTGTCCAACTGCAAGGGACCCTGGGAGCAGCCCAACCAACTAACTAGTTAACATAGTTGAGTTAACTTAAGCTAAACTAGTTAACTAAACGTCTAATCAAGTATAAGCTGACTACGTAAGGTCAGATCCAGAACCACGTGATTGCGCAGACAGGGCTGGCTAAGTACCGAAGATGCCTCGCTATCTAGAGATATAAAGATGATTGAAATGGGACAACAGAATCGCGTGGCGCTGACATAGTTTGCTATCCTATCTAAGCCGTGCCTATACCTATTTTTGATCAGTGGTTCTAATAGCAGGTGTGCTAACTGTGACCAAGACAGCTATTCAGGTCTAACCAGTCCTTAAGAAGAGTTGTCAACAGTGCCTGATACGCACGGAGTTGAAAACTCCTACTATCCATATTATCTGTGATGGTGTAGTTATCAGACGGCCGACGGCCCGACCAGGGGAATATGTGCAAAGTACATCAAGAATTACCCACAAGAACATGTCTCCAGAGAAGTAGCATGGCTGGATATCTATGCGTGACAAAGGATTTTCTGTCACCCCACCCCAACATCTCCGTGGTGACTGGGGCGCGCCAGAAGAGACCAGCTACCCGTGCTGACCGGCCTAAAATCCTGTCCTGTGGTACCGAGACTAGCTTCCCGGTGGAGTGGTTTCCCCGTGGGGTAGTTCCAAATCGAGAAAAATATTTTTCCACTCACCGGATTCCTCCTTACTCTACCAAAAGAGAATCCGGCTATTATGTCTCAAGTTGAGAGTTAAACCCCAGACCCGGACCTTAATCAGTCAAAGCGGTGCCGGATATCGGGCTGTCCTTTTCCAATAACAATCTTCACGTGTAGTTAAAACGACGTCAGTTCCGCACACTTGTGCCTATCTCCTGCACCCAACAACCGCCACAACAAGATCGACGACAGAGATATCCAAGATGGTGAACGAAAAAGCGAACGAAAAGCCCGATCCTACTGACCTCCACATCGAGAGCGCTGACCAGGGAGTGTCTCACTTTAAAGATGTAGATATTCACGACAAGGCCCTTAACAATGGTGCTCTTGAGGCCACTGTCCAGGAACACAACGTCGGTCTCATACAAGGTTTGAAGACTTACAAGCGTGCTGCTTTTTGGGCTATTCGTCAGTGCCTACAGTCCTCACGAATGTATACAAAGAGCTGACTAGCGGTACAGTCATCGGAATGAACGTTATTATGGAGGGTTACGATGTAATTCTCCTTGGATCATTCTATGGCTATCCCAGCTTCCGGAAGAAATACGGCCAATACCTTGACGCCCAGAATGGTTACCAGATTTCAGCTGATTGGCAGACTAAATTCAACTGTCTCGCTGCCTTGGCTAATGTTATCGGCGCCATCTTTAATGGATGGGCCACCACTAGATGGGGCCACCGCAAGGTGCTTATGGGTAGCCTTGTGATTCTGACAAGCTTCATCTTTATCGTCTTTTTCGCTCCCAATATCGAGATCCTACTGGCTGGTGTGTTCCTCTGCAACATTCCCTGGGGAGTTTTTGCCACAACAGGACCTTCGTATGCCGCTGAGGTGACTCCTCTCGCTATTCGTGGTTATCTCACTGCCTATATAAACCTTTGTTGGTGTATTGGCCAGTTTATCGCGGCTGGTATTCTCAAGGGGTTGGTTAATAATCCAACCAAATGGAGCTATAAGATTCCCTTTGCTGTCCAATGGGTATGGCCTATCCCGCTCTTTATTGCAGCATGGATGGCACCAGAGTCTCCATGGTACCTCGTCCGTACAAACCAGTTGGAGAAGGCCAAACAGTCTCTTGAGCGGTTATCAGAGTCCGGTCACGATATCAACTACGACGCGACCATTGCAATGATGGTTCACACGAACAAGGTCGAGATCGAAGAGCGTGCTGGTGTGACATATTGGGATGCTTTCAGAGGCACCAACCTTCGTCGAACTGAGATTGCTTGTGTAGCATTTCTATCTCAGGTCACCAGCGGCACTGCCCTTTGCTACAGTGGAACTTTTTTTTTTCAGCAGACAGGCGTTAGTGCCAGTGCCTCATATGGAATCGGCCTTGGCGGTACTGGTATAGCATTTGTTGGAACTATACTTTCATGGCTCTATATCTATCGGTGGGGACGTCGAACTATCTGGCTTTTCGGTTTCGCAACTCTTGCCGTTATCCTATGGACTATCGGCTTCCTTGCTCTACCTGTGCAAACACTACCACTAGCTTGGGGACAGTCGCTGCTCTCCATTGTGTGGCTTGGTGTCTACTCTATGACAGCCGGCCCTATTGTCTACACTATCGTTGCTGAGATTGGATCGACCCGTCTCCGCTCTCAAACTGTTGTTTTGGCCCGAAGCGTATACTACGTTGGAAACCTCGTCAGCGGCATCATCAATCCTAGGCTGCTTGCTCCTGGTGCTTGGAACGCAAAGGGCAAAACGGTGAGATTTTTACCGTAGACTTTTTTTCTTCGGAGGCTAACCAGAAACAAAGGCGTTCTTCTGGGCGGCACTGGCCACATTGACGTGGGTCTGGGGATACTTCCGTTTGTTCGAGACAAAGAATCGAACTTTTGGCGAGACAGACTTCATGGTATGTGTACAAGATCGGCCCGATATATTTAGGTTATGCTTACGCGCACCCGACAGTTCCAGAGGCGAGTACCCGCTCGCAAGTCTGCCAAATACCAGATCAACAACGAAGAGGTCTACGTCGCGCACGCTGAGGCAGATCGTGATTAGGGGTTTCAAATTGTTACAAGTGTTAGCTTAGAGTGCGGCCAATGCAATGAAGATGCACCAGATTACAGCCCCAATCAAGAGCATGGCCGAAAAGCAATGCACCTTTCAATAACGCCCTCTACTTTAATTCACTGGGTCCGGTATTGTAAATTTTTTGAGATACAAGTTGTTGACTGGTTCAGAAAGCATGAGATCGAGGGACTAATTACACAAAACGGGTGACGGGGGACTGAGTGCTAACATGAATGGACATGCTTTTTTCAACAGTTGAGACAAGATATGTGGTTTTGAACAGAAAACAGATCAACGGGAATCTCCGTCTTGAAGTCGAACCTTCATAATCATCGCCATCACCTTATATTGATGGCAAGAATTTTCTTTTTCCCTCGACTTTATAGCCGAGTCAGTTCAAGCTTTACAGAACGATCTTCATAATACTACACGATAAAAAGTTGAGATACAGGCCATACTAATGAGTACCAACCATAAATGGTGAATTTTAAACTAAACTCAAAGCATCACTCACTGGCACAACATATCTTTCCCAGTCATTTAAATCTGAGATAGAAGCTCGTTTCGTCTCGGAAGGCTTCGACAAATTGAAGTCCCGAGATTTCCACACCTGCTCAATAACCGCGCGCGTCCGAGACACACTCGAAACACTGCTCTTGGCCATCCTTGCGAGCAACTCCAAGACAAGCCTTCTCCCGTCTGTCACTGATCCGGTCTCTGGGTCCGTCCAGAGTTCAGTATCAAGCGGATCCAGTTCAACAGCGGCAACGAAAAGAGGCCAGATGACGTGGCAGACGGATTCCAAAGCTAGTAATTCAACAATCTCCTTCAATATCCTTCGAACATAAATTCCGATCACGTGTTCTGATGGTCGCCCACCATATAACGCGCAATTCAGATAGACAACACAAGTAAGTCTCTTCAGTTCGGCGATCCTGTGAATAGTCTGGTCCTTTTCAACTGCATGAGGCTCTTGTTTGAGATTATTGAGCTTATCACTCAACGCAGCGGCTCGGAGACTGAAAGTCATCTGGTCTTCGTCCGAAACCATAAGCCGTCGTGATCGACTTAGGTCCATCACTGTGAATAATATAGAGACGAGGGCGGGGCTGCAGCCCATCCAAAGATTTATCGTTGTATCGTCTTCGTGCCAATAGCTCGATCCAAAAAGGTCTGCCTTGGCGCAAGCAGTTCGGCCCATCACATCTTGGAAAGCGAAAAAAGCTCCGCAAAAGAAGATACTGGATCTCGCGGCGTACCTTCATTTGCCCCTGTTAACAAGTGCTGCTGTCGCCTTCGAAGTCGAATAATATCTTTCGCTCCTTGCAGATGTACAATCCACCGTTGATCGCAGTCGTCCACGATATCGAAGAGACATAGGAACATCACTATAACCAAAACTTCGGGGTCTTCCGCAACGACAATCCATGGTTCACGATTTATTCGCTTTCGAAAGTCGTTCAGGACTCGGGACTTTAACTGCAGAGCGATGCTGCTGTATTGTGAGTCGTATTGGGACCAATGGCAGGCAGCCAGAGCCTGGATTGCTCGTAGGACTGTGGGCGAAGCTGATACGCAATAAGGAAGAATGACAGATGCAAATGGCGACTGTGACAGAGAAGTATGTGTTGTTCGAGGACATATTTGATTGATATAATAGTCGAACAGCTCTCGATTTTCCAGCTCGGCAAGTAGTGGGAATAGCGACAGAGATGGTCGTAAGTTCTGCATTAACACTTCATTCATCTTCATGGATTGATTAAAAGGAGATGGTGATCTTGTGGATGTTAGCATTGGCTCACGAGGCCCTTGCTCACCAATGGCCATTTTGGCATTGAAAGCTGGCAGGAGATGTGGTTCGGCGTGATTTTGTTCTTCGTCACAAAGTCGTTGGATAAAAGACATGTCATTATTTACGAATGTCCAATATTGGACCGACGGGATCGCAAGCCATGTAGCTTCTTCCGGGAAAGTTGAAGTTGAACCCGAAGAGACTGTTGCGCTTCGCCGCTCCTCGGGAGAGTTTTTGCTCCAGAGCCCGGACCTACCAAAGGCGACCCCACGATCACGAAAGTCTGATTCCCATTTCAGTTGAAAAGTACTGTAGCACTGCAGGTCTTTTTGCCAGCATCGGGTGCATGTTGGCTTTTGCTCGTCGCATTTGACCTTGCTTCGACGGCAGTTTGTGCATCCATGGCGTGAACGGTCGGGTGCCTTGCGGTCGCTTTTCCTTGCTTCTCGGTCCATCTGCGTCTATTCCACTTATTCGAATGGCCGATTCGAACCGTCAGGTTGAGATATCTCAACTCCCCGTTCTTAATGCTGCTCTTGGAGAGTCGGATATATCTGATGTCAGCATTCGGGAGTCCGGCAGGTCGTTGCGACGGCAAAGTTCGGGGTGGGGTGACATTTGGCCACTCATATTATCCCAAACAGTGGATCCTGCTTGATTGTAGAACCATAGTTTAGAAAACGAGGAAGTAGTGATATCAGTGCAGGCCGATTCGTAACTCAGTGCGGGGTGTCAGATATCGATTTTGGAGAGACAGCCTATTTAAGTTTCTAATTCCCTACGTTTGAGCATAATTCTTCACCTGAGTCCGCAGTCAATATATTTTGCAATCACGTCTGGCACCCAAAACTGGTATACTATCGCGGTATTCTTCAAAGCATAAATCATGGTTTTCAACCTTCGATGGGGCATTCTTGGTCGGTGTCATATAATTTTTGATTTACCGAAATTCATTTAGCCGTACTGACGTTCATGTGCCTTAGCCACCGGCGGAATCGCAGAAAGTGAGTTGTTCAATTTGCAGCGTTGACGATCGAGGAAGCTAATCTCGTCAACTCAAGCCTTTGTGAAGGACTTGTTGCGGGCTCCGACTGAAAGAGGAGTTACAGACGTCTCTCACACCGTAGCTGCTGTGGCATCCTCGTCGTCCAAGTCTTCAGCGGATTCATTTGTCCAGAGGCTCCAGATACCCGAACCATGTGCGACATACGGATCCTATGCAGAGGCCGTCAATGATGCCAGTGTTCAGGTGGTTTATATTGCTAGCCCACACTCACACCACTTTCAACACACGATGCTGGCACTGGAAGCCGGTAAACATGTTCTATGCGAGAAGGCCTTCACCGTCAACGCAGCTCAGGCGAAAATCCTATGCGAAACTGCCCGGAAGAAGGGTCTTTTCCTAATGGAAGCTGTTTGGACTCGGTACTTTCCACTGAGCATCGAAGTGCGACGCCTCGTGCAAACCGGAGCAATTGGCGAGGTCTTGCGTGTGATATCCGACTTGAGCATTGGGGATGAGCCTGAGACTACCTGGAACGCCGACCATCGTATGGTAAACAAGGACCTCGCGGGCGGCGCGCTGCTTGACTGTAAGTCTAATATACTTGGCAGTTATTGCTAAGGTCAATGCACAGTGTGCTAAAATGTTGCAGTGGGTGTTTATTCTCTTACTTGGGTTTTCCAAATTCTTTACCACACTCTACCACCATCTCAGCGGAAACCGCCATCACAGATTGTGTCTCATATGTCGAAATATCCTAACACCGGAGCAGACGAAGAGACGACTATGATCATAACATTTCCTACGACAACGCCGACGGCCCTTCCTAACCGAACCTCACACGCTGTAGCAATGACAGCTTTCCGCGTTGCCACTGACCCAGACAATCGCGGCTCTGCTGGCCCCTCTATTCAGATCCAGGGGACTAAAGGGCATATCCAAATCTTCGGGCCTGCCTTTTGCCCGGAGAGATACCGCGTGGTACCGAGTAGTCAATCAGGAGAAGCGACCACTATCCAAGATACTCATATGCCTATCCCTGGTGGTGCGCGCGGGATGTTCTGGGAAGCCGACGAAGTCGCTCGCTGTATCCGCGAGGGGAAACTTGAGAGCGAGACTCTGCCTTGGGATGAAAGTATCACGATTATGGAAGTGATGGATACAGTCCGTCAGCAGGGAGGGCTGACTTATCCAGAGAGCATCGAATCGACAACTTACCCACTGGCTCTTTGATATATCGGGGTAGAATTGTTGTGACTAACGCTATGTGTTTTATAACTACCTAGTTTCGGTTAGGAAGCAATCGCTCGTTACTTTTCGAACATTATGCTCCGTAACACTGCAATTCTCTCCATCCACTAAACAGCCCGCTAAGTAGTCTGCGTCTCCGTCGTCAAATTTAACAACGCAGACTCAAAGCCACTTAGTGTACGATGTAACCAAATTTCAAAGAATGATTTTAAACAGCAATCATCAGGTTCTGAGAGGCTTAAATGAACATCACAGTTGTATCGACACATATCAGCCATTCCTGATGCTGTCATTGACATGGATCTTTGGCAAGCTAGTGCGACTGTTAGGTTTGGTTGTAAGTACACAAAGTCAAGGCTGAGTGCTTGTAAGGAAGGTTTGGGTTAGTGATGTAAGTGCGTTCGGAATGCATTGATGGACGAAAGAAATATACAGAATCAAGCTTCGCTCGGCTTTCAGATCTTGAATGAGCATTATTCTGTTCGGCTTCAGACTATTATACCCTGGTCTCTCCATAAATGATACCCCGAATTTAATTTACTGTGTGACGGCAGAGGGATACAAGAACGAGGGCTACGTTGGGACCAGACCACTACTCTTCATTGTGCCATCCCTTTGCTTAGCCTTCGGTTTGAGTCAAAACTTTTCCGGTACTCGCTCCAATATTGCCATTTCTGAATAGTTTCCCGTTCGGTTATAGACAAATCTGTTTCATTTCTCTCGGTCCGAGGCCATCACAATCCTTGTACCAACACTTCACACCACAGAGAATAGCATCTCGGTAACTGATAGCTTACTCAACACGGTGCGTTGGCTAATGATCCTTACTCAGCCTTGGCATGTGCATATCTCCTCGTCGATGACGATCTCATTGTGCCAAAGGCGGGACAGGAGGCAATGATAGCAATTCAGAGCCAGAACTGGAATACTCACGCCTTACCCTGCGGCGTCGGGTCACTCTGCTCATCTCACATGTACAGAGCAATTGGTCGGAAAGGTCGCCGAATTCGCGGATAAGATGAAAGTACATCCACTTAAGCCCAAATTTGAAAAAGAATAGAGGCTCACGGGCCGATCATTGGCCAGACACTACGTACGGAGGCTTCAGGGATTTTACCTATTCCCCATGCAGGGTTGATAGTGATTCACAGTACTCCCCACTAGAAAATTTGTCAATGCAACTAACTACTGTATACTCCTACACTGATAAACCAGATATCAATCCAAGGCAGCTGAGGGAATCAATTCTTCGGCATAATGCGTTTTTAGAATGAAGCGACAGATCAACTACGAACAGTTACAACGTACATCCCAAGCTGATTCAATATCTATAGAACTTTTGAGGAGGTGGGGTTGGGTTCTGAAAAGGACCAGTACAATATCTAAAAATAGAGTCCCTGTGCACCCAGTTAACTCAAGTTAACATGGGATGATCCAAGACTGGTGGAGTCTTTGTGCCCCTTTTTTTGGCCCCAACCCTTTCTGGGAATGTTCGCACTCCTTTCCCGAACAGGCGAAACACCTGAATCCCCAACCGAAGAATAATGGTGCGATTGGGCCGTCTTTGGATTATGTTAATCTAACAAGGAACAAGAAATAATAGCCCTTTAGAGATTTGTGAGGTATTAATATGACTACGAACCCTCTGCCCGCGGCCCTCTCTTTTTAAACTTATCACGTATAATAAAGGAACCCAACACCATGATCAACCAGGACTTTGTCTCTGACCCGCTCGCCGAGCTCCACGAGTATTATGAGACTGGGCCTCCGATGATGGTCAGTCGGATCGACACCGTCGTCCCCTTGGGTCCGGACGGGTATGGGCCGCACGGCGTGGATGAGTATGCCGACTCGTCCGCGTCCTCGTCCTCATCGAGATCGAACTCGTTCTCCAATTTAGATCCTCGCCCACCTTCTTTTACGAGCCCCCTCGCTACGTCCATTCCAGAAGATCCTACTCCTAAAGAATCAAACAGCATACTATCACGCCCGGCTGGCTCTCTAGCATTAAAAAAGCAGTTATCGGCCAAATTGGGCGGGTGTTACCTACGCAAAAACGGCTCGTCCCATATGCTAGCGACACGAGGGAAAGCGAAGGGAACAATGGCCGAGTACAAATGGAATGTGACTAGCAAGGTTGATCAGAAGGTCTACTCGACTCAGGATACCGTCGCTGATCGCGGCAACCACATACGCGACTATCTCTCGACTAGGATGGATACTTTCATGGTTCAGTTGGATAATAAGATCCAGTCGCGAGATGAGCGATCTTTTGTTCCAAAACAAGCTAATAGTGAGTCTGCTCTTTTTTATTCTTTTAAAGAATTAGGACTCATTCCCTTTATAGTGCCCAACTATCCGGTCTACAGCGACGAAGACTACTCACATAACATAAATGACAAGGCCTTCAACGACAAATCCTCGAAGTCATCGAAGTATATCTCAAAGGTGCACTTTTACGAGAACTCGCGCCTACCAGCTTCCCTTCCTCAATTCACAATGTAATTCTTCCCAAGCATCCATATCGGCTATCTTAGCTAATATTACCTCTAGAGATTCCTCCGAATACCCCCTCATCCGCCTAGCAGCGCAATATTCGCACCAAACCTATGTTAAAAGCAAACCAGAAAGCCACAAAGCAATAGTGGTTGGCTGCGCTGATGACAAGGAAGTGATAGTGCTCGCGATCCGCGGTACAGCGAGCCTTAAAGACTGGGCTGTAAATATGGATACAGAACCCAAGTCCCCAAAGGGCTTCCTCGACGACTCTACAAACTTAGTGCATGGGGGCTTCCTTAGTGCCGCGAAGAAAATGATCCAGCCTATCGCGGCGCAACTCCGCGCGCTAATTGCTGAGAACATATTCCGACAATCCTACTCCCTCCTAATCACGGGTCACTCCGCTGGGGCGGCCATTGCAGGCCTACTATATTGCCATATGCTCTCAACAAAACCGGACTCAGAGCTGGCGTGTGTAGGTAGCTACTTCAGGCGTATCCACTGCATCACCTTTGGCGCACCGCCCTCTACCGAACGTCCACTATATCCTACTCCTTCGCCCGATAGCGAGCAGTCACTATTCTACGCCTTTATTAATGAGGGAGATCCTGTGCCCCGCGCGGACAAGGCATACATGCGCTCACTACTAAGTCTCTATGCCTCTCCTACGCCGGGTGATTTGAAGCTACGAAAATATGACAAGCTCACAAAGAAGCCTCGCTCTACAATATGGCAGGTTCCGCCAGCACCTTTATCGCTCGCGGGGCATTTAGTTGTTTTACGAAATACGCCGACTACAGACGAACATCCTATGATGAGTAAGGGCGAGGTTGAGGCTTGTGTCACCTCTGATTCTATGGTTAGGAGGGCCATTTTTGGAGATCCAGGGATGCATCCGATGACGCTGTATTCGCAGCGAATTGATGCGCTTAAAAATTATGATACGTGTTGATTGTGTGCTGTGTTGGTCAGAGTTGAGCTCTGATCAAGTCGTTTGTCTTCTTCTCCTTTCTTTCTTTCTTTCTTTCTTTCTGTTGTTCTCTAGAGCGTTTCCCTAATCCCTGCATAAATTGTGTGTTTACCCACTGTTAGCCGGTTCCGTAAAACCAACAACATAAGCGAGCCTGGGAGGCACAATTGACACTATTGGACAAAATATAAGTATTATAGGATGTATACCTGTGCTCATAGGTAGAATCTGCGTCCATTTTGGGCTAAACATCATTTGCGAAAACTCAGAGGCGATCTATTGGTTCAGTCTTTGGCTCCATTGTGTGTGAATGACCTGGCGTTACTATATGTGAATAGGTCCTGGCCTTATTGCTGCGGTGCGCTACTCCTATTCGGGCATCTGGATTATTTTTGGGGTCGAGTAATAGTCAAGTATTGCGAATTTCTCGAAGGATTGCGCATTAATTCTAGCCCCTATCAGGATCATGTTAGTTGCGATTTTCTCGAGGGATCACGCGTTGATTTCTGGCCCCTATCAGGATCATGTTAGTTGCGGTTTCCTCGAGGATCATGCGTTGATTCGCAGAGCATCTCAGATGCCCAAATAGGACTAGCGGTTGGAAAGAAAACGCTAATAGCTCATTTACACTTGAATCATGATAATACACAGAATTGTCCTGCTACGGCAAATTAGACATTCCTAGCCACCATAGCCCGGAGATGTGGAAGCAGGCGGTCACGATATATCGAATCCTCAGTACTGACTGCTCAATGAGGCTGCGACTGGATCAAAGTAGCTTGAGGCCCTGAAAATAGGCAGCAAGTTAAAGGAAGCTAACTCCCCGATCAACACGGTGTTTTCCTATGCAATCTACGGCCAATTTCATGATTATCTCGCCCACACAGCCTCTTTTGGGTAAGTGAGGGTTTCAACCACTTTTCCATCAAGAACCCACGGTTTCCTAGAATTCCAGGCCAACACTTGACTGACAATGGAAAGAAGAACGTATCCACACCTGATTTGTTCACGATAAAATAGGTCAGACTTCTAATTTCCCCATCCTTGATTAGGATCGTAACAAAGAAAAGGTGTCGTTATTGCCTACTCGTGTCAATGAGAGAGCGATACCGTTATTTCTCCACCCATCTCAACTGATACTCAGAGAGACAGGAGGTTACAATACCAGCTTATTATTGTATCATCACGTAGATTATTTTAAATTGAGTTCTAGGGCTATCAGAATACCTTAGGGCTGTGGATGGAGTAAATGAAAATTGAACTAATCTCAGCTTACTATACCCAAAGTTCAGTCTATTTAGGTATCATGCTAGCTGAATTCCATCATGGAGTTAAGAGACCATTTCCTGTTTCAGAGTTCGTTTCCTGTTTCAGAGTTCGTCATGACTGTAATCATGATCAAAGGTCTGCAAGCAAAATGCAGCTGAAGGACCGTTAATAAATGCGGAGTACGACTTCCTTTTCATAACGTTTTCAATCTCAACGAATGGTTTACTGCCATAGTCAATGGCATTAAAGACGCTTTGGACAATCTCGATAGCCGTGGATTATCCATCACAAATGATTTTAGTTCAATGGGATATCCTCCACAAACCGAGGTTAGTTATCAATTTCTTAGTTCGGGCTTAGTATTCTGACATGTTCTCAAGCCCAACGATACTTGGATCGCTACTATGATTGCTGGAATTTTTGGGTTGTTTGGTGGACTGCTTACCGCATCGCTCGGTGTTTATACTAAGGGAGTTGCATTTAAGACAGCTATCAATACAGACGGTGCAGTGGGAATAGGCCGTGGAATTACCACTATGGCGAACAGCATTACAAATGCCTTCAGAACCCTCTAGGCAGATTTTCCACATAATATTCATCTAATAAATTCAATAGGTTTATTGACGGACTGGCACTCTACGACAAGATGGCGAATATATCCGCTATCGGATTGAACGAGACAATGTATGGGATCTCAGCATGGCTTGATACCGCAGTCAATGGCATTGTGAAGAACGATGGGAACAGTGAAAACTATATTGTCAATGACAATAGCAGTCTTTATTGGATCTTGAAAAGTGGGATATCCGCTTCACCTCTCAAAGAAAAATTTGTCCTAGACGTCGACACCAATATGGTTTCGTCCTTACGCACGTCTGAGACCAGTCTTCTCTGGATGCTTCAGAGTGTCTTTATTGCTAAGTTAGCCGGCGTTTTTGGTCCTTTGGAATCCATCGTTTCTCCTCCGATGCAGATCCGTATGCGATGCAGATCCATATGCATTTTGTATGTTCTTCATTTGCCTCTAGACAGCACTCATGAATGACGCTTGGCCGTCCATTCTCAGGTTTTGACACCTATTTTTCTTTGATTTCTCTCTCAACGACCTTGGTATTCCTATTGAAAAGTATTCCCGCATTTGCTTTTGCTCCTGCCCTTTGTTTCATCTAAGCTATTTTAGAACAAACATCTTAGGCGAGTTGAAATAATATTAGATATCCTTATCCAAGCTAGATTCTAATTGCACTCCTATCATTGTTGACAAAAAGAAGAAAATTATATAGTAAAATCCACCCCGATCGTTTTTTAGACCCGTGCACCACATTATGTACAGAAGTTTGTGGCGTTGGTGGATGTTACGCACGACCCATAAAGCCTCCCTTTTTGGCGTTTTGGGACAAAGAGCAGTTTCTGGGTTTAGGGGTCATTAATTGTATAAAAGAAGGAAGGGTTGTGATGTTCCTTGCTGCATCATAAACCGGGCTGTGTTTGTCACACCCTGGCTGTTCATATCTCTTGCACTTTAGGAGCGTGTAGCCAGAAAGGCAGCAAGATCTTCAAGTTGGCAGTGTTGTCCAGACAAGACACGTGGGCGTGAATTTGAAAGAAGTACCTCCTCTCAAGTAGCACCGTTTTGAAAGACGGCGTCGACTTGAATGGCGAAGGAAGCGTCTCATGTATCAATACTGGTTCGTTGGGCCGCAAGGGCGCATTGACAATATATTTGTCGGGGCTGAGCGCAAGAGGGCTGAGCACAGAGGAACTAAGAAATGCCTTTTTCTCATGCGGAACACCTGTAGTCGTAGAGCTTCTGAGGATGATGGTGTAATCTTTGAGCTGAAATTCGGGTAAAGGCATCCTGTAGTCGGATTCTGGAGAGTTGATTTGAAGAGTGAACGCTAGCGTGAAGGGCTCGCCAATGATTACCGCTGTCATGGGTGCTGCTACCAGAGAGAGGCTCAGTTGGTAGTTCCCAGCACCGTGTTGAGTGATATCTTTAGGTTTTGCCTTGGTGAGTGGCTTTGGGATGCCCGAATTTGTGAATGTATAATGCTGCGTGAAGCTGTCACGGGCTTCTTGCTGTGCTGGACTTGGGTTTCGGGTAGGTTCGCAAGTAACAACAATAGGGAGTTCATCTCCTAGGCTCAGCATGCTTTTCTTAGCCTGGGCAGCTAAAGAATATGTGACTTTCCAATCCGTGTATGAGTCTCGCAGCTGACTGGCATCTTCGCATGTAGGTGGGATAGGCCACATGGGGCCCAGTGGAGACGAATAGAGGTCACCAGGTTTGGAGAATCCCTCCCATGCCACCGGATTAAAGAAGTTTTTGGGGATCTCAAAGAAGAAAGGGTACTCGTAGGTGGACGCCGCCATCTTGGCAGGACCCTGAAGCAACGTTTCGCTTAGCCTAAAGATATCGAAGTTGTAGGTATCCCTGAAATTCCCCTCTGTAGATTTTGCAAACAGTGACCCCTTGAATGTGATAGATATGTCTTTGATCTTCTCGTCGCCTTTCGCAGACAAGATAACTTTACCTGACACAACATCGCCGGGGAGGAAGTTATGCGCCTTCCGATCCGTCATCGAGTAAGGTGACTCCAGGACGATCCTAAATCGTGAACTCATCGCGGTGGTGATGTGCAAGCCCTTGGCTTTCTTTCTGTCTTGGAGGTGAATTCCACCTTGGGCAAACGGCCAAGAGGGAGAAGGGAACACGGGGTAACTTAAAGGACGGGCGGCCCCAGACAGGAGCCCTATGGACTTGATCTAACAAAGACTAGTTAAGGCTTATTATTCATGTCGCTCGGTTCATGGCAGCTTCTGCTTACGCCCCCACTCCGCCACGTAATAACACTAGTAGTTCTGGTTCTCCTATATGTACAAATGATCTTTATGCTATAACTGCCGCCTCAATGCGCCGTAGATGCTCTGTGATATCACGACAGCTCCATCGGGCCTGCGACTGCGGTACCAGCATGCCCCGGATACAGGTCATTAGCGCCTCGGCCACCGTCGTCCCATTATCTAGCATGGTCCCACCACGGTCGACCTTGTAGGAAAAGTCGCGGGGGAATAACGTGTGCTCCGTAGGGTTGTCCTTGGATCCATGCGTCAAGTCGTTCAAAACCAGCTGCCGCTCCATCTTGGTGTTCAGACGGTAGACCAGTTCAAACAGAATAACCCCCAGCGCATAGACATCCAGTTTCTCGTCAATCCGGTATGTATCAAAGTAAGCGGCGCCGTGGTTTTCGACGGCATCTGCTGGTGGTCGATAGAACTCGGTTCCAACGACCCGCTGGATGGGCGGGCCCTCACGGTATGGTGTCACGGTTTCATCTGAAGAGGTTTCGTTCAGATGGGAGATGTCTGCAACGAGACCAAAGTCGCCGATCCGAGGACGGCAGAAGTGGCGTGGAGTGCCATGCTCAGAGCTGCAGGATGCGCAGGTGTTCAGAAGACTATTCTCAGGCGTGGACAGAAAGATATTTGCTGGTTTCAAATCGCGGTGGACAATTCCCTGGGCATGCAGGTATTCTACCCCAGAGACAATATCCTGCATCAGTCGCACCGAGGGTAAGAGATGGAAACAATGTTTCCGGGAAATATAATCGCCACCCTCGTCCTTGGTGGCTGCTTGTTGATTCAGATACGAGCCGAGCGAGATCGGATGTAGCGACATCTGAATGTGGAGAATGACGGCGGGCGGTTGATGCGCAACACGGGCTTGGCGTTGGACCTGTAACTTGGACTGGTCTTGACTGAGGCCATCGGTAAAAATGTCACCGTCCGTTGCCCCAAATGTGGAAGTATGTCCATAAGAGGGTTTGTCGAAGTTTCGGGGAATAGATTCAATGTCGTCGTCCTCATCCTTCTGATCTCGTCCCGAGCTCTTCTTTGATATATGGGAAGAAGTAGTGGCACGACTCTCCCAACGCTGTATTCCGTTTGAAAAGCCTTGTTCGTCGAGACTCGGAAGGTATTCAACTGCTGAGCTCTCGGAGTGCTCAAAGACAATACCCATACTCGGCTCATTTGTGGAGGCTTGGCTAGGCATCCCGACCTGCGTGCGCTCATACTTGAGGTGAGGTGAGCGTTGCGCAGCTGCAGCAGGATTGGATACATGTGCCTGTTCAACCCATGCTCCATAGTACCGCACAATGTTGGCGTGCTCCAGCCGAGCGAGGGTCCGAATTTCTTTCATGATGGTCTCCAAGTGGATCTGACCGCCGTACTGGAGCTGGTCGAGTCGCCTCTGGCTGAGCGGGATTTTCTTGACCGCATAGTCTTGACCGTCGATATGGTTCTTAACATGATAAACTTCACCGAACGAGCCACGGCCAAGGACCTTGAGCTCACTAAACTCGACGGAATAACGAGACAGATGATTATAGGGCTGAGCAACTGGAGCATTGAATAGTGGCACACCCACAGGAGAACTGCCAAAAAGAGGAACGAAGGAATTGGGTAATCCTTTTGCGCCATTCGGGATGTTATCAAACATGTCAGGTTTATTTGTTGGCGGTAGTTGTTTTCTGAAGCCCAAAGCCCCTTGCCGAGCCAGCCAGAATTGCGCATTATCCCCCGACTCATGTTTGTTCAGTTTTGATCCTGGAACTAGTGCCAGTTCCTCGGTGGTGCCAATATGAGGGGGCTGCTTGTGAGGCTCACTCAGATTCAACTCATCCAGAGCAGACAAGCCGAGCAGATCGAGGTTGTCGCGATAGCTTTGTCGTGTTGAGCCCCATTCCTCTTTGTCAATGCCGTCCGCAAGAACACCATGCGACGACAGAAAATGTGACTTGTACTTGTACAGTTTCTTGCCTAGATACTGCACCTCGGGAGATTGGCGTGTGAATGTTCGACTCGAGCCCTGCTGGGCGTTCAGGATATCTGCCGCACGACTTTGGCAGTAAAATTCCAGCAACGCAGCTGTCATCACATTCGCGTGGCGCTCGATGTTCACATCTAGCGCATCATGGGAGAATTCGGACACATCGTCGAAAGACAAAGTATCCGCTTGGCTTCCCGAGTCCTTCGGATTTTGTTCAGCCATTTTGCCCTTGCCGGAGTCCTGGGCAACGTTCCTGGGATCCTGCAGCTCGCTGTCTTCCGAGCTCGACTCGTCGGACGATATTTCCGCAGCTGATCGAAACATCGACATATTGATCACCGCAAACAGAAAAGGCAAAAACTAACTCACGTTCCCAACAACATTCAGAGATTGATGCTCCAGGAATGGATACCAGCAGCCGACTGTTTTACGGTGATTCTGGAGAAAACCGAGCAGTACCTCCACCGGAGGGAAGTCGAGATGTATCCGAGTCGAGCAGAAGGAATAGAGTGTTTTTAAAGATGCCACGGTGGACTGTCCATCAATGGAGGGCGAATGAACATGTCCCACTTGACTCAGGATTCCATCGGATTCTAAAATGTCGTGGCAGGGCGTGTATCATGTGGCCCACATCCCTGCAAGGCAGCGCTGACCCAGAATTGTCGATCAGAGAGGCAGCAATAGTGACCAAAAGACAAGAGCCTCCACATATCAAAACCAACCCGGTCAGTGGCGCAAGGAGAATCTCGTGTCCTGTCATCGTTTGGCGGGGAAGAGTCATATTTCTGCCGGCAGAATACGCGCTCGTGCAGGTGCGGGTGCGCTGGGGATGGGAAATGCGATACATAATACTATGGAAGAGAAATGCGAAAGATTTTCAAGAGAAAGGGTTCATAGAGACCATATCTATTAAATAACAATAATTGTACCATCGTCATCCGACGCAGTACTCAAGCTTACAAAGACACACCGCCTCCATTATCTCGCCTTATCACACGTGACACCACGCGTAAAGGGCGTCACGTCGCGTCGGGTCGTTCTTAATCCTCTCCCATTCCACTGTCCACTCAACCCCCTACCCACTGACTCGTCGAGTCTGTTATCCCATAGCTTCTGCATTTCTATTCTATGAATTGCTACCATGCCTGAAGCTGTCATGCCCCAGAAGCGGGTGCTGGGTGACGCCACCAATAGTCCCCGCAATGCTCTCAAGTCTCCCAGCGCGCTGAAGAAGCGCAAACTGGACAACGAGTCCGCGGCCCAGCTCCTACGATCTTCTCAGAATGGACCACGAAAGGGCTTTGGCTCGAGCCAGCCACAAAAAAGCCAGTTCGAGGCGGAGGTTTTGGAGAAAATGACCCAGGACATCAACGGCTTGAAGGAGAACAACTCCGAGAGAGATCAACAGTGGGAGCGCCCGCCACTGCGCGACTTTGACGAAACAAAAGAGAACATTTGCTTTCAGCAGATTGATGCGGAGGAAGGGTCGATGATGGGCGGAAAGATGGCTGTCCGCCTTTTTGGTGTCACAGAGGTAAGCAGAGTGTCCGGTCTGCGTTTGCGTCCGATCTAACTATTCGAGCAGGAAGGTCAATCGGTTTTGTTGCATGTCACCGGCTTTCAACACTACCTGTACATCGCTGCCCCTGTCAATTTCACCAAAGCAGATTGCGAACCCTATAAGGCTTTCCTCGAGTCGAAACTTGCCCAACACGGGCAGGTTATACAATCCGTTGATATAACCATGAGGGAAAACATGTATGGATTTCAAGGAAACCAGAAGACTTATTACATCAAAATCACCGTGACAGACCCAAGATCGATCAGCAGACTTCGCAGCGCCCTGGAAACTGGCAGCGGGACCATGAACTACAAGGGCCTGTGGAATTCAGCGGACAATGGGATTCTCACATTCGACAGTATCCAATACCTACTGCGATTTATGATTGATACCGGTCTTGCCGGAATGGCCTGGGTTGAGGCGAAGGCAGGGAAATATCGCCTTCTTCCTCACCGCGAAAGGCAGTCCAACTGCCAAATCGAGGCCGCCGTCGACTACCACGATATGATCGCTCACCCACCCAACGGAGAATGGGCGAAGATGGCGCCACTCCGCATTTTGTCCTTTGATATCGAATGCGCCGGCCGAAAGGGCATCTTCCCGGAACCCAACCAAGATCCAGTCATCCAAATCGCCAATGTCGTTACCCGCTACGGAGAGTCGAAGCCGTTCATTCGAAATGTGTTTGTTCTTGACACGTGCAGTCTGATCGTCAACACACAAATTCTCGAGTTTGAAAAGGAGGAGAACATGCTGAACGCGTGGCGCGATTTCGTGGAAAAGGTGGATCCCGATGTAATCATCGGATACAACATAGCCAACTTCGATTTTCCGTATCTGCTCGACCGGGCAAAGCATCTGAAGTGTACTGGGTTCCCGTACTGGACCAGACTGAGGGGGATGAAGTCAGAAGCGAAGGAAACAAATTTCTCCAGCAAACAGATGGGCAGTCGTGAGACGAAGGCGACGAACACGAACGGCAGAATTCAGCTTGATCTCCTTCAATTGGTGCAAAGAGACCACCAACTGCGAAGTTATACCCTCAACTCTGTATCCTATGAATTCTTGGGCGAGCAGAAGGAAGATGTGCACCACACGATGATCACCGAACTCTTCAACGGCACTCCCGACTCGAGGCGACGACTGGCTGTATACTGTTTGAAGGACGCGTATTTACCGCAGAGACTGATGGACAAGCTAATGTGTCTGGTGAACTACACCGAGATGGCAAGGGTCACTGGCGTGCCTTTCAACTACCTTTTGTCTCGTGGCCAACAGGTCAAATTCATCAGCCAGTTGTTTCGAAAAGCGCTGGAACAGCAACTTGTCATCCCCAACGCTAAGTCAAACGACGAGCAGGACTACGAGGGCGCTACTGTCATTGAACCAGTGCGAGGATATTACGGTGTGCCCATTGCGACCCTCGATTTCGCGTCGCTGTATCCCTCGATTATTCAGGCCCACAACCTCTGTTACACTACTCTCTTGAACAAAGCTAATGTGGAGAAGCTGGGTCTCAAGAAAGACGATGACTACATTGTGACGCCCAACGGAGATATGTTCTGCACCACCAAGGTTCGCAAGGGTCTATTGTCGCAAATTCTCGAGGAGCTTTTGTCGGCCAGGAAGAAAGCCAAGAAAGAGCTGGCCGTGGAGACGGACCCGTTCAAGAAGGCTGTGCTGAACGGTCGACAGCTTGCTCTGAAAATCAGCGCGAACAGTGTCTACGGTCTTACGGGTGCTACAGTTGGCAAGCTGCCATGTCTCCCAATTGCCAGTAGCACTACCAGTTACGGACGTCAAATGATCGAAAAGACAAAACAAGAAGTCGAGACTCGCTACACCATCGCCAATGGCTATTCTCATGATGCTCAAGTCATCTACGGTGATACTGACTCGGTCATGGTCAAATTTGGTGTCTCCGAACTCGAGGATGCGATGAAGCTTGGACAGGAGGCAGCTGACTTTGTCTCATCCAAATTTATCAAACCCATCAAGCTGGAGTTCGAGAAGGTGTACTTCCCCTATCTTCTGATCAACAAGAAGCGGTACGCCGGATTGTACTGGACGAACCCCAAGAAGCATGACAAGATGGACACCAAGGGTATTGAGACTGTGCGACGTGACAACTGCCTGCTCGTCCAAAACGTCATTGAAACAGTGCTGAACAAGATCTTGATAGACCGAGACCTTGACGGCGCTCAGAAGTAAGTACGTCTTGTTCCTTTTTGCGTCCACAAACTAATCCGCCGTGCAGCTATGTCAAAGATACCATCTCGGACCTTCTGCAGAACAAGGTTGATATGTCGAAATTGGTGATCACCAAGGCACTCTCCAAGAGCGACTATAGCGCCAAACAAGCGCACGTCGAACTCGCCGAGCGCATGCGCAAACGTGACGCGGGATCCGCACCCACTCTGGGTGACCGTGTGGCGTATGTCATGATTAAGGGCGCTGCAAATTCGAAGAACTACGAGCGTTCTGAGGATCCCATCTACGTTTTGGAAAACAACATCCCCATTGACACCAAATACTACCTCGACAACCAACTCGCCAACCCACTAGGCCGTATTTTCGAGCCTATTTTGGGCGAGAAGAAGGCTGGCCAACTGCTTACTGGTGAACACACGCGGTCCATCTCCGTCGCCGCGCCCAGTTTGGGCGGGTTGATGAAGTTTGCTAAGCGCACTCAGACCTGCATGGGATGCAAGAAACCGCTCGCTGGCAAGGAGGAGATGGCCGGCGCGGTGTGTGAACACTGTCGCCCTCGTCTGGGTGAATTATACACCAAGACACTGACCAAGGTGTCCGATTTGGAGGTTCGGTTCGGTAGACTGTGGACTCAATGCCAGCGCTGCCAGGGCAGTCTGCACTGTGAGGTTATTTGCTCTTCGCGTGATTGTCCGATCTTCTACATGCGCATGAAGGCCAAGAAGGATGTTGAGGATTCACAGAAGGAATTGTCTCGTTTTGATTTCGACCCAGGTGCCTGGTGATCTTGTTTTCGGTGTGTTTTTGGATGGAGATGCCTCATTAATGACGGAGTTGGGGGTGTTCATATGTCTAGTGTAAAATGAACAATCGATTAGGTAGCCATTGGATTACGTTTCTTGACAATGTATATGTATTTGTCTAGCATATCATATGCTTGCCAGCTGCCGCAAACGAACGATTCACGGGCCTACAATATGTGCTTGTGCTCAACCTTAGTATCGATAAAACCGTTTCATGATATTTTGCTGACTTCAACTACCTTGCTGATCTTGGTATCAATCAATAAGCCCCATCGCGCTTATGCCACAGAGAGATCGGACTCATCTCAATTGGACGTGAATAGCTACTCTCAATGATGGGACCAGCAATCAGTTCCAAGTTCTCCACCTTTCCTCCACCCTCCTCAAGTGCCCATAAACTAACACCTAGATAGTTGGCACCGTGGTAATTCCAAATACCCTCAGGAACAGGGAAGATATCCTGGGGTCCAATGTTGTGCACCCATTTGCCAAATTGGTACCCGTTGACATAGATCTGACACCGAATGCTAGATGTTGTGTCGGTCTTGTTCGCGAATGAGAGAGATATAGGGATGTCGTAGCCTGTTGGCATGTCTAAGTTGAAGGTAGTAGCATAAAATGCTACCCCAGGCTGACTTAGACCTGCCATTGGGCCGGATGGAGTGCTATTCCATGAGGATGTTGGTGCTTCAGGTAAATGGTAACCTTGCCGTTCTGCGAATAACCCTCCTGTAATGTCCCAAATGGTTAGCGGTGACCGAAGCAAGAACTCCAAAGGTTTTTATGATTCTTGAAGAGGGGGTTTCCGAAGTGGGCTTACCCTCGTTCAGCGGACCACGCGTGTGATCTTGGTAATCCTCGCCACCAAAGTTCCCTGTAAGCTTCCATGAGATATCTGACTTATTGTGCCCCGACAGCGAATAGTCCAGGATTCCACGAGGAGTCTTCATGTCGCTCGTTCCAGCCGACCCATTTTCTTCGAATCCCATTTGATCAATCAGAACAGTAATGACATAAGTTTGTCCCTTCTGGGTGGGAAGATTCCAAGTTTGATTTATGGAATAGGCCGTAATCGCACCAGAAAACGATCCCACGAATTTGTCATTGAGCCATATTGAGTGACCATAGGCTGAACCGCCCTGCGTCTCCAGGAACATCTTTTCATTTCCGTTGGCCTGGAACTTGCCACGGTAAAGAAGATAGCCTGTGTTGTAACCATAGTCTGACGCATATAATGAGACTGGGGTGGTAAGATTGCGCTCGGTGTTATTGCTGGTGGTGAGAGACGCTGCCGTCCACATGCTATCGTCGTAGTCTGCAACCGATTGGTAAGAACTTCAAGATCATTCATCACCAAGAATAACAATTCCTAGAACATACCTGGTTGAATTTCTGGCAGAGAATCCAAAGCCTTCCAGTCAATCTTTGAAAGCTCCGGCAAAGAAAAGCTAGGTGCAACGAAATTTGAAACAGCCTTGATGACACCATAAAAGGTTTGTTGAAAGTCCGTGGATTTACCGTTCACGAACAGAGATTTAGTGGCTTTGTTGGCACCTATGATCTCGATGTCCGTTGTGGCGTTGAAATCACCAGTCAGGTACACATTGTCCTTGTCCACTTTGACGGTTCTCACCAGATAGCCAGCTTTGACAATAGGAGACTTAAAGAAGGTCGTATAGTTTGTGAAGTTGCCTGAGAGCTCATCACTGGGCAGGTCAATGGACCAGTAGTTATATGCAGAATAGCGATCTGTTGTTGTTAGCTAGATAGGTTTTCGCAGCCTTATAAGTATCGCTTACCCATAAGATAGACATAAAGCCCAGAGGATAACATCACAATTGTTCTCTTCTCGCCAACCGTATACTGAATGACAGTTGAATCAGATTTATTGCCGAATTTGACAGAGTCCTTGAGGCCTTCCAGAACGATTGGCTGACCACCTTGTTCAATGGCCAACTCGTGAACTTCTCCAGGACCACCATAAACTATGAGAACCCGCTTATCTCCAAAATGTCTCCACGTAAAAATTTCGGCGGTAGAATAAAGGAGATTGAGTCCTGCAACATCGTAGTCCGTGACGTGGAATTTAGAGTCTCGACCAACAAGTGACAAAGACCCACCCAGCTGAGGAATAGTAATGTTTCCCTTACTCGTTGGCAGGCTGATTTGATACTTCTCAGTTGACTGCGAGTCATATACCGCATGACGAAGAACAAAAAAATTCGTGCTATTCCCAAATAGTGCTGTCGTTGCGATGTTCATATTCCCGGTATATGAGCCATTGGCATGAGAATTGTTTTGCGGTACGGCACTGAGGTACTCGGGCGAAGAGTGCAGGAACATCGCTTGCAGCTTCAACTCACTGGAGTTCTCTCGCTCGACTGTACGCAGCTCAGTAATGGGGGCACCATAGTCGTAGCTAGTGTATCCTTCGGGGTAGCCTAAGTTACCCCAGTTTGTTCCACCGGCTCCCATGTAGACATTGAAGACTGTTGCTCCGAAGCTGTAGATGTTTTTGAAGAAGATGCGTTGATACGGGGGCCCTAATCTGGCTGCAGTCTTGTTGTATCCATATCCTCCCCATGGATCCCAGCTTCCTCCTTGACATTCCATGACTGAGTAAGGTGTGTCAGGAGCCATTTCCTCATGTAACTCCCCATAGTTAGTTGGAAGAGCATTGGCGGGCCATTGGTAGATGTCATCGTCAAAACCTAGAATGATGCTTTAGTAATGAACACTTTTTGTTGCTAAATAATGTTTTGTACTTACCCATGGGGTAACTATCATGTCCATAAACAGGCCATTCTGGAGGTCCCTGATCATAGAAATAACCATGTGGGCTATTATCGTTGCTAATAAAAGGGATCACGATACCAGCATCCCTGTACTGATCTTCGACAGCTTTGAAATAAACGGGGTCGGGGAACGGCGGATTTCCTGACGAGTACTCATTCTCGGGCTGCAGGAGAATGACTGGGCCGCCATTTGTGATTTGAGCCTTGGCAATGATCGATCCAATGCCCGACACATAGTTTTGAGTGGCGTTTAAATATAGGGGGCTTCTCGTTCTAAGCTCCACTGGGATGCGCGCCAGCCATCCGGGAAATCCACCACCACTGACTTCAGCATTGATGTATGGACCCGGGCGTGCAAGGAGATATATACCTGAAGTTTGAGTTCAGAATGATTTCTGACTTTAGAGAAACATTAATTGTTTGATAGCTCGTGAAGCTTACCTGCTTTTTTTGCGGCTTCGAAAAACGGTTCTAGAGCGAAAACTCCCTCGGCTTCGAATTCTCCTTCTTTTCCTTCAAGAAGTGCCCAGTTGACATAAAACGAAGCCCCGTTAAAACCCATTGACTTCATTTTCTGAAATACATCTAGCCATAGCCCTGGAGCTGGTAGTCGAAAAGGATGAAACTCTCCAGAAAAGAACAACACACGCTGACCGTGGACAAAGAAAGAGTGCTGCAATTTCCTTCATTAAAGTTATTCAGACCGAAAAATAAGTGAAATGACTAACCTTGTCCCATGTTACAATGTCCTGAGAGCCGCCTCCTGTTGACGGACTGAGCGCAACATTTTGTTGCACGAAAGTTGCCGCGACCGAAATCACAGCAAGAAGGTGACGTAAGAACATAATGAGGTTATATCATTGGGTCACACTCATGCAAATTCAAAAATTCTAGTAGTTCCTTCAACTGGGGAGATATTTGGGTACAGCGCAGATTTATGATCAACATCTCAGGCCAGGGAGTCAGTTTTCATGTCGCATCATCTTAAATTATAGGAGTGAAGCCTTCATGATGCGGAAAAGAATTCCAATTCGGGGTATTCACTGAGCGAATGCAACTGCACAGACGGTTTGCTATGGGGCCCAAAGTTGGAATGTAGTAGATCGACATCCCGCATTTCCAGTTAGACAGTCGCTAAGCCAAGTCTGGGGCTTACAGGAAATGTCCGGTTATGAATGCGGGGAAGTCCCGCTTTTTCGTTGATCAATACGCTCCTACTTCGCTGCTACAGATGTTTTAAAACAATACTGCTATGGCGAGGTCGGGTTAATCGCACCCGAGTCTAAGATAATGAAGCTAACAATGCAGCGAAATCTTAATGGCACAGGATCTAGAGAAGTAAGATTTGAACCCATATGTTACTGTCGCTGGAGGCAATTAGGATCAAACATTCTCAAGGCTATTTGATGCATCTTACTTGTTGGAGAGAGTTCAAATATCTCAGGACGAGCCGACGATGTACCAGTCGTTTAATATTCAGTAAGGGGTTTCGATTTTCCAAGCCCTCTACATTATATCTGGTAGTTACATAAAGAGATCAGAGAAGCGTCAAGCTTCAGCTACCCTGAATAATCTCTTAATCTCTACCAGTTCTCAATAAAACGTGGTTTTCTCCGGTCCGTCTCCATTCTCCTCCGCACCACTTGAACGCTGAGCATTTGAAAGTATATTTGCCAAGACAGCTCGTTCGTTGATTTTAGTCGTGCTTGAAAGAAGAACTATCGGCTCTTTTGAACGTGATTCAGTGTCCTTATCGTATGCTTACCATTCCTAAGGCGGCAAGTTTTCCTATCTGGCCTCCGGAGCTGTCAGCAATTATGCTCGGGTAATTTATCCAACTGCCGGATTCTGACGCTGACTGATCAGAAAACCGCCCCAATCAGGGAACTGTGTCCCAATGTGGCCAGATTTCATCTGTAGAGTTTTCTCGCTTCTCTACTATAAATATAGGCATGATAGCTAGACCCGAAAACCATCGTCTTCATCATTGTCACATGACACTAGCTAGTAAATTTACTAGTAAATACGCGGATTCTCCACTTCCACAGCAACCTCCTGCATCAACACCGCATGCCCATTGAGCGCACGGACCACTACAACCACTCGGGCACCTAGAGGCATATCTCTATCCTCCAACAATCGACTTTGAACTACACTCTCGGGAAGAGCTGCCCATCCAACTCGCAAAGTGGCATCCTTGCTAGTGTGAAATCGCCAATTACCGAGCAAAATGGTATCCAGCGCAGATATTGGCTACTTGCGTCGATGTGTGAACCTAGCCCGCGAAGCGGTTGAGGCGGGTGACGATCCGTTCGGGTCAGTGCTTGTAGATGCCACCGGCAAGATTCTCAGGGAGGATCGTAACCGATGCAACACTGAGGCAGACGTCACCTTGCATCCGGAGTTCACGCTGGCCATTTGGGCCCAAAAGCACCTGACGCCCGCCGACCGCGCTACTGCCACCGTCTACACTTCTGGTGAACACTGTCCAATGTGCACGAGTGTGCACGCATATGCGGGTTTGGGACGAATCGTCTATGCTAGCTCGTCAGCTCAACTTATTCTGTGGAGGACGCAATTAGGCTTGAAAGCTGGACCGGTGGTTCCGCTCCCAGTCAATCAGGTTGCGCCGGGCCTGATCGCTGACGGCCCGGCTCCAGGTCTGGATGAAGAGGTTCATGAGCTGCATCGCCTGAAGCATGCTCGAGAGATAGCCGAATCATAGGCACCGAACTGCGAATGTAGATTGAGGGGGCTGGGTGCCTACCGGCGTACTATTTCAGACATGGTTATCAAATTTGTTACTTGTCAAAATGATAGTGTACCATACTCACTTCATCTGGCGCATCAATGTTACTTAGGTGTCACTCCCAATGTCGCCTGTCCCAATCTTCCAGTGCCGAGCCCAGTCGTCTCAATGGTGACGCATAGTTAATGCGGTCTACTTCTCATAGTTTCCAATCCTAGGTCCCGTGTAACTTATTTTGCCACAGGGCGACGATATTAGGTCTTAAGGGCTAAAGGCAGGTCTTGAATAATGATAGAAAAGAATAGAGAAGAAGCACCAGCTGCAGACAGTCCGTATTGGAGCTAGATCTGTGCCACTTCTACCCTTTGGAGCTTGTCCACTATGCCGTCGAACCGTATATCGAATTAGTGAAATAGACTAAAAAGCGAAATGACATCTCATAAGTCTGTATGGGTGTGTCTATCTATTGGAAAGACAAGGACCACAAACAATTAATAAGGAAAATCACCCTCCTGATCCTTCTCCATAATCCCGTTTTCTCGTTGTAGCCGATCTTGCTCATCCAGATAGGGTAGCAAGATCTTGTCCCAGTGAGACTTTCCCTTGTAGAAAGATACTGTCTCATCCCAGCTCCGGATTGCCTCCGCCAAACGCCCGGGGACGTGGGGTTCCTGAGCCAATGTCGTCACTGGCTCGAAGTAAGTGCGAATCGTGAATACTATTGCCTTGGATCGGGGCAACCGACGCAAGGTTTGTCGCTCCGAGCGGAAGTGGATCTCTTCTACTGTGAGACCTTTACTATTTGCAGTGGCCCAGGCTAATTGTACCATTTACATTAGTAAACATGGTCTGCGATTCCAGAGATGTGAGAAACTCACAGGCAACTTCGGATCCTGTCTGTTCGCCCATACGATGGGACCAGTGCAGTCCATCGTCGAGTTGGATGAAGAACTATCACTGTTAAACCGGCGTGTGTTGAATGGTAAGGGGAGGATGAACGTACATTGTTTCTCTCAACGGGCTTGTCGGGCGTCAACTTTTGGAAGAACTTATTCATTGCTTTTTGCAGTTTCGCCGCATAGTGGGGAACGCCGGCTTCGAAGTGAAGAGTATCGAGCGACATGCGGAACTTTTCTTTGAGCCGCCAAAACCCTGGGAGGCACACTGCAGCCGCATCAAGGTGATATTCCCCATCTAATATTGATTAGAACGAAAACTGGAACAAGAACCAGGAAAAGAAATCGTCATCTCACCGTCGTTCTTTATCATGATCACCAGATCGTCCTGAACAAGAAGCGCGGATGTTGCAAGAGCTTCATCGGGAGTTGCTTAATATGGCCAAAGTCAGCCGCGAATATTTTGTAGCAAAAAGCAGGAATTGATCTTACCGGCAGGAAATACAAACTCCTCGCCCGTGAGACTGTTGTGTACCTTCCCTCCTTTCAGGCGATAGATATTGGGATACCGATGCACTAAGTATCGTACCAACTCCTCATTGAGCTCAAAGCAGGCATCCCTGGTGACCTCATTATCGACGTATTTGACATGCTCCTTGAAATCTTTCTTGAGCTCGGAGGCTTTCATATCATGATAACGGAGAAAGTAGGAGTCCATTTCAATCCAGTTATCCCAGTTCAGTTTTCGAATTCCCATAGTGATAAAATTTGGGCCATGACGGAATGGGCGATACAGTTTTGGTGATGTAGAATTGGGATCAGTGGATTGAGGACTGGGGAGGGGAGTGACGAATGAATCTTCTGCCTTTTCTTCTATTATTTGGAGCTGTGTTTTCTGTTGTATAGGCCACCTGATAAATAGCCATGTGAGAATTGATGCCAACAGGCCCAGAAAGGGCAGGGAATTCGAGGGCAAGGGAAGTTCCGTGGCAGTGACCATTGTGCCGACTTTCCTAGGAGAACAGTTAGACGGATGTTGGCATTGAAAGGGATCTAGATCTACAATGCAGTAGACAGGGCAGCAGAAGTGCTCTTTAAATAAAGTATCATGCAAGTCGCAAATCGCATATGATCGGTACCACAGGCGTGCCTAAGTCCTTTCAGGAAAGACTTTCGACCACGACACGCCACTAGCCCGACTTGGAAACCCAAAAGCCCATTTGCGTGCCGGAATTCCTTATCTCGGGAACCTCTCGGTTATCCCACGACAGAAGTCTTGGAGTCCGCCAGACCCCCGCTCTGGCGGTACTGCGACCGGCTATCATTTACTTCCTCCTACTGAAAATGCTTCACGCCATTGGCCACTCCACAGTCGCATTAAGTTCGTTCTCCATGGATCTTCCTGAAACAGCTAACCAAGGGAGAGAGAGGCTGACCGCTGTCCTATCAGTTGAACAATCACCTCCCCTCCACTTAAGCACTTTCCATTTTCTTCGCTCTCCAATCTGGGAGTACACCAACTCACAGCAATTATGACTGCAAAGAGACAACGAACGGTCCAAGGATCCTGCTGGCCCTGTAAGCAACGACGCGTGAAATGCGACCTAGTTCGCCCCCGGTGCCGGCGTTGCATCGTGTCGGGTGCCCAATGCAGCTTCGACAAGATACTGGTACGATGGAACTCGCGTCCAACGAAAGCTGCTCCAATTGCATATCAAGCCTCAAGCTCGTCGCCCAAATCCAACCTGTTTAGCCAGATTCAGGACAATCGCCTAGCAGCCGGTGAACTTAAAGCGCTTGACTACTTCCAGGCTGCCTTGTGGCCCTTGCTATCCACTGCTACACAGCCATGTCCGCCACCGATATCTCTTGCCTTAGAATCAGAGCCAGTATTGCTAGCCATGTGTGAGTTAGCAGAGGCACATCGGTTGCTCCAGCAAGAAGGAAGTCCGATACATTTGCAGGCTATAAGTAACAAGAGATTGACTTGTCTATCTTCTGTTCGAAAGCAGCTTCGAGAAAGTGTTTCAAATAACCAATCCCTTTCTCAACTGCTTGTCGCCGTCCTGCTACTGTATTTTCTGGATGGTTTCATCGACTGCGCGGAGCAGTCCGCTTCCACAACAAGTCATCAGGCTGGCGTGCGAGCTATTGTCGAACAGCTTGGTGGATTTAACGTGGTTATAGACGAGGGCCAAAAAGATACTCCCCATATGCTTCTATCTGAGTTTGCATCCACAGATCTCACTCGCGCTATACTTGACGACAGGCCTCCCTGTTTCCCTGCCCGAATCTGGCTGAATATCGAAAGAGGTATAGTGTGGTGGGAGAAACAGACATATGGGGTAACTCTGGCGGTAGTGTTTCGCACAATGGCACAAATAGCCTTCTACCGACAGTCAATTCAAGCCGGCGACGAGGAACTATCCATCGAAAAAGTTCGCGACTTCGAAAGGTGTCTCCAGCCAAGTTTTTCGGTGCTGAGTCTCGATCATTTCAACTGTCCGGAAGAGGAGACTCTCTCGAAGTTCGAATTGGAGCGTGTCAATCAAACGATCGCATTTACCCGGGCCTTCCAGCACAGTGCTCTGATATACCTTTACCGGGCTGTTTGCGGGCTTCCGCCGAGACATCATCTTGTTCAGCAACATGTGAACTTCTGCATGGGATGCATTAAGGCTATCAGTAGCAGTTCCAAGGCCCATAACTGTATTGTGTTTCCCGTTTATGTCATCGGTGCCCACTCATTCACCCAAGACCACCAGCGGGATATGCTCGACAAATTGGATTCTATATATCGAACACTTCGCTTCAATTCGTTGTTGAGTATTCGTGCGGCTTTGGAGGACTTATGGTCTTCTCAGAGGCAGGAGGGTGATTGGAGAGATATGTTTACTGGTCTGGGAAACCATGTCCTGGTATTATAATTGAAGTATTTTTATGGTTCTTTTCTTTATTTATTCACGAAGTATACGGCTTGGTAGACGCCGAGATGTGTTCACACGTAACTCGAAGTTAAGATTGTTCTATCTCTTCCTTCGGCCCTGTGAAATCTGGGAGCGGTTTTGTTAGTTGATTAAGAAAAGCTCGGTCGGATGATGAGAGAACTTCTTACATTTCCGACCGTGGAGCAGATACCAGGCCATACTTAGAGCGACACATCCAACAAACACGACTGATGCATATGTCATGGACTCACTGGTCACTGGCAGCGTGACTGGCATACTGAATAGGACCACCTGAAAGACAATCCACAATATGCCCAGGACATTTGCTACTGTCCCAATGGCATAGTTTAGCTTCCAGCGAGACTGAGCCACTTCTTTCCTACCATCAATAAAAAGACTGATGCCAATAGGAATCGCGTATGCGACAGCCAATGCAATCACGCCTACTGACGCGAAGGCCGTAAAAGCACTGCTGCTTCCAAGATAGATGAGTCCCAGTAGCATCTCGATAGCTGTCACCAGACAGAGCGCTGCTATTGGACTATCCCTGAAGGTGGATGACCACAGATGCGACATTGGAATCGCATCATCTCGAGCAAACGCCCAGGTGCATCTGCCAGCTGTCGTAGTGATGCTAATAGAGCAGAACATGGCAACAAGCAGCACGAGGATCATCAATACGATCGACGCTGCTGACGATCCTGTCACAACATGAATGACATATGGCAGCGCCTGACCATAAGGCGCAGTAATGATATCTGCCAGAGGCGGAAGAGTGAAACAGATTGGTAAGGTAAACACCAGTGCTGCTGCACCAGCGATAACAGGCACCAAGCTGATAGCTGTCGGAATCTGTGTTTCAGGATCCGTACATTCTTCTGCCATGGACGTGACCATTCCAAGGGCGGAGAACGCGTAGGCTGGTGGAAGTAGTCCGATGAAAAATGTGAAATGCTGTTCCCATCCGGAGTAAGAAGTGTCATAGCCAGCAAGACCGGTATGGGCATCGTGTCGACCGTCTTTGGCGAGTACGACCATGGTGACAGCAAAGACGATGCAAGTGATAACCGAAAATGCCGCAGAGAGGGTGTCAATGAGGGGAAGTAAATGGTCACCGAAGAAGCATATTATGAAGGTGATAAGGCAGATTGCATAGAAGATGAGCAATAGCTGCCATGATGTGGCGGTCCAGTGGGGATAGAAAATTGATACGGTAGCAGCGATGAGCGACGCAATGCCAAAATTGACCGAAAGAGAAATGGTCCAATTGCCGATGAGCCAGATCCAGCCAGTTACGAAAGATACTAGCCGTCGACTTCCGGTTGATTTGAGAAGTTTGAAGGACCAATGATAGACACCCGAAGAGGTGGGATATCTTGATGCGAGTTCTGAAAGAGAAACCGCAACACAAGAATCCAATGCCAGTACGACGAGCAATCCGACAAACAGGGATAATTGACCACCGCCATAAACAGCATTCATTAAGGAACTGCCGATGCCATAAGGGATAGATGCGATTGAAAGGGACATAAACAACATAGTCGACAACTTTCGCGTACGACGCAGCTGGGGCGTATAGCCCAGCCGGTAGAGTTGCTCATCCTGGTAAGTACCCAGCTGAGCGTTCTCGACCGCATCCAGCGAGCCGATGCTAGATTTTGATTTCTCCATTGATTGCCTTGAAAAGGAATAGGCTGAAGTCTTGGTCATTCCGTCTATTGCATTTGACGGAACGTAGGTCCTGCTTTATACACCCCATCTACTGAGCATGGTCTATGAAAAAGCTTTGCTCTAGTCCAGTAAGGGAAAGCATTTGGGCCATTCAGCGGTAACCTATCTAGCGCCTAGCCAAGCAGATAACCTGGGACTCTCGCCGGATAAAGATTGCACTATCCCCCATTTCGGTTGAGCCAGTCACCTGCGGCCCAATCTTCCGTTACTCTTAGGAGAGCGCAGGGAAATGCGTCTAGTGACTAACAAATTTACCGCGGGAGGATGGGTACTGAGTGGGCCTTAGGAACTGCTTTGGACATGGCCCAAAAACTTTCCTCATTGAGCCTAGCGTAGAGATTCCCCAGTCCACCCCCGCATGTTTCAATTCCGTCCAGCTATCAGGAATAAGGCTTATCGAGACTCCGGCCTCGGCTTTTATTTAAGGTCCATTGAGACTCTTCAGCCGATAGATGGGTTCCGACTGTCATCGATGGCTTATCTATTAATGCGAGTAATAACTATCTTGTCTCGAACCCCTTCATGCATGTAATAAGTATTTCGGGATACCTTCGAGGAATTTTCACATAAAGATTAGCAGGTATTAGTTGCACTTTGAGAACCAGTAAAATATAGAGAGCCATGAAATGGATACATCTTCGAATAGATAAAGTTATTGACATGACAGGACACAGCGGACTTAAGGACGCTTCAGCAATGACCACTCCTAGTATGGGCAGTGGGCCTCGACCTCGATCTCGACAACCATCCCTTCAATCCCGAGTTTTCTGATTTCCACGCAGGTCCAAATGGGCCGATGTTCGGGCAGAAGCTTTTTGAAATTGTTGGTCACTACTTCAAACGTTTCGTCCATATTGATATGATAGCTGCGCACAGCGTACACATTCTCCCAGGATAAGCGGGGGTCGACATTTTTCAAAGCTTTTTCGACATTGGCAAACGCGACGGCGACTTGTTTCTCCACATTTGAAGTGATACTGCCATTCTCATCCCAGCCGCCTTGGCCAGAAGTTTTGACAGTGTTTCCGATGCGAGTGGCTTGCGAGTAGTGGAAAGATTCTGAGTTGGCCTCAGTTCCAGGATAGTTGAAGAAGTGCATATTTGCTTAGAGGAACAGTGTAAATATGGTGCTCAAAAGGATAAGAGATAGGATAATTGACTGGTGACACATATAGGTCAAAGAAGCTATTTATGTAGTAACTTATGGACCTTCCTGAGCTCGTCTTCCAGTTCCCAAATGGCCAAAACACATGCCTGGTATGGACGTAGTCCTAGTTTTTGCCAATCAAGTTGCCTGAAATGTACAACAGTGACCCAGGTCTCCTCGCTTCCGGTTGTAGATACGGAGCCGCATGCCCAAAATCGAATATTATATTGACTGTTGGGGATATCTAGGGGATTCATTTTTCAAAACGGCATCCATTTCGACGGGTCGCGCGATGATAGCCTCAAAAGGAAAGTTTCTCGTCCACACGATGCTTGGCAGATAAGCTTCCATATTTCCCCGCAAATTGATTTAGCTTGTGGAGGCACGTCTATCGATTTTAGAAAAATTAAATTTGGCCTTTCCCAATACGGTAAGTAGATAGGCCATTACCCATTGACCTGCCTTCATACCATCTGCTTTATAATAATCCCTCGTGGGACCACACAAGGCAATCAAACTTAGTTCTCGGATAGAAAAAAAATATAAATATGGCATCTCACCATAATAAAATGCAAACACAACCTGTTATTTTCAAGTATTTCCATTATGGCTCAGCCTATCAAGTTAACAGCCCCCAATAACACAACCTATATGCAGCCTACTGGTAAAAAACCATTTGCCGAAAATTAGGATGTCGTTGCCCAGGGCTGATAACTCTATACAGGGCTGTTTATCAACAATGAATTCGTTCCTTCTTCGTCCGGCCAAACGCTTTCGACGGTTAACCCCTTCGATGAATCAGTGATCACAAGCGTCTCTTCTGCAGGGCCAGAGGATATTGACCTTGCTGTCGCCGCTTCTCGAAAAGCGTTCAAGTCAACCGAATGGCAATCTATCACAGGTTACGATCGAGGGGTACTTTTGACCCGCTTGGCTGAGCTATGCGATCGTGACAAGCATATTCTTGCGACCATTGACGCATGGGATAATGGTAAGCCATATGAGCAGGCTCTGAACGAAGATCTTGCCGAGGTGATCTCCGTCTTCCGTTACTACGGCGGCTGGGCCGATAAAATTCATGGTCAAACCATCCCTACCAGTGATGCCAAGCTGGCCTACACCAGGCACGAGCCTATTGGAGTGTGTGGTCAGATTATTCCATGGAATTATCCTGCTATGGTGAGTTATTTATCTCGGTCTTTAATAGAGCTTGACACAAAACAGAAACTAACTAAGCGTAGATGGCAGCATGGAAATTGGGCCCTGCGCTTGCTTGCGGGAATACAGTTGTCATCAAAGCGGCCGAACAAACGCCACTTTCAATTTTGTATCTGGCAACTTTGATTCGCGAGGCTGGCTTTCCGGCTGGTGTTGTAAATGTTGTCAATGGTCCTGGTGCTACCGCCGGAGCATCTATCGCGTCGCATCCAGGCATTGACAAGATCGCGTTCACTGGGAGTACAGTGACTGGAAAGGCAATCATGAAGGCTGCTGCTTCGAATCTGAAAACAATCACACTGGAGACGGGTGGTAAGAGCCCTTTGATTGTTTTCGAAGACGCCAATCTGGATCAAGCAGTCAAGTGGTCGCATGTTGGAATCATGAGCAACATGGGGCAGATATGCACATCCACATCTCGCATCTATGTCCACGAAAGTGTTTACGAGGATTTCGTGGAGAAATTCAAGCAATACACAATTGAAAACTCTGTTGTTGGGAGCCAATTTGATCTTAAGGTGAACCACGGACCTCAAGTGTCAGCAGCGCAACGCGATCGGATCCTGCGTTATCTTGAGGCCGCGAAGAAAGAAGGCGCCAAACTCGTTCTTGGGGAAAATCAGCCGCCAAACAATGCTAAGGGATATTTCGCCAACCCGATTATCTTCAAAGATACCGACCGCAATATGACCCCGGTCCGCGAGGAGGTCTTCGGACCTTTCGTCGTAATCCAGTCTTTCAGCAGTCAGAAAGATGCCATTGACAAGGCTAATGACACAGAATACGGATTGGGCGCCGCAATTTTCACAGAGAACATCACCCGTGCCCACACAGTCGCAGCCCTGATTGAGGCGGGCATGGTTTGGGTATGTACCTTCAAGTGTCATTATCTAATGCCAGCAATTGACAATCAACAGATCAATAGCTCTCAAGACTCTCACTTTGCCATTCCATTTGGCGGCTATAAACAAAGTGGTATTGGAAGAGAGTTGGGCGAGTATGCTCTTTCAGCGTATACTCAAGTCAAGGCAATCCATGGTCAGCTCATTGTTTCTTCCTACAATATTGTTTGATAAAAGGTTTGCTAATATAAAAATAGTCAATCTCGGAACTTGGCTCTAGAGATAGGATTATGGATACTGTTGCATCCTTGGTTTGCATTAGTCGGAGACCTATTCAGTAGAAAACCAATTTACCAAAATATGCCTTAAATTTTTATTATTATCCAGAGCCAGCTTGATTCTATGTTCAGCTAATTGTCTCGAAGCCTGACTAATGGACTATTGCTGAATGAATCCCGGCAGAAGAGTTTCAAGATGCAGAAACTCTTCTCTCTTCCTCTCCCGAGTCCTCGGCCTGTTGCGCTAAACGCTCAAACTTGCGTACAACCTGCAAGGTCGCATAATAACTAAAAGGCAATGCAAGAAACCACAATCCAAAATTAATGCTCGCCGTGGCAATCAGCGCCGTCGGAACAGCCTGTACACCGAAGCCAACAGCAACACCAGCCGTCTCGATGCCCCTCAGCAACGAGCTGTATCGAATTTGATCTCCGGGCGAGTCCGATAAGTTACTAATGCACCAGTAGATATAATTCTCAACCAAGCCCAGACTGATCCTTTCAAAGAGATATAATCCAAATCCACGGCCAAAGGCGTGCTGGTCGCCCCAGTCCAGGACGGGGTTAGTATGTCGGTATTCATCCTGAATCACGACGGCCCAGATCCAGGTCGTGCTGTTAAGAATTGCAATGAGACCGTAGGTGATGATAGCCCGCGTCTTGCGGCTCTTGAGCCACGGTAGATCCACGAGTGACCCGCCGAGCCATGTCGCCAGTGTACCCACAACAGCAGACATGAAGCTGCCGAGTGCCCGTGACCGTACGGTGAAATATGTCGCGAGATATGTACCCGGATACGCCTGGATCCACCCAAAGTACCAAAACAGTGGCACGAGAAGCAAAATGGATTTGCTTCGTACCAATCGCCACATAACCCTGGCTTCCTCACGCCAGTGGATGCCGCGTGGTGCTTCAATTTTGGTGTTGTCGTCTCTTTGGACTTTCTCTGGGTTCGAGAGGAACAGACCAAAAACCAGACCAAGACACTGGATAGCGATGAAAGCCAGGTATGTCTGATATCCGACCTGGCCTTGATGGTTCACACTGTGATTGATTCCCAGAGACACGGCACCGCCAATAATGTTACCGAAATTGCGAAAGGTAAACCAAGTCGCAATATAGCGACCCCGTTTATGCTGCTCAGGATAGCCCGTTGCGATAGCACCCTCAACACTCCAGAAGAACCCAGCACTGAGACCGCATGTCACCGAGCCCAGATACACCAGCCAGGTCGCACCGGTTCGGTTGTTCAGGTACAGACCTGCAGCGTACAGCGGATAACCAATTGATCCAATGGCAAGGGTCCAGCGAAAGCCGATCACATTGGTGATCCACGGCCCCGCAAAGCAGGTGACTGTCATGAAAGCGTAGAGAAGGGCGTTGGCGGCATTTACCAGGTCAGGGCTCTGAGAACCGCCGACACCGAGGCCGTTCATGGCACTCCATATTCCTGGGGCGCAGAAGGCACAGAGGCCTACTATGAGAATTTGACAAAGAGTACTCCGAAAGAAAGAGGGTCGATTGTCGGGAACACCGAGCTTATCTTCTGGGAATGCCTGGATATTGGTTTGTACACTCTGATCTGCTTTTAAGGGAGATGACATGATGAGAATGGGTATTTGCAAGAAACGAAACCGAAAATCGCAACCGAAGTGAAATGCTGGTTTAAATATTTGACCAGGATATCGCTTCTATTAGCCCATCTACTCTGCTCATTGCCAATGTACCCATCCTTCCTCCCCGCAAGCACGCATAACCATGCCTGGATGGCACAATCCAATAACACCCTCGGGGATTCTCGTAGTATGTTAATGCCTCCTAGGACCATAACCGTCAAGGAAGATGTCATGCGCTAGCGTCCAGTTATCGCTGTCCAATGGAGTTGTCGTCATTTTGGCGTGGATGAGGAGGGGTATCTCCTCTTTTGCGTTGACTTGCAGGTATTTAGATCGGGCGGTCCGGCGGTCTCGACAAGTCGAGATTGACGAGTATTCGTGATATGCAATTTATTATCGCTTTTAAGGAATCATAATCATGGCGACAGCAACTGAGCCGCTTCATATTGGAAAGCTGCACATAAGCGATGCAGATTCGTCCATCGTTTCATTTGAACCGTTTGATCTTCCATCGTCAAACCAGCGCATACTTGGACCGCCGCACCCCCAGGAAACGGTGATTCCCCTCGCCCTCAAACTCACCAACGAGCTGCAGAAGCCAAGCCTTGATAGCATCGTCAAGACCGTTAAGTCTCTGCAAGAACGAGATGGCACACTTACGAAAAGCCTCGCTAGACATGGCACGCTACTCTTCCGCGGTCTGCCAATCCACAACGCCGAGGAATTTAGCAAATTCGCCCATGCCTTCGGCTACAAGCCGCACGAGATCATCGGCATCGTAGTTGACAGACCTCTACTAGCCCCGAACGTGGCACCGGCAAATGAGGCACCTAAGGAAGTTCTCATCTACAGTCACAACGAATCCCCACAAGTACCTCATGCCCCAGAATACATCTTCTTCTACGGTCACCGTGTTCCTAAGTCTGGCGGAGAGTCACCAATCTCCTCATCCCTGGAATTATTCCACCGCGCACAGCAAGAAATTCCCGAGTTCATCGCCGAGCTCGCGGAGAAGGGCATCTTAAGCCGAGTCACCTACAAATACGAAAAGCAATACGAAGGCGGGTCCACCCTCAGACAGGCCTTCGGAAAAGACATAGTCGAAGGCGACTCCGACGAAACCCAGCGCCGCAAAATCGAGGCCCAGATTGCGCGGTATGGCCGCGGCAAGTATACGACGTGGGCGTGGACAGATGACGGGCTCGTCGTGACGCACCGATTACCGGTGGTCAGGACGCAGCCAGAGACGAACTTGCCGACACTGTTTACGGGCCTGGCTTCGTACTGGAAGAATACGCAGGTCAATGCTGGTGCACGGAAGAATGTCACGCACCAGCTGTTTGGGGATGGGACTGTGATCCCGGAGAAGTATTTGGCGCATCTGGCCAAGATTACGGATGAGATTCGAGTGTTGCATAGGTGGCAGGAGGGAGATGTGTTGGTTTACGACAATGTGATTGCGCAGCATGGGAGGGAACCGTGGGCGGGCGAGCAGGCGGATCGAGTGGTGTTGGCGAGTCTGTTCGATGGCGCGAGTGTCCCGGGCGCATATGGGGTTGGAGATTGGGCGCGGGTGGTGCAGGCGTTGGATTGAGAGGGTAGATCTGGTTAATATCATACTACTACGGGGAATATTCGCTCTGGCGAGGAAGAATGATCAGCGGTAGATCCTCGACTCGGGCCTCGGTCTGTGCAACTGCAGCTTCACGCGCAGCCGAACTCCCCGCATAAAACAACCCCCAATCCTCATAGCCAGCATAATGCATTGATTGACAGCTTATTCACCATCTCCATCATGTCGCGCAAAACGCACCCCCCAACAGCACCCTACAGCGAACCGCTCCTCCCACAACTCGACATCCCAAACCCTTACTATACAGACCTCCACCACAACCTGCGCGCCTTTGTCCGCGAGTACGTCGACACCTCGATCGCGCCGTATGCACAGGAATGGGAAGCAGCGGGCCAAGTGCCCGAGGCCGTGCGCCGCCGGCACTTTGAGCTGGGGTTTGGGATCGTTCACCCGCTCACCTCCGAAGAGGACTCGGCCGGTCTGGCCCTGCCGGGGAATGTCCCCCGGGAGAAGTGGGATACGTGGTGCTCGCTGATCGTGTCGGATGAGATGACCCGCGTTGGGTTCGTGGGTGTCATTTGGGGCCTCGGGGGTGGGAATGGTATTGGGTGTCCGCCAGTCGCGAGGTTTGGGACTCCCGAGCAGCGGAGGCGCTGGTTGCCCGGTGTTGCGAAGGGGGATATTCGGTTCTGCTTGGGTATCACGGAGCCGGATGGTATGTCTACTCTGTATTATGTCCTTCATATTCGACCACAAATTGACTGTTAATAGCTGGCTCCGATGTGGCCAATATCCGCACCACGGCCAAGCGCGACGGTGACCACTATATTGTCAACGGCGCAAAGAAGTGGATCACCAACGGCCTCTGGGCCGACTACTGCACCGCAGCTGTCCGGACTGGTGGCCCCGGCCGATCGGGCATCAGCCTGCTGGTCATTCCCTTGACCGCGCCGGGCGTGACTCGCCGGCGCATGTATAACTCGGGTGTGAATGCGAGCGGTAGGTTTTTCCCCTAGGATTGAGACCCAAATCCAACTGACATCCGACAGGATCGACCTTCATTGAGCTGGACGATGTCCGCGTCCCCGTGGACAACCTGCTCGGGGAAGAGAACAAGGGCTTCCCACTGATCATGTCCAGTACGTTTACCTACGGCCAGTGAACCTCGACGATGCTAACCGATCCCAGACTTCAATCCCGAGCGCCTCGCGCTAGCATGCGCGTCCCTCCGCCTCGCGCGCGTCTGCGCCGAAGACGCCTTCAACTACGCCATCCAGCGCGAGACGTTCGGCTCGCCTCTGATCCAGAAGCAGGCGATTCAATCCAAGATCTTCAAGTTCGGGCTGATGATTGAGCCCGCCTACGCATTCATGGAACAACTCGTCAATATCCTCGAGCTGACCAAGGACCGGCCCGTCGACGACGTCAAGATCGGGGGCATGACTGCGTTGCTGAAGGTCATGTCTACGCGTGCGCTGGAGAAGAGCGTCCGGGAGGCGCAGCAGATTCTCGGCGGGGCCGGGTATAACAAGGCTGGCAAGGGGGCCAGGATCGAGCAGATCAGTCGCGACGCAAGAGTGCATGTTGTTGGTGGTGGGAGCGAGGAGATTATGATGGGACTGGCACTGCAGGAGGAGACGAAGGCGTTAAGGACGAGGAGGAAGGCGCTGGAGAAGCGGCAGTCCAAGGTGTAAATATTCCGAGGTCTCGGTTGTACGTCATAACCATACTATATATAATGTCGTGGGTTGTTTTGGTATTCTCATGGCGTGCCGTACGTGTCTAGTGTCCGGGGCCAGGCGGTCAGGGCTCTGCTCAGATGCTGGCGTGGCATCTGCTGGTGTGGAAGCCATGGTGGCCGGGAGGTTGACCTCATACATCGAGGACGCGTCGAGCAAGGTTAGTCATCGGAGCTATACATTTAGGCATGTGGGGAAGCACCACTCCTCGTTCGACACTCACCCATCAGCCATGGAAAGCTTCGACGATGTGTCCCTCGTTGGCCCCGTGTCCGAAGATCCTGCTGCGGTCGACAACCGCCCGGACTCGATTCCGGGGAAAACCTCCTCCGATCGGGACTCCGCAAATGGCTCGCAGCAAGAATTGAATGAAGGCCTAGCCAGAGCTTCGATCCCGCCCGCGTTCCCTCCCTTATCGTACAACCCACTCTCAAACGACCAGATCGCCGGGGACGAGGGCGATGGCGAGGATGAGGAGCCTCGTGTAGCCACCTCTTTCGAGCGCGAGTCCTCGCCCGCGTCAGCGCAGAAACGATCGGGACTGGACAACAGTGAGGATGAGGGCATCAACCGCATGCACAAATTCACGCTCTACGAGACCGCGACCCGGTTCTACATGGTCGGCATTAATATGGCGGAGACCCGCTTTCGCATCCTCAAGATCGATCGGACGTCGGACTCGGGCGAGCTGAGCATCACAGAGGATGATATGATCTACACCAAGAAGGAGATGGTGCAGTTGCTGGACGCCATCGACGATGGGAACAAGAGTTCAGGGGGATTGATCCAGAAATGCAGCGCGTGGGCCCTGCTTGGCTTCATCAGGTTCACGGGGGCCTATTACATGCTCCTCGCCACCAAGCGGAGCCAGGTAGCCATGCTAGGGGGTCATAATGTTTATCAGATTGATGGGACGGAACTCATCTCTTTAACGGCGTCAGATTCGTCCCGGGTTAAGACGGAGAAGCACCCCGAGGAGGCTCGCTACGTTACAATCCTGAACTATCTCGACCTCAGTCGGTCTTTCTACTTCAGCTATTCCTACAATATCACCCGCACGCTGCAGCAGAACATCTGCCGGGAACGCAAAGCTTATCGGGATGGATTGCCCAAACGCTTGCCGCAAGATTACAACACCATGTTTATCTGGAATCATCACCTTCTGGATCCTGCTGCGGCCAGCCTAAAAAATCCCTACGAGTGGTGTCTCCCCATCATCCATGGCTATGTGAACCAGAGCAAGATGAGCGTGTATGGACGGACGGTCTACATTACCATCATCGCACGACGCTCCCGGTTCTTTGCGGGAGCCCGTTTTCTGAAACGCGGCGCAAATGATCTGGGATACGTGGCCAACGATGTCGAGACCGAACAAATTGTGTCGGAGCAGACGACAACATCCTTCCATTCTGCGGGTCCAATCCTCCACGCCAACCCCCACTACACTTCGTATGTCCAACATCGTGGGAGCATTCCTCTCTATTGGACGCAGGAGAACACCGGCGTGTCCCCTAAGCCAGATATTGAACTCAATCTGGTTGACCCCTTCTACTCTGCAGCAGCTTTGCATTTTGATGATTTGTTTGAAAGGTACGGAGCGCCCGTCTATGTTTTGAATCTGGTCAAATCTCGAGAACGAACCCCGAGAGAATCGAAGCTGCTCAAGGAGTTTACCAACGCCATCACTTATTTGAATCAGTTTCTTCCGTCGGACAAGAAGCTCATCTACAACGCCTGGGATATGAGTCGTGCAGCCAAAAGCCGTGATCAAGATGTCATCGGGACGTTAGAGGGGATTGCAGGAGATATCATGCCGAAAACTGGCTTCTTCAAAAACGCCAGTGATGCCGAATCTGGCTTGCGGGTTCAAAATGGCGTCGCAAGAACGAATTGCATCGATTGTCTGGACCGAACCAATGCGGCGCAGTTTGTCATTGGAAAGCGGGCACTCGGCTACCAGCTTCATGCTCTCGGCGTTATTGATGAGACAACGGTGGAGTACGACACTGATGCCATCAATCTGTTCACAAACATGTGGCACGACCACGGAGACACCATTGCCATCCAATACGGCGGCTCACATCTGGTCAACACCATGGCTACATACCGCAAAATCAACCAGTGGAGCAGCCATTCCCGGGATATGGTAGAGAGCTTCAAGCGGTACTATAACAATTCGTTCCTTGACGCTCAACGTCAGGAAGCATACAATCTATTTCTGGGCAATTACATCTACACGCAGGGTTCGCCGATGCTGTGGGATCTTTCGACTGATTATTACCTGCACCACGCCGATCCCCGATTCTATCTGACCAAAAGACCACCAAACTACATCTCTTGGTATACGCCCGAGAACTTGAAGGAGAAGGAAATCCCGCCCCTTCCATCCCGTCCAAGAGAATCACTGTCCCATTTTGATGACTACTGGCTCGAGTACTATCGCCCTCAAGCCCTGTCAACCCTCTCCAAGATCTTCTCCTATAAAATGACCTCGACTCTCCGCTACATCCCGCCTCCCCGCCCAGGACACGACACAACTGACCCCAGTCCCTTTGTCCAGCGCATTCCACCAGATCAGCTTCACCGTGACCGTCCATCAACGCGAAGCGTCAAGATCCAAGAACCGTCCGACAACCGCAGTGCCTTATCCACACCCCCAATCCCCGAGCCCCCCTCAGCGGAGAAACTCCCCCCAGCAACAGGGATAATCAAAGAACCAACATACCAAGTCCCGCCACCATCCCGCATCCCGCCCATCAACGCACCCCCCTCAGTGCCAAGCAAAGCCCAAATCGCACAATGGACACTCGGCCAGCTCGTCTCGGACTCCTTAAACCCATCCGTCACAGCCACCGAAGCAGAAGAATACGAGCGCTATATCAACCACCCGCTTAAAGTCCCGCTCGTCGTCACCTCCGAAGACGAAATGACCGCCGCCTCTCTGCGCGAGCACAAGCCCAACCTCGATCTACTCGAGTATGCCGATAAGACGAATGTCGAGGATTCTGCGCTCGAGGCGAATGCGGAGGAGAATCTGGCTGATTATGCCGAGTTCCTGCGCGTCTCGCAGAATGGGTTGACTGTAGTCGGGGAGGATTATCAGAAGAAGAGGTATAAGCGCTACCGGCAGTGGCTGCGTGGGAAGAGTCTTTTCAAGCAGAGGGTTGATGTTTGAATCTATGATGTTATGATTAATTGTTGTTATGATTGGTAGTTAATGAGTAATGACTGAATGATACCCCGAGACAATATTTATTTCTACCTGCACACCCTCACGACCTCTTTTCATCTCCCGAGCTGCCAACCTCAGCATAAAGCAGATCCCCCAATTTAGCATCCGCCTCCACCAGTGCCCGCAACTCCTTCTCTGCACTCTCCTGGGCCAGTCTCTGCTCTCCATCGACAGATGTATCGGCTCCAGGGATAGGATTCTGCAAAGCATGTTTGAGCAAGAATGCCGCACTCTGCAGCGCACGCTTTAATTCATCCAGGGAGTTGGTTTTCTTCTCCTTCTCGTCCTCGAGAACATGTAGCCAGCACGTGCACAGCCCGCTTAGGATCTCTCCGCGCCAGCGCCAGATGCGCGGGTGCGCGTTGGCAACCACTGCTCGTGTGACATTTGCTGCGGCTAAAAGGAGGGGTGGGTGCGCTGTACCGAAGGGATTTGAGAGAGTTGCGTAGAGGATGGGTACGAGGTCTTGGAGGTATTTCGTGGTGTGAATGCCCAGCTCATTTACCCATACGCTGATCTGTTTCGTCAGAAAAGTAGATAGACGGGGGTACGGGAATGAGGCGGAGGTGGTGGTTGAGATGGAAGTTGGCGTTGAGGAGCTGATATGGTGGAATGAAGAGATGAGGTTCGCGCGGAGGATTTTTGTCATGTGCGAGGTGTATACTTCGCTGTTCGTTTCGGGGCTGTAGGCTGTTTGGAATAGACCTCGTAATGCCGGGTACGCTGCGCCCAGGAGGTTGAGAGATGTGTCTTCTGGTGTGATGGTGGGTAGAGATAGGAGACATGGCGTGACGGCGTCTTCGAAGACAGAGGCGAGGTTTGTTCGTCGAAGAATATCGGAGTTGTTTTCTCGAATTGGGGACAGAAGTTGAGTGAGAAGATGGCATCCTTTTGTTTTGAATGGGGGACTTGTGTCATCTATCAGGGCCAGAATTGTTGGCACTAGAAACGGGAAGTCTGCTTCGATATATCTTTGATCGGTTACCTGGACCAAAATCATTAGCGAGCGAGCAAGAGGAATGCATCTGCGCATGTAATGCATACAGGGTACTGTGCCATGATCCATGTCAGAACCGCACTCGCGTAGAGATCACTACCCTTCCACGGCCTCGTCTCATCATCCAAAATGCTCGCATCGAAGCGAGCCAGCGGTACGGGATGGAAATTCTTACGGCCAGCGCCGGTGATGGCGGGGTTTCTGGTCCGAGTGAAAAGAGGCCGGATCTTCTCTTTGAGAATCCGCTGGAGGGTGGACCTGAGTGCGGCTTCATGATCCGATCCGGTCGCCTGGCTGTATAGCTGCAGCACTGCAGTCGCGTTGGCGAAGCTGTCGGCCGTGGTCCATGGATCTTCCGTGGATGTGAAACTCGCCAGGGCGAGGATGGGATCGGATGGATCTTTGGTCTTGTGGATTGGCAGTGTTTTATTTAAAAGCGCTAGCACTGCGATAGCTTGTTCTGATATGGATCTGCTCTCATCCAGTGCTTGTTGGATTTCTGATTCTGCGTTAGTTGGTAGGGATGCAGCTTCGATCCACTGGGGGACACACCATCGGTGATGTCGGCAGTTCCATCGAATGAGACTGCAAAGACCGGTGATGGTAGAGCAACAGCGCTGATCCACTCGTAGAGGTGGTTCACGGCCTGTTCATCATCGTCCGACAGAGGCCGAACCTCACGGGCCTCGAGAAAGGCACGAACCACGCGCAGGCTGTGGCCAGTCTAAGATTGCTTCAGCCAAGTGGCCCGACGGAACTGAATGATGACTTACATTGTCTGCGGACGAAACCTCTTGCCACAATTGGCGTACACTACTTGGGGGCATGTTGAAGAAGTGGTGGTGGAGGAAGAAGTGTGGAAGTGAATGAATCAATTGATTTTCTACAAGCCCAACTCGGCCCGCTGCCGTCGCACTTCGTCCAGAGCCTGTTCCTTGCTGATCCCCGGCCGCAACAACTGCACATTCATCACCACTGCGAGCGCCTTGCTCATCCACGGGCCTTTTCGGGCCTCCAGCGCCTTCATGATCTCGTCGCCATTTACAATGGGTTTCAACTCGCATACGTCTTCTAGGTCTTGCTCTACTATGTACGCTAGGAACTGATCGTACTCGTGCACCACTGCGATCACGGTCAGATAATTCTCCTTCAAAAGACGAACTGGTCTTACCGGTGAAATCGTGTCCTGTCATGATTTCCTGTAGCAGGGCCAGCAGCACGCAGATCCGCCAATCCTTGCCCCACGACCGCATCAGCAATCCAATCTGTTGTCGGATCTCTGCCGGCGACCCGCCCATCCTGTGGTCGAGTAAAGAGGACTTGGTCGCGATGATTTCCTCAAAGTTCCGTGAGGCATCACGCAAAATAGTGAGGGTCTTGTTATCAATGCGCAGACTTTCTCGGGCAACTTCAACCGCCCGTGGCGCCACGTTTTTGGCCTTGGCTCCCACCACCTGCCGTTCAGGCATAGAGGTCCACGGAGCAAACGCGGCGATGACCCACGCATAGTACGCGGTTGCTTCATCGCGCACCAGTATCTGCCGGACGCGTTGTGCAGCTGCGCGGACTTCACTGCTCTCCTCTGTCTCTGGGTGGAGCAACCGAGCGAGCGCATTGTATGCCAGAGACCACGTTGTCGTATTAACAGCGACTTCGTCTTGGTGGTTTGCGAAAATGGTATGATAAAGTGCCAGTCGGTCGATAAATTGGAGCGCACCACGGGGATCGGGGCCTGCAGCAGGTCAGAAAAAGCAACTACAGCACGGTATCAAGCTTCCTCACCTTTCAGCATCTTCTCCAGCTCAGCTGCAACGCGCTCCTTGCTGATTTTGAGCTTCAAGGCCACACTGATATCCTCATTCTGCATCGCCCTTTCCGTCTCGGGGTCAATTTGGTACCCCAGTCTGCTCGCGAACCGGATCAATCGAAGCACGCGCAGCGGGTCATCTCTGAATGTCTGGTATGGCTCCATCGGCGTTCGAATGAGTTTATTCCGCATGTCCGCCAGCCCGTGCTCTGTTAGGTCCTCCAGCCGCGAGTCGTTGAGATTGTAGAAAAGCGCGTTGATCGTCGCATCCCGCCGCAATGCGTCCTCGGTGGCCGTGCCAAACTCCATCTGCGGATTCCGGCTTTCCTCCGAGTATGTCTCTTTTCGTAGATTGACCAGGTCAATATCCAGACCGAAGATCTTCGTCGTGACCGTTTCCAGGTGCTTGGACTTCTCCGGGTTGGCCTCGATTTTGTGGAGGCTCACAATCGCATCGTGCATCTTTCCCTCTGGGAGGCTCTGTTTGTACTTTTCCAGGTTTTGCGGCTCGTCCAGGTACTGCTTCAGCGCCATGCCGAACTGGTAACCCGTCATGCTGCTGATCCCGACGTCGATGTCACGGCTGTCCACTCCGAGCAGCTTGTCTCGGACCCAGCCGCCTGTGAAGCGCAACACCGTTTCTGGATGATTCTTCACATCGCTCCCTCCCTCGACAATCTCCTGGTCCCGGATGTACTGTGCGACGTCAAGAAGGAGGGTGCGCAGGGTGCTCTCGAGTGGAGTGAGCTCGATGGTGGGGATGGTGTGATTCATTGCGGAGGAGCGATCCGGCGCGGGGGAAGGGGAAATGCGTCTTCTCTTGGTGACTCGCTCTAAAGAAGGAGGATCTCGTTTGCAGCCATTCATGAGAGAGCGACAAGGTATGCCAGGGCGGAGGGTGGTGAGTGTCGGCGCAGCTGTCTGTCGCGGAAGAACTGCTCTCGGTGGGCGGACGCGGGCAGGTGGAGTATTGCAGGGTGGGCGACAGGTCTCAAGAAAGCGCCGTAGAGGAGGCAGCCTGGGCATTGGCTGCTGCTGCTGCCATGTAGAGAATCTCAAGAGGAAGTGAGGGAAAGAAAAAAAAACAAAAAGAACCAAGGGCGGCTGGAGATCAAGCTCACTCACCTCACGTGGCATCCGGTGGTCATTCAGTTCCCACGGTCCCATACTTAATGATTGTTTCCTGCTTCCGCAACAACACTGGACTAACAGCAACACACTCCCTCTCCCCTCATTCCTCTTAACTACTCACAGCGTCTCCTTTGGCGATCACCTTATCTGTCAACTTCGGCTCTCTTGCTGGTCGGAGTCCGCTCGTGGCTTTCTGCCCACCAACCTCCTCTCCTGTCCACGAACTATCTGTCCTTCTCCGCTCACCGCGCCCTTCTCTCCCAGTCAATGGGGCTTCCAGATCCACGCCCAACCCTGTGAATACGCGCCAAGCAGCTGTCCATGACATCACCGGGAGATGCTGCCCCGGTTAAACCTCCGCCGTCCTTCTCCCCCGGCGTTGCGCGTGGCGCTTCCAAGTCGCGATACCCGGAGCAGCACGAGTCCACTGTATCGTTAGACACGGAGCTGGCAGAGTCTCGGACGGGGTCCTCTCCCACTCCGCCTCTGTCAGCCACGAGCTCCGAGCTTCCTATACGCACCGACTCCCACTCGTTGAGATCCTCCACCCCGCAATTAGCCAGGTCGTCGCTCGGTTCGCCCTTGGATGGTCAGGTGGATGGCTCGGACGACCTCAGATCAGTAATCACTCGGTCTTTCTCACCCACAATTGCGGTGTATGCCTCCGATGATACCGATGAATTGGTGCGCAATAAGGGGTTCAAGGGCGGATTCTGGGAGCTGATCCGCCCCTTTGGAGAAACCGTCCCGGGTAAAGTGGTCATTCGGGATAGCGTCGGGGCGAGTCGTGCCTGGGAAGATTATGGGGTGCGATTTGTGGATCTCAAAGGGTTTGGCCGGGCTCCCCTTGGTCGACATGCGCGAGATTCACCGTTGACGCAGATGGAGGAGGTGCTGGAGAAGCACTTGGAGTCTTCGGATATCTCGTTGGCCGCGTCGATTCGGCCCAAAGATGCACTAGGGCTGCCGGCAATGTCCCCATTGTGCAAACTGCTCTTCCGACAACTTCTATCGGCTACACCTCCCGCGCCGCACGAGACGTTTGGCCATCCTGTGGCTAGTGTCATTGCCATCAGCTCGCGCAATACAGCACCCTTGGAGACATTGAGACAGCTCTACGCCGGGAGCAGTACCGGTGACCAGCGGCTACCTGATTGGGTTCATCAAGAGTATCTGCGATATTACGTCTTGGTCCATGATGAAGAACGAGATGATTTTGCCGAGTCTACAAAACTCTACGATCAGATGAAGCGGCATTTTGGTCTCCACTGCCACCTCTTGAGACTTCGGAGCAGCCAATGTGTAGTGACAGACGATGATAGCATCCAAGTACCCCAGTCCGAATGGCTATCACCTCTGGAGCGCCTATCGGGGGCAGGAGAAGCAGGTGGGATCAGTTATCACCCAAAGAAGCCTTTGCTGACTTTTGTTGCTAGATATCTTAGTGGATCTGGACACGGATGGGACCCGGTATCTGTTCGACTCCGATGCCACCGCAATTCGGACTTTCGTTCGCGAGCTAGTGGCGCAATCGGTGATCCCCTTCATGGAGAACCGCGTGGCCGTCTGGAACGATCAAGTGGCATCTCGAAGGCGCGGGATCAGTGGGCGGTTCATGTCCATGTCGCGGCGCTGGGCCGGGTTTGGGTCAAGTTCGCGCTCTAGCATGACCGGCTCGTCCAGCGGCAGCAGTGGGAACTACAATTCTGCACACAATTTCTATCAGCCCGACTCACCAGAGGCTATCTTGCGAAAGATGGCCGATTTTGCGTTTATGCTTCGCGACTGGAAGTTGTCTACATCGACGTACGAGATCGTCCGTTCGGATTTTGGCAATGACAAGGCATGGAAGTACCATGCCGGTGCACATGAGATGTGCGCAGTGAGCATGCTCTTGAACCCCCTGGCCATGTCGTCCAAGATCAAGCTCGAGAACGTCGACCAGATGTTCGAAACCGCTTGCTACTCCTACCTAACGCGGTGCGACGACGCCCTACATGCCCTCCGATGTCTCACGCTGGCTGTCGAGCTTCTCAAGTCTCGGGGTGGCTCCGCCACCGAGAGCGCTGCCAAATGGGCCATGCGGGTCGTGGACTTTGGTCTGGTCGGCTCGGTGGGCCAGATTCTCTTCAGCGAACGGATATCCGCCTGCTACGCGTCCAAGGTTCCCGCCAGCGGCGCCAAATGGGGAGCACGACGCAGGAAAGCTGGGATGTGGAGCATTCTCGCCGCTGACCAGTGGCTCAAGGCCGGCAAACCCACGCTGGCATCTGCGAGTCTGGAAGAAGCCGAACGCCTCTACGCCGATGTTCTCGAGAACGATGGCATCTTCCCGATGCCCGAGATGCAGAGCTTTGTCGATGAGCTCCGTCACGCCGTGAAAATGGAATACCTAGGGTCACGAGGGTTTGATAATACTCAAGATGAGCCCGGCAGCGCCATAGAAACCCTGGGAGGCCTGGAGGAAACCAGCGAGAGGCTCGTCAAGCGCAACCACCGCCGCTCACTCATCGGTCTGCCTACCCAGCTGGATACCGGGGCGCTGAACTTGGCCCAGGGGGCTAGGGATGCCGAAAACCCGCCGAATGACGACTTTGAACGAGCATAGCTGGTCTTAATGATATGTAGCCGCATTACCGCACATAAGAATAGAATACAGATCTTCGATGGTACAGTGTCTGTACCCTTCTTTCATCAATACAACGATTCAATATAGCTGTTTACTCAACATCTTCTCGCGACCCTTTCCCATACAAGTATACATCGCACCGTCACGTGTCGCTGCTTATCGATAAACGCAGGAGCTCATGCGGGCCTTGTTTGTCCCGTTGTTGACCAACCGTCACTTCCACTGCCAACTCTCCCCCAACCCGTCGCAAGATGAGCGACCTCCTCAACTACATCCTCAACAACGAGGATGCCTTCCGAAAGTACGTCCCGTCCAACCTCCAACTCCCCTACCCAAGTTCCCGTTCTCTAAATGCAAAACCCCCGAAATAAGAACACCAACTAAACTAATCGAATCGCTTCAGAAATCGCCTCCCATCCCTCTACTCCGATTTTACGCTCCAAAAACGAACAAACCCCGACGGCTATGCCGTCAACGTCGCTGCGTGGGAACAAGCGCTCAACCACGCCGCGAGACGCGGATACACATCTTCTCGCGGTGTGCGCGTGCGCTCCGGGTCGTTATCCTTGTCGCCGTCGTCATCCACGGCAAAGCAAAACGCAGGGAACAATGACCCGCCACTGCGAAAGAAGACGGATCATCTCATTCTGAGGACAGATGAGTCGCTGCTGAGGGATTTGGAGAGTCCGGAATGGGGGAGGCCTGTTGCGCTGGGGGCTGTGTTTGTAGGTTTTTTTCCCCTTTATTTTATTTTATTATCTCTCTCCCTCTGTGTGTGTATGCGTGTATCTTTTTATACACACCTTGAGATGTGGAGGTTGCTAATTTCGTTGTACTGTCCAGGATGAGGCATTGCGCAAACATACCATGGTCGCACTACCGGTTTACAGAAACATGGCTGGCAGTCTGCAGAAACGTCAATGGCGGGTCATTGATCCTGGTGCACTTAGTCCGTGGAATGTGATGAGCTGGGGGATGCGACAATTAAAAGGGTTCGTGGTGGGATCTGACGAGTCAGCACCGAGGCTGCAGGTGCAGGAGTTGGTATTGGTTGAGAATCTACGAGTGAGTACCTTTCTGTTTGGATAGGGGTTGGTCCGGACTTGCTGATAGACATCTTGCAGGAAACGGCAGATCTGGTGGTAAAGAAGGCCACGAGGGCCAATGCGTCCAAGCTGGATCTTATATACTCCAAGGAAAGCTTTGTGGAAGAGTACGCTACGGTGTTGCACGATGCGACGGAGCTGTCGGATGAAGATTTTGATGTGTTATTGCTCTATCTTTCGCGGGACTTGGGGGCCATTGCGTATGATGGCAAGGTATGACTCAAGATTCGAGGGTATATACAAGGTTCGTGACATACTGACCAGCCACCGGCAGACCATCAAGTTCAAGTCTTCCAGTAATGAAACTCCCGTTATCACGCAGCAGGACACGACTATCGCCTCCATCAAGACCCTCCTCTCGACCATGTCCAAACAGGTCACGAATCTAGAGGCAAAAATCGAAGAGTTGAACATGTCCGCGAAGACGGCGCTGGCCAACAAGAACCGCATTTCCGCGCTTTCGGCTGTGCGCTCTAAGAAGCTGGCCGAGGGCAATCTGAAACAGAGACTTGATACCCTTGTCCAACTGGAGCAGATCTATTCGAATATCGAGCAGGCTGCAGGACAGGTGGAGCTTGTTCAGGTGATGGAAGCGAGCACCGGTGTTCTCCGCGGACTGCATGCACATGTTGGTGGCACAGAGCGGGTCGAAGATGTGCTCGAGGAGTTGCGCGAGGAGATGGCCAAGGTAGACGAGGTCGGGAATATTATGAATGAAGCCGGGCCGGTCGTCGATGAGGGCGAGATTGACGATGAGCTCGAGGCGCTGGAGCGGGCCGAGCGCGAGACAAAAGAGAAAGAAGAGGCGACGCGGACACAGCAGAAGCTCGCCGAGTTGGACAGGCTCAAGCAGGCCTCTGATGAGGTGGCTCGCAAGAAGTTGGCTGAGCCAAACGTGGATGCCATGCTGGCGGCGAACATTGACAAACTCTCCGACATGTCGGTCGAAGATCGTCCGATGCCAGCGAAATAGTGGGAAAGTGATCGCTCGCCTGCAGGTAACCTTCAAATTCTTCGTGTCATCGGGGTGGGTTTAATGACTCGGCCTGCGGATTGAATTCAAGAACACCATAGACCGATGGCGGCTGTAAGGGTTCCTGCGGAGACACATCCACGTCCTTGACAGTTGACGGTGTGGCAGGCTCTTCCGATGGGGATTCTTCTCGGGCAGCAGAGGCTCCAGGGATCGTTGACCTGACAGCGGCATCGTTCTGTTTCCGTGCATTCGCAATCAGACGCTTGAAATCGCCATCGTGAGAGGCACTCCAGTCGGCAGCATTGAAATCCTTGCGCATCACCGGGTTGTTCGCCACGAACAGCGAAGGCGCCGCCGCGTGTCCTCCTTGAGTCCGTTCCCATATATCCAATTCCTGCAGCAAGTCGCGCTTTGATTTTGGGGTTTTGGAGTCACAGTTCGCATTCCACAGGTTCATCCACTCGGTGTGACGCCTCTGCAACAGCTGCCGTGCGCCCCAGTCGGGGATGCCGAGATCACGAAGCTTTCTCCGCAACACGCCGTCTTTCAAGATCGAATAGTTCATTGCGGGGATCCTCTCAGGCGGTTTAGAGATGGGATGTGCGGTAATACGGGCGGCAGGTTGCAGAGATCTATATACACGATCGTTAGAGCTTGAGACGGTTGACTCATGCAATGCACATAGACTTACCCAAAAGACTTGGTCTTCGGCGCAGTAGGGGTTCCTGGACAATCTCTATCCAGATGGGCAAAGACCGCTTCATTCTTCATCTTGCGGTGGCAGATAGGACAATTCACAAGACCATCCTCTGTAATCCCGTTAGACCAGTCATGGTGCGCAATGCGTCGCCGATGTCATACCTGGAGCGTAGTCCTCATCTTGGCTGTCTTCAATAACCTCCGGGGCAGACGAAGAACCTGGCACATCACTTCTCGACCTTTGAGATCTGGTGCGCACACCCTGCGGGCTACCCTGCGACTCTTCCAACCCTTCCCGCAGCGGCAGATCCAGCTTCCGCTTCTTGGGCGATGATGGCCCATCTCGAGCGGGATCACCACGCGCAAGACGCGTAGCCTCCTTCTTGGCCAACTCCAGAACCTTTGGCCGTGCGGTCTGGAACGCATCGACTAGCTCCTGGACCGCCCAGTTGCGACGGAGCTTCAGCTCTTGGTCGGACGCGCGACACGCGGGACACTTCCCCTCAGTGCTCAGACAGCGGCGAATGCATAGCGAGCAGAATGTATGGCTACATGACGTGATGACCGGGTTGTCGAAAAGGTCCTTGCACACTTGGCAGCGCAGGGAAGACTCTAGTGGCGCGAGCAGGGACAGCGGAGTGTCCAGCCAGTCGGTGGAATCGGGAAGATCGAACGAGTTTTCCATGGAGATGGAATGTGGGAGGACGAAGGGGAGAGAGTAGACATGGGCAGGCCGGCAGAGAATATATGTAGCTCGGGAGAGAGGAACGGGCTTGGCCTGTCTCTACAAAGAAAAGAAGCAAAGGAAGCGTGACGGAAGGAAGTCCAAGAGAGCCAAGACCCGCTGACTGACACGCGTTAAGTGGTGTCGCGTCTTCCCTCTTTTTGACCTCCACACCACACCTGCCATGGCTGCTTCGTATCTGCCCGAGACCGTCCTCAATGAACGGCGCACAGTATGTTCATTGCCATGTATAATATGCCCAATGCTCATGGCAGTCTAGGTCACTTATCGCTCGCTGGGCCGCGCGCTCAAGGTGCATGCCACTCTAGCCAAGCAGTACGCCCACCTGCAACTCATGGACTCATTTCTTACTGACTGGGTATTCTCTTCTCACAGGATGCTCTTCGACTTCCACCGCATCGAAAATGCAAAGAAACCCCAAACTGTCCACGCGACCTATGTCGTCTCCGGCATCCAAAAACCACCACAATCACCCGGGATAAACGGTCATGGCGCGAACGACGAGGACGCAATCATGCAGAGCAGCCCGTACATGCCCAGCTCGATGCCGAACCAAGACCCCGCGGACGCGGTGCGCGTTACCTCCATCATCCTAACTCGCGAAGAGGACTTGGAAGGTGGGTGTTGTGAGGAAATATTGGGCCTTGTGTGCTAACCTGAACTTGTGCAGCTGCCAAATCCACCTTCGAATCGATCTCAACAATACATATCTACAGTGTCCAGCCAACTGTGCTGCAGGACCTGAATGTCTTGACGGATGTGAGTCGGGAGACGTGGAGTGCGCATGTCCATGAGGATCCGTTGGAATTTGGGAAGAAATGGGGCATGATCCAGAACACGCACGTCCAGGTACGCTAGTTGTTCCTTAGTTGTCTACAAGGAGCTAACAGCTGGTCTAGCGGCGAACGGGGGCGCGGCCACCACCAGCCCCAACTCCGGCCGTGAAAGCGGCCAAAACGTCGGAATCGACGGTTCCAGCCAAGCGGCCGTTCCAGAAGGAGGCGCCTCCTAAAAAGGCGGATGAGCGGTCCTCGAAGCAATCAACTCCAGCCTCGGACTCTCAATCATCTGCGAAGCCAGCAACCAAGGCGGCGCCCAAGCGCGAGAAGAGTGATCTTTTTAGCTCATTTGCCAAGGCCAAGCCGAAGCCGAAGAAGGCCGAAGATGGTTTGTTGCGTCCTTTCTTTGCCGAACATGAGCTTATACTTCCCAGTGGTCCTCGACGACGCCTCGGAGGAGGAACCAGAGGAATTGTTCCCGGACCAGGGAGACAAAAAGACCGACCCAGCCACTCGTGAAAGCAGGAAAGATCGCGAGGAGAAGCTCAAACAGATGATGGAGAATGACGACGGTGACGGTATGTATTTGCGACCATTGTGTCTCCACCGCGCCTAACGGAGTTTTAGATGAGGAAATGCCCGATGCCGACGAAGAGGAGCCAGCCCGCGAGCCGACGCCACTAGTGGAGCAGCCACCCAAGCCAGCCGAGCTCAAGGAAGAAGCCACCGTCCAAGGTGGGCGGCGGCGGGGCAAACGACAAGTCATAAAAAAGCGGACGGTCAAGGATGAAGAGGGGTATTTGGGTAAGCAAGGCTCGCTGGAGACAAGTCGTACCATCACTAATCAAAACAAACAGTGACCCGCGAGGAGGCTAGCTGGGAGTCCTTCTCCGAAGATGAGCCGGCACCCAAGAAGAAACCCGCGGTCTCGGTGGGCAAGGGCAAGGCTGGCAAGGGCCAGGGCCAGGGGAACATCATGTCATTCTTTGGGAAGAAGTAATTAACTAGTTAATTTAGTTGGTCGGATAATTCCGAAGTCCAGCCATGTATAGTTAGCTAATCCTCTCCGCAATACTAAGGAATACAACCGTGCCCTGGCCGATGTCACCCTGCGGGGAAATATCGCCCGAAGTCAATGCTTGTCTTTGCACGACAGACCGTGCTAGCCCTAATCCAGGTCCGGAATGCACCCCTGGTTGCGATCGGCATCTGGGGGAGATTGGCTACTTAAGCTGGGGCGGGCCTGGTCGGTTGGTACTGCTGTTTACTCCTATCAACAATGGTGCTGTCAGTTCTTGCCCTAACCTTGCTCGGCCTCGGCCAGGCCCATGGTCTCGCTCACGACCACCCGGCCATCTTGAAACGCGCCTGTCCCGACTACACCACCTACTCCGAGCAGCAGCATGGCCCCTACAGCGGGGGGCCCTTGAACCTGCCCTTCCAGCGTCCCGCCGAGCAATGCCGCACGTTCACGTCGGCCGCGGTGGAGAAGGTCATTGAGGATATCACGTCACGCCTGGTCGACAAGGACCTGGCTCAGATCTTCCGGAATGCCTACCCCAACACGCTGGACACCACCATCAAATGGCATGTCCCCAACGGCACCCACTCACACCTCGCGCGCCGGGACGGTGCCGTCTGGACGGGTGCCCAAACCTTCATCGTGACCGGCGATATCAACGCGGAGTGGCTTCGCGACTCGACCAACCAGCTGATCAACTACCAGACGCTGGCCACCAAGGACAAGAGCCTGTTCACACTCATCCACGGCGCGATCAACACCCAGGCCGAGTTCGTCATCCAGTCGCCCTACTGCGAGGCCTTCCAGCCTCCCTCCGTCAGCGGGCTCCCGCCCTACAAGAACACGGAGCAGGACACCGTGCACCCGACCTACGACCCGTCCTTCGTCTATGAATGCAAGTACGAGCTGGACTCGCTCGCCCACTTCCTGAAGCTGGGAAATACCTTCTACGAGGCCACGGGCACGACCGACTTCCTGTCCGACCGCTGGTTCCTGGCGCTGCAGACCGTCCTGAACGTCATCGATGCCGAGTCGCAGCCCACCTTCAACGCCGACGGCCAATACGTCGAAAACGTGTACACATTCCAGCGCGAGACCACCATCGGCACTGAGACCCTCAACCTCGGCGGCATCGGCAACCCTATCGCCAGGAATACGGGCCTCATCCGCAGTGCCTACCGGCCCAGCGACGACGCCACCATCTTCCCGTACTTCATCCCGCCCAACGCCATGATGTCCGTTGAGCTGCAGAAGACTGCGAAGCTCCTCAAGGCTGCCGGTGGCCATGACCAGCTGGCTGAGGAGCTGGATACCCGCGGCAAGAAGCTCGCGGAGGCTGTCAAGGAGCACGGTATCGTTAACCACAAGACCTATGGCGATGTTTATGCCTATGAGGTCGATGGATACGGTGGCCGCAACATGATGGATGACGCCAATGTTCCCTCCCTGCTCTCCCTGCCGTACCTCGGCTTCCTGGATCAGAACGACAAGGTCTACCAGAACACCCGCAAGATGGTCACCTCCCAGGCTGGAAACCCGTATTACCTGACCGGATCTGCCTTCCACGGCATCGGCGGTCCTCACAGTAAGTCTACCGCCTTCCTTGCCTCCATTATATCATTTATTTCCGAGCATCTCTAATTCTTGTTTCGTAGTCGGCCTCCAAAACGCCTGGCCCATGTCCCTGCTTATCCAGGCCCAGACCTCCGATGACGACCAGGAGATCATGGACTGCATCAACCTCGTCAAGCAATCCAGTCTGACCGGCCTCATCCACGAGTCCATCAACGTCACCAACATCAACGACTACACGCGCTCGTGGTTCTCGTGGGCCAACTCAGTCTATGCGCAGACGATCCTCAAGGTTGCGGAGGAGCGGCCGCATTTGATCTTTGGGAAGGGTGCTAAGCCTTATAAGCCGGAGTAAAAGTGAACTGGCCTGCTCTTCGGGTTGTAGATAGCGCAAGGCATTCTGTTCTTATTTTCTCTTCTTCGTGACCACAGTACCTACTTTACTTGTCTATCCCGTGTCGTGGATCCTAGTCTATTATCGGCATTTAGTATTTTGTTCTAAGCATCAATTGCATTGCACTGTACACCATGCCGGACCTGGATCATCCTCGATCCAGTATGCAAATAATCATATACACAGGAAAAGGATAAGGTATATACAACAGTCAAATCAAATCAAAACCCTCCGCAGTCCCTCCGTACCACCCAGCACCCTCCGCCCCGTAACCGGACACCGACCCTTCCCACTCTCCCACTTCCCACCGCGCTTGCGCCATCCCACCTTCTCATCATCCTTAGGAACGGTCTCCTCATCAACACCTTCTTCCCCCTCCCCATCCATAAAATCCAACTGGCGTTGATGCTCGCCATTCAACCAGTGGAAAATACACACATAGCAGAACACATACCCTGTCTGACACGCCGTCGGGTTCACGAGCGCGCTCATGCACACGGGGCAGGTATTTGCGCTGGATGAGTCGGCTGGTGGCAACGGGACTGTGAAAATGGGGAGGAATGAAGAAGCGGAGATGGGGGGTTGGTTGCGGCGGGGAGATTTTAGGGCGGGTTTGAGGTCGGACGGGTTGGTTGGAGATGAGGTCTTCCTTTCTTTTTCTTTCTCCTTCTCCTTTGCGTCCTGCGCTGCTCGACGTCGTTCTTCAGGTGTGGTTAGACCGGACACCACGGGCGCGGGCAGGTCCAGGACCTCAGTGGCTTTGCGGGCTAGTTGTCGTGAGAAGTCGCTTGCGTGCCACCATTCCAGGAACTTGAGGGCGAATATTGAGGCCGGGAGGAAGTAGCGCAGCGAGGAGAGGAGTCGCGGGTAGAGGTTCTGCGGGCTCAGAAGACCCAGGAGGCCTGATCCAGGGCGCTGGGAGCGCGCAGCCCCGGGTCGGGACTTGGGGTCTAGAACTGCGGCGATGGCGCGGTGGTCTGCTGCGCCGAGTCGGCGGATGCGCGTTCCGATGAGCCAAAGGAAGGGCGAGGAGTATTTGGTGTTGTCGAAAAGGTAGGCCAGGTTGAAGGCCAGGACGGAGAAGTAGTATGCCGCGTTGACGGACGGGTAGACGTTCCGCAGGAACCACTTGTAGTAGGCGAACAGCCGCTGGCGCAGCGTCGGGTTGGGCGGCAGGTCCTCGCTGGGGTTATAGCGGGGGCCACCACCGATAGCCAATGCGGCCTGAGGTGCGGCGTGGATGTCGTATCCCTCGTCGAGCTTGCATTTCAAGTAGGGAATGCCTACAAGGACGAGCAGGTTCTTCCACACGTCGGCGGAGCGAAGCTTCAGAGCTTCGCGGACGGGGCCGGCGGCGCCGACTTGGGCGCGCGGGATCTCGCCATTTTCTGTGCGAAGGACGCGCTCGCGTTTTAGGGAGTAGAAGTTCTCAGTGAAGGAACCGCCGAAGGTGCGGAGGTAGTAGCGTTCGACGATGAAGGAAAGGACGGCGTAGACCTCGTCGTAGGAGTTGAGGATGCGGAGGAGGTAACGCGGGTGGCGGTGCGTTGCGACAGCAAGGAGGTAGCGCAGAGAGGGAGGAATCAAGTTTGATAGTTGTTGCTCTGCGAGAAGTTCTGGGATGGGGTCAGTGGCATGTTCGGTTCTCCGTGTCTGGGGTTCCGCGGACAAGGACGGCGAGGGCGAAGTGGACGGGAGAACTCACCGAAGAGCGAGGGCTTCGACTCGTCGAACTCCTGTTGAAGACTAGGCAGGTACTCCATTGTGAGGAGCACCGGGCATCGTCCAGGGATGGGAGTTGCGACGGACAGAGAGAGTTAGTTGAGGGAGGAAGAGAGAGATGAAGGCCGGATGGAGAGAGCCGAGGTCCATCGCAGTTTGATGCCTTAGGCACCACTTCTAAAGAGTTGTGTCAACTATAGCATCAACGGTCACTTTCAACTTCCGAGAACGGTAATGTATTTCTGTCATTTATTAGCCCACTTATCGCTTTGGGATTACTATTGAAGTCCATTTCATTTCATCACTCTTCAGGCACCAGTTTTGATAAACTGCGCAGCTGAGGACCGTACTTCATAAACAAGAACGGAACAGGGAGCAAGACCGCAGCCACCGCGCCAATAATAGAAACCGCCGGTCCAACATCCAGCGCTCTGATCATCGGCTTAGCCGCCAATGGAAGCCCCGTGGCCATAATACTCCGAAGGAAAGTAACCGCTGCCGTCGCACTCGCCGCATACAACCGATAGACGTCAATCAAGAAGTTCAGACACTGCTGGAATATACAATTGAACCCTGCCCCAATGAACATGGCCGCCAGACAAGGGAGGATCCAATGATGAGGCGGTTTCGCGGTCCACGCAAACCAAAACACGCCCACCACGAAGAAGATTGCCCCAAATGCCATTGGCGGTAATCGAGCTTCTGGAACGGGTCGGCCATTTGCAGCGCGAGAGATTTTATTGTAGTAGAATTGGTTCCAGATGTTAAGCCCAACCGCCGATATAACGCCGATCAACAGGGCCAGAAAGGGGAGCGAACCGACGAGGGGGTCCCATCCGCGGATATCTTGAAAGACAATTGGAAATACCTCGAGGGTGAGGTACATGACGCCGTACACGAACGCGGCGTAGAAGGCAATGCAGGTGACGATGGGCTCGGTGAGCAGCATTTTCCACGGTCGGGAGAGCTGCTTCGTCATGATTGAGTGGAAATCAAGTTCCAGGTGCTCGTGTGGATGATAATAGGCCGGGTTATTCGTTTCTTTGCGAAGGCGCTCTGCTTTTCGCTTCAATATGACTAACGGATACACCTCCGGCAGGAAGAAGTATGCCATGGTGAAAATGACAATCGACCAGATTGCCTGGATGTACTCGGTCCAACGCCAATTGAGATGAGGGTTGCGGAGAAGAGCCGCACCGATGATAGGGCCCAGTGATGGGCCGCCGTTCACTGCCACAGCATATAAACTGACGGCGATTCCGCGAGACTCTCGATTAAAAATATCCCCGAGTGCAGCAGAGACGTTGCTAATGGGGGCAGAGCCAAAGAACCCGGCGAAGAAACGCGTCAAAAAGACTGACGTTGCGTTCTTGCTTTCTGCAGTTCCGATTGAAAAGATTGCTTGACAGAACACGGGGGGCAGGATGCTCACTCGGCGACCCCAGATCTCTGAAATGGGCGCCCAGAGAATAGGGCCAAGTACGAAGCCGAGACTAATTCAGGAGTTAGCCAACTATATACACTAGCAAGAGCCTGGGGTATTAATCACAGATAGAGAGAAACATCAAGAACAGCAGCCTCGCTGTTCACGCCGATGTATCTTGCGATAGTGTCGTCGGCAGGCGTGGTAATACTCGAAGCCAAACTTCCCACTAAGGCGAGCATGCCCAACTGGAATGTAATCCAACATTTATATAGGACAGGCCAATTCTGGGGATTGGCGGGGTCATCCTGGTCAAACTTGACGAGATAATCCGGATCCAGGGCGCGTTGTTCTTTGCCTTCTGTACGCGGTGTTCTCCGGAGGGCGCTGATGGGCCATATTCGACCCATAATTGTTGCCAAACCAGGAGTTATTGTATGGCGTAGGTTTTGGCATGATGAAAAGACGTAATTATCTGATTGATTTATCATCAGAGAGTCGCTCGGCAATTGGATGCCGATGGGTGCGGAGAGATTTGCCAAATCTGTTATCGCCGCGACTAAGAGACTTAAGTAACCTCGGCCGACTCCGATGGATCAGGCTGGATGTTATGGTACGTACCTAATGGAATGCTGTACACATTCTTTACATGTAAATGTTCTTGGTAAACCTTTCAAGTACTCCCCCTAAAGGCCTTGTCTTAAGCAATTTATCCCTCCCCCTACAGCGATCCGATCAGGATGGCAGAAGTGATGCTTGATTACGAGGTCGATGTTGACCTTTCCACTGAATCTGACACTGAGCCAGACCCCTGATTGGAAGATAACCCCCCATTTATTTATTCTTGTAGAATAGTAATCTTATACAGAATCACAAAGCCAATTTCTCGAGCTGGTAGGTCTAAATAAAAAATGAGCAAAGAAAATATAGAAGTCCTTCTACTCGAAGCGAAGTATACAGTATGAACAAAAAAAAAAGTAAAACTATGAACATGTCGAACGTCTCTTATCGAAGAAGAGAGTTCAGTCCTGGAGCCACGGCGGCAGTCTGGCTTCCTTGGGAACCACGTGTCTCCGACGGACACGGGGGGCGATTGCGCTAGAGCTGGAGGTACTCTTTGGTGGAGGCGGAGGAGGAGGCGGCGGCGGCGGCGCCGGGTTGGATGTAATAGACGATGGTGGAGGCGGCTTGACTGTAGAAGAACCTGGCGGCGGCGCCCCAGCTGTGGTGGAACCTGGCGGCGGGACTGGACCTGACCCTGAAGACGGCGGAGCAGGCTGGCTTGTCCACGACGAGGGGCTAGGAATTGAGTACGGTGGGTAGGGGAATGACGACGAAGGAGCTGACGAGAAAGGAAGCGGTTTCGGTGATGTTACAGTGGGAGCCGTATACGACTGGGATGAGAATGATGCAGTTGGAGTAGTAACCCCGCCGTCGACTCCGGTACACCAGCTCGCAAACGTATGGACCCATGACTGATGATGGACATGTTAGTAGAGGATGTGAATGAGGCGAGCAAAGACCTACCCAAAGTGTTGCAGACAGGAGCGGACTCTCTGTGCCATCTTCGTACAATGCCTCTCCAATGAGGTTGACGCCAGCTGATGGAGTGTATTTCAAGGCTGCGTGTTGGTCCCCTACCTGATTGGGGCAGGCATCGCCACTTGCTATGTTGGATTAGTGGGACGTTCGATCTGCAATATAGACAATGACGTACTCTCTGTATAGCCCACGGTTGCACCATAGAAACCCTGGAGATCCAAGCCAGCTTCGAATCCATGGTCTATCGTACCGTCAGAACATGAGGGAAGTCACTCCAGCCAAGAATAAAGACTTACCCAAGGCTTCCAATGACAGCATAAGCTTAGCATCGAGGTTGACTTGGAAAGAGCCGCTGAGGCCAGCACTGAAGGTCAAGTCCTTTTGTTCCCACGTTGTCTCCCACCCATTCGAATCGGAGCCGGGGTCCAACAGGTCAACCGTCAACGATCCCGAATCCGCAACATTCATAACTCCTCCGCCTGTGACTGAAGCAACGCCCTTGAGGGGACCTATAGAGGCACCCAATGAAAACTCGATGTTGGGGCCCAGGCTCAGAAGACCATCTCCGAACGATACTCCATCGAGGGGGATCGTCCCCAAAGATATCGGATCTGGCTTAATACTACCCGTTAGAGCTGCAGAAACTCCTAGTGTGGGCTCGTATGTGAAAGAGACTCCTTTGGGAGACAGGATAAGTTCAATATCATGCGGGATATCCAGCCATGTTTTGATGTGGAAGTCAAAATCAAGGTCTCCCTTCGTGCCGCAGCCAATGCAGTCGTATGTCAATTTGAAATCACCGCTGCCCAGGCTGATATGGCTGAGCGGTATCCCTGCTTCGATATCAAATGTGAAGCTCTTGTCCCAATCGCGCTTGGTCGAGGCAGGGCGGCCGCTGACGTAGAGCTCGTATGAATGAGAGGACTTGCTCCAGGTAGAGACTTCGCCAATCGTCTTGATCGTGTTGGCCTTCTCATCAAACTCAACATTTTTGACAACGAACGGGAGCCGTTCTTCGTTCCACTTGCAGTGGCCCTTTCCAGCAACAAGCAGGAAGGTGTGTTTTTCTTGCTCGTTGACCCATTTCCAGGCCTCAGTCCCGTAGTGGAAGGCCTTCTCGTCCTCGAACTTCATGGTCATGCTATTCTTGGTGCACTCGGTTGACTTCAACAGAGGGTAAAACTTCTCCATGGCGATGATGCTTTCGTGTTTTCCAGGCATGAAGGTTGTGAAGTTCCCCAGGCCGTATTTGCCCTTTGCACTAAGACCTGTGAGTGATGCCTGTGAGTCTCTTACTTCATGTAGTATGGAGGTCCCCAGTGATGAACTTACCACCCCATAGGAAGGTCTCGACATTGCGAAGATCCAGTTTAGTGTAATCGCTGTCACGGGCACCAATAAGGCCCTCTTCATACTCGAGCATATCAATAGGCTCGAGAACATGGGCCGAGCAGACTTGAGTCAAAAGAGCGGATGCCAGGCCATAGGCCAGCCAGGAAAGGTGCTGAACACCCATTTTCAAACAACGAGAGGCAGCAGCTCTTTGTTGCTACAAAAGGAGTGGAAATCTGATGGTTGAAACAAAGCCCCAGAAGTCTGCACAGAGCCTCCTTTATACACCAAGACCAGATGATCTCGGAGCGGGTTTGCACAACGTCGTAGAAATACGAGCAACAAACTGAACTGCCAGAAACGAAACTCGCGCAATAACCACGTTTTTGGAAGTTTAATATGACCCTTGATCATCGTGTTGTTCCATCGGCCGTCGATCCCTGCCCGTTGATAAACGGCGATCCTTCGTGTTCCTGAGCATGGCCCCCAACGATGGAGAAATCGCAGCCAACTAAAACCCGAGGATTTCAGTCATGGCTCAGATAAGCTCTGGGCATGCATTAATTTTGTTACATAGCGTGTTTCACAGCCCCTCCCAAGGAAGAGAGCCTTGCCGTCTCGTATTATACCCAGACTTATCGCGCTCCGAGCATGGTCCATACGATGGCTTCCGGCTAGGGATGCATGTGGCAGATCTATAGTTAGGCCTGCGGATAACACTGCCTCCCCTATCACATCTTGTCACAGTGCGGCTCGTATCCGTCGAAGTCTATCTGCAAGGAACGGCGGGAGAAGAAAATGTTCCTAAAATATTTTTCCCGTGACTACCACAAGTCATTCTCAGCCTTCTCAGGAAGATAATACGATTCTTTCCAGATGCAGAGTCGTAGTCCAAGCCAAGTCATCTACCTAGTAGTAAGTTTCAGCTATGTCCACAGCCTCCTGAGATCGACTAGTGCGACGCCATTTCGGTTGCATCTGGACTGCGTAAATCTTCCACGTGGGGGGATCTCGCTAAGTAGATAATCCCCAATAATGATGAATGTGGCAAATAAGAAAGGGATTGCGCTGTTCTCAGAGTTCTCAAAGTGGAAACAGGTCTAGAAAATACAGCAATAATGCAAAACTGAGCGAAGAAACATTGTCATGCACATCCTCAAGAGAAAACCTCCAGGGCATATTCCCCTTTGGTATTTAATGCTTAATACGTTCTTCATCACGGCAGACTGGCTGGCATATTTTCAGAAAGAAAAACACTTGAGTCTAATACTAATGTGAGAACAAACAGCAGGATTCAAAAACAAGTCCTTCCTCGGATGCCTCAAGCTGCGTTTATGGTGATAGAGAAAGAAAAAACTTAATACTGGTCTAGGGTTGAGTACATACAAGTACATACAGTGAAAGATGGGTTATTATACATGAAGCCTCGCCAATCATCCATCATTTCGCAAGAGCTGTGGTGCAACTGTCATAGACATGCGAAAAGACACTCGGAACAGCATCAGCTGGCCGGTCGTTGACGCCCGGCTCAGCCACCAGGATACAGTGCATGATGGTAGACACGATCGGGCCCTCCAGCTGAATCGCGGGGGATTCGTGGGCCATCTGCGGCACCCACATAGACAGACAGTCTCGAGCTCGTCGCTCATCGCCCAGTTCCACGTGCAACTGGAACAGCTGTAGATAGTCATCCTGCGTGCGACCACTTCCCTTCAATGGTATTTGGCGCCACAGCCGCCAAAATCCATCAAAGTCTCCGTGCTGGAACATGGTCACCATAAGGCGGCGTGCCTGCTCCGGTTCGAAGGGGAGGTCGACTGCGGATACGAGCTTGGACACTCGGGCCAGAGCCTCGCGTTGAGACTGGCTTCTGGCATACCCTGCCATCATCTGCGCATTGCCCTCTGGATCCTCCAGGTTCAGTTCTGGCTCCGGAAACGCTGCGTCTGATTTGCTTGGAATGCCGATTGCACGATAGAACATTTCGAATATGCCCATGGTCAAAATCGGTACACCGCGGAGGCTGAGACGGTCCAATACACATAGCGCTAGTTCCACGTCGGCGTCCGGGGTGTATTCCATCTCAGAAGTAGAGCCTTCCACATACGGTCGGGTTAAGAGAGCAGAAACAACTTCGAAACCAAGTTCATCAGGAATGTCATATCCTTGGTGCAGGAAATCCGAGAACTCGTTGAATAATGCTTCTTTGCTGTAAGCCGGGTGTCGTCGAGAAGTGGCGATGGAAAGCAGCCGCAATCGGGCCACGGCCAAATCATGCGCGGATGAGTGGCCAGTGTAGAAAAGCCGTAGGAAAAGAGTAGATTCTCGGTCATTTGGCCCACTCCCTAGCTCATTTTGTACACTGGCTTCGGGGAGTTCGGACAGCATCTTAAGCAGAGATGCCGGAGTCATCTCGGATGAAACAGATTGAGTGGTAGGCGGGTCTAGGGACGGGGGGTGTAATTCAGACAAGCGAACCGAAGGACTAGAGTCGGTCACTGCGAGCCGACGATCTGTATGAAAGCTCCTCTTCTGGACGGTGGAAGTGCTGACTGCACCAGACGCTGGCGCACTGCTTGTGGGTTCTCGAAGCTTTTTCCGCTCCGCTCGGTCCAGGGTACCCTGCCAAAGCCCGTCAAGGTCGATATCGGCCCTCTTTTCCTCGGTGAAAACCTGGACAACCACGCTAGTACCGGTTTCGACATCTCCAAACCCCTCAAATCCAGCAGAGGCGAGCTGTGACGTGGGAGAGCCCTTATCCACAACACCGGCATTCACACAAATCCAGCCCGTGGTGATGCCGTCATCCTTTTCGTCCAGCATAGCACCAGCCTGGCTGGCCGCGCGCGCCCGCTTGGCCTTGCGCCGGAGTTTGATCTTCAGTTCGTTGCGGCCCAGCAACCCATCTGCATATGGAGATAGCTTATATTGGCTTCGCAGCCACCGACAAAGACGATCCGCGGAGACATTCAGGTGCTTTACACTGCGCGCGGTTCCGAGGATCATAATGACATTGGCGCCCAGGGCTGCGGGAACGTCAAGATCCCGCAGGTCAAAGAGTTTCAGGTCATCTAAGCCAAGGTCCTTGTATGTATACTCGAGGAGGACTGGAAGCATCTCTGGCGCGTTGTCCGGGATTTGCGGGAGATGCTCGGCGGACACTGGGCGAGATTCAGTGGCTGGTGACTCTTCCTGCAGATACCACGGAACATGTTTCGACGCAGATTCGTCGGGTTTTGTTTGAGATTCTTCTCTGGCCGGTAGCTGAATATCGGGGCGATGCGATGGGGAATCAGAGCGCAGTGGGCTTTTAACGGAGAAGGCTCTGGTGCCGGGGATAGGAGGCGCGACAGCAAATCGTGGCATAGGTACACCGGATATCGACATGAAGACTCGGAGGGCCTCATTGCGACAGGAATGGCACACGGCCCCCCGAAGAAGTGCGCGGTTCATAGCGAGATGATGAGCGGACGGAGAAATTCCAGCCATCGCTGCTGATTGTCGATAACCTGGGTGCAAACAGTGCAAACAGATGTATATAATTCTTAACTACTGCAGGCAAGGAGAGAGGTTTGAGATGCTACATGCCTTCTCCTCATCATTTATGATATCAGCTCGTTGACCAATAGCTCTCAAGGTTACCGAATCTTGATGCTGATCTTACTGACTCCGTGCTCTGCCCTTCCGAAAATGCCACGCAAAGGTAACCGCATAAACAAGGGGACAAGAACCCGTAAGGTAACAACCATTTCCTCCAACGAGTTCAATCCCTCAAACTCCAGACGCATCACCGATCCTAACTGCCGTACACCACCAGGCAACCTCCCAGAGCAGTGGCCTCATCGCTTCCGGAACTTCTCGCTCATGAAACCTGCAACAACATGGCGCTGTATCGACAGAACAAGTTGGCCTCCCTTGTCGATAATTTCCGAGCTATCTCCACAAAAAGAACGCTTTCAAGCTCCTTGACTTCGAGCCCGACGAAACGTCAGCGCTGGGAGGTAACAGTTGATCCGGAAGAAATACCCCGGACCAACAACTTTCCGGACCATCCTAGCACCACCGACTTATTCTTCGATGGCCCAGATTGTCACTACTCTACCACTTCGCTCACGATCTATCTCACCAGAGAAAGAGTTTCAACTTGCAAGACTAGTTATAGGGCAGATGATGTGCCTAAAAATGAAATTGTATGTGGGATGGGTATGTCAGCCAACCTTAGTGCCGAAAAAGCCTCCATGAAAAATTGTAGTCCACCCAACGCCAATAGTAGTATAAACCACTCGGGAATCATATCCAATTCCAAAAGAATAACAAGCCCCGGGGCGATATTCTATCCAACCCCGAGATATTCGTAGTATATGCAGAATGAAGAAAAAAAGAAGAGAAAGGGCCAGGTTAAATCCCCAGCGACCACTTCAATCGCTCATAGACAAAGAAACTCGTCGCGACCATGGGCACGACTTTGAGATACCCAATCGTCAACCCAACCCAGTACCCACGGAACCCCTTCTCAAGCCAGATCTTAGACGCCGTCTCGACGATACCCAGTCGGCGCCCATCCCCCACCGCGCCACCGACCTGCATCCGCCGCCGGATCACCTCGAGCGGATACGAAGAAGTCTGCGAGACCAGGCCGGCGAGCGCGCCGGAGGACAGCTCCGCCGCGGCTGTGAGCTGGGGTCTGCGCGAGCCCTTTTTGGCGCGCGTTGATTCCGACTCGGGGAGGGTTGTGTATTGAGCGACGGCCGGGTGCCGTAGCCAGTCGCCTACTGTGTCATGGGTGAGGAAGGACATCCCGGCGTATGGTAGCATCCCCAGGATCGTGGGGCCGAAGCCGCGGTAGAAATTGGCGAACCCGGAGCGCGGAACGACTTTGCCGACGGTTGAGGAAACGGTTTCGGAGGTAGCAACGGTTGCTGATTGCGTGCTTGCTGCTGCTGCGGATGCTGCTCCTCCCCCTCCGGCTGCAGGACCGGTTGATGGCGGTACTACTCGCTCATGGTAAATCTGTCGACAGATGTCCGTGAGAGACGAGCGAGACGTCCGTTTAGTTTCGAAAGCCAGTCGTACCCGGACCAACTCTAATGGATAAGTGAAAAACACAGAGGTAACGCCAGCCAAACTGCCCGACACCAGTCGACGGATAGCCGTCTCCTTGTTTGGCGACGGAATTATGACCGCGCGGATCTGTTCGTATGCGAGGAATTTGATGGCGGCGTAGGGGAAGATACGGAGGAGAGTGGCAGAGTGGCCCTTGAACAGGCCTGATGTGCCTTCGTAGCGCTTGATGTCGCGGAGTGCAGCGGCCAGACCGGACCAGCTGCTGGTGTATTTGGCGAAATGGGGGTTTGATGCTTGAAAGAGGATCTTGACGCGGTCTAGCGGTGCCACCACGGTTTTGGCCTATCCTCCTCGTCAGTACCTAGCATACATCTGACACACACGATTAGAACTTACAGCACAACCCGCCAGACCTCCCGCTAACCCGCTCCTTAATACATAATCCAAGCTCCGTTTGTGCTGCTGGGTCGACCCGCGACTCCTATTTTTTTGCTCTTCGTCGACGACGTTCGCCGACTGCACATGCGCAGGAGACGGCTGCGGGTGCGCGATCCCACTCATCGGAAGATCAGGCTGTGGGCTGGCGGACTGCGGTGGTGGGCGAGGCTGGCGTGACTGGGTGGTGGTGGTGAAGACGGTCGAATCGGACTGCGCATGATCCGGGATACCAGCCGACATAAAGGGAAAGGAGACAATTGCTATCCAAAGCGTGATGCCAGTGCTAAAAAGACGGTGGGTGGGTGGAGAGCAGTAACACACGACCGTCGCTCCCGCGGTTAGTTTTCGCTCGTGATCGCGATTGACGAAGATCTGAAAAAAATAAAAGCTTCGACTATCGGGTGCGCATCTGCAGTGGGCGGATTAGAATAGCAGGAAGCGGGTTCGCGAGAATATACATACCCCTTAGCTGGGGGAGAAGAATAGAGACAAAAGAAAGCAACGGCGAGGAGGCAAGGTTGTGTGTCTTGCTTGGCCCGCTGACGTCGGGCCAGTGGCTCCGTACCGGCTGTATCGGTTATCCGTGGCAAGAATGAGTAATGCGGAAGAGGTGAATCGGGGCGAATCGCTCTGCCAGGTCAGGTGACTGTGAGGTACACGGCAAGTTAGGGAGGGTTTAGGTAAGTGGGAGAAAGAATTCGAGCAATTACCATATGTGCCTTGTTTTATTCGTATATTTGCTCCTATAGGTACTCTACCCATTCATTGTGAGGTCGACTTGGGACAACACCGTCTCCTTGTGAACCCGACTGGCGGCCCGCCGGTAAGCGGTAACGTACTGGTACAACGTGCCGAGGGGTAATGTCGGGATCGCCGAAGCATCTACTACATCTATAGGAGAAGTGTACAAGAGAGAAAGAGAAAGACGGTAGACAGAAGAAAAAAGGGTAAGGAACAAACAACCCCCAATGCTAAAAAGCACGACGCCGACTACTCCGCCTGTCCACGACCAAAATGCTGCTCGGGATGGATTGTGTACATACAAAAGGAGGGCCGGTGAGATGTGAGATGAGAAAGGAGAAGGAGAAAACAAATTCGTGGTCACGTCGCTCATGTTGGCGGGGGCGAGAGCTCTAAAAGTTGTGCCGCGAGTCTGAGCGGTTCATGCCCCGACCGCCACGACCTCCCCGGCCTCCTCGGCCTCCTCTGGTCGGCTTGGTGATCTCGCGCGTATCGTCGGTGTTGCGCTTGGTCCGCTTGGCTGGCCGCTCCGGGTCAACGTGAAGATGTCCGTCTGCAGACAAGGCGGTGGTATTTCGCCAGCGGAGACAGCGCAGGCCACGCTCGTTCACGTCCACGTAGGTCTTGGTGCGCGTCGTCACTCGTTTGGCTGGCAATTCCTCGGACTCGGCCCGTTCGGCGGTCTCGGTTAGGTACGCCTTGCGGTTGTCCATGTACTTGATGATGGCGTGGCGCTGGAGCTGGAGCTCCTTCAGCAGCTTGCACTCGCGGTTACCGCGCGGGTCGAGCCACTCGATCAGCTGGTCCACCGATTCGCTGTCCTCGTAGTATCCCCATTCACGGGCGTTCGACACGTGTGTCGGTCCTTCCTCGTGCTTCTTGCGTTCAGCGGGTGTGGTCTGGAAATGCTTCTGGTACTGTTTCCGTTGCTCGTCCGTCACTTCAATAAAGCCCACTCGCTCCATGTCGTCGGGACCCTGGACCCAAAGGCGGCCGTTGGCATAGCGTGCCTCAGACGTTGAGCTGTTTGGCATACCCTCGTACGGCATCGCGTTACGCTCAAACCACCAGTATCGGTTGCAGAACCGATCTAGCCCCAGGCAGCGTGTCCGCGGGCAATCCGCCTCGCGTAGATCGTTGTCACAGATCTCAATCTGCTCCTCTAGTTTATCGATCTTGGCCTTCTGCTCCTCGATCTTCTTGAGGACCTTCTGGTACTGCTTGGAGCCCTTCGGCTGTTTGGCCAGTTGCTCCTTTCGCTTCTGCTCTTCTTCCTGTTTCCGCTTGCGCTCAAGGGCTCGGTCCATGCCTCCGCGTAACGCGCGAGGCCGGGCCGTTTCTTCGTCCTCGGTGTCCACAGGAATCTCAGAGTCTCCATCTATACCGGTTATCTTTGAATCGTCCAGTTCCTCCTCCACTTCGGCTACCTCAGGCACGGGTGTTGGGGATTTCTCCCGTTCCGGCTGCAGAGCTTTACGCTCCTGATGGAGTTGACGAAGTTCGACCAGACTATAGATGTATTAGTATTTTGCCCAGCAATCACCGCCACGGAATACTTACGCTGCTTTGCGCGCTTTCTGGTGCTCGATCTTCTCCTTGCGGAACTCCGTCATCTGGTTGCTGCATTCCTCTAGGTAATTCCGGATCGCCTTAGTCTCCAAACTCAGTATACAGATCGTCTGAAGCGCCTTCGCTCGCAAGTTGATATCAAGGGTGGCATATTGATTCCGTGCAGTCTGTTGCGTAGGTTCCTCATCGAGAGGAGCGAGATGCTTGAGGATGTCGTTGCAAGTCTTTTCCAAGCGGGGACGGACGGACAGTTGGTGTAGGAGGCCAACCATCACCACCTCCCATCCGCCATTGCGAAAGTCCCGTTTCCGGAGACGCTCGATCCATCCATAGTCTTGCAGCATCTCGACAGCACGGTGGATTTTTTGCTCATCTGGCGAATCCCGACCTATTTGTGCTTTCAAATCATCGGCTTCTTGCTTGGCCAAGCTTCCGCGCGTGGTCATTCGGGCCTCTGGTTCGACATCCAGGTGGTCCTCTTCCTTCGTTTCTTCTTCTTCTTCTCCTTCTTCTTCTTCTTCCTCCTCCTCTTCATCTGTGTTGTCGGATTCGTCGACTGGGAGATCTGGGAGAGAGACCTGAACAGCACCGCCAGCATCATTCTTTTCATTGACAAGCTTTTTCAGAACCGCGCAATGCATCTCCACAAAGAGCTCACAGTCGATTTCTTCGGAGGAGAAACGCATCGCTTGGAGAAAATCGTCGAAGGTAAAGGAGTCGAGATGGAAGACCTCGCAGTAAACATTTAGAGTATCCCAGGTCTCCAGGAGTAATCCTACAGATTCCGGTTCCAAATCATCTGGCAAGAGATCCTCATCTCCTTCGTCATCATGTTCGCTCAGCATCAAAAACTTCAACGTCGGCCGATGAGTCTTGTCAGTCCTAGGAGGTAGCTCCAGATCTTCAATAGGGTATTTGATCGGTGGTGGTGATGGAGGTCTTGACATCTCGTTTTTAATGACCACTGATGGTGGCAAAGGAATCTTGTTGCCTTTTCGTGCTGCTGCCGGGTGGGAAAGGAGGAAAGACGGGTTCCCATTCAGAGAACGCTGGTACTCTTGATACTGAGCGTCCCGCGATTTCGCCATATCCTGTGCCGATATCTTTGACTTTTGCCCCTTGAATGCTGGTTTTAACTCGGGGAGCTGTTGGGACGAGAAGAACCCGAAAAAGCCTTCCTGGTCGGCCTTCTTCATCGCCTTCTTTTCGGCCACTCTGGCACCATACTGAAGGTGTTTGGGCACCTCCATCGGAATCTTGTACTCCTCGGCAACAGAGGCCTTGACCAGCCAGGGTGCGCCAGCCCATGACTCTCGGGTGACATTATTTTTGATGAAGCCGCGCAGCATCAGCTTGGTAAACGATTTCCGATCACGGGTGATATGGTCCTGGTCCAGCAGAGCTTCCTCATCCGGCCTGTCCAAAATCTTGACCAGATATGTGGCATAGGCTGGTGTTTTGATGGTTCCATCGGCGTATAACTGCTCTGAGAAATTGACCTTGTCCCTAATTATACCATGAAGGCGACCGCCATCTTCCAGCAGAATTAGGACTTGTTCTCCGGGATAAAAGTCCTGTTTGAATTCCTGTTGTTGTTAGCGTATTTTTGTAAAGGAGATGGCGACTTGGATATCTCACTTCGTATATTTCATCCACTAGATGAAAATGTCAGTTCAGCCTTGAAATTTCCGGCAAACAAAGAGCAACATACCCAAGTTGTCAACCCTCGATACCGTTGAAAACTGAATCCTGCGCAATATGGGCTCTCTCAGCGCGTCCGGGAACATGTTGTTCACCTCGCGCGATTCCTCCATCTGACGAAAAACAGTCTCAGTGCCGGTCCGTATTCTGTCCATGGCCACGACATACCTCGCTCCGGAGCGCCTCAAAAAATGTCAATCCCGAGTGACCCGTGATCTCGCAGATGAATCGACGCTGCTTGTAGAAGTCCATCCGCTGGAGATATGGTTCATAGCTGGTGAAGACCTCATTGGTCTCGGGAACCACCCAGACCTGGGAGAAAAGCCAAAGTTTAGCCAGGGCTGCTGGGATGGTGGTGGATAGACATACCTCGGAACTGTCATCGTCAATGACGGGTCGCGGAAGGTATACAACGGGTTTTCGTTTGAATAACACCTGGCACGCGATGTGAGCCTCGTGTACCACGCAGCAACATGCTTCGCCTCTCTCTAGCGTATTTCCCACCAAGAACCTCCGGGATCGCATACCATTATCCTTATCACTCGAGCGGACACGCGCCCAGTCTACCGGAGACTATCGGAGGCGGAATCGATCATGGACTGACTAGATCGCGGATCGAGCTGGTCAGTAAACGAAGTGGACCCGGTTGGGGGTGGTTGCGACGGGCATATGGCCGCGTTGGGGTGAGAGATGAGCGGGAGGCGACGGGACCCCGCGAGAGATGCGCGGCCGCAACTGTTTTCGATGAGGTTGTGGTTGTTGGGGTGGTACTCGCGTCACAACCAGGTACCAACACGCGGTCACAGTCGAGGGGGCTGCGTCCTTGGGAGTTGAGCAGTGCAAGAGACTAACCGGAGAAAACGCGTCCAGACTGTTCGATCCAAACACAGTATAGCGACAATCGACGCGGATATAAATTAAATTAAATGGAGATGGGAGAGGATGCGCGTGTGTGGACGATGCGAAGGGGTTGGGGGGTGGGAAGAAAGAAGGAGAAGAAACCCGGAGCGAGGGAAAATCGGAAAGGGAAAGAAAGCAAAGACTGGGCGCGCAGGTCACGGCGGTGGGCCTTGATTGGGCCAGTCGAGGAAGGGAGCTACGGGAGCCAAAACGAGCGGGTCCCGGAGACTGCTGGGAGCCCTGCTACTCCCCCATCTACGCCCCAAACAACCGTCCGCGCCCAAAACTAGCAGTATTTGCACTCGTTTGATTCGTCTCAACTGGCAGATTTCGATGAAATTAATCTCCGTGAAGCTTTGGTCAATTGTCATCATCTTTTGGGCGACTATCAACCCCAAGCTAGGTCACCTAGCCCTGGGCGCAGTGCGGGCCATGACGACCATGACACGGAATTACCTTCAACATCCACCATAACTTTCTATTTACCGATTTGAATTAAATTTCTTGGCTTTTTATTCTCAATCGCCGTTTTGTCCATTTCTACTAACGAAGCAATACCCATGTGCCGTTCAGGAATTGCAGAACTTGGCCGGTCGACGCGGTGGATCACGGGCTGGACAAGTTGACTTGTTTTTTGGCTCTGTTCAGTATTCTAGCGTCTATAATAGAACTCCTTACTCGTTGTTCATTCACATAATCTGCACTGCACTGCAGTCTGTATGGTGACACATCTCGCCGAGTTGGATTGCTGAAAGAGTATACTTGAACCTGTCAGTTGACTGCAAGTATACTATGTGTCTATATCTTTCTCTCTTTACATCTATTATCATGCAGTCTTTATCCACTGCTATACCCATTGCCTCCGGGTGTATATCCGCGACCTACAGCTTGCGTCCCAGGTCAGGTACACTGCATAGTAGGGATGGAGATTGAAGAGAAGGTTTGCTCCAGCCACAGAAGCCTATCAACTACTTATTACTTGTCACCCAGATTGCGTGCTTTTCCTGGATGACTCTGACTTGCTGGGCTATTCTAGCAGATTCGAGGGGGAGGGGGTCTTGTGTTTTCCCCTATCAAGGTCGAGGTTCATCCGCCTATAAGACCTGACATCAACATGTTTTATTACATGGTGTTGCCAAATTTCAAGGATGGCATGAGTAAGAGATACACATAGGGGAATAGAAATGACCACAAAATCTAAGCTTTATGAATCTAACTGTGCCCCTCGGTGGAAATGGGCATGTCGGTTTCCAACTATATACTTGATACAAACCCTACTCCAGATAGAATATTCCTCTCGGGCAATCCTAGCTACCAAAGATATATAAATGAGTTCCTTTTGAATAACACTTAATGTCTTCAGTCCCGATTTGAATGTACCCCAATCACACTAACCATTCCCGGACTAGCTCGGCATTAGGCTCCGTGATCAGTGGGGATAAATTCTGCCAGGCGGTGAATACAAAACGTGGACGGCGGATTACGTCATGCCAGTAAATTCATTCTATGAAGAATGCCGTGTGTAAAGCAGAAGGTCTACTGGAATTACGCCGTAAAGTACACCACCAGAAAACCCACCCAGCTCCCCACCACTCCGAGGGCAGAGTAACTGCTCATAAACATCAACGGTAAGAACTGCAGCCGCTCGAGGCCGAAAATCACGTGGTGCAGCAGCGAGCAGTACACGATCAGCGGGATCGAGACAGCCAAGTAGGTCAGGGCGAGGCGGTCGAAGACAAATATGCGCGGCCGCTCTGGCACGGGTGCCACACGGTCAAAGACAAACAGGAAAAGCACCAGCCACAGCACCGTGTAGACCGTTTTGAGGGGAAATTCGGCGGCCGTGAAGAGGAGCGGGAAGAGCGAGACATGGCCGGCGACGGCTAGAGGGCGGAAGGCGCTGAAGTAGCGCCGATCCTTGAGCGCGATGAGGCTGAAGGGGATGATGATCAGTAACACGGCTTTCTCATGAACGTGCCACCCGAAGAGAAAGGAGGCGTAGCCGCAGAGGGTGATGGCTCCGACGAAGGTGTCCCAGTCCGGACGAAACCAGAGCTTGATCAACGGTATCTGAATAAGAGTCAGCAGAGATGTATAAGTACCTCTGGGGCAAGGAACATACCAGTTGGAACACAAATGTCAACAAAAAGGTGTACTCCTTGGTGATCTCCGGGAGGATGGCAAAGGACGTGTCTCCCACTAGGCCTCTAGTGACGCTGGTGAGTGCTTCCTGATTGACGGGAAGGCCCAATCGAGGAGCGACTGGAGATGTCAGATACAGATATGAGGAAGATGGGAGAAGACGACGTACATGGAATCAATGCCCGATCTGTGAACGAATACATCGCCCAAATGTTGGGCGCCCAGTACGCATGACACAACCCTCTCGAGAAAGGGAAGAGCCGATCCTTCACCTGCAACAGCTGACCCCACTGGGCGAAAGGACCGAACGCGATCCCAAAGACACCGAGCACGCACACGCCGAGCTTGAAAATGTTTCCGAATCGAGGCCGGAGAATTGATCGTGGGTCGAGGCAATAGGCGCGGAGCAGGTAGACAAAGTATGCGAGGGAAAGGTAGAGATAAATGTGCTTCATGCACAGCAAAACGGCGAACAAAATGCCGCTGTAGAGCAGGGTTGACTGCTTGCGTGCTAGGACGATGGACAGGATCAGAACACCATACATGAACCCGTTGTATTGGAAGTGGATGTGGTCGATGATGAAGAGTCCGGGAGAGAGCAGGATGGAGAGGCTGGCTACATGCGCAGCCTGTTTGTTCGGCAGAGGAGCGGACTTAACAAATCTAGTTTTTCTTGTTAGCACTTTGAAGGGGTATCACCATTCATTGAAGTGGTGTTGAGCTTACCGACTCAGCGCGTAGACAAGCACAAGCTCAGTCAAAATGACCGTCGCTCGCTGGAAGTAGACCGTCTGCCATGAGTCATATCCCAGATTCTTCACCACCAGCATTGCAGGGTCCGCATAAGCCGCCGCCTGAGACAGCAGCCATTCGAAGGCCGCGAAGAAGGGCGGGTAGTCGAGGGTCCATTCGGAGGTTTTCTAAGGAATCTGGATGTCAACAGCTGTCAAGTAGACGCGCAGGGCAAAGACCAGCATACCTCGTAGTACCATTCTTTGACAGGGAGGGAATAAGTGATGGCGAGCCAGTTGCGGTGCACTTCAAAGTCGGTGGATTTGCTGCACCAGACCATTCATTAGCGGAGGATGGAAAAAACGGGATGGACACGCACTATGCAGGGAATAGCAGCACCTTGAAGGCAGCTGCCACAAGGGCACACTGGGCCAGGGAAGGGTAAAGGTCAGTCATTATTAGCGCACATGGTCAGAGTGAGTGGGTGGAAGAATCACAAATGTTTCCAATGGTTTGTTGGTGGTCCTCCGCGGAGGGAACACGTGATGCGGAGAGCTAACGGAATCAGGGGAGCCCAAAGGAACAGCTGGTGTTTACTGACTGAGCTTATTTCCTTCCCACATGGACTTGGTCTCGGACATCGGTGTGCGCCATACCTTTCTCAACAGCATCGACCTGCGCCATTTCATCGACATCTCCCCGTCGGCAGCCACTGTTGCTCGTGAGGCTCGTTTCTGCGTGATCGCCGTGGTGGTAGGGTGGATCACCACTCGTCTTGTCTCCGACCTTTGCGATATCTGGAGACCATCGTGTGACCACTGTCGCTCGAAGGATTCCGGTAGAGAGTGATTGATTTCCAGAGCCCATTACAATTCGCTGTCCACAATGAAGACCTTCGCGTCCCTTGCCCTGCTCGCTGCTGGTGCGGCGGCCCAGGCGATCGAGGGATTGAGCTTTGGTCATGAGAGAACGTAGGACGCGATATGCTGCCTTGTGATGTTCCACATCTGACCATTATATACAGGCTGTCACCAGACCGGTACTCGATCCCGGGGTGGAAAATTTCAGGAGAGGGCCATGACCCTACCTTGGTAAGTTGACCGCGCCCAGCATATCTGGCCTGTCTAATAATATCCCACCAGATGTCGAACAAGCTCATTTTGACACCTCCATATCCGGGCAACACTCGAGGAGCTATCTGGGCCCAGAGCCCGTAAGTATTCGCAACCAATGGGTAATGCCAGATGCTGAACCATTTCCCACAGGGTAACGCAACCAGAATGGTCGGTAGAATTTCAATTCCGAGCGAGCGGCCCCGAACGTGCAGGAGGCATTCTCCAACTATGGTATACGAAGGATGGCCAGGCGAGAGTGGGCACGTCCAGCATATACACCGTGGGACAATGGGATGGGTTTGCCCTTGTGATTGATACCCACAGTGGGAGGGTATGTCGAATGGATCCTTTTCAAAGATACCGACTAACCCAATGCTAGGGTGGAAGCATTCGCGGGTTCCTGAACGACGGAACGACCGACTACAAGAGCCACCGCAATGTCGACAGCCTGGCTTTCGGGCACTGCGACTACGCCTACCGCAATCTGGGTCGGCCGTCGGTCGTGAAACTGAAGCACACCAACTCCATCTTCGAGGTGACGGTCGATGATAAAGTCTGCTTTACGACTAGCCAGGTCGCCCTCCCTGCGGGAAACACCTTCGGCATCACGGCCGCCACCCCCGAAACCCCTGACTCTTTTGAGGTCTTCAAGTTCCTCCTCCAGTCCGCCGCCGGCCAAGGCATCCCTGTCCAGCAAATGAATTATCAGCAACAGCAGCAGCAGATCTTGAACCAGAATTCCGGAAATGGAGCAGCACAACAGGCGCAAGCCAACCTGGCAGCCGACCCCGGGACGGCATCGGGATTCGCTGACCTGAGTGGCCGCCTCCAGCTCACCAACAAAGCCACCCAGAACATCCTGCAAGAACTCCGCACCCAGTCCCAGAAGAGCGACACCCGCCACGCAGAGCTCCAGCAGACGCTAGTGACAAAGGGCGAACTGGCTGCAATGGACGCCCGGCTCCAGCGCATCGAAGCCGCAATACAGTCTATCCAGCGCGACCTGCCAGGCAAGGATATCCGCGAGTCCTTTAACCAGCTCGAGAGGACGTTGCGCTCCTCGCATCTTAGTCTGAGCGAGAACCTTCAAGGCCACGTGTTGAATGGTAAGACACAACCCCATACCAACTCTCTAATTTTTTTTTTCTGATTGATACTAACTGTATTTTGCTTTGTGATAGTCATCACCGCCTCCACTCCGCGCATGGGATTCTTCATCTTCCTGGTGTTGGCTTTCCAGCTCCTCCTGGCCGTCTCCTACGTCATCTATAAGCGCCGCCGTGCAAGCATGCCCAAGAAGTTCCTCTAGGCTACTCTCTCCCCAGACACAGGTCTATAATCTCCAACTCTGGAAAGGTGCATTGCGCATCCATTGTGCATGGCTAGCTTGTATGAGAACAACCCTCGATATAGCGAAGAGCCGAGATCCGAGTTCGGGTCTTTGTCGTCTTTATCTTTGCTTTTCGTTGCAGTTTTTCGGATGACCCAGTTTCTTTATGTAAAATACGATTTGGTTACGGCGAGGAAGGGGATCCTTCTCTTCCTTTCAAAGAGGCGGATAGTAACGATGAATTATGAGAAGAAAAAAAATCAAGATTCATTTGGGCCCATGGTGTTATTGTACAGTAATTCTCCATATCGCAACGCTCTAGCGCCAGCTTCCCATGCAATTTCATACACGACGACAATTTCGAAATGGAAATGAAGGCAAAGTCCGAATCGAACACCACAAGAAAGAAAAAGCAAAACAAAACAGCAGATGGAGAATATGGACTTCTGACAAAGAAGACAATAAACAAAATCGAAATCCTGTCCCGGCGCCTGCCTTCCAACACCGGACTTTGGCGCAAATGTATCTGGATCAAAGGGCCGATATGGCGGTCCTCGATAGGAGTGGGTGGTTGGTCGAGAGATAGAGAAAAGGTGAAAATGTGCTGCTGTCAAATGCCGGACTCCGAACGTGAGAAATCAAAATGAAGAAAAGGACTACCAGTAGTATGCTTGGGATTGCGCTCTCCCACCATCACCACCATGAATGCAAAATATGTAACTTCGGAGCATCTCTCACAGCTCCTCCTCGCCGTCCGTCTGTTTCACAGACTGAGCATGTTGATTCGCCGGCTGCGATGTACCGCCGATGCGCCCCCGCAAGGCTTTTGACAAGCCCTCGATCTCATCAAGCAAGCTAATCTGCGTCTCGGGGTCGGTCTGGCCCTCGCGCAGCATCGTATCAACACCCTTCAGGCGGTCTTTTATGTCTTTCACAATTTGGTCGTTCTCCAGTTGCTCCGCCGACGGGAGGTGTTCCTTGTCGTTGGAGCCCCAGGTGGGAGCGTCTTTGTCTTCGTCGTTGACAATGACTGGGTCGTTGGGGCGGGCGTCTTCCGTGTCGCTGTTGCCATCGGCGTCGACGCCGGCCTGGCTCTGTGGGCACTGCGCTTTGGGCGCGGACTCGACGTGCTGGCGTTTCTGCGCGGGCTCTTCCTCCGTGGCGAGGGTCTCGGTTTCGGTGAGAGATCGCTTTCGGCCACGGGAAGCCTTCGCATCGAAGCCAGGGAGATTAGCCTTGGGGAGAGTATCTGGGCCCGAGGATTCAGAGGCCGAATCATCAAAAGTGAGAGGCGGAGCGGTCTGAGGTGCTTCAGATGAAGCGGTAGCATTCTGGGATGATCCGATGGTGGTTCCTTCGTCCACCTGGGAGTTAGGCTCGTTGGCCTGAGAGGATACAGCGGCGTTGGGAGTCGGGGCATCTTGGTGAGAGTCGGTGGGCTGAGAGGCAATGCCATCTTCGGTGGCCGTGGTGGAAGAGGTAGGCCCCATGTGAGCGAGGGCCAGGAGAACGGTGGCTGCCTCGTGATCGGGCGTCTTGCCATCCATGGACTGTTGCACAACAGTAGAAATGCCAGCGGCAATCTCAGAGGACACTCCATGGTCCGAGACCACCTGTGCAGGGTGGTCGATGCCCAGGCGCCGGTAGTATTCCATGGTAATGATGCGCGCCATGCTCAGGCACTGTTTCTCGACGTGCAACATGTGCTCCTTCTCGCGTCTGCTACGGTCGTGCTTGACCGTGTCGATGAACTCCAGAATCAGATCGCCAGCGGGCAGACGGGCACGTTGCTCGCGCCATTCATCATCAAACAGGGTTTTCTCTGGATCGTCCGAGAAACTCACGTCGACATCGATCGACCGCATGTTCTTCGGGCGGCGCACGCGGCGCACATGCTCACCGCCATCCTCACGTTCCTTGATGGCAATCATGTCATCGGGAGTAACATGGTTGGGACACATCCATCCGACATAAGGGTTGGTGGGGATGGAGCGGGGCGGATCGAGGCAATCAAGATGAAAGCGGCAGGGGCAATAATCGCAGGAGATGATCGGGCGGTCGCCGCCCGTGCCGCGGCCACATTTCATACAGGAGATCAGCTTCCCTTGCGCGTCCATCTCCCGCAGGAGAGTAGGGTCGTTGTAGGCTGGCGTAGAATAATAGTCGGCCGGCTTGGTCGGCGGTTTAGTCAGCCGTGGCAGGTGGGGGACACTCTTGTAGTAACGAAGGTGTTTCGGGTCAGCGCCATAGCGTTCGTCGGTGACGATGCCCTCGCCGACACCGGCGAAGTACTCCTTGATGGGCTTGGCCAATTGGAATTCGGTTTTGTTGAAATACTGGGAGTGGCAAATCGCCTCGGTGAAGTTGTTGCGCATGGTGCACCTGGGGCAAAACCAGTCTCCCGAGGGCGGATTCTTCGGGTCGATGGGGGGTTTCACGCATCGGAAATGCAGGGCATTTTCACACCCTTCGCAGCAGAGCAGCGAGCCGCCCTTGCCGCACTCGTAACAGTTGTCGCTATTCTCCGGAGGTTCACTGGAGCGGGGGTTAGTTTCACATCAGGGGCGGGATTAAGGCCAAGCTTACATTTGATTTGGCATGTAACGGGGGTCATGAGGCGCGACCCAGTCATTGATTCGCTCGGAGTAGGCCGAGTCGGACAAAATGGACATGTCAGAGAGGTGGGTGTCAATGGAGAGCGAGCGGTAATGCTGCCGAGCACTCTCATCCTGCGCAATCCGATCGGCCCCCTTGTTCAGGGTCGAACGGCAAAGGCTCACCTTGGCGTTCGGCACTACGACATCTTGTTGGTCTTGGGAGAGCTTCTGTCGCTTCTTGCGCAGCTCATCTCCAAGCTCTTCATCGTTCTCCCATTCCTCGCGGCGCTTGTGGAATTTCTCCAGGAATGGGGCCCTATTCTTGGGCTTCTGGAGTGGAACAGTGTTGGACTTGCCCTTTTCAAAAGCAGTCGGCACGGGTTTGCGAGCAGCGGGCTTGGTCTGGTTGGGCTTGTTGGGGTCGATGGACTTGGCCTCGGAAAGATTTGAGTCACTATCAGCCGCTGCAGCACGGGTCCGACGCGTGGTGCGTTCTTTGATAGACTTCTTCCCGATCCATTCGATGGCGTCAACCCTAGAATTGCGTAGGACGGTTTTGAGAGCAAGGTCGAGTTGGTAGTTGGGCTCCTTGCGCCCGATGTTGTCGATCAGGGACAGCAGGAAAGAGTCATTGGACGAACGGGACCAGTAATAGACGAGACACAGGGCAATTTCGCTTTCTCCCTTTTCAAGTGCATGTGTGATGGCGGCCTCGATGACCCGCTTGAGCTGGGAAACATCGTAATCGGTTGAGGATGGGAGGGGAATAGAGTTGAGGATACCCACATAGTCGGGCATACCAACGTTGGCCTTCTTCCGGCGGGCCTTGAAAAAAGCAGGAGCTGAGGTAGTTGGGGCATCGGGGAGAGGAGAGGTGGCGGTGATGAGCGCCTCGAGTTGCGTCTCAGGCGCGGACGAGATAGGGTGCGTGGCAGGAGGAATAACTGCTTCAGCGGCAGGAGTGTCGGTGGCAGGAGAGATAGAAGTGCGCGCAGTCTGCTTTCCATCGACAGCCTCGGAAACAGGCGTAGCCAGGTTGGTCGCGATAGCATCATCCACTTCCGCAGCAGCATCTTCCATCGTATCCGCGCCAACAATGTCCTCGACAGAGTCCTTCCCAGTCTCAACCCCGCTGGTCGGCTCAAAATTCTCCATCTCAACGTCCAGACGGGGCACATCAGCGACTGCCTCCTCCGCAACAGGAGTCATGGGCGTGTCGGACTCGGTAGCTTCAGCGACAACATGCACGGCCGGCTGCGACAGGGACTTGGCAGCGCGGTTCTTCTTCACGCTGGGCGGAATAAGGTTGACTGCACGGTACTCCGCAGCAGAGGGGAACTCGCCGAGCGGCTTCATCGTGGCGAGGATTGGGTTGGTGGCAGGGCTGAGTTTGTACGGAGATTCCTTCCAGGTTCGGCGCGCAGGCGCGGGCGTAGGCTCTCTCCACGCGTCCGGATTCACGGGCCCATCTGGCGCGGAGGGTTCAGCGGACGAAGCGCGCGAGAAGCGCTTCTTGAAGAGTTTGCGAGGCTTCGAGGCCGGTTGGGAATTATTATTCGCGTCCGCGGGCTGGGAAGAAGCCCGGGCGCGGAGCCGAGTCAGCAGCGCCATACCGCCCCTGCTTACGGTTAGCCGTGCCCTAACTCAGTGACCACCACCACTTTCACTTCCTGACCAGTTTTGAGCAGAAGGTGAATGTTGGAGCTCTCTGTTTTGAGACTAGCATTGGCCATTGTTTAAAGAGAGTGTGAGAGAGGGCCTGGAGCAATTTATGGACTTTTAGGGCTGCTGAGAGGAGACGGAGACGAGACGAGATACTGACCTTTGAAGAGGAGAGGGATGAGATAAACGACTCTTCAAAGAGAAGAGAAGGCAAGAGAAGAGCAAGTATATTGAGTAGAGAATGGGGAGAGGAGAATAGAAATAAAGCAAAAGAAGGAGGAGGAGGAGGAAGAATTAGTAGACTGACGAGGGCAGTGAATCAGAGCGTTGCTCTATTGAGACACAGCAGCAGTGAATGTCGGCCAGTCAACATCTATTGAGCCAGATACAGCTATTGTCTGGTCCAGGGATTATACGGACAATGTCTGGGTCTCTGTCTACACGGGAACCTAGGATTTACCTGTTGCTATCTGCGAAACATACTAAAAGTTCTGCAAGAAGACGAGCTACCGGTGTTGCGCTTGATAGCAGATGTGTATACTCAGAGTTTGTTCTACAGGGCTTTTAGGGCTCTCCCAGCAAGCCTTGACGGTTTTCTCGGACCATGAGAGGTCTCTGTACTGTCAGATATTCCATCCCACAGGAATGAAAAGCCTGCCAGTATATAGATTTTTCAGGGTAAATCTGGGCAGGGTCTTTAGGTCTGATACCTCCGAGGTGCAAAGAACGAGATTTCAGCACCAAGAGAAGCATACTGAAACATTAGACTCTTGACATGTTTTGTCCTGTCTCTTCTTGTCCACGTCTACCAATCCCATCTTCCATCATCTACAAAGAAAAAGTCCAGGCCAACGGCTCCTTTCCATTCCTGTCTGTCTGTTCCTGCTCCTACATACACAACAGGTACTCGCACTTGAAGTCCAAGTGGATATCACGCCGCCGGCCCCATGCGACTGACAATACAACAGAATCCGCAGGAGGGGCCTGCTGGGGCACGTAATGCATCATCAACTAGCATACTTTTTTCATAGATTTCGTATGATCGGCTGAAAAAGCTCGTCTTTGGATATCTTTTTTTTTAGAATTCGAAAGAGATCGACACCAACACTACATGGCTGGGTATGGCGTACAAGTGAGGTCAACTGACCCACTCATCATCACGCGAGAATGTTTGACCATCTGCTTAGTTGGCGGCAGCCTTCTTCTTCTTGTTCTTGTTCTTCTTGTTGCCAGTCGAGCGGGCCAGAGGCTGCTCCAGGATCTTGAGGATCTCCTCGTCCTCGATCTTCTTGTCCGTCTTGAACTGTGTCAGATCGATAGCCTTGGGCGCGGCAAGCTTGGTGATGCCGTTCTTGGTGATCGCTAGAGGTCAAGTTAGTGGATGCACAGCATGATCATCCCAAGGAGAGTCTTACCGATGGTCGTCAAGAGACGGGAAACAGCGGCATTGTCAGCATCGCCAGCGGGCTCGTACTGGCGCAGGACGCCGCCACGGACGCACTCAACCACACCGACCTTGGCGGCCTTCTCGTCGTCAAGCTGGCGCAAGCTGAAGGGGAAGGTACCGAACTTCTTGACAATCTCAGACAGAGTCTGTCGCGAGCTGGGCCGCTTGAGGATGTAGGTGGTGGTGGTACGGCGGTGCAGGGTCGCGCGGTGATCCAGGGTCTTGACCTTGCCAGATCCCAAGCTGAGACCAATCTCAACACCCCACACCTCACCAACCTCGGGGACACCCTCACCGCGCACGCCGCTACCGGGGGTCAGGATGATCTTCTTGTTGCCCTCAATCTCGTTGCGGTCGAACAGCCAGCTGGTGGTGTTCTCGATGACGTTGCAGTCGTAGGTCTTGGCGACCTTCTCGATCAGCGCAGAGATGTGGGCCTGGGTCGGGGCCTTCTGTGCAGCGGCCTTCTTCTTCTCCTCGTCGGTGCCCGAGGCCAGCAGGCCAGGAGGGACCATGAGCCGCAGCAGCAGCTCGTTGGCGTAGTGGGTTGCGACGATGAGATCTGCCTCGCGGCCAGTAACCTCCTTCTTGCCCACGGTGACCATGTCACAAACGATGGTTCCGAAGCCATCGATCTGAGCACCGAGCTGGATCTTCACGATCTCGCCGGCCTTGAGAGTGGTCTCGGCCTCGGCGGCATCCGACAGCAGCGGGGTGTAGGGAGTCACATAGGAGCTCGGGGAGACGGTGGTCGGGTGGGAGATACCTGTTTGCAGAGGTTTAGTAGAGCTCGGTGAATCAAGCCGAGAGGGCAGACTCACCCTTAGCGACCTTCTTGCCCTTGTGAGGCTTGCTGTAGACCTTGGCGATTTCCTCGTCCAGCAGCTTGTCGCCCTTCTGGCAGATCTCGACAATCTTCTCTCCCTCCAGACACAGAGCTATACATGAACCGTTAGTCCCAGAAAATTCAAAGACCCGAGTGCGACATACCGCTCACAGCCTCAAGAACCTTGTGAGAGATCTCGGCGGCGGTCTTGTACTTGGTCAAGGTGTCAGGGTTGTTGAGGGTGTAGTCTAGACACAGTCGTCAGTTGGCATGAACCTGTTCAGCTTGGGGCAAGCTCCATCGAGGCGATCTCCCGGGAGTGTTAACCACCGGGTGCCCACAAACGTCAGAGCCTTTGCACCAGGGCCTTACCGATCTCAACCTCCTGGGGGGTCTGGGTCTCGGCCATTGTGTAGTGGGATGGACCTCGCAACGGTGCGAGGAGTCAAACAAAACAGGTGGATTCAATAACGGAGGATTCGGCAGGCAAATCCGAGGAAGAGGTGGAAGCGAAACGGGTCGTGTGCAGCAGCTGTTTGGCGGGGTCTTTTGTGGTGCATCTCGCGGCCTGCCGTTTCAGGCCGCCACCGCTAGGGCTTCTCGGCAAAGACGTCATGGGTTTCCTCTCCTCCAACCACAGGCTGGTTTGGGAGGCATCGATGGTGAAATGAGGTCCATCTCGAGACTTCCAGTCCGGGTGTTGACCCATAACATTCGATATGCCACCCCCTCTCCGTTTAAAGGGGAACGCCCGTGGCCGGAGCGCAAGCAATTGCTGCTGACCGAGCTCCAGTACCACACTCGCCACTGTGGTGAAACCTTCATTTGCCTGCAAGAAGTTCTTCACAACCAGCTCGTCGATGTCCTGTCGGGGTTGAACCAAGGCACGGATCCCAACGCGCCAGAGTGGGCCTACATCGGCGTGGGCAGAGACGACGGTCTCGAGGCCGGCGAATACTCCCCCATCTTTTACCGGCCGGATATCTGGAGCTTGCAGCACTGGGAGACTATGTGGCTGTCAGAGACGCCCAAAACCCCGTCCAAAGGCTGGGATGCAGCGTCCATCCGCATCGTCACTATTGGGGTCTTTGTTCATCGTGCCAGTCACCGTGCTGTCCTCGCCATGAACACACATCTCGATAATGAGGGATCTCGCGCGCGGTTCGAGTCTGCGCATCTCATCCGCAGGAAGATTGGGGAGTATCGGCGGAGTGAGATGGGCCGATTGATTCGCGGCACCTTTCTCGCTGGTGACTTAAACAGCGAAGAGACGGAGGAGGCCTATATAGCACTAACTGAACCAGGAGGCTTGGTGGACACATTCAAATCGGTAGACCCTGCGCAGCGCTATGGCAACCAGAATACATTCACGGGGTTCGGGTACCAGGAAGACCCCCGAACCGCATCGACTACATTCTTCTGGACTCGAGGGAGCCCACCTGGAGCGTGGACGGGTATGCGGTGTTGACGAATCGTTTCGACGATGGTGTCTTTAATTCCGATCACCGCGCTGTTGTTGCAGATTTGACCTTGTTGGGTTGAGAATGATGACTGCCGATTCTTTTAAGCTGAAGTTGCCTATAATTGAGTGTAGGCCCATATATATATATTCAGACCAAAACAGTGATTACCCAATGGATCAAGCAGAGAACCAGAATATAGCCCCAAACAATACTCATTTCCGATATGTCCACTACTTGCTTCTCCTGAAGAGTAGATTGAACGAGCTCTTCCGCTTGTGATTCTATTTCCTCCCAAGCGATATTGATGCCTTATAAATCAGACCACAAACCACGTGACTTCACGAATAAGATTCGGATTGGCCGTAGGGATAGTGGATGGCGCAGCGAGAGGCTGCTGGAATGGCTTCCAAAATGCCTAAAGTAGCTTACAAGCATGCCATAGAAATACTATTTATTCTTTCACGGTCGTGGTTGTGTAGACCCCCGTACTTAGTCTCTATAGTACTGACGGGAGCGGCCACTTGGACCGGGGGCTTAGGGCCTTTTCGCCCTCTCTCCTTGTCTTCTCTTCATCTCCAGCCACCCGGAGCCACCACCCCAAACCCACTCCCAGCCCATCGGGGAACAAGAAAAACACCTTCGTTCTGACGGTCGCTCGGGCCAGCTGGTTTCTCTCTGTTCAATCCAACGCGAAGCTTGTTCGTCTGATCCTGCAGGGACCCTTTTCCCCCCGGCTCTGGCCGTAAAAAGCGGCCTGTGTCCTCATTTGCGTCTGGTATGTTACTGGTCTCTCTGTGGCTTCAGTCGCCTCCTTTCATCCAATTATCTCCCCTTCTACCTACCGTCGCGCATCCTCGGCCGATGCCTCTTTCTCTGGAGTGGTTGAGACATGCGCCCGGCGCGACATCGCGACATTCATCCCTCGGCATCGCACCGAATGCCTCCCCGACGCGTGATCGCGACGATAAATGTGCTGCCTGCTCGAGAATCATTCGCTGACCATGACGGGATCATACTTTAGATTACTGTCCAATGATGCTGTCGTAACCACTCGAGAGCCTATCCTACCCCGATCGCGTCGAGTGCCATCGCCTCCGATTATTGTGCAAGTGACATCAGACGTTCTCTACCTTTTTCGCCATCATGGCATCTCCTGAATTTGCGGACGGCTCGTTGCCGCCGGAGCAGTCCCCTCACGATCCGCAGCCTGGGAGCGCCCAGAACGGCTCCGGCGCGTCGGAGTCTGCCGGCGACTCTGGAACGGACCAGGCGGCCCAGGGCCCAACTCCAGATGGTATCATAGAGGGAAAGCAGAATGCGAAAGCTGTCTTGGCTGCGTCTGGAGTATCTGCGGAGTCTAGCAACGATGCTGCCAACGGCTCACAGTCGAATGGCACGAACGGTCCCGCTTCCAGGAAACGCTCGCGTGACGGATCTGTGATTCAAACCACAGGAGTTACGGAAAACATGCCGGTGCGCGTTCGCGATTCGTCACTAGACCAAATCCTTTTGGAACAGTATGTCAATCGCGAGTTTGAACATTCTGCCATCACGGCCTGGCAGAACCCCAGCCAGGCGCTGCAGCAGCAAAAGCGGGCAGAGCGAGATTTCTATTTGACATTGCGGCGGGAAAACCAAATGAACCCGGCTGCATTCTACGGAGTCGGATACGAAGGCTTTGGAAACCCACGCACCGATCTGCGGAATCAACACCCACAGCTGCTGTATCCAGCGAATCGACGTCGCCCAGGAAACCGAAAGACACGTGAATTGCGAATCTCACGCCGGGATATGAAGGTGCAAAGCGAGCAGCTCGAGGACCTCGTGCCCATCCGACTTGACATCGACTGGGAGAAGGTCAAGATTCGTGACACCTTGACATGGAATCTTCACGATCGTGTTGTTTCACCGGATCTGTTCGCCGAGAAGTTGGTGGAGGATCTGGGACTCGCAATGGAAACAGCCGGTCCGCTCATGCGGATGATTTCACAGAGCATCCAGGAGCAGCTGATGGACTATTATCCGCAGATCTATATGGAGGAAGAACCTCTCGATCCCAGCTTGCCATATTCTGCCTACAAAAACGACGAAATGCGTATTGCGGTTAAGCTGAACATCACCATTGGACAGCACACTCTCGTCGACCAATTTGAGTGGGACATCAACAACCCGACCAATTCTCCCGAGGAGTTCGCCCAGCGCATGACGGACGACCTGTCCCTTTCTGGCGAGTTCACCACCGCAATTGCCCATTCGATCCGTGAACAATCCCAGCTCTTTACCAAGTCCCTCTACATCACCTCTCATCCATTCGATGGCCGTCCCATTGAAGACCCCGATCTGAACAGCTCTTTCCTTCCCACTCCTGTATCATCCGCATTCCGACCATACCAATCTGCCAAGGAACACACCCCTTACCTCTATGAGTTGAACGAGACCGATCTCGAGCGCACTGAAATCTCAATATCCCGTGAACAACGTCGGCAAAAGCGAAGCACCAACCGCCGCGGTGGTCCTGCTCTGCCAGATTTCAAGGATCGTCAGCGCACTATTCGCACGCTGATCGTATCCTCGGTCATTCCCAACTCCGCATCTACTATCGAGGAGAGCAATGTGATCAAACGATCCGGCTCTCGTCGTCGCGGTATCGGCGGCCAGCGGGATGGTCTCGACGATTCTGAGGAGGAAGAAAGCGATGACTCTTCCGTTGGGTCCCCGGCTATCGGCCCCTACCTTGCTCAGGGCACTGCGCGCACACGTGGCATGAGAGGTGCCGCATCGGCGGCCCATGCGGCCCTTCGCGCTACACTGGGTCAATCCGAGACGCCCGAGCCCGTCTTGCATGAACCTCGAGTCTCATCTCGCAGACAAACCTATCGAGAAGAGAGTACTGCCGAAGAGCCTGACAAGCTCGTCGTGAAACTCAAGATCTCGCGCGGCCGATTCGCACAGTTCTTGTCCGATCTCCGGGCCGGAAAGCGGCTCTCAACTCCCGCGTCGCACGCCATGGCACCGCCATCGGACAAGGCTCGCGGCCATCCTCCTGCCCGTCCTCAACAGACCGGAGCTGTTGACGCGCCAAACCCCCCGGGCCTGGCGTATCTGGGGTGAGTATCATGTGAAGATGATTGGACACACACCTTGGGCCAAGTGGGCTGACGCAAGACCTCCTCTAGCCTCCACCACCCAGCTGGCTTGTGGCTGGCCTCAACAAACTGAAGCGAAACCACCCAAATGACTCCTTCGAGGGCGTCATGCGCTACTCCGCCGTGGACACCGACACCCTGGCTCCAGTCCCCAACCCCAACCACCTCCAGTCCGGCCAGAATATCAAATACCAGTACCTCCCGCGCATCCGCTGCCACGACTGCCCTGGCAAACTCTACACCCCCGGTCCAGGCATGACCGTCGACAACTTTGAAGTCCACCTCCGCAACCGTCAACACAAGGAACGTGTCGATGAGCGCATCGCCAAAACAGGCGGCACGCCCGTGCCCCGCCCTGACGGGAGTAGTGCCAGTGCCAGTCCCGCACCTGGTGCGATTGGTACTCCTGTTGCGGGAGCGAGTCCTGCTCTCGGGGCAGGTCTGCTCCCCAGCGCTTCTGCCAGTGGCAATGCCTCTCCCTCCCCGGTCCCTCCCCAGCCATAGATACAGGAGTTTGTTTTTCCTGATGAAGTGACGACGACAAAGGCGTCTTGCGGGTGCATGCGTTGCTCCTCTCCTTCTTTTATTTTGTTCTCTTTTCTTTCGAACTAACTTGTACTTTTGTTTCACCTGATTGACTGCCTTTTTTTCCCCATCCATCGATCGAGTTCCATCTCTCCAAGGAACCAACCTGCTTTTTGGTGTTTGTATAGGATTGTTATTTGGATGTTTGTCTAGGCAGAGAGCAAAATAAATTCTAGTGTTCACTACTGCAATTCTTCCCCGTAGTTCGTTGCCTGAATGCTCGGTATGAAACGCTTTTCACAGTCCTTCACATACAACATACAGTAGTAGATAGTGATATCGACTATGAATGACTAGAGTGACTAATATTCGACAAAGATCTCATCCAAACGCTCTTTGTGAAACACATGTAAATCCAACTCGGACTCATGCTCTCGATGATAGGAACTAAGTCGGAATCAATATATACAGCAGAAATGCATATTATGCTTGTTAGCTGTGCGTTAATGTACAAGAATCCAACACGTTCCCGTCCTGTTTTCAACGCTTTTTTTGCAGGGCAGCTCATTGTTCTTTTGCTCAGCCACCCGGCCACAAGAAGAGACACGCAGGTCTTGGAACCAGCCGTCAGGAATGAGTCCACCGTACACAAAATACAATACTCCGAAAACACAGGCCGTGGGAAGCGGGATAAAAAGCGAGGAAGGAAACAGGAACCTCTATGCTATGTCGATTAAGAATGATGACCCAAACCAAACCGAACGCCGGAGAAGAGAGACTCAATGTGGGGATGTTGTGATAAAGTGAAGACAGAGATGGAAGGGAGGATGGCCCATGTTGACAGCCACCGAAAAGGGATAGTTCGAGCGCGTTGGGGAATAGCGGAGACAGATTTTAAGCGAGAGCCTTCTGCTCGGATGGAGGAAGGGGAGGAAGCTATTGTTGCAATCGTGGTTAGCAGACACGTCTTCAAAGGTAAAGAGTCCATCGTACCTCGAGCTTTGTGTTATCGGCCATCATGCGCTGGAAACCGATACCAACGCCCTCAATGACTGCTAGGAAGACGCCACACATAATCGCGGAGTTGCGTGCGGCCTTGACACCACCACGGACTGCGAGGGCGCCGCCGGTGAAGAAACCCGCGATGATAGCATTGTAAGGGTCTTCCTTCTTCCGGATGCCCTTGACGGCGCAATCGAATGTCGAGAATAAACCTCCCCAAACTCCGAAGTTTCCACCGAGGACGGGTGCGCGCGCCTTGATGGCTGTGAGCGCACCTATCCGGCGCTCACCGTAGGGGCTGTTCCGGAATCCCTTAACACCGTGCCAGACGGCACCACCGATGGCGCCCATGCAGAAGGCACCGCCAAAGTCGCTCAGGGCAACCCAGGGGCAGGGGTCGCGCGAGTGATCCATGATGTGTGAATAAGGAAGTGAACGGGGAGATAGAGACTGCGGCGACACAAGATAAGAAGAGTTGGACCAGCCGATCGATGACCTTTTTGCTGTCCCAGCTGCACTGCACGTGACCACACGTGAAATCGATCTAGAACTATGCTATGGGTGCAATGTGGGTGGGAGGTGTAGTTTGAAGAACACGATTCATCGGTTCCCAAGATCCATTCACAGTAGACTAGTACTACATTTGAAAACAGCGCAGTGTAGAAAAAACAGAACATATCTCAGATTGCGAATTTTGACATCAAGCGCAGAGTGGGTATACATCTCGAAATGGAATGGCATACTTCTGGAAAAGATAAAAAGAAAAAAAAAGGGAAAAGGAAAAAAACATAAAAAGATTCCCATCCCATGGTAAACAATATGAATGGAGGATAAATGTAACAACACAAAACGAGAAACCAAAGGAGCGTTGGGAGTTGAGGTTCACTGATCTGTGTTTATCCTCTCCGCGAGGACCGGCGCGTGGGCAAGGTAGTCTGAATGGGCTTTTGAACCTTCGTTTCTTTTTTCTTGATTGCTCGCTTCGAAGCAGGGGCAGGTGAGTTCTCCTTCTCACTGTCCGCACCAGCCTGAGACCCATCTTGCTCAGCGCCTCCATCTTGCATCTCTTCATCTTCATCCTCGTTTTCCTCGTCATTATCATGGTCATCCACTTCGTCGCCCTCATCCCATTGCTGCATTTCCTGGTCATCGTCATCGCTATCCTTGTCCGCGTAGCTGACAGACTTCCTTCCAGTACCTCGGCCGCTGCGTCGACGGGCAGAGGAGGGGAGAGCATCACCCGCACCGCCGTCGGAGGACCAGTGGTCTTCATCCTTGCGCTTGCGCCGGGCAGGCTTTGATGATGTACCAACCGACGAAGTGGACTTGCGGGGTGGACGAGCAGACTTGTCCTTGTCTCGGCGCGGCTTCTTTGCGTTGCCGTTCGCGTCCAGAGACTCAGGCTTCCGCTTCTTGGGTTGGCCACCGTGAGAGCTAGATTTCAGGGCATTGCGAACAACGCGATCCAGCATGTCGTCCATCTCATCCGGCAAAAAGTTCTTGTCGGCCACATCCTGGGCTTCGCGGTGGGTTGGCATCGGGACAAAGAGAGCGCTGGGAACACCCATCTTGCCCGGGTAGGTCTGCAGAATGTTGGTGCCGCCGGCACCACCGCCGAACTTGTGCTGTTGGGAATAGATATCTGCGAAGCGGCGAATGGTTGCCTGGGCGAGGTCAGACAGTGTGTGGAGGCGGGTAGAGATTTCGTCGGATTTAGTGATGCCGTCACGGAATTGTTTGACGCGTTGGGCCATGTGGAAGATGAGGGACATGTTGTGCTCGTTAGCCACAGCCAGGAGATAGAAGAGGATGTATCGTGAGAAGTCGCACAAGTCGCCGAGCTTGGTCGACTCGTCCAAGCCTTCAGACGGATAGTCTGGGTGGTAAGCGAGTAGAGAAAGGAGGCGGGGAAAGATGAGCTCCATGACCATCGTATGCTCCGTCCGCTTTCCGCTGACTTGGGCCTGCTGTGTGAAATTTGCTGCACGAGACCTGAGCCAGGTGAGGGTGCTTTCCTTGAAGCCATGACTTGGCTCGAAGGCTAGAAGACACGGGACAATATACCAGCGTTTGCTGAGGTATGAATTCTGCACCAGCTTCTTCTTGAGGTTGTTGACGAACTCGCTTCGCACCGGGAGCAGCGGGTCTTGAGCCATCAAAGCGACCGAGTTGAAGTCCTTTGCAGTCAGCAAGCGGTCGCAGACACTGACTGTGGCACAAAGCTTGACTAAGGACTTGGCAGCAAGGAGACGTAGCCGTGCTTTTTGACCTGCTGGTGTGTCTTTCTTCTTGGACAGTTCGCCTTCGCCAGCGATCAGCTTGTTCAAGGTGCTGTACACTGGGTCTGCATGAGCTCGGAAGTCTGCTTCATCATCCGAGCCTCCCTTGGCTCGGAGACGGTTCACGACAATCTTGAGTGCCCACTCCTTGGCGCTCGTCTCCTCGTCCACAGTGTCAGGCCAGCTATATCCAGCATCTGCTTCAGGAGCACGATTCTTGAGAAGAATCTGATTGACAGAAATAGAAACGATGGCATCGCTTTCCTCATCTGCTTGCCTCGGCGCCAGAAGGCTCAACTGCGACAAAGCAGCCAGGCGGGTGAGGAACCGGTCGGATCCATATGTCCACTTCTTAACACACTTTTGCACAAGATCCTTGGCATACATCTCTTTCCGGTCGGCAGTGGCTATCAGGATTGACACAGCATGCTTCGCAGCATGTGGTGAGGAGCTGTACAGAGCGTAGTTGGTTAACGCCTGGAAAAACTTGCGCTCCTTTGGAAGCTTTGCCGGGAGCTTCTTCGCGAAGCCTGCGCAGGCCTTGAGGATTTCCTCCGTACCAGTTTCTCCGGCCGAGGAAGCGTTGGGGGCATCTGCTTCAAGATCCTTGCACATTTCCTGGACCTGCGCCTCTAGAACTTCTGGGGTTTGAGACGAGATCTCCTTCAGCATTTCTTGTGCCGGATTGGCCAGCCCGTTTTCGTTTGTGCGAGAGAGACTCATGACTGCTGGGATGTGACTTCGGTTGAAGATTAGAGACCCAGAGCGATACAGAAGGGGAGTCAAGGTCTCGAGCAATGGTGAATTGTTGGCACTTTGCATTCGCCGTTGGAGTTCTCTGATGGCCTTGATCACGGTGCGATAATCACTCACGGCGGACATGGAGAAGCGGACAAGCTGATAGCTGCGTCGATCATGCACCTTGGCAAACTTCCACAAGTCCGCAGATGCGCGTGAAGCATCAGGGAATGTCTTTGAAAGCCCGTCTACAACCCTTCCAAGCTGAGCTTTGACCTGCTCCCCGTCCTTGTCGATCACACCACCCTGCAAGTGTGTCGTTAGTATCACGTTTCATTTAACGCATTGGAAAAAAAACTTACATTGTACTTCTCACAAGCGTCCAGATAGATCGTCGTACCCTGCCTCATGTTCAGTTGTCGGTTCAGCATGACGAAGAAGACTCGTCGGGCCTTCTCGTCCAGGCCCCGCAAGAGCGTGAGTATTCGGCGAACGCGAATCTTGTCGATATCGATATCCTGATCAACTTCGGAAGTTTGGCTTTCCTTCTGCTTTTGTGACTGATTTGAGCCTCCTCGTGATGGCTTCGACTTGACGGGAGGATAGTTCAAGGGCAGAAGAGTTTCAAACAGAACACGGTCGATCAACAACTGAATTTCTTGGTCGTTGGTGTAATAGGCATCGAAAATCTTGGATGGGGCATCCTTCAGGACTGACACCACTGGTTCCGTATTTTGCTCAATGTCTCCAGCGGCCACAGCCCACATTCGAGCAAGGATTTTCATCGCATGCTCACGTACCTGCGGCTTGCGGTCCTTGACTCTTTCAGCGAGAATGGCAAGCACCGAATCTGGAGAAGAACAACCCCCATCCACGCCGAGCTTGTGAACGATATGGTTCAGACCGAACTTGCCAACTGTGTCTACCGCAGCGACACGAACCCGTTCATCCGCGTCCCGTAGCATGGAAGCGAGGCTTCGTACAAGCCCTTGTTCTTCACTCTCACTCAGACCAGATCCTCCCGCTGAGGTGAACAGGATTCGTCCCACGGCAGTCACCCAAGCGGCGCGGACCGACGGTGTCTTGTCGAGGCGTCGGCTGAGGAACGCTTCGTATGCCGAGGTGTGGGCTTGAGAAAAGGGTTTTATGGACACGGGAGTCAGTAGAACATTTGGCTGAGGGATGGTTTGCGCGTATTCCACCAGGGTTATTGGCGGATATGCCGCAGGATCCATTGGCGGCGGCGGAGGAGGTCCCGCAACACCGATGCCCGCAGCGAGGTCTCCGATAGTCTGCGTAGCCAACAGGCGCAGGGCCACTGATTCCGCAGACATCTCCGCTTCCACTTGAGGGATCACATTCTGCAGCACCTCTGGGCACGCCCGCCACAGCTCACGGATCAGACGGTGTGCCTTGCTCAATTCTTTAATGTCTTCACCTTCTTCGTCGGAGTCGTCCAGACTCGGTTTCTTAGCGCCGTGCTTGGTACCGTTTGTTTGACCGGCTGACACGGACGCATCGATGATCACGTTGTTGAAATATTGGCTAATATGGCTCGTCATTCGTTCTGGACAGGCTTGGCAGATAGCCTTGGCCATATTGTATGCCGGCGGGTAGTCCTTCAGCAAAAGCGTGGCTTGTTTGGTGTCAAGCGGGGCATCTGGTCGTTTTCCTTTCTTGTTGGTGCTTTCAAGCACCCGAGGATCCACGCGCAAGAACTGTGCCACAATGGTATCCACGACCTCTGGAGCAAGGACTGGAGTTTCATCAATAACCGTCACCAACAATCGAGTCATATCGAACTCGACCCCCTTGGCCACCTCCTCGCCGGTCGAGGCCTTTGAGGATCCCGAGACGATGTCGAAGCAGCCCGTGAACAGCGGGACGATCAGAGAATCCGGGTGATCGAGATCGGTCATGAGAACCACACTCTTCACTTCGGCGAGTGAGTTGAGAACATAACTGTGTTGCGCGTTGTAGGCATTGGATGGATCGGCCAGGGCGGGGATGATCGAAGTGACGATACACGTAAAGATATCCTGTTCTGCGGGTCAGCGCGTCTGCCATTGAGAGGTAACCTCATTCGAAGCGCACCTTGAGCTGGTTTGCCGTAAACGGCGCGTCGGGCGCGCATAGTCGCAAGACATCGACGATGCAATGGGTGGCCCACGCCCGCACGCCCTTATCCTTGTGAGCGAGCAGGTGTCCGCTGGCCAGTTCCTGGGAGACTTTCCGCAGCGAATCCTTGTCGACTTCCTCCTGTTCGAGTTTGCGCAGTTCCTGAGCGAGGGTCTGCAGGCGTTCCAGCAGGTCGGCGATGGGGATGGCGGCGCGGCCCACGCGCCATGACAGCGGCTGGTTGAAGGCGAGACTGCGAAGCCCCTCGTCGGGCTCGGCGACCTCAGCAGGCTGGCGAGAGCGCGTCGGCATGATGGCCTGAGAAGTGGCAGAGCGACAAGCGGGAGGAAGCAGGAGATGAGTGGGCCAGGCCAGAGCACGGGACGCGTCACGGGGTCGCGTGTCTCAGTCATCGATCAAAACTGCAGGTATGCAGGTACATGTTCTTATCTGCGTCACTCTTGGTGGAATACCATTCGTGTTTTACATGCGCTCTTCCAAAACAAACCATTGACTGAGTCTTGGTAGATGGAGTAGGTATACTCGTAGCGGAGCCAGATGTTCTCATCGAAGACGGGCCAGGAACCGATGCAAAACGCGCCATGGATTTTGTATCTCCATTAGCAAGCTATGCAAGAACAGGGATATACTAGAGCTGTCGAGCGCTCCACAGCAGTTCGAGGATTGCCGGCCACGAATAACCTGCTCGACATACTTCAAGGTAGATTACATCTATGTAGAACGCAAGAAGCGTCCTTGAGGGGGTCGAATAGAATTCGGTAATGAGTCGGGCTAGCTTAACCCGATCAAGAGAAGAGAGGATACCCGTCGAATAGTAAATGTGCCAAGAGCCATCTTGTATAATATTTCGACCGGACAGTAAGGAATAGTTACAGGCCAACGAAAAGTGCAACGCCTAAACCCTATTTTTCAACCACATTATATAGCGCCTGAGACAAGGCAGCAGCTCGACAATGTGTAGCCGTTGTGGAGCCCAGCCACTTCATTCGTAAGCACACCTATTAAAGGCGAAGTCTTCAGACGGGATTGTTGAGTCAACCTCTCCTCGGCATCTCCAACGGGTCCGAGGATTTTAGATTACTAAACATACCTTTAAGCGCGCCGCGGTCAACGTTCTCGTTTCGTTAGACTTACTGACATCTTTCTTACGGAGTTTCTATATATTATTGATCATTTGTCAGATGTGGCATTGTCGTGCTTGTTTGTAACCAACACCGGTTTCACCGACGGCTTAGAAATCCTAGCATCCGTACATGCAGATAGCAGAAGTATAAAGTAACTAAAGCAGTCCTATCAAGAGAATGTATCTCATCAATAACTCTTCTACTTGCGCCTTTCGACTCTCTACATGGTCGTAACACCTCCTTCAACAATGCAACCATCGAATATCCTCATCTTCGGCGCCAGTCGTGGTATTGGCTTAGGTCTGGTCAAACATTCTGTATGGCAGCAACTTGTTTTATCAGATTACGTTCTAATCTAACCATGAGTACCGCAGGTGGCACAATACCCTGCCGCAACCATATATGCAACTGTTCGCTCAGTCTCAGGCGCGCCTGAGCTGCGGTCCCTCTCGGACCAGAACGGCAAGCGCGTGGTCATTTTGGAGGCAGATACTACCGACCCTGCCTCTATCGCGAAGCTGAAGGAAACTATCAGCAATTCAACCTCATCGCTTGACCAAGTGATCTATAACGCGGGAGTCCTTAAAGGATTTGCGCCCATCACGAAGGCTGAGCTCGGAGACTTCAAGCAGAACATGGAGGTGAATGTGTACGGCGCACACCTTGCGACTGTAGCATTCTTTCCTTTCGTAATGCAATCCACCTACAAGAACAAGGTCTTCGCATTCATTGGCAGCAGTTTTGGATCCGTTAATACAGCGCAACAGAACTTCGACATGCATAGCCAGGCATTCGGAACACCAGGAGCGAATCCTACAGCGCTCTATGACATATCAAAGGTTAGTTCTCCCACCAGGGTTAACCGGCGGATTTTATATAGTAACGATGAACAATGCAGACCGCGGAAGAGAGGCTTCTTTTGGAGTTCGACATGGAACTCCGACCGAAAGGCGTTCCTATGCTTCTCTGTCATCCAGGGCTGCCCAAGACTGACATGAATCCCTTCGGCAATATTACTGTCGAAGAAAGTGCGCAAGGAGTGTAAGTATACCATCTTTTCGTAAGATCTTTCCAATCTCTGACTACCTTAGTGTTCGGGTCATTGGAGAGTACCATATCGACCGTAAGGAAAGATTTCTCGACTACGAAGGCAAGGAGGTTGCCCTGTGATCTTGACTTTGTATGGGAGCAGGCGCAGGGTTTGGGGTCGGTAATAAAAGTGGTATATCTAATACCTTGGTCCATAGGCAGGTAACAGAAATAGTATTCTTAGCTTTACCGCAATAAAGCCAAATTGAAGTATACAGTGATTCTATCCTGATCCATAATACCTGGAATTGCTGGGGGTCCGCTAAACCATGGGATTAACAATGACAGAGCGGAGTTGTACAGTTTCAGACAAACTAATATAGAATTCACAGATCGAAATACACATAGGTCAAATCATGTCAAACATAGCTCTTAAGAGGAACTCGAATAGAGGTGAAGCAGAGTACTACGAGCTTGGACTATCCAGGAACGCGAATAGGTCAGACTCGAAATCGTCGCCGTTACCGTCATCCGTGACCAAGCCTGCAAATCGGGCCTTGAACTCCTCAAGCGTGTCGCACATATCGCCATCGTAGAAATAGCGTCGACGACTGCTTGCGTGGCGAGCACCCTTCTTTGAGGGAATTAGCACGTTATCGAGAACAATTATGCTTCCATCTCTAGCGACACCATCTGTGGCCACCACGATGTGTTGGTATCCATTGACCATGAACTTGGAGAATGGACCTCGCTGCTTGATATCGACTGCAATAGTGCGATTGCCGAGCATTGTAGGAAGTTCGATGAGTGTAGATAGCTGGGGTAGATTGGCGTTCTTTGTTAGCTGAGCTAAAAGGAAAGCGTCCGATGGCGGCGATGGCGACGACAGCGACGACGGCGGCAATGGGTTGCGTAAGCGTTCGATCTTACCGGCCTCGTTATACCAGACATCCGAGTAAAGGGTCTGATTGCGTACAACGTGGTATTCGAGCAGAGCGCGAAGGTATTTCTCTCCTTGGGCAGAAAAAAGGAAAGCGCTAATGCGAGGACCCAGCATATCAAACGCCGCGTTTGACGGGGCGAAGAACGTGCCACCCCGGCAAGCACTTGCCATAGCCTCTATGGTCGAGGATAAGTTGGTCCGGGTAAGGCCGAGGGAGAGGGCCGAGAATTTTGTTGGGAGCAGGTTGAGGACAGAAAGAGTTGATGGCGGAGGCATGAGAATGGAGTCAACGACCTGAATGATCCCATTGGATGCACGCTAGCATAATGTTACTAATCTGGACGTAGGTCTCTGTAGGTTTGTAGGTAATTGTAGGTGGGACTTACGATATTGTTAGCGACGAGCCGAGCATAAAAGTTGACTGTAGTTGGTTCCCAGTCATTTGCACGGATCGACAACCGCTGGGGCAGATCACCGCCAAGAGCTGGTTCCTTGTATAGCGTGGGCACGGTAAAACTGTCTTGGGATACTTGGGTGGTCCCGGGAGAGATATGATAGTAGAGGATTTTGCGAATTGCTCCCGGTGATAGCTGAAGGGGATAATTCGAGATTTTGTCGAATGCGCAGTCGGTTGGAACAAAGACAGTGTGATTAACCGTGCTGTCATTAAGGATGCGGGCGAGTTCCTTGTTTTCGTCGGCGTCGATAAGCGCCGCTAGCTTCGTGGTGAATTGGCTTGTCTTGATCAGCTCATAGATTGTCATGTTAGACGATCCACTATTAAAGTGGTTCAGTCGTCGGTTGCCTGCTGTTGCCGCATCATCGAAGTCGTCCTCTTCGTCGAAATCCTCGAATACGGAATTCTCATCAAAGAACACCATATTTCTGCCGCCGCCGTAATAACTAGACTCAAGAATGTCGAGCCATGTGGGAATAAACATGGTTTCGCGGAAGGAGTACATTCCGTCGGCCTGAGTGGCCTCGTCACTCAGAAGTAGCCTCTCATCGATAGCGTTCAATCGGTCGTCATTATTCTTACCGTGCCCTGGCGATAGCAGGGCTTGCTCGTCTGCGACAACGACGGCGGACGAGACGGTCACTAAATACAGAAAGAAGTCAACTACCTTCATCGTCGCGATATGTGTTCGTCTGCTCAAGTTACGAGGAGTAGCAGTGGTATTAAAGACATTGGAGCCTGGCGTCAGCCGCACGGGATCAAGTCGGCCTCCGTCCAGTATTTTAGGGACGCTACTGGGATATTAGGAACTGAATGTGACCTGGCGTTAATAGCGTTGCTTCAAGACGGCGGTATTTAAACGCCAGGGTCCTCGCCAACTTTTGTGCCCCCTGCATTTGAGCACACGGGTTAACAAAACAGTTGCTTTTCCCCTGGCTGACACGTAAACAAGACCTGCAGTCAACGTTGAACATAAAATGTATTGTACAGAATTATTGGATTATATACTCCAAGGGTCTTGACATCTACACATAGCCACCACCGGAGCCGATCAAGCTACCGGAGGCTGCCAATAATATCGATGAAGTTCGCACGGTCCTCCACTCCTGAATGGATTAAAGCTTGTTAGCCTGTTAGGGTCTGCGTTGTTTTTTCAGCCGTACGCGCTAGTTACTAATTCTCGTAAGTGAACGATAATCGCCACCCAAAAGCTAGAAGATGAGCCTAGCCCCGCATTCAGGGGACACACCAATTTTCAGATCTCAATGGCAGATTATACAGGAAGCGACGACTACAATCTCCAGGAGGCGTGGGACACGGTGTGTCGGTCCTTCGCCAAAACAACCAATGTGGATCTCACTACAGCCCCGAAGTACACCATCGATGAGGTGCTTAATCAAATCCGGCAAAAGCAGGATAACGACGAGGAGCGAAATGTTAAATACAAAGTCGCCAAGGATGTCATCAGCAAGACTTTGAAATGCATTGAAGTTCTTGGTGGGATTGCCGTCCAGGGGGCAAGTATGGTGTGTATCTCACTCATTCGCTGAATTAGCTCTGTCTGATAGCAGTAGGTGTTCGGCGGCCCAAGCACTCTATGTTTCAATGCTGTGTCATATCTTATCGAAACTGGGGCAAAATTCAAGGGAATTTTCAGCAGTATTGCAGAGCTGTTTAAACGCATCTCAGACGTTCTGGAACGATGCAAGATCTATCTCCGCATGCCGCATGAGGCTGTGGATATTTCCTTACGACGGATAATCAATGATGAGCTGTTGTGTTTTGTCGATATCTGTGCGCTATCGATGAAAGTTTTAAAGGGACACAAAATTTTGATTGCACTCAAGGTCTTCGCCTTCAACAGTGACGAGGGGGTTGGTGGGCAGTTGGCTCGCCTGGCTGGGCTCGTCGAGCGGGAGTCACAAATGCGAGGGACTCTGGGATTTGAATCGCAGAAGAACAGTGAGAGGAACATCGTGGAGACGAGAGACGGGACGAAGAAGATCAATGCGGGCGTCGACAAATTACTAGAGCTTCAGCAGAAAAACGAGGAGGGGATTAAGGGGAATAAACAACTTCAGGAGGTCGACATCTATCTTGACAGTCCCAGCGAGCGCTTTGCCAAGATGCGAGAGAGGTACAGGGACCTTCGCAGCAAAAAAGTCGATGGAAGCGGACAATGGCTCCGCAACGATCCGGTGTACACAGGATGGGCGAGTTGTGAGAATGAGTCTCCATTAGATGTGCTCTGCATATCCGGAGGCGAAGGATACGGTAAAACCTATCTATTCACTACGATCATTCGGGATCTGCAGGAGAGGGTTTCAAATGTGACGGACAGCTTGAGTCGCACGTCGATCGGCTATTATTTTTTCGAGCAAGGAAGTCCCACTCGAGGAGCTGCTCAGTCCGCGGCGAATGACGCCTCATCTTTAATCAAAGCATTGAAGACCGTGGCATATCAATTGGCTAGCCATGACCCGGTCTATCGGAAGGAACTTGCCGCTTCCGCGAAGTCGATGGAAGTCAACCAAATAGCCCAACTGTGGGATGTTCTCTTCACCAAGTCTTACAAAGGGGACTCAACATTCTTCATCCTATTGGATGGCGCCGAACAGATTGTACGGGAAAACCTCAAACAGCTCCTGAATGTTCTAGCGGACCTCCAGAAGATATCAGACACTAGGGGCCGGTTCCATCTTCGCATCCTCTTCTCTGCGCGGAACGAAACCGTCGAGCAGATCACAAACCACCTCAACGAAGGGACCTCTACTATTGATGTCGCTTCGAAAAACAAAGACGATATCGAAATGTTCATTAACGACCGCCTCGGAAGCATGGAGATCCTCAGCAGCGGCTCCACCCAGGTTGAAGCACTTAAGAAGGAAATTCTCGAAGGCCTCTTGAAAGAGGCGCATGGCGATTTCGTCAACGTAGGTCTTCTACTCAACCAGATAGGCGATAAACAACGTCCCGGAGAAATACGAGACGTTTTATCCCGGTCAGGCGAGAATCGTTCGAACACAATTGCCCGCGAGATCGAGAGATTGAACGAGACCCTGGGTGAAGATAATATTTCAGATCTCAATGAGCTCCTAGTCTGGGTTATGAACGCACGCTGCCCGCTCATGCTTTGCGAATTGGAAGCCGTTCTCTATGTGAAAAATGGCGAGCTATCACTTCGCTCGTTGGAGGACGAGATCAACGGTCGGTTCTCTGCCCTGTTCCGCATAGACGGAGAGATAGACCCGAAAACGAAGAACATGCCCCCGACAGCGACCGTGTCTCTAGTATCGAACTCGATAGAGGAGTACTTCCGAGCAAAATCCGCTAGCGAGGAGGCCGAGGCTGACGACGGCCAGCTTAAATGGAACACCACCGGGGATGTCCTCGAGTCGGAGGTCAAAATTGTCCGGCGATTCCTAGATTTGGTCTGCGACCCTAAGCTGTTCAAGAAATTCGACTTTGAAGCCTTCTTCGAGCGAAAATTGACCAAAAAGACTGCCCGGCTCGGCGTCGATACAGACACAGCTCACATGCGAATTTTAATGGCCTGTCTCAAATCCGTCTCAGAGAAAACAGATGAATCTTCTAAGCTGGTAGACTACGCGACGTTTTACTTTGAAGACCATCTTCGTCTCATTGATCTGTCATTGATACAGCCACAAAGCAAGGCCATCGTCGGTCCACAATTGGTGACAATGTTTACAGACGAGGAAATCTTCAAATCCTGGTGGACTGAGAACCGCCTGTGGATGCGGGATACTTGGCTATACGAGGATGACCGCGTTGATGTGGTGTTGAAATGGCTACAAGACTCCGCTGTCACTAAGAAGCTTCCCGAAAAGGACATGGCATGGGTCAAGAGTCTAAGTTCGAAGTCGAAACCTGACGCAGATCTCCTGGAGCATATCGCCAAGTTCATGGTGCATAAATGGCTGCAGATGAGTGATTGGAATATTGTGGAGTTGTTTTATTGGGTAAATGCATATTCGAACAAGGTAAGTCTAGGTGATTGCCCTTCGTGTATTTGATTTGGTTGGTTATTGAACTCTTTTGATAGATTGAAAATCGCAAAGATTCGAATGTGAAGCGCGAGACCGAAGATCCGAGACCAAAGAAGATTCCGGCGTCTCGGATCTATGAGGTAGCCGAGTGGGGTCGACAACTCCTTGGACTGGACAGTCTTGGTTATGAGGAAACACGAAACGTCGCCAGAACGTTGAGAGAGTTTGGGAAGTTGGATGATGCGATCGAAACATTCAAGCGGGCAGCGTTACTCCAAGAAGATACCTGGTTCGCCAAATGGGGTCTTGCGCAGGCTTACAACCTCCAAGGAAAATTTGCGCTGGCAGTTGAGACTCTAGAAGCAGTTTTGGCGTCTATCGAAAGTGGAAAATCTAAACCCGATGACCCTAGGAACACTCTACAAAGACTTAACCAAGATCTGGCCTGGTGGCACAAAGAAGCCGGGAATTTCGAGAAAGCCTTGGACATTTATGAATCCATCTTGCAGGAACATCCGGATGACTATGAGTCAGCCTTTGGTTTGACCTTAGTTCTACGACACAAAGGGAGCTATACACAGCTAGTTGAATTCCTCGAACGCTTGAAAAAGTCCAAAGACGAGGTTACCGGTCTCGATCGGCGCACAGAAATCTTCCACCAGTATTTCTGGAATGATGATTATCATGGCACTATCGCCGCTGCTGGAAAAATTTTGAACGGCAGCGGTATCACGACTCTGAAGGATAGCTATCGCACTGCTGTCGATACGGCAGAAGAAAAGGTTCAACTTGCTAAAGACAAGCTAAACCGAGAGGAAGAAACCCGCGCAAAACAAATGATGGCCATGCTAATGCACTACTGTGCCAAGTTCTTCTACAATAACTACACATGTGCTGAGGAAAAGGAGATGGCGTTGTCCATGTGGGTGCGGATTATCCAGTTAGACGAAACCGAAATGACCCCAATCCTAAGGCTTGCAAAGGTGTTTGCCACCCGGGGTCTATCAAGCCTCTATTTTGAAAAAGCACTCCAGGCGGGACAAGGTACTGAACTAGCAGCCAAATACATCGACGATCTAGAGCACCTTGCCACTTTGAAATCGGACGGAAATCTGACGGATGAGGTGAAGGAGACATATCCGCGGCAGTTACTGGCTCGGTACTATGCGCTTTGCGGGGAGATGGAGAAAGCAAAGAACGTGATCAGGCCCTTTGTCAAAGTCAATATAGATCTTTTGTCGGACGACGATCCCCGCAACGATTGGCAGGGATTTGGAGGCCTAGCGGCGCACTTCATGTTTGCTGGTCAGGATGATAACTCTCTGGCCGCATGGTCACTCATCAGACCCAATGAAGACGATGAGGATACGGATGCTATCAAAGAGCTGGAAGGTCCTATTGATTACCAATGCGATGGAAGATGTGGAACGATGTGGAGCTACGCAAACGATATGTATATTTGCCGAGACTGTGCGGATGTGCAATTCGATGAGAGTTGCCTCAGAAAGCTACAAGAGGGAAATTTGGGGCTTCAGGTGTGCAGCAAGAGCCACGAATTCTTCCATGTCCCCAAGTATGATGATGAAAAGGTGAAAAAAATCGGAAAAGAAAATGTGATGGTCGGGCAGGAAGTCATGGCGGTGGAGGATTGGATTCGAAAGATCAAGCGGGACTGGGGTTTTTCTACCGAATGATTCAATTTGATGCCACTGGCTGGTGGCTGTCTTTGTCATTTAGTTGCCGACGATAGTAAAATTTATATGCCGAGGATGGAAGCCCTGTAGATACACAGCCTCGTCTTCTTCCATGTCGAACTTACGAAATTCAACGCAACATCCAAAGCTCCTGGGCTATCGTCGCATTCAAACGTCCTTAGCGATCACAATAGACGGGTGGTACAAATCCCCCCAGAGTACCTACTAAATATACACCCCTCCCTCCTGTAGGTCCACACCATTGAAAATAATGCTACATGAAAACAAGGTGGACGACCCTCTACATCTTATTAGCGATCTCGACTTTGGTCACAGATTTGGTAAGCTTGTATAAATTCTTGTTTATTCTCATGGATAGCGTGATCAGATAAGCGACCGGTCGGAAGCTGCGCTATGGCGAATCTGCCGAGCGTGATCCACTTCGCGCCATCGGCCTCCGTTGACACCGATTAGTGGCGACCACGCCATTTTTATGTCAGTTGCAGCTCGCATAATCCACTCTCCGTCTGACGGGTGCACGGCATCATCGCGCCCGATGATTTTTTGGCCTAGAATGGCTCGCTCTCATTGGATCGCCCTTCGGTCTCTGGCGATTACCTACCATGGTAAACACCGAGTTCCTTGTACCTCCGTCGGGGTGGTTTCTCATCAAAGATCCACTGCAGAAAAAAAGCCATGGAGTGTTTAAATTCGGTGTGATGCGCCGGTTGGCACAGGATATCCATCCAAATCAGGAGCAAGAAAGAAAAGGTGCTTAGTGTCTTGTGATAGACCACAGCTCGCCAACTATGAGCTCCAACGACAACAGCAATAACAACAACCACTTCGACTCGGAAGCTCCCACGCCTCGTCTAAGTATGGAGCATCACGATCCTATCAGTGACTCCGGCGTCCAGACAGATAAGGATCTGCCTAGGGAAGACGCCGATGTCGAGAGCGACGCCGCCAGCATCAAGCCCGTCGCCGAGAAACCAGCACCCAAAGACCCCAATCTTGTCGAATGGGATGGACCCAACGATCCCGAGAACCCGCAGAACTTCACACCTCTCCGCAAATGGATCATCACCTTGACCATGTCCTCCATGACCATGTGGATCACCTTCGCAAGCAGCGTGTTCTCGACCGCCACGCTCGTCACCTCCAAAGAGTATGGCGTGTCGACCGAAGTCATGACTTTGGGCACAAGTCTCACAGTCTTCGGCTTCGCACTGGGCCCCCTCTGCTGGGCGCCGCTGAGCGAGCTCTACGGCCGACGCCTGCCGCTTTTCACCGGCTACGCCATCTTCGCCATCTTCCAGATCCCCGTCGCCGTTGCCCAAAACTTGGAAACCATCATGATCTGCCGCTTCCTGGTGGGCGTCTTCGGTTGCTCGCCGCTGGCCGTCGTCGGCGGCGCCATGGCTGATATCTGGGATCCCGTCGACCGCGCCGTCGCCATCGCCATGTTCAGCGCGGCCACTTTTCTCGGCCCCGTCCTGGGCCCCATCGTCGGCGGCTTCATCACAGAATCCTATCTGGGCTGGCGCTGGACCGCCTGGATTACTCTGATTGCGTCCGCAACCTTCGGCTGCATCGCTCTTTTCGTCGTCCCAGAGACCTACCCGCCGGTTCTCCTGCAGCAGCGTGCCGCCCGCCTGCGTCGCGAGACCCGCAACTGGGCCCTGCACTCCTTCCTGGACGAGCACAGCCCGTCTTTCCGCCAGATCTGCAACAACTACCTGCTACGCCCCTTCCAGATGCTCTTCCTGGAGCCCATCCTGCTGGCCATCACTCTATACCTGGCCCTGATCTACGGTATCCTCTATCTCTTCTTCGAAGCATACCCGATCTCCTTCGGCGAGGTGCGCGGCTGGAAACACCAGGGCGTTGCCGCTCTCCCCTTCATCGGCATCATGATCGGCGTCTTCCTCGGCTGCGCCCTGATCATCTACACTACTAAGACCCGTTTCGCGCGCAAGCTCAAGAAGCACGGCCGCGTCGTCCCAGAAGAGCGTCTGATCCCAATGATGATTGCCTCAGTTCTTCTTCCCGCGGGCCTGTTCTGGTTCGGCTGGACCTCGAGCCCCAGCGTATCCTGGGTGCCGCAGGTGATCGCGGGCGTGCCCATCGGCCTGGGCATCCTGGTGATCTTCATGCAGGGCCTCAACTACATCATTGACGTGTACATGATGTTCGCCAACTCGGCCATCGCGGCCAACACGCTCGTCCGGTCTGCTCTCGGCGGTGCGTTCCCCTTATTCGCCTCGCAGATGTATCACAATCTCGGCGTCAACTGGGCTTCCAGCCTGCTGGGCTTCATTACCCTGGCTATGATCCCCATCCCGATCTTGTTCTATTTTTACGGTGCCAAGATCCGCGCTATGAGCCGCTTCTCGCCGAAGTTCTGATTTTCTTGTCTTAAAACTTCATGGCGTTTGTTTTACTTGCATTGGGCGGATCACTTATACATAGAACTTGCATTTACTTTTACATCTAATGAATAATGTTGACGATTTGTATCTAAGTTCAGTTGTAGTATACTTGTAGATAAGCCGCACTGATGTACTACTGAATGCGTTCAAGAGTGCATCGCATCTACAAAATCTTACAGACGGACAAGTCTAGGTCCAAAGTAGAGATTCCTCCGTACGGGTTATTATGGCACATTGTATGTGGACAGAGAGACAAAGAAACAGAACCAGAAAAAGAGGAGAAAAAGCTATCAGTCCAGGCTGAGTTCCCAACCATGAAAAGAACGATCTACCGGTCAAATCCTCCGCGCAGGGAAACACAACCATGACTGGAAAGGCACAGACAACGCAAGAAAAATTCATTTCACACCGACAGGGAAGAGCTATTTAATCGTAGAGGCTGTCATCATTGCCGGCTTCGCCGAACGTGTCGTTCTCCTGCACCTCGCCCGAGGACGGGAAACGGAAGAAGCTGCTGCCGCCAGAGTTCTTCAGACTCTGCGCGAAGGCCTCGTAGCGGCGGATCTCGACGTCGTTGACAGAGCGACGGGCAGTCTTCATGGCCTCTTCGAAGTGGGCACGGGTGAGCTCAGGTACGGGGTCCTCGGCTTCGAGATCCTCCTCATCCTCCATCTTGACGTCCTCGCCGGCGGCCTCGCGCGCCTTGACGCGCTCGATATCGGCGGTGATGGCCTCCTTGATGGCCAGCTTGACGGCACGCTGTGTCACGAAGCCAAGATCGGCACCGGAGAAGCCGTGGGTCTTGCTGGCAATGAAGTTCAGGTCGACATCACCAGCAACGGGGGTCTTGCGGAGTTGAGCCTTAAGAATACCCTCACGGGATTCCTGGTCGGGCAGGGGAACGTAGACCAGGGTGTCGAGGCGGCCAGGACGAACCAGGGCAGCGTCCAGCTGCTCGGGACGGTTGGTGGCACCAATAACGAAAACGTTCTTCTTGGAAGTCATACCGTCCATCTCTGCACAGAAGTTAGCGGCCGTCGGATCAAAAAACCGAAAAAGTATACGTACCGGTCAGAAGCTGGTTAACAACACGGTCCGAAGCACCGCCAGCATCGCCAACCGAGCCTCCACGAGACTTGGCAATGGAATCCAGCTCATCAAGGAAGACAACGCAGGGAGCAGCGGCACGTGCCTTGTCGAAAATATCTCGAATGTTGCTCTCCGACTCACCGAACCACATGCTCAACAGCTCAGGACCCTTGATGGAGATGAAGTTGGCAGCGCACTCGTTGGCAACGGCCTTGGCCAACATGGTCTTACCAGTACCAGGAGGACCGTAGAACAGCACACCGCGAGAAGGCGAGAGACCGAACTTCTGGAACATCTCGGGGTGGTCCACAGGGTACTGGACACTCTCGATGAGCTCGCGCTTGACCTCCTCGAGACCACCAATATCGTCCCAGCGCACGTTCGGAACCTCGACGACGGCAACCTCGCGCAGGGCGGAGGGGTTGGAGACACCCAGAGCGTAACGGAAGTTCTCCATAGTGACACCCAGGGAGTCAAGCACCTCCGCATCAATCGTATCCTCATCAAGATCGATCATGTCCATCTTCTCACGGATCTGTTGCATGGCAGCCTCAGAGCACAACGAGGCCAGATCGGATCCGACGTGACCGTGAGTCTCGGCGGCAATGGTCTCGAGGTCAACATCGTCACCAAGCTTCATGTTCTTGGTGTGAATCTGCATAATCTCCAGACGACCCGTAGGGTCTGGAATGCCAATGTCAACTTCACGGTCGAAACGGCCGAAGCGACGAAGGGCAGGGTCGATGGAGTTGGGACGGTTAGTGGCCGCCATGACCACAACGTTGGAGCGGGCCTTCATGCCATCCATGAGAGTGAGGAGCTGGGAGACGACGCGACGCTCGACCTCACCGTTGGTCTTCTCACGCTTGGGGGCGATGGAGTCAATCTCATCAATGAAGATGATAGCCGGGGAGTTCTTCTCGGCCTCCTCGAACGCCTTGCGAAGGTTCGATTCAGATTCACCCGCCATCTTAGACATGATCTCGGGACCGTTGATCAGGAAGAAGAAGGCACCGGTCTCGTTAGCGACGGCACGTGCCATCAGAGTCTTACCGGTACCCGGAGGACCGTACATGAGGATACCACGAGGGGGCTTAATACCGATGGACTTGAAGAGTTGGGGGTGGCGGAGAGGCAACTCGACCAATTCACGGATCTGAGCCATCTGCTTTCGGCAACCACCAATGTCATCGTAGCCAACCTCGTTGAGGTTGCCCTCCTCATCCTCTCGCTGAATAGGGTCGCCCTCGCAGTGAATGATTGTGTCTTGGGCGACGATGCCGTACTCTGGCGGGTCCACCTCCACCACCTTGAATTCCACTTGTCTCATACCGCCTCGTACTGTGAACAGGTCACCCTGTCGGACTGGGCGGTACGCCTCGCGGAAGTAAGGAGCAAGGTAAACATCGAAGAGAGAGCCGGTAAGACCCTCGATGGTATCGGCGATGGGGAGGACGGCAATGCGCTTGGCCTGTCACAAAGGAATGGATGATTAGCAATGACGGAGAGAAATTGGGATGATAACCTACATATTTGATATCAGGGCAGGGGTGGACGGTGATGATATCGCCGTGCTTCACTCGGAGGTTGTGCCGGACGACACGGTTGATACGGGCACTCCCGTCATCGAGATCGTCATCCGCCAAGACGATGAGGGCAGTGTCCTTGCGTTTCTTGCCCTTCACCAAGACTGTGTCACCGCGGAAGAGCTGCAGCGTCTCCATGGTGTTGTTTGAAAGAGCGATCACCGAGTTGTCATCGTTCACGGCGTCAGTCACACTGGTTGGGTGAGCTGTCAGCATCTGGCCGAGTGGCGGGTGCGTGAAGCACACTTACATCAATGAGTTGGGCTTCTTCTTCTTCTTGAGAATAGCAGTGGAGGTGTCAAGCTCCTATAGATCCTTGTCAGTGCCAGATACTCGCCACCTATTCTGCAATCGCTCTTACCTCCTTCTTCTCGGCGCCCGAGGCGTCCCTGGTGAGACCGGTTAGCTTGTACGATGGGGATGATGGCAAAAGGAACATACTGGAGGTTGACCCTCTTCTTATCGTGAGTGTGATCCGGCTCCGCCGACATGGTGCAGGATCTGAAGTCGTGACGTGGATGGATACCAAGCTCTGGGAGAGGTCAAGTGTCCCGAGGCAAGCTCGCCCGATGGAGAACACGGAAGGGAGAGATAGAAAAACGGCGACGATGGAAAAAGATGGAAGAACCGGCAGACCAGGAAGGAGAACCTGACGGAAAGAAAGGGAGATGGGAGATGAGGTGATGGGGGAAGAGACGGAGTGTTGAGCTTCCAGGTACGGTCCGCAACGATAGTTGGGATGACCTAAGCGGGTTTATGTCAGCCGATTGCCGCCACCTGACTGGCCGTCGAAGCGCATGGAAGGCAGTCGATATTGCTGCCTGAGGCAGTGATGATTTCGGTATGTAAACAGGAGAGGAGAGACTGGATGGAATGGTAAGAACTGAATGAACTAACGACGTCATTTCGAGCGTCTTTGATATATTCCTAAGTCTCGGGAAGATAGATCAAGAATGACATTCTATTTCGGAGTCGGTATATCAGTATGCAGAGCTCAGGGTGTATATGCAAGCCAAACAAATACATAAAAAATGGTATAGAAGAAGAAACAAAACACGTCTATGCTTTGGCAGTCGCCGCCCAGGAGTCCCGCAGCCCCCAGACACCAGCGAAGAAACTGATCAGCCCAGTCAAGTGCTCCGGTATGCCGATCCCTTTCTCCAGACACCAGTGGATACACAGAGGCGCCCAGATAGCGTTGTTAACGAGGCTCTTGCGCCACGCCCGAATCTCAAGCCTCAGTGCCTCGCCATCCTCCGCTTTGGTAGTCTTCTCGCTTTCGGCAGTCGCAGTAGCAGCAGCAGCACGACGCTGGGCAGCAACCCGCCTCCGGCGCAGCACACTCTCGCGCCAGAGCACAAAGAACTGGAAGAAAATATGCCCGAACCAGCCGCGCGTACTCCATATATACCACTTATCGACTCCGCCATATTTATCGACCCAGCGACGCGAGACCACCCCCTTCTCGGCGAGGTAGGCCACGTTTTCAAGGAGCTGGTAGATGACGTTGGAGACGACTTGGAGGTGTGTCAGGGCGTGCAGGATGGGGTCTGAGGGCGGCGATTTCAAAGTATCGGAGCCCCAGATCCAGAGCGGGAGGAGCCCGAAGAGGCGGAGGTTGTAGCGCGTCTCCGAGGCGAGGGAGGACAGCGCGGCGAGCTTGGATTTCGACGCGGCGGACTTGGACGGTTGGGGCAAGGGTAATTGACGCCCGCTAAGACGTGCGAGGAGACTTAACCGGGTTTGCAGCGCGATCCACGGCGCGGAGGCGGAGAGGTGGTGTAGGATGGAGGAGACATAGTTGATAGTCGCCAGGACAGTCTCTTGGCCGTCGGCTGTGGAGAGAAGCCTGCCAATGGTTGGTTATACAGCTTAAAGGAAAATCTGCCTGTACAACTCACTGGTCTATCCGGCGAATAGTCACGTCGGTTGCTGCCAGGGCCGCCAGCAATTGGGCGCGGTCTGGTTTCCCCGCGGGCAAGGACACATTCCCCGCATGGTTGGAAGAGGTTGGAGAGGAAGAGGTAGGAGGATGTTCCGGGTCAGACATTGTGTCGAGAACAAGAAAAATAATAATAACAATCAGAGAGACCAGCTCCTCTGTCTTCAAGAGATTGTGCAAAACAAAAAAAAAGGTGTAGTCGGGCCATGTCGGAAGATGCCGAGGTCCATAGTTCTAGGTTGGGCTTACCGCATGGGGCAGAATATCATATGCGAATGGGGAATTTCTGCGCGATCTAACACATTATGTGCATACTTTGCATTTACATAATTCAACATTCTTCTTGATCCTAAGGCGAGTACCTTCCACCATACCTGTTAGAAGAGCTCAGACCCTCAAGGAAGAAATGACATCATCATAAAATAACCTACTTAAGTCAACCAATTAACTTGGTTACAGATTTTCTGGCTGATCTGGCTCGCTTGAAGTTAATGTTGACATAAAAATTTTGCCTTTTCGTATGAGCCTTACAAAACCGAGAACCGAACCATCGGTGGCCGACCAAATTCTGGAGTAATTGCAACCCTTCGTGGAGAGGCGCGACCAACTATGGCTTTGTTCAGTGAGCCCGATGGCCAATATTGGCCTCAGATCTGCCAACTGCTTCTCACAGTAGGCCTCTCGGCTCTCATAGGGATTGAGCGCCAATTTCGACAAAAGGCTGATGGACTGCGCACCAATACTTTGGTGAGAATGGGTTCAGCCTTGTTTATGCTGGTATCCAAGTATGGCTTTATGGACATCCTGTCCCGATATCACGTCGTCGCGGATCCATCGCGAATCGCGACCCAGATTGTTTCGGGGATCGGCTTTATCGGAGGCGGTATTATCTTCAAGAAGCAAAGTGATGTTCGAGGCTTGACGACAGCTGCAGCTGTCTGGCTCACTGCCGCCGTAGGGTCCGCCTGTGGAGCTGGCTTGCCGATCCTCGCTTGCATCGTGACAGGATTATATTGTGTCACCGTTCTCGTTTTTCCTTTCGCCTGGACCGGGGTAAAATCCTTGTATGTGACCTGTAGGAATACCAATTCTCGACAAATACAAAATTGAAGAAAATTCAATTAAGCGACTATTGTTTCCATGGGCTGTTTTGTTTTCATCACTACAGTCTCTCCAGCGACACGAAGAGTAACTTGGAGCTCTAGCGAATGATGATGCTGAATGCAGTATGTCGTGAAACTGGGATATATGGTTCGTCCCGTGGTCAAGGCCAAACGCCGCTCTCCTAAATAGAGCCCATCCGGGCGAAATGAAAGCTGAAACAAATTCCCTAGATCAATGGGCCCACTAGCTTTTGTTCCGGTCTTTATTTCCAATGGAGTTTCAAGAGTCTCAAGTGCTCTCTCCAAGTATAGATTATCAGAAGTTTCATGCGACTCTCGAATGGACGAGGTGCTACCAGAGCCTGGCGTTCGCACACAAGTCACGTTGCATAATAGGAGCTTGATCGAACCGATTTGGATTGTCTGCGAGACATCTTTTATGTCATCATGCGTCTTGCTTCGATCGGTTTCGATGTTTAGAATAAGTGGAATCACTCCTGGCCCAAGCTGTATCGCGGCCGGCATGGAAGTAGTTAATTTGAGGGACATTTCGCGTATTTTGGACGAACTGAAGAATCCGAGTGTCTTCTGTCCGAGAGAGACGCGTGAATCCTGCATACCGGGAAGCAACCGCGGGCTTCGTATTGGCCTCTCCTGCCGAAAATGCCTTATCTGATGGATGCGCTCTGTTATTTGTGGAGAAAAGCGCAGCACAATAGGCCAATTTATCTCGTGGAGCTTACGCGAGTTGCCGAAGTCATACTTGAGAACCGCTTTTAGCTGGTATTGGATAAAACTTCTTGAGCCCCCTTTCACGCCGTATGCACAGGACGACACGAATGTTCCAGGTAAGACCTGGTGACCGGGATGATCTGACCAGTTAAGAGGCACAAAGCCTGAGGCCTGGCGGCGAAATCTGTCTTCGGTCCGGCGTAATCGGAATTTTCACCAGAGAATGGCCAGCAAAGCTTCTCTTCACTGTCGGATGATAGATGGAGAGGCCCACGGCGGAGGACCTGTTTCTCTTCGTTGATTAAAGGAACAGAATGCGTATGATTAATGTGATGCTTCCTTCCCCCTCTCTCCTCGTCGATTTCAGCGTTGGCGCGACCGCTGAACTCTAGGGTGACGGTTGCTTGCGCGCTAACAATCCCGGCACTGCGTACTAAATTGCCGATGATAGTTTCCCCTGGTGCGTATGTCCAGTTTGGAGGGGCCGCAATATCGAATTTCAGGTCGTTTTCGTTGGTCTTTTTCGAGTGGTGGAACATCTTGCGGAAGTGGACATGGACGACATATCTCCAAGTCACTTTGAGCCATCGTACTGTACTTCGGGATGGCCCTTAAATAGAACCATCTAGTGTAGCAAAGCCTCAATGAAACATATTGGACGGGGCGTTCAGATCTGCGTAGGGCGCGGCACACAGCCACGATGATGACATAGCGTATGCACGAGGCAAAAGGGGCGACAACCATGGCGGCCTATGGCCATGGTCAGATTTTTGATATGTAGCTTCTTGTAACAGGGCACAATTATAAAGGTCAGATTCGGATGCTTCGCGGCTTCACGGATGTGGATTGGGCCGGCTGTCGCCAAACAAGACGATCAACAGCAGGATATATCTGTCCAACATTGAAAGTGGAGCAATAAGTTGGCAATGTAAGCGCGACAATCATATGTGGCGACAACTAGGGAGCCATTGCGCTGGCCTCAAGCCCTCCAATTCCATTCACGAACAAAGCATATGGAAATCCAGCGAACATGGCAAGCAGAGGTTCAAGGCTCTGGGACAGGGGAGCTAAAGTATATCCCCACTATAGAGCGAATTGCAGATGGCTTCACGAAGCCCCTTTGAATGGTCTCGAAAGGGGCTCGGCGTCGAGTGATGTTCATAAGTCGTCAACCATCACACCGAAGCTAGACCGGCCATGCAGGCACATTTCCTTTCTTTTCGCCACGGGTTTTGGGAGGGTTTAATGGTGCCTAGCAACCGTGACTGATGATCCCTGACATTCCTTCTGATGAAGGAAATCAGCGAGTGGGAGTGTTGAACTTTTCAGTCACTAGAATGACCACAGAGGCTGGGAGCACCTGCATACATATACATATATATGACTGCCAGCCTATAACAATCAGTACGAACATTGAAGCATCACTATTCAACAGCCTGAATCCGCCGGCCGCGTCTTGGCACACCCCATCAAACGCGACATCCTATCACTCTTATTCCAACTGCTAGAAGCTAACCCTTCAAATCCCGCCTTGAAATTGAAACCGCCTATTGAAACTGCCTAGTGGCCAGAGGGTGCTGAATAACATCTCTAAATTTAGAGGCGGTGGCCGCCCCCGGCGGGATAGTGGGATTAGAATAAGCCCGTTGAAGTGATGATCAACCGATGTCGCTCTATCAGTACCCATAGATGTAAGTATACTTCTGGTCACCTCTGCGAACAGGAGAGTCTGCTTCTGCAGCATGTTCGCTCTCGCCCCAGCGTGCAGTCTTGCGGGTCCTCCACCTATTCGTGAGCTGGTACATAACTCGGACGAAAACCATGCCAACAGCACCAAAGGCAATCAAAACCATCGTGATAACAAGTGGTACTTTGTCTGTTCATGCATTAGGTGTAAGTATTGATTGCTCGTGTATCAGGGGCACAAGTCGACACGTACACGTTGGCGCGTACTTGACGTTGAATATTTGGCCTGCGATGACTCCCCCGATGTTCGTCCATCCGTTGAGGCCCAGTGCAAAGGACCGCGGACCCTAGCAAATTCGGCGTTAGACAGAAGATTTGACGCAACCCCACGAGCCAGACTCATACCTTGAGCGGCGTATTACCAGCCAGCCAAACTGCTGCAAGTGGCCCAGAGACGAACACCCCCGCGAGACACACGTGGGAAAACCCATAACGGAGTTTCGGATCACTCGAGGTGGCCATGACGATGCATCCCACCAACGCTAGCAGCATCCCTCCAACAATGTGAAGCGACCGTTCCTTGAACCGGTCACTCGAGTAGACAATAAGGACAAGCCCTACAGCCCCGACGACGAATGGCGGCACGCTCATCACCGTGGCGCGGATGCCGTTGTACCCCATCCCCTCGACGATGAGCGGCAGGAAGGTGGTGAAGGCGCTGACGGGAAGCACACCCGTCATGTTGAACAGCATGATCAACAGCTTCTTCCAGTCCTTCAGCACGTCAGTGATGTCTTTCAACGAGATGGTGTCGCTCTCGGCTACGACTTCGGCTTCGTCTTCAAGCCGCTGCGACGCCGCCAGATCTGTCACCATTCGTCCAACAGCATGCGCCCTCTCTGTCGGGCTCAGGAACCAGGCTGTGTGCACATTGCTCGGCACCAGGAGGAGAGTCAACACTCCAACAAGAACAGTCAGCCCTCCTTCAAACAGGAAGACGACCTGCCATCCCTTGATATGCTCATTGTTGATGTGCAAAAGCCCATAGGAAATTAGTCCCGCGCAGGCCCCTGCGATCGCAAACATACCCGAGAAAACACCCATACGCATCCCCAGCGCGTACTTGGGATACACCATCGACATGAGGTAGTAGCTCGACGGCGTGAACCCGCTCTCCGCGGCGCCGAGGAGGAGGCGCAGGGCGACCAGCGTGGCGTTGTTCTTTACGGCGGCGTGGGCCATGCACAGCGCGCCCCAGATGATGAGAAGGAACGCGATCCACCATTTAGGACCGATGCGGCGGGCTGCAAGGGTAGAGAGCGGCTGGAGGGGAACGTAGGTTGCGCTGAAGAGGGTAAGGGTGGTGGCCACAGTGTTGGGGGATAGGTGAGCGTCGGTTATGAATGTGCTTGTTGCAATGAAGCCAATGTTCGTCTTGTCGACTTTACGGAGGTTAGACGAGAGGTGGAAGATGGAGAAGGAAGAGGCTGCTTACTTCCGCAGAGGATGAAGCCTGCTGAGAGGATGGCAACCACGAAGATGTCGAGTTTCAGGTTGATCTTCCTGTCTAGGGCTCGCTGCTCTTCTGTCTGTGGCTTGTAGTGTTGAGGTACGGTGCTGCTGGTGTGAGAGCCATATACTTTAGAGGAATCTTCCAGCTGATCGACAACGACGCCGTCCTCGTGCTTGAGCTCAGAGCGCGAGAGGGACAAAGCCATGGTGAGTCGTCAATGGGACAACCGCAAGAATTGCTATCCAAGGCTTGAGGTCGAGTTGGCAAAGATCTTACACAGCAGGACACAGACAAATATAGTAATGGTAGGTCCGTTTAACTCCCGCGTTTGTCTCCCATTTGCTTCCTGACCCGCTCCATTTCAAGCCGGTCGCTCTGTCGCCTTGCCTAACTACGTACCCCAACAGAACTGACTTCCTGGACGGAAAATATGAAGGGAACCTCAGGGGTTGCCTCTTATGGCGATTCCCCACAAACTTCCAGATTAGCGTGTTCCCCACCCCCGCATGCGATCCCGAATGCCGCCCGCTCAGCTGGTCTTCGGTAGTTGAGTAGGGCAAACTTTCGTGCTCTCACAGTCCCAGATTGCGATTTCACACTTCTTTAAGCTTCACAAACACCCCTTGTCCTACAATGGCTGCTTCTCTCACTCCACCTACCCTACCACACCGGTCGAGCTGCCAGCAGTGGTTGGCAAGAGTGCAGTCGTGGTAGACATGTTGGGGAAGAATAGTACGGGGGAATCCTTGGAGGGAGACTTGGTGGGATGATGTCGGCGGCAAAGAGGAGGGATCTCGAGGGCAAAATTTGTCGTATGAGCCGAGCTCGCTTGAGATTCTCCTGGCGAGTCTGCCGATGCAGTGGGGAGTCACGAGCGAGATAGAGCAGGTGATCGAGACGTGCATGCTGCGGTGCAATTAGCCGCGAGCGCCATGCTTGCCAGAGGAGAGTTCCTATGGATTTCCCCACAGGCGGTTTCTCCACCTGCATTAACAGGCGATTTCCCCACGTCCCACCTTTTAACGCCTTCTGTACTGTTCAAAGAGAATACAAACAGAGGAAGTTGACACCTATACCTAAATCAAACAATTAACCGGTGTGCACGGGCTTGCACCTTTTACACCATATACTTGGACTCATTGTGAGAAGAATTTATTGTCGGCCAACGAGCATGTTCTCGACCCAGCAGAAGCTGACCCACCCCACTCCCCTCTAACATTGAAATGTTGTCTGGCTTATGGCTAACGAATCTTAGGGAATAGTCTTTCAAAGCGACCTCGTGAGCGTCGTAGTTCTGCAGCCTCTTGATCCCTCTCACTAGCAATACATTACAGTATAGTAGCCTATACTGCATCATCTCTTAATCTGTATTCGTTTATGTGAGCTTAAGGAGTATAGGAAGAGACGGTGAGCAGGGCTCCAGAAACGGCTCCTATTGCACTGTTCTTCTGCCACCGTAGTGCCTTACAGCGCGGCTTCTCTTCCCTTCCAAAATTGATTGTTGATAATAATAAAGCGACGAAGTGTCTCGCCCCGAGTTACCCGAAATGTTTCCCCGCAATTCCCCGGCAATTCCCCTGCAACTCCCCTGTAATTCCCCTTCAACGTACTGTGGAAAGTACCATCACTTGCATTCACTTCGTTCGACTCAGAAATGTTTCTCAACTCACATAAATACAACGGCAGTAGGGCCCTCTTTGGATGCTCCACTTGCAATCGGATATACTCGAAAAAGGAACATCTTCAGGTAGGAAGAAGTCGAAAACTTGAGATGGAAGCTTCTGACAAATGTATGACAGAGGCATGAGAGAACACGTAAGAGAGGTTGTATCGAGGCACGACGGCTAGACTAACGTGACTCGAAGACACTGGGGCAAAGCCTTTCAAGTGTTCGATATGCGACCGTGGCTTTTCCCGTCGGGACGTCCTCAATCGACATGTTTCGGTTCACCGTGGAGATGTACAGACGGCATCGCCAATCATGGAACCGATCTTCCAACCCCCTGCACGGGAAATCCAACAGGGTATACATCGTATATCTGACAACCCGCAGAATTCAAGGGTTGTATCATGCGAGGAGGCACCTGCTACGATCGGCTCCCCATTTCCTTTGCCCCGGGAGAATGACAGTGTAATAGAACCATATGACGCCTCTTCCCTCCTCTGGACGGACTCGGAAATATTGTTTCAAAATCTTTTCTCCCAGGACTACGGCGTATGGGACCAGATGTTCGCAGGGACAGCTCAGCCCACTGGCGTATCCCAGTACGGACAGGAAACCAGACACGACACCTTACCCCAGGAAGATTTTGCAGCTGGTCAAGGTAGCCATCAGGCTATCAAATTTGCCAACAGTCTCATCAGTAATAGTGTAAGTCCCTCGAATCGATCGTTTCAGTCACAGTCGATCAATCTCTCCGAGCCCTACTGACCATAAGATTTCTTACAGGTCGAGAGTGTAATATCGTCTCCAGAGCTGGCAAATCTGACCCCGGGTTTCCTCGATGGCTGTCTCCACATGTTTTTCAGCAAGCTGATACCGATATTTCCCGTTCTTCATCGAGCAACATTTGTATTCAAAGACTTCCAAGCCCCGATACTTCTCAATGCCATTGCATTGGGATCGTTGTTTCTTGGTAGTCCGGATGCCATATCTAAGGTAATAATCATTACAAAGTGAATTTCTGTAGGATAATATCAATTGATTATAGGGTCAAGCATTCTGGAAACTTGCGCACACAGCCATTGCCACGTCTTGGCCTGGTATTTTATGCCAGAGAGGGGAATATGACAAGTGTAGTGGAGTCCAGTTGGTCTTCACTTCATTCCTGGGCCAATTATACGCCGCCCTCTCTCGAGTTAGATCAACTTCTGGTCAGTTCCTGCACCAAGAAAGCTAACAAGTTGTACAGGATAGAACACTCCGGATGACAAGCCAGACATTCTATGGAATGAGTGTAAATTGGGCTCGTTACTGCGGTATGTATGATATCGCGCACCCGATTGAGATTCCGTCAATACATGATCATATGGATAAAAAAACAAAAATGTGGAAGCAATGGGTAGCAAGAGAAACCCAATTGCGAACCCTACTGGGTCTATTCATTGTCGATGGCGTTGTATCTCAGTTTTGCGGGGATTCTGGGAGCAATTGGTCTGTGATCAATACACTTCCACGGCCGTGTGACGAGAAATCTTTCAACGCGGACAACCCTGATAAATGGATTCAAGCCATGAAAATGCGGAACGGGGCTGGTGGAAAGTTTCGTGACCTGACAGACCTACTATTCTCTTCGGTCAGCAGCCGGGGGGTCTGATAGAGCATCAATTAAGCTTGTTTGATGTCAAGGTCATTTTGGAAATTCTGAGATCTCTTGCAACTGAATCAAAGAGAGTACAAAACCCACCACTGGGTGGCATTCACTCTAGTGGGAAAATTATCGAAGCTCTGGCACGGATACGACAGCAGATTATCGGCAGTAAAGATCTCACACCGACTGACAGACTAGTGTGTTTATTACGTTGGCATACTGTCTGTCTGAATATGGTGAGAGACACCGCTCGCGGAGCTCGAAGAATGTGCTATAAATATGATATCCGGCAACACATCTTTGGAGGCGAAAACCGAGAAGAAACAGGAGTCGATCCTCATCGTTGGATTGGTGGCCAGGCTTCCCGCAAATGTCTCTTGCATGCGATTGAAATCCAACAGCTAGCTGCACAAATGCCGCTCGGCGTTGCTCATGATGAGCAGCTTCCTGGTGCTCTCTTTGCGATAGCAACAACTTATTCCTCGTTTGCCTTAGCGGGTAAACCGAAAGTGATAATACCTTCCTCTACCGATTGGGATACACTGCTTTTCTCGGAGTTAGAAGAAGTCCCATCAAGAAGAGAAATGGCAGGAGGAAACACGAATATGAACAATACTATCAGGTTCCTTGGAGGTGAGGAAAATGTTTTGGAAGCTGATTGTGAAGCGCGGAACCTGTTATACGAGCTTGGTTCAATCAGGATCCTCCTTCGCGGGCTTTCGTACCAGTGGGGTGTCGCACAGGAGATGGAAGAGGTTGTGGGAGCATGGATAATGCGTTGTGAATGACTCGGGTTGAAGCCTTGAAAAACATTAGAATTAAATTGCAACCCCATGTGTCGATATTGTCTCAGTAATTGCCGCTGGCCTGCATTGGGTCTCCATTTGATGGGGAAGACTGGGGAAGACCGGGGAAGACCAAGTCTTTCCCCACCCCCTCAACTTGGTATTCGTCCACCCTTGAAGCGCTCTCCACATGTTCTCCAGACACAAAATAAATGAATGAAGATATGTCCGTATCCCTCTCAAGTTCTCCACTCTCCTTGGTGCTCACAGGATCTCTGTGCCGAAAACTCCTTGATGGTAAATACTTAAAGTAACTGCACCTCTTAATAATTGACCAAGTCCTGAGCTTCAAATATCAAATAAATGCTGTTTAACAAAATATTATGGCCGGCGTTGATGATTTCCGTTTGGTTGAGAGCAATGATCCCACGGAGATTTATGCGCAGTTTGATCATCTGAGGTCCAAGTGTCCTGTTGCACACACCTCAGATAATGGAGGGTTCTGGATGCTCTCTCGGTACGAAGATGTCAAAAACTGTGCTTCCGATTGCAGTTTGTTTGTATCATCAAGGAAAGCAGTCATTCCCAGTGATCCACGTGGTATTCGCCGGCCGCCACTTAACACCGATCCCCCAGCGCACACACCGTACCGAACTGCCCTTGATCGAACCTTGAAACCCGCGAGGATCCAACGGCTTGAGCCTATCATAAGAGAACATGCTGAACGCGAGTTTGCCAAGACCGTCCAGAAAGGCGAGTCAGATATATGTGCAGATTTCGCTGCATCATTCGCCGCCTGGGTCGAAGTCAGCTGGTTAAATCTCAACGACGATATGGCACCGAAGCTGGCTGAAACAGCTTCAAAGTGGATCAACGCCTGGAGAGAGCAAAATGGTCCCGAAACAAGTATCCAATCAGAAAAGATGTATGACATGGCAAGGGCTCTATTCCATGATAGACGAATGTCCCCCAGAGATCCTGAACAAGATCCTGCCTCCTCTCTGCTGCTGGAGAAGGATGGTGAAGGACAGCCATTAAGTGACGAGCTGTTAATGTGAGTTCACAACCGCATAATGACTATTACCGCCCATATTGGGGTTGTATGTGCTCATATAGCTAATTTATTTTCAGTGGTTGTTTGCGTCAGTCTCTGGTAGTTGGCATGGTGGCTCCCCCGATCCTCATCGGGAATATGTGCAACCATCTATCTCGAGATAAGGATTTACAGCAGACTCTCCGGACGGATCCGTCACTCATCCCGGCTGCCGTTGAAGAGTTCGTTCGGTTGTACGTTCCTTACAGAGGATTTTCTCGAACTCCGTCTCAGCCAGTCGAGATCAATGGGCGATTGGTTGGCGTTCATGAACCTATCTCAATGACTTATGCTGCTGCCAACCGTGATCCCACTGTTTTTGAAAATCCCCATAAATTTGTCTTAGGTCGTCCAAATATCACATCTCATCTTGGATTCGGTAGGGGCAGGCATCGTTGTGCTGGCATGCCCCTTGCGAGAATGTAAGTGGGAAGCTCCCTTATTTCCCTCTCACTTGGCGATCCAACAAGGCTTACTAACGATAGGGCGTTACAAACTGCTCTCCAAGTTATTCTGCGGAACACGAGCGACTTCGAGGTAACTGGGCCGTTTCAATACGCGAAGATGCCTGAAATGGGAATCATAAGCTGCCCTCTGAGAGTTTTTCCTGCGATAGAATGACCCTGTATGTTAAAATTTTCTTCAAGTAGAGCTACATAGGATATGAGCACTGAGTGGTCGGGAAATGGCAAGGAGGTTAGTAGTTAAACGGAGAAGCAGCCCGGTCATAACTATGGTTTCTTTTCTATTTGTAGTTAATACCCGAACTCTAACGTAACTCCTGGGTGAGTGAAGGTCACCAACCAATGTAATTCCCGGGCGAGTGGGTGTCACCCAAGGCGAGTAGGCTAGGGAGCGTGGAAAATTTTCGCCTTAAAGGCATGCGTTGATTGTACTGAAATAACTTCAACTTAGTGGCACCTGCCCAGAAAGAACTCAACGAAGAAACGTTTTCTTTTTGGGTTTCTCTAATGTGTACTCGGACCGAGTCTATCATCTAGCAACTATCAACTTCCATCGTCAAAATGGATAAGAAGTGCAGGATGGGGATGCAAATGTGGCCGTCAAAGTTTCGTGACATCGCTGTCTTCGGAAGGCGCCCTTTTCGTTGCTCGTCAGACCCATGTATAACACTGTAGTGCAAAGATGAAAGAAGAGATGCCTCTAACATTGTTTTTTACCAATTACAGGCCCGGTTAGTCGCTTACCTACGCCTTTTATCTTATTCTGGTTGCCGTCCAAGAGCGAGGTCATTAAATGAGTACCATTGCGTGTAAATTCACCAATGTCGTTTACAATCTCGTTGCGGACGGGATTACAGGGGTCAAAACAAATCACCATGCTTTTTGGGTGGCGAGTCGGCTAGATGCACCAAGTCCGCATAGGTTTCCAGCCGCAAGCCACAAGAGTTCTTACACTCGATTAAAATGTCCTTTTTTGAATCCAGTATTTACTTAATCTATCATGTGTCTGACATGGTATTCACGGACCTATTTAAAAAGAGCTATGTCTGCCGTCTGCGCCACATTGTCCGTTTTTCTTCCCCGCTTGGCACATTCACAAGATATTTCGAAGGTCCGGAAATTTGACCATGCAGACGGACCCTCCGCTCATTACTCCAGCGCCAGACGCAGACCTGGTTGCCAAAATATTGATGCGCCAGGCGGATGAAGCCGTTACTTGTGGATATGTTGACGGAAACTCCAGTATGTTCCTCTTGATCTGAAGCTAATTTCAGAATATCGAAGTCTAATTCATTGAAGATACCGCTGTTACTTGCGCTGCAGGTTCGACATGCGCATCCAACCTAGTAAACAGTGTTCACTTTTGTTGCCAAGATCCTAACAGTTGTGTGATGCCCACAACCTGCTATGCTGCAACTGATGTCTCAAATGGTGCCTGCGACAACTCGTGTCTAGAAAACTCGTCTATTCTAAAATGGCAAGTACTTAGCCCTCCTCATGAACGGCAAATTCATATCTAATTTAGAATGCACAGCACATTCGCCGATTATCCGTACTGCTATACTCGGTCGTGGCTTGGTCCAACGCCCCTGTCTGGGTTTGGATGTGCGCCCAGTCCCTTCAAGCAAGATGTCCTTTCCAGGGTCATAGACCCATCACATAATACAGCGTCGCCAGCTACGTCGTCTACTCTTCGGTCCTCCTCTTCCGTCACCAATGCCACCAATGCCACCAATGTTACCAATACATCTACTCCCAGTACTGGTACTTCGACGACTACATCGACCCCTACAGATGTATCACACCATAATACCCCACCTCTCAGTAAAGGAGCAATTTCAGGCATCGCTCTTGGTTGCTTCTTTTTCGTATGCATTTTAATCACTCTCTCTGTTCCGAAGTCAAGGAAATGGATTTTCGGTATTTTCCGCTTCCACAGACGTCCCACGGATTCTACATCCGAAGGAGCTGAGCTCCGTTCAAACCATGGGAATGATCTCCCAAGTCGGAGAGTACGACCGCCGAGCATCCTCTCAGGTCCCTCCGTCGATCCATGGGACACCGGTCATTACGAGAATTATTGATAGCAACCTGCCAACTAGACAGCAATAAGGTTAGGATGTATTGATGTCTCTGAATACACTGAAAACGGTCATGTCTTCGGAAAAGGTTTCAAACCCTGACGTGTTCTAGCTGGAGCAATTTTCTTTCTGCTATATCCCACAATGAATGGTCTATGTGCACATCTCGCTCCAATTCAAACATAATGTTCCGAAGCGCAGTTTCCGCCGCTCCTTTTGATCTCCTCAGCTGATCGGAGTCTCTATTATGACGCTGGCTTTCGAGAATCACTTCTTGCGCAGCGAAACGAGCCCAGTATACCCGCGCCCGCCTGACCTGACCAGGGTAATCGCTTTCTTGCGCCAGCCGCAACGCCTCGCGGCAGGCGTTTTTAGCCATTTCGTGGTAGTCAAGCTTCTGGGAAACGTTGAGTCGGCGGCTTGAGCTCTCACTGAGATCACTGAAGCAGTCGGCTAGGCCAAAGTAAGCGTTCGTTTGATGGCGAGGGTCAGGTTTGTGGGACTGTTGCGATCTGTTCAGTGCTTGTTCGAATAGGGTAATCGCGTGTTCTGTATCAGTCCTGTGCACTGCTGAAAGCCGTCGGTTTGTTCCAGAAACAAGAAGGTTCGCAATTTCCTCTGTATCCGGGTTCGAACGTAGCAAAGAAGCTCCGTAGGACTGGTGAGCTGAAACTGTGGCTGGTGAGACGCTTTGTAGGGATCGACTAGATTCACTCGAATCACGCGAGGAGAAAGCCCCAGATGGCGCAGGGTAAGAAATGAGTTGTTGTGGTGGATGAGAGATGTGTTCTGCTAGAAAACCAGACGATCGATTGTAAAGAATGCGATGTGGGGAAGTTTGCTGGTTCACTTGGAGTAGACCAGAGTTGAGAGCCCGTTCATGCCCTTGTGTCACGGAGCCATAGCTCACGGGCGTCGTGGGAGGTGAGGTTACTGTGCCTGAAGTCAGAAAACTATCAATATCGTGGCGCTAGATAGTAATAGCTCAATTAGCTATAGCTTGATTCCAACTTACGTACTGAAAGACGCTGTTCTCTCCCTTCGCACCTCATAGATCACATCCTTCATAGCACCAACGAACTGCTTGTACCCTGCTTCATCCCGACTTCCAAATTTCACCATGGTACGATGATCGCGCCGGAGAACGGATGCGACTATTTCGTTCTGGCCATCAATGACTGCAGACTCCCTCGTCACAATCTGAGAAAGGCAGTAAGTAAAGCGCGCGGTAACTCCAATTTTCACGGATTTTAGTCTTACTATTCCTCCAAGTGGCATGGGAACACTTTCACAGAAAGTATATATTGTGATATCCGGCTGCGGAGGGACCATCTTCGTCCTGCTGTCTCGTATTCTGCGCCTGAAAACCGAAAATTCATCTCGAAGCATCTGAGTTGTGTTGGCACCTATCTGAAGCTCTCTGAGATTCTCGGTCGATGTTGGAACCCCAAATGCAGTCAACCATGCTGTGCCCCAGGTTGCCAAGTGGGCAGCAGTTGCACCGCGATGTGGTGTTCCCGCAAAGATGATTGCTCTCGTGCTCGATGCTGCAAGTCTCCTTCGGCGGAAAACGTCTCCACTGCTTGGATCGTCTTCGTCCCAAGCTTTTGCTAGGGCCTTTACGGAACACCGTGTAAGCATGTGCATACGGAATAAAACTTCCTGCAAAAACGTACTCTTTTGATAATCAAACCCCCTAAGCTGTGTCCGAAAAATATAAGCGGACGTTCACGCTGATAGTCTTCCCGTCGCATATCAGCCAAAGCTGCTAGGAAGGTGTCTGCCGTGCTAGCGATAGTTTCACGGCCCGCTCGACCGAAGAAGTTTAATACATCAGCGTCGAAGCCGAACTGTACGACTTTAGATGGATGGAAGCCAAATAACCGGCAGAGTGCACCCACCCCCATTATCCTTGCCTGAAGGACGCCTTCTACAGTAAGATCATGCCGGAGGAGATCCTTTGGCCATGTCACATGGGCCCTGCGGCCTATCCGCCCAGTGTTCTGCGTGAAAGTGTTTCCGATTGAGCCATTTAGTCCGTGGAGAAAGACAATACTGCATTATTGTAAATATTTTCAAAGCAAAGCAAAGCCTTATATGGGAAGCTCTTACTCGACAAGGCAATCAGCATCAGATTCGGGCGGTGTTGGTTGCCAAAGCATCTTCATCAGGCGTTAGCATTTTTCCATCTCCAATATACCCAAGTGTGTATCTGGCAGCAACACGTACCATGCCATACCGTTCGTCCGACATGATTGTCTGATATGTTCATCAAAATACAACAGTGTCTAGAAGAGAGGATGCTGAAGGGACTACCAGAGTGGACGCAGTAAAATAGGTAGGCAAGGCAAAGGCACGGGAAACGCCACAAAGGGTCACCAGCAGGTACTCCATGGGCTATGGGTGCCGAGCTGAAATCACAAACTTAGCTGGTGGCGATGCGGCAGTCGATACATCCCGTACTTACTTAGCCCACTCACGCTCTTATCAGGCCTAGACAAGATGGCTAACGTGGAATAATCATGTCCGAGAATCCGATCAGCTTTTACAATAGTGCCGATCATCTTCGACGATCCCTTAATATGTCGGTGCTGGTGAGTGGTTACTTCTGATGAGTGAGTACTTTAGGATAAACAGCCGAGAGGGAAAGCCAATCATCAGCCCTTTTGCCATCAACATGGAAAGCAGTGGCCAATCATATTCAATTTCATATGGGAGATTCATATAGCTCGTAATGTCGGTTTTCTTTTCCCAGTCCTGTTGCCTGCTTTCTCACATCACTCGGAAGTTTCAGAACATTCGGGCGCATAAACGACTGGGCTGGTTGGCCATCTCGCAGCGAGCTACCGAAAAGTTCTTTGTCTAGCGGACAAAGAGAGTCGGTTCTGCAAATTGGAAATTTAACCCGGCGCATTACCTACTTTTTACCATGGCTATATGCATTAAATAATTTTTCTTCGACGTGCCTAGTCCTCGGTTAGTAGCCAAGTCAACAATCATCTCCCTGCGTTTGCTACGGCCGCTACGGCTAATCGAGAAAGATTCTTCCTTCTAACTGCAGACACCTTGTTCATCACGTGGAAAACGACAGGATATCTCTCTTGTCGTCGAAGACGAACGAAGTTCGATAGCCAATAAATCCTTGCATGTCCTTGAATGACAAGATCTAGTATTCCGGTACGACGCCATGCGCGGACTGTGCGACAAAAAATTGTGAATGCATCTATTCTAGCAGTGATCGCAGACGCAAAGTTTACGGTGTCGAGTCATCTGCATCGCTCCAAGCGTTGCACAGCATCGTGGGTAAGATTTATCCACCCACCAACTTCACTCTTCATTAATGTCACCAATATATAGAAAATATAGATGATTTGCATAATAAATAGATTGTGGTAGATACGGAACTTTAAAAATAGCAGAAAAATTCACTTCTGGCTAAAGTATGAGGTGTCTTAGTGCTTAGCTGCCTCTATGGCATCATCAGTATCGACACTGCAGGTAAATAGTACGGGGGTAATTACCCTTGTGGGCATCCGCTTTAGCATCATGCTTCTCCTCATTCTTCTTGTCCTTTAAAGCATCTTTGGCGGCGGTGGCTCGCGTGCCAAGGCCTGCATCCGAGTCCTTTGCGACGTTTTTGTTGGCCTCTTTGGAAGCCTCAGAACCAGAGCCTTTAATGGACTCCTCGACGTAGTGAGCCGCGTTCTGTTATAGTCAGTTTCACGCATGCAAAAAGTGGAGATCCCCTAGCGCACTTTAACAGTATCCATGTTGAAAGATATAAAATATATAGCAGTGATTATTCGGCCTAAAAGTTGTAGAGTAGTATTCTCGATTTGTGTATTGTGTGGGTGCAGTCGCTCAACATATATACTTATATATTGCACTATAATGTCATCAAATTGGAAAACCGAATGCACAACTCGAGATGATGTCAAGTGCCTCGTGATCTTGCCTTGATATAGTGTTACTTTGTGACGACAGCGTGCTTTTTCAGGAACAGAAACAATAAGCCGATGACGTAGTGTTTGGATAAAGCTTGAATTGTAGACAACAGCCATTTGCCGAGGGAAATATCTAAGGTCATGTGATAACATACACGTGCTGGATCGCGACACTTTTACATCAGTCTGACGTTTTAAGACAAGCGAAATTTTTATACGAGCAGCGACTAAGTTGGGACGATTATCCCTAATTCGTGTCCCTACTCGGTGCCAAAAAAGGTCGAAGAAAGCATCCTCGATGACCAAGCAGCAGAGAAGAGATCAGCCAAACACCCTCCAAAGGTGCGAAAAGCAGGTTTTAATCTTAATTGTAAATAATCCATATTGATGGGGAACAGGTATTGCTGCATAACAAGGACGGGAAGATAGTGGCCCATAACCCAGGGGCACTCGAAACTCAGACCCGCGATGCATAAGTATTTATGGAATCTACTTCGAATAATGACCATTCGATCGCTCATCAATTTGTCCGATAGAACATTTAGATAAATAAGATATGAAAGGCAGGCGCCTCCTCCCCGCGCGCCCGCTTTCTTCATTTACACGGATCTACTCTATTGGTTTGTGTTTCTTGTCTTGATCAAACGGTACCGTTGAAAACGAGCATATTGGACGAACTATCCTACTGGAGGTGATTAAAAAGGAAGGAGCTACCTGCAATATACTGAAAAGCCAACACAATTAAGGGGTTTTATAGCGATTGGATTGGCTGTTATTGGCTTGTTGGCGCGGGGGAAAATGGTACTGGTGACTTTATATTGACTACCGAAGGTTCCAGACACCATCGCAGTGTCCATAACGAATCGCGCTGTCGTCTCTGTAGTTGCTTTCTAATATAATAGTTCCTTGTTTCCATGACGTACAAAAGTATGATTCACAAGGAAATATTGTCGTTGATCATGGAACACACAAATTGCCACTGCAAAAACGTAATGTACATGCTCACCATTGTCCCTAAGCCAGATTGCGATACTGTAAACAATGTTGAAGCAACGTGATCACCAAATTTACATCAGCGTTCATAGTTGCGAGGAAAACAATCCAAGCTTGTGCAAATTTACTTTTGCTTGCCATCGAGGTCTGTAAAGAGCTCATACCCAAAGTCCTTGCTCGAATCATTGAAGCGAAGCTTCTTATCAAGCTTATCAATTTCCTTGATATCCGCATCCTGAAGCGTAAAGGCAATGTCGAAGTTCTGAGTGATTCGCTCCGGCGATTTTGACTTAGGAATGACAGAACGACCATGGGAGATGCCCCAGGCTGTAATGGTTCAGTCAGTGGTTGTAGGGTCAGGTTTGGTGAAAAGTAGTCAGCTTACCTAGAGCAACCTGATTCGAGGTTTTGCCGTATTTCTTCCCAATCTCCACAAGTTTTGGGTCATTCACCAGTTGACCATAATCCTCACGACCTCCATAAATCTCATTTTGGTTACCAAATGGAGAGTATTGGGTCACATGAATACCCTTCTCCCGGTGGAATTCCGCCCAGTACTTTTGTTGCAACCATGGATGCAGTTCCATCTGGTGGACTGCTGGAACAGTTGATGCATTCTCAAGAATACGCTCTAATTCTTCCTTGGAAAAGTTGCTGATCCCAATAGCCCTGGTTTTGCCAGTTTTGAGAAGGGCCTCCATCGCCTTGTAAGTCTGCTTTTAGGTTAACAACGTATATTATTGGGGGAAGTGGAAAGTATCACTAACGTCGACATAGTCGATTTCGGCAGTTATCAAATTGCCATCCGCATCCGAAGGAAACATATCGTCTCCACGCTTGAAGGCGACAGGCCAGTGCATGAGAAACAAGTCGAGATATTCGAGACCCAAGTCATCCAATGTTTGCTGCAATGCTTGACCAACGTCATCAGGATGGTGTTTATTGTTCCATAGCTTGCTGGTAACGAAGATCTCGCTTCGTGGTACGCCGCTTTGCCTAATAGCCTTTCCCACCGCTGGCTCAGTACCATAGCTAAACATTAGATTAGCTTGTGGTCACCAGTGATGAGTTATTTGAGTTACCATCTCGCGGTATCTATGTGCCGATAACCGGCCTGAAGAGCTACAAGAACTGCAGCCTCCTGAGCAGCTTCATCTTGCCACGTTCCAAGCCCAATGGCAGGGATCTTGGCACCGGTGTTGAGCTTAAAAGCCATCTGTTCCTTTGAAGCCATTTTGTTGGTAGGGGTAAGGATGAAAAGCGTTCGATACAGAAAAGATAAAATAAGTTACTGATGCGAAAATAGGAAAAGGTCATTTCAATAAAATAATGGATCTTATGTTTATATCAGGATAGACACCTTTACATCAATAATACATCACAGATAGCCTGATCTTGGCATGGCAAGTCTTACGTTGTGACGACAACACGTTTCTCCGGATGCAGACTTGTCTCTCATATTATTTTAATATGCCTGCTTGAATATCTAGAAGTCAAACCTGGAACTCAATGACGTAAATCTCCTGGATCTTAGTTGTAGGGTCCCAGTATTGAGATATCCCTGGTTGCTCCACTCTGAGGCTCGTTCAATGTGACTTCAGTATGACGCAAATTTGTAAGATTTCTTCTTTCCTTCCCTCCAAGATCCATACTATGCAATCGACCCCTGACAGCTAGCCTGATGAAGATGAATTCTCAGGATGTGGTTGTTGGACAAAATTCACGCTGTAGTCGATGCTAGCCTTCACTACTTGAGACTCACCGAGGATCGACAGGTCGGCTGGCTAACTCTGGATTGCAAGTCAGGCTATTTTAAAACGAAACAGCGATGCCTTTGGAGAAAGTTAAAGCTTCTGTTGCTGTTCAATCCTATAGCTAAATAGATTGGTCGGATGCGGTGGGCGGTAGGAGCTCGCTTTGGAAGACTTCCCTGGTCATTATTATTGCGGAGCGATTCTCGATGCAGGTTAATTGGCACATCTGGTGCAAAAATACTGGGTCCTAGAGAGCCTTTCGTCCGCTTCAGAGGGGTTCTTCCATTCTGTCTAACTGGACAGAGGCAAATATGATGGCGAGTACATCGGTTCACTGTAAAGCACTTCCTCCCACCCACTCACCTCCCCAACCGTTATCTTCCCCTCGACCTCACGCTACTTCACAATTACTGATCAGTGCCATGTCGGAGGACTTGGCCTTCGATGTCCTCCACGCCAGGCCGGGCAGGCGAGTCGACGCGAGACCGGGCGGGCGACGGTGAGCGTGTGCTAGCGCAACCCGTGATGCTGGGCCGATAGTGCTGGCCGCTGCGGTGGGCCCGCATTTGGACCACCTGCTTCCCTATGTACTCGTGGAAGCCAGACAGCAAGGACTCCTCGTCATCTTCGATCCAGAACTCAGATTTCGGCCGCTCAATCAGCTGGCCCGCGTCATCCTCCATCTCCTCATAAATCGTGAACAGGACCCGCTGCTGCTGCCGGTCCCCTGTGTCCCAGTCGTCCAGCTCCAGAGTGCGCGGCAGAATGAGGCGCGTGTTGGCGAGGCTTTGGAAGAAATATTCGTCCGCGCAGTCAGCGTCCCATAACCACCAGATGACCCGCTGGAGCCGGTCTTCCGTCGGCATCCCGTTGCGAATCCACCGGGCCATCTTTGCGAACTGAGCCATGTTGAGATTGCGAAGATGAGCCAAGTTCAGCACCGGCTCGAGGTCGACCGGGCTCGAGGCCACAAGGTCCTGCCACCACCGATTCAGCACACCGGCCTCCCTCCATTGCGAGCCTAGGATCGCGCGCACCGTGCTGATGGGTCGGTTCAGGTACTCCGGGATGCCGGGAGGAGGCTTGTACGGCTGCATGACGATTTCATCGATGTGCCCAAGCGCGCGCTCCTCGACGCCGGGATGGCAATTTTGACACCACATCTCCATGCAAGGCAGCGTTCTCTGGACATCTGCTTCGATATCCGCACGTCGCTGGGCGAGTCGCTGAAAACGTCGCTTGTTCCTGATCTCTACCATCTCTGCGATAGTCATTGTTTCTACCCACCACTCCGTGGGATCGTCACTGTCATCTCCGGACTCGTCTGACGACCTCATGTCTGGCGGAGTATGCTCCCGGTTTCGATCACGCAGCGCAGCCAGTTGGACTTTGTACCGCTCCTCGATAAACCTATCGACTTGCTCCTCCGTGTAATGGCCTTCCTCAATGGCCTTGATCAGCCAAGGAGCGAGCTGCTTGATGCTCCGTTCCGGGCGCGCGGTCCGATCATACGCAGACCAGTCTTCAGTATCGGCTGTGCACACCCACATGTGTCGTGTCTGCTCTGAGCACTCATCGCAGACTTGCCTCAGAGATGTAGGCCAGAATCGCAGAACGGTCTCGTGCTGGCACATAACCCCTGCGCGATATCGGTATCGCAGATCTCTCAGCACCGCTGGTGGCAGAGGTGCAGCTTCTTCTTCGTCCTCTCTCGGGGGAGGCGTGCGAGGCTTGTAGCAGAGAGGAAACGGGGGCACCCAATCGCTCTGAGGCTTTTTTCCAGTGATGATGGAGGTCAGTCTTCCGTTGAAGGGACGACGTTTCTTCAAGCGCCGCTCGGCTTCATTCACGGGCGAGTCATTGAGACCCTCGCGGAGCTTTATGCCAAGATCTTTGGCTTTTTCGAAATACCCGGCATCAGAGCCATGATCGTCTCCGGGCTCACCGACAGGGTTTCCGTCATCTTCGTCCTTGTCTCCCTCAGAGCTTCTGCTGAATTCGGAGCCCTCTGAATCCTCATCGTCATCTTCCTCGGTGTCGTCCAGGTTGGTGGTCTTCAGTGTCAGCTTCGGTCGGTTCCGCGGAGGAGTAGCTGGAGCGTTCCCTGCGTCACTAAGTCGGATTGGATGAATCACCGGCCGAAAGAAAGTAAGGGAAATATGTTCCTTATTGCTGCATCGCGGGCCTTCTTGGCCCGCGATGGGTGTAGGCGGGTTGACCAAGAACAGCGGAACGGTCACTGCGCTCGGGCGGGATGTTGGTTGGTCTCTCCTCGCACCCTGTGCCGAAAGAGGAAGGTCAATGATCGTGGAGGATTGCGAGACAATCGGCGCACTTTCAGAGGGAGCACCCGCGAATGCTGGCGTTGGCTGTTGGATGGGCAGATCAATGGTTCGCGATGTAATCGAAGCCGCATCTCTACGTCTGTAATCACTTTGCCGTGGCGTCGTGCTCCCTGATGAACCAGAATCCGGAGGAGAAGGGGTACTAATGAGCCTCGGCGGAGTCGACACACTCTTTACACAAGCAAATTCTTCAGGACATGACGTTCTGCTGCGCGACGGCTCTTCTGGAACAGGTGGCTCAGTGTCTCTGAAGCTCAGCGTGATGATCTCTCCGCTGTTGACATCATCCGGGTCTGGCGCTAGATTTTCCAGTTCATCATGGCCTGGAAACGATGCCTCGACGGTGGCCGCGATTGTGATCGTCTCTCCATGAGGACGAATAGTGGGAAGTGATGTTGCTCTGCTGTCTTGGGAGACCCCTGGCGTCGGTGTAGGACGGGCAATCTTCCTGGGCTGATTGACGACAATCCGGGGACGCGCCACTGGCTCCGGCTTTACTGTGAAGACATTGTGTCGAGGCAGGTGGCGCCGTGGTGCCCAGTCCGCAAGAACAACGGCATTGCTCCAGAGAGTCAGCGGGCGAGCGACAGGTCTGGGCTCCGGCTTGAAGATGCGGTCGCGCGGAGGAATCGCGCTCACATTTCCCCTGGGGTCCCTCGAAGCAATCAGAGGATGGAGCACTGGCTGCGGCTCAAAGATGCCGCGTCTCGGCGACTCTATCTGCGGATTAGGACTCGTGATGTCTCCCGACAGGGTTGGGGTTGGTGCAGTTGAGGAAATATTCACTTTACCCGACGGTAGCTTGAGTATGCCTTTCAGCGGCTTATTCTGTGCAGCAGGACCGGCATCGCTTCCAAGCTCGCATGAAGCGCGTTTGTAATTGCTCGCCGCGCCCAGTTCTTGTTCGGAGAAGCCGTCTTGCAGTGGTTCTGCCCACGGAGCTGGACCGAAAATTTGGCAGTCTCGATCTGTCACCTCTGGTCCGAAGGTGACCCGTTTCGGTCCCTGCCGCGGTGGGACAGGGGTGACAGCAACTCTAGGCACTGAGACGGGTTCAGAGCGGGCAATGGCGGCGGCAGCGCGCTGCGCCGCAATACCTTCGCGCAACTCCCTCTGTTGCTGTGCAGTAAGTGTGGAGGGTCTTCGCTGCTGCTGCTGCATTGGCATGGGTTCAGGGCGACGACCTAGTCCTTGCTCTGGAATCAAAATAAGTCTTCGCGGTGGAAAAGGCCTAAACCTATTGCGTTCTCGAGAGTGTCCTGGAGCGACCGGTGCAGGACGACGAGCAGTATCAGGATGGACTGGGATTCCGCGCTGAGGTGGCACGTTTTGTGGAAGCGGCCGTTGTCGGGGAAGGTGCCGTGTCGAGATAGCGTCCGGGTAAGGAGATGGTCCTGGGTCTGGGATGGACCTCACTTTGTCCTGGCACTGCCGAGTCGTCGCGCCTGGAAGAGGGCGGTTCGGGACAATGTGCTGCACGATAGTGTCGGTGCATCTTCTCGGTGGCGTTGCTCGCGCTGGATATCCCAAATCCCTTAGAAGTTGGCCCTGTCTGTCCTCGCGCCGCGTAACTGACAGGGTAATTGAGCCATGGCTGCTGTGTGTCCATGGTTCGCGGCCTGCAAAGCTGGAGGGGAACCTGGACGTTGGCAAATGCTCAGACGGCGTCTGCTGCCCCTGACTTGTGTTTCTGGCGCGATATTCAGTCGCGATCGGATGGTCGATCAGCACGGCGCCGAGGTCTCGCAGCTCTGATAGTTCATCGTCTCCATCATGCTGAACACTCCCCTCGACGCTCTCGATATGTGAAACTTCAGGCATCTCCTCTTCTCCGGTACAGGAAACGTGCTGAACATTCTCTTCAACATTTTCAATGTACAAATTGTCCGTCATCTCCTCGTGCGACTGTTCCTCAACAAATTGCTGCTCGACGTCCTTTGTACTCATCTGGTGACCAACCAAAGCGAGACTGGATCCGACAGGCTTGCACTCCTGAGACGCTTCCTGAGAAACCTTCTCCTTGAGGTCTTCCTCCTCGTGATTCTCCTCAACCTCCACGCTGGGACTTGCAATCTCCATGTTTATATGGACCACTGTGGGCAGTCTCTCAGCAGGGAATGGACCTCGTTGCTCTAAGCCTGCAGTCCATGGGCTTGTCTCCTCCCCAGGCTGGAGGCCCTCAAGTGGAAACCCCTGCAGCTCAAACCTCTCCAGCGTGTCCTCGGACATGTTGAGAATTGAAGATAGGGCTTGTGCACATGTATTCAGATGAGAGGATGCGGCTGGGGATGAAGACAGGTAAGGTAAGGTGGGAGATGGATGGGGCTTGAAATGACGGTGGGTTAAGGGCAGAAGAAAGAAAGTGGCAGCGTGTTATTTGTGCACGCATCGTGGTGAGTCGCTTATGTCGGCGACAACAAGGCTTGTGTCGTCGGTATGGCGATCCCGTCTGGTATGGTGAATGGGGGAACTGGGCCATTATGATACTATGTGTCTACATGCAGATGAGCTGCTGGTGAGCTTCTATGGTAGGTTGTTTGTAGCCCTCTGATTTTGGTGATGTTGACCAGCAGGAGATGAGAAGTAGGGTTGGCGTGGTCCCGTGATTTGGTATACTATGCATTGTAGAACTCTTGTAGACGCAGGATACAAAGACGACCTCCAAATAATGATTCATCACAATCAGACCTTGTTTTTCATTCCACGTTCTTTGTGCTTGGAGCTTTGTAGTGGATGACAGAGTATCTCTGCCAGTGATATATTCCGAGCGAAAGATCCCACCTCTACACAACACACCCTCTCTGTCTATTTCTGCCCCAGGATAAATGACCCCATACTTCTGATGGGTATCCTCCAATCAAACCGTCTCACAATCACGTTCTGTGGATATTAGTCACCAGTCCATACATGTCGGGCGGTCCCGAGCATCCGCCAATGGATCTCGCCGGGAACTGCCCTTGACCTGGTGCCTCAGGCCCCAGGGGCCCCATCTGCCGGCCGGGCAACCGACTGCTTTTAATCCCCAGGGATTTTCTGTTTCCATTTTGCGGAGAGCAAATACCCCGTGTCACTCTGCTCTTTGATTATTGTACACCGTGGAACAGTCATAATAATCTAACCGATCGAGGTGCACTATTGTAAGTGCTTATGTACCTCGCCTGTTCTCGCTGTTCCTGTCGAGCCCAGCCCAGCCCCCTCTCCCTCGTTCGCTGCCATAAACAAACACGCGCCCCCCTGTCCCTCGACTGATCCTCATCTTCTCTGCCCATTCTTCCTCTTTCGTTCGCCGGAATATTAATTCTCCCTTCAGTTTCTCCCACCGGATCGATCCCTTCCCTGAGCCCAGCATGTCCGTCAAATTCCAGGAAGAGACCTTCCGCACGGTCGCGGGTGGAAAGCCCGAGGACCTGGCGCACCGCGTCGGTGAGCGCTTGACCGGAGGCAAGACGCAGGCCGGCTATCTGGCGGTACGTTCTTGGATCTCAATTTCCCCGGAAGAATGATGTCTAACCCGAGGAATGGATCGCCACTATGTAGGCCTACCTTAAACAGCTGCAGAAGAACCCGCTGCGCACCAAGATGCTCACCTCCGGTGTGCTCTCCGGTCTGCAGGAATTGCTAGCCTCGTGGATCGCGCATGATGTCGGCAAGCACGGCCACTACTTCAGCTCGCGCGTGCCCAAGATGTCGCTGTACGGCATGTTCATTGCCGCGCCGCTGGGCCACGTCCTCATCGGCATCCTCCAGAAGATCTTTGCCGGCCGGACGAGTCTGAAGGCCAAGATTTTGCAGATTCTCGTCAGCAATCTGATTGTACGTGCCCCCCCTCTCCACACAAGGGGAATGCTGACCGCCATCCGCACAGATCTCCCCGATCCAGAACTCCGTCTACCTGTGCTCGATGGCCGTCATCGCCGGCGCGCGCACCATCCACCAGGTCCGCGCCACCGTCAAGGCCGGCTTCCTGCCCGTCATGAAGGTGAGCTGGGTCACCTCGCCCATTGCTCTGGCTTTCGCCCAGAAGTTCCTCCCCGAGCACACCTGGGTGCCGTTCTTCAACATTGTCGGCTTCTTCATCGGCACCTACGTCAACACCCATACCAAGAAGAAGCGCCTCGAGGCGCTGCGCAAGCGCTACAACGACCGCCGCGGCGGCGACTACGAGAAGCGCGACTACAACCCTTAGGGGGAATGGCCCTGGTCGCGACCACGGGACCAGACGTGCCAAAATGTCGTCAGGACCCTTTTTCCTTTGTACCTTTTTTTCTCGGTGTTTGCATCTTCATCTTCCCCTGTATACATTCCGGGCATTTTAGGCATGCCGCAGATATCTGTCTGATTTACTTCTCCGAAATTTATGATGAATGGCCTTTTCTCCCATGTATTTCTCATGTTCTGCCGCTGAACATAATACTGGTGTCTTCCTATCGGCTGCGCCAATCGTCTCTCTCTCTCCTCCTGCCTATAGAGTAGTTGCTAGATAGAGACTGGAAATGCGACCTGGTCAATAATGTAGCTGTTCTTGTACTGTGTCTGTGGCTTTTTCGTAAGGGGTTAATAATGCATAAGTCGACTTCACCCATCTCATCATCATCATCATCATCATCATTCGGCTCTTCTAATGGATTTAAAAATCACTCCAGCTCCATCTCAGACCCTTCCTTCCCTCTCTTCGCCGCAACCCAGCTCACAAAATCATCCAATGCCCCTGGCCACGCCCCATCGGGACTCCACCACCCAAATGCCTCATCCTCGCGCGTCTTCCGCATAAAAACTTCCGTCTGCTCCCACAGGTCTTTGTTGACGGGCTTCTTCCCTCGGCTCTCCAAAAACTCAAGCCACCAGTCCAACCACGGCGTCGACGACGTGTTCCACTGCACGCCGCCGTGGTCCGGCGTGAAAAAGAGCCGCCACTGCTCCATCGCGATCTCGAATTGCAGGTTGCGCTGCCCTTGCATCCGCGACAGCGGGAATGCGAATCTGTAGACTCGCCGGAAGGTCTCGGGCTCCGTGGGGATGCGGAGTCGCAGCTTTTGCGCGTAGTCGATCATTTTGGGGAGTGTGTCGCAGCTGTTCGTATGCAGTTAGTTTTGGATGCATTGTTTCTACTCAAAAAGTGCGCCTGCGCCTGGCCTTACCTCACATCTCGCCAGCCCTTCACGAATTCCTCGCGTGTAAACTCGCCCATGGATGGGCACTTTAGCAGCTCCGCCACGGCGAGACAGGCTACCTCGTCCAACTGCACTTGCAGGTCGCCTAGGTATTTCATGGCACCTTCGATGCCGATTCCATCCGGGTTGTCATCCGGCGAATCTGCCCGTAGAGTTAATGTGGATCTTTTCTGTAGGCAAGAGTCTTACCTCGGTAGCTGTCAAAGATCTTGCTGATTGCGGCTGTGTTGCCTGATGAACCGGCATGGTTGCCTTGATAGTATCTGTGATGGGGGTTACTTTCTGTTTGCATTCTCGGCCTGTCTGCTCTCTGTGCGGTGGCTTCTACATGGTTCCTGGGGCTATGTATGATATTGACATGCAGACAGACCAGGAAACCATGTCATACCGACAGACAAAGGAGTGGGAAAAGGAAACAGAACTTACATATCAACAGCTTGCTCAACCTTCCACCCGGCAGCCCGGAGGAACTGTATACACATTCAACAAGTCAGTCATACAATTCAAGACACGTGATCACAAATCGAGAGCTAAACAGCCGCAAAAGAACAAAAGAACGTAAACCCAAACATACCCGGGCAGCAACTGCATCCTTGGTCTGAGTCAGCGCGACAAACTGGGCGATAGCTTGTTTCTGGGAAGTCGAGTACGGCGGCATGGTGGGGGTTGTTGGGGGAGTGAGCTCGCCGGTGGGATGTGAGGTGGGGGGAGAGCGATAGAGAGAGGCGAGATGGAACAGGGGAGACGAAGGGAACAAAGGAAAAAGAAAGAGATGACGAGCGAAGAGAGTCCCGTACTCTGTTAGCTTGCAAGGCCCCGACTCGGTGATGGTTTGTAGCCTCATCGTCGCTGCTGCCGATGGCTGAGGCAGACGCTGTGCTGACTCATCCTGATGCCTGAGGCACTAACAGGCATGAAATAGTTATCCGAAGGGTTGTTGGATCGTTACCTCAAATACAAAGAAGAATGGAATATGATGCTTGGATTCAATTGATGGCATAGCAGATAATGGTATACACATAGATAGAACAGTACTTTTGACCAGATATAAATGGCAACTCCCAAAACTCCTGCAATATGCTCTTTCCACCCTAGGTCGTGAACAGCGTATCTTCCTATCGAACCGATCAGCTTTGGGGACTATAGAGACCCGGGATTTGGTAAAACTCACATCACGCAGCCATTCTCCAGCATCGGCTTGCCGGACTGAAACGCTTGCAATTAGCGTGTCTCCGTAAGACCAATGGCAAAGATGTACTTACAAACAACAATAGCCGTGGGCTCCAACTTTCGCGTTTCAGCGGTCGATCTCGCTGTGACCCCAAAGCCCTAGAGAGGAGGGACGACTCAGTATGGACCGCATGTATAGCCTACTACAACGACCCAAAGATGAAACGTACCAGTGGCTTGTCATCCGCACTCAGCACGATAACGCCCTCGTGCTCTGCCATGTCCTGTGAGAATCTCCCAATATGGGCCTTTACCAGATTACCGCCGTAGAGGAAGGGCATTTCTCCGTTGCTCTTGACCCAGACCCGGTTCCGTGCGTGTGGTGCGATGACATCTAGAGCGGTGATATTGACGCGGAACTTGCCGGTCTAAAGGCGCGGAGTTAACTCGGGTAGTAGACCAGGGCCGAGAGACGCGTGCATACCTTTGTGAACTTGCCGATCATCGTGCCCGCCGAGAGCAGATTGGCGCGCGGGACAGACACGGCCAGGTTTGCCAACTTCAGCGGGAGATAGAACACGCGGCTGCCTTGCAGACGGAAGACATGTCGCTCAGCCGTAGCACCATCGTCAGACGGTGGTGCGATCAGATTGTTTAAACTACGACCGCAGTAAACGGCGAGCTTGGAGAACAGTCTGCAAATCGGTCCGGTCAGCCAGAGCAATTTCGGAGAGATGGAATACACACGTCTTGGTTTCTTCTTCCGTGAGACTGCGCATGATGTCACAGGGTGTCCAGCACAGACGGATATCGGTATCGAGACGAGGATTGCGAAGATCTTGGGGTGAAGGGTAAAAGGTGAAGTTGTCGGACCTAACTAAAAATTCCCAGGGACGGGGCCGGCAGAAAATTCTTGGCGGCCAGCCGATAGAAAAAAAAAGTTTCCGCCTTTTCTTCTTTGCAAAACTCATTAAGACTCTCACAAACACCATGGCGCGCGGTCCGGCTGTTAAAAGGAGACGTCTCAGTCCTCCTGGTGACGAGGAAAAATCATCACAAAACACCGACGATTTCCACACCCGCGCCAGCGAGTGGGATCTCGAGCAGGATTACGAACGCCGCCCGCGCAAGACGAACAAGAAAGACAACGAGCGAACTCGACTTCCGATCAAGACCTCCGAGGGCTTTGTGCACAATGTGGCCGAACAGGAAGACCCCGCGGAAGAGACTGACAGCTTTCTCGGCACGGATGACGACGAGATGGAGGATGCATCTGGAAACGAGGATGAGCCCGAGGAGGTCAAACCCAAGATCCCATTAAAGGTACAGATTGTGCAGGCCAAGGAAGAACTCGCACGCCTGGCAACTCTCATCAATGAGGATCCGGAGGAGCATATCGCGCTGTTCAAGACCATGGCGGAGATGGTGGAGAAGGAGGACTCGCCGGTCACTGTGAAAAAACTGGCTCTGGCAGCCCAGGGAGCGGTCTACAAGGATGTTATTCCGGGCTATCGCATTCGTCCACTCAGTGAAGAAGACATGACGGCAAAGGTTTCGAAGGATGTGCGAAAATTGCGGAACTTCGAGCAGTCTCTGGTGTCGGGATATAAGGCCTACGTCCAAAAGCTGGCGGTGCTCACCAAGCCAGCCAAGGGCGAAAATGCCGGTGTAGATGCTGGGTTGAAGAGCATCGCCATCAACTGCGCTTGCAACATGCTCTTGGCTGTGCCGCATTTCAATTTTCGCAGTGAGCTGCTCAAGATCATCGTGAACCGCCTCGCCAGAAGGCAGGTGGATGCCGATTTTGTCAAGTGCCGTGAGACTCTGGAGGAGGTTTTCCACAAGGATTCCGATGGAGTTGTCTCACTCGAAGCGGTCCGCCTCCTTGCCAAGATGTTGAAAGCTCGAGACTTCCGCATCCACGAGAGCGTCCTGGACACTTTTCTTCATCTGCGTTTGCTCGGTGAGTTTTCCATGAAAGGCTCGCAAGACCGGGTCGATCGCGAGACGGAAGAAACCACCGGCGGCAAGAAGCAGAAACAGAAACGAGAATTCCGGACGAAGCGAGAGCGCAAGGTCGAAAAGGAGCGCAAGGTGGTGGAGAAGGACATGAAGCAGGCAGATGCACTGGTTTCGCACGAAGAGAGGGAGAAGAATCAAGCTGAGACGTTGAAACTGGTGTTTGGTGTCTACTTCCGCATCCTGAAAGCACGCATTCCGACTCTGATGGGACCAGTGCTGGAGGGGTTGGCCAAATACGCGCGTCTGATCAACCAAGACTTTTTCGGTGATCTCCTCGAGGCCCTGAAGGATCTTATTGGACATGCAGAACGCACCGAAATGGGCGAAGATGTCGACGACGAAGCCGAAGAAGACAGCACCGAGGTCTCCGAAACCGCCGCGCGAGATGCTCGCCGTGCAATCCTCCTTTGCACCGTGACTGCGTTTGCCTTGCTCGAAGGCCAAGATGCCAGCAAAGCCGCGGCAACCCTCCACCTAGACCTCAGCTTCTTCATCAAGCATCTCTACCGATCCCTGTACGCCCTCTCCACAAACCCTGAAGTCGAATTCAACCCCAACACCGCTCTCCGGCTTCCGGATCCGAATGCTTCGGAAGACCAGACACAGCCTCGCTCAAAGAACAAAGTCAACTTCCAGACACCTATGGTTCTTCTCCTGCGGTGCCTGCAGTCCACTCTCATATCCCGCGCCCATGGCCTCCCCCGGCGAGTCGACTAGCCAGTTTCGCCAAACGGCTTATGACGACCTCGCTCCAGCTGCCTGAGAAATCAGCCATCGCTACCCTCGCCCTAATGAGCCAGGTCTCAAAGCACAATGCCCGCCGCATCTCGTCACTGTGGCATACGGAAGAGCGCAAGGGGGACGGCGTGTTCAATGCCTTCGCCACAGATGTGGACGCGACGAATGTCTTCGCTGGATCAGTGTGGGAAGGCGAGTTGTTGCGCCAGCATTACTGCCCGCAGGTGCGCGATGCTGCGTTAGAGATTGAGAAGATCCTGGCGACCTCTAAGTAAATACTTCCTTGCCGTTGTCATGTACCTCCCTTATCTTATGAGAACATTTTCCCATACCTATACCCTTTCCCTAGAAGAAATGGAAATCGATAAAAGCGTTTCACATACATAATTTATCACATTAATATCGTAAGCTAGTTCAATTCTACATTTTGTGGATGATCTTAATTCCCCCAGAGCGATCAACAACTCCCCGAATCTCGTCTCCACAGTCATCTGCAGTGTAGCTCGAAACCCCAGGATCAACCCTCCGACGTGGTTAAAATGAGAAGCAGGGGCTGTCATATCCAAGCCATACTTCCCGATGATAGCCTCAGATAACTTGTCTGTGTATCCAACACCTCTAACCCCAAGCCACGAAGCTGAAACTCCCACACCAGAAAGAAAAAGACGAGCAGCACAATGAGAAAAGAAAAGCAAAGCAAGAGACCAGAAAGTGAAACACAGCTGCAAAGAAAAGCCAAGCGAGAGAAAATAAGAAAAACCAGAACGACGACACCTCGAATGCCAGACCCAGAAGAACCTACTGAAGTTCGTCGCCAGCAGTCGAGCGAGATACACGCTCCGACCCCTTATCCCATTCCTGCCTATCCCACTGGTGATTCGAAAGAAGCGGCACCTTAGGTTCATCCTCGCTCGAGGGTGTGGTGCAAGGAGGAAGAGCAGAGTGGAAGCTTGCGGCCGTTGAGAAACTTTGCGTAGTGGTCGGCACCACATGCTGGCTTGGTGAACCTTCTTTCGAGTGCTGTGTTTGAGCTGAGATACCTGCAGGACTAGATGTGTTCTCTGGCAGAGAAGAAAGAGAAGCAACAACAGCAGGCCCAATGCTCGTAACATCAGAGACCATGCCGTCTTCCTTCTGCTCCTGCTCCTGTCGAGTCTTGATCTGTCGCTCACGCATGATAGCCTGTTCCACAGGACTGCGCAAGGCAGGGTGAATATTGCTAGGCGTGGTGGTATTGCTGCTGCGATTGATGTCGTCGACGACGCGGTTGATGATGGAGCGCGGGACCGGGGGGATAGGCGGCGTGGAGGAGTTAGATGCGCGAAGCTCGTTAAAGTTATTACTGTCACCCTGCGGGGAAGAGATGCCTTCTTTCGTGCTCGAACGACGAGATGACCATGGGAACTTGTTGCCGCTGGTCGAGGTGTCGCTCGCCTGGCGACGACGACGGAGTCCGAACCATTTCTTTGCGTCCTCGTTGCTACCAGGCTTGGGAGGAGAAAGTTTGTCCTTGGATTCCAGCACGCCGTCGATAGTGCGAGGACTCTTCTTGGACCCGGAGACGTTGCATGGCAGGGACATGGTGGCCTGCGTCTCTGTCGAGGCGAGGCGAGTGCCACCAGGCTTGCTGGAGAAGGGCGAGCTAGGGGCAGGGACAGGCTTGATAGCAATGGGCCTGATCAAGGACTCTTTACTCCCAGAGCTGGATTGACTGCCACGCTGAACGAGTGTCGTTTCAGCATCCTTCTCCCGCTTTGCCTTCATCTGAGCAATCTCGTTCTCGATCTCCGCATTCTTCAGCTGGTGGTACTCGATGAACCGCTGATTATCATTAGAAGAGTGCTTCACGATGAGAGTATCGGTCTTCGCGTTGAGTTCTTCGTAGGACCGCGCCAGAGCCCGGATCTCGCCCTGCAGCTCGTCGAGCATCTTCATCTCAAACACGTTGAACCGCCGCTCCATCACCCCAATCTCCAGACGCATATCCAGCTGGAACTTCATCATCTCGCGCGAGATCTCACACTGCTTGGCGAAGAGATCGGATTTGGCCCGTGCGAGATCAGCAATACTGTCGATCTGATTCTGAAGTTGCTCTCCAATCCAGAAAGACAGATCCTCAAGCTTCTTGCTGATTGTGTTGATGCCAACGTCTGTCTGCTTCTGGATTGTTCGGACAATTTCCACAATTTCGTCAACATGTAAGACTGTGCTGCGGTTCTGGATCTCAATAGGAATGGGCTGGCCCAACGGCATGTTGGCCTTTTGAAGCCGCTCCTGAAATGAAGGCAGGTAGTCTGGGAGTGTGGTCACTGGCGGTTCATCCTTGCTGCTGTATGCACTTAGAATTGAACGTTGTCCCAGAGCCTCAGGTCCTGGTGTAGGTGTCCGGGGCCTCTTGAATCTCTTTGGTTTCTTGTCCGACTTCTCCAACCAGCTGGCGGGAAGATACTTGACTTTGCCGCGACCTTCAGCAAGGTCACCGATATTGGGAGGCGAGTCCTCAGTTTCCGGGTAGTCAGGCATCCAGGGAATATCTGGGGTGTGAGGAGTGCGTACGACCGACTGCGAGGACAGTCGGTCGAAGCTAGGACATGTGACGACAATGTCTGGACGCAGCTTTGAAGCTGAAATGGGTGGTGATACCAAGGAAGACATATCCCCATCCTTGGCGGCAAATTCTGAAGAAGCCAGTTCAGAGATTGTAGTGGTATCTTTGTACAGACTCGAGGTCCTGATGGGGGTCATGGTGCCCTGCGCATATGAGAATGTTCCAGAAGGAGGCAAAGGAATTCTGCTTCGTGCTGCAGCAAAGAAAGACGAAGGGTTCGACGAGCTGCTCGTTCTGATGACAGACTTGGTCACTTCGATTGGACGTTGCGGCAGGGACTTAGGGCTGCGAATATTGGCTAAAGGAGGTGTAACGCCCATGGTGGTCACTGAGCGTCGAGCCATGAGGTTAGGGCTTGCGGTCGTGGATACGACAGAAACACGAACAGGCAGCGGCGAGTCTTTGGCACATTCCTTGCGCAGGTCCTTGAAACTGAGCTTCGATTTGATAAGATCCAGCTTAGACCTTTTCTTGTTCTCGCCGGCATCGTAACCGGACTTGTCAAGGCTAGCGGCTTCGTGGATGCGAGGTGGGTCTGTAACGGCGCGCTTCTTCAATAGATGCGGCCTGCAGGGCGACAGACTGGCCTCTTCCACATGGCGCAAAGTTGGGGAAGTCGGCTCAGGCCTAAAAAGGCGCGGCTTGGGCATGGGGACAGCCAGGTCCTTGTCATAGTCTAGACTCGAACCCGCGCGGGCAAGACTCGGGCGCTTGGGCATGGGTGAGTCTGAACTGGCTGTTATCTTGGATCAGTCGTTTTTTTTTGGATTTGTATGTGGTCTTTCATACAAAGAGGAAGGGGGAAAAGGGTTTTGAAAACTTACCAGAATCCTTTCCAGCGGCTAGATATTCAAGATCCTTGGCTTTCATCTGGGCGAATGCATTGCCAGGCTGAATGCGTGGAGGATGGATATCAGAAGAGGATATAGAATGGACGCCCAGTCCAGGAGACGAGGGCCTCTGGGTAGCGGGGAAATAAGGGTTGTTGATGTAGAAAGAAGAGTTGTTAGATTCCTGTGCCTGAGTGGGCTTTTGGTTTTCCATCGTGCAAGTGAAGAAAGAAGAGATATCAGGTGCAAGATTAAGGAGTTCGAAGAGCAGAACGGTTGTGGGATACAGAGAGTGAGCAGCAGTGAGTGACGGCACAAGAAGAGAGGTATGTAGAGAAGGTGAAGAAGGAAGAGGTCAGTTGGTGAGAGATGAAGAGAAGAAGTTGTTGAAGTCCTGGTGGTAGAAGGTGAGCTTTGTTATGCGTTGCCTGCCAGGCAATATTTACTGGTAACAATAGCACACTTGTCATAATCCAGAACCTTTTTACGTTATTTCCACATTATTTCTACATTATTTCTGAACAAGATCAAATTATAACTACTAAATGCACCGTAGTTTTCCTATTGGCGGTATTGTGTTCACTATGAATAGTTCATGCTACGCAACATGCTACATCAGGAACGAAGAATACTGACAGGTACCTGATGTTTCCCCCAAAGGTTGGTAATTTATGGCCTTGTTACTCGCCATGACTTGAGCTGGGCCTACAGGACACCCTATATGCCGAGGGAAGAGTGTTTTCTGTCTAGAAACTATTCGATACCTGCTACAATGTAAGGGAAGATAGAATAAAATAAAGTCATCCATTAGGTCATCGTCATAAGTATCATTACACACATCCTGGAGGAATATCAAGAACCAACCCAATCTCAAAACGAGATCGAATCTTGAACGCATCAGAAACATGATCGGGAGACGACAGACATAAGAAAATCATCAAACCATAAAGAAACACAGAAAAGTCAAAATCAAAAAATAACAAAAACAGCATATCAGACGCAAAAGGAAATCGTAAAAACAGAAAAAACGGACGCAGATATCAAATACAGGGGAATCATGCGTGGGTAGAACATTCTGAACAGGGGAGAAGAGGGGGGACTTTTTTGGGGCCTTTTGCTCCTGGGGGAAACACTGGTTGTAGGTATCCCGAGAGCTGTGATAAATCAGATATAAATGTGCCACAGCAGCGCAAGTATAGCCACAACCAAGGCAATCAAGGTCAGGGGCCTGATGGAATCAAATTATGTTAGTACTGTTCCTGGGAAACGGAAGACGACAATGTAGGTGGATCTCGCGTCTCCCAACGTCCAGCACCAGGGGAGAAAGACCATGGCTCAAGGAAGGCGATCTCTTTATTTGTTGCTGCCCTTTCCACGACGACGGCGGAAGGGCGCAAAAATGGCACCAAAGAAGTTCACAAAGACGTTGCGCCAGATCGCCTTGAGCCAGCTGTCAGGTGCATTATTCAGAGAAACAGCAGTCACTGACCGATTCTGGCTCGGGGGACGAGCATCTCCATCTGTCTTACCGGCCGCGGCCGCGGACTTGCTAGTGGAAGCTTCAGGTTCTTCGACTACTTCCGGCCTTGCGTCCTCAACGCGGGCCTTCTTGATAGTCGATGGTTGCTCTTCACTGGCGCTAGCTGCGGTGGCGAGCTGGTCCGTGGAGGGGATGTTGAGCTTTTGGAGGAGGGCTTCGCGGTCGCCGGCGAGGGCTGCAAGAACCGGATCAGCATCCAAAGACAGAACAGAGGAACGGTTCAAGAGGAACGGGGTCGGCTTACAGTCTTCAGGCTGCGCCTCCGTTGTTGGAACCTTGGTCTCGGCGTCCTTGCCATCAATAACGGCCTTATTAGCCACTTCTGCTGACTTGGAGGCCTGCTGGTCTGCTGCAGGTGCCACTGTCTCGGGTTCCTTCGATTCAGACAGCACGCCAACCGCAGCAACACCAGCTGCAGCTGCAACACCAGCCCCGAGGATCTCAGGAGTCAGTGAATGATCCTTCACAACATCCTCGTGCTTTTTCTGCTGAGGCTCCTCGGTAGGTTCAGATTCAGAAGCCTGTTCGGGCTGCGCCTCGGGTTGAATAGGTTCATCTGCAGTACCCACTTCGGCCGCCCGAGTCACTTCTTTGCTTTCAGCTTCATACTCAGTCGCGGCTGGCTCAGAAGGTGCCTCGGGCTGCATCGTTTCATCTGCCTGCTCAGGATCTGCACCCTCGGCAGTGGTAGTAGCAGCCGCTGCCGCAGGTTCAGATACAGGCTCATCAGCCACCTTCTCTGCACTAGCAGCATTCTCCGCAGCAGGTTCTTCCTCAACAGGTTCCTCAACTGCCGGGGTCACATCTTGGACAGGCTTGTCGGTGATTGACTCTGCCACAGCGGGCGCTTCGGTGAGAGTGTCATCAGCAGCAGCTGGCTCGGCGTCTCCATCTGTAGTCAGCTGCTCGACTGGGGCGGAAATCTCGGGCACAGATTCTGGCACTGCAGGTTCCTCCGAAGTAGGACCTTCAGCAGATTGCTCAGAAACAGATTGGTCAATATCTGTAGCAGGATCCTCAGGCGCAGGTCCATCAACGGCAGGAGTTTCGTCACCCTCTTGAGGAGTCTCCTCAGTTGTCTCCACAGCAGTCGAATCAGCCGCAGGCTCGAGCTGTGTTTCCTCAACGGGCTCCTCTGAAGCAGTGTTGACCTTTTCGGTCTGCTCGGTTGCTGGTGCAACTTCTGAAACTTGCTCAACAGGGGAGTCCTCAACAGCTGGTACCTCCGGAACTGGTTCACTCGCCGGAGCCAGCTCCTCGGCGGTCGTTTGCCCGACAGATGTCTCCTCAACTGGTGGAGCGACTTTTTCAGCAGTCGACTTTGCAGCAGCGGGTTCAGCTTCCACTGGCTTGTTCTCAGTCGACTCTATGACGGCCGTCTTTACGGGCTCCTCGGTTGAAGTTTCGGTCGGGCTTTCATCCTGGGTGGAAGGTTCGACAGCAGGCTCCTCAGCAGGGATCTCCTTGGAGGACTCCTCGACGGGTTCAGCCTGTGGCTCGGTGGAAGGCTCCTCAACAGCGGGAGTGGTCGCATCTTCAGTGGCAGTTTCAGTCGTAGTAGGCTGCTCGGAGGATGGCTCTTCCGTGGACGTGACGTCTTCGCTCACTTCAGCGGGCTCCTCAGCGGTCGTATCCTTCGCAGGCTCTTCAAGTGCTGGTTCGTCAACAGTAGGCTGCTCAGTGGGAGCGGAAGCGCTGTACTGTTCAGTGCTTGTAGTTTCTGTAGGTTCAGGGGCAGTAGAAGAATCCTCAGCGGTGGGTTCTTCTGTCGCCTCAGGTTTAACAGTAGCAGGCTCTTCAACAGCAGCCGGCTCTTCGGCAACAGGCTCTTCGGCAACAGGCTCTTCGGCAACAGGCTCTTCGGCAACAGGCTCTTCGGCAACAGGCTCTTCGGCAACAGGCTCTTCGGCAACAGGCTCTTCGGCAACAGGCTCTTCAACAGCAACAGGCTCTTCGACAGCGGCAGGCTCTTCAACAGCAGCAGGCTCTTCCACGGCGGCAGGCTCTTCCACGGCGGCAGGCTCTTCCACGGCGGCAGGCTCTTCCACGGCGGCAGGCTCTTCCACGGCGGCAGGCTCTTCCACGGCGGCAGGCTCTTCGACAGCGGCAGGCTTTTCCACGGCGGCAGGCTCTTCGACAGCGGCAGGCTCTTCAACAGCAGCAGGCTTTTCCACGGCAGCAGGCTCTTCGACAGCGGCAGGCTCTTCAACAGCAGCAGGCTTTTCCACGGCAGCAGGCTCTTCGACAGCGGCAGGCTCTTCCACGGCGGCAGGCTCTTCCACGGCGGCAGGCTCTTCCACGGCAGCAGGCTCTTCGACAGCGGCAGGCTTTTCCACGGCAGCAGGCTCTTCGACAGCGGCAGGCTCTTCAACAGCAGCAGGCTTTTCCACGGCAGCAGGCTCTTCGACAGCGGCAGGCTCTTCCACGGCGGCAGGCTCTTCGACAGCAGCAGGCTCTTCGACAGCAGCAGGCTCTTCGACAGCAGCAGGCTCTTCAACAGGTGTGGAGATTTCTTTTTCGGCGACGGGCTGTTCAGTAGAAGGTTCAGCGACTGGATCTGAGGTTACTTCGATGGCTGGTTCCGCAGCAGCTTCGGGGTTGGGCTCCTCTGGCTTGGAGTCTTCCGCTGGGGCTGCATCAACATTCAGTGCCTCTGTAGCTGGCTCTGATAAATTGTTCTCCTCCAAAGATTCTGGATCGGGTTTCGTAGTAGCCTCGGCATCTGGCTCTTGGGCAGGCTCCTCCACCGGCTCGTTGGCAGGCTCAGTTATCTCCTCAGCCTGTGGCTCATCGGTGGTGGGTCCTACAGCAGGTTGCTCCGTATTCTCGGCAGCTGGTTCGCTGGAAGCTTCTTCAGCAGCTGGAGTCTCCTCTGAAGTCTGCTCCTCTGTAGCCTCGGCGACGGGTTCGGCAGCTTGACTCTCAGCAACAGGCTCCTCTGCCGTCTCCTCTGGGGCAGCCTCAGTAACAGGCTCCTCTGCGGTTTTCTCGGTTTCAACCTCTGGAATAGCTTCGTCTGCGTGGATGGTCTCGTGACCTGCTACTGCAGAGTCGGGTTGATCTACTTCATTCGAAGCCTTGGGAATAGCAGCAGCAGTTTCCGGGACATCGTCCGTCGTAGCGAGGTCATCAACAGTTGGCTCTTCCGACGTCTGCTCCGTGTCTACTGGAACAGTGGTGGAGTTTTGTTCGGAACTTGGCTCCGTTGCATGTTGCTCTGACTCAGGCTCTTGTGAAGTAGCCTCCGCAGGCTGTTCATCCTGGGCCGGTTCTGCAGCTGCCTCTTGGGTCTGCTCTGGCACCGGATTCTGCTCCCGCTTTTCTGTAGCCGCAGCTTCTGGTTCAGGCTCTGCCTCGGTAGTCTTCTCATTTAGGATAGACTCCGTAGCAGTGACATCGCCGCTGAAGCTGGGCTTCTCCTCTACCAGCACGGGGTTGGAGTGCAGCTGCTCGACCGAGACAGGGTCTCTGGGCAGGGTCTCGTCAGCAGGAACTGGAGGTGGTGGTTAGTACTGATGGACAGGGAAATAGATGGACGGAGAAGTACCATTATGGATTGCAGCAGCAGTGGCCATGATCGTTGAGTTCGTCAAATCGTTACAGTCGTGAGGAGGAGGGGGGATTAAAGAATATTGGCAACTTGACCAGCAAAGCAAACCAGATGGATGGGAGGAAGAGGAAGAGAGAAAGAAAAGACTGGCAGCAATAGAGCTAAGTACAGGTGGGGCAGCGAGTTGGCACAGTGACCAACTCGTGCTAACCTGCTGATCGCCAACATGCGGTGAGCTGCTTATCATTCGTCCTACCTACCTACTCGGTCCTTCAGGGACAACGACCACGAGAGGATTTGAACTAGTGAGAGCCATAGCTGCCGACATGACCGATATTTACTACTGCCATATTTACTGACTTGCACACTCATTTGCACACATTTACCAATAAAAACACCCCTGATCACGCTCTGAAGAAAAAGTCTGGGATGCGCTAACTCCCGAGCTAGTGAAGCTAGTCCCGCCCTAAGCTGCCGTGCCCAATGACTACCCACTGCCATCCGAACGCCATAGATACACCTATCATCGAGTTAACGACTGCCGTATCTAGTATACTCATCAAGTATTAAATAACAGCTCTTGACCTCGACGACTTGGGACTGAACCCAACACTCCGAAAACTCAACCGGCCAGACCATAGCATGCGTCCCGCTCTATGAAATTTGTCTCAAATTGCGCGCAGCAGTAACCGCATTCGTTCGGTTCATCTCGCTGCCTGAATAGACCTCTCGCGCCTGAAGATCCGTCGCCCCGTTCTGTTCCAGCCGGCAAAGCCTGAGCATCCCCCGGCTGGCGTTGTCGGCCCAACAGACATCGAGGCTCGGTGCCTGAGTCTGACGTCCGCTCCAGTCATACGGGAATGCGCGGTAGGGCATCATGCCTGTCGTACCTGAATCGTGCATGGAGCACACACGCGCCCGACTCGTCATACTCTTCGAATTTGGGGAAGGGCCGTTTGACAGGTTCTGTTAGCTGGAGTACACGATCTGTGCGGACTCCCACAGTCGGCACTTTAGAGTGGCCTTTCTTGGCAGTCATGTCGAGCTCGAGGAGCAGCCCCGTCGTGGTGAGTGCAGACGGAAGAATTCTGCGTTGCCGTTGTTGTGGATGTGTAGTGTGATTTTCTGGTCATGCTGTGCTTGTGTCCGGATGTCATACTAGAAACAGAACTGCGTGTCGAGTCCGAGTTTGAAGTCGCCTCCTGTCCGGCCCTGCATCTGACCACAGTCAGTTTAATTTCGGATTTTTCAAGACGAAAATTAACATTAAATGCTGTTCAACAGCACATGGTCTCGATCCTTGAACGCGTCTTCATAGATGTCGACATAATATGGGACCTCCATCCCCACTGCCGTGACGAACGGCCCTTCCTTTGCCGGTAGTGTAATATGATGAATCTGCCCATACACACGATTTGGCAGGTAGATCATCCCATACCCGAACTCAGAGGTACTCAGATACCCATTCCAATATGTCAGCACGTCCTTCCCATAGAACGGCTGCGGCTGAAACCCTGGAAAATTCGCCGAGGGCCCTGATCGGCAGAGATCTTCGGCGTGCCGGTTCCTTTGATGACATTGGCGGGCGAAAGGAAGATTAATCCGGGTGTGGAGGAATGCGGGGAGTCGGGATGACCGAGTTGAGGCCAGACGACCCGCTCTCCGGATTATATGAACTGTGTAACTTGGCATCTATGGTAAACCGAGGTCTTATTAATCTTGAGGAGATGGGCGTTGAAGTTGTTATGTTGCATTGTGGTAAAGAAGCTGGTATGCTGGCCGAAATAAATCCTCGTAATGCTTCTATATGGCGGGCATATAAGGCACGTAGTTCTGATTTCACCAGCGTTAGCCTGACAAAGCAAGAACATTCTTGTGGCTCGATTGTGAAAACAGGGCATAGTAGGTATATAAGTAGATGATACTCACCATGTAACACCAGCTCGCCTCCGGTCTTCACCAAGTCTCTGCTTCTTATACTTCCGGAGTTTATTGTTGGGCACCCTCTGACTCTGAAGCATGCAGCCAAAAAAACCAGAGGAAGATTTTGTCATCCTCCCACATTTCGATCCTTGGTGCTGTTGCAGGGCGAAAGAGGAGCATCTCCTGGAGAGCGACGAAGATTTTTATAATAGCAGTCCAATCTCGGCAAACTCCCTGTGCGGAAGCGAGAATGGTTTTCCGACTCAGTTGTAGAAAGATGGCTTCGAGTATTTCGATGGGGAGACGGATGTTTATTAAGGAGGGGCAGCAGGGCGTAGTTTCTTCTCTGACTGGTGAGTTTTTTCTCTTTGGTGCCGGCTTTCGAAAAGGTGAAGTTCGACTACTAAGCTTGATACTGTACCATCTTGTACAACTTCGTAGGGTGGAACGTCTGGGAGCGGGTTGTAGGTGCCATATTTTCACACTCAACTCATTAATTTCATTAATTGCACCGATGGAAATACTTGCTTGCAGAAATGAGTAGGGAGAGGGGAGTATGGGCATAGGACGCCATATCGACAGATGTCCCCCACCTCCGAGAAATCTACCTAGAACCTTCTAGGAAGGATAGACGTCGGAAGAAGCTTGTGTGCAACAAAGGTAGAAGGACTGGATGTCCAATTTGTCGCACAATCATGCAAAGTAGACCATAATTCCTCCTCGCCAATGGACAAGAGTATTTGGCTGGGCAGGACTAGGAGAGACATTTACATATCAATTGACATTTCTTGAATGGTGTTGAGTATCCCTCATTGGACCTTTTGAAAGCGAGCCATCGCAGCCACGTCATTGCCAGGTGGATTATAATCCACGAAGCCGTGTTTCTTGTATAGTCCTGCGCCCTCCTTACTGGCGTCTACATATGCTGAAATGCCGTCTTTATCAGCCAGATCGCAACCCCATTTCACAATCATAGAACCGGCTCCGCGTCGTTGGTAATCGGGATGAGTGCCGAGGGTGTCCAGATCTTTTTCGTATTTGTCAAGTCAGTATAAATTTCCGACTATTCCAATTCAAAGGGCCTCATTCATACAGTAATGCTTCTCATCACCCATAACACGCTTCCTTGCCTTCTCAAGCTCATCGATAAAGTCCTCGCATTCTTGGTAAGGTGAATCCGCATGCCAATGCGGGAACCGACGGCCTCGCTCGTCGGGCATGGCCAGGTCCCATTTACCAAAGGCAACTAGTCGCGGCCGGCCTTGCTCATCCCTCGATTCCGTATCAACTACTCGTAGGTACTTTTGGAAAGGCTTTGTCTGAATGTCACCCAGGTGCCAGTCCCGGTGCCATTGGTGCATACCCGGGGTATTTGGGAACAAGTGGCCGATCACGGGCTGTGTGAAGGCAGCAAACCATAGCTCCGTGATGGCAGGGACATCTTCCGCAGTAGCCGGCTCTAGAACGAGGGAATTGATTGTTGAGCCCATTGTGGAATTAGTCCGATTGTGTTTTCACTTGAGAACTGAGCAAAGGGTTTATTGACCGGAATCTGTAGGCGAGAGCATGTCCATTTAATATAATTAGATGAACAAAGAGTGGGGGCCGTCTGAAGGCGTGACAATGTGGTAAGAACTGGGAGTTATCAGACTTGTGCAGGAGGCGAAGAACTCGGACTTCTGTATCAATAACTAATGACTCCATTTGTAATCACATATTTCTATGCCAGCATTGTGTCCAGAGATCCTCCATATCGGGGGGAGAATGGTGGTCTTGCTTTACATGTGATGATTCCTACCTACTAGCACGAATTCCACGCCTATCAGTGATTCATAATTTGATTGTAACGTTACAAATTATGCGCTTCACAGAGGAAATAGCTCTAAGCACCTCCTAATAAGGATAGGATTTTCGGTCGTATCTCTTCCGAGATCCTTGCCTACTGAAGTACTATGTGTGGCAAGGTGTTTCATACATTATTGTGTATACTGTAGGTTCGTACCTAGGGGGATTCAGGGCGGCACCAGGGCAACAGAAGGTGGCAGCTTCGAAAGATGGATCGCTGGGGTATTACCAAATGGAAACATATGAGGATTATAAAGTAAGAGCTTGGAGCATGGGCACGCGAGCAGGATGCGTAACGATCTTTCTTGCTGTAGAACACGATTTACGAGGATTTACGGGAGCGAATCCATTTGAACTAATTGGAGACAATTTTTCTAGCCACAAGTATTAGTGTCATGAACAACGAATGCAGCCTGCGGGCCTAATGCAGTGAGAATAACGGGACGGGTCGGCCTCGTCTAGGGGTGGAACAAAAGAAGACTTCGGGGCGTTAGGGGGCGTCTGGAGGCTCCGAAAGAGGCCAATTTCTCGGTTGCCAGTGGAACCAGGGTCGTGCGAGGCGTGCCTAAGGTTTGTTAGAGACCGAAGGAAGCTTCCGCCACCAAACACTATCTATATAGGGTGCCATCGCACCGTAGTAAGCGAACCCCAGTTAAGCTATTTTCAAAGTCAATTTATAGCAATACAACAATTAGGGTTCTCATTGGCGAGGGAGTTTTGCAGATCGTTTTATCTGGCACGCCTAAATCGTGGCTAGTATACGTGTAATTACATTCGCTAACTTGGTTGATTGGGCGATCGTTGGCCGTCGCCCGTCCAGGGGCGGGGCTCGGACTCCACGATGTGCGCCCGGCTCGACTGGCTGTCCACTTCCCAGTCTTGCGTTACGAGGATTTGATCTCGCCGCATCGGCAGAGGGAAAATCTCATGGCTCTCCAATCGGCTCTTGCGGTCCCGCGATTTAGACCGCGTCTGCGATCGCGTGCTCATCTTATAGTTCCAGGAGGTAGGGTCCTCCACGCCATCGAGCTTGAGTCCATTGGATCGCATCCATGATAGGAAGGGCTTCAGTTGACCCCAGCAAGCAGTAACAATGCTCAAGCATTGGATAATCACTTCGAAAATTGTGATATCACACATAGTATAGGTCGGATCGGTAGTTTTAGTGCCTTTCTTGATAAATGCAATCTCAACGATAGTTGCGACAACCACACTAGAAAAGGTGAAAAGTGAGTATCAGCTGGAAAATGTGTGGATGAAGGATATCCAAAGCACTTACAAAAGCCGGGGTAGGAAGATACTCGCAAATATCAGGCGTCGCTCTAGCGTCGTTTGGATACTGGCGATCAGGATCATCGCCTGCGCGAAGATTAAGAGGTCGGTAAGAATATTCGAGATAGCAATGAAGTAGCGCCATGCCAACTGCAAATCCCCATTGAGCCTCGTCAGTATGCTCTAGTTTCGCGATCCAGAAGGTAATAGAGACGAAGAAGGGCATAACTAACCACATTAAAGCACTGGCCTTTCCAAAAATCCCAAGTGCGTGGCAAGGAGCATTGGAATGCAGTCCCGAAAATTGCAACAACCGCCCAGGCATAGATAATGGTTTCAACCGCTCGGGCGAGCTTCTTGTCCTTCAATGATGGTGTAAGGTTCCGGATGAATATAGCTAGGGATAGTTTCGAGAACGCTAGACTGAGGATGTATAGCAGAGACCCGGCGAAGAGGTTCTACCAATGTGTCCTTGTCAGTCTTCAATCTTGAATCGAAGTGGCCAGAATGAAATGGTCGATATTGAGGCAGGAGACATACCTTCATCACCTGGTCCGCTTCAGGACTGGAGACAGCTTTGTAATGATTTCCATAGCCGGATCCAACTGCCAGCGATATAGCGATACTCTGACCGATAGCAAAGACCAAAGATACAATAATCAAAAGGTCGTCCACGGTCAGTTTTTTGAACAGTCGGAATTTAGTCCCTACTCGAGCAGAGACACTGAAAATGATTGTAACCAAAAGAACCCAAGTTGTGACGTTGACCGCCGGGTCTTTGGTGTCGCCTTTAAATCGTGACCCCATCGAGGCTGGATACGGAAAGGAGTGTGGGTATGTCAAAAGAAAGAAAAATATTAGGAGAATATAAGCATGTTGACACGAGGACGCCTACGTTATACTTTTTTATTATAGCGCTTTCTCGCCTGGAGGTTCGAGCTGCGGTGGGCGCTTCGGGCTGTTTCCATTTCCAGTGCCCAGAAAAACGGAAGACCAGGATGTAAATCACGTCCCAATACTACTGTAATAAGGTTTCAGAGAGCCGCGGCGAATCTCGCCATTGTCCCATCCAGGATTCGATCTCGTTTCATCCTGATTCCATACCCATGGGGATATAAGCCTTACCCCCCCCCCCCCCCTTTTTTTTATATGTATAATACTCTCTTAAGAGTTTTCCCGCGATCCGTCTTTCCTTTTTGCAACTTGCCTTTTTCAGTCATAATGACCATTGTAACATAACAGGGCAAGATCGAGAACTCCCTTTAGGTTCAGCCCCTCCCCCAACGTTGGACACCCCGGTTGCCAAGACTGATATGCGGCCCACATAAGATCTTTGTGGCTCCCTCCGATTGGCCAAGGAGCACTTCTGGGAACCTTCCCGCGTAGGATCGACAATGGCGAACAACGCGTTGTGGGCCCTCAAACCTCCTTAGGCACTCAGGCTGGCCGCAAAGGACATATAATCGACCAGGATTAGAAGCATTAGTGCAAGTTGCTCGTATGTTGGAAATTCTATTCAATGTAACATGCAACTAACCAATCCGGATTCCGGATCCCCTTCCGCCCACATTTCAATCATGGGTTCTTTTGCTTTTCTCTCTTTTTTTTTTTTTTAAACCAGCTGAATCCCTCATTTCATCCCTTGGTTCTATTTCCAGCCTGTCTCTTTTCCACTCGGTAACAAAGATAAGCCATGGAGGCCTATGAATTGAAGAGCCACGTGTCCGTCGCCAGTAGGTCCAAGGCACAAGTCGGCTCGTCCGTACGGGAGCGTGATAATGCGCATCTTCAGCGGATGGGAAAGAAGCCAGTTCTCAAGGTATGTACTGCAATTATTCAGACTACAAACTTAGTAAGCCTATAGGACTAATAGTTGGATCTCATTAGCGAAATTTTGGTATTCTCTCCATCCTCGGGTTTAGCTGTACCATTTTGGGTACTTGGGAAGGCTTGCTTGGGTGAGCCAGCTCAATTATGGATTCTCGAACATTGTTCGCTAACTGTTTGCCTAGAACCTTCACTGGGCCGCTCGCAAAGTTTGTGCAATTCTCGTGACCTTTATGTCTTGGAGCATTCGCTAACATTTATAAGTGGTGGCTCCGGCGGAGCGATCTATGCCTACATCTTCGGATGGGTAGGTACATTTGCAAACTTCATGGTCTTGGCGGAGTTGGCCTCTATGTATGCTGCTTCCTAAAGGTCAATCCGATCCTAGATCCAGTGTTAACTGTTGAACAGGGCCCCTACCGCAGGAGGCCAATATCACTGGGCTGCCATGCTTGCCCCAGCCAGGCTCCAGAAGTTTCTTAGTTTTGTTACTGGTAAATTCTTGATCCACATTGAAATTTTGGGTGATCTATCTTTGCTGACTTGGAGCAAAATAGGTTGGTTTGCTGTTCTCGGGTGGCAAAGTGCTTTCGCCGCATGTGCCTTCCTGACAGGAAAGATGATCCAGGGTGCTGCGATCGTAGGAAACAATCTCTACAATGCTCTGCCTTGGGAAGGCACGCTGATTATCTGGGCCTCATTGAGTCTCGCATTGCTCGTGAATTTGGTAGGAGGGAAGCTACTACCTCGTATTGAAGTAATTATTTTGGTCGTGCATATTCTTGGCTTCTTCGGTATCCTGATCCCCCTTGTTTACATGGCGGATCATAATACAAAAGAGCAAGTTTTCCTGTCTTTCGAGAATGATGGAGGCTTTGCCACGCAGGGGCTATCCTGGTTTGTTGGCATGACCAGCTGTGCCTTTGCCTTTGCTGGTGGCGATGCTGCAGTGCATGTAAGTCTCCTGGGTTCCCCTTGCCTTTCTATATATTTGCCACTAACATATTATGGGGACAAAAGATGTCTGAAGAGGTTGCAAACGCATCGCGCGTTATTCCTAACGCACTTATGCTCAGCGTTGGAATCAACGGCTGCCTCGGCTTCGGAATGATTATTGCTATGATGTTCTGCGCTGGCGCCGACCTTGGTGGTACGCTTGGGAAGATCACTGGTTATAACTTTATGGGGATCTTCGTAGAAGCAACCAACTCAGTGTCTGGCTCCTTGGCTATGATTGCCATCGTGATTATTATCTATGCTTGTTCGCTCATGGGTCTACTGGCCGCGGCATCTCGCCAGCTCTGGTCTTTCTCCCGAGACAGGGGAGTTCCTGGGTGGCAATTGTGGAGTCAGGTAAGCAACTCTCGGTCAAACAGAAGCCTTCCATAATCTGACGTTCCACTCTTCTAGGTTTCGACCGGCAAGCAGTTACCTATCTATTCCATCATTATCACAGTGACCGTCGCTACACTGCTGGCCCTGATTAACATTGGCTCCGATGCAGCTATGGAGGATGTTGTATCCATGGCAGTGTCAGGCATCTACTTTTCTTATCTGATGGTTGCATCCTTGCTCTTTAACCGCCGAGTCCGCGGTGATATCTCCCGCTTTAATGACAACGAGGACGATATTGTCAATGTGCCCGGTGCCAAACTTGTCTGGGGACCCTTCCATTGTCCCGGCATAGTGGGTACCGTGATCAACGGTTATGCTATCATCTACATCACCATCGTCATCTTTTTCAGCTTCTGGCCATCTGAGATGAACCCTGGCATTGAAGGGATGAATTGGAGCATTCTGGCAATTGGAGGTAGCATGTTCCTGGCCATTGTATATTACATTCTGCGTGCCCGTCACATCTACTCGGGCCCTATTGTGGAGGTTTCTAGGTAAAGGTTCCTTAGGAACGTGAGGAAACGGTTCTATTATATCCGAAAATACCAATGTTCATCTGCCTCTCACAACTTGAGCCATTGCCCCAAAACAGTACCCTGTTTTTTTATGATCAGCTAAGTCACCTCGATTATTCAATTGGTTGCACGCCCTGGTGACCTGTAGCAGAATAGTTCGGTTGTCTTCATCTTTTGCTATGGTAATAGCGACTAAATTTGGGTACAGTCCAGATGATGTAGATCCACCTATTTCCACCGCCGATATTTAAAGATATATATCCGACCCTCTAATCCATATTTTCCCTCTAAACCCCGTATGTTATTAAGTCTCTCTCTACCTAAAATCTAACTCTAATACTTAGTATAAGCCCCATTTGCACGATGTACAGCTGCTATTCTTGGTGAAACCGAGCGAATTAGTTTATCAATTTTCCCTTGTTCTTAAGCATCCAATGCCTTACACATATTGTCCCTAAAGAACTCCCAATCAGCCTCTGATTGACCCGTATTGATTAATTCAGGATTCAGGATTTATTTCAAAGGTCTTTAGATCTTCTCAATGCACGCGACACCGTTTTTGAAGCGGCAATAGCGGCACTCGGAGCTTGTTCCTGTCGGGAAACAGGCACAGATGTGTTGTATATCGAGGAACAGTGTCGCGCAATTGTTCAGACGGAAAGTGGGAAATATATCTCGAACCCTAACTCTAATATTAACTAGCAACGCGTCGACGCTGCTGAGACAAAGAATGCTGAGTTTGAATTTCGTGTGAAAAATGCAGAAGATCATGAATCTAAAGCTTTCGCTGTTACCGCTCGTAAACATCAATGCACCGGTGAAAGACTTGTTTTCGTGGAATACGTCGGTGCCGAGATTCTTTCTGGCATAGCTGAAACTAGACCCAAACAATCTCCGCAGGAGAAAGAACAAGGAAGGCAGATTAACATTGACCTTCTCGCATTGAAGGAAGTGAGAAGAATCTGATCTTGGCAGGTCCCCCCTGTTTTATTTTGATAGAGAAGAATGCTAAGTCGTTACCATTCCTTATTCCCTGTCTGTTCTCATTGCACGTGTCTTTTCCTTTGACCGTAATTTGTCCACGGCCACATGATTTTTATTTTGAAGAACCCCCGGCCACCCTGAGAGGCACTGTGCAGCTTACCTTCCATAATTATTGGCTGCCTTGCCTCTTATCACTCTGATCTGCTAGCCTGAAGTAGTCCCTATCATGGTACATTATTTCGCATCCTTGCGCCCATAGCAGTATAATATGCCCCATTGGGTGGATTCCTTACGTAGACTACGTACTCCGTACTCCTGATTGACATGGACAAGGGACGGTGATACCGAGTCTGTGTTCAGCGGTAAGCATATATAGACCAGCAGCACTATCGTTTTTGTAGTGATGGTTCTCCATAGTTTGTATCTGCATGGGGTTAATACCTCCATATACCACCTCAATTATGCTAGCTGGCATAACATCCACACAATTCCGGCGCATGACCTCAACGAAATCGATGATGCTTCGATGACTGGGTCAGTTGGGTCGTATGGTACGGTAATACAATACCCTAAAACACCCGAGACCCTCTCTAACCCCTGACTCCACCACAATTTTACCCTTCGAAAGCCTTCACCAAGCTGCACACCACTCGAGACAACCCCTTCTCACTCACAGAACAGCCGTTGAGTCTATAGAAAGTCCATTGACCAGCTCTGAATGCACATGGTATCTGTACATCTTCACGCAAGGGCTTACGGTTTAACGGCCCCTAAGCCGAGTGAGCTTGTGTGGGTCACGCCAACCACTTCAGGGTTGGGATCAGCCGGCTGAGTTTGATTTTCCCTCGGAAGAATGTACGGCGTGCAGAGCCGCCATTTCTAAATTTTTATTATTTTATTTTATTTCTTCGGTACTTGCCGTCACCTTTGTCGTCGAGTCCAGGGTATATAAGTCACTCCGGGTCCTCGACAAAGGTACAAGTGAAATGTACTGTTCTCTGCGAAGTCTGCTAGACCATAATTCGGCACCCACCCCCTATCGTGGAGCGACCCGGTGGACAGAGCAAGTTTTTCGAATTGGATTGTCGGGTTCTAGCGGGTCGGAATCCATTCGAGTGGAGGCCGGCCGGAAGCGAAAGCCAGGGCGGTGCCCGTGATGAATTTTTTTCCCTCGCTTCACTCTTTCGCACTGCCGCGCCTTGCGAGAATGACCCCCTATAAGTACCGGAGGGTTGTCTGCAGGTTCCTAGCTACAAGATTTCTGCATGGTCGGCATGTAGAGCTTTCTATCTCTCTCGGAACCACAACAGGAAGAGTGAACGGGGTCAAGCGGATTCCCATGGGTCCATAATTACGTATTCCCAATAGGACCACTCGGTGAAGTGCCTTCCCGAGGAAAGGGAGAGCGCTATCGACCTGTATCAACCGACCAAGTGGCTTTCGGGTGGGCCGGTTGCCCAGCAGTTGGTGGACCTGGAATCCGAGTCGGCCCGGGTTTGGGTGTCGCCGGGAACAAATCCAGAAACATAGTCTGGGTTTGGGAGTGCCGGAGAGGATATGATTGGCTTAATAGCTATGGATCGGTGGGTCCTGATCCACTCAATTGAATGATCCACTGCAGGGAAAAGAAGTGAATACGAACCGAAATGACAGAATCACCAGGCTGTCGCCGATTCCCTCCACGACACAAGTACAGATGCCCCCAGCAGTCTGTTTCGATCCTTTTCAATTCTAGACAGATGTAGGAAGGGTGCCAATAGCTTCTAGCATCCCATTCACGGCCAACCTTCCCAAACATCAAAGTAAAGCCACGGTGGACCCAAGGCCAGTTCCAAACCCGAAGGAACCCGAGGCCAGCAACAATAATACAGGCGTAAGAATGAAAAACGCAGACAGAGCAGAAATGCTTGTGAAATAATGCGTGGTCCGCTCCGATTAGGGCTCTTCCACGCGCACACTAGCACGGACTGGGTATCGGACGGGCGAAAATTTGACCCGTAGAGTATTTATGGGTAATTCTCTCTCTCCAGCTTTTTCTCCCTGAAAAGTTCCTTCTTTCCATATATCCTCCCACACACTCTCTCCTCTCACCCTCAAATCCTACCACACCACATATCAAAAATGGCCACCTCTCGTGTCTTCGCCTCTCGCCTGGCCACCACCATGGCCCAGAGCGCCAAGGTCGCCCGTCCCGCCGGCCGTTTCCAGCTGAACGCTGCCACCAAGCGCACCTTCACCTCCCAGAAGAAGGCCCCTGTCGCTGCTTTCCAGACCCCCAAGCGTGTGTCCTCGCCCACTCTCCTCCAGGCCAACGCCCGCCAGGTCTTCGCCCAGCACGCCGCTCGCCGCCAGTACTCTTCTGAGGTCGCCTCCGCCATGGTCGAGGTCTCCAAGAACCTGGGCATGGGTTCCGCCGCCATTGGTCTCGGTGGTGCCGGTATCGGTATCGGTCTCGTCTTCGCCGCTCTGCTCATGAGTGTTTCCCGCAACCCTGCCCTCCGTGGCCAGCTCTTCTCTTACGCCATTCTGGGCTTTGCCTTCGTCGAGGCCATGGGTCTGTTCGATCTGATGGTTGCCATGATGTGCAAGTACGTCTAAACAACTCATCACTGTGTTCAGGATATGATTCGGCCCGGGGAAGGTATTTGGTCGTGATGTATTACCATGTACTACTTTCAGCGTCATCTACAACAACCTTTTCTCTTTTGTACATATAGAGTCTCGATATTTTGGGGGCCTTTTTCCTCTCTTACCCATCTCTGCTTTTTCCAAGAGCCAACCCAAAAAAAAACTCTGTGTGTGGGACCGTGCCTTTCCTGGGGGATATTATATCAAAAAAACAACTGGGGTGACGCTGCATTTGCTCCAACAATAGATCAATAGATTTCAATGATAGACAGCTGTCGGGGGCAGCTTTTCCTATGTTCTGATCTTAGCTGCAGGATTTTCCTCCGTCACCATGTATAAAATTTATTCTGCCACCTACACCTCAACCGATAGCCATTGACTATTTATTTTTTGGTCAGTACTTCACTTGTACACATCAAAATCCATTGATCATGTTAAAACACCCGGCAGAGCCCTTATTGAGCTGCTGCCAGCTGTTGCAGGGATCTTCAGATATCCCGACCCGCACGGGTCCGGCTGACTCAGCATGATATCATTGAGTTTCAAAGTTATGCGCAGTATAGAAAACATCATGATCACAAAGACGAGTTCCTCAGTGAAGTGCTGTCAACTACGACTCGATATTGACTTGGTGAGGAAACAGCTATGCATCACACCCAGAAGTCAGATTTCAATTAATAGCAGATCCCTGCTATCACTGTACCTACCTATCCATCGGAGAAATATAGCATTCGTATGTAGATGATAATGCAATCCATGAGCAACTGTGAAGTCTTCTAGCTCAGCTGGGCTAACGATTAGAAGTACATATCTCACTTCAACGGGACTCCCATTATATAAGCAAAAAGCTTCTCAAAATCATAAAATGATAGTTAATGCGAAAAGTATTGAGTAGTCCAGGGATTAAATCCTTCAACCCTACTACATACCGCACATACGTCAATAACTGTCATCTCCAGGAATATTGCTAAGTTTTCAGTTTTATCCCTAGCATATCAATTCTTCCGGAAGCTTTCTCTTCAAGTGGTACTAGTTATTACTGATGGCATTACCCGACTCGTTGCAACATGAAATTATACTTGCTCGCTAACAGGAAATAGGTATCACAAGACATAAGAGACAAACACAAGGTCAGCCTGCTAATTAAAATGACTTAGAAAATTTCCAGGTCCTCGAACTCCACAACCAATCCACTCGCTGTCGTAGCTGAAGACCCATCTAGCGATAACCCATGCATCGCATCCCACATTGTCTCTCCGCGAGAGATATTCGTCGGCCGACTGGCATAGACGCCAACATGTACGAATTTATCCTCCACACCGTAGAAGAACCAGGTCACTTCACGCAGTTTTTTCCACGTGCTCCCCACCGCTCCGGGCGATAGCGTATATGGTGATGCCGATGGAACCTGATACCAGATCCAGAGCGCATGACCGATCCGCTCGAGTTTGATGCGCAGTGAATGAATGCCCATCCCACATGCTGGCTGGACTAGTGGGGACAAACACCAGTCTGCGCCGTCGGCGGTGGCACTGACGGAAGATGCGTTGACTGTGCCTCCGGAAAACTCCATCCCAGCTTTAACCCATTTGCATGGTGGAAGCGGTGATGACCGGCATGTTAGTGAGGGAACTGAATTAGAGGAAAAGGACTGCGGTGCTGCGCCGGCGAAGATCACCAGTCCGCCCTGGTCCCATTCCATTTCCCAGTCGGCGCTGACGGTGACTTCGGCCACGACGAATGGATGCCGGAGGGATGTGAAGACAATTGGCGCGGTAGATGTATCGCCGTTTGGTGGTTTGCGCCAGAGATCCGTGTTCGGGCCCGCCGTTAGGGTGAAGAACTCCATGCATTGTGGCAGGGAGAATTCCGGGGGCAGGTTGAGAGTGGTGAAGGATGAGCCTTCGGGTGGCATATTGAGTCACAGATTGGAGTCCCGACTGATACGACGTAATCAAAAAGACTTGTGCACGCACCGTAAACGGCTCGAGTCTCCTATCAAGACCTGCAACAATGGAAAGAATTGAAGATGTCGCTGTCTCGCTGGACTGAAACCAGGCCGGATAATCACGAGACACGGATGACACAGCTCGGTCCTAGCCAAAATATAGACGCTTATTTAAGGGGGTGCCGGAAGAACGCATGGGAATATTGCTTTTCTGGAAAAGGGTGAGATGCAATGCAATAGTTGCGAGACGCCGGCGCCCACTGGTGGTCAATGTGGTGGCCGAATGCGGACAACACCAGATTCGGGGTTTGGACCAAATTAGAAAAAGCAAAACAATAGATCTGCCGCTGAGACTCGAACGCCAAAATAATAATAATTCCTAACTGACTTGCATTCGCATCTAGTATTTATGTAGATCAATCGAGGTTTGCCGCCTGTCGGCGAACAGGACAAAGAGAAGAATCATTCAGGGGTCAGCCAACCCTGTCCTCCAAGCGAAGGGACTTGCGGACAGGCCGAAGGTGGGACTCGACTCCATTGAGATGTTGATGCGGATCAGTTCGCAAGAAGCGGGTCACCATGCCTTCTGGGGGACTCAATCACGTTGGGGAGGATTGCAGCTGAAAAGGAAAGGCAATCGAATCGGAAGGTTCGATCCTGCCGCTCACCTGTCGCTCAGGCGGGAGTTTGCCACGAGGAAGAGGCAAACTCTGTGCAGCTCGGAGGGATCGCTTGTTGTATTCCACGGTCGAGACAATAATCCGAATCAGAGTGCAGGACACGGCACGCATAAATACTCTGATCCTTGCTGGAGCATGTGGTTGACCCCTGTCAGAGTCAACCAGTGTAGGGATATCCCCTGCACTGGGTTTGACAGCTTACGTGCCCGGCAGACGGTGGAGATGCATCAGCTCCCATTTGGTGGCGCTGCAGCTGGGGTTGGTCTCAACTCAGCCACAGTCCGCGTTGGGGCTGAAGGAGGCAACCAACTGTGTTGTCAACACGGACATGCCGAGACGCCGGCGAGATTTAAATCTGATCGCATCCCCACACTCTCTGGGCAGTTCCATAATTCGGAAGTAATCATAGGGGCCTGAAAATACGCATAGATCTTGCCAGCGAAGAAGCGTCGAAAATTTCCGAGCCCGCCAGCGAATTCCATTCCATCCAGATAGGGAGGGGCTCAGCCAGTACATAAGGGGCCGTCCATCCGGCCAGGCTAAATTGTTTTGTTGCGCCAGCACATACAATCACTAATCACAGGCCTAATGAATCTCGGCAGAGGCTTAGTCTTCTTGCCCGGCTGTGATTTACTTAGCCTTGCGCGAGCTCGCCAATAAGATCGTGATCACAAACGCCGCCCCTTCGTATTTAGGGCTTTCAGCCTCCGACCAAGTCTTTCGCGTCACCCGGCGAAATAGATAGTTGACATAAAAACAAGCAAATGCCTCTCCTCAAGAAATTAAAAATATTCTCACCTTGTCTCGACGCGAGTAATTCCTCCTTTACTATACGTGATCTGAGCATTTAGTGATTGATCCAACATCGGACCCACCACGCGCAAACATGCTGTCGCCTCGGTACTATAACGGATACGATGATTACTATCGCAGCTCATGGGCCTGGGATCGGGAGACCAAACCCGGGGAAGAGCTTGCATATGACCCAAAATACATGCGTATGTACACCGCGGAACTTGCCATGACTGCCTTGACCGGGGCAGCCATGTTCGGCTTCCTCATCTGGACCTGCGGGATCCGCCAGCCTACAAACTTCCTGTCCAAGAGGCGTCCGCTGCCGATGGGCGGGATCAGGTCTGCTCTGATCTGTTGGATTTTGTAAGTGTATGAAAATATTTTGGCCACACCAGACACTAACGACTACTTAACTTTAGGGCGGACCTCCTAAGCTGCGTCTATATCGGTGTGGCCGTTGGCCAAGACGTCGTGAAAGAATACTATCAAATCGCTCCCATGCTGCAGAGTTTTTTCCAACACATCTCGCAGTGTCTTCTCTTCTACGTGTTCTACAGCCTGATCCATCGGTTCCTCGACGGCCTCACCGATGTGGGCCGGCCGTATGCTGCTGTGAATATTATCCACTGGATAGTTTTGGGAGTTCTGTTCGTAATGGGCATGACAAGCTTTGCTCTCGATGTCGTCAATACAGTCTACTACGTCACAGAGGTTTATATACTACAGGTCGAAACCGCCGCCGAAAAGGTGTATTGTGCCAACGCAATTCTCCTTTTGGTAGCTTCGTTGGAGGTTTTGGCCTGGGCTGTTTTTGTGACTGTCAAAGGGGGCCGTGGCCGGTTTCGGTCGAGGGTGAGTTGTGTCTTTGGCCTGTGGCGGCAGACGTGGATACTGACAGTCTATACATAGATTGCCGCCATCTCTCTCATCATCGGCGCTTTCTTCTACTTTGCGCTCAATCTGATGTGGACTGTTCTTAATATTCGAATCTACCTGTTTTATTACATCCCCCCAGACTACCTGGGTCTGCTGGAATCTGTCCTCGACTTCGTTTTCTTCGTGGGGACCTACGTTGGCATTCTCCTGTGCTGCGTGAAATGGAAATCCCTCAGCCCGCAGGACGGTGCTTGGCAGGCACAGCAGTATTCCCATCAGCAGCAGCCTTACCAGCAGCAGTTCTATTCATCCACGGGACCGTATCGGCAGCAGCATGGCCCCTGAAGAAGACTCAGTGAATGCTTCCGCACGCTACTTTTAATCCATCATCTAGATATACACGAGCATGTTGCGTTGTCCTGTCTTATTGATTTTTCTGAGCCGATACCCCTGTCGATGCCCATGATGCTTATACTCATACCCAAGTAATTAAATACAATTCAGATTACACAAACACTGACCATCTTGACTACTTCACTTCCCACATCCTTTTCGTACGGCTTGTCCAATAATAAGGTGGGGGAATACAATGTCTTGGCAGTGGCGGACCTAGGAACATTATATCATCCACCATCAAACTCTCCTTCATCAACATCCAGCAACACCAACACCCTCCCCCACAATGGTCTGCTCCAAATGCCAGAAGAAGCTTAAATCCACCGAGCTAGCCACGCCAGGCGTCAAACGCAAAAATGAAATGTACTATGGGTCTCCGGCAAGCACTGTCGGAGGCGCGGCGAAGGGGAATAAGCCGACAATAGGATCGACTGGCGTTGGCAAGGTATGTGTACTCACCAGCTAACCATCTATACAATAGATGGCAAAGAGGTTTTTGTATGGAAATTAACAGATGTATATGTATAGAGCAAGCTCCTTAGCTCCAAGGCGAAGAATCCCTATGCGGCTTACTCGTCTTCTTGTGAATTGTGCAAGACGAAGACGGAGCAGGGAAAGAAATATTGTCAGCGGTGTGCATATCAGAAGAACGGTATGTCTTTAATTCTGTTTCTCTGGTGGATTTAACTAACGTCGCTATTAGCCTGCGCCATGTGCGGCAAGAGTTTGACCGGCAAGTCGTCCAAAGACCAGCCAGTTGTTCAGGGTCAGAAATTCACTCTAAAGTAATTTTTGGGGTGTGGTTACATAGGGCGCGGTGTTTTGGAGTTTAATAACAGGAAATTTGATTGGCACAAGGAAAGAATCTAGTTATACATGGCAGACACGAGGAAAGATTATATGCAGTGCGTCGGCCAGTAGGACTTCGTATTGGACAATGTCGACGCCATTTATCACAGATACCGCCGCTCGCCTTTTACCGATCGGCCAGCATATTCTTGATGTCATGGTAGTACCCCGGATGCACGTACTTGGCGATCTCCTCCTTGCTGAGCCACTTGAAGTCCTTGAGTCCCAGCGTGTTGGCTGACAGATCGGCCTGTCCGGCCATGATGCGCGCTTTCAGGAAGAAAGTCTTCTCGCCACGCAACTCGGTCCCTGCCCCTTGGTCGATCTTTGGTCGCTTGAAGTCCAGCACATTGTGTCCGACGGGATGATAGCCGACCATCCAAGTGTTCATATTCACGCCCGCTGACTGGGCAAGGGTCCGCTCGGCAGCCTAGGAACCAGAAATAATTAACACAATCTCCCTCACCCAGAAAAGGAGCTTGCAGGACTCACCAGACGCAGACTCTCGCCCGCTTCCACCGGCGCACTGGGAAGCGTCCAGTACCCCCCTTCGCTTGCACCAGGAGATACAAAGTCCTCGGAAGCAGACGATCCAAGCTCTTCTCATCGCCCTTCTTATCCGCCTCCGTTACCCGCGGAAAGGGACGGGGAATCTCCTCCTTCTTGCTGGTATCCTGCGAGGTGGCATTGGCCGTAGCCTCCGCGTCCTGCACAAGCATCTCAACCTGGTGCGCGGGATCGGCCTCAGGCGCGTCAACAAGCAATTCGTCGTTCCACGCATCGCTCGCGTACGCGTTGTACTTGCCGATATCCCGCGCTGCGGTCCGGCGGTCCAGGATCTTCCGCTTCCAGTCCTCGTCGGCCGGCGTGCCGCGCTTGAAGTAGAAGTACTTTGTGAACGGTAGCGCCAGTCGCTCGTTCAGCCGCTTCTGGTAGAAATAGTAGGCTTGCTCGAATGGCTCCAGCTCGCGGGTCACCTGGGGCGGTCGGGAGAGGGCGACGCCGGCGTTGATGGTGTAGACGGGTTTCACGACGGGGAAGGTTGTTGATGCCGATGCGTCTTTTGCAATCGAGGCCGTCTCTGTGGCGGGTGTTTCGGTCGCGGCAGCATACTGGCGTCGGCCGAGGGTCTGTTGACAGCTTCTGCACACGCTGGAGTCGACTATTGACGGGCCTGCGCTGGGAATCAGTGGACGGTGTGGAGGTCATTGGGACAATCACATACGCAATAGCGACACCATGCGCCGTGTCCCATTGGATCTGGTGGCCATCTCCGACAATGCTGGATGGCAGTGATGGTGGTTTTGTCCCTGTGTCTCTCCGATCGAGAAAAGTTCCAGGAGATCACGTGGGGTCCTGATTAGGTTAGCAGCCCAGTGACCAGCCCTTAAAATTGTTTCCCGCCGCTTTTTCTTCTTTCTTCTCTACAGCACCCATCCTTATCATCACTGTGTTCGCTACACCACGTCCAGTTGACCATTTAGCGGTGCTTAGAGTGGATTCCTGCGGCTGATTCGCTAGCGGTACCTTCGTTAAAATCCCCCAAGGTGTACTGTTAGATAGATGCTGCGGACATGATTTCTCCGTGCCCTCGGCGGAGATATTCAACCGTCTTTCCCAATTGTCACATAAATGACATGCCCTAGCCAAATTCTATCATCATTTTCTCTTGTTCCTCCTGAACCCCAAGCTGCACTACCCGTTCCTTCGTGCCAAAAGCCCGCAGACGGTTGCTGTAAACATTCCAGAAATCACTACCCAGTCGGGGAATCAGCTCGCCATTGCGGACCTTGTGCGCTACCTCCGCAGATCCTGTTTCCTCTAGAGTACTCCCACGTGTGTGAAGCCAGCCGTTAGCGATCATGTCCAGAGATTTGACGTTTTCGGCAGCGAAGAAGTCTTCAGGGCTCTTTTTGACGGGGGAACGGCCTTGCTGAGAACGTTTCATGCCCCCATTCGGTTGGTGCTGCTTAATTTTGTTGCGTTTAAATGAACCACCAGCGAGCATGGCTGACAACTTGAGGAAGGCTGTGGCAGTAAGCATGCTGTCAAACCCGGCTTCGTGGTTGAGCTCCTGGCCGCTGTATTTGACATGCAGAGGGTCAATGGCTGTGAGCGAAGTCAGTGAATCGCCAGCATGAACAAATCAAGGATCGTGTACCTATCACGGGGTTCCATATGTGAGACAAGTCCTGGTTAATTTCTACCAGTGACGAAGGAGGATTCACGGAACCACAGTCATGAGTCGCCAAGTACTTGGTATCGACTATGACGGGGAAGAGATCGTGCACCATGATCTGGAACTCTCCCACGGTATCTGGCAGCGGGCCGAAGAAGCATCTGCAAAAGTAGACCAGGTCGGTAAAGATATTGTGGCCAACAAGGATGGGCCGGTGTTCCATGAGTCGCTGCTTTACGCGCATCGAGAGCTCTTTTGGGGTGTCTGGGGTGTACCGAGGGCGCACTGCTTTGGTGTCCATGGTCCGCTTGAAAGCGCCATCTTCAATACCCGTCAGATTTCCTCCGACCAGGGCCTCTACAATCCATCGGAATCCAACGCATTGCTGAATCCGGGCTTTGTTTCGCTCCAGTCGTGCCTCTTGGGCTTTCTTGTCACGCTCGGGGTGCAAGGGTTCAATAGTCATGAAAGAAGAGTGGCTTCGAGCAGCAAGGGTTGGGTATTCACTCTCGATAAGATGGTGCACAAGCATTTTGTGCATTTTGCTCAAGATCTTCGGCATTCCAGGAAGGCTGCCAGTCGGTGGTGGAATATTGACCCACGCGTTGTGGTTCTGGTAAGACCAAGTCAGTAAAGGTATGCAATGGCTTCGCTCCAAAGCAACGTACTTCGCCTTCGGCGAGCCAGCTGGTCAGAACTTGTCGCACTGCCTGGACGAATTCCAAGGATTCATGATCCGATTCCTTGATATTCAGGGACTTCCCCGTCGTTTGACGGGTCAATCTCTCTGTTGCCTTTGCAATGGCTTCTTTTTCCTCTTCTCGAGATAGATAGGGCACTCCATATTTGCACTGAATGTCTATACTGAAGCCATTTGCAAGCAGAAACTCCACCGCTGTTCGAAGAGCGTCAGCCACGGTAGAAACAACTCCTCTGTCCCATAACTGTCAGGCGTACCCCGGCTCTGGAACGTCCAGTCTCGACTGATTTCAGATTCACGAAAAGTATTCGGGCTCAGATTGAAGTTGTATGGTATGAGGATGTATTTCCCTGGAACAGGTCAGCTCCCCTGATGCATCCATGCCCTTTATGTATGCACACACCTGTCACCAAGTTCTCGCGGCAAATGGTCAGGCCAACCTGCAGAACTTGGTACTTCTCTGCCGCTGCTTTTACCTTGACATAGCGCTCCTGGAGTGTCTGGACTTCGCCACCTGGTTTGTCTGGACTTATCGCGATTCCTGACAATTCCAGATCCAGGGACACAAAGCAGCACGAGGCCAGCTCATAGAGAATCCATGGTAGGTGGCGATGGAAGGTTGCATCAACGACATCCATTTTGATTTGATTGGCTGTGCATGTTACCTAGTCAGCTCTGAATTAGAATCGTGGAGTTGTGTTGATATGGACCCATCCATCCCAAGTGACGTGAAGATGCGACGAAATTACATACCTAGATCTAGATCGGGCTTGGCATGCTGCACAGATCAATATTCCGGAGTGAAAATTGTTCTCCTTGGACAGATGTTTGTATGAGAATGTCAAAGGGGAAAGAGGGAAAGATAACGAGCACAACAAACAAACGATCGGTTCTGTGTACACCCCCCGTTCCTTCCTAATTCGTCGACCTCTGCTCGGCCCAGGTCCCGTGACCTTCCAACCCCGGACTCAGCTGGGCCGAGGGAAAACGGCAGGCCCCGACCTCATTGCTCCGTCACTCTCTCATTCTCTCTCTTACCCTCACCATCAACCTCCATGATACTTCAATAAATTCATTATACTCACTCACAATGGCTGACGGAATGTCCCATTCCCAGCTCTCCTCACCCTCCTCCACTTCTACCTCGACCTCCCCCACGAAGCTCTGCTCCAAGACCTACAAGAAAGCCTCTCAGCTCTATCTCACACGCCGTCTCCCTGAAGCCCTTTCCACTCTCCAACTTATCATTACGGTCGCAGATGACCAACAACCAAATGGCGATCACGCCTCTACAACGGTTGCGCCGATCGCCACCGCCCCTAGCACGTGGAGAATCAAGGTGTGGAATCTGTACATCACGCTGCTGAGCGCAATCGTCGACCTCGGCGCCGAGGAAGGAAAGAAGCAATTCGGCCAGAAGGAGTGGAAAGCGATCGCCACGCAAGTGCGGGAGGGAGGCATCTGGGAGACAGTGGTCCAGGTCGGGTACAGGGGCCGCGAGGGCTCCGTGGATGCCGAGGTGGTTTATAACCTGTGAGTGCTCCTTTTTCCCCAGCATCTCGATCCCTGCTAATGCAGACAGTGCAACACTGATCCTCAACCACTCTTCCTCCCAATCACTCAACCAGCAGCGTCTCGAGACATACCTCTCCTCCTACGGACAACCAAACCTCGACCTCACCGACCGTCTCAATGCCTCCGCCAATGCCCAGCCGCGCCACATCAGCCAGACGAGCGGAACAGATACTCCGAAAGATCTGGCTGCGCGAGTACGTATCATCGAGCTCTTCACTCTGCATGTTCTCCCACGGAACGAGGAGTGGGAGTATGCGCAGGAATTCATCAACCTGAGCGAAGTCCTCGACGAAGAACGCAAGGAACTCTTCCTCCAGACCCTGGAAGGACTGAAGGAGGAGAAGGAACGAGGCGAGTTGCGGGCCGCGGAGCTCCAGCGGGCCAAAGATGCCGAATTCGAGCGACAGCGTGAGGATGAGCGTCGGAGAGCAGAGGACGCTGCTTCATCATCCCCCCGTCCTCAACCGAACGGACATAAGCGCAATACGAGTGAGGGTGACTACGGGATCGAAAAGGGGCGGTCCCCGAAGAGCAAGGGCGGGAAATCGGCGGACAAATCGCCGAGCGGCAAGCCATCGCGGACTGCACTCTCGTCGTCGAGTTCCAAGAACGTCAAGAAGCAGGACAAGCCTGAACCTCGACGCCAGACTCGTGCGGTCGCTACGACTCTACGGAATTTGGTGAAACATATCATCCAAAGCGTATCCGGGAATCCGATGTCGCTGGTCCGCACCCTTTTGTTTTTGCTCGGTATACTCATGGCCATGAGCCGGCAGGACGTGCGTGAGCGTGTCCGAAGGGTTACGGACAGTGCATGGCAGAAAGTGAAGGGCACAGTTGGCATGGGTGTCAAGGTCAGCTATATTTAAGGCCTCATCCTGCAGTTATCATGTACATTCTTTTCCTATGTTCGCCAGCTCGTGGGACCGGTGATGTTGAATATCTTCTTCGATTGTGATGTTGTTATTTTACTACATGTGGGCATATATTATATCTTCTCTATATAAAAATCCAGATAGATTATCAAACGGGTATCAAACGTTCGTGTGCTCATCTGTAGAACCTCGAGAAACTTGAATCATTCCGATATCTGCATCCTCCGGCTGCAGGTGACTCTCTAGATCTTCCTTGTCCGCCAATCTCGCATGCCAGCGCCGGAATATCTGCACAAAGAAATGCGCAACGCAGATCTGCTCCGTGGTATATAGCAACACGGGCACTGATGTCCTGGACTTGGTAAAGAGGTCCAGAGGTGCCCACATGGCATACAGCAGCGGGATGCCCAATGCAGTGCTCTTCGCTGGACCGCAAAAGCATACTGCGATGGTTTCTTCCGGGAGCATCGGCTTGAACACCGGCTTCGACCAACCACGAGAAGAAAGCCATCGGGGTGGCCGTGCGCTGAAGAAACACACTGTCGTCAAGGCGATATACAGCCCGATGTTGAAAAGGACGACGAAGACAACACTTTGCGTAGATAGGGCTTGGAGTGCGCCTGTTGCGAAGCACGAGGAGAAGGTAGACCTAATGATCCTCAGTCAGACTTATCTCCTTTGGCAGTATGGGCTATCCACTCACCAAACCAACAGGAGCATGCAAACCGTCGCGAATTTCGGCAGCTTCGTCTTCTGAATCATCCACGCCGTCCGATCCGGCCAGGTCCATCGCACCAGCTGTCCAACCACCAGCGGTAATAACACGCTGAGCCCCAGCTGCTTGAACACGTTCTTGTACATCGTCCCCAAATTCCCACCGCCAGAGCGCCAGATATCGAACTCCGACCCCTTCGGCAGCAGAGAAACCGTCCACGCAGCGGTTATAAACGGACCCAGGACATTGGCAAGCAGGACTTCGACGGTCGCAGCCGCATCGTCTCCGCCCGCCGCCCTCGTCATAACAACATTCGACGCAATCGTCGTCGGAATACACGCCGTGAAGATGTACCCAGCCAGCACGGCGCGATCAATACGGCCGTACGGATCACCAGCCAGAATGGCATGCACGACCGCAAGCATCAGCGCAGGAACAAAGAGGAACGAAACGGCTTGGACCAGAACATGCAGACGCCAGTTCATGAGCTGCGCAAAGAGTTTCTGGCGCGGGATGCTCAGTCCCGAGATCAGGAAGATGATCGCGATAACGCCGTACATGATGGTGTACTCGGCGCGGATGATCCCGCCGTGTTTGGCGACGTTGGGGAAGAAGTAGGCCAGTACGCAGGCGACGCCCATGCCGATTAGGAGCCATTGCTTCAGGAGCAGGAGGAGGATTCTTTTGGTCCATTTTTTCCAGGCCTTGGGTGGTTGGTGGTGCTGCTCTGGTTCATGGTCGGTGGGGACCGTGGGTTCCTCGGGCATTGTTTAGTTATTCATTTAGAGTTGAAATATAGACTTGAGAGATGAAACTCTTGGCTGCCGAGGGTTATGTAGACAGGCAAGATCGGCCTGAGTGAGTCGCGAAGAACAGATATTTGCGGGCCATCGGACCAACCCCGACGGTCGGACGCGGAGAGAAGAGCGGTGCAAGGATGCCTAGATCTCGTGCTGTTAGTAATTACCACTCGACCCTTGATTAGGAGCTATGAGTATATCCAGCACAGACATTTCACGCATCGGATTAGTAGTCACAGTAATGACAGTCGGCCCACAGCCCACGCCGAAACACGGCTACCCGATGATTGCGGGTTATCAATCAGCGAAGTTTAAGAACGCACAGCATGTGAAATGCTCGAGCACGTGCAACATGATGCAATTACTTGGCGGTGTTACTTTCTCTACCATTCCCCCGTTTTCGACATAGTCGTTTGGGACTGTAGAGACAGTTGTGAGGTTCACTTGTAGTAGGTGTCCGTTGTGCTCCATCTCAAGTGCCTCTGGGTAAAACATATAACCGCCATTATTCGGGAGTAGACGCGACCGTACTATATCTACACAGACACACCCGAATCATAATATCCCAACGACTAGAAAGAATACCTTGAAAGATACAAAATAAAGACATCAAGTCAAATCCTCTGAGTCAGATCTGGAATGACCTAGGCAGGTCGCGAGTTGTCGGCCCTACTACACTACAGCTCTGAACCTCGGCAGAGTGGAAGCCCGGATAGACCCGGGCGCATCGCGCTGGGCAGCGGGAATTCGCAGTTCTGGGCCTTACTTCTGGGTCATGGGGTCTGATGAAGCGACCTGAATGACTGGAAATAGCCGGAGGGGAATAATGGAGCTCCCTCGGCCAAGCTCAAGAGAAGAAATGTTCATGTTGGTGAGGAATGCAGCAACATGCTTAGTAGGGTGGTATCTATAGTTGGTTCGCAAGTCACAGGATGATCATGATCACCCGATGACGACACTGACAAAAACAGCACATGTGAATCAGTCTGCACCATGGATAGATCTGGGCAGAAAATCATGGTTATTATTATTCCTAGATGAGCATGATGGGCGGATGGCCCAGAGAGGCAGCCGCCCTTGTTCCCGATGCCTCGGGATTGATCCAGCTTGATGAACAGCTCGGAATGAATCATGCTGTATTAAAGATTGCCGAGTCGCGCCCTCGGGTCGAGTTCCTATTATTTTCGTGATCGTTCTCGTGTATTATTCTCTCTTTCTTTCTTTTCTATCTTTGTTGCTGCTCGACTGCTGCACAGTACGGAATTCCTATACTTGAGCTTCCGCTCGTCCAGCTCCTCCGCTTCCCCACAAGGTTTGGAACAGCCGCCACTTCAGCCGACGTGATTCATATCCTCGGGGACTGATTCTTATTTCTTTAAAACAAGTCACTCCATTATTATTCTTGGGGAATTATTTTTTCTTTGCGCCCGCGACCTTTCTTGCGCTCCTCTCTCCACTCTTCCCGGGATTGTATGCTTCCGTGCCTGCCCGCTCTCCGAGTCGATCTCTACCTCGCGGCAATCGGGAGTTTCGATTTTCTCAATTGAAGGAACAAGAGAGGGTTCTCTACCAGCTGTAGATACATCATTCGTCAAGCTGGATCTGCAAATATGTCCGCCAAAAATGTACATCCCGGTGGCAAGAAGAGGCCATCGGCCGCGGTAAACTTGATCGGTAGAGTGGACTCCCGTCCCGCGAGGAGTCGTGCAAGTGCTGACTTGTGGATAAGCTGGTGGCGGTGCTGGTATGATGGAGGCACTTGTGTGTCACCCGCTTGGTATGTGCAGTCGTTCTACGATGCCGAATTCATGAAGTTGACTTTCCAGATACGATCAAGGTCCGCATGCAGCTGTCGCGGAGAGCTCGCGCTCCCGGGGTGAGTTATAGTTGATTCGCGAATCCAATTGCTGTCGCTGATGAGTTCGGACCATTCCAGGCTAAACCCCGTGGGTTCGTGACTACCGGCGCGGAGATTGTGAAGAAAGAGACAGCTCTTGGTCTATACAAGGGTCTGGGTGCCGTGCTGGGCGGTATCATCCCCAAGATGGCCATTCGGTTCACATCGTACGAGTCATATAAGGGCATGCTGGCAGACAAGGAAACCGGGCACGTCACAAGCAAAGCCACCTTCCTGGGTAGGTGACGTACTATGATTCTTCCGATTCACATACTAACCGTGCAACAGCCGGCCTGGCAGCTGGTGTGACCGAAGCCGTGGCGGTGGTCAACCCGATGGAAGTGGTCAAGATCCGACTGCAAGCGCAACACCACAGTCTCGCCGACCCGCTCGACACACCCAAGTACCGCAGCGCACCGCACGCGCTCTTCACCGTCATCCGGGAAGAAGGGTTCAGGGCGCTCTACGGAGGTGTCTCCCTGACAGCCCTGCGGCAAGGAACCAACCAGGCTGCCAACTTCACCGCGTACACGGAGCTGAAGGCTGCTCTCCAGAAGTGGCAGCCGCAGTACGCCGACACGCAGCTGCCCGCGTACCAGACCACGGTGATCGGTCTGATCTCTGGTGCTGTTGGACCCTTCTCCAATGCTCCCATCGACACCATCAAGACCCGATTACAGAGGACTCGCGGCGAGCCCGGTCAAAGTGCCGTGTCGAGAATCATGATCATTGCTAAGGACATGATCAAGACCGAGGGCACACGCGCCTTCTATAAGGGTATCACGCCGCGTGTGATGCGTGTTGCGCCCGGTCAGGCTGTCACTTTCACGGTGTATGAGTTCCTTAAGGGGAAGCTGGAGGATTCGAACTGGGCCTTTGTGGGTGGGAAGTACGAGGAGTAAGGGTACGTCCAGACTAACATGGAACTTGAGAAGCATTGTACATAGTCATCTGTATATTTAACAGAGATCATCCATTTGTCTTCAATTTGTGGTCGCACATCAGTGGATCTTGCTTGGTCTATTATTGGCAAGACCGCTTCAAATCATGTAATATGCATCTACTAATCTCACCAAAGGCGCCGTTGCTTTTATATATCCTGTTCATCTAGTTCTAGTTCCATCGGTGCGTTTCGAAGCGGATGGTTTCTATCCCACTTGATCCCCGAAGACTTGAAGCAGAAAAATCACACTCCTGAGAAGGGTGAAGTCAGTGCAGTAGACCTTTTGTCGTCTATTCAAGGGGCGACGGTTTCAAGAGTGCATTTAGCCAACCCGGATGCCGAATCAAAAATCAACATCTCGAAGAGAGGTCGCCATATCCCGCAGTGTGGGGTCAGCCCTTACGAGCATGTGGGATGTTGACAAGCACTCGGATGAAGACTCAGCCTCGATGCATGTCCTTTGGAGAGAACTTTTATGTACCTGTAGAATGACACCATGTTTGATCGTGCTATCAAGTGCCAAATCTATTGCAAGCTTGACGCCATTCTTTGTGGCAATTGAGCCGCATAAGTAAATGGGGTTGGTTATTCAAGGTCATCATACAAGTGGATTCCTTCCTTCCCCTCCAAGCATCCTCCACCGACATTCTTACAACCACCACCACCATCACATCATGCAGTCCGGAATCTCAGGTAATACCACACTTCTTGTCCATTGAATGGTACTAAATAACACCCACAGTTTCCCCGGAGCTCCACGATGCCTTCGCTCGTTTCACTGCGGACCCCTCCACCTTCTGTCTCCCCGTAACCATCACCTCGGAGAGCCTGACCCCCCTGGACCCGATTTCGCTCACCTCGACCTCCCCCGATGGCTTTTTCGCCTCTCTGCCACAATTGTCCTCGATCCTCAAGCCGCAAACCCCAATCTACCTCCTCCTGCGCCGGCCCACCTCAACCTCTTCGTCGCTGGTAGCCCTGACATACATCCCGTCCAACGCGCCCGTGCGCTCCAAGACTCTCTTCGCTTCGACCCGTGCCACGCTGGTCCGTGAGCTGGGGACGGAGAAATTCGCCTCTACGGTGTTTGCTACGGAGGAGGACGAGGTCGTTGGTCAGGATGCGTGGAAGGAGAGGGATGGTGAGAGTACCGACGGGACCAGTCGGGAGGAGCTTATGGGCGAGAAGGAGAGGGAACTTGAAGCTGTGCGGAGGGCAGAGGCTGAGGCGAGGAGTGGTACGCCCCAACGGGATATTGGAATCGGGGGCACTTTTGCCAGAGGTAACTTTGGGCCCGGCTCGGGGTCTGGTATGAGGGTTTCTATGCCTGTGGATGACGAGGCGAAGACCGCGCTGAAAGAGTTGCAGGATGGTGGGCTCGTGCAGCTGGTGAGGATACCTGGAAACTACATTCTACGTGTCGGAAAGATATTCTAACAAGTTCACATTTGATTCTGTGCAGACTATCGACGTCCCCACGGAGACTATCAAGCTGGCCGACTCCCAGTCCGGTGTGGCGGCGGGCGCCGTCGCCACTCATATCTCCGCGTCCTCGCCCCGATACTCCTTCTACCACTATCCCGGCTCTGATGAGGTTGTTTTCGTTTACACGTGCCCCACGGGGTCGTCCATCAAGGAGCGCATGCTGCATGCCAGTTCGCGGCGGAATGCGCTCGCCATCGCCGAGGAGCAGGGGCTCACGATCTCAAAGAAGGTATGGCGTGCCAGACATGGGTTGGAGATTATAGTGCTGACAATCGGTAAAACAGATCGAGGCTTCGTCGCCCGACGAGGTCACAGGAGATCGACTGCAGGAAGAAGTTCACCCGCCACAAGACCAGGGTCCTGCACGAGGATTCGCCAGACCCCGTCGTCCGGGCCGGTAATCGCGACGTTCCCCTTGTAGAGACAGCAGGAAACAAATCCAGTTGATGGCTCTCATATATAGCTCCACCAAGCATGATGATCGCAAGCGCATTTCAGAGAAAAAGCCATTCGTGTCGCTAGGCTGAACATTGTAATAATCCCACCAGCTTCAACCCAAGAACCCGCCTCATTGAACCACAAGAGGCTGGCCAACGCGGGGCGTATCAATGATTTCGAAAACTCTTCTTTTGATAGAATAGATCTGTCCTCGAACTTCCCAGATTGATAATTTTCGGACACCCGTCTCGATCCTTTTCCAGGCGCGTGCATTCAAAGCAGTAGAATGCGTCGCTGATGCCCTCGCCACCGCACACCACGCACTTGTTCTGGTAGTTGCCAAAGGAGCACTCATCGCAGATGCGCACGAGGGTCGTGGGACGCACGTAGGAATCGCACACGGGGCATTTGCCGTCGCACTTGTCGCACAGGCGGCCGATAGAGATGCCGGGTTGCTTGCGGCACATGACGAGGTCGGGGTGGTGGCGAGACATGGTGTTGGCTCAAAAGAGGGACAGTGATATGAGGTGTGGGAGCTGAAGGAGGATGAGTTCGAGGTGTTCGGGTGTTAAGAGGAGCGAGCGACAGGGGATTTGTAAGAAAGAGAGAGAGAGAGAAAGGGAAAGAAGGAACGGAAGAGAAGAAAGCAAACCGTGGTCCGTGCACGTGAGCCGTGGTACCTAGCCTGGGACGTTTGCCGGACGAACTCGACTTGCCTGGCAATTCGATCAGTCAGTATCCGACTGGAAGAGCTTGACTGGAAGACAAGGGATTATCAATCTGTTGGTCAACGACTTCCAATCGGACATCTCGTCCCCCACATACCAACATGTCTGAGTACGGCTACTCCATTCTCTGCGTCGCATCCTGCTTCACCTCCACACTCAGGGCTAAGCTAATCTGCCCATTCTAGGACCCTCGCCTCAGCGGTCGCAGTACCCGAGCAAACCGCCCTCCAACCCGCCGTAGAATCAACCACAAAACGTCGCAAGTCCTCCACAGCGGAACACGACCCCAAGCGTCGCCGGCTTGGCACAGAAGCGGGCGATAATACCTCCCCGTACTCAGAACGCCGACGCGCATCCTCACAAGAGCTTACTCCAGACCATCCACCACCAGAAAGAAAGCTCACTCGGCAAGGTGCCGGACGCGACGAGGAACGGAAACGCGGCCAGCGCTTGTTCGGCGGATTGCTGGGAACGCTCTCGCAGAGTTCGACTTCGGCGGCGCAGAGGCGTCGCGCTGATATTGAGAAGAAACAGCAGGATAAGCTGAAATCGCAGGCGGAAGAGTATGGTGAACTCAAAAAGCAGAAGCGGGAACAGAGGGATGCTATTCGGAAGAAGGAGCACCCGTTGTATGAGCGCGAGGCGATGCGGACGAGACATGTGAATATGCTGGCCATGGCGCATTCTTTGAAGACCCGTACTAAGCCGGTTCTCGTGGGTTACACTCTCTTGACCATGGAATCGCCACTCGCTAACAGTGTGGTTTAGTACTACAAACCGTGGCAGCTACGGCGTCAGGATGAAGCAGTGATACAGGAGCAAATCCAGGACGCCGAAGCGACTGTTGCTCGAGAGATCGCCGAGTTTGACGCCCGGTTCCCTCCTGAGACTACTCGATCTGAAACGTCGAGGCGCAATTCAAAGGAAGAAGTCCTCCAGGCCAAGGGACCATCACACAGTTCGGAGACTGAGCAACAAAATGGACCATCTCACGAAAAATCGGTCTCGGAATCCGAAGCACAATCAAACGAGCCCCAGAACCCTTCTCCCGAAGCACCGGAAATAGTAGGTGGAGACGGTGCCCAGGACCAAAGCTCTGCTTCAGCTAAACCAGACGATACGCCTATGAACGGAAGCGCTACTGTGCACGATCATATTGATGTCCATCGCGGCGCTGATGATGATGGAGGCGAAGTTGTTGAAGACAACGAAGACACGGTGATTTATTAGCGCTCTTCTTCTCTTGCTCTATGCTCTCGAGGCAGATCGAGGACACTACGGTGTGAGCTACACGCTTGATCTAAAAGTGGACAGATCCACTAGGTTTGATTCAATGATATCATGAATTCAGAAAAGGATACTGGCACAGGCATGCCTTTCGTGGTAGTGAAATTCCCGTCCATTCCATAACCAGGCCAACAATTCCTTCTACAAACTCTCCACATTCGGGATTAAAATGAGTCCAGGCTTCTTCCTTGGCGTGTTATTTGTCGAAGCAAACAGCAACACTACATTCCCCTTATTGTAAAAGCGCACTGCAATATCATAAACCCAAGAACTCTCCATGGGATCGACGAGTCCCTCGATCTGGAATCTCTCCACAAAACGTTTATCACTCTTGCGGTGAAGCGCTATATCGGCGAGCGTCACGGGTGCAATATCCCGATAATGGATTCCCCGCTAGGTCATGGCATAAGTCAACGGGAACTGGTAGGAGGCTGGATCGATTTGGGGAGGTGTCCAGCGGCGTTCTGGCGTTTGGCGTATCTCCTCGCCCAGATGAAGAAAAAGGCTAGACAGAGGGCGACAACGCGGGCGATCCCCATCTGGTGCCAGAAGCTGATATCCTCCCGTTGTTTCTTGTTTATGGATTCTGGCGGCGAGACACACCCTTGAAAACTGCTTAATATCAGGACTACAGCATGGAAATAAACAGACTTGGAATGAGCATTTTTTGTAATTAGAAATACATGAATCGTCGGATATTACTACCGCCATAATCTATAGCCTACGCACAAGTTCAAAAGAGTCCAGGCCAGCGAGAAGGGTATCGAGCACAGCCCCCTCTCACCACAGGAGGAGGTGCTATCGCCAGCCAAAATCGTTTTTGTGGGACGTTCACTAGACCTAAGCCTTGACGCCCTTCATATAATCATTGTACTGTGTGGTATCCACAGTCTGCACCGAGACGCGGGAGTCAATCTCTTTTGTCGGAGTGGAAATACTGACAGCTGTGTCGGAGGTGCTTGTTGTGTTGCCGGTAGAGTCGGTCGAGTCGGTCGAGTTGGAGTTGCCACTCGACTTTCCACCAGACCAACCGGATCGGTGGGCTGAAGACCGAAGCTGGGACCAGAAACCTCTTCCGCTGGTCTTGAACAAGGGTCGCAGGTTCGGAAGACAGGCTGCGATGATGCCAACGGCGGCTTCGGTGCAGGTCCACATGGCCACGGGGGCTTGGTTATCTGTACAAAGGTGGGTGAGCAATGTGGATGAAGAGATAAGGGGTTGACGGTACTCACAAGTGATATCCGGGCCCGCCTTGGTGAGTTCAATCATGGCGTACAAGCGGACGATGTCGAAGACCAAGGTCCTGTTATAGATCATCAGCTTATTTCTTGATTGAAAAAGGACGAGGGTGCGTACAAGCCACCGACGAGGAAGACACCGGAAAGGAGTAGTTTCTGGGATTTGGCGATGGGCAATTTCCAGACAACATTCAGTGGCATGCACAGAAGAATGGCATCCGTGAGGATGTTCGGAATCTGGATGCCGTAATAGAACTTGGCGGCGTCGATGCATGCTCCCTCGACAGTGGGATCCCAGAACTTGTTCACGGGGATGCACATCAAGCCAGTAGTCACGAAGACGGCCACGGCCCACATAAGAACAATCGTTCCCACAATGTATATCGCAGTCAGCATCTTTTTGGTGGCGAACAGGCGCTTGTACAGTGCCAGGATCGATAGCTTGACGAATACGACTGTAGCGGTGTACGGGAATGGATTGGCCCATCCGATCTGGCTGAGTTAGGATGGCGCACGCTTCTCATGCAGGGCCTGCAAACATACCTTGAAGAAAGTCTCCAGGTTTTCCTTGGGCACCATGGTGATGTGCGATCCCAATCCATTCCAAAGGACTGTGTTTCGTTGATTAGTTTCAGAAAATAGTGCCAGGATCAAGTCACTCACGGATTGCAGTTCCGATCGAGCATCCATATTTGAAAAGCTGCCATGATCTAGTCAGTTTATAATCAATAAAAAGGTTGATGACACGGATTCCTTACCAGAGCAACCAGAATCAACCAATCGTCCAAGAATAATTTGCTGCTAGTAAGCCTTCTCGCAACCAGGCGGAGTACGACGGCGAGAGTAGACAAGGTAAAGGCAAAAACAAGCGAGATCTGGATAGGACGGCGGATATGTTCGTTAGGGTGTTGAAAATCACCAGGGACCCATGTGGCATTATGGGACGTTTGGTTTGAGGGCATCATCTTGGCAGGCAACGGGGCAAGGCAAGCGATTTGGAATATACAAAGTCAAAATAACAAAAAGTTTTGAAAGGAGCGGGAATTTGGAATACTTGCCACTATTAATATAGGAGGGATACTTTTCAAAGGGGATAAGACATCCAATAATTATAGACAAGTCATTTCTTAGATTGTGTTGACATGCTGCGAAAGTGACATAGATTTCCTATAGATCACCCGCGATGCAGGTGGGGGGTGTGCCAAGGCACGGAAGGGATGGCCGTTAGTCTCACTAGCCTCGTATGATATGGGTTCACGGGGTTCTCAGACTTTCTTTCGATCGAGGTTCAGATAGATCATCTTTACCCCACCACGCAAAAGTACAGTTGACGCCATGACACGATTGGCAAGCTTCTGGTGAGGGTTTTAATGTTGATGTTTGAAAACCTTGCGATGTGTTTTAGACGAAATTTTCTTTGATTTACCCTCATCTGTAGTACATTGACGCGAAAGTCGAACAATTAATTCGCTGTGCGACACGTCCTTGCGTCAATTAATTCCAACACGAACCGCGTTTTTGATCATCGATCTGATAGTTCTAGGGCAGATCAAAGCATACTAAATACCGATGTCGCGCTCCATCCCTCGCTTTCCAAGTAACACAGATCCTATGATCTGCAGAACCTATCCGTTGTCCAGACTACTCGTTGCTAGATGTCTCACAGAGCAGAGGCTGAATGTACTTTTCTATATATCTGTAGATCTTCACAACAGTTGCACATTCCTTGCTATACTCTTCCCAATCACAGACCATGCAACCCAGCAAAGGGATCTAGACTCGGATCTTCGTGTCGAGTATACTCTATCCCATCGGCAATCTTCTTTGCCGTCTGCATGCCAAACACCTCCTCAATCCAAGCTAGCGTCACATCAATCCCAGCACTGACCCCAGAAGATGTCCAGATATTCCCATCCGTAACCCATCTGGCGCGAGGGACCCAAATCACCTGGGGTCTCCAGGCCGTGATCTCCCGCCACGCCATTTTATTGGTCGTGGCGCGTTTCCCGTCCAACACGCCGGCCCGCGCCGCGAGCCCGGAGCCAGTGCAGACGGTAATCAAGTACTTGAGCTGCGGGTATGTGGTCTTAATGAATGCGATGAGTTCTTGAACTACGGAACTAGAGCCGCGTGTACCCCGACCACCCGGGACGAACAGTACATCCAGTGGCGGTGCGGTAGCAAAGGTATGAGTTGGAACGACGGATTGGCCGATCGCATCGGGGAAACCGGGCGGCTTTGTCGTTACGGGCTCCAAGGTCGAGGAGAGTATAGACAGGGAGAGCCTGTGGCTGTCGGTCCGTGAGAGGACATTGATGCAGTCCAAGGGACCGAATACATCTAGGGCCTGGAAGCCGGGGAACAAGGCCACCCCGAACCGGAGAGGTTCATCATATGCTTGATTTCCTGGATCTTCATTAGATGTGAACCCAGCGCAATTGCCACGATGACGCAGAAAAGCTTACCGGCCATGATCTACTGTGTGTGGGGGGGTTTAATGGAGGTGAAGAGGACAGTCTTGCTGATTCCGATGAGAAAGTCCGCAGGATCCCTGTCGCATTCTGGACTCTCATTCGATGGCGGGATTCGGGATCTTTAACGCGCAGTAGTCAATCCATGGGGAACGAATCCGGGTCCAAGTGATTGATCATTCCCTTCAACACGATAAGATATATCGAACAGCTCTACGCGGGGTTTAACGGCTTGTCAGATTTCTGAAGATCGCTGGGGCGTCGATCCAAGGTATATTTTTCGAATAGATCACATTGTGGAGGGTGTGTGTGTTGGCCTCAACACCCACCAAAATGGACATGTTGGAGGAGGAAATCGAGTCCAGACCAAATCGGCAAACGCGCTATACATTGATTTCCCATCATTCAGTTGTGATAGTCTTCGCTGGCCCAGCAACTGTAGAGAAATATTGATGCGACCGCCCGAGGATATATGTAAAAGGATTGACAACAAAGCAAGGCAGGAGAATGACACGACGCAAGGGATGCCCAGCACTATCGGAACAATGGTTTAAGATCTGAAGACAATTATCTTGTCCTGTGCATGGCCGACGTCGATCATGCAACAGTAGTGAGGGATTGTGCAAGAGCGGGAACGGACCGAGGCATCGCGAGTGAGTGCGTTGACGGCGGTGCGGGGCATATCGCATGACGTTCGAGCTTGGATGGACCAAAACACAACCACACCCGGGTACTCTGTTGGTCAATTATGGCCGTCGACAAGGTAAACGTATTGGGCGACTCGCGCGTCGAGTATCGCTCTGCGACACTTAATGGGAACCAGTACTGTCAGTACCTGTCGAGCAGTTCGCGCACCTCTGCATGGTTAACGAAATAATCCAGCCTATCTCTTCAGTCAGCCACCATCAGGACAATACCGAGCAACTATCTTCCTGGTGAGCAAGATAGATCTTCCAATTGCCACCACGCAATGCCCTAACCACATACAACAACCCCCAGATCCATGGCTTCCCCGACCTATCCATGGGATGGCGCTACCAGATCCCAATGCTAGTCAACCTAGGCCTGCGGGTAGTTGCACCAGACTGTCTCGGCTACGGACGAACAGACGCCCCCGAAGATCCCACCCAATACTCCCACAAGCGCTGCGCAGAGGACATAAAAGCCCTAGCTGCCCACCTGGACGCACCGAAGATCATCCTAGGCGGACACGATTGGGGCGCTGCGCTGGTCTACCGCGTCGCGCTTTGGCATCCCGATCTGGTAACCCACGTTTTCACCGTGTGTGTCCCCTACGCCCGGCCCCAAGCGCAGGACGTCGCCCTGGAAGACCTCGTGCGCACCGCTGCGCCGCATTTTGCGTATCAGCTTCAGTTTGCCAGTGGGGAGTTGGAGAAGGTTGTTCGGTCGAAGGATGAGATTCGGCAGTTTTTGATTGCGCTTTATGGTGGGCGGACGGAGAAGGGTGAGCTTGGGTTTGATGCTGAGAAGGGCGTGCTTCTTGATCGGGTGGCCCGGTTGAGGCCTTCAAGGCTGTTGAGTGAGGATGTATGTTGGGTTCTTTCCTTGTATCGGGTATTGAGTTGTTGTATGACTGACATCGTCCTAGGAACTAGAGTACTATGCGACGGAATTCGCTCGGCATGGCGTCCATGGACCGCGTATGTCAATTTATCAACTCCCTCTACAGCAATGAACACTGACTCCGCGACAGTGAACTGGTACCGCACGCGAAAAGTCAACTACGAAGAGGAACTCGCTATCCTCGACCGCCAAATCACCGTCCCGCTACTGTTCATCCAGGCCCTGAGAGACCAGGCCCTGCCGCCTCACCTGGGCAAATCAATGGCGAAGCATATTCCCAGTTTGACCCTGAAGCAGGTGAATACTTCACACTGGGCATTATGGGAGAAGCCCGAGGAGGTGAATACTATCCTTGCTTCGTGGTTGAAGCAGGTGGTTTTTGTTGATACTCGCTCGGGAAAGCTTTAGCTTAGAATGCGTGTATGAAAGACAAAGGATATTAAATTTTGACGGACGGATCTTGGGATTCGTAACATCATCACAGAGCAGTAGCATATCATAGCAATTAAGCAACCGAAATGGCCACCTGACCAGTAAGCGCACTTGGATGTCATCAGATCAATGACCCGCAATTAACTAGTACTGGAAAACCTTGGTTTCAATCCGACAGCCCACATTGTCCAGGCGGTCGACAAAGTCCTGGCCCAAAGTAGCGGTGGTAACGATACCGCCCCGCGAGACCTTCTTCACCTTCTCCTCCTCTTTGAGAATCACCATCGCAGCTTCGGCTAGCAGCACACCCGTAAGCAGGTACATACTGCCATGGTAAGTCAGCTTGCCGAACACGCGCTGCGGAGCAGGGGTATTCTGGTCCGCCGTAGCGACAGCATGGTACTCGAGCCGGTCGTTCAGCGAATCCTCCTTCCGCGGCCCATTACCAGGAGTGTAGATGAATTTCCGGACCAGCCAGCGCACGGGCGAGAGTGCGAGGAGCGCCAGACCGAGCATAAAGCCGACGTGGACAGCGACGCCAATAAATGCGTTGCGCACATGTAGGAACTGGTGGAAGACAAATCGGTTGCCATAGAACTCGGGCATCAGCGTGCTGCTGCGGTGCACGATCGTGATGTCTGCGATTCCGCTAGGGGAGGTTGTCAGCGTGCCCAGGTCGCGGATCGAGCGCACACCCAGGATTTTCTGCATGATTGATTCCCGGGGAATATCCTTGGGTGGCGCGGAAGCGGCGAGGGAGAAGGGTTTCATGGATTTCATAAGCTCGGACGATGGGAGCCAGTCGAAGATGCTGAGAATGGTGTCGAGAGTGCCGCCGCTAGGGCCGGAGCTCCTGCAGGAAGAGATTAGTTGTCCGTTGGATGCGCTTTAGAGTGGGATATGGCATACTTCAATTCCTTGATGCAGCTGTTGATTCCCTTGGTCTGACACGAGAGGTCCTCGCGGACTTGCTTGACCAGAGCCCACGCCAGGATATCAGCCGGGGCGCTTTCCACACCGACAGAGGGGATGATCTATATGACATTAATGTTTCGAAAGAGCTTCCGGGATCGAGGTACACCGACAATAGCGCCATTCGCTTTAGCCGTTTCATGATATTTGTCGACAATCAGCTTGATCCACGGCGTCTCCCCGGTGCTGGTCCAAAGTCAGTCCAGATCCCAATGAGACACAAATCAAGCTCGAGCAACGTACGCATCAACGTAATGGGTGCCGTTGGCAGCGCAGGCTTCCACAACCGGAGTCGAGTACAGGTGGTAGGGCCCTACGCAGTTGATGATGAGCTTGGTCTTCTGAGCCAGCTCGTTGAGCTCGTTGGAGTTCAGCTGGACCACCAGAGTCTCTACACAGCTCCAAGTCAGTGCGCCATTCTTACCAAAAAGGGATTCAAGCCTCTTACCTGGCTGGATGCGGTCCGGGTTGATCGTCTTGAGCTCCTGGGCGATGGGCTCGAGCTTCTGCGCGTTGCGGCCGGCAATCGCCCACTTTAGATCGGTGGGCAGGTTTTGCACAATGTGCTCGCCGCACAGGCGACCGGTGTACCCGGTCGGACCGAGCAAAACGATATCGTATTGCCGATTAGACGCCATGGTGGTGTGTATTCAAGGAGGTGAGATAAAGTTGGAAGGAAGCTCGGGGGTGGATCACGGGCCAACCAAGCTAGCTCCTCGGCAAGAAGATCTTTGTGTGATTGAAGTCAAGAGTGCGGTTGGAGTGGCCACGACACTATTTGTAGGAAACCACCGGGCGGGCTGCAGCTTGGACTATGACAGGCAGCTTTGTGTCGCACGGCTTTGGTTCTGGAGATTTGGCCGTCAAGGATAGAGCTGTACAGATTGATTCGAGAGAGATCACGTGGTCGGAGGAATAGGTCTGGCCGAGATTACATGAGCTAGAGTGCCACCTTGAAATTATGGCATTCCTTGTCAAGTCAGGTGACATCAGGTGACCACACACATCCTAAGCGAGCACCCACAACCCTTCAAAGCCGCTCGATCACTCCCGCTCTGTATCCATCTTCAACCCTCATCCGTCGCACTCAGCCAAGATGACCAAGCGCACCAAGAGTATGTTTCCCCCATGCCATTCCTACCCTCACGTCACCGAAGCACTCTTTTCTAACAATCTGCAGAGGTCGGTATCACCGGTAAATATGGTACCAGGTATGCAGCACCCTCGAACCTCCCCCGGACCGACTGTGGCTCTCGATGAACGAAGAAAAACGCGGCTCCGAACAAGACACAACGATCCCGATATTGACCATCCTGACAGATACGGTGCCTCCCTGCGTAAGCAGGTGAAGAAGATGGAAATCACCCAGCACGCCCGCTACGTCTGCACCTTCTGCGGCAAGAACACCGTCAAGCGCAAGGCCGTTGGAATCTGGGAGTGCAAGGGCTGCAACAAGACCGTTGCCGGTGGCGCCTACACTGTCGCGTAAGTCCTCCTGCGATGGATGTCGAGGTCTCGGAATTTTTTTTTTCTGTGGACCATCATCACCTTCATCACCACCACACACGAGCAAGAACCGAGCCATACTAACTGACCACCGAATTCCAGCACGCCCGCCGCTGCCGCCACCCGCTCGACCATCCGTCGTCTCCGCGAGATCGCTGAGGTTTAAAAATGTGGGATGATATGGTTTCTTTTTCCTTCTACGGTTACGTCTGAATACCAAAAAATATGAGAAATTCTTCGGAATCTACCTGTTCCTCCGTTCCGTTCCCTCCGTCTGGGATTTCCGCGTAGATACGATGCCAAGAGACAATCATCCGCCGAGCGTCACACTGCCATTCTGGTGATCCGATCAGCCCCCGTAGCCCCGTGCACCGCTCGTTGTCCATGTCCGATGGGGTACTCTGAGTCAACCTTCTTATCTCCTGCCAGCTCCATTTCTCTCACCCAGTCGTTTCGACGTGGAACGACCTGTCACCCTGGTCAGCGGACCCGGTCTGATCGCATCCAGGTTTCTTACCTAACCTCACGGGCGTTACTAAGAATGGCTGACCCGGCACCTGATTCGCCTGCAGTCACGTTGCCTGGCTCCACCTCTCAAAGGCTGTTCCTCCCCACTCACCCAACTTAGTCTCCTACTTACCTCTCTGTACACCCTACTACTTCCCCATCCTCCCACCCATCCTCCCTCCGAGCTGTCTTCATGCCTCCCCCGAGCAGCTTGTTCCCACCTCACTACTCCTCTTTCCATGTCCGATACTTGTATTGTTTGTCTCGGAGACCTTGGCGAAAGCCCTGATCCTCTCGTCATCGAGCCTGCCGTGCCAAGCCTTGATATCGGCAATGCGAAGGCCGCGCTCGATGGCGACGAGGGTCAGATCGCTCAGCTGCTTCCCTGTGGGCACATCCTACACAACGATTGCCTGAAGCCCTGGGTCGAGCGCGCGAACAGCTGCCCGATATGTCGACGCAGCTTCAATATGGTCGAGCTGAGTGATCGACCGGGAGGTAAGGCAACCCCCTTGTTTAGACCGTCGGAGTCCGTTGCTAATGATTCTCTACTAGGTCCCGTCGTCTCATCGTATGCCGTTGAAGACCGAGTCCAGGTGGCCGAGGTTGATCCTTCGATGGTGATCGAATATGTCGAAGATGACCTCGCCGACTTCTTCCAGCCGTGCACCATCTGTGGGGAGGCGGATAATGAAGATGTACTCCTGCTCTGTGATGGCTGCGATGCTCCCTCCCATATCTACTGCGTGGGTCTAGACCAGATTCCAGCAGGGAACTGGTACTGTCAGGTGTGCGAGTCCCAGCGAGCGCTCGGTCCAGCCCCCGAGGTTTCCGCCCGACCCTCCCGCGCGAACGAACGGCGTAGTCGTCGGACACGGGCCCAGCGCCGCCAGTTGCAGAACCGGACCCAGCTGAATTCCGTGCATTGGGCCCGGGTCTGGCAATCTGTCTGGGATAACTTGAACCTGGACCTGGACTTCCCGTTCGACGACGATCGCTCGGCCGAACGTATACTGCAGCAACAACGTCGGGAGGAGGCCAATCAGCGCGAATTTCGTGCTTGGCAACGTCGCTTCGAAGTCGCGGAGCGTCAAGGCGGTCACAACCGGTTCCGGGACACTGCTTCGCTTTTTGATCTTGAGGCTCCTCCACGCCCATCGCGTCCTCGTGTGCCCAGGGAGCCAACTCCCGAACCCGAATCCCTGGAGGAGATGCGCGCTTGGAACGCATTTGAGCGGGCTCGAGAGATCGAAAATAATCCAAATGCGTCCAGCAGGAAGCGAAAGGAACCGACGCTTTCTCCATCCCCCGAGCCCACTGAACCGCAGCGGAAACTGAAGCGTCCTCGAACGAGACGCCCCCAGGAGCTCGCGGCCATGGCTCAGCAAAATGGCGAATCTTCTCGAGCTGCCAGCTCAAACGCGCGAGCTAACCCAGACCACCACCCGGGTGAACCGAGTTTCTTGTCATCGCTTCTAAAGGAAGTGCAAGATGCGTCGACTTCAAGCCGAACAAACTCCCATGGACCATCAGCTCCGTCATCCACCGTGCCTACCGACCATGCTACATCCGGGCCTTCTTCTCCTTCCATCTCGCCCCCTTCCTCCAACCACTCCTCTCCTCGCCTGTCATCCACAACACCGCCGCCTTTCCGAGGTCGACTTATTTCTCCCATCCGACTGTCGTCTCCGCCGGAATCTACATCGCCTCCTTTCTCTCCCGAAGTATCGTTCTCCGGAAGTCCCACGTCCCCTCAATCTGCAACCGAGAAATCTCCTGCAACCTCTCGTGTTCCTCGCTCCCGTGTTCCCCGACGAGCGATGCACCTAGCACATTCCCGATCACCCGATACATCACCCCATCGATCCGGTCCATCTCTGTCTGTCAAATCCGACATTCAGAAAATGGTCGGCACCGCCTTGAAACCTCACTACAAGAGGAAAATGGTATCGAAGGACCAATACACCGATATCAACCGGAGTATATCCCGCATGCTATACGAACGAGTCGGAGAGATCGAATCTCTGGAACCCGATTCGCGCGATGACCTCGATCGAGCTGCGAAATTCGAAGTCCAGCGAGCTATCGACGCTTTGCCTTCGCGAGGTAGTAAAGAGAAACAACCCATGACGACGGCGGACTCAGATGGCGATGGCGATGTATAATGACTGCTATGCTATGACTCAAGCTTGCATTTATCCCGGCGTTTGTTTTTATCGCTCATCGGATTTTGGATTTGGGGGGAGTTTCTTCTCAGAGGGAATGTGGAATTCTTTTCTCATCTATGGCGTTTTCTCTCTGTCGCCGGTTTATCCGAGGAAGTGGGCATCATTTTGCGTTTGTCATCAGTGTCATCAGCGAGATCTTTATGTGTCTTTTTTTCTTCGCCAATACTTTAGTTACTTTCCGGCGTGAGTGTTTTAGGTCGGTGTTCTTTGTATGCGTCTTTCGTAAGTGGATTCGGGACAGCCTTTTGAGGTCATGGTGTATACAACTAGCATTTCGTACATGAGATGGGGTTGCATAGTAGGTAGATACTGATCATTTCAGAAATTAAACCGTAATAGCATCAACATGGTAGTTCATTTGTGCCTTAGAAGCAATCGCCAACTAATCACGCACACATTAAAGACTCTTGCTTGCGAGCCCCTATTAAGACAACCCTTACTACTGTGCATCGCACGGTCAATGGGTTGACTAATCTTAGTCTGTATTTGGAAGCGGGCATATTGCTAGATTATTCAAGTAAAGATCTGCTTTACTTGACATGGGGGCCAGCGAGCCGACTTGCGTGATCCATCCACCAGGCAAATAGAACTTGTCTTTAATGAAGGCCTTGAGTTCGGCGAAAAATTCTTCAACAGGGTTTTAGATCTGGTGAGTAGGCCGGCAGGTGCAGCGATATTCGAAAACAGACTTCCCTATATAAACTCACGAATTGCTTCTCAAACTCTACCTTGAAAGACGGTAGTCTAACTCAAGTTATTCTCTCAATGCCCCCTGCTGAGTTGTATCGTAATGGCGGTAAGTAGTAAACTGGAAGACGCGCGCGTAGTTTACTACGTTATATCTGGGGTTTGCGGGCGGAAGAATTGCCGGCGCCTCAACAAAATATATACCAATTGGGCAGGGATAAAAATGGCAATCTACTACGCATCACACGAAGTCAATAACGCCAAGCAGTGTTGAGGATTCAATCAATGAACGTGGAACGTTGAAGGGATGTAAACACCGAGAGCATCGGCAAAAATATATATTGACGGTTTGAAGTGCGATTGGTTATTGATAAATATGATCCTTGGGCTCCCAGTCCCATCTTTGATACAGAGGAAAACCTGCGCACTCTGAAGATAATCTTTACACAGCAGCTATACTTTGTTACTCTCAACTCCCTGGTTTGTATAGATCGGAGAGGCAAAATATCTTCCAGCGAGTCAACAAATACATTACCATGATTATTCATTACGCCAAGCGGTTGGGGGTCAGGCTTGGGAACGGGTATCAGCATTTTCTAGCGAAAACGAATGCCACCGGACAGGCTTATTGTCGGAAATAATTCGGCATTTTAGACTGAGTTTTTGGATTCTATGTGGTATGAACCGCTTATAGGTAATGAATTGAGTCAAAGTCAAATCAGATCTCTTCCTCCTTGGGGTCATAGATATCGCCCGCCGGTGTTTTTTCCAAATGTACCCCGTCTTCGGTGACAATGGCCTTGCTAGGCACAACTACCACAAAGACCTGCGCTGCATCATGACCCCGGTTGACCCACTCGTGGTTGACACCTCGGCAGACAATTACATCGTGCTGTTTCAAGGTTTTTTCCTTGCCTCCGTCTGTGATGAATCCAACAGTGCCAGATAGGATGACAGCGTAATCCAAGCTCAAGGTGCGGTGGAACCATCCCGACTCCGCAGGGGGCAGGTACAGGATGCGACAGGATGGGCCTTTGCTATCAGCCAGAGGAACAAGAGTCTTGTGTGGGTCGGGTAGTGGGCGTTGGTTGTCAACAGGGAAGCCTCGCGAACGATGGATCTGGACGACCCCGAACGCTGCGTTGGGACTAGGAATTGAGAATGCAGGAGCGGTATTTGGGTCGTAGGGGGTTAGGATCTTGTCGGATTCGAAGTACCCCTGGCCTCTCGGGTCGCTTCCCGTTATGACTCGGCGGATAGGGGTGTCCATTCTGAAAGCGATGAAGTCGTTGATGATTTATTGATTGATTGATGTTTGTGAAATGACTCTCAACCTGTGTTTTATATGTTACTGCTGCTGCTACTAACCAGCGATTGATAATCACTTTTGTATATAACTAATTGTTAGCTGGCGATGCATAATCGTTCTGATTTATAATTGACAAAACTAGAGAAAATAACTTCAGATGGTTATGCAAACTAGGCTAGTGGATTTCACTTGCTAGCTCAACGTTCCCTTGCAATTACAAATGCAATTCGGCTTTGAAGGAACCGATGACGAGCTTTTTGAAGGAACCGATGACGAGCTTTTTGGGACAATCATAAGGACTAGCTCAAGGTGTAGGAACATACTCACCTCTATTTGCTGTTTTCTACATTTGATCAGTTATGAGAAGTGTTTTTACGTGCGCATGTTTGAGTCTGTTATCGATCACGTGTAGTCATATGATCGTCCCTCCTGTAGTTTGATTATCCACTCTATCACTGCTTACAATATAACACTCCTTTCGTCTTGAAGACATAATTTGTCTTAACAACAATTACTATTGCTTTTCCTCTGGTTTAGTCATAGCTGTAAAGAGTATCTCTTTTTTGGTGCTGGTAAACATCAGAATTCATACTCTCCACATCCCAGTCTCGCCCTCTTTCACCGCCCGTGGCCGCTGGGCGGTGGGACGCCGATTGGCCACTTACATTTATCGGGCACCGGAGCGAGCGTCAACCAAATCCATGAACGACGTTGATTGTCGGCCTTTAAAGTCTTCAGTGAATACTGCAATGGGTCCTTCTAGCTGATCTTGTCGCCTCCGTCCTTCCTTTCCCCGGACCTGTTCTCTCTTTCTAGCGCCCATCATGCCCTCCTCCACATCCACCGGCGGCGCTTCCTCCACCCCCGACGCTCTCGAATCCGACCTTCTCACAAAGCTCGCTGCTACATCCGCACTAGAAGACCTCCAAGAAACCCTTCTCGGATCCCTTCACCGCCTAGGCTGGACCGACAAAGTCACTACCCTCGCCACCGAACTCCTCCGCGCTGGCCGCTGTGAGACTTTTGACGATGTAATGGATGCAGTCGTCGCCTCTGCTGAGGGCCGGTCACATCCAGCGCTGGGCCCGGCGTCATCTTCCTACAACCAGAATGGCGACTCAAAACAGAATGGGACCAAGGGGAACGCCACCAACGGCACCGCAGTATCCGACACCCGATTTGATTCGGAAAAATACTTGGAAGGGGTCGATGTTCGAATCCCGGAGAGTGTGGTGGGAGAAGGCGTGCGCGGCCTCAAAGATATATTGCGGGACATGGTTGATCTTGAGGACGAAAGCACTACAAATGGGGACAAGAAGTAACCCAGCAGAACGACATGAATTTTGCATGGCGGTTATTCTTTGCATTTGGAGTATTGACTGGATTTTTCGGGATTCAGCGGATTTGGCTGTGGAATGAATCCTTTGCATGTGCCCAGCTACGACCCTGTGGGAACTGGAAGATCGATAGGCGTTTTTATATCACTTTGATAGACAATTGCATTTCGCGCAGGGGGCATGACATGCCCTCGGAAATACCCCGCAATTAATTTCTTTTCTTGAGCTTCTGGTTTTTACATTATTCTCACAGCTGGGTTATTGGCATCGTATCGTCATGGTCACTAGTTAGCCGCATAGAAGCAGAAACTATGGTAGCCCGACCGACCCCAATACAACTCACAAGATGTAAATAGCTCACCTCCTATCCTACGCTTTGCTTGACTTTGCCGGACAAGAAACCGGAACATATTCCCGTCGGTTTACGCATTGAGGTAACCGGACAGTGTGCCGAAACGAGGGGAAGAAGCGAGAGAACAGTAAATGACAACTGGATCATCATACACTAGGACAACACAATACAAAGGAGTAAGAGGCCTTATGAGAACTCCTCGTCGCAATTCTCATGAGCACGGTATTCGAATCAACTATGTCGCCCTATGGTAAGGCATTCTGTATCAGTCTAGACAATTGCGATGTCAATTGGTCTAACAGATACCCAGCTACACCAAGAACGCAATTCGTTCAGCTACCTACGAAGCAAAGCAGATCGCTAAGGGAGTTGAGTTCGCACCACAGGAAGATGTAGCCCTGTGCATGATGAGATTGGCAACGGATAGGAGTATCAACGGTGCGTCCTATTTCTCATCAACTCGTTTGACTTTTTCCAACCTAATATCCACTTCCCTTATAGGCCACTTCTTTATGACCACATCGAAATCATATCGAAATCTGGCGCAAGTGTAAGATTCAACGACTTTGGTATTGATGACCATACTGAAGAAGCATACCTTAAGCGCGCTCAAGATGTCCAGCTCAAGATTATTGAGGATCAATGGGTGCCAGGGTGGAGAAATGTGAGAACTGCAGAAGGTGCTACTAAGAGTTGAGCAAATTCTCTGGACTAATAGTCAGCTAAGGCCGCTATAAAGTAGGAGTTATAGTTATAGGTGTATCGGCATGACCCAATTGATTCACTTGAAATCCTGACTGATGTATCTGATATACATGCGGCAGACTGGTTTCATATGCCCTTTTCCAATCACGCTTCTTACTCGTCGCCACCACCCTCACCACCTCCAAAACCACCACCGCCTCCTGATCCCCCACCTATACCAATTCCACCTCCAGCGCCAAATCCAGCACCGAAGCCACCCCCAGCACCGAAGCCACCACCCTCACCACCACCGCCGTCGCCGCCGTCGCCGCCAATGCCGCCACCTTCACCACCTCCAGCACCGGCACCTTCTCCGCCCCCATAGCCCTCGCCGCTCCCTTCACCGGCGCCAATGCCAGAGCCCTCACCCCCGCCGAGTCCACTTCCCCATCCTCCACCGCCACCTCCGGCGGAAACCTCAGAACCTGTAATGTAAACTTGATCAGATAATGCCGTATAGGGTTTGGATAGAAAAGCACATACTGGGTTCACCGGCCACGGGAGCCGCAACAGCAGCAGCACCTAGGCTAAGGAGAGCGAGAAGATAGTTCAGCCGCATTTTGGTCGAGTAGGTTGCACTAGTCCATTTGTTAACAGTGGTAATGGATAGAGGAGGAGTTGGTATTTACCAAATTGGGTTTAGATCTTGATTGCTTGAGAGAAGACTTTATATTCTTGTTGAATGGATATGAGTGTCAAAGCGAAATACACTCATTTTATACTTTTGCATGACCATGAACTCCCTACAACAGACAAGCTTACTTGCCTTCAGCTCGGAGTGAGTTTCAGCTATACAATGAGCAAACTCCGATGTCTCAGGAGTAGGAGACCAGTCACACGTGTCTCCGAAAGTCGAGTTTATAATATCGCGGACGGATCTGCTTATCAATTGCGCTTCGTTGCCTTCTCGCCCAGTAAGACCAGGCAACATAACAATGAGCCCGACGTAACCTTTGGTAACACGCCGTAGTCCACAAAACGTACAAACAAATTCGATAGTTCAATTGGTTAATGTAGATTGTTGACATGCTCCTTCCGGGCTGGTTTGCATATATGCCTGACAGGGTGAAACATCAAGATATGGCATGCTGTGAGCAGGGTCGATAGGGTGGTACTGAGGCTAGCAGGTATCTGGCTGAAGTCTTCTGTGCATTCTGAATGATCTGGTTCCTGGAATATTGACCTTGGATGTGTGTATGACTTGTGGCCTGAGGTGTCAACATACAGCGCTGCTTGATTGTCTCGATTAGGGAGGAATATTGCTCCTTCAACTACCCAACATCTCTACACCTCTTCTCTTCCACGATCTGTGGTCTATGCGTGCCTAATAGTGTATTTCAGTCGGGGTGCTCACGTTGTGCACGAGACCCCTGTGTTAAGATACACGGGTAATCTCTTGCACAACCTCTTCAACGCACGTCCAAGAGTGCTTCTCGTACAAGAGCATGAGGAGCTCAAAAATGCCAGGCTCATATCACTGTTTCATTGGCATACCGTCTCAGGCCAAAGTAGCATACTCCTGATTCAAGGACATTTACCTTTTCAAAGCCGACTCGAGCGCTTTGGTGAGACCATCCGCTACTATGCTAGCCGTATCCGTCCATTTCACCCGGATATTGCCCGCTCCAATTCCTAATTAGACCAAGCACGCCTGATATCGATATGTCGAAGCTGTTATAGGACCTTCGCACGTTGCCTAGCATAACGTCCTAATACGAAGATCCTAACTTGAACGGCAACAACCTCCCGAATGTGTATCCACCAAGGGCACTTAAAGTATTCTCGGGATGCAAACTAAGCCAATGGCAACATCGTCCTATAAACAATATTAGTATCTCCAAGTCCACAGGTGATAGTCGAGACTAGGTTTATAGTGACTTACAAAACCTCTGTATAGGTCGCTAGTGGTCTAGATGACAACAGTCAGCGCAAAATATTCATTAAGCGGCAAATATTGAATCAACCTACCCCTTCGGGGCAATCGCAAATAGTGGTGAGTGCATCAGGATTAACTCGTGGAATTCTCGCCGCAGAAATCTAATAGCTTTCAGCATATGATTTGACTGGAGTCCACTTTAAGCAAGCTAAACATACTGAACCTAAACCAGCGCACCTCTCTGCAGTCACGAAAAAAACCACAGCGAGAAAAGCAATAGGCCGGAGAAAATACATAATGGGCGAAGATGACCAGTGCGACGTTAAAGACAAGGTAGACGGGTTAGCTATTTATTACGGTAACTCATTTCACCCCAAGCTCGAGTGCTACAGACTGCTACATACATACACAGGAGACGATTTTACTCCCTTGGAATAAAGGTCTACTATTGAATGGCACGTGGAGCAGATTCTGAATTTTGAACTCTCAAACTTTGATTCGCTGATTTCCTGCGAACAGTACAGACGACTACGGTAGGATTTCAATCTACTGACAAAATCGTAACTGATCTCAACATGCAACGAAGAGCGTTTGAACAGAGTGCATCAACAATCCGGCTTGATTTCAAAGGCACCAGCCACAGGATTGGAAAGAGACCAGGTAATACCCTCACTCATCACATTGTCCCAGTTTTTACTGGCAGACAGCTTGTCTCCATAACGTCGGAAGCCATGGGGTACACCACGGAAGACATTGACATTTGTAGGGACCCTTTCAACAAACGTCAGCAACATAACCTCAAACGATATGAAAATACGGCTACTTACCCGTTCTCACTCAGTAACATCGCATAGAAAAATCCTTCATCTCTCAGGGGATCATTTCCAGCAATTCCAAAAGTGGTCGGAGGTAAACCTTTCACCTCCTCCGCAGTCGCGTTCCCAGGATTCATTCTGCGGTCATCGGCAGATTCTTTGAGCTCATAAAGGCCTAATAACCCGCCAAACAGTCGAATGCGACTCATAGGGAGAATAGGTGCTTCGGCACACTGTATCAAACTCGACAGCTCGGGGCTAGACAGCAATGTTTGGCGAGGAGCATAGTAGTAATCGGTATGCGCAACACACGGGATCATGAGGACCTGCCCTCGGATTTTGGGACAGGCAGCAAGGCGCTTATCTTGGCCGTTTGCCTGAGCCAGTGTCAGCGAGGCTGTCAACCATGCTCCAGCCGAGATACCGCCGACGACAACCTGGTCGGCGACCCCACCAATTTCGGCGATGTGCTCGTGTACCCAGACAAAGGCGTCTTCAGTGTCATTCCAGGCGGTTGGATAGCGGTGTTCTGGGGTATGACGGTAGTTGACATTGAAAACGACCACAGGCTTGTTCTTGCTTGCGCGAGAGACTACAATCCGCGAACAAATTGCGTCTTCGGAGGACAATGTGCCAAGTAGGAACCCTCCGCCATGCAAATGAATGTATACTGGCAGAGGCTCATTAGCTGGCACGCCCGCCGGACGATAGGTGCGTGCTTCGAGGGTTGCACCGTCACGAGTGCGAACGGTGAAGTCTTGCATTTGGACTTGAGACTTGAGGCCTAAACTGGGGGTCAGTGGTTGCCTTGCCTTCGGTAAATTTCATGCATGGTGACATTGTACCTTCCATCCCCTTTGCGGCCAGCTCCTCGCGATTTTTGTTAATGAAATCTCTCATCTCCAGGGCCGATAAGTCCTGTGGCAGAGCAGGGAGGGTCGGCTCAAGCGCGACCCAGTCGGCGCTTGGCCCTGTGTATTCTGAGAAGTCGGCCATGATAGTGGGCAATAATAATGATAGAACAGTAGCAATGCAAGGCAGATGAAGATCGTGCTACATTGTCAGAATCCGGTAACCCCACCACATTCAAGTTCGCCTCGGCTCAATCTACTCGCAGCAATCGCCGACCCCGCATAAATTCCACACTAGGAACTCGGGTAGATGTGGATCTGCCCGGACATCATTTACCGAGACCGAAGTCCGGCGTCTTATATTGGCTATTCAATGTCCATTGTGCGATAAAACACCCACCTTCTGTACCTTTCTCCCGCTCACCTCCAAAACGCGACAATGGACTCTGCTATTTCATCCGAACCCCCCTCGCGGTCTTTGAAAGGCAAGGTTGCCATTGTGACAGGGGCAGGCTGCCTAGGAGATGGAATTGGTAACGGACGTGCTATTTCTATTTTGCTGGCCAATGATGGCTGTGATGTGGTCTGCGTCGATCTCAATGTAGAATGGGCAACTAAAACTACTGAGATGATCGCCTCGAAAGCCGGCAGAGGACGAGCCGTTCCATTCCTTGCAGACGTGACATCATTGAAAGACTGCGAGGCCGTGGTAAAATATGCTGTGGAGCAGTTCGGACGTCTTGACATTCTGGTTAACAATGTCGGAATTGGAGGCGCGGCGGGAACAGTAATGGAGGTTGATATGGTCGAATGGGCCAAGAGTATGGAGATCAACGTCGCAAGCATGGTGCAGATGAGCAAGTATTCCATTCCGGAAATGATGAAAAATGAAGGAGAAGTTAAGGGGAGTGTCGTCAATATGGGCAGTGTCGCCGGTCTCAAAGGTGGGACGCCACATCTACTGTATCCGACTGCCAAGGGCGCCGTGGTGAACATGACACGAGCAATGGCAGCCCATCATGCGTCGGATGGTATTCGAGTCAACTGCGTTTGCCCTGGGGTACGTTTGTGCTGGCTAATTGATTGAAAATCTTGAGTTGGTAACTGACTGAAAGGCAGATGCTCTATACGCCTATGATGTATGGAAAGGGCATGAGCGAGGAGGCACGAGAAGCCCGGCGGAAGAGAAGCTTGCTTGGAACCGAGGGAAATGGATGGGATTGCGCTGGGGCGGTCGTATTTCTGGCCGGGCCTCACGCCCGGTGGATGACTGGAGTCATTCTTCCAGTCGATGCTGGAACAACGGCAGCCGTGGGCATTGGAATGACCAAGAGTGCTAGTGTAAATGGCTAACTATGATGATTTTTTTTTGTGTGAATAGAATTTGTAAAAAACTATCATTGAACAAGCATTGCCAGATGAACTAAAATCAAATGGCTATCTTAGATCAAATCTGACGCTAGATGAGGTTATTAAAGACTGACTGAGAATGATAATGGCCGGACAGTCCGAATAGAGTTGCAGGTTGTCACTCTTTTCTTTACTGTTCTAGGCAGACAAGTTCTAAATTAGACGTTGTGGGCTGTCAGTCCACGTTGGATCCCTCCAATGTAGGTAGACTATTCGGGTCAACACACTGGCAGTTGTTGGCATCGTAGCGAGTTCACCCTCAGACGGCAATACTGGCTTCATACAGCCGGTATGCTAACCCAGCATACAGCCGGTATGCTAATCTAGGGTCAAGTGGGTATGTGGGGAAGACAATAGCCCCGCATGGGATCATGTCTGTTGTGAGCATAAACATATTGCGCTTGATCATACATTCTCTGTGAAATCCTTCAAAAACGTCTGCTCTAGGGTGGCTGCACTCCACCGGTCATCAGCCAAATAGAAGGCGCGCTGAGCTTGCTGTGTCGCATATCATAGCATATAAGATTGATTGTCCACGATAGCGAAATGATCGCATTTGAATCATGGCTCTAGATAAGATGTGATCTTCAAGCCCGATGTTATCAAGGACAGAGAAAGTGAAGTAAATGCGAGACAACGGGCAAGGAGTGCCGGTGGGTTGCCTCCAGTCCATTCCGCCCGATACACTCAGTTAGGCTGAGCGTGGAATGCAGCAAGAGGCCCTCTCTCGAAACACTCCCTTAACGCCGCCTGATAGCAATGCTAGTAGTCAGACTTTCTCTTCGCATCATAACTCCGCTGCCAGCGAGGCCCGAAGCCAGATCGCGTTGCCCTGTGACCAAGTTGGATTTTCGAATAGAGTCGACATCCTTCCGGCTGGGAAAAAGACAATAACGAGGTAGATTTGGCTTAAGATAGGCTTGAGTAGCCATCATCATCAGCACACGATGCACATCTGAAGAGAAGAGGCTTCGACAGAGCACGGTGGTCCAATCATGTGACATATCACAAAATGGCAGAGGAAGCTCAACAAAGACCAGCTGTGACCAACGATTCGTCCACAACACCACGCACAGAGGATAACTCAGAGCACAATGATAGCTATCCAGTTGGACCTGTTGTCTTTCTACCTGAATTGCAGACAAATGCCAGGGATCAGGAACGCCTCATTGCGGGAAGACAGCCAAAAGCACTAACCTTGCCAGAACCGGGTTTACAGCAATCATTTGCCGAAACCTATCTCGAATACTGTTATCCGTGATGTCCAGTTCTCGAACGGGATGAAAACCAATATTGTATGAAGCCGAGATGCCGAAACTAAAATCCCATTGGTACCAATCGACTGTGAACGGCAAATCTCGCCATAGTCAACCTCATTTAGCGTTGAATCTAGATTGGTAGATGCGCCAAGAAGCATGGCTTTCTAAAACCTGGGTTCGACCACTAGATCTTTTGAAGATGAGAACGAGCATGGATTCCCAGTAAGATCCCTGTGCCAGTGGCTATCATATTTAGAATCAATAGTTTCGATATATTCTGTAGCCGATGTGCGATGCCCGAAATATTTGATATAGCAGTTCCGTTCTTGGATTTCGTAAATGGGAAGAGTAAATAGCAGTTTCTCACCAATCAGCTACGTAATAAATAAGTCTAAAGCAGGCACTTTCTAGTTAGTCTGTGGTGGGTCTGCCCTGAAACTGGTCTTCCACGGTCTGGCCGCATGGTGATGGTGCTTCGACGACGAACAGCATGCACTCAGGACATACCTGTTCATAATCGAAGTGAGGGCAATAAAATATCAGCATTCGATGGGAAATATTTCTATCCCTACAATAAGACAAACCAGTTGAACCTAAATCCTCGTGTCATTATATACTTGGGGAGTCCAGACCTGGTCACGTGTCCGCCCATTCACTCTCACCGTGCCTTGGCCCTTGTCTTTGGTCTGACACTGCCCTCGCTCGTTGTCCATCATCGCCTGCCTGCATCGTGCCGTGTTGTCGAGGGAATCTCCCCCAGTTCGCCTCTCCCCGACCCTTCCCGCCCGCCCCTTCGCCCCCTGAAAAGACCAACTTTTCCCACCCCCGGCCCTCCAGCTTCCCCGCTCTGTCGTTCCTGGCGGTGCCTGGGTCAGCGCTCATTTCCATCCACCCCACACGCGTCGCTTTCCACGACAGCGTTCACAGCCTATCAGTCGGTCACTGAGCTCGGCTTCCTCGTCTGCTGCAGTCAGAGCCCCCCGGTCAATGTGGTCGGCGCGCGAGCCCTAGCCCGTGTTGTCCTGCCTGGTTGCGCTTTCATGAATCGGATCATTCCTCGCATCGTGCTTGCCAACTAGTTTCGCTGGTCATAACTCGTCGTGGTCACTGCGCTTTGGCGGCCCGCGCCTCTCCGTCCTCATAGTCGCCCGTTAATATTAGCCACCTGAAAATCTCCTTTCGCCATGCTCCACACATCCTACCACGCAGATTCCGATGCGGACGATGAATACGAACGCAGCGTGATTACCTCTCCGCGCCTCCCTACAGACTCGGAGACTTCACCGACAGACTCTGACATACCTTCTTCGGAACACACCCCGACCAAGTTTGGCTACTCCGATGACCGCTCTCCCCGGACGGTGATTACAGAATGGACGGTCGATGAGTGCCTGGAATACTTGACCTCTCTGGGTCTGCTTCAGTACCACGGTACATTCAGAGGTGAGTTTGCTGGGCTGAAAGGGGTAGGCGGGACTACGGACTTGATTGCTGACTACCATCGGCCAAACAGAAAATGGAATCGTCGGTGAAGCGCTCATCGCCCTGAGACATGAAGAGCTGAAGGAGATGGGAATTAATAGCGTCGGACACCGATTGACGATTCTCAAGACTGTGTATGAAATGAAAGTCAAACAGGGTGTCCCGCTTGAGGCGGACCATTACATTCCACTGTGTATGTCCCCACCGAATCGCGTGGGCTTTTGATCTGGCGCTAACTTGCCCACTCAGCAACGGAGCAAAGTATGAATGAAAGTGCATCGCAAGACGATATTGCGCGTTTGATTCAGTCCATCCGACTTCGGGACGAGAAGCTCATGGCCGTCGAGATAGAGCTGCGCCGGGTTTCCGAGGACTACCGCCGATTACGGCAAGAATTATTGCCAGTTTTCAAAATCGCCAAAGATCGGTCACATCCGCTGCCTCCTCCTTCGTCTTTTGGGCAATCATCCGAAACGTTCTACGATTCCCAGACTCTCACCTCTCCCTCACAACTCACGCTCCCCGATCAGTCCAAACTCTCCAGGGGTGTCTCAAAACGCACCTACACTGGAGGTGTCACGCCCAAAAGCAGTTCACCAACACATATCCCCTCTGCCCATGAACGGCCCGGGTCAAGTCTGGAGCCTTCGGCAGCTGCCATGGCTGCTTCTACTCACCTGACTGCTTCCCTCAATGGAGGACTACAACACTCACCAGGGATGCCATCTCCGACATCTCCAAGCGGGCTTTATGGACAACAACAGACCCTTAATCCGCGATCCTATTCTCAGCCCAGGGAGAGCAATATTGGTCGCACAGGACATGACCATGATGAGACAGCATCCGTGCATACTCGGTCAGATCGACTGACTACAAGTCATCCGCCCACATCACGGACAGACACTCCCTCCTCAAACTCGCGGGTCGAATCGCGGGCTGGCGGGGAAGCGACACCCAGTGTGGAAATCTTCAAATCATTCCGGGTCTCCTTCGACGATCCCTGCTATAAAGTTCTTCCGGCCGCGCTGAAAAAATACAACATCCATTCCGACTCCAAGAACTACGCGCTATACATTGTTTACGGAGACCAGGAACGATGTCTGACGATGGAAGAAAAACCTCTGATTCTCTTCAAACAGCTGGCAAAGGAGGGAAGAAAACCAATGTTCATGCTGCGCAAAATACATCCTGACAACTCCGGCTACCCAGTCGGCACTATATCTGGTTCAGCACCCAACAGCGCTGGGTTCGATGGTGGTCGAGCGCAGATTAATCTCCCCGGCGGTGTTCTTTGATGTTGTTTTACGTCCCTTTCTTCCGATGCACTCGTGTCTGCTACTTGAGATACCCAGAGATGCGTGCCCTTTCTTTGTATAGCCAGCCTTGTTGATTCGCATTTGCTTTCAGCAGTGATTGGACCAAGTCTGCTTTTCAACAGGCTCTGCTGGAGTTGTGTGTAGTCGACTGCCATCTTCTTAGAATATGCATTTGCCTGTCAATTTATAATGTGAATAGTACTCTTTGTAGCATTTTGTTCAAACAGTGCATGGTGGTCTTATCATCACGTGGACTCGTGTCATCCGGGTCGCGTGAAATGCTCCAGCGATAAGACCGGCGTCCACACGTTCAAACAGCCTCTCGCAGTAACTGTGCCAATTGTCGCAATTGCCTGTCCCAATGACCTGGGATCGCGTCATCCAGGACTCGGACGATGAGGACGAGGGTATCGTGGAGGACGACATTCCGGCCTCCGTTGATCTACCCCGAGGAGCGCAACCGTCCCCATTCTCGCAACAGTACCAGCTCGACCAACCCTCTGTCCCACAGTATCACGCTTCAGATACGCATCAGTCCACTCGAAATGTAATCACTGGCCCTGATCTGGGCGTAAACTTCGATAATTTCCTGCAATCCCAGGAAACGGTGCGGCAGTCCGCATCGCAGCAGCGTCGCGAAGAGAGATGGATTCCGTCAACCAGTGAAGGTGAGGGTGGAGGATCAATTGGTAAGTGAGAACCGAGCAATCTAACAATTGAAAATTTTGTGTTATTGAATTTAACTGGATTCTCACACTCGAACTGTCCAGGTGCCATGATGACAGAAATCGGGCTCGCTCAGCAAAGGCTTCTTGACGACGACACTTCCAGCGCGGGTCAGCATCTACCCTCCACCGCCACGCTTCACTCTATGGGACTCACTCAAGCCGAATCGCTCCCTACTGTGCTAATTGACCTGTCCGACCGGCTGGGCGAAGAGGAAAGTGGTAGTTTCGTCTATACTCGACCTCTAAACGACATCATGCACAGCGACACCCAAAATCTACAACCCACCAGCGGAACCGCTTATGACTACATGTCCCCCGCGACCTCGAACTACATTAGCTCGTCCGCCAAGGAGCCGGCTCATCAATTGAGCGAAGATCTGAACTCTGCGGTAAACGCCAGCGCACAGTCGCGTCCTTCGCAGAAGAGTTCGCATCGCTCGAAGTCTCTGCAGACGATGTCATACTCTCCCCATGACACAGAACCACTGTCATCGAATGTGTCTCCGCGGATCAGCAGAACCAAGAGTGACACTTTCGGCGCTGGTCTGGTTTCGCCGCAGAAGTCTCAGCACGATGAACTTTCACTGCCTGCGGTTAGGGTCGAGGTCCCGGTTTCGAAAAAGACGCGTGGGCGGCGTTCAAAGAAACAGGCCGTGCCTGAGGATGACGAGGATGATGAGCTGGCGAACTCGCGGGACCATGAGTTTGCGGCTCATGTTCCTGTTGAGAATGATACAGTCGCTTTATCAGAAAGCAAGAGCGTGCAATCCTTGGACGGTATCTCAAAATCGTCTGAGGCGGTGTCGGACAAGGGTGTCGTTCTGAACTCTTCGAAGCCCACCAAAGGGACGAAGAAAAAGAAGGTAAAGAGAGGGAAAACGACCTCGGAGGTGGTGACGAAGACCTACAATCCCGATGTCGAAGAAGACGTGTTATGGGTTGAGTCACGGCCAGTGCATCTGGAAGGTATCGACCGGAAGCCTTTCGCCCAAAATTCCCCAGCCAGCGGAGAGGAGTTCACCACAGAAGCCCAGGAAAAGCCGGTTCCGAAGAAACGAGGTCGAAAGCGCAAGAAGACTTCCGAAGAATCCACAAGCGAGCCCGTGCAGCAGATCAACGCCGGAAGTACTGAGTCCAACGCAGAGCAAGCATCACTTGACAATGCCAGCCTCGTGGTCGAGGCTACTACTACATCGCAGTTCGTGTCAGAAGCAGCCAGTCTGGAGACCTCGGAACAACCCGACGCACCCCCCACTCCTAGACACCTAGACGAGCCTCTCCCACCAACGGAGGAGAAGGAAGCACCTCAAACCCCCAAGAAACCACAACCCACGGACACAGAGACACCCCAAGATTCTACCAACGAGACAGTGTCGATGATGTGTTCCAGCAGGGGACCAAAGCAGCACAGTCCCATTGCATCGACGAGCAAAGTCCCTTTCCGGGTGGGCTTGAGTCGTCGGGCGAGGATTGCGCCGTTGCTGAAGATTGTTCGGAAGTAGGATGTCTTGTTTTGCTGCTTTGTGCGATGTTATTATTATACCCACTGTGCCTTTTCGCGTTTACTATTTGTTTATTTGGGGGTGAAGCACTCTTCTGGTCCACGCCTGGTATCGATACCATATGATCTACATTACCGTGGACGTGTTTCCCAATGAGAGCACTTGCTAAAGCTATTTAACTAGTAGTCTGTGGGCTAGCATACAATCAACCAAAGACAAGCCAACCCCCTGTATAAAGATAGACCCGAGAATCCACCGTCCAAGTCACCTGATTACATCAACATGGCCACGATCAAAGCCAGAAGCAGTGAGGTCACTGTCGCCGAGCCAATAGTTCGCAGATCCGCGTCCGCATCGGACTTGGAACTCTTGTTCGGAACGCGCGACCCCTTGGCGTCTCCTTCGGAAGGGATCTCCACGGGACAATAGCCAGTGTTCTTCTGACAATTCTGCACACAACTTTCCGAGCTGTTCCCACAAACTTTCCCGCTTTTAGAACCTTTCTTGTTCGTAGGGCCACGATCGTCACGCCGATACCAGTGCTCAGGCGAATCCCGTAAGCATTCACCCACCGTAACCGGGCGATAGCCCAGCTCCGAGGCGGTTTTTAACATATGCTCCGTCAGGTTGTGGACCGTTTGCTCGTGCGCGTCGTGCGCGATCACCAGCCATGACTTGTCGTACGGGGAAGCAGAGCCCAGGGCCCGGTCAAAGATGTCTTTGGACAACTGAATCCGGCCAGGATTGTCGTTCTTGTAGTCCTCGGTATCGATGTCGTACAAAATAATGTGATATCCCAAGCCACCGAGCTCGTCTCCACAGCCCGACGCGGGATCACAGCTGGAGTAAGGTGGACGCATGTACGTGGGGAAGTGGCCAACGATGTTTCGAAGAGCGGCTTCATTCTTCAGGATCTGGTCACGGCGCTGCACGGCGGTCACCTTGCTGAGATCCTCGTGGGACCAAGTGTGACTGGCAATCTGATGGCCACTCCTCTGTATGCGCTCAATCAAAGCCATCCAGGGCAACTTCTTGTCATCGATCTGGCCCTTGCCGTTATTGTTTCCCGTGATGAAGAAAGTGGCCTTGGCGCCGTACCGATCAAGCAGATCAAGCAGGTCCCCAGTGTATTGGGTTGGGCCGTCGTCAAAGGTGAACGCAATAGTTCCGGGAACAGTGCACGAGCGGATTGCCATCGGGCCATACGGCACCTGGCCGATGCGAGGACGAGGGATTTGGTCGGTGGGGGGCCTTTGGGCATCTTATGGGTGTCACAGTGGCCGTAGTCAAGCTGGCAGTCCGGAGAGCGGCAGTGGGCCTTGCTCGTTCCGCAGAATCCTGTGGACCGAGTCAGCAAGATTTCCAAATCGAGGACTGGCGTGACACTCACCGGAGCGGGAGCAGCAGGTGCCACGAGAGCAGCGACCGTGGTCGGGTCCGCAACGGTAGTCAGGCGCACCACGAGTCTCCAGGTGCGACGACTGCAGAGAAGAGACAGGCTGCTGGAACGATGATGTGTAAATGGGATTGGTTTCGTCGGCACTCGCCAGCATGCACGTCCCCAGAGCGATGCTCAGCGTCAGGAGATTTTTGAGATGCATATTGACAGGTTGGCAGACGGTATGTATGTATGTATGTATGAATGTGTGTGTGTGTGGTAAGTGTACTGATGGAAGAGTTGGGGTGGTGGGAGATGCGAAGGGGAAGGCGATGGTCGATTGGGGATGGGGATAGCAAGAACGACAATCAGGAAGGTGAGAGGCGACGGGGTCTTTCTTTCCATTGAGTCTAGCTATCACTAAACGGAAGGAGCCATTCAATTGCCTTTCCTCCATAGAAATCGTGGGTATCGTTGATACTGCGCAAACCAGGGCAGCTTTCCTTGCAGAGGGAGTGAATAATATCAACCCACTGTCGAGACACTTTCCTCCCCAACAGCGGAGAAGACAAATGGTGCGAGTGTGTTGAGATGCGGACCGAACTTGGCCGGGGCACTGCTGGCGATGGCGCCCACGGTCGCAATCAAGTGTCGCCGGTGAACCGTAGAGATGTTGGGCGAGGATAGGGTTTCGACCAAGGTGGCCACAAAGGCATCGAGCTGAGTATCCGAGAAATGCAGCACCAGCGCCGAAATAGCCGTCAGCGCACGCTTGGTGACCACGGTACCCGCCGTGTCGTTGTGAATGATAGCCATGACCGGCTCTGAGAGGCTTGCCAGCTCTGATTCTTGCAGAAGTGGACCGAAACACGTAACCACCTTGATGAGCACGTCGATGGCGTCGCTGCTGAAGCCTTTCGAGGGATCCTTCTCCAACATGCCCCTGACGATCGAGCCTCGTCGGGAGGAGGGTGAGGGTGTCGGGCCGACCAATCGAGGGATCAGGACTTTAGAAACGGCCGAGTATGCTGCAATTGTATTTTGCTGCGCGGGCTGGCCGGCTTGAGGGCGAGGCAGGGTGTCCACGATGACGCGCAGAGCGGTGTTGGGGACGGAGGTGTCAATCGTTTGGGAGGCAGTCAAGTTGGTCAAACTCTCGAGGAGTGGTGTTAGGGACTCAAAGGGCAGTCGGATAGCCAGGGGGCCCAGGCTGTGGCAGCATTTGGGATCAGAAACAGGACGAGCGTCAAGGTTTGTTGGAGACTCACCACTTGAGGGCCTGGTTTTGCACATCCCCATGCTGATCATCCAGGGCCTTGAGCAAGCCTTCCACCAGCCGCGTCGAAGAGCGCTGGTCTTGGAAATAGCCTGAGCCGGGGGCGCTTAGGATTGTGTAGAGGTCGTTCAGAGACATGTAGCGCAAGTCGGCATCCGGGTCGTCGAGCTTGGCCAGCAGGCCAGCGATGTTTTGTTGAAAAGCCTGGCGGTCTGCCATGGTGAGGAGACCAGATTGGGGGGATTGTGTGACTAGACGAGGAGGATAGTGAGGGAAGAAGTAGGTGAGTTCAGATAGTAAATAGCTCGATAGCTGTGGAGGTGGGGTTGGCTGCCTGAGGCAGCAACACCAAGGATGCCCTAGGCACCAACACCATGTATGCCCCAGGCACGCACCAAGTCCGCATTCGAATCGACGGATCCTTTCATTGGACCATCGGAATGCCAAGATCAAAATCTGAACCAGACAATCTTAATGAAAAACCAGACTTGGTTTGGGTCTGACACCAGCATTAGATCATTGCGCACGGACCAGGCTCGAAATGTCATAGATCCTGCGGCAGGTAGTCGACACCGGCCAGGAAGGAAGTAGTTAAATAGAATTGATACGCGGATCTGATTCTCATCTTCTCCTCTTGCACCTATTTCTTCCATTCCTCTCATTGGTTTTTTTTTGATTAACGGGAAATGCGCTTTGCTAGTCTCTCTATACTCCGGGCTACGGGACCAAGCCAGTTCATTCGAACAGCTTCCCTCGCCAGTCGATCTACCCAGCACCGGAGCCGCCGGCTCTATTCCAATGGCAATGAACACAGACAGACGGAATCTAAGACCAGCAATTCGCCATGGTGCGTCCCGTGATCTTCTTCGAGCTATGACACTCTGACCTCTATTCAGGATGATCGGAGCAATCGGCATCGGCGGTTCAGCGATCATGTATTCACTCTTGGCGGGTCGGAAGAAGGAATCTCGTGGTGGAAAGCAGGAGAAGGGGCCAACGGGGACAGTAGAGGAATCGCCGCCCGAGCCCGGGGAGGGTAAACCCAGGGAAGAAAGCAAAGCCACTCAAGCTGCAGCAGAGAAGACAGCGGAGGCAAAATCGCAGGGCCAGGAAACGAAGCGGACGAAGCCTGAGTTGCAGAATATTCCTCCTTCACAGGTGGATCAGGTATGTCACCTTCCACGGTTCATCTTGTCGTTCTTCGGGCTGGTTCTAGCGAGTATACATACCAGGAAGCTAATTATTTTGTGATAAAATGATAGCCCAGTGCTATGAAATCGCCTGGTGGATCGGCCACTATGTCGGGCAAGCAAGAGGGCCTCTCGAACGCAGATACGTCGCACCCATTCCTCACCAGCCCCGAGAAGAGCCGCAAGAGGGAGGGCGACACAGAGACAGCCAAGTTGAAGGGGACGGTTTCGACGGACAGGTAGAAGAATTGTAACATCATCTGTGTCGACGTTGAATTATCTAAATACTTGACTTGGTTGTGTAGACCGACCGGTCTCCTTTCCTTCACGTAACCCTAACACTACTTGTTCACAATCATCCCTCGTCAAGGTCATGGCTATATCCACACGAGTCGCATCCGTCCAGTCCCTGAGAACATAAAATGCATAATGTAAACACAATAGTCAGAATGTGCAAGAATCGAAAGCACGAAACAGTCCCTCCCGGCCGTTGCCAAATATACCACATTCCATCATGCCCCATTAGTCACCCGATCAGTCACTCCAATGCGTAATTATGGACAAGAGCGAAGCGCATTGTCTTCGCTCGAAATATTAAAATGGGCAGTATGATGAGAAGGGGGAGGGGGAGGGGGTGAGAGCAGACCCCGAAGAGAAACAAGAATACACCGCTGGGAAATCGACTTGAAGCGGTCCTCACGAATCCTGCTTGCTGTTGCGGGAGCGCAGGTTCCGCCTTTCGGGCACAGGCTCGCCATTAACCAGCACCTGAGGCGTGTGGTTCTCCTTGCCAGTGGCGAGAGTAGCTGTAGCATGACCATTCTCCTCGACTTCCTCACCCTCGTCCTCGGCCTCACTGCGTTCGTCCTGCACGACGCTGTTGAAGACATAGTTGGCCAGAATTCGTAGGATCAGGAACATCCAGAAGAGGTTGACGGCTTGTAGACTGGCGAGGAGTGCAAAGGTGATGTATTGGCTGATCCAGCACTTGTACTGCTGTGTCTCCCAGTTGAGCTCAAAGGGTCCGACCGTCCGGAATTCTGTCAGGACAGCCCACAGGATCTTCAGGTTCAGGTAATGGCGGAGGTAGGTCCAGATACAGACGAACATGACGTAGTAGGGCACCGTGATGATGGAATCGAGGTAGTTGAGCGTTTTGGAGGTCTGTCCAGGCAATTAGTTACGATGGGGTTCGATTTCTCCCCAAAAGAAAAGCATACCGCTAAGAAGAAGTCCGAGATGTCCATGGTGATATAGACCGCAAGACCCATGTACGTGAAGTGGAACCGATAGCTGAGGGCGATCAGCGCCACGGTGATGATATGGTGTCCGACGAGCTCCTTGAAATCTTTGCGCGGCTTCTCCAGCTGCAACAACAAGACGATCGCCTGTTGCGCCCAATAGCTCGCCTGCAGAAGATAGTACGTCTTGAAGACGGCCACGTGCTCCCGATGCGGGAACCCCTCAAACATCGCCGTGGTGTTGAAAAACCAAATGTCAGACTGGTACATCACGTACAGACCAAACGGCCCAAAGATGCTGAAATACATCGCAGTGTACACCTGCTCCATGAACCGCGCGGTTTTGCCCCGACTCTTAATCCCGCAGTAGCGCGCCCACGGCCGGATGACCTGTTGCATCAGGAACTCACGTGTAAACGAAAGGACGACCGTGTAGAAAGCCACGAAGGTAATGTCTTTCTTGCCCTTGCCGTACATGACCGGGCCGCCGGGTGTCTTTGGTGGCTGCGGGTATGAGATGAAGATGGCGCTGTGCATTGGATTCGACGGGGTCGGGTTGATCGCGTACAAGGACAGCAGGACGCCCAGGATGAGCAGCGGCAGCAGCCAGGTGTACTTCAGGCACTTGTCAGCGAACCGGTGGAGGAGGGACCGAGTGCGGCGGCGTTGAGAGTGCGGCTTGGCGGTTGATTTCTCCGACTGGGCCTGTAGCTGCTGTGAGGCATTGTCGTGTGAGTAACAGCCGTCGCGAAGGCATTGCGGATGGGAATAGTACCTTGCTCAGATCGGGGCTAGTGGGCTCGACGGGGCTCACGTCGTTCATGGTGGACATCGCGGGCGCGCTGGTGTCGCCACGGATGTCCACGCCGAGGTTGTTGGATCTGCCCCGAGGACGGCCCATGGCGGACAATGTGTTGGAAAGGAAGGTGAGATGTTCAGGGCAGTCAGGGTGTCACGAGACGGTGGGAAGAGAAGAGGGAAAAAAATCCAGGGGGTTTCCGGATGAGTCCCGGAAGAGTCCACCGCGCCCGGGTCGATCGCTGGTTCGGCCAGCCTTGGCAGCCAGCCCTAGGGTTAGATCACTCTCCCCATCGCTCTGATGAGATGCGATGGTGACTTGGATTCTTGCCAGGTCCCCTTTTTATTACATGCTATTCTTGAAGAACATTATTGTATACAAGAATGGCCTGCCTCGGTGCTCACGCCAAGCCGTGACAATAGTATACATCTCCACTATGAATACAACCACACTCTTGAGACCTCCCATGTTGGCCGGTTCGGGCCAGTAGCTCGAGGCCACAGGGGTTGTCGAATTGAAGTCAGACAGATTACTGCGCAGGTTGTTGGGGTTCAGTTTAGCCTGCTCCCTCTTCCACCCCGGTCCTGGGGCGGACGCTGGCTGCCACTTGGGCAGGCTAAACGTGAGTGCTTGCTATACAAAGAGATCTGCTTATGAGAGTAAAAGGGTCATCCCTTGTCTGTGTCCCGCGGTACCGATTGTAGAACTATAGACCACCGCACGAAGCAAGTCACCCCGTGCTAATGCCAAGCCGTAGTGATTACGATCTTATTGGATGATTGGGGAGTATACAAGCCGACGATAAGTCCAACTACGCTCTTTATTCCTAATAGACCAAATTTCCGCCTTAGCTAGATATTATATTTGTTCTTCTTGTAAAGACAATGCCCAAAAAACACTACAATATACTACTGAGGACATTACACTATAGCAACTCTAGTTGCTTAGAAGTTCCACTGGGGCGCAGAAACGATTGTCAGTCATTAGACATGTGTTATAGTATCAACAATGTTGTCATTCGACCAAAGACATTGGCATCCTGTATATTCGTCTTATTCACCCTAGTGTGATCTCCCTACTTGAGAATTGGAAACTGAGGTGCAATGATATTGACAAGAGTAGAAGTTTAGATTCGGTCATCAAACTGTCGCGCAGCCATCTTCTCATATCTCCCCCTGCAGGCGATCCGCCAGCGCTTCCCAAACCAGATCATCGGAATGCACAGAAGATTAACCAGAAACGCAAGACATCCAATTAAGATAAAAGTATTTTGTAGTCCCATCCCCTGGATCCACGGGTCCAACGCAAAAATCACAATGGTTGCAAACATATACTGCACAAAATTCACTCCTACCAAGGCACTTCCGATGATCTTTTGGTAAGTCAGTTAGCGTAATTATGAATTATAGAGGCATCCAGCGTTAGGTAACTGACCTCAGAGTAGGAATCGATTAGGAAGGTAAGCGAAATCGGGAGAAGTCCTGCCATACTAAAGCTATAGAGGCCGGATCCAAGACAAGGCCAGATCCATGGCATGCCCTACAAGGTAATGTTAGTGATAGTTAGGATATACCGGAGACATAGTAGAGATGCATCATTGATTACCTTTGCTAGACTATAGCCGTAAAGCAAAATACCTGCTGGGCCTATCAAAGCCGGTAGGATGGCAATGTAGAGGCGCATTTCTGGTTCATAGACCCCATTATTCCGTATGGAAAGCCGCTGGATAGACCAGTCACTGATTGGACCACCCCAGACACATCCAAGAACTGCTCCAATGAACGGTGGAATGTTCAGCAAGCCGATTTCTGCGGTGCCGAACCTATAGGGTTCAAGGGCAAAGAATTCCGACTGTGTAGTGGCGATGACGGTAAACCAGACCAGGAGAGAGCTGTAGGATAACATCACGTATGTTACGGCTGGAAACTTAAACAATGCGCTCACTGGTTCGTAGAGTTGATTCCAGTACTGTGTTTGATCGCCGGGGGTTCTGGTAAGAAGTGCCATTCGTTGACGATACGTTCTTAATGCAATCGCAAGGTTTATCCTCTCAGCCGAGTCATGATTATATGTATCAAAATCCAATCTACCCCCGAGACTCGCAGAATCATGTGAGATTGCATTAGCACTGCTGGAAAATTTGAATTTGGACTCCTCGAAGCAGAATACAAAGAGGGCCAGGTTCAAACCAAGGAAAATGGCAGTCCACCAGAAGATCCATGGCCATCCTTGTGTATCTGCAATATACCCTGCAGCAACTGGGGCTAGGAAGGTCTATATGTGTATAGTCAGTATATACATGCGCTGAGTCGTACCAGCAGAAAATAGATGTCGAATCTCACCCCTCCATTAAGCATTAGTTGGTATATAGCATTCACGCGCCCTCGTTGGTGGACGAAGAAAAGATCCGTGATCTTAATCTCAATCAGCGAAGGAGTTGTTGGCAAGGCTACAAGTTACATACCGTGATAGGCACCAAAGTCCAGCTGACGGCGCATGCAAATCCATTGAAGATCTGAACAGCTACCATATTCGTAAAGTCTCGTAGAACCGCCTGCCATACCGCGGTGATAAAAACAACCAGTGAAGTTAGGAGGTAAACAGGCCTTCGGCCAAATTTAAGCGCCAATGGGATTAGCATGATTGAACCGATGCCGAGGGAGGCGCAGTTCACGGCGTATTGATCGTTCAACTCAGGATAAGTGATTCCCAGGAGGCGTTCAAAGTCTTGCCATACTACTGGGCCAATATCAATTCTATATTGCGATAAGTAATCGCCCAGGAAACATCAAAGCAGACGTATTGGTCACGGTATGACTGACAAGCCAAAGATTAGAAGAGTGTAGAATGCAGTGATTCCGAAGTTGAGAGATTTTCTCGCTAGAGACCAGTTCTCGTATGTTATCAGCATGAGCAGCAAGCATTAGGTATGTTCAGAAGTCTCACCAAGGGGTCATTGGGGTCTACAGTTGGTTTAGGTTGCAAGATAACAGAGCTAGCAGTTCGCAGATGGGATTCGGAAATGACTAGGTGGCAACAGTTAACATCATAACTATGATACTCTCAGTGATACTCACATACCGATATTTTCTAGCAAAACAGTTCCAGGAGCGTAGACAATACCATTAACGTCATCTTTATTGCTCGGCGCTTCTATAGCAGAATGCGTCCTCGCAATGTTAAAAGTTTCACTCATTGTCTTCTATGGATATGATTATGGGCTGCAAGGCACACTGACAGCTATTTAATTCTAGCTACTTGACAAGCTGCTCTTTATCACTTAAACACGGTCAGTGACGCCTTCATCGAGTAAAAAGCCCAAGCGTAAGTTCCAAAACGGAGGAACAGCGAATGACTGTGTAGCGGGCATGCCGCAGGGACTACTGTAAGGTCACATCCTTTTCGGCCCTCCCGAACGCCCCTTCGGTCCATCCGAAGGGCTTTTGGGTCCTTCCAGCGGCTGTCGTTAAGGATAACCCCGGAAACAGTTGAGATTAGTTAATCCAGAATTCCGCTGATAAAGCCTTATTAACCCGAGCGAAGCAGCAAAGTTAATAACGGCAATCATGCCACACCACCGCAAAATAATATAACCAAAATACTGTCCGCCTAATACTGTCCGCTTCTTCATTTAATCTACCCACAATATAGCCAATGTAGTCGACTTCAAATCATGTGACAGAGAATATCAAGCTCAACTCAACCGTGGCTGCCTCCGCCTCCGCCTCCACGGTATTTATAGGATGTGTTGACCAGCTAACTAGCAGAGCTTTAACACGGCCCGATCTTGTCTATCCAGCGTCAGGAACAGAATGAAATACACCAATGAGGAAAAGACGAGCTATGTTGTTGCAGAGATCCCAAACATGGCCGGACGATAGTCATTGGGTGCGTAAAAGCTGCGAAACATGTTTCTGGCAGGTACGCATCGGGAGTGGGAGATGGGAGCTTACAGCGACCAATCGGAAAGGTCACTCAAGTGATCTGAATTTGTATGGAGAAGGAAAACATAAGCACCCAATCTCCCGATGTCAATCTTCTTCATTAGAAACGAATATTCAACATCAAGTCCTGTGGTTCAATTACATCAAGAGTAAACACGGTGCACCAGCTATGACCCAGAAAGAAGCAGTTAGGTTTACTGAGCAATATTCACTTTCATAGCACACCATACTAACCACGCTAACAACAACAAGACGATGAGATGAACGTCAATCAGTGTCAATGTAGAGATTAGTATAAATGTTCCATTGGAAAGCGTTAATGAAAGACAATTGCTTCCAGTCCATGTCGATCACAGATGATATGAATTCTCACTATGGTATTCCAGCAGGAGCCCAAAGTCTTGCTGTGTCCTCACTTACGCCGCATGACGACGCAATTATTCGCTGACCGGCTGCATTATACACTTGAAGAGGCTACGCAGAATACAAGGTACTATGGCTGTAAGGGTTTTCTTTTTTCGTAACAAAAAGTAGCAAATTTGGTATTTTGTTTCATAATTGGTCCGCCAGGAGAAGACTGGTAGACTGGTAACGCGAGAGTCACCTGTTCAACCCTACCTAGATAAGCTATCTACAAGCACTGCGAGTAATAAGGATTCTGTTCTTGGCATGTGGTTCCCGATGCGCATGCGGTCGGGCCGGTCCATCCCTGTCCTCCACACTGACCCCAGTGAGTCTGAGTTGCCCCAGCAGCGGTGGTAGTCGTGGTCGTGGTCGTAGTCTTGGTGGTGGTCGTGGCCTTGGTGGTGGTTGTGGTGGTGGACGTCGAGCTGGAGCTGGTACCTGTGCCGGAGCCTCCGGGGTTGGTGAAGGTCGAGTCGATATCTCCCCAGCGGATGTTGGAAAAGACGACGTGAGTGGTAGGGTCTTGGGCCAGGATAGTAGCAGGGTTGCCTGCGGTACTGCTGCACGGGCCGCTGCTTCCACTGTCGAGCCAGTTCATGTACTGGCTTCCATCATTCCAGATACTGAAGATCAGGACCATTCCACGACCGAGAGCCTGACCCATAGTCGTCAAGCCGCCAAAGGTGGCCGCAGAGCCGTCAGAAGACTCGCACCACGATTGCGTGATGGAGTCGAGGCCAGATGACGACTTCGCGTTCGGGATGATCTTACCGTTCTGGATGTATTGTCGTCGGATTTCAGTCAGGGTGCCAGTCTTGGTGCCGTCATCCGTTATGAACTGGGTAGTGATGGTGAAGGGCTTGGAGGTGTCGACGGTATCGCCCGGTCCCCAGTAGTTGGTCACGCCCTGTGCGTAAGGATTGAAGCCACAGCCACCCTTGTCGCAGTCGGTGGCGCTGCAGGGATGGGGAGTGTAGGCGTTGGCCATGGAATTGGCCTCTAGGATATCCATCTCGTTGCAGCAGTAGCTCTGGCCGCTGGGGTTGAGCGTGCCGTTCCTCCAGGTTTCGACCGGGCACTGGGCATCGCAGTATCCCGAACCGTACTCGGCACCACCGGTATTGTATTCGTTCCTTCCGCCGCTGGCGCTCATCTCGGACAAGTAAAGGGCACCATTCTCACCGCAGGGCAGAGTAGACATGTCAACGTCGAAGCTCAGCTCCCCACCGAGGAGCTGCATCATCACGTAGTTCCCGTCCGCTCCGAGGAGGTAGAGCCGTGGAGAGGCATTGCCGTATACACCGTTGCTCTCGACGTATTGGTACATGGTCAACGAGTCTCCGGAAACAGACACACCGGCGGAGGTATAGTTGGCCGCTTCGATAACACAATTCTCGGCACAGGTGGCTTCGTCGGGGCACAGGGTCGTGTTGACACCGGAGGAGGTCGTGCAGGAATCATAGCCGCCGACGGTATGGATCCAGCGGAATCCCCAGTCCAGGACGATCGAGGTGTCCTGTTCCACGCAGCCCCCGGCCGTTGAACACTTCCAGGTGGTGAGAGCAGGGTTTCCAGGGTCGGTTGTGGCCGGCTGTTGTGCCTGGATGAGAGGCAGCAGGGCCAACCCCGCCGCCATAATGCTCGTCTTGGTGGAAGGCATGATGGTCAATTGCGATTGAACGGAATGAGAAACTTGCGACCCCCCTGATGTCGAGCGAAGAACATGGGGTTTTTATATACTTATCCCGCGGGCTCTGTATCGTCGACGCGGACCCTACAGGGGACCGGTGAGGGTGTGCGCTTCGACGCATTGTGCAACCGTGCCATCGTCTCTGCGGGGAACAATTGCACCAGAGGTAGCCCGAGAAGGCCGGGAAAATTTTGGCGACTGTGGTGAAGAGCCAATTGTCGGGGTCTCGCAGTGAACAGGAGAGATTCAGTTGACCAAGCGCTGGCGGGCCGCCGATCCGCGTCTGGGATAGGCTCGGTCAGCGCCCTCAATTGCCGCTGAAGAAGCCAAATTCGCGTACCCCGCATCCTACCCTGGTGATCCCTGCAGCCGGCACTCCGTGTCCAGAAGAACGAGAGTCGATGTGAGGGAGTTGCCTGTTTGGGTCAGGGGGAGGGCTTCATTCGTCACGGTCGTCACGCCTTCCGCATACGCCGAGGCAGCCCCGTCCAGTCTTTTAATCCGAAGGTTCGGCCAGCCCAAGCCACAGTGGCAGGGGCTGCAAGTAGCAGCAAAGGGGCCGCCGTCAAATGTCTGGGATAAATTGCCCCACCTGCTGTTCCTGAGACGGCATCCAGAGTCGAGTATCCAGGCCATTCTCCTCGCAATACGAGCCACTCGCTAGGAGTGCGCAAGTATCTGTCAATGAATAGGTTAAAATAGGCCATGCTAAGACCCAGAGGCAAAAGCAGAGAGAGAAGCCAAAAGAGCAGGCAAAAAGATGCAGAACTGTGAGTCACATGATCCAAAACGAGCACGTAAACAATGTAAACAACGAGGCCTAAATGGCAGAGCTCACCCTCAGGCCCAGGCCTGTATTAATCTATTGTGAAACTAGGTCATTCCACCCAACTCGCTCAAATGCCAACCACCGATTTCAATATATCAGCGCAAGGGCAGGATAATCATAAAAGTCGCGTAATAAGCTGAATTCAAGGCACTTTCAATCCAATCCTAGAGTGGTGATATTAATAGCGATGAATTGTCACCGTAGTGACCGCGACAATGAAACACAACAAGCCATTAAATGAATCAACCATCGAATTATACATCCATATTTGGGAAAGTTATGTCGCCCGCCCAGTGTAAACCTCGCCACTACCGAGAGATACCCGCCATGGAATCCATTTTTGCATAATTTTCCTAACTAGGACGTGCCAAAACGCACAACACCTATCATTATCTACAGCTGTGTTGGAGCCAGCGGTATCTATGAAGCTATTTGATCACATGCATTTTTTCTTGCTTTGTATCCGATACCGCTCCAATCTATATCTGGTTACTCTACCACAACCCTTGCTTAGTCGTGCGGTGGCTTGTCTCGTAACTGCTGGATTGCAATATCGAATGACTCATTGAAAGGTACTGCAAGTCACCAGAGAGGTTCCAAAGGGAGCACTTAGAGGGGCCTGGGAGATCTGGCAATGCGTATTAGTTACTTAACTAGTTAACGTTATACTATCTTTGCTGAGTAACTGCAGATCGTACCTCTCTTAAGACAGTCTAGGAAAGATCTAACATGCCATGCAGTTCAATGTCGAGGACGCTCTTGCCCACATAGATAGGATACTTGCCAGCCTGAAGACCCCAGGCCTGCTTTGTAACATCCCATTGGCTCAGATCGCGACGAGTCAAGTCGAACTTGAAGTGTTTTTCCTCTCCAGACTCAATCATCTTCTTCTCAAATCCACGCAAGACCTTCATAGGACCTCCGGGGATACCTATATAAAGCTGAGCTACCTCTGCCGCGGTGACATCTCCAGTGTTCTTGACAGAACAGCTCACATCGGCTACAACATCCCATAACGCTTCATAACCTCCCTCTGCGGCTTGTGCATCACTGCCCTTAGGCAGATAGCCCAGGTCAGCATCAGAATTGACAACGGCCTTAAGATCCGAGTAGGAGAAATTTGAATAAGTCAGTCCATAACCGAACTCGAAGCGAGGCTGAATATCGTTCTTAATGAACGCCTTGTAGTCCGTGTACACGCCCTCGCTAAAGTTAGACTGCGGATAGTACTCGTCCTTAGTACCGGATGCCACAACAGGCTCCAGAAGCCCCTTGTAATCAGATGCCTTGCGGGCGACAGTATACGGAAGGCGGCCGGATGGTGACTGCTTGCCGTACATGACCTCCACCAATGATCGGCCACTATCCTGGCCCGGAAGATGAGCATAGAGCACTGCGGTGACATTGGGGTTCTCAATCCAATCGTCAACAATACGTAGACCCGCGTTATGAATGACGACAATGGTGTTTGAACACTTGGCGGCTACATTCTTGACAAGCTCATCAGAGGATGGATCCGCCAGATAAGGGCGATCCCAACCTTCAGAGGCGGCCTCGTTGATGAACACGAGACAAGCATTGCTTGCGGGGTTCACGAAAGGATCCATGGAGGCCAGGTCCCACGACAAGAAAGTGTCGTCATCATATGCCTGGCGTTGGAAAGCATGAAGCGGGGCGTCAATGTAGGATGGCGTGTTGGCACCTGAGCCACCTCCCACGAAGAGAGTGCCGTTGAGAGCAACACCTGGGCCGCGGTCACTTGGGTTCGCGCTGGATAAAAACATAGCCATTTCAGTCTGGTTGTTCACCGCAGTGCCATTTGGATAGGTAAGGGTGTTTGTAAGACCCAGCGACCAGCCGCCCAACGCGGAGTCGTCCATAGTATTCATGGTAGCAGGAATAGCATCGTATCCGAAGAGCGAGAGAAACTTGGGCTTGCGGAGAGGCAGTGCACCTGCAGTATTTTTGACCAGGACGTGACCCTCAACAGCAGATTGGAGGATGATCTCCTTTGATTTCGGATCACGGGCATCGACGAGCTTGTGAGGCTCGAGCAGACTAATGGGAATGCCATGGCCGGGATTAGGAATCTCGGCGTACTTGTACCAGGAGGCCACAATACGCGTTGCCATGTCGTTCAGTCGGAAGTGAGGCATGGACCCATTGCGAGTAGCAATAGCAAGAGTGTTGTTTTCCCAATACTGCGAGTCGGGCATAGCGATATCCAAGCCTGCATTTGCACTGGCGATACCGGTATGCTGACCAGTCCAGTCAGACACCACGAAGCCCTGAAAGCCAAGCTCGCCCTTGAGAAGACCATTCATGACCTTGCTGTTCTGACATCCGTAGCTGTTGTTGATGCGGTTGTAACTGCACATCACAGATCCAGCACCCGCTTTAACGGCATCTTGGAAGGCCCAGAGGTACAGCTCATGGATAGTCTTGTCATCAACGTTGGATGAGACAGAGTTATTATGAGACCCCTTCAGCAACTGCGCAGTGTTACGACTAGTTTCTTGCTCATTGGCAATAAGGTGCTTGACACATGCGATAACATTGTGTTGGAGGCCGCGGACAGACTCTCCCGCCAGAGCGCCAGACAGATAAGGGTCGCTACCAAAGCCTTCCCAATTTCGGCCTCCGGAAGCGAGCCTTCCTGCTGGACCAGCAACAGGTCCCAATACCACGTTGGCCCCCTTGCGTCTGAACTCTGCGCCCATGTGTTCTGCTCGAGCATGGGCAAGGTCTCGGTTCCAAGATGCACCGACATGAATACCGGCAGGATAGGAGTTGACCATGTCGACGCCGCGAACGCCGTTGCCAGCATCTTGGAAACAGATTCCAGGGAATCCTAATCGAGAAACACTGCCAGTCACGCCTGAACAACCAGTCGTGGCTGATGCGTGTCCATACGTGATATTGTTCTTCTCTTCGTTGGTCATCTGGGAGACGAGGTGTCGGGCTTTGGCGTAGGCCTCAGCCCAGTCACCCAGGCCCTTTGCGACGGCTATTGGAGAATGTATATGAGTATTGTAACCATCACCAGATCGTGATGAGAAGATATAAACCTACGCGTATCAGGGACTGGCTCTGAGCGACCGTAAGACCAGTAGTGCTCGAGGTCAGCAGGACTAGGCTGCCCATCTTGTGCAAGACTCTGGCCTGTCAGCTGCAGCACAGTGGCAAGCCCAACAACGGAGAGTTTCATAATGCTCAAAGATTGCTAGGTTTGAATAGAGGAATCCTTTGATGAAACAAACCAAAGGAGCCCAACGGCTTTAAATACATCCACTCGGAGCCAAGGATTGCTACCAAGTACTTTTATTCAGATAAATGACGCTTAATTCGTTGTATTCTCCGTATGAAATCTTCTCGGAAGCTGCTCGGAAGCGGATCCTTGGTTCCTTACAACTAAAGGTTCAAAGCCAGGGTTCTTGGACAGCAAATGCTCCCAGCCAAGAGGTGTTGAGTACATGCAGAAATGATAGCCTCTGTCGTATTGGCCACAAAAGGCAATATTGGATGCCCATTATTTGGTTCAGGGTGGAACATGATAGCCTCATAGACGTTGAGATTCTCAGCTGAACGATTTGCTTCTGGTCGGTGTTCCGAGTGTAGATATTGCGTCGTCCGATGCGACCTAAGAATCAAAACGGGAATTCATATTGCGTATCAGTGGGGAAAACACGTCCGAAGTTTACCCGGGGGTGGTTGGTCAACCCTAGGTAACCAATTTAATTCTCTTCTTTAAATTTAACTTGGAACAGATCTTGACATGTTCAATTTGCTCCGCCTATGTGCACAAATAAGCCCGTTAACCCCCTTTGATGGAGAGTCGAAGGGTTGTGTGTAGCTGTATCATAGCTAGGATCTGGAAAGCCCTTCCTTGGTGGGTTTAGGGCGCCCTTCTGCACTCCAGGTTTTTGTCCCGCACGTAGTGGGACCACACATGGCAATCCCCACAATAAACTCCAGGCGCACGGACTGTGGTGTTTGCCATTTCAATTCACCGAAGAAACTCATGATAATTGGGTATGCCTCTTAAGACATGGCGAGGTCATTGTGAAATTAATAATATCCCCGCAATATTGAGGTGCTTTTCTGATTTTGATGCAGAGCACATGGCAGTGGTAAATAAATTGTCTCAAGCTTGAATAAATTTATCGCAACGTGCTTTATAAATAGAGAGAAAAAGGAAATTCGAAAACAGTTTCTCGCAAAATGAGCTGCAAATTTCGATCTCCACCTGAGAATTACATCGCAGGCAGACTAGACAATTATTTGCCATTATTAGCTAGCATAGTAATGACAGACAGCCTTTACAAATGGCTTACTTATTCACTTTTTGAATACAAGAAATCATTGGGCTGGATTCTGCTCGGATGGCCCTCCTAGTTCAGGCAAAGTCAACCCGTGGGTGAAGATAGAGCCGCAGTTTTACCGAAGGGTGTTGCGGCTTCGAGACATGTGGGGAAACCCAGGCATTTCAGTTTCTCCAACTGCCGAACGTGGTCCCGCGGGGCTACGCATCTTTCGTAGCATCTGCAGGCCATAATAGTCCCGCCAGAATGACAAGATGAAGAACGTCCTAGTTATAAGGAAATTCAATCTAAATATGAATATAAAGAAGCTGGATATCCTGTAGTTCTTCTGACGCTAAACCTTGAAGCTCTCAAATTGAATCTATCATGCGATTTTCATTACTTCTGCTCGCTGGGTTGGCACCAACCAGTATTGCCTCTTCGGTTGACTCTACTGTCAAAACCAGCAGCGGAACTGTAAAAGGCACTGCACGTGATTTAAAGGGAATTTTGTCCTTTAAGGGCATTCCTTTTGCAGCGCCCCCTACAGGAGAATACCGATGGAAAGCGCCTCGACCAGCTTTACCATTCAACGGCACACACAACGCGAATTCTTATGGCCCCAGCTGCTACAATGCATTTTTAGACGGTACAAACTTAACGCCCCCTAGTGAGGACTGTCTGAGTCTCAATATCTGGACCGGTGCTTCAACTGCCACTGAAAAACGACCCGTTATGATTTGGATTTACGGGGGAGGCTTTGAATTCGGAAGCTCAGCAAAGACTGCCTATGATGGAACTGCACTCGCTTGTGAGGGTGTAATTGTAGTGACCTTCAATTACCGTGTCGGAGTGCTTGGATTCCTGGCATTGGAAGAGCTTGACGAGGAGGGCGGCCAGTCCGGTAACTTTGGGTTACAGGATCAACTGGCTGCTATACGCTGGGTGAAAAAAAATATTGCTTCTTTCGGAGGTGATCCAGATAACATTACTATCTGGGGTGAATCGGCCGGCGCGCACTCAGTGGGTATACTAATGGCATCTCCTCTCTCGAATGGTCTCTTTCACAAAGCCATAATGGAAAGCGGTTCATACTGGGATAGCGAGCATGGGTCTCTGAGAACCTACTCAGAAGCCCGATTGCAAGGAGCATCTTTTGAGGCTAAACTAGGCGTCAAGTCCGTGCATCAACTTCGTGCACTTTCAGCTGATATTGTCAATAATGCCGCCCCTTGGAATGAAAGTACCGACCCGGGTATCACGGCCTTCGCTCCTAGTATCGACAAGTACGTTATTCCTGATTATCCAGGGAAAATATTCGATTTAGGTCAAACTCAGAAAGTTCCCCTATTGGCTGGTTTCAATGCCGGCGAAGACTTGGCTTTCTTGCCGCGGGCGTTGCCGCATAGCAATCCGACACAATTCCGCGACTCAGCAGAGGTTCTTTTTGGGAATCGCGTGTCAGAATTTCTCCAGCTTTATTTGACAGATACCCAGCTACAAGTTAACGAGTCCGCGGATATTCTCGTGGGGGATCTAGTCATCAGTGAACAAACTTTCGAAGCAATCGATAGACAAGCACGGGCCAGTGGTCAAAAAGTCCACGCCTACTACTACAACTACACTTCTCCTTATTCTCCTGCCCCGGCCCATTCTGCGGAAGTGGCTTTTGTTTTCGGAAATCTAGTCCCAAGCAACGCCGCGTCCTCTACGGCATCCGCTGCGGATAAAGCCTTCTCAAAAAAACTGAGGACTCTGTGGACGAACTTTGCCAAAACTGGTGACCCAAATGGTCATGGATTGCCTCAATGGCCTCAATATATTGGAAAGGGCGCTGATTTTATGGTAATTGGAAACACGATTGGTGCAATTGAGAACCCGAGGCTGGATCAGTTGGACTTCATAAAGTCTTTTAGGGCAGAAGGGGCTCTGCCTTCGAGTTGGCGTCATGATTTTGTCGACAATTAGACATGATGCGGCTAAATAAATTGAATTCATATCTCAATATAATATTTTGGCTTTATTTCCTTTGTACTCCCATTCTATCCTGAATCAAATGTGCCATATTGAAGTTGCCGACCAATACTTTTCCAGGTTTGAATTAAAGAATGTCTGTAGCAATTTAGCGCACTGGAATTTATGTAAGGCCCAGTAATTGTGCAGATAGTAATTGCTGACATTATAAGTGTATGGCAGTATTCCATTCTCTCATTCGCGTTAGCATGTCCCACCTCTCGTCCGTTAAAGCCTCGCGGTCCCGCGGTCCCGCGACGTGCCCGTGGGGTGCTGACAACAAGACTCTAGCTCCTTTCTTTCAATTGACCGGCTCGCTGTAGATAGAAGTGATAATAAATATGAACCTTCTTTTCAATCTCACCAGAAAGCTCTCTCAAACCACTCGAGATCTTTCGTGGATCCTAGCTTTCTCGTCTCTTTTGTTGCCGTTTAAACCCTGCGACTACTCCCAAGTTGTCCTTTCAAATCCATGAGATTTGCATTCAATATGAAGGATAGTGACAATTTTCATTTGGAGACTCTTGAAAATAACGAACAAGGGGATCTGTCTCCCTGCCATCGCGAATTTCTTCTCTCTCGCCATGGCAAGGTGAACCTTGTGCCTTTACCCTCAGAATTCCCAGCGGATCCGCTGAATTGGCCATCATGGAGAAAGAATGTGAACATTGCTCTAGTTTCATTCCATGCTATGATGTGTCTTTTCATGGGTGCAGGTATCATTCCTGCTTACGAGAATATGGCAGAAGAAATGGGCGTTTCCTTACAATCGGCCACTTACTTTACTAGCATGCAGATTGTTGTTCTTGGCAGTCAGTAAGCCACGAATCGTCCTCGAAGAGCTTGGTCTAATTCGAAAGAACAGTTGCGCCACTATTTTGGCGACCTATCTCAATGCGGTTTGGATTGCGACCTATTTGGTTGCTCAGTACTTTCTGCTCCGCCGTTTGCAATATCGGATGCGCTCTCAGCACAACCTATGGGGCAATGTCAATCTCAAGAATCCTTGTTGCATTTTTCATTTCCCCAGCAATGGCCTTGGGCACGGTTGTTGTGACTCAAATGTTTTTCAAACATGAGCGAGGGCAGAAAATGGGCATTTGGACGTACGGTGACAACCGCTTTCTTTTTCAAATCCGATTTCAAACTAATCAATATGAACTTGCAGGTTGATGGTGACGCTTGGTCCCCCACTCGGCCCCTTTTTGATGGGATTTGTTGCATATCATGCCGGCTGGCGCTGGATATTTTGGATATTTGCTATTGTAAGATGGCCCCTGCCACAATTTTGAGTGATGAAGGCCACTTCAAACTTCCCTGGTCAGAACCCCTCAAATATTGCAAGTAAACTAATCGAGTCATAGATTAATATTTCGCAATGCGTATTCTATTTTCTCCTCAGTCCCGAGACATATTTCACGCCTGAAGATGCTAGAAAGGGTAATATCTCCACAAGTCGGGCCAGGTTGTTTCATTTCGGCCGAGTCTCGAAAACACCTTTAAAGCTCATAGATTTTTTGACGCCTCTGACATCGGCAAGACATCACATCATATGGATTATCACGGCGGCATATACAATCATATTTAACTTCGCCTTTGTTCTCCTCACCGTTGAGATTCCTCAAATATTCGGGGAGAAATTTCACTTCAACACTCAACAAATTGGACTACAATTTCTTGGCATGATCATTGGAGGTGTTCTGGGAGAACAAGCCGCAGGTCCTTTGAGTGACTTCATCATGAACTCGTATGCGCGGAGACATCATGAGCAGAGATTAGTACCTGAGTTTCGCCTTTGGCTTTCTTACCTTGGATATGCCACAGTCACAGCAGGCTTCCTTATCTGGGGGTTCCGTACAGCGGATATACCCGCGGCGTCTTATGAGATCTCACCGATCGTCGGCATTGGAATATCGTCTTTCGGTGCTCAGATTATCACCACCAGTGTCATCACTTATATGGTGGACTGCTATCCCGGTGAATCTGCGGAAATTGGAGTTTTCGCCAACGCTGTGCGTCAAATTTGGGGGTTTATCGGTCCATTCTGGTTCCCAAGCATGTTTGAAACTGCAGGAATCAAGGGATCGGCTGGAATTATGGTCGGAGTTAGCTTGGTTGCTAGCTTCCTACCGGTCATGTGTGTGCAAATGTTCGGGGCTAGATTGAGAGGCACTGAACATGGGCACTCTGAATCGATGCCTGATTCAGTAAGAGACTAGACTGATGGATAATGTTTTCAGTCCTCTTGAAAATGACATTATATGTCGACCGAACCTGTATAGTAAATATAGCAGGTCTACACAGCCAACTGACCCAGCTCATACGATTTCATAGTTTGAAAACTTGTCATTTTTGGGCATTACGTTTTATCGTAGTAAAAATGAAACTCACGCATACACATAGGATAATGTCTGCCGCCCCGTGACTTGCTCTTTCCGTTTTAGTGCTCACCCCTCGCTCCCTGGGTAGAACTGAGCACGGCGCTGAGCGCCCAGATCTGCTCAGGGAGCATGACAAAATCAAAATCGCCCGCTCACTGAGCGCTCACTCAGCAACTGACTGCTCTCCTGAGCGCCTTGAGCCACTCACTGATAGCCCTGATTCGCTCACTGAGGCCACCCTGAGCATGGGAATGAGCGCCCTGAGTAAGCCCACCCCCAATAAAGTGCACCCCATCAGTTTCGTCCATGTGCAACTTTCATCGCTCGTATTTCTCCCATCAACAAAAAACTGCCATAGTCAATGTGACTCTTGTTGGATCTGTGGCCGCCTCTTACCTCAGTGGCGGAAGTGCGCGGTGGGTCCTGTTTAACAAACCTATCGATCCCTAAACATCCTGCGGTACGACAGCTGTTTACACTGGTTCTTCGAATCTATGATCACTGTCCGTCCGCGAGCGATGTGAACAAACAATCTTAGCCTTTCTACACACCTGCCTGCCCTGTCCAGCATCGATTGTCTTTACGGTTGAAGCATTCTAGTTCAATTCATTGTCTACATTCCGGTTTAGCAACAACCAATTTTTCCTCCTTGATCTTTTTGCGTACTTGTTGCCCCGATTGTTGCCCAGCCACACGTCGTAGCCCTTCTCCACGAGATGGAAGGGAAGACAGCGCTGTTCCTCGGAGTTGGAGCCGGTTTCTCTGCCTCCGGCGGTGTCAACTCGGCGTCTGTTGATACTGCAGTATAGAAACTGTCGTTCAGGTTTAGGTCCATTCGTTACTCCATCCACTGCCAGGCTGGGCCACGCGTAGACCCGCTTCGGGGCACCACGATATATGAAAATCAGGAACGAGGTTTCCCGGTTCTAGGGATCTAGGAAATCCACATTCGGGAATACCCCGTAGTGGCCTGCACTACGGACATCGCCGAAATATTGTCTTCTACAGAGAAGCGACGAGCCAAAAAGGGCTGATCCTATAAAGTTGGGGGAGTAAAAGCAGGGAACAAGTCTTCTTTTCTCTAGTAGAGTTTGCTCTTTACCACCAGGCATACATAGCGTTGTGCTAGTACAGATAGCGACTTCCCTGTCGGCTCCTCACATTCTTATTCTTATCCAGGTCAGAGTGAGGGTGATGTATGCCTAAGAGAGAACTTGCCCGTAATCTCGAAGGTCTGATTCCTATAAGTTGTTGTTTGCCAAGGCGAGCTGATGTGAATTTCTGCAGTCCAAGATCCTATAGTTCGTATACAGCGCATTCTGCAATACAACATCGTATAGTTCGTATACAACGCATTCTGCAATGCAACATCGTATAGTTCGTATACGGCGCATTCTGCAATATAACACCTTATATTTCATGCGCGGCCAGGGATAAAAGAACAAGGGAGGAATAGAACACAACCATTTTCCACCTTTCATCAGCCATTTTCGTTCAAAATTGATCAAGATCGTCATGTCTCACCGGCAGAAGGACCTCTTCTGTACCTAAATTCCTCGAATCAAGCACAATCATGATCTGAGGGGAAATATCATCCTGGTTATACAATATATGTTGATTCAGCCAATAAACGAGTCAGTAGTCTTAGAACTCAACATATAAAGCCCCTTCAACTCCCCAGACAAATCCCAAACATTTCTAGTATCATCCAAAATTCAATCTAAGTCTCAATTCAACACACAATTCTTGCTTCTTCTTGAAGAAACAATTTATCCATCAAAATGCGTTTTTCCATCCTTAGTCTTGTTGCAACAACCCTCCTTAGTCTCACTGGAGTTAAAGCCTCGTGCACCTGTGAAGTCGGCACAGCTCAAGGCGAATACTGCGGTTACTGCCCCCAAGTCGTCAGTGGATGGACCCTCGACCATGTCTATGAGTGCAACTCCGGGGGAGGCTGTCATGACTATGGTGTTAGGGACAGCTGCAAGACGGGTTATGACCAATGTCCTGTTTAAAGGCTTTGCACTTTTCTATGAATTACTCTCACCTGTGAGTGGACCCAACTTCTCCTGTCGTTGCAGTATATGATATCCAAAAATTATTATCATGGTTCATTATTGACTTCGAAAAGAACTTGCTTGAAGGAGCGTTTTGGGTGTGAGTAATGAGCTTGAGTTTTGGAACATCAACGACAGAACTCGTGTAGGGGTGCGTTTGTGGAGAAATTTTAACGATTATTGGGTTATTGTTTCAGAGAGATACGGGACCTGTCGCATCTCTGTCTCCTAAATGATGCGTTTACCCTTCAATTGAAAACTCTGAAGCATATAAGGTGCAATAGTCTGCCACTCATTTGACGTTTCTTATCAGAAAAGACACAAATTGGAAGAGCTAATTCCCTCTGACGTTCGCTTTCTGAGATTTCGTAATTTAGTAAGGCAGAGAACTGTTAGGCTTTGAATGGGAATAGCTTCCTATCCTCTACGGAATAATCATGAGTAATTGCTAATCAATCTGGATGCTGGATGCTGTATATGAGTCCCCAAGTTTCTGTCTGAAGAAATCAATTAATCTTCCTCTAGATTTCCGGCACCGGCTCAAAAATAGATAAGTAGACTTGGACGGAACTAATCAATAGAGTCGCTCATTTATTGGAATGCAGTTCAGGCCGCGGTGGATGTTGTGGCGGCTCAACTCTCCGTTTGTGATAATATGTGGGCAAACACAGAGGGATTGTTCTTAGGATCCACTGTCAAGACATCTAGGCTAACATATAGGCTAACATATAGGCTAACATATAGGCTAACATATAGGCTGCTGCATATATTAAGTTATATCGAAGGAAGAAGATATTGTAGTCCAAAAACGTATTAATATATTTATCATGAAGAAAATATATCTATAACTGTAAAACCTTCCACCCCAATTTTATTAATACACTCATATCCCCCATTCATGCACTGTCGGTGGTGACATTCTCCGAGTGCGTGGTAGAGAGCGCACGCTTCTCACTCGCTCTCAGCTTCTCGCCCAGGACCTCAACGTCACCCTGCTCAGCAGCAATGGTGCGCTTGGTATCGTGGAATGTCTTCCAGGCCGGGGTACCGATGTACGGAATACCAGTGGGATCCTCAAAGATATGCTCGGTTTCCTCCAGGGTCTTGCCCGCAGTCTCAGGGAACATGAAGAAGACGTGGATCAGCATGGCTGCTAGGAAACAGCCGAAGATGATGTATGTTTGCCAGCGGATGTTTGTGAAGGCCGGAGGCACGAACAGACCCAGCGCCATGTTGAACGCCCAGTTGGCCGAGGTGGCCAGCGCGACAGCCTTGCCGCGGACGCGCAGAGGGTACAGCTCTGGAGGGTACACCCACGAAACTGGGCCCCAGGTCGGGGCATAGGAAGCCACGAATAGGTACGTGCAGGCAATCAGGGCCTTGGCTGGGGCACCGTGGAGGCGCATGGACTCCTCGGGGGTCTTGTTGATACCGCCAGGGACCACCACACCATAATTGGCCATAATACCGGCGTTGGCGAACATCCAGGTCATCATCAAAGCAGCACCGATCAGCAGCGTCGGGCGACGACCCCAGCGGTCAACCCAAATCAGAGCGGGGACAGTCATGATAACGTTGATGATGTACTGGATAGAGGAGGCAAGAAGAGTGGCATCGCCAGAGTAGCCAGCCATGCTGAAGACATAGGTGATGTAGTACATCATGACGTTCATACCGGTCAGCTGCGACCAGATCTGGCAGAAAAGACCGATGAAAGTGCGGTTCAGCATTTTGGGCTGGAACAGCTCCAGGTACGAAACATCTTTGTTCTGGCTCTCAAACTCGCACATATCACGAATCTCTTGCATCTCAGCAATCACGAAGGGGCTGTTAGCATCACCCTTGCCGTGGACAAGGGCGAGAACCGACTGGCACTCCTCCCAGCGGTCCTTGCGAGCCAACCAACGCGGGGATTCGGGCAGAATGGTCATTCCCAGGAAGAGGAGAATGGCGGGGAGCATCTGAACACCCCAGGGAATGCGGAAGACGGAGGTGCTGTAGTTCCAGGACTTATCACCGCCGATGTAGGTGCAGCCGAAGGAGATACTGCCCGGCGATAAATGGTTAGCAGGTATTAGCAGCATGTAAAAGGCAGGCAAAACATACTAGTACATGATCAGAATGCCCCAAGTGATAGCCCACTGCTGGGAGCCGACGAGGCGGCCACGCTTAGAGGGCGGCGAAATCTCAGAGATGTAGACCGGGACTTGTGCAGACTCAATGCCGACACTGATACCGTTGATGATACGACCGGCAATCAGCATGCCCATGTTCTGGGACGCGCAGATAATAACAGAGCCAATAATCCTATCACAGTACTTGTTAGTTTAGATCTCTTGTTTTCGGGCTGCTTTTCTTACCAAACAATACATCCAGTCATGATCGCATACTTGCGGCCAAGCCGATCGGAAACGAAACCAGAAATGAGAGCACCCAGCCACGACCCACCAGGCATGGCAGCAGTAACACCACCCTGAGCCAGTGAGCTGAGACCTGTACATACCGGCGAATCGTTGAACGGCGGGCCATCGGGGCCGTGGTTGAAGTAACACTTGTAGGCAGGAGTGGTAATAATGGCCGACATGGAGGAAATGTCAAAGCCAAACAGACTGCCGCCGATGACGGCGACAGCCGCAATCACATAGATGTTCCCCACGACAACCATGGTGGACAAATAGGCTCAAGGCACTATGAGAGTGAGAGAAACAAAGAGAGAGTAGACAAAAAAAGAACCTCGGAAAGACAGGGGTGGAGGAGGGTACTTAAATACCATGGCCCTCTTCTCCTAGTAACTTGCTCCAGGTACAAAAAGAAAAAAACTCTGTCATGAGACAGGTCCCGTCCCCACTGTGCCAGGTCAACACCAGGGCCGTCCCCATGGAGAAGGTCGCGATGATTAATTACAATGGAAAAACGTGCTAATACAAGCCGGGGGCCCGCCAAGACCCTGTTTGCGGTCCCTGTCTCTGTGATTGGGCCATATAATCCACAATATGTGTTTAATTGGTCAATCTCAGAATCGATCCGGGGGAATCGGCCACTCGAATGCTCAGGCTAGCCCTAACCAAGTGTAGCGCGGTACAAGCAGACCACCGAAGACAGTTCGGCCTCCCGGTTTCTTGATGCTGGGCGCTCCTTCGGATCGGCCTGTTGCGGCAGTGGCGCTCGGCATCGTCAGGGGCTTGCACTTAAGCTACATCCCGAAACTCTGTGGTGGAAAAAGCCTGACGAAATGAAGTATAGTACGTTCATGGTGGAATAGGAGTCCGGATAATAATTTTACGTTGTTCTCAGTCTGCCAATGAGATTTGCCAGCGAGACAGGCACCTCATTACTCGGTCCCACCGACAATGCCACCATGAAGAGAGTATCCTGGCAGGACTTGTCGATACACAGCAGCAGTAATTAATTATTTAACCGGAGAACCCACAAGGAAAAAAACCCCCGCCAAAGCCGACGAGGCAGTACTAGTCCGGGGCCCCGAGCACGGGTAAATGCCTCAAACGGGATGCCCGGACGGGAGCTCAATGGCCAGGAGACGCCGAGAGTGGGCTCGGAACAACGCGAGGTCGGCTTCCAGACCGCCCGGGTTGCGTGGTACGGCCTCCTCCGGCCGTCCTGTTCCACACAGCAAGGCTTATTGCGTTGTTTCAGGTGGACTCGTGCCTGTGGAGACTCATATCGAAAAATTTCGTTGGGCCACCACGTTCAGCGCACACATGTGGTTCCACCCCACCAGCCCCATATCTTTGCTCGTCTTCTCTCCCACGCAGTCGCACAGCGTGCGGAGAGCCGGGGAACCGACATCCAAATGCGCTCACCGGGTGACATTCACCCCAGATCTGACCAGACTACGTATCTCGACTTATATCCCCGAGTGTACTTGCGAGGAAATGGTGAATGTCTATCTATGACGTGAGGATCGGGAAGCGGCTCTCGGCTCGGCGTGCCCCTTTTATTTTCAATACCGCCGGTGACAATTCACGGAAACTAATGCCACTCACATCATGGGCACAGACCGTAGTTCGCGCTATCCAGCGCCGTTGGAACTCTGAGTCTAGCTGGTCCATGCGCTTATGATGTAAGTGGAAGTGTTTTAAAAGTCTAATAGATGAATCTCCTGATCCATACCAAAGGGACAGCATAATCCGGCTTCCTCGGATCAAGATCGGTTATGTCCGCTGGTCAACGATTGCCTTGTATGGCTGTTGTACCATGCTATTATAATTCAACGAAAGTGACCCTTCGCACCGTGCCATTCCCCGTGCTGTTTGAGGCATTCTCCGCTGCCCGGGTCAGCATTACGCGGACCCTAACTCTCGTCTATTATGACCAATTGCCCTTTTGGTCATTCAGCCATACAAGTCCCAATAATTTAACATTGCGGATTTACTGGAGAATTATTGTATCTGTCCTCAAGCTCCCTAAATTCACTACTACACACCGAGAAAAGTAATTACATGTATGTGAATTCGAAAGTCTAATAATATCTTCAGAATAGAAACAGAGCTACAAGAATGGCCGAGGAGAGTGAACGGGGAGAATATCTCGTAGCCACACAGCTATCATCGCAACCATCTCCTTAGTGCAGCTGTGGCCCGTATTCTCCTGCACAAAGAATGTTACATGCTGGTCACTCTTTCTTCGCCTTTCCTCCACCCATGCTGCCGTATACTTTGCAGGGACCAGCTTGTCGTGCAGTCCATTGCACAAAAGCAAAGGCACGTCTGTAGGGAAATCTTTTGCGACTTTGCAATCGTCTCGATGAACGATTTCCGCTAGAGAGCGTGGCCAGCGCCGTTGTTGCTCCAAAGTCATTTGCTGATACAGAATATCGATATTTTGCTTGTGTGGTCCGGGATCAACGCCTAACCGACTGAGCAGTAGATCGGTCAAGTTTGGACAGCCGACTACCATTGTATAGGCGTAAAACTGCCCCGGAGAAGCCAGTGAGGCAATCCGCCAAGCAGTGTGAGCTCCGAGAGACACACCGGCCATGATGTTGTAGAACCGGGTGAATTGGGATAGATAGCAAGGGAGATAATCGACCACCAGCTTGAAATCCTGTGCAGCTCCAGAAATCATTGAGATCAAATCCATCCTACAAATTGTTAGAAGGCGTGACTGATATAAAAATAAGAAAAGTCTCACGCATGGTTTTCATTCCCGTCTTTCCAAGCTCGGTTTGCCTGTGGATCAACCTGATATGCCAACATAAGCATCAACTACGGAGCATAACCCCTCAACAATGCCCATATCTTACCTCGCGGTCTCCGTGGTTCCTCATGTTCATCGTCACGGCAATCAAGCTAATTGATCTGCCTGGGGTCTTGTCTGTTTGATACCGATGCAAGATCTCATGGGCCATGTCTTCCATGACGCGATAGGTGCGAGTTCGGTTGTGTGCCATATACAAAACGGCCACTTCGCCATTGGGTTCACGGTTGGCTTCTTGTAGTCCATAGACGTAGATTTGAAGTCCGCCGATGGCTAGTTTCGTTTTGCTCGATAGAGGTGTGCTCAACGGGAGAGAAAATCGCGGCTCTAGGCTGTCCACAATTTGTGTTGCCATTTTTATTATGTTCTTCCCTCAGACTCCATAAGTGTCTGGTATCTTGAAGTTTTTAAAAGTAACACATAACGAAGAAACAGCTATTTGCGCTAAGGAGCCGAACCAACCGGTTGAACCGAGATAATTACCGCGGCAATATTCCATATTGATTCGGCCAAACACTATGGAAATGCTATCCACCCAATCACAAAACCAGATAATGCTTCTCAAAAAAGTCCAAGATAATCGGTGTAGCGTTAAAACTGGCAGGATGATGACCGGCCTCCTCGTTATCGGCATTGGGGACAGTGCTGGGCCAGTCATGGCCAATCACCGAGTCATAGACCAATCGCACAAGCCCAGTAAGACCAAATGAGTAGATGACAGTGTCGGGAGCCAGTGAAATTGTAATATTCCGTTGACTGACCAGTTCATCTCGCGCAGCCCACTCTCGAATGAAATGCGGGATCGTCGGTAGACACTCATTCTTGCGCTCGCCGCCCCAGTAGGAAATAGTGGTATCATTTCCGCCGTGGAATGCAAGAAAAGGAATGTCTTTTCGCGAGGCATTGCAGGGAATATCAACTGTCGAAGGCATGCATGATAGAGTGTCGATATAATATGCGCCTGAGACGGGGGCAAAAGCTGCAAAACGCGTAGACATCTCTGTGTTGCAGGCAAGAACGTTACAAAAGCCACCTCCATCCGACTTCCCAGTCGCCCAGACACGGGTTGTATCGATGCAATATTTCGAATCAATCTGTTTGAGAATGTCGTCTGTAAATTGGATATCGTTGGTTGTGTCTCCAGGGACTCCTTGCCACTTGTTCTTTAGTCATAATTAGTATGGAGTGCTTGAAAGTGTCCCAAGCTGTACATACGTTGATGCCTTGGGGATACACGACAAAAGCCCTCGTGTTGAAGTCCGGGTTGGTCAGTTGATCGAGCTGGAGCTGATCATCCGCCGTACGGTCGCCACCATGATACGATAAAATCACGGGAGTTGGGGTCTCTGAATCGTACAGAGGTGGAATAGAGATGAGATAGCTGCGCTGTAGCCCTCTGCTCGTGATTGTTACATTTGAGACACCTCCAATGGATTGACCAGCAGGAAGCGGTTTTGGTAGGCATGCTGAGGCTGCCGCACTCAAAGCAGACAGCAATCCAAGTAGGGGGAGTATTGGCGGCGTCATTTGGAAAATGTTCCTGCTCTTTTTTCTGTCAAAATGATGTTAGATGTTGGTCGTAAGCAAAAGAATAACGTCAATACTTTAAGGCGACACAAAAGGCAACCCTTCGCGGTATCCCATAAAACCCCTGGGCTTAATCACATTTTTGGCCGAGAATGCCGGATGGGTGAGCTGCAGCTCAATTGGTCCGTGCCGTTCAGCTCAGTATATTGAACTAGTACTGTAAACAAACTAGGATACAGGGAAGTATCAACTGTTCTGGTTGAAGACTTGGGAATTGTTCAAGATTGGGATTCGCAATATAAAATTCCTACAATACGTATCGAAAGTCCTGATTCTGCATGTCCGTCAAGTTCTCCTCAAACGAGTGAAGACGATCCCCGCCAGTGGAGCGCCTCTCTCTCTTTGCGTTCTCCCTGCGCAGGAGAATCCAAGTCCCAGCGCTGATGACCACTACAAGGCATAGACATACAAAGCTGCCAATAAACCCGGCGCGGTATAATGGCCCTGGAGAAGCGCCGAAGATCAATGGCCCAATGATGTTACCGATACAATAACCAGCAAACGTGGATGCGCTGGTAGTCGCTTTTTCTGATAGGCGTTACTTTTTTGTTTCCCAAAAACTGAAGAGGAGACTCACTGGTATGGCCGGCAATGTTGGAAGCGGCCAGCGAAACAGCTAACCCGCCGGAGGCAACTTGGACGGCAATCAGGAAAATGCCGGCAAACAACAGACCTCTATTGGTGCGTGGTCCGAACCAGCAGATCAAAGTGCCAGCAATGGAGATGAGCGCACAGATAATGATGGAGAGGTAGCGTGTGCCCTTCCATTTTCGAGTCACGTAAGCAACTAGCAAAATAGCCAGCGCTGTAATAGCGCCGATGGGACAAGTCAGAGCCAGCGAGTCGAAATGGCTGAATCCGAAGCCGTTAATTACAATGGTTCCAAATGTCCCAATAGCGCCAGAAGGCACGCCGGTCAGGAGAACAATCAACGTGCAGCTATACGTCTTGTAATCCCGAAATGCTTCAAAAAACTGGGCTTTATCAAAATAATGGCTGATAGTGCCTGCCTGATTTTCCTGCAGTCGGTGAACGGCAATTATGCGTTCAGATTCGGTCAATCCTTTTGTCGTGAGAGGATCATTCGGCAGACAGAAGAAGAGAACCACTGCCCAAGCAGTTGTGACGGCCCCAAGGATTAGGAACATTGGCTTCCACGAGACGAGCGATCCATGAATCTGACCGAGTCCGTAGTTTATAAGAGGCGATATCATAGTGGCAACCCCGACACAGCAGTACCACAGTCCTGTGCGCAAGGCCTGCTCATCCCGCCTCCACCAGAAAGTCACCAGCACGGTGAAGGTAGGCGCGACGGCGGACTCGAGCACGCCAAGCACAAAGCGGTTGACCATAATGCCGGCATAGTTTGTGCAACCAGCAGTGGCCATGACCACAATCCCCCAGAAAAAAGTCGCCAGTGATATGACTCGCGATGGAGGGAAATGCTGCGACAGGTACACCATTGGATAGGTGCCGACCAGATACCCGATGTAGAAGATCATCGAAGCGTTTGAGTACCGTTGGTTGTCCGTGATCGGCGTGCCATTTGTCTCATGCCCAATCACAGTAGATAAGCCGAGGTCGGTGTTGAAGTTGAACTGCGTGGCGGCACTCATGATCCCCTTGTCGTAGCTTTGCAGCATGTACGTAAACATCATGAGCGGGATAATCCTTTTTCAGTCAGCAGGGTACCTAGGAATACAGGAAGAAAAAAGGCTCACCAAAAGTCCAGCTTACGTACGAGTCGTTTCTCTTCTTCTGGTGAGAAGGCGACATCGTCCTCCGTCTCTTCGACCTTTTCGACCTCTCCTAGATTTAACTTCTGGATTGAATCCTCCATATCTGAGGCAAAATGCACGTAAAGACTGTCGACCTTGTGAAAGACACAGCTGACATGGTGTTGGTATTTATATCCATCATGATCATCAGGTTTTTTCTCGACTCCCCGGATTTTCAAGCGCTGTGCGTAACTCGAAGTTTACCGAATGAGCCGAAAGTGCCGGCGTGGGGTCCCCGCACTAATAAACTGGGCATTTCTCCTTTTTTAACCGCGGCAATTTTCAACTGGATAACCATCAACAGAATGCAGAATACCAACCACGATAAAACTTGCAAAAAACGTCGTGCCCGTGCTGCGTGTAGCGCATGTAACCGACGCAAGGTGCGCTGCGACGTGACACAAACCGGGATCCCGTGTTCCAACTGCCAGCATGAAGCTGCTGTGTGCGAGGTACTTCCTCGCAAAAAGCATCGGTGGGTCACTTCAATGAACTATCGGCATGGACTTACTGACTGGAAGATAGCCCGCGCATATCACGAGTGAGAGCAACAGAGGGCGACCATAGTACTCTCAACTCGACGACGGCTGAAGCAGAAATTTTACCTGATGACAGTGCCTGCTCCTACATTGGTAAACTACTTTGCATTCGATTCTTCTTATTAAAAGGCTAACCTTCGTGCCTAGGCGACACGCGCGGCCCAAGACAATCCGTCTACGAGCTATGCCATCCGCGCGTCCCGCAAGAAGGGCATCAGTCACCTATTGCTCCGGGCAGTTCAACGAATACAAGTCCCGTTCGCCCGCAACATGAGCTCGACTATATCCATAACGAAGGCGGATTCGCCAAGCTCCCATCAGATGTCTACCACGAGCTACTCAGGTGCTACTTCTACCATGTACATTTCTTCTTCCCAGTCGTCCAAGCGCCACTTGTCCTCGAAGATTACAACGAAAATGAAAATCTAGACAAGAATCCCTTGTTGTTTTGGAGCATGATGCTAGCAGCCACTAATGTACGTCACGTCTTCTTCCCGTTGTCGTGATACGTGCGCACTTACTGAAGAATCTAGTAGTTCATCGATAAAGAGGTCTGCCAACGAGCAGGCTTTTCTTCTCGAAAAGCCATGAAGAAAGCAATGTACACAAGAGCGAAATGTTTCTACGATCTTGATCGTGGGACGGACAAACTGATCCTGATCCAATCCGTCCTTCTAATGAGCTTTTGGTATACGGATGCCCAGGATCACACGGGGTCATGGCACTGGGTTGGCATCGCCATTACGCTCGCGCAGGGGATTGGGATACACCGCTGTGCTGAGACACAGGCACGACATAACAGTCAATTCGTGCCTCAGGAAAGACAAAGCCTCACTCATCGTCTGTGGTGGACCTGCGTGATTCGCGATAGGTGGCTGTCTCTAGCGAAGGGCCGACCAATGCGCATCCACGACGAGGACTGCGATGTCTCCCTTCCACGTTCTGAGGATGTTCTGAATGAACTCCAAATTATTCCTCCAGAAGTTCGCCACAAACTCATTCCTGCTGACGCAGACAGTCTAGCCCCAATGTGGGTACAGCTTGTCAAGATCAGCGCTGCGCTTGGATGCATTCTACGCACTCATTATCGACTCAAGGGTCCCAAGCCGGGAACTGAGGACATTGATGAACTAACTACGTCGCTGCACAATTGCCAGCCAGATATGACGACGGTGTATGATGCCAGCGATACTATTCTGCTTCACGAGTATCACCTTCAACTCTTCTATCAGTTAGTACTATCTTCTCTTTTTGGTAAATCTTACTCTGATACCTATATACTATAGGGCGAGTGTGACCGTACTCTGCCGGCCCTATGTTCTAAACGCACCTGCATCATTCCCAATTAACTCATCAGCTGCATGGCAGAAGAAGATGCAGGGACGAGCGCGAGCAGCAGCGTCGACCACCAACAGTATATTCGAAAAGATAATTGAATTGGATGCTGTCAGACTCATCAAGCCCATGGTGTATGTATACTAACTATTGGACGCCTAACCTGAAGATGTGTAGACTAATGCACGATAGCATCACCTCCTTGATCCCGGCGATGCAGGTCCACCTCTTTGACTGCAAATCAAGCAGCCAGCTCCAAGCCAGTCTCGGCCGGAACAAGATCCAGCTGTGCATGCTGATCCTGGATAATTTGCGTGACACATATTGGAGTGCAGGCGTTATGTATCGACTTTTCGACCGTGCACAGCGCATTCTGAGTAATAACACCGGGAATAGTTCAGCGGCTAGACAAACTTGTGGACTGTCTTCCAATCCGGAATATAGCCAAATGGATCAAGAGCAAGAAGAAGTCGCTACTAGGGACGCGATGAACGGCTTTGCGGCTTTAACGCCAAATGGTTCTGGCACTGGCATGCTCGGTGATGAGTTGTTGCCGCTTGGCAGCAGCGCCAGAAGTGACTTCAGTGCTCTGGAGCAATTGCTAAGTCCTGGATTCTCGCTTTCGGATAATCAATCACAAGTATTCTTTGCAGATTATACGAGCAGTGTGATGGGGGAAGGTCTTTCACTGGGTTTGTATGATATTTGATTGATTTATGCACTTTAATACCTGCCGGTAAAGTGATATTTGTCGCACATGTTGTCAAGATGCTACAAGGATGTAGAAATATAATGGGCTTTGAGTGGTTTTAAGTGGAGATGGCCAAGAGGAAGCGCTGACGACTGCAAAGACAGTCAAGGCTCTGTGTAGTTCCGCTCTATGTACCAGAGTTTCACTGGGAAGGCGGTGCGGACCGAGCTTCAAGTCGACTAATCTTGATATGCTAGAAGATTTGACCGAAGACGGTTTTTCTCTTGCGTAACTAGCAGAATTCTCCCACAACTAGCTATTAGCCCAGCAGAGACCGCAGATAGTCTCTTCGCAATGTTATTTTGCTATGACTTTCGTCGAGAGTGCGCAATGTATACGCAGAGGCCACGAAGAAGATATTGCACGAATTTAGCTGCTGACACTTATTATGAAACAGTCAATAAATTATCTCTCAGCGCAAGTTGACATAGATCTTCGCAATGTTGACGTTTGCCGGCCGGAAAGGATGAAGACTTTCTCCCGACTCCCCTTTTTCTTCGTACGTCAGCGTGTGAAATTGTCCGATGACCGTTGCTCTAAATGGGGCCGGCGGATTCGACCACACTTTGAATACAGCACCAGAGATAGTCTCAATCTGGATGCCACGAAATCCCTGTGCCGCCGACCGTCGCATCATCTCTTCGGCTAGCTGCCTCATAAGTCCGTGACCTTCATGCGCTTTAACGGTGTTGGTGGCGTTGCGCATTAGTACCTGCTGGGGGCCGGTGGGCTTCCACGAGGCAGGATCGCGAGTGTCTCGGTCCCCAAGGGCACTGTAAACCGATCCGAACAATGGCAGTGTCTCGATCAGTGGCGTTATCTGAGCCATATCCAGCTCGTTGATGCCATCGTAGGCTAGGGCGATAGAGACGAGCGGAAAGTCCATCTGATCTGCCAACTCGCCCTCAGTAGCACTCTCGTCATCAAGATTCCAGTATAGCTTCCCCCCGTGGCCACAGACTCAGGTCGCTTGAACTGGTATTCTCTGTGGAAAATACCAAGGGAATATCCTGAGTCGATCTGGTGCTTGATTAGGTAGTGCGCGGCCCGGAACGACTTGTATGCCCGCTGAGTTATATTCTCGGGATACACGACTGGCCAGAGTGGGGATCGGAACAGATTTGTGTGGATGCAAATAGCTCGGGCCCATTCCTCATGCTCCGGTCCAAGAACACGGATTTCGTACTGCGAGGGCAGAGATGAAGCCATTTTGTTCAATTTTTGGACGTGGGATAGTCTTGTACATGGTGTTGGGAATCAGAGGGGTGGGACGCCTATTTATTAAGCCGGCTTTCGACCTTCACCTAAGCATCTACAGCGTCGTATCCACATCTATGCTTACGCGCCCCTCACTCTGCGATTATATGTTGATACAATGTTTTTTCCCCAAGTTATCCTAGCTAAAATACTCGATTTAGCTGAATCGCATTGGCGGGAAGATAGTAAATCCTTTCTTAGATCTCTATTATAAGACATCAGTTAATCATTGGGAGAGTAATGGAGAGCAACGGCGAATTCGTCAGTCTGAGATACGCGAGACAATGTGTCAGATCCACTTACCCGATGCAGTATGTAACTCGGTACGAACCACGGACCAGACTATTCTCTCCGTTGATCTCCATGTTCGACCACACTCTGAATACAGCACCAGAGAGACCCTCAATCTGGATGCCACGAAACCCTTGCCGTACTGACCGCCGCATAATCTCTTCAGCTAGCTGCCTCATAGGCCCGCGAGCTTCATGCGCCTTAATGGTGTTAGTGGCGTTGCTTATTAGTACAGAGGGCCCGTCGGCTCACGCGAGGCAGAATCGCGCGTGGATGCAAATTAGCGATGATCACGAAAATTTCATTGCCAAATCATCATTACTACATGTAAGAACCGAATTTTCCAGCATGATGTACGCCCACTAGTTGATGAAATGGTTCCGTCTTAACAGAAATGTTGCAAAAGAACGACTGTAGAGTATCGCCAGGTTCTCTCTGTTTTTGAACGCTGTTGAAACATAAGCCAATTAGCGAGTTTTGCTATTTGCGTTCGGAACGTTGCGTTTCCCTGGTGAGCCATAGTTTCGCTTTCCCAAGTCTTCTTCAGTCTCATATCGCGAGAACCTACTCATAAGCCATCCGCAGCCCGTCATCTGCACTCATACACAACATACCACCAGCCCCGCGGATTCGTCAAGGAAACGACCGGTTCTTGAGGAGATCGAAAGTGTTCCGAAGAAACCACTGACTCATCAGTTCTAATAGCGACGGTTATCCGACCTGCCCTTGCTTGAGTCATAACTAATCCGTTGATTCCGTAGGTGTCGATGTCGGTCATTTATAGTGACGAGACTAGCGACGGGGAGAATCCCACGAAAGTGGCTCAGGAGAAGATGAGTCGATCTATCTCATTCATGATGTACCACGATGAGCAAGATTCCATAACAGATGAGGGAGGGTCCAAATTGCGTGCTGAGATGAGAGAGATGAAGCGACTGCAACTAGATCAAGGCCGCAAGCTCGAGTCCCTTATGCATAGGAGAGGGTTTGCCCCTCCCCCCGGTAAACCCTACTTTTCAATATATTCGTTATTTTCTGTGCTCTATCGAAGCCAGGGCCTCCGCTTTATTCGGAGGCTATCGGTCATATGCCATTTTTGGGAATGCACGAAAACTTACATTGCGGCAATATCGGAAACCTTGCCGTCATTGCCCCGTCAGTCTTTTACCCCCCAGGGCCCACTGACCCACTTCAGAGGGGCCTAAAACTACGGGGAAATAAACGTTTAAGTATAGGACCCACGAATCCTACAAGTATCTGGACATCTCCCACTTTATTCTTCGTTTGTAACTGAAATAAACCACAGTATTTAAACATGTCTTCCACCAAAACCCCAGGGTACCCCGATTTACCCGACCAGGAGAAATCCCTCCCGGAGACAAAGCATTTGGAACAAGTTTCCAGCGCCCCCGAGATCAATTTAAGCTATGAAGAAGATGAGGAACCCGAGTTCCATGCACGTACATGGTTTGCTCTAGCTGCTATGTTCCTTCTGAACCTTGTTCAAGTCTTTGGCCTTTTGGGTCCTCCAACAGTTGTATGTATACCACGCAATTACATGAACTAGAGGCTTCCGCTAACCTTTTATGGCCTTCAGCTTTCCTTCATCAAGCAGGACCTTCATAATACCAGCAGCGGAACATGGGTACCAAATTCTTTATCACTCGTCCAGGCCGTCCTCGCTCCATTGGTTTCATCCCTATCGGACACCTTCCAAGCTCGGAAACATATACTCGTTGGCGCTTCAGTGATTTCGTTCATTGGAGCAGCTATTGCTCCTGGATCTGAGGATATATACAGGCTTATTGCTGCCCAAGTTCTTATTGGGTTCGGGTTCTCTACCGTCCCGTTGGCATATTGTGTTCCTAGTGAGATCCTGCCCAGAAAATGGAGACCGAGTATGTCCGATATCCTAAGAATGGCGAAATTGGCAGTATCAACTAACCTTAATGATCGGTAGTGGCTCAAGCGGCAATGAATGTGGCTGCGGCGATTGGTGCTTGCAGCAGTCCATTGATAATCGGGTCTCTTACCAGGGCAAACGCTCACACTGGTTGGCGTTACTTCTATGTGAGACCATCTCTCATATGATAGCTTGAATCGACGCTTACTCTATGGGCTAGTGGATCCAGATGGGACTTTGGGGAGCAACGGCGATCGGCCTTTTCATCGGTTACAGACCGCCAAAACGGCACACACAACTGGACCATCTTTCTTTTGGGGCCAAACTTCTCCGGCTCGATTTGCCCGGATTTTTCCTCCTCACTGTAGGGCTGACACTCCTTCTGACCGGATTGAACCTTGGAGGTGGCCTATATGCTTGGGCAGCTGCTCCGGTATTGGTGACCTTGATAATTGGCATCACAACACTTTTAGCCTTTGGAATATACGAGTGGAAATTTGTCACAACCGGAATTTTGCATCATGATCTCTTCCGAGGTGGCAAAAACCGAGGAAGAACATTTGGCCTTTGTATTGGCCTCATGTTCATAGAAGGCATTATTTTCTTTTCATTTGTCATATTTTATCCAGTGCTGTGAGTATTTCCGTCTTCAGGCAAGATATCGTTTATTGGGTTAACTGGAAATTCTGTTGCAGCATTTCCACTCTCTTCGAGAATGATCCATTCCTGTTAGCAGTCAGGCAATTGCCCTGGTGGATTGCAGGGACTTTCGGAACGGTGACTTTTGGCTATTTCAGCACTAAGTTCAAAACGATCCGAATGCCACTTTTTGCGGGCTTTATCCTGTTAACTGGCGGCACTATTGGCTTTACAACCATACAGCCTACCGACGGGTTGAATACTTGGTTCTTTGCGGCACTAGCGGGGTTCGGATTTGGTGCTCCTCTCATTCTAATCATCGTAGGCGTCCAGCTATCTACACCGCATCACCTGATTGCTACGGCGACTGCAGCAACAACATGCTCCAGGGCTGTGGCCGGTTCCATGTTTACTGCAATTTATTCTGCTGCTCTCGATGCACGTCTTGCCAAATACATTCCTAGCTATGTCGCCGAGGCAGCGGTGCGAGCAGGCCTCCCCAAGAGCTCGCTGGGTCCTTTTATCAAAGCAATTACTGCGGATGATAGTGACGCTCTTCAGAGTATCCGTGGGGTCAGTCCAACAATAATCAGTGCTGGAATCACAGCTTTGAAGCAGGCATATGCGGATGGACTTCGAGTCGTTTATATTATTGCGGCTCCGTTCGGCCTTCTAGCCTGTGTCGCTTGTTTCTTCCTCGGGGATCTGAAAGACGTGATGAATTACAGGGTTGATGCTCCTGTGGAAGACCTGCATGCTAAACAAGACCGTGGACGCCAAGTGTAGCGATTCGAACCTCTGGAGGAGGATATTCAGAAAGAGTTTGACTGGAAAACAATATTTTAGATAACCGACCATGGCTATCATCTAGGAAAGAAATCGTCACTTACCACCAGACCCTTTGGATAAAATCCAAAGTAATTAAATATCTATACGAAGAATTGTTGCACCGTGTAGTGGTTGCACCATTTAGTGCTCGAGCTATCCGCTTCAAATTTCCATTAAGATAGCACACTTGTGTAAATCTTTGACAGAATAATATTGAAATGGTTGTTTTGCATATTCATGGGCCGAGTAAATGCATCTCTGTCGACGCTGTTAACGGTTGCACCAGCAAAATGACGCAACAGAGGAGGCATAAAAACGATTAAGATGATTCAGCTCATGTCATGGGCGTATCGCTATCTTGGTTATTGGTTTCGAAAGCTGCGTTTCTCAGTCAAAACAGAATGGTCCCTATGATTTCCTACTTTCCCCCGAAAGTGGCGGCTCGGATGAGGCTAGACCGCCCGAGGCGGGGTAACATCGGAACTTCCCGAGAAACTCCAGTCAGGAGTAGTCTCTAGGTTGTCTCTAATTATATAAACAGAATTCCACGAAATACTGCCATTACTGGCTCACCTCTATCTTGTTCGCCCGATATAGTACTATTGTTTTCTGCCAACAGATTAAGACCAGATTTTGTTCCCTCCCAGAAATGGCAAGGTCGCCTGAAAAGATAGATGTACATGCCCACTTTCTGCCATCTGTCTATCGTGAGCAATGCCTGGCAAATGGATATAGTTCCCCTGATGGGTACCCCAACTTGCCGGTATGATCCCATATTCCTGGTTTCGCGGTACATCTAAGCTAACCACATAAGCAGGAATGGGATCTAGATGCACATCTGAAAATGGCAGATGAAATGAATATCACGAAGTCATACCTATCGATTTCATCTCCGGGAGTACATCTGGTTCGTGGTAATGATCAGCTTACCCGAGATCTCTGCCGAGACTGCAACATCGCCGGTGCGGATATCAAGAAGCGGTACCCCGAGCGGTTCGGCTTTTTTGCGTCCCTTCCATTGCCGGACGTTGGCGACAGCCTCAAGGAGTTATCTTATGTCTTTGACACATTGAATGCCGATGGCATTGTTGTCGAAACAAATTTTCACGGTTACTATCTTGGACATCGAAGTTTCGAGCCTATCTGGGCTGAACTGAATCGCCGAAGCGCCATTGTTTTCATACACCCAACGACCGGCTGCATCCTGAAAAAAGATGCCAGTTCTGGCGAAGTTTGTCACAAGATTGACCCTCTGTCGGAGTTTCCGAATCCCATTTTCGAGTTTCTTTTTGATACTACGAGAGCAGTTATCAACTTATTCTACTCAGGCATGATCGCTCGCTATCCAAACATAACTTATATCGTCTCTCATGCCGGTGCGTGCTTACCGCCGCTGATAGAAAGGTTCTCGCTCTTTGGCCGCAGGATGCCGAATGTGCCTGTTGATGAATCAGTCACATCGGCTTTCGTGAGAGAAAGACTGCGGAAACAATTTTACTTCGACATGGCCGGCGTTCCGTGGCCCGATCAATTACCCGCTCTGCTCCCTCTTATCGGCAAAGATCAGGTACTCTACGGGAGCGACTACCCCTTCACGAAGTCTGAGTCTGTTAAGAGCCTAGGAGATATGATGGAACACTTCATGCCTACTGTGTTCACGACTGAGGAGGAACGAGAGATGGCATACAAAAGGAACGCAGAAAAGCTTTTTGGTACTCAATCTAGTGGTAAATGATACTAGTACTATGTCATGCTTAGTCGAGTATCATCGAAAACGTCAGAAGCCATGAATCTAACAGACTTTGCCTTTGGAATTATCAATGTTGACCTTGCATTGAATTGCAATGTGGCCCGTGGCAAGAATTGTCTTGTATCCTAATACTACTTCTCGTTGGGAAAATTTCTCTCAGATAATAGAGCCTTTCAGCCATCTGAGTCGACATTTACTGGTCCACCCAAGCCTGCAACGAGCTATGTAGGAATGGTTATTTTAGCCCAGTGGGAACTTCGCTTCTATGTCGCCAAGTCCGGGAGAGGACTGAAAAGACCCCAGGTGCAGGCGGCGACTCACAAAACAGGTTTGTTACCCTGTATGGAGGATCGGTCGCATTCGAAAGTCAAGGAATATATATGGACGGTCATGCTGCAAGTTATCCTAAACGTTATACTGTGGAAACATCTCGCTAGTTGAACATAACCTAACGGCGTTTTAAATGTGCCTGGAAGAATATAAAAAGAGACAGACACCTGTGGCTTTCACGGCATATATATACACTTTGTTTAGATCAATTCAAAATAGCCAACTTTCCTCCTACCCCGTCTCCAGAAATTCCTTATTAACACCCAACCTGAGTATGTTCAACTCGGCTCCTCTTGTCTGCGCGTGTCATAACCCAGCATCGGTAAAGTGTCCATGGGAGTTCCTAAGCTATTGTCATGGGGTTGGACAAGGAGTCGTCCCTGTCTGTCCTGAAGGTTGTCTACAACCTCGGCATTAATACTGAGACCCGGGGAATTCGTGCTCTGATGGGCTGAGTGAGGAGGTGATTGGAAAAGCCATGCGCCATTTTGAATATCTCCTGCCAGATGTCGTTATCATGATTAAGGGCGCGCCATGTTGGGAGAAGCACGATGTTATTGGGCCGTTACATGGACAACAGTTGTCTCTTTTACCTTCCTATTACATGTCTGATCGACAAGTTAATGATTTATAACTTTTGGAACTTCCGTTGTTGTCTTGGTCCATTCCCCCACCGGAAGTGCCCTTCTACAAAATATTGTATATGCTCAACAACCACGATCATCGATGATCTCGAAAATTGTCCCATTTTTTGTTAGTCAATCTTCTCCACCAAGTTACGGCAAATGTGGCCTAACACTTAAGGGTGGACCTGGGATCTGCGGACTCGGAGACGGTTACGATTTGGCCATAGTCAAGGAACCATGGATACAGTCAATATAATGCCCCACATCCCTTACGGCGGGGACCTCCGCATTAAGGACAACACTATGGATGGACATGGAAAAAGGAAGGCATTCTTCCATGCGGCTGTCTGAGCGGGGAGAAGGGTACCCAACGGCGATGCTTAGAGTTAGGGTGGGTGGACGCCTCCGCTAATCCGAGACTAGTGTACTCCTCGAATACATCCCCACGACGGGAGACAGCGGCAAAGGATTCAGGGATTAGAAGAACTAGCAAACCTAAAGATACGAGAGCCAGTCGGCTGTAGGGAGAAGACCTCAAAATCACAGGCGACTGTTGCTACTTCTCACACTCCTGCGACTAATGAAGATCGAAAACCGAGATCACCTTCAGGTCGTCGGGTGCAAACACAACACCTCTCGTTGGTATGAGTGGTCTTGGTTAAACTTCGGCTTAGCGTAGATGGGATGGAACGGCTAATCTCCCCGGTCAATGGCGATGGAAAGATCGACAGACAGAGTTTTCAATGAGGTTTATGGAAAAAGTCGGAAAACCGGGTCTAGGTGCCTAGAACGAGGTCTGTTATACTCGTGCGTGCGCTAATCGAAACGCTAGGGCTTAGGCTAGTTAATCAATCGGATCATCACGATAATTAATAAATCAACTCCAAGGTTCGCATCAGGGAACTGGTAGTGGAGACAATTGGTACCTGAAGTCATTGTTATTGAACATCCCTACCCACATGCCGGTCCGCGGAACCAGGGTTGAAGATGAACGGGTTCGTGCCGGTGGCGCTCGAGGGACTCTCGTGCGCTCCGAGCTGGAACGCGCTGAATCCCTGTCAGGGGCACATGCTAGGTGTGGGTACCGGCCAGATACGCAAAATCAAGTAATTTTCGAGAAACCCAATTCAGAAAGTCTCGCACGATTTCTCCTCTTCGTCAATATGCTTTCGTTGTTCGGTGCCTACATCGGAAAACATGGATCAGAAAGACTTCGATCGGTGGGCAGCGGCCGGGGGAGGGGCGAGCTAACTGCTGTCCTGAATCTTCGGACCCAGCATCTGTCAGGTTGACCATTAGCGTGGCTACTTTACACGCTAATGAGCGGGTCCTTCGAAACTCATCTTACCGCGGACTGCGAACCGAACTCCACCAGGAACAATAGGTTTGAGGGGAAATTTTTTGCGGGGATGGATTAACCCGTTACGAGACAAGTCCAAACCCAGGCGAAATAGTGCCTCGGAGCCTAAATATTAATATTACAGCCTGTTTCTTGCCCTTCCTAAGCCCTCCTGCCACTTCGTCGATGTTGCATGTCCTCCATCGAAGGAAAGAGGCTGCTGATCCTAACAAGGTCAGATCGTTCTCCGTCATGGTTGACAAAGCTCCAGAGGTCTGGATGTGATGAACCATTGGCTAACCAACCCGGTGCTCAGATCGTGATCTTGGCTAGTTCTTCTTAGGACTTTATGTCGCACGCGACCTGCGCGCCATCCTCTTTCTCACCTTCTTAATCGCGGCCCTTGACACTCAACAAGGCTTGATACCTAATTATGAGCGGCCAATTGCTCGCCGGGAAACTCTCCAATGGCTTCGTCTTGCGCGCATCCGTTTATTGATGAATCGCTCTTTCCAAATACTGGAGGAGGTAGGTTTCCCCCCATACGTCGCATTGTCAGCATAGGCGTGTCTGTATGCTAACAAAAAATAGCTGTTTCAAGTCGATGGTGTGAACAGTTTGGAGAACTGTCGTGTTGCCTTCCATGTCCTATCAGCCATTGGAGGTGGAAAAATGTTATGTGTGAGCCTGCGCAACCCTGAATAAGTATTCATCGTGAGCTCACACCATCTAGGGCTCACTGATCATGTCCGAATTGCACTATGGCCCAGCATACCTGTTCTCATCCTGCTGGTCTGGCTACTACTCACCTATGCGATCTTCCCTGCGAACGTGACAGACCGCCATTATCTGACTGTCAGTCCGGTGATTGGATTCATCTTCATCACGGTATAAATTTCATGCCTCTACCCATTCGAGATTCTGTCGAGACTAAATTCGGCTCTCAGATCGCATTTATCATCCCCTCCGCGGGCCAGCCTCAAGAATGTTATAATGAAATCACTCCGAATGATATGGGGAATGACGCGAGGTGTGCTGCAGTGGGAGTCACACTATTTTTCGGGGCATGGCTAGTAATTCTAAGCTGTGAGAGACCCTTCAACATGATGGCGCTTCAACACCATGCTAAGCCGTGCTAACTATGAGTAGGCTTCTTCAGATCGGTCGCATTACATCTTTCAGTCTGCTGGGAGATCAAGCCCGGCTCGATATTCAAATACATCTCGCTCGGCACCACTTTCCTTGGATCTGCTGCTCTCGTCGCCGTCGTCCTCTCAATCAGTGGTGTCCAATACACCTTCGGCAGAATCTGCTATTTGATCCCCCACCACGACGAAGCAACTTTCTGGGGTCCTCTACTAAGCGTCTCTATTATCTCTCTGCTCCTCCAACTTCTCACAATAACGTATTGTGTCATCCTCATCCTCAGACCGTGGTTCAACTGCCAAAAGCTCCGCTGGTCGGGGTATACCCCGTCTTCCGACGAAGAACGTGTCCTCGGCGCACAGCGAACAGCGTCGAGAGTTAGGAAGATTGTGCAGATGCAGTGGCGAGCCATCCTAATTACGGTCCTGATCCTAATATACGTCTGTTTCCTAGCTGCTGTCTTTATGCAGCTGCGCCAATTCGACGATTATCCAGCGTCAGATAGACGCGTATGGTTCGAATGCCTACAATCGTCGAATGGTGATAAGAACCCATGCCTTTCACTCGCCACAACCTTAGGACCTAATGAGCCAGAACTATGGGCTGTTCTGTACATGCTGATAGTAAGTCTTGTTCTCTATCTCGAGTATTTCGGTGGCTGACCTTTCGGCGCTCAGCTGAGTGGCCTGTTGGCTATTGCTATCTTTTTTCGATCCTCAATGTGTCGAGCCTGGCTCAGCCTCTTGAAAGGAGAGAAACGGCCGCTGACCCCTATTCACCGACTGAGCGACCAGCCACGACGAACACCGGATAGCGACGAGGATGTAGAAATTGCGACCCAGACATCCTCTGGTCACTTCGACTTTGCCTTCTCACCCACTAGTGAATCGGGGAGCCTGACGAAAAACCCGACGTTTCCTTACCATATGACCTAGCTTAACTACTTTGTATATTTTGGGGTAAGGCGTACATAGCTGCGGCTGGCGATGAAAATTCGAAATTCGGGCGTTAGTGATTTATATAATTGCATATCCTCTCGTATGTTATGCAAAACATTATGCGAGCAAGATGGTTCTTCTGATCCAATTTGCTACTTCTATACTCATGCGAAATGCTATGTCCAATCATAATAATGCAATACAGGAGAGCAAACCCCTCTCCAGACCAAGCCAAACTGTTCCCCCTACCTAACAAGATCCCACTCAGCGATAAATGACCACCCCATAGAAGTCCTCCCGACAGAGGACAGGTATTCCTCGGCCGAGACTCCACGGGCATTATCGTTATTCCCAAGCTTAGTCAAAAAAGCCAGCTGCAGCTTCTGGCCCGGCGCGCCGAGCATGCGCGCATCCGGAACATCGACGTACCAGTACTCGCCGCCGCCTGCGGGGCCCGACCCCGGGACGTGCGTGAACGGCAGGCTTTCGTCCTTGCGTCCATCTACGCCATGGATCATTAGCATGTATAAGTTCGGTATGAGGCGGGTGTGGTGGGCGAGGGTCCAGTGTGGGCAGAGGAGACCGAATTGGAAGCGGATGGGACTTTGGGTGTTGGATATGGAGATCTGACGGCCTGCAGGACGGAAGGTGCGTCGGCCGATGGTTTCTTTTGCGGCTGTGCTGTAGATGAGGAGGGGCTCGACGCCGTCTGGGTTTTCGTGGTTGGAGGTAATGTATTCCTCCCAGCTAATGCTGGGACGCCCATCATCGCGGAAGAAATGGTCTTTGTTCGAGGGGAAATGTCGCTGTCCGAATTCGTCGTTCGTTATGTAGAACATAGCTGGCTCGAATCGTTTCGTGAATGGCTTGCCTTTGCCCGAAATGGCGCCGGCGCCCCAGCAAGAGTCCAGCAGCTTCCATTTACCCCCGTCGATCTTGACGGCGTTCCAGGCGTGGTTGCCCTCGAACGGCGGAAGCGAAGAACCCGGTGCAAGGGCGGTATGGCCGAACCCCTTTCCGTGTCCGGAGACGACTATGGCTTCTAGCCCTGCATTGGTAGCTAGTGTAGCGAACAGCCCTGCATAGCCTTCGCAAACTGCCAGCCCCTTGGCCAGAGTCTCGGCCGGTGTTTGGCGTTTTACGCAGTTGTTAAAAAAGGAATCCACGTCGTACGCAATGTTGTGGTGTAGCCAGGTAAATATCGCTCTGGCCTTGTCGGTCAAGGATGGGAATGGCGCAGTCAGTTCGTTTGCTAGCCACGCCAGATCCTGCGTCGGAAGAGATTGGCGCGGGTACTGAGCTGCATGTTCATCTGGGCCTGTGAAGTCCCGGCACAATAGACATTCCGTCTCTGAGGACGCGGCAGCAACTGGCGGGCTTGCTGTGGATGATGGAATTGAACCGTGAGACCGTGGCTTTGTTCCTTGGATCTTGGAAAGATCTGGGCGCGTAGAATGAGGTATAGGTGGTGGCGCTCCATTTGAAGGCGTGCTGTTCGGTCTCGGTGGCGGCCTCGGATTGTTGAACCCAGACTGACGGATATCCTTGATACTGGCTTGAGACGGTGGAGGAAGTCTTCGGGCCGGTAAACTAGGTCTTGCGTCATCCGTTCCTCCGTTTGCTCTTTGCATTTCCCCTGCAGGTGAAGGACGTGGCGGCAGTCGAGGCGCGGGGGCTTCTTCGCTCTGTGGGGGGTCTTGAGACGGGCGAGAGGGAAGACGGGGACGAGCCGGAGAAGACTCTCTGGCTTCTGCTTGTTTGCTGGAAGGCAAGCTCAATTTTGAGCTTAGACTGCTGCTGAGGCTACTGAGACTAGACTTGCTCTTGGGCTTCGCTGGAGGGGGCATGATAAAGCCATTGTTGTCCTGTGTCTTTTCCCGCTTGGGAGGCAGTGGCGGCAACGCAGACTCTCCCCATGCCGGAGCCTTGACTCGACTTCCACCAGCAGTCGAGTTAACAGAAGTTGTTGATGCCCCGCGCCCGACTGTCGATACCGTTGATAAGGATGTATCAGAAGTTATCGACTCGAACGACGGTCTCCGGTGTTGGTCCGTAGGACGGCGCACGGGCAGCGCGGGACGAGACGATGGACGAGCAGGAGCTGGAGGGGGTTCAGTCCCAGATTTGCGTGTCGGCAAGGGCGGCGGGGGCTTCTTAGGCTTCAGGTCCGGCGTCGGGGAATTCGCGGATCTCGTGATCGAGGGCGGCGGCAGGAGTGGCCATGGTGCCTGTGCGGCAGCAGGTTGATTTCCGACAGATGGCTGATCTAGCACCGAGCCGGCCACGTTGTATGCGGGCGGGTTGTTGGCCGATCTGCTTCGCTCGGTGGTGGCAGGCCGGAAGATCGGTGCTCCAGGGCCGGGCGCAGGATGGGCCTGCTGTGCCTGTTTCAGGGCGGCGATGCGGTCCTGGATGGAGCCCAGCTGCGGCTCCTCCGTTGCCATACTGACTGGCTGGCTGACAGACACCGAGATGACTCTCGAGAAGAAGACCGATGGAAGAAAGAGAGAGCCGGTGACCCTGCTCGCCGCAATCAGCAAACAAGCTGGGGCTTGGCGAGGCGCGGGGCGAAACTCAGCCGCGTGAAGGGGCCCAAGTGGTTGATCGGCCAGCCAGTCACCACCGACAGCACACGAACACCAGGATTATTTTTGAACGAAGAACATAAAGAATGCTTGGAACCAATGCCAGGGAAGGATGGATAGGCAGCAGGACCGAGAGAGTATGATTTCCGTTCCCCCCGACAGGGCTGAACCACGGATCGGCGTCAGGCACATCTACGACAATAGTGGTATTTCCAGTTGATTGATTGATTGCTCTCTCCGTCGAACTCCAGAACGCCTGGGACGACAGAAGAGACACAGGGTACATACGGCCGCAGATGGATGGACGGGAAAGAAATAGGGTACACAGGGAAGAGAAAGGGGAAAAAGCCTCGGATTCCAACAGGCCCGGGGAGATGCGGTAGAAGACAGAAACAGAGAAAAGAAAAGAACATCACGTCGTCCCAATGTACATAATCATCAACAGAGCAGCCCTACACCGACTTGTAGAGCAGCAGGGGCTCGCCTACATTCTCGATCTCGGGGATCGTACACTTGAGGTCAAAGGCCTTGGCAAGAACGATTTTGAAGATCTGGGAGGAGTGAGCCAACGGAGCGACAGAGAATGGGGATCCGACACACCTTCTGGACATTGATGCTGTGGCTGGTGCTGCTGAAGATCAGACTGGCTTTCATGGCCTTGGCAAATCGTTTGGCCTGGATAGGTCAGCCAACAGCGTCTTGGTAGGGACCAGTCTCATTTACCTGGATGGAAATCTCCTCCTGGTCCTCGCGGGGGAAGTTGACAAAATGATCGTACTTGGTACCGATCAAGAACGGGATCGCAGTCTTGTTGAACCCCCGACCCTGGCGATACCACTCCTTGATCGAGTTCAGCGTGCTCTTGCGCGTCAAGTCAAACATGAACAGAATCGCGACGGCGTCGTTGCACACGAGGGGCAGCATGTTGACGAATTCGCGCTGGCCCCCAAGATCCCAGATCGAGAAGGTAATTTCGGTGTTGCGAATGGAGATGGTCTTTTCCATAAAATTGACCCCTGCAGCACGGTTAGACAGCCCATGTTATCTTCACGGACCAAATCACGCACCGAGAGTCTGGATGTAGTCCTCGTCCCAGCTGCCTTCCACATATTTGACCATCAGACTGGTCTTGCCAATCTGAGCATCCCCGACCATGCCAACCTTGATCACCACGCTATTCTTCGATGCCTGCGACGCCTGTCGCTGGCTGGGGTCCGCTGACTGAGGCTGAGAAACGCCAAGCCGTTCCGGACCACTGGATAACCCAGATCCGGGACGAGATGTAGCATGGAGTTGCGGCTGTGAAGGAAGAGAGGGGGAGGAGGCCATGCGTGTCGATGGGTCGACTTCTTGTGCAGTGTACTCGGGAGCGGAGTGGTGGAAATCGGTGGATTGGGAGTGGTAGTGTGCCTTGGAGTCGCTGTTGTAGCCATTGTTGGCGCTCCCATTTTCGATCAGTGGCTCCCCCGAGGTCACTCCGGCGTTGAGATTGACCGGCGCAGGCGGCTCCATTGGCGATTCGGACGAGAGTTGCTGGGAGGGCTGCACGTGAGGAGTCGGATTCCGAGCCTCGGGAAGATGTTGCGAGGGCTCCGCAACCGCAGGAGTCTCCAAAGCAGGCTGCTGCGGTGCGTCCATATTGCGAATCGTCGACGTCGTGTGTGTCGAGGATGACGGTACCTCGCTGTCGCAGCCCGTCCGGTCAGTATCAAGAGTAACCATGATGGGAGTCGAAGGAGGGGGTGAGATGGCATACCAGTCTCAACAGTCACCACTCAAAGAGAGCCTCAGCAACACATGCAACGGAGGCTTATTCGAATTGTCCGTCGAGACCTGGAGCGTGGTCGATTCGCGCGGAGGTCAGGTACCGAGTACGACGGCGGTTGAAAGTGGCACCTCGGGATTGACAAGGAGCGAGAGGATGGTCGATGGTCGAAAGAGGGACGGAGAGGGAGAGAACAAGACGAAAGTCGATAACCAAGACCCCTATAGTACTCTAGGACCGACGACAGGAGCAAACAACAGTTCAGCTTGACCCGATCCAAGGGTGGGCACGACCGGCACTAGGCCCCGATAGGCTTAGCGTCGTCTCTCTCGAAAACCCGCGAAAAAAAGTTCTTATCGGACATCCACGATTCACATACTCTACTCTACACCTTTTCTTTGTTGCTCCGGCGGGACCGACTACCACAATGTCTAAGAGAGCGGCGGATGCTGCCGACGAGCACTCCTCAGCCCTCAAGGCGGGCGGGCGCCCAATTGCCGACGCGCCCCCGGACGAGGTGGGGGAGTTCGAGGACGAGTTCGAGGATGAGTTCGAGAGCGAGGACGAGATCTTGGAGGCCGGGGTCGACGGTCGGCCAGATGCAGAGCGCGAGGAGGAAGAGAAGGGTAGGTGTGCCAATTCAATTGCGGGTCAAAACTCATACTGACTCGACCCTGCAGAGGCCATGGAGGTCGACAAGCAGACCTTTATTCCCGGCCGGACAAAACTGGGCCCTGGCGAGACGCTCTCCCCCGATCCCTCGACCTACGATATGCTACACACGCTGAGCACACCGTGGCCATGCCTGTCCTTCGACATCGTCCGCGATACCCTCGGCGATAACCGCAAGACATACCCCGCGACGGTCTACGCAGTCACCGGCACACAAGCCGAGGGCGGCCGGGCAAAGGACAACGAGCTGATGGTGCTGAAGATGAGCGGACTGAGCCGGATGGAGAAGGAGGGCGAAGACTCTGACAGCGAGTCGGACTCAGACGATGACATGGGCGAGCCGATTCTCGAGCACAAATCCATCCCGCTGGGGTCGACGACCAATCGCATTCGCTCGCACCAGACACCCTCGCAATCGGGGGACTACTCCAAACCGCCGCAGACCCTGACCGCTACCATGCTGGAGAACTCGCAGGTCTTGATCCACGATGTTACTTCGCACCTCGCCAGCTTTGATGTCCCCGGCACCGTCCTCCCTCCTTCCGCTTCGAAACCTCTTTCTACGCTCCGGATGCACAAATCCGAGGGATACGCGCTGGACTGGTCTCCGCTGCAGCCTCTGGGCAAGCTATTGACCGGCGACAATGACGGATTGATCTATGTCACCACTCGCACCGAGGGCGGCGGTTGGGTGACCGACACCCGGCCATTCACGGCCCACACCTCCTCCGTAGAGGAATTGCAGTGGTCTCCGAACGAGCGGAACGTCTTTGCGTCGGCAAGCAGCGACGGCAGCGTGAAGGTGTGGGACGTGCGGTCCAAATCGCGCAAACCTGCCGTCGACGTGCAGGTATCCAAGACGGATGTCAACGTTATGAGCTGGTCCAACCAGACCTTCCACCTGCTCGCGACGGGCGCGGATGACGGACAATGGGCCGTCTGGGATTTGAGGCACTGGAAGCCCAACGCCGCGGGCCAGATCACCTCGCAGGCGGTCGCCTCGTTTGACTTCCACAAGGAGCCCGTCACGAGCATTGAATGGCACCCATCGGACGACAGTGTCGTCGCCGTGGGTTCCGCAGACAACACGGTCACGCTGTGGGATTTGGCCGTGGAGCTGGATGATGAGGAGAGCCGGCAAGTGGCCATGGCCGACATTCCGTCACAGCTGCTGTTCGTGCATTATATGGAGTCCGTCAAGGAGGTGCACTGGCAGGCCCAGATGCCGGGTACGCTGATGGCGACTGGTGGCAATGGATTCAGGTATGTATCCCGCCGTGTTAGGCTGTGGGCGAATGCTAATCAGTTCCGTGATGCAGTGTCTTCAAGACCATCAGTGTCTAAACCAGCACGGAGAGGAATTTACGTGCCATGCCCTTTCAATATACCATTCTTGAGCTCTTGCTTATCAATACCATATGCCGCCTGCCGTGCGAGATGCTACGTCTCCGGCCAAAAGATCTTGTCATTACTCCCGGGGTGGAAAGACCTCGCGTACTTAGAGAATAAACTATCGTATTCACGCCTCCATTGTACACTCTTTGTTGCACGAGAATGGTCACTGTAAGTGAGACCATATGAAGTCACCTTGAACCGAGGATCACCCGATCTCAATCGCACGCCATTTTCGATCTCACAGCAGCGGGCCAAGCGAAAGAACATCATCATGCACTCCAGTCTTTCGACCCCCGTCAGCAGCGGCCTCCTCCTACCCTCCTACCAGTCCCACATCCAACCTAGAAGGACACCAGTACAGAACCCTCTGCTGTAAGCATCCATCCATCCAGGGTCAGTCGATCCGCCGTCCACGATATGCGGAATGATATCAGGCGTTAATTCCGCCCGCTAGCTCATCGCCGAGGTCGCCAGCGCCAGTGAGCGAGGGCAGGGTGGGGGGAGGGGCAATCCAGCTGCCCAGAACAGCCTAGTGCCGTGGTGGACATTGATTGCAAGTACTGTACATGTAACTACATCATGTACACTCCAACTACCCGCAGGGATGCTGCAGCGTGCAAAAGTCTGAAATTGTAGTCCGACAGCGGCCGGCGTGGGCCAGTCGGCTCAAGGAAAGTGGCAGATCGTACGTGCAGGGCTGGGTTGGGATGGATGGGAGCTCGGTCTCACTCGGTGAAGATCCTCGAAGGATGGGGATGTGGTCCTTTCTGCTTACGATTCTAGCTAATCAGCAGCCTGTGGCGAATGAGTCGCTGTGCTGTCATTTGTTGACCAATACATACTTTTGTATCCATGGCGCTCTCGCGGTGGCCGCCAGCCAGTATGACCTGCATCGGATGGAGTCGCAGGGAGGCGGCCGACTATTTTCCCGACCTTCAACAAGCATATGCAATGTGCTCTTTCTGGTGGCGCTTGGCTCGCAGGTGGCACGAGTACTCGGTGCTGGGGGGACAGCCGTTGCGCCGGCTGGCAAAGAGGTGTCGTTGGGTTAGACCTGTACCAGAATAGATCGAACATCTGCTAGTTATCTGCCCGGCGTCTTGCGCGCACCGATGGATTGCATTATCTACGTAAGGTACCAGGCAGGCAGGCAGCGCAACCGCTTTCCTACATGCGCCGACCGTTTTCTTCTCACCGGTGTAATCGAACAATACAGCTAATGCACGACCCAGCGGCGGGCGCATCATCACATTAGATCTGGCGGCGCTACTGCGCTGTACCCGGGACCACAGCTCCAGAGTAGTGGCAATCCAGATAAACCGGCTAAACGGTGGGATTCGGCTTTTCTCCGGCGCATCTCTGCCGGTGCGTGGATGATAGTTGTCGATACGGGCTCTGCTGGGGCATGGCGCCATGGTGATTGTGGATTGTGTCTTACCCACTATCATCTTATCTTACACCGTGAGAACCAGAACCAGATAAGACGGTGAAACAGGAGCGTGCTAAGAATACATTCTTCAAGTCTGCTCTTAGCGCCCACGGCCTCCCAGCACGAGGGAGAACAAGCACAGCTCGCCACCACATCCTACCTCTGTGGCTTTCCAGGTCGGCTGATCATTCGCCAGCCGCCCATCCTGGCTGCCCCGACGGTAACTTTCTGGATCGTCGGCACAGGGACTATGATTAGTGAGCATCGGAGCTATGTGCGCGGGCCCAAGCTCCGGGTTTCCACTCGTTTGCAGTTAGTCGGCTGGATTGTAGCATTGTTATTGTGGCTTGCTGCCTATCCACCCCCCGGTCCTGTCGATACCAGTAATGTCGTGAGCTTAGTGCAACGCATTATTATTCCGGCCCCCACGCCCTTGCCATGGGCCAGCCAGGGCGATTGGCGCTTCGACCCGACATCACATACGCGGGAGCCTTTTCCACTTCCATCATCATACATTGATGTCCATCCATTCTACATCCCGACGATTTACCCTTCGTGGACAGGCGCCTCTGCTTATTTGGGGTTGGAGTTGAGAGGATTGAGTTCGCGCTGGATGTAATTCCCGTCGGTTCCAGCCTCGACTCGAGGCCGGGCACCGACCGATCGACCGTCTGGCGCGGAGGATCCTGTCATGCAAGCAGACCGTGATCCTCTGCGCGGCAGAATCATGCTGGGCGTGCCAGTCACTCGTCTAGGGTTCTGCCTGACGGATGCCGCATAGGTCTCGTCGGATCGGCCTGATCCGTGCTGGCCAGTGACAAGGGGCCCGTCAGGATTGAGTTGAGACATGCTTCCTCGCCGCGGACCTTTGCGTCATAAGGAATCCTGGAGCCGCAAGAAGACGTCGCATTCATCTCTGGCAGCGCTCTAGAAGATCACAGCCACCAGGTCACCACTTCCTCGTGTCTTCTCCTGTAGTTCTGTCCTCCGAGACAGTGATCTCCGTAGCTCTGCGCCCAGGGTCCTGCACTGGCCCCCCGGCGATCTTTTGGCCCTGTGCGACTCGGAGAATTAGGATTCTCCTCTAATTTCCTCCAGTTTGATCGTGAGTGGCGCAGACGGTGACCCCCGTTGGGACTCGGGGCGGGACGTTCAGGGTCGATGACTGCTGCGCCAGGATCCTAATGCCCACTCTTATTCCTCACCCCGGACCTGCATCGGCAGAATTCCTGTCCAGTGGCTTTGCTGGAGGTCAGGCGGAAGAAAGCCAGCCGGGCGGACTCCCTACGCTGGCTTCCTCTGGCAGTGTTTCATTTGTCGCTGCTCGGGGTCACCTGCAGGCGCTAGAGTCTGCAAACGAGACGTCTGTGCGGGCGTGGGAGTCGTGGATCGTCGCCGTAACCTCCGATCCAGCCGCATCGAATAATAGCACGACGGGTCGGCTTGTCGCCAATTAGTCGATGCCCACCCGGACTACTAAACTCAAACGGCGGGCGACAACGTGCGCATGGCCCACCCTGTCTGGACCAGCTCTGGAAGGGCGACCGTCTGGGGTTGACCACCGTCGCCGGACGAGGGATTTGGTGTATTCTCGAATGTTGCCACCGCCCAACCACGGCGGAAGCAACCCCGGTGCCATGTGGATTCCTTACAGGGTGAGTTCCGGAGTCCAGGAAATCCCCCAGACTCTCCCCCACAAAAAATAATGGCGCATAGGGAAATCCGTCCTGCGGATCCATCCGCCACATTACAGTATGTACCTGGTCACAGCATCCGGCAACCATTATCCATGGGCCACCGCGTATCGGCACCCCAGAAGCGAACAAGCCGCGAGGCTGCCCCACGACGATCTTGTCTGTAACCATCGGTCACGAGGAGTGCGATGCTCGTATTGTCGTCAGGGTGTTTCCCGCCAGACAGAACATGGCGAGCCCGCACGACTCCCAGAGCCCTCCGAGGGACGGTCATCAAGTCGAGAATCCCTCGCCGAATCGTACTATCTTGTCACTCTCTATCACCCCGGAGTTCCGTAATCCCCACAGCCAATCACCCACCAGCCCCAGGAACTGGCGGGCTGCCCGTGCGTGTCCATAAGATTCCGCTACGCCGCATCCAGTAAGACCCTGGCCCATCAGCGGGTCGCCATTGGCCCGTCCATGCTCAAGCCCGTCTCCCGGCTCCACCTCGCGGCGCCGTATCGATACCGTCACGCCCCGAGCGTGGAGCGTGGCGGTTGAGGTACCTTGCAGTGACTCGCCCCACGCAGATAGGCTGGTCCGGGCGCATGTATCGCCCAAGTACCCGGCGTGGCCTAACCGCCACTGCCGGCACCCCTACACCCACGCCGCCCGGTTGTTGGTTACAGGCGAGGGTTGAGGGAGCGAGTGAGGGAGGACCATGCCATCCAGCTCTCCTGGAGTTAGCAAGAGGCAAACTGCGCGGAACCTCAACTTCCTCTTTCCTTTCTTTCTTCTCCCTCCCCATCCGCCCTCTTTTCTCTCGTCCCCCCTGATCTCATCGCCCGGGCATCTGGTCCTCGGCGTATCGTCTTATCTACAATTGCCTCCGCTATCGCTGTCTCTCCCTCCTCGGCTATCTCCGGCTTATCCAGCGCTCGAATGCTTGCAGGTCGGACCATTCGGGTGTGGTGAACGAGTTTGTATCCGGAAAACCGTGCGAGCTTCCACTTTCCAGTACGTCTTGATTGTTCGCCCGCAAGAGCACCAGCGGCGTGAGTGATTGATAGATCGATGTCCCTGACATTAGCCAGGCACCCTCGTGTTCATTCCCCTCTCTCCCCCCAAATCTCCAAATCCCCAATCACTGCTCCTTTGATCCCCCCCAAAACATCCCAACACCAAGGCCGCAGGTCCTCTCTTCCTGTCAACACTGCTTCTCCAATTTGGGTGGGTGCCCGTTCATTGCCACCGGTCCTCCCTCTCCCCTGATAACCTGGCCCGTTACCCTGGGTCGGGCCAACGATATCGGTCTCGATCAGACAAGAACCATGCTGACTTGATGTCATTTCCCGTCCTGCCGCAGTCGTTGATGCGCCATTTGACTGTGTAACTGTCCACGCCGCTCCGACAACGCCGTTCTTTTGCACTGGTCTATCATTTGAACGACCGCCTCCGCCAGCCAGTCTTTCTAACGCCTGGGCAGAGCGAAACAAATAATTAGAATGCTCCTAGACGATATGGTCGGTCAGGAATTGAATCATACTCACAAAGTTGGAGACCTCGCCAGTATCAAGGAAATCCCCGCCAGCATGCCTGGTGAGTATGACCCGACATCTCATCCCACCACACAATCTTAACACCGCCTTCGCAGCCTCTACCAAGGACAGCAAGAAACAGGCCGAACCCAACGGCGCCAATGGGACCATTCCGCCTCCCAAAACAGACAAGCCGCGGCCCCATGTGTGTACCACGTGTGGCCGCTCCTTCGCGCGGCTCGAGCATCTCAAGCGCCACGAGCGCTCGCACACCAAGGAGAAGCCCTTCGAGTGCCCTGACTGCGCACGATGCTTTGCCCGTCGGGACCTGCTCCTCCGTCACCAGCAGAAGCTGCACATGACCACGACGCCGTCATCGCGCCCGAGAAATGGGCGTCGCGAGAGCACGGGTGCCGCGTCCAATGCCAACCGGGTTCGCAAGAATTCCATTGTCAGCACCTCGTCGTCGATGCGGCCCCGGGCCAACACCATCAGTCATGTGGATGCAGCCGCTCTGGGGATGGGTCATCCCGGTACCCAGCAGCGTCAACCGGGTCATGGGTATCACCCCAGCATTGGGTCTGCTTCCATTAGCTCCAGTGTAGATTACAATGGCTACAGCTCTGGACACCCACCGATGAATGGCCTGGCCAAGCTCGAGACGTCTGGCCTCCCCATGGACATGTCTGGCGGCCTGCGGACGGCACCCGTCTATGGCAGCTTCGACCTGGGAATGGATGGTATGCTCATGGGTCATGGCAGTACCATCAACCCGGCGCAGCTGCACTTCGCAGGCTCTCCACAGGGATTTGGCAATGACTCTCCCACGTCTCCCTTTGGTCACCATGCTCACGGCATGCATCCAGCCACGGACCACCTGATGGACGAGGAGATGCACTACGATTGGATGAACGGGCTCGATGCGGCCATGGCCCTGGGCAATGGGAATGACTCGGTCATTGACGAGTCGTCCCCGTCGGCGATGAGCACGGGGAGCCAGAGCGGAGTGAGCGAGGCCATGCTCGAGGGCTCGAACCGTATTCCCATCTCCAATGGCTGGCATAACCCCTTTCCCGCCCACGCCTCCGGAGCGGCCAATCAGTTTTCGATTGACTTTTCCCCGACGGCCCTGAATGAATTGGGAATTCCCCCGGAGACGGTGTCGCCCAAGTCCCTGATGGCCCAGAATAATCCCTTTGGTGAGACGTATGCCACCCCCCTTCCATGACGTCGGTCGGCCAGCCCATCGTGGGAGGACATTCGCAGAGTATGTTTTCATCCTCAATGGCAACAAGCGGAGAACCTAATCCTCTCAACGTGGCTTTCCCGAATAGTGCCCTACGAAGTCAACATTCCCCCGCATCAACGGATACATTTACAGACTCCACACGACAGGCTCTATTAGCGAGCATGGCGCAACCCACTGGCTTCAATCATCGCAAGTATTCTCAGCCCGCAAGTGGACTTCTGAACAGTCGTGAGCTCTTCGCCCGCTCCGCTGGCTTCAACGGTACCGGTCAGTTACCCAGCACCTCGGACATGCAACGATATATCTCAGCCTACATCATGTACTTTCACCCCCACGTGCCTTTCCTCCACATCCCGACCCTCAACTTTCAAGCTCCCGAGTACACCAGCAATCTCCGCACGCCAAGCGGACACCTGAACCTCAGCTCCACCGGCGTTGCCGGAGGCGGCGGCTGTTTGATTCTGTCTATGGCGTCCATTGGCGCGCTGTACGAGTATGAATCGACCGCGTCCAAGGACCTGTTCGAGGCCGCCAAGAAGATGATACAATTATACCTCGAGGAGCGCCGCAAGGCCGACATGTCTGCTGCTCTCAGCAGCCGTTCGAACTCTACTCGCGACAACTCCGTCCACAACACCCCACTGTGGCTGGTGCAGGCCATGCTCTTGAACGTCATCTATGGCCACACCTGTGGCGACAAGACCTCCGCTGATATCGCCAGCACGCACTGTGCGGCGCTGGTGAGTCTGGCACGCGCAGCCGAGTTGACACATCACCTGGACCCCAAGAATCTACCACAAGATCACCTGAATGCTGGATTCAACGGGGGGCAACAACAGCCTTCGGGGGAGAACAATTCGGATAATTGGATGTCACCATCATTTAACCAACCAAAGGAGAGAAGGGACTGGTTGAACTGGAAAGTTGTTGAGGAGCGGAAACGTACCCTCTATGCAATTTTCGTTCTGTCCAGCTTCCTGGTTTCTGCATACAACCACGCGCCAGCCCTTACCAACTCCGAAATTCGGCTTGATCTCCCTTGCGAAGAAGACCTCTGGGCTGCCGAGTCGCCTCAGGCGTGGAAAAAGATGGGCGGACAGGCTGCTGCGAAGAAGGGCCTGTCTTTCTCGGCGGCGTTGACTTCTCTTTTGACCGCCAGCCAACGAGAGCAACAAACTCAATCTTCAAACCTCTTCTTCAGCGCAGGTACCCCCGACGATCTTTCCACCGGTGACAATCGGCCCAGTACCTACGGGTGTCTCGTTCTGATCTACTCGCTGCACAATTACATCTGGGAAACCCGCCAACGGCACATGGGACGGCAATGGACGGCGCAAGAGACCGATGCCATGCAATCGCACATCGAGCCTGCGCTGCGCGCTTGGCAAGCTGCCTGGGCAAGCAACCCAGTGCACAGTCTGGAGCGCCCGAATCCATTCGGAGCCGGCCCATTGTCTGCGGACAGCATTCCTCTCCTCGACCTTGCCTACGTGCGACTGTTTGTCAATCTCGGCCGCTGCAAGGAAGCATTCTGGCAGCGGGACTGGAACGGCATGGCAGACGAGCTTGCACGTGGCACAGAGGTCTTCCAGCAGGGAGATGCAGACGGCAATACCACGGTGGATCCTTCACTCACCGGCACTCTTGATGCACGACGGGACTCGATTGCAGACCTGGGCGTCGCGGGTCTGGAAATTTCCAAGACCCCGACTCAGGAACAGCCCATGCAGTCCTTGTCCAGTGTCTACAAGACGGGCCAGTCCAAGCGTGAGAAGCACCTGCGCAAGGCGGCCTTCTACGCCGCAGACTCGATCTCCATGTCTGACCGACTCGGTAACACATTCGCCGAGTTTTCGTCCCGGGAGCTTCCCATCCAATGCGCGATGTGTGCTTTCGACTGCGCACAGGTTCTGGCTGAGTGGATCACCACCGTCCAAGAACGGGTCGGTCCCTACCTTGGCATCCTGGGTCGTGACGATGTCGATCTCACTCAGGTTCCCGGTGTTATGCTGTTGGAAGATGAAGATTGCAAGCTCGTGGATAAGATCAAAGAGATCCTGAACAGCATTGAGACAAAGATGCAACGTCAAGTGCAGAATGGCAACTCCATGTCTGCCCTGAGTGTCATGCAGCGTCTACCCAGCGTCGTGGAGGGAGGATACGGTTGTAAAATATTGATTGCGACAGCAAGCATCCTGGATCGAGCTGCTGTCTGGCCAGGTAGGCATCTCCCCTCCCTCTCTCATCCTGCAATCGTGTCCTAACAGTTTCGCTCAGTGACGAAACTAATGGCCCGTTCCCTTGAAGCCCAAGCCATGCGAATGAAAGAGCGCACCGAGCACTCTGTGATGATGAACACCAACCAATAACGAAACAACTCTTTCCGTGTTTTCCCGCATGCATGTGCAACGCGTTGTCTCGATGCTTATGATGCTGTTGAAAGTCCAGTCCACTTCTTTGTTCCTTTTCCCTTCGACAAAACACTTGTTTTCCCTTCGATTCGATCTTCGATACCCCCTCTGGTCGAAATATGCCATAGAACGTTTTTTTTTTTTTGCCATTTCTCCTACCTACACACCCTCTCACACACTCTTCTCCTCTGGCCCTCTTATATCCTCATATGTCCATCCTCCGCCTCCTTCCTCTTTCACATACAGTGTTGCCATTTATATGTTGTCATGGGAATGTGTTTGATGTATCTTTATGCCAGTTCCTGTCCCTGTCATACGGAACCCCCCTACTACTGGGGGTGTCGAACCAGCACTACTACCCATCGACGGCGATCGTTGCTGACGACTTGTTGCTTACTCTGTGATGATTATCTTGTTTATAAGTTTGTGTGCCCTATGCCAGTGGCTTGTTTTGACGTTTTCCCTGTCAGCGGGTTGTGACTTCGATTCTTTGTTTTTTTTTTCTTGACGTCGCCTGTGCCGTGTGTTTAATTATGCAGATTAGTTCTTTTTACTTCATGTGAATATGATTCTTTATTCGAGGTCTCGTTCTTTGTAAACACTTCTTTTTAGATTCGGATATCTGCCTAGAATAAAAGATATACAGTTGCATGTCTGTGATCAAAAGAAGAAAACGCCTATGCTTCCATTCCGAGGATTGCCAGATATGATTGATATACACATAACGGAAGAGAGAAACCAACTCCCAAACCCCAACTCAAACATCTCAGACAAGCAACCGCTCAAATGAATACTTGCCCACCGCCTTGCGGCGCAGATAGCCGATCTCACGACTAGACCGAGCCTTCACTTCACCAGTAGACTTCTTCACCTTGGTGCGCTCGACCTCCGTCGAGGCAGCCTTCAGCGACAGCGGGAGCATCTTGCCGCCCGCTTCACCGTCCAGCCCGTCTTCACCTTCGCCGGGTCCAGTGAATACCATCACCTCGGCGCCGTTGATGTGCTCGTAGCGGACGAGTTGCGATGGTGTCGGGGTAGCGTTCTCGGCGGCGTCGGTGTTAGTCAGGGCCTTGGAGTCCTTGGCTGTGCTCGTGCCGACTACCGTGTTGGCGAACCGGAGGTACTCGCGCAGGATGCCTTTCAAGTAAGTTGCTTCCTCGACACCGGCCAGTGCGGCGGAGACTTCGGACTTCATGTCGGCGATGAGCTCCATCTCTCGACTGGCGGCCGTGCTGGCTTCTTCGTCGGACATCATGTCGTCTGTGCTGCTGGTGGGGAGGGCGGAGATCCAGCCCGAGGGACCGATGGCGTCGACGGAAGCGGTGATCAGGTCGATGATTGTGTTCAGGGAGAGAGCCGGCGTGATCTGGTCGTGTGTTATGGGGGTTGGTGGGTTCTCGGTGAATCGGGAGGTGTGGCCGCCGGTCGCGAGGGAGAGACGCAGGTGGTGAATCAGGGCCATGAGTTCCATGCGCGACAAGGTGGCGCGCAGAGCCTGCACTACTATGGATATTGGCTGGGTGTGGATCTTTTGGATGGCCGTGTTCAGGCCCTTGAAGATATCTTTCAGAGTTGCGGGATCGTCGCCCAGGTGTCGGGAGAGTTCTTGCGTCGGGGTGGACAGATCGCCATTCGTGAGGGCGCGCGCTGTATCTTCCAGAGTGGCCGAGTGGGACTGGGCTTTGTTGAGGAAGACTTTAAGGGCATACGCCAGGTCGTCGGATGTGAGCAGCACGGGGCCATCGAGCACCTGGTTTACTTGTTTCAGAGACGGGTCGGAATCGAGCAGTGCCAGGATGAAAGATCCCTTCGGGAGTGGCTGGAGAATGCGAGGCTTGATGGCTCGGCGGAGAGCAACCTCGACGTTATCCATAGAGAGATGGCCCAGGCGAATCAGCCAGTCGCAGGTGGTCGGAGGCCAGATTGTGATGCGGAGCTGAGATGCTGAGGAAGATTCCATTCCAGCTACGGCTGGTACATCCTCTGAACTGAATATCTTCGACAGAAGGAAAAGCGTTGCTTCAGGGTTGACATAAGTGCCCGATGCTGGTAAGGCAGAGCCGAAATATGCGAGGACCGCCTTGTCAAACTTTTTTGTATCCTTCGAATCGGTCGCAGCAGCCACCGTTTTCGTGAGTTGATTCCATTTCTCGACTTGCTCAGGAGATGTAAGTCGCAGAGATGCCACATTCTCGGACCTGTGCTTCTTGGAAGTTGGATCCCACTCGGCGGCGGAAGAGCCAATGCCCCTTCCGATTGCGTCAATGAGAAAGCCATCCCTCGACCGCTTGAGCGACGAGCCAGAGGTGTTTTGGAAGGAACTCAGGTCAAAGGCAATCATTGTGTTACCCTTGGTAGCAACGGCAATTCCAAGTTTGGCAAAGAAGTTGACAAACGTCAAGGGTCCCTGGCCGGTCGTCCCAGTACCCGACAAGACATCACCTGCCGCAATGCTGCGTTGGACTGACTGGTATTGTGTGTCATATACAGCCACAATAGACTGGCCGGCGGCGATCACAGACTGCGGAGAAATACGCATAACCGAGGAGAAGTGCTCGTCGCCAAGGATGAATTGCGAGGACACAGACGGGGAATATTGAGACAGATCAATATTGACAAACCCATGCTCGAACGACAGGTTCAACCCTGCGGAGCCAGAATGGAAGCTCCATTGCAGGTTGTTACTGTTGGCTGTCTGCAGCCCATTGAGATCCGGGATGCTGATCGTCTGCAAGTAACGCAGCTGTTGGCTTTCATCCAACCCCAAGTTGTCAGATTTAGCGATTGCTGGGACGGAGAACATTTGCACGCGGACATCCTTCAGCGAGATTTGCTCCGCCCCGGTAGGGTGAGAGACCACCAGCAAGATAGACGGTTCGTCGGTCCCGGAAGAGATGAGATCACCCAGCGCGAGCGTCGCCAAGTCCTGTCGTCTTTTGAATAATACCTTCTTCGCATCATCAAATTCAACCACGAAGCACGTGTGGACTTCATGGGTCGTGCAAGATTTTGCTATCTCGCTGTGCTGGATGCTCCATCGTTGGGTCTTGAGATCGGACGACAGTCGGCGTACTCGGCCATCCTTGTGAACCGCCAGAATATCAAAGGGATCTGCTTTCTCCTCGCCTGCAGCAGAGGGTACAATTCCCACAAAGATGGTGGGGCTTTTCGAGTCCGTCACCGTGGCAGCCGAAGAAGAGATTGCCGGCGCAATCGAACCATTGCTACCAGTCTCCTCCACAAAACACTTGATCTGATGCTCCGGCTTGCTAACAGCAGTATACGTCTGTCTTTTCACCGCCGAATGGTTCAAGAGCTTCCGGCGGACGGAGCACGGCCGACAAGAGAAGGTAGACTGCGGCGGCACAGCGTACGAGGTGACAAGCTTAGGAGTTTGAACCTAACCACATATTTCAATCAGCATGCAGATAATAACCATAGGCTGGGCGTGCGCACATTGTAGATGTTGACAGCCTCCCCATCGACCGCAACGGCGACTTCATAACGCTTGCGTTTCTTTGCATCGGCCAGACTGTAGACATCGCCGATACGGGTTTTGCCCGTGGCAGCATGAAGTGGACGAGGCAATTGTGCCAATACGGACGGTGCCTGCAGATCCATGGCTGGAATCTCGTTTCCTCGGTCTGTGATCAAGTCGGTGAAGCCGCAAATCTTCATCCGCGCGGATAGAAAAAAATTCGGGTTTATGTCGGGCCGCCCGCGATAACGCTAGTCCAGGATGGGATTAGTGTCAGTCTGACGTAATCCACTTTAAGGCGACGCGCCTTTCGCGCGTTAGGAGTTGGACCGTGTTTGCAACGAGACCAAGAGCTGAGTTCGGAGAGCGCTGCCTTACTTACTACTCGCCGTCTGAGTGCTTCTCCTTCCTCTCGCTCAGATGTTTCTATCTGACCTGGCCCTGACCCCCGGTTATCCTTGGTGAGCAATCCGGCGTTCATTGTATGGATACCGTCACCTCCAACCTACCGATGGCCATGGGTCCCGGCGAGCAGCGCGTCATCCACCCATTCTTTCAAAAAGGTGATAATCACAGCATGCAGAGACCTCAATCTGAAGCTGATTGTTTCTAGATTTAGGATCAACGAGGCCCGCCGAAGTATCACCACACGAATCCGTGAACCCTGCAGCGAATGCCAATGCATTTCCCCGTAACATCCCCTCGATTGACGCTCAACATGCTGCTCAGGATGAGGGTGCAGTGACCGGTGTCCTTGTCTCAAATGTTACTCAGGCGGATGTTTCGCCGGTGATCTCTCCGAAAGAAGACTTGAACGAGGCTCGACGGAAGAGAAGGAAGGTCGATTCGAAACATGCAGCTGAACCCGAGAATATCACTCAGTCGGCTTTATCATCGTGGCTAGGTCACAATGCGTCCCCCCAGACCCAGCCTTTGGTCTCGGAGTCACTTCCCCAAGAGACCGGCACACATCAACAAGCCAATCCTTTACCAGAAAACGACTTGTCGCAGGAAGGGCCTGGCCTGACCGCTGGTCGCCCACGAAAGACGCTGAAAATCAATTCCAACGGGAAGCTCTTGAGCTCCCCTGCGCGTATCTCTCCTCAAGAAACCAAGAAGAAAGGAGAGAAACGGGGGAGATCCCGAAGTGTGGAAAGCAAAATCTTGGTTATGAAATACAGCATTGACAAGGACATGGGACAATTGATTGATGACATACTAGCTGGTCGAAAAATCCAACGCCCAGCACCGGCGTCTGCTCCTGTTCGCCCATCAACTGTTGCAAGCAAACTTTCCAAGCCGACACACCCATTCTTCGTCAAAAAGTCCACACAGAAACATCAAATCTCGAGCTCGAGCAACAGTACACCAGACTCCCGCGATTTCTCTCGCGAGGTGCCCTCAGAGCCGACATCAACTCCGACCGTAGAGAAAAAACGAGTGCCGGGCTTCTCAATTGGCTCGTCCTCGACAGTTGGGCGACGTATGTCCAAATTTCCTGAGCTTGTAGATCCACTGTGGCCACCACGGGACTTTGTCCATGTCAGAGATGGCGATGTGCTCACAAACCACAATGACGTCCCACCTCTTGCTTCCAGCCAAGATCAGAAGAAGTCAAAAGTGGCAGCTGTTCGCATTGCTGACGAGGAAAACTCCCTTCTTGTCAGTACCAAGCAGGCAAGGGAACAAGCCGAGCGAGCCCTCAAAAGTAATGCCAAAAACGACCGGGCTCTGTTGCGATTACCCGACCGAAAAGTTGCTAGCGGGCTCGTTCTCCAAACCGCAATGGATAAACAGATGTCATGGCATTTGCCGGATCCTTTTAGTTCTTTTCGTTGCCCCGATTGGTCTGCCAATCCTGCTATTTCCAAACTTCGATCGGCGCTACTCTCGTCTAGGAGTGCCTTTGACCGGGGACAATACGAATCACAGCTCTGGGCCCACAAATATGCGCCCCAAACAGCAACTGAGGTCCTTCACGCTGGCCGTGAGGTCCAGGTGCTTCGGGACTGGCTTCGACTGCTGAAAATCACGGCTATCGACACCGGAAAACCAACAAAAGACGGCACAAAACCCAAAGCAAGCGTTGACAAGAAGCGGAAGAAGCGGCGCAAGCAGACGGAAAAGCTCGATGGTTTCATTGTTTCAAGCGACGACGAGGCATCGGAGATGGACAAACTCTCTGGTTCTGATGATGAATTGGCGGGCGACGTAACAGTGTCAAAGACCGTCGTTCGAACGGGTGATCTGGCTTTCAGTCTGCAGTCTGGAAGCGATAAGGGCCGTCTCACCAATGCGATCCTAATCAGTGGCCCCTCTGGTTGTGGCAAAACTGCTGCAGTGTATGCAGTCGCTAAAGAGCTGGACTTCGAGGTCTTTGAGCTTAACCCGGGAACTCGCCGAAGTGCCAGATATATGCTCGAGCGCGTCGGAGATATGACGCAAAACCACCTCGTTTATTTGCTGAATGACAGCGACGAATCTTCTGGGAAGAGTCCCGCGTGCGATGATGAGGGCAAGCAGAACAAGTTGATGAACTTCTTCAAGGGTCCAACTGGCAAGAAGACAAAGACTGCGGATAGCCCTGCTCAACCAAGCCTAAAGTCCGATGCCGAAGCTAAACGCCCTCGAGAGCAGAAGCAGTCGCTGATCTTGCTTGAAGAAGCCGATCTGCTGTTTGAAGAGGATAAACAATTCTGGACCGGAGTCCACGCCCTCATCAGCCAGTCCCGGCGGCCAATTGTTATCACATGCAACGACGAAAGCCTGATCCCTATCAAAGAACTGTCGTTGCATGCCATCTTGCGGCTGCGCCCACCCCCCCCGGGAACTTGTCGTCGACTACCTCCTTCTTATGGCGGCGAACGAGGGCCACATGCTGAAAAGACAGGCGGTAGAAAAGCTGCATGACGGTACCGGAAGAGACCTTCGTCGGTCGCTCATGGAGCTGAATTTCTGGTGTCAGATGGGAGTTGGCAGCGAGAAGGGAGGGCTGGACTGGTTTCTACCCAAGTCGTTCGGGAGGATAGATGTCGACCAGAGTGGTGATCAATCCCGAGTCATCAGTCTGAACACTTACGAGCCGTACATGGGCTGGTACAATCGTGATCTTTTCCTCAGCCACTCTCCACTGGACAAGGAGACCGAAGCTCTGCGAAATCTCTATCACTGGTGGGGACTCAACGTGCCGGATGCCGAAACAGTGGCCGGTGTAAATGATGTTGAGCTTACGCTTGTTCATCAATGGCCAACTGCTTCAAAGTCCTCCCAGCTTGATATGCTCACGCGCGATGCGGATTACCTTGAAATGCGAAGTTCACTTGACATCCTGTCCTCTGGATGCTCTTTGGACATGGCTCAGGCAAGTTTTGTTTCATTGCATATAACAAGAAATGGTACTAATATTATTTCAGGACGTTGTTGATATTTCTGCTCTTCCGCTTCCCGAGGGCCACCGCTCTAACTTTGTCGACAGCTGGCCGCTCTTGCACGCTGACTTGCGGCCTGAATACACATCGATGACCGAGGCTATTACCACTTCATTTGGTGCATTGCTTGGCCAGGTCTTTCGGCCCGGTCACCAGGGAGCCTTTGAACCAGTACATGCGCTCCGCCTGATGGGCAAGTTGACGGAGCCATTCCATCGTCAGCAAGTACCTCCATCTTCAGTTCCAGAGTTCCAGCGAATCTTCGAAGCCGTCATGCGAGCAAACTACACAATGCCCCAGCCCGGTTCCCGCCCGGCCCTGTCATTCGAGAACGGCCTTTCGCCTATCACCGAGGACCTCGCACCATATATTCGCAGTATCATGGTCTTTGACGGCCGCTTGAAGGAATACCGAGACAGTTTGAGCTCTGTGCTTTCACAGGAGAAGCCTGGACGTGGTGAGAAACGAATGCGAACGACACGTGCCAGTCGGGCAGCTCTCGAGGGAGGTGACAAGTCTTCCACGCGAAAAGAGAGATGGTTTCCTTCAGATACGAAGTATTTTCCCGTCATGAGCACCGGTAAGCCAGAGTGGCAGGATATCTTATTTCAGCTCGGATATTTTCATGTGCAACCTCTTCCGGAGTCGGCTGGAGATAGCAGTGAGCATGTGTCGGATGATGAGAGACAGGGTACTTATTAGTAGAAAGGGGTGGATATCTTGGAGTAGCCTAGATACAATATATCAATGTACAACATTTGTTACATGAACTGCTGCAGTATTGGGTCGATGCGTGTACAGTCAATAGTTTGCTTCAAGTGCAAATGTTTTTGTGCGTCTCGCAAGCAACGACCTCAGGCTTTCCCGGTTAGGAAGCCGTGGCTCGCCGACGATAATGAGAGTTTCTTTGCCTCGTTTGCCTCGACTCTGCTAGTATGAACATCTTGCTGCTTTGTTTCCTTCTTTCCGGGGTAAGTTTCCATCTATCCATCCATCCATCATCGCTCATAGCTCCGAGGAAGCAGTCCCTTTGGGTGGTGCGGGGGGTAACATGGGGAGATGTCCGGATCTATCATGACCATGCACAATGACGGTGACATATTAACATAATATCTTGCTTCCCTATGTTGTTAATAGAATACCGCGATGCTGCTGCGCTTAGTGGGGTTTTCCAACTTCCCAGTGAACCCAGATACAATTACGGTTTACTACATCCAAACTGACACTAAGGACTGTGTCTCCGGGATTGAGCTTTGTTCTGACAACATGGGGAGACCTCACTAGACGCTTCAGAATTATCAGTATGTTATCTTTTAGAAATTAAATCGTTCGACAGAGTGACATAGCTCAGGCCATGGTACGGTCGTTTAATAGACATCATGAATTTTCTGGTACGCTATGGACACAGCTTTGTTGGCTTAATTTGAATATTGGACGTCTAAAGTTGACTAAGACCGCCGATGCTAAATGTGTATGTAGTAAACAAAGATCTTTCTCTCTGTTCACAACCAATGTAATGACTAATCCGAGTCACTTCTCAGACCATAAGATCCTTCTTCCAACTCCTTCGAATCCTCAGGAATTTCCCCGTGGGTAATCTCGTCTTTCTCAAAGATCTTCGAGATCTCTTCCAAAGATTTTCCCTGAGTCTCAGGAAAGAAGAAGTAGATCAAGGATAGGGCAACCACAAGACAACCTATATAAGTGATAAAGTACTTCCACTGAAGGACCTCAAATGCCACAGGGTTAACGTATTGGTTGAAGAAGCACGCCACAGAATCCGTGGTTAGTGCAATAGCCAGTCCCTTGGCTCGGAGTTGGAAAGGCAATATTTCAGCAGGGTAGGCAATGAACAAGGGCATATATGCGAAGTCGTAAGCCGCACAAAATAGGAAAAGCATCGGTACAGCCGTGATGCCTGCCGCGAGCAAGTTCATCTCTGCAAATAGGCCCGCCATCGTCGTACTCGTTGACAAAAATACGAGCATCAAAGTTGTCGCACTCAGCCAGAGAAGGCGTCGGCCGTATCGGTCCGAGCTGCTCGCTCCGGCCACAGCAAATATCAAATTCCAAACCTGAAGACTGATATTGACAGCAGCTTGATGAGAAGCATCACTTATCCCAACAGACAAGAGAATCGGAGCCAAGTAATAGGAAATAACACCTGTAAGTGAAATGGTTAATATTGAAGCCGCACAAAGTGAGATCGATATATGACCTACCATTTCCAGTCCATTCCTGCATAAAGCCTAAGAGGATGCATATTGCTAGGCGGTGTCTATCACCCTTGGTTTTCAGGAACGCACTCCAGCGAGCGGCCGACTTCAGGTCTGCTTCAACCTCAATGCTCTTGCATATCTGGTCAAACTCCTCTTGAACAAGCCGATCATCGACATCCCCATTTGCATGATATCGTGTGAGCATTTCCAGGGCTTCCCCCTTCCGATTCTTTGACACTAGCCACCTCGGACTCTCCGGCATAAACCAAAGGCCGACTAGTTGCAGGGAAGGGAAGAGCACTTCCAGTAGACATGGAATCCGCCATGACCAACTATTTGTGAGTGATAATGTGGAGAATGCAATGGCGGCTGCTGTGATTGATCCGCAAAACCAGACGGCATTGTAAAGACCCGTTAAGGTCCGTCGTTGACGAGGATGTGCTGTTTCAGCAATCAATAGTGGTGCTGCTGTTTGCGAAAGACCGACACCCACTCCAGTCATTACTCGGGCGCCGAAAAATACCCAGTGGTGTTGAAATGCAACCTGTATAATTGATGCAGTGATGACAAGGACTGCGCCTATAGTGACACAGATTCGTCGACCATAATTGTCGGCAACATATGAAGCTGGAATGAAAGTCAGGAAGGCGCCGAGGGAAAATGCGGCGATAATCAAGCCGGTAGCATTGGAACTAAGCCCATCTAAAAAGAGGGAAACTGTGTCTCTGTCAATACTCGATAATCGGTTTCCAACAAAGAACTCTCACATTGGGGGAGCACAAGCAAACTGTTGATCTGACTAGCATTGTATCCAGCTGTCGCAGATGCAGAGAGAATCAAAGCTATACAAAAATTCAACTTCCGTAGTCCTTTATTTGCGGAAACTGGCGGCATATTGTTCGTAGGAAGTGACTGCTATGCAAATATTCATGTCCGAAGTACCATGTCCCCGTTATCTTATATGAGCATGGGCGGACATTTTTCTCGGACAATTGGGAGCTCTACATTCTTGACGTCCTTGCTGGTGCCGATCCTGCCAGCTATGGTCACACCTGCTCGGACGAAAAGAAAGAATGAAGGGGGAAATTCTTGATGAACGAATCACCAGGTGGGGTTGTGTAAAGATGTCATCATTCATACTTTAAAGGGGTAAAGCAAGTGCTAACGGGGCACAGCGAAACACCCAGTAGATGTCCAGGTGGTCGATCTGTGCGGCACTTGCGAGCAAAAGTACGATTCCAGAGGAGCTAGAGCCACTTTCAGGTCTTGGTCAGAAGTTTTAAGCTCATGACCTTGCATAGTTACTGCATATAACTTACTGACGCGCAACCAAACGGCTTGCGCATGTGTCGATCCGGAACGCTTTATTAGATAAAACGGAGTTAGACGGTAAATCCCGCTTCCACAGTCGATCCACAAACCATTCGTCATATAGGCACCAGATTACCACCCTCAGATAAGAAAACCACTCACATTCTTGCTGTAAAGAATCATCAGCCGATGCTTCCTTAGGCCTGCCGTCTTTTGCCTTCCCTACCCCTCTCAGGGTTGCTATTCCGTCGAACCCTTGATCCCAAGCTACGATATTCGACAAACGGGTATCAGGTTTGGTGGAGGTATGCTGAAGTGCTTAGTTGGGGTAAATAAGCTCTTTTTATTCAAATAGATCATAACTGAGCTGCCATGTATTCGTGTACGATCGTGTAGATAAAGCTAGAATAACCAGATTGCCACAGTAGGCTAGAGGGGTGAATTGAAAGCGACCAGAGCATGCGCTGCAACCAAAAGGGATATCCAAAGACTCAACGGAGTGTTGACGTTGCCATTGCTGCTCTGGTTGCTCTTTCCGCTGCCCAAGCTTCCAGTGTCTGTTGTGTGGTGCGACTCAGTGGTTGGAGTTGAACTGGAAGAAGGCCGTGCCGAGGATGGTCTATCCCAGAAATCCCGAATTATGGTGCTGGCTTGCTCAGCCAATCCGTACGTCGAGGCCATCAGATGCGTAGACAAGGCAATGGGGGGAACACTGGCATCCGCAACTCGGACGTTTGCAAGGCCATACACGCGAAGGTTTGCGTCGACTACACCACCTTGTTCACGAGGGAGCATTGCACAGGATGACGATGGATGGTATTCGGTGCCACCCGCCCCACGCAGCCAGTCTTCCCACTCTTCATCTGTCTGGACGGATGAACCTGGTGACCGCTCGCTTGTGAAGCTGCTACTTAATGGTTCGGTTTCACCTAACTGACGAGCGAGTTTGAGACCATCGCGTAGTATCTCGTAATCTGCCAATTTGTCAGCATCCGTGACCTTGTCCTGGTGACAGATGTGAAGCATACCAGCTGGATTATCAAGATAATTCGGATCAATGACAGGGTAGTCCATTGGGTTCGAGGAGTTTATGTAAATACGGCCATGGCTGTATGGATGCTGGAGAGCAGCCGTGATACCGATGTCGCCACTGCCGTCACTGTTCATGAACAGGAGCTCAATCTGACCTGTAGGGCTGTTGAATATTTTCGATGCCGTCGTATTATAAATTGCCTTGTAACCAGCGATAACACCAGCATCGTATGTTGTATTGGGTGTATATTCGTCCATTTGAGCTAATATGTTTGTCTGGAGCTCTTGAATTTGACTGCCGTACATAGTGGTCGTGTTCACATAGGCAACTGCAGAATCAACATAAGAGAGAAAGAGAGGGTTGTTCTGCAGCAGTTAGACCATGACGAAACATCATATTGAGCGCGCAACACGAACCCTCTGGCTGCCATCATCGTAGAAAGTGGAACCCGCAGTTTCCACATCAACATTCCACGTCACGGTGGCACTCTGTTTAAGTAAGACAGATGCTCCTTTTTGGAGATGAAAGTTACTCACAAAATGATCCTGGAGATGTTGGCCGACACCAGGGAGCTCAGAGACAAGGTCAACACCTGCACTAGAGAGGACATCCTTTGGGCCAACACCGCTATGGAGCAGAATAGCCGGGCTGCCTATAGAGCCACCTGCGATGATAACTTCTTTGTTTACTTTGACCGTCAGTGTTGTCGTTCCATCATCAGGTGTATACTCGACAGCATTCGCTAATAAGTTATCTGAAGGGGAGGAGCTGTCGAAGAGAATGCGAGTAACATGAGCATTGGCCAACACGTCGTAATTACCCCGGTCCGGAAGCGGGTCGAGATACCCGGTCCGACTGTAGGAGCGCGTCCAGTTTTGCGGATTGATGGTGGAGGTTGAGACCTCGGCACCCCAGTTCTGACCATCGTACATGTTGCCAGAAATATCAATTCCAATATTCTCACAAGACATTGACCACTGGCCAACTTGGGGAAACGTCCTGGGAAAATATATTAATTCCATAAGATGAAGAGAGAAAAAGATCAAGCATACAAGCCAGGATACGATGCACAGATTGGCCCCGTAGTGCCATGATTTGATGCATTCCAAGTAATATCTGCCTCTTGAATCACGGCGTCAATTGGGGGGGCGAATGTTTCACTTTTCTTCATAGCAGCGTAGAATGCATCCCACGACCAATTTTCAGCGCCATCCATGTCTCCGAGCATGCCTTGCCAAGCATTTATCTCGTTCTCACCTGGACGGGTCATATAAAGCCCATTGATGGCGGAACTGCCTTTATTTTTTGTGGGTCAATTACCTTCTCGGGGCCGAGTCGCAGATACGAACCTCCAAGGACCTTGCCACGAGGCCAATAAATCTCACGGTTCGCTGCATTTTGCTGAGGAACTGTCCAGAATGCCCAGTTCAATGGCGTAGTCCAGAGGGGAGTCAAAATACGCATATGCCGGTGTATCTTCACTCATATTAGTTTAGCATGCTCTGTGGATGGACTGAACAGAAGGACTGCGCACCTATACGTTCTCGATAGTCATCTCCATTGCCGCCTGATTCAAGGACAAGGACAGTATGATTTGTGTCTTCCGAAAGGCGGCTACCAAGCACAAGCCCGGCTAGACCACCCCCTACAACAATGAAATCATACGACTCCCCAATCTGTGTGCGTGGTACCAACGCGTCCCCGAAGCGAATAGTGGCAACCAGGGTTATGACAATTATCTGAGCAGCAGAGAAACCTGGCCGCATTTTATGAGCGGGTATGACGTGAGATGAAGGGAGCTGTCCAGATTGACATGGCCAAATGATCGAAGATATTTATTTACCTATGAAAGCACCCACAGAAACGCAAGTGCCCCTAACTCGCTGGTAGGGCAACTCCGAGGCTCAGAAGGCTTGTTATGCACCGCGCTCCCGCAGTCTCAATTTTACGCGCGATGGGTACGGTCTCGAACTCGAAGGTGGGTAACAATTTGGAAGATCACAGTGGCCTTTGTGCAAATGAGAAGTTGGACCCCATCGCTCCACCCGTATCCTTGGCGACGGCATACAATTGAAATATCGATGCAACTATATTGGTGCCACTGGCTGGAGTGTAAGATGATGGTTTACTTGCCTATAACCATTTTTAATTCTTGTCAATTGTCGCTTATTACAGATCATGAGAAACACACTGCCGGTTGTTTCAATTTCCCCATTAAACATGATCCTCGCACCTGCAGAAATTCCAACCAGGATTGTGCTAATTAGTTGGTGGGTATGGCCCCTCCAACTGCAATCGTATGTTTCTGATTGGAGAGGATGTTGAAACGCAATAACCATGGCCGCCGATCAATCGGGTGGGATCGTCATTGGCCCCAACATGGCCGTGGGACCGCCTACAGATAAACTTCTTGGTCAAAGAAAATTGCACTACTATTAGAAAGCGTGTTGTACATAGCCCTCGCCATGACTCGTCGCGAACTCAATCCGAGACGTAACGGGTGCTTATATTATCCCACGGAGTCGGAGTTGCCGAAGCCCAAGAACGCGAGTTAGCCAAGAAACAAAGTTGGACAAAGCGGGCGATAGATAAATATTGCTTCCCGTTCCCGCAAAGGCAAACTAGTGGTAATAGATAGCTAGAAATTTGAAGAGGGAAAAGCAAATTCATTTCATCGGTGAATGGTAATTGGTCCATCTCATTTACAACCGGCTACAGTACGTAGACAAAATTAGCGCCAGATCGACGGTGCGACTTCCCGCTTTAGACGCTAAGCCAGATATAGCAGTGATGATCGTGGTGCCTGTCCGATCTACACCGAGAGGGTAGCGGTTGCTCAGAGCAGACAGTATTATTATTTGTCGTTGGCAACTATCGACAGCCGGTACAGTGGCGATGGTTCTAACAATCATAACAATGATGAAGGGGACGAGTCGAAACGCGACAAGCCGATTTATGCACGCCACAAATCATAGCAAAGGTGCAAATGAGGCTGAACGCACTAAATTCTTAACAGATTACACGATTCCATCCATGTCCAACTGATCCGCCAAGTCTAACAATTCCCGCGGAGGCAAACTAACAGAAGAATTGAGAGCAAGCACGTCCCACTCGAATTCCTCGCCCATGTTAACTTCATCAAAGGCATAAACATCCTCAGCATCCTCGATATTATCAGTATTGTTTAATGGGGTGAGTTGGGGAATCTGGAGGTTTGTGTTTCTTGGCGTTAGCGGTGCCAATATGATCTCTAGTTGTCTCAATTCCAACCTCCGAAGCGGTGCTGCAGGATTGCCTTTTGAAATAAGTTTATTCAAAACACAGTCAAGGTTTTCGGACCACGCATCATTGGAAATAAGGGATGGGGCAATGGCATGGATTAGATATAGCACAAAAGCTGATGATGAAGCGTCTTCGATCTGAAATGGAAGAAAGGCATCTGGTGGGTAAATGTTAACACTCTAGCAGTCCAATGGACCTGGGAAACACGCACCCATTAAATCATCGTCAGCTAACGTTCGAAGGGTCTGAAGGATTGTCTGTGCTGAATCAGCACAGCATTGCAGAAGGGACGCGACTGGAGCTGATAACGAGATCGTTGGAGACTTTTGTGTCTCTGTCCCTTCGATATGCATGTGTAGCGCACACATTACCAAAGGCCGAGTTGTGAGGACAATGCACTAGAGTAGTCAGCTTTGAATCTCTTTTGTCGTGTCTCTCTCATGCTCACATGGTGGTGGGCTAGCATGAGCCGAATTGCCATTTTCGAAGCCCGGCTAATTAGCCCATGGAAATGCCTGTTTAAGAACTCGGTCAAATCATGAGACAATTCTGCCAAGTCATGGAGAAGAGACTGTGTGTTTCGAATGAGAGTTCCGTCAAATTCTTTGCCCACGCCGTAGACCGCTGATATTCATGTTAGATACTGAATGGGAAACTATGTTCATATGGGCTTACTGGTAAGAGTTCGTGCCATCAAATGGGATAATCGCACATGCAGTGTTAAGTTAATATTTTCCACAGACTGCTCCACATCTGCAGGCAGCTTCACAGTGATATCTTCATCTCGAATAGAACTAGGCGCCCCTATGAGAGCAGAGAACTCTCTGTCTAACATATAAACCACCCAAAAGATAGTCCGGCAGCGATGGGAGAGTTCGGGGCCGCAGATTTCTTCCGGCACGTGTCGATGTATTCCTTCAATAATGCAATAGCGTAAAGCCTGCCCAATCTGCCAAATAGGTCAGTCGGTCTTTCGCTGTCATCAACCGCCATCTGTCTCACATGTTGAAAGGCTGCCCGCCTCATGTCGATCGATTGCAAGTATACTGCTGCTAGACTCAACGTCTGAATGCAGGTTAATGCGTCCTCATGCATGGCCGACAGATCAGGTAAGAGAGCCATTGCTCTGGAAGCATACTGGTGTCCCGGGGGAGATCCGCCAGGGTTTTTATGCGCAAGAAAGACTTTCCCAAATGCAAGGACGAGCAGGAATTGGGAGTACCATGGCCGTGCTGAGGTGGCTTTTGCTACTGGATCTTTGTAGAACTCTTGTAAGTGTCGAAGATAGACTGACTCGTCAATCATGAAAGATAAAAATCCAAAGTAGAACTTCACAGTATTGAACAAGAACAGTGAATAGTCCAAAGGTGGCAAATTAGAGACATCTGGCACCTCGTCCGGAGGGAGGGGCCTCCATTGGAGTTTAAATGCCATACCATCTAAGCACCATGGATCTGGTGGGCAGTTTGACTCTGGAACACGTCTTCCGATCAAAGCGAGAACACGCCGGCAGAACGACCACGATGATGTCGGTCCCATGTACCCTGTGGTATTCTTGTGAGCAATAGAACCTCCTATTGAATAGCCGTTAAACTCACAAAGCCGGCCGTCTGGTGTCTGGGCAAATGAGCAATCCTTCTCGACAAGAGGATTGCGCGAAAATCGTGAGCGATGACGCTCTTGCTCGCTTTCGGAATCATATCGACGGGGAGATTCTGCTCTATGCAAACCATGGTCAAGTCCTGTTATCCATCACGTCAGAAAGACACCTTCCTGCAAACACTTTTCTTTCTCTTCGAGACGATGCTTACTATCAGTTATTGTTCGCAACGGGGTCTCTGGCCGAGTTTCCAACAGCAGGTGTGGGGGACGAGGAATTGGGACGAGATCAATATCCTCGTGGCCAACAAACGGCGATTCCGCCAAAGGATCAGCTTGTTCCGTGCCACCGTGCGGCATGGTAACCGCATTCCTGGAAATATGCTCTTCCAAGTGCCGCAAATATCTAAAACCCGGCCGTAAGTACAGGGACAAGTCCAACTAGCATCGTGATCTTCACTTTTCTGAAACTGAGATACGGACATCTTCGACTGGGAAGTGGCATGGTCTTTTTTTGCGGGCACATCTTGTGCAGGGCTGAGATCCTGAACACTTCACTTTCATCCCCCGACATCGCTCGCATCTTTGATGACTGTCAGCTTTTCCCAGGTTTCTTGATCTTGGTCATACTTATTTTGATTGAATACTTACGCCCTCATGCATTTCTTAGTCTTAACTGTTGTAGGAGGCATTATCCCGGACAAATCCACCAAAGTAGTTGGAAGGACAAGACGCAAAAAAGCGGCCGGGGCACCCATCCGATATCGATGCCAACACACTGCGGGGTCCGAGCTTATCAGTCGGGGTCGTCGGCCGATGAACGCCAACGCTTACCGGCTCTGGCGGAAATCACCTGATTGGGGATGCCCTAAAAAGAAGTCCGAGCATAAGAGAAATTTAGATTTGGATCATATTTTCTTGTCTTATCGACTCAGGTTCGCGCAAACACCCTTCGCCACACCTCTTTTCGCAAAGCATCCACCATATGATGTGTACGCTCAACCGCACCTCTGTTTTCGATTGCCCGACGGTGCAAATACCCCATGCATTCTGCAACAGAACCCCACGCCATGCACTTGAAGGCTTTTGGAACAGTCACGTTCGATATAGAGAACTGGGCTAAAGCCCGCTCGTAATTTTCCACCAATTCACAGCCCAGTTCGTCAGCCATTCCCTGAATCTGGCCACAGTCAAGTGCAACTGTAGGCTGCTTTTTATGAAGAAGTCTTTGGTGAGTGGCAATGGCCTTTGCTGCGCTGGCCGCATTGTGCGTGGCCAGGAAAAGAGCAGCAGATGGGAATTGCAGATCTTTGGCTTCTTCTGGGAGTTTTCGACAGATCAGAGTATCTGCAATCAAATCATAGGACTGATCCGTTTCCTCTTTGGTATCGAAGATGAGAGAGCGAACCTCATGTTCAATGTACGCACCTCGTACCAACTTGATTCCCAATGACCACCCTTCCTGGGCGGCCAGTGTAATGTGATAGTCGAGATTTGCCTTCGATTCCTTGAGATAGCCCTGGATAGTGTTGTAGATCAAGGGTGTTCTTTCACGGTTGTGTTTGCGCATTATCTCAATAGCCCAATCATCCAGGCCGCGTTGAAGGATTTGTTGTTCGGCATCCAGCCATAGCCGAGATCCTTGCTCTTTAGTTGCAGCACAGATCTCATCCACGGCTTTTGCCATCACCTCCGGCATCGGCCAACGTGCCCTCATAGCATCGACGGCTATTGGTCCAGCTCCAGTCAGTCTAGGGTTAGATATCTGTTAGAATGGAATAGCAGACAAACAGTAAGAAAAGTATGCTCACTTCACAGCAAGAAAGTCACCGGATCCCACCATGCGCAGAGTGTCCAAAGTGCCTTGTTTCCATTCTTCCACTAATTCATAGCATCTGTTGCTATAATGAATGGAACCAGTCGCGTCAACAGCCAGTTTCTCGTCGGGTTCCAACACAATTTCCTTCGAGTATCCCAGGATGACACCTTGATATCCAATTTTCTTCACTTCCGCAACAGTTTTCGAGACTTCTCTGCGATTGGTTCCAGCACAAAAGTGATTATAGACTGTCCATCGGAGAAGCTTGTTCAATATAGGGTTCCGGTCTGGGTTCAGGAAAGCAGACTTCGAAGTGGTGAGAACTTTCAGCAGGGCTAGGGCGGGTCGAAGGAAAAGGTTGGACGACATTAATGAGGTCAAGACCAAGGATCGTAGTAAAAATGGTGTTGGGAGTCTCGCCATGGACGAAACCTCCAAATCTGGTTTCAGGGATGGAGATTGGAGAGCAGCATTATGAATAAATTGCTTCGTTGAGCGATAGCGGCGGGATAATAAGGAAGGAACTTGTCTGGAGGAAAGTCCTCGTGAAGCTCGCAGACCAGTTGAGAAAGCAAGCATGATATCGATAATCAAAAAGAAGGAAAGGTGTCAATAAGGTGAACTCTCTTGTGGTCTTGAGCTACAGTGGTCAACAAGATGGCGGCCTAGCGGCAAATTCTCACCTTAAAAAACATATCTACCGATCGCCTACAAAACACGTCTATAGAGAATGATTGTTGCACGGAGCTCTTAGAGACTAGATTTCCGATAGTCAGCCGACTCTGGTCGGGATGGCCAACCGAGGGCGCGGGAGGCGTTCTCGAATCAAAAGAATGGCCAGGCCGGACATAATGCCGATGGGGGAACTCTTTGTTCTATTATCAATGATATCTGGAACATTATAGATTACCCCTCATACTTCATATCACCACCGGCCCGGGTGTCCCGGTTGTCTGCAGCAGCGTTGTCCTAACCAGTTCGTGAACCAGTAGCGTCTTCGTGGAAGGAGATCTACTGCACGACGAGGGTCTAGCAACGTGTCACATGGGGGGGGGGTTATAAGAAAAATATGAAATGAGAAATCAAGAAGGTCTAGCTTTTAGACGAGATGAGTTATCCTTTCAAAAGCTGGCTATTTATAACAATCAAACGCCACAGGAAATTCTCCAATGCGTACTCTTGAGGTTCTAGGCTATGTACTTTGAATAGTCTCTAATTTTAGATTGCATAGGAACAGCATAAACAAAGGGTTATCTTAAGAAATTCCTGTCCACATATTCTAGTAATCCTCCATATTAAATCTCATTAGAAGGATACTGAACTTTTTCTAACGGCACAAATTCCTCCTTAATTGTTCGAGTGCTGACGAACCTCTGCAAATGGGCCATTGTTCCCGTCTTGTCATTTGTGCCCGAGTCCCGGCTACCACCAAACGGCTGTTGTGCCACAGTAGAACCAGTGCATTTGGTGTTTAGGTATAGCATACCAGCAGCATGCTTGAGAATGGTCTGCGCTTGGCGACTGGCATATGGATCGTTGGCAAAAATACTGCCGGTCAGGCCATAGCGTGAAGTAGTGTCAATCAACCTAAGGGTCTGCTCCCATTCAGCATCTGGATAAACATAGACACCAAGCAATGGTCCAAAGAGCTCTTCGGACATTATTCTATGCCGTGGGTTGGATGTCTCGTAAACAGTGGGGTGGACATAGTATCCGTCTTTCTTGGATGCCTTACCACCAAGAATGAGTTCCAGCTCGGGGTCTGTCTTTGCATCCTCGATGAACTTGTTTAGCCTGTCGAAGGACCGCTCGTGAATCACTGGGTTGATGAAGTTGCTATAATCCTCAACATTCCCGACCTTTAGCGCGGCAGTCTCTTCTTCCAAATGCTTTCGAAACTCAGGCCAAACGGACTCGGCGATATAAACCCGTGAATTGGCAGAACACTTCTGACCTTGGTATTCAAATGCAGCACGGATAGTGTTGAGAGCAGCGCTTCGCACATCTGCCGAGGGGTGGACGACGCCCCAATTCTTGCCACCGGTCTCACCCACAACGCGGGGATAAGATTTGTAAATCCCCTGGCCAATTCCATCTCCGATTTTCTTCTGGATTCTTTTGAATGTGGCGGTAGATCCAATGAAGGTCAGAGCACCGAATTCGGGTCTTTTGAGAATGGCATTTGTGATTTGCTCAGCATCGCCGGGGATGAACTGAATCACGTCTTTGGGGAGACCAGCTTCGAGAAGAATTTTGTGAAGTAGCCAGCTAGCGTGAATAGCATAGTCTGAAGGCTTCCAGATAACCACATTTCCAAGCAACGCAGACGGACCGACGAGCGTGGCTCCCAGCGCAGTGAAGTTGAATGGAGCAATCGCATACGTGAAACCCTCCAGCGGCCGGTACTCAAGTTTGTTCCAATTTCCATCGAGGTGAACCCTCGGCTGTTGAGCGTAAAGTGCCCATGCCTCTTGAATGTAGTGACGGAAGAAGTCCGCCGTCTCCGCAGCTGCATCAATCTCAGCTTGCCAGATGTTCTTGCCCTGGCCGAGCATGGTAGCTGCGACTATCTCGGAGCGATACTTGCCCGTGAGAAGTTCGCAGGCACGCAGGAAGATGGCTGCTCGGTCTTCAAATGGGGTGGCCTCCCAGGCGGGTTTCGCCTTGAGGGCTGCATCAACGGCGGTATTCACTTGTACGGAGGTAGCGGAGGCATAGTTGGCCACGATCTCGCTATGCTTGGAAGGGTTCAGCTGAGCGAGTGACTGCTTCGTTTGGACCTGCGCAGACCCTTGTTAAATCCGTATCATCAGACTTTTCGTAGACTGACGTACCTCTGTGCCGTCGATTGTGATTGGGATTCTAAATGGGAATCCCTCTTTCATCTTCTTGATCGTCTTGGTCAATTCCGCTCGTTCTGGAGACCCTTTCGCGTAATCGAGCTACCCATTTGTTAGATTGAAACCATTCACTCCATTATTTCGATGCCCACCATTTTCTCATTCTCGAATTTTGGCGGGCTCAGCAGGCTCAATTGCCTTCGCACAAGTATGCAGGTCAAGCCAGGTTTGAGCCGGTTCCGACCAACTGTCTGCGTTAGGGTTTGGAGCCGCATAGTGGTTGTATGGAAACTATCCTTGTGACTGTGCTAGTCACAAAGACATAGGAATACTCGCAATTCCGCGTGCTACTATTTAAGTACGGTGCAGCTCACAGCTGTGTACTACGCATCTCGATCATCGGGAGGTGATCCCGAGCGGGGATCTTCGTGCCTGTCCACGATGCACCTCATTGAGCATGCATAGATAGCGACAATGGTCGGGATCTCGTTCCGACTTTTCATAAGATACGCACTGTCACCTAGTCTGGGGCCTTATTAAAGCTTTCTGGTCTAGTTCATGATCAGTGGGAGGGATAGCCCAACTTTGTATTAGCCACTGCCCGGCTACACAGAGTCAAAGATATATTTAGACCAGTGCTTATCTTCTGCAAGTCTCCCACCTTACTGAAAGATATTCGCAACTAGAATAATCCATAGTTATTTAACTAACTTTATTAGTAGAGACATTAATTAGTTGTCTAATGTTGTATCTGATACCTTGATTCGGGCGAGACCCCCAGCCTCGCCCAAGTACCGATGACAACCACATTCGTAGAGTCCGTGCCCTCCGACCGAGCTCCGCTTGATCAACACCCCCAGCGTCATCGCAGTCTCCGCCTCCACTCACGACTCCCTTCGTCGGTGCCTTCCATCATCTGCATCGCCGGTTTCCCCGATGTCTTTGTTCGGCACCTCCCCGGACGAACCCTCTGCGGCCGACTCCGCCCGGAGATCCAAGTCCTCCCTCTTCGCCGACGACCCAGGCACCGGTGGCTCCTCGTCCCTCTTCGCCGACGATGACGGCGACGACAGCTCCCCCTCGGCATGGAATCCGACGAATAATACTGCCAAACGAACCGCGCGGCGTGACCTCGTCCGAAACCTACTGCCTGCGACCGATGTGCCGGAGAGCTACGTTGATGCTTACGATCTGGTACTGAACAACGGGGACAGGGTCGGCCCGGGCGTCGGATTGACCTCCATCCGCGAAATCCTGTCTAGCAGTGGGCTCACTGCATCTGATCAAGGGAAAATCCTCAACCTGGTGATATCGGGTGACCATGAGAGCTTCAATGGGCTAGGGCGCAATGAGTTCAATGTCTTGTTGGCGCTGGTGGGCCTAGCGCAGGAAGGCGAAGATCTGTCCTTTGACGCGGTGGATGATCGTCGCAAAAGTACGTATTAATTCTAATGCAACTGTTTGTGCTGATTGTCGCTGACCCTTGATTAACCCATCCAGAACTGCCTCAGCCGAAAAGTGGCTATTTTGATCGGCTGCGAACGAACCGCGAGCCTCCCTCTAAGCCCGAGCAAGAACGCCCAGTTACTCCGCCGACCTCTACTACAGTGCCTCAAGAGCCAGGCTCGACACGATCGCAACGGTTAAAACGGAATTCACTTGGCGGGCTAGAGGATCCGTGGGGGAGCCCCGAGCTGCATCAGGGCCACAATCATGAGACCCCCGGCCCCCGCGGGTTGAATGGTTACTCAAGCGTGCGATCTACAACGAACGCTTGGTCGAGAGGGCAGACCGAAGAAGGTGGACATGATGAAGTACCGCGCGAACATGCCAACGGCCAGACCGATCCGGTCCCGCCCACCTCCGGAGGCGGGTGGGGAGGCAGTTTTGGCGCCGCACCCCCAGGTGACGGTGGATTTGGCGGCGCAGAGCGCGCGGCACTGGGAGGGTTTGGCCCTCCAGGTGATGACCCGGGCGACATCGTGCCTCGACGACGGTCATTTGGGATTGGCCGTTCTGCTAATCTGCAAGTTGCAGAGACCATCACCGTCACTCTCCTTCCGGAGAAGGAGGGCATGTTTATGTTCCAGCATCGCAACTACGAGGTCAAGTCGGCGCGGCGAGGCAGTACGGTAGTCCGGCGATACAGCGATTTCGTGTGGCTGTTGGACTGTCTGCAAAAGCGCTTTCCCTTCCGACAATTGCCGCTTCTCCCACCGAAGCGTGTGTCAGGTATGTTTGACGCTGCTTCAAGCGCTCACCGTTTGCTCACTTTTCTAAAGTTAACGGTACTCACCTTTCAGCGGATTCCAATTCCTTTCTCGAGAAGCGTCGACGGGGACTTGTGCGGTTCACCAATGCCCTCGTTCGTCATCCCGTGCTCGGCCAGGAGCAGTTGGTGGTCATGTTCTTGACCGTTCCCACGGTGGGTCTGCGAATGTTCCTTATCGCTACTCGACAGATTGCTAATGCTTGCGCCAGGAGCTTTCTATATGGCGTAAGCAGGCCACCATTTCTGTCCAGGATGAATTTGTCGGTCGTTCTCTGCCTTCAGATCTAGAAGACTCGCTGCCGGTGACTCTCACCGACACATTTGAGACCGTGCGCAGCGGCGTGAAGCGGTCTGCTGAGATTTATATTAACCTGTGCACCTTGCTTGAGCGACTGTCCAAGCGCAATGACGGCTTGGCTGCCGACCACCTGCGGTTCTCGCTTGCCTTGCAGTCCCTCACCGAAGTCACCAAGGATACTTACGCAGTCGACTCCAATGATATCCCGGCCCTCAACGAGGGCATCACGGCAACCGCGCGACATCTCTCCACCAGTCAGAGCTTGTTGGAGGACGAAGCTCGGGCCTGGTCGGACGGGGTGCTGGAGGACCTGAAGCTGCAGCGAGACTGCCTGGTCAGCGTACGCGAAATGTTTGATCGGAGAGACCGCTTCGCCCACAACAACATCCCCCAGCTGGAGAAGCGCATTGAAACCAACGAACGTAAACTGCAGGACCTTCGCACGCGTCCAGCGGGGGTCGCCAAGCCAGGGGAGATTGAAAAGGTGGAGGATGCCATCTTCAAGGTAACACCTCGGGTTCTTTTTTGGTAAGAATCGGTCGCTGACTCTGTTGATCCTACAGGACAAAGAATCGATTGTGGAACAACATGCGCGGGGGGTGTTTATCAAGGAATGCATTCGTGACGAGCTCGTCCATTTCCAACAGAGCCAGTACCACATCAGCCGCTTACACCAGGATTGGAGCCAGGAGCGCGTCAAGTACTCCGAGTTGCAGGCGGACAATTGGCGCAGACTGAGTGACGAGATCGAGGGGATGCCGGTTGGCGAATAGTCTGTTCCATCCCCCGACATCGTCGTACATACCATCTTTCCCACTCTGGTGCTATGTTTTGTTATATCCGCGGGAGTGCGCAGGACGCGGAGAAGGATTGGAACCCCGATGTTGTTTTGCTTTGTCTATTTTTCGTGTTACTAACCTCGGCATATTTTCTGATGTGTGTTGTCTGTCGTTCGTATTCCCAGAGGCTTTGTGGCGGATGTTTGGAAGCCGCCCGAAACCAGCGCGTGTCGTTTGTTTGTACTGCAGCTCCCGTGTCATTTGGCCCTGTCGCTTCCGGCTTTTTTCAGAATCCACGTAGCTACGATACAAATTGAGTGTACATCAATTCCAGCATATCATCTACATCAGCCAGAAGGTATACCGAATAGACTGCATTCGTTGGTTTGATTCGATTCTCTTCACCCATCTCTGCCCGATCTCAACGAGTCCCTCTGATTTTCCGCTACACTATTACAAACTTCTCCCGTGTTATAGTGTTGGCGTGCGGCACCGGGGGTACAGATAATCGGTGTAATCTATCATACTGGATCTGACCACCAAGTGGGGCCCCAAGCCATCCAGTGGCCAATAATTGCTGTCCACAGCTCGTGGCGGTGATAAGGCAGTACGTGACGTGACGTAGTTATCCCAATCAGAAAAAATAATGATGAAAAGTGCATCTTCCCTTTCTTCTGTTTCCTTTATATCCTCAGCTTCAATCCCAGTCGAGGAATTCCACCTCCCTGCATAGTGTTCCTGCGTCGAATGCAGAGCACGCCCCCTTCCGATCTGGTTTTCCCGTCTTCCGCCCAGCCAAGCCCAGTTCCGCTTTCGACGTGGGGCGACAAGAGTTCGGGCTGACGAATGGTCCCGCCGTTCTCAACTCTCCTCTCCGTCTTGGAACAATCCTGCCGTTCTCTCTTCCGCCAAGAGTCTTGGGAGGTCAGTTTCTTTCTGCCTAGCCCTGTTTCCTGCCTTCCTTTCTCACCACCGGTCGCCTGTACCCCCGACGCCGAACCCTTCCAAGGCATGAAGAGCCACGCGGGACAGCGACATTTGAGGAGGGAATATCTCTGGTAATTGTTTGTCGTGGACAACAGAAAGCACCATGGCGTGGGATCACCTGGACATCGACAAGCCGCATCTGGCGTACATGATCCTCGGCGGCTTCACGGGCCTGTTCATGCTGTGCTCGTTGTTTGTGAAGGAGAAACTTTACATCGGCGAAGCGACGGTAGCCACCATCTGCGGCATCATCTTTGGCCCCAGTGCGGCCAACCTCTTCAATCCAAGCGAGTGGGGGAATGTCGACAAGATCACGCTCGAATGCTCGCGCATTGTCCTGGTGGTGCAGTGTTTCGCCGTCGGCGTCGAGCTGCCCAAAGCCTACATGGAGCGACACTGGAAGTCCGTCGTGCTGCTGCTTGTCCCCGTCATGACCTGGGGATGGCTGATGACCAGTCTGTTTATCTGGTGGTTGGTTCCGCCGTTGAACTGGCTCGAGAGCTTGGTCTGCGCCGCCTGTGTCACCGCGACCGATCCCGTCTTGGCTTCGTCCGTCGTCGGTAAGGGCAAGTTCGCCAAGCGAGTCCCCAAGCACTTGCGTGACGTGCTGTCTGCGGAATCGGGATGTAACGACGGCATGGCCTTCCCGTTTATCTACCTCGCATTCTATATTCTACGTTACCGACCGGATGCCGGGAAAGTCTCGCTGAACTGGTTCTGTGTGACGATCTTGTACGAATGCATCTTCGGCGCGGTCTACGGATTCCTTATCGGCTACGGGGCACGTCATGCGATCAAATTGGCGGAACGCAGAGGTCTGATTGACCGTGAGAGTTTCCTGGTGTTCTACTTTGTTCTGGCAGTTTTCTGTGCCGGATCGGGTAGTTTGCTCGGGATGGACGATCTACTGATCGGATTCTCCTGCGGTGTCGGCTTCAGTAACGACGGCTGGTTCACGGAGAAAACCGAAGAGTCGCACGTGTCGAACGTCATTGATTTACTACTCAATCTGGCATATTTTGTCTACTTTGGGTCCATCATACCATGGAGCGACTACAACTCCCCCGAAATTGGGTTGGTGCCTTGGAGGCTTGTGGTGATTGCTATCTTGGTGATCTTCTTCCGCCGCATTCCGATCATGCTTCTATTAAAACCGATCATACCTGATGTCAAAACATGGCGTGAGGCACTTTTTGCAGGCCATTTCGGTCCCATTGGTGTCGGTGCCATTTTCGCCGCGATCCTCGCCCGAGCCGAATTGGAAAATGACAGTACCAACCCCCTGCCTCAAAGTGAACTGCCGAAAGCAGGGACCAAAAACTACTATATCATACAATTGATTTGGCCCATCACCACTTTCATGGTCATATCCTCCATCCTGGTGCACGGGTCATCCATCGCTGTGTTCACTCTGGGCAAACGCATCAACACCTTGACCATCACGCTCTCCTACACTCAAGCCAACGAGGAGGGTCCTTCTTGGATGAACCGGCTGCCCAGGGTACAGTCGCTGGCGAAGGGGTCCATGTCATTCCGAAAAGCCGACGAGTCGTCCGAGGAGAAGCTGCCAGAGTATGCTCCTGGGACATTGCCTCCCATCGGTATGCCTGGCAATTTCCTTCGACGCGTGCGTGACGATGATAGTGAGAGTCAAAGTACCCAATCGCCCAACCGGACATCTTTGAAAAGGAGACGCCGTAGTAAGCGTCATGCAGATGCCGGTGGCCCGATCAGTCAGTCGGCAATCGCACCAGTAACGCGCGTTGAGACCGAATCCGATGAAGAGAAGAATGAGCTGGAAGATCGCGACCAAGTTGAGCGCGGAACCTCTCCACCGACTGCTGAGCGAGACCGGTACGGTCGCGAGCCTGGGATCGAGGCTTACCAAGAGGGCCATCACATGATCATCGAGGATGAAGAAGGCAACGTGCTCAAGACCGAAGATACCAGTAACCTGGGTCCCAAGGAACAACAGCAACATATTGAGGCGCAGCGCACGCGGCTGATGAAGGACAATTCTGGGGAGTTTGCCCCCTCTCGAAGTCAACCTCACGAGAAGAACGAAGGAGAAGAAATCCAGCATGTTGTCAACGAGACGGCCGGTCAACCATATCAGAAACTCAAGAAGTGGACCAACTGGACCAACCTTGGAAAGGGCCGTGCCAAAGAGAAAGAGGAGGGGCCAGACCAGAAGAAGCCAGAGCCCGCACCGAAGCAAAAAGCTCGGTCTGCCCATGCATACCAGTTTGGTAACACTATCATCGTTGAGGATGAAGATGGTGAAGTTCTGAAGAAATACACTATCCCGGGCGGCGATCGCGATAAAACCAAGCCCAAACCAAAATCAAAACCCGAGCCCGAAGCTGGACCCTCTTCACAGGCCCAAATCCGGCGCGGTCTGACCCGTATGGGCACGTGGTTGGGCTGGGAGGAGGAAGGGGAAGCCTCGCAGGCCTGGCCGGGCCAGAAGAAGCCCACACCGAGGACCGACACGGAAGATTGGGCCATGGACGACGGACTACGGTTTACGGTAGCACAGAATCAGGATATTAGCGCCCATGGCGTTGGCATCGGCAATGCAGGTCGTCGCATGAACAAACAGGAATTCTTCGAGCAGCTGAGAGGTATGGATGCCAGGGCCCGTCGGGATCTGGTCCATCAAACAGACGTGCCGGCCTCCGTCAAACAAGTCGCTCAACACGACGCCAACAAGGAAGAGAATCAGGAGCGCCGTCTTTCCATGGCAGCGGCGGCTGCTAGTTCAGCCGCCTCTGGCGCCATTTCGGAGGCAGAGGACGAAAATCTCTCGACCGAGTCCGTCACAGATAGCGAAGCGAGCGACGAAGATGAAAACCGCGGCAATGCTCCCCGCCCCAGCGTGGCGGACTCGCTCGCCAGGTTCACCCGCGGCACCTCTGCCCAAGAAAGGCGCAGCAACCTCAGTCCCGCGCCGCCAGCCCGAGCGCGTATGCGTCGTGATTCAGAAGACGACGGTACTGAGCGCATCCCACCTTCTCGTCTTCGCCAAGCAGCCGGCCTCAGAGCTCCACCACGCCAGTCCGACGATGACACAGGCGAGACCCCCGCCGAGCGCCGTCGCCGTCTAGCCGCCCTGGGTGAAACAGGCAACGATTCCGGTTCTGATTCAGATGCCGCTATTGAAGACTCCGATAGCGAAGATAATGGCGAGCCTCGTCAGGTGCCCAACAACAAGGTGCAGTTCGCGGACGACATCCAGCCCAGAAGTCGTTTCAGCCCGGGCGCGGACCAATCCTCGGCGTCTGGGTCCGGGTCTGGCTCTCAGTCTACTAGCCGCCATCGCCCGCGTATTTCATGGGGTGGTGAGATGGGTCGTGATTCGTGATTCTTAGACTTTATATTGTGTATACAACACAGTCTGTCTATAGTTCCTCTTAATGAATGAATGCCTTGATACTTTCTTGTCTCGAATATGTAGAGGGTTCCTGCATGGCGCCTATCTTTGCATACGCCCCCATTCCCTTTCTTATATCTTGCTCTTGGCCCTCAGCCTGTGCATACCAGGTACTTTGTCCGAGTTGGTGTTGGCATGCGATTTCTGGCCCAGGCCAAATTGACTCCAGGGGACTTTTTTTCTCTCGTTCTTGTTCTATATTATATGTTCCAACCGCGGCTACTATGCATGTTAGAGCAAAGCGAAACCGTAATATTCATTACTACAGTACTAGTTATGCCATAGCAGTAGTATTTGAGCGGAATGTACTGAAACTCGACGAAGTGACTAATTGCTATGCAAAGAGTAGCCGCCCATTAAAGCAAAAGGTCCCATAGAGGTTGGTTCCTCGCTTTGATATTTTGGATCCGGTGACAGAGCCACTGAATGCCCATGAACTGCCCAGTGATATGCTAAAATACATGTATACAAGAAATCAGAGGACTCCATTATTGAGATTGGCTACAGACGAGGCATCCAAAATATATCGAGGTATCAAAGGCAACGAAAACATCCACGTCTTCCAAGGTTCCCAGAAACAAAAAAGAATACAGAAAGAACGTCACCCTCTGGCCATCACCGCTCCATTGTACTCTGAGCCCGCATAACCCCCCTCCCAAAAAACTCACTCACAACACCAAACCCATCCCGCGAGCGCGACAGCTCCCCGCGGAACAGATCATGCTGATCCGCAGTCTCGACCTGCCGCTGGCGGATGGCGCGGAGTGTGTCGTTGGTCGGAGCGCAGACGGGGCATTGCGCGTCGTCGTCGATCTTGTTGAGACACCGCTCGTGGAAGGAGTGTTTGCAGAGGAAATGCACGGCTGGTAAGTCCAGGGATCCGCCGCAGGCTTGGCAGCGGCGTGATTGGAAGACGACGGGTTGACTGGCGAGGGATTCGAGTTCTTTTTGCTTTGTGGAGGTTTCGGATTTGTAGCTTGCGATTAGGCGGCGGTTCTTTTGGTGCACTGGGTTAGTTTTGAAGGGACAGTTAGGGGCAAGGAGATCGGAGACTTACATTGTTGATGTCCTTCCGTTCACGTTCGATGTTCTCGCTCAGGTACTTCTTAACGCGGCCCATCGATACCACGGCGTTGTTACTCAGCGCCTGGATCACTTGGAGTGGAGAGAGAAGACCATCTTCGTCAATGCGTCGGAGAACCGCGTCCAGTTCATCGCCTGCTTCCTCCAGGATCTGGGGGCTTGAAGCAAAGTACGTCAATGCGTCAATGTAGAGCTGGGGCTCATCAGGCCCGTACCGTCGCAGTGCTTTGATGGCACCTTGGGTATCCTTGGCAGCAGTGAAAGAGCGGAAGATGTCTAGACGTAGACCTTCCTGCTCGCGGACGAGCGTGGAGCCTTCTCGGAAGTTGGACAAGTCGGAGAGGAGTAGGACGCTGGATGTTGAGATGGGGATCTGGTCATGTCAGTGGGGGATCATCGATTTTAAGCTTGCAAACTCACATCTTTGCCCTCAATCAGCTTTTTGGCCTTCTTTTCCCATTCTTCCTTCTCGGTAGCGTCCTTCTTGTTGTTGGCCGTGTCCAGGTACATTTCAAACAGTGTGGTGAAGAGATCCACTTTAGATTCTTCCTTCAAGTCAGGCTGCTGCACAAGGGTTTCCAGGAAGTCGATAAATTCCTGCGGATGATCTACAAACGCAGAAAAGGCCGTCCGCGGCTTCGGGACTTCGTAGTCCGGTGCTGGTGTTGCAATTTGAACTTCCGTGGCTGCCGTTTCGGATACCTGGGCCTGAGACTGCGTGCCAGCTCCGACGGTCATATATCGGAGCGGGAGGAAAGCTGCAAGGCTTTGGACTGTACTTGTTGGCTGGGCCTGGGGCTCAAGAGGCAATTCCACTTCTGTACGTGGCTGATATTGACCCGTGTAATAAGTTTTGAAAAGCTCTGTGGTTCTCTCGGGGCAATGGGCTATTAACACTCGGGCATATTTCATCAGATTGTGATAGGCCTGGAAACAGTTAGTCAGTTGTCAATGTCAGTTTCAATGTCTCAACATACCACTTCGGGGTCTAGTCGGCAGATATACTCAACCGCTTCGGCATATTTCTTTGAGTCCTCAATCAAGATGTCAACAACCATGTCGTTTTCGCCATGCTTCGTAGCCAGGTAGGCTGCTTGCTCATAGTATCCGCCCTGGCGACACATGGCGATAGCAGTTTCCAGGTCAAATTTCAACTCGCCAGGAGCCTTGATGAAAGAGTCCAACTTGCTCGTGTCCTTCAACTTGGCGTAACAATTCAACAGAAGCGTGGTGTGGTCGACAGTGGCGCGGCCATGGTCATGTAATTCTTCCAGATACTCGATTAGATTGTGGATGCGCTGAGTATCCAGATACTAGTATCAAAGGTCAGCGGTGCAGCGTCATGGACAGGAAAATATTCTCACCTTGCGGATAACCTGAGATGGTTCAGTGTTTCCAATAGCCCGAAGATACTGCTGCATGGCAGTGTCGTAGTCACCCCTTTGATACAGAAAGTCGCCGTATTTTCGATAGATTGCGTTCTGCTGCAGGGCATCAATGCCGATCTTTTGGGCAAGATTAATGGCCAGGATGTAGAGGTTGCGCTCGTAGAGGATTTCCAGCTTCTGCTGAAGCGACTTTTCTCGGTACCGGAAGATCTTTCCATCAGTTGTGAGCAAGAAGAGATCGCCCCATTCAATAAAGATGTGTTTCATCGGCGAGGCCAACGACTCGCTGTGCGCAATGAACTTGAGATCGGTATCAAGCAAGGTGAACGTCGTCGACCCGAAGATCTCATCCGCCGGATTAACGCCATATTTTCGCAGCGGGTCCGTCTTTGAAGATCCAGCCTTGGGTGGACAGACCAGAGCCACATAGTCTTGGAAGGCATTAATGGATGTTTTTGGGCTTTCAAAGGCATAGCTCGGTCCGCGGCCCCTTGTGCCGTAGGTATATATGGCGTCCTCTCTCGCAATCAAAATATCACCACCTTCCTTGTCCAGCGTCATGCAGCGCACCGCACAGCCCGAATCCTCTAGGACGCGCGCCGGTTGGCCCTGGCCTCTCCCCGCGATGACCTGAGTTAAGATCCGACTCGTCGTCGAGATGTACAGCGTGGTGATAGCACCATTTTGAATCTCGAGTCCCGTGATTGGTTCCTCCGACTCAAACACAATTCGCTGCCGGGCGCCACGGTCGTGAATGAAGTCGCCCCGGATAATCGACACCGATCCATTCGCAAACCCAATTGCCACCTGTGAAAGATCCTCGACAGCCGCAAAGGCAGAAATCTGTGGTTAAAGTCAACGTGCGGTCCCTAAAAATGTGTCCCAACTCGAGAAGCGCACCGGAAACTGCCTCCTAGCATTCTGCACGGACACCGTGGACAAGCATCGCGGTCCACCACCCTTCTTCTCCGTGTCCAGCGCCCAGACTTTCAAAATTGGTTCATTCGACAGATCCTCTGCGATGGTGACTAGCAACGACGTCCCGCCGATCTGCTTCATGTGCGTAATGGAGCCGGCATCGTAGGCCTTGAACGATCGGAGAACCCGGAAGGCCGACGAGACGATGTGAACGAAGCCATCGGTAGTGCCGAGGAACAGATTCGCAGACCCGGTGCACAGACTGGCAAGATCGCTCTGTTGGGGTCAACGTCATGGGCATTCCGCAGCAGCAGGGGAGGTGGGAGGGAGCCTTACACTGAAGACGGAGGTGCTTTCCTCCGGTAGCTTGACCGGGGAGACGTCGAAGAAGTTGAATGCTTTCCACTGAGAAGTGTTAGTTAGTGCCTACATTTCAAGAAGTAAGTCTCAAACGCACTGATGTCAAGGCCATTTGGGCGCGCCATGGAGGGATGAAGAAGGGAAGAGTAGAAGCTGGCCGCAGCTCTCCCCGCGACGCTTACTAACTCAGGAACTACCGAACTAATGAACTACAACTACGGATCTTGTTTATCAACGGAAGGAAAAAAAAATTTCATGAACCGTCATCATTCATATAGAAATTCGTTGGTCGTACATTATTCTCTAATGCGCCAGATCCAGATCTAGCGCAGACGGATGTGCATCGCCCGAGGACGGCGCTTTCCCAGCTTGGCTCGGCTGTTGTCTCGACGAGTCTCTCATGAAATCAAAGCTCTGCTGGAGCCAGCTCCCAGCCTCAGCTATTGCCTGGCCCAAGTTGAAGCTCTCAGGATGTGCTCCCTGTCCATCCTGCGCAGTGGCAGGCGTGGACCCGCTCAAAGTAAACGGTAATGAGGTTGCTTGCGTGCCTGATCGAAGCGCCAATGGACGGTTCGGCTGTTGGCCTGTCAACCGCGGGCTACCTCCTCCTGTACTGGATTGCGCAGTCTGGTAGTCACTCTCGAGGTCATTGGGAGGCGGAGCTGCAGGAGCTGGGGCCCTGGTTGGGTTTGTTGGTGACCCTGCTCGGTACGTCCTGAGCTTCTTGACGGTGCTGAAGGTATAAGGAGTGGCTGCGTCGATCATGCATTGTGTGCTCATGTCGAGAACCTTCTCCTTGTCAATAGCGTTGGACGTCCGAGTCAACCCGGCTTGGTGTGAAGCTTCGATCCCGGCAAAGAGGGCGGTATGGGAGAGATGAGGTGAGTTGCTGTGTGACCGCGAGGCAGGGCGTTTCCGACCTGGTGTTATTTGGTCGTCGGGACCCGGGCTCTCCAGGTCGTCTTGGAACGACTTCTGCGCATGCAGTAGAGCGGCTTGCGTCGAAAGTTGGGTGAGACTGCTACTCGAGTCATGTTCGGCATCAGCCTTGCGAACCATCGTCGAATGCAACGAAGTAATGCGGTCTGATACACCCGGAGGTGCTGGTACTTCCTGCGCGGAAGGCAGGTTTTCACAAGAATTCTCCTCAGTTGAGACTGGTGGCTGTACGGCATTCCCCTTTGAGACACCCGTGTCATCAGCAAACCGAAGACTTTTGGGTCCCTCATCCATGCTAGGCACTGCAGGGGACATGTTACGCTCTTCTATGTGATAGGGAGCAGCAGTCGTATGTCGGTCTTCGGGAATAGAGTCGGCGTGAAGAAGTTCATCTGCAGTACCAACCCTGCTAGGGGACTTTGGCTGGGCTGATTGACTGCATTCGCGGCGCCATCGACGATACTCAAATCGAGGTAATTGAGACGATGAAGAGATAACCCGGAGAGACGGATCTTGGGGTACATCCTTAGCAGACGCGGAAGGTTGCTGGGGAATATTTGCAGCGAGTCGAGTAGACTGTACTGATGTGATCGGAAGATGGTTTTGCGGGTGCATGGTGATGGGTACCGCCTTAGGGGTTCGCAAGCGAGATGGAGACATTTCTGGCCGACGACGCTTGACCTCTGCCTTCCGCGAAGCAACCTTGGTTGTTGGAGAGCTAGGCGGGTCAAGCTTCACAAAGTTCGTTCGCTGACGGTCCTTCTTTAACCAGTCCGGCGCCGTGGGGACAGCAAAGGATGGTTCATCGCCGTCGTCCGCCGACACTTGTCTCGATTTTCTGGGTGAGAGCTGGACCTGTCTCTCTCCTTTGCGTAGTGCAGTGGTAGGTGTCTTTCGATCGGGTTTCAAATGCGATGAAGAGCGTCTCCTTTTTGCCGAGGGACTCGGTGGTACGACAGCAGACTGTCGAGAGAGTCGTGCCTCAACCGACCAGTCCTCGCGGTGCCTGGGGGGCCGCAAGTCTGTTTCTTGTACCACATGGTCTGCATTCTGCCCCTTTGTGGAACGTGTGCTTGTCCCGACCTTCCTGTTCTTCCTCCATGGGTTCACCCAATCCTTGTCAAAGGGTCCGCGAAGAGATGCGGAGAGGATGAAGAGCGGTTTGCCCTGCAGGTAGGACTCAGCCAGCCTCTCGATCCTCTGTCGCTTTGCAGCCCGGGCATCATCGTCCAGCTCATCGTCGGAGCCCAGCACGCCGTCGAGGTCTATGTCATCGATGTCAGAGGCAGGTGGGGGGCAAGTCTCGAGGCTGATCGGAGAGACCGGCCGCGGGTATGGCATCGGGGTGGGATGGTGGGCGGGCTGGGGAGCTGCGGCAGTTGAGCACTGCAGCGAAGCAGCCAAGTGAGATAGCAGCGGTGATGACCGAACGTCATCGCTGGCTGATGAAGAGGGAATCAGATGTGCTGCCTGGACACGAAAAAGCACTTAACGCGCGCGGTTGGATGCCCGGGCAACGGTGCTGACATAACATCCCCTGGATGCGAGGGAACCACTTGTAGGCGGGAAGAGAGACGAACGGACGCATAGTCTTCTTGGTATCAGAAGTTTGGTGGCAGTCATGGCGCTCACAGTGGCGGTAGCAAGTAACTGATATGATATTTGTTGAGTTAGATGGACTGTCTGATTTCTTTGCTTATTATCTCCACCGTGGCCTATTGAGACCGCTTCCCAGGTCGCTTTTGAAGTGCATGTAATAGCTCCTGTCCCGAAGCTGGGCTCAGGACAGACTCCACCTGCATCAGGCAGGCCGTCACTGAACACATCCAGGCAGAATGACACCCTGGCACGGCTCGAGTGGGCGTGCGGTGATAGCTGAGCGGAATCCGATATCTGTAAACAAACTACAAGACACACCCGCCTCCCATGACACGCCCCGACTTCGAAGAGATGCTCTTGCCTTCGCAATGCTCTCCCTTGAGTATTGAGGACAACAGCCTCCCCAGCTCCCTTTTCTTTGTTTTCTTCTCTCTTCCCAGCTCCATCCAAAAATCAAATTAAGTGTACACGCCCATCTCCATCATGCAGATCGCGATTATTTCGCTAATTGTTTCGTTCTTCTTTCTCGGAGTGTTAGTGGCCTCCAGGCTGCTCCTCATCAAGCTGGAATGAGCTAAAGAGTGGAGTCGAGTCTCCAGTACAAATCGTCAGGATGATCTAGGATGCTCTAAAGAGGCAAGGGAAGAGTTCGAAACCAAAAGAGGTATAGAAACCAAGGAGCGCGTGATTATGACGTTATATTGACAACCTCCATTTCGGAGATGTGAGCACTTCTTTCAGATATTTTCACGTTGACAAAGTTTGTTTTCTTGTGGCAAGCCCAAGGCTCACAAGAGCATCATGCCGGACGGGGATTATTATCATGGGGTTGAACAGCCCGACCAGTTTGAGGCGCGAAACAAACGTAAACACGGCCCCACATCCAACCCTTAATAGTTAACCTCCGCAACTCTCTCTCATCCATGTTTGTTGTTTGTTTCATGTCGGTCTCCATCCCGGTTCCCTTTGTTTTGCCCTCGAGTGCGCGTCCCTCTACACGGTCGCGCGCCTAGGTGTGCGACGACAACAATGGCCCAACCTTGGCTCGACAGTCTGTCCGACGACTGGCCCTCGTCCCCGAACTCACCCACAAGTCCTGTACCAGCCAGTCTGCCAGGCACCCCGAGTCGCATTCCAGTGCCTGCACGCCGGCCCGCCGAACAACAATCACCGGCCGACAGCAAAAAGAAGGTTTCGCGACCATGCCATTTCGTCAAAAGGGAGCCCCCGACCCCGAAGTCACCGCGATCTCCCAAAACCCCGAAGCTGCGTTCGCCGGCCCCGACCAAGTCCACCCCCAAGAGCCCCAAACCCACCTCGAAGCCCACCCCGAAGCCCACCCCCGGGGCGGCGGCGACGCGTAGGCAACAGGCGATGGACAACCGATCCCCGCTACGATCGGTGTCGAATGTCTCGAGTCAGTCGGGGACCGTCCAGATCAAGGCCCAAACAAACGCACAGGAAGGTGGAACACCAGAATGGCGCCGGCGACTTCGCGGGGAAATCTCCGGTGCTGATCAACGCGATCTCTTTGCTCCCATGGGCCTGGAGAGCGTGTTCATACCGCCGACACCGGGTTCCGCCAGCGCGCAACAAGACTCAATACCGTTATCGAAACAGGACAACCAGCTGTGGGATTTTACCGACGCGACTTCTCGCCGGGACAGCGTCGTGGAGGAAGGCGAAGAGGAGCAACGCGTGGACAACGAGACGGAATCGCCTCTAGGCACCGTGAACCAGACACTTTGGCCAGAGAAACGCAAGGATCGTGATCCGTCGGGACTATCAGTGGGTGATACGCAGCTCCGGACGGCCAGTGGATTGGAGGACCTCCGTAATGAGGGAATTACTCCCATAACCTTCAGCCGAACGAACACGGTGGGAGGCCAGGCTACGGCAGAGGTGATCAAATCGGCTCTCAAACAGGTCACCAACAAACTCGAGAGCTTATCTATGGAGACTGGCAGCCGCCCTGACTCCCCCGTCAGTGACAGTGGCCTCTTCTATAACCACAGTGAACCACGCCCGGAAAGCTCTCCTCGCGAAGACAGCCTACTGGATGCGACAAGCCATTCTCTCCCACAGGACTTGTCCATGGGTACGGTGGATTTCAGCCGGCGAGGCATCGTGAATCGCGGCTCTTTCCGCCATCGATTCTCTCCTTCGCCCTTTCCTTCCAATCGCCTGTCACCTTCGCTCGCCAACTCCAAGATCCGCAGTTCGCCTCTCTTTACCCGCTCCCAGAACGATCCTCCAACTCTGCCACGACCATCCTCTTCTCACGTACGACCTGCATCACGCGGCACACCACCCACAAGGGACGAAGCTATGCCATCGTCAGGAAGTCCATTGAAGTTGTTTGGAGAGCATGATACATTCACCAACAATAGGTTGCTTCGCCGCATGAGTCAGTTTGAAGAGACCTTTGACGACCTGTCCGATGGTGAGGAGCCACCCTCGCCTTCAGAAGAAGCTCGGCGTAAGGGAGAGAGTCGGAGCTTCTTGAGTGCGCGACATGAGCCATTGAGCGAAATCACCCCGGGGCGAAACGAGCGCCTGGCTTCTCGGAGTGCTCTCAAGGCCCACATCAGCCGTTTTGGGCGCGGGGAGCTGGACAGTTTCGATTTCTCGGACAACAGCCCCTACGAGACAAAATTGGTGTATGATGAAAATGAAGGGTTTGGATCTCGCCCAACCTCACGCAGACAAGCGTCTGGACAGCGGAAGTACCTTCGCCGGGGCTCGCAATCAGAATACCACCGCCTTACCAGATCCAGTAGCTCCAGCTTCACACAAAAACCAACTGCATGGGCCCGACAGAACTTTTTAAACGAGCTACAGCATGCCTCCCGGGCGACGGGCTCGAATCAGAAGGAAAATGTGGCCTTTCCAGAAACCAAGAGAGTCCCCAAGGCTCCCGGAATGGACCCAACTCCAAAACGGCGCCGGACGATATTACGCGATAGTGCAGAGCCCGATCATGCTCACTCAATGGGCGAACATGGCGTGAAGTATGGCGACAGCATGTCCCTCCTACAACGAAGTCTTTTGCAGCATGGCGTGCAATTCGAGAATGGGAACTATCTGGCGCCTCCCGCTCCGGGCCAGTCCACAACACGGCCCAGAACTCCAACCCCCAGCCAGATACGGGCTGGCCAGGAAAGCAGCATATCCGCGACTCGCAATTTTTCGGAACCCCCCTTTGATGAGCTCGACTACTCGGATTCGTTTTCTATGGAGGGAGAAGTCCCACTGGTCAAAGTCACCGGGGCAAGCGATACTTCGCGGAAGGGATCCATCACGACCCAGGATTATCTTAATGAAGCGACTAAGATTATGGATTTGATTCGAGCCAAAGGCCGGCACGCATCTGAATTAACTAGTGTTCAGGAGTCTGACCCGGAGAGTGAGGATGGCGAGCTCAGTTACGATGACGAATCAACCAGAGAAGCGTTTTCTCGGCCTCCTAGCCGTGATGGATCGGATCTACGCAAGATTCGAGAGCCAAAGCAGCTGAACCCTCAAATTTTGAGCCATCTGAAGAAGTATCAAGAGAAAGAGGATCTGGGATATGGTGAATCAGTTGCATCTATCCATATCCACCATGGTCAAGAAAAGCACCAAGGAACAAACACCAACTCTCAGAATTCCTCAATCCGCCGACATTCCCAGGAACAGCGAAAGCGCAAGCCTAGTGGTCCCATCGAGGACGCCGCCGAGAGCATCGCCCACGACCTGATGACCATCAACACACAAATGTCAGGGTTCAGTGTTCGCTCCGTCCCCACTGGTTCGTCACAAAATTCTCAAGCGAAAGGCATGTTGCCATCTGATTTAATTTCTCATTTGATCCCGGAGCAAGTCAATGGGTTCACCTATGACCGGCTGAAGAATCTATGGGTCAAAGAAGATGCCACCGAGCAACCTCTACCACAATCCTCTCGGGGAGACGACAGTGATGACGACCCTTTCAGAAATATTCCGGATTTGAGTGTGGATGAGTTGCAGGAGATGTTGAGAGTTCATGGCCCCGAATCACCTGTGAAAAGCAAGAACCAGTCTCCCCTGGCAAATGCACGCAGTCCAATGGCTGATAAGGTGGCCACTAACGATTTTGAGCTTCGGCCGCAGACGATAGATGGAGAGCTGTCGACCAACGCAAGCACGGTCCAGTCCAGATTCTCTCGACCGACCGTCTCCAGCTTCCCAAACGCCGGGACTAGGGCTACATCGTGGGGCACGGATGATGTCCCAAAGAGAGACCCTTCTGTCGGCAATATGCAGCCATCAGGAAAGCAGACTCGCACGGCAACTATCGGCTTCTCATCTCCTCTTGTTTCACATGTCACGTACGGGGATGGTTTCCATGCTTCGGAGTCGAGCTCTAGCCCAGCGAATCCTACTGGTACGGAGAATACAAGCCAAGCAGATCAACAAAGCTCTGTTGACCAGCCATTCGTTCGACATCCCATCTCCCGAATCGAAGAAGGCAACGAGGACGCAGGCGCTGAATTCAGTCTCATTTGCCGGAACGACTCTCTGGCTGTTCAACAAACACCTGCCAGAGATGCAGTGGAGACTTCCTTGGTTCCCCTGCAAAGCCCGGGTCCGGACACAAGCTACAGTTTCCAGCTCACACCACTGGCGGATTTTTCCGTTAACCAAGCCGATAATCCTCTGAACCTCGAAATGAGCTATGTGGCCCAGCGCACAAACCCGTCATCGTTGCGCCAGATGCACGGCACCTTTGCCCTAGCAACTGAAGACTTGATCAAACACATCACCGATGTGGAGCCGTATGAACCATATTGGGAGCATGTGCGGCGCCTAATTCTCCGAGAAAAAGGACTGATCACGCTGCACAAGCTCAGCGAGTTCTGTCCGCGCCTCGAAGAGCTGGATGTTTCCGAGAACGATATTGGCCAACTGACCGGCGTCCCTGCCAACCTCCGTACGCTCAAAATTGCGCGTAACTGCCTCTCGAATCTCACTCCCTGGGGTCATTTGATGAATCTGCAATACGTGGACGTCTCTGGAAATGACATTGAGACCTTGGACGGCTTCTCCAGCCTGGTCCACCTCCGGGAATTGAAGGCGGATGACAACCAGATTCGCAACATCGACGGAATACTCGACTTGAATGGGCTTTTGAGCCTGAAGCTGAGCAACAACTCCGTGACCGAAGTGGATTTCGAAGGATCTGAATTGTGAGTTACTTTTCTGGGCTTGGCAGTTACGAAGGACATGCTAATCTATTGTTGCGCAGGACTCGTCTTCGGGATCTTGATCTCAGTCACAACTGTTTGACCTCCGTTCACCATATCGAGTGGCTCCCATCCCTTGTCACTCTCGATCTCAGTTCCAATCAGATTCGTCGCCTTGATGCGCCGCCTTCCCTCATCAGCTTGCGCGCGTTGAAACTTTCTGGCAATCGTCTCGAGACTCTGGACTTGGCGGCCTTCCCGTCCGTGAACCTTGTCTACCTGGACCAGAATTGCCTTTCAACAATTGCTGGGCTGGAAAAGTGCCACAACATCGAAGTACTATCTGTTCGCGAACAGACATCAGCTACAGACAGCGTCCCAAGCTTCGAGTTTGATATTGATCTTGGGGTTGTCAAGGACATCCGCAAAGTCTTCTTGTCGTCCAACAAGCTTTCCTCCCACAGCCTCTCGCCATCATCTCCCCTCCTACGGCTGCAGCTGCTTGACATCGCCGCGTGCGCGCTGCAGAACCTCCCCGATGACTTTGCATCAAGCTTCCCTAACGTCAAAGTCCTCAACCTGAACTTCAACTCGGTGACCGAGATCGAGTCACTTGTGGGTATGAACTGTCTCTCCAGGTTACTTGTGTCCGGTAATCGCCTGTCAAGAATGCGAAGAGTGTGTCAAGTATTGAGTCGACTGGGACGAACCGTCAGGGGCAGCGCATGCTCTCTACGAAAACTTGACCTCCGCGGCAATCCCCTTACAGTCGGCTTCTACCCACCCGCGGTCACTGGAAGTGGAAGTGGTCCCAACACCGACCGCAAGAGGCTACAAGCAGACGCGAAGGCAGTTATTCGCCGGTCACAAAACCGCCAAGATCTCTCAGATGCCCTGGCTGATCTCGGGCACGATGACGACCAAATGTCCCATCCAGGCTCTTGGGACCTCGGCACAAAGCCCGATCGGCCCGTCGAGATCGACGACCCCTACACCGTTCCCCCGGCCGACCCACAATCCGACCAAAAGTACCTCTCCCATCTCGACCGACCCACCCGCCTCCGCCGCAGAGTCCTCGAGCTCCTTCTCTACGCCGGAACAAACGGGTCCCTGCATCGACTCGACGGCCTAGATCTGCGACCTTCCCTCGGCGAGGAGTGTCTGGATATGAGTCAAGCGTGGGCGAGGCTTGAGCAGTTGGGCGTTCTGCGGAGGAAGGCCATTACAAACTAAGCATTGTTCCGCTGCGGCACCATGAAGTTTTGCGCCCACCATGTCCAGGATGGACGCCACTCCTGTCTTTCTCTCTGTTTGGCGTTGGGGATTTTGGGAAGCGAGCCATCATTGCATTATTGGAGTTTGCCTATCATTGAAAGTGTGCCCGTGGCATCTAGAATTCCATCCCTTTTACCTCATACCCTCTTGTTTCTAAGCCTCTAGGGCTAAGGATTAGAAGTGTATTTCGTAGAATGAGTCAATAATCTCCCGGTTCCTCCGCGCGGATGTGGAGCCGCGCTCCCCCTGCATGGAAAGCACGAGAGGATGTGGTGAAATACGGTCTCGTCTCAGTGGACCACGTGGCTATCCCTGGTCGATCGGTCAGTCCCTAAATTATTACGTCTCCGGGGTTAATACATAATACGTAATAATCGGCTTTTCATCCTTATAATACTGTGAAGAAGTGGATCATATAATTTTAGGCGGAGGAGAGTGAAGCCCTAACCGAAGGCTTGTAGCACATGATGCACAACGGCTTTTCACGCGAACTAATATTCTCACTCCGAATTCCAGCCCTCAAGTCTCTTGTCCCATCTGAGCCTCTCGTTCCTCCAACGAAGTAGTGATTAAAAGGTTATATCTTAAAATGAAGTCCACTGGCTACCGCACAATGGCGTCACGAAACAGGATATATTGCTTGACGTTGGTATCACTGACCTCCTTATGCATTTCTCACGATGACTAGGAAATGAACATGTAGTTACAGACGAAGGAAACAGGATTCAGACGGGCTCAGGCCCCCGGTTACCGGATACCGCAAATTACTCCAAGACCAGACAGTTCGCTGTACAGTGAAGACCTGGCAGCGGGGGCGGATCAGCTCCGGCTAGGTGGGGCCGGGAGGTTTGGTCCAGGCGCCGCGGATCTGTTTTGGTGGCCATCCAGGGCTACGGTACGCTAGTACGCTACGGGCAGTCCTCCGAAGGGGCCTTGGGACATATGGGACATATGTGCCGGGAGATCGTTCATCAAGTGCACCGGACTGTGCCGAGAAGGAAGATCATGCAGATTAGTCCCACTCTAAGATGACCAATTTCCCTGGATTGTTGACCATGTATGGACACATCTCTGGAACACAGGCCTCCTCCTCGCCGATTTCGAGTCGGCTGTACTGCTCCTGCTTGGGCGTTTTTGCCAAATGGTTTGACGGCGAAACGCTATCTCGGTGACTGAAGCTCGCAGTGGAGAGCGGCACAAACAGGTGCTTGAGAAACGGAGCATCGAGCACACTTGGAAGACAGATATGGTTGCAAAAATTGACAAAGCTTTATTACGGTACACCAGATTACGGCCACCTGGGCTCTTACCAAATCGAGAGTCAATTCTTCCCAATCTTCCCAGTCTTTCCAATTCTTCCCATTCGTCCCATTCTTCCCAGCCCGCACGGATGGTTACCAAATCAACCGAAAGATCTTTTTCAGCAGCCTCCACAATTTGAGAGGGGTCGCTTGATCTATCTAGGAGTGGTTGAGCATAAACGTCTCTACGTCAGTACCAGCTCGTGCTTAGTATCCAATCCCCTAAAAGTGAGTAGGTAGGGGTTAATTCTACGCGTATATAAACAGCTAAATCCAAAGTTTCTCGTTCAAAGCTTCTCATACCCATAAACACCACCTAAAGTGCCAAACGTCTTGCGAAGATGCCCCTCGTGTCAACAGCAATTGCTATCCTCTCCCAGCCATTACTGTGGCTTTTGGAGCTTCTGGGAATTTTGACTGACGATTTTCCCCCGGAGACAGAGGAAACTGATGATGAAATGGTGGGTTTGTCAGTTCGAAGGCTATCTTGATCATCTATGCAAGTCTTTGGTACTGACTGGACAATAAAAGGGACACATCCGCATACCCCATCGACGTGACACTTCCCCCCTCCCAGCTGGACTGAATAGGCGCAAGGGTTATTATTATCATGAGTGAGGCTACTACATGAAGTGAATATACAACGTAAAGCTGACGGTATTTAGTGAATAAATGAAGTTATGACCAACAGAAAGCTGCTTCAGAAAAGTGTTTGGAATTTTTTCATCCTCAGTTATATAGCAACTCTGTATTTTTACTCTCTATATACCTTTAGTTTTTCCCTCCATACACTTCCCCGCCGTGCCCATAATCTCCTACAAAAAATTACCAAGAACAAATTAAAAGACAAGAGCGTGGTGATGCTACATGATAAGTATGTGCGTAAGAGTGGCAAGGGAGGAAATTATTTTCTATAGACTGCCACCAAATGGTTATTGTGTTCTCTCAGCCACCCAGGGGAAAGCGGCTCCGGCTGCCTGGGCTAGACCAGGATGTCCAATCGGCCACCCAGGGGAAAGAGACTCCGCCTGCCAGGGCAAGAGATTTTCCTTCGGCCAGATTGTCCAATCATGCGATGCCATATGTTTGATGGATACCATTAAATCATTTTAATTGAAAGAAGGCAAAGCCTGCAGACCAAACGCGAGCGCCTATCTTACCATTTAAAAACGAGTCTCATCTAACGAAAGACCACCAGGTCTGTTGGATAAATCGTGGCTGGCTGGATCGTTTAGAGATCCAGCCTGATGGAAACTTTTGGACCTAAGAAGATGGTTACTTTTAGCTTACCGCGGAATATGAATAAGCCCGCAGAAATCTGCAAAATTACGCAAAAATTCGCGACCCCCTGTTGCTTATTTTCTTGCTCAACGTCCAATAGCGTGTTCCCCGGACAGAAAACGCTGATCCTCATTTTCTCCTGGTCATGCTATGCGCAGAATTTTCAGCTACTTTATCTCACCCTTTTTTTCTCTCTCTCTGTGTTCCATATTTTATTCATTCTCTTCACGATATCCGTTTTCTCTTACGGCCTGTATCGTCCGAGTGGTTCACAAAAATACAACCCGAAAACAAACAGATACCGGAATGCATCCTATAATACAGTCACATAATTCAAGTTACAAATGACCCTTCGAACTTTTGTAAAGCCTACAGTACGAATTGATACAGAGATAGCAACTTGAAAATACTTGATGTCTTGTGCGAGGCTAATCCTCTATTATCCCAACCCAGCGTCTTGGTATAGTGATGACGCGGCAGTATGATTTACCAACTTTAGAGTTGATGGAGGATATACTTAAGCTTGCTGTACTTTTGCTTCCTTCGACAAAGCCTATCGCTGCATCCGCGCGTCTAGGCAATATATTTGTGACATGTCATCCACTGTGGAGAACGATTGATGTTATACATCGGATCTTCTACCATTGAAGATAAACAGACCGACAACGTTTGCTCTCTGATCAGTTATAAAAGGGGCCGTAGTTGACCCAAGAGATTTGGATTTACGGTTAGCGTGGCAATGGTTGTCCGGCCCGCTCCGCGTCTCCACCAGGCATCCACATCGCAAAGAAGAGCGGATAGTAGCGGTGAATTGATCAAATTCTAACTGTAAGGAAAGTCCAAGGAGAAGTGTTTCCTACAGCGGGAATCTTCTAATACCCCACGCGATGTTGATCCTTGATCTCGTTTAGCCTAAACAATACATCCTACCATGAAATCCGTTTGTGGGGAAAGATAAAGGGCTAAGAAGGTAAACCTAACCTCCGCTGAGGAATGATCGGCCGGGTATTGTGGTTTTACAGGTATGAAGCCGTTGACCCCGCAGATTTTCTCCGCATTTCTCCTGTAGCTTTGGTGGAGATGGAGTTGCTAGTCCATGTGCAATCGCTAATTCTGAGCCGATGGATGCCGACGAACGAGGTGACGATCTGCATTTCGTTAACGGGATATCTCCGATTCACCCGGAAACCCCACCGTCTACGATGGAAGGAGCACGAGGTGCATCGTGAGGGTTGGACCGTGTCGGTCTTTCAGGCTGAAAGATGGGGTCAGAGAGAATGCGTGGGGAGAGAACTATAAGAGGATCGAGCCGAACAGAGAATGCTCGCTTGGTTGATGCACGCCTAGTCCAACGACAAAAGAGGCTGCAGCCACCATGCTACTGACATCCAGACTCGCCCTACTCCTGGGGGCGGCATCGACTGCCGTGGGATATGTTGTTAATAATGGAACCACCTGCTACGTCTACCCCGAATCCTTGACGCATTCTGGCCAGCCGGTCGACGACACCCCCTCAATCTTACAGGCCTTTGAACTGTGCGGCACCAATGGCACCGTCATACTAACTAATCATACCTTCCACGTCGACCAAGTCATGAACACAACCAATCTACTCAACTGCAACGTTGAACTGCACGGTGAGATGGTCTGGAGCACGAATGTGCCATACTGGCTTAGCCACAGCTACTCGGTTGTTTATGCGGACCTGTCCACCGCTTGGTTATTTGGCGGAACCAACGTCACTTTCCGAGGGTTTGGCATGGGGAAGTTCAACGGGAACGGTATGGAGACTCTCTTTGTTCGTATTCTTGTCGAAGCAGAACCATGAACTGATAGTGGGCAGGCCAGGTGTGGTACGATGAGAACCGTAACAACAGCAACCAGCCTGGCCGGCCGATCGGCGTCACCATCTATAATGCAACTAATCTGTATATGGACGGTCTCACCTGGACGGAATCCCAGTTCTGGCATTCTTTTATCTCCTACTCTCAAAACGTTACCATGTCTAATATCTTCATGAAATCGGTCAGTCATGACACTTGGTTCACTGTCAATACCGATGGAGGAGACACCTGGAACTCCAGGGACATATTTTTCTACAACTGGACCGTGCAGGGAGGTAAATACGGGAATAAAATCTTTGTCGATCATGACGCAAGTTAACAAGTCGTTTAGGAGATGACTGCATCGCCATCAAAGGCAACAGTACCAACGTCGTTGCGAAGAATATCACCTGCTACAACACGCATGGTATGCCGATCGGCTCCGTAGGCCAGCTCCCAGGCCACCCGGACTACGTCCAGGATATCGTCTTTGAAGATGTTCACCTCATAAACTCCACCAATGGTGCTTGGATCAAAACGTGGCAAGGTAAAAACCAGGCCATGACGAACAATGGCGATTCCGGCGGCGGCGGCGGCGGATGGGCTAAGAATGTCACCTTCCGCAACTTCCGGATGGAAAATGTTGGACAACCGATCAGCGTGACGCAGTGCGTGTATGGAAATGACCCGAGCATTTGTGACACAAGCCAGGTTCGCAATTCGATTTCTATTCCCCCAATCCCACAATCATTCGCTGACGCGGCAAAACAGTTCCAAATTTCTGATATCACCTGGGAAAATATCACTGGCACGTCGCACTTTGACATCACTTCGTCAATCCACTGTTCAGAGAAGGCACCCTGTTCGGGTCTGACGTTCATCGACGTCGACATCCAGACCGTCAATGCGTCTATGGGCCTGCCGAGCCTGCCATCGCTGAACCTCTGCGCTCACCTGATCGGCTCACGAGACTTGACAGGCATCTCATGCAACGGGTTCGCACCCAACAACCTCCCCAATGTTCTGTATCGAAACTGGCCGGAATTGGCGAACAGCACAATGGTGAGCGTGACCGTGCCAGAAGCACAGAGGGACAACTGTCTCCACCCGGGGCCTGACCCCGCAGCGAGTGGGTGCGATGTCTCAGGTTATCGTGAATGATGACAGTCGTTCCTCGCTTTCTAAATGAAAGAGAAACAAGGAAGAAGGGATTAGACAGTTATATCTCCGCATATATTTGAGAGATTTGAATATCAGGGAATGTTGGTTATAATCTAGTACGGATATTGTCTTATAGCCCGATATGACAGTGAATATCGCGCCCAAGTCCAGGATCGACCACATTAGCAGCCGATTCACACCTGTAAGCTATTCTATTCTTAGAAGTTGGGTATCGACAGCCAACCTGATTTAGGAATAGCGTATCTCAGTTCAGGGTTTTCGAAACAAGACATGGCAGTTGATGGAGAATTCTGTCTTCGAGTATATCAGCCAAAGAGACCAGCTATTGCTGTCCGAGTTCGGTCGAGACACAGCAAACAAGTTCACGGCGTTGAAGACGGGGTTTAAGCCCACAGAACGATCCCGAGTAGGAAAACGGAGGACACGAACGATCGGCTGCCTAGCGACTCCACATCTCGGGACTCGGGAAAGGCGAACAGCGATAAGTCCGATCTTTGAATTTAAATCTCACATTCCATAATACTCTGAAAAGACGAATCGACATTCAAAATCAACATAATGGCTGTTACCGAAATTGCTCTCTTGCGCTTCAAATCACAGGCTCCTTCTTCAGCCGCGAAGTCAGGCCTGCGCCAGGCTAAAGAGGCCCAAGCCGAATGGTCTGGTTATCCAGTCCAGTTCGCTCTCCAGATAGAGGACCCGGCTTTCTTCTATCTTCTTGGGGGTTGGAAATCTGTTGCTACACATAGGGGCGAGTGGGTGCCGTCTGAGATTAACCAGAGGTTGCTGGGGCAGCTGAAAGACGATATCGTTGTAGAGTGGATGTTTCATCTAGAAATTGACGTGAGCAAATCCCACCGCTGGTCTAGTCGGATACAGACTGATAATTTCCAGCCTGCTACATCTACAATTCCTTTAAATGCACCTGTAATCGCCATTAGCAGGTACTTCGTCGAGCCTAGTAAAAAGGCCGACTTTGACAGGGCATTCAAAGCCGGATCGCCTTACCTGGGTACACACACTGCGCCTTTCAGTTACAGCGGTGGATGGCGAATCGATAAAGAAGGTGATAATGAAGAATTTGTTCTTTTTAGCGGATGGAACAAGGTTGAAGATCACTTTGGCTTCGCGGAAACAGAAGGATTCAAAGAATTCGGCAAGATCAAGGACGCAATAAAGGCAGCTGAGATCAAACATGTCTGCCTGGAGAAGTGGGAATGATTCTAGTGTTTGGTTAAGGAAGTAAATACCCGACAGAAAAGTTATAGAGTTATATCTACTGACGCCAAGACGACGGCCGAACATAACGTAACTGACAATGCTTTGTTGGAAATAGTCAAATGGGTATTATGTCTCACATCGTCTGGTGTCGTGAGCACGACATATTGGAGTTTACGTGTTTGCGTCCCAAAAAGTTCAGGAAATCAAAATAAGAAACCCAAAATGTCTCATGAAACTCCGTTATCCTGATTGCAGATCTATATATCCGAGAACGCTGTGCGAGTACCTGTTGATTTCGCCCACTAACATCCAGCTTCTGTCGTTGCCTTTGATCATTCATTCTCCCAACCAAATAACCCTCGACGAAAGCTTCAATGGTGTAGATTCAATCTCCAATCATTCCTATCTGGGTCTGTGACTCTACATGAAGCCTTTAAATTGTACGTGGATTTCACGTAGGTTGAAGGTGTACAAACGAAACGTTGATCACAACCCCTTCTCCCCTACCTCACAAACTGCAACTCCAAGGGCCCACTCAGAACCCAATATCTCTGCTGCAGTGATTCTCGACTCTAAATCGGGATGTAACATCGCGTAAACCACATTGCGGCAACGCTTTTAAATTTCGAACCATTAGATAATTTGCTCATGCTCAGTCTCAGTAGAAAAGATAGCTTACATCTTCAAGAACCAGCATGGGACTATAGCCATCTTTCTCCATGCGACAGTGGAGGTAATCGTCAAAAGATTTGTCAGGATTGGCTCTCTGGGCGCTGCGCCAGAGGAGTTTGCCGGTCCGTAGGATCATATAGATTATGCCGCATGCCCATATATCTCCCGCTTTAATCTCAGAGATATCCTGACGTGCATAGGTGTGGCGGCGAAAGCCACCGCGACCCGAAAATCTCTCGGGGGGAAGATAAGGGACGCTTAACTCTGAAACCCTTCTCCGAATGCACAGATTGGGCTTATAGTTAGAAGCCGGAGCTGAGTTACGGCGGGGTCCCGATAAGGACGAAGTGAGATTAACACCATGCGATAGTTGTGCCAGTTCGCGAACTGCATGCTCGTCTTCCCCAAAACCACCTACCTTCACTGCACCTTGGGCCGTGAGGAGTACATGTTCTGGCCTCATATCACCATGAGCAACATTGTTTTTATGCAAAAATGCCATTGCCCGCAGGATTTGAATAGCCAAGCAGTTTAACTCCTCGGTGGACAACTTCTCCATCCGTTTCCCTTTGTGTGAGAGAAAAGAGTGCAGATTGCCGCCAGCATAATAAGGCATGACAAGACAGAGATTTGTTTGCTTATTATAGAGAATGTCGATGATTGGGACAATATTAGGGTGACATAGTGAGGCGGCTAGACTTTGATTTCGGAGCGAACTAGGCAGCGGAAATACCTTGGTTTGACTGTGGCGAAACACTTTGACTGCATAGAGTTCCCTAACTGTGGTGTATGCAGAAGGCCGCCTCAATCTCGTTAGCATATGGCTTTGCGGAGATTTTGCTGTCGATGAGGTTTGCTCAGAAATCAGTGTTTTCTTTTCGTATAATTGAACGGTATTGGAGTCGTCGTAAAAGAGGACTTTGTTGAATTTCCCATAATCCTCAGCGAACGATGTCTGCAATGCTCCCTCTGCTTTGTCGTTTGTCATCGTTATTTTTTGTGTCTGACCCGGTTCCAAAGAATCCATTCCCGTTTCTTGTGGATGAGAATCAGTCCCAATTCCGGGAGAACCTTGCCCTAACGAGGATATCCTCGAATGAGAACGACCCTCACATTCAGGTGTCAACCATCCCCATCCAGACAAGATGTTGGTTAGACCATCAAAGATGCGAGGGCTCTTGAAATCTTCCGACTCTCCGCCATCTTCTCTTCTCGTATGATGATGAGATGACAAGGGACGAGCAGGAGATTGGACATGCTCGAAAGGATGACGAAGATGAGTATCTTGAGGACTCTCTTTTTGCATTTTTGCCCCTGCGTTCGGCGAATGGAGATTCTCTTTTGATTCTGTTTCAATGCCGTGGACACCACGGGGTCGTCTCCTGATAAATGGGATTGGTTAAAACAAATACATATTGAAGTGCTACTGTGATACGAGCTCCGAAAAGAAAGAGCTGGTCGTCCTAACTACTCGTCTTTCATGTAGATGACGTAACCAGTAATCATCACCTGACTTGAGAGGTTTGTTGGTGAATGTGTGTCCAATTGGAGGGGCGACCCAACTAACTATAAGCTGACTAAGTAAAGTCGAACGTGTGATCACGTGATTTACATGAGGGCAGTGCTCCAACAAGGTTTATGCCGTGGAAGACGCTTTTCAATCACGAAAGTGTGTCGTTCGCATTCTAGAGGAAATCAAAAAGGGAATTCTGAAGAAGCTCAAAGATGGGGAAGAACAGGACATGAGGACATATTTTAAAAGTGTGTTCAACTTTATTGAGCTGGAAAGAACTGGTGTGCGCAACGAAGGTGATGGTGGCAGATCGTTTTAGTGAGGCAATTGTCGTTGGTGGCTTAAATATTGCTTAAATATTCTTATTCTGAAATGCTAAGATAGGTACTGGAGGACCTACTTGTGGAATTTTCAAAGTCCTAGTTCTAAACGAAAAGTGTTGCCTAGAAAAGCGGAAGTACCCATGTGGGTTATCATGCCCTTCAGAAATTTTCATCATTGGATATAGATACTTCAGCTCGAACTCTCCAAGGAGCGTTCTGGCGGTGCAGGTACGCTGTTCTTACCCTGCACAGCGTGCTCATCGAGTTCTTCGCGAAAGGCTACGCGTTTTGGCAGCAAATACATGACATCAACAAAACGAAGGATGCATGTCATGATTATGACCAGAACTAGCAGCGCAAGCGCAGATTGCCAGCCATATTTATAATATGGTGCTTGTGATGCGGGCCAGACAAGAACCTGTGACCAGGCTGAGATAGCATAGTAACCGGCAACCGAGACACCGACAGTCAAAGAGCGAGCCTCTGGATCCTGTGGAATGAGATCAGAGAGCCAGGCGAAGATGAGGGGAGCAGTCCCAAGGCAGATGTAGGAGATAAAATAGGATGCATAGGCAGCAGATAAGGCGACCGAGTCCGGATGAGATGTCCAGATGCTCATGATAATGCACGGTATAATGCCAATAATACCCTGCAGAACGATGAGGGTCCATCGAGTTTCCAGGAAATCAGAAAGCAGTGCCCATATCCAGACAAAGACGACATTGATTGCGGAACCGCCGATTGGGATCGCATTGACTTGCGAGACGCCCCAGGTAGGACTGCCGTCGGGATTCTTGAGTGCCTTCAGGAAAAGCGAAAAGTATACGTATCCATAGGTGCCGAGGACGGTTGCAATGTATAGAATTGCAATAAAGTAAACGACCCAACCAGAAAATGTACGCTTGACACCTGCCCATGTCATGGGCTTGGGCTCGGCGCGGCCGTTTCGTGCCAAACGCTCCATGGACAGCTCCGCATGAATTTTCCTGAACCAGAATGCACGGGGATTGGGCTTGTTGGGGAGGTCGGGGATCATGAAAAACCCAAGAAAACCCCATATAACCGTGATGATTGCATTGATCACAAACAGCCAACGCCACCCAGCGAGTCCGCCGTGGCCATCCATAGTTTCGGAGATGGCGGCCTGCAGAGCCCCAGATAACATCTGGCCAACAGCTTGGCATGAATGGTAGAACCCCATCCGTTTTGCAAGTTCAGTTGGAGTATACCAGTACACTGTATCAGTCAGAACTTCCCTTGGTTGCTGCTCTAAAAGAATCAACAACTTACTAAACAGGGTCATCATCCCGGGCCAGGCACTGCTTTCACAGAGACCCAAGAACACACGGAGAGCATAGACTTGTTTGGCGTTAGTAGTCATGGCGATAAGTCCTGTTAGAACACCCCAGATAATCTCAAGACCAGGTAACCAGAAGCTGGGCCGAACATAAGTCAGGATTATCTGAGATGGGATCAACATGATACAGTATGCAGCATTAAAATAAGTTGTGAAACTATGTTACATGAGTAAAAGCCAACTGTAGCATGTTTCGTGGTCCTTACAGGTTCAACTGATTGCCATATAAGTGGAGGTCCTCCATCATTCCAGAAACATAGGCATTGTTAATATTCTGTTGGTCGAGGTACTTGATGACTGCGAAAATCAGCTCACGCTCTTGGCTGCAATGTCAGCCTGACGTTTCTACCTTGGGAAAGACAACCGAATGTCATGAGAAACATATCCAGGCGGCGAACCAACGCCTTCTCGTCAGGAGAGCGCACATAATCGTCAGCAAGCGCAGTTCGCCTGAACGGTTTGAAAGTGAGCATAGTTATTTGCAAAGAAAGGCTGAAAGATAAATACAGGAAACTCCACGGAAACGGGGACTGGTGCTTGATATACGACTTCCTTCCCGATCAGATGACCAATGTGCAGTAGGCGCCATTATGCGAGTGTCGATCTGAGGGGAAGGTGCCTTTGATAGCTGGCGACACCAATGCCGGCATTCCTTGGCGTGGCGGTGGATTCTTCGGCGAGATTCCGCATTGATACGAAAGGGTCCGGTGCCAGAGTGAAGGTCGAAAGTGGAAGAGTGGACGATAAGATTACGATGAAAGTCCCCGCCCCGATGCCGGCACATTGAGTCACGCTTACCTCTTCTCTTCATATATGTTGCGTCTCAGCCTCGACGGTGACAACTTTGGTTGAATGTCTTATCTTGAATTCTGATCGCTGTTGCCCCAGAAAAATGTCCAACAACTTGCCCTTCTCAACTCCATGTTTGAGCTACTGGCAACGAACAACTCGGGCATTTCCGTACGTGAATGCAAATCAATCTACGGAAGTTCCAACGAAGACCAAATACGTGGTCATCGGCTCTGGAATATCAGGTGGCCTAACAACTTTCGAACTGCTTGAGGCCGGTGTCCAAGGGGAAGATATCATCATCCTTGAAGCGAGAGAGGCTGCAAGTGGCGCCAGTTCTCGGAATGCGGGGCACATTCGACCTGGTATGGCTAGATTCTGGAAGAAAGCAGTGCAAGAGCTATTCTGATCTAACTCCCTTAGATGCTTTCCGAGGATTTAGTGCCTATTCTAAAATTCACGGAGAAGAGCAAGCCCTGAAGATCATCGCCAACGAGCGCTTAGTGCTGGGGAAGGTTGATGAATTTACGAAGAAGCATAACGTTCCGTGCGACTTTAATTTGACAACTACTCTCGAAGTTTGTATGACTCCTGAATTTGCAGAATATTCGGCACGGAATCTGGAAGCATTCAAGCAAGCAGGAGGTGATGCCTCGCATATCAAATTCTACGAAGGCGAAGAAGCACAAACAAAGACGAGAATCAAGGAAGCAGTAGCAGCATACGAGTGGCCGGCGGGATCCAGTCATCCAGCAAAGCTGGCCCATTTCTTACTCCAAGCTGTAATTGCAAAAGGAGTCAAGCTCTTCACGTTTTGTCCGGCGACCGAGATTCGCCGAAATCAATCCGAGTCTGACCTATGGGATGTGCATACGCGTCGAGGAATTGTCACCACAGAAAAGGTCATACACTGCACCAACGCGCACGTTGCTAAGCTTCTACCAAGCCTGGAATCTTATGTTACGCCGAACCGCGCTCAAGCTCATTCCTTGATCCCAACACCGGAGTTTTTGGGAGAGAATGCTCTACAGAATACCTTTTCCCTGCGTTACAGCCTTCACCACTTTTACTCTCTCATCCAGCGACAAGGTGACGGAACCCTCATACTAGGAGTATCACGATCCAATCCAACCCTAAGCGAGGAAACACTCGCCGGCCGCTTCAGTATAGACGACTCCCACTACAACAAGGAGATAGCAGAAGACGCAATCCGCAGCTTTAACGAGATATTTCCAGACTTTTCCTCAGGGGGAATGCTGCATGGCGAGGGCCTGGAGCATGCGTGGACAGGGATTATTGCCATGACCAGTGATTCGGTTCCATTTGTTGGGCGCATTGAATCATTGCCGGGGCAATATATATGTGCTGGGTTCAACGGACATGGTGAGTTGATGTGTACCGAGCCTTGAACTGATATATCTGACGATTGAAGGAATGGCACGCATTTTCACCTGCGCGCCCGGTGTTGCTAAACTCGTGCTTGGAAAACGGTGGAGCGATACTGGTTTACCTGAATGTTTTGAGTTTAGCAAAGATAGACTTGCCAGGGTCTCAGGAGGATGTGTACCGTCGGTTTGGTAAGAAAAGACTATGAATTTGCTTTTGGAGACATGTCGCAAATGTAGTTTGGATTATGGTTCTTTCGCTCGAAATTATATTGTCGTAAATGATACTCAATAGTGGGTCTAAGGATCTACGTACCACCACGGCACATCAACACAGATGCCCAGATCCAGCGCATCGGAACATGTGAACGTGCGACTGAGCCAAATTCCGGGGAGGCTATTGGCCCGTTCGTGCTGTTCCTGGTTCTTAGGGTCTCGGTGGCTGGATACGGCCGGCTTTCGCTCGATCGTTAGTTACATCGACGCTCTGTACAGCCTTGTGGAAGCATCGGTGAGATACGGTATTGCAGGATGGGCTATTGAATCCTGGGCGCGGACATTCGTACTGAGGCTGATGTGGGATTAGCTTTACTTTGACATGAAGAATGCAATTATGTAGATTCTATGCTATCGTGTGCAATCAGAGTCTCATAGATCAATTCGAGACCCCTACCGGGATTGGATTGGATGTGTTGTAGATCAAGGAAACACTCGGATCTTCCTCTCAGGATGTTCAGCCCTTGTCTGTCGTGGTACAAAGGCATGCAGCACAAGACCGGTCGCTAGTATAGGACCAAGAAGTCGTTTGGAAGATAGTCACAGATTCGAGATGTGAAGTCAAAGTTTCGCAGGTATGTAATCGAACGAGCGCACCAGCTTGGTGGTTGCTTTCCGCGTAATACTTTCCATACCGACGAGGCTCAGAGGCAGAAGGCATCCACCGATATGAACAGGTTGTGATGCGTCCATAGGACAGACGGACTTCGGTGTATAATGTGTCGTTTCGCCCGCAACTCCGTTCATTCTGGCACATATTCATAGCGGCGCCAATTCTCAGAAAGCCACCATTGCGCAACATGCGCCGCATCCGTAACCCACTGGACCACCTCTTCAGTGCGCTCCTCACTTAATATCTTGATCAAATTTGAAAGGTCAAATGCCATGATATTATGCAGTTCATGCGGATCAGCATCGACATCAGAGAATCGCCATTCCACATCGGGAACAAGCGGGATCACCAGTCGATATGGATAAGCAGCTGAGCGCAGAGCAAGCCAGGTGCCTCCGCTGTTCATTACGGTGAACTGCCAGTTCTGTTTTTCATCTTTCTGCGGGACCAGATCGCGGATCATGGATTGTCCTTCGTAGAGGGGGAGTAGGTCTTTCAAGGTCTGCATGGACTTGTCGTCGACGGAGGAAGATTCCATGAGAAGGTCGAGGATCGTTGGGAGGATTTGCATGGAAGTGACGCGATCTGTGACTTCGATTGGAGGGAGATGAGGGTGGGCGAAGACCAGGGGAACGTGGAAATTGGAGACATGAGGATTATCGTACGGGGTCACACCTCCATCCTCCGCGAGGGAAATGCCGCTATTGAAGTGCGTTAGTTAATGTAGCGAATCGAATTATAGAATGCGGAAGATCTCACTGGTCACCAGTCATCACGAGAAGAGTCTCGTTGGCGACCCCGGTCTCCTCCAGGATATCCAGGACTTGGCCCAACCATCCATCGACGAATCCAATGGTGTTCAAATACCGATTCAACTTCTCGTTGCTCCCAAATAAGTTCCAACTGACCATCTCTTCAAATTTATTATCCGGCATGGTCCAAGGATGATGCGAAATGCCGGTCAGGTGCGAGATAAATAGCCGCTCGTGCTTCTCCTCAGCGTTGAGGATAGCTTCACGGAAATAGCTGCCCAGTTGATTTTCGGTGTATCCCCAGAAGTTGTACTTTTCTCCCTCAATGCCCTTCTCGGCGAAGTCCTCAGCGAGAGTTTCGGAGGTCACCGAGTCTTCAAAGCCCAACTTCGGCATCAGAAGACCTTGATTATCGTAGTTATCTGTGATAGACTGCATAGACAAAGAACGCCAGGTCCATGAAGTGTAGTCATCGGTTGTGCTGTTGGAATTAGATTGCGCGTTCAACGCACCGAAAATATGCGGCAGGCAGGGCTGGTAAATGTGATGGAGATATTCGCGATTGAAGTCGACGACCAATGGTGCAAGACCACACACAGTGGCAGCAATACTTTTCAGAGTGAATGTACCGCCAGTGTAAGAGTTTGTTGCACGAATGCCACCGTACGGTTGCTGGTGGGGAAAGCGTTCCCATCCTGACTGGACACCAGTCAATCGCTCCGCGGTACGCGTCAGGTTAGCCAATCGTTCCTCCACATCTTCCGGGAGATGATCATGGCTGTAAGTTTTTCGAATGCGATTAGCCATATAGGATTTCTTCCGCAGAGGAAACACATCCGCGCGGGTGCTTTCTAGCTCAAACACGAAGACGTGCTTGATGTTGACGCTGCCATTGTGAAGGGCCTCGCGTAGAGGCTGGAGAATGTCCTCCTTCAGATTGGAAATATGCAGTGGATCTTTGGACGGATCATAGTGGGTGTATCCATCGGGACGACTCGAGTTCGAATACCAGTCTCTGAATCCAGCGAGCTGTTCGGAAGGCAGCCAGTCAAAAGCGGGAGGAGTCCCAAGTGCTGTATGATTGCCGAGCCAAGTGTAGTTACCTGGCAGATCATCAGGCATCTCGATAACCGGGTGATTATCTCGAGGTGTCGAATCTTCGAATGGCGAGATGATCAATGTCTGCGAGAGAAACCAATACGCAGGATCCGATGGGCGAATGAATCGGAGAAGTAAAACCAAGATGGTGCAAAAAAGCACCACTAGGCGAATCAGCAGAGACCAGGGGCCATCGTGCACTTTCTCCCGCATCACCGGCTGAACCGGATTGCGTTCGTCCGAGAGAGATACGGACTCGGTATCACTCTTATCATCCTCATAGACATCGCGGGCCCCATAACTGTCGCCAGCGTCATAGTCGTCACGAGCCACTTGCTCATAGACCTTGGAAACAGCAGGAGACCGGCTTGGCCGGAAGTAGTGGCTAATCCTATTAGGAAAAAAAGACCACAGAATTCGGCAAAACCACCCAACCGCATTGTATGTGTACGGCGTCGTAAACCAGGACGCGGCGATAAACAGGACCTCCACAATCACCAACCCTCCCAGACCGGTCAGCAGTGTTTTGATGGATGCGGCATCGCGGTGGAAGTAGTGTGCTTGTCGCCAATGGATCTCAGCGCCGGTGGAGAAGTAGAAGGAGATGTTCGCAGCAGCCATACAAGAGATGGCGAGACTATGTACACAAGAGGCGAGAATATTAGTAAGTGGTGCGCAACACGTCAGTTCCAGGGTCTCTCATCGATATTTACCTGAGCGGCACAACCACCGCGACCGCCCCGAATCGCATCCATTGAGGCTGAAAATTCCGACAGCAACACCAGCACAAGATGAGAAACAGCGCATCCTGCAGAAAGAGCGTCGGGCCCCATGCCACAAACCGGTCCCAGGGCAGTGAGTGCAGGTGCGAGTAAATATGGAGCAGTTTGGCGGCGACAATGGCGTTAAACAGCAGGGAGAACCAGTACTTGCGCGAGAAGGACCAGTTGAGACGGGAGAATAAACGTGGCAGCCACGAAGGGGTCCTGCAGCCCCGGCCAGCCAGCCTTGTGCAGAGCATGGCGGATCGGGGGAACCGATCGACTCCTCCCGCCGTCAGCTAGCCAATGAATTAAATTGAGAGGAGGGAGGGTAGTCGGTGGTAGAGGGGAAGGAAGATATGGAGAGAACAGGAAGAGAGGAAAGTGCCCAGTGTAATTATTGCAGGACAATAATGGCCACGGAAGACTTGGTGCCAGCTCACGTGGTCCCTTGCCCCCTTTGGTTCAGGATCAGACGCAAGCCGCCTAGACCTAATTACAGCCTTCGGGGAAAACACAGCCGGTTGGTGGCTATGGCTGTCACCTGAGGTCTGCTGCGGCTAGTTACATTGTGAGGCTCAGCGCACAACATGGATCCGAATCTGGCGTCCGACGCTGAAGATCTTGACATCACAAGCGGCACTCCGGGCAGAGGAAACAAAAATAACAAGGGATCCGAAACATACTCCACTTTCCTGGAAACCCTGAACGCCACAGCCCCAAGTGGGGCGGGACGGGGCACGAGAAATCTTTGGTTCTATTAACAGGGCCCAGTCACGGGATGTCGTCAATGATTAAAGCTATGGTATCATCACTTGTATGTGAAAAAGTGGTGCCTGTTCCATCTTCACTCCCCGCTGTCTCGTGCAAGATAAACAACTAACAAAAACTAGAAATCCGTCTCTAGAGTCGCCAGCTGCACCGAGAACGTCTTGCGCACCCACTCCATATACCCTTTCCATTTGTGTAGCTCTCCGGTTGTCTCCGCGCTGGGGTATGCCTTGCTCAATTCTTTAGTGATCTTGAGAATACCCATTGACGCCTCCTGCGCCTTCTCCAGCTCTTGCTTGACCGCGTTATCTTTCGGCTTGAACGACAGGACGGTCATATAGCGCTCCGACAGAGCATCCAAATGTCGCTCGGTCTCCTCGGGTGCCAATGCGATGAGCTTGGAGGTCATCAGATTGCTGACGGCGCGAATATCCTGCTCATCGTCGATTCCGGCGATGACCCGATCGAACAGCTCCGACATGTGAGCATGGGAGAAGGATGTGTCCAGTGATGCGTAGAGGGTTTCGTAGGCGCTCTGGTAAAATAACAATTAGAAAACAATCCCATTCAAAACGACAACGGAATACTCACCTTTCGCAAATCCAGGCCATCATCCACCTTGTGCTTGAAGGGACCCATTTGCACCTCCCGAATAAGCTCTGGCTTGATCCTCGTGTCACCGAAAACAGCTGGTAGAAGCTCGCCAAGGTGCGGGGCAAGCAGGTTCATCTTGTTGTGGATGGCGGAGTTAAGAGTGGTCAATGCAAGTCGATGATTGCCCAGATTGGTATCGCTGAGCATATTGGTCAGGAGCGGCACCATCAACGGCCGGAGGACGGCATTGAATGCATTGCTCGAATCGGCCAGCGTGTAGCGGAAGGCAGAGATAACAACACCACGGATAGCGGGGTCGGGGCTCGAAAGGTGATTCTGCGAAACGTCAGTGGCCAGGGCAACATTAATTTGGGTATGAAGGCTTACTTGGAAGAGGGGAATATAAGCGGCAGGATCAATGAGCGCAAGTCGACCAATACATTCAGCACCCACCGCGCGGTTATCCTCCTCTTCGGAGACGATGAGGAGGGCCTGCCACAATTTGGTGGCGGAGGGCGCCAAATCTGGTCGCACGATCTCTGGGTGCTGAAGAAGCTCGCGGACCGAATGCAGCAACAGGTAGCTCTGCGAGTTCGACTTACTCAGGCCATTCAGAATGATCGGCAGATACGCCTTAACGTTGCCTGCGGCAGCATTACCCAGTGCAGTGGCGGCCGCCAATCGAACTTGATCCCTCGGCGAGGAGAAATGGTTGATGAACAAGTCTGGACTCAACGTGCACTCCGAGCCCATTCGTAAACCAATCTCTCCGAGAATAGCGAGTGCAAGACACTTGCGGCTGTCATCTTGCGCAGTCTCCAGCTCGACCTTGAAGTCGTCCATGGTAACACCAAGATTAGTCCCACCATGCACAAGCAGGGTGCCAACGGCTCGCCCCACGACAGAGGAGTCGCCTGTAATGCCGACGTTTTGCAGAAGACTTTGCATCAGCTGTGTACCAGCGCCCTCATCCCCGATCACCTTCACGAGCAGCAGTAAGGCCTTAAGCACAGTACCGATGAGTGGCTGCTTGACAATCGAGCAGATCGAGGTGATCAGGGATTCGTTGACTAACAAAGCTGCATTTCCGGGGATAATCTTGGCCACGATAATCAATGAAGGGGTGAGGAGGTGGAAATCATGGGCCGCGAGCAGCGGCAGAAGAGCATCTTCCAGAGTCTTCATGGTGTTGGGTTGGAGTTGAGAAAGGGAGTTGGAGTTCATTGACAGACTGCGGAGGGCCTCCAGACAAGCGCCTCTCAACGCACGGTCTGACTTTCGAAGATTGGACGCAAGCTCAAGCGTCACTTCATTCACCCAGTCACTAGGCACGTCCTCGTTTCGGCTGGAAAGAACGATAACATCATCGATGGCGCGGACGGCCGATAGGCGCGTGGTTTCGTTCTTCACTCGGTCCACCAGAACCGTCAAACCGGCTGATCTCTTCTTGTGCGACAGGAAATCAGATCCATGCTCTCCAGAAGTCCGTGCCAAAATAATGCCAAACACGTGAATGGCACGCTGGCGAACCTCCAGATCGGCACTCGTGTCACTAATTCTAGTATGAACAACCTCGTAGAGTTTTTCCAGCTGCATCGCAATATCACGGGCGTTGGTAGAAACACGTGGCGGGGTGAGAGCCTTGACAATCTGCTCGATCGCACCAAGAGCTTCACTGCTCACTTTGTAGTTTCGGTCGTTCACCGCCCCGATGATGCCGGGAACCAAGGCGATCAGGAATGGCAGAAGGGCGTCGGAGACGTGAGTTTCGGCAATGGCAGCTATGAGACCCAGAGTCTCAATCTGGAGGGTGCTTGCGCTCACCGCCGCCCCGGCGTGAGCCGTCGAGCTTCCCGAGAGCGAGGTTTTGAGCGCATCGGCGATGAGGTCTTCGATCTGCTGGAGGTGATCCGCAAGACCTCCATAACGAACCAGTGCCAGGCTCTTCAAGAGAACGATTGCCGCTTGACGCAGGGGCACCGAGGCTTGCTTCCACATTTTCACCAGACTCTGGACGATCAAGGGAACCGAACGGGCCAAATCAGCCTGTGGACCCGACTTGGGAGACGAGGGGACGACGGGAGAGCTGATAGCCGACGATGTACCCACGCCCGGCTCAAAGTCAATCATGCTTGCGTCGCTGTCCTGGCGTCGTCTCTTGCGCGAGTTTTTCGATCCCCCGACTACCTCCAGGAAGCCGTTCGACGTGAGAACCACCGATCCCTCACTGGTCTTCCGCACCAAAGCGGTCAACGTTGAGACGATTTCTAGCTTCACGCTCTCCTCCCTCTCCTTGCTGATGCGCGAGATCAAGGCCGGGGCGATCTGTTGGTAGAGGGACGCGTCATCCAGGGCACGACTGCGGCCGTACGTGGAGATGAGGGTGTAGAGCAGCTTGGCCGCACACCGCCGTACTTTCCAGCTCATGTCATCGATGTCGCTGTAGCCACCCTCTTCTTCAAAGTCCTCGAAGTCGTCGTCGTCCAGGTCGGGCTCTTCGTCGCTGCCGTCGTCCTGGGTGCCTCCCATTTCCTCGTCATCCTCCATTTCAGCCACATTGGGATCGTACTTGAGGAATCGAAGAGCAGCTCGGGTGGTGTTGGCCAGGTACGGCTGCATCTGCTGATTGCACGAGCTGATCAGGGCCTCCAACGTGACCAGGGCGGTCTCACGGAGCTCGTCCGCCTGCGGATCATGATCCTCATCGTGCTCGTAGACGGACATGGTAGTGGGGGCGTGAACGCGGTGCAACACGAGTGGAATGGAAAGTGAAGTTGGCGTTGGAGCTATGGCTGCCCCGCGCTAGTCCCGATCGGGCCGGGGAATATTCCGGTTGGCGCCTCAGGCCTGATTCAGAAAGTCGAGCAGGTCCAGCGAGGAGGATGCTTGGGAGCGTTGTTTGGAGGCCAGTAAGGCCTGGAGTCCACCGTGCTTGCGGGCCTTGGCTCGTTTCTTGCTGCTGACGTTGTCGGCGGCGTTGCTGGATGGCGGATCTGCCGAGTCGGATGTTGCGCGGCTTGTCTGCGGTGATGATGCTCCGACGGGCGTGGTGACTGGAAGATGAGGAGATGCGGTCGCGCGAGGAATTGGCTTGGTCGGCGCTGCTTTCTTATGCGAACTGACCGTGCGCCGACGGCAGCGCAGGCACCGGTAGACGGTCGCACCACCAGACCCGGCGGCTGTCTTTCTCGGCTTGATCTCAGTCTTTTGAGTCCATTGGGCCTGTCGAATGCTGCCACAGGCACCGCAGTAATGTTCTGTCTGGCGAGAGGTCAACGGTTTGGACTCCTCGTAGAGGATCTGGGTGTGTGTCGCCAGCAGATAAGCTGCCGTCGAAGGACTGGATAGGCTCAGCGACTCAGCAGCATCCGCGAGGAATTTGCGCTGGTCAATGGATGTAGACATAGCAGGAGAATATGATAAGGTAGTGAATGGAAGATGCCGGGCAAGTTCCTAGAGAAAAGTGCAGTGGTCGGGCCGGGTCCACCAGTCCCGTCGACTTTCGTTCCTTTTGTTGTTCATCGCAACCAACGTCTTCCTTTCCTCCCACCTGCTCTTCTCTTTCCTTCTCCCCGTCAGCCAACACCCTTCCCCTTCCGTGCTGGGTATCCTTCCATCTTACACAAGTGCGGCGTTCTCGACGCCCGCGCTCTGTTCAGTCTATCTTTCGTTCAGCTTCCCATCTCGGTGACGCTCAAAATCTTAAACCTGCGCAATATCCGCCATGTTGCGAGTCGCAGTGGAAGGCTGTGTACGTCCTGCTTTGCTGATCGCCTCTCCTCTCCCAGTGACTTCCGTTCTAACCTGATGACGGTAGGGCCATGGCAGCCTGCATGAAATCTACGACGAGGTCGAGCGCCAGGCCTCCCTTCGGGGCTGGACTGGTGTGGACGTGGTCATCATCGGTGGGGACTTCCAGGTATGTTTTCCGCTCTCATGACAGAATCACGTTCCTTACCTCAGCACCAGGCGCTGCGCAACTCATACGACGCAGTTTGCATTTCTGTGCCCAACAAGTTCAAGAAGATTGGGGACTTCCATGAGTACTACAGTGGTCATCGGATTGCCCCTTACTTGACCATCTTTGCTGGCGGCAACCATGAAGCCGGTAACTACTTGTTCGAGCTCTACTACGGCGGCTGGGTGGCCCACAACATCTACTACCTTGGTGCTGCCAATGTCATTCGCTGTGGCCCGCTCCGGATTGCCGGCATGTCTGGCATATTCAAGCCATATGACTACAGAAGGCCCCATTTTGAGCGCCTTCCCTACAATCAGGATGACATCCAGTCCATTTATCACATCCGCGAAATTGACGTGCGCAAGCTGCTCCAAATCCGCACTCAGGTGGACGTTGGTCTGTCCCATGACTGGCCTCGAGGCATCGAGCACTTCGGAGACAGCCAGGATTTGTTCAGGCGAAAGAAAGGGTTCGGTGCAGATTCGGCCAGCGGAAGGTTGGGCAGTGCGCCTGCTAGGCAGGTCCTCGATCGTCTTCGCCCCGCTTACTGGTTTTCGGGTCACCTTCATGTCGAGTTTGGGGCGGTCATGTCCCACTGTGGAGATCCCATTCACAAGATCGACCCCGCCGGCCTCCCCGAAGGTGAGCCTGTATCGTGGGCCGTAGAGGTTGAAAATAAGAATGTGAACTCTACGGTGCTGGCCCCTGCATCCGGCAGCATGGACGACCGTGTTGCTGCGTGGAACAATTTTTCCAATCATGCCCAGATGTCTGAGCAAGAGCAGGCACAGAAATCCCTCGAGAGCGCGGAAGGAGAAATGCTGAAAAGCCCTGTTTCAGTCCCTCACGTGGATGCCACATGGAAGAAGGTCGATAGCAAGAGGCAAGTGCTTGCTACGGAACTCTCGCCGGATGTCTTTGGGTCCAAAAAACAGAAGGTCGAGTCTGATACGCCTATCCAGAACAGTGATGAGATCGATCTGGACTTGAGCAGCGATGAAGAGACTGAAATGCACAAGAAACCGACAGTCCCAGCTCCTAACCTGAGCATTGATGGCGCTCTGGATGCTACGTCCGCTTCTCCTCAGCAGGGAACCATGTGGCATGAGGAGCAGTCGCAGGAGGGCCAGCAAACCTCACCTAACGAGTCCTCCATCTTGCCGGATCAGAACTCACCACTGGTGGTAAGTGTGAATGACGACCTTCGAAGCCAGCTTCCAGCCAGCTTCGCTCGACCGCCTCCTCAGGTGAGAAACACCCAGCCTCGCAAGGTCAGTGTGCCCGTGGAAGTTCGCAACACCGTCACCAAGTTCTTGGCGCTTGATAAGCCCCGCAATCGCGATCAGTTTGTTCGAGTGCTCCAACTCAACCCCATTTCAGCCCAAACCAATGTTCAGACCGAGCGTCCATTCCGTCTCCAGTATGACAAAGAGTGGCTGGCAATCACGCGTGTCTTTGCCGACGACCTCCAGCTCGGTGATCCCAATGCCCAAAGCCCCCCAGAGATGGATGAGAGCGATTACAAGAAACGAATTATCGAGGAGGAACAATGGGTCGAGGAGAACATTGTGAAGAAGGGCTTGCTGAACATCCCGGCCAACTTCACCCGGTCTGCTCCGAAGTACGACCCTTCTGTTCCTATCAGCACCACCGAAGCTCCTCCTGAGTACAACAATATCCAGACTGCCGAGTTTTGTGAGCTCGTGGGAATTGAGAACAAATTTTACCTGACCGAAGAGCAACGCCTCGCCCGCGTCGCTGCCGGACCGCGTCCCTGCAGGGAGAGGGCCCCAACATTCAATCAGCGCCGTGGTGGTGGTTATGGAGGTGGCCGTGGCCGTGGCGGTGGTCGCGGTCGTGGCGGCGGTGGTCAGCACCGCGGAGGCCACAACTCTCGTGGTAGGGGTGACCGACATGGTTCTGGGTTTGAGCAGGTGAGTAATGGTGGTGGTACGGAAGTTCACCACCAGGACGTTGCCTGGTAAACCCCCGGTCTTTTTCAATGGCGTTGTGGTGATGGCTCGGAAAAGAAATACCCAATTGCTTGTCCCAGTTTGTTTGTATTGACATTGAATTCTCTTGACTTCTTTGTACGCGCGCGCCTGTAGCCTGTATATAAGCGGGCGAGACGGGTGGGCGACGCACGGGAAGATTGGCTGTATTCTGTATTCTAGCATATCTAGCCTGTGTGGTGACTGACATTTTATGGGAGAAATGAGACATGAGACTGAGTTCAAAGACTCCGCGTATCGTATGTTAGTATCTTCACTCTATCTCCTCAATCCTCGGCCGCTGCCCTCCACTCTGTCCAGCCAAGGGATCAACACTGAGTCCTGCAATCCGATCCCCCAATTCCAACCTCGGCTCACCCGCTTCATCTCCATCTCCAGCCCCGATCCTCCACACCAACGACTTCTCCAGCCAAGCCTCCAGGCTCTCAACCAGCGCGCGAAGATGTCCACGGGTAATACTGTCTGTTTCCCGGCTCTCCACGAAGCCCAGCGTCCGCAGCATGGATGGTATATTACCGATAGTCGATGGGCCACGCGAGGCGTCTTCATGCGAAGAGGGGTAAGGGGATATGTCGTCCGTCAACGAGAATCCAAAGCCGATATCTTTTCCACCGCGTTTCTCGCGGGTCGTGTCCAGTGTCTTCAAGATATCCAGAAGGAGGATTACGCTTGAACGGCGTATAATCCCGCTCTCGGGGGCGGGTTCGAGTGTTAGTGTTGCAAGAGCTAGCTCCACGGATGAGGAGAGGATGTCCGGGCCTAGGCCGATGATATTGCTCTGCACGGCAGATGCAAGGACCGAGAGTGCAGAAGCGCGGATGCGAAGGTCGTCCGGGTCTTCGTCCGATGAGGCGCCCGCTGCCCAGGCTGCGACTATGTTCGCGGCATGGGCGGTTTGCTCGGGGCATTCGGTTTCCGAGTCGTCACCTTCCAAGAGATCCACTTCGGACAACGCGGCAGAAGGCCCAGATGTCATGGACCATCCCTCGGACATGGCGGGTTCTTCTTGTTCTTTCTTTCGCTTCTCCTTTGCAAGTTGTTCGGCCCGACTTCGTTGGGTCTGTGGCTTTCGGCCTCGTCGTCCGCCCACGGCGATCATGCCCTCGCCGAGGATCTTTGCCGTCTCGCCTGCCAGCGCATCGCCCAAATCTTGCACTGTTCGCAGCAAGGCTTCGCCGATCTTCAAGCGCTGATCAAGACTCCGCTGCTCGCTTCTGTCGGCATAGCTGTCTACCAGTGTCTTGACCACCGTTCGTGGATGTCGCGATGCCAGTGTGCCGATTATTTTGATAGCGTTGAGATAGATGAACTCTTCGCTTGCCGCGGACTCGGATGTGTCAGCGATGATAGAGAGAAGAAGTGTCAGGGTCGCGGGGATATCGAGCACGGGAGACGATTTCATGATCAACGTCGACAGAAGAGAGAATCCCTCTGCTTGCACGGGCGGGAGTTCTGAGTTGAGATTAGCTAGCGCTTGGCGATGCGTTTCGAGGTCGGATATATGTGCCGGTGCGGGTTTGGTATCGTCGTGCTCGGGATGTGTGAGCTGAATTTCAAGTAACATGGAGGAAGTCGTCCCGGGCTTTGAGAGGGATGGAGGGAGCAGGGGGATAAGTTGATCCAATTGATCCTTAATCGACTCGAGCAACGGTTTGATTTCTTGCGAGGTAGCGAACTCAGTAGAGGCCAGCACGGTGGACAGCAAGCTGAACGCGGTCGAGAGTGACTCGAAGGATTCATTGTCAGATTGACCCTTCTCCTGGCCCTCTTCCTTGTGGATGATGTTGGCCAGCGAGGAGAGTGACACTTTTCCGGCCCCCTGTGGTCTCAGCTGGGATTTCAGCCTCTGCAGCTCCCCGTTGATGACCTGCTTGATAAGCTCCAGTACTCGAAGAGGGCGGCGTGAGAGCATATCGCGGAAATTGTCGAGCAGCTTCTCCGAGACCTTTGCAACAACCAATCTCTGTATGAGGTTCTCACTGTCACCATCACCCAGCGACGTCTTGGGCGGTTCGTGCATCTGCTGAGTACCGGTGGGATGCACAAGCCAGGACTCGCTCACGTGGAGGAATATATCGCCAGTCCGTTCTTCGCTGCTGGGATCGGAGCCTAGCAAACTGACAAAAAGATCCGTCCGGCTCTGTAGCGAGTCCATCATTTTAATCACATTTGAAGCCTCGTTTCGATTTTCATTCCGTTCTATCAAAGAGACACTGTCGTTTGAGTTTTTGGCGTATGTCCAGGTCGAGCCCCCGTCCCAGAGAAGGTTGTCAACCAGTTTCTTTAAAGGCTGTGCGCCAACTGAGATGCTGAAGTATGTTTGCAGCAGAGCCATGGCCCTCTCGTGAAATATCATCATTCCCTGTTCTTTGCAAAAGCAGGCCAATCCCCAAAGTGGGAGAAGAATGGGGTAGACAACTCTCTTGACCAGGCCGGGATTTGGATGTTGAAGGGCGAGACTTCTCAGTCTGTTAATGGCCAACTCAACTGTGGCACTATCCACAAGTGTGCCCGCAGGCAACTTCCTTTTTGGGGCTTGATGGACAGTACCGTCCGCGTCTGTAAATCGGTTCATCCATTTTGTGGATGAATCCTTAAGCTCCCCAGTCAGACTGGCGAAAAGCGGTTCGACGAAGATAGAATGCCCAATCGTCCCAGTAGCCCCATAAGCTCGCTTTCCGAGAATTCCATTGCCAATGATATATGACGCCGTCTTCTGCAAATCTTGATCACCGCCGTCAATCAAAGCAAGAAGCTGAGGAGCAATGGTCTTGAAGTATAGTGATGGATCAACATCTTGGGGCACTGAGGAAAGAAGCCGTGAGATTTGCATAATGGCCTGAACCGTGATATGAGGCCCGTTAGAGGCTTGGGACTGGGCTTCCTGTCCCAGGGAGGGAGCGAACTGAGCAGCCATGAACATGATGGTCTGGAGCACCCCTCCAGGGCGGAGTGGAACTCGAGAGATTTGGCTGGACACAGTCGACTTGAACCATTGTATGGTGTCCGCTTGTAGGAAACTTGATAGCGTAGGTAGTAAGACAGAGCTTGGGGTCCTTTTCATTGTTACTATTGTACTGTTTTCTTAGAGCAGTGTTGCTACTTACTCATCAATGACCCTTGCAAGTGCTTCCCCGTATCTTTCCTGACTTCGCGAAGATTGGATATTGGGATTAAATGCAAGGTCCGAGAGGCCGCTGATGACATCGCTCAAGATACGGCCTCGAATGACGGGTTGAATGCTCTGGCGTGCATCAAAGAGGATACTGGAAAGCATGTCCATTATCCGGCGTAGAAGGGCCTCGTTGTGAAGACCACTTCTTGCAGGCTCCTGGGCTTGCTTGGCAATCACACCCGCTGGGAGTACGGATATCACTCTCTGCTGCAAGGGAATTCCGACGCCGGATGAAAGAGACGGATAGATTCCCTCAAGGGAGATGAGATCCAATAATGCATGCAACGTTCGCCGCCGTTTTGCATCTTCCATAGCAGGATCTCCACTAGTGTAACCATGATGCTGGGATACGTCAGGATCATCCACAGGCGAGACAAAGGCTACATGGATTCTGGTCAGGATATCCAGTGCCTGACCGATGACGCTTGTCCTGGCGGCGTCATCGTTGACATCCGATCCCACTGAAGATTGTCTCAAGATCTGTATTAGAGATTGACCATGAGATTTTTGAATTTCCTCTGGTCGCTAGTTAGCTTCGGGACAGAAGCTCATGGGGCGTGGGATTTGCATGCCTCGAGCGAGAATAGGGTGTAAGAAGTCATCGGCCGCGACGAACGCATCCCGGATGAGCTTGAGACTTCCCATTATGGATAGATGATATGAAACATGTCGAATATCACACTGAGCAGGACGACTAACTCATTTTGGCAGCTTCAACGGTTTTCCTCATCATCAATCCATTAACGATGATATAATCACAGCCACGTGACCGCGTCAGTCTCGTGACCAGGCGTCGCGCCTTCTTGTTCGGGCATTTGTTTGTCTCCCTCGTTCCCTTCCTCCAACGCCTGTGTTGTTCACTGCCATCGCCTGCTCTTTCTGCGGACAGTCGGTTTTTCTTGTCACACGCGTCCGCTATTGTGATTCTTGTCTCCGACAAGACCTCCATTGGACCCAATCCTTGCTCAGTCGCGTCGGAGCTCCACCACGACCCATGTGGAATTGCAGTCCCTAAGTCTCTTGCCTTCCGAGGCACTTGTACAGCCATACCCTCAGTTTTTCGGCTCTCTCCTATTGCCTTCAATGACAAGCTGCGACATGTCAGTTACAGTGTCGGAGAGAGCGAAAATTAACACCCTAACCCGTGCCTTGGTCGGTTTGTTTTTCAAGACTCGAGTTTTACGGCAATGCATGGCGGGCAGAACAATTAGTGGATTCAGTCTGTGATGGACCGATGAAGCGAAAGGGGTCCGATTTGTCCAGAGCCTTTCGAGGCACAAAAGACGGTGGATTATGCGTCCTAAGAGTTCATACGAACCACGCGTCGGTTCACCAATGCTGGATTTCTCATGCTGGTCACGAGTGGATGGTCGACCTTTGCTACGAACACGGATTTTTCAGGAGAGAAAGTGGGTGGAGCATGTCGGGCACCTCGGTATTAGAGGATGCCTTGGGGAGAGTAACCGGACAGTGCAGCGGAGACTGGTTGGATGCAGCATTCCAGAATCGGATATCCCGGGACATCATCTTGCTTGGCTCAGAGGCTCGGCGCCTTGAACACAATGGCTGCTTCCACACAGTCATGTTGTTGACTTTCAAAGGAATCCACTCGTCGGAGTCATCTTCTGTCTCCCTAAATTTTGCCCAGGCTTTATTCACAGACAAAGATGTCGCGAGGTTTTTTGATTGATCGTGACATGGCTCTTTTGATGTGCCCCCTTGTGGTCCATCAAATTCTTGGCCCATTGTCCCGTTCCGGGTGGCAAGGAGTCCTCTCAAGCAAGATTGAATGTTTTTCGACTTTTGGTTCGTTCGTATCTGTTCCATCGACTCCGTTTGCAAAAAACTGTCTGCCGTCCCGTACATGCTCCCCACCCCGAGATACCTGGATATCTTTCCCCTACTTTCTACCTCTTTGGGTCCTGCTGTTTCTTGCCCTTCGGCAACAAGGCGCCTCGAATCACGGCACTCACCACCGATTCGGCTTCGATTGAAGATCCTGATCGACCGTATTAACCATCTCTTTGCAGAGAAGACTGCAAATAGATTGATGGGCGCCGACTCCAACGACAATGTTCTATTGTCGTTCCTCCCTCGGGAGAAGGAAGCGGTTTTTTCTGGATGTTCTTTGTCCGCTTCATCTCAATGCCCTCCATTTCAATGGAGAGGAAACAAAAACTTGTCCCAGATGGTACTGTACCACACACAAGAGACCGGACCCCGCATCCATTCGGTGTTTTGGTGCTGCTGACGGCGAGATGTGCAAGGCTTGAGGAGATAGATGTGCTTGGAGTTTGATCGAGTCGATTTGACTGTGACAAGACTCGAAATCGACTATCCCAAGAGAGACGTGGAGGGTATCTGATCTATGCAGGCTTCGTTCATTCAGTTATTGCTCAGCTGCCAATTGTTGCTCAGTTGCCATCTCATTTTTTGCCAACCTTGGCTACCCTTTGGTGTCCTTCAAATTTCCGAATGACCGCGGCTGCTCTGGCTGCAGATCGCTAGCTTGTCTCCTCTCGATTGCTTGACTTGCAATGTCTTCATCCTGTTTATTCCGACTAGGGGATTTTGGCTGGTCCTGGGGTATAGCGCTACGCAGGAATGATGTGGGACCTCTCTCGAGTGAGGATCAAAGCCTCGGCTTGTCTATGTCACTTCCTTGCTGCTATGTGCCATTCTCAGCTCAAACTCACGGGACGAGTCAAACGAGGTGGATCAAAGGGCAATGGAGAGACATCCTGCGTTCTTTATGCCTTCAAGGAGCGGCTGACTGATCTTTGGAAATTGGGTTCCGTCGGGTGCTGAGTTGTGCTATTGGGATCTGGCAACAGAACAGTTGGACCGGATGATGGCTGATGAACTGCCGTTTCCTCCGCTCGGTGGATGGAAACGGCCCCCTTTTTTTTTATAAGTCTCTCTATCCCTGTACACCAAGCAATGGCTAACCACCTCCGCAGATCCATGGGTTTTCTTTGTCCATCTCGACTTGGATGGGTGGTATCTAAAAGGAAATGCTGATGTTTTCGACTAAAGTTATGCTAACCCCAGTAAACTGATTTCGAATGATATGTACCGCACTCCTTTAAGAATTAGCGTAGTCACTATCTCAACAACCGCCAATTCTTCTCAGCTGGCCAAATTCCGCGAATTCGCACAAATTGCGTCGTGAAGCTTTCCAACGGAGGCGACGACTCAGCGTCGCGTGACTCTCTGAGTAAACCATACAAGCTGTAACTAAATACATATGTCATTCTCAACTGATAGCCAGTTTCTTCTGCATTTCGGATCTTTTTTCGGATTTTGAAGTGGGTCGCTTGATCCTCTGAACACTGTTGGTGGCAAATGGGTTTGGGGGTCTGTTCTTGACATCTAGCCTCTCCTTTTTGTACACCTGTAAGGATAGTATCAATATCAAGCCCGAGCGAGCGAACTACGTGTCAAGATAGTCAGATGGATTCTCAATGATGTTGAACGAGACCCCTGTCGGCTTATGTGATTACTATCTGAGTAATTTCAGATCGTCACTCAAGAAAGTATGTAATCATGCAGGATGACAGGCAACGACCCTGTCGATCCTTTGGCCCCCGACACCTAACTAGCCCCTTCCTTCAAGTATGAAAATAGGGCCAATAGGGCCAAATGGTCTCGCTCTTCGGAACTGATAATAATGATAAGCATCATCATCAGCTAATAAGTAAAAGCTTCTCCACCCAGATCCGGGGATTTCCATCTAACCTACCTGACTTAACCCAATTTTGACATCTTACATACAAATCTCCCCCTGCAGATAAACCTCCTTCTACACTCGTCACAATGAAAACTCTTAGCCTCGTTCTCGTCGGTGCTATTGCAACCCTTACCAATGCCATTGCCTTGCCAAACCCCGAGGAAGGGCCGGATGCTACCCTGAATAAACGCTGTCTTCCTGGTATGTTGTCTCACTTCTTAGCAGACATCTGAGAAACCCATACACTAACAGTTTCTTTCTTCCAATATGTAGATGGGGGCATTTGCGAATCGAGTTCAGAGTGCTGCAGCGGCCTCTGTCCAGCTTGGGGCGGATTATGCTATGGTGAGGACGGAGGGAGCACCCCCACCCCCAGCACAGGTCCGAATGGGTATTATTATTATTCCTAAGCCACCTGTGAGCTGTATTGTTGGTCATTTGTATACAGTAGGGGTTACTTGGTTGCATTATACACAGAACTTATGTACCAAAAGATCCAGTCTTGTCTTCCTTCTCATCAGGTGTGGCCCTCACAGATTCTTCTTGCCAACGAGCTTGAATGATGGTATTCATCGCCTCCTCCGACGTCAAATAAGTCTTATGGCCCTTGAAAACCCAGAAACCAATTGCAATGACCAACATTACTCCAAAGACAGCAATTGCGTAATTCATGTCACTCGGCGTTGGTGCAGGACTGCCTGGGAAAAAGAAAAAGACCGTGGTTACGATGCAGTATACCACACTGACCCAGTTGATAATAGGCCCGAATTTGCCCAGGGAAAAAGGGCCAGGTGGTAGTCTATCTCGACCAACGCAAAGCAATGTCAAAATTGGGATGCAATATGAGATCGTGAGTGCGATTGTGCTGACGCTGAGAATAGCCTCGAGGACTGTGGTCACACCGAGATAGAGGAACCCGACCACGGCGATCAGGGCTCCCTGGAGCCATAGTGCACGTACTGGCACTTTCCACGTCTGATCAACATGTCCAAAGTATTGACTCCATGGTATACCGCCATCTCGAGCAAATCCCCAGGTCAAGCGCGAGGAAGTCGTCATAATGCTGACCCCTTGACCCAATCCGTTTGCCACGAACATTGCAATAAGGACCGCACCGCCATTTAGACCCACTGTGCTCTGGATGAGCTCAATAAATGGCAACCCTGTTGGTGAGTTCAGGACGCGACCCAGATTTTGAATGCAAAATAGGCAGATCACCATGAAGATGAAGCCGGTAACTGCACCGCATACGACCGACATCCATATGGTTTTGGGAACATTCTTTCGAGGTGCAGGAATCTCTTCAGCCATGTGAATCACGGAGTCGAAGGCCGTCAACCCGTAAGCAGCTTGAACGAGACCAATAAACCAGGTGACTCCATCGCTCCATTCGGTATCGTTAGACCATGTAGCGAACACAAACCGCGCTGGCTGAAATGATAGGTTCGGTTTCGCGGCAACGCAAGCAATCATCACAATACTAATCACCACGAACAGCCCGGCGAACCACAGCCCAATAAAATTGTTGAGGATAGGCAATGTCCGGTCACTGCGACAAGAGACCAGGTTCACTACAGTGAGCATTAACGTCAGGCCGATGTACAACAACAGCTGTACCCAGCCTTCTGTAGCCCCTGACCAATGGATATCGAACATGACCTTCATCCCGAGAATGAAATTCGTCATGAAGGCATTCGCAGATGCGGCGAGAGTCCACCATCCGAATGTATTGATCCAGGCACAAAGATAGGAGGTAAATCGACCAGTAGGGGAATTCCAGAGGCGAAACACCCAATATGCTTGGCCAAGTGCTGTCGGCATACTGCTACAGAGCTCTCCGAGGGACAATGCCACGCAGATATTGCATATCGTGACTAGCAGCAACCCCCAGAGAATCCCAACGGGGCCGCCGTTGGTCAGACCAGTAGCTAGATCTTGTGCAAATGTTCCCCATGTTCCGAGTACGCAGAATCCAAGAGCAAGCATGCTCCAGATGCTGAACTTGCGTGATAGTGCTTGGTCATGGCCAAGGGCAGCGAGATCGTGTGCATCGAGGACGGTCTGATCGATCGAGTCGAGGGGCTTTAAGGGTGGATTTGTTTCCAAATCCATTGGCAATAGATCAAAACAAATATAACAACAAGGTTGGTGTTGTTGTGAGAATGAGAATAGAAAGCTCACAGTCAAGGTCGAGGATACCTAATGATGTATGAGACATTTGTCGCGGGTGCCAGGGGCCAGACAACGTTGGTTTCGGCATCTGTTCCCAGCTCTTCCGCAACGGAAGATAAGATGAGGGGATAAGGAACAGATCATCGCCTCCGTTGGACTCAATTGCAAGATCGGGCGCGATTGTGGATCCAGGAAGCTGCTTCCCCGCGTTTTCCCCAGCCCCTTATCGGGGGGTATCGCCAGAAACTTCTCTTTCGGGTTGGCTTGTCGAGATAGATGCGTTAGTTACGTAAATGTCATGGTATCTATGCCCCCTATACACTACTGTCGACCGTGATACTCCTTCAATTAAAGCAAACCGGCCCCACAGCTGTCATTTGTGATGCTGATGCCTTGTAGCCTGAGGTGTCAATATACAAGCTTCGTCGCGCGTAAGTCGTGGAATTGTTCAATTCTGCAAATCATTTACGTTTTGATGTCTATATATATATGCAAAAACCTTTCCCATAAACGCCACTTGCTTCCCAGTCTATTAGTTTGGTCTTTCGATACTACGTTGGCCATTGTTGATAGCCTTGGTGACCTCATCCAAACATCCCGCGGCAGCAGCGAAGAAGCCGAGGAAGGATCTGCTCGGGTCCAGAACGCGGCTGAGGTATTCGGGGTGGAACTGCACGCCCACGAACCAGGGATGATCGCGGATCTCAATGATCTCCATCCGCTCGCCCTTGGAGTCCTTGCCAACGAATGTCAGTCCGGCCTTCTCAAGTTCCTCGATCATGGCCGGGTTGACCTCATAACGGTGGCGGTGGCGCTCCCCGATCTGCGACACTGACGGTCCATAGAGCGCGCGCAACTTGGACCATTCAGTGCCTTCCTGGAAGATACACGGGTGCTTGCCCAGGCGCATAGTGCCACCGAGCTTCTCCTTGTCGACCTAGTAATTATAGGTCAGCAAGCAGTTCAATAAGTACATAGTCAGCAACCAACCTCCGGCATGAAGACGATAGCATGGTTTTTCGCTCCCGGGTGTAATTCCTCGCTGCCAGGATCTTCGATACCCGCAACATTCATCGCGTATTCGATAACAGCGAGCTGCATGCCGAGGCAAACGCCGAGAAAGGGTATCTTCTTTGTGCGCGCCCAGGTAATCGCCTTCATCTTTCCGGCACTACCTCTAGTGCCAAAGCCACCGCAAACCAATCTGGTGTGGTAATGTCAGTAATAAATTTGGCGTGCCAAGCACTCATGAGGACTCACACTCCATCGGCCGTACAGACAGCATGCCATGCCTTGTGGAACTCGGCTGGCGAATTCTCAAAGGCCTCGTCCTCGAGATGGCCAGAGTCCACCCAAATAATCTCGACCTTCTTGTGGCAGTACATGGATGCATGCTCGAGTGCCTTGGAAACGCTAATATAAGCGTCCTTCAGCGAAGTATACTTGCCGACCAGAGCGATTGACACCGTGTCGAATACATGGTCCTGGCCGCGAGCAAGGTCTACCCAATCCTTCCACATACGGATGCCTTGTTCCATGCGTTCCGCTGGTCGGGGAATGGATTGAAGATTGAGAAGCTCGCTGAGGTTGCCGATCAGATTCTGCTTCTCGAGAAGCATCGGGACGTGGTAAGTCGTAGTCACATTGTGTACAGCGATAACTTGCTTCTGATCCATGGAACACATATTGGCGATCTTCTGGATGGTACCCTCTTCCAAAGGTTGGTCGCAACGACAGGCGATCTGGATGATTGATCAGCCTGGAACTTCATAGCAGGGTTAATAAGTAACATACCAAGTCAGGATTCAGGCCAGCGCTTCGAACATCGCTAATGGCCCTCTGGGTCGGCTTGGTCTTTTGCTCACCACCAGGTCCTGGCCTACGACATTATTAGCTGGGGAAAGTGCCAGTTATAGGCCATATAGACGCACGGGATCATGGGCACGTAGGAGACGTGGATCTGGACGAAATTGCCCTTGCCGGCCCGTCTCTGAAGTTGGCTGATGGCATGAATGAACGGAGCACTCTCGATGTCTCCCACGGTTCCACCTTTACTTATGTGAGACACAAATGACTTGGACTGACTGGAGAATTCACTGGTACTTACCGAGTTCAATGATGCACACATCGGGTTCAGCCCGAGAATCATCGACCGGGATCTTGGCCACCCGCTCGATCCAATCCTGGATGGCATTGGTGACATGGGGCACCACCTGGACGGTCTTGCCTAGATAATGGCCAATTCTTTCATTCCGAATCACCTGGTCATAAATTTTGCCAGTCTGCCAAGTTTGATTCTCGTCAGAAAACAGAACATGGTGCGAACAAGGATCTGGAGAAAGTGCGTACGGTGATGTTGTGATCCCGAGTAAGCGTAGTCAGAAGATAGCGCTCGTAGTTGCCAAGATCAAGGTCCATTTCGCCACCGTCGTCTGTCACATAGACCTCGCCGTGTCTGGATCAATCAGTATATGGGAGACACAATGTCGAAACGCGGGCACTGACTCGGTAGGCGCCATAGTTCCCGCATCGATGTTGATGTATGGGTCGATCTTGATGCTGGTAACCGTAAGACCCGTGGTCTTGAGAAGCAGGCCAGTGCTGGAGGCAATGATGCCTTTGCCCACGCCGGAGATCACACCTAGTGGAGGCTTTTCGTCAGCCTTTGACTCACTAATCGCAGACACTGACTGCGAAGCATGTGGCCCTGTGTGTTCTGCGATTCTGAATAAAATTGGGTATCACACTTACCTCCAGAAACCAGAACGTACTTCATTTTGGCGTGATTGACCGTCCGGAGCAGTTGCGGTGACTGGGGTACAGCAAAATCGAGGACGGCAAAAAGTCGAGAAGAAGCGGGCGACGCGGGTAGAAAAAGTCGTGTCGGGCGCTAGTCCCGATTCGTGTTAATGGGTCATGTGATTGGTTGCCCTTATCTCCGCTCAGACAATAACAACATGGGAGTCGGATTATTCGGGCTCTGTAGACAAGATCTGGGTCGTTCAGGTCTTTGTTTCCAATATTTTTATCACCGTAAATTCATATGGTGGCCGGGATGTCCGATTCTTCCTGGCGAATATAGAAGCGGCCGGGCTCCACTGCCTGCATTTGGCAGAGTGGGTCATCGCAGTAGGTATAGATAGAGTAGAGCGACAGTTGAAAAGAATTTGCTCCAGACCACAATTACTAGAATTATACCAACGAAGATAAACATTATTAGGAAAGACTTGAAACCAGAACTACACCTATGCATCTGATGGTCTTCGATATCTCAATATATATATATCCACTTCAAACACGCTGTACACTGGTTGGCTGCGCCCATGGGAACCCCGCGGAATACAACCATTGTTCCGGTGGGATGGCGCATACCATATGCGCCAATGATTCAGGGACCGTCCAACCATTGAGATCAAATCCATCGAGTCCATCTTCTCGAATATCCATGATAACAGACTGGTCCGTGCTGCCAGCCGTGGTATTCATGATCTCAAATTCCGGCACATTCGGAGTTAGAACTGAGAGTGAAGCTGTCTGATGAGTTTCGCCGACAATTAATGGCTTGAGAATAGAAAACGCATTCCTGCATATTTCGCTGTACGGTGCTTTCTCCTGGAACCGAGCTAGACACCCCTGCACAGCTTCCGACATTAAATGCCTGGACTCCGGCATGGCTTTCTCTTTCCCCAAAAGCACGAGAAGCGTTGACACAGCAAGAAACGCATGGAACGATCCCACGCCGTTAATATACCAGCAGTATGGACGGAACTCTTGCCGGGTGTGTAACGTTTGGTAGTTAGAGAGGATGACCAGGGCGGCCTGCTTACACCGTTTATAGCTCATTTCGATGAACTCATCCCAAAATTCCAGACCAAACAAAGGCCGATGTAGAAGCAAAATCAGGTGATTGGTATAGTTGTCCAAAATAAACGAATGCGCCTGATGGTAGGTAGGAAGTTCGGTCTTTCCTTGAAACTGTGCTGCTTGTTCGTTTTGCTCGGCATTGATTCGGTCATAAAGAGCATGTATTTGGCTGGGGGTTGGGTTCGCAGAGGAGGTCAACTGGCAAATATCAGAAGCTAGGTGATAGAGGCGGAATTTGAACAGGATGTATGACATCTTGGTTGGTTTTTTGGTTCCAGACGAGTACAGATTCGTGGGGGAATGCGATGACAATATCTCCTCATCATCCAAGTCCGCGGGAAGCGGGACCTTATGCTCAAGCTTGAATGGTGTCAGGTTTCCGAGGCATGTGTTTTGAATCGTATAGAGCATCGTCAATGCCGCCCAGGCTCGTCGTCGCTCCTCTGCTTGGATATGATCCACATTCAAAGCAGCCGGGTCGACGTGACACCCTATTGCTATTGCAATGTTCAGGGTTGTTCCTAGGAGTGACCATGCTGGACCATGGGTATGGTTTATTGCATAAACCAAGAGGACCAGACACTGGACAGTGCGTAGGTTGTGCCGCCACATAAAGTTATCTGCGGCCAGACACTTCATGGCAGCAGATCGATATTTCGCAGCCAACGATCTGATGTTTGCTGCGGGTGAAGACTCACGGCCCAGATCTTCTAGGAGCGAATTGTTATCGTCCAGGGCTGTAATAGCAAGTCCCAGAGTCGTAAATAGCAGGCCTAAAAAGGCCAGTGGTGATGAATGTGGATCGTTTTTGAAGGAGACATATGCTGATTGGAATGTAGGATCGTGCAGGATATGGAAAAGCGGCGAGAAGACTTCAAGGAAAATAGACACAAGCTCATCGCATTGTCGAGAAGGTGGAAGCATGTCAAGAAGAGATCGATGAGCGGCGGGCATGTCGGAGAAGAAAAAAGGAAACCCTTCTGGGGCCGGCGGATGTGGTTGGATTGAATCTTGCAAAGAGTCCAATAGGGCGGAGTCGGGAGAGGTGTTATAGGGAATATACCGGACGTGACCCGTTGCAGAGGTAGCTAGTGTACCGAACTGTTGGTGAGGTGGGGTTTGATTGCTAGTTGACATCGACAAGGGCGAAGCAGCAATGTGGCCCGCAGACGAAGGCAGGTTATGATCGGAGACAGGCGACCGCAGACTGTGCAACTGTTGAGAGTTGATTGAGATGGCAGTTAAATCAATATTCTGTTGCAAAAGATCTTCGAGGGTTGAGATGCGTTGCAGCAGGACCTGTTGACCATCATGATTTCGGCTGTCTCGGGTGGCTGGCTCAATATCGCGCTTGAAATGGCAGCTAAGAGCAAATCCACGTTTGCGACATGTGTCACATGGAACACCATATCCTATACAGCGAATTTTCCGTTGTCGACAGTTTTCACAGCTCAGTGGCTGTCTCTTAGTTCCTTCGGAGGGCATGACAAGGAACTGAGTGGGAACGCGGTGTTGGCTCGGATGACCGGGGCTCCTCAAAGCTTTATATAGGGCGAACCAAACAATTGGAACTCCGCATTGTGCGGGGTATATTCCTTCCTTGAAATTTACACAATATTTATAACTAAATCCAGGCTAATGCTGGTGCACATTCTGTATATCCAAGAAGTAGCATTCAAAGTGTGGTGATTTTAAGACTGTTAGTTACAATTGGATTTGGAAGTTGTAATACATAATCAAAGCAGCTTAAAAGGAAGAACCATTAATAACGGCCGCGAAAGTCCAGCTAGATGTTTAGAATGCAGTCTGTGTTTGCCCTCGCATCTCAACACGAGCCATCTCGTTCGTCATCGAATGCACACCGGTCACGTCCTGTGCTGGAATTACATATTCTTTACGACCTGCTTTATGAATGCGGCCGTTGATGATGATAATGTTGAGCAGATCATGCTCCTGCAGAATTGCAATGTTCTGCAAGGGGTTCCCATCTACCACAACACAGTCGGCGTAGTTGCCTTCTTTAATCTGGCCCATCTCGTGGGAGCGCATGAACAGCTTTGCAACCCCGTACGTTGCCGCGATGATGGCCTCATGAGGTGTGAATCCAAAGCGCTCCACGAAGTGGGCGAGATCACGGGCATAGGTACCATGTGGTGTCCAAGCAAAGCCATAGTCTCTATTCCAGTACATTAGACAAGACCAACGATGGATATGTTTTTGATAAATCAAAGCTCACTTACCCTCCGGGTAGAACAACAATTCCTCGCCGGTGCATCTCCCGCATTCCCCGTTCGGCAGTCTCGAGTTCCTTTTGATATCCCACTTGTTCGGCTTTTTCGGTTGAATATCCGAACATAGCGGCGTCTTTGAGGGTTGCAATGATCCAGTTAATCCCGGGCGCAACAATATGCTTAGACTTGTTCCTTTCGAGAGCATCCATTCCTTCTTCGTCAATATAAGAGGCATGATAGATCACATCGACCCCGTGGTCAATACTTTGTTTGATCGAGTCTCGTGCTCGGGCATGCGAGCAGACCCTCTTATTGTGTTTGTGCGCTTCGTCAACACATGCAGCTGTTTCTTCTGGTGTAAAGTAGCACTCTTCTGCATCTCGGATCTCGGTAATCTGGGCGTTCCTAGATTAGTGAAAGCCAAAGGGGCTGGGAGGGACTGCCTACCGACTCTCCAGACATAGAAAGCTTGATTTGATCCACTCCCACTTCAATATGCTCTCGGATTCTGACATCATGTAAGACAAGTGAATGATGTTTGAAAAAGGATCGCTTACACTTTTCGCATTTCTTCAGGGCCGTCTGCAAAAGCAGTGATACCTCCAACAAGTTCGCCTCCTCTGCGAGCCATCTCCATACCATTTGCTAGATACCTTGGCCCTGGAATATCACCTGCATTGATTGCATCTCGAATGACAACATCAAGACGCTTTTTCGCCGAGGCTGCCCCAAAGCACATTGTATATCCAGAATCAAGATAGCACTCTGCGCTCCTAGCAGTAAGGAGAGTATGTTCCTCAACACCAAGATCTCCTAGCGCATCCAAGTCTCCACCATTCCAAGTGAAGTGTGTATGAGCATCACCCATACCGGGCATCAAAGTACGGCCTTTACCATAGAAAACGCGCACATTGGAATCAGCCAGAAGAGCGTCCTTGTCTGGAACGTTTCCTACTCGGGCAAACTTCTGGCCTGGGAGAAATGAAGTGTCAACGTAAGTCTTTTGCATAGAATAGAGTCATAGATTACCAATGATGAGTACGTCGCCACGGTACGGTTCACGACCTGTCGCTTCGATAATCTCTACATCGAGTATAAGGACCGTCGAGTTTGGATTGGTGCCAGCAATTTCGTAGTGCTTCGGCTGAAGGGATGGATCGAAGTGCACCTGTTCAATATAGGCAACATTTCGCGGCGGACCATCGTATTTGTCAAAGGGGTAGCCCGGGGACATCCATGAAAGATTCGCCATAATGTAGTTATGTAGTTATTCAAATTTCTAGAAAGGATTTCAAGAACTGCGCTGGGCAAATATCATCATAATCCTCGGAAGACTTGCTCTCCCATTTGTAATTCATGTAGACAACTGTAGATATCGCGCCGGAGTATTTCCCCGCGAATTTTGAAATGCGGGCGCCAATCGGGACCACTAGGTTTCTGTCCCGGAGCATCCGCGTTTCTCCGCCCCCGGATAATTAAGGCAATCTCAAATCTATACCCGTTGCGTTTTCTTTGCTAAATTTCCTAGGGGTGCCTTTCAAGATGGGTTGGCTCAGTATCCGCCATCAATACCAAAAACCGTGTCCGGTTGAATCGAATGTCAAACCGGCCACTGAGGATGTGCAATCGTGGGTAGAGCACATAGAACATGCTCGCAGCACCCCGTGCAATTTGGAATTCCCGTTCCAGCATGAATCCACGCCTGATCATGCGTTGCCCTTCATTCCCGCCGACCGAGTCCGCGAACAAGCATTTGATACCTGCGGGGATCCGCTTCTCGCCTGGATTGTCATTGACAATATCGTCTACGATTGTACAAACTTTATTCACCAACACCCAGGCGGAGATACCGTTATTCGAAGTTTTGTTGGTGAGGATTGTTCCTGGCAATTCCACCGCTTGCATTCCAGGCAGACTATGGAGGAATATGGCCGGCCCTTGCGTGTTGGACGGACTGAAGGAATACAGAATCGGTTCAAAGAAATACCGAGGTATATTGGATCATCGAAACTGAAGAGCGAGGAGTGGTAGTATAGTTATGTCATTACAAAAATCGAGGTATCTATCATTGTTATATGTTCTTAGAGCAATCCGAATAGCTGCCCACCAGTGTTTATTGCAGATTTGTACTTGACCACAACAATGATAATACTGAAGTGCACAGCGTTTAGCATAACCTTTTCCAAGACAAAAAGGGAGTTAACTAGTCGCACAGCGAGGAACGGATCTTCCGCGCATCTCCGCAATCGACACTATGTGACCACGGCGGATTTGTGCCCGGCGTGAGGGGTAAATGACTCCGCATGGCGCCATCATATTCTCGACATGGATTGCGTAATGTGCGGTGCCATAATTCAAGGTTGAACTTGATATATAGAAAAGTATTCAAGGCGCTTGAACAATTTCCAATTGCCAAACCAAGCATTTCTCATTTACACCATCAAAATGACTACAAACGGCACCAGCTCTGTCAACAGACTTACAAATTATGCTGCCTACCTTGATCCGACTACGAAACGCTCTCGTATCGGCCATCTGGACTTTGAGTCCTCGACAATCACCCCGCTTGCATTTCAGTCGGGGACGGCTCTTACCAATCTATACGAAGTGATTGCTGCTGGAGAAGCCAATACCACTCCTTCCTCCGGAGAAAGCATTCCTCTATCGACTGCAAAGCTTCTTCCTCCAATATCGGGACGCGATGTTCTGGCTGTGGGAAAGAACTACGCAGAGCATGCACGCGAGTTCAATTCTTCGGGCTACGATGCTAGCGACAAGGTTGATCAACCGACACATCCTGTGATCTTCACGAAAAGGGCAACTTCAATAATCGCCAGCGGTGACCCAATCCTCCTTCACCCCGAGTTCACCAGCTCTGTCGATTACGAAGGTGAGATTGGGGTGATAATCGGGAAGTCTGGATTTCAAATCACGGAGAAAGAGGCCATGGATTATGTTTGGGGCTACACCATCGTCAACGATATGACAGCTCGTGAAAGGCAGCGCGATCATAAGCAATTCTTTCTTGGAAAGTCGCCGGATACCTTCTGTCCGATAGGGCCTGTCGCCGTCCCCAAAGGAAGCCTCCCGGAAGATTTGAAGGTGCAGACATTTGTCAACGGTGAAAAGAGACAAGAAGGCACTCTCAAGGACCTCATATTCAGCATCCCAACGCTTATTGCCACTATCAGCAAAGCCCAGACTTTGCAAGCTGGCGACCTGATTGCGACTGGCACTCCTGCTGGTGTTGGGTTTGGGTTCCGACCTATGAAGTTCCTTAAGCCGGGTGACGAGGTTTCTATCAGTGTGACTGGGCTAGGCACTTTGAAAAATAGCATTGCAGCTTCAGACGCCAAAAACACTACCGTCGATAGCCAGGAGCGACATGTCCCGATTTCAAACCAAAAGGCGCCAGCAGGCTCAGGCTTGACCAATATCAATGGAAAAGACCTCTTCTTGCAACACCTGGGCAAGGAGGATGGCCGTCCGATTATCTTTATCCATGGGTTAGGTGGATCATCCACATACTTTTACCCATTGATATCCAAGTTGAAATCCACGAATTCATTGCACCTCCTCGATCTAGAAGGGCACGGGCTTTCGCCAACTTCGGCATTAAGCAACCTCACGATTGAATCTTTTGCCGACGACTTCTACAACATGGCACAAGCTTCATCGGTGAAGACAGGAGCCACCGTCATTGCCCATTCTATGGGCTGCCTCGTGGCCATGAAGCTTGCCTTGCAACACCCTGAGCTAGTTTCAAAGCTTATTCTCATGGGGCCGCCACCCAGTCCTCTTCCTGAAACCGCTAGCAAGGGTACATTTGGTCGAGCTGCGCTCGTTCGTGAGAAAGGAATGCTCGGTGTTGTAGATGCAATTGTTCAGGCAGGAACGTCTGCATTGGTGCAGGCAAAAAAGCCGCTAACAATTGCTGCAGCACGCATGTCACTTCTAGGCCAGGACCCGGAAGGATATGCAAAAGCATGCATGGCACTCGCTCGATCTGTCAATGACAAATTGGACGTCAAGCAATTGAATTGTCCGGCCTTTATTTTGACAGGTGACGAGGACAAGGTTAGCCCGCCGGAGCTTTGCCACAAATATGCCGCAGACATCGCAGACGCGAAAGTGCAAGTGCTAAAAGATGTGGGACATTGGCATTTGTTTGAGGATGTCGAGGGATGTGTTGACTTTGTTCTTGCGAATGTGTGATTGTTTTGAGTAGCCTTGTGAATCGACAGCCCTTCATAAAGTGGGCAAGATCATGACTATAGAGGCAACGAAGTGTCTAGCCAAATCCAATCTCTATTCCAGTACACTGGATTTCAGATTAGCCTGGAAATTTAGACTATACAAGTTTAGACTGATGAGAGGTCTTATTTTACTATATCTAAGTGGCATATAATCTAACTGGCATATACACGAATAATGTTGAGTTGATGAGAAAACGCGTAGACAAACGAACAAAATGAGAGAGCAGAATTGCACATGGCACGATTCACAGTGAAAATATTCCAAATCAATACAGTACTGGAGTGATGAACGATTCCTTTGCTACCGCTTTATCAGCCCTATCAGCCCTACATAATGCTGATTGGGTTCGAACATCTGTTGGACCCTGGATGAGCGAAATGCTTTCATCTGGCGCACTCCCATTTAACATTCAGCTTGCTGATTGGCTATACTAGAGGACTCTGGCCCCGGGGGCCAATCCTGCAATCCTTGTGCCTTCGTTCAATCTACAAGGGCATAGAGTTGAAAAGAGATTTAGTTTCTGTTTTCCCCTCGTTATCAAATCCTTTCTTAACATTAATGTTTCCTTTTTGTATTCACTGCTCTTACTCATTCAGCAACCTTCAAAATGGCAAGACTCAGAGGCAGAAGTCAACGTCTGTGCGTTGGCCCCCGATTTCGACTTGCACGGACACATCCAATTAAGGTAAGGCTGAGAAAAGGTCGGTATTCCACACGCTTATCTTTTGCCCGATATCGAGTAGCCGTAATCTAATCCCTGTAAGCTTCTTGAGTGCCGGTGAACCCGGGTGGTACTGAGGGTTTCAGCCTCGTCGTCTCCTCATTTCCTGGTCAAAGCCTCCCTCGAAGTTTGACGCCCGAAGTTTTCTGCAATAAAATTGGGTTCAAACAACTAGCATTACAAGTGGGCAATCCACGATGCCTCATCTCTATTCAAAAGCAAATAGACCGCCAATTCCAATTGGCATCCCCGACGACTCAGAACCGCGAAATCTCCAAAATCCAGCCACACGGACCTTCGGAAAAAGACTTCGAAACCATGACGCCGAGGGCTCCTGGACCTGGGAAATAGCAGGTGCTTTTCTGAGTGTGGTCTGTATCTGCTTGCTGATAGGCTTTCTGGTCTACATTAATGGCATGGCCTATCTTCGCTGGCAACACTCGATTTCACCCAACACTGTGATCTCGATCCTCACCGGCCTCGCAAAAGCCGCAATGTTGGTCCCCATTTCTACATGTCTCGGCCAGTTCAAGTGGAAGCAGAATATCGGCCAGGAGCAGACACCTGTCCAGCTTTATCACTTCGATATGCTGGACAAAGCTAGTAGAGGCCCGTGGGGTGCTTTGGAGGTACTGTGGCACATGCCAGGGTCTCTACCAATGGCTGGCGCTATTTTGATGATTCTTTCGCTCGCAATAGACCCGTTCTCCCAGCAAATACTCGCGTTCCCCTCACGCGAGGTGGTAGCCAGGAATGAGAGTGCGTCTATTCAAAGCGCTCATGAATATCTTCCTTGGTGGAAAAAACTCAGAAACCAGTTTCATCCAGGACTACAAAGAAAATTTTAACTATGATAACCAATTACCGACCGACCCCACGCTGCAAATTGCGATTTTGAACGGCTTAGCGCAAAGTTACGATCCACTAGAGCCACGGTGCTCTACACCCAACTGCACATTCCCGGACTTTGCGACCTTGGGAGTCTGCTCACATTGTATGGATGTCACCGAAAAGTCGATTCAATCATGCCACTCCTCAAACGGGACTTCCATGGGAATATTCCTCTCAACCCCAATCAATTGTTCATATACGAGCCCGAATGGGCTGCAAATCAAGCCTGATTATCTTTCTATGTCGTCAACCACCGATTCTCTCACTATTTCCCACAAGCCATGGTATTCAAATACAAGTGGCGTGGAATTCTCGAGAGATCCTATATCCAGTGATTTTGTTTCTCTGCTTTCTGCGCAGTACTTCTCTGATACAAACTGGACCTCTGTTAACAGAAACGAGTTTGAACCGAAACCTACCTTGACTGAATGCTCCGTATATCCATGTGAAAAGCAATTCACCAACGTTACGTATCTCAATTCAGATACTGTAGTCCCGAACCCGTCACAAAGTCAACGCCTTGTCCCTGACTCGGGTTGGAGCCTCTCAGACGTCAGTGCTGGAACCGTGACATATCTTCAATACCGTCCCGTCAAGGGCGCCGCGACATATTCGGAGAACTCAAATTATACCATCGACAAGAGCACAATTTCTAACATGATACCATACTTGGCTGACCTATTTAGCGACGATGAGTCAACCGCAGCCTTGATTTTGTCCAATAACAGTCAGAATAGAGTTGCTGAATTATTCGACTCGATGGCCACCAGTATGACCGATCTCATCCGAACTTCGGCCAATAGCATCCGTATTGAAGGAACGGCCTACCGAACAGAAACCTTCATCCATGTCCGCTGGCCATGGATAATATTTCCCATTCTCTTGGTCATGCTCTCCATCGTGCTGTTAATAATCGCTTTTATGATCAACCGCGACCAGCCTGTACTATGGAAATCATCCATATTTCCATTCTTACTTGGTAAATTGGAGTTGAGATCGGATACCAATATCATGAAACTGCGCCGTTTGAATGACCTGCAATCTGAATCCAAGAAAGTCAAGGTGGTTGTTTGCGACCACGACGATGTTCTTTCTTTCATCGACTTTCGTGAGGATCACGAGACTGAGGAGGAATGTAACTACCAATCGAATGTTCCAAAATAATGTTTGATGTGTTGTCATGGCTTCCAATATTTAGTGCGTTGTATTTGCTAGATTTGCCTATAGCATTTTGACTGACAGACCGTGCATCTTTAGAAGGCCATCATAGAAAAAACACTGCTATAGCCGCTAGTATCCCAATATCATCATTCGGCGATCCATATGAACAAAAGTCTTCCGCGGCATGATTCGTTCCAGATACTAGATGAAAATAATGTCTTGAGTTTATGCTAACCAAATCGTTGAAAAATATCGGAGAAGACTTAGACAGCGATTCTTATTGTGGCCCAAGTGCGAGATGTATTCTGTATGGTCGGAATAATGCTTGATTTGTTAGAAAAAGACTAGTGCGTTTCAGATTAGCGTTCGGGAATTAATTCGTGAGAGCATAGTGGTATATCTGATTTCGAATATTGCTGTATTGTTCGCATATTAGACAAAGCTACAAACGCTGGCTCACAACTCTCGATGAACTAGCTCACCACATCCAGACACTGAAGTCTCTGCATCGCCCCGAGCTTGATCCCAGTGAGGGGCAAATGAGCAGCGGTTTAAATTTTCCCAGATATACGATTTACTCCACCCTGCATATGCAAGAGGAGGATAGACATTTTCCCGCCTGGGAAAATTATTCTGTTTATGTATACGGGGTGAGAGTCCCGATGAACAACATGTCATCGAAGTCTAGTTTACCCAATTGTCTTGTTGACAGGAGCTCTATAGATCCCATATTCTATTATATGTCTGCCCCCTGTGAGTGTTGGGAATCTATCTCCCTATCCTCCACAGTGCCCCAGACAACAACCTCCGCCGGGACGGATACTCCGTCCTTCTCCGCTCAACAATTACACTACCGCAAATTGTGATCTCCCAACTACCGAAGCTCAGCATGCAAAAATGCGGGGTATGGAGGATCAGAAAATGAAATTGCTCATTTAATATTATTATAGAGCCCGTGCACGTCCGCTATGATGTATGGCGGAGAGCTCTCGGCGCACGCTATAAACCAACTCACTCGAACTCTCTGGTTTGCACTCGTTTTCAGGAAATCCAGGAAATAGGCCCTACCAAAAATCCCGGATTGATATTCGTTCAAATTTTTGACCATGTCATCAAACAATCTAGCAAATGATGGCTCCAAAGAAGAGGTTGGAACCTCAACAGCTCATTCGCAGCACCTAGAACGCCTTCACACCGCAGGTGGTCATTTAGAGGACCGCACCCAACCAGGATTGCCCGTTTTTCATCGCAAGCTCGCGAATCCTTCACCTTTGGGGCTCATATCGTTTGCTACAGGTACCTTTGGTGTCATCTGTACTTAGATCATGACTGATTGCGGTTAGATATGTTCCTCATATGCTCGTTCGGACTACATGCCAGAGGGATATCCAGTCCAAATGCGATGATGGGAGTCCTGGTATTCTTTGGCGGTATAGGCCAATTCATCGTTGGAATCATGGAATTTGTCGCTGGGAATACGGTATGCTTCCGTCAAACAAGGCACGATGATAGTTCTTGACCACTTGAAAAGTTCGGCGCGACCGTTTTCACCTCTTACGGTGCGTTCAACCTATCCTACGCCATGATATATATTCCAGGATCAGGTATCATGGCCGCCTATACCGATTCGTCAACGGGCGCACTGGTGCCTGAATTTTATCAGGCAGTGTCCATATATCTGTGGGCATGGTTCATGGTAACTGTTCTCTACACTATTGGAGCAATGAGGTCTTCTTGGGTCTTGTTCCTCGACTTAGCTTTCCTGGATCTCAGCCTGCTTCTTCTGGCATGTGGGTTCATGGTCCAGAATGAGAGTGTGCTGAATGCAGGATACGCAGTCGGATATATTGTCAGCTTTTTATCCTGTAAGTTGTGCATCAACGCGGAGACTATCATTACGAATGATTTCTAATACATGTTGGCTTTATACAGACTGGGCTGGATGCGCTGGTCTATGGAGTGGTGGTGTGACTCCTATCAACCTTCCGACATTTGAGATGTATTCGCCTGTGTGAATAGTTCTATCTTGAGTCTTGTCTGAGGAAGCTGCAGGATCTTTGGGTATCCGTAGTGTTAAAGAGGCAATTACCAGATATCGGAAATTTACATCTGAGGGATCAATTGGTCTTATAGTCAATGGAAAATAATTCTATAAACCATCAAGCACAATATTAGGGTGAAATACCCCGATAACACTTCAGCCTAACCTGGTCACAGGTTACGGCTAACTGCGAGGTCTTCAATACTCGCCTCCAAGTCGGACCCCCAACCGCAACAACTTAGAGACAATCCCTACGCGAGGGAAATGGGCTATCCATGTAGTGCTATCACTAACGACTATCTTCATGCTAGCATCAAACGCCCGTAGTAGAGGGTTCTGTCAAGTTGACAAGGAAGCTTGTTAAGATAAGAGGTCGATATCCACTAGCAGAGATGGCCCGTTCTGTGGGTCGTTCACCTGTCAACCCCGAGTTGGCCTTGCACCTCGTGGACGTGATCGATAAAAGAGTCTAGATTGACCGAATGATAAATGAGCGAAATGGTGATTAATGCCTGCTTTATTTACGAAACTGGCCCAGAAGTGAAGGAAAGAGACTGTACGCATGTCTACGCGGCTCGGGAAGTTGTATGCGGGTTCTCGGTTCTTGGCGAGACAATCAGGAGAGATGTCGGTCTTGTCTTCAAATGTAGTTAAGAGAGATAGCTGATCCCACAGATTGATTCGGTGTTATCATCAATAATCTCCATGAAAGTCACTTTTTTCTGAAGCTCTAAAGTACCGGACGATTGTATGGTTTTCATTGTTATTTGAATAACTATGGTCAAGATGCATGTGGAGCAAAGTTGATAGCTAGCTGTGACAGGATATCCTGAAATTATAGAGTCAGAGACCGTACCATGGCAACTCATAGACTGTTTACCATCCATTGCCTTTAGTCCATGCCGCCCGGGGGGTGAACTCGGGAGCATGCCCTTGTAAGCAGCAGGGGAGCCGCATGAATTGGTCGATGCTGCCATATGGTGTTAGATGAGGCGTTCTCTGCAAGGAACGACTTATGCTGAGGCATTTTGCTGCTGTTGGTAGATCGTGATCCATAGCCACTGAAGTAAGACATTCGACTCGAAGGTTGGTGACGTCGTCGCAATGACATGGCTCTCGCAGGTCTAGCGTAGACATGGCTTAACCATCGTACCCTCCTTCGAGCTTAGCAACAAGAAGGGAGTATACCTGTCCAAGCTCACGTCGCAAACGGATTCGCATGAATAGTAACCTTATCAATGCGCAGCGGCTCATAATCTTCGCCCTCCTTAGGCTGAGACACACGAGACTTCTTGTCAACCTTGACATTGGCCTTCTCAAGCTTGGACAACACATCACCACCCTCGTCCTGGGCGCTGAGATTCAAAACCTTCCCGAACACGGTACTGGCCCCATCGAGATGCGGCGCCGGCGCAAAGGTAATGAAGAATTGACTGCCGTTAACGGTTTGTCCCGTTGCATGCTGTGAGCCTGGCGCCGTGCTATCCTTCACAGGTCGCGATGCCATGGAAAGAATCCCGCGCGCATTATGTCGTAGTGCCGGGAGACTGATCTCCTGGTTTAGCGCGGAGGGGTGGTAAATCGAGGTGCCGCCTTTGGGGATTTCGAAGGGGAGGGGCGGTTTCGTTGACGTGGAAGAGGAGTGGGCGGCGGGTCCGAGGGAGATGTCTCCGCCTTGAATCATGAAGCCAGGGACGAGACGGTGGAAGGGCGTGTCGTTGTAGGCGCCGCAGGCGCACAGGGCGAGGAAGTTCTCGACTGTCTTAGGGACGGCTTCGCAGAATAGCTCAACCTTGAGGTCACCTTGAGGCGTGTGGAGCTGTGGAAATAGTCAGTAGCAATTCCAAGAGCATTTTGAAGAGTGGGGTGCTTACTGTAACTGACATCTTGTCCGATTGAGCAGGGTGAAGTGGAAATCGCAAAGTCGCTGGACAAGGTAGTTAGTTATGGATGGATGCTTAGTCACCACTCTATTTACCCTCCTTCAATTCCAACTTAAGCTTCAACGTCATCACAAGAGCAGTCACCATGAATAACCGGCCGGTCGAGCAGGCGCTGGGCACACTGCTGCCCACTCATGCGAATGATCTCCCTCAGGAGCTTCTGAGTCTGGCGCTGTCTCTAGTCGCGCAATCTCGAAGCTTCTCCAGCAGCTTGAAGCCCGAGGAGGAGATCGCTCGGCCCTATGCATGCGCTGAAATCGCTTGCAGGAGGTAAGTCGGCTTTCCCTTTTCATTGGCAGGTCGCTTATTTCTCACAATTGCAGACTGAGTCGTCCTCTCAAACTTCCCCCGCTACTCGGTCACCCACCATGTCCTCCACGCATCTACAAGAAGCTCTATTCGTACCTTGACAAGTCACTCTCCACAAGTTCGAGCGGAATTAAGCGCTCAGCCAGTGTCTCTGTCTCCGGAACGCCGCCTCGCACTGCGTCCGCGCAGACAACCCCTACCAAGGGCTCAACTGTTCGCCAGACCCCTTCGAAGCCGGCTCCCACGCCCCGCGGTCTACAGAACACGCCCTCGAAATCTACGCCATTGAAGAGAAGTGTTAGCGTCGCCAACACACTGGCGTCGCCCTCCAAATCGGCTCGCAAGTCTACTGTATCTCGTCCGAATGGCATTCATGGTTCAACTATTATCCCCGATGCCCCAGATTGGGTGATGACAGGCATCCGCACGGTCTGCAAGACACTATCGACCCCTGCACCTCGCACAAATACGTGGTCTCGACCACCGATTTCCAGAACCCTGCCTCCTCACATCTTTTCCGGCGTTTCCTCCATCCTCTTTTTGACATCGAGCATGTCCAATGATGAAGAAGGAATCAACGAAGAAACCTTAGACTTCCTGGAACCCATTGTGTCGATTCAGGGCAACGAGGATGACTTCCGGGAGCTCGTTTATGCCATGGTCGTGGCCGTATACTTCCTTGTTCTCACTCGACGACGTAACCCACCGCCATCCGAGGAAGACGAGGAACAAGACACTGAAACCCAAAAGATGGACAAGAAGACTTTCAACGAAATGCGTCAGACGGCTCTCACTAGTCTCGGCCTGTCCACGGACCGACGTCACCGCGACGACGTTGACCAGTGGATTGCAGTGATCATGGAGCAAGGCTGGGCTAACGGGCAGGAATGGTTTGAGAACATCCCTTTCTCTGGGGAGCTGAACGGTGAAGATGAAGAGGGCCACTCGTATCAGGATCTTGATGAAGAGGATGCGGTCTTGAGAGGTGTGCGATTGCCCAAACGCCAGAATGCAGCATCTGGTGCTTCTGTCTCTGTTCCGCGCGGTGGTCTTTTACCCGGTCTGGGAACTATGATGCAGGATCGCATCGACTGGTTAAGTGAGGACAAGCAGGAGGGCTTTGTAGAGTGGAAAGCGGACATTCTAGCTCGCATGGATGGCATGCAAAGCACTGCAGCCTGACTCAGGTCCGCAATGGCGCAATGGGGGTCAATAAAGGCGCATAAGGAATTTTCGATACCCAATACAACGGAATGGGATGCATGATTATATTCAAGCCTTGTATTTCAACTCTTAGTTTATCGATGAAACCATCATCATCTATATCTGGTGTCAAGTCTATTTTTTGCAAAATCAGTCTCCAGCGATGCTTCCAGCGCAGCATGGGGCAGATTATATATCTCGATGATGCTGGGCTTTTGTCTTAGTACCAAATACTTCGAGTGCGGTGGTGAGGAATGGTTTCGTTGTGTTCGGCCTCCAGGTTTTTCATCGTATCGTACAAGAAGAAGTCAATGAGGATAGCGTTGATCCCATAGGTCTTTTTTGGCGTTTCGGCGTTTTCTGGTTGTCCTTCGGAGTTCTCGGTGTGGTTATTTTCAGGGTTCTTCGTTGCAGAGTGCGGTTCGTCTTGCTGCGCGGGCTTGCTGTTCCCATTCATCTTGGCTTCCGGGTGTCGTTTCTCGATTTCGCGTTTGATCAACTCCACACACCAGATACTCGCGCCTCGCAACTCAACCTCCCAGGTGGAGCCGGGGGGAAGCGGCTTTCGAGATCGGATGTGACTCTCCAGAGGGGGAGAGAAACGCAGACAGCCCAGCTGGTGCAACATCTGGGGGATGCGGTAGTCTAGAGAACCAGTTAGCTGTGGTTTATTTCGGAGACAGCGGAGTACTTACCTGCAAACATAGTAATCTTGTCAATGTCATGGAACTCTCCAAAGTCCTCGCCATTGAAGCAAGCCCACAAATCCGCTACGAGGATTTGAGCTCGCTTGTAGAACCGTACCCGTCGGCCGTGGAAGACGATCTCGTCTCGGAAACAGGCAAAGTTTTCAGCGAGCAGGTTGACCAGCCCTGCGGCGGAGTAGTTGGCGCTGTCGATGCAATTGGCGAAACTGCCTCCGAACTCCTGCGCTGATCATCAGCACTAAGTAACGGCGATAGAGGCTAAGGAAAACTTACTGTACTGAGGACCTCTCCAGCTTCACGCAGACACTGTACGCGCTCCTGGAATAGAGGGATCTCTTCGTCTGTGGCGGATCGGAATACATGCTTTAGCACTTCCTCGGTGCATTCGGCTTCATCCACCCAAAAGTCCGGATCGGTGATTGGGATGTCTATGCGAGTGTTAGCACCATGCACTTCAACGGAAACGCAAAACAACATACCCTCTTCAAGTGCTCTCTGCAACGCCGCCACCAAACTCCAATACCCCGTCCATCGCTTCCCACGATAGTCAATAGCAAATCGCTTCGCTTCATCAGGCTCCTCGGACCAAAAGCTAAAATTCAACAGATCCATAGTGAAAATAAAATCCACCGTACTCTCATCCTTGGTCTTCGGGTGCAATTCATGCTCCGACCAGGTCTGCGTCGAGTACTCTTTCTTCTGCACCAGCCGCCATATTGTCTCGGCGGCCTCTTTGGTCTGCTGGGGACTCAGGGCCACGTCAATGGCCTCGTCGAAGACGTATTGTGCGCCCTCGAGCACTTTTGTCTCTGCTGGTTGGCCCTTGGAAGGCTCGCTGCCCAGTCCGAGGGATTTGCGCAACAGTTCCAGCAGTTCTGGATCGGCGTCGTCGTCCGACCCTGAGTCAACGTAGGGATCTGCTGCGGGCATTTTTGTTCTTTCTCTCTCTGTCTGTCCAATGGATTGTTCTGTTGATGTGTGGATTAGAGGCGCGGTGTGTCCCTGATATTTCTAGTACTTGAAGGTGACGCGACCCCTGTGTGTGTGTGGAGCAGGGTTCGATCGAGCACCCAACACCGTCCAATCTTGGTCTGAAATGTTGGACTCCCTGCAACAGACTTCTTCTGAGCAAAGAACCCGATATCACAAGAATATCAGGGTGATAAGAGTCTGTCCGGTCTCCGTTGCGGCGAAAATTCGTCTAGATAGAGTCAGTGGTTATGTAATCACAGCGACCGCTGGGTGAACGAGAAAAGATAGAGACCTCGCTGGGTCTTTGGGAGTCGTGGGCCGTGATCATCAGGGAGGATAGATCTGGTCCTGGAGAATGGCTGCGCCCAGCATTGAAGGTGTTGGACCATTTCATCTTGTAGTAGAATAGGTTCCAGTGGTAGTTATGGGTGAAAGTCAGTATTTTGGCTTCATCTCGCCAATAAGAACAATATCCCTGGAGCATCAGCAGAGGAATGAATGCAAGGACCCGAAGACAGCATCAGGGAGGGCAGACAGTCGCAATCGCGCGTGTTTGTTGGGTGTCCAGCCTTGGAAGTGACCCGGACTGAACTGACCTCATCCACCTCGGCGTCCAGTTCCCGGCTGCTCTTCCTTCCTTCCTTTGTCTCTCGCTCTCTCTCTCTCCCTCTCTTTATTTCTATCCTCCCATCCCACCACCACGCCGCTATTTTCTGCGCACTTTGCTTGTCCTCCCCCAGCCTATTTTTCTCAGGGCAATGACTCTCTAACTCCCGGCGATCGTCATCTGCGCCCATCATGCGAGGTAGCTCCGTTAAGCGCTCCCTCGGAGCGGAACTCAACCACAAGATCAAGGAGGTACGCCAATAAGCTGTGCTTTCGCCCATTGAATCGACTACGGCGATCATGATGCTAACCCGGCCCTTCCCGCGCCTCTAGTCGAACGTCCTTCTCGTCGGCGCCGGCGGGATCGGCTGCGAACTGCTCAAGAACCTGCTGCTGACCGGCTTCGGCGAAATCCACATCATCGACCTGGATACCATCGACCTGAGCAATCTCAATCGCCAGTTCCTCTTCCGACACGAGCACATCAAGAAACCCAAGGCTTTGGTACGTCTAGCCGATCGCATATCTTTGACCTCCCGCTTCGTCGGCGCGAAATGCGCGCGTTCCCCGTCGCGTGATAAATGTGATGGTCTGACATCTGTTGGTGTGGCTTCTAGGTTGCAAAGGAAGTTTCGCACAAGTTCCAGCCCGGCGCGAAGCTCGAGGCATACCATGCGAACATTAAGGATGCTCAATTCAATGTGGACTGGTTCAAGCAATTCGACGTGGTCTTCAATGCGCTGGACAATCTCGATGCGCGGCGCCATGTGAATCACATGTGTCTTGCCGCCAATGTGCCGCTGGTTGAGAGCGGGACTACGGGCTTCAACGGGCAGGTTCAGGTTATCCGCAAGGTGCGCAGCGTCGACTATCTGGGCTTCGCAATTTTGCTAACCCCAGCAGGGTGATACCGAATGCTACGAATGCAACCCAAAGGAAACCCCCAAATCATTTGCTGTCTGCACAATCCGGTCTACCCCCAGCCAACCGATCCATTGTATCGTCTGGGCGAAGAGCTACCTATTCTCGTAAGCCCCATTGATAATACCGGTCGTTTCAATTGCTGAAGTGTTCTAGGGAACTGTTTGGAACGAGTGAAAACGAGGCGCCGGAGGTGGACGATACAGAAAACGCGGAGAATGGTTGGTCTGGCGCATCTCCTGTTCAAGCAAAGTCTGACCCTCGAACAGCACAAGAGATCGAGGACCTGCGCAAGGAAGCTCGGGAACTCAATGATATTCGGCAGTCCATGGGCTCAGATGAGTTCCCTCGCAAGGTGTTCGAGAAGGTCTTCCAAAAGGATATCGAGCGGCTACGTGGAATGGAGGATATGTGGAAATCGCGCCAGAAACCGGATGTACTCGAGTTTGAAAACCTAGAGTCGGACTCTTCGTCAATCGAGCCAACCATTTCTTCAACGGACCAGAGAGTGTGGACGCTGGGCGAGAACTTTGTGGTATTCAAAGACAGGTGAGACTTCTCCAACGATGTATTACGTACTTCAACTGACTTTTGGTACAGCCTGAATCGTTTAAGCTGTCGCTTCAAGAAGCTCCAAGAGACTTCAAATGGCAGTGGCTCTCCAACTTTGGAGTTCGACAAGGATGACGAGGACACCCTAGATTTCGTTGCCGCCACTGCTAACTTACGGGCGACTGCATTCCACATCGAGCAAAAGTCCAAGTTCGACACCAAACGTAAGTCGAGTCCCACTGCTTTGGCGAAACAAGATTGACCAGCTCCTAGAAATGGCCGGCAACATTATTCCCGCCATTGCGACGACCAATGCCATGACCGCTGGTCTTTGTGTGTTGCAGGCATTCAAGGTGCTCCAGAACGACCTGGCGAACGCTAAGATGGTGAGAATTCCCGGCCAGCCATCGCAGTTTCAAGTGCTAATCAGCATCTGAAGGTCTTCCTTGAGAGATCTGGCGCTCGCGCAATCAACTCCAACACCGTGAATAAACCAAATCCCGCCTGTACCGTCTGTTCTGTTGCGCGTGGACGAGTAGTTATCGATCCAGCGCGTGCAACGCTTCAGGACCTTGTGGAGGGGGTTCTTCGGCTTGAGTTGGGCTATGGTGAGGAGTTGTCGGTGTTGAATAACTCCGAGGTGATCTATGACCCGGATCTGGAAGACAACCTTGCCAAGAAACTGTCCGACTTCGATCTCAGGAAAGACAGCTTTGTCACGGTCATTGATGATGAAGATGAACCCCGCGTCAACGTTGAGCTGGTTTTCGTGGAAAAGTAGGTCTGACCCTTCGGACAAGCGAGACGTCTTTTGCTGATCACCTCTGTTTAGGACCGAGCCAGCGAGCAAGGCTGCCACGTTAGAGCAGAAATTCGACATCCCCCGGAAGCCTAAGCAAGCTCAACTGCCAATCCTTGGCGACTCTGCGGCCCCCAACGGCACCTCTGTCATCGGCAAGCGCAAGCGCGAGGCTGAAGATGGTGACTTGACGAATGGCCATGCTGCCAAGCGTGTGGCAGGCGAACCCACTTCCAATGGTGACGACTCAGCGCCCATCGTCTTAGAAGAGGATGATGGTCCGCTCTTGATTGACGATGACTGAAAAAAGAAGATAAAGAAATATGCATCCTGGGGTTCATTTTTCAGGGGGCTCAAGCAGGTGCTGTCATTTCCGGAGTTAAGAGGGAGGTTTTACCATTTCTGACACCTGCTGGATTTTGCCTTGTTTCTTTTCTTCTCTGTATCATATCACATCCAAATGCATTACCTATTCAATTATAGGAATTATGATTTACCTGCATGGGAGGAGATGCGATAACGCAGATGGTTCACCGTCACTAGAAGTACAAATTTGAATGATTATTTACATGCCGCACCAACCAACGTTTTCTATCGGGCCGCCCAGCAATGATCACACAGCACTCAGCCCCCCGTCCAGGTTGAGCACACAATTATTGGCATACTCATTCTGCGCCAGGAAAACCGCCGCGTCCGCCACCTCGGACGGATCCCCGAATCGATGCAGGGGGATGAGATCCTTGAGTCGGGAGATTTCTCCGGGTGTGAAATCTGCGAATGTCAATATTAGCCTGTGCCGTATATATAACTAGTATGCAAAACTAACCAGCAAGCATCGGGGTATCAATATACCCCGGCACAATAGCATTAGAGCGAAAAGCCAGGTCCTTCAACGACGCCGACGTCTCGACAGCTACTGAGCGCGTGAGACCCAGAAGACCCGCTTTGGATGCCGCGTACGGCACGGCGCCGGTTCCGCTCTTCAGTGCAAGGAGGGAGGAGACGTTAATTATACATTTTGAGGCCGGTTTCTTGGTCTCTGTTGGGTCGTTACGGTTGCTGCGCACTCGGCTGCGGATGGAGGCGCGCAGAAATGCGCGCGAGGTGAGGATTGCGCCTTCGAGGTTGGTGCGCAGAATTCGGGATATATCGGAGAGTTCTGTTCTGGGGAGGATGCTGGAGGTGGAGATCCCTGCTGCGTTGATGAGGATGTCGATGTTGCCCTGTGAGAGTTTGGCAGATTAGCATATCGTCTAGATAGATCGTACGACAGAAGAGTCAATCCTACCATCTCGCTCTCTAGTTCGCGCATCCATGATCCTGTCTCTGAAATGTCCCCAACAAGCAGTCGAATCCGATCAGAGACTTGGAGCGTGCCGTTACTGCCAACGAAAGAATCTTCTTGGCTATCCTCCTCCGGAGCCCGAGTTGCGACCTCGCCGTTCTCCTCACTTCTCTCTGGTGCCGTGCCATTCGAGGATCCCAAGCGCTCCGCTGCCTCCAGCAGACGTTTCTGCGATCGGCCCACAAGAGTAACTGTCGCCGCACCCTCTTGTAGAAAGCGCGCTGCAATCGCGAATCCAATTCCCGATGTCCCGCCAGTGATCATGCATCGTCGGCCGGAGAGGCGAGGGGCTGGTGTGAAGGACGCTGTGGCATTGTCGTCTCTAGAAAGGGACGATGAGAATGCCCGGACCAGTCCTGGGCTTCGCCGGTCGATTCGAAGAGCGCGTAGTCGAATACATGCAGTCATTGTCGGAGCTGAGTGCCAGAACGCGGCGCGTCTCCGTTCTTATCGGTTATCGCAGCACAGACCAGTTTTGATCTCATTCATCTCTCTTTCTTTCTCTGTCTCTCTCCAGCTTCATCACCCACACTGACAACTGTGACCATGACGGAGCAGTCAGAGTACGTGACTCTCGTGTCCTACGATGGATTCGAATATATCCTCCCGCGCAGCGCGGCGTGTATCTCAGGCACCATCCGACGCATGCTCGATCCCTCCAGTACGATCGATCACAGTCCCTGCAAGACCCAGGCAAGAATGCAATACTAACCCGCTTGTAGGCAAGTTCTCCGAGGCTCTGACGGGACGATGTGTGCTAGAAAATATGACGTATGTTTTGCTTCAGTTCGGTCTAGGTCCCCATTTACCTAACTAACACGGTGCAGTGGAATCGTTCTCGAGAAAGTCTGCGAATACTTCCTGTACAACGAGAAACATAAAGACCAAACCAACGTTCCGGACATGGAGATCCCACCGGAACTGTGCCTGGAGTTGCTGATGGCGGCGGATTATCTGGATACGTGATTGTATGTGGTCCAAGATGGCTTACTTGTGGTCTTGCTAATTGATGGAACAGTCCATAAACTCCTATCGACGATGAATGACGGTGTAATGTTTTGATTATTTGTTCTCTTTGGCTCAATTGAAGTCTAGGGAGTTTGCGTCTGGCGTTCGTCGGGTATGTATAGTTCTGGAATGAATCGATCTTCTCTTCTTTTCCCGTCTGTTCTTTTCGTGAAGACCATCTCAGCATTATGCACTCGCTCTCATCCATAGCGGAGTGCTCTAAAATGGATGGCAGATCATTATACTCCCTCTTAATTTTGGCCCCCCATCATCCTGTGGTGCCGGGGGCTTTATTCCAAGGGAGACATGTCTTACCCCGGGGGCGCTCGGAGGAACCGCCTGTTACACAATCAGGGAGTTTGGATTTTATTTTATCTTTGTCAATTAGTCAGTCTCAATATCATGGCCATCCTGGTGGAATCAACAATTCATCTGCCGTTCGCGATAGTTCTCTAGTTAGACCTCGGCCTCATCAGGATGAGTCAGCACGGAATCAGTAGCCGGGCATTGATAGACTCACTTTCTGACTTGTCTACTTCCCATCCACCATCCTCTTGGTTTCTGGGATGCTGTTCACAGGAGCTCTGCTCGCTGTGCCCTCAGTTGTGTTCTCTGCGTCTCTTTCCTTGGTTTCCAATTGATCCGCTTCTCTTTTGATCTATCCCAAAGCAGCGCGGGGGCTGCCCGACCGATTGCATCTTCCCCAGATCATCGGATGCTCGGGGACCACAGCACAGGCACCAGCTCACCATGTCTGGCATTATTGGTCCCTCAACCAGCCCGAGCACCTCCGCCGCTCCGCTCGTGCATCAGCTGAACGCTACCGCCTCCGGCTCCCTGCTTCCGTCTTCAGTCCGCGACGTCGTCCTGTTTCCCCTTCGAGTCCTTTACCGCGCAGAAACATTTGCTTTCCGTACCGTCCCCCGAAACATTGCCAGACTTGCTGGGCTTGAACACCTGGGTACAAGTCTTTGGGGTGCTGCAACGGTGGGCGAGACGGGGTTGGCAGACGGCGCTGCGGCTGCGGCGACACGCGGTGCTGCGGATATGGCTGGCGAGGGAGTTGCCGATGCGGTAGCTCGAGGTGGAGGGCTCCATTTTAGTGATTTGCTGCAGACTATGAGGAAGCTCGGCGGATTCTTCTCCTATCTGACGAGTCTTTGGTCGTTTGCCTGTTTGATCGAGGTGAGCATTTGTCTCTGCAATTTATGGGTGGGTTCTAACGATATATAAGGCTCTTGTACTGAACCGCATTGCCATTTACGCATCTACACGGCGACATCTCCGCCTGGGTTGGGAACGACGATTGGCCTTGCGCATAATTCCCATCATTCTTTTCGTGACGCAGATCCTCGTCCTGCTCCGGGGCATTCGATGCCAGACATCCCCCGATTACGGGGCAATGCGCTATAGAAAGCCCGGGAAGCAGCTGATTTTCGACTATGCAGGTGGCGGCGGCGCCCTGTACTCACTGAGCTCAAAGCTCTTAAGCTGGGAATCCGACCAGCAGTCTTGCAGCGCAGTCAAGATGGGCCGCGTGGGTAGCTCTTCAGAAATTCCCTATGGCTCCTACTCTATCTTGTGGCCGGTTTTCATGGTACTTTGCCTTAGCCACTTTGTCGAAACGCTGTCGTGTGCCTTGCAGGGCAGAGCTGTGTTGACCGAGGCAGGCATGTCCATCTTTGAGCATTCACTCGCCTTTGCAGAGGCCGAGTCCATGATCAGCAAATCTATCGGCCTTGGTCTATTCGGTCTGCCGAAGCAAAATCCTCTCAATGAAGGCGGATCCGCCGAGTCTCCCTCGCCGCTCCAAATGCTCACACGATCTCAGGTTCTGGAACGAATGAACGTCACACCGGAGTTACTTCTCATCGCCTTAATATCTTGTTCTAATAGTCTGACTTCTCACGTCCTCGATGTCTTCGGCAAGCAGAGTAATTATCGTCTGCTCAATACCGCTTTCTGGGGATTTTGTTTCATGGCTGCTATGGTCTGGGGCTTCTATAGCGGGTCGCCCGTGAACAATGAGACGGGAGTTCTTAGGTTTCCAACCGTCTGCAGCGTCGGATTCGTCCCACACATGCTTGTTCTAGCCGGCATCGTGACGTGTCTTGCGATCTACGGACTGGCGCTGGTCATCACTGCATTCTCATTGGATGTGGAAGATTCCCAAACATTGACGCTGCGCGAGAGATTTTCGTTGGCTCACGAGAACATGCAAGGTTCGAATCAGATCCGCAGCATCCGCATCAACCGGCATGACGACTTCTACACAACATTGCTCCGTATTGGCTACGTTGCCTTGACAGCCGCCAGCGAAGCAGTGTTCTTGAATGAGGGGAAGACGGTTATTGCACGGCCAATGACGTGGCTAGAAGAAGACCGACTCGCAGAAATTGAGGCTTCTCGACAGAAAAGCTCTTCCTATGGCAACTGGCCAAATCAAGCTGATGGTGGGCCGCCATTTGACGCTGCGGGCTTCGCAAGCTTCGACGTCCCGCAAGCGCCCTCGGCATGGGAGAGTGGCTACAACAAGGAAAGAAAGATCGAAAAGCCAAAGAGCGGTTCCCGATCAATGCGGTCTCAGGCTGAACTTGGCGGTGTAGGCGCTGTGCGTGGCGCAGTTCGGTGTGCTCATGGGATTTCGTTCTTCCGCGCCATATTCATGCTTCTGGGTCATTGGATTGCCTACTGGCTTAGTCGATTGCTTGATCGACTGGGGATCAACACTCGCCCGCGGTGGCTAAAACGTTCGGCTGGATCACGCCAGTTCAAGCCCGGGACCGGGGATGTGGCTCATTTGGAATCTTTGGATTTCTGGATACTTACAGAAGACGGGGAGCTCGAACTCCCAGAAGACCACGAGTTTGATGTCGAGCTGGAAATGAGAAAGCGAGAGCGCTCTGGCCGGAATCAGTGGGAAGGGTCTGATGAACTTCAGCTGGACGACAAACTGTACGGCTGGTGGAAGTTGGGTGGGAGTTGGGGCAACCAAGACCATACATCTGACTACAATCCTCCCGTCAATGACGATGACACGACAAGTATGATCTCAATGTCCACCAATGCCACTGACTCCGAATGGGAAGATTATGCATCAGATGGTCGCCGCACACCGACCCAGACTAACCCTTATCCCATCGAGTTCTCCCGGGAGAGCACACCGTCCCAAGATCCTCTCATAGATATTGGCACCCTCGCACGTCTTCTCGACCCACAAGACCGCGAAAGTCGCCAGGAAGCCCGAATTCTCGCCGCACATCTCAGCCCCGGAAAAGAGTCCCAGATCATGACCCGCAGTCGGTACCAGAAGCAAGTAGAACGAGAGCGATCCCGCATTTTACTATCATCACGTCTAATCCACGGCTCTTCATCGTCTCAATCCAGCGGTATCAAACGCAAACCCACCCCCGAAGAAGAGTCTGAAATGCTAGAACGCCTCATCCTCTCCCGGCGCGCAGAGAAAGAATCCCTCGACTCCAACACCTGGGAATCCGGCGCAACAGGCCTGCCGAATGGCCCGCCCTGTGTCGTCTGCCAAACCAACCCGCGCGCCATCATCACCTGGCCCTGTCGCTGTTTGTGTATCTGTGAGGATTGTCGGGTTAGTCTCGCCATGAACAATTTCGGGAGTTGCGTCACCTGTCGCCAGGAGGTTGGCGGGTTTATGCGCCTGTGGGTTCCATGAACAGTGGACTGATAGGACTGATGTTGCATTGCACTGCATTCCTTTGCTCTTTTATTTCTCCGTGGGTCGTTTTATTGTTTTCATGGGTGTTGGCATGGATAGGTGTAACATATTGCATTTGGTATTTTGTTTCTATGGTAAGGAGGTTTAGGTCTGCGAAGATACACACGTGCTGCCAGACAGATATTTATTGATTTATTGTACATTTTATGCCATTATTGTTTGACATTGTCATTCAGGTGGCTTTGGTGAGAACTCCATACATTATTGGTTGACTCGCAGATGGAAATATATATCTGTGCAGGAACTTAATGCAAAGAGATAAATTTCAGTTTCAAGGCAACTAAAACTCCCCGAAATTACTGAAGTGTTGTATAGCACTTATCATGGAGCATACCTTTATCTCGCACATGTTTTATGGGGTTGCCTCGTCAGAACGAAAAGCTATACAATTTCTACCATGCCCCTTCACTACAGAACACAGGCAGATTCTACCAGACAAACAACAGAAATCAAACACCAATAGCACGGAATCATCATTTCAGACCCGCATTGTAGCATTGTATTAAGTATCACAAAACTATACAAGTGCCCCTACCACTTCCATGAGTCCACCTTCCCGAAAAAAGCACCTTCAGCCCAAAAAGCGAGCGCAGGTGGTAAGATCATCGCCGGCAGAAACAAAAGTAGAAAACGGCACCAAGATTAGGGTACACCATTAACTATTTACAGGATGTACGCAACAGCGGCCGCAGCAGCAACAACACCGGCCATACCACCCTGGAGGTTGTTAGCGGCGTTGTAGCCGGGGGTGGAAGAAGCGCTGGAGCCAGGGCTGCCACCGGAGCCGGAGCCGCTGGTGGTGGTGGGAGTCAGCGGGGTCGAGCTGGCCTGACCGGACGAGCTAGCGGGAGCGCTGCCAGTCGGGCTGGTGGTGGTAGTCGGGCCAGTGCTGCCGGACGTGGTGGAATAGCCGGACGAGCTGGACGAGCCGGACGAGCTGGACGAGCTGGTCTCCGAGCTGGACGAGCTGGTAGTGGTAGTTGTGGCGGAGGTGGTGGTCTCCACGGGAGGCACGGAGATGGGGTGGCCAGCGGCAGAGCACTCAGAGACCACAGCGTTGGAGACGGCTGGAATGGGTGTTAGTGATAGGCACTGACCAGGCATAGGAAGAAGGATAACATACCGATCTGGTCAGACAGGTCGCAGGCCTTCTTGACGCAGGGAGTCACCGTGCTGACGAGGCTGGGCTTCTGGCAGTGGCAAGCGAAGTCGGTCAGGGACGAGCAGCCATCGGTGGTCAGAGCAGACACGAAGCAGTTGAGCTGGAGCAAGGACGTGTTAGTACAACTGAATCTGATATTCACCACGACAGCGAGGTATCACGCACCGAGCAGCTAGGCACATTAGGCAGCTGGGCATTGGCCAGGCCAGCGGCAACGAGGGCAATCAGAGCGTGAGAGAACTGCATTTTGATTATAATTTTTGTATCTTTTCTTCAAGCCGGAAACGACTGTTATGAACGAGTGGTATGGGATGGTGAAAGTATATAATACCAGGGGAAGGGGAGTAGGCCTTTTTATAAGCTGCATCCTCCTTTACTACTACATATAGACCTCGCCCCGATGGACCCTGGAATAGGTCGCATCGCCCGTAATAACGCCCATCACATGTTCTTGCAAAGGAAATGATGTTCCGCGGCTTGACTCAGTTTGTAATGAGTGAGAGTTAATTACAGGAGGCTGGGCGGCCCGGGGAAAATAGATTAAACCCTGATGATGCCGGTGGCTTTGCGGCGAGCGTACGTACGCAAGTTCGCCAAGCACGAATAATCAGTGGTTTTGTTCTGGGGTGGCCCTGTCAGAGTATGTCGCTGGTACCACGTTCATTCAGGTCGCACATGCACCAATCCATATCGGCGGTGTGGCGGACGTGGAAGGTCCGGTTCATTTCCAGGCCTTCCACAAAAGATTCCCCTGGGCCATCCACTGCTGCGCACAGGGCGAAGACAGGAGTTCGAGGAGGCGTACGTAACAGTAACGAAATCGGGCGTCCAGGGACAAAGTTAGAACACATCGGCTAGTTGTTGGTATTTAATTAGTGGAGCACAAATGTGGCGTCGGCGGGGTGACAATCCCAGGAACAGAAACGAAATCTGGGGGAAACAATAATAACAACCGTAGCATCGGACTATCCCAATTAGGATTCTGACCCGATGAACCTAGTCAGTCTGAGGAGTAGTTAGTCTCATTCTGCCTCTACACGACTAATTGATTCTGTGTTGATCCGATCCGCGGAATGATCGTGTGCCCCAACGGTTTTCTCAGGCCCCGTTCGACTCGGTGCGAACTGTCTCTGTGCGAACACGGCAACAATATCTGCTGGTTGTGCCCGCCGCAGTAAAGAGCAGGATGGATTCCCCTGACGCCACTAGGATCATGGATGTAGGACGGGAGCCGGGGACTCGCTCGCACGATCCGATGTGAGACATGGCAGCCGCTTAGGGCTAGAACGGTGGCGACCGTATTAGAGGGATTTTTCGGTTGCCAAGGTACTTTAGAGGGCCTTAAAGTAGAAGTCACAGGGTCATCACATGGGCATTGTGTTATTTAATTGGGTGGGTTGTCAGCAGTGATCGAGACATTTGGAGGCGTAGGCTCGACTGGCCCAGTCGACACCCTGTCTCAGATGGCCATTAACGATGATTTGCGGAGAAGCAACAAGAATAGTACAGGAGGGAGAATGAGGATCTACAACCCTGCGACAGCTGTAAGTGACTGCAAGCCATTCAGACATCGGGGTCTCGTATCCTCCGGCCGTTCTCAATCTGTCTGAAACAGGAGCGAGCGAATCAATGGGCCGAAAAGGGGGCGAGTTTACTTGACCAGTCCGCCGATGATCCGACTTAAAATGAGCATGTTGCCATGAGATCCCGAGGCATGGGGTATGGTCTACACAGCCTTGCGGAAAATGTTCCTCAAAGACGAGGTCGAGACCCGGCAGACCGAAAACATAAACTCCGGGGACCTCCGCCACTAAAGACCCTAGTATGTAAATACTGCGACCCCGGCTCGACCGCGCGAAGAAAGACTAGATCTGTGCGGCCTCAGGGGGGCCGCTCTGCCAAAAGGAGGAGGGCTTGCAATCTTTCAAACAAGGTCCTTCATTCGTCATTTGGTATCTGTATAATAATGCCCAACGCCGGAAACACGATCCAAACTCCATCGACGCCCGCTCATCCATACTACCTTCTGCACTCACGACAGCAGCTCATCCATATGCGCCCGTTCCTTGACATGGTCCTCGTCTTTGAGAAGGACGGCAAGGACTTCGATGGGCGGGCTGAGGTTCAGCCTATGCGCGCGTCTCCAGCGCTTGAGTCGGGTGATACCAATACAGGGCTAAAATGACGTTAGAATGCTTCTTTTTGCTCGTCCTGTAAAAACATACCCCATATTGGCTGGAAAGGTCAAAATGCCGGAGGATCTGCTCATCTAGGTCGAGACCCTGCTGATGCACTGCATGGCCGGTCAGATTTAGAAGTCCGATTCTGTCTTTGGGGCCGTTACCTCGAGGCGCTTTTCTGTTCTGCTCCTCTTTCTTCCAGTAGCGCTGGAGGTCCTGCTTGCGCAGCTTCAGAGCTCGCTTGTCTTCTTCCGATCGAGGTTCCTGGATCGCTTTGGCGGCCTGCTGTCGTACCGCGAGCTCTGTGACAAGAGGCTGCGACGGCTCGGCTGGAGCCTCGGGGAGTTTCTGGAGCTCGGGGATCGCAGAGGTCGCCTTGACGGAGTCGAGGTTCTTTGCTTTCTGGGCTGCTGTCGTAGGCTTGCTGACGCGGGACTGGGCGCCGAAGGAGAGCGTCCGCTGAGCATCGGGGGCAGATGCCCCGCCACGGCGACGAGGAGGCATGGGGACGTAGAGTAGTGGTGGTGGGAAGTCAGTGTAGTCGAGAGGGGGAGAGAGGTGGTTGGGGAAGAATGGGTGGATCCGGCGATGTCATTCAGAGTTCGCAGGTTGCCCAGTGCAACCGGGAGTTGGTTGCTGACTGGCGGGCACGCCCATGGAACGGGGAAAGGGTCCCTGGGAGAGGTGGATGTTTAAGACGAATTGACTTCATTACGATTCTATCTCGTAGATTTGAATCGTATACAGACACTCGCAGCCCATCTGCCGAGCAAGTACACAGCGGGGGCCGCTCGCATGACATCGTCAGGTCCTGAGCAAACCCTAATTCAGCAGGAACAGAAGTGGCTTCAATTGTATACCTCGAGATCGTAATCGAAGAAGAAGGACCTAAAAGACCAGAGCTATCCTAGAACAAGATCCATGACCTCGATCGATCTCTCTCCCTCACTAGATCTCCCCATACTCCTCCCCCATTAATAATGAGGCTCTCGGGCACATCTCGGCACTCTCCCTATCTTCCCCCACACCAACACCTTTTCGCGAACTTCTACACACCTTCACCACCTCTTCCTCCCTTCCAACACAACACAACACACCATCCCTGCCATCATCCCGCCCCGTTTCAAATCATCTACATCCCGCCTGCCCCGCGTCATCGCCCTTCCTTAGGGCGCGGGCCTCTATGAACCCGAGGGCGTCTGCGCATCTTCCCCACGCCAACACTCCCCGGCGGCTGGTCCATGGTGGCCCGGGAGCAGCGCCGTCATGTCCGCCTTTGTGCGAATCTCCGGCCCACCGAATGGCAATTTTCTAATCGGCTATCCGGGCATCTCGGCAACGATGGTGAGTATTCATGCCTGCAGCCCCTCCGTCATGCTCCCCCTACACTCACTGACCAACACCACCACCAACTAGCCCCGGATCGAAGGCAAAGTTGAGATCCGGCCCAGCGCCGGCATCACCGCGCCCGTCAATGTGTCCCTTGTCACCATCTCCCTCATGCGTAAAGAGACCATTCACCCGCAAGCCGACTCCGTCACCAAAAAGCGTCTGGCCCCCCCACGGAAGGAGACTACCGATATCGTGGGCAAGGAGATGCTGTTGTTTCGATGCCCGGCGGGCCGTGAACACGAGGAGGTCATTTCAATGGATTTGCCCTTCGTGCTGTTCATCCCATTCGGACGGGGTGGGCGCGATGCCTCGCGGCGCGTACCGCCGGCCAGTCTACAACTCCCTAGTCGCACCGCCGAGACAACTTATGAGATGGTGGTCACCGTCCAGCAAGGACAAACGGAGCAAAAGAAATATTCCTTCCCGGTGCCTCTGGCGCGATACGATACCCTCTCGACCTTTGGCATGTATAACCGCCCAGAGTCGGCGGAGCGTGTATCAGACCATTTGGTGACATTGGCCATCTCCCTGCCGCGATGGTCCTATGGCCCACTCGACCCCGTCAGCGTCTATGTGAAATTGTCACCGAACCAGGACTGGATGGGCAAAGCGCGAAAAGTGACCATCAACAAGATCACCATCGGCATTGACGAGGAGATCATATACAACCATGAAGGCGACGAGCCACAACGCAAGGTCAAGACGTTGACCAAGAAAACCGAGAGTATCGGGATCCGACTGCCCCATTCTGGATATTTGACAAATCTGGGCCTGGTGTTCCCCGCCAAGGATCCCCGAGATTCAGACGGGATCTTGCCTCGGAGCAAACCCCAGTTCCCAATGTATGCGGTCAGCGGGTTCACCACCACTGCCAGTCTCTACAAGATCGAGTACTACCTCACAGTGCGGGTGGGTTTTCTTTCTCTATTTTTGATTCTTGAAGAGTCTAGAAACTAACGTATCCACAGGCCCATTTGACCTCCGCACGAGACATTACCATTCGCCAACCGATCGTGGTCTGCCCGCTCGACCACGCCGGATGCAAAGACGAGATGGAGGCCATCGAACAAGCCGCCCGAGATGCTGCCCACGTCAACCCAGACAACCCAATGCTGCCCCTCCCCTCGATCGTGCGCCCCTCCGATCCCAATGCCCTGAGTCACCTCGGGTGTGCCATCGTCGGCAACCAGAAGAAACCGTTGATCGACTGAGTGTACCGGTGTCACGTTTTAACGATTGCATGGATCCCGGAGTTATGTTGCATGGCCAAATGTGTCCTTTTCTTTCTTGGGGTGTTTGGGAGCCGGCGCTGGCTGGCTATGGGCTTCGATACGGGGCAGTGGAGCTGCACGCGAGCGGCCTGGATGAACCCGTGTTGCTTTTCCCCCATCATAACCCCCAGTGTCTGCTGATGTTTGGAGTTCTTTTCTTATAATACCAGTAGTGTGAATCTAGAACCTTGGTGTGTGTACGCGATGTCCCGTGATGTAGAGGGATGGTCATTCTCCCAGCTGTAGAAACCCCATCGCGGTACTCAGCATGTCTGGATCAACAGTCTGTTTTTGTTTTTCGCGCTCGATATCCAGAAGACAGTTCTTGAGGATTTCTAACACCGTCTGGTATTGTCGCGACGACCGGCCGAAGGTGTTCAAGGCGTTCTCGAGACTGTTGTTGATCTACCATGTGTTATAACTGGGGCCAGGGACAGGTAAATGCACACATACTTTGCGCAAAGTCTCGTTGTACGTCGCCGCCTGCTGCGCGTTGGACTCCATGGGGGAGACTGAGTGGGAAGGGGAAGAGGAAGAACTCCGAGTCAGAGTGTGGAGGTGGTGTGATGCGCCTTATCGATAAGCATTTTTTCGACTCCCTTCACCTCAACTCAGTCACCACCTCGTTCACTCAACAAGTTCTCATTTCTAGGCTGCCTACCATGGCTGACGCCGACGAAGATACAACCCGGTCGCCTGCCACCGGCTCAGAACAAATCGAAACCGACCTGTCCGACGAAACACAAGACTTCCGTCTGTTGAACCATCTCAACTTGTACGTGCCTTCAAACTCCAACCACAACCTCCCAGTCCATACTAACCTGCAATCCAGTCTCACCGACACATCCAACGCCAGCCTCCCCCGCCGCGGCGAAAAAGACTTCGAACCAAACCCTACCGAGTTCCAAGCCGATGTCCTCTCCGCCTCGCGCCAGGCCATGCACAATGCGCTCTCGTATCCGCGCATCCACGCACCAAAGAACCAAGTCGTGGCCTTCTATTCGCCAGATGGGCCAATTCCGCCGCCTGCGCACCCAGTGCGCGAGCCATTGGAAACCGTGGATGAAAATATGAAGACGTCGAACTCGGACCCGAAGACACAACCTTCCAGGGTCTCAGAGAAGGGTGTCGGTGTCTCTGCTGAGGCGTGTGTCTGTGTTCCCAGTCCGAAGGGAACATACTTCAAGACTATGGGACAGGCTGATCGGTGGAATCGTATTTGGTTGTTGCCCGAGGAGGCATTGTACATGCTTGAGCGAGGGTCTCTGGATATCAGGTGGCCGCAGGAGTTGACTGGTTTGGTCGACGAACCGTCGATCCCGATGAGTCTGCAGGCGGCATATACGTGCTTCATTGGACGGGGCGGACTCACGCTTGAGAGGTTCTCGGTGTATACCGGACTGAAACGGTTAGGGTATGCGCTCATCAGGGCCCCCGGGTGGGATGATCAGACGGACGACGCCAGCAATGCACAGGAACATGCATTACAATTACATCCGGCGCAACGAGGGCCAGGACTCGGTGGGATCTTCAGTCGTCTTTTCGAATGGATCCACGACCCGCTCTCCACAGCATCCACAGCAAAGGGTCCCGTCGTGGGCTGCGGCATTCATCGCAGCTATGGTGAGTCGACACCCTCCCGTCCAGTATCTGATTATTGTACCTCTAACAAGCTCCCGTCTCAGCTGATGTATACCGCAAACTCGCCATCATCCCCTGGTATGACCCTGTCACCCCACAACCAAATCTCGAACCTGGCGCACCCTTCCGCGTGGTATATCACGTCTACAAACCGTCAACCAGCTACAAAAAAACCGCCCCGCCACCACCGGACTTCAGAATCGCAGTCCTCAGCACACGCGAGCAGACCACGCTCCCGACATTGACGCAGCTCAGCGCGCTCCTCCACTCCACGCCTCTGGTTCCGCCGCACGGAGAGAAAATGGACAGGATGATGTACATGCGTCTGCGGCATGGGTATCGCAATGTCATTCTTGCGGTTGTTGATCAGGGGGTTGTGAGTTATCTCCGCGTTGGGGATGCGGCGTTTGGCAAGGAGAAGCTTTTTGAGAATGTAAAGCTTGTCCCGGGGACGAAGCGGAGTGGGTATTCTGGGAAATCGAAGGGGAGGTGATAATTTTTCAGCGGGAGATTTGGTTCGTATTTTCTGCATTATGGCTGGGAATGGCCGATGGGTACATAGATGATTATTAGCAACGATTAGACAGATTACTTTATACCCAATGATATTATTCATGAATGATTGAATATATTGAATGCATTGTAGCAAATGATTTCAGTGAGAGCTCCCGTTCAGTATTTCAGTTCATAAAGTCGTAAAACAAGCCAAGCCTGTATCTGTTCTCCCTCTCTGTCCTTGCCTTCCCTTCCCCCATTGTGGATATCATCTCACAAGCGGTACATCGCACTCTGACTCCGCGCCCCATCAAAGACACAAGTATTGTCGAGCGGGACATACTGCCGGGTCAAGACCTTCAACGCCTCCTGCGCAACCAGGCCTCCCGTCAACGCAGAGATATTATGCAACTCGCCGCCCTCGGTCCGACGGAGTTCCCATATCGCATCCTCCAGTATATCCTTCTGCTCAGGGGGGACATCAGTGCCCGTCTCTCGAGCAAGAACCTTCAGAATGCGATCTGTGTGTTTCATCCAGAGCTCCTCGTCTTCAATGTTGGGCAAGCGGAGTTGGCCTCCGCCGTTTTGCATCTCGGCTATGGATTGCACTTCACTCACCACCGCGTCGAGGATCTCGAAAGCGATGTAGATCGCGACCAGCCTGTCATCCGAGGCAAATCCTCCTCTGATTGTTCTGATCGTTGCTGCGTCGCAATCCTCCGAGAGCGAGGGAATATGCCGGCCACGCACGACCTTGATATCTGCTGCGTTCTTGCAAAACACCTCAATCTCGCGCTCGGGGATCGGAGGGGTACGCCCTAGCTGTGTCTCTAGCTGTCGAACTGTAGCGGTTACCTCATCAACGTCGCGGCGTGCTTTGGCCTTGTAGATATTTTGTAGCGAGACGTAGTCTGCCGATTGGGCTTTCATATCGGGCAACGTGCCTGGTAGCGGGAGCAAGCCGTTGTTATCACTGTAGAATTTGTGGATAGCGGAGGCGATAATCCAGAAATCAGGCGAGTCGCGTTTTAGTTGCTGGCACTGGTCCATCGCGAAGATCTCACGAATTGAGCTGCGCAGCTCAAAGGGGGAAATGGATTTCATCACTGCCGCCACAGCTTCGTCAAAGTTCTCCTCGCCGCCCTCGGGGGTATTCGTGCGTGCTTGTGAGCGGACGAATTCACGAAACTCCGTCTTTTCCTTGTAGTTGCCTGGAGCTTTGCCGGCATGCGTTTGTTTCCATTGCTCTATGAAATGGAGCAGCAGCAGAATGTACGGTACATGGCCGTGCTGGTGGTCGTCCATGCCGCTTAGATCGCCCAGCGCCGTTCCTGCGGCGATGAGCTCAGCCCATGGGTTGAGCAGACGCAGGTCCTGTGTTGATTCCGGGTCTGGGTGCGTCTCGACAATGGGGAATTCAGCGGGTAGTTGCACAGAAAATGCCGAGTAGAAGCCCACGGAGTGTGTGTACAGCACGGGAATACCGAGGTTCTTTGCTTCCTGGCAGACAGATTGCAGGGTGGAGCGTTTCGTCGGTCCGGAGACGATCACTAGCTTATGCTGGGCGAGGAAGTTGGGATCTTGGAGGAGGTGCGTGATGGGCTGAAACCAGTTAGCTTCATTCCGTCTCCCATCTTGAGAAAGGAAGCTCTTACCTTGGAGTAGGCATACCCTTGCACATCCGGGTTCAACTCCCGCAGCAACCGACACGTTTCTTCGGCGCGGGACTTGCCTAGCGACTCTTCCTCCAAAAAGAAGTTCACGCCCAGGTCCGCCTCTGTCACAGTCGCCGGATCGACGATGGTAAACCCACCGATGCCGGGTAAGACGAGATTCTTGAGTGTTTCGACTCCCGCGACACCTGCCACGCCGGCGGATTGAGGGCCGAACGTGCCGTCTGAGTTGACCAGCAGTACGCGCGAGTCTTCTAGAGCTTGCTGGCCCGTCGCGGCCCAGAGACGGAGCTGGCGGTCGTAGCGGCGCTCTTTGGAGGAGGGGCCTGTGAGGACCGCGGGGAATGCGTCGGCCATCGTGGTGCTGTGTGTTGGGTGTAATGGGGAGAGGAGCAAGAGAGAAAGAGAGACAGAGAGGAATGTAAAAGATCAATTCAAGCAGGGGCTAGTCAGACCATCAATAATTGCCCTGCTGCTTCTCTCTCTTGGTACATCTGCTGTTGTTAGGGACGGAGCTGTGAACACTGCCGGGAGGTTAGGTAAGCGGGATGCGGCTAAATTGGAGAAGGGATCTAACCCGATGTGGTATAATTTAGTCTAGTATACTGCGGACATTTACTGATAGAAATATCGTGCAATGTTAACTAATCTTGCTAGGCTAGATCATCCCACAAACATAGATGCGCACTTTGGAGAGAACACGGTTTCGGAACTGCCTTGCTGACCATCTTCGCGTCACGGCTCATGAGTAATTGCTGACACCATTCGAGCATTGCTACAATCTTGCTCGTCACCGATCTCAAGTGTTGGCGCCTTCTGCCATCGGCGTTTTCCTTTTTCGGCAGAGTCGGCAAAATCTCAGTTCCTCGCCGCTGATGGGATCCTGGCAGAATGCTCCACGTTTCTCGAATTTCATTCCACTGAGGGTGCCCCTCAGCTCTTGGAGGAGATCAGCTGCAAACTCGGGATACTCTCGGGTTTCCCCCACAAACTTGTGATTGTCGTATCGAAGATATCCCTCAATCGATGCTGCAGCTAACACGCAACGCACTGGGTGTCCATCAGGCAGATAAGTTGCCGACTCGATGTGCCGAGACGTGAGACAATGAGTGTTTGTATCGTCATCTCTTGCCCCCACTCCGTGCGTGGACCAGGATTGGCGCAAAGAATTTCTTTGATACGCTGGGCCATCTGAGACTCCATTCCGCTAATGCTGCACATGTCTGCAAGGCTCGCAAATTCGATGATGGCCGAGATCTGGAGGTCTGGATCTTTCACACCGAATTTGACCCGCCCTAGGTATAGCCATTGGAGAAGTGCTTCGAAGCTTTGCACTGAGACCACGTCCTTAACCTCTTCCAGGATTGCTGTCTGCTGTTCTCCTTCTTGGAACTTTCCCTCAAACATTGCCGAGAAATATGAAGACCGACTGCAGAGGAGATCCTTTGAAACAGTGTATTCGCAGGGCGCAGACTCGATTCGGATCTTGACTTGAGGGCCGCTGAAAAGTGGAAGGACACTAAACGAAGAGTGTTAGTCATGAGGGATTATGTGAATCGCAGGTCCACATACGATCTTGCAAACTCCACGGAGGTTGCTTCAAATATGTTTTCCATGTCCTTTGGTGGTGGGAATGTGATGATAGCGGAAAATATGGGACGGAGGGTCGGAAGAGTGTGTCGTCATGAGAAGAACCCTCAGGGCCAGGAAGTGCCAGCAATATCGGTGCGAGTGGGGAAGAAGAGATGTCTGATGGAGAGGTGGAGGAGGCGAGATGGGTGGAAGAAGGAAGAAAGGAAGGAAGGAAGAAAGCTGTGAAGAAAGGAAAGAGCTGACGGGGTCATGTGCCTGGTCGCCGATGGCAAGCAAAGCCTTGAAACAAACGTGGTGGGAAAATGAGTGAGGCTCTTTGCTCGTTTGCCCTCTGCGCTTGTCATCTAACTGGTAGCTCGGCCTGACTTACTTTTTGGTTATGCCAACTTCAGCAATAATTCCTCTGGGTGGTGGGAGGGTGTGTATCACAGTTCCGAGCTTCCCTGCTCTTTGGCACCACCTGGCACGACTATGGAGGACCGGGCATGCCTTTCGAGGGGGCTCTTTCCGTTTCATCAACTCCAGTTCATGGGTTGCCTCGGATGGGATGGACCGCTTATAGTCCCAATGGTTCTGTGAAGCTGATGGCTGTTCATGGAACTTCGTCGCAACTGGTGCCTGTGAGCCAATTGGCGGCTGAGTGTGTTGGCATTCCAGAAACATATGACTGAAAGTGGTTGATTATTGTCGAGTGAAGAGATATATACTTCCCGTATGCGCACTCGAGCGGGCCTCCCATTGGCGAATGGCGCCCTGATCCATCCGCTCCCTCGGTCTGTGCGGCCACCGTCTGGGTCGAATCTGAATCTTCTGGTCAGTGGGAGAGATGCTCCAATTGTAAGAACCAGGAGACTATTATCACAGTCGGCCATACAATATTAATCGCTAATTCAAAAAAAGACCCTGTAGTATGCTGAGTCTACTTGGTACACTGGCACCGTACTAAGCACACGCCAATCCTCTCCTCCCTCCACATCTCATCTTCACCCATGGTCCTCTTCCTCCGGTGCTCGCGCGCTTGTCTCCGATTTTCTCCTGTTCCTTTTTCTCCTCTTCCTCTCCCCTTTCGTCAACCCCACACATCCTTCCCTCTTGCCCCCTTCACCCGCCTCTCTTCCACCAACACCGCCATGAGTGTCGAAGAATCCAAGCGCGCCGCCGCCAAAGTCGCCGTCGCAAACCACTACCCCAAGGACGCCAAGTGGGTAGGCATCGGCAGCGGCACCACCATCGTCTACGTCGTCGAGGCTATCAAGGCCGCCGGCCTGGACACCTCGCAGACCCGCTACGTGCCCACGGGCTACCAGTCGCGCCAGCTGATCATCAACGCGGGGCTGACGGCCGTCGAGTTCGATGCCATCCCCGCCGGCACGGTCCTGGATGTGGCCTTTGACGGTGCCGATGAGGTGGACGATGAGTTGAACTGTATCAAGGGCGGCGGCGCTTGCTTGTTCCAGGAGAAGATTGTGGCCATGCAGGCGAAGCAGTTTATCTGTGTGGCGGGTATGTACACCCTCCCACCAAGGAAGAAGAAACAGCCTGAACTAACCCCCGTCCTATCGCATCAGACTCCCGCAAACTCCAGCCCCGTCTCTTGTCCAACTGGAAAACCGTCCCCATCGAAGTCGCCCCGATCGCCGCGTACCGCGTGCTCCGTAAACTTGCAGCCCTCGGCAGCACCAATGCCACCATCCGCACCAACGTCTCGTCGAAGGAGGGCCCACTCAAGACAGACCAGGACTTTTTCATCATTGACGCCCCCTTCTCGCCCCTCCTCACCGAGGCCGACGTCGCGGCTGGCAAGGACGGGTCCGGTACTGCTGGTGTCTGGGAGGTGAAGGAGCTCGCGCGCCAGATCAAGGAGATTTCCGGCGTGCTCGAGGTCGGTATCTTTTCGGGTTTAACGGGTCCCCAGGCTCAGGCTGCCGGTGGCATTGGCGGCCAGCGGCCTGTGGCGGCCTACTTTGGTATGCCGGATGGAACGGTGTCGGTTCGCAAGGCGGCTGCTTGAGTGAGTGGCCGACTATCGGGATGCAGTAACGTATATAAGACTAGATGATACCAAGATTGTTTGTTAGACACGGTTAAAAATACACGGTGTGCGTAGTTACGAATGGCTCGGAGAGGTAGATGCAGCTTTTCTTATATTATTTTTAAGACTGGCATCAAAGAAATCCACTGTCCCTTTTCTGTTCTATTTCACGCCTTTACCCTTGGCCTCGGTCTCTCCCAGCTCGCGCACAAAGATCTTCACGACTCCCTCCGGCACATCGTCCTTGCCATCCTCGAATCCAGGACTGACACCAATAGCCAGATACTTGCCATTGCCACTGAACGCAACTGCAGCGACGCTGGACGAGTACTTCTGGTACTGTCGGATGCGGCGCTTGGAGATACCATCCCACAGGGCGACAACGCCGTCCCCGCCGCCGGACGCAAAGGTTCCAAACACGGGGTGGAAAGCGAGCGCGTTGACTGGATACACGACGTCGACATTATCCTCGGCCGTCTGGCGATGACACTTAAAAGCGTACTTCCGAGCCTGCGACTCGGGCGACGGATCGAACCACTCAACCGCCACACGGCCCTCGATGCTGGATGAGGCGTACCCGGCGTCGTCCGGCATGCACGCAACACAGCGCGTCATGAACTTGAGACTGCTCTCGCGACGCTGCCACGGCTCCACCTCGACTCGGTTGTTGTCTGCTGTGCCGTCTGCTTGCGCTGACAGCACGGCCAGGGCCTTCAGATCGTAGATGTGCAGGGCGCGTGACGCCATGGCGACCACCAGCTTCGTTGCGGTGAGGGACAGCGAGAATGGTTTCGAGGGGAGGGGAATGGTGGCCGGCAGGGAGTCGGGGTTTGTGCCGGTGTCTGGCCGGTGGATGTGCAGTGTCGAGTCCCAGGAGCCGGAGATGATGATGTTGTGCTCACGGCTGTAGACGACGCTGCGCACGCCTGCTTCGTGGCTGCTGAGCACCGTCTGTGTTGATGTATTCACATCAATCCTAGCGAGTCAGCTATGCTGTCCCCTTAACATGAGGAGAGAGACTTACTTCCGCACATCCCAGTCCAATCCAGCGGTATAGATCTCGTTCTCGGTCTCGCCAAAACAAACGTCCAGCACGGGTGCTTGGTGCTCAAACTTCTGAAGCAGCTTCCCCTCACCCACGGCACCGTTCTCATCGCGCAAATCATACAGATATACGTTCTTATCCCATGAGGACACCACGATCCGCGTGGAGTCGGGGTCAGGCGAGAACTTCAAGGCGGAGATGGCGTCTGTTGGCGGCGACGCCACGGTGAATTGATCTAGATAGCAGTTAGACGTGATATTATATCACCAAAAACACAGAAAAAGAGACTCACTGGACGACATGTCGCGCGCAACCTGGTGGTAAAGGAAGAATCCCGATCCTCCGTCGTTAGGCGCATTTTCTGCCATTTTCCACCGCCATCTATCTCATTCCCCGCGATATCGATAAGAGAAAAAGTTGACGTCCCCATCTCTCTCATAGTCACCAGCATCGCTCAAAATGCCCTTCGCCCAGCTGGTCATTGGCCCCCCGGGCGCCGGGAAGTCCACCTACTGCAATGGCATGCACCAGTTCTTGGGCGCCATCGGCCGCAAATGCTCTATCGTCAACCTGGACCCCGCCAACGACAAGACCTCGTACCCGTGTGCGCTGGACGTGCGCGATTTGGTGACGCTGGAGGAGATTATGGATCAGGATAAGCTGGGCCCGAACGGGGCGACGCTGTATGCGCTTGAGGAGCTAGAGGAGAACTTTGAGTGGCTTGAGGAGGGATTGAAAGAGCTGGGGGGTATGTTGGGATCTCTCACCCCCCAAAAAGCATGGAGCTGACGAGCAATTTAGAGGATTATGTCCTATTTGACTGCCCTGGCCAAGTCGAGCTCTTCACGCACCACCCCTCCCTGCGGAATATCTTCTTTCGAATCCAGAAAATGGGGTTTCGCGTTAGTATCTCCGTCGACATCGAAGATACCAGCAACTAACTCGCAACAGCTAATCGTCATCCACCTGGTTGACTCCTACACCCTCACCCTCCCCTCAATGTACATCTCCGCCCTCCTGCTATCTCTCCGAACAATGCTACAACTCGACCTACCCCATCTTAACGTCCTCACCAAAATTGACAACCTCTCCAACTACGCCCCCTCCCCTTCAACCTCGATTTTTACACCGAAGTCCAAGACCTGAATTACCTATTACCATACCTAGAAGCCGAGTCCCCGCGCCTATCACATGATAAGTTCGGAGCGCTGAATTCCGCGATCGTGGAATTAGTCCAGGAGTTCGCGCTCGTTGCTTTCGAGACGCTAGCCGTCGAGGATAAGAAGAGTATGATGAATTTGCTACAAGCGATTGATCGCGCCTCTGGGTATGCGTTTGGACCGGCGGAGGGTGCGAATGATACGGTCTGGCAGGTTGCTGTTCGCGAGGGATTGGGGAGTATGGATGTCAGGGATGTGCAGGAGCGATGGATTGAGTCGAAGGATGAATATGATGAGATTGAGCGGAGGGAATTGGAAGAGGAGGCGAGGGCGAGAGACGCTGCTAGCCGGGCCACGGAGGGGGATTTTGACGGTGAGGATGATGGTGAGGACGAGATGGATGATTGGAAGGGCCCGCTGCCGGATAGCGGAGTGAAAGTCCAGCGCAAGTCATGACCTCTTGCGAATGGATGGAGTGTATTGTATTTTACATAGATAAATCATAAAAGGGTATCTCATCTTAATCAGCACCGAAGCTCAATCCTCATCATCACCAATCATCCCATCCTCACTCTCGTCCATAATATCCACATCAACCCCGACAGGACCAGCAGAGACTTTCCCAATTGCACCACCAACAAGCTCGCCCAGAACATCTCTCTCCTCCAACCCCCTAACACGCACAATCTCCCTTCTCGCGCGCCGGATAGCCTCCTCCTCTGCCTTGCGCATGGTCCCGGAGACCCGGAGCACCCGAAAGACGCAGGCCCGTTTCCCGCCTGATCGCTTATCTGGTTGTTCGTATTGATCTGGGACATGCGACATGTATGTGAGGGCCGTCCAGACGAGTCGGAAGGAAGCGCGCGGACAGCGGATGATTGCGGTTGAGGTTGCGGGGGAGAGGTATTTTACTAATTCGTTCCGGCATCATCAGTATATATACTTCTCGTACGAATGAGAGAAGAAGAAAGGAAGAATAGGAACTCACCATTGATTCCCCCTGCGTTCGCACCGCCCAGTTTGCCCACCCCCCAATCCCCGAAAAGAGCAGATACTTCCTCCCTCACCATCTTCGCCAACAGGCCCGGTGTCAGGGTGTCTGGAGTAGGAGAGTGGATGGATAATTGTGGAGAGGCGGATTTGGTGTTATTAGGTCTTGCTGATGGGTCTGGGTAGAGGATGTCGAGGAGGAGGTAGCGGTTCTTTAGACGGACCATGATCAGGATTTGGCTTTAGAGATCGCGCGTGTTGGTGGTCGGTTGCGTGATCGTGGGGGATCTATGGAGGGGAGGAATTCATTCAGCCGTGGAAAGGAGGATGATGCAGTCTAGGTATCCCAGGAAGCGTGCGTTGAGTGGATGGTAGATTGGACACTCGGAGCGAAAAAGATGAGGCTTGAGCCCAGGTGCGCGATAAGCGATAAAGGATCTACTCTCCCCAGCGAGGAACTACTTACTCTACACACTTTGTTTCTCATATGCAACACTTCATTAGTCCAGAGTCTAGTCATCTAAACAAATTAAATCAAATACCGTAGTCGGGTTGCCATTTTATGTCGCCCAACCCGGGCCATTCACTCAATCAATGCCACCTCGGGCGCAGATACAAAGGAAAACCGTTAGAAAAAGTAACAAGAGAACTCCACCGTCCCTCCTAACAGGAACGGACCATATGCCACCAGCGGACGGCGCGCTGCAAATCACACGACGAAAAATCACATATCGACCTCCACACGGCCCTCGGCACCACCCTTCTGCAGGGTGGGCAGCAGGTACGTGATGTCGTCCCACGGGTGCCGGTACAGACCGGTGCGCAGGCGCTTCTGGTCCAGGTAGTGGGCAATCAGACCGATGCTGCGGCCCAGGACGAACAGACCGTTCAGCACGCCCATGCGCATGTAGTCCTCGACCTCCTCCGCAGAGAAAGCGCCGCAGTTGCGGAGCAGGTCGATGAAGCAGACAGCCACGCAGCCGTCGACGTTGAGAATCAGGTTGTCCTTCTTGGAGGTGGTCACCGTCTCGACGGCAATGGCGTAGTCGAGCAGCTTGGTGCTGGGGAAGTGCTTCTTGGCGAACTCCTTGACCAGCTCGACACGCAGGTCGGGGTTGTTGCGCGACTTGACCTTGTGGCCGATACCGGGGATCAGCTTGTTCTCCTTGCGCATGATATCCACAAAGTCGCGGGGGCTCAGCCCCTTGTCGAAGGCCTTGGCGAACTCCTCGGCGGCACCGTCCAGCGCGCCACCGAAGCGCGAACCGATCGTCAGCAGACCAGACACCAGGGCGCTGATCAGGTCCTTGCCGGCACGGGTGGTGATGATGGTGTTCATGGCACCGGACACGGCGGGACCGTGGTCGGCCGTCAGCATCAGAACCATCTCCAGGAACTTGCTGGCGTAGCGGGGCAGGCGGCGGCGGAACCACAGCAGCGACATGACACCACCGATGCCAATGTCCTCCCGGAAGACATCGGAGATGGGCATACCAGCGTACAGCAGCTCCTGGCCACGGTCATCGGAGATGGTGGAGATGAAAGCAGCGGGCTTGCGGACGAGACCCAGCTCCTGGGCCCACGAGTAGTCGATGGGGATCTTGGGCACCACGGGCTCGGGAGCGGGCTTGATGGAGCCCTTCTTGAGCTCGGCGTCGTACACCTGCTTGACCAGCGCAGGCATATCCTCGAAGGTGTCGGGGACGTGAATGCCAGCCTCGCGCATGGCCTTGTTCTTGTAGACAGCGGTCTCCAGCTGAGAGTTGGCCGAGGCACCGGCGTGGCCGAACTGAACCTCGGTCTTGAACATGCTGGCGCAGGTTCCAATGGCCCAGGCCACAATGGGCTTGGTGATGATGCCGTTCTTGACGGCCTCGATCACACGGTACTCCTCCACACCGCCGACCTCACCGAGCATCATCAGGATCTTGCAATCGGGCTCGTTCTGGAAGCGGAGCAGGTGATCAATGAAGGTGGTGCCGGGGTAACGGTCACCACCAATGGCAACACCCTCGTACACACCGTCGGTGGTCTGTGAGATGATGTTGTTCAACTCGTTGGACATACCACCGGACTTGGAGACGTAGCCGACGGAACCCTTGCGGTACAGCTTGGAGGCAACGATGTTGTCCATCATACCACCAGTGTTACCGATCTTGTACGCACCGGGCTTGATCCCACCGACGGTGGCGGGGCCAATGATGGTGATACCCTTCTCCTTCGCAGCCACCATGATCTCACGAGCACGACGCTCGGGAACACCCTCCGCAATGATGGCAATTGACCGGATCTGGGGGTTCTCCATCAGCTCCATGGTGGAGCTGTAGACGGACCGGGACGAGGCGAAGTTGACGACGGTGTCGACGTCCGGGTGCTTGGCCATGGCCTTCTCCACATCCTGGTAGACGGGCAGGAGCGTCTCGCTAGTACCCCAGTACATCTTGCTGACGAACTGGCCACCGAAGGTGTAGATGATTCCGGCCACGGAGGGAGTGGTACGCTTGCAGATGAAGTCGAAGTCGAGCATGCCCTGCACAGCGCGGGGTTGCATACCGCTGGAGGAGCTGGTCAATTCTGGTCCTATGACACCTGGCGGGCACACTTACTAGACGAAGCATCGTGTCTTGTTGTGGAACAGGGCGTGGTTGAGGGGAGAGAGGACTCGGCTCGGGGGGTTGAAGCGAGTGATGTTGTCGTTGGCCGACTGTATGCCGTTGGCGGCGGGCGCAAGAGAGGAAGGCATGATGATCTGGGGCGGGTGAGGAACGAACAGACGGAATTGCAGGGAGAGAGAAAGATACCTATTTGTTGCAACACCACGCTGAAAGAAGTAATTGAGGAAGAACAGAAGGAGGGGGGAAGGAAAGAAAGGAGGAAGGGAGTTCTAAGCAAGAGAAAAATGCGAGGCAAGGACTGGCAGGTACACAGTACAGCTTGTCCTGCACTAAGCCCAACGTTTGGGGTGCCCCACCGCCGGGTCCGGTCGATACGCCCGGGATGGCAACGACGCAGCGGTGTACTATAGCGATCATCGAGTCGATAGATGATGATGCCATGAAAAAAGGTATGATCTGGTCTGCTCTGATCTTCCTTGTATGACCAGACCGTCACTGCCTCGAGGTCCTTTCTCAGAGAACTCCCCTGTATTCGCCTGTCTGCCCCTGGGGGTCCCCGTGCTGGACTGAACCCAGGCGTGGCCATCACCGGTGGAGCTGGGTCCCAACCCCCCACATCCGGCGATCCTTCGTTTTTTTCCTCAACAGCCCAGGGCTACGCCGTACCTTCCAGCACTGCTCTCGCCCATTCCCATCCTGCCCCTGGCCTCTTTTTTCTTTTCTTCTCCCGCCCTCTCTTCCCTCCCCCATCCTCCCATTCTTTTTCCTCCCCTCCATCCACCACAATCGTCCACCACACATCATGTCCGCCAAGTCCATCCACGAGGCCGACGGCAAGGCCATCCTCAACTACCACCTCACGCGCGCCCCCGTCATCAAGCCGACCCCTCTGCCTACCCCCTCCACACACAACCCGCCCGCTCGTCTGGCCTCGCTCTACTTCCCGGACGACAAGGCCGTCAAGGATGTCCTCGACCAGGCCGAGGTCACCTACCCGTGGCTGCTCACCCCCGGCTCCAAGTTCGTCGCCAAGCCCGATCAATTGATCAAGCGTCGTGGCAAGAGCGGTCTGCTGGCCCTGAACAAGACCTGGGCGGAGGCCCGCGAGTGGGTGGAGGCCCGTGCCGCCAAGGACGTCACGGTCGAGGGTGTCGTGGGTGTGCTACGCACTTTCCTCGTGGAGCCTTTTGTGCCGCATCCCGACGGCACGGAGTACTATGTCTGCATCAACTCCGTCCGTGAGGGTGATTGGATTCTGTTCACCCACGAGGGCGGTGTTGATGTCGGTGATGTCGATGCCAAGGCTGAGAAGCTCCTGATCCCCGTCAACCTGAAGAACTTCCCCTCCAACGAGGAGATTGCCTCCACCCTGCTGAGCAAAGTTCCCAAGGGGGTCCACAATGTCCTGGTGGACTTCATCTCCCGCCTGTACGCCGTCTATGTCGACTGCCAGTTCACCTACTTGGAGATCAACCCTCTGGTCGTCATCCCCAATGCGGACGCGACCTCTGCCGAGGTTCACTTCCTCGACCTGGCGGCCAAGATCGACCAGACCGCTGAGTTCGAGTGCGGCACCAAGTGGGCGGTGGCCCGCAGCCCCGCCGCCCTGGGCCTGCCCACCCTGTCTACCGGCGATGGCAAGGTCAACATTGACGCTGGTCCGCCAATGGAGTTCCCCGCCCCCTTCGGCCGTGAGCTGAGCAAGGAGGAGAAGTTCATCTCCGAGATGGACGCCAAGACCGGTGCTTCCCTGAAGCTGACCGTCCTCAACGCCAACGGCCGGGTGTGGACCCTCGTTGCTGGTGGTGGTGCTTCCGTCGTCTACGCCGACGCCATTGCCTCCGCTGGCTTCGTCAGCGAGCTAGCCAACTACGGCGAGTACTCCGGTGCTCCCACCGAGACCCAGACCTACAACTACGCCAAGACCGTGCTGGACCTGATGCTGCGTGCGCCCATGCACCCCGAGGGCAAAGTTCTGTTCATCGGTGGTGGTATTGCCAACTTCACCAACGTGGCCAGCACCTTCAAGGGTGTGATCCGGGCCCTGCGCGAGGTCGCCCCGGTTCTCAACGAACACAAGGTGCAGATCTGGGTCCGCCGCGCCGGCCCCAACTACCAGGAGGGTCTGAAGAACATCAAGTCCGTGGGTGCCGAGCTGGGCCTGAACATGCACGTGTTCGGCCCCGAGATGCACGTCAGTGGCATTGTGCCGCTGGCTCTGCAGGGCAAGAAGACCGACATCAAGGAGTTCGGCGAGGCATAAACGGATTTTGTTGTTTCTTTCTAATGTTCTCTCTTATGTTTTGTTTTCTGCAGCGTCCAATCCGTTGCATGGGTTTGTGGTATAATGCATGGCATGAATGATTTGCGGGATGGATCTTCCCGTGCTGGTCTGGTCGAGGGTCTGGCGTTTGTTTCCACACCCTAAGCCGACGTACATGATTGATTAGAGTTTGACCGTCAAGGGAATTTAGACTGAGTCCCTCGGATAATAAATCGATACATCTATCTCACAGTGGTGTTCCTTTCTCATGTTGGTGTCAAGTGTAGAAAAAATAAAAACAGTGCCCTAAGGATGACAGTACCATACGGGATATATTACCAGGAACAAGCTCCAGGCTCCACCAGAGCTCCTGAAGAAACCCCCCTCCCCCGGATTAGCCGGCGATCCAGATCAGATCAGATCTTCAGGCACGATGGCAGATAAGGTCGGGACCGTGCTGGACAGGGCCAGAAGGGGTGGGTGGCATTGCCGAGGGTGTGAGCGCGCCAGTTCCGCTGCCCCGAGCTGGTGCCGGACGAGCGGAGGCGTGAATGGGTCCGTTATTCCCTTTTGGTCAATGGTATGGGCAGTTAGGGCTGACTGCTGCGTAGGACAGATACGGTATGCAGAGTTGTCTATGAGAGTGGTTTATTGATGTCTCTTATGTATTACAATCCGGGGCATCTGCACCTATAATGTACTACAGACAGTCCCGAGCAGATCGATGCAGTTCTTTGCTTGGATGAACAAGAGCTGCCAGACCCACTCACTGATACATTTCTCGATAAATATGAACTGATTGGGCTGCCTGCTAGCCTCCCTCCCAGTACACGTCTGCGTAGTTATTGTAGGTATGACATAGACTGCTTATTCCGCATCTAACCCCGTGAATACCGCTGCAGGAATGACTCCATCTCAGTCTCCTCCCCAGACACAGACGCATCATCCTAACCAGTAATTATACCGCCAAATTGAACAGTCAATGAAACAAATCCTCGCCACATCTAACTGCCAAACCGCTCGAGAATCGCCTCGCCACCCGGAAACTGTGACATGGTCGTCGGCGGCCGTGACGGGCCAGGTAGCCGAGTTCGGTGCTGCGGTTTCGCCGCCGGGCTGGCCGCCTTCTCAGGCGTACGATCGTGATGGCGATTCCGCATATTCCACGGCCAACGGCCCGTGGGCGGTGGCATGGCCACAGCAGCAGCATCTACATCCTTTGTTCGTACTCGCTTGGAACTGCCCGTCCCGCTGCGCTGGTATCGGTGTAGCTGCTCCACGCCGTCCGTCGTGACGGGGTACGCAGGGGTCAGTGGGCGGCGCGGGACGGAGGATGAGGCTGTCGGCATCGGTGGTGGCCCGGGCGGGACGGGATGGAGCGCCCTTCGTGAGGATCTGTCCAGCGAGTGTAGGGTCTGCGAGACGCTGTCGGACGCGGCGGTCTGCATTTCGGAGCGCATTGCGCGCGCCTTCAGAAGGTTGTAGAGGTTTGCCATCTGGGATAGCTTCTTGGATTTCTCGCGGTAGAGCTCGGCTAGGTCTTGGTTCTTCTTGTGCAGTTCGTCTTGCGTTACTTGCATGTCTGGCCAGGGGTTTAGTTTGATTTCAACGGAGTGGGGGCAGTGCTGCTGATCGGCGACTTTGCTTTGCAGAGAGGATATCTCGGTGTTGGCGTTGTGGATGACCTTGTCCATGTTCGTGCTGAGGCTGGAATACTTGTCTGTCAGGGCCTTACCGAGGAATTCCTGGTAGAATCTGTGTTGCGTGAGTCACTATTCTCGTTCGTTGCTTCTTTAAAACCAGGGCATACATTTCCTGTGTGGTCTGATACGACCAGAATCCGAGTGCGCGACCAGCACATTCGACGATGGTGCCTGGGTCCAGTCCACTCAACACGCTGGTCTTGTAATCCTCTGTCGGGTTCAGGACGGTGGACACAGCATCGTCTGGGTTGAAGAGAGCAGTCTGGCAAGCAGGGCAGCGACGGGGGCCTGCAGTGGGATGCGACAGGCCCAGACTATCTGCGCAGGGAAGACAGAAGATATGGCTGGTCGGGTCAGCGCTGGCCCTCCGAATGGGGGGATTGGGAGTTACTCACGAGCAAGTCGTCACCACTGCCCTCTCCTTCAGTTGAGTGCGACATTTGAGCGAGTTGCATCGGAGGGAGAAGTCCATGATGGGGGATTATTGGATGAATGGAGGAGGGAAGGGTGCAGGTCACGGGATGCTTCTAGTATGTACATTCAATCAAAGAAGAACGTGTTCCCCAGCGCGTCTCGCCTCGTCGAGGTCATCTTTTCCTCGAACTCTTTGCCAGGCTCGTACTCATGCCACAGACTCGCTGGGTATATATGCTTGTTCTTCTCATACCACCGCCGGTCCACCACTTTGGTCTGCGTGGCATCTTTATCTGCACCTTCTAGTTGGTCGTCACTGGGTCGGGATAAGGGGTCGTTATCACTGGCACTGGCTGGGGGAGGCTTGTCCGAATAGTCAAACAGCAAGCCGCCGGTGCGAGAGTAGTTGGGGATCCGATTGGCGATGAAGTAGTAGAACTCGTAGTGCTGGGGGTGGGTTAGTACATAGATATTCCAGAAGGCAGAGAAGAACACTGAACTGACATGAGGTATAATGACATCCCCCTTCACCAACATTAAATCATCCACACTGACTCGGGCCCATTCCCGGCGGGTATCTTGTCGCGCCTTGGATGCGTTATTGGCACCCCGAACGCCCAGTTCAGCGCCAACTTTGCGACACCGGTCTAAAAACAGCCAGACATGGTCCCCCTTCTTCACCTTGACCGTTCCTGCGGGGACATTCGTGCCATCGTGAAAGACAAACGGGATCAATATCTCCGTATTCTTCACAGCCTCCTGCATCGCCAAAAACTCCTTGCGCAGGGACTCGCGCGCCAGTGCCTCGGCCTCGATAGACGCCTTGGTCAGGGCTTTGGGTGGCGGCGGCGCATTCGGGTTGGCTTTCATGCGCCGCGGCGCAGACCCATCGTCGACGGGGGTCTTGGACGCAGACCGCGAGACACTCGGCTCACGTGGAGTGCCCGCCCCGGACTCTTCTTCCCCGGTTTCATCATCGCCAAACGAGAGTTTGCTTTTCGCCAACGGCTTCTTTTTCTTTTTCTTAGGAGGCCCATCACTCCGCGGTGTCGTCGATCTGTTTGCGCGCGATCAGCTTCGTTGCGTGCCGAGATGTCCGGGACTAAACTTACGAGTCTGTCACCTCGCCGGCGGATGGAGTTGCGCTTCGGGAGTTACCAGATCCCAGTCGGCCTAGCGACTTGTCATGCGCCTCGCGCTCCTTCTGCTCTAACACTTCGGCGCGCCGCTTTCGAAAGTCGGAGAGGTGGACGAGGCCGACTGTTTGTGACTTGAGCATGTCCTCGGCGGACACACTCTGGCCCGTGAAGGACCGAGGTGTCGAGGTGTTGCTCTCTGATTCGGAGGGTGCCATGGTGCTCGGCTGTGAGGTGTGGTGCTGGTCTGGAAAGAAACTCGCTGGAAGAAATCACTGACGTCTTTAGATGGGCACGTGACGAGATTTGGGTCGCCAATGCGCGGCTAAAATATGAAGAAAATGGGAATCAAGATCAATTGATCATTTTATTCTTTCAATTCTTTGTTGATTTCCAGGTTGCATGGTTTCTGAGGCGTGTAGTTGAAGTTGCTGCAAACAGGCCAAACTCATCTTGGTCGATCATCCTGTTGGTTCCAATTCCAACTCCTTGACACAAACCACAGCCACCATGGACGACGAAGAGGACGATTTCTACGATCCGGCGGATACGGTCCCGGTTCAGGCGCAGAATGCCGCACACGATGCTAGCCAGCAGCAGGCCAACGACGTGATGGATGAGGAGGAAGAAGTAGAGGAGGAAGACGACGAGGTTAGTGTGCACCGTGGCGCGTCGGGTGCTTCTGCTAAACCCCTCCCAGGACGATTTCAACATTATCACAGAGGCTCCTGCCGATGCGCCGCCTGCGGAAGCGTGAGTGACCACTCAATCGCCTTGTTCAAGTCTCCTACTGATGCCCTGAAAGCTCCCACCCACGCCATGCAAGCTTACGACAAGAGCCGCAACGACCCTCTTCTGTCGATTCCTTAGCCTCCAAGTCTGCCACGCCCTCCGCGGTTCCTCGGCACGACTCACACACCCCCGTTCCTGCAACCGCGACAATCGCGAAACCCACGACCCCCCAAAAACCGGGGTCTGCCTATCCGGCCGTTCACACCTCCACCATTGATGTCAATGGCAACCCCGTGCACCCGGCAACGGGCAAGCCAATCCTGTCCAGTGACATGGACACCGACTTCCCAACGGACGACAAGCCCTGGCGCAGGCCCGGGACCGACATGACGGACTACTTCAACTACGGATTTGACGAGTTCACGTGGGCGAGCTACTGCATCAAGCAGCAAGAAGTGCGCGGCGAGGTTGGCGGCCAGAAGAAGCAATTGGACGATATGCAGGCCTTTATGACGATGGGCATGCCGCAAATGCCCGGCGGCCCTGGTGGTGCGCCGGGTGGTGGTGCGCCGGCGGCGATGCCGGGGATGCCGGGGATGGACATGTCGCCGGATATGATGCAGGGGATGCTCGCGACGATGATGGCACAGGGCTTAGACCCGTCGTCTATGGATCCAATGTCATTTATGCAACATGCGCAGGCTATGATGGGCGGACAAGGCGGTGGTCAACAAGCGCCGCAGGGCTTCGGACAGGGTGGACAGCCGCAGATGGGCTATGGCGGCGGGTATGACCAGCGTGGAAATTATGGGGGACGTGGACGGGGGAGACGGTGGTAATTCCGGGTAGCGTTTATTTATTCTATTCGCAGCGTTCAATATGAATTGAATAATATCCATGATTGTGGTGGTGTAGTTCGAGGTGTTTGTATGTCCAAGTCTTGGCATTCTGGAAATTTCTCGGCTCGATCTTCTTCTTCCCCCGGTTTTCTTCTCTTCCCTTCTCCATCCCTCCCCCCAACCAGCAGTCCATTCAGTCCATCCCCTCTTCCTTCTTTTGTGAGATTACCTCTCTCTGCTCACCTTCAGTCACAATGGTACGTCAAACCTCCTCTCCAACCCCTAGCTCCTACTTGCGTGGTCATTGAGCTACTCATCTCTCCCCCGATCCCATCCGCCGAAAAAACATCTCCCCACAGAACCAACCCGCCCTGCTAACTGCGTTGCCCACGTCCAGTCCGTCCTCCGCAACATCAAGAGCCTCGCGCCTCTCCTCGACCGCGTCCTGGTCCAGCGCATCAAGCCCGAGGCCAAGACCGCCTCCGGCATCTTCCTCCCCGAGAGCAGCGTCAAGGAGCAGAATGAGGCCCAGGTCCTCGCTGTCGGCCCCGGTGCCGTTAGCAAGGATGGCCAGCGGATTCCCATGGGTGTCGCGCCTGGTGACAAGGTCTTGATTCCTCAGGTATGTACTTTTCTGTCTGCTCTTCCGTGCGATTCCGTGGGATTCCAAGTCTACTGGACTCGGGATTCGGAATTCATGCGATGATGAAGGGAGGAGTCGTTGCGGTTATATCTTTTTATAAGTACAATTCTCTGACATAATTGGTACAGTTCGGTGGAAACGCGATCAAGGTCGGCGAGGAGGAGTACACCCTCTTCCGGGACGCTGAGTATGTTCTATACGTTGACCCATTGTCTCTGTTCCTGGCGCTAACGCATCCCACAGCATCCTGGCTAAGATCAAGGAGTAAATTCTTTGAATAATCAGTGTCGCCATCTTCCCCATCCCGTTCTCTCCGCCGTCCGTGCCGGTGATCTCTTCCGCTATAAATCGCAGAAGGGTTACCGGAGGGCAGGTGATGTGTATTATACTCGCCCAGCTCGACCCGTCTCCAAAGAAAAATACTATAACCGCGAAGAGAATCAGCATTGGTTTTCTTTTTGTTTGCATAGGTGTGTTTTTGGCTTTTTTTGAAGCGCTGGATTGTTGCCCTTGGGGTCTTGCATGTTGTCTCTCCATGTACTTTTAAAAAAGACTGCGGCTGCATACCCTGGTCTTTGACTGGGTTTGTGGTCGGTAATTCAGACATGATCATCTCCTCTCAATCTTCCACTGATGGTATAGCAAGATCCTACCTAGAATTTCCTGGTTGACCGCGTACGTCCATGTATGCTGTGCCTTGCTGTATTGATTGCTTCGAAGTAGGATCATATAGAAAGGGGTGAACTGCAAGACCTAGATTATAGTTGTGGAGAGCGATCACCAGCAAAATATATATCAGTAAGGCTAGTAAGTAAGATACTATAGTTTTCTGCCACCCCATCAAAGCAAGCACGATTCTTTCGAGAAACACGAAATATTTATATATTATAAGCATGATAATCACCCATCCTTGCGTCCTTCACACCTCTCACAAAGGTTCAACAGCAGTCTCGATTCTCTTGAGCACACGACACCCAATCAACGGTCCGAAACGCGCCATCCGATGCTCAGAGGACATCTCGATAAACGCAGCGAAAGGGGATGGTTCCACCTCTCTCGAGTCGAGGGCGGTGATGGTAGTATCACGGTACTTGTCTTCCAGTGCTGCATGATTCAAACCTATGTCCAGTGCGGCTCGCGCAGCGAATGGATTGAGACCGATCTGCCGAAGGAAGATCTCCCAGCGACTTTCTTGATCATGGATATAATCCAGCCTCTCTGGAATCACGTTGCTGAGCGACTGCGTTCTTGTACTGGATACTGGTGCGCGGTGTTTGGCAGCCAGACTAAGAATCCACTCCGTCACTATCTCCGGAGAGGACTGGACCAGCAGCGGGACGACGGTAGTTTCTTTCGAGAACGATACACAGAATCCGGAAAGGGAGCAGATCCCCTGCAGAGTCAGCACATCAATTTTTGTCAGTGGGTGCGTTTTTCCTTCTGTGTGGATTGCCTTTCCAGCATGGCTGATGAGAATGTAGAGACGCTCGTAGCGAGGAAGAAGACGGACGATACGCTCGCGTAGTGGAGAATTGATCTCTTTTATAGCTGTGATGCGCGGGTCGTTTGGCTTGTGGCCGGGAAGATAAAGCTGTGTCACGGCTTGGGAAGTTGTTAGGACGATTCCTGTGGTTGGGGAGATGATCACGTCTGCTTCGGGTAGGATGTTGGGATGTTGGTGAGTGGTTTGGATGGTTGGTGTTGGAGGTGGAGTCTGGATGTATTCTCTGTAGAGGATTCTTGGGGCCGGGGTACTTGTTTCGAGATGGTGTATGAGTTGAGTGTGAGTTTTGAGAAGACTGGATGATAGGAAAAGCAACGCCGGAGCCGAGACTTGATCTCCCTGTAGAATACTTTCTGGAGACGGGATCTCATGTATGAAATGAAGAGACCCTTGTGAGGGGGTTTGGTTTGAGGTAGTCGTAATCGATGAGCATTCAGGTCTAGGTGCCTTGTGCCGGTTCTCGTTCCTCGGTTGGGAAAAGTATGGACTGCTCACGGGGCTTTTGGGCTTGCTGACTCCCCGAGTCTCCATGAAGGTTGACAAAGAGCCCAGAAGGAGGGAAGAGGAGTCTGTATCTCGGTGAGACAATGCGATTGAGAGTCGCGAACACGAGGATCGCTTGTTATGCTGCAACGAAAGACTGAGGCTGTCACTTTCCTGGGTGTTGTCTGCCATCTTCGAGGTGCCCAGCACATCCCTCTGGGTGGATTCCGGTGAATCGAGCAACATAATGTCCTCATAGTCTGCATTTAATGGCGATTGAGCACAATATTTCCTTCGTGGAATGACTGAACACGGTGGGTGGTTGTCCTCTTGACCCGGGCATAAGCCCATCCGCTGAACAGCTGTTATCCGTTCTGATCTGGTCAGTTCCTGTTCATCGAATGAACGTCTGTTGGCTTGATTGGGGGTTTCAGTTGCGGTACACTGTCGGTATTGCGCGCTGTTCTTCGAAACAGAGTCTGTCGGAGGTGGTGTCGACAGAATAGTCGATATCGCTGGCGGATCGAGATCCATGCCCTCATTGTAAGAATGGATATCCTCTAGCCTCAGAGCTGCTTGTGCTATGCGAACCAAATCAATGGTGTTGTCCTGCCGAAGCATTGTGGAGTGTGTGTGCTCTTCACTTGACGGCGAACGTAGATCCAGTCTGCTGGTCAAAATAGTGGTCGTGTCTCTCCCTCGATTTTCGATAGGTGTGCGTGGACCAGGTAGCCCATGACCCCCCTCGACGTCTTGTGATGCAGATGAGGTTTGATCAACTGCATGTTCCCCAGAGACCTTTCTGCCGTAACGACTATTCCTAAATGTATCTGGCGTCACAGGACTTGGAAGCGAGTGCGACTTCCAGTCCTTTTCAAAGTGGTATGGATCAAGAGTCGCGCTGTCTGATTTACCTGAGTCGTGCTATACCACTGATGAGTGAACTGCCAAATGGAGAGCGATAAAAGATACTGACCCGCCTCTGCAACATCATGGTTCGAAAATACACTTCTATATCCCCCTTGGACAACCGTCTTCCGCTGGGTATCAAGACGAGAGCCTCTTTGCTGCAATCAAGCCTCTCCGACATCATCTGCGCCGTACATCGATCAATTGTGTCCTTCATTCCCTGGTACTCCCTGGGATAAGACGGAGAGATAGCAGGAGGAAGCAACGCTCCCACATCGAGATCGCCCAGACGAGATACTGGTGCTGAAAGCACCGACTCTGCTTCTGCTGTGAGGAGCAGATCCAGTTTGAGGGAATCATCGCGTTTTTTAGATGGCAAGAGAGCATCCCAGTTGATCTGGCCGTCCTGGTTTTTGCTTCGAATGATACTCGACACGAGAGCAGCTTCAGGGCGACGAATCTCGAGTTTCTCTGATTCGAGGCACCATTCTCCTTTGGCGCGTGCTCTGTCGATAGGACGGGAGTAGAAGGTGCTCGTTCGCAGATACGAGAGAGGATCTTTGGCGGGCACTGCGATACCGTGGAAACGGGCATATTGCAGGAGGGAGGGTTGGTGTTGTGTCGCCATGGGGAGATGAGAAGGAGGGAGGATGTTCCACTCTAGTCAAGTATACAGTCCAATGACCAAGTCCCATGACTTGGTTAAAATGCAATCTTTAACTAAAGAATGATCCGCTAAGTGCAAAAAATCTGGTAATATTTTACAGGGGCATTTTTTTCAGTCGTTGTAGTTCGACTGGCGCGATCCGTCCTTGTTGACTGCCGGCAGTCCATACAAGGCATTTATCTCTTCCTCCTGAGAACGGCCCCATTCTTCCAGTACTGGCCGCTCAGCCTGGCAGGCCACACGGACCCCATGGCGGCGATGGGGTGCAAAGCCATAGGACGCGGAGTGTGTCTATATGCCGAGTCAGCCAATTGAACAACCCAAAAGAAAACAAGAAGCCTTACCGTCGTCCGATTATCCCAAATCGCAACATCCTCCTCTCCCCACGTAAACCTCGCATGCATTTCCTGCGTGGTAGCCACCACATCCGTGAGATACTTCACAATGGCATCACTCTCCGCGGTGGGGATGCCCACAATCTTCGTCACAAATCCCGGGTTGAAGAACAGTCCGTTCCAGCCGGTGACCGGGTTCGTGCGGATGAGCGGGTGTTCCGTAGTGACTGGGTCGCGACGGACGGGGCGGCCGATGGCGCGGGAGTCGTTCGCTTGCATGTTCGCCGAGTGCAGGGCTGTCAGGCCCTTGAGGTAGGTCTGCATGTGTGAGGAGAGCACGTCGTATGCGGCATACTGCGAGGACCAGAGCGTGTCGCCGCCGCCACCGCTGGGAGGTCCCGTGAGGAGTTTCAGTGAGGTGTAGGAAGGTGGTTGTTCTTCGTAGGTCACGTCTGAGTGCCAGAGGAAGCTGGGGGTGAAGAGCGCGCGGTTGTCACCCGAGTTGTCACCCGTGAAGACGACGTGCACGTCGTCGAGGCCTTCGCGCTTCGGCACGGCGGTGGTGGCATGCTGAACCAATGCGGTCAGTTTGGGTTTGGACAGAGAATAGGAAGGTACACACCCTGTGCAGTTTGCCAAAGTACTTCCCCAGCTCGCGCTGGGCATCAACATCAAAGTTCTTCTGAGCGCGGAAGAACACAACGCCGCGGTATGCGATGAGGCGAGCGAGATCATCGCGTTGCGCATCGTTCAGCCGGGCTAGATCCACGCCCCGGATCTCCGTGCCGATTTTGGGCGTGTAGTCCGAGATGCTCGTGGCATCCTGGAGCAAGTTCCGGAACTTGGGATCGCCGCGAAGACCCTTGTCCTCGTATGGCGTGTATTCCAGCGGAGCCCAGTGGACGTCCGGGAAGGAGGGCAGCAGGTCTTCGTATGGGTAGTCGACATGTTTTTTCACGGTCGTGCGACCGGGCTCATAGTGGAACTTGTTGTTTGCTGTGGTCTCTTTCTTGGGGACGGTGAAGTGGCCCCGAGTGTGGATTGGAGCCGGAGGAGTAGTAAGAACGGGCTCTTCGAGTGACGGTGCCATAATGATTAATGTCTGAGAGACTAAATGTTGCGTTGATAGAAGAGATGATGACTAGGGTGAAGACCCCTTATATAGATTCCATATCTGGCCGACCTGCTTAGGAATGGGTGAAGAACCACCACGCACTCGGAGTCGTCGGAGATCGCGCCATCGCCCGACGCCATGGTCAAGACCCAGGATCGAAGCACAAATTAAGGTCGAAGATGACGAAAGCAAGGCAGAGCTTTCCCCGGAAATATGCCGGATGAGTGATCTTGGGGGTCGGGGGGCAAAGGGGCCTAAATCACGCCATCCGCGCTGACGTTGAAGGCGAGATTTGCCATCGCCGCCGAACCAGCGGACATTACTTCACCGCTGATTGGGGTTGTACAATGGTAGCGGTGAGTAGTCCATACTCAGTGATCCTCAGGGGGATCGTCGTGGCGGAGTTGATTGAGATGCTTTAGATCGGGTTTAGTGAGGCGGTTGGATTAAGCTGCTGCGCTAAGGGCCGATCACGCAAGACCGGCGCATTCTGGCGTCGGAACAGGCTGAAACCCGTGCCACGCAATTGGATTTATTTTTGGCTGCAAGTGGCAAGTAAGGGGCTACGCTCGTGTTTGTAGGCTTTCCGTGCTTTGCGATCAATTGGAGTTCGGCCGGGGGTTAGGGTTACACAGAGTGACTCCGTAGAAGAGGTGCGAAGGACACCTAGTCAATTCCTAAATGCCATCGAGAAGTGTCGCAACTATCCCTATCGCCCCTCTCCGATCGACGGTGGCCCCAAAGCCACCTCCTGCACCCGCTCCGACACACTGCCCAGCCGCGCCGCAACACCCAGGATGCCCGCTTCTACATCGCCCAGCACGGCCGCCAGCTCATTGATCGACGACTTGGGCGTGGAAGTCATCGCGCCATCGCGGGACTTGGAGCTGACGAACTCGTTGATCTGGCGGTTCAATGTCAACTCCACGCCGTGCAGATGATCTTCAATCTCCTTCAGATTGCCCTTATACCGCTCCAACACGGTCCCCATCTCATCCGATCGCTGGGAGAAGTAATCCACCAGGTTGACCGGCACGCCGTTCACACTGGTCGCGGTGGACGGGTCTCCCTCCACGTCATCCGGGAGAGCAAGGGTGTTCTTGCGGGTCGAGCGCAGGGATTGTCGGTCAGGAACTTTTTGGTCTTGCGCGGACCACCATCCACCGCCAGCCGACTGGTACTGCAGCGGCAGTTTTAGCGTGTCGACGGCCCGGAAGGCCACCTGCGCCTCGGCTGCGTCCCGCGTGACGAGGTTGCGCAACTGGTCGATGTCGCTCGCATCATTCTCCAAGGCATGTTGCATGGTCTCGAGCTTGCCTTGCACGAACTCGACGTCATTGGGGATCGTGTTGCCTTGTTTCTCGATGGTGGGGAGCATATCGGCTACCTCGTGGCAGACTTTCATTTGGTTGAGGATGTAGTTGTCGATGATCTCGATGTGGTTACGGATCTCGTCGGCGCAGCTCTCGAATTTGGTCGTGGGGAGCAGGTTGCTGACATCGACCTTCACCCCGGGAACCACCGTCCCGGAAGCTGCGGTGCTTTGCTGTAGAGGTTGTTGCGCGCCTTGAGTAGTACTTTGGTTGCCGAAGAGGGAGAGGGTAGGCTTTTGCGGTTGTTGCTGTTGCTGCTGCGGTTGTTGCATGGTACTCTGAGCTCCACCACTAATGCCTCCAGTTAGCTAGACCCCGAATCAAGACTATGATCCACTCACAAGAGACCTCCACCTGTCGTTGTCGAACCGCCCAGCCCACCGAAAGCCGGTTTGGCCTGGGGCTGTGTCGCCGTGGTGCTGGCTCCTAGACCCCCCCCAAAGAGACCACCACCCGTCGTCCCGCTCTGCGGGGCGCTGGTGGTGGCAGGCGCCGCACCGCCGAACAGACTGCTTGTTTGTGGCTGGGCGGTGGTGGCCGTCGAGCCCCCAAACAGTCCGCCGGTGCTCGTGGTGGCAGCCGGCTGCTGCTGCTGACCACCCAGACCGGAAAACATACTGGACCCAGTGCTCTGTGGTTGCTGCGTATTGCCTCCGAGGCTGCCGAATAGCCCACCCGCCGGTTTGTTTTGTGTTGTTGCGGCTCCGGGGGTTGAGAAGAGACCTCCGGTTGTGTTTGTTGTCCCCGGCGTAGCGGTGGAAGTTGTAGTCTGTGGGTTGGCGCCACCACTATTGGATAAATCCTGTGTTAGCGACTTCGTTCAAGCTATCTGCGAATGGCAGCTTCGCCTGCGGTTGGAATGGCGATCGATAGGATGAAGCCAGCAGCGCAAGCGACGAAGGCAAAGGCCCAGGGAGTGAATGGGGGACTGACAATAAAGAGTTGGCAGAGCCTGTGTTGATGGACAGGCCACCCGTGGAAGCCTTGGGCGCAAACATGCTGGAATGCGATGGTCAATGGCCCCTTGAGTCGAGGATGAAGCAAGAAGCTGCGATAAGAATTGGCCCGGGGAATGGTTTTGCCGAGCCGACTGTTTACTACGTACGATTGATTTCATTTATCAGCCGCGAACTCCCCGCTATACCATCTAATTGGAGGCTTCTTCATATTATGCAGGTGGCATACTTGGTTATTGAAATCATATTTCCTACGACAATATCCTAGTGGACCAGAAAACGGGAGATGGCTAGGGGTTAGCCCGACCTGTCTGAGTATGCAAAGGCTTTATTTGGTGGCCAGCATCGGAGCTGGTGGTTAGATATTATTGGAAGCCAGACCAAGCCGTGCTATCCTCGAGAATTCATCGAGAATTCAAGAGTGATCGTGAACTGGAGATGATGGGAAATCGTATACTTCATGGATGGACCACGCGAAGGCGGTCAAGGATACTTCATTCTTCCTCGCGACGACGGCAGGCCTAGTGACGGTTTGGAGTGTAACGAGAGAAACAGCCGAGGAAAATAGAAACTGGTAAGCATGTTGTCTTGTGGATTATGGTATATCATAATTACAACAGACTGGAATGATTCACCATTTGAAAGATGGAACACGAGCTAATGCCAGTCCCAGGGAGCATTTCGGTCATTCATTGCTGGCAGCTGGACATCGTAGGCGTTAGCCATGATGGCGGAATAATCCGTTCTTTGCAATCCCTGCTCCATATATCAGGGTCCTGCCACAGTGACTTGGACGTCCATCCAGTTCGGTCATTCTGATCAACATGACCAACACCAAAGCGGCCGATTGGAAGCCAAGATGCGTGGCCTCAACCATTTCACCCGCCAACAAATCTCCAGGGCAAAAGCAGCCATCTGATGGATCTACCAGCTTCTTCAAGAGCGCGGAGTGGTGAGATCCCTTCGCAGCGACACGACATCCAGACAGAGACTAACTTCCACAGGACCCCAGACGGAACGACACTCCTGACGGACTCGGCGGATCACCACATCCGAACTTACATCCTGTAAGGCTGATCTCCCTTCTTTGCTCTTGACCACTTGCCTGACAGAGCCAGACCGCCGGACCTGCTCGAAGAAGAGTCAGTCCACCACCTCTCTCCATATTCAACGCTCCCGTCTGCGGAACCCACCTACTCCACGGCCGTCTACCCCTTCTATTCCCTGCAGGACCCGTCCACCACTCTGTTCCTGTCATCCGTCCGGGACCATCCCATCCGGCTGTCCTCGGCGCTCGCTCCAAGCAGCCTGGCAAGCTACTCCCTGGTTAACCCCACCACGGAAGCATATATCACTCCTCACTCGATGATATATCCTTCCACTATGGGCGGAACTCACTTCCTCACGGGCTCGGACAGTCTCATCTGTCTGTTCGATGTCTCTCGTACTGGCAGCGACGGCCCCGTTTCCTGGATGCCCACTATCCCCAGTAAGCGGAAACAAATAGTCGGCGGCGGCGTCGGGATGAAGGGGATCGTCTCAGCATTGGCAATAAATCCAGTGGGAGACGGGATTCTCGCGGCGGGCACCTTCACCCGACACATTGGCCTGTACAGCTCCAATGGGTCCGGGGAGCTCATTGGTACGTTCAGCATCGCCAAAACAGAGGCGAGTCGCGAGATCGGTGGCCGAGGGATCACCCAGCTCGTCTGGAGCCCCTGCGGCAGGTACCTGTATGTTGCAGAACGCAAGAGTGACGGGGTGCTGGTGTATGATATCCGCGTCACGGGCCAGATGCTGGGGTATCTTCGTGGGCGCAAGGCTTTCACGAACCAGCGCATGAAAGTGGACATTGTTCCCGCTGGTGCTGACGGCTCGCATGAGGTCTGGGCAGGAGGCACCGACGGATTCATGAGGGTTTGGAAGGATCCCATCTATGCTGCTGGTGGACAGGACCCGGATTGGGAGTGGAAAGTGCATGATGGTAAGGGTGTCATTCCCATCGACAGAGAACTGGCTGACTCCACATAGATGCGGTGACTAGCACGGTGTTCCATCCGATGGGGAGCGTGGTTGCGACCTGCTCGGGGCAACGACACTTTGCCAATGACGACCAAGATCCGGCCGTGCGGGCGGATAACAGTCTGAAAGTGTGGTCAATGCCGTTTCTCACCTCGAGTGTTGATGCGGAGGGCCCAGAGTTGGATTCTGGTGGCGAACCACAAGACAATGGCAGGGAGGTGACTTGAGCACGCAGCGGAACGATGTGCGCCGCAGTCTAGAGTGGGGTTGCCAGCTGATATCCGTTGTGCCCTGCCAATGTCCAAATGTCCAAGCGGTGTTCAGTGTTGTGGTTCTGGTCGTTCCTTCCCTACACAGCCACTTCCCCATCGTGCCTTCCCTCGCCGCAACACCTCGTTGGCCCTTCCCGATTAGGAAGGCTAGGGTTGCCTACCTCCCATATGACTGTCGCTGCCCTGATTCGGCCTGCAACAGCAAGCAGCGTCATTCACTGCGTCGCCTCAATGCCTATTCATCTCCCTCCCCATTCGGATCAATACACCCTCGACCATCGCCCTCGTTCCCATTCTTGCGCTCCCTGCGCCTGAACTGGTTCAATAGGCCTGAATGGCTCATTGATCTCCCTCCCCCCGGTGAATTCTGCCCGGCCGGGCATAAAGGCTTCGCCTGAGCGGTGCTGCATTCTTCCTCCTTCCTCCTTCGTTCATCCTGAGTCTTCTCTTGCGTCTAATCCTTCATCTCTATCTTCCGTCCTGTTTCTCTCGCCCTCTGTCTTTCTGCGTTCGAGCGTGTATCGAGATCCTGTATTCTTTCCTGCCGATATCCTGCTCTCTCTACCCATATCTTGTATCTTTCTCTATCTACCACTCGCTCACATCTTGTCTGCTGTCTCGCCGTCATGTTGGGAGCCAACTCCAACGAGCATGTCCAGGATGGATTCATTGATCCAGCCCGGTTGACCACTGAGTCGACCTTCTATGACTACATTGATCCTCTCTTCGAGGAGGCCGCTTCAGGTACCATACAGACCACGTCTTCTTCTCCTGCTGCTACGGCCCAGCCTCCTGTCTCTGCTTTCGACAGCATTGACACTGCTTCTCCTTCTGCTGCTGTGGCTGAAATCCTACAGCTTAACACCATTCCTTGGAGTGTTATGCTGGCCACTGCTTCCTCTCCTCCTGATGCTGCTGCGGAACAGCCTGTCTCGGCTTGCAGAAGCCTTGCCACTACTTCTGCGGCTCCTGCGCCTATGGCCATCAACCTCAACACCTCCATTGCGTTTGTCCCTGCCACGGCAACCTCGAGCAACAAACTCTCTGCGGCTCCTCCGAAGACTCCATCGCCACAGAAGGCTCCTTCTCCTACGTCTTCCACTCCGGTGAATCATATCTCTTGGGGGCACATTCTTGAGCAATGCGAGCACGGCGCGGGCCATTTTACTCACTACAGGTCGTTGAAAGAGGCCGAGCAGGATTTGACGGGCAAAGAAGTTGTCGTTCCACACGACCCGACCATCCCAGAGACCGAGGGCATGAAGTGCACAGTAGTCAATCTTCTCTCTCAGGCTTTTAAGAGCACCGAGACTGCCGTGGACAGTGAAAAAGTCATCTCACCATTTCGCCATAATCGTTACAGAGATGAGGAAATCGAGAAGGTCTGCTGGCAAATTCTTGTAAGTGGATTCCTGGTATTTGCTTTTGTCAAACCTGTTGCCAATCATTCCTCACAGGAGACGATGATCGAACACCACCGCACCGATTTCAACGTGGGTGGAGTCCTGGCATACAAGACGGCTGGCAAATACGCGAACTTCCATGAGCGTCTTGTGTCCATGCTCGAGTCGCTTGCAGTGGGTTCTTCCGATCGCGCTTTGGCTAGTTTACGTACTGACGGCAGTCTACAGGATCACAAGTCTATGTGCAAGCACCTACTAGAGCCTCTCTACCTTCGAACAGTCATTGATGACCCTGTCGGCGCTGCCAATCGGATCAAGAACAACAAGAACGTCAACGCCAAGAAGTCTAACATTATCAACATCGGGAGGCGCCACCTTCCCACAGGAGCGGCCGTTAAGGGCAAGGCTCGAAGCACGGACTCGTCGTCGTTAGCCACCTCCACCACTTCGTCCAAGAACTCGGCCGGCGAGAACACCATCCCAGCGAGCAAGTCGGCACGTGGCTGGGCTTCTCAGCAGCAACAGACCACTCCGACCCCGATCGCACGCAGTCAGCGCGTGTCGACCTCTGCTCGTCGGTCTCCCTTGCTGAGTTCTCTCGTGCCGTTGGCCTCGGGCACTGTTCCTGTCACCAACCCTGAAGCCATCGTTCTTCGCCTCCCCGCCAACCATGCCCTGGCTGCTGCGCGTGCCAAGCGCACCAACGAGGCTGCCGCCCCTCTGAAGCAGTTGTCGGCAGCCCAGCAGCCTGGGGCTCCCCCCTACACTGGCCTGATTCCCATATCTGCCCTGGAGTCGAAGTGGCAGCGGCCGGTGGGGACCCCACTGAGCGAGGTTTCCGGGAGACTGAGGCGCCCTCACGCTGAGGCCCCCGCTGACGCAGAGGCGGAGTCATACAAACGGGTGCGCCTGTAAATGGCGGAGCTTCAACAACCATTCGCCCTCAGGCTGGTGGGCATTGTGTTTTGTAGTGGGCGCCATTTATGGTTCTTGTAGTTACTCTGCTGGGCCTGTCCCCTACCCCCAGAGGGGACAGGCCAATTCAAAATGATTGACCAATTCTATTCGTCGTAGTTTTTGATGCGTAGCGATAAATATGTTCGTACATTGGCGTTCCGGTGGTTAAAAACGTATTGGAAATCGCAAGATATGGATGTGTACGCCGCTCGCTTAACGGTTACGTTACAGGCAAATCCGTTACTGCAAATCTAGCAAACTCAATACGCCTTAATCGTTCAAATATCGCACCATCACCATTTCAAACTGGAGTAGACAAGTGGGCAGAGACGGGAAGGGCGACCAACGGGCCTCGGTTTCCTCTTGACAACGAACAGCTATCACCAGGGACAAAAAGATCTAACTCGACTTGATGATAGTATTTAAATCTACACCTAATGCAGCAATATCTTATCTTCACTTCCAAATGTGACTCGTTAAGTCGAATATTCCTCACTCACTCTTTGGTAATTCCATATCCATAACAACAGCATCCTGAACCACCGCCTCAGAAAAGCCGACATAGCCTTGTCCCTTGACAAAAGTAGCATTCCAAGGCCCCTGTGTATTGGCCGCGATCAGTTGAGTATAGAACTCAGCATGGGCAGGGCCATCAATAGCAGAATAGACCGGGTCCCCATCTGGTTTGCGCTCATCCGCGAAGTAAAACCTATATTTTTGTATTGTTAGTTGAATTGACTGTTGGCACCTAGATATGGTTCACTCTGGTAGGCTTACTTGTAACCATGGTCTTTATATTCCTCCGCTAGATAGTGAATCAAATGAGCAGCGCCAGCTTTGCCAACTCCTTGCGCTAATAGCGGCCGTACAACCATGAAAGGAAGCTTGTTACCAGTATAAATGAACGTTCTGGACGAACTCTGGGGTAACAGAGCGAAAGACTTTATGGCCAAGTGCGCCGCGATATAGGCAGAAACAATATTGATATTGTTGACCGATTGAAAATCGGAAATTTGCTGATCAAGAGAGGAGGACGGATTCATGCCAATAGCAGAAGCTATTGAAGTATTGAGTTATTCGCCTTTGTTTGCTTTCGCCGTACAGTCCCAGCGAAATTGAGTGATAACATACCATTATAGACCACCACACTTGGATGACCAAGTTCTTTGACGACTGTAGAAAACACGACTTCAACAGTAGACGGGTCTGAGAGATCCGCGTGAATCTGGAGATATCCATCTGTGCTGCTCGCATGCTTGTTTGAGCGTGAAACCACGGCAATTTTGTAGCCTTGCGTTGCCAATGCTCGCGCAACGTCTACTCCAACACGGGGTCCATAACCAAAGATGACTGCAACTTTGTCACCCATATTGGAAACAAGGTGGTGGAGAAAGACCTGGAATTTTGGATATTGATGATTCTTGATCTTTATTCTGGTCAGAAAAATAATTAAATCATGCGCCTTCAGAGACCGGTCATGGCTTTTTAAGGGACGGAATGACATCCTGAAAGCTGATGGGTCATGCAAGCTGATTGGCCCGTCGCCTTACAGGGGCCGGGTGGGCCTTGCGCTATTGTCGGAAATACTTGCAACAATTTGGATAAGCCTCATGAATCATCATTTCGCCTTGGTTCTCGCGTTTGCCATGCACTCTTTCGATGGTGATTGCGATGACAAATTAGGCCGAATTAGAAATCAATCTCTTCCACAAACAAAATTTGCAATCAAAGATCCCTGTAAGCCCGGACGGAGCGAAGGTGCAGATCTTGTACAAAGTACATATAAAGACTCTCGAGATCACCACCCTGAAAATGCAAATATTACAAAACCTTTAAACGCTCGTTCAGCCTAGTCAACCCGAAGTCTCCCGATAAACCATCATGGTCTTCACCAAGCTTGTCATTGCCGGAAGTTCTGGTTACGTGGCCGACCATGCGATCCGTGCTATCTTAGCTTCGACGGAGCCGAAGTTTGATGTCACTATCCTGACCCGAGCCGATAGTGACAAGACACCACCCTCGATACCAGGTGCGAAGATTGTTCCAGTCGACTACAACGACCACAGCGCCCTTGTGCGCGCCGTGTCGGGAGCAGATGCAATTCTCTCTTTTCTATCTGGGCCTGCAGCTAGAGTGGTCGATCAGCTTTTGCTCAAAGCAGCACAGGCGGCCAGTGTCCGACGGATTTTTCCATCCGAGTATACTTTGGACGTCCTGCACCCAGCGGCGGTGTCTCTTTTGACAGAAGGTGGTGATTGGCAGGAGGATCTTTCACCAGTGGTGGCTGCGCGCAAATTCCTTGCCCTTGCCGACGAAGGGGGGCCTACTAGCTTCACAACGCTCATTACTTCGGGCTTCATTGATTCGTGGCTAGAGGGCGACTTTGGCTCGTTTGATCCTAAAAACGGCAAAGTGACAGTGGTTGATAGTGGCGATCACTATTTCACCGGATGTTCGTTGCCTTTCCTTGGAGCGGCCATCGTCGCGGTGCTTAAGATGGACGAGGAAAGGACTAAGAACAAGCGTATTCACATCGCCGAGTTGCGTGCGACCATGAACCAAATCGCGGATACCTATGATGAGGTAACTGGAACCAAATTTGAGAGAAGTCGAGTCACATCTCAAGAATTGATCAGCCAACGCAACGCAAGCCTGAAGGCTGGAAATGCGGTCGGTGCCTACTTCGGTGCCATCCATCTAGGTGCTTTTAATGGCTGCGGGGCGGGCGACCTGAAGGATGGCCTACAGTTCGATGGCGATGGCTTTTTGAATGTGAGAAGAAAGACTCTCAAGGAACTAGTTGTCGAGGCTGTGAGCAAGGTTGGAGCCGCCTGAGTATCGTTTGATTCTTGTATTTGCCGCCTGTCAAAGCTGCTGGGGAATACCTTGGAGCTTTGGGCCACCCTATGCTCTAGATGATGAGCAGAGTCAGCTGTGTGATATAGCCTACCGTGTTCAACTGTATTCCACTTTGCATGTTTAGTTTAGCACCTAGCACTAGCAATGAAACAACAATTGATACTGAGTATCGGGCTAAAATCTGAATTTTCTTGGCCACCGGACCATCTAGCTCCAGTTGCTTTCTGATCTATGAGTTAGACCGTCCCAGCAGTATCACAGAAGAGAGTTGCCGATACTGTACAATACCCTGATTCTCGAAACAAACTTTAAACGTCACAGAAAACGGTCATCCACTTGGATGACTATATTTCAGGCTTGGGAATCAGGGACAGGGTATCCTCTTCTTGGAGCAACTATTGATAGTCATATAGCTCGAGTGGTATTAGGAGCCCAAGAAGTGAATACTGAGGAGATAATGAGCATGATTCTCCCCTGCTCTAGTAACTATCTGAAGATACAAATAGCTCTAAAGAAATATTACAAGTCGTACGGTAAGAGGTCCAGATGCTTTGTTCATTATTTGTGAGGGTATTCTTTAGGCAAAGAGCGGCAAAGCTGGCGCAGTTGAAACAACAGCATGGAGTGTCCTGGTGTAGTCAACGTCACTGTCATAGCTGAGATCAATCTGTTTCCAAATCGTCTCAATCATGCTATGAATCAAAGGGACATTATTTGATCGGTACAGCGGTTCTCGACCTGTTTTCGAAAGAGTGTCTAATATTTGAAGACGTTGATCATCTTCAATGGCCTCGCAAGCTAAAATGATCATCGGCCACGCACTTTCACAAAAGCCAAGGTTTTGTAGAACCAGTAAACCCTCCCTGACTAGTCTTCGGTGCTGAAATGAAGTAGTGGATACCTTCAATACTGCGCGATTCATGTATACCAATGCAGCACATCGGTATAAGTAGGCCAGCATTTGGTTTCTGGTCAATGGTGCTTCTGAGGTACTATGAAAAGTCCCATACTCTCCAACAGCCTCTTGAAGACGGTGTCTGAGATTCTCAATCTGCTCAATATCTGTGTCGTCGTATGTTGCAAGATTCTTGTTGTCTGCCGAAGGTCGCTTGCATATAATTCGAATCAGATCAAGTACGTCCATAGGACATGTAATCCCGCTCAAGGTCTAAGCTTGAATTAGCTGGCATATTGGAGCAGTCAGAGCTACCGTGAAACCCACCGTCGATTCATCAACTGCTGCCCACTTAGGACGTACCGCCAGAGGCCCCTTACAGAAATTGTCTATGGCGCTTGCCTCAGCCCAGTGCCGCAGGCTAAATTCTGAAGCAACTTCGTGATAGTAGATCCAGTCCATGAGAATCGCACTCTCGCCCTTGTACAATTCAACAGTTGTAGCCGAAGCAGCAATGATTTTCTTTGCACCGCAGAGATAGAAACTCCAGCGTTTATTAGGACTAGTCGTCATGCAAACCTAAAATAGGATTAGTATTCGCATCCAATTCACATATAAACGGACGGGATGATACTTCATATTGATAGAGAAGCATGGTGGCAATGAGATTTCGGAGCACGTTCTCCTCATCAATTTGTGTGATATTTTCACGCAACATTGAGATCAGTCGGTGCTGGTGAATACTACTCTTTGCAGGCCCTTGAAGCTGTAGCGACGCTATTGTTAATACTCCTTCTAGGACTAAATTGGAAGGCGAAGAGATATTGGAGAGAGCAACTCTCATAATAAAGTGAGACAGTGCCTCGTCGATGATGGGCGCCAATGCTTGCGACTTGCATTCGTTGACTACATCACCTTGTTATTAGTTGTTGTTTGAATGGATTATCAGAAACACGTACAAAAGTCAAATAGAAGTGCATTATTCGTATCGAGCTGGGAGGCCGGCAGATACGGCAGGTGTGGTATCCTCAAGGTGTGGAAATACTGAGCTAGATTGGCGCGACATTAGCGACATATGGTTAAGGTTCCAGGATCAGTATGCCGGTGATTACCAAGATCCTTTCTTTCCAGGAGCGCATCCGACATGGACGCATCCCGTTGAAAGGTATTCAAGAATACAGGATCCCCTTTCTGGTGCGGCCGTAGTTTTGACCCCAGCGTCCGTGTCTCACGATACACCAATGCCCGTCGAGTGTCACCGTCGCGTGGCCAAGATAGCTGGACGCCATAGCCCCGACAGGGCTGTCGCACCTTGGTGCAGTTGTCACACACAGGTCGGCTCAAATCACATTTCACCTTGCGCGCTGTGTCAAAAGAGGCAAATGAGCTTCGGGAATGAAAAGGGGGTTCATTTGAAGTTACCTCTGCACGTCCAGCACCCTTTAATTCCCATTATCGCGATTATAACTTTTCTAGTCCGATCTCTCCGAGGGTGTGGAGTGAGCATTACATGCCATCACGTAATCTTCTACCAGCGCGGGGAATTGATAGGGACACAACAGCTTTTGTTAGGGACACAACGCGATACCCCTCAATTCTTGTGCTTGCAGAGCGGCAAATTCTAGACACGGAAGTCAGTCTTCATTATATCGATTCAGCATGCCTATTGGTACATAGAGCGATTACAAGTGCCTACAGTAATTTGTTTCTCGGACAAACACTAATGTCATAACCTGGTCCGCTGACAATTCACCTCTGCAATCATTACGAAATCGTGCGTAAGTCGGTACATGATAGACGCTGGCTCAATCACTCATTATACTGGTTTTACAAGTGAACTATCGCCAATAAGTCATGGACGTATTATCCATGAATAAAATATTAGTCTTCGGTCCTGGATTCGTCCTTCTCTGGCTCGGCTGGCGGAATATTTGGTTTGGTTCGCGAAATCATCCTCAGCTCACTAAGGCTCAGATATTTGTTTCCCAAATCGGAATTGTCCTTTATTTATTGGGCCTTTGTATATATATGCTAGCGGTGATGGTGGTGCTTGCCCGTTCGAAAGGCTATTTGTCGTTCTTAGATTGATCTTTCGAAGTGGGGTGCTGTACGCTGGTACAGTATCATCAGTTTAGGGGAAGAAAATAATAACCAAAAATGTGTACAGAATATACCGCTAGGCCAAAAGATGCTAAAGGCTCTATTTCAGCTCTTAACGTTAATTTTCATGGTTTTGGCAATCCTTTGGCTATTATGATTATGATCTCCAAGTTCGACGACGACGACATCAATAGCCCCCACCTTGGGAGAAGTAACTATCAGGACCACCATAAAACCCACTCAACACACCAGATTGCATCAACTGTGTCCAGTTTGTCTGCTCGTAGTCCGCAAAAGCAGCATTATAGATTTCTGTTGTACGGTCCAGGGCAGGAAGCATTGTGTTCTCACTGGCAATTGCTTCGGAGCTTTCGCCCGGTCTATCCGGCCCTCCAAATCCAGAAGCTGTTCCATAATTCGCAACGTCTGTAGGCCCAGATCTGCAGCTGTCATTCTCTGCCCGATGTGACGCCTTCTGGGAGGCCTTTTGATTAGCTGACCGTTGGCGTACCACAATAACCAATGGTGGTGTCTCAATGTTTCTGCCAAGCTGGAGCTCAGCTTCCTCGTGGGCGTCCCAAGCTCTCAACAAAGCGTGCCCGAAGGCATTGTGAACAGGGTTTCCTAAATTGCGAAAGAAGCCCCGATGATCATGGTTATCGCAAATAACTTTCCATGCGCGCTCACAGAGTTCGCCTGTCGTCCGTTGACGTAGTTCGCTTATGAGAAAGATGTAACCAGGGAGGGGTCCCTGAATTTGAGTGTACCACAAGAACCCCTTGAGGCTTTCAGTAGTGTAGATCACATCGTCCCACTCAAGCATTTCAATAGCGGTCACGAAGAGTGCATCGCGCTCTCTTTTATCAAGGCTGGCGGCAGGGGCTCCCCGACACATGAATTCCAGAACACGGAGTTTGCAAAGATTGCTGCGTGTCAACATCAGAGCGAGGAGGTGAGTAGGTACATTTGGGTCACAGTTCTTCAGATAGACTGATTCTATGTACGAAGAATAGCTATCCAAATCATTAGATGTTGGTCGAGTTGCCTCACGAACGCTAGTGTTTGGAGACGGTGCTGCGCTGCTATGTCTCTGTGGGTTTCTAATAGCCGTAGTATTAGGCCGAATACTGGTTGGTTCAGCAGCAAGTAGCATTTCAATGCGGGTGAGGCAAACAATCATTTCAGTTGGACCGAGGACAGCTCGAGGTGGATCCTTAGCATGCGGGTGCAAGTCTGAGTCGTTCACATTGAGAGGCAGCCGGCAGTCTGTTCCGCAGGAAAAGAGGGCTGTGACACCTGAGCCTGTTATTTCGGCGATTCGTTTATCGAGAGCGGCTATCTGCCACCATAGTCGCCTTCGTAATTCGGTTTCGAAAGGCGAAACACCAAATTGGGCTCCGTCTCGGTGTATGCCAAGGCGAGTCGCTATGCGCACAGCAATTCCAATAAGACAAAAGAGCGACCGGGGATCAATATCACGGCCAGAGCTGTGCTGGACAGAGAGACAGAATCAGCACTGATCATGCAACAGCAAAAGAAAAAGCGTTAGAAGAGTGATACTTACAAGATATAGGAAGTAAGCCTGCAAGACCATAAGATCGTTAGATTTCATGAAACTCGCATTCACCAAGGCTTGTTGAGTAGCTTCTCCGTACTGAGCCAGAAGCGTGTGCTTTGCTGCACCAAAAGTGGCTTGAGTCTCCTCGTCTGTCATTGACTTGCTCGAAATGAGGTAGATGCTGAACATCAGGGCTTCGAGGGGCCTAGAAGCCTTGGAAATATCGGCAATAGCCCCAATTACCTGCTTTTGCAAAGTGGGGACATGGTTTATTTTGAGTAAAGAGTTGACGTTGGTGATGTAGATCTGCCATAGTTGGAAGATCTGGACCGCTGACGGGTGTAGGTGAGTTATACTCCGCTGCGAACCACCCACTCCAAATGGAAAGGAACCGGTGTCGGTGAACATCTTATCAAAGGCATGATGAATTGAAGGCGGGTCAATCTCCTCGTCAGACGAGTTTTGCAGCAAATCATAAGTGGTGCGATACTCGTCATAATGCGCAAACCATTTTGAACGTCTTCGTCAAAGTCAGTACTGGCGAAAAAGAAGCAAGAGACAATACACACAGACCTTCGTGTATCTTCGGATTTTGAGTTACGCTCTGCAGCTCGGGTACTAGCTTCCGGCGAAGTCTTTAGCTGTTCTTGGTCGATATCAATATCGACGGTGTCTTCTCGATTATCTTCGACTGAATCGAAATCGACACCATGTTGAGCTAAAAGTGCTTCACACTTCTTGAGTCGCTCGATCAGTTCTCGTTCGTGCAGCTTCTTCTTCCTGCGTCTCGCAGGTTGTAGCGGTACGATTTTGCATTCGACCTGTGCTCGAACACAGTTGGAACACGGTTTCTGTTGATCACAGCGTACCTTGCGCTGTTGGCACAGCACGCAGGAATGCCCTCGTGTCAGACTCATGATAAAACGATATGATATGAGTGGGGACCATGTGAATTCAAGTGTATGAAGTAGATAGAAGGTGCTCGGGGACGTGAACTGCACTCGGTCCCGAACGTGGCATTTTCGGTTCCGCTCGGGGTCTGCTGAACGCGACGCTAAACCCAAAATGGATGCCAAAGTACACTGTACTGGATTTGCACGGAATCTAATGCAGAGGCTCGACCACAGGTCACCTTCGCGAACGTGAGGAAAAAAATTGCGGGCAGTGCTCGCTGATCAAACGAGACCGAGCCTCCTGGAAATTTGCTCGGGGTTTTGGCAAGCCCGATCGGATACTAGGGTCTCTTTTCGTCTTTATATAAAGCACTTTCCTTGAACTTTACCAAATACAAGACTACTTTTTCGACAAGCTTCCACAATTGGATTTCAGACCTAAGCCGCCCAAAGCACACGATGGCTCGCTCGGTATCATCAGTAAGCGACCACGGAAGCCAGACTGAACAGCCCAATGATGTCGACTCCCTGAAGTCCGATATTGAAAAGCAGGATGCGCACACTAAGGACACCGAGTTCCAACCAGGTGCAAAGATTAAACCACCAGAAGGACCTCTGGAGAGCCAATATGCACCCAAGACTCTCAAATTTTGGCTGATCATGGCGTGCAACTTTCTTTCTCTTTTCATCGTGGCACTCGACCGAACAATTTTGACAACAGCCATTCCACGGATCACCGATGACTTCAACAGCCTGGGAGATATTGGCTGGTATGGATCCGCCTACATGCTAACCAGCGCCACCTCCCAGCTGGCATTTGGCCGCATCTACAAATTTTATAACATGAAGTGGGTCTTCTTGGCATCGATCATTGTCTTTGAGATTGGATCGGCTGTCTGTGGTGCTGCTCCTACTTCAAATGCCTTCATTGCGGGCCGTGCTATTGCCGGTTTTGCCTCGGCAGGGGTATTCTCCGGTTGTATGCTCATTATCATCCCCATGGTCCCGTTACACAAGCGGCCGATGTTCCAAGCTTGCTTTGGAGCTGTTTTTGCCATTGCTTCTGTGATGGGTCCTCTTATCGGTGGTGCTTTCACTAGTGGTGTTACTTGGAGGTATGTTACCTGATGTCTGTATTGAGGAAATTGCTACTGACACAAAACAAAACTAGATGGTGCTTCTATATCAACCTCCCCATCGGAGCTGTCACCTGGGTATTCATGCTCCTGGTCTGGCACCCCAAGAAAGTAGTCCACGAGCCTGCTCCCGTTACAACACACGTCAAGCGTCTCGACCCCCTGGGTACATTATTTTTGGTACCGGCTATTGTGTGCCTGCTCTTAGCCTTCCAGTGGGGTGGGTCCACATACTCCTGGAGCAATGGGCGGATTATTGCCCTATTCGTTCTCTTCGGAGTCTTGTTCATGGCATTTATCGCAGTTCAGCTCCTTATGCCCAATACAGCTACGATTCCTGCGAGAGTGATTACTCAAAGAAGTATTCTGTGCTCAGCTACGTTTACCTTCTGTGCATCCTCATCCATGATGATGATTATCTACTACATCCCAATTTGGTGTAACTTTCCCTCCTTTTCTATTTGTTGATCATCATCTAACTTTGACAAGTCCAAACGGTCAAGCTGGTCAACCCAATTCATTCAGGTATTTACACCTTACCTTTTGTGCTTGCTCTCGTTGCTGCTAGCTTCGTCTCCGGTGCCGTCACCCAAAAGATTGGGTACTATGTTCCGACGATGATGCTCAGCCCATGTGTAATGGCCGTGGGATTGGGCTTGATGTCAACATTCCAGCTAGACACCGGTTCTCCACACTGGATTGGATACCAATTCTTGTCCGGATTTGGCTTGGGGCTTGGCATGCAAACTTCTGGTCTGGTCGTTCAGAGAATCCTCCCGATGACAGACGTGTCCACCGGAATCGCTATCATGTTCTTCGTTCAGCAACTTGGTGGTTGCATCTTCACAACTGTCGGTCAGGCTATTCTGAGCAATATGCTTGTCTCCGAGCTCACTGGCATCCCGGGCATTAACCCAAGTATGATTGTCAATCAAGGCGCTACGAAGTTGGTATCTATTGTCACGTCGGGAGATATCGTCATTGTTCAACGGGCATATAACAAGGCTTGCACAAGAATCTTCCTTGCTTCCTTGGGCTTGGTATTTGGTGCCCTCATCAGTAGTCTCGGGGTGGAGTGGAAGAACATCAAGAAAGGAAAGAACGGCCAAGATGCACCAACGGGACCTGGTGCTAATGACTCTGGTGAGTCCAAAGACAATGAGCACAATGTTTCGGAGGATAAGAAGAATGGATCCGAAAAGACAGAGCAAAAGAGTCCCTAGAGAACAAGTTAATAAAGGGGATGATGAGGATGATCTTGGTACTGCCAGAGGAGCAGAACCAGCACGCCCTTGTATAATTCGACCAATCTCCACATAGAATCAATTGTTAATATGTAATAATTAGATACTTTATTCTTAATGAAAAAAAACGTAAAAGAGTATGCACATACGTATTGGAAGGTGAGGGGATTATGACACTAGAAGTGGACAGTCGACAAGTATTTACTAGTGGGCAAATTCCGTCGGGCTGAATCAGACTCGAGATGATCTTCGTTTACTCTGTACCGGAGTTAAAGGTTATCGGAGTTAAGGTCGCTGGGGTTATTTCGCCCCTAATCCTCCTGTATTGCTTAGTTTCATCGAGCTGCATTTCCACAATCCTCTAACAAGGTGTTGCTTTCTTCTTCTGAAAGGTCTCGGCACTTGGAGAGCATTATCTACAAATTTTCAACCCCCATGGTCATGTACTTCTCTCTCGGTCTGTTGTAATGAGCAGAGGCTGAACGTATGCTCATTTCTAGCCTTTACGGAAATCCAAGCTGCTAAACATCTACCTCTTCCGACCGAGTGCATAACCAAATACCCTCCCAACATTTTCTTCATTTACAATGGCTTCAACCCTTACTATAGCCGAGCTTAAGGCGAGCGCTGTCGAATTTGTGAATCGACTCGGGAACGAGCATGACACAACGTCAGCGACTATCATCGGGCTCCTCGACGAAGAATTCGCGGTGCAGCATGGCGAGCTGTCGCCCTCGACTGGAGGCCGCGATGCTTTCCTAACCGGATTAGGAGAAAGATTGAAGCTTTCACAGAGGAAGGTTAGTGTCGAGGTCAAGCACGTGATTGCTGAGCTATACGATGATGGCGCAAAAGGTGGACAGTGCTGGATTTATAGCAGGAAGAACACTCCAACGGGATCTTCTAATAGCGTATGTGGATTATTTCCCCTTTCCAGATATTGAACATAAGACAGGACGGGCACTGGGACTGATACATACTGCGCAGCTTGATATGATCACCTTCAACTCGGAAGGCAAAATAGTATTTTGTCAAGACTTACACAGCCCTAAGGAGTAGAAATGATCAAGATTGTTCCAATGGCCCATTGGGTTCATTTGAGGATGTTGAAGCAGTGGAAGCACGAATAAGTATTAGGCGGTTCTCACAATATCATGCATACGTGATCATACGTCCAACAGGACTGTTGTATATGTGAAGGATGCAACCATTTCTACTTCAGACTACACCTTCAATCTCTAAGTCAAGCGTCGTAGAATATATCATCTGAGAGCTATACATTCTGCCAGGTCTTCGGCAATTCGTTCGCAGGTTGGATTCTGCGGGCCCCCAAAAGTTCTAACCTCAATCACACACTCCCGCTTAATAATAGCGAATCTTATTGAATAGTCGAGTGGTGAATATAGATCTTCCCGAGTATACTGAGCAGACATAGCTATGGAGTTGTAAAGCAGGAGGGACTAGAAAAGTCATATAACATGGATCGCAATGTCTTTCTATTCTCCTTTCCGAACCAGTGTCCATTTTATTGCCGCTCTCATGTTACACAAGTTACAACTTTCTCCCCTTTAAGTACACGCAAACGTCGCCTTACGACGGGTCACAGCTTGGCTCTCGGTTCTCGCACCCAGGGATTTTAACCTTGGAAAATTGATAAATTCCATCCCCTCTCGACCTAAGTGTGGTAAAGACCCCAGGAAACGGTTTCATCTTCAACTGAAAAGTCGTCCTGGCAAGACATCTCACCCTTAGCACCTACTAAGCCACTCCACTGGAACCGCGAAATAGAACCATTGATCAAGTCAATGATATCCTGGTTACCGATTTTGAAACCTTTGTCACTGTTCGTGACGCCGAACGCACAAGTGCCGTATTGGACCAGTTGGTGCTGTATCCCATAGCCTTCGACATGCCAAGTCCCGCCGCCGGCAATGTTGGTCGCAATCTGTTGGCAGTCAGAAACGGTGGGGGAGCCTCCGGTGGACTCGTTTGTGAAGGTCGAGTCGCCGCAGTCGTTGATTGAGTCTCTTGTGATGAGTATGGTAACTGGGTTGGTGGTTTGATGGTGGGTGGCGGGTGCTGCGTAGGCTGTAGCAGCTAGGAGGACTGAGACGATTGTGAATGTTTGGAACTTCATGTTGGAGAGATGGAGATAACGGATTGAGGATTGATTTAGGGTTGGTTACAGGTGTAGTCGTGGGGGTCTTGCGACGAGAGGAGAGGACTAACGATCATGCTGTTGTTTTCATTTTGAGAGGATCGAGAAGGTATCATTATAAGGTAAACCGCAAATGAGGGCAGAGTCTTAGGTAGTCCCAAGACGAGCAGAAGGATTCAAATCGGCGCGCGAAGGGGCGTACAAATCCTAGCGGGCAAAAAAAGACGCCTCCATCCTCCAAGTCTAACTGCATACGGAAATTCACAGGTCTTCATTTTACAAAAGAGAATTGCAAAATAGCGGGGCCTCGAGCTTTCAAGTTGGGCGCAAGTTATGTGCACAGGGGGTAGTCTCGAAAACACGAACTTTGAACTTTGCGCTGAGAAAACAAAATCATCTCAACTGAATGCGGATTGCTCTTTTTATGCGAAAGCCTCTGAGTTGAACAACTAAAACACTGCCCGAGCTATCTTCCATTGAAATCTGCAAGGACCATATCCGATAACATTTCTGCGATACCAATCATACCATAGAGCAATGCAGATGTATGCGCGGAAGCTTGCAGTGACGACTGAAGCACCAACCATGCGAGGAATTTACACGCTATAGACCCAAGTGGCTGGGTCTACAACGCCTCTGGGCTCCTTCGGGTTTTCTGTCTTGATCCGGCTGCCCGGTCACATCAAATATAGGTCCTTCCCTGGCTCTCGGTCCTGCGTACTAACATGGGTCCTTTCGCGCCGCTGATGATCTCCAGGGGCCAAAAAGGGTGTTTTAGCGGTCTAGATTGATGAAATATTATCTACTACACATAAAAGGATCCTATATAGCGAAAGTGAGCATAAGTTAGTGGACTTCCAAATTAGATTAATAATAGGTTCGTCCGCGGAGTGATGTATGGCCGTATTTTGTGGAAGCGGCCCCATTTTGTTGAGAGTGAATTCTTGGCGGGGCATTTTGTGACAATTTAATTATATATTATGTGTTGGATTTTTGGTTGCTGACTTCCGATCAATCCAATATAATTCGCTATTAAAAATGTTCGCGGGGAATCATCGTTATTAGTTGCATTTTAACACAAACACAATATCAAAAACCACCTACGTCTTAGTGTTCTTTATCTGATTGCTTACGGGCAAAGAACTAAAGAGGCTTATGCTTGACGTTCCTACTTTAGTCTCCCTAAAATCCGTTCCGATTTCTGCCCCCATTAAGAATGAGAAAGTTGAAATGTAACCTTTACCGGCGCCTCGCCGGAATGGGTCTAACCTGGGGTCGAGTATGTAGGAAACTTTTACCACAAAACAAAGCGTCACACAAAATCAACATCCAGTATCTGAAACTCGTTCCGAGCCTTGTATGAGCACACTAACGGATCGGGACGGGTTGATGGAAGGCGTCTTGCTATCAGAAGTGGTATGCGGCCTTTATCTACAATACATTAATTACTACTACCTCTGGACGACTTCGCTTTGGAAACGAAGGTACCCCACGTCTGACATGTTGGCACGGAAGAGATATCTGCAGGTGCTTTGGGGAAACGGGCCTGAGATATGATACCTCTGAAGGTCTGCATCTGCCTCAATCCTTCTATAATCTTCTTCATCTTGGGCCTCAAGTCGATGTGCTTCCCACTGTACACCATCTAAGCGTCTATAAACACAAACTTGGGCTCGATATGTATCAGAATATTTGACACTTTCTGTGTTCTACACGTCAAATACAAAATATAAATCTTGGCCGGGCGTGAAAGATATCCACAAGTATGGTAGGGTACAAAGGACATGTTAACCAAGGTTTGATTTACCTAGCGGTGAAACTAAACAAGACAGAAATTTGAGCATTAGAGCCAGAATATAGATTAACATATGTCCATGTACAATGGATCCCTAATTGAAGTTTCCACACTCAAATATGCCCCTTTGAGATGGAAGATACCCACTGGTTGACTGTCATAAGCTGGTCTGCGATCACGGGCCAAACCAGATTGACTGCGGCCTTTTCCAACTCAATCGAAAATGCCGCAGTTGCATCGGTACTGATTTTCAAGAGTTAGCGATCTCGTCACAAGACCTTTAGCCTTTAATATCGGAGGTATATTGAAACTCACATCAAGGTGACGTGGAAACCGCTATTCAAACAGAGCGTATTCTTAGTAAAGTGTCTAATCAAAAGGTCGGGTCGGCGAAGAATACTCACATTTCACGAGCAGCACGCGCAGTGGACTCTACACATGTGTTGGTGGTTAAGCCTGCCAACACAATATGAGTAATGTCATGCTGTCGAAGTTGATACTCTAGGTCGGTGTTCGCAAAGGAACTGGCGTTATATGCGTTAGTATCGTCCTATATACAAAAGAAGGACTCAGATAGGATTGGTCTTCCAATACTCACCTACTGTTCCAGTGTCGAGAGACAACTACATCGCCATTGGCCCGCTGAGGTTCCAGTTCTTTCAGGATCTGGCCACCAAACTCTTCGGAAAAGGCCGCATTCTGTTTGATTCGAATATGCGACGCATTCATGTGGTTCCAGCCCGAGTAAGTTCCATCCTTGGTGATTTGGTGAAGACCATAGAAGATAGGAATGCGGGCTTCTCTTGCGCCAGCAACCAGCTCCTTCATATGTTCAAGAGAGTTAGACGACTCCAAGCTCGCCTTGATGAGAGGATACAGCTTTCCATCGGGATGGAGGAAATCATTGAGCGGATCAATGAGAACAACAGCAGTACGAGGGCTCATGGTTGCAAATGATCGAGTAAAAAGTATGTTTGATGCAAAGTAAAACCACTGGATCTGGTCTGCACTCTTATATCCTAGTTCAATGGTTGATTTATAAGAGCATCGGTGATCGGTGTTTGGTCATTGAGAGTTACAGGAAATGATTATTCATAAAGAAAGATCCCAAGATTACGTATGAGCTGTGTAGAGGAAACGCCACAGAAATATCGACCCTTGGGCGCTGTGACTTCCATTTTGGGACTAGTGTGGCGAACGGACGGGAATCCTCGGGTAGCTGTGGACAACACAGCTCACAATCATTCTACGTGGTGTATTGCTTCTTGAAATTTACTCCGAATACATATTTGGCAGTCTGAGCGTCCGCTTGCAAAGAAGTGGCCCAGCAAACCGCCAGGTTGCGCCATGCCGCTTTATCCGGGAGCTTCTCAAGGATGCGATGAATGCCGCCGACGCCGCAAGAAGGTATGGATATTGTTCCGTTTCTACAGTGACACGCTTGGACTCTATAATAATGCTGAAAACAATAAGTGTGATCTTAACAAACCTGAATGTCTTCGGTGCTGCAAAACTGGTATCAAATGCAGCGGTCCGAGAGATTCACGGACGTTCATCAATCGGAATATTGCAAATTTGACCCAACAGACTGATAAAAAAGCGCTAGTCTACGCATTACAAAATAGAAGAAAATTGAAGTCAACCGCCGCCGATTTTGAGAGCTCAGGTGGGGATAATTCTCTCTCCCGAAGAAGTACGCAAGCTGCTACTGAGCCAAGTCTACCTTCTGATATAATTTCTATTGATTTTCCTGGGCGCTTGACGTTCTTGGCATTGATCGAAGACTTTAAACCTGTTTCCATGGGGGGTATATTCAGCGGCGATAGAATATCGCGAGACGACCCCATTTATTCGAGCGCAGCTTTGTGCATTCGAGCTTTGCTGCCGCTCACATCTTTGCAGATTGACTCGCTGAATTTGCCTATCTTCGGTCTCCTCATGACTTATATGGGAAACCTGAAAAATGACATAAAGCTAGCGCAACTCGCACAGTCATCATACACGTCTGCCTTGAAAAAGTCGCGTCCACATATCCAGAAGGTTATAGGAAATCGCCAACCCGATGCTCAATCAAAGGCCAACCTTGAATTGATCTTGCTACTCGCTATAGCCTTTTTGGCATATGAGGTGAGAATCCGGTTCATAAATGAATGAGAAGTTTCACTTCCTTTCCTAACCGCTGTTTGTAGTTCGTGAACGAAAATGAATACTCAGAAGCAGCTCTTTTGGCCCACATTGGTGGTGTGCTAAGCATCTTAGAGCTCTATGGGCCGTGCAATTTCTCTTCACCACAGATACGGCAAGCCTTTAGTGGATTTAGGGGGATCTTTGTATGCATCCTTCAGTATTCATTGCTCTTGCTTCCGCTGACGATCCTACAGCTTTCAGTTAGACTTAGCAAAAATATTCCAACCTTCCTAGCAGATTCAGATTGGATACGCCTCCCATTTCTGAACATTCGGAAGACCAGAATGGAGCTTCTTCATGATATTGCGTTGCAGATACCATGGCTCTTTTACCGAACAGATCGATGGTTTGAGGGGCTTGAGAGTTCTGCTTCCAACGATTCCAACCGCCAAGAAATCTCAGACTCCCCGAATCACAATCTAGAAACCGCTCTCTCGCTTTTAAATGATTACTGGGCGGTCTTTGATCTAATGGAAGAGTGGCAAAACAACTGGAAAGCTTCCGAACAAGGCCCCCTATATTGGCATTCTGATATCCCAATGCCCAGCAAAGTGATCGACGTCGACTCAGTTTGCATACCTACATTCCCAGATGACACATACCAAGTCCGTTTCCAAAATACCCAAAAGGCAGGACTTGCTGTTACCTTCTGGTCCTTTCGCCTGGAACTTCTCATGGGAATGATCAAACTACAGCGAAGCTTATCCGGCTCACAGGCTGAATCATTGGAACAGAACCTGGCCGTGGCGGAAGAAACAGCTTGTCTGATTCTGCAAACCGCACCATACCTTACATGTTGTTTTGAGGGTGCAGTGGCTTCAAAGGCTCCGCTTCGAACTATAAAGAGATACTTTGAGCTGGGAGCTTTTATGGACAAGTCAAAGGGGCTCATTTCCTCAAATGTATAATGGAAATGTGTATGAGCCTGGTGCAGGTGATATAATTAGTCAACATGGCCCCAGCAACCGATGGGCCGTTCGTCCCCACAGGAAAAACGAAGAATCAAGAGCGAATACAACTTTGTCCTAGGGCGGCAACTTGGCTACCGGTTGATAAAACTTCTGTGCTGCACTAGGCCTAGAATCATCACGACCTACCTTACGGACCTCAAACAAGCGGTCGGAAGCCATGGTCGCCAAGCGATTGATGCAGATCGGTCCGAACGACAGCCGCCACGACATCGTGCATCATAAGAAAGGCGAGCTTCAGTTGAAGTAAATTGAGTTGCATCGCATGGGCCTTCTTATTCGTGTTCTAAAAGTTCTCTTGTCAATATTTAATAATAGACAGGGCTTGAAAATACGATCCCATTAGGTACTTCGTCGCGCCCCATTAGAATGGGATTCGCGTTTATGTACCAACGATGCGTTTCGATCACCAACTGGGAGTGACTCCAGTTGGCTTTATGGTTCATATGTTTCAAATCTCGCTCTGGGTGCGCTCTGGGTGCTCAGTGAGCGGCTCCTGAGGCGGCAGATTCCCCGTCACCAGTATTACATGAAGGACACAATCACCTGGTTCTGGCATAAAGAATCATAGAGCTCTGCAAGCCCTGCTAAATAGGGCCATGAAGTCGTCCCCGATCATGTTCCCGTTTGATGCAATTCCTGTACACCGTCTAGACATGTCTAAACAGAACACACACCGCGCCTTGATTCAGGGTATCCGGATGCCATACTTCTCGTACGGAAAGTTCTCCAGCGTTGGGAGCAACTGCCCGAAACCATCTCCCACCTCACCCGTCTTGCCAGCTCCCTGCACCCGCCAAGCCTGCAGCTCGTCCGCCTCCTTCTCGGCACTGCTCTTCTCTTCTTCCTTGTGCGCCCCTGTAAGACCAGCAAGCACTTCTTCCTCCCGTCCCTTGTACTCATTCAGCAGACCAGGATGCGGAACCCAGACGACCTGCATCCCCGCCCGACGACCGGCCTCTACCCCCGGAACAGCATCTTCAAATACGAGGCACTCCTCAGCCTTGATCTCCGTCTGACCTTTACTCCGCAGATCGGCATTGATCGTCTCCAGCGCAAGAACGTAGATATCAGGCAATGGCTTCCCGCGCCCATTTCCAATGCGCGGGTCATCCCCGAGCACGCGGTGTGCCTGCGGGAACGCAGTGAACAGATCCGTTAGGTGGTCTGTCTTCAGATGGAAGTTTTTCGCATTGGACGATGTGGCCAGCGCAATGTGCACGGGGTGCGCGGTCGACTGGGTCGAGACCAGCTTCGACAGCAACTCCACCACACCGGGCAGAGGCTGTGACTCTGGGAAATACTTCTGACGCAGCGGCTCTTGCTTTGCGGTCAATTCTTCCGGTGTGATGGGCAGCTGGGCCCAGTCGAAGAAGATTTTGATGGCCTGGCAATTGGGTCAATGCGGGTTAGTGGGTGATGTATATTTGGGTAGATATACCTCTGTCTGTGGCCGTCCCTGCAGTTGGGCCTTGACATCCCAAGGCAGGTTGGGTTTGCCATACATCTGCAGCACTTCGTTCGTGACCATCGTGTACTTGTCCTCGGAGTCGATCAGCAGACCGTCCATGTCGAACAGACAGGCCCGGATTTGGGGGAGACTGTGGTATTGTTAGTTACTTATAGTATTCCGGAAACAGTCAATGCACATGCATACCTGGTAGTAGCTGCCATCTTTGTTTATAGAGTCGTTGTGTCTGGTGGAAAATTCGCCTGTGCCAATCGCGGGGTGAATCCCTTATCGGTCCCGTGATTTTGACGATCACCATTTCTCCCTCTGTCGCGTCTCTTTATTCCTGTTCCATTTCTTTCTCCTGCACAATGCCCGAATCCTCCAATGCGCCCGAGCGCGACCATGTCGAGTCCCCGGGTGAAGACGAGGACGAGTTCCACGATGCGCGCTTCCCCGCAGAGGAAGAAGCCGTGAGTCTTCGTGTTCAACAGCCCATTTATTCAATCCCCTCTAATCTGGCCAACTCGCAGAAACTCCGAGAAGAGGCCCATGCGATCAAAGCAGAAGCCAATAAACTCTTTAGCGCGAGATGCTACGACCAAGCGATATCCTGCTACGACCGCGCCCTTGCCTCGTGCCCGAACTACCTCGACTACGATGTCGCTGTGCTGCGGAGTAATATCTCAGCCTGTTATCTGAAGCTGGACGACTGGAAGGCTGCAGTGGATGCTGCCACCGCATCTATCGAGCGGCTGGATAGGATCTTACCACCATCAGGGCCACCACAAGATAAGGGATCGGGGGGCTCATCAGACCTGAGAGCCGAGAGGACCGACACAAAGGACTCGGATGCTGTGGTGGAAATAACAGGCGACGAGGAAGAAGGAGAGAAGGAGTTGCAGAGACTGCAGGAATTGGACAAGAAAAGAGCGGACGTCTCGCGCATCCGAGCGAAGGCGCTCATGCGACGCGCAAAAGCCAAATCGCAACTAGGCGGTTGGGCCAACCTGCAAGGAGCGCTAGAGGATTATCAAGCCTTGGCGGCCATGGAAAATCTCCCTCCGGATGAAAAGCGGATTGTCCAGCAGGCGTTGCGTGAGCTCCCGGAACGCCTCAACCAGGCGAAGGAGAAGGAAATGGGGGAGATGATGTCGAAGCTGAAAGATGTGAGTGTTTCCGCCTCGCTCATTGAGATTGCATGCTGATTGAGGAATTCATAGCTGGGTAATGGCATCTTGAAGCCGTTTGGTCTGTCGACGGACAACTTTAACTTCGTTCAGGATCCGAAGACGGGTGGTTATAACATGAACTTTCAACAATCCTGACCTTACATACATATATATATAATCTATGCATGGCTGGCGATGACGGACCGGAGCATTTAAGTCTCTTGATAAACATGAATCTCATCTTTCTATTATTCAATCATTCGATGGCACAGGAATTCCCCGCCATATCCCCGACCCCACACGGGTACCGCATGGGGGGTATGTGGGGTATTTATAAGCCGGTCTTCATCCTCTCGGAATTGGTGGCGGTGCAAGCTACAACAATGGCTACTCTGCTTAACACAACAGCCCTGGGGAGGATACAGGGCACAACGGAGGATGGTGTGACCCAGTACCTCGGCATCAAATATGCTACCCTCAAGGACCGCCTAGCAGACGCAGAACTGATCGCGGAACGAGACGGCAATGTGCTGGACGCAACGAAAGACGGGTAAGTCCTGGCAGCTAAGGAGAAACACGTTTTCTTATTCGTTCTAGTCCAACGACCGTGTCCCCTGCGGCTGGATGGGGTGCCGAGCTAGAACACGTCCAGCATCCACTGCCCAAGAAAGAGCTCGCTCAGTCGGATGTGGATTGTCTGAATCTGAATATCACCGTGCCCTCGGATACTATACCTTCTTCGAAGTTGCCCGTCTTTTTCTTTATCCATGGCGGTGGGTTGGTTGTCGGAGCCAACTCGTGGCCCCAGTTTGACAACAAGCGGTTTGTCACGCTCTCAGTGCAGAAGAATCTGCCGATTCTTGCGGTCTCGATCAAGTATGTACGGAATAAATATTGGTTTAATCTCCGCTGACAACCGTCTAGTTATCGTCTTGGGGCTCTCGGCTTTCTGACATCCGAGGACCTGCGAAATGCCGGGTACAAGGCCAACAATGGCCTTCGTGACCAACGCGTTGCTATGCAATGGGTACAGAAGCATATTCGTGATTTTGGAGGTGATCCAGACAATGTAACAGTAGCTGGGATGAGCGCAGGAGCAGGTAATGATAACGATCTAACGTCTATTCTGTCACTAACCAATTTCAGCATCTGTGACATACCATCTCCATTCCGACCAGGCGCTTTTTAAGCGGGCGATTTCTTTGAGTGGATCTTTCTTTCTTATACGAGCGCGGCTTTATGAAGCCCACGAAGGAAATTATCAGCAAGTTATAGCTGCTTTAGGCTTGTCGGATGCTACTCCCGAGAAGAGACTTAAAGCCCTCCTAGAAACACCAGTACAAGATCTCGTTGCGAAGATTCCTCCATCTGCATTGACTGCTCCGGCCATTGACGGGGATATTGTTCATTCTGATGTTTCATTTGAAGAAGTTGGCAAGCAGGACTCGAATCTTCCCTGTGGGAAGAGCTGGTGTCAGGACTTGATGCTCGGAGACGCCGGGCAGGATGTAAGTTTGACTGGCGATGCCAAGGTATTTATAATTGACGATGGTCCAAGGCTTCGATTCTTGCATTCACGATGCCCTATCTGAAGAACAATTGCGCAAAGAGACTCATCTCTGCACTTCACATTGCTCTAGCCTCGCATCCTGCCGAGGTGGAACGTCTCCTCGCAACTTACGGTATCAAGGAAGACACTCCTGATGATGATGCACTGCCTTCAGTCTTGAACTATATCAACGACATAGGCTTTTTCGCCCCGGTCCTAACTCTAGCCCGAGGCTGGCGCGGAAATGCCCACATCTACTATTTTAACGAGGGCAATCCCTGGAACGGTCAATGGAAAGGACAAGCAAACCATATCCTAGACTCGGCCTACTTATTCCAGAATTTTAGCGAATTCATGACTCCCGCTCAGCAGGCAGTTGGTGTTTCTTTTGCGGAGGATTTCTTTAAGTTCTGTCATGGCATTGCCCCGTGGCCCGCTGTTACAGCGGGGGTTATTGATAAGGCATTCTCAGCTCGTGTCTATGGGCCCAGCGACCACGGACTAGATGCCGGCGTGGTGCATCAGCCATATGGAGGTGAGAGTGGGAGGAGGAATGTGTTGTTTGACCTCGCTCCTGGAGTTATCTTGGATGACTTGGCGAAGGCTTTTGGGATTTTTATGACTAGTTAGTTGTCTCTGTTTTGTTGGACATGCAGTACACATGACCATGTATGAGGGCTATCGAGAACCAAATTTTTTTTTCTCTATCGGTTTTGAGAATGAGTTGGTAATACAAAATCTACAGAGGATAGAGGCAGATTTGAATTGTTAGTGCATTTCGGATAGAAAGATATTTAATATGATAGCCTGAGTGCAACCCTGCCTCGGCTTACAAGCCTCTCTTGTGTTATCTCGTTGGCCAAATTGCTTGAAAGTTGCCCGCGGCCATCTCCACATTTGGCCGCGGCCAGATGCAGACGAGGGGGTGTGACTTGGAATGCTTTCGGCGTTCTACATTATAAATACTCCTAATATTCACTGCTGTCTCCGAGCTTTTTGAACCCAACATAATCTTGTGGAGCCTTTATTCTTGTCATACCTATCGGAGTATTAGTATACAATGGCTCCGGACACCACGAACGAGACAACCGTCTCCACATCAACCAAGAGCGAAGCACCTCTTCTCTACCCCGGCCTCAACCAAGACGAACTCCAGGCGAAGACAGCTAAGTACCTACTCAACTACGGAACCAAGTTCAACAAAGACATCATCTGTGGTAGCAAAGGCCTATATGTCTACACGGCGTCAGGCCACAAAATCCTGGACTGGACCTCAGGACAGATGTCATGTCTACTAGGGCATGGACATCCTGAGATTGTCAAAGTAATTGCACACCATGCCGCCTCTCTGGATCATCTCTTTTCAGGAATGGTCTCGCCCCCGGTGATCAGTTTAGGCGAGCGGCTCTGCAGTCTCCTCCCGCCTGGCCTGGATAAAGCGTTCTTCCTTTCAACTGGAGGCGAGAGTAACGAAGCAGCCATCAAGTTGGCAAAAGTGTATACAGGGAGATTTGAGATTGTCGGATTGGGAGCCAGCTGGCACGGCGTTACGGCACAAGCACTGGGCACGCAGTATCACTTCGGTCGCAAGGGCCAGGGCCCACTGATGCCTGGTATGCTGATGCTTCCTCCACCCAACGGGTATCGGTCTGTCTTCCGTAAGCCTGATGGCTCGTATGACTGGGATGCGGAACTGGAGTATGGTTGGCGCATGATTGATATGCAGTCGTGTGGCTCACTGGCTGCTTGCATTGTTGAGTGCATCCAGTCGTCCGGCGGAATGCACGTTCTACCGTCGGGGTATCTTGCAACATTGAAGAAGCACTGTGAGAAGCGCGGAATGCTTCTTATTGTCGACGAAGCCCAAACAGGAGTTGGGCGGTGCGGTGACTTGATGGCGACCATCCACGATGGTGTCGTCCCCGACATTCTTACGCTGAGCAAGACACTCGGCAATGGTCTTCCGTTGAGCGCGGTTGTCACCAACGCTGAGGTTGACCGGGTCTGCTCCGAACGAGACTACTGTTTCTACACAACTCATGTTAATGATCCGCTTCCCGCCGCAGTTGGCGACAAGGTCCTCGAAATTGTGGTTCGCGACAATCTTGTTGAGCACTCACGTTCTATGGGCAAGATCCTCCACAACGGTCTCAACAAACTGAAAGACAAGTATGGCTGCATTGGCGATGTACGTGGGCGAGGCCTCATGGCTGGCGTTGAAATTGTCGAGGACCGCGAATTCAAGACACCCGCTCCGGATTTGGGTAGAGCTGTCGCTGACCGTGCCTACGAGTTGGGTTTATGGGCAAATCTGAGTAGCCATTCTAGTTTTGGGGGAGTCTTACGAATTGCACCTCCGATAACAATCACTGCCGACCTGCTACTTAGCGGTCTGGAGCTTCTGGAAAAAGCATTTGAGACAACACCCGGGACTATGGCGCTTTGACGAAGATGATGAATGCAGGCTCCGGAAGATTGGAGTCTTTTGTTCATACATCTAATCTGGAAACTCAGTCTTAGTAAACCCCACTCCGTTATTCTACATATTCAAATGTCTCCATGTCATCAGAATGCCAAAAATCATTGATTTCCCTACAATTTGATTCTCTTTGTTCCTCTATAGATCAAATGTAGTGCGACTAGCCGTATCCGGATTAGCGCATTTAACTACTCACGTGATCTTCAAAATCACCTCCATCAGAGCCGACGAGAGCACTTCAACAGAACACTCCATCGGCTTCAGTGGAAATGTGGATCAACTGCGGGCTGCTGTCCGCCTTTACCCAAGCACGATATGTGCTTCATCTGTCGAATGGCAAACGGCTGGTGTTATTCCGCCTGCCGTCCATTGACCAGTCAATCTCAAGACCCAACGAAACTAGCGACGGGTGGTCTTACTATGCTATGGAGGCCGAATGTCCGCATGCTGGCGGACCGATGGCAGACTCACATGTTGATATCGAAGACTCGGCGTACGTTGTCTCGTGTCCGTGGCATGCGTACGATTTCAACGTGGAGACCGGGGAATCCAGCGTGGGAATCAAAGCATGCACATTTCCCGTCGATGCCCGTGGGGGGGTCCGTTCTACTCCAATATCCGGCCGAGAATGAAGGTCGTATTCAACTGTCCAAACTTGAGCCTGTGAGCGAGAAGGCCAAGTTAAAGCACGAGCAACCATCAACAGAAAACCCTACTCCCCCGCGAGATCCAGGAGCAGCACATTACTTGAATCAAAGTGCGACATTATGCGACTGGGCCGTGCACATCTTGAATACAGCCAATCCAGAGCACAAGATTGAACTCACCATCTATCTCTTCTCCACATTTACTAGTCGCGAGAATACGGACTCGCCGATGCCTCTGGGCAGAGGCACGATTACCCCTCCAGATAATCCACCAAGAGAAAACTTGACAACGGTGACACCAGGCACCATGCCTAAATCCGGGCGAGGTGGAACGCTCAAAAGCCGAATCGCCATGCTCCACGCTCTAGCCAATATTGAACTGTGGGCTATTGATCTGGCCATCGATATCTGCGTTCGATTCTCAACATTTCGCACAAACGGAAACTCACAGGAACTTCCACGAGCATTCTTCCATGACTGGCTCAAGGTTGCCAGCGATGAAGCAAAGCACTTTTCTCTTCTCCGCGCCCGACTCGAAGAACTCGGCTCTTCTTTCGGTGCGCTGCCGGTACATCACAGCCTCTGGGACTCTGCCACAGAAACAGCGTACGATCTTAGGGCCAGAATCAGCATCATTGCCCTTGTTCATGAAGCCCGGGGTCTTGACGTGAATCCTATGACTATCCAGAAATTTCGCAATGCGGGCGATGCCGAGAGTGTCAAGTCCCTCGAGGTGATCCATAACGATGAAATCACGCATGTCACTACGGGGCACCGGTGGTTGACCTGGATCTGTGGTCAAGAAGGAACCGATCCGGTGCAAGTGTTCCGGTCCAACGTCCAGAAGCATTTCCGGGGCCCTATACGGGGGCCATTTAATGAAGAAGCGCGACTGCAGGCTGGGATGGATCGGCGATACTATGAGTGCCATGAGGACGGTGTCCCAACTTAATGATCATGAGCTTGACGAGTTGTATCAATAAATTTATTACAATGTAAAAATGAATGCATTATGCCAAACTAGATGTTTCTCGTTTACCTTTTCATTGGTTTGTGCTATGTTGGAATTAATGTGCGAAGAATAAATGCGACAAACTCCGTTTTCCGAGACGCAGTACAACATCAGGTTGTGAGATGAACAATCCTCCGAGCAGCAGACTCAAAGTCCGCATCCACAGTCAAGTTTTCCAAGTCAGCTTTGGAAATCTACGAGCATCGACTGTCAATGAGATACTTTCTGAAGGCGACGGGTACTTACCATCTTCAACGCTTTATCGCTGTTGGTCCCCTGCAGACGAACCACCACAGGGGTGTCGAACCCTCCAAGTTCTGCAGCTGCAGCGATAATAGACTCGGCAATCATATCACACCGCACAATCCCTGTGTCCGTTAAACACTATTCTCTCTTTCATACCCGGTCTCATACTCACCGCCATAGATGTTGATCAAAATCCCTCTTATCCGAGCATCCTTTTTCAAAATCTCAAACGCCTTTGAAAGCGTCTTCTGAGTAGCACCCCTCCAATATCCAAGAAATTCGCACACTTTCCTCCATAGATGCTAATGAGGTCGTTCGTCGCCATCGCCAGACCTGCACCATTGACAATATTCCCGATATTGCCATCCAGCCGAACATAGGAGAGACCCAGCCTAGCTGCATCATGTTCCTCCTCCTCTTCTGGAGACCGCTCCGCAAGACTGAATATCTCATTCTGCCTGAATTTAGCCGCGTTGTCAAAGTGGAACTTGGCGTCTAGGCAGACAAAGTCTCCTTCCGCAGTCTGAACGAGCGGGTTCAGCTCGATTAGAGTAGCGTCTTTTTCTTGAAAAAGGGCTGCCATCTGGTAGATTAGCGGCCGTAGGATGTCCATCTCATGGAAGTTGAAGTGCAGGAGGGTCTGGATGCTAGCGATAATCTCAGGAGTGACTCCTTCGGAGAGCCGGAACCAGAATCGATGCAAATTGTCCGTGTTGGATTCGATGTTGACTCCTCCATCACCAGAGATTAGAAGAACTGGGCTGTACCATTCGCGGTCAAAAGTCACGGCAAGGTAGAACTCCTTTGCGATATCGACCGCCTTGTAGATATACAATTTGTTCACTAGCAGACCGCCCGATGGTGTTTGTTTCGTTGTGAGGTAATATCCAAGCATATTACTGGCATTGTCCAATGCTTCCTTGGGACTGGAGGGGCAATCAGAAAGTGAAGCAGTTGGAAATGTATGGTTTCCAAACTTACGATTTAACGATGCGAACTCCTCCTTTGTTGTCACTATTGAACTTTCCCTTGCCTCGCCCACCGGCAAGTACTTGGGCCTTGAGTACTGACGGGGCACCTAATACCAGTTAGGCCTTTGCCTGAGATGCCACAAGTAGAACTGACCAATCTTCGCTACCACTGACTTGGCTTCTTGAGGGCTTCCTACTACAAATCCACGGGGCACGGGTATGTCGAACTCCTTTAAGTCAGCCTATAAGTTCAGATGAACAATGGGAGATCTTACATCTTTCAGAAGCTTATGGGAATGATACTCAAGTAGACTGAGTGCACGCACCTGCCTTGAGAATGGGCCATGTGTCTATTACCTCGTCAGAGAATAGTAGTTCATTCAAGATTTAGCTACCACACCTGTTGCAAGACACGCGCAAATAAACGGCTGCTGATCATTTTGCAGGTTTGCTTGTCATTCTCAGAATTCAAAATGTGGGGGAGACATGAGGTTGTCCCGTGTCCAGCATCTGACATCACCAGTGCCGAAATAAGGTTTATCTACATTTTTACCCCAGACTTTGGTCGCTGATATTATTTACTAATCAAGAATAGCCTGACAACTCTAAATGCGAATATTGACCCTTTGCCAGAGGAAGCCTAGGCCCTAAGCAGTCTCTACCACCGCGAATCGATGAGCAACCGATACAAAAACTGACGTGATCAAAGCTCCTTTGCCTTCACGCGCTTGTTTTGTACAACATGAAAGCAGGCGACTCCATCATTCGCAAGCTGTGCAACAAGCCCGTGCTCCCAGTCAATATATCCTTGCATATCCTTTCGTGCATTGCTCGTTCCCTCGTAAGGGCGTTTGTAGACGTCGATTGGCTGGGAAAGCCAGCGTGCCTCCGTCTCCAGTGGGCGATTAGCCGCTACCCAAGCCGCTGTACCCCCCACGAGGTACAATACTTCGCGCGATATGGTCTTGCGTGCATACTCAATATTCATAGCAGCAACGTTGCCGTTCGGTGAGGTCAGCACAATAGGTCCTGTTCCACTGACAGTATTCAGATCACGGACTAGTTCGGGTCCTGAAGCAAACCATGCGCCGGGAATATGACCTTTGCGATAAATTGGGCTGCGAGCGAGATCGACAAAGGTAGCCTCGGTTAGTGCAGCCAATTCATTCACCGTTATGGCGCCAGAATCCTGGCCCTGCCAGGAGGGAGTTTCGGGGCATAGAATGCTGTCAGGCACTTTAGACTTCTCGTCTAGAACGTAAACCTCCCAGCCTAGCTGCACAAGCCAACTACCCGTCATGCGGGCTCTCACCCCCATCTGTGTCATACAAAACAATGCAAGCGCCTCTTACACCGACCCATTCATCTGTAGCCTGAACCAGTTGACCACCGGGAGCAGATGAGAACCCTACCGGATGGCCTAGAGCATATTCGTCTGGGTCTCGGACGTCAAGCATGTAAAGAGTCCGAGTATTTGCTGTTGCCGCAAATTGACTGAGCTGCTCGCCATTTATAATTCTCACGCCAACGTGTTGTGCCCACGCTGCAGCGTATTCCCGTGCTTTAAGCGATGCGTCGTGTGAAGGTTGTGGAACTCTTTCGATCTTATTGTGTTCAAGTTCCAAACCCTCCAGCGTCCATCCAATGGTACCGTTTCTGAGAGCCATAACTCTATTTGGGATTCCGGAGTTGACTAAGGACTGGGTGCCAACAATCGAACGCGTGCGACCAGCGCAATTGACAATCACAGTAGTATCGGGAGAAGGAACGGCTTCGAAAAAGCGATAAAGAAGTTCACCCCCGGGACAGCTGCGACCACGAGGTATGCTCATCGTGTTGTACTCCTGAAAGCGCCTGGCATCCAATACCACCACATCCCGGTCCTTCTCCAAGATATCTTTCACATCAAGCGCGGGCAGGGATGGGGTCCCTGCGATAGCTTCCACAAGTTCGCCAAATGCTTTAGATGGCACATTGACATCACGATAAACTTCACCCACGCGGGCATAGGCTGAAAGTCCTCCATCTAAGATGGCAACATCATGATACCCCAAGGCTGATATGCGAGCTGCTGCCCATTCAACATAGCCCTCGCCATCATCGTAAACAACGATAGGAGCGGATAGCCGAGGCACCAATGACGGCAACTTTTCCTCGATCTCCGACACCGGTACACTTAATGCGAACAATGGATGGGCATCGGAATAAGGTCCTTCTTCCCGAACATCGAGCAGTGCAATCTCCTGGCGGGTTATCCAGTAGTGGCGCAAGTCTTGCGCGGTTAAAGACTTGACCATTTTGAATAAGATGAAGTACTTGAGAAGATAGCCAAGGGCAGACGGCGATACTTTGCAAGGCAGCTGTGAAAATTATAGTTTCAGTTTCCGTGTCCCACCAATGCACTATGTATCTGAGATGGGCAAGACATGTGGGGATGAAAACCGGAAGGAGTGTCCACTCGGAGGATTTTGCGAATTCGCCGTTTTTCATCCGCTGTGGAAAACCATCCGAACCACAAAACCTTCTGCGCAAATATCAATGGTGATTGAGTGGATTCCTGTGAAATATATAATAGTTGACTCGTCAGAACCTCCATAATTGGCGTCAAAGAGACGAAGAAATACCGGCCTAAGTTACATATGACTTGATGTCGCTCTTATTATCGATGGTAGCCAATTGTTGTGAAAGCATCCAGCCCACGGGTTTGCCCATCTGTGCTAATTATCAGTCATATGGAATCTGTTGAAAATGGATTTCTTGTCGTAAGAGGAGCAAAGAATGTCGTGCGAGAACAGTAACCCCGCACCTCCCCACTCATCTCGCCCGAATCGGACCATAGCCGATATTCGCACTCTTGTCTATTTGATGAAAGACTCCTATTTTAAGAGAACATGAATTGCATCACTCGGAAGCGAAAATCCTGCGAAGCGTGTCGTAAGTCAAATACTCTGGTCTCAAACCGTCGATCTGACATCTGGCTTCGTGCAGGGACGCGGAAGCTCAAATGTTCGGGAGAGAAAAGTGGGTGTTCCCGTTGTCGGTCATTATCTCTGTCTTGTAGATTTCAAGACAAGGGAACACCCGGAAGACCAAGAAAGCAACTACCAAAACCATTGCAGCAAGAATCTTCCAATGAAGAGCCGCAAAGGGCTAGCTGTTTTCAGCTCGCCTCTGACGTGCCTCAGGGATCAACGATCTCACGAGAAATCGACAATATACTAACGGGAAATGGCGATTTTGGCTCATTTCCAATCGAGCTGTTGGGCCCTGGCCATCCAACGGGGGCACAGGACTTGCCCGATCTGTCCTTAGAGACATTCGTGTCACCTCTGCTGTCTTGCAACTGTACCGAAGAGGTTTCAGAGTCAATCCGCACCCTGACTCGGGCGCCCATGTCACACAGCTTCATACGCAGCCTTCGTGTTGGAGTTGATCTCGTGGAAAGGCTGCTGACCTGCCCCGTCTGCTATGATGTGACGAAATCTCCCCGAATCACCATTCAGAATGTCCTTTTCATCGGCCGCTTAATGGCTGAAATCACATCTGGCTACCATAGGTACCTGAGATGGTTGAAAGAAACCTGCAACGCGCTAAGTGATAGAAATCACCGTGAAACAGTCTACCTTATTCCTGGTCTTGAAATTAGTCCAGTGTTGGGATTCAAGATCTCTGGCGAGAAACTCCAAGATCTTATCATGAACGGCCTTCAGGCCGATGCTGAACGACTTACTGCCTTGGCAAGAAGATTTGCACTGAGACAACGCGACCGCCACATGATTGGACACGAAGCATGTCCTGACGCCGGAGGACGCTGCTGGAGAGAGAAATACGGCGTTGGTCTCGATCCACTCGATGTTTGTCCACAGAGTCCTGCAGCAAAATCGATGACGCCGTGCTACCGTGTTGTGGAAGAGGTTGCAAGAACAATCAAGCAATTTGCGGATGCTGTTGCGTGATATATCTGTGTCTATAACAGCTCACCCTGTTAAAGCTGCCCTTACTCTCTATTTCTGGCATTTTCTTCTCAAACCGCGGGCTATTGAACCGGATTGCCTCAGTATCCGCCTGTCCTGGCCCAGATAAATATACGTATTGTATTATAGAATCTCAGATGAATGCAGGTAATTATATCTGATAATTCCTTAACTCACCTTCACTCTCTGGCGGAACAGCCACTAATGCCCGTTTTCCCACTGCACGAAGTCGACACCCCAAGTCTGCAAAAGCATGACGACTCTATCTTGACATCTGTCTCTGCAAGAGCCAATACCAGTTGTTTCTTGATTATATTTGCTTCGGCATGGCGGTCCAGTCGTTCAAGACACTCGTGGTAGCCATGTAGTGCCCAGACATTGTTCGGATGTTGGTGCGCACGCTTGGGCGTTGGGTAGAGGCCCAAATCCTCAGCATAGGCCTGAGCAGCCTGCTCAACATGCCCCTGCTCCAAGGAGAGGGCTGCATATGCATGTCGTGCTGGAAGCATCCATCCCCATGGCTCGGCAAATGGCAACTCGTCTTCAAGAACGACTGCTTCCCGTAGTTTACGGAACGAAGTCTCGAAGTCGCCCCGCCGGTACTCGATTTCTCCATCAAGCATGGCAGATGCTATGTGAAGGATGTCGACGATTTTGTTGGGAAAATCGAGTCGTGTAGGTGGAACAATCTTGGAAGCGAGCTTAAAAAGTTCTCGTTGTTTGTCGGCCTCTTCAAGCTGCCCTGTTGCCGCATATGCAATAGCCTTCCCATAGTGCCTCATCACATTTGTCACACAATAGAGCTGACGATCCTCGAGAGGGTCGAGCTTTTTGAGCTCCTCCCACATCCCGAAACGGATCAGGACATGGACTCGTACAGCCTTGAAGAACTCCATCCAGTTGGCGAGTGCAGGCGTTTCCACGCGAAGAATATCTTCCGTAATAGTCGCTTCCATTCGATCCGTCGCCGCCAAAGCTGCCTTTGATTTCCCTGCAAGCATTGCAGCGTAGATAAGGGAGTGGTAGTCGTGCAGGCGGTAGTAGCTGTAGAAAGTCAACCCACCATTCTCTTGAAAGAATTTGTCGTCTGCGATAGTGGCTTTCAGGTTATATTTCACTGCACGCCGATAATCTCCCACGAGGACGTCGATGTGGGCAGGCATATGGTAGGTGTGCCCAGTATCAGGCACTAGCTCGCGGATCATTTCTGCTGCAGGTAAAGCAGCCTCAGGAGTTGCAGACATTTCCATCAGATGGATGTACATATGTGCTGGCCCTGGGTGATTTTCCACTCCTGGCATCTTCAGGGCTCGTTCAAGAAGGTCTTTGACCTCATAGACAGGGGATGAATGTATGGGAAGCCCAGTTGCGGCATCGTACAGTTTTCGTGGTGCGCAGTTCATCAATGCATCCGCGAACAGTGTGATCATGTTAAAATCGTCAGACTCAAACTTTCTGTATGCTTCCCGCATAGCATCGGCATAGGCTCTGTCGCAGACAGCAAGATCCCTTTCGATATCATTGTTGGGATAGCGCTTTGCAAGGGCATTGACAAGCGCTTGCTCCCAGACTGAGGCGTTTCCTGCGCGTTTCAGAGCTTCTTGAGAATATGCGTAGCACGAGTTAATTGCATTTATTCGATCCCTTTCATCAAAGAGCCTCCATGTCTTGTTGTAATTGGGACCCGAGCAAAAAGACACGCCCCAATAAGCGAGCGCGCAGTCCTCATCGTGGGCGATTGCCTGTTTGTAGCATGTTATTGCCTCATCATGGTTGAAGCAATAGGTCCAGAGCATCCCACGATCGAACCAAACTTGTGCCTCTTTGGACGTTGTGCTGACTTTGAGATGGAAATTTCCCAAGTCATAGTAGGGATCGGCTGAAGCTCTTGTAGGCGGAGGCGGCGAAATAGAAGTCATCGTGTGTGTAATCACCATGTTGTTGTGACAAATATAACGGAGCTCCCACGCCTTTTTAAATAATCAAAGCCACTTGACGATCTTCGCCCCGAAGTGGGATGCCTATAGAATCGGAGGGTTTTCGGTTTCTTCCGAGGCCGAGTAAAATATCCCGAACTATCGATCCACTTCGTCTAGCTCCCCCGTAATATCGTCCGGAAATCCTCCTTTTGCACAGGCCAAGGTCTCCAGCTCTTTATGTCTAATGAGTGCTTAGATTGACTAAGGTACGTGTGAATTTGTCTGAGTCGAAACAAAGTCTCAGGCGAGGTTATCGCACGTTGGATCTCGACGGTCGATGGGCGACGAAACAAGGAATAAAAGGCGCTCTTAGCCCATAAACACGTTCTAACAAGAATTGCCCTCATTGTTTTCAATAAGATGGTAATAGACAAAAATCTCCAACAACTCCTTCCGTTCAATTACTAGAGCTTTATGTTGGAAAATCGTCTAAAATTGTGGTACCGAGAAATCGAGCTCCTCAATATCTAGAGGAAACCATCAATCTGTTTTTGATATTTGCGCTTGTCGTCGAGAAAATGTAGAATAAGTGTATTTGGCGCGTCAAATTACCATTGAAAATAACGCACCTTCGTATGTGCGCCATACGACTGCCGAAGAAGCTGTGTCAGCATCGGCGGTGACTCAAAGGAGGAACTGAGGTAACATTATCCAGCTTCTTCAAGCTCTTTCCACCATGGTCCTTCAAGTCCTCCCCCTGCAGCTAAGCGACTTCGAAGATCTAATCTCCCACGCCACACTGCACGATCCCGGCGACGATCTCGTTGGACCCCCAACCCCAATCTGCTGGCCACCAAGCACTCCCGCCGCAGCGCTCTCCCGCGCAACCTTCCACTTCGCCAAACAACGTTCCCGCTTTCTTGGCGACCCAACTGTGCGGTACATGAAAGTTGTCGACACTGGTACCGTTGCTAGTCCTAAAAACTCCATCATCAGCATCGCCCGCTGGCATTTCTATCCCCAAGGCTACAACTTCGCTACTCAGCTACATTGGGAGCTACATGCACTAACGCCACCTCCGCCTTCTGAGCTGAACGTCTCTTTGCATAACTACATACTCAGCACACGTGACGAGGCTCGAAGTGGATGGATGGAACCGAATGAGCCGTGCTGGATACTGATGCACATGGTTACGCGTGAATCACAGCGTGGGCGGGGCGCTGCAAAGATGCTCATCCGATGGGGAATTGAGCAGGCAGAGAGGGACGGGGTGCCAGCGTACTTGGAGGCGGGAGTTATGGGGAGACCGGTCTATGAGAAACTTGGGTTCAAGCAGGTTGGAGAATTGTTGGAGGTGGATTTAAGAAGACATGGGATACAGAGTACTTTCGTGATGTGTAAGATGGCATATTTTCCTGCGGGGTATAAAACGAAAGACCAATTGCGCGATGTTACTGGGTAGGTGAGTGAAGTGAGAACGGGGTGAGAATAGGGCGAGAATTCTCACTATGAAATAAATAAATGAATGGATTGTAAACGATCTGGGGCTCGATTAATGAGTAGTCGGGGTCTAATGCATCCGATTCTTTCCTTTACCGCTAGCTCCTCCCGGTATAAGCCGGTCCGATTTGCTCTCAAAAGTGGGTTTTCCTTTCCCCACGCCGCTCCCCACGGTCTTCCAACTCGAAGCCAAGCCCCGATATTGGTTCCCAGGCCACGGGCCACGCTTAATACTAAGTAAGGCGGTGCACGGACGACGGAGAAATCTACCCAGGCCTCTCATGCACTCCAGTTGTCAAAAGTTGACAATGCCTGCATCTTCCTCACTCAGCAGATCTTCACTCCGCATCCCCCAGGAGCGAGGCTCATTGCGCACATTGAAAGAGGGCAAAAGCGAGTTCATAGGTAGCTCAAGCGGCGTCTACTTTGTCAATACCGTACGCCGCGCCTTTTCTGCTGCGAACTCACGCTCGGTGTCTGTACCACAAGACGCCACTCACCCTTCGCCGGAAGACTGCTTATTACCCGGTGACGGGGATGATGACAATGGCAGTGTGTGCCGCTCGAGTCGAGCTGGTGCCACCGCCGCCGCATCGCAAGGCGCAAGCAAGCTTTCCTACGGACCAAGCATCCCTCTTGAACTAGGCCGACCTCCTCCTGCTAATCTTGCAAAACAACTGTTCATGTCATACTTTCAGACGTGGCATCAATTTCTTCCCTTTCTCCATGGCCCAGCGTTACTTCAAGACATCGAACTTCTCTATGCCGACATCGACAAGCGGCCGCTTCCTAACCCGAGACCCCACCCGCTGCCTCTTGCAAAGGTTATCACCCTGCAGTGTCTTTTCAATTTGGCTAACCTACATTGTGATGATCTGCCAATGGCCTCACGTATCGACCATCCTGTCGATATATTGTCCTTACTCCCTGATCTCGCCATAAAAAGCGACATTATATCAACACAAGCGCTACTTGCTGCACAGCTGTTACTAGTCGCCCGCTTGGCCCTACGGCCTGCTGCGGTTGTCGGCGGCCTTCTCTCTCGTTCTATTTTCCTTGCCGGGCTTCATCGCTGTCCGAATAGATATCTCGAGCTATCGACGGAGGAATGCAATATCCGAAAGAGGGTCTTCTGGAGTGTCTATGTCATTGATCGATATATTTCCCAGGCACTGGGACAGCCACTAGGCATTCAAGACTCCGATATAGACGTCTGTTCATTGTCTGGCCCTGAACTTCATGATTCCCATTGCCACACGTCGACCCACTCAAGTCTGCATACCTCACATCTAGATTCCACTTGGCATGCGTCCCGCGGAGAAAATTCACCGAGCGATACACCTTCTGTCAGACAGAACCAGGGTACTTCACCGTCACTAGAAGACGGTCGCTGCAAGACCATGAAGACTGGCAGGCCTCAGTCAAGCTCGAACTCCGAATGCCAATCGCAAGAGCACCATCGCCATTCCATCTTAGCATCCTATGTGGATCACTCCCGGCTTTTAGGGAATGCGCTAGAACTGTTTCATAAGTCCTTGCATGTCCGTTCCATAAAACCTGAATTTATTATCTCCTTGCGGACCGACGTCAGCGCCTGGTGGAATGCGCTGCCAATACACCTGCAAAATGACAGCTCTTCTTCAGAAGCGCCAGCTACGAGCAAAAGCGGTGCGCCAGGGTCTCATAACTGCAAGTTCGGTGTAGCTGCATTTTTCAGCCTGCTGCACAACCAGCTTGTTCTCCTTATCAACCGTCCGTGGTTATCTCTTGAGCCATCATCGTCTGAGTTCCAGTCTGCCCTTCAGACTTGTATAGGTGCGTCGCGTGAGATTATCACCATTTTGGACAAGCAGCTCGATTCCGGTAACCCATTATTTTGGCCCGGCTATCTATCTGCTGCTTGGATGGCCGGGATTATTCTCGCCTTTGCCTGCCATCTATCTCTCTATCCAGTGCAAAAGGGACAAAAGTAAGTTTTCTTTTGTCTTTTCTATCTCCATAAAACCCCGAGTATTGTTCCGTGAGCATCCACTTATCAAAGCGAGGAGCATGTAGGGAGATATCGGCATGTTTGGGGCTGTTGTCCGTGATGTCTAGACAGTGGTCCCTAGCCAAGAACTGTCACACCGTCCTCTCCGACCTCCAGGAGTCACTTGGAACTAAGAAGAGCACCGCGGAAGAGTTTCCGATTGGCAATTCTACTGCTACAATGAGAACTAGTCTTGCAGGCCCACCAATTGGCGATGCCACGAATGATGCACGGCCCACAGCAAAGAGACGACGACTGGATGGTACTTCGTTGCGCGATTTCTCGAGTTCAGTGGAAGCTCCGGAAGACCCAGCCAATTGTCCCAAAGAAAATTTGGTGTCCCATACCCAAATTACCACACAGCCATCAACGACACTACAGCCCACGGCAGTATGGAGTTCATGCGACATGAACCCTAATGTAACATCGGATGCTCGGCTTTCCGCTGGATTTAATAGGGGCGATTCACTGCAGGAAAATGTTGACTGGCATTTCAATCAAGCGAGTGATGATGGCACGACAATGGATGCCATGTACGGGCTTAGCAACCTAGGGGGTATGAGACTAATGCCTATGAACAACTTGGATGGACACGACACCGGTTGGATGACAGAGTTTGGGTCAATGGACAACTGGGACAACGGAATGCCAGATGTTTTTGCAGGCGCCACGTGGGAAAGCCTGCTGCATGTGATAAGCCAGGATAATCTTACACGGGGTCATCACGGTGCTTAGTGTACGATGAAAGGCTTGTAAAGTGGATTTTTGCATTCTTTAGATTATATATAAATATCGATATCAATTGAGCGGGTAAACACCTGCCAGCTGCCTAATTGAAGCGGTGACTGCGTCGGCAACCTGCTTGGTGTTGGCCTTCCCACCGAGGTCTGGCGTGCAGATGCCCTGGCTACATGTCTCCTGGACTGCTTGAAGCAAGATCTCAGCCGCTTCCTTCTCGCCAAGCCATGCCAACATCTCCGATGCCGACCAAAGAGTAGCAACAGGGTTGGCAATACCCTTTCCGGTGATGTCGAAGGCGCTGCCATGAACGGGCTCGAAGAGAGAGGGATTCTTGCGTGTGGGGTCGAGATTGCTGGAGGGAGCAATACCGATGGAGCCACCAAGCGCGGCTGCCAGGTCAGAGATAATGTCCATGTGTAGGTTAGTGCCAACAATAGTGTCCAGAGACTTCGGGTTGGTAACCATGCGAACAGTCATGGCGTCGACGAGGACCTTGTCGCAGGTGACATCGGGATAGTCTTTGGCAACCTCGGTAGCGACCTCGTCCCAGAGCACCATACCGTTCCGCATAGCATTGCTCTTGGTGACGACAGTCAAGAACTTGCGTGGGCGGCTGCGTGAAACGTCGAAAGCAAAACGCATGATGCGCTCAACGCCCACGCGAGTAAAAATGGACAACTCTGTTGCTGCCTCCCATGGTTGCCCTCGATGAGTGCGCCCTCCTTGCCCGCAGTACTCGCCCTCACTGTTCTCGCGAACCATGACCCAATCGATGTCGCCATCCTGGACCTCACGTAGCGGCGAGCGCACATGTGGAAAGTTTTTTACTGGCCGCACATTTGCATACAACTGCATGGGCCCGCGGATGGCTAGAAGTAGATTCCACAGAGAGATGTGGTCGGGAACGTCTAAACAAAAAGGACGGAATAGGCATCAGCGCATGTCCGGCTGCTACTATGTACGTGACAACGAAATGAAGGCAAGCAACTGTGTGGGGGGTTCGTACCAGGTGCGCCAACGGCACCGAAGAGGCCAGCATCAAACGTCCGAAGGATATCAAGTCCATCGTCAGGCATATATTTTCCGGTTTTCTTATACCGTGCAGTACCCCAATCGAGCTCGGTGAACTCGAGTTCAAATGTCTTAAGCGTCTGCTGCATCGACTTGAGGACATCGAGAGTAACGTTGACTACCTCCTGTTTAACAATGTTAACAATCAAACCGACAGGCAAGGGTATTGTTGAGTCAATCAACCCACCGGACCAATGCCATCCGCCGGGATGCTGGCAATTTTGTATTTTCGTACGCCGTTGGCAGCCATTTGCCTTGATCGGATTTGGAGGATATATCGGTATTTGATGGGCCTAGGTAATTGTAATTGTACTAGATGACTGGACTTTTATTTAGATTGGACAGGTTACGTGGAAACTTGAAAGAATCACTGACCTTCAAATAGGAAGGGAATTGTGCTACTGGAATGCTTTTACGCTTAATCTTTCTAATCATCTCCAGTCTCCATTTACTATACTACGTAAGGACGAAGCATGCGGGAAAGAAGTTCCGGGTCACTCAATTTCCTTCCGTATAAGGCGGCCTGAGTGACAAGGTGGCGAATATCACCTGAGTCGGTCAAAGGTTCTACCGCAGATGCCACAGATGCCACTCAAAATTGACTTGCCAATGAGATTGAAGTGCCATTAGACCCGCCTTTTTCTTTCCACGATAGAAGATACAGCTAGCACTAACCCAAAATAGGAATGCCTACAATGTAGATTACGAGTAAAACAAACTCTATGCATTTTCAATGTAGGTACTAGAATCTAAGGTGTCAAGGGCGAAGTGGGTCACGGATTCGAGTGTGAAATCGAAGGTGGAAGCGGTTCATCATTTAGCCGACCTCAGAAGGCGGGGAAGAAGCCTATATGGTTCGCACAGAATGTAATTATCAAACTTCTATCTTCCTCTCGCCAGTGGGTAATAGAAAACCCTTGTGTCTGTTACAGCCATTTTCGTGGTTATGAAAACCTCAACCTCCACATTACGCTACTCTACTCGCATTAGTGCCGCATGTGCTATATGCCGCACCAAGAAGAGGAAGGTAAGTTTCCCACCTCTTGGTACTTTTAGTCATACTCATTAATTAAACTAGTGCAGCGGAGACAAGTGAGTCTGGACTTCTTCCTGTTTCCTCCCACTATTGCAGATCAAATCTGTCCAGAGTGGATCGAAAATGGAGCTAAGCCGTACTTTGTTCCCGATAAAGACCTACCTGCGCTGAATGCAGATCCATGGATCTAATTTGCGAGTGGCCAAAGCAACTAAAACGGTTCGTTCCCTGTGTGAAACAAAAGCAAAATCCCAATTTTATGTTCAGATTATTCTGGGGGTGGCCTGGAAGCTGATCACAGGACCAGGGGTCCAGCAAAGAATTACATGCGGTCTCTCGAGGCCCGGCTCAACGTGACTGAAGACTTACTTCGCAACCTCCTTCAATTCGTGTCAAATGACCAACTCTCCCACGTGCTACAGGCAAATGGGTCACCTCATCTGTGCCCCGATCTACCCCTGGTTGAACGAGGTGAAAATTCAACCCCCGAGGTTTGGCAGATTTACCCCTTAACAAGCGCTGAGAACATACGGGCGTGGCAGAACGACAGCCGGTCCAATGAGAATGCTCCGTCACTACCAAACCTTGTCCAGGATTGCAACACAGAACCCCAGCGGGAACAGCAGCAAGGACAAACTAGACAGACTGAAGATGTGGCCAATTTCAATCCGAAAGATTCTTTTGCCGAATTTGTCGGACCCAGCGGCAAACAACTACCTAACACCGAGAAAAGAATTGCGACGTCATCCTGGCTTCTGACCGGACAACCTTCCTCTGGGTTCCAACCCGAAATCTCGGCTGTTACAGCTAGCGGAGCAACACAGGGGCCCTCTTGCGTGGCTCCAACCACTCTCAACGTTTGCAGCAGTACTGAATCAACAGAACCCAATCAAACGGATGTTGGAATGAGCAGCTTACAGCGGCAACAAGACGATCAAGTAGAACAGGATTGTCCTACGTCGTCTTTTTTCCTCCCTGCATCTTTTCGGGATCAATTCCTCTGGTGAAAATGCCAGAGGCATTGGTTTGAACGTGCTCATTTCACAATAAAACGGAACATTATACAGACTGGAAGAACGACTTATTTACGTGAAGATATATCAACTGAAATCCCAATCTTGCAATTTACCTGGTTACTACCATTCCCGGGCTTGTACACCCTCATAATGTCCTAAACCCTCTCAATATGATCCGCAGATTCCATCTCCCCTGTATTCTCCAATGTTTTTTTCATGTTTTCCGGTTCTGCCGCCTGACCCTTCTTCAAGCTACGAGCGTAAGCAGTAACCTGCCACCAATGCTCTGGGCTTGAGAATAAATTATCCATTTCTTCGAGCGAGCGGCCATTTGTCTCCGGGAAGAGGAAGTAGACCACAAAAGCGGCGAAGACACCTATCACTGCGTAAACGATATAATAGCGCCATCCGATTGTGGCAAATGCAATAGGGGTAATCTCCGCGATGACGAAGTTGAAAAGCCAATGGGTCGCAGTTCCAATAGCTGCCAAATGGATACGCAAGTCCTGGGGGGCAATTTCCGCACTGTACAGGAAATTGGCACCTAGGAACCCGAGCGGGAAAAAGGTCATGTAGAGGAAGAGAAATAAGGTCGCCACGATGGAGGCACCATAGGTCTGGGTGTTGCTGATGGCCCAGACACTCCCAGCTAAACCGGTCATAGACAGACCCATTCCCAAACTTGCGCTTATAAACAACGGCCTGCGGCCGAAACGGTCCACACATATATAAGCCAAAACAGCCGCAAAGATCTTCCAGGTGAGAACGCCTGCATTAAGCAACGCTGCCTTCTCAGCCGCTAGACCGAGTGACTGCTGGAAGATAGTATTGCCGTAATAAGAGATGACGTTTGCGCCAGTCATTTGGGCGCAGAAATTGATGCCAACAGCGAGACACATGCGGTAGAAGAGTCGCTGAGGCTTACTTCTGAAAAGATCAATAAAACCACGTTCCGAAGTAGAAGCTTGTTGGAGAGCAGTAGAAATCTGTTCGATTTCAAGGTCTATGCTTTCATGGGCTGAGGTATCCTCGCCGGCAAGTGCGCGCATGGCGGCGCGAGCTTCTTCCCTGAGGCCCTTATTAATCAGCCAACGGGGGGATTCAGGGAAAGACATAGCAAATGTCATGAGCGATAGCGTGAAAATGATCGGTAAAGCGAGAGGAAATCGCCAAGCGACCTCGTTGTTTTCGATAAAAGATAGGCCCAGGTTGATCCAGCCAGCGGCAGCGATTCCGGAAGCAATGAAGATACCAATGATGACGACGCTCTTGCCGCGGCTCTTGGGTTTGGTGCACTCGCTCTGCCACACAGGAACGACAGCATTGACGCCGCCGTTACCAATTCCAGAGATGATACGACCGACAACAAGTTGCCCAAGACTATAAGATGAACTTTGGATAATCAGGCCGATACAGGCAGCAGCAGCAGCAGCGATCAGAGACTTTCGACGGCCAATGCGGTTCCCGAGCTGGGTAATTGCGAAGGCACCGATGAGGCATCCGAGAGTGTACAGGGCAACAACAGTTCCTGTAATAATCATGATGTCGTTAACAATAATATCCCAATGCTTATATCCACATGCCTCAATTTTGTCAACTTACCTTGAACCGTGGCATTGTGAGCCTTGACAGCCCCCTTAGTGGTACTCGTGTCGATGTCCGGAAAGTACTTGATGAAAGATGGATAATCGAGAACGCCACCTATGTTCGACTGGTTGTAGCCAAACAACAGGAAGGCAGGAACAATTATCAGGCATACACGGGCTCTCGCCAATGGTACGCCGGTGAGACTCATGAAGGTCATGGCTGTAAGTCTCCTCTGTGCTTTCAAGATAGGGGTGTTTTCAGAAGATAGGAGTTTGAATCCCTGTGTAGAGAGAATGGAAGATTACTCCTCGTTAAAAGAGAGATAGGCAGCAAAGTATGTTGGGTGACAATAAATTCGAGAGAAGGCTGTGGGATCAAAATTAAATTGAGTACTATTTGAATAGTAGGCATAAATCCCTGGAAATAAAACCGATAATGTCCGAACAGGGGCGAAGCTGGGTGTCTTATCCCGGATTTCTGAAAGACTATGGGCCCATACCAAACATTCCTGTCATCTTTCTTGAACTTTATACGAGGGAGAACTCAAATTCCCCAACATTCCAGTGTCGTGTCGTGGGCTCCGTATGATCCAATGCTAAGCATCGTATAGGCCCATACCCCGCAATCGCCACCCCAGAGCGATTGCAAACACGGCGTAGACCTGTGGGGACATGCTAAACTAGTGGCTATCACTCGATAGTAATAGGCATATCGGGTACATATGCGCGGAAACGTTTTGCCATGCCACGAATTTCAAAGTCGAAACATTTAGCCGAATCTCTTCACGTGGAAAACTCTTTTCGGCAAGATGAACGTATTGTCAGGCTACGTCTGCTCCAAATAATTCGCAAGAAACGCAAGGAAGTCGATGCATTATTTAAACAATACAGTCCGACCAGTCATATTTCACACGCGATAGAGCCACAAAGAGGCTTCGATTGAGATGCGACTTGGCGTAACAAGAACAAAAGTCACACTTCATCTGGAAAAGACCCGAAAAATGTCGTCATCTAAGCCCTTCGTTCTTTTCTTCAACCCTGTGAAACATGCCGGGCCTTTCTACGAGAAGCTACAAGAAGTTGCCCATACGGAAGTTGTTACCAGCAAAACTAGAGGGGAATTTTTCAAGGACGTCCAAGACAAGTACAAAGATATATTTGCCATATACCGGACATCTGCTAGTGGCGCTGTGAGTATCTAGCCACCAAGGAGTAGTCTCATTTTATAGTGAAGAGGGACGTTGAAGAATGTTGCAACCGATGCTGACATGATATATACCTTAGGTGGCCGGTAAATTCGACGCTGAGTTAATTGAGCGTTTGCCGCCAAGCTGCAAGTATATTTTCCATAATGGCGCTGGTAAATTGACAAATAGTTCTCTCAAACAAAATTATATTATAACTAACTAATGAAACAGGATATGACCCAATTGACACAAGTGCGTGCGCCAAAAGGGGCATCATTGTCACTAACGCTCCCGACCCTGTCACCGATGCGACCGCCGATCTGGCAGTTTTCCTGTTGTTAGGTGCCTTGAGGCAGCTCAACCCTTCTATTTTCTCTTTGCGTGCAGGGAATTTCAAGCAAGGCGTTGACTTTGGCCATGATCCCCAGGGCAAGACCTTAGGTATTCTTGGAATGGGCCGAATCGGCCGCGCAATCAAACACCGCTGTGATCCTTTTGGTTTAAAGACGGTCTATCACAACCGGAACCCTCTGTCAGCTGAGCAGGCTGCAGGTGCTGAGTATGTTTCCTTTGAGAAGCTACTTACGGAGTGCGACATCATCAGCCTTAACGTTCCTCTGAACAAAAATACCAAGCACATGATCGCCGCAGCGGAAATCGCTAAGATGAAACCCGGTGTAGTCATCATCAATACGGCTCGAGGTGCCGTCATTGATGAGGCTGCCATGGCCGACGCGCTAGAGAGCAATCATATTGCTGCTGTCGGTTTGGACGTTTATGAGCGGGAGCCCGAGATCAATGAGAAGCTCATGAAGCAGCAGCGTGCTCTAATGGTGCCCCACGTGGGAACCCACACAATCGAGACACTGGCGAAGATGGAGACGTGGGCAATGGAAAACGCACGGCGAGCGATCCTCGGCGAGTCGCTTCTGTCGCCTATTCCGGAGCACCAGGGGCTTGTTTCCGGTCAGACAAATTGAAATCCTCATAGGTGTTTATGCCATAGAGAATGAATACAACTTTATGTTTCGAGACCTTCCATAGTTTGATAGTCGAGAATTCAACAATAAGAAGGATGTCTATTGCAATCACTTTTCTCGAGTCTCTAGCGAAAACGAATCCACCATACAGATGACAACAAGGATGTAAAACACGTACATTTTAATCTTCATTATATGGCAATCATTGGAAATACTTCTTGTTCAGTCTTTATCTGCATAGATGGCCGGTGCGAGGCTTGTGGTTGCTCGATCTTTCGATCGTTTGATCTTCTCCAGCGTTTGTAGTTCGGGTCTAAATTACTCGCATTGTCTGTAGATACAGCTATAGCATTGGGGAAAACAGTATATTGCCTTGTCATTATGTTCCCAGTTTACCGGAGATATTCCCACTACAGTAACCACCGATCATGAATCTAGGCACTGAATCAGATGATCCCTTTTTACCAGGGTCAATAAACCCAGATTACCCCATGTCGTTTGCAATATCTCCGGGCCGGGCGGCCGCGGTTGAAGGTTCACCCGAGACTCAGGCCAGGAATTTGCCGCATCATCCTTTGGAAAATCAGCGGGCCAAAACACGAGTTGGAGATCCAGATGTCATACCGTGGTATCAAGATGAGCCATTTGGTCTTAAAAAGTCCCATCTTTCTTGTTTCTGTGGGCCAGTTCTTATCATCAATATAGAGACTTAGGTCAGAAACACTTGCCTCTCATTCCTCTCTCGGTTCGATATCCCAACATGACGAAAATTGCGCTTCTCGGCGCTGCCGGCCAAATTGGCACCCCTCTCAGTCTTCTGTGTAAAGCAGTAGGTACTCAATGCGGAAGCTAAAATTAAAATATCAAATACTTGTGGCTGAGTCAGATTGCAGAGCGATCTTTTCGACGAGATCTGTCTATATGATCTTGTCCACGCGCCAGGCATTGCTACCGACCTGATGCACATTAACACCAAGGCCAAGGTCTATGGCTATCTGCCGGATGAGTCCGGCCTCAAGAAGGCTCTCAGTGGTGCAGACATAGTTGTTGTAACAGCTGGTATTGCCCGAAAGCCGGGTATGACGAGGGACGGTAAGCAATGGACTTTGTAATATCCCCATATTTCAATAGCAGTCACTGACGAGAATTTTCAGATTTATTCAAGGTGAGCGAAGTGCATCGTCGGCCTATCTTCAAAATCATGTATGAATGTGTAGAAAGTCATTTGCTGACACGGTCCTAGACCAACGCCAGCATCATCCGAGACATCTTCACTGAGGTCGCTGTAACATGTCCCCATGCGACGTGCTGTGTCGTTACTAATCCTGTTAACTCAACAATTCCCGTTGCAGCTGAGGCGCTGAAGAAAGCTGGTGTTTTTGAGCCTACCCGTCTCTTTGGTGTTACGACCTTGGACGTTGTGCGTGCCTCTACCTTCGCTGCACATGCCTTGGGAGGAAATGCCGATCCCAAGGACTTCAAGGTCCCAGTCATTGGAGGCCACAGTGGAGCCACCATCTTGCCTCTTTATAGCCAGGCTCAGCCGCCGGTCAATCTAGACGACCAAACTATGTCAGCCGTTATCAATCGTTAGTTCCTCACTGCCAGCTTTCTATCACGAGTGACTTGCTAAAATCACAAACAGGCGTACAGTTCGGTGGTGATGAAATCGTCAAAAGTAAGCAGGGTGCTGGCAGTGCCACGACATGTATGGCATATGCCGGTTTCCGCTTCATCAAAGCCATCCTGGAAGCGAAGAATGGCAATTCTGTGACGGAGGAGGCCTACGTCTACCTACCAGGTATTCCAGGAGGAAAGGAGATTGCTACTGAGCTTGGTGTCGACTTCTTCGCTGTCAAGATCCAACTTGGGCAGACGGGAGCAGCCAAAGCGTTGCCTATCGGCAAAATATCTGAGGATGAGACCAAGCTTCTCCAGATTGCTATTAAGGACCTGAAGACAAATATCGCTACGGGCCTGTCCTTTATGTCGGCATGAGATGTACGCGTCACTATAGTCGGGGGGTAGGCTACCATTAGATTGTATATAATTTAGTTCTTTTTAGAGGAGGTACCTTTAATGGCTGAGCCAGTCATGAAACATTTCATAAATCAGATCTGTGGGAGCGCTTACAATGTAATGTGAATCTAAATTTACGCGCACCGCGGCGGCAAAAGTGGCGATGGGCCGCGTGATGAGGAGGCCACAGGTCTTATTTAACCATCTTTGTTCGACAATATTCTCTCTCTCCTACTTCCCTAACGCTTGAGTCGCCTACATCTAAAGAGCTAGCCAGGATTCCACGACTCAACCTCCAAATCGATGAAACGGACCCCGAGGTAAAAGATGCTCACGCTCGCATCGAACTTCTCTATGCCGACATCGACAAGCGGCCGCTTCCTAAGCCAATACCCCACCCGCTGCCTCTTGCAAAGGTTATCACCCTGCAGTGTCTCTTCAACTTGGCTAACCTACATTGTGATGATCTGCCAGTGGCCTCACGTGTCGACCATCCTGTCGATATATTGTCCTTACTCCCTGATCTCGCCATTAAAAGCGACATTATATAAACACAAGCGCTACTTGCTGCACAGCTGTTAGTAGTCGCCCTCTTGGCCCTGCGCCCTGCTGCGGTTGTCGGCGGCCTTCTCTCTCGTTCTATTTTCCTTGCCGGACTTCATCGCTGTCCGAATAGATATCTCGAGCTATCGACGGAGGAATGCAATATCCGAAAGAGGGTTCTGGAGTGTCTATGTCATTGATCGATATATTTCCCAGGCACTGGGACAGCCGCGGCATTTAAGAGGCCAATGCCTATAGATTACTTGGATGGACACGACACCGGTTGGATGACAGAGCTTGGGTCAATGGGCAACTGGGACAACGGAATGCCAGATGTTTTTGCAGGCGCCACGTGGGAAAGCCTGCTGCATGTCATAAGCCCGGATAATCTTACACGGGGTCATGAGTTATAACTAAAAAGTTTCCAATTTGCCAGCGAGAAACCTGGTGATGCTACGGGCAAAAGGAGATGAAATGGATCAAGGTCTGTATAGAATGAAATGATTGGAGAGAGAAGAAGTTTGGCTTCTCACTCGAACGAGGATTCAGCTACTTCGCCCTTTGAAGCTTAGCGCGATTCTCTGTACCACGCTGAGGTCGGGCTAATTGATTAGTGCTTAGTGGCTGTCTCCTTCTTCCTTGTTTTATTAAAGACGGCTTACATCCTCCGGATATGCATTTCGAAAATGTACCCTTTCGCAAATATCCCATCTGATTACTTTGTTCATCTGGATACTGAATAAAATCACAATCATGCCATCTGTATCTGTTCTGTCGGAATACACTTTCAACAATTGGGGGCCACTTACCACGACCTGGACCGCGCCTGCTTCTTGTCAGTCAATGCAGTCTGAAAATGTCTATATTGCCAAAGCTAGCACTCCAACGATCAATGTCGCTAAGGTTGCATGTGGCGTAGACGCCGGTCACTGGAGCTGCTATCCAACAGGCACAATGACTAATATTCCAACCGCGACTTCATGGTTTGACGACCCTCGTAGCGTCGAGTTTTACCAGACATATTACTCTCCTGGTCTCTACTGTCCCTCCGGGTGGGGCCCTGTTGCAACGGCGTCGCGCAATGCGACTCAGACTGTCGAATGGAATGGCGCTTTTGATCCCGCAACCACCTCACTAGCGTCAGATGTTGTGTTCCTTGAGAATTTGGTCAACAACGTATTCCTACAGGTCCTTGCTCCAAGTGAAACTGCTGTCCTGTGCTGTCCGAAGTAAGTTTTTGACTCTACATGCTGGACAAAGAAGACTAATTCCATTTTATTTATAGGTCTATGACACCCGGTTCCGCCGGAGAAATTTGTTACTCAACCTTACCAAATTACACATTTTCTACTGCCTGCTATGATATTCTACCACCTGCCGATAGGACCGTCTCGACTGAAACCAAATCGATTTGGTGGTACGGCACTACCGTCGAAGCGCTGTTCCAGTCATTGACCACATATGGTACAGACACCGTAACTAATATCTTGCACTCAAGCGACTGGTCTAGCCTTGTTGCCGTCACAGCAATTGTACCCATCACGCTCGTGCATCAACCGACGGATGTGAGCACATCTAACCCAGCCGTCAGAATTACTCCAAGACCTCCAAATTGGAATGGAATTAAGACTGTGCTCGGAATCACTGCTGCAGGAATGTTTCTGGGGGCAGCTATGATCTTGCCTTGGTAGATCTATTGATTATGCGAAGGAACATAAAATTTAGTGTGTTGTGCTGATTGGTGAACTCTTAGTGTCTATTGTTGTGTGCCGTTACATAATTTTCGCATTGAGACTATTCAGGCTCGGCCCTCTAGCAAAATCCATAAATGATTCTAATGAATTAGAATCGCAAGCGCAATTTGCTCCCCTCTTATGCGTTTTCGCATCAAAATAGCACACTTTGCAAATTGTATACTTCTCCAAAACTCGGCAGTACAAGCTCAAGTCCGAGACCAGTTCCATCGCGTATAAAAGCCTAGTCACATCGGTAATGTATAACCGACGTTGCTTAAAATACCTTAGCAAGAATCATCCATACCATACCTTAGATTTCTGAAGACTATGGGCCCATACCAAACATTCCTGTCATCTTTCTTGAACTTTATCCGAGGGAGAACTCAAATTCCCCAACATTCCAGTGTCGTATCGTGGGCTCCGTATGATCCAATGCTAAGCATCGTATAGGCCCAAACCCCATAAACGGAACCCCGGAGCAATTGCAAACACGGCGTAGACCTGTGGGGGCATGCTAAACTAGTGGCTATCACTCGATAATAATAGGCCACAGGTCTTATTTAACCATCTTTGTTCGACTATATTCTTTCTCTCCTACTTTCCTAACGCTTAAGTCGCCTACATCTAAAGAGCTAGCCAGGATGCCACGACTCAACCTCCATATCGACGAAACGGACCCCGAGGTAAAAGAGGCTCACGCTCGCTACTCTGACTTGAAAGCATTTAATGTCCTTCGTGCACTGTAAACTAGGTGTTATACTTACCCCAAATCGCATTCGCGAAAACAGGAACCCCTCCCACTGCGGGGGTGACTCATTAATAATTATTATGGGCCCATAAATGTTGGGGTCCGCAGTGCGAGCTCCTGGATCCATTCTGCTTTCTCCGATTCCCAACTCTCTTGTAGCTCGATCCTGGAGTACAATCTAGTGGGCCCGTGTTATCATCATCAAAATGTCTCTACCGGAAGATAAAGAACGACTCGCCAACCTGCGAGATGCGGAATACAAAGCAGACCAGCTCTTCCGAGAAATTGAGCGGGATCTCATTCGGCCGGGTATCACCGAGAAAGACCTGAGCCAAGAAATCCACGAGCTGGGCGCGAAGCGATTTGCGATCAAAAGCCACTGGCACAAGCGAGTTGTTCGAACAGGAGAAAATACTCTTTGCCCATACTCGGCGAACCCTCCGAACCTGGTCATCCAGGCCGACGATATTATGTTCGTCGATCTGGGTCCACTTTTCGAGGAGTGGGAGGCCGACTTTGGCCGAACCTTCGTTCTCGGAGATGATCCGGATAAAATCAAGCTCCGCGATGCCCTCGAGCCGACATGGCATGCTGTGCGGGCTCGCTTCCTGAGCAATACGAAAATGACCGGCGAGCAGCTTTATCAGATTGCTGTTGAGGAAGCGAGCAAGAGAGGTTGGAAGTTCGGCGCTCAACTTGCTGGACATCTGATCGGCAACTTCCCGCACGAGAGAATCCCGAACGACAAGATCAGCCTGTATATCACAAAGGGCAATCACCAGCCGATGAACGCCCTTGGAGCCGATGGGCACCGACGTCATTGGATTCTCGAGATCTATCTCCATCATCCGAGTCGCCCGATCGGCGGCTTTTTCGAGCAACTTCTGACTGACGATGATCAATATATTAACTCGGAGCCGTTGTCTGGGAAAGCTAGCAGCCCGAGCAAGTCTGCTCCGGGATATCTGTTTGCTTTTACCGCTGCGATCTTGATTGTCGCCGTGTATATCTTCGGGATCTAGTCATCTTTATTTCCAGGTTGAATTATTGCAGGGTCATATAAAGTTCGGCTAATCTGGCGTGAGAGACTATAAACATATATAGTGGTCGTCGAGCAAATAATTAGATATAAAACATGTTGATGGTACAGTATGTCTTACCGGCCTTACTCTTGTGTTTCGATTCCTATCTATACCAGCTGTACAAAGACTCGCAGAACAGGGTCCCTTAGTGGGGCTAGCTGGCAGCCACGATAGGTCAAGGAGAGCACTAGACCTGAACTAACAATGTACGTCCTGCATTTTAAGCCGCGGGTTGATCGTCCTCCCCACGTGTTGACCTTGGTGTGTATTGTTTGTTGGTTGCACAAGACCATGTATCCCATCCCGTTTGTTTTCTCTCCAGGCTTCCGTCATTTATTCACATCCCGACGCCCATGAGTGAGCATGATGCGCCGTCGTTGTCTTCTCCGAGGGGTGGTGCTCTTGGTTGTGGCCATTATACCTACTGTGATCTATCTTCTTCTGCCCCAGGGCATCCCAGCCCTAGACGCAGCTCTGGGCGAATTCATCAATGTTCGACGAGTGGATGTTTTCGACTTCTACGATACCAAGGGGGAAGAACGATGCTTCAACCTCAACCGTGGGATCATTTCGACGGACACCATCCCCAAGGTCGTCCATGTCATCTGGCTCAGTCCAGAGCTCACCTTCATCAACTACCTCACGGTCAAATCTGCCCTCATATCGATCATGCCAGACAACTTATTCTTCCACTACACCACTCTCAACGAGACCAATCAATGGTTTCGCAAACTGTACGGCAATATCACTCTTGTTCGCCATGACCTCGCTCAAGAATACTCGCGTCCAATCCGAGAGAACTGGAACATCGCCCATGTCGCGGATGCTCTTCGACTCGACATCATCCAACAGTTCGGGGGGATCTACTTCGACATGGATATGATAGTCCTCCGCTCGTTCGACAACCTTTTGCAGAGTGACAGAGATATAGTTCTAGGCAACGAAGGTGGGGATCGCCGTGGGCTCTGCAACGGCGTGGTCATCGGTCGCAAGAACTCGTCTTTTCTCCAACGCTGGATCGACAGCTACAGCAGCTTCTCCCCCAAGGAATGGAACTATCATTCAGTTGTTTACCCAAAACTACTGTCCCTTCGATATCCACAGGAGATTTGTGCTCTGTCACCCGTGGCTTTCTTCTGGCCGACCTGGACCAAGAGGCATGTCCAGTACATGCACGAGCCGATCACTGAGGAGGAAGCTCAGGACTTGCAGCATACGCTTGCAATCAATGAGGGTAGTCTTTATCCGAATCAGCTGGCTTACCATGCCTGGAGTCATCCATCAAGGGCGTACCTGGAATCGCTCACTCCGGGGATTGTGAAGACGCAGAATACACGATTTAATATTTTAGTGCGGCGCTTTGTGGATTAGCTTTTGCTGGCCCCGGTTTTCTGAGGTGAAGATGAGCAAATTCGAAGGGTTCGTGCTAGTCGTTGATTATTAGACAAGCGTAGTATAGTCTGTGTCGCCGTAGCACTTCTAAAATTATGTTGTTCGCACATCCCTCGGTGGGGCTGGGGTATGCGAACAACCAGATTTCCATACAAATCTAGTAATAACGCCAAAGCTCATACGACGACGCGTAATATCTCTGCTGCTAGCTTTATAAGTTGGTCGCTACCTAATATGTGCGGTTAGCAGGACCCTGAATGATCACGAAGATCCCTTGTTTCAGGGTGGAGTCTATCCCTCCCCGTGGGGAATTCTTCCTTCCCACTTGGGGGCGCGTTGCCGCGCCTATCCAGCCCACTTTTAGGGAATTTTTAAAGGAAGGAGCAGGCTACGATCCTACCTTGGAACGTTCATCCTGGGGTCAATTCAACTTATAAAAACCCCATAGCCTCTCCCAGACTTCTCTCTACCACCTCTCCTTGGAATTACTACAATTCACCACAAGAGCCACCATCATGGTCCGCATTACTCTCCTGGCGGCAGCTCTGAGCGCGATTGTCACTCAATGCTCTGCATCGATGCACCCTTCTCACCCATACTCCGCAAGCCCATTCCTGGGACAGATCGCCGAGCAAATGGCCCTGCCCGGGGTCGCCTGGACAGCCAACGGCACCCACAACGCCAAGGGGTATACCACCAAGTCCATGGAGAAGACTGACGCGGAGGGCATGCATGAAGACTGCGAGAATATCAACCTCAACATGAAGCTGTCGACCAACTTCCGCAGCGACGTGTTCGGCCCCGGCGTCAAGGGCTACTTCTACAAGTGCGAGAAGATCAACCCCGAGACCAACAAGTACTGGTTCACCATCACCTCGGGCAACCAGACCCACATTGAGCGGCTGTGCAGCCAAAAGACGCCGTACCCGATTACCTACGACTCGCAGCACAATACCTGGTGGATCGATGAGCCGTTTACTTGCACTCAGCAGTGGGGACCGCTGATGGGTGAGGGTGAGCACCGGGGTCGTCACTAGGGAATTCTATATGCGGAACTCGATAGGATGACGACGCTAAGGGAGGATTGTTGTACATAACTGAAACAAAATATTTTTATCTCCCTGCAAAGGGTGAATACCTCAGCTTCTGTGGACGTCTTGATTGGTCACATTCCTCAAAGACCGTGCGGATTGCATCGTTCTCTTACGCGGTTAACCATGTTATCCTGGATAGTCAGTAGTGCGATAATTCGGGGCTTGATAGTATTATCAGAATCTAACCATATGAAGACCCCGATTGACCAATTTCAGCCACCGCCATAACTATCCCGGACCGGGAGAAACATCCGTTTTCGGGACCCGCGGATCCCGTTTGGCCACAATCTTGATTTTTCCACTTAAGACATCCAAAGACCCTCGTGGTTCTACTTCAATGGCTTGAATCGTTATTTTCGTTCGTTTTTCCATTATTCTTTCCGTAGCCAAGAACTGGTGTACCCCTTGGAAGGGCCCAATTTGCTCTCGGCCTGACCCTATTCGATGACCTCCATGCGACCGTGGAGCTGGTCGCGTTTCCGCCATGAGCCACGGATCCCCACGCGGCCGAGGTTCGTGAGGCTGAGATCATCGAAATGGTTCATTCTATTTGTCGTTGCGTTTGCGGCTTCGACGGTATGTTTTCTGCGGGCGGGCGGGTGCTTGCAGGTGTATCAAACTGACCTCCAATGTAATAGGATATTTTTCTCTATGGCTTGGTATGGCTAGTCAAAAGTCCAAATTGGTTGCCCTTGGCGTGCTGATTTCTTGCCTAGATTGTACCGGTTGCACCTACTGCTTTGGAACAGAGAGTTGGGCTCGCAAAGGAAGAGAGTAAGTATGATTTACCTGCGAGAAATAAATAGTCGCTGATCCATGTGTGGCAGTTCAACCATGGACCTCTACTCTCCTGGCCCTATATGCAGCCGCATTGTTAGCCTTTTCTCGTAAGTATCGTTATCTGCGGATACAGCCACCTGTTTTTGGCTAACCTCTATGCCAGCCATCAGCGGCTACGTCGCTGACCGATTCGAGTCTCGGCGATTGCCTATGCTCGCCGGTCTGGTTGCGGTCGGCGCAGCAACAGCGCTACTATGTGTCGGAACGAACATCGGACTATGGATCGCTGGCCGCCTGTTTCAAGGCGCTGCTGCGGCTGTCGTCTGGACCGTCGGGATCGCTCTTATGGTCGACACTGTCGGCAAAGAAGGACTTGGCCAAGCAATTGGCTACGTTTCTTTGTCACTGACTCTCGGCACACTGGCTGGCCCCCTGCTGGGTGGCGTGCTCTATGAAGACGGCGGATACTACGCTGTATTTGGATTGGCCTTTGGCCTGATCGCCTTTGATGTTTTCCTGCGTTTGGTATTAATTGAACAGAAAGATGCCAAGAAATGGCTCGAAGATGAGAAGGAGCAGCAGCCTTTGGAATCTGAGAAAGTTGAGATGCCCTTGGCAGAGGCTACGCCAAATGCTGAAGTGCAAGAAACGGCTCACGATACACAAGCCGTTACGCTGAAAAAGCGTCCATTTGGGCGGCTCGCTGTTCTGCTCAGCTCTAGCCGCCTCATCGTATCTCTCTGGGGATACTTCATCCTATCACTCGTGTTGTCTTCCCTCGACAGCGTGCTTCCTATCTTCGTTCAAGAGACCTTTGGCTGGCAGCAAGCCGGACAAGGTCTGATCTTCATTCCGTGCATGGTGCCGCACACCTTGGACCCGCTGATCGGATATATCATCGATCGATATCCAAAAACCCCTCGCTATCTCACCTCTGCCGGGTTCTTCTGCTGCCTTCCGCTGATGGTATTACTCCGCCTCGTGAAAGAAAACACGATGCACGATAAAATTCTTCTATGTGCCCTACTTGCCCTTATCGGTTGTTGTATTGCTCTGACCATGACCCCCCTCGTTGCGGAGGTCTTCCACGCAGTCAAGGAGAAAGAGGAGATATCTCCTGATATCTTTGGTCGTGGCGGTGCAATGGCTCTTGCTTTTGGTCTTTCGAACATGGGCTTTGCGGCAGGAAGTCTTCTCGGTCCCTTCTTCGCGGGTTTTATTCGCAAAGAGGCTGGATGGGGTACTATGGGTTGGGCACTGGGTTTGTTGGTCGGTGTGTCTGGTGTCCCAACGCTGTTGATTATGGGAGGGTGGATTATGAGAAAGCCGAAGCCACAAGTGGAAAGTCCTTCTGCACCGGAGTGAGCTTTCTTCATAATGACTATTCTCCTCTCTATCTGTATATCTAGACCGACTGATTCACCTCACCTCTCATGAGCCACGAAAAAAATACATGCTAAATCAGAAACAATGTAATTAATCTCTTCCTACAAATTCGGGTAGAAACCTTTTCTTATTATGCGTACTGTCGCTTTCACAGAATTAATCTACGCCTACGTAATCCAAACTCAGGCTCACAATGGCCTGGCCACTATCGGACATCTGCCCTTCCCAGCTGAGACTCCACGGAAGATCCCCACAAGGTTCCCCGCAGGAGCCCCACGACCAAGTGGATGGGACGGCGAAGAAGAAACTCGGGAATTGTTCAGAGTGACAATAGCCGTGTCCCACCGATCACAGTATGAGTCTGCTATCGGGTTGGTTTACTATTTTTTTTTTTTGAACCATTACTATCACCATCCCCAACATGGCACCTCCGAGGCTACACCACCGAAAGTTGAATGCCACCTTCAAGGGCATCCAACGCGATGACGAGAATATTTCCATTCATCAATTTCGCGGTATCAAGTATGCTTCGATTCCGGGCCGATTTGAGAAGGCTCTTCGGGTCGACAATTTCGAGGGTCGTGTTATCGACGCTACAAAATATGGGTATGTACTCAGGTCGAATATCGTGTAACATAAATATAGTCAACGTCCTAAATTGTTTTTATGTAGACCACGCTGTCCCCAGGTTGATGTCGATGTGAAGCATTTACTTCGGATCCCGGAGGACTTTACCATTGCGCCTGAGCCAGAGGATGAGTTCGAATGTCTCAACTTGGAAATTACATGTCCGCCGGTGTCGTCTGGGTCTGACCCTCTGCCAGTTTTGATCTGGATCCATGGTTCGGTTGACGGCAATCTTGCGGAAATAATCAACTAATTTTGAATTACAGGTGGCTCGCAAGTGGTTACATTTTGCTCTGCTGCATCCAAGATCTGTGGTATGTAGGGAAGGTACATGTACTAGACTTAAACATTGCTAATTTGAATCAACTTATAGACCCCACCAAAATCGTTACCGATTCAATTAAGACGAGGAAGCCTATCATATTTGTCTCCATTAATTACCGGCTCAACATCTTCAGCTTCGGTGACGGACGGGAGAAAAACCTCGCCCTCAAAGACCAGCGTCTAGGCATTGACTGGGTGCGAGAGAATATTGGAGCCTTTGGCGGAGATCCTGTAAGTTTCTCGGAGGCTTCCTGCAGGCTCAAATACTAATGTCTGCAGCAAAACATCACATTGGCTGGAGAAAGCGCCGGAGCTGTTTATGCCCACGCCCATCTCATCACTGGTCCGCCAGTTAAGCGGGCTGTGCTGGCATCCGGAACTCTTTACCTCTCATCCCCCCTACCAGTAGAACGAGGAAACGGACTCATCAAGACCTTAGAGGCAAAGGTTCAGGAACTTGGCCAACCATCGCTGCGAGAGTCCGCTGTTTCTGTGCTTGTCCAAGCATTGAAAGAATGCAATGTGAATACTATGTGGATACAGGAAGACCCTGAGCTGGAGAATTGGGAGACTCGACCTGAGCAAGTTGAAGAGCTCATGATCGGTGATACTGAGTATGAGGTACGTTCTATTGCTGCCAGATTGCTGACGATGTTCTAACTTCTATCCAGTCCGTTATCTGGCGAAATGGCATCGAGGTGCTGGATGGAGAGAGTATTGCCGCAGTATTCGAAGATGGGCAATGGGGCACCAAGCTCCGCAAGATGTATCAAATTGTGCCTGATCGCCCGACAGCTAGCAAACTGGGTGCTCTGGATTTTGTCAACGACACGCGCTACGCTCTCCCCGTTGAAGTGATCGCTGAAAAGCTTCATGCTGTCGGCAAGCGAGTCTTCAAATACGTGATCGACCAGCCTAATCCCTTCCAGCCGTCCAGCCGCTCGCATCATGCGGTCGACCTTCTGTTCCTCTTCGATGGCGTTGATCTTTCCTTCAATCCTACTGCACAGGCTGTTGGTCAGGAGATGCGACAACGTTGGATCCAGTTTGTGAACGGGGGGAATCCCTGGTCTGTAGATAGTAGGTTTGCATTCGGGCCGCTGGGCGACTGCAGGGAAATCAGTGAGGATCAATTTGCAGATCGACGACGTGTCAATCATTGCAAAGTACTACAGGAGGCCGGGATAGATGTGTACTTGCCTATTTTGTTTGCGCTGACCGCTGGGCGCATCGGTTTGTTGAACTAGGTAGGGCATGCAATCCCAAATGTATACATTTTCACACCAGCACATTTCTGCAACCAATGTAAACAACAACCATACATAAGATTTTTGTTTTTTCTCATCCTCTCGGCAATTGGAAGCTCCCTCTACTCCCGTCCAACTCCACGCGCCGTCACGGTCCACCGTTACTCAGGACTGACTCATGTGGGGTCGCTGGAATCCATCGTTGCTATGTAACTAATCCGCCTGGCATCTCTCGTCGCCGTTCGCTATCCCCACCATTCATCGCGCACCATGTGATCCACTTATCGGGGAGGTCGGCAACACGAAGCTGTCTCGATATGCCGACTATACGAAGCAGCTAATGATGCTCAGCCTCTAACGCTATGCTGATAGTCTAGTGTCTGCACGGGCACTCGGGGTGTCCTGACCCCACCGTCTGCGCGGTCGTCCATCTTGTTTGACTATATAGAGGCCAAAGTGCCCGGGGGAAATGAAGCTCAGTGAAGCCAAGTAGAAGATTCCGATTGTGATAATCATGCCTTCAACAAGCTCTCTGTCGGATCCCAAGGAATATCAGAAGATATTCCATTGGGCCGAGACGCAGAAGGATGGGGCCATCCCTTCCTTTAACACAAGACGTAACGATCCATATGAGGTACGGGTTCCGGTGCATGTTTATTCATTGCAGAATACCCGCTGACCTTTGCAGTACCAATCTGGATTTGGCAATGCGTATGTGTACACAACCTGCATCTAGCGATTCAACTGGCTGATGTAGTGTCTCCGAGTTCAGCTTCTCGTCCGAAGCAATTCCCGGCACCATTCCACAAGGCCAGAACAGTCCACGCAATGTTCGTTTTGGGCTGTATGCCGAGCAAATCACCGCCACAGCCTTTGTTGCCCCTCGCCATGCCAACAAGAAGGCATGGCTATATCGAGCGCGGCCGGCGGTCGCTCACCAGGGCTTTGTATGAATTTCTCGAAAATTGCCTATCTATGAGAAAGCTAACATGAGGGTAGACGGAACTCCCAGATAACAAAGATACCGAGGCGAGCTTCCTACCCTTGAACCCTCGCATACACGTCTCCCCGACACAGCTAGCCTGGCACCCATTCGAGATCTCTACCAGCGAAAATGTTGATTTCATCTCCGGCTTGAAGACTATTGCTGGATCAGGCGACCCCACGCTGCGTGAGGGACTCGCTACTCATGTCTACGTTGCTAATACCAGCATGACGAAGAAAGCCTTCGTCAACTCGGACGGTGAGTTCCTGATCATTCCGCAGCAGGGTGCTCTAGATATCCAAACCGAGTTTGGTCCTCTCTTTGTTCAGCCGGGTGAGATTGTCATTATTCCGCGCGGTCTCCGCTTCCGTGTTGAACTCCCTGATGGACCCTCGCGTGGTTACATCCTTGAGGTCTGGGGCACGCACTTTGAGCTCCCCGAGCTGGGTCCCCTAGGTGCCAATGGACTTGCCAATGCGCGGGATTTTTTGAGTCCCACTGCTCGGTATGAGATTGTCCAGGAACCGTGGCAGATTATCTATAAGCTTGGGGGCAAGTTCTTCAAGAGCACGCAAAACCATAGTCCATTCGATGTTGTAGCCTGGCATGGCAATTATGTACGTTCCTCCTCTTTCATGATTCTGCATGCCCTCAACTGACCTCTTCAGGTCCCCTACAAATACGACTTGACCAAGTTCGTTAATGTCGGCTCCATATCGGTTGACCACATTGACCCATCCATCTTCTGCGTACTTACGGCCAAGTCGCGTGACTTGACCGCGCCGTTGGCGGATCTGCTTATTTTCTCCCCTAGGTGGGATGTTGCATCTCGTGTGTATTTGCCAAAAAAAATATGTCCGTCCATCTGCTAATGCTCCCAGACACCTACCGGCCCCCTTATTATCACCGCAACGTCGCCTCCGAACTGATGGGTCTTATCTACGGCGAGTACGGCGGCCGCTCCGATGCTTTCAAGCCTGGCAGCGTGTCCTTTGAATGCGGAAGTGAGTTTATGCCACAGTATATTCTAAGATTTATACTGATCGTCATAACCCCAGTGGTTCCTCATGGTGTCGCCTACGAGGAGTTCAAGGCTGCAAGCGACAACCAACCGCCAGTCATGCAGATCTCTGAAGCTTCTATTGCCTTCATGTTCGAGTCTAGCCGCCCGTTCACTATCACTGACTATGCGTGGAACAGTGATAAGAAGCATGAGCACGAGCCCAAGATGTGGGATAACCTGGTCGATAACTTTTCTTCCCACGCCAAGGAGATTGAGGAGATACTGGCCAAGGCGAAGAATGCCCTGTCCATTTCATGAGTTGATGGTGTGTTGCAGGAGCGGATTTTTGTATGTCGAGTCGAATAGTATGATATCACTAGGTATTTTTTTTGGTCCAGATGTGAATATTTCGGACTATTCCATTCTCACGATTCTATTTTGAAAAGAAAAGTATTTCGGTAGAGCTATCATGCAAACTATCACTCAGATCAGATTTGTGATGGAATTGGATGTATTCTGATCAACCTAGACATGACTTCAACGCCATGTCAACATGCCATCACCACCTGGACAAGAACAACATCACGGAATAAAGAAACTATATCCCAATGCCATCGCAGTATTATCAAGTTGAAAGACGATCAATCTTAATCGACACTCACTACCCAGGAAAATGAGCACCGCCGAACTAGAGTCTCCCCGCCTCTTCGAGGTAAAAGGCTACGTCGCTGTAGTCACCGGCGCAAGCAGCGGCATCGGGCTAATGGCCGCACAGGCGCTTGCCGCCAACGGGGCGCGCGTGTATGCCATCGGACGCAGGGAAGAAATACTGGAGACTGTTTCCAAGAAGTTTTCGAGCAACGGCCAGATCATCCCGTAAATACTCTCGCCCAAATGCATCAAAATGACATTTTGACTGACCAGAAACCTATCAGCCTGCCAGGAGACATCTCTCACACCGATGCAGTGGCCGACATCGCCAAGGAACTCACAGCCCGCGAAGACAATGGGATCAACATCCTGATCAACACATCGGGCGTCACCTGTGAGCCACACGCCAAAGCCGAGTCCAGGGCCATCGACTTCACAGACGCAGACGCAGTGGGCAAATGGATGGTCCGTGACGGTGCCGACGCATGGCGTACGGCCTACGCGGGCAACGTGGCCGCGCACCACTTCCTGACCGCTGCGCTGCTCCCGCTGCTCGATAAGGGACAGCAGGCCACGGTGCCGGGGCACACGAGCACGATCCTCAACGTGGCGAGTCTGGCGGGCGTGACGAAGACACATTCGCAAGGCCAGTTTGCGTACAGCTCGAGTAAGGCCGCGTTGTTGCATCTCACACGGGAGTGGGCGCATACGTTCATGCCCTTCGGTATTAGGGTTAATTGCATTGCGCCTGGGCTGTTTCCGTCGGAGCTGAATACGGAACGGAAGGCTGGGGAGGCGTACACGTCGAAGCTGGCTGGGGCTGGGGAGAAATTTCCTGCTGGTCAGTTTGTTTCTTTTCTTTGCTAGGAGAAGGAAGGAGTGCTGAATGATGATTTAATATTGTGGCAGGGCGCATTGGTCGCGGGTCAGATATCGGCGGAGTCGTGCTCTATCTCTGTTCTCGGGCTGGATCGTATATCAATGGGCAGATCATCAACCTGGATGAAGGTAAGTCTCAACTGGTTGTCTCTTGGGGATCTTCATGACAAAACATAGGACTGCTGCTTAAATCCCCGGGGACAATGTGATCTTCTTTTAAACGGTCGAGTTCGCAAACGGGTCTTTTTATTTTCATGATTGGTATCAACAGACGGCCAGGCATCGAACTCATACAGAATTAAGTTGGCAGCGAGAGCCTCGTTCGTATGCAGCGCCCCCTTTCCACTCCCACGAGCCCAGTAGCCTTCCGAAGTACAGAAGAAAAATAAATCTATCACGTCACAGGAAGTAATCCGGCGTGCGTCTCGAGACCATCGGTTCTCCCGCCCGGGGACAAGGGTCGAATTGTAGGCTAACAAACACGTCAGCGGTGCGCAGAAGGAGGCATGTTCAGGAGCAACTCACAATGTGTATTTCAAATGCTCGTCAATTTCCATAATCGCAGCTTGGTTACCGCAGCGGTAACAGTAGTTCGGCGCTGCGTCAGTTAGCGTGAATGCTCGAGATGAAAGACACAAAATCAAGAAACATACCCGAGAAAATGGTCACCACGTTCCGATCCTGCGACCAGTTATATCCCTCCATCACCAGCTGATGCGCCCGTGCCACCAGAGTCAAGCCGTTGTTGTGGTTGAACGCCTCCGAAATGTCCTGCCCAAAGGTGTACCCAGCACCTCGGGGCGAGATACCCCATCCACATCGATCATCCGGATCACTCCACAACAAGTCACACATGGGGCCCTCGTGAGGCACTTCTTGGATGCGGTCGAGGGACCGGATGTTGTCGAGAGTGTCGATGGACGGGCTCAGCCCACCATGCAGACAGAAAATCTGGTTTTCGATGAGAGCAGTGAGGGGGAGGTAGTCGAAGAGGTCGGTGAAGTATTTCCACACGTTGGCATTGCCGTATTTGCGCAAGCACTCGTCATAGAACCCGTACACCTGGGTGATCTGGCGGGACTCGTGGTTCCCACGGAGGATGGTGATACGCTGCGGGTAACGGATCTTCAGGCACACCAGCAGGGTCACTGTCTCGACGGAATAGTAGCCACGATCGACGTAGTCGCCTAGACTCGATCAGTTTCTAATTCCTTTCGCACACGAATCCGACCGACGCCGAGTTTTGTGTTGGTGTACTCACCCATGAAAAGGTAGTTTGTGTCTGGATTCGGGCCGCCAATGCGAAAGAGCTCCATTAGGTCGTGGAACTGGCCGTGTATGTCACCGCACACCGTCACCGGGCATTTCTGCAGGGGTTGTTAGATGTCGCCCCGATCGGACGGGTTCGCAAGCAGCAACATACCACTGGCTGGACGTTCGATTCATCCTGCAATACCTCTCGTGCCTAGAAAGACGCCAATCATCAATTCAACATGTCTTCGATCATCGGGCCTAGGAAACCCACCCGATCGCACAGTCGCCGCACATCGTCCTCTGCTAATTGCTTGCACGTCATCAAACTTTCAATCCACCCATCCAGAGTCGGTATGGATCCGGGGTCGCTTGTTGGGGACAGGTGGTGTGGTTCGGGCGACCGCGCGGTATCGATTTCCATGTTGTTGTCCATTGTGTCTTTGGCTGTCCACAAGCTGGGAAAGGGAGGGAGGGGCCAGCTGTGGGTGGAGGGGTGATCTCGTGAGGAACAACACCGGACGACACAAGCGAAATAAAGAGATGATGATGGGGACAAGAACTACACAGTTGCAACAGAAAAAGAAGGCCAAGTCCCCTGATCGAAGCAAGGGATGAAGGTGGGTGGGTGATGGGGGATGTTTTGGGGCAGGAAAGGGAGAAAGAGTCGGAGTTGCGGGAAGGTCGTTGAGGGCGAGTTTGCGCCACGCTTGAGCCACACCGCTTTGCTAAGTATGGCAACAAGACTACAGCGACAACAAGATTCTCATAATATCGTCAATTCGTACACTCATAAGAAAGGTATCTAACTAGCTAGCTCTTTTTCGGCTCATCCTCAGATTATGTCCCCTCCAAACCCACCGCCCATTCCTCCAAAGCCTCCGCCTGAGTTTCCACCTGGTCCACGTCCACCAAAAGGCCCTCGATTGCTTCCAAATGGTGGTTGTCCCGGTCCCGGGGGTCATATCTGGCTCCAGGTGGCGCGCGGGGATCATAACCACCTCTGCCACCCTGTCCCCCGAAGAGAGGATCGTCAAAGGTAGGGTGCATGCCGCCGCCCGATCCAAAGCCAGGGCCCATGGTGCCTCGGAAAGGATCATTAGGACCGAGTCCAGCAGGGTAGAGATCTCGTTCCCCGATATTGTATGGATTCCTGCCTCCCTCAAACCCAGGAATATATCCCCGTGGTGGGCGGTTGATCTCGTACTCATCCTCAAACCCAGGCGGGGCAAAGTCGCCAGGAGGATTGGGTCGACGAGGAGCGGCTGCCAGCGGGTCATCGAACGGGTATGGACGGGCAGGTTGGGGAAGAGAGTCATCACGCAGTGGGTCACGTCGCCGTCCCTGTTCTTGAGGCTGCTCTCGCTGCGCCTCTTGGCTTGTAGGGTCGTAGCCTTCCTTGTATAGTCCCGGCGCGAGTTTCTGGATCACATTGATCTTAAAGAGTCCGATCAGATCCCTCAAGCGAGCAGGTGATATAAACACGTCCCGCAGTGCACCTGTAATATTGTCTGTGGAGGAGAGAGGGAGCGCAGACTCGGAGATGTAATCTTTGGCGGGAATATCGAACGACGAAGTTCGGTCGTCGCCCAGAGCCAAAGCAAATATCACGGCGTTGTTGCCGAGTCGGCTCACTTTGAGGAGGTATTGCATCGAGGATTGTTCATGGGCATATCGAAAGGCAAAGGTGGTGTTGGCGTTCCATTCCGCGGGGAGGGTGGAAGGAGTAGTGGATGTTTCTGTCGCAAGTCAGCCATGGACAGGAACTATAATGAAGGGGCATACCTATGGTGTGGTCTTCTCCAAGGCCCACCAGTCTGAAGTTGGCTGCTGCCATGCAGGCATGGCCGATCAGAGCCACCGCTTCATATGGTGTTTTGAGGCTTGGCTGGCCCTCACCCTCGGGCTGAATAGCTATGGCTGCGAGGTTCAGGACGTTGTCCTGCTGGAGTGAATCTGCTGTCATTATTTCGTTTCTTTGTGGACGATCGTGTAAAATCACAGTATGCGTAGAAGAAAGGTAAGGTGATGGATGAAAGTACAGGATGACGATGATGCTTGTACTTGGGCACGATAAGGCAAGCTGGAACAATGATGATCCGCCCTGGAGTGGCCCGTGCGTTCCCGATCGTATAATGGACAAGAGCCTCACCAAGTGAAGTATAGAATTCATATTCTGGATTGCTAGTTTATCCGAGTAGTTATGTACAAATCTTTACAGCATCGCCTTGGGGAATTTCTTCATGGCCTGTCGCACTCCCAGGTCTGCCAGAATCTCCTCAGTCCCACCAAGGATGGCATCGAACTTGTATGTGCGGTGGAACATCTCGATGATCTTGCCCATGCCGGATTGCGTCAGACCACGCCCACCAAAGATATTAGTAGCGTGGTCGGCAATTTCCTGGGCAGCGCGAGTTGAGTGCGACTTGAGCAACCCAATTGGTCCACCGAGGTGCGTGGCCTGTTCCGCATAGGTCATGTTGCACATCTGGAAGGCAATGGACTCGAGCCAGGCCTGGTTGGACTCGCACAGGGAAATCATGCGGGCGAGTCTGATGTCGTTAATTATGGTCATATCAAGAAATTTGGAAAACTCACTTCTGGCGGATCGCGGGCTGCTCAACTAGCTTCTTACCAAATACGATGCGCTGGTTGCACCATTTCAGACACTCCTCTACGACAGTCATGGACATGCGCACTACACCGCCGACCATCATGAACCGCTCGTGGTTGAAGTTGCTCATAATGACAACAAACCCCTTATGCTCTTCTCCGAGCAGGTTCTGCACCGGCACCTTCACATTCTGAAACTCAACGAATGCCGTTGCCGCTGCGGTCGAGTACGAGGTCTTGATCTGCTTCGTCTCGACACCTTCCCCGCGCGGAATCAACAGCACGGAGAATCCTTTGTCAGTTCGGCAGCCAGTAACAAAGTAGTCGGCGAACATTCCGTTGGTGATCCATTTCCTGCAGGACGTTAGCCAGTGAAGGATCTCATGCTCACAACTCCAGCTTACTTGGTGCCATTAACGATGTAATGCTTCCCATCCGGGGTTTTCTCGGCTGTAGTCTTGAGTCCTGCAACATCACTACCCGCAAACGCCTCGGTGATGGCCAGACACATCTTCTTCTGGCCGGACAAGACCTCTCCGGTTACACGCTCCTTCAGAGCTGGGTCTCGTAACCACTGCTGCACGGCTGTCAAACTGATGGCCATACCGGCCATGTTTCCATCCTGGAAGCCTATCCCCAAAAGATCAGCAAGGTTCTTCCAATGCATTCTGATCACGAACTCACCTCGCGCATTGGCCCGGACTAGTTCCTGCGAAACCACCAAATCATGCAGATAATCAAACTCCTTTCCGTCAACGGCACCACCCAGCAACTTCCGGTTATGAAGATGCTTGCCAGGGCCCAATCGCATAGCCAGAACATTCGTCTCCGCCATACGGTCGATCAGTTCCTGGCTGATATAGGTTCCATCTTGCTCCTTCTGCTGTGCCTCGGGCGTAACGTACTGATCCGTGAACTCACGCACGGCTTTCTGCAGACGTCGATGGCTCTCTTTGTAGTAAGGACTCTTGAAATGGGGCCGCAACCACAACGGCTCCGCGTAGGGGACGGGGCTGAGCGCGCCAATTTTGGGTTCGATGACCTCGGGCTTCTCGCCCTCGATCGTACCGATGCAGAGATCTTCGCGGTACTTTTCGAGGACTTCTTGGCGGTGTAGGTTGTAAAACTCGGTCGTGGCATCCTGGCCAGCGACCTGGGCTAGCACGACGCTGCCGCCGGGATGCGCATCCACGAAGTCCGTCAGGTCGTACACTCGGTGGTCGATGATGCACCAGAGCGATTCCTCGGTGTTGTGTTTGGCAACCTCGGCGCGGGTGAGCGTGGGTGATGGCATGGCTGCGATGTTCCAGGGTTGTGAGAGTGATCAGGGGAAGTTAGAGGTGCAGGAGTGCGGTATATACTGCAGTCTTCCCCAGCTTCTTCCGGGCCAATCAGGGCGATGATGATTCCAGCCGAGGCCCTCGGCGCGCTGACATAATCACATCACGGGCCACTGGCCTTAGAATGCTGCTGGTCACGAAGAGCTACATGGTCATCTTTCAAGCGGAATTGTCATGGTTCATAATATGTACAGACAGGCCCAAGATAGAAGAAAATTTACGATCGACCCGACCCATTGGTCGACATCTCCCTCATCGCCTCCTCAACTAACCACATACAAACAGGCTGTGCATCACTACCGACGCGCCAACTGCTCAGTACAACGCCCTGTTTATTGAGAATGTCGCTGGCCCGCTCCCAGCGGCGCTTCCACAGTTCTTCCCGTTTATTCGGGAGTGGTGCAGCTGGTACGCCTGCTTCACTGGCAGCACTGCTGTGGCTGGGAGGTGTAGTTCGGCCAAGGGATTGGTTGGACGCAGAGGAACGGAGCCCATTCGAAGAGGATGAGTTTAGATTCAGGCGCTCCGTCGCGTAATTCAGGGCGGCTTGGGCGGCTGCGGTTGGATAAGATGGCTTTGTGGCTGGTGGACGAGGAGTGGGTGTCGCGCTAGAACTGGAGCTGGCAGTGGAAGAAGCTGCGTTTGTGCGACGAGGAGGAGGCACTGGTGGAGGTCCCTTGGAGCCAGGGGTCTGTGATGGCGGATTCGGGGAGCTCGAAAGTGCATCGTTCTGTGATGGGGTAAGGTCACCTGGGACCGGTTCGGTGCGGGTTCGAGTGACCGATGGCTGAGAGTCGATCTCAATTAGGGAATCGGTCATGGCTGGAGAGGACCGCCGAGGTGGCAGTGGAGGAACAGGTTTACGCCGAACCGGATCTCGATAAGGTAAAGGCGGCTTGGTAGTGGTTTCGGTTGCATCTATCACTGTAGAAACTGAACGCAAAGCAGATGGTTTTGAGGGCTTCGCAGGAGGTACCCGTGCATTACCACTGGTAGTCACGTCATGGGTAGACGGTTTCTGCTCAGTCTCGTCACTAAGATCGATCAGATCACCCGTGTCAAAACTCTTGACATCATCTTCTTTTGCTGCAGCCAGCGTCCGGCGAGGCGGCAGGGCTGGAGGAGGCGCGGGAGACCTGGACCGATCCACCAATTGCGGAGTGCTGCGGCTGCGGAGGGCTTCTGGGTCCAGATGGCTGGCTGATCCCTCAAAGAACTGTTTATTGTCAGGCGTGGTTACGTCGCGGATGAAGATGCCCAGAATCCGGCCTTTGTTCGCCAACGCGATATCAGTGTAGACCTCGAGGTCAGCCTCGCCGCTGTCTCCTACAAGAATAAACTTGCGCTCTGGAAAGTCCCGCAGAACCTGTTCCAAGGATCCCCGTTTCCTCTCGGCGGTGGGTTCAAAAATCCCCTGCAACATCCCCGAATATTGCTTGAGGTGGAACGACCCCGGCGGCAAGCCGACCATCTTGAAGTATCTCTCCAGCAGAGGATACAGTTGCCATGGAGCATTGGAAACATAGTGAATTTTCACGCCCTGCTTAGCCAGTTTCGTATACCACTCGCTGACTCCGTCGACCGTCAGCTCCGCCAGCTCGCGCACAAATGTATTCCGGAACATCTCTTTTGCCCCGTTGGCAATGGCAGAATGCTTCACTGTGTCGTCAATATCACTGATCAGACTGATGCCAACCGGGTCTATGATCTCAATTGGTTTGGCTGCAGACAGGTCCTCCGAAGCCAATACGCGGACATGCGTTGGGACAAAGGGCAATGGTGCCCGGAGTGTGAAATGGCCCGACTCGTCTGTCATTAGATTTCGGGATTTGCTTTGCTCATCATTGAAGAAAAACACCGTCACCGGCATCAACGCCATGGGGTTGGTCAAAAATGGACGAAGTCTCTCCATAAGATGCGCATTGGCAACAGACAATTCATCTTTGCTCATTGGCTGGCTGGGCGCCGTTGTGTTTCGGGGTCGATCACCGCCTGAGTTGATCTTCCAAGCTGGGTCTGCGTCCTTCTCTGCTGTGTCGACCAAAGACTGCATCTGTTTGTCTGCCAATTCATCCTCTCCCTGGCCCGGCGGCCTATTAGCCTCCTCATTCCCGGTACCCGTCGGCGCTGGGATCCCGCTTAACTTCCTAGCCAAAGTAATCATCAAGCGATGCTTCCGGTTCATGGGCCCACGATTAGGTGCGTATATCCAGCCACGCACATCCACGTCCACAACCGTATTCTCCATCTCGCCTTCGTCATAACCGGAGTTGAAGAAATCATTGCTGTCAGATGTACCGCGATACTCATCGAGAGTATCTGACCACGAATTACGCCGCACACGCTCTTCTATTTTCTTTTCAGGCAAGCGTCTCGCATAACTCGGGAAGAGCACCATCTCCTCATCCCCAGACCGCGCGATCTCAACATCCGGAAAAGCGCCGGGGGTATTATAGTAGTCTTCACCGGGGCCATTCCGTTGCCCAGACCATTGTGACGTATACGCCTGGCGCAACTCATTCGCTGCTTTCAAATATCCGTAGACCTTCTTGCGGCGACCACCAGGCGCAGCCGCACCATCTCCAGACCCCCATGTCGACGTTGATGGTAAATCAGACATTACTGGGGCTGCATCATTCAGCCCGTTCGGGGCCGCTCCCGCTATTCGCACGCGTTGTGCAGGCAAACTGACCCCCGCCCCAGCACCGGCTCTCCACCCGCGCACCCGTCGTCGCGGTCCGAGCAGGTATGTCACAAAGCCACTGCTAAGCCTGCGATTGCTAGCAGCGGCGAGCCGAGCCTGTCGCTGGACGATCGCTCGATATAGCCGCGACTGGGTCCGATGACGCAGCGCGGGGAGGACCTCGTGGCGGAAAGCCCAGAGACGCAGCTGGGCACGCCGGGTCGCGTGTGGGCCGATGAGAACTCGGAGCAGGGTCGAGAGGCTGCTGGGTCTGGGTCCGCGTTGGAGGGGGGTTTGGTGGGCTGTCTGAAGAGAAATGGACTCGACCGGAGGATTGACCAGCGGCTTCGAAAGGGCGGTTTGGGAGCCAGGGTCGACAGATAGAGAGAGAGATAGAGAAAGAGAGAGAAATAGAGAGAGTAGTTCCGAGCGAGGGAGAGTCCTCAGTAATGTGGCGAGTGGGTGGATGTGGAAGGGAAGCTGACAACAACAGTTACGTAGTGGAGAAGAGGAAATGTTTCCTGTTCCTGTGGGGGAAATCGATCGACAAGGATAAGGCTGACAGTCTACTGTTGGTTCACGCGAGGGTTTTGGTCAAACTGGTTATTTGATGTTTAGATGTTTACCTGCTAATGGAATCTCATTTTGGTTAGGATGTTGTTTCAACAATGTCCAGTGTCGAGGTATAGTTCTCGGCTGTATAGCCACACCAGAGCCAGGCCACCACACCTTATCGTGTGACTGCCAGTCACTAGTACAGGAATCCACCATTGAAGAGATGTAGCTCTATTAGATTTATCTTGAGTATAGTATATATAATACAAAGGGATATGTACAGTTCTCCCACTGACTATGCACTGTCTTCAGTGTAATTCACCTTCTTCGCTCGACTACTTCGCCGAGACCTAGATACCGGGACCCCGTCGTCCAGCTCTGCAGATACCTCCTCGGACTCTGGAGTTGACTCCACAGTCTCGGCAGCCTTGCGCTTCTTGCGCGCGGGCTTCATCGATGCCGGTGTACGTTGAGCTCTCGTAGCCGACTTCTTGATCGGGGTTTCTGTTTCACCTTTCTCAGCGTCCGGATCCGCCTTCACTTTCTTGGACGCGCTGTTCTTTGCCGGGGTTCGAGCCGTCTTGGCTCGAATGGTCCTCTTCACTGGACGAAGCCACTCTTCCATGCCTCGCGGCCAATACACCCTCCGCTCAGGGCCGCCCATGCCGACATCTTCGTCGGAAATGGTTGGAGGCGGTGGAACGGAGCCCTCCAGATCGACAAAGCCGCCGTTCTTCTTGGACTTTCTTGGTGGCTTGAATTCTTTGTTCTCGTCAGTGCGTGTATTCGGGATCATGTCATTGAAGAGCTCGTATCCCGGAAGCTTGAAGGTCCTCATTAACTCGAAGACGGCCTGCTCTTTGTCCTTTGCTTCAATCATCAGGTCCATGGTGGGATTGCACGGAGGTAAGGTAGCCACGCGGTCGCTGTGCTTGCGGCGCTGGCGGTTCGTGATGGCGGATGGGGTGGGTTCGGAGTAATGCATTTTCTGTGTGATATTTTTGCGCGACCAGGTCGCGGCAATGCGGTCATAGAGACCGATGATGTCTTGAGTGCCCTCGCGCAGCTCATTCGCATCAAATATGATGTTGTGATGATGGTAGTCGAGGACGAGAGGAATATTCAGTTCCTCGCAGATGGGTAAGAGGTCGTGAACAGACCAGCTGACGTCGTCGTTTTCCAAGACCAGCCGGTTCTTGACGTCCTGTGACAGAACCGCGTAGTTCTCTCTGAATCGATCCAGAGTCGCTGCTTTATCGCCAAATACTCCACCCATGTGAAGAATCATGACCGCATCGCGATCTTGCTGTGGCGGCAGCTTGAGAAGTTGTAGCATCTCCGAGTGATACTCGAGATCCCGATACGAGCTCTCGACCACCTCTCTCTTGGGAGACCCCAGCTGGGTAAATTGGCCTGGATGAACCGACACTCGATGACCGAGTTCTGCAACAACCAGGCCGGCCTGTTCCAACACTTCGGAGGCAAACGGGGCCAACTTGTAGCCGTATTCTTTATGACTAGCGAACGGAAACATTTCGCTGCTCAATCGCATGAACTTAATACCGTACTTGTCATTCCAGCGCAGAATTTTGACAAGGTCGCGCGCATTCGCCAGCCCTAGCGCTTCGACGAAGGCCTGTCCGCGTGCGACATCGGGTGTTTGGTCACGGTCTGGACGGTTTTTGGTCGGGTGTGCAGGCTGATCAGGGTCCACGAGCGGATGTCTATTCTCCAATATGGATGCGATTCGACATGTTCTCGAACAAAAAACCGGAGGAGTCGAGTAGCGAAGGTAGGTATTCAAACAGGCCTGTAGCATGTCAGCATCTTTGCCAACAGTCCTAGCGTGTCGCAACTCACATATCCTAATCTACCTTTCCACGGCAGAGGGAGATAGTTACTATGCACCGGCGGTGGCCTCCCCAGCGCCTCCTTGAGCTCCTCCGGGTCGACGGGAACGTCCTCATCCGACTCCGGGTCCAAAGAAGCCGCCGCCCGGCCAGCAGGCGTTGTCGCGTCTCCATTCAGGATGTCAACCGGCTTCACGTCTGGTTCCGGTTCAGTGGCCACGGTCATGTCTATCGCGTTCAATGTAGGTTGGGCTAGGTGGGAGAAGCATGCGCGACGAGATCTTGCACAGAGAGCCGAGAAATGTGCCGCGAGACAGTGTCCGAATAAATGCGAAAACTGTACCGGGTGAACCGCATGGCGACGAGGAAAAACCAGGGCAGGCGATCTGGTGTTTGCCACGGCAATCGATCGATCGGAGATTCTTAGTGACGAATGGGCGTGGCGACCCCACGGGCCAGAACCCGGACCAGAGACGCCAGCATGCTGGACAGACAGAGCACGAAGCAATCTCTGGGGGTAGGTATAAGGCCGACACATACAGCGGGGCAGAGAATTAGTCGTGGCGTATCGGGCGCATTGGGAGGCAGATGGTGAGAGAAGGTGACGTTCACGAGTGGAGTGGAAACGCGCTTACACTGGACGCGTTAAGCACCGTGCCCTAGCGACACCTGACATTGGGAACTAGTAACTACACGAATATAGTCAAAACTCGATCCAGATGGTTTCCTACTCACTCATCCCGGCTCTATCGACCATGACCATGAGGATTGAAGCTCTACATATTATTCGTATGTGTCGGACTAGGCATGCAGGGGGGAACACGGAGAATATATGCGAACATCAAGGGATTCGATCGCTACCACTCGCGTTTTTTAATTCTTATAGATTGACATCACCGAATTCTTCGGTCGGTGTGGGCCGTGAAGAAACTTACTGGGGAATGAAGGCTGAGTTTAAAACAGAGGGCTTGGAAATGCGGGTCTGTTCGATGAGGGAAGGACAAAGGACTAGGACTGAAGGCCCAAGATATTGCAGCCGACAACCAAAGCCTTTGAAGAACAACCACGGTCAGATATGCCACCAGCATGACTAAGGCATCTCCACGAACGAGCCATCTGGTGGCCAGCATTCTTCACGTTGCGATGCCTGTTGCTCGCCTACCGTCGCTGGCTGGTGGCATTTGCCATTCATTCCCGTGGCAGCGAAGAATGCGCTTGAAAACCAGGTATTTATACTGTCACTGGCCGACAGGTTCGATGGCCACTTGCTTCTTATCTTGTTACCTGATCTTGGCCTGCAGACAGTCTTTTCGTGGATCTTGGGTAAGTGCACAGTCGTGGTTTCTTCTTTAGGGCTGAGCAACTAATCATCAACAGAAAGCCTCAATTGCCCTCTCAATCAAACATGAAGGGCTTTCTGCTGTCTGGCCTGTTGGCCACTGTGGCTTCGGCGCACATGCAAATGAGCAAGCCGTACCCAATCCGCAGTCCCTTGAACAAGAATGCCACGGGCAAGATAGACTATTCCTACACCAACTCGCTGTCGCCATCAGGCCAGGACTACCCGTGCAAGGGCTATCAGAATGACCCCTTTGTCTCGCAGGCGAGCTACACCCCGGGCCAATCGTATGAGATGGAGCTCGCGGGCGAAGCCACACACGGGGGCGGCTCGTGCCAGCTAGCTTTGACCTACGACCGAGGCAAGACCTTCAAGGTTATCGAGTCCATGCTCGGCGAATGCCCAATCCCTAAGAAGTACAAGTTCACCGTGCCCTCTGACGCACCCTCTGGGGAAGCTCTCCTGGCGTGGACCTGGTTTAACAAGATCGGCAACCGGGAGATGTACATGAACTGTGCCATGGTCACCATTGGCGGCGGCTCGAGTCGTATGATGGGCAAGTCGAATGATATGGAGAGGCGGGAGGAGATTGACATGCCCAACATGACCCCTGAGGAGACGAAGGAGGCTGAGAGTGATGACGACCAGTCCAGCACTACGCAGGGCTCATCCGCTGATGAAAACTCCCCCAAGACTACCGACAAGAGTACTACTACTAGTAGCACTACGTCCAAGGACAAGTCCACTGAGACGCCCTCAAAGAAGCCGACAGACAAGCCCACTGAGTCGCCCTCCAAGAAGCCGACAGACAAGCCCACTGAGACGCCCTCCAAGAAGCCGACAGATAAGCCCACTGAGTCGCCTTCCAAGAAGCCGACAGACAAGCCCACTGAGACGCCCTCCAAGAAGTCGACAGACAAGCCCACTGAGACGCCCTCCAAGAAGTCGACAGACAAGCCCACTGAGACACCCTCCAACAAGCCGACAGACAAGCCCACTGAAACATCCTCCAAGAAGGCAACAGACAAGCCCAAGTCCACTGAGAAGCCCAAGCCTACTGGAAAGCCCACGGACGACGACAATGCTGCCAACAACAAGCAATCCACTGCCTTCCAGAACCTGCCCGAGCTCTTCGTCGCCAACGTCAACCAGACGGGCCAGTGTGTGACCATCGAAGGCCAGACCGTGGATTTCCCTAAGCCCGGCGACAACGTGATGGGTAAGTCTGATGGCAAGGGCTACAAGTGCTCTGGCAACGCGCCCTTCCTGGGAGCTGATGCGCCGAAGTCGTCTGGTGATGACTCTGGAAATGGCAAGGACGGTTCCTCCAAGGACAAGGGCGATGGTTCAAAGGGCAAGGGAGACTCCAAGGACGACTCCAAAGATAAGGATAGCTCCTCCAAGGACGATTCTTCCAAGAACAAGGGCGATGGTTCAAAGGGCAAGGACGCCTCGAAAGACAAGGGTAGTTCCTCCAAGGATGATGCTTCAAAGGGCAAAGGAGATTCCAAGGACGACTCGAATGACGATTCCAAGGACGATTCCAAGGACGATTCCAAGGACGATTCCAAAGACGATTCCAAAGACGATTCCAAGGATGACGCCCGTGTTGCCTCCAATCCAACCATGACCAAGGTCGCGAAGGTCGCTCAGATTCAGAGCACTGCCCAACCCGCCCCGCGCTTATGGGGCACCGAGGCCACGACCAACAACGAATTCCACAACTACGTCGGCAACTGGTACTGCTATGACGGCGAGTTCATCTGCTCTCCCGATGGCTTGACCTGGGCTCAGTGCGTCCATGGCTACCCCATCTTCATGGGCCCCGTTGCTCGTGGTACCCTCTGCCGCTTGGGCCGGATGGTTTCCGCCGGCGATTGGTCCTGAGTTTCTCTTTCTTTTCTGTTCTGTTCTTTCTCTTTTTTTCCCCGTCAATGTGTTTGCAGAGTATTCTTTCAGGGGGAAAAGCTTATAGGTATATTGATTGGGCTCTGCTTCCCGACTGGGTCGGTTAAGCATCCCCTACAAGGAGGATTCTTTTTCCATAGTTTGCTACTGGCGCAGGACCCGGCGCCGGATGTTTGTCTCTCTGTTTGATTGATTAGCTAGCGATGACCAAAGTGATGTTCATGTCTCATGTTTCGTTTCTTTTTCCCTGTCTTCTCCTGAATGGCGTCAAAGTCTGGTTCGAGTGGCGGTGCTTGATTGTTTGATGCATGCGGAAATCGTTTCGTTGTACCCATAGCTTAGCAATGCCAGGAACAAAACTTTACCACGCGGAGATGGAAACAGTTTAGTACTTGCTGTTCAATATCATGTATTTCAGCAGTGCATTCATCGATTATTATTATAAACTAAACTGAGGTCCCACCCAGCCATCTCATACAGGGCTTTCCTAATATACACGTCCTTCAATCTAGATCAAATGTAGAAACGCATGGTATCTCAGTTTCAAGCAACGAAATTCATATCATCATCGACGGGCACAGTCCCCACACAGCAACTCCAAGGCTACTCATTGCAGCACGCACGTCGAAGCTGCTCCCCTGCCTTTGCCAAATCTTTAATAGTTGCCCGTGTAGGCCGAGTTGCCGTAGCTATTGGTATTCTTGTTGCGGCCAAACGAGCCAAAGAAAGATTTCTCCTTCGTGCCAGTGGCACCGTTCTCCACTTCATTGGGCGTCGGGTGGCCAGGCAGAGCGTCAGGTGCAGGTCCGTCAAGGTTCTTCTTGTTCTTGCGACCGAAGAAGCCCCGTCGCGAGCCGGAGGTGTACCCGTTAGCGGGCGAGGGGCCGAAGCGCTTCTCGCGCTTGTGGTGGCGGGCCAGCAGGGTCTGGAAGAGGATGGAGATCAAGAAGAGGAAGCTATATCCGAAGGATTGATTAGCCCATGAGTCCGGATGTACGGTTCGCGGGTGATATACTCACATTCCAATCACGGACACCGCAAACGCCACTTTCTCCAGCTTGCACGCCATGCCGTATGTGAGCGCGGTGGGGGATTTCGCGCCAGCATCGCCCGTGCCCACGGGGGTGGTGATCTTGCCGCTGCAGCTCTGGGTGCCGCGGCGAGTCAACACGGCGATGGCGATCATCGCACCAGTGAAACAGACGTCCAGTACGACGCCCAAAAAGGCAAAGAAGGACACGCCGCCCAAGCAGCAGACAAAGAGCACGCCCAGCAGGCCGTACAGCGTGGCGGCACCGGACAGGCCCTCCACGGCCTTCATCCATGTTGGAATGGTCTGATCATTCTTGGCGAGGGTGGCCAGGTAGTAGGAAAAGATGCCGAGGATGACGGCGCCGTCGAGGAACTGCAGGACGCGAATCGCCAGGCCGCAGATGCGAAGAAGCAGCCCACCGACTCCCATGATGAGCTGTTGTTGGACTTGTTGTTGGAAGAATCAAGGGGGAAAAAGTTAGGTTGAATGGCCTGAAAGTTCCTCAGGGCAGAAGTTCTTATAAAACAGGGAAGACTCAGGCAACCGAATTTGGGGGCGAATGATTCTTCTCTTCTACGCCGGGACCACAAATAACGGGGAACCTCCGACGCAATTCCGTAGATCAGTGGGCGGCCTTGGCGGATCCGCCCACGCTCAGTGGCCGGCTGGGCCTGCGCCACAGGGACGCTGATGTCAAGCGGGAACCCGTGGGACGAGAAGGGCAGTGATTTGCTTGCCACGCCAAATCCCGTGGACCGGGATGAGGAACAGCCACATTATTATGTCAGACATCACATGCTACGGGAAGAGCTATGCCATCATAACTATTTTTATTTTATGCTGCGGGAGAGAGTTCGATCGTGCCGCATGGACCGTGGCTCGATGACGTACCGTAGCGCGATGCCCTTCACCAGGAGCCCGGTGGTTCACGAAGCCTCATGGCGCTGCTGCTCGACAAAGGCCCGCAGAATCGAGTCCAGCCCGTCGTTGCGGCGAGCAAGCAGCATCACATCGGGGACGGTGACAGTAGACCGTCCGGCATGCCTGATCGAATTATGTCAGTCAGCCCATAGAGAAAACACAAACCAGGCGCAAAGAAGAGAAGGGGATGCCTACTTGGCGAAGGACTCGAGATCCTGGCTGACCGTCTCTGGGAGTCAATCACGGTCAGAGGTGGGAAACACGGCATGAGGATCGACCCACGCGAACAGACCAGAGCAGACACAATCACATACCGATCTGGGCCCAGACCATTTCGGTCAGGGCACCGATGAACTGGGGGGTGGCATTCGCGCCCAGCTTGATGGTTTCCTCATCCACGATCTTGCCGATGGACAGCCAGAGGGCGGATTTGAGGCGCTGGCACTGCATTAGCTGGATGCACCGATGACCAAGAACACATGGACCAACCTCCTCGAGCTGAGCCTTCTCGTCCGGCTCCATGCTGAGGACAGGCAGTGAGGGCTTTCCACACTGTTGTGGAAGAGATGCGAGGCGCGTCTTGCCATACACCGCGTCGCCGGAAAAACAGATGGTCCGGGTCCTCAGGAAGGACCGGATCTGGTGGACAAAGAACAACGTTTCGCTTGCTCTCCAATTGTTTCGCCCTCTTGATTCCTTTTGCTCTTCTCCCACACTGACCCCGGTTCGGCGTTTCTCAGAGCTCCCTTGCTCTCTCCCCCAATCTCCCTCCTTCTGCCACGACCCGCCATTTGTCCCCCACCATTCACCTCCCAAAAAAAAAAAGTTTCCTAAAAAACCACCCACACAACATGGCCACCCCCGAATCAACCCAGGGCTTCGGCGATATCGCCGCAGACGCCCTCAACGACTTCACTACCCAAATCTTCGGTGGCCTAGACACAGTTGTCCGACGCTTCGGCCGCAACTTCTACAGCACCTTCGTCAACGTGAGCGTCTACCGCTGGACGCGGATCGCGCTGATCGTGATCGGATACCTCCTTCTCCGGCCGTACATCGAGAAGCTGTTCAAATGGAGCCACGATCGCTCCCATCGGAAGGAGAAGGAGAAGAAGGAGAAGGAGAAGGAGAGGGCTGGTGGCAAGAAGGCGAAGATGTCGGCCAATGCGCTGAGGGGTGGACGAGGAGGTGCTGAGAGTGGGAAGGTGCTGGGGGAGGTGGACAATACCGAGGATGAACTCGGAAGTGAGGATGAGGAGGGCGAGGATACGGCAAATGCGTCTGGTGTGCCCGAGTGGAATAAGATGGCACGCAAGCGGCAGAAGAAGTATCTCAAGAATATTGAGAAGCAGGCGTATGCGAGTGCGGAGAGCCTGACGGATGATCAGGTGCTGGAGCTGTTGGATTGGAGTGAGGAGGAAGGGGAGGATGCGAAGAAGACGTCATGAGGGAGGGAGGGGGCTATGGAGGGAAGGCTTTCGCGGATTGTATTTGTATCGCCACCTAGTTACCATTTAATCAGACAGTCGAGAGTGTAACAAGACTATTGAACAGTTCCATTTCACGTCGTAACCCATCTAGAAACAAACAATGCGTTGCCCAACCCATCAGTGCAGGCGCCGCAACGCCTCTATCATCTTCTTCACTTCCTCCACATCCAGAGTGCCAAGGTCACCAACATCAGAGCCCACCTCGGCCAGGATCTCCTCCTGCTCAGCGGAATCGCAGTTCAGGAACTGCTCGATGAGCTCGCCGTCCACGAAACGGTACGGTTTGTCGGAGGAGCGCACTTCGTTGTGGAAAGCCCGGAATTTTTCAAACGGCAGATCGCCCAGCGAGTCGACGTGGCGGGCCATCACGTCCTGGAGGGACATGAGGAAGTTTTGGTACTTGGAGTCGATGAGAGCGAATAGATGGATGGATCCTTCGACCTGTCTTTCAGTCAGAAACTCGAACCCCAAATTATAAAAAGATCAAAAAGAACATACCGTTGCCACAAACGCCCGGGGAGTCACCACCACATTCTCCAGCTTGGGGATATTCACCGGCCGGATCCGATTGACCATCTCGCCCAGCGAGATTTCACTGGTGGGCCTCAGTCGACGCTGGTCTACTGTCAGGACTTCCTCGTCATCCCGCGACAGCACAATGAGATTGCCCTGTGCATCACTCTCCAGCAAAGTGCCCTTCTCCACAAAGGCGATGGCTGTGGACCACACGGTCTGGTAGTGGCGGGCTGTCTCCGTCAACGTATCTCCTGCGACTCCTGTCTCATCTTTTTTGGTGCTGGAGGACCGTAGCGCTCTTCATGAGATCGGCAACGGCGATCTGCTCGCCTGAGACTGTGATATCCATCGGCGCCGTCGATGTGCGGTAAGAAGCTTGCTTCTCGAGTTTCATTTCGTCAAAATTGTTGCTGATGACCTTGTACACGACCACCTGATATCTTTGTTAGTAAAAGATGTCGGCGCCAAGATGGAGGGGCATCATCACTTACGGTCTTGACGAGCGCCGCAACGAGACGGTCACCCATCATGGCCAGTGCCCGACATGCACCTTTGACCGGCAGCTCGGCGACCTTGGTGAGCTTGCGCCCGTGGTCGACTTCGAGCACCAAAATCCGTCCGCGGATGGAATCCTCGACCTCCTCAGACAGGTACGCCGTGCCGACGATGAACCGGTCCTTGACCAAGTCTCGACCCGTTTCATCTTTGCCAGCTGGGAACTCGGCTCGGATGACACTCTCTACCAGCTCTTCGGGCTCCAACTCAATTGCATCCAGCCGCCGGAACAGGATCTCGTCTGCCAGCACAAAGTGGCTCTTGACAATCTCCATTCCATCCTCGAGCTTGCGGTCAATCGTACCTATTCCGAATGCCTTCTCGGATGGGGAATAGGCCACTCGGCGCACCGTCGCTTCCATCGGCAGAGTTTGGATCTGTGTGGTACGCTCCTTATCCACCAATGCAATCTTCAGCTCATTCGCCGTGGCGACAGCGACAGACTCCGGGTATGCCTCCGCGTTCAACTGGCAGATCCGGGATGCACCTTCAGAGTTCACTGCGGAGTAGATGATGCGCCCATCAGAACCGTAGATGAGACTAGGGTTCTCGCAGGTCGCAAAAACGTTGAAGAGCCCGTCGCCTCGCGGAAGCTTCTTGAAGGTTGGTTGTTCAGAACCAAGAATTAGCTTATTCATGCCGGTCAGTGAAAAGTCTCGGGGGTTTAATGTGAAGGTGACGACGCTGCCATCCGCCATGGAAATGAAGAGTGTTGGCGGGCTGTTCGCCAGCACGTCCGCCACCAGGACAGAACGCGGAAATGCTTCGCCCGCAGGGCCCACGGACTGAGTCTGCAGCTCCGCCAGATCTTGAATGGCCAGAACAGACACTTGAGCCGATTGTGGGAATCCAGCGATACACACTCCTGCCGGGGTGGATGGCACCGTGACGCCCGAAACTTGGTGGTCCGCACCCATGTCTTTCTTAGTGATGAGCTGCCCGTTACCCCGAATATCAAACGATGCCAGAATTTGGCCACTGATAACAACAACCAGATGGTCATCGTTCGCCGAAGCGGCTGTGAGCGCCTTCTGGATTGGAGGCGTCCATTGGAAATTGATCATGCCACTCTCGATATCGGCCACGATCACCTGTCGTTCGGTGACTTGCAGGATCCGTCCGCCGGGCAGATTAGCGGCAAGGAGGGTGTTTTCTTCGAAGCTCAGGCCTAAAAACTCGTTCAACTCCTCCACCTCGCCATCAGGACTGAAGTGAAACACTCGCGTCTCGTCCACAAATGTCACCAGTAAAGTATCCATGAGGTCGCCTTTGCTCTGTGTTTGGAGGCCAAAGAGGTCGGTGATGTGATCCATTTCGCCCAAAACACCCAGCTCTTCCATACCAACACCACTCCGCATGCTTCGCAGGGTGCCATCATCAAAGGCCCCAGACCCGGCTACGATCCGCGCCTGGCCTGACGAAAACTCATGGGTCTGGCTCTCGCTCGTCCGGTTGCCAAGGTCCATGACGGTGAAGTCCAAGATTGGCGCAATGTTGGACAAGGTTTGGATGACTGTGAACGAGCCGTTCTCGATCCGGAGGACTTGGGTGTCGCCTTGGTGCGAACCCACGAAGAGAATACCTCCGCCGAGATATACAAGCACTGATGCGCGAGATGTGCGACCAAGATAGTCGAGTTTCCAGTCTTCAACGTTGCCCTGGGCGTTGAGAACGAACATCAGAAAGAACAATCTGCCGTAATCATCGGCCAGCAGCCACCGCTGGCTGTCCACCTTCTCCCATGCGACGAAGATGGTCGCTTCCTCAAGCGATCGGGAGATCATGTCGTTTTTGTTGTCATCAATATACTTGATTGACGTCTCGCCAAGAACAATGAGGCCACCTAGAATCAAGTCAGTGGATGCTTCCTGGGATGTCACAAGTAAGAAACAAACCAAGCGGTGCAGGGATTGGGATCAGATGCGATGACCCAAAGTCAAGTTCATACGCAAACACACCCCCATCCAACCTCTTATCCGTGACCTCCTTGAACGTCGCCTCCGCGAGGTTGCTCTTCGTAGCCGGACTGTACTCCAACTCCCGGATCCTTAGGCGCACCTTGCGCTGGTTATCCTCGTAGAGCAGCGCCAGAAACGGCGGGTTTGCCGATTCCGAATGAAGGAAAGCCGACGAGCGCACCTTCAGCTCGTCGATGCGCGATGTAGTCGGCTCGCCCAGTTCCCCGATCTGGGGAGCATCGGGACCCGGGGCGGCGTGCGTCTGTCCGCGTCTCCTAGCTGGCAGCTGTACAATCGGCACGACTACTACCACACCTTCGTATATCTCTAGGGTCATGAATCGTCCGCTCGGGTCGATGAGACACCGGGCTGCGGATTGCGACTCTCGGGACGACGGCTCCGTAATGTCGACATAGCTCCGTGCTGTTCGGATCCGGTTCGTCTCGCTATCCCACGCTAGTGTAAAGTAGTTGTATTGGTCCGTGCCGACGAAGAGGTGGTCGGTGGTTGAGTTCGCCGGTGCGGGTAGGCGAGCCAGCATGGTCACGCGCGCATAGATAGTATGCGAGGCTGCTAGGACCAGGCCATCGGGAGTGAGGTTGTAGAATTCGAGTCGGTTTGCTTTCCTGTAAGCCGGTCAGCTCATATGCCCGTGGCCGAGTGAATGGTCGTCTCCAAGCGGACGGCAAGGAAACACACGCAGCCACCAAGCAGTCCTCTTCGGGCTGCACGAAGTTCAGCTTCACGGCATGGCGAATGCTGCTCGCGCGATGGATTGGCACGACATAAGCCATTGTGTTTGTGTCTCAGGGTCGCGCAACGGTCGAGCTCGAGCTTGGACGTACACCGCTGCGGGGAATGGCCGACCACAGCGAGGCCGGATAAGAGAACTCCGGTTCCGCCGGGATCAAAAAAAAAGTCCGGGAACAAGAAATGGTAAATTGATTTATGTATAATCAAGTGGCAGAATGGTCGCCCAAGGGAAAAGGACCGAGGGAGAGTGGGAGGTGGACGGTGAAAGAGAGAGCGCAGGAGGTGCGTGTAGGCCGGATGACGCGCCGAAGTCCGCGCTGCCCGTACTGCGAGTTCTGATCAATACCTACAGTAGACCAGACCACACCCATAGCTATGGAAAATGAAAAATTGCTTCTTTTTAGATCACAAGTCTACAGGCTCATCCAGCCATCCCAAGTCCCCAATCGAACCCGAAAATGCGAAACGTACAGGGAAAGAAAGCTATTCAACAAGAAAAAAACCAGGGGAGTATATGTGCTCGGTCATCTAGACATGAGAAAAGGGGGTGAAAAAAGAAACGACAATTATGACCACACGTCTTCCTGGTAGCTGCCGCTACTGCGCATGTGCTTGACCATCTCCTCGCCCTTCTCGGCCGGCATGCCGCGCTGCTCGGCGATGATGTGGCCCAGCACCGTGTTGACCTCCCGAGCCATGTTGGCGGCGTCACCGCAGACGTAGAAATTGGCCTTTTGCTTCAGCAGGTCGCTGACCAGCGAGGCGTTCTCCTTCAGGCGGTGCTGAACGTAGACCTTCTTGGAAGATTCGCGGGAGAAGGCCGTGATGACCTTGAGCGAGTCACCCAGTTGTTCCTGGTATGCCTGAAAGGATTGTTAGCATCGTCATTGAAAAGAGAACTCAGAAAAATGGCTTACCTTGAACTCATCTTGGTAGAGGAAATCCTCGTTGCTCTTGCGACATCCAAAGAACAGGACCGTGGTGCCAACCTTCTCACCCTTGGCGGCCAGCGCAGCACGTTCCTGGATGAATCCGCGGAAGGGGGCTACACCCGTACCGGGGCCAACCATGATGATCGGCTTGGACGGATCCGAGGGCAGCTTGAAGTTGGAGTGGCGGACGTGGACGGGCACGTGGATGCCATCGTACTTGTTGCGGGGACCGGTGATCTGATAAGTGAGGCCGTGTGGGTCAGGGGCCGGGTCGCCGTTCTGCTTCTGCTTCAGCGCGAATAGGTAGTTGGTGGTCACACCCTTGACGATGTGCGTGGCACCTGGCAGACGAACAGACTCGACCACAGCCGTGATGCTGATCTTGTCCTTCTGTACCAGAGAGGACGACGAGATGGAGTAGTAACGCGGCTGGAGCTTGTTCAGACCCTCGATGAGCAGCGAAAATGGCACAGCGGTGAAGGTCTTGGAGGTGATGCTCTGCAGTGCCTGGGCGATGTTGAAGCACTGACTCGAGATCTTCTCATGGAAGTAGTCCTTGTCACTTCCCAGGCGGACAATCTCAGTCTTGGTCTTCTCGTCCGGAGCGAAAGCGGCCAGGGTGGCGACGAACTGACGGGACACGGGGGCACAGACTTCCATGTAGTAGCGAACAGCGGCATCGTATGTGGTCGGCGTCGGGATGGGGACCTTGGCCGTGACATCAAGGCCCTTGATGCTGATCACCGAGTGGCGCTTCTCCTCCAGGCCAAACACCTGCAGGAACCGATCAACCTCGGCGCCAGCGTTGGTGGGCCAGACGGCAACGTGGTCACCAGTCTGGTAGCTGAGGTTGCTGCCGGCGACGCTAATTTCCATGTGCAGACAGTTGCGGTCCTTGACCGCAAAGAGCTCGCGGGACTCGACGATCGGGGCAATGTACGGGTTGTGCGCGGAGAAGGGGCCCTTGGCGCGGCCCTCGCGGTGCGCCGCCGTCGGCTCACCCAGGAACACGGTCTCGTCCTCGGGCGTCTTCTCGTCGTCCTCGGTGATGGAGAACACCGGCTCGTAGACGGCCTCGCGCTCCTGCAGACCCATGGCATCGGACAGCGCAGCCCACATGGGCTCCTTCCAAGCCAGGAAATCTTCCTCCATGGTGCCCGCGCCGTCATCGCCCTCGCCCGCAGTACCGATGCGTGTCGCACCCAGCTTGGTCAGCGCCGCATCGACCTGACGTACCATGGCGTTGTAGTGCTCGTAGGTGTTGTTGCCCAGACCGAAGGTGACATACTTGAGCGACGACAGAGGCTGGTCATCGGCGGCGGCGCCGCTCTCAAACGCGACATCGTCACCCGTGAAGAACTGGTAAAACTCCACAGCGTTGTCGGTGGGTTCACCCTCCCCGTAGGTGGCCAGCACGAAGAATGCGATCTTGTCCTCGGGGAATTTGTCCAGGGTCTCGTAGTCATAATCCTCAATGTCGGCCACCAGGGTCTTCAGGCCAAAGCGCTGGGAGCCCTCCTTGGCCAGTCGTGAGGCGTAGTCCTCGGCGGTGCCCGTCTGCGATCCATAGAAGATGACACAATTCTTGCCCGTCTCCTCCATCTTCTCCACGATATCGCGAGTCTTGCCGGCCTTGGCGGCCCCATTCATGGCGGCGCCGGCCGAGGCATAGGGGTCCTTGGGGACTGCCCAGTAGGTGCCCTTGGTGAAGTAGGCGACGCTACCGACCAGCAAGGCGACCAGGACGACCAGGTCGAGGGTGTCGAGTTGGGCCATGGCGTAGTTGGTGTCGTGTGTGCGGCCTTGGAGCGGACTCAGGCAGACGCCCAGGGGGTTTTTCGGAGTGGCGGTGGCGGTGGAGGGTTTCAAGCCACGTGCGAGAGGGAGGGAGGAAGGCCCGAACGAGGCTCGCAGGGAAGAGAGAGAGGGAAAGAAAAAGAACGAAAAAGAAACGAAGCGGAATCTCCGATAGAAGAACAGAATCCCCGAGAGGAAGGAGAGCGCGAAAGAAGGTCGGAGGAAAGAAAGCCAAAGTGGTCTGATCGCGAGTGGAGCGGGTCACGTTCCGGGACTATAGTATGTTGGGTTTAGGTATGGTAGGGGACGGTCGTCGTCGGGGATGGAATTCAATCTGGAGAAGACCACCGATCCTATATAGAAGTGTGGAGAAGCCGAGCGGCCGTGGACGGAATGCAATCTCGGTTTGGTGTTTGTGAAGTATCTCCCGTGCTGTCCTGCCGTGGTGCTGCTGGGGTTGCCGAGTGCCGCCTTCACGGGCGAGGGTTCCGTGGCCACGGGCGGATTCCGCGGGGGATCTGATTAGTTCTGTAGGTCGGGAGAAATATCTGGACGGTCGGTCGCCTCTCAGACTTCGTATCTGCCTCTCTCTATATATACTCGAGCGGATTGTCGCATGGTCCGAAAGCCGACGCTCGCGCCGACAACCGCCTAGGCAGTCTCTCTCCTGGGTTCATGGTTGGGGATTTCATGTGATCAGAGCCAATTGGACCAGTGTGCAGGATGTATTCTATGTGATTGATATTGGATTGAAATGCCGGAAACTGTCAGAGAGACCACCTTAGGCACCCCAAGCACCGCCTGGTCGTGCGTCTAGGCCTCTTATGGTCTCCAAGATATATATCGCGGTCTCTACCACTGCCAAGCCTGGGTTCGCCACCTCACTTTCCTGTGAAGAGGAAAGGGTACCTGCATAGACAAGAGTTAAAATCGGGGACGATCAGAAGACATAGTTCCTCTAGTGGTGGTGCTGCTGCTAGCCAGAGAGACAGCGCGTCGTAGATGGTGGAGGCCAAACCCCGTGCGCCCGATAAACATCGCATCGCATCTTTTTTCAGACTCGCTCATGGTCCACCCTCACTCTCCCACACTCCCTCTCACACCACCTTCGCTGTCTCTCACTCTCTCCAGGCTGATGGAGCCAGTATGTGCTACCACCTGTCTGCCGTCGTCTTCACTACAGCCTAAGAGCGCCATGGGTCCCGTTTGATCTTGTCGCCAGTAAGTGTGTCGGTCTGGCCTCGCGACCCGCTGTCCACCCCCGGCCTCATCCACGTCCCCCGGGGTCACCTCCTGTACACGCTTCCAACACTAGATCTAACGGCGGCTCATGACAACAGTGGCCTCACATTCTGCAAAGACTGGCCCCGGCCAGCAAGCACCCCTCCCCCTCATCCCTGACGAGCTACACTCCGCGTCGCACCATAATCTCACCTCCCCACTGGAGCGCCGAGGCACCCGGACCACGCAGTCGACCCCGATGCACAGCCGTGAGTCTTCGGGGGTCCGGGGCAGAGCAGCAGATTCCTCTGCACTACCCCCCACCTTACAACCCCGGCGTGGCCACTCTGGATCCAAAAGCCCCGACGTCGCGCGTCCTCCAGCTGGATATGACATGGGACTGGAAAGGCGACCGTCCAACTCCTACGGCCACCATCGCCAAACTTCGATCGTGCATGGCATGCAGCATTCACGCAACCCAAGCATGGCTGGCTCGAATACCTCAGCAAGCCCTCTGAGCCCTGAATTGATCGCCTCCCTCGGCCGTGGGGGCTCCTTTGACGAAGGAAATCGGCCGGACCTGGTCGATGCCCACCCAACCTATCAAGCATCCGCCGGGATGACGTTGAGCCATCATTTGAGTACGATCCAGGACAATGACACAGAGGAAGCCATGGTCGGCAATCCGGCGAGCGTGGCTCACCGACGCATTCACTCGGGAGGCAAAGACAAGCGCAATCGATCCCACAGCCGCTCGCACTCGAAGCACCATTCCGAATCCAAAACGGTCGGCGAGTACGCGCTCCATCACCTGTTCAACTCGTTTGTCGGTCAAGCCGACAGCAAAATCAACCAGGCCATCATGAAGCTGGGTGAGTCCGATGCTCCGGTGGAGGAGGTTTGTGGCCCTGGAGCAGACCCGACGTTTGACCAGTTGATCTCGGCCCTTGGACATATCGCTCGCCAGAAGCCAAAGCCCTTGATCGATACCATCATGTTTTGGCGGAAGGCCAAGGGAGATGCTGCCATCACGGCGAGACAGATTACGAACGACCAATCCAAGCCAACTGCCACAGAAAACGGGTTGATTCGCCGCAACACCGAACCGACCCAGGTCCCCGGAGATCATAATTCGACAGCGGACCGTGCGCAGCAATCCACACCCTTCCTTGCGCGTCACGATGATATCGCGCTGGTGGAGAGACGGGCGACGGTTTCTGTCTATCTGGTCTGTCGTGTTTTGATCGAGATTTTCAACCAGAGTAGCCTGGCTTCGATCACGCTGGATATGGCCGATCGCCTGGAAGATATTGTCTTTGGCCAGCTCAAGACGGTCGATCCCGAACAGATTTCAGCATCACCACTTCGGATGGCCAATTGGAGGATCTACGGCCAGCTCTTGGGCATCATGAGCGAGGGAAATTTCTCCAGCGTCACCAACCGCTTCATGGCCGAGCTCGAACGCTTCCAAAAGGACGAGACGGTTCGAGGACCATCACGAGAAGGAGAGGCCAAGGCGGAGCTGCTGATTCTGGGGATGAGGTATCTACGGATTCCGACAGGCCCCGAAGGATGGAGTCGAACGTGCGATTTCATGAGGGCGTTGGCACGCTTGTTCGTCAATGCCCACGGGCAACGCATCAAACAAGCATACTGCTATCTGATCGAGAAACTCCTCCTTCCCGTGGCGGCTAACCCGAACTGTGACCTTTCGCTCCCTCGATGGAAGGAATTCATCGACCTAGTCCAACCACGGTTGGCACAGTTGTTGACCAAGCCTCGCCACTGGGCTTCGGCGTTCTCTTTGCATGTCCTCATACTCTGTATCTCGGCCAAAGAGACATTTACCTCCCAGTGGCTTTCAACGATCCAAAGCTTGCCACCGCGCCTGAAAGATCGTCCCACACGTGGACCGGCACTGCATGCCGTCTGCCGTTTGGTTTGGACATATTTCTTCCGCTATTCCGATTCCCCAAATACCACGCTTCGCAGAGTCGAGGAAGTGGCGAAGATCGTGTTGCCCACCGGACGAAGGACATACTTGAGCACCGAGCCTGCTGTTGCCGACCCGTTGATCCAGCTGATTCGAATGATTGGGTTCAAGCATCCTGATGTTTGCTTCCGGAGCATCATCTTCCCTCTGATCAACTCGGATCTGTTTTTATCTGGCCGGGAATTGAAGATTGAACAAATGGAGCCGGAGAAAATGGTCATTGGCATCCGTGCCTTCCTCGCGATTATGTCAGACCTGGAGAATGGTGACCAGCTCTGCCCTCCAATCCTAACTGGATCAGTTCCGAATCCCTTCACGGATGCTTCAGCTCCCATTAACTTCCACCGGCCACATTTGCTCGTTGAACCCAAGGCGGCGAGCGCTACCGAACAGCCCGACCCTTTGTCATGGCAACCAGTCAACACCGCAAGGCTCAGCGACAACGTGAGAGAATACTACGTCCGGTTCTGTGAGGTGCTGGGCAAAATTACCCTCTTGTGTGACAACGCGTTTGGAGGCCAGGCTGCCCTGGATGAGAAATTTGGCGGAACTACCCCCAAGACTCCCATCTCGGAAGCATTCGGCTTTGGGCGACGCGATGACCATATCACCACCTTGGACCAAAAGCAAGGATTCTACGACCTGATGCATGTGGCTGTTCAAGCCCTTCCCCGCTGCCTCTCCGACCATATTCCCTTCAACTCTCTCATCAACCTTCTTTGCACGGGAACGGCCCATGTTCAGTCAAACATTGCTACATCTTCAGCGGAGTCGCTCAAAGCCATTGCGCGGCAGTCACATGCCCAGCAAGTCACAATTGGGTTTGCACGATTCATCTTCAACTTTGATGCCCGGTATTCCACCATGTCTGATGAAGGAATGCTGGGGCCGGGTCATATTGAATCCACATTACGACTTTATGTCGAGTTGCTTGGGATCTGGATCGATGAGATCAAGCAGAAAACGAAGGGTGCCGCCTTTGAACAACCCGAAATGTCTGTTTCGGGAAACCGTGCTCTGCATCTTGACCTGTCCAGCGTCCTTGCCCATGTTGAGGAGATTGAGTCGCATGGCCTGTTTTTCCTATGCTCACAGTCCCGAAGAGTTCGGGCGTTTGCTATCAACGTTCTTCGTCTGATCACCGAGTTCGACAACGCGCTGGGCAAGGAGAACACCAGAATCATCCGAATTCTCGAAGCTGACTCCCAGCAAATTCTGGACGTCAACGACGAGCAACTCACCGTTGCGGAGCGCAGTCGAATTCAAAAGGGTAAGAGGAGGAGTGCTTCTAATAACACTCTGATCGAACTATGCAGCAGTGAGGTTTCCTACGACTCTACGCTGTGGGCCAAAGTGTTCCCCAATATCATCCGAGTCAGCTTTGATACCTGCCCCTTTGCTGTGACATTGGGAAGGGAAATTGTGTGTGCACGACTTGTTCAGATGCACAAGACCATTACTTCGTTGGCAGAGAGCACCAGATTTCCGCCGTACAACACTGCGGAGGGATACCAGAGCCGCCCCTTGGGCAGAAGCAATATGACTGCGGAGATTCTGATCGAGCAGTGGAAGCTCTATCTGGTCATGGCATGTACCACCGTTACCAGTGTGGGTGCTCAATCCCAGAGCCAGTTGGCAAACGCTCAGCATGCACGCAAAACCTCTAAGGGTGCCCACCAGTCTCAGGACAAGATCAGCTCCGCCCGAAGTCTTTTTGCTTTCGTTATCCCCTTGCTTTCTGCCGAGCGAGACTCCATCAGAAATGCGATCGTTGTGGCCCTGGGGTCGATCCACAAGAATCTCTACCGCACTCTTCTGGAATCCTTGCAGTACGCAGTGACTACCTGCAATGAGGAGGCCAAGATTAGAATTGGCACTCATTACCGCACTCCTAGCAGTCCTCGACGAAACAGGAAGACCGACCGGCTGCGAACCGAGGTCACCCATGTCTACAAGCTCACGTCGCACTTCCTCCAAGAACCGGAAGTCTACAACGACGACTGGATCGTCAACAACCTTGTCACATATGCCAAAGACATCAGGATTTTCCTCAGTGATGCCGAGGTCCAGAATGACTGGGAGTTCCAACGCTTACGGTTCCATTACTGTGGGCTGATGGAGGAGCTGTTCGAGGGCATCAACCGTACCAAGGATCCATCTCGCTGGATGCCCTTCGAGTCTCGCAAATCTGCGTTCTCTCTGATGGAGGATTGGTGTGGCTATTCTCCGAACCAAGCACAGATCTCCGAAAGAGAAGAGAACATGCGCAAGTTTTCCGTGGCTCAGCCACAGGAAAGTGGGGAGACGCGTAACACCGCTGCTGGTATGGAGATTGAGAAAAAGAACTTGCGGGCTGCCGCTTTGAGTGCCATGGCATCTCTCTGTGTAAGTGTTGGCTTTTTGCAACTTTGGCAAACGTCTTACTAACCTCAACAGGCTGGCCCAATTAGTATCACAACCGAGAGTGGCTCTGTCCTTCAATTCGATGTCGGCCGCATGCTTTCATGGATCGACATCATTTTCAACACTGTCAGCGACAAGTGGCACTCGATCGGTCGACGGGCCCTTAAGAACTTGATCATTCATAACAAGGAACACACCTACCTGATGGAGCGATCAATCGAGATGTGCTATGTCACGGAACGACCGAAGGCCCTGGAGAGCTACTTCGAGGTGGTGACTGAGGTACTCATTGAGCATCCAGATTACAACCTGCGATTCTGGCGAATTTTGGGAGCCGTCTTGGTGACTCTCGGCAATCAAAAGCGTGAGATTCGCATGAAGTCTGCTAAGCTCCTCCGGAGACTCGAGGAACGCCAGCAGAAGAGCTCCAGGATTCAAGACTTTGATATCAGCATTTCCGACAAAACTACGGCGGTGTACAAGCTCGCTCAGTTCGAGACCTCCAAGCGACTGGCAAAGCAACATGCAGATCTGGCATTTACGCTCTTCTCCGAGTTCTCACTGCACTTCCGAAACCTTCGACCAGACAGCCAGCGGAATATGGTTGCCGCTATTCTGCCCTGGGTCCAAACCATGGAGCTGCAGGTCGATTCGAATGGAGGACCAACGGCCAAGTCGTACATGCTTCTTGCGAATCTCTTTGAAATTACCATTCGCTGCAGTACTATCCTGCCGAACCAAGTGCAAGCATTGTGGCAAGCCCTGGCGACCGGCCCCCACGGTGGGAACGTACAACTGGTTCTCGACTTCATTATCAGCCTGTGCCTGGAGCGCAAGGAACAGAACTTTGTGGAGTACGCCAAGCAAATTGTGGTCTTCCTGTCAGGCACTCCCGCCGGGTCGAAGGTCATTGAGTTCTTTCTGATGCAGGTCATGCCCAAGAATATGGTGCAAGAGCGCAAAGATATCACCCTTGCTCCTCCAGACACCAAGACTCTTCCTTATGTTGCGGACCTAGGCACGGTGCTCCCCGTTGGAAACAAATCAGCAGGTCTTTCCCTTGGTCAGGTAGCTCTCATATTCCTGGTGGATCTCATGGTTGCTCCCGTTACCCTTGCCCTCAACGATGTGGTCAAACTTGTTCACGTCGTCCTCATCCTTTGGGATCACTACACCGTCACAGTGCAGGAGCAGTCTCGTGAGATGCTGGTCCACCTGATCCACGAACTGGTCGCAGCAAAGCTTGAGGATGATGCCCCCACAGACGCCCGGCAATCCATCGAGGATTTCGTCGAGTCAATCCGAAAAAGCGACCCCGGCGTTGTTTGGGAGTATGAAGAGAACCATGGCAAGGAGGAGGAGGAGGACGAGGACCGAAGTGTGCCCAGCGCCATGGCAGCAGTTTCCCGGATGGTGGTCCAGTTCTTCGGCTTTGCCTACGAGGGCTTCGGCGACCTGTGGGCGAAAGAGGCTTTGAATTGGGCCACCTCGTGTCCCGTGCGCCATCTCGCCTGCCGCTCATTTCAGATCTTCCGCTGCATCTCAACTTCGTTGGATTCACGCATGTTGGCCGATATGCTTGCTCGACTTTCGAACACGATCGCTGACGAGGAGTCGGACTACCAGACGTTCTCAATGGAGATTCTCACTACGTTGAAGATCATTATCAGCTCCCTGTCACCGTCGGATCTGTTGCACTACCCTCAACTATTCTGGACGACCTGTGCTTGTCTGAACACGATTCACGAAACTGAGTTCATTGAAAGTATTGGCATGCTCGAAAAATTCTTGGACCGGGTCGACCTGAGCGACCCCGTCGTGGTGACGCAGCTAATGGAGAGCCAACCGCCCAAGTGGGAGGGCGGATTCGATGGTCTCCAGGACTTGGTTTTCAAGGGTCTCAAGTCCTCCGAGTCTTTCAACCGCACATTGGACCTTCTTCATGGTCTAAGTGGGCTTCCGAACAACGAACTCATCGGAGACGGGACTCGGCAATTGTTCACTGTACTGTCCAACCTTCCCCATTTTCTGCAGTGTTTCGAGCAGGACTTCAGTGACCCCAAGCCTATTATGCGGGCTAGCCTCCTGGCCCGCGTGGCGGAGAATGAAGGGTGTCCTCGCCTTGCGGCGTCCCTGTTTGGGTTCGCGAACCAGCAGTACAAGACGGCCGGCGTCTTTCTGGACCACATCATCACCGAGATCAAGTCGTACTATTTCCCACAATTGGATTTCCAATGCCTAATCTTTCTCATGGGTCTTTTGACCAACTCCACGGATTGGTTCCGAGTCAAGACGATGAAGATCCTCTGTGTCTTGATCCCCGAGGTGGATATGCGCCGTACAGAGGTCACCTGTCATGGTCCTGATCTGATCTCCCCGTTGCTGCGACTTCTCCAGACCGATCTCTGCCCTCAAGCCCTGGAAGTTTTGGATCACATCATGACCGTCGCTGGCAATCCGATGGAGCGCCATCACCTCCGGATGAGTATGGCTTCGGCTACCTCTTCACGGGCTATCCGTAAAGAGTATGAGCGGATTCAAAGCCTGTACGGCATTCCTGAGCCTACGGGCTGGTCGGTCCCCATGCCTGCAACCCAGTCCAGCCAAACGCGAAATAATGTCCATGCTGTGTTCTACACTTGTGCCGAGGCCGATGACATGAGCGCCGCAGAAACCATGACACCCGACGTGGAATTCTTCCGCGCGGACGAATACAGCGACTCATTCTTCCCCATGCGAGCCGATACCATGAAGTCGATTGACACACAGACGGATGGCAACATGGGCGATATTGTCCAAAAGCTAGATAGCTTGGACGACTTCTTCGACGAGACAGAGCCGACTGGCCCGGCCCTTCACAACATTGCTCCTCCCATGCTCCGTGGGTTCACCGGCACTTACGTGGACACCAATGCACACCTCTACGACCAGCAGACCGCCCCGATTCTACGCAAGTCGCTTGCTCGGACGGGCTCCACCTCTTCCTTCCATAATGGCCTCGCTGAGTCTCGGCCTCCGAATTTCCGCTTCGAGAGTTCGCACTCTACCGCGACGGCGCCCTCCAGCTCCTCCACCCAACAAACCATACACCCTGTCTCCCATATCCGGTCTGTGACTTCACCGGCCAACAATCTCTTCCCTCACGTTCCTACCATCAACACCAGCACTCCGCTGTTTGGCATGCACGACTCGGCTTTCATCTCGGACGACGAGATCGACGAAGCCCACTCGGATGTGGACGAACGCCCGGCCACCGCTCGCCGGATTGCGGCGCAGCACCCTCCCATGGTCCGCAGCGCGACAGACGGCTCGCACTCGCTGGAGTCGATGATCCGCAGCGGCATGCGTCGACTCACGGGTGGCACGGCGACGAACCGGGAGAAGGAGCGCCAGCGTGATCTCTTGCGTGTCCAACAGCGCGCGGTTGCGCAGACGGCTAACTCGCCGCGCGTGCCCAAGGTGCCGCAGGAGTATCTGTCGGGACCAACTAGTCATCCTACCAGTCCGCGGTAGTCTGTTTTTCTGTTTCATTCCATTCATTTGTTCTGCATTTCGAAGATAAGGGCATTTACCGGGCGTTGGGTGCTGGCATACCCTTTGGCCTGGATGGGATTGTTTGTGTATACCATATCAGTTCATATTAGTTTATTCCATTCATCATTATTCAATCTTCCATATCTCCTGCGACTCTTTATAGTAATTGCCCACGTGACCGGGACTGTCTGCTCCGGGCGTTCCCCCGCATTATTGACCCTCGGAAATCCGCGGCGCAACGAACATCAACTGATGGGTTGCACGTCCGCGTTACATGTTTAAATACCCCCTCCCTTGCTCCTCTGTCTGATTTTATTATTTCATTGCCGACATTCTTCTGTTGTTGTTGTTGGTTCACTCCTGCCTCTTCCACTGCCGAACTAAACAGACGCTTCATCTAGCCCCAATCACCCACTGCTTGTTCCTCTTGTCAGTCTCAACCTCGGCAAGAAGTGCGATCTGTGAATCCTTGAACACACACCATGAGTGTCCGCACAGCGCTGTCCCTCCCGCGGAGGGCATCTTTCTTCTACACGCCATGCCGACGCTGGCCGTCGAGTACCCGCTCCTTTGCGACGACGCTCCGCCGCGATGCGACGTGGGGCTTTATTGGTCTGGGCCAGATGGGTACGTTTAGTGATAATTTTTTAGTTTCCCCTTGTGTTGGACCGAAGAAACAAGATCCACTAACAATGTCTGGCAGGCTACAACATGGCCAAGAACTTGCGCGCCAAGATCCCCGCATCCGACACGCTGATTGTACGCGACGTCAACGATGAGACGGCCGCGCGCTTTGCTGCCGAAGCCCAGGAGGCGGCAGGGAGTAGTGGCGAGGGCAAGGTCGAGATCGCAGACAATGCACGCGAAGTGGCCGAGAAATCAGTGAGTTCACCTGTATTTTCCTCCCCGCAATAATGAGCGTTCGCTGATCACCATTCTAGACAGTGATGATTACCAGTCTGCCCGAGTCCCAACATGTCATTGATGTCTTCCATTCCATCCTCAAACACGGTGACCTGCCACCCCTCGAGGCGGAGCGTCTCTTCATTGACACCTCGACCATTGACCCCGTCACGTCCAAGGACATTGCCAATGCCATCCATACGACGCAGCAGGGCCGATTCGTCGACGCCCCCGTTTCGGGAGGCGTAGTCGGCGCTCGCGCCGGCACGCTCTCCTTCATGTTCGGCGCCTCCTCGCAGACAGGCCAGCTGATCGAGCGCGTGCGCGGCGTGCTCGCCCTGATGGGCAAGAAGGCATGGCACCTCGGCGATCCCGGCGCGGGCGTCTCGGGCAAGCTCGCTAACAACTACATCCTGGCCATCAACAACATCGCCACTGCCGAGGCCATGAACCTGGGCGTCCGATGGGGGCTGGACCCTAAGTCTCTGGCTGAAATGATCAATTCGTCCACGGGCCGTTGCTGGCCCTCTGAGGTGAACAACCCCGTCCCCGGCGTCGTGGACACGGCCCCGGCCTCGCGGGGGTACGAGGGCGGGTTCGGTGTGAGCCTGATGCACAAGGACTTGCGACTTGCTCTCGTGGCGGCAGAGAAGTCGGGCACCCCTCTCACATTGGGCGACCAGGCGCGCGATGTCTACAAGGCGGTTGAGGAGGCACACCGAGGCAAGGACTTCTCGGTGGTGTACAAGTGGTTGCAGGACAAGTCGGAGTAAAAGATATTTTCATTGTTGCATGTTCCGACTGCCTGGCGTTGTCGATTATTCCCCCTACTCGTCCCTGCTTGCCTTCATAGAATATACCGACCTACTAGTTGCTCCATACAAATACATGAAGTACCAGGTACAGACAGACCTCGTGACATCCTCGTGCCTTCCTCTTTTAGTAATGTTGCGCCTGCCCTGCTTGGTCTTCCTCTTTCCTCTTCTCTTTCTCTCTCATATCCCATCCTATCTCTTCCTCATCTCCATTCCATCCCATCTTCATCCATCCCCATCCTCCTTTCACCTTCCCATATCAGCACACGCTGCTGTATCCCACCACCGGCTTGTATTGCCGTATAGATCAACTCTACTGAGGGTCTCATGCACCTCGCTTTCTTCCAACATCCCAATTGACTGAGGTCCCATCCTCACTACCCGCGAGCAGAAACGCTTCTACCCAACGGTAAGCCCATCTCTCTCAATGCCAACGCGCAGGCGTGGTACTGGATGGGCGAGCTAACTGTGCCTCTGTTCAGTAGTCCTTGCTTTCTCTAAGCATTTGCTTATATACACTTGTGTAAGGTAAGACTTCTTCTTCCTCAATACGCCCCTGGATCGAGCCATCGATCGAATCGGTCATTGGATGCCCTGCTGGGTCCTCATCATCCCCTGTTTTCTTGTCGTTCGTTCAATGTCCAGAATCCTTCACTGAATGGATGGCAGCTCCATTCGGAACACTTCACGATGCACACCCAGAGCTCTCAGACCAGCAGCTCTGCTGGAGCCACCCAGGCTTCCACCGTCCAAACTGGGCACTACCACCATGAGCCTCGCACTCCGTACAATTCTGGTTTTATCAATGCCAACGCTCGCGATGGAAATGGAACCACCCTCTCCCAGATTTTCAATGGCCACAACTTGCAGAACCCGCGAGGCAAGTATGGTGCTGCCAAAGGCACCAGCCCCACGGCGATGAACACGAACTTGGACTGGTCGACTGCCAACCGAACTGGCTACAACAATTCGTTTATTCTGGTCCCCAATTCCACTCTTTTCGGTGGCATGGCCCAGGTGCCTTCCTTTGTTCCCAACTCGGCTACAGGACACAATGATCAGCTGGGCCAATTCCCTTACCTGTCGGGAGGAATCTGCGCCAACATGGTGACTGGGTCGATGCAGGGGTACAGTTGGCCTTATATGATGAACCACGACGTGCAGGACTCGGCGAACAATAAGCAAAGCACCTGGAGCACTGGAGATTGCCAGACGGGCGTTCAAAACGAAAACACTGGCCACATCCAGTACTTCCCGACCCCCTGCATGCCTGGTGTCGATGGCAGTTCTATGACGGGCTACTCCTACAGCGGCATTTTCCCGCAGTTGGGATCCCTCACTCTCCCCTGGCAGATGATGAAGACCAACAATGGATACGTGGTACAGGATCTGGAGGCCCTGACCAAGCAGGAACCCGCTATTCCTCGAGCTGTGCCCGCCATGTGGACCAACCCGTCCGAGCTGACTCTCGCCAAATGCCTCGAGAACCGCGAAGGCATCACCAATGTTTACATTCGAGGTTTTCTCCCCGAGACCACGGACGAGGGGCTGCAGGCGTACGCTGCTCGTTTCGGCAAGATCGAGCGCTGCAAGGCAATCGTCGATCTGGACACCGGCTTGTGCAAAGGGTATTACATGTCGATATATATCGCCTCGGGTGTTTGGCTGATAGTTCTCACAGATTCGGCTTTGTTCAGTATTACACTTTCGAGTCCTGTGAGAACTGCATTCGCGGTTTTTTCTATCTTGGCTACCAGGCCAGTTTTGCTCAGGTGTGTTTTTCCCCGGCAGTGTAGGGTTAGTTCAATGCTCACGTTCTCCAGAAATCTCGCAACTCCCGTCTCAAAGACCTGGAGGACAGGACTTCCACTAATATATACTGCACCAATCTCCCGATTGATTGGACCGAAGCTGTGAGTTGAAACGAAGCCAGCTTCGAAGATAGCTAAATTGTGCTACAGGACCTTCGCCGCCACTTTGAGCCCTATCGTGTTGTTTCAGAGAAGATCAGCCGCGATGAGAAGACGGGTGTGAGCAAAGAGGTGGGATTCGCACGGTAAGAGGCGCAGTATGGATGGCTGATTTGTCTCTGATACACTTGCAGCTTCGAAACACGTGAGATCGCAGAGATGGTGCTGTCTGAATACCACAACATGGCCAAGGATGATGGCGTGAAGCTGCTTTTGCGCTTCGCAGATACTAAGGCCCAAAAGATGTTGAAGCAGCAGAGCAACGAGCGCCGTGCCTATCGTGCTGGCGAGTACAACTACTCTGTGGAGGTTGTGCAGGGATCGACTCCCTCGCCGTCTCTCCAGCGACCTCAGCATACTACTTCCAACCTGACCCCGACGCCCAACTCCAACTCTCAAGTCAGCTACACCTCGCCGGCTGGAGTGGGCTCCAACTGGACCCCTGCCACTTCAATTTCGCCCACGTATGTGACAAACCAATCTTTCACTCTGACACCGCTGACCAGATATCACAGGTATCCACACATGAAGTACCCGACCAGTGGCGCACGCCATAGCTCGTTGTCGTCCCGCAGCCTGAATGCTCTTGACAGCACCAACACTCCAGTTTACCGAGCGCGACCTTTCTCACTGACCCGCGGCTCTCTGACCGATATCTCGGGGGGCTCGTCCAAGACTGCCATGCCGGAGTCTCCTATCATTGAACCACGCTCGTACATGTCGAGCCCTAACAAGGAGAACATCAGGGCCGGCTCTGTGTCTCCTGTCTCGTCTCGCCTGGAGATTATCATCTCGACTCCTCGCTCGTGCACCTGAGTGCCTGCTCCTGCCTGGTCTGACGGCAAAGTATTTCACCCATGAGTTTCACTTTCACGACATGTGTTATCATCCACAGAATGTACGACGATGTATGGATTGAAGAGCATGTTTTCCTGTTGTGTTTGTTTTCTGTTTTCTATCTGCTGTTCCAACTGTTTTCTTTTTCCTTCTGCATCTTGTACGGAGCTCCGGTGTGGAAGAGGGTTTACTGAAAAAGCATGTCTTTCTGTAGTATTAGTTCCGGATGATGGATTTCTGAGTTTTGTTTCAACAACGTCGGCGCTCACCATCGGCTGCGTTAGACTACTAGTCTACTACGAGAATATGAGATAATGATTCATGAAACATTGATATATCCGAAATAAACATCACAGAATAACAGACTTTTTCACTGAAGTCATTCGATATAGGTAATATTATATCCACGAAGACACCTAGAATGCACCTCTACACTGCTTTCAGGAAGTCCTAAATAAGGTAGCCTAGGGCGTAAAGATCCTGCTATGCAATATCGGTGACGGTAAACTTTTTGCCGCCTCGGGTAGTTGGCGATTGGCTCTAAGATAACGTATTCCGATGTCGTTATTACGTCTGGCTTTTCCCACCGGGCTTTCTCAGTGAACAACTCGATCTTCCTAAGCCAAAATTGAACATCCTACATTTGATTCGTTGTACCGTCTTTGATCCCAGGATCAATAGGTATCCAATTCCACTTTGGGGCAGATCCCTACATTGTTCCGTCTAGACTATGAAAGGAGACCATTCTTTACTTCAAGCAATGTTGGGCTCATAGCTTTCTATTTGAACATTTCCAATTTAAGGAACATTTTGGGAGTGGGGTTTTCGCCCTTCTCTTTGGATTCACGTGTTTTCAGAAATATAGATCGAAGGAAAGAGTATAGCCTGATTTTAAGCTTTACGAATAAACATGAGACCACCCGTACTGTGACCGGTTCTTACATATAATTTGCTCTAGTGAGAGCAAGGATCAATTCCAGATGAATTGGGAGCGCAACTCGCATCAGCGGAGGCTCGAAGATTCTAGCCTTCGCGAACATGGTTCGGCTGTTTCAACTCACGGACCCTCGGGGAAACGATTGATTCTACGGTCCCGCCAATAATAAGACGTTATTCAAGGTCCCTTAGTTACCCCTCAACATCGAAGGGATTACTAAGCTTTGCCGCGTCAATCTAGCTAACCACGTCTAAGCGCCACGTTAAGCATTCGATCAGCGACTTCGCGTTCCGCCAGCCACTTCATCTCAAAGTGCAAGCTTATGGGAGACAAATCATGGCCACCCTTTCTCACCCACCAATGCGAAATAAGAGGACAAATAGTCTAGGACGTGCCAAAGAATCCTGCCAGAATTGTTCGACTGCCCAACTTTCGTGTGACCGTTCTCGACCACGATGCTTGACATGTATCGAAAATGGCATTACCTGCTCGGGTTACAAGATGAACCTGACCTGGCAATTTGGCATAGCCTCAAGAGGCAATTTAGCAGGTTTCAATTATTCCGTTCCTAGCGTTACCAATCCTGTTTCACCATCGCACATAGATTCAGTGACTAAGAATCGTCGCTGGAGAGGAAAAAGCTCAAGGGGAACCGGTGAACGTTTGTTCAAATTTGTGGAAGGAAAGTCAGCAAGGAGACGAGGGCGCAAAGAGAAAGTTTCTTCTGAACCAGCGGGCAACAGAAGCCCAGCAGCCGAGGTGTCAACATTTCACGAAGATCCCAATATCTCTGATACGTCTTTGTCTTCTCCATCGATGCCACACTTTGCTGGTAATATAGATGTTACCGAAGACGCATCATTTAATCCTGGTCAGCCACTCCTAGCCGCCTTCCCTAACAGTCACTGTACTAATCGATTGAAAGCAGGGTTTTGTGACGAATTAGATCAACTGCCGGAAGAAATTGAGAGACCATCTTTCCCAGATCTTTCCCTCTCTCTAGACGAAGAGGCAAACTACAATGATCGTGAAGTTCAGAACTGTATGATATCTACCTTCAACCTTGTTTCAAGGCTTACCAACTTTTCAGGCATTCAGCTATCTATCACGCCAAGGAATCCATCCGACAATTTAAGACAGAGATACCACTATGTCTTGTCATGCTGTAAGTCATAATATGCTGCACTTATGGTGAACAGACGGGCTGATGCTGCGAAGATGAACAACACATTTGCGCAATCCCGTTAACTACAGACTGCTTCCTGAACCCGTTTCGTGTTTTGAATGAAAATAAAAACGTATCACAGCACCTTCTTCATGCAGTCCTGGCTACTTCTCTTTTTCATCTCCACCGAAATAACGAAAGTACGGAGAGTACCGCTTTGGTCGATTCGCATCGCTCAGAGTCAATTGGACTATATTCGCGGGCTCTTAGCGGGCCGGTGGGCCAGAACACGGGGGTTGCCTTTCTAGAGACGGCACTTCTCCTCATGTATTTGGATGTGAGTCTGCCTTTGACTTTTGAATTGTAGTTGTGATATTCACTGACTGGCCCATAGTCTGCACAATCTGCGATAGGCCTCTATCGTATTCATCTCCAAGGCATTCGCAGCATCATAGACAGCTCTGGTGGAGAGTCTCTGCTCATTCCATATAACTCACGGCTGAGAGCTCAGCTGGCCATGTTTATATGGTATGATGCCACTATCGCTTTATTGTCCCGCGAGAACCCTGTCCTTCCGTTGTCATACTTGGAAGGCGTCCTCCGCCACGGACATTTCGATGGATGGAACTATGAATATTTGATCGGCTGCCGCGAAGAGTTTGTGGTCATCCTGGTAAGACTTGCAAGGCTGGCGAAACAATATGAGACTTCTCGGCAAATGGAAAATCTCTACTTTGATATGACTGCAGTGGACGAAGTTGAGGAGACCCTGCGGCAAATACCTACCGAGTATCCATATTTAGACACAGACGCGGATGAAGAGACTCTTGATTTGGCCCGAGATCGTTACCACTGCGGTGAAGCGTGGCGAAATGGTCTCTTGCTTTATATTCAACGAATATTTCGTTGGACGCGTGGGGATCCAGTTCCGCTCAGTGCCAAATATATCGCCCGAATTGTCATAGAGCATGCTCGATGCATCAGGCGAGAAAACAATTATCAAAAACAAGTCCTGATCGCGGTTTTTCTTGCCGGTGCGGAGATGACGCGAGAGGACGATCGGGATTTTGTGAGAGGATATACTGCGTGGTGGAGTCGACTCTGTGGCTCCAAGATGTTCGACGACGCATGCTCCTTCTTAGAGGAGATTTGGACGGAAAGTGAAGGCCAAGGCGGCCAGGAAGTATGGTGGGGGAGTGTCATTGATAGGAGATGTCTTCAGTCAGGGCTTCCGCAGCTACCCCAAGTTTTGCTCGGGTGATCTTCAGTAACAGCTTAGGAGTTATGCCTTGGAGAGGTGATGTGTAATGGAGAGTCACATTGAGAGTCTTCCAAAGTTATACAATAGTTGTGATATAGCTTCGGGCGGCAAGCAAGTTGAACTGTGAATAAATATCAATTCAAATCCAATTGAATAATCGGGTGTAAACCAAGTAAGCCGGCACGCGATCTGTCATGCTCATCATATCCTCAACCTATTCTAAATACATGTGCTAGCTCGTTGGACCGTACAGGTCTCTAGATATGCGCTTTGCCTAGAGCCTCTGCGCACGGGTGGTATCTGCGGACTGTCGCTCCCCGTAGTTAATGGCGTAGCTATATCGTGAATCGTAATGCATGGCCCAATATCCGTCCCAGATCCGCTTGGTGATAGGTCCTATCTGGCCACCGTTCACAGGCTTCCCATCCAGAGAAGTGATGGGCATGATGCCGCCAGCAGTCGTACACATGAACAGCTCGTCACAGTGATAAACCATATCCACTGGCACGAACTCCACCCGGGCTTCGATACCATTGGCTCGAGCCACGTCGAGCACACTCTTGCGGGTGATTCCTTCGAGGACGCCGCGTTCGGGAGTATAGAGAACTCCGTTCTTGACGAGAACGATGTTGAATCCGGAACCCTCAGTGAGGTTGCCATCACCATCTGTCAAAAATGGGTACGTCGCACCGCGATCCGCGGCCTCCCACAAACCGCGAGTTAAGTCACCCCACTGCAGATTCTTGACAGTTGGATCCATAGAGCCAACAGGAGTCCTCCGAACAGTACGAGCAATAATAGCACTGCCACCAGTGCGCTGAACTTCTGGCTCCATAACCCAGACATAAGGCTGAATAAACATGTACAAGTTGTTGTTGAGGAGATCTTCGATCTTGTTTCCGCGCACGCCAACCATTCCCCGAGTGACAATCAACTCAACGAATGCATCTTTGATTCCGCTTTTCCTAGTCATTTCTTCTAGAATGCGCTTTAACTCTTCCTTTGGAAGCGGTAGTCGCATTCGAAGTTTGTGGCAACTTGCTTCGAGTCGAGAGAGATGGTCGTCCAGACGGAAGAAACGCCCGTCCCAGATAGACGGCACGTCGTAAGTTAGGTCGCTGTGCAAGAAACCCTGGTCTGTCAGAGGGATCTGCGCCTTGGAGAGAGGAACGAGATCTCCTTTGACCCAGGCGATACCTTTGGCAAAAGGGTTGCCGCTTGCCTCGAGGGTGGCATTTCGTGCAGCATAGCTGCTGAAGAACTTGTCCATCGACGCCATTTTGAGGGAGGATCAACCACTTCGGAGAAAAGAGGGTGGCGAAAGAAAGATAGTGATTTGTTGAAGTCTTTTTTTTTGGGAAAATGCTGTTGTTGTTCCCAGGTGAGCGAATGGACCATTTATAAAATAGCTCAAGCGAGACTGCGCAATTGACTTAGATTCATTTTCGGCCAAAGGTCTAGCTTTCAAGCATTTTTCCTGAAAGAGAGAAATAGTTTGTATGGACCTGTGCTAATCTAGACACTGGCGGAACCACCGCCAGTGTGGATCAAGTCACCTTCCGAAAGTAGCCAAATAAGACCCCGACCCACTCTCTGCGGAGGCCCGCGAAATCCACGGATAGCTTTCCCTGGAGGATCTACATAGCGATTTTCCTATTGGCGTAATGCTCATTATATGATAAATGCAAATTGTGATGTTCTGTTGTCGGGGTTCCTGGCATCTGGGGATACATATTTGGCTAAGTCTTATCGGTGCAGTGCGGAGAAGGCGCCAGAGATAAATCTCGCCTTCCTTTTCTAGCATTATTATAATATGCACACACCTGACTTCCTCTGTAGTTATCCACCGCGCGAACTACTTTTGGGTTGCTTGGCCTTCCGAAGATCCCCGTTGACCCAATAAGGAAATATAGCATTCACCTTCCTTTTCTTTCCAAAAGCTTCATTTTGCACATCAAATTAGCGCCCTGGCATATTCGTATGCCATGACGCAATAGGACTAGATTGACGGGGTACCGCAGATAAGGGACTGGGGATTGATCTTATATCGGTCCGGAGATTGTATATCTCAAAAGAGTCGTGGCCCCTGAGACCCATTGAACCTGATAACGTATTCCATCGAAACTAGTCACTTCATTTTTACCACATGATTGGGATCAAAAAAGGTCCAACATGACAATATCAACCAGTCAACGTCAATATGCACCTCCTGAGGCAAACCTCGATGACCTTGAACTAGAGTCAGTCGGCTACAGGCGGGATATGCCACGCCAGTTCTCAATCTGGTCACTGGGCGCGTTATCCTTTACTCTTACTTGTAGCTGGCTGGGAACTGGCTCATCTGTTGGGATCAGTCTCGCCGAAGGCTCCTCCGCAGGTACATTATGGTCACTGCCAGTGGCTGGTATCATGACCACGATTGTATCACTGGGGATGGCTGAGCTGGCCTCTGCATATCCGGTTGCGGGAGCTCAGTACTATTGGTCATTCATGGTTGCAAGTGAGAGACATAAAGCATTTGCATCTTACTTGTAGGGCCCCCTCTGGTAAATTTCTCAGCACGAATGGGCTAAATCTGGATATAGGAACGCATGGATGAGCATTCTCGGGTGGTGGCTTGGCTCAGGTTCAGTCGCCAACTTCGTCTCGTCGATGGTCCTAGATATTGTGATCATCTGGTACCCGGACTATAGTTTCCAGCACTGGCACCAATATCTGATATACGTCGCAATTATCTGGTTGGCAGTTGCGCTCAACATTTTAGCTTCAAGCTGGCTACCTTTGTTCAACAAATTCATCTTCATTCTGTCTGTCCTAACTCTCACATCAACGACCGTGACTCTGTTCCTGGTTAGCAGGAATACGCATCTCCCAGTCTCATTGATGTTCACAGACACAGCGACACACAGCGGCTGGGCGAGTGAAGGATTTGCTTTCATGCTCGCAGTTGGCAATGCAGTATTTGCGTTCCTCGGGAGCGACTGCGGCGCTCACCTCTGCGAGGAGATCGCGAACCCATCTCGGAATGTACCGATGGTGATTGTCTTCCCACTTGTTGTTGGGCTTCTTACTGCTTTTCCATTCGCCTGTGCATTGATGTACTCAATCAGCGATATGAAGGCGGTATTAAACACGACAACTGGCTTACCTTTGATTGAAATTTACTTCCAAGCCACGCAATCTGCAGTTGCTGCGTCTATTCTGTTGGCTGCCTTTGCATTTTGTTTCTTCGGCTGTTTGGTTGCTAACGGTGAGGCGTATCCACAACCAATGCCCCTAAAATAGTTTGCTCACTTTATAACGCAGCTACAACCTCATCCCGCACTTTATGGGCAGTGTCGCGCGACGGAGCCATCCCGTTTAGCAAAGTGTGGATGCGAGTTAATCGCAGATTTCGAATGCCTGCCAACGCCGCTCTCCTCTCCGGAACATGTATCTCCGTAAGTCTCGTACTTCCAATCCAAGCATTAATATCCACTAATGGTAACAGATCTATGGCGTCATTTTTATCGGCTCTACCACCGCGTTCTCGTCAATGGTCAACGCAGCCATCGTCTTCCTGCAAACGTCTTGCGTAATTCCACAAGGAATTCTATTATATCGCGGACGAGATCGAGTGCTGCCAGAACGATACTTCCACCTAGGTCGATACGGTGCCACTATCAATGTCGTTTCCGTTGCATGGGTGGCCTTCCTCGACGTACTATATTGCTTCCCCACGTCAAGACCAGTTACCATTCAAAATATGAGCTATGTCTCGGTGGTCAGTATAGGGCTCATCAGTATTGTTCTCTTATTGTGGTTCTCAGGCAAACGCAACGTCTTTAAGGGGCCAAATGTTGATTATAATCTTCTGAACATGAGACGCATGGCGAACCTCCGTGGAGGAGAGGAGTTAGCTATAGAAGCTGTGCCCGGGGATACTAGCAGTCTGCAGTCACAGGAAAGCAACAAAAAAGGGGCGGAGCCTTAGAGCAAATAATGGGGCTTTTTGAGTCTCTCACTGCACCTTCCCCAGCAACTCTCAGTCCTGTTCATGGTTATATTCATATACAGAACCAATAAATTCAATTCATAAAGCCAGAAGCCCCTGTAAAGATTAAGGTGGTATTTCAGCCTTGGCATTTTTACCTTTTGAATTGAACAAGTCCGCTGGCAGCGGAACAACAGCCATAGAAAGTGATCAACCACTCGCCTTCCGAAAATGGATAAATAGGTTCCAACCGCCAACGGGCGTTACTAAACATTGGAAGACCTGCCGAAAAGAGTAGTCGAAGCTGAGGACAATAATTTATTCATCAGTTTGGCTCAGTCGTTGAATGACAACCAAAGAATGCCACGGGTTTATATTGTTTGGTTATTCAGCCTGAGATTCACATTCTAATGTTAGAAATCCAATCAAGTCTTTTGCCTCTTGGCTCGCTGTCCAGCCCCGGCGTTTCGTTTACTACCAAGCTACCTATCTTGCGATCAAAACACAACAATGTCTCAAAAGAGCATTGTGGTTATTGGGTATGTTTCAACTTCAGTTGAACACACAAATTTCTAACAATTCCTACTCCAATCCAGCGCCGGTGTCGCCGGCTTAACAACCGCTCTTCTCCTATCCCGGGTCCCCGGCTACAAGATCGTCGTGGCTGCAAAGCATATGCCAGGAGACTATGATATTGAATACGCATCGCCGTGGGCGGGTGCAAACTACATGCCGTGAGTCCGATCCGTCGATCATCATTGATTGCACACCGGGCTGACTACCAACAGCGTCTCCTTAGGTGGCACAAATGCCGCGGAATGGGATAAAGCCACTTGGAAGGTGCTTCATAAGCTGGCACATGAGAATCCGGAGGCTGGCATTCATTTCCAGGGTTAGCTGAATTTTTCCTGTTACTATAAGCTGAAAACTGACAACCTTAAGACTGTGAGATACGGAGCCGGGCAAAGGATATCGGCTCTGCAACTGCGGATTGGTTTTCGGAGCTTCTTTCATCAGCCCCGTGGTTTAAAGAAGTCGTTCCAAATGTGAGGATCCTTCGCTCTGAATTAGGACACACTGACTCACGATGGAGGTTACAGTTTCGCGTTCTTCCGAAGGGCAGTCTTAATCCCGGCGTCGATTCATCCGTGGTATTCACTTCAGTCTGCATCAATACTGCAATTTATCTCCCCTGGCTCGTTTCCCAGTGCCTTGGAAACGGGGTCACTTTCAAACGGGCTACCTTCAGTCATATATCTGAAACATCTGCTGGTATTCACCCATCGGGCACGGTGGACTTGGTGGTCAACTGCACCGGGTTGATGGCATCTAAACTTGGCGGAGTTGAGGACAAATCGGTCGTCCCTGCTCGCGGGCAGATTGTGATCGTGCGCAATGAAGCCGATCGAATGGTTAACATATCAGGCACTGATCATGGGGACGAGGAGGCGTGCTATGTGATGACCAGGGCTGCGGGAGGTGGTACTGTGCTTGGTGGATCATACCAGAAGGGGAACTGGGAATCTCAGCCGGATCCCAGTCTGGCAGTGCGAATCATGAAGCGGGCTGTTGAAGCTTGTCCGGAGTTGACTGGAGGCAGGGGCATTGAAGCTCTTGATGTGGTGAGGCATGGAGTGGGGTTGAGGCCTGTTCGACAAGGAGGGACCAGGGTAGAGAGGGAACGGCTGGGTAACTTGTGGGTAGTACATAACTATGGTGCTGGTGGTGCTGGTTACCAGTCGTCCTATGGATGTGCGGAGGGTGCGGTGGATCTGATCCGAAATGCTTTAGAGCCTCAGGCGAAGCTATAGCCATAGCTATCGAAGTACACAGCCATATGAAACTCTACTATTGAAATGAGACACCTTATGTCTCCCGTAGCCCTGAAATAGGGGCCATTATATAGTTAGGGTATCTAGAAGCAGTTAGTAATTGCTATATAAAATAGATCTCGACCCTAACGCAGCCGTCAAAAACTTCTCTAAGCTATCTCTCTCCGAATTGACGGTGTCCGGCTTTGAGGTCTCTCACTACAAGACTTCTGTTCGACATCCAATCGCGTGCGATCAATTATGCTCTCAGGTTAAAGTAGACAGTCTAATATGACAATATAAGATAATGATTCATGTATCGGTCGTCTCCATTCCATACATCATTGTATCCTCCATTCCAAGGGCCAAAAATTATCTATGTAGCAGACTGGCCAAAAACACAGGGGAATCTCACTTTCTATACAATGGACTTCTGCTGTTCATCCATTTACTGCAACTCAATTGCGACCCAACCTCTCCTCCACATCCTCGGTGAGTTTATATGCCGGAAGATATTGCCGCTCACCAGCCGCACAGCTCTCCATTCCATTTCCATTGGGATCACCATCAACCTTCAGTCTCGGGTTCGGATATGTATCAGACGTGCCCCCGAGAGAGGTATATCCCTGATCATAGAGCTCGCAATAGTATAACCCCAGATGGCGAATGAACGCCCAGATCTCCGAATAATTCCAATCAATCACCGGATGCACGCGCACAAAGTCCGGCCACCCGCCATCTGTCCGGTCGAAGTGCGTCAGCTGCGCGCCATGCGGGTCTGTCCGCCGCGTCCCCACGAAGATCGCCCGGATCCCCGGGTATCGGTGCAGGTAATTCTCGAAACTGGAGCGCATCGTGCTCGTGGGCGGGGCGGTGGTGTATTTCGTGATAGAGAGGTGATAGGCCTTTGCGGAGCTGATGACGAAGTCTTCGACGGCGGGGAAGGGGTCTGGTGGGAGGGCGTAGATGGAGGGGATGACGGTCGCCGCGGCAGACTTCAGCGCTTGGCTGGTGTCATCGGGGTTTGCTGATGGTGATAGGTAGGGATGTAGTCCTGCGAGAAAGAGGATCACCATCACCAGGCAGTCCTTGCCGCCGTTGTAGGAGACCGAGAGCTCCGGCAGCGAGTACCGCGAGAGCGCGGTTGATACGACCTCTAGCGAAATGCGGGTTTGGCGCTGCACGGAGTCAAGCAGCGAGTCTGGCGGATGCGTCTCGGATAGAAAGGCTTGCACCCGGGCGTGGATGTGGGCGATCACCGTTGGTAGCGGGGGGATGTCATCGGCGTTATCGGAGTGGCCATTCTCGTTATTGGTATAGTTGGGTGGTTGGAAGGGACGGAGATGGTCTTGCGGGCGCAGCAGTCGAGGCGAACCGGCATTATTATTATTGAGAGCTTCGGGCGCGGCCATTGTCGTCTGGCGGACCCTGCTTGAATTGGCGGGATGTGGAGAGAAGAAGAGGAAGAGGTTGGATCTCGGCTGTCGGAATAAAGGAAAAATAATCTAGTCCATTCCATTCATTCATGTGGGGTATACCAACTGACTACTGTAAAGAACAACTAAAAAGCAAATGTAGCACTACTGATTACTATCCCAGCACTTTCATCTTTTTCTTCTTCTTCTCGCCCGTCTTCTTCCCGTTCTGCCAATCCCGCCAGCTGCCAATGCGCTCCTCGCGGGTATCCTCCCACGCCTTGTCCTGGTCGCGTTTCCGTTTCCGCGCATCCAGCTCCTCGTCTTCCTTGCGCTTCTCCCGTCCTTCTTCCTGCATGCGCGCCTTGGCCTGTCTGCGCCGCCGCGCCTCTTCTTCAAGGAGCACGTGCACCGTCTTCTGCCGCCATTCCTTCTTGAACTCGCCGGTCTGCAGCTCCGGTGAGTCAACTGTGTATTTATGTTCTCGGATCAGGAGCCGCCGTGCGTCAGAGATGCACTCGTCGAGGTATGCGCGTTGTTTTTCGTCAAGTAGTGCCGTCTGGGCCTTCTTCAACCGATCGAATGCGTCGGGCGCCGCGGGGTTTTTGGTCTTGTCCGGGTGGATCAGCAGGGATTTCTTGCGGTATTGTAGTTTGATATCGGAGTCCGGCACGCCGGGCTGGAGATCGAGGACTGCGTAGCTGTAATATGCGTCTAGTCAGTTGTCTGTGTGGTCCTTGTAGGTCGAAGTAGCGGACTTACGCATCGAGAGAGAATGCCTGGCGGATGCGGTCGATCTCGGCGTCCTGGAGGCGCGGGTCAGAGGCAATGATTGAATGACCTGGTGAAGACATACCTTGGCAAAATCAGATGCTTCGCGTTCTAGCGAGTCCAGGATATCCTTCTCTTCCTTGTCGTCGTCGGCCATGATTGAGTCTGGAATTGAGTTGCGAGTGTTCAGATTGGGCGATGATAAGGGCCGTCTTATCGCAGCTGACTCAGCACAAAAATGTCTTTTCACCGCCGGGCAGATTTTCGATTCTCTCCAGCAGCAAGACAGACAGACAAATCATGGCGCCAGCGCGGGCCTCTCATGGGAAGCAAAAGACTCATAATGACTCTGGTCGGATGCTGAAGCGCAAGCGCGGCCAGGATGAGCTGTCCACACTCGCCCAGCGGGTCGACGAGCTCGACCCCAAGGCCGCTGTCAAAAACTTCTCCGAACTACCTCTCTCCGAACCGACAGCCTCCGGCCTCGAGGCCTCTCATTACAAGACTCTGACCGACATCCAATCGCGTGCGATCTCCCATGCACTCAAGGGCCGCGATATCCTGGGCGCCGCCAAGACCGGTAGTGGCAAGACACTGGCCTTCCTGGTCCCTGTTCTCGAGAATCTGTACCGCAAACAATGGACTGAATACGACGGGCTGGGAGCGTTGATTCTCTCTCCAACCCGTGAATTGGCCGTTCAGATCTTCGAGGTGTTGCGGAAGGTGGGCCGATATCATGCTTTCTCCGCTGGCTTGGTCATCGGCGGGAAGAGTCTGCGCGAGGAGCAGGAACGACTGGGACGCATGAATATTTTGGTCTGCACACCAGGTCGCATGCTCCAGCACCTTGACCAGACTGCTACGCTAGAGACACATAATTTCCAGATGCTCGTGATGGACGAGGCGGACCGGATTATGGACATGGGTTTCCAAAAAACGGTGGATGCGATCATCGATCACCTTCCGAAGGAGCATCAGACGATGCTCTTCAGTGCCACACAAACTAAAAAAGTTTCTGATCTGGCTCGTTTGAGCCTGAAGGATCCCGAGTACGTTGCGGTGCATGAAGCCGCCGCCGCGGCGACACCCGCAAGCCTCCAACAACACTATGTCGTTACTCCGCTGCCTCAAAAACTCGATACTTTATGGAGCTTCATCCGCAGCAACCTCAAATCCAAGACCGTGGTCTTTCTATCGTCGGGGAAGCAAGTCCGATTCGTCTACGAATCCTTCCGTCATCTTCAACCAGGTATTCCGCTGTTGCATCTTCACGGCAAGCAGAAGCAGGGCGGTCGACTGGATATTACGACCAAATTCTCCCAGGCCCAGCACTCAGTACTCTTTGCCACGGACGTCGCTGCCCGAGGTTTGGATTTCCCCGCTGTTGACTGGGTTATCCAAATGGACTGCCCAGAGGATGCCGACACATACATTCACCGTGTCGGACGGACGGCCCGGTACGAGCGGGTTGGACGCGCCGTGCTGTTCCTAGACCCCAGCGAGGAGAAGGGCATGCTGAACCGACTTGAGCAGAAGAAGGTGCCCATCGAGCGGATCAATATCAAGGCAAATAAGCAGCAGAGCATCAAGAATCAACTGCAAAATATGTGCTTCAAGGACCCCGAGCTGAAGTACCTCGGTCAAAAAGCATTTATTTCATACGTCAAGTCGGTCTACGTTCAAAAGGACAAGGAAATTTTCCACCTGAAGGAACTTTCGTTGGAAGACTTGGCTTCTAGCATGGGTTTGCCTGGTGCGCCGCGCATCAAGTTCATCAAGGGCGATGACACCAAAGAGCGCAAGAACGCGTCTCGTAAGATGGCCCAACTATCGAGTGACGAAGACGACGATTCGGATGCGGATGACCAGAAGAAGTCCAAGAAGAAGGACGAAAACCAGGTGCGAACACGTTACGACCGTATGTTCGAGCGCCGCAATCAAGACGTACTGGCGGACCACTACTCGAAACTCATCAACGACGATGGCACTATGGTTGCACCCGACGTCAACAACGGTGGCGAAGACGCAGACGAGGACGCCGATTTCCTATCTGTCAAGCGTCGGTTTGCCGCAGGAGACGCAGGTCTCGATCAAGCCGAGTCTGACTCCGAAGATTCCAACGACCAGCGAGCAACCAAGATGGTGCAAATCGACGGCAAGGAGCCGCTCGTTATTGACTCCAAGCGACGCGAGAAGCTACTCAAGTCGAAGAAGAAACTTCTTAAGTACAAGGGCAAAGGAACGAAGCTTATCTACGACGATGAGGGCAACGCGCACGAAGTCTATGAGATGGAAGACGAAGACCACTTCAAGGCTCGTGGAGATGCCGATGTCCAACGCGAGCGCTTCCTGGCCGAGGAAACTGAACGCACGCGTCACGCCGATCTCGAGGACAAGGAGCTGGCCCGCGAGAAGCGCCGCGAGAAGAAGGAAAAGCGGCGGGCTCGCGAGCGCGCCCTTGCCGATGAAGAGGCTGAGGAGGAGCGGGGGGCTCAGCTACTTCCGTTCGTGGGCGACGATGCTGAGTCTGTGGTTTCCGAGCCCGAAGAGCCAACCCGCCCGAGCAAGAAGCAGCGCGTCTCTGCCGAGTCGGACGAGAGCGAGGAAGAGTCCTGGCCACGCAAGTCCAAGAGCAAGGCCAAGAAGAGCAAATCTGCCGCTGCGGATCCGGGTCAGATCGAAACCTTGCAGGATCTGGAGGCGTTGGCCAGCGGTCTATTGGGGTAGGCTGTTTGTCTGTTTCTTTTCGAGCGATTTTTCAAAAGCATTCATGTATCTTCTTTTCTGTATCGACTCTTGCATCGGTATCTCCCGTGATACATAATCCTTAACGGCTCCATCGTACCACTTTGTGCCTAGTTCCTTTCTGGCATGTTACACAACAGCAGCTTTACTCTGTGGCTGATGTATATGCCCGGACTATGATTGGCTGGGGGCATACAGGAGCCTACACCCTGTAGCTCGCTATACCGTTTATCGTGACATTATTGTAGTTACAAATTCACCTTCTATATGCGGCATAGACTATATTGATGGTGCCAGCAGAACAATAGTACAGTAAGCAAATCGTGCAGAATCCGTTCTGCGACCTAAGTGGAACCCTAGCCGTATCCATGTGGTTGCGAGTGGAGCCAGTTGAATTTTTTTGACACATCGGCCGTCCTTTGCCTCTTGTGCCCCATCCAGTCATTGTCGCGCAAAATCACGCCATCGTAGCGACTAGGAGGTGCTTTCGAAACGTAGTCTGCAATCATGATGTTTCCTTCCTTTTTGTATACACGTCGCTGCAGCTTCGCCGGGGTGAACTAATATCTGCGCGGTCACGAGACTCCGGGGATTAGGGCACGGACGGGTTCATCACGCTTGGCCCCAGAAGCTAGGTGACACTAACGCGAGGAGACGACAACTCATGCGGAGAAACCGTTTCTGAGAAGTCGAGTCGCAAACAACCAGCCAGGTAGAGAGACCAAAGCACCTCGCCTGCGCTCCATTGGCCTGCCTGGATCGGTACACATCGTGATGGCTGATATCGAAAAATATCCCGCACCCGCGGAAGAGCCCTCCAAGGGCCAGGGGTACGACGCGGATGGGGTGTCCAACCCATTCGTCAATGCCGATAAGTTATCGCGTCGGCTGTCCGCACGCCAGGTGCAGATGATCGCCATTGGCGGTACTATCGGCACGGGTCTGTTCTTGGGCACAGGCGAGTCACTCGCGACAGGCGGGCCTGCGTCGATGCTCATTGCATATGCCATTTGCGGCGGCATTGTGTTTGTGACAATGCTGTGTCTGGGCGAGATGGCTGCATTCGTTCCCGTGGCCGGATCCTTCTGTACCTATGCGGGGTGAGTCCATTTGTGATACGTCGGAAAGAACTGCAATGCTGACGTAGCGTCTAGGCGGTTTGTTGATGATGCGCTTGGCTTTGCGCTGACTTGGAACTATTGGTTCAATGATGCCGTTTCCACTGCGTCGGATATTATTGCCCTCCAGTTGCTATTGCAGTTCTGGACCGACAATTTCCCTGGCTGGGGCATCAGTTTAATCTTCTTGATCGTTGTGATTGCGCTCAACCTCCTGTCCGTTCGGGTATATGGCGAGGTACGTATCTTTTCCTCCTCCGGTTTGATATAGTCTAACTAGTGCCAGGTTGAATATTGGTTGAGTTTACTCAAAGTGATCACTATTGTGGTATGTTCTCATCTCAGTCAGATATGCCTCAGTCAATCTCTAACATGTCCCTCTCAAGATCTTTATCATCCTTGGTATAGCCGTCAATTGCGGTGGAAACACCCAACACGAGTACATTGGCGGCAAATACTGGCACATTGGGGATGCACCATTTGTTGGCGGCATCGGAGGCTTCGCCTCGGTGTTCGTGACCGCTTCCTTTGCCTAGTAAGTTGCCACCGAAAGTTTGTCTTTGCTGAACGGTCCTGACATATATGGTAGCGGCGGTACTGAATCGATTGCTATCACGGCTGGTGAGACCAAGGATCCCGCCAAGAACCTGCCGAAGGTTGTGCGCAATGTCTTTTGGCGTATTGTGCTCTTCTACATTCTATCAATCTTGATGGTCGGCCTGAATGTGCCATACACGCACAACGGCCTTTCAAATGGCGACACCCGCACCAGTCCGTTCACCATTGTCTTCGAAGAAGCCGGCAGTGCCATTGCGGGCAGCTTTATTAACGCTGTGATCATGACCTCGGTTATTTCCGCTGCCAACCACGCACTCTTCGCTGGCTCACGATTGCTGTATACACTCGCCGTTGATGGATACGCACCTCGCTTCTTTGGTAGTCTAAATCGCTTCCATGTGCCCTGGGTTGCTGTTCTTGGCACCTCCGTGATTAGTGGGCTGTGTTTCGGTGCCAGCTACATCGGCGCGGGCAAGCTATGGTCGTGGTTACAAAAGTATGCTCCTCTTTTCCTGTTCCTTTTTGTTTACATGATACTAACATACGCAGTATCGTCGGCGTCTCCAACCAACTCTCTTGGATCTGTATCTGCCTCGCTTCCCTCCGCTTTCGGTCCGCTATCCACAAGCAAGGCCTGGAACATCTTCTCCCTTTCAAAAATTGGACATATCCTTACGGTCCTATTATAGCCGTCGGCTTGAATATTGTGTTAGTCCTCGTCCAGGGATGGAAGTGCTTCAGCCCGCATTTCCAAGGTGTCGATTTCGTCTCATACTACATTGAGATTCCTATTATGATTGTCATGTTTTTGGCATGGAAGATCATCAGACGCACAAAATTTGTCAGGACATCTGAGATGGACTTGCAAACTGATCGGTATGACTTGGGTAGCGGACAGGCTGTGCAGGTTCTACAAGAAACGGACAGGAAAAGCCGCCTGCTGGCCAAGGTGGAGCGATTTGGACAATGGCTGTTTTTGTAGACTATCTCGTGATGCCTTTTTTATATATGCATATTTGTCTTTAAGCAGTCTTAATAAAAGTCTATAAAGACAGATAGTTTTGTGGTCCGAGTCGCATTGTATCCTGATCATCTGATCATCTCAGTCTCACTAATAAGAGTCCCCATTCACCCAACAGAATTATAAAAACGTGCTCGTAGGGATCTTATTAAATATAATATGGAATTTGGCATTCATACTTAGACTATGCAATAAGATCGGTCATTCAATCGCACTGGGGCTCTCACCGTTCTGGGTCGTCGAGGATTAGGCTGACTTCGGGCCGGGCCCTCTCCGACGTTGTAGATGGTCGGGGTCCGACGCTCCGATAAATAATGAAACTGCCAGTGTTATAAGGACCAATCTTTCCCACACGGCTTCTTTTTTAATAAATCAAATTCCAGAAAGATAACACCATAATGGCTCAATTCCAACGTTTCGCTCAACCGCTAGGGTCACGTATCGCCGTCGGCTCTGCACTCGCCATTCTCGGCGTCGGCACCTACTGTGCCCGATCATCCCTTCTGCCTACCACCTATGCTGAATCCAATGAGCCGCGCAAGATATTTTCCGGCTTGGGGTTTACCAGTTTGCGTGTGCATAGTGTCAAAACGGTCAATCACGACACGAAACGACTTGTTTTTGAATTTCCAGATCCAGAGGCTGTTAGCGGCCTCTCGTTGACTTGTACATGGCCTCGCGAACTGCTAATTGGTCTGTGCTAACGTTCGTTTAGCATCAATACTCACATTTTTGCGACCTCAGGGTAGTTGGCTTCCCACGGTCAGGCCTTATACTCCAATCAGCGACTTAAGTAATAAAAGCTGTATCGAGTTTACCTGCAGCAGCTAACATCATCGGTCCTAGCTCAACCCGGTTTCGTGGAATTGATGGTCAAACAATACCCCAATGGCAAAGCAAGCACCCATCTCCATTCACTAGCACCAGGCGACAGCCTTACATTCATCACAGCCCTCAAGGGGTTTTCCTGGAACGCAGGCCAATTCTCTCAAGTCTACTTGATTGCTGGAGGGGCTGGAATCACTCCAATCTATCAGCTGATCCGTGGTATTCTGGACAACCCGAATGATAAGACGAAGATCGATTTGGTCTTTGGAGTCAATACTGAACAGGATCTACTCCTTCGCGAGGAATTCGACGAGTACAGGCGGCGGTTCCCTGATCGGTTCAACTACGTTTATACTGTTAGTCACCCAGCTGGAGAGAACTCACTTGTTCGAAAAGGTCGTGTCACGGAGGAGTTACTTCGTGAGGTAGTGAAAGATGCGTCGGATGAGAAGACTAAGGTTTTTGTTTGTGGTCCGCCTGCCATGGAGCAGTCGCTAGTCGGTTCGCGGGGATCTCCGGGGATTCTGACGAATCTGGGATTCGCCAAGGAACAGATTCATCAGTTTTAGTGGATTATAACCAGCTAGAAGGTGAGTTATTGTACAATATTTCTTGGGGGAATTCTCAATAAGATGAGTTTTTTAGCCTATGGGAGGATGGCCGCAGTAGAACTAGAGCAGTAGGTGAAGTCTAATCCGACTACATTCTCAAAACCTAAACACAGAAAGAGCAGAAACAGCCCATGTACAACGGCAAATAGAAAAAATCACCTGCACTTAATGACCGTTCTACCTGAAAAATGGATAGACCACCCACATAACATTCCTGGCCATGATCTAGTCAGGAGAATCAAGAGAGAGAAAAAATCCAATGCGAGACCAAACCCCCGTTGCTCCTCCAAACGCCCTGCTATGTCTTCAAACAAACCACACATAAAATATAGGGGGTACTCGCAATAGAAAGAGAATGAAAAGAAGCAGAGAACAAAATGCTGGGCGAGAAACGAAGAAGAGTGCTCTAAACCACCGGTTGCATCCGTATCGAAGTCGATAAGATGCGCCGTAAACTTGGAATGATATCAGATAAGCGATGCATGCTAGTTGGAAATCAACATGTAAACTGGATATCCTGTCGAAATAAACTGATATAGACTTTTGGAAGTGCCGCGGAATGAGACAAAAACGATAACTTAGCGCATGTACCAAGCGCCGTGACGAAGGGTATCAAGACAAGCTGCCAGTAGACCCTGCTACATAGCTGAGGAGTGGAATTATATAATAATAAGCCAACAGTTCGAAGTTCTGCGGTAACCGAAGCCAAAAGGTCTGGAAGACCGACAATTTGAGCCTAGTCGTTGACCATGTCATCCAAGGCCATTTTTCGTCGCTTAAAAGGGCGTGGTTCCTGGCTTTTGGCTTCGGTACTTGACGGTTCAATTCGCGTACCTGTCGAAGGGGACTGGCCTGGAGGTGCTGTGGAAGGCAGCTCGATTGTTCCGGTATGTCTAGGTGTAAGATCGACGGGGCCTGCCGTTGAAGAAGAAGATCGTTGATGGGAGAATGGATGTGAAAATATAGGTCGGTGAAGCTGATCTGCTGGCCGAAGTTCCTGCAGACCTTCTTCTCGACCGGATAGAGACCAAGTGGTTGGATATGGATCGCTTAATCGGTGTGCATGGTGAGGCATGCTAGAGCTGGCTGTTGCTTGGTGGATCGGAGGAAGTCGAACTGGTGAGTCAATGTGCCCTTCGCGGGGAGTATGAGCAAGGCGAGGATCGCCCATCGGAGGTCGAATGTCGGAATACGAAAGCAGAGGAACACCAAGCGATGGTTGATGCTGAGATGGAGATGTAGGTGGTGGCAATGCTGGCCCAATATATGGAGGGAAGCGTCTTTCCATGCCAGCTGGCATATTACCTGTCAGAATAGGATGGAAGCCTCCTGCCATCGGGGCAAAGGCAGGCGGCGGCTGGCTCAGTGCCGGCGGGATTGCTGATCCCGAAGAAAACGGTCGTCGAGCTGCAGCTCCTGGAATCGATGCAGCAGGGTCCATGGGCCGAGTAAGAGGAAAGACAGAAGCAGACCATCGGTGCTGCTGGTCGCGCGGCGCTCGCCCTCCGATCACAGGGGAGCTAACTTCCCCCAGTTCCCGTAAATCCGTCACAGGGCGTATTTCGCGTGAAGACGTGGCACGGTGCGTAGGAGTGCGCCGCGAGTTTGCGGCTGCTTGTGCCTCTACGGGGACAGAGGGGGCTTCTGGTTGTGTGGTAAAAGTCCGGAGAGAAGAGTCCTCCGCTTTGAGTGGCGGCCGTCCTCGTTTCTTGTGCGTGACATCCACACAGGATGACTGAGCTAGTTGTCAGTGAGTCGTAGATGATCAGCAATGCAGCAAACTTACAGCTTTGCCGGCGAGAACACATCGTCGACATGGGCGTGCCGAATCACATCCGAGGTGCTTCTTCTTGCAGTTAACACAAGCCGAAGCCACATGTGCTTTTGTGCGGCGAGTCGACTTAGGACCCAATGAGCGAGCTGTCGTTACCGACGTAGAGGCTTCCACCTTCGGCACTGGATATGACGGCGCTGGCGGAGGTAAAGAAGAGGTCAATAACGGCGGGAACGCACTTTGCTCGCCATGCCTTGGTGGTGGTGCCCGTGGAGGCAGAGCCTCCCTAACTGCAGGCAGCTGCTGTGACGTCCCAGTGCCCGTCTCCTCAACCGTAGTAGCTGCTACGGGTTCAGATGCTGGTTGGGCTGCCGGTTTCTCGCCGGATATCTGCGAGGGCTCCTCCTCCGGAGGAGACCCAGGCATCGGTTGACGGGGTGAAGAAGCCCGGGGGCTGCACCCTCGAGCATTGGTAGACCAAGGGCGATTCAACGGTAGCCGCTCTGGGCCCGAGTTGAACCGGGGCTGTCCAAACTGGGAGGGGGTAAGGCTCGGGGGGCAAAGCACGAGTGATTGCATCGGGGGTCAGGCAGAATAAGGAAAGGGCCCACGGGGCAGGTGTTCCTGGCGGATCTCGTTCACAAAAGGGGACCACTGGCTCCTGCACTTTGTGACAGCATCTCCGGCCTACCGAGTAGGGTGGTACTGGGGGTGATGTATGTGCAGCGGTGTAGGATCAATATCCAGTCGTCATCGAGCTGCCCAGGCGTGTGTCCGAGGACCACTCGAGCTTATAATCTAGGGCTAAAGAGAACCGCTATTGGAGGGGTCAGCAAATAGGCTGCATTGATCAGCGGGAGATTTCCAGATCATGACAGCAGGGTTACTCATAGCCGCGCATGTCTCCCATCCTAGGGCGACTTATTGCAGGACGGCGGTCGATCATCGAGCTAGGATCAAGGTGCAGCGCCGCAAAATGTCAAAGCCCCCACACGCCTTACCTATCTGTCTCGGCCATGGCACACGTTCATGGGGGGAGAAAATAGAAGAAACGGGGGTGAAGTATACCCTGATGCATGAACCCATACGGTAATGGATCTGTCGAGTGGAAACCCTGGCAATAGTCGTGGATAAGAGTAGCACACCGGGGCTGTAGGCTCCGAGCTTTCACCAGCACATTTGACAGAGGGAGGAATCCGAGCGGGTCGTGGAGACAGAAGAAAAGTAGTGGTCAATGTAGGCGGCACTAGTAGCTGATAGACTTGATCTCCGTCATGGTAGATCTTTGCGAGTAATAATGGGGCAGGTTTGCCCAACGGTACGGGTACAGGCCAATCGTTCGGGGTAAAGGGGGGGCGCCCCAGGAGTGGATCAGTCGTAGTGTTCGTTCTCTCTGTCTTGCTGTGAAAACTCTCATCTACTGTTCTGTCCATGGGTGGCTTGCATTAGAACCATGGCGGCAGCAGTTCCGCTGTCAGTGCCACCCCAAAGGGGAAAAACCCCAGCTGGAGGAAGGGATCGGATTGCACTAAGACCCCCAAAAGACAGGGCCAGGCGTGCCCTGATACCAATCAGGTCCGGAAGCAAGGCTAGAGGATTGACGGATCGACGGCGCCCGCAGCCATTGCCAATAGTCAAGCTCGGCAATGAAAATGCACATTCCGTTTGACAATGGTACTGCATGTTCCTCTGTGAGAGAACAGGAAAAAAACATGCTTAATTTTTCTAGATCCCCCCCCCTTGGGTTGTTGCAACCCTCCATCGGAGCAAACAGGTCTTGTATGCCATGCTCGGTGTGTTTTAGTTTTGTGGTTTTTATTTATTTATTTTTCGTTTTTGACTCCTCGCGGGCGATAACGCAACTGGTTACTTCCAACCAGGAATCCGAGTTACCCCCTGTCCCTGCATCATCGTTGCCACCAATTCGAGGCCCGCCTTTACAGTGATATCACGTCTAGCCGGTCGCAAAGCTCATCGTTATTCTCCGCAAGTGGAGAAGGCACGAAGGGGCCCACTCTGGGCAATCATGATTGTATGACCGAGGCGATCAATAATAACGAAAAGTCTCTTATACTCCGTGGTACGAGGTAGGGGTTACCGTTGCAGTCGCCCTGAGCTTGCAGATCAAGGGTCATCTGCCTTCCGGGATGCAAGGCCGGGGACGCTCAGTAACCTCGTCTCACAGCAGAGAAAAGGTGCTAGCCCTCAGGGCCGGGAGTTGGACAGCCGCAGGAACTGTGATTCAATCCTCGTTGGATCGGCGCTCTGGATCATGAATGGTTCGCGCCGGCAGGTGATACCGATAACGAGGCCCCATCAGTATCCAAGTCAGGTACAGCACGGGAGACTGGCTTTACTGGACTGTTTCCATTTTGAGACATGGAAAAATCCCTCGGCCCTCCCTTCCTTCCATGCCATGCGGAGGAATCCTCCCAAAAAAAAAAAAAAAAAAGAATGAACCGCTCTATTTTCCGGGTCCTAATTCCAGGCGGCAATCGTCCAACAAGATGTGGCTGCAGCCTCCGCGATCCTAGAAGGCGATCACACGGCCTTGATCAGCCTCGCGGAGCGTGTGCATTGCTGACAATCCGTCATCCCTGGCTTTGTCGAAGCATCTGCAGGGTGCTTCCATTCCGAACGCCCCCGTCATCGTCCTCGAGGAGGATGTCCCAGTCAGCAAGCAGGGCAACTAGGAAGTAGTGGCCCCAATCACCCTGGACCCAAGAAAACCAGCGGACAGACAAAGCGGGCGGGGGAATAATAATGTATTGATGGTTTGGCGGCAGATCGCCACAGCTAGCCACTCACGTTAGGAGAGGGAAAAAATAGTCCGTTTTCCGTGTCTTTCCTGTTCGGTAGTTCCGAAGTGAAGCGGAGAAGAAGGCAAAGAGACACTGGAAAAATTCCATGAGAATGTACATCGAGGGAAGGGGCTCGGAGGTGCCAGAAGCGACACCAATGGGCACATTATTACTGCGCGGTGGAACATGCCGCACGCGGGGCAGCAAGGGGCCTTGTCACCAGGATGAGTTCATGCACGATCGACCTTTTAGCGGCCTCAATAGTGCGAACCAGTTTAGTCCGGGCCGCTATAGTCTGGCCCGTTCGAGTTAGTGGCCTGTGCTGCCCCCTCCATGGTGTGCGACAAGTGACGCACCCAGCGCTGTGGAAAGATAGGGGTTTGCTTTTTGCTGTGATTCAAGTCAGAGGTAAAAGATTTTTTTTTTTTTTGTTTTTTTTGGGTATGTCTGAGAACCTCAAGGACCTGGAGGAGGTATAGGAGAGAGCAAGGTAGAGAAGAAAAGAGTCACGGGACCGGCGGAACCCTGAAAGGAGTCGACAATTAGGCTGTGCTGATCGCTGACACGCGGGCCCCAAAAATCGCCGACACCTCACTAGCACAATCAATAGCTTGATTTTCATCACGCTCGGAGATTATTCCAGCTCGTGGACTTCGCTGGGCATCCGCCCCTAGCCTAGCCTACCGTCTGGATAGCTACAGGGCCCACGACGTGGTCAAGGGTTACACTACACCACCTACCGCTCTCTCGTGGCCATGCGGCCGCCGGGATTGTCCCGAGGCCCGGTTGCGATCCTCACTCACATGATATGATGCATCGCTAGCTGTTGAGCTCGCCAACGGGCGCGCTTCCCTAACCCGAGGCCTGAGCTCAGTGGCTGTGATGTGATTGGGTCTGTGGAGGTGAGCTGGAGCTCGAGCTGAGCGTCGCGATCGCTGTAGATAGTAATTCTGTTGAGATTCTTCGTCATCTACCTCGAAGCTGCTGTCAGGATAGGGCCGGATGGATTTCCAATGCACTCTCGTACGGCCACAGGCCTGGGATGACCTACTGTCCCAACAGGCTGGTCAGAGATATCACAAAGAACACGTTGGATTGGGAAGTGTTCCTTCGTAGAAAAACGGGAGAGAGCAACACAAAGCAACAGTTAATACAATAAATGGTATCTTCAATAATGCATTATAGACGGCATCTATACACAGTATATCAAATCTGAGATCATCGCTTTCTCGACGGCCGGGCATTTTTCTCGCGCCGCCTCTGCTGGAGCTTGCGTGCTTTCCGAATATCATCAGTCGAGTGAATCTCGCTCTTTCCACCAGCTGCAGCACCACCCGGTTTGCTGAAGTTACGTTCCTTGGCCGCCGCATTTTTCTTCTTCATCTTCTCATAGTCGTCGCGGAGCGGATCTGCTCGCTTAGGCGCCTGGTCCTTTTGATGCCGGAATCGCCGTCCACCACCAAAGCCGGATTTGAATCCGTTCGACATCCCAGGTGTCTCAGCTTCACCGACACGAGGGATATGGTCAAGTCGCTTGCCCTTCTTCCATGCTTGGAAACGGCCGCTCCGGAAGCTGGCCGCGATCTTGGCACCGCTCTCACCGCGGACTAGCCGCTCGCCCTTTGACCCGTCTTCGTCGTTCTGTCGAGCCACGTACTTCTTGTGCCGTTTGTCCCAGCGCATAATGGAACGTGCCTCGCCGAAGCCCTTGGCACCTTCGTCTCCAGTAAGGTCCATGGTTACGTTGCGAGACGCTTGGGTAAAGTTCTGATTTGTGCCCGAGTGAACACCGTAGGCCCGGTCTTCAGCCATGTTGTGGTTGGCAGGTGTATATCCCATGAAGTAGTCGGGGTTTTGGAACGATGTGGCAGAAACATCGTTTTTCTTGTTGTTTGGTTGTGAATACGCGGAAAAAGTGACCTCAAGATCGGAATCAGATGCCATCGACATGTTGTCACCCGCCTCTTGTGGAATGTCGTCGTCCTCCTCGTCAAACCCGTCTTCCGCAGCCGCATTGGCTTCCCCTGACTCGAGCGACTCGGATTGCTCGTTCGCCTGTGCCCGCTTCTTCTTCGCATCCACAGTCTTGCGGATGCGTTTGATTGTATCAATGGATGCGTCCCCTTCGGTTTTACCATTGCGTCGGTTATTGGCCTCGAAAATGGTCTCCTGTGGCCGGTAGCCACCGATCCGGGCAAGCATATTCTCACGCTCGGCTTCCATCTGGCTCGCTGCATCATTGAATAACGGATGAATTGTGGACCAGTCCTCGGAGGAGACAACCTGTTTGGCCCGCTTGGCACTTTCCAATGAAGCCGCATTGCGCGTGCGCATGTACAGCTTCTCACCCTTCTGGGCAACTTGTCTCTGGGTAGCAATGTCTGCATCTTCATCTAGGACCTTAGTCACCCATTCACAGCTCCGGGACAACGGATCCCGGGGGACGCATCCAGTGACCACGTCCTCGGCAAAGTTGACCTGGTCCCCAAATTGGCGGCCTAGAACCAGTCGTCGGCCAAGGAACAGCTGAAGATCAAGAAGGTACGGAACATCTGCGTCCCGAACCAAACTGTAACTCCATCCCTTCTGGCCAGCTCGAGCCGTACGGCCGACACGGTGAACAAAGATCTTTGGCTGCGACGGGAAATCGTAGTTGATAACGTTAGCCAGCACGGGAATGTCGATACCTCTAGCGGCCACGTCTGTGACGACCAGAATATTGGACAAGCCTTGTCTGAAATTCTCAACCTGGATCTTGCGAGCCGTTTGATCCAAGGAACCGTAGGCATAAGACGTTGCGAATCCTGCCTCAACAAGCAGAGCGTACAGGTAGTCGACATGATGCTTGGTCGCGGCGAACACAATTGTCGAGTGCTGGGTGGGAGATTCCTTGTAAATGGACTTTTGCTTTTCCGGGCGCTTGCGTTTATTGAATCTCTTCCCTTTCTCACTCTCCTCCTGGCGGCGTTGGGATTGCTCTGTAGCACCCGTAGGCATTTGAATGACCTCATGCAAGATATAGAGCAAAGCACCTTCTTTGTCAGACGTCTTGATCGCAAAGAATGCGTTCTGAAGATCTGGGGAGATTTTGCTCTCAGCATCGAGTCGCACCAAACTTGGCTCCTGTAGGCCCGCGCGAGCAAATTCCACCAGCGACTTAGGCAAGGTCGCAGAGAAGAGAAGCGTCTGCCGAGTGTGAGGGAGTCCGTGGAGAATCTCGGTCAACTGTGCAGCGAAGCCCATCTCGAACAGCCGATCAGCTTCATCGAAGACGACATAGCGGATGCTAGACAGATCCAGATCCATTTCCACTTTCAGATGCAGGAATCGACCGGGGGTTGCGATGATAATATCAGGGTTGCTAGTCATCATTCCAAACTGTTCCTCCAGACTGTCTCCACCGACGAGAAGAACAGCCCGGAGATCTGTCCCCCGTCCCATCTCCTTGATTACCTTCATAGTCTGCAAGGCCAGTTCTCGCGACGGGGACATAATCAAAGCACGAGCGCCGAACTGGGTGTTGTGGCGCTTTAACTTCTGGATCATGGGAATGACAAACGCAGCAGTCTTGCCGGAACCCGTCCGCGCCATACCGACCACGTCTTTGTCGTCCATAATCACGGGGATGGTCTTGCGCTGGATGGGAGTGGGCACAGAGAAGCCTTTGCGGGTAATGGCCTTCAACAGATTGCTGCTCAATCCCATAGCTTGGAAACCGCCACCTTTCTTCACCGTACGACCTTTGAGGTTGGATCCTTTACGGTTGGCAGATGCCTGTCGACTCGCGATGAAAGCCGCATCGCCGTCGTCGTCATTGTCGGCACCGAGGAAATCGAGATCCTGAGAGGCAGATACAGGCTTGCTCTGGTGAGGCCGAATCGGGATCTCATTGTCGGAGTCGTTGTCATTTTGGAACAGCGCATTCGTGATATCGAATTCGGTCTCCGACGCAGCGGGAGAGGCTGCACGGCGAGGCATTGTGAGATGCGCTGCCAAAGCAAGGCAAAAAAGATGATTGTCAAGTTAAGACGTTGGTCACATGGATGAAATGCAGTGACAGAAGCAAAACTCAAACAGCAACAATCTCACTCAAGTCAGTCCAGAGCATGGTCCGCTTGTCAACGGAAGCGCAAAAAATCAAAAAAATTGCCGGGCGGTGAGTAGGGCCGGACAAACGAGGGACCGAGTCCCCACCAAGTTGATGCCTCAGGCAGCAAGTCGCGCTCAGACACGCTCCCGAAGCAGTAAATTGGTTTCTGCTTCGTCCCTCTGAGACAGATCCGCACAACACACACACCATGGGTATGTCCTGACCTGATCTACCGTCTCTTCCCTGCTAATGTCTCATCTTTCTGTCCAGACGGGGGCTACAACAATTACAACTCGTACGGCGGTCAGTCCGGCGGCGGCGGCGGATTCATGCCGGGCGAAACAACCAGCCCAGCAGGAGGCAAGGTACGCGTACTTTCGCGTGTACTGAAGAGAAAATGAATATCTAATTTCAGATCTAGAATACGGACCGCGACAACAAAACCATTCGCCCTGTAACAGTCAAGCAAATCCTCGACGCGCAGCAGCCATACCCGGAAGCGCCGTTCCAGATCGACAACGCAGACGTGGCCAACGTCCAGTTCGCCGGCCAAGTGCGTAACATCAGCACGCAGAGCACGAACGTGACATACAAGATCGACGACGGCACGGGCGAGATCGAGGTCAAGCAATGGATCGACTCGCAGACGGCCGATGGCATGGACATGGACGGCGGGGCCAAGGCGCCGGCTAAGAACGAGGTTGAGTTGAACGGGTATGCCAAGGTGTTTGGTAGCATCAAGAACTTCAATAACAAGCGCTATGTCGGCTCGCATGCCGTCCGGCCGTTGACCGATATCAATGAGCTGCACTGTCATCTGCTCGAGGCTACCGCTACCCACCTCTTCTTCACTCGGGGACCGCCTGGTGGTGCCGGTGGTGCCGGTGGTGCTAACGGTGCGGGCACAGACACGGCGATGGGTGGAGCGGAAGACTACGGCCAGGCCCAGGCTCTAGCGTCGATGTCGCCCGTGGCGAGGAAGGTCTATAACTTGCTCAAGTCGGAATCTGCGGAAGACACGGGCATGCATATGCAAATGATCGCGACCAGACTCGGATTGCCCGTCACGGATGTGGCGAAGGCGGGAGATGAGCTTATCAGTGCCAGTGTGATCTTCTCGACGACCGATGAGCAGACATGGGCGATTCTCGATTACAACAGCTGATCAGCGTGACTAAAATACATGTGCAGACAGCTGAAATGATATCATGATATGATTTTAGCCTTTCTTTTCAATAGTCGTGCGTGGAACACCTCGGTGACCTGTAAATGTTATGAATCGCCTGTCTTTCCTACTTAGGAAGGCACCTCTCATATATAGTATCACTGCCGGCAGTCTCCTATTACAAGAACGGCGATTTGTCCTAGCGGTAGAGTGCTGCCGCCCTGGGGCAGATTTAGCTGAGCCTTGGGAGGTACCTTTTTGCCCCCCCCCCCCCCCCCACCCCAGATCGACCCCAGCTGGCGGAGTTCTTTTGTCCCGTTTATCCCCTTCCCTCCCTTCGATGACTCTGTCTATCTATCTCTCGATCTCTCTCTCCTCGCTGTTATTCATGGTTCTCCAGCCTATGTGACAGAAGATGTTGTATTCACTCAACTCGCGCTGATGTATAGATACATGCGAAATGCAAAACAAGATGCCACCCGAAGCCATATACAGAAGCAAAACTTTTCGGACATCGACCGGATGCCTATAGGCCGACATCATGCACATGCATACATACATACATACATATATCCATCTAAGTCAATTCGTTCCTCTCGAGAGCTTCTTCGACTGACCGGTCCCAGTTAGCACGGCCGATCCAGATGAATTCTATCAATGATACAAGCCCCAGGGCGAGAGCAACTCCCGTCCACAGACCCATAACGCCCCAGCCCAGCCCAAATGTCGTGCCCATGCTGATCGGCATGGCAATGACATAGTAGCAGAAGAGCTGGATATACCCGCCCACCTCCTGGCGGCCGAGGCCGCGGAGAATACCGTTGCAGTTTGCTGCCAGGGCATCGAACAGTTGGAATGCAGCACAAAGAGGAAGTACCTCGGCGACCAGATCGACGACTTCGGGCTCGGAGCTGAATAGACGCGGGATGTAAGATCGAAGCGAGGAGAGGAGAATCATGTTGAAGAGGCCGACGATCACAGCGCCCCAGAAGCTCACCTTGGCGGATGTCTTTGCGGCATCCACCAGGGTCGCCCCGATCAAATTTGCAACGCGGGTGCTGCCCGCGATCGAGAGCGGGAAAGGGATTTGCCATGTGATGCTGGAGATGGTCGCAAGGACAGACTGGGCTGCCAGTTCGGTGGTTCCGAGATACGAAGACGCCAGCGTCAACACCTCAAAAGCTATACATTCGGCCTCGACCATGATCAGTCCCGGAAGCGCAAGGCGGATCATCGGCCCCCAGTTCTGGAATGCTCGACGAGTAAACCCGCACCAGCACTCTGATCCCACGGCGAAGTATACGTATACGAACAGACACAGCGGGAGGAGAGTCTCTGTGATAACCACTGCAATTGGAGCTCCAACGAAACCCCATCCGAGTTTCTGGAGATATGAGAATTAGTATGACCCATCACGATGGCAGAACGGCAGACTTACCCAAACAAAAAACCAGTTCATGAAGGCGTTTAGCGGAGCACAAACGATCAAGACGTACAGGGAGGCGGAAAAGACACCCTGCGCCTGAAGATATCGCTTGCCACTCTCGAAACAAGCATACCCGGGCGTTCCCAGAAGGGCAATCTTCAGGTACAGACCCGCCATCTGCGCGACCTCTTGTTCCGGAACGATCTTGGTAAGAATGTGCTCGGAGAAGTACCAGAGAATTGCAACGGGAATCGTGACCAGCCACAGGAAATAGACCATTCGCAGCATCTGCAGGCCGACCAGCTTCTTCTTGCCAGAGCCATAAGCCTGGGCACAGAGAGTATCCAAGCTCGTCGACAAGCCCGAATAGACCGCATTGCCCGTGATGCTCACGGTCATACTGGCCAAACTCACCGCGCCGAGCTCTTCCTTCCCGATGTGACCCAGGGTGAAGATACTGGCAACGGTCAGGGAATACTGCAGCAGGAATGTGACCATCAGCGGCAATGAGTATTTGCCGATGACCCGGGCTTCGCGTTGCCATGTCGTGTGAATCATTCCTGCCGCGACGGCCTCTTCCCATTTGCGGTCGATCTCGTTCAGATTCAACTGGTCGTTGCTCGTGGCCGGTCGGAGCAGGGCCGTGGTCTCCGTTTCCAGGGCTGTCTCATAATCTGGCTCGGAGGGGCCCGACGAGGGTGTCTTGGACGGGCCTTGTTGGGCAGAGGCCTGGATGCGGGAGAAGAGACCGCTGATCTTGTGCTGCAGGCCATGAGTCTCGGGGATGACATGGTTGTCGCTCAGCAGGTCGCGTTCTTCCTCGATGGCCTGTTCCCGTTCCCTCTGGCTCAGTGGCTGATGGTCTCCACAGGCCGGGACCATTGTCCCATGATTGACTGTGGTGAAATATCCGGGGCGGCGATATGAGCCCGCCAAGGAATACGGGTTGGTCCCCGCCTGGCTGCTGGTCGGGCGGGCCTCGAAGACGCCCTCGGGGCCGTCAGTGAGGTCCTCGTCGCCATATTCTGCCAGATCCCGGGCAATGGATGCATCCGCGAGAGGGGAGCTGGAGGTGAATGAGCTTCCGAAGGGACTCGCGGAGCGGATGTGGCGAGGCGGCATGGTGAGAGAGAGATCCGGATGTTTACTAGACCAACCGCATTATCTACCGAGAAGCGTCCTCTGGATCTGAGCCGAGTGAGAGAAGGAGAGAGGACGGGCCGAGAGATAAGAAAAAGAAGACGGGGAGAGTGGAGTGCGGGTCTCCCGTGACTCGGACTCCATTCAACCAGACGGCTGATCCGCATGACTCAGTCTGGTAACGAAGGTATTCTTCTGCGCTTCCTCCATCTCTCGCCGCGACTGCCGACATCAGCCGATCGATCGCATTCCAGCCTGACATCATCCGCAAGCGGGGGGTCACATGACGGCCGATCCCCTGCTCCACGTTTTGCCCTCCTCTTCCTGTGTCTCTGGTGCTGCGCTCCAGTTCCCCGTCTCAGGGTCTGTCTACGCTGGAATAGTTCCAGTATGTCGGCGCCCGTCATCCAGCCGCGGCCAGTCGGCCCCCGGTCCTACAACATCCTGGTCGATCCCGTCCACACCAAACCCGTCCTGGTCGAAGAGTAAGTATCATGGCGTCAGACCTGCATCGCCGGGGCCATGTCCCTTACTTCCCCTTATCTGATGCTGCCCTCGATCTCCATCTCGATCTCTTTCTGCCATGTGTATACGATGGCATTCCCTCATACCACACGTCCCGCCCCCACACCCGCCAGGAATGTTCTCTAACACCCTCCCCAGGCACATCGAAGATCAAACCCACATCTTCCTCTCCCGCCCCTACTTGGGCGCCCTCCTCTTCGAGAACCAATCCTCAGATGCCCGCGACCACTGCGCCAATGAGCGCACCTTCCTCTCCTGGCTCCGTCTGTCCATGTACCTCGCCGTCGTCTCGCTCGCCATCATCATTTCTTTCCATTTCACCAACGAGCCGACCCCCCTGGAGCGCCATATGGCCCTGCCGCTCGGGATTGTTTTCTGGCTTCTAAGCTTGACGTGTTTGGCGAATGGCTTTGCAAACTATACGCGCACCGTCATGAAGTATAGTCGCAAGGCCGCCCTGGTGCAGAGTGGTTGGAAGACACAGGTGGTCTTTACGGTGGTTGGGACGGCCATTTTGGGGAGCTGTATCTTGTTTCTGTCGACGGATCCTCAGGCGTAATCATCGGCGCTTTTTCTTTGCGGGTTTCTCTTCCCATCAGCGACGGCGTTTTGAGGGCATTGCATTGGGATCTTTTCTTTTTCGGGTTCTCTGTACCTATTCGGCAGTATATCCTTACCACCGTTGAAATATTTGAAGATGAGGAATAGTCACATTTATGTATCTCTTGGCTATACAAATGAAATCAAAGCGGAGGTATCAAGGTCCATGTGCGCATAACAGTAATTAGGGGTAAAAGAGGATGGCACAGCTTGATGGTCACACGTTACATCCGACGGATCTCCTTCTCGCCCTTGTACTTGTCCAGCGCCGCAGTGCCCAGGTGGCTCCACCACTCGAACAGCATCGAGTTGCAAATGAGCTTGAACCACGGCGTAAACTTCAGCCCGGGCTGCTCGAACATCGTCTTCAGCTCCTCCGCCGACACATACGTGGTATCCCGGACCTCATTCAGGTTCGGCTCCAGATCGACATCCGCTTGGATGAAGAGGATATAGTCGATCTCGTGCTCGCCCCACTTGCCATCGCTCGGCGCCTTGTAGTGAATCCGTGTGAAGAACTCGAACTTGTCCAGCGGCACTTGCTCCGGCTTGATGCCCAGCTCGTGGTTCAGTTTCCGCTGCGCAGCGTGCTTCACACCCACCACCGCTGCGTCCAGCTCGGCGCCCGTCTCGCCGGGAATTCCCAGCGGGTGAGAGCAGCATGTGTTGGTCCACATATCGGGGAACGTGATCTTCTCCGTGGCGCGCTGTTGGAGCAGGAGGCGGTTGTTCGAGTCGAAAAGGAAGACGGAGAATGCTCGGTGCAGGAGACCTTTGTCAATGTTGGTCATCAGGTGGCCTATCGAGAGTCAATGTCAGTTGTTTTCCTTGGCGATTTTCTTGTCGAAGACCTGAACGACTGCCCCGCTTCCCCGGTTTTTGCGAAAGGGAAAAAACTTACAAGTCTTCTTGCTGGCACTGCCAATGGGTCTGTCATTGTTGTCCAAGACAATGCAAACCTCATCCATCAGCCGGACTTGTTCGTCATCGTAGCCCTCCAGATCTCCTGTTGAACGAGCGGTCTGGTTCGCGGCGGAGGGGAAAACTTCCCGAGCCAGGGAGGTATCAACCTCGGGGAAGAGAGTAGCCACGTTGTCCGCCGTAATCTCCGGTGGAGCAGTCATTGTCATTGTTGCGCTCATTGTGAATGGCCTATCTGGGGTGGTTGCAATAGGAATAACTGAGTTGGAAGAAGAACGAACAAACGAAAGTTTCCCCAACACAATGCTGATCGGCGGGCGGTGAGCCAGGAGCGCGCTCCTGACTTTCAAGGCCGAAACATTGATTGATCAACATTACCACTGTCCAATAGTTTGGCATCAGTGGGACTGACTGTCCGACAGTGTACAACCTGCGAGGGTGTTACAGTCAATACTCATATAGGACTCCCTTTCTAACAAACACGTTCGCAGATGTGGAATCTATTCGGCTCGGAGTAATTGGATGGCATAACTATACTAACAGCTAATAATGCGAAACCTAGCTTTGCGCATGTTGCAAGGTGCCCGCCGCTTCCAGTTCCTGGATTTCATCCGGTCCCAAAAGCCCCAGCTTCTCACGCCGGGTGGGCGCCTTCGGGTCAAAAATTGGCTTCTCCGCCAATGCAGTCACCCGCGTCCCATGCCGCGGCTGCGATCCTTCGTAGTCCCAGCTCGCGTTATGGATGGTAATTCTGTATCAACGTGAGTGCATGCGAATAATTAATCACGGTGGTACTGACCTGTTATCCCATAGTGCACTAGTCCGGGGTCTCCACTTGAGCCGAACCTGGATATCGGGGTTCTTTTCATAAACATCACACAGATATCCGAGTATCACATCACTTTCAGCCTTGTCAAGACCAACAATTCTATCGGTCATGGCCCGATTCACCCAGAGTGCCTTCCACCCCGTCGCCGGATGCACGCGAACCATGAAGTGTTCACGCTCTATGTATTTGGGCCCAGCCTCTGGATTCTTGCGATCCAGATAAGGATGCGCTGATCGGTAAATTGCGGTCTTGCCATCTATAAATTTACGGAACGCAGGTGAGAGCTTCTCGTATGCGGCATATCCACTGGCCCACAGAGTATCGCCACCTATGGTGGGCACAGTGTCGTTATGCAAGTGTGTCACTCCAGCGGGCTGTCGCTCATGAACGAGATCGGTATGCCAGTGAGAGTTCCCACCAGGGTGACGGAAGTTGGGGCTTCGCTCTGTTGCAGCCAGATCTGGCCAGATCACGGTCACACCAGGTACTCCGGGGACCTGAGGTACTTGGGGCTGCAAAGTCAAATGGTCAACAGATGAACGGAGAAACAACAGTCAGCGCGAATCATACGTGAACCTCAATCTCTCCGTACCACTCTCCAAGCTTCTTCTGCTGCTGCGGAGAAAGATCTTGGTCTCGGAAGAAGACCACGCTTCGTTCTGCAATCAGCAAGCCCAGCTCATCCTTCTGCTTGTCGCTGAGGTCTTTGAGCTGCAAGCCAACAATCTCAGTTCCAATATGTCTGGTGAGATGGTTCACTTCTGTGGCCGCGGATAGCAGCGCCTTCTTCTCAGGGTCTGCACGGGTCCCTGGGTCCACATGCGGACGGTCATAATCTCGGACTTTGTAAACGTCGTCGCGATAGAGAGGGCGTGACGGCCGATAGGGATAGCCCTGGCTGAGGTCAATTCCGGCCTTCTCCAGACGTTCTCGTGCCGGTGCCGGCAAAGCGAGACTGTCCTTTCGAGGCTCAGCGACATCAACGATCCTCGAATCAATGGGAACGGGAACCATGGCGATAATGCGATATTGGCTTTCAAGTTTCGACTATCTGTGTTCTACCATTAGCACTGGCGCCCAAAATAATTCTCAAATATATTCGAACGCGATCTGCGCCGGGATCTGCTCGGGATTTGAACTTGCGCTCACATCGCCTTTGCCCTGGGTTTATATCTGAGGATTGAGCACATCATCATCACCCCCCATTACGACTTCTGCAAGGCCGCGCACCGCGGATTTCAAATCCATGTCGCGAACTGACACTTGATCCATTCTAACCCCTCACCCGTTGCCAACTTCAGAAAATCTGTTTCACTTTATTTGAGCGCCGACCCATGTGTTGACGCCCAGTTCTTGCAATCACCCCAGCGGGGAAACTCCGACATCACCAAGCACGCCTGCCATCATGCTGATTGCAAATTCAAGGTTTCCAATCAAATAAACATCCTGACGCCTTTTGCAGATTATGTGGACTTCGGGATTTGGTAGAACGGGATGATCTCGAAGTTGGTCGTGTTACCCAGCGCTGGGGCGGGCCGTAGTGGATGAGAAAACATAGCAGGTGGCTGTCGCGATGGTTGTTTGACCGCCGAGGTTTCAATATTATGGTTATATCTAGAATTTTGTCGTCTATTTTGATACCTAAACTGTAGCTTATACCTGAGTACGGTTCTGATCAAGCTGTCTATATGTCGGCTGTGTATTCCTTGCCCTAACTCCTCGATCAGGATAGCGACCCTGATATTTGCCATCCACATTAAGTCTTTACAAAATTATTCCGTGCATAATGATAGACTATCACAAACTTTATTCCGAAGTCCAGCCGTACTCTGGGATCTGGCAGGATCTCAACGCGGGGGCTGATGCTGCTGGCACACCATCGTCGAATTGTATGACGAGCTCCAGAGCACGGGCGATGATACTTGCCTAGCGCAGTATGACAACAGCAACATCCCGGCAAAGCATCTAGCTGTTTCGGCGAATCTCCGCATGCTGATTCCCACGATGGCGTCCGCTATTTATTTTGAATGGGTGATGTTGAGCATTCACGCAGGAATTGCGCCAACATCTCCATCGGTAATTTGGTTGATCCCCTCTTGATGGGTTGATCCCGAGATACGCGCTACTTGGCTTTGAATCCATCCCCGCTCTTTGATGGACCATCAGGAAATCCAACCAGAGAAGCACGCGATGAAGCTATGTCCAACTTGAGTCCTTTGCGCCGTTATGGGTACGTCACGAGCTGCGGATGCCCCGTACAGATAAGAAGCATTCATCCGGAATGTCAGCCTTCCGGGAACATCTGCGACGTGTTCTTGCTTTATTTACTTGGCCTATAATAATGTCGCAAAACTGTCATTGAGTTCTGACCTTGTTTGGCTTTGTGAGGAGATAGATCACCATGTCACCCCCAACCACTGTCGTCGTCGAACAAGGCGGTTCCACGGAGCCGGTCGTTCAGACGAAAGTCAAGCGGCGCTGGGTCAGCTATATCTGGGATACATTTGACAAGTCGCCAGAGGAACGTCGGTTACTGTTTAAGCTGGATTCAGCCATTCTCACCTTCGCGTCTTTAGGTAAGTACCAATGGAGGGTCACTTTGTCGGATAAAACTGACTAGGTCCATTTTCAGGGTACTTCATCAAGTACCTGGACCAAATTAACATCAACAATGCGTTTGTGTCTGGGATGTACGTTGATGTTCTGCAATGTTCCGTGTCAATTTCTGGATATTAACATTTTCGCAGGAAGGAAGATCTGGGCATGTACGGTAATCAACTCAACTACATGCAGACATGTTGGACTGTCGGCTACGTTATTGGCGAGATTCCCAGCAATCTTCTTTTAACCCGCGTGAGACCGAGATACTGGATTCCAGCTGCGGAGGTAATGTGCCATTCTTAGTGAGAGTGAGATTCATTCCCTACTGACGTATTATCAGCTCCTATGGACCGTTCTTACTTTCTCGATGTCGAGGTGTAACACATCTACCCAATTTTATGTGTTGAGATTCTTCGTCGGTTAGCATTCTACTTCAAGACTTGCATTAAGCAATGCAACTGACTCGATATGATGATAGGTCTCGCGGAAAGCACCTTCTACCCCGGCATGCAATACATAATTGGTTCCTGGTATCGAAAGGACGAGCTAGCAAAACGGTCGTGCATTTTCCACACAAGCAGCGGAATTGCAAGCATGTTCTCTGGTTACCTTATGGATGCCGTTTTTAGACTCGGAGGACGAGGAGGGTTCAAAGGCTGGCAATGGTAAGCGGGACCTGCTACTCGAAAGAAGGAAATGAAATTCTGACTTTTCAATAGGCTTTTTCTGATTAATGGAATTATTTCACTTCCAGTGGCATTGGCCGGATTCTTCGTATTGCCTGATGTGCCTGAAATCTCGAATCCGTGGTACCTCAGTAAAGAGGTATGTATAATCGTCTGCTTCCTACCCAACAATGTTGTTGCTAACATGCAATCTAGGAAGTTGCCCTTGCCCAGAAACGTATGCACCTGGAGGGAAGACAGAATCGGGGCCCATTTACCCGAACAAAACTCAAGAAAATATTTACCTCATGGCATATCTACCTTTTGATTGTCCTATATGTGTGAGTTAAGCCACCTGCGTGAGGTTCCAATGAGTCAGCTAACTCTTCTCAGAACCTTCAACAATGCCGCTGCAGGTAGTCAGCCTATATTCCAGCAGTCAGTCATTTCTTTTGGATATTTATCTCTATGGCCATGCTGACCTTTTTGGTAGATTTTTGAAAGACTCAACAAACCCCAAGTACTCGGTTGATCAAATCAACGCATACCCAACAACCACCTATGCCGTCCAAGTTGTAACAACCTTGATTTATGCCTGTGAGCAACCTGCCTTGTTTTATCTTCATAGATACTGATATTCCTTCAGGGCTATCTGATACTGTTCTGAAAGGCAGACGTTGGCCACCAATCATCTTCGGCGCAGTGAGTACATTCGTTTATCTCAGAAAATGAGTTCTAACATATGTTCAGTGTATCAATATCATGTGCTACGTCTCCCTGGCAGTTTGGGACATTCCAATGGGATGGAAATGGGCTTGCTACATTCTTTGCGGTGGTGGATTTGGACTCAGTGGTCTCTGCATGGCGTAAGTGATCTCCGCTATGGGCATAGGATGCAGTTTCTAATGATTTTCCTTGTCATAGTTGGGCTCACGAGATTTGCGCTGGTGACAACGAAGAGCGAGCTCTGGTGATTGGAAGCATGAACGAAATGGCCTACGTTTTCCAGGCCTGGCTACCACTTATCATTTGGCTCCAAGTTGATGCGCCTCAGTATCGGAAGGGATTCATCGGCACGACCATTCTGTCTGTCATTTTGATCATAACTGCCTTGATAATCCGAACCCTTCAGCATAAGGAGGATGCTGAGAAAGAGTGAGTTCTGTCCTTTATGCTCATTGTATCCTTCTAACACCCATGATAGGAAACGAACTTACGAGGCAGAAGAGACAGACGAGATTGAAGAGGGCTTTACGGACTCGCCCGGGCTGACCCCGGTTGATGCAAAACCTTCAAAGGTTTAAGCGGCGCAAAAGCAGGTCTGATATCTCTTTCAGTTCTCGAAGAAGAGAAACTGGATATGAACATGCTCCAAAGAAGTTCTAGTTAAGTGCAAGTAGCTGCTCTTCACCCAATGATACAGACACTCCTTTCATGAAAGTACTCTCCAGTAATATGAAATATACCGGTTATTGTCTCCTTATTAGATATGGTGGTTAATTAGTCGGGATGTATAATTGAGCTTAGTTACACTTGAGACATCCAATGATATTTCGCAGGATACACCGATTCCTGGTGTTAACAGTGCGGTATACATAGGCAGCTTGATGAAACTTTTAGTTGAAGCGATGTTAGATATCTCTTCTTTCAATATTATCAACTTCCAAATAAAGGGACATCTATTGAAGTGTGTTCAATCCAAAGATGTTCAAATTCTCGTATATCTAAATCTCACGTATATCTAAGTCCACGGCACGTATGCCTAACTTCGCCTATCCTTTTTGTCAATAAACAACTGAGCATATCTTGATATCATATTCTGTGCTCAGATGAACTAAGATTAACTAAAAACAGCATAATTATTATTCAGAAAAGTCATTGGCGCGTCCGATCTTAGGATGTGGACATCCCGACAACCAAAGGTAGCATCGCAGTAACCAGTGGCCTCGATACGTAGTGCGTACATCCAGCCAAGTGCGTCACTTTTACATCAATCTGGCAGCCAAATTTCCCAAAACCAACAATTCCAAATTTCCAAAGTCCTTGATTCGCTTGGTTCCAGATCCTAGTTCCTGGCGTGCCTGGTGAACAAGTCATCTTCTGTCGCACTTGTTCCTAGCTCGTCACCGATCCGCCTCCCAGGTTGTAGCGCCGATGGAGACCAAGATCCCTTGTGGAGCTAGGACGACCTGCCTAGTTTCAACCGCCCAGCGTCCAGGCACAAAATGGCATAATATCCCAGTCAAAATGTGCCGATTGGGACTTTGGCTACGCTAAAATTTGAGTGATAAGCGGGCTCCCAATCTCATTGGACCCCCTTATTTAATATTTTAGTAAGGAGTATGCCAGGCCAGTAATTGGTAACCTCTTTCCAGTTTTGGCAGAGAACACGAGCTGTTGACTAGTGTATTATGTTCATCCATCCTTGGCTGGAAACCCCCTAGAAATGACAAAAAGGAACAGGGCATGGACCTGGACAGGGATGTCGAACTCCTTTTTCTGCTTCTCGCCGTCAATAAACCAAAACGTCCTCGTGGCAGATTAGTTGGTAAAAAAGCTTTCTGTTAAAGTGTGATTCGGGCAGACATGCCTGTCATAGACACGGGCTCTTCCAAGTTGACACGGACCATACTTTCCTCCGTTGATACCCAGATTATAGTCCAACTCAACAGCCGCCGCCGAAAATCCGCAAATCGTTATGAAAATGTGACGCAGGAAGAGTCTCCTGATCATGCACCTGCCTGTGCGTGGCGTATATGCTGAGCTATGTATGGGGGAGCATCGCCGATCACAGACGAACAAGCGAGGCCTTCGCAAAAGGGGCATCTAATGACCGTACTAATTTCAACCACGGCTGCCATAGGCCGTTCCTGTCCCACTTTTCAGAATTGGTCTTCCTTCAGGGGTGGTCAGTGGATAGGAAGATCCGCGCACACCCGATGGCTTTTTTTGCCCCTACGAGCAGGAAACCATCCCTGTAAGAGCGGACTGCTATCGGATTTAGTAGACCACCGCGGACCCAGTCAAGCTTGGCGATCAACGAGGCGAACAGACGCGTGTCCGGTGTGCGGCTGCTTCCAAGTTTAAGGGTGCAACGACTCTCATTCGAGGGCCAGTCTCCACTAGCCCAGCTAGCATCCCTCATAGGAAGTTCGGTCATAAGTTGCGAGAAATCATGATCCGAGGTGAAGCTACGAGTGCAGATCTTACGGCTCGCATCGGTCACAAATCGCTCTGCCCCCCGGATAGCGAGGAAATGAAACAGGGTAGCCCGTGCCTCACTCAAGATTGAGCCTCTTAATCCTGGTCATGCTCCTTGGGACCATGCTTATAATAAGGTAATTTAACGAGGCCATACATTTCAGCACCAAGGATACAGTCGTCGGGCAGCCTCTTGCTTGGGAGTACTCCTCTCAAGGCCGCGGAAATGTTGTCCTTTTCCATTTGTCATTGCTAATAGTTAATCTCGATTGTGGCTCGACTTGCTTAGCGTGTGATTCGGCTTCATGGGTGGAGCGCGGCAAGAGTCTCGATCTCCCAGGTCGTGCGGGCTAACGGCAAGGGGCGTAGGAAAGTTTAATGATTCGTGCGAAAGCGAACAGGGGATAATGCCACCAACGCAATGCTGTAATCCCCTCTCCCCTCCTCTCTCCCCTCAAAAAAAAAAAAAAAATAAAAAAAAAAAAAAAGCCAGTGGGACGCATAATGGCATTTTTAATGACTCGCTGGAGAACAACAAAAATTATCATGAGCGGCTAATGTGTGCACAATACGGCCTATATTTCTCTTATCCTGACAACAAATAAATGCCAATGCCATCTCGTGCCCCGGGTGCTTGAAGGATCAGCATGTCGATAGCCGACGCGGCCCATTTTACCGCGCGCCAGATTGAGCGAACTGCAACAATATCACACATTTGAGAGGTCAAGGTTGTAGGAACACGTTTGAATATCAATGATACATTCAATGAATTTGACATATGAAGTCGCCGGAATTTTCCAACTCCAATGCATCTCAAGGAAAACAAAAGACGCACAACGCCTAGATAGAATGGTACCCAAATGCCATGCTAATCTAATGTACGCAAAATCACAAAAGGGCGCAAACTATGTGTGAAACCAACAGTAATTCATTTAAACGGAAAGGCCACCCGATGGTTCTGCCCAACAAATCCACATGATAGAGGAACATGCAAGGTTGGGAAGTGAGTTCGCAGTTGTAAGTTATGGAAAGCGCTATCGTCATCGACGTAAAAGCTGCGCATCTAGCTTTGTTGGAAAGTCCCTTCTTAGCGTTTATCTGAATGACCGTTCGCTCTTGGACGAGCGATCTTGTAGTTGCCAAAAGGGCTGCAAAGAAGTCGGGGTCTGTTGAACGGTCTCGACCTGCCTTGAAGTATCGCTAGCAGTACTGGGACCTTCACAATCTGATGCGATGTGTCTGTGAATAGAAGTGTCAGTACGTGTACAACTAGTAGAGTAGGAACTGCCATACCTGGTTAAAGTATCCGAACGGCTATAACGCTTGCCGCATCTTTCACAAGGAAACCTTTTGATGCCCCTATGAATCTTCGGCCTCAATTAGCGCCTGCTGCTCGGGGAGTCTAAGACTTCACTCACACTATCCGTATGCCTTCGGAGGTCTGCGCCTCTGCGGAATGATCCACCACATGTATCGCATGTAAACATTTTCTTGAACTTAGGATCATGCCTCTTCTGATGTTCCCGGCAGTTAGATTTCCTGGTGAACTTGGCACCGCATACGGGACACCTGAGCCCTAACTCAATCTCAGATGGTTTATCAGCGGGCGATGAGACCCGAGTCCTCTGGTTGGAGTTTGAGGGACTGCTGACAGCGTTGTCTGCTGCTGCGCCTTGTGGCTCGTTAACCATTTGTCTCGGATCAATCTCCTCCACCAGCGTTGTAGGGGAGAAGGAGGAAGTTGCGGCTGACGACATCGATGCGGGGGCAGGGATGAGCCTATCGGCGAACACATCTCGACACCAGTGGCTCTTTGCTTCATCATCTGCAGCAACAATCTCGTTGGGTGTCGTGGTTCGAGAGCATGGGGTCGTCGCCCAAAGGCCAGAAGGCTGGCTCGAGAACGGTTCCTGGCTGGAGGGAAACTCCAATGCGGAATTGTAACTTGGAGATGCACTCAGCGTCTGAGCACTGTAAAGGCTAATGGGGGAATTGGAGGTGGTTGAACAGCTATTGTAGACTTCACGAAACGGATGGTTTGAGATATCCAAGGGAAAGCTGTAGAAGAGTGCGTCACTGGATACCAGTTGGTTGTGCAAAGGCGGCGCCGCCGAGTAGTGTCCTGATGGAGTCCCAGCCCTCAGGTGGTTGAAAGATGTTTCTATCCCACCTGTAGAAATGCCTAGACCAATCCCCTGCGTAAGGCTTTCCCTTTGAGATGCTGCTGTAGAAACAGGCGAAGAGAATGGCGGCGTCATCTCGATGGGCTGTGTACCTTCGGACAATGCAGGCCCTCGAGAGGAGGATTGTTGGAATGAGCCTCGAGTCCGACCCATATTGTAGTGTCAACAGCCACAGTGCAACAAAAAAAAGATAATAGAATGTATCCAACAGACCAGTGAGACTAGGTATCTTAAAGAGAGAACAAGCGAGGTAGCGACAGTATGAAGTATATATAACAAAACGAGTCAACAGCCGCGCTGTTGGTGAATGATGGCGGCGCACATGGACAGCGGCTGAGAAGAGAGTAAACTGTGAATGGGGCATGGAATCATTGGTGAAGAATGCTTGTTGCATCGACACCGACTCAATGTGAAGAATCGACAGCTAAACGCCTTGACAGCCAAGGCAGATTCGACAGAACGAGGTCTGAGAATGCGGTGGAAGGGGAAAAAGCAGGGTGGGGGGCTCAACGGCCGGGAGTAACCCGGACCAGATCGAGAACAGCCTTAGTCTGCAAGTCTGCACCCAAGCACCAGAAATTTAGCGCCGAAGAAAGGCAATCGACACTGCCATGACGGGAAGAAACCGGAAGATTATCCTCTCTACGACGTAAGATCCCTCGGGCAAGTGACAGAACAGCACAATGCTGACTGGACAGGACACAAGAAAAAAGACCAAGGGGGCCACAAGAATGACCGGGGGGAAGAGGCGCTGCACATGGACTCACCATGGCGGCGGCTGCTAGGTTTATGGCACTAGAAATGGCCATCCCACCCTCTAATCACCGCTAGGCTGGTGCGCCCAGCAGCGCTGTGTCCCATGCATGCAACGTAGCCACACAGAGGCATGGAAATCGCCCAATGACCTGGTGGTTGGCTTGATTTGCGCAGCTAGCTATCGGTCACTGGTCAGTCACACAGCCGCAGCAGCAGCCCCTAGGGAGGGGGAGATGGGTCTCTGTCGCCTGCTCTATAGAGCCTGAAGAGCGTGAGGACGTAGTGGACGATCATCATAGTACCCCCGAACAGGCAGGAACCGTGACCCTAGCGCTATGCGGGCCACGGAAGGGTCAAGTGTGTTCGGCTTCATGTACACCATACGGAGTAGCTTCCGCACGGACTCCACACTCCAGTGCCTCCATCATACATTGCTGACCTGACGCGAATCTGTTTCTACTCCATGGCAGGGTGTGGAGATGGGAGTTAGACCTATCGTGGACGTAGCTAGAATGAGGCAGGGCAATGGCCCCCATGAAAATGCACCCCCTGGTCCCTTAGGGTATCCACGATATGGTTGGTGACGACAAGCATCTCGAACGATTCTCAAGGTGTCAAGGCCGGTGGCGCCGCTAATCCCCACCGATAGGGGCTAGGACATGCCCGGCTTGCAGGGGGGGTGCGTGCCCCTAGGCGCGAACGCGGTGGCCCCTCTGCCGCGTTTCGACTCCAGATCTTCACCCTGTTCGGCCCCATATGCCCTGCGGAGTACAGAACGGACCATAGAATCGGATTACTCAGCGGCGGCGTTGCACCCCAACTGTTGCTGCTACGCGCTCCACTTGGGCACGCAGCCGTTCCACCTCGTCGATCATGTCTTCAACTTGACCAGCTCGTTCGGCTCGCCCTGGTTCATGCACTCCCGCGTGCTGATCCAGGCTCGTTTTGGCCTTACCAGGGCCTAGGCAATGTGTATCCGCTACGGAAGGATGCAGTGGGTCCTGGCACCGGGAGGGACTAGATTCGATGACAGAAGTACGACGGCCGAGATCTCGTGCGGCGAGCATCGGAGGCAATTGACAAGTAGGCCGCCGATGCGCATGCCGTCGGGTCTTCTCATAGATCCAGATCAATGCGACAAATGGTAGGTGGGTTGCACGGAGCAAGACGATGCGTACGCGGCGAACGGACCCCGCAGACAGGAAGAGCCGCATGGGACGAATACACAGGAGAGGGATCAGATTCTGGAACAGGGGTAAGCACGGACTTCCAGAAGTGAGGGGAGTAGTTCTATGCAAGAACTGGGCGCAAACGGACCAGCGGTGGCATGAAGTAGGTTAGCCGTCGAGAATTGCTGCTTTCCAGAACATAGATTGACAATCTGGACAACGGCGTGTCAGCTGGAGAACTATTCACCGAGAATTTCTGCTACTAACTGGAAAAGATATTCATCGCGGGCATGAAGCATCACCTAAAACAGGGTCAATTCGACGAATACCATGGGTCGGCACAGCAAAACCTACTCCTTCCAGGCTCATGCTCATCAAACTGATCAGCGATGAAATCAACAGAAGATTTGTCATAGACACAAAAATCAGCCTGCAGTTAGTTGGTTTCTCGTCAGCCTCTAGAATCATTAAGCGCCTGTAGAATGCTCATAGCCTTCAGGCGGTGCCGCGTCTGCGTGGAAGTTTGGCTGGAAATCCCGTATGCCCACGCCCGGCCAAGTGACAAAAACCACACCATCGCTGCGGTCTAGCGTCACTCGGGTAATAAAACGTGATCACAAGTATCTGCGAGCTTAACATTTGCTTCGCCATCCTGTGGTGCAAGGGAAAACGGTAAGGAAAAAGGGAACACCAACATTAACCCGTATCCGAAGATCGGGGAGATCTAAATCACTAGCGCGTCAGTCAACTAAACGCGATAGCCAACCATTTTGCCAATCCTCGGGCCGACTTCACTTTGGGCTGCAGCATAGCCGCTACTCACATCATGCGCGATGTCCTGTCATCCAATCAATTCAGCCACCGTCAGTGTAGAACGAAGAGTGCTTGAAGGTGCAACCACCCACAAATCCGAGAACGTTCGATCTGTATCGCGCGGTCAGCCACGATAGCGGTCGAGTGAGGGAATTTTCACCGCCATACCCGAAAAACACCTTCACCAAAATCCAGGACATTTGCCGGAGCGACAGGCGGTCACGGGCGAGCATGGTAAACGTAGTCAAGAACCCTGCAGGACTCCCCAGCCGGTCAGACATGCAAAACACGCTTCAGTCTACAGTGTGGCGAAGTCACTCCTACCGATATACAAGACTACCACCACAGGTAGAAATCTGAAAAAGGCTTTCGTCTGAGATGCGCGATCAAGTCAGCCTTGGGCTGCCACAAAGCGATGAGCTATATTACCATTTCTTTCAACACAGGGATCTATACACAGCCCCGGTCAGCAGAGAGGACTGCGGTCCCGCAGAAGAGTTTCACATACCAGGCTGCCGAAGTAAGAGTTCAAGCTCACAAGAGAGCAGATCCTGTTGGTTGCTTGCGTCAGATTCGATGGCAGATCGACCTCCAACAAGGACTTGGGTGAGTCATGCCTGGGAACGAGAAACAACGCTTCCAACGAAAGAATATCAAATGACAGGTCAGTGATGGAGTCGTCCTGTCTGCCTAGTCCGATGACCCCTGTAACGTGTTTTCCAGTTAAAAGAAGCCGAGGAAGCCAGGCAGCAGAAGGGGGAGTTTTGACTCACTGGCAATGACAAAGGCGCTACCGACAACTATGATGGCCAGGTTCCAGAGACTCCAGAAGTCCATCTGGTAAAAGAGAACCCCGGCATCAACAATACCGCTCAGTTCGTCGTAGGCGAACGCAACAATCCAAATATACATCAAAGTCTCGAAAATGCCAATTCCCGTCTGTTTTCTCTCTACTAGAACTGCATAGTAGAGGAAGAGAAAGGTGATGAAGAATGCAGCTTCAAACAATTTGCGGTAAACAGGCACTCTCAAGCGGGAGTAGGGATCGGCCGTTCTACGGAATGGAGGGGAGACTGTTAGCATTTAACATTGCAGACTAGGTTCCAACTCACCTCTCGTTGAATAGTTGTGGTTTCTTCTTGGAATGGACTGTCAGGGAGTCCCAAAAGACGATTTCCCCTCGCCAGATATCATCCACCACTCGCTGAACAACTCTTTGGCTCAGAAATTTCTTGGCATGGGCGATTGTTGCGATCTCCAGTGCATTCAGTCCGAAAAACTGAGAATATTTCTGAGCGAGGCAGATCTCTTGATAGGTCTGGGTGCCCTGGTGGCTTTGGGTGGATGGACTTCCTGTGCCAACTTTTCCAGACAATAGTCGATAAAGAGAAGATGATGAGTTCAACAGGAGAGGGGTTGTCTCATCCTCCGTCTCTCGCATCTCCCCTCGATCGGAGGCAAAGTCAGAAGCTCCTCTCTCGGCCTCAACGAGGTTTGCCGAGTTCCGTCGCGGGATTGGAAGTTCCTCGAGCAAAAACTCGATGGTTTCACGCTGGTTTAAATGGCACAAGAATTGCCAGGCAACGAACTCGCAGGCATGTCCTCGACTTTCGTTCATCCCCCAGTCATCATCGGTGGAGTTGATGAATTCCCACTTCAAGATCCTGTGGTAATCATGTCAATGCAGTTACGTTCAATTGGGGTGTCGGACTTACATCAAAGTGACAATTATCAAGGGATTATGACTGTCCTCAGCCAATGTATGGACCAACTGTCTCAGACGGTGGCCGCGGGACCCATGCCTCATCTGCTCGAAAGAGTAGGCTGTGTCGCTGACCGCCGTGCTTATGAAGCTACAAGTTGCTTCCAGATTAGAATCTTCATGGTGAATGCAGAAGATGGATGAATTACTTGGACAGTTTCTGGAGCACATCGAAAAGCGGTTCATTAGTGTCGATGATGGGAATCTCGACGTGGTCCATCGTGTCTGTGTCCATAGTGGAAAAAAGCACGGTGATTTCAGCCGCTACCCCGCCGAGGAGTGATGGTTCCAAAATGCTCACAGAACGAGAGCAAAAAGGGAAGCAATAGTCCAATCCTGTATTCCCAGGGGCGGCGTACAGAGTGATCGGAGTAGGTGTCGTGTTTTGAAGTCCAGACCCTTGCTGCTCGGTCAACAGGGTACCTATAGAGCCCGGCTGGGTACTTGTTACGTCATTGGGTGGGTTAAAGAAACATAGGTCAGGCAGTAGTGTGTATTGCTGTATGAAAATAAATCTTCCCCTGATCGATCTTCCGATCCGACCGTGATAGAGAGTGTCCAAGTGCAAGTCCAAGTGCAAGAGCCAGTCTCGTGTTGATGTCAACTCGCCTGAGGCTGACCGCCTTCCCATCACGTGGCTCTGTTCACCACGCGTCAAGTGACTTGGTGCTTCCCTTCCATCTCTGGTTTCATCTGGTTCATCGTTTGCAATCGCGAGTGGCTGCTGCAGCTCCCTTGATCTTCCCCAAGGACTGTTGGGCTGGATGATCGCGGCTTTTCCAACGCCCCAGGAGATGCTGTTCCTCCATCACCATGGGACAAGGCTACTCCCTCACAACCCTCTCCGCAGGGTCCGCGGGGATCGATGTCCCTGAGCTGTCAGATCTGGTGTATGAGAAGTCGATGGGTGGCGGACGTTTTATGAAAAGTATTCGTGCGAGGCAGCAAAATGGCATGGTCTTCGTCAAGGTGATCATGAAACCGTACCCGACCATGAAATTGGAGCCATATGTGAAGGCCATTATCCGTGCGTTCTGGTTCTGCTCCGTCGGGTAATTCACGGACTCATATTTTCATGTAGGGGAACGCAAGATTCTGGCGGATGTGCCGAATGCGCTGAGCTATCATCGGGTTCTGGAAACCAGCACGAGCGGGTATCTAGTTCGCCAGTACATTTATAGCTCGCTCTATGATCGAATGAGGTATGCAGTGCCCCATCTGTGCCTGTAACAGCGAAATCTGACCGGTACAATAGCATTCGACCATTTCTGGAAGACATTGAAAAGAAGTGGATTGCATTTCAGCTGCTCTGTGCGTTGCGGGACTGCCATTCGCTAGATGTCTTCCATGGCGACATCAAAACAGAAAACGTCTTGGTCACTTCGTGGAACTGGCTGTATCTCTCCGACTTTTCCTCGTCATTCAAGCCAACTTTCCTTCCAGAGGATAATCCTGCAGACTTTTCCTTTTATTTCGATATCTCTGGGAGACGCACTTGCTATCTGGCTCCCGAGCGCTTCCTTGTGGCCGGGGAGGAACCGGGGAGCCGACATGTCAACTGGGCAATGGACATTTTCAGCGCTGGCTGTGTCATTGCCGAGCTCTTTTGGAATCGCCCATATTCACACTGAGCCAAATCTACAAGTATCGAAAGGGCGAGTACAGTCCGGAGCACAGCCAGCTGGCTAAGATCGAGGATCCGGAAATCAGAGAGCTGATTCTTCATATGATTCAACTGGAACCCGAATCACGGTACTCTGCAGAGGAGTATCTGAATTTCTGGAAGGACAAAGCTTTTCCGGAATATTTCTACAGCTTTCTCCATCAATACATGTCGCTCATGACTGATCCATCCTCGGGCAGAACGATCGTGGATGCGGAATCAGCCAACCGAGGAGAATCCGATGATCGGATAGAGCGGGTCTACCTGGATTTTGATAAGATATCCTACTTTCTCGGTCCTACATCTCGAAATGCTTCTGATAAAAGCGCTCGGCCTACATCCAATTTAGCAGGCCATGCTCTTCCCGTGAAACTTGACCTACCAAGCGGTGGGAACCCGGCCTCGGGATCCCCATCACAATCGGATGAAGGCGTTCTGATCTTCCTGACCCTTGTGGTCTCCAACCTACGGAATACCGCCAAAGCATCGGCCCGCATCAAAGCTTGTGATATTCTCCTGGCCTTTGCCGAGAGGCTCTCAGATGACGCCAAGCTGGACCGCGTTCTCCCCTACATCATGCTCCTTTTAACCGATCGCACAGACGCTGTCAAAGTCGCTGCCATCCGAACCTTGACACAGTTGCTGGAGATGGTGCACGTAGTATCCCCAGTGAATGCCTACTTGTTCTCCGAGTACATTTTCCCGAGACTGCAGCCATTTGTTGCCTCCGCCAACAGCAATCCAAGTACCATGGTCCGTGCTGCATACGCCTCTTGCATTGCATCTTTAGCACAATCCTCGCTGAGATTTTTGGATATGATTCAAGCGCTGCGTTCTGATACTCGCCTGGCGTCACTAATACCAGTCGGTTTTCAGCCTCGCTGGACCGAGGATGCCACATATCATAATCTGTACGATGTGGCAAGGATCGACCTTTTGGATTACTTTGAGGTTCACACAAAAGCGCTGTTGACGGATTCGGATGCATCCGTCCGCCGGGCCTTCCTGGGCTCGGTATCCAGCCTCTGCGTGTTTTTCGGTAATCCAAGAGCGAACGATGTCATTCTCAGCCACTTGAACACATATCTCAATGACCGGGACTGGATTTTGAAATGTGCCTTCTTTGAAGCCGTCGTTGGAGTTGCAGCGTATGTGGGAAGCACCAGTTTGGAGCAATACATCCTACCCCTGATGGTTCAATCTATGACGGAGCCCGAAGAATTTGTCGTGGAAAGAGTGATTCGCTCTCTGGCGGCCATGGCAGACTTAGGCCTGTTTCAGCGGCCAACGACATGGGATCTGCTTTACATCACCACTGGATTTCTTGTTCACCCAAACATTTGGATCCGCGAGGCAGCCGTGAACTTCGTAGTCAGCTCGACCAAATTTTTGTCGGTGGCTGACATTTACTCGATCTTGACGCCTCTCGTGCGGCCTTTCCTCAGAATTAGAATCATGGAATTTACGGAGTCCGACATTCTCGATGCGCTGAAGCCACCGATGGCGAGAAATATCTACGACATGGCTCTCGTCTGGGCGTCCAAATCCGATAAAGGTGTGTTCTGGAAATCCACCAGCCGTGAGGGCACTTTCAGTCTCTCCGAGCCTGGGTCTTACAACTCTCGCGCCGGACAACGAGGCTCTTCATTTAAATTGAGTTCGCAAGCGAGGAACGAGGAAGACGAACAATGGCTGTCTCGGCTACGAAATCTGGGGGTGGGCCCCGATGACGAGTACAAGCTGCTCGCTTTGAAAGACTATCTTTGGAGAGTAGCTATGCGACAACCCAGAGATGTGGACAACAGTTTGATCTCACAACTGAACAATATAATCAAATTGACTCATTATGGGGTCACCCCTCAGACGGTCTTCTTTGACAAGAATCAAAATGTCAAGCCGCGGAGGGCTTCTGTCAGCAGGATTGAAAGCCCTACCGTCGATGAGCAAAGGCCCAAAACCATTGCAGACGCGCTGCTTGATGCCTCTACAACGATTGAGAGAACACCGAGTGCTCATCGCAAGCATTTGCGATCGAAGAGCCACCGCCACAAAGAAACAGGGTCCGCCCCTCGACCAACTGCTCTAGAAAATCTCACCACCGATTCCTCCCCATCATCTTCCCCGACAGCATCGTCACCCGCTGCCGGACCAGAGTCCCGTCCCTTGTCACCCCCAGGCTCAGATGTCGATCGAAAACTTTCTAGTCGCCAGCCGAGCTTCGAGCAAGAAGGCTCATCAACACCCACCGAAGCAGAGAATCCTGCGCTCAGAATCCTGTCTGGGCAGGTGCAGCGAAAATCCAGTGCGATCAGCCTGCTGAACCGCAAGGAAACGGCCAAAGCCTACGCAGAAACAAGCACCAGTTCAGCAAATGCATTCGGAAAAGTGGACGCTCCACTCCAGAGAGGAGGGACTCCTCAGCCATCGGCCCTCGCACTTTCATACGACCGGAAACCCCTCGAACCAGCGGCCCGGGAATACCATGCCAACCACTCATACGGAGGCGATGACCCAGTTGTTCTACGGCTGCTGGACAATGTGTTTGCGGAGAATTACCCTACGGACTTCTTTGATTTGGGTCCATATGTCAAGGAGGTGGATTCTCGACGGCCAATTCGCAAAGTTAACGCGCAAGATTCCAGCAAAGTTTGGAAACCCGAAGGGAATCTGGTGGCCATTTTTGGCGAGCACAGTGGCCCCGTGAACCGCGTCGCTGTCGCACCAGACCATTCTTTCTTTGTCACTGCTTCAGATGACGGTTCGGTAAAGATCTGGGACACAGCCCGCCTCGAACGCAACCTGACGCCTCGGTCCCGCCAAACCCATAGACATGGGCCAGGTGCGCGCGTAAAAGCGCTGACTTTTGTTGAAAACACGCACACTTTCATTAGCGGCGCCACTGACGGCAGCATTCACGCTGTCAGAGTCGAGTATCACAATGTCAATGACACCGTTCGATACGGCAAGCTTCAGCTTGTTAGAGAATATCAACTACCCACTGCGGACGACGGGACTGTCGAGTATCCGATTTGGCTGGAACATTTCCGCTCTGACGCTCAGTCCACCCTGCTGATCGCGACCAATACTTGCCGTATCCTTGCGTTGGATATGAAGACCATGCTACCCGTTTATTCACTGGAGAACCCCGTCCATCACGGAACCCCCACCGCCTTCTGCTGTGACCGTAAGCACAACTGGCTGCTGGTGGGCACCACTCACGGGATTCTCGATCTGTGGGATCTCCGCTTCCGCGTGCGGTTGAAGGCATGGGGTCTACCGGGTTGGGGCGCGATTCACCGACTGCAAGTCCATCCCACCAAGGGTCGAGGCCGTTGGGTTTGCGTATCCGGGAGTGGCAATCATGGAAATGAGATTACCGTTTGGGATATTGAAAAGGTCCGCTGCCGTGAGGTCTACCAGGCGACTCCTATGGGCCCCAGTAATGGCACCCCTAATGGCGGGCACCAACCCGCGCGAGCCACTACTTCGAGCCTTCGGGACTACGAGGCCTGGCGAGTCGACGGGGATCGGCCAGAAGGGATGCTCAGTCGCTTTGCCACCACCAGTCCCGCAGGAATGGATGCCGGAGGACCTGCATCTGGTGGCAGCGGGGCTACATCGTCACCCACGAGCCTGGCGGCTGATCGACTTGGGATCTGGGCCTTTGCTGTCGGGTTTGACTCCCTCGATGACGGGAAGGATAACAGCACGAGATGCGGGTTCATGGTGTCGGCTGGCTGCGACCGCAAGATCCGGTTCTGGGACCTCGCGCGACCCGAGCTGTCCTCTCTTGTCAGCGGCCTTGACGTGGTATCGGACAGCGGCGCGACCGGGAAACCGCGCTACGACCTGTCGCAGCCCAATCCCAATCTCCTGGTGACCACCGAGCACCTTCCCAGCGCGTCGAGCAGCGCAGCTTCAGGCTCGCGGAAGGGAGCCAGTGGCCGGCCGCCTCGTAGCACGGTGATTAGTCTTCAGCAGCAGATGCTGCTGAAGAGCCATTTGGATATCATCCAGGACGTCGCGGTATTGCGGGTGCCATACGGCATGATTGTGAGCATGGACCGAGCAGGGATGGTCTATGTGTTTCAGTGAATGACTAGCCTGTTGATAATTGACAATCTATTCTTCTACCACCGCTTGTATTAACCCCTATTATTGTTCAGTGGTGTTCCAAAAGTCAGAAGCTAGTTACCCACCTAGGCGGTAGGTAGAGAGAGTTTCAGGCTTTTGGAACACCACTGTGAGTACCCTCGACAGGGTCTTCCAATGTATCGATGGTACATTGACCCCTCGTACAAAACACAAGTCGCTTCAATGTTCCGATTTAATCTCACAGATCATCGCATCGTACATGCAAAACACTGTGGCCCACACACTTCACGTCAGGAGACTCGCACTCCTCGCCGCAGGCATCATTGATGATATATTTTTGCCGAATTTGTATTTCCCGGGGCGTTTAAGCAGCGGCGAGTTGAGAATCAATTAAGAATGTGCAAAGAGAGACGATGTATATGCACCTCCATTTTTGAAATTGAACGTGAACAGTCCACCGCCTGAAGGTCGCCCGCGGGTCCCCCAAGGCCTAGCAATTCATTCAAGGACGTCTTTTACTATGATAGATAATTTGTATTTAGTATGTAGACTAATGATATTACTGTGTAGAGGATTAACTAACGAGAGCTGCGACTATACTCAGCGACACATACACCATTCTTTTGGATCTCCAACACCATCCAAATAACCTAAGCAGGACCAACATGTACGACGGCTTGGGCTGAAAGTCGACGACAGAGATTGCACATATCTCGTACCACGGACCTCAGGTTCTCCCAAACTCGATTCAGACCTTTTTACACTCCCCAAAAGGCCCTCACCTCCGTTGAAGTTTCGCGAGCATTGTTTTAATTCGTCCATTCCAGCTTGCTTTTGACAGTGTTTGCACTTAGCCATGCTTTCCAAAGCCGTGCATATTTGGGGAAGTTCCCTAGTGGATGGAATAATTTCGATTGGCGGTTTCACTTTCACCTTCATCGGTTTGAATACCCCAGTAGGTGGGGGTGATACACAAAAGACTTTGCGCAAAAGCTCTTTTTCTTCTGATGTTGGTATTCTGGGTGAGATATGAATTATCCGTTGGAGCCCTGTGCATGTGGCTCTAAGATAGACAACACTAGGGTAGTCCAGGAATTTGGTGATATGGTTTAGTATAGACGAGCCGAGTGTCCAAATCGTGGGGTTTTCCCATCGGTAGATGGAAGGAACTTGGCGCTTATTTGCGCCGGTAGATTCTCGTCCATATAGCCCATACGTTCGAGTATATGGCTTGGGAATATCACTCGCTGGACTCGCAGCAGTCAATAGGCTTGGTGCAACCGATTGGTCTGGAACTGGCGCGAGGTGTGAAAGGACAGCAGAATCCTGTTCCTGCGCTTCTGATGAATTTGGATCCTTAGATGGCGTTGAAGCTGTAGTTTGCTGTTGTTCTGGCGTCTTTTTAGATTTCCACAATCCCCGAATTTTATCTTGAACTTTGTTAGTGCCTGTGGTTTCTCGTCTATGTAGACCAGTATCATTCATTGGACTCGCAGAAGTCGAAGGGCTTGGGGAAAACGATTGGTCTGGAACCGACGGAGGGTGTGAAAGTACAACAAGATCCTGTTCCTGTGCTTCTGATGGATTTTGGTCTTTGGATGGCGTTGAAGCTGTGGTTTGCTGTTGTTCGGGCGTCTGTTTAGATTTCCATAGTCCCCGAAATTTGCCTTTTTTGGGCTTGAGACGTTCTAGCCTTTTGGCCAAATCCATTGGTTTTGGAGTTCAAGATATGAAAAGAATATCAAAACGAGTAATTAATAAGATTCTGGGATTTTCCTGCTGCCACTCGCTGATATTCTAGGTCAGCTATCTGAAAGCTTGTTTTGTGGCAGGGGGAAAGAATTTAAACTCCACGGTTGAAGCCGACCCCGTAGACCCACCTTTGTTTGACCGATGTAAGGTTGTTTTACCCACTGCACGAACCTAATGGCAGTAGAGCAAATGAGCAGAAACCGGAGGAAACGGTTTTTGCAAGTTCATCCCATACGTCAGTTCTGAAACTGGGATGATGCTAAGGTCGGGTAAGAAGCCTCGGCACCTAGGTAAATGGTACACCGCTACAACAGTCCAAGTGTGAAGATATAAAGTACCAGTGGAAGTGACAGTGGAAGGGGAAGCGCTCAAAACAGAGGCAAAATGCAGCGGGTATTCTTCCCTGTTATTAATATACGCATGCGATTGCTCGGCAAAGCCAGGGTTCCTCCGGGCCTGTCTGTTCAACCATCTTGGCTCGGGACCCTCTTGGCGTATTTGTTGCTATTTGCGACTATATCGCATTTTTGCTCCGCTGTGCAAGGGTTATCCACGAATCAATATGCCGTATTGGTCCGTCTGTGGCTGTGCACTCGTATCGACGCTCGCCTATTCCTTGAGGGGCTTATTCTCAGCGAGTGTTGGTGGTGCGGTCAGACTATCACTGTGCGCCTTCCAACCCAAAGAAACGTTCTAAGAGTTATCCTGGAGGTATTATTTTATAGTAAGATTTTGGCACGAAGCTCACTCAGATATCAACTATTCAACGCGGAGTTCCGGATTCCTGCACCCCTACGGCACTTCTTTTCCCAGAGCATCTTCCTCTTGCGCATCAAAATCTATCGGAGTGGACGCATAATAATCCCCGGAGTGGTCAAAGCCAATACGATATTAAAAGGAATTATCTGACAGAGCAAAAAGAAAATCTCGCATAGCAACTAAATCCATTTATGTCACGGGTAATCAAGCAGCCAAGCTACTAGTCCCGAGGGATTCGAGTGTCTGTGGCTCGCCTAATTTAGTTAACTTATCTTTCAGACTAACTATTAATTAATGCTGGTAAAAGGACCGAATCTAGGGTATTCGCCAAGCCGCTAAGCTTCATTTTTATTCTTGTGTCTTGTGATCTGTGATTTGGAGTCTGCAATATCTCCGGCGCCATCTGTTGATATACTTTTGCACTGACCTAGCATGGGGCTAACAAACTTATCCGTTTTAGAAGGCTATCTTCCACTCAGCTGTGGGCAAGACTTAGAAAGGCTTAAGGGTCTATAACGAAAGCGAACGAAATATAGATGTTAAGATGTACACGACGGGCTGAATATCTCACCAGTCCAAATATATAAAAGCTGCCTGGTCGCAACAGAACTGATTCCTCGCTCGACGTATAGTTCACCAAACCCATTAAATTGCTCAATCTTCCAAATTTTAACATCAATATCACATCAAAGAGACAGCACCATGTGCCTTTTTTTCTTCCTTTCCTCTTGAAAAAGCACAACAAGTCAAAGCGTGAGCAAGCGGACGCCGAATATGAGCGAGCACCACACCCAGTTGGGGCTGAAAAAGCGAACCAGACATCAGTGCCATACTACCATGATGTCGGCCAAATTGGGTCAGTGACGAAGCCCTCCTAATAAAAAGGAAGAAAGAAGCCGATATGAGTACTAGTCTCTGTGCCTTGTGTGAGCAATAATACTTATTTTTTCCTGGTAGGGCGGGCATATAGGACGTGAAGATTTGCGCGGGATATAGCAGTACTTGGAAATATCTGAATGGATGGAGGTTTTTGTTCGGAAATTCGTGCCTGGATTATATTATTGGGATTTCTGTCTTGTAATAGCATCATGAATTATTCATGGTTCGGATTGATGTGTCTTTCTTGTCGGCTCCCCCGGAATTAAATCCAAGAAATGCCCTTCTTTCACAAACCGAGACATCACGAGCGCCTGTTGGATGCCCATGGTGTTTCCAATTGTACGAAGAGTTTGGAAGATCCAGTCTTTCATTCTAAGCGTTGACCCAGCATAGTCTGCCGCGATGAATAATGGCCAAAGCAGCCGGAATACACCCCCGAATCCCACCTCACCCGAAGTGAAATGGTATGGCACACTAGCGCAGATATCTTCCGCCATAATATTGTTGATCACGATGGACTGTAACATCGTCTGCTGGCTCTCGGGGAATTTCCTAGTTCCAGTGTGCGCATACACATCGATCTGATGATCCCATGGACAATAATGCGTGTTTGACGGTAGTTGTTCCACATCGAGGCGATGCCAACTGTGGGATATACGTGGTACCTGTCACTGTAAGTGGAATGGTATGTGTGATCTGGTGCCTCGATAATCTCATAGCGCCAAGTAGGGTCTGTGGAGAGGGCCCACGAGACAAGATCGGTGTCTAAATGGAGCGCCTTTCGGATGAAGAATGCCAGATCACCGATAGAATTTCTCTTGGTGCAAGTGTCCTCGATCTCAACGGAGAGGTCGCCCACCCGCACCAATATGTCAATAAAATCTTCAATTCCCTGAGATTTGCTGTCGCGGTAGGACTTCGCCGCTTTCGACAATTTGGCTATCTCGGGTGAGCTTTTGTTTCTGTAGAATATGTTGCTGATGGCCTGGAAGAAGTCGCACGTCAGAACAGTCAAAGAGAATTTACAAGATGCGTTACCTACGATCTGCATGCGAATCAATGTGAATAGCTCTAGTCCGGCTGGGGTTTCTAATTGTTTCATGCCCCGTAGCTCAAGAAGTGACATTGCCCCTTTGACATGGTTCAACCAGCGACCCATCATATTTGAGCTGCGGCATGTTATAACCTATTTTGATGATTAGAGCAGGCCATTCACTGATCGAGGAGTGTCCCTCACCTCATACATGCTAAGCAATACCACGGCCGCCAGGGTGGAGTCTGACTTGGCTAGAGTTGGGTCCTGCAGTGCGCTGTTAATAGTGAGCAAGGCTGCGCTGTATTCATGTCGGGCTGAGCACATCAAATCCTGCGACACGCGGACCCTGGACATGCTTGCCAGCCCTACAGCCTTAATCGAGGCTTGAAGGGCTGGGGAGGGGTCTTTTCCCAGCAGCCCTGGTAAATACGGAAGCAGACCCTGGCTTCGGCCGGTTCCAACGTAATATGTAAAGGTATACGACGTCGCCCGTTCGTCTATTGAACTCGGCATAGGTACTAAGCTCACTGGTATTTCCCGGTCTGCGAGAGACGGCGTCGGGGGTCTCGAGGCGACAGGATGCCGGGGTCGGGCCTTCACAACGACCTCCTCGCTCTGGTCAAGAATTCGCAGGACTGTGAGGTCTCGGTAACCGGAGCATTCCCGTTTTATTCGAAGGCATTGCGAGCATGATGGCAGACGCCGATCGCACTGTTTAGGTTAGCGATTTAATCTAAGGGGAATCCCTCATCGACATACCTTTAGACGCCGACCCCGACATGAGACACACCCTGCACTAGGCTTTCCTCTGTATACCATGGACCCAGAGTGTACAACGTGGATTCCGAAAGCGGTTATCAGTTCGGTCGGGCCTGACGAGCCTAAGACGCCCAGTGGTGGGGTGGCTCTGCATTTAAACAAGCAAAGGGCCGCGCAGTTAGATCGTCCGGCACAGCCTTTCAGTTAAAATGAAGTAAAGCCGCATTTGATTGGCGGAATCCTTCCTTATGCACTGGAAATGCCGAGCCCTAGTTTCACGCTTGGCTATCTTTGTCTCATATTGAGTTCAGCCCCCAGCCCAGCTGAATTCTGCCCAGCACTCTATGGCTCGAAGCGCTCGAAACCTGCTAAGACTTGTTGTGCGATCGACACCCTTAGTTATCCAGCCCGAAGAGTATTCCGAATTGGGCATGAGGCTTAGTTTTCTAAACAACCTTGATATGTACATGGGGATATGAAGATGAGTTGGTATAAGTTATCCTTCCTTTCCAGTCGAATGAACGAACTCCTAAATTCGCGAAATTTGAAAACATAGTCATCTCTTCCTTAGCTTCAATTACCCAGCATCTTCAACGAAGTTGAGAATTTCCTCAAATATACATCAGACTCGCCCATACTCTCCGCGATGAATGGGATTTTCCCCGCCGACCTTGCAGTCTATCTGCTCCTGACTCCAATCGTCATTTACATCTTCTTCTGTCATCGATGGACCGGGTTCTTGCCTTGGTACTACCTCACCGTTTTCTGCTTTGCTCGAATCATCGGTGGTGGACTAGGTATCCATGATAGCAACGGCCTAGCTGCCAACATCATCCAGAGTGTGGGTCTTACGCCATTAATTCTAGCCGTTGACGGATTGATTCATGAAGCGTATGTTCTGTATTTTCCTCCCTCCACCGGACTGACAGCTAACCGGGTTCTATCAGGCGAACGTATCGGAATCCATCACGCGGCCGTGTCCTCGGTTTATGCGTCGTCATTGGTACCACAGGCATCATGGCTGCTGCTCTGGCCCTCACAATTACGGGTTCCTTGGATGTTTTTGAAGGCAACCCGAAGCCTGACAGTCTGACGCACTGGAAAGCCGGTGTGGCTTTGATCGTCGTGGCCTGGGGTTTCCAGATCTTCTGGGCGCTGTTTTCCCTCCTGCACTTTCAGGGAAAGAAGGATGCTCCTGGATACCGAGGTGGAACTGCGGTGAGCATATTCATCTCCGCTCAAGATTCAGCTTGGTGACTAATGATGTCTCTCCCCAATAGCTCCTCCAGGGCGCCCTCGTCGCGCTTGTTTTTGTCGGAATCCGCGTTATCTACAACATAATAATGGTTGCTACTCAAGCCAAGGATCTCAGCCCAATCCACGGGACGATAGCAGTGCGCGTGGTCCTCTTATTCCTCCCGGAGGTGTTGGCGGCCGCAACGATGATCTTTGTGGGACTCCGGACCAGGCATATCCGGCAGAGTAAATAGATGAAGGCGTATATGTACTAGAAAGTACGGTCGAGCTGCCCGGCCTAGTGCTGCGGTGGTTTGGATAATTTGTGTTTTGTTTTACATATATTCTGTTCGGCTCCAACCGTGCTTCTTGCGATATCCGTGCTTTTGCCAGCTATATTCCACAATTTTAAGGGGGGTAAGGATAGATGGAACAAATTCCATCTACTAGTTGTAGGAGCTGATATATTCACCGCACAGAAGAGAGGGGGGGAGAGAGAGAATTCCATCTGTACTGTATGACCAACAAAGGCTGCGACCACCCGCAGCCCCTGCACAAGAATATATATCCGATGGAGACATACTTTCACTAATCAACCCCTCTCCCATCCCAGGGACAGTGACACCCCTCCATTATTATCACTCGACCTGTCATAAGCCCACAAGTTAACTGTCCTGAAACCACCAGCGGCACTTGGTTAATTGATGTATGTATCTCCCGACATGACACATCTCGTCCGTGAGGAGTTCACGGTTGTCCCCAGTACCGGTCTCGACTACGGGCCCGCCCGCGTCCCGTCAGGTACCAGGTACCCCGGTGGGTCCAGACGAAACGCCGGCGTAGAATCGGGGAGCGATCGACTGCCGCCAAGGAAGAATTAGGCCAGGAACTGAATTTGTGCCGTGTGTCCGCCCTGTGACCGTACGGTAACCGGCTGCGCACTGTTGCTGATCCTCGGGTGGGAGCTTGCTGAGCTCTTCGCCCTGAGCTCTCGCTTTGGTTCTGGTTGACGCGCACTTCTGGCCCCATGTAGCTCTTATCCGAAAGAAGGCCCAGGATTCGGTCCGGAGTGGTTCCAGATCGAAGCTATGGGCGTGCTACTGTGTTCCTATCGGTCATCCAGGATGCTGGCTCGTATTGCCGTGAGTGAGGGAGGGCAACTGGAACAGAGTTGGCCGCCACACCGGATGCAGCAGGAGCTCGGAGATTTAACTCTCCCCTTCATCGGAGCAACCGAAGACATCGCTCGAAGGGAACTCCTCATTAATATCAATGCCATCGATTCACTAATTATTATTCATCGAGAATAACCAATGCTGGGTACTAGCACCACAAGTTCGCGCGCTCAGGGGAACAAGAGGATCCCGGGCAGGGCTCCACCCCGGACTTCCAAATCATCACGATCGATCGGGGTCACAATGGATGGTCTGGCAGCATCTTCTGGGTATTCAATACCCTGTGATTCTGCGCAGCATCGGGGACAGCTATAGAATCATCCACAACGCATCGGTGGTACCTCCATCGGTTAAGCATCCCAGACCCATGGAAACAGGGATTCCCCCGTACCATCTCCGTAACTCCGGGGCCCATCAATTTCCTGCCCCTGCAAGTGCGTATTTTTCGGTGGAGAGCCCAAGTGGTTCGTTTCGCCTCGAACGAACCCCTTTAGCCTTAGCTTCGCTCCGGCTCCGGGTGGATTATGCATTTCTCCTATTCTCCCTCTCCTCTCCTCTCCTCTTCCCTATTCTTCTGTTCTCACCCTTTCCATTCGTTGTCAACCTCATTGTCACGACCGCGCTGTCCTGTGCGTGTCGGTATCTGCATGGACCGGGAATAGCTTCACCACGTCAACTTGGCACGTCCATTTCTGTGTTCTGATCGAGGGACTTTTCTATCCGACAGTCCATTCCATCCCGGCTCGCGCCTTTGAGTGACCTTCTATTCATTGCATCTATCTTTATATACATACACATCACCACCACTTCAATTGACCACCATGGGCCCGTCTCTGCGAGATCACGGCTCTTTTGTGCGGCCATCCACCCGCGATCGGCCCACCACCCGCGGCGAGGGAGAAAACTCGCTGGTCGTTCCCAGCCGCACCTCATCTTTGCACTCGCGCATCACCCAGCCCATTGCCTCGAGCCTCAACCTCAAGCCCACCCAGCGAACACCCAAAACCCTCACCCATGCCTACATGGTCTGTGGTGTGGGCCGAGAGCCCTCCCAGTGGGTGAAAGCACCGCCCCCGGCCCAGGGCAAGATCGGCCATATGAAGGGCGCCGTCGGCCAGTTCTGGCTGCCCGAGATCCTGGGCAGCAGTCCACGGTTAGAACAGGATAACGAGATTGCTCGATCCCTGCACTCGGCCATGCGGGCTTGTTTCCCGCACGATGTCGAGATCTGCACCGGCAAGAGCCAGCCGCACTGTGCCCATCACGCCTTTGTGCTGCAGCAGGACTCCTCGCACACTCTGTACGGTATTGCGCTGCGCGTCTGGTCCCGTGCGGATGAGAAACGCGCCGAGACCATTCGCGAGCTGCGCAAGAAGACCGAGTCGGACTTCTACGACAACCCGGACGAGACCTACTGGATCCCCTACTGCCTCAGCTTCCTGTCCCGCTATCCGCTCTACGACCTGCTGGGCGACTATCTCCGTGGCATGTGGATCCACTGGAACAAGGCCACCAACCTCTTCCATGCCGAGGAGGTGTCTCGGATCCTGAGCTTCCCTGCTCCGCGTCTCAACGACCTGGTTCGAATCGATATGAAAGACTATGCCCTGTGTTACCAGTTCCCCTCGTCACCTACCGGCTTCCAGAACTTTTCCATGTGGCCCCTATTTACTTGTCTGTCCATTCCGAACATTGTCGGTGTGGTCGAAGCCGCTGTCTCGCCCACGCGCCGCATCATCTTCGTCAGCCACTACCCAGCGATGCTGACGGCCGCGGCCGAAACCATCCGCTACTGCGTTCGTGTTTACGAGTGGAGCGGTTTGTACGTGCCCGTTGTGCATGCCCGCCACGTCAAGGAGCTCGTGCAGGAGCCCGGACCGTACATCCTGGGTGTCACCGCGGAGTGCCGGACGTTGTTCAATGCCCCGTCCGATGCTCTGGTGGTTGACCTCGACCGGAACTTCGTTCTCACCTCGAGCCCGCCCAACGTCCTGAGCCAGGGCCAGCGCACCAAGTTCATCGACCGGTTGACGCAGTCTCTGAACGGCGACGTTTCGCCTTCCGGAGTGCCGACGCACTTGCGGTCTGCCTACGCCGGTGGCAAGCTGATCCCTGCCGGTCAGATCATCGTGATGCGAGGCGAGGTCGAGAGCGTCCAGGAACCCAACTGGTGGAACCAGGATGCCGTTATGGGCGTTATGGACCACGTCTGCGAGAAGCTGGTAGGCGATCTTTTTCCAAAATTTCGACATGTAGAAGCTAACACGTCTCTAGGGACGCAACACCGGTATGAAGGCGATCTTTGGCGGCGCCGTCAAGAAGCCGTTGATGACCAAGGTCTCGATGCGCCACCTGAACGAGATCGTGCGCGAGCGGAACCAGTACTCACGCGATGCCATGGAGGCCTGGCAAGATTTCATCAATCTCAAGGGCCGCATGGACACCGAACTCAGCAAGGTCACCAAGCGCAACAACTTCCTTGTCGAGGAGCTGGAGACCTGGAAGCAGCAGTTCCTCAAGTTCCAGGCGTTTGCTGAGCAGCTCACCAAAGAGACCTCGGAACTCAAGGTCAAGATCGAGAACCACAAGCGCGAGAACCGCCGTCTCACTGGTCTCATCGACCAGCAGAAGGATGACGTGGCTCGGCTTACTCTGCGCCTATCTGGCACGGAGAAGCAGCGCGACGACGCTCTCGAGGCTCTCGTCCTCCAGCAGGAGATTGCCGAGGAGCTGGAACGCGAGCGCAAGCGCAACCAGAAGGAGATTTCTGCTCTGCAGCACACCAACTCCACCCTCTCCCGCCAGCGCGATGATGCCCAGCGTGTGGTCTTGCACCTGCGTAGCCTCATCAACGGCCAGAACCACCACATGGAGCACATTGTTCGCTCCATTGGTAGTACCTCGACAATTACTGAAATGGTCAACCAGGGCTACGAGGATTCCGCCGAAACCGAAGAATCAGAGGTGGCGGCGTCGAAGGAGACCACCAAGAAGGATGTCAATGGCAAACCCATGGTAAATGATATGAGTCCTGAGCTGGAGCAGCATCTGCTGAACCTCGGCAAGGACAAGAAGAGCCTTGCTCGCCTGAGCATCAACGATGTCGCAGACCTCTACCTGCGCGAGAAGACCGACGCCATTGCGGATATCATCCGCACCATCAGCGACCAGTGTGCTGCCGCCGTCGAGGGCCTGCACCTGGCCCAGGACGCCGAGGACGATGAGGAATCCGAGGATTCGGCCAAGGCCCGTCAGGATGGCGACCGCCTGGGCTCCGACTTCGAGGCGCAGGAGGGCCGCTCAACCCGTGCCGCCAGCGAGATGAGCGACAACACCGACACCAACTCGCTGCATCCTGATCGGAATTCCAGCATCCCACCCACACCGGATCTGGTACACAACCGCTCCAGCACTTCCATGTCCATGGTCAGCAACACGACTTTCCCTGAGCGCTCAAGCCAGCAGTACACCACTGGCGAGATCCCGACCCGGATCGTCGAGGACGACGATGAGCATGCCCACGAAACTGAGGGCCTGGACGACCAGGCCACCGAGACGGGCACTCTGTCCAAGCAGGCCAGCGAGGATCTCATGCGGCCCAACACTGCACGAGTGATTTCATGATCCAGTCAGCTTGGATGATGCAACGCTTGATCTGAGACCATGTTGTTCGTTCCCGGTTTTCCTTGCAGTCTCTCTTCCATCTCCCTCCCTTATTTTTTTCTTGTTCTCTGGCGTGGGTTGTTTTCTCTTTCGATTCGTCGTGTCGACTACTACTTTTGATACTCCCTTATATCCATCCGACCATTTATCTGTTTCCTTGTCCGTCTTTGTTAATTGATTGGTCTGCGTGTGCTTTTTCACTCTTACGGGATCTTGTCTCATATATTTGCTGTTTATTATCTGTTTGTCGTCGCCCTTCTGGAATGGGTTGTCGGCCAGCTTGTGTATTTACCTACCCGTTCATATCTCACGTCTTCAGCCTGGCTTCCTGCTGCAAGACTGAGAGAGCGATCCACTTTGCACCCACTCTCCTGCCTGCAGGCGAGGTTTCCTTGTTGTGTCTATCGTGTGCCCATGCATATTTCCCCTTCCGTCTGACCGTCTCTTGGTGGACTGGACTTGATTCGATGGCTCTATTGCAAAGCTGTCTCGGGAATCGTTGTACTTCAAAAATGAATTCTGTGCACATTTCTCCCTCAAGTTATTTTCACGAGTAGTTTCAAGCTTGAACACCCTGGATCAGTAGATTTGAGTATGCTATGTCGGGCACGCACTGTACAAATAGCCCACCAACGTACTTCCTATATACAGCTTGCTAAGTGCTCATGCCAGTTTACCCGGCACAACGGGGTGTCCAGCACTCAAGCCCCCACAGACAGCCCACGCCTGGCCATTGACGTAGCTACTCTCATCACTGCCCAAAAACAAAGCTACGCGAGCCACCTCGTCGGCAACAGCTCCCCGCTGAAGCGGGTTCAACTGGCCGATCTTGCGCTGCGTGCCGCGTGCCCGCGCCTGATCGAACACCGCCTGCGTCATCCCCGTCTCGGTCAATCCTGGACAGATGGCATTGATGCGGATGCCGGTACCGGCCAGCTGGTATGACACCGTCTGTGCGATCGATACCACCGCTGCTTTGGACGCAGAGTAGTCGGTCGACCCGGCGTTGGACCGCAGGCCGGCTACCGAGGCGGTGCAGATGATTGATCCACTGGGGTAGGGCTTTGCAGCCGAGGTGACTTTCATAGCTGGTGCCGCGTGTTTGGCAGCCAGGAAGGGTCTGCATGGGGATGTTAGATTGTTGGTTTCTTTTGTTTTTCTTTTGGACAACCGCCAACTTACCCCACCGTATTAGTTCGCAGGGTCTTGATGAACCCCTCGCCGTCAATCTCCGTAAAAACCTTCGGTTGTCCCACGATACCTGCATTGGCAAAGAAGACGTCCAGACGCCCGTACTTGGCCACCGCGTCGTCGATCACGGCCGTCACGGCCTTCTCATCGGCTGCATCAAACTGCCGCACATGCACGTCCACGCCAGGGTACAGCGACTCTATCTCCCGCTTGTGCGTGGCAAGATGAGAGTCGGCAAAGTCGCAGATGTACACTGCCTTGGCGCCGTTGTTGGCGAACTGGTGGGCACTAGCACGCCCGATGCCATTCGGCGAGTTTGCGCCTGGTTGCTGGTTAGAAACGAAACATTGAAGGTGCTGCAGACTCACCCGTGATAATCACCACCTTGCCCTTCGCTCGCCTGCGGGATACATGTTATTTATGAAGGGATCCTCGACACATTGGGGATTGCTTACGGTCCAGCCGAGTCTCCGGCTACATGGCGGATCTTGGGAATGCCCTCGAAGGTACCCTCGTCGGGAATACCCTCAATTAGCTGTTGGCTGAGTGCCTGAAGGCGCTGTTTTGCGACTGCGGAGGACATTGTGTATGTTTCCCGCAAAACCAAGGAGGAGAGATGCTCCTTATGTATAAGTTCAGCTTTCCCCCGGTTATCAGTTAATGCGGAGAGCCGAGGTTGACGGTCACCTGATATCAAAATGATTACATCAGCAAATATGTCACGTGCACTCACACGTCATGTGTTCACTGGGCATCAACAAAAGTTGTTGGCAGGATGAGACACTCTTCCAGTTTATTCAGGCAGTCAGCAGCGAGCGACGACAACCTCCCAGATAGTGTGTTGGTCGGCGAGGGAACTCTTGAATGCCTGCCGTCGACCCCCTGCATTCTTGAGATCCGCGCCATCACCAACGATCGCCAAGGACGCGCGACAGCGATAGCAGCATCGCGAGACACCGATCAAGCCAGCTGGCGCAGCTCATTCTTTGACAAGCATTAATGAAGTCCGCAACCACCCATTCCGCCTTCCACGCCGTCCACCAATCGTTGAGTCATGGCGGAGCCTGATACGCACTCTCAGCGACGGTCCTCGTCCCAGGCATCATCTGTGTCAAGCAGGAGCCAAAAGGCTAAGACACTCCGTGCTAAAGCCCAGAAACGGAATTCGGCCTCCAACACACCCAACACGCCCAAAACGCCGACAGACTTGACTTCGTTTCCTTCGCTTTCGCCGCCCAATGATACTCCTACGCCCACCCGAGGTTTGTCGAATACGATCTTGGCCAGCTATGAGGGAGATGGTGCTCGCGAACCGAATCGCGGCCGCAAGGCCACCTTGGCACGGCTTACAAGTGGTTTGTCCAATACCTCCGATCGGGCAGCACTCTTTGAAGATTCCATTCCAACGCGTGATATCCCCGGCGCTCTGCATCTGGCCGATGACGCGCATATTGAGCGATTGATTGCGAACACAGGCGCCGCGAAGATCGTGAGACAATTCGCGCGCGATCTGGCCCAACGAGATGCGGAAATCTCGGCGCTTCGACAACGGGCCGATGCAAGAGAGCGGGAGTTGAAGCGAATGCTTCGGGAGGTGTCTGTCTCCAGTCAAGATATCGAGCGTCGACTGTATCAGCTGGAAAACTCGCCACAAGAGGATCGCAACTCCGACGGGGAAAGCAACAATGACCAGACGGGCCAATCCTCGGGCCTCAATGGACTCATGTCCCAGGCGATGACCGATGCCGTTGGCTCTCAACTCTACGTGGAGCCGCTGAATGACTCTGAAGACCTCCAGGCTACAATACGCGCCCAAAGATCAGAGAACGATACCCGCATGGGCGCTTCCAGCACAGACTCGAGCAACACGCGAAAACGACAGAGCTCCGGTCGCGGCTGGCAAGAGTATATCTTCGGTTCGACCTCGGCCAGTCGGAAGACGAGCCGCGCTAGCAGCGTCAAAAGCGACATGGGAGAGATTGAAGAGGAAAACACTGAACACCTCCGAGTGCCGAGCAATCCTTCACGACGCAAAGCGCTCGATGAGCAGCTATTTCAACCGCCAGGCACCCAGCTTAGTGATGGATCAGGACGTCGAATTGCTAGCGCTTCTACCAACGGTGACGATGCAAGCATTCACTCTCGCAAATCTTCTCGCTCTATGGGCTCGTGGACGGTCAAGTTGTTCGCAGGACAGTCTACAAAAGACTCGAGTGATTCCGAAACCAATCGCAATCAGACTTCTGGAAATCAGGTTAAAGACAAATCCACCCCGTCTACATTTTTAGCCTCTTCCAAGGGTGGGTTGTCTGCGGTGGCTGCATTGAAGCGAATCAATAGCAGTGCCAGTCTGCCTGCACCCAGTAGCCGCTCTGCCAGTGGCTCTACTGGAACATCTAAGATGAATCCGTCGACCGGGCGCAGAAGTGCAGCCGGTAGTGTCTCTCAAGGAGGCCCACCCGAAGCCACAGACCGCAGCTCGACCAACCTCGGCCCTGTTGAGATGGACGCTATTCTCCCCGTCGAGTCCCGACCCCCGACCCTCACGCAAACCTACAACAACTCTCACTCGGGCGAATTTCTGACGGACCGATTCGGGTTTATTTATGATCAGCGGCGAAAGAAGCGCCAGCGAGAAGCCAACGCTCTCAAAAGCAGCAGTCGTCCTCTGAGCATTGCCGAGACACTGGGCAGTCTGCGCAGCGACGCGTCTGATCCTGAAGATGATACTGAAAGCCTCCAGGCTTTGCAAACAGCCACTGCAACACAGATTTCGCCGCCAGTTTCACCTGAAGATCCTGAGAGTGGGTCTGTTGGATTACGTCGTTGGCAGGACTATTTGAGAATGCCGTCTCGGCCAACTGAGCTGTTGTCCCATACGCCATCTGCTGGTCCGATCATCTCTTTGACGACTGCGGGAGACAGCCGTCCTCATAGCTCATCCGGAGCAATCGACAGAAACGTGCCGTTGTCTGTCAACTCCAGCGCACAGCCATCGGTGTCCACATCAGCAGTCACCGCTGACCGTTCCGAGCTTGCGGGTGTATCATCTGACGAAGCCGCCACCGCGAACACTTCGGCGCGCGCTACTGCCACTGATACCGAGCCGGTGAAGTTGCTCTTGGAGCAACTGACTGATCTGCACGATACGCTGCAGCGTGACCGCACGGTGAGGTGGAATGAGTTTCTGCGCAAAGTGCGTGCCGAGCGTAGGAAAGAAGGCGAAGCAGCAGCGGCCGCAGCGGCTTCTGATCGGACCGTGACGGCAGTCGACACGCCAGAGGCCACCCTCGCGGACGGTGAGGTCGTTGGCATTGCTGGTCTGGGCAACAAAGGGAAGGTTGGCCGTGCCAAGTGGCGTGAATTTCGGTCACTTGTCCTCGGTGGTATTCCCGTTGCTCTTCGGGCCAAGGTTTGGTCGGAATGCAGCGGCGCATCTGCGATGCGAATCCCTGGTTACTACGACGACTTGGTGCGAGGCGTCGGCGGATCGGAACCGGACTCGTCAGTGGTAGCGCAAATCGACATGGACATTCGCCGTACGCTCACCGACAACGTCTTCTTCCGCAAGGGACCCGGCGTTTTAAAGCTCAAAGAAGTGCTTCTTGCATACTCACGCCGCAACCCGGAGGTGGGCTACTGCCAGGGCATGAACCTCATTGCGGCGTCTCTGCTGCTTATTATGCCGGCAGCTGAGGATGCCTTTTGGATCCTGACGTCGATGATTGAAGTCATCCTGCCACAACACTATTATGACCACGGCCTATTGGCGTCTCGCGCTGACCAGATGATCCTCCGGCAGTACATCTCTGAGCTGCTGCCCAGACTGTCGGCCCATCTTGAAGAATTGGGCATTGAACTGGAAGCACTCACGTTCCAGTGGTTTCTTTCTCTGTTCACCGATTGTCTCTCGGCCGAGGCCCTCTACCGTGTGTGGGACGTCGTTTTGTGTCTCAATGTGACCAGTGCCGCGGCCAATGGTCCGGTCACAACCGCATTTCCTGCTTCAAGTACCAAAGAAAGCGGCGACAAGACCTCCCAAACAGCAGAAGCCCAGTCATCTGGCGGCGGAGGGGGAAGCACATTCCTCTTTCAAGTTGCCCTGGCGCTGCTGAAGCTTAACGAGCAGCAGTTGCTTTCGACCTGCTCGACACCGGCTGCCCTCTACACCTACATCAACCACCAGATGACCAACCACGCCATCAGCATTGACGGGTTAATCCAGGCCAGCGAGGCCCTCCGAAATGTCGTTCGCCGGGAGGACGTGGTTTCGCGCCGAGCCACTGCACTGCAGGAAATGCGTGGTGGCAGGATTTAACCCTCCCCTCCGAAGCTTTCTTTCACCACGAACAGGCTTTATTGCCAAACGATACTTTACTTTATTTCACTTAGATCTTGACACGATGCCGAAAACGACAAGAGCATTGGGCAGGGAGTTATGGGCTATGTCTTTTTTCCCCCTTTACTTTTCTGGTGATATCCTACTGGTTTCATTCCTTGGAGCTGCTTCTTCTCTTCATATGTGCAAAAGCAAGCAATCGCCGTGGGCTCATCTTCTGGCTCAACTTGTTCCTTGTTTTTGCATCTTTTACGCATCCAACACCCACACCTAGCAATGCGAGATACCCGTTGACCTTTCTTTACATTGAGCGGCAGCATTAGAGCCAAAAAAATTGAAAATCTTTTTCTTGAACTCTGAGTTATGCATATCTACGTTTCCGCACTGCATAGTTCCATATTCCACTCACCGAAAACTGACTGTAGTTCCGGATGTGCGCGCCATATATCCTCAACAATATGGGTGACACCATATCAGAGCTGACAGCCCTGCCAGTAATGTCGCAGACCAGTTTACATGTAACCTCTTTGTACATGGGTTCGTCGAAGAGTGGGCAGGTGGCGGAGACGACACTCCGAACCATGACGTGAATGGAAATGGCAGACACCGTGTCCAGGGGGTACACGTCCACGATATACGCGACTCTTCAAAGTCGTGTGTTGCAGATGCTAGGATTAATTCTTGTCTATCGGCAGTCATATATAAGTATGACCCGTAGTAGTCGCCGTTCCTGCATCTAGAACATAGTATGCTGGGCTTTGGAGCGAAGCCCGCCCTAGTCATTTCAAGAAGATCCGCGTTGGGCGTAAGGGTTCGGCAACAACCCCGAGATGGCAGGCTAGTTTGTGGCAGAATGCACATCCACTAGAACTGGTTTTCGTTAGAGTATTATTGTCTCACACTCCTTTCAAGGCTTTCCAATGGGACTTGTCCTTTACCGAGATCGCATGTTCTTCCGATGTGGTAGTAGAATAATGTGAATCCGGATTTTGGAACAGCTCATCGGGCGATCTTTCTCCGTCCAGCTTTCAATTGAATTTGATTTGGAAGCCACCAATTGCCAGACAATAATAATAAGCTGACGAGACTATATATAAACTCAGTGGCTTTGGTAAATACAATGCGAAGATATTGTCGACCGGGGTCGTGATTGTTACATGTCTTTTCAAAAAGCCCATTATTAGGTCGGTCTTGATCCCCCGCATGAACGCTTTTTCATCCACACCAGGCCTGTACATGAACTTCTGCCCGACACACTTTGCCAATGCAGGTAGCGTCAGGCCGCCTCTAAGCAGAAAGTCGCCCCCTAGAAGTCAGGCCCTCGCCAGCGAGAGCGGTGAGGGCCTGACTACAGGGGGCGGGTACTGCGTTAGTGATACGGCGCAGGTGCCGGGAGCCGTGCGAGCAGCATCAACTGCCATTAAGGTGTGCTGGCCGATCCCTTCCGTCTGCTCTCAAGATCGAATTGAGACACCGGACGGAGCAGGGAGGAATTATTTCAATATTCCCACTTTATCCTGCGAAGTATAGCACGGCAGGGGTATCATGGCACCGTAGCACCGTACCGCCATGCTATGGATTGTGAACTGTGTTCAGGTCTGGCATAGGGAAATATCAGAGCGGGGAGAAGCAATAACTGATCCCTCAACACGGGGAGGCCAAGCACGACCCGACGTACTGTCTCGGCCTAGAAGCATCCGATGCGATCGGATTGAAACAAGCCAGTAAATCACAAGTGATGACTAGTCAGAATCCTTCTCTCGCTATGCTCAATCCTCAATTCGGGGGATCTTGCGCCCAGAAGCGGTTAGTATCAAGCATGGAAGACAGATCCAATGAGTCCATGGTCGGACGGAGCCCCATATCCATGACATCTCGCGCAACGGCTTTGATCTGCCGCATGATCGACTGAGAAATCGCCCAAGTACGGGCCAGGGATTTGAAAACACCGATGGTCAGCGTGAGACGGTCGCGGCTAGGGTCGGGCATCTGTCCGGCCTTGACTGAGCAAGCGGCCAGCTGGACAATGGAGCTGAGTGTCAGCGCACAGATGAAAAATGGGGTGTGCTTCACCACCGGTAGGCGGATGGCTGCGAGAGAAGACAGCTCGCTAGCGGCCTTGACTGCTTTCATGGCGTGGGCGTGGTGGGAGAAAGCTGGCATGCTGATAGGGCCGTGGTGTCCACAGATCACCTCTGCGGCAACCGCCGGAGAGGAAAGAAGGTCGGATCGTGGGAAATTGAGGTAGATGGCGGCGCCGTTGACCATCATACACGCCTGGAACATGACCTCATCCACGGTCCCGTCTGGACGGACGAGCTCCTCCTTTGACTCGGGGAGGTGATGAAACCAACTGGCAATGCGCGCATCAATAGCCTCGACGTGATCTTGCTGGCCCTCCGGCATATCCTGGAGAGCCACCACACGACCAAGAATCCGCACCGCTTCAATGCGATAGCAGTATGAAGAGAAATCACGATCCTCATCGGCGAAAACACGCTCATCAAACTGAGCAATGGTTGGGGGTACAGGGGGGTGAGACAGTCCTGGTAGATACGCTCTTCGCACGGCAGGGGCACCTCGAGCGGCACCAAGCTCGTGCGGTATATACGCTGCACTCCAAGTGCAGTCAGCATTCCCTCAATGATGAACAATTCCCACCAAGTACGTCGAAGGCACTCCGCGCGGATCGGGTCGCCACCGCTGGCCGTCACGGCGTAGTGGGCCTGGTGCAGGCCAAGCTCAAAAGCCAGACTCACCGCGGCGGCCAAGCACTCGCCGGCCTCGCCGCGCTCATTGCGCGAGTGCAGCACAATTGCGAGCAACAACAGCGCCTGAACCTTCTCCACCGTCGTCGGCTGTTCCTGAACCGCCACGACAACGGTAGGCCGGTAGGTATCACTGTTGGCGGCCGGAGTGAAATGGGCCCCGATGAATTTCATGACCTGCTCAAGGAATGGCGGAAAATAAGAGCGATACAGGTGTCGGAGTGGCGGTAGGATCGGATGTGCCGCATGGAAGTAGGTGTAGTAGATATCAAGCAAATAGCCATCGCCGCCAAGAAATGAGGAAGAGTCTGGGGTCAACGGCGCATTCGTCGATCGAACGGAGGGCGGAATCGGCGTCGACAAATCGTTGATGCCCGGACTGTTCGAACCGGACGACGGCAGTGGGATGCTGGCCGGCGCATAGGCCAAGTCGTTTTGGGGGTTCCAAATATCAATGAAGTCCGTTGCGGTTGGGTCGAGGGGCGTCTGGACTGGCGAGTCCGGATCGGCGCGGCGCTTCTTCGATGGGCCCTTGTAGCCTCGACGCGACTTGGTATACAGACATTCGGAGCCGCTGAGGGCACAGCGCCCGCAGATAGGGGTTTGACCGTCGCATTTGAGGTGCTTGTGGCGACACAGGAGGCAGGCCAAAGGCGAAGGGCTGGGTTTTGCGGGGCCCGGAAGGGTGATGGGGACCTGTGGATCGGTCATGGCGAGCAGGAGGGCAGGCGCATGGATAATTAGGACAGGGATAAGGGTTTAGTTGTTCTCAAAAGAATGAGGAGAGTGTGAATGGCAATGGGGGTGAGGGTGGAAGAGAGGGAGAGACAGAGAGACAGAGAGAGAGGGAGAGGGAGAGGGAGAGGGAGAGAGAGAGGGAAGAGGGACGACCGTTGTTGGTATTACGCGGACTGAGGGGCGGGGGACCGGACGCTACCTGCGGCACTGTGTGAGTTGAACCGGTTGGTCAGGTACCACTGAGTACTTGTTCCCTCGTTGCACCACTTGCCTGCGGTGGCACAAAGTGACTGATCCGATCGGGAACAAAAGTACAATGCGTAGTTTGTCGGAGTGTGTCTAGTGAGCATTAGTGCCTTGTAGTCGACCGATTAATGACCGTTCCGGTAAGGTGCGTAGGCCTAGAGCTGCCGCGCGGGCTTATCACTCCATCCATCCACCACCTTCCCTTCCCTCCGACATCTACCTTCGAAGTTGTCTTCCAATGCAGTGACCCTGCACACCGTGAGTCGGAACGGATTCCAATCTTTTGTGCTTGATCATCTACCCCCTCCCCGCCCCGGATCGCTCCATCCTGTGTAGCGTCACTTGAACAATCGTGCCGACGTGTCTTCTCCGCCGATTGCATCGCGAATTCCTCCCGCCTCTTCCTCCGGCTCTTTCCATTTCTCGGTAGGGAGATCAATCGCCTCATTTCGAATTAGCCCTCCAACCACCCTCCCATCGCTCGCACGCGCTGCGCAATCGCCGTCATGATCTCCGACGACGAGCTCTACCGCCTCGCCATCTTCCTGGGCTCCTGCGCCATGATGATGATTGTTCTCTATCACTTCCTCGACGTCAATGCCTCGGATGAAGAGGTGGATTCGGCGAAGACGGGGGAGTCAGCCACGGTGGCTAGCTCCGCGGCGTCGCCATCGGCTGAGAGCGCAGGCGCGTCAGCAGCTGCGCAAGGAAGCTAGATCTGGGGAGTCTGTTTTTATTTTGTCTAATAGGGAACAATCCAACTTGAAATGTCTCTGGGGATCAGGATTGCTGTCAGCGTGAGCGAACATGGAATGTAACAATATATCCCATCCTACATGAAATACAATTTACAGCTACGATGGCACTGTCTGGTTTGATCGGAACTTGATATTCATCCGCCCTAAGGGCAGACATCTGCTCAAAGACAGGGTCTCGGTGCAGAAACCTGCACGATTCGGGGGCATGGTCCATTGGCTAGGAAAAGCCCTGGTCGCCAGCCCCGATACAAAAACGCCGAGAAGCATTCGCTTCGTGATGCACTCAAACAGAAATAGAAACGCCATGCTGGTAAACCTCCGGGTATCTCAAATCAAAGCATGCTTATTCGTCTTCGTCGTCGACCAGTTCCATGACGCCCTCGTTAGGAGCGGTCTTCCACTGGCGCACAGGGGTAGACAGAGTGTAGCCACTCTTGTCAATGGTCGGTCCGACCTGGTCCTTCCAGTGAATTCCTCCGCGCAAAAGCGCCTCCGCCCGTCCATACGAATTGTTGATGTTATGGATTTTCAGGTATGCATTTACCGCATTCTTGTGAGCAGGCAAAATGATGGGATCCGTGCCCCCACTCTTGGTGCTCAGCGTAGTCTCAATATCGGGCGCCCGATGCTTGTCCTGTTCCTCTATGGGACCATCCAAGTTAGACTCTTGAAATCAAACGAAATCGATCACCCTTGGAATGGAAGTTCCTCGTGTGTAAGTCCGTCAAGCTGTCTTACCAGGAAGATGGATTCTCGGTCCATCCCCAAGCTTCCACGCCACCGGGCTGATGTGGCTCTCCTGAACGTGTTGCCACAGCTCATTAGCAGGCATTCCTTCCTGGTTTTTGCAAGCTTCCCAGCCACATTTGATGTTGGCCGGGATATGAAGTTTCACAATGTGTCTTCGGAGAGTCTCCAGGTTGTGCAGCTCCGCGGGGCATTTGGTCCATCTACACGCAAAGACCGGCCAATCGATCAGCGGTGCCTCGACATCTTGGGCCTTGCCAACTTGGGCTTTGTCATCCGTGGTATCGTCCTCAGCCTTCTTCTTGGGCGGCGCACGACCGGCCATCCCCTGGGGCGGCATGCTGTGTAGGGACGATAGATGCACAGCCTCTAGCTGCGAAGTATCCTTTGATTGCGGGGAATGGCGTGGCTTTGCTGGGCTGGGCTTCGGGGTTGTCTCCGCCTGTGTCTGCTGGCTCGGGGTCGAAGCTGGCGGCGGAGGTCGAATCGAATGCGTAGGCAGGGATTGTGGAGGGTGCGGGTGGGTGTGGGACAAAGGAGGATTGACATGGGACACAAGAGAAGGTGTTTCCTTCGGCAGAGGACGCGTTGCAGAGACACGCGCGGGAGAGCGTGGACGGTCACGTGAAGCTGGCACGTGACTCGATGTGCCCTTGGCAACAGGGACAGCGGGAGATACAACAGGGTCGACTATGTCCCAGCGGAAGGTTGACAGGTCGGAGTAGTAGTCGACGAAGTCGAAGTTCTTGCGCAGTGGCTTCAGGTGCTCGTTCAAAAACTTCTCCGTCGGGTGTTTCCCGGAATTGATCAACACGTCGCGCGCAATCGTCGCAGGATCGTACTCGGTCCTGACTTGGGCATCCTCGGGCTTGATTCTCTGGATCAGGTCGGAGCGGGTGCGCAAATTATTGCGTGATGGGGGGCTTGGGCGCAATGGGTGCTGGTTGGGCTGCAAGCGACGACGCTTATTGCCACGGGTCTGTTCAACGGGAGGAACTGGAGTCGGCATAGGATGTCCAGGAGTCGTAGTCGGGAGGGGCGGGTGCGAAGCAGGTGTCTTGGACGTCAATGGGAGACCCCCTCGCGGCGAAGATTGTTGAGGCCTAGCGTGTGTTGGTGCAAGCTGTGGCTGCTGCGTTGCCGCTAGCCAAGAGTGGCTGGAAGATGCTGGCTGGGCAATCAATGCCGTTAGGTTGAGAGCCACCGTCTGATTAGCAGCCAAAGCCGTGCCCGTGGAATTTTGATTGGGATTGTGGGCCGCAGTGTGGTGAGCAACCAATTGATGGGGTGACTCTGTCCGTCGGATCGAGGGAGTCTGTGTCTGTCCGACTGGAAGTGCTTGGGCATGCCTCATTTGAGAAACAGCCCAATCAGGGGATGCGGCAGATGTAGTTGGCAATGGCTCTTCTTGGCGGTATTGGGGTGGAATCAGAGACGGAGTGAGGCTGACATCTCCAGACATGACGTATCGTTGATCTTGGTTGCCTCTGCAAAAGTATCCGTGTTGCTGGTAGGCATTCCTCATCTGTGTCTGCTGCAATGCACTCCGCTCAGCCTCATCAAACACCTGCGCCGACTGGGATTTGCGACCATGGCTAGAGGGATCATCAATGTGCTGCAAGACCTCTGGTGGATCGACTACCATCTCCTCCGACAGCAACCCCGGCCTCCAGTCCGATGTCATGTCCCTTTAGTCGGGGCTGGTGCTTTACCATGTTGGGTCCTAAATTAGTGCATCATGGTCATGGCTAGCGGTCGGCGCGTGAGTTGCCGTTGCAGGAGGTAGTCGCAACACGACGTTCACGCCTGCGAGAGCAGTTCGGGGCTTGTTTCACAGCAGCAAAAAAGCAAGGAGCAGTGCTTTGCGCACGGAGCAGCGCGTGCACAAGACTGCTTGCTGTGATCTGAGCAGGTGTTGTGCAGAAAAGAAGAAGAAGAAAAGCGAGGGCAGATGCGCGGTACACCAGATCGGCCCGGAAAGACCGCGTCAAAGGCACCAAGGCATCAAGGCGGCAAGTCTAGTGGATACACGTGACTGGGAAACCCACATTGGCTTAAAAAGACTTGAAACTTTTCTAATCCTCCTTCAGCTCATTCAATTTTCGATTCCACCAGCGGTTTGGTCAAGATGCTGTCATGAACCCCGGTGTGCGGGTCAGCAATTACTTTTTTGACATTGTCATTAACTTTCCAGCTCAACGTCATTAGACATGAGGCCACAAAAGTTTCAATCGGCTATGATTCGAAGATAAACAGCCGCGTTGCGATGAATGGAACATGATCTAGCTTTTCTACTGCTCCATTGGACAGCGTCGATGATGCTGTTGGCGTTTCTGTTTTTCACTTACCACTGCCCATCTAGGAATGCCCCTTCAAAAGCAACGGCTCAACCTCTCAGTCTTCAGCGTAGTGAGATCCCTTGCCCGGAATGCTATTCGCCAGATTATCATCTCATCAATCCCGCTCTTTCCAAGACGGACCCTATGGTTGATAGAGCTAAACAACTGGCGTAGAACAACCTACAGATCTCCAACCGGTCTACGGACCGGCGGTGGATCTGTCTCACTTGCAGACTCACCCTGAGGCATCGATGAAGTCGTGGGTTTGATAGTGAGGGACATGCCTATTTCCCGTAGAATGTACTGGATGTGCCTGTGGGTATTCTTGTCGATTATTGTGTCTCACTTCTGGTCTACTCCTGGAAGACTCCACGGTGATATGGGACCTGATTTGGAAATATCAACCAACTGATTGTCGATCCTAATGTACAGCCCAATGGGGGCTAGTAAATGACATGATGGCGACGAAACAAACAGCTATAATGGACAAAAGAGGAAAAGGACAATCGTATCGTATCTCATCGGAGAGCCCGGGAATCAAAATCCGAAGAAGCAGAGGAAGAACAACGAAGAAAATAGCCAGGTCAAGTCACGCTCGCTGAAAATAGCAGTGATATCTCACCGGTGTGATAGCCGTCAACTCACTTCTCCTTCTTGTGGCCCACGCACTTGGACCACGCAGGCAGACCACAGCCCGCCCCGATAAACAGATATAGCAAGAAAACAACCACAATCCCTAACAGCACCATCAGCTTCATATTCTTCCACCACATTCGCCGTCGCAGACCACGGCTGCGGATCCGGAAATCGTGCGCACTCCCACCCAGCCGATCAGTCTTATCAACCAGCAGATCAATCCGCTCGCCGCGCTCGAGGACGCGCTCGATATTCTCCGTCATGATATCGCGCACGCTATCGATCTCGCGCCGCGCAGAGGCGAGCGAGTCAGCTGGCGGGGCGGTGTTGTATGTTTGCAGGAGGGTGCGCAGCTCGGCATTAAAAGCGGCGCAGCCGTAGGCCGGGAGAGCAGAGTAGTCTGTGTTGGAGGGTGTGTATGTGGACAAAAACTTGCGCTTCATTTCGAGGAGGTAGGCAAAGGGGATGCGGCGACCTTGCTCGGCTGTTGCGACCACTATGAAGCTCAGGGGTGCGTAGGAGCTGGGCTCGCTGCGGCTGCCATGCTCGTCGGCGGACACGCCTGTTGGCGAGTCGGCAATGTAGTGTACGAACAGGCGTTCATGGGTGTATGTGAGCTTTTGGGACTTGTCGTGGGAGATCTTGGGAAGGATGATGGATGCTAGGGACGAGGCCGCGGTGGATGAGGTGCCAGGGGAGGAGTGTTCGGCGAGGATGGTGGTTCGATGGGCCACGCAGGAGCTGGACGTGACACAGTTAGTCTGCTGACCTTTTAAATTGTGCCATAACTAGACTTACTAAAGCAGGAAGCTCGGTGGCTTTGAGGACGAGGCCATGATGATATGATGTCAGTGGCCTGTTGGGCGACGGGGGAATACTGTGTTTTATTGAGACGGGAGGGCGATGTTCAGGGATCTCTCGAGTTCAGAGAGAGTCTATCTCGTCGTACCAGTCTGCCTGATGAGGCTGCCAGACTGTCTGATTAACAGAAAGAAAGAAGGCGTTGATGATGTTGCAGAAGCTCTTAGGCGGATCAGGTGGAGGGAGGATCATGTGATCGGCACTACTATACGTACTATTATTTTTGACCCAATAGTCATCATTATTCGTGGATTAGACATTCGTTTTTCGTCAATCATAAAATCAAAATCATAGAGAGCTTTCAGTGTTGTCCATCCACCAGCTCAAACCCAACATTCTCATCTTCATCCATATCGAAATCTCCGACATCAGACGCAGACCCCGTCACCACAGTGCTGTCACTGTCAAGGTCGAGCTCTTCCTCCGTATCCTCCATGGACCAATCCGACAGATTGGCATCGTCGTAATTCACAGCCGAGACATGAGTTTGTCCGCTCTCATTGGTCAACTCCATCGAGTCCACGGACATGACCTCTGAGACATGACTATTCGTCGCCTCATGCGATGCCCGCTGGATCGTACTTTGGGAATCACTGGGATTGATCTCGCTGAACGAATCTTGGGTAGAGGCGAGACTGCCGGTGCGCACGGCGGGCCCGGGCGTCGAGAACCCTCCCGTTTCCATGATGGGGATATCGTGATCAGTGAAAACGCCGCCGGTTCCGTCATCATTGCCGCCCGCCCATAGCGGTAAGAATCGGTATTCGTTGTCCGTCAGGACGCAGAGGGTGTTCAGATGTTTGAAGTCTACAAGGGATATCTCCTCGGAGTACAACATATCATGCGCATACTTAACCAAGTATTCGGAGACTTGGTCGAAGAAGACCCTTAGTTCAAACGTTTTAGGTTGTCTCGCCCGCCCTTCGTCCGGTGGGTACTTCCGAGCGATGGGGTCGTTCATGATCGGCCCTGGTGCTCGGTTCTGGGGTGGGGTATTCGGGCCTGAAAGATCGAAGGGGAAGAATGGGCTGATCTCGGAGCCGGCGGCATGGGCCCCCGCCACGGCTGCACGGCTTGATCCGGCAACAAGCCCCGGACGCTGCAGACCTGTAACCAAATTCATGGTCGGCCCGGGTTTGATCAGAGTTGGTCCTGGGGATCCAAGAGAATCACCTGAAGTTTCAGAGTTCCACGTCGAATCACCGCCTCTATCCGCCTGACTGGATCGATAGTCATGTCCTGGCCGGCGGAGATTCGTTACTAGATTCCACGTCGGCATAGCGGGAGGATTAAAATAGTTCAAACGTGGGGTCTCAGTGGTGGACATAATGCCACAAGCAGATTGCCGATAAACGGTCTGGTTGAAATCCTCGACTCGTGACCAGATCTCGTCAATAGAAACGCGACGAATGACGGCAAATCCCTGGTCCCTGAACGCCGGTAGACCGTTACCCAGCTCCAAAATCGATCGATGCCCCTGGAGCCCGGCATTAACAATTGATTGATTCTCTGAATCCCCGCTTAAGGTGACCCCGAGAAGACTGTTCCAGAAACCCCTGCCCAAAATTCGTTGGAGGATATGTTGCCGTTGGTATATCACCCCGGGGGCGTGGTGATTCACGTCGTTGTAGGGGACAAATCCTCCCAGTGTATCATCAGACTCCGATGGGATTGCAGGCATTGTCCGCGCCGTGTCCCTCGTCTTGCGCAGTTCTGCGTACAATCTGCTCCGAATGTAGTTCTTCACCGTCAAAATGAGCATCAGCACGACATCCCGATCACGGGGCCACTGTCCGAGATGACTCGTAAGCTTCTGAAATTCGGCCAAACCGTTCAGCCAGCTCATTTCTTCTCCGATCAAGTGAAGAAAGCGGTTGACGACATGGTCTGCAAAGCTCTTACTAGCGTACTCGATGCGTTGCACCTCGGTGTCATCAAGGAAATCACGAATCCGGCTGCAGGTGAGGGTCTGGTACTGATTGCGATCCAAGGGTCGCTGATTCGCCGCTCGAACAAGGTACAAAAGAGCCTCATCCGCCACTAGCCCAACAAACGAATCACGGCACAGGGCAGGCGCTTGGAGTCCACGGCCCACCCGGTATGCGATCTCCGGGTAGAATTGGATGATTTTCGCGTTGGTCGAATCGTAGAACCAAGAAACGAGGTGGTTACTTATGGCCGGGACAGTCAAGACATCAAAAATCTTCGCCAGCCCGTAGAAAGTCCAGATCTTGCACGGGGTGTCGATTCTTGGGTTTAGATCCTCCAAAACATGAAGGATGTATTCAATTCCCTCTCGATGCCGATGGGGCGAGTATTCCACAGGTAAGCCATACTTCTGGATTCGAGACTTAAGAAAGTCTCTCGTAGTAGTCTCCGGGAAATTTTGCATCTTCGACAACACGTTATCGTCGTCAGACATCAACAACGGGTCCAGCGGGTCTTCGGTCTGCTCGGGCCAGGTTATTTCGTCTTTGCCCCCGACACACTCGGATGGCAGAGACCAGAGGGTCTTCTGCAGCGCCCAGGTGCGAATGGCCATCGGACACGAAAGCTCCGTCATGAAGATAATCGCATCCTCATCCGCGTCGGGTGGGGTCAGATCGATCACATATTTGATGCCGGTGGGCAGTCTGTCAACCCATCCGCGCCGCTTCCGCACCTGGGTTTGATAGCGTGGCTGAGTGGCCCTCTTGAAGAAGGTCGAGCCCGAACTCAGAAGCTTCTCGCTGTGAACGCGGTGGGGGATGGTCTGGCTTGGGGAAGTCCATGTGGTATTGTCCACGACCTGGGGGGAGGGTCAATGTACACCAGCGTGTCGGCACCGTCGAGCAGCAGCAACGGCAGAGCGTTGGCCAACGGGGCTGGACGGTTCGTACCACCACGGGGCGTAGTGGGAGAACGGAGAGTCTGTGGCGACTGTTGTCCGCTCTGGTCCTGCTGTTCCAGTTCCAGCGCCTGTTTCTCTGCCGATGTCATGTCGAAGTACCGCAGAAGGTGCTCATCTGTGGCTACGAGGGGTGGTTCCGAGGCCATGTTTGTAGGATGGAGAAGAAGCAGAGCAAGAGAGGGAGTGGTAGCCTAGCCAGGGCCAATCAGGCCCAAGGCCAGCCTGCATTGTTGAGCCAAGTAAGCAGTGAGGCTGAAGCATTAACTCACAGATGTTCTGGGTACTTGAGTGGGGCACTGTGGACGGCTAGCCGCTGGAGGTACCTGGTACCTGCCCGCTGAGTGGGGCTACGTCCGGTGGTCCTCTTGATCTATGTGAAGTATGTATGGATTTGTTTCCATGGATCACTACATGAGGTAGCCCAGGCAATCAGAATGTGCTCATGGGGATGTCATTCCACCAGACCATTAAAACCGCCTCCCCCGTGCTTCTATCTCCTAAACAGCTCCATCGTTGACCCGAAACAGACTGACATCCTCAAATCTATATCTACAGAATGGCCGCCATGACAGGAGATATACCCCGGAGTCACCGGGCAGCGATGAAGTGTGTATGCTTCAGACATTTCATGTCATCCAACTCTCTAACTCATGTTCCAGATCCCGCAACATCGCCCTCCTCAGTATCGTTGGCGTCATCGGAGGCACATGGCTGCTCTTCCGGATGATGGCACCCCAGAAAGGAACGTATGTCGCCAGCAATGAGGAAATGGAAGCCTTCCGGGGAGGCGACTCGCTGCAGACCGACACGGGCAACAAGACGGCCACGCCGCCGCGGAAGGGGTACTCAGTGCCGCGGGGGTCGATGTGAGGATCGTTTTGCATTGAAGGAGGGCTGTTATTCGTATATGGACAGCTTGTGCAATATGTACTATGCAACGGGGGAATGACAAAACAAGCCCATGTGCTATGCATCAAACCCGAAAGAAAGCCACGCCCGTAGACTTGTACAAAAGCAGCTGGGGACAAAACGAAGGGGGAAAGGCCAACGAGAAAGAAAGAACTAGTTAGACGGCCGTCGCATTGTCGGGCGCAATTTGTTCCCGGGGTGGACGTCCATCATTGCCCACTGGATTATCCTGAGACGTCTGCGATCGCTTCTTCTGCTCCTTTCGGTCACCGCGCTTCTTCCGCTCGCGGGTGGCAGGCCGGATTTCATCCGTTCCACTCCGACTACGACTAGATCCGGCGCGGCGGAGATCTTTGACCTCTTTGATGACCTCACGGAATCCTTCTTCAATGTTGTTCATGCGAGCCAGGACCAGTTTGCTGAGCATATCTTGTGGCTGGCTGAACATGTCGGAGCGACGCAGGCCTCCAGTGGCAAGGGGAAGATTTGTATTGAAGCTGGAGGGCAGAATGCCGGCAAAGCCACCAGCCACTGCTTTGTTGTCGCCGAGGTCTGACCCCAGGTCGTACAGGAGGGACGGTCGGGGTCGTGCCGTTCCTGGACGATTTGGAAGAAAAAGAGGTTCTACAATGGGGGCGGAGATCGGGCTAAGTCCCTGCGAGACATGTCGAATTCGGCCTGCATTCCCTGACTGTCTCTTCATGATGCCTTGATCGAGAGAAGTAGAAGCTAGAGGTACTGGATCGTCGTCTGATGATTCGGCGTTGGGTCGTGGAGGTGTCACCCCACCATCACTCTTCTCGTCTGCCGACTCCACAGGATTGTAGAGCATGGTGACACCAGACACAGTTCGCTGGTGCCTGGGACGCCGGTTAGGGCTGTTCCGGCGAGATGTTAATCGGGAAGTGGATGGACGAGAGGTGTAAAATTTCGGACTGGTTTTCGTAGTGCTCTCAACTGGCGCGGCATCGTTACCAATGGCCTTTTTAGTCGAGTGGTGATCATCCTGCGAATCCCCATCCTCACTGGTGAGTTCATCATCGCCTTCCATGTCGGTGTGCTGAGAAGGCTCCCGCGCCTTCGTGGGGGATCGAAGCCCTCTCGGGCGTCGAGGCTGGAACGCAGGGCTTTCAGCGTGGCTGATTCGTTCTTCAGGGTTAGAGGCCACCGAGTGGGTTGTTTCGGTGAAATTTCGAGGCCTGGTTAATGTGCTCCGGCGGAAAGGGAACCTGAATCGTCGCGGGAGCATCTCCAGTCGATCCACCTCTGAAGGATCCTGCTCGTCCGGAGGATGAACAGGTCCCGAGCCCATTTCGTGCATCCAGTCCTTGATCACACTGCTGGTCCGATTCCTATGGAGTGTGCTCGGCCGACGACGGACCTGGCTACCGCCGAAATTTTCCCGGAACACTTCTTCTAGCGCCTGGTCCTTGTGATATGTCGCCACGGACGGCTCACGAACTAGACGCGGAGCCTTGCTACTAAATGCGCGGAATCGCCGAGGATGCCAGTTGTGAGCGAGACCGGCTGCTTCTGCGCGAGATGTGGCCTCAACCAGGTCCATTGGCTCGACCGCCCTCGCGGTGAGAATGGTTTTCTCATAAAAGCAGATGGTAAACAGAATCGGCAAGTGTGTGATCTTGATGATAGTTCTGTTGAGCCGAATGAATTGACGGAAAGGCATCAGATATCGGAACGGCGTCACAAGCCAGGCGAGGATATTCGTGGGAGCCACATAAGAGAAAAGCGCGTCTGATTTCACCATCGAGATCGTGTTGACGGCAAAGAGAAACTGGTGCTCCTGATTGGCATTTTGAACGATCCTCATGAACGAGTTCGTAAGCACGGTGATGAGGATAGTCACCACCACGAAATGACAGATGAAGAGGAAGATGGTCAAGATGGTCTTTCCTAAGAAGTTGTACTCATCCCACATTGACCACGCGGTGGGCGTAAATCCCATCAGCATCTGGAACAATCCGTACGCGATCTCACTGGGAGAGTGATTGTCCCCAAAGGACAGAAATGCGAAGAAAAATCCGCTGCATGCGACAATGATCAGCACAAACACGGCGATCAGATCAGACGCCATAATGCGGAAGGCAATCAGCAACTGGGAGAAATAGCGGTAGTGGTCTAAGATGGAGAATAGTCGAGGGAACAACAGCACTGCACAGGCTGCAAGAACGTCGTATGCTAGATCGGAAAGTCTCATCCCATCCGGGCCAGGAAAAATGGCGCCGCAGATCCGAAGGCAGTAGTAGCAGAAAAGAAGCAGCAGAATCCCCAGGTCGAACAGGTTCCAAAAGCTCATCAAGTAGAGACTAAAGCCCTGCTCATTGAAGCCAACAATCTCATCCAGCATGAACCCTGCACTCCAGAGCCAAAAAACAAGCTCCAGCGACGTGATCTGCGCACTGTGCTGCTGCAACACCGCTAGGAACAGGCCGAGAAGCACGGCAAAAGACAGGGTGGAGAGGAACTGCCGGTAGCGCGGGACTCTCAGTCGCGACAGCTTGAATAGCGACGCATCTCGTGGGTTGTAGAGAGTCACTGAGCGCCGGAAGGACCCCGTCCGAGAATCTGGCGTCGAGTCAACATTGTGGTCCGCGGCTGTCCCGTAGTTGTGTCCCTCTGTGGAAGCCCGTTTTACTCGACGGTGTAGATTATCAGCGGCCGAATGAAAGATGATCGTTCCGGCCCAAATGGCCTCCAATTGCTGCACCACCACCGGATGAGCTAGAAACCGCTTTGCCTGGGCACGAATGGCCACCTCGAGACAGGAAACTCGCCCAGCTCCCGTCAATCGCTTGCGCTGCGGACCCTGAGGCAATCCCGGAGGTGGATCCTGGCCTTGAAGGGGATAAAACTCGTATGAGAGGGCGTCGATCAATTCGCGGGTCGTGTAGTCTTTCAATAGCTTAATCGCAAGCAATTCGCTCACCATTGCTCGAGTCTGGCTGGTTCCGCTGTTTTCTGGATGGAGGTGAACCTCCTTCTGGAACTGCAGGCAGTTGGCCATCAACGCATAGAGGGTAGCGCGTGAAAAGTGGTCAGTCATGATCTGCTGCTGAATGGGCTTGACCAAGAACTGCGAGACCTGGGGTGAACGCAGTTGCTCCCATGATAACGTGGTCTCGCAGCGGGCGGCAATCAGCGGACGGATGGCAAGAGTGATATCGTACACAGGCAGGGCATCTAAACACCATCACTAGTTAATTCACGCTGTTGTCGGGAGTCGGCCCGCCAACCTACCCAGATGTGATGCGGAGAAGATGGGCAAGAGAGGTGTCGACTCGAGTGGGCCATCTTCTTCTTCTTCTTCCTCTGCTCCATCGGGAGCCTCCTCCTCCTCAATCCAGGTGTCCTCCAGGTTCTCGTTCGCATTATTGAGCTCCGGCTCGTCGCGGGGTTCGATTCGGCGGTAGCGTCGCGTGATACTCGGTCGGGTGGCAGCTCGAAGCCATGGCGAAGTTTCGGTGGCCGCGTAAGGGGGAGACAACGGCGAGTTTTCAAAATGCCTGTGTCGTCCCTTGGGACGGAGCAGGGAGGCTAGCATCGACATCGCAAGTGCCTTCATGCAGCATGGCCGAGGTACTCGGGACGGGAGAGAATTCAGAGCATGGTAGCGGAGAACACGTCTAGGGATGCGTCAAGGGGCATAAGGATGGCCATGGCGAGGCAAGAGAGACGAGGGCAGCAGCAGTGGAGGAGAGGAGAAGGTGCCGGGCAGGTGATCAGAGTTAGCTCTAGTGTTGGATCTAGACTGTGATCAGCACCCCCACTAGATACTTCCCCGTCGTCATCGTAGTCTACATTCTGAGGTAGGAGGCATATGGACAGGATTTATTGATGAAGGAAGAGTTGGTCGGATTGAATCCATGACTGGCTGGTATAGGGTTATCGTCAGCTCCATGCTAGTGGTGGCTGTCCCGTTCAGTGGGCCACCACCCAGCTTCAGGCATACAGCCGGTGCAGAATGCAATGGTGACCGTGCAGAACAGTTAACTAACTCCATTGGGCCCGCCCACGCTGACCTGCATTATCTGATGGTCGGTCTGCTCGTGCTCAACGAGACAACAAAGACTCCGGGCCTCACCGCCCCGCTCACCGCCCCCGGGTTCGGCCATGGCGGGTGGAGTTCCCGCTCAAAAATTTTCTTTCTTTCTTCCTGCATCTCAGCTTTGCAGCTGTGCAGTTCTGGTTTAATTTTGTCCCCATTATTCCCTCTTTTTTTGGTTTTTTGGGTCACAATTGCAGAAGGTGGTTTGTAGAGTGACTGCATACTCTCCCAACTTCGCGTCCCCGAGAGGACTTGTCCCCTCGCTGCCCGCTTGCGATGTCGCAGCCCACCCACGAGGAGTCGGCTCTGCCAACGAGCCCTCTGTCTGGTGGCCCCGTGGCCTTGCCCGCCAGCAAGGATCTGCAACCACTGCCCCCTATGGACTCCGTCAATGGTGCGGTGATCCCGCCGGCCTCAATCCCCGTCCGCGGTGGCTGTGATCGCCGGACCGCGCTCGAGCTCGAGGACGGCACCGTGTACCAAGGCTACAACTTTGGTGCCGAGAAGAGCATTGCCGGTGAATTGGTCTTCCAAACCGGTATGGTCGGCTATCCGGAGTCCATCACCGACCCCTCCTACCGCGGCCAGATCCTCGTCATCACCTTCCCGCTCGTGGGCAACTACGGCGTGCCCGCACAGGACCAGATGGACGAGCTTCTCAAGACCCTGCCGAAGCATTTCGAGTCCAGCCAAATCCATGTCGCCGGTCTAGTGGTGGCTACCTACGCGGGTGAGGACTACTCGCACTTCCTCGCAAAATCTTCGCTGGGCCAGTGGCTCAAGGAGCAGGGTGTGCCTGCCATGCACGGCGTTGACACTCGTGCTCTGACCAAGCGCATCCGTACGAAGGGTAGCATGCTGGGCCGCATGCTTCTTCAGAAGCCCGGCGCCATCCCTGACGCCCTGGATGCCGCTACCTGGAAGTCGCACTTTGAGGAAATTGAGTGGGTGGATCCAAACACAAAGAATCTGGTCAACGAGGGTGAGTGATGCGAGACAAGTGATCGCAATGAGTTTATAATCTGACGTGTTTGGTCCCTACAGTTTCGATCCGTGAGCCCCGTCTCTTCTCCCCCCCCCGGACAATGTTGCCCTCAAACACCCCTCGGGTCGTCCCGTTCGCGTCCTGTGCTTGGATGTCGGTTTGAAATACAACCAATTGCGCTGCCTCCTCGCCCGTGGGGTCGAAGTCATGGTTGTGCCATGGGACTACGACTTCCCAACCCTTGCTGGAAAGGACTATGACGGTCTGTTCGTGTCCAACGGCCCTGGTGACCCTGCAACATTGTCGATCACCACCAACAACCTATCCAAAGTCATGGCAGAAAACCGGGTGCCGGTATTTGGTATCTGTCTGGGTCACCAGTTGATTGCTCGCTCGGTCGGTGCCCAAACTACCAAGATGAAGTTTGGTAACCGCGGTCACAACATCCCCTGCACGAGCATGATCTCCGGCAAGTGTCATATCACCTCTCAGAACCACGGTTTCGCTGTCGATGCTACCAGCCTGCCCGGAGACTGGGAGGAGCTGTTCGTCAACGCCAACGATGGCAGCAACGAGGGTATCCGGCACGTCAGCCGTCCCTACTTCAGTGTTCAGTTCCACCCCGAGAGTACTCCCGGTCCTCGGGATACCGAGTATCTCTTCGATGTCTTCATCAACACCATCCAAAATACCCTGACATCTTCCGAGGCTCTCAACAAGCCCGTTGCTTTCCCCGGTGGCTTAAAGGCCGACAACATCAAGGCCGCTCCCAGAGTGTCCGTGAAGAAGGTCCTCGTCTTGGGTAGCGGCGGTCTGAGTATTGGACAGGCCGGAGAGTTCGATTACTCTGGCAGTCAAGCCATCAAGGCCCTGAAGGAAGAAGGCATCTACACGATCTTGATCAATCCCAACATTGCCACCATTCAGACCTCCAAGGGTCTGGCCGATAAGGTCTATTTCCTCCCTGTCAATGCCGACTTTGTCCGCAAGGTGATCAAGCACGAACGCCCGGATGCCATCTACTGTACTTTCGGTGGCCAGACTGCCCTGCAGGTTGGTATTCAGCTCAAGGATGAATTCGAGGACCTGGGTGTCAAGGTCCTAGGTACCCCGATCGACACAATCATCACCACCGAGGATCGTGAGTTGTTCGCCCGCAGCATGGATTCCATCAATGAGAAGTGTGCCAAGTCTGCTTCTGCTTCGACTCTGGAGGAATCGCTCCAAGCGGTTGAGAACATTGGCTTCCCCGTCATTGTGCGTGCGGCCTATGCGCTGGGTGGTCTCGGCAGTGGTTTCGCGGAGAACATGGACCAACTGAAGGAGCTCTGCACCAAGGCTCTGGCCGTCAGCCCGCAAGTGCTCATTGAGCGGAGTATGAAGGGTTGGAAGGAGATCGAGTACGAGGTCGTGCGCGATGCTCAGGACAACTGCATTACGGTTTGCAACATGGAAAACTTCGATCCCCTCGGTATCCATACCGGTGACTCTATTGTTGTGGCTCCTTCTCAGACCCTCTCCGACGAGGACTACAATATGTTGCGGACGACCGCCGTCAATGTCATCCGTCACCTGGGTGTGGTCGGTGAATGCAACATCCAGTACGCCCTCAACCCTTTCTCGAAGGAGTACTGCATCATTGAGGTCAATGCTCGACTGTCTCGTTCTTCGGCCCTTGCCTCCAAGGCGACCGGATATCCGCTCGCTTTCATCGCCGCCAAGTTGGGTCTGGGTATCCCCCTCAACGAGATCAAGAACTCAGTCACCAAGAGCACCTGCGCCTGCTTCGAACCATCGCTGGACTACTGCGTGGTGAAGATCCCCCGCTGGGACTTGAAGAAGTTCACCCGTGTCTCGACCCAGCTGGGCTCGTCCATGAAGAGTGTCGGTGAAGTCATGAGCATTGGTCGAACTTTCGAAGAAGCCATTCAAAAGGCCATTCGATCGGTCGATTTCCACAACCTTGGTTTTAACGAGACGAACGCTCTCATGTCCATCAAGGGCGAGCTGCAGACTCCCTCCGATCAGCGCCTGTTTGCCATCGCCAATGCTATGGCCGCCGGATACAGTGTTGATGACATCTGGAAGTTGACCAACATTGACAAGTGGTTCCTTTCGCGTCTCAAGGGTCTCAGCGATTTCGGCAAGTCTATGACTGGCTACAATGCCGCCTCTGTCCCGCTCCCCATGATTCGCCAGGCCAAGCAGCTGGGTTTCTCTGACCGTCAGCTCGCCAAGTTCCTGAGCTCCAACGAACTGGCGGTGCGCCGCATGCGTGTGGAAGCCGGCATCATCCCTGTTGTCAAGCAGATTGATACCGTTGCGGCCGAGTTCCCGGCAGTGACCAACTACCTGTACCTCACTTACAATGCCTCCGAGCACGATCTGACCTTCAACGACCACGGTATCATGGTGCTAGGATCTGGTGTCTACCGCATTGGTTCTTCGGTCGAATTTGATTGGTGTTCTGTGCGCACCATCCGCACCCTTCGCGAGCAGGGCCACAAGACGATCATGGTTAACTACAACCCGGAAACTGTTAGTACCGACTACGACGAGGCTGATCGTCTCTACTTCGAGAACATCAACCTGGAGACTGTCCTCGACATCTACCAGCTCGAGTCTTCCAGCGGTGTGATCATGTCTATGGGTGGTCAGACCCCGAATAACATTGCCCTGCCTTTGCACCGGCTCAATGTCAACATCTTGGGTACTTCTCCCGAGATGATTGATGGCGCTGAGAATCGATACAAGTTTTCCCGCATGTTGGATCGCATCGGTGTGGACCAGCCTGCTTGGAAGGAGCTGACCAGCATTGATGAGGCCCGCGAGTTCTGTGACAAGGTCAGCTACCCAGTGCTGGTGCGGCCTTCGTATGTGCTTTCTGGTGCTGCCATGAACACTGTCTACTCCGAGCATGACCTGGAGAGCTACCTCAACCAGGCTGTGGATGTCTCGCGAGAGCACCCGGTCGTCATTACCAAGTACATTGAGAACGCCAAGGAGATTGAGATGGATGCTGTTGCCCGCAATGGTGTCATGGTTGGCCACTTCATCTCGGAGCACGTTGAGAACGCCGGTGTGCATTCGGGTGATGCCACTCTCATCCTGCCCCCGCAGGACTTGAGCCAGGAGACTGTGCGTCGCATTGTGGAAGCAACCCGCAAGATCGGTAACGCGCTCAATGTCACCGGTCCTTACAACATCCAGTTCATCGCCAAGGACAACGATATCAAGGTCATTGAGTGCAATGTCCGTGCCTCCCGGTCCTTCCCCTTCGTATCCAAGGTCATGGGCGTTGATCTGATCGAGATGGCTACCAAGGCTATGATCGGCATTCCCTTCCAGGAATACCCGCCTGTGAACATCCCCAAGGACTACGTGGGTGTCAAGGTCCCACAGTTTTCCTTCTCACGTCTCTCGGGTGCCGATCCCGTGCTGGGTGTTGAGATGGCCTCGACCGGTGAAGTCGCTTCGTTCGGCCGGGACAAGTATGAAGCATACCTCAAGGCGCTCTTGTCTACTGGCTTCCGTCTTCCTAAGAAGAACATCCTGTTCTCCATTGGTTCCTACAAGGAGAAGCTCGAGATGTTGCCGTCGATTCAGAAGCTTTCTGAGATTGGCTACAGCCTGTTTGCCACTTCCGGAACTGCGGACTTCCTGAAGGAGAACGGCGTGTCTGTCAAGTACCTGGAGATCTTGCCTGGCCAGGAGGAAGACATCAAGTCGGAGTACTCGCTCACTCAGCATCTGTCCAACAACCTGATTGACCTGTACATCAACCTGCCGTCCAGCAACCGCTTCCGACGCCCGGCCAACTACATGTCCAAGGGTTATCGTACCCGTCGTATGGCTGTGGACTACCAGACTCCTCTGGTCACCAACGTGAAGAACGCGAAGATCCTCATCGAGGCCATTGCCCGCCACTACCCTCTCCACATCCAGACTTCCGACTTCCAGACCAGCCACCGTACACTGGTACTGCCAGGTTTGATCAACATTGCTGCTTTCGTGCCTGGCCTTGCCACATCTGGTTCCAAGGACTTTGAGACCGTGACCAAGGCTTCCATTGCTGCTGGCTTCACCATGGTTCGTGTGATGCCGGTCGGCGTTGACTGCTCGGTCACCGAGGCTCGTGATCTGAAGATCGCCCAGCAGAACGCGCAGAACTCGTACTGCGACTTCAACTTCTCCGTTGCCGCCACGGCTACTAACTCGGACCAGATCACCCTGGTGACCGGAGAGGTTGGTTCTCTGTTCATCCCGTTCAACCACCTGTCGGGCAACATCAACAAGGTTGCGACCGTCACCAACCACTTCAGTGCCTGGCCGTCGAGCAAGCCCTTGATTACCGACGCCAAGGGCACCGACCTTGCCTCGATTCTGCTGTTGGCCAGTCTCCACAGCCGCAACATTCACGTCATGAGCGTGTCCACCAAGGAGGACATTAATCTCATTGCCCTGAGCAAGGAGAAGGGCCTCAAGGTGACGTGCGATGTCTCCATCTTCTGCCTCTTCCTTTCCCGGAACGACTTCCCGGCCTCTGGCTTCCTGCCTTCGGCCGAGGACCAGAAGGCTCTGTGGGACCACTTGAGCACCATCGATGTCTTCTCGATTGGTAGCATTCCGTTCCAGCTGGCTGGTAAGGAGGCATCGCGTGTGGTGGGCATTGCTGAGTCGCTCCCTCTGCTGTTCACTGCTGTCTCGGAGGGTCGCCTGACCGTGGACGACATCGTTGCTCGTCTCTACGATAACCCGAAGAAGATCTTCGAGCTGCACGACCAGGCCGATACCTCGCTGGAGATTGAGGTTGACCGCCCGTATGTGTTCCAGAGCCCTCAGACTTGGTCTCCATTCAACGGCAAGACGATGCGCGGCTCGGTCCAGCGGGTCATCTTCCAGGGTAAGACTTCTTGTCTCGATGGCGAGATCTCGCAAAATTCCGCCAAAGGTACGGACATGTCCTCTCACCAGATCGTTCCCTTGTCTCCGGTGCAGAAGCCCTCGACCCCCATTCCGCACGCGCGTCCCGACAGCGCCCTTGACCGACAGCTGTCTGTCTCCGGTACTCCTGGCCGTGCTGTTCGCAAGGCCTTGGACACCGCTGTGCCTTCGGTTGGCGAACTGGGTCCCCCGCTGTACCCCCCGAGCTCCCAGGTCTCGTCCTCACTGTGGGATATGCTCTCGCGGTCTCCCTTCCGACAGAAGCATGTGCTGTCTGTGAACCAGTTTACTCGCGCAGACCTACACCTGCTGTTCACTGTCGCCCAGGAGATGCGTCTTGGTGTGCAGCGCCATGGTGTGCTTGACATTCTGAAGGGCCGTGTCTTGTGCACGCTCTTTTACGAGCCTTCGACTCGCACCTCGGCGTCGTTCGATGCGGCCATGCAGCGTTTGGGTGGCCGTACCATCCCGATCTCGACGGAGCACTCCTCCACCCAGAAGGGTGAGACCCTGCAGGACACCATCCGCACACTCGGCTGCTACAGTGATGCCATCATTCTGCGCCACCCCAGCGCGAGCAGCACCGAGGTCGCTGCCAAGTTCTCCCAAGTCCCAATCATCAACGGCGGCAACGGCTCCGTCGAGCACCCGACTCAGGCCTTCCTGGACCTATTCACCATTCGTGAGGAGCTCGGCACTGTTACCGGTCTCACAATCACCTTCACCGGTGACCTCCGGTACGGCCGCACCGTGCACTCGCTGATCAAGCTGCTTCAGTTCTACGACGTGCGTGTGCAGCTCGTTGCCCCCAAGGACCTGGCTCTGCCGGATGAGGTGCGCCAGCAGATCGTCGCCTCCGGCCAGCTGGTCCTCGAGTCTGAGGAGCTGACTCCGGAAATCGTGGCCCGCTCTGATGTTCTGTACTCGACTCGCGTGCAGAAGGAGCGCTTCGCCGACCTGGCTCAGTACGAGCGTCTCAAGAACAGCTTCGTCATCGACAACGCGCTGCTCAAGCACGCCAAGAGCCACATGGTGGTTATGCACCCGCTACCACGCAACGCTGAAGTTGCCGAGGAGGTGGACTTTGATCAACGGGCGGCCTACTTCCGCCAGGTATGTTCCGCTCCCTTTTCCTTTTTTCCGGAGATGTGCTAACGACGAGTCCAGATGCGATATGGCCTCTACTGCCGTATGGCTCTGTTGGCCCTGGTCATGGCGCCTTAAACCCAGCAGTCCTGGCCATTCCTCTTTTTTAGTGCCTTGGGGGAACAATCCTTAAAGTGCACATTACCATTGCGATGCTTCGATACGCAAGACCGTGTTTTGTGCTTTGCATTTTATCTAAAAGTTGTCCGCGTTCTGTGTCTGGATATTGCGTAGATGCAGCTAGGTACTTTTGCGCGATAGAACGCCAGCTGTATAGATTAGACGAATCTCCGTTTATGAATTGATGATTACGTGTTGTGTATGTGTGTATTTTTATGTGAGGTCTACGTTTGTGTGGCGTGTGTGGTGTGTGTGCGTGCTTCTGTGTTTTCTGTGTTTTTCTCCTTTTGGCGTTTTGGTTTATTTTGGTGCATCATCACGAGATTTCGACTGTATCTCTAATATATTCATTATTATTACTTTCCTATAATTGTCGTCTTTGTAGAGTGTCTTTCCTTGACTGCTTGTGAAAAATCGGCAGTTCGATGCACGGCTGTCCCAAGATTGCCGCCGCTAATTAAATCGTTGACTTGGTATCCACCACCCTACCACTACTACCTTACTACCATCTCGGTATGAATTCCCGTAAAACAACAACCTGATTATTTTCATATTCTATCTCGTTGTCTAGCACTGCGTCTATCTCGCCTACAGTAGAATTCTCTGCGGCCGTTTCTTGATCACAATACGCAATGTCGCCCGGATCATCTTCCGATGGCGTGATTTGGATAACCGATGGCATTAAATCCAAACAACCGAGAGGCGCAAAGACATGAATTCTGAGTGGGCAGGCTAATGGATACTGTGATAACTCCCACGGGTATGGCAATCGTGCAAAGAATGTACATTTGGTATCAGACTTCCTGTCGTATTCTGGTCAGGCCCACGCTGGGCCTAGGGAAGGAGATGAGGTGAAACCAAATTGCTGCGCGCCAGTTTACCGCATTAGATCTGGGACCGTACCGCCATGACTAGAACCAGGGACCCTGACGTTTAAGAATTCAAATCCGACCAAGTTTGACATCGATTCCATATATTGAAACCGCAAGTGATCCACACGATAGTAGATCAGAAATCCACCATATGACATTATGACATCCACGCGCAGGAGCAGCTAGTGTGCCGGGATAAATAGAAATAATGTTCCAGCATTAATCTACCTAGCCTATGATCCAGACGATCCCCAGCCTATATCTCCACCCGCCCGATCTCGTCATCGCAATGCCCAAATTGCTCATCGTGCTTATTGTTCAGACACGCAACGCAGGGTCCCGCCAACCGGGTTTTACGCGAAATATTATTCGCTGATCCTGGTCTGTTCTTCTCGGCCGGGAATTGTCATGATGCAAGATCTACTCTTTCTTCCTCGGCTTGGTGAGAGATGCCCGCCAACATCGCGTGAAGCGGGCGCTCGATGGTGTGCTTGAGGATCGTAAAGAATATTATAGAAGTCGTAGTCCCATAGCTTCTTTTCCCTTCCAGATTCGCTTTCGACATAGAGGTTAAAAAATCCCCTACTCTTTTCTGTTCCCCTTGATCCGGACTCGACGCACGGCTTGACACTGCCTAATCGAATTGTCGCCATGTCCGCAGTCGCAGAGAAGGAGACCGAGGGCGCGGCCAGCCCTGGTCCCAAGCAGGAAGTCGGTACCTCTTCGCCTTCGTCGAGCAGTCTCGGGGAGACCTTTGGCATCAATGAGAAGGCCCTGCTCCGGAAACTAGACTACCGACTGCTGCCTCCGTTGACATTGTTGTATCTGCTTTCGTTCCTCGATCGGAGTAATGGTACGCCAGTATAGACACAAACTACTGGCGCACAGCTGATCAATTATCGACAACAGTTGGAAATGCAAAGCTCGAGGGCATGACGACGGACGTGGGGATGTGTATGTCCGCCACTCAATTGCACATTCTTCTTGTCATGCTAATCACAGTCAATTGATATAGCAGGAGATCAGTACCTCACAGGCCTCACCCTCTATTTCATCGGATACGTGCTCTTCGAAGTTCCCTGCAACATCGTGTTAAGGAAAACGACTCCGCGCAAATGGCTGCCGACCCTTACTCTCATCTGGGGCGTGGTAGCGACCCTCCTGGGAGTCGTGCAGAACTACTCCGGGTTCCTATCTTCGCGTTTCTTCCTCGGTGTCGCAGAAAGTGGTCTTTTCCCCGGCGTGGTATTCTACCTGTCTATGTGGTATAAACGCAATGAGCAGCATTATCGCGTTGCTCTGTTCTTCAGTGCCGCATCGTTGGCCGGTGCCTTTGGTGGTATCCTCGCCTGGGGCATTGCCCATATGAAGGGTGTTGGAGGATATAACGGCTGGAGGTGGATTTTCATTCTGGTTTGTGAAGAAAGAAAAAGAATGTGTTGAATCAAGCTGACATCAAGATAGGAAGGACTGTTGACCGTTGTCGTGTCCATCATCGCCTATTTCTGGGTGTACAACTATCCTGCGACGGCCGAGTTCCTGACTGAGCAAGAGCGCGAGTTCATACAGTTCCGCCTCAAGAACGACAATGACGCCACGCGCGATGAAAAGTTCACGTGGTCGGCGGTGTTGGACGCATTCAAGGACCCGAAGGTCTGGCTATACTGCTTGGGATTTCACACTATGTCCCTGCCATTGTATACACTTTCGTTGTTCCTGGTGAGTTGATTGCTTTTTCGCATGTGCAAAACTCTGCTCACCATTCTATAGCCGACGATTATCAAAGATTTGGGATACTCTGCAGCCGAAGCACAACTGCTCACCGTGCCCCCGTATGCCGTGGCTTTCATCTTGACCATCAGCGTCGCTGTGCTCTCCGAGAAAACCCAACGCCGGGCACCATTCATCATGGGCTCATCTGCCCTCGCCTGCATTGGCTACATTATCTTACTATCCGATCACCGGGCCGGCGTGTCGTACGTCGGAACTATCTTCGCCGCAGCAGGCATTTATCCTGCTGTTGCTATCGTGCTCTCATGGCCCGCGAACAACGTCTCCGGGCAGACGAAACGTTGCATCGCAAACGCTCTGCAGATTTCCATTGGAAACCTTGGCGCCGTCATGGGTACCCAGTTGTATCGCACTGAGTGGAGTCCGTACTACTTTGTGGGCCACGGCACTGCACTGGGCTACCTAGTTGCCAATATTTTCGTCGTGGGGACGCTATGGTACGTCTTGAAACGGGAGAATGAAAAGAAGGAGCGTGAGAGAGAAGCTCAAGGTCTGACGGCCATGATGGGTGACGTTGGAGACGTTGAGGGTGAATTCTTGGGAGACAAGGATCCCCGTTGGATCTTCCAGTTATAATCTCGTTGGGTACGAGTTCGCTTTTCTCAAATACCAAAAAGTGTCAGCGGTCAAGACGGTCTCTCGTAGTTTGTGATCTATCATATATGTATATTGATCTATGTATCTCTTCGTTAAGATTCATGTCTCATCCCGGCATGGTTGCAACTCTTCAAGCCTTATCGGGCCAGTACTTTTGTACAATGGTCTTCTTGTTGACCTTGCCCATGGCATTACGCTCAATCCCATCCACGATCTTCAGCACCGTCGGGATCTTATACGGGGCCATTTCGTTCTTCAGTTCGGCGCGAAGAGCTGAGAGTTCTAGCGGTGCAGCCTGTATCAACCATTAGCTAAACCCCAAGAACGAAAAGAATTCAACATACTCCCTCGCGAACCTTGACCACTGCCGCAACCCGTTGTCCCCATTCCTCATCTGCTAGCCCGACAACCGCCACTTCTTGGATGGAGTCCAATGCGAGCATCTTGCGCTCGACTTCAAGCGCCGAGATCTTGTAGCCACCCGACTTGATCAGGTCGACCGACGCCCGGCCCTGAATGAAGTAAGCACCAGCTGCATCGCGTCTGGCTACATCGCCCGTCTTAAACCAGCCATCGGCTGTGAATTCGGATACTGTGGCTTCAGGTCTGCGCCAGTACTCGCGGAAGACATTGCCGCCTTTGATCTCAATCATCCCGTCCTCATCACTCTCCTCAATGACCCGCCCGGTCTCCTTCTCAGTCAATCGCACCTGAACACCAGGGAGCGGCCAGCCCACACTGCCATCAATGCGCTTCTCAACCTCCAACCCACAGCTAATCGCCATACCAATCTCCGTCATCCCGTACCTCTCCAGCAGGACCTGACCCGTGATCTCGGCGAATTTGGCCTTTATAGGAGTCGGCAGCGCCGCAGACCCACTAACGATCAATCGCAGGGCTTTCGCACCAGCTCGCGCAGTCGTTTCCTGTTCGGACCCACGAATGTGAGCATCGAAATAATCATTGAGTCGCGAGTAGATTGTTGGCACAGCCATGAACATAGTCGAGGAGCCGCGGTCCTGCCACCGCTCCCAAATAGCTTTGGGGTCGAATTTCGGGTGCATTTCCACAGTCGTGCCGCTCAGAAAACTCGCTGTTAACCCGTTGATAATGCCGTGGACATGGTGCAGTGGGAGCACATGGATGAGATGGTCAGAGGGGTTGTATTTCCAGGCCTCGATGAGGCTGTTTGCTTGGAATGTAATGTTTTCGTGTGTTGTGACGCAGCCCTTCGGGTTTGATGTGGTGCCAGAGGTATAGATCATCAAGGCTCGACGAGTCAAAGGAAATGAAGGGGAGAAAGTAGGCAGAGGCGCTTCGTCGGTGCGCGTAAAAGGTTCCAAGTTCATGAATGGGATGGCGGTAGTGCACCCCTCGCGCAAAGCCGGGGCCACTTTCTCAAATGTTGGATGGATGAGGATTAGAGATGGGTCCGAGTCGTCCACGGTATACAGGAGCTCCTTCACAGGGTGGCTTGTGCCTATTTCCCTTCATATTAGCTCCCACGTCCCAGGAATTGAATGCTTTAATAGCTTACAGAGTGGCACACACACTCCCCCGGCCGCCCACACGGCCCATTGAGTGACCACATAATCGTATCCGTTCGGGGTGAGGAAGGCAACGCGCCGTTCGTCCAAATCACCAGAGTCCGAAAGCCCAAGTTCCCCAAGAATACGCTTCTTCAAGGTCGCCGCATCGGCGAGCAGCTGACCGAAGGTGAAGGACTCCTGCTTGGTGGTGTCCACGACCGCCACCTTCGCGGGGTTGCGCTCGGCATGGGTCTGCGCCGCGACGAAGAGCGGCAAGGATGGAATTGACATCGGTGCGACCGTGAATCGAGTGAATGGAACAAGGTGAATTGATGAAGAAGAGCCGAGTTATCAGGATCAGGGGCGGCCCATCATGATCGCGCAATATCTTTAGCCGGTGATTATTGCGGAGAATGGCCGATGTGGAGACCGAGATTTATCCAGCAATCTGCATAATATTACATGTCAGGTACGAGCTCTGCAACTAGAGCCGAACTGAATTTACTATCCTATTCAAGATTTTGGTATTAAGTACAAGATCCAACTTGGCTTAGGGTTAGTTAATGCTCGCAATCACAACCGCTAAATCCCATCTCGCCTACAGGACAGCAGCAACTAGAGCCGCTGCGGCTCCACCCAAAATAGCACCGCGATTTGCGGTGATTTGGGGCAGACCTCCCGTGCTGGTACTCGTGGAGGAAGATGCACCCGAAGCCTGCGACGTGCCGGTAGTCGAAGCCCCAGTGGCGGTAGTCGAAGCCCCAGTGGCAGTAGTCGAAGCCCCGGTGGCGGTGGCCGAGGGACCTGCAGTAATAGTGACCGGCATCAAGGTAATCTCATTTTTGCTCAGAGTCGTGACTTGAGTAAACTCGGTGCGCGAGCTCCCAATCACCTGGTGTGGCATGGTCACGGTGCACACGGCCGTCGTGGTTCCTCCCACCGAGCAACCAACGTGGCCATAGCTATCATCAATTAGGTATTAGAGACGGGAATCGATCACTCCATCACGTATATTCACGAACGTACACATCGTAGGGTGGAGTCAGCTCCCAATCGACCGTTGTCGGGGCCGCAATGTACGTGAAGCCGGGAGCGAATCCACAATTTTCGGGGCTCACGCCAGAAGCGCAGTGGATGCTGTATGTCGTCGTGTCGGAGTGCTATGTTATCACCATCCTGTTAGCACGGGTCATCCTGGTCGCTTTTGGGCTGCCACACACCGATGCCACGACCGAGCCGACCAGAGACTGAGGGTCAGCATCAAAGATGAACAGAGAGACGACGGAGGATTCTGCGGCCGCGAGGCCCAGCGTCGTGAAAGTCAGCAAGCTTTGCAAATTCATCTTTAGCATTGTGCTAATTTTCGACGATGGTGAGGATAGGAGGGAAAATATTAAGAAATCTGTTTTCGTTTGACGCAGGATTGAATAGGGTCCAGCGGGGGCAGCCTAGAACCCGACAGCCCGGTCAAGTCGGGATTGGTAATGAGCCTTCAAATTTTGTGAGACAAAGGCACCTCATTGGTGTATTGTTAGATTATCTCCGGCGATGTAGAAATACTTGGTGCCAACCTTGGAAAAAATTGGTGTTTATGTTTGACCTAGGTTGTATATATTCTGGAGGAAATCTCTCGAAGACTAGTTGACCAGTCCACCGCCATGGCTGTGGACTGATTCTAATAGTGTAGAAAGGAGCAATCCAACCAATCAACTACAATGATCTCAATCTATTCTTGGATTTATGTAACTTAGCTGCTATAATTCACTCTCTGGCAACAAAATAGTACCATCACGTGACCAGCCCTACTCGTTGACCCGCGGTGCTGCTTTCCTTTCGTTCCTCGATATCTGACGATGCAGACTCGACCAATTCTGCGGCCATGGGTGCGCTTGGCTACCCATACGTTCCGTCGCTCAGTGCGCCTGGTGTCTTCGGCTCCTCCCCTGATTCATATTCAGGATGGCACTTTTTACAAGCAGTATCCGACCGCCAATGACGCATCTAACCCTCCGCTGTTCCCAAACTTCAACTTCACCCTCCCTTCGGATCTCCCCTCAAAGAGAACAGACGGTACAATTCCGCCGCCCCATCATTGGGCGGTGATTGGCACCCCCAGCCGAACCGATCTCCTCCACGTCCTACGCGGCCAGCACATCTGTATACCGCCCACTGCGCGCTCGTACCCTTACCTCCGCACGGAAGAGCTCGCGGCCAAGGACCCTCGACTACGCTTTGTGGGGAATGCCATTCAATATATCGGCTTCAGTGGCGAGGGGTCCGGCGCAATTGGAGGGACCCGAGGCGCATATCTGAGTGCCCGCTATGAGAGTCATCGCGAGGAGACGGACTGGACGGTGCAGCAATTCCTTCGCGGCCAGATGTCCCTGAACCCACTGGAAGGAGAGGAACTAGGGTCAGTGCATGATGAGCAGCTCATTGAGCAGGTCGTCACCGATCTGCGTCTGCGAGACCTGCTTGACATGCCCGTCGCCAATCTCAGCAATGGCCAGACGCGACGGGCGCGGATCGCCAAGGCGTTGCTGAAAAAGCCAGAACTTCTGCTTCTGGATGAGCCATTCAGTATGTATGCCCGACCCGTTCTCAGGTCTAACTAACATCGTCCAGTGGGATTGGACCCGGCCACCGTTCAGGGCATTTCTGGACTGCTCCACCGGTTAGCAGAGAAGTGTGCCCCGCGGTTGGTGCTGGCTCTACGCCCTCAAGATACCGTGCCAGATTGGATCACCCACAGGATGATTGTGGGCAACTCTCAACGGATCCTTCTGCAGGGCACAAACCGTGAAGTTGACGAAGGGCTGGAAGTTTGGCGGAAGGAATTTTTCCCTGGGTCCAGTAAGGGCCGGCCGCAAAAAGAGAACATATCGCAAGCATCTCAAGATGCTATGGCAGCTGGATTTCTGGATTGGGAACTCCTTGGAGACCTCGGAGTTAGCAAACCCAAGAAGAAAACCCTCGATAGCCATGCTCGGAAAGCAGGAGAACCATTGATTGAGATGGAAGGCGTTCGGGTTCAGTACGGCGAGAGAGCGGTGCTGGGCGACTGGAAACAAAGGGTTCACAATGCGGACAAGGATGGCCTGCACTGGCAGGTGCGTCGGGGTCAACGATGGGCGATTCTGGGTGCCAACGGGTCAGGAAAGACGACATTGCTGTCCTTGATTACGTCCGATCATCCACAGACATACGCGCTGCCTGTCAAATTGTTTGGACGGTCTCGACTGCCGGAAGCCGGCAAACCCGGTATTTCGATTTTCGAGCTACAGTCTCGTCTCGGCCATTCGTCCCCAGAGATCCATGCGTTCTTCCCTCGTCAGCTGACACTGCGACAGTCCCTCGAATCGGCCTTTGGAGAGACATTCTTGTCGAAGCCAAAGCTGGACTATGAACGGGACATGGACGTGAACGCGATCTTGCGTTACTTCAAAGATGAATTCGACCCCCATGCGGCTGATAAGGTCCAGCCACCAAAGCTCTTCCCAACGGAGGGGCGTGAGTTTTTCCCCAAACTCGGGTCTCTTCGCTACTCGACAGCATTCGTTGATGAAGAGCACGATATCGAGTATGCGGATCAAGTGCGCTTCGGCGAGCTCACCACTGCCCAGCAGCGTATCGTGCTGTTTCTGCGAGCCCTCATCCACAGGCCGGATATCGTCATCCTAGACGAACCCTTCTCAGGCCTGTCCGCCAGTCAGCGCGACAAGTGCCTGCACTTCCTCGATCTCGGAGAGAGAAAGAAAGCGAAGGACAAAACCCCCGAAATCCGCTACAAGGGTCTGTCGGATGACCAGGCATTGGTGCTCATTAGCCATGTCAAGGAAGAAATCCCCAACAGCGTCCGCCACTTTATGCGCCTGCCGTCTGACATGGGCGTTGACGAGCCCCTGGGATTCCGGCTTGGCCTCCTTTCCAGCGGTACCGTCTTGAGCGACCCATCTGTGTGGGATACGGTGTGGTCTCATCAGTTTGACCAACACGCTCGTCGCATCGAACGACCGGCGGATAAGAAGGATGACCCGAGCTACGAGGATATGGACACATACGGGATGTACACACTGGAGTTGCCGGCTACGAAGAAGAAGTGAGAAGGCATATAAAAAGAATCAATAATAGAACCCTAGAACATATACATATATATATACTCCATATTTAAACCCGAACAGTAAATAAAGACAAATCCATTCATTTATCTTTATTCGCTTGGATGATCTCATCATTCTCCCATGTCTTTTTCTCGACGCCATCCAATGCCAGATCCAGCATGGCGGCCGCCAACACATCCACCCGCACGGAGGTCGTCAGGCACAGCAACATGCTGCGCAGGGTCAACTCGGACGACATAACCATGCCGGGGCGCATGATGTACGCATCGAAGTGATCTGGGTGTGCCTCGGCCAGGGACATCAGCTCAGTTTCCACTTGGCCCTATTTCTTTCGGTCAACTTCACCCGTGCGTAAACAGTCACTTCTCTAGTTAGGCAGACATACTCGAATCCGTCGATACTCCTGCATAAACCATAACGGCTTGTTATGATCACACTCTGCCGCGGCTCCGCTGCAATACACAAAGCGGATCTTGTTCTCTGTCGTCTCTTGCAACGCCCGCACGGCGGCGAGCGTATAGTCCACGCTCACACGGCGAGCTGTTTCGTTATCGGGCATGCGCGCTTTGCCCAGTGTCCTGCTCACCCTGTTAACTAGGATGTGCTGGAGATTGTCCCTTTTCTATACTTGTTCTCCCCTCACTCGACGACTTCGCAGTAGTATCAAGACAAAATAAATAATGAAAGGATTCCTACCAGATACATGCATCCGCATCCTTAATCATATCCCTGACCGAATCGGGATACCACAGGAAATCATCCACCAGAACGACTCGCAGTTTCTTAGCTTTGTCATGATCTTTTTGCGCAGGTAACTGGCGGCGCGAGAGCACCACCACCGAGGTAGTTTTGGAACTGTCTAAGCATTGCTGGAGAACTTCCTGGCCGATGAAGCCGGTTGAGCCTGCTAGGACTATCTTCATTTTCTGGTTGGAGGATAGATGGGTAGAATGGGTGCTGGCGTGGCCTCGGGGATGACACTCGGATGGAGAAGGTGAGTGGATGGCGGGCTTGGGGGCCAAGGCTGAGGTGGTGGGTGTCCGCCACGAATCGTTTTGAGGATGAGGGAAGACACTTGGCTGCGAAACTTTTACCAGTCCGTTCAAATGGAGAAATATTAGATGTGGCATTTGCGATTTGAGTCCAATGGGTCTAAGAGGACCCGCGATGAACAAGAAGCACGAAACAATCTCAGATATCCTATGCTAACGACAAACTAAAGACCTAGCTAAATCATCGCGGGCGGCGCCGGGGAAGGTGGCAGTTCGCCCGGCTGAACAGTGCGCATACCCTCTCCGCCAGGAGACTGCTCACCAGAATCCTCCAATCCACGAGCGACCAAATCCGTAAAATCGACGCCCACCTCCGCCAGCAGTTCCGCATGGTCGCGCACAATATTCAAGCACTTCTCCCACACCGAGGTGCCCCGTTGCACGCTGCTGAGCTGGCGGCCAAGTAGCGCATTGAAACCGTCGAGATGTTGCTTGGCCCACCGAATGCAGGAACTTGTCATCACGGACGGGAAGCACTGCTGATAGATACTGATGGTATTCTTGATGAGTGTGAAATAGACGAACGAGATCTGGAAGATGTAAAGAGGTAGGTCGCCCTCGAAGACACAGGCTCTGTAGTGCCTAGTTAGCTTGAACATGATAGAAAAAAAAAGGAGGGAAGTACATACCGGACGCGCTTAGCGATCACTTCGGATCGGGCCTTCAGATAGGCTTCACGGGCCTGGTCTTCACACCCGAGGCGGGACAGCCAGCTGACATTGGTCTTGGTCGCCATCGGGAAGGAGTGCGTATCCACCAACGCCCGGGAGAGCATGCCCGCCAATTTCGCCGCGCGCTCATCAACCTTGCCGTTGATCACCTCCTGCGCCATGACGTTCCCCTTCAGTCCTCTGGCCAACTTGCGCAGCCGTTCGATGCTTGCCACGGCCAACTCAAACCGTTGCAGTGCGATGTCAATGTCCAGGTCATCCACTTGGCTCTCGACCCAACGCAGATTCTGCTGCTTTCCATCCACATCAATTCGCAGTTCCGACTTGTCGCGGGGGATCTCCGAGAGATCAAACGTCTCGGACTTTGGCGTGTAGGACATTCGGCCCGCCAGAAGCCCATAGGCCTCGAGCGGTTTGCTCGCAGCCTCTGTTTCGGACCGAAGCATGCGCCGCAGGTCTTCAACCGTTTTACGGAACGTTTGCAGCAGCTCGTTCTTGGTAGTTGTGTCGCGCTTGTCCTGGCGGTAAGTGTACGGCTTGGACCCCACGCGAATGCTGATGGCATTCGCAATGCCACGGTCCACAGCTTCTTCACGAGCCGCGCCGGTGCCCAGGTTGGCAGCCAGATCGATCATGTCAATGTCCTGGAGTGGCCAGCACTCCTCTGCGACGAGCTTGGTGGGGACGGGTCCTCGACGGTTGGCTTGGGATTGGTCTACTCGCTTGCGCTTCTTGGCGGCCACCAGGATATGGTCATTCAACAAGACGATGTGGACGGGCCGCCGGGGCTTCCAGGTCGCCGAGTCCAGCTCGGCCCAGTTACCCGTCTCCAACACAATGTGCCGCCCGGGGACAGCCGGCAGGAACTTCTGGGACCCTTCCACAGTCTTCCACAGAGTTTGGAGCTGCACGCTCCACATACTTTCCAGGTTGGCGACGGAGCTGCGGTTCGCATTGCGCTTGGGGACATATTCTTCCGTGGGAGACATGGGGTTAGGCGTGTTGCCCACCGTGGTTTGTCCCAGTGCGGTTGTGAGCTCCGCCATCAGGGTGCGGAGCGTGCGCATCTCATCCTTGAGCTTTTCCGCCTCCTTACTGATCTTGATGAATTGCGTGCGGTTCTGGTACACATTCTGTTGGAGGTCGGTCGAGGTACGGTTCTTGACCTTGCGGAGGCTCGCCTGGTAATCTTGGATCTCTTCCTCGGACGCGTTGGCAAGCAAACTGGCCACATCTAAAGACCCATCTGGTCAACACCAATTCGACCAATTGTTTTCGCAGGGTACTTACATCGATCCACGGGAAGACTCGGATCTCGCAGAGCATTGAGGTCTACCTTGGGCGCCTCCGATGACAGGTCGGACGCCGATGGCTTCCTCGAGACCGCCGCTGGGGCTAGTCCACCGGGCTGAGGTGGGAGCGAGGGCACTGGGGGGGCATTGGCATCGAAGTCGGGAGCTGGATTGAAGCGAGTCGAGTAACGGCGTTTGACCAGGTCGGACGTGGCATCTTTCTGCGGAGCTCGTTGGTCGCGGCCAGTGGGGATGGCTCCTGGGCGAGCCTCGGGGGCCTTGATGTTGGCCGGCAGCGGACCAGAGATGGGCTTGGGGGCACTGATCTGAGGCCGCTGGCGGCGAGACTTGCTGCGCAGGGTCAAACCTCGTCCTTCCATGGTGAATGGATGATGGATGGCAGATGGGAGACGGTATGTATCACACTGCCATGTTGTGGAGAGAGCTCGCTGGTCAGTCAGCTCCTGGGATCCCGGAAGAACATAAATCCTCCTTCAAATTTATCACTTGCAATGATTATCACCTGTCCCATCTCCCATTATTCTTTCCATCCCATTGCTTCACAACTCCCATTGTGTTTGGGTGCCCTGTCGATTTTCTCTCCTTACTGCCGCTTCTACTCCCCCCTTCGCCATGAGGACCTCTGTTTTGGTGGCTGCTTCAGCCGGCACGGTCATCACCGGCCTGCTCGGTAAGGTCCATCACACGTGTTGACCGGTGCATCCTAGCTAATGGTTTCCAACTTATTCATAACAGCCTATGCAGTGTACTTTGACCACAAGCGCCAGACAGATCCAGATTTCCGGAAATCCCTGAAGCGAAACAACCGCCGCATGGCTCGGGCAGCCAAGGAGGAGGCCGAGGCCCACGGTGCCCAGCAGCGGGAAGCGATCAAGCAAGCTGTGCAGCAGGCCAAGGAGGAGGGCTTCCCTACAGATCTGGAAGAGAAGGAGGCCTACTTCATGGGCCAAGTGGCGCAGGGCGAGTCGCTGTGTGCCGAGGGTACGTTTTTCCTCCCCACCCAGTCCCACGATCTCCCATATTGACCAGACTTGTTGCACCAATAGGTTCCGACCAAATCCAGGCTGCTCTCGCGTTCTACCGGGCCCTGAAGGTGTACCCGCAGCCCAAGGACCTGATCTCGATCTACGACAAGACCGTCCCGAAGGAGGTCCTGGAGATCCTGGCTGAGATGGTCGCCATGGACTCCGGCCTCAACCTGGGCTCGTTCACCGGCGAGAGCGGTGGTGATAGCCACGGCGTCGAGTAAAGTTCTTGATTGATGCTTCCCTCGCTCGCCTTCCTTTTCATCCGACCTCTCCGCCTTCTTCCCGATCACCGTCCCGCTCTCCACTCCCCGTATACGGCTCACACTGCCCCCCTGTCTCCTCCTGTATTTTGTATATGTATGTGTTCATCGGGGCCTAAGCCTTGGCAGAGGGTGCCGAGGCCTTGGGTTTCTCTCGGCGCCATGATTCTATTGCGTCGACATTTCCTTTTTCTTTTTCTCTCTTTTTCCGCATTGTACCGTCTTGGGCTGGACCAGGTCTGGGGATGGATGGAAGGACTCGGACAAGCAACCTTCAGGCTGTGGTGTCGTACTGTACTATTTTAGAAGAAGAATAAGTCTTGAATGGATTAGACTTTGGGCATGGCTCCGTCTGTGGCGCCATCGATCGCGTCAATAGGCTACTCCGTTTCTAGTACATGAGAGGTACTTCTGCTCCTCATAGTGGACACCACTACTTGCCAAGTACCCACCAAGTCGCCCGCCAGACCCCTAATTGTGCCCCACAACTCGCTGATCTCAATCCTTCCATGTTTCGTCTCTTTCTCCTATTTCTTCTCGTCTGACCGTGTCTTGTCTTCTCTCCTCCTCCTTCCCTTTATCCCATCTTTTCTTGTCCATTCTTTCTTTCTTTTTTTTCGGTGTATATACAATCACCAGACACTCGTTCTTTCCCCCACCACACACATACACATACACTCGCTGTCCCTCTTTCCAGACCTCGTTCAACGGTCGCTTTGTCTCTCACTTTTGACACCCATTTGATATACTATTCACCCATTTGGCCGGAATAATCTTCAGCCCATCAACATGATTCCCGTAGGTCTCATTCCGTCGCCTCTTCTGATCTGGGCTCACCCACTCTCTAGTCCTACGGTCGTCTCGCTACGGCCGTCTGTGCTCTCGCCAGCACTGCCGCCGCCGTCATCCCGCTCGAAGTGAAGGGCAAGGACTTTGTCAACTCCCAGACCAACGAGCGCTTCCAAATTATTGGTGTTGAGTAAGATCCTCTGTTGACCTCTCGGCCGAGGACAAATGGCTGACTGGCCGAACAGCTACCAGCCTGGTGGATCGTCCGGTTTCAACCCTAACAAAGACGAGGACCCTCTGACCGACGGCCAGGCGTGTCTGCGGGATGCTGCTCTCATGCAGGCGCTGGGTGTAAGTCGAATCACTTTCTTCCATCGTGTGTTCTCGATAGGCTGATGCAACGATTCCTCATAGATCAACACCATCCGAGTCTACAACCTGGCAGCCAATGGCAGCCACGATGAGTGCGTGTCCACCTTCAACGCCGCCGGTATCTACATGATCCTTGATGTCAACACCCCTCAGGAGGCTCTGGACAGCAGTGCGCCCTGGACCACCTACACCAACGAGTACTACCAGCAGGTGTTCGGTATCGTGAATGCCTTCATGAACTATGACAATGTGATTGGTTTCTTCGCCGGAAACGAGGTCATGGACGGCAGCCCAGACAATGCCTGGGCCGCCCCGCTTTACGTTCGTGCCGTCATTCGTGACATCAAGCAGTACATTGCCGCCCAGTCCAAGCGTACCATTCCTGTCGGATACTCCGCTGCGGATGTGCGCAATATTCTGGTGGACACCGCCCACTACTTCGAGTGTGAGCTTGCCAACTCGACCGAGTCCAAGGCTGACATGTTCGGCCTGAACTCGTACTCCTGGTGCGGTAACTCCAACATGAAGACCAGCACCTACGACCAGCTGGTGACGGACTTCAAGTCGGCTACCATCCCTGTCTTCTTCTCCGAGTATGGCTGCAACAAGGTTCTGCCCCGTACTTTCACCGAGGTGCAGGCTATCTACGGCGAGGACATGACCCAGGACTTCTCTGGCGGTCTGGTGTACCAGTGGACCCAGGATACCAACAACTTCGGCCTGGTCGACATCAAGTCTGCCGACTCCGTCGAAACGCTCGTTGATTACTACAACCTGCAGAAGCAGCTAGACCAGCTTGACATCGCCCGCATCACCTCCACCAACGTGACTCAGGACAGCGTCCAGCCCGAGAAGTGCGACCCCAGCATCATCACGGGCAGTTTCTATAACTCGTGGGACCTGCCCACTCCCCCGTCCGAGGTTCCGGGTTGGATCAAGAACGGTCTTCCCGATGCTGCCCAGCACCAGGGCAAGATCGACAACTCTGGCCTGAAGAACCAGACTATCCCCCAGACGGTGACCAAGTACAACGGCCAGAAGGTCTCTGTCCAGTACACCATGCTGGCCGATGACGCGACCAACAACCCCTCCGGCCCCAAGTCGACCTCCACCTCGACCTCGTCCGGCGCTGCGTCCGCCACGACCACTAACGCTGCCCCCAAGGACGGTCCCTCGATGGTCGTCGGTGGCCTCGGTGGTCTCTTCATGCTGGCCGCTTCGCTCTTCTAACTGCTTTGCTTTTTTTTTTAAAGTTGAGTGTGTGCGCTACAGGAGGCAAATGGTTGGCGTCGGACCTGTTCTTGAGTCTACCAGGACAATTATGGATATACCCTTCCTGTCTAGTGTAATTACTTCGCTGTTACCTGTTTTTTGTTTTCTTCCATGCATATGCTTCGTTTTCAAACCGGTGATTCGGTTAATGGATATTTTTTGGTTGCGTTGTTAATCTTTGCCGGTCTGCAGTAGTGTAGATATTTTCTCTCCTGGATAGCCGAAATGTCTCGAGGTTCAACGAACGCCCGGATATATTCTTTCGTACACCTATTTTAGTTGTAGAATGGATGCTATGATTACCTGGGCATGCATGGGCCTGTGTTCAAGTATTGGTTTCCTTGGGCTAGACTCCCTAGACTCCCTCGGACTACAAACGTACTTTTAACAGATCGGTCCTCACAATACTGACAACGATATTAAACATGCTCTAGATGTAGGTAACGAAAATTAAACCGAACAACAACTCAGAAATCACAAAACGACAGAAATAACAACTCAAAATCTTTCCCTCCGGATATGATCAAACCGAAAGCCTCTACATCATCCGGGCTTTGCCTTTGCCCTTCCCAGACGAGAAAGATGACGGCCCAGGGGACAACGCCGGGAACTCCTCGTGCTCCTGCTTTGATGCGTCATCGCGACTCTCATTCTCCGCCAGGCTTAGCTGAATGGCGAATTCCAAGTCATCCATCTCTTGTTGCTGGCTACTCTCCGCGGCAGCCGTACCAGGGGATGCCGAGTGCGGTGGCTCGACGCCCTTGGCGTACTTGATGGGAATTGGGGATGTGTGTTCGTTCGGCGCAGCGCTGGATCTCTCATCTAATAAACTCAGCCGAATGGCTTCGGCGAGCTCGTCATCAACGTCGTCGGCAGGATCTTGATATGGCGACGAAGAGGACGAGAATTCGCCTGGAGCACCCGAACTCGGACCGACGGTATCGCTCAGCTCGGCGCTAGTGACGGAGCTCACGGACGCCGCTTGGTCGCCGCGTTTGGGGGCATTGCCTGTGTAGGTTTCTTCGCTCAGAAGTCGAGCGTACGCCAACAGCTGTTCCTCATCAACATCGGGGCCCAGGAGATCAACGCCAAAGCGTGCACTTAAATGTGCCCGTTCTTTCTCATCTGCGACTCTTTGGCGCTCCATTTCCACACGTTCGTCTTCAATGTAGTCACGAATAGCACCACGCCCACTATTAGTGAAACGCTGGCCGTCAGCAGAGCCATTGCTGCCGCGCATCGAACGCCGGAATCGACGCTTGCTGTTCTTGTACTGATCGGCCGCAGATGAGCTGTATGACCAGTAGCGGAGGTGGGTCCCAAGGGACACCATCCCACGCAACACGGTTGGATCAGTATCTAGGCAGATGGCTCCAGTGGCATAGTAGTTATTGCCCACACCAAGCACCGAAGCTTCTGCTTGGACCAGCCGGCGGCGGGCCCGTGATGAGAAACGAGAGTTGATGGTTCGAATTGGTGTTGTAGACGAGGCTAATGGATCCCAGGCCTGTACGAGGCCATCGTTGCCGCCATGCACAAGGTACAACGACGTCAATGCCACACTGGAAACTTGGGGTGACTCGGTTTGAATCGTCCGTAGTGGAGAAATGGAGTTGATGACATCCGCAGTCTGCGCCGAAGGGATTCGAATATCCCAGACGAATACCATTCCTGAAGTAGTGCCGACGGCCATGTACCGTGCCCGCTGTCCAGGAACCTCTAGGCTTGATCGCGGCTGCTCCATATGCGGCATTGGGGACGACGTCGCAGAAGAGAACGAGCTACCAGACATGGCCAAGAGCGGATCTTCCTCTGCTGTAAGTACAGCAAAAGTGGAATGGTCCAATGCGGTGGTGGTAACTTCCACGGATTTGCGGTCGCCAAAGACAAAATCCGAAATGCGCCATTCAGTGCTGATGGAAGAGACCGGCTCACTCAGTCGACTGGACGATCGGGATGGCGGGAGGCTGCTGTTCATAGCCTGATTGGTAGTGTTCCCTGGGCCACCAAAAAGGGAGGTCGACGCCTTTTCGGTTGCAGAGAGAGGGTAATTTTCCAAAGCGGTTGACGAGTACAGATCAGACTTGGCGGCGGTTCGAACAAATCGCCGGATCGACGCCTTGTCATCGTCACCCGTGCCACGAGCAATGATGATAACAGATTCGCCGGCTCCGCGACCATCGTCACCCGCAAAATCAACTTGGAGGTCGCGCTGCATATTCCACCCTTCGCAAACTTTGCGGAAGTGCTTGGGCTTGAACGCAAGAAACTTTTCAATCTCTTTCGTTTCAGCGGCAATCTGACTCTCATTGAGACCCATCAAATCAGAGGATGACCGCGGGCTATAGCTGCCATCCACAGGTTCCCGGTTGAACGGGTCCGGACGAGCAACTCGCCGAGCCATTTCCACCAATTCCCAGCGTACAGTTCTACCGGTCTTCCACGCCAGCTCATCGAGCTGTTCAGCATTCAGCTTAGCGTTTCCAATAGTTGCAACTTCTGGCTGCTGCGGAATATCTGTGAGGTGGAAAACCTCGCCCAGAGCGTTGAGCGCAACGGCCCAGATTCGCCGGCGTGCATGACGCTTCGATGTATAGTTATCGTCCACGGCAATACCGATGATGGGAACACCTGGGCTCAGCACCCATCTCGCCGTCACCTGACCGCGCTCATACCGTTGTTCGTACGTCGGATGGGGGCCCAACGCATAGGCAGTGAGCACCCCTGATGAGGAGCCAGAAAGCATGCCAATCAAGCCTCCCGTCATCTTCAGTACGTGTGAAGACTTGGCAATCCAAACAGAGCACACGGCGTCTGTGATCCTATTCAAAGCCGGAATACCCAGGGACGGATGGGAACCCAAATCGGAGCTTCCCAGAAAGCGACCACGTTGCTCCGTAGACAAGATGAAATAGCTGCGTCCCTGTGGACAACCCTCTCCGTAAACCATACCGAAGGGTTGGCTGACATCCATCGAGTTCGGCATACCGATCATGTTGCCTGGCCCGAGGCCATAAGGCGCCTCTCCAGGGAACAGATCCGCAAAGTGCCGGAACATCTGATGATCAGATAGTCCCCACGTACCAACTTTGACGGTGGACGGATCGCTCGCAGATGCAATGCCTTGCTCCGACGCGCCATGGATGAAGAGTGGCTCTTTCTCCGAGGACTTGCCAAACGTGCTATGGAGATGGCTCACTGGGAACAGTAACTGTGAGGTGTAGGTTGCCACTGCGCTTCCGTTGCGAGCATTGGCCGATCGGACCGTGCCATGTTTCTTTGACGGTTGAAACTGGGAAGGTTTGCCCCGCGACAGCGATCGCATCAGACGAGTTCGCAAAATGTACTCGCTCCGCCAGGACGCCAGCGCAGTCAACCTTGCAAAGACCCGCCGATCAGAGACCAAGTCCGCCTGGTCGGGAGCAGCGCCGCGACCATTGTCTGCGGCGTAGGGTCCCGGGAAGAAGCGGGAGAAGGCAATCCTCCAAGCGTGAGGAGTGGTGACCAGCGCATGAAACCGATGAGACACCAACGTAATGGCCGACAAGGACTGGGGAGATAGATGGGAAAGGATATGAGTGAGGACCTCTGGATATAAGGGTTATTCAAAGGACTGGGTCAAACGGGTTGGTTCCGCACGACATACCATTTGGAAAGGCCTCCAAGTTCACTTGGGACAAGGCCCGCACGGCCACGACTCGAAATCCAATATCTTCATCTGGGCTCGACGATATTCTGCCTTCATGCTGATTCACGCGGCGGGCGAGGACTGAGACGTCTTGTACGACTCGGTTCAGGGGCGAGTGACTCTCGCTTTGGTCTGGCCGGTCCAGACGGACTTCAGGGTCTCCAGTTGTCTCGCGGTCGCGAGAACCGGAGACTGGAGGGTCATCGAGGTCATGTCCATGCTGGGTGGGTTGGTGGTCGGTTGGGGATGAGTCAACGGAAGAGGTATGTTGAGATACGGCAGTCGGCTCTGGTTGCATAAAATGACTTGGTGGGGGAGCAATAGGCGAGGGCGACTGAGCCAGCAGAGAAATCTGGGTCAGTCGAGATAAGGAGTTTGAGAAGAGTGAGAGAAGCGAAGAGCTGCGGGTTATGAGGTGGTGGTGAAGCGGAAGAAAAGCGAGACGAGACGCAACGGGCGGCAAGGCACAGCGGCCATCCCGCAGGTTGGCAACACGCGTGGTGGCGCACGTGACCACGCGACAATCAGGCAGGATCACCACGGACGGGAACTAACAGAACTGATAAGAAACTCCACCGAGGAGACTGTCCGTCTCGCGGATCCCGGACAACTGGCTCTCTAATCCGAAGCATCTGCCCATCACATCGGGGAGCCCGGTGGCCAGTTCCTCCCCAACATGCCCGCCAATGGTAAGCACATACCTGTGCTCGGCGACCGAAGTACATGACTGACGGGCTCCCCAGACGCGGAGACCATCCGGATTCTCGTCTCCACCGACAACCATGTCGGGTACAATGAGAGAGATCCCATTCGGGGTGATGACAGCTGGAAGAGCTTCCACGAGGTGATGTGCCTCGCCAAGGAACTAGACGTCGACATGGTGCTGCTGGCGGGCGACCTCTTTCATGAGAACAAGCCGTCGCGCAAATCCATGTACCAGGTCATGCGCTCGATTCGAATGAACTGTTTTGGGGACAAGCCTTGCGAGCTGGAGATGCTCAGCGATGCCAGTGAGACCTTCCAGGGCGCATTCAACCATGTCAACTACGAGGATCTGGACATGAACGTGGCCATCCCCATATTTTCGATCCACGGGAACCATGACGATCCCTCGGGAGAAGGACATCTGGCAGCGCTCGACCTGCTACAGGTGTCTGGCCTGCTCAACTACTACGGCCGGACTCCGGAGTCAGATAATATCCAGATCAAGCCGGTCTTGCTGCAGAAGGGCCGCACCAAGCTCGCCCTCTATGGCATGAGCAATGTCCGTGACGAGCGCCTGTTTCGTACCTTCCGGGATGGCAAGGTCAAATTTTTCCAACCGTCCGTTCAAAAAAGTGACTGGTTCAATTTGATGTCGGTGCACCAGAATCACCATGCCTACACAGAGAAGGGGTATCTTCCTGAAAACTTTCTGCCCGAGTTCCTCGATCTCGTCATTTGGGGCCATGAGCATGAATGCTTGATCAACCCTCGACTCAATCCAGAAACAAAATTCCACGTCATGCAGCCGGGATCGTCAGTCGCCACGTCTCTGGTCCCGGGCGAGGCCGTGCCGAAACAGGTTGCGATCCTGAGTATTACAGGCCGGGAATTTACGTCGGAGCCCGTTCGATTGAAATCGGTGCGGCCATTTGTGATGCGGGAGATCGTGCTATCCGAAGAGAAAGGGGCCCAAAAGCTTGCGCGCAAGGAGAACAACCGCACCGAAGTGACACGGTTCCTCATGTCGATTGTTGAGGAATTAATCGAAGAAGCCAAAGCAGAGTGGCGGGAGATGCATGGTGATCAGGTTGACGAGGCAGATGACGAGACCCGCGAGATTCCTCTTCCCCTCGTGCGGCTTCGTGTTGAGATCTCAACCCCAGAGGGTGGGAGCTACGACTGTGAAAACCCGCAACGATTCTCGAATCGATTTGTGGGTAAAGTTGCCAACGTCAATGATGTGGTCCAGTTCTACCGAAAGAAGAAGAATGCAATCTCGCGAAAGGGTAACGACACCGTCGATGAGGCGAATGTCTCCCACCTGTCGGCTCTAGACACCGTCAAGGTGGAGCAGCTGGTGCGCGAGCTTCTTTCGGCACAGTCGCTGAGTATCCTCCCCCAAAACTCATTTGGGGATGCCGTGGCCCAGTTCATCGACAAGGATGATAAACATGCAATGGAAATGTTTGTGAACGATTCCCTTGAGAGCCAGGTGAAACATTTGATGGCCCTGGATCGGGATGGTGACGAGATGGATGATGAGGAGAGAGCACAGAGCTCCCTAGTCAACGCTATGGAGAAGTACCGCACCCAGATGGAAGAATTGTTCACCAAAGGGGTTAAAAAACGGACCCGCGGCAAGAAACGATTCAAACCCAAGCCTGACGGCTGGGACACCGAGTTTGATGGCGTGTGGGAGGACCAGCCCGGTGCGCTCATCCACTCAGACAACGAAGGTGGCGATCCTGCAGAGGAAGAAGCAGGTGAAGATGGAACTGCACCAGCCCGGAGTCGAACCACAACGACAACCTCGACTCGTGGTCGCGGCAGAGGCCGTGGAGGTCGCGGTGCAGCTGCTGGCAGCCGAGGCGCAGCCAAAGCCACACCTGCGTCTACCACTCGAGGCCGCAAGAAAGAAGTAGTCTCCGAATCCGAGTCCGGGGGAGATGATGATGTGATCATGATTGACGACGACGATGATAACGGGGTCAACGCCGTATCTGAGGACGACGACTCCCAAGCGTTGTTTGTCAAGCAACCGCGCGCTGCCACCAGAGGAACACGCAAAGCCGCGCCCACCAGCACAACCACTACGCAGCGCCGCGGCGGACGCGTGGCGGCCTCGCCCGCACCATCCTCAGCGACCGTCGGAGGGACGGCCACTCGCCGAGGCGCTGCTCGATCCGCCAAGCCAGCCCAGACAATGCTCAATTTCTCCGGCTCGCAGGCCAGTGCACCTCGTTCAACGCGGAGGTCCAATGTTATCAGCGACATTGATGACGATGACGACGACGATGCCTTTGAGCCGATGGTCAGTTCCAGCTCCAGACGGCGGTGATGCCTTTCTTGAAACATTTGTGTTGCTCGACGGTGCACCTCGACATACAATTGGGGTTGTTACATGAAAAATGAATCCAATGAGTAGCACATTGCTAAACAATTAATGATATGGGTATAATTTTCAAGATAGCATGCAGCTATATAGACTGGATAGGGGATGCTAGGTACGGCTTTCCCATCTACTTTTGGGAGTAACTAGCGGCAAGGAGTACTAAAACTCAACGCGAAAGCCAATTTAAAGAGACTCGCCAGGCATTATTCGGTATAAGTAACTTGATTTCATTGTAGTAGGGCCAAAATTCCGACAATCTCCGAGAATATGCAAGCATAAGATATATAAGACACCGAACGGAAAACGCTGTACACCTGATTTATCCCAGGAAAAGGTAGAAATAGGAACATAAATAAGAGCCGGTCTAAGACAACGATGCAACACAGCGGCCGTGACCCCAGACGGCGCGCGCGGCAGCAGCCCACGAGGTGGCCGGGTGAGCGAAGTTCTCGTGGGTATAGAAAAGACGGCAGGTTGCCGCTTCATAGATAAACTGTAGCGGCATATGCGGCTGGCCAGGACGGTAGCCGTTCAGGTAGTTGATGCCGGCGGTGTAGTATAAGGGAGGAATATTGGCCGGAGACAGCTCCTTCAGACGCATGCGCTGCGTCTCGGTGAGAATGGGGCGACCAGCCTTGGCCGCCGACTCGGCTAGGAGGTTGGCCTTGTTGTATAGTCCCAAAATGGTGCTGGAGTCCAGGTTCTGGTTACCCTTGACGCCGCCAATGGCCTGCATAGGCTCGTTCTGCGGGCGTCCGCCGAATACCACCGTCTTGACACCGGCGAGGTTCTTCATCAACTCGCTGAAGGTCGTGCAGGACGATGAGCAGTCCCCGTCTGTCATGATAAGAATATCTTCCGGAGCGAAGAGAGTGTGGCTTGGCCGGAGCGGGATACCGTTGTATCCGTTAATGGGGGTCTGGGTTGTGGACTCGAATGTTTCGTTGAAGACCCCGTGTATGGTAGACATGTTGGAGCCGAGCTCGAGGACGGGGCCGAAGACCCGCTTCCAGGAAGAAAAGCCGTGTTTTTGGTTTGGGGTGACATATCCTGAAGGCATCCACTCCTCGAATGAATCCCAAGACCAGATGTTGGAGCTGTTCTGGACGATAGAGCCAAAGGTCTGCCCTATATAGTTCATCGCCTCATGGGCGCGGAAACGAGTCGCCGAGTATGCAGGCTTGTCGGGGAAGAACATCTTGAATATGTCCAGGGCCGCGGCGATCTCGCCGCCGGGGTTGTTCGACATATCAATAATGATCTTCTGCTTGCCGGCAGCCTTGGCCTCCTTGAGGAACTGGGGGATGGTCATCGCATATGTTCCATACATTTCGAAAGTAGGGATTTGAAGGACAGCCACTGTCCGCAGGTCTTTCTCGGGTAGGTAATATCCATAGATGTGATCCAGATCATCACCAACGACGGGCTTCGGATACACCTTGGGGTAGGGTTGAACCGGAGCTACCGAGGCCGAGCTTGTTGGAGTAACAGATCTGGTCCATGAGCGCGATGGGGTGGCAGTCGCAGTCACTGAAGGAGCCGATGTGAGAGACCATGAAAATGGATGGCTAACTGGAGTAGAAGAGTGATATGGGCTTGCAGTCGAGGAAGGATACGGCATCCAAGAAGCGGATGACGCAGAAGCAGTGGGCCAGTTAGCTTCGTTGATCAGTGGCTTGATGCAGAGCTGCTGGTACATAGATTGACCGTTGGTAAAGTTGAACTCCGGGACAAAACCCATCCCGGCGGTGGTGTGGGCGTAGCGAACTGTGCCATTGGCAAAGCGTAGTTCGAACTTGTTGGCACCTGGCCAGTAACCAGGGCCCACCCAGCTACCGGCGTTGGAAACAGAGCCCATCAACCGAGCATTCGAGTTGAAGACAGAGTTGTAGCGTGCGTCGGGGTCTTGGAATCCGCCAACTCTCAGGGCAAACTTCTCAAAGAATTCTTCCGCCTGCTCTCCATTCACCGAAACTAGGTGCGAGACGCGGTCTGGGTGAGTTGACAGAAGTGCGGAGTCATCTGGCTACGTTAGCTCGTACAATCCAACCTAGCTTTGCTGAAAACTCACTCATCGCATAGATTTTTGGAAGCTCCAGGCCATCAGATGACACGGAGACAAGCGGAAAATCAATCGAGAACTCAAAGATTGTGGCACTGCACGGGCTCACATATAGATGTCCATCTTGTGCAGATACGAGCAGCTCGGTGACCAGAGTATCAAATTCGTACTGGCTGATGAAGCTCTCGTGGGCCGCCATCTCCAGCAATTGGTCCAAGCCACCGAAAATATCGGTTGCTTGAGATAGGTAGCTAGTAGGAGGGTTCTTAAGTACATCAATCGTACTTTGCCATTGCAGGTATTTCCGAAGATCCTCGATGAAGGCCACCGATCGTTGGGGTTGGAACGGGATTGAGACGAGGCATTGCTGGGCCACATCTCCAGGATATGTTGTCAAATTCGACTGATACATCCGAGTGATCTGCTGGCATGGTTCGTTTGACCACCTGCCACTGGGGCGAGCGACGGCAGCCAAGCCGTTGCTCAAGGCGAGGATAAGAGCAGATTTAGACCACATGGTGATCCGAATACACACCGTCGAAAGGTTGCAAGTCAAGAACCTTGTAGCGGCGAGTCCATTGCCCTTTTATTGTCCATAGCCAACGAGGCTGAGGGGGGCAACGTTGCAAGGTATCTATCTGGGTGTCTACGTCTTAGGGCTTGGAACCGATTGTTGGTTTTCCCCACGGACCCCATGTCACCCTTGGCATTGCATCTGGGAACTTCTTTTCTTAGGCAGTAGCCCCACATAACGCCGGGGAGGATGGAGATCTCCCACTCAATCGGGTGGTTGATGTCAGGGTTCTTCCAGAGTAGTGGAGCCACTCAAGTTCACAGCCCACGAGGCTGTCCCTCTCGCAGCGATGTGATTGGGGTCACGCCAAAAATAGCCCCATCAGAACACGATTCCTAGGAGATGCTAGGCGAAAATATGCCTTGATCAGACAATATTAGGAACAGCCATGAATAATAAGTTGCTGTTGTCTCCACACGAGGCTCCGATCGATCTACGAATATACTGGAAGTTGTCTGACATGACAAGCTATGGGTGTTGCCTGATGCCCAGGCTGGAATTTCCACGTCATGAAGGGGATGTATGTGCTTTGCTGGTCTAAGGCAAAGAACCCAGCTCGGGCGACGGATGGTAGAGTAGCAGTGCACAGATGCGATCGCCCGGCTGATGGTAACTACACACGGGTTGGCCCAGAGATCTGCGGATAATGAAAGCGAGAGCTCCCCGAATCAGGACTGGAAGGCGATAGGAGTTCTACGAAAGATAAATTGAGTTGAACCATATCACTAAAGACGAGAATGAAGATATCCCTGCCGCCGTCGATGAACTATAGATGATCACCTGACCAGATGGAAAGAGCCCCGAAGAGCCTCGTGAAAGCTAATAATAGTTTTCCATACCGTCACCAGCCGGGTCTCAACATGGCTCCCAGGAAGAACGTGGCCGAGCAGTCATGAATGTGTTGGTGTTGGTTCACTAGTTATGTGGTGATTGCGGGCAACCACGGTCGACCTGGCCAGCCTAGGGGTGGGTACCAGTTTCTTGCTCCTCCATCATAACCCGGAGCGAGGCTGATCTCGACCCGAATAACGATGAGGTAATACGAGGAGAGATCTATTCTTATGTCCCGGGTGGGCGCAGCATGAGTTGAGCGCCTTGCAGCATTCAGGCAACCAGCATTCAGGCAGCATTCAGGCAGCATTCAGGCAGCATTCGGGCACTAGCCAGGCACCACGTTCAGCTCCGGCCTCAGGCACCAATATCTATCAGGTGACCATATTTGCCCCCGCCATGAAATCATGCCGTGGCCAAGCGCAACCCGAACAATGGGTGCACGGCCAGCATCGCAGAGTTCGCCGTGTAACCCAGAATCTGGAACCCGCAGAGGACTAACGCGTCTTGTCGTCCCAACCATTCGCCCGCGGGTTAATGGTCGCATCACTATGACCCGTATCCGGCCCACCCCTCCCTGCTTCCCCTTGGTCCGAGGCAGACTACCCGATACAGCAGGACTTGCGCCGAGGATCCCAGCAGGGTTGAGGCCCGGCTCTGGCACCCCAGGAAGATGATTCTTCAGACCAGCAGAAAAAGAAGATTCCTGAAGAGCATCGAAGAAGCCGACAGAAGGCCAAGCAAGACCCACTGCCCCGCCGAAGGGACTCGCGCGAGAAAAAGGAACAGAAGCGCGCTGGAGCATAGGCCGAGAGGACGAGACAAGTGGCGTGGCTCGACCCCGCATGGCCCATTTGTCATTACGCAAACATAAAAACAAGCAAGAAACTCTCCTCCCTTCTTCGCTCTTCTTCTTCCCCCTCCACACTATTTTTCCCATCCTACATCATGTCGCTCTCCACTACCATCGAGACCCCCGCTGGCAAATACGAGCAGCCGCTGGGCTTGTTCATCAACAACGAGTGGGTTAAGGGTGCCGAGGGCAAGACCTTCGAGACCATCAACCCCTCCAACGAAAAGGTCATCACCGCCGTCCACGAGGCCACCGAGAAGGATGTCGACATCGCCGTCAAGGCCGCGCGAGCTGCCTTCGAGGGTGTCTGGCACACCGTGACTCCCTCCGAGCGGGGTCGCAAGCTCATCAAGCTGGCCGACCTGTTCGAGGAGCACATGGACACCCTAGCCTCCATCGAGTCCCTGGATAACGGCAAGTCCATGACTATGGCCAAGGTCGACGTCACCAATGCTGCGGCCTGTCTACGCTACTACGGTGGCTGGGCCGACAAGATCCACGGCCAGACCATCGACACCAACTCCGAGACGCTGTCCTACACCCGCCACGAGCCCATTGGTGTCTGCGGTCAGATCATCCCCTGGAACTTCCCCCTCCTCATGTGGTCCTGGAAGATTGGCCCCGCCATCGCCTCCGGTAACACCGTCGTCATGAAGACCGCCGAGCAGACCCCTCTGTCGGCGCTGTACGCCTGCAAGCTCATCCTGGAGGCCGGCTTCCCCCCGGTGTCATCAACATGCTCTCGGGCTTCGGCCGCACCGCCGGTGCCGCCATCGCCAACCACATGGATATCGACAAGGTCGCCTTCACGGGCTCCACGGTGGTGGGCCGCGCCATCATGCAGGCCGCCGCCAAGAGCAACCTGAAGAAGGTCACCCTGGAGCTGGGTGGCAAGTCGCCCAACATCGTCTTTGATGATGCGGACATCGACAACGCCATCTCGTGGGCCAACTTCGGTATCTTCTTCAACCACGGCCAGTGCTGCTGCGCCGGCTCCCGCCTGCTGGTTCAGGAGGGCATCTACGACAAGTTCGTGGCCCGCTTCAAGGAGCGTGCGGCCGCCAACAAGCTTGGAGACCCCTTCGCGGCCGACACCTTCCAGGGCCCACAGGTGTCGCAGCTCCAGTTTGATCGCATCATGGAGTACATCAACCACGGCAAGAACGAGGGTGCCACGGTCGCCCTGGGTGGTGACCGCCACGGCAAGGAGGGCTACTTCATCCAGCCCACCATCTTCACCGATGTCACCCACGACATGAAGATCGCCCAGGAGGAGATCTTTGGTCCCGTGATTACGGTGCAGAAGTTCAAGGACGAGGCCGACGCTATCAAGATTGGCAACAGCACCAGCTACGGTCTAGCCGCTGCCGTGCACACCAAGAACGTCAACACCGCCATCCGCGTATCCAACGCCCTCAAGGCTGGTACCGTCTGGATCAACAGCTACAACCTGATCTCGTACCAGGCTCCGTTCGGTGGCTTCAAGACATCTGGTCTCGGCCGTGAGCTTGGCTCCTACGCTCTGGAGAACTACACTCAGGTCAAGACGGTGCACTACCGCCTGGGAGACGCGCTGTTCGGTTAAATTGTGCTAATGGAAGACAAAAATTATATACTCTTTATTCGAGCTATTCGAGCTCCTGAGTTTGTGTGTACATAACCCCAAATTGCACGTTGCTTGTGACTGTATTCATCTGTAGCCTCATTGTACTATATTTCTGTACCGGCATACACACTCAAGTTCCAGAAATTAGTCGAGCATTCGGTGCTCTTTGTCGCGATAGTTCGGTGCTTATTGTCGACCCCTGCCCCTTGCCCCCCCCCCTCCGGGCGGCGGGAGAATTGCTCCCGCGCTCGGGTCATCGCCACCCGAGGGCTCGGTATAACACTCCAGTTCGACAAGAAATAGTAAATGAGATTTGATGATTCGCGATTGATGTGGAGTTCAAAGAAAAATGCAATGGCTAATTAATTTCAAGAACACGACACACTGTACATCCTCCCCGGCGTCCACGCTTATGGTCGCTTATGCAGACGCGCCGATAATGATCCCATTCGGCAACTCCAATCCAATGGGTAGACCGCAAATGAATTTGTCCGTATATGGACTGCCTAGCGTAGCAGCGAGCTTTTCTTCGACATCCTTGTACATGTCATATCTAAATAGGCAGAATTAGCAACGGCGGAGTTGGTTGGACGAGGGGGACAGCGTACGCGTTCATCTCTTCGATTGTCAACACTTTCTTCGTGTCTTCTACCTTGTAGGTAGGGATATCTTTATTGAATGAGAAGCCTACGGGATAATGTTAGATCCGTTCTGACTTTCAATGTCAGTGATTGACTCACCAATGCGCTCGTTGATATTATATGCCGCCTTCGCAGCGGCAGCTTGCACTTTCGTGACGCGCGGGAGTCGTACGTCCTGATATACAGCCAGCATCCGGGAAATATCACCAGAGAAGTACCGTGGGCTAAAGAGGATACCCAGTGCCGCAGCATCTTCAATAGCCATACAAGCACCCTGGCTCTGATGCGGCATCATTGGGTGCCCAGCATCGCCGAGCAGACAGACATTATTGCGCTGGATATACGGGTACGGATCATGCACCCACAGACGCCATGGCTGGATCTCCCTGCCAATTGCCAAATGTCCAAACACCTGCCGGTCTAGCTGGGGATAGGGCCGAAGCAACTCCTCGACGGGACGCGACTCGGCGCCCCATGTCTGGTTCGTATAGTCGCCCTGCTCGCGCGGGAAGAAGCAGTAATACGACAGCAGCTTTCCGCCGTTACAGGGTGACAGCACGATCTTGTCCCATTTGCCCTCTTGTCCGCCCCAGTACTCCAGCGCGCTGTCCTGCGAGTAGTCCACCAGACCGGCCTTGACGGCATCTTCGGTTGACACGTTGGCGTGCAGGCAGCTGGAGTCCGAGGGCCGCTTCTCTGGTGTAATTCCCAAGATGCGGCGCACGGTAGACCCGATGCCGTCTGCGCCAACGATAAGGTCGTGTTGCGCCGTCGATCCGTCCTCGAAGCTGATCTTGCCGGTTTGGAGATCGATATCCTTGCACTGCATCACATCAGGATTTGTCTCGAACATGTCAGATGTTCAGCTTACACGGTGGTTCACCAGCAAAGTTGCGGGCGTACCCGGTCCGTCCTCGCCCATCGCTGAGTCCTTCAGCATCGCATGCATATACTGGCGATGGAACATGTTGTACACATATCCCCACCGTTCTTCATAATCATCCAGGTCGTACACGCTGACCGGCTCGCCCGTCTTCCAATCCCGGTTGATGAGCTTCTTGAGCACGACGGGATCTCCTTTCGCCACATCAACCCCCCCACTCGTGCAACCACCGGGTACCATTCGCCGCGCAGGAAACTGATGCGCCCACCTCGCCCGCAAAATCGGACTTCTCGTAGATGGTGACCTCGTGACCTGCACGGCGTAGGGCAATAGCAACGGACATTCCCCCGATGCCGCCACCGACCACACCGACAGTGAGTCGTCTCCAGCCTGTTGTCATGGTCAAGTTTTGTTTCGGGTGTTTGTGCTACTGGGTTTTCTACTGATACTACAGCGGGAGTGTTGGTGTTTATAAACATAAGTTGGCTTTGCGGAAATCCCCTCTTTCGTGTCGGTTCCGCCCATCATTGTTTGTTTGTCGATGAACGCGGAGTGGAGGATTGCGTCGAAGGTTATCAACGGGTGTCGGTTCGGAGAGGTGCGCGGGCCGTACCCCTACCACGAGCCGCCTGATATGCTACCGCGGAAGGAATCGTAAACGATTGGACGGCTGGACAGTCTATGATAAGGAATTAGATCGTGGGAAGTGAATCTTCTTTAATCTTTGTATAACGGCGAAATCAATCATGGACAGTCATGAACAGATAGTACAGTCATTCTTGAAATCGGCTAAGTGCAAAATGGGACAGGCGGGGAAGGGTGGGTAGCAGGCGGGCCGGACAGTCAGAACTGCCAAAACAATTCTATATGTAGTCATTGCTGGGACATTATTACAGTATTACAACGGATATATACATGCGAGCATATCTGCCTTGTCAATAAAAACAATCAGAGCGTCACAGACGGCTCGGTAAGAAAAGGAAAACTGTCCCACAGCGGTAACTCCATGCCCTCCCAATCTGGAAACGCATCCACGATCGGCGGAGTCATCGTCGTGTTATCATCCGAAGTATGCCACGGATAAAGCGAGCCACCTTGTGCAAGTAGAAGCGGAGTACCGTTATTAGCTTGGCTATCAGCCTCGCTGGATGCTCGCGGAGTAGCCGGGTTTTCGCTCAGACTAAATATCCGATTGACATACTGGCTTCGTCTTTGGCGGGCCTGGGCGGCCAGTCGCTGGCGCTGCTGTGTTACGGCTGCTTCTAGCAATGTTAGAATTTCGAGATAGTGTGCTGCTTGGGCGGATTGCTGGGATAGCATGCGTAAGATGGCGAGAGCGCTGCTGAAGGCGCCGTCTACTTCGGTATCGATTTCCCGGTGCGAGAACATGGAGAATCCCAGTACCAGGGCTGCGGCGAAGACGAAAGCCCTGCATCAATAATTAGCAGGAGTTAAACAAGCAGGGCGGATCACCAACTTGAGAATGCGCATGTTCCGTAACAGTAGTCCCGATTGATGGACTTCCAAGCACGTCTGTAGCATATACACGGCCGAGTCGATGCATGCAGATGCCAATCGTGAGTGCGTCGGATCCTGCTCCAGCGGTTCACTGGGCACACCGGCCGATAAACTTTGATGCAGCCGAGCCAGCCGGACGCTCAGTGCGGATATGAGAAACGGACGAGTAACAAGGATAACGGCAAAGTGATACGAGCAAGCCACATGCAGGTTGCCTATAACACGTTCCTGAGTAGAGCCGTCGTCATCATTTTCGAGAGATGTAGTCCGCAGTGAGTCTGGCAGGCATGTACTCCAACGATTCAGTTTGGCAAGAAGCATATCGGCTGTCTCTATGGACGCCGTTTTGTCACTGTACAAACGACCTATAATTTCATCCAATATCAAGGCTAGGCGATAAGACGCTATCAGTCGAGTCTCCATCGATGTAGGCGCTATCGGAGGAGCGTCTCTGCAATTCTCTGATAATAGAGACGATGTGGCCGATGGTCGGCCAAGTATTGAACTCACAAGGAGATCAAGAACACACAGGCTCATCCATACTCGGGACCTGTTCCGGAAAATCAGCCGTGTCTGCCTGCGTCACTAGGGATATCCATACCTTTCCTGCTGCTCGGTGCGGCTGATAGTCTCCGAGGAATCAGCGTGAAGTCCGAGAGCAACGGCAGATCGCGCTGCTACACCCAAGTACATGAAAGCCGCGTTCCGGCGGCAAGCCCCAAGCATGTAAAATGACATGAGAAGAAACACCCGAACAAGATCCATACTCGGGTCCTCGAGCATATTGGCAAATGTCCTGGCTTGGCCACGGGCAAGGAAGAACCGTTCAGCCTGACGACAACTTGGATCGTCCGGACATGACTGGGCTCCGATGGCGATCATCAAATCGCCAATGGCCGCCCTGGTCTTTTCTCTATCGGTTTTGGGCGGGGTCGCATCTGACAGAGTTGGATCGATATTGCATCCAAAATACAGAAAGCCGCTTATCTGGATTGCGGATTAGCACAAACCCCGCGAATTGCTAGTATCCAAGACCCACCGCTGCGTGATAGTTCTGGATAAACCGGCGCTTCTCGTCCGCATCGCAGCGTTCTTCGGCGAAATTCAGCGTGTCATGTTGAGCTTCTGTCTCGAGCATGTCCTCGCTCTTGACATTATGAGAGAACTGGGATGGTCCGATTTCCTGATTGACGGTTTCCCGCAGGAGCTGCAGAAATGACAGCGAGGCAGCTTTGCCGACGTAGACTACAAGTTATCAGTCAACATGACCACATTGTCACGGGGGGACCTTCCGACCTCGTTCGCCTTGCAAGTTCCGTAGCATTCGCGGATGAGTCCGGTGAGTGGCCTCCGGGGATCGGGAACCCGCCTCGAGGGCTTGGGAATCAGGATATGGGAATCGGCTGGTGTCGTGAGAGACGGTCGGGCTCTGGATGCCGACTGTGTCTGCTGAGTCGTTCCAGGTCGGACCCGAGTCTACTACCGATCGCGATGTGGGAACCGGGCGGTTGCGCTGTCCTGTATCCGATACGGCCTTGAACGGTATGCATGTCCGTCCGCGTCCTTTGTGGAGGCAGTTGGAGCAGGGAAAGCTGCCGCTGCAGCGCTTCTTGGAGGCGCGACAGGCGGTACAGGCAGTGTTTGCCCTTAGACGATTCGCAGGAAGGACCTTGGGACGTGGCATGTTTGGACTCTACCTCAGGTAGTAATAATCTTGATAGAAAGAAAGGACCTCCTCCACACTCCCGCAGACAGCCAACTCCGCAGTGCGATAAGAGATAAGAGGGGTTCGGGCCGACGCCGGGAAACCATGACCAATCCAGAGTAGTGAAGACGATCGGTCGTCGTTAGTAGAGAATTAATTCAACCTGTACATATTGATCAGAGAACAGTCGATCGTGTGAGCCGTGTCATGGGAGAATCATGCAAGTGTGATCATGGATATATATTTCTGAGAGTCACGGGCGTTGTCAATCGATATATTTTCTGTCATTCATACCGAGTAATAATCATTTACCACGACACGGTAGCTATTCCACCATACGTAAGGGAGGTATTGACAGAAAAGCTTAGGACGTCGGGGTGCGCATTCCTGCGCTGGTACTGGACCTTTTGTGACTCCGGGCGCATTGGATTCAGCGACCTACACTAGAAGCCATGCTGGAGCTGCTTATCTGGGGCCAGAAGCCCAGGCTCGGACAAAGCTATCTGTTGTGGCAGGAGATTTGATGCAAAGCATTGCGCTGGAGAGATGAGATATCGGGCTCGTCACTAGCGTTCAATTCCAGAAGGATCAAAAGACATTCACTGTTTCAGCCAACAGAGAGGTCATTATTGGATGGCATACCTTAGGACCAGGAACACGAACATGCAACCTGGGAAGATCAAGATCTTTAATATGAGACTATTTAACTTTACCCCGACAAACGGGCGGCTCGGTGGCCTTGATCAGCCGGGAGAGGAAAAGTAGCGGAATAGTTCTGCTCCCGGAGCTCAACCGCGGTGCTCGGAGTTGGCCCCGCACCCCGTGTACGATCATGGTAATCTTCGACTACTCATATTCTCATTCTCTCGAGACTCGTACAATGGCGACTACAATCACAACGGAGGTCCGTTCTCTCGAGCACGAAGCTCAAACCGTCTTGCCCGATCTGCAGCAACAGCAACAGAACAATCAATCTCAATCACCAACCACGGCAGCCTCGGCACGAACAATTGAACCTCTCAACATCGAATCCACCCCCGACACAGAAGCCAACTACCAGACTGGCACCACACTTTGGTTCACCATCATCGCGCAATGCGTGATCCTTATCCTCGGAGGCCTAGATGCCAATATCGTCGCGACGGCCGTGCCGAGCATCACTAACCACTTCCATACCGTCGCCGACGTCGGCTGGTACTCATCTGCATTTCGACTTTGCACCTGCGCGTTCCAATTCGGGTTCGCGAAGCTGTATACGCTCTTCTCCATCAAGGCCGTCTATATGATGAGCAATGTTATCTTCCTCGTCGGCTCTTTACTCTGTGCCACGGCTGCTTCGTCGACCATGTTCATTGTAGGGAGAGCAGTAACCGGTCTGGGGTTCGCGGGTGAGATGGCTGGGTGTTTTGCGGTCCTGGTGCATATTCTGCCGCTCAACAGGCGGCCAGTGTTTGCAGGTTTGTTGGCGTGTGTGGAATCGCTTGCGATCATTGCGGCGCCTATCGTCGGTGGTGCATTGACCCAGTCTTTGGGGTGGAGATGGTGTTTCTGGTATGCTCTCCTCGTCACTGGCGTGCTCGAGGTAGCCTGACACTGAATCCGTCGTAGGATCAACCTTCCGATTGGCGCTGTATCGCTGGCGACCATATTTTTCCTCTTCTCAGACCCAAGAACCCGCCAAAGGGACCACCTCACGGTGACACAGAAGATCCGAGAGCTCGACCTCGTCAGCAACTTCTTGTTCATCCCGTCCCTAACAGCGTTCTTCGTCGCGCTATCTTGGGCGGGAACGAAGTATCAGTGGTCAGATGGTAGAGTCATTGGATTGTTCGTTGTGTTCGCCGTGCTACTCGCCGCCTTCATCTTCAATCAATACCGACGCGGAGACTCAGCAGCACTCCCTTTCCGCATCATCAAAAGCCGAAGTGTCATCGCGGGGTTCATCTTCACGACGTGCACTAATTCAATGATGAACGTCTTGGAGTGGTACTTACCAACATACTACCAAATCGTTCGATCCCGGGTAAGACCATGGCCTGTTCATGACTACAAGAACATGCACTGACAATGCTATGCTCTGCCAGACCCCCAGCGAGAGCGGCTACTTGATGATCCCCATCCTCGTTGGAATGATGCTCGGGCTCTTTCTTCAGGGCATCGGTACCACCACGTTCGGCTACTACGCCCCCTTCATGATATTCGCCTCTATATGCATGCCAATTGCAGCGGGCTTGATGACAACCTACAATATCCACACATCCCTCGCCCAGATCATCCTCTATTCCGGATTCGCAGGCTTCAGTGGAGGCATCGGCTTCCAAGGCTCCCAAGCGGCTGTTCAGACGACGTTGAGTGCCGCAGATGTCAACCTTGGGATCGGGGTCATCTTGTTCGGGCAGAGTCTGGGGCCGGCGGTGTCTATCGCTATTGCGCAGGTTATATTCACGACTCAGTTGTCTTCAAGTCTGGGAGATATTGTCCCAGGGTTGACCCCTACGTATATTACAGAGCACGGCCTTGGTGATATTAAGAACGGGGTTCCCATCCAGCGGTGGGGTGCAGTTTTGGGTGGTATCGAGCGGAGCTTAACTCATACCTGGTACCTTGCTGTCGCGTTGGCTTGCACGACGATTGTGGGAAGTCTCTTGGTCGAATGGCGCTCGGTTAAGCAGAAGCAGTCGTGAAGTATGGCGGCATGAAAAGAGCGTTCAGACAGTAGTAGTTGTTGCGTTGAGCATGAAATCATTGTCTTAGTCCGCTCGACATAGATAATTATTATGAACAGTCGTGCACGCCCGTATTGGTTGTGGAACTGGCCTTGATGGTAAATAGAGCACCCGTGCGCCCAGACCCGCTCGCTCCCCGAGGCGGCCGGTTTCCCGACACCTTTTTGACCGTAACTAGAAAACTCTTCTCGGAGGTCCACCAACCCCATCCCGATTGGCCACACCGAGCACACAAACGATGCAAACACGCAGCTCTCGCTTACGCTAGCGCCCTCCCAGCAATCGCATAAATAGCCCGCGCTGCCCCCGAAATTTTTTTCTTTTTCAAGCGACTCTACGTGCGTCTTCCTCCCCCCTACTGTTTCAGTTGCAACTCTTACTGACCACCTCACAGTTCAAAGAATCACTTTAGAGTAGACGTCCTCTTCTAAGCTCTTTAAAAGAGCCACAGAATCTCCACCCTTGCTGATGACTGCCATGTCCTCGATGCCCTAAAGTGAAACCGTTTGGACTCCCGCCTCGACGACCCGTGTGTCACGCGTGCTGCTTCGGCGGTGTCTGCGTCACCGCGCGGTTGTCCAGGGAGTGGTGATGATCTTGACCTGGTTATGGTGTCGGACTTCGGTCGGCCGGGCCTGGTGGGCGTCGAGGAGGTCTGAAAGGTGTTGATTTCTTCGTTCTATTTTTATTGATAGTCCAATTGGAAAAGAAAAATTTAACTTGAGAAGATCTTATGGCACTCATTTTTCCCCTATAATAACCTCCTACCTTCAACTCTCTCATCATGGCCCAAAGGATGAACGCGTCTGCCAAATCCCAAGTAAAAGGAGGACAATATGTTTCCCCTACAACCCGGACCCTTTCTTCAACCAGTAGCGTCCATTGATCTCCGGGACGAGCTTGAGCATCACTCGCAAATGCGACGACCCGTTCGGTTCGGGTGTAAGTCTCCTCTGGAGTTCCTCACAGGCCTTCACCAGGCTCTCTGCAATCTCCCTTTTGCGGTACCTTTCACCGGTTTTGACAGCAACGATTAAAATCTCGAAATCTCCGTCGCAGGGTACAGAGTGGCCGCTCTCTATGCTGGCAGATGGCAGAGAACAAAGCTCATCGGCACTTCTTTCTGTATAGCGTCCCGGCGATTTCCAAACAAAGCCCTCCGAATCCCATTTCTTCACGCTTGCCTGCGGCTGAAGACGCTGGAGAGGAAGCAGGTACAATCGTCGCATTGTTGAACCCCGGCTAAACCACGCCGCAGAACGTGGACCTGACCCGCTCTTGGCTCGTGTTTTCATTTCATGCGCCAATCAAAGTCGACACTCGAAGCAATGACAATGTGCAAGGCTATGAACACCCCCCAGAAGTTCCTGTTCTGCGAGACCTAGCCATTGTGCTTGGCGGATGTTTCTTACGCTAGTGTCGAGTCCCGACTTAGCCGCTGAGATGGATGGGTCATACTTCTTGGCTGGCATGGTTCGGTTGAGACGAGGCTGGCTCCTTATTTAATAACATGTCACGATGCCCGCGCTCGACTTCCCAAGTCATTCCCGTCGCCACTAGCCAAACATCACCACACTCGTTTACCTCCAACTTAGTCACTCCCTTAATAAACGCATACATCTGAACTCGCCTGATTAAGATGAAGTACACAATTGCCGCCGCTCTCCTGCCTGTGGCCTGGGCAGCCAACATCGACGCCCGCCAAGCCACCGACCTGAAGTACGAGATCAGCGATTTCGGAGCAGCCTGCTCGCCCGATAGCATCTACTGTTCGTCCGTCTCTCTGCCCTCACCCCTCAAACGCACAAATTCGTGACTACTTAGACACTGACAGTTGGCACGATATAGTTACAGAATCACCATAGCTACCAGCAACAACCCCGAATTCAAACAGGGCTGTGACCCGATGGCGACGACCGTCGATGGCGAGCTGCCCGCCCTCAGCGAGACTCAGTGCGGAACGTACACTATCTCGGTCGCCAAGTCGGACGATGGCGGATTGGTTTTGACAGTTAATTCGGACATGGAAGCGCTGACGGGAACCTTCACCATCCCCAGCGACGACCTGAAGACCATCAGGGAGGGCAAGGGTACCGTGCAGGAGTACACGGGCGATTCCACCTTCACCATCGACATCAAGAACGCGTCGTCTGCTTCAGGTTCTGCCTCGGGCACTACTGCTTCTAACCCCACTGCGTCATCAGCCTCCTCTGTTTCTCCCACTGCTGCTTCCGAGCCATCTACCACGGGGACTACGACTTCAAGCTCCGCCAGCCCCAGTGAAACCAATGGTGCGACTCGGGAGAGCGCATTCGCTGGCGTCCTTTTTGCTATGGGTCTGATGGCCTTTATTTTTTAGTTATTAACAGCTCGATATTAAAATAAAGAACCACTGGGTATAAAACTCAGGACTATATACTTAGTATAAAAGTGAATAAGAATATACATTAATAGATTCGGGTAACAGAGACTCACGGGATAGCTTTGGGTGTGACTTAGTATGATTCTGAGGGACTAATCGCTGGCCCCTGAAACTCTGGTGCTAGCAAGGTATTTATATATTTTGAACTTGTCACCGACAGGGCGTCGTTTGTTTCGATTGAGCTTGCCTTGGTATTCGCCATGATTGATTGGGTATCAAGCTACTATTTCCGCTCCCTATACGTATTATTCAAGTCTCGCTCGTCTTCTCACTCGGTCTCTCACTACTCGGTCCTCCTTTGGATCCTTTGTTCCGACCTCCCCGACCACCACGCGAGCCCCTGGATGATGCCGCCCCGTTGCCCTCTGCATTCCCCGTCTTCGCTTTATTCCCTCCGGCCGGTGGGTTAGGCTTCCGCGCTTTCTCACTCGGATTGGCCTTGCGCTCCAATACTACCACTTGGCTCTGCGCGACAGACACGGGACTAGCGGCCATAGCCTGCTGCAGGCCTGCCGGCTCCGCAAAGTCCACGTACCCAAATCCTTTCTTCTTGTCAATCTCCACCTTCGATACGGCACCAAACGGGCTAAAGGCCTCCTCCAGCAGCGCCTCGGTGACTCCCTGTGACGGGTTCGCATGTTTCAGGAACGCCTGAGTGGCGGTGGGAGTCGGACTGGCGGCCGGCTTGTTTTTGGCGGCTTTGGAAGGTTTCGTGGGTGGAGGAGTACTTGTATTCGGCGTGGCAGTATCGGGTGTTCCGCGTGAGGATGGCGAGCCTACGTCCTTGGCCTTTGTAGAACTGCCTTTGATGGACTTGGGAGGAGCATCGTGCTTCGATCCGTCTCCGGATGGACTGGATTCGGATTCAGCTTTGGCGCGTCGCCGGGCCCCTGCTGGGGAAAGCCCCAAGTCTCGTTGGAGGATCTTGGCGGCAGCAGCGACATTCCCACGGTCTCTCTTTCGCTCTGATGCACTGGCGCCTTCTTTTGTCGCGGTTGCACCAGACTTGCTGGACTTCGCACCGCCGGCGGCTGCCAGCTTGGCCGCTTTCCCAGCTTCCTTGGCCGTCTTCTCGCCTTTAGCCTTCTTCTCTGGGGCTGTAGATGCCGTGTCCTTGTCCGAACGTTGTAACAGCTTTTTCGCGTGCACCTTCTCCAGTTTTGATTCTTTGTCGGCCCGCTTGGAGGATTTCCCAGAACCATCTTTGCCCTTGGATGCCTTCTTGTCCTTGATGAATTGCACCAGAGGCGTAGTTGTCACCGTATCTTTCTTCTTTTCTTCCCCATCCACGGTGTCCATGGGAGCTGATTTCGCGATCGGCTGGGTCAGACTCTCCAGGAACGCAATGAAGTCCGAGTCTTGGTCAATCGTGCCCTGGCGGGCATCCTTGCGCACGCGGCTCCCGGGAGTCTTGGCGTAGGGTGCAAACTCCAATGTGGGAGGTCCAAGCAGTACAGGGTCGTGGGATGTTTGGCGAGCATCCTGGAAGGACGTCCGGCGCACCGTTTCGGAGAAGGGTGGAATGCAGTCGCTCGACACGACATGCACGTATGCTCTGGCGGGACGGGATGGTTTGGCGGGACTATACAGACATCAGGATTCAATTCCGCAGTGATAATATTAAGACATGCGCCATACTCTTTGGACACTTTGCCCGGCTTGTACTGGAGCCAGTCCACCTTTCCACCCCCCACCGTCCATTCGTCTCCCAGAGCACTCTCTAGTTCGGATTGGGTCAGCCCCGGAGGCAAACGTCTGATCACGAGCTTCAGGCGTGGCGTGGGAGGCTTCGGCGCCTTCTTCGGCGGGGCAGGCGAGGCCGATTTCTGGGTGGCCGCGGCGGGGATCTGAAGCAGTCCCGCCGTGGGCTTCCCGGCGGCGGGCTGGGCCATAGAGACGCAGGGGCTGGCCGGTCGGTTGCAGGGTCACTTGAAGTGCCTGAAACTAAAAGCAATCAATAGGCACAACTTGGCAAGACTGGGGCTTGGAGGGAATGTCGGGTGTTGAGGGGTGCAGTCCAGTTCGGACGCAACAAGTCGAGCAGGTTGACCCTCGTGCTGAGTCAGCGCTCCATAGCGCCCTGATCGTATGAGAAGAATGAAACTACGAAGGGCAGGTTCGATGTGATATGGATATTGTATACATTCAATTGCTTTTTACACCACAGCGAAATGGGTCAGGACTGACCCGACACTATCACCATAGGGAGCCATGATTTGGTCTCTTTTGCCTATGAAATGCAGGCCGATGTAGTTGAAGAGTCGTCCGAGACATGTATCTCGGGCTGGGGGGTGGAGCGCACTGGATACCTCACTCCAAGATTCAGGACGTAGATGCCGCCTCAATAGCCTTGTGCTTGTTCTTGTTCTTGCCCTTCGTGTAGACGCGCTGGTCGTTCGGGTCGAACCCACCTTTTCCCCAGTACGCCCACTCTTCCGTCTCGTGCATGTAATCCTCCGGCGTGAAAGAGGTGCCATCCGCCTTTTCCTTCTCCAGGAGCTCGAAGAAGCGTTCGTAGTTGATCCGAGTGTGCCATTTCCCGTCGACGTGGAAGCGGTTCGAGGCAATCAGCGCGCAGCAGCTGTGCGCGTGCTCGGCTGCAATCCCGTACTGCAGACCACGGCGTTCCAACTCCGCGTTCAGTGCGACGACAAAGGTCGAGACCTCTTCATAGAATGGGACATTCTGCATGGTCAAACCGGCGCCAGCGCTTGTACTGGTTCCACAGAACGTGACACCTTTGACCTCGACGAAACATGGCAGGGCCTTTTCAACCAGGTTGGCGTACCCTATCACTTCGTCATCCACATTGAATCCTTTGACCAATGTCAGTCGGAACACCGTGCGCTGGGCATTTCGCTTTTCCCGGAGAATGTCCAGACAGCGCTGGAACCGCTCCCAAAAGTCACGGTGCAGGGGCCGATCGATCTTGCGCAGGCTCTCACGGTTGCTAGCGTCGATGGAGACATACAGTTGCGTAACACGGGTCAGCGTCTGGAGCTGATCGGGATGTTGGGCGTTGCACACCAGAAAACTGGAGATGCGCTCGGCGTGCAGCATGTCCAGGAATTCGTTGATGTGAGGATAGAAGATGGGCTCGCCGACAAGACTGAGGGCGCAGTGCCGAATGCGCATCGCCTCGGCGAACCGCTCGGCGCGCACCCCGGGCACACCACGCATCATCTTGATTTTCTGGTAGTGGCCTTCCTTGATGCCCTTGAAGATTAGATCGGGCTTGTCCACTTGCCAACGCCAGGTGGTCCCCACCGGGTTCGTGCCGTGGCGCCAGCAGAAAATGCACTTGTTGCTGCATGACAGCGACGGGGTCGCTTCCATGCACAGATGGGATCGGATGCCATAGAAAGAAAACTTGTAACACGACCCCCGTCCCCGCAACGCCGACTTGGTCCAACGGCAGATCTTGACACCGGAATGGGATCCCACTATAGTATAACCTTGCTTCGTCAGCGAAGCGTATGTTGGCGATGTCTTTGGGACCATCTCCTTGGCGGTCGCGGCTGGAGCAACTGGCTTGCCGGCTGTGGTGAAATCAACAGGGATAGGTGCACCTCCCTGGGCATCACCGCCCATCCGGATGTCCTCCAGATCCACCATGGTCGACGGTTTTTCTTGATCCTCATTGCCATTATCAAGATCCTCTTCATCACTTTCCGCGGGGTCTCCACTGCCCGTAACACCCTCACCGAGCCCGCCGTTCTCCAAGATATCACATAGAATGTCCTTCAGTCCGCTAGACCACTCTTTCAGCACTTGCTCCGCGTCACTCTTCACATCTCCCATTCCAAGAGGATACGCGCGCTTGCGCCTGGTGAGCTTGGCCATCCATCGGTCGACCTCTTTGGCTTGCGAGCAGAAGCCTTCTTCCTCGGTTGGCCACTCCTCTTTATCTCCAAATCCAAACACCGAATAGCCCGCGAGCTGCGACAGTGAGCCGGTGTCAATGCGGAAATCGTTGTGGGTTTCGTCCAAGTGGGTCAAGAAGAGGTTGATCACGCTGTCAATGTTATAGGTTGGAATCAGGATGCAGTAGACGTAGCGGATGCCGGGGGAAGAAGCTGGCGGCTGGGGAGCCGAAGTGAAATAGTCGTCAAAGTCGATGTAGGCCAGATCCTGGATCTGGGGAGGCAGGAGGCCACGCTCGCGGTTCTGGGGGTCTGCTCGTTCTTGCGCCGCGGCACGGAGATCCTCTAGCAGAATGTGCGCATAACGCTCAGTTGTGGTTGTCAACGAGGCGTAGAAAATGATGGGCTGAATGAACGACACCGGGTGATTGTCCTTCTCTGATCCGCGACGCCCGCCAACCGTCTTCGCGGGCTTCCTCCCTTGCACGCGCTTGGGGCCTGTTGCTGGCTTGATGGGCTTCTCAGAACGGACAGTCTCAGATTGGATCTTCTCCTTATACAGTGACTGGCTCCGAGGCGACGATGGGACGGAAACCGACGCGGGGGTCTTAGATCGGGACTGGGCTCTGCGATAGGTATGGAAGACGACGAGAGCAGCCAGCGTAATCAGCAGGGGTAGCCGATAGGCATGCCAAACGGCCAGCCAGCTGGTGCTTTCCATGGTGTCGTGAGTTATGGAATTGGGAGGCCTGAAGGCTGTGTCGTTTGGTTAGGGTTCAGCCGAAGAAAAGTTTGGGGCGGAGCCCAAGGGCGCGAATGAACAGTCAGCAACGATCTATGTCTGCGTTTCATCCGACCGAGAAAGAACCCAAATAACCTCAGACCTAGCTCTCATATTATCATCATCTTCCAGGTCGTGCCATACGGTTTCACCCCAATCGTATCGGCACGCGGGCCTATCACCGACGGCGCTCGGACAACTGCTATGTCGTAGGGCTAGGCCACCGAAACCAAAGCTGCATGTGTTCTGGATGACAGACGTGTCAAATAAGGCTGCGACGACACAGCCAATCATCCGTGCGGATTCAGGATTATTTTAGATTGCGGGCCGTTCATAGCCACTGCTGTTCCTGGCTGAACTACATACTCACCCTGTCAGCCTCGTCAAGGGGGCCAAAAATTAGGTTGCGCAAAAGATACGCGGGAGCCAATGGGAGCGAAGCTTGTAGAGAAGGCGGCATTCGTCGTGGCTTAGATGTGAACTACCGTCGTGCGGAAAATCACCCAATAAGCACTAATGGGCCCTGAAGCTAAACCGATTAGGCAAGAATTCGTGCCTCTCGTACTGTACCTCACCATGCCCTTTCGTCTGGCAGCCAGATTACCTGTGAATTCTAGATCTATTCTTGGATGCCGCCCCATTCTACGACCGGCCCCAGAATAATGATATATAGGGTTTGATGAAGACCGTCCAGATATTTTTTTGGTCATCTTTCATTCAACCTGCTTGCCTAGACCTGATTTAGTCCTACTTTTTTTGGGCCGTACACCTATCAATATGAGCGACCAGGAGTCTCAAAACATCTTCAATGGGTGCCATGCACTGGGCGAGTGGAAGACTCCGTACGATTATGTCCCTTGGAAGGCTGCGGGCGTTGTTTTCGTTCTTTTATTTGGTCTTTCGGGGGTTGTCCATATGGTCCAATTTTGCTGGAAGCGGACATGGTGGTGCTCTGTGTTTACTATTGGATGTTTGGGTATGCTCATCTCGACTCAAATCTTCCCCAGAAACAGAAGCTGATTATACTCATAGGGGAATTCATCGGCTGGGCGGCTCGACTAATGTCGGCACATTGCCCTTACAATTCGACGGCATACCTGATTCAGATCTCCACCCTCATCATTTGTGAGCACTATCATCTACCCCTACCTGGCGAGTTGGAGACGAGTTATCGACCTTCCCTCCTCCTACCCAATCTCAATTCGAAGTTGACTGGATAGCATGCTAATTATCTTTCTTGCTTCTTCTAGCCCCCGTCTTTTTCACCGCAGGCCTTTATATCCTCCTGGGTCGTTTGATTATGGTGGTTGGGAGAGACAGTTCCTACCTCTCGCCCAAGGCGTATCTCTGGATCTTCTGCGTCGCGGACCTGATCTCTCTGCTGATGCAGGCCGCCGGGGGTGGGCTGGCCTCCATTGAGTCCAGCGCACACAAATCCACGGCGCTCGGTTCCAATCTGATGCTAGCTGGTATTATATTCCAGACGTTTTCCATCACCATATTCGTCATCTGCGCTGTCGACTTTGTTCGCCGGACCTCGCGCTCCCACCTCATCGACCCGTACCGGAAGTCACTGACTCCTATGTTATACGCTATGTTCTTCTCGTTGACTTGTGTCTACATCCGGAGTATCTATCGTGTTGTTGAGCTGGCCCAGGGTTGGGCTGGTTTCCTGATCACCCACCAGATCTACTTTGTGATTCTTGATGGGGCGATGATGGTGCTGGCTGTGGGAGTTTTTAACTTCGTCCATCCTGGACGGCTGCTCTCCTCCAAGAGCGAGTTCGACATACCCAAGGAGGTATCAAATGTGTCACTGAATACGCCCTCCAACGGATCTTATGCCACTAACCCGGTGTACCCACCGACTTTGAATCCTGCCCATCAGAACCCCAAGTACCAGCTGACCCCGACTCGGTACATTTGAGCACAAGGAACTCATTGAACAATTAGAAAACGATGGTATTAGGTGTTTGGGATTGGTGCACGGCATTTTCATGTTTCATTTTCATGTTTTTCCGTTCTGCTTTTCTATCTTGTTTTTGATGTCTTCCGCCGCTTTGTGATGACTGAGTATGAGTGGATAAATGATAAATCTTGAATTCCAATTCTTATTTTCCCCTTGCACGGTACTCAAGGCATGGAATCTACGGACATATGCTGTATCGACAGGATAGGACCCAGTGGATTAATCAAGGCCGATCAATCCGGTAAACAACTGGAGCCACATTAAGATAGGCCTCATACTCAACATCCTCTCCACAGTCGACATCATAGTGGTAGTGTCCTCCTTTCGAGTTCCCATCCACTTCAAAGCAGTGCGTGTGCTCCATTCTGAGCTCCAGGTTGTCCGGATCGGCACTATGCAAAACCGTTAAACAAACAACCGGTGCTGTGCAAACATGATACTTGAGCCATTCCTCTTCCAATTGCTTCCGATCCCGGAACGGCAACTGGTCTGGGGCTGGGAAATCAGGCATAACATGGAAGTTGGCACTCCCGGATTTCAGCAAAAAAGCTCCCCCAAGACTAATGGCGCGAGAGTCACCGTATACATCGCGCAAGCTCGATCGGATGCAATCTGTGAAATTCTGCGGCCCAGTGCGAGCTCTAGCGATGACTTTGATAACCGTCCCGGTGGCTCCATCCGACCCATATAGATTCATCATCAGAGCGCAATTTGTGCTTGAGGTTTTGGCACATCTAATATCCGGGTTCCCAGATAGGTTCCGGGCAACTTCAACAACACGAGTACCATTCGTGACCGTGAGGGAAGCCGGGTCTTCTAAGTTGGGTGAAAAGCCAACCTTGTGCTCCCAGGAAATATTCGGTGCCAATTCCGCGTTCTGGCCTATATCCTGAAACGGCGCTGCTCCCGCTCCGATGATGAACCCTTGGCTCGGTGACATCCGCATCTTATTCGCCAGAGACAGCAGAGAGTATTTTGCTTGCAAGTTTGGGGTCGGAAACAGATTTTGGCGACCGCCAATATCGCCAATGCATGGATTACCCGACAGGCCCGGTGCAGCCAGTCCAAAAGGTGGTTGGCGCAGATCAGGGCATCGCACCGCCTCTGCTTTTGCAAAACCGAAATTCCGTCGGAGACCGTGTTCAATGACGTGTGACAATTCGTCAAGAGGCGGACAATCGCGGTGGTAAGCGGTAACGATCATTTTGTTATCGTCCTGGCAGGGTTGTAGTTAGTTGAATCGGGCTCGGGGATCATGCCGAGGCAGCAGCACGGGCCACTAGACCGGCCCCTCGTCTCTTGCTGGACATTCTGCTATCAGTTATCAGAGTAACTATATATCCAACCGATTCTTCTAGATCTGTAGTTATTAGAAGATAGTGGCTTAGTCATTTCTGTTGGCCGCCACACATATCGTTCTGTCCTCCTCTCACCCCAACAACCACACACTCACATCCCATCGCAACCATGGCAGCCTCTGACGAAAAGGATGTCCTGATCGATCGTCGTGTATATGAGGAGTCTCGAATTCGCACGTATCATATTCCTCCAAAACATGAAAATCTCCAAACCCGCAATATCCGGCGGAGTTTACTGCACCTGCTCCTGACCGTGATGCTGATCATGGCCATGGTGTTCTTCTGGCCCTGGAGCCACTGGTATCCCATCGCGGAGCTGTCCATTGAACAGCGTGTGCACAAGATTCTGTCGGAGACGCCACTGATCGGTAAGCCGCGCGGCATTCTGCTCTCAGGACATAACCTGACAGACCACAGACGGTCATGACGATTTCCCAATCATGATTCGGGAAGTCTTCAAAAACCACATCTATGGAGATAATTTCACATCTCTCTTCGTAAATGGCAACATGCCCTTACATGTGGATCTCCCTCGCCTGAGGCAAGGCATGGTTGGGGGAACCTTCTGGAGCGTGTACGTCCCTTGCCCGAAGGATTGGTCAGATTTCTCGAACGAGAACTATGCAGGAAGTATGTATTCTTGTGATAATTCTTGAACTTGGTACTCATAATCTTGAGCAGGTATGAGAGATACCATGGAGCAGGTGGACGTGATGTCGCGTGTCCAACGAGCTTACCCTCATGTCTTCTCTACGAGGCCCAACGGCACGACCGCCATGAGTGCGTTTCAGGAGGGTAAAATAATCTCGCCATTTGGAATTGAGGGCTTACATTCTATCGGAAACTCACTGGCCCACTTGCGCATCTTTTACGAGCTGGGCGTCTCCTATGCGACTCTCACACACAACTGCCACAATATATATGCCGATGCCGCCCTCGTGGAGCTTCCACAAGGAGGTGTCAAAGTGGCTAAACCTCACTGGCATGGACTCAGCGATGCAGGTCAGAAACTTATCACTGAAATGAATCGCATTGGCATGATCGTCGATCTGGCGCACGTAAGTGTCGACACGATGCGCGATGTGCTGGGCGCGGGCAAATCCGAATGGTCAGGTAGTCGGGCTCCGGTGATCTTCAGCCACAGCTCTGCGTATGCGCTCTGCCCGCACCCGCGCAACGTGCCCGATGATATTCTGGCTCTGGTTCGAGAGAGAAATTCGCTGGTCATGGTCAACTTTTCGCCGAGCTTTATCTCGTGTGTCGCATCCAATAGTCCTGATGGTTTGCCGGAGGAGGACCCCACCAATGCCACTCTGGAACGGGTTGCAGACCACATCATGCACATCGGCACTCTGGCTGGCTTTGACCACGTCGGGCTAGGCAGTGATTTTGACGGCATTCCGAGTGTCCCCCAGGGGCTCGAGGATGTGTCCAAGTTCCCGAACTTGATCGCCGAACTGCTGCAACGAGGCATCAGCGACGAGGATGCAGCCAAGGTGGCCGGAGGGAATCTACTTCGCGTGTGGAAGGAGGTGGATCGGGTGGCGCTGGAGATGCAGGCCTCCAACGTCCTGCCGGCGGAGGATTGAAATCGTGCGCTTTGATTGCTTTGGACATATCATTTAGCAGTCGTATGAGACATGATGCGGTCGATTAGCGAGCTATATCATTATATTACTATCATAGACTCTCAGCAATACAGCGCTGCTAGGAAGATTCAAATGGTCACATGGTCTGGGCTTGCAGCGCCCCAAAAAGTTCAAACGCGCGGAGGATGTTAGGAGCTTGGTGGCTGATGAGACCCGGTGGGAACTTGTACGGGCCTTGTCCTGGAGTCAACGAAAGCCGAACATCTTCCTCCACGGCCCACTCGAAGGCCTGATGTTCGGATGCCTCCATCCGGATGGGTATGTCCTCGTACGGTACAGCCTGCGATTGTTGCATTGCTTCATGCACTTCGACGATGAACGTATATTTGGCGATTCGTTGCTTGGTGCCATCACTCCGGCGTGTACGCATCCAACTGTCCACCGCAACCAGGTCCACGATCCGCGAAACGTGCAAGCCGCTCTCCTCCAACACTTCCCGCACCACGCCGTCTAGCAAAATCGCATCAGTGTCAGGCTCGTAGGCACCTCCAGGTCCCTCCCAGCAGCCGCCCATCGAGTCCGTCAGCGCGCGTTGCAGGAGAAGAATGTGCGGCGTGTTGGCCGCATCTTGGCGCGAGCAGGTGGAGAAAATGTAGGCGCCAACGCCGAAGCTATCGAATTCAGGTCGAGCAGTGGTAAAGGCTGCTAGGGGCTGCTTGAAATACTCAAGATGTGGAGCGACAGTGTAGGAGTCCATGGGGAGTTGTTGACCTGACTGGAAATGGAGTGTTGTGTTGTTTTTGATTTCAGTCCAGGCTCCTCTTCATGTTTGGTAGGCTCCACACTGCGAATATGAGCGGGCTAGCCACGTCAATCTGATGGACCCACGCTCGCAAAGCGCGCCGCAGGTTTATCCTGATAGTCGACCGTTTGTTTGTGTCGGCTTTCCTTCCTACTGCACCTCCGATGATGCCTTCCGACCTGACCCCGGAAGAGCCAAGAGCCTCGCCGTCCAGCCAACGCGCACGGCCATCATCGGAAGATGCACAGTGCATGCCGAAGCTGATCGTCTTCAAATCCTTACTCTTTGGATGTGGAGTTGCAGGGCACGGTCGGGGTATTGAGAAGCACGGCCAATGAGACTGCTTGTCCCCCACAGAATCCCGATATTTGAGTATCCGACATGGTCTGCCTTCGGATCAGGCCTCGGAAGTAAACTCTTTTCGTTTATTTAAGGCATCAGGATGGTCCCGGGCTAGGTCCTCAAATCTGAGACAGTGTACTCTTTAAAGTCGTGTTTAGAATATCCTTATCATTATCATGCCAGGCGCTCTTCCCACAACCGAAGACCTGGTCGACGTGCTCATTGTCGGAGCTGGTCCGGCGGGCCTCATGCTGGCTAACTGGCTAAGTCGGACCGGAATCAGTACTCGCATTGTCGATAAGCGTGGCACTAAGGTGCGTGTCCATGTGTGGTATAAACTCTACAAACCCTAACCACACACCAACAGGTCTTCAACGGCCAGGCGGATGGCCTGCAATGCCGCACCCTGGAGATCTTCGACTCGTTTGACTTTGCCCATCGGGTCTGGCGCGAGTCTAACCACATGCTCGAGATCTGTCTCTGGAACCCTGATGAGAACGGACAGATCCACCGCTCTGACCGTATCCCCGATACTATCCCAGGCATCAGTCGTTTTCAGCAGGTCGTGCTGCATCAGGGTCGGATTGAACGGTTTTTCCTCGATTCGATCAAAAAGTACAGTAACATACGCGTTGAGCGCGGTGTGCTGCCCACGGCCTTTGACTTTGATGAGAGTAAAGCCGCCGACTTCAATGACTACCCTATTGCCGTCACTCTCCGCACCCTTTCCGAGGAGGAAGCCATGCCTCGGCAGCAGTATCAGCACCAGAAGACGGCAGATGGACAGTCTATCGTCAGCGATGGACTGTTTCGTAGCAATTTAGCTGCTGATGATACCGATGACCTTGTCCGCGCAGCAGAGACCAATGCCCGTACAGATCAGGTTCAGTCTGTCAAAGCCAAGTTTCTCGTCGGCTGTGACGGTGCACACTCGTGGGTGCGTCGGCAACTCGGCTTCAAGTTAGAAGGCGACTCGACAGACTATATCTGGGGCGTATTGGATATCATCCCCATCACCGACTTTCCGGACATTCGACAACGCTGTGCGATCCACTCCGCCAGTGCTGGCAGCGTCATGGTTATCCCGCGCGAGAACAAGCTAGTCCGTCTGTATATCCAACTACAGGCGACAGAGAATGCTCAAGGTGGCAACAAAGCTGACCGGTCCCGGATTACTCCGGAGATCATTCTCCAATCCGCACAGCGTATCATGCACCCGTACAAATTGACCTACTCCTACTGCGACTGGTGGACAGCTTACCAGATTGGCCAGCGAGTGGGAGACCGGTTTTCGCTGCATGAGCGCGTATTTTTGGCCGGTGATGCCGTCCACACACATTCACCAAAGGCTGGCCAAGGTATGAATGTCAGCATGCAAGACAGTACGTGAACTCTTGCTCAATTACAACAGCAGTGTACTAACCTTGATCGTAGCATACAACTTGGGATGGAAGCTTGCACATGTATTGAAAGGGTACAGCGACGGGTCTCTTCTGAAAACCTATCAATCCGAGAGAAGACGGATTGCTCAGGATCTCATTGAATTTGACCACCGATTCTCCAGGCTATTCTCGGGTCGGCCAGCGAAGGATGTCATGGATGAAGAAGGAGTCAGCATGGAAGAATTCAAGAAGGCGTTTGAGAAAGGGAATGAGTTTGCCAGCGGAATTGGTTAGTATTCTAATCAATGATTCCTGTCTATTACTGACAAGATCACGGGCAGCGGTCAACTACGGTGCCAGCGTGATCGTTGCAAAGGAAGGCGACAGTGTAGAACAAGGGGACGGCACAGATGTAATGATCCAGGAATCTCGCCGGGTAATTAGCAAGGCACAATTGGCGACAGCAATTCCTGTTGGTAAGCGAATGCCCAGTGTTAAGGTGCTCAATCAGGCGGACGCCCGGCCGTGGCATTTGCAGGAATTGCTGAAGAGCAATGGCCGCTGGAGGATAATTGTGTTCGCCGGTCACTTAACTATTCCGCAAAATATGCAGCGTATGCAACAGCTAGGGGCTCGACTTGGGGCGTCCGATTCGTTTATCCATCATTACACGCCGGCAGGCCAACCGATTGACAGCGTGATCGAAGTTTTGACCGTGCATGCCGGTCCACGTACGAGCTTGGAGCTGCTGGACTTGCCGGAGGCTTTCCACCCGTACAGTGAACAGCAGGGTTGGGACTATTGGAAGGTATATGTGGATGATCATTCGTACCATGAGGGACATGGTCAGGCTTATCTGAATTATGGTATTGATCCTAGTCGTGGTGCTAGTGTCATCCTTCGACCGGATCAATATGTCAGCTGGGTGGGAGAGGTGGATGATTATGATGAGATGGCACGGTTCTTCTCAGGTTTCATGAAGCCGCAGACTGCTGGCAAAGAGGGTAATCCTACCGTCTGAGATGGCTATTGCGGGCATCCTTTTCGGCGTTTGCTCATGATAATCTGATCGATAAATAAGGAGCTAATTCTGAATATGTACATGGAATCTATAGCAGGATACTCTGGCTCATATATGCAAAATCGCAGATCAGTCTTTGTGCAGAAAGCATCAGAAAAGGCCTTGGAGGCCATCAAAGTCTGCTACTAAGGGAGCTTGATGCTTGATAGTCATTTCCTCTGGAATGATATGAGTTTGATATTCTCTGGTTGAGTTCTGGCAATGACCAACCTACGTTTGACGTTTCAAGAATCCGGCGAAGAATTTTCCGATCTCGGAGTACTCACCGAGGCGCATCACGGCAGAGACATCTGGCAGTCAAAATCAGCGGATGTTAATAGGGAAGAAGTGTTAAATAACTGACATTGATCGGGGCGAACGATAATAATGGCTCCTTGTTTTGGATCAATGCCCAAGAAGCCGTAGGCATGACCGTGGATCAAGTTGTAGGCCTCATCATCATAGAAGATCTTGTGCAAGTCTGGCAAGCAGTGTTAGCAGTGCATTTGCCATTGAACACAGTGATATTAACCTCTGGTCTGATTCTTGCCAGACACTGGGTAGAAACACTCAGGAATCTGCTCTAGTTCAACATCGTGGCGCTTTCCGTGGCCCACCAGAATAGTCTCAATCAGGCTGTCCGCATGGACAGACTGAGGCGTGAAGGAACGAATAGGCCCACCAGGGGAGTCCAGATAATTTCCGAGCTGTTTTGATAATTAATGATACTTTCCGTAGAAATGATACGGCGATATGACCTACCGCATTCAACTTTTCCTGGCTCTCCGGAACGGAAAGGTCACCTCCAAACACTATCACACGCCAACGGCCATCAGATTTGAGAGACTGCATGAGTTGCATGGGCTTGGAATCACAGAATCGGACGATCTGTGCGCTGGGCAGGCGCATGCCAACGACAACATTTGATGCGAGTTGGGTCGATTCCAAAGCTGCCGTGATGGGCGAGACATCATACTTGGCTGTCAAGCCAGCAGTGTATTTGCCTGACTTCGTAAACCCTTCCTGGAACTCGGCCGAGGTGGCCTTCTTTCCAGATGAGCCGGACGAAAACAATTTTGAGAAGTAGCGATCAAAGTTGATCAGGTCAATGGCAACTTTCTCGCGCTCCAGCACATACGTCTTCAAAATGTCGGGGACCGCCAGCCCCGTCAAGACCTGACCTAGCTTCCAACCGATATTATATCCATCTTGTAGGCTGACATTCATCCCCTGGCCGGCCTTTGGAGAGTGGGTGTGGCAGGCATCCCCGGCGAGGAAGACGCGGTAATTCTTGTGGAAAAAGTCGGCATGTCGTTGGCCGATGGCGTACGCCGACCACCACACGGTCTCAACAAATTCCACTTTGTACGGGTGAAAGATACGTTGCGCTTGTCGCTGCAAGTTCTCTAATTTGACGTCCTTGGGGTTGGTCCCCGGAGGCAACTCGATGTAGAGCCGGGTCAAGTTGTTGCTCTCACCCTCGCGTGGAATGATCAAGATATTACCCGCGGTTGAGCGGATAGTGGTCTTCTTGCGGATGTCAGGGAAGTCTGTTCGCGGCACCATGTCCATGACGCCCCAGACGGCATCGCTGCTGTCCCCAATCATCCTGTAACCAAGGGCTTTGCGGACAACGCTGTGAGCCCCATCGCAGGCCTGTAATAGAATTAGCGAGAACCATAGGCTTCCTAGTATAAACTCACCAGGGCATACTTGGCTGCGAAGATTTGAGTGACCCCATTCTTCTCCGCCGTCACCATCACCGGGTAAGCATCAAGATCCGCCCCAGAGGCGCTGTCCACCTCGACGTTGGTTACATTGTACCCGTAGTCGATATTCTGGTCATTATACTTGCGCATGAGATCAATTAGGAGTCCATTAATGCGCGCCTGGTTCAGAATGACATGAGGCTGGTGCGACAGCCCGGGCTGCACGTCGGCGGCGCGCCCAGTGCGCTTGATGACCCCCGAGCCCTCATCGGCCCAGAAATTCACCTCCAGAACGTGATATGCTTCGCGCAGCAGTTCCTCGCCGACGCCGAAACTCTCGAAGATCTCCACGGTGCGGCACTGTACGCCGTCTGCCTGTCCCATCTTCATCGGACCATCGCGGCGCTCGAGCACCTTGCATTTGACGCCGTAGCGTGCTAGCCAGGTCGCCGCGCAGAGACCCGCCGAGCCACTGCCGCAAATGAGCACGTCCACTTGTTCCATTCTTCAATTGCAGCTTGTGCATGCCGACAAACCCCCGGATTCCCGCATCACTAAGTACTCGAGCGAGCACGGGATCAACTCCGAGGGCGTCGTCCTCTGGGCGAATGAGCGTGAATCATTCTTCTCCACTGCATCTGCGTCGTCTCGGCAAGCTACTTCCCTGCCCACTGCCGACTATCCGACCCCCGGGACCTTCGGGTTGTACTCCGTAATCTTCTCCGAATGGCATACTTGGACACCAAGTCTTTTTTACGAAATGGGGCATGAGCGTATTGTTCTCTTCCAGGCAAATCAAACTTGGTGCAGGGATTATCCTTCCTCAAAACTCTTCCGGTTGAGATCATTCTCGGCCTTCTCTAGAACTCTGGCCATGAAACGGTCATCCGCAAAACAATGCATGGAGGTCATTATATCTGGTCTAGAATCATTACAGAAATGCATCACCCCCTCTCCCCAGTCCCGAACGCCAGCGCCGGTTATAAAGCTCATGGCATCATGTTTACAAAAAGTACTCACTGCGACCCGGCCGTGAGGGCGGCACATGTCGCTGATCGTCCCCGACGGCGCTAAACAGCTTGAAGGCGGGCTTCAGGTTCTCGTCGATCTCGCAGACCGACGCCAGGTTCCCACACCGATAGCAATAGTTTGGTGCACTCCACACGGTAACGACATTTTGGTTAGAGAAGTGATACTTGTACCCCTCATTGACCAGCTGGTGTGCGCGGGCAATCAGGGAGAGATCGTTGACATGGCAGAATTCGTCGGCCACTCGGTCACCAAATAGCCAGCCTAGAAGGACGGTCAGTCGGCACAGTTCTAATCAGGGCTCGGTCAGTCTCACCTGCTCCCCGTGGGCTGACAGCCCAGGTCTCGACATCGTCCGGGTCGGACCAAACCAGATCGCAGAAGGCTCCCTCATGGGGAATCTCCTGGGCGCGAGCCACAACCCGAACTTGATCCAGCGTCCGGATCTCGGGACTCAGTCCTCCGTGAACACACAAGACCTTGCCGTCGATAATAGCCCCCAGCGTCATGAAGTCAAAGACCTGACAGCATGCTTTCCAGACCGAAGCACTTCCGTACTTCTGGAAACATTCCTCGTAGAACCCATATACCTGCGTAATCTGTCGAGACTCGTGGTTGCCGCGAACCAACGTGACCCGGTCAGGATACCTGCAAGAGTTCCTGTCAACCTGACTACTTTGCCAAACACACTCGAAAGGCACCTACTTTGCCTTCAGACACAGTAATAGTGTCAAAGTCTCTAGACTGAAATATCCGCGATCCACATAATCCCCCAGAAAAACAAAGTTGCGGTTGAGCCGGACATCGTCGGACCCTGCAGGCGATCGACTGCGAGCATCGTTGGAACCTGTCTCTTCGTCGTCGTCGTCATCCTTGTGCGAGCTGTCGCTGGGCCCGCGGAGCTTTTTCCGGATCTTAGGGTCCGTGATGGTGGACGGGGGTTCAAGGTCGGCGGAGGTGATGATCGAGGGATCAGTCTTTGGGGGGTCGAGCTCGGTGCCATCGGGCATGCCGCCCGAGACCCGGAAGAGTTCGAGGAGATCGTAGAACTGGCCGTGGATGTCGCCGCAGACGGTGACGGGGGTGGAGACGGGCTGGATGTTGGATTCTGGGCGGCGTCAACAGACCAGGGCAGACGATACTGGGAGAACGGGGCGCATACCCTCCATCATGTACTCCTTGACCATCTCACACAGCTGCTTCATGTGCGCTTCGGACAGGTACTTGCAGTCCTTGGCTGCCTCAAGCCATTCCTCGGGACCAGCATTGCGTTTCAGCTTGGCGGGACCCGGCGACGGGACCTTGCTGTCAACCATGATGACGATGGTGATTGAGAGTGAAGAAGAACAAGGGAATTCGTCGTTCCCCGCAAGGAAAGGGACCGGCGGATGATGACATAATCACGCCTGCCATAGACCGGCGAGCTTATAGTGTACAGAACTAGACCATCGATTCCTCTTTCGCTCCTCTCCTCTATTCTTCTATTTGTTCTATCCCCTGTCGCGTAAAAACCACAGCTTCCGTGCGTCCTCCGCCGACATCTTCGCCTTTTTCGACTCCACAAAATGCTGGAACAGCTTTTCGTGCTTGGCCTGCGCCTTGCCAAAATCCACGTGTGGCGGCACCCACCCGCCGTCATTCGACTGCAGCATCTGGTACGTGTACTCGCCTAGCTTGAGCCAGTCCTGGTACTCGCGCAGCTCGACCTCGTGCCGCGCAATCTCCTCGTCTGTAAACCGGTATGGACACCGACCAGGAAGACCCAGCCGGTTCCACTGTTGTTGAATGCGGATGAGACTGTCGCGCAGCGGTACGATCCCATCACGGTAGGTGCAGGGGCATCCAACAAAGAGCTGTCGAATGGAGACGTCCGTCTCGGTCAGGGTGAGGTACGACTGCAGGTGGCTCTTCACCAGCGCCGCCTCGTAGCATTTGGTGCGCATGGCTTGCTCCTGGCGCTGGGCCTGCTCCTGCTCGTGCGATTTAGCCTCTCGGTCGTACTTGGGCCGTAGCTCGGGATTAGCCATCCCCGTCTGGTATCCTTCGGGCGGGTTGAGGAAGAGCGGCCACCGCACCTGCGTGAACCGCGGCATGATGCTGGTGAACTGCCAGTCTATCACCCCCTTGATCACCGTCGAATCTTCATTGGACACGAAGATGTTGCCCGGATGGAAGTCAGGATGACATAACACGCCCTGCGAGTGGCGCTGCAGCGTGTGAGACTCGGCCAGAATGGTAATCACCTTCATCGCTCGCTCCAGCATATGGATATGCTCCTCGGGAGCGCCGTAATGCGGTCCACGACCTGCATACGAAGTCTTGTAATTGCGGACCTGCACGATCCCCTGCTGCACCAGTGATCGTCCTAAATCGGGCAAGGTCCTCCCTGGATGCTAACGGTCAGATACCCGCAGTGTTTCGGAATGGGGAGGAAGGCTGACAAGGGCCCGAGTGCTGCGAGTACTCTTCCGGATCTGCGGCAAATCCCCCCGGCCAGGAGCCATGATATAGTGGGCCGAGGCAGTAGTCATCGTCCACTGCGACGGTCCGGTTGGGATCTTCCCTCAGTGACGACGGCAGTTCGTGGCGCAGGAACAATGCACCGTACCCCGGGAACTGAATAGTGGCCAGGCTACTTTCCAGCTGGGCAAAGCCTCGAATCAACTGCACCCGGTTAGACTCGGACTCCGTATCCCAGACATTGGTGAGCTGCTGCCCGGGACTCTTTTCCAACACAATATACTCCGAGCGCACGGGATTCGATTGATCTGCACTCCATGCCAATACTGTGGATACGGGACTGCGCGAGCGCGCCTTCACTAATACGGATATCAATAGACTATCTGAGATGTGGGAGTCCGGCCATACCGAATTGTAGAACCGCAACCTCGGATGCGGTGCCATATTCGCGTGGCACGATGTTTCCACACGGAATCTTCGCAATGACTTCACGTCCGTTCTCTGCGGTCATCATCAATGCCTTGTTGTATCCGCCCTCTCTCTTGTTGATTTTGACGATGGGCGACTGCACGGTGGGTAGCGCCGCCACCATCTGACAGAGGGCATCGATATCGAAAGTTGAGTAGCGCTTAGCCTGTTCGTACTCCTCATTCACCAGGAATCGACCATGATTATACCGAAAGAGCTCCTGCGGCGGGACATCTTTGCCTTTGGAAACCGTTAAGACGATCATAGCTCGAGTCTCGGATAGCTAGGGTTACTTACCGTGCGCTTGAATAGTCAATCCGCGTCGGGCAGGAGCTCGTGTGCGTATCTGCGCGGAGGCCCAGCACTGCCTGCGCAGCCGAATCATTGTGTGTCGAGTCCTGTGAGCTTTCCCGATAATGGAAGGCGCCCCACGGACAGGGGGATTGAAATGGCGAGACGTCACTCTGATGCCAGGATGGCGCCAGGACAACAATAAAAACCATAAAACACATCAATCATTTCGCTATGGTACCAATTTATCTACAAATATATATAGCCCAATGCAAGCGAATTTAGCCATCAATCTTGCCCAGGAACTCCGTCACCACGTCCGCAAAGGCCACGGGCTGCTCGACCATGGGGAGATGGCCAGCCTGGTCGATGATTTTGAGCTCGGCGCCACCACGCAGGTCAGCAGCCATCTTCCGCATGGTCTGCGGGAGGACTCCGTCGTTAGCCCCCGCTACAAACAGACCGGGAACAGTGGCAGAAGCCATGCGCTCGCGGATATCATAAGCGCACAGCGCCTCCACGCTGTGGGCGAAGCCCTTCAGGCTGTTGGTGCGCACCGCTTCCTTGACGGGGGCGAGCACCTCCGGTTGGGTCTCGTAAGATTCCGGGACAAACCAGCGCCGCGTCGTCACCTCGGCCAGATTTTCACCCACAATGGGCTCCTTCGTGGCCGGGTCCGTAGCGCCTTCCTGCTCACACATGGCAACGCGGTCTCCCCAGGCCTTGCGGTTGGACTCCGGGGCGGACGAGTTAGTGTCGCAGGCGATAAAGGCCGCAACGCGGGACGGGTAGAGGAGAGAGGTGTTGAGCACCGTAACACCGCCCAGGCTGACCCCAATCAGGCGCGCAGCCTTGGGCGGCACCCGCAAGGCATCCAGCAGTGTAGCCAAGTCGGAGGCTAGTAGGTCGATGTTGACCGGCTGCTCGCCACTCGGTGAGCGGCGGCCGCGTGTCAGATAGCGCAAGACTCGGTAACGCTGGTTCTGCTTTCGGGCGAAGAAGGCATCGACAAAGCGGTCCCAGATGTTCCAGTTGACCAGAATCGAGTTGCTGAGCACCACCACGGGCGCATTGGGGTCGGTCGTGCCCTCCAACCGGTAGGGGAGCTCGACCCCATCAGCTGTAGTGACAAACGACTCCAGGGCGGGCCGCGAAGGTGAGGGAATGGTGTGAGTTTTTCCGTCGTTGGAAGTCCAGGGCCCGACAACGTCCGGCTTAGCCAACGAGCACAGCTCCCGCGGAGCTGGGCCAAACGTGTAGTACCACTGATACACGCGGCGCTTCTTGGATGTCACAACATCGCCCATGAGACGCTGACCCCATAGGGTGTTCATTGCCGCCTTGTGTGCCGGGCCACCCAGGCCGTTGACAGGCGCATACTCGTGCAGGGCGAGCGACTCGCGCGGGGCACCCGAGTCAATGGCGGCGGTCACGAAGCGACGACTGCGACGCCATCCGGGAACTTTGGAGAGCATCTCGTAGTGTTCCTCGCGGTACCAGCGCTCCAGCTCGGCCTGCTTCGCTGGGTCGGGGTGCGTGGCGACGGTGACGGCCACCAGCACGCTGCCGTGGGTCTCGGCATCGACATCGGCTTGGAACTCGAGCGGGCGGAAGTCCGGGTGGCGACGCTCATCGGCGAGGTCGTACAGCTTGCGCCCGACGTCGATCTGGGCCATAGTCTTCTTCTCGCGCTCGGTCTTGATCACATCGGTGCGCAGCGACAGGTAGGTCTCGCGGGTCAACTCGTCCATGTCCGTGATATCGTAAAGCGCCACGTACTCGGGCTGGAGCCCGTCGGTCGCGCGGAAGCGGAAACCGTTGGTGACGAAGGGGAGACGCAGACGCAGCGGGCCATGCTCATTGTTGTACCAGTCGTGGAATTGGGTGTCTGGCAGCGACGCTTGGGGCTGCATCGTCACCCAAAGGAGGCCGGATGAGGGCATTTTGAATTAGCGTGTTTATGTGATGAAGTAGATGGGCTAGAAAGGTCAATTGGGTAGTGAAAGAAGAAGAATCATCATTATCATCATAAAAAGAAGGCGAGGTCCAGTCAAGTATAGCTCAAAGTCGAGCGGAAAATCGCCGGGGGAAGATACCGGGGGAAGAGGCAACCAACTGCCGATAACTCGGTACCGCGGATGGTCACATCCCGAGCAGAAGAATGTATATACTGCAACTAATACTACTTGACGGGAGAACGGATTTTATGACCATTATTTTTTAATCTATCAGTTATTCTTGTGTGCCTAATCATACCAGATCGCATTCATGCCAAAGCCCTGCTCCGGAATGTCTACACGTGCCACCCGGGCCAGCTTCTCATCGCGCCATCGATACATCTCCACGAAGCCGAGCTGGTCATCACACAGCGCCAGCCACTCGTCGCTGAAGTCACACGGGCTGACGGCGTTCGAGTGTCCGCCACTGGTCGAGGTCGGGTTGATGAACAACTGCTTTTCGATCTCGCCGCTTGGGCCTAGCTTGAACGCGGTGATGTAGCCCGTCACGTCGAAGTGATTGGACCGGGTGGTGGCGAATAGATACTTCCCGCTGTGCGTGGTGAAGGTCACGTCGCCGCGGTACTTGTTGCGCGGGGGAAGGCCTGGACGATGATCAGCAGAGATGAGAGGAGAGAGCAGTGTGGGACGCACCGGAGGGCAGAAGCGGGTAGGTGATGTGCGTAAACACCGGCTTGTGGGTGCGCTCGTCGATCACGTAGACGGCCAGACGGTTGCCCGCCTCCATCAGCGCATACAGGTATTTGCCGCTGGGGTGCATCTCGACCCAGCGCGGATGGTCGCCAGGCGAGGGCGCCTCGAGGCAGTCGACAAGCTCGAGCTGGCCGGTCTGGGCATCCTTCTTGTGCGTCCAGATCTTGTTGGCCTGTAGGTCCGCCGAATACAGATAGGTCTCGGTCGGGTCGAACACCATGCCGTGGATGCCCGTGTTGGGCTCATACTCGTAGTTCTGGACGTTGGCGTCCAGCGCGCCGTCCGACTTCACTGAGAAGACATTGCCATACCCGGCATACTTGTAGAAGGGGTTACCGTACACGTTATACGGCGGCTTGTGGGCAGCTAGCACGAAGATGGCACGCGTGTTCGTCTCACTGCTGGCGGCCTGGGCTGTATGTATGACCAGTTCATCAGTGACCGAACATGAGAGAGAGAGTCTGGGGTAACGGACGGTGACCGGCGACCGGGTGCGACACTTGATGCACGATCTCGGTCGGGCTGCGGACGGCGAAGCTGTTCCACTTCTTCATGGCGGCACCATAGATGGCCTTTTTATCGTGTGAGAAGGTCATCCACGAGATGGGCTCCGCCTCGGGAATGTCGGTCTTCTTGACCAAGTCGAGGGTGAGGGCCTCATCATCGAACTGCACGGTGTAGATGCGCCCAGGGGCGGTCCAGGTGCCGACCATCAAATGGTGTTTCATGCTTGCGATGGGCGAGTGGGAGAAGCCGCGGGAATAATTACGATGACGAGAGCAGATAAGCCAAGGCCGTAAAGCCGCGGGGAGCATGTCGAGAAGAACATGTTGGGCTGATGGAGAGCAAAGACGTGGGGCAAACCAGTACAAACATCATGTACCGGCAGCTCGGGGCGGCAGAACCGGAGAAGCGAAGAGCCGGGGAGGATCCCGCGTTACTTGGCAACCCTAACCACGTGATCCCTACGGTCGTGTACGAAATCATCAAGGAGAGAGACCATCATGTCATATTCCTGGGACACGTGGGAGCTAATTACAGGCACTGCGAGTAGTAGGAGTTCTGCTCCTGGCAGGTATACGGGCTGACACACGTCGTCGCCCCAGTCCAGCCAATGCCACCGCACTGACCCCAGTGAGCGGCCCCGGTGCTGCTTGAACCAGCCGAGGTGGTGGTAGTAGTAGACTTGGTAGTGGTGGTGGTGGGCTTGGTAGTGGTAGTGGTCCTGGTGGTGGTGGTGCTGGTGGCGGTGATGGTCGTTGTCGTCGTCGTTGTTGTCGAGCTGCCCGGGAAGTAAGCCGAAAGGATATCCAGATAGTACGTATAGGCAGTCCCAGAAGGCGGCTCCATAGAAAAGATATAGTCTGCCCACCAGGGACCCGCAGACCACCAGGATGCCCCGAGCCAGACATTGCTGTTCTCCTGCAGGTAGTCCAGCATCCCGGTCACGGCGCTCTGACAGACCGAGTTAGCACCACCGGCGAATTCGCCCAAGAACCCGAGTTTCCCATTTTGTTGCAGCCACTGGGTGGCATCCTCCATGCGATCCTGGCCGATGGTGGTATTGACACAGACGTCAGACGTGCCCGACCCGTCCGAATCGAGATACTGGTGCATCTCGTAGACGATCTTGTTCTGGGGGTCGGTCAGAGCAACCAGATTGGTGTTGACAGATGTCCAGGTCCAAGCACCACTCCAGGAGTTGCCCTCTACAAAGATATACTGCGAAGTGGCACCGGCGGCGCGGATAGCGTTAATGGCGGCCTGATTGAGGTCAAGGACCAGCGTCTGATCCTCCGTGTTGAACTCATTATCTGCATAGGTCAGTCTTAATCGTCCAAAGGGACAGAAGAGTCCATACTAGTGTCGAAGATGGCCTTGTCATTCGATGCGAACTGCGTCGCCACTGTGGTCCAAAACGCCGCAAAGTCGCTCGTGGAGTTGATGATGTTACCGTAGCTGATACCTCGGTGAGTAGAGCTTCCGAATATCCATTGGGGGCATTAACTCACTATCGCCCGTAGTTGTGAGGATCAATAATGGCGTATGCACCGGTGGATGTGATAAACTCCACCGTCTGGAGTTGATCAGCATGAATTGCATTCAAGGCAGGAACTAACGTACGCTGACCAGGCCGGCCAGATAGGTCTGGTTCGGACTTCCTGTCATCTCGGTAGGCACCAATCGCTCCATCAAGAATGGGACGCGAAAAATGTTCATGCCGGCATTACGCAGAGTCTGGATACCGGCAGTATCCGGCCAAATGTAGTCGGTCCCCAGCGCGCCCGGGATATTCGCGGTGCCAAACTCCGCCCCAGACTCACTGGAGCCAAACCCTGGAATAGACTAGTTAACTCCATTACAGCCATCATGGTTGTGCACGTACAAACAAAGGACGAGGATCGTTTGGAATGGCTCCGAGGTGCCGCGAGCGCCAGACTGGCGGCACTGGCCACGAGTAGGTGAGTGTATCTCATGGTAATGAAGATAAAGATGATTACCTGAAAGCTTGAGAGTGTTGATATACCGGAAAGGGTGATCTTCGTGCAACTTATACATCTCCTTTCAGGGATTGAAGTCAAGTTTCGGAGCTGGGAAGTGTCCCTTTTCTCCGCGGCATTGCAACCGCTTCAGGTTTCCCGGTTGAAGCAACTGTCCTTGCTTCCGGAAGAATTGCAGATTTTGGGTATACCAGCAGGTGCTTCGGACCGTCTGCCGTTTGATTGTTGAGTCGTCAGAAACGGTCTTTGGGACATGAACCACTGACGCAAGAACAGAATGTGCCCCGCAAATTGACATGAGCTATATTGGACACGGAACTTAGAGTCCGGTGGAGGTGAAATATCGAGATGAGCGAGGAAGCGCAGGAGGCGTTGCCAGCACATGGCGTAGGCAAAGACCAATACAGAACTCAACTGACATGGAGGATATTCCGGACCCAAAGGGGAAGAGTAGCACTAACTGCGATGCCATAATTATACTTTTCCAAGCGACCAGGCTATATCCCAGTCTGCAGCGACATTTGCCAGGCCCCCATGTCTGTCATCCCGCGACTGATTTCCACGCGAGACCCGGGACAAGAACAGGAATGATCATCATCTTTGTGCAACTAAAATGCTTAAGCAAGCAGGGTTTGTATAGGTTCGTCGGCAGATCCTCAGGGCTAAAGAGCTTGGCCGTTCAAAGCATTCGCAACGGCCTTGACGTTGAGTTCCTTCTTCTCTTCATGCACGCCAGGTTTGGCACGAGAAAACTATATGCTTCATTCTGCAACCCCGCAAAGACAATTTCCACTCATTAAGCCTGAAACAAGGGCTATGCCGAGGCGTGGCGCTGGTAGCGTTCGCAAACCGGATGCAATGGAATCTTCGTGCAGTAGTCGGGGAAACCTCCGCATAGCGCTGACATGCATGGTGGAGAATGAACAAAGTATTGCAGGGTCGCGCCACAGGAGTTGAGGAGTTACATGGCGGGGCTTAGCGCTGACAGGGACCTGGAACCTGCAGAAACGAATCGGGTGAGCATAAACATCGTCGTATAGCATTGGCTAACGAAATTCATGATAATCGGATCTACAGCAGACTGAATCAGCCCTAAGGATGTCGGATTATACATCTGGATCAAGGATTCTCAAGAAACTGTTTCGATTCAACAACTAATCAACTAACGAGCGACTCGAACTCGATACATCCATTCATCTCATCTGTCAACATCTCCCCGCTGCTTCTCTCCGCCACTGGATTTTTCTAAACTACCCCGTCTACAGGCACTGCGAGTAGTACGAATTCTGCGCCTGGCAAGTATAGGGGCTGACGCAGGTGGTTGGGCCAGTCCAGCCAATGCCACCGCACTGACTCCAGTGAGCGGCCCCGGTACTGCTAGAACCAGCGGTAGTAGTAGTCGTAGTAGACTTGGTGGTAGAAGTGGACTTGGTGGTCGTAGTAGACTTGGCGGTCGTGGTGGTCGAACTGGAGCTAGAGGAGCCAGTGGAGCCAGAGCTGAAGGTGGAGCCAATCGGGCCTACCTTGATGTTCGAGTAGATCACATAGGCGTTGGGGCTATCGCTCTCGACAGTGGCAGGGTCGCCGGAAGAGATGTCACAAGTACCGCGAGCAGCACCGGGCGTAGTCGTAGTGTCATTAGTAGGATAAGTGCTGTCAAGCCAGAGCATATCGGCATAGTAATCATCCCAGAGACTCAGGACCAAGACCATGCCGTCCGCCAAACCAGCGCTCATGCCTGCGAGTCCTCCATGCAGACTGAACGAATCCTCGCCACCAAAAGCGGCCTTCTGGGCCGTGCAGAATTCGGTAGTGATGGAATTGCCGCTCACGCCGCTGACAGTGGACTCCGACTGGGGAATGACGACGCCATTCTGGACGTAGAATCGCTTGATCTCAGACAGGGTTCCGGAGGACGTTCCGTCATCGGTAATGAACTGAGTTACTACAGTGAAGACGGATGTAGTATCGACAATCTCGTTCGGGCCGTAGAAGGAGTGGTTGCCCATGCGGTACGGGTTGAAGTCACACCCATCAGGATCGCAAGTGCCACCATAGCGGTCGGTGCTATACGTACCACCGCAGGCATTATCGTCGCACTTGACCTGGCTTGGGGTATCGCAGGGGTGGGGAGTGACGGCATTCGAGATCGAGTTGGCCTCCCAAATGTCCATTTCGGCACAGCAGGAGCCGTACTCGCCCAGGCCCGTGTTGGCGTTATTGCTCGACGGAGTCCAACCCTCCGAGTTCGCCGCACCATCGATGAACTTGAGATCTCGCGGGCACTGCGAATCGCAGTATCCGGTGCCGTATTTGGCGCCGGCCTTGTTGGTGGGGAATCGCGACATACCACCGTCGGTATCCATGTCCACAAAGTAGAGGGCGCCATTCAGACCGCAAGGCAGTTGGGAGACGTCAACGTCAAAGGTGAACTCCTGGTTCAGCAGCTGGAAGGTCTGGTAGGTAGTGGTGTCCTCCATCAGGTACAGACGAGAGCCGACATTCTTGTTGGCTGACTGCGTGACAAAGTCCAGACGCAGGGAGTCGCCGCTGGTGGTGACGCCATAGGTGCCTGAGTAGTCGGCCCCGTCCAGCGCGCAATTGGCAGCACAGGTCTCGTCGTCCGGGCAGAGCGTGGCATCCCATGTATTACCCGTATAGCAATTGGTGCTGCTATTGACCGAGTGGACCCAGCGCCAGTTGGCATCGATCACCACGGAGCCGGTCTGGGACGTGCAGCTGCCTCCGCTGGTGCACTTGGACCAGGTCAAGGACGGGTGAGTCTCGGCAGTCAAAGTGCCCGCCTGCTGGGCCTTAACGGTCGCCAACAAGGCGGAGAAAAAAGAGCATTCTTGTAAATGCGGTATGAGATTGCGGCGGCCATGGCGGCGAGAATGCTGCTGCTAGAGCCAACGGGAATGAAAGATTGCTGAATTGATGAGGGACGGGATAAAATGGCCGTTCGGGAGGCCTTTTTATATTGTGTTGACACGACGAAGCCATCCAATTTCCTCTCGACGGCTCCACGGACCTCATGGCCGTGTTGCAAAGATCATAGAGCGATTTCCCCATGGAGAAGAGGATGCAGAGTACTCCGGGGACACGGAGCAGAGCCCTCGAGAGTCTGCCACAGGATCCGTGCTGTTCTGCAGCCAGGATCCCTGCTTGATGATGCCTTGGCATGCCGGTAATCTGGGCCTCCCCGCACCGCCAGCCCCAAGGGGTCGCGGCTAAATGACCCGCGTCAACATGAGACCGCCATGGGGGGGTAATGAGGCCGTTACAGCCGAATGCGACGAGCAGATGAAGTCCGTGGCGAACTGGTCCGACGGTGAAAGCCTCAGCCAGGGAGAGAAGAGGTGAGGTGTGAGGTGTGGAGGTGAATACTTACCACGTCGGGCAGTGTTATTGAAGAAACTCAATGAAAGTGGATCGAAGGAGCCCTGGTTATTGGCTGACTCACCCCGGGACAAGAAAAGTGGGCTGGTCTTTCGTTCGTTCTTCCTTCCTTCTTCGTCACACACACACACTTCGAACGTTGTCAACAAGCATTTCCACTAAGTGGCCATTCAACATGCCTCCCAGCTTCGTTCTCACCATCTCCAGCCCGGATCGCCCCGGGATCGTGCACGCGGTCACCGCGTTCCTGGTCCAGCACAACCTCAATATCGTTGACTCATCGCAATTCGGCGACCCGAGCTCCCAGCGCTTTTTTATGCGCGTGCATGTCGTGCCCGCTTCCGAGGATGCCATCATCGAGGTCGACCAGCTGCGCTCGACCTTTGAGGCCACAGCGCAGTCGTTTTCAATGGACTTTGATATATACCCGGCCTCGAAGAAGCCCCGGGTGCTGATCATGGTCTCCAAGATCGGCCACTGTCTCAACGATCTCCTCTTCCGCCAGTCCACCGGCCAACTAAACATTGAGGTGCCGCTGATTGTGTCGAACCACCCCGACTTTGCTGCCCTTGCTGCCACCTACAACATTCCCTTCCAACACCTTCCCGTCACAGCCGACACCAAGCCGCAGCAGGAAGCCCGGATTCTGGAATTGGTCAAACAGTACAACGTTGATCTTATCGTGCTGGCGCGCTACATGCAGGTCCTGTCGCCAACTTTGTGCCAGGCCATGTCCGGCCGCATCATCAATATCCACCACAGCTTTCTGCCCTCTTTCAAGGGCGCCAAGCCCTACCATCAGGCCTACGATCGCGGTGTCAAGATCATCGGTGCCACGGCCCATTTCGTGACCAGCGACCTGGATGAAGGTCCCATTATCGAGCAGAATGTGGTGCGGGTTAACCACGCCATGAGTCCCAAGGAGCTGACGCACGCCGGAAGCAACGTGGAGAGCAACGTGTTGGCCACCGCGGTCAAGTACGTGACGGAGCACCGGGTGCTGCTCAATGGACACAAGACCGTTGTGTTCAACTAGGCTGGACATGAGTCTCCCACCTGCATTGGTATATATTTCAATGACATCATTTCCGGATATATCCCTACTGTTGATTTAAAAAAGAAAAGGATCGGTGGGGCAGTTAGGAGGACAAGAATAAAATAGATTTTGGTTTGGCGCGTTTGTTGCTTGATACATTCATTCTTGGCCAGGACGACAGCGAGAAGACGAGTCCATGATATAGATCCGATCCAAGGATGATACGAAAAGAATTTTCCCGGCCCTTGTGGTAGTACTAGTTTCTTCTGCCAAAAAGGCCAGTAACAAGCCATTTTCGCGGCTTTACTTCTCCCGATCAGAATGGTGGAGCGGCGGGGGTCCCTTCGTCTTTCCACCTCTTCACACACTGACAAAATGGAGACCCTTGCGCCTCCGCCGACTCTCACGCACCTCTTTACCTTGCGATGCACGGTTAATCCGCCTATGGAGATCGGACATGGTCCCTTTGGCCAACGACGCTGCGTCCCGATCATGTTGGGCTTGGTGCGCGGCAAGTATTTGAACGGCGAAGTCGTGCCTGAAGGGGCAGATTTCATGTAAGAGACTTACGGGATGTCCGAAGGCTCCTTTCTGATGTTGGATAGGATCGTGGAGGAGGACCAGACGACGCATGCCAACACCAACTATGTAATCAAGAGCGATGACGGCGCGTTCCTCTACATCCGGTAGGAGCCCGCGAACGGGCAACGTGAATGTTTAAGTGGCGGGCTAACTTCATCTCCAGAGTACCGAAGGCACTCGTGCCGGTCCGCCCGAGGTGCTGCGCGCACTGATGGAGGGCGGGCCCGTGGACCCCAGCCAGTACTGGTTCCACTTGCATGTCAAAATCGAGACAGGCCACGAGAAGTACCGTTGGATGAACGACCGAGTGATTGTCGGCCGGGCCACTAGGGCCCAGGGTGAGGTTGCCTACGACGCATAATTTCTGGAAAACAATCCGTGAGGCGTGAAATCGTCGACATCCAACATTATAGGATCTATATAGTATTGCGCTAGGTAGTTATACAAAGAAACAGCAAGAAGCCACGACCGCTTCATTGCGCATGAAGCCGCTGGAGTAGCACCTCGGCCAGATTGACACGCTGACCCTGGCTCACCTCTTGTTGAGCTAAGATTTGGTCGGCCACATCGTTGGCCCACACGTATTCCGAGTGGAAATTGCGCAGATCGAACAAGCGCTGTCGCAGCCACGTCCGTTGGTTCGCGTCATCGGTCTCGATGACGGCCATCAGCAACGGCCAATGCAGTCGACGCAAAAGTTTCGGATCCGACGCGTATTGCTTGCGGGCAATGTCCACGATGCCAGTCGTGGCTTGCCGATGGATGGACGCGGGTCCACTGTCCACGCACAGGAGCCGGTGATGGAGGAGGGTCTGAGCATAGAAAGTGCAAACGGCCATGTAAATGGTGTTGAGCGTGCGTCGGGCGGAGACGGCCCCGGCAAATTTGGCCGTGATGAAGAGATCGGAGTATTTCTGGGGGTGTTAGCCCGGCTGCGACTGCCTTGTGTCGTTCAGACACACTTACCTCCCGCGAGGCAACGATCTCCCGGAAGATGGAGTCGGGGGTATCCGCGCTGTCAGAACCAGCATCCACGAGTGCCCGCCACGTCTGATAGCGTAGACAGAAGCCGACGTGCAAGAGCTCGAGCGCCCGATAATTCTCAATGTCATCCAACACCTCCTGGTCCGGATACTGCTCGCCCCAGAAGCATCGTCCCCAGAGACGAGCACACCGGTGGAGATGATCCGGACTCAAAGCTGGATTCCCCGATTGCATTACGTAGTCGTACAAGGACTCGGTCAAGCCCATGGGCCGGCAGCTGGCATCGATATACCTAGTGAACATGAGCGAATCATTCCTGAAACAATTTATGGGGGTATACTGACAGTATCCAGAGAAGGAACTGCTCCGGGATAAAGGAGACATTGGTGACGGCTCCTTCTTCGGCTGGATCGCCACGTTCCGAGGATAAGAACACGTCGTTCACATCTTTGATGCGGAACAGCTGAGGATGTGATTCCAGGAGGGAGCGGACCCCATGCAGATGAAGCTGGAGATGGCGGACCGAATGGCCAAACTGCCACTCGTATGTGATCATGAGAAACATAGTCGCAAAGATCATCTCCAATTCACCAATAGAAACCTGTCGCCGCGGCGTCTCAAGCAGCTGCCGGAACTCTTTGACGGCCAGGCTGTAGTGATATCGCCCGTGGTCCTCCGCTGTCGGTCGTCCCGGCGATCGCACGACCAACCCATTCCGATGCATGTCACTGGCAGACAGCGCCAGAATCATCCGCATGATCACCTTGTTGGTGGCAGCGGGACCTTGGTATAGAAAGCAAAAGCTGCTCCAATTCCATCCTTTCATGTAGTAATAGACAATGGACGACGACGGAAAGTATTGGAAGTATTTCTGGTCATGTTCGGTGAGGGTCAGGGAGTTGGCGCAAGCGAGCTCGGGTGCCGTCAACGCCGGGTAAAGAGGAGTGGGGATTCGGGCCGGGGACGCGACCGGCGGATAGAAGGGGGTGACCTGCGTCTCTATAGGAGTCGTGCTGCCGGCGAAGGAAATGGGCGACAGGCCATTCAAGAAGACGTCCGGCTGGAAATCTCCCACGTCGACCGGGAAGAAATCGCTCGTCTCGGGGAGCGGCCATGCTGCGAGATCGGGGGCGCGAGGAGCCGCCGGCTGGAGATTGCGGATTTGCGCATTCCGGCCACGCTTCACGGGAACTCCCCACTCACAGCCGAGACGTAAGTTGAGGCAGCGACGACAGACAGGACGCTCTTCGCCGCATTTTACCTTGCGTCGGCGGCAGGTACTGCAGCCTGAAGGGGGTGGAGTGGCGGGTCAGTCGGGGTTGGGTCGCGGGAGGGTCTTTGGGGGAGGGGAAAAGGTGATTTCCCCGGGTGTTCGAACTCACCCTTCTTCGAGCGAGGGGCGTTCCTTCCGGACATGAAGATCCAATTCCCCCACCACTTCAAGTCAACACGGAGGGGGACTTCAGCGCATCAGGGGGGAGATGACGGAGGTAGAGGTAAAGAGAGAGAGAGAGAGAAAGGTGAATCATGGACCGATAAGGTGTGGGGGCGCTGTGGGTAGGGCTGATGCCTTGGGCAGCCATCTTTCTACATTAGGTAATCGCAGGAGGTATAGTTAGTTAGTTAACTAGTTAACCAGGTACACCACCCAACTTCGTTCCTATCATATGTATCGTATCAATCTTCCCGCGCGATCTCCTCCTGCCACTGCTGCTGAGCTGCCTGGAAGAGAGCGTCGTCCGAGATCATGTCCCATCCGATCAGGGCGAGGGATTTGCCCACTAGGACTGCCTCCCCATGCGCCTCATCGGTGCCCGCGGCGGCGGCGAACGAGGGATGATGGGGGAATGTGTTCTCGGGCGTGGGGATGCCGAACATGGTGTGAAGCGTCGGGGTCACGTAGCTGACATTTCCTGCAACAGTCAACAGTCAGTCAAGCCCTTCTCTCTCGTTCATTTTCATTCATACCGATGTCGGAGGATCCAGTCAGGACTTTTTCGTGGCGCTTCAGCACCTTCCGCCCATACCGTCTCATGTGGATCTGATACCGCTCGCAGAGCGTGTCGTTCAGCCGAACGTCCGTGTAAAGCTCTTCCTCCGAAATGTCGACCTTGCATCCCGTCGCTAGCGCGCCCGCCTCGATGCAGTTTCGCACCTTTGTGATCAGGGTATTGAGTCCCTTGAGGGTCGGGCTTCGGACCTGCCAGTAAGCCTTGGTGTATGCAGGGATAACGTTTGCCACTTTGGGGGTGTCGGTGAAAGCGCAGTGGATGCGTTGATCCGGCAGGAGCTGCTGCCGCAAGACCGCGACGTTGTTGTATGAACTGACCAAGGCATCCAGCGCGTTAATTCCTTCCCAGGGATTCCCCCCGGCGTGAGCATTCTTGCCCGTGAACTCGCAGTTGACTTGCTTGCGGGCGTTCATCAGGGTTCCCGCAATGCCATCAGAAGGCTCTTGTCCTGGAAAAAGTGTCTTGGGCCCGGAATGGCTGTCAGGGGGGTCAGAATGTCATAAATCCATGGCTTCAGCAGATCCACATACGCCATGAGAGAAATGTCCACTCCCTTGTAAGCCCCCGCGTCAATAAGCTTTGCTTTACCCCCCCGTTCTCCTCAGCTGGAGTCCCTAAGAGTTGTGTTCGCCCGGAAATGCCATACTTCTTCAAGGCAAAGGACAAGGCGAGGAAAGCCGCGATGGAGCTAGTGGCGATGAGATTATGGCCACACGCATGCCCGATGTCTGGAAGGGCGTCATATTCAGCGTTGAAGTTGACCAACCGCCCCCCAGCTCCGCTTAAGGCTTCAAAAGACGTATCAAGGCCGTACGCATGTCGGGTCACTGTGAATCCTTGTTTTTCCAGGAAATCGCAGATCGTATCGTGAGCTCGATGTTCCTGATACGCGAGTTCAGGGTTCGACCATATCTAATATATGATCAGAGCTATGCGTCAGCCACGAAGAAAAAGCCATGGGCATGAAGAAAATACCTCCCGGTTCAGCTCTCGAAGCGATGTGTGTAGTGATTCCAGAGCTGCATCTACTGCAGCTTGGACCTCGTCAATCTGGGGAGCCATAGTTGAGATAGTCATGATCGTCTGGGACTCTGCGTAGGGCGAGTGAACTTGCGACTAGATCGTGTGTGTGCTTCATGCGGCGGAAAAGCTATATTTAATCGACTGAGACGGACTGTCCGGCCTACACTGCCGAGGCGGTCGGGACATTCTATGCGAGCGATAACCGTTCGTATGATTACGAAGACTGAATCATATCCAATCCTATAAATTTACCCCGTCCGCGTGGCGTTTGCCGACATGGTCCACAACACGAGGGGGCCTGTTATAGCGGAACGGCCAGAGCTATCATTCCGGAACATGACTTCATGCCTGATTATCACTGGTCCTCGGCAGACCACTACGCGAAGCAGTCAATCATATCAAAAAGCGAGGCCTGTGATAGCGGAACGGCAAGAGCTATCGTTCCGGGGCATTGCTTCATGCATGATTACCACTGGCCCTCGGCAGTCCACTATGCGAAGAAGCCAATCATATCTCTAGTGGGGCTTTCTCCGCACGACCCCATGTATGGGGTAGAGGGAAGGCGTTGCTACTGATAACCGGCCCTGCTTTATCCTTCTGGGACGTTGTCTGCGCTGATAGGCAAGGTAGATTGCCGACAGGAACAACTGGGGTGGTTGCCGACGGGCCCCGCGCATTGGCTGGACTGCCGATTGCTGAGCCCTAATCTAGCCCCCGTTCAGAACAATATTGATATGGATTTGCTGCAGATGAGAGTTCTGGATAAGGTGATCGGTATTTGACGGCGTCGATAGTTGTTGCTGATTGCCGATATTTGGATCCGTCTATCTTTGAGAGGGCGACTTGATCTGCGGGCTATCGCAACTATTCCGCTATAGGCACAGCCCGGGCCCCTACCTCAGAAGTGATATAATCGACGGAGTCAACATTGAACACATAACCCCCCCGCCCCCCAGCTATCCCAAGGAAATTAATCCGTATTTTGTCAAGATTATTACTTAATCGCAAATTCCCCTAATTTCTTTCGAAATACCATGGAGAAACGACATTCACCCCCAGGGACGAATGCCTCCGATATGGGCAAACTGGAAGAGGAAACCTCAACGGCACGGGATGTCGACTTTGGCCAGGTCCTTGAGGTCGAATCCACCCCTAAACTGCAAAGAAAAGTGCTACTAAAACTCGATCTCTTGTGAGTTTGCCTATTTCCGGGCACGAGAACAGTGGTTCTGACTGGTGCACACAGGCTCATTCCTCTGATGGGTATCTGTTACATGCTGCAGTACATGGACAAATTAGCCTTAAGCCAGGCAACACTATTCAGCATGCGCCAGGACTTGGTATGGTGCTCCTTGTTAAAAGACTGGTCTATGATCGGGTGCTTATGAAATGGTTTCCTCCAAAGGGTCTACATGGTGACCAATATTCATGGTCCTCTGCAATATTTTATTTTGGGTATCTCGCTTGGAGCTGGCCCAGTTCCTACCTGATTGTCCGGCTTCCATTGGGCAAATATTTAGCCGTTGCTGTCTTTCTGTGGGGTGGTATTTTGATGTGCCACGCGGCTTGCAAGTCATTCGGGGGACTAATGACGGCCAGATTCTTCCTGGGAGTGGGCGAGGCATCTATTGCTCCCGGATTCGCTCTCATCACGGGAATGTTCTATAAGAGAGAAGAGCAGCCTGCGAGACAAGCTGCTTGGTTTATTGGGAACTCCTTTGCCAACGTTATTGGTGGCGTCGTCGCGTACGGAATCGGGAAGATCCAAAACAATGGTGTCAACAGCTGGCAGTTGATATTTCTCGTCCTTGGTGCCGTCACAGCCGCATATGCCTTATTGTTGTTTGCCTTCTTGCCGGATTCACCAGCAACGGCATTTTTTCTCAGCAGGACCGAGAGAGCGATTGCAGTGCAGCGAACCCTTGAAAATAAGACCGGCGTCATGGACACGGGCAAGTTCAAGTGGAACCAAGTTCCAATGGCGCTGAAGGATCCTCAGACCTGGTTTTTGGTGCTTTACACGCTGTGTGTGAACTTCTGTAATGGTGGCCTTACTAGCTTCTCTGCCATCATCATCACGGGGTTCGGCTTCTCTACCTTCAACGCGCTCTTAGTCCAGATGCCCATCGGAGGTGCGCAGCTAGTCTTCCTCGTTCTAACTTCGGGTATCGCAACTTTCGTGCGTTCCACGCGCATATTAATGATGATTCTAAATACGGCCGTTTCAATGATGGGTATGATTATGATCTGGAAACTGGACGATGACAACCGTGCGGGCAAGATGACTGGCCTCTGTTTTGGATCGGTCTTTGCTGCCAACATCCCTCTGGCACTCAGTCTTATCACCTCCAACGTCGCAGGATTCACGAAGAAGAGTGTGGTAAGTGCACTGGTGTTTATCGCATATTGTGTTGGCAACATCGTTGGACCACAATTTTTCCTTGCGTCCGAGGATCCTCATTACCCCGTGAGTGTGCTTCTTTTACTAAAATTCATAAGTTCTGGTCGCTGATTGAATTGCAGACTGGTATCAAAGCTTCTATGTCTGGCCTTATCTTGGGCATCTTCTTCCTCATCTGCCTATATGTCTACTACATCTGGGAGAACCGACGCCGAGACCAACTGTACGGTTCACCATTACAATTAACAGAGGCGGAAGAGTTGCACGATGAGCTGTCTAGCAAAACAGACCGGGAGATAGAGAGTTTCCGTTATGTATATTAAGGCTCGTTATTGAATTGAACTCATGGTCTATGAAATACTTTTGGCCTTGGAGGATTGTGTTTTTATTAGTTTTTCTTGGATTTTCTTCGTTTGTACCGGGTACCATGGCACACTAGCAGGTACTTGGCAAAGAAATCCTCTGCAAAATCGTCGAATGGCTCATAAGCAGCGCCCAATTGGTATGCTGCCGCAATTCCAGATATGCAGGCAATTTCATGCATGTTCTGCAGCGCAATTTTAGCATAGCATTTACAGTTTGGATTCGATCAGACTTACCACCATTGTCCAACTCCCAGCGTACAAAGTTCGGTTGGTTCCATTGATCAACATCATTCCTGGAACGACACGTAGGTAGTGCTGCCACCGATGGCCAAACTGATGCCACCATTTCTGTGATATGACCTTCGACATATCGATATTATTCCATGTCCACAGGTTCCGCTGTTGGTCATTCAAGAAAATTGTTTGGAAAACATGTCGGCTCTGGGGTAGAGGCGGTTGGTCCATTCCCAGTGTCTCGCGGAATTGGTGTTGATAGTTCGTGCAGTCAAACCCCATTTCAATTTTTTCTGGATCAGATGGAAAGGAATGTGTGAAATACATGGGCTGAAATCCTTGCCAGCCATCCTTTTGGCTAAGCGGTTGCTGCTCTGCAAAGGCGATCTGTTTTTTCTGTGTTTCGGAGGTAGGCGAAGCACATAGATCGGGCGAGTACTGCGATTCGAAAATTTGTTGAAAATATTTCGAGTCTGAGTGAGTGATGGTGAGGTCGTTGTAAAATTTCACCCCTCCAAGGACATACTTCTCTGCCCAGGTGGCGTGTCGATCCAGCAGTTTCTTGGCCTCATCCGCCGGGCAGCATAGGACGAGCTCATCATATGTCTCAATATTTGTCTCACCCCGGCAACGGTCATCATGGAACTGCGTCCTCAGCACGGCGCTTTTTTTACTTCTCTCTAGTATCTCAATAGTGCAGTTCAATCGAATTTCAACTCCTTTGGAGTCCAGATCTTCTGCCCAGTCACGATAAAAGTTTCCCAAATTCGGGAACGTGTACATGGTTGGAAGATTAGGCAGAAGTGTATCTGGGTCATAGTCCCACAGTTTCATCTGCGGGTCGTCAAATAGGCGCTCCAGCAGCACGCTCGAGACGTTTGGGGTCTGATTACCGGTACCCAGAAACAGAGCTAACAAGGGCAACACCATTTTGTTGCTAAACTCATCACTGAATCGGGATATCCGCAGGATAGCCTTGACAGGTAAGATACCAAGGATCGGCATCAAATACTTGATGCACTTCAACACGCGTCCGAGCTTCTTGATTTCACCAGAGAACTGCTCGACCAGCGGACTGGGAAATACGTTGGTCCAGAAGCTATCACGCCCTTTGCCAAATGCAACCTGTAGTTGCACTGGCTGTGGCTCGTAACCATACCGGCGAAAAAAGCGGAATGTGTGTCGAAATATGGAGGAGCCACCCTGAACACCGTCATTCAGCCATTTGGCGCCATGCTTCCTTTCATCCAATGGGATCGACGTTGCTTGTCCCCCTGTACGAGACTCGATCTCGAACAGTGTAACCACAAATTGGTCGGGGTGGTTCGCCAGAGTAGCTGCACATGACTGCAAAATAAATTTAGAGCTGAATAATAGACACTGGCGGAAGAGTCCTTACCATGCCGGCTGCGCCAGCTCCGATAATTGCCACTTTCTTCGCCCGGTCAGTCATTGTCGCGATATACGTATCTTACAACGTCGAGGTTCGTAACAAACTCTCCACAAATCGAATTCCTGATGTCATATTTTGCCAATGCGATAGTGATGTCAGACACAGCCGTTGGCAGCGATGAGCGAATCACACTTCCCGCCCGCAACCCTAATTTAGATCTCCGATGCAGGTGAGTTGTACCCACCAAATTGCCAGTACCTGTCTCATCCACATTTCTGTCTTTTGAGACGGGCGGAGTATATAGATTCGAACAGCCTCCCGAATAAAGAAAGAGAACATAGATGCATGGACCAAATACATATATCCGCTGAATCTCGCTGTGTCTCTGGGTACACGTTTGGGCACTCAAATGTTTGCTACAATTGGGAGATCGCCAACTGGAGAGCGATGCAAGCGGTTATGCGCGTGGTTGTCCATCGCCAAGCACCAAGCACACCGTATGATTTAGTTTCGTTAATGGCGCGTCGATCGCCTGTTAGGGCGTTAGCTATTCATCAGACTTTGAAATTCTAGAACGGTCTTTCGTCAAGAGGCAGACCTGCACGCAATATTATTATCAAATTGCTTAACTAGCGCATCGGTCTGTATTGTCTTTTATCGCTAGGTATCTGGAGCTAAGCGTCAGCGGCTCACTTCTCGCTGGTCGTGTCTATTTTGGGTTGCACTCGGTCATGTTCGTGTAAAGCCTTGTAAATCTCTGAGGTCATATTGGTCCGCTGTTGCGCAGCTCTACGAATGTAAACCATCAGGTTGATAGGCAGGGTCCACGTTGCGGAAACCGGGAACCTGCCAAGGCGAGCGCGGGTCGTCATTACCACCAGGCCAGAAAATACGACAGATATGACTTGTTGGTCGTGGTGTTAGCAGCCCAGGATGAGAACCTGGAGTGCGAGGTGGCTAATGCTAAAATCTCCATTCGTCCCGATGATAATGGTCTCGCTGGATGGAAACAAATGGTAGCCAGTCTTTTGCTCTCGTGGAGACCAGTGCGCAAGTATGATTTGTGTGGTGTGAACGACCTGGTAGGCATTGTTGTGCTAGTTTCCAATATAGCACGGCGGCGGATTCGGAAGTTCATGCGCTCTCCACGGCTGAGACAGACATGCCGACTATTTCACTCTCTAATATTGAGATAGATAATCTCCCGGGATTTCGTGAGGCATTGGCTTACGCGCCCATACTCTCCGTCTATAGAACCGGTCAGTCAAGAAATGTCGTTTGTCAGGGTGGGATCTGGGGCACTGACGCATTTTGATAGATATGGAAGCGGGGGTTTTTGAGCTCATTGCGGATCTGGGCGACAAAAGCTTGGACCTTCTCCAAGCTCCATGGTTCCGGTGCTCCAAACTTGGTGAGCAACCACATACACCAGCCCTCTAAGCCCCTCATCCAATGCTCTAGGTTGATGGCGCCGGCTTCCTTGTACTGCCGGTTTTTAGCCCACGGCCCAATAGGCCATTTGTAAACCTTTTCATGCACATCGACGAAGCCTGCGTTACGGATGCGTGCTGGCATCGTATCAAGGATATCGCAGGGCCGGCCACAGCGTTCACCACAGCCCATCATCGAAGGGCCCCATTCATTGAGAACATTATCAAGGGGCAGACTGCCGTCGTCGCAATTAATGACCGGACTGGCCTCTAGCTGTTCGATCCAGCCACCTGGACGCAAATTGCTATTTGAGAATTATCAGATATCAGAATCGAGAGGGGAGAGTCTAGGTCGTACTCATAGCATTGCTTGTATACACGGTCCCATTCCTGGGGTTCAAAAGAACTGATCATGATGCGCATGTGGATCAGATCAAATTGCTCATGCCACGTCCATTCTTGTAGCACGTCGTCAACCTCCAAAATACAGTTTGGAGGCATCCACGAGGCCGGGGGTGGAAAAAGATCAACCCCACGAACAATGGCTGCAAATCGTCAGGTTCATAATATCACAAATGGGAGGGTTAGGAAACAGACCACTAGGGAACATATCGGCAACATCGCTACGTAGATAGAGTCAGCGGAATAAATGAGAAACAAGTAACGATGCACACACATGGCCCAGGTGCCTTTGCCCGTGCCAATGTCAAGAATCCGCTGCGGCGAACTGCCAATGGGTGACCGGAAGAAAGGGTTTTCCCGATCGTCAGAGTCCATGACAAGGGCCAGAAGATGCCTACCAAGGTAAGCCAGGAACCAGAGGGTGGAGAAAGAGGGTTGGGACATACCCAGCTTCGTAGCTGTCAAACATCTCGTCGTCGGAGGGAATGCTATTTTGATGGCAATGAGCTCGCCGGTCCATCTGCGGCGGGGCCTACTCACATATATTCATTATTGCGCAGGCTCTGATACCTGTGGTTATTTTCCAACTCAGTTTAATGTCCATCCCGATCCGGATCCAGTAGGGAGCTTTTACCGTCTGCCATTTTCCATGACCCCTCGGTAGATAGATGACTTCACCGAGGTGGTTTCTCTGAACCGTGGAAACAGCTGAAGTGTCAGATGGAGAAAAACACAACACGACAACCGGCTGCGTGGAACACTTACGACTGCCAGTCATTAGGATCATAGTCGCTATCGCTGTTGTCGAGAGCGGCATCAAGAGCCGGATCCTGAGAACATATGATCAGCCAGAGTCCGCACGGGGATAGGTTCATGTATACGCACTGCAACGAGCGGTTCATCAGCCATGGTGAAAATTGTCGGTGAGGTAGAGGACAATGATGATAGCGGGTACGACACGGGTAAAAAAACCCCCTCCAGAGACGTGAAGGCAATTTATTATTAGTTAAGCTGGAGCGAGTTAAACTAGTTAAAAAACGGCCCCAGTCATCCATCCCACTGGTACCAGCGCTGATTTGGTAGTTGAGCACGCACGCCCCGCAAATTACGCTCCTGGCCCAAGGGGGAAGTAGAGTGATCTCGCCTGGAAAGGGCCGGAAGACAGGAAAGGAGTAGCAACTTATTCACAACTGGTGGTCCTCCGGACGAACACCGACCTCCCGGGATCGAAGGTGGATCGCCGCCAGGGATATTTGCGGTGGTAGGAACTGGCTCGTGGAAACGCTCGGGGCCGAGAACGGGCTATTTACAACCGAACCCCCCTTAACACTGCGACGATTCATGCCGGCCTTCTCGAACACACTTTTACTGCTCGTAGCTACCTGAACACGTGAACATAATTGACGGGCTGTCCGGGGATTTCCAACCAGAGGACTCACCACCCGCCGAATCCTACGGTTCTGTGCCGACAGATCAGCAGTTGCCATGTACAGTACCGGTACGGCGAGCAAAAGTGACGAGCGAATCAGAAAGAAGTCCCCGAAAGCAGCGCACGTCCACTCCACTCTCGATCCATGCTGTCGGTGCAGCTGTGGTCGCCGCAGGATGGAAATACTGAGGGATCAGCTGGATACATAGGATATTGGCTCAATACAATAGTCGTCGCTTGCCTCTGATCAGCAGGATAACGACAATAGTAATTCCTAGATATACCTAATGAAGTGCTGCCCGGGGATTCTTACCATTATTCTCCTGTGCAGAAAGAGGGATCAACACTTGCAGCCAGCCCTGACTGATTACATCACTCCCTCCCCCCTCCCCCCCCACTGCCAAGTGAAGCAACTGGTCTTTCCCACCACGACCTCGTGTTGCCATGACCATCAAAGTAGCCGTGATCGGTGCCGGGTGAGTGTCCAGTTAGAGAAAGAAAGAAAAAAAAAAGGTTGATCCTGCGACTGATACATACATTCCCACCTGATAGCCCGGGCGGCCTAGCGACGCTCAAGACGCTCCTGGATGCGTCCACGCCCGAGCGCCCGATCGAAGCCTGTCTGTTTGAGGCGTATGTATATGCTCTCACGAAGGGCCGGCGCTGACGAAGTGCTTTTTCAGTGAAGGGGATATTGGCGGTACCTTTCATTACCGCTCCTACGAAAATGCCGAGCTGGTGAGCAGCAAACAGCTCACCTCCTTCTCCGACCACCGCTTCCCACTCAGCACGCCGGACCATGTGTCTCTGCCGGCGTACGTGGACTATCTCAAGTCCTACATTGCACATTTCGCACTCGCCGACCATATTCAACTGAATTGTCCCGTCGTCCGGGTCTCGAGACTCGGGGCAGCGGCCCGCTGGAAGCATCGCGTAACTTACCTCGATCGCAAACGTCCTGGAGGTGCGCAGGAACAATTCTTTGATTGTTCCCATGTGGCCGTCTGCACTGGCCTCCATGTCCAACCCAACACTCCTTCCATTGTAGGCATCGAGAATGTTCAGGGCGAAGTTTTTCATTCCTCCCAATATAAAGGCAGAGCCCAAGTGGCTGGTCGTCGTGTTCTCATCCTCGGTTGTGGCGAGACAGCTATGGGTCAGTTGGTTCACCTCTCACTGTCAAGCTATCTATCTCATTGGTCCTCCTAGACATCGCATACGAGTCCATCAAGGCCAACGCCGAATCCGTAACCATGTGTTTTCGGACCGGCTTCCTCTCATTTCCTAAACAGCTTAGTCGGTTTCAGGTATTCGGCAAGACGTTTAGTGGTGGCCTTCCGATTGATGGGCTAATCACCAATCTTTTCGAGACGGCTTACGTGCACCGGGCGATTGCGAAAAGCAGACTCCGCTGGTTTATCTCCGATTTTGTCATCAAGAGAGTCTTGTGGTTCTTGACCGGCACCCAGGCCGGCATGAACCAGCATGTCGGTAGTCTTCCCAGGGAACGACTGGGCAGAGCCTATGTGTTTCTAAACAAAAGTAACAAAGCAATGCCCTATCTGAATCGGCCCTATCAGCAGCACAATCCATTCCTCGCTTTGATCGGAAACCGATACATCGATCCTCCCGAGGATGCCACCTCAGATCGGTTTGTGGACACTTGCACCTGGCCACGCTCGATCGATGACACTGGTAGAGTCATATTCGAGCCAAAGGCAGACCGGAAGGACTGGCAGCGGCTGAAAGAGCAGGAGATCCGGCCTGACTGCGTGGTCTATTGTACTGGGTGAGCGCCCTGCCTTCTGCGAGCCGTTCCTCACTCACACCACTCAGATATCAACAAACATTTCCTTACCTGGACGCGTCCTACCCCACTGCATCAGACGCTCACATTCGAAATATTGTCGACCCGTCTCACCCCGACATCTCTTTTATCGGCTTTGTCCGGCCAGGAGTCGGCGCGATCCCTCCCATCGCCGAGCAGCAAGCCATGTGGTGGACGGCCCTCATCACCGGCCAAATGAAGATGCCCACCGATCCTCCACACTATCATCTGCTGGCAACCTCAAGCTCTCGCATTCAGTACGGCGTAGATCATAGCGCCTACATGAGCACCCTGGCCCGGGACTTTGGGGGGGCTCCCGGGCTGATCGAACTCTATCGTCGACATGGGTTTCGGATCCTTCTCACCTATTGCTTTGGGGCATCCTTTGTCACTTTTTACCGACTGGTGGGTCCATTCGAGTCGGCCGTGGCCCCCGAGATCGCGCGCACCGAGTTAGCTGAGACCATCCAGCGTCGGGGTTTGATTGGCAATCTGCTGTTCGGGATCGTGCCGATGCTATTCTATGGGATGGTCAATCTTGGAGCCCTACTGTTGGATCTGGTCGGATTGATTCCAGCCGAAAAACCGAGTACGGAATCTGGGAAATAAGTTCACCTACAACAGACTTGAATATCTATACTTAGCAAGACGCCTAGCCACGAATATACAACGCAACTGTGCTACTATCCGGCGGCCCCTTGTGTTCAAGAAACATAGCCCCCGATCACTTCCCCTAACCGAATACAGCGACAATATTAAATCTTATGATAATAGGCACAGCCCCAACCGAGAGCCAGTGAGTGTCACGTGACGTCCACCTCTCTTCCTTCCACCAACTACGTGCTCTCTTTTTCTTCTTCCTCCTGAGTATGGGGAGACCGGCGGCCGCGCAAATTCGCACGAGCATGTTAGGTGCACCAGATTATGATGACCCGGCATTTTGGGATAACAAATTTGCCACTGGTCGGGATGTCGGCGAGTGGTTGAACACGGGTGAGGCCCTGCTTGACCAGGCACTGCAGGACTTGGAGCGCCGGCCCGTCCACGGGCGGCCGCGAGTCTTACATCTGGGTCCCGGCATTTCGCAGCTAGGCACAAAGCTCCGCGATCACTACCTCGACCGCCAATGGGCACCCGATGGGATTGTCGTGAGCCTCCTTTAGCAGTCACCGTACGCCTTGAACTGATCTTACCCGTTGCAGAACGTGGATTTTTCAGCCGAGGCCGTCCGGTTAGGCCAAGAACGTGAACACCAAAGAAACCAATCTCAAGCAATGCACTGGGTGCGCGCCGACTTGCGCTCCTGGGATGATATCTCTTCCCTCACTCGCTTTGCCCCCTTCGACGTGATCCTCGACAAGAGTACCATCGACTCCATCGCTACATCGAGAAACTATACCTTTTCTTCTTCGGACAACTTACATCACATCTGCCCGGCGATTCGGGAGACGCTGCCCTGTCATTCGACAATGACCCTATCCCCAGTAGAGCTAGTGGCCTTGCAACTCGTCTCGTTGACCCAGAAAGGTAGCACTTGGATCGCACTCTCATACTCTACCACGCGTTTCGATGACCTGGAATTTCTCAAGAAGTACTGGACTATCCGCTCCCGCACAGCCCTGAGAGCCCCAACCGGCCCTGTTTCCTCTTCCGCTTATACACCTGATATTTTTCACTGGATATATATTTTGGACCGCAAGTGATCTCGAATCATTCGACAATGGCAGAACTGGGGGCCATGCAGCTCTCACTAAGATTAAGAAATCTCTGTTGACCGACGGAATTGTGACGGTTCGCAATGCCCCTACTTCTCGTGCACCGTTCAAGAACTATGATCTCGATACCAAGACCTAGAATTGTCTAGATTACTGGAGTGTACTTGTTCTGGCATACCTACGAGGATATTTGATTACTATCAGGACCGGAAATAGAATCACGGTCAAATTCGTTGCTAGCCGCACTCATTTGGATCCGGCCAGCCTTCTTTCGCTTTATTCGAAACTTTGCCCGCCTCTACATTCAACTTCCAGCCCTTCCTTCGACTGCCGCGCTACTTTACTTTACCAGCCCGAGACCGTCGCCTTTCTTCAACATCCCAGGTTGATTGCTTTAGATCGATCAGTATCGGCTCTGTTAGTACAATTGGCTTCGAAACTTACCATTTGCGTATAGAGCATACGTGTCAGCATTCTTCAAAGCATCGCCACTGCTAAGAGCAGTGGCCGCTGCAAAGCCATAGCCCAGGTCCTCGGTGCCCGGGCTGTACACGCCCGGCGCATGAGTGAATTCATGAAGGGATGTAGTGGCTTGGTCCTGATCATGGCAGCCAACTGACATGGCGGGCAGGTAGGAGTAGTAGATGTCGCAGTTGGCGATGACGTTCAAGGCTGGCAGCGTATAGGCAAGCACGTTTGTCTCACAATATCCGTACGCGTCGTCGCAGTAATACGTGGTAGCCCCTGATGTCGTCGACTCGGCTTCCTTGGCTACGGCCTGCAGTCGTGCAGCGACCACTTGACGCGACGCGTTAGCCGTGGTTTTGAAGTACTCACTGAACTTGGTCGTGGAACCAAAAAGCGCGGCATGGGCAGCGGCGGTAGCCAGTGACACAGTATTGTTCAAGGCTTTATCCATGATCCCCTTCCGAGTTGAGTTACTGCAGCTCAGATTTGTACGGCGCATCAATGGTGCGACAGCCTTGGCGACTTGCGATGCCCTGACCGCATCAATCTCGATCGTCAGGCTATTGGAGCGGTAGCGCAGATAGCCGAAGACGGAGTCTCCCTCGACAAGCGGCACTAGACCACTGGAGCGCAAAGTCGCGGAGCCGCCGTGGGACAAGTCGCTCGTTGTGGCGATGTCGAACTCATCTTCTAGGCTCTCGCCTGCGGCCAGCGTCGTGAGCGCCTCCGGACTAAGACCCTGCAATCTGAAACGACGTTTGATTCCCTCAAAGGCAACTTCCACATCTGCCACACAGTCAGTATAGACCATGTCCTCTCCAAAAGCCGAACATGCCGGTTTGGTAAATGGTGACCTTCTTCACGGGGGCGCTGTCTCGAAAGAAATTGAGGTGCACAAATGTCACATCGTCGTGGCCGGTGTTTGTGACCACCGCTTTGATGCGAGTGTTGTCCACTTGGCTCAAGGTGACATCGAACGAAGGTGTCTTGTCCACTTTAATTGGCATTCCCGCCACATGCTGTGCGAGGAGCAGAAATACCGAGAAACGGGCAGCAAAGTTCATGGCGACCGTTGGCTTGCTGTATCGGCAAGTAGGGCTGGCAATGTAGAATCCACAGCGGCTCAAACGCTACTAGTAGATTGGGAATAAGCCGGCCAAATAAGGGCGGTGCCTGCGGATTTATAGCCCATCAAATGGCCTACCATGTTGCCATATCTCTTGCTCCGACGCTTGGTGCTCATCGATTATTAGCAGATGTGGTGGAAGACAGAAGGTAGTATATTCGCTGCAGACAGCCATCGTGACTATGATCTGCCTTCTGTGGATTCTATTGCTACTCTTGTGCATCTGGCGAGGTTAGGTGAAATTAATTCTACCATGGCTGACCTAGCGGAGAGCTTCTTCTACATCTTAGCCGCGCGTGCTGCACCAGACCCGCTGCACTTGTTCAATTTTTCTATCCTGGATCTTGTGGTTGATCCATCCCTCTAAATCCAGAATTGTGTTTCTAGAAGATCCGGAGGCGGCCGATGTATTTTCTCGCTAATTATGTATGGCCTTGAGATAAGCTTGGCCCTTGACTACCGTGAAACGACATAAATTCACATCGGCGATAATCTCGAAATCCTTGATGCTTATCCGCGGAACCCTGCGTTTTGTCCAGTGCCGAGGTACAACCCAAGACCGGCCAGATCTATGAGTGCAGACGAAAGTAAAAGGCTGTCTGGATCGCTAACAGTAACTTAATAATCATCTTGGATGGCTGCCTCTTATATTTTGGCAGTTGCACTTTATCCGTCGCCCAAAACAATGCCTCTTCTGAAGAAAAGAGATACTATTCGGTGCAAGGGAGTATACAGATAACTAGCTCGCCTGAGGTATGAATCAAGCATATCGGAGAGCCTTCTATGTTTTGATATATGCAATTTGTTTTTCCTTTTCGGGATGGTCCAGTCTTTCTCTCGTTCCTCATAGGCCCTTGCCCCCAATTTCTCGCCCGCGGCCAGTTTTTCAATTCATCTTGAGGACAAGTGGGCTTTTCTCTGGGTCTGTATGTTACACTGTCTCCAGAATGACCGGCTGTAGAATCTGTGGCGCAATCGCTCCTTGTACCAGTCAAAGTGTTCGTCCGCAATTCTACTGAAGGCCTTGCCACTATTTTGGCATGGAGTCCCTAACCCAATTGCATCTGGTGCTGCGAGCTGGTGCACAGACACAATGACTCTGCGGGTGAAGATCATTAAGATATCCTGTGGGCTACCCCGTAGTGCACCTCGATCTAGTGGAAACATCTGCTCTGAAAAATATTCTTGCGGCCATTAATACATTTATCGCGCTTTTGCATTTTCAACTGCGAATAAGGTAACAGTGCCTCGAGAATATAGCATGCGGTAGGAAAAAACAGGTTGACGGATGTCACTACACCCCAACTAGCGCAGCTGGATGATGCAAAGCGCAGAAAATTTAGGTCTAATGTCACCGCCATGCGGGTGGAGAGACCGGACTATTTTGTAACTGGTTACCGTACTTGGAATGTGATGAGCGCCCCATGAAAAGTCTGTTCAACAACATGTTTGGCCGGGCAATGGAGAACAGGAGCTCAAGTTTTGATTTGATTGTTGTCATGTCTTGGGATAACCCGACAACGTCCGGCAATAGAACGCATTTTTCTGCCATCCAACAGGGTCATGAATACATTAAAGTGGAACAAGCATCGCATTGCTGTATAAGATCTGAGTTGACCAGGGTTGAATTAACTATTTGCTTTGAGAATTGGGAAATCTCTTAGCTCCATTTACTGATCAATTTCCATGCCAATTGGATAAACTCTTGAGCAGGGACAGTGATGTCTACTCACCCGGTCCTTGATATACCGGACGACGCGCGACGGGTTTTTGAGACACTCAAAAAAGGAGGGATCGCCATTATTCCAGCCACCGTCGGGTATGGGATTGTGGCAATAACTCCAGAGGCTCTGCAACGTATTTTCATAACCAAGCAGCGTCAGCCGCACAAACGGCATGCGATGATCGGGAGTTATGCTCTTCATCAAGCTCTCCATGTCCTGCCTTCTCGCGAGGCGGAGATGGTGAGACTATTGACAGTTGACCTGGATCTTCCTCTCGGTGTTGTTGCGCCCTTCCGGGCCGATCATCCTATTATTCAAAAATTACCCCCTGACACTCTAGCACAGAGCACAGTGGACGGGAAACTGGCAATGCTGGTTAACGGAGGCCTATTTCAGGACGAGCTATCGCGAATGACCGCTGACGAAGAGCTTCCTCTCATTGGATCATCCGCCAATCTTACGGGAAAGGGCACTAAGCGAGCAGTGGAGGACATAGAGCCTGAAATTCTCGCAGTCGCCGATATCATAATTGATTACGGATGTCAGAAATTTCACTACCCGCGACCTTCATCTACAATGATTGATTTTCAGAACATGAGACTTTTGCGGTACGGGGCGTGCTATGATGTGGTGCAGGATGCTTTATGGCGCTTCTACAGCATCCGATTATCCTGTGATCCGGGTGGCGGAGTTTTGTTCTCTGGCCACCTAGAGTTTCATGAAAAGGATTAATGATAGGAAAGAAAGAGAAGTCAAGGATTTCCAAATATGTCACAGCATATGATGAAGCATGTAATGGTGTCAATTATTGGTGAATAAATAAGAGTCTAATGTGATTGTGAGGATTCCTGCTCAGCCGAATTGACCTTGGTGAAATTCGTGATAAGCACTGTCTTGGACATGCCAGGCTGCACCTGACCAGAAGTAATGCCGCCATGCTTGAAGAAGGCAAGCGCATGTACAGACGAAGTGGTGATATTCCAATATACAGGTACCAGTTGAAGCTGCCCAATGTTTCCTTTAAGAGATATGGCGACAGCAAGCTGTAAATAGAACTTGATATAATTAATAAATGCGGTGAATTAGCGAGAATGAGAATGGGACGTAATTCTGTGATACACTGTAAGTCAACTGAGGAGCAAGGAGTGCCTCTCAGATTATAAAACAACCTGTACTCGCGTCCCCCTCCTCCCAAACTAAAAAATAAAAACCGGAACGACAGCAGGAATTGCTGACAATTTCGCTATCAATAGATCTCGGTAATCGAGGATTGTGCACCGTTCTCATCAAGAGTAGACTCTCAGGAGTTTCGTAAAGGTGTTCTTTCAAAAATATATAATGGCAGCGGACGATCAACTCCAGGCACTTGATCCCGAGGCGAGAGCAAGAGCTTGCTGGCCAAGAAGTCCATTATGCTACTTTTAAACTAGGTGTAAAAGACAGAGATGTATATGTTGTTCATTTGTTTTCCTTCCAATAAGGAGTCCTTCATCCCAAGATCCGGCTATCCAATGATTCTTCCCATAGATGATACTTCAAAGGAGCTCACACCAGCCTCCTCCCCTCTCAAAGCCATGACAGCAAATTCCAGCTTGTATCTAATGTGAACCTATCCAATATACTTCACTGTAACACTGCTGCCGCTAACAGACGAGGAGGTAAGAACTTCGTTCTGCTGAATATCCATAATAGTCGCGCCAGAAGGTCCAACTGTAGAGCTTCCATCGGTAGCCTCCGCGCCAGAGAATGTCACAGTACCGAAGTTGGCAAATGGAACCAAGGAGTTGCCTGATTCAAAATCTTCGACGATCCACTCTGCATTATACTCGCAAAGATCGCCATCGACACCGCCGGTGAACGTGTGGGTCACAGACTGACCGGTAGAGACGTTCTCGACAGTTGCAGTGCCAGTAGTATCAGAACTAGCATCCACAGTCACTTTAATCACATCTCCGGCGGAGATATCGATGCCACTGAAGTCATAGGCATAGTCAGGATACCATTCGTACCAAGCGTCATATGTCACGGAGCCGCCTTGAACACAGAAGTCGACACCGGTTTGTAGAATAGCACTGCTGCAAGTATCCCCGTCAATTCCAACCCATGCAGAAGCACAGTACTGGGTGTTCGAACTGCCACCAGATGGAACCTGGGGAGTCGGAACGGTGAATTGGCCGGTCACCCCAGTGTAGCCGGTGCCGATGAGGGCTGCACCTGCCCAGTTGGAGCTGTACTGCTCGTGCACCGACTTGTTGACAGAAAGAACATCTTTGGTTCCAGGCTTATAAGGAGGGTTGCTGTGACGGCCAGCAGCACGAGCAGCGCGGCGGGCCTCCTGGCGCGCCTGGCGTTGGGCAGTCAAGGGCGCAGCAAGAGCGGACGCTGCGAGCAAGGCAGTACCAACAACGGCAGTTGAAACCTTCATGATGAAATTTTGAGTGGAAAGAGCTGCTGAAGACAGAAGAACTGGTTGCTTAGGGAGAAGATGAGAATGTTGATTTTGTCTAGATGAAAGGCTGGGACAAGATGAGGAAATCCGGCCCTCTTTATAGTTTTCATATTACTTCAGGGTAGTATCAAAGTTTATCTTCAAGTATCGCTAGAATGTCATTTCTCATGATCGAGTCCCAGATGGGAATCAACGCCGATGCAACTCTTCGATATTAGTGCGCGTCGGAGAGGGGAAAGAGAACTAGCTTCACAATATTGCGAGCGTCTAGCCCATCAAGCTGATGTGGTAGGATACCGCCGTCGGAGACCGGTGGGTTTGGTGGTCAATTGACTCGAGGAAAGCGTAAAAGGGGCATTGATGTGTTGGTACTGGAAATATGCAGGACACAGTCAAGAGATCCTTGTCCGAGTGGCAGGAGATTCATTTCAGGCCGAAAAGGGTATTGATATGCAAACATAGCCTCTAGTACTCGGTAGTTTCCGAGATCCAAGCGGGAGATAGACCATTCCAGACCACTGTTTCAACCTGAGGTTGATGGCTGGGATTGAGTGGCCACTATATGCTCTGGCACGACTCACAATATTGAACGCTTGATCACGATCTCTGAAGCAAGCAAATGTCTTACACAGAACGAACCGGCCAGCTGGAATATGGCGGAAGCCCTCCGGCGCCATGAAGAAAATCAACCCGCCACAACACACCCAAGCGATAGCGTGGCGTCGCGTGAGCACAACGCTTTGGGGCTAAGGAAGTCAATGGAGCCACCATGTGTGCAGTCCGGCGATCCGACGGCAGCAGGATTCTTGATAACATCGTATCACCGCGCAAACAATAATATAATAATCCTAAGGGCTTGTGATAGCTCTGGGTGACGGAAGAGGACTGACTGGAGTGTAGTGGCCGAGACAAAGGAGGCAGGGATCGACCCTGAAGGAACTATACAGTGGCTATAGCGCTCACCATAGCGTGGACGCTCGATAAGCGATGCTCGTGCGATACTACTGTGGCGTAAGAGCTAAATTAGTCCCCGACCATAAGCCAAGCTTTTGGATAAGGACCAACGCTGAGGCCTCGGACGGCAACATTCGAGCAACAAAAAAAAATGTCAGCCAGTCAGAGGCTGTGTTATAAACTTTCAGGACAGAGATATTGATGAATTTAAAGCTCAGATAGATTGTCATTAAAGGGACGCCTGGTGAGGTTGGATAGGATAGGGCGCGGAGAAATCAGACTCAGATAGTGTTGGCTTTCGGGTGCCAAAGCCCCACCTCGATGAAGACAGGGGGGAAGGGTTGAATAGTGAAAAGCACCAGTTAGCGCCCTCAAACCACACGCTACCCCGCTTTGGTCAGGATTTCCGAGTCTCGCGCCATGGTCGTCTGTGATTTGTGCTTGGGCAAGGCCTTGATTCCAGCAAAGCCACCAATTAGAAAGACAGCTGTGACTCGCCCTCGGATTCACAATAATTATCCCCCCACCACCATTATAGGGATTCGCAAGCCACGTTTGCCTAGCCTCGAGGGCCAGATGAATGGCAGAAGCCGCTGGGACCAAGCAGGAAACTATCTTATCGACCCCCGCTGCCTGAATCGTTTTTGACTTTTTCAAACAAAGCCACCAGAGTAGCGGATAGTTTCCCGCTGCCCAAATAAGCTCCTGCGGATCGAAAAGGGAACGGCGATAACCGTGGAGAAGCCCCGGGTGACTATTATCTTTATTGTACACGAGTTCTGGTCGTGCATGACAAGCGTGCGGGTCGCAAAGGTGGCGTGCGGCAAGAAATGCCATGGCTGAGGTAGCACAAAGTCGTGCATTAGAGGCGCTGAGGATTAACCACCGACCGCCATCTTTGAATGTAACCCACAGCTTGCAGCGAGGGATATTTTGCGGTTGTTTGTGTCCATGGGGGTTGATGGATGGTGATAACGCTAGTCGGTAGCCCTGGGCCACGAGTTCACAGGGAGGGGGCAACCGTGAAGAAATTTAGACTGCTGGTTGCCATGACGGATCGCCATCGACGCTGAACGGAAGCAATGAAAGTATTTCGGCATCAAAGACGTCTCCAAAGTCTTGCCCGTCGAGTGCTATTTCGTCTGTCATAAAAGGAAATTGATCCTCGTCCGCAGAGCTGATGCGGGTTTCATTTGCTGGAGTTCCTGTTTGAAGAAATCTCATTAACTTCCGTTGTTCTGTCTACCAAGAAAAAGTATAAAGTAGGGAAAGAAGGAATGTACCGGGTGCTAGAGGGGAAGGCGTGTGGGGAACAGTGCCTTGGCCGCCAAATCTTTTTCGCCATGTCCACAAAGAATCGTGAAGGAGACTCGCTGCCAATCGCGTGCGCAATTGGAGACTTGGCTCCTCAGTTGTTTGTTTGGAGGATCCTTGGCCGGCCCATAACTGAGCAAGGATCTTGGAAGTCCGACCAGGCAGGTCATTATCTTCCAGAGACGCCCGCCGAAGGAGAGAGATGGCAGTATTGAATGCACGCTTCCCACCTTCCACGTCAAGGAGTCCAGCGTAGCTGGAATCCTGAACTTTGAGAATAAACATGGCGGCTAACGTAGCCGCTCTGAAATAGGAACCCGGGCAATATCTCATTAGATTGGACCTGGCATCGAGATCCCCAAGTTTGCTGATCAATGCTGTCGCTATTTCGAACGCGGTCAATAAACCTATTTTCCGTGCAGCAGATCCACCAGAATGGAACAGATAAAAGACGTAAAGCTGTATGCCTGTAGCATTGAGTAGGATTTCATTCTCGGCTATTTTTGCTCGTGGATTAGATTCCGGTCATCTAGGGTGTAGCGAAATGGCACTTACCAGTGAGTCGCTTGGCAAGAGCTCTCGACAAGTCCAAAAATTCCTGCTCCAACAATGCCAGAAGTGGCATACTATCCGGCGAACGGGGCTGACCGGCTGTCCATGGCAAATGCTTAGACATGTAATTGCTGATGCGTGCTGAAAACCGATAGATCAAGAGCTGTTGTTTCATTGCCTCTGGTATGACGTAATCGCTCTCCTGATCACATATGCGATCGATCATCCAGTTTGAAGAATCAGATGAAAGTGGTGATTGGCCAAATGTGTTTGACATACTGCAGACATTTCAGCCAAGGAACCCAAGCACCCGAAAACAGATACGGCTAACCTCTGAGCTGTCATATAGCAAACTGACCATGTCCTGATTGCTTCTGATATTTCCGCCACATTTAGTCTTCGTTTTGTGCGTGAAAAATCTTGGATTGCTTCCGGCTGATGCAGTCCAAGTTGCATAGCAATGGTTTGCGCAATGCCGACCAACATAGGAGTAGTGTCTGTTGAGAGTGATGACGTGGGAAATGGCCACATGCACAGAAGTGAGATGGACTGCACAATATACCATGTATGCGGTGGATTTGAGATTTCCTCCCACAATAGGCCCTTGACTGGTGAAGTGAGCCCAGTAACGAGGCTCGGCTCCTCTGTGAATTGACGGGACGAAGTGTATATAATCACCCAAAACAGAAGGCAAGATCGACTGTAGTAGTCGTTCGGCGATAGACTGGGATCAAGAAGCAATACATGTCTGTGAAATTTTGAAAAGAATCTGCGGGACGTTAGGCCGTTGAGCATAAGCTGGAGATGGAGCTTGGATACGTACAGGTGAAAGAGCGAGTCAATTTGCCAGGAATTTAGACTGACATGACCAAGAGATCTGGGAGTGGTCGGTGTCGGAGAACCCGCCAATGGGTGGGATGGCTGCTCAAGATCCGCAGGCGCAGCTCCCAGAAGACGGTTCTCCGCTGGTGGTAATGTTCCTGGGCTACAGGAGGTAGACCCGACATCTAATGAGTGCCTCATCGGGGACTGGTCATGAAGAAGTTGAGTTGAGGCCGGGAAGTGGGATACTGAAGAACGAAGCTGCCGCACTTCCTTCTCGAGCTCCTCCAGGCGCCTGCAGATGGGTCAGCCCGACTCCGCTGAACAGAGGGGCAGAGAGCACAGACACTCGTTTGTTCACCCTTTTGAATTCAGTGTCAATTGCACAGTTTTGTTCAAGGCGTCGACATCTTGAACAGGGGAGATCGCCGCCCGTGGACAATTCGCAGCGAATCTACATACTCGGGTCAGGCTGGGCTACACGGCGCTCCCCTTGGCTTACCTTGGCCTGCCTGCATTGTCGGCAAGCAATTCGACGACCCCTACGGCGAGTTCTCTGAATGCCGGTAGCGTTCTGGTCCTGCCTTCGCATGCTGCTTCGCTTCTGCAAATGACTTGACCGGCAGTGATCTGGAGCTACGGGAGATGGTTCGAGCGAGTCACGTGGTGGAAATGCTGAGTCAGTTCTTGTTTCTTCTAAGTTAAGTTAATTAACTAGTGATGTTGGTTGTTTCCTTGCTATTAAAGAATAATAATTGATCACGACGATGGATGCTAGAACAAATTTTGAATCACCTGGTTATGTATGGACCCTCCGATCTTACACGCCCTGGACAAAATTTCCTCCGCCAGAGGCCATATCTATGGCGAGAGCTTCTCTCAGACCCACCACGTTGAACAATTCCCGTGGCCCGCCTTGCCCAGACACCAAAGGGCTTCCAGTCTCTTTCAGATGCTGCGCTGCTGCACTGACTGCCCCATATACAGGACCCAGTGCGAACCCAGGGAATATAATGAGACGGAACCCGAGCTCTTGGGCTTCCGCCACCGAAAGATCAGGCGACACCCCACCCGCGACAGCATTGAAGAGGACCGGAGTGGGCTTTAAGTCCTCGCACACCTGTCGCGCTTGCTCCTGGGATGTCACGCCTTCCAGAAATGCAACATCCATGCCAAGTTCAATCGCCCCCTTCAGACGTGATATTGCTTGGTCATAGCCCAGCGTTGCAAGAGCATCGGTCCGTGCAATCAAAACAATATCCCTACCAGAGAGCTTCCGGGCGTTTACTGCTGCACGGACCCGTGAAATATATTCGTTCTCGGAGACCAACTGCTTATTGCTAAGATGACCACAGCGCTTCGTTGTTGGCTGATCCTCGAGATGGAGCCCGGCGACACCCGCCCGAATATACTCAGTGACAGTCCGATGGACCATGAGAGATCCTGCTAAGGTCAATGCCCACGCACATAATGGAGGAGGGTATCGACCATGGCCTACCTCCGAATCCTGTATCCGCGTCTGCGATTACAGGCGTGGCCGGATCAAGGTTGGCGATCATCTCCGCATTCTCTCGCATCTCATTCAGCGTGATCACTCCAAGGTCTGGCTGCCCAAGCTTGGATGCGGTTGTTCCTGCTCCAGTCTACCGGAAGAAATGAGTTAGGGTAAGGGATTACGCAGTCTCTGATCATTGGGGTTGCCTACCATGTATAGGGCCTCAAATCCGGCTTGAAGTGCGATTCGAGCAGTGAGCCCATCATAAACACCTGGGCACACCACGATCCTGTTTTCAGCCTTCAGCAGTTCACGCAGTCTCGCCACTGGAGATGGCGCGGCCATTTTGGCAATACCGGGCGGGGTGGAGGGGTAGTTTTTAGGAGTCTATGAATCAACCGAAATGAGTAAGCTGTTATTTATCGAAATATTGGAGTTAGCCAAAATCGAAATGGTCGGGATCTATCAGGTTTAAGGACCTAACATCGGCGAGGGCGATAACGGAGTCAGTTTACCTCTGCCCGTTTTCGGGCCGTATGCGGCCCGACGAAGTATAGAAAAGGACATGGCACCACGTGAACGACGAATCATGGTTTACAGATACCAAAGACCCCCTCATCTGAACAAATCCAATTCAAACGGATTTCTTTCGCTGCAATCTGCACTACCCTGTTTCCAAAAGGTTTACATGTCCTTGATATGGCTCAGGAAAATACCTCCAGTCTCCGCCGGCTGCTTCGGATTCTTGAGGAATCCCGCAACGTAAAGTTGAGCTTTGAAGAGAGTAAGAAATAATGCTTGGAAACTATTCGGATTTGTTAGGGGGCGTAACAGATCTGACATATAACCATAGTATCCTTAGTTGCATCAGGGCACAGTCTCCTCGCGGAACTGACAGGCACTATTGAGCATCTGCAATCCAATGGAAAACAAAGAGAGAGCAACGCCTTGACCAGTGTTCTTGAAATTTGCAATCAGCCGACTGATCTCGGAGGACTGGGGCTGTCACGAAACGCTGCTCTAACGACAGAACAAGTGGCCGAAATCCTGTTCTTGGTGTCTGCTTGGCTGGAGGCTCTCAACTCGGCAGATCGGGCAAAGGTACCGCCAAGTCCACTGTCCCGCCGCCCCAGAGGTCGGCGTGGGATGACCTTGGGCGAGAAAATTCTTGCCATGCATGATATTGACCAGAAGGGGTCTGTAACTCCTGGCCAACTGATCAGGGTTGACGTTGACTGGGTGATTGCATCCGAGGCATCGTGGGCGGTAAGTACAAAAGTGTCATATGTTGTTGCAATGATGAGCTGAAAAGCGAAAAGGGCATGGAATCAACATATAATCGATTGGGGAAGCCAGGGATCTTTCGCAATGATCGTTTCTGGCTTGCAGGGGATCACGTCGTAGATCCACGGGTCAACAATAACCCCAAAGTGCAATCGTTGATCGATGCCAGTGAGAGGGCCAAGCGAGTTTTCAAAATGACAGACTATCAAGGCATGAATGTCGGTTTGCACGATCTCTTTGTAAAATATCATGGACGTGATGCTAAATAATGCTAGTATACGATTTTGCACACCGAATTCTACAGAGAGCGGGCACAGCCCGGGATGTTGATCATTGGATCTGATTCGCATACATGCTCTTCTGGGGCGCTAGGATGTCTGGCCGTTGGACTAGGTGCTGCAGACGTTACATTGCCTCTGGTGACTGGAGAGACTTGGTTCAAAGTTCCCGAATCAGTCAACATTCGGCTGATCGGAACTCCAAAGCCCGGGATTGGAGGCAAAGACGTGATTCTATACATTCTACAACAGCTGAAGAGGAATACAGTTGCTTCTGAGCGCATCGTGGAGTTCACAGGGCCCGGAGTTAGATATCTGTCCTCTGATGCTCGGTTTGCTATTTCCAACATGACCACGGTACGTGGGTGGTATGCAGAGGTGATAGAGCTAAGCTAACACATAACGATAGGAATTCGGGGGAATAACTGGAGTCTTTGTTCCCGATCAAATCACGCACGATTTCATTAAGAAGCGACGACTTGCTCGGCACAAAAGTGACATTAACTACTTTCGACCGGATGAAGATGCGCAGTACGCAGAGACTCATGAAATCGACCTGGATAATGTTGGGTCGTTTCTAGCCAGGTATCCCAAACCAGATGACGTGGTGCCCGTTAGGGATCATGAGGGAATGGCTTTGGACGGATGCTTTATTGGTGCCTGTACTACTGCTGAAGAAGATCTCATTCTCGGCGCGTTGGTCCTGGAACAAGGATTAAACCGGGGATTCAAACCGGTCGCTAAAGGAAAGAGAAAAGTTGTTCCTGGCTCACTGCCAATCATGCATCGTCTTCGCCATCTTGGCCTGCTTAGCATATATGAGAGAGCAGGGTTTGATATCGGCGTTCCCGGATGCAGCTACTGCGTGGGCATGTCTGCTGATCAGGCCGGGCCAGGTGAGGTTTGGCTATCGTCCCAGAACCGAAACTTTGAAAACCGCATGGGGAAAGGTGGCATATCAACCCCCGCAAGCGAAATTGCATAGCTGATAATAATACATAGGATCTATTGGACACCTTGGCTCTGCGGCCACAGTTGCCGCCTCGTCATTTGAGATGAAACTGATCGATCCTCACAAGCTATTGAGTACCATTGACCTAAACCAGTGGAATCATCTCAGAGGAACTTCAGTCTTTTTGGATTCGCCGACTGTCATCAACGAAATGCAGTATGTGGAGCCTCGGGATTCCTTTCAAGTTACGGCCGATGAAAATGAAGTAGAGAGAGGTATATCTGCTCAAGAGAGCGTGGAGATGGATCAACGCCAATCATCTTCGGTCGCCAAAACTCTCACGGGCAAAATTCAACAGCTGGGAGATTTCGTCGATACGGATGCAGTGAGTTACCTTTCATAAATAATGCAGAAAACAACCTGAACTAATCTGATCCAAGCTGGCTCCCGCTGAATTTCTCGTAGGGATGAGAAACAATGAAATCAGTGGATCACACTGTTTGGAATATACTCATCCCGATTTCCGCAATCGTGCCAAGAATGGATTCGACGTTGTCGTTGCCGGAAAGGGCTTCGGATGTGGATCGTCTCGCGAGCAAGCGGTCATGGCTCTGTTGGGTATGCCAAAGGCTTTTCTACGTCATATATTGACAAGTACCATCTCTAACTACATCTGTTGTCTAGGTTGTGGTGTGAAATGTGTCATTGCAAAATCATTCGCTTTCATATTTCAACGAAACATGCCCAATCTCGGCCTCTTAGGAATAACTATGGTTGACAATTGTTTCTATGAGGCTGCCAAAGACGGCGAAGATATTTCGATTGATTTCAATGCAAGGTCAATCTACGTTGGCGGACAGAAATTTTATTTCCAGCTCAGTCAAATGGAAAAGGAGTTATTTGACTATGGTGGGATTGCGTCTGCTTTTCAAAAATTCGGCAATAAACTATTTGATGTCATGACTGCACCGAAGGGATTGGAAAGCTCGGTGCGCAAAGCACAAGAAAAAGCGGCAACGCCGCACCCTGGCCTACAGTGGTAGGAAGCCGTGAACCATTAGGTTGCTCTTTCGGAAAGGAGGTTTTAACTGTGGGGTGTATTCATATGGCCAACAATGTCAAACATTCATACATTTATTTCCGACTGTAGGTTACCGAGCGGCGATAGTCTAATTTCCACGGCATCTGGATATTCTGAGTGCTGTCTACAGAACTACCTACAACAATACTACCAAACAGCTTTGGAATTCACCCGGGGCCTTTAAAATCCATTCTAGGAACCAAGACACATATTTGAAATTTGATGCTTTCCGGACCGGAATGAATCATGAGTTGAGCCTGCTTTTAGCGATGGTTAACGATAGACATCCGTTAGAGGTCTTGTCATGCTCATTAGAATGTTGATCGTGAGGTCGGTGAATCAAGCCTACAGAGTACGCAATTCTGGGGATATGGACAGTCAGTGGTGTTTCTGATTTGCATAATTGAGCGATATCTTATAGCATCCAATATCAACGACTTAGCTGCTACTTTTGACATGACCCTTCCACGCAGTATCGAGTGTTCTTCTAAGACTCTTCACCTCCTCTTCGGACACAATTTCAGCATCCTGTAAAAGTGCGGCTGAATGAAAAAACGAAGCACTTGTATCGGTCCAAAGCAAACCGGCATTTTGCGATCTCACTCCGCCGCCGACGATGATCTCGGGGACCACGCCCTTACTCGGTAGAGTTTCTCCTGGACAAGTAGCAAGTCTGTGAACAAGATCCGCTAGCTTATCAACACATTCAAGGGCTTTGGAGCCTGATGGTCCTCCGTTGGTCAGGATATATTTAAATCCACACTCCATGATATCAGCCAAGGCGTGGTCCCACAGCGATTCCGGGATGAGATCGAACGCTCGATGGAAGGTGCAAGGTCTTCCATTTGCCAGTTGTACAAGCTCCTTGTTTCTTGCTATATCTATCCAAGATGTCTCTTTGAGCGGAGCATTTAGTGATTCCGGGTTTAGAATTCCAAACACGAAGCCATCGGCTCCAGCGTTATTCAGAGTGCTCATAGTGCTCTTCATATCTCTGAATTCGGAATCATCATAGCAAAAGCTTTTGGAATGTGGCCGAATCATCACATATACAGGAATGGATAGTTGCGACTTGAGCGCTGCAAGCACTTGAGGCGGAGGAGAAAGACCACCAGACTGATAATCCTGGCATAATCTACAGCAACGTTAGCAAAACATGTCATACCAGAAAAAGAAAACCGTCGATCCTTGCGTCAGGTTAATGACCATTTCATTAAACTGTGGTGGCAGTGAACGTAGATCGAACAGAGGGCACAGAAATTTTTGGAGAAAAGCTTACTCAATCCGATCAGCTCCCCCTTTCGCAGCGATGAGAGCGGATTCCGGGTTAAAACAAGCAATTTCTAGCAAGGGACGCCGAGGTGCCATTGAACCTAGAAGAGTGCGAGGCCTTGGCTGGGATATTCTCGACTTGTTCTTTAGGAGGGTGCCGAATGTGTGTGCGGGGAACGAAATGTGGAACTGCGTTGGTCGACCTGATTGGACTACTTATGAGTTCAATTCCATCCATTTGTTGCCCGTGATCAGCTAAAGCGCATGTATTCATTATTATTTTATGTGTTGTAGATTGTAAAAATATCGTGTTTTTTGTCTATCTGAGGATACAACAGTTGGCTTCCTATGATTTTGATTCTAAATAAACAACGATAGGGAGGTTAATCTGCCGTGCAAATCAACAGACACTACAAATCAGAACCTAATTTGCCTCGAGTTTACCCAGCTTTCGGATGTATTGACTCCAATTCAGCTGTGAGCTGCTGCTCGATCACACCTGCATCAATCTTGTCCTGGCCCTTCCGAACAGTTTCAACGTCCGGGACCGATGAGTGCTTTTCTCCCGCAAATAAAGCGTCGGCTGGAGTCGGCTGGAAGCGACTCCAGCCGACGTTGCATGGTCAACTCCAAAAGGACAGTGCAACCGTGGCTCCATCCATCATGTTTGCCTTGTAATTATGCAGCTTGTCCTAAGCTTATAGAGCCGTGTGTCCTTGACCGTTATGAAGGAGTTTATTATTTTCCGACACATATCTCTAGAATGTCGCAACGTCCGGTCATTGCCATTCCGGGACTCGCGTGCGAGACCTCCAGCTTCTCTCCCGCACGGACGCTGGTTCCGGCTTTCCATCCTTGCCGTGGGAAAGAAGTGATCGATAAGTATCCGTGTCTTCCATCCTGCTACTGCACTGGGGGATGCAGCCGACTGGAGGGGAGCTTTGACCGGCCATGCCTTGCCTGGCGGTGTCGTAACGCGACGGGCGATTGAGGAGCTCGCGGACGAGATCATCGCTCGACTAGGGGACCTGGTGGCATCGACCGCTGTTCATGGACTCGGGTATAATATACATGGTGCGATGTGTGTGGAAGGCTTTGATGATGTGGAGGCCGAGCTTCTTCGGCGCATTCGACGGGTTGTTGGCCCCGAAGTCGTCGTGTCGGCGTCAATGGATCTCCATGGCAACGTGTCTGAAGAACTTGCACACCAGACTGATCTGATCACTTGCTATCGCCTTACGCCACATGAAGATGTGATGGGTGGGTGCCCGAGGTGTCAGCGCCCACCGCCGTAGATAGATAGGATTTCCCTTCTGGGAGATCATGATCAATACAACTTCACTACCCGTTCGTTTCCTTTCCATGATCTCTCTCCAGGTCTCTGCTGTGACGTCCGACGACCTCCCCTGAGTCCACCGGCCATCAAGATGCAATGGATACCTACGAGCGCGCCTGTCGAAATACGGTGGATCTGTTGACCTCGAAAACGGACGGACTGACCCCGTCCGTTGAAGGCGTGGGTGCCCGTTCCTATCCTACTGCCAGGAGAACAGACGTCGACACGTTTGGATCCTCTCGCCAAAAGTCTCTACGCAATGGTGTCCCAGGTCGAGGGGATTCCGGGAGTTCTAGATGCAGCGATCTGGGTTGGGTACGCATGGGCAGATGAGCCTCGCAATCGTGCTGTGGTGGTTGTGACGAGCTGGAATGAAGCAGCGGTCGCTGCAGGAGCAAAGCGGTTAGCGCAGTATTTTTGGGATTCACGCCAGGGGTTTCAGTTTGTGGCGCCGACTGGATCCTTTGCGCAGTGCATCGATACGGCTTTGGCCTCGCCTGCTCGCCCTTTATTTATCCCGGACTCTGGCGACAACCCGACTGCTGGTGGCGCAGGCGACGTCACCTGGGGTCTCACAGAACTGCTCTCCCGACAGGAATTCTGCGATGAGATAGGCCCAACAGTTATTTACGCCAGTGTGCCCGGCCCTGAGGCTGTTGATAAGATGGTACAGGCCGGGGTTGGCGCCACCGTTACTGTCACCGCGGGAGCTCAAGTGGACAACCTCCACGCAGGCCTGCTCACCATGACTGGCCGTGTTCATGCAATCAAGCATGGAGACCGACATGCGATCATTGAAGCAGTTCTGCAGGTCGGGAGCGTGTACACCATTTTGACTCGCCTACGCAAGCCCTATCACCGGGAGAGTGACTTCACCGATCTTAATTTGCGTCCCTGGTCGATGGATATTGTGATTGTCAAAATCGGGTATCTCGAACCTGAACTCTTCGATATGGCGGCAGACTGGAGGCTTCAAGCGGCTTAACTCCAGGTGGTGTTGATCAAGACCTGGAACGGCTAGGCCATCGTCGCATTCATCGCCCCATGTGGCCGTTTGACAAGAGTTTCTCGGTGCAACCAGATCTTGAACCACGGTTTATTCCTTTTTTCCACATCCCATTTAAACCCACGGGAAGATAATTAAAGCTAGAAATTTAACGAAATTTACCTTATAGATAGAGTGGAATAGACTAGCGCAACTACGTAGCGACCAGAGGGTTTTTGGTCACTCGTATTATAGAAGGCTCGCTGTCAGCATTTCAATCAACGGGAACCGTAGCATCATGTCTCGGAAAATTTGTTTTGAATTTCAGGTTTTATCTGCACTACCCGAGCAGTAAGGACTAAGAGTCATTCAATATGATTCGATTACATGGACACCATGCGCCTGCTCAACGTGTAATATGCCATCATGCATTACTTCTATTCCCGCATGAGCATTCAAGGTGGACGATCAGTCAATGCCGAGGGAAATGCATAGTACAGAATGTGAGAAGCGAGGTGCTCTGTCATCTGCCGGAATATGTATGCACGTGTTGATAGCCGCACGAGCGAGATTTGCCAGTCCCAACTAAGGATCTGCATCTGAGTCTATGTTTCTCTATGTGCTTGATGGAACTTGAGCAAACTCCTACACAAACAGTGAGGTCGAGGGACAATTTACTTGTACCTGCGGCATTTGTCCATCAATCCAGTAACAAAATCCCTAAAATTAGATACGAGTTGTTTGTTTGATGATGCAAGGGGTACTGAGCTCAGATAACTAGAAGCGCACGAGGTGAAGGGGCAGGCAAGAGCAAATGGATCCCTTACGTCGTCATATAAACCAATGTTTCAGTGCCCAAGTGAAGCCATGCAATGAAGCAGATTAGCAGTAGATCTTGTTAAAGTATCATTGAATCAAGACCAACTAAGCTGGGCTACACTTCTTCATACACATGACTTTGCAGCAGGATTCTTCGGATGCAAGGAGAAGTAAAACAGAATCATCCCTGGATTTTAAAGACAAGTTATTGCCTACCCCATATTATATACCGCTTATTCACCGCAAGATGTGCTATATAATAGCCATATCCTTCTCTCTAGAACTTTCCAATCTAGTGAACCTAGCCCTCCTATCACTTTTGCTGACAAGTACAATGCGTTTTTACCTTGTTCCTGTCACTCTTCTCTTGTCCGCGACCCTGACCACTGCCGGTGGGTTTGCTAGGACCTGCACAGACATTCAGTACACTGGAGGTTCAACCCTACAAGCGTTGTGCCTTGACAATGTAAATGGTGAGGCTCGACGAAGTGAAATCGACATCAACCGCTGTGTGGGAAACTCCAAGGCAACCTTAAAGGTAAGCATTATTGTTAAGATTATCTACACGTTTCAAATCATACTGACTTTGACCTTACCTAGTGTATGAGAAAGTAAGCCTATATTTTCCTATGCGATATGAGAGGATCTCTGAGGAATACTAATATCTTGAACAGTGGTGACTTTAGTCAATCATGCCAAGCCATCACCATCCAGGGCGAGACTGGGCTCATCAGCGTATGCCGGAATGGCGGGGATGGGAACTGGCGGCAGGCGCATATTGATCTGAGTAAGTGGAGGCTCCCTCATATCTACTAAAAAAGATGACTTCTTATTCTCAGCTTGCTAATATCTTCCAACACTTAAATAGACCGTTGCATTACCAATACGCATGGTCAGCTTACTTGTTAAGCTACGAACTTCCTGATGATGATGTGATTATGACGAGTTAATGCATGGAACGAGATATGGGTGATGATCGACATGTCCTGGACTATGTGTGGTCATGGCAGAGGTTTAAGATCAAAGCCAGAGTCACAATACTTCTAATCGACGGTCCAATGTTCAGATATCAATATACAGATAGTACACGTAGTTCCGGGGTAGATCGATTGTGATAGTATCATGCCTTGTTGGGCAACGCATTCCATTACGTACTGTAGCTATATTTCGATCCTGTCTGTAGCAAACAGCCTAAATAATTCCTGGCCCCTGGCGTTCCATCCCTCGAGGGAAATGAACGATGATTTATTTCTGAATGTAGTTAGATAGGCTAAATTGCCCGCACCCGGTTTGCTGCGGATTGATTGGTCTCCCGAAGCCAGGCAATGCCACGGGCCCCTGTCGGAGCCAATGAGGATTCAGACAGAACCAGAAGGTTGTGGGTCGCTTTGCTCGCTAGCATCAAGGATGCCGGGAGAAAGCAGAAGCGCCAATGATAGGGTCGAGCATATGAAATGAGAGAAAAAAAGGTGAACGTGGCTGATTTGGCGTCCGCCACACTAAACAGAATAAAGGGGCCCGTTAATTAAAGACCCCGACCCCCCCGGTCCCTCGTTGTCGACCGACCGTTATCAGTCCTCTCCCCAAGTGCGCCAATAATCCATAATAGATCCGCTTGCCCGTTGCCACAGATGGACGTCGAACAATCCGTAGGCACAGTGGCCAATGCAGATATCGCCGACAAGGACAAGCCCAAGCACCAGACCCCATCACTGTCCTCGGAACGATCGATCGACCATGGCGAGCACGACTTGTTAGCAGCGCAGGTGGACGCGGTGCTGGCCGCTAAAATGACCCTTGTCAACGACGTGAGTGATCGATACAGTCATCAGTCATAGGTGGACCTGGCCTTTTTCCTCTGTTTGGGATGTGCAATGGAGTTAAGATTATTGGGGCCTTCGTATAGACTATCGACGAGATCGGATTTACTATCCACCACTGGAAGCTCTTCTGCCTGAATGGCTTCGGGTATGCGGTCGACTCGCTTATTCTGTTGATCCAGTCCATCATTGCGGTCCAAGCCCGGAAGGAATTCCAACCCAGCTACCCGACTGGCCTGACCATTGCGGTGTATACCGGCATGCTCGTTGGTGCTATATTCTGGGGGTTTTCCGCCGACATTATCGGGCGACGCTTTGCCTTCAACGTGTCCCTCTTCATCTCATCCGTCTTCACCGTCGTTGCTGGGGCCTCGCCCTCGTGGATAGTGTTGGGGTTGTTTGTTTGCTTGAGTGCCTTCGGCGCCGGGGGCAATCTGGTCCTGGACACCACCGTATTTCTGGAATACCTGCCCAGCAAGAATCAGTGGCTGCTGACCCTCCTGGCGGCGTGGTGGGGTGAGATTCTTATTCTCGGTTGCTCGTGAGGCCGCGACTAACTAACGCCTTTCGACCCCCGTAGGCCTTGGACAGCTCATTGCGGGCCTTTTCGCGTGGGCCTTCATCCCCCGATACTCGTGTGCCGATGCGGCCAACTGCACGAGCGCCAACAACCAGGGATGGCGCTACATCTGGTACACATCGGGCGCCTTTGTGTTTGTGCTTTCTGTCCTGCGGGTCACTATCGTCCGACTGGAGGAGACCCCCAAGTTTCTTCTGGCCGAGGGAAAGGATGAGCAGGCGGTTCGCGTCCTCCACAACATTGCGAATCGCTATAATCGCTCATGCAGCCTCACAATCGAGCGCCTGCGCGCCTGCGGCGAGACGGCACATCGCCAAACGACCACGGCGGGGATGACTCAACGACTGATTTCGCCAGGTGAGGTTGCCTTCCATTTCCGTGGACTCTACGCAACTCGAAAAATGGCTCTATCGACCTCCTTGGTGTGGTTCTCATGGCTTCTCATTGGCCTGGCTTACCCGTTATACAACGTGTTTTTACCAACCTACCTCGCTTCACGCGGCGCTGCCTTTGGACAACCCAGCGAGTACATCACCTGGCGCAACTATGCCATCAATAACACCTGTGGTGTCTTTGGCCCCATTTTAGCAGGCTTTATGTGCCGCTCGGGCTGGTTTTGGGGCCGCCGCGGCACAATGATCATTGGTGCAGTGGTCACAATGGTATTTTTCTTTTGCTATACGCAGGTGCGCACTGCCGCCGAAAACCTTGGCTTTACCTGTGCTATCTCCTTCTGCTTGAACATTTACTACGGTACTCTCTACGCGTACACTCCAGAGGTTGGTATTCTTTTTTGCCTTTGCATGACTCTTCCACTTCTCTCCTCCGTGACTATTCTCAGGTCCAAAATTTTCGGTCACTGATAAGTCGTTGACAGGTTCTTCCCTCGGCCCATCGAGGGACTGGGAATGGCGTCGCTATAGGTCTCAATCGAATCATGGGAATTGTCAGTGCGGTCGTGGGCAATGCCGCCAATGTGAGTCCCAATTACCCTCTTGTTTCTGGCATGACGATGGCGCTGACACTGAGTATAGACCAGTACGCCGGTGCCTATTTTTATTTGCGCTGCCTTGTATATTGTGATGGCGATTGTCGCTGCAGTATTCCCTTTCGAACCGTATGGTCGACGGAGCAGTTGAGACCAGCGAATGCCATTGGCAGTCCCAAAAGCGCCTTGTACATATATATTTCACAGTCCGGTCAGGGTTGCGATGATTTGACTGAGAATACTTGTATACAAGCCCGGGGCGCGGGAATGAGACAAGCAACGGAAGTCCAGGCCGGATTTGCGGAGATTCCCGGTTAGTTTGTTTTACGAAAACCCAGGTGGTGATCGGGTGGTCTCACGTATTTCGCGACTTACCCTGCATGGGAGACATATCACATGTGCCAAAAGAATATTTTGGGAAAGCCACTAAGCTTCCTTTTCATTCGCCTACGCACATCAAGCAAGCTCATTTAGTGTGCTCACATCTTCATAAAAGTCAGTACATTAGGGTTTCGTTAGTTTTTGTTTACAAAGACCACGGCCACTGAGCAATTGGAGTATGTAGCAAAGCGAGAGTATATTATTATCATATCAATTGAGCGGGTTTTAATACCACGGTAAAATGATCCTTGGCATTTTTAGAGGAAAGAAATCAACGGTGAAATTTCTTTAGCTCAACCCATCTTAGAGGCGGAAATACCAACATCGCCCACGAAACACCCACCCAGATCCCCAGATCTGAGCCATCTGCGCCAACCATCTTGGCAATAGGGCCAACAAACCAAATCTGGTTCATTGAGACAACCGCTCCGACCCAACCAATCACAAAGGCTACAAATGCAGCGATTCCGAGTGGCAGCTTCGCCGGATCTGCCCAAGCTTCCCAGTTGAACCCTCTGGTGCGACGGAAGAACAAGTGCTCCTCCAGGGCGATTGTGAGGTAAATGGTGACCCAGTAGCCCATCAAGGCGAGCCAGTTCTCAAAGATATCGTACAAGTAATTCCGGCCAGCAAGTGCGCAAACAGTATAGATAACAACGCCAACGCACGAATAGAACCAACGCGGAAGACGGGCCAAATGACGGCCCATGATCTGGAATCCGAGAGGAGGCAGAGTACGTTCCGGGGATATTGTTGGCAATAAGGCCGAGGGCAACGAGGACGCCTAGAAACTTGCCGAACCCACCAAGGCCATCGTAGCCAGCGAGAATCAACGCGCCGGACGATGTATTGTAGGCAGTATTCCAGTTGGGGTGAGTGTCCACGCCCGAAGCAAGGCCGACACCCAGAAGGTTGGCAAAGCTCAAAGCCAGTCCAACACCCAAGAAGGTCATCAGAAAGGTCTTCCATTTCTTCGTAGTGGGTGGGAAGTAGACGAAAAAGTCGGCACCGGCCGGAGCCCACGCCACAGAGGCAGACAAACAGAGGGAGAAGAACGACAATCGATTACCGGCTACCGTTTGGGCCGAGCCAGTCGAGACAATAGAAGTGTCGAATTTGGGACCTGCGCTACCGACAAGGACAAACGCAGCGATGAGCTGGGGAATCCAGGCCCACCTAGTGGCAGTTGGTCAGTATTTGTACTCAGTGAAGCTGGCGGTGGGAACTTACCTCTCGTAGATGTGGAACAACCGCATACCGAACAAAACAACCAACCAGGTGATGATGGCAACAATAATGATCCCTACGACGACGCTCATCCGACCGCCTGCGACGGCGGACAAGACCTGCCCACCCACCACGCAGTCGACCATGCCGTATCCCAGCATGATGATGATATTGAGCAGGCAAGCAATCTTACTGGGATAGTATCCCATGAAGTACCGAGCCACAACCTAAGATATTGTTAATATATGAGGATTCCTAACAATCAAAGGTGTTCAACACTGGTGACCATACCATTGTCCTGTTGCCGCTAGCTGGCCCAAACGTGCCCATGTAGGCAACGCCTGCGGCTCCAAGCAAAGCGCCAAAGGTAGCGCACAGGGCAGCGTCGACAAAGCCCAGCCCGTAGCTCAACGGGCCCAACATGCCCAAGGCCATATTGTTCGCCGTGATATTGGTGCTGAACCACAGCAGGCCCATTTGCATGTAATCGGCGGTCGAATCGCCATGGCGCTCCTCCAGCGGGACGCGCTCAATGCCGCGAGACTCGAAGAACTCGAGCGAGTTGAGGCGGTCATTGAAGCGGCCAAACGCGTTCTTCGGCGACGAGGACTGCGAGCTGGGCTCGGACGATATGGACTTGACAACCGGAGCGGGTTGGTTCCCTTTCTCCTCGTCCACCTGGGGTTGGGTCATGATGCCGTAGAGAGGGTGGAAACAAAATAGGTCAACGACGCAATCCCATTCAAAAAGCAAAAATAAAGAAAGTTTGCAGGAGGGAAAAACCGACGGGGAAAAGCAACCGGAGAAACAGTCATCAATAGTGCATGCAAATGCGGGAACACCTTCCGGTCCCCGGCCTGTGTAAAAAATCGGGTGGGTTCAAAGGTGTGGTGCGCGGCGAAAACCCGATCGCTACGAACCGGGATCGTGGGTCGGGCTGACTTAGCATACTGCGCGGATTATGAGCAGAGTTTTGCCCCATAATTCTAGCCACATCCAGCAATGTGTCGGTTCATCCAAAAGTCTGTTCATCCTGCGACTCGGGTCCTGGACCTTCAGTTTTGATCCTCTCATCCGTACCTGACGGGAGGATGGAGTGACTTATGGAATATTTGACAATCGATGATGTGATCCGCGATCTCACCCGGCATCTCCATTTCTGGGGCACAAGATGAAATTTCGGATCCCGCTCTCGACGATGATCATTACCCATGAGAGAATAGCATTGTCCTGGAAGTTCGGCCTTTTCCCCCCTCTCAACCAAGCAGCCGACGACGCAGCAGGTGGATCCCGGTGGGTTCCGATCCGGACGAGAGCTTCTCTGTATCCTTGCTGATTGGAAACTGCTTGCTCATTGGAAACTGCATCCACAGCTCGGGTCTGATCACCAGCTTTGTCTTGCTTTTACCGATCGCCAGGAAAAGACATTAGCCCGGCGATAGATGACTATCGGATAATGTATTTGTAACAACAAGCCAGCATTGTTGGAGACATGTGTGCATGGAGTATCGGAGAGGCTAGCAGGGGTGGTCGATCCAGCGCACGATGGGACTGCAAACTTCTGACTGCACGGTCCTGCTTGATGGAACTACAGTAATAATTTCGGCCGATCGGGCAATCCCATCGATGCTCGATCCACGGTTCTAGCGCTTGCGGACTTGCCATTGGCTCGATTGACCCTCCTTCCCCTGCAGCCAATGTACTGTAGGTTTCGCCGTGGATCAGGTCCGAGTTCTTGCCCACGGTGCAGCCCTAGTAGTGTTTTCGGCAGGTACCCAGGGCGGCACCGCCCTCATGGCCTCTTAAAGTCTCAGGGAGCTCGCCCCTGCACATGGTCATCGCCAAACACACATCATGCCCAACGACGGCGGGGGTTCTCCCCACGATCTCGTGGTGCAGTCATGGATCATGTATGGGATTGGGATCTTATTTTTTATTGTGCGACTGTTTGTGCTCCCTTGGTTGATCTGCGACGACCGCTTTTCGTTAACCTAGCCCAGATACGCTCGATACAAACGGATGGGATTTCACTACCAGATCGAAGACTATCTCATGGTCATTGCTGTGGTATGTATTGGCCATCTATTGTGTGAGCTCAACCATACTGAAAGCTGACTCACACAGGCCTTCTACACTGCCTTCGTCGTCACCAACATCAAGATCGCTGAGGGAGGGGGAAGCAGCTTGTACCTACCAGGCCAATATGAGACCTTTACTGCCGAGGATATCAAAGAGCGCATCACCGGCTCCAAGATTGAATTTGCCTCTGAGAATGTACGTTTGCTGAAATGGACTATGGAAGATTATCACTGACTGTTCCTTTCTGTTCTCCAGTGTCAACTATGCACCATTTATTGCTTAAAGGCCTGTATGCTGCTAGTATACTTTCGACTCACGTAAGTTGGCTACGTGAATGACTGGGATAATGGGAATCTGACCTTGGGCAGATCGAATCTCAAGCAGCACCGATTCGTGAAAATATGCGCGGCCTATACCTTCTTGGGCTGGTTAGCAACGGAACTGACTTTGTTTCTTAACTGCCATCCGGTATCCGGATACTGGACGCTGCCGCCGCCCCAGCGGGAATGCGCCACCTACTTCCGTTACGAGGTCGTTCAATGTGTATTCAACATCAGCTCTGATGTGGCGATTTTGTTTGTCATCTTGCCGATGTTATTTCGAACCCGAATGCCATGGAGGACGAAGATTCCTGTGTTGGTTGTCTTTTCCATGGGCATTGTTGTGGTGCGTTTATCCTGCCTTCCTGCACAGTCAGATCACTGATCGGATTAGATTCTTTGCGCCATAATTTCCAAGTACTTCACCTTTCGTGATATCTGGGACTCGAGCTACCAGTTCTGGTACTTGCGTGAGGCTTCCATCGGCTTATACGTGACCAATGCACCATTCATTTGGGCCTTGGTCAGGTCGATGGTCAGCTTCCTCAAATCAACAACCCATCCGACGGATGGAAAGTACAACACACCTCAGTACGGCACAAACCGCATGTCCCATGCTCGCTCCAAGCCAGGGACTGACACGCGGTCCACTCGCGTATTGACGCGCATGTACGATATTGAGACAATTGGAGACAGCGAGGAGCATATCATCGAGATGGGCGGGATCGGGAAGCATACACATACCTCAGGCGCCTCGACAGGTGATAGCGAGCCGGCGGAGTGGGCACACTCCCCAACAGATCGGAACTCCCCAACAGACCGGAACAGGGAGCAGGACCCTCATATTTGGAAAACGACAGAAATTGTCATTGAAAAGAGCTAGGACAATTCTGACTACTGGATGCGAGCTTGGTACTTCCCACTCGCGATCATGATTTACGCAGGGTCATAAAGGAGGTTCACACGTTGTAATATCTACTGGACTTTGTATGTGAAGATGGCAATCCTTTTCAGTCCTAGATCAAATTTTGGAATGAGCCACCTGTACTAATGAACATGGGTTATAAAGCGATAAAAGGGTAGATGCAGCTCAAATCTAAGAAAATCACGATCACATACAAGATCAGATTTTGTGCGGTGCGGACGTCATCAACATGTTGCTCGGCTTTCTTGATAGGCAGCATGCGCAAATCTGTGTACAGTGACTTGCACCCCAGCCTCGATTAATCGTCGCGCACAGGCCTCGCCCTACTCGAAGTGGACTGCTCAAAAGTAGCAACATAGGTTTTACAAACGCCACGCAGGTCTCCTTCAGGAGGCCCCTCGAAAAAAACTGGCCGGCCCTCGATATTTATCATCTCTGCATCGTTCCTTGGTAAATAATGTCACCGAAAACCTGTAGATACTTCCAGTTGAGGCAGGGCGCGAATGCGTGCTCTTCAAATGATGAAAATGGTGAGTGAGAGGGGGTGTTCATGTCACCTCTCTGGCCCATCCAAGGGACTGAAAGGATGTATGTGATGCATATTAACAATTATTTGTGATAATGTTAATATTTAGCTATAATCTACCTAGCTTCAGGTTTATATCCACATCTCGACCTAGCTGTTAGGTAACGACGCGGATATGCCTATCGGCCGAAATGCCACCAATGGAGATCGAAGACATCCGACCATTAAGCTCTTGTCCATGGTCATGTATTTGGCAATGTAAACTTCATTAGAAGAGTAAATAAGAGACTAGTATCACTGCATGACTCACCTAGTGAATCGCGGCGTATGAATCATCATGTCCCCTCTTAAGTGGCTGTTCTAGTCAATATTAGCGATGAAAATGTATCCAATACAATTAAGATCTAGTCAGAATTACCAGATACTAGCCTGTAATCGAGATACATTTTAATGATACCAACCCGGTTTCGCACTACCATGCATACAGTGGCACCGCAAAAGTCAGTGACCACCCCCCTATCTGCCACCTATATAGTGGCGGTGTAAAATCATCAAAATAGCCAGATTGAATCAATATTTAGTATACTACCCACTAGAATCAATAATTGCATATACACGACACGGCATACTCTCTAAGAGATTCTCCTGCACGTGCTACTATTCGCGACGCGTTCTACTGGTCTAGTTGGGGAAGTGGTGTAAGCGGTGAAACAGGGCGGTCAGAGAGGGGTGGTCACAGACTTTTGCGGTGCCACTGTAGCTCTACGTCTTCAGTCACCTAAAGCCACCACCTGCAAAGAATATCAGTCGCCCATGTCCTAGATTTGTTCGTGCATCAGGGTGAACCGTTCCGTGAGCACATGATTTTGAGATTCGACCCGGATATCCTTCACAAAAGGCGCGTATAAAACGGCTCGATACCAAAGTGACGCATACTTCTGTAGCGCAGCTCGAATGTCTTCGACCGTAATTCTGTGTGTAGCGAGTTTGATGGCGAGATATTTTAAACTAGTCGATAAAGTCATTATCTAATTTTACAAAAAAGAAAGTCAACGGGAGCAAGGAAAGTTGGTGGTGAAATTTTCAGGTTTGCCGGAATGTTTTCATGAAAAGATGTCACTATGTGTTTTAAAGATATGGCTCCTTTACCCCAGCTTTTACAACATGAGACACGGCCCACGGGGGTTTCGGTACGCTTTTTCGCTCATGAAATGCACTGTGCCACTATACCTTCTCAATGATGTTTGAAAAAATGAATAGTTTCTACATCAGAGACATTTTAAGACTTTGCGACGGTTTCTTGTCTACACGCTTGGTGCTGAATTTACAGCTACTAGTCTCATTCTTGTTCGTGTATTGCTAGTGCTGAGGTCCAGGTTCTGCATGCGAATTGCCGTTGCTACGCCTGATAACTTCACCGTTCTTTATAAGGATATGATATAGATACGGTCAAGAATACCCTCCATACTTAGTTTTCGGGGTTCGGATTGCTGAAGAAGAGCTTCATGTTAAGCATGTAAAAGGGTTCATTTTCTGTCCTTGGCGAGTCTCGCGCATCTAGCCGCACATAACGGGGATATAAAATTGGGTGGCTGCAGCATTCGACAGCCGCCATGGGATAAGCAGAATGTACCTTTTAGAAGCCAAGAGGCACGGTGATGCATGCATGTACAAGAACCTGCATACTACCATTACCGACCTACCTCTATTTGGCAAAGTTTAGAAGGTGGGGGCTTCAAATTATTATTATTATTACTTGGAAAAGTTTCCCCACCAGCACTACAGGCCTTAGCAACATGTGTAGTTAACTATGGCAAGATAAAAAGGCAAGATAAGAAACACAGGGTGGTGGGATGAGCTTTCAAAATGTGCAATGTTTGTTGTTGAAAGCTGTATTATATATAGCGACAGGTGCAGTTCATGGATACGACAGAAAGGTCGTTCATGTTGATGATTGACGATGTATGCAGTCTCAGCGGCTTCTGGTCATATTACTCAGTGATTACGAGATCGAGGAATATTTGAAATTACCGCCTAACCATCTTTAAAAAAAAGGACTTTTTGCCAAGGTGAGGCCTGATCCGGTCTGGTCTTTCAGCCCCGGTAAGCCCCACGGGCACCGAGCCTTCCCGACGCCAGTCAGCTGAACTGCTGAACCGCCGATCTGCTGCTGATTTGGGGCTATTTCAGTTCTCTTTTCCCTCCCCCCTTTCCCATGACAGGTTTTATGAAGTACCCCTCGATGCCTCACTCAGCATGACCAGCACACGCACTATTTTGGGACCACTAACAACAACATTTACCTATCCATCCTCATGTAGCGTCGCTGTGGAAGCATGTTCTGGGTGTTCGTCTGGCTGGCAGGCTCAAACATGCAGCGACAATGGTTACAACGACCAAGGTATCCAGGATAACATCGAATGCTGGCCACCACGCTCGAATTCCGACCTGTCAACAGGTGTCGCGCTAAATGGCTGGGGGTTCTACTCCCCTGGCCTGTACTGCCCTGCTGGATACTCGACCGCGTGTTCTGCAACTGGAGGTGTTGATGGCGGGTTCACATTCCAGTACCCTCTAGAACAATCGGAAACTGCTATAGGGTGTTGTCCAACGTGAGTGAAGTAGAAACTATAGCCGTTGTCGCTAAGTTTTTGATGCCTGTGGGACTATTTTCTGACTCAATATAACAGCGGATTTACATGTGACTATACCCTAGGTCCCCAGCAATACCAAACGTGTCATTCCGTATACTTCACAGGGTCCTTTCCGGCCATTGCTTGTTCCTCTGGAACAAGCAATGACTTCACATATCAAACCGTCCCCGCGACATTCAGCGCAGTGGCGTCCTCAATCGCCGAGGAAATAGTCGTTTCTAGCTACATCATCAACGCGCCATTGATTCAGCTCAACTACAAGTCAACCGATCTACCATTATCAACGGTGCCCCCAACATCGACGGCTACATCCACGACAGCGACGGCTACATCTTCAAAAGTGACGACTACTCCAACGACCACGTCCACCAATAAATCGGCCAGTTCCAATTTGTCTACGGGTGCCAAAGCTGGAATTGGTGTTGGTGCTGCTCTTGGGGCGCTAGCGTTGATTGCCGGGGCGATTTGGCTTTTATTTCGTGAGCGAAAGCGTACACAGGAATATCCTCAGTATGCGCAGGATCGTGTTCAAACTAGAAGGCACGAGTTGTCATCTGAAACTAGACCGCATGAGCTCTCTCCGAGCCACGCATTGTCTGAAGCAGGCTCAGGGATGGAACCAAAAACCCCGAACTTCGGACCCGCAGAATTACATTAGAGTGACTCCCCATTCGGATAGGGAGGCAAGGCATTCTTAACAGATACTACTTACATATGTATATGGCAGTTTCCCAAACCAACACCTAAAGCTACTATTTATCTGATCGAACTTGAAGAAGATCTAGCCTATGATGTCACGATTATTTGATATCGCATCAGGTGAATGGTGTATCTGCCGCTGAGAATTATGAGCCCTGGCTTATGGAAAATGATAGGCTTGACAAATACGTTCCTCAATATATAATAATTATCAGTGTATGTTGCCAAATCTTATCTCAGTCGTAATTGTGTTATATACGGTCATACCCCGACATGGCCACATCCCTGATAGGTGATAGTAATTGCTCTCGATAGACCCTCAACAATGACAAACCCTAGAAGACGATATAGAATTCTGGCCACCAGTCAAATATATGATCAAGGCATATACGACAGCATTCAATAACTAATCTTCTCATCCACAATTACCCCCCTGGAATAAGTTAATACGTTGGGGAACCTACTATTTGTGGGCTAGCAATACCTAGCAAGCATGCTAGATCCCCCTCTAAATCAAAACTCGACGCGACTAACTACTAAGGAGATATCCACGGTACCTGTGGCTACTTTGCGTTAGACCAATATATGGCACAACAAGCAATAGTTCCATCGACGAAAGAGCTAACCCACGAGTCTGACGATGACTGGCGTCTTAAGAACTACATCTAGAACATCAGCGACCCGCTAGGTCGAAAACCGATGAAAAAGGTCCATTTTCAGATATAAAAGATAAATGTATACAACAAAGTCAGCTTCGAAGATGTCTACCAGAGTCTTCTCACTTGATTTCATCTTGATTTATTTTTCATCTATTTGGGCATATTGGTGGGGCGGGGTACATATCTTCATTCCTACTTGCATATATGTACAAGATTTTAGACCGCGCTTGAAATTTTCGTGTTTCCGTTTGAGGACTCGCCTCTGAAAGGCCTGATTTGATCACTCAATGGGATGTTGTCATGGCAGGATATGATGAGATGCTCTGGCCTTCGTTCGCATTTGTGGACCTAGTTTCAGCTCTCATAGACGTATAGAAGGGCAACCCTTCGTGTGAAATTTAATTCTCTCTAGAACACTATAGCATCTAGACAAAATTGCGTTTGTCCTCACCCGCCCCCTACCTCGAACGACTTTTCTCACAGATTTCTAGTTCTTGTTCCGCAAATATATTTCTAACGCACTTGACAATTAAAGCACGCCTTCAGACTCCTCTAGCAGTTTCACCAATTCGTCACTCCAAAGAGCCGCGTAGGTGTGCGTGCCGTGGCCACGGGTCTCGCCACTAATCGGAAGGACAATGGCACGGCCCTTGGCAACTCTCTTGATGCCTTCCTCGAGGATACCCAGCTCGGGGGGTTGACCTGGTCGTCCGCCGAGTTGATGGCCAGTAGTGGGGCCTTGATCTCGCCGAGTAGCGGCCAAGGATCGTAGTCTGCGGACGCAGAGACGTAGTACAGCATGTCGTTGGCATCCGCGTCTCGAAGGGCCATTCTGATATTGCTGTGCAGAAACGCCTCTGCGGATTCTCGATCGGGGCATTCTTTCTGCCATTGCAGAGGTATCGACTTCATCCACATCAACGTATAGAGAGCGGCTTTCAGACCATGAACAGGCTGCGTCTCGTAGTCCCCTCTATTGTAGGTTGGATCCTCAGTGATGGCGTCAATTATCGCCTTGCGAGTCATCCGGTTCCGGCCGGCGATCTCTGTTGGAAGCGACGCCAACGGCATCGCAGCGTCCACGAAGTCCGGGTACGTGCCGGCCCAGAGCCACGACTGCATGCCACCCATGGAGGTTCCCATGACGAGCCGGAGGTGATTTACGCCCAGACCCTGAGTCAGCAGGGCATGGTCGGCCGCGATCATGTCTCGGTAGCCGTACTTGGGAAATTTGGCGCGGAGTTTGTCGCTGGGCTTGCTGGACTTGCCGTGGCCGATGCCGTCGCGCAGGATGATGAAGTACTTGGTGGCATCGAGAGGCTGGCCTGGATTGAACAGCTGGCCGGCGAATATGTCCCTCAAAAATTGCTCACCCGTGCCCCCCGTGCCGTGCATGATGAGGACTGCATTAGTGGTGCGGCCATTGGCATCGTATCGTGGCTCGCCGAGGGTGTGATAGTGAATGCGGAGTTTGGGCAGAGACTCGTCGCTAAGAAAATGGAAGTCCTTCAGCTCACAGTAACCCTCGACGGGAGTCGGCCACGGCTGAGATCCATCTGTAGAAGAAGCAGTTGTGGTTCCCGCAGTGACAGGATGGACTGCCATTGTGTTTAGTTTGACTTGTAGCTAGCAGTAGATGGCCGTGGTCATGAGCTGGGAATGGCATAAATTTAATTACGCTACGTAGGAACAAGGAAGAGCTGTGAGAGCAGCCTTCACTGAAAAAGACCACTTCCCCGCACCGGTGAACGTATCACTAGGAGCATTTCCCGTAAAATTACTCCAACTTACGGCAAGAGAGCTTCGGAACTCGGCATTGGATGCACTAATTTACTAAGTATGGACACCCTATCATCGGCAGTTTGCCGATCTACATCCGGCATACGTATTCCAGATAAAGGTGGTTGGTTCCAGCCGTTTGAGAAATGTGCGGGGTTGGAGATAAGACCAGAAGACTGTTTTCCTATAAAAGAGGTCTCTTTTGCATCTCTATCGAATGAGGTTATCGTCCCATGCGATTATCTCAACTCAGTTAGACCTGTGAAAACGGGCTAGTCAGACTTGCCAAACATGACCGCTGCGCAATCTGAGAAGACCACTGTCCCACCAATGGGCATTCAGCCTGTTGCCGGTGAATATTTCATAAGCCCAGAGGAAGATCGAAAAGTGCTGTGGAAGATCGACCGGGTTGTTATGCCTGCCATGATGGTTGTCTTGTTCTTTCAGTGTAAGATCCAATTCTTTATGGGGATGCCATTGGGGAAAATCATCTAATTATCAACGCCGACTAGACCTGGATAAACAGGCGATCAACTATGCGACCGTGTTCGATATGAATAAAGACCTGCATCTCTCCGGATCGGGCTTTTCTTGGGTAATCACAATATTCTATTTCGGACAGATGATCGGAACTTTTCTCTCTGTCTATACTATCAGTCGTTTCCATACAGTGAAAGTAGTCGGCATCACTATGTACGTACGCTCTTCCTTTGGCCCATTCTCTTTCCGTTCCTTATATGTGTGAAACTACGGCACAGTTTAATGAAGAAGTGATGCTAACAAGTGCTCTTACATTGGATCGAAGTTTAGTTTCTTCTGGGGTCTCTGCGAAATGTGCTTTGCTGCAACCAAGAACTTTGCCGGAATCGCAACTGCCAGATTCTTCCTAGGCTTTTGCGAAGGCGCCGTATCTCCGGGATTTATTACTATTACCAGTAACTGGTACAAGAGGACAGAGCATCCTATAAGGATTGCGTGAGTCGCTCCTCTTTGACTCTGAATCGAATCGAATCGGCCCCCCTCTTTGAACCAAATTAACCGTGCTAAAACAGTTGGTGGACTACATCCGGTGGGCTTGCCACCATATGCGGCGCCATCCTGATGTATCTTGTCGGTGGCGCCCACAGCATGGCCATCGCACAGTGGAGGGTGATGTTTCTCATATGCGGCGGTGCCACCCTTGTCATGGGCGTGCTTTTCTTCTTCACCATGCCACTCGATACCACCGTGGCATGGTTCCTAAACAACGACGAACGGAGAATCGCAACTGAGCGACTGGCACTAGACCGTGTCACTCGTGACAGATTAGAGTTTAGCAGTGCTCAACTGGTTGAAGCACTACGTGACCCACTCGCATGGCTCTATTTCTTGTTTGCTTTCTTTATCTGTCTTCCTTCGCCCATTCTAAAGGTCAGTGATAGCTTCCCTTTGCCTTGTAAAACAACACTTCCGTTTAACAGAAAAAAAAACGAAACAGTTCTCGTCTCTTGTCATCGACGGCTTTGGATTTACCAACTTTCAAACCATGCTCGTTGGTCTTCCCTCGGGGGCCCTTCAGATTATCGCAGTCTGGATGTCCGCTCTTGGGATGCGATGGACTAAGGACATGCGTTCATGGTGGGGATTCCTCATGACCTTGGTACCGCTTGTTGGCAGTATCACTATGCTTTCCCTCCCCAAATCAGACAAATGGGGCATTGTCGTTTCTACGTGGTTGGCAGCGTGTACGAGTTCTCTCATGATGATCAGCTCGAGTATGATCGCCTCGAATATCCAAGGAAATACGAAAAAGTCCGCTATCAGCAATATGTTTTTCATCGGATACACTATTGGATGCATCGCAGGCCCTCAGCTATGGACTGCACAGGATGCGCCAAGGTAAACACCCACTTGCCTCCCCCCCCCCAAAAAAACGCTGTCATCCGACGCTGACGCCTTTGTTAAAGATACACCAAAGGATGCATCGCTAGCATCATCAGTTGGGGCCTGCTACTGATGGCTTATTCAATCCACTATTTCTATCTGAAGAGGGAGAACAAGAGACGGGCGACGCTTGTGATGGAAATGAATGCCGCTGAATCAACCGCGAATGAAGAAGAGATCAGCAAGGCTGATAACCACATTGGCATAGAGATCGATTCAGATCTCACGGATAGACAGGATCTGCGCTTTGTCTATCGCCTTTGATGTCTCTTCATCTGTATATAATATTTCGCCAGGTTAAAGGGCTTTCAACAAATGTCTCACAACTTGTTATATTACCTTTGAAGGTGTAAAAGGTGTGACTGAGGCCTGCACAGGGAAGGAAAATGGCATTATGAAGAGGATTCTTCAATAGCGTTCTGAAGTTCAGGGATTTACTCTGCCTTTATAAATGTCAGGCCCTATTAGGTGTTAAGCACCGGTTCCGTACAATGATTTCCGATTCTCTTTCGAAGCCTCTTGTGTTAAGGGTTTATGACTATATCCTTCATATACTTTCTATGAGGGATTAAAGTTCTTTTAATTAGAATCCAAGGCATCTCAAAGGCGAAAATACTAAGTCATAAACCTTCACCTTACTAATATCATCTTTGGTAGTTAGCTATACTAGGATTTTCGAAGTTTCTTTATAGGGTGATATCATCTAATACTTATAGCGCCATCCTCAAGGTTGTTCCTATATTAACTGTGATAGGGAAGATTAAAAAAAAGTTATAGTTTGACCTCGTATCAATGCACTTCAAATGCAACAATAAAGGTTTATTTGCGACCAGATGTCTTCACATCATACAGCATTTCCTCGTGCTCACCACTGACAAACCCGAGAACTCGCTCCACTGCATTCTCACTGAAAAGGACTGCTTCACTCTCCGTGCTGCGTCGGATCAGGTCCTGGCCGCGTTCGAACATACCCTCTTCATATGAAGCTAAGGCCCTTTCCAGACTCGCTTCTCGTACATTTCCGAGACTCCAGTCTCTTTCGCACTCCTCGAAAAGGTATTTAGCCAGAAGTACAGCATCGTGCATGGCACAATTGACTCCCTCTCCCACAAATGGAGTTGAAAGATGCGCTGCATCCCCGAGTAGCGTCACCCCTGGAGCTGCATCACGTTTCCAACCAACGTCTTCTGCCTTCAAGTGGTGCAAGATCCAAGCACGGAAAGGACCCTCGGCATTCGTGACAATAGTTTTGAGTTTTGATGCCCAATTTCCGTAAAATTTATCCGACGATAGTATCAGCTGTCGCACAGCTTCAGTTCTTTCCACAGCATTGCCATCGCGGTGGTGGTAAAAGTTTTCTGGTACTATAAGACCAAAGTATATTCTGTATGTGCCGTCTGCCCCCTGCTGCAATGCCAAGCTCTTCCATTGCCCTATCGCCATCATCATTCCCGGTCCGGCCAATTCGTTGGCTATGTTGTAACTCGGGTTGCTGTGAGAGATCTTGCCTTCGATGTACATTTTTCCAGAATAAACCGGCTTTGCAGATGTAATCTAAAGAAGGCGATTTAGTTAATCACAAAGTGATCTCGGGTTGCATTGCCTTACCAAAGGACGGACTTTGCTCCAACCCCCGTCAGCCCCGACAATAAGGTTGAAACCAGTAGTTGAGCTGCCATTGGTAAAATGGATAATGCATCCATTATCCCTTCCCGTAGGACTCTTGGTCTCTTTTCTCTCGATGGAATGCACGCTGTGGCCCCATCGAATTTTGTGCGCAGGTATGGACCCAAGTAGAAGCCGGCGTAACTGCAGGCGATCGATCTCTGGAGCATCACGACCTTCACCAAAACGTCCAACCGTTTCTCCAGAATCTCTGACAATGTGTATCTTTGAGGCGTCCCAGCGTCCATAGACTTTGCTGAATTCATCGAATAAGCCTGCTTCTTTGAGGGCGAGTTGGCCTGATGGGCCATGGAGGTCCAGGGAACCGCCTTGCTGCCAAGGACCAGAAGTGGAAGATTCATCGCGCTCATAAATGACGTAGTTCGCCATTCCGTTCACTTCTAATAGCCGTGCGAAGAGAAGACCACTCGGCCCAGCACCGATAATTGCGATGGATGGTCGCAAATCCATTGGAAAATAGAGTATAACGAAATGAAGAGTGATAAAATGGAATTTGTTATAGAACATTGACTTTTTGAGTATCTGAAAGAAGCGATGTTTTTATATAGATGCCGTCATAGAATTTTCTATACATCCAACTCCGGTAAACCGATTTCTGATTGGTTCAATTCGGGAACCCACCGGAGCTCTCTCCGGTGGCGACCACTCGCACCGCTAAATTTGGAAACTCCTTGGACTCCCCGGGACCACTTCAAAGGACTTTGCCGTTCTCATCTAAAGCTGGATTTGATTGGTCGGTAAATCGGACATTTCGACAGAAGCCCTATGGAGGCCACTAGTTACTCACCAGCATCCCGCGGCTTTGCTCGATTTGCCGTAAGCAATGTGGAGGAGAGTGGCCGGAACTGCGCGAAAACTAACAGGTGTAGTGCAACTTTTGTCGACAGAAGAAACTCAAGTATTTCTGAATCTTTCTCGTTCTCATATGACATTATAGGCTTGGCTAATTAATTTGAAGGTGTTCGCGAGAGCTACCGAAATGCAGTACTTGCAAACCGTGGCCAGGTAGATGCGTATATTCGCGAGATGAGTCGTCATCCGCCACCAAAGGCAAAAACCTCCATGTGGCCGTACCATCTAGTACAGATGCCGAAACCGACATTGAGCATCGCCTGAAATGCCTGGAACGTACGGTCCAGTCTCTGGCCGTGTCCCTTGAGGAAGTGTTGCATGGCTTGTCCGCACTCCCACGAAGGGATTTGAGTAAAATACCCAACATATCCAACCAGAAGATTACGAGTGGGGAGAACAGGTCTAATTCGCAACTTTATATTGCTCCATCACATTCTTTCTCTTTCCTCCAAGAGGCACCGGAAGGCATCGAGCGCCTACCCCGACAAGGGTTTGAAGAAAACCGCCAGAGTGCCATGTCAGAGATTCGCAATTTGTCGTTTAGTCTGACTGCAGCACGAGTCGGAAATTCAATGGAAAGCTCAACGACTTTCCATGTGCCATCAAGACCTGCAGGATATTCACTCCTTGGCAGTAAGCTCATATCGCCTTCCATCACTATTTTTCTTTAGTAACATCACCTCTCTAACTTCGAACTTTTTCACCAGAATTTTTGGAGCAAGCTGAGCTTGGACAGCCATTCTTTCGCTCCCCGTCAGATGAAGTCCTTAAACAGATCGTTTTCGAACCTCAGAACGTCAAGGAAAAGGCGTGGGTTGTGTTCTTCAATTATGTTTTGCTTGCCGCGATTTCTACCGAGCAGGATGAGTACGAGGATAAGCTTCGACAAAATTCTCAACTGGCCCTTAATGATAGCCGAATTTTCCTTGAGCCAAGTATCGTTAACGTGCAAGCTTTGGCCTTGCTATCCATCCATGGCGAAGACTTCGCTGCACCTAATGTATCTTGGATGCTGTTGGGCCACGCATGTCGCCAGGCTGAAGCTTTGGGCTTACATGCTAGGGCTATTGAGGGTACATTTGACGAGTCCCAGCATAGGTTGTGTCTGTTTTGGATGCTTTTCACCCTTGACAAGTCCTGTGCTCTTGCATTCGGACGGCCTGCTTTTTTACCCATTGCCCTGTACCGCCACGTCCCGCTGCCTGACGAACAATTCATGCAAAATTTCCGTCCTCATGATACGGCAGTTTTCGGCAAACAACAACAAAATTCAAAAGGCTCGGACTTTGGTGCTTTGCTGTTCAAGAGTACCGTTGGGCTAGCTAAGTTGATGAGCGATGTTTTGGAAATATTGGGTATGGCTCATTCCGAAGAAGCCAAAGATGACATGCAATTCAAACTTGACGCTTGGTTTTCGAACACAAATATGGTAAGAGCCTCTCGCTATATGGGCCACTTTGAGGATGAAATAACCAACTCGCAAGATCAGGCATTGACGCAGGCCATGGACAACGAGCGCATTTCGGCAGATGCTAAACAAATCCGTGAAATGAATTTGGGAATCAGTAGTATCAATTTTCAATACTTGCACGTTCTGACTCTATTACTGAAGAACGATCGGACTTCGCATCTTCGTCTATCTTGTGCTCGCGAAGCAATCTCCCTTCTTCCATCTTTGGTATCGAACTGGGGCTCAGTATACAATGGAGTTATCTGGTATGGAGGGTATTTCCCTAAACCTTTAGAGCCTGCTAACAGCAACGTCTATATAGGCAGCTTCTCTATTACCCGTTCACTCCTTTCTTCGTGATATTCGAAAACGTCATCCAGCAATCTATCCAATACCCGACACTTGAGCAGGATCTACGTTTCTTGGCTACGATGGTAACTTACTATGCTGATATGAAATCCCAAATGCGGCATCTCGCTAGTGTTTGCTCCAAGCTTCAGCATACCGCGACTGTTTTCCTCCAGCTTGCTCAATCTCACGCTCGCAATAGTAATTTTACAACGCCCGCCAACAATGCAGCTGGCATATCCCAACATCCCAATTGTTCAGGGCTAGCTGAGCATGGTACAGAGCCGTGGGATGATCTGACTAGTACGGATCTGGGTAATTGTGACATGACAAATTACTTGAATTGGTTACCAGTGGACATGGACGTCACTTCACGGATACTTGAAGCTGAAATCCAAGATTCAAGATTTCATCATTCGGACTGCAAACCGGAGAGTAGTTCAACATACCTCCACAGGCCAACGACAGAGCGCATGTTTGATTGGTTTTTATGGGATGATTACTATGGCAGTGTCGATATTTGAAGTTGGGCTAGCGCGATTAGCGATTCTGAATAACTTACGTAGTATAAAAATAGCTTCCCATGGGAGGAGTTCAACGACCCTGGGGAACCAGATTCTTTGTCCCGGAATGTGTGATTAGACCTAATCATAGGGACGTTTTTCCCAAACAGGAGGTCTAAGCTTTTTGTCTCCATGGTCGCGTTGAAGATCACTATGCAGCGTCAGTGTGGTGCTTGGAGCGAACGGATGTCATCGTCGCGCCGGAATCGGAAGGCCCTTCGAGGATATCCAAAGGCTTGCGACCCAGGCGATAGCGGGTTTGTTCCGAACCACGGCTCTCGCCATCTCCGAGGAGGGGGCGCCGATCGAGCCGACTACCTTGATCGAGAGCGGAATGGACGATCCAGAATATACATAGTCAGCCCAGTACGATGAGGGGTACGAGAGCAGTCGTAGCACACGATAATCATTGAGCAATCTAGCGAACAGCTCAGCGTGTGAACCCATTTGTTGCCAGCCCGAACTCATGCAATTCAGCCGACATCAGCGATGTGAACCCAGGCCATTTCGTGAGTGGCTACGATTGGTACCGGATACATTCATGGTCCGCGGCACCATAGTCCGATACAGTGGATGCTTAATTTAAGTACATACGGCTTGCGTATCTATTATAGCAGTACCGCGGCGGGGCTTGTGAGCTAGCTAGGACAGGACGAATCCCCATTCACCAGGCTCTGGCCTCCACAAGACCTATAGGAGTTCTAATCCTTGATAATATTTTATAGCTAATTTATATCGTTCAAGGATAAACGGACATATATTCAAGATAAAAGAGGCTATTGAGAATCGTCTAATATAGGAAAATATACATTCAAGGGCGTGCTTTATGTAAATAACGAAATAAGTTCTTATCGTCATAAAGACGCATCACCCTTGCTTGTGTGAAAAATATATTCTACAACGACGTGGACTATTCCCAGTACATCACTTTCTCACTAATTATATGGACATATCCTAATAAACCCACGTAAATAATTACTAACTACTGACTATCTATTAATGGATATTAAGCGAATTTCTCTAGATTTCTCATATATTTGGGGAAAAGCCAATCGTTATTATGATAATGAAAAAAACGGGTCTAAATAATAGTATTTAATCTAGATGAAGTATCCGTCGATAGCAACAACGACGTAAGGATTGTGCCCGAATCATTTGACGATCCATGCGGTTTTGAGAGTGAAGATGATTTGGGGATCTGAGGTATTAAGCGTAAGAAGTTCGCACCCGCCGCACCACGGAGGCCGGGTCTGGGCCTGTCCTCCAGACTTCACTACCTGGTAGCTCGTGGTAAACCGGCTTGATCTGTATATCATGACCGTCTAATTCCAAAACGTGCTTGTTAGCACTATTCTCACTAGTAACACCGTCGCCACTACTATCGCCATTATGACTCTCGCTGAGACCGCCACGGACCGCATCTGGAGACCAAAATCTTGACTGTGGAGGACACTGGTCGGTGTGGAGTGGGTCGGGAGGGTTGGCATTGTGTACTGGGCCAGAGAGGACGGATACGTCGGGCTCAGGTGGGGTTGCTTTGTATGCGGCCTTCTGGCGTTGACGGCGAATGAAAAAGAAGAAGAATACCGCGAGAATGATGACTCCAACCAGTGCAGCAATCGCGATACCAGCTACGGCGCCGCGGCTAAGTAGTGAGGAACCTCCTGAATTACCAAGACTAGACGAGCATCTGCTTCCAGAGCAAGTTGACGAGTTGGATTCCTTGGGTGTGATTGTGACGATATTTTGCTCAGCAACTTCATTCCATGCGCATGCCGACACATTGAAAACGCCACGCTCGTAATCGACAGAGAGATAACTATGAATCAAACCAGAAGGGATCAGTACACGCGGTCGTATTCATCGCTTCCCACTCACGCTTCTTGCAAAAATGTCCGGCCCAGTGTATACTGAGTAGAATTGGCTGCACGTTTCAGTGGAAAATAATAGCTGTTATTGTTGACTAAGGGAGGCTGTGCAGTAAGAGAGAAAGCATCGTACGGGAGAACGATTGTCACGGCATCGCCGCCAGAGGCCACATCAGATAGTCGAAAGGTCACCTGCGCATTTGAGTTGAGCAATTCGGTGTTATGAGTGTCATTCACCAAGTATAAGCCAGTCTCGCTGTCGAGCACAAGCCCAAATGCCTTTTCGAAGGCGTCACACACACTTCCCGGGAGCCAGAGATTCGGATCTGTCGAATCAATGAAGATCAAAATGGGTTCGGAAAGCAAGGTGGCAGAACTTGATCCGCTGTAGCTTATGGACTGGAGATACACAACGAGGTCGCGGGTTATATCGCCTGCGATGGTGAACGAGACGGAATTCCCAGTGAAGCGAGATGTGTCATAACCGGAGAATATAAGCTGGCCATAAACCTGTTTGAGACCTATGTTGGAAAGAATATAGAATTAGATGTGAAAGCCATATTGGATATTTACTTTTGAAAAGCATACTTACGGTACTTGGCGCCGGCTGTATAACTCCAGCTTAGGCTTGGTATAACGCCCTGGCCCTTGAGATTTGTGACAAATGACGGCGATGAGGAATTTCCTAGGGAGCTGAGGTTGAGTGGTTGTGGGTTTAGGCCAAGTATTCCACTATGTGTGTCTAGAATCAGCAGATTTTCATAGAAGGAGGCTTCAATGTCATCTTTACAGATAGAAGGGCTCGGGAGTCGCGATGCCGGCGATGGTCTGACTTTCAAGCCTCGGTCCAGTGAGACTGATACCCAGTGTATCTAAAGCAAACTCTGCTCTTTGGGAATATCCAAGGTTGGCCTCAAGACCGACACCATTCTGGTTTATTCCATAAAGACCTAGTCTGTGCCAGCTGGAAGACTGATTTGCGTTGAACAAGTTACCCCTAGAGACTGCACAATCCTGTGGCACATTCGTGAAAACAGATGTCGAGCAACCGTAACCTGACAACACGACCATTGACTCTGGAGAGGCCGTAGATACAAGCACTCGGACGTATTGTTCCGGAGTTCCAACTCGAAGATAAAAGCTGCTCCATGGCCCGTCATTGCCCTCACTAGATGCTACATCAGCAAATGATGCACAACGAATTCACAGATTTTTCGTCTGGAGAATTACAAATACTCGCTGGGAGAAATAACGACAGCTGATGAGGAACGTCTCGCAATGGAAGATGCCGAACATTCTAGCATCCAGGAGAAGATGGAAGCCGACACTAGCATAATGATGACGGAATGCATTTTGACAAATTGAGAAAAAGCATCAGAAAGAGGGCGTGTGGTGTATCAATAATGGGTCTCAATCCATGTGTAAGTATGTGGCTAATGTAGCGATGAGAACATGCAGGAATTTTTTTCTAAATCAATACGAGAGGAAAACGCACACTAAGACGCTAGACGAGCCACATCATTGTGCAGTCTCCAGCCTGTCGCTCTAGCGATAGAATCATGGCACATGGCAATTGATTCGATGAGATCGCCGTCTAGTCATAGTCACGTTGTCATTCAGAGCTCAGGGGCAATGGTGAACCTAACAAGTTGGGAACTCTCCAGCCGCACGGACAGTGCAGCAAACAGGCTGCCCGCCGGCAAAAACCTGCTCCACTGCAAGCTCTATCTAATTAGGAACCGCCCTCTGACGTAACGCAGATAAAAGAGGCAGTGATCCTCAATGTCATTACTGTTCGTGGCTAGGCTGTTGCCTGTCATTACCCTCCTCAGTCAACACATCGCCTTGGCTTTTCTACAATGACCACATCAAGAGGTAATACCTCATTGATGCAAAGGACGAAGATGTGTTGCCGCAAGTCATATATTACTATTGTTCACGCTATCTCTGCTTTCGCCATTGACATTCAAACCTTTTAAGCAGCAATTGCTTTCTTGTTCTTTTGTTCCAGATCGCCCAACCTCAACATCCACGTTGCATATCTGCCAGTCACATTTGGTCTAGCTCATGTAGTTGTTGCAAGAGCTATAGCTATGTTGTCTGCTTTTAAGTTATGGACAGCGCTCGGACTGCTAGTCGCTGGGGCAAAGGCCTTCTATGGTCCCGGTATGTGGTCGACCCCCAATTGAGCATCATCCCTTGGCGCACAACAGCTGAAACAGTGAAGTTGTTCGCAATCCAAACTATCCACATTACAATACAGCAAGCAGTCATACCATCTGTACTCCTGAGCATACGACCCGTTCGCCCTCATCCACCTTTTGGTATACTAAAAGCATAACCGCCAGCACTACTACCGTTTGTGTGTCTCCGTCCGAAAATATCACGACATCCATACCAACGGTTTCAACAACCTCTTCAAGTACTACAACCGCCAGCACTACTACTGTTTGTGTGTCTCCGTCCGACAATATCACGACATCCATACCAATGGTTTCAACAACCTCTTCAAGTACTATAACCACCACCACTTATGTGCCGACGACCATCACGCCGCCTCCTATTACTCCCCAAAACCCATGTCCGACATATTGCAGCATGTAGGTTTCCAGTTCCAATCAAGAGTCAGGCGTTTTGTGATATGTGTTGATAACGCTGTCTTCGAAGCTCCGCCGGCACTGTCAACTTATTCTTTTGGCCAACGAACGAGCCGTACACGTACCCGTCCACTTATGTCGACACACACCTCGATTATACATTGTAAGAGCTTCTATCATCACTATATTCTTATCCTTCCTCCTTTCGTTCGTCGCCTTAGGCTGATTTGCATTAATACATGTAGTACCTCACCGTCAGTGTATATGGTCGTTAACACCATCTTTGGTTACAACACCGCCGGTCTCGCTGGGCCTTCCGGCACTAGTCTAGTATTCGCCCTTGACTTAGACCAAGTATCGACCATGGTTCCTGACCAGTCAGTCACACGACAGCTCACTTTGAGCGATCTGGGTACCGACTGCCCTCAGATGGAAGCTGCCTCAGTGATCGCGACGGCAGCGCCTGACGGCCGGTGCGATCCTATCCTTGTGGCTCCAGACCCTGTCAAATCTTGGGCCTCGCCGTGTAATGCGTGTGGTGCATTTGGGCTATTTGATCCTCCGTATGCCGTTCCTCCCCTGACTGGAGGTCTGGTACCTGGGCCAACGACGACTACGATGGCACTGCCAGAGCCACAAACTACTACGGGCTCCAGCACCATGTCGACAGTTACGGAGACCACTGCTTATGATGTCGCACCGACTCCGACTTTGACTCCGTTGTCTAGTACCCGCTCGGTCACTATTTCATCGTCATCGCTTGGCTCTGACCCAAACTCGACTACTACACCTTCAATGGCCGCAAAAGCGACAAAGGTTACAGGTGGAGCCGTTTGTCTAATTTTAAGTTTTGTCGTATCGGTATACTTGCTATAATGCAGAGATAGTTTCAAGTCAGAGCTGAAAGTCTATACCCTTTTACAAATAATAACGAAAATTGAAGTTGACGATAACAAAGACAGAAGTTCTAGCCCAAAAACCACCAGTCTTTGCGGGTTCGGGTTTTGGGCTCAAACTTAAGCCCGAAGGCCCGGCCTTGGAGAGTCTAGGCCTTTCCCTTTGTGGCAAGACTCTTGGAAACCGTATAATTTCGAATACCTTAAGTCTATCTGTGCAAGCCTTGCATCCAAGAAAACACTCTTAACACCCTGACACCCAGGGTCGGGCGGAAGGATCGGACTCAAGGTAGAGCAAAGCAGCAGCCATCCCTAACCGTTACCCGCCAAGAAACGGGTGATAGGTAACCCGTTGGGTAGGCCCGCGGGTAGTAGCGAGCCCCAGGAGTCATAGTGAGTGAGTATGCCGGCCTTGTTCTATACATTTAACAGTTAATCAGCTGGTTTATTGTTCGCATCTGTATTTGAATCACTTGAACAGCCAACCACTCCCGAATCCCTCTTTCATTGTATATACTTGTTAGACCTTACTTATTGGGATTGAAGTATTAGAAATAATTACTTTAAGGTCATTTGTGTTTTCTACCTAAACACGTATTAGGAATGCCTTTAAATCCGATATTTAAAATGCTTGTTCTGCTTGTCAGTCAGGTCCTCAAAGCTCTCCATGGCCTCCTCTGTGAAGTTAACCTCACTAAACAATCCTTTCTCCTGTTTCTGGCGATTCTCTAAGAAGCAAGACGCCGTATAGATAGCCTGCAAGCCAATAGCAGCAGTGTAAGCGCCGGCAAGGCCCTTTATAGCAGAAGGATACCGCGGGACCTCAGTATCAATAAAGAAATGCGGCCCGATGATATTGCCAGCGCAGTAAACCCTAAAATCGGGAGTCAGCAAAGAAGGTAGGTAATGATGGCTGATATGAACGGGTCCACATACACAAAGTAAATTCCAAGTACGGTGCTTCGCTTGGTATGGCCGGCGGTGTTAAGACCGGGGAGAGTCCAATTCAGAATGACAGGGGAGCCGAGGATATTTTGCATCCAGCACATCCCAACGAGTGCGTAACGGTACTTCATACTGATGGTCATAATGCTAATAAGACCAGCGAGGCCAGGAAGACATGCGACTGCGATATTCTTATCAGGATAAAAAACAGGATGGGTCGAAGAATCAAATACTTACTCATAATTGTGACCCCTATCATATTAGGTAGCTGGGACAGATATCCGAAGATTATAACCATAGCGACCTCAAAGGCACCCCCGGGAGTCTGCAAGAGACTGGTTTGCAACGGATTGAAGCCAAAGCCCTTGATAATGGAAGAGAGGAAGTTGGTAACGCCACCATTTAGTATGCCATAGCAGATGGCCATCAAGTAGAGAAGTATGGACTTAGGGTCAATGAGGGCCTCCTTAATATGTGCAGGCACAATCATCGAGTGCTTTAATCCGGTCTGGTTATGGGAGATACGCCACACAGCGACAATTCTCTCATACTCCGACAGCATTCTGGCATTGTGAGGGCCATCAGGCAAGTAGCGGAGTATAACGAATCCCCAGGCGCAGGTAAGTGCACCAGCGATCTGTTGGCAAGATGAGGTTCAACTCGTTAGTTACTAGATGCATTCTTGCGACGCTATTGGGATAGGGAGACTATGCAATTCATGCATCACATGCCACTGTCTTCATCATTTGCTTACCAGGTAGATGAGCTTCCACTGCGGAACAGCAAGGCCAGTGGCGTGGCCGGCGCCATAGGAATGCAAGGCACCAAGGATAGATGAGACGCCGTTAACAGACAGCCAGTATGAACTCCGAAGGCTCTGTTCCTCGCGTGTCCAGAGCATAGAGGTGAGCATGATAAAAGCTGGAGAGACGCAAGCCTCAAGCATGCCGAGGAAGAAACGGATTGCAAAGAAACCGGCAAAGTTAAAAACGGCGGCCTATTAGCAAAAAAGAACCTCAGCAAGGTTTTGCTCTCCACTCGAGCACTGGAGAACCGAAAAGGTAGAGAGGTGGTTTGGCGTACCTGCAGCATGCAGACGGCACCCCAGACAAGGAGCATGCAGCCAATCAGTTTACCAATAGGGTGCCTCTGTAGGAGGAACTGCCAGGGATAGGCTCCAACGAGCCAGCCAAAGTATAAGCCGAGGAGACCCAGGCATAATCGTTGCCAGTCATGTGAGTGATGTTAGAGCAGAATCAGGAAGAGGATACACAATAACCCGTTTTACTACAAGAAACCGTTGCATCCGGTTTAAGACGATTTCACGGGTAACACTTACGTCTGTTTGTCGAGAAAACTCAGCATATAAGTTGTCATCATCTGAAGTAATTTTAGCGATTACATCCCCATGTAATGACAGATGGTTAAAAAGAAGACGAAAGAGGCTTGGGAACGTCATCACGCGTAGCGTACCATTGGCAGGACGAGAAAGTCAAGCTTTCTCCCGACCTTGACAGAGTCTCTCTGAAGCTGGGGTTCGTCATACTGAAGAGACTTCTGGTAGTATTCCTTGCCGAGGATGTTCAGGTCGACTTTGCGACCCTTGAGGCGGGCGAGGAGACCGGTAGGCGTAGAGAAGGCGCGGCTCATGTCGGATGAGGATATGACGACATGATCAGTCTCTTTAGAGGATGACATAGTCGCTTAGATGTAGGCGCTAGCTGATTGATATGGAATCGGTCGTTGTTGGACGTGCTATCAACCCCTTCTTCCTGTTATTACTATCGCTTTTCTAACGATTCGAGATTCTGCGACTAGAGTCTCATGAGAGAAGAAGATGCATTCCTGCTTCAGTATTGTCTCGAGATTCTGGTCAGCTGTGGACACATATACGATGTGTGAGTGTGGCAACACCAACTTTGCTATCTATTGCAAACTATCTATACAAACCATCTACTACATTAATCTGGCTCATTCGTGGTTCCTGATAAGTTCCCGGATTAAGTTTAGTTTCCGGTTGCCACTAAGGCCAGCTTGCCTCTCTTGTCTTCTTTCTCAGACATGCTTTTCTTCCTTCTTTATCCAGCATTCCATCTTTCTCTCCCTTGTTACTAAATGTTCAGCGCTCTTGGCGCCTCAAAACCTGCCCCCCAGTGAGTCAGGATTGGCGCATCTAACGAACTAAACTCCTATGACAACAAGCCCCCACCCGAGTCCTATCTGATACACACACCCACGCTGGAGGACCCGTGTTTTTCGCCCACGATACACATTCGCCCCCCTAAAACCAATGACACGCAAGAACGGCAGCCTCTTTTAACTTGAACACCGGATATTGAACATATTCCGATTATTTTGGGATTATCACAGGCAAATGTCAATACTGAGTACATAGGGCTTACTTCTGTTATGTTAGCTAGAAATTTACGGTACTCCGATGGAGCATCTAAGTATTAATGCTTAAGATTACTAGAGGAGTGAAGCACCTATAGTAGTTACTATTTTCTATCATTAACTTTATATCCTTCAACTCTTATCATATGATGTCTGAGTAGATGTAAACGTCAGAGATGCCTATAGTTGGACTCTACTACACAAAGTAGTAGAAGCTAATGATTGCTTAGTAGTCTATGTGATATACCCAGTCTTAAAGGAGAACAAGACGGTCATTCGTACGAAATACTAAACTAGAGAAGGAAGAGTGGCCAGGAGATTCCGCTACTTGAGAGTCCTTGCACTCAACTCCGTAAAGTCACACTATCCGTTTAACATAGCCTGCAGCACCAAACGGGCTCTCCCGCGATAACGAATCCTAAACATCCTCCTCTTCCAGCCTGGTTCCGTTTGCATGAGAGTCGATTGCTTGCATCATGTTGTCCCCCCAATGCTTCGCTACTAGGGAATAGAATACAACGTATTACGGAATGGCAAAAGTTTTCTCATTCATAGGCCCGTCGCAGAAGATTTCGAAGTGGGGTGTCATAACCCTTCTGAGGAACTCGATTCTATAGCGGTCTTTTTACGCCCGAGTCGTTCTCTCGGGTTCTGATTTAGACTCTGAAACCTATGGCTAGAGGCTAGCAGTCGGTCTGTGCATTTCCTGTCATTAAAGACGCCAGACGGTTCGTTTTGACTTGGCGGCAAGCAAAAATCACGGCCTTCATGATAATCATCACAGGTCTTAGCTCGGCTCGCTCTTCGACCATCTTTTCGACATAGTCGCTGATCCAGGTCACTGAAGTCAGGTCTGTCTCAATGTCGCCATGCTCCGGATTCCCGATGATATCCAAGCACAATATGAAAAAAGGAATGAACTGGTGTAGTAATATGAGACTAGAATTTTTGGTGGCTATTAATGGCATAATGAACAGATTCGGGTAGGACGTGGCTCTTGGCATACCTTATTCCCCAGTATGCGTGTAATGATGATCCTAGGAGGGACTGGAACATTTGTATAGACTTTCTAGAGATATCCACAGTTTGATGTGGCAAACGGTGTCTTTCCTGATCGCATATCTTCGACTGGTGAAGAACGATGAGGACTTTGTAGCTGCTGAAAATCATATCCACGCAGAACCATGTGTCGAACTGGGTCTTGGCTATTCGAAGAAGTTCATCCTTCGCTATGTTAGAAAGTGTGAATGTTCGACGACGTTATTGGATTAAATCATACTGTATCCCAATCAGACATGATCAACTGCACCTCGTCAAGGAAGCTGTCAATCGTTGCATCATGCAAGACCGGGTCAGGATCTGGCCCCGAGTCAATCCAGTCCAGGTACTTCATCACCACCAGGGTAAGTCGCATAGAAGCCAAAAAATGAATTTGGATGAAGCGAGAAGATTCATCATCAACACCATCAATTGTGGGGTCTGGGAAATTGACCTTCCAGGAACCCGGCGCAATAAGAGTCGGCTTTCCGAAGGACAGTCGGAAGAGACAGTCCGTTCGAAGTAAATGCCAGAACTCGAATCGTTTTCGATTTTTATCTATTTCAGTTTTGTCGGTCGTCGATGCTTGCGCGAGAGACGGCTGTCCGTCTGCTTCTTCTGGATTCCCGTCCACGGAGAAATACCCCAAGGCCTTCGCGATCTTGCAGGCATGGTCGAGCATCTTCCAGGCCAATTCGCTATCGCAACTTTCGAGTGCCATCGATACCTGGTACGTTGTCAGCCCCGCTTGATCTCGATTGAAACTTTATGACTTCACTTGCCATTAAAACTGCCGCAAAGAGGTCAGCAGGAGTATTCTGAATATGGTCCAGCCAGGAATCGGTAAGAGCCAAGCACGTCCGGTAAAGATGTCGGATAAGGCCGCCGTTATCCTTGTGTGAGCTGAGATCTAGTATGATCCCTTGAAGACGAACAGTATGATAGATGATTTGGGACGTATAGTCAAGCTGAATGTGAGGGTTTTCTAGTAGGTCAGGGATGGAAAGCAAAAAGTTTTTGTCCAAGGGGATTTTGAATCCTTCGAATTGATAACACTGATAGTATTCTGAGCAGCATGTTAGCAAACAGGCGACTAAGAATGGGAGACGAACTTGCTCTGAATAATTTTTTTTGCGAGGTCGTTTGGAATTTCAGGACTCGCTGGCGGCTCGTTGGCTGGTGTGTTCTGCAAATATTCAATTTCTGACATTGCGGCTGCGATGGCCCCCACGCAGCGTTCGTTTTCGAAAAAGCACGATTCGACCGTTCGCAGGTGACTGAATACATTGGAGAGAAGCAGTGCCCGACTCTGTGGATTTTTGATGCGACTCAAGATAGCACCGATCACGCCGGACATGGTTGGAGCACAGGATATGTCGGAGGATACAGGTCTAGAGGTGCCCATATCGAAGAATGGCAATGATAACGACCGATCGCCATGTTCGTCGGTGTCTGGAGCTTTCTCCAAGCCACAATGTTCTTCCAGGCGTTCGAGGCGGTGAATGACATGTGATAGAGCACTGTTCTCTTTGATGTCGGTCCTATGGTGGCCTGTCAGTCAAAACTTCCGGATTGAAGCCGAATCATAGATAAGCAATTACCTGTGTTTCTTGGTTCGTGGCTTCCGTGGCAGGTATACACAATTGGCCCCAATAGATTCACATTTGTCACATCGAGGGACTACTCGATTGCATCGAGTCTAAAACTTTGTTACTCTGGCGGGTCTGTGACGCTAGGAATGCAACGAGTTTCTACCTTTTTGGACTGGCAGCGGCTGCACTAGGAGTTCATCAGGATCCGACTAGCACTGTCAGATGAAGAGGCTCACCGAAATATTCTCCAAGGTGCGCCGGGTGCTCATATCTCAGTATTGTTTCTTGAAATGGCAGGAGGTTGAAGAGGCGGGAAAAGCAGGGTCCGAAAGTCCGGGAGACAGTCCTGGTGGGAATTAAGTGGATCCAATGTGGCCGGGGTTTTATAAATCCGCGAAAGTCCGGGATGTGTGCGGATGTCAGCACAGAGCTACCATAGCCCTCTACATTTGGCCAATCACAGTCAAGTCAAATCGCCGATCCACTGCCCTGAAATCGGTAATTCTCTTGTTTTCATCTAAAGGCAATGCACACCTGTCCAAATTTATTCCAATATACCTTAATATATACCGAATGAATCCCCCCTCTCTTTGCACTATGCTTCCCTCCATCCATCACATACTCGCGCCTATCCAAAAGAATGGGAATTTCCTCTAAAATCCCTCCTGGGGAAACTGTGGCAGAGAAAGACAATACGGTCGGAGAGCCTCGCTCAGCATCGACAAATGATCACCTCAACGATCAGGTCACAGATATTTCCAAGGAGGATCCTGAAGTTAAAGATGCGGCCGAGCAGTCTACCTCGCTCAAAGATTATCTTGTATGTACTGTTCATCAGGTTGAGTTCTAATGTGACCCCTCGCTGATAAAATCCAGAGAATCCTCTCTTATACGACTACGAAAGATAGGATGGTTCTCGCGGTCGCCCTGATATGCTCCGTGGGGTCTGGTGTGGTATGTGTCTTGCTATATTTTCATACCAAGCCAAGTGAATATAAAACTGATCTTGCATCAGCCCTTACCGATCATGAATATCGTCTTTGGTGGACTGGTTGGCGAATTCGGTTCATATTTTACCCCTGGAATCTCGACCACTGAAACCCAGTTCAAGATATCGGTCAGCCGGCTAAGGTAGGCAAAAACTCCTTCTATTGAGATTCTACACAGCTGAACCTCGGGAAGTCTAAACGTTGTCTATCTCTTCATCGCAAAGTTCACCTTGACATATTTCTCAATGGTAACCACCTAACCAGGCCCCAAAATATTCAATATTTTGAGGAAACTGATTGCTTCATTCCAGTATTGCTTTCGTGTTATCAGTCTTCGGGTTTCAGCAGCCTTGCGTCTCGAGTACATGGAGTCGCTCTTCGCTCAGCCAATCAGCAAAGTGGACCAAGTCTCAGTTGGGACGGTCGTCAATGCAATCACCACCCTATCCAATTCGATCCAGCAGAGCATATCAGACAAGCTGGCCATTCTCTTCCAATCCTCCGCCCTCTTGATCGCCGCATACATCATCGCCTTCAAATACTCATGGGCCCTCACTCTCGCCACTAGCTCCTGTCTTCTGTTCATTCTCGTCGTCTGTAGCCTGGCACTTCCCGCTGTCTCTCGGATCCAACAACAGGTAGACAAGGCGGATGAAAAACATTCGGCAACCGCAGCAGAAATCTTTGGCTCAATTCGGACTGTTGTTTCACTCGGTGCCGAAGCGCCTCTAGCTAATAAATATCAAGAGTGGGTTACAGAATCCCGGAACCGCGGCCGAAGCATGGCTATAGTTGTGGGTGCCCAGTTTGGTCTCCTTTTTTTTGCCATGTATGCCAGTTACTCACTGGCATTCTGGCTTGGTCTGAAGCTCTATCGGGAGGGTCACATCCAAGACATTAATACGGTCATCATGTGAGTCAATTCGCGTTACCGTTATACCCATTGCTAACTGCGGCTCGTAGCGTATTCTTCTCGATCATGATCGCAGTAAGTGTTCTTGGAAACATTGCAACACCGTTGACGATGGTGTTCAAGGCGGCCAGCGCATCGACCTCATTCTTCGATATCATAGACTCAAAAAAGATTGTCGCTGGCGGTCTTCGCGATTTTGAAGCGTTAGCTCAGGGTGATATCGTCTTCCAAGATGTGGACTTTAAATACCCCACGCGACCCGAGAGCAAGATCTTTCGGGGACTGAACGCTCGATTCGAAAGAGGAAAAACAACGGCATTGGTGGGCCCATCGGGGTCTGGAAAAAGCACTATTGTCGCTCTTATGGAGCGATGGTATACCCCGGAAGAAGGAAGTATCATGGTGGGTCAACGAAACATCGCAGAGCTGGATCTCAAATGGTGGAGGTCCCAAATTGGACTCGTACAGCAAGACCCGTTTCTCTTCAACGATACAATCTTCAAGAACATCTCGTATGGCCTTGTCGGCACAAGGTGGGAGAATGAGCCCGATTCTGTTAAAGCCGAATTAGTGCACAATGCATGTAAAGAAGCATTTGCAAATGAGTTTATCGAGCGTCTTCCAAAGGTATGTCAACTGTTCTTCTAACGAGTAGTAACCTTCGTCTAACTCTTCCAGGGGTACGACACCACTGTGGGAGAGAACGGCACCAAGTTGAGCGGCGGACAAAGACAGCGTCTGGCGATAGCCCGAAGCATCGTGAAAGATCCCACCATTTTGGTTCTGGATGAAGCTACAAGCGCAATTGACGTCCGTGCAGAAAAGATAGTACAGGCAGCCCTTGATCGTGTCTCCCAAAATCGCACCACAATTGTGATTGCACACAGGCTGTCAACCATTCGGCACGCCGATCGCATTCTGGTTCTCAGGGGCGGTGTCAATGTCGAGGAAGGGACACACGAGGGGCTTCTTGCCATGGAGGGTGGGCTTTACCGAAGTTTTGTCAATGCACAAAAACTTGAGATTGCCGCAGAAGAAGAAGCCGATACAATGGAAGCTACGAAAGCCTTGAAGAAGGAACTTGATCATTCTAACACTGTCATCTCCTCGCAGCCACAAGATGAGAACGAGGAGAAAATAAAACACCGTGGCTTCTTTCGAAGCACTGGGGTTTTTGTTTACGAGGCACGGACACATTGGTTACTTTGCATGACTGCTTTACTGGGGTTACTAGGTGCTGCATGTAAGTCTTGTAGTTTAAACTCACTGTATTTGGCTAATTTGTGCATCAGCTGCATTCCCCTTACAGAGTTGGCTATTCGCGAATATTATCGATGTGTTCCGCCTCACAGGAAAAAATCTGAGCGATACTGCCAATTTCTGGGCTTTGATGTTCTTCGTTCTGTCTCTAGGCATTGCAGCCTGCTACGCCGCCGTCGGATACTCAGCCAACAGACTCTCCGTTGTCAGTGATTGATGCTTTTACCCAAGATAGATAACTGCTCTGACACAATTCTAGGAAATATCATCCTCTTGTCGTATAGAATACTTCCTAAATATTCTGAGAAAGCCCGTTTCGTTTTATGACTTGAGCGATAATAACTCCGGCTCCCTGGTTTCGCGTCTAGCCACAGACCCCAAGCAGATTCAGGATATGATCGGGGTGAACGGCATCTTTCCAATCATTTCAATGTGCAGTATGATAGGCTGCATCGCAATCGCTTTCTCCTTTGGCTGGAAGCTAAGTCTCGTGACTGTGTTTGCCGCTCTTCCGTGTGTCTTCCTTGCTGCATTCATGCGCATCCGATACGAACTGGAGTTTGAAGCCCTGAACGCAGAGGTATACTCAGGTAGCTCCCAGTTTGCAGCAGAAGCTATCGAGGCATTCCGGACCGTTTCGGCGTTGACCATGGAGGGTTCTATCTTGAATCGATACTCTGATCTTTTGAAACAACAACAGAACGAAGCTTTCCGCATAGCCTGGCTGGCCACCTTGGTGTTCGCTTTATCCGATAGCGTTGAACTCTGCGCCATGGCACTGACCTTTTGGTACGGTGGCCAGCTTCTCGGGTCCAGAGAGTACCAGCCCACCTCCTTCTTTGTTGTGTACATGTCAATCATCCTCGGTGGGCAACAGGCAGGTCAATTTTTTAGTTTTGGGCCGAGTATTGCCCAGGCTACATCCTCCGCGAACCGGATACTGAACTTCCGACCAGCATTGGACGACACCAATGCTGCTTTCAGAGAGCACATGGGCGATCAATCGCTCAGAGCCGGAGCTCACATTAATTTCCAGAATCTTGCATTCAAATATGCGTCACAAGAAGTCCCTCTGTTCAAGAGTCTTGACATTACCATCGAAAGTGGCCAATTTGTCGCATTCGTGGGGCCATCAGGGTGTGGCAAGACCACCCTGATATCGGTACTAGAGCGATTCTACAATCCGTTTCAAGGGACCGTTCTCCTTAATGGCAAGGACATCAGCTGTATTAACCCAGTATCATACCGAAGATCTTTGTCACTGGTACCCCAAGAGCCACGACTGTTCGAAGGCACAATCCGTGATAATATAACTCTCGGACTCGATGGCTCAGAGTACACGGAAGATGGTTTGGTTCAAGCATGCATCGATGCAGAGATACACAGCTTTATCACATCCCTTCCAAACGGATACTCCACCGAGCTAGGGATCAAAGCACAGACAGCTCTCAGCGGAGGCCAGCGACAAAGGCTGTGCATCGCTCGAGCACTATTGCGGAAACCGTCTCTGCTCCTCTTAGACGAGGCGACATCAAGCCTTGACTCACAGTCCGAGAAATTAGTCCAAGCCGCCCTTGAAAGGTTGGCTGCGCGGAGGAGTATGACGATTATTGCGGTCGCGCACAGACTATCAACCATTCAAAAGGCAGATGTTATCTTCGTCTTTGGGGAGAGTCAGAGCGGGAAAGGGTCGCGGGTCGTCGAACACGGCTCGCATCAGGAGTTGTTCCAGAGCAAGGGGACATATTGGCATATGGTTCGTATCAAATTCCTTATTTTATCTTACTTTGAGATGTTGCTAACAGTACGTAAATGCTGTAGTGTCAGGCAATGGAATACAACGATAAAAGCTGATGGTCGATCGACTCAGGGGAGGTCGTCGGACGTCACAGCAGAGACCTGAGAGAAGATCGCAAGGGAAAGGAAACCAGCGTGTAATGAAGTTGTATTGGCTGAGTGATCCCCCCAAAATGGAAATCCTATCTATCTCCGGCGGTGGGCGCTGACACCCTCAGGCACCCGCCCATCTGATCAAAAGCCCTTCCGTGATGCTAATTCAATTTCTCTGTGTACTCATGACATAATCCACAATAGAACATATAAATTGGAATTCTGCTCCGAAGGGTTTTACATGGAAATACATAGTAGTCGTATCTTCCATATCGCTTTCATTGCAAGGGGTCAGCGTAAATGATGTCAATCAACTAACCTGCTGTACCACTTCTTAGACGACCTTAGAGCCTCGGCGAGCCCTACTGTGAAATAGATGCCATTTGCATCTGCTGCCCTTATAGCGCGCGACTTCGGAACCGTTGGGACGCCTCTGCAAAATCCAAGACTTTGGCTACCGTCTCGGTATGCGAAGGAAATATTAGACTTGCCTCTCCTTCGCTGTTCGAAACCAACCAGTAAGGCCGACATACTACTCAACGCGTCATCTACATTGCCCGAAGCTCACATCCCAAATCTCGCAGATCAGGTCTCTCCAACAAAACGTGAGTGATGCTCTCTCACTCGCTGCAGATGCACAGCTCGTTGTCGCGAAAGCGGAAAGTCTTCCTGTATATGGCGAGCCAACAGTGCTCTGTCTGCAGCTGCAGCCATGGACTGCTTCGGTGACTGCCCTTGCAAATACTTGGCCCATCTTTAGGGTTACTGTCGATTGGTCATACCCGAGGAGGAACCTATACTTGCCCCGTTCTGTCTAACCAAGGTTCGTCTCGTAAATATCGCTGCCCTGGATCATCCGTGGCTCCTGCTGCTGCCGCGTGAATATCGCTTCCATATAATTGATGGCTTGCGCGACTATGCTGGCCTGGGGCGTCGGTGCTTCTGGCTCGTGTGCGGGACCGGGCTGCCGAACATGGATGTAATGCGATCCATGTCCATAGTGAAAAGCCTGCTGGCATATCACTCGCTGCATCGCCTAATCTCGCGCTTCCTAACTGACTGTCACTTCGGATGACCGAGGCTTCCGGCTATGGTCGTATGGCGAAAGCCCGTGCTAGGTACGCCAGTGTTTGCGGATGCCCTCCGTTGTACGGCAAACATATTCGCAGAATGTACACAGCATCCTGTCGCTGTGGATTGTCAGCCCCGGAATGGTCCCCCAAATGGATGGGGGTACATCTCTAGGTTCCTCGCTGACTTCCGGCGATGTGTCCACGATCTGTGAGTATATCTCTTGCGCAGCGCTATGGGGAATGACATGCGCACCCTTTGGGTTGGTCAAATACCGAATAGTCTCTCTGGGCCGGATAGCGTACTCACATCGCTGGCAGATAGCTACTCCAAGCTGATGGTTGGGCTAGAAAACCTGTGGGCATCAACGGACTCTGCCATGGCATCGTGGACGCGACACATATATATTTGGAAATGGCAGTGGAAATATTCCGGCGGATCCTGCAAATGATATATGTTGGAAACGAAGCAGATGGCGCTCAGAAACCAGTGCCATATACAGGAAAGCCCCTGAATTCTACCCATCAATTTTCAGCTCAAACTCTCGACTGGGACATGCGCGATCGATGGTTGGCGGTCAACCTCTGGTGGTCTGTAAAGTGTTGCGCGACTCGTCGGGCGAACCCCATAAAAAAAAATGAAGCCGACTTTGAATCCCTGCAACCGCTCTGTATTGGCTGAATTATAGTCTAAAATTTAGGAACGGAATGGAGACATCAATGAACGGAAACCTCTCTGATGTTCAGCCTAGTCCGGCGACGAAGGGCCTACTGAAATGGAGATCTACGCTCTACCGGGTTGACTCGAGGAGGCCCAGGCTACTGGACCCGCCCAGTCCCATCCACACCCGGGGAACGGCAAATTCTTAATTTTTTTTTGCCACCGATAGAATAATGAAAACAAATGCTTGGCAGATGTCATGAATTCTCATTCCGGGAGTAGCGGAACCAGCTTAAAATGTTCTCAGAATATAGCGAGTGCCCTGTTTCGGCGTTTACACCGATAGGCAAACTCGAGTTATAAGTAACTTGTTGCAGTAGAATGTGATTATGGGATGCTGACTTTCGCTCACGACGTCTAGGATTGGATATTGCTTGTGTCTGAATCAAGAGACATTATTGACAGTTTAACGGAACCAATTCGGACCATTTACACATCGAACAATTTTGACCAGTACGACCCAAAATTGATATCAAATGGAGACACCGGGACAGCGAGAAATTGGACAGTCTGTAAATGGTATACAATTGGATCTGGAGGGGTTTCAGGCCCTTGCCGCTGTAGCGGGTAAGTTATTGTGAGCCCTAGTTGTCTGCTTGCTCACCAAAATGCAGACGATGGACGTATCAATGTCGACCTTCACCACAGGCATGGCAAAGCATGTGCGACAGTTGAGCGTTTGCTAAGCTCCATGGCCGAGCATGAAAGCGAAATCGAGCACGAAGGACAAATCGATGTCGAAAAGAAGCCCCCAAATTTGAATATTGTTATTCAAATAGTCGGATCCCGCGGTGACGTGCAACCCTTTGTCGCATTGGGGATACAGTTACAGGAATTTGGACATCGTGTTCGTATAGCCACACACCCTCCTTTTAAGAATTTCGTCGAGAATGCCGGCCTGGAATTTTTCAGCATCGGCGGTGACCCCAAAGAAATGATGACCTATATGGTTAAACATCCCGGACTCTTACCTCATTGTAAGAGCACATATGATGGCGAAGTGCACGAAAGACGAAGAACGATACAAGGAATCCTGGAGAGTTGTTGGTTATCTTGTTTCATCGCCGGAGACAATCTTGACTCAATCGACAACGTGCCGACCGTTCAGAAAAAACCGTTTGTTGCCAATGCCATTATAGCCAACCCTCCATCATTTGCCCATATCCATTGCGCAGAAAAACTCGGTGTTCCACTTCACATGATGTTTACGTATGTACTATGTCGCATTGAAAGTCAACGCTTACGAGAAATTACTGAACAGCATGCCTTGGTCTCCCACTCGTGCTTTTCCACACCCGCTCGCAAATATCCAATCTTGTACGATGAATTCTCGTGCAGCAAACTACTTTTCTTTCATGTTAACTGATACATTGATGTGGTTCGGCATAAGAGATCTGATCAACTCTTTCAGGACCGAAACACTTGACTTGATGCCTGTTGATGTTCTATCTGCTTCAGCTGCAGTTTCCAAATTTCAGGTTCCATTCACGTATTGCTGGTAAACGAACCTGAAGTGGTAATTCTTGACAATCTCATTAACTTGTGCAGGTCGCCTTCTCTGATACCCAAGCCGGTAGACTGGGGCCCACTGATAAGCATATCCGGCAGCTATCATCTACAGCCGCCTGTTCACTACACTCCTCCGTATCATCTGATTGAGTTTTTGGAAAGGTTTCCTGGATCTATTTATATTGGATTTGGATCGATTATGTTGGAAGATGCTGATAAGATGACTCGACTTTTGCTCAAAGCAATTCAAAAAGCAGGAGTCAGTGCAGTCATCCACAAAGGATGGGCCGGTTTGGGATGCAATGTACCCGAGCCTCTGCCTGAAGTCCTTTTTATCGATGATTGTCCTCACGGCTGGATTTTCAGGCGAGTCTCTTGCGTCGTGCACCACGGGGGTGCTGGAACTACAGCGGCAGCTGTAGCCGCAGGAAAACCGTCGATTATCATACCTTTCTTTGGCGACCAACCATTTTGGGCGGAAATGGTAGCAATGGCAGGGGCAGGACCCCCGCCAATTGCGTTCAAAAATTTGACAGCGGATCGCGTCGCGCATGCCATCCGCGTTGCGCTTACTCCCCAAGTCTCTGGATCGGCTATTAAGCTTGGAATGAGAGTTGCAAAGGAGGATGGCGTCGCGAATGGGGTGGATGCATTTCACAAACAATTATCGAGGTATAAAATGGAGTGTTCGATCTTCCCTTCCCGCGTCGCGACGTGGAAAGTTCGAGAAACAAGCATCTCACTTTCTTCATTCGCAGCCTCGGTGTTGATGGAGAATGATGTTTTTGATCTCGGATTCATTGAGCCGTAAGTGGGGGGCGCCAATCAAGACAGTAGTTGAAGGACTTCGCGCTAACACTCTAGTAAGGCTTCGGGTCTGTGAGTATAATTCGAACTATGGCGCGTTGGACACAATTACAGAAGCTGTCGGTATTGCACTGTACTCCGCGGTACAGCTTCTCCAGGGAGTCAAAGAACTAGGGACGTTCATGCCAAATATGTTGGCAAATCATCATGTGCCACTAGCAGACTCTAAGCCTCCCAGCCGCAGTAGACTGAAAAGTGGAATCACGGGGCTTGGCCAGATATCCCATGGTGTGGTAAAAGCACCAATTGATGCGGCTGTTGCCATCACCCAGGCGATTCACAACACTCCACGACTCTGGGGAGGTGTAGTTCGGGAAAATGAACCTTGTGTGACTGGTATTGCTAGCGGACTGAAGGCTGGTAGCAAGGTGATTGATCCCTTTATCTGAAAGCTGAGCATTCTTTTTTAATGCCAACGTGTGACCAATGCAGGGACTTCTTCTCGAAATATACGATGGAGTAACAGGAATCTTTTTGGAACCTTACCGTCACATTCGTCACGGTAATCGGGCTAGGGCATTACCTGGGGTTGGTACTGGGATTCTCTCATGCATTATGCAAGTGACATCTGGTATTTATCTACTTTTCGGATACACCTCTTGGTCTACCTTTTGGCTAAAATTCTGTATTTGAAAGGCATGACAGGCGCTGTTGCCTACCCTTTAAAAGGGTTGCATATGCAGTTTATCAAATCATCAGATTCCAAATTACCATCACCTTTTGAATGGGCGCTCCTCGCTGAAGGAACGAGTGAAGCACTACAAGCTGGGAATCAGGCACGTGCTTCCATAGTCAATGCATGGGAATCGCTGGTACAACGCAACCCAAGCCTAAGAAAGAAATTAAAAATTAGGTAGTGACGCACGGAATAACAAATGAACCAGAGCGCAAACTCTTTGCATATACAAATGAATGAATGCAGTCTGCCAGGTACAGCTCAAATAGCCATTATCATCGCGATTGACCGGAGTCGCGGGGACTGGGTTTAGAGGAATGAGAAGATCTCTGTATAAAGGGGGTGCGATTGTAGGAAAAGGATGTCGTATCGTTCCTGAGGATAGAGAGGTAAATTCACGGGTATGCCCGTCATTTGGTCACATAGTCTGTGGATGCTCTGTGCTGCTGGCTAGTCCGCGTGCCGTGCGTAGATTCTTTGAGTTCAAATATAATCGCACTGGCTAGAATGAAGTAGGTAGGATTCGCGGCCCGTTTGAAGGAGAGTTGCAAATAGGTACTAAGGATCATGTCCAAGAAACACTCATGGATTCGATGACTAGGTGACATACCATGCAGTTTGGCGGTGAGCAAGTAGAAGCCCGATTCAGGAACCTCGCAAAGGTACCCAGACAATCAACTTTCATAACAAACTACAAGATCAGGCGCTATCTGTGGCTATTAGAGAAAGATAGATGTGCCAAATGGTCAGAGAAATATCCCAACCAACTCTACGGACGGCAAGCCGGCTGAATCTTACGTTCCCCATGTCCAAGTGCCTCCTCAAAATACACTAGCGCCTGTTCACCATCCATTCAGGTTTGTCAAAGACACTGTAAAAATAAAAAAGTGGCTTTGTCTGAAAATGAGGTTTTCCTGTGATGATTGTGTCGACAAATGGGTAAGAAAGAGTACCCCGAAGTCACGTCGCTGAGCCTGCACACCAAGCACCAGAATTGGTTTAGGGAAGTTACAAGTTACAGCCGCCACATGACAGAAGGTGATTTTATTCAATCTACCCCATAGGGGGAGTGAGATGAAGGGAAGGGGGAAGGGGGGTGTGGTTAAATTAGGGTGTCCCTAGTATGGGAGGGCCCACCCACGCAGTGAGGACTACTATACTATAATGTATGCTGCGACCATTATGCGTGAATTATAAGGCTTGACCGCTGCCTCGCTGCTACGTATTAGTTGTTTATCAATTAATTCGCCCTTCTTCTGTTGAGCATTTAGATTGAGTTTAGACAGACAAGTATTCCTTCACGATTTACACTTCGATGTGGGACCTCCGTACGTTTAAACTTCAACAATATGGGAAATGCAAATCACGGAGGAATAAATCTCCAATTCAGATGAAACTGGAAAGCCCAACAGATTAGAGGGCATTCTAACTAATAAATGACCAATACACAATAGCAAATATTAATGAGGGGTAAAATCCCTGTATGTGACCTCTAGGGATTCCAATTCTTTTCCTTACCGACCCCTACGATCCCCACGACCCACGCGAAACTCGCCTACCGCCCTGGACCAGCTACTTCCTTCAAAGGGATAGCTAGCGTCCTTTGCTGTAGTAGCGGCCGTGGTGGTAGTCGTCCCCTGGGTGAGCGCGCTCGTTATCAGATTGATGGTAGTTGAAGACTGCTTCATGACGGATACCAGAGTTGACGGCGTAGTAGTGGTGGTGGTGGTGGTGGTTACGGACGACGTGGCCACACTTGTGACAGCCACCTGCCTTGACATTGTGGTTATCGTCGCGGTGGCCGCCGCGGCATTCTGAATGATGCAGGCAGTGGCGACGCCGAGGCCGTCGGTTGCGATCTGAACGGGCTGCTGAGCATTGGGCGAGCAGCCGAGCTGCATCAAGCTCATTAGATACCGGGCGCACATGAATGTGAAAAGATTATTGCCGAGCGACGGCGCGGGGCTCGTTTGTTTGGCAAAGACCTCTCCGTTGAAGAGCAGAAAGCCCGGTGCGATAGACATCATGCCATCGCAATAGGAATCCAGTGCTCCGGAGTCGGGTCCCTGGGCCGTCAGCAAGGGTTGGTTGATACCCAAGCGGTAGGCGTTCGTCTTCGCTAGACTGAGAGCGCCGCTCGCGGTCAGTAGGCAATCCGGGTCATTGAGCGGCACTAATGCAATGGGTGCCTGCTGGTGGACGCCGGCCTGCAGCTCCTGCAACGCCAAGGCGGGCACTTTGTCACCCGGGTTGTCGAGACTGGGCCCTAGGAAAGGGGTGCAGCCGATCGCGGGATCGATCATGTTGGCCAGCAGCGCTTCATCAGAAGCATTGTTGATGACAATGGCATTGGGGAACTTGGCCCGATTGGCAGCCGTGTCCTGGACCGTGGCTCCGTCGGGCAGGAGCAGGTACTGCGTCGGCACGTTGTCGGAGGGACAGGCATCGACGATTGCGAACGACCGCGTGGTCGGACATGTGGCACCACTGTGGTCATTTCCCAGAGGCGGGATTACGAGCTGGCCGTTCTTGACGGCTGCATTGGCGGCGTCAAAGAACGGCTGCGTGTTGCACCAGCTCACCTGGCCAAAGACGTCGCCCTGCACGCCGGGCAGGCCATTAACGCAATCGATCGCCTTCAGGATCGAGGATTGATACGTGTCCAGGCCATTCTGGTCGAGGAGCTGGAGCACGTTCCCATTGAAACCAAACCAGAGGGCGACGCTGGCGTTGGCCGGCAACTTGGGGACGACAGGGGCTACGGGAGGAGTCTTGTTCTTATCGATGACCAGCGGGTGATAGATCGAGATGGCTCCGGTCGCCGGGTCAATCACGGCAGCCTCGGCATAAGCTTGCTGGAGATTGACGCTCTGCGAGCAAGGGGGTTCCAGAACAAACGGAGTGGCCAGGCCGTTGGCTGACAGGGGGTTACTGGGCAGCGTGAGAAAGCAGTTGGAAGCACTGGAGTTGAGCGAGGCGCTCGTCGACGATCCTGCGGCTGACATGGTGGCCGTGTTCGCCTGCTGCCCAGCGCTGTGTATTTCAAATTTCCGGCGCTGATCGGGAAACCAGGGCAATGACTGACTCCAGAATACAGCCACCGTCTGCGCCAGAACGGCCACCGGATGCAGGAGAGGGGACATAATGACGGTATCAAGAAGGAGCGTTGCCAGTTGATGAAAGGAGATAAACGGTCTGCGAACGGTGAAAGGTAAGATTGATCAACAGTGAGTGGGTGCTGAGACGAGCGACTGATGGGAACTGAAAGTCCGACGAAACGAACGGAGAGCTAAGGGTGAGAAAGACAAGAGGCCAACCTCACTGCATCTGAAGATTATGCCCTCCCAAAGGAGATTGAAGAGAGCTAGCTCGCTGATGAATGAACGAGCAGCACCCGAAGACGGTATCTCAGGTCTCTTTTATACTGCAAGGCGCGTATTTGGACTGATGACCTGATCGAAGGAGAAAGATAACATGGGGAAAAGGGGGGGGGGGGGGGGGGGGGGGGTAGTTTAGGGCTAGGGATGGGCATACACACGCCGCTAACAACTACTGAACAATTCGCTGTCAAGAGGGTTGTGTCGATTCGACGGGTAAATAATCAAGACAAGCCCGACGTCGCATCATCTGTTCCAGAATAATAGGGATGTCGCGAGTGCGCTAGGACATTCTGAAACTGTTTGTAGTAGGATGAGACAGCAAGCGTTTAGGGATTATATTATAGAATTTTAGAGTTATAAAAATTTACGTAGAGGGCACGAAGAAGTGTAAGTTTCGTTACCGTTTATATTGCCAGATACTTGTATATAGCGAGGCCGGAGGCTAATAGACTGCTGCTATAGAGTTGGGATATCTGCGTAGAATCTGAGAGACCTAGACGAGCTATAGAAAGCTACTCAAACGAACCATTCGAGCTAAGCTTTAATGAAGCACCCTACAATTTGTAAACCTCCGGCATGATTATTCAAGTAGGTGGATTCCACAAATTCCCGCCCTAGAGCTGGAAACCAAGGCGTCATGAGAGAGTAGACCTAAGCAAAACTAGTCCATGGGTTTAAACTTTGACCTAAAATCCAAACCAACGCTAATAAGCCCATAAGTTTTACCTTCGAACGTAAACCTGCGCAAAAAAATCTATTTTAAACATATTGTCCGCATAAATTTCCGAATTAGGATATATCAAATACTAAGTCAGCTACTGCTATTTCCCCCTGTTTTATTTATATGTTAATATCTTTTAAATTTTATTTTATTTAGTTATTATATTCATTATTTAACTTCGTTTGTGTAATTTATTGACCTTTTTTTAAATATATATTTAGGTAGATAAATCTAAATGCCGTTCTAAATTACCAGAATTAGTGCTAAAATGAATAATATTTCTAAATTACGTGCATAAGCTCTTTCCAACGTAATGGGCTACCAGGGTACATGGGTTTAAGAGTCAGATCCAAATCCACAGTAGTAAACCCATGGATTTGGTCGGGTTTAAGAGAGTCCCTGGCCCGCGTGCTGTTCTCGTATGGACAAACTCCATCCAGGGAGACTTACGTTTGACATAATGAAGTGCCGGAAGCTAATCACAATATCCGAGATCACCCGGCTTTGTATCAAAGAGTAACTATGGTGTGATAGTATATTGCGCTGGGAACTACTTCGGTACTTATTGTGGGGGGTTGGGGGAAGTGATCTTCGATCGTGAAGTGTTTCAGAGCAAGAACCATTCTCAAACCGCTAGTCGTCGGCCAGTCGCGGCCATGAGCAGGAGGATAGGATCGGCGCCGAGTTGAAGGCGCTTGTGGCTTCACGTTCTCTCTAGTGTGCTTCAGCGCCAGCCAGTAACCGTAGCCTAGCGTGTCCCGCCACATTCCTGCGCAAAGCCCGCCTCGATCTCTCTACCTGTCGCATGTCGCATGTCAGCTTGCGGTGGATGGTAATACTGATGCCCGTCTGGACGGGTCCTCTTCCAGATATCTGATTAGATCTATGGATTGAGACCTGCGGACTAGGTCTAGTTTGTTCTGTGCCGTCACAGACCGCACCTCCGTCCCTTGTACGGAGTGCCGATAAAATAAACCGTAATTGATGAGCATTCCTCGCGGGAACATGATCCAGAATCCTGTGCCAAACGGCAAACAATCCCTTTCCCCTCGCGCTACGGCATACTTAAGGTTTGCCATTGTATCAGTTACATGACGAGATGATACACAATTCGTGTGAGCAGACAGCCTGCCATTGTTCGGCATAGCCTTGTTTGTTTCTACATCTTCGGCTTGTTGGCCCTGGGGTGGACTAGGAGTGTCTCATACCTCCCCATCCCTACCCCTCGGGGAAAGTGGACTCACGCAGGGGTAAAAAGAGTAGTTTCTCCAGCCCTTTGTGGGCAGGTTTTGTTTTTCCTGCTTCTATTGTTCCTCCATTTCTTCATATAAAGTCCACTATCTTTCTCGCATTTCGTTCTTTATGGCCTTTGTCGCCCTTCCTTTCTCGAATAATCATTATTGACGCGTGGTGAACTAGTTCCATACGCAGTTTTGCGCTGCGTTTGCCAGAGCTGCTGGTTTCTCTAAGCACTCAATTGACGTGGAAAAGTTTTATCGATTGATATTTTTCCCTACTCTTTTCGCTCTTTACATAATCCGTTCAACCTAGGCAGGCCCTGGTTTCGACTTTAGCCATCCATCGCCATATCTTTGGATTGGTCGGAATCTTTTATCGCTGTCAATATCCTTCTTTTTCGCATTCTGAAGGAGCCTGGTGTTGTTTTGAATTGCAGTGCGCCTGCAACAGTCTTCTAACCAAAAAATAACAACTCCTGGGCCTTGATAACAAGCCTTCACTCTTCTCCTAGATATATCTAGCCAACTGGTCTTGCAAAAAAACCAGAAACTGCCTGTCGACATTCGACCTTATTATCTCGAGCGGGGTATCATGCAGCATCTACTTCTGGCTCTATCCCTTGCGGGACTGAGCAGTGCCCACGGGGTCGAGAAGCGTGATGGATACCAAAAGAGAGCCATACCAATGTGGATTCAGGCAGTAAATGATGACATGGCACGATCCACCATCCTTGCCCTTGGTTGTGCCGCCGCTGCCTTCTACGTCTGGTCACTCGCCTTCCGATTCTCTAACCACCAGCGACGACTAGCCAGCTTCACCGACGATAAGCAGCGATACTTTGTGCCAGCACACCACAGGTTTTGCTGGTTTAAAGAGCATTTAATCTATGCTCCTCTATTTCGCATACGTCACAATCAGGAATTTCAGCTCTCCTCAGCCATTAATATGGGTAACCTCCCCAGTCGCTTTCATGGACTCCTAATCGCTGGTGTTATCGCTATGAACGTTGCCCTGTGTACCGTGGCCACTCCCTATGGATCGAATGAGGTGACTCTTTCGGGTATTGTGCGTAGCCGTACTGGCACAATGTCTACCATCAACCTGATCCCGCTGGTCCTAATGGCTGGCCGAAACAACCCTCTTATTGCCATTCTTAATGTTCCCTTCGACACTTGGAACTTGCTTCATCGCTGGCTGGGCCGCATCGTGGTGCTCGAGGCTCTTGCACACACATTTGCCTGGTGCATCCCCAAAGCTCAGGAAGCCAGTTGGGATGTCGTCGGAATTTCCATTTTTTCGAACAGCTTCTTTATTGCTGGGCTTGTTGCTACATGTGGATTCACAGCTCTGATGCTGCACTCGCCGTCTATAATTCGGCATGCTTTCTATGAGATATTCGTCCATTTTCACCTTGCCATCACAGCGGTCTCTTTTGGTTTTCTTTGGGTGCATCTCGACGGCTTTATTGACCAGGCTTACCTACTTGTCGCTATCATTCTCTGGGCCCTAGAGCGAGCAACCCGCCTGTTCATCATCGTGTACCGCAACATTGGCCGCGAGTCCACCACCGCCACTGTTGAGGCGATGCCCGGTGATGCGATACGCATTATCCTTCGCGTAGCTCGGCCGTGGACGTTCAAGCCCGGTCAACACATCTATCTATATATCCCGGCTGTTGAGTGCTGGACCTCCCACCCCTTCTCTGTCGGTTGGAGCGAAGCTGAGGAGACTATTTCGAACGAGAAGTCGCTCCCGAACACAACACAAGACCTCCTTGGCGCCCCTAAAAAGACCACCCTCTCTCTGCTTGTCCGCCGCCGCACGGGCATGACCAACAAACTATTCCAGCGCGCCGCGAACTCTCTCTCCTCCCGTGTGACCCTGCGTGCCTTCGTCGAAGGACCCTATGGCAACATCCACTCCATGGACTCCTATGGCACTGTTATGCTCTTCGCCGGCGGTGTTGGTATCACACATCACGTCCCCTTCGTGCGGCACCTAGTCGCTGGTTTCGCTGAGGGAACAGTGGCAATCCGCCGCCTAACCCTCGTCTGGATCATTCAGTCTCCCGAGCACCTTAAGTGGATCCGCCCCTGGATGACCAGCATCTTGGCTATGGACCGCCGACGCGAAGTCCTCCGCATCATGCTCTTCGTAACTCGACCACGCAAGACAAAGGAGATACAGAGCCGCTCAGCAACGGTGCAAATATTCCCTGGTCGGCCAAATATCGACGTTCTCGTCGGTATAGAGGTCGAAAACCAGATCGGCGCTATGGGCGTGTTGGTATGCGGCAACGGTAGCTTGAGCGACGATGTGCGCAAGGTCTGCCGGAAGAGACAGGCCCGGTCGAATATTGACTACATCGAGGAGAGTTTCTCCTGGTAGATTGCTTACCATGTTCACGTCTTGTAGAGCAAATATTTGCTGTGATATTACTTGAGGGAGTGTTGATCGAGTGAGAGCTCTCATGCTTTAGCCACTTTTCACTTTTTCACTCCCGTCTTAACTCTGGCCGTTTTGGCTTTATAGCCTCCTCTTCTTGCCTTCTTTTTGGAGGAATAGTATACTCTTCGCTTTTGATTTTGAGGATTCCTTATCATCTCCACTTAGGGGTGTGTTCACGATACGATACCGTCAAGATTTTCTAGTATCGCATATCGTACCATCAGACTAAAATCTCGACGATAATCTATCATACGATAATATCATATATTTGACGATATACGGTATACCAGGCCAGATTGTGTCCGCGCTCATTAACTAGAGATCGGCAGTCAATTCAGAGGAAACCTGGGGGCGGGGGAACTAGTTAACGTATAGCGCCCCTAGTGAGGAAGGTAACATAGTAGAACAGCCTACGATGAATCACAGAGTCTAACCACGATCCAGTAAGGTCTCGCATCCATCTAAACCAAAAATAGGCGTGTCTCACGACTAGCATATGAGGGGTGCCTCCTATGCCACGGTCCCAAATGAGAAGAATAAGAACAACCTAGTGAGTTGACAAGATTTCTTGATACATAAATAAAGAAACAGACCCTACAAAATGGCACGATCGGCAATGACGTCGTCTCTGGCATTCGTTTCATCTTTGAAAATCATTCGGCGGATGTCGTCACCGGCGTCCATTAGTAATTGCCCTTGGGATGCGGTCAAACCCCTCTCCTGTGCTGAATCATCGCACCATAATCAAGGTTTACTTGCCCGATTTCTCTCATGTCCTTCGTTTGATCTCTGTTGTGTACAGTCCCCACCCAATGTCCTCCCAGACGCGGGACCATCCTTCTGCAACCCAACCACCAAGACACTGTCAACGGAATCATGGCAACATTAGCCGAAGGTCCAGAATCGATGGGGTCGTATCGTCGTAAAGGTATTTCATTTATCCCCTATGTATCGTATGCGACTTCCGTTCTAACGACATATAGCGTGTGACCTATGCTTCACCAAGAAGATCAAATGCGACATGGTAAAGCCGACCTGTTCCAACTGCAAATTGTACCACACTGAGTGTAGGAAGGGCTTTGTGAGACGAAGGCAGCGTGCGACCTATCGCAGTTTAACCGATCCATATGTAAAATCATATCCCCGTGGTGTTAGCGACCACTCAAACAGTTTGGAAGCACGGCTGGCGCAAATCGAGGATCAGGTTCATCGGAATATGCGGATTATCAAAACGCCTTCCTTCACGCCTTCGTCAACGGCTGGTCCGCGACAATATGGAAATAGCAGCGAGATCATGACCGCATCTGCAGAACCGCAGCTGAGAGAGGTTCGGCGTAGCGCAGGAGCCTGGGCTCTAGGTGTCGTCGAGCCGTCTTTATTCGGTAGTTTTGAGCTGCGATCCCTCCTGTTGCCTCCCCGAGAAGAGATATCGCCAGTGATTGACCACTACTTCCTCAACACCAACAATCTCATTCCTCTGTTTCACAGGCAGTCCTTCATGGGGCTGCTTGATGACTGGTACGGCAGCCCAGCCTCTCGGAATCGAATCAAATGGGCAGCAATACAGATCGTCATGGCTCTTGGACTTCGAACCATTGAGCCACAAGCGGGGGACCTATTCCCTAGCACGATACAGAGGTCCAATGCACATTTGAACAATGCGCAATCGGCGCTGTCAGAATTGGTGATATGTGACGAGGACTTGTTGGGCATCCAGATCCTATTAGGAATTGTCATTTTGTACCAGAATAGTAGTGACCAAAGACCGGCTAGTGTCATAATTGCATCCGCACTGAGGCTAGGACATCGGCTGTTGCTGCATTCAAGCAAATCTCAGCAATTTTTCTCGGAAGAGGAAGCATTACAGCGATCTCGGATATTTTGGATAGCTTACGCTCTCGACAAGGTATGCATTTCAAGGAGTAAAAGACAGCACTGCTTGTCAAGTGCAACTTGCTAATTGGCCCAGGAGATTTCGATTCGTGTCAAAACGCCGTCTATTCAATCCGATAATGATATTGACCTACCACTTCCTCCGCTAACCTCTCCTGACGGAGCTGGAGTCATTTGTACACGAGATGGACACTCCCGGACTAATGTCTTCCTTCTCCGCGTTCAATTAGCACACATTCATGGTAAAATTTACGACCTACTGTACTCGAACCGTGCCTCCGCTGTTGATAGGCTAGAACGCCGGCGACGCATTATCCAACTGCAAGCGAAACTCGAGTACTGGTATGAAAGCATCCCCCTCGCTTTCCGAATCGAGAATCTCTCTTCTACGGCATGCGGAGAGGGTTTGGTGCAGATGACTAAAATTTATCATGGCTTCCTCCTGGCTGAGGTCATGGCGCATGGCTTCTACAGTAGGGATGCAGACTGGCTGAAGCGCATCAGCGCCGTAAGTACCATCTCGATGAATGATGTTACATTGACCCAAAATCATTTCGGGACGGCGAGAAGCAACACTGTTGAGGAACCGCCGTCACCCTTGGGTTGGGACAAGCTGGTCCAGATCAGCCGTGGCTGCATGAAGCTTTTTCACGTTGCCACCCAGATTGAATGTCTCGCATGGTGAGTCCTAACACCACTCATTATCTCTGGATTCGGATTGACAATTTTAACTATACGAAGGCAATGTAGCTGCGGACACTTTTCGGCTCTCATGGTTCTCCTCGCTAACATGTTCCTCCACCCCTCTCATGCGTGCCTCTCCCAGGACCAGCGCCTCATTTTCAGGTCGATTGACATGTTTGAGAGTATTCTTGGGGCCGTTCGGGACAGAGCTTTTGAATCTGTGTACAAGATGGTCTCGGAGCTTGTCAAGAAGGCCAGTGATGCAGTGGAAAGCTACAATTTATTCGAGGATGCCAATACAGCAGACTTAGTTCAAGATTTTCGTGCCGACTGGGAGAATTTTCTAGCAACGGAAGGGTTTGGCTATTACAATTTCGCGGAAGAGCCGAACCTGTTTACCAGCTCTTTTGATGCGGACAGCTTCGGCATGCCATTTGATCAGGTAGCGCAGCACACGTGAGTTGTAGGTAGGTTTTACCGATCATCTAAAAGCGTATGTGTGTGTATTGTTCTTTTATTTGAATCTTCAGGGTTTTCACGACTTTAGGTCGTATCCAGCCTCTAGCTCGTGTGCACTGAAACAACTATGTACATCCGATGGACGGCTTGTGAATGAGTAAAGGGAGTCTATTACTTATACTCATAAAAGGCCAATTCGACATTTCCGTGTCTCTTTCAGTTTTGATCTAAGCAGGGAAGAGAGAAGCTCTGGTCTCATGCAGAAAAATGTTGATCGTAAAGAATCTGGGGACCGGTGTACTGGACAGCTCGGACAGATGTCGGCAATGTAGGTGCCAGGTTGGCTATCTCCTGCGACCAACCTCTCACGTCCTGTAGGAAGTGCGCCATGGCCATGTTGTCGCTGGAGTCAATGGGCTTTTGCCCGTCGGCTATCTGGCGCATCTGGGTTTCCGCTAAAGTCTTGGAAGTGAAGAAGTCTTTCTCAAATTCCGCAGTCGGCTGAATGGCCCCAGTTATGGTGCTTCCGCTTTGAAGGATGGTGCTCGGCAGTCGAGGTTCCGCTGCCGCTGGCCGTGCAAACGCCACGCCGTTGGCTACATTCAATGTCTGCACCATGACTTCAACAGACCGGATGCCACCAACCACATAGATTTTGATTTTGTGCTCTGAGTCCAGGGACTTTATGATCATTTCCGCCCATTCAATGAAGTAGGCCTCACGCTTTCGTGAAGACTCCCTCTCCCATACCATGCCAAGTTTCTCGTAAGTACCACCGCTAAGTTCCACAAAGTCTATGTTGAGACGTTCCAGCTCTTCACAGACCTCCTGCGCCTCTTTCGGCGTCACGCCGCTATCCTGGAACTCAACACTATTGAGCTTGACGCCAAGGACAAAGTCCGGGGAAACTCGTCGGCGTATAGCCTTGACAATGTCGGAGACGAATCTAAGGCGATTCTCGACCGTCTGGGGACCATACTCGTCTGTACGCTGGTTTGTCGTCCGGGAGAGAAATTGAGCAATCAGGTATCCATGAGCACCGTGGAGCTCAATGCCGTTGAAGCCAGCCTTCTCCAGGTACTCCGCGGCATATGCAAAGCCCTCAACGATGGAAGCAATTTCCTCCTTGGTAGCGGCGTGTGGTTTTCCAAAAGACAAAGCAGCTTTTGGTCCTGCAGAATTTCGGAGTCAGCATAATTATGTGCAGAGAAGGTGACCAATGTTGTCGGACTCACCAAGCTGCACATCCGATGCGGAGACTGCGAAGGGGTTGATGCGATCCCAAACTTGTCGCCCCGGATGTGAGACCTGACCCAGGATGAGACTGCCGTCACTCCTGGCCGCCGCAGCGAGCTCCTCGAATTTTGTGAAGCGCTCCCCATGCAGAGGGCATTGACGAGTGATAATCATATCTCCAACACTATCCAGAGCATCAAATTCGATATCAATGTTTCCTGTGATAATAACACCCCAGTTGTTCTTGCCTTCGCCCCAGCTGTCGCCGATATTAGATATGAAGACTGTAAAAGAGCTTTAGATGTATGCGACTCACCGGCGATAAAGTTCAATGAGTTCTTGTGTTGGGATGCCCCTCTCTTCCATTTTATGTGGGCTCCATGTGGCCATGAGCTCGGCCATAGCGCTCTTCATGAATCGATTTTTAGCCACCTGCCCAGAGGACTGAAATCGAACCGATTGGGCCAATGGCCCAATATCTCCGGTCGATGTGCCGTACCGCGTTGGCGTCATCGTGATAATACAGGCCAAGTATTGATGCTGGCTGTCGCCTTTTGAAGATATATTGGATGCTGGTGATAATCAACAAGAAATCGAGATATTGGTGGTATCGTAGCTCTAGCTGCTGTTCTCTAACTGCGGGTTCAAGGTCCATTTTATACTCAATTCCACTGCCGACACCATTATCATGATAACGCAATGAAACATTGCCACCACAGGTGTCATCCCCCCATTGCCCATCCTTTTGAACTTTAGACAATGAAAATGATACGTGTCGGCGTCCACTGCGTCCTATTCTGCACACAATGGCGGGTAGTGAGGTTATTGCCTCAAGCATTACTCATCTCTGAAGTTGTGGGGCCGCGGCCGGCCTCCACGTTCCACGGCACCACGGCACTCCACGGCACTCCACGGCGCTCAGGCCACTCCACGGCACTCAAAATCCACTCGTCGTGCTCCAAGGGGCTCCACTGCGACAATATCAGCGAACAAATGAGCCGCTACTACATAAGCATCAAAATTGCAATTACCAACGACGACGAATCCATCTTAATCCGTTGGATAATATCACCCGCACGACCATACCTACTACGGGTTCGCGTTTTCTGTCCTATATAAATAGTCATCTGAGCACGGCAACCCTCCAGTGCCTTCAAACATCATTTTAGGCGATCCAAACTCTAATTTGCAATCGCGAGAAAGATGGCAACCAACCTACAAAAACAGTGGCGTGTCACAAGAACAGACCGAACCTGTAATGAACTCCAGCTTGTGGATGCACCCGTCCCAACCCTTGGAGAAAACGAAGTACTTGTCAGAATTCACGCGGTGTCCCTAAACTTCCGCGACTTGATGATCCTGAGGGTAATAAATTTAGACCCCATAGTTGGTGTCCAACGCGAGCGGGCTTACTAATAAATTCGATAGGGAGACTACCCTTTCCCTCTTCATCTACCTGTCGTACCTTGCTCGGACGGGGCTGGTGAAGTCGTGGCGATTGGAAGCAAAGTTAAGCTGTGGGCCAAGGGTGATCGAGTGATTACGCTCCTTAGTCAAGCCCACCTTTACGGCCCGGCCACTCCGGTTTCGATGGTATCAGGCCTTGGTGGGAGCCTCGATGGGACTCTGCGTCAGTACGGCGCGTTCAATGAACAAGGCCTCGTTCGAGCTCCCCGGAACTTGACTTATCGAGAAGCTAGCACGCTTGTTTGTGCAGGTGTTACAAGCTGGAACGCGCTTTATGGCTTGAAACCGCTCCGACCTGGGCAGTGGGTTCTAATTCTGGGTACCGGTGGGGTGAGCGTCTTCGCGTTACAGGTGAGTATGTCCTAGTGTACTTTTGTAAGGTTACTTGCGAGGCTGACATCAAGTCCAGTTTTCGAAAGCAGCGGGTGCCACGGTCATAGCGACCACCTCATCTCAGAGCAAAGTAGAGGCTCTCAAAGAACTAGGAGCGGACTTCGTTATCAACTACAAGGATGAACCCGCATGGGGACAGAAAGTGAAAAGCTTCACTCCAAACGGGCGGGGAGTTGATCACATTATCGAAGTCGGCGGCGTGGGAACTCTGAGTCAGAGCCTGGGGGCGATCGCTTGCGAGGGCGTTATCAGCTGCGTTGGTTCTGTTTCCGGTGATATATCCGAGAGCGGAAACCTTCCCACCATGCTAGACTGCTGGCTCAACAACTGCATTGCCCGTGGAGTAGCGGTGGGATCAAGAGCACAGATGGAGGATATGGTGGCCGCTATCGAGGCTAATGGCGTCCATCCTCTGGTGGATGAGAGGTTGTTTAATCTACACGAAGCGAAGGCCGCATTCGAACACTATGTAAGTTCATCCTGTAAGTCTGGGTTGTCGATATAATCATAATGAGCATTGTGTCAGTCTCGGAATGCAAACTTTGGCAAAACGGTCATCATCCTCGATTAATGCATATCAGCTCGGATGATATGTTGCGGTGTGGTTACAGGCGGTTGGCAACAATTTGTTAACTGGAGCTCATCTACAAACATATATAGCGCCTTTTAAAAATAATTATTGAATTCGGAAATCCAGCGCTATTTTGAGTAGTGTCCTACTATGTGGTAGTTATTCGCTCATGACATCCAAGGAACCGTACGACTGTATTATGGGCAGTGCGAATGAAGATTGCTCGCCTAAAGCGGAGTCATTTAATCATCCAGTATGAATGGGTGCAGTACAGAATCTGGACCTCTTAAGCTACTTAGCCTGTTGTCAATCTGGAATACCCAATATTAAGTCTACGTATCTGAGATGCAATGCGCATCATACAGGACGGTACGGCAGATAGGCTCCTGGATTTGGACTACACGAACGACGTCAGTATTTAACGCAACAGAACTGTCTTCATTTTAGTGCCTAATCCTACACTTAACACCCACTTTTCCTTTTTAGTTATATACCCACCATGCCGAAACAATCTGATTCTATCGAGAATCGAATCTTCAAGGCCCAGGAAGCTGCAAGGGCGTTCGAAATTAAATATCTCTGCATTAGCGTGAGAATCCAGCGTTTCTTATTACTAGCTTCGTAACTGAATACACTGTCGCACACCCGAAGCCCCTCGTATAGCAGCCAGTGAAATACTTGATATCATTCTATGATGTGAAGGGCGTTTGGCGTAATATATGCTGCGACTGTCAGGCCTGATTTGTAAGGCTTGACTACTAACTACCTCGCTGTCGCGTAGGGATCGTAGGTATTGACATAAGTCAAGCGGGAAAAGAGGCCTATACCCATATGTCTCGCTGGCATCCAAGTCTTAGGGGCTAGCGATTAGTCTTAGAAATATACTAAGTCGCACCTAAAGCCTCCCTACGAGTCTCTGTTGCCCGAATTCGTAACACCACTCCAAAGGGGGTATCGTGAGACACATCCCGACAATGATGTGAAGAACTGCGATAGGAATTAGATAGCCAAATCTAGCCCTCGGTGCTAAACTAAACGTTCCACCACCCAGCGCTGCAATCTGCCGCCATTGTCACCCTGTCTCAGCTCATCAAAGCCGTCTGCAATGTCCAATGTGGTATACACCTTCCATTTAGTCTTCGTTTCGGCTTCAATCTGGCGCCACAGTTGAGAAAATGTGTTGTTGTCATGCAGAAACATCGGCGGTCCACCGTGTGGGTTGTTAGCCCACTCACCAGGAGCAAGGGATCCGGCAGAAACGCCAGTTATAAGAGCGCCTTTCCTCGGAACCACGAGATTGACCATCCGTTTTGCCACTCGTACTTGTCCATACCAGTCCCAAAGATGGAGGAAAAAGCCGGAATTCAAAAAAGTGATCTTTCCTTGTAACTTATCCATCGTTGGGGTATCGTGCAGAAAGTCCTGAATGATAAAGCTGGTCTTCAATTTACCTTGGTCATGGAACAAATCAAATCCAAGGCCAACTAGCTCAGGGCTCAATTCAATACCCAACGTATTTTCCGAAGGAGCTCCATCATAAACCAACCTTCTAATATCCTGTCCTAGACAGCATCCAAGGTCGAGGAACAACGCTCCTTCTTTTAATCCGTCTAAGATCCTAGGATAGGCAAAGGAATTGGCCAAATCAAAGTGAAGAAATAGAAATCTCGAAAAGCAAGGATACTTCGTGATGGCCCACCCTTTTTCTCTCTGTCTGTATTGTCAGGTTTCAAACCGGAAAAGAGGAGGTCCGAGGGTCTTCTTACGATCGATTTAACATGGGATTCCTGTTCAGCGGGCAATATCTTCGAGTATTCACACAGAAAACGGCCTGCGTTACCCTTCAATAGTTGCATCAAATCATAATCTTCGTGGTTCCATCGCGGAGCCTTTGTGTTAGAGGATGCCATGCCCCAGCTGCGTTTCCACGAGCTATTATGATTTGACTTTTGGAGGGTTATCTAATAGCTCCTCAGGTCAGATGGATTTGCTGATATTCTATCACAAATTCAGATCACGTGGTTGGTTGGTTGGTTGGTTGGTATTCTGTATGATTTTCAAGCGGGAGCTTCTGTTTATAAGGAATACTGGATGCGTGTCGGCAACTGGCGTCACCACTTTTCACCTGTGAGGCATTTGCCTTTGGTGGAAAAGTCACTACTTGAAAATTATGGAGTTTTTGTAACTTCAATTACAACTATCTCCCAATTCCTTTTTAAGATCCAAATATTCTGATTTTATTGTTTTTGATCTGAGCAGACTCGGCGGCCAAGAATTCTTTGCTTTCACTAATTTACCGTTCAACTTAAGTTATATATAAAAAATACCTCGCAGTTGCCCAGATCTGCGATGGTAAGATCATTAACCATTCGAAGTCTCAAGTCTTACTGGGGCACAATAGCAAGGATAAATTCAGCCACAGTCATCGACCACTTTTCAAAGATTTATATTCGCATTGTAGCGCTGATATCATGATTATCCGGATTTGGTAATTCCATTCGACGCTAATGCCGATCATGCGAGAGCAAAAAAATTAAACTTCCCAGTCACCTAATTTGGTACGGTGAGATCATCATGTTTTTTTACCGAAAGGCCTTGGAAGCCCAAAGCCTCCCCACAAGTTATAAAACCAGGTCCTTCTGTGACCAGGCATAATGGAACTACGCATACGGGACCACTGTCTCGGGAACCCGACATCCGTCATGCTGGCATCCACAATGCAGACTTCCATGACCCTAGTAACTCCGACATGATTGCGTTTGAAGACTGCGCTTGACAGTTGGAAAAGGACATGGACTGTTGTAAATAGATAGAGACTCTTCCTCTGTCTCTCCCCCCTTTCCCAACTTGGATCTCCCGTCGACTACGTACTCAAATTGAATTCTTTATTGATTTTCTTTCTTGATCTGACATCCGGTCACACCTTCTTCGGAAGAAATATAGACAGCAAGATAGCCAGAATGAAGGCCCTCACAAAATTCATACTTTTTTTGTGACCCACGGCACAGGCTTGATCACTTCCGAAGCCTTCTATTTCCCATTCAGCTCCACTTCAAGTGCGAATGAAACGGAATGAAAGAATTGCTTTTACATCTCACAATCAAAGCTAAAGATGATCCTGGGACGGATTGCCTCCAAATAAATTCTGATGGCGGTCGGTCACGGAAATCGTGGATCGAAATTAAGTGACGCTTTTACACGATGCTTCTCGCCGGTCGCAAACATCAAATTTTCGACTACGCCAACATGAAGCTTTTTGTTAACCCACGGCCTTTAAATGTAAAATGGAGTAAATTCGATCGCTTCTCGATAACCTACCAAAACCGGAGTATCGTACAAAGCGGTTAAAGCATGCGGGCGACTAGCGTCCAAAGCATTAAACCTGTATCTGTGCCTTTCTGCCCACCCACTTCGATATCTCTGCTCCAATACCTGGCCCATAAATTTCTTAGTCCGCATTGATTACTAACCAACCAAGTATTTTAAGTTAGTTCGCGTTTCAGCCTTTGTCAAATTGCTAAATGATGTTGCTGTAATACAGTGGCAGCAGCAGCAGCAGCAAGCAGCAACAACAACAGACTGCAGGGGTCCGGGCTGACGACGTTAAAGATGAGGTTGGCCCCCTTGAATCGTAATGATTAAATACAGAGATGAATAAAGCTGGACACGCGATATATTTACGTCTTGTTAATTGATCAATTGATAAATTAAGGTAATTTATTACCAAGTATCCCGTCTCAAAGCTGGCCTTCCCAAATGCGGCCCGATCTCCACTTCAGCCATAATCCCCAAATGATCTGTCACCCATGGCTGCTCAAAGCCCAGTTCGACAATCTGCTTGCATTCCTCCTCTCCCTCTGTCAAGATACTTTCCCCGAATTTCTCGAACCTGATCAACTCAGCATGGCCACAAAAATATACTTTGTCCATTCGTGAACAGCCAAACTGCTCTCGGAGCTTCGTCGACGCCTGCTGTCCCCAAGTAAACCCCTCTTCGGTATCCTCTTCCCCCCTAGCTCCAGGAACGCATCCTTGAGGTTATTGTTGTTGTCAACGTGCAGTGTGCGATCAAACGGCTGGATGGCGTTGAAGTCCCCCGCGACCAGCGCAGCATCCACATGCGCCTCGTGCATATAACGTGCCACGAGCTTCATCTGGGGTGGCCGTAAGGGAGGCTCAAATGCCATGGACTCGAGATGTGTATTGCAGAGGCGGGTCTTGATACCATTGGGACCGAGGGAGACATCCACGAAGAGGGCGTCGCGATCCATGCGCGTTTTCAAATAATGCACGCGAAAAGTGGCCGTAATAGGTAAACGAGTGTCAACGAGCGTAGTGGTACCATAGTGTGTCGTAGCCCAGTTAGTATGACTTAAGTCAGTGAGGTGGAAACGCTCTCTGACCCAGCTTGTAGCAGCGATGGTAGCTAAATCAGATGGTGTACATTCCTGAAGGTGAATCACGGGAGCAGTGGTCTTTGAGAGAGAGCTTGTTAAGCGGTCAAGATAGGTGAGAGCTGACTTCATACGGGCGACGGCGAAGGGCAGCATGAAGTCGATATTCCAGGTGTAGAGTGCGATGTTGGTAATACCGGCAGTGCCCTGATTGTTCTGGTCTGTAATTGTGGACGGGGACTTTGGCATCCATGAAGACGTTACTGTGTCAAATGCGTAGTAAGACTGAGGATGAGGCTCATCGAGATTCCAAGGCACCGAAGCCTTTCTCGAGACCGTGGTATCTTTGATGGCCTGGGCGATAATAGCTTCCATAGCTGCAAATAGTGACTGAGTATTGAGTCGGCGTGAAACGGTGGCTAGAAATAACTTAAATGATATAAAAGGAAAACCAGTAAGCCTGGGAAGAGGGGAAGAGGGGAAGAGCGAGACGAGTGGGTAAAGTACGGAGTGGGTTTGGTATGGTGGCAGCTGTGTCGTTAGATTGTTGATCTGGGGCACACGACGCACTCGGTCTTCAATCGAGAAAGCTGGTGAGATTGCACGGCACGGAGTAGTGGCTTTAGGTTGCCATGTCGTGAGAGTACGGAAGTATGACTGGTTTCGAAAATTGCTGTAAAAGGACATACATTTGCTTTAAGAGTTGACCCACTCGCTTACCGATTACGTTACGTATTGTGACGATGACTCATCGATTGTATCGTAATGTCGGAGTCTGAATTTCCTGTATCCACTAGTAAATTTACTAGATAGTGTCATGTGACAATGATTGAAAACGATGGTATTAAGGTCTAGCTATCATGTCCATATTTATAGTAGAGAAGCGGGAAAACTCTACATAGTGAGATCTGGCCACATCGGGGCACAGTTCCCTGATGGGGAATTTCCAGATGGGTAAGCGGACAGATGCGGCAGCTGGATAAATTACCTCATTATTCTGACACGTAATTCACGACCGAGTCGCCCACCGTACCGAACCGCCCGCTCTGCCCCGTCCCTACTACTATATTTGAATATCACTCGACCACCAGGAACAGCATGAAATTGATAAATATAGTAGATTAATTCGGGCAGTGTGTTCTATTATGCCCGAGTGTATTACAGTTCGAACAGCGCGGCGGCGCTCTCCGAAACGTCGTTTTTCCTATCCCTCTAGGCCCTGCGGTAGTAGTATTATTGGCACAAATATACTCCTCCTCCCACTGTGGGCGCGTACAACCCTCCGATCGATGTCACCGCTGTCTCGGGAAAATGGCTGTCGCGGAAACCCGTTATGCGACTGCGTTTGACAGGTGACACAGGACATAGACTTTTGTAGATAAGTAGAGACTCTCCCTCTGCCTCTTCTTCCTTTTCTCAACTTGGATCTCCCGTCGACCATAGCACTTGAATTGAATTCTTTGTTCGCTTTCTTTCTTGACCTGGCACCCGGTCACGGGCCTAGATGAAATCCGCCTCACCAATCTGGTAGATCTCCTGGCTACGATGTACCTGAGTCGGTGGGTTACCTTAAAGAAATGGCTCCCTTGGCCGCTAACAAAGAAGCGCTGGCAGCTGACTAGCCGGCTTAGTAGGTGCCTATTCAATACTGCGTACGGCTGCCTACCGACTTTCCTAGGCGATTCCTCCTTCAGATGGCGCTAGCGGCAATGATTACCAAGCGCCTTTGTATTACGACAAACGTCATGGCAATGTGGGCATTGGTCGCTTATGTAGACGATTAGGTGCCCGATTGGGAGGCTCTCAGTGGGTGCGAAGACGATAGGGTCCCCCTGGGTAGGTCGTAGCAAAGCTTGTCGCTCATCGCGCGGTAAGCTGCGAGCTGAAACTCCCTCGTGGCTGACGGAGGATGCATCTTGGGGCGGTTGGCTGGATGGGTAACGAGATGCGACGGTAGAGCGGCGAACCGGCATGAGAGGCAGATTCAGACGCGGTAGGTCGGGTTGTAGGTAAAGAGATCGATGGCTAGCGGCTAGTAGTAGTCGTCGAATGGTTGTTCGTTCGTTCATTCGCATGGGGCGCGCACGTAATGATGATGATCAGTATGATTGATGGTGTTTAGGGGTAGGCACGCGTCGCATGGCACACATGGCTACCGCAGGTACGGGTGGCAAACTAAACCGGAAGCCTAACCGTCATCAAATTTGGGCTTGTAGAAGTGGCCCATCGATTTCTGTATGATGTCAAATTTACTAAAAGGATTTGGCCTATAGAAGTCAAACAACAATAACAATGATCAACTATATAATCAGCAGTGCCTGTAGGCTACGTAGTGGCGTCCATGCTAATCCAATCTAAAATATCATACTACGTTGTTGATGTTGACGATATAGCTGTGCGTACGTGCCACTATATATAGTAAATATTTATCCTATACTACCAACAACGAGAAATCCTTCAACCTAGTCCGTTTCCGCTCAAACTTTGGACATAGTCTATGTGGGCCAAACTGACTAATACAGATTAATTATAATCCATTTGATCGATCCCTCATGGAGTTATCCACAAAACAAATCTTAAACGTAAATAACTCAACGAGGAACAGTCAGATTGCAATAATATTAGTATTATTCGAATTGTTTGAGTTAGGAGGATATGCCATGATTCGAGGTAGTCTTAATATAATTAATATTGGGTATGTACATCTATATGGTTGGGCCTCAAGCGTTTCGTGCAAGAGTGATTTTTTGATTATGTGGCCAATACATACAGCGGGCCAATGAGGGGGCGGCTAAATCAATTGGTGTACTCGATATTAGAAGTCAGGTCTGTGGGGCGTCCAGGGGACGGCGACATATGACCCAGCCCAGGGTGGGAGCCCACTCGGTGGGGCCTGGGCGCTTTTGGAGGGGTGGGGGCTGGTCCGAGGACGCGGGGCCAATTAGGAGGGCGAGAATCGGCACCGGAGGCGCGATGCCGTTGCTACTAATATAGGATAGGAGGCGTAATTAAGCGCGGGCAAGCGTTGCCCTAGTACAAATTCCGCGTTTCCTGTTTAGATGTCTAGCCACTGGAGATCTTCACACTGTCAAGGCATACGGAAACTCTCACAGATCAATTGAAGGCCTAGTTAATGGAACACAAGATTAATGAAATCCAGCAAGGACTATCTTGCCATGGAAATAAGATTCAATAACATGGACCAGAAGCTCATATTATGAGGCAGCATTGGACAACCCTGGATATAGTGACGAAAAAGTTCGGACGACTTTAGACCTAAGTCGGATGAATTCGGTCCAATCTGTCATCGATCGAAGTCCTCGCACCCCATTGTTGTTGACGATTATAGCAACACATTAATAAGTCGAACGAACTCGCACGAATTCGCACGAAATCATATGGACTGTTTACAAATCCACTGGTCATATAAGGATATAAAGCGTGGAGTACTCGTGCACTCGAACTCATCCATTAGCGAACCCAGTCTTCCGATCTTGACACTTCACACATCACTCGAGTGTACCCTCAAACCTCAACCAAAATGAGCCTCAATACCGAACTCGCGGGAGTGAGCGACAACTTCTACGACAATGCGCCACAGTCTATCACTGATCCCATCAAGGAATCACTTGAGAACCTGAAGGCTGCGTATGATCCGAGTTCGTATAATCTCCCCATTCTGATCTAGGTGATTATGTAGGAGAAAGTTTTGACGTGAATCTTGGGCCTAGGAACCGCCATCCAAGTTGGTGCTGCCCTCCCAGACTTCACCTTGACGGACGCCCTTGGCAAGGCCGTTTCCAGCAAGACTCTCCTCGCCAATAGGCCCATGCTCATTACCTTCTACCGTGGCGAGTGGTGCCCCTTCTGCAACCTGCAGCTCGCATCTCTCCAGAAGCACCTTGCTGAATTCGAAGCTAAGGGTGTCTCCCTCGTGGCCGTTACGCCCGAGCTACCCACTGAGACACTTTCCACGACAGAGAAGCGAGGCCTTAAGTTCACTGTGCTCTCTGATGTAGGCAACAAGTACGCACAGATGCTAGGTATTGTGTGGAAGATGCCTGAGACCTTGAGACCGGTATTTAAGATTTTGGGGAACGACCTCGTTAAGTCCAATGGTGATGATTCTTTCGAGTTGCCTATACCAGCGTCGTTGTTGGTGGATGGAAATGGTGTGGTGCGAAAGACATTTGTGGATCCGGATTTTACCAAGAGACTTGAACCCGAGACAGCGCTGGAGTGGATAGATACTCTGTAAACCAAGGTAGCCATCCTCTACTGGGAAGCAAGTGTATATGCTCAGCTAGTGGCGTGTTAGTCATTCAATTGTGTCGCCGCGTGAACATATTATTTATAGTGAGCTGCCCTTGTGTCAAGTAATCCTTTTTTTCTCGTCATACGCAGACCTGGGCGAGTATTAGATAGCCAAATATTATTTCTATACATAGACCCTCTGCCAGATCCATAATTAATCATCTGATTCATCGTAATATTTAAGTCATCCTGTGCAGACCACAGTGTTATTCCCATAGAGTTGACAAGACCGCGGATGGTAAATCCCGGATTTTAGCGGGTGGATCGAGGCGTCAAAGAATGACAACGGGTGGAAGTTTACCGAACGGCTTGAATGAAATGGCTTGCTCGCAACATTTATGTAATCCCGATTATCTGTTTTCTTTTCCAAGTTTGGGACAAAGTCGTACTATTTTGCTCCTGCTAGCACTACATCAGTGCGCCGCCCTGTTTCGTTGCGGAACTGCTGAAGCAAGCCATGCAGTTGTTCCACTGCCAAGGCCAAAGCCTCCTCGTCTCTCCCTTCCACGCACACCGACACCACCAGGTATCTGTTTCCGCCTCGATATCTCTTCGCACACAAAGCATACTTCGGATTTGCCATATCGTGCTCTCCACTGTGTAGGCATTATCTTCACTTTATGAGGGACAGTTGTAGTACGGCCATTCCAGAGCTTTTTTTGGTTGTATTTTGCTTTTCGTCACTTCAGCCAGTCGCAATATGCCAATACAACCGGCTCCGTTAGCGATGTACAGCACCTTCCTCGGACCTATGCTAGCTTTGCAACGGGTAAAAGGGGCCGCAGTTAAACGTTTGGGTCCGGTCGATTTCCGCGTTAAACAGTGCCGGGTCCGCCCAGCTGGAGCAGAGCTCCATCTCAAAATCGAGCTTGGAGGGGTTCTCGTGCGCGAACATGGTGCTAAACTCGACAGTGTTGAAGTACGTGTCTGTGAGCGTAGATAGCGAGTCGACGGGCAGCACTGGACTAAGACCAATACGAGGGCTGGTACGGCTGTTGTCGCTATCGTTCTGGTTGTCTACCGAGACTTTCTTCTTGTTGATGCGGATCCTCCCAAAGTAGGGGATGGTTACGACGTAGTCGTCGTCGGCAATGTAGGCGCCGTGACGTGCCGCGTCAACCAGATCGAGGATGCGGACGGACTGCGCGGCGACGGCACAGTCCATGATGGCGACGGTACGCCGCAGGCAGAGAGACACGTCTCGTACGAGCGCCCAGTCCTGATCTTTGGCGAGTGATGTAGCCCTCGCAGGGAATATCAGGTGCCCTATGATGAGAACCATAGCCGCGCTAAAAGCCTGAAAGTCCATTAGTTCGCATAGGGTCGCGCTGGCGCCGGGCCATGTCCTAAATTCGGAGTATGCCGTCGCCGCACCGCGGGCGGCCTCCATGGCGCGATCCCAGCTGTACAGGAACTTGGATTCGCCCACCGACTTGAGCATGCACGGCATGTGCACGAGCTTGAGGGTCGTGAAGAAGATAACCTTGCTGGCTTGCTGGTTCCAGCAGTCGGAGAGCGACATATCCGGTGCTAATGGGAGCCAGTGCTCGTCTGGAAAGAGGCGGTATGCCTCTTCCATGTCCTGGTCGATCTCGACGGTCGTCGCATAGCTAGCTGCAGCGTGGTGCGCCTGGTCGCGGTCGATGGCTTTCCCGCAGATGAGTGCCACCGAGCACATGATGCGGCTCATCAACGGGGCGGAAGGCGAGTAAGATGACGTTCCTGGGTGGTTTGCTGAGACGGACGTTGGCAGCCCAAGCATCAGGGCCATGAACCGCTCCGTCTGCCATGCCATGGACCACGCATACGCGGCGCGTATGTCCAGCGCATCCACCTTGCGGGGGACGCCTAAGCTCACGGCCGTGGTGATGGCTTGTCGACACCAGTACCACGCGGTTTGCGACCGCCCGATATTGATGGACAACTTGTACAGCATATTCATGCTCTCGATGCCATCGAGAGTCCCGCCGCGCTCCCCGTCCAGCTCCAGCAGCGACTTTGCTGTTCGTATGTATGCGTCAACCAGATCGTACTGCGAGTAAGCAAGGCTCACAATGGACAAGACGCTTCTAGACGTCTGCTGCACGCAAAGCGCGACCCACAGAGCCGATCTTGCTATTAGTCCTGGCTCCACGGAGCTGGCGGCTACTGTGAAGAGGAGCTGTCGTGCCAGTTGTCCCTTTCCGGGTCCCAGAAAGTCGGTTGCCCCGGGCTCTCCATAGTAGTATCGCGGCCATATCGGCCAGTATTTCTCTGTGTCTTCTAGTATGGCGTCAAGGTCTTGCGTCGACGGGAGCAGTGAGGCGAGACGATGTCGGTGTTGAAGCACGCCAGATACAGCTGAGACGGGTAAAGGCGGTGGTGCTGTAGATGCGGGCGCATTCTCTTTGTCCAGTAGTGAGGCGCCCTTGAATAGGAGGATCAATGGGGAGTCTTCGATGGCCGGCTCCGTTGACGACAGCTTGACTCCACCACGCTTTGCTGTCGGCACTGGCCACCCGCCCACGGTAAATGGTGTTGTCGCCGGTGAGTGCGACAGTGTCGTGGTGGAGGACAGGTCGCCGCGAGCATCTCGTTCACGCACGACAGACGCATCGTCTCCAGCAAAATCGGAGCCGGGCGACGGCGTCGCATTCGGAGGAAGCTTGCGGACAATTGCCTCGAGGTCCCGTAAGCGCCGCTTTAGAGTGTCAACCTCGTCGCTGGGTACTTCGTGGCCTCCAGCCTGCTGAGCTACGCAGTCGGCCTCGTGGGCCAGACATGCCTCGCAGGCGCTTTCGTCTGCCCGGAAGATGCAGCGGACTTTTCTTCGGCGGCACTCCGTGCAGCTTTTGGTGCCGAGCCGCATGCGCTTTGAGGACGACATTGTGTTGTGCTTAGGCAAGGGCCATGGAGCGTAGCCGCCTGTGCGTATTTTCGTTGAGGCAAGCCCAGTGGCTTTCTTGCGTGGGTATCAAACCGGCCACGCTGCCGGGATCGTTTAATAGGGAAGAGGGATAGAGAGACCGCCCGGATATTCTACGTGCGCCTGTGGGTTTGTGATCATGCGAGCCATCACAGCTGCTGCGTATGGGGCCGGAAGGAGCGGTTTGTTCGAAATCCCTCGAGTTTCGGGCGATTCGGCCGAATTCGGACGAAGGCGGCGAGGGCTTCGCCACCAGCAATGTCAGCCATCGCCATCCAAGGGCATCATCACTAATTAATCCAATGATGAAAAAGAATCTGTCATAATTAAGTAAATTGCTATAACTGCACTAAAGTGCTATTTAACTAACGCATGATATACTTCATATATTCAGCGATATTTGATAGTCTCAATGGTTCAGGGAACCTATGTAGATTTCAGGCCACGGTGAAAGAATGACTTTCGCTGCGAACGACGACAGGGATAGATGATCCATCCAAAGACATGGATCTTATGCCATGTGTTTTCTCTGTGTCTTTAACAGGCAAGAACACGTATCCTTCGGCATCGACAGGAACCGTGATGTTGTATCGAAATACACCAGATTCAAGCGTCTAGGCAGCACTTGCTAGTCCTCGAGGAGTCTGATGGCTCTCGGAGGCTGCAGTCAGACTGCCTACCAGTACTGGATAGTAGCTGGTTGACCCTCATGCCATACTAGAATTGACCTGCTGCAAACCGGAGGGCTGGCGTAGTCACACGTCACCGTAGCCAATTGGCGACCAAGGTGCCCATAGAAAGGCCCACCCCTGATAGGCCACCGACTATGCCGCGTGTCTTCGGTGGACTAATTTCGGAAATGTAGATTAGAACTTTACCGCTTAGCGCGCTGGCGACTCTGAATGTCAGTTCCGCGTTCTTAGTTGACTGGGATGGGAAAAAAGGCCGCGAACCCAATAGCGATTCCGGCCAAAATACGCCTAGTATGAAACATGCCAACATTGACGGCTGCAGTCTGGATAGCGCATCTAAGGTGACAAGGACGCAGGCTCCCTGTATGAAGTGAATACGACCAAGTTTATCGGCTATGAGAATCTGTAGAATCGCCCCGACTGCTTCGCCGGCAATGTATACTGCCACAACCTGTAATGTGTCAGGATTCTGTGCAAAGAAGAAGAAAACACTGCATACAGCACTAGTCAATCCATCCGATTGATGATTCATATAATCAATCCAACTTTAGTGGGTAATGGCTATGTACTTAGTTAGACCACGGACTTGTTCGATGAAAGAAATAAAGTACTTACTTGTCGTTGCAATTCCCGTGTCGAAGTCCTTGAAGTTCAATTAGAACGCAGACGATAATCACCACCCTAGGAGTAACGCACGTATAGGAACGTGCCTAGAGAAGCCACAAACGCGACTAACAAGGTGTATTTATTGGCAGACATGCTTGTAATTCTATCTGTATGAAAGGCTGGCCTGAAGACTTGGGATAAAGGAAAGAGGGAATGAAGAATACATTGAGTAAGGGATGACAAAGTGCACAAAGAAACTCTATTCCCTACTTCTTTGACCACTAAAATGGATGGACTGGGGGAATTCGGCTCGATGTTCTGGCTCCCCGGACTTCTATTGTGCCAGGTTGGTTTGCATCGCCGATTGTCGGTCCTATACTAGAAAATCGCGGACCATGGTCATTTTGACAACAAAATAATTGAAACTAAAACACTTACGATAGCAGTTGAGAAAAAAGAAGTATATATGCAACAGCTAGGATTCGCTGGTGGTCACCCACCCAACTACTAATTGGCCGGCGTGTGGCTAGATGGCCTACGAGCTACGACGGCCGAACGGCGATCCGGCATAGGAGGCAGATCTAAACGTGGTAGGTCGGGTTGTTGGTAAAGAGATCCATAACTAGCTTGCGGTAGTCGGTCGTTCGTCGTTCGTACATGGTAGGCATTGGGGGTGGCGCACGTTGTGGTAGTAGTTCATAGTATAATGTCTATGTGATGTGTATGAGGTGATGCTATATTAGGAGGGGGTGCGCGCGTGGTAGACAAATGGCGCGCGGCGCATGTTTACTGCTTTTACTACTACTACTACTACTACTACTACTACTACTACTACTACTACTACTACTACTACTACTACTACTACTGCTCCTACGGCCACGGGGCGCCAACGCCAGGGGCACGCACTACGGAGCGGTTGGGACTAAGGGGAGCGTGTTCCGATTCCACCGGAGTCGGATTATTTTGCTACTAAGGTATAGGCTCTAGTTTGAAGATGCCGTGGCACCATTGATCAGTTATTCTCTTGTTTGGTTTGAAATTGAAACAGCGTCATTTGATATGCACAGCCTCGTACAGTTATCGGTCCGGACATGGCTAGAGATCCACATCGAGCTGGCACAATGGCGAGAGAAGCCGCGAGCCATCATGGCACAGATGTTTCCTGATGGATAGTACGAGAGCTGGAGTGAATGCCAAAGGCTGCTTCCGCATGCGAAAGAGGTGATGAGGGCGATATCTAATGAGCACAAAGAAGATCGACTGCACGTGGCTACGATTTCCTCCAACTGCGGATGGTATTTACTGCTTTGAGGAACACTTAAAGAGGCGGAAGCGATGTAGCGATGGGCGTTGGACGCACGAGAGAAGGTGCTTAGACGCGAGCATCCCGACACGCTCACCAGTGTCAGTCACCTTGGCAATGTGCTCTATAGGCAAGGGAATATAAAGAGGCGGAAGCAATGCATCGACGGGCGTTGGAAGCACGAGAGAAGATGATTGGACCACCACACATGGAGATATAACATCTATACTTAGTGACTTTTTCTGCAGCACTGTATACCCTCTCATAGTTTGATGCGATCCCGAAGTACTTTTACTTGAGTAATGTTTCTGTCGAGATGCTAGCGTGGTGGATCCATGCATAAAAGTTTGTCAGCACTAAACTGCTTTTGTATTTTCACATTTTTGTTATTATGTGCTTATATCGCTTACTATGCATTGTGCACTATTAAAGAGATAGCCAGTGTATCCTTAGAATGTCAGACTTCTTCTATCTTGCGGTCATGATATTACTAGTTGGGTAATTTGTGGCGGATCAATTCTCCACCTGGATTCGACAGTTTCCTTAAAGCAGGCCATCTCCTACTTGCGAACATGATTGTGGGGTGGCTGTTTCGTTTAGCGGCGCTAGTGTTTCTCATACATCAAGTTACATGAACGTTCCCTCCCTGTGTATTCGCCTTATCAGTAGTTGTGTTCTATGTACCTTTCTGCTGCCAAGAATTCCACCAAAATTGGTATATTCTCAGGTAACATACTTATGATGATATAAAGAATCAATCTAGATAACTGGGTAGGTGAAATGATGCAACATTGTCTTTCCTATCCATTTCAGATGTTCTTGTGGATGATCTTGGCATCATAGTAGTAAACAGCGGATTTTTTAGTGATGCGTGTAGCCCTGTAATCCGCCACTTTAACATTTCGTAATCTGTGTTTGAAAAAGAGCTATTGAATAAGAAGTTAAATAATTCTTGTTTCTGCTGCTCTCAGGCAATATTCGATATGTGGATTGGGAGTGACGGTGCTCGAATGTGCAGGTACCTAGTGAGAGTTTCCATCACACAGGGCATTTCATGTTACCGGGATAGGGGTTACAGTGGCACCGCAAAAGTCTGTGACTCCCCAAAGTATCGCGCTAATATTCTGCCGACAATAATCGCCCGCACCACTCAAAATCTACTATTTATGGGCGGTATGTCCCGTATAAGGAGGCGGTAAAGGAAGGTACTTTGGGGTCACAGACTTTTGCAGTGCCACTGTAAGTACCCACTTTTTGGCGAGGCCTAGGTGGTTCTAACGGAAATTACATTAGATGTTAATCTATTAACGTAATCAACCACCGAGTGACGAATACCACCGAGTGACGAATTTCGTCGCGCGTACCGTTAAATTTCAAGCTTTTCAACCACAAATGTATTAAATCAGACCATATAAAAAGATAAAACAATAGCTATTTACTAGGACAATTTCTTATAGTATGACCAGTAGTCCCGCATCCACTACAGCGTCGTGGAGCTCGCTGGCGAGGCCTTGGCGTCGTCTCAGCGGCCGGCTCATTAAGCTGTGTATCAAGCTGTTGCACTCGATTCTGACCTTCCTGTACAAATAAAACAAGATCATCACCAAGATTACCACGCTTCCTTGCCCTCTTTTGCATTTTCCGCTTATTCTCACCTTGTAGAACCTTGATTTCTTGTCGAAGAATAAGGTTCATATTCATTGCCATCTGTGCAGCTTTTTCAAGATGTTGAATATGAGATACTGGACTACTAGAAAGCATTCGTTTTCGAAGGCTTCTCTGTAGACTGCGTACCTTGTGATCGAGTTGGCGAGGATTCTGAGGTGTTTGAAAAGCAGAGGAGACTGAGCCTTCAACTTCAACAAGAGGTGGTGTTGGTGTCCGAAGTTGAAAAGTTACCTTTTCAAGAACCCGATCTTGATCTAGCGGGTTAAGTCCTGCACCTGCAAAACCACTGCGTATATTCTCCCTAGTAAACACCTTTTCGCGAGCAGGTGGATAGAGAGACAAGAAATCCTCCTTGTCGATATGGTTGTTGCCGGCAACCATCATCTCTTCTACTAGTTTTCCATATGCGCGCTTTAGCGGACCAAAAACACCAACATCAAGTGGTTGTAAAAGATGAGAGGTATGAGGAGGCATGCAAAGACAGATAATAGCATTCTCTTCACAGAATGCATCAAAATCTGCAGTTAGATGACTACTATGACCATCAAGAATAAGCAACCGCTTTGCACCAGTTGAATAGGTTTTAGAATGTGGTTCAAACATCTCTTTTAGCCAGCGGAGGCCAATTTCATCTGTTGTCCAGCCATTCTGACTTCTTGCGATAGCATAGCCCTTATTGAAGAGAGCAGGTTCTTGATACCAAGCAGCGTGTTGAGATCCTGCTTTCAAGATGATCCATGGGGGTATAGATATCCCCTTTGAGCTCACACATTCAATAATTGTGACCCATTCGCGATTCCCCTGAATAACCCTACGGGGCCTTTCACTGCGATCGACTGCAGTAATAACCTTAGAGGTTGAACAAAGTCCCATTGCGAAGCCAGTTTCATCAAAGTTCCAGATATCGTCCTCGTGGATACCATGTTCTTGAATAGCCTCGCGTACGGTCGCAAACCATTGTTTAATAATCTTTGGATCCTCTTGCTTTGCACGCTGGTACGTGATCCGCCGATTGTATCGTGTGCGCAGTGCTGGATGCCGTTTGATAAACTTATATGCCCAGTTGACACCAAGGGTCGTAGTAGGATCTCCTGTGCGCTCGCGAAGCAGGATCTGCGCCATTCCCCGTAGAAACTCTGGCCGAATTGAAAATCCTCGCTTATCTGCATCTAGCAGCCTCTTCGCAAGGACTTCTTCTTCAAGAGGGTTTAATTTATGACTGTTGGCGCGTGTTTCTGCGCGTGATTTCCTACCGTTGAGTCGACGGCGAAGCGTAGCTTCAGGCACACTAAATATCTCAGCAGCCTTTAATTTTGATTTGATTTTTTTATTTTTGAATGCAGAAATAGCCATCTGAATGCGATTTTCTTGAGATAGAGGCATTTTGTATAGTGGTGGTGAAAAATAACGCGTCAAGGAAATGATTGTAGGAGATGGACGCGAAATTCGTCACTCGGTGGTATTCGTCACTCGGTGGTTGATTACGTTAGCCAATCATAATCTAGGAAACTCAATGTAATGACTTCAATAGGCCCAACAAAACAGGATATTTGATAATTCTTGGTATATAAACCTAGCTACCTAGATCCTTTAAAGGTTGCTCTCATTTGTTACATACCAATGCAGTTCCTTATCACGAACATGTGACTTTTTCATGTATGGAACAATCTAACGAAATTGGCTTAATTCCTCCTCCACCAGGCGTAACACCAAACTTCGACAATCCTCCATCGACAGGATGGAAGGTTATTGTTGTTGCAATGATTACATGGGGATTGGCCTCAGTTTCCGTTATGTTGCGAGCTTTTGTCAAGCTGAAAATCACCTGCATATGGAAACTTGAAGACTGTATGTTATTTTCAACTCTATTCTCAACTACCAATTACTAACTTTTCGATCCAGGGTTCCTTATTGTTGGATGGGTAAGATATGAGTCGACTATCAATATATCCATTTCGACAGTATATTGACGTCTACTAGCTCTTTGCAACAGGTCTAACCTTCCTGTCTTATCCGTGTAAATCTCTGGATCTGAGATGCGACGATATCAACGCAGCTGATTCTTGGTGACCAGATGTTTACCATAGTGGTCTTGGTCGGTATGCCTGGGATGTGGCCTTTTCAAATTTTAATCCTAGCTTTCTTCAGGTGAGCTTCTCAATTTTAATAGAGCGCTAATCAAGAGAATGAAGTTGATAGCTAATTGAATTGACTAATATAGTCAGCTCTTGCCTATGCAGTCCTTTATTTCATGTCGTTATGTTTTATTAAGTTGTCTATCTGCATTCTCTTTATCCGACTCTCACGCTTCAAAGAACTTCATTTCGCTATCTATTCATTAATGTTCTTTATCACTGCATATTCCCTGGTTTCAGTTATCCTGATTATCTTTCGCTGCCATCCTCTTCGCAAAGCATGGGACATTACAGTTACCTATGGCTCTTGTATTTCAATTCAAATTATTGCTATTGTTGATGGTTATTTTAATATCGTTACAGACTTTTCACTGCTTTCTTTGCCAATTTTTATTTTGTGGGGACTGCTGATTCCTATGCGACAGAAGGTTTTAATTGCTTTTATCCTCATGACAAGTTCCTTGTGAGTATAACATCTTCCTGGACTTAACTAAGAATCCTTTAATACTAATTTCTCCTGAGTGTCTGCATTATCAGTATCTTACGTCAGGTAGAGACTTACAGAAGTCTCGGCCTAACTGACCCTACAAGGACCTTTGTGCGAGCCGCTATTTACGGGTGAGAAAGATGCGATTCTTCTAGGTTTCTGTCTTTGTTTCTTCTGTTTTTTTATCTTCGTTGCTAATGAAAGCTTTCTTGCTTTATAGACTTGTTGAAGCAAACGTCGGAACTCTCTGTGTGTGTTTACCATATATGAAGTCCCTGCTAAGCAGGTTCTTCCCCAGACTCTTGGGTGAAGAGGAGGAGCCTAGTGGAGCAGGTCCACTCGCCAGGCCATCGCTAAGTACAGGAGCTGAGATGGAAGAGGCTGAATCTGTTTAGGAGTTATTTGTCAGCCGTTTATCAAGAATCCCCATCCGATGAGCGCCTAGTGGGACGCCTAGTGGAATGGAATGCTTTTGGAAGAAGCCACACATAATTACTAGGTTCGCTCTACTTGCACATCCTCTCCATACAAATCTGTTCTAGCGTAGAATTTAGTCATATTTTTGCCTGTGTACTCTCTGGTCGTCCCATACGGTGGAAAACCTAGTCTTGTGACCATGTGGCTGTGAGGGCTCATGTGTATATAAGGGTCGCTTTGCTTAGACCTCTCCCCTTCTTCCAAATTTGTACTAGCGTAGAATATAGTATACTTTTTATCATAAAGATGAGGGTTTGTTAATTTCTGAGGTAGATTTAAGAGAATCAAGTTTTGTCACTAGAAGTTCGAAGTAGGTGAAAGTTACTAGCGACATGGGAAAACGTCATCTTGGCCTATACTTCTAGGAACATCAATAGGCAGTAGAGCGGTTAGTATCGGAGAGCAGGAGAAGGACCGGAGGCACGATAAGAACGGAAGGGGTTAAGCAATGGGGTGGCGCTTAGGTTGTAGCAGCTCAGGTCCCGCTTAGAGATCGTTCAGAGCTCGCTTAGGGCCAGCTCAGAGTGCATAGTGAGCGGCTTGCCCCGTGATCCTAGAGCTAATCGCTACCCGAGGCGGCAGGTTTACTATCACCATTAACTTATAGTACGTCTCGAAACTAGTGCCACCACCTACACTCTTCGATTGATTCACCGGCCCCACCGTCAAGGCACGCCAGTCTATATTCGATCAGGAAGTCATCGAAGCTGTCCTTCGGCTTCATCTTTAGCTATGTATATTCAATTCGGGCCTTCGCACGGCGGTTTGGGTCCGAGAAAATCTCCTATAAGTCATCGAGGAGGTCGGTCTCATCATCGTACGAAAGCGGGACGTCCTTACGTAGGCGAGGGCCAATATGCTTCAAGGCCTTGCCTTCGCATCGGCTAGCCACATAGTTGATCCGGAGGGTAGACGTCGGGTAGTGAAATATCGGCGAATAGTCGATATATCGGGCGATAATTATCATCATGGATTTTAGTCTCCTGATAATATTCCCGATATCGTATCAGGAACAGCTCTACCAGGCTGAGCGAACCGTCCGGTGGCATTGACAATAGAGAGTAGAACTTCTACGAGTTGGCCCTTTCATTCTTCATTTCCTCTGACGTTATTCTATTCTCTGGTTGGTTCTTCATTCATCCATTCAGAGTATTGTTCCAGATCGACCGCACCGTTACATCGCGCACCCACGCACCCGTCCCTGTGAAGTCGTTCCATACTGTGAACTCCACTGTGCGGCTCTCGTCTTTGTCCAGCCAAAAACCGTTCTGGTCAAAATAACCCCTGACCGTCGAAGGGTAATCTAGCCACACCCATGCTGCCACTGCCTTGGTTGCGGTCACCTTGAACTGGACGCCATGACCGTGTCCAGCGGACCCCGTCTCCACCGTCAGTGTCAGACCAGGATCGTGGATGGTACTTGCGTTCAGGCTCTCTAGGTGGAAGTAGCTTGAGTGAATCTGATCTCCAGCCTTGACAGAGAGCGACAACAGGGCATTTGATGCCGGTGTGCTGTTAGAGAAGAGGCCGGAGACATCGGGATATGTGGCTACGCGAGTGGCATTGATGGGCATAACATCAAAAGGCAACCTGAGAGAGCCACCGTACCCTGAGTCAACACCAGCGGGCGGGTCGAGGTTCAGAGTTTTGCCCCTCCAGTCCATCCATTTGAGAGTCACTTCTCCGGAAGCCTTATCCCACAAGTCTGAGACGACCCAGACGTCCAGGGTGTCAGTATCCACGTCATAGAACGGACGAACAATGACCGGACTGAAGATGTCCTTGGCTGCATAATAGACCACCTTCTGGCGCAGGCTGTGCTCGATGCTCGCCCAGGTTGACCCAACCCAAACGTCATTGAGTTGCCAGTAGAGGGAACCAAGTTGTCGGTTTGGCAGCCCCGATCCGCGCCGGTAGAATGCCATCTGAGAAGCGTAATAATCAGCCTGGAAGACCTGCGTCGTATATATCCAGGCAGTGAAGTTGGCCACCTGGTCCTTCATATTTGGCAGTGGATACCAGTACTTGACAGCGTCCGTTATCTGTTCGATACCTGCCGCTGACTGTTCCATGAACGTGTCGCCAGACCCCAGATGGCGATTGTGGTGACGGACGTAAGTTGAGTCCAGGGAAAATGCACTCTCAGGGATCGTGTCTCTCCATGACTCCACCGAAGGCATTGATGGAAACCCGAACTCATCGGCGAAGCGGCCCACCGGATAGGAGCTATAGTTGAAGGCCTGAGACCCATCGTAGTTGTAGAAGTCGGTGTCGTAGTATAGTGCGTCCGGTCCTGACGTATTAAGGTACCGCGAGACCTGAGGGCGGGTAGAGTTAAAATCGAGTGACAGGTAGCCATGGTAGGTGGATGAAGGGATATAGCTGATGGAGTGCGTGTTGGCATACACACACTTGATAATAACCTCCTGGAAGATTTTCTCATAATCTGCCAAAATAGGGTTGGTTGCGTCCAAGTAGTATAGCACAATGTAATACTCAAGCTCATTGCCACCTGCCCATAGGGCCAGACTGGGGTGATGGTTGACCCGGCGGGAGTTATAATAGACTTCGGCTTCGTATTCCGCCAAAAAATCTGGCAGGGTAGGAAAGTATGCCACAGAAAACTGGAACTCTGACCAGAGTAAGAGACCCATCTCGTCAGCCATGTCGTAGGCCCAATCTGGGAGATAGGCCCCTGAAGACCATACACGGAGCGTATTCTGGCGCCCAGCGACGGCTAACTCAAGGAGTTGCCTGACTTTCGTTTCGTTGACGCGAGCCCAGAAGACATCCGGGGGGATGAAGTTGGAGCCCTTGGCATATATCTCGTGACCGTTGATCTGGAAGTTCCAGTTGGCCCCCGGGCCGACGCCAGCAGCTGTCTGCTCCTCACTGATGGGCTCTAGGTTGAGCACAATTGTCCGGAATCCAACCCGTTTGGTGACAACGGCGGGCTTGTCGAACTCAGGGCTAGTCACAGAAACGGTCGCCATATAGAGGCTCTGAGCACCATAGCCGGATGGCCACCAAAGGTCCACGTCTTCGTTGATGATGGTATGTCCGGTAATAGTCTCGCTAGACTGGTAGACGTCGCTAAGCTTAGTCTCCTTTACCGTCTTTCCGGTGCTGTCAACTAGTTTCAGGTGCATCTCTGCGCCGTGTGGCAACGTGCCGAAGAAATCAATGCTGGCATTGAATACAAACGGCTTCGACTGATCCGGAGGCAAGTTTGGCATCTGACCCTGGCGGAAGATGTCGATTGCGGTGTTCGTAATAAACACCGGGTCTTTTCTAGCTCTCTGAACGACATACGCTGGACGCCACGGACCAGCGGGAGCAAACTGCGGGCTCCAGTCCCAACCTAGGTCATTTTCTTCCTTTCTCATGTAGACACGACCTTGAAATTCTTGACCATCGTAGCCGTTTGCTTGATTGACGTAGGCTGCATAGAAACCGTCAGAAGCGCATCAATGGCATAGTCATGGCAGCAAGGCTTACCAGGTCCCCTTGTCGCTGCAATTTCGAGGACGATCGCTGGAGCGGAGCCAAAATTCAGGCTGAGAACTGGGTCGCCAGAGCATTTCGGCAGAATGTCCGTGACCTCAAACGTGTACTTGCGGAACTGATTTGCGACGTTGGCGACGGTATGGTTGCAGAGCTTGATTTCACAGAAGGTATCTAATCCTTCGAAGACAAGCCACGACTCGAGTCCATGGCCTTGTTCTCTGCTCTTAATTAGGCTTGGGCTCTCACGGGGCGTTCATCTTGGTGAAAGGCAGCTTACAAGCCTGAGATTGGCTTAGAGGTGTACGTCCAATTTGACCTCTCCACCCAGTATTGGTTCCACTCATTGAATCCGTACAGCGGGTCGCCGATAATGCCCGCATCAAAGAGGTCAAGATGCGCCTGCGACGGCAGGTTACCAGGTATGGTTACATTGACACCATTGCTGAGAGTCCACTGGACATCACTGAGGTTGGTGATGTGCTGTGCCCCGGCCAAGCCGGCCAGGACAAGACTTGGGAGGAGGCGATACATAATCACACTTTCATACAATGGCCGCACTTGATTCTCTAATCGACGAAGGCATACCTCGAGTTGAAGAGTTTCCCTGCCCATAGGCCCTTATATGCACCATAACACGCCAAGAAGTAAGCGGGGGACTGGCTGCCCGATTACAAACATCAGGCTATACTGTTGAAGCTGGCTTAACGGCCCTCGCTGCGGCGCATTGCATTTTTTGATGATGACAGAGATGGTGTAGAAGCAGCATAGACGCTCTGAATTGCCTGATCAGGCTGGTGGGGCCGGTCCGTGTAAGAGCGCCAAGACCAGAACTTTTTATCCCCGACCCTAAGATACTGGAGTCCGCTGTTGATACCAGATCTGTCCTGGCCAGTTTCCTATCCATCCTACCGTAGTACAAGGCGTTTCTAAGGAAAGCTTTCGGTATAATCCTGACGATCACTGCCCAAATGGTAATGCCAGGGGTCCATTGAGCTTCGAGCACGCATGTCCGATTCAAAATAACGCCGACCCCAGACTTAGCCCCAGAGTAGGACCGTCTACCCCTCACGAAATGGAGGAGAGTAGCACAAAACAGGGTATAAGTTGCATTTACCCCATGCCGCTCGAGCAGTCAAACTTGCTCTGCAAAGTGAAGAGCAATGTGACCCCGCTGCCATCCTTAAGCGATCCCATGCTGCGTTCTCCATGCTTCCAGTGCACGAATCTTGTCATCTGATAGGCTGCCCAGCTTCTGGAAGCTTCGCAAGACCACCCCAGTGTAGAGCTCTCTCTTATCATGATGTACTCATCCCAAGCCTTCAGATTGAGGAAATCGCCTAGAGACCGCCCACCTGAGTTAAAATTGCCCAGCAATGGTGAGGATGAAGGATACCTTACAACAATACCGCGATGGTTTTTCTCGAGCACCCGATCCAGTGTCTCATAATGCTCGCCAAGATACCACTTGGCTTTCGATTTTCCCAGCTCGCTGCCTTTGACCACCACGCACGTGTTTTCCATCCCAAGAGCAAGCTGGTCTATGTCACCCTCCTGGCGGCACTGGTGGACGAGAACTTTGATAGCTTGTGTCGCTTTACAGTGGAACTTTCCATTACACCACTCAGCGTAGTAGTCTGGGTTTTGGCCGAAACTGACGTAGTGGACGGATCTTCTGCCTGGAGATCCTCTGAGCTTCTCGTGGAGTGATGGATAAGCGGGGCGGCTTGCGCACGCAGTTACGCCCACCCCGGACACACCGTCCACAGCGAGGAAGCCGTCTATCGCCTAGGACAGAAGATATCAGCCAGAGTGTTGCTTGGCGAGCACAGCAAGCACACAAAGGTGCTACAAGCCTACATTTTTATTGCAGCGCCGACATGCCGTGCTGTTTTCGAGTGAGAGAGTCAGACGCACATGTTCCATGCTGCTGGGCCAGGGGACTCACCAACTCACCGTCGGCGAATGGGAAAATGCCGCATATTGGTCGTTATCTGTTACGCAAATCCTGGGGTCAAAGACAAATCAAAAAGCCCAGCGAAGTGCCGATGCCGTAAAAGCTGTGCGATAATGCGTCGAGAGCGGCTCCGATGGAGCGAGCTTCCAGATACTGAAGCCCCTGATGTGACTGTCACGAGCTGGAGGCGGCTGAGCGCTTCGTCTACCACAGTCGGGGCGAGCTGCCTTTTTTAAACAAGTTTCTTCCGGTTCGCCACAAACCGGCGGCTTCTGTCAGATTCCGTCACTTGAAATTCTCCGCGTGCTCTTCCCCGCGCGCATCGCGCTATGAGTTGTGGGGCTGTGTGGAGCAGGGTGGGTGAAGCGGGCTGAGCATCTGCCAGCATGGAATTGTACTATTTGCCCAGACTACGAAGTAACTCCGTAGAAGGCCTCTGGTATCCATACACCGCTGTCCAATACTAAGCATCGGTCGCTTGGATAGAATGTGAAAATATATTTCCCCGACATTGGGATCGGCGGGGCTGAAATTTGTTGTCTGAGGAGGTCCAAAGTCTCGACCACCGGAACTGCCGACGCCCCAGCTCTGCATAGAGACGTCTGCTGTCAGGACTCCGCGTAGAGCGCTATCAAATATTTTAGTTCGCAGTTAGACAGTATTAGACAACGTCGAGTCAGTTATTGAAAAATTCAGCAACCGAAATGGAGAAACTGCGGGTATGCGAACGCGACTTTGTGATGCACGCCGTTTATTTAGCGCAATACGCAGAGACAGTTTTGGTATCCACTGACTGGCGCAGTTCTTGTTCCGAGACTCTTACCAGATGTATGCACACAGTCTCTATAAGTTCGCCTGAAGAACTCGCCATTGTAGTAGACCGCTCTTGATACATGACTTGGAAATGGGAGCTACACAACTTGAATTAATTTGCACACCTGCGAAATTAATCGGGCATCCATCCACCTCTCAGGTCATGAGGTAAGCTAACAAAGTAAAGGATGTAAATCGTAGCCAAGGTCGCACGAACCTACCTAACTCGTACATGTGCTAAAATAGCGTTCTGGCATGTTCCGCAAACCTGGGGTCGAATCCCCAGAATGGGAACTCGATCCGAGCTCGACGCAGCATATTCTCCAGGGTCTTGCGTAAATGCGCGTTGAACTGCCATGTTTCACAGAGAGTAGCCCCATCTCCGTTTCGATCTGCGGTATGCCTGTTCGGGCAAAGCCTTGGCAAATGCCCAGTTGGAATATAAGCCGTCGTATATTTCGTTCGAAGCTAGCGGAATCATTTGCTCGAAGAGGAAAATATCACCTCACAGGAGCGGAACTACCCAGGACTCAGCACTCAAGACGATACTGCCGGAGCATGCAGTGCAACTACATAAGAGAGCAAGGTTTCCGGCCTAAGGTGTGGTCCGTGGCGGACATCAAACCTGTCAGGGCCCCCAAACAGTACAACAAGATAACACAACATGTGGCACGGCTTGCTGCTGCCTGCTCTTGCGGGGCTCACTCTTGCTGGTGTTCCTGACCAAGACCCCAATGACACCAACTTGGACGGATGCTATCCCGTGGCGCCCAGCAACGGCGGCGGTGAGCTGAAGGTTCTCAGGACCGCACAGACTCCTAATGGCTTCCACCGTGCTGCACGAGGCTGGAACAGCTGGGGCATTGAGGCCAATCCGGCAACGACGCCTAGCTATAAGGGATTCAACCAGGAGTTCACGATGTCACAGTGCAGCGTTCTGGCTGAACGCCCATTCGTCGAGGCCGGATACAACTTATGCAGCCTAGATGCCGGCTGGAGCGTCGCTGACACGGACGATTTTGGCCGTATCACCTACAACCACAGTGCATTTGACCTCCCGAAGCTTGGCCGCTTCCTGCACAGCAAAGGGCTGCAAATGGGCATCTACGTTATCCCTGGCGCGCCATGCACCTCTATCAATAAGACGGTCATGGGAACAAATCTTACCTTGGGCGACATTATGAACGAGAACAACGACGGAGTGCCGCCAAACCCGTATTGCGATTTCGATTATTCAAACCCGGCCACGCAAATATGGCATGACTCTTTGTTGGACCTATGGGCTTCCTGGGGTGTAGATATGATCAAGTTGGATTTTATAACACCCGGATCTATCCAGAACGGTGCCACTTTGCCCGCGAACAATAGCGGTGCCGCTGTGGCATTCCATCGGGCCATCCAGAACAGTGGCCGCAAGATACGTCTGGACCTGTCTTGGAAGCTCTGTCGAAACGACACATACTATGATATCTGGAGGTCAACCGCAGAGACACTACGAACAGACCAGGACATCAACTTTTCCGGCACCGACACGCTGCTCCAGTGGTGGCCGGTGCAACGCGAAATTGAGAACTATCGGCAGTATATCTCGTTACAAGTTGACAAGGATCAACCGCTGACAATGTACCCGGACATGGATAACTTGTACATTGGCAACGATCCTCAGATCTCCGGAGTCTCGAATGAGCAGCGTATTACCGTCATGAGCCACTGGATTGGCGCGGCCGCTAACCTCATTACGGGTGCCGACATGACAAACCTGGATGATCTGGGACGTAAGCTTTTCACATCTCGCGAGTCGATCGAGGCATCCGATTTCTGTAGTCGCCACCCGATGCAGCCCCGAAATCCGGGAACTGGGGATAACCTGGCCAAACAGCTCCAGGGCTGGATTGCAGGCCCAGATGAGTTTGGGCGTGCGTATGCGCTGCTAACCAACCTTGGACCGAACCTTGCAGGTGCTGCTGGATACAACAGTATGCTGAACGGAACACAAAAGGTTTCGCTTTCGTTGAAGGACTTGGGATTAAAAGGGGCATGTTACAGGGCATCTGACGTTTGGTTTGGGCACCAGAGAACCGTGGTGCGCGGCTACGGTCTTGCGGCAGATCTAGACGAAGGAGAGAGCCAGTTTCTGAGGTTGGATCCGTGTTTTCCGTGGCTGTCATCGTGAGTGGGTGCAGCACAATGGCAGATGTCCAAGATCCCTGATCTTTTGGATGCTGTTTGTGTCAAGATTGTACACTCTTGTAGAAAACATATTTGCAGCCGATGACTATTTGGATTCGAGTTGCTCAAGGCATGGAGTAGGTGCGTGCTCATCATCAGGCGACATATTCGATAATTGTGTAGCCTCTCCACGGCGTGGGGATCCTATTCTCTTGTTTGTCTGATCCATAATGCCTCAAAGGACCCTCGAGGCGAAGTCCCGCGGGAACGGTCGGGCGACCGCAACAAAAAACGTCGGTGCGCCAGGGGGGGGGCCTCGGGGTTCTGCCGGGATCGCCTGGACCGGCAGGCGGTCGGCGGAATCGGTCGGTGATTGGCCCCCGATCGATCTATCCCCTTCACCGTCCGCGCCAGCACAATTAGCGTGGTTTCAATTAGTGTATTTTTCTAACCAATTAGACATAATACTAAAATTTATGAGCTCTCATTAGCTAGAAGGGCTCCACTACTTTGCTTAGTTATCAACGCGTAGTATTCTAACTACGCGTAGTTAATTAGTTTCTCTTTGAAACTACTCCCTACTCTCACTTTACTCTCACCTTTAGTTCTACAATCCTTAAATTCAGTATGGCAAAAGGTATTTACCTTATATTATTAGGCTTAGGGGCTAGTATTATACTAATTCTAGAGATTTATTAGGCACTAAGCGGAAGCTTAATGAAATTATTGCTGAACTACCCTCCCAAGAGGCGCTTAATGCTCGACTTCAACCTCTATATCCTAGCTTTGAGGCCCCACGACTACAGCTCCCAAGTAGTCTGAATATTGATAGCCCATATGCGCTATTCTCTCTCTTTATAAGCGAAGAAATGTTCGAATATATTGCCCAATCTACCAACGAATATGCGCAGCAAAAACAATCTGAACATCAATCGCCTACCTGCCGCGCATGGAAGGATACCACCCCTTTAGAAATCAAGGCTAGTCTATTAATACCTAGTCTGGTCTATCAATATCTAGTCTATTAATACTAATAGAATATAGGTCTTTTTTGGGATCCTTATCTATATGGGCATTCATCAATCCCCGACGTTTGATGACTATTGGAGCCAAGATGAGGATAATGGACCTCTACACCTTCCTAGACGCTATATGGCTCAGAAGCGATTTGAACAGATTAAACGCTTCTTACATATATCTAGGCTAGGTACAGAGGATGACCAAAAGGCGACTAAGCAATGGTGGTATAAAGTAGAGCCTCTAGCTTCTGAATTTGAAAGAGCAGCTCGAAATTACTACTATCCAGGTTCAAATATTTCTATTGATGAGACTATGATTCGTTGCTTTAATCGTACGAAGCATACAATCAAAATGCCTAATAAGCCTATTCCCCAGGGATACAAAATCTTTGCACTGGCAGAGCATGGCTATATTTGGACATTTACCTGGACTAGTCGCCTCTGGGGTATTATGGAGATGTTTCGATTCCCTGGCCTTAGCCCTACAGCGTCTATGGTATTGAATATGATTACAAAGCTGCCTAGACTTAGGGATTCAGCTATCGATTCAGCCATCAATTCAGCTATCGATTCAGCTATTAATTCAGCCATCAATTCAACTATCGATTCGGCTGATTCGGCCATCAATTCAACTATCGATTTAGCTAATTCAGCCATCGATTCAGCCATCAATTCAGCCATCGATCCAGCCATTGATCCAGCCATTGATCCAGCCATTGATCCAGCCATTGATCCAGCCATTGATCCAGCCATTGATCCAGCCATTGATCCAGCCGTTGATCCAGCTATTAATTCAGCTATCAATTCAGCCATCGATTCAGTCATCAATTCATCTATCGATTCAGTCCCCTATGTTGTCTATATGGACAACTATTTTAATTCAGTTGCCCTTTTTAAAGAACTCCGCGCTCTCAATTGTGGGGCTTGTGGTACAGCTCGCCCAAGGAGTGGGATACCAAATCAACTTATTGAGCTAAAAGAGCATTTCAAATCTATCCCATGGGGTACATTATTTGCTTCTGAAGCTCAGGGCATCCTCTGTCTCGCTTGGCAGGATAATAATATAGTATTACTACTATCAACTATCCATTCGCCAGATGCCTTTATTTCTACAAAGCGAAAGAGGCCCGCAATCACGTCTACAAATGCCACTATTGCACGTGCCCCTTTTGGGGACGAAGTTGAGAAGGATTTAGCAATTCCTACTGCCATTAATGACTACAATCATTATATGGGTGGGGTAGATATTGCAAATCAATATAGGGCTTCCTATGAGACTCATCGTAGGGCTGTCCGCAATTGGTTTCCACTTCTTTACTTCTTCCTAGACGCTGCCATCGTTAATGCTTTTAGAATTCAATCAATTCATAAGCAACAACGTCAGGAATCTAGGCCCAATCAGCTAGATTTTCGAAAGAAGCTATATCAAGAGCTCTTTAGCTTTGCAATTACAAATGAAGTGCCAAAGCTAAAGCCCTCTATAGGGCCTAATCACTATCGATTTCAGCTAGTTGGGCAGCGAGCTTGTGTACAGTGTGTCTACAAGAGAAAGGTTAGTGGGATGAAGGGTGGACAAGCCACACGATCAAGATCTGGGTGTTTACAGTGCAATGTAGCCCTATGTGTGAAAGGGCAATGTTGGGATTTTCATAGTTCAAATTGAAGAATAGTTACACTAGTAATCCTACTTACTGAAATCTGACGTGACTATCCAATGAGAGCGCGACATTAGTACACTAGCAGTATACGCTAAATTTTGACGCTAATTGTGCTGGCGCGGACGGTGAAGGGGATAGAGCTTAAATCAATAGAAAGCAGAATTTCTTTTTTTAATATACTTACCATATGTTACGTATCATATAAATAAGTCTTTTATATGACCTAAACATTTTTATTAAAGTATTGTATAATACTAGCGGCATATCCACAAATTACAAAAAGCATCCTCTAGATCGAAATATAAAAAAAAACACTCCTCCTACTTAAGCAGCTAAGGGCTTAAATACATCCTCCTCTATATCGCCCTCATCCTTATTATTTTCCTCCTCCTCCTCCGCCTCCTCCTCCTTATCCCCTCTATCGAAGTAGTCTTTATTATCATCCTCATCGATATCACTATCTATATTATTCTACTACGCGGCTAGGCTTAGGAACGGCATAGGGTTAGGGGGAGGGTCGCGGCCACGCTATATATTATAAGCAAATTTTTCTTATAGTCAAAGTATAAACTTATACGATGGCTACGATTTCTAGAGCTTAGGGTCAGTAGCTATGACCAGGCGTCTACTAAGGAGAAATCCAGTAGACGTTAGGAAGTCATATTAGGTATAGTAGTCGACGGGACATCGAAGATAGGGAAGGGAAAGAAGAGGGAGAAACAAAGAGAACTATCTACAGAAATAGAAATCATATCACGTGCTCAAGGTACAGCCTCAGGCTGGACACAGAATAGATGTAATTTGGTATATTATTGTATATAAAAGTAACGAGGGTGCATTATTAGTCAGGAAATTTCATAAATCAGCACTAATTTCGGGCCACGTTCAGCTCCCATACTTGAGCGTGGCCCGAAACTCGCACGGATGACTAAGACAAAATTTCGGACCACGCGCACTAAATTTCGGGCCACGCTCAACTGGAACCCGGGGGTGTCCTTAGCAATTCCCTTGCAATTATTGGTCCTTATGTAATCACGAAACGAAGGCAATCTTAGTATGCTAGCAGGCAACTGTGCCGCATCGTGCCATTGAGGAATTGTTGCATCTAGCCCCCAACCTAGCAACGTCGATCGCTACGATCATCTAGCTCAAGCGACATCTTGTGACTTGCATTAACTAATCATGGCCGCCACCTTCATTCGCGACCCCTGGTCTGGCTCTTCTGTGACGTAAGCCTTGCTTCAAATCCGAACTGTGCCCATGACGACATTTGTAGCTCTTTGTCAGATATGCCCTTAATGCCCTACAATTTCTCTATATCTGTGTTTAGATCATTTGGTTTGATTTCCTCTCCTAAAAGGCTATATGGCCATCGTCTCGCTGCCTACATCGCATGCTCAAATGGGCATTCTAAGATCCAAAAGGCAAAGGTGATCTCCCGCGGTTACTGCACAGCGCATGGCTTACATAGAGGATCATCATGGCTAGTACTACAACTCTACCCATATGACGATCTCCTACTAGAAGCGGGTAGATCCATGGAATTGTTGAAATTAATCGGTAGATCCCGTTGAGCACGGTCGTCTACCCGCTTGGCGCCCTTAACCGTTTCGGGGTGATCTGCTTGCAACTAGCCGCTCTGAGTTCGCTATCATTTTCAGAATTTTGGTATTATTATTGAATTTTACTGTATAACTAGTGTATTTCCTAGGTGTCTGTGCTTGTACATGCATTACCCACTAGCTGGCATAGTGTATAGAATCTGCCACAGATGTAGCAGCTGAGATGGTTGTACAAAACAACACCCACGAGATCTTGCATTTGTGCCTGTGTATTTTCGAAGCTGATATAGCTGTGTGCTGGCCCGCATGAATTTTGCAGGGATGAGGCTCTTAAAGTACAATGAGAAAATTGAAGCCCACGGTAGTCAATAGAGGATCAAAACCGCAGGAAAGTTGTATCAATCGAGAGATCCTAGGTGATCTCTTATTCCTGGTGCAGAATGTGACCAGGTGCAAGGTCAAGAAAGAAGGCGAACAAAGAATTCAATTTGAGTGCTATGGTCGACGGGAGATCCAAGTTGAGAAAAGGAAGAAGAGACAGAGGAAGACTCTCTACTTATTTACAACGGTATCCAAACGCAGGCTTCAAACGCGGTGCTATCAAACCCAGTGCTGTCATGCCTGGTCACACAGAATAGATAATTTGACTAGAAGGGACAAGTTGAACTAATATTATCTTATAGGCTATCAGATTCTAATAACTAGAATGTACGTAAATAGACATCTGAGTATCTATAGAATTCTTAACTCTCTTATCGACTGTATATTTCCAGTGCCCTAAGGTGCTTGAGATTAATTACAAGATCATCCTAGACCATCCAAGGCACTTGGGGGATAGGATATGCAAATTGCGTATCAGGAAACATAAACGGTATTGCCTAGAATAGCCAAGTAAGTAATTGTTCAGTAAAGAATTTTTTTCCCTGCGCACATACCTCTGGCAGCGGCATTTGCCCCGAATGTTGTGGAGGTCCTAACAGTTGTGATTTCATCTGATAGTCCAAAGCTGTGTTGATGCCTTGAAATGAGGAGACTATCGTAGAGCCTCCTGGACTAAAGCAGATATCCTGTATCTGTCCAGCAAAATTAAAAGGCGTTTGGTCCACATGTGTAGGCAAAGCTTCTGTTGACATCGAAGTAGACATCTCAGCTAGTGAAAAGCTGGCCTCGTGTATAGAATCATTTTCAGGGTGATAAGTTTGATCATTTATCCACGCGGGGGTAGGAATAGTCGGCGTAGCCGATTTCCTCCCCTCTTTAGTAGTACCATTACGGTAACTGGCAGGAGGCAAAGACATCGATTCAGATCGTATATTGGAGGTGGGCTCGCTTGCGACTAAGCAAGGGGATCCTTCTCTAGACTGGCTATTCATAGAATCATGCTCACTGTAGAAATTGTGAGCTAGACAAGATAGAGATAGTGGTTAATAGCATTACTCACTGCTTCTCCATGTGACTCATCAAGTTTTCAGGATGTTCGAAAGCTACCATACATCCATCATGAGTACAATGATAGAGTTTCTTGAGGTTATGGCGCATCTCGTGTCGCCTCTTGTGTTCAGCCCGAGTGAAGACCTATAAAATAGTTAGATTGCTGTTAGATTGCTGGTCAACAATATGAGTGCTGAAGATATACTTTGTCGCACTCAGGAAATTTGCACTGGTGAACCCGCTTCCCCTTCTTTGCTTTGCTGACACGCTGGGTTCGAGGAGTGTAACTGATAGCAAGGGAGCTTTCATATGAGTATTTCCTATCCAACTCTGACTTTTTGGTTCCTCTTGGCATGGTAGCGGGTTGGGAGAATAAATTGTGCAAGGACCATGCATAGAATTGTTCCCTTCTATGGTAGATAGGAATGACTCGTCATAGAGTGGAAGGAGAGTGGAACTTGCAGAAATTTATAAGCGCAGGCGGTACATAGTTCTTATAGAAGGACCTGAAACCTTCGTTTTCGTAATATCAGGGGTCTAAGTTGATCGCCTGTTGGTAAGACGGGTTATGTTGGGTGTTGTGGGATCATTAGCGCGTTTGGCATCCAATGATACCTTTCTTACTAGGATATTTGCCCTGTGCCGCGCCTTGATTTTGAGCTCGCTGACGCAATACACCGATTAGAAGACACATAGAGGGAAGGAGTGGGACATGTCACAGTTGAGATTACCACGTGGCGCTACGCCCCGTTCAGAAAAGGCTGGACTGATGTCTTAGTATTATCGGCTAACCATATAGAGCATATAAGTACGCAGTTCGGGTATCGAACATTTTCCGTGAGCATTAACCATGGCTTGGAGGGATAGTGAGATGGTGAAACACCCTAAGTTATTTTACTCAACGCGTGGGCTACAAAAGATATGATCAGCTGCAGTTGACGAGGATCTAAAAAGTAGTTCCCCCTCCCCCACCCCCCCCCGGCCCCGGGGGGAAAACTTCGAAGAGATTAAGGTAAGTAATCTACGGACAAAAGATACAGTGCAAATTTGGCACTAATGATGAATTATGAGGATTTGCTCTAATGAAAGGTTCCCAGAGAGTCATAGAATCCCTCAGCAAACACAATTGGGGCTAATTCCGAGCAATGATGCCCTTGACACATTGGAGTCCCGTAACACACTAAGTACTGGGAGGGATGCGAGGGTGTATAACGATTCACTGCGCCGTATCACTTTCTTCATTATAGTGGTATCTGCGGGACGTAGTATCGTCCGGGTGAAGTAATGCATCTCCTTGAAATTGTATGTCACCGTTCCCCAAGCCGTCAAGTGAGGGGTGACTGTGCCGTATTTTATGCATGGCCAATGAAGTACAGTTCGCCTACACTAAGTAGGTTAAGGCTTGCAGATTCCGCCCCACTGCCCCATATCCTTGTACCTGGAGGATCCAATACCCTGCCTGCATCGACGATTGGACCTCCTACTCTAGAACACCCGGAACTCAAACCCTAAGCGCCCGGTTGAGGGCGCTAAACAAGTGGAAGACTGTGCTTCATGAGATCTGCCGATTAATTACAATAACTCCGTCGATTTAGCCGCATCCAGAAGGAGATCTTAGCGTAGGCACAGCTACAGTACTAGCCATGCTGATCCTCTATGCGAACCATGCGCTGCGCCGTAATCAAGGGAGATCGCCTTTCACCTATGAATGTTGGATTTTGATATGCTTGTTAGAGCATGCGAAATGGGCAGCGAGACAATGGCCTGCATCCAATTAGGAGAGGAAGACTAATTAAATGATCCAAATGCAGACGGAGAGCAATTGTAGGGTATCAAGGGCATATCTGGCAAAGAGCTACAGATGGCGTGAATGCTCGGAGACCAAACACAGTTCAGATTTGAAGCAAGTTCTACGTCACAGAAGGGCCAGACCAGGGGTCGCGAATGAAGGTGGCGGCCAGGATTAGTTAGCGCAAGTCACAAGACGTCGCTAGAGCCAGATGATCCTAGCAATCATCGTTGCTAGGTTGGGGGCTAGATGCAACAATTTCGTCGATGTTACGATGCGGCACAGTTGCCTCCATTGTCTCCTATCACACTCAGATCGTCCCGTACAGCGATGATGTGGGGCCAACGATTGAGATTACCAGGGTTTATGGATATGCAGCCGATTAATTTGGGGGAACTAGTGATCAGTTGGAAGTTTTGTGGTCATGAAGTGACATTAACATCTACAGTGCCTACTTCCAACAATACTGTTGAGCTTGAGCTACTGTCCGTGCTTCGTCCGAAGTTCCCACAATCTTGGAGAAAACCTTAGCTATGACAGCCAAAGGTGGCCCTTACATGACTAAACCTGGAACAGAATTCTCCGGCCCGTAGATTTTGAGGGCTAGAGTTCCATACTGTTAAGTTGAACAAGGCCGTGCAAGCACTTCACAACGTATGGCCCCATGTCCGGGTACACGGAGAGGTGCATGTAAACTAGTTCGCAAGCCTCTAAACACACAGAAGGACACAGATGGTAAAATAAGCGACCAATGAAGAATTATCTGGTGAAAATGTTTACTGAAGTGTATTTGGCGTGCAACACTTACTGGATAAGAAAAAGACGAGGAAAAAAGATGTTTATTAAGCAGATAACATAGAGGTGTCAGCGCCCACCGCCTTAGATAGGATTTCCCTTCTGGGAGATCATGATCATTACAACTTCACTACCCGCTCGTTTCCTTTCCCATGATCTCTCTCTAGGTCTCTGCCGTGGCGTCTGACGACCTCCCCTGAGTTGACCGGCCATCAGAATGTATTGGGAAAAGTGTTCTTGAGATGAAACAAGGGATGAGTATCAAGGTACGACGAGAATCCCCGTACTTTATCTTCTCAATCTCTAATATACATCAGGTGACAACACCAACCAAGCCCAGCTATGAGTTTTCCAGCAGCTCTACCTGTGTGATAACTGGTTGGCTCGGAGGACTTGGTCGTCGTTTTGCACGATGGATGGTCACTGAGGAGCTCACCATCTAATTCTTCTCACTCGGGGCCCAGGACCTCTGAAGCATACAAGCTGATTCATGAATTGAATGAACAAGGCGCTATAGTAGCGACGCCTCAAGTTGATGTCGGAAATCTCTCCAAGTTGACGCAAGTTTTAGCTGAACTGTCAAGTTCCATGCCACCAATCCGCGGGTGCATCCAAGGAACTATTGTCTTGCGAGTGAGTCATGATCCCCTGCCATTAGCTTTCTCAGTAAAACTCTATGATCCATGATACTAACAAATTCTTAAGGATAATCTGTTCCATAATATGACTTATGAAGCCTGGAAAATTAGCATTTCTGCGAAAGTGGATGCCTCATGGAATCTTCATTTGGCAATGCCGATGGATCTAGACTTTCTCGTTCTCATATCCTCTATCAATGGCAGTTTTGGCGGTAGAGCACAAGCCTATTATGCAGCAGCGAATGCTTTCCAAGATGCCCTCGCCCGTTACCGGATCTCGCAGGGCCAGAAGGCTGTTGCCATTGATTTGGGTCTGATGGTTAGCGAGGGTATCGTTGCAGAGAACGAGTCTCTTCTAAATTCAGTATGGCGATTTGGGCACTTGATAGAGATCAAAGAAGCAGAACTCATTGCCTTGCTCGACTTCTATTGCAATCTGCAGTTGCCATTGCTTTCTCGCGGTGATTCTCAGCCCATGATAGGCCTCGAATTGCCGTACTCCATTACTGCCAAAGGCGTGGACCTGCACCATTCAATTCGACGTCCAACGTTCAGCCATCTCTTTCGAATGGGTCTTGGGAGGACTTCGTCAGAGGTCGGTCAGAGGTCGGTCACGACGCTTCAAAAGGATCAATTGATCGCCCTGCTGCGCTCAAGTCAGCCTCGGCACAGGAGGCTGTTTCTATGATCACTGAATGGATTACCCTCAAGGTTGGCCATATTTAGGGATTCTGGATACGAATATCGAAAATGATAAGCCACTACATTCCCTGAAATTGACTCCCTCGTCGTAGTCGATATGAAGAATTGGTTCCTGAACGAGCTGGGGGCAAGGATCACGGTATTTGACCTCATGGGGAACGGTCCCGTCAAGCAGATAAGCGTCATGGTGGCCGAGCAGAGTCTCTTCCGTCAGTAGCAAAATAGATAGGAGTATCACTCTTTATTGGGAGTGTTCACTATATACGGTCTCGACGATGTTGTCATGCAAAAATTATCGCACAGAACGTAGGTCAGCGCACCCTCTCAAAAAGTTCAGCGTACCCTGAGTGGGGCACCAAGATCACGTGCCAAAGGGGTTCACCGTACCCCGCTCCCCAATGGCTGAAATTAACTCTGATTTCCATTTTCACCCACCTCCGAACCATGGACATAAACAATAACCCCATCGAATGGGTTGTAATAAGCAATACAGCGATTGCTGACCTAGTGAACCTTGATTCTGATGGCGCATACCTCACTAACCCAGAAGATTTCGATTCAAACTGGGATAACGCTATCTTACACGAGCGTGAAAGGGCTATGGAGAGCTAGCATGAAGAGGTAATCTTCAAAATATATATCTCGACTACCACTCCTACAATCACTATAATTTAATTGCAGAAACTAGTTACAGTCAACTCTCGCTTATGGCACCCCCGGATCTAGCACACGTTGGGTTATGGCACATAAATCTCACGGACGGACCCACTTTTCCACCATCTAGGTCCGAGCCGCTAGGCTTAGAAAAAGTGGATCAAACGTGGATTCCCCCGTTGCATCTGGGGCCGTGAAGCATGTCCGTCATTTAAGTGGGTCGGCCAATAATACTCGCCTATCGGCAGGGAATCGTTGGATTACGTGCATTTCTAAAGGTCGGCTCAAGCATTCCAATCGGAAAACAGCGGAGATTGTGGCTAGCGGCAGAGGTGGATCATGCTCTAGCGCACACCGTCGATGATCAGCACGGTCTACACGTCAAGTGTCGAGCTCTCATAAGTGGCGCAAAGGATTTGGATGCTAGTCAGCGTGGGATTATCCGTGTTAGATCCAAATGGCTTTACTAGCCAGCCTAGACACAGATTGGATAGCTATATGAGCCAAGAAGTAGGAGAACCACGTTTGCGTAGGCTGAAGCGAAGCGCCCCCCTGTCCGTCTGGCCCGTACTGTCTCATATGACGATTAACTGTGCCAACTGCGAACCGGGCTGACCATGCAGGTCACTTGTAACACAACCACCAGGGATAAGTAGTGGTCGCCTTCACAAAATTTTACGCGTCCCAAGCTCGTTGCATTGAATTCTCAGATTACAAGCAGTGACCAAACGCTCCAAATCTATCTTATGCCAGGAATCCCATGTTTCATTAGGCAGGTGCATCTTGAAGGGGGAGCCGGTTGGGGACCCGTACCCTCCGCTTACACAACAGAGATCTGGAGGCCAAAGCATTGGCGATTGAGGATCACGTGTTGGGTCTAGGTTGCAGTTCTAGAGGAAACAGATCCTAAGATTCAGGGTATCGAATCCTCCCCGCTCCGGGTTGTGGGGCGATGGGGCTCAACCCCTGCCAGCTCCAACCTTAGCGCAGGCAATTCGAATCTCATTGGTCATGGACAAAATGCGGCACAGTCACTCCTCACCTGTTACTTTGGATGGATATTATAATCTTTACAAAGATTTTGGTTTTTGGTCTAAGGGAAATACCGCAGGTGCCTTGGTAAGTAGCTATCTTAGAGCTTGGAGTATGGCCCCAACTCTTCTTGATATTGAATTCAACCGTAAAGGGTAGAATCAAAAAGAGACTGTCATTTAGCAAAACCTAGGTCCAAATTAATATCAGGATGTTAAGAGATCAGTCGCGGTCAGGCAATCTTGGGTATTTTGGCCCCTTGTTTCCACGCTGTTCCACCGCCACTTTTAGCCCTCAGTTCAGAGTTCGTAAGCGTCACCCATCCCCAACCTAAAACAGGAGCACAACAGAAGCCCTTTTGTTTGGAGGGCGGAAACGCTACTGATCGGCAACTTAGCGGTCCCCACAAAGAAGAGTCTACCTATCTGTAAAGCAAACATAAATTATTTTTTCTTGGTTTCGGAGTCGATGATGCTGGATCTCGCAGAATCACAGGATTAGCCATTATACACTTCGCTCCCAAGGCTTACAAATGGGACCAGTGGCCTTTAACTATCAAAGGACAAACCGTTGAGCCCAAAAACCATGTCAAGATCTTAGGCGTGCTCATGGATAGACCTCGCCCTCACCCGCGGGTGACCCTCGGGGGTCACCCTCAGACCCTCAAAATGAGGGTCGAGGGTCTGGCCTAGCTTAGGCCCCCGCGAGGGTCACCCGCGGATCACCCGCGGGTGATCAAACAGGACAAACAGTAGGAACTCATGGCCTACATATTTTATGTAGATTTTGGCTGTATTTTTGAGTATTTCGCTTACATCTTCTAGTTGCAGAGGAAGTCCACACATTTCATATAGATCAGATAAGAAGAGCTTTGTTTTTAGATCAAATCAGCTACAGAACTACATATTGTGCTTCATATCGCTTCATACCCATCAAGAAGCCTTGAACGTTTCCGGACTCTTCCTAACATACGCTGCTGCATATCAGGTAGTGTAAGGACTCCTATATCTTCGCTTTCATCCTTATCTTCATATCTATCGCCCTCTTCTAGCGTAGATATAATACTCATTCGCCGCTTACCTTGGCTTCGCTCGCTAGGAGCTTGATCTGTGTATCGTATCTGAGTAGAATCTCCCTCTCCTGTTTCCTCATCGTCACTGATTGGATCAAATTCACTCGCCTAGGTATCGTTTTCCTCCCTAGCCGTCTGTATCTCTTCAAATGAGAGGTACTCATTGATCATTGCCCTTTGTTCATCCTCAATATCGAACTAGGATGTACACATAAATAGCATTAGGTCTTTGATCGTTGTAGAATTAAGAGAGCCTCAGCGATAGTAGTAGACATCTTAAGCAGAGTTAAAAAGCCGCTCTACACCTACACTAGTAGTGGGGATTGAGAGAACGTCGCGGGTAAGGCTTACAAGCGCTAAAAATTCGGACTGGTGCTCTTTCTAGAAGATACGAGGACTAGACCGAATAGTTGCTATTAGAAATATTAGTTATATCACATACCACTATTAAGGTATTACGAAAGTTCGTCGTGTTGGCTAGCCGTTGATTGTCGAGATACTTCTGGTTCATATATCATCTCAAGCTCAGAGATAGCTAAGACCGATAGCTGAACTTTAGCTCGTGACTAGGTGCTTAAAAGCCGCTGTTGGTAGGGCTTAAGGCAATATTCAAGACTATTGCGATACTGTATACGCTAGTTATCATCCTAGTCCTTAGTAGAGAAGAACTGAAGCTTCTGCTGCGGTGCAAGTATTGTGCTAATTGCATAGAGGTCGTTAGGAATCTGATTAGTCATACTATAATATTGAGAGAGCTTCGTCTTAGCGGCGTAGAGGGCAGCTAGCATTAACTGCTTCTAAGGGACTTTCTTTCGCTGGAGCTACTAGATTGACTTTTCTAAGTAGTCAAAGAGCTTATTGTAGATGCTAAAGACTAGGTGGATAGTCACGTCTTTCGTCTATGAGAGAAGGGAGGTGAATTTAAAGAATGGTTGTGTAATCCAAAGAAGATATTCAATCTATCGCCATTCTTCTGCGCTAAGGGCAAAATGATCTTAGCCGTAGTGCTCATAAAACTCGTCAAAGATAGACTATAATCGCTTTGCACGCCGGAGCATAAGAAAGGTCGAATTCCAGCGAGTCTTAACGTCCTGAATAGGAATAAGCTTTGGCTCTTCTATTTGGAGGTTATAGAAGGCCTCTCGACGCTAGGGGCTACGATTGATATAAATAGCTAGGGTACGTATCTAATATAATAATAAATCAGAAAATGATAGAAACGTAAAAGGAAGGGGTATACCTTATTTAACGTGCTAACGATCTCTCTTTTCTACTGCGTCGTACGAAGCGACTGGATATGAGCTTTAGACTACTCTACCTTAGCCATCTCGTTTCTTGGGTTTGATTTCATTTGACTAAGGAGATCCTTTAGGCTAAGCTAGATGACATGTGCAATATATAGAACGCGTATGATCGTAGAGCTATCATTTAGCTCGAGAGACTAGATAGCCTCGTTTATAAAGGTCACTAAGGTATTGTTATTTGACGCATTATCGGTAGTAATTGCGAGTACTTGGTCTATAATCTTATATTGTTAGAGGAGCTTCATTAGGACCTTACTAAGATTTAGACCTGAATAAGTGCTAGAAAGCGGCTTAAAGCCAAGTAGCACCTCTCGGTACTCCTAGTCATAGTCGAGGAAGTAGCCAGTTACTGCCATAAAGGCCTATTAAAAGGGAGACGTCCAACAATCTAACGCTAGTGAGATCTTTGAGTCTACCAGTAGGTATCGTAGGATGCTCCGTTGCTATTCCGCTACAAAGTCTCGTAGCTAGGCTCGAATCGTTTTCGCAGTAGGAATATAAGGGCTCTATGGTGCAAGGCGCGCAAAAGAAATAAGGTCATGAAACTCTAGGTGTTTAATAAATTGAAAAGGAAGTCGTGACATAGCGAGTAGTCTTAGAAGTTTATGCTCCTATTCACTCTAGGTGAAGACATTAGCTTTTAGAGCGTGCTTTGCCTAGTAATATTAATATCTTATAATAGAGAGAGAGATTGAGCTCATAGCGTCCTCTATCATCTGCTTAATGCTTAGCCTTTTAGTACCCCTACGATAGGTTAGGCCCTTGATGTGCTTATTCATAGAAGACGTTCTATGGCGGCCAAGGGCTAGATGTTCTAGAATAGTAGTACATACCTTACACATAACCATAGGCTTCCTAGTCTTTATATCTGCGACTTGTTCGAACTGTTTCCAACACTCAGATTGGTGATTTGTGCCCCAATTTATTCGTTTTGTCGTCCTATATTCTATTATCAACCACCAAGCAACAAAGGCATCTCTTGACATAGTAGTATATAGAACGTACTATCTATGCCAGCTAGGGCTAACGCGTTGAAGGCCGTCGGGATTAGGAGGTATTAGTAGAGGCTAAGTAAAGTCTGAGTTAACGACTAAGGCTGTTTGGCTTCCTAAGGTCTCTAGTGTGAATAGCTGCGAATCTGGAGGGAAACCAAAGTAGAAAGGATCTGAAGAATTCCCCTTATAGACAGAGGAGGACGGAAGATTAGAGAAGTGTAGAGACATAGTCACATAGCTTACAGAGAGACGAAGTATAAGGTTGAAAGAGAAATTAAAAGACTTACAAAAGTAAATATTTAGTAGAATTCATAATGACTAGGGGACGACAAGGGGGGGTTCAGACAGCTCTACGAGCTGAAGGTTCGAAGTTGATAGATCACTATACAACCTACTTGGCAGCGGGACTCACCTCTCTTAATTGGCTAGGATATGAGGGTCGCGAGGGTCACCTGCAGATTTACCCTCGTAAATTTGAGGGTCACCCGTGGGTGAGTCTCGTGACACTCACGACCCTTATAGTTTCCAAAAAATCCACCTATGTCCAATTGAGTCCCAAAGACATATCTTTAAGAGCCGCATTAACCTCGTTTTATACTAAAATATAATTATAGATATACTATTAGAATTACTAAATGTCTCTTGCCTATGTGTCCAAGATTCAGCACGATCGACCATAGTATTAAATACATATGCGATAAAAATCCATTAGGATACACTAGTATATTTTCACGTTAAATATATATTTACACCCAAACAACACGTCTATTAGCCAACCTATCTTAATTACCTAAATAAAATTTCATACATAGTTAGTTGAAGTACTAAAGATTCAAGAGAGTATTATTTAAATCTAGAGAGATTTCAAAAGGGTTCAATTTATTTTGGCGGTTTTACAATATCGATTATCCAAACTACTCGAAAACAGGTATAAATAACGGTATTTTATTGAATGAATCAGCATTTTTATCCATCCGAATTAGGTAAAGCGCAGAAATTTTATGAAAATGAGGGTCTATGAGGGTCAGTGAGGGTCACCCGCGCGAGGGTTGGCGAGGGTCGAGGGTCAGGTGAGGGTCAAAAGTTTTGGGCCGACCCTCGCGAGGTGAGGGTCGAGGGTCCAAGGTTCGGACCCTCGCGAGGGTAATTCCGAGGTCTACTCATGGACGCGAGACTCAAGTGCAAGGAACATATCGCGAGGGCAGCGTCCAAAGGCTTAGAGGCAGCGATGGAGCTTCGGCGACTTCGCGGCTTATCCCCAGCAACGGCACGGCAGCTATTCACATCGACGGTGGCTCCAGTGGTAGACTACGCCTCTAGTGTCTGGATGCACGCTTGCAATGATAAGGCAATCGGGCCAATCAAACGAGTCCAAAGGGTTAGAGCGCAGGCAATTGTAGGGATATTTCTCACCGTTGCAACCAGCGTAGCGCAGGCAGAGGCTCACATTGCCACTGCGCAACACCGTTTCTAGAGACGGGCCGTGAAAATGTGGACAGACCTTCACACCCTGCCAGAAAACGATCCCCTCCGCAAGAGTACAGCATGGATCAAGAAATTCGGGAGGTACCACCGTTCACCGCTGTACCGGGTAGCGGACGCGCTAAAAAGCATCGAGATGGAGACACTGGAAACCATCAATCCGTTTACCATTAGCACCATAGGAGACACGCATGCAGACCGATGTTGAAGCAATGCCAGGCTCACAGATTGTACCCGGCGGATCAATGCAAGTCGCGGTCAGCAGCTCGGCACGAAACGGGCTCGTATGATTTGGGGTAGCGATCAAGAAGCAACTACCTCGATATCGAAAACTGAAACTGAAAACCTTTTCCGGGACATTGGGCGCAAGATCAGAGAAAAATCCGTTCTCTGCGGAGCTAGCAGCAATGGCACATACATTGAACATGCTAGTGGGACTGAAAGATTATAGAATCAGGTTGCTCACAAGCAACAAAGCGGCGGCTCTCACGATAAGGAACCCTCGACAATAGTCAGGCCAGGAATCCTTCTGCCAGATGTAAAAGTTGTTGAGAAGACTACGGAGAAACGGAAACCACATCAATATTCCTTAGATCCATACCGGCGAAGACAATAAACTGTTAGGTCTGGCTAAAGAGCTGGCCAGGACCACAATCCAGAAGGATGCGGTCCCACAAAATCGGCCCCCAGGATGCAGTCGACAACACTGAATATCGCTCGTTCTCAAGCAGATACCAGCAATGACTTGCCGAAGAACGTATGGAGACACGTGAAACGAGTGGATGGAGCACTTCCAGGAAAACACACTCGACAGCTGTATGATCGATTATCGTGGAAAGAAGCGAGCGAGCTGGCCTAACCCTGGACTAGCATGGCCAGACTCAATGGATATGTCCATCGGATCAACGTTGCAGAGACGGATCAGTGTGCATGTGGACGAGCAAGAGAGACCGTGGAGCACTCCCTCTTTCGATATCGGAAGTGGACTGCACACCGAACGGAAATGCTGCAATGTACTCACACCCACCGAGGCAACGTGTCCTTCTTCCTGGGCGGAAAATCACCCTCCGATGACTAGAACTGGACGCCGAACCTGGAAGCGGTGCGAGCCTCAATACGGGTTGCAATCGCCACGGGCCGACTGGACGCCGCTTGACTACGTCGACCAACACAACGAACCCCCCCCCCGAAACTAACCCACACCATCTACCTCGTGCCAGAGACGGTAGATGCGCTTCAACTGCCGAGAATAGATGTTGAACACTTGAAGAAGCGCCTTCAAGCCAGCCCACTAACAAACTTACTAACCCACGAGGACCCGCCAGGATATTGATAGCTGTGATGACATACTTTGAAAGTGATCATGTATGGGCTTCAAGGAGGCATGGCATATATGTTAGGACATGTATGGTAGATTAGTGATAGTTGCTCTTTCGGCTTAGCCGCCGGGCGTTAAATTGTGTGTGTGTGTGGATGCATTATTGACTGTGGTGATATTGTCAAGATCTGCGCCAACCGCCCGTGTAGGCTTTTTGGGCCCCTCTAAACTTATTAGCATTCTCGAGCTTAATTGCTCTGAATTAGCCTCGATTCCGTTTGCCGGGGCATTCTATGACTCTCTGGAGGCCTCCCATCAGGGCGATTCCTCATAACCCATTGTCAGGACCAAATTCGCACAACATCTTTTGTCTGCAGATTACTTACCTTACTCTCCTCAAAACATTCCCGGGGGAAAGCTACTCGTTCGATATTTATTAGTTACCGTTCACCATTATTTAGCTAACGCGTTTAGTAAAATATTGTAGGGAATTTCACTATCTTTGCAAGCCATATGGTTAATGCTCTCGGAAATTGTTCTGTATCCGAACTGCCTAACTCTATCTCTTGAACGCTAAGGAAGCAGCTGCCTTGGCTGTATCTTGAGCAAAGATGAGAAAGTACGAACATTCTTCTTTGGTCTTGATGTTGATTTGCCTTGGGATGAGACTCTACTTTTAATCCTTGGCATCTGGACTGCATTTGGACCCGTAGGAATTCCAATTCTCGACAGTTTATTCATAATAAAACATGCTAATAACCTTTGTGATGATGATGATGATGGTGGTGGTAGTCGTGGCCATTATTCCCAGGTACTCCAATAGTCCTCGTCATAGGCAGACTCATCAGCTTGGTTTGCGTCGCCTGGTGACCAGAAAAACCCCTCAACACTGCAATCCTTAAAGCTGTCCTGCACACTTTGAGAGACAAAGTCGGTAAACCGCCCCCCTTTCCCATTAGGAGCTGTGTAAATATACCCCGCGCATGGGCAGGGGTTATCAGTATGATAGAACTGCTTTGTGCCTGGGACTTTTTGTATATCACTCATAACTTGATCAACACCAGGGATGTAAACCAGGTCGTCAACAACGCAGACAGGCACACTATAAAGACCAGTAGTGTCGGCTGTCATAGACGTGAAAATTTTTGTTACCTGTTGAGCTCCCTCGACAGCCCCCTCTTCTAGGAGCTTCGTGAAGTTTTGGTCCATGAATGTGTAATTGAAGCCAAATTGCTGTTGACCCGAAATTGAGGATGCCATGATGTCCCACCCAGTGATTGTTTGCTCACCATAAGCTAGTTTGCTGCTCATCCACGATTCTGACTGGGAGCCATTACTGCTAGGTCGCGTGAACAGAGACATGCCGGGAGTCCCGTTCGGACCGAATGTGATGTTACACGTAGCATAATACTCCCAGCTGGAGTCAGCGGTCCAGTGATCTTCGCAAGTCGTCTGGTCGAATCCCCATGTTTTGCCATTGTACAGAACATCATCGCCATATGCGACGAACAAAATGTAGGCACCTTGCGACTTTAGGGCTTTGGTGACGTACTGAGCGAACATCGCTTGCCCAAACCATGAGGACACTTGGTCTTGAAAGCCTGTTTTGCTCCAATTTCCTGTGAGATGCCAGCCGGTCCACTGGCCCCCGCCGAGAATTTGGGCAATGTGGTCTTGGCCTATGTTCTTGTCATACAGAGCCTCGAAGCCTGATTCGATTTGGTTGATCTCGTTTTCGGCAGCAACATTCCATTTTGTGGCTCCTTTAAATTCCGAATCTGAGCTTTCAGGGTCATTCAGGCCGAGAATATCGCTGGCACTGCCTAACCCAACCTCTGCAAAGATACCTACCGCGACGAGGGTACCCCAAAGCAGGTTCAGTGAGTCGGCCGTTACCATGTCGAGGAAAATAAAAGCGGCGACTAGGATCCCCATAAAAGCGTTTGTAATGCCTAGAATATTGCTCTCGCTCTCGGCTTCAGCAGGTGCCAAGATGGATCCGGCGATTTCGTCAATCGCAATGGCAATCGGGCTTCGGACACCCTTCACTCCCTGAATTAAAATGTTGAGGAACTGGGCAAATTGGGCGATTGACGAGTCCAAAAGTGTTCCTCGAGTTTCATAAATGGTAGGGTGTGATCCGCAAAAACTCGCTACGGGACAATTGTAGCCGTCTGCGGTTATGTCGCAGTCTGTGTCCAACTCTGACAAACCATATCCAAATTGTCGCATCGTCTGATCCCTCAGGGTTTCAAAATTATTGATGTCGGTCTTGGCTAAGTATGACTTCATGAAGTCGTCCATTTGGTAGGCACCCCATTGCTGACGCGTACCCGAAAAGTGTTGTTGGGTGCAGTTCACTGCAATCGGCAAACCACACGGCGGTACACCGGAGACGACTAGAGGGTACGTCGTCTTGTTATCGTGAGTTTCCCCGCGTTTTTGAGGAGAAATTCGACCGGCTGTTTCATCTAGCTTATCAAGCCGGCCCGAAACCATAAGTGAGGTCTCCATGTCGGCCGTGACGTTCATATACCAACTACCATCCGCTCGCTGTTGCATCATACCACTTTCTTCCTCGTTATCGATACCGACAAAGGCTGTGCATGAGCTGCCTGCACATTGGGCTTTCATATCGACTAACTTGACTCCAGGGCCGGCAGAGATGTCCCAAATGGAACCTTCTGGACCCCAGCCAGAGCGGGCGTCAGGCTTGAGATAGATCCATCCTGTAGGGATGGACACTTTTGTTTCGTATGAATAGGAGCTCGATTTGCAGAGACTTGGCGGAGCGCCCACCGTGAATTCGGTAGCTTGGGCATAGTAGCCCGGTGGAAGTAGAGGCGTTGACGCTGTGCGAGTGATAGTTGTTGATAGAGCAGTTGAGGTTGGGCTAGTAAGAGTTGTAGATAGCAGTTGAGTAGAATTTACCACACTGGTGATTGGAAGACGCATTTTGGGGTTGGTGTTTTTTTGTGTTTGTGGAATGCGTCTGGCGGGAGTCAAGGTAGAAGAATTTCTATATAGTCAGGAAGATCACGGTGTTTTATATGATCACCGCTGATTCCCCCATAATTCGGAACCCCCTGGCCTAGGAGTTGTAGAGTAGTATCGCATGAACTAGTGGCTGACACTCTGAAACACACTTCTCCTAGATCTGATGGTAATCGGTAGAATTATGATGTTTTTTATCTGGTAAGCAAGTGAACTATATGGGCCAATACAGACTAATACCAGCGTTATCTACCGGTTAAGTAGGGTTCTAAGTACATAAGAAATCACTATGTACTCAAGTCTAAACATAGTACTGTAAGTACTGATAAATACCAAAGGGGAAATTTGGGGAAAGGTAATCTCGGAGTTCATGGAGAAGTATGGGGATTTAGACATGTGGGGAACAGAATATTCCGAGTGCCTAAGTATCTAGCGGAGATTTGTGGCCCCTAGAGCTAGTATGAAGGAGTCAAGCATCAACCCGAAAGACTGTAGCAGTAGCCCGTTAAGTTTATGACACATCTCGACATTCAGGAAGAGTTTCGGCCCCAGAGCTGGTCCTTGGCATCCAATCAAGGCCCTTGGCCCTTCAAGAATAGGGGTCGTTGGCCCTCAACAATTTGGGTGCTCTTGGCCCCGATCTATATTACAGATTGAACCTTCTTCTGATGTTATTTCAATATTTGTCATGAGTCACGGGTCTACTTAATATTATTATTGTTTTTACTCACGGCCTATTCTCTTCATCCTCTTCCGTTGGCGGCCGTAGGTTGACCTTGGAGCTTTTCTCCGACAGTTGAGTGATCGAATCAGTAATCTGGGTCGTAAGAGCCTCCCTGCCCTGAAGATGCGGCTTTGCGAGCGATAGCAGTGCCGTAGGGTTGTTCCATAACAATCGTAATATTTACTTTCCAGGAAGACATCTGAAGGGCGCGACGAATGTAAGAGCGAATTTGTCCCACAGAAAATCGTCCCCATCTCGTCGAGGTACAAGGTGGGTTTCTGGAGCCGGTGATGGCACAGAGCCTCCAGCATGACTTGGAGTGATGGTACGGGGCCGTCCATCTTGCCTAGGCGGTGCTTTGACGCTGCCAAACATCCATATATTGGAACAGATACTCAGTATGATACTCCTGTTGCATTCAGCGACCTCTGCCATCTGCGATTTACTGTGGTAGATAGTTCCCCATTGTGGGTCATGTCATAAATAGGCTCGTGCTTTGAAGGGAAGTAAGTAGGTTTGGGGCCATCTTGGTTCGACCACTCGTGATTGATGGTTGATACCCCTCCCTTGGGAGGCTGTTTTAGAGGTGGGGCATGGAGGGTGTCGGGCCTATAATTGAATTTACAAGCGAAGGCGTACTTGAAAGTATTATTTAATCTACGTAAGAAGCAATACACGTCCAACTGACGGGAGCACGATGACTGCTGAAAGTGGGGGCCATGTGTTTTGATTGGATAGAGTGACGCAGGCTTACGCATTATTCCTCAATGAGGAATGTGGGACTGAAGGTCTTCCTGGGCCCCAAAATTGGGGCTGAGTTAAATAAACCTGTCTGGCCTCGTTATTTTATCTATGGACAAGATTCTACCGTACTGTTCTCTCCACACTTTATTTCTACCTTGATCTCAACATTGAGTCCGAGGAAAAGAACTATGAGCAGCAGGTCTTTACAAATACTGCTCTTGATAGCATGGCCTATCTATGCCTATGCAAAAATGCCTTGCGGTTGGCCAGCCGGTGTAGGGCCATATAACGCTTCTGGTAGCGTTAGTGTACCGTTCCCCCAACCACCTGGGGACTCTCCATATTCTCCTTCAGGGAATTATACCCTTTCCACCTATCTGTCTGTGGATCAACCATTCGGGGACGGATTCATCTACCAGACTATAGCAGCCACCAATTCCAGTGGGGGTGGCCTCTGGGCCCAAAGATTCGACTACTCAGGCTGCCTTGTATGGTCTCTACCCACTTCCCTTCCAGCCACCTCGAACCACGTCAACGAGGGTGATACTGCAAGTTGCTCCGCGGCTCTTTCCTCAAACAATATCTCTCAGATCCTCTGGGATGCAGAAGCTACTGCACGCCAGTTCTCTCTAAAGAATCGTGGAATCGACGCTTGCACCCTACTCCAATTCCAATCATCCTATCCTTTGATTGAATATAATGAAATCCATAGTGAGTCCAACCGCATTTTGCATAATTATAGAGAACCAAAGTGCTAATAATAATTCGTTGTATTTAGGCATCTTCGGTCAACCTTCTGTTAGTAATTCTGCAAATAATGACAGCTGCTCCGCTGCCCAGCAAGGTGTTTTTGGGGCATCCGTGGAGGGTGATTTAGATGACAAGTGGATATATGACAAGTATCTGAAAGCTGTTACTCCCGTTGTGATTGTGTCCTGGAAAAATGCATCTGCAAATCATGGACAGCCTTGGGCACATGCTCAGTTATTCTGCATATCTGCGAATGATATCACTCCAGGGAGTGTGTCGGGGTCTTCTCCCTCGAAGCCAAATTGGTCGAGCTGCTATCTTGCTACCCTGTCAGGCATTCTTGGTTTTCTGACATTTATCCTTTGACGTGTGAAGTACCACTTCAAATCTATACACCGGTTATGATAATCTAAACTCTTCAACCTCCTAGTGGATTGATTCTAGAATCATTTCAGCGCGGTTAGGGTGTTAGGGTGTTGCATGGTAATGTATTTTGTGAACTATTTACAAACAGTCCTATATGTCAAATTTAGAACGTACGACGTCCCAAAATGGAAATGCAGTTCACGAATAAATGAATCTCTGATTAAAATCAATCTAGGGATACCCAACAATAGAAGGGCGAACTAACAAATAAACAACTAGTACAAAATAGGAGATAGGCGGTGAGACTCCATTCTTGACACTATATCTAGTTTACCTAATTTCGTACTTAGCCATTCTCTTCTATATAGTCTATATTTGGCTACCTATGGTCTGATCCACGCCGGGACATCCGTTTTTGGGGTTGGGAAGGCCGGCGCGTACAGACTGCCAAAACAAAGCACCAACAGCAACACACACACAACCAGAAAAGAAAGGAGGCACAACGCGACGCTTTTCATAGGATTTTAACATACTAAGACAACAAGCTTATGTAGAAATCCAGTATCTCTCACATTTCGTCTCGAATCTCTACGTTCATTCCGTCTAAGCCTTGACATTTCCCATCTATGGTAGTCAGATGCACTCATAGCCTGCATCACCACTAGCAGATCACCCTGAAGTGCATCTTGGATATCAGATTTCCAGACGTATTGTTAAGAGGAGGGAAATAACGCGGTCTTAGATTTAGGAAAGTGCACGTTTGCACTGTTTCATCAACACTATTCGTGTACTGCACTAATAAAGACCAACTAGGGCAGTTGAACATACTGGGGTTCTCGGAAGTATCCTTGTACGAACATCCACTGAAACTATTAATAGAAAAGCTGAAATCGTTGCTGGTCGGGTATAGGGGATCGTCTAGGGAGATGTTCTCGCTAGGCTCCCACGCACCCACGTATCTATAAAGATGTTCCTCTCCGGTGTACTAGGCAGGGTCGTTACTAACATCAGGGATCTAGACTGTCTACTGGCTGCCCCAATTGTTATATTTAGGGCTATAGTTCATAGAATAATATGCGATGATTATATGAGCTGTTGGTGATGGGAGCTGGCACTACGTTATTCATAGTGGTAATTTCCGTAGTAGAGCTAGTTAATGGGATTGGTAAGCTGCTAGATTTGAATCGCACGAGATTACTGGGGGTCTCTCTGGTGTTGACGTTGTGCGTGGCGTTGTGCTCCGTGTTGTGCTCGACGATGATAACGACGCGGATGATGGAGAGGCGATTGAAGCTAAGGGAGGTGTGGATGAGAGTAGCGTTGAGTTGGATGTAATAGAGGTGGATGTGGTAGGGGTGAGTGTGGTAGATGAAGATAGGGTAGATGCGAATGTCGTAGTGGAAACCCTAGATAGCCGCGAAAGCCGTGTTTTTAATTCATAGAGCAAGCAGATGTCTTAAATGATTTAGTTATAGTTGATGGATATGTGGTCGTGATTGTCTCCCATGACGACGATAGCGTCGATAGCAATGTTTTCGGTTTTCTTAAGTAGGTAGACTTAGCTGTTCGGGATGGTTTTGATTCAGTTGTGATCATCGGCGTCGTAGATGGGAATGAAGATGGCCACGAGAGGAGTGTCTTAGATTTCCTAGAGCAGGCGGACTTAATTGTTCTGGATGTAGTGGAAGCAGCTATAGCCGTTTTTGTTTCATACGACCATGAGGATAGCCACGAGAGCTATATCCGAAACTTTCTGGAGCGGGCCGACTTTCGGTATATAGAGGATATAGTTGATCTAGATGTGGATTCGGTTGTCGTCCCCTCCGTTAACGATGAAAGCCATGTCTTAGATTTTCTGGAGCAAGCTGAAGTCCGGTATGTGGTGGATCTAGAAGGCTTGGATGTCAATTTTGAACACCTACATTCTTTTAGTGAGCTGTACTAGAACCCTTATTGCTCGCTATCGTCAACTATGAACGTGCTCTTACGCTCTAATGTTCTGTTAGTATAACAAAATGCAAAAAGACCAAGAAATGAAACCAACGTCTATAAATATCACCCATAGCGCTAGACCTGTTGCTTTTTAAGGGCAAATAAAGCATAGCACAAAAGAAATACCGCCTATATATTTCAGTAAGGGTAGGAAGGCTGCAAATTAGGTAATATCCTCAGAAGGTGGAAGAGCCTCGACAAAGCCATTTGCGAGACCGTCGGATTTAGCCCTTTCAGGTTATGAAATAGGATGGAGCTAGATCCCTTTATTGTCTCATGAGGTCTGTTTGTCTGGATCATACTCGTAGCAAAGGTTTCTCTAGTCAACTAGCTTACTATTGCTTAAGATGATTTTACCGTTATTAAGGAGTGTATTCCTCTTTAGGTTTCCTATTAATAAGTTTATGACTATTGTCGGGGCTAAGTCTATCGACTAGTCTCAGGCATTAATCATTTTTTCAACCCTTCAGGCTGGGCGACTTTATGCACTATACTCATCGAAGTTAATAGAACTAGTATCATTTTCATTGATAGGGTTAGTAACAATAGTGTCCCTATCAGGCAATGCCGCCACTAGTAGCGCATCTACGTTCTCGATAGATCTAGTTAGAATTTTCCCTTTTATCAGATCTTGGATTAAGAATCCTAAACCTCCTAAGGCAATGCAAGCAGCCAAAGAACTCAAGAAGATGATTCGAACATTCAAGCATTTAACAGAAGAGTTGAGTAGTGGCGGATCCTCTGAAGACGGCGACGGCGGTTGCGGCAACTATATTAAAGGGGAGTGTCTTCAGCAGCCTTTTTCACGGGCTTATGTTTGAGTGTGCGTGAACGGGTAAGGTCTGTCACGGTTTGTCGGTGATTGAGGATATTTGGTGATGCCGATCTATATATATCTCACCGATCCCCCAACCTCTCGCTTTTCCTCTCTTTTCCCCTCGACACCGCTAAGTGATTTCTCTTTTTTCCCCTTGCCGCTTGTTCTTCTCGCTCTTAATACACGGCTATTTTGTCAACTCAACAAGCTATGCATGTCACTCGATCGGCTACACACGCCGTAGAGCGAAGCACGAAATCAAATCTTACTAAGGCTACACAGCCGAAAGCTGCCGAGTCGAGCAAATCATCCGCCCTAGGGGAGATCGGGAAAAGTAAAAATCATTCAAAAATGCATCACAACGCGTTAGATTGCTTGAATGACTATCACTAAAAGACATAGCCGATGGTGTTAACCCTAATGATGACAAATCATTCTGTCTTTTACAAAACCTATATCAACAGAAAGGATGCCAGGTTGTTGCGCAAGGCTGTCCACGAGAGCTAAACGGCATCGAGTTGTTAATAATTGGTCAGTAGTCTTAGACTTTAGACACGATAAAGATGCTATGTCTTATATATCTAACTAACTAATAGAGTGGGAAGATAACGCAACTAGAGAAAAATGTATCGTATTAGAGCTATTTTTAAAATTGACAAAAGCTCTTGCACCCCGGTTATAGACAAGAGAACTTGTCTAGCCGATCTATTGCCTAAGGTATCGGCATATAATATATGCTAGCCCGCTTCGTCCGTTACAACGACTCTGCGAGATCTTAATTGTCTATCTTCCGGTAGACCTAGATGATGCTACAGTATTGTCTTTAGAACAACTCCGAGGACCGCCGCGTTAGAACGAAGAGGCTAGCTTCTAACCTAAACAAGAGCGATCAAAGTATCCTATGATAGGTTTCTTTCCCTAGTGCATAGATGGATAGAGGGAAAAGTTAAGTATCATAGACAGGTTGCCAGCGTTTGGTCTACTTTCTCGGATTTAAGAACGAAGAGGATGAACGGTACTATAAAGAGGAGATAAGATAGGGCGAACGCATCCGTAATGGACGGATCACTTAGGATATCATAGAGCATTTCTTTGAAGATTTGGAAAATCTTGGCATGATAGGATTCGATTCGCTACATGTCCGATTCTTAGAGGTTTTGATTATGTATCGGAGAATGAGACTATATCGCGCCCTCTACTTCCTCTCGTAATCTCCAAGTATACGGAAGACGTAGAATATTATAAGAAGCTAGACGAGTTGTATGAAACAAGTGACTTATAGAAGACAAGCAAAGACAACGAAGAAGAAGTGATAGATCAACATTTAAATAATCAAGCATCCTATATTTCACATCTTCCTATGTGACTCATGAGTATAAGTGCTATAATACGGTGATAAATAGCCTTTATATGCTACTTTACACACCCACTCACTAGTCACAATTTATCTAGTCACTTGCCTCATTAAGAGATATACTCCTAGCTCTTTATCTAAGCCTCCTCCTACATAGGCGATTCACGAAACGCTTCTACTAGTTCATTTCCAAAGTCCACTATTACTTGAGGAAACAATGACCTTCGCTTAAAGCTTCGCATACTAGATCTAATATCGCTTAATAACATCAATCGTATCAACGGCCATATTAGCATTTTCCCTTTGATAATGAACCTGTTTTGCACATCAGACATGTGCGTTATCTCATGACGATACTTTAGCGAACAGTTGGCAGTAGTCAATCGAGAAATATATCCCGCTAAATATACCCCAGAATGTCTATACAAATGGAACACACTTCTTGAAGTCTTCACATGGCAACTTAGTCTTGTTTCTCAAGACCTCAATAACAAACTCAAGGTCACCAGAGTTGTTGATGGAAAGAATTGTTGATGGAAAGAGGAGTTGATGGAAAGAGTCGATGGAAGAGCCACGGTGATTTGCAAACTGTGAATGACAGCTCTGGCGGTGAATGAAGGCAATATGAACACAAGTGGTACATGCTCGGCTTAAGCCTGCTAATCAGAAAACAGCGGGGATCGTTCCTAGCCGCAGAGGTGGAGGATACTCTAGCGCGCCCCGCCGATCAGCACGACCTGCGCGTTAAGTGTCGAGCCCTCATAGCTAGAGCAATATGTTAAGAAAGGAAGTGCCTGGCCGATCATAAGAGCCTAGAACAAATCCAGGTCATACAAGAATATCTACTTTGTCAACTCTGGGACGTATTCTCGAATCTCGTGCCTTCTTTAGGCCCGGAGCGGTGCCAATAATACCAACCGTCATTCCTAGCGAGCAGACATGGTACACGGCACTAGTAGCACAAAATTGCTCTGCTGGTGTTTATTCATAATTATGACTCTGTTCGGAAGAAAGCGCAAAGGCGGACGCTCCGCTACCTCGTATACACTAGCAACTCACTTCTAAGTCTACATGTATTTTTGAAGAATTCTTCATTACAGACTGAAAGAGCGGTACCCTTGCCAGGATCTGCCCAATTAGCTGCTTCGATGTCACGCTTCCATTCCCCCCGAGCTCGGCTTTATTGTTCGGTTTCTGAACTAGTCTTCACCATGCTGGTCCATCATAGCTCCTTCATGGTGGGTCCAAATGACTTCACTAACCAACCCAGACACAGACTAGATAGCTATATGGGCCAAGAACTAGGAGAACAACGCGTGTGCGGGCTGAAGCGAAGTGGCTCCTCTGTCCGTCTGGCCCGTCCTGTCTTGATCGAAGATCCATCTAGCCGACCAGGCTAGAATCCTCATTTGAACAAAACGAGGATTACAAGCGCCTGGTACGGGTGTCCGCGCCACTACTAAGAAGCTACCCTTATGTGTCCATCTCTTAAACTCGAAGATGCTGGGAGTGAAGTAGATAAGGGCTGATTCAGCGAGAAATCTCATCGACCTCCCTGTACATTCCAAATACCGAGTTTGTGGCCGGTCACTGACCTCGGACAAAGAGATGGAACATCGGAGATACAAAATAAGGGGTTTGTCTGATTGGGCAAACGGGAGGAGAGTCGAAGAGAGCCAGACCAATATCACTATCATGTACTAGTGGACAAAATGGCGTCTCTTTTCCTTCTTTATACGCACCCTCTTTTAGCGTCATTCGCCACCGTCCACCGGTGAGTTCTCTGATAAATACGCCTCGGAAAACCCGCATCATGCATAAATTTTAGGCCCCTTTCCTAAATAAGATGGATAGAGATGATGATCCATCTTCATAACTTCCCGTTATTTACAGCTGTTTTGGTCAGTACAACATTAATCAACTCAACTAACCATATCCCTGGCGAAATTTAATGAAATCTCACTGTCTGTAATATTTCTAATAGCAGAAATAATATCATTGACCTAAACGTTTTAGGTCAAAATACGTTTGTAGAACTATTTTGTAGAAATTGCGCTCGAACACCAAATATCGCAGGACAAATATATATAAGCGGTGTACTGTACTCCTCTTGTTCTTTCTTTGATAAAATATATTAGAACCTCTTGAAGAAATAGGAGCGTATCAATAAAATCATCTTGCCCGGGATGTTCTCTCTATCCCTGCGACTGGTGCTAGTGTTGAGCGGCTATTCAATGTCGCTCATGATATCTGCCACTACCGCCGAGGCTCCCCAAAGCCGAAGACGATCAGAGACTTCCTGATGTTCCCATGTACAACCAAATTTGGGCTTGAAGAAGAACAGCTTCCATTCGTCCAGGAGTATCTCTCTAGCTGAGAGATTCAAACCGCCACAGAAGAAAGAGAAGCTTAGAAGCCCTAGGATGACTGGAATCCATTAGCTTCAGTGTCAAATCGTATTCAGGATCCTAGTGTGCGTACCCAAAGGAAGAGACGAAGAAGCATAATTGAACTAGGGACTAGAGCGTGTCAAGAGCTAGCAGTTGTTCTGAATGATCATGATGATGATGGTGATGATGACGTTCGCGCTATCTTGGAGGAGGAAGTCGATACTCAGAGGCGTACATCAGGGAGGGTTCCAAAGCGGCCTTAAGGCGTGATGGTGAAGAATTTGTATCTAGTTAATTCTGGTTTTAGTCGTCATTCTAGTATTACGCTCTTTTGATGGAATGAATACGATGTGTCTTCTCATCTACTTAGATGTGTTGGCGGATGTCCTTGCGTGTAATAAAAAAACCTCAAAAATACTAAAAGAAATTGCATAAATCTGAATGATCACGAGATTTCCTTTGTTTGCCTTGTTTGCCAACCCGTGGAGTCATAAACGTCGACCCTCAACCCGCATGAGGGTCGGAGGTCAGGACCCTCAAGCCTCAAATTTGCGGATTGCGGGTAACCCGCGGGTTAGGCCGAGGCCTATTTATCTCTATACAACACCATTTTATTATTTTCTTATATTTATTTATAGTACAACACTAGCATTTCAAGCTTGTTTTACTATTGAGATCAATTTTGTAGCTTCTTTTATCTATGTTTACTATAACGAGCCTAATTTCTACATTGCAGCAAAAGCGCGCCGTATCAGCGATCACGGCCTTCATGATAAAACGGAGCTACTTGGCCAGTTTCACTCCGTCGACCCACAAGCGACGGGAGTAGAGGAAAGCACAGAACAACAATCATGACCAACTAGGACAGTGTGGTGGTGGACCACAGGGCCAGGTCCCCCGTGCTCCCTTGAGAGAAAAACCATGACCATTATGAAAGGCTTCGGCCGGCAGCGGGAGAGGATATGTGGATATGTATCTAGAGACGTTCGGTTCCGGGCGATCGGGGGAGAGGCAAACTCGGTGACTCGGGAACTTAGTGGTTCAGGGGAGCCGCACGGCCGGCGAACTTGGTGATTCAAGACCTCGGTGGTTCGAGGACGCCAGAGAAGAAGATGACGAAGGGGGGATGGCACAGAGGGTGGAGGTAGCCGGCGCACTAGATCTCGATGCGGTTTGGCATGGTGATGGCGCAACGTCTCGGTGATGCGGGATGATGGGAAAGCGACCACCCCAAATAGGGCGGAGATCCGCTTTCCTTACTATGTCTCCTTTGTGATGTGACTTCTTAGTCGCTCTTTGCTTTGATTTTCTTTTGTTTTGTCCGCATCTTTACATTCACGATGGTGGCCTGGTTCTTACAGAGAGCCCAACGGGCTCTCTGTATACAGGGCACCTGGGTGCTGCACATCATTCTCGCTGTCAGGCAGGCCCGACTGCACTCCCGCATAGCAGCTGTACTTAAGGCAAGCTAAATCGGGCAAATGAACACTACTACTACTATTAATCATTTCTTATTATTTCTTATATTAAGTGGGAGAAAGGGTAGAATAGTACTGGAATAACTGGAACATGCGTATCTTACGATTGAAATTAATACTTTGTCAGCTGTATACTGCAAGGGCGCGGTTGCGGTTGTGGATATCAGTTTGGTAACCACAACTGCGGTTATGCCGCAGCCTATGCAGCTTTCTTCGACTCAGGGCCAATGCGTTGATAAATCGTGTAAATAGTGTGAATGTGATCAAAATTGGTAAACGCGGTGCTTTTGCAAAACGCGCTGTGGTGCACCCACAACGGGAAGCGGTGTCGGTGGGCCGAAGGGCACAGATACTGTCCAGAGGAGAGCACCAGCCGTCGAAGCCTGCCTTTCGCGATGAGGACACATCAGGATTTCAGCATGGCCGTGACAGATCCCAAGAAGACAGCCCTACTAGTCCGATGGTCCATGAAGACGCAGTGGCTAAGGGAGAACAGGGTAGCCCAGCGGATTGCGGACGGTGAGGGCTAGAACCCCTCACCTCTTCTTCTCTTCTCCTCTGCCCCAATCTTTCTTCCCTCCTCCCCTCTTTCTTTTCTTTTCTTTTCTTTTCATCTCCCAACAGACGGGAGTCGTCCCTGATATAGTACGCGGAGGACCGACATAGGGAGGTAATGAGGCGCATGCGGTTTTTCACCCTGCCGCAAGGTACGGTTTTCTGTATGATAGCAAAGGCAGAAGGACCGCATAGCCAACAGGCTAGGGTAATAGCCCGCGGTGTATGAATAATAATAATAAACTAGAAAGGTACGAAACTATTCCTGATTTCCCTCATAAACAAAAACGCAAATCGAGACACAGATGCCGAGGATTTTTTTTGTGGCCGCAGGGGACCGTCGCAACCCCGCGGGCTTTTTCATTTCTCTCGACTGGCGCTGCGTAGCAAGAGCCCTAAAAGAGTCAAGAAAAGTTGTGGCCACCGATTTCCACCTGCACATATTACTAGTCGGTTGAGAGCTAAGGAACGACCAGAAGCCTCCGATTATCGCTTGTATACATTAGCAGCATTACGTGGGCGCCAAGGGGGAGATCAGAGGTGTCGATCGCCCCTCCTCCCTTGCCCCTCACCACGACCTTTTTAACACCCTAACCCGAGCATGGCAGCCACTTATGATGTGAGGTTACCTCTCCAGAGAGGAAGCTTTCAATCAATTGGTCTGCTAAAGAAAGGGAAGCCGGTGTCAGATCCTCGACCACTCGTCGTCTTTCTTCACGGCGCTGGCAGCAATGCATCCTATTTTGACAACCGAGTTTATTCGTACACTCCAAGAGGGCCTTCAAAATTGTATCTCTGCTAATGACATTTAGCTATCCACAAAAGCTGAGCGAATTGGGTCATTACGTTCTTAACATTCAACGCCCAGCGTATGGCGGTACCCCGATGCCGTCTTCCACGAAGCCACTTCTCGACTCGATTCCTCTCGTCACTGACTTGATTGATCAAGCGTATCGGGGCCATGCTGGTGCAAAGGGAGGAATCATTATAGTTGGTCATTCTGCCGGGGCTGCCTTAGCTGTCGCCATTGCTGCTCAGTCAGACAGCCAACTGCCAATCATCGGATTGAGCCTCTTGGGTTTAGTACCAACCCATAGAGGGAACCTGCTTATTCCAGATCCAGACCCTGACCCGGAAAACCCACGGCTGTCAGGCGAATCTATGTCGCCCATGGCCTCGGACTTCATGGGGCCATTGCAATATCTCAATGCAAGAGTTTTCGGTGACGGTGCTATGATAAAGATGATCTTCGAGCCTTGTACGAACGACCATTCGCTTCTATTTCATATAATCGTGTACCAGTCAACTCATTCCATCATTCCAGTGTCTCGTCCAGAGATTCGAGAGTATCCGGGACCCGAATGGCACGCTATGTTGGTAGACAACTTCATGCCAGCAATCAAGGTATTTTCCCATTTACAAAATTTGAATGAGTCGTAAAATGCTAAGCTAGACAGGTGCCTGTGCAATATTTAGCTACAGAATATGAGGGAGTCTGGACAGGAACAGCCGAAGGACAGCCGCTTTTTGATGATTTCACCAAGCGTTTCGTCAACTCGCCGGTTGTGGAAGCAAAGCTTTTATCCAAAGGTGGCCACAGCTACGACTTCAGTCGGAATGCAGGCGAACTTCATGATCTGAGAATGAAATTTATCGCCCGACTAGTAAGGCCATCAGAGACACCCAGTGACAGTAATTAGGCTAATCTTAAGACTGAAACAAGTCTCATCTTCATTAACAAAACAGGCCTCCCTCAGGGGGGTTGACAAAGATGAAATTCTTTCGTCTCTGTAATTCTCCTATTTGCACATGTTCTCAAACTGTATATAGAGCTAGCGGATGAATTGTACTGAAAATTATGAAGTAAATACTAGAGATCATACAACAATATATTGACATACAAGTGGTTGCCCTAATTACTTCACATCTTGATCAGCGCATTGAATATCGTCAGCAAAATCTCCACCGCCTATCACTTTTGTGAGAGATACTGGCATTTTTCCGCTGCCAACTGACCTAACTCCTCAATACTGATGTTCGCAATTATATCGAAAAGGGAAAGCTCCACCTTCAGCTTAGTAGCGAACCAGAATCGTAGTTCAACTGCAACAAGTGAGTCAACCCCAAAGCTGTGCGCGGGTTTGCTTTTGTCGATGTCCTCTTCAGGGACAGAGAGGGCTTGAGAAAGTCTCTTTGCCAGCGCAGATGCTATGATCCTTCCCCCCTCCAGCACGGATGTCGCCTCCATAAGCAGGACACCGTAGTCAACCTCCTTGTTGGACTCTAGGGAGTGAAGCTCACCACCTTGATCTGTCTGATGCAAGTGACGGTACATAGGACGCTTCATATACGGGAGCAGATCTTTGCCTTGCGCTAGTCGTGAGTTGGGACTATTTAGCGCGGACAGGACCTGTGTGTTCCAGCCTGAACCAATCGTGATGTTAGCATTGCATGCCCAATCCACGACACTGTGTAGCTCTTCCTCACGAAGCACTTCGAAGCCCTCGTCAATCCATCGCTGAGATAATCCAGACATCGACTGTTGTTCAGCTACGTATCCCACGGCAGTGACGAGGCCAATATCAATTGAGATGCACTTTTGCCCTTGTGACCAGCGGTGCCGGGCAAAAGCGTCTTGGAATGTGCCGGCAGCGTTGTACTGTGCCTGACATTTAACGCCAATCATGCCACCAAGAGAGGAGAGTATGACGAAAAAGTCCATGTCGCAGGGCAACTTGTTGTGAAGATTCCAGGTGCCCGTCATTTTGGGCTTTTGAACCGCCTGCCATTCGTCTTTGGTCATGAGATCAAAGGGTCGGTCCTATATATTTTGTCAGCTAAAGAAAGGCAATTGGATTTTGAAGGATTGGAACATACCTTGAGAACCATGGCGCCTTGAATAACGCCCTTGATCGGAGGCATGTGGTCACATTCTTTTAGGGCTGCGTCCAGAGACACTGTGTTCGAGATGTCGCATTGAGGGGTAGCAACATTCACCCCCCGCGCGGTAAGGTTATTGACTAGCTCGCGTGCAGATTCAGAGACGGCCCCAGAGCGCGATAACAAGATCAAATTTTTGGCACCCCGAGTTGAGAACCAGCTGGCAACACTCCTACCAATTCCACCCAAACCACCGGCAATGACATACGTGGCCTGCGAGTCAAATTGGTATCCTGGGTCGACAGTAGGTATAATAGGAATTTCCCCCTCTTTTTCCCAACTGATCACGGCTTTACCCATGTGGCGGCCAGTCTGGAGGTATCGGAAAGCCGACTCGATATCCGCAGGGGAGAACAAGGTTACAGGCTGGGGAGCTCTAAGCGTTTTGGAAAACACAAGCTCTTTCATTTCGTCCATGAGTTTTCTTATCAGTGTAGGGTGGTTGTTGTACACATTCAGGAGGTCGACGGACGCAAAAGTTACATTCCTTAGGAAGGTATGCATAGGGAGTTTCTGAAACGTCTCCATGTCGCGCTTTCCAATCTCAATGAAACGTCCCAATGACGCGATACACTTCCAAGACTCGACAAGTGCCTCTCCCGAAAGAGAATTCAAGACAACATCCACACCCCGGCCGTTAGTGGCGCGCATTATTTGTTTGCCAAAGGCAAGGTGTCGGCTAGAAAAGAAACGATTGTCGGGAATGTTAAACAGGTTCTGGAGATGGTCTTTCTTGGCTTGCGAGCTAACGGTGACAAAGATATCGGCGCCAATATGTTGGGCTAGCTGAATAGCTGCCTGTCCAACCCCACCAGCAGCGGCGTGAATCAGGACAGACTCTCCCTTTTGGAGACGCCCAAGATGACTGAGGCCGTACAACGCCGTTAGCCAAACTGAGGGCAAGGCCTCGACAAAAGGTAGATCGTCGGGGATGTGAACCACTGTGTGGGTTTGGTGACGGACGAATGTCTTGAACGTCCCTGACGCTAGGCCTGTGACACGATCGTTAGGTGCAAACTCCTTTACCCCGGCGCCGACTCTTCGGACAACTCCGGCAAACTCGTTGCCAATATAATTATCAGTCACCTGCCCCAGTACGACCAAGACATCCTTGAAGTTAATTGGTGATGCTCTAACCTCGACTTCAACCTCATTGTCAGCTAGTGGCTCGCCGACATCTCCATCGCGAACAAACCGGAAGCTGTCTAGCTGACCTGGAGAGAACTGGACTTTAAGGGGCTCTGTAGGCTCCCTTTGAAGATGCCTTCTCTCAATGGGCAGGTTAGCGTTCTGAGAATGAGAGTAATCGTTGATGTCGTTTGCCTCTACAGCTCGCGAGATAAGGACCGTGCCATCCACAACGGAGTAGTCCCCTTCCCTATCATTGATATCAGAAACACCAAAATAGGCTTCAGTAACGTTGCTAATCATTTTTGCAGCGTAAGAAATGTCTTCAACGTTGTCAATGTTTAGGTTTGTCATGTGAACACCTTGATGCTCCATTATGAGCGCTCGGCTGAAGCCGGAGCTCATGGCGTTCTCTGGAATCGGGGCCTTTTCACCAGCACCATTTGTCACCCAACATATCTTTGAAGATGTATCAACCAATTGTTTGAGAAGCCTGAAGTCACTTTCGCTCATTGCTGATAGAAATGGGCGCCCGTATTCCAGCAATGACATACAGATATCAGCGTGCAGATCCTGATGCTGGAGCATCTCTGGTGTGACGACCTGGATAGCGAATCCCGTGTTCGTTGAATTTGCCTGGGACGTGATTTCCTGCGCTACTTTGTTCTGGATCTCAGTCTCCGCAACAATCAACAGAGAACCGGGAGAGCAAACTGGCGTAGCTGGTTCTTGTGAGGCCGCGCGCGAAATGATCAAGCTGACTGTATGGTGTTCCACATCAGGAAAATCAGTGATAGCTGCTTCGCACCCGGTAAACCCGGCCTTCTTCAAGTAATGATCCCATTCGTCTTGAGAATACAGAGGAGACCAGGATCGGTCTGCCTCAGTCGACCTCCACCACCCTGACAGAGTGCCCCAGATACCGTTCAGCGGGATGTCCTTTTTATTTGTTGGCTCTATTATGACAAGGTAACCGCCAGGCTTGAGCAGCCTACGCGCGCGAGCCAACGACTCGGCAATACACTCTGTCGCATGTACCATCGTTGCGGCAACGACGAGGTCATATTTGCCCGATTCAAATCCTTGATCCTCTAGGTCTCGTTCGATGTCCAATGTTTGAAAGATCATGCGATCGGCATATTCTGCAAACTGCACTTTGGCTTTTTCAAAAAAGCTCGGGGAGATGTCCGTAAAAGTGTAGCTACTGAATCTGGGAGTAGCCCCTTCATGACCGCCTTGCTTTCCCAGGGTAGACAGGGTAGGCGCAGTACCACTCCCAGTTCCTGCACCAAGCTCCAGAATGTTCATGCTAGGGTTTTTGTGGGCCAAGAGATCTATGAAAGCTGCCATTCTCTTGGCACTCACCGAGAATATCACGTCGGCATAAAGGTCCTTTGCGAGGTTTTGGTTGAAAAGAAGATCTAAAGGATCCGTTTCTCCGCGGATGAAGGGCACAAGCTCTTTGATAAAAGTAAAGATAGCCCTGTTGACAACTCCAGATGCTGCGAAGTCTTCTAGGAATTGGGTGCAACGATGCTTGTCTTGTAGAATCTCTTTCCATGGCGATTGCAAGAGGGGGTTGCTCTCACTGAGCTCTGCGAACCTATTGCGAACCCAAGTTATATATTTCTGCAAATGACCATTTAGCTTCTGGAACCCGGGTGTGTCCAACTCTTTCAGCATCTGGTCCATGTAGTATAGAACCACAACCTGTTTGGCAGGCTCCCATTCAACGCGCATAGGCTCATTTTCCAAGATGTAATTCTCCTTTTGACCTCGACTCAACAAGTCGACGTCAGCCTTCCAGTCTAGGCGGTAGAAGATGTTACGTCTCTCGGATGGCATGTAACCCATGTGTGACACGGTAGTTGCCCTGTATCCATCAATCTTCAGAGCTGGCTCCCCGGTGTCAGAGCGCAAGGCAAGTATAGAGGATTCAGTCTCCCGAACTGCTTCGCGGGTTCTGTGGGCAACAACTTGAAGCTGAGTATCTGGTGTTCGGGAAAGAAGATCATGCGAGATCCAGAAGTCTCGGAACTGGGTTGGAGCCTGGAGAGGACCATCAATGGTGCCACCTTTGGTTGTGGCTACTGCAGTGACCTGAAATATTCCATCAAGAGCGGAAGGGTGAATGAGATGAGGTTGAACATTGGCGTTAATCTCGGGGACCTTGGACTTCCACTCGTCTGGCCAGATTGTACCAATAGCCTGGGCTCCATTGGAGTCGTAGGCTACATCATGCAGGGTGTTGAAGCTCGGACCAAAGCCATATCCGGTCCTATGGGCTGACTCATAGAACGTTGATGGGTTGCCCCTTGCAGTACATCGCTTTTGGGCCTCTTGATACCGAGACAGGCATTCATCTCTAAATACACTAGCCTCGTCACAAGCATAGATCTCATCAGGAGTTTCTTCTTCATATTCCGTTGTGACAGAGCCGGCAGAGACCTCTTTCCACTCGTTTTCGGTGTACAAACAAATACGGAACTCCCTGCACTCAATTGTCTTGGAGCCCGTCGTGCGGCTATTGTCCTGATTGCGGAGGTAAATTTGGCTCTCGACACCCTCGGGGGTATCGGGCACTGGAATAGCCGCAAAAGCAGAGACATTCTGTAGGCGGTAGCCTGTTACGGGTTGACCAGGCTTGTTCAGATATCTTGCAGCTTCGAACGCCATGATGGCCAGCCCAGCCCCAGGATATAAAATCGTTCCGTTCACCTGATTGTGAGCAAGTAATTATCAGCCCCAAGTGTCAAAAAATAAAAAGAAAAGATCAACTCACTCGATGGTCTGTTAACCACGGGAGGTCGGAAAGGCGGATTGTGAACCTGAACCTTGGCTCGAAGGGATTCCAATCGGTAACAGGAATACCGCGAAGCTCGTGTCGAATGTTTTCACGGGTTCTATAGTTCTTCCAGAGACGGCTTTCCAGCCAGTACGTATGGGAATCGTTGAAAGGATATTCCGGCAAGTCTGTGATCATCCATGGGTCTGTGTCATCATGGCGATTGACAATGTCAATCTGAACTGGGAATCCTTCCATCCAAAGCTCACCGGAAAGCTGCTTCAGAGAGAGCACCCCTGACATATCTCGCCGCACAGTGGAGCCGTATCTTGGGTTCTCCAGGCTATCCATTACGGCACGCTGCATGGCTGGGTGAGGACCAATCTCAACAAAATAATTAGCATTACGCATGGCTGATGGACCGCCATTATCGAATGAAACAAACTCTTTGATTGCCTCAGAGAATCGAACAGGCGATACAAGATTATCAACCCAGTATTGCGGCTGAGAGAGTTTTCGCACGTCAATAGGCTTCCCAGTGACCGACGATACAAATGATGGAGCGTAGGCGTTCTTCTCGGATTTGGGTGGTGGAGCAATTGATTGTAGCAGACTCAAGTACTCGTCTGCGATAACTTGCATATGCGACGAGTGGTAGGCTACCGGAATCCTGAGCTTGCGAGCAAAAGCGGAATCGGCGTCGAGGCGAGACTTGAGTTCGTCTATAGCCTTCTCTAGTCCCGACACCGTAGTATTTGTGCTGCTATTGAAACAAGCCACAGACAGCGACCCAGCACCGTACAGTTTGGCAATATCTTCAAAGTATGGCTGAAGCTCTGATTCTGACAGGCCAACCGCCATCATAGCACCCTTTTCCGGCGAATTCGCAGTAGCTGTGGCGAGTCGTGAAGCAACAGCGCCTCGAAAGTAAGCAATGGCCCAGGCAGACTCGCGGGATATAGAGCCAGCACTGAAAGCCCCCGCAACCTCTCCAGAGGAGTGGCCTACAATGCCCGAGGGAGTAATGCCCCAGGTTGCCAACAACTCGACCAAAGCAATCTGAAGAGCGGTGCATAGAGGCTGTGATAGGTCCGGGCTATCAATTTGGGAGGCTTCCTTCGGCTTTTGTAGCTCCTCAATGAGAGACCAAGAACTTCCTAGTTGTCTCATGTAGACATCCGCTGCTTGGAGACTCTCATTGAAATTTTCAAAGATGGAAAGCTCAATACCCATTCTGGCCCACTGCGCGCCTTGGCCAGTGAAGACGAACAGCAGCTTTGGGGGGGTAGATGAGCGAACAGGCTTCGGAACACTTTGCAATTTCGTCGTCAAATCCTGCACAGTCTCTGCAAGCACATATGACTTGTACGGAAGAAGACTGCGCTTATTCGACAGAGTGTATGCAAGATTGCGGAGGAATTCCATGGACGTGTCCTCATGGCTTATCAATGAGAGGTATTCCTTATAAACCGTAGCAAGTCTGTCAACTCCTCCAGAGTCGGCAGCAGAATAGACGAAGAGGAAGGGATCATTCCTCTGTGCCACTTTGGAATCTCCAAGACTCGTAGTATTTCCGTTAGAATTCGCCTTGATATCATCGTGAACATCTGCCGTATGTCCATTGGTGATGTGATAATTTGAACCGTTGGTAGAATTTCTTCGAGTCTTCTCACCGGAAAGAGCCATTCGTCTTGGTGGTAATGTGGCGGTTACATGACGCGCCTCGATGCCGCGCTCCTTCAGGTAGTTATAGGCATCGTCTAGGATAGCGTGGGCATTTGAACCACCATACCCAAATGCATTAACCGAGGCACGTCTAAGGCCATCTGTAGGCCAGGGTATGGCCTCCTTGGGGAATTCGAGATTCCATTCCTTTGATGAAATCTGAGGGTTGAGGTTCTCGAACCCTGCAATGGGAGGGATGATACCTCTTTCCAGACACAGAATCATCTTTATTACACTGGCAAGACCCGCAGTGGCCTCCAAGTGTCCAATATTAGCCTTGACAGACCCTATGTATAACGGATCATCCGGCCTCCATTCCTTCTGGAAGACATTTCTGATCGCATTGGCCTCGATCAGATCACCCATCAAAGTTCCTGGACCATGCGCCTCGAACAAACGCGTTTCCTTGAAGTCGAGGCCCGCATCCTGGTAGGCCGTCCGAATTAGTCTCTCCTGGGCTGCAAGGCTAGGCTGAGACATATTGGGAGTGTGGCCATCCTGGTTTATCGCAGTTCCACGAATAACAGCTCGGATTACGTCGCCGTCTGCCACAGCATCTCCAAGCCGTTTTAGAACCAAAACGCCAAAGCCATCGCCCTTTGCATAGCCATTGCCCTTCGCATCAAAGCTGTGGCAACGGCTATCTGGAGAGATGAACTTCAGAGACGACAGCGAAATTACGTCTGATAATGGCTCTAGGTATAAATTTGTTCCGCAAACGAGACTCTATTTGACATATTCAGCCTTTGATCAGAATAGAAGGGGCAGATAACGAACCATCTTGGATTCTTTCGAGTGAAGGCTTTGGCAAGCAAGATGAAGACTGACGAGGCTACCGGAACATGCCGTCTCAATGGTCATGCTCGGACCAAGTAAGTCATAAAACCAGCTCAAACGGTTTGCCAAGATGGCACCAGAGTTACCGTTGGCCTTGTATGGCGCATGGACCTCTTCGTCGAATTCAAACATTCTGACGTAGTTAATACCAAGAGCTGCCACGTACACAGAGGTGTTGGAGCCTGCGACCTTCTCCATGGGGAGCCCAGCTAGAATCACAAGCAGAACTTAGCACTCTACTCGCTGCAATCAGTAAGATTGCTTACCGTTTTCAAATGCTCTATATGAAGTCTCCAGTAAGCATCGCTGTTGCGGATCCATGCTCTCCACTTCGGAAGGGTTCATTGAGAAGAAAGGTGCGTCGAATGCGGCGACATTCTGGGTTAGGAAGTGCCCTCCGCGGCAATTCATCTGGTATTCTCAAAGCTCAGCTAATTTTCATAAAGCGCATTTTATCAGCCTATTTATACGAACAGTGTCGTTGCGTGAACCATCTGGGTGATAAAATCCATTAATATTGAAACGCTCAGCTGGCACTTCAGTCATAACTGATCGGCCATCTTTGAGGATTTCCCAAAACTTCTGAGGTGAGGTAGCATCCCCAGGGAATCGCAGAGAATAGCCAATCACAGCCACGTCGTTCATTTTAACGGGGGCTTCTCCGCCGTCAAAAACATTATTTTGTGCTGGTGGTTGCATGTTTCGAGGCTGGGTATTGATCGCAGGTAGAGTGGGGTTGGAGTTTCAAACGCTCAGGAAAGGAGGCAGTGAATGAGTTGAAAAAAAGGGGAAGGAAGCCTTTGAAAATAGCAGAAAGCAGGTCGGGCAGCCCGCTTTTGCTATTACATGAAGTTGGCCCCGATTGCACCCGGGCAAAGACTTTAGCGAGGGCGTCAACCAATATTCCCCAGTAGGTATGAGTTTCTTACTACCAGCGCCCTGGGGAGTGCATCGCCATCCTATCATGAGCAGTGGATACCAGTGATCTACATACAAAGTACTGTATAGTGTAACCTCAGAAAGGACCCACTGCCCATCTATATGAGTTTGTTCCAATCGGGAAATCATCGGCTCACTGAGGATTACTCCGTACAGTATCAATCAACATTGGTGCCTGGAAATGACGCTTCTATTACCTTAACCCAAGTTTCAGCAGAAAACAGCTAAGCGGCACATATTTCAGCCTCCAACATTAGCATCCAATCCTGGGTTATCAAATTGACCCCCACTGTTGGCCGACACTGCCTGACGAATGGAGGTGTGAACGACTTACACGGCAACAGCTTGAAGTCGTCAAAGATCAACAGGGCGGTTCCGCAAATCTTCGCCACAGTCCTTCCGAGCCGCACGCACGGGCCTACGGACAAGTCTTTTCACGATTTCACGATTACAGAGTACGCGGTATAGGCGCCGATCATAAGGACACGCACCAGTGTGCTGGCTCCACAGTAACCCCGCACGGCCGTGCTGAATACGCTAGCAGGAATCTCATCCTACATCTGGAGTACATCATTTTGTCTCAACAAATCAAGCGTGCTCAACGATGCAGGATGCCACACAGTGCGGCTGGCCCCTGCGACGGCCACAAGGATCATTTACCTAGCTTTTGTTTACTTAAAGCAGGCTTGATAGGGCCCGTCCAATGAAATTCTCTTTTCTTTGTTGGTTGGAAAACGGTAGCGGGTTTCAGGATCAGCAAAGTAGTATCGCTTAATCGCTGCTGTACCCTGTCAACATTTTGAGTAAATGCGCCATTTTCTTTCATTGGATAAAATAATGAAATTTGACCATGTCTCAATTCGTTTCTCCAGCAGAGGGCAGATCTCTGCCGAGGCTAGGTCAATACCATCTACTAGTATGCAAAGTATGACATAAAACTCAAAGTCCGTTCACCATTCAATTTGAGTTCATTTTCCGAATTCCTTCCTTTACTCCATTCTTTTTTTTTGGTCTCTTCGTCAAAATCCCACAGCTGAAGAAACCAATCATAGGCATGGCGGAAATTCATGGCTCTTGTGATCCCGCCTTTGAATCTGTGCGTGGTCTTTTGCAAGAGCAATTTGCTCAGGGCGATGAAGTTGGCGCTTCCCTTTGTGTCAATATAGACGGCAAGAATGTTGTCGATCTCTGGGGTGGCCATGCGAATGCAGACAAATCCAAGCCATGGGAGAAAGACACCATCACTGGAGTCTTCTCCTCTACGAAGGTCGTCTCCGGTCTCGCTGCCCACATCCTCGTTGATCGCAGCCTACTGGATGTGAATGAGAAAGTCGCAACCTATTGGCCTGAATTTGGCAGCAACGGCAAAGAGAATGTCAAAGTTTCGCATATCCTTAGCCATTCCTCTGGAGTGCCGGCATGGGAAGGAGTGATAACGCCCGAGGAGATGCAGGATGTGGAAACGTCAACAAAGAGACTCGCGGCGCAAGCGCCTTGGTACACTCCTGGCTCGCAGAATGTATATCAAACATCAACTCATGGGCATCTGATCGGCGAGCTTGTACGACGCATCACAGGAAAGTCGCTCACCCAATTCATCACCGACGAAATTGCCAATCCTCTTGGCGCTGACTTCCACCTTGGAATTCCGGAGGAGAACTGGTCACGAACCGCCGATATAATACCGTTCCCGCCAGAGGCTGCTGCTGCCTTTCAGTTTGATCCTGATAGCTTCATTGGTAGAGCTGCGGCAGGGTCCGCTTTGCTGCCTCATCTTCCCAATGATCCCAATTTCAGGAAATCGGAGAATGGGGCCTTTGGTGGATTCTCCAATGCGCGAGCGTTAGCGCGAATTGGGTCCATTGTATCATTAGATGGCATCGTCGATGGAAAGCAGTACCTCAGCCCTCATACTCTGGATGAAATGATGAAAGAGCAAATCCAAGGAGATGATCCAGTGCTCTTCGTTTATATGCGCTTTGCACTTGGACTCGGGCTACCACCTGGTAAAGTCTTCCCTTCTGTTCCGGAAGGTGATGGTATTTGTTTCTGGGGCGGTTGGGGAGGATCTATGTTAGTCATGGATCGCCGCCGTCGGATGACCATAGCCTACATCATGAACCAGATGGAATTTCGAACTATTGGGGGCGCGAGAGCTCAGGAATACATTCAGGACATTTACAAGAGCTTTGATGCTGGGAAGCTACATATATAACTTAGTTATTTTCTTCTTCATTTCATATTCATAATGTTACTAAGTTATGACGGGCTTTAAATCTCCCGAGTTGAGGTACTCAAAAGATATAGGAATGTAGTTCATAGACGAAACGTAGCCTTCATACCTAGGTGGACGTCACGGTGAATGTTCTTGTCATTATCTACCAAATGTCTATCGCTATTGCTTGCACCTTTCAATCCGCACGTGGCGTCTTCAATTTTCCACTCTCAATGCATAACGGAATACAGCCTTCATGTGCTTCTCCTCTGTAGCCACGTGTATTCGATTTTCGAAAAATGGACGAAGGAAATATCTAACCCCGCTCTTGGCAAAGAGTCTGGAGACCAAGATCGCTCAGTACCTAGGCGGGCTGACCGCGAACACAACGCGTGGCCATTCCATGTGCCCACGCAGTTTCGCAGTTTCTCACCCGGAACAGTTGAAATACAGATATTTCGTATTAAAGAAACATTACATAGCACACCCGTAGTACAGCAGACTAATAATTCTTCAATTTTGTCGACAGGGAACTATTAATACTAGTCACAACAAACGCAAAAGAAATAAATGTTTTAATTCTGTCACATTCGTCCCTCTCGAACTTCATCGGACACTGCACATGAACCAACATTTGAAAAGAGAATACATGTAATTGGGGGGCCGCTGCAGGTCCGCATATCCTTTCTTATTAGAGCTAATCATTTTCAACCTTGGAAGAAGTGATGAAACCTAACTTGCATTGATCCGGGCTGAAGAGGGGGGGCAAAGTGCGCCTATCAAACATCAATGTCAAGGAAGTCACCAAGTTCTTATTTCTAAAATTGCTTCCCACCTAGGCATAATCATTCCAGAGTGTTTGCCAGACTCTCCCCCCTTCTCTTGCACAAGTACGTGCTATTCTTCTCTGATTTCGAAGCTGTGTCCCGCCATTTTTGGCCATTACTTAAGTCTTAATCTTTGACTCCAAGGTTACATCTTGCTCTGATCTTGCAATCATTCCGCATTCATCTACCTCAACATGAAGCTCCTCAGTCCAAGTGGTTCTGAGAACCTGGGTGCGGCTATTGCAATGCTGGTAATAGGGGCGTTCGCGGTTATCCTTCGGTTCGTATTTCGAATATCCGCGAAACAAAGCCTGATGATATCGGACGGATTAATTGGGCTATCTTTGGCATTCATGGCTGTTTACAGTGCCAGCATTATCAATTGTAAGTCTGATCCGTATCTCCTATGTATTCAAAATCGACAGCTAACATCTATATAGATGTCGTCAGCGGGCCGGGGCCTGGCACCTTCGACGTTACACAAATAGAGACAAATGAAGCGAACGGTGGTCTTACTTGGGGAATTGCAATGGCTAAAGTAAGGTCTACAAAGCAGTTCGATATGAAATCTGGGTTATATTCGTTATCTCCAACATCACCACCATCATCATCCATTCCGAATAGCATCAATATTTCCATTTTTCAGACATCGACATCTCTCTCTCTTATACATTTCACAATTACAGTCTCAGATATTAAAGGCAGAGCTAATAAATCTCACTCTTCACTTACAGGCACTTTACCTTTGCGACATTTTCTTCATAGCGACAGTCTCTACGGCAAAACTATCAATCTTAGCGCTCTATCATACGATTTTTGGAATTTCAACTCCATTTAGACGTTTTAATTACGCTATGGTGGGATTTGTGGTTCTATTTTGGATTGTCTTCACATTCCTATACATCTTTCAGTGTCATCCTGTCCATATGGTATGGGATGCCTTGGCCTCTCCCGAATACTGCATGTCAAGTGGCAAGCTCACCCTTGCCTTCGAGCTCACCAACCTCTTCGTCGATGTCGCCATGGTGGCGATGCCACCCTTCATGATCGGCCAACTGAATCTACGCAGTGCACAAAAGTATTCAGTGTGTTGCATCCTTCTCTTAGGTGGAATGTGAGTTACAAGCGCCCGCAACAACCAAATCTCTTGTTCTAATGAATTCTAGGGTTTGCATCGTCAGCATGGTAAGACTGCACTATATCTGGGTTCCGTCGAACCCTGAATTCATGCAGACTGCCCCAGCCATGGTCGCGTCGAGTGTCCAGCTTGGTACTGCAATTCTCTGCGCCTGCTTCCCGACATACGCGCCTTTACTCCGTTTCTGCTCGGGCGCCCGCAAAAAAACCAATAATACCCCTGGAAAGCACTATACCTATGGCTCCGGCTCACCAATGAATAAGTTAAAACAGGGGAACAGTTCAATTCGCACAGATAGTGAATACGAACTTTGCGATTCGCGGTACCAGCGTGTTTAGGATCATCGGCTCAAGCCTGATCGTCCCAGCGTGACCTGCAATGGAAACAGTATCCTGTACAATTGTCTAACATGAGAAAGAAATTATCCTAATGAATCCATATACTATTTGTAATGTAGACTGTCAAAACTTTCAATATTCTCGGAGCATTTTTGATGTCAAGTGCCGTTGAAATTGTAATGGATCGCTGTTCTAGCCACTGGATGGTGCCGATAAGCATATGAGCAGAACTAAAATCATATGGATTTGTTGGAGCTCGGCTAGACCTGCTAGTTACCTATCTACTGACATCCATCTGCTAAAAGTTCACCTCGTCCATATTATAATTGAGAGCGTGTGCCTGATTTCTTCGCCTGGGGAAGTTGCGTTATAGGCAACCTTCTAGCGTCTTGTTGGCATCACGATCTTCAAATTATCCTAGATTTGGCCCGATATACAGTAGACTTCGATGTAAATGGGCCGTGCGCAGGTAAACCCATTCGTGATAGTACGAATGAACCAATCATAGAACATCTACAAACACACACAGTCATACATGTATTTTAAACGTAGATTCTTAGCTAGCGCTAGTTATTAGGGATATCATCTGGCAAAAAAGTTCATCGGGATTTAAATACAGTATTTCATGAGGAGCAAATTTATAACGTAAATTTCGGGCTGCAGCTCTTCTATGGCCCCTATAAATTTCGGGCTGCAGATCATCTATGGCCCCTGTAAATTTCGGGCTGCAGTTCTTCTATGGCCCCTGTAAATTTCGGGCTGCAGTTCTTCTATGGCCCCTGTAAATTTCGGGCTGCAGTTCTTCTATGGCCCCTGTAAATTTCGGGCTGTAGTTCTTCTATGGCCCCTGTAAATTTCGGGCTGCAGATCATCTATGGCCCCTGTAAAATACCAGAAATTTTTGGAACACTAGTCCGTGTTGGTCACGTGGTGCGACCGTGCTTAGCTAGGGGTGTTCACAATATACGGTCTCGACGATATTAACGTGCGATAATTATCGCATTATCGTGAATTATCGCACGATAATATCTTTAAATTAACGAACAAGCCTAATTGGGCTTAGACTAGTCATCTGACTAGTCAGGAGTCAGTTATTTCACCAACTACTAGTAATTCCTATTATACACTATGAATGTTTTCTGATCCATAATGCCTCAAAGGACCGTGCCCAGGGTCCGGACTTCTCTATGCACCCATTGGTCCTAGATCCCTCCGCGCCCCACCTGTATGCCTCTTAGACGGAACCGTGACGCGACGCGTTCGTTCTTATTGTTGATCATCCAATAAATCCACCATATGGATTTGAAATAACCAAAATCGTAAGGACGCCTTTTCTTTTCTATCACTTACATCACTTCTCTATTATAGACTCTATCCCATGCCAACTAGACAGCTAGTCGACCGCCTGTCTACTAAAGCGATCATTCTTCTCCGTCCTGAAGCCTCATCTGATCAATAATAGGAGTAGGGATGGAGCGATTTTGTTACCTTCCAGAATATAAGGTGCTGATTTGCAAGCCCTGCGGGCGTGCTGTGGCACCCACCCATCTTCACACCCACCTCAAAGGTCACCGGAAGGAATGGCTGGGCTTCGACAGTCCTACCGCGGTGTCTCAGCTACACGAACAGCTAAGGGAGTTTCCTTTAGCTGATCCTTTTCAGCAACCAGTACCACTCCCGCCCCCAACGTCCTCCGCCTTGCCTAGCCTACCAGTCGAAGATGGACTAGGCTGCAAGCATTGTCCCTTTGTATCTCGCTCAGAGGAGAAGATGCGGAAACACCTACGGACCCATCAGTCTATACCAGCCCGTCGTCTAGGTCGACCACGGAAAACAGCGGACAGCCTAAAACCGGGTCGATCAATCGACCAGACTCTCTGGGAAAAGGTTCATTGCCAGCGCTTCTTTGTCTCTGGACCCCAGAGTCGATTCTTTCAGGTGGCTCCGCCTCTTGAGCCCGCAAGTAATCAGGTCGATCTTATTTGCGCCTAAGTTTATGAGCAGATCCGGCAGTATGAGGAGAAGGAGACACAGTATAACCAAATCATCACGACGGATCGTGACTATAGTGAATATAGTCCTTGGCTAGAAAAGACTCGATGGCGTGACTACCTCTACGGTTATACCTTCACGGAACTCGCTGCTCTAGCATATATGCCTGATCCTATACAGGAACCTATATTGCAGCTGTGGATGGGAAGCCTAGACGCCGTTCTAGACCAGGCGCTCCAGTCAATAGCCGACCACCGGATTAATATGTTTGACCAAGCCCGGATAAATAGCTTCGTGGATGATGCCTACCGCCGACCCAGCTATCGGCCCGTCTTCTATCATCTTACACCATATACGAACCAGCGATATCGACGAATCTAGAAGCGGCTTCTCTGCTTTGTGCATCGCACCGCCCAACCGAGTCAGTCAATCCGACTAGCCCACATCTTGACTAAGGATCAGGTGGACCTTTTGCAGCAAATAGAAGAAGTGAGTCAACAGTTGTATAGACTTACAACTTCCGCCGCCGCCGCCACTCGGATCACCCACATTCCTAGGCCACTACTAGAAGATGCTATCCGAGACGCTTCAGTGGCACTAAACCGCATCTGCCTTCTCTTCTATATCGCCCTTCTAGACCATGTCTTGCGGAGAGACACGTTTGAGAGTGTGGTCATAGGGTTCTTTGCGATCCTTAGAATCGAAGAAAAGAAGGAAGTCTTTTGAGATGCCTATCAGTATACCCCGATCCTTTCAGGATTCATCAAGGTCGCATAGCTGCTCGTGATCCAGAGAGCCGTTCTAGCCGTAGACGATGGGACAGTTGATGAACCGTCGAGTATCTTAGATGAGATGCGGCAGCGATTCCTGATCCATGGATGCGCTACCCCAGTAGGTTGGGCGCTCCGGCTACGGACCTATGGTAAGAAGATCAAAGTCCGTCAGACCCCGACCCTTCCGGGGCATGTAGACTGGTCCGATGATAATAGCACCCTACGTGGTAAGGGGTGTCGCGGAATCCATTGGATTCCGCCTAGCCCCCGTTATGCGCGTCGCGGAATCCATTAGATTCCATCTTTTCGCTCACCTAATTGGTCCACCCCGCAAGAAGACCCACTCTCCCTATGCGCGTCGCGTACCCTACTAGTCGTTTGATCCTTCCCTCGCGTCTATCTTCCCCTATTTGCCTCGACTAGACGACTTTCCAAAGGAGAACCGTCTACTATGCCTTCCTCTCTACCGTAGTGGACCATTATTGTCCCTAGCCTAGGCACCATGTAGGTGGATTGCTCGAGCCCGTTGTCCAACCCGCTAGCGATGGCGGATCCAAAGTCGATCGACGAAGTGTTCACTGCGTGTGGCCTCGTCTGGGAGCAGTCTGAGAACCTCATCCTCTGCCAACGGTGCCAATCCGCACTCTATCCGCGGGGTTCGCAGGTCACCCAGCATCTGCATAGCAAGCATCGCGTGCCATTGCCTCTCCGGAAGGGCCTCACTGTCGCCTTACGACGCCACCATATCCGTTTCTAGGAACCTTCCTATGCTACCCCTCGTCCCGACGGCTCTCCGGCCGATGCTCGTTTACGGCTATACACGGGGTATACATGCCGTCAGTGCGCCTACCGCACCATCAGCCGCGACCTTCTCGGCCGCCACCTATCCCAGGAGCATCTCCAGCAGCAGCGCGCCTCCCACCGTCGGGCGAATGACCTATACAACGATGTCTACCTATAGACTTGGTCCCCGAGCTCGTCCCGACAGTATTAGACCGTAGTCCACTAGGGACAGGCCATTCGCCCTATAGCTAAGGACCCCGCTACAAATGCCCATCTCGCATCAGTCCACCAGCGGGAGCGGGCATAGCGCTAGGCCGAGGAGGCTACCACCGATTTTACCACGACCGGCCCGCAGACTGTAGAGGCAACTAGGCCGTGGATAGAGCGGACCCGCTGGCCTTAAGTTTACGAGGGCGTACGGCGGGATCTCCTACAGAGTCTCGCGGAGCTCCCGTACTCATCTGCGGGTTCTATAGACCTGCTCCTTGCCCTACAGGATAGAGAGGGCCGGGTTGTCAGCCCCGCCCCCGATGAGGGGCGTCTCTACCAGCTAATGTTTGCGATAGACTGTGTGCTGGATCGGTGTAAAGAGATAGCCCGTCAGACGAGTCGATCCATCCTCTGCTAGCTTGTGACCACGAAGCCTGCCCCGTGCTACAATCGCCCCTTCCGCTTCCATGCCTAGGAACGAAGCCATTAGGACTACCGCCGGTACTAGAAGCGGTTCCTCGCCTTTGTTTTCTAGGCCTTCCGGATAGATGTTTCCCAGCGCCAGCGACTGACAGGTATCCGATTCCGGAAGGAACATCTGACGCTCCTCTATCAGATCTAGGAGCATCGAATCTAGGACGATCCTCTAATGACTACCGAGCTTAGGGATCTCTCTCAGCAGGGCCAGCAGACTACCCATCAAGCCTTCCAGAAGACCACCCAAACTCGGCAGTATAGGGCCCGTGATATTGAAGAGGAGGAGGAGGAGGAGAAGGAAGACAATAACAATGACACCAACATTAACAACGATTATAACGAAGCTATATATGAGACAGAGAGTGAGGATAGAGAAATACCGGATGCCCTTAGTGCCTCTGAGGATAGTGATGACGACTAGGAACCAGAGGTCAACGATTCCTCACAGTCTCGGCCCCAAGGGATGCATCACAGCTACGACTCGTCCACTAAGCACACTACAAGTATAGCAGTAGCAGAGTTCCTCGAGCTCTGTTTTCAGCTAAACACTACCCTGATCACGGACCGATTCAGCCACGGACGACCCCAGACTAGCCTACTTGTCTATTTTAGCGGAGTACTCGGCTTCTCCCGTGGCAGCGAGGGGTTTCAACCCGCCCGGAATTTCACCCTAGTCCTCTCCCGCCTAATCTATATGCAACGGCTCCTATTCCTCGAGTATACCCTCCCATGCCGCGCATATACCCATCTCAGGATCCCCGGTCGCTCGAAGGAACGTGCCGTCGACCGTCTCGACCCCGTGCGGCTTCGATATATGATTGCAGGTTCCCAGTCCGCGTTAGGCGAGTTCCTTAGTCTCCGTGACGCAGGGCGCTCGATGGGTCGCATAGAGACCCCTTCGTACCTCCTCCAATGGAGCGAGGATGGCTAGACAGTTTATCACAACCAGCAGGGCTTCTCAATGGATCAGTTCCGGGCCTTAGCGGAACACCTCCTTACAGTAGCAGAGTAGCAGTGCTAGGAGCTTATGTTCGACACGCTCCTAACAGTTGACCTAAGCCGGCTACAAGATAACCTAACAAACCGACAGCTAGGCTTCTCCTTTGTCAAGCATCCTTAGAACCAACTAACGGAGGCATACCTCGAGCTTCCTACACGGGCCTATACCGTCCGGCGAAATCGACTCGTCAAAGAGGGCAAGTGGCATTGGCCGGCCGTCTTCCGCTATCTAGACAAGACAACAGCGCTACTCGAGTCTATTCTAGCGATCCTATATACGACCGGTGGCCAGGTCCCGCGTGCCCCTGAGATTCTGAATCTAGAATGTGAGAATACCACGTCTACCGAGAGGGGAGTCTATCTCTACAGAGGCTCTGTCATCTATCTGACTCGGCACTATAAGGCCAAGCTGACGAACAACCGGGAATTCTACGTGGCACGTTTTCTCCCGTCCCGGGCAGGCCATATCGTATTCTACTACCTCGCCTATATCCGCCCCTTTGTGGCAATGCTCCAGCAAGAGCGAGCAAACACCGGATTAGCCCTAGCTCCTAGTACCTTACTCTTCCATCCGTACTCGGAGGCAGAGCCTACAAAGGCCTAGCCGTCCGCCCGTCTCCGCCGGGTCCTTGAGACTGCGACAGCCCTGCAGTCTGATTACCATTCCGCCCCCGGCCGGGGCCCCCCTTCGACACGCCCCCGGCGCCCGCCCCGGACCCCCGCCGTGCGTGCCCCGAACCCGCCGGCCGGGGAGGGGGGGGGGGGGGGGGGGAAGGTTCCAATTACCACCGAGGGGGGTCCGATAACCATAGACGGGGAGTCCGGATCTATCGCTTTGTGATCGATCACTTCCTTGACGATAGAACGCGACGCGACGCGTCTAGTAGACCCTACGAGTAGATAAAAGAGCGAGTCTATTACTAGTAACGGTCGCTGCGTCTCCCTCTCGCCCTCGCGAGGGTACAATAGGTATAGACTCCTCAATTGATTGCGCGCTCGCGCTCGACTCCTCGTTTCGACATGGACCTCTTCACCTTCTACGAACCCCTCCGCGTCTGGATCTGCCAGCCCTGCGAGATAGGCGTGAGCCCGCACTGGATCGAGAGCCATCTTCGGAAGCACCATAAGGCCCACCCGACCGCGAGCACTACGGACCTCCGCCGCGCGGCGGTAGTGACGGCGTGGGACCGTCGTCCGTGGGATCCAGCGTGCGAGCCGTTCGCGCCGCCAGACCCTACACTCCCACCAATCCCTGGCATCCCAACGCACCACGGGTATAGCTGCCCCGAGCCTAACTGCGACTCGTTCGCGACGACCTCCTTCGATCAGATGCGGAAGCACCGACAAACAGTCCACCCTAGGGCGCCTACACGGCCGGCTGGGCGGCCTCCAGCGGCCGTAAGGGCGACAATTCCACGGCCGCAGCCGGTGAGCTGCCAGCGGCTCTTTACCAATATCAAAGGGGCAAGCGCCTTCTTTATTGTGACGCCTACGGAGCCTCGACGACGGACGCGGGAAGAGCTTGACCGTACGCCGGCGGATATCATGCGCGCAGAGGTAGATCAGGCGATCAAACGGGCGAATATACTCGCGGAGGTAGAGAATCAGCTCGCACCTACTACTCGCGAGACAGGTACTGATAAGACAACGCCATGGCTCGAACGCACGCGGTGGCCTGAGGTCGTCGGCGGCCACTCCTTTATAGCCGTCGCACGCCTCGCGATCGGCCCAGACCCTGTCACAGAGCCAGTCCTTATAGTCATCGCAGAGAGCGTCCGACGTCTCCTTAACACGGCCCTTACGTCCGTCCTTGCGAACCGGATTAATGAGTTCGACCAGGTAGGTGCAATCCCCCTATCCTCTTCTACCTCGCGAGTCAGTAGTTGATAGTTAATATTTAGGCCCGCCTAAACACGTTCCGGCGACGGGCAGAGGGCTTCGCAATCCAGCCGCTACGGATCCACCTCCAGCCTACGACCGTCCATCGCTATCAGCGCATATGGGTACGCTTGATTTGCTTCGTCTACCGTATCTCGCGACCTAGTCAGCCGATCACCCTCCGGCATCGCCTAACGACTGTGCAGCTCGCGGCGCTTAGTCGCCTTGAGGAACACGCTCGCGACCCTACTGCCTCAAGCGATCAGCTTGATCGCGCGAGCCTTGACCTCTCAATCGCCCTCCTCGACCACGAACTCAAGGGGGATATCTACGAGAGTGTAGTGGTCGGGTTCCTCGCGGCGCTTAGCATTGACGTAGAGAACCTCACGTATCGCGACCCTGAGCACTATACGCCATTCCTCTCTGCAATCATCAAGATGTCGCAGCTCCTCGTCGCACAGCGTGCAGTCCAGCTCGTCGACGATGGTCAGGTCGCGTATACAGGAGATATGATTGACGAGATGCGCGAGCGCTTCCTTGTCTTTGGAACCCGTACGCCCTTCCACTGGATCACACGGCTCCGCGCGTATGGGAAGCGGGTACAGACGACGTCGACCGGCCTTGGATACCTCATCTGGTCCGACGACCGTCAGAGCCTCACCTTCCGCGAGGTCCACCTCGCGATATCAGACCTCCGGCGGTTCGTCGAGACGCAGATTGAGCTCGCGCGGTGGGACCTCGAGCAGCTCTTCCTCCTTCGCGAGGACGAGGATAGCGGTAATAAGACTCGCGAGGGGACTATCCCAACGCTCCCCCTCTCCCAGCTTGTAGACGACCCAATCAATAACTCGCGAGGCTGGAATTTCCTCTCCGATCCACGGAACCACGCGGTACTTCCAACGACGGGAGAGCGTTGGCTCGTTGACCATATTCTTGCGAGCGATACACTCCGTGAGGAATTCATCTCTGTCCGGCAGTCAGACTCGCGGGTTCGATTCCAGAAGGCCGCCGTCGAGGACTATCGCGGGTTAGTCAATCAGTTCCTCCGGCGACTCCTCCTCGCGATCCACATAACTAGTGGTCAGCCTGCGCGCGCGACAGAGCTACTTTCCGTCCGGCACCGTAACACGCCTGAAGGCCGGCACCGCAACATTTTTATTGAGAATGGCCTTATCGCGATCGTGACTGCGTACCATAAGGCGCAAGGCGTGACAAACTCTATCCGTATCATCCACCGCTACCTCCCGCGAGAGGTTAGTGAGCTCCTCGTCTACTACCTCTGGCTTGTACTCCCGTTCCTCGAGCATGCGACGATGCTCGCGGCGGAGATCCCACAGCCTTTTCAGCGCTCGCCGTTCCTCTGGCCGCGAGGGTCGAGCCACTGGCCCACAGACTCCCTTGGGGCGATTCTCCGGCAGGAGTTCGCGACACATCTTCACGTGAATATCAACGTACCGACGTACCGGCATATCGTAATAGGGATCTCGCGGATGCACCTCGCGAGCGGCGGGTTCAAGAAAGACTACGGAATCGAGGAGAGCATTGCAGATGACCAGGCCGCACATAGTGCATGGGTCGCAGGGACAGCGTATGCGCGAATGATCCAGGAGGCGCCAGGGGTGATCGAGAGTCGGCGGCTCCGGTTCCGTGCAGTCAGCCGCGAGTGGCATGAATTACTTGGGCTCACCGCACAGGGCCCTCTCCCTTCGCAGGGCGCGCGAAAGCGACTATACGACGATAGCGACGTAGTAGACGAGGATTTTAAGGAACCCGCGAAGAAACGCCAACGGTATATCATGATCGACGATGACTAGACTTGCGAGAAGGATTCGCCTTGCGAGGGAAGAGAGGTGAGCATAAGGGTTATGAATTAATTATCTCGCGAGGCAGTTAGGCATCTGTACTGATTATTTCCGAATATCAGGTATCTATAATGGCTTTAAGAGCATCGTAAAGAGGAACACCTCGCGACGTCTACCGTAAAGAACAATCGGACTCGCGAACCTCTTGATTCTTTATGATTATTCTTGTCACCATATGACACTCCCTGAATCGAAAGTTGGTAGAATATTTTGCGATGTCTACCTCTAAGAACAAAGGGACTCGCGAACCGATCAATGATTTATGCCACTGTCTGATCCCCCTTAAATCAGAAGTGAATGAAATCGTTCGCGACGTCCACCTTAAGAGAACAAAGGGACCTGCGAACCTATTAACGATTTGTGCCACGATCTGACCCCTCCTAAACTAGAAGGGAACAGAATAGTTCGCAAGGTCCTCCTTAGAGAATAGAGGGGCTTGCGAGCCTATTGATTCTTTGTGCCACCGTTTGACCCTCCCTCATTCACTGCCATCCTTTGTTCTCGCAAGGCCCCCTAAGTCAGAGGCCTCGCGATGCGAACTCGCAAGTTCAGTGTCTCTCGCGAGAAGTAAGGTGGGTATATAAGAGCGAAATTGGCTCCAAGATTTCTTCTTCCTTCAACTCCCCAACTTCACTGCCAGCATTTGCTGGTTTTTATGTTCGCAAGGAGCCCCCATTTCTAGAGTCCGCCCCGCGCACTATCAACTCTATCTATTCGCAACCCGCCCTCGATCCTACTGTGGCCATCGCGATGGCGACGGAGTCCCGTCTTGCCGGTGGAACCTGGCCCGTGTTGGCCAATGGACAGAATGTGAATGTCCGGGTTCGCGGTGAGGACTTGACCATCGTGGTGTTCGCAGCTCCCGCCGAACACGCAAATAGTGTAAGTCCTCTCTATCCTTCGCAGTGGCTTTTTGATCCTACTGATTCTGATTCGGGCGAATAGTATCAGCCACATCTCCCTTCGCGGCCTGGCACCTTCCTCCGTCGCGAGATCTGGGATCGGCCCGCCCCGACTACGGACGCGACGATGGCGGAGTACGAGCGTGCCGAATTCGTGGACCTACCAGCGTGGCTCAGCACCGCGCGCAACGATCACGTTCGCGCCATCCCTGGACTTCCGCCCCCCGGCCCGCAGACTATCTCTTCGCGGGAACTACGTTGGATTTTCGAGCCTGTCGTCCGTGATGTCCTGTTCCGCGGCCTCGACAATTACCAGCAGCTCCAGATCCGTGCCCAGCTTCGCGAGGCAATCCTTGTGACTCGTGCTGGCCGGGTGCCCCCACGGGGCCAGCAGTGCTCTGAGTGCCGCAACCGTAACGCGCACCGCCCCTTCACCCACTGTGTGTCTGGCGGATTCGGTGAGAAGTGCAATAATTGTTTATACCGCGGGCACGCTAGATGCAGCTTTGCTTCTTGGGTAGCCTAGTGGTCGCGATAGTGATGATCTTGTCTATTAGCAGTTTTCATATCAAGGATTTAGGAGTTGGCTCGCAGGAATACTATTCATAATCTTTTCTATTTTGTTCTTATTGTTATTGCTATAGTAGCCTCCCTAAATCAGAAGTAAACAAGATAGTTCGCGATCTCTACCTTTCGCGATGGTTATCTTAGAGAATAGTATGACTTGCGAAGTGATTTTTGATAGTTCGCAAGGTACGCCTTAAAGTATAGTATGACTTGCGAAGTCATTCCTTAATAGTTCGTGAGTTGCGCCTTAAAGTATAGTATGACTTGCGAAGTCATTCCTTAATAGTTCGTGAGTTACGCCTTAAAGTATAGTATGACTTGCGAAGCCATTCCTTAATGGTTCGCGAGGTACGCCTTAAATAATAGTATGACTTACGAAGTGATATTTTGATAGTTCGCGAGGTGCGCCTTAAAGTATAGTATGACTTACGAAGCCATTCCTTAATAGTTCGCGAGGTACACCTTGAATAATAGTATGACTTACGAAGTCTTTTCTTAATAGTTCGTAAGGTACGCCTATAAGGACTATTGTACTATATAGATTCTAGTTTAGCGTAGCTCGAAAAAGACCTAGGCGTGGTTAAAAACAAAAGCCCTACTATGGTTCGAAGTTATATAATGCTTTTTTAAGCTACGCTTACCCTTTTTTCGAACTATGCTTAGCGACTACTACTATAAAAATTTATTTCTTATATAAGAGCGATCGAATTAATTATAGGGTTTAACTTCTACTTTTACTAGTATATACCCTATACCCTAGCCAACGGGGGTTACTGGGACGTTTATGGGTCCAGTAGGATTACGTAAGCTTAGGGTTTCCTTAACTATGGGACGGCCGACCAACGCCCCAGTAGACATTAAATCAACGTCCCAGTAGAGCTTTTGTCGGCGCCCAACGCTCACAATTGGTGATGTTTGAGTTCATTGGTTCCCACATTTTATTCCCAAATTTCAGGCCCCAATCGCCCCATGAAAGGGTGGTTGCAGGGATTCGAAATCAGGTAAATATTTTGATGGGGGGCGACCGGCGGTTAGCAGAACGCTTCATCGACCATGAGAGGTCAACCACCAACCAGCGATCCCCAACATCCCAGTCCAGAGTTTGAGCTGAAAATTCAGGGGTCGCATTCAGGGGGTCTCCCATATATCCCAGCTGATTTTAAGCGCTATCCGATTTGAATTCAACACCCGTCATTGATAGCATCCACTAGAAGATATACGTCCATCACACACACTTGAGATATATATACGCATCTCGCATCCAACATACCATGGCAGAGTCCATCAATGCCAACACGTTTTTCCAGCCCAACAACGAGCTTGGAGTCGCCATTTGCCGGCGATGCGAGTACGCCGTTAGACCCAGAGAGATTATTCGCCATTTAACGAAGCCCAAGGGCGCGCATGTTATCCCCCACAGCGTCGCAGAAGAGGTACTTACACAGATCGTGAATACATGGCCCAACGTCCGCGATGAACCCACCAACTTACCACAGTCCGTTGGGAAGCTAATTCCCGGGCTGACTATCTACAATGATGGGATCTTATGTACGTTTTGCGGGTACGTTTGCCGTACAATGGAGAGCATCCGGAAGCACTGGCGGACCCAGCATGGGTTTTCGCCATATGACCATAGTCGGAAGCCCCGGCCATCTGAAGTCCCAGCTGGCCAAGACGCCCGGGATCAGGCGATGCGACGCGTCGTGTGCCAGCGGGTTTTTTACCGGAGGCTTGGATCGCATTACATTCACGTCCGACAACCCGGACCCAACTATGAACCCGCACGCCCGCCACCCCAGGCTAATGTGGTCAATGAACTCATCCAGCAGCTCGAACAGACGTACGTTGACTCGCAGGCCCCGGACGACCGTACGATCCAGGCCGGCCCGCTCGATGAGGCGAACCCGTGGCTCCGACGGACGCAGTGGGCCGTGTATTTACAAGGTGTGTATTGATTCGTGCGTCGTTGGGTAGGCTAGTGGAGAGAGAGACCATCTTAGAACTGGGGTTTTAAGGAATGAGCTTAAAACCTGGGTTCTAAGATGGGGCCCACGCCCCAGCTTTGATAGTCGATCGATTAATCCCCAATTTGACTAACTAACGGCTCGTAGGCATCCCCCCCCGCGATATACTACAGTCCATCAAGACCCCCCCAGAGGACGCCCAGGGCCCAGAAGGGGCGATGCGGGCCATCTGGGACGCCATAGACGGGGTCGCGCGGATCAGCCAGCGCATCACCAAGCAGACGGGCCATCTGATTCGTGTCGAGGCTGCTCGTACGGAGAAAGACCAGAGCCCGCACGAACCATTACAGGCATATATGGATGAGGAGCAGATCCAGCGGCATGTCGAGCCGTGGCAGCAGATCTTGATGTTTTTCGCTCGCACCCAGGTTGAGCACGATTGGCCGAGCCCGCCGTACCGATTCACCCCCCGCCAGCGACGGGCATGGCAGGCATTATGGCGGCATGCGCAGGACACGCGTGGGAGCCCCGACCCATTCGACCATCCGAGCCAGACCCAGAGCCAGGGAGACGGTGGCGACGATCCATACCAGATGACTCCGATCCAGACCGCATGTATGGACTTTTGCATTGAACTATTGAACCAGCGGGCTAGCGCGGAAGAGTACGAATGTGCCTTGATATGCGCATTAGCCGTGCTTGGCCAGGGCCGTGATCGATGGCGCGACGCGGACAGTTATCCCCCAATTTTGTCCAAAACAATCAAGATCAGTCGATTCATGGTATTACACAAGGCGTTGCGTTTGGATCCGAATGCCAAGCAGATTTTACAATACATGCGTGACCGTCATGAAGTAGGTAAGTAAGAATCGCGATGGATGACTTCGTGCATAGGTTGGCTCGATGGCTCGATGCTTGATTGATTGACCGATGTTAGGTACGTGGTCGATCGAAAGCCCGATGGACGATCCCGAATATATATATTCCGGCCAGCACGACGAAGGGTATGACAGCGATCGGAGCCCACGAGAACCATCGAGCAGCCCCGCGTTCGAACCCACACATCGCCAGCCCGAGCCCATGCAATTCAGTCAGCAGCAGCGACGGAAACCGCGTCCGTTTCGCGAGTGGTTGCGATTGTTGACGGACACATTCATGGTGCGCGGGACGCATAGTCCGATGCAGTGGATGCTCGATTTGCGCACGTACGGCTTACGCATCCATTATAGCAGTACGGCCACCGGCCACGTGAGCTGGTCCGGCCAGGACGAGTTGCTATACAAGGAAATCCACTTCACCATGGGTGATTTCCGGGGGTTTACTCACGGGTTGGTCGGCTCCGTACGCCAGCTACTACACCACGAGCTATTGATTGGCGACGCCGCGAGCGCACCCGCCATCCCATGGGCGCAGCTCATGGACGACCCCACGCAGGCCAAGCCTGGGTGGTGCTTTTTAAACGACAGTCGCACCCCGTGGCCCATCGACGGGGCCCAATGGCTCGCCCGCCGGATCCAGCGCGAGCCCCGATTACAACAGCGATTTGTCGACGGGCCCGAGCGTCGATTCCGGATGCGTGCCATCGAACAGTACATGCAGAGCGTGGTCCAGTTCCGTGAGAAGCTCGCCATCGTTTGTCACATCACCGCGGGCCAGCCCGGCCGTGCACCCGAGCTATTGAGTGTCCGCCATCGCAACACGGAAGGGGCCCATCGCAACGTATTCATCGAGGATGGACTGGTCGTATTCGCGACGAAGTACCACAAGGGGTTTTATGCGAGCAACGACGCGAAGATCATCCATCGGTACTTGCCGCGCGCGGTCGGGGAGCTGGTGGTATGGTATTTATGGTTAGTGTTACCATTTGTGGAACGATTACAGGCGTACCAGCACGAGGCTCGTGGTACGGCTCGCGAGACGATTCAGGGTCTGCAGTCCCGTGCCGCATACATCTGGGCGCCCGACCCAACGAGTGGGCGTGAGTGGACGTCGGAGCGATTACGGGAGGCGTTGAAGCGCGAGACGACGATTGGGCTGAATGGGTAAGCTATATGAGTTGTTGATGGCTTGACGGCCCAGCTTGATGGCCCAGCTTGATGGCTAACTACTGAATAGGTACGCATTGACTTTGCCCGCGTACCGGAATATCGCCATTGGGATCAGCCGGCGGTATTTACGGGTATCCAGCGTTTTCCCCCAGAATGTCCAGGACGACGGGACCAAGGTGCCAGCGCATGACGACGATGAACCCGAGGATCACATCGCGGATTTACAAGCCGCGCATTCATCCCATGTGGCGGGCATGATTTATGGCCGCGAGATCACCGAGCAGGCTGGGACGACGGCGCACCGACGGGAGATGTTCCGATTATCCAGCACGGATTGGCATCGGTTTTTAGGGTTCGAGAGCGCCGAGGACGGCTTGGCCAGGGTGCTTGGCAAGCGCAAGCAGGGCCCATGGGAGGCCGAGGCGGACGACCATCGACGTCAGCGCCGATGGCAGCTCCACGAGGCCAATATGACGGAGGCATTGCAGCGGATGACCAACGACGACCAGAGCCAGTTCCGCGGCGTCCAGGGGCCCGCGATGCAGGCGATCCAGCATGGGGTGAGCCCCGTGGTCGTGGTGATGCCGACGGGCGGGGGCAAGAGCATGTTGTTCATGTTACCGGCATGGGTCAGCGGCGGGCTGACGGTGGTCGTCGTCCCATTGATTGCTTTACGCCAGGACTTGCAGCAGCGATGCGCGGTGGCCGGCATCTCGTGCGTGGAATGGGAGAGCCGGCGGCCGCCCGACGAGGCGGCCATTGTACTCGTCACGCCCGAATCCGCGTTGAGTGAGGATTTCATCACGTTTTTGAACCGACAGCAGGTATGTCCCCCCGCGATCCGAGACCCCAGCCGGCGCCCCCAGTTTAGAACCGGGGTTGTAAGGATGCGTTCGAACCCCGGTTTTAAAACGGGGGCCCAGGGATTAGGGTTGATGTCCCCATGT